CATAAATAATGGTGTTTTAGAAAAGGGAATAGACAAAAAATATATTGCAATTTGTTCTCTGTCTATTAAAATTATTTTTAAAAATGAATATTAATGTTAATTTTATTGGGATGTTATTAATAATCATGGAAATGTACATATATTAATTTTTATCTATCATTACAAGGATCGTTTTGATCCCTTTGGGTTAGTTTATGAGCAGTTGCTTGTTTCATATTGAGACTACCTTGGATGATAGTTTTCCAGTTTTCTTCATTCTTCATTGTTTCATTAAAAACCAGTGGCATAAGGAACGATCTAATCTGAGGAACTGAAAAGATCTTTCTCTGAATACCAACCAAATTATTGGCATTGTCCCATGATCCTTCCATTTTGAATATTAAATCCTTGTTTGTTAGTTTCTCATTGTCCTTTGTCAGTTGCAAGAAAGGACTACGAGAAAGGACCACGGGATAAATATGGTTATCTACACAACAAACACTATTAATCTTTGCTCTTAGTTCGCCAACTTGAGAGAGAGAGAGAAAGAGAGGATTAGTGGATTCAAATAATAATTTTGAATTATCTTTTCTTCTTTGTTATACCTCTTTTCCAAAAAGATTCTTTTACTGCATCCATATCAACTTTAACTTCTTGGTCGTCAGAACCCCATTCTTGTTGGTGAGCATCATCGTCTATCTTGACATGGTCATCTTTAATCTTTCCCCACATAATGTCAGCCATTGATAAAAGAATCAACACTTTAACACCGTTTTTCGACAAGAATTGTACGACATCCAATGAAGGTGTATCATTTGCATTCTCTAAACCTAAAATACAAATACAAACTAAAAAAAAAAACAAAAACAAAAAGATTAGCTTATATGTATATATATATATAATATATTTTATATTTTACCTTTAGACCAAGGTAAAATTAAATCACCAAGATTTGATTTCCCATAATCACTATCGGTAGCAGCTGGCCAATCGACAAAGCAAGGACTCTTAATTTCATCTCCTTGTTGACTATATACATAATAACAAGATGGGTCAAGAGTATTATTACAAACACTTGGGCCTATTTATAAAAAAAAAAAAAGAGTAAATAATTAATTATTCCTAAAAATTTTGTTTTTTTTTTTTTTTTTTTTGATTAGAACATACTTGTATTACAACCCCAACCAAATGAAAGTAAACTACTTTTACCAACATTTTGAACACCAAAGATACTAATATAGCTACGGTTGATAATGGATTTACGAAGTTGGTTGATTGGAGAAACAACGTTTAAAAACTTGACAATGTTTGATCTATCTTGATTGTTGAATTTATGATGAAAGATTGGATGAGGAACTTGCATATAAATCTCATTATCGAATTGTGATCCAAAACTAGAGGCCATTTTTAACAAATGGTCGACTACATTCAACTCCATCTCTTGAAGTGTTTTTGGAGAGGACAGTTGCATGTCATCCAAGTTGTATTGACCCTGTGCGTAAAAGTACAATAGGTTAACTCGGAGATGGTACTCCTTGTCAGCCTTGTCGAGCGAAAAGTGAGGGAAGAGATTAGGGAACCAAGTCTTTAACTTTTCGCCGAGTGTTCTAAATATCGATCCCCAGTAAAATGGTGTTAGAGACGGAAGAGGAGCATTTAGTTGACGAAGCACGACAAGGTAGATGGCCGGTTGAATGGCTTCAAAGAGTGATCGCACAAAAGGTGGTTTCTTCTTGGATGCCTTGGATGCAGAGAACATTGATTTCCATTTTTTGACCAACTGGCCAAACGGAATGCAAGGCAAAAGATATTCCTTTTGATAGACATCAAGGGTATTGGTTTGAATGCTGCTCCAATACTTTTCAAGGTGGATGCTTTTCGACTTGTCTGTTTGCTTGATAAATTCCTTTGGATTGGCGACAATCTTTTGAAGCTCCTCGTACTCTGAGTTCTTGGAGGCTGCAATACGAGAGCATGTGATTAATTCATCTTCCAAAGCTTGGTCGATAATCTCGCCACTACCCTGAAGCAGACTCAAACGTGATGTGTCATCGGGCACAAGATCAACTTCCACTCCAAGCAATTCATCCAATTCCACCAATCGCTGTTCCATCTCCAAATCCCCATTCTCTCCACAAATGGCTAAATGAAACATTGATAACCTGAGAATATGAGTTAAAAATAATTCCTCAGAGTACTAATAAAAAGATATAAAATTAATTACCAATAGTTACTATTGTATATAAATAAACACCACATACCTTTATAGTTTTTGAAGGAATTTCAATCCAAAGATATCGATTTGAAAATTTACTGTTGTGATATGGTTGAACTATCTTTAATTTAAAAGTACTGAGGTAATGCAGATTGGCATTGTGGATGGTTATCTCGAGGCTGTGAGTCTCCTTTCTATCGATGGCGGCTGTCCATTGAGATTGGCTCTCACAGTCTGAAAACATGTGAAGATTGATTCCAGAGATCTTGGCAACCATTTGATTTGAGCTAGGATTAAAAATGGCAGTATCAACGTTGTACGAGGAGGTTTTAAAAATTGCTGGTTCTTGTACTAAATCTGGAGCTTGAATTTTCTCTTTAACTAACTTTTCATCAATATCCAACGCCATTAAATACGCCTTGAATCCCTTATTATGTGGAAACCCTTGTTTCAACCCTTTGGTGAAAATGGTTTCGGGTGACTCGTACATGCCAACTCCTAGGGGAAGTGAACTCATAGAGTGTATCCAAGTGCCAAAACTAGTATCATATTCTTGATTGGGTATTAATTTGTGCAAATCATTAACCATTTCCTCCTATAATAATAATAATAATAATAATAATAATAATAATAATAATAATAATAATAATAAATAGTCAATAGTCAGTATAAATTAAAAATATATTATAATAATCAAATAGTTCTTTTTACTTACATATTCAGGAGATAATACTGGGTTTTCTTTTCTTTTGTATCTCCCCAACAGAACTCTAAAGAGTGGATAAAGGTCGAAATTTGATGAAGATGCATACACCAAAGTACGGTGATAATGGTCGTCAGTCAAGAGAAAGTTGGTAAAGATGGTGTCGGAAAAGTGGTGGGCCTTGAGAAAAATGGTTGTTGCCTTGTCCCAAACAGGTGCCGAGCCAAAGGTGATACAACTGAGACTGGTTGTCAATTTGTAGTTTACTCGTGATACCAACAAGGCTGTCAGTGCCTGCGCTATGCACCCACCAGAAGAATAACCAACGACGTGTACAGAGTAGTTTTTCAAAAGGTAGTACTCTAGAGGCTGTACATGAAAGTACCGGTTGACGATACCTATATAAGCAGAGTCGACAGACCCGTTCTCTGGCTTCTGATTATCGAGTGGTTCCATTACGCCACTCGGAAGTAAATCGGTTGAGTCTCCAATTGCCAAGTATACCTGTAACTTTTGGTCATCTATAAAGTAAAGATGTTTGTAGGTGTTGCGTTCATTTCCATTACAAAAATGAAATAGAGGTGAAAGTGATGATAATAATGGCGATGATTCTTCTAACAAAGAACAACAATACAATGAAAAATCATAAGACATTATTGCTATCTATCTATCTATCTATCTATCTATCTATCTATCTATCTATCTATCTATCTATCTATCTATCTATCTATCTATCTATCTATCTATCTATATCTGTGTTATTGGCAAAATGATAAAGTACTCTTGCACAAGAGTTCATCTAAACAAGTAGACGCAGAAAAATGGGTTCAAATGATATCTAGTATCTGATCCCCATTGTTTTTCTGTACATTCTTTGCTATCGGTGTTATTGTGAGTGCTAACCTTATACTTTATATTCTAATTAATTTAAATGAATAGAATAGGTAGATATTGATTCTTGTGATCTGATCAAATAATATTAAAATAAAAAATAAAAAGAAACATCTCGTTCGCATGTACATATTCGTTTTAACGAAATTAAATTAATTATGTATAATAATAATTGATCAAACAATGAATGCAACCATTTCTACTTCATCATCAATAGTTCTCTTTAGAAGAGTAATAAGAGAGGGACTGAGATATAGAGCATTCAAACAAGATAGTTGGTGGAGAAATAATGTTAAAGAGTTGTTTAGAGAGAATAAATCAGTTAGTGATCCCAAAGAAATAGAATCACTTCAATCACGTGTTAAATCATATCGTTTCTATTTAAAGGCATCTAAAGATATACAAGTATGTTGATGATAATGATGATGATAATGATGATCAAAAATTTTTGACCCCCCTCGCAGTCTTATCTAACAGCTCTTTCATAATAGAACTTATTAGAAGAGTATAATATTGGTATCCCTGTAAGAGAACGTTTAGAAAAGTCATCAAACAGAGTTGGTTTGAAATTACCAGAATGGCCAGAGGTTAGAGAACAACAAATTAGAGCAAGAGAACAACAAAATAATCGTAGTACTTTAGCAGACCAAAACAACACTGATAAACCACAACAATAAACAACTTTCACCAATAGTACATGGCTATTGTACGTTTTAAAAGAAATATATTTTAAAAGGATACAAACTCTCCATTTGTTTTATTTAAGTAAAGCAGAGATAAGTTCTAAATTTTCTGTAACCTTTTTGTTTTGGTTTCCAGCAATTATACTAATAATAATTGATCTATCGCATTCCCATGAATCCTTGAGTGATCTATGTACAAACAACATTGTTCCTAGTGCACAAACCAATCTCAACATGACATCTCCATCTGATCCGAGTTCTCTTGTGATGGTTTGTTCGATAAGAGTTAAAATAAACAAATTGATTTTGTTGTCAATCGAATCTTTGTTATTAACTGCAAGTACTGTTAAACTATAAAAATGAAGATGATTAATATATATCTATATATATTTTTTGATTTAAAATATATTTACTCTAATAACAAGGTAGAAAAAGTAGTTGAAAATGGCTTATCAGATTGAGCAAGTGATTGATAGATTTGGTTAAAATGATTTGCAATTTGATGGATCTTTGAAAGTACCAACTTTCTCATATCGAATCGAATAAGATTCACCAATATCTTGATGATAAGACCCTGGCTGGTGAGGTTGGGGAGTGAGAATGGTAGTTTTGAAATTTCAATTGAATGATTCATTAAATTTTCAAAGAGATTGAGTTGGTTGTTTTGGATCATGCTATCAAACTTTTTGGCTGCACTTGGATGCATAACCATGGTTCTTAATAAATCTAAAACTATAAAAAAAAAAAAAAAAAAAAGTAGAGAAATTAGTTTAAATTTTTTTGTTTTTTTTTTTTTTTTTTTTTTTTCCGTACTTGGAATGAGTTGACCATTTTGATTTGACCATTTCAAAAGTTTTGAAATAATTCTATATTGATTATCACTAAATGATGAGGCATGATATCTTGAAGTTTCTTTAATTGTAGCAAAAATAGATTTAACTTGGTTGATTTCATCTTCGTCCAACTTTAAATTATCTTGTTGTTGTTGTGGGTTGAATTCTCTGAGTTTTGTCAATAATACTTCGACATTGTTGGCTTGTTCAAAGTAAACATAGGAACCTTGAGGAATATATTGATTTGGTTGAATCAAGTCTTCTGGAGCCCCAGACGACGATGATGGTGGGGCTGGTCCAAAATTGTTACTATTTGGTGCAGAGCCTGGGACGTATCGATTGCCACCGGTTAGAGGATCGGCGTTTATTGGATCGTGGCCAATAGTCATGGATTGGTCAGTATTTTGAATGAGGAATCCTGCGATATCATCGAGGAAACGTTGGTCCAGCTGGTTCTTCCACATAAATTGTTGTGCAACTTCATATGGATTCTCACCAAGATTGTAGCCCAACTTAAACATTGTTCCTTCATTTACGTCAATGTCAAATACATAGTCGTACTCTTTTCCTTCAAATACCGTTTTGTTCTTGGGAGCGGCATTGGACTTGTTTGAATCAACGACTTCTCCAATCTTGATCCAATCATTGTCAGTGGCGCTCCATTGATAGGCCATGGCTTTACCATCCTCACGAATGACCCTAGTCTCTCCATCTTTACGTCCTGGTTGACTGGACAATGACGACTTTTCTTTGAGATCACTCATCTTGATGTCACCGATATTGTCAGACTGAATTTGTTGTTGGGCTAGCTGTTGATGATAAAGTTCTATGGTTTGTGGATCGGCATAACGAGATTCATTTCTTGTCCACACACGAGCAACACCGTCAGAACATGCAGTGACAATATCTCCATTGATACTGACAGCCAAGGACCAAATACCAGATGGATGGGCTATATTTTGTACACATTCACCATCGGCCCAAATACGAAGTGATCTGTCCTCACTGCAACTGACAAAACCAACAGAGGGGACATAGCCTACGGCATAGACAAAAGATTGGTGACCCGAAAATTCTTGAACCAAATCACCTTCAAATGTCCAAACGGCAAGTAGACCATCGTTTGAGCAGGAAATAAACATTTGAAGCTCTGGAACAAGTGCCAATCCTCTTACACAATCCTTGTGTTTGTTGAGGGTCTTGAAAAGTTCATATTTTGATGTTGTGGCTGATTTTCTCCAAATAATAATAGACTTGTCTGCCGATGCACTAACAATATCACCATTTGGTAATCCAAGAACAGACCATACAGCCCTTTCATGCTTTGTTAAAGTTTGTATACATTCTGCATTATCTGACCACAATTTAATTGTACTAGAGAAAAAAAAAAAAAAATTAAAAAAAAAAAATAATAGAGAAATTAAAAAGATAAGCAAGTAAGTTCTCTTTTGATTTTTGTTCTTTTCTTTTCTCTTACTTGTCCCAACTACCAGAAATAATTAAACCATCATTTGTTTGAGATAGTGTAGAAATAGAATCAGTATGACCAATCAAAGTAAGAATTGGTGACTTTGAAGCATCTTGTTGGTCCTTTGGGTCTCTTGGAATGGCATTTTTATCCCAAACATAGATAACCTTATCATTTCCTCCGGATGCAAACAATCTCTGGTGAACATTATTTGGCTTTAAAGCTGTCAAGGCACCAACAAAATGGCTATGTGCATATAGGGCCATAGATGGCATCTCTCCAATTGGTGAATAGACATCCCAAACACGTACAGTAAAATCACGTGATCCTGTTACAATTCTACCGTCATAGAGTACACAAACTGATCTAACATCTTTACTATGTCCTCTCAACTCTTTTGAAAGTTTATAATTAATTATTGATTTTGTTGTTGTTGATGTTGATGATGATGATGATGATGGGTTTGTACCAGCAGTAGTAGTAACATTATTGCTATTATTATTATTATTATTATTATTATTATCTGACATTATATAAATAAATTGATAAAGATAAATGAATGAAATAAAGATAAAAAAAAAAGTGAATGATTCATCAAAGAGGCTGAAGATCAACCTTTAATTAATTTTTTATTATTATTTTTGTTTTTTTTATCTTCAAAAAAGGTAGCTTTGTCAACGAGTCAGGTTGATTGAAATAGATAGCAGATAATGACTTCTATAAGCAATAAAATAGTCAAAAGAAATATAAATACAGATGAAAGTACAACAACAACAACAACAACAACAACAGAAAAAACAACGGTTACTCTAGATAACAACGAGATCATAAGACAAAGAAGAGAAATGATAGAATCAAAAAAGAGAAAAAAGACTATAATCTACTACACAGTTATTATATTGTTTATAGTCATATTCTTTTTGGGGACTGAAGTTAAAATGGTAGAATCTACCACTGCTATGAATAGAGTAATCGAACTAAACTATACTCAAATTGAACTTGTTATAAAAAAATCTCCTCCTCTTCCTCCTCCTCTTGCTCAAATCAATTCTTCTCTACTACAACACAATGATTCAAATATTCAAGCAACAACTCCATTTCTCTTATTGGTATGTATTCTATCATCAAAAAAAAAATAATCTTTCTTTCTTTTCTAAACTCTTCTTTTAAAGTTGTATAGAGATGAATGTAGTTTCTCAAAGCAAATGATACCAATATTTGATGAATTATCAAATATCTTTCCTCAAATACCACATTATAGATACAATAATAAGATTCCCTCATCGATTGGATATTCCAGATTAACACCGACCATTGTTTTGGTACATAAAAATCATTCCTCCTCTCTAACAACAAAAACCAACATTGACAATAATAATAGTGGTATCGATAATCAAAATAATAATAATAATAATAATAATAATAATAATAATAATAATAATAATAATAATAATAATAATAATAATAATAATAATAATAATAATATTTCAGACACCAAAAATATGGGTATAAAGTACTTTAGATATACTGGTATAAAGTCATTTGGAAATCTCAAACAATGGATCATTGAATCAACCAAATTGAATCCAATCAATGATGACACCCAACAACAACAACAGACAAACCCTACGATTGAAAGTTTGAAATCTATTATTGATAAACTTGTCGTAGCAGCAATCGAACAACAAACACTTCCTCCATTACCTTCTTGGGGTGAATCGATAGAAATCAATCCCTATTTTGTCAGACAATGGTTTCTCTATTTTAGCTCTATATATATACTACTTGTAGCATTAAAATCGATTAATACTATTCTACTTGATTCATCCTTTCCTTTTTACACTCTCTTAAAAAGAAAAAGGACCAATCCCTCCTCGCAGCATCACTCAAAAACCGAATAAATAGTCTTTTTTTTTTTTGATAATAATTTTTTTCTCTCTTGAAAACAAAAACGAACGAGACGAAAGATTGTTATTATCTTTTTTTTTTCATCTCAAAGTCTCTTATTAAAAAAGATTTATCTATATCTATATACATAATCATTTTAGTTTTAGAATAATATATAATAAGAAGAAGAAGAAGAAGAGATGAGCATTGACCTTTCAAAAGTTAAATTTGTTCAAGTAGTAGATGATGAAGATTTAAGTGATTATGAAGAAGAACAAGAGGAGGAGGAGGAGGAGGAAGAAGAGACAAAGGTCGCAAAAGTTGATGCGGAAACAGAAGAAGAGAAAAAAATGTCACAAAAGAGAAAATTAAAGTCATTGTTTAAACCAGATTACTCTATATCATCATTGTATACTGGTGGTTTTATTACAGTATCACATGACTCTAAATTCATTATATCAACCAATGGATATACTCTATGTTTTACAGAGAGTGACAGTGGTATCGAATATTGTCAACCATTAAAATTGGATGCAAAGGTTTCTTCATTTGCAATCAATAGCAAGTCTAATCTATTGGTTGTTGCATTAAACAATAATATAGTTCAATTGTATAAATTGATTTATAATGATATCGATACTACTACTACTACTACTACTACTACTACTACTACTACTACTACTACTACTACTACTACTACTACTACTACTACTACTGCTTCTACAACCTCTGATGACAAAGAACAACAACAACAAAGAATAGAATTTAAATTGGAAAAGCAATTTAAATGTGGAGAGTCACCAATCAATAGTATCGATTTTCATTCATCAAGTGTACTTGTAGCTATCGGTTCTTCTGATGGAATAGTTCAAGTATGGGATGTAGAAAAGGGTTATTGTACTCATCAATTTAAAGGTAAATATAAGTATATAAATATATATAATACTATCATTTGATATTAAATTCTTTCTATTTTATTTTTTAATAGAAAATTATGGAGTTGTATCTATTGTGAAATTCCATCCAAAACAATTATTTATTGTTGCTGTTAGTGATGATTCCAAAATTAGATTGTGGGATTTATTTGGAAAGAATCATTTTGTATTGGACAACCATCTTTCAGTTGTATCATCTTTGACATTTACAAATGATAGTAAATTATTGGTATCTGCAGGACGTGACAAGGTAATTAATGTTTGGAACATTGAAAAGAGTATTGCTGCTGCCGCCAGCGGGAATAATGCACCAAACGCTACAACCACCATAGTGACACCGCAAAAGACTATACCAATATTCCAAGAACTTGGAGGAATGATCGCTCTTCCAAATAGATACTATCAAAATGTTGAATCATGTCAACTTCCTCAAGAGTTTATTGAAAAGATAAACAAAACAATTATCAAATTAAATGGAATCAATCAACAAACAAACACAGTAAACAATTTGAATATAGTAGTTGGTGGAGAAGATGTTTTAAGAGCATGGTGTATCGAAACTGGTGAATGCCTTTGGAATGACCAAGGTATCGAATTTAAAAAGAAAACTCAAAAGGAAATGGAAAAAGCTTCTGAATTTTTAAATAATCCAAATATTATTACATCTGTTTTGTAAGTAAATTAATAATTAATTAATAATATTAAATATTAATTTTAATTTTTTTTTTTTTTTTTTTAGATGTCGTGGTGATTTATTATTATCAATCACATCAGAACATAATATTATGAAATTTAATACAAATACAATGGAAAGAAATGGTGAAATTATTGGTTACAATGATGAAATTGTTGATATCAAATATATTGATCAAGATAATATTGCTGTTGCAACAAATTCAAATGAAGTATGCATAGTTTAATTTATTATAATATTTATATATATATATTAACTATTTATTTCTTTTTTTTTTAAATTTAATTTTTAGATTAGATGTTATAATTTAAAAACTAAACAACCAAAATTACTTAGAGGTCATGAAAATTTAGTAATGTCATTGGACGTTTCTGCCGATGGAAAGACAATAGTATCGGCATCAAAAGATCATACTATAAGATTGTGGGATGCCAATCAACATAAATGTATTGCAATTGGAAAGGGACATACATCCGAGGTTACAAGTGTTGCCATCTCCAAGAAAGCAGGATCCAATCGATTTGCAATCTCTGGTAGTGGTGATAAAACAATTAAATTGTGGAAACTACCAAATACAGATGCCAAGACAACAACAACATCACAACCACTATTACAAGTTAGTAAAACAGTTGTTGCACACGAAAAGGATATCAACTGTATTGCAATTGCACCAAATGATAAGATTTGTGCATCGGCATCACAAGATGGTTATGTTAAAATATGGAATATATCAGACCTTTCATTGGTACAATCATTCAAGGCTCATAAAAGAGGTATTTGGTATACAGAATTTTCACCAGTCGATCAGTGTCTCTTGACCTGTTCGGCTGATGGTACCATAAAGTTGTGGTCACTTGTTGATTACACTTGTCTCAAGACATTAGAGGGACATCAAACATCGGTTTTGAGAGCATCTTTTGTTACCTATGGTATGCAAGTCATATCTAGTAGTAGCGATGGTCTCTTGAAATTATGGACCATCAAGACGAGCGAATGTGTAGCTACATTTGACGAAGAGAATGCTCACCAAAACAGCAAGGTGTGGTCATTGGCAGTCAACCACAACTCCAAGGACAAGGAACATCCTCAATTTATCACTGGTGGATCCGATTCAAAGATTATTGTTTGGAGCGATCATACTGTTACAGAACAGGAAAAACATCACCGCAAACAAGAAGAACAAATCCTCAACCAACAAATGTTGGATACTTCACTTTTAAAAAAAGATTATTCTCGATCTTTAAAGTTGGCTTTGATTTTGAATCAACCTCATCAATCTTTAAGAATATTTCAAACAATTGTAATGGAACAAGACAAACAAATAGAGGAAAATAACCAAGACAACAATTCTCTAATGAAATCGGTTCTTTCAAAACTTTCAACAAATGATTTGTTAAAGTGTCTCAAATATATTAGAGACTGGAATACAAATTCAAGATTTGTTCATGTCTCTCAAATTGTTTTATATTCAATTTTGACTTTGTAAGTAAAAAAAAAAGAAAAAAGAAAAAAGAAAAGAAATATTTATAAATTATTTTTTATTAATTCTCAATTTCTTTTTTAATAGATTAAAAGCAGAACAATTATTATCTTTTGAAAAAGAATTGGCTACTCTTTTAGAGTCAATGATTCCATATAATGAAAAACATTTCAACAGAGTAGATCGTATCATTCAAAAAACTTATTTATTGGATTACACCATCGCATCAATCAACCCAACACTTACCAGTAATAATATCTTTAACAAAAATTAAATTGGATCTAGATGTACGAAAAAAATAAATATCTCTTAATGATATATATATTTTCAAAAAAAAAATAATTACCAAATTTGGAAAAAAAATTTTTTTTTACTTATCACTAGAGATTTTTCATACTATTCATAGTTCTACTTTTTTTTCTATAGTTTTCAAACCATTCTACATAACCACATTGTTTATTATTATAGATTTCATTATATATATAAAAAAAAAAAAAGATATGACCAAAGATAGTACTAAAGGAGTACTTAGTGTAAGTATTTTTTTAAAAATATTTATGATACTATTTTTTGGTACTCACACTTTTTTATTTTATTTTATTTTTTTTGTTTTAAAGGTATTCGATTTTGTTCAATCAAGAAAGTATTTTGGATTGGATATACCAGTTTCATCGTTAACAACGGCCATTCAATCATGGTGGGCTTATCAAAAATATCAATGTGATAAATACAACCCAAATGGTTTTATTCAAGGTAGAAAATCTGGACTAAGATTAAACTTTCACCAAAAGTATAGAATTCAAATTAAAAAGGATGTCGATGGTGGAACTATTCTCCAAATTGATTATTGGGCAAGAATTAAAAAACTGGGTATTGCTGCTGCTTTTATCACTTATGGAATCACCGCTGCTGTTGGTTGTGGTACTCTTTCCTATTTTCTTATTGAAGCAAGAAAATTCCTTCGTTCTTTTTGGGATTGGTTTGATGGTACCTATCAAGTTGTAAATGTTCAGGTACTTGTAAATGAAGAACATTTATCATCAGCTTTTAAAAAGGAAATGCAACAACAAGAAATGCAACAACAACGTCAACGTCAAGAACCACCACCACCACAACAACAACCACCACAACAAGAAGTTGTTAGAAATCGTCCACCTCCTCCACCACCCAATTCTCAACAACACCAAAACAAATCAACTACTCATACAACTACAACTACAAACAACTATTATTCATACCTACCAGCAGCTTCTGGATCCCACCAATCATTCTACCCAGTTGGTTCTCAACCTCCCAACGCTATCTATCAAAATAACAATCTTCCCCCCCCTCCTCCTCAAGGTGTTGTTCCTCTTAATATGTCAGGATTTCAATACAGTTCATCTGCTCCACCACCTCCTCCAGGTGGTTTGTCAAATTTATTTGGAGTGGGACCAGTACCACCAGGAACAATTATCAACTCTGCCAATGCCTTCCCAGCATCTGCTAGTCAAAACGGAATCCAACCATTTATTTCAACTTCCTATCCACCAAACCCAATGAACTTTGCTGGAGCACCTCCAATGGGACAACCAGGAAATATGGGTATGGGAATGGGTGTAAGACCTCCTACTCCATCATCGGTTCAAGGAGGCATCTCACCACCCAATGGTATTTCTCCACCTCAAAGATTCTCTGGAGTTGGAATAGGAGATCAAATGTACTCCGGAAACCTTCAATCCTCAATGAACCAACCACCACCACAATATGGACAACAAAAATTAGATTCAATGTATGGAGAGTCAAATCACAATATTTTGGATGAATTTGCAAGTCAAATGCCACCAAGCAATATTTCTCCAAACTCATTGTCAACCGTACCTCCTCCCCCTCCACCAAGACCAATCTCTTCTTCTTCTTCTACTTCTTTAAACAATGGTTCAGTTCCTCCATTATCTTCAGGATCATTTATTCCACCTCAATCACAAGCAACATTTGTACCTCCCACTTCTACTGGATCGCAAATGCAAGAATCAAGTGGAACACAACAAGGTCCAATGTTTGGAACGGGTTCATCAAGTGTAGAAGACAATACAGTGAGAAGCCAACAATTACCTAGTAGTTCTGGAGATGCAAATAAACATTCTGGTCTTGGATTTGGATACACCTATCAACATTTGGTAGATTTGGATAAAAAATTCAAACAAAGACAACAAAATTTACAACAACAACCAGAAACTGGTTCACCATCAAATTAACAACAACAAATAAAAAGTTAAATTATATATTGTCATTTATATTTATATTTATTCGGAATAATAATTTTCGATAGTTACTTTACTAAATTCAGCAAAAGTCATTCCTGGTTGATATTGACCAACGGCAACATCCTCTGTCTTTATACCTTGTGGAGCATTCAATACTACATCTACATTTGGTTGCATAAAGACAGCAAAGGTAGATCTTCCAACACCTTTACTCTCTGGATATTTGATTGCTTGAACGGCATGTGGGGTGGCTCTGAGGATACCACCAGTTTGAACTTGAGAACATTCACCGATTTGATAGGCAATGCAATCACGTGGAATGATAACCTTTACCTCCTTACCATCACGTGATTTGGCATAGAGACCGGCAGCAGTATCTGGACATGCAATATCGGAATCTTTGACAACGTCAGACTCGTTGGTTACATTAAAGTACATGGCTGGACACAAACCAGTAAGACTGGAATGGTCATTGTGCCATCCACACCATGAATCACGAGTACGTTCAGTTTCGTCATGATCGATTGGGAAATAATACAAAAGACGAGCCTTGCAAGTCTTTGATTGATTGATAATGTTTTTGAGAGTGTCCTTTTCGTATCCCTGAACCTTGGTGCTTGTAAACATATCGCATTGCTCGGCAACCAACTCTCCAACATTTACCATTAATTGACCCAACTCCATAAATGCTGGACGAAGTTGTGGAAAGTCTTGAACTGGCCAAATGTTTGGATGACAACTCTCTGGGAATTCTTCTACCATCTTATTGTCTTCAAATGGTGTATCATATTGTGGATTATTATAATATGATCCTTTGTATTCATCTAAACAGAGAGATAGAGATAGATAAAAGATAAATAAGATAGAGTTTAAATAGAGAGAAATATATATATAGAGATAGATATAATTTAATTTAATTTACCGAAAACACCGGGTCTTAATATTTCTTTGCCGTGACTCCAACCGAAGGAGTAATTTGATGATTTGTGAACGGTTTTATTTTTAACATCATCGGGTAGAGCAGAGTATTGTGGTGCAAGTTGAAGAAGACTATCACGAAGTTGTTCAACCTTTGGAATTCCTTTTACTACCAACAATCCAATACCATTGAATCCGTATGCCTCTTCAATGCTTTTACCTAGATCCTTTTTATCAACAAGATCTGCATAATTTAATACGACTACTCCGTCTTTGGTCTTTTCTATTTCCATTCTCTCTCTCTTTTTGTGTTTAATATTACTATAGTACTTTAGAGAAAACTATAAAGGTTGAATCATTGATTGCTTTGAAATCATCAAAACGAAGCAACATTTAAAAAAATAAAATTAAAAAAAAAAAAAAAAAAAGATTTTTCGAGCTCTGGCCTTCGAAATTTCCTTCTGCAGATCCATGCTCTCTCTATTCGTTTGCCCTGTAGAAGGAAGATCTCTCTTCCACACAATCTGTCAATCCGCGCTTGGACTTGGAATTCAATTCTTTTTCAATTTAATGGTAATAAAAATATAAAATAAATAAAATGTGATTCAAAGATATTTTAATGTGTGCGCAGCATATAAGTATATATTTTTTGATTGTAAAATTCATACTAATATCAACGAGTAATAAATCCAAAAAAGGAAAGGCATGATCACTTCACAAATTTTTGTTTTTGTTTTTGTTTTTTTTTTTTTTGCACACTCTGTTAACTTTTTGCATTGTAATCATTTTTATATTTATTCATTTTTATTATATATTAGTCATATACACATATATATTTACAATGTCATCAGAATTATTATTTACTGATAGAGTAGTCATTATTACAGGAGCAGGAGGAGGTTTGGGTAGAGTTTATGCATTGGAATTTGCCAAACGTGGAGCAAAGGTTGTCGTAAATGATCTTGGTACTTCATCGTCGGGTGAAGGTAACAATGCAAAGGCTGCAGATAAAGTTGTAAATGAAATCAAGGCTGCTGGTGGTCAAGCAGTTGCCAACTATGACTCTGTAGAGGATGGTGAAAAGATTGCTCAAACTGCACTCAATGCCTTTGGTCGTATCGATATCGTCATCAACAATGCTGGTATCTTGAGAGATGTATCTTTTGGAAAGATGACTGATCAAGATTGGGATCTTGTCTATAGAGTACATGTCAAAGGTGCCTATAAACTTACTCGTGCCTGTTGGAATCATATGCGTGACAACAAGTATGGTCGTATCATTATGACTAGTTCAGCTGCTGGTCTCTATGGTAACTTTGGTCAAGCCAATTACTCTTCAATGAAGTTGGCTCTTGTTGGTCTCTCTAATACTCTCTCTCAAGAAGGAAAGGCTCGTAACATCAACGTTAATGCAATTGCACCAGTTGCTGGTTCACGTATGACTGAATCTGTCATGCCACCAGAAATCCTTCAAATGATGAAACCAGAGTTTGTCGTTCCATTGGTACTTTATCTTTGTCACGAATCTACCACAGAGAGTGGAAGTATCTTTGAAGTTGGTGCTGGTTGGGTTAGCAAGGTTCGTTTCCAAAGAAGTGCTGGTGTTCACAATGGTAACATCACTCCAGAATCAATCAGAGACAGTTGGTCACAAATTGAAAGTTTTGACAATCCACAATACCCAACCAATGCTACTGAATCTGTCAGTGGTATTTTAAGTGCTGTCAACAACAAACCAACCACTGGTCCAGTTCTTGTAAAGCCAACTAAACCAGCTGCCTCTGCTGCTGCTGCTGCCGCTCCTGCCTCTGTCAAGGTTGATGGTTTCAAGGCATCTGAAATCTTTGAACAAATTCAAAGAACCATTGCCACTGATGGTGCTGCTCTCGTCAAAAAGATCAATGGTGCCTACCAAATTGACATCAAGAATGATGCAGGTAAATCTCAATCTTGGAGTATCGATCTCAAGAATGGCAATGGAAGTATCACTGTAGGTCCAGCCACTGCCAAACAAGTTACCATTACCGTTGGTGATGAAGATTTTGTACAAATTATGACCGGTAAATTGAATGCCCAAACTGCTTTTATGAAATCAAAGTTAAAGATCTCTGGTAACATGAACTTGGCCACTAAACTTGGTGCAATCATGCAAAAATCAAAACTCTAAAAATATATATATATATATATATATATTACAAACAATTTAAAAAAAAAAAACAAAACATACATATATTAAAAATAAGATCTTATAATACATAAATAAATAAAAATCATTATAAAATTGTAATTATATTAGGGTGACTCATCAAAAAATAAAAAAACAATGGTATCGTAGAGTCTTCTTTTATTTATTTAAATACAGATGTAGAACAACAATGATAGATATTAGTAATCAATTTAAAGAGATTGTTAGAACAAATAGCAAATCAAATGCAAGGTCATCTTCCACCATCAAACAACAACAATCAACAACCAACATATTGAAATTTAGTAAACCATTACAAGAAAGAGATGTATTATTTAAAGCTTCCATTTCAATTGTATGTTATTATATTGAAACAATATTCACAAAGACCTCTTAGTTATCAACCATCAACTCTTTCTCTCTCTCTCTTCTCTCTTTCTCTCTCTTACTTTATTTCATTCTTTATTTCTCTTTGTAGCTTCATAATATAGATACACTTCGAGATATGTTGGTAGAGAATAGAGATTCTTATATTGATGCTGCCAAACATACCACTCAAAGGGGTACAAGTGGATTGGCAATGACTGATAGTGAAAGAGATGAGATTGATCGTATTTCAATCAAACAAATTGAAGTTTGTAATAATAGTATCAACAAGATGGAATCATTGGTGGCTGATACTTTTAAATTTCAACAAAGACAACAACAACAACAACAACAACAACAAACAACATCAACAATAACAAACATGGTAGATATGATTAGAGATGATCCAAATGATCTATTCTCTCGGGATCTTGGTCAATTTGATTGCAAGACAAGATTTTACTTTGCAGTCACTGATCAATTACATTGCTATCTCTCTCAAGTGACTAATCAATTTAAGAAACAAAGAGAATTTAGAGTAAATATAAAATTAAAAGAAAATGAAAGGTATGTTTATATTGTGATCATCATCATCATCATCGCCATTATTATCATGACAACAGGTTAGGCTAATCCAATCAATACATTTTCAAAAAAGATTTCAAAATAGTTTGAGTTCTCCTAGTATGTTTCCATCACTGGTAGAAAATGAAAATTTATATATAGAGGCTGACAACGAGCAACAAGAAACTATGGAAAATGAAACAAATGAAAATGCCAGCAGCAGTACCATTGAAAATGTAGAAATTAGAAATCGATCATTAAAGTCATCAAAAAATCAAACTTTATCTTCCTTGTCATCATTTGATAATACATTTGATGGTGATACACAAGACAATAGTTTTGATTTTGACGATGATGAAAAATTAATATATGAACAACAAAATCATCTTCTTCTTGGTGAATTGGAAACACTTCCCGATCAAATATTGTAGGTATAAGACGAAAACAACTGCAAAACAAAATTTGGGTCCTTAATTAATTTGTAACTTTTATTATTATTATTGTAGAACCATTAATCAAAGAATTGAAGAACTCTCTCAACTATTTGATCAGATTACACCCCACATATTGGCACAGAGAGAACAAATCGATTCAATCTATGACACTGGAGTTCATTCCACCAATTATATAGGAAGAGGAAATGAACAAATCTATCAAGCAACAAAAAAGACATTTGATTTTAGAGTGATGCTCCTCTTTTTTTTAATCATATCTTCACTTTCACTGCTATTCTTAAATTGGTATCAGGATTAGCATCAAAAACACTCACCCTTATTTAATACAAATTTCAATCAATTAGCTGGCTGGTGTGTCATCATTGGGGGTTGGTTCAATCAAAAAAAAAAAAAAGCAACAAAAAAAAAAAAAAAAAAAAAAAAGGTAGATTTTTATGTGTGTTAGTCAGTAAACAGAGAATGATCAACATAATAGGACACGCAATGAAGGTGGGGTTGGGGGGTTTGGTTGCAATCCCTTTGCCATCACACAATATTACAATTTTTATTTTTTTGGTAGTGGTTATTAAATAAATTGCAAGTACCAACAAGAACTCCCACCTCTGTACTGTATTTATTAAAATAATCATTCTTTCTACTCTTTCTACATTTCTAAAAAGTAAAGAGAGAGAGAGAAAAAATGGCTTTCTCAACCAATTTTATTTTCTCTTTGTTTTTGCTGATGTTAATTGCAAACACGATTGAAAAGGGTTCAGTTTTTGGATGGAATGAAGGTGGTGGACATCCCTTACAGATCCATATTGTTCCATTTACAAACATTGAAAAGGTAAGTAATAAAAAGATAAATATAGTTAAAAATGGTTTTTTAACTTTTTTTTTTTTTTTTTTTTTTTTTTTTAAAGATTAATAATGAATCAAAGGGTAAAAGTACATTTTTATCTGATCTAATAGCTAGTAAAATACATAGTATAAAATATCAAGATGAAAGTAATGATGATCCAGATGATGACCCAATGATGTCATTATCATTGATGGCATTGGATCATATCTTTATGTTGCTTTTAGAAAATGATCAAAGATCATTTATTTGGAATGAAGTTTATTATTTTGAAAAATGGTGGGAGTCTTTATCAGACCAAAAAAAACATTCATTTGATCTGTAATTATCAAACATTTTTTTTGCAACATTTTTATTTATTTATTAATTTTTTTTTTTTTTTTAGATTAATATCAAATGGAAGATTTGAATTTGTATCGGGAATGATGACAGTAATGGATGAAGGTATAACTCATTATCAAGACTTTATGGACCAAATGACTCAAGGACATCAGTGGTTGCAGAGTACATTTGGAGTTTTGCCCAAAGTTTATTGGAATACACAATCCCATGGCCATTCAGAGGCGATTGCTCATTTATTGTATAGCCAAACTCAAATTCGAGATTTGGTTATCAACAAGATCAATTCAGATCTTAAAAGCCAATTATTCTCGGACAAACATCTAGAGTTTTGGTGGAAACCAACCAAACAAGCATCAACATCTCTAAACTCTACCTTTTCTCTCTTTACTCATGTCATATCACATGACAATGTTTCCCTTTCATGCGGACCAAATCGGAGGATTTGTGAGCAATCCATGTCATTTCAGTCAATGATTTCGGATCTACTTGGAAAAAAGGAAAAGCAAGAGTCAACTGTTCATTTAAAAAACAACAGTGATAGTTTTCAAAACTACAATGTCACTCCACAAGACATTAAGTTTATTTCAACCAAACTATTGGAGCAATACAGAGCTCATGCATTATCCTATAGGACCAATCAATTACTAGTCCCATTTGGAGGAGATATCACAATGTTTGCCGTCCAGCCCTCCAGTACCCAATCGGCTCAACTCCACAAGTTAATGTCGCTATACGAGTCAGTTTTTGCCTATATAAATTCTGACAAGTCGCTTCACTGTCACATTGGATGGAGCACAGCTTCAGGTTATTTCGAAGCCTTGCGTTCCTCACCTTATCCCGTCGAATTGGCACCAGCCAAAACATTTGGTGAGGTTGATAAATCAAATGGCCAATTTGATGAACAGAACCAACTCGATCCCGACCAACTTTTGTTTGTTCCTGGAACACCTGTTATCCCAGATTCAAGAGAGTTTGGTACCTATCGTGGTGATTTGTTTTCACATTGCAACGATCAAGATCAATATTATATCTCTCAATACTCTTCAAATAGATATGTATGCAAGCAAAATAATTAATCTAAAAAAACAAAAGTCCATTCCTAACCTTTTTGAACTTTTTTTTAGTTAAAGATAAAACAAATGAACAACTTACTGAAAAAAGTCAAACAATCATGTTCTCTTTCTTCAAACGATTTATTTAATAATATCATGGTAAATATATATTTTTTAAAGTTTTTTTTATTTTTTTATTATATTATATTAACATTATTTCAACCTATTCTAGAACCTAGAAATCCAAGAGACAATATTTAATAGTTCAACAATTAAATATTTTGGTCAAGTTGTACCTTGGTGTCAATCTTTGTCGACTAGGTATCATCATGTCCTTTCCTCTAATGGTTTTATGTCACAATCTTTTTATGATAAATTAAATCAAAAAATTGATCATTGTAATATTGTATTAAATTTGATACTAGAGGTAAACATATATTCAAAAAGACAATATAAAAATATTTTTTCAATTTACTTATTCTTTCTAATTTATTTTTAAAAGAAATTTAATAGTGTTTTAATGGATTGCCAAGATCTTCAAGTTGATTCTTTTGATTCAAAATCAATGATTCCAATTTTAAAGACAAAACAACAGATTATTATCATTCAAAACTTGTTTGATCAAACAAAAGAAGAATTAATTTCTCTGTTTGTTGATACACCCAAGGTATCTGTAGTAAATTTAGACACTAGATCTCCAGTCATCGCCCAAATTAATCCAGTTTGGCTAGATGAAGAGTGGGATTCTGCACCCCATCAATTCCAACTCTTGTTTATTGCTAAAATCGAACCTCATTCGATAGCTAGTTTTGAAATCAAATATCATCCCAAAGGGTTGGTGACCGAGACTACAACACCCTCGGTAACTACCATTCTATCGTATCTACCAACCAGATCCAGTCAAAATAGCGATGGTTCTAGTCCATTCGTCATCCATTATGCAAGATTGGGAACGCAACAACCAGTGATAGAAAATCAAAATTATCGCCTAAAGATCAACCACTTGTCAGGTTCTCTAGAGTCTGTCTTGTTAAAGTCAACAAAAGATTCACAAGAAATTGCCCTTGAACAACAAAACCTACAATTTGTTCAGACCAACAACAATCAATCTCATAATTTTGTTGGTAGTGGTGATATTGGACAATCAAAATCACGGGATCCCTTTATGATAAGAATGATTAAAGGCAATTTGGTAGAGTCCATTTCTATATTTAGAAATAATACTCCATTTAAAAAGCAATTTATTCAATTGATCAGTGGCCAAGGTGATATTTCAAAATCAGTTTACCATGAAACTTCAATCATCACTGAAAATACAACTTTATCAACTCCAGTACTCAGATTTGCCACCCTTAAACAGACATCATCAAAATCATCAAACAACTTGATGATGACAATGGTAGCAAATAATAATATGAATAGTGGTGGAAATGTTATTGGAACAAATGGCCAAATAGCTACACCACCATTCCTTTATACAGATTCAAATGGATTGATTCTCTCTCGTAGAACACCACCTCAGCACAATAACCATCAAAACTCTTACCATTCGTCGTTTTACCCAATGACAAGTGTCGCTAGTCTTGGTGACTCGGCTTCAGTACAAGGTGTCAAACTACAAATCCTAACAAGAGTACCATTGGCTGTATCTTCTATTACCGAGGGGTCAATAGATATAATGTTGAGATCAAATCAAGCCAGAGATGCCAATAATAATCATGTTGTTGTGCCTCTTTGGCTAAACTTTGATGATCAAGTATCAATGTCACCTTCTTTTCCACATCATCTCTCTAGTTCCATCAACCAACCATTTATCGTTCAACTTGGAAGTGATAATGTAGTTGTTTCATGCAGCAGAAAATCCTATATTTCTGACATGAATAATATTCCACCATCTGTATCGGTTTTGGCAATGTCACCAATATTTAGACAAGACAGCATCGATGAACCAAAGGAAAAAGAAATCTACATTACCATTATGAACATTGATCGATCAATTAAAGGTACTCCAGTTACCAAAATAGATTTTGATCAAATATTTGCTTCTACTATGATGGCAACTGGTGGTGACATTCATCACAAAAGCACAGTTGATCCAATATCCATTTTAAAAGCAAATATCTCCCTTGATCATATTGTACCTCCTCAATATGAAAAGCAAGTCTCTCTACTACCAGGTCAAATATCAACTTTTATCTTATCGTTGCCAAAAGATAAATTATTTGGCCAACAACAACATTATTTTTGGAGAGAAAAAAAGCAATCTGATTCTCTTTTAAACAAATTAGAGGACTCTACAATTAATAAGGAAGATCAACCCAAACCTTTCAACTCACAACTGTTATACAAGGAAAGTAACAAGCAAGATCATGTTAAAAAAGATAACAAATTGGATGAGGAAAAATTAAATAATCTTTTAAAGTTGTTCAAATCTTCAAAAAATATTAAAACTAAAGATGAAATAGAAATAGAAATAGTTCCTAAACAACAACAACAACAACAACCACAACACCCACAACCACAACAACAACAACAACAACAACAGAAAAATGAATCTTTGGATAATAATAGTAATAATAATCAAAATAATTTATTTAAAGAATTGGAACAACAAAGAAAGATTAATAATCAATTACTAGAACAAATGAAGCAAATGACACAATTTACCAATGAAATCAAGAGTCAATTTGAAAACAATCAAATTCGAAATGAAGCACAACAAAAAGAATTGATTGAATCAATGCTAAGAGAAAAAGCTCAAGAGTTGGAATTATCCTACTCTAAGAAATTAAAAGAAAACTCTGAAAAGATTGAAGAATTATCAAACATTAACAATCAACTGTTGGAACAAAACAAAGATATGATTAACCAAATCAATCAATTAGAATCCTCTAAAGCAGCTCACTTTCCCCAACATCAACAACAACAACAACAACAACAAAGCCAACAGAAACAACAACAACAACAACAACAACAACAACAACAACAAAACCAAAAACCTTCAAATGGATTATTGGCAACTCTTATTAAAAAGTTAACTTTAAAAAGAATGGAGAACCAAAATGGAGTGACATCTGATATTCCCCAAAGTCCATTGGAAAAACATTTAAAAATGTTGGAGAGAGAATTAAACACACAGGCTCTACTTGTGAAACAACAACTTGTTGAAATCAAAAAGACTCCACCAAATCCATCAAAAGTACATGTCAAAGAAACAGTTTTGGGTATCATCAAGGACCAATTAAAATTAATAGACGATATCAAACAACAACTAGTCGAGAATCCTGATCTAAAGGAAAAGGAATTACAAGATTTTTATGACGGTACCATGTTGTTGGGAAAAAAGGAATTGTTTCCACAAAGAAGAGAAAAGATAAAGGATCATAGTGGAACCGACAACTTTTATATTGTTCTTTGTTGTGCTTTGTTTATAATGATTACATACGTACTTTGGATCTTTTCAAGAAATAGATTCCTACTCTATCAATACAAAGCTTTGAAAATGCAACACAAGGCAAATAATAATCAAGGGTCCTCTTCAAAGAAGAGTAAAGATATCTCCCCATCTCCTCCTCCTCTCCTATCATTATCCTCTTCCAAATCACCGTCTTCAAGTTTTGGTTTATTTAATTTTGTTTCTTCTTCTGGAAATCAAGAAAATAAAATTGAATAAATAATTTAAATAAATAAATTAAATAATAATTAAGTTTGATCAATTATCATCATCATCATAAATACTATTTTTATTATTGGTTGTTGTTGTTGTTGTTGTCGCCGTTGGTTGAATTTGATTATTATTATTGATTAAATTGTCTTGATCAAGAAAATTGAGAGCAACAAAAAATATTTCAGTAGATTCTTGTCTTGAAGCCTTTGGTTTGAAAGATTTTACGGTTTGAAAATGAGATTTGATTCTTTGGAATAACAGATTTTCTTGTCCTCCACGACTGACCTTGCAAACAAAACTACCACCTTTTTTTAGAATGTTGCCAGAGATGGCAAATTCAAATGCATCGGAAGCAAGTGATATCAATCTATCATGATCAAGTGATTGTACACCACAATATGATGGTGCCATATCACTAATTACAGCATCTACAGACGCAATAGTCTTTTTGTTGTTTAATGCCAATAGTTGTCTAATCTGTTGTTTGGTGCTTGCTAATTTAAAATCACCACATATAAAGTTGGTATATCTGTCCTCTATTGCAATTCCTTCCTCTTCTGATTGATAGAGTTCAAATTTTTCTCCATTTATATCAACTGATATTACCAATCCTTTTCTTTTTTTTAACTGATTCTGATTATTCTGCTGATTATTTTTGTTTGTTGTTGATGATTTTAATGTTGTATTGATTGTTTGGAAATAGCAACGTTTTTGAGCGACTTGACTGAATCCTCCAGGAGAGGCACCCAAATCAATAATGGTAGATCCATATTTTAATATTTTAAACTTGTCGTCAATCTCTTCCAATTTGAATGCTGCTCTTGATACATAATTCTCTTCTCTAGCCATCGAAACGAATCTATCACACATTTGTCTCTTTACCCATTTATCTGATGTTCTCAGGTTTTTTGCTATAGATCTTGGTAATATTCCTCTTGTTGCTGCTGCTGATCTATCATTACTATTATTATTGTGGTGGTTGTTGTTTGTAGAATACAATCTACTACTACTACTACTACTACTATTCAAATGTTGAAAAGTATTTACATGGTATTGCTGTTGTTGTAGTCGTAGTAGAGGTGATATGAACAACTTTTGTTTAACAATAATCGTCTGAATAATTGAGCTCGTTTGTAGTTGAAGCATTTGATCGAGAACTATGAGAAGAATCTCTTTTTGCCACAACAAAGATTTTTATTTTTATTTTTTTTTCTTTTTTTGCCTCCTCAAGATTTTTAACAAAACAATAATAATAATAGTAATAGGCATTATAAACACAAAGAAAAGAAGAAATAGTTAAAACTTTAGAGAATCTAACTTGTATCACTTGTTCAACTGCAATGTATTCTACCTATTTATTTAGACAACAGCAGCAACAACAACAACAAACAACTAGATCGATTTAATACTTTAGCTTTTGTTTTTACACAGTCAACTATATCATACAACAACAACAACAACAACAATAACAACGAAATAGTGTAACAAACCGATTTGGCAAGATGATGATGATGGCCCACTCATCCTCATTTTCAATACAAAAGATATTTATTACTCTCTTTATTTCACACATTGCCATCATTTTATTATCTCTATCTTCTTCTTCTTCTTCATCAACATCATATCTCATAACGACGGCTGCTGCCATCGAGAACAACAATAATGAACCAACATTTAAAAACAATCAATACAATCTCTTATTTGATTTTGGTAGCAATGAGGCGGAGGAGCAGGAGGAGGAATCATCTACAGGTGATTCAACAAGTGGTGGATCTACAACAATATCTACTGGCTCCTCATCACCATCATCAACTACAACAGGAGGTTTAACTACTTCACCTGCACCAACTCCTTCTCCTACACCATCCAGTTTATATCCATTTTCAAACCCAAATAATTACTCGCTTGTAACATCAACTATGCTTTGGGTAAATATTAAATATTCAAAAAAAACATATATAGATAAATATATTTTGTTTATTAATAATATCTTTTTTTTTTCTTTCAATCTTTCTATAGGAAGGGGCTACTGTAATACCATCTTGTGTCATATGTAATGTTACTGGAGGAACCTATACAGCAAACTATGCATGTCAATCATCACTTCCATCACCACCTCGAGGCAATTGGAATGACGGCGTTAATTATTTCGATTTTCCATTCCCATCGGACGATGTTATAGTACAGGAAATAGCATTTGTATTGCATGGGGTATTTAATTGTGATGCATTTTCGCCAAATTTAGGCATGGTTTTCTTGATAGAAGAGGTAGAAATTAATACTCAATCAATTTCTGTACCACAAATCAACGATTGTACCTGTCCAAATTGCGTACACGATGTAGTAGTTGCACCATTTGTCAGTGATGCCAATGTCACTCTCAATATAACAGGACCAAACAAATTCAGACTTTATGTAGTCCAAAATACTATGTGTCTCTCATCAATAGATGCCTATTTCTATTATTCTCTCCCTGCACCACCTCCACAAAACAATCCCAAAAAGCCCTTAACACCCGTTCAATGGATTATCATTGCGTCATCTGTTACCGGTGGTCTACTTATCTTTATTCTTTTATTCGTATTTATCAAGAAAAGAATGAGAAGAGTTGGATACATGCAATTAAAAGGTATGAAACAAAAAAGAAAGCGAAAAAAAAATAATGTACTAACTAGAATGATTTTTTATTTATTTATATCTAAAGAGGGAAAGAATATTGATATTTCAGAAATTAAATTGGGTGAAAGAATTGGAAAAGGTAACTTTGGTGAAGTTTATAAAGGATTCTGGAGAGGTGTAGTTGTAGCAATTAAAAAATTACCAATACATAGTATCAACGAGAATGTTTTAAAGGAATTTCACCGAGAAATTGAACTAATGAAGTGAGTATTATAACCGTCACAAGTATTCTTTCAATTATTTAATTTACTTTACATTACTAACAATATAATATAATGATTTTCTTTTTATGATTATGTAGAAATCTTAGACATCCAAACGTTATTCAATATTTAGGATCTTGTACCATCCCACCCAATATTTGTATTTGTACAGAGTATATGACAAGAGGATCACTTTATAATATTTTACACGATGCATCAATTCCCTTGCCTTGGTCACTGATTAAAAACATGTGTATCGATGCTGCCAAGGGTATCATTTATCTTCACAACTCCAACCCTGTTATTTTCCATCGTGATCTAAAATCTCATAATCTCCTAGTTGACGATAGTTGGAAAGTTAAAGTAGCTGATTTTGGTCTAAGCACAATCGAACAAGCCAATACAATGACTGCATGTGGTACTCCTAGTTGGAGCTCTCCCGAGGTTATAAGTAAGTAGATTTGTTTTTTTTTAAATCTGTGTAATTCTATTTGCTGACCATTTTCTTTCAAAAAGGAAACCAACGATATACTAGCAAAGCAGATGTTTATAGTTTTGGAATTGTTTTGTGGGAATGTGCAACACGTCAAGATCCATACAGTGGAATGCCGCCATTCCAAGTTATTTTTGCCGTTGGAAGAGAGGGTCTTCGTCCTCCCATTCCAAGGTCATGTCCTCCCGATTTTGTACAATTAATGATTGATTGTTGGAACGAAAACCCTGATGCCAGACCTTCTATGGAAACTGTTTTAATTCGTCTTGAATCTATAGATATTAATGGATGGCCCGATATTTTATTTAAACATATTAATAATAATCAAAATAATAATAATAATAATAATAATAATAATAATAATAATAATAATAATAATAATAATAATAATAATAATAATAATAATAACAATGTTAATATTAATAAATAATAATATTTAATTTTCCAAAAAGTCTCCTTTTTTTTTGATTTTTTTCGAGCGCCAACATGATCTTTATTTATCTGACCTATTCATATTTACTTTTTCAAAGAGAGAAGAAAAGAAGGAAAAGAATGACAAATGTTAATGATGAACCAGAAATACCGTCATCATCATCATCATCACCATCACCATTAGGTTTGAGTTCAATACATCAAGAGACTGATGATACTGAACAAGACGATTCGAAATGTAGTGATATCAACCTAATTAGACATTACTTTGATAATCAAATAGTATCAGCATCATTAATGGTAAGTTGAAATGTTTTATATTAAATCATATAAACTCAAACTCTTTCTTTCGTTCTCTCTTTCTATAAATCTATAGGAAAATATGATTGAAAACATTAGTGGTAAATTGAATAACCTATTAGATAATTATATCAAACCTTCAAAAGCATCAGATGATAAAGTACAAACATCAACCAAGATAACTATAAAGTCTAAAGATATCAATCTATCTGACATTCAGAAATCATTTATTTCAAACCTTTCAAAACTATTGGTATGCTATGTAGACAACACTCTGTTTCTCTTCTCTCTCCTCTAATCATTTTTTTTTTTCAAATACAAGAATCTTGATCAATTAGAAACAATAGTATTTGTTCAACAATCAAAATATTATAAAGATTGGTCTAAAATGTCAAACAAACAACTTCAACAAACTCTTCAACCACTATTTATAGAATACTATCAAGAAAGGAAATCACTTTTATTGTTGGTTTCATCGATTCTTAGAATGGCACCTACCAAACAAGACCAAGACACCACCACCACCAACACGTCGGCTAGCACAACAAATGATAGTACTACGATTTATGATTATGGACCACTGTCTGAAAAGTTGGTTAAAAAGAATAGTCTCGAATGGTTATCTAAATTGATTTCCAGTTTAATAGATTTATCCACCTTTTCAATCCCTTCTACAATCGATGATATCTTGTGTTCGGCAGTTATTGCACCAGGAGGTTCATTTCAAAAACTATACACCATATCTATCGTGCAAGAGCAAGCTTTCATTGCAGAGTGTATTTTCCTCATCTATTACTACAAGTCAAATTCTATCTTTCCAAAGGATTTCGAACAACTATATGAGAAAATTAAAAACATTAATGTTGGAAGCTATTCAAATTATCTCTTGTCATTCAACACTGCTGCTGTTGGAGGTGCAGATGAACTTGGATCTCTCCTTTTACAATTAGAATACATTATTGTTTTGTCATCGATTCAATCTTTGGGTGATGTCCCACTTGAAAGGTATGTTTTAGATTTATATAAATCTTTTTTTAGATTTTTAATATTAATACCCCTTTTTCTAATAGAAATAATATTAAAGATAATGAAGCATTTAATTTAATTCAAATATTTGAAAATTCATCATCACCATCAATGGCAACATTATTTACACCTGCAACCTCTGCAATCGTTTTTACTGCTCTGTTGAATTCTATCATTAGAAATCCAACACACAGTACAGAACCTTCATCAATGTCACTAATCAGTAAATGCTTAGAGTTTAATCCTTTTTATTACATTCAATCCATTTTAAATCATCCCTACATTATTAATGATGTAAGTTAGCAAAAAAAAAAAAAAAAAAAAAAAAAAAAAACTCTAAACTAAAGTTTTTAACCATTTTATTTTTAAAGAGTTTAATATCATCGGCATATATTGAATCTATTCAATCATTTATTGAAAGATTTACAAAGGTTTATGACTTGGAAGACACAAATCAACAAGCAGTTGTAACTATGTTTGAATGTTTGAATCAAACAATCTCAATCAATGGATTAACGTTTGACTTGGTACAACATGATATCTTTAAATATTGTGTATCTCAACCAGTACTTTTAACTAGTCCCAGTAAAATATTTAAATTATTGCATAGTTGTATGAATGATTTAAATGATAAAGTTAAATCCTCTCTTTATGTGTATGTTGATAATAATAGGTTAGGTTGGACTTTTATTAATATTTTCATTTTTTTTTTTTTCTTCTTTAGATTTCAAATATTATTTAAATATTATATTGATCATAAAAGTCAACCAATCAATGGAAATGATTTTAATATTATTTCCTCAACATTGGATGATTCAGAGAAAACACAATCGACTCTTTCAGGAATTTCAACGCACTATTATCAAATGGAGCAACAATCAATCTTTAAGGGGTCATATAAAACCCTTCAACTCTACAAAGATCGGTATATGGTTTTATACTCGCTTGGAGATTTAATAGTAGATAGATTATTAAACTTTAATCATCACAATTTATTGTTCCTCAAAGAGAATCATCACAACGTTGAAGAAGAGGAATATTTGACATTTAAATATATCTTGCAAATGTTGTGCAGAATGATCTCAAATAACATGTCGACGAGAATCTATTATTGGAATCTTTTTCAACAAAATAATATTCACAGTCGATTAGCACAAATCCTTCAACAAATGTGTTGTGAACCATACAATCGAGAGGATAAAAGACTTTCATTGATTGCACACATCATCAAGTTATTTGCATGCTTTTCCATCACCTTTTCGCAACAGGTCTTCCTTGTTTTACATCAAAATGCAGTATGGTCACCATCAATTCAAAGTGGTTTCACCATTGACGGTGGTGCAGCCTCTTTAATCCAACACCACTCTCGATCATTGTTTCACCAAATCTACGACATTGAAAAGACCAACAAAAAATCATTTAGCATCATATCCTCGATCGTTCTCTTGCTCTGTAATCAAATGCGTTACTATCCCCACGATAGTGTCATACCACACTCTGAAACAACCATCACTTTTTTAATTCAACTCTTATCCGATTACACCATCATTAAACAACAAAGACAACAACAACAACTCTTATTCCAAATGCCACAACACATTGAACAACAACTAAACGAAGAGAAAAAGGAATATGAAATGCTCGATCAAGTCTATAGTATCTTTATCTATTTACTTAGTAGGTTGGGAAATCAAAAGGTTGAAAAAAGATTATTCAATCAAATGATTCAATGGTTCTGTCAAGGTGGTGCACCTCAAAATACTCTATTCCAATCGATCAAACATAGTATAATGTCGTTAGAGTTTATCCTATTTTTAATTAAATATTTGGAAAAACAACATCAACAACAACAAAATGATCAACAACAACAAGAACAACCACTTCCAATAGAATCATTTATTCAAAGTTTCTTTTCCAACAACTTGGTATCTCTATTACTTTCTGTAATAGTGACGGGAGATGATATTGAAGCGGCAGAACTTTCATTGGATATTCTATGTCGTATCTCGTCAATCCTTGTAAGCTATGATAGCTACCAGATACATTTTTCCTCATTTGTATCTGACGAGTCAATCAATGGTTTAATTGCAATCTTGGTCGATAAATATCAACGAACTTCGATTAAAACATCGATTATCAAATTTATCAAATATCTTGCCATCTCTCAGCCACTACTTTGCAACAGAATCTTACAATCTATTGACAATAGAAAAGATACAACTCTCCAATCACTATTTTGTAAATTGTTGACCCAACAAGAAAATTCCCACCTTCAACTCTGTGTCGAATTATTCTCATTGGTTGATTTATTATATCACAACTCTATCTACTATTCAAGCACCCTTCAACTATTGGATACTTTATTGTTATTTGAACAAGTAGATTCTGACATTACTCCAACAACCACAAAACCAGAATTGGAACTTCTCTACAATAATGTTATAAAATATCATTACATTAACATTTTATCAACCATACTATTACAACAAAAATCAAACAACAACAATAATAATAATAATAATAATAATAATGATTCAACAACAACTAAAATCATCAAATCTATACAATCAATAGTTGATCAAGATTATTATGATTGTTTGGAATCGTATGATTTCAAGCAAAATGAATTGAACAAACTAGAATCAAAAGTTAACAATCCACAAAATTTGCCAACCATCAACTCTTCGCTTTGTAAAATGGTCATTTACGATGTAGACGAATTTAAACTCATTAGCAATGACCAACATCTGGTAGAATTGGTGAACCAAATCAATACAAAGAAACAATTATTCAATTCAAAGATCCTTTTGTTTAATACCCTCTCGAAATTTATATCGATTTCAATTGCCAAACATCCACAAACATTACAACTCCATTCAAAGAGAAATATGAAAACAACGCTCAACCTATTAGTCAATTCTCTGGTCACTCTTACGAGTTCATTGGGGTCTCAAACTATCGCCTCTATCTCTTCACCACACTATTTTGATTGGATATCGTCACTTTTGGAGCCTTTGGTCTTGGTAATCAATAATTCAACGAAAAATAATTCAAATGATCAAAAACTCGGTGGCAAAGATCTCCAACAAAACATCATCAAACTGATCACCATATTGAATAATCTTATCCAATATCATCATTGCATTTCCAGTACATCCTTTTTACCAATATTATCCTCACTTTTACTTTTAATCAAACACTCAAACAAACAATCCTTTACAACTGAAGAATACAACAAACTTTTAAATCCAATCTCATATATCATTTCATTTACAACAACAACAAAAGAAGATACTTTGTCCTCCCCTTCTACTTCTTCTTCTTCTTCTTCTTCTACTTCTACTTCATCTTTATCTTCTTTGTCAATTTGTTTTAGCATAATCAATATGTCTATTAATTTATTAAAAGTAGCCTTGACAACTTTATCACAAGATATCAATACTACGATTGGATCAAATTTACCACGCGGATTCATTGAAAAGATTTTGTCGATACTCGAGCAATCTCTTCAACCAACATCTTGGCCATTTAATCAAAACGAAAATGGAGATAAAGTTAAAACAACAAAAACAATATTAGAGTTCTTTGTTGCATGCAGTCGTCATCCGCTCTTGTGTGAATCTTTACTCATCAACCATGGTGTGATAGAATTCCTTTCAAGAGATCATATGTTTATGGAGTATTCACAAGAACCTTATATTGATTCAAGATTACTTTTGGCCACAAATCCAATATCCTATGATCAACAGCAACAATTCAATATTAGCTATGTCAAGAATCCTTGGAACATTATTTGGGGCAAAATGCTTATAGTGGTAACAGGATTTGCTATAACACTAGAGAATAGCGATCGTATGGCAGATAGTATCCTATCGTTTGCTGTCTCTCACAAGGATAGAATCTTTAAATATATTGACCCCTACTTTAATGTCAATTGTACGCAACACTTGACAAAACGTTGGTATGCCCTCATTGAAAAGATTATGTTTTTGTTTTCTCTTTTGACAAAACATACGAAACGTTTCTATCTTCACTATCGAGTATTCCAAGAGATTCAGACAATATCACACCTTTTATTGTTGAACCTAACCATACAAATTGATGAATTTCAATTTATTGAAAAGAAGTTTCAACCAATCACCTCAAAGGAAAAGGAACCAGAAAAAGATCAAGAATCATCATCGTCACGATCTTTTAGTGCCATTATTCAACATAAATACTTTACAACAATCAGGAATTGTTTATGTTGTCTAATCAATACGCATTACTATCTAAGACAATCCAATATATTTCTTCCGGTAGTACCTCATTACTTTGAAAGACCAACTTTTTGGAACATTATTATTTATCAACCAATTAATTAACAACAAATTACAACAATCCAACTCTGACATTGATAACAACAACTCTCAACTCGATCCATTTAAACAATTGCTCCAAGAGATTAGAGAAAGAAATTGTCTTTTATTGGCAATTCTCAGTTGTATCTATAACCTCCAACAAGAAACTACAATCACCCAAAGTATAAAAGCAAATTCACCAAAGAAACAACAAGAATTCTTTTGTAATTTATTGGGAATCATTTAAGCAACGACAAAAAAAAAAAAGAGAGAGAAAAGAGAGAGAGAGAGATCATTCAGTAGTGGACTTTATATCACTCAATAAAAAATAATAATAAAAATAAAAACCCTAACCGACAAAACTTTAAAAAATTAATTTTTTAAAAAGTTTTGAAGTTGACGTCAAACCTAAAAAATCTTTTTCTTTGTTAACAAACCTTTTAAATTCTAAATTTATTATTAGCAGCAGAGATAAACAACCTCTAGGATATGGTATTAAATAAAAGATCTGTTGAAGAATCCCTAAGGAAGGATCTCAAACATCACCAACAATCTGCGTCAATAGGGTCAGTAGCAGCAGTCGCCAACAAAACAACTAGTTCCCCTGTAAATGCTGCAAAAAAGAAATCAAACGTGAACAACAACAATAATAATAATAATAATAATAATAATACTGCAACTAACAATAATGTAACAACAAAACAACAAAGAAAGCAACAACTTTTAAAAACAACAAAGAAGAATTTTCATCATAATAGAACAGTTGTAGTTGCAATAGGTGTATTCATGTTCTTTTACTACCTATCAATGATGTATGTCAGATATCAACACAGAGGTGTCATTGGATTTGCAGATTCACTTTGGCTATGCAATTTAGCTGTCATTTTTGGTTTTGTCTCAATCTGGTTGGACAGACCATTCCTTCTTGGTGTTGCCCTCAATGCAACTCTTATTGTGCATGCACTCTGGGTGATTGATGTCATTTCATACTTTACCGTGGGTGTATTCCCAATTGGCAATGCAGAATACATCTCGTGGCCAAATATCACCTGGGGTGAAATCATCACATCGACCCATCACGCTTGGTTTGTACCACTGTCAATCTTTTGTTTGCATAGAAATGGTGGATATCCTCGAAAGGGTTGGGTAGGAAGTATGGCAATGACTATTCCAGTCGTTTCAATCTCTAAATTATTCCCAAGAGTAATATTATTGGCCAGCGGTGAACAATTTTATTTAAATATCAGTATGTACCAAAACCTATAATTATTGGTTCATTTTACACATTTCTTACTAACCATTCTTTTTAGATCAAGCACATGAATGGTGGGAAGATATGGAAGGTTGGCCATGGGATCTCATTCCAAAGGAAAAGAATGAATACTTTTTGTTTTTAATCTGCTTTAGTGGAGTACTGTTTACAGTGACCCATGCTTTTATGAAGTTACTTTGCTATCTTGTTATTAAAAAAAATTAAAAAGAATGTAAAATAAAATAAAATATTATTATTGCAGCTGACCAACGGAGGTCCTTTTATTTCTTTTTTAATCTGGTTTTGATTTTCTTTTCTTTCGAGGTGATGGAGCTTGTTGTTGTTTTTTAGTTGATGTGACATTTGGGGATGAAGAAATAACATTTAGATTGTTACTACCCACATGTTGTTGTAAATTATTACTGGTTGGATAATTATTTCTCTTTTGAGGCATCAAGGATTTGTGTTGTTGTTGTTGTTGTTGTGGTTGTTGTGGTTGTAACTGTAGTTGATCATCTGGTGTTATAGAAAAGGATGGTTGAAAATGAACAGAATGTGATGGAGGTGAATTAAAAGCCTTTGAGATGATAAACTGGAATGGAGTTTTTGATTTTGGTGATAGGAACTGGAGATAATTTTGGATGAGTGCTGTGATAAAGGAGATGCAATAGATCAACTTGAATGCCTCGCTATTTAAATAGTTTGTGTGTGTATAATAGCCCATTAAATCGAATCTACTAATCTCTAATGTACGAACAACCACTGGAAATGATGAACTCATTAAAAGAATGATTCCAGTATTGATAATCAATTTTCTCAACGAGGTTGATGCAATACTTGGTCTGATCTTTGCAAAAACCAATATATTAAAAAATCCTACAAATGCTGAAACCATTAAATATCTAGTAGTAGTATTGATAAAATATTAGAAAAAAATATATTTTTTCTTTTCTCCTTTTTTTTTTTTTTCTTGAGAACATACATAATAACGGCAGTTTCAAACAATGATTCAAAAGAGCCCAACTTTGAAGAATATGCTAAAAAATCATATACATTATCGACACGAGCGCTTGCAGCACTTGTCCAAGAGTAATATGTAATCTTGTCAAAAATTCTCTTGACCACACTCACAAAAACCTTTAAAACAACCCATCCGCTAAATACAAAATTGAGGATGGTTATCATCAATGCAGCAAATTTTAAAATAACAGGTCTCTTTGCCATTTTTTCGCTTTTCTTTATAAATCTCTCCAATTCTTTCAACTTTTCTTGAATATTTTGTTGTTCTTTTGTTTCTAGTTGGCCTATAGTAAAAAAAAATTAAGTTGTCATGTGATTGATCATATGGTCAATGTTTAATTTGTGCTTACTGTTTTGTAAATTTTCTTGTAAAGTTAATATTTCTAGCCGAGCAGCTTGTATTTGATCTTTGGGTTGTGGAATAGCAAGGCTAATTCCTTTTGATGTCAATGTATTAAATCCTTTTGGTATGCAAACTAAAAAAAAAAAGAGTTTATAAGTGAGATTGCCTCGGTATAATTAATTATTATTATTATTATTATTATTATTATTATTATTATTATTATTATTATTATTATTATTATTATTATTATTATTATTATTATTATTATTATTATTATTATTATTATTTATACCTACACAATACAAAAATAGTTCCAGAAGTGGAAATGAGTGAATAGGAAAAAGGTAGGTAGTCTGAAAAGATGGCTTTGATGATGTTTTGATCAAAGTCGAAAAATAAAATATATACAACGTAGACGCATGCTATAAATATGACGGATACCAGTGAGAGTACAAGAAGAGCATCCTTGATTCTAGATAAAAATGATCTCTCAATACCCTCTGCTTCGTAATAGAAATAGGCAAATGGTAGAATGATAAATAATGAAATATTTGCACCCCAAAATATTTTGTTCCAGAATGCTACAAGCAAAAAAAATAGGTATCAGTGAATATATACACCTATTTGATGATTATAATTCTAATTTTACATACAAAATATTAACTCTCTATTTAACCATTGAATGTAATAGTTTGATGGAAATGTTGTCAATATTTCGTTACTGATAATGGTTATAGGTATAAGTAACATTGCGGCCAATGAAACTGATAAACAAAATGTACATAGTATTCTCCTGTAGAGTCAAGAGTAGTGAAATTAGTATCAGAAACACTTATATAGATATAAGTCAGCTGATCGATCTCTTTTCATATATTACAACATACGCAAGATAAACCTTTTTATAGACATCCTTCTTTCGAATGAATCTTCTTATGATAAAATGAGACATGATGAAAAGAAGTAACAAAAAGGTAAATGATATGATACCATCTCTCATGAATATAAAAATAACATCATCTACACCTGATATATCATTAATAGTTGTTGGATGATCAGAATGCATTGATGTTGTTGTTGTTGTTGTTGTTGTTGTTGTTGTTGTTGTAGGTGTAGAACTAATCGACTCAACAATATGATCATTATTGTTATTTTTACTCGTTGATAAACTAATCAACTTATTATTACTATTATTATTTCTATTACTATTATTGTTGTTGTTGTCGTTGCCAAATATAGCAAATGCGGCTGTGATCATGTCAACATCTATGTAATATATATTTAATTGTGACGACCGAAGAAAAATGTTGGTGGTTTCAAGTTTTTTTTTTTTTTTTTTTTTTTCTTTGATTATAATAATATTCAAAAAAAAAATCAAACCATTTTTTCCTTCAGACAAAGTTTGTCAATTTCACTCAGTTGATAGTTATTGGATATCTCTAGTTAAAGGTAAAAGTCAAAAGAGAGAGAAAAGAGAGAGGTCAAGATAATAATAATATTTATGTATGTGGTCTCTATCTAGATAGATAAAGTCTATTGGATGGATTTGATGTTTTGTTGTTTTTTACACGACGCTAATCAATTTTTTTTTATCATCAGTAGTATTCATTCATTTTAGATAGATATCTTTGCTCTGCACAATTGTTGTTGGTTGTTAATCATTTAGGAATAATAATAATAATATAATAATAGTAATAATAGAATAGTTGAAAACAATGTCAGAACCATCAGTAAGAGCTCTATCAAGCGCATTTGAAAGTGCATCATCACCAGGTGATGTTAATAAGGTGTGTATCATATTGGTTGTTTATTCACTCATGCAATGATGATGATGGTTAATATAATTATGATAATGTTTATAAAAATTAATACATTCAATTCAATCAAATCAAATCATTTAGGAATCACCAAGTTATGATGAACATTCTTCAACAGGACCTGTTAGTGGTGCATCATCGTCATCACCTTCAGTGTCACCATCAAATTTGAAACGAGACTATACAGCAGGTGTAGATAACGAGAGAATTATTGGTGCTAAAGAGCGCAGTAGTGTTGCACTCGATAAATTCCTCAAGAATGAAGTCATTCCAAGAGGAGGAACACCTGGCAGCAGCCATAAATCGGCTATTGGCAAACCTGCTCCAAACGAAAACGATAACAAGGCAAAGTCTGTACCAAAGTTTAGTGGCAGTTCACATCCTGTCTATGGTCTCATGTTGGCTGGTAAACAACATGAATCGTCTGTTACTAAAAAGAAAATTGTTATTCCTCCTTCAAATGCCTATTAATTTGATAGATATTGACAAATACAACTGCTATCTATCTCTCTCTCTCTCTCTATATATATATATATAAAAAATCAACAACGACAAACAATGTTGAACAGCATAATAATAATAATCATGTATTTTTAGAACAATAACAACAATATAGGACAGGGTCACGACTCTATCATATTCACTTCCATTGTATACAAACACCAAACCTTTAGTAGTTCTATCTAAATCATGATACCTTTACAAAGTTAATTGTAGTACTAGTAATATAATAAAAACCAAAACAAAACTATTTATTTTTTAAAACCAAAAAAGGCAAATTTTTGTAATTAATTTAAATTATCATTCAATACAACGAACGAAATAGATATTCTTCTTTTGCTACAAATACATATATAATATATTTATAATGAATAACTTCACAAGCAACATATCATCATCATCATCTGGTGTCAGCACCACTCCTCCTACAACAACAACAGTATTAGAGTTTTCAGTATGGGTCACCAATATTGACAATAGAGTTACTGTTGATGAAATATTAAAATTATTCAATTACTGTGGACCTGTTAAATCTATCATATTCAAAGTACTTTCTTTCTTCCTTTCTCTCTCTCTCTCTCTCTCTCTCTCTCTCTCTCTCTCTCTCTCAGACACTAATATTAGCTTCCTTTTTTTTTTAATATAGAAATTAAACCCTGAACACAAAGATGCACTTATTATATTCTCAGATATAGTATCATTAGATACTTCATTGTTGTTGGATCAAGCAATGTTGTCGTCCAAGGCAATTAGAGTCTCGAAAGATATACCCAAAGAAATGATTGATATAAATGTCATTCATAAATTGGCTCAACAGCCACTTTCTCCTCACTCGCCTTCACCATCTTCCTCTTCCTCCTCCTCTCCACCTCATTTCTCCTCTCAACCAAACAAGCAACATAAAAATGGAGATCTTCATGAGCAAGAAGATAACCAGATGATGGAAGAAATTGTAGCATCTGGTATAACAATGGCACAAGTCAAAGACATTGATGGTTTGTAGCAAATTAAATTGGATAGTCCCAGTGACACTATACTAACCTGTATTCATTTAGAGAAATTCAAGGTCAGTGATAGATTAAAACAGTTTGTAAAGAATTCATTATCCTCGTCGTCACCTTCTTCTCCTATAGTTAACACAAATCGTGTCCCATTAGATTAAAGATAAAGAAAATCGTCCTTCTTACTCTCTAAAAGAGATTGGATTCTTTAAGTATTGGGCTAGGGAGTCATGAAACCATGTCTAATTGTGTCCATAGTCTATAAAGACAAAGCGATTGGTTCAGAGCATATCAATTTGTTATTCTTTTTTTTTTTTTTTTTGGTAAAACCCCCACTGTCTTTGGGATTGGAGATTGGTTTTCGCTCAAAATTATTATTATTAATTTTTAAAATAAAATACACACATACTTGCAAGTGAGAGTATTACTATTCATCTATCTTTCTTAACCCCACGATTCTTCACCTTAAGTAATACTAGTATTTCACAACAAAATTATAAACTACAGAACATAAACAAAACAAACAAAGCAAAGAACAAATCATTTAATATAATATCAAACAACAACAACAACAACAACAACTAGTACAATGGTATTTACTTTTAAAGCATGCTTTGAAGGTGATGTTAGAAGATTTTCTTTTCAACAATCTCCTAGTTTTAGAGAACTAACATTAAAGTTGACAGAAATATTTCACCTAAAAGAACAATTCATAGTCACTTATATCGATGAAGTAGGCGATAACATTACGATTTCTCAAAACGATGAGTTGGAGGAAGCTTTTCTATTTCTCAAAGAATCAAATACTCAAATATTAAGATTATCTATTATTCGTAAGATTAAAAAGACATCATCATCATCATCTTTTATGAAGTTACTAATTATATTTTCAAAAATTAGGCAAATCAAACTTTAGTCATCAACAACAACAACCAAGCTTTAATAATCAACAGAACAACAACAATAACAATAATAATCAAAATAATGGACTAGATTCATTATTTGTATCTTTATTATCGAATCAATTTGTTCAACAAATGATACCACAAGTCATAAATAATTTAGTTGCCAATCCATCTCTTATGACATCAATTGTCCAAACTACCAGTTCAACCCTTAGAAATAATAATAATAATAATAATAATAATAATAACAATAATAATAGTTCCTCACAAACTAATCAAACTTTTACGCCTCATAACAACTTTCACACATCTGTGGATTCATTGATTTTGTCTCAATCAATTAATAATAATAATAATAATAATAGTCATAATGCCTCCTCTGCACCAATTACACCAAAAACAAACAACCATTTAAATTCTCCGCAACCAATGATTACTTTAAATAACACAGATCAACAACATTTAATGAATTCCAACCAAATCAACAATCCCTCTAGTAATCATTTTATAATCGGTGAAAATAGTTTAAATAATATTTTAAATCCAACAAGTATATCACCAAACACGTCACCAGTAGGTTCAACCTACTCTTCTTTGGATTCGAAATCATTTGAAGAGATTGCCAATAACAGTGGCACATCACCATCAAAGGATCCATCTCCAATTGTTCAGGCTTTAGATTCAACAACTAGCACTACTACCACCACCTCTTTGAACAAGCCTCCAAAATCCAACCCACAATCCAATCCAATTTTTTCTCAAGTACCAAAGATTTTCAATCATATCCCTTTCCCATTCTCTGTTTTGAAATCAAATAGCAATGAGAAAAAAAATACCACAGAAGTATTGGTTGATCAAGTAACAATTGCATCTCAAAATCCTATTGTCGCCAATCAATCCTTACTACCCCAAGGATATAATGAACTCAATCCATACATTTATCCAGAATCACAACAACAACAACAATTCCAACAACAACAACAATTCCAACAACAACAACAACAACAACAACAAGAGCAAGATAGTTCAGTATCAAACCAATTTTCAATTCATAATGGCGAAATAAGACCACCAATACCAGTTTCTACAACCCCTCCAACTGCTCCAGTTGGAAATACATCTCCTCAAAACATCACATTATTAATGGAAGTCTTCCACATTACCGAACAAAGAGCTTCAGAAATGTTATCAAAATATAAAGGAAATGTAGAAGACGCAATGATTGAAGAATCTGATCTCAAAAAGGATTAACTTTCCAACAACAAAATCGATTAAAGATTATTTTTAAAAACAACAACAACAACAATCAATATTTGTATATTACAAAGGAACAAACAACTAACGATTTCAAAATGATCTATATTATTTATTACGTTTGATTCATAGATCACGAATAAAACCACTCAAAAGAAGAAGACAAAGTCATAATTAAATATAAAATTTTTGACTATGCGATTTTTTTGACATTTGATTTTTTTATTATTTTGTTTTATAATAGGACAGTCCAACCAGAGGAAAAAGATAAAACTTCTTGTTCTTGGTCCAATTGTTGTAGAATGGTGCACAAGGCCCTGAGAATTGAGGAATCATTAGAGTTTGACGAGAGCGAAATGAGTTGAGGTGTGACTACAGTCTTTACAATGTTGTACATGTAGAGTATGCTTTCCTTGTAATTAGAGACTGCAATCTCAACAGGTGATTTGGTTTGTGTTATGATTCTGTATTCATAGTTTGTGTTGTTGGATGAAAAGGTGTTGATGATTGACGTTAAAACGCCATATTGAACATGGAAAATTGGGTCTTGGATGATAGTTGTCCAAATGCCACCAGCACATGGTTGGGGGGGATTTCGCCATATCATTGTGTCTTGGGCTGGAGCCTCTGGTCCTGGATTTGGCAACATTGATGGCAAAAGTTTAATAGTGTTTAGTTTTCTTTGTGGTGATAAAATAATAGATGGTAAAAGTGATGTTGATGGTTTTTGGAAGCTCCATGGTGGTGAGTTTTTTGTTTGAGGTGTTAAACTAGAGGTGATGGTTGAAGTTGTTGTTGTTGTTGTTGTAGTAATAACAGGGGTCGTAGTGGGTGTATCAGATGTATCATCAGTTTTGGTAGATTTGGGTGTAGAATTTTCTTGAGATAATGACGGTTGTGAGGATTGATCCTGTTGTTGTTGTTGTTGTTGTTGGGTAGAGGTGGTTGTGGTGGTTATTTCCTCCTTGATATTATTATTATTATCTTTTGTAACACTACTATCAACTCTGGTTAATTCATTAATGTCGGATGGTAAGCTTGAACTTGTTGACGTTTGGTTATAGTTTATAATTGTTTCGTCAAAAGATTTTCTACCAATCTGCAAGAATGGATGATTGAGAGTATCATGCAAAGGCAATCTTTCTTTTGGATCAAGCTTGAGTAGCGCCACGATAAAATTAATAGAATCTTCATCTTGAACACCATATTCTTTCATTCTAAATTCAGAAAATGTCACCATGATTAATTGGTTGATTGGTTAATTGATTTAAAAAAGAGAGGAATATAAAAAAAATAAACAAACATTGGTTAGTGAATTCTAAAATCTATAATTATCTATCTATAATTTTTTTTTTTTTTTCTTTCCAAGATTAATCCTTACTTTTGAGGAATGAGGTCAAGTCCTTTCTGGAATTCATCGGTATCAACCATCTTGGCCAAGTTGACTAGGGCAGCCAATACTGTTGTTTGGTTCAAGTTGGGGAATATTTCATTGATCAATTCTCTACCAGTTATTAGTCTAAAAGTTACAGCACCAATAGCCCAAACATCTACCAACAATGGGTTATATCCTTCATTATTAGTGTCATTTACAATCTTTCCTTTGCTTCTCTCGAGATTTGGAGAGAGAATAATATGAATAACTTCTGGTGGCTAAAAAGTAAATGAAAGAAAAGAGTAAAAAGAGTAAAAAGAGAAAAAAAGAAAAAAGAAAAAAAGAAAAGAGAATAATGTTAGTTTCTTTACTACTACTACTAGACTCTATCTATTATTTTGTTTACCATATATAAAGGGGAACCAGCAAGGGTAGAATGCATATCATTATCATTTTTGTTGATGGAAGCATAACCATAATCGGTAATTTTAATAACAGGTAAATCATCTTGTCTGTAGCAATAGGTAGTAGTTGATTGTTGTTGTTGTTGCATTTGTTGAGATGACGCAGGCAAGGTACTAAAGTTTTGATTTCCTTCATTTTCATCGTCACCACAAGTTTGAGAAGAGATATCAACCTTTTTTCTATTGCTCATGAGCAATATATTGGCTGGTTTGATGTCACGATGAGAACATTTGTTTTTGTTCATAAATTCGATTGCGCTTATTACTTGGTAGACAATGTGAGATACAAGAGGAATTGGTAGTCCTTCATCAAATGTGTACATAAAATCTTCAAGTGTTCCTCCATCTATATACTCTAAAACAAAGATTGCTGTTGTTTTATGTCTCTACCAAAATTTTGGTTAATAAATGCTTACTATATAGAAAAAGATGAATAAAACTTTGAGATACTTACAAAACATTCAATCAACTTTATAATATTCTGATGTTGTTTTGGTGAGTTTAATGCTAATAATGCATTGATTTCTCCCTGTACTTGTCTGAGATAAAAGGTAGGTAGGTAGGTAAACAAAAAGAAGTAATGTGAGTGAGCAAAATGTATCGGATCTCTTGTTGTTGTTGTTGTTCATATCATATAACTTACTCCCAAGAAGATCTGTTTTGATTTAGATCAACCAATTTAATAGCAACTATTTGGTTTGTCTCTTTTTGAGCAGCCTTGTATACAACACCACTAACACCTCTTCCCAACTCTGAGTGTCGAAGATAGGTTTCTGGCCAATAAAGTACTCTTTCTCTACTGCCCATTTTATCTATTTGTTGTTGTTGTAGTTTGACAAATGTGTTGTTTGTTGTATCTATAATGAATATGATTAAACTCCTCTCTCTATCTATCTATATATATTCTCAAAAGGTGATCAATTACTCGATATTAGTCCTGTTTGGTCTCCAATGTCAAGGAAGGTGTTTGTGTTTGTGCACAATCTCTCTCAAAAAAAACAGAAAAAAATTTAATAATAATAAAATTTTTTTTTTTTAATACTATTACCTACCACATAGATGATCTCTACAGATAATAGTAATAATCAGCAGAATAACTTGGTGTTTGTTACAGGTGCAACAGGATACATAGCTTCACACATCATATCCAATCTTGTTAAAAGGGGATATCGTGTTCGTGCTTGTGTCAGAAACTTAAACGATCAATCTAAACTATCATTCATTCACTCTATCAACAACAACAACAATAATAATAATAATAATAATAATAATAACAATATTATAGAGATAGTAGAGGGAGATTTAGAGAATGCGGATTATGTAAAACTATTAAATGATTGCACTCATGTGATACATACAGCAACTCCATACATTCATAGTGCACCTGATCCCGAAAAAGATATTATCATTCCTGCGGTCAATGGTACTCTTAGAGTATTAGAGGCTGTCATTCAGGTAGAAACAATTAAAAAAGTAATCATTACATCATCTTGTGGAGCAATCGTTGATTCGTTGTCTCCAAACTTTGTACCAAAAGATACAGCCTACAATGAAGAGGATTGGAACACAACGTCTACACTTACACAATCACCTTATTTCCTTTCAAAGGTGAAAGCAGAAAAGGCAGCATGGGACTTTTATGAAAAGAACAAACAACAAAATGGTGGAAAACAACGACGATTTCAACTATCTGTCATTTGTCCAACCTATACATTGGGACCACCATTAAACAATGTATTGAATCAAAGTCTAAGACTTTACATCAATATGTTATTCAATGGTCAATCACCATTCCCAACCTATGTTCCCTACGTAGATGTAAGGGATGTAGGTTTGGCACACGTATTGGTATTGGAAGATGATCGATCCGATGGTCAACGATATTTAGTTGGAAACAGTACATCAACTTGGAAACAACTTGTAGAGATTGCAACCAATCAAACCAAAGATGATCCAGACTTGTCCAACATTCAATTCAACATTTCACAGACACTTCCAGATAGTATCGTTAAACAATGGACCATCGATCATTCAAAGATTAAACGATTGGGATTATCATTCTACCAACTCGATCAAACCATCAAAGATACAATCAAACAACTTGATCATTTAAATTTGATAAATAAATAATACTACTTGTATACACAAGAGGTCTGACAAGTCGTCATCATGTTGGCGTAAGCCTGACCTTCTTTGTCAATGTGAAATCCAAAAAAGGAAAGCAAAAAAAAGATTTTTTATTTTTATTTTATCTATTTTTTTTTTACACAATAATGTGAAAAACTACCCATTTTTAGTGTTAAAAAAAGAGATATACAAAAAAACATCTAGTAATACTACAAACGCGCGCACAAGATAGATAGAGTTAGTAGAGTTATATATATATATAGAGAGAGAGAGAGAGAGAGAGATACATATAAAAATGGTAGAGAAACATCGTACATCACCAACAGTAGATGTTGAAGAAACAGATAATATTGATGATGCAGACTATTGGGTAGTAGCATGGATTTATATTGCTTATGGAGTTATTATCTTTTTAGGAAAGATTGCTGAATTTTTTGCTTTCATCACTGGTAAACGTTATGTTCATACACCAAAGGTAAATAAATATAAAACAACTCATCATCATATGATCATTCACTCCTAACAACAATCCTTCTTCTCTTTCACTTTCTCTCTTTTTTTTTTTTCTCTTTTAGGGATACGCACCATTATTTGTAGAGTTTGAATACTTTTATCAAAGAAGATTATATGGTAGAATTAGAGATTGTTGGGATAGACCCATTTGTAGTATGCCAGGTGCATGGATTGATGTCATGTTGAGAGCAAATAAGCATTATTCTGATCCATTATTGTAAGTCTCAAAGCATCAAACTAATATATTAATAATAAGGCTAACTCTTCTTTCTACGATATCTTTTATAATCTAATCTAATATATAGATTAACAGGAGAAAAGAAAAGATGTTTAAATCTTGGATCATACAATTATCTAGGATTTGCACAAAATGAAGGACCAATTGCAGAGTCTGTTGTAGAATCAATTTACCAATACGGAACATTCACATGTAGTTCACCAAGTGACATTGGTACTACTACACCACTTCGTCTACTCGAACAAGAGACTGCACGATTTGTTGGTAAAGAGGATGCATTGGTATTTGAAATGGGGTTTGCTACCAACTCTGGATCTCTTCCTGCACTCATTGGAAAGGGTGGATTAATCATTTCCGATAGTCTTAATCACGCTTCACTTGCCACTGGTTGCAAGGCCACTGGTACCAAGGTACGTGTCTTCCGTCACAATGATACTCGTCACCTAGAAGATATCATTCGTGAGAGTATCATCCAAGGACAACCAAAGACTCATCGTCCATGGACATCTATTCTCATCATTGTCGAAGGTATCTATTCGATGGAAGGTGAAATCTTACATCTTGCAGAGATTGTTAGAATCAAAAAGAAGTATGGTTGCTATCTATATGTTGATGAAGCTCATAGTATCGGTGCTCTTGGTCCACATGGACGTGGTGTTTGTGATCACTATGGTGTTGATCCAGCCGACGTTGACATTCTCATGGGAACTTTTACCAAGTCATTTGGATCGATTGGAGGTTATATTGCCGCTGACAAGTCACTTATCGATCATCTTCGTCAATCTACATTTGCCTATGTCTATGCTTCTTCGATGAGTGCTCCATGTGCAATGCAAGCTTGTGCTGCTCTTCGTGTCATCTTGGGTGAAGATGGTACCGATTTGGGTCAACGCAAGATTAAACAACTAAAGGATAACTCTAACTTTTTCAGAGAGGCACTTCGTGAAATGGGATTCACAATTCTTAGTAACAAGGACAGTCCAGTCATTCCACTCATGTTGTACAATCCATCAAAGATTGCTAGATTCTCACGTCTTGCATTTGAACGTCACATTGCCGTCGTCGTTGTCGGTTACCCAGCCACACCTCTTACCAGTCCACGTACTAGATTCTGTATTTCTGCATCTCACTCTAGAGAGGATTTGGAATGGGCACTTGAACAAATCTCTTACATTGGCGATAAATTAAATCTTAAACACAAAAAGAAAACATTTTTATTCTTTTAAAATAATAATTTAAAATAATAATTAATTAATAATAATATTATATCTTTTTTTTAAAACGCAATTCATTTATTAATAAATCCCCAACTCCTTTTTAAATTTTTTCACCAACTTTGTTTCTTTTGTTGTGGATCATTCAGACTTTTAATAATTAAAATGGATGACAACGATGAATCTTCTTCTCAACATCTTCTTTGTTTGTTTCCATCTGAATCAAGTAACAAGAAAATAGATGTATCTCAAATGGATAATACAAAACAACCGTTTGGTTCAATCAAAGATGATGATAAAAGTCAAGTTGCTGATATAAATAAGAAATCCACTCCAAAGAGATCAAGACAAAGAAATGATGATGATGATGATGATGAACAACAAGACGATGAAACTATATCATCTTATTATCAACAACAACAACAACAACAAGATGATGACCAAGATGACTTAAAGAAAAGAAACAAAAATGATAACAAATCAAAGAGTTCATTTCAAACATGTGCTGGTAAACCTATTAGAATATCAAACGATAAACTATCAAAGGCATTTGAAATGATATCTGGTGGAAATACAATCAATAACAACAACAAACAAGATGAACAAGAGGAAAAAGAAATTGAAAAGATTCAACAAATGTATAATGATGTTTTAAACTATTTGACGTTACCTTTTCATAAAGAACAACCATCTTCACCAAAAGATAAATAATGGAAACCTATTTTCTAAATTATTTTACAATATTTATTTATTGAATGAATAAACATGTATTAAACAATCACTAGCACAAGATGCAATCTAAAAAAAAAAAAGAAAAAGATTTAATATTCTAAAGTTGATGTATTTTTTTTTTTTGTTTTTTTACTTACTCTATTTTTTAATCTATTCCATTTTAGACCTTCAATTGACCCAAGATGAATTCTTTTAGAAAACACTTTTGTCATTGATTTGAGATCAAAAATGAATAACCATCCATTTTGTGTTGAACATGCCACTACTACTCGACCATTCTCACATTCAATAAGTGAAAGGTAGGTGACAGTGTGCCACTCTCCCACATCATCTGTAGTTTTGAATATTCCAATCTCTTCCCAATTTTCAACGTTTGTTGTTGATGTTTTCCATACTCTTATGGTATGGTCATCTGCACAAGTAGCTAAAATGTTTCCCATCTCATTGGTATGTATCCAATCAACACATGTTACTGCTAATGAATGTCCTGTCAAAACCTTGATACTCTGACAAGGTTCTTTTTCTTGTTCCTCCAATTCCCAAATAGCTGTGGTTTGATCTTCTGAACAGGTAGCAATCATTATATTGTTGTTGTCGTCATGTTGATATGGTGGTGAAAAGGTGAGTGACCAAATTTCTGCAAATTTGTTGATTGAACCAAACTTGAGATCTTGTTCCTTGCCAATATGTGGTTTGTGCGCCAATTTTCTCCAAAGCAATTTAAAGGTGTTTGTCTCTTGGTTGTATTGAAAGAGATATAGATTACCACCAGTAGTGCCAGCTGCTAGTAAATCTCTGTTGCTACCTCCCCATTGCAAACAAGTGATAGCATCATTATCTAAATTTGCAATCAAGCACGATTCCTCTTTAATAAAATCAAAGCACATTAAACCTCCGTCCATTGTTCCAACCATTATAATGTTTCTATCCTCTTTTTGATTTAATGACCAAGTCAAACATCTAATAGGAATACCAAAAGAATGGGTTTTGATCGGTGCTTCTCCAATATTATCATCTCTTGATGACCAAATTAATAAATTTCCAAAAAAGTCTCCACCTGCAACCATCGATGCATCATGGTTAAAATCTACTCCACAACATGTTATTTGATAATGAATTAATTTAAAACTATCAACTAAATTATTATCATTATTATTAATATTTTGATTATTTTGATTATTTTGATTATTATTATTGATCATTGATATATTATGAACACCAGCTTCATCAAATATCCATATTCTTTGATTTCTGATTGCCCACTGAAGAGCGTAAACGGCACCATGCTCTGATTTGATAGTTTGTATTGGATGGTTAATACCAAATTGATATACCAAAAGTTTGGATGAATTGGGAACGATAAGGGTGGCCCCGTCGAATATGATGTCTTTAATTACACCATGACCCTCACATTTTACTCGCCACAAGCATTGTGCGTTGAGAGTATCCATGACAGCTATTGTTCTACCAATGACAACAGCCATTTGATTGGATATACTCTTGTTCTTGACAACGACAGCGCATTCAACTCCAAGTGGAGAGTCAAATGTAAATTGATACTTTTTTCTTGCCGGACTTTCCATAGTACCAACGCCTTGATAGACTACCAAAGACACTTTATCATCCTCTATATGTTCTGTTCTATCATGTTCGAAACCAGCCTTTCCAACATTCTGTTGGATTGTTACCAATTTATTTTCTTGATTAATCTCTGCAAAAAAGTTTAATCCTTCTTGAATAGATACCAACTTAAATAAAGAGGACGAGAGATTGTAGTTGATAATAAAGATTGTGCAATTTGCAGCTTCACTACTCACTGCAATGTTGATTGATTCGATTTCTTCTTGATTGTCTATTATTTGAATCAAGGGATGTACAGATAGATGCATCACTTTGATTGACTTTCTTTCAGGTAACCTATAAAAGCCTATTTTGTTCCAACTCTTATCCCATACACCAATCTCTCCACTATATGATGCACTAATATACATTGGTTTACAAGAAGATGATGAGGAAGAAGAAGATGATGATGATGATGAAGAAGAATAAGGTGATACATGAGAGAGATTAATCAGACAAGTAATAATATCTTGATGTAACCTTTTGAATAACAATCTTTGTTGAGACTGAACGTTCCACACTGAAACAGAGCTACCAATTGATAAAGTTATCAAATGGTTAGAAGAAGGATCAATTTCATTTTGTATTGAGTTGTTGGGATCATGACTTGTAGGACATATATTGATTGCGTTGTTGTTGGTAGGAATGAAAGATAGGTATCTTGCTGATCCGACACCGTAGCTATGTAATAATGTTACAATAGATTGTTCATTATCATCGTTGTTGTTGTTGTTGTTGTTGTTGTTGTTGTTTTGATCCATTTTGGTCAGTCTAATCGATTGATGAGAATTAAAGTAATAATATTATAAAAAAACTTTGCAACGATCATCACCCCCAAAAATTTGGAACATTCAAAATCTACTTTTAAACAATATAGATTCTACCCAGAAATATTTATTTATTTATTTTCACCATCGTCATCTATAGTTTTGGTCAGTCTGTGGTATTCTCTTTTCAATGTTTCAATCAACTGATCCAAATATCTCTGTCTGGCAGTTTGATCTTCGATTATGCTTTTAAATATATCTTTGCTAACAAAAGAAGATGGTTGTTGCGAGGAAGAAGAGGAGGAGGAGGAGGAAGATTGCAATTTTTCTAAATTGCCAACCAATAATTGTTTTTCTTCTACCAATCTATCAAGAGTTTCTACGATCTTTTCAACCTCTGTATTAAAGATACCCTGTTTGATGAGACGACTCTTGATTGAATGATGGTAGTCACCTATTGGGTGAATTGGTATCTTGATCTCTGAATATGAAGGAAAGAGATTGTAAAAGTGGTGCGTGTGTGATATCTCTCCATTATGTGTTAGGTGTTTAAATTGTTGTGTAAATACCATGTCTACAAACTCTAGCACCTGGCTCGGACCTCGAGTGTTGTCAACTGCCCAATGCCACAAATGATCATTTGTTCCTTTGGTGTCGATTCCAAGTAAATTGATAAATTTGATGTAGGTATTCGAGTAGCAAGAATGAATTGCTTCGTGAATTTCGGCATACGTCAATTTAGAGAGGGTTTTACTATCTCTATGATATCTGTGAACGATATGACTGAATGTTTCAAAAGCCTTTTTGATATTCCACTCTCCATTTTCCCAAAACTCTGCTTCAATGTCATTTATGGTCTCTGTCATTGAAGGGTGATTAAAAAATAATGAAACAACCTTTGGTACCATTTGAAAGTTTTGTTCAAGTTGGTCTCCTCCTGCATCTTCAGTACTGATTTCATCCTCTTGAATTTTATCATCTTCATCATCTTCATCATCATCGTCATCCTCTTCCTCATCCTTGTCCAACAATTGACATTCTTTGGTTATATTATTATTATTATTATTATTTTTTGTATTATTATTCTCTAGTACAATATTATTTACATTAAAATCTTTATCTTCATCTTCCTCTTCCTCCTCCTCTTCATCATCATCAGAAGAAGAATCAGATTCCTTTTTTTTAATTCCCAAATCAAAAAGATTGATGACATCTTTTTGATTGAAAACATGTGAATGTTTATGTTGGTCAATATGAATACCATCACCTTTTAATTGATTGTAAACCAATTGTGTGTGTCTTGCCCAAACGAATCTATACCACAACTCGACAACCAACAATGCCAACCATTTCTTTAGTGGTGTCCAATCGCTATGGTTGGTCTTTTTTTTGTTGTCTTGCTTTTTCGAAAACCATTTATTCACAGTCTTTACCCACCAAAGTTCTTTTTGTAATTTCAAAATCTTATTGTTTGGTTGGTCCAACAATTCATCGGTTACATTATCGAAAAACAATAATGAATTGATTGTATTCATTTGTTCAATCAATTTTGATCTATTTTCAATACTGTTTATATAATCTACAAGTAGTTTTGGCGATTCACAATCTTTAAAAAAAAAAAAACATGATTAATTATTGATTACCTATTGAATCTATATATTTTTGTCTTACGTTGTTCCAATTGTTTTATATTTTGCTCACAGAGTTGAAATGAGCGATTATTATTATTACTTTGATTCGAGTTTGATTTTTCAATAGCCAACCAATTGGTCAGCTGAAAATAAAATGGAGCGATAAGGGATGGTGGAGTATTAATCAAAAAGGACAATGGACCTAGTTCAATTAATAACATTGGTATCTTTCTCTTTTTCTTTGGTTTCCTTGTTGTTGATAAACTTATTGAAGACATGACTGCTGTGAGTTGATCATCTTGTTGGTCATCTCTATCTCTTTTTTTGTCTGGTGAAGCACAGGTTGAAGAAGAAGTAGTCAATGTGATGGGTGATGCATTTTGAAAGATTGGATTGATCTCTAGCAAAGAAGAAGAAGAAGAAGTAGTGGTAGTAGAGGAAGGTACTTGATTTGGTTGTATTCTTCTAGTTTGCTTAAGTGGTGATAAACTAGTTTCTACCAGCGTTGAACTAGGTTGTTGTTGTTGCTGTTGTTGTTGTTGCTGTTGTTGTTGTTGTTGTTGTTGTTGTTGACTATAATTTCTACCCACGTTTGCCAATAGAGCAGCAATCTGAGCATCATCTAATTCATAGCTTCTTTTGTTGTACATCTAAAGAATTCATAATATAACTTTATCCCCTCTATGATTATTTGACAAAGGTCGGAGTAGAATGATTGTATTAAAAAGCTATTTTCGAAGAAAGAGATTTTTTTTATTTATTTTTTTATTCATCAAACTGATTATTATTATTATTGCTATTACTATTATAATCACCATTTTCATTATTATTATTACCATAGGTTAGATAATAATTTGCATAAAGAATGATATTATTCCATTTTAATGTAATAGATTTTGTAACTGATCCACCATTGTACGGTGGTACATCACAATGTATCATTGTATCAGTGTCATTGTTTATATAACAATTCATTTCTATTAGGTTTAAATAGAATATTGGTATATTTTGATAATGTCTTTTAATATTAATAATACCACCATTATATGGTACTTGAATATTTTCAAATAATTCTTATCATATAAATAAATAAATAAATAAATTAGTAAAGATTTTAAAATTTATCTTTGTTTTGTTTTTACATACTTTGATCAAATATTTCAATAAAAATTAAAGAAGAAGGATTTAATTTAAAAGACATGACTGAATGTTTTAAAGATGGATTAAAAGAAAAGATATTTGGGTTTGGTGTGGTAGAAATAGCAACTGCTTGATTGGGATTACTTAGTTTAAAACTAATGGTTGCATTTTTGTTTAGAGATTGGAACCAACCTGCAGAGTTGAAAAATGAACTTTCATATTTACCATAGGAAAGATTTAATATTTGTTCACTACCACCACCACCACCTCCATTGACATTACCACCATTGACATTACCATAGACAACTTTAAATGATATGGTTGATCGATTATTTGGTACTCTAAATACTCCAAATTGAACAAATGTTGTGGTTTGAAGGGTTGGACTTGCAATTGGTATCACCTTGTTGTTTACTGTTGGTATTGTAATATTACTTGGTGATGATAATGGCGACAGATGTTGTGACGACGACGACGACGACGATGACGACGAAGATTGATTAAATAGATTATTATAAATTCTAACCAATGAAAGTACAGAATCACCTGGTACATAGATGATATGATTGGTTGAAAATATTGTAGTGTTATAGGATAGTACTACATTTTTACCATTCATTTGTGACTGTACTGTCAATATAAATTTATCATTTGAATAATCAATCTTTTCATCATTATCAATTTGTCCATTCATATTATTATCATAAAATAATGTTATATTTAATGTTGTTTCTATAAATAAATAAATAAAAATAAATTAATTATTTTGGTTTGTTTTTATGTTTTACATACTATATCTAATTCTAATGATAGTATCATCAATTAAAAGAACATTACAAATTTGAGGGAAAACAAAATATTTAACCATTGAAGATTTCCAATCAAAATAGGTTAAATCAAATACTCCATATTGTAAATTTAAGGTTTGATTTCTATCTGATATTAAACTACCAACACAATCCAATGATGCTAAAAATAATAATTAATAAATTATTACTTTTTTTTTTTTTGTTTTGTTTTTTTACATACATTTTGAAAATATAGCAATATTAATATTAATATAAGTAGTGTTTGAATAAATATAGACAGGAATATAATTAATTGGAATTATATAACCAATTTCTTGAAATTCTGAATTAAATGTATCTGATGGTGGTTTCAAGAGTGGTTGATCTACCAAAAGTCTAAAATTATATCTACTATCAACTGCCAATGTAAATGAATAATATCCAGATCGAGTAGATTGTGTTGTATATCTAGGTATTCCTTGATCATCAATCAATGAAATATTAACATTAACCATCGGATCATCTCCCTTGTCAAATAGGTTATTAAAATTGGCATCATGGAATATATTACCATCAATTCTTGCTTCTTCTTTTTTTGTTGTTGTTGGTTTAGGTGTTGGAGTTGGAGTATTGGTTGGTTTTGGTGTTGATGTATATTCTTCACCATTATCACTACTACTACTACTACTACTACTACTACTACTATCATAAATGTTATCATTATAATCTTGATGTGTAAATTGAATATTTAAATTTGAAATTTGACCTTTAAATTCCACTTTGACTTGTTTTTTACCCAATTTGTTTGATGGTTGAACCAAACATTTGAGAGATGTAGAATCTTTTGAATAAATTGGATCAGTACAAGGTATTCCACCAATGGTAACATTAGAAGAGTCTAGTGTTCCCAAATCTGATCCTTTAATTTCTACTTTAATCTTTGATCTGCTATTTCCCTTGTTTGGTGATATGGATCTTATTATTGGCGCATTGAAGCTAAATTCTCTATTTTCATTACTGTTTAGATATTCTTCTTCACCCATTTTAACGACTACATAAACTTGAATATTGGAACCACCACCAGACGATGCTTTAAATATGATCCTAGAGTTTGATTGCTCTACCATTTGATCATCACCAATGGTTCTATCATTAAATGATACAGATAATTGTGTTCCTTCAATAAACGAATTACCATTAATCGTAATTGGATAGCCACCTACTATTGATCCTCTACTTGGCTGAACGGAATAAATCTTTGGTGCTCCAATATATGTAAATTCTAGTGGTTGACTTTTTCTTCCGTCCATTGCACCAACTGTAACCTGGTATACCAGTGTCTCTATAGGTTGTAATGAATTCTTTACAATCCCTTTTGGAATAGAACAAATAATTCTATCATCTCTTTTTGATGATACAGTACAATTTAATAAAGTACCATCTTCTCCTTGTATAAAAACTTGTGGTTGTATTCCAAAATTATCACCAACAATTGTAATAATCTGTTGTTGATTATTTTGTTGTTGTTGTTTTTGTTGTTGTTGTTGATTTTTAATTTTGTTTGGAGTGATTGAATAGATAATGGGAGCAAGATAAGAAAATAATTTGTTATTTCCACTTGAAGACTGTCCTCCAACAGTTACAATAATAGATTTATCATAACCTTCTCCATTTGGTACCAAGCATGAAACTCTATTAAAATCTATCCATTTAATTTCCAAACATTCTCTATTATCAATTTTAATTGTTGATTTGTTATTATTATTATTATTACTATTATTTTTGAGGAGGATGGAGGGGATAAAATTTTCACCAATAATAGTTATACGATTATTACCAATGGTTGGACAATTATAGGATTGATTTCCAAATATGATTGGTGGAGAATATGAAAAGGAGTTGAAGGGGATGGCCAGAGGTTGATCACCAATTAAAATATCGACATTTATATTATTTCCAAGACCAGGTGGTGATTGACATATAATAGTTGTATCATCGATCCAAACAATGTCATCACATAGCTTATTACCAATCTTTACAAAATTGCTATCACTAGAGATATACGATGATTGTTGTTGGTATCCCATCGGAATAAAATTCATTCCATTGATGGTAATTTCACTTCCACACGTATTACTACTACTTATAGAGTTGATGATTGGTTGATTAAATGAAAATAACAGTGATCTATTGGGTTTTGATTTTTGATAACCAACAATCACTTGGAATTGGAAATTCTTTCCAATACCAGGTGGAATAATACATGATGCCTTTTGTGAAGTCAACCAATTGACAGAACGACATGAAATTTCATCTTGATTATTTGATATTATTTTAATGTTACTATAATTTATATCTCCAGATATTAAATTATTATTATCCACGACCAAATCATTTGATAATAATTCATTTGGTACAAAGTCTCTGCCATTGACTGTAATTTCAGTGCCACCTGTATCTCCACTATAACTTGATATTGATTCTAGAGTTGGTTGGTTGTATCGAATGGTTTGACTAGGTAAATTTGATTCCAATCCACCAACAACCAAAAGAGGTCTTATATCATCTCCTATACCAGGTGGTATTTGGCATTCCAATATTTCATAGTTGTATGTCAATTTTAAATCATTTGGTAATAATGATAATGGATTAAAATTGTTATTGTTGTAATAATCACAATCCAATTCTACGGTTCCATCATAAATGGTTACCAATGGTATTGTATCCATGATTGAACCGAAATTTTTACCAATGATCCATCCAATTCCTCCAAGCAATGTACTAATACTATTTGGTTTTTGTACCAAATATTCTATTCTTGGTGAATTAAAATTAATAAATAAACTTGAGTTATTTTGATTATTATTATTTTTGGTTTGTTGTTGTATTATGGCAAGTTGACCATTAATTTCTAATCTTAATTTTTGATTTCGACCAATACCAGATGGTAAAATAACATTAATTTGATTATTATTAATCCATTGAATCAGTGAAGAATTGTATTGTTGATTTGACAAGTATATTGTATTTCCAATCATGACTGAAATGGGTGTATTTAAACTTGATCCAAATGATTCACCTCTAATAGTTAATATATCACCTGTATTACATGATAATGTATTACTTGATATATTACCAATAGTTATATTCTTTATAATTGGTATTTTAAAATTAATCTTTGAATTACCAATATAATCTCTAATTATAATAATATTATCAATTTTTAAAATTATTAAACTAAATAAAAAAAATTAATAAATATAAATATATTATATTATATTATTTCTATATTTTTTTTTACATACTTATTTTCACCAGAACCATTTGATTTAAAATAAAGATAATCTTGATTTTTAATTCTTTCAAATTTTAAAATTGGAATTTGAATTTTAAAATGATTATTATTTTCAAGAGATAGTTTTAGATTACCAAGATTGTTGGCATCTCTAAAAAGATTAATACCTCTTATTGTTATATCAGTACCATAGTTGTCAAGTGGATAGGACATTGAGGTGACTGATATAATATCTGGACGAGAATAAGAGAATTTAAAAGAATTTGTTGATCTATATTCAATCGAATCACCGTTGCCATAGTTGTTTTGATTATTAAAACGTGACATTGATTTAAAATTAAAGCCATCTTTTACAATATCAATTGTATAGTTTCCATAACCACCAGGCACTTGACAGATGATGGTATCTTGAGTATCATCAAAATCCAAATCAACTCCAACTTGACAATCCACCAAAGATGACAGAGATCTTTTATCATTCTCTTTGGTAAGTTTTAGTTGAATATGAGTTGTAGATGGAAATGAATAGGTCAAAAGAGAAAACCCACTAATGGTAATGGTGGTTGAATTCCATGAGTAGGGTGATTTTTGGTATTTAATAGTTGAAATGATGGGAGCAAGAGGACATGATTGCAATAAAACACGTCCACCATTTTCTTTAAATTCTCGAAGTGTGTATTGTCCAAAACTACAAATTAAATTGTCAACCACTACAATTCCAATACCAGATTGAGTTTGAGGAGCTTGAACTCTTTCATTCATCCATGGTATATAATAGGTCTTTACCAATTCACCGGGATAGTTGATCGTTTCATTTGCAAATCCAATGAGTCTTGATAAACTAGAAGTGAGGAGGACAACACCACGAGGAGTCCAAGGATGACCACCAAACACTCCAAAATAGTCACAATGTTCCCCAAGACTCCAACCAATTAAATGTTTTAATAGTTTTAATCCTCTTTGTAGATTATTGTTGGGTGATGAAAAGTCACTAAGCAATGTAACAATGTATTGGTCATTACCAACCCAACCAGACAGAGCCTTTCCAAGATCTTCTAGTGTCGATTTGGAGGGATTTGTACTTTTGAGACAATATTTAAAACTATCGTAAAATGAATCTTTAATAAAAGGAGGTACTGTACAATAATCACATTGATAAATATTGTTTGAAAATTTAATGTGAGCCATTGACGATTGTAAATCGACTCCTCTATATTCTGGTTGCAATGAAAGGTATCGAATGACAACATTATCAATAAATTGATGAATATTGGAAGAGGCTGGTTGCAAAGTTGACTGAAATGAGGACAACATATTCAAAAACGTTGAAAAGGGGACTCTAGTAATCTTTTTGTTATTGTTGTAGGCGATTTTGTAATAGTCTGATTGTTCTTGATTGTCTTGAACAAGGTCCAATAAAAAGGTTGTAATACGTTCTGATGAATACAATCCATAGTCTTCTTCGATAATATCACCATCTGATTCATAACCATCCAAACCATTGTTAAAAGTACCAATCATAGATGATTCCATAAATGGAAATATCAATCTAAACAATTTGATTGCAACTATATTGATAAGTGCTTGTCTTAGTGGTTCTTTTGTTGATGGTTTGTTATTGTTGTTGTTATTATTGTTGTTGAGTGATGATTCATCATCTTTGGTCATTATCGATGGACATAGACGTTTTAATAAATAAAGAGAATAGGATTGAAAGAATTGATTGATACCTTGAATTTGAAATGTTGTCTCTTTATCATTATTGATGGTTGCACTATTATAATCATGGTCAATATTAATGATTATTGTTGATCTTTTCAAGTTGCTCTTGTCTAGTGATTCTGATATTTGTTGTAATGATATTAATATTTTATAGATTAATATTATTCTTTGAGAAGGTGATTTGTTGTCTAGAATCAAATCAAATCTTGTTGAATCTTTTGCATTCTGTATGCTTTGAAATGTGATTATACGGGAATGGTAATGAATTGAAACCAAGTAGCTGGGATCATTTAAAAGGACTTTAATCTTTGGTAAATACTCTTTTCTAAATGAAACCACTGCATCTTGTAGTCTAAAAACACTCGTTTCCAAGATTGAATCCATCAATTTACATCCTCTAACTTGTACCAATTGACCAATTATATCAAACTCCGATCCATCTTGATCATCTTGTTGATTACAACCAATAGATGGGTTATAAACCAATAGACTTGTAGATTCCATCAAATAAAATGGTTGACCTATATTGTATTGCAACTCTTTAAAATAGGTTATCAGTTCATTGTCCAAAGATTTTAAATCATTTATATTCATTCCAATCTTTCCATTAAAATTAAATAATCTATTTAATGTTGTTATTGGTTTTGTACAGTTTGATAAAGTCGGCGACGGAGTTCCTTTATGACATTGAATTGGATTTAAATTAACAATCATTGATTTTAATAGTGATGATAATATAGAATTATTTATACATATCATTAATTCTCCATTGGCCTAAAAAAAGAAAGATAGAAAGGGTCAATCAAATGTACAAAATGATTATAATAATTATTTTATATATTTACCGAATTAATATTTTGATCATAATCACCAATACAAGATAAAGATTGTATTGTAGAAACACCAAATATACCTTTATCAACACTTGTATCCCATTGTGATTTATCACTATCTATTCTATATCTAGTCACCAAATCACCTGGCAATTTTTGTGAATTTATAACATGTGTAATCGGAGATGATACCATCGTTGAATTTTTACCATTGTTTGTTGGTAATGGATTTTTATATTTACTCTAAATAAAAATGATAATTGTTAATTATTTATATATATATATATCTAAATTGTAACATACAGGTATAGAGATATAGTTTATAGTATTTGATGAATGCCAAATTGATGCCCCACCCCATTTTATCGAACTAGTAATCGAAATGGATGAGTTGGGATCGCGATCACCATTATCATCTCGGCTAGAGAGCGATTGAAGCTTAATAGCATCGGGTTTGAGATACAATGATTTTGGTGGATAGGTGGGATAAAAGAGTGAATTAAATGTAGACTTTAGGAGTGGGTCTTTGAATGGTAGGTTGAGATTGGTCATGTAAATGTATGGATAGATTGATTGAATTTGATATCGTACATCTTCATAGTCTTTAAATGATGTACAAACAAGTGAATGACCGTACGATGAACTCGGTGAAGGTGAAAGTGGAGAGAGGTAATAGTCGGTTGGAAACCATGTACCATTTGGATGTGTAATTGGTGTTTTAAATGAATTTGTAGTGGTGGTGGTCAATTGAGGAAATCTTGATAGAGAATGAACTATATAAGCTCCTGAAAATGTCTTATTTGTATTATTATTCTGTAATGGTGGTTTGTTTAATATTACTATTCCTTTTGATGAACTATAAACGGTTGATGGTTGAATAGTTGATTTATCAGCTGGTAGTGGAAAGTTGGTTCTATCATTACTATTCAAGTTTTGAAATTCATTATTATAAAAGTAATAATAATAATCGCTATTATCATTTTGATCACTACCACCACCACCACCACCATTCAATTGTTGTTGTTGTTGTTGTTGAGAAAGTTGAGATAATGTTCTTGCCAAACTTGATTGATCATCACTTAAATCATTTTGAAATTGAATCTAGATTGACAATAATAAATAAATAAATAAATAAAATAAAATATAAAACCAGATGGATCAATACATACAGTTTTTGAATCGTTATCAATATAAATATATTGGTTTGAATAGGGTAGTTTCTTTATAAACCACCATTGTACTGAATCACCTGTTGGTGATTTACAAGTTGCAGTAGTGGTTGTTGTTGTTGGTTGTGATATAGCAGTAGTACAATGGAAAGATGATGTAATTACAAATAATATTAAAAATAGTATCAATAAATTATTGTATCGATTATAGTTTACTATGATGATCATCATTGTCGAGATGATTATATTTATATATTTAAATTATAATAATAATAATAAATAGATTGACATACAAATAATATTATAAATATATATATATATATATATATATATGGGAAATAATATTAAATTTTAGTAGTAGTAGTAATATTAGTGTAGAAGTTAAAAAGTAAAAAGTAGGTTGTTGATTAACCTGTATTTTTTTAAAGATAACACTCTTACTCTTTACACTTTGTTTCCAAGTCAAACCAGACTCTCAATCACCTTTATCATCATCATCATCATCATAATGTGTGTTGGTCAGAGAGATTGATAGATGTAGACAAGAGGTAGGGTGTTGAGGATTGATTGATTGTATAAGCTAGTGCATATAGATGTAAGGATTATATTCAACTACCCATTTGTAAATAGATAGTGTATGTTGTTGGTATATCATAAATATTCAACCGATAAAGTGAATGAATGATAATATTATAAACCAAAATAATTCAATACAAAAATAGAGAGAATGCGTACAATGAACTTCACACATTTCTTACTTGTATTTATTTACTTGTGTGCATAGAGATAGATAGATAGATTTCAAAGCAGAAACGACATGACACGAGTAACACACATATAATAACAGAGTGGATGACGACAACTCTACAACTCTTCTTTCAGCAACGATATGGTGGTGGTGGTGGTAGCTACTTTTATGATGCATCGTGGTGTGTAATGAATCATGATATATAAATGATTGAGTTAATTTGATTGGTAACAAGATCTTATAATGACCAATCATCATAATAGTCAACATTCAACTGATCAGTTGAACGACACTTGTTTTGGTTAAAATCAAATGTATGTACCCCTCTCTCGAAACACACACATTCAAGATCTGTTGTTATATATATATATATCGTCAATTTTGCTTCTACACATTCTTTTCTCTTCTCCACTCCTCACACTCAGATGATATGATCAATTGAGTGATCTATCTATTCCCATCCATATCAAATTAATATATGTCCTTTCTCTTGTCTACGCTACGCTACCTACTGCTATTATTCTTCTTATCCTCTTCCTCTCTCTCTCTCTCTTTGTGTCTAAAGAGTAGTATTATTGGTATTGTTATTTCCAACACTATTATTATATGAATGCATGATAGTTACTTTAATCGTTAGTACTATTTGTACCACCCATTTATCGTCACCATCAACACTACTACTACTACCATCACTACTACAACACGTACTATAGTGTCGGTTTCTGTTTGAAGTCAAATCCATGCCCAATTTCGGAAATTGTTAGGGGATAGTATTGGTTAAGAGTCTTTACTTTATTTTTTAAACATTTTAATTAAAAAATATCTAAAAATAATAATAACAAATAATAATATTAGTAGTAGTAGTAATAATAGTGATAATTATTTTATTTATTTATTTATTTTATTTAATTAAACATTTTTATTATTTGTGATGAATAGATTATTAATATTAATTTATTTAATATTTTTAATTAAATCCAGTTGTCACCATGTTTTGGCATTTCCGTTTCTGGGCATTGAACAAGTAGTGCCATCCAAAGGCAAGATTGGAGTTGTAAAGACAATTGAAATCAAAGGAAGAGCATTTGGAGATGACATTTCAAATATTGTCGTCAATTTGGTTGGGGCTGGTCAGTGTATTGTACAAAGTGTGTTTGATGATCGTTCCATCACTTGTACTCTTCCAGTCTACCTTTCAAATCGAAGATTTAGAGTGACGGTAGAGGTGAATGGTACAATGACATCTGACCCAGCTTACTATCGTTACTATGGTCGATTAACATGTAGAGGTCTTTCAGATCAACAACAAGACCCTATCACAACTGGTTCAAATTTTCAAAAACAAGTAGATTGGTGGTATATTTATTGGGTAGCAAATCAACAACAACCAAATGACAATGACAATGAAAATGATGGTGGAAGATACATTTATTCAGATTCTCTTAATATTCAACCATCTTGGAAATCAAATTTAATTAGAAAATTACCAATCAGCAATAATGGTGGTAATAATAATAATGTTATTATTATTGGTGATTTTATCGTAAGTCCATTAGCAGCAACATTTTTACAATACAGAGATTATAATTATTTGGCTTATAATGATATTCAAGGTCATCGAGATGAACAGAGTGGAGAACAAACTGTTACCTATCCACTCGATGGATTAGAAGGTCAAGGAAAAGGCTTGTTTATGTGGGATGAATCAACTATGCATGGTATACATATAATTCATAGTGTACCGGCTTTTCCAGCAATTGCAACACCACCACGACTCAAACAAAAAGCCTCAAGATGGTTGGAATTGAATAACAAATCAAAGAGTAAAACGATAACACAAACGGAAACGGAAGAATTGAAAAACATCTACGATGAATTCTATCAACAAGTCAAAGGTTCAAGTGGTAACTTTAATTTGACATTTCTAGATCCATTCACACAGGCCAAAACAACCGATAGCGACGATGACGACAGTGAATATTTAATAGATGATAGTATCAATGCCGATGATAGCCATGGATGGCTAGGAGGTGTAAGTACCAGTAGTATGAACTCTGCTTCGTTTTACGTTTACTATATTGTTATATATAATTATATTATATGTTTTAAGTATATATATAATACCTATTTATTTAAATTATATTTATATTCTTTCTCTATCTCTCTCTCTCTATGTGTTTTTCTAAACAAATGGATCCTTTATTTATTTATTTATTTATTTGCTTTTTAACAAAAACACTAACCAAAACACATGTCATGTTTTTAGAATTCAAACAATAATCATAATTTCTTTTGTAGGGAATTTGACAATTACCAAGTTGCATTGAAATATTATGCTCAAACAAATGCAGCTTTATACTCTTATCGATTAATTAATAATAATTCAAATATTGATGATTTTAATAATAGAAATAATCAGAATTCATTTATTGATAATTTAAATTCTTTAAAATCAAATTATTTAAATGTATGTATGGTGATATCATACAACAAATGAAATGGAAATGAATTAATTGTTGTTGATCGTTTTTTTTTTTTGTAGGAATGTTCAAGTTTTTTAAATAATAATAATTCAAATAGTAAATGTGATTGGATTGATGATTCAATTAAAATTAAAGGGTTATCAAATACTGTATTATTTACTAAAACTAGTATTACCGCTTCTTTAAAATATTTAAATCAACAATCAAGATTTAAGGACAATAATAATAATGAAGATGATGATCAAAATAATAATGAAAATAATGAAAACAGTACACCACCTTCAACAACAACAACACAAGGAAGATATCCAAGTATATTAAAGAATAGTAATAATAATAATAACAAATCAAATAGTAATAATAATTCAAAACCTAGAATGATAACCAAATATATTACTAGATCTGGTAAAAAAGATAATACTGTAGTATTCTCCTCTGCGACCAATAACAAGAATGTCGGCGTTGATATTTGGGAAAGAGTTGTAGAATTATACGATCAACCAATGTTTGTCGAAGGTTGTACTGTTTCCCAATCATCAAATCATTTTTATAATCCTCAAAATTTAAAATTGGATCCAAAGAATTCAATTCAAGCCAAATTATCAAATGTTGAATATTTATGTATGTAAAAAAAAAAAAAAGAGGATAAATATTTACATATTATTAATTTGTTTTTAATTTAGCATATTTTGATAAAGAAGGTTTAATTAATTCAAAAGGTAGGATTAATTTATATTCTAAACAAGCTTATAGCATGTACCCAATCAAATCAAGTGGGTTTGATATTTCAATTTTTTGTGTTGGTGATTTAAATAGAAATATTGGTCAAGTATGTAAGATAAAACAATTTTATACTTTTCAAGAATATTTAAATTAATATTTATTTATTATTTATTATTTATTTATTTATTATTAGGAAAAAAAAGGAGGAGGAATATTATGTTTTAAAAATGATCATTTATCATTTTATTTTAATAGAATGGTATCATATTATTCTACTAGTCAGGATGAAGATGAAACAACTCTTTTACCATGGTCAATACCATTTTCTCAACCATTGGAAATTTTAAATTCATTAGGTCAACCCATCAACAATAGTAGTAGTATTGGTGTTTCGTTTGAAATTTTGGAAATATTCCCTCAAACTTTTAATATTCCAATAAGATATCAAAACAACAACAACAACAACAACAACAAGAATAATAGTGTATCATTTAAAAAGAGAGAAAACTACAACAATGGAGTTAGAACCAAACTTTTAAAACAATTTGTACAAATCAGTTCAAGTCAATCATCATTTACATCAAAATCAATAAGAAATCGAGAAGAGAGCCAAGATGGTATTGGATTTTCGAGTAGATATATGTTTACAGATAAAAGGTTATACAGTCTCCTTTATACTGCTGCATCAATTACAGATAATATTTATTGTTGTATCTATCAATTAGATTCTTATAGCAGACCTATTGCTTGTACATTGGATAATTCAATTCAATTAAATAATTTAAATCAACAACAAATTAAGAATAATAATAATAATAATAATATAGATTTCCCACCATTAAATTTAAAACAACCATCATCAACGTTTTCATCTCCCTCTATTGTTTCAAGACCAATAGATAGATTGAAATTTGTAGATGACGGTTGGATAGAGTTTCAACATGATATTATGGTTGCTAAAAAGTTTAAGAATATTATTCAACAATTCACCACCACCTCTGACAATTCACCACTATCAATCATATTTACCGATTGGATTGATAAACCAATTCAAATTAAATATGATATTGATGGTAGAAATCCTTCCAATAGTCGTTCAACATTTGATCAAACCTCAATTATCTATAGCAACAGTCAACAATGTTCAATTGAATTAATTTATCTACAAACCCTTCAATTAATTGTCTCTCAATCACCAACAGCCTATTCCAGTTATCAAAATTCAAACAATACCAAAACTCTATTTAATGCTTTATCATTATCGATTTCAATGAAAATATTTAATGTATGTAAACAAAAGAAAAAGAAAAATATTATATCAAGTTTAATTTATTTTATTATTATTTAGGAAATTGAAAACAAATTAAATAATACAATAATACCAAAATGTTTTAATGCAATTGAATTTCCAAAAGATTATAATTTAGATGTTGAAAATATTAATATTTTTAATAATCAAATGATATCTTTAATTGGAGCATTTTGGGATTTAATGGATTTAAATAATGATGTTGGTTATGGAAGACCTGGATTTAGTGATGAAAATCAAGGATCAATGGCATTTAATTGGATTCAATTGTTAAATCTTGTTTTTAGTTTGGCAGCAGACAACAACAATGAATTATCAATTAATAATTATTTCAACAATCTATTAGATCCTCTATCCTCTACATCAACCATGCAAAATTTAAATATATTATATTACAACCTTGTCATTACACCACCTGAAATACAACAACAACAACAGTCTAAAAATATTTCAAAAAATAGTAGAGAAAGAGAGTTGTCACCTTTACCAAATGATATTATTGAAAGTTTTAATACAAATAACTTGGGTCAAGAAGTAATTGATAGAATAATGAAATCATTGGATATGTGGATTACCATCAATGAAAACAATCAAGCCATTCAAATATTATTAAACAATCCTCAACAACAACAATCATCTCAACTATTAGAGTACTTGGAGGATATTTATCATGAAATTCGTTCTGATGATATTACACTATGTTACAAATACTCTAATCATAATAACACTATTAGTAATAATTCAAGTTATATAGTTGATCTTTGTAATAATCCACTATCAATTGTATCAATAACCAATTTAATAGTAATGGCTATCAACTCTATCAATTCAATTCAACTTAATAAGAATATAAATGGTGGCGTAGATTTATTCTATTTACCATCACCTTCAACTTTAAAGACAAACAACTTTGGTCTCTTGATCACACTTGTTAATAACTCAATTTGCGATGTTGCTCTTGTAAACAACAAATTACTTTTGGATAATATTTTAAATATTACAAAGATCAATTCTACAAGTGTAGAGGGAAAGGTTGAAAAAATAATTATAGACAATGGATTATGTAAAAATATCGGACCTACCATATCAAACATACAACAAGTATCTGGACTGACAACTGGTGGTTACCAAATTACAATGATTGGTTTCTATTTTACAGAATACAATGTAGCTATGATTGGTGAAAAGGAATGTTTACAAACAATGTTTATATCAAATACTAAATTAATTTGTATTGTTCCTCCTAATATTGGTAAATCTCATCAAATTAAAATTAAAGATCAATCATCTCAATCTAATTTCTTTTTTAATTATAATGGTAAGTAAAAAAGAAAAAAAAAAAAGAAATATATATATAGATTTAGATTTGCTAACTTTTTTTATTTTATTTTTTTTTATAGATACAATTATTTATAATGTTGGTCCAAAATTAATTGATAATAATAGTATTATTACAATTAAAGGATTAAATTTTGGTTTTGAAAAGAACAAGGTACAAGTTTTTATTGGTCAAGATTTATGTAGCATACAATCGATTACTCATACCCAAATTATATGTAAAATGAATTTGATCGGTGGAGCGGTCGGTCGAAATAGATTGGTTAGAGTTTTTATTGGTGATACATTGTCGACCTATCAAAACGATGATATCAACGAATCAATGATATCCTATTCACCACCAACCATTCAACGTGTATTAAATGGTACCTCTAGTTCATCGGTATCTATTTGGAGCAAGACCGATCGGGAAGTAATCACAATTATTGGTTTGAGATTTGGTACCAATCTTTCACCACCACTAGTCAATATTGGAGATTATAGATGCTTTGTGTTGGAATACAATACGACCACCATTCAATGTAGAGTACCTCCATCCAATTCATTTGGACCATTCCCTCTTTTGGTTCAAGTAGATGGTCAACTATCCAATCGTATTCCATTTTATTTTGCTGCTGCAGAGATTCAGTACCTTTCATCAACAAGGATACCAACTGTTGGTCAGTTTATACATCTATATGGTAGTGGATTGGGTATGACCAGTGAATCAATCAACTATATCCGTATTAATCAATCGATTGATATTACCGATCAATGCTCTCAATTTGCCACATTTATAGAATGTCTATTGCCAAAAGGTATTGGTGCCAATCTGCGGTTGGACCTATCGGTTCGTGATCAAAAAACTATTGGTATCACCCCTATATTCTCTTACAATCCGCCATTGATTAAATCAATATCGATCGACTCCACACTTAAAAGAGTGACAATCATAGGATCTGACTTTATTCCGAGTCAAGTATCTTATCTTCTCAAAAGTGTAATGGTTATTTTCAACAATAGTCCATTATCTTCCTCTTCCTCTTCTTCATACCTCAATGAAACGACCATTATCACCCAATTGAATGAAAATTCAATAGACATTGACTATATATCATCTGTAAAAGTGATGATTGGTTATCTTTATTCCAATCTTTACAATCTCAATCCAAACTATGGTGACTATGGATGTAGTGGTTTCATGAAATATGGAAATCAAAATATTTCAGTCACCAACGGTGAATACAATCCACATCAATATGGATGGTGTAAAGGAATAACAAATAATACTCAATGTCTAGCAACTTTACAGTTTAATCTACCAAATGATTGTACAGCCAGTACAACAAAAGAAGATGGTTTAATTTTAATCTCTTTCAAGTACACTGTCAATTTAAATTTGGTCATTGATAGTGAAATTATAAATAGTATTGGTGGTGTAGGTTCTAAAACTCGACTTCCTCCTCCTGTTCCTCTGTCTTTTGCTCAACTATCAAGTGTAATTGTGTTGGTAAAGACAAATTACAATGGTAAACAGGAAACGAGAAAGTTAAAGTTATCCAACTATCGTCAATCGATTGACTGTCCTTTATCATGTTTGGTAGTCATTCAATCAAGTGATAAATCACTCATTCCTATTTTCAATAATATACCATTTAATTTCCAACCACCACAAACTACATCGCTGGAAATGAACGTTGGATTCTTTACATTGGATAGATTCAGTGGTCCAGTTTCAATGTCATTGCAATCACATTTTAAATCATTGTTTACCATTACTCTTCCGATTGGTAGATTTACCTTTTCTACTAGTGTACAAACAAAATCATTTGCCAGTGGACCAATCACCGCTATAGTGTCTGCCACTACACCACCAGATCAACTAGTCAATATATTTGAACAAACCAACTTGAACAATCCATTATATATAATCAACAATTCAACAAGAAATATAAATCCAACAAGAAAGGCAACAACCTCTTCTTCTTCTTCTTCTTCTTCTACGACTTGGATCATTGAAATTGCAGCAACAGATTTATTCAATGATTATCCATCATTTTCAAGATTTGGTCAAAATATTATAATTAGAAATGATTATGATATAAATAACCCACCTCAACTATATATTGATAGAGTCACTAAATTGGTGTGTACCAACATACTTCCACTCTCTACTCGCAAAAGATCATGTCAATTCCCAAGACTTGCATCACCACCACCCAAAAATATTCGAAATATTATTACACTTGAACAATCGTCAACATGGCTTGCCAATACCTATCCATTCAATTATTCAAAGATTGTTGTTAGTGGATATGTCTTTAATGATTTGAATCGTAATTTTATTCGAGAGGGACAAGAATCTGGTTTGGGTGGAATCACAATCAATGCCATCTACTATGGTACTCAATTCAAAACAAAATCTCAACTCGATGGAAAATATTCTCTCGACATTGATGATAGCAACATTTCCGTCTCTGGACCAGGTCCCATTGTCTTGTCACTTTTCGATAAACCATCTAGTCTATCAACTTATTTCACTCCTTATTCTTGGACTCCTTCAGTAACCATTCAACCTCCCACTGTCACATATCCAAATACCAATATCCCAATGATTGATCGTTCATCTTATCCTTCTTGTATTTATAATGGTTTAGATTTTACTTCAATGTCTTTGTATGCCTTATAAAAAAAAAAAAAAAAAAGAAAGAAAAGATTGTTTAAATTAATTAATTAATTGTTTTTTTTGTATCTATATATAGAATTACATTTGAAAAAACAATTAAATCAATAGAAGAAAAGAATGTTAGTATTAATGGTAGAATACAAAAACAACAGGTATCACAAGAATATAAATATGAATGGAATGTTTGTGGAGTATGTGATACATGTACGTACAAGGTAAAAAATTCATCAAACTATGGGTTATCAGTTTGTCAAACATCGCTGTCTAAAGTAGGCTCACCAGTCGTTCATTTGGGTGAGACTGTATTTTCAACGTGGTCACCAAATGTGGCAAATAATACCGGAGCTACACTGACCATTAAAACTACAAAACCAGTGTGTCCAGGTGGAAAACCAAGAACAACTAGAATACATTTGGCATGTGGAAGTACCATTGCAACCGTATGGATCAAAGAATCATCACCTTGTGAATATGATATCTATATGATCACTCCAAGTGCTTGTTCAAATCCAAAATGTAGATATCAAGGTATTGATTTTACTCCTCTATCAAGAGTTGATTATCAAATTGTTTCAAAAATTGGTTATGAAACTGTATGTATATTTGAAAAAGAAATTAATTTATAATCAAAAAACATATTTATTAATTTATTTATTTTTACTAAAAATTAAAAAAGAAAACATTAATTTTTAGTATTTGTGGAACATCAAATCAATGTATACAAAAATTAGGTGATCAATATATAAATAATAATAATAATAATAATAATGGAATATCAATCAATGATATGGCATCATGTATGTTGGTAACCAATAACAATAGTAATAATAATTTGAGCAGTTACAATTATAATAGATGGATTTTAGTTGCCAACAATTCAAATAGTCAATGGGTATCAAATTATGGAGGTTCAATTGCATTGATCTATAAAAATACGAATCCATCTACATTGACAACTAAAACCACCAACCCTGCCAACGCATCTAAAAACCAACCTCTACCATTACAATGCTCTCCCAATGAACCTATTTTATCGATTATATTTTATTGTGCTACAGGTACCAACCAAACATCTGTGACTAGTTTAGAACAATCATCACCTTGTAGTTATACAGTTCGTATGAATACCCCATTAGTTTGTAATCAATAAAAAAAAAAAGTATAGTATGCTGATGTTTTTTTACCTTTTTGAATCGGTTAGCATATCCATTACGTAGATAATATCAAAGATTGTTACACTTCTTTGATAAATATTTGGGATCTCGCGAGGTCTGTTGAAAGAATCTTTGATACTTTCTACATTCCGAATGTTGATTTTCTTGAAGATAGTGCTTTCTAGTGAATTTTGATAATGATTATCGGATAAGAAGATGTAAATTCAATGTTGTTAATCAGGAATCTGTAGGTTCTACTCTACCGTGATCTGGACGATTTGAGAGTCTCCAATGTTGACTTGTCGTCCATGAGGACAGTGTCTTCTCTCTCAAATGTGAATTGTACACCGTCAAGAAGTCAGCTTTTAACTGGACTCTAGACGAAGAGTATGTATTCTACCTTGAATCAAATACCAAAGAATTCTTTTTTTTTTTTTTAATTTTTTTTAAATTTAACGAAAATATTATACATGTAATATTTTCGTTATATCTCTATTAAAATGGAAGGTGATAGTTCAAGTACCGTAGCACCAGTATTAGTAGTAACTGAAAATAATAATGAACAACAAAAACAATTAAAAAGAAATCATCCAGAAGAAGAAGCAGCAAACAACACTGATGAAAAGAAAGTAGTAGATGATCTAAAAGATACAACAACAGCAACAGTAGTAGGAGGAGTAGTAGATGAACAAAAAGTAGATATTACAAAGGGTAGAAACTATCATGATAAAGAAGCATTCATTCAACAAGGTAGAATCAAAAGATTAAAACACGATGAAAAGTTTAAAAGTTCACCAACATCATCGGTTAGTCAAGAAAAGAGAGATATCGATAGAGAACGTTCATTAAAGTACAAGAATGAAGAGATGGAGAAACACATCCAACTGTGTAACGCATTCTACAATGAAAACAAAGAGGTGGTCGACAAGAATTCATCGTCAGAGACAAAACGACAAAAGACACCAGTTGCTATGCTCTTTAGTTATGTTGGTACCGGTCACTTTGGTCTAGAGTACACCTATGAAGAAAAGTATCCTGCATTAGAGAATTATTTGGAAAAGGCTCTCTTTCTCTCTGGTATGATCCTTCCAACCAACTTTGGTGATGTCACTCGTATCAAATGGTCTCGATCAAGTAGAACCGACAAGGGTGTACACTCGCTATCAACCATCATCGGTGCATCCATTCTCATCAATCGTGAAAAGATCCAAACCAAAGAAGGTGTGCGTGCCTATATCGATCAAATCAATTCTTATCTTCCACCAACTCTTCACATTGTCTCAATGGCCACCACCTCTAGATCATTCATGCCAAGACGTCAAACTTCAAGTCGTACCTATCACTATGTATTGCCAAAGAAATTCCTTGGCAATCAATTCACATTGCAAGAAATCAATGAAAAGATACTTTCACTATTCATCGGTACAAATAGTTATCACAACTTTACTACTCTTAGAAAAACTTATTCTTCAATTTTAATTAATCAACAACAACAACAACAACAACAAAATCAAAATAATCAAAATAATAAGAATAATAATAAGAATAATAATAAGAATAATAAGAAAAAGAAGAAAAATAGAGGTAAAAATAATCAAAGTGATGATGAAGATGATGAAAGTGAAGAAGAAGAAGAAGAAGAGGAAGAATTGGAGGAAGAAAAAGTAAAAGAACAACAACAACAACAAAAAAAGGTTATAAATAGAGTTGATGAAATGAATTTTTACAAGACAAATGTAAAGAATTGTAGAAAGATACATTCCTTTACAATTGGCGAAACATTTTTGGTAGAATCAAATGATCAACAACAAGAGGAATGGGTCAAATTTATGATTGAAGGTGAATCTTTTATTCAATATCAAATCAGAAAGATGGTTGGTTTTGTTTTGGCTGTTTGTCATGGTTTGGTTGATGTTAAAATATTAGAGATTGCATTAAAGGGACCATTCTCGATCAATTCACCAATTGCTCCACCCGATACATTGTATCTCTACGATTGTCGTGTCAATGAACGCAAATCAGATGTCCTATACAATGTATTTTCAATGGAAACCAAAGAAGAAATACAAAAAGATAAGAATTTATTTTGTTCGAAACAACTGTATCCACACTTGAACCAATTAAACAATCAAAAGAAATTCTTTGAATCTTTTATCGAAAAGGCTTTACCATCACATTACTTTAGCACAGAGGAAGAAAACTTAGATGACCTCAACAAACTTTTCCTTCAATCAAGAGAAATTAGAGAACAAAAAATAGCTTTTATGAGACAAAGAGAAAAATTACTTCAAGAAGAAGAAGAAGGCCAACAATAATCTTATATAGAATAAATAAATAATAATATATTATTATTATTTGATGGTTTAACCATTATTTGGAGGTATCCTCTTTGAATTTCATTGGAGTAGGAAGTTGGAGGAAGAACAACCGCCAATTAGGATAGATCGCATCCGAAAAATCGTCGTTTTATAAAAAAAAAAAAAAAAACGAAAGCCAACGTTCACCCAACCTTGCTCGAGTCTCTGAAGCATTATTTTTAAGTTATTATTTACTTGTTGGTTTAGTATATTGTTGTTTATCTCTCTCCACATATACCACCCATACACAACTACTATTTGTATAACCATTCATTCATTAATAATGTCTTCAGATGATATCAAGCAACAAGATTTGGTCGATAGAACCAAAGAGTTAACAACCTCTGATTACTATTTCGATTCTTATTCTCATTTTGGTATTCATGAAGTATGTTTTAATAGATAGATGATAGATAAAGATATATATAAACTAACCAACTTTTCTCCTTTTACTTTTTTTTTTTTTCTATTTCTTTTTTTTAGGAAATGTTAAAAGATGATGTTAGAACCTTGTCATACAAGAGAGCTATCTTAAATAATAGACATTTATTCCAAGGAAAGGTAGTTTTGGATGTAGGTTGTGGTACAGGTATTTTGTGTATGTTTGCCGCTCAAGCCGGTGCCAAATTGGTCATTGGTGTTGACAATTCAGAGATTCTCCCAATTGCTCAAAAGATTATCAAGGCAAACAACTTTGAAAACAAGATTCATCTTATCAAGGGAAAGATGGAAGAAGTTACTTTGCCAGTTGAAAAGGTTGATATCATCATCTCTGAGTGGATGGGTTACTTTATGCTCTATGAGGGTATGCTCGACACTGTCTTGTATGCTCGTGATAGATATTTGGCTCCAGGAGGTATTATCATGCCAGACAAGGCTACTTTACATATTACTGCTATCGAAGATTCTGATTACAAGAATGAAAAAATTGAATGTATGTTTAAACAAAAAGAAGAAAGAAGAAGAAGAAGAAGGAAGAGATAGATAGAAAGAAAAAAAAAATAACCAACCAAATTATTTATTTCTTTTTTTTTTTTTCTTTTTTAGATTGGAATACTGTTTATGGTTTTGATATGTCTTGTATTAGAGAAATGGCTTTGGTAGAACCTTTGGTAGATGTTGTTCAACCAAAAATGATTGTTACCACCGATTGTTGTATTTTAGTAAATATCATCAAAAGTTTAACTATTTTATTGATTTATTGATTTATTAATACATCTTTTATTTTCTATTAGAATATTGATATTATGACTATTCAAAAAGAACAATTACCATTTAAATCAGATTTCAAGTTAAAGGCACAAAGAGATGATTTGGTTCACGCTTTTGTTGTCTATTTCGATATTGAATTCACAAAGGGAAGCAAGACCGTCTTTTTCTCTACTGGTCCACGTGCTAAATATACTCACTGGAAGCAATCTATTCTCTACATGGACGATGTTCTCAAGGTTTGTAATGGTGAAGAAATCACTGGTACCATCGACGTCGCTCCATTCCAACAAAATAGACGTGACCTCAAGATTAAATTAGATTATCAATTCAATGGTTCACAAGGTGCTTCTTCTGCATCAACTGAATATCACATGAGATAATAAGCTTATTAATATATATAAATATATATCAACAGCCAACAACAACAAACAACAACAAATAGCGCCGCAACCAAAAAAAAAAAAAAAAAAATATAAGAAAATCAATCCTTCCCAACAACAAAAATAATAATTCTTTTTCCCCACAATAAAGGATCACAAGGTTCAACATAGTAGCTTTTTTTTACTATGACTATTATCAAACAAACAAACCAAGATTAATTTAATTATTTTCGATTTATTTTAATCTGTTTTTGGATATGTGGGAAATTTTCTAACCCTACACTCGTTTGTTCACCAAAATCCAAAACAAAAAAAAAATGAAAACTGGATAGTCTCCATAATGAATATAAATAGGAGGTGAACTGCACGTTAATGTTAAATTATTATTTAATTATATACAATCACAATTAGAAAATGAAATATCAACAAAGTTCACAAAGTCCATATTCAATGGTTTATATTTACCTTGATCCTGGTCAACAATGTAGAGTTGAGAGAGGTGCAATTGTTTACTACAATATGGGTATAACTGTGCAAGGCAAAATGAATGCTGGTACTGAAGATGGAAGTAGTGTTGGAAACTTTTTTAAAGCAGTAGGACGTTCATTATCGAGTGGTGAGTCATTTTGGATGACAAATGTATCTTCTACTGCTCATGGTTCAATGGTTGCCATTGCTCCTCCAACCTCTGGTCAAATAATTGGTAATTATAATAATAATAATAATTAGTATTAAAGTAGTCATTGTAGATTATACTAAAAATTGAGATTTATCTTTTTTAGAATTACAAGTTTCACCAAATCAAACATGGTTGGTAAATGATGGTTGTTTCTTGGCTTGTGATCCAACAGTCCAATATAAAATGAAGAAACAAAAGGTTAAAAATAGTTTTTTAGGAACTGGTTTGTATTAAAATTAAAAAAGATAGAAAGATAGATGGATATTAATTAATAAAAATATTTATTTTAATTTATAATAGGAGGACATTGGATTATGAAAACAGAAGGAGAAGGTACAATGTTGATCAATGGATTTGGAGATGTTGTACCAATTGATTTAGATGGATCGGCTCCTGTTATTGTTGACAATAATAATATTGTCGCTTGGGAATCGACATTGTCATATGAATCAAAGCATTGCAGTGGCACTTTAGGCTTTAGATCAGGTGAAGGTCGGGTATGTCATTTTACAGGTAAAGGAAGAATTTATATTATGACTAGAACTTATCAACAATTTGCAAATGAAATTCAAAGATACCTTCCAAGTAATGGTTAAATCTATCTATCTAAATAATTATAATTATAATTATTTACTATTCAACTTTGAAAATATAAAAATAATAAAGAAAAACAAGCTAGCAAGCACACAAAATATCATTCACTTTTCAAACATACATCTTTTTTTTTAAGAAATAGAATAGTGATAGATAGATTAGATAGATAGAGAGAGAGAGAGAGAATAATATGAAAGAAGAAAAGATTACAAGAGAATTGGAATGTTCTCTTGCAGAGTTTATTCAAATCTATAGAGATGAATCTAGTCAGAATAAATATCATCTAGATAGAGGTGATATCAATATACTATTTAATCAATGGAATGATACTACATCAGCGTCAACAACAACAACAACATCTTCATCTTTTTCATATGATAATATATCAGAGAGAACAATATCATTTCAAGCTCCGATCAATGCACCACCATCCATTAGAAAGATCATCGGTAAAGATGCAACAACGATTGTAGAGAAACAAAAGATACAAAAGAGTAGAGACCCAAATCAACCTCTACTCATTCAAACTCATTATAGACCAGATATAATGGGTGATTACTTTCAAGTTGAATCTGAATGGATTATCACTCCCTTGGCTAATCAACCACCTCGTTGTAAATTAGAGTTAATATTACGCACATCGTTTAATATGAGATTTGTTGGTAATGTCTTTGAACTATTTATCATAAAGGCTGCTGCTTCATCGGCTGCTCAATACGTTGATGTAGTTCAAGATTATTTAGAATTAAACAAATTAAATAGATTAAAACAATTAAAATTACAATTACAATCTCAACAACAAAATCAAAATAATAATAGAATCAATAATAATACGAATAATAATAATAATAATAATAATACGACTACCACTACGACTAATAATAATAATAATAATAACAAGATAAATAATGAAAAGAAAAAGAAACCAATACCAATTAATTTACCAATCACATCTGATGTCATTTTACCAACAACAACTACTACTACTACTACATCAACTACGACAAACAACAACAACAACAACATAACAATGACAAGGAAAAAGAAAAAAGGATAAATCAATTAAAATATAAGAATTGGACAGTTTCTGATTGTAGTAAAAGAGATATTGAAGATTATCTAAAATATGATATGGAGGATTTAAAAGATACAAGTCAATCTGCATCTCAAAGTTTATTAAAAGTGGAAATATCATTGTCTGAAATGTTGTCAAATCATAATAATAATAATAATACAAGTCAATTAAATAATCAAAGTGTAAATAATATAAGTGATTTAATTCAATCACCTATTCATAATAATCATCATCATCATAACCAACATTATAGTCCATCATCATCACTCAATTCTTCATCATCTTCGTCATCATCACCAAATATATCAATGGATGAATATTCAATTGTAACATCATCATCTACATCATCGGCAACGATTCAAGCAATGATTGTAGAGATTAATAATTTAATTGGTCAAATGGAAATCAACAATAGAATATTAAGAGACAAGAGAATGCTACAAGAAGAATCATTGGCCAATCAATTGGGTGATTTAATCGATCAATATGAAGACATTTTAGAAAAACAAAAAGAAATCGATAGTAGTAAAAAAGATCAAGGAACAGGCATATTGGAGGGACTGGGCATTTATATATTTGCATCTTCAGCTATCTTGGTTGGCATCATTACATGCATTGTCTTGTTGACATCGATATTCTCACATTTATTGTCAAAACGTAGTAGTAATAATAATAATCATAATAGTGCTCGTCAGTCTGTTCAACAAATATTAAAACCATTTGCCCGATAATGTCAAACATTACACATTAATACTTTGAAATAAATAAAGAATCATTTTTTGTTTTTTCAACAAAGCTCCAAGATTGAATGATTCTCTTGCCAATAAAAATTCAATGAATAAGACAAGAGTCAGATTGTCGCGATGATGTTTTTTTAATTTAATTTAAATTGCAACAGCGCAATCGTACTGCACACTTACTTTTATTTATTTAATAGAGTACAGTTCTTTAAAGCAAAGTATTATATTACTTGGCCACCACGCATTATTTATTATTACTCAGCTGCACAACACAAGATTTTGTTATTCAAATTATTTGAACATTCAACAAACCACACCAATACAATAGTACACCCAAACACCAAAACCCCTCAAACTTATTATTATTATTATTATTTATTTATTTATTATTATTATTATTACTACTAAACATATATTAATATTTATCTTCAAAGGAGAAAGGAGAAAAAAAGAAAAAGAAAAACATTAATATATCAATGATAGAGTCAGCTACATCAGCTAACGAAATTTATTTAGCTTCATCATCTTCATCTCCATCTGATAGCAATAATGAATATGATACAATATCAACAACAACAAAGAATAAAAGATTATCTACTAATATTTTAACCAACAACAACAACAACAACGAACCAGCCATTAATATATCGTCAACATGGTCTTTACCACCAATAAATAATATTAATAATAATAATAATAATACTACAACTATTACTACGACTAGTACTAGTACTACTACTACTACAACATCAATTAATTTAGAAAGAATAGATACAGTAAGAGGTGAATTATCAATAGATCATCCTCTTCAATCACCTATAAATGTTACTGCCACACAGGTAGTTGCCGATTTAAATGAAAACCAAACCATTAATATTAGAGCTAGCACTGATCCTTCTATTTTAATAGAGTATGAAAAAATCAATCTATACTATACTATACAATACTCTTATATAATCATTGTTTTAACTCCTTCTTTCTCTATTCTCTTTAGACAAAATAATAAGAGTTTTTCATTAGGAGGTAATTTAAAATCAAATAGACAAGGTAGATTGATTGAACATTTTTTAGTGATTGGACTTTCATCTGAAAACAAGATCGATCCAAATGACAAGATATCACATGATGGAAAAGTGTTGTATTCCTATCCACCCGACTATGTATGTGATCCACAAGTAATTAGCTTTTGTTTTCCAGATGGTATCAAATTGCTTCAAGTTCATAGAAGAAATTCATTGACAGAGATTCATGCTGTACTCTTTAAATCATTGTCACAACTCGAAGGTAGTGATACATCGTTTATGTTTTTGGTTACTGGTGGTGAAGAAATGCTCTACGCTGCATGTGTACTAAATACAGAACCAGTAGATGAGCTTCCTTGTTTTTGTCCACCAAAATCAAATGACAAAGAGGAAGAGCTCTCCTCCTCCTCCTCCTCCTCTTCCTCTTCCTCTTCCTCCAACCCAAGAGAAGAATATGCAAAGAGTAAAGTTTGTGTATTTGCACCAAGATGTTATTGTGTGCTTAGTAAATTCCCATTCTTTAAAGCTCATTTTGATTTCATTTACTCTATTCTTGGCAAGGAGAGATTAAATAGAATCAATTCAATTCTAGAGAAACCTCCTGTCCAATCACACAACAAGATGCTTTCAATGACATCTACCAATGATTTGGGTAAATTTAAAGATAACAGTAAAAAACCACTTCCACCCTTACAACAACTTACCAATACTACCATCATATCAAAAGAACAACAACAACAACAACTACTACAGCTTCAACAACAACAACAACAGTCTCCAACATCAAAAAGTACTATGGCAAGATTAGGAATAACCAAACCATTACCACCAATACCTAGTTACCTTGTTTCAACGCCGACTGTTGGTATATCACCACTAAATGTTAGTCCATCTGATTCTCCAACCATCAATCCAGACAGTATTGAAACTCTTTCACTCATATCAAAAAATCAACAAGCCAAACAAAACAGTAGCCATCATTCTAGATCGTATTCGTCGCCACACCATAAACTGCCTACATACACTTCCCAAACACAATTACTTAGAACCCTAGGTAATTCTAGTATAAAAGGAAGTAGTGGTAGCATAACTAGTAGTAGTGGAGGCAACACTAGTTTAGCAGCATCAACAAACAGCGCATCATCCTCTTTTATTGATTTTTCAGCCATTTTAGAATCATTAAATAATAGCAGCAACGATGACTCTTCTTCTCCCTTTTCGGCATCAGCCGATGGCGATGGTACTATTGCCAGTAGTAGTAATAGTAATATTATTAATAACAGCGGTTTTAATAATTCATCACCACCTATACAATTTGGAGACTATTCATCTGCTTCACCTATTGTTTCAACAAACGATCTCATTGTTGTTGCCGATGATGATGATGATGATGATGATGATGATGATGATGATGATGATGATGATGATGATAAACAACAAATCACAGATCAAAAAATCCACTTTTCTGAACACCTAGATAATCCACTTAATAATAGTAATAATAGTAACAATAGTAATAATAGTAATAGAAGTTTAATTGATAGTAGTCCATTGATTCGTGATAAAACAACACCATTACTTCCAGAAAGTATTGGTCTAGAGATGGGAACAACAGTAGAGGAGTTTGAAATTAGAGGTTTATCAAATACAACATCACCAAGAAAAGGAAAACCCCTACCAAAGATTCCTGAAAAGAATGGAAGTATAGAAAATAGTAATGGTAGTATGACAATGGCTGAATTAATTTCACCAATAACTGCTCCAAGTCATCCACCATTGTTACAAATTTCATCACCAACAATGATTTCTAATCATCCATTATCGTTGGATGATCATAGCCTTGCCCCACCCAGTGCTGTTGCTGCTCCTCCTCTTGTAACACCAAGGACCAAAGAAGGAAAACAAAAAGAATTGGCGTTGGAAGAAATAGATATAATTCATTACTATTGTACTTTGATGGTACCAAGAGAAAACCAAAAGTTGATTGTCAAACCACCAGGAGACAATCAACAATTGACCTACGAAGCAGGTGACGACACCCTACAAATCGAAAATTGGTGTCTTGGTGGACTGATGAGAACTCTTTCCATTCGTACCATTCTTCATACAATCACTTCGATCCTTTTGGAAAAATTTTTAATCATCACATCGAAAAATATTGGACTCATTTCAAACACTATCTTTTCATTTATTCCACTTCTTAGACCATATGTTTATCAAGGTGCTTTTATTCCTATATTACCTCAATCAACTTTAGATGTTTTACATTGTCCAAGTATGTAGAAAAAAAAACCAAAAAAAAAAGAAAAAGAAAAAGTAATATTTAACCAATTGTTGTTTCTGTTTCTAAAGTTCCATATGTTATAGGAGTAACAAAAATACCAAATGATATGCCAGAAGTTTTAGATAATTGTATCATTTTGGATGTTGATGAAAATAAATTAATCTATGGTAAAAATTGTCAACCTTTACCAAATTTACCAATTGAAGATAAATTGTAAGTAAACAAACACAAAAGAAAAAAAAAAGCCATCTCTTTAAAATCTAATATTTTCTTTCTTTATTTAGAGAAACAAATTTAAAACCTTATCATGGACAAGTATGGAAAGAAAATACAAGAAAATATTCTTTAGATTATCCATTCAAGACGGTACAAAATGATTTTAAAAGTATTAGTAAATTTTCTTTAGAGTTTAAGGCCTATCATAAATTCATCATTGACACTGTTGCCTATTATATCGATTGGAATATCAATTTTGATTTTGGAAAAAAAGAATACAAGGAACAATTGATCAAACTTTTCCAACCCCAACACACCCAATTTATGAATCAACTCCTAAGTACTCAACTATTTACATCACATACAGAGTTGTTATTTGAAACGGTAAATGATACAAAGAAACCAAAGGAAATCCAATTAAACTCTTATAAAATTAATAAATTATAAGAATTATATTTATAAATTTTGCGCAAACAAGAGAAATATATATTTATGATTTATTCTCAACTTGCTCTTCTTTCTTTTCTTCTTTCTTTTCCTCTTTCTTTTCTTCTTTCTTTTCTTCTTTCTTTTTATAATTTGGGTTGTTAAATGTGGCGGGGTGCACAAGTCCAGCGATATTTGAGAGATTGAATTTCTTATACTTTATGAAATTATCGACAATGGAAATGGTTGTAAAAGTTTTGATGACTTCAATCACTATGGTCATCTCTGGAGTGATAAGATCTACAGTATGTTTTAGTTTGATCAATGCTGCAATGACACTGATATAATCTTTTTTCAATTCGCTTGCACTTGTATTATGTCTTGATCTAAATTCTATATTATACTAAATAAATAAGGAGGTTAGTTGCTATACTGTATAACATATTATTTTTTGTTTTTCATACTTTGACTGATTTTTCCAAAGAATTAAATTTAGCTTCTACCAGCGGTTTAATATGATCTAGTAGATTCGTAAAGGAACAAGTAGTTTGAACTGGGATGATTCTTGAAATAAACTTTGATTTCGTTGATTTGTCTCTTTCCATGCTCTCAAACAGAGTATTGGCAACATGATAGACATTTAACATTTCTCGGAGTTTAATCAACTTATCTTTGTTGTTTTCATCATCTTGATTGATATTGGTAAAAAGATTATCTTTGATTGATATAAATGACAATCCTTCAACATGGAATTTAAATCTTTCAAATGGATCATCATAAAGATTTTGTTTCTTGTTATTATTATTCTTTTTCTTTTTTCCATTTGCTGATGATGAAGAAGATTGTAATTGTTGTAATTCAGCTTCAAAACTATTCATAAAATTATCAGATGACGTTGTCGATGTTGTAGTAGTAGTAGTAGTAGTCGTTGATTTTTCGTCAGTTGCAACAACTTTATCATTGTTTCTTGTTAAACTACTCATCAAATTAGAATAATGATTATCTTGGAGATACTAAAGTAAATGTAATTAGACAACTTGTTTCTCTTTTTCTTTCTTTTTCTCCAACATACATTATTCAAAAGAGTAAACATATCTTTTGAAGCTTGATTTTCTCTACCTTTATCAAAAGTGATCAAGAAACCAGATGTACCATATTTAAAATGAAGTTGTGAAGTTCCTCCAACTGCAGTATTATTATTATCTCCCTTTTGTTTTTTAAATTGATCAACATCTTTTGATGCATTATCATCATTTCCTATTTTTCTTTTATGGTCACTCATAGTTTCTATCTCTTTTTTTTTATAAGCTATTTTAAAATAATCTAATTCATAACACTGACAAACGATGATGACGACAAAAACGAATAAAATTTAATTTATTTCTTTTTTTTTTAGAAGTCGATATTACATATATCTGATTAAAGTTTATCATTTGTAGAAAGTTTTAAAAGAGTGGAAAATGAATAGAACATTTCAATTAGATACACAATCACCTACAGGTAATCCAATAGGGGGTGGTGCTAATGGTGGAGTACCAAAAGGATTATTAAAATATATACCAGAATCGGTACAACCATTATTTGAGAATCCTTTATTCTCTGCAGGTTTTGGTTTAATAGGTGTTGGTGCAGCAGCAACATTTGCAAGAAAAGGATTTCAATCTGCGCTGATCAATGCTAGACGTTATTGCTTTGTATCGGTTGAAGTACCAAGTCACGATAAATCATATCATTGGTTGATGGAATGGTTGGCTAAAAAGAAACAAAAAAGCACTAGACATGTTAGTGTAGAGACAACGCTTTCACATCACGAGAGTGGTGATATTGTATCGACCATTAACTTTGTTCCATCGGTTGGTTCTCATTACATTCTCTACAAGGGTCGTGTTCTTCATGTAGAGCGTGTTCGTGAAAAGAATGTGGTCGATATGGCATCTGGTAATCTTTGGCAATCGATTACGCTCACCACAATGGGATTCAACAGAAATATATTTAAAACATTGATTCAAGAGGCTCAGGAAATGTCAATCAATCACGAAGAAGGCAAAACAGTCATCTATCACACACAAGGCAACGAATGGAGAAGATTTGGTCACCCACGTGCACGTCGTCCATTGAATAGTGTCATTCTCGACGATGGCCTTTCCGATCAAATCATTCAAGATGTTCAGAAATTCCTCAACAATTCACAATGGTACACTCAAAGAGGTATCCCCTATCGTAGAGGTTATCTCTTGTATGGTCCACCAGGCACTGGAAAGAGTAGTTTTATTACTGCTTTGGCCGGTGAATTAAAACTCAGCATTTGTATATTAAATCTTGCAGGCAAGAATGTTAGTGACTCGACACTCAACCAACTGCTCAGTTCGGCGCCACAAAGATCGATCATTCTTTTGGAAGATATTGATTCGGCCATTGACACCAACCCACACCAACTCGAAGAACAACAAGACGCCAATGGCAATGTAGTCTATCAGTACCAATACAACAGCAAATACAATTATACTGCTCCAGCATCCAATTCTAGCCAACTTACCTTTAGCGGTCTCTTGAATGCATTGGATGGTGTTGCTGCTAGCGAAGGAAGAATTTTGTTCATGACCACCAACCATCTTCAAAAACTCGACAAGACACTTATTAGACCTGGTCGTGTAGATCTAACCATTCACATGGGATTGGCAACTTCCTATCAGATCAATCAAATGTATCTAAAGTTCTTCCCTAATCATCAAGCCCAAGCCGATCAATTCGAATCTCTTGTAGCATCGGAAACCGTTTCTCCTGCTCAATTACAAGGTCATTTTATGAAATATTCAGAAGATCCAATGGATTCTATAAATCATATTAAAGAATTAATAAAATAAATTAGAAAGATAGATTAATAAATATTTGCGTAGTCGTAGTAGTTTTATTTTAATTTAAAACAAAGGTTGTTGTGGTTGTTGGGTAGTGGTAAAAGATGGTTGTTGTTGTTGTTGTTCATAGTATTGATGTTGTGGAGCAACTTCACCTACAATGGCACTATGATTGTGAATGTTTGATTCTTCTTGTTGTTGTGGAATGGGTGGTGGGTTATGGTATTCGGAATGGAAGACTTGTGGTTCGATTGGCGTAACATTGTGGTCTTGTGCCATTGAGAATGGTGATGAAAAGTTGGAAGATGAAGTGGCAAGTGAATCAAAAGAATTTCGGTAATTTTCACTGCCATTGGCATTAATGTCGGCTGTCGATTCCAAAATTGGATTGGTAGTTGGTAAAGATTGTTGATTTCTCTTTAAAATTCTATCCAATGGAATACTTGGTAAATATTTATAAACAATCGATGAATATTTATATCCAATTGAATATCCAGTATATAATGCTCCTTTTACTTTTTCATAATAATCTAAAAAATAGAAAAAATAGAAAAAAGGTTAAAAAACAAAAATAGATAGATGGAGCTTATTTTTATCTTTTTTTTCCCATACCTAAACCAACACTTTTATAATAGTTATATTTAAGATCTTTAATTTGTCTTTCTAATCTAAGAGCATAACCACCAATCAAGTTGAAAGGATGTTGAATGAGTCTCTCGTAAGTCAAATTACAAAGATCTTTTCCTTTGACTCTTTGTGAAGATATCATGTCGGCATAGAGATCTCCATCTTCAACTACTGTTCTCAACCAAATCTGAACATCTTCTTCTGTCCATTGCATAAAGTCCTCTAATACAATCTTTTTATCAAGGTTGATATGTGGTTGAATCATTGTTACTACTACTACTATTACTATACTATTTGTACAAGATTAATATCTAATGCTACAATAAAGAAAGATGAACCACAACAAGTAAAGAGTCGTTTTGTCCGTTGGGATGACTCACACTCAAAAAAAAAAGATTTTTTTTTAAAATTATTTTTAATTTATTTTTCCTTTGAAACTACGGGGGGGGGTGAGTCACCCTCTAAACAAGAATTATTTAATAAATTTTAATTTATTTTAAATTATTTTTAAATTTCTTTAATAAAGACTAAAATCTTTTCACCAAAAATGTCAAATATTTCTTTAAAGATGTGATGATTTTGTAAAGTTTGTGTGATTGAAATACTGTCAAATTGTTTTGGAATAGTATCTTTGTTTATATCCAATATTGTTAATACATTTTCTCCTTGTGATAACCATGATAAATATTTTCCAATCGATTTCTAAAAATAAATAAATAAAAATAAATAAATAAAATATTAATATACATATATATTTGTTTTTTTGTTTTTTTTTTTCCATTACAATTAAAGCATTAACAACACGATCAACTTCTAAAGATTTTGTTTGATTTGATGGATTATTTAATTCTGGTTCTATTAATTTATAATATTTAACTACGTATGGTAATAATAAACTTTGTACAACGTTTTTACCAAGTGCAGACAATGCTACTATAGCACCGTAATGTGTTGGTAGTGATTTACTTGTATCGTGAAGAGCTTGAAGAAGGGTACGTGTAATTCTACCTTGTAGTGATCCATAGGAATCTCCATACTTTTTACACACCAATACCAATATATCTGCAACATAGTCTCTAAGTTTCCAATGATTTTCATTGGCCGATTGACAAAGTTTTCTTCCAAGTAGACATGTCATCATCGATGGCATCATTTGATGAAGATATAGTTCTGCGTGAAGATGTGTAGATTCCAAGATTGCTCTACACATACGCATCAATCTCATTAGTAATTCGAGATTGGTGAGATTCTGTGTAACTTGTAGTGATATGAAATTGGTAAAATAGGGTAATAGTTGATTGAGAGAAGAATCGGTTCTCAACGATTCTACTACACCTTCAAATAGTGTGTGATTGGGTAAATCATTGACTGAACTAACAACCTTTTCATAAAACATTTGCATCTCTTTTGCAAGTACATGTTTAACTTGTGGTTTAACAATGGCTGTATCTCCTGTAAATGTTGTTGATTCGGCGGTATTTGTTGGTTGTTGTGATTGTGGTTGAGATTGATCATCTAATTTCATTTTCTTTGTTGATTGATCATTTGAATTGTTTGTTGAAGAGGATGAAGATGAAGAAGAAGATGATGCTTTATGAGCAGCAGCAATAACAGCAGCAGATGGATTTTGAGGAATCAAAGGTTGAACACCTTCAATTGCCAACCAATGAGCAGCAATAGATGGTTCGCGTGGACATTTTGGTAGAGGTTGTGAGATGATATCTTGAAAGTTTAATTCACGATCGTGTATATAATAGATTGCCTGTGTAGGACTTTGAACCTTTGAAAACTTGTGTGGTTCACAATTACTATAACCATACAATACTTCTATGTTTCTTAACTTTAATGCATCATTTATATCATCTGTACTTAGGTATTCTCTTTTTGAATGTTTCATAAATTTAATTGATTCCTAAAAGAAATAAGCAAGTAAATGAATAGATTGATAGATTAGATAGATCTATATCTATCTTTATATCTCTATTTAATCACATACTTGAACAATTTCTCTAATTCTATATTCTACATCTGAAGCTAATTGATTTGATATTTCATCACTTAGATTTGATATCCCTACACATTCTGCTATGATCTTTATAGTCTCTTTTGGTAAAACACTCATACTACTACTACTACTAATACTACTATGATATGTGTATTTAATCTATATTTATCAAAGAATCTGATTGAAAACAAGTAAAGTAAAAGTTCGAAAAAACAACCCGCCAAAAAAAAAAAAAAAGAAAAAAAAGAAAAAAGTTTCAAATATAATATTAATTAAACATTTTAAGTTTTATTCAAAGCTTTGATCATTTTGATTTATATTTTTTAAATGAAAATATAAATAAAGTAAAGATGAAGGTTGTTGTTGTGAAGAATTTTGTTGTGATTGTTGTTGTTGTTGTTGTTGTTGAGATTGTAATTGTTGATTACGAAGTAGGTTTATATTTTCAAATAAATAAATATAAGGTAATCGCAGTAAATAAGATTGTCTATTTTGTAGTTGACATTCAGATTCCAAACTAAATTCCCATTTACTAGATACCTTGTCATTGTGTTTGATTTCAATGACTGGTCGAACCGATAGATCAACCGTTGGTATCATAACCACTCTCATCAACTGTGCCATATATTCACATTCATTGTGTGTACATGTTTCCAACAATTGTTTTTGATAAAATATTGATAGATCAGACGATGAACTATTTTCAATAAAAAATTTCCTTGATCTTCTCTTTTCATAAAATCTATGTCCTAATGGACATTGATATTCAAATGCTAATTTACCTGTTTCATCTTTGAAAAATATTAGTAATGGAATATTTGGATTTTTTCTATTTGTTTTTTTATATTTTACATTTTTGTAAATTAATATTTGGACTGGATGATGTATTATTCCAAATTGCGAAAATTCTTTTCATTTCCCAATCTTGAAGGATAGATTCATTATTTACAAAATAACCATCATTTGGTATACTGAAATTTTCTTGACTATTGTTTAAATTCTTTAATCCACTACTTGCAAATTTAAGTAGAGCAAACCAAGAAAATGTTGGACTGTAGGATTTATGTTGATAGGTAATTGGTGAATGATAACTTAGTAGGGTTTGTGAATGATCTACCAAAGTACATTGTTGATTACAACATTCCTGTTGAAAAAAGGTAGAATTTGCAATTTCAATGTCAAATACATCCTCTCTCAACTTTATAGTTTTTCCACAATTACATGTAGCCAATGATCTGTAACCTGATGAATGTGGTCTTGTTTCAATATCTGTATTGCTACCTCTTGAAGAATATTCTTTGGCCACTCCACTACTACCCAAACTTGGTAGATGATGAGTTTTCAAAGTACATACTCTACCAGTCACACTTTCAGCCTCACATAGCTTTCTACCCTTTTTCCAAATAGATTCACATTCTATTCTAAGATTATTTGTATATTGATCGATTGCTGGACCATTTGAATTTAATGTTAGATATTGAATTGATTTTTGTAACTTTGATTGATGTATCTTTGATCCATAAATTGGTGGTAATCCTTCTAAATAATTTTCAATTGCCAATTTAAAATATGATTGACAAATTCTAAATAAAAAATAAAAGATTAATAAATAAATATAACCAATTATAATATTTCAAAATATATTTACTTTGAAGAAAAATAAAGATCAATTGAAATATAATTTTTTAAATTATTTAAAACTGATTCTTTTTGCTCAAAAAGACCACCAAGTAATGAAGTTGTAATCTTTTCCCATAATGAATATTCTGCCAATTTATATTTATGATTATTAATTGAATATTTAAAACTATTTATACATGCTGTTGGTATATTATGATATCCTATAAAAAATAAAAAAATAAAATAATAATTAAATAATTGATTAAATGTTTCTTTTTTGTTTCACACATACCAGATTCATAGACAGACATTAATTGAGTATAAAATCTAAAATGTTTTTGAATAGATAAAGATTTACCCTTTTCATCAATCAATTGATTTGATGTGGGTTGATTATATATTTGATATAATCTAATCAATCTAACCAATGGTCTATTCATTTCTATCAAAAATAGAGAACTAGATGATAGAGAGGAGGATCCTCCTTGATCCTTTTTAAAAGTATTGACATGATGAGAAAATGAAGTAAACAGACTATTATTTTTCAATAATGTTATTATTTGTTTCTTTAGATTCTCTTCCAATTTTAGATGATACTCTCTAGAGTAATTGTCAGTGAGATCTTTTACAAGAAATACTTGAAGGATTGGTATACATCTACCAGGTTGTAAAAATGGTGTAATATCATTGGGAATGTTGTGTTTTGTCAATATATTATTAATCGATGGCATTGTCATTTGTTTCATATGTTTTAAAGTTTTAAATATATTAAAATAATCTAATTTTATAGTTAAACTTTCAAATACAAGCTAAAAATTAAAAAGAAAATTATTAATTAATTTATAAACTTTTATCTTTTTTTTTCTTTTTTGTATGCATACAAATATAATATTACAAGTATTAAATAAAAATAATAAATATTTTAAATAGAGATAATCTGCATCATCAAAGAATTTTTCAATATCATTTGAAGTAGAGTTATTTAAAGTTGACAATTCTTGACAAGCCATTGAAAGTAATCTAGTATCTCTTATTGAATTTAGATTGATATATACATTTTCTTTTGATTCATCATGATATATTTCCAATTTAATTGGTTCTTCTGATAAATTGACATTGTCATCATTTGTTGATGGACTGGCTACCTTGTGAAATACAGATTGATTTACCAACTTGTTTAGAAACATAAATTTACCTTGACTTGAATCTCCAATTACACCAATAACACATACTCTACCACTTGGTGGTAAATCTATAGATGATGATTGATCTTCTTGATACGATGAATCATCTTGTAATGATGATGATGAAGATGATAGTTCTTCATTATTAAATTGTTCTACTTGTGTTGTTGTAGTTGTTGTTGGTTGTTGAGATTGTTTACTATGATGATGATTCTTTGACCTTGAATTTGACTTTGTCTTTTCAGTAGAAGAAGAAGAGGTCGAAGTGGTTGATGATGTAGTAGTCGTCTTTTCTGCTGATGATGATTTCTTTACATAACGATGATGTTGTCTATCTGATTTTGGTTTTCTTTCACCACTACTACTAGTAGTAGTAGATGAAGATGAAGATGAAGAAGGAGTTTTACTATTATTACTCATTCTATATATTTATCTATCTATGCATCTTCTCATTCAAATCAAATAAACTATTTAAAAAAAAAAAGGGATTTTCATATCAGATGAAAAAATGATAAATAAATAAATAATGTTAAATTTATTAATAATTTTAGATCCAACTTTTTTTTTTTTTGGTTCTTTTGTACAAATGATTAATTAATTAGTTCCTTTTCCTTTTCCTTTTCCTTTTCCTTTTTTATTTTTTTTGTTATCTACACCATTTATTAAAATCATGAGTTTTAGCAATTGGATCTAAATCATAAGTTTTCCAATATTGTTGAATGATTGATTTGTTTTTAATGTCGTAGTCATTGATATCGTAGTATTTTGGATCAGATAGATCATGTGGATGATCCAAACCAAGTATGTATTTTGCTCTGTCGACTGATTGTCTCACGCCGACACGATATTCTGATACATCTTCCCAAAACTTTGGTTGATCTTTACGAATGTAGAAATGATAACAAAAGTTCATTGTAGGTGCAAAGAATCTGTAACCATTGACCCATAGACGTACGGTATGTAAGATCTCTTCACCTTCAAACATGTTGGGAAGATGAGGATCGTATGGAACCGTTGATAAAAACTCTGCTGTACCAAAAAAGAAACCAGCCGCTAAAAATGGACACTCTTTTGGTACCTCGGTGGCAGCGAGAATATAAGAGTTGAATGTCATGAGACCCTCTGCATTAAATATACCTTTACATAGATTGGGTACATGTGTTTGGTCATCTTTTGGCAGTCCAGATGAATCGTGGTCATATGGTAATGGATAATGAGTCAATATCCCTTTGGGAACACCACCTCTTCCAATCTCTACACCTTCGACACGAGTCAATTTCCAATGATCATCAATCACATGAACATCCCAATGTTTGATAAAACGCATGTGTGAATCGATTTGCATATAATAAGTTTCTTTTTTGTATAGTTTGCTTGCCCAGAATCTTGCCAATGTCGGACCTTTTGACTCTTCCGATGTCATTGATTTGAATCGTATGTGTTCATCTACCCATTCTTTTGGTATATCTAGAGAATGATAACAATAGGAATTGGGATAACCATGTTCTACAGTATCATTGAATATCTTGTCAATCTTTTCAGCACCTTGATCTACCACTCCAACATATATATACTCTGGATGTTTTGCATTCTTGTAGATATAATTAATCGTATCACTACACATTGCATCTCTATAAGATGCCAAAGATATAAATATAGTTGGTTCCAATTTCACCTGTTCTTTACTTGATATTAAATCATTTTCTCCTTCTGCTTTTTCTATTACATCTACTTGTTGTTGATCTATATTGTTATTATTATTATTATTAAAACTTGGACTAAATTGAAATACTCCTATTATTATAAATACTGTTATACATACTAAAGTAGATAGATAGAGAAAAAGAGGTTAATAAAAGTTCTATTAGATTCTAATCTTTTGTTCAATAATAATAATAAACATACATAGTGCTATAAGTTTAAAAGTTGGTGCCATCATGATTGATGTCTATCTATATCTTTTTATAATCTATCTATTTACACTTGAGATACTACTCATTTACAAACTATAATATTTATTTTAATTAATACCAAAAGAAAAAAACAAAATTGAATTGAAGTTGTGACTGCGCATTAAATTAATTTAATTTTTTTTTTAATTTTTTTTTAACAAGTAGGAAATCTTTCAAGTACAATGTTACCATCTAATCCAGACCATCGTGATGGGTAGAAAAGATTAAAATAAATAAATTTAAAATTTACTAAACAAAATAAATTATTCAATATATGTTTATTTTTCCTTTTAAAGATTAAATTTAAAAAACATAACATCACCATCTTGAACTAAATAATTTGGACCTTCTTGTCTTTGTTTACCTTTTTCTTTTGCCAATTTTTCATCACCGTTGACGTCGATGAAATCTTGATAGGCGATTGTATCTGCTTTGATGAATCCCTTTTCAAAGTCGCTGTGGATGACACCAGCGGCAGCTCTTGCCTTTGTGCCAACTGGAATGGTCCAAGCACGACATTCACGTTCCGATGCAGTATAGTATGATTGAAGACCCATAAGATTTCTTGCTCCATTGATAACCTTTGACAGACCGTTATGTGTGAGACCATAGAGTTGAAGGAATTCCTTTTTCATTTCCTCGCTCTCTAGATTGGCCACTTCACTTTCAATTTTGGCCGATACAATCACTGGATCTACTTGTGATCCTTGTTTTCTAGAGAATTCTTTAACCATTTCTGTATATTTGTTGCCAGTGGCAACGTCTGCTTCACCGACATTGCAAGTGTAGAGTATTGGTTTACAGGTGAGTAGGTGGAGTGATTGGAAGGCGGCCCATTCCTTTTCTTCGATTTCAACGTCACGTGCCAAAACACCACCCTCTAATGATTTGATGACACGTTGTGCCACTTGATTACGGAGTAGTTGTTCTGGTGTTGGACGTTTCTTTTGTTCGGTCAATACCTTTTCCAATGATTGCATGTCGGCCAAAATCAATTCAGTCTCTATCGTCTCTATATCCTTGATTGGATCAATGTGATCGTGAACATGAGTAATATTACCATCTTCAAAACAACGAACCAAATGTACAATCAAAGATACCTGTCTAATGTTGGCAAGGAATTTATTACCCAAACCTTCACCATCCGATGCACCTTTGACCAACCCAGCAATATCTACAAACTCTAATTGTGTTTCAACTTTACTCTTTGTATTTAATAATTTTGATATATGATTTAATCTTTCATCTGGTACCATTACTAATCCTATATTTGGACTAAACAAATAAAAAGTAAGTAAAATAAGACTAGAGGAAGTAGTATTTGATTTGATTTGTATTACTTCTTACTCTATAGTACAAAAAGGGAAATTTGCAGCAGCAGCAGATTGTGAACTAGTAAGAGCATTGAATAAACTACTCTTACCAATATTTGGTAGACCTACAATACCTGCAGATTTACATGATCCTTTTAATCTCATAAAATGTGATGCTTTGGCTTTTGTATCTCCTGCTGCTATCGGTGTTGCTGTTGCATAATGTCTAAGTATAATTCTTGTCGATGATGACGACAAAGATTGACTATTCGTCGTCGTCGTCGTTTTAAATAATAATTGAATTGATGATTTAATCATTATTAAAGAATTGTATAGAAAAAACGAGTAATCAAATTCTGATCGTGTCTCTCGAGAGAATGCAACGATAAAAAGGGGGTGAGACAATTGTGTGTTGTTTGTTTTTTTTTTTTAATTTAATTTCGAGGTGGGTGGGTTAAACAAACAAAACTGATTGATGATGATGATGTTCATTCAAACAACTCTCATTCTTTTTCTTTATCTATATATCTCTCTCTCTTTCTCATTATCTATATTTTTTATTTATTCATAGGATGAAAGATCATTTAATAAAATCATATTTAAAATTAATAGCAATTGGATCGATTGGATTATTTTCAGGAATTGCTATATCATGCAACTTGATTGATATACCAATCCTATTAAATATATCAAAAAAGGATAAACAAAAAGCTGCAACATCATTTAAAACACTCTATACTTTGGCAGCTCCACCACAAGCAATCATGTCATTGTTGGCTGCCACTGCTGGTTTGGTTTTATTCTTTAGAACTAGAGCCAAAGGTAGATGGGCTTTATTTACCATTTTATCATTACTTCCTGTTCCATTTACACTTGCATATATGGGTCCCTTAATTAATAAACCTTTATTAGAGTATGTAAATTATTAATAATAATAAAAACAAAGAAGATAATAATATTTATTGTTAACAATTATAAATCTTTTTTTCTTTTCTCTTTTTAGAATGGCAGATAATTATCAACCAAAAATCCATGATGATAAAGTTGAATCGTTGATTCTCCGTTGGAGACAAGCTCATAGTGTTAGAATTCTCTTTTCTTTGATGGGTTTTGGTGTTGGTTTGGGAACTGTTACTGGATTATTTTAATCAACAACAAAAAAAAAGAATAATAATAATAAATAATAATAAATAACTCCATAGCCCGAAGAAAGGTGCTTTTTGAAAGGAGAAAAGAGTACCAGATCGAGAGGCTGGAGCAGATGGGTAGAGTTGGCTGGGAAGGTGTAAGCATCCATGTTATGTTTTTTTAAAAGATTATAAACGTCCTCTTGGAGGTTGGATGTGTGGTTGTCACAATAGGAGGACTTTCTTGTCAGTGCCGTGCAGTTGTGTGTGCTTCTCTGCCACCCACTCTATAAAATGTCTCTTTTGCTCGGTATCAACCCATCCAGATGCATTAAAAGTCACATATGCATCTGATTCTATTTCAACTTCACCCAAACTTGATTTTGGTGCTTTAAATATAATATATGGTGGTAACAATGATCCATCGGCCATAATAGTTGATATTACTGTGATATGTTCGTTGTTATTCACCTTGTGATATCTTGGCTGGCATATCTTGGGATTACAGACGTACTATATAGAATGGAAGGTGTAAAAAGCTGTTAAAATGAAGAATTTTTGTTCATGTGTTATATAGAACCGTTTACCTTTTCCGTTGATGCATTCAAAGTAACTGCAGTCTCATCAAAGTTACATATGTTCTTTAGCTTGACTTGGTTTTCACATAGATTCATTGTTTGTATTTTAGGCCAATCTTTAACTTGAGGGCTATCAGCAGATGTACGTTCTTGTGTAGTCATTGCTCCCTTTCTTGTTTTGAGATCTTTGGCAAAAGGGTGTTTTCTAAAGGTTTTGTGATACCAAGAATCAGATGGTTCTTTTTGTAATCACTTCCTTTGATGACATGGGCCTTAAAAAGAGTATAATTAGCCATTGTAATCAATATACACGTTTTTTGTCAATTATTTGTTGTTGATTGGGGAAATATTACCATTTTAATTACATCTTGCTTTGTGGGAGGCTTCTTAGCCTTTTGGAGACTTTCTATCTCATCAACCAACTGCTGGGTTTGGTCATCAGTGAGATAGGTTCTGCTAATCACATTTCCATCATAGACCTCAGTTACAGTCTTCTGAAACATTCCAATACTCCAAGTTCTTCACATATCTATTATAAGCTTAGTTAATATGTTTTGGTAAATCTTCTTTTGTTTTGGTACCTCTTTTTGTGTCCTCAAGTCTTGGCGGTTCCTTTTTAGATACTCGAGGATTACCTTCTTCTGACCACCTCTCTTTCTTTTAATTTTCCTCTGGGGAATTGATATACTCCTTCTTGTAGGTCTAAGGTTGCCTGGATTGGTCAATTTTAAATATAGAAATGATTAATTCTTTCAGTTCAAAAAAAAAGGAGGGAAAGTGCGTGTGTGACATTTGCGCACCAAAAAAACATCGGGAAGTAAATAAATGATTTAATTACTAATAAATAAATAAATAATATTTGTTTTGTTTATTTTATTAAATATTCAACACTTATTAGCTACAATTCAACCGGCGGGAAAAAACCGAAAATAAAAATAAATATCTATGCAGATCTGGTCCAAATATGGGCTAACGGAGTGGCGTCTAAGACAATATACTCTTGTATTTGGACGATAAGAAGTATTTAATCCAAATACTTCTTACCGTCCAAATAGTTCTTGACCTACTTGTTCTTTTACTTCATTATCCAATAAAGTTCTATAATAAAAAATAATAGATAAAAGTTAATATAATTAATATAAATATATATATCTATGTAAAATATAAATGACATACCCACGACAATGTAAAACATGTTCTCGCGTACCTGGACTGATGCCATACATCCCTTTAACTTGTATAGGGCTCGCCTTCTCTCTCGACCACCTCCCATCCCATTGATGCAAATTGGGTGACGTGAGTATCATATTTGCATGGAGGGCAAATGAATACCTTTGCCTTTGATCGGTTGATCTCGTGTGGAGACGTGGAAATGTCATGACCATTCATGCATATGAAATTCAATGCTTTCTCGGCTCCCTTATACTCTGTTTGGGCCGTAGTTCTGCCACCTTTGTCTCTGATGTTGTCTAAAGTTTTAAAAATAGAATCCTTTTTTTTAAAATATTAATATAAATATGATAATAATAATAATAATAATTAGCAATAATGTGTTTTCAAACATACTTTAATCCATCTCAACAACAAATCTTTGTAAATGATCCTTCACTTTACAAAATCAAGGCAAACAAAACTATCGAAACTCAACAAAGAAGGAATGCTTTCCAATGATTTGGCAAGTAGTAGTTGAATTGAATTGAATTGATTGGTTGATTGGTTGATTGATTGGTTTAATTGTAACATTTTCAGTGATTGAATGGTTGGTAGATTGATGATTACAATGAAAGAGAGATTGAATAACTACAAAGATGTGAAATAGATAGACAAACAGATTGATTAAATATTATTGATTGATTAACTATTATTGATTGATTAACTACAATCATTTTGGATGATGATGATGATGAGGAGGAGGAGTGGAGGGGGATATCCCCCCCTATATTATCTCTAACAATCTTCTTTCTGTGTTTAAAAAAAAATAAAGAATAAAATCGAACTACCTCTAGTTATAGCTCTAAAAAAAAAAAAAAAAAAAATTTTTAAAATAAAATAAAAAAAATTATTCAATCAAAATATACTTTATTTTTGTATTACTAATATTTTGATTATGATTTAAAGATTTTTAAATTTATCACAAGCTTCAACCAAACCAGAAATAATACCTGGTTCAGACATACTGTGACCAGAATCTGCAATGATTTTCAAGTCAGAGTTTGTCCAAACCTTTGAAAGTTCCCAAGCAGTGGTGGCTGGACAGACTACATCGTATCTACCTTGAATGATGACACCTGGAATGTTGTGTTGATTGAGAATGGTTGCATTCTTGAGGAGTTGTCCTTCTTCCTTGAAGAATCCACCATTGACAAAGTAATGACATTCGATTCTAGCAAAGGCCAAAGCAAAAGCTGGATCTTCTCCTTCTTTGATCTTTTCATCATCAACCATTAAACGTGAAGTTGCCATCTCCCATCTGGTCCATGCTTGTGCACATTTCATCTGTGTCTCTTTATCATTATCATTGGTTAATCTACGATAATAGGCACTCATTAAATCTCCTCTTTCAACTCTAAATGAAAAGGAAGGAAAAAAAAATTAGAAAAAGAAATAATAAATATGTTTATAAATATTTTACATACTCTGGGATTACACTAAGGTATTCATCAAAATAATCTGGGAATAAATAATTACTTCCCTTTTGATAAAAGAATAATAATTCTTCTCTTCTTAGAGTAAAGATACCACGTAACTAAGTTGATACAAAAAATAATTAATAATGAGTTTTTCTTTCATTCATTTCTTTCAATCTGTAAAACATACAATTAAACATTTAACAACGGTTGGATGAGTTTCAGCATAGGCAAGAGCCAAAGTAGAACCCCATGATCCACCGAAAATAGCCCAACGATCAATTCCAAGGTGTTTTCTAATCTTTTCGATATCATCAACAAGATGCCAAGTAGTATTATCTTGTAATGAAAAGAGTGGAGTACTCTTTCCACAACCACGTTGATCAAACATTATAATACGATAAGCTTGTGGATCACAGAATTGTCTGTACCTAGAGAGAGAGAAAAAAAAAAAAAAAAGGTAGATAAGTATTTGTATCTCTTTTATCTCTTTCTATTTCTTCTATTACCATTCACTGCAGCCTCCCCCAGGTCCACCGTGTACAAAAAGTATTGGATTGCCTTGAGGATTACCTGACTCTTCAACGTATAGTTCATGAATATCTGATACTTTGAGACGGTGTTCCTTGTATGGTTGAATTGGTGGGTATAATGTTCTTGGGTAATCCAATACTGATTCTCTTGGTTTACTAGTTGTTGTCATTTTAAATGATTATATATATATATTACCAATGGAATGTGATCTTGTGATGACAAACAAGCCTTCAGTCTTTGAGGCCTGGGCAAATTTGAAAAAAATATATTTTAAAAAAATTATTATTATTAATCATCGAAAGGTCGCACTGTGATCCAAAGGCCACAATGGTAATATAATTTGGAACCATTACATACAACATTTATTCATACAACTAGTAGCAGTAGTTACTTATTTCATCAACCTCTTTTTCCTTTTACATGTGATAAAGTGGGTGTGGTGAAACTTTACCTCATGATATCGTGGATGTGGGCCAATTATAGTGTATGGAACCACTGAGTTTGGTCTAATCAAGGAAGGACTGCTTCACATGTCGACCTATTGTATATTATGCTAAAAGTTTTATTAAATGAAATATTATATTATGGATCCTTGCGACAAGGATCCATAATATAATATTTCATTTAATAAAATAATATTTCTGGTCATTTCCCATACCACATGTTCTTTGCATTGGCTCACAACATATTCATTATTGGTTTATTAGTGTTGGTAGATTATATTACAAGGATAGTCGAGGGATTGTCAGGTAGTAAAAGTGCATCACCATGTTATCATATGACTTTTATTATAAAGTTTTAAACATGACAACTTTATCATTTGTCCTTGCATTGATTATACGTGCAACTTTAATCAAGAACAACTTTTGCCTTGTTACCATAACCAACCCTTTATTCGTCCAAGTTCTCCATCCCAAAACATTTTGATTGTATGTTTTAAAAGCTGACCATTAGTGTCTATCAACAAATGAAAGATATCATGGACAACGATTCATGTCAGCAACGCATATTGCCTCCTGGCACAGATGGATTCTTTGTTTCATCCGAAACCATTTATCTATCCAATTTTTTTTATATTTAGATAATAGGAGTTCGACTCAATTAACAAATCTATTTAAACTCTGTACATTTATTAATAATGAGTTGAAAAAGGATCCCTATTTATAAATTTTATGATACTGTTGGTTGTCAAAAAAAAAATATTGTTCCAAACATTGCCCAAAACGCAAACATGGGTTGAGCATCGGCATACTAGAAATATTTAATGAGACACCAGATTTTCATGAACTTTTTGTTGAAGAGTCAGGTAATCCTCAAGGCAATCCAATACTTTTTGTACACGGTGGATCTCGTGGGGGTTGCAGTGAATGGTAATAGAAGAAATAGAAAGAGATAAAAGAGATACAAATACTTATCTACCTTTTTTTTTTTTTTTTTTTTTCTCTCTCTCTAGGTACAGACAATTCTGTGATCCACAAGCTTATCGTATTATAATGTTTGATCAATGTGGTTGTGGAAAGAGTACTCCACTCTTTTCATTACAAGATAATACTACTTGGCATCTTGTTGATGATATCGAAAAGATTAGAAAGCACCTTGGAATTGATCGTTGGGCTATTTTCGGTGCCAATGTTATAAAAAAAAAATGATTATTTATTCATCATTTGATCTAACATTTAAAATTGATTGAGGATGAATTTGAGATTCCTCCAAAGTTTGTTTAAAATCTTGACCAGTATAAACTTTTTTTGGAAACTGTGTAACAAATTGGAAATTCTCAATCTCTATTCCACTACCATGAAGAAAATCACTCAACTAGAAATAAATAAAAAGAAAATAAACATTAATGTTATTCATAAATATATTTTTTTTCTCCTTTTCATTTGCTTACAGTTTGTAAAGTATCTGTAGAATTAAATCTTCTTTCCAATTTTGAATCATCTGGTAATTTAAAAATAATTTGAGTAGATTTTGGACCTTTGGCAGGTTCGGGTGGAACCAAATTGATACGATCCAATCTCAATTGTTTGGCATCATTTATCTTTTGTTCCTCTTGTTCTATTCTTTGTCTCTCTTGTTGTTCTTTTTTTGCCTTTTCAATATCTGCCTTTAATGATTCTTCATATGCTTCATCTTGATCTTGAACTAATCTTCTTTCTTCTTGTTTTTGTTCTCTAAAAAAAATAAAATAAATAAAATTAATATTTATATTTATCTTTTTTTTTTTTGTTTTTTCTACTCCTTTTACTCTTCAGCTTTAATTCTATCCAATTCTTGCATATTTGAAGTATATTGATGAATAATTTTAGAATAAAATTCATCGCCATCTGTGATACCTTGTAATAATTCCAAAACTCTTGGGGTACTACTAAAATTGGCAACAAGAGCAACGATTGGATAACTTTCAAATGGAATTAGATTAAATAATAACATTTGTGCAGTTTCATTTATAGTTCCAACATAAAATATATAATTATTCATTATAAATTCAAATACTTTTTCTTGTTCTAATATTCTATAAAATAAAATAAATAATAAATAAATAAATATTATTTTTTATCTTTTTATCTTTTTTTTTTTTATACGTACGAACAAAACATTACACATTGTTCAGATTCAGGACTATGTAAATAGGTAAGAACCAATTTACCTTGTAATTTTGCTTCATTGAGAGCTTCTTTATAACTACCTTGGAATGGTTCTGGAAGATTCATTCCAAAACTAGCATAATCACTTGCAAAGGTTGGATAAGATACTTGATCCAAGAATTCTGTCAAAGCTTGTGGTGATAGATTAGAGTCTTGATCAAAAGATGAATTGGGGAAATAATTTGTTGCAAATCTTGATGTTACATATGGTCTAGATACATCATAATCACCACCATCCATTGCATCATCATCATCGTCTGAAAATGTTTCAATATTATTATTTTCATCATCATTATTATTACTACTATTATTTACTGGTGGAGTTGCAATACTTGGTGAACTATTACTATTATTGCTTTCATTTATATTGATAGCATTTATATTTGAAGATGGTGATACAACATTGTTGTTGTTGGGTGTAGTATTATTTTGTTCTGCTACTACTGTTGTTGTTGTTGTTGTTGCTGCTTCTGTATTGTTTGATGATTCATCAACTTGTACCATTTCAACTCTTGATAAATCCATTGATGCCAATGTTGTATCTTCATTTACTAAAAAGAAGAAGAACAAGAAATAGAAAGAGAGTTTAATAAATAAATAAAAAAGAGATGTTTACTTCTTTTTACTATTTCTTACCATTTACTAAATTTAATAACATTTGTTTATTAATTGGTATACCTGTATATGCTTCCAATGTTGATTTTAATATTGATATGGTTGCATTGATAGGTAAAACCATTGGTAATGTATTACCATCATATAATACATCAAATACTATACTATCATCCATTCTCTCCAACTATATATATATATATACACACAAATTCTATATCTTTTCTATATTTAATGAAATAATGAATCGAGGAGTTCACAAACAACATAGAGAGGAAAAGGAAAATTTTTAAAATTAAATTAAAAATTACTTTTTTCGATGAAACCCACTTATGAAACCTATTTTTTTTTTTATTATTCATTCTTTGTTTGTTCTTGTCTCAACTTTTGTCTTTCTAATCTTTTCTTTTGATTTTTATGTTTTTTAGAGATTAAATGATTTGTCCATTGAAGTTGACCATTTAATTCTTTATTGCCACAGATTTCACAATAATATTTTTTCCATTCATCCAAATTTGATGATTGCGACAGAGATGATTTACTTTTTTTTCTTTCTCTTTTTGATTCTTCATCTGATTCTTTTTCTTTTTCTTCTTCTTCTTGTTCTAGTTCAATTTTATTTTCTTTACCATTTAAATAATTATTTATAATATCAAAAGATTTTTGTTTAACATTTTCATTCCAATTGTTTAAATTTGAAGTATCCAATTTATGAATAAATAATTTGTTTTGACCAGATAATTTTTTAATCCATTTTCTTTGATTGACTGCATATCTTTTTGTCCTCGTCTTGGTTTGCATCAATGCCTGTGCCAATTCCTTTTCTTGTAATTCCAAACTATCATTATTCTTTTTGGATTTGTAATAATTGTACATTTCTTTTACACCAATCGATTGACAAACACCTTTTGTAAAGTTCTCTGTCGTCTGTTGGTTTATATTTGGATGATCAAATATTTCAAATATTTCCTTTACCAAACCTCTTGCAACCATTTCATCTACACGATCAATTAATCTCTTTTCCAATACATCGTCTTGACAATCCAACCAAATCAAACAACTCGAAAATCTTTCAACCTTGTCTTGTTGTTGTTTTAATATAATATCACTATGTTTTTGACCAGTCGTATACCAAATATCCAAACTTCTTTTAATCTTTCTACTATCATTTTTATGTAATTTGTTTGCCATTAATTCATCAACTTGTTTTAATTTTTCAAAACTATATTCTCTATTAGTCGAAGAAGAAGAAGAGGAAGATGAAGAGTTGTTGATATCATCTTGTTCTATTGTTTCTTCTGTTTCATCATCTTTGTTATCAAAAGAAACAAGAGAATTATTCCAAAGTATAGAAGTTGTATAATAATGAGTACCACCAACGATGATTGGTACTTTACCTCTATCCAATATATCATTGATGATTGGTATGACGGTACTTGTAAACATTCCAATATTATAATTTGTAGTATCTATATCAATGATACTCATCATGTGATGTGTTATAGATTGCATCTCTTCATTGCTAACCTTGTTGGTTATTATATCTGCTCCTTTATATAATTGCATTGAATCACTACTAATAATCTCTCCATGAAATTTTATTGCCAATTCTATTGCCAACTTTGACTAGTATGATAGTAAAATATAAGTAAATTCTAAACTTTTAAAACCTTACTACTCATGTTTTCTCTTACAATACCTTTCCAACACCTGTTGTACCAAGTATAAATATAACTAATTTATCTTTAAATCTATTCTCTATTATTTTATTATCATTTTCTGTTGTACTAGTTGTACTAGTTGTACTCGTCGTACTAGTCGTACTAGTAATATCATTCATCTTTTTTAATCTATTTCATTTGACTGTCACAAGATCAGGTGATCGGCTCCGTTTCGCGTAGAGAGAGGGCAATTATTTTTTGTCATTTTGAAATGAATTTTATCAAAAAAAAATGTTTGTGTAAAATTTTCGTTTGGGCGCATGCCGATGGTCACCGCAACCAAATGAACGATATTTGGGTATCCTTTCTTTCCTTTTCTCTCCACCGAAATCGTATGTAGAGAGACAGACAGACAGATTGAAAAAAAGAGATCACAGATAGATGTGATGTAAAGAGAAGATTACTTACTCCTATTTCCAACCTATACCTTACACACTACATTAGACAATGTCAAAGAAGGAAGTTAAAGCCCCAAAGGTTGTTGAGTTGCTCTCCGCCAAGATTGGTGCCAAGCCAAACGAAGAAGTCTTCGCTGTTGCCCATATCTTTGCCTCTTTCAATGATACTTTCGTCGTATGTGAACAACAGCAACAGAATTAGTATTAACAACAGAGAGAATAGAGAAACTAACATCAATTTCCAACTATATAATACACTTGACACGCATAAAATTTTAGCACATTACTGATCTTTCCTCAAAGGAAACTATCATCCGTATCACTGGTGGTATGATGGTCAAGACTGATCGTGATGAATCCTCCCCATACGCTGCTACCATGGCCGCCCAAGCCGTCGCTGCTCGTTGCAAGGAAGTTGGTGTCACTGCCCTCCACGTTAAGCTCAGAGCTACCGGTGGTACTGGTTCCAAGACCCCAGGTCCAGGTGCTCAATCTGCTTTGCGTTCTCTTGCTCGTTCTGGCATGAAAATCGGTAGAATTGAAGATGTCACTCCGATTCCAAGTGACAGTACAAGAAGAAAAGGAGGCCATCGCGGTAGAAGATTGTAAGAAAACGAGTAGCTCCTATTCATTTGTGTCTTAATGTGTTAGAACAACACCATTGGATGAATAAATATACTTTATATCTATAAACAATCATTATTTTATTACAACTTTGATTATCTGTTTAATTTTATTTGTTGGATATTTTTGGTTTTTTTTTTGCCCACAATTCAAACCCACACACTTTGTGTTTTAGTGTATTGTTCATCATTAATTATCACTAGTTACACATTGAATTAGAGGATTGTCTGTTATTGGTTCTCTATAGGAGGAGAACATCACTTGTTGATATCAACAAGTATTTGACAGACAATCCTCTAAACAGTTTAGCAATGATATCAGCAAAATAATCTTTGTAATAGAGTAGACAAGCAGCCTTCTTGATAACATGGTATGGTTTTCTCTTAATTGATATCTTATTCAAAGTTCCTTATCCACACCAAAGAACCTCTATGCTATACACTCGACAGTGAGCTTAACCAAAAGGCTGGAAAGATCCCACTTGATAATATCACCATTGGATATATTTACGAATCTTGCAAGTGTCATTCCCATGCTCCAGTCAAAGTAACATCGGTCACCAAGGTCCAAATATGCCAACCAGTTATCACCAAGAGAGACTATCGACAACTATACTGATATGAAAGGCATCGATCCAACCTTTTATCCATAGAGATGAACATGGTTATGGAAACCGTGCCAAATACCAATGTCTAACCTGTACTGGCGGCATTACAGTATCTTACAAGGTCCTCATCAACTGTACCTACGAAAACAATGAGAATTGTATCAAGAGTCAGTGCAAATCTTGTATCACTGCAAAGACACCTCTTTCTGGTTACCAAACCATATCCATAGAAGAAAGCACAATGGACTGAATCTCGAGGCGAAACCAATCTTCTATAGATCTTATGTTGTTCGCTGTCCGTTCAAAATTACCATCAACAAGAGAACTCTGTGTGATCTCTCCATCTCCTTGTATTCAATGCTTTTTTTGTTGTGACAACTCGAGGCAAACTTTGGCTATCATCTTTGCAAGCGATGATGGGGCCATTTCTTTTCAAGATATCCATCAATCTTGAAAAGAAAAGTCTCCATCAATGGGAATCTCCCAACCGACACAAAAATCATTCTCGAGTATTGTGGAATGGTGGATACATTTTAGAGTCTTTTAAAAAGGTATGGAATGTGACATGTAAGAATCAACAGGACTTTTGGTTTTAAAGGTATGAAATCCTCAAGACAAGGATTAATCAAAGAGATGGTCTTGGTTAGGTAGATTCGTGTTTGGTACTATATTGCATTTGGTGGCGTGTTGTCGTTTTATATAGCTTGATTTAAAGAACCTTTTGCAAATGAGTATCAATGTGTCGAAACACTAAAAGTACATTAGGCAAAAGGTTCTTTAAATGATCCCAAAAAAAAAAAAACAAAGAAAATCAAATAAATATCAAAAATAATATTTGTAAAATTTATAAATAAATAGCGGGTTACTTTTTTGTTTTGTTTTTGTTTATCAACTATAAATATACCTATAAAAAAATTAAGGAATTAATTAATTTATTAAATTTTTTAAATTTTTTTTTTAGTTGGACATTGATATACATTGGCAAAGTATCGGTCAGAATCCGGGGCGGAAATAAGATTGATTTCACGACAAACAAGGTCCAAAGCATTGGATTCAAAGGCAAAGTAACTAGTAACCAAATGGAGCCTCGGGATTCGTGATGGGCAAACAAAAGGTTCTTTAAATCAGGGTTGTCCACAAACAACCAGATGGCCATTACCACATTCACAAATGTAATATAGTACCAAGAACGAATCTACTTTAACCAAGACTATCTCTCTAATAGGTTGTTTGATATAATTATCAAAAAATGTCATTGTACAGGACGGTAATGTTACGTCAGAGATACTTGAATGATCACCAAAAAAGAATAGTCGCTTGGATGATTCCTCGATACCTGAAACTGAAGTACTGGTGTATGTGAGAACATGACAAGCTCTGTGTTTGGCTTCTCGGTTCAGGGTCTTGAAGATGAGGCGTTGAATCCCTTGGATGGCCTTTTCTTGGTCACCGAATTGGTGCACAAACAAGTGTGAAATGCGCAGCAGACTGGTGTAGTGCTTACTTGAATAATAGTTTGGCTCACCAAACTGACTATTGGGGAGCTTTCCCAAGAAGAAACGATGCTTTTCATCAACTTCGATACACAATCCCAAGACATATCCATCGTCTTTTGGACCAATGAGGACTTGTTGTAAAGTATCAGAGTCCGTCTTGAGGAAAGATCCAATCCTGAATAAAAGACGAAAATCTGAATACGTTGCACTGCGGGTAAGGATAGCATTATTATTGTTAGTTCTGTCCTGTTGTTGTTGTTGTTGTTGTTGTTGCAGGTGAAAGTGATTGAATAAATGATTGTTTTGGTGCGCGAAAAGATCGATCGATTTTATTCGTAGTGATGAGAGGGGTTCAAGATCACTTCAAAAAAGATATTTTTTTATTTAAAAAAAAGATACGTATAACCCAAAAAATTTATTCATCCAATGGTGTTGTTCTAACACATTAAGACACAAATGAATAGGAGCTACTCGTTTTCTTACAATCTTCTACCACGATGGCTTCCTGACAAAAAGGTTGGTTATCAAATATCATTATAAACCAACTTTTTTACATCTTCAATTCTACCGATTTTCATGCCAGAACGGGCAAGAAAACGCAAAACAGATTGAGCACCTGGACCTGGGGTCTTGGAAAGTCTTTCTTGTTCCAAGCGTTCATTCTCGAGTCTCTCTTGTTCCAAACGTTCATTTTCTAGTCTTTCCTTTTCCAAACGTTCATTCTCGAGTCTTTCTTTTTCCAAACGTTCATTTTCCACTCTTTCTTGTTCGATACGCTCCTTTTCCAAACGTTCATTTTCCACTCTTTCCTTTTCCAAAAGTTCATTTTCGAGTCTTTCTTGTTCCAAACGTTCGTTTTCGAGTCTTTCTTGTTCGATACGCTCCTTTTCTAGTCTTTCCTTTTCCAAACGCTCGTTTTCGAGTCTTTCCTTTTCCAAGCGTTCACTCTCGAGTCTCTCTTGTTCCAAACGTTCGTTTTCAAGTCTTTCTTGTTCCAAGCGTTCGGTTTCAAGTCTCTCTTGTTCAATACGCTCCTTTTCCAAGCGTTCATTCTCCAGTCTTTCCTTTTCCAAACGTTCGTTTTCAATTCTTTCCGTCAAGCGTTGGTCGAGCAAGATCGACTTCATCGGCGGAGAATACACCACTCCATCCATATATCTTGTAAGGCTTCATTAGTTTCTCTATTTCATAATCGTATAGCCCAGGTGATTGCTCCTTTGTGAACTTTGGAAAGTTCTCTTGCACTCCACGCTCTCCACCCGACTCTGGCACATCTTGTAGCGGGGTAAGCGCCAATACGCTCTCACATTTGCATCCACCATCTTGATCCTCAGGCGGCAAATCGGCCAAGACCGATTCTTTAGCGTGGGAAGCGGCAAGACGCTCTAGTTTGTTGATCCTGGGTAACGATGTTAATTCTGTAATTCTTGAGTGGATGCCACTGAGTATATCATTTCTTTCTTCTGCAGGTTTGTGTTCCATCTTTTTCTTGTAACAATTTAGTTGTATCTGCTGATGTTAAATGATCTCTTAAGTTGTACAATTGTTGACCAAATTCCTCATTGTTCTTTTTAATTATTTTATTCTTCTGTGTTGGTGTACTTCCATCATCAAAGGGTACAAATCTATTAGTTGTTGCTCTTGATCTTGGTGGTAAAAAGCTGATATTAATCTTCTTATCCTCTATGAATTTAGCAATCAAATCTTTTACATTATTTCTTTCAACCTCTTCTTTCGCCTCTCTTCTTATCTTTTCAATATCTTGATTGAATCTTTGTTGATCTTCCTCTGATTTCTCCTTTAATGAAATGATCTTCTCCTCTGCTTCTCTTACCTTGTTGATCTCTTGATTTAGTTGTTCTTCAAGTTGACGTTGCTGCTCTAGTGCATCTTGCTGCACGCCACGCTGTTGGTGTTCCTCCATAAAACGCTCTAGTTGTGATTTGATTAAATTAGCATCCATATTTGCCATTCTCTTTTCAGTCAACGCCATATTTACTAATAATTCATCATGTTGTTTCTGTTTGTCTGCACGACGAGTAATCCTTTCTATCTTGTCACTTTCATATTCTTTTACTTTCTTTATCATTGCACCTTTACTATCATCAGATTGATTGGTAAAGTATTTTAATAAGTGTTGAGGTATTTGTTGTTCAAGTGCCTCTTGTTGCACGCCACGCTGTTGTAGAAGGGGGTGTTTATCTAAAATTGCCATTGGTGCGAAGCACAGATTCTCTGCTGCAACCTTTGATTCTTTCATCAATGATTCTTTAAAGTTTGAATCTTGTATGTTTCTGATATAGTCAGAGCGTAACACTATCAGGTGATCGATGAATATATGAATATCTGCAGACATTAGAGCTCTAATGATAGGTGTGTGGGAAGTGGAAACACGCTTGAGTTCTTTGATTAATGATCTCATGATTTCCTTGTCGGTCTTCTTTGACTTAATGTAATACTTCTTACCTTTCTTAATCACGTATCTTCTCCCGGATTTTTTGTATGATATGCGTTTTTGATTCGGTAGAAAATAATTAAATTAAAAGGGGTAGAGGGTGTGGTTTCAGAGTCATTAATTGAACAATAGTTAGCTATAAATACGATGCATTCTATGTAGTCTTAATCATTACATTATTAGTTGCATCATTCATTCTTTATTCCTTCTATTATTCATATGACAACTTCAACATCATCAACCGGCCCAGTCGCTCCACAACGTCGTGACCTCACTCTCTTTGTTCACTACCGTAGTGATGTAACCAAGATCAGTTTTAACAATGTTGCCGACCACGACGATCTCCGTCCCATCATTCGAGCCAATCCAGAGTTCGTTATTCCTCGTGGTGCTATGCTTCTCTTTGCCGAGCCACCATCAAATGACAACAATGCCCCTGCTCGTGTACCCCTTGATCCCCTTGCTGCTGTCACTCTAGCCGATGGTGCTCACCTCTATGTTGAGGTTGAGGAACCCTCCGAGTCTGGTAAGTAACTTGATTTCATTTATTATTAAAGAAAGTATTAATTTTTTTCTCTCTCGTATCATCATCAGATCACAAAAGAAAAGATTTAGAGGATTCATCAGACTTAAGAAAGAGATTGAAGATGACTGAAGAAAAGTATTCAGAGTTGGAAGAGGTATATATCAATCTTTTATTTACTCAAAACATTGGCATCACTTACACGTAGGTATATTTGTTTATCTAGATTGTTCGAAAACTAGCTAATGGGTCATTACTTGTAGGGGCAAAGGACTTGACCAACGTCAAGGAGATTGAGGCCGCCAAGAGTACCGCATTGGTTCCCTACATTCCTCGACCTTGTCACTTTGGCAAATGCACCTGTGAGGATTTTATGGAAGGACCGAACTACATGTGGAAGAAAGAACTGTAGCCATTCAAATGTCCATCACTATCCTGGAGAAGAACCCCCACAAGCTCCACAAGCTCCACAATCACCAAAGCCACCAAAGAGACCTTTTCTCAAATCATTATTCAACATTAAATAAATAAATCTTTACAATATCTCTATTATCTATGTAGCATGATAAATTATATGATTTTAATGTCATTTGTTTTGGAATAAATCCGACATTTATGGGTAGGGTTAGGGTTTAATGATGTTTGATTAGGTGTGAAATATCCTGTAAGGATAATTGGTCGTTCTTGACTGGTGCATCTTGTTGCACACCACGCTTTTCTGATATGTATATAATAATATTATATTAAAGTGCATCCCAAACTTCCAAGTTTGATCAAGGTACCACAACTTTATTTTCTTGGTCTTCTCTTTTTTTACCATATCCCATTTGCTCGGCAACTGAACCAATCTTTCCTGCAAAGGGTACAACTCCATCCAAACTCTTTGCAACTTTTGATATTGCTTTGGTGTCTTGCAACCAACCATTTACTTTCTTAATTGCATACCAAAATCCTGCTCCTTGCATCGGTATTGGCCGATTGCCGCCCCTCTGTTTTCTGCTCTTGGGAGAGATAGAAAAAATATGGTTAACAAAAAGAAAGAAATATTTTGGGGGATGTAATAACTATATAGATACTTCGTATATATAATTAGTTTGAGAGGTATAAATTATAATATGATATATATATATATAAATAATGAGTATATAAATAATAATACTTTAGATTAGATTGTAAGGATAAAATATTTTGTAATAAAATAAAAGTGGAATTGGAAAGGAATGAATAATATTATAGTGATAATGAATAATGAAAAATTGAATATAGAATATGGAATGTAGAATGAATCTTTATTGGATTATTCTAATCCTTTTTATAAATTGATGATCCAGACGACTAACTGACGATAGTTAGTCGTTAGTATTTTATCCAAAATACTTTACATATTTGACTGTTCCTAACCAGGATTGAGTATATTGAGTTCAATGATATATCAATGAAATATCATTGAGATATCATTGATTTTAAACAATCTAGATCTAACAGGGGATAATTTAATTTAATTCATCTTTATAAATACCTGATAGTCTTTAGGTTGTTGGCTGATTTTTTCAGATCTGTGAGTTGTCCCTTTTTAGTATTACCATCAAACACTTCCGAGTGGATCTTTTGCAACCGAATCCAATACTTTTTGGTAACCTTTTTGAGCAGCCCTACGTTTAACATCATTCATTTCTTTCCACAACGCCTCTATATATTCGATTGTGTTCTTGTTGAATTGTTTAAGGTGACCTCTTTCAGGAATTCGGAGAGATAGAGTCGACGATGAGACAACGATGGAGCGCTCCAATTGAGGATGGACCATTGGAATTGGTGGACGCATCAAGGAGACCAGAGGATGGAGCAAGGGGACTGGAAGGGACAAGGAGACCAGAGGTTTGACCAAAGAGACCAGAGGATTGCCCAAGGAGGCCAGACGGTTGACCAGAGGGAGCAAAGGGGACTTGATGGAACAAAGGATCTCGGAGAGGAGGGGTTACCTTTAATGGTGTTGTTCTATCACATTAATACACAAATGAATAGCAAACTAGCATTGTGGCTTACAATCTTCTTCCTCTATGTCCACCTTTGACACAAAAGGTTAAACCAATATCATTATAAACCAACTTTTTTACATCTTCAATTCTACCGATTTTCATGCCAGAACGGGCAAGAAAACGCAAAACAGATTGAGCACCTGGACCTGGGGTCTTGGAACCAGTACCACCAGTAGCTCTGAGCTTAACGTGGAGGGCAGTGACACCAACTTTTTTTGTGATTTGATTGACTTGACATAAATTTATGTTGCTATTTATTTATTATTTAAAACCTTATCAAAATGAACATTTTTAATGAACTTTTCAGCAATATCCAACTGCAGCGCACCAAGACCAGCCCGATTACAAAGATATTGTATGCCAGCACCACTATAACCATCTGTCAATTCGACCAACCTATCCAAATCCAAATCTCGATCAAAAGCCATCCTACTAGCAATGACGCGACCAATCATATCACGACGGTCATCTTGGGTGGGCAAACCAACATAGAGTTGAGCTTCAAATCTACCTGGACGAAGCAACGCTGCATCGACAAGATCCAATCGGGTGGTACAGCCCATGAAAAATATCTGTGATTTGATTTGGATACCATCCATTTCATTTAAAAGTTGACTAAGTATACGACTCTGCACATTGCTTCCACCTTCACCAGCATCCATATGTGATCTAGAGAGACATATAGAATCGATTTCGTCAAAAAACAATATACACGGTGACGACAGACGAGCACGAGCAAAAATATCACGAATGATTCTTTCACTCTCACCCAACCATTTGCTGAAAATGTCCGATCCCTTGATCGATATGAAATTGACATTCATCTTTGCGGCAGCAGCTCTAACCAATAATGTCTTTCCACATCCAGATGGACCATACAAAATGACACCAGAACTAGGTTGTAAAGAGAGATTAGAAAATGTCTTTGCATGAATCAATGGCCATTCTATCATTTCTATTAATCTTTGTTTAATTTCACTATATCCTCCAACTGATTCCCATGGGTTATTATTATTATTATTATTGATTTTTAAAACATCAAAATGTGTCATTGTTGATGGTGTAATCGTTGAAATTATTTTTATAAAATCCATTAATTCTAAATTATTATTATTTTGATTATTATTATGACTGGATAATTTTGTCAATATTGTAGTTGAAAATAGTTTATATAAATCTCTATAAATAAATCCAGGTGTTTGAATTGATAATTCTTGACATATATTATTATTATTAATTTCATTGTCATTGTAATTATTTTTAATCAATGATTTTAAAATGGTGAATCTTTGTTGTTGTGATGGAATTGAAATTTTAATGAATCTATCAATACGTGAAGCACGTAATAGTAATTGATTAACATTTTCTATTGATCTAGATGTACAAATAATCATTTGATTGTTTAATAATGAATCTATAAAACTACATAGTTTTAATAATAATGGTGATTGTCTATCTTGACTCGACGACGACGAAGATTCACCTCTACCAAATGAAATATCAATACCATCAAATATAAATATAGTATTGATTGACGTGTCAATTGTAGGTCTATCATTTTGAGATTTTTCCAAAAATCCAGAATCTATATAAACCAATTTAAATGGTTTATCCATTACTGTTGTCGTTGGATAATTACAAACATATTGAATTAATTCCAAAGTTTGAGTACCTTGTTCTCCAACCACCATAACACCTCTTAATGAATCTCTTATTGTCTTTGTCAATAAATTTGTTGTACCACCCTTATTGTGTTGACGACCGACATCAAATTTTATAGTCAATATAGAATTCAATTCTTTCATTTCCTCTTCCAAATGAATGACCTTGTCAAATAATAATTTCTTTTGTTTTCCTCTATTCTCTTGTTCCTTTTCTTTTGTATTTGTTTTTAATCTTATCATCATCTTTGATTCACAATTTAAATAAATTGGTTCCTTTACATTGACATTGAACTCTTCATAGTTGTTTGAACCTTTTTGTTGTTGTTTTAATATCTTTTCAATTTTAATTAAAAATGGTATACCCATTATATTTAATCTAATCATTACATTGTTTAGAATCTAAAAAAGAAGATTGATTAATATAATTGATAAAAAGAAAAGTGATATGTTATATATATATTACATACAGGTTTATCTAATAAATATCTCTTTATAGATGATAAAGAAGAATCTCTATCAAGTATATTAAATCTATCAATATTATAAACACTTTGTGAATGATCTTGAATATAATCAATTTCTATTATTATTAAAGCATTTGAATAAGATAATGAGGAAGAAGAAGAAGATGGAGGAGGAGTGATTGGATAAAGATCAAGTTGTAATACATTGTTATTAAATAAATACTGTTCTTTTTCTTGATCTTGCTTGATTATATTATCTAATATCCATGATGGTAATATTGAATTATAACTACTATCACTATTACTATTATTATTAAAGAGTGGATGTAATTGTATTAAAAGTTTATCATTATTACCAACAAGAGGTAAATCAATTAATACATATTGATAAATATTTATAATCGTCGTTGCACTATCATTATCGTTGTTATTATTATTATTACTATTGATATAAAGAGTAGATATTCTACATATATCATCATTTAAATTAGCAGATACATCTTTACTATCTTTAAATAATGATTTTATCTTTATCATTCTATAGAGAAGAACAAAAGATCATCGATCAATGATCGTCGTCTTTTTACTAAATTTCTATCTTTTTATTTTTAATTTTTATTGATGATCTCTCATTAAATTTTGTTATTATGTTTGTTGGGATTGATGTGGTAAAGACTGAAAGTCTAACCCTAACCCTTATTACTTTCAAGGTTACGGTGAAATCAAATCAATGTGTTACACTTTTTAGTTAACCTTGTGGTTGGTTGGTTGGTTCAACTCACAAACACATTAAATGGTTCTGTTAACGCCAGCAGTCTATGGATTAGTCGACTATTAGATTAAAGTCAAGTGTATCATCATCATCACAAACACAAACACAATAATGTGTTTTGATTTGATTGGATTGGATAAAGAATTTAATATTTAATATTGGACAGTCAACTATTTAAATTTGTCTTAAAATATTATTATTATTACTCTTTTTTCTAAAAATGATTAAAATACTATTATTATTATTAATATCTATTTCAATAATATTTGTTAATGGACAAGATACAACATGTTCAACAAAATTACAACCATTTATATCGGCTGGTGTAAATTATCAATGTAATCAAGTAGCAATTACTGGTATTCAATCTAGTACTGGTAGTATACTCAGTGTAAAGGCAAATGTATTCTTTTATCGTTACTATGATGGTCTACGTCAAAACACTGCCAGTCAATTACTTTCATCGGAATCTGTATCGTGTGATGCACCAACCAATACCAATCAACCATTCTCATCTGCCACTGGTCTAAGTGAATTAATTATCTATAGAAATGCTACCATTCAATTTGGTAGCAATCCATTGGTATCATTACAATGTAGTTCGTCGTCATCCAATTTATTTACATTTCAACTTGCCGATTCAACAAGTTTTCAACTATTTATAAAGACTCTACCAATTGAATTGGGTTGTCCTTCTCTAAAATGGAAAGATACTTGTACAACCTCTACCACCGGTACCACTACAGGTTCACCGGTTACTACTACTACCACCACCACCTCTACTACTACAGGTTCACCAGTTACTACTACCACCTCTACCACTACAGGACCACCATTTACTCAACCACCACGTAATATTCCATTGATTTCATTTAAAAATGTTACCAATCAATGGGTTAGTGAAGGTAAAACTTATTATCAATTTACTCATACCATTGTCAACCCAAATGTCTATGATGTCAAAGATGTTAAATTAACAATTCAAGGTCAATTTAATCCAACTCAATATTGGAACATAGTCATTCAAGACAATACTATCATCTTGCCAGATTATGCCAATCCACTCAAAGCTGGTAAATGGGTTGATTTTGGTTATATTGTAACAGACAAGGATAGTTTTACTTTTACTCCAACTTTTACAAAATAAAAAGAATTTATGGAAATATTATTATTATTTTTTATTAAAATATACAAAGTTGTTGTCTCTCCTATTTTCCATTAACAAAAAGGAGACATACAAAAATTATTAATTAAATTGGTAAGATCGGCATTGATACCTTTTGATTGTCTAGTGATATCTTGTAAATTGGTTATAGTAGATTGAACTGATGTTTCCAAAGATGGTGTTGTCAATTCCTTATTTAATGTTTTAAGCATATCTGTCCATCTTTTTTGAATACCCATAGATACATCATAATTTTTGTTATACAAATTCTTTTCTCTTGCCCTAAAATAAATAAATATTAATATATATATTACAATATTACTTTTTTGTTTTTTTTACATACACTGGTTCAGCCAAATCACAATATAAAGCAATTTGACTTGGATCAACAAATTCTTTTTCTCTTGGTGTTGTTGGTTGTGATATGGTTGTAGATGAAGTGGTTGGTGAGGCTGTCTTGTCATTATCCAACAAGAATTGTAATGGAAGTGGAAGATCTGGCTTTCTCGAAGTTGAAGAGGAGGAAAAACTACCAAATATTTTTGAACCAAATGATATCTTTCTTTTTGGTAATTGATTGGATGTTGTTGTTGATGATGTTACAGAGTTTAGTGATGGTGTACCTCCATTTGCAACATGTGATAGTTTGGATGATGTATTGGAACTGGTTGATGATACTGATGGTGGGTTGATATCATCTTGGTCATCATTAATGTCTGCTGACGACAAGTGACTTGTATTTACATTTTCATCATTATCATCGTCAGAATCATCTTCTTCATCCTCTTCTCCTGATACGATTTTAACAATTGGTGCATGTGGAACTTTAAAGTGTGTTGTTTCATGTTCATTCAATTCATTGGATCGGATATCTGGAGATTGAGCTATAAATGTGAGGTTGCTAGTTTCTAAACGCTCAACTTGAATTCTTTCTTGTTCCAAACGTTCCTTTTCAAGTCTTTCTTGTTCTAAACGTTCATTTTCTAGTCTTTCCTTTTCCAAACGTTCATTTGCAAGTCTTTCTTGCTCGACGCGCTCCTTATTGACTCTTTCTTGTTCCAAACGTTCGGCAAGTTCTTTTTCAAGTCTTTCTTGCTCCAAACGTTCAACGTGTCCCTTTTCAAGTCTTTCTTGTTCCAAACGTTCATTTTCAAGTCTTTCCTTTTCCAAACGTTCAATGCACTCCTTTTCAAGTCTTTCTTGTTCTAAACGTTCGGCAAGTTCCTTTTCAAGTCTTTCTTGCTCCAAACGTTCAACGCGTTCCTTTTCAAGTCTTTCTTGTTCGATACGTTCAACACGTTCCTTTTCCAGTCTCTCTTGTTCCAAACGTTCAACACGTTCCTTTTCCAGTCTTTCTTGTTCAATACGTTCATTTTCAAGTCTTTCCTTTTCCAAACGTTCGTTTTCGAGTCTTTCTTGTTCCAAACGTTCCTTTTCAAGTCTCTCTTTTTCCAAGCGCTCGGTTTCAAGTCTCTCCTTTTCCAAGCGTTCCTTTTCCAAACGTTCCTTTTCGAGTCTTTCCTTCTCCAAACGTTCGCTCTCGAGTCTTTCTAGTTCCAAACGTTCGTTTTCAAGTCTCTCTTGTTCCAAACGTTCGTTTTCCACTCTCTCTTGTTCGATACGCTCCTTTTCTAGTCTTTCTTTTTCCAAACGTTCGTTTTCAAGTCTCTCTTGTTCCAAACGTTCCTTTTCGAGTCTCTCTTGTTCCAAACGTTCATTTTCAAGTCTTTCCTTTTCGAAACGTTCCTTCTCGAGTCTCTCTTGTTCTAAACGTTCATTTTCTAGTCTTTCCTTTTCCAAACGCTCATTTTCGAGTCTTTCCTTTTCCAAATGTTCGTTTTCAAGTCTCTCCTTTTCCAAGCGTTCCTTTTCCAAACGTTCATTTTCGAGTCGTTCCTTTTCCAAACGTTCCTTCTCGAGTCTCTCTTGTTCAACTCGTTCATTTTCGAGTCGTTCCTTTTCCAAGCGTTCCTTTTCGATTCTTTCTTGTTCCAAACGTTCGGTTTCAAGTCTCTCCTTTTCCAAACTTTCCTTTTCGATTCTTTCTTGTTCCAAACGTTCGTTTTCAAGTCTCTCTTGTTCAACTCGTTCCTTTTCGATTCTTTCTTGTTCCAAACGTTCATTTTCCAAACGTTCATTTTCAAGTCTTTCTTGTTCTTTGATAGCTAATCTTTCAGCATGATCTCTTTTCAATCTCAGTTGTTCCTCTTTTTCAGCTTCATCGTCTTGTTGTTGTTGTTGTTGTTGAAGATTATCGTCTATTATTTCTTGAGATTCAATGGGAGTAGTCGAAGCAGTCATAAAGTCCAACAAATCACTACCTAGTGCCAATTCAGCATCTTCGTAGCCCTCTTGATCCTCTTCATAATATTCCTCTTCTTGTTGTGGTTGTTCTTCTTGTTCCATCTCCTCTTCTGCTTCTTGTTGTCCAACACTGCTGCTGCTACTATCTTCATCTTCGTCACTGTCTTCACCCATGACAATTCGTTTATTTTTGCTCATTATTTATTATTAACGTTCAACTAATAATTTAGATGATGGTTGTAATTTACTACTATGTATCTGCAGATGAATTATATTAATACTCTTGTTATTGCTATTGTTATTGTTGTTGATAACAAGAGTTATTAATATGTTGATTATTTGTATAAAAGAGAGAGAGAGAGAGAGAGATGAATGAAAGAAAGAATTGATTGAGGGGGAGGGAATGTTTAAACAAGGTGCCCGTTAAATTGAAAGATAGACCTAAGAAGAAGCGACAGATTTTTCCTCTTCACTTTCAAAGAAAAATAAATTTTAATTATAAGATCTTTAAAAGAGAAAATTAAAAAAATTAAATAGTTTGCTTTATTTCATTTTATCACTCCTCATTCACAATGTCAACCTCATCTACCCAATCAATGCAAGTAGATATGTCAGAAACAACAGGTTCAACAACTACTGCTAGCCAGCAACCTCAACATATTTCCTCCAACACAAGTCCAAATCAATTCCTCATAGATTTGGATCGTTTAAAGCTTTTATATGAAGCAAAGGGAATGTCAGAACAAGAGTTTGACAAAAGAAGGAAAGAGATTATTGACAGAGCCACGAATACTTCAATCCAAGGTGAGTACCAATAGGAGCAATATATTATAATACTTATCTTACAAAAAATAGTTTACTAATACTTTGTAATTACATTAGGACCCTTGGCTTCTCCTCAGCATCAAACCCCAGAAGATATTCAAAGTTATATAAGACAAAATTTTGGACAGTTTCAACCATTTACTTTCACAAACCTCACCCAGATCAATCCCTCAGAGGATTTAAACCATGCACCTGATAACTATGTTGGTGATAGATTTACATTTCAAAATCAAATAGCAGCAAGAAGAATATACTTAGACTGTATTACTAAAATGTATAATGAATGGAGCACAATTGGAGATGCGTATGTAACTGTAGTAAACTTTTCGATATATTAGAATATCTACAAAATAATCATTATCTATTTGTATAGATCCACGTGTGAACCTGCCAAGTTAGTCAAGTTACCAGTATTATGCGGTGCAGGGGGTATAGGCAAAACCACATTTGTTAGAAAAGCACTTGAAAAAGAGCTTCAAGATCCATCTAGCCCAAGGGGCGAGGAAATCACTCAATTAGTTCGTGATTGTGTTGAAGGTAGCATGATATTTCGATTGGATCTTCGAGAGGGAATCGATTTCATTGTTCGCCTCCTTTATGTCTCCATTACTTTTGCGCCCAAGAGGGTTGATTACGATACTTTTCAAAATATTATCAAACAAATGTGGCCCAATCTGACCCTTAAACAAGCCATCGACTTTATTCGCTTCATCAACAAAATACCAAAAGACTCAACTAGACTTGAGGTGCTTCACATTGACGAAACAAATCAAATCACCAACACCTCTGGAAGTTCTTATTTACAAAATATATTATTGAGCATCACACAAAGCACTGTTCTTTCTCAAGATACTTTCATCGTTTGTGCCCTCTCTGGTACCCACGCAATTGACCTGTACTCTTACTGACAACATCTGGACTCAATTTTACAACAATCCCATTGGCTTTAATGAAAGATACTGACATTGAGAATATCATCAGTAAGCTCCTCCAGAACAATGGCTTTACAAATATTCCCACCCCAATGAATTTATTGTGCCAGAATCTTTTTTATGTATGTGGAGGAAAACCAAGATTCTTAAGTATCATGCTCATGTGTATTATGAGGTAAGTAAAAAGGTAACATAATTTCTTTTTTCCCACTAACTTTTTATCTGCTCTAGGGACGGAAAATATCTTAGCCCAAAGAAATTGTTCAATTTTGTCTGCAATCCCTCACCCTCACTTTGTACGGAATATTTGAAAGACACAGTGGCCTACCTCAACCGAGTGTATACCAAATACACCCAGTTTACTGACAGTCCAGATATCAAAAACAATCTTTCAACCATTATCTACTACTCGACCATTGGTAAGGAAATCACAAGACAGGAAATAATTGGTGATTTATCTTACAATATTGGACACATGGAGTCGACCGGCTTTTTGTTTGTTGAATCGCACCCTACGGTGACCAAAACATCATTTGGAAAGGTGTATATTAATCATAGATACACTATTCGCTTTCCCCTTATTCTTGTCCACCTGATGGAACAGAGATGCAATCAAAGCTTTGGTTTGAAAAAGATCTATGGAGACTTGGATTTTCATCTGTCGTCAGGATCGAATGAAATTAGAGATCTCAACATGTTGGTGTATCGAACACAGATGCTCCAACAACATAGAAATCACAACCCCTTTTTTTTGTTATCAGATCTTCTTTCCCCAGTCGCCCTACCTCCCAATGTAAAGGATATTGAGCTCCAATTCCCAACAAACGAGGGGTGCTATCAAATTCAAATACTCCATCACCATGTTACTCGTTCCAACTTTGCAGAGTTTTGCAAAAACAAAACCAATGGTTATGTTGCATTTAATAATGGCTCTAATGCCCCATTTGCAGATTCATTCCTTTTGTTCAAGGACAAACGCAACAAAACCTTTGCTTTGCTCATCCAAAGCAAACATAGTATTACAAGTAAAGGAATGAATTTGAATATGAAATTTTTGTAAGAGCAACAAAATCACTCACTCATCCATCTTCTTTCAACAACAATAGTGAACGAAAAGTCCATACCCCTTTGAGAACATTCAAAAGGAATTTGATAAGTCTCAAGTCGATAACAGCATGCTTATCTACATCACCGACAAAGTTTATGTTGATCAAACCAATCTTCTGGTATTGGTCATTGGTAAACGTCAACACTCGGAGCTATTTGGAGAACTTTTAGCCCATATTAGAGCTTCACAAGTCAGTGACAATAAACAAATCTTTTCAGACTATAGATAATTATGATACCCGTACAACTTATTACTTTTCTCTACCGTATAATCTTAAAATAAAACATTTATCATCACATTAATTTAAAAGGGACACCAAAAGAATAATATTGTTTTCAAAATTTGAAATCAATTAGTTTTCGACTTTAATAGAAGATATAAATAATTAATTAATTGTAATAATATTGAAAAGAGACACGACAGCGATGTTTAAATCTTTCTCTGCTTGGTTTGCTCCAGATGTACCAAGTGATATTAGATCAAAGTGGAGTAAGATTAGATTGTAAAAGAGAGATAGACACAACAAGATATTAGAGCACAGCAGATTCATTTACCATTTCCTTTCTTTTCATTTCTGTATAGGATCAAATGGTGGAAATTTAACATCAGGTTATGAAAGTGCATACTTTTGGTTTGTCAATGATATCTATCAGAAAGATGCTTATCAGATCATTACGGGAGACTATGGAAAGACTGTACATGCAATTCAATATCATTGGGTTGGTCACTGTTTGGAGAGTGAATCATTACAGAGTTGTGTTGGTTATTTGGTATCAAGATTGGAAGCTGCTTCAAACGAACATTTGTATCTTGAAAGACTAGAAAAAGATACTCTAGAAGAGGAAAGACGTAAACTACAGACACTCACCGAAGATGATTTGGATCTAAATTTAAACTATAATTTATTTGGTGGTGGAGGAGGAGGAGGAGGAGACAAATCATTTACACATATCGACGATTCATCATATGATAATATCAAACCTCTCTTTTCATCAATAACCTCTCCAAGGACTGATAGATCTATATATGGTGATTGTATGAAAAACTATTAAGAATAATAAGAATAAGAAGAATAGTATACTTAATACCTATTTTTTTTTTTTTTTACATCTTATAGATAGTAACTTTTATAATATAAATCAATCAACTGAATCGATAGCAATGGTTTCATCAACACCTATCAAAGAATATAACAAAAATGATTTTAGTGTTACTATTATGGATACACCAAAACAAAAACAACAACCAATTCGTATGCAATCGCTTACACTTTCACCTACGCAATCTATTGGATCACCTCCTCATTATCAACAACAACAACAAGCGATATCCCCTCCTCCTCCTTCATCTTTTAGTACATTTGACAGCGATGATGATGATGAAAAGAAGAAAAAGAAAAAGACTACCATCATGATACCAATACAATATGAACATCAAGAGATTAGTGAGGACTCTAATGACAATTTTATAACATTACCTTCAGATTTACCTAAAATCAATCAATACACAAATTATCAGAATAATGAGAAAAATAATAATAATAATATTCATATTGATCTAAATGAAGATAGACAACAACATAGAAATAACAATAATAATAATAATAATAATAGTAGTCATTTTCATACTAATAATAATAATAGTTTTAGAAATCTGTTAAAAAAGGCAGAGAAACAAGAAGATATAGATCTTATTGACAATGGTAGCGACGATGATGTAATTGGAGAGGATTTTTATCGATACCCAATTCGCAATACCAACAACAACAACAATCATGTACATAATATTAACCAAACAGATTCTCCTTTTAAACCTACGCAACAACAACAACAAACCCAAAGAGCACAAGTGGATAAATCTCCATATTTCCCAACTACTAGTAATACCTATCAACAACCAAAACAACCAAAACAACAACAACAACAATATAGTAACAACAAATCGGCAATTTCCCTTGATGATGATGATGTAGAAGATCCTATAAGTCAATCTCCTCCATGGTCATCTAAACCTTTTCAAAATAATCAAAATAATCAAAATAATAATAATAATTTAAAAGGTAGAAATAATAATAATATTTATAATAATAATAATCAATATAAAAGTATTATGTCATCCCCACCACCAAGTCCATCAAAAATTTCAAAACCTACACCAATACCAATTAAATCTCCTACCAAACCAACTATTATTGATTTGGATGATTAATATATATATTTATAAAAAGAATAGTGAATTATATAATTATAATTCAACTAGTTTCTGGGTGGTATTTTTGTATTTTATTTTATTTTTGGGGAAAGGGGAGGAGTAAATTTTGGAAATTATACATCATCATGACTTTTAAATAATGTTGTTATTTTGTATCGTCGTTTGATTATGATTTAAAATTCCAATTGTTTTGATATCCAAACTGGCCATTCGTCCATGTGAATATTATCTTTTGTTGCTTGTTCATACAGTTCATAAACATTACGGTTACATGGGTAACCTAATTGTGCACCTTGTAATTTTAAGCTTCTTGCTACTGTTAGGAAATATCTAGAAATAAAATAAATTAATATTCTATTCTATTTCTTTTTTTTTGTTTTTTCTTTTTCTTTTTTACCTTTCTTTTAATAAAATGATAACAGTAGATTCTTTATCATTTTGTTTAAATGATTGAATTTCTTCTTCCAAAACCATAATTTTATCTTTCATTTCATAGTATTCGATATCCAATTGTTTACATTTCTCTGCCAATTGATTACGTTCCTTTTCGATGGCAGTATATTTACGTGCCGAGTCGTCCAATTGATTCTTTGATTTGCCAAGTTGTTCTTGAGCAGTATCCAATTGTTTTTGGTATCCAACCAATTCCTCTACCTTGTATTCGAGTTCCTTGGTCTTGTGATCCAATTCAGCTAGGGTGTTTGTTAATTGATCCTGTAGGTCACTGTCTTGCAACTCTTTTTCAAGTTCAGATGAAAACAACATTGCATCACCAATCGATTCTTTAAGTTGAACTGAAGAGTTTAGACTTGGTGAAACGGAAACTCCATCTTGAGCAGGTGGAGAAACAACAACAATCTTTTCAGAGGCTTCAGACAATTGTTGTTGTAAAGAATCAATTTCCTTTTTAAGAGCTACAACTTGAACATTATTTTGTTCCTCGACAGTACTAAATGTCAAATCCTTTTCTTGAATTAATTGTTGATAACTTTGTTCCATTGTTTGGATACGTTCTTGAAGTTCCTTTTCACGACTATTGGCATCGTCCAACAATTGACGAATACCATCGTTACGCTCGGCAATTGATTCTGTAATCTTTTGAAGCATGGTATCTTCGTGGTCAATAGACAAGAGTTCACGGTTAAATGAGTTACCCAATTCCTCTCTCTCTAACAATTCAATTTGCTTTTCTTCCAATTGTTTGGTGAGTGCATCGATATGGTTTTGAGCTTGTTCCAAATCCTTGGCCATAATGTCCCATTTGGCAGATGAATCTTCTTGATTATCCTTTCCAATATTAATTGCTTCCTTGAGGCTCTCTACTTGTTGTTGAGATTCGATACGCAACTTTTCATGATCCTCTACCAATTGACTGTACAATTGGTTCAAGTTTTCTTCTTGACTCTTGGTATCTGCCAATTGTTGTTCAAGTGTAGCAACGGATTGAACGAGTTGTGTGTTGGTAGACTCGTGCTTTTTAACCAATTCTTTGAGATCGTGTGATTTGTGTTTTGATTCTGTCTTTAGGATTGAATTATCTTCCTTTAGATGATTTAATTGATCTTGAAGTGATGTAATCAATTCACTATTACTATTGGCACTGTTACTTAGAAGAGCAAGATTACTAGCATTGGTATCCTTTTCGGATTTCAATTGTTGATTGAGTTGCTCGACCTCGTCTTGGAGTAAGATTGATTTCTTTACTTCTTCCTTCCATTGTTCTGTCTTTCTTGTCAATTCATCTTCTAATCCACTGACCTTTGAAATGTTTGATTCTTCTTGTGATGAACGTCCAAGAATAAATTCATTCTTTTCTTCTTCCAATAATTTAATTTGGATTTGGTGTTGATTATTAATTGTTTCAATTTCTTGTTGTTGTTTAATATTAATTGATTCAATTTCTTGTTGATGTTGATTCTTGATTGATTCAATATCTTGTTGATGTTGATTCTTGATTGATTCAATATCTTGTTGTTGATTCTTGATTGATTCAATTTCTTCTTGTTGTTTAATATTAATTGATTCAATTTCTAATTGATGTTGACTCTTGATTGATTCAATTTCTTGTTGATGTTGATTCTTGATTGATTCAATTTCTTGTTGTTGACTATTAATTGATTCAATTTCTTGTTGGTTTTGACTCTTGACAGATTCAATTTCTTGTTGATGTTGATTCTTTAGATTTTCAATTTCTTGTTGTTGTAGACTCTTTAGATTTTCAATTTCTTGATCCAAATCTTCTTGACTTTCCAATTTAACTTGTAAGATTTCATTTTCCAAATCTTCAATTTGGAATTGGAATTCCTTTTGTTTTGATTGTGAAGTTTCAATTTCTTGTTGATGTTGATTCTTTAAATTTTCAATATCTTGTAGATGTTGATCGTTGATTGATTTGATTTCAATTTCCTTTTCAATTTCCTTTTGTTCCTTGATTGATTCAATTTCCTTTTTGTTGTTTGATTTGATAGATTCAATTTGTTTTTCCATGACATCTAATGAATCGGCTCCATTTTGTAATAGTTGAATTCTTTCTTGGTATTCACTCTTTAACGATTCAATCTCTTTTTCTTGTTCCTCCTTGATAGAGTTGATTTCAGTTTGCTTGCTTTCAATTGTTTGTTGTAATTTTTCATCTTGCTCTGACTTTATCGATTTGATTTCTTCTTGATGTTGTAACTTTAGAGTATTCAATTCCGTCTCAAACTTGGTCTGTTGTTCCTCGGTGTTGGAAGTTTGTAATACAATTTTTTCATTTAGTTGATTGATTTCAGATTCCAATTCCTCCTCAAGTGAATTAATTTTGTTTTCTTGTTCTTGACTATTTGATTTGAATTGTTCCAATTCCTTTTCCAAATTATGAACCAATTCCTTGTTGACAATGGATTCTTTTTTGAGTGATTCAACTTGTTGATCTTGATCATCACCGGCGGCGGTTAATGATTTCTTGAGTTCAAGACGTTCGATCATTAATCGTTCGATTTCCTTGTCCTTGGAGTCTAATTCATCTTGATGTTGGGTGTCGGTTTCTTGAGCTTGTTTCAATAGATTGATGACCTTTATGTTTACATTTTCTAGGTCTTTACTCTTTTCAATCAATTCACTGTCTCTTTGTTTGGCCACCTCGGTCAACTTGATCAACTCTTTTTCCTTTTCCTCTAGGAGTGTATCCTTTTTGACAATATCCAATTCTAGTTGATGTGAACGATTAGACAATGCTTCCTTTTCTTCGATTTGCTTCTTGGCACTCTCCAAGTGTCCACTCAATTGAGCAATCTCCAACTCCAACTTTTTAATACTCTCTTCTTTTTCCTGGATCAAAGTTTGATCTTTTTTGATTTGTGCAATTTCACTTGTCAACTTTCCAATCTCTTCTCCATTTGCAATAATTGAATTTCTTCTTGTATTTTCAATTAAATTGTCCTTATTTGATAGATCTTGTTTTAATTTTTCAACTTTTTCTGATAACATTTGAATATTCTTTAAAAATAAAAAAAGATAAAAATAAATAAATAAATAAAAATTTGATCATTTGTCTAAATTACTTTTCTATTCTGTACTTACAACTTCATCTTTTTGTTTGTTAATAGTTAAATCTTTAACTTTTAATTTTTGTTGTTCTAACATTTCACGTAACTTTGAAAGTTCGATATCCTTTTGTTGAAGGGCATTTTCTAGGATAGCGGTTTGAGAGACTGATAATCTATTTTCTTTTTGTCTTTGATAGGCAGAGATGACTTCGTTTACACCTTGTGTCCAGTATTGTACATCACGTTCATTCTTGCCACGCAACATGTATGAACGACCCGGTACGTCGATTGAAAAGACAAAGGTAGAAGGATCTACAATCTTGACAGATGTCACTGCTCTAATATCGATAAACCCTAAACTATTTGATCCAATGACACTAATGTTTGATTGTGAATTGTTGCCGTTACCCGACGACGAATTATTATCTGATTGTTGTTGTTGTTCATAATAATGTAATTCAAAACCAGATGATGATAGACCAAAGAATCTTGATTTCCATCCTTTAATAATTCCCCTCTCTCCTTGTTTATCTAACCATCCTTCTAAATGAATCTTTTTTTTTGTTGTCATCCTTTTTGATGTTGTTTAAACGTCTTATCCTACTATCTCTCTCTCTCTCTCTCTCTAAACTTTTACTTGATTCTTTTGTTGTTGATATATTGATAAGAAGAATAGTGAAAAAAAAGAAATAACTAATAATACAAATATAAGATAGACAAGATAGATAGATAAGACAAGCAACGAAAAAAATAAAAAAGATGGATGACAAGGAGTAAGTAAGAGGGGTCGCGATTTTAAAGAGGTGGGTGTGGATTGCGACTCAACTCAAAGTCAGCCTAGAAAGATTTTTTCAAGCTTCCCCTTAAACTCGATTTTTTGATCAAAAAACGTGGGTCTTTGCAGCTTCGATGATGTCATTGTCTCCTCTTAGTAGTTAGTTTTTATCTCGTGTACTTTGAATAAAAAAAAAAAAAAATGGTATAAAAATATAATCAAACATTGACTGTCTCAAAGACACTCTTTATTATTATAATGAATATAAAATTTGTATTAATATTATTTCATTGTTATAAATCTCATCAAGGAATGTGTAAGGGAGATAATACCAAAAAAATCTCATCATCATGTTTCATTGAATGAATGATTTCTACAAAAAAAAAAAATTTTAAAGCGCTACAGCTTGTGTTTTTCTCTGGTTTATAGTGCTTCATTTTTTTAAAGATGGATAGTAATAATAGTAATAATAGTGATAATAGTATAAAATTACCAATATATCTTTATGGTATAGTTATTAAATATCTATGGGAAGAGAGTGAATCATTAAAATCAAGTGTCAGCAGACATTGGATATTGACATCACTAAGTAGAGTATCAAAACAATACTTTGAAATTGTTAAACTACTCAATGACAAGTTAATCTTTGATAGACTCACTCTAGATCAATTAAAAAAGGATAATCAAAATGATCAAATTCAACATTGTAGTAAACAATTATTATTAAATCAATTATTAATAGATTTAAACAAAAACAACAAAAAAGAGAATAATAATAATAATAATAATGATAATAATGATAATAATAATTTAACAAAATATTTAATAATTAATATAATGTCAAATGATGGATTAAAAGAGTTTAAAAGTTTAAATGTTGATGGTCAAATGAATCTAAAGAGATTTATATTTGAACAATTGGAATGGGATGATAAAAAGAGAAAGGTTGCGTTGGAGGAAGAAGCATCTTTAAAGTTGAAAAAGTTTATCTATCGACCAAATGTAAAGGAACAAGTATTGACTGACCGTTCAAAGTTGTTGGTACAATCAATATTTAATCAAATCGATACATTTAATGGTGTATTGGAAGATATAGATTATCTTATTTCTACCGACGTTGGGTGTCAAATGCCATCTCTTTCGAGATTACATATTATGCATGACTATCGTAATAGTTATGGTGATCGCGTATGGGGTGAACATTTGGATAATGTTGTCATTGCAATTGGACACCAAATCGAAGAATTGTCATTGGTCATAACACCAAGAATACCCGTCAAAGAAGATTATCAAGAAGATGATGACAATGAAGAAGAGAATGAATGGGATCCAGATATAATAGCTGTAAAGATATCATTTTCAGAGTATCTTTCAAAACTACGTAAACTCTGTCTTGGTACTGTATTTGATTATACAATAGACACTGAGTTTTTTGATAATCTCACTAGAAACCTTCCACTACTCGAATCACTATTACTCGTCGAGGCAAAACAACCAGTTCTGCCACGTATCTTTCCACCAACTAGTTCACAACCCATCATTGACTATCTCAAAAGATCACATCGATTAGTCGAATTTGGTATTGAAACACAAGAATGTTCACTCTCTTTACATAATACCAAATTGTTGGAATTCTTATTACAAGATGAAAGATCTAGTCATCTGCAATCAATTAAACTACCCGTTTGGTATATAGTGCCAATTCGTCGACCAATCAATCGTCTCGATTTGACACTACCCAATAGTAGTGCAAAGTCTCGATATGTTAAATTGGTCAATATCCCGCTACCAGATGACCAACAAAGAAAAATGATTGCCGAGTCATTCTCTAATGTCTCCAATATCATTATTCGATCAACATCTGATTGTTCATTATTTGTTGATATTTTAAATTTTAATCAAAACTCTACCTTTAAAAGTATTGAATTTGAATTTAAAAAAGATTCTTCACAATCAACAACAAATATGATTGGATTCCAACAATGGAATAATCTAAAAGAAGCAATTATCAATCATCACAATATAGGATATCTAAGTGTAAACATTGCAGGAATCGGTCATCAACAATTACAACATTTAGATCAAGAAATTCAAAAGCATCCATCGATCATTAACAAATCATCTTGGAATCTAAATGTCTATGATTCCAAAATCATTCCATTCCCACCAATTCCAGAACCAATCAATACACCAATTTTTAATTTTCCTGCCAACTTGACATTTACTTCTATGGGTTCAGGATCAGGTAATAGTAATAATCCAAATTATACTTTACCATTTATCATACCAGATCAAAATAATTAAATCAAATCAAATCAAATCAAATAAATAAAATAAAATAAAATAAGTAATCTTGAAAAAACAATTAAATATTGATTGATTTATGATACCCCCCCTCTAGAGTGGGTTAGCAGAGGAGGAGAGCTCATCTTTATTTTTAGGTGGTGTAATCATGGCAATGTGAACGTGTCATTTTGCATCATCAAACTGGAAACTGCCAATGAAGTGATCACGGTTTACATCTACCACAATCCATTTTTGCGAGTGTGTGGTTGTTTGGTTGGTTGGTCGGTCTACCCACACACACCTCTTTCTCCTTCTCTCTCCCTCTCTCTCTCACCCAAAATAAATAAAATAAAATAAAAATAAAAACTCGTTATTCATACATACATCAGTAGTACTATTTATTTGTATTCTCAGTTTACTTTTACTACTTTCATCAAATAATTCAAGTAATAATTTATATATTCATTTATCCAATTTACAATCTATTTTTATATTTTTTTATATATTGTTGATTGTTCATAACTCATTATTATTATTTATCTCTATTTTTTAAATGGACAAAAAAAATGTTAAATCATCAAAATTCATTTTTAGCAACAGTCATCATCATCTTTATCATTGCCCTTTGTTTATTTAACAGAGTACTAGTAAAAGGAAGCAATGAAATAATATCACATCAATCTAATCAACAGATCAATACAACTACAGGATGTTCAATGTATGGTGTAGTATTCCCTGGACCATGGGGTACAAATACAAGTATAACTACTGAAAAGTATTTTCAACCTTCTCCTGTAAGTCAATACAACAACAACAACAACAACAACAAATACTTATCAATATAATAACAATATAATAACATTCTTTTTATTTTCTATTTCTTTTTTTTTTTTTATTATTCTTTTAGGTATCAGGAGGTATACCATCAGGAATATGTCCATCACACCCAGAATTTCAATCAGATTCATGTTGTAGTCAACAACAATTTATAATGTTGGGAGATCAAATGACAGCAGCACAAACTGTTTTTGGAAGATGCCCAGCATGTATGGCAAATCTATGGGATCTGTGGTGTGCTAGTGGATGTTCACCCTACCAAGCAACGTTTATGTTGATCAATCAAACGAGTATCTTTCCTCATAATGGTGTCAATTACACCAAAGTAACCTATGCCACATATGTCATTGATCCAGTCTATGCAGAAGGTATCTATAATAGTTGTCGTGATGTATCTACAAGTGGAAATGTACCATTCGCCGTTCAATATCCAACGTATATAGACTTTTTTGTCAACTTTTTCGGTTCACAAAACCCACAATTCAAAATTGGCTTTATCTTTGATCCAATCAATGGATATAGATCAACTGTTGCCGTTCAAAATTGTACCTCTAGTTGTTCATGTGCTAGTTGTCGTGATCTATGTTCTTTTCCAGGTGAATATGGTGGTTTCAAAATGATAAATGATTCAATCATTCCAAATACTTATTTATTTAATAGACAGTATGTAAACCATAGTGAAAAAAGAAATAATATAATATTTTATTTATTTATTAATTTATTTTTATTTTTTAGAATACCAATATTATCAGTTTGGTTTATATTTGGATATTATTTATTTTTATTGACATTATTTACATTAATTTCAATTTGGTGTCTTAAAAGAATATTAATTAGAAGAAAGAAACTTTATATAGTCATTGGATTCATTGTAATGATTTATATTTATGTTTCTGCTATTTTCTTGCCAGTCATTTCTGGTATTGTACCCATAGAGTCTGATAAATGTAATTATCAAATGCCATATGGTAGAGATTGGTCATGTGCTCTTGCTGTAACATCATTTACCTATTCGTTGGTTGCTTTGGGTATTATGGCAGTGGTTACTGTCATTTTATACTTGCTCTATCAAAGGGAACAAAATCGTTTTGATTTCCAATTTAACAAACCCGGCGGTGCAAATATTAGATTGGGTCATCCAAGCGATTTGGTAGAACCATTCTCGGAATCATCACCATTTAAAGATATTGGTATTGAAGATCCTAGTTTTGTTCAAAAATTATTCTTTTTACTTGGTCGCGTCGTTTCCAATTATCCATTGGTCACCATTGCTGCGTGTATTGTATTTACTGGTATTTGTTCAATTGGTATTAAATTCCTTCAAATTGAAGAAGATCCTGTCAAATTGTGGGTTAGTCCAACTAGTCGTGCTGCCATTGAAAAGGAATATTTCGATAGTAACTTTGGTCCATTTTATCGTATCGAACAACTCATCCTTACCCCAACCGATCCAAACATAACTATGATTGGTAATAATCAAACATTGATTGCAGAATTGGCACGTCTAGAAATAGAATTAATGAATCTCACCGTCAACTATGAAAATACTACCATTTCACTGTCAAGTCTTTGTTTTGCACCAACTCATCGTGGATGTTTGGTTGAATCGGTTACTGGAATGTGGCAAAGAAATTTACAACTCATTGAACAAATGGACTCTGACAGTTTTCAACAACAAATGCAAACATGTCTTGGTGATCCATTAATGACTACTTGTATGGATGCTGTAGGTACACCAGTCAATCCAGCAGTAGTATTGGGTGGTTGGTCAGGTACACCATCCGAGGCAATGAAAGCATCTGCCTTTGTAACTACTTTTCTTTTAAAGAATCCAGATTCTCTTCAGAATCAAGCCATGGCATGGGAAGAAGTTTGGTTACAAGCAGTTAAACAATATCAATCAAACTCGAGTCGTCTATTAAATGTAGCATTTTCTGCACAACGTTCTGTTCAAGATGAATTGTCAAGAGAAAGTTCTGCCGATATTTCAACCATTCTCATTTCCTATTCTGTCATGTTTGTCTATGTTTCAGTTGCCCTTGGTAGATTCTATCCACCTCCTCATCGTTTCCTTTCTTATATTGTCAATTCAAGATTTTCACTTGGTCTTGCTGGTATTTTAGTGGTTGCATGTTCAATTGCCATTTCAGTTGGTCTTTGTTCTTTTGGTGGCATTAAAGCAACACTTATCATTTCAGAAGTGATACCATTTTTAGTTTTGGCAATTGGTGTTGATAATATTTTCATACTAGTAAATACTTTTGAAAATCTACATGTTACATCGTATGATAATACAACTCGGTTCTCATCCAAACCACCCATTCAATTGACACTTGCTAGAGCCATGGCAAGAGTAGGACCTTCAATGGCATTGGCATCACTCTCTGAATCATTGGCATTCCTTCTTGGTACTCTTACCAGAATGCCTGCTGTAGTTGCCTTTTCAGCCTATGCATCGGTTGCCATTCTATTTGACTTTATTCTTCAAGTAACAGCATTTTCAGCACTACTCATACTTGACACTCAGCGATATCAGAATCGTCGCGTCGACTGTATCCCATGTCTGTCATTACAAGATGGAGAAAATTCAGATGACGATGAACCAGACCTAAACCGAGATGAAAAGGTTCCACTCATGTTTGATGAAGACTTTTCTCTAAACACTCAATACATTCCAGTGTACAAGAAAAAAGATAGTCTTTTGAAAACACTTTTTAAACATTATTATGCTCCATTTATAATGAATCCAATTGTAAAAGTTGGTGCAGTCATTATATTTATTGGTGCATTTTTAATTGCCTTGTCATTGTCGTTTAGTTTGACATTGGGTCTAGATCAACGTGTCGCCCTTCCAAGTGATAGTTATCTTCAACAATATTTTAGTCAAATGGCTGAATACCTAGAGGTTGGACCACCATTTTATATTGTTGTCAAGGGAAACTATAATTATACCGATTTCTCCAGTCAAAATGCTCTATGTACCATTCAAAATTGTACAGATAGCTCTGTATCGAATATATTCAACAATGCTCCATTTGTCCACCCAGGTATTAGTTCATGGTTGGATGATTACTTGTTATGGTCTGCCAATCCAGATTGTTGTGGATTCATGCCAGATTCAACACCATGTGATCCAAGTATACCAGATTCCAATTGCACAGCATGTTTTACATTGAATGACAAGGATCGTCCACCACCAGAACAATTTGTAAAATACCTTCCAACCTTTTTCAACTTTACAGTTAGTGGTAGTTGTCCATCAACAGGTCTTGCCTATGCACAAGATTTAAATATTCAAAATGGTACCACTATTGTAGCATCTCGTCTTGATGGTTATCATTCAACACTTCGTACTCAAAATGATTTCATCAATGCAATCAAGGCTGCCTATTATTTGGCAGATCATTTTACATCTCAAGGATTACCAGTATTTGTCTATTCTGTATTTTATGTCTATTTTGAACAATATTTGACCATTCAAAAAATAGCAGTTATGGATATTGGTCTTGCATTGGCTGGTGTATTTATAGTATGTCTATTACTACTCACAAATCCAATGATATCACTTTTGGTTGTAATATGTGTTGGTATGGTTTCAATAGATTTACTTGGTGTCATGTACCTCTGGAACGTCAGTCTCAATGCAGTTTCAGTAGTCAATGTTGTCATGGCAATTGGTATATCAATAGAATTTTGTGTACATATTGCTCATGCATTTATTAGAGCACCTCCAACTCTTGACAAGTCTCAAAAATCAAAATATGCTCTAAACCAAGTTGGTAGTTCAATTGTTAGTGGTATTTTTATTACAAAATTATTAGGTGTTTTAGTTTTAGCTTTTTCAAAGTAATAGAAAATAGAAAGAAAGAAAGAAAGAAATTGAAAAATATTTATTAATCTTTTTCTATTTTTTTTTAGTTCTGAAATATTTAGAGTTTATTATTTTAGAATGTATATTTCAATTGTTATTCTTGGTGCATTACATGGATTAGTACTTTTACCAATTTTATTAAGTTTCTTTGGATTTGATATATTCAACTTTTCAAAACTTTGTAGAAATCGTAATCCCTATAGACCAGCTGAAGAAATTGATATCAATGTTGCTCAGTAAATAAAATACTATAGTCATATGTGAAAATAACCCACACAATCAATAGAGTTGTATCGATGGAAATACCAATGCCAAAAAAAAAAAAACCCCCCCACCAACTTTCATATGAAATCATATTTGAGTGAGTATACTACACTTTTGATATAGATCATATCACTTCACTGCAGCTCTCACAGTATACTCTTTGTAAAGAGTGGGTTAATTTGTTTAATTTCATTGTTGTGATGAATCAGTCAGTCTCACTCTAGATCAAATTCTCAATTGAACTCTAATTCATTATCATTTTTTTTTTTTGTTAATATAATAATTATTACTTAATCTAATCTAATTTCCAATTTCCTAAATTTCTTTTCTAAAATGTTTAAAAATATAATTAAATTAATTATTGTTGCCATTGTTTTATGTTTCATGGTGATGAGTCCAATTGCACAGGCAACGACCGATGTTCAATCACCATCATGCAAGAAATGTTTTACTGATTTTAGTGCTGCTGTCTGTGCAGAAGATGCCAATGGAAAGGCTGATATAGGTGTAAGTAAAAAAAAACAGATCAACATGGTAAATAACAAAACTAATTTATAATTTAATATAAAAATATTTTAGTGTCGTATTCAAAATTTAGCTCGTATTGGTGAATGTTTAAAGAAGAATGCTTGTGCTGGTAAACCATAAAGAGACGTAATTTCCAAAAACAATTATACAAAAATTTATTTTCAATCTAGATCAATTTACAAAAAAAATCAATAAAGAGTTTTGTAGTATTTTCATAGACTGTCGACATCAATAATCTCCCTTTTGATATTATCATCAAAATTATTATTATTATTATTATTATTATTTTGATTTTTTTGATTATTAAAAATATTATTATCAAAAGGTTCATCATCATCACTATCATCATCATCATCATTTATGTTTTAAATCTTGTTGAAGAGAATGATAACAATGATCATTACAAATTTGTTCAAGGTATAGTTTTAGGAAATTTTTACTCTTGAGAGATATACCAAGTCTTGGAGTTCTAGAGAATTTGTTTGATGACTTGTAATTGTCCTTTTTGACTTGACGATGATAATAAACATTCATTTTTCTAAACTCTTCTTTGAACTGTCTTTCTATAGTTCCTGGTTCCCTGATATAATGTCTATGCTTTTCATGTATCAGATACATAAAGGTCTCTGAAAATGATGGAACCAATTTGTTGTTGACTGGCTTTGTGAAATGAAGTCTATTGTATATTTGAATGGGTAAATGTCTAGACTCTACCAAATAAGTATCAGCCAATTTCTTTAATCTAGTTTCTTCCAATTTTATTGCTCTAAGAGGATTCTTTTTTTTTTTATTCATTCTCCTTTTGATTATCTGCTGCTGTATACAAATATATGAAATAATACAAAAAAATAAATAAAAGAGAGATGAGAAAAGGAAGGATAAAACCCTAACCTTGATAATAAAATGTTAACATTTCAAATAAAGGTTGCTTATTTAATAAAAAATATTATTTTTAAATATCAAGATCATCATCTGGATCTTCATCATCATAATCTTCTTCATCTGGATCTTCAATAATTAATAAATTTGCAGAACCATCATTGGTTCTCATATATGGTAATACTACTGCATCTTTGGCTGCACGTTCATCTTCACTTAGTTTAAGATTAAATGAAAGATTTTCTGTTGGATCCAATTCTTTAATCTCTGGTTTCTTTTCCAATGATTCTGCTGAATCAAATGCTAAATAACCATTTATACCATTCTTTTCATAATAATATTCAACCTAAAAATAAAAAAGTAATATTAATTTCTTTTTTCTCTTTTTCTTTTTTTCTCTTTTTCTTCTTACATTTCTAACAACTCTACCAGATCTTTTTTTGTTTAAAACTGTAATGGTAGCCTCATATGCATTGGTCATTAATGATTGTGATAATTGAATGTTTGCTGGTAATGGGGTAACAGAGATGGCTGTAGTTGAAAGATACTCCAATTGTCTTTGTATGGTACGATCAGTATAATGAAGATCACTATGAAATATACCAAAAACACTTATAAATGTTCTTTCCATTGTTTGTTTAAACTTTGCATTATCTATACTACCTTCAATACCTGTTGTTATCTTGTTGCTATTTTTAATTGTTGTTTTTGTTGTTGTTTTTGTTGTTTTTGTTGTTGTTTGTTGTTGTTTAAGATTAATATTGATTAGAGTTCTTAATAAATGACAAGTTTCAGATAAACCATCCTTTAAAATTAAAGAACTAAGTGAATTGACAATAATCAATGGACGTTCTTTTAATTTGATTGGTATCTTTTCATTTTGATAGATTGATTGTAATGTTGATACAATTGAATTATGATTACCATCACATGATATTGTTATAGGTCCACTGTTACTACTACTACTATCATTTAATGATATATTATGTTGATTCCAATTTAATGGATTTGTATAACAATCAATTACTATAAAGTTACTAACGTATATATGTTAACAAACAAATACTCTATCTCTATTTCTATTCTTTCTTTCTATTTGCTTACGATTTATAATGATTATATAATGATTTATAATAATGTAAAGGTAAACTAAAATTGATAAACCATATATTACGATGATTTGATCCTGTACCAGTTAGATAACGACCATATAGATAGTTTAATAGTTTCTCTCCACTTGATAATAAACTATCATCAAATAATATAAATCCATTCAACTCTGTTGATGTTGGTTTGAATAAATCTGAAAATATCATCCTATATAAAAGAGAGTGACGAAGTTATGTATGTATATTAATTCATCAGCTGATCTCTCTCACTCTCTTTGTGTCACTGCTCAGGGCAAACATTTCAGCTGATATGATTTGAGAAATTCATTTTAAAATTTTTTTTATTTTCGAAAATCGTCGTTGGTTGCTCGTTCCTCGGCAGCGCTATAACTAGACTTTTGGTTCATCTTTAGTTTCTTTACTTTTGAAGTCCGTTAAAAGATACAACAATGTCAACCAAACAGTAGATTTTAGATATCCTATAGCACTCCTTCCTTTTTATCTATCCTATCTCTATACCTCTTTCTTCTTGTCTAATCTATCCACTACAACCAAACCCTACACACTCTTTATAAAAAACAAAACAAGGTTTAATGCTATTAGGATACGACATCGAGAATTTTAGCAACTCCTTAGGAAAGAACCGGTTGACCCATACACATATATCTCTCTCACTCTTCTTCTTTCTTCTTTCAACACTACTTTTGTTGAAAGTTGGCAAGAGCTGATGGGATGCTTTGAACCAAATGGTGACGAGTAAAAAAATAGAAAAGAAAGGTTAGAGAGATTAGAGTTTGAAAAAGACCGGCTTCCATTTCCCATATTACCTCTTTCGTCCATCACGTTTTGTGAAGGGTATTGAGAAAGATTATGCTCACGCTTTTCTTTCTTTAAGTATTTTTGTATTCATTACATCCACCATTATCAATGCCAGCCTATGAAAACCGAAAAAAACAAATCAAAAAAACTTTACTCGTTTTTTTTGTTCTATTTTTTTTTCTAAATCATATGACCTAATAGTGCAATTGAATGGAGGGCATTGTCAAAGAGATTGATCAACTCTTTGATCAAGTATTGATCCCAAACACATAACTTTTGTCTCGTATCATTTTTAATATAGTTTATTAAATTTGACATATTTATAGACAATAGCTATTTTGGTTTAAAGTAGTAACTATGCGGGGTTGGAAGTTAAACCAAAATAGAACAAGTCAAAAAGGCAAGGATTGGATTGACTCTTTGGCAAGGAATGGCGGTGACTAAACTATAGGGACTGTTTGGTTTTAAAAAAACATCTTGATTATAATCTTGGATTAAATCAACCAACAATTGTTGTGTTTTGAATTTAATTGATTTTGATGTTTTTTTTTTTTACCTTTTGTTTCCAATGTTTTCTCTCTTGTCCATATATTGGTTTTTAACCGGTTATTAAAAAAAAAACTTCTACTCTCTTTTATTCTCTATCCTTTTTTCTTTCTTTTTTTTAAAATCACACATATATTTTTTCCATTTCTTTTTTTTTTTAATAATTATTTAGAGTTTCTACCCCAGTTCCAGAATCTTTATTAAAGAAGAGAGCCACCGCCCAAAAGCGTACCATTGACCGTGCTGCCATCGTCAAGCGTCAAGTCCTCAGACGTAACAAGCTCAGAAACGCCTATTTCAAGCGTGCTGAAAAGTACGTCAAGGAATACCGTCAAAAGGAACAAGAAGATGTCCGTCAAAAGCGTATCGCCAAGAACAACAACACCTTCTACGTCCCAGAAGAAGCCAAGGTTGCCTTTGTCATCCGTATTCGTGGTGTCAACGGTGTTTCACCAAAGCCAAAGAAGATCCTCAGATTGTTCCGTCTCCTCCAATTGAACAACGGTGTCTTCATCAAGCTCAACAAGGCCACCATCAACATGCTCAAGTTGGTCGAGCCATACGTCGCCTATGGTTATCCAAACCTCAAGTCTGTCAAGGAACTCGTCTACAAGCGTGGTTACGGAAAGGTCAACAACCGTCGTATCCCATTGACTCACAACAAGATCATCAAGGCCAAGTTAGGCAAGTTCAACATGATCTGTATGGAAGATCTTGTCCACGAAATCTTCACCTGTGGTCCACACTTCAAGCAAGCCTCCAACTTCTTATGGCCATTCAAGCTTAACTGTCCACGTGGTGGTTTCAACCACAAGAAGATTCACTTCCTTGAAGGTAAGATATCAACAATCAATCAATAACATATAATCTTATATATTTTATCTCTTCAATTTACTAATAATTAATCTATTCTTAAACCATTAAGGTGGAGACGCAGGAAATAGAGAATCTTACATTAATAACCTCATCCGTAAGATGAACTAAAAGGATACTTTAATAAACCTATACTAGTCACAACCAGGTGTAGTAAATTAATTATCTCATCAATAATTGTACATAGTTTTTAATTTATTTCATGGACTCTCACGTCCATAAATTTTGTTTTTCACTCAACCGTCCCTGATGATAGTTTATTATTTCTCATCAACACAGTACCATCAACATCTTCTCCCAACCCCTATCACAACTTCCTACCCAGCATCTCCACCTTAATGGTTTAAGAATAGATTAATTATTAGTAAATTAAAGATAATTAACTTTAAAATGCAGGTAACACCCGCAAAAATGGACTCCAACTTCTCGACCCTCAAACCCAAAAAGACCGTCTCTTTAACACCCAAGGATTGATCAACGATTATTTATTAATCTAGTTGATTGATAAATGATTGAACTTGTTTTTCCAAATATACACAGTTTTTCTTGCAATTCTCTGATTAATTTATCTTAAACCACAATTTGTTGTTCAATGGCTCCAATCCTACTTTAACAACCTCATCCGTAAGATGAACTAAAAGGTAAAGCTATACTAGTCACAACCAGGAGTAGTGTATCAACTATCTCATCAATAATTGTACATAGTTTTTGATAATAAAAAAATTTATTTATTTATTTATTGTTTTATATCAAAATATCCCATCAATAATTGTACTTTGTTTTTTTTTTTTGACCAGTGCTAAAAGTATGACATTTTTTGTTGTAGAGTTAAAAATAAGCTTTTCTTCCCAGTTTTGTGTTTGATCAGAAATGCATGCTACTGGTCGACCATTAAAGACGATGAACGACTGGTTGTATAGACAACTATTTTTCAGGTACATATGTACTACAACAAAGAGATCAGATGACCTGGGTTTGTAGAACTTATATCGCAATGATCTGAGTGATCACTGTACAACAACAACAACATAGAACATAGAACAACATACAAATAAAATGATCAACAATATACATATCATTATATCATCTATTATATTGATTTTTATAAGAGTATGCACATCACAACAATCAATTCTTTCAAAACCAGAATGTAAGAAATATACAGATAGATTTATATATATATCGAAAAAGGTATTAATACATCTTTTATTCCAACTTTAATATTATCAATATTAGTGGATAGTGCAATCTTTGTAATTCAACAATTTGGAATACCATCAATACCACAAGATCAATCACTTTGTAATTATGGATCATCTCCTATTTTTAAATGTAGTAATAGTGGTACTGGAGGAAGTTATCATATTGATTCAATGTAAATATATATAGTCTCTTTATAAATATTATTAATTAATTATTCATTCCTTTTATTTAATCATTCATTCATTCATTCATTAAATTTAAAGAACAATATCAGGAATAACATTTACAAATGTTGGAAACCCAAATACATCAATACAATTGGACTTTCCACAAATCAATTCAATCTATTTATCGCATACGTCTGTTAGAAATAATAGTATTAATTTTTTAGATTATGTAAAAAATCTATCATCTTTGGTCACATTTTAGTATGTATTGTACATAATATAATCTATTTATTTATAGACTAAAAAAACTAATAGCTTTTATTTATTTATTTATTTATTAATAGTACAAGTGCAATTTCATTGGTTAATGTACCAGATGATTTCTTATCAATGTTGCCAAATATGAGAAATTTAGTATTACATCGAATATCAAACAATATACCAAAAGGTTTATTCAATCATACTGGTTTGACTCAACTTTCATTGGGTGCGGTTTATTTGACAACGGCTGGTGTAAATGAATCGACGGTCAACCTTCCATCATTGGCATCATTGTCACTCAATTTTTCACCAAGAGCACCTGAAACGATTTCAATTACACCAGAGACAATGCCAAATCTCAAATACCTTAGTATAAACAGTGGAACATCGAGCAAGACAACAGTTAAATTGAACTCTACGACTGTTTTTGGACTGTTTTTGACTGGTGGCAGAGACAAACATTTTGATGTACAAATAGTTCATCCAGAGGTATTGGGTGATATCTATTTATCAGGGGCATTGACTAGTTGGACACCAAAAGATATGAAATATTATCCAAATTTAGTTTCTCTCAATTTCCAAGGAGTAGATTTTTCAGAATATCCAATCACCAAATCCTACCCTCCAAACCTAGCCACCTTTTCCATTGTCTATTCAAATTTAACAACTATTCCAAATATCCCTTTACCTCTTACTATTTCGATATTGTAAGTATAGTAGTACTACAAAAATAACATTACAACAATTATATTTTATAATAATGTATTTACTCTTTTTTATCAAATATTTATAGTCAAGCATTTACAAATAATTTTACAAGTTTTCCATGGGATATTTTTAATAATGTAAAAACATCAAATCCAATTGTATTAAGCGAGAATGTTAATCTAATTGGAACAGTTCCAGAGTCAATGTGTAGATTTAAATTAAAAATTCAAAATACCTCTATTACAAGTGTCCCATCATGTTTTTGGTGTTATCAAGCTTTGGATCAAGTCTTTTTAACTAGTCTTGAAAGACCTCCCAATTTCATTTGTCCAGTTACATTTGATAATCAAGTCATTGCCACTCGAGCTGGACAAGCTTTGGTGTATGGATCCAATTTGGGTTGGGGTTTTAAAACCAGTGAATACACTCTTACTCCCATCACACCCAACTCGGTACTACAAATCCAAATTCAAAACTTTGGATCCTATTATCTATCACAACCAAAGGCTTTATCATTAAACCTTTCAAACAATGCCCAAACATCATATAATATCAATGTAATAGAAGCTGGTATAGTTGTATCACCTAGTAATAACAATTTCACCTACACCCAACAACCATCACATTTACAATTGCGATTTTTATTTTCAAGTCTAAATCCAAATCTCAAACATCAAGTACAATTAAACTATTCTCTGTCTTGTACCACCATTTTACTCGCTTCATACTCTATTACTTGTAATAGTATTATACCAGAACCAGGTATTTATAATATTAGTATTTCAAATCAATATTATCAAACAAATTATTTATTTAATTTTATTCCAAGTATGTTGTAAAAAAAAAGAAAAATAACCATCATATTAATTCTTTATCAGAAACTTTAATATTAATTGTTTTCTTTAATAGAATATCCAACGGTTACATCTGGAATTGTAAATAATAATAATAATGATAGATCAAAGTTGATTAGTTTATATGGTTATTATGGTAATTTAAATCAAACCAACCCTTCTGTATTGATTAATAATACATTGATATGTAATATTGGATTTATAAATGATAGATTAATTAATTGTACCATCGAAACAATTAATCAAAACTATGGACCAGCTTCTGTCAAAGTTCAAATCGATAATCTTCAATATTTTAAAAATGATGTACTTTATTTTTATCCTCCCAACAATAATAATAATAATAATAATACAGATCAACTTTTAAAACAATGTCAAGAAACAACTTTGAATTGTTTTGGTAATGGTCAATGTAATGAATTTGGTAAATGTGATTGTATTGAAAACTATAATCCAATTGATAATTGTTTAACAAAATGTATGTAAAATTTTAATCAAATTTTAAAATTTATTTATTTATTTATTCTTTTTGTTTTTAGATTTCAATTCAAGTGTAAATACTACAACAGATCCATTAAAACCAACAACTTCATTTGATATTAATGGTGTTGATTTCCAATTTGAAATTGTATCAATTCAAGAATTAAATGAAAATGATCAAGTTGCAAAACAATTAATAGTAGACAAATGGAGTTCAACGATTACAACAATCAATTCAACAACCATTGCAAATTATTATTTAATTGTAAATCAAAGCGAGGTTACAATGCCATTATTAAATGTATCTGCTGTTATATCATATTCACCTCTTGCAAGAACAACGATGTTTGGGGGAAATGAAATCGAAATGAATCCAAATTCAATCAAACTATCAATTGAAATTAATAATTGGGAATTTAGTAGTAACATCAATTCACTTAGAGTATTATTTAAAACCAATCTTCCAAACGATCAAAGTATTGAAATATGTCAACAAGCAAGTGATGAAATCAAAACAATATCATATGACCTATCATCAAGTAGTATTCAATATCTAAGAGTATTAAAAGATGGAATTCAATTTACAGGTAGATTCTTGGATTATATTGTATCTGATGGTAGAAACACCTATTCAAGAACACAATTGGTATCATTGACTCCATCAGAACAATCACCAACAACAGAGTCCGTTGCATTGATTGGTATTTTATTACCACAATGTCAATCATGTATTATTGATCCTGATTTTACACCTCTGTTGGTTGATACCAGTCAAAGTCAATGTGGAGACAACCCATCAAATAATAACACATGGAAGATTATTGTTGGTGTAACAATTGGTGGAGTTGTATTGATTGTTACCATTGTAGGTGCCATCCTCTATGCTAAAAAGTATACTAATCTAAAATATTCAAACTCTGTAAAAATACAAAATAAATAAATAAATAATTAATTAATTTATAAATCTTACACATTTTATTATTTATTTACAATTTATTAATCTTTTTTAATCTTTTTTAATCTTCATTTTCATTTTCATCATCATGTTGCCAATAAAGAGGAATTAAGAATCTAAAACTAAAATCATTATGAGCAAGAGCAATTTTAATTTCGGTATACCAATCTTTTGGTTTACCCCATTCTCTTGCCATCATACTATAATTGTAAATCATTTTAAATGCCAATTTGGAGATATTATTTTCTTGATGATAATCATCTGTGAGTAGAGTTGACATGTACCGACTTTGTTTGGGTTCTAGGTATGGTGCAAAGATATCAAACTCTATCAATTTTTCAGAAGTGTCACTTGTATGTTTTGGGTATTCCAATCGTTTCGTTTTAGGATTGAGTCTTTGTTGATTGACAGTACCAGCAGCAATATAAAGGTTAACAAATATATACATCCTTAGACACTCGTGCATTGTATTGTACAGTCCATAACCACCACAAAAATCATGAAGATTGTCCATTAGATCAAGATCTCCACCACGTTGAATCAATGCCAATATATTTGCCATTTTGTTTCTTCGCCACAATAGTTTAATGACACACACCTCGTAAGAGTATCGATTGTGGTCACCTCCAAGCTTCCATTCCTGCTCGCCCTCCCAAAATGAAAAGTATTGTGTTGGATTGCCAGAATGCAGAGGTGCAGGGTCACAAAACCTACACACATATCGATTGAGTCCATCGTCATCATGACAGTCCTTGTCAGCATAGACAGTTGTCAATCGATACAAATCCTTCATCGAGTATAGTTTACGTTCAGCAATCTCTTTTGATTCAATTGCCTCTGCCAATGAATTGATAAAGTACTTCAACTTTTTCTTGTATGGTTTAATATATTCTTTATATCCTTTTGATCTAATTCCTATTCCTTTTGTCAACATTTCTTCTTTTACCTTGTCACATTCTAATAATGTTGACCATGGTATACAATTACTATTATGACATGTCATATTGAATAGAGAGAGAGAGAGAGAGAGAGAGAGAGAGAAGAGAGATAATATAATATATGAGAATAAATACTAGTTTGTGCGTCTTACATAAAAATGAAATCAATGAGAATTTTCATAGAATAATACTTATAAGTCCCATAAAAGTAGCAAGTATATTAAATTTCGATGCATTTGATATCGACAATAGATTAAATGTATTCTCAAGACCTCATACTGCTATTAAAATCTCCTAAAGTAAATTAACTTAACATGTGGTGACCCACATTTCTCGAAGAACGAAACCCCCCCCCCCCCCCCCGAGGTCTGTCCTTTAAATCTTTTTTTCTTTTTTTAAGAAATATATAAATATAGTGAAAATGTAGATTAATGATTGAATGAACAAGTTGTTTCATGTTTGAAAAAGAAAGAAATACTAAATTAATTGTCACTTGTATTTATGTTTTTATAAAAAAATAAATTAAAAAAAAAGTGTTATTCAAAATTTTTTTTTTGTGGATGATCTTGATGTTCACAAAAACACTTTTAATTAATCATCATTAAATATATATAAATTTGTATAATAAATAAATAAAAAAGAGATAAAGAATGTCATCAGCAAGATACGATAGAGCTATTACAGTGTTTTCACCAGATGGACATTTGTTTCAAGTAGAATATGCTATGGAAGCTGTACGTAAGGGTACAGTTGCTATTGGTGTTCGTGGTAAAGATGTTATCATTCTTGGTGTAGAAAAGAAATCTACTGCAAAGTTACAAGATGCTAGATCAATAAGAAAGATTGTAAAGATTGATGATCATATTTGTTTAACTTTTGCTGGTTTAACTGCTGATTCTCGTGTATTAATTAATAAGGTAAAAAAAAAAAAAGAAAAGAAAGAGAGAAAAGAAAAGAGAGAAAAGAAAAGAAAGAAAAGAAAGACTAATCATGTTCTTTTTAATCTATTCTATTTCTTTTTTAGGCATTGGTTGAATGTCAATCATATAGATTATCATTAGATGATACACCAACAGTAGAATATATTGCCAAATATATTGCAGGTATTCAACAAAGATACACACAGAGTGGTGGTGTTCGTCCATTTGGTATTTCAACATTGATTGTTGGTTTTGATAGTGATGGTACTCCACGTCTCTTCCAAACTGATCCATCTGGTTCATTTAGCTCTTGGAAGGCTGCCGCTATTGGTAGAAACTCTAAAGCTGTCTCTGAATTCCTTGAAAAGAATTATACAGACAATAGTGATGCCGAATCAATTAAACTTGCTGTTAGAGCTTTATTAGAAGTAAATTAGAAATAGAAAAAGAAAAAGAAAAATAATAATTGATTGATTAGGTTATTAATTATTTTATTTTTATTTTAATTTTAGGTTGTAGAATCTGGAAACAAGAATATCGAAATTGCAATCATTAGAAGAAATCAACCAATTTCATTATTGGAAGAGTCAGAGGTTGAAAAGTTGGTAGAAGAAGTAGAAAAGGAAAAGGATGAGGAAAAGGAACAATCTTCATCATCATCTACTGCTCCAAAGAAATAAAAAACAACAAATAAATAAATTGCAACAACCAATCAACCCATACAACCTTTTTAATAATAATAGTAAATAAATAAAAAAAAACAAACCTTTTTGTAGAGAGAAAATGAATTAATTTGATTTATTTAAATTTTTTAATTTAAAAATATTATATTTTAGATTAGTATACTTTTTAGCATAAATGATGGCACCTATAATGGCAGCAATAAATATTGATCCACCAATTGTTACACCAACAATAATCTTCCATGTGTTATTATTTGATGGGTTGTCTCCACATTGACTTTGACTTGTATCAACCAACAGAGGTGTAAAATCAGGATCAATAATACATGATTGACATTGTGGTAATAAAATACCAATCAATGCTATAGATTCCGTTGTTGATTGTTCTGACGGTGTTAATGATACCAATTGTGTTCTTGAATAGGTGTTTCGACCATCAGATACAATATAATCCAAGAATCTACCTGTAAATTGAATTCCATCTTTTAATACTCTTAGATATTGAATACTACTTGATGATAGGTCATATGATATTGATTTGATTTCATCACTTGCTTGTTGACATATTTCAATACTTTGATTATTTGGGAGACTAGTTTTGAAAAGTACTCTAAGCGAATTGATGTTACTATTAAATTCCCAATTATTAATTTCAATTGATAGTTTGATTGAATTTGGATTCATTTCGATTTCATTTCCCCCAAACATCGTTGTTCTTGCTTTAGGTGAATATGATATAACAGCAGATACATTTAATAATGGCATTGTAACCTCGCTTTGATTTACAATTAAATAATAATTTGCAATGGTTGTTGAATTGATTGTTGTAATCGTTGAATTCCATTTGTCTACTATTAATTGTTGTACCATGTCATCATTTTCAGAATTTAATTCTTGAATTGATACAATTTCAAATTGGAAATCAACACCATTAATATCAAATGAAGTTGTTGGTTTTAATGGATCTGTTGTTGTATTTACACTTGAATTGAAATCTATAGAAAAAAAAAGTAAATAAATTGTTAAAAATGATTATTGGAACTTTTAATACATACATTTTGTTAAACAATTATCAATTGGATTATAATTTTCAATACAATCACATTTACCAAATTCATTACATTGACCATTACCGAAACAATTTAGAGTTGTTTCTTGACATTGTTTTAAAAGTTGATCTGTATTGTTGTTGTTTTTGTTTGGAGGATAAAAATAAAGTACATCATTTTTAAAATATTGAAGATTATCGATTTGAACATTTATAGAAGCTGGTCCATAATTTTGATTAATTGTTTCGATGGTACAATTAATTAATCTATCATTTATAAATCCAATATTACATATCAATGTATTATTAATCAATACCAATGTATTTGAATAATTTAAATTACCATAATAACCATATAAACTAATTAATTTTGATCTATTATTATTATTATTATTATTATCATTTATAATTCCTGCTGTAACTGTTGGATATTCTAGAAAAAAAAAGATAGATAGAAAAATAATTAAGTTATTTACTTTAAATTTAAATCATTTTTAAATATTTTTTGATTTTTATCATACTTGGAATAAAATTAAATAAATAAAATGATTGATAATATTGATTTGAGATTGTAATATTATAACTACCTGGATCAGGTATAATACTAGTATTACATATAATATAGTTTGTAGTAATTGATACAATATTACAAGGTAGGGAAGAATTCAATCCAACTTGATGTTGTAGATTTGGATTTAAACTTGCAAATAAAATTTTGATTTGTAGATTTGATGGTTGTTGAGTATAGGTGAAATTATCTACATTGTTGATATTTAAAATATCTACACCAGCTTCAATTACATTTAGATTATAAGATGTATTGGCATTGGTTGAAAGGTTAACTGATAAAACCTGTGGTTGTGAAGTTTTAAATGGAGCAAAACTGGGTATTTTCATATTCAATACAGAGTTTGGTATGATCAGTGTAAGAGTATAATTTATCGTTTGGATTCCATAACCTAGATTGGATCCATATACCAAAGCTTGTCCATTCCTAGTGACAATGGTTTGATTGTCAAATGTTACTGGACAGATGAAATTGGGAGGTTGTAAAAGACTGGTTTGTATGGTCCATTGATAACACCAAAAACATGATGGAACACTTGTAATAGAGGTATTTTGAATTTTTAATTTGAATTTACACATTGACTCTGGAACTGTTCCAGCTAGTATACGATTTTCAGATACGTCAATAGGAGAAATTTGTTTTGAATCTTGAAATAAATCCCATGGAAAGGTTGTAAAATTATTTGAAAATAATTGTCTAAAAAAAAATAGAATATAAATATAAACTAGTAATAAAAGGGGGTTTCTACTATAGTATTTACGTTGAACCTAAAGTTTTTGGAAGAGGGATTTGTGGAAAAGTGGTCATATTGGTATTTGTTATGGCAAGAGAGAAAAGATTTGGTGGATAATCTATAATTGGATTTTCTGTTGTAAAATTGATCCCATTAAATGACCTAAAAAAAAAAAATTAATAAATTAATAATAATAATAATAATGTAAATGATTCTTATATAGTTACAAAGAAGCAAGTTTTTGATATAGTTTAAAATCTTTTGGGAACCAAGTTGTGAGTGGACCACTCATATAAAGTGTAGTTAGAGTCTCTGGATTGGAAATATTTAAATCATATCTTACTGTTTTGGTACTTCCTGCAATTGATCAAAAAAAAAAAAAAAAAAAAAAAAAAAAAAGGTTTAAAAATCAATATTCTTTTTTTTTGTTTTTTTTTACATACAAAAATTCACAAGTTGGAATATTGACAATGACAGTGGCTACTTTTAAAGAAGATCCAAATAGATTGATTTGTTTTAATTTGGGAAAGGAAATGGGAGAGAATAAAATAGTTTCGGGAAGAGCTAGATTAAAACCTATGTTTATGGTTTCCAACAAGGGAAGATTGGTAGTTTCATTGATCCCAAGACTTGCCAAGGGTCCTCCTATATGAATATTTTTTAAATTTTGGTTATTAAAAATACCATTGGGTAGAGATTGTAGTGTTAGAAATTGTATTGTGGTTAGATTGGTCATGATTGAAAAGAATTCATTTGGTACTGTGGTTTGTGGTCCATTTATACTAAAAAGAAAATGGTTAACAACAATGGTTTTAAAAATAATAATATTTTTTGCATACTAGAATGATTTAATAGAAGGGGCATTTTTAAAATATTCCAATATATTTATACTATAATTTTTTGTTACACTTTTTGTCAAGTAAAATGAATCAAGTCTTGGAAAATCAAATACTTGATTTACATTTGGTGTTCCAACATCTATAAAATTATTTCCTGTTATCGTTCTAAAAAAAAAAAAAAACAAAGTTATAGTGTCGGTAAAGGTAGTGTTTGAAAAAATATATATACATTTTGTTAATGTGATGAGTATTATCACTACTACTATTGATACATTCAAAAACTATAGGTGATCCATAATTACATAATGATTGGTTTTGTGGTATTTCAATTCCATATTGTTTAATTATAAATATTGCACTATCCACTAGAAAGAAAGAAAGAAAAAAAATAACAATCAGTTAATAATTCATTCTTGATAAAAATGGGAAACATATACACATACATTCTAATTGTGAAAGAGTTTGTGCTTTGATATAGTAACTGCTGTTTAGTAGTAAGAGTAGCAAAAGAAATAGTGTAAAGATTGATAGAGATAATTTCATTCTTTTACTTGATGGTTTGGTTAGGATTGAAAGTAAGATTAAGGTCACATGAAGAGTTAAAAGGTGTCTACATGTGAAAGAAATATCTCAAAAAAAAAAAAAAAAGTATTTTGGATATTTTGTCGATTTTGTTTGTGAAATAAAAATCTGGTTTTTATTTTTAGCCTTGGAATCGATTGTTTAAATAGGTCAATTTTTTTAAAAGAATTTCATTTCCTGGCATGAGTGCCAAATATCTGTTCAATTTCCATCCAATTTAAACAAACAACACTTAAAACCATAAATAAATGATACATGATACTTTGAATCGTTTATTCTCTTTCATCGATTTCCAAGGCTAAAAATAAAAAACAAACAATCTCCAAGAGTCTTGGTGGGAGCTGAACAAGATAAAAGAATGATCAATATGGTGTAAACTAAATCACCACGCAATACTCTACACCCATTCAATTCAGGAGCAAAAACGAATAAAGGTTGACTCCACTCCGCAATGATGATAATGCGTTTTGAATTTATCTATTGTCTCATGATTTTTAAAAGTCCAGTGGCTCTGTTTTAGGGCGAAGAGCCAGAGTCTCTATTTTTTGAATTTTTCTATCATTAGTCAGAGCTTTCATGTTGTAGATAAATGTGATGATAAGATGTGATGTCCAAATGTAATGTGAATCTATTTTCAACTGTATTGTTGGTGTTATATGAATCTTTGATGGGTTATTTTGGGGGCCGAAAAAATCTTTTTTTTTTTTTAATAAATCTGGACTCTAGTCGTCGGACAATAGAGTAATTATGGTTTATTTGTTTTAATTTTAATTAAAAAGAGTTTCTGTTATTATAGGGGCTGAAAAAATCGGGTCAAATTATCACTTTCCAAAAATGAATTCAACTAAGGCTCCATAGTTGAATGGTACAATACTACCTTTGGGTGGTAGTGGTCTGGGTTCGATTCCCGGTGGAGCCCTTTTCTTTTTTATGCTGTGCCGCGCTGCCAAAAAAAAATTTTTTTTTTTTTTTTTTTTTTTTTTTACAAAAGTGTATTTTGGATTTATTTGATTTAAATCTTACCTTTATTGTTGTCCAATTTATTTGTTTGAAATACATTTTGTGTAGGAAAACAAAAGAACCAACATTATTTACAAACCCAAAAAAAAAAAAGCAATATATGTTAATTAATCTCAATAATGTTATAAACCCAATATCAATGATTTTATTTTTGTATTGTTATCTCCTTGGCTGTTGTTTAAAAGTAGGTGGTTGAATAATATGAGAAGGGACTCCTTGTTGAGGTTGTTGTTGTTGTTGAGGTGGTTGACCTTGATTAAATCTTGGATCAAATTGTTGTTGGTTATATCCTTGAGGAGGTTGAGATTGTGGTTGTTGTTGTGGTGGTTGACCTTGATTAAATCTTGGATCAAATTGATGTTGATTAAATTGTTGTGGTGGTTGTTGTTGTTGTTGATTATAACCTTGAACTTGTTGTTGTTGATTTCCTTGGTTAAATTGTTGTTGATGTTGTTGATGTTGTTGATTATAACCACCACGATCTTGTTGATTTCCATGTTGTCTAAATTGTTGCCCTTGGTTAAACCCACCTCTTTCCTGTTGTCCCTGATTTCTCTCTTGATGATTTCTTTCTTGATGTCTCTCTTGATTTCTCTCTTGATTTCTATCTTGTCTCTCTTGTCTATCTTGATTAAATTGACCTTGTCTCTCTTGTCTATCTTGTCTATCTTGTCTTTGATAAGGTGGTCTATCTTGTTGCTGATTTCTTTCTTGTTTGTTATTGTTAAAAGACATTAGAGGTGGCGAAGGTTGTTGAGGCAAACTACCTGTAATAGTACTTGTACTCATACCACTACTACTACTACCATCATCGAAAACATAATTTGAAGATAAACCAGGAAGAGAAAGACCGGGAAGACCACCAGCACCACCTGCACCGGCAGCCCCACCGATATCCTTTGGTTCGAGATCCTCTTCATTTTCAATATCATGAGAGGCGTTGGGATTATTGTATTTATCCTTCATTGTATCACCAGGACGATTACGACACCAAAACTTTGTGGTATAGTCATTTGAGCCACTTGCCAAGATGTGACCTATTGGATGCCAAGAGAGCGACCAAACACTAGCATCGTGAGCACCGTAAATTTCTCCTTGAGGCGTATCACGACCCACCATCCAATAAAGGATCGAACCGTCATTACCACCGCTAACAAACAATTCCTCGTGGAATGGATGCCACGACACCGATGTAACCTCTTTTCCATGACCCTTGAACGACTGCAATTCGCTCATTGTTCTAATGTCATAGAGACGTAAAAGCTGATCCCTCGACGCAGAGACTAACCAATTTCCATTCTTGTTCCACTCTAGCTGTGCAATTGTATTTTTGTGACCGTGCAAGGTCGATATATTTTCACCACTTCTTACATCCCACACCTTGATCAGTGTATCCTTTGAACCAGACACCAATATAGATTTGGTTGGATGCCAATCGACACACTTGATATCCCAACCATGACCCAACAATGACTTTTCCTCTTTACAACGTGCAAAGTCCCAAATCTTGAGTGTACCATCGTCTGAACAAGAGGCAAACTTTAAATCGGTCGGTGAAAAGGCAATATCTCTTACCGATTCCTTGTGTGCAGTAAACACCTTTACATTGTTCATATTTGATTGCCAATATTTAATCGAACCTCCATCATCACCCGATACCATCCAATTTTCATTATGTGACCATGTAATTGCACGTACAGCCTTGTCATGTGCTTGTAAAATAGTTTCAAAGTTGAATGTCAAACCATTCCACAATGTAAATTCTCCACTTGATGATCCTGTTACTAATCTTCTACCTTCTGGTGTCCACTAGAAAATGAAGAGGAGAGGTAGGTATATTAGAAAATGAAGAGAGAGAATGATTGATTATTTAATTTCTTACACTAACACAATTAATTGGATATCTAACTTTATTTGCTGAAGTATGAATAAATCTTGTACATAAACTTGTTATAGGATTATCAATTAATGCTATTGGTGGTAGAATCTTAATGAGAGAATAAGAGTAAATAAATTGAAACAATGATTGAAATATTTCTTTTTGTTCTTACTTCTTTAATATAAAGTGGATCAGGTTCAACGGCATTAAAATCTCTTTGATCTCTTTGATAGATTCTTGAAAGATTATATTTGATAAGAGTAGAGTTAAAGTCTACAGTCTTTCTAACAACAGCCTTTCTCATACGTTTACCATCATAAACTACTTTTGATGCTTGATAATTGTTATGATAGTATTTATGATGACCTCCTCTATCTCCTCCTCCACCTCCACCTCCTCTTTCACCTCCTCCACCTCTATGATATCCTCCTCTACCTCTTTCTCCTCCTCCTCCTCCTCCTCTTTCCATTCTTTCTCCTCCACCACCACCTTCATTATGATAAGACATTATCTCTTTTTTATTTTATTTATTTATTTATATATATACAAGTTTTCGTTACACAAACAATGAAAATCACAAAAAAAAAGAAGATCATCAACCTTTTTATTTTTTAAAAAGTTTTTTTTATTATTTTTTGATTTATATTATTCATATATATTTTAATTTTTGATTTAATATTCCATTGGAGGTTGCATTGGCATTGGTTGTTCAACCTTTGGTAATTCAACTACCATAGCTTCAGTGGTAGTCATGAGTGAAGCGACAGAGGCAGCGTCGACGAGAGCGGTTCTGACAACCTTGGTTGGATCGATGATACCGGCCTTGATCATGTTTTCATAGATACCCTTGGCGGCATTGTAACCATATTCATTGTCACGACGAGCGAGGAGACGACCGACGACGACTGAACCTTCGACACCAGCATTGTTGGCAATAGTCTTGCATGGCACCATGAGAGCGTCACGGACAATCTTGACACCGATGGTTTGATCAAAGTTGTCCATCTTGATTTTTTTGAGTGTTTGAGCAGAGTAGAGGAGAGCAGTGCCACCACCTGGGACGATACCTTCGGCAACAGCAGCACGGGTTGCATTGAGAGCGTCGACGATACGATCCTTCTTTTCACCAACTTCAACCTCTGAGGCACCACCAACACGGATGACACCAACACCACTACCCAACTTGGCTAAACGTTCCTCGAGTTTACCCTTTTCATATTCAGAAGTGGTACGAGTGATGGCTTCACGAATCATTTCAACACGTTCTTGGATTGAGGCCTTTTCACCTCCACCATCCAAGATGATAGTGTCGTCGGCAGAGACGCTAATCTTCTTGGCAGTACCGAGCATTGAAATGTCGAGCGAGTCCATCTTGGTGCCGAGTTCCTCGCTAATGAGTTGACCACCGGTCAAAACGGCCAAATCTTGGAGGTTGGATTGACGCATATCACCAAAACCTGGAGCCTTGACGGCACATACTTGGAGACCACGGAGCTTGTTGATAATGAGTGCTGTCAATGCATCACTTTCAACAGATTCGGCAATAATCAATAATTTTCTACGTTGTGCATGAACTGCTTCCAAAATTGGTACCAATGTATGAACATTACTAATCTTTGCATCAGCTAATAATATTAATGGATCTTCAAATTCCTAAAGAGAAAGAGTAAAAGAGTAAATTAAAATTAATAAATAAGAATATATTATTTCTTTGTCTTTTTTTTTGATTACATACACATTTTTGAGTCTTTGGATCAGTAATAAAATATCTTGAAATAAAACCTTGATCAAATTTCATACCTTCAATAACTTCAAGTTCATCTTTTAATGTTTTACCATCCTAAGAAAAGATTAATTAATTATTTGTCTATTATTTCTTTTTCTTTTTTTGTTTTTTTTACTTACTTGAACAGTAATAACACCTTCTTTACCAACTTTTTCCATAGCAGAAGCAATGAGGTTACCTACGACCTTATCACCATTAGCAGAGATGGTAGCAACTTGAGCAATTTCTTCAGTGGTAGAGATTGGACGAGAGAGAACCTTGAGTTCTTCGATGACCTTGTCGACGGCAAAGTTGATACCTCTCCACAAATCCATTGGGTTCATACCGGCAGCGACAGCCTTGCAACCTTCGGCAAAGATAGCCTTGGTCAAGACAGTGGCAGTGGTGGTACCATCACCAGCAATGTCGTTGGTGTTGGATGCTACACCCTTGACAAGGAGAGCACCGAGGTTGACATGACGATCCTTAAACTCGACGTGCTTGGCGACAGTGACACCATCCTTGGTGATCTTTGGTGCACCAAATGGTTGATCGAGAATAACATTACGTCCCTTTGGACCCAATGTAACTTCTACGGCTGCTGCCAATTGTTCAACACCACGTAACATCAATGCACGACATTCAGCTCCAAACTTGATGTCTTTACCAGTCGAATAACTACGACTGACTACTCCACTCTTGATGGTTTGATTAATTGCTTGACGTAACATATTGATATATATATATATATATTAAAAATGATATATATAATAACTACTAAAACAAGAAGATGATTAAAAGAGCGAACGACAAAAAGACACATGATCATGATGATCAAAAAAAATTTGAAAAAAAATTTAATTTTGAAAATAGCTGGGAATTTCGAAAAAGAGAAATAATAATATTTCCTTACAACATTTTATTTATTGATTCATTTTAGACAACTTTACAGAGTTTGAATATTTTATATTGGTATATCTTTTAGCATAAATAATTAAACCTGTAATAGCAGCAATAAATATGGCTCCACCAATTGTTACACCAACAATAATCTTCCATGTGTTATTATTTGATGGGTTGTCACCACATTGACTTTGACTTGTATCAACCAACAAAGGTGTAAAATCAGGATCAATAATACATGATTGACATTGTGGTAATAAAATACCAATCAATGCTATAGATTCCGTGGTTGATTGTTCTGATGGTGTTAATGATACTAATTGTGTTCTTGAATAGGTATTACGACCATCAGATACAATATAATCCAAGAATCTACCTGTAAATTGAATTCCATCTTTTAATACTCTTAGATATTGAATACTACTTGATGATAGGTCATATGATATTTTTTTGATTTCATCACTTGCTTGTTGACAAATTTCAATACTTTGATTATTTGGGAAAAAAAAAGTAAATAAATTGTTTAAAAATGATTATTGGAACTTTTAATACATACATTTTGTTAAACAATTATCAATTGGATTATAGTTTTCAATACAATCACATTTACCAAACTCATTACATTGACCATTACCAAAACAATTCAAAGTTGTTTCTTGACATTGTTTTAAAAGATCTGTATTATTATTATTATTATTATTATTATTATTATTATTATTATTATTTGTTGGGAGGATAAAAATAAAGTACATCATTTTTAAAATATTGAAGATTATTCATTTGAACTTTGACAGAAGCTGGTCCATAATTTTGATTAATTGTTTCGATGGTACAATTAATTAATCTATCATTTATAAATCCAATATTACATATCAATGTATTATTAATCATTACAGAAGGGTTGGTTTGATTTAAATTACCATAATAACCATATAAACTAATTAATTTTGTTCAATTATTATTATTATCATTTACAATTCCAGATGTAACTGTTGGGTATTCTAAAAAAATAGTAAATGAATTAATATTAAATAATTTTACTTTGATTTTTTGATTTTTAAACATACTTGGAATAAAATTAAATAAATAATTTAATACTACCAGGATCAGGTATATTACTAGTATTACAAGTAATAGAGACTGAAGAGATTGATAAAATATTACAAGGTAATGAAGAATTTAATCCAACTTGATGTTGTAGATTTAAATTTAAATTTTGAAATAAAATGATGAATTGTAGATTGGATGGTTGTTGAGTATAGGTGAAATTGTGTAAAGAGGAGAAAGGATGATACCGGCTTCTAATACATTTAGATTATAAGATGTATTGGCATTGGTTGAAAGGTTTACTGATAAAACCTTTGGTTGAGCTAAAAGATAGGATCCAAAGTTTGGTATTTGAATTTTTAAACTTTGGTTTGGGATGATTGGTAAAAGAGTATATTCACTGGTTTTAAACCCCCAACCCAAATCTGACCCAGTCACCAAACCTTCTCCAGCCCTAGTGACAATGGTTTGATTATCAAATGTTACTGGACAAATGAAATTGGGAGGTCTTTCAAGACTAGTTACAAAGACTTGATCCAAAGCTGGATAACACCAAAAACATGATGGAACACTTGTAATAGAGGTATTTTGAATCTTTAATTTGAATCTACACATTGACTCTGGAACTGTTCCAACAAGATTATCATTATCAGTCAATACAATTGGAAGTGATGGTCTTGTATTATTAAAAATATCCCATGGAACATTTAATAGATTATTTGAAAATACTTGACTATAAATAGAGAGAAAAGAGTAAATAAAATATTTTAAATTAATATTTTCTTTTTATACATACAATAAATTTAAAGAAGGAGGTAAAGGGATATTTGGAATAGTTGTTAAATTAGAAAAGACAATGGCAAGAGAGGTTAATTTTGGAGGGTATGCATTGGTGATTGGATATTGTCAAAAATTGACTCCATGAAATAAAGAGAAAATACATTTGGATAATATTTAAAATCTTTTGGTGTCCAAGTGGTTAGGGCTCCAGATAAAAAAAAATCACCCAATACCTCTGGATGTACCAGTTGTACACAAAAATCTTGTCTGCACCACCAGTCAAAACCAATGCTGTACAAGTTGACGAGTTTAATTTAACTGTAACTTTTGCACTCTTCCAACGTTTAAACTAAAGTAAGTTTTGGCATTGTCTCTGGTGTAATTGAAATCGTTTCAGGTGCACTCGGTACAAAATTGAGTGTAAATGTTTGTAATGATGGAAGGTTGACCGTCGATTCATTTATACCAGCTGTTTCAAAGCAGTAGCTCCCAATGAAAGTAAAGTCAAACCAGGATGATTTAATATACCTCTCGGTATGTTTGATATTTGATGTAATTCCAAAATTCTCATATTTGGCATAGTTGATAAGAAATCATTTGGAACATTTACCAATGTATTTACTCCTGTACTAAAAAGTAAAAAGAAAAGTTATTAAAGTCAAAAGTAAAATAGATAATTTATAAAGACATACTAAAATTTTGATAAAAAAGGTAGATTTTTGACATAATCTAAAAAATTAATACTAGTATTTCTAACAAGTGTATTGGATAAATAGATTGAAGTAACTTGTGGAAAATCTAATTGTATTGTTACATTTGGATCTCCAACATTTGTAAATATTACTCCTGTTATTGATCTTAATTTTGCAAAAGAGGAATAGTTAATAAAAATTAAAGTAAATATAGATATAGATATAGATATATATATTACATTGAATCAATATGATATCCTCCTCCAGTACCACTACTACATTTAAATATAGCAGGTGGTCCATAATTACAAAGTGATTGATCTTGTGGTATGGCAGGTATTCCAAATTGTTGAATTTTAAAGATTGCACTATTCACTAAAAAAGATTAAACAAAGATTAATATAAGATATCGATATCTTTTACCATTCTAATTGATAATACATACATTCTGATTGCGAAAGAATTAATTCTTGTGATACACATACTCTTCCAAAAATCAATAAAATAGCTGATATTATGAAATATGTATTGTTGTTGATTATTTATTTTTATCTATGGTTTGATCTATTAGTTGTTTTCTATTCTAGAACCAACCGAAAGACTTCGCCAGACTAGGTTTCGTATGTTAAGAGCACAACTAAACATACGAAAAATCGAAAAAATTAGTTGTTTTTGGAAGTATCCCAGCTGCGCTCGAATTCTCTGATCTTTTCTTTCGATGTCTTTCAGATCTGCAGACTTTGTCTGTTGACACAGACTGCAATTATCTATATATGTGAAGTGTTTTCATTTTAATAAAAAATAAATTAAAAAAAAAAGAAATGTAAAAGTAAAATTTTTACAATTGTAATCAAGCTTGATTATCATGGTGCGATGCGAAGAGTAAAAAAATTATATTTTTATTATTTCGCTCTTTTTTTTAATTGTAGTTTTACAGATTTTGAATATTTTAGATTGGTAATAGTTGTTGGATTGATTGTTGTAATCGTTGAATTCCATTTGTCTACTAATAATTGTTTTGCAATTTCTTCATTTTCATTTAACTCTTGAATTTATACAATTTCAAATTGGAAATCAACACCATTAATATCAAATGAGGTTGTTGGTTTTAATGGATCCGTTGTTGTATTTACACTTGAATTGAAATCTAAAAAATAAACAAAGAATAAATAATAAGATTAAATATGACTCAATAGATGTGAGAGTACATACATTGAATTTAACTTTTTAATTGCGTTGTGTTTTTGGCAGAGAACGTATTAAAATGTCGTACAACTGTCTTTGGAAATCAGATACATCTGGTTTTAACAAACACTCCCTATCCAAAGATTGACGTGAGAAAAAATCGATCTCTTTTGAAAAATATTCGACGAGCAGTTTAGGAGCAACAGTTGTTGCGAGTGTTTTCCTCGTATCCACACCATCAATCAGCCAACGAGGACACATATATGCATCTTCTGATTCCACGAGAATGCTGCGGACATAGAGCCGCATGGATTTGAGCTCCACGGCAGTAAGACGTCCATCATCACCAGCTGATTTTTGTGCATCAGCCACCGATCCGTTGTGTGACATTGGCCAAGTACCTGCCCACCTATTGTTCTTTACCATATCACCATAGGGGGAGGTCCAAGATTTATTCTTTTGAGGGTGCGGGTGCTCAGAGTAATATCTCTGGTCTTGGGACTCGAATTTGTTGAGGGGTAACTGGGAGAAGCAAATGGTATCCATCAGAGCAAGGTCATACCTGACTAGCTCAGAGAATGCCATGCCGACTGCAATCTCAGCAAACGCGCTACCTGGGTTTATTGACGGATCAGAGCTTGAATCCCGGAAAATTGGTTTTCTTATCGTCTCGTCAAAATATTTTTTGGTAGAATATGGTGTTGGGCTCGGGAGTACAGTGGATGGGATTCCAAGAAAAGTCTTTCCGAGACCAATATCCATGATGTCCTGAGCAAAAGCATCCACCAAACTTTTACCTGGACTTATCTCCGTTTCACCTGGGGTGATAATACGAACCACTTTATTTTGTAAAGCTTGTAATTGCGAGGCAAAGGCTGGGTAACTCCGTTTTATGCTCTGGCTGGAGATTTTGGGTGAGAGATTTTCCCATATCTGGTGAGCAAAACGATAGGAATATAAAAAAATAAATAATATTCCTTTCGTTTCTTTGATGTTGGTGATCTCCGCATTCCACTGGCGAAAGGATAACATGAACTCTCGCATTACTGGTCCAGCAACGGGGTGGAGGCGTATGAACTGGAAGTCGGTGGAACCAACGAGACGAGAGTCTATGGTCATCATGGCTGCCACGAATGCACAAATCCAGACTGCGGTTTTGAGGTCTTGGGGGATGGTCTTATCACGAAGGCACTGAATGATAGTTGTTTTGAGATCTTCAGGTGCTGTCCATGTACTATCGTCTACTTTGTACACATCTGGGCAGGAGGGGAGGATACAATATGCATAGTTCTTGTGGTCAGAATGGTGTGGGTCGTTGTTGTTGACACGGACAAAGTGTCCCCGGCATATAAAAAGAGAATGGTTATCATCTTTTTTAAGCATGTGTTCGGCTACGATTCCGTGGAGGATATTGATCGGGTGGATCGTCCAAAGAGGAAAAGACTGATAGGATTTCGTGTTTGATTTCTTTTTAAAGCATTCCGAAGCGGCTTTCGCAGCGCTAAACACTTGAAAGGCGGTATAGTGATCTTCTCCGATGACCAAATCAAACACACAATCGAGTGGCAACTTGTCATCTTTGCGATATTTTCTGCGAGAGTGTTCTTGAAACGATTTTTGTCTACAATCTGTATTCTTTCCTTTAATGTTAGCCTCTTTGGATCGATCACAAAAGTCTTGATAAAGTTTTTTATGGAGTTCTTTAACAAATTGGTAGTTAGTAATGGTGATTTATTTTTGGCTATAAATTGTTTTTGTACATACTTTCTCTTTTAGTCATAAATATAGGATATCAATGCAACAAATCTTATGTACAATGACTATGATATATTGGTCTAATTACTATAATGATAAGTTTGATAACAAAGTTTCGATTATCTCGCGTTTGTCTATCTGTACAAGTATGTAAATTAAAAAATTGGGTTGAGTTGGATCATCATCTTTCAATGGAATGTTATTCATAGCGAAAAAATTGAGAAACTTATAATTCACACAATTGAAGTTCTACGAATGTTCACTTGCAGCTACTATTAACATTTACAATAAGGATGAATAGAAATATTGATATTAATATATTATTAATTAATAATATATTTAGATCATTGTATCTTAGGAATAGGATATTTAAAGAGATTGGTGTCGTTTCGGATATTGAAAGAGCCAGTTTAGAAGATACACCCAACAATGTAGATAACTACTATATGCAAACTAAAAAGTTACTATTTACCAAAGGCAAAGAGATCATACAACATGCTACAAGTGAACGTTGGCATTCAAGACAACTTGACCTGGTATCTAAATTCGCTCTACCTTGGCATTTTGTCAAACACTATCTACCACCAAAAGATACAATAGATGATAGCAAAAGATCGATTGCAATCAATCTCTATTGTTCACATCCAAATGCAACTCTTCAAACTCTTGAAATGTTGATCGACAAGTGGTCACCAGATTTTGAACCAAATAGTCATGTGTTGGATGATGTGTCAGAGGCTGGTCATCTAGATATTCTACAATACCTTCACAATCGTTATCGTGATACCATCGTTGCATCTACCAATGCTATGTGTCTAGCTTCTCAAAAAGGTTACCTAAACATAGTACAATGGTTGCATGCCAATAGACTAGAGGGTACAACCAAGCGTGCAGTCGTAGAAGCTTCATTAAATGGTCATTTGTCAATTTTAAAATGGCTCATTGAAATAAGAAAAGAGAATAACTATTCTCATAATAATGCTCTTTTCAATGCTGCGAGATATGGTCATCTTGATGTTGTAAAGGTATGAAACGAGTTGAAATTAGACATACTATGTGTCACATATGATTAACTTTATTTAATATTTTTATTTATTTAGTATTTACATGGAATTGGTTTAACAGGTATAACTACATCTCCAATGGATTATGCATGTGAAAATAATCATTTGGATAGTAAATATACAACATAGCATACATATAATATGAATTTAATCTAATTAATTAATTTAATATTTTATTTTGTTTTTTTGTTTAGTTGTTAAATTTCTAAGAGAGAATAGAACAGAAGGATGTTCAGATCTTTCAATTGATTGGGCTGCAGAGAATGGGCATGCAGAGATGGTGGAATATTTATTGACCAATAAATTGGTTGAAAGATTTTCAAAGGAATCTTGTCTAATTGCAGCAACAAGAGGTCACTACAAAGTAATTCAACTATTACATCAATATCAATCCACTTGTAATTTAGTAGATTTCAATCCATTTACACCAAAGGTATTGGATAAGGCCGCTAAAAATGGTCACCTCAATATTGTTCAATACCTCATTGAACATCGTAAAGAAGGAGGAACATCAAAAGCAATTGACAGTTCAAGTAAAGCTGGTCATTACGAAATTGTTAAATATCTAATTGATAAATCATTTCCTTGTACTTTTAAAGCTTCTCGTATGGCAAGGTAAATATAAATTAATAATATTAATCGATTAATCAAGTATTAATTTAATTGTTTTTAATTATAGTTTTAATGGACATTTATCAATTATTGAATTATTACATGAGAATGGGAAACCATTTACAAAAGAAGCAATGGATTCAGCAGCATCTAAAGGTAGATTGGATATATTATTATTTCTTCATAATAATAGAACTGAAGGTTGTTCAAAAGATGCATTGGATAAATCTAGTAAAAATGGTCATTTTGATATTGTAAAGGTAAATATATATATACAACTCTTAAAGATAAATATTTTAATTATTTATTTATTTATTTTCTTTTTTAGTTTTTACATTTTAATAGAACAGAAGGATGTTTAAATGCAATTAAAGAAGCATCAAAAGGAAATCATTTAGAGATTGTTAGATTTTTAAATGAAAATAGAACAGAAGTTTGTTGTGCAGATACAGTGACTACATGTGCTAGAATGGGACACTTTGATGTTTTGAAATATCTCATTGATAATAGAAGTGAAGGATGTTCAATTAATACAATTGATCAAGTTGCATCGATGGGACATTTAAATATTATAAAGTATTTACACAATCACGTTAAAGATAGACCAATGGCCACTAAACGTGCGATGGATATGGCTGCCAACGGCGGGTACTTGAATATAATTAAATTTTTACATTCCAATCGAAGTGAAGGATGCACAACAGATGCTATGGATCGAGCAGCTGAAAATGGATACTTGGACATTGTATCTTATTTACACCAGTATCGCAAAGAAGGATGTACCATAAATGCAATAGAAGGAGCATCTTCTAAAGGTCACCTATCAATTGTACAATATCTATTTAGACAGTGTAATGTTAGGTGTCCTGGAGCAGAGGCATTGACAAATGCGGCTAGGTATGGTCATAAAAGTGTTGTACAGTTTTTGGTAAAATCCTATCCAGACCTAGGAAAATTTATACCCATTGCCATGAGTGCCACTCTCTCCGATGGTAATCTTTCATTGGCACTTTATTTAGCTTCAATCAATCCAAAAAAAACTAGATTCAATGTTGGACAGTTCAGTGTTGGACAGTGCTATTACACGTGGTTGGATTATGATTCTAAAGTCATTTGGTAACAAATCAACAATCAACTTGGATACTGTCTATAGAGAATTAGAGAATGGTAATTCATCAGCTTACAACTACTTATTATCAATCAAACATCCAGGTATTTTAAAATTAATTGAATCTAAACAAAAATTAAAATTAAAAAATAAATAAAAAGAGAGAAGAGAAAAGATAGAAAGAGTTGTTTATATAAATATATAGATATTGTCATCAATATTTATTGATGAAAAGAGAGATATATTTATATAAAAAGTCGGGATTGATCTTTTTAAAATCCAAAATGACCCTCTCTGTCTGCAAATGAGTAATAAAGAAGAAAGAAAGTACTTGATTAGATATATATAACAAATCAATGTTTATAGACAGAACTTACTGTCAAGTTTATCGCTTGGGTTAGTGGTGGTGGCTTGACCTCTGAGGTTTGGTTTAGGGTTTTTTCCACCACTGTATGGTCTGGTGCTTTGATCGAATGTTCTGAGCATGTTTTAATAATAGAAAGAAATAATACAAACAAATAATAATACAAATAAAAAGTAAAAGAAGTACATGCAAAGCAAAAAAGGTTGCGAGAAAATAGAGAGGATGCGGAATGCAAAATATCGATAAATTCGCTGAATCCCGCAATTTTTACTGAGCATCTCTTTGTTGATCAACTGATGAGGGAGATTCATTTTATTTTGTCAACATCCAGGTATTAGATGATTTAAAATCCAAAACGATTATCTCTATCTAAAAATATAAAACAAAAGAAAGTATTTGATATTAAAATATATTATTTTTATCAATATTTAATATGGGATATTTAAATATTGATAAAGACTCAGATCTGACAAAAAGAGAGAATGTTTGAATATAATTACTGTCAAGTTTATCGCTTGTGTTGGTTGTGGCTTGACCTGAATTTGATCTGAGGTTTGGTTTAGGGTTTTTACCACCATATGGTTGTTTGGTGCCTTGATCGAATGTTCTGAGCATGTTTTAAAATAATAGAAAGAAATAATACAAACAAATAATAATACAAATAAAAAACTAAAGTCAGAATAAAACTTTTAATTTGTTTAAAAAGTAAAAGGTTGCGAGAAAGTAGTGAGAGGTTGAGGAATGCCCTATGAAAAATTGATATTATTTTATTATTCGTTCCGAACCCCCCCCCCCCCCCCCCCCTTTACTTTTGACTCGTCATCTCATCTTTTATCTTTGTTGATCATCTGATGGGTTTTCGTTCTCTCACCTTTTTATTTTATTATTAACATGACATACATATATATATATATATATAAATAATGAATAGTAGTAGTAATAATAATAATAATAATAATAATAATAGTTTTATTATTTTAATAACATTTAAGAATAGTTATTTGAGAAGATTAATATTTCAATTTATTGAAGAGTTTGGAAGGATTGATAAAGATGAATATGAAAGATATCATAGATCTATTTTAAATAGTCATAGTTATCATTCATACAATATAAACAAACAAACAAAAGATGAAGATAAAAAAGAAAGATTAATTTATAAAAAAGGAAAAGAGTTTATTCCTCCATCAAAGAGTACCCCATCTCTTTTCTTTCTCAATAGAGAATCAACATTGGATATGATATCAAAATATGCATTAGATTGGTCATTTATAAAACATTATCTACCTAGTAGAGAATTGATAGATGAAAGCAAGAGATCATCGGCAATCAATTATTATTGTTTACATCCAAATGGTAACTTGTCAACATTGAAGGAATTGTTGAAATGGTCACCAGATTTTGTACCTTTTGAATCATTGTTGGACTTTATGCCAAGGTTTGGTAAGATGGATATGATTTTATTCATAGAATCCAAGTATCCAAATCTTTTATTTACACCCAATTCATTGGTGGTTGCTAGTAGTGGTGGTCATGTCAATATCTTGGAATACTTGTTTCGTTGGAAAAAGATAAGAAACAAGTCAACAGACTCGGTTCTTGAAGCTTCAAGGGCTGGGCATTTCGAAGCTGTAAAGTATCTACTTTCTATAAATAGACCATTTCAAGTCGATGCAATCAATGCTGCTTGCAAGGGTGGTCATATCAATATAGTTGATTGTCTGTTGGGAGAGTCAACAAAATTGACAAAACCAAGTTGGCCCGGTATTAGAGGTGCCATCAAGAATAATAGGGTCGACCTATTGGAATATCTAGTCATACACAAACTCTACACTAAATCAGAGTATGGTGGGACCACTGGATTCGAAGATGCAGCAGCTATGGGACATATAGAGATGGTACAATACCTCGCACCGTTTGTAGTGACATTTATACCGGGTGCAATTCAAAGAGCTGCCAAGAATGGACATCTTGAAATACTCAAATACCTATTAGATACCATTCAAGAACCAGTAGAGATTGGAATAAAGACAATCAACATGGTCGCTGAAAGAGGACATCTCCCCATTCTATCCTTTTTAAATGATAAAGGGTATCTAAAGAATCAACGCAATCTAAAAACCGAATCTATAGATTCGGCTGCAAAGAATGGTCAACTAGAAACTATAATCTATTTAATTGAAAATAGATCTTTGGAATTCTCTAGTAATGCAATTAATTCGGCTGCAAGGAACGGTCATTACAAAGTAGTAGAATTTTTATTGTCACGCTCAAAAGAAAAAGAAGAATATCATGTTATAAACTCTATTGATGATATTGCTACCAATGGACATTTGGATATAATAGAGTTGATTGTTGGAAATGATCATTGTATCATTACTGGTGTTACTACCAATGCTATGACTGGTGCTGCAAAAAATGGACATTTACTGGTTGTACAATATTTGGATCAACATAGAACAGAAGGATGTACTACAAGAGCTCTAGAGTGGTCTTCAAAAAATGGACATCTACCTGTTGTAATGTATCTTCATAATAGTCCTCATAAATATCCTTGCTCTATAAAAGCTTTAGATTGGGCAGCTGAAAATGGTCATTTAGATATAGTTCAATTTCTTTATCATAATAGAACTGAACGTTGTAGTGTTTATGCAATTGATAGAGTAAGACTATATAAAAAAAAAAAAAGAAAATATATAATTTATTTATTAATTATTTTTTTTCTATTTATTTATTTTAGGCAGCAAGAAATGGATATTTAGATATTGTTTCATTTTTAATGAATCAAAAAGAACATTGTAGTTGTGATGCTTTTGATAGTGCAGCTTTGGGTGGACATTTGGCAGTTTTAACCTATCTCTATCACAATCAAAAGGGTGGTAAAGAGTTTTCATCATCACATGTCATTCCTCGTATTGCTGAAACCAAACAAATATCAATCATCCATTTCATCTATCAACATTATCCTCATCTTCAATTTGCATTTCCAGACTCTTCATTGGTTTTGGCTGGTATCAAATCACCAACAGCTACACAACCACCAACAAACAACAACACCTTATTAATTTATGCATTTGCATTATTGGTATTGATAATATCTATATCAATTATAAATTATTTATTTTAAAAATATATAAATAAAAAAAGGAGAGAGAACAGCCCTAGTGTCTAGACATTGCCGACACAAATCTCGTTGCTACGATCTTTTCTTTTATGAATTTTCAATTTCGTTTTCATTGGGATTCCCCAATGATCCGAAACACAAGATATTTCTTTTTTAAATTTGAACAATCTGATTTTACCTCCTAACCCTTCGCCGTTGGGAAGGAAGAACATGTTCGTCTATGATTAAGAAGCCTATTCTTTATCCTTTTAGTTTATCTCTTTTCGCATCTATCTCAGAAAAATGATGAAAAGATTATTCTTTATTTTATTAATAGTATTTTCACTATTAACAGTTAGTAGTAGCTATGCATCATCATCATTCTTTCAATCAAAAGAATTATTGGCTGTTTTATCAAATATGCCATCAATGAGCGCTGGTGGTGGTGTTAAGTGTGCTGCTTGTACAATTGTAAATACAATGCAACAAAAAAATAAAATAAGAAAAGCTTAGTCATGTGATCCACTAACTTTTTCTTTACTTTTTTTTTTTTCTTTTTTTAGTTATTAACACTTGTAGAACAATATTCAGGAATTCATGAACAATCGGTTGAAAGAGCAATGGATGAAATATGTTCATTCTTTCCAGACAAGATCCAAGATCTTTGTGTATCATTAGTTAATACCTATGGTGATGATATCATTACTTTGTTTGATCAATATAAAAATGTATATATCATCTGACCAAAAAAAATATAGTATCGGTCAACTAAATCATATTCTTACTTTCTTTTTGATTTCCATAACTACTCTTAGGCAGACGATGTATGTCATGCATTAAAAGACGTTTGTACATTACCAACATGTAGATTATTTAATAATGTTACAGCTACTTTTAATGGTCCATATTCAAGTCAACCCACCAACATTGGATCGTCGAGATCGATTAAAAAGGTTAGTGAAAATCCATGGGAATGGTTAAAAGGATTGATCAAGATCTTTTCAAGTTACCATGACCCAATTGAAGATATCGATGGTGACAAGTTTTCTATGGAACCAACTTTTAGAGGATACAATTGGCGTGGAAGAGATTGTGATGACTTTAACAAGGCTATTTATCCAGGTACCATTGGTCAAGATTCGAGTGACCCAAATGTCGATTGGAATTGTAACGGTATCTATGGAACCAATCAACAAGGTCAATCTTGGGAAGAACAACTTTGCGGTAATTCATCGGCCATGGGTGTTGTTGTGTGTGGTGATAGTGTCGGTGCACACTTTGCAGTACCACCACAGTACTTGACAGCCAGCCAAATCAACTCTACCACTTACAAGGGTTTGATGGATGTTTTAGAGACAGAGTTTGATTGGCCTATGCGTGGTACCTATACAGGTTGGCAAGCATCCACTACCGATGATATTATCGATAGTATCTACTTACGTATGCGTGACCGTAATCTATGTAATCATAGAGACTACCAAAACCTTGGTGTCAACGGTGCACGTTCATCAAGTGTCGCCGATGGAAATATCAACTCTTTTGCAAGAGACCAAGTCAATGATAAACCTGTCTTATTCTTTTTGGAGCTAGTTGGAAATGACGTATGCAACCCGCATCATGACTATTCCGACATGACAACCAATGCAGAGTTTGAAGCAAACATTCTAAAGACACTCCAGTACCTCGACACTCAATTGCCAGCCGGTAGTCATGTAGTTTTTGTCGGTCTTGTTGACGGCCGTGTTTTATGGGATACCTTATGGAACCGTACACATCCAATTGGTGCCACCTATGAAATGGTCTATGACTATTTGAACTGTCTCGAATTGTCACCATGTTGGGGTTGGATGAACCCAAATGAAACCGTTAGAAACTATACCTCTGAACGTGCCGCCTCTCTCAACTCTGTCTATTCTCAAATTATTGGTAATTATACCTTTAAACATTTTGATATGCAGTATTATGACTTCCCATTCGATGCTGTCAATGCCGAGTGGATCAAAGGTGGAGGACATACATATCAACTTATAGGTATGTAAAAAAAAAAAAAAAAAAAAAAAAAAAATTTAAAGAATAATATATATTAACAAACCAACCATTCTTTTCTTTTGGAATAATAATATTCCCTCTCCCTCTTTACCATGCACCATTTGTTTATTCTCTAATCTCTCTCATCATTATTATTTTTATTACTATTATTTTTTTTTTTTTTTTTTTTTTTTTCCATTCTTATTATTATTTGGTAATTAATATTACTGTTTGGAATGGATGAAATGCCCAGAACCCGTGGACGGTTTTCATCCCAGCCAAATAGCAAACTACTTGATGGCTGGATATTTCTGGGAGCAGCTACTAAGCGATCATCCAGATTGGCTCGGACAAGTCAATCCACTCAATTATAAGATTTTGCAACAATTTGGTGATCAAGGTGGCTATTAACCAAATAGAATAGTGATTCAATATTAACCAATAGTGTCATTTGTAAATTGCCTATTCTTTTAAACTGCCAACCATCAATAAAGAATTTATCAATGTATTTCTTTCAAAAAAGAAAAATTACCATGTTTTTTTTTTATTTTTTTCAACAATGAAGATCATGCACAAGACGAGAGAGATTCGAATCCAATCAAAGATTTGTATTCATATATTTATATAGAGATATTAAAGAAAGAAAGAGTAAATGAGTAATCCATTCTTGTTTACATCTTCATTGGGAAATATAGGAGGAGGAGGAGGAAGAGGAGACTCTGATGATGAAGACAATCTTTATCAAAGTAGTAGTTCATTCTCTTCTTCTAACATTAACCGAGGAGGAGGAGGAATGAGTAATGGTATTAGTAGTGGTAGTAGTAGTTTATTCGATACAACATCTTATCAAAACCCTTCTTTATGGTCAACATCAAATAATAACAATAATAATCAAACAAACAACAACAATTTGTTTAATTCAACATCTACATCATTTAATATAAATAACTTACCTGAAGAAGATGGTGACGATGATAACAACAACTTTAGATCTCAACAACAATCACAACATAGATATGATCATCTTGAACATGATCAAGATCAAGGTATGATGGAAGACGAAGATAATGACATTATCGATGAATTATCAGAATTTCAAAACAAGAATGCAAAGAGTGATGATCATCAATACTATGATATCATTGAAAAGGAATTAAATAATAATAATATCGGTGAAAATGATTTACCTTTACAATTGGCTCAATTATTTAGATCTTATTGTGAATCAAAGTAAGATAAAAGAAAAGAGATACCTTTATCAATCAATCCCATCTAATCATTTCTATTTCTATTTCTATTTATTTTTTATATATTTAGATTAAATTCATTACAATATCAAATAGAGAAATCATTTTATTTACCAAATAAAAATGAAACTGAAAGATTAATAGAAATATTTAAAATGGAAAAGAATACATGGGAGATTTTATTTAAACTTTATCATCAAAGAGATAGATCATCAATGTATGTAGTAGAAAGTAAAAAGGTAACATTTGAGTCATTATTAACTTTTATTTTAATTTTTCTAAGGGAAACTGATAAATTAGAAAATCTTGATATAACATCACAAGTTAATACTATTCAATATAATATTCATAAAGATAGTCAAATGAGTGAAAATATTATTATATTGGATTGGTTGGAAGAGATGGTATCAAATGTTAAATTAAATGTTGATAATGTCTATTGGAAGAATACATTGGAACGCTTAAAGGGTGGACATGTTCGTACACACTCTTCTCCCAAAGAATCTGAATTGGTCAAAGAAGTTGATCCAGATGCTGTTCAACGTCAAACTTTGAAACTTGATCACGAAGATCAACAACAAGAAAACAAATTCCTACAAACTCTTTGGCAACTCATTCGAGCAGGTAATCGTGAACTTGCAGCAGAGTTTTGTCGTGAAGTTGGACAAATGTGGCGTGCTCAAACTCTTTTGGGTGATCGTTTATACGATAGTGAATCGGATATTGGTAATCCCTATAGAAACATGTGGAGAACCACTTGCAATGGAATGAGCGCATCGACTGCCAATCAATTTGAAAAGGCTATCTATGGTTTGTTGGGTGGCAATTTACCATCGGTTCTTCCAGTCTGTCGTAATTGGTATGATTATTTATGGGCTCATGTAAAGGTATTGGTAGACGAGAAAATGAATCAAGAGATTCAAGGTCTTGCTGCTCCTCCAACTGCCTATGAAGATTTTCCACCTCCCAAACCAACCATTTCAACCATCTTTACTCCAAAAGATATCCTCCACACTCTTCGTACAAATGCTCCAACTGAAATTAAAACTGAATCAAATCAACCTTATAATTTAATTCAAGAAATGATCATTACCGATGATTATATTACTTTAGTAAAATCTTTATTAAATATTATTAATTCGTAAGAAATGAAAAAAAAATAGAAAAAAATAGAATAGTTTATTAATTTTTTTCTATTTTACTTTTAGAAAACAAATAACACCAGAATTTAATAGATTAGCAGTAGTTATAGTATTATTTTTTAGATTTAGATCACCAAATATACCAACATCAATTGATGAAAATTCACCAGAAAATGTTATTATCAATACCTATGTTGAATATTTGATTGAAAATCAAAAGAATGATTTGGTAGCATTGTATACATCATTCCTTACATGCAAGAAACTACAAATCAAGGTTTATTCCAAGTTTTTGGAAGGTATTACCAGTCAATCGGAAAGACAACAATGTTTGGATTTGGCTGAAAGATTTGGTTTGGATACTGATACTATTACCTATACCGTTGTCAGCAATATTACATCACAAGAGAGTACCAGTAAATCATTGTCGACCACGACACAAGATGATATCAACAAAATCGATGCTCTTGGTTATTTGGTGATTAGTCCCTCTCAACTCATTGGTGCCATTGCTCAAGCCAACAAACTTCTCAGAGAATTTATCAAAAACAACAAGATTGATGCTGCTCATCAGCTGATTGGTTCATTGCCAGAGGATTCTGTCATTAAAGCAAGACTTGAAAGCACAAGATCCGAAGCTGAAACCACCGATATTATCAAAGAGTTTACAAATTGGGCACAATATTTGGCAGCCATCAACAAGATTGCCATTTGGTTCCAAAACTTTTCAAAACGTCCTACTCAACCAACTCTTTACTATCGTCTTACTGGAAAAGAGTCTTATGCCCAAAAATTGGATCTCGAAAGAAGAAAAAAGGATATCGAAGAGGAATATGCTAGATGGAGTCAAAATAATTTAAATTATGGTCACAATGCAATTGATAGTATCGATATTATTATTAAACAAAGTTGGTTGTGTCCTGAAGACTATCCAGATGGAGTATTTGCCGGTGGCGAGGAACAAGAGTTGAAACAATTGCATGCACTCCGAGTCAGTTGTATCCCACCACTCTTTTTCACACTTCACAAGATTCTTGTTGGTATCGAACAAATCAAAAAGAGTGTAAGAATTGTAAACATTGTCGCTGAAGAACGATTCAAATGGTACAATGTGTTTAGTCGTGCTCAACTTCAAGAACTCTTACAACTCACAGTCAAAGATAGTATTTATAAAATGATGGAAAAGACAAACAAAAATGATAAACAAGATAATGGACAAAATTTCTATCAACAATTTGATTATCTTCAATATTCAAATTATTATTATTTAAATAAATAAAATAAAAGAGAAATAAAGAAATACATTGAAAAAAAAAAAAAAAATAGTCTTGAAAAATATTTTTACTGGATATATTTTTCCAAAACTAAACAGATCTATCCTATACTTAATACCATCAAATTGATTTCCAATGACTACCAAAAAAAATAGAAATGAAAAAAAATTCTAAAAAAAATAAAAATATTAAATCGAAAGCTGTTATCACAATGTAGTGCACGGGAAACGAGTTTTTTAATTTCCATTCTTGGTAAGAAAATTGAATTTTTTAAGATTAAGAGAAGTAATAAATGTCCAATTAAACAGAGTTAAATATAAATATAGGAAAAATAGTTTTTTTTATAGTTTTTGATCTTAACTTGTTCTTGATTCATTGAATACCTTTTTTTTCTATAAATTCTTCTTTTACAAGAGAATACAAATATCATTTTAAAAAAAATATAGATATCTAAATTCTATAAACAAATAATATAATATAAACAATGTTATCTACAGTTGATTTAAGTTATCCTGTAAGTTTTTCATAATTTTTTAAAAATGTTCTTTTTTTTTTAATATTCTTTATTAATTATTATTATGTACATTCTTTTAGTCATTATTTAATGGAACTTATTACAAGCCAGAACAAAACTATACCATTTCTTATCCAGAAATGGTAAGAAATTTACGTAAATCTGGTAATAGAACTCCAATTGATACTGCTTTGGCCATCTTTGCTGAATTGGATAAAAACCATTTTGGTTATATTACAACTCCTGCCCAATTATTTGTAAGTTTAAAATTAATAATAATAATAATAATAATATCAATGATCTATTCATTAATATTTTTTCTTTTTTTTTTATATTTTTAGAAATTAAGAAAGAATACTTTGGAATCATTTGGTTATCCTGACCTTAATTTAAAGGTTCAAGTTTATCTTGATAACTTTTTAAGACCATTCTCTTATGAACAATTCTCTAGCAAGGATCAATCCATCCACTATGAAGATGCTGTTCATATTTTTACAAGATATGGTTCCCCAAATCCAATGATGCAAGCCGATCTATTATTTGCTCTCTGTGACAGGGACAAGAAAGAATTTGTTACCCTCAATCAACTTGAACAAAGAAGATTGTTCTGGGGAGAGCGTCATGGTGCTAATCGTTTCAATTCCTTTTAAATTTAATTGATTGTCATCATTCATTCGTAATTAATAAATAAATAATTTATATAATTAAAACATAAAAAATTAATTGTTAGATCCTACATTATTTTTTTTTCTCTACCACACAATACTAACAACAACAATAACAATCCAGAAATATGTAAACGTAACGTATAATTAATATGATTATTTACCTTTCTATACAATTATTTATTGATAATGCCTTGTAACAGAGACTAGTAACAAGATTTTATCGAAAGATTGGTTGGCTTGCAAGATTGCTTATTGGGTCCAACCAACAAGTTCCATATCAAAGATCAAGGTAGAGTTTGGTGGAATACCAGGGATATTCGTACGTTGTGCGTATGCAACTAGATAATAGTTTTAAAAAAAAAAAAAGAGTTAGTTACTTATTCCTTACCAAACAAATAAAAATACATGTCATTGTAAACATACGATCTGGGGTGATGGTAACTCTACACTTTTCTCCTCTGCTCATGTTACTATAAATGTTTAAAAGAACAACAAAGGTTAGCAATAAGAAATTACAAATAAAATGTTAAAACTATACTACTTACAGAACGATTTCATCCCATCTATATATAGAATATGATAGAGTTTTATAAAAAAGTATTAATATTTTGGACAAAAAAAGATAAAATATTAATATCAAGAAAGCTAAATGTATACTAAACTAAGTCTATTTAAAGTAAGTACTTACGCTTTAATAACCTTTCCATGGCCCAACTTGAACTGGAATGGCTTTTTAAAAAGAAAACAATAATTGTTAATATTAATAATAAAAAAAATGAATGAATTTAAAACTGTTATAAAACTTACAATGCCCTTCTTGACAGAGGTATCAAAGACATTGTTATTTGATGCAAGTCTTCCTGTATAGTGGAGTTGAACCATATTTCCTTTGATTGGTTTCATACCATTGCCTTCCTTGATGATTTCTTTTTCAATACCCTATATATATATCGAATACAATGAATGATTGGTTTAGATAGGTATAATAAAAGAGTCAGTTCGAATATCTTACCATTGTTTATGATTATCTGTTTGTTGATCGATCGTTTGAATGATTGAAGTTAATGAGTGACAATGAATTTAAATAAATAATCCCAACGAGTCAATTTTGAGTTTTTCAAAAAAGGAAAAAATTAATTAAATGAACTTGCACTGGTAAACATGACATGTTGTGTCTTTCAATTATCTTATTATACTAAACAATAGTTAATTTGACAGAGGTCTTAGTCTTTTTAAGAAACTTTATATGAATAATAAGATTTTTTATTTTTATAATTCTTTTTTTTTTAACCTTCAATATTTAGAGTAAAACTATTTTGATCTTTAATCAAAGTTAATTGTTGTTGATTTGACCATGATAATTTAATATTTTCTATTTTTGGACTTGTAATTGGTTTTGCTAAAAATAAATAAATAAACAAAACAATATTAATATTAATATTACTTTTTCTTTTTTTTTTTTTTTTTTTCTTACCTTCAAAAGGCATTTTAATAGTTTTAGTACAAGCAAATTGAGAACTTAATAAACCAAAGAAACTAGTACTTGTTTGCCAAATTTTCAAAAGATTATCTTTGGTTGAATAGGAAGAGATTGATTTACCACCATCACTAAAACTGACTGCCGATATATAACTCCGTTCATGTGCTTCGATACGATGCCATCTCGTGGCAGTCTTGAGATCATAAATAACCAATGTACCATCCAATGCACCTAGAATCAATCTTTGTGTTTCGTGGTGGAACGATACGGTTGGATACTTGTTGACCATCAAATGAAGTACTGCTGTGGTCTGCTTGAGACAAGACTCACGTAATGATGGCATATGGGGATCAAGACTCTTTAAAATACAATCAATGACACGCGGCAAATAGGGTAGTGCTGAATCTGGATTATTCTTGATCAACAAACCCAACAATACCAATGCATGAATCGTACTATTTGTGCCATTTGATTCATTTGACACCTCATCACCAATCGTTTGAATAAAATTCTTTGGGTCAATTGCACCAATCAATAATAATGAATTAATAGATGTACTTGATAATGGATCATTTTGCATTGTCAATGAAAATAAACATTTTAATAATCCCGGTAAATCTTTAATTGCTAAAAAGAAAAGATTAATACCATATTATTATTAATATTAATTTCTACTTACCATCTCTCCATAAAGAAAATCCTTTACCAATCAACTCAACAGCTGATAAAGTTAAATGACCCTTTCCTTTATAAATCATTTTAAGTAATTCCATACCAATCTTTAATGATAAATTCTCTGGCATTTCATCTTTACGATGTGATGCAATCTTTGCCAAAACAATAACTGCTCTTGCTTTTTCTGTTAATGTTAATGTATCTGATTTCACTAAAGAAATAATAAAAAAAGTTAATACTTTGTTTCTTTTTTTTCTATTTTTTTTTTTTTTACTTACAAAATTGAGAATAATAATGTAATAAATTTAAGAAACTACTTTGAGACATTCTTTCAATTGAAGTTTTAAAGATGGAACGAGCAGAAAACATTACATCTTCTGAATTATCTTGAGAGAATGAAGCAAGGAATGAAAAGTCTGGATAGACATAACCTGGTAGAGTATCTGGTAAGATAATACAATAATAGGTGGTCAATTGACTACAAGCATTTTCCAATCCACCAATTCTCATGATTGATCTACTAAGTGATACAGCTGCCAGAGTTGTTTGAGCAGTGAGATACTCTGAGAATTGTACTTTACTACCCGATGATGCAGGTGTCAAGAAACTAATATTATATCCATCACCAATGAGACCAAATGAAAAGTCTGGTTGTGGAGGTCGAAGTTGGAAATCTTTTTTAAACATTGGATCCAAATTTCTATCCATTCCCCATGGAATAAGATATGAAAAGATCGATACCAATTGATTCAACTCTTTTTGAACCAAAGAAATGGCAGATGTTGATTGTTGTGGTAATGCATTGGTATTTGAAAATGATGCATTATGTTTTGAATTTATATCTGCATATTTTATAATTTCATCACTAATTGTTTTAATATTTAAAAATATTGTTTGAATTGGTGGATCTAAAAGAAAAAAAAAAGAAAAAAAGAAAATTAATAAAAGAAAAAGAAGAAGAATAATTATTTTTTCTATTTTTTACTATAGTTTACCATTTTTATGAGTAAAAACAAAAGATTTGGTATTAAAAGGAGAAAGTGAAGAATCTAAAATAAAATTATGTTTTGATTTCCAATCATTACTAAGAGGTTCCGCATTATCGATAATATCTTTTGCCATTTGACCATAAACTACACCTTCCAATTCACCTGATCCAATCTCCCAAATTGATGTTGATCCATCAATTGTCTCTACCAATAAATATCCTTGTTCAGGTTTCCAATAAACATTTGAAATTGATGATGAATGTACTCCAAACATATGTTTACTAAAAATAAAAAATATATAAATTAAATTAATATTTATATTTCTTTTTTTCTTTTTTCTTTTTTTTTTTATATTTCTTACCAAGATAAATCTTCCATTGAATACATTCCCAAAGTTTTATCTTCAGAGATTGAAACAAAGATATGACGACGTTGACTTGGTAGAGGAAAGATTGATGATACTGGACCAGTATGATGTGAGAATGTATGTAGTAGTTTAAAAGAGGTCAAATCCCAAACTTTAATCGTTGTATCATTGGATGCTGAAAATAATAATCTCTTTACATTTCCAGGTTGTGAACTCATTAAACAATTAACTTTGGCACTATGTGCTCCAGAATGATATTTTGTAAATAAATCTGTTGGTAATTTTGATGTACTTATACTACCATCCTCTAAAAAATAAAAATAAAAATAAATAAAAAAGTAGAATATTAATATGAATTTTTGTTTGATTTTGATTCTTTTACAATACATTACCATAACCTCTAATTAATAACATTAAATCTTCAATTAAAAGTGAAGCAGTGACACGAGATTTTGTTTTAGTTTCACAACCTTTCCAACCATCAGCAATATTACCAATCAGATTTGGTTCACGCAAGAATCTACGAGAAAGAGGTTGTTGAATGTTATTGATAATGTCTTCGGTTGGAATGACCCATATTTTAATTCGACCAAATGAATCACCTGCCAAAAATATATTACTCCAACACATTGCTGCACCAATCTTTTTTGTAATATCATTTGGATTATTAAATGCTGTTTGGTATGGATTATTTTGTTGTTGTTGTTGTGGTTGTTGTTGTTGTTGATGATGTTGAACTGCAGCTGCCATACTAGATGATGATAATATATTGGTGGCAGGTTGATGAGATCCATAAGTTGTACTAGTTGGTAAATTGGAAGCTGATGAATTGATTGGTAGAGATTGTTGTTTTTGTTCACTATTGACAAATGTCAATACCAAGACTGGAGGTGAAAAGTCTGGTGACAAATAGGCAATATCAATAGGTGCAGTTGTAGGTACCGATGACATTGACGACATTGATGATGATGATGATATATTGTCGGCAGCACTACATTGTGCACTTAGTGATGAATAACTTGTTCCCATTCCTCCTCCTCCACCTCCAACCGATTGTGACAATGAATTTGGTGGTAGATAAAGTGGAGATGTACCAGGTTGTGGTAATGGATGACCCATAGAGAATGACTTTAACTCACTCTGATCGATTTTATAAAGGAATGATCTACCATCTCTTGTCCACACCAATACCAATGAATTATTAACAAAACTACCTCCAAACCATCCTCTTGAAATTGGACAATTTATAGAATATAATTTTTGTGAATTATTTGTTGTAAATATCTAGATGTCAAACAAACAAAAAGAAATTAATAAAACATACTTCTATTCTTTTTATATTTTTTTTCTATTTCTTTACTTACAGACCAATAAGCTTTTGAAACAACTAAAAGTGATTTACCATTGGGAGAGAATTCAATAGAGATTGGAGCTTCATTGGGAGGACAATTACCTTCACCCTTTGCATTGAGACAGATGGTTTGGAGTGAAAAGTCCATTTCACCATCTTTAAGTGACCAAAAACGAATGGTGCCATCAAGACTACCAGAAAACAAGAGTGGAGAAGAGTCTTGGGATATAGTACATGTAAAGAGTGAAGTGATCCAATCAGTGTGTTCAGAGAGTGTGGCGATCAATCTCATTTGTTGAGTGTCTACGATATAGATAGAGTTTGATCCCTTTCCGACAATAGCTACATTTCTTTCGTTTGGTGGTAATGCTACCATCGATGAGGGTGTGCATGGTAAGAAACCAGGATGCGAAGCTCTGACACATAGACCATCACTAAGTGACCATACACAAAGTGATCCATCTGCCCCAGCACTCACAGCAACTTCTTTACCCTCTAATTTGCACAATGCCAAACATGATACAGTGGTCTGATGAGCAATCGAAAAGATACGTGGTACAAACGAGTTTTCTTTTCCCTTGTCTAGATAGACCGAACTAATTACAATGTGTCCACTATGTGAGCCAGTGATGATAGTTCGTTTATCTGGTGTAATGAGAATAGATGTAATCCAATGTGTTGGTGGTCCACACCACAATACAACGGGTACTAATATATCTCTTGTTACTGATCCAACTTGATTAATTGAACTAATTGATGGTTGAAATGTTGGTGATGTATGTGTTGTTGTAGTAGTAGTAGTAGAAGCTGCTGCTGCTGATGTTAATGGTTGATTTGATGTAGATGCAGTAGATGTAGAAGTTGTTGTTGTTGTTGTACTTGTAGTAGAGGTATTATCATTTGATATTGATTCACTCATTTCTATTTCTCACTACCTTTTTAGATTGATAAATATTACACTATCAATCCTACTGTCTATCTATCTATCTACCTCCTACTTTATATATATATATATAATCTATTATCAAACTAAAGTGCTAATATCAAATTTTCAAGAATACTTCATTTCCTTTTTTTTTTATTTTATTTTTTTTTAACAAACCCTGGGGTGTTTGTTGATCATCATTATCTTCATTATTTCATTTTCATGGGTATTGAAATATATATGTATTAGTTGTAATTAATATACCTATCTTCAGGTAAAAGATCAATAGGCATGTTAAAGCGATCCCTGGTGGATAGAAAAGTAGACTGAACTTGAGTTAGTCTACTTTTAGATAGGCTTTATAGGAATACTCCGAATGGTAAATATCTATTTATAAATGGATTCTGGTTTCCCATATCCCAAACAAAGATATTTATAAAGATATTATTATCGTTTTACAATTGTAGAGATCACTACCTTCAAAAGAGATGAACCTTTTCTTTCATTTAAGATCATTATTACATAACAAACACATAATTGCAAAATATGATAAAGTTATTATTATTTGTATTGTTGTCGATTATTTTGTTGGTGGTATCTGCCAAAAAGATTCAAGCACCACCACCAACACCAACATCATGGGTGACTGTTGAAGCATTCAATGAGGCTAGGTGTCATGAAAAATCTAGTATTGGTGGTTTGGTGATTGGATCAAATGTTGTATGTTATAGACATCAAGTATTGTCATGTTCGGCTGACCACAGTACTGTTACAGTGTCTATGTTTGACACTGATGATTGCTCTGGTCAACCTGCCAATTCGACCACTTTTCCATCGGGTAAATGTGGAGCCACTGCCATTTGGGGATTCACAAAGTCCTACAGTTGTAGTGCAAAATTACCACCACAACCCAAGAGATCGTTGATCATCTCAATCTATGATGACTGTCAATCATCATCACCACAACCATCACAACTCACTCAATACCGTTGGATTCCAACTTACAAGTGTATGGCATTGGAAAAATGTGATCTCTATTGTCCTCCACTCACGCCAACAGGAGGACCAGTTACAAGTGGTAGTGCCACTGCTCGTTCTGGTGGCTCTGGTAGCTCCAGTGGTGGTTCTAGTGGCTCTGGTAACTCTGGTAATTCGGATGGCTCGGCTGGCTCAGCTAGCTCTGCCTCTGCTAGTTCTGCATCGGCTAGCTCTGCCAGTTCATCTCGTTCAGCTAGTACTGATGGTTCAAGTGGTTCAAGTGGTTCAAGTGGTTCCAATGCCCGTTCAAATATTAACCAACAACAACCATCAACAAGATTGGCCTCATCATTCTTTACACAACATTATACTACACAAGAAGAAAAGATGGATCAGTATTGGGATCTTGTAGATTCTATCATTGGGTTTGATAGTCCAGATCACCATGCATCGTTGTATGATAATGCTCAACCAATAGAACAAGAAAATTCATTTAGTGTAACTGGAAGTGGATTTTCAACTGGAAGTGGTAGTATTGGTGGAGGTAATGTAGTCGGTATATTCTTTGGTTTGGTAGTATGTAATAGCACCAATAATATGGTATACACCTATTATAATGGTTATCAATCTGGTAGTGGACCAATGGCATTATCTACTGGAAAGTTTTCATCGGGTGACCCATACTATACATCAACTGGTGGTTCTCAAATGACCTCAATGCCAACCCCCTCATCATCTGGTGGATCTGCAACCTCTGGTAGTAGTTATCAAACTCCAAATGGATGTAGTATATAGTAAGTAGAAAGTTCAATTATTAATAATAATGACTCGACCATGCTACCTGTAAATAACATTTAATCAATTTTTTCTCTCAAATATAGTATTTCCTCCAAGAATGGAGCAAAGAATGACCAACAATGCTATCAAAATCAATTAATCTCTATTACCTGTGTTGCTCCATTCGGTCAAGAAAATGCATTTTAGATTATTAGGGTAGAGAGCGATTTAAAAAAAATCTGGAAATATATAATATAATATATATTATTATTATTATTCTTTTTTTTTGAACTACTCTAATGTGTAATTTTAATAATAAATCAAATGATTTTATCAGAATTGGGAATTGTTGATAGAAAAGATAATCTCTACTTTTTTAATTGATTAGAAACTTGGTTCAAAGGTTATATAGGAGACATACTATCATTGGATTTGTCAAAGGTTACATAGGAGACATATTGTTCATTGGATTAGTCAACCGAATGGAAATATCTATCTTTATCTGAATCGTGTTGGGAAAAGTAGATATTTTACTATTTATAGATATTTTCTAAACTCATCTTAAAAACAATTAATTATTCAAACACCCAAAGCAAGAAATTTCTTGATCATCATTCTATTCTTTCAAACAACACACAATTACAATATTATATATATCATGAAGTTATTATTATTATTTGTATTGTTGTCAATTATTTTGTTGGTGGTATCTGCCAAAAAGATTCAAGCACCAACACCAACATCATGGGTGACCGTTGAAGCATTCAATGAAGCAAAGTGTCCCGAAACATCTAGTATTGGTGGTTTGGTGATTGGATCAAACTCTTGTTATAGACAACAAGTATTGTCATGTTCGACTGACCTCAGTACTGTTACAGTGTCTATGTTTAATACTATAGATTGCTCTGGTAATCCTGCCAATTCGACCACTTTCCCATCGGGTCAATGTGGAGCCACTGCCATTTGGGGATTCACAAAGACCTACACTTGCAGTGTATCAAGACCAATGCAACCAGAAAGATCATTGATCATCTCAGTCTTTGATGGATGTCAATCATCACCACAACCATCACAACTCACTCAATACCGTTGGATTCCAACTTACAAGTGTATGACATTACAGAGATGTGGTTTCTATTGTCCTCCACTCACACCATATACTGGTACTGGTACCAGTGCTAGTGCTAGTAGTGCTGGTTCTAACTCTGGTAGTGATAGTTCTGATAGTAGTTCAAATAACGGTCAATCATCAAGAGGAGGAGCATCGTTCTTTACACATCACTCTACTACTACACAAGAAGAAAAGATTGATCAGTATTGGAACCTTGTAGATTCAATCATTGGGTTTGATAGTCCAGACCAACATGCATCTTTGCATCAACAACAACAACCAGAAGAAATAGTCCAAACTTCTTTTAGTGTAACTGGAAGTGGATTTTCAACTGGAAGTGGTGGTACAACTAGTGCTAGTAGTACAAGTGCTAGTAGTTCAAGTGCTAGTAGTTCTAGTACTGGTAGTAATTCTGGTGGATTACCAATATACACTGTATTCTTTGGTTTGGTGGTGTGTAATAGTACCAATAATATGATTTATACCTATTTCAATGGACAAGACTTGTCCTCGACCGCCGCCTCAGCGGTATCAACCGGACAGTATTCATCAGGTGACCCATACTATACATCAACCGGTGGTTCCCAAATGACTGGATTACCTGCCCCTGTCTTTCCCAATATAGATAGTGGTTCTGCAACTGGTGGTAGTAGTAGTCATACATCTCTAAATGGTTGTAGAGTACCGTAAGTATATAGATAAAATTGATATATCTAATCACAAATTTGTATACACTTTGAATCTAATCTAACCCTCTTACTCTATCTGTCTATATAGTTGGACCTTTCAGGCTGGAGCCAAGAATAAACAACAATGTATCCAAAATCAGTTGTACACTGTTACTTGTATCCCTCCCTTTCACCAAGATTCCGATATTTAATATAATCTAGATAGATAGATAGATATATTCTTCCCTCTTTTTAACTACTTGTAACTCGCTCACTCGCTCGAGTTTAATAAATAAATACCTATTTACAAATATTTAGTTTGAATTAGTGCAAAGGTGCAAAAAGAAGTATTTTTTGAGAATGGTTCAAACGAAATCATTTTTATGTATTCTCTAACTATGTAATTTATTATAGTATAAGTATAGGTATAAGTATACATATATATATATATAGATGTGTATAGTTAATATTAGAAGTAGTAATCCTAGAAGATTAAATGTAGTGTTTCTAGGTGAAGAGTCATCAGGAAAGAAAACTCTACTAGAATCACTGTTTGTGTCAACAACGACAACACCAGCTACCAGCAACTTGACATTTGGTGATACATTTATAACAGTCCCATTCACTAATAAATATATAGATGATTTTAGTTTATCTGTGGTAACTATCTTGATAGATATATAATATAACATATATTAATTACTTTATATTTATATTTATAGAAATGTTTAACAAATAAATTTGATGGTGAAAGATTCCCTAGATCTCATTATCGGTGTAATCTATTATTTATAGTTTATGATACTACAAACTTGGATGCATTTAATCGATTACCACATTGGATTGCACAATGTACCAATTATCCATTAGCACCATTCACACAAATCATCGTCGTTGGTACAAAACAAGACCTCATTCAAGAAAGAGCTGTATCTACATTAGAGACTGAACGATACATACAATCTCTAAAACAACTACACCCTAAAACAGAATACTTTGAAACTTCAATCAATGATCCAAGACGTGACAAATTTGAACAAATAACCCTAGAATACTTTACCAACCTTTACCATATCCTCCTCAAATCACAACAAGATTTAATAATGTTTATTGAACCTTCTTATATTAATTTAGATTATTATACTCGCAACAATAACATTGTAAACTCTAATAATAATAATAATAATAATAATAATAACTGTAATAATAATAATAATGGAATGAATCCAAATTTATTAATTGGAATATTAAAATCAAAGTATTTGGCAAGCATGATATTTAAACATGTTAGTGAAATACATTCAATGTTGGGATTAATGACTACACACATATCATTAAACATCAACAACATTGATTTTTTAATTGATAATCGTTACTTTAACCTTGTCAATTTATTGGTATCAAACAACAAACAACAACAACAACAACAACTAGAAGGATTTGGACAATTTGGAAATATTGGATTGATAAAACTACTTCAATCTGGATTTAATAATTTAGATATATTAAATCTAATCATTCCAAAACAAACAAAAGAGTCCAAGTTATTAAATATACACGATGCAACAAGACTGATAGATGAAAGTTGTGCTGGTGGTAATGTAGAGGTGGTTCAATTCCTACACTCTGAAAAGGGATATCAATGGTCAATATATGGATTAAAATTGGCTGTCATGTTGGGACATCTATCAGTACTAGAGTATATCTTTGAAAATACTCTTAAAAACTATGAATTGTTGGAATATGAACGTCAAGTTGCTCACAAGGGAAGTGGTGGAAGAGTATCTATCGATACTGACGCTGCCCTCAAACCATTCTACCTAACTAAACCTTTAGTCAACCAATCTTTAGAATTGGCAAAACTATATCATAGAAAGAAAGTAATCTCATTTTTAACATCATATCAATTTATACCACCAAAAGATCCATCCATCGATATTCAACTGTCACAGTCAACATCTATTAAAGATAAATTAATTGGTTTATTCAAGTCCAACAAATAAATTAACTCGTCGTTCTCCCAACTCCAATATAATAATTAATTTATTAATTTATTAATTTATTTGATTTATTTGTTTGTTACACCTGAAAGATTGAAGTCACTGAGTAGTTAGTTTCAACCACTTTGCTCCACTCAAACCAACCAACACCAACGGTTCACCGTGAAAATCGTATCTGAGTCGAAAAAAAAAAGTGAAGAGGATTTTTGGCAGAGATACCCGTTTTTCGGGTTTCTTTCGGTCAGGTAGACAGCCCCATTAGGCCAAAGAGGGGGGGGACAATGTTGTGCAAGTCCCTTGAAAGAAAATTAAAATAATAATCGACAAGAACGATTAATTGCCCACTTTCCGCGGACTCCTCCTTCCTCTGACCTACACAAAAAGTGGGAGATTTATCACTTCAACTCAAGCAAGAAGACGATTTATTTATTATCTTTATTATTTATTTTTATAAATCTAAAAAAGAAAGAGAGAAATCAAACTATAACAAAAAGATAGATAAATAGAGATAGATAGATAAAGAAAGATATATAAGAGTGAAGAAGTTATTTTTGACCAACCCCCTCCCCTCAACTTCTTCTTACTTTTGCTTCTTCCCTTCATCCTCTTCAAAAAAAAAGACGAACAATAGCCAAGCTATATTTATCGACGTCAGAGTTTGAAAGTAGAGTAGAGTACTTTGTTCACATACATTTGTGATCACTTGAAAAAGAAACAAGTACCCTCTTTCAAATAATAATCAATATTATTCAGATAGATCATCAATATCGTATTCTTCTTGTTCCTCTCCTTATGGTATAATGAATATATATAAAAGCCAAGTCTATTCCTATAACAATAATAATAATATTCAATCCATTCAAGTCAATCAAAAGAAGATCCCTATATTAGCTAATAATAGTCATTAATTAGTTAGATATCAATAATAATAATAATAATAATAATAATAAGCGAACAACAACAACAACAAACATATATAATATAATATCTTCTTCACAAGAGTGTAGTAATAATAATAATAATAATAATAATAATAATAATAATAATTTTATTTATTAAAAGTTTAAAAAAAGTTATAACAATAAGCTCACGACCAAAGATAGACAAGAGGTATGCATGCAACGACGAATGTGTAGAAGTCAGCTGTCTAGATATTGTAAAACACCCCCACATACACACACCACATTCACCACACCCACTCACACACCATTCCCCTTTGACGACGACGACGACTACTATTATAAGTTGGGGGAATCTTTATTGTTTTCCAAAACACAAGATTTATAAAAGAACATATCATATTTTATTTTATTTGTTGTTCATCCATCCCCAGCTCTAGAATAGTTTCAACAACAAGTTGTTGCTGGTCTGGGATGGTGTTGTAGTAGTAGTAGTAACAACAAAATAACATTGCAGATCAATAATAATAACAACAACAGCACAGCAAACAGACAACAACAAAACAGAAATAAGTAAAGTATAACAGAGAGATATCTGGGTTTTTATCAATGAATTGAATGAAACAAAAAAAACCAGTGCAACTCAGGAGTGGCACTGACTTTGTCCAGTGCATATTTATGTGCCGACTCTCTGAATTCACTCCATCCACATTTCATTCATTTCACATTCATTTATTCCCATCACAACAACCAATAATTTATATTTTCATACTTGCCAATCAACAACACAACAATCAACAACATCAATTATATTATCCCCTGTATTATATTATTTATTATTAAAGAAAGATAAATTAGAATAGAAGAAATATCATCATCATATGTCATTGTATGTTTAATGTTTTTGTGATTGATATTTATTATTATTATTGTTATTATTCATTGTCCATCTGTGTTTCCATTTCCACCCATCCACTACCCCATCAACAAAGAAAAGAAAAGAAAGAAATATTTAGCAGTAATAGCAGCAACAGGTAGAAGATGGAAATTGAATATACAATTAGCCGAGAAAAATATTTCACAGTAATAATCAATTTAAAAGAAAATAATAATGGATATACAATGTATATTGTTATTATTATTATTATACCAAGCTAAAAAAATCCAACAATAACATCAACATAAAAAAAGACAGACAAACAACATATAAAACTATACTGTACACAAAATATCTATAGATAGCAGCAAACAAACCAAAAAACTAAACATAGAGAGAGAGAGGAGAAGAGCACGCGCGACAACAAGTGATACAAAAATAGTCATCATCATATTAAGTTTGTTTGTTTGTTGTATTTACCCTTACTTGTTGTGTCAATCAATTTATAATAATTTAAAAATACATCAACAATTGATATCGAAGAAAACAGACAATCAGATCAGTTGATTGATCACAATCATCATCATCAACAATCATATGATTTAAATGTGGGGGGGGGATGGAGGATGGGTTGTTTTGTATCACTCTCTCTCGTTTGTGTTTGTTTAATCAAAAAGGGGATGGTGGGGGTAAGGGTTGTTTTGATGTCGATATTGATATAACAATCACGTTGACTCCTTTATCGTCATCACCAATTACAACTATCCTTCCTATTTTAAAAATGATGAGAGGACTGAAATCATATTAAGACCAGAGAGAGAGAGGTTGATATTGTTTGTTTTGGTTTGTTTGAGGAGGAACAAGCCAAAGGAGGGAGATGGATTGAAAGCAGGAATGTAATACCTCAAATAATTCGAATTATTAAAATAATCCCAAACCCATCTCTCATCCATCATCGATTTATGAGAGAGAGAACTAGCTAGCCAGCTCCTCATTTTGAAGCACACCTCCATCCTCTCTCTCTCTATATTATTATTTTATTATTGTCCTATCCATCCATTCATTCATCCCCACATACTATACTATACACCTCTCCAATTATATATATACATAAAAAGAAATAGAGGAAAGATTCATAATACTATATAGGAGTAGTATAGAATGGATAATAGTGTTTATGATAGCTAGTAGTAATTAGAGTAGATAGAAGAAGAAGAAGAAGAAGAAGAAGTAGTGGTCGTAGTCGCGTTTGTCGTAAGAGTGATTTAAAAATCAAAGGTTAGTTAGTTGTAAAACTAGGAGTAATAGGAATATGTTATATGTTATACATATAGAGGAGAACAAGAAGACGAGACGACGAGACAACAATGCAATGTAACACGCAACCCAACAACAACAACCACAACAACGAAACAAATCTCTATTGAACATTTCCATAAATATAATTGGTCAAAAGGGAAAATGAAGAAATCAACATATGATAGATAGATAGATAGATAGATAGATGATTGGGGGATCAGAGATAATAGCATATCGTCGATGAGGGGAGGACAAACAAGCCAGACAGACAAGATGAGAGTGGGTGAGGGGGGGGTGGATGAATAGAGCGCTAACGACAAATTAAAAAATTTGTAAACCAACCTCTACTCCTCTCCTCTTTCCCACTTGTTTTGTTTTCTTTGTTTTACTTTCTCTTCCTCTTCCTCCTCTCACTCTCTTTCATCTATCTTGTTTTGATTAAATAATAATAATAATAATAATAATAATTCATATAACTATAGTGTAGTTTGTTGTATCATAGTAGTAGTATTTTATATTTTTAGTCATTTGTAGAATAATAATAATCAATCCCCATTCTCCTTTATTTATATTACCCACCAATCATATACATATCAAGCAAACGTTGTTGTTCATTATATCGTGCAATACACACAACTTCACAGATAATTTGAAACAGGGTTATCACAGTTTTAAACTTTTTAATCAATCAGTTCAGTTCAGCTCAGTTTGCGATCAAGACAAGAAGGAGAAAGAGGAATAATAATTAACTGCCTGCTGCTGTTTTTTATCCATCCAATCACACCCCACTCTTCCTCTTCCACTTCCACTTCTTGATTGAACAGCTGCAAGATTAACTGTTAATTGTTCTGTGGTTTTTAGGTTGTTTTGTTATTGTTGGAATTCGTAGTAGTCATCGACGTTTTTAAATTATTGTTATCCATTTCATTTAGTTTTTGTTTCAAAAAAAAAAGAATTATTATTCTTATTTATTTTATTCCTTTTCCTTTTCTTTCCTTCCTTCATTTGTATTGCCTATTTATCAATCACAATGATATCAATAATACATTCCAATCGAATATTCTAACATTTTATATATTTATTTATTTATCATCATCATCATTAATTTTCAAAAAAACAATAGTAGAGTAGAAACGAATAAGAGAGATAGATAGATAGATAGATAGAGTACAACTACAACAAAACAACAACAACAAAACTAATATTTAAAAACAAACAAAACATAGAATAGAAGAGATAATTTTTAGACGATTTTAAGATAATTGTCAAGAATATTTCAACAAGAACAACAACAACAACTTAACCATGCCTGATCACGATAAATATGATAGACATGACCGAGACCGAGAAAGAGATAGAGGAGGTGACAGAGACAGAGATAGAGACAGGGATAGAGAAAGAGATAGAGGAGGTGATAGAGATAGAGATAGAGACCGCGAAAGAGAAAGAGAAAGAGGTGGTGATAGAGACAGAGACCGCGAAAGAGAAAGAGATAGAGATAGACATGATAGACACGAAAGTAGTAGTAGCAGTGGTAGTGGTAGACACGATAAACACGATGATAGACACCACAACGACTCTAAACATCACTATTCATCATCTCAACCTCAACAACCAGACAGAGAGAAACCCGTCGAAAAGAAGTCCTCTAAAAAATATCCCAATGTTGCCGATCAATACGAATTGAAAGAAATGATTGGTAAAGGTGGTAGTGGTAGTGTTTACAGAGCAATGTGTTTACCAATACATGAAACTGTTGCCATTAAAATTATAGATTTAGAACATTGCAAAAATATTTCTCTAGATGAATTAAGAGTAAGAAGAAGAAAGAATCAAATCAAATCAAACCAAAACAAACAATATCAATAATAATACTAATACTAATACATTTATTATTTATTTACCCTTTTGTAGAAAGAAATTCAGGCAATGAGTTTATGTCATCATCCAAATGTAGTAGCATATCATACAAGTTTTGTTCATATTGAATCATTATGGGTAGTGATGGATTATTTATCATCGGGATCATGTTCAGATATTATGCGATATGGATTCCCACATGGATTCGAGGAGAGTGTAGTAGCTACCATTCTTCGTGAGACTCTTAAAGCCATTTGTTATTTTCACAAGACCGGTAGAATCCATCGTGATATCAAGGCCGGTAACATTATCATCGACTCTAATGGTGATATCAAGTTGTCTGATTTCGGTGTCAGTGCCACTTTGATCGATACTGGTGATACTAGTCGTAATACTTTTGTTGGTACTCCATGTTGGATGGCTCCTGAAATTATGGAGGTAAGAAATATATATATATAATAATATAATTATTTTGATTATTATTTATTAATATTTCTTTTTTCTTTTTCTTTTTTGTTTAGCAAGTAAAATATGATTATTCAGTTGATATTTGGTCATTTGGTATTACAGCATTGGAGTTGGCAAGAGGAAGAGCACCATTTTCAGAGTATCCACCAATGAAAGTATTATTGATGGTTATGCAAAACCCACCACCTTCGTTGGACGGAGATGGTGAGAGCAAGTGGACACACTCTTTCAAAGATTTGGTTGAAAAGTGTTTGCAAAAGGATCCAGCCAAACGTCCTCTGCCAGCCAAGCTTTTGGAACACAAGTTCTTTAAGCATGCCAAGAAACCAGAGTATATTGTCCAAAATGTTTTGGCCAAGTTGCCACCCCTCGGTGACCGTTACAAGATGCTCTCGCAAGACACTACCTTTGCCATGCTCAGAAACACATCTTCTCCTCAATTTGATACGACCAATTCAAACTCGACCGATGAATGGATCTTTCCCGAGACCAAAGATGATGACAACCACCAACGAACAGCATCTAGTACTAGTACCAGTACTACAACCAATACTCTTCAACAACAGTTTCAACAACAATTACAATTGCAACCACAATCATCTACATCGAGTGGTACCGGTACATACAACACCCCTGCTCAATCACCTTCACCTACCCCTGTTGGTGTAACCCCCTCTACTTCTCCCAGTACCACTCCCAACCCAAGCCGAACCCCTACTCCCAATGGATTTCCTCCAAACAACAACAACAATAGCGTCAATAGTGTCAACAACATGTCAAGTAGTACCAATCAATTTTCCAAATCACAGCCACTTGTACAACGTAGTGGTGAACTTAATCCACTATCTATATCGGTTCCACATCCAGTAGCAGTAATCAATATAAGTAAATTAAATAACCAACATGATGTATCTCCACCCAAAACTTCACCAAGAGGATCAACCAACAAACTTCCACCTCCACCTCTCACAACTCAAACCTCTACAACAAATGTTAATAACGCCGCCGCCACCGCTGTAAATCCCTCATCTACCATATCACCAAAGTTATCAGTATCAATTACATCTTCACCATTGTCAGATGTATCTCAACCACAACCACAACACCCATCACAACTTTTACAACACACCTCTCCCTCTGTGACACAACTATCTACCTCTGGTAACATAGTGAAACCACCCTCTCCGACATTTGACAAGGATACCGCCGTCGGACCTGTAGCATTGCACTATAGCAGTAGAGCGTCGATCAAAAAGGATTCAAGACAATCATCGCGTGCCTCTTCCTTGTCAGACTCGCATTCCGATATTGGTTCTTCAAGAGACTCTAGTTCAGACGAGTATCAACAGAGCCATAGCAAATATGATTATCAAGATACCAACCCATCAAAGTCTAAACACAAGTCGAGAAGATTGAAAAACAAGGGTTACAGAGAATCTACGCGTGACTCTAGGTCAAAGAGGGACCGTTCCAGAAGTAGGGACCGTTCCAGATCGAGATCGACCAGCAGAGGAAATAGACGTGGTGATAGAGACCGTTCTAGAGATCGTTCTAGATCGCGTTCAAGAGAAAGTAACTACTATAGAGACCGTTCAAGATCACGTTCCAAACAAAGTGTACGTGACCGTTCACGTTCACGTTCAAGATCCAGGTCAAATAGTAGAGGCGGCGGCAGAAGAGACAGAGACCGTTCAAGAGACAGAGATAGAGATAGAGACAGAGACAGAGACTATAGAGACAGAGATAGAAGTCGTAGTCGTAGCAGTCGTAGTAGAACACGTAGTAGAACACGTAGCAGAAATAGAACAAGAAAGGATCGTAGTCGTAGTCGTAGCCGTAGTCGTAGTAGAAACTCGAGAAAGAATCGTGACAGAGATAGAGACAGAGAGCGTGAAAGAGAACGTGAAAGACAAGGCGCTTCTGACTCGTCCGAGTCTGATTCTCCCATCACTACTCACAGCAGCAGCAAGCAATTGTCTTCGTCTTCGGCTTCAGTCAAACACAAGCACAAACGTCGTTCTGAAAACCTCCAAGGCAAGATGGAAAAACAATCACAACACATCCAATTCTTGGAGGACAAGATCCAACAATTGACCTCTTGGATGCAAACTCAACATCAATACACCCAACAACATCAACACATTCAATTGCCTCAATCATCAGACATTGTAATGAATCTTCAAACCCAACTAAATACTTTGCACAGTGAAAACAATATTCTACGTTCGGAAAACAATCAATTGAAATCTCTAGTTCATAGCAACACCAACATCCCATCACCAAGTTCAAATAATTCAAGTCCTCTTAAATATAGTTCCCATGTAGATAAACAATAATAAGTAGTAGTAGTAGTATTGGACATATCATATAAATCTAAAAAAACAAAAAAAACAAAACTAAAAACTAAATATAACACACCATATATATATACATATAACAAAAGTAGAGATAAATCAATTAGAGAACGGATAAGATATTTTTATTATTATTCTCTAAACAATGAAACAAAACCCAAGATTAATAATAATAATAAAACCAAAACCAAAATACACATATTTGCATAGTACCCAAAAATACATTTCCTTTTTTTTTTTAATAAATTGTCTGGATGTATTAATATATGTTTTTTTTTTACCAAAGATATTAACAACAACTCCAAATACTAGGATTATTTTCTTTTATTAATGTAACTGGATTTGATTTTGATTTCTTTAAATAAAGTTGATCTAAAATAGAGTTGAATGGATCTTCAATACAGATATTTTCCTTTGCACTTGTTTCATGATAACTTGATATATTGTTTGTTTTTGCCCATTCAGCTGCTTCATCTTGAGTTACTTGTCTTTTGAACTTCAAATCACATTTTGTTCCTACCAATATGAGAATAGGATCTTCAACAAGGTTTAGATTGATTTGGTTTTTGATATCTTCCATCCAATAATCAAGTCTTTTAAAACTCTCTCTATCTGCCAAATCAAAGGCAAATATGATTGCTTTTGATCCTCTATAGTATAAAGTATATGTATTTCTAAACTTTAGACATCCACCTAGAGGAAACCATACCATTACTTTGTTCATGCTCCCATCTCTTTCTTTTACCATCTTTATCTTAAAATCAATAGATAGATTATGAAAGTTCTCACTGTATATCCCATCAGTATATCTTTGAATAAATGATCTTATACCATGTCCACATCTTGCGGATCCCATTACAATTACTTTAACAACTGTATATTTATCTCTATTTAAAAAAAGATAAATAACGTATTTTATTATTCCTTTTTAAAAAAGATCTTTTTTAAAATAACTTACAATTCTGTCATTCTGAAAAAAATATCCAATAAATAAATAGATAGATAAATATTATATATAAGTTTTGTTTTGTTTTTGTCAAATGAATATGAATGATCAAATCAATGAGATTTAAATGAGTTCAGACGAGGAAAACTTCAAAGAATGAAAATTCTCTCATTAGTGTTTTTTTTGTTGTTTTAAAAAAAAATCAAATAAATATAATATTGTTTGGACTATATATATATCTATATATTGAGATAATTTAAATATTCGGAGGGTAAAATGATATATATTTATCACTTGGATTTTCCTATATTTTTTTTTGATCAAAATTACAAGACAATAGTCCATTTTTTTTCTATCCTTCTTTTTTTTTTTAACAACAACTAAATAAAGTAGTTTTCTTTTCTTTTATTAATGTAACTGGAGTTGGATTTGACCATGGTTTTGATTTTTTCAAATAAAGTAGATCAACAATAGTGTTGAATGTTTCATCAATTCCAATATTTTCTTTTGCACTTGTTTCATGATAACTTGATATTTTGTGTTTTCTAGCCCATGCAGCTGCTTCATCTTCAGTGATTTGTCTTTTATCCATCATATCACATTTTGTTCCTACCAATGTTAGGATGGGACCATCAACAGAATTTAAAACAACTTTTTTTTGTACATCTTCTATCCAATATTCAAGTTCATCAAAACTCTCTCTGTTTGTCAAATCAAATGCCAATATGATTGCATTTGATCCTCTATAGTATGAATGAGTGATATTTCTAAACCTCTCACATCCATTTGGAGGAAGCCACACCATCAATTTTGTGATGGTTCCATCTTTTTCTTTCATCATTTTGACCTTAAAGTCTACACCATAAATTTGTTGAGAATTTGGTCTATACAATCCATCGGCATATCTTTGAACAAAAGATGAAATACCATATCCTTTTCTTGAACTACCTACTACTACTACTTTAAAAACTGTATCTCTTACTCTTAAAAAAAAAAAAAAAGATGATTAATATAAATAATATAATTATTCTTTTTAAAATCTTTTTGTACTTACAATTCTGTCATGATGTTTTATTATATATATAATCTATAAATAAATATTCTTATTTGGTTTGTCAATATATTAAAAAAACATATGCGATCTGATATTTATATCTTTTTGATCAAAATTGAAAACTTCACAGAATTCTGATTCTCAACCGAATTTGTTTTAAAGAAAGGCCGAATCATTTTTTGTTGTAAAAGAGATCATTGAATTGAATCATTCAATGTTTGGTTCATTTATATTTCCTTCTTTAGTAGAATTACCATTATTATTATGTCTACTAGTAGTATAACATTTATTACAATTTTTAGACTCTCAGTTACAAGACATGTGATATTCAACCAAATAGAAGAGATATCGAATCAAATTAGTCAAAACCAACAACAACAACAACAACAATCAAAAAGAAAAAGGAATGAATCAAGAAAAGGAAAAGAGATTATAAAACTTAAAGATTTTGCAATGATTGCAGATTATGCAATGCCATGGGACTTTATAAAACACTATTTACCAGCATATGCTATAGATCAAGATGGTTTTCAACCAAGACTAAAAACCATCTCTCGCTATTGTAGACACCCCAATGCTACATTATCGACACTAGAACATCTTTTAGAATGGTCACCAGATTATCATCCCAACAAGGAAAAGGATATTCCCAAAGGAACCAATCAAGCATGTAGAATTGCAAAGGCAGGCCACACAGACATACTAGAACTACTTGTCAAAAGATACCCAAAAATGGATTTAGAATTCTCAATGTCATCTGCAATTAAACGTGGACATTTATCAACTATACAGTTCTTAAATACTTGTAAAAGAGTACGTTGTTCTACCTTTCAAATAGATTATGCCGCTAAATTTGGACGATTTGATATTTTAAAATTCTTACATGAAAATAGAACTGAAGGTTGTACTGTTAATGCTTTGGATAATGCTGCTTCAAATGGCCATTTGGATATTGTAAAGGTAAATATAAATATATAAATATATATAAATTAATATATATATTTCAATTTATTAATTCAATTTATTAATTAATTAATTAATTTAATTTATTTCCATAAACTATAGTTTTTGCATGAAAATAGGACTGAGGGTTGCACAAAGAAAGCTATGGATGAATCTGCCAAGAATGGATATATTGAAATATTAAAGGTATATATTATAAATATAATTATAATATAATTATTTTAATTAAATTTATTTTTAAATAGTTTTTACATTTAAATCGTACAGAAGGATGTACAACAAATGCAATGGATTTTTCTGTGATTAGTGGTAGAACAGATATTGTAAAGTTTCTAAACGAGAATAGAACAGAAGGATGTACCAATTTTGCACTTACAGTTAATCCAACCGACTCTGACCCTCATTTTGAAACGATTCATTATATTTTATCCAACAAACTAATCAACAGTTTCATGATCCAAAAATTACAAGAAGCCAATTCACCATATTATGAAATTATTCGAGTTGTTGCTAGACATTTTAATACAACTTATCATAATTAGAAATATATATTAAAATACGTGTTATTGATTATTTATTTATTTAGAGTTTTTTAATTATTGTTGTTTATTGAGGTTGGTAAGCAGCAATGATAAATGTTTCAGATGGAAGATTATTTGGAATGACAGCAGTGGTGACAGTAAAGCTGGTCAAGTCAAGAATATCATAATGGAGTTTAGAACCAATAACGTTTAATATGGTGATAGTACCTGTAACTGGATCAAATACAAATGGTTGAACCGAGTTGGATCCTTTAAGACTTGGCTTTGAAGTTTTGTTGTTGTAAACTGGCTTCATGGCACCTGTTTCAAAATCAACCAACAGAATCTCTGCACCATGTTTGTAAACAGAACGACAAACAAACAATTGACCATTGTAAGCATATAATTGAGTGATACCAATGAATTTGTTGACAGTACCTTGAAGTGTTTGGTTGGTAACTGTTTGACTAGCAAATGAGTACTTTACCATGGTTTGTGATTTATCTTGACTTGAAAAGTAAACATAGAATGAATTGGTAGAAGGATCATATGATCCAACTGGTGCAATATTTGATCCCTTTGTATTTGGTTGGACAAGAACAATTGGTTCACTAAACATTAAATAATATAAATAGTAGTTAGACACAATCAAATCAATTTAATTATTCTATCTCTATTTATATTTATACATACGCATTTGCATTTTGACCAAAACCAAAAGTTAATAAAGCGATGGCAGGAATACCACTTGATCTAACTCCAGCAATATAGGCAATTTCATTTTCAGTATCCCAATAGATTGGTTGGAATGTAAAATCAAACAAAAATGTACTACCTGATTGATATAAATCAGAGATTGTATAATTCTAATAGAAAAATGAGAGATAGTAGTAGTAGAGTTAAACATTGGTCGATTTAATATTTGTTTTGATTTGCTAATAATTACATTTGGAGTAAAAGCAGTAACAGACATTTCATTATTTTGATTTGAAGTAAGCATCAAAAAGGTACCACGATCATCTTGAGCTTGAGTTGTCAAGAAACCATAAAGAATCTCTTCTTCTTGATTTGGAACTGTGAAATTTGCATTGATTGATCCATCAGCCAATGAAATTGCACCAAATGTTATATCATAATATGGTGATTCCCAAAGGAATTGAAGGTATTGTGGTTGGCATTGCTACGCACAAATGAAACAATGATTAATATAATAAAAGTAAAATCATCATCTTTTAGTTTTCTAAAAACATACAACATAACCAATAATTGATAATAAAGTTAAAAGAAGAGTGATCTGTATTTTCATTCTATAATTATCTCTCTTAAATGATTGTTACAAAAGATTTATAAGATAATGAAAGTTAAAGCTATAATAGTCAAAGGGTTTAAAAAGACTATGCAACAGGCGAGAGATACGTCATCATGTTTCGTGGAACAAGATATTTTAAATTTGGATATTTTCGGGATATGATTTGTCGTGCAATCCAAAGTCACCGGTTATCTCTTGGAAAATTTGTTCATTTCTACAAATTTGATTTATTAATAATACATTATAATATTTGCTTGATTGTCTTTTCATTCTAAAAGGAAATTTCTAATATGATGAAGATTTGAAGGTTTACTTTTCGAAATGGTATTATGAAAATCGAGTTGAAATAGATGTTGTTTGAGAAGTTGGGTGGTATGAGGTTCTAGGTTGTGGTTGGCTAGGACATTGAAACAATCGTCGTAAAGTGCAAATGTCTCATCTGTTACAATGGATTTATGTAATTGACAGTAGAGCAATAGTAGACCTTGTTCGGTCAATTGTTTAAACTGATCGTCCGAGAGTATCTGGTCGACCAATCCCCGAACATTAAATATTAAATGTTGTGCTATGAAATCGTCGACTTGAAATTGTTTGTCGACGGGGACGTCATTTCCCGATTGTGTCTGATCGACACATTTAACCGATGCATAGTCTAATACGAGTTTGGTGAGATGCTGAGTAATGTGACAGGCAAGTATCTTTTCAATCGAAGCTGTTTTTGATACATCGTATAGAGTGTATAGTACCAAATACATGATACGATAGTTTTGTGAAGATGATTGTAACAACCGTTTGAGAATGTCAATTGTGGCATCAAATGTATAAATATTATTGTTGGTGTGTAGACTATTTACATTGAATATGGTCAACAGCAAGTCATCCACCACTTCTAGTAAATATTCTTCCGTTTGTTCGTGAATGATGCTATTTCCCTTTTCACTAATATCCAATAGTTGTTTGGTCAATTGATTTAATGTATCTATACTATATTGATCCAACCTATATTGTCTAATAATAGCTAGAGTAGAGTCTGGATGTAATGTAATGTTTTGTAAAAACAGACAAAAATCTCTTGTACATTTCTTGTCAGACATAAAGTTTCGACATGCATACTCGCACATAATTTCAACTACATTCCAATCCAATGGTGGTTCAATCGATGTGATATCTGTAAAAAATGATGTTATATAGTCTAGTTGAGTTGCTTTCTTGTCCATCATGTCATAAATGTGATCCATCAATCCATACTCGTGCACTAATGTATCTCTCCATTCAACCTTGGTTGCAGTTAAATTACCAACAATCAACAATGAATATTCCAATACCAACTCTAGATTCTCTTGTTGATGATTTGCAAATATACCACCAAGAAATTTTAAATGTTCATTTGTTATCATCTCTTGATCCTTTTCTAATAATGTCATTAATTTCATCTTTTCTCTAAATGTTAAATTTGCTATTAATCTTGATACATTATTCTAAAAAATAAAAAAGTAAATATTAATATTAAACAAAAATATTATTATTATTTTTTTTTACATACACAAATTAAATGAATATATTTTGTATCTTTATGATTTGATAGAATAGAATCAAAAGAATCTTTAAAGATGGTCATCAATGGTTCAACATTTACAATGAATCCATGACAATTCCAACCATTTCCAATATAAAATAAACCTCTAATTCCAATCAATGAAAATAATTGTTTTTTATCATCCTTTATATCCTCCAACATTATTGGTAATAATGTAAACTAGAAATAGAAATAGAAATAGATAATTAGTTTAAATTAATTTAAAAAGGAGATTAAATTAATTAATTTAATTTAATTTTTTTACATACAGTATGATTTAAAAAAGGAATTAATTGATTTGATAATTCTGATTCATTAAATGATTCATTATCTTGATCATCATATAATAAGAAAAGGTCGGGCAAATCTTTAAATGATCTATATTTTAGAAATAGTTGTAATTGTTGACCGGGAACCTTTTCTCTTTGTTTTAATTCTTGTAAAAGTTGTTTTCTATCTTTTGATTTATGGTGACCACAGTAATCCTTTAATCGATTGAGTATGGCCAATGTAAGTATCCAACAAGTAACAAATACTTTGTAATCTTGAACTAGGTGTTGATCATCATCGGGTGTACAAAACCTCTTGTCTAGTATTTCGACAATATCATAACACGATACAACCTCTTCTCTTGTAATCTCCAATTCTGCATTCATTACATCTGAACATTCTATAATCTTATTGTATAATAAATCTATACATTCTTCAATTGATTCTACATTATAAATTATCTAAAATTAAAACAATAAAAAAAGTTAGATCAAAGATATAAATATATATCTATATATCTCTCTCTATATCTATAATATATAATATATAATATATCTCTATATTTACCTCTAAAGTATTTTTAAATCTATCAATCTCTTCTGTCATTTGATCATATTCATACGATCGATTATATACAAATATATAATATATCTAACTAACTACAAAAAGAGTGACAGTGAAGAATGAAGGAATGAAAGTTCAACAAAATAGTAAAGTTCAACAAAATGTTCCCCAACAACACCCTACTCACTCTTAATTAAATTTTAAAAGATGTATGAATGAATAGAAACATTTAAAATAATATATTATATAAAGTATATAGATCTATTTACATTTATTTATTTGATTGATTGATTGATTGAATGATACCAATAATATTATAAAAATGATTTATTTGTTATAATATTTTAATATATATATTTATGTTTGGTTGGTTGGTTGGCGTGATAATACTAATATACTATATTATTTGTTACTGTTTAGGCATGACTGTATGGTGGAGTGCAGGTAATAGCAATCATTTGATTTTGATAGCATTGTTGAACATTCTTACCTTGACCAGAACCATTGGGCATGATGGAACAACCATTTAAGTTGGATGAACCAGAACCACCGGTGGCAGAGGAACCAGAGGTAGCAGTACCACCAGACCCGGTCATACCAGTGGTTGGAATATCCATATTGGAACCGAATGGGTCACCAGAGGAATACTTGCCAGTTGACAAGACACTACCACCAGTACCGCTATTGACCATTCCATTAGCAAAGGTCGACCAGCTATTATAGGTTGCATTACAGACGACGATACCAAAGGCATTAGAAGTGACAGTACTACCACCAGATGAACCAGTACCAGTACCAAATCCAGATCCAGTTTGGATACCACCAGCACCTGATCCAATACGGTTAGATGTTGCTTTAGCTTCAAAATCTTCAAAGTTGGCTTGGTTGTCGGCTTGATCAAAATTGATTTCATCGAGGAATTCAAAGTATCTATCTAGGATATCAACGGTTGAAATCTTGCTGTTAAAGTTGTGAGCACGTAATACTGATCCAGAGTTACCAGTTGAACCGGAACCTGAACCTGATCCAGAGGAACCAGATCCAGAAGAACCAGAGGAAGCAGTAGCAGAGGCAGAAGTAGATGGCATGGTACCTCTCCAGATAGACATACACTTGTAAGATGGAATCCAACGGAATAATTGGATTTGTTTGTTGGAACTACAACTGCTGAAGGTTGAGATGGACAATGAACGGATGGGGTAGGTTGGCACGGTCGATGAACATGTGTAGGTCTTGTAGAAGCCAGTGATGGACGAGACGGTGTTACAGACACCCGATGTATACTCGGTGGTGTTGGTTACGGTAGTTTGACATGCTTGATCTTTGAATTGTTGGACAGTGACGACATTGTTGGCACCACAAGATACTTGTTGTCCTCTAACACACCCACCCGATTCCATAGAGATACCACCGATACTTGAACTATCCAATGTACATTTTGGTTCATTGAATGTTTCAACAGTTACCCATGATGTGGTTGCTGGTGCATTGATATGCGAAGAATAAGCACCAGCTACAATACTGAAAAGTGCTACTAATAAAAGTAATAATGAATGATCTCTCATCTCTCCTCTAATAAATAATAATAATTATATATAATTATATGTGAATGATGATGAAGGTGAATAAGATAATTATGTGAGTTTTTATAGTTTTTGAATTTGAATCTACGAACCCAAGCTTCATGTCCAAAATTGATCTTTGAGATATTTTTCATTGTTTTTCGAGCTTTGGCGGGGATAAGAGAAAAGTTGTTCGAACATTTCATGGGTCCCCACTCTTGAAATGAAAAGTGTATGCAAGGAGTGTGAAATAGAAGAAGAAACTTCTTCGACTCTAGTCGTCGTTGAAGTTGAAGTGTCACTTTTCCGGGCATCGGGGTAAAGACCATCAGTCACATTGATATTTAACCCCCAGGCACCTCTTTTAAATGATTCGGGTGTTACTTTTGCCCATTATTATTATTTAGAATGAATCTCATTACCAACCTTTTAAATCAAACCCTGGTATCGTATTTGTATAGAAGTAAAAGAAGTAGTGAGAGAAGGTATTATTATTATTATTATTATTAATATTATTATTCTCTATTCTATATTCTTCAATTCTATTGCAATTCTATATTCTAATTCTAAAGTTATGAAAAAAAAAAAAGAATATCAATCGAAATTTTGATCACCATTATTATTATTTTATTTGTTTAGGAATGATACGGTGGAGTACAAGTAACAGATAATAATTCATTTTGATAGCATTGTTGTATATTCTTTCCACCACCAGCAGAGTTGAATTGAATGGAACACCCATTTTGAGTGCCCGAACCTGAAGATGAGCTTGATCCTCCTGAACTTCCAGAACCTGAACCACCTGAACCTGAACCTCCCGATGCACTAGTACTAGTACTTGGAATATCCATATTTGAACCGTATGGGTCACCAGATGCATACTTGCCGGTAGACAAGATACCACCAGCAGTACCAGAAGTGGTAGATGGTAAAACTCCATTGTCATAGGTGAGAATGGCATTATCAGTTTGGTTACAAGCAACAATACCAAATGAGGCCCAGTTTGGTTGAGCACCACTACTTCCAGTTGTACCTGTACCAGTTCCAAATCCTGTACCTGTTAAACCACTACCTGTACTTCCTAATCTACCTCCTGATCCACTACCTAATCTTTCCTCTTCCTGATTATCATTATTATTAAAATTGATAGAATCTAGGAAATCAAAATATTTATCCAATATATCCATTGAATTAATCTTCAAGTTGATATGGTTGTGTGAACGTAAAACTGATCCTGATGATCCTGATGATCCTGATGATCCCGAAGATGCAGATGCAGATGCAGATGCAGATGTTGGAGATACCGAAGTTGCTGATGCTGATGCTGATGTGATAGATGCAGCAGATGTAGGAGTACCAGTACCAGTACCACTAGTAGAAATGAAACCTCTTTCAATGGCCATACACTTGTAAGATGGGATCCAACGGAAACCAGTGAGTAGGTTTGGACTGAGTTTACAAGCACTATAAGTAGAGATGGACAATGAACGAATTGGATATGATGGAGTTGCAGCCGAGCAGGTATAAGTCTTGTAGAAACCATTGACCTGAGACACAGTGTTACATTCACCCGATGTATATTCGGTAGAGTTGGCGACAGTAGTTTGACATTCTTGATCTTTGTATTGCTGAACAGTGACGACATTATTGGCACCACAAGATACTTGTTGTCCTTTGACACAACCACCCGATTGTAAAACGATACCTCCAATACTTGAACTATCCAATGTACATTTTGGTTCATTAAAAGTTTCAATGGTTACCCATGATGATGATGATGATGATTGTGATTGAACAACTATAATTGTAAAAAACAATAATGATACTAAAATTAATACTCTATTCATCGCTGTGTGTGTATAATTTAAATTATATATATATATTTCAATATAAATATATAACTAAGAGTTTGAAAGAATAGATATTGAATGAATTGAATTGATGATCTTCATGGTTGGACTTGTCTTTTAAATAGTTGTTGGTTTAGAAGATATTATAATGTCTGTGAGAGCCATTTCAAAGCAAGAATCAGATACCTCCTAATCAGATAATCAAAAAATATCTTGTTAGGATAGGTGTTTTACTGTTCCGACTGAAATTTCTATAATATTGTCGGGGATGATCACGAGGACGACGACAATTGAAAGAAAGAGTCTGTTGACAATAGAACAGGCAAACAACTTTGATACATACTATTCAAAAGTTAATTATTGTTATTATACATATATGTATCATTACGAAGTATACTAGTAATATTACAATGAATGATACGTATCATGAGAGTGACTGTGAAGAAGAATAGTGTGAATAAAATAAAAAAAAACAAGGAATAATTAAATGCTTTTGCACTCAAAAATAAATCAATACTTAATATTACGATGAGTAACAACAATAATAATAATAATTATAATAATAATAATAATAATAATAATAATAATGAAAAGCAACAAGATGATATAGTAGTAAATACAACTACAGCTAGTAGTAGTAGTAATAGTGTTAATAATAATAATAATAATAATACATCAGCAGCAGGAGAGACGACTACGAATTTAGAAAGTAATATTAAACAAAGAAAGAATGTTGATTTAAAAAAGAGTCAGAATGCTCTTCGTCGTAGTCAGATGCATCATAGTAGTAATCTACCTTTACCATCTCCATCATCTCTACGTCGTTCATCTCATAATCTAAATGCTAGTACTAGTAATAATAATACAAGTAATAACAATCTAAGGGACACTACAATAGATGAAAAGAGACATCGATTGAGAAAGTTATTATTCTCAAAGATTTTAGAGAATAAAGGTAGTGTTGCTAGAGACCATCTTGCAAATGAACGTACTTATTTGGTAAATAATAATAATAATTTAATAATAATAATTAAAAGATATCTTTAGGTATTTATTAATTCATTTTATTTGTACACCTTTATATATTTTAATTAATTAAATTTAGGCATGGTTAAGAACAGGATTAAGTTGTATAGCATTAGGTGTAGCTTTGGCTAAATTAGGAACTTCTAGAGCAGGTTAGTTATTTCGTTTTAAAACAACAACAAGTAATAATAATAATAATAATTAATTAATTTCAATAATTTTTAGGAGGAATAATATTTGTAGTATTAGGGACCATTATTATACTTTATAGTCCTTTTAGATACTTTGTTGTTTATAAACAATTGTTAAAAGGAAAGTTTAGTCCAAACAGAGTTGGAACTATTGTTTTCATACTCTTGTGTCTTGGCGCTGCCATTGCCTCTTTGGTCATTGTCTTGGTTAATAGTCATTAATTAAATTTCATCTCATCCCATCCAATCATATCGCATTATCACACCTCACTTTGCACAGCAGCATCATCCAGAGCAGAGCATCGCCACCATCATCTCATACTGCGGCTACCACTCACCTCTCACAACATTGGTACCTGCCTTCTATGACCAAATGCGTCACATTGAACTGAATCATCACACCACAGTCACCCTATTACTCGCACAACCACCACACAAAAAGGAGAGAGAGAAGAGAAGAGTCACACCTTTCTTTTTGTCCGTTTGTTAAGTTTCGTCTTCTGTTAATAGAAGCTAGGAGAGATCTGTACTCTCTCGAACTGCCAATGGTATACCCCATCTTCTCTCTGACAGCGTCATTAGTCTTCGATTTCCCGAATTTTTAAAAATTCACAAAAAAGGAAAGTGGTCTCGAGACGTGATGATTCATTCACACCACCACCTCTCTTTAATTAATTTAGAGGTATTTAAATTGAAGGATTTTCCAGCAGAATAATTTGAAAATTAATTCAAAATAAGGCATAGATAAGATAATCGAGATCAACAAACAAATAAATTTTATTCGAAACAAACAACAACAGTAAAAAGTAGTCAACCCACTCCACTCCCCCACACCTCTCTACTACTAATTTAAAAAGAACAAACAACATTCGTAAAATATAAGTAGCTAACCTCTAGAAACAAACAAACAAACAAATCATCACATCATCATCATCATCACATCTTATAATATTAGTACAAATAATAAATAAATAAATAATAATTAATAGTCATAGCACAGCACAGTCAGAACAGTCACAAGCACAGTCATCAATCAGTAATAATCAAATAATTAAATTTAAAGAAAATAGTTCAAAGTAAAAATAGAATAGAAATCTATTCTCCAATATTTAGAAACTACAATAACAATAACAATAACATCAACCCCCAGGACACGTCACCAAAAACAAAAAAATAATAATATATAGAGAGTTGTACAAAAGTCTTGAAAATATAAGTTAAATTTTCACCCAGTGTCGACCGATTACAAATCGACATCGTCATCCGAATGGTTCACATTGCCCCAATATTTAATCGTTTTTTTCATAAAGTTGGTACTTTTTTAACACCAAACTTGAATAATATGGCCACTACCACGGAAATGACCCCTTCAACAATATCCTCATCCTCTGAGTCTCTGGACCAACAAATTCAAAACATATTAAATGATACAGATTTTTATATTCATAAACAACAACAACATCAACAACAACAACAAGTCGAAGAAGACAATCAACAACAACAACAACAACAAAAGCAACAAAAACAAGATAAAGATATGGAATTATTACAAAATCAAATAGATAATCTTTTAAATCAAGATGATGATGGAGATTCACCAATTCTTAGTATAGATGCTATTGAACAAGTTTTAACTACCATTCCATTAGATCCACCAATATCAACATCGTCGTCACTATCAAACAATGTCATTATAGTACCATCAGACCTTACATTTTACGTTTATAAAATACTTTCTTGGCTTTGGGAACACGATCCCAATTATTTAACCGAACAATATAGCGACCATACCATTCAATATCTAAAGTCAACTCTATCGAGTATCAAGAGTGTCTTGGATGCCCACGAAATCTCCTTTTCAATATTCCCAATAGTCCTTTTATATGCTAATCATTTTGTTCATAAATGTGGTATCAATCATAAACAATTATTTAATTTATTATTAACAAGGTATGTAAAAATATAAAGAAAAGTAAAAAGAAATGGTAGAAATGAATCAATATTAATTAATTTAATTTATTTATCTATATCTTTTTTAGTTCAATAGTATGTGTTAAAAATTATGGAGAGACAGTTAGAGTAGATTATAAAGTATTGGGTAAATTCTTTAATTATACACCAAAACAATTATGTGAAATGGAAAGGTTATTCTTACGGGGTATCAATTATGAACTATATCTAAAGAATAATGAAATCAAAGAGTTTTTAGATCAAGTAGAAAAAGATAAAATATTTTTTAATAGTCATAATATAGATTATAATTGTTAATCCAAATCCAAATCAAAATCTTTGTATATATATAAATAATAATAATAATAATAAAAAAGAAAGATAATAGTTTCTTTTAAATCAAACAAAATAGATAAAGTTTGGGGGGGTTATAATCAAGGGAGGGAGGGTTGGAAATTTATAAATTCAAAGTTTTAATTTTCAGACTGGAGAGATAAATATCTCAAACAATTTCTTTTGATTAATTTAAATAATTTAATCATTGTCGTGTGTATGTTTGTTGATCTTTTAAAAATAGATATGTGAAATTTTAGTTGTTTATTTATCTATCTGTATTCATATATATTTATATTTAATTATAATAATAATGTCATTTAATCCAAATGCTGAAGGTGGAGGCATCACCAAGCCCGTTATCCCAGGTGGTGGAACTCCACTTCCAATCAACAAAAAGCCTATTCAACCATGTTTGTATCATATCATATATATATATATTAAATACCTAGGTAGCAAGTAAAGGACTTTAAGTTACTAACAAAGTTATATGTTTTCTTGTACTTTTTCACTCTTGTACAATTCACAGCTCTCAAAAGAGACAGTCAATTCCTTATTTAAATATATATATATAGATATATAACAACGTTCAAATAAATAGGTATACTAGTAGTAGTAGTAGCTATAGCTTCAATGGTTGACAACACAACCATTCATTCTATCAAAACCAACATACACACAAAGTCTTAATGTCTTTTAAATGACTTTGCAATCAAGAATGAAGATATCTGTGCAGACTTATCTCTCAACTGTATGATATAAAAGTAATATATTAGTACTTTGGTTCAGGCAGTGGGTGAGGTGAGAGGATTAGAAGAGATAAATTTTTAGATATAATTATAAATAATCTTTAAAAGAAGGGAGGGGATAAATCAATATATCTCCTCTAAATAATCTATATATATATATATATATATGAAACTAATAGTTATAATGGGAATACATGTATATATACAGCAGGATGAACCTGAACTACGTCAGTTGTGAAAACACTGTCCTTCAGTTGTTGAGACAATTAGTCTTTGATTTTTTTTTACAACTGATTTATTGCAATTGTTCAATTCAATTTCGCCCTACTACAATTTCATTACAGCTCCACCTTGAAAACAAACATCATCGAACATACACACACACACTCACTCGTTTCCTTTTTCACAAGATAACTTAAAATCAAACGGTTTTATCATTCTATTCATCATCATCATCATTTTGTTGTTGTATTAACTAAACTATATTCTATTTATTATTTATTTATTTATTTATTGTATAATTATAAACAACAACTATACAATGACAATCAAACAAGCAATTAGAGGAAAAAAAGTATTATTTGCAGGAGAACAAACATTTAGAGAATGTACTATATTGATTGATCAAGATGGAGTTATTTCAGAGATCAAGGAATACCAATACGTACTACCAGAGGGTGTAGAGTTGATTAGAGATTGTGCAGACAATGAAGTTTTGATGGGTGGTTTGGTCGATAGTCACGTGCACGTCAATGAACCGGGTCGCACTGAATGGGAGGGTTTCCATTCGGCTACACATGCAGCTGCTGCCGGTGGGGTCACTACCATCATTGACATGCCACTCAACAGCTCACCCGTCACCACTTCCTTTGACCACTTGCAAACCAAGATCCAGTCGATGGAAGGCAAGTGTTTTGTAGATGTGGGTCTGCTTGGAGGAATCGTCCCCGGCAACCTCAAAGAGATCAAGCGAATGATTGTAGAGGGTGGCGTGGTTGGATTCAAGAGCTTTATGGTGCATTCGGGAATCGATGACTTTGAAGCAGTCAATCAAGCCGATATCCAAGCCGCGATGGTTGTCATGGAGGACTTGAAACAACAGAAAAAGGATGTGGTCATGATGTTCCACGCAGAGATTGCTGAACCGATCGACAAGGCCTGCGAAGGTCTCAAAGACAGCGACCCACATGCCTACAGCACCTTTTTGGCCAGTCGTCCAAAAGAATCAGAGAATCAGGCAATCGACTTGATCATCGAGTTGACCAAGGTGCAGCAGGTGCGTACTCATATCGTGCATTTGTCGTCGTCTGACGCTATTGCCAATTTGCGCAAGGCAATTGTAGAGGACAAGCTACCCATCACCGCCGAGACTACATTCCACTACCTCTTTTTCGAGTCGGAAAAGATACCAGACGGCAACACACTCTACAAGTGTTGTCCACCCATCAGAGAATCAGAGAATCGTGATGAGTTGTGGAAAGCACTTGACGAAGATATCGTCGGCTTGGTTGTATCCGACCATTCTCCATGCACCATCAATCTCAAGTTGTTAGAGAGTGGTGACTTTATGAAAGCATGGGGTGGTATCTCTTCACTTCAACTTGGTCTCAGTATCGTGTGGACTGAGTGCAAAAAGAGAGGTATTCCAATGTACCGTCTGACTGAATGGATGTCTGATGCTCCTGCACGTCTCGTCAACCTAAATGACAAAAAGGGGTCGATTGCAGTTGGTCGTGACGCCGACTTTGTCGTCTTTGACCCCGACCAATCGTTCACGGTCGACCAGTCACAACTCTATGTCAAGAATAGAGCGTCTCCCTACCACAGCTCTACACTCAACGGTGTCATCCTCGAGACTATCTTGAGAGGTCAGGTTATCTATAGTGTCAAGTCTGGACATGCCAAACAACCACACGGACAACGTGTAGTCCCCACCAACATCCACAGTAATCCTACCTACCCATCACCCTATCTTCCTCCCATCGCACGACTCAACCAAATGGATCGTGACAACTTTTTCAACGTCGTCCACTTGCTCTTTGAGACTGCTCCACCCCTTGCCAACGCTCTCTACGATGCCCGTCCATTCTCTAGTTACAACGACCTTATCGACGTGGCCGACACTATCATTCAAAAGTGCTCCGACCAAGACAAGATACTCATCATCAACGCACACCCACGTATCGGTGTCAATCCAGCCGACATCAAGACACAATCAACCCTCTCATTCCGCGAACAAGGTTGTGATAACGAACAACTAAATGAAGAGGTCGAACGTGTCTACCAAGCACTCCAACAATTAAACGAACAATACGAAACCAAGAATGGATTTAAATTTGTTGTATTTGTAGCTGGTCGTCCAAAATCAGAGATTGTAAAGGTACTAGAACAACGTCTACAAAATAATAATACTATGGATGAATTGAAAATTGGTCTCTCTGACATGACCACAATAGCTAGAGACAGATTAAAAAAATTAAATTTATAAAAAAATATAAAATATAAAATATATTAATATAATAAAATAATCAGATTGTACTACGCACAAATATAATGAAAATTAATTAATAAATTTGAATTACTTTTTAACTAACCCTACAACCACACTACGATGTAATTAGTTTGTTTACTTTTTTTTATTACAATGAACAAAATATTGGTTTGGTTATTTATTTATTATTTACTTATTTGTAACAATACTTAAGAGCAATGTCTAATAATCCAAGAGAAGCACTATCAATTGAACAAAGAGTTGCAAATCAATCAGATTTAGATGCATTAACATGTCCTATATGTTTGTCTCTAATGACTGCACCAATCAAACAATGTTTATCTGGTCATCTTGGTTGTGAGAGTTGTTTGGATCGTGTAGCAAGATCAACTGGTACTTGTCCACAATGTAGAACACCTATTTCAAATGGAAGATTGTCAAGATCATTACTTGCTGATCATATGTTATCATCACTAAGGGTATGTATATGTACTTGAACATCGGACCTAGTTCTATACTATTAAATTTAATAGTATACTCAAATATACTTTTTCTTCCATTTTTTTTAGGTTCATTGTGTAAATCAATTCAAATATAGTCAAGAAAGTAAGAAATGGGAAAAAGATGCAAGAGGATGTCAAGAGATTACAACTGTTGCTACATCCAATGATCACAAGACTATTTGTAGATATAATCTTTTAAAATGTGGACATCAAGGATGTGATGTTGAAGTATTAAAAGATGATATGCCTGGTCATCGTGCTCAATGTAAATACCAATCAAGAGAAAAGATATCATGTCCATTTGGTACTGATGTGTGTGCTTATACTGTAAGGAATTCATTCATTCATTAACTCAATTTATATTAATTATTTTTATTTTTAATTATTATTAGGGAACAAAGACAGAAGTTGATCAACATATTCTAGGTTCATTATCAAATCATATTAAAGCCAACAATCAAAGAGTGGATGAAAAAATTAAGTCAATGGAACTATCATTTGAAAAAAAGTTTAAGGAATTAATCAAGGTACAACCTATTGGTATTAAAATAACCACAATAACATCGAATCTATATTAATCAATCGATCGATCTGTCTATCTTTAGGAATCAAACAAACATACAGTGGTTCAATTTGAATGGGTAATTACAAACTACCTGTCCAAGTATAGGAAAAGTATGGATGCAGATTCAGATGATTTTCAAATGGGTGGTTTCACATGGCATCTAAATGCAAGCATGGGAAAACCTGGCGAACCTGATGAACTAGGGTTTTATCTGATTTTGAATGATGCCAATCATAAATTGGTCAAGGTGGATTTTGTGATAGACGTACAATTCCCTCGTCTACTAACTGCACCCAAAGGCCACATAGATTATGTTTTTAGACACAAGAGCAATGGATTTGGATATCCTCTCGGCTCACATCATGTAAACCATTTGAATCACAATGATTCTGTCACTGTTAAATTCAAAGGTCACGTCGTGACAGTCAAAAAAAACTAATCAATTAAAATAATAATAATACCATTTTTTTAAAAAAAAAACAACATTCTTGAATCTCTCTCTCTCTCTCTAGTGGATTTCCTTCCAACGACTAGCACCTGTCAAGTACTCAATCCAAGAGATATATCTAGATTTATATTTATTTATCTTTCTTGCCAACGACTAGCCCCCTTTCCTCTGATATACTCTTCACAAGCTTTTGGACCAACAGGTTCAAAATGAACCTGACTAGCAGGTACTGAAAATACTTCACCTCTAAATAATTGTAATTCATCATAAGAGAATATCCCTCCAGGATAGTTCACTCTCATTCCATAAATGATATTTGTTTGGAATATAATTGATGTTCCAACACCTAGTTTAATAGTTGTTTGAACTGGTTCATTTGATGGAAATGGATCTCCACCATGATACAATTTAGTAACCTGGTTTTTGGAATCACAACTATTAAATGAAGTATTTATTAGAATAGGAAAAAGAAGAGACAATTAACAAAGTTCTGGGGGTTTTTATGTTAACATACATATCAATGAATCTTCCAATAAAGGAGTTGCTTGGAATCCATCCTTTTAAATACGTAACAGGATATGTTTCAGGTTCATCCAAAGTAACATACTCAATGTATCGGTTGTAAACCGCTATTGGTTTGATCTTGAAATCAGTGTTTGGATAACCTGGATCAGTCACTATAACATCATCAAGCTTGGCATCCTTTAAAAAAATTATGTTTGAGAATACTTTTTTGAAATATTTCTTTTTAAATATTTTTTGTTGTTGATTTTGGGACAAACTTACAATCATTACAAATTGTTCTATTGGGTTCTTAATCTTTAACAGTTGGTCTACACCCAATACAGTCGATACCATTTTACTATTTTCCAAATCAAATGGATCAAGTAGAGCAATTTCTTTTGGTAATGGTTTGAATGATGTTGAATCCAGATTAACATTATGTTTAATATCTAAAGTATTGTCCATGTTTTTAAACATTTATAAAATAAATAAATAAATAAATAAATACTTATTCTTCTATATATTTATTGATTTGACAATATGATTCCTTTTTTTTAAAACAATTGGGTGGTTGGCGTTCGAAAATAGTTGTAAAATGTCCTCTTCAAAAAAATGGTTGATTTGTAAGATGGACCAGTTGGGTGGTTTAAAATCTGTTGGAGAACAACTAAAGTTAAAACTTCATCAAAATTAAATTAAAAATAAATATTTATTTTTTAAACAAAAGATCACACAGTTTATTATTTTTATGTCTGATGGAATTCTTTATTTTTTTAGATTTCTTTCCAACGACTAGCACCTTTACCTGTCAAATACTCTGAGCAGTCGATAGGATTGACAGGTTCATAGACAACATTATTGGCAGGGACGGAAAAAATATCATCTCTATACAATTGCACATGCATAAAACTAGGAGGGTTAGGATTCTCTCCTTTATCTTTCATCCTCATTCCATAAACAATGATTGTTTGGAATATAATGGATGTTCCAGCACGTAGTCTAATGGTTTTCTGAGCTGGTTCCTGTGTTGGAATTGAATCTCCACCGCTATACATTTTAGTAACTTGGTTAAATTTATCACAACTAAAAAAAAATAAAATTGTATTAGATTATAAATATTTATATATATTAATAATATCGTCAATTACAATTCAATAATTTTAGTAATAAATTGATTGCCTGGAACAAATCCTTTAAAATAAGAAATAGGGTATGCTTTATCAGGAGATTCCAAAGTAACATAATCAATATATCGGTTGTAAACTGCTATTGGTTTAATACTAATATTTTGGTTTGGAAAAGAGGGATCTGATGAGTTTACATCACCCAACTTGGCATTCTAAAAAAAGGTAAGAATTAAATAGATATATTTTAAAATTTTTCTCATCTAACTTACAATCATTACAAATTGATCATTTGGGTTCTTAATCTTTAATAATTGATCAACACCCAATTCAGTTAATACCATTTCACTATTATCTAAATCAAATGGATCAAGTATTTTAATACCTTTGGGTATTGACTTGAATGAGTCTAGATTTAATGTTTCTCCTATTTCTTTGTTGTCCATTTTACAAATAACTAAATAAATAAATGTATTTAGCTTTTTCACTCTATGATCAACTTTTATTATGGTAATTGTGAAAAAAAAATGGTTCTTTGTTTTTAAAAAAAAAGAGATGATGGGGGATGTAAAATGGCAAACTCCCATGGGGTTCCAAATGTAGGTTTTACTTGTAAGATGGAAATTCAATTAACTTTGTATTGAACAAAGTTGGAAGTGGAAATCTAAAAGACATGGTTTGAAATCTATAATGTTGGATTTTTTAAACAAATTATTTATTATTCTTTATTTTTTTCCTGCCAACGACTAGCACCTTTTCCCATGATGTACTCTCTACAAGCTTTTGGGGGAACTGGTTCATGGTGAACATGACTAGCAGGTACAGAAAATACCTCCCCTCTAAATATTTGTAGATCCAAAAAATAAGGGAATATAACACCTTCAATATGGGTCACTTTTTTTCCATAAATGATGATTGTTTGGAAAATCATTGAAGGACCAACTCCAAGATTAATAGAAGTTTGAGCGGGTTCATTTGATGGAAATGGGTCCCCACCTTCATACAGTTTAGTAACTTGGTTTTTTGAATCGCATCTATTTGATATGATACATGAATTTGTTTAGTTCAATTGAAGAGTCAACTAACAATAGTAAAATACCTACATATCAATTAATCTACCAATAAAGCTGTTACCAGGAACCCAACCTTTGAAGTAAGTTACAGGATAGGTTTCAGGTTCATCCAAAATTTCATATCCAATGTATCGGTTGTACACTGCTATTGGTTTGTAGTTGAATTCAGAGCCTTCATAATCTGGATCAGTAACTAGACAATCATCAAACTTTGCATTCTAAAAAAAATAAATAAATTGTGGGGATTACTATTTAAAAAAAAAAAAAAAACTACATACAATCATAACAAATTGATCGATTGGGTTCTTGATTTTTAAGAGTTGTGCTATACCCATCTCTGTTGATACCATTTGACTATTATCCAAATCAAATGGTTCAAGTAAAGAAATTTCTTTAGGGATTGGATTGAATGGTATGATTGAATCCACTTCTGTACAATTTATTCCAATTTCTTTTTTTTCCATGATTTTGACTTGACTTAATTATTCTTGAAAATACTTTATTTATTTAAATCAATAAAAGAAACAGTTGAAACTAGTTGAGAGGCAAGAAAGACCTTTTCATTTTTTAAATTTAATGGGTAAAATTAGAACCTCACACAATTTTACAAACCAATCTGTTGGGGAGGTTAAAAGTAGACTTGTAAGATGGCCTTTGAACTTTTCAATCTTCCATTTAATTGAAAACAACCAAGTGTCTTGTAAGATGGTAAAACTATTCTACTTAATCAAAATTTAAATTAAAAACAAATATTAAAACAATAGACTATAATTTTTCAATAGAAATAGGAGAAAGGTAATGAATGAAATGAGTAAACATGCTATCTATACCTTTAAATTAATACATACATTTATAAAAGAAAGGTCAAGATCCTTGTGATCAGAGATTGCAAAAAACTACAAGTGTTTGGTGCATAGAGTTAGTTGTTTGGTTTTTAAAAATTAAAAAAGGTTATATTTATTTACATTAAATTACATTTAGATTTTTGTTCTATTTGATCATCAATATTATTATTAGTATTATTATTAATATTATCTAAAAACTTGGGATAGGAAGGATATAACCAAAACTGATTGCTTTTTGAAAGATTTTCAATTGATCTGCAAATGAATAACTATTAATCCATCCTACTTTCTGATCAGAGCAAAACACCTCCATTAGAGTTGGATAGTGAGCAAAAGGATGATTATCTTCAAGGTACATGATTGAGGGACCACGTATTGGGTTGATCTGATGGTAAGGATTCAGAAGAAAAGTACCATAAATGTCAGCAATAAACTTTGCTCTTTTTGGGTTACAAACTTCTTTTGGAAGTAAAATGATACGTATAATAATATGAGCAACGGTAACGGCAGTTCGAGCATCTGTTATGACTATCTTTTTCCAAAATCGTTCAAACTGTTGGTCATCTGGTAGACGTGCCAAACTCGTCAATGATAAATGATCGTTGACTTGGATGGATAAACAATTGTCGAAAAGAAAATCCAAAGCTTTATAATTTCCATTTCGACAGGCAATTGCCAATATACATGTAAATATACTATGATTGGAGCCACCAAATAGACCTGAACGGGTTTCATTGGTAATGATATTATGGTCAAACAACCATTCTATATCATTGGCCAAAACAAATATACCAACCAACTGACAGTGGTCAATAATGTTGGGTCTGTAAACCAATCGAATAACCTTTGAAACAGACTCGTAATCGACTGCTGCCATATAATTGATAGAAAGGGAGAAATCACAGTTGAATTTAATAACAGGTATGGTTGACAAGGAGAATAAATATTCAATCGTTGGCACGCTTTGTGGTTTGATACAACTAATGTCAATCGTGAGAGTGGTGGTGGTGGTGGTGGTGTGATCTTGAAACTCTTGGAATCGTGGATGGTGTAGTAGAATGTCGATTGAAGATAGACTGTTACATTCTATTGCATAGCCGAGTAGTCTAGTAAAATTTTGGACTCGTAGTGGTAGTTTGAGAGCTGGAGGATCCAATTCGATCAAGGTATCTAGTTGATTGTCTTGGATGACAGTTTCAAGAAAAGAATCAAAGAGGGGTACTTTGAATCCCAAATCAATTAGTCTTGTGACCAAACCAACTGAAAAACATTTTGGATCAATGTTGTCGATGACCAGCTGGTCATTAAAAGTCTGATCTTGTCGTAATTGCTCTTGATAGTTTGATAGGATCAATTCAATTGCATCCAATCGACCATATGCAAGATTTTGTACCAACAATCCAATGACACGAATATGACCACGACGAGATATCTGTAAAAAATACTCCATGTAATCCAGATTTCCTTTTCCCGAGCCACCCAAACCATATGGGGGATTCTCTGGTATTGGTAGCATCTCCAACACCTCTTTTTTACCATGTTCCTCTAATACACGGAATATATCAAGATCTAGGCAAATTTCAATTAGTTTCTTTTCAGGTACATTCTCCACGATCCACTTTATCATCTCCAAATGATTATTCTCTACTGCTCCAATCAATACATCTTCAATAACATTGATTGAATATCTTTTAAATATATCTATCATCTGAAGAGTATAAATCATTTCTTCTTTGTTGTTGTTGTTGGAAAGTAAAGATGAAAATGAATTTTTAAATGGATGACGTGAAGGTGATGGTGATGATGGGTTTGGGTTATACAATTTAGATAGATATGATTCCAATTGATCACAGCCACCAAGTTTAATCAATACATTGATCATAGCATTTTGAAGAGATGGTACAAGTGTTGAAAAGTTTGCATCTCTCAATACGTAGAACATCTCGGTTGTGAATTGATAGAGACTGGTTGTAAAGTGTGGTCTGTATGATTGAAAGTCTTTTTTTGTTATACCAAGTCTATCAATTAAATATTTCATTGCAACATGATTATTCTTTTCAAATACAATATCAAATACCCAATATAATCTTTTAATATAATTATTCTATTCGAAATAGAGAAAAAGGCAATGAATAAGTAAAGATAGCATTATAACCTGATCAGCAAAGGGGGTTGGTTGTACATACCTTTAAAAAAGAAAGATGAATATGGTTGTTTATCTTTTTATATCTTTTTGATTGTTGATCAACCATTAGAATCAATTGATGAAACCGATCAAAGTGTTTGATGAAAAGATCAGTTCGACCATATTTGATATAATCGCGCAATGATTCTAAATCTTTGGATTTAGCAGTCTTTACAGCTAGTTGTCGATGAATACTAGTTACATGTTGGAATATTATTACTCTTAGTTGTTTATTATTTAATATATGCTTTATTAAACTATCTATCATCAAAATTAACAAAGGTGTATCTGTTCAAGAAAAGAAAGAAAGAGAGTTTGCAAAAATAAAAATTAGTTAAAAACTAATAATAATTAATTATACAATCTTTTTTTGTTTTAGTTTTATCATTATTATTTTCCACCTGACATTACTTTCTAGGAACATGCATATAACAAACATACAATAAAATGACATATTCCCAAACCAGCAAATAGTGATCGAGCAGCATCACTATCAATCAAACAAAGAGCTGCAAACCAATTGACATGTTCTCAGAACATATGATGTCGGTCAATCTGATTTGGATACATTAACATGTTCGATATGTCTGCATCTGATGACTTCACCTGTCAAACAATGTGTATCTGGTTGTCAAGATATTACAAAAAATCGGTCACGTGCACCAATCACTGCAGTTGTACTCGTTGTTTGACGACGACGATCATCACACTTTGGTGGTTAGGTATTAACCACATACATACATTTAACTTTTAGATCATTAGACTAGTCTTTAAAGATAAATAGATTAAATACATAGAGATAGAAAATAAATAGGAAGAATATGATATTCATCCAACATCATCACCATACACAACAAACTATTAAAAAATAAATTAAAATTATAAAAATAAATAAAATTTGGTAGCTAGCTTGTGGTTGTTTCTATTGCATAATGACTAAACACGTTAATAGTATTGTATTAATACTATTAACAGTAATAATCATTGTACAGGTAATATTAATCAGTCATGTTAATGTGGTAGATGGTATCAAATGTATTAAAGATAAAAGAATATTTGCAGATACAGAAGATGAAGATGAAGATAATCAAGAGGTAGATTGGTGGCTCATATTAAAGATTCGTGGTACAACAGATGCCTATCTCTACTTTGATTCTGAAATGAATGATAACGATTTTAAAGTATGTTTGTACTATTCAGATTAAAAATTCACACTTGTTACTTATACCTACCTACGCTTTCTATCTATCTATCTCTTATTATGATTATTATTAGACTGGATACTTTTTAAGAAGTTCAAGAAGTGCATTGGGTGCAACATTATTTGATGTATCATCTGTAAACCATAACTATATTGCATTTAACGATCAACCAGCCGAGACAATGGGAGACTCTTTTAAAATCTTTACCCATGAAAAAGGATTGATTATATGGGACAAGGATAAAGGTGATAATGCAGGTGATGGAGTCTATATTATGGTAAGTCAAGAAAAAGATAAAGATAAAGATAAAGAGAAAGAATATTTACTTATCTGTTTATTTTTTTATTATTAGCATACAATGCCACAATTCCCAAATACTTATTTTAGTCCTGATGGAACTGTTAGTCACCAGTATTGGCAAGATCCATATGGTGAAGATGAGAGGATAAGTGATGATTTTGCCAAGGCATTCCCTTTTATGGGCTGGAGAGACCCATTCTTTCACAATAATGTAATGTCTAGTCATGAATTGTATGGTAGATGCTATGCAGGGTACCACAAGACAGAGGCACAACAAAAGGCATCGGACAAATACAACTATGGCGAATCGCAAAGTGTCAGTGAGGATACGTCAGAGTCTGAGGATTCGGCCGACACTTGGAGACACGAACAAGAACGTAAAAAGAAGGCACAATCCACTTGCAAACTCGATATCTCGCCATTCCTCGTCGAACGGTTTAGCAAGAAGGCTAGTACGCTTAGCTTTTCACATTTGCTTGGTCGTGATATCAACCCATTTGCCAAGCTGTTGGATGAAGGTGTTCCGGGTCAGCATATCTATTGCTTGACGCTACCCGATGCCAACTCCAGGGATCCAGAGACATGGACGTGTACCGATCCACCCGATGCAGATCCACCCAGTAACGAAGACTCTGACTTGGATCCACCATCAATGATACAACTCTTCCTCACCTATTTGGCACGAGGTACCACCAATGGACTGTCAGCCACACACAAAAGCGTCGATGCAGAGACCGAGCCATTCCTCGCCGTACGACAAGACCAGTACACAGCCGACTATTACAAAAAGTGTTTCCAGTTGAATCAAAAGCACTATTATTTTGTCGTCACGTCCAAGACCAAGCATTCAGACAACTCAATCTCTTCAAAATTCAGCGATGTGTGGGCGGTCCTCGAAGAAGACCCTTGCGATGAAACACAAATTCAAAACAGACCATGCATAAAAGATGGAGAACAAATGTATATTAGTTGTTGGAGAGGGTCAGGTAGGGTGGATGAAACCGTCAATGCTCGACCTGGTAATCATTTCATTATCCCCACCTTTAAAACGGTGATTGAAATCGCCAACAAGAAACAAACCATTACTTGGGGATCGACCAACGTAGGTGTGTCTGGCCAAACCAATACAGAGGACTCGACTGGTGGATTCACTGATCATTCCAAATATGGTTATCTCGTGAATGAAGGTGATTATTGGGATGTTTGTCTAAGTGGTGGTAATTTACATGTTTATAAAGGTGTTACCCAATATACTGGTTCAAATGCTTTTATGGTAAGTTTTAAAAAAAAAAAGAAAAAAAAAAGAAAAAAGACAAAAATTTATTTAAAATTTTTTTTTTTTATAAAGGTATGTTTCCAAAGTACAGAGTTGGGAATTGCATTTGGATCTATAAATATAAATTCAGGGGCCACTGTTGGAAAACATACACAACTATGGGAATATTCACAATACTATGCAGAATGCACCAAAAAATTTAATGCCAATATAGCTGTTGCTCATCAAGCACTTCAACTAGAGGGTAGAAGAGCCGCCGACACTACCTATTACGATAATACGCGACTCAAAGCACATCCACCAAAAAAAGAAATGGCTGCCTATGGAGACCAAGTCAATCTATTCATGCCAATGACACTACTAAACATGTTGTTGGAAAGAACCAATGAAAAAGTAACAATCATACAACCAAGTAGTAGTAGTAGCAGCAGTGACGATGATATGGGTGGTGGTGGTAGTGGTAGTGGTAGTAGTAGTAGTGATGATGGTGGCGGTAAAAAGAAAAAGAAAGGTGGTGGTAGTAGTAGTAGTAGTAGTGGAAGTGCAAGTGATGGTGATAGTGGTAGTGGTAGTAGAGGTCATAGTGGAAGTGGTAGTGGTAGCAGTCATAGTGATAGTGGTAGTGTAAATGAAGATATCGAAATCGAAATAACATCATCATCGTCGTCATATAGTTCATCACAAGACTCTCCCATTGTTTTCCTTCACAGTGCTGGCGGTACTCCTGGAATCAAAAGAAAACCACCTCTTGTAAATACACTCAAAAAACAACCTCCAACAAAGAAACAGAAAAAATCACATGGTTAATAATAAAAAATCAATCTGGAAAACATAAAACAAGAAGAAAAGGATGTTTACCATTTTAGAAATAATATTATCCAGACTTTCAATTCATTCCAAGGTTTGATCAATACAGTAGCTTAGTACCTTGGTCACCCACCCACCTGTTAGTTTTTAAAAATTAAAATAAAAGTTTCATGTTCAAAACCCTCTCACTCTCTTCTCTCTCTTTTCTTTTTATAAATAGAAAATAGTATAACAACAACTACAACCCTAACAAATGAATAATAATCGAGCAGAACTATCAATCAAGCAAAGGGTTGCAAGTCAATCAGAATTAGATGCATTAACGTGTCCGATATGTCGATTTTTGATGACTGCACCTGTCAAACAATGTAAATCTGGTCATCTTGTGGAAGTTGTTTGGATCTTTTAGCAAGTTCAGAGACAACAGGAACTTGTCCTCAATGTAGAATACCTATTTCAAATGGAGGATTATCAAATTTACTCCTTGCTGACCATTATTTATCACATCTAAGAGTTGGTATGTAGTAGATAAGTACTCCTCCTCCTCTTGGTGACACTAATACCCCCTTCATCTATTTAGATTCATTGGTGAATCAATTTAGATATAATCAAGAAAACAAAGAATGGGAAAAGGATGCAAGAGGATGTCAAGAGATTGTAACCGTTGAAATATCAAAAGATCACAAGCTGATTTGCAAATTTAATCCTGTAAAATGTAAACATCAAGGGTGCGATGTAGAAGTATTAAAAGAAGATATGGATAGTCATCTTGTACTAATATCTTTTCTCTTGATTGGTATTTACATAGTACAAGATGACTATCCATATCTTCTTTGTACTATTCTACTATGTGACTTTAGACCAAATATACCATGTCCCTATAGTGATGTTGGTGTTTGTAATTTTATCTGATCATATTAAAGTCAACAAACAAATAGAGGATGATAGATATAGGTCACCGCAACAAGAATTAAAAGAGTGCAAACAATCAATCAGGGTATGTACTTTGAGATAATATTATCTAAATGGTTCATCAAAAACACACAATATTAATCTATCTGTTTATTTATTTTAGGAAACCAACAAAAAACAATCAATGATTAAATTCGAATGGGTAATCGATGAATACCTAGACAAGTATATGGAGGGTAATCATATTTATTCAATATTAGCTCAGATTATTTTGATATGGGTGGTTTTAATTGGTTCTTGAATGCAAGAGAAGAGGAGAATGAAGATATTGGCTTTTATCTCTATTTGGATCATAATCATCAAAAGAAGCGGGTCAAAGTGGATTTTACTTTGGAGGTTCAATTTCCACGTCAACCTTTATACACACAAAAAAAAGATAGTATAGTACATGTTTACAAGAAAGGGTGTAGCGGCTATGGAATTTTAACCGATTCTCATATAAACGATTTGAATCAAAATGATTCTGTCATTGTTACATTTAAAGGTCAAGTCCTATCATCAAAAGATAAAAAATAAAACAAACAAACAGACAGATAGACAGAGTTGTACAGTTAACTGGGTCCCAAGAAGAAGAAGAAGGGAACTAATATTTTAATAAATTTAAAAAATAATATTTATTATTTTTCGATGTCATGGTGTGTGTTGATTATTTTTAATTATTATTATTATTTTTATTATTATTTTGTCTTGTGAACTCCTCTTTCTTCATCAAAGTATAATGACTTATTTTCAAAGACACCAACAAAGACAAGAACAAAGACAACAACTAAAAATGTCGGAACGAGAAGCACTAACAATCGAAGAAAGAGTCGCAAGTCGATCAGATTTAGATACGCTATCATGTGCAATATGTTTGTCGTTGGTGGCTGCACCAATCAAGCAATGTGCGTCTGGTCATCTTGGTTGTGGTGGTTGCTTGGATCAAATAGCGAGGTCAGCAAATCCAATTTGTCCTCAATGTAGAATACCAATTTCAAATGGTAGATTGTCAAGATCACTCGTTGCTGATCATATGTTATCATCGTTAAAGGTTTGTATATACAAATCAATATTTAAACAAACAACAATCTTCTTTTCTTCTTCTCTTCTTCTTCTTCTTCTTTCTTATTTACTTTTCTCTTTCTTTTAATTTAGGTTCATTGTGTGAATCACTTTAAATATAGTCATCAACGAAAGAAATGGGAAAAGAACGCAAGAGGATGTCAAGAGATTGTAACTGTAGCGACATCAGACAATCACAAGTTAACTTGTCAATACGTTCTTGTAAAATGTCAACACAAAGGTTGTAATGAAGAATCATTAAATGATGAAATGGCTAATCATATTGTACAATGTGAATACCGATCAAATATACCATGTCCCTTTGATGACATATGTAAATTTACTGTACGATATATATATATATATATATATTGTTTGTTATTATTGTCTTTTGTTAATTAATCAAATATTATTATTATTATAGGGAACAACGACACAATTGGCTCAACATATTCTAAATTCGATATACGAACATGTTAAAGTCAACAAAGAGATAGAGGATATTAAAATCAGGTCACTAGAACAAGAATTGTCAAAAAGTGGTTCTAGAATCAAGTCACTAGAAAAAGAATTAAAAGAGTGCAAAGAATCAATCAAAGTATGTACTTCTTATTTTAGATTCATTGTGAGAATCAATTCAAGTATAGTAAAGATAGCAAGAAATGGGAAAAAGATGCAAGAGGATGTCAAGAGATCGTAACAGTTGCAACATCAGACAATCACAAGTTGATTTGTAAATATAATCTTGTAAAATGTCAACATAAAGGATGCGATGTAGAATTATTAAAAGATGATATGGCTAATCATCTTGCACAATGTAAATACCAACCAAAAGAAGAAAAGATATCATGTCCATTTGGAACTGATATCTGTAAATATACTGTAAGTAAGATGTCGTGAGCAGATGGAGAATCTAATTGCAATTTGTTGCTGCAATGAATTACCCACTTTTTAATCAATTTATTGTAACCGTCTATAGGGTACAAAGACAGAAATCGATCAACATATTCTCAATTCGATATCTCATCATATTAACGTCAACAATCAAAGAATAGATGATCAAATCAAATCACTTCAACAAGAATTTAAAGATTGCATGAAATCAATCAAGGTATGAATTTTCCTAGGATAATAGTTGACAATTATATTAATGGATATATCTTATCTAATTGTTTTAGGAATCAAATAAAAATACAAAGGAAGAGATTCAAAACTCAATATCTATGCATATTGAGGCCAACAATCAAATAACAGATACTAATGTAGAGGATCTAAGACTAGAATTGATGGAATTAATCAAGGTATGCAAGGAATAGGAATAGATAGATAATAGTTATCTCAAATACTCATAATATATTGTTTTATAGGAATCAAACAAACATGCAGTGATTCAATTTGAATGGGTAATCCCAAACTACCTTTTAAAGTATAGAAAAGGCGTCAATATATTTTCAGATGATTTTGAAATGGGACCTTACACGTGGTTTCTAATGGCAGCCATGGACTCAGTTGAGAAAGATGACAGGGTAGGGTTTTACCTTTACTTAAAAGATGTCCACCACCAAAAGCTCGTCAAGGCTGATTTTATGATAGAAATAGACGCCCCTCGTCTGGACGAGCCCAAATCCTTGAATATTCACCATGTTTATAATCATAAGGGCATTAGCAATGGTATTACAATACACTCTTCTATTTTTAACGATTTTCATCCCAATCACTCTGTCACTGTCAAATTCAAAGGTCACATTGCATCTATTAATGATAATCCATTTTATAAACATAAAAGATAAAACCAAATAGTTTCGATAAAGTAACCATACATATTTATTGATTTATTTCCACAACAACTCTTAAAAGGTTAATAAAATGGGCTCTGAAAATGTGTCCTTGTGAATAAAAGAATTCTTTTGGTTTGTCTTTCATTTACAAGGTCATTTCATAGACGACGACCGCTAAATCGAAAATTAATTAATTTATTTACAAACTCAATTATTAAGATAATTGTTTTCTATGGGTGTGGGCAATGAAAAAAATAATATAACACCACCACTCATTCACACAAATTTGCAATGTCTGATGAAGAAGAAGAAGAAGATAATGATGATGATCTAGAATCACAACTATCAATTGAACAAAGAGTTGTGAATCAATCAGATCTCGATGCATTAACATGTCCGATATGTCTGTCTCTGATGACTTCTCCCGTCAAACAATGTGTGTCTGGTCATCTTGGTTGTGAGAGTTGTTTGGAAAAGGTTGCAGAGACAACTGGTAGATGTCCACAATGTAGAATACGTATCTCAAAAGGAAAATTGTCAAGATCACTACTTGCTGATCAAATGTTATCATCTCTAAAGGTTGGTATATTATCGGTAGTTGGGTCCATGGATGTATTATACTAATATACCTTTTCTCTAATAATAGATTCATTGTGAGAATCAATTTAGATATAATAAAGAAACAGATAAATGGGAAAAGGATGAAAATGGATGTCAAGAGATTACAACTGTAGCAACATCAGATGATCACATGAAAACGTGTAAATATAATCTTTTAAAATGTCCCTTTGGAGAAGACTTTTGTGATTTTACTGTAAGTAAACAATCAAATCACATGTGATACGATACCCAATCGATTAATCAAATATATATATTTATTTAAATTATTATAGGGAACAAAAGAAGAAGTTGATAAACATATTCTAAGCGAATTATCTGATCATATTGCAGGCAATCATCAATATATGAATTGTCAGATCGAGTCACTTAAACAACAATTTAATGAATCAATAGAATCATTCAAGGTACGAATCTATGAATATACTCTATTTTATTATTATTATTATTAATCATTTTATTTTTAGGAATCATACAATCAACAAATGAATACACAAATCCAGTTACTTCAACAACAAATTAAATCTATTGAATTTACAAATGTAAAAAGAATATGAACACTATATAGAGTCAATCAAGGGTGTATTCCATTTATTAATACTAAATATTTATTTATTTATTCTCCTCAATTAATAGGCATCAAATAAATCACAGATGTATTCATTAAAGCAAAGATTGGATTCACAATTTCAATCAAAATTGGATAGACACAAAAACTCGATAATGGTAATACGAAAAATAAATATTAAATATACCATTAAAATACTAATATTGGATTTTCTACTATTACTAAATAGGTATATACGGATGAAAAGCTTAGAAAATACAAGGAAAAAACAAAAGAAATGATCAAACATACACCAGCAGTTCAATTTGAATGGGTTATTGAAAACTTTGGTGAAAAATATAAATCAAAAACTGACCAAGAGTCTGATGATTTTAAAATGGGTGGTTTCGATTGGTACATTGCTTCTTATATGGACAGTAACGAGGATGACACTGGTCAGTTAGGATTTTATGTTCATTTGCACAACAATCCTGGAAAATTGGTAAAGATGTGTTTTACTTTGGAAGTGGTGTTCTCTTGCTCACAAAGCTACTCTGAACAGCTTACCTATATTTATGACCACACAGATACTGGATCGGGGTTTGATCGAGACCCAGAAATATATTTGAAAGGAATACAAGACAATGATTCTGTCACTGTTCAATTCAAAGGTTTTGTCTCATCGATTAAAGATGATCCAGATTTTAAAAAATGATTTGTTGTCAACAACAAATAAAATAAACAAATCCTATCATTTTATTTATTGATTAGAAAAGATTAAGAAAAATAAAAACCATACCATATTGTATTTTGCATTACACTATAAAAATTACTTTTCCCTAAGTTGGTCTCATTTTTGAGAACAAAATTGTGTTGGGTTATCTTAATAAGCTGACGATCATTCATATCGAACGGGTCAACCAGAATACATTGCAACAACAATGTCTGGTGAACGAGAATCACTATCAATCGAAGAAAGAGTTGCAAATCAATCAGATTTAGATACATTAACATGTTCGATATGTTTATCGTTGATCACCGCACCCGTCAAGCAATGTGTGTCTGGTCATCTTGGTTGTGAAGCTTGTTTGGATCATGTGGCAAAGACAACAGGAACTTGTCCTCAATGTAGAACACCTATTTTAAATGGAGGGCTATCAAGATCACTAGTTGCTGCTCATATGTTAGCATCTATAAAGGTATACTCTATGTTTATATTTATTCTATTCTACGACGACCATATTGTTACACTATAGTGACACATCTTATACTTTTTTCTCTACTTATTTAGATTCATTGTGAAAATCAATTTAGATATAGTAATGAACAAAAGAAATGGGTAAAAGATGCAAGAGGATGTCAAGAGATTGTAACCGTTGAAACTTCAAATGATCACAAGTTGATTTGTAAATATAATCTTTTAAAATGTCCACATCAAGGATGTAATGTAGAAGTATTAAAAGATGATATGACTAGTCATCTTGTACAATGTAAATACCAATCAAGAGAAAAGATATCATGTCCATTTGGTACTGATATCTGTAAATTTATTGTAAGTTGGATGTTGTCAACAGACGGAAAGGAACAATCAATTTGTTGTTGGAGTGAATTACTCACTTTTTAATCTATTTATTGTAACCATGTATAGGGCACAAAAACAGAAATCGATCAACATATTCTAAATCAACTATCGGATCATTTACAAGTCAACAATCAAAGAATAGATGATAAATTCAATTCACTTCAACAAGAATTTACCAAATCAATAGAATCAATCAAGGTACGAAAAAAGTTTAGTATTATTATTATTATTATTATAAATATATACTAATTTAATATTAAATTTTTAGGAATCATACAATCAACAATCGGATTCTCTTGAATCACAGATGCAGTCACTAAAGCAAACATTTCAATCAAAATTAGATAGATACAAAAATTCGATAATGGTAATATGAACATATGAATATTATTAAATTCAAAATATTAATTTTGGATTTACTATTTATATATATATATATATATAGATAGATACGGATGAAAAGTTTAGAAAATACAAGGATAAAACAAACGAAATGATTAAACATACAACAGTTCATTCGGAATGGGTTATTGAAAACTTTGGTGAAAAGTATAAATCAAAAGCTGACCAGGATTCTGATGATTTTAAAATGGGTGGATTCGATTGGTACATTTCTTCATATATGGATAGTGAAGATGATGATACTGGCCAGTTAGGATTCTATGTTTTTTTGCACAACAATCCTGGAAAATTGGTAAAGATGTGTTTTACTTTGGAAGTGGTTTTCTCTCGCTCACAAAGATACTCTCAACGGGTTACAGGTTTTTATAACTACCAAGGTATTGGTAAGGGGTATGATATAGACCCAAAACCCTATTTAAAAGGACTACAAGACAATGATTCTGTCACCGTTCGATTCAAAGGTTTTGTCGCATCGATAAATGATGACCCACGTAAAAAATGATTTGTTGTCAACAACAAATAAAACAATTCCTATTAATTATTTATTTATTTATTTATTTATTTAAAATGATTTTCTTCTTGTCCAAAAATGACCCATTTTAAAAAAACTAGTTCAGAAAATAGTAATCATAATATTCGAATTTCACAAGCAATGTCCAATGATCGAGAAACTCTATCGATTGAACAAAGAGTTGCAAGTCAATCAGATTTAGATGCATTAACATGTTCAATATGTTTGTCTCTGATGACTGCACCAATCAAACAATGTGTATCTGGTCATCTTGGTTGTGGAAGTTGTTTGGATAAGGTTGCAGAGACAACAGGTAAATGTCCACAATGTAGAGTACCTATTTCAAATGGAGGACTGTCAAGATCACTACTTGCTGATAATATGTTATCATCACTAAAGGTAAATAATCATTCAAATCATCTCTAAATATTTGAAGCGTCAAACTTATATATCTCCCTCTCACATTTAGATTCATTGTGAGAATTACTTTCAATATAATCAAGAAAGCAAGAAATGGGTAAAAGATGCAAGAGGATGTCAAGAGATTACAACTGTTGCTACATCCAATGATCACAAGTTGATTTGTAAATATACACTTTATAGATGTCAACATAAAGGATGCGATGCAGAAGTATTAAAAGATGATATGACTAGTCATCTTGCACAATGTAAATACCAACAACAACAACAACAACAATCTCAAGAAAAGATATCATGTCCATTTGGTAATGATATATGTAAATTTATTGTATGTAAGATGTGTATCAAACACTCAACCATTTATTAATCATATTATTATTATTATTATAGGGAACAAAGAAAGAAGTTGATAAACATATTCTAAATGAATTATCAAAACATATAGAGACATTTTCCAATGTCAACAAAAAGAAAGAGGATGCTAGAATGCAAGCAAACAATCAAAGAGTAGACAATGAAATCAAATCACTTAAAGATGAATTAAAAGAGTGCCAGCAGTCAATCAAGGAACTTAAAAAAGGAGTGGTTGAATTTGAATGGATCATACCCAACTACCTTTCCATTTACAACAAAAGTAGTATAGTTGAATCTGATCAATTTAATATGGGCGGTTTCACATGGTATATAGCCACTTTCACAAAGGATAATGATTGGATAGTATTTTATCTTCATGTTTGTGACGCCAATCAAAAGATAATCAAGGTGGATTTTACTTTAGATTTAAATTTCCCTGGCATGCCAGTCGCAGATGGTGCCAGTAGTACACATGAAATCAGTGACAAAAGAGGTTATGGATTTACTGTCAGCTCATACCGTGTAAACAATATGCTTCAAACCGATTCTATCTCTATTGTATTTAAAGGTTATGTCGTATCGGTGAAAAGTGATACTTCTCATCAAAGAAAAAAGTAAATAAATTCAAACTATCAAAGAGACCAGATTTCTTTTTCGGCCATTCAATTGTAGTTATTATAAATTTGGGCGGATTGAAGGGTTGGTTGGTTGGGGGATTCCAACAAGCACTCTCAGAAAATGCAAAAATAAAATTGAACAAAGACTAACCCCCCAAACATTTCCCTCTCTTTTTTCTTGTGTTCAGCTAAAATAGTAGGTGCACTCATCATTATTATCATTATCATTGCGCAATGATAAAAAGAGATTGCTAAACAACAAAGTCAAACATTTAAATAATGTTTTATTGGCATATTTCGAAAACTCATGAGTTGTATCATTTCATTTCGACCATTCAAACGAGTCGATAAGATCAGATCTAGATACTGGTATCTTTAAAAGAATACCAATGTCTCATCATCATCATCTAGAAGCACTATCAATTGAACATAGAATTGCAAGTCAATCAGATTTAGATACATTAACATGTTCAATATGCTTGTCTCTATGACTGCACCCGTCAAACAATGTGTATCTGGTCACCTTGGTTGTCAGAGTTGTTTGGATCGTGTAGCAGAGACAACAGGAACTTGTCCACAATGTAGAACACCTATTTCAAATGGTAGATTGTCAAGATCACTCATTACAGATCATATATTATCATCACTAAGAGTTTGTATACATAATAATAATAATCGTTTGGTCGTACATTTTTTTATTAATACCATTGAATAGATTCATTGTGAGAATCAATTTAGATAGTAAAGATAGCAAAGAATGGGTAAAAGATGCAAGAGGATGTCAAGAGATTGTAACCGTTGAAACATCAGACAATCACAAGTTGACTTGTAAATATAATCTTGTAAAATGTCAACATAAAGGATGCGATGTAGAATTATTAAAAGATGATATGACTAGTCATCTTGCTCAATGTAGATACCAATCAAAAGCTCAAGAAAAGATATCATGTCCATTTGGAACTGATATATGCAAATTTACTGTAAGATGCGCTATGATAGCTTACAAAATAATAATCAATTATAATTACCAACTATTTCTATTCAATTTATTAGGGAACAAAGACAGAAATCGATCAACATATTCTAAATCAATTATCGGATCATTTACAAATAAACAATCAAAGAGTAGATGATAAAATCAATTCACTTCAACTACAATTTACCAAATCAATAGAATCAATCAAAGTATGACAGTCTTTATTAGATTTATTAGATTCATACTAATTGAATATTAATTATTAATTTAGGAACATTACAATCAACAAACAAATTCTCTTTGGCAAACACGAATAATGATGGAGTCACAGATGCAGTCACTACAACAAAAATTGGAATCACAATTTCAATCAAAATTAGATAAATACAAAAACTCTATCATGGTAATATTAATAATATTATATAATATAATATTATATTTAAAGAATGATGCATTAAAATTAATTAACAAATTTTAATATTATTTATTGTTATTAGGAATCAAATGAAGAGTATGTGGATGAAATGATTTGGGATAGCGAGGAAAAAACAATGGTATGTATATTTTAGAAAAAATAAAAGAAAAATAATTTTAATTTCATTATTATTTATTATTTATTATTATTATTATTATTACAATAGGAATTAAATAGAGAGTATGTGGATAAAAAGTTTAAGAAATGCAAAGAAAAAACAAAGGTATACTTGCAGAAACATTATTCATTTTTGATAGTTAAAATATTAATTTATTTATTTGTTTGTTTAGGATATGGTGAAACACATGCCCGTTCATTTTGAATGGAATATTCCAGACTTTTTGGAAAAGTATGATAACTGTAGTGATGAGTTTTCCGATTATTTTAAAATGGGTGGGTTCTATTGGTACATTGCTTCGTATTTGGACGATAAAGATGATGGTGGCTCTCGTATTGGATTTTATGTTTTTTTGGTGGATGACCGTGATCACGGAGAAGCAAAATCATGGGTCAAGGTACATTTTACTTTGGAAGTGGAATTCTCTGGCTCGCTAAGCCACTGTGCACAGTTTACCAAGATTTATAAACTCGGCGAGTCTAATGGCACAGGATTTACCATTGATTCTGATACATATTTGAATGGAATGGATCACAACGAACTTGTCACTGTTACCTTTAAAGGTTATGTAGCATCATTCGATTAAAATATAATAATAATAATAGTATAATAATAATATAATAATAATATAATAATAATATAATAATAGTAAAATAATAATTATATTACATATTAGGTAGAGTTTACCATTATTATTATTATTAAGTTTTACTAGGAAATCATGTTCAAACAAGTTTGACCAGAGTTGGATTTTATTTTATTTTATTTTATTTTATATTTTTATATTGATAAAATATTATTTTGGTGGTGGTGAATAGACAACCAACTAGTTGGAAAGAAAAAATATATTATATTATGTGCACCATAGTTGATGAAGTAATAATATATTTAATATTTTTTATTATTTGGTAGAAATTCACGCAAGCAATGTCTGATGATGAAAGAGAATCAATAACAATTGAACAAAGAGTAGTGAATCAATCAGATTTAGATGCGTTAACATGTTCAATATGTTTGTCGTTGATGACTTCTCCCGTCAAACAATGTATATCTGGTCATCTTGGTTGTCAGAGTTGTTTGGAAAAGGTTTCAACTTGTCCTCAATGTAGAGTACCTATTTCAAATGGAGGACTATCAAGATCACTCATTACAGATCATATGTTATCATCACTCAGGGTAAATAATCAAATCATCCTCTCTACTACTATGAAGCAACGATCGTATCTTATCTCTCTCCTTTTTTGAATTTAGATTCATTGCGAGAATCAATTTAGATATGATAATGAACAAAAGAAATGGGTAAAGGATGAAAAGGGATGTCCAAAGATTACAACCGTTGCAACATCAGACACTCACAAGTTAACTTGTAAATTTAATCTTTTACAATGTGAAAATCAAGGTTGCGATGAACAAGTATTAAAAAAAGATATGGATAGTCATCTTGAACAATGTAAACACCAACAAGAGTTTCGATGTCCCTTTAATGTTTGCCAATATACTGTAAGGTTGTACTTTTAAAAACTCTTGAACAAAATATTTTAACAATCAATCAATGTTATTATAGGGAAAAAGGAAAGAGCTTGATCAACATATTCTAAATGATATAGCAGTGCATATTTCAAACAACAATTATGAAATGGATTGTCAAATCGAGTTACTAAACAAAACATGTGCCGAATCAATAGAATCACTCAAGGTATCTATCATGATAGTAAATCAATTCAAAAAAAATAGATTATCATATTATTAATGAATTCATTTAAATTATTTTAGGTATCAAACAATAAAATAGAAATACTAAAACAAAAAATTAAATCTCTTGAAATTACAAATGTAAGAAGAAGATTATTATTATTATTATTATTATTAATTATGAAATGGACTGTTCATTAATTTAATATTTTAATTTAATATTTTAGGAGTCACAAAATCAACTAATAAAATCACAAATCGAATCACTTCAACAACAATTTAAATCTCTTGAAACTTCCAACGTAAGGAATAGATTTATTTATTAAAAATGATTATGATTATATTAAAAATCTACAAAAAATGGAATCTAAATTTCAATCAAAACTACAAAGATAAAAAAACTCTATCACGGTATGGGATTAAACTCATCATGTACAGGCATTAAAATTAATATTAATATTACTACTACTACTACTACTACTACTATATATATAGGGATATGTGGATCAAAAGGTTTGGAAATGCAAGGAAAAAACAAAGGTATATATTAATATCGACTTATGTTAATATTTGAGGTGTATTAATAATAATAATAATAATATCTTATTTAGGAAATGATTAAACATACAACAGTTCATTCGGAATGGGTTATTGAAAACTTTGGTAAAAAGTATAAATCCAAAACTGACGAGTATTCTGATGATTTTAAAATGGGTGGATTCGATTGGTACATTTGTTTATCTTTGGAAAACGATGGTCAGGTAGGATTCTATGTTTTTTTGCACAACAATCCTGGAAAATTGGTAAAGACGACTTTTACTTTGCAAGTGTCTTTACCTCGCTCGCAAAGCCACATTCAACAGTTTACCAATATTTATGACCACGAGGATAGTGGTGCTGGGTATTATCTAGATTCAGAAACCTATTTAAAAGAAATACAAGACACTGATTGTGTCACTGTTCAATTCAAAGGTTTTGTCGCAAAGGTATCAGATGATCCAGATATTAAAAAATGATTTTTTGTCAACAACAAATAAAATAAACAAAATCATTGTTTCACTCTATCGGGCCAAGTTGAAAATTTATTATTATTATTGAATGAAGATTAGTAATCTTGTATATAAACCATGACACTTGGTTGTTTTGAGGCATAGGAGTTTTCTTGTTTGTTATGATATTAAAATACTTAAGATACAACCATAACAGATTGACCAATAGGGTTCTTTAAAAGATTATGCAAAGATATTATTGAAACTCTAGAAAATCAAGTCGCCTGGTGGCCCAATTTTTCAAGTTGACCCAATAGAGTGAAACAATGCTGCTAAGTTGAAGATGGTATATTGTTTTGTTTAACATGTAGGAAGTAGCAAGGATAGTACAATACCAACAATGTCTAATCGTAATCAAATAGAAGCATTAACAATTGAACAAAGAGTTGCATGTCAATCAGATATTGATGTATTAACATGTTCGATATGTTTGTCTCTGATGACTGCACCAGTCAAACAATGTACGGTTGGACACAATGGCTGTGGGAGTTGTATGGATGAGGTTGCCTCAACAATAGGAACTTGTCCCCAGTGTAGAATACCAATTTCAAATGGAAGATTGTTAAGATCAACAGATGTCAATAAAATCTTATTATCGTTAAAGGTATGTATCATCGATATAAATCTCTAAAAAGGGAATCAATAAATCATTATCCTATTGAAAAGTTGTATCTTATTAACACTCATCTTGAATCTTCTCAAAAAATACATTATTTTAATCATATTTAGATTCATTGTGTAAATCATTTTATATACGATAGAGAAAGTAATAAATGGGAAAAGAATTCAAAAGGATGCCCAGTGATTACAACTGTTGAAAAATCGGACAATCACCAATCAACGTGTAAATATAATCTTGTTAAATGTCCATTTCAAGGTTGCAACGTAAACTTATTCGAAAATGAAATGGCTAGTCATATTGCACAATGTCAATACCAAGAAAAGATACCATGTCCCTTTGGTCCTAATGTTTGTAGTTTTTATGTAAGGAAGATATTGATATATTTAGTTGTTGTCACACCAAAATACTGAACAACCAATTAAATCCAATAATATTATTATTATTATTATTATTTTAGGGAACAAAGCCAGAAGTCGATCAACATATTCGAAATCTATTATCAAACCATATTAGAATCAACCAAGAAAGAATGGAAGATATATTCTTTGATCTGCACCAACAAATTACTACATCAATTGAATTATCACTCGAGGTACGAACTAATATTATAATAGATTAATAGAAATGTTTTCTCGAATTTCTTATTTTAACCGTAAAAATATTATTTTAGGGATCATATGACCAACAAATACACCAAAAGGTGGATAATAAAATCCAGTTAGAAACAAAAAAAATGGAATCACAGCTTACTAGATCCATTGAACGCGTCAATGTAAGAATTAATTCTTTTTATGAAATACTCTATCAATATTAATATTTCTATTTTATTATTGAATAACATTAAACAGGAAGAAAACAAAAAACAAATGAATTCTACAATTGACTCTCTACAAAAACAAATGAATTCTAAAATTGACTCTGTAGGTTCACTACAAATCCAAATGAATTTTGAAATTGACTCTGTAGGTTCACTACAAAAACAAATGAAATTAGATTTTCAATTTAAATTTGATTGGTATTTAATCTTATTGGGTAGTAACTTTGTTTTTTTTATTTGTTTATTCTTTTTGATTTTCAACCCTAATGTCCCATTAAATCAATAAAAAAAGAAATGGATGAATTTATTTTCCCTTTAATCAAACAAATAATTAAATTTCTTCCTCTTGTCAATGACTAGCACCTTTTCCAGTAATATATGCTTGACAATCAATTGGAAGAACAGGTTCATAGAGAACATCATTGGCATTTACTGAAACACATCATCTCTGTAGACTTGCATATGAGTACAATAAACTCTTGTGGTGTCTAATACCAATTTGACTCCATAAACAATGTTTGTTTGGAATATCAATGATGTTCCAACACCTAGATTGAGAGTGGTTTGCATTGGCTTTGCTGTTGGAAGTGGATAGGGATATGGACCACCTTTAAATTTTTAGTGACTTTGTTATAAGCATCTCAACTTATTCAATGGAAAGAGAGAGAGAAAGAATGAATGGAATGATTAGGAATTGAAAAGAAGAAATCATATATGATATTATATTTAATTTATATATACCCATCATAATAATCATTATCATCATACTGGTCAGGAACAGATTGAGTAAGAAATCCAATGAAATAGGATACTGGATAGGTTTTTGGTTCCTCCAAAGTAACATAATCAATGTATCCGTTGTACATGCTATTGGCTTAAAATTGATGTTTTCAATCTGTGAGTAGACAGTATAATGTCTAAACAATGAATCCTATTTGAATCAAAGAGAGAAATGAGACTTTAAAAAGTATATTCGGTTATTTATAATCTACATACAATCATAACAAATTGATCAATTGGTCCTTTCCTTTTTAATAGTTGGTCGACACCTGATGATCATTGGTGACCAATTGACAATTTTCCCAAATCATATGGTTCAAGTTTGATATTACCTAGGTCTTTGGGCATTGGTTTGAATGAATCATTTGCAATTTGATTATTGTCCATTGATAATGTTTAATGAATATTATGTTATGTATCCAATAAGAAAAAAATACAATTTTGAAATGAGTGTTTATTTTGAAGGAAAGAAAGGCGGGTGGTTTTTACTTTCGATTTTCAACCATGGTTTTGAAATTTTTTTTCTCTAAGTCAGCAACCTACCCCTCAAAAGATATATGTCTATTAGTAATCAATAAACGTTTAATTATTTAATCAAATTGATAAATAAGGAATCAGAAATCTTTTTTTTTTTCAACACTAAAAGTGTTTCATTGCAATTATTATATATAACCCTTAATTACACACAATGTCTGGTGATAGAGAAACAATAACAATTGAACAAAGAGTTGCAAATCAATCAGATCTCGATGCATTAACATGTGCGATTTGTTTGTCTCTGATGACTTCACCAATCAAACAATGTGTGTCTGGCCATCTTGGTTGTGGGAGTTGTTTGGAAAAGGTTTCAACTTGTCCTCAATGTAGAGTATCTATTTCAAATGGAGGATTGTCAAGATCACTCATTACAGATCATATGTTATCACATCTTAGGGTAAATAATCAAATCGTCCTCATAAAGGGACTATATTCTCCAATTGTATCTTATCTCCTCTCCCCGCATGCATATTTAGATTCATTGTGTGAATTACTTTAAATATAATCAAGATAGCAAGAAATGGGTAAAGGATGCAAGAGGATGTCAAGAGATTGTAACTGTAGCAACATCAGACGATCACGAGTTAACTTGTAAATATAATCTTTTAAAATGTCAACATCAAGGATGCAATGAAGAAGTATTAAAAGATGATATGACTAGTCATCTTGCTCAATGTAAACACCAACCAAAAGAAAAGATATCATGTCCATTTGGTACTGATATCTGTAAATTTATAGTACGAATCATAACTTTTGTATTCATCCGAGCAACAATAATAACAATCAATTACTATTAATTATTAATACTATAGGGAACAAAGAAAGAGGTTGATCAACATATTCTAAATTCAATATCAGATCACATAGAATCAAACAATCAAAAAATGGATGATAAAATCAAAGCACTAGAAAAAAAATTTTCTGAATCTATGGAATCAATCAAGGTACCAACCTACAAAATATATCCATTAACTAATTTGAATAATATATTAAATTATTATTATTATTATTAGAAATCAAATACAGAGTATGTGGATCAAAAGATAAAGAAAAACAAGGAAAAAACAAAGGTATGAAGTAATTTGAATACAAGAGGGGGATTAATATTAATATATAGATATATATAAATCAATTAGGAAATGATTAAACATACACCTGCAATTCATTTCGAATGGGTCATTCCCAACTTTTATCTCTTGCACAGAACAAAAAAGAACAGTAATTCTGAACATTTTAAAATGGGTGGATTCAATTGGTATGTTGGTTCACGTTTGGACTTGAAGAACGATGGTGGAAGTCAGTTTGGATTTTTTCTTTTTATGAACAAGAATCCTGGAAAAGCAGTAAAGGTACATTATACATTGGAAGTGGCTTTCCCCCTTCGCTCGCTTATGCATTCTGAACAATTCACCAAAGTTTTTGACCATGAGGGTACTGGCCGTGGAGCTTATCTAACTTCAGATAAATATTTGAAAGGAATCAATGCTGCTGATTCAGTCATTATTACATTCAAAGGTTACATTGCATCGGTAAAAGATGATCCACAGGCTAAAAAATGATAGAAAGTTAAAGTTTTGGTTTACAATAATAGAACAAATAAAATTCACAAATTAGAATTCTTTAAAAAAACTCATTATCTTATTAGCTCTATTTAAAACCACGATCGTACTGGCACCGGAACTATTATAGCTGCGGACAAATATTGAAAGGAATAGGACCCACCGATTCTGTGACTGTAAAATTCAAGGGTAATATCGTATGGGTAAAAAATAATCCACACTATGCAAAGCAACCAAAATAGAATAAATAGAAATAAAATGCACACTTAGAATAATAATTCTTTCTTTTTTTTTTGTCAATTAATTAATTATTTTATTTATTTAAAGTTTTCTTGATTGTAAATCAATTGAACTTTCATTCTTTTTACGACGAATGAAAAAGAATCGATTTCTCTTGACGAGCGCAAAAATTATGATACCAAGAGCAAGAGCACCGACCACACCAACAACTACACCAACAATGACTTTCCAGTTGTTGTTGCCATCCTTTTCACAAGATCCATAACTATCACGATCGACAATCAGAGCAGAGAAATCGGGATCAAGAAGACACACTTGACATATTGGCAAATTAATACCAATCGTTGCCAGTGATTCCTTGTCGTCAATCTTGGTGACATTCAATACTTGAGCGATTGATGATACCTTTCTACCATCACCAACACTATAGTCTAAAAATCTGCCAAAGAATTGTACGTTGCCTTGTACCACTCTGAGGTATTGCAATGAATCTCCACTCAGTGCATTTTGCAATGATTCAATAGCAACATTTGAATTGTCACAACCAACTACAAATTGTTCGTTATTGATTTTGGTTGAAAAAACAACTCGAAGATGTGAGATGGTAGTATTGAATGGCCAATTGGTAATTTCAACAGAGATTTTGATTGATCCTGCACCCAATTGAATGTCATCACCTGCAAATTGCACGGTTCTAGGTTGATCACTAAACTCGATCAATGAAACCACATTGAGTAGAGTAAAGTTGGAAGCAACCTCTGGTGCTTTGACCAATTGGTATGCTACCGATGTTAGAGTAGGTGTTGATTTGTCCACATAGGTCCAATTTAATGTATCCAATTGATTGATTATATTATCATCAATATCCAATTCTTGAATACTAATCATATTAAATGCAAATAAATAGTCTCCATATGAAAATACTGCTGATGGTACTTCACCATTCTTTATAAAATCAACATTTGGTGCTTTGATGGAAAAAAAATTAAATTAAATAAATAAATAAATATTTTTTAATTGTTTTGTTATTATTATAATACATACCAAGTACAGATTGTAATTTACAATCATCAGTCCAACCTGGGTCACAAACACATTGACCATCAACACAACTACCACGACCATTACACCTGTTTGTTCTATTCATACAATCGACATAGGAAGATGGTGCAGTTGGGAAAACTAAATAGGCTACTCCTGCTTGAACAAAGTTTAGTTTAAGTGATAGAGTCTTGTCGCCTGGTGATGCAACCGACACAAATTTACATCGAATAAATGTAGAATTGATAGAGGTAAAATTACAAAAGGTTATATCTTGTCCCCAAGACAATGTTACATAACCATCTTCCAAGGTAGCGTCTCCAAAATATCCATACATATTAATTCCTGCTGGTGGATAAATTGGATCCATTAAATAAGATGACATATAAATTGCTAAAATAAAAAAAAGAATAAACAAATAAATAAATAAATAAATAAATACTTATATATTTTTCTTTTTTGTTTTTTTTTGTTTTTTGTTTTTTTTTATATTTACGTCTAGTAATAAGAGCATAATAAAAACTACTATGATATTGATTATTCATTGTAATTGATTGTTGACCAACTGGAGGATAACTAAAGTAAAAAGTAATTGACTTTGTATTGTTGTAGTAAACCGGTGATAGACATGGAATGTTGTTGTTCATTGTGATGACTGGTAAAAATTCATCGATCCAATACTTGAATGTAACATTGTAATACCAAATATCGATACTTGAAGATTGACCACTCATAGAAAGTGTCTCGAATCCAACTTCTTTGGTGGTGAAATTAAAAGTGAATTCTGGCTTGGGTGGATCAATCAAGCTGACCGTAATGTTTTGTTGGAATCCACCACTGGTAAGATTGACCTTATAGAGAATTTCCTTGTTTGGTACAAGGAGACGGGCATTTGGAATATTAACTGCCCAACCCAAATTTTGACCAACAATAGTGACATATCCAGCCTTTGAAAGTAAAGATGTACTATCAACTGAAACATTACATTGTAAAGTAGATGGATTGGGGGGAAAGAGAGATGTTTGGAGATAGTTGCTAGAAGAATAACACCACCAACAATCTGGGATTGATGTGATACCTGTGTTTTGAATATACAATCCATTAATTGAACACCACTCTTCTCCAAGGTTACCAGTTATATTTTGGTTTCCTCCAATTTGAAAATTCATTTTTTTTGGTTTATTTGCCAATATACTAATTGGAATGGTACCACTTAATCTATTCTCTGAAAGATTTCTATAGAAACAAACATAAATAAATAAATAAATAAATAAATAAATAAATAAATAAATAAATAAATAAATTGTTAAATAACATACACAGAGAATACATTTTTTGGAAATGCCATTGTTGGGATACTAGTCAATCTATTATTTGCCAATTGTAAAAACTCTAAAGTTGGTGGATAAAAACTCCATGGATAAGATGTTATAAGAGAAAATTGAACTTCCCTAAAATAATAATAATAATAATAATAATAATAATAATAATAATAATAATAATAATAATAATAATAATAATAATAATAATAATAATAATTAATCAATCAATCAAAATATAAATATAAATTAATTGTACAATTTCTCCTTTTTTTTTAGTAGGTTGACTTACAAATTGATCAAGGCAGTGAATGGAGTTATATCTATAGGAATGAAATTTCTACCTCCCAACGCTCTGTAAAAATAAATAAAAAAAACAATATTAATATATTTATATTACTATTATAATTAATATTTATATTTATGTATATACATACAAACTAGTTAAAACCTTTGGATACATAAAAGATGGAGCAAAATAACCAGTTTGATCAACATCCATCATTTGACCAAGGAAAATGGTCAAGGGAAGATTAAGTTGTAGGTTTACTCTCTCACTACCGAATCTTGACATAAAATAGACACTGGTCAAGACTGGAAATGATCGACTATTAAATACAATGGTTGAAGCAGGTGCACTCTTTAGAAAGATACTCAATCCCAATAATCTGGGAAGATATAGGTCATTGGCAATGACCAATGTTGTAGTACCTCCATCATGTGTTTCAAATTTTTCAAGTAATGAATTATTAAATGATGAAAAATTAATACTTGTTAAATTATTTGCTCCACCAAGATAACTAAAATAAAATAAATAAAAATTAATTTTAAATCAATCAATCAATATTACTATTATTATTTTCTATTTTACATACAATCTTGTTAATTTTGGCATAGCAAGACTAAAATTGGGTGGAATAGCTTTAATTGTACTATCTTGACCTATATCCAAAACGGTTAACTTTGGTAAATTCTTAAATAGTACAAGTATATCTTTGGACCAATCGAAATAGGTGTAAATCGATGCCCTTATTTTAATGTTGGTGGCTTCTGGGAATGTCAATTCTGTAATTGATGGTGGTGTACCAGATGGTTGATAAATAATATTATCAAATGCTCTAAAAATAAATAAAAATAACAAATAAATGGAAATAGAAAATAGAAATAGAAAATAAAACCTATTAATATTTTTGTTCCTCCTATTTAAATCAATCACACAATGTGACACTTGTATATACATACATTTGTAATACATGATAGTTGTTATCACTGCCAATACCACAAGTAAACTGTCCACTACTACAAATAGAAGCTGAATTTTGAGCTATATTACTACCGTATTGAGTAATCAAATAGATACAACTGTTTACTATATTATATATGTATAGTATGATTGTTAGTACTCAAACTCTTTCAATTTCAATTTCTTTTTCCTTTTCTCTACTCTATTCTATTAATAGACATACATTCATCAGTTGATAAAGATTGTGATTGTACTTGTGTAATAGTAGTACTACATGAAAGCAATAGTAGTAATACTGTTAAGATCAAAAAAGGTGATCTAAAGCAACTGTACAATCTAAGTGTGCTAACCACCATTGTCTGTCCGTCTCTCTGTTGTTTTTTTTTAAATATTTGTTTTCAATAAATTGAATAGAGAATTAATTCTCTCCCTCGCGATTGTATCTATCTGTCAGTGTCGGTTTATATTTGAAATGAGAAAAAAAGAGGAGGAGGCTTGTTCGTTTTTCATTTCTTTTTTGTGGGCGCATTCTTGCACTAGTTTACACCAAAAAATATCTAGTTTTTTTACAGTTTTTTCATAGTAATCCACGTGATTCCGGCTCCTGGGTTACAAATTATAATTAATGGGTATCTTTCTCTCTTTCTCTGTTTGTCAAGTTTGACTATGGAATGACGAGTGGATGTTCGGAACTAGACTAGTCTATAAATATGGAAGTCATGATATGAAGTCACCTCTCTTTGATATTGGACTTTTTTTTGTATTGTTTTTTTTGTATTTTTTTTTATAAAAATAAATAATTGTTTGTTTGTTTGTTTGTTTGTTTGTTTGTTTGTTTGTTTGTTTATTATTTATTTATTTGTTTTTAAAAATATTAATAATAATAATAAATAAATAAATAAATAAATATATAAATATTTGGGGGAGGGAAATAAAAAATAACTTTTTAATTTTTAAATAAGGGATCTATTTACATCTCTAATCATCTCTACTATAATTTTAAGTAAATTAATTACTTGGGTGAGGTTATGTTCGTCGGATAGATGCTGGACATTTTCCTGGATACAGTCCAGTTTGGAGATGACGTTTTCGACCAGCACTCCAGTAAGTGTCTTGAGTGCGTTCATTTTGCTGTCGCGTGATTGTTGGTTGATGATTTCGCTCGATAGATTGATCGACCGCAACGAGGGAATCGACTTTAATTGGATACCTGTGCGTGACAATACCTCTGGATCCTCTAATGACTTTTTAATTTGAGTAACTGATCGAGATATCTTCATTGCGCAATCCAATGGAATATCTTCCTTGTTAATTTCAATCAAAAGATTCTCCATCAATGGTTTCATCCTCGACAATGTGTGAATGATACTATTACGCATATTGGTTATATTCTGGGTGTTTGCCAATTGATCAAACAAAACCTTTCCAAGTAACGTACTACCGCCAAGTCCGCTAATAGGTGATGATGATAATTTAGGTGGTGTCAAACTTCCAGTTAAATAATTTCCACCATTTCCATTAATATTAATTGTTAAACTAGATGAAGAAGATGAAGAAGAAGTTGTTGTAGTTGTAGTAGTAGTTGTTGTATTATTATTACTATTATTATTATTATTATTTAATTGATTTTGAATAATTAAGGATAGATTATTTTGACCATTCATGATTCTAGCATGAGATGGAGTACGTTCGAGAAGTTTGTTAATGTCATTGATACGAGTGTCATATTGTTTGAGGAGTTCAGCCGTGTCTGCAGCAGTTGCATCCTCGTCTTTGGCAGTCTCGCCAATATTAGATTTAAGTTGTTTAATGTCATCACGTATTTCCTTGATTAAAACATAGACTACAGAGATGAGTGCAGCCAACTTTTGTTTGGGTGTCACCTTGAGTGTATTGATCTTTGGTGGTGGAATGTCATCAAATGTCGCAGTTGCATTTAAAGGCATCTTGGTAATCTTGTGTAGATTCTGGATAATCTTGGCAATATAGACTAGTTCGCTCTTTGACGTGATACGAATCAACGACTCTTCAATATCGTTCATCACACTATCCACCTCACCGAGTCGCTTGGCAATATCCTTTTCATCGGTCACCTTTTGTTGGTATTGTTGTAGTTGGTTGTGTAATTGTCTCTTTTCATCGTCGACAATATTTAATGCTGCACTCACATTGTCATCTCTTGATGATGATGATGAACCATCAACGTTGTTTTGATGATGTGTACTGTTGCTGCTGCTGTCGGTTGATTTAGTGGTGGTTGAACTAACTGCAGAGTCTGTGTTACCAACAGATGACTGGTCACTCTCATCTTCTCCACGCCATTTGCTGTAAAAGAAATCCAATATATCGCCAACTGCCTTGAGGGTACGCATGATACGGATCAAACCGCCCAGACACACCTCCAAATCAACTTGGTTGCCTTCTGTGACGAGCATCTCTGCCTCTTCTTTAAACTGCTCGAGATAGGCTGGTAGACGGGTCGTCTTGTGCAGGATGGCTGCACGCAGCGTCTCAAGTCGCTTGACCTGCTCGTTTTCACTCGTAAACAGTGTCATGTCCATATCCATATTGAGTGCCGACACCACCTTGAAATCAACGTCGGGTCCCTCCTTTATGACATTCATAATATTCTTCATCGACGATGCAATCAACAATATCTCTTGTATCGTCAGATTCTGCTTAAACTCTTCCGACAGCTGTTGAAACTCATTCTCGAGACGGATGATAGAGTCGTCAACCAACTTTTTAATGGCCATGATCTTGTTGTCATTGTTTAGTCCTCCGCCACTGGTCGTCAATGTCAGACGGTCTCCTTGGCCAAGATGGTCATTCTCCTCTTCCTCGCTGTCACTAGTGACTGCATTTCGACCAATACCAATATTAATACGCGAGTCACCATTATTTCCACGCGGCGAAACTGATCGCACCGATGTGGGACTAGACACGCAAAACTGTGATGGACTAGTTGTTGTAATAGTAATGGTTGGAGGTGATGACAGTTGTTGTCCATTTGTCATTGTATTTCCACAATCAATAGAAATATCGGGTGAAGAAATTGAATCTTGTGATGAAGAGTTTGATTTTATAGAGAGACGATGTTGATGGTGTTGTTGAGCCAAGAGTGATGATGATGCAGTTGGTACAATTTGTGCATCGTCAAAGTAGAGTGATGGCGGCTCGCTTTCATCAATTGATATATTATTTGCATTGTTTGATGAAGATGATGGTGTCATGTTGTCATCGACTTCGCCAGTTGGAGGGGAAAACATATCATAAATATTTGGTTTGGTTGCCTTTTGTAGTATAATGTCTACCTCTTCCTCGTAGATGGCAGCAATTTCCTTGTCCAAGTTGATAGTCTCGTAGATGGATACATAGTCGTCTTCGAAAAGTTCGTTGAACGGTCTCGTCTCAAAATCCAAATAATCACCCGTGAATGGATCCTTTTCAAACAACTCTTGGTAATGTTCTATAATCAGTTTAATGATCGTCGTCACTTTGGGCGAATCTGCCACAATCTGTTCAGGTGTCTCTACTTTTGCTCGAAGTATATTTGGTGCAAATACAATTGATAAATTACCTGAATCCATTTTATGTGTCTAAACAGAAAAAAAGAAATGGTGAGTAAAAGTGTATACTATACTAGTATATATGTCTGTTTTTTTGATGATGATGTTTACATACTCTTGAATGTTTACAAATACGATAAAGAAAGGCAATCAAGAAATCTAAAATTACAAAATAATGATGGGGAACTTTTTGGATGATGGATTTAATACATGACAATCTAGAGGTTGGGTCAGTGACGCCATACGATGCAATCAATGCATCATAAAATCCAAATGTGAATAATGGTTCTGGTAGTTCTCTTAGATAATGTTTAAGAATGCCAGTAACTACATGTGGAGTTGATGCTGTACTAAAATCAAATGTTTCCCCTACAAATATAATCAAAAGTAATTAGTAAAATAAATAGATTGATATTATAATATATAATATATATATAGATATATATATATATAGATACTTTACCTTTATCGAGTAAAGATCTAATTTTGTTGATTTCAGCAGCATTACCAGATACTCTGAATAGTCCTTGTTCCGATAATCCACGTTCTTCAATATATTTGGTGGTGAGAACAAGTACATCGGGAATGATGGGATCATTTGGATCGAGTACTAATTTCTTTGATCCACCCCATCCAACACTATACTTTAAATTCCCTTTGGTCTCCTTTCTTAGGAAACTTTTAACTCTTCTCATTTCTCTTTTTAAAATATTACAGCCTATAGTGCTGAGAAAAAAAAAAAAAAAAAAAAAAAAGAAGAAGTAGATCTTTTCTCTCTTTCTCTTTCTTTTTACTTGATTTGGTTCAAATTTTGATTGATTTGATTGATTGATAATTTACAAATATAAATACAATTCTTTTCTTCTTTCTTATTGTTAGTAATTACTATAGATATATATATATAGAATATATAGATATAAATAAAAGATAGATATAAATAGAATGATTTTTAAATTAGTATGGATGGATTCACTTTTTTCCAATCGATTGAATGATTGATCGACTGATATTTATAACGATGTTAGATAGATAATGATAATAATAATAATAATAATAATGTTATGTTATGTTTTACATTTGGCCAAATATCTATCTCTCTTTCTCCCTCTCTCTCACTCTCTCTCCTTTGAAATGATAATATAGTTGTTATTAAGAGTTCAAGAAAGAGTCAATTCAAACTTGTCCAATTGTTATTAATATTATTATTATTGGTTGATGTTGCTGATCAGTCAATCCTCTTCCTCTGTCTGCTACTTTGTACTCTCAATCTGTAGTAGGATACTACTAATTGTGTTACTAATATATATTTAATAATGATTGTTGTTGTTTGTGTATGCAAAAAGGGTGAAATAATAATCTTCTCCTCTTGCTCAATCAAATCAAATCGATCACAACATATATATATATTTATATAAAAGTATCACTGTTTTGTTGTAAGAGGGAGGCGATCTGTGTGAATTGAGGAGGAAAGTGTGAGGGGAGAGAAAGTGATATAGAGTGTGTATGATGGGAATGTGAGAGAGAGAGAGGGGTGGATGAAGGTGAGAGAGGGAGAAGGAAGGATTAATGGTGTTTGTGTGTGTGGTAGTTTGTGGATAACTTGGTTGGTGAAAGTACCAGTTTAGTTATAAAGAGATGAGATTTACTCTATCTTATCTTCTTCTTCTTCTATAATATTATTATATATCTATATCTATTACTTCATTCGATCTATCTATCTGTCCTGTCTTGTCATGTGACTGAGTTGAAGAAGAGAAAAAGAGAAAGAGCAAGCCAACTACTACTATTTCTCCCTTGGTACTTTCTATTTCGGTGATCTTGATCAACTAGTGAGAGTGTCGTCGGCATGTGTGTGTGTGTGTTCGTTGTTGGTGTAAACCGCATGGGCAGTGTCTACTATGGTTTGGTTTGTGAAACATATATATAGAGAGGCGGGTGATGTTTGTTTGTTTAAGTTTACCTTTCTTTCTTTTTTGATATCTCTCTCTCTCTCTCTATAACTAGTATACAACATAATAGTTAGTTGTCCGCTAACTAACTACTACTTTTGACTCTATAAATACAACTAACTAACTTGTTATACTAATACTAAACGTAGTTAGTTCGAAAATAAATAAACAAACTAAAACTTTGAAAAAATATCTTGTATTGCTTTTTTTGGGGACTCATTCCAACCAAGTTGAAAGATTCATTGCTCTTTAGGGATAGAGCTCTGATTGGTTGGTGAACATCTTCTCCGATCCGATAATCTATCTCATCATCTGACTTTCTCAATGTATGCAATATATTCTTCCTCTGTTTATCAGTTGACTTATCACAAGTCCAGATCATCAGATTGTGATTATACTATTTAATTACTATCTGTTCATTTATATTTATTTATTTATTTATTTATTTTATTCTTTCTATGTTTGAGTTCAAAGTTAGTAGTAGTAGTTTGAGGTGATCGATAAATAGGCGAGGAGAGTCCCTTTTGCAAGAAGGGTAGGCAAGGTAATTTTACTTTTCATAGTTTTTTTTTTGACCATTCACTTTTCAGTCTCACCTCCTTTCGATTAGTTGTTGAAGTTAGTTTGTTAGTTGTTGTACGACGCACCTGTAGATTGCAATTTGAAAGCAAAGCAAAGTAGTAGAGGCAAGGAAGAACGAGAGAGAGAGGAGAGGTACCTTTTATATCACATTCAGAGAATCAAAACCACTTAGTTAGTTAACATATATATATATATAGAGAGAGAGAGAGAAACATGTCAGAGGAATACGATGCAGCCATTCACTCTACTTCTGATGAGGTAGACATTCAACAACCATCATCTAGTACAAACAACAATAATAATGACAATGACAATGATCAATCAACAGACGATACCAACACCAAAAATGAAGAAGACGAAAACAGCGAACTAAATCAAGATCCTGTATGTATACTACAATCATACGATATGATACGGTACTAGTAGAAGAGACGATAAGACAAGAGGGTGTCAAACGATTACTAATATTCTATTCTCTTTAAAAAAGGAATTGGAAGAAATGAAAAGACGATATAAAGAGATTGAAGAAGAGACACAAAAACTAAAGGAACTACAAAACAGTCTAGAGGCAAACGGTGGGTTTGGAGGTGACCAAGAGGAAACAGACGGAAGATCAGTATACGTTGGTAATGTAGAATATACATCGACACAGGAAGAGATCTTACTCCACTTTCAACCATGTGGAACTATTCATAGAATCACCATTTTAAATGATAAAATGACTGGTCATCCAAAAGGGTAAGTGAAACAATATATATATCATATATCATAATTAATATTAATATATTCTATATTTCTTGTAGATGTTGTTATATAGAATTTTTGGAAAGAGAAGCGGTAACCAATGCATTAATGTTGAATGAGACTATGTTTAAGGATCGTCAAATCAAGGTGACTCCAAAACGTACCAATCTCCCAAGTTATATGAGAGGAGGTGGTGCACGTGGAGCTCGTGGAGGAAGAGGTTCTTCAGCTTATGGATACGGGGGTTTCAACGCACCAAGAGGTGGTGGTCCAGTAAGAGGTGCTTATGGTGGAGGTTTCGGTGGTCCACCAAGAGGCCGTGGTGGAAGAGGTCGTGGTGGTGCTAATTTCTATCATCCATATGCTTAAAAGAAAATAAAGGAAAAGAAAAGAAAAGAAGGTAAAATGAAAGGTAAAAGATAACATATCATCAACAAGTAAATATACAACTACAACAACAATTAAAAAAAAAGGGTGGGAACAACATAATAATAACATAATAATAATAATTTCACAATATATAAAAGATAATTAATAATAATAATTAATGTTGGGGGATAAAAAGAAGAAAGAAAGAAAGAATAACAATATATTTATTTTAAAAAAGTAATAAAAGAAAGTAAAAAGAAAAACATTCTAAAAAAAAAAAAAAAAAGAGAGAAAAAAAGAAAAAAGAAAGGAAAGATAAAGAAGAAATAGAATAATCAAATATAACAATAATATATATATTAATAATATAATAATTTAATGATGATAAGGATATATGATGATATCATCATTTCCAAAGGTAGGTAGGTAGGTTGGTTGGTAGGGTTAGGGTTTAGGTGGAAATTTCAAATTTGGAAATCAATCCCCAAAATAGTGTATGGTAAATTTCAATTCGGCTATAAGTGTTTGAACTACACAAATTGTCAGTCAATCAAAATCAAAAAAAGGAAAAAGCCGAATGACGTACATCATTTAAAATGAAATTAGATCCAAATAGATGGGTTTCAAAGTGGATATGGACAATAAGATCAACAACAAAACCAAAAACATATGCATATATAGTTTTGATTTCAAAATCCAACTACACAATTTAATCGAATCACTCAAGAGTCGTCACTTTAAAACTGGATCGTCAATTTTTTTTTTTATTTTTTTTTTGGAATGGAAATGAATCAATCAATCAATCAATTATTCATTCTCTCTTGCTCTGTCTCAGAGTTTCTCTCTCTCTCTCTCTCTTATTCTATCCTTTTCTGGGGTTATCTTTTTGAAAAAAGTCCAACAAGTATTTTAATAATGATATCATCGAGATGGAATCATTGATGATGTTGATGATACGGAATACCAAGAAACAACTGATAATTTACAGCAAATTGGTTTTAGATACTACTAGTAATAAGAAAAAGTATCACAAGTGTTTTTGATTTACAAAAAAAAAGTGGGTTGGATAGATTCCAATCAACACGTGTGGTTGGACTCACTCCCTCACTCCTTTCCCACCCAAAATCAAAAATCACTATATTTGTGGGTAAAGTGGATAAACACAGACAAAAGATAGATATATGTCACAAACTACATCTTTGTATGAAGATGAATGAAAGAATGAATAATATGACTGATTAATATTATTATTATTATTACCTTGTTGTTGCTCCACTTTTCATTAAAGACAGGAGGAGGAGAAGGAGAAGGAGAAGGAGGGAGAAACATCACTTACGCACACACACATAAATACAACATACACACACGCATATTGATTGACTCTGTATATCCCAACTTACTTACTACTACTACTGACTATCCAAGAGTTGTGTAAATTATGACATTTATCTAAACCTCTCTTATATTTTATTTAAAATATTTTAACCATATCCAGGCAGTTGGATGGAGGGAGTATGGGAAAAAAAAAAAGAGGAAGACAATGCAAGGTAGGTTCAAAATTCAAATCTTTCAATCTCTATCACATCCATCTCTCTTATTTTTTATATTTTACCCTCCATTAATATCAAACTAGCTGGTATTAGTAAAAGGCAGAGTGAGATAAAGAGAAGGGTTAATTATCACATTCTCCTGTAGATGAAAAGAGACAGGAAGAAGAGACATAAACAGCAGCAGCAGCAGCAGCAGAGAGTTGGAATCTTTTTAAAGATTTTGATTGATGATGATGATGATAATAATGATGATGATAATGTTAATTGACCAAACGTGGTAAAGTAATAAATCAACAATCATTTATACATTTCATTTCCAGACTGACATCATTATTTATTAATGTCATTATATTCCTATATTTACTCTTTTCATATTTCTCCAACCAACCAACCAACCATAGTTTTTACTTATTAGTAGTTGTAATTGTAATAGTATCAGTCAATCAAATCAAATCAAATTATTTATTTATTTATTTTTATAATAGACAACTAGCATTGAGATATTAACGAGATTTATGGTTATCATTGGAATATTCCAAAAAACAATTACAAAAAGGTAAAAATGACCGTTCAGTAGTTTCAACTACCATATCCATCCATCCATCCATCGCCATTCATTTCTAGATATGTTGTTTTTTATTCATCACATCATATGTCACGATCACAGTACATTATTATTGTTGGTGTTGATTACCAAACCCACGACCACGATAAATAGAGCCCAAACCATTACCAGATTCTTTCCTTTTCCCTTCTTTTACTACTGCACCTCCACACCACCCTTCACATTCTATGGGGGATAAAAAGAGGAGGTGATTGGGGATGACACCTCAAACCTTTATCCACTTTAAAAAACAGATCATAGGTTTCGACCGTCAAACACCCCCACCAAACACCCACCACATGGTTCAATACTTTAATACATCGCATCGGTCGGCATATTAGGGCAGGGCTCATCTGATCATGTAACGGCTTTATCTATGTAGTATTTTAAAAAAATCAAAAAATTTCGTCGTTGAGTTTGATCAACTCGATCGATTATCAGAATTCACTTAATGGTTTTTTTTGAGAGAAAGCAAAGCTCAGCGCGGGCAATGCCCTGTACCCATATTTTTCCACCAACAACAACCTCTTTGTGTTTGCGACGACTTTGCTCTGAACCGCTCAACCTCCGTGGAGGCAAAAATAAAAAAACACGCAAAAATCAGGGCAGCAGGAGATATCTTGTGTCTCGTTCTCCATCTCTGTGTGATGATGGCAATGAAAAAAGCCGTGCGGCTCTCTCTCTCACAACCAAACAACGATAATAATAATAAACACAAGACAAATCTTGGTTTTGATCGATATGAGAGTGCAAACTTTGCACATGATGATGGATTGGAGGGAACTGAGAGAACAAGAGCGACAAGGAAGCTGGTTGGTTGGCCCCTTTCTTTGTTTGTGAATTTATTTGTGCGTTACCCGACCTACCTACACCTACACACAAATTATAATCAAATAATAATTTTAAATCGGCAGAAGGAAGAAGGAAGCAGAGGCAGACAGTTACACAGAAACAGATAAGAGAGGAAAGGAAGGAGGAAAAAGGAATTCGTACACAGGAGAGTTGTATCTAGATATCCCCTATCATCTCATCATTCTTTAAATAGACTCCCTGACGACGTCACACCCTCTATCTATATTTATTTATTTATTTATTTAACAATTGTATAACAGAGTAGAATCATACTAGCAGAAGAAGAACAGAGGCAGATAACCATAATTAATAATAATAATAATAATCACAGACAATATCTCCAAAAGGTATATCACGATCAATCAAATCATATCACACATACATATCTCCCACCCATACTCTTTTTTTGTCACCTCTCATCAATCGAACTAGTTCCAACAGAGAGAATATCAAGATCGTTCACATCTTGGGAATGAGCTCATCATCGTCGTCCGATTTCTACAAAGAGAGCTCTCCTTCGTTTTTGTTCTATTATTGCCTCTTTTAATCTTTTGATTGGATGATTAGATTTAGTTAGTTAGTTGTTTACTTTATCCTTCGACTGTTGTGTCAACAAAGTTAATCGTAAATAAAGAAGCATCATCAACATCAACATCATCATTATCATTATTGTTATATGTAACCTTATGCACAAGTGTTGTTCATTCGTTCATTCGCACCCCCACAAACCGACGAGTCAATCAGACAGCGAGAGAAGAGAGAAGAGAAAAGAAGTAAATACATATTATTATTTTGTATACTACTTTAAATTCAACAACATACTAAAGATAATTAGCTAGTAGTATTAGTAGTATTTGTGTTAACACAAAAAGTAAAGATGATGATAAAAAAAAGAAACATAGGGTTGTTAGAGAGAGAGAGATTGGAATCTCACTATCGAGAAAATAAACACACTCACATACACACACACACAGACAACAACCACGATCGATCACACTCAGCACTCACCATCGATCAATCACAATCACATATGTCAAGGAAAAGCCGAGAGACACATCCATGATCATGAGATCATCAATCAGAGTAGATACTATGATCACTGTTGTCCAACACAGGCGATCATCGCCTTATTTTTACACCATTGTAGGTGGGAGGTTAGATGGGGATGGTGTCAAAGGAGGAGAGAGAACAAAGGGTTGACACTATCTCTTTCTCCTCCTCTCCTCCTGGCACCCATCAAACCTCACCCATTATCATTGGTTGGTATGTGATGTGATGTGTACTATTATCAGTGACACAGAGAGAGACACTGACAGACAGGAAAGAAAGAAAGATAAAAGAGAGTTTTAAAACAAACAAACAAGCAACCAACAAATAACAACAACAACAACAAAACACAAATGTAAATTGTTAATGTGTTAATCAGTCTTATCCATTCTGTAATCTCATTATATCAACTTCTCGTCAAAACAAGAGAGCGAGAGTTATCACTTGACGGTTTTGGATAATGTCAACTCTCTCTCCTCTCTCTTTGTTTTTTTTACCAAAAAAAGAAATACAAAAGGCCAGATAATAAGATATGTACGAGTGATGATGATAGATAGATAGATGATAGATGATTTGGATCAGTGAGTTGTTGTCACTTGTTTAAGCGTCAATCCATCAACATCAACATCAACATCATCGATCGTCAATCTATGCACTGTCTTTGTTTCTAAACAGTTTTTAAACTACTTTAATTTAAAGTACACACACACACACACATAATACCATTAGTGTTTGGGTGTGGTGTGTGTGGCTACAAATAATAATAATCTCCACATCATCACACCTTGTTTTCTTGTTTTATTTCAACCTTGTTTCTGCGCTACACCAGCGTCTCTACTTTTTCGTCCGTTTGAGAGAGAGAAAGGAGGAGGAGGAGGAAAGAAGAATAATGGGGGGATTGATTATCAATCAATGTCTTTACTTGTCCAAAACCTAGAGTTGCGTTCTTTTAAACAAAGCAACCACAAACAAAAAACAAACAAAGTAATTAACAACCTTTTTTTTTATAAACTATATTCAATTAATTATAAATTATAGAATTATAATAATTTAGTAGTCTTATTTATACAATACATATATATATGAAATTTGTAATTTTATATCCATAAATTATTTATAATCCAACCAAACAACTATTATTACAACAACAACAAACAAAAGAAAGAAGAAGATGGAAATTCATAGTGTAGGTCCATTTATTATTGGTAAAACCCTTGGACAGGGTACCACTGGTAAAGTGAAATTGGGATTTCATAAAGAGACTGGATTCAAAGTGGGAATCAAAATTATCAACAAGGAACTTTTGATTAGTAAACCATCGATGAGAAGAAAGATTGAAAGAGAAATTGTTTTGATGAAATTAATAGATCATCCAAATGCTCTAAAGATGTATGAAGTTTATGAAACTTCAAAATATTTGTATGTACAAACAAAAAAGAAAAAGAAAAAGAAGAAGAACAAAGATAGAAATATTCTAATATTGTTTTATTTGTTTGTTTGTTTGTTTGTAGATTTTTAATTCTTGAATATGTTGAAGGAGGAGAATTATTTGATTATCTAGTTGAAAAGGGAGGTTTAGAAAGTGGCGAGGCATTATTTTTTTTCCAACAAATCATTACTGGTTTGGATTATTGTCACAATAGAAGTATTTGTCATAGAGATCTCAAACCAGAGAATCTGTTGCTGAGTGGAGACAAAAAGATCAAGATTTGTGATTTTGGTATGGGTTCTATCGTTAGAAAAGATAATTTATTACATACTAGTTGTGGATCTCCTCATTATGCTAGTCCAGAAGTTGTATCTGGTATCGATTATGAAGGTCAAAAGGCTGATGTTTGGAGTTGTGGTGTTATCTTGTATGCATTATTAACTGTATGTAATAGAAAAATAGAAAAATAGAAAAGAAGAAAATAGAAAAAGAAATATTCTAATTATTATTTTGTTTTGTTTTGGTTTTGTTTAGGGAAAATTACCATTTGATGATGAAAATATTAGAAGATTATTAAACAAGGTAAAGAATGGAGCATTTGTAATGCCACCATTTATTCACAAGGATGCTCAAGATTTGTTGACCAAGATGTTGACAGTCGACCCTAAAAAGAGAATTTCAATTAGGGAAATCAAAAAACATCCATGGTTCCTATCAAACAATATCATCCCACAAAAGGTCACTCCACTCGACGAGATTGCTTGTCAACCATTACCAGATCTATCATTATTGGATGATGAAATATTTAGAAGTTTAATGGTATTGGGTTTAGGTAATGTTGATGATGTTAAAAGACAATTGGTTAATAGTGAGTAAGTAGAAAAAAAAACAAAAAAGAATAATAATTATTTAAAAAAAAGAAAGAGTTAATCTAATTTTAATTTTATTTATTTCATTTGTAGTAAATCACAAGTAATTGTATATTATAGATTATTAGAAGAAAGAAAGAAATATGATATTGAAGGAAATAAATATGGAAACAAACCAAGAGATGTCAAACAAGAAAGAAGAAACAGTATATCGGATTTGTCAAAGAGAATGTTTGGCAAACAAAAATCAAATGGTGATCTTAATAATATTCAACCTCAACAACAACCATCTTCTCCATCAACTACTCCAAGAAATAATAATAATAATAATGAACAACAACAATCTCCATCACAACAATCACCATCACAACAACCATCATACTCACCACAACAACAACATCAACAACATCATCATCATCATCAACAACAACATCAACAACAATCAATCCCACCACTATGTATAAATTCTAACAATAACAACAATGGTACATCTACCAATAATAATAATGGACAAAGACCACCATCACCACCATCACCAACTCAACAACAACAACAATCACCACCACAACCAGTACCACATTCACCAAGACATCATCAATCGGATGGATTACTCAAACAGGCATTACAACAACATCATATGCAACAACACCAAAATGGAAATGTTTCACCTATTTCCATTTCCGTGTCTGATAAGCAACCACAACAACCACATCAACTATCTTTGAGCACTGGTATGCCAGCACCATCACCCAAGCTTGTTGACGACCACCATCAACCGGTCCAACGCAGAGGCAGTATGACGGCATCGACCAATCCCGCCACCTCTCCAACCATGTCTCATCGTGGCAAGGTTTCTTCGCCAGTCGAGATCACTAGCAAGGTTAGAAAGTTAAAGTTGAGCGAGCGCGAACAGCCATCCAACTCTCCCATCATTGGGTCTAGTCCTAAAAAATCTTGGTTCTCTTACTTTTTCTCAAAGAATGGTGATGGTACCAACTCTGGAAAGGAGAATGGCAAGAATGGCGGAAAGGGCTCATCCTCTTCTCATCAATCGGGTGCCTCTACCGCTTCATCTGCGTCTTCCACCTCTTCCACTTCTTCCACTTCTCCCTCTTCTTCTGCTGCCGCTTCATCTACCACCACCACCACCGCCAATTGTAGATGTGTGGTAGAGACCAAGATTGACAGCTCCTTAATTGTAGTAAACTTGGAAAAGATTTTCTCCAAACAAGGTATGGAATGGACAATGAGAGACAAGAATGCCCACAATGGAGGTGGCCTTTCTTACTTTATCAAATCCATTTCAAACGGCGACAGCAACAATACCCCATTCGAATGTGAAATTGATGTAGAATCTGCTCCACCTCAACACATTTCACCGTCATCTTCAACTAGTCGAATTCATATTGTTCAAAAATCTGGTTCTCAAAATAGATTTACCAATTTCACAAACTCAATTGAACAATTGTTCCTTTAAAACAACGAATAATAATAATTAATAATAATAATAATTAAAAAATATCTAGATAAAAAAAAAACATCAAAAAAAAAAAAGATAACTATATATATCTTTTTTTTTTTTTTTGATCAGAGACAACATACATTACATTAATAGTTGGAAACAACAAAACTCCCAAAACCCCATAATTTATAAATATTTTCAAAAAAAACAATCCCTTAGAACAAAACATTAATAATAATCATAATATAGATATAGATAGTAGTAGAAAAGTTATTATTTATAGATAGATATAAAAAAGAAAAATACAAATAATAATAATAATAAAACCGAGAAAATAGAATAACAATAATGTTTATTCTATCAAAATATTTTTTAAAAAACAAAAAAGATTAATTATTTATTATATGGTTTTGATTTGATTTATATATATTTGTTTTTGTTTTCTTTTTTTTTTAAAACAAGACTGGATCAATTGAACATTGAGCAAAAGATTGATTTTGTTGAGATAATAAAGTTGAAAATTGATTATTTGAACTACCTAAAATGACGTTGGTGGAATTATTGGATTGATTGACGATGGCAGATTGGACAATAGTAAAGATGGTAGAGATTGACTTGCAGGCATGAACAACACTAGAGATGAATCCACCGGCTGCAGAGGTTTCAGCATTGTTGCTTCCCTTTTTATTGGCTTCCTCAGAGTTGTAGGGTGAGCCAGATGAAAGGAGTTTCTTGAGGAGACTCTCCTTTGGGAATTCAACAATCTGTAACTTGTCAGTCTCTTTTAATCCACAAAGAGTCTTGGCCTCATTGATGGCATCATTGAGACTGCCAATCTTGTCGACCAACTTTCTATCGAGAGCTTGGTTACCAGTCCAAACACGACCACGAGCAACATCTTCGACTTGGGCAGCTGTCAGTGTACGACCGGCAGCAACCTTTGATGTAAAGTCACCATAGATATAGTCTAAAAAGTCGTTCATGGCATCACGTTGCACCTTGTTGTATGGATGGAGAGCAGAGTAAAAGGTGCTATTGTCATTGTCGCCGTGCTTGTCATTGTTGTTGAGATTGATCATGTCGTATGTGACACCAATCTTTTCCCACATGGGTTTGGTGTTGAACTTACCAGCCAACACACCAATGCTACCTGTAATGGTACCAGGCAATGCAACGATTCTATCGGCATTACAAGCGATAAAGTAACCACCCGATGCTGCAAATTGGCCCATATGAACCACCACCTTTTTACCAGCCTTTTTGGCAAGTTCAATCTCGTGGTGAATCAAATCCGATGCAATGTATGATCCACCGGGACTATTGACAACCAACACGATCGCCTTGATGTTCTTGTCCAATGTGGCTGCTCTCAATGCCAAGCTGACAGTCTCTGATCCAATGCTTGGACCACCATGCATAGGGTCGGTTGATTGACCACGGTAAATGGCACCCTCCAAATTGATCAATGCAAATTGATGCTTACTCTTTTGTGAATAGGGGTGTGGTTTGGTAGACATGTATTTGGTCAAATAAAGTAAAGTTGGTTTCTTTTTATGATCCTCTTCCATCTTTTTCTTTAAATGTTCATATGTTTCATTTAAATATTTTGTTCCATTTACCTAAATTTAGAAATAAATAGAAATAGTTAGAAACTCTATTGATTTTCATAGTTTCTTTTTCTTTTAATTTTTCTTACCAAATTTAATTCAACAGCTTTGTTTGAACTATATGGACCATTAGAGATGATATTTAAAAGTTGATCCATTCCTAAATTTCTTTCCTTGGCAATACCTTGGTACATTTGATTGAGGATATCACCCAAAAGAGCAGTAAGACTCTCTCTGTTGGAATCGGTCAACTTTTCCTCTGTCAATGGATCAGCAGCCGACTTGTACTCTTTTCTCTTGAAAAATTCAGCAGTAATTCCAAGCTTGTCCAATGTCTTTTTAATAAATGATTGATCACTACTAAATGATACCAATCCAACTGCTCCACATTGTGGAATATAAATTTCACTAAAAAAGAAAGAAATGAATGATTAATTAATTCAAAACCAATATTTATATTTGTTATACTAAAACATACTTGAAAGCAGTAGCAAGATAATAAGAACCAATTGAATTTGAAAGTTCACCAAATGATTCGGAATAGACTACAGTGTGTTTTCCTTTGGCTCTAAAGTTGAGAATAGCTTGTCTCAGCTCTTGAATCATTGCAAGAGAGAGATGAGCCTTGTCTGATAATCTACAAATCAATGCTTTTACCTTGGCATCACCACTTGCATGATTGATGTAATTGATAATATCATAGAAATAGATTGTATTTGGATGGAATAATTGTTCAATCTTGTTTGGTCGAGTCTAAATATAAAGCAAGAAGAAGGGGGAAAGATAGATTGATTAGTATGAGGTATGTATAATTATGATTATTAATTAGTTTGAAACTTACAGTAACAACTTCCAATAGATCAAAATCTAATTCCAAGATTGCATTTGCAGGTGTGATTGATTTATACTTTTTCACAATGACAGTAGTCAATAGATACGAACAAGTAAGCAATATCTTTACACATGATTTAGGATCCTTTCTCCAAAACTCCTTTAAAACACGTACTGCATCATCTGGTTTATATAATGACATGATTGATTAGATTGAAAGTTGATTATGTTGATTGAATGAGTTGTAATATATAGTATATATAGTAGCTATAGTATATAAAAGTTTGTTTGTTTGTTTGTTTTTTTGTGATTATTAATAATACAATGTTGCTTGCTTTTATTATTATTTGATTACAATAAAAATAAATTACACAAAATTGCCTTTTTTATCCCCATCTCTTTCTTGGACTCCAAAAACAGAGTGCAGTGGACAGTTCAACTTTACGTCCTCCATAACAACAAATTTTATAATCATTATTGGGTTATTTTTATTATTGTGTTTGGTTACACATAGATATCATATCACCTGATTTCTTTAATTAACAATATTACATCTTTATTAATAAAGAATATTCACAGATAAATGAGAAATTAGAATAATCAAATGCACTCGAACGATGTTGATGAGGTGGTAATGTGATCTTACACATCACTACAAAAAGATTAATGATTACATCACCTTCACCGTCATCATCATTGTAAAAAACAAAAATCTATTTAAAATTGTGATATTATTATTATTATTATTAATATTATTATTACTATTGGGAGTCTTCTTTCTTGGTTTATTTAAATAGAATTAATTTTTAGTTTAAGTACTAAGGTTTTTAGGGGTTTTAGGGGGTTAGGCTAGGGTTAAGGGTTAAGGGGGGCAAATAATTAAAAAATTATTAGGTCTATGCTATTAAACAAATCAATCATTGTTTTTAGCATATGGTTTTCTAAATCGGGCAATGTTTTTGTAATAAACATTCTTTTTTGTACTACCAGTATTAGTGGTATTACTATCACCACCATTATTATTATTATTATTATGATCTTTGGATGGTGATTTGTTGTTGATGTTGTTGGAAATATTATTATTATTATTATTCGACGGTGAGGTTGATAATCTTGGAGTTGATTTTGGTGAATTTGGTGAATTTGGTGAATTCTCAGATGGAGATGATGGAGATGATTTCTTCTTTGATCGTTTATCGTCGAGATAGTGTCTAAGTAATACATAGGGATGGTCTTGATCCAAATAACCTGGTTGTTCATAGACGGTCTTTGACACATTTTTACATCCTTTTGGCTTGACATATTCCAATAGTCTCTCCTTGCCACTGGATCCCTCGATAATAAAAGTTCGTTGATAACCAATGATATCATCATAAAATATTCTTTGGGTTCCTCCAACTTGAGCCCAACGATTCTCTGCACATGTACGAGTTCTTTGAGGTTCAAGTTTAATTTCCTCTTTATTTAATACTACAAAATGGATACTACCATCTATACAATAAATAAATATATAATAAAAATATAATAAAAATATACATATAAATATATAAATAAAAAAAAGAGTTGGGATTGTTGTAAATATTTAAAAAAAACATACGAATACAATTTTCAGGTTGAATAGCAACTGATTCACTTAGTACTGGAATAACAATACCATTAAAATGAATATCCTTTGAATTTTTTTGTTCCAAGTAACTGTCAATCATGTTGATGTAGACTAGTCTTGGTTTTCTCTTGAAAAGGGTTCCAACTTGTTTGTGATTCGCTGGAGTGGTTGGTTCTGGTGATTCAGATCCAAGGCTTGGACTACTACTATTACTTGTATTTGTAATTGGATAGACTTGTTGTGGTTGGAGGTGATCAAAACTATTGCTGTTACTGTTGATGCTGTCATAAGAGTCTTCGAGGATTAGATTTTTAACCGATGCTACTTGAGTGGTTGTAATGGTTGGAATTGGAACGTGAATTGGAACGTGAATTGGAACGTGAACTGGAACGGCAGCTACATTTGTTAAAAACGATGAATAGCTGTTGTTTAATGGTAAAGTTGATGGTACATAGCTTGGTGAAGAGGTTGGTGAAGTTGATGGTGATGTTGAAAAACCACCATTATTATTATTATTTAGAGTTGGTAAATTCCATTGTTGGAAACCATCTTTTAATAATGTTTGAAGTGAAGGTAATTGGATTTTAAAATTATTATTGGAAATGATTGGATTGGAATAATTATAAATATTATTAATATTATTGTTAAATGGATGATCGTGATGATTTTGATTATTGTTGTTTGGATTATTCAAATTTTGGTTATTTTGGTTTTGATGAAAGGTTCGAAGAGGTGGAAATGACTGATGATGGTACAAGAGGGAATGAGGTTGGAACGATATGGATATTGATGGAGGTTGTTGCATCATGATTGTATTAATTTTTGAATTGAATTTCAGAGGAATACGATCAATAGTTGTATTGTTTTTTTTTTGAGGGGATAGGAAATTGTTAATGAATTTTAATTTAGAGTTATATATTTCTAATATTTAGAGATTTACAAATAAAACAAGTTTAAGAAAAAAAAAAGAGATTTTACTTAAACTTTTTCTAAATGGGACTAAATTGTATTGATGGTAAGGTTGAACTGACTTGCAAGTTAATATTATAATTATTTGATTTTATTATTATTATTATTGGAGATGGAGATTGATAAATTATTTGATTGATTGATTGATTGAAATTAACACTCTATAAATAAATATACTATAAATTATGACTAGGAGTAGTAGGATGAGTAAAACTAATAATACGTACGATTCTTGCACTACTACTTAAATGTTGTTGTTGGAGGTAGTTGGGAGTTGGATTTTGTTCCTATTAATAAACAAGTTTACCCGCTGCTGCTGCTGCTGCTGCTGCTGGTTGCTGCTGTTCATGCAATTAGCATCATCATCTCACCTACCTACCAACCAAACGATCCATCATCTACCGCATGATCCTATTGTTGATCAGCATCAACAATTTGCGTTTAACGCCACCATTCAAGGGGGACTGCACCTGCCTGTTATATTTGGCTTTGTATAAATCAAGTCAATTGGACTCTCACAAATGAAACATCTAAACAATGATGCTATAATTAACACACTCCTGGCAGATCATAGAATCATATGTAGTTTAAAAATGATATCATTTTGTATTGTTGTTGTTATCCACTCTCACCATGTATCTATGTATTGCTGCTGCAACAGCTCTTATTCTTCTTCTTCTTCTTATTATTCTTTTGCTACCATCACCAACTATCACCAACATATAAAATATTTTGAATATGTGAGGAGAGTGAGGGATAGATATTTCAAGAAATTGGATGGATGGTGACCGATTGATCAAACAGCATTCATGCATGCAAACCATTGTTGAATTCGTGGGAGTAATGTAACGCGGGTGATGGTGCGACATCACTCTGGGGTGGGGGGAAGAGGTGATGTTAAGGTTGTTAAAAGCATACACATAAATAGCAGGAGGGTAAACTGCTTATAGTATGCTATGCACGACGACTAATATTTTGAGAACTGGGTAGATTAAAAGTAGTAGTGATCTTTAGATATAAACCATATGACGACAACGCTGGGTGTGTGTGTTGGCATCATCGTCGTTTCGATACAACAATTATTTGTTGTGTGTTTTGTGTGAGTGGTGTTGTTTAAACAACAACAACAGCGTAGAGTAGTAGTACTGTTTGATCGAATGTGTGTGTGTGAGTGTGGTGTAAAAGTGTTTTGGTGATCGTTTGGTTGATCACCTACAAAAGTGTTTGAAAAGAAGTGTTTTGTTGTTTACGTCTTTTATCAACTTACAACTATTGATACCATACTATTACCAATACTATTATAACTATTTCGATAATTTTGACGAAATACTTGATGTATTGTTAACTCATTCAATCGTTCTTCCCCAACTACTCTACGCTCTCGTCATTTCAGGAAGAACGAGTTGGTAGTTTAGAGTTTGAATAGAATATAACATGTTGATCATCACACCACCATCATCGTCATCATGAAACTACCCGTCGTAGTTGCAAGCTTGGTGGGTACGAATGATGATGAATCGTTTTGTCGAATTTGTGAATGAATCTATCCGTTCCGTCAACAACAATCAATCTATCGCTATTATTCTTTGATTGATTATTGTTGCTGTTATTGTTATTACTAAAAAGAATACAATGACGCAATTGGGAATGATCAGATTAATCATTGTTATAAAAGTTTTTTTGTAACTGCTGATCAGGGTGCTTGTTTGCACGTGTAACCTCAATCGCACCATACAAACAGAAGGCATGTTTGTTGTTGTGAGTGTGTAAGGAGGGTTAATAGTTTTGTTTCTGTTTACGAAAAGAGATATACAAGGAGAGATAGTAAACTGTAGTCATGGAAACAGAAGCAGAGCAAACATGTAGTAACCAAACAAATGATAATATAGTGATTAGTGATGACAAGCAATTGGTTGATGTCCAATTAGTACATGACTACCTATGTAATCATAGTTACTGGGCCAAAGATATATTATATAGTGTCGTACAAACATCGATAGATAATTCCTATTGTATTGGTGCCTATGTCAACAACAACAATAATGTAAACGGCAATGACGAGAAGAAACTAAAACAAATTGGATTTGCAAGATTGATCACCGATTATAGTACTTTTGGATGGTTGGCCGATGTATTTGTATTGCCAGAGTACCGAGGAAAGGGTGTTTCCAAGTTGATGGTTGAACACTTGTTGGCTCAAAAATGGACAGATTATATGCGCAGAATCATGTTGAGCACGAGTGATGCTCATGGCCTCTACAGTCGCTATGGATTTCAACATATCCCAACCAATGCTCCAACTCTTCCTATGGCCATTTTAAAGTTAAATGCCCATCAACTACAACTACAAGATTTAAAAATTAAACAACAACAACAACTAGAACAAGAACAAGAGATAAAAGAGAAAATATAAATATAAAGTAAAGTTAATAAATAATAATACGCGACGTAGCCAACCTTGATTATATATTCACCTCTGGTATGTAATGATTTAAAAAACATTTGTTCATTGATATAACTAACTATTATACAAACATCTAGAAAAAAAAAATATAAATCAACAAGTACCCTTTTTGGTCATTATTATTTACAATAATAGGGAGGGGTGTATTTTCTAGAAAATATATTTTTTATTATTTATAAAATGATTTCCTCCCCGATTATTCATAGTATTCTCATCATTCATACCTTTACCTTTTATTTGTACCTTTTATTATATATTTGCCGAGTAGTAATAATAATGAACACAGAAATATTTCCTCCTGATCTATCACTATTGATTATTCAACAAATCATTTTAGAGTGTGTCAGAGGTGATAGATACATGTTATCATTTCCCTTCCTTTTCATCAACAAGAGTTGGAATAGGTTATTCAATAATGAATCGTTTTGGCAACACCTATGTTTAGCTAGATGGACAAGTTTGTCATTACTACCAGAAGATTACACTCCCAACTCTACTTTGACCAATTTAAAACCTGTCACCAAATCATCTTATGGTGACTTTTTAAGTGAATACATGTTTGGAGCAGTTATCAAATACCCTCAGATTCAAAAATCGATCAATGGATGGAAGGATTTATTTATTTCAAGATACAATAGAACCTATCATCTTAGAAAACTACAGAGATTTAATTTGTCTGGACAATGTATGGAATATGAAATCGAACATGAAAAGAGTGTCACCAAACAAGTCCTATTGGCCAAGAAAATGAAATCACTAGATGAGAAATACTTGGACAAGCATAGAAATGATATAGATATGTTATTTATTCTAGAGTCTGTAGAATATCATTCAATTGAACAAGTTGTCTCTCAAGATGATAGAATGACAACGATACAAGAAGATGTTATTGGATCGGTCATGACTCTTTTAGGAAAGAGAATACTATTCCAATTTCGTAATGGAAGAAAATATGGTCATAGAGACTTTGAACAAGATAATGATGATGACAAATTGACCATTGGTTCTATTGAATGTCTTGACCAATACAATGAAAAAGAAATTCCAGGATTTTGGGAAAAGGTCAAAGTTGAATTAGAGTGGAAGGGGTCTTTGGTTCAGATTCAAAAGATAATGAGAGCAATATTGAATGTAAGAACTTATTTTATGGAAATTAATCGCCACCATTATTTAGAGAGCTATCCACTAACAGGTAAAATGAAATATAAGAGTCCACCATCCTTTGATTCAGACTCTGATTTGGAAAACTAAAAAAAATAAATATTGACAATATTTTATAATAATAAATATTCATTATTATTATTATTATCATTATTATTATTACTATTATTATTTTATTATTATTATTATTTTATTATTATTATTATTAATATTTTATTATTATTAATATTTAGAGATAATTAAACAAGTTCTATTTGGAATTTGTCTAAGTTTTTATAAATGACCTGGATCATCTCCATGATATTTGAGCCACTGGCGTAATGTCCGATTCATTGATAATGAGTGACAAAGAAGATTAATATTTTCATCCGATATGGTAATATTAGTTTCTTTGTCAATGGTCAGTGAATGTAGATTACAATGGGCAATTGATTTAAAAAATGTAGGTGTCATTAAAAATTTGGAGAGTTGTAAATGTTGAAGGGTTTGATTATTATTATTATTGGTATCTAATAACATGGCAAATGCAAAGGTTAGATTTTTTGGTACATCGATATTAACAAGTCTATCCGATTTGAAACTAGACAGACAAACAAGCTTGACCAATGTTTTGTGAGTGCACAATAGTGAAGAGAATTGTTGGACGTTGGGAGAGTTGTCATCGATGTTTGGAAGGTCGAGTGTAAAGGTGAACGATTTGATCGATTCGAGTTGGAGTGCGATAATGGCTCCATTTAGTCTCATTGGCCAATAGATTGTCTCTATCATTGGAACCAACTTGACAAAATGTAAACTTTCTAATTGCTATACCATCCAATTTCGATATATACATATACACTCTGCTCTTACATTTTCTATATATACATGAGGGTTGATTGTGCAGTCAATCTCTACCAATGACGACGACGACAACGACGACGATTGTTGGCGAAGATTATCAACTACCGCCAAATCCTCTTTAATCTCTTTTAATTTTGGTATTAGTTCTGCCAAAGTGCCACCTTTAATTGTAATCTTTTCGAGTGCCGTCATTGACTTGAATACCATTTCTGCCTTTTGTTTGGTGTATCGGTTAGTGTGTGAACACACCTTGAGGTGTCTAACCATTGACAGTTTGTGATAGTACTTAGTAGTTTTACCACAACCATCATCGTCATCATCATACATTAAACAAAGGCAATTAGCAGCAATAGGGTTCTTTGCTTTTTTGAGTAACACACCATAGATAACTTTATATGATTATTTCTTTCTTCTTCTTCTTCTGTTGTATTATATTCAAATTTAAAATGATTTAATATTATTATTTGTATGTAATTTGGTAAAGACAACATGAATAATAATAATTAAATATCACAACTTTTTTAAAAGCACAAAGTTGGAAGCAAACAAGAACAAAAAAAAATTAATTTAATTTGTCTTTTATATTTATTGAAAGCAGTAGTAGTAGTATAAACATGATAGGTGATAGTTATCAATTAGTTATATTACAAGTGTACTTGTACTTATAATACTATATATATAGTAAAGTAATAATAATGCAAGAAGAAAAACAACATAATATATTATTAGTATCATTACCATGGATCATTCAATCACAAATCATTTATCTATTATGTTCATGTAATAGTTTAAAGATAAAAGATGTATTTGGTATTGGGGGAGTATCAAAGACTTGGAGAGTGGAAGCTAAAAGGTATTTGTATGTACGTCATACACTCTACTTTGCAGTCAGTGAATTGGAAGGTTATAGAGATCACATTGATCATCCTTTAAGTTTGTTGAAAATGAATGGATGTAAGTTGATACTCAATCAATCTGACTTTTTAATTGGACGTTCAGTGTATCAAAAGAATATGAAATATCTTGGACTACAAACTGGTGATAGTGATGATGGTGATAGTTATAATCAGCATCAGCAGTTAGTTTCAGTCTCGGACAACTTGGTATGGTTCAAGAAAAAGATTATTGAAACGGTTGAATCTATCAATATTTGTAGTCCGACACGGTCAAATGACGATTGGTCACAAATATTCTTTGGTACATCGTTCGAATTGTCGTCATTGCAGTCGTTGACATGTACCATTATTGAAGCTGACTCGTTTCAATTGGATATGGATACATTTTGTGATTTGAAACATCTCAATGTCACCTTTTACATGTCGACCGATGGTATATGCAAAGTATTGAATCACTGTAAACACTTGGAATCACTCATCATTGCAATCGAGAAATGTATTGATATTGATCAAGACAACAATCTTGACAAAATATTCAACTGTATATCTCGAGGAGGAGGAGGAGGAGGAGGCACACTGACAAAGTTGGATTTAGCATATATTGATACTACCAAACCATTCCCATTTAATTTGTTGGGTGGGTTGGGAATACGGGAGATTTCAATCTACCAAGAACACCAAAGAAATACACCGAGTTATTATCAGTATGTGTTGGATGGTAAAATAGAGTCAATTGTACAATTCAGCATACCTAATCAACAATGCATTGACTTTTTATCGGCTGGGTCGGCTGTCAAAGTACTCGATTTGTCATTGATGGAGGATCCACCATCTACTGTATCGATACAAAAGAGACCATTGGTACCACCACTACTAGAACGATTGACTTTAAAAGGTGGGTCACACCAAAATAGTCGAGTTACATCGTACGACATGCTTGACAGTATATTTGTACATAGTGGTTCGTTGCCGAGGTTGACACACCTCAAACTATACCTTAGAATGGAAAAGACAATGATTGATATTATCACCACCTTTATCAACCAAAGCAAGTCTATTCAAGTCGTTCAATTTGGTACCTACCAAGAAGACCCATTTCTCTGGACAACCGACAATGACATGGAATCATTCTTGCAAGCTTTTGCCTCTAGTCCAACCATGACAGAAGTTAATTTCACCTATCTCCTCTTTGACCCAATGATATCATTCCTTCAAAAAAATATCAAAATATTAAACAAAAATAATAGTGATAATAATAATAATATGAAAAGTAAAGTACATCTCTATCAATCACCAGATAAAATATCAACAACATCATTGATAAATATAAATAATTATAAATTTGATTTATCATTTCTTTCAATTTCAAAATAAATAAAATAATGTATAACCCATGGTAATATAGGGTTCAATCTAGATATTGTTTTCGATCTTTGTGTCATTATTATCAAACATAGACAGAGAGAGAGATAGATGTGTATGTTCACAAAAAAAAAGAAGGAAATAAATAATGATGAGGTGTGTTCAAATTTAATTCGAAAAAAAAAATTATGTAAATTAATCTAATTTAAACTGTGTTTGTTTTCGGTTTAGTCATTCATTCTTCTTACTCATTGCTTGAATAGATAAATAGATAGATAAATAGAATAAGAAAGAATGAATAGATTTATCAGTAAATCATCATTGCTATCTATATCTGCTGCTTCAGCTGCTGTAGCAGTACCAAATAGATTGATATCAAGATCATTCTCATCTTGGACTATCAATCATAGTAATAATAATAATAAAAGTATTAATACCATCAACAAATATACATCACTTGATAATAAATATAGATTATATACTACTGAACCACCAAAACAACCAGAACAACAACCAAAACAAGAAGAACAACCAAAACAAGAAGAACAACAAAAAGAATCAAATGAAGAAAAGTATACAAACAAGAAACAAATTACATTTGCTAGTTTATTTGCAGCATTATTCTTTGGTGGTTTAGGATGGTTGTATTATGATCATTTAATGGTTCAAAAGAGAGAAAAGAGTATGTGTTCTCTTGATAATCATTCATTCAATTTATTCTTTTAACACTCTTTATTCTTTTATAGTTAAACAAATTGAAACCTATGGTACTAGTTCAATTGGAGGAGGATTTTCATTGATTGATGAGAATGGTAAAGCAGTATCTGATCTTGATTTCAGAGGAAAGTATATGTTTCTCTACTTTGGTTTCACGTATTGTCCAGATGCATGTCCAGCCGAATTGGATAAAATGACAATCGTCTTGAACAATCTCGAAAAACATAATCTATTGGATAGTATTGTTCCTGTTTTCATTACTATTGATCCATGGAGAGATACTGTAGAACAAATTAAACAATATATTCATGGTAAATTTAAATTAAAATCACAAATCAAATTTAATCCTTTTATTTTTAAATTCTAATCTATTTTATTTTTTCTTTTAATTCTTTTTAGAATTCCATCCAAAATTTGTTGGATTAACAGGAACACCAGAACAAATTACAAAATTGGCAAAAGGATATAGAGTGTTTATTAGTAAAGCAGGTAAAGGAGATAGTTATTTGGTAGATCATACAATTATCGAATATTTAATTGGCCCAGACGGTAAATTTATTGAATTTTATGGTTCGAATCTAAATGCCGATCAAGTCACTGAAAAGATTTTAGAACGTATGGCTCAAGGTGGAAAGGGTGGAGCAAATAGAGGTGAAATTATTCGTGAAAAGAGTCTTGTCGATCAAGTATATGATTTTTTGACTGACAAAATTTAATAAAATATTAGAAAGAAAGAAAATAATTATTATTTATTTTTATTTATTTTATTTCTTCTATTTCTTCTATTTACAAATATTACAAATACATTTTAATTTGTTTAGATGATTTGTTTTTCTAATTGGAGTTGGTAATTTTGGATGTAAAGATGATTGACGTTGGAATAGTTTATGATAGGATCTAGATGATAGGATTTGATCTGTAAATTCGAATAAATGAGGTTTCTTTTGATCGAGATAAATGAGAAATTCACAAGCCGATGGTGAAGCCCATAAAACTACATGTCTAAAGGCAACTTGCCAAATATTATTACTATCGACAATAAGTTGTAATTCTTGAACAAGGTATGTAAATATTGCCAATGAACAACTTTCCAAACATATCTTAAAGTATTGAATGATTCTCTTTCGATTCTTTTTAAAGTCAAATGATTTGTTGCAAATTTCTACAATCCTTTTAAATGAATGGAGATTATCTTTTTGAACAATGTCAAGTTCGAGTGTCCAAATCAATTTCATTGCTTGTTGACTGTATCGTTGAAAATAGAGTGATGATATCTTTTCAATTAAATTTGATTCATTTTGATTGTAATGATACTGTGGTGATATATATTGGTTGGCAAGTATATTGTCTGTTAATCTTTCACTATAGATTTGACCAAATTGTTCACCAAATGAAATGACATTTTTAAATTCCAAGTTGTTGGCCAAAACCAGAAATTGTTCGAGTGTTGCAGGAACGGGATTGGTAAATTCGATCATCTTTTGCTTGTCAATCGCATATTTTGAATATAGATTGAAAATATCCCAAATCATACCAATATCCTTGCTATTTGATGTTTTAACCAAATTGGTCACCAATTCATCTTGAATGATTGGTTCAAATGAATCGATACAATCTTTTATAATTTGTAAATCCTCTCTGGTTTGAATTTTTGTACAATAAGGTCTTGAATAATAAGACCATATTTGTTTTAGAAATATTGTACCATCCGATGATTTAACCAATTTTGATATTTTCTCGAGTGATATAAAATCTTTTGCCACAAGTACATAGGTTGGTTGAGTTTTTACAGCAAATGATCTAATTATATCATTTAATGTGTTTGGGAATCTAGCCAATATAGTTTCCACCACTACAGTCGTCATTTGTAAACCTGGATCATTTATAAATGATTGTATTTTAATTCCTCTAGACACTACTAAAACATCCAATACAGTGTCAACCATCCAATGATTCATTGATAACTTTGAAACGACTAATCTTTCATTGATAAAATCCAAATTTTCAAAGTAGTATCTAAATAAATCCTTGTCTCTTTGTGATTGGTAGAAATTGATTCGATATTGAGGGTGTTTGTGACAGAGTCGTTTGATTTGATCGACTGTAGCATACTGTACGATTGTATCGAACTTTCTTGGCATAAAGTAATCAAAAATGGCTCTTGTGTTCCAGCTGACAACTTGTTTCCACAAATCTTCAATCGCTTCAGTTGCATTTGGTTGCTTACTAAATGTCTTGTCTTCGGCGAGTAATAGATGAAATAGAATGGTCATCTTTTTGGTGTTTGCTTCTCCAATCAAACCTGCCAATCTCTTTTTAATCATTTTGACTTGATTAAATCCTTCTTGATGAGATGGCATCTCCATCAACATGATTGCCACTTGGTCCAACTTTAACAAATCATATTCTTCAACTTTAGAACGAGAAAAAGAGGATGGAATACCTTGCCCAGGATTCTTTTTAAAATAAATCTTTATAATCTCTTTGTTTAGACATGATAGTACTATATCTTGTCTAACCATTGAATAGAATTGATCTTCTTTTAAGTGTCTATACAAATATCCAATTGCATCTTTGTAGTATTCTTCTTCTTCCACTACTACTGGATTGCTTTTGTTGTTTGGTGAACAAAGAGGAAGGAGATTTGTTGATTGTCTATCAGTAAGTAATTTGAGTAGACCAACATTATTGTAAAGTAGTATAATGGGAAGAGAGGGGAGGATGTTTAGACGATTATATTCGTTGTAGTTGTTGACTTGTTCATAGTCGAGTATGAATCGAACAATCTTGTTTCTTTTTTGTCTTTTGACGGGGTCTGTTTCAGTGCATGCAAGAGTGACCATACTAGAGAAGAACCTAGAGTCGATCATACGACCTAGACCCAACGGATAACATCTTGTAAAGAGGTTATAGTCATCGAAAAACTGAGCTATACTATAGCCATCTTCTAGACTGGTAAATACAATAGGTTCACCTCTATTTAATTTATACCACAGTAGCCGTTTATAACCATTTCTCACCATGAAATCACCTGATATGATCTCATCATACCTTTTATTATTATAATTATTACAACCATTAAAAGTAAAAGATGATGAACTATTAAACTTTAATATATTTCTTGTTAGATATTTATTTCTAAATACACTTATGATACTATTACTATTACTATTACTAATCATTCTTTGTGTTTTAAAAATTTTAAAGGCTCAAATTTCATTAGCTACATTATAATATACAAAAAAATCAAAAAAAAAGAAATATACAATATGTTAACATATTTTACAATTAATTGGATTTATTGTTTGTTATACTCTACATCGTTTACAATTGGTGAATCCACCATTCGCAAAATTCTCTTTCATCGATACTACCAGAGTAGTTTCTGTCAATAGAAAAGAATAATCCTTTGGTTTGGCCCTTGGTAAAATAGAAACCAAGATATTTGATGCATCTCTTGAATTCCTTTTTGTTCATAGTGCCACTACAGTTGGTGTCAAACGATCTAAAGGCGGCGCTGGCAGCCATCATCTTTTGGGCGAGATGTGGAGGAAGACCGACTGGAACAACAAATGCAGCAGTTCTTAGGTAGGGATCAGAGTAAGAGTATGCTGGTCTTACATAGGCAGCTGGTTGTGGATAGCCGACGGCTCCTGGGTAGGCTCCTGGGTAGGCTCCTGGGTAGGCTCCTGGAACAACAGTTGGTGGGTAAGCTCCTGGAACGGCACCTGGATAAGCTCCTGGGTAAGCTCCTGGAACTGCAGTTGGTGGGTAGGCACCTGGATAAGCTCCTGGAACAGCTCCTGGGTAAGCTCCTGGAACGGCAGTTGGTGGGTAAGCGCCTGGAACGGCTCCTGGATATGCACCTGGTGGATAATTTTGCATTCTACAAAAAATATTAATCATTAGTGAAACGCACTGATTTATACAAAATCACCCCCATGTATGATCACTGAATGTATTCTCTGTAGAACAATCATATTACATCACATAATATGATTATAAACTTTCTACTCCTGATTCTTTGTTCTTTCTCATCGATCATCAGTTTCTATTTTTCTTGGGTTGTGATATTTTTCTGTTTTCTTGTATTGCTTACATTTATTATATTTAAAAGAATGATGTAGAAATGAGAGAGAGAACTACAAGTATTTTTTTTCGATGATGTTCACAATATTGAGCTTTTAAATTAAATTCAGACTTTTCAACGAATAAATTTATTTTTTTCCCCAATTACAAAAAAATGGCTTCGAAGATCTTGCGAAACACAACTAATGACAACCGTGCACAGATATATATTTAATAAATATATATATTTAGAGATATCTCGAATAATTATTGGTGACAAGTAACAGTAGTTTTTTCTATAATACCAATCACTAGCCGGATGGATGACAAAAAGTGAATACATTGAATCGAGATAATGACCTCCTCATGTTGAAGTACATATAGGAAGTGGCAGGACGATTGATGCATCGAGAATGACCTTCAAATGATCGTCACTACCGTAACTGACAATTTGTCTTGTCATCCACGATAGCTCGAAGTAAGTGAATCAGAACTACGGATCTAAGAGGTGAAAAAGAACTGAATACTACCGATTAGTTGTAAACAAGTTGACAATAGGTTCAATGCATTCATTTGCAAGTTGAATTGATTCATTGACATCCATCTCTCTCTCTCTCTTTATTTCAGTCACAGTTCTTTCTTTCAATAAATATTCCTTTTTTTTTTAAACCCATCTTCTACAACAATATCCATGTCTCTTTCTCTCCTTTTTTTTTAATTTGGACCTGCTGCAGCCTATTGATGCAATAGTCCTATTGGTCATAATATTAACTTTATTTTTTTTAAAAGGCCACCTCAATAAAATTAGCTAACAATGGTATTGAAGTTTTCAATGGCCTCAGACACAATGGAAAGTACCAAGCCATCTTCTACAAGATAGAATCCTCTTCTCAATTCGTTGTCGACAAGACCCTACCCTCTGGCACCTCATATGACACCATTGTAGCCGAATTTCCAAAAGACGAAGGTCGATTTGTAATAGTCAATTTCGAATATGAAGTGCAAGGAACCACCAAAACCAAGATGATTTTAGTAATATGGCAACCAGAAGATGCCCCCCGTCAAGTACAAGATGTTATACGCGTACTTCTCTTCGACTTTACAGAATGAAATTGGTATATCAATCATTGTTATCCAAGCAACTAATACCTCTGAAATCATCAAATGTGTCTCTAAATAAATATTTTATTGTTTACGACGTGCGCTACGTCGCGACATGCTTTACTATTTTGGATAATCAGATTGTCACTTGTCATTGACAATCTAGTACGATCTTACTCTATCAAAATGTATTTACTTTGAGTGAAAATAAAACTATTTATGTAATGAATATTAATTAATTTGATTTAGCCATGTCGATATTCAATAGTCAATTTCGTATATGTAGTGAAGGAACCACCAACTTCAAGATCATTCTTGTAAAGTGGCTACCAGAAGATGCCCCCGTCAAGTACAAGATGTTAGACGCGACCTCCTCTCAGACTTTCCAGAATGAAATTGGTGGAACAATCAGTTCTATCGAAGCAGCATGTCACTAGATAAATATTTTGTTTTATTTATTTAATTATCTTTGATGATGTGTACGCATGAAATAAAAAAATATATATTAAAAGATAACCTTTTCTTTTATTTAATTAGGAACTATGTATCCCAATGTCTCATCAAGGAGGTTTTTAAAGAATGAGCGGTCATTTCTTCATCTAAGGCCAACGATCTTTTGTTTGAATTGGTTCATTAAAACACTGCCACCACCAGCACTACCATTTCGTAAATGGGTTTGGGCTTTTCTGGTTAATATTCCATTGCAATATAATCGATATAAATATTGACCAATGTGATAGGGTATAATAGCAATGGGGGATATCTTTAACATGTTGATGTACATGTAGGTAAGTGGTAATCCAATTGATGCATCTAGAATGACCTTCAAATGATCGTCACTGGCCATGGGTCGTTGATCGATATGGTAGCTGACAAATTGTCTTGTCATCTCTGCCACAGAGTATAGTAATCCCATACTGATAATATGTTTAGATGTACCACCACCTTGTCTCCAACCACATGCCATACCACATCCAAACATAACCAAACCAGATGAAACTATATTTCGAACTGGCAAATCTTTGTTGATCAATATATTGTCAATATATTTTGATAATCTAGATTTGTGTTTCTTTAACAAAGAGTTTGCAATCTTTTTTTCATCTTTATCCAAGAAATCAGCATTGTCAATTGATTCCAAACCAATATGTTGAAACATAATAATAGCTCCTTTTTTAATGATAGAGAATTCATTATTATTTTGTTCATATCTAATCAACTTTAGGAATAGATTAACAACTCCAACAGAATTGAAATAATGTTCTGATAATTGACGATCGTCATATCGAGAGATGATATGTTTGGCAAACATTTCAGCAACCAATATTTCAACTGGATATCCTCCAAAATTACAATAATCTATTAATTCATCAATTGGTAAATCATTGATTGAATTCACTATATAAATATAAATAGAGAATAATTTGTTAATTAATTAAATTTGTCAATTAAATTAAATTTTGATAAATTACATACAATAAGGTAAAAATGATGATATGATGTAGATGCAACCTATTTCATCAGTGGTAAGAATACTATAGAATAGTTGTAGAATGGATTCGTCATCGAGATCGCGTCCTGCAAACTTGATGATAGTGTTTGCCTTTGAGGCAGAAATTAATGATTTGAACATTTCTGGTCGTGACACGCATCTAGACACCGGCAAGTTGTTATTAATGATGATATGAAGCTGCCTGATATATTGATCCATTGTATCAATATTCTTTAAAGAACTACAATATACTTTGATGAAAACAACTAAAGTATCGGTATCAAGAACAAGAACACGAGGCCACCTAGTTTTACTATAACGTAATCCTTTGTTTGGGAAAAATAGAATTGATACAAAGAATTAAGTTAATATATCTCTCTATAGCTAGCTCGAATCATAAGGTTAGTACTCACTACTAGTAGCAGTAGTAGTAGTAGTATCATCTAATACTAATTTACCTACTCTTTCCAAATTGCCATAACAAGTATGATGGTACTAAATACCGATTAGTTGTAAACAAGTTGACAATAGGGTCAATGTATACATTTGCAAGTTGAATTGATTCATTGATATTGATTTCCATCTCTCTCTATCTCTCTCTATCTCTACCTCTCTCTCTATCTCTCTCTCTCGCAACTGAAAGACTATTGTTAATCTTTGTCATAATGATGATGATGATGATGGTTGTCTAAATAATTATTTAATAAAATTTATTTTAATTTGAACTGCAAGTTCAAAGGGAAAGGGAAATAGAAAAATAATGTACAAAAAAAAATTGTTATTTAATTTTATTTTTATTATTAAAAATACAGTACATACAACCCTCTTAACAAACTACAGTTTGTTTGTTTGTTTAACCATTCTAGTAATCTTTCAAGAAACGTTCAACAGATAAATTAAAAGTATATTGTTTTAAATGATCTAGTTTGGGTTTCTGCTTTGCTACTAAAAGACGAAGGAGGGTGATATTTGTGTTGAGTGCGGCAGGGACGATGGTGAGTTGAAGACTTGTATGCTTTTGTGGACCAATTACTTTGCAAATGGAATAATTGTCTGCTGCAATGGCTTGTGACAGATAACTTGAAAGGGAAATGGTTTGGATTGATTCAAATTCCTTGGATTGCAGATACTGAACTGATCGAACCGAACAGACTCGTGGTCTTGAATACCCAAATCCAACAGCTTGTGGTAACCCAATAATCTTTAGTGTATAGATAATATGATGTATTAAATCAATATTACCACATGCAATAGCCGAGAAATACCATTCTTGTGGGAATAGACGGAGGGGTTTCTGTTCTACTATTTGATGGTCAAATCCAAGTTCTTCATTCCTCTTTGCAACTCTATAGTAAAGGTTGATTAACCCACACGATAATAGTAGGTTGGCATTGGCACATGGTACGGTTGGTCTTGACCTTAGAATGATTTCAATCATTGGAACATCATTTCTATTGGCTGCATTTACAAAATGATGTTCCTCTAATGTAAATCTATCTTGATTTGTCGGTTCCCAAATCCCAAGACTTTCATTAAAACTATGACATTTTAAACCAAGAATATATTCTGTCATTTGATAAAATTTACATGCAAGTAGATTTGAGATTGTATTGACCATATCATATTGTCCTTGACTTGGATCGAGGAGTGATGGATTATGGGTGATGAGGAATTGGACGAGTGGGACACTACTACCCTTTTGAACCGCTGCACATAGGTCATCACCACTAACCTTGTATTTCATATTTCCAAGTGCTTGAATACATTCAAGTGATCCAAATCCAAGTGCAGCATTGTAATAATTTTGTGGGTTGTCTCCATTTAACACTGCATAGAGTACAGTGTCACTAGATAGTAATAGACGTACTATCCTGTCTAATCCCTTTTGACATGCAGTAGTGATTGACTTTGCACTAACATCTATACCCTTTGATAATACATATTCTACACATTCGTAACTCGCAGATGATACACAATCCTCTAAATTTTCCTTTTTCAATTGAAATCGTTTCGATTCTACAAAGAATTGTAGGATTTCCAATTGACCATTCAAACCAGCTATCCTTGCACAAGTAGTCATCCAATCACCAGACAATTGTGATTCTTCTATATGTTGTTGTAAAACCCATTGTAAAATATTTAATGTACCATGTCGACATGAAGTTTCCAACACACCAGTCATGCTGGTACCAGATCTGCTAGCTCTTTGATACTCTCCAAATAAATATTGAATAGTACCAATTGATTTACTCCTTGCAGCATGTTGTGTAATTCGAATGATATTTTTTGAAAATGAGGCTCTTAGCGTTTTACTTGATTTTGGGTCATTATTTAATTGCAAGTAGAGTTGAAGAGTTTGTACTTGATCGTATTTGACAGCATTCAACAATGCATCATCTGGTATCATATCCAATAACTTTTGACCAAACACCCAACCAATGACTTGAATGTGACCCTTTTCAGAAGCTTCAATGATACCTTGTCTAACCCATTCTTGTGATTTTAGAATCGCCTTTTTTTCAGGATGTGGATAATCCAACAACTTTTTCAGAGTTGTCAATTCATTGTGCGATATACACCATTTCAATGCATCCTCTGAGAATATATACCCTTTTATATTCTTATCCTTTCCATATAAATCAAATATATGATTGACACAATCCCAATGTTGATTCTCTGCTGCTCCATCAATAGCCAGTGTTGTAAATTCAACTCTACCAAACTTGATCGAGTTTGATTTCTTTTGTTGTTGTTGTTGTTGATAAATCTCATCAAAAAACTTTAATACATTTAAATGACCATTCTTTGATGCAAAATCATATGAATGATTTGTAAATTTTATATTATCATCCTAAAAAACAAAAATAAATAAATAAATTAATAAATTAATCAATACATTATTTCTTTCTTTCTTATTTCTTTTTGTTTTACATACAAATAAATTTTGATGATTTGAAGGATTTGTATTTAATAATAATTTGATTATATTTAAATGACCATTTCTTGAAGCTACGTCTATAGCATCTGTTGTGAATGGTACACCTCTATCCAACAAGTATTTAACCAATTCAAAGTTACCAGATGCCGAAGCACTATCTACAGCATGATGTTCAAACTTGAATGCTGATTCATAGTAATTGTAAATTACATCAAATGTCTCTAATTTGAATGCCACTGATCGATTGTAAAGATGAGGTGAACAGATTGCAATGATTGAATCCAATGTAATCCAACCAACTTGTAGTGTCGACAATGGTAGTCTCTTGTCGACCAACAACACTGATCTCTTGCATAGTTGATGTAACAAGTCACCCGTCTTGTTTGTTACTACCCATTTCAAAGATGGTATATTATCAAATCTATATGATGTATATTGATAGATAGATCCGTCAATTCTATTAATCTTTTCAATCTCTTTACCAATTAATCGAATCAAATATTTATTTCTAAATACTGATTGAATTATTAATTCATTACTATTCATAAGTAAGTATAATAATACAAATATTACAAAGATGAAGAGTATTATAACTTGAATGATTAAAAAAAAAAGTAGTGAAGAGTGGAGGCACTTGATGAAAAAAAAAAAAAATCTTTTCTTTTTTCTTTTTTCTTTTTTCTATTTCTATTTACAAATTTGTTTATTTATTATTTATTTTTGTTTGTTTGTTTTAGATTGATCTATTTGATATATTTGGATAATTTTCACCACCAGTTGTACTGTATCCTAATATATCAACTGATAGATTATCTAATACTTCTAAACACCAATGACCGGTATAAGAGAAGGTTTTAGTTTCGCCGGGGAGCAGACAAATTTCATTTCCTCGTTCACTTCCACGACGCTTTTGAGCACGTACTCGAGCAGGTCCGGTGGGTGATCTGATTGACACCCATCCCGGGATATACCCACTCCACAGTCTGGTGGCAGATCTCGGCCAACACAAATAGGTGCCTGCTGGATCATACACTTTGGCTTGATCGTCTTGTGATAGGTCAGACCCATTCATTCGGTTTGAATTCTTTTCATAGTCTCCCCACAGCGTGGTCATGTAATTCTTTACACCTTTGACAACATCACCAAACTTGCCAAGACCGTATTGAGGACGGCTACTGATGACCTGGCCGTTCTGACCATTGACCAAATACGAGTAGACGTGACCATTGAATTCAAATTGTGTGTGGTAGTATGGTACATAGTAGAGCATGGCACGTACCTCTATAAATTGAATGGTCGATGATACATTGTCTACCGTATCTGTTTGTTCTTGGTTACCTAGATAGACGGGTGCATTTTGTTGTTCGACCACTTCAATCTTGCCACGGTGTGGTCTCCAAACCTCTTCCTCTGGCACACGCCCACAGATTCTTATATCTTGGGTTGTACATGTTTGTTTGAATGATTCGTCATTATTCATCTCTACACTCTTGTGAAAATTGTACATTATCTTGTCCTCCTCGGTTGGATCTCCATTTGTATGATAATTGACCATACTATCCTTTGACAGTGCACATATAAATATCTTATTGATTGATCTTGAAATTGATCCTTTTGCTTTTGATTTTGCAATTATATCATTTGTACCAATTGATTTGTTGTTGTTGTGATGATGATGATCTTGATGAGAATGATGATCACTACTACTACTACCACCACTACTACGATCAATATTGGTATTACTAATTTGACCAAAACTATTAGAGTTTGTTGATTTTGGACAATAATGTACATTTCCTTCAAAGTAGACACTATAGGTAGCATTGAAAGAATAGAATGGGATATAGATCTTTTCCAACGAATCGGTTGATAATTGCTTTTTGAAACCAGTTGGTGCAAACCATAAATTATTCTTGTATGCTTCGAAACCAACGATTGCCTCTGATGGTGGTACTATAAAGTGTGATACTCTTATAGTCGATGCATTCTTTAATGGATGTATAATAACACTATTAAACATATCAGAATTAATGTTTTGATAACTACCAATACCTCCACCACTACTACCAATACTATTAATTAATGGGTATGATGGTAGAGGTGAAGGACAAGGTGAAGGAGGTAATGATATTGGTGCACTTGGTTGAATTGGACAATACATTATTTGTTGTTGTTGAGGAGGTAAAGGTTGAGGAGGAGGTAAAGGTTGAGGTTGAGCAGGTTGTAAATCAACAACATTTGATATAATATGATGTTGATAATATTGTTCTTCACTTATATCTTCTAAATTAACTTGTTGTTGTTGTTGTTTAGGTTGTGGTGGTGAATACATCTTTTAAATATATATATATACATATACAATTAATATATCTCTATCTCTATCTCTATTTATCTATCTATCTAATCATGAATGTGAATGTAATGAAATTGTACATGTGAAATACATGCAAGTAAGAACTTGTTGTTAATTTGCTAATCTTACTTTTTTGGTTCATACTCCTGCTCACTCACAGCTTGTGTTCTTTCTTTTTCAAATTAATTTCATTTTCATTTTTTTTTTTTAAAATCTTTTTTTATTCTCAACAAAAGACGACCGAGTAGACATAATAACACATCGTATGGTTCATAACAAAATCATTTTTATAAATACAAATACAAATAATATAGAGAGATAAAAGGATGGAAGATAAATTAAAGAATCTAACACTTGAACAAGATTGTGATTATTATTCATCAGATGATTATAGCAATGACGATGATTATAGTGATGACTATTACAGTGATTCAGATGATGAAGATAGAGTATTGGGTGAAAGATCATCGGTAGCATTAAACAAAACACTTCAACCAAAAGCACACATGTTTGAACAAAAGTATCAAGGAAAGATTAATATTGGTGGCGGTGGCGGACGTATCATAGATGATGATTCTCATAGATCATTACCAAATACAGTTTCAAATGAAATTAGAGAAATGAAGAAAAAAGATGATAAACAAGGGTAAGAAAAGAATAAAGAATAGTAGATAGAATAGATTGATATTAATATTCATTTTCTTTTTCTATTAGTATAAGAGTACAAGATAAAGAAAATAGAGCAACAAGTGAACAAGTATTAGATCCACGTACAAGATTAATGTTATTTAAAATGATCAATAAGGGGGACCTAAGTGAAATCAATGGATGTATAAGTACAGGAAAAGAGGCAAATGTGTATCATGCAGTTGCTGGAGATGGAGAAGAGAGAGCCATTAAAGTTTACAAGACGAGTATTTTGGTATTCAAAGATAGAGATAGATATGTGACTGGAGAATTCCGGTTCCGTCGTGGTTACAGTAAATCAAATCCAAGAAAGATGGTAAAGTTGTGGGCCGAAAAAGAGTATCGTAATTTGATGCGTCTCAAGTCTGCAGGTATCCCATGTCCAACGCCATTGGCACTTCGTAACCATATTTTGGTGATGAACTTTATTGGCAAGGATGGATATGCTGCTCCACGTCTCAAAGATGCTCCACTCACCGTTGACAAGTGTCGTGAACTCTATGTCGATGCTATCAAGATGATGCGTATTCTATTCCACCAATGTCGTTTGGTGCATGCCGATCTTTCAGAATACAACATTCTCTATTTCAAGGGTGGTCTGTTTATCATTGATGTCAGTCAGTCTGTCGAACACGACCATCCACACGCCCTCGACTTTTTGCGTATGGATTGTGCCAACATTACCGATTTCTTTAGAAAGAATGGTGTGCAGACCATGTTCCTCCAAGAACTATTCGACTTTGTCTGCGATCTCACCATCAATGACAACAATATCGACGCCTACCTCGAAAAACTTCAAGAACGTATCGGTCAACGTGGCTCGGAAATGACCAACGAAGAAACTGTCAAAGAAGAGGTATTTAGAAATGCATACATTCCTCGTACACTGGATGAAATTATAGATATGGACAAGGAATTGAAAAAGGCTCAAAAAGGTCAAGATATTTTTTATGGTACAGTTTTGGGTCTAAGAGCTAATCTACGTGAAACTCGTGATACTCCTGAAATTTTAGAACAAACTGATAGTGAAAATAGTGGTGATAGTGATGAAAGTGAAAGTGATGAGGAAAGTGAAGATGATGAAGATGAAGAAGGATCAGAAAAAGTAACAAAAAATAAGGATTCAGAAGAAGGTGAAGGAGAATCAACTGAATTAACAAAAAAAGAAAAAAAGAAATTGGTTAAAGAACAAAATAGAGAAAAAAGAAAAATAAGATACCAAAACATATTAAAGCTCAAACAAAGAAAAAAAGAGCTGAAAAGTTTGGTAAAAAGAAATAGAAATAAATTATTTATTTAATTTGATTTATTTAATCTTTATAATTTTGATAATTAATAAAATGATTATTTAAATTAATAATTCTATTATTATTATTATTTGGATATTTAAGTAATTTTAAATTTAGATTAAATTGATTGTCAATTAATTCTTTAATCTTTTCATTTGATTTTGATTCTTGTATAAATTTAAAATTATTACTTTTTGAAATTACATTTAATAATTGTTTCATATGTACAATATATATAGATTATCTCTTTTTCTATTATCCATGGTAGTATTATTATTTGGTTCATTAATTATTATTATTTGAAATTAATTTAATATTAAAAAAAAAAAAATTTCTTGAAAATTTAAAGGAGCTCTTTTACAAAATTTAAATCATTATTTATTTTTTAAAAAAACACATGTAAAATATATTCGTTTCACTCATTACTTAAGTTGTTGTTACCTTAAAAACTAAAGTCTCATCATTTAAACGGACACGTGCGAGGCAAAAAAAGGGCATAAAAGAACGTGCTCAGACCAAGAATCGAACTTGGGATAAGAGGACCACAACCTCTTGTGATGCCACTTCACCATCTGAGCTTACACACGAAAGCTCCGTTTGGCAACAAAGTAACAATACCACCTGGATTTTCCCAACCACGAACCCACTGTTTAGCAAGTTGATTCTCGACTGGACCGACAACATAGTGCAGTGGAATGTCCACGCTCTCAACTTCACCAAGCAGAGAACACATCACAGACGCTATGTCAATGCTGTTGCTATACTCTTCCATCGCACATGGTGCCACCACCTGAATGTGCAATTCGACTTTGACGATCGCAACTACTCTCTCGACCCAAACGAAGTAGCAATCGTTACCAAACGATTCAAAACTATAATCTATCTTGAATACCTGAAACTAATCCAAAACTGCAAGTCGATTCTAGCTAAATGTCAACCTGATCGATGGTCGGTCACTAATCTCGAACTGATCTCAAACTTTAGTAAATTCTCTCTCATTTGGGGCAAACTAGCTACACCCTATCGCATTCCCTCCTTCCTAACTAGAACTAACCACTATCTAACAACTACTCCAAATTAAACAACAATAATAATTAAATCATTAATTTAAAAATAAACAATATGACTTCAGCGGTGATGAAGAGGTCAAAGATTTTATTAAAAAAAAAAAAAAAGATTTTCGATAGTAAGGAAAGTTTGCATTTCAAGATCGACCACAACTTGTTCTATTTGTATAAATGATCTAAATACAGCCTTGGTGTATTGATGCGTATACTTGTGGATGATCTCTTTTCCTTTGCTGTCCTTTTCCTTTTGTAAATCAAATGTCATTTGATAGTGAGCTGTATTTAAAGGTGGCAAATACTTATTCTTGGAAATGTCTGCAGAGAAATAATAATGTTAGACTGGTGTATCGATGATTTCTTCCTTTCTATCCTTTGCACTAGAAACAATATTTCATGGTGGTTTTCGCTATCCTGTCAGGGTTATGACCCATTAAAAATTCGTCAACACTTGAAGGTGAGACAGATCCAAGATGCAACCGAAATTTCTTATTATCTGTACCAACCAACCTGTCAGATATGATTCTCTGTGATCTAATGAGAAACGTTCGTAGTTCCTGGTGACACACAAATTCTTGAAGTTGTTGCTTGTTTTTAAAGATTATTGGCTCGTCATCTTCCTTTCCATCGATTCGAGTGAATCTTATATCGGTAGCCAACATATTGCTTTGAATTGTTGCTGGTAAATACTCAATCTCAAACGAGAATTCATCTTCATCATCATCATCTTCTTCTTCTTCTTCTTTTTCTTTTTCTTCTTCTTCTTCACCTTCCTCGTAACATTCTTCTCCTTCATCTTCAACCTCGACGTCGTCAAATTCCGTGTACAACAATTCACCAAAGTTGACAATTTCTTTCTCCTCTTCTTGTATCTCTTGATTTTCATCTAGATTTACTGTCTCTTCGAATTGTTTTCTCTTTCCTAGAATGGACGAAGAGGACCAATGGTTGATTTCATCCGTTTGATGAATCATCATTGACGATTGAGGAATCCAAGCACGAGAGCGATGAACCATCACCAAGTATTCTACCAATTCTCTTTTATCTCCAACATCATTACAGTCCGCTTTGCCAATATCTTGAATAAATTGCTCTCTACTCTATAGAGCTCGAAAAGTTTAGAAATGATGGTTGTGTTTTCCAATGATGATTTAAAGTTCTTATTATTACTTATAGTAATCAAACAATCCAGCAACATCTTTGTTTGATTGTTATTGTTGATTTTGTTGATTTCTTTGATTTCATTGTAACAATTGTTGTCTTTGTCTTCATTCTCTGATACTACATATTTGTTAATGATTGGGATGGCGGTGGTTGAGACAGTACTGTTGTCGTCGTTGTTGTTGTTGTTTTTCAATAAATGATTCAAGGTTTGACACTAGATCATTTAAATCTTTGATTATTGGTTCTTTAAACAATATAAAATTGATAATTGTATCATCTTGATGTTGCCTGAGATCATGATCACTGATCTCTTTGATTATTTGCTACACAATAAAAAATAAAGAGAGTAAATAAAATATATTTAGTTTTGGTTTAATAATACATACATACATTTTCCTCCATTTTAACTGTTAGTTGATTTATTATTACATCTCTCAATCTACTAGTAATCGCGAAAGAAGAAATATTTAAAATTAAAAAAATTCTTTTTTGAACAAAACATGAATTTTTGTAAAGAATGTTAACATTCTACTTTTAGGTATAATCATAACCTCCCTCCCTTTTTAATCAATATTTATATTAACCAAATACAACTTCCTTTTTTGTAGTGCAGAAAAACTGATCTAGGCAAAGCAATAGGTGACTATGATAGGTTTGGATATGTCATAAAATTAAACAGGTCCAACGCCTTGTCCCTAAAGCACACTCACAAAGATAGTCCTGTGTATCGATACACAAAATGTTCCCAGGTCTTTCAAAAAGCTAGATCAATAACTCGATTGGAATCATGAAATATTTCGAACGTGATTCAAACAGAACAGGATGGTTCATAAAGGTATATATATATCTTTTCTCTTACAATATATTATTTATATAAATATTTATTAACTAATTTAATTAAAGTTAAAAGATCTAGGACCTGAACATAATGAATTATTATTAACTCACCAAAATAGAATAAAAGAAAAGATTGATCATCTCTCATTGACGATAGATTCTTTGACAAGGTGAAGATGACTCCTCACCTATCATCAAAAAATGTAAGACGTCGTGTTAGTCAGAAATCACTACGTCTGGCCCAACAACAACAACAACAACAAGATACTTCTATCCAAGGTCAAACAACAGCTAAAAGAACAAAATATACATTGCGAGAAACAAATCGAACAAAATCAACAACAAATCAAACAAAATCAACAACAAATAGAACAAATAGAAATACAAAATCAACAAATAGAACAACAAATAGAAAAAAATCAAGATCTAAAAGAACAAATACAAAAAGATCGACAACAACAAAAAGAACTACAACAACAAATACAAGAACAAATTATATATTTATCAAACAATGTATGGTTATGATCAAGCAATCGAATCAAAAACATTTCAGTTGAAACCCAAGAGGAGAGAGAAAGAATTTATTCGTATCCAATCCACATACATATCTTTTGGTTTGATAGTTGCAGTATCAAGAGTACCGTCTTGAGATAAAATTAATTTGCAAAAAATTAATATCTAAAGGTGAGTACTCACAATACGAAGAGGATATGTATAAATGATGGTTGAAAGAAATACAATAAATTAGATATATAATTTTATTTATTTTTGTTTTTTTAAACATCATTAAATGATGAAAATGATAACCTTGGAATAGACGATGAATCATCATCAGAATTGTATTGTTGAAATAATTTAAAGTATTGAGTATTTTTGATTTGATATTTAAATGGCTGTTTGGTGTCTATTAATTGTTGAAGATTCTTGTCAATATAGTTTAGTTGTTTACCAAGTCTATAAAATTCTTGTTTAAAGCCATGACTATATGTTGAACTCATAACATGTAGAAAGAGAATATAAAGATGACCAGCTTTAGTGTCAATATTATTCAATTTAATTAGGAATGAGAGATCATTGGTACGAGCGGCCTCTATCATAAACTCCTTTTCACTAATCGGAATCTTGCATACATTGTATAGAAATTGAATTGATTCAATTTGTTTACTTTGAATGGCTAGAATCATTAATGATTTTTTAAATGTACTATTAAAATCAAAAATCCCATCTGATATATATTTATGTATAGTTTGTAGAATTGTAATTGATCCAATTTCTATTAAACTTTTATAAATATTTAACCACCAATTTTCTATAGGGTATGCTTTGATTAGCCACCATGTATCTTGTGGATCGACTGATTCCAAGTCTTTTAAAAGTGCCTTTAATAATTTTGTACCTGGTGGACATAGATAATTATACCATTGACGAGGTGGTTCAATGGCAATAACGATCAATTTTAACATATTGGGTATTGGTAAAATGGTTTTGGTATAGTTGTACAACTCTACATTGTTTGATCTGATTACATTCTCCCATGTTTTTTCAAATCTATAGTTATTGTCAGATACCTCTTGAGCATCTGTTCGATTCAAGTATTCGTATGCCTTTCGAAATAGCCACGTATCGACCATATTACGAGGGTTACCAGAGACTAGGTCAAGCACACTAAGCCACCGATCATAATCCATCATTCTCTGTTTATGAACGTGTTGATAGTGGTGTGCAAAGAGTTTGGCAGTGATGACTGGACATTCATAAAACTCGAATGGTCCATACTTGTCTACGAACAAATTGGGATCCTTTTTGTATTGTTGCAAGGTACCTGTAAAATGATTCTTGAATTCTACCAAAGTATCAGATGATATTGGTATCGTCTTTGAATAAATCAATCTTATTAGAAAAGTATTATTCCATACTGTTTTAAATACCTGTTGATCAATAGGTTGTCTTTGTCTTTGTTTTTCTTGTTGTTGTTGTTGTAGTTGTCTTTTGAATTGAAGTTTCAACCTTTGTCTTACGACCATCTTTTCTTCCTTTGAGATTGATTTATTCGTCGATTGATCACCATATATGACTCTAAAGTATTCTTGACGACGTATATTTCTTTGTTCTTGTTCTTGATCATGAGCTGTGGTTTCTTTTTCTAAATCTTGATGCCTAACGCAATATTGTAGATCTTGTTCTCGGTGTCTTTGTTCTAGCCTTTGTGTTTGTGGTCTTTGTTGATCTTGTAATCTTTCTTTTCTATATTCTTTCATCATTTTGTTATAGATACGCATAATTATGAAAAATAAAAAAAGAAAAAAGAAATAAAGAAGATCACCATTAGGGAGTTCCAAAATCTTTTTTCTTTTTTTTTTGGTAATATTATTATTGCATTATAATTCATAATTTTATCAAGTACTTTTATTTATTTAGAAGCATAATACCATTTCAATATCAGATCAGATGATTGATACTTTTAATGAATGATAAAGTAAAATTGTATTTACTTTAATGGTAGATCACTTAGAGACACAATCGTGATCTAGCATCTGCATACAAAAGTCGTTCATGATGCATCTCACCAAAAAAAAATTCGTATAAAAAGAACAAGATTTTTTTCCTACCAATGATGAAAATGTTCTTTAGGATAAGAACTAAAGAAAGATAGCTCAAGAGGTGTTTAAACACCATATTTTGTCATTTGAGGCAAAATTCGGGTATAAATAGGGAAAATGATGTTTTTTTTCATCAAAAATGAAAGGCCCCATAGCATAGTGGTTATTGTACTTCCCTAGTAAGGAAGGGGTCTCGAGTTCGAACCTCGATGGGGCCTCTACTTTTTGCTGCGTATCCACCACAGATTTTTTTTTTTTTGCCTTGCCGCTATCATCTATGTGTAGTACACAACTGTGACTACATTTCTAGCCATTCGCCATCGAAATCCATCAAATCCTCATCTATAAAACACCTACATCTTGCAAACCGAAAAAAAAAAAAAAAAGTCTCCAATCCTATTAGACAAATAAAGTTGGAAAGGCATTCTTGTTGCTTCACCAAATGTCGATTATTATCTGTATCCAGTATAGTGTCTTGTATCTCTCTTGTATTATTTTAGTCTTGTGTATCTTTGTGTATCTAGTCATCATTCAGCAGCAGCAGCATGTACACAATATTACACATCTCGCCAATTGAAATGGTATTGGAAATATTAGGTCAAAAATAATTATCGATAAATTAAATAAATAAATATTAAAATTAGAATATTTAGGGTTCCCTTTATTGTTATGCCTTTCTTTATATCAAGATTGATGCTATTTGAAACTTTGTATCTGATGAAGGAATATTATCCCAATTTGATTTAATCGATTCTTTGATAAATGACCAAGTTTGAAGTAGTAAGTCTTGTTGGTGGGTTGTTTTGATGTAGTGTTGGATGATTTCGTGTATCTTGACAACATGTTGGTATTGTGGACCGAGACATTCATCAGTGTAGAGATGGACGATGGCACAAAGGTTATCAATGACAGGTAGAATTTCTTCCTCGTCATCGATGGGAAGCTTTGATAACCATTTTGAAATGATGACACCTACCTGGTTGTTACCGACTTGTGTCACATATCTGATGATTCTACCGATACTCGAGATTGCATTTTCTGTTGCTATTTTGTTGCGCGTCGACGAGTGTGCAGTTGGTAAAGATATCATGACGTTGAGTGCTTGTAAAACTGGCATGACCCATGTTGAGAATCTGTCTTTGGAAGTCTGTGCCGCCAAGCCAAGTGCAAATGAAGCATTTTGTCGCGCCAAGGGGTTGGGGAGTGTCAGACACTCGACAATAGTTGGAATGATCAGTGGGAATGAGTTGATGGCCGACTCACCACCATGGGTACAGTACTGTGCCATGAGGAAGAGAATAACTGCCTTGACGACTTGGTCTTCTCTTTTGTCTCGCAACTTGTTGCAGAGCTCGGTCAAAAGATTAGAAGAGGCGATACATATTATTACTTAATTATTATATGTATATATTATTTTTATTATATTATAATAAAAATATGTATATATTATTTTTATTATATTATATATATATTGATTACATACAGGTATAAATTTCTCTTTAACGATACCCAGGACCAAAATAAATGATGCAAATGCACTTTCAACAACATATATTTTTGGTGATGCAAGTAGTATTTCAAATGAACGAAATAATCCATCCAAAATATTATCGTCAATCGTGTCGCCCTTGGTTAGACAAGTCATCATTGTTTGTACCAAAACACAACAACAACTTTGAACACGTTCATTTTTATCATTAATTGATTTTCCAATCACATTGAATAATTGATCTCTTGATGAAACCATCAACTCGTCAAAATCAATCGATAATTGAATTAATAATTGAAATGATGCCCATCTAACTCTAGTATTTTCATCATCAACAAAATTTAATGCTGACCTAAAATTTTAAATCAATAAATAAATAAATATATAATATAATATATTATTATTACTTTTTTTTTTTTTTAACATACGTTAAAATAAAATTAAATTGATGTGATACAGTGATTGGAACTGATTGACAAACTTTAGATAAACTAATCATTGCTGCGTATCTTTCTTTCCAGTGTTGAGATTTTAAAAGGTTGTTAAAATGTGTTAAAATGGGTACTGCCACACGTAGACCGATTGCTTCTGCGAATCGTTCAAACGCAGAGTCTGCTGTAAGGCCTGCCACCTCGTCATTTTCATCGTCGTAAATATCAGGTTGACGATCGTCCTTTGTTGTTGTTGGTACAATATTGTCGTCTTTCTCCTCGTCAAAATGAAAGTTGAAATAGTTGTTGTCACTGTCAATCTTGGTGTTGCTCTCGTTCCACTCTTTCATCGACACATCCTTGACTTGTATGAGCCAATCGTACATGTGGACGAAGATCTTGTCAATCTGATTGCCAACATAGTTGACGGGGTTAGACTCTGCAATGAGAAGCAAAAAGTCAAACATACTACGTTTGATGTTTTTTGGCAGGGAAGATATATTTCCCTTTTCACCGCCGCCGCCACGATGTCTATCCATCACCTCGAGAAACGTGTCAATGATCTGTCGAATGAATCCTTGCATCCACGATGGATCATCGTTGGCGAAAAGATCCATCAGAGAGATTGCAGATTCCTGTATGTCGCCTCCATGTGCAATGCCGTCCAATTGCGAGATGACAGAGAGTGCCAATGGGAGAAACGACCTAAATTGTTGATGAGTGAGACCTCGAGACTGCACCAAAGAGTTGAATATCTTGAGTGCATCAAGACGCTTGTCCAAATCCTCGTGTTTCAAATCTACAATCCGTTCAAGATCTCGAAGCTTTTTTGTTTCTCCTTTTTTAGTCAATCTATCTAGTAACTGTACTGATTTCTCTTTAATCTGACACAATATCAATTTTAGTGTTTTGTTGTTAAATATATTCTATCAATCAAACTTTTTTATATACATACAGTTGGAAAGGGGACATTGACGATTAAATAGAGTAACCATGATACTACTCTATCGTGCTTCAATGCGTACTGATTGAATTGTTGTTTTGCTGTTGATTTTAAATTACTACTATAATCCTTTTCAATGTCATTATGAATAGTGTTATTATTATTATAGTCTATAACATCTTTCTTTTTCTGTTCATCTTCTCTTGCAAGAGTGATCACCAATTGGATAAAGTCATCAGGTGGTTGTTCCATGTGTATATATATCGATACGTATGTACTACTACTGCTATAAGCACGAAAGCACCAAATGATTCATCTTTAAATAAATATCGAATTTATGATACAATTTCGAGGAACAATGATGAGAAAGGAATTATTTCCGATTTCATTTCATGCAAAAAAAAAAAAAAGAAATAATATTTATAAAATTACAAAATAATTTTATTTACTTTTTAATTATAATATTGTTGATAGTTGTTTCCTTGTTTGTGATGGAATAGTATTCCAATTTGATTGGATTGATCGCTTGATAAATGCCCAGGTATCTCTGACCATCTCGGCAAGCATCTCGTAGTTATTGGATACTACATTGGCGATTAACACGGGGATATCCTCTTGATGCTCACCAATGGTAACCTCTTGGTTGTCGTTTCGCACCTTTTGTAAAATTTGGTCCATTCTGACATTTATGTTTAAAAATATATCGATTGTCGATTGGATATGATAGACTGACATTTCATCCGACATCAAACCAATGAGACTGATAGCAACGCTAATTCGTTTGTTCAACACCTTCCAGTCAATCTCGAGTGGACATGACCAAAGTACCAATTCGTATACCTTGCCAACCATCTCGATTGTCTTGTCACTATCGGCACCATAATGTCGCATGACCATCTTGACCAAACCGGGCAAGGTGGAATAGGAAAAAAGTTGAATGATGTTGTTGAATGGGTTCCTTGCCAATTTGCATATTGGATCGACCAAGACATCGACAAATGGTGCCAACATTTGGGAAATATTGTCATTATAGTGCGTTTGTGGACTCTGACAATCCTCAGTAATGATGTGTAATGACTTGAGCACCAACACTATTCCCCTGACATCTTGTGGTAATGATTCTGTCATTTCCAATTGTTGTTGTTGTTGTTGTTGTTGTTGTTGGTTTGGTAATGGTGTCTCTAGTACTCTAACAACCATACCAATTATAATGGGTAAATACTCTGCAAATAACAATCCAATCGTTGAAATAAGCATTCGTGATACTCTTACGACATCGACAGTCAAATCAAATGATCGTTCATTCTTTTTAACAACCATCATAAACTCGTGCATGTACTTTGAATATGTCTTTTTGTCCATTACTTGATGACACAATGCTATCGCCTTGATTGCACGACAACGTAATAATCTTGATTCCATTGTTGCAAGACTTTGATATCTCTCCAACATTGATAATAGAATAGAACCTATATTTCCAAAATACTAAATAGAAGTAGGTAAATTAGAATATTTGAATTAATTAATATATTGGTGCCAAAAGTTTGATTGATTGATTGATTACATACAGGTCTTAATCTTTTGTTAAAAATATAAATAACCGACATTAATGACGATAATGCACTTTCAATATAGTGTATATTTTGTGATTGCAATAATGTTTCAAATGACCTACATAAACCAAACAGAGTAGTCTCATTGATCATATCTTTTTCCAACAATGAATCCGTCATGGATTGAACCAACAGACAACAACTCACTTGAATGCGTTCATTTGGTTCACCAATTAATTTGTCAATGACGTCAATTATTTTTTCTCTCGAAACAATCATCAATTTTTGATAATTTGGTAATCTAACCAAACATTGTAATGATGCCCATCTAACTTGAATATTTTTATCTTCAACTGATTTTAATATTGTCCTAAAAATTAATAAATAAATAAAATGAAAATAATTTTTTTAATGAAATATTCACATACTTTAATATAAATGGAAATTGTTGTACAACACGATCACTAAAAAATGAACAAAATTTAGATAAACTAACCAGTGCTGCGTATCTTTGCTTCCAATGAGAGTTTAACATGCTGTTGAAATGTTTGAAAACGGGCTCTTGTACGCGGTCAAGAAATGAAGCTACGAATCGCAGAAAGCTTGCATCAGCTTCAACCGGTTTACCCTCAAGATAGGTGAATTGATCTTTGTAAAGGTCGCTTTCCTGCTCTTCATTGATATTAAGATTTACCTTATCTCTCACCACACCAGGATCGTAACCATCGGTCCACTCTTTTTCATCGTCGACTTGAGCCAACCACTCGTACAAAAGAGCGACCATTCTTTCAAGGTGACTGTCGGTAAATAGAATTTGAGTGTCGTTGTCATTCTCGGCAACGTCCAACAAAAAACCGTATACCATGCCTTTAGTTTTTTTGTCTGCAAAACCCTTTTTACGTTGATTCCTATCCAGCACCTTGATCAATGTGTCTATGATCGTTGGCATGAGTTTATCGATCCACGCTGTCGCTGGCGTTGGCGTTGGATTTTCGCTCATATAGATCTCTGAGAGACTGCCTACAATCTTTTCAATGTATTTTCCTTCAGTCATACCATCCAAGTGTTCGAGAATTGATAACAGACTGGGTATTTGTTCTCTATACTGATCATAGGTCAATTCACCACCAGAGCTCTCGAGAATCTTTATAAACATGTCAAGTCTCTCTATTCTAAGGGCATACAGTGACTGCATTTCTTTGATTGCATTTTCATACTCTAGTCTCTTTGCTTTAAAGTCATACTGTGACAAAACTACTTTGAGTATTTTTACATTCTCTAGTACTGCTGTTCCTTCCTGTGCACCATTTACCATAGTCTCCAATGATGATTCTAAATCATCCCAACGACCTACGTATACGTAATTACAAACAACAACAACAACAACATACGATGAATGATTAATGAATCGATTTTGTGTAAAGCATGATATTGTTATAGCTATTGTAGTCATCATCATCATCATCATCATCATCATCTAAAGATACATACCTGCTGGTATTAAATAAAGAGCTAGTACTGCAATGACACTAAACAAATGACTCTTTTGACAATGATTCGATAAGGTAACCTCCTTTTTTCATCAATAGTTTATCTAGTAACTGCACTGATTTTTCTCTAATCTTTATATTTATATAAAGAGGTATAAAGGTATATTAGTGATCATTATTATTCAGCACTTATAATAATAATAATAACATACAACAGCAAAAGTAGCCTTTATCATTAGATAGAGTAACCATGATACTACTCTATCAGGTGAAGACTCGAGGCAATCTTTATATGTTTGTTTAGTCTCTCTTTAATACATATTTGCTGTTATCGTCTTTCTGTTCATCCTCTCTTGCCAACTTGATAACTATATCTTCAAAATCTTTATGTGGTTGCTCCATAATAATAATCAACAAGCAAAAAAACTGGCCTACAAGTAAAAAAAAACAAATATTTATTTTTAATATTTATATGATAATTGATCTCTTGTATCTGATGGAATAGTATCCCAATTTGATTTAATTTTTGTTTTGATATATGTTTTGAATAATAATTCTTATTGTTCACAATTTCTCCAAAAAATAATGATCGATGATTTCCTGTTCTTGGCAAAATGTTGGTAGTCTTTACCGAGACATTAAACGATGTAGAGATGGATGATGTTAAAAATGATTGTAATGGTAGTCTCACAATCTTCATCTTCATCAATGGATTAGATTTTTTAAAAATTAATGTTGGTGATCCAGTTTTGTTCTATGCCAACCAAACTTGTTTCTCTCGGTATCCAACGATGAGTAGATCCAGAATATAGAAAAAATATTGAAATCCATTTGGAACACGGCAAAAAAGTGTGTACTTGATGGGTTGGGAAAAAACTGGAATGGATTTTTTTAAAATCAATGTTTTGGCGATCCGGTTTTGTTGGAAATCAATCAAACTAAGTTCTTTCGATAGCCAACGACGAGTAGAACCAGAATATAGCAAAAATATTGAAATCCATTTGGAACACGGCAAAAAAGTGTGGACTAGAAGGGTATCGATCCCTTTACCTCTCGCATGCTAAGCGAGCGCTCTACCATCTGAGCTACAAGCCCAATTTTTTTGGCTGTTGAATTTAGTAGTTTGCGGTATTTATACCGCCTGCAAAAAAATGGTCTTTGTGATAGAATTCTTGTATTTTCCCTTTATCTCCACGCGATAAACGAGATTTTTAACATCTCAACCAGAAGGCCAATTTTTTGGATACGAGTTTTCTCAATCGGTTTTGTTTTTTTAATAATAGTTGAACCAGCCATGGTTGTTGATAAACTAAGAGATATATACTTGCAAGCAGTATTCTTTTGCTTGTTGGTTTATAAATTATGTAACAGAAAGAGTCATATTAGTACCCAATCTTATTCTAAGCATATGAACATTTTCTATATCTTACAACAATACATTTAAAGATGTATTGTACCCCCGAAAAATATATATTGAAGATTTTGAAAATCAACTCTTGTCGGTTACTAGACCACTGACTACCAAAAATATATAGCTACTCGTACATATCACATCCGAGATGAGTTTTAGAATTCCTCCTCGTTTTGTTCAATAATGTCATCAAGACCAGTGAGGTTTTCCAAGAGAGGTGCATTGTAATAATACCTATTTATTGGTCAATACGAATGGGATCATTAATTAAATTTAAATAACAAAACTACATCAAAAGAATATATGCATTGAAATGAAAACAACAACAACGAAAATGAAGAAAACTACTATTCAATGGCAAAGATCTTTTGTCAACTGACCAGTGTCGTTTCGAAAAATTAAATTAAAAAATATTTTTAAAAATTAAATTATAATAGGTCAAAAAAAAAAAGGGGTGTCGTTTACTTTTTTTTTTTTTTTTTTTTATAGATTATCTATTTATTTATTTATTTATTTATATTGTAAAGGGAAACCAACCAATACAATACTAATATCATATCATATAATATAATATCATATTATTGTAACATTTTGAAATATCTAGAATGTCATCATCAACGTCGTCAACTACCGACTCTAGTACAACTACTTCTTCTTCTTCACCTTCACCTCCTTCAACTTCTATATTATCACCACCCTATCTAAGACCATCAAAAGTTGGTAAAAAGAATGTAACCATTCAAGTACAAGGTAAAGAAGACAAGACACCTGTACATTTAGAAGGATTTCTATCATACATTGAAGATGAACACAATGCAAACAAAGACAGTGCAGTATACAGAGAATTGATGGATGTTGGTATTGTCATTACACATCCTCACCCCATGTTGGGAGGATGCTACCAAAATAATGTTGTATTGGGACTTGCAAGCTATATCACAAATCATTTACACGTACCAACACTCTGTTTCAACTTTAGAGGTGTTCGCAAGAGTACTGGTAGTGGTAGTTGGAGAGGTGGCTCTGAAAGAGCAGATACACTTGGAGCAGTCGACTATCTATTAAACGAGGTGCCACTCGATCGTCGTCCATCTCGTATCATTATCATTGGCTATAGTTATGGATCTGTGATTGGCATGTCTATTGCATCTGAACGTGATGCAATCATTGGAGCTGTAGCAGTCTCTTTTCCATTTGGTCCTCTTACTCTAATGTTATTAGGTCATCTATTAGATCCTGCTCTATTATTAAACAAACCAAAATATTTTGTTATTGGTGATCAAGATAATTTTACTGGTACCACTAAATTTAAACAAAGGTAAAAATAGAATTGGAAATAGAAAAGAATAATCATAATTATAATATTATATATTCATTAACTTTTTATTCCATATTTAGAATGAATGAAATGAAAGGAGATAAAGATAAATTAAAACACAAGATTTATCCAAATATTGATCATTTTTATGGTGGACAAGAGAAAATGTTGGCAAAAGATTTATGTAATTGGGTTTTAGAATTATTAAATTTACCAATTACTCCAATCAATAATAATAATAATGAAATTAATCCACCTTCGCCAATTTCAATTTCACAACAAGAATCTTCTTCTTCTTCTTCTTCTTCTCCAATAATATAATATAATGATGAAACAAATTTTGTAAAGTTTTCCAAAAAGAGACTCTTTGGACTATTGATTTAACCTGACTGATTAATTATTATTTTACACTTTGGCATTGTTACTTTACACTTGGACACTTTGATAGTTTTGGGAAAAAAAAAGACTTGGTTGGATTTACTACTTTGTTTTTTAATTTATATTTATTTATTTAAATGATTAACGTGCACTACATTAATCGTAATAATTGAATTGTATAAGTTTATTTTAAAATAGTTGTAGCAAGTAAATTTTACATATTATTTTTGTAGGATATTAATAATTTTTTTTTTTTTTTACAATGATAACATTTCAGGTGTAATATTATCATAGACACTTGAAATTTGAGGAATTGAAGTATTTACAAACGAGAAATTGTTATTATTATTTTGATTATTTTGATTCATTTGATCATTTTCCTCTTCCTCTTCCAAATCTTCCTCTTCCAAATCATCGTCTAATAAATCATCGTCATCTTCTAGAGGAGTACCAACTGGATCATATTGATGAAGTAGACGACGCCATTTTCTGACTTGACCATCCCAGCTTCTCTTGCTGCAGATTTGGTTCTTGTTTGGGGTCTTGGGATCGGATTTCTTTCTCTTGCTCTTGGAGACGGCTGTAGAAAAGGTCTTGTAGCCAATGGTAGCCTTACCAATATCGAGTTGGCGTTGGCGGGCTTGAAGACGCTTTGGGTTGTCCTCTTTGAGGATCTTTTTAAGGCTCTCGACCAAGTCGGTGGTGGTGGCAGTATCTGGGGACTGGTCCATCATCATGGCGAGCTTGTTATCTACGAGCTTGTTCGATGCCTTTTTGTTGTTGGACGACGACGATAGAGATGGCATTGGGAGAGGGAGGGGGAGGGGTGGATGGCGCAATTGCATGGGGATGACGCCTAGCGAGTCGCCATTTAATGACAAATTAAATTGGTGAGCAGGGGACACGGTGCCAGCAGCCGAAAAGGGGGTGGCCGATGAGGGCGAGGCCTTGTAAGGGCTGGGTGAGACAAAGTGTTGTTGATTGTACGAGGCAAAGAGAGGGGTACGGGTTTTGGTAGCACTGCCAAAAGTAGAGCCTCCCGAAGCAGAGACTGTAGACGAGTAGACGGATTGCATCAATGCTGCTTCACGTTGGCTCTCGTCGATATAGTCGAGTTCCTTGGGACGGGTCAAAGCAGAGACAGAAGCAGCTCCTTGCAACGACTTTATAAAGTCGACCGAGTAGCGGATGGCTGGCTTGGACGACACGGAAGATGATGGGGCGGGCACAACATCAGCATCATCAGAGATGAGACCGACGGCAGCTCCTCCTACTCTATCCAAAACCTTCAAATCACTAGTTGACAATTCCTTGACTGGTGAATTGTTGGCAGATGTTTCCAACTTTGGGACAGTCAATGAAAATGGTGTACTAGCTGTAAAAAGGAATTGATCGGCAGCAGCAGTAGTAGTACCATTCTTTTTAGTAGAGACTGGTTGTTTCTTTGGTGTTGTTCCAACAGTTACAAATTTGTTTTGTTTCTAAAGTAGAAAAAAAATAATAAAAATGAAATGAAAAAGTTAGTAAATAATTATGATTATTTGTATATTGATATTTTTTATAATTTATTTTACCTTTGAAGAAGAAACTGGAAGATTTTTAATATTCTTTAAAAGTTGTCTATTTGGGGTTACCGAAACAGATGATGGAGTGGTAGGTTGTGGAATGATGGTTGCCATTTTTGTTGTAAACAATAAGAGGAGTGGTGATGACGTGAGTAGGGGGATTGAGAGGTGGGGAGAAAAGAAAGAAAAAAAAAGTACTAGTTTTGGGTAGTTTTATTGTTGGGGTCTTTGGTAATGAATTTCACCTTTTATGTTTTTGATTTCTTTTTTTACAACAAGCAAAGTTATTTATAGTATAGGAACAAACGAAACAAAAGGACGGACGGACGACGATAAAACTTTTTTAATAAATATTATTCAGGTGATCTCTTGTGTAGAAAATAAAATAATGAAATAATATTTTCTTTTTTAAAAAGATAAACAAGAACAGATAAAGTATTTAAAAAAAAAAAAAGATAGATATATATAAATAAATGAATAATTATATATATATAAATTTGAAAAGATTAAAATGTGCGTAAGTAAATTAAAAAAAAAAAAAGAGAAAAGGAGAAGAGTAATACTTGTATATTATATAACTAATGTGTGTAGTGGTATAATAAACTCTTTCTTTTGTTGATGTTGTTGTTGAACCTATCTTATCTATAGACTTGGCTACACTCTGATGATGCTGTTTGTGATATTGTTGCTGTGGAGAGAAAAGAAGAAAAAAAGAATGGTGATGTTTGTTCATCACGTGATGCACAGCTTGTTTGGTTGGGCGTGAAAAATTGTTTGTGAAAATCAACAAAATTGAAGATCAACAATGCCACGCTTTTCATAGCACCTCTCTCATTGTCCCATCCAAACATTTGAATTTTTCATCCAATCCCACAAAAAAACGGGTCATCCATCGCGCCAAACTTTTTAACGACCACATATTTTAAAATTTTGCCGCCAAAAAAAAAATACAATATCATTGTTGAACAAAAAAGATAAGATTAGAAAGAGATATATATATAGATATATATATATATATAGATATAGCCAAGTTACAGAAGAAATGTAAAAAAAAAGGTAATTAGTCATCATGTTTCTTTCTTAATTAGATCTATCCACCAAACTACTACTACTAAATTATGCATTCAAATGTTAAAAGATTCAAGATCAAATGGTTTCATAGATTGAAACAAGAAGAACCACTGGGGAAAAACAACGATCATATCAATGTCATCTGTCTTTGCATCTCTTTAGATTGGTAGGAAATATATAAACAATCCAACCTGAAGAGTTGCAAAGACAGGTGATTGATTGATCGATCGATCGATCCATCGATAATAATAATTCTATTCTGTAAGTTTGTTTTTAATTTAAACATGTTGTTTTTCTTTTCTTTTCTTTTCTTTTCTTTCTATTTATTTTTTAGATTTGTTGTGGTAAATTCATTTCTTGACTATTATTAATAGTACTGGGTGGGAGGATTTCTTGACTATCACCAATACTAGCATAATAATTTAATAAATAACCCAAACCTTGCATAAACAATTTAAATGGTTCAACCATCATGGTTGGTTTCTCGGCAGACACCAAAATACCACAATCTGGAATTTGCAACATGGTAGAATATCTTGGATTAAAGTGTGAAAATACTTCAATTACATCATCCGAAACCGATGAATCTTTACCAACTATAACTAATACTTTACAACTAAGAGAAAAGAAGGTTAATTATTTTTTCTTTTTCTTTTTTTTCTATTTTCTATTTTTTTCTATTTTTGTTTACCTTAGTGATTTAATAAGACTTTGAGAAATATCTTTTCGCTTAAGGAATGAACCAACATAATGACACATATTTTCAGGGTTTATCATTTCCATGTCACGTTTTAAATGTTCACGAAGATCAGGATTGGTTTCTTCCATATTTTCGGAATAGTAATGATTCAAGAGATAGTTTTTGACACTGTTTGGATTCTTGTGTGATGGTATAGAGTTGAAACCAACCCATTGTTTGACAGTTTCCAACCAACTAAATGATTTGATATCGGAACCAATCAAGATGAGACCAAGTACATAACGTGGATGATCAACTGTGAATTGAGTGAGAACACCTCCACCGGCACCAGCACCCATACCAATGAATTGTTTCACCTTGAAATACTCTATCACATCGAGTACATCTTCTGCCATCTCTTGCATCGTTGGATAATCATCACTATCAATCGTTTGTGCATTATATTCATGTCCTGGTGCTTCAATATGAATTATATGTAAATATGGTAATATACATCTAACTTTTGGTTGATCAAAAAAACTATTAAAACATGATACATCTGATAAAAAATAGAAAATAAAAATTAAAAAAGAAAAAGGTAATTAATAAACATATTATTATTCTTTTTTCTTTTTTGTCTTACGATTTAAACCAAGATCATGATAAGTTATTAAAACAGGAGAGTTTACAGCACCACAAAGATGACCTTTTCTTTCATAACATGTGATATTGTATTTTCCTTTGGTAGATTTAATTTGATGAGCAGTTTCATTCTCGTTGAGTGTTGGTGTATAGTCGTGTACCAATACTTGTAAATTACCTCCACTTCTACTATTTCTTAATCCACTTGTACTCTTGTTCAATCCATTTGAACTTTTATTCAATCCACTTGAACTTTTGTTTAATTGTTGTTGTGTTGGTGATGTTGTTTCTTCTAACATTATTATTTGTTTTGTTTGTTATCTATATAAATTTCGTAAAAAGTCGTCGTATATTGATGTTTTGAGTTTGTTTGTTTAAACATTTAAAAAATGTATATAATAATGATAATAATAGTGAATAGTAGATTAAAAAAATTTGTTAACGACAAGCTTTCTTAATTGACAATACTTTTAATAAAAATTAATTTAAATAATTCTTTTTTTTTTTTTACCTTTTTGTTTTTTTTAAAGATTTACGACGGCGAGTGAGAGAGAGTTAAATTAAATAATTAATTAAAGGTTTGTTTGACTAATATACTACTACTTTGTTTGGAAAATATGAGAAATAAAATAATATATAATAAAAAAATAAAACGTGATGTATCCTGGCAAGAAGAAGAAAGGAGAAGGTTGATAAAAAAAAAACTATTTATAAATTAAAAGAGAGAGGTGGATGTTGTGTAAGGGTGTTTGTTGATAAGGAGTAAATCTCAACAAAGAGGGGCAATCGTCTTTTTGAATAAATTTCATTTTTTCATTTTTTTTTCTAATGATACACTGACCCCACTTCACTTTTTGGTTCAAAGAACTCGTCTTCTCTGGGTGACCACGCGGCATCACTTCACCTCACTTTACTTTTATTTCTTCATCCTCTGACGGAACAGAAAATGAAATGAATGAAACGTAATAGTCTGTTTTAGTTATTTATACATTCCATTAAATTTTAATCAATTCAATTCATCGATTATCTAAGTTTTATTTGGATTTATTTGATTATTTCTTTTAAATAATTGATTAAATCAATTTGATTATAATTTTTGGCATCGAAAAGTATAGCATTGAAATTCAAATTGATTTTTAAATCTATTAATTGTTGAATCAATTCAATTGATCCTTTACGACCTAGATATGAACAACAATTGAGGTGATTAAAAATATCTAATCTTGAAATCAACGTTTTGTCATTGAGTTGGAATAGAGTAGGCCAAAATAATTCCATAACTTCAAATCTTTGATGTCTTTTCGATTTGACCAAGTATTGAGAGGATAGGTCAAGTTCAAGACACTTTCTAACGAGTTGGTTGTGGTCAATGATTGCATTCTTGAAACCATGATTCTTTTTGAATATATAGTCTAGGAGTTGAGGTGTAATAGTTTCGTCGGCAATAGTCGTCATGATGGCATCGGACAATTCAAGGTATCCACCTTCCAATGCCAATAAAAGAGAGTTTGCATTACCAACTTGAATAATGTATTGAGAGTCTGGATCCATTGGTGTTGGGTTACTATCTAGTATGTACTGAGTGACACGTTCATCTTTGTTTGCCAAACTAGCTATTACACATGAATCATCAAATCCATATTTCGTACCAAGTTGAATGATATGTTGAAGGGAGAGGAATGGAATAAAATGATGCATTTGATTCTTTTGTAATTGTATAATTGGTATAATATTACAATCCAATGTATTTAGACTGTCGGTAATATCACTATAGATAGATGTATGTTGACCATATATAGGGAATGATACAGATAGAAATAAAGATGATATTACTTTATCCAATTGTTCTTGTCTTTCCGTTTCACCTAGTGCAGGACATGCTAGTAATACAAGGCGTGTGATACGATCGATACACTCGTCAAGTGATCTAACCCCAACAGAGGTGAATCGAGATGGATCATAGATCATTGCAAAATGTTTACATGCCTCTAATCGACTAGTTCCATTTGCAATAGTAACAATCTTTCCAATCGTTCTACCTTGACTTGCGTATAATGGAATATCACCTTTTTTCAATTCAAGTATTGCAGCCAAGGGAAGCATCGATCCCAATACATCACGTGTATAATCATCTTCCAAATGATCAAATATCTTAGATCCGTATCGATCATACATCCATCCAATCAGTTCTTCAGTCCAAGTATTTTGATCAATCCCAACAATTCTTTTATGCCCTTTACTGTCACCAAACATTGTCACCAAGTGTCCATAAATAAAAGAGATAATGTCTATCGACGTACCTCTTTGTTTTAACAACTTGTCAAGACAATTATCCATCGTAGGTCTTGTTGGGAATACCATCTTTTCACTTGTACTTGTACCTTGACTTTCCATTACTAATTGATTGTATACATATTCAACTAGTTTTAATTGATTGGTATTACAAATAATTGCAAATAGAGTTGAAGGCGAATTTGGGAATAGAGCGGGATAGTATTGTTTAAAGAACAAGTATTGATCGATTGTTTTGAGATGAGAGATGACTTTGGTTGATACCTTGTACAACTCTTTTTCATCAATCTCTTTTCTCATCAACTTTGTAATCAACAATCCTGTATACCCATGCACCACCATTTGCTCTACACTGTTCCATTCATTGTACCTATACACCAACGTCATTGGCCATCTCTTGTGCACATCTCTATTCAATACATTATGTATTTGTTCTTTAAATATTTGATGTACCAAATATTTATTATTAAATATACTTTTAAGCAAAGACATCTCTTTTTGAAAAATAGAATGAAACAAAAACTAAAGTTTTTTTTTACCTTTTTGTCTTTTTGGGTGGAAATAAATACGAACCATTTAAAATTTGTTTTATTTCATATCATTTAAAATTTGTTGTTGAAAAAATGGATGATGTAAAGCTTCGTGAGCAGATATTCTATTTTGTGGGTTATAGTCTAAAAGCTTACGAGATAGATCGAAAAAGAGTGCGTGGTCGGGATGGAAATATTCTTTTAGACTTTTTAAAGGTTGTATCTTTTCCAAATCAATTGAATCACATTCACCATAGATATTTCTACCATTATTATTATTATTATTATTATTATTATTATTATTATTATTATTGTTGTTACTTGTTTTGGAGAGAGGATTATCAATATGATTTTTCCAACGTGAATACATTGATGATGGAAGTGGACCAATAACCTTTTCCATCATGGCAAGGTGTTGTCTACTATTGGAAGTGTCAAACAGTGTAGTCCCAATGTATAGTTCGACTAGGATGCATCCTACACCCCACAAATCACATGGAAATGACCATCCCATATCAAGAATAATCTCGGGTGGTCTATAAGGTCGACTACAAACAATACTAGAATGATGTTTGTATTCAAATGTTGCTCCACCAAAATCAATTACTACAATATCACTTTGTTCTAATAATTGATAATCTTTTAAAGTTGATGAATTAGAAGAAGATGATGATGATGATGATGAAGATTGATTTGAAAGTCTACTATTATTATTATTATTATTATTATTATTATTATTATTATTATTATTATTTGATCTATGGTTATGATGATGATTATTATTAATTTGTAGTGGTAAATATTTATCCAAAGTATATTGAGAATTCTCCAATAATATATTCTCTGGTTTTAAATCTGTATGAATTAATGATATTTTATGCATTGCTAAAAGAAGAAGAAAAAGAAAAGATTAATATATATATATAAACTATATATTGTTGTATTTCTTCCTATTTCTATTTCATACTATAAATTGCAGTTAAAAGTTGACGTGATATTTTTTGAATTTGTGATAATGGGAATGGTCTTGAATAATTATTTTTCATAAAATCATAAATACTAATACCATATTTGGCAAAAACCAAGCAAACATGATCTCGATGTTTAAACCAATTTAATAATTTAATACAATGACTAAAATAAGAGAGAGATTAATATTATAGTCTATTTTGGGTTGTTTTTGTTTACATACTATTTTTGATTTGTTATACCATTTCTTGCCAAACAATCTAAAATTTCAATTTCAACCATTGCATCTTCACTATATTTTTTAATTGATCTAACTATTTTGATGGCTACAATGGTATTACTTTTAATGTCTTTGCATTCGACAACGGTACTAAAGGTTCCGCTACCTACTATTTTAACTACTTGATCTTTAAATGAGAAAAGAGAGAGAGAGAGAGAAAAAAAAAAAGGGGCAATTTTAGAACCAAAATGAACAATTTTTTGACAACGACAATCCAAGCCAAGTGTTGTTGAAAAAAGAGATGATTGATGATATAGTATAGTTACATCTATCGATAAGATATTCTCCAATTTGTACACGATAAAAACTATTCTCATCATCCCAAGATGAATGATGATTATGGTAACTTGAACTCAAAGATTTGGTAATGGTTGTATGTGTCGATAACGATGACGACGATGAAGATGTCATGGTTGACTGGGTCGATATAGATGTTGAAAAATTACGATTACTATTATTATTATTATTACTATTATTATTATATGTTGAATTGTTAAAAGATGAATTGCCTCTATGATGATTATGTTCATAATGTTGTTGTTGTTGTTGTTGTTGCGGTTGCTGTTGATAATATTGATGATTATTATTATTACGATTGTTATAATGATTAGTATTATTATTATTATTATTGGCGTTGTGATTGGAATGATGGTGGTGGTTTTGGTAGGATCTATCAATTGATAAATGTCTCGATCCAGGTGAAGGCTGAGTAATTCTATTATTATTATTATTATTATTAGTATTATTAAAAGAAGAAGAGGAGGAGGAGGAAGAATTCTTGTATTGGTAATGATTATCTAAAGAATATTTATCAGGATATTGTGTTGTCGGTGTCGTTGTTGTTGTTGGTTGATTATGGTGATGATTATTACTATTTTGATTATGATGATAGTCTTCAGAAGTTTTATATCTCTTAATTTGACTATGATTATTATAATATGATGAAGATGGATAAGATGAAGATAAATGATGTATATGATTATTATTATTATTTGATGGTAAAGGTGGTGTAGTAGTAGTCATTATTGTTGTTGTCGTCGTTGGATAATATTTATCTTTTCTAATATCTTGTTGTTGTTGATAATTATTACTAATATTATTACTATTATGATGATTATGTTGTGGTTGTTGATGTTGATGTTGATGCTGATAATTATTATTAATATTATTATTTCTTTTATGGTCATAATCATGTGATGTTGTCAATGAAGGTCTATATGATAAAGATGAAGATGAAGAAGATGAAGATGGATAGACATATGATTGTCTTCCACTATTATTATTATTATGATTATTATGATGATTATTATTATTATTAATATTATTACTACGGTTGTTTGTCATTGTCATATTACTACCATTGCCATTACTATTACTATTATTACCATGCCAAGCTGGTGAAGACGACAATGATGATAAAAGTGGAGGAGTCATAGTTGTGGTCGTAGTTGTTTGGTGGTAATATGACATTGATGAAGAGGTGGTATGCGTTTTATCTCTATCTGGCGATCTCTCCCTTTTCTTGTGATGGTCATAGGTTGGTGAGGACGATGCCGATGACGACGACGACGAAGACGAAGAAGACGATGGATAAAAAGAGTTTTGACCACCGCCATACGATGCAAGGGGATGGTGGTGATGCACAGAAGACGATGCAGAAGACGAGTAATATGGTAGGGTAGAGGTGGTTGTTGTCCTTGTTGTCGTCATCGCCGATGTACTATTACTGCTGTACAGTAGTGGTGGAGTTGTTGGTAAACTTTGAGTTTGATACATGGTAGGTTGTTGTAGTATTGTTGTAGGTTGAGGTTGAGGTTGAGGTTGTTATGGTTTAAAGAACAAACTTGTGTAAATACAATTATTATTATTATTATTACTAACTAAACTACTACTACTACTATTGACTATAACTAACTAGTACTCCTTAGATGATAAGGTAGATAGATGATAGATTGACCGAGTGCCGCTGCTAACTGTGGGGTCATCTACAACAACTATTAGAGGTTGCTCGTCGTCGTTTGTTGTTGTTGTTGTTGTTGTATTGTATGGAGGATTTTATTAAATGATTATTATTATTACTGTCATCTATACTAGTCTTTATATATATATATAATAACTAAACTAATTGAAACACAAACTATAATGTTAATTAAAAAAGTTTGGTAGTAAACTTGAAAGAGTGAGAGCGAGATGGCAAAAGGTTTCGACTAGTCTCACTCAAAAATTTAAACTGTCAGTTTTTTTGAACAAAGGTTGTTTGGTTTGGTTGGAGGGTGTCCTCAAAACAACCCAATTATTTGGTTCCAGACAGTAAAAGTGATGGACGGGCTTTATAGTGGGTAATGATCGATCATTATTTTAAATAAAGATATTTGGATTACTTTATTCGTCTTGAAGATTATTATTATTATTAAGATTATTAATTTTATTAAAATTATTATATTAAAATTATAATTAATTGATTCCCATCTTGACGCAACCAACCAAACCAAACCAACCATTTACTTTAATCAATTATTAATTCATGGGGAGTCATGAATATTAATTATTAATTTTTTTAGGATAAATAAAAAGATCCACGTCTATTTATCATTAAATTGAATGTCATTGTCTGTCAAATCTTGATCGCGATGAATAGTATAATCTTGTTGAATTGGATGGTCGGACACGGAAAATATGTTGAAGTTCTACGACATTTAGGGTTGTCAAAATTTTGACAAGAACCAAATCTTTGAGTTGTACACAAAATAATATTTATGTAACTAATTTATATTAATAAAAGATAATCTGATTAAAGAATAATCAAGAGAAAAGCCATCACCTGGGTGACCAAATCATCATCTCAGGTTTTTTCAAAAGAATTTTTTGTAGTTTTTTTTTTCAAGATAAATAAATTTTTAAAGGGATATATAATAATAATAATTTTTTAGACTTTAATTAAATTTATAAATATACAATTCAATTTATTATTATGTCTTTTTCTATTTCTCTTTTGAAAAGATCAATTTCAAGAAGATTTTTTCCTCAAATTTGTATGATGCCCTCCATCCAGCCAAAAATTGATAATCAGGTCAACAACATTATAAACAATAAAAATAACAAAAACAACGACGACGACAACAACAATAACAACGACAAGAACAACAACGACAGGAAGAAAAAAAAAGTATTATTCAATTTATTTTGGAAGGTTTTGATACCATTTACAGCCATTGCTAGTCCTGTTTCTTTCGTTCTCGCTCAAGGATGGTCAAGATCCAGAGCGGTTCTCAACTCATTCGAGTTTGGAAGTTTCCCAACTGTTACATCCAAGACCTATATCAAGAGAGATTCAATTCTCCAAAAAATAATATCAAAGTTGATGCCTCATCCAACCTCATGTTTGTACCATCTCATCGTCGGAGAACATGGTACAGGGAAGTCAACTCTGTTGATCCAGGCTTGCCATAAAGTGAGGAAGGGTGTTGTCTATGTCTCTGTTCCAGAGAATGTTGGAGCCTTTGGGAGAGAGATTGGAAAAGCCTTCAACTTCAAATATGACGAGCACGTTTCTTTAAAGGCATACTTCAATTCAATACTTGGTGAAGCATTCCCTCGACCATCTGGAACCTCACCAATTGAACTTTTTCAGAGATTAAATGTCTTTATCAATGAGGCAGCAGCTGCCTATACCGCCAAACATGGAATCCCTCCAGTCCTCATCATTGACAATATCAACTGGCTGGCTTTGAGAGACAGGGAGATGCTCGAGGTCTTGCAAGACTATGCCAAGATCCATGCTGACAAAGGAGATCTGGTGATCGTATTTGTTTCTAGTGATGGGAATGGCCCCGTTATCCTCCGAGACAGATCATCGTTTTCACGATGTGACAAATCGATCCTCGAAATCGGTGACATACCAGATGAGGATGCAATCAAACATTTGATTGCCACTTGCAAGATCAAAGAAGAATCGGCTTCATATTTGGTGGCTCAAGTTACTGGTGGTAGATTCCAGCTATTGAATGAATGTATTTCCCAAATTAGGGAAGGAAAGACTGATCAACAAATCAAGAACGACACTTATTATTCTGTCATCACAGAGTTTGAGAAATGTGGAATCAATCCCAAATCTGTTATTGGACGATCAGATTTCCACTCACTATTCAAAAAACTCTTGGAGGAAAAGGTTGTCAAAGGAAGAGATGTTGGCCAATTGATCCAAGACAGAAATCTGAGAAATAGGGTAATCTCACATAATATATTTTCTTGTAAACTACTTGGTGGGGATATTACTTTCCAATCAAGAGCAGTTGAGAACTATGTTAGAGTTTCTAAAATAATGTTTATAAAGAAAGATATCATTTGTAAAATAATAAAATATTCATTTTTGTATACAAAGTAATAATTTAAATTACTTTCAAGTACTTTCTTTGTCTTTAGTATTTAATTTTAATATTAGTATTTAGTTATTATTATCATACGATTATTAATAATAATTAAACTGATGTAAACTGTTTATTTCTACACAGCAGCAGCAGCAGTTTACAAATAAACTTCATTAAATTCCTCTTCCTCTTTTTGTGATAGTTTCATGTGACCAGAGGGACCAGTATTAAAATCAGCACCATCTCGGAGTCTTGTTGATTGGTAGAGTAGTTCTGAATTGGGGTGTGGAAGATAGATGATGGCAAGGACATAAGTGTAGAGATTGAGCATGGTAAAATACGAAAAGAATATAATTGACGAAACGTTCTTGGGATCAAACCAACTGAATAAAACACCCAACGAAAAGGCAACCAAAATCATCATTGAAAATACCAAATGCAACTTTAACTTGATATTAACAATGGGAAGTGTCTTGGTGGTCATCCATCCCTTTGCAATCAAATAAACCATATAACACAAGAATATTAATATCATTATTGATGCCATTAATGTAAATATCTAAAAAATTTAATAAAATAATTAATAATCAAATTTTGTTTGTTTGTTTGTTTGTTTGTTTGTTTGTTTGTTTGTTTGTTTGTTTGTTTGTTTGTTTGTTTGTTTGTTTGTTTGTTTGTTTGTTTGTTTGTTTGTTTTTCAATTTGAATACATACTGCCCAAGATGGTTTAGAGTATGGACTATCCAATGGATTATTTTTAATGGTACTTTCATAAATACTAATATGAACCAAATTGATTAAAAAGAATACACAAACCATTATAATCTTTGGTAAATAAAATGATTTAAATGTAAATTCTTGTCCATTCTAAAGGAGGAGGAGGAGTGAAAAAATATTAATATAATGTATTTTAAAAATAATAATAATTATTATATTATTATTATTTGTATTTATCTATTTATCTATATATCTATCTATTTACCTTTCTAATACTATCAAATAAAACAAACCAAAAATAAAATAAAATGGATACAAAAATATACCCAAATAATCCATCAATAGTTTCAGCTCCAATACCAGAGAATAATAATGTCATTAAATAAAACGGATCTAAAATAATAATAATAATAATAATAATAATAATAATAATAAAGTTAATAAATATTACTTTTCCTTTTCTTTTGTTTTTTTACATACTATCATAAAAGAAAAGTGCAACTAAAAGAATAACAACACATTGTTGTTCAATTGTCCAACTTCTCCAATTATATTTTCTTAAAGAGAATACCATTCCAGCCAAAGTAAGAACAGTAATACAAATAAATGCCAATCTAATCATTATTTCCATTAATGAATATGTTGAATTCATATATGCAAACTACATTAAAAATAAATTAAAAGATTAATCATCAAATGAAGTAATCAAATTGTGATTGTTGTTGTTTGTTGTTTGTGGTACATACAGTAAATTCTAATTGACCATCAAAATAAGTTCCTGTATAGGTATTATTGAAAATAGTGATATCGATATAATAGTTTGGATTAAATATACCAATATGATTAACCATTAGAATTGAAGTACAACTACCAGATGATACTTTACAATCCATTTTAAATGTTTTGTTGTATTGTTGTTGAATAAAAGGATCGGAAAAGTTGGATGCACTAATCGTTACAAATGCAGGGAATTCGATAGTGACCGAGGAAGCTCCACCTGATGTTTGGTTGAGTTTGTCAATTGCTTGTTGAGATGGAATAAGAGTAATCGAAGCCGTAAAATATCGGTTTGTCTTGTCCATATTATCAAGTGTCTTATAAATACGTATACTACCATTAGTATATATATCTGAACATTTTTCATCATCTGATGTTGATAATGATGAATTGATATTGTTGTTTGAGTTGTTTGTACTATTTGTACCATTATTTAAACATAAATCAACAAAACTAGGTGATTTAACATAGGCAGATGGACCAGCTCCGCCTCCAATTAAAAATGCTCCATAAACTACAAAGAATCCAATCAATAAGATGATAAAATGCTTTCTTTGCATATAATGCAACATCATCTTTGAAGATCGTCTAAATTAATAAATTAATAATAAATTAAATTAATTAGTAATCTTTAATCTTTTTGATCAATCAAAACTACATATATCAAGTTAGTAAATGTAATATGTATACATACTCTTCAATATCCATTGGTTCAATATGAATCATTTCTTTATTATTATTATTATTATTATTATTAAATGTTTATGTATATATTATATTATACCTTGTTGTTTTTTATATTATTATATATATATTATATAACTTTTATTATTTGTTGTTTGTTATTTGTTATTTGTTGTTATTATTGTGATGATTACTTGACTATTACTTTTTAGACTAAAGGAATGTAATGATCTTGTTTTGTGAAAAGTTATTAAAGAATACTACTAATTTAAATAATGAAAATGATCCAAAGAAGAACATTATACTTGTTCTTGCAACAAATAATAAACAAACTATAGTAGTAGTAGTGATTTTGTTTTGATTATTATGTCTTCTTCTATATGAATGACAAATCTATAAATAAACAACTATTATCTATTATTATTATCTATATTTCTCTCTCTCTCTCTCTCTCTTTCTGTATGATGACTATAACGACGATTATTTGTTCTAGAAAAAGTTATTTATAAATATAAACAAACGTATGACTGTGAGGGTTAGGGCATTGAGCAGATGAGGTGAACGAGAGTGGTGGATGTTTGTGGGCAAAAATGTGTGAAAAAAGGGTTAGTGGGAGGGAGATATTTTTGTTGTGATGCCCTTTTTTTGGTCCCCGAAAAGACATGTCGGCTTCTGACCTATGCTTCACAGTGATGATGAGATCAAGACCTTTTGATCCCAATATTTTTATTCCTCCTAAAGAAATGATAATGGTATTTTATTTTTCTAGATTTATACCAAGCATTAAAACTATGATTGAAATGTTTTTTTAGTTTTTTGTAAACTATTATTATTATTTAAAAAATTATTATTATTAAGACTATTATTATGAATTAAAATGAAATGTTGTTGTTGTTGTAGTTGTTGTTTTATCATCATCATATTATTATTATTATTATTATTATTATTATTATTATTATTATTATTATTATTATTATTATTATTATTATTATTATTATTATTATTATTATTATTATTATTATTATTATTATTATTATACAAAGTAATCAATACCAATTGATACCATACTATTATCTTCAACAAAATAGTATGATTAAAATGGGCAATTTTTGGATTGTGGTTCAGAGACCTTGTTATTTGATTTAGGTCCCCAAGCCAATGAAGAAGAAGAAGAGAATTGATTCTTTTTATAGGCACCACCACTATTGTTGTTGTTGCTGCCTCCAAAGAATACAGAGCCACTTGGTCCTCCTACCTTTTTACCACTGCCGAAACTGCTGCTGCCGCCATAGACATATGGAGCTGCTGGAACAACGATATTGTTGTGTCCAACAATCACATCCTTTTTAACATGACTGCTGCTATTGCTGCCACGAGATTGGTTAAAGGTACGAGGATGACTATTATTGTTTTGTTGAAGATTGGTATTTTGATGTTGATTACGATAATTTGGTTTGTTTGATGATGATGATGATGAAGATTGTTTGTTTGATGATGAAGAATTTGATGATTTCTTTTGAGCCTTTTTAAAATCATCGATACTTTTGAATCGGTCAAGATGGACTTGTAATTCGGGGAGGATGTTGAGATGACCCTTTTCCTTGCGGTACTTGAGGTATGCCCAAAACTTTTCCAAACCATAGAGGTAGCCATCAGAGATGTCTTGGAGAGTGAGTGTCATGAAATCGGTAAAGATGTCGAGACGGTACTTGCGCTCCAAACCATACGACAAGAATCTAAAGATACACTCTAGACCATATCTAAAGTTGTGTTGGGCATCCTCCAAAGCAATCTGTTTAAACTCTTGGTACATCTTGGCATTAAAGTGGGTACGCAAGAAATGTGACCAGAAACGATACAATGTGTTGGTTTCAGCAGACTGTCCCATTCCCAAACGTTTACGTTCCTTGAGACACTTTGATCTAAACTTGTCATACTTGTGTTGAACAAATCCATTCTCTTGAAGTAATTCGTGTGATGGGTGTTGGAAGAATGGAATTTCTTCATTTCCAGAAGATGAAGCATTGGTAGATGTAGATGTAGTACTAGTAGTGGTGGAAGAACTAGTTGATGTCATCATATTATCCTTGAATGATAATGGGAGGGGAGACATACTAAGCAAATTGATTGAAGAGTCTGAGGGTGATGAAGCACTGGAATCCTCCTCTGGAGCGACTGGAGACATGATCCAACCAATGGGTGGTGGAACAGTCTGTCCCTTGGATTTCTTGCTGCTGACATTGGGAGAGTAGAGACGAGTGACTGCTGCGCTGCTTGACTTCTTGGCAACCGTGACAGTAGCATAGTTTTGTGGAACTTGGTTCTTTTTCTTTTTGAGGTCTTGTTCGTAAAAGTATAAACCATCATTAATGATCGATGCAATTTCACAAGAGAATCCCTTTCTATTATTGGATTTACCCTTCTTTCTATATGGTGATTGTGTAACAATAATTAATTTACTAATTTCTGCTTCATCAATCTCATCTTCATCTGAATATTCTGATGAAGAATATTCATCATCCTCTTCTGAATAATCAGATTGTGATAATAATTCTTCTTGATCTGATTCATCTTGTTGTTCTTGTTGTTGGTGTTGATTGATTGGTAATTCTCTTGTTTCAAAATCACGTCTTTCCTTGCTAAAGAATTCATGTTGATCTTCATCTGATGATAAATCAAAGATTGCTTCTTCTCTTTGTTGTTGTTGTTGTTGGAGCTGTTGTTGAGGTTCTTGTTGTTTGATTGATGGTACGATATGAACAGTACTGTTATTATTATTAATAATATGTTTCTTTCCTCCAGATGTGACATTAACCCATCCTTCAGTATCTTGTTGTTGATCTGGTTGATTCTCATCATCTTGATTACTATTATGTTTGAGACCATTCTTGAATTCTTCGTTGAGGAGCCACATGGAACGGTTGTCGGCTGCACAACGTACGCTGGTGCCGTCGTCATTGACCTGGACGACATCTGATGATTTCAAAGCATCGGCCACCTCGTTGATATCATACACTCTCATACGATTGAATCTACAAACAAGTGACAATGGTACCCATCCATCTTTATCCATACTACAACGTAAATAAACATCTCTACAAAGATTTTGAATTCCAAAGTAATAGTTTACTAAAAAAAAAACAAATAAATTAGAAAAGATTGTAATATAAATAATATTTAATTTCTATACGTACACTTGTTGAATAATCTTTTCTTTGATAGCTTGTTGATTTTCAATTGTAATGGTAACAGTTTCACTGCTACTGGTAAGACGGTTGACTTGAAGTGGTTTGTCTACTCCGGATGAGCGTTGACCAAAGTACTTGCCAATGTTTTTGATTGGGTGTTGATCGTCTGTACGTTCCTGTCTTCTTTGTTCTCTTTCTCTCTCCCTCTCCTTCTTTCTCTCCTCTTTGTGTTGTTGTTTTCTTGCTACCATTTTTTTTTAAATCTTGATCGTTGATAGATGATACTAATACTAAATCAAATCACAATACTTTAAAGATGCTCTATCTAAAAAATGAAACTGATATATATATTCTATATTGAAAGTGTCTATCTATCTATTATATGATATGATATCAACAGTAACAACAATTATACAGAGAAGAGAGAGTAATAAATCTATCTGTCTATCTCTTTGGACTAGCTTTGTGTTTGTCGACTACTTCTACTCGTTTTTTAAGATGTGTGAATAAACTAAGATTTATGATTGATTTTAAAAAAGGGGTATGGTATATATATATAAATCTATATAAATATATGTATGTATATATAAATAATATAGTATAATATAATATATGTTTCAAAATATAATGAAAGCGAAATTAAACAAAGACAAGCCCAGAGGATTACGTGAAACAAAAAAAGAAAAAAGGGATGAGAGGTTGGGAAAATCATCTTTTTTTATTAAATTAATTTCGGCTGTCTTTGCTGGGTGCCATATGCACAGGATGAGCCATTGTTGATTTTTTCAAAGACGAGCAGACGAGTGACGAGTGATGATGATCATCATCATAAATTAGAAAGGGAAAACAATGATAGTATCAGTTTGAGAAGGATAAGTAGTATTTGATAGAACACTATTGGAATTAGCGAAATCATAGACTAGGAAATAGCTTGGTTCATCAGTGTACCATGCATTGTTGGCAAGTACAAATGCTAGATTGTCTTTAGGGAGGAACCCTGTTACTAGGTCACTATAATATGTGTTGAGACCAAAGTCTGGTTGAATATATGTGATTGTGCCACTGGTAATATCCAACTCTATAGCTGATAGTGGGTGGTACCCAGATTGAGCACTCACACCACTAACAATATTTCCATCGAGTGATGCGAATCCAAATGATTGATCGTATCCAAATGTCGATCCAACATTGGTACTCCCAATAACTTGTTGTTTCTCCAAATCCAATGTAAATAGGTAATTACATCCTTGTGATATTTTACATGTAATCAATCCAAATGATGATAGATCAATATCATCAACTATCTTTGATTCATCATCATTCTAAAAAGAATAATAAAGAAAATATAAATAAATAAATGAATGAATGATTTGTTGTTCCTTCTTTCTTTCTTTCTTTCTTTCTTTCTTTCTTTCTTTCTTTCTTTCTTTCTTTCTTTCTTTCTTTATACTATACATACCATGCCAGGAGCATTAAACCAAACAACAGCACGGTTATTATTAAAATCATAAATAGAGTATAATTGAACACCTTGAATATTACTTAAAAAGGTTGGTGACTTAATTTCAAATGACTTGTCCAATGAACCATCATTTAAATTAAATCTATATAAATAGAAATTAATTGAACCGGAAAGGAGTACATAGAATTGAGTACCGTCACTTGACAATGTAGATGTTCCATATTCATAGCCAACAGGTAAATTAATTGATTTTACAATAGTACCAGATTGCTAAATTATAAAAGTATAATATATGAGTTTGACAGTTTAATCATTATTATTATATTAGATGTACATACAGTATTTAAATAAACAAGTGATGGTTGATTAGGATAAGAAATATAGGTAAAGATAGAGTTGGTGTATGTTAGGGGTTGTATAGCCCCACCTGTTGAAGGTAGTAAGAGTAACGCATCAAATGCACCAGTCTTTACATCGAATAATGTAAGATTCAATCTTTGTCCATTCTCCACAATCAATACACCATTGTATCCAGAGACTGCAACTGTCGCAAACATCAGCAGCGCTGAAATAATTGAAAATACTTTCATTTCTTTTTATCTCTTTTATCTATATCTATCTACCTACTATCAATCAATCAATCAATGATATAATGTCTATCATTCTTTTATACTCGTTTTCAAAACATCTCTTATTACTTTGTTTGGAAAACCATTGCAATTTCACCAGAGGTATAAATAAATATCTTGATATGTTGGCTATGACGCGAACCGATGTTTTGAACATCCAGTTGCAATGATAACTATAAAGGTATAAATAAGTACTTGGCTGTGCATCATAATATCTGTGATGATATATCCTTCCTCTGCACAACTGCACACTACAGTTGATCAAATCAACCAACATGTACATGTTGGTATGGTATCGTCGCTGTAGATTCTTCATCTTATCTTGAGATCTTCTTGGAGAATACAAAATATAAATATATAATACGCAACAAAGATATATGTATCTTTAGATACACACACCTTAATTTATCTCTTCAACCGCAAATTGGGAATTTCAAACTACAAACATTCATTAAGATGGAGATTAGTGGTGGTACTAATAAATGAATTTATTCGCCATATTAATAATAATAATAATTATTATTATTATTTTTGTTGGATAAAGATCTTCATCCATTCATTCATTCAGTCATTCATTCAGCTCATATGAATGATAAATATAAATATACTTTATATTAATAATTACTTTTTCAAATTAAATCAAAGTTTAGTTTAATTAATTAATTAAATAAATTAATTAATTAATTTGTTAAAATATGGGAGTAATAGAACTGGTTAAATCATATTTAAAAGCTAGTAGAATCACCATTTATTTGACAGTTGTCATTTTGGAAACATTGGCTTTATCAATTGCTCAAGTACAAGTTGGTCTAGGATCGTATTTTCAAAGAGACAATGCATTCTTAATGTTTGGTGTACTCAGTGTCATATCATTCTTTGGTCATTGTATCTATTACATGATCAATTCCTACGTTGACTATGTTACAGGTGTAGATGACCCAAAAACATGTAGTGATCGAACTCTATTTGAAGTGGTATCAGTATCAACTCTACTTAGATATATTGTGGTCTCGATTGGTATCATGATTGGTCTTACATTCTATCTAACCACTTTGTGTCACAGTCCGGATACTGAATGGATGTCTAGAATGTTTATACTCTACTTTATGTCACTCATGTTCAATACTCTATCATACACACATTTCAAGTATATTGCACTGGGTCCAATATCATTTGCATCGTATGCTATATGCACATCCATCATCTATCATTGTCTTTTAACCAACCAGTTACCAGGTCCCCTATTTTATTATCTGTCAACTCCCATCACACTATTCCTCACCAATTGTCTTATGGCCGGTTACCATCGTGACATTGATGAAGATAATAAAGCTGGTATCAAAACAATCAATACTATGCTTGGCAAGAAAAATTCCATTTATTTTTTATTTACTCTTTCACTTATGTAAGTTCCAAAAGAATCCGCTATAAGACAAAAATACTAATGTTTTTTATTACAATTATTTTAGAGTATTTATAATGTCAATCTATTTAGCATTCTATTTACAAAACTATTTACTTTTAACAACATTGATATCATTTCCAGAGGTTTGCCAACTTTATAAAAAGGGGTATCATGGCGATTCTGCCAGATTCAATATTAGAATGTTGAACGCTTTTCGTTGGGGTTGTTCCCTCTATATTATTTCATTGGGATTAGGTGGTATAAATAATCCAAGTGTTGAACTTATTTAAACAAATAAATAAATAAATAAATATATATATCTACATATAGTTCTTTTTAAATCACGTCGAGTATTTCCTTTTTTGGGTTATTCATTCGATTGTTGTGTCGTTTTTTTCATTATTAACTTTGAAAGTATCTTGGGCTAGTCAAACCTTGGGTCATTGTTTACAAGGAAGAAGAGCTCTTCAACAATAATAATAATAACTTTATATACAACAATATGAACAACACAAAAGAGATTAAAGTAATCTATAAAGATGAATCAAAGGATAAGATTAAATATGAACAAACGTTGACAATGCTAAGGGAATGGGAAGAAGCTGCAAACTTTATCGAGAAACTATTTATGAAACATATTCAATTAGATACTATTGACTTTGTCAAAAGGTATGTGTTATTTATATAAATATTGATGTATATGGTATGATGCCAATAACAATTGTTTTACTAACCCTCCTCACCAAAAACAACAATTTTTTTTAACAGCACTGTTACTTATACGATGGTAGTACCAATTGATTTATGTAATATTTTAAATACTTTACATGGTGGTTCAATTGCTACATTGGTAGAGTATGTATACACATAATATAATACAAAGTTTATTTATATTTATATTAATTAATATCATGATGTTTATAGTATTATAAGTTCAATTGGAATTATTATATTCAGTGGAAAGGTTAATCCAAGTGTTAGTGTTGATTTAGTCATTAACTATGCCAATGCAGCGCCTGCTGGCAAACCAATTATCATTGAATCATGTGCATACAAGATTGGAAAGAATCTAGCTTTTACAGACACTACCATCAGAAATGAAAGAGGTGTCATTGCAAAAGGATCACATAATAAGTTCTTATCAATTCCTCAAGCTAAAATGTAATAATAATAATAATAATAATAATAATAATAATAATAATAATAATAATATATCACACGTACAACACATCACCCATACGCAAACATGTAATAAATGAGGCAAATATATTTAATATTATATCAACCCAACCCACCACCAACTATAATAGAATACAAAAGATATCTAGAGATTCCTAAGTAGTGTAAAACTTTTAAAATCTTCTTGCCAGACTACAAGAAATACGGTATATATTATGTTAACGTAAATATTTAAATAATATTATTATTTGTTTAAAAAATAAGAAATATTATTAAAGTTTAATGGAAACTATTAATTCATATTTAAAAGCTAGTAGATTAAATGCATATCAAACAGTATTGGTTTTGGAAGCATTGGCATTGGCAATTGCACAATCACAAGTTGGATTGAGTTCATTCTTTCAAAGAGAAAATGGACTATTGATGTTTGGTATTTTAAGTGTCCTATCATTTTTTGGTCACTGTATCTATTACATGATCAACTCTTATGTTGACTATGTATCAGGTGTAGACGATGCAGAGACTTCAACTGATCGAACACTATTTGAAGTGGTATCAATAGCAAATCTACTTCGATACATTGTCGTTTCCATATCGATTATGATTATTTTAACCATTTACCTAACCACTCTATGTAATGGTCGACAAGAGACTGAATGGATGGCTAAAATGTTTGTAATATATTTTATTTCACTCATGTTTAATACATGTACCTATACACATCTAAAGTATATTGCATTGGGTCCAATATCATTTGCATCGTATGCTATTTGTACATCGGTCATTTACCATTGTCTGCTGACCAACCAATTACCAAATCAAATGTTTTATCTCCTCTTGACACCAATTCTATTAATTCTAGTTATTTGTCTAGTGTCGGGATACCATCGAGACATTGATGAAGATGAAAGAGCTGGAATCATAACAATCAATACCCTACTTGGAAAGAAAAATTCAATCCTATTTATTTTTTCGCTTTCAATTTTGTATGTAAACAAACCAACAAAAAAATACTCTACTCCTAAATTAATATATTCTAAATTCTATAAATATATTTTAGATTTTTTATAATATCTATCATTTTAGCACTCAATAGAGAAAACTACCTCCTTTTATCAGTATTGGTTTCTCTGCCAGAAACATGTAGAACTTTCAAAAGAGGATATTACAGTGATTCAACAGCTCATTTCAACTTGAAAGTAATGAAAGCTCTTCGTTTGGGTTGTAATCTCTATATTGGTTCAATTGGAATAGGTGGTGGTGGTCTTTTCAACTATCTTTAATATATCTAAACTTTGGGTCTCAGTCTCCAGTTTTTATTCAGTTGGTCGTTCATTTTCAATCTCCAATTCTTTTTATTAGACAAATAAAATATCACACCCCTCATCCTCAAATTAGATTACAAGATAGATAGATATTCACTTGCCACAAATATTATTATTAAGAACCACATTTTGGTCCAATTTAATTTAATTTGATCATTATTAACAAAAGATTACTTTAGATCTTTTACCATTTTAATATTCAAGTTAACAATTTTAATTCTAATTTTAAGATTTAAAAAAGGATATTACTCTGGTGATACAGAACTAGATCACAATCCAACCACTACCAAACAATCTTTGTTCTTGTAAGTTGTTGCTATCTCTACTCTATTTCAATTGGAATTGGTGGTTTCACAACATTGAATGAAACTAAGTTTCCTTTTTTGATTATTTTGTTTTTATTCACAATCACATATTGTATTCCACCCAATCCAATCTTCTTTTTGTACTACACACACACAATTTATTCATTAAAATAATGTGGTAGGCTATTTAAAGAAGCAACTACATATGTAATGAAAGAGATGTATGTTATTATTTTTTTTATTGCCAAAGGCCAAGATCAACTCTGATTTTCTTGTTCTTTCCAAGCTAGCTTGCATGAAATAAATCGCTCTTTCATGAGACAAAAGATAGATAAATTAAATATAAAAATATGAATCTACCCCTCCCTCCTATAAATCAACACCAATATTGTATTTAATAAAACCATTCAATTACATTGATATATTAATATATAAAAACTGTACACCGATTTAGTATAAAATCTAGAGATGAAAATTCCGGACAGGTTGGTTGGTTGATGATGTATGAACCGTTTGATAGCTCTACCAAAAAAAAAACCAAGAGAGAGAGATGTCATCTATCCATCCTCATGAAAGAATTTAATTATATTATTCTACTAGTAGTTAGGATTCAGTTCTTTATATTAGTTCATATTAATAATTATTTAAAAGATAAATTAATTTGTTAAAAAAAAATGGAGATGGTTAGATCATATTTCAAGGCAGGTAGACTAAAAGTTTATGGAACTGTGTTGTCTACTGAAGCATTGGCATTGGCAATTGCCAGTTCACAAGTTGGATAAGGTGGATTTTTACAAAGAGAAAATGCAATACTCATGTTTGGTATTTTAAGTGTCGTATCATTCTTTGGTCATTGTCTAAGTTATATGATCAATTCTTATATTGACTATATTACAGGTGTAGATGATCCAAAAACGTCAAGTGATCGAACACTATTTGAAGTGGTATCAGTAACAACTCTACTTGGATTCATTGCATTTTCGATTACTGGTATGTTTGTTTTAACATTCTACCTAACTACTCTATGTCATGGCGAGACTGAATGGATGGCCAAAATGTTTGTCATGTACTTGGCGTCACTCTTGTTCAACTCTTGTACCTATACACCACTAAAGTATATTGCTTTGGGTCCTATACCATTTGTAATGTATGCCACTTTTACTTGGGGTATCTATCATTGCCTCTTTACCAATAGTCTTCCAACCCCAATGCAATCGATACTGTTTGCTCCACAGCTAATATTCCTCACCACCTGTTTCTTGGCTGGATACCATCGTGACATTGAAGAAGATGAAAAAGCTGGAATCAAAACAATCATTACTATGCTTGGAAAGAAAAATTCAATTATATTTTTATCATTCCTTGCTCTTTTGTATGTTCAATCCACAACAATCTATTTTTCATATAAACTATTATTAATATTTCTTTATTTTAGATTTTTTGTATCAATGACATTTTTAGCATTCTATGGACAAAACAATCTCATTTTATCGACATTGGTGGCATTACCTAAAAGTTTTAAGATCTTTAAAGAAGGATATTACAGCTCGACTTCCCAATTCAACTATCAAGTATTGGCTGCTCTACGTGTTGGTTGTGGTTTCTATATTGGTGCCATTGGAATTGGTGGTTTTAAACATTTAATTTAAATTAAAAATAAACAATTATTATTTATATGTGTTTAGTGTTTTCTTTTACATCTATATAATTACAAGTTTATTGTTTTGTTTTTTAAGGGGGTGGGTGATTAATGGTATAGTTGTTCGTAAATTGACTTTAAATTGGTTGGCAAGAGATCCAGAGTGAGAGAGATGAAAAAAAAAAATAGAAAAAGGCTATTACTACCTAGTTTTAGAGTGTTGTTGTTGTTGTTATCCACATCCTTTAACATCCATCATTCCATATATCTTTTGAGAGTGGGTAGGAGGGAGGGAGGGAAAAATGGAAATATTTGTACATAAAATATATGATTTGATTTGTTTGGATTGAGTTGGGATGAGATATATATAAACACTCGAAAAAAGAGTTGGTAAAATGATAAGTGTCTCTCTCTCTCTCTCTTTCTCTCTCTTCCTTGTCCAATTTCCTTTGTCTGTCAATTGTCTGTATTATTATTATTATTATTTTTTGTTGTTATTTTTCCAATTCCATGGTTGGTTTGATTGATTTGATTTGATTTGATTGATGATTCGTTATGTGTATATAATGTTATAAGAAAGAAATAAAGAAATATTTGTATAATATTATTATTGAATATTTGATTAATTAATAATTTCAATTTGTGTATACTTGTTGAGAGCACTGATCAACAAGAAAAGGTCATCTTCGATTTCCATGTCATCCCAGACCTTGATGAAAAAGTCTGCTGACCCGAGGAAAGCAAAGGTAGACTTTAACTTTTGGAGGTTGTGTGGACGGAGGTATGGCGAGAAGAGGGTGACAGCCTCGTTCTCAGCCTCTTTGAGGGCGGCAGCCGACTTGTCGAAAATGGGCAAGAGGTCGGTTCCCTTTTTGACGCCATAGAATCTAAAGGCACGGTCCAACTGGTTGAATGCCTCACGCAAGGCCTTGTCGACCTTGGCAAACTCTTGAATCTCGATGGTCTTGTTATCGATTTGGAAAAAGACCTTGACCAAGATCTTGATGATATTCTTTTCAATCTCGTTGGCCTTTTCTTCGTTGGAGACACGCTTGATAATCTTTTTGACCGATGAAATCAAGTCTCGACCCTCTTCGGGAATCAGTTTCTTGAGACCACTCTTGCCAACACCACTAGCAGCAATCTTGCCAGAAATGTTTTTCTTGGCTCTAAACAATACATCGGTACGACCTTCACGCTTAACCTCTCCGTTGCCAACCACTATTGGTGCACCTGCATTATTCTTTTTACCTAAACATTCCTTTACCTTTTCACTCCATTGAGTAAATTCTAAAATTGACAATTGTAAATAATTTAAAATAAATTCCATAAAAAGTAATGATTGATTAATAATTAATTATTAATTGTTATTGTGTTGTTATTGTTATTATTGTTGATATTTACCTGAACTGCTATTTGATGACAAGTATATAACTTTGTTTGAAGAGTTGCGAACGGCAAATGTATTTGGTCTAGTGGTTGCATTTTGATTAGTATCAAGCAATGCAAATTCTATATCAACACATTTAAAATTATCATCCTAAATAAATATGTATGATCAAAAAATCAAACCCAAATTAGTATATATAATTGGTGTGGGTAGGTCAACATCCAACATCAACATCACTGACTAACTGATTGATTGACTGAATCAATCAAAAGTGTGAGTGATGTCAATTGACATTATTTGGTGATTGATTAAGCAAACTTACATGTTGAGTTTTATATATATAGATTGCTCCATGAACTAAACGAGCATAACAAGTTTTGAATTTCAATCCATGTAAAGATGACTTTTTGGCAATATCCAAGATACCTTCTTGCATTACAACTACTGTGTTTGGTTCCATTATTATTATTATTATATATTATTATTATTAAAGAATTGGTAATATTACAATTAAATTAAATTAAATTGATTTAATGTTGGTGGTTGTTGGATGACTCTATTTTAGATATTATCTATTTATCGGACTAATGTAATGGTACAAATTTGTTGAGGTATTAATTGATTACTATAGTTATTATTATTAATTATAAAGAATAAGAAAGAAACCAGGAGTAAGTAAGTAAGTAAGAATCCCTATGTTTTGATGATGGACGGGTGCAACAATATAAGTGTAGGGTAATAAAAAATAATAATAACAACAACAACAAAAGAACAAGAACAAGAACCACAACCTCCTCTCCACTTCTTTTTCTTCCTTTCCAAAATATGGATATGTTTGTAAATAATTTAAAAGTGGGAAAGAGAAAGAAAGAGAGAGAGAGAGAGAGAAGGAGAAAAGACAGATTGTTGACAAGTATATCGATCTATATACATGATGTAAAATGTCGTTTGACAAATGCGACACACACATCATCCATCATGTGTGGGGGTTCAATCAACCAATCAACCACCCACTATTGTCAGTCTGTCAACCAGAATCAATCACTCTGTCTAATTATAATTTGTTGTTGTTAGAGGAGGAGAAAAGTGTTTTGTTGTTAAGAATATCTATCTACCTATTAATCTTTAATCTTTCCTTCCTTGTTTCCCTACACTCTGTTTTCTAAAGAAAGATTGACCATCATAATCATAACCATAATCATATGATCATGACCAATCCCTTTAAAAATATGTCATGTGCTCCATGAATGGGATAGATAAATAAAAGATAGATAGATTGATAGAGATAGATGTTCCCTTTAATTGGTGGTGTTGTTGGGTGTATATATAATATATTATTTTCCATTACAAGGTGATCCAGCTTTTCTCTTTCTCTCTCTCTCTCTCTTTGTTTTGTTTTCCAACCAACTATGACATTATTATTATTATTTCTTCTTACTTTTATGTGACCAAATAAAAAATAAAAAAAAGTAGTAGAAACAGACTTGAATTATCACCCCGCTTTTGATTGGTGATCAATCAACCAAACGATCCATCAATCAAAAAAAATAGTACGTGCAAAAAAAGAAATAAAATAAATAAAAACTATTATCATCAACCACCAAATTACACTGGCTGCTTCTAGCATGATTGATTGATTGATCACTGGACGAGGGTGAAGGTGGTGAAGGAAGGAAGGTGTGGGTGGTCAACTAACAAACAAATATTTTTGAGAAGAGATACTACTACACACAACCACCCACCACAACGAACAACAAATATTATTTGATTGATTGATGAAAAATATTCATTGTTGCGTTGGGTAGGTTAGTTCGTTGCACAAACTCTCTTATCCTCTCTACTGCTACTGCTACTGCTATTAGTTGTACCTGCTGTCAATTCATCTGATAGTTGAGCTCGAGCTAGTAATGAATGATGATGATGATGATGATGATGATGATGGTGATGCTACCGCTAGATTGCAGGTCGGGCTATATTTAACAATTGCAGACAGAAATATAAGGTTCAAAACAATGGGTGTAACTGACTTTTTATATGTTGTATGTTCTATCTCTTTCTAAATAGTTAACTCTATCTCTGTGTATATATCTATATTATTGTAAAAATATGAATGGATGATAAAAATGAATGAGGAGGAGTAATATTAAGCTCCTATCCTATCTCGAGGTCAATTTTGGGAAATATTCTTCTTCTTGATCTTTGGAGGAGGTGTTGGTGTGGGTGGGCAACAACAGCGAAATCTGCCACTTGTTTGACGTCAAATCTCCCTTTGCACCACCTACCTCGATAGAGAAAAAAATTTAAAAGAAGGCAAAAGTGGTTAAATGTTTGTGGCGGCGATGAACCGATCGGTCTATCTTTGTCTTCAGATTGATATCTACCTATCTCTCTCTCTCTTTCTGTTTTACACTTTTTTAAAGGAATCTCTGCTTGTAGTAAATGAAATGAATGGATGTGTTTATATGTTTGTTTGTTTGTTTCCAAAGGTTAGCCTACAATCTTCCTTCATTCCTTTTATCAAAGAGTGGATTAAATAAATAAGTTACTCCTCTTAAAAATTTATCAACCGCCCACAACAATGATCGTTAGGGGGCTCACTAATAGATAGTTGTTCTAAAAATAACTTTTTAAACTATTTCCACATTCATTGTATTATCTCTCTTTCTATCTGTCTATGCTAGTAGCCATGTATGTATGTAACTTTTTTAAAAACGAAACACAATATTTAAATCTATCTTACACTATAATACTGACTTGTACTGTTTTTATTATTAGCTCTCTCTCTTTTCTTTTTCGATGAATAATAATTAGTAGTTAATAATAAGATGTAATAATGAAATTGTGGTGATCTGTTTGTTTCTTTCTTTTTCTCTATTTGTTTAAAAATAAGATAATAAGCTCGACAACCAAGCAACCAACCAATTCAGATGTGCAAGCAAACCTCGAAAACTTATTTGAGGCCGTTGTGTATGGTCAAAACTCTGACGGCTGCTCCTAAAAATAGGTTTTTCAAAACAGAGATTGGATCCCTTGACAAAAAAAAAAAACCATGACAAAGATACAAAAAAGATATTATTATTATTTATTTATTTATTTATTTACATATTTATAGGTTCTTAGAGATCAGAATTTAAAGGTTTTAATTTTGATTCATTTGAAGAAGCATTTGAATTACCACGATATACAATATTAAATCCATTACGGAAAGAGATGATAAGTTTCTTTTTGATAATGACAACCGAGATGATGAGTAGTGACACACCAACTACTGATACCACTACAGATACAGATACTATAACCCATTGTCTATCACTTTTGTTGGATGCAGAACATTCATCTTGGTCAATGTCATCAGGTCGAGATAGGATGACACTAAAATCTGGGTCAATTAACAATTCCGTACCATAGGGAAGATTAATGGCAACGAATAGACTTTCAGTGGTTTGGTTGACAACAAGCGTTTGTGAAAAGGTTGATCGATTGTCTGATAGTACACGATCCAAGAATCTACCGTAAAGAGTCTTTCCATTTCTTTCAATCATAATGTATTGCAGCGAGTTGGCTGTAGAGTTGGTCGTAATCGATCGACCAATTTCACTGCCTTCACAACTATGGTTACCCATCGAAAACGATTCAATTAATAGTTGGATATTGTTGGTTGATGAGAGGTACGGCCAGTTGGTGATATTGACGGTCATCTTTAAAGCACCTTTATCGAGGAACATGGGAATATCGGCAAATGTCCTGTTGGCAGGTTCTTGAAACTCTTCGACAAAGTAGGTGAGTGTCATTGTATTTTGAAAGGTGACTCTGTACATCCAGATATTGTCTAGGTACTTGGCCGAAACATTCCACTGATTGTTGATGGCCCACTCGCGAATAAGGTCGCCCATAAAGTTGACCTCGCGTATACCGGCCACTCTAAACCCAAACTGCGTGTTTCCATTTTGAATGACCGTGCCATTATTGATGTACTGTGTGATGGTCGAGTTGAAATTGGGTCGTTTGTACTGACACGACTCGCCGGCGTATCCGGCATAGCAAAAGCATAGACTGGTCGAGTACTCGCATGTACCGTGTCCGTAGCAATTACTAACACATCCTTGTATGTCTTCGAGGTAGACAAATATGTTTCGGTAGGTTGCGCGAATACCTTGTACCCATACAGTCACATTCTTTGTACCGCTACCCGGCCCTATAGTAGACTCTATCATATTTGATGATATGTTGGTGATAGTGCATGGCACACCGTCTAGTGCCAGTTGGGTGCCAGTATGGTTGGTTCCAAACACACCATACACTGTAAACACACCACCTACACGCGGTGGCGACGACACGGCCGTCACAACCGGATACATTCGTACAAATCGCAAGTCATATGTAATGGTGTATTGACGGAATGACATGACGAGCAAATTGATGCCTTCGTCGAGTGGCTGTGACACTATACACGTGACATAGGTCAATCCCAGTTCTGCCGGGGTACATGGTTTGCCGCCAATCTTGATCGACAGGTTGAGAGTATTGTAAAACCCGTTGCCCGAGATGATAAACCCGTACCCTTGTACCTGACTACCTCCATACACAAACTGATTAACCTTTTCAATAGTCGGTGGAACAATCTTGATTGCCATATTTACAGTTTGTTGCGTGTCGGGGAATGTCACGGGCAAGTATCCCTGTGCCATGATTTGACTAGCAATCGAGGCATTCACCTTGCACGAATACGAGTAGTTGGGTATTTGCGACGACAACAAACGACAATACGATGACTCGAAATAAGGGCTCCATCCTCCATTGACAACCAACAGCGTCAAAAAGAGTGACCCCTCCATATAATTGATTGGTTGTATGACACGGTAATCACATGTTGTATTCTGACCAGTTTGAATGGGCCAATTTGAGAATTGGTTGTTTTCAAGCGACGCTGCTATATATGGGTCCCTTATTGCATGACATATAAAACAGTTTGGCAGAGGTCCGCTCAATTGGTTGTTTCTAACGTCTGATGAAACATAACACCAACTATTGTCCAAGTGTCCAGTTGCTTGATTGTGTGAGAAATCAATGGTCGACGGATTATCAGAAACTGGCACAACATCCAAAACATTCAATACCGGTGGTTGTTGTGAAATGGTATTATTCGCTAATATAATTGCTGGCATCTTGAAATAAACATCAAATTGTGGGTATCCTTTTAATCCACAATTTGATATTGTCCTAATAAAAAAAATAAAAATAAAAGTAAATAGTTATTCTATATAGAGTTTGAATATTTTTTATATAAATATAAATATATATGTTAAACATACATTAAAGTAAATAATTTACCAACACCAACTGGATAAACAACATCATCAAGTAGTGGTGAGTTTTTAATGGTTAAAGTTCTAAGATTTGGTGATTGTGAGAGATCAACTACATTTTTTGCACCTTGAAAGTTGATATCATAAAATTCAAGCCCGGCTGTACAATTGATTAAATTTATATTTGGGAATAAATAGGTTTTCATTGGATTTGGAAATAAATCTTTAAATACACTAATTTAAATAAATATATTAATATAATATAAAATAAATAATAGGGGAAGGGGATTAATATTAATATTTCTAATCCTTCAACATACATCAAGTTAAGATCATGTCCAATATATTTAAAATTTTCATCAATTGTGTCAATATCAAAATTTGGTCCAAAATAAATAGTCCTAAAAATTAAATAAATAAATAAATAAATAAGATGGATGGATGGATGGAATGGGAATGGGAATGAATGATACAAACAAAAATAAAAGATTTGGAACTTGTGATATTGAAAAACCAATGGTATTGGTTTGAATCTCTCTATAGAATATAAAAAGATAATAATGTATTAATACACATTAATTTGATATATCAATATTATATTATATTGTTCTTTCTTATATATATATACTTACAAATATTTTAAAGCAGTGTTTGTATTTTCAAGAATAAAATTAGTGTCTCGTATATGTGAAGTGTTGGTTGAATAGATGATGATTTTTCCTAAAAGACTATTTGTTATATTGATAGGCCCCGATATAGGATTATCAACCAACTTTAAATAGGATAATATAGTCGTCATAGAATTACTAAGTGGTGGAAATGATTGAATATTACAATTTATACATGTACTATCAAGAGTATAAAAAAAAAACTATATTAATATCAACATTATTATTTAATATTATTTAATAGTTTAATATTTAATATTACATACAATTCAGTAGTTGCATTTAAAACACCTCTAAAAAATACATCTGAAACAATCACATCTTTTAAAGATCTGTTTTATAGTAGAATAGGGAAATTGGAAATGGTAATTAAATTAGAGAGGGTTGTTTAAGGATTGAATGATTAGTTAATTGATAACAAACAATGAAAAGAGTATACCAAAATCTTGATTTGTAATTAGATTTGATGGGAGTACTTCGACACCTGTACCAGTAAGATTTATCTGAGTCATAATCGATTGTTGTGTTATATTGGTAGGAACACATATAAAGTGTGGGCCTAGTGGTGGGTCTTGACAATATGATGCCGTGTCTGGATACAGACTCTGTAATTGAAATAGTTGAACCAAATATTGAACCTTTGGCACTTTTTAAAGAAAACAAGACAAATCCATTAGTAAATGATCAATCAATCCCGATAGTAATGATCATAATAATAATAATACATACATTGATTAGGAAGTAGTGGGGGTTGTGCTATAGCATTGACACCACCAAACATTGAAAGTAGTGTAACAACCATCAATGGTAGTACAATCATGATGAATGATTGTATACTTTTTGACATTCTTTTGTTGTTATTTATTATTATTATTACTTATTCAACTCTCTCTCTCTATTCTATGTTATTTTACTGTTACTTATTATTACTTATTACAATGCAATATCTGATTGCATGAAACAAAGCCTATGCACAAGCAAGATGCGTGCGTCTCTCTCGAGTGTTCGAATAAAAGAAAAGGAAGGAATGGGAAAGATCAAACAACAATCCCGTCTCCTCCCTTTTGGCACCATTGTACCAAACTAATCAAATATCAACATCAAATATGAGATATTTATATATCGCTAACCAAAAAATATCTATCTTAATTTTGTAGTCGTATTGTATTGATCGGAGAATAAAGAAAGAGTAACCTAACTAACTACCTTACATACACGTACTACTTGAACAAGTTGTTTCTCAATTGGTTGGGAGTGGAGAGACACAGGAGTAGGAATCAATCTTTACATCGCACATAAACACAGAGAGACAGTTAATGATCAATCATTGAGTTACACACTTGTGTAAAAAGAATCTGACAAAATTTTTTAATTTTTATTTGTTTTTTTTTTTTTGGTGTTGTTTCTGCTGGTGGGGGCAACCAACAAAAGAGACGAAAGTTTCGTTTTTTTAGTTACATTATTATCATTGGCTAATGTAAGTTATACAAAAACAGATAGATAGGAATAGTAAGGTTGGACAGTTATTATTATTAGTAGTATTACATATTCATTGGTTGTTATTTGCGTGATGACAAAGTAGACCTGAACCTAGCGAAATTATGCAGATGCAAACTATTATGCGGAAAACCCTGAACAAATAACAACAATCTTTTGAATGTTACTACTACTACTTTAATACTACATCCAACTACCTTCCTCTCTTCTCTTTACCTTTTTCTTTTACTATTTTGATATTAACCTTTTTATCTTTCTTTCTCAATTATAATAGTGTACCCATTCTTGAGTCTGTCTCTGAACCTACCTCTACCCTTGATTTCTGATCCTTATATCAAATATAATAAATGAATACTTGTGCTATATTACACACAAATATAATACACAAAGACTTTTTTACTTTTGTTTTTTGCTTTTACAAAAAGGATAATGATTAAGAGTATTAATCAATTGTTTTTTTTTTTTATAGAATCATAATATGTTTGTTTGTTTAAATGTATTTGTTATATTTATTATAATGTGTAAAAAAGAGGAATTATTTATTATTTATCTACGTGGTGGAGGTGGAGCAACCTTGGCACCAAATTTTGGTGGACCGGCAGCAGCTGGTGGTGGTGGACCTGCAGCGATCTTTGGTGGGAGCTTTGGTGGGAATGCTGGACCTGGCTTGACAGCCGATGGTGGTGGTGGACCTGCAGCAATCTTTGGTGGGAGCTTTGGTGGGAATGCTGGACCTGGCTTGACAGCCGATGGTGGTGGAGCTCCAAAGCCGGCTGGTTTCTTCATGCCTGGCAAACCCATTGGTGGGGCACCGACACCGGGACGTGGCATGCCTCCCATTGGGGCACCGCCGCCACCACCGCCACCAGATTTATCTGGAGCCATGACTGGTGCCGAACGATCGTTGGTCTTGGTCTTTTTGAGTTTGGCACCCTTGTGAATAGAAGAGAGCAAAGCAGAACGCTCCTGGGTCTTTGGAGGTGCTGGGGCAGGTGGGGGTGGTGGACCTGGTGGGGGTGGTGGACCTGGGGGTTTACCTCCCATCATTGGTGGTCTTGGTGGTGCTCTAGTTGCCATGATGTTACTGAATGTTGATTAATGGTTAAATAATATAATATATTTTGAAGGGGGAAGGGGTGAGGGGGATATATGGGTTGTATCTGTTGTTGTAATATAGTAATTGCAATTGTAATAATACTATATCTACTTTAAAGTTGTTCTAATTTTACAATAATAAATAAATAAATAAATAAATAGGGGTAAGGTTATAATATATTATATGATACACAAATAAATAATTGTTTGGATGGAACTCAAACTCACCAAGTCACTCTCTTTCCCCTCCGATAATTGATTTTTTAATTAACCAGAAGATATTTCATGTTGGAAAATTGAACAAAAAAAAAAGAAAAGTTTTACTTTAAAAAAAAAAATGGGTGGATGGACTTATTGTTTGATGTATGGTGTTTTTACAACAACCAAACCTGCAGTTGGTGCTGACAAGGTACCATCAAACTTTGCCCAAAATCATGTTCATGTAAAAAAATTAAATATCTGTCCTGTGCATCCTTTGGAAAAGAGATACTATTCAATTCAATTTCCAGCCTACTACTTTTGTTTAAAATCATCTTCGTTTTGGTTGATCATCAGACCATTATCATCATAATCACCCATCGATCGACAATTCATTCCATTCATTATATTAATTAATATAAGATTTATATATATATCTGCAGAGATAAATATGTATATCTCTATCAAGTCGTAATGTCGGGGGTCTAATTCAATCAATCAAGAAAGAACTCAATGTTGACAGCAGTCCTCCTCCTCCTCCACCCAAATTTACTCCACCACAAGTCACACCCACCACTATAAACGAGGCCACTGACGCACGTGTACAAGCTCAACCTAAAACAAACAAACAAGAATTATTTGGGTTGGCTACTCAACTCATGTCTAGAGTGTTTCGATTGATATCTCAAATCTACATGATCCCTTTACAACTCGGATCGTACGACCATTTGATGCAAGAAAGAGACCCTACTTACTCAGACCTACTGCTCTTTGGGACATTTTCTATCTTTTTTTATTGGGGTAACAAGTTGATCCTTTGTTCAGGCTATTTGGGTGGATTCAAAATTGATCCAATGTCTTCAAAACAGACCTTTATCTCATTTTTCATATCCCTCTTTGTTCTGGGTCCTCTATTCTTCATAATGGAATTACAAACATTGGCATTTTTTGGTTGCTATGCCTTTGTCATTAATGTTTGCACATATTTCCATTTAGGTAAAAACAACAATAATAACAACGACAACAAAAACCAGCAGTTTATCCAAGATGCATGGTTTTGCTCACTTGTAATTATAGTGTGTGCAGTAGCAACTTATCTTAGAATTATCTCCTTTCCTCTTCCTCGTACTCCATTACAACAAATGGCAAACACTACCATTCGGTTCGTCATTGAAATGTTCCAATTATACTCTAATCATATATTCTCTTGGCTTAGAAGAAGAAAATTCTTTGATCATCAATCATTGGCAACTTTGAAATCTAAATCAACATAAATGTAAATAAGTCTTTTAAATGTAAATAAATTAAATTATATCTTATCCAATCCAGTCTCTATGATCACATGACAAACACGATTTCAATCATAATATCATCATCCATCACTCTTATTATATATATATATATACTAGTAAATAGATAAATGAACAGTTAAATGAAAAGAAATAAAATGAAATAAAATGTTGCTTCGCTGAGCTTCAAGCAAATTTAAAAATTTTCTCTTATTCTATTTTTTTTTTTGTGTGTTTAATAGTTATTACGCTCCTACTACTACTACTACTACTACCTACTACTTTCTTTCGGAGAGCACAATCGATCGTTATTAGTCTTTTCACGTGAAAACTAGTCTAAGACGTGATGTTTGTGGTTATTGGGCAGAAGGGTAGCATATAACATGTTGGTGCAAATACATATCACGTGGTCTCCCTCATTCCTTACCATTTGGTTAAATTAGTAGATTGACAGTCAAACGCGTTAGGTTGGTACAGTACACAAGATAGATATTATCTTTATACATGAAGGAAGGGATCCCTTTATTTCACAATCTCACTTTTGATTGTTGGGCGTCCAACAGACACAATGACCACTGCTCTTGTCACTCGATCATTGAATGATCACCCGAGGGCTGCAAGCTAGACCATCACGTGACTTTTAAAACAATCGGTTGTTGGTGATATTCATATCAATCAACTCACCTCACCACGTGTAACTCAACCATTTAATTTAAATAATATTGTATATAATTGTTGACTGTACTATTGAATAGTACAGCTATTTAAAAGACACCACAAATATGATATTCATTATTTAAAAATATATAACTATTCATAATAATAATAATTAATAATTATAATAATGGATATAGGTATAGGTATAGTAGAATCTTTTCTTCCATTCCCAGCGGGTCTCCTTGTTGAAGACGTATTTAAAGCTACGGACCCTGGTAAACAAACTCCTCCACCCAAAGAAGCTGGAGGTGATTATGTACCCAATCCATCTTTACCCAAAAAGGCACCCGAGCTTAAAGATGCCAAGTTCTTTGTAAAGGTTTGTATTCAATCCCCAAATAAACCCTGATAGATAGAATCAACCAATCAAAAGTACCAACTAACTAACTTGTTTGTTTAAATTAAGTATAAGAAAAAATCAGACGAGATCTTTAATGATGAGAAACGTCCGGTCCCTCCTTTACCAGGAAAGGCTACCGGAACTGCCAAGCAACTACCAGACTTTGTACCCAAGAGTCCAGCTGTTTCCAAGATTGCCTCACCCAAACCAGTCGACATATTGCCACCACCAAACCCCGCATTCGTAATGCCTCCATTTAATCCTGATCGCGTTTTGACAGACGAAGAAGGTTTAAATATAATCCTACACTTTTCTGTTTTTGAAGATGGAAAGAATGTATGTATTAAAATATACAGTGTAACAGGGTTGATACAATTAATATTAATATTATTATTGTTTTTTAGATTGTTGCAGAAAATGCAAACAAATACTTTTTAGAAAATGTATTATTGTATAGTGACCCAAACAATGAAATCTTAAAATTGTTTGGTATTACTAGACCGGTTTTGACTCAACGTCGTTTGGATATTTGTGATGAGATTCATGTTCAGAAATGGTATTCCTATTACTCTTTCTTTTACCTTCCATTGATGGTTGCCAATGGAAATTACTCTGTCTCTAAAAAGATTAATGCTGATCTTTGCAAGGAAAGAATCCATTTCCTTGAAACCAGTACAACTAGCAATGTATGAAACTATCAAAAAAAAAAAAAAAAAAAGATTAAATTAAATTAGGATTTAAATTAATGTTTTATCCTACTTTTAATTTATTTAGAATACCTATGCACATCAAAGAATGTTATTGTTTAAATACGCATTTTGTGAAAAGAATCAATGGATGCAAAAATTCCAAAAGAATGCTCAACGTTGGCTTCCTTTGTACATGCAAGAGCTAAAAGATGAATTCAACTTGGCCAAACACACCAAAATGAATACGGAAAGAACCACCGAACAATTCCAAGCTTTCATTGTCAATGCCAAGGCTATTCTGGATATCTTTGATCCCACCGGAGAGACATCCAAGAATATGATCAATATCATTATTGGGTCATCGATCTTTGTCACTATTGACCAAAAGAATTCCATCAAGGATACCCCAACCAATCGTCAGATCATAAAGGACACTATCCAAGCTATTATCAACCAGGTAAATAGCTGTCAACAGGTAGATGCGGATGACATTGATCAAATTACGATAGGCAAAGATTTAATCGCGGTGATGGGAGGAAGTGCAGGAGCTGTATCTAACCTTCAAAAGGCTATCCTAGCCACCCAATTCGAGAGTATAGATGGTCCAGACCTCTCCAAGGGTTACGAACAATATTTCAAGGACATTGGAGCACGTATTATGAACAAAATGCAATTCAATGTTGCAGAAAAGAGAGACAAATTCTTTAAATGGTATTGTATTGAAACATATATAATGTATTGATTATATATTTATCAAATTAATCTTTTTATTTATAGGTTGGGTAGAGCTTTCAAGACATGTCAGATTGGTGTTATCATTTATTCAGTTTACAATTGGGACAAGTTGGACACTTATAACAAGGCCTATTTCTTGGCAGATATTGTTAATATAGGGCTTGATTTGGGGTCGGCTACCAAGGTGGTTCCAAAGGCTTTCAAGACTATCGGTCAACTCATTGGAGTTGGATTAAACAAAGTACCCTATAAAGACAAGGTTCTCGGTATCTTGGAAGGTGCATTTACCACCGATTTGGCCGAATTTGTTTCGACAAGATTCAGTCCATTCCTAATCGCAGTGAGTGCCTTGAAAAGTGTTTACGATTGCGTGCAAGATGCTCAGGCTCAAAATATGGGAGCATTGGTGTTGGATGTTGCCAGTGCTGGTATTGGAATCGGAGTTGCATTGGCAATCTTTGGAGGTTAGTATTATTAAATTAAATTAAATTATTTTATATAATATTTATTTATATTCTTCTTATATATATATATATATAAAAGGGTGCTGTTGTACTGGCCCCTTAGCTCTCTTTGCTGGTGCAGTCTTGTTGACATTAGCAAGTATCAAATATATATTCTTCAATCCTTCAAACGATGAAATCTTCTTTGACAAGCTATATGATGGCTTGAAACTCTAAAGTTATTAAACAACAACAACAACAACAACAACAAAACAAAAACAAAAACAATATTCAACATCATATTCCCCAACCATAATTCCTAAATGATCAAAACTAACTTTTTTGGGACACACAGTAGTAGAAATAAATATTTTTAAATCTATCTCTTGACAATCTAAAATAAAAAATTGCTGGGTTATTCTTGATTAATCCATTTTCCTTCTTACTTTTTTTTGTTATTTATACTTTGTTTGTTCCATACTTTTCTCTCTCTCTCTCTCTTTATCTCTTTTCCAAAAAATGACCTTAGATTTAGTAACATATATAATTTACCAAGTTGCATTGGTTGGTGTTTACTTGGTGACTGCTGCTTGTTTGATTGATAGAATTAGACGAGAAGTCAGACCCCCAAATACAAAACAAGACATAGAGTTTGTACCACTTGGTTCAATCATTAACAGCGAGGTTGATGAGGAGATTGAAGATGGCCATAGACACGCTCCCCAATTACCTCTCCAACCCAGAGTCAATAGAGGAGCACTGTGGGTATTGGTAATGCAACTAGTATCCCTTTTGTTTAGATTGGCATCACATCTCTACCTCATCCCATCACAATTAAAAGGAGAGATATTGGTGCAAGGTGGGAATCTAACCTACTCGATACTATTGGTGTGTGGCACACTGCCAATATTCATGTATTGGGGTGCCAAGTTGGCAGTATGGTCAGCATTTGCAGCTGCATCGGTCATTGTCAACGACCCGGTTGCATGGCTCCAAAGAAAAGGTCAGTTTACTACCTTTTTAGTATTGATGGTTGCCGTTGTACCAATGTGCTCGTGGCTCCAATTAAATGCACTCTATGTGTTTGGTATCATGACTATTGTCATCCATCACTGCTTTTCAATGGCCATGAAAAGATTGCCTAGTCGAATAGCCCACCAAGAAGATGCCGATCAGATGATCCTAGAAGATGCAAGTATCGATATCACCGTCATCCAACTATGTGTAGTAGCATCGTACATCCGAAGCAACACCTTTCCTCTTCCACGAACCGTCTACGAACAAATGACAAACACGACCATTCGATTTGTTATTGAAATGTTTCAACTATACTATAGTATAGAGAGGAGTCATGCTATCAATATTTGGACTCTTGCCCTAATTGAATAATAATATCATCATACATCATCATCATCAATCTTATTATATATATATATATATTTAATTAGAGATATAGATATATATATATATATATATCAACATATGTACAGTTAAATAAATAAATAAAAAGAATTAAAAGAATTAAAAGAATAATAGTCTAGTCTTATCTTGCTAACTAACTACAACTGACCTTGAAAAACCAAGTATGAATAAAAATTTTTGATAATAAATTTATGTAATATACCGTGTACAGGTGAGAGGGGTGTTTTCCATTGTTTTTTGTTTACTTACTTATTTATTATTTCTTCTTCTTCTTATTATTATTATTATTATTATTTGTATCATCATCATCATCATCGACAATCAAAGATTTAAATTATCAGAGATAGAGATATATATATATATTATATTATATAGAGACAGAGAGAGAGATGAATCCAAGTGTTGATCAAATACAGTGCCCGGGCTGTGCATTGGCGTTTGAGGTTAATGTGTTTGGTGACCATTTCAATGCTTGCTTTAAAGAGGATGAGGTAATGACCACCACTACCACCTCGCATATTCCGAAAGAGACGGTCACTCCCATGTCTTATTCTGCGTCACGACACATAGATGTTGATGATGACGACGAAGAAGGCGATTCTATTATGTATGAACAACAAAGAGACAATCAATCGACATCAACTACCAATACTACAACTGCTGCAGCTGCAGCTACACTATCATCACCTTTTCAAATGTTACATCGTACTAATCAAAGTAATAACCCTAACCATTTAACAAATTATACTAGTGCAAATAATACTACATCGTCATCATCGACAACATCCACGTCTACTTCGGCATCATCTACTCCACCAAACAACAATCAAGGATTTTTTGGGCAATATATTAGAGGTATCGGAGAGAATGTAATGAATCCAAAGAAGCTATTAGAGGATTTATTTAAACAAGATTTATTAAATATTCATAGTTCCAACAACAACAACATTAACACTAACAATACTACTACTAATAACAGTAGTAATGGAATAAGTACTAGTAATAATTCAACACCAACTCAAACAACAAAAAATAGTTTAGAATCATCATTTGTTAATAATAATAATAATAATAATAACAATAATGGTAGTGGTAATAATCCATTTAATAATAATAATATTAATGGTATTCCACCATTCAATCCTTTTTCAACTTCAACTACATCAACTACTTCAACTTCTTCTACAAATAATGGAAACCCATTTAATCAAGAAATGAATGCAAGTAATCATAGTTTTTATGATTTGGAAGATCATCATAATTATTATATCGAGGAGGATGAAGAATTCAAATCATTACAATTTGCACGTAAACTAATTGAAGATGAACGACGTGCTCAATTGGTTGAAGAAGAGGAAAACAATAGACGATTGGTACTTGAATTGTTGGAAAATGAAAGAGAGGAACATGAAAAATCAAGACAACAACAACAAACCAACAATGATCTAGAAACAAAATGTGTCAAATGTCAAAAACAATTGGCTGTTGAAAGTTTAATATTTTTAGATGTAAATATCACAAAAAATAATAATATAATATTAATATATTTATATAGATCTATATTAAATATTTATTTATTTTTAGCAATGCGGACATATTTATTGTAAAGAATGTTTACATCAATCAATTATGAAAAAGATTGAAATGAAAAAGGTTTCAATGATCAAATGCAAGAGTTGCAAGGCATCATTATCAAGTCCAGATATTAAACAAGTGTTGAGTGATCAAGAATATGCCAAATATGATAGTGCATCATTGGATGAGGTCATTTCAACAAACAAAGATTCCTTTTTCAAATGTCCAAATTGTAGTGTTTTAATGGAAAAGTTACAACATAATCAAAATACGCCACAAGACAATAATGCAAAAGAATATGTAAGTCTATAAAAAAACAAAAAGACAAAAATATATATATATATTTATTTATTTATTTATTTATTTTATTTTGTTAGGATCAAAATGGAAATGAATTAAGTAGACAAGCAATTGAACATAAGAAATTATATAGATTTAGATGTTTACAATGTACAACTGTATTTTGTTCAGAGTGTTTTGAAAAACCATATCATCTTGGGTATACATGTGACCAATTTAAAAATTATTCTACCTCTAAACATTGTAGATATTGTCTACAGTCTTTGAAACCAAGTAATTGTTCTACACTCTCTAATCAATGTTGTAATCAACCAGAATGCATGCAAAAGTACATGCTATCATGTAAAAAGAAGTTGGCATGTGGTCATAATTGCTGTGGTATCTCTGGTGAAACTAAATGTCCACCATGTCTAGTTGATGATTGTCCATATGCAAATCAAACTCAAGTAAGAAAAGAAAACAAAAAAGAATCGGAAAAGAAAATTGGATTACTTATTTATTTATTTAATTTTTAGAAATCATCAGATTATTGTAATATTTGTTGGGTTGAAGAATTGGGTAGTAGTCCATGTATTCAATTAGAGTGTGGACATATTGTACATTTGGAATGTTGCAAGAAAAAGTTGGCAGGTAAATGGAATAGTTCAAGAATATCATTTGGTTTTATGAAGTGTGCAATTTGTCCGAAATACATTAAACATCCAGCTCTGAAAAAGGAACTGACCGAAATAATGGATCTATACAATGTCATCAAGGAAAAGGGTCTACAAAGACTAAAATCACAAGGTCCTGAAAAAGGTGTCAACTTGAAAGATCCAAGTTGTAGGTGGTACAATGATGAAGAGGGTTATGTTATGGATAGACTATCATTTTTCCCTTGTTTTAAATGCAAAGTATGACTATAGTATTAGAAAAAGAAAAAAAGATCATTATTTCTAACCTTTTTAATTTATTTTTTTAGAAACCATATTTTGGAGGAGAGAAAGCATGTGGAGAGAATAATGTAGATTTTAAACCAGAGGAATTATTATGTGGTGGATGTAGTTGTGATGGTGCTGATAATTGCAAAACTCATGGAAAAGAATATATGTATGTTACAAATCAAATGATCATTTTGAACTTTGAACTACTTATTAATAATTTCCATTTCTAGTGAATATAAATGTAAATTTTGTTGTAACATGTCAGTATTCTTTTGTTGGGGTAAAACACATTTCTGTAATAGTTGTCATTCGCAAAGTACAACCATTGTCAAGACACCAAAGGATCAATTGCCAAAATGCAGTTGTGGAGTTCCCCATCCACCAAATGGTGAAGAACATTCATTTGGTTGTAGTTTATGTAGAATCAATCATACATAATAGATTAAATTAGATCTAATTTAATCCTAATAATAATAATAATAATATTAATACCAACAAAAAGTTATTGTCGATGATAACCAACCAAAAACCAATTAATCATGTACATAAATCAAAATTTTAAATCATACTGTAGATTCTTCTTATTCAAGCTTTCCATTTCTCTTCCTCCTTCCTTTTGGGTATTAATATTATGAACAAAAGAAAAATAAGACAAAGATTGATAATCATAATGAAAAGAAAGGAATAGATATAATAATCATATCTTTCTTTCTGTTTGTTTTTGTTTTTTTTTTTTTTTTTTTGTTGTCTTCAAGATTATAATCGGAGATTAAATATTCTATATTAATACAACCCGGACGCCGCTGGACAAGATGAAGAAAAAGAACAAGAATAAGAATAGAGGAGGGGGATCACATCCTCCTCCTCCTCCTCCTCCTGCTCCAAAGAAAAATGAACCAACAACAAACAATACGAATGCAAAGATCGTTATCGTCGATGTCGATGTTGACAGTCCAATGCAACAAGAGGGAAATACCGTCGTCTCACCAAGTAATGGAGATAAATCTTCTTCTACTACCAACAACAACAAACATCAAGAAGAAGATGGTGGTGAAAGGTCAATCAAGAAACTAAAGGTCAACGGAGACTCATCATCATTATCGTCATCATCATCTATCACCAACTCTCCAGAGGAATGTTCTACCCCACCAAACGATAACAACAATAATAATAATAATAATAATAATAACGCGTATACACCTTCATCCTCTTCCCCACCATTCGTTCAACTAGATGATGATCACCATCAAGATGAAACAACAACAACTTCTACTACTACCACTACAACGACGACATCGAATCCAATCGATAACATGTTTGGATTACAAGATTTACTCGATCTGTTGGGTGATGAGTTAGTATCTGATAACCAAGATAATGATGAAGATGATGACGATATATACGATATATTGACAACATTGAAATCTAAAAAAGATGAACAAGAAGAAGAAGAAGAAAAAGATGATAATGATGTTGATATGGCTGAAGAAGAACAAGATGATAATGGCAGTAGTAGAGGTGGGAGGACTATCACACGATTTCAACAACGTCAACTAGAACAACAAAGAAAGCAACAAAACAATAACAATAACAATAATATAAATCAAACCGAAACAAATGTAAATACTTCAAAAACAACATCAACATCATCATCACCAAATAACAATAGTAATAACAATAATAATAATAATAATGGTAAAACAGCAGAAAAAGCATGTGATGCTTTATTAAACAATCTAAATAATAGAGGATATAATTATAATATAGAGATGGAAGAGAATGAAGACGACCGATCGAGAAGATCACACTTTTTATTGGGAGCACTTTATGAACTAAAGAATCTTGAAAATATTAATCAGGTAGATCAATTAAAAGGAGAAATCGAATCATTAAAGTATGATCAAATAGAGATAGATATAGAGACTCTAAAAGGACTAACGAATCCTTCCAAAAAAACCTAATTAGATCAAAAATAGAAACTAGGGAAACTGAAATACAAGACCTAACAAACAAACTAGAGGCGAGAAATAGACTATTACAATCCATACCCAAGGAATTGATTATGAATTGGATGATGTCTAACCAAATATTTATGAACAAACTTGATAGTAGCTCAAGTGTATCTCACCAAACCAAACAACAAATTGGAGGACAACCTCTTCATCCACCACAACCTCCCATTTCTTCCTCTTCCACAACGTCTAATCATTTACCTTTTAAAAAATTATCAAATCAAACAATCAACCAGAATTCTTCTAGTTCATCTTTATCAACCAAAAACAATAGAAAAAAGAAATAACTTTTTTTTAATATATTGGTAATATTATAGTATAGATCTAACAACAATTATCATAATAATAATAAATAATAACAATTGTTGTTGTTAATTATTTGTATACATTTAATAATTTAGTTTCTAAAAAAAAAAATACTCTCGAAAATCCTATTGTCTTGTATTTTTTTAAATCTAAAAAAAAAGTATTGAATATGGAAATCAAATCAACTTGGATAAATACATTATTATACTATAGTGTGATTGAAAGACAACTAGTTTAATTTATATTTTTGTTTGTTTGTTTTAAAAAAAAAGAGTCAAAACAAAAAAGATATATATATCTTTTCTTTTATTTATTGACAATATGTGATTAATGGCATATAATATTGTTGTTGGTGTGAACTGTGAACTGTGAACTGTGAGTGTTGGGGGATGTTACTTTGGTTGATGATATTGTGTATGTGTGGGGGTATGGTGGATGGGGAAAGAGATAATAAGCAAGCCATTAAGGTGATTGGATGGATTTGGTATGGTATGGGAGATGGCAAACTTGATGATTAATATACTTTGTGGAAATAATTATATAACCAATTAGGCCAACTATTATAATAATGACACCTTTTCAAATGTCATTCATTAATAATAATAATAAAATTGGTTAAAATTATGGATTGATTGAATTTCAAAAACCAACAATTAAATATATGTTGAGTGGGATAGAGGAACCAAACCCTCTTTAAAAGGTGGTAGAATGTGATTGTGGTAAAGTGTCTGATTGGAATTTAACTCTAATATTTTGATTTCCAATTCTACTACGATCCAATATCATCTGAGCATTAACTGCATTTTCAACATTTATAAAAGTAATAAAACATTTTAATTTGTTTAATTTGTTATTATTAATCTAGAAATAAAAAAGAAAAAAAGAAATGTTAATAAAATAAATATAAATAAATAATATTATATTTAATATTTACCTTTAAACTTTTTAATGAACCAAATCTTGAAAAAGTTTCATAGAGTTCAGAAAACTCGATATCATAACGGTATGTGCAAATGAGAGTGTTTTTGATTCCAAAGTCAGTTGGTTGATTGGGAGAAACTGATCTTGAGGGATAGGCAATAAAGGCGGCATAATTTATAGAGGGTGATGGTGGAGATGATGGGGTGGATGAAGAGGATGAAATGGATGACGAAGAGGATGAAACATTTATATGTTGATTATTTAAAAGGTTAGTACTGGAATTTAAATTAACATGATTATTATTAGTATTATTAGTATTGTTATTAGCTGAGGTGTAGTAGGTGGTTGGTGGTGCGGCGGTTGAATAAATATAGTAGGTGGGTGGGGCGGTAGAGTATGTGGCGCCGTTGGGGTAGTGGGTGGGCGAGCCTGGAGGTGATGGCGACGACGATCCATAGTCGTAGCTAGTATGGTAGGCGGCCGATGCCGACACTGGAATATATTGGTGGATGGTATGTGGGTGGTGAGGGTGGTGGTAGCCCAAAGGGGCAGCGTATGTGAGATGATCACCAGGATAATATCCTTGATGATCGGCGGCATATATATAAGCGTATGTTGGTTGTGATTGATTGTGGTTTGGTTCATATACAAGTTGGGTTTGTTGTTGTTGTTGTTGTTGTTGTTGTTGAGCTTGTTGAGCGGCAGCAGAAGAAGCTCCACCATGGTGGTGATGGTGATGGTCAAGAATATACTGACGTTGTTGTGGTGGTGAATGTTTTGGTGATGGTGGAACGACTTGAGATGTCTGGCGTTCATGTTGTTGAATGATAAGTGGTTGGGATGAAGAATAATGTTTTTGTTGTTGATAATATTGAAGTTGTAATTGTTGTTGTTGTTGAACAGCTTGTTGTTGTTGTTGGACAGCTTGTTGAGCTTGTTGAGCTTGTTGAGCTTGCTTGGTTGATTTACTTGATGAAGAGTATCTGACAATCAATGGAGCACCACCCAAATGATAACTACCATTCATGACGGTGATGGCGTTGGTCGACTCGGTGATATTGGCAAAACGGACGTATCCTGAACGCTTGGACTTGCCAGAGGCCTGGTCGATGAGTACCTGGCTCTCAATGACATCGCCAAATGGTTCAAAGGCGGCACGGAGCTGTGCGTCAGTGATGGTGGGTGACAAGACACGGACGTATATGGATGCCGATGGATCTCTTGGCTCAGTGTCTTCGACCATGTTGGATGGGTTGATGACTGGGGCTTGGGATGGCTTGGAAAGCTTGCAAAGCAAGGTCTTGTAGCCGATTTGGAGACGGTTCATCTTGGCAACGGCGTCCTTGGCATTGGATGGCTCAGAGAATCTGACAAATCCATATCCAAGACTACTTCCAGTCTTGGTATTGACCATCACTTTGGTATTGATGATCGATCCATGTGGCAGAAACAAGTTGAAAAGATCTAAATAATAAAAAGAAGAGAGAAAAGGGGAAAAAAAAAACAAAAAAAAAAAAAAAAAAGAAATCGGGGCTCGATTAGTTCAGAGTAGATGGATGTCATTGAGTTGCCATGTCGATCGGTTTTTGCATTACTTACCCTTTTCAGTATATTCGCATGGTAGATATTTAACAAAAACATTGCATTCATCTACTTCAGTAAAATCTTCAGATGTTGCAGATCCCATCTTTTTAATAGTTGTAGTAGTAGTACTTTGGTTGAAAAATTGGATAATATATATATTGGATATGTGTATGTATGTATGGATGTATATAGGGTATGGATGCGTTTATATATAGATAACAAATTATAAAACCAAACTATAAATATATGGTAGTAGGTTTTGAAAAAGATAATATAGATATATATAATGATGATGATTTAATTAAAAGAAAAGGAAGAAAAAGATGAAAAGGAAATAGTTGTTGATGAATGAAATGATGGTTGTTGTTCTGATGACGATGAAGTTATGTTATTATTATTATTATTGAGGAAGCTAAATTAGGTTCCTGAAATTTGATTGGTATAAAATGGCAGATTGTGTTTTTGAGATGAGAGGAAAAAAAAAAACCTTGAGCGGAGATGAGAACCTGATATATAGATTTGTATAGAAGCTAAAATTGGATTAGGATTTTTAAGGGTTGTGCAATGGTACAATAGAGAAAGAAGATATTTCAGTATTAGTTAGTGGGGGAGGGGACTGGTCTGAAAAGATAGATATCTATGTCTTATATGTGTAGTGCGATTAATATCAATTGATTGAATGGGGGCTGTGTGGGGATGAGTCTTAAGATGGAGGTGCCAACAAACGATGCGATGGTGAGATGGTTTTGCAGCAAAATTAGATAAGATATTTTGTGTCCAAAGTTTTGATGATGATAGAATAAATAATAATGCAATAGTGGTACAAACAAAACACTGAAATGAATGAAACAAATATATTGAAGAAATACAAAATGAAAATGAAAAGAAAATGAATGATTTCTTGAATGTTTAAACAGATTCGTTGTTGCGAACGGTTAATATTTCTCTCTGTGTGTGTGTACACTAGAGACACCCTTCCAAAACCAATCAAATAGAGATATTCCATTTGAAACCGTCAGACGACTCTATTTGTCCAAAGGAGTTTGGTAACAGTACAACACGCACACATAGAGAGAGTAGTTGTTTAATGACGCACTCACTCATGGTTTGGACAGATAGAGAGACCCTTTGTCAGATGACTTGTGATGCTGACTCCTAATCCCTCTGATGTCTGTGTCTGTGTGTGTGACTAGTGCCGCTGCCATCCATCTTGATACAATATCGTCTGTTACAATGATTCACATGGTATATAACCACCGAAAACACCGTTTTCATAGTGTCGGTGGGTTAAATCAAACTTCGTAGATGACGGTCGTTACAAAAGGTAAAGACCACACACAACACACACTGACAGACAAACAATCGTGTGTGAGAGAGCGGGGTGGGGGTAGTGGTTGGTTTAAACAGTTGAGTTGGATGGATGGGTTGGGGGTGCGGAGGTTTAAACAGTTGAGTTGGCTGGTGTGGGCTCTAACAATGAAATGAAAGTTTCATATTAGAGAGACGAAGGTTTGACCAATGACAATGATCAGCCTCAGTCTTGAAAATATCTGATCAAAAAAAAAAAAAATTAAATTGCGGAAATAGCCTCAAAGGTGCTAGACACGGTCCAATCGCCGCGGAAATGGGGCCAGATGCCTTTTCGTCTTTTGACAGAGATACATGTTGAGATTGTCATCTTCCCCTAATCTCTTGACCTTATTTTAACCTTTGCTCCGCCTTTTGTTTATAAAAGTAGTAGTTTGTTGGTCAGCGCTGGACTCTATCGATCCATAGATAGATAGAGTTATAAATATAAAACAACAATATAGTTTTTTTTGGGGACAACAAAAAGATTGATCAATGATTGGTGATGCTATTATTAATGCTTACTCTATTCTATTTATATTTACTCTATATTTATATTATATTAAATGATCGAATAATATTATTTACAAAAACAGAAAGATAGATATTTGATGAATGTAATTCGTGGGTGGTGGACCAAAAAACAACTATATTTAAAACAAGAGATAATAGAATAATTGGAGCGTTGTTTAAAATGTTTTAGCAAGCAAAGCAGGTTGTTGGAATGGAATATAATTATTATTATTATTATCGAAACAAATGAAATGATATTAAATAAATCTTTGTTTCAAACAGAGGACGCCCTGTGTGGTGTGTGTGTGTAGGTGTGGTGCTGATCGTAAGGCCGTCTTCCCATCTGTCTGTGAAAAATGGGGATCTTAAACGGCTCGCTAGCGGTACGATTGTCAAGGTGGGAAACGATTGGTAATTGTGCGATACGATGAAATGCAACAGACAAAATCAACGAAATAATTTCATACCTTTGGAAGATTGGTAGGGTAAACATGAATGATGATGATGGATGATGAACAACATTGCAAAAAAGTATTTTTAGACATGGGAGGAGCATCGATAAAATGAAAGGGCTCGTCCCTTCCATTCGATTGAACCGTGCCATACAATATTATTATTATTATTATTATTATTATTATTATTATTATTTGATCTATGTTGTTGTTGTTTGGTTTGCGGGCTTTAAAGTTGTTTAATTTCTGCGATTGTTGCCCGATGATCTGATGTCGATAACATGATCAGTAGTCTGGTTAACAAACAGTTGAAAAGTCCATGGTTCAATTCAGCATTTCGGTGAAAGCCGTTGGTAATTGATCGACCGTTCATGTTGGGACTGTTGTTGTTGTTTTTGACTGTTTGTTGTTGTTGTTGTGGTGGTCGATAATATCAAGAAGACAAGAGTCGAGAGAAAAAGGTGGATCGATGTTTTGATCGACAATGAAATCGAGATTGGCAAACGACAAAAAACTACAAAGCAAAATTAAAGATACAGAGAGTTGGGCGGGTTTTTTTCAAGATACTTTTAAAACGAAAAAACAACGAAACTGAAGAAGAAGGTAAAAATAGGTTTGTTGAATCTTACAATTATTATTGGATAGAGCCTAGGTAGAGTATACTATAGTAGTGGTAGTAGTTCGTTATTTTTTTGAAAATTAATTTTGAATTTGAATTTCTAAATTAAGTAATTTTTAAAAAAACTTTGAATAAATAAATAAATAAGTAAATAAATAAGGTTAATTGATAAATAAATAAGTATAAAGATATATTAAATCTTCTATTTAATAAAGTAAAATGATGAATGGTTGTGGTGGAATGAATCGTGTGTGTCACTCGTCTTTCTTTTATAAAAGGGTATAATTAAAAGAAAAGTTGGTCTGAAAAGTTGCAAAGAAAAGAGAGAAAGGGACAAGAGACAACAAAGACAAGAGACGAGGGTATCTAGATGGGGTCGTTGAGGTAAAAAATAGGGTTCGACGAGGGTTCAATCAAAATGGACATGTTGGGGCTAAAAATACATAAAAAAAAGGGGGGTGCAACGAGACAAGCGCATGTCTCGAGAGCCATAAAACATTGAGCATACTACGAGTTGTGATGGAAACATAATATTATACATGTATAGATAGCGCTCGAGAGACAACATCGTTTTGGGAGTGAACGACGTTGGAAAAGATCTTGCAAGAGATCTCTGGAGATAAATTACAAAATGTGCAAGTTTTTGGATGGATTTGATAAAATTTTATCAAAAAAAAGATAGGTTGGAATAAAAAGATGGTTGGCAAATGGACAAATTAATTAATTCCATCTTTTACCAAATATGCAAACAAAAGGAAATTGATCAAATTGATAGGTATAATGTATGCAAGTATGTAGGTGGTATGGGTAAGGGTATGGTGTGATTGAGATGTGTGTTTTGGAGTGGGTATACTTTTATGGTAAAACAAAACTATTACCTTTTAATCTTTTAACAGTTGGTTGGTGTTGGTGTTGGTTGATTCTAGATCCTCCTGTCCTTTGTCCTGGTCAATAATGATGTGAAATAAATGAATGATGGGGGAACTGTGTGGTATTAAAGCTACACAATGTGAGGGATGATAGATATTATTTAGTCTAGTGAGATTGTTGTTGATATGCTGAATAATGATACAATATTACTACTGGTAACTTGTGTTGTTGATGTTGAGATAAGATGGTGATAATGATACAAATATAAAATGATAAATAAATAAATAAATAAATAAAAAAAAAAGATCAAAAGACAAAGAAAAGGAGGAGACAGATAATATGAAAATAAAATGGTGAAGAGAAGGGTAAACAATAGGGGGGGAGGAATGAAGCTTGAGGCAGGTTGGAGTTTAAATGTCTTTATGAACTACGACGGTGGTGGCTGGAGGTTGAAGGGTTGAGAAAAGGTCAACCAACACAGAGATATTCCACTATGACCGCGTCACATCATCTAAAAAGAACAAGTACAAAATAATCGAACCTCTTGCCCTCTGTATGTGTAGTACCCCCTAGGATAAAGACTCGGTAGAATTTAACCGAGTCATGAAGGGCCTGTTCCCTTTGCATGGGTTCATCAGTCTATGACGATCGTGATGATGGTCTAGTGCTACGGTTCAGCGACACAGAGAGGCAGGGGTGTGCAGAAACGGTGATCTTGAAAAACGAAAAAATAGTGTCTTTGCAGCGCTGGCCCACTTCCGCGATTGTATTCTGTGAAGACCGTCATGGATTAAACATGTTAAACGCGTTTGCGCAAGGGGTTACATACGATGACCCTAGGCCACGTTCTGTCAGTAGTATATTTTAAAAACTCTACTCGACTTTTATACATGTGTGGTTCAACGAGAGACAATGATTGGACAAACAATAAACACAGAAAATAAAAACAAAGAAACAAAAAAAGGGATTTGAAGACACCACAGTTTATCAAGCATGCGCTATTTAACCATGATCAAAGAGAATCTGTAGTGAGTGATGGCTAGAGTATGAGGAAAAAATTAAAAAAGTAACAAAAAAAACTAAAACTGGGTAACAGCGCAGAGTAGAGTGGGGAATGCATATTTTTAGATTTACCTTTTTTGAGAAAAAAAACCGTAAAAACTATGGTTTTAGAAATTGTCAGGAAGATTTTAAAAATGGATTTTTTTAAAAAGATTGGATTTGCAAGATTGATGAAGCGATTCAGTGATGAGCGAGGAAAAGAGGAAACTATAACTTTTAATAAAGAGTATTATAGATTGGTAGAAAAAGAAAAAGAAAAAGAATAACTGTTCGATTGGGGGGATGGCAAGGGAAAAAAAGAGATAATTGAAAAAGGAAAAGGAAATATATGTATATTTAATATATATGTTTGAATTTGATTGATGGAGGAGAGAGATAATTAAAAAATGTGTATTGTGGATGTTATAATTGTAATATAGTAATGATTTGTGTTGTGAAGATGATGGATGGTGATTGAAAATGGAATGGGTAATTAGGTCGACCGAGTCATTGTTTGATTTTTTAGATTTAACATAAATATATTAAATAATAAAGATGTTTTAGAAAGACCAGCACCACGCCACTGGTCGCACACTCGAGGGCGCGCGCGGGGCGGGTGGGTGTGTTGCAAAGATAAAGAAAAGATGCGAGCTTACCTGAGAGGGCGAGGCTGAAAAGGGTTGGTCAGTCAAAAAGAGTGCTCTAAATATGAGCCTTAATAATACAAGAGACCTAGTTATAATTGTAATTGGTTTGGGGCGGCGGGATTCTCGTGAGGAGATTCATCTAACAATTGAGTTGACCTTTAAATAGTTTCCTCATGACTCGGCAGTGTTGTTGGGCCAAACTCGAATTGATTGAATTTCGCTAAAATTGGGCAAGATAGTTCTGGTGGGTCGTTTGCGTTGATCTGAGTTCTTGAACTCGTGTACAGCACAGGAGCTACATTTCGTCATCAATGTCGTATCAATGACTAGTTGTTGGTTGTGGGCTCTAGACAAAACAATGAGATCTGTGATTACAATGATCTCATCTAATATGAGAGCTTATGCACAGTAGTCGAGTAGTATATACCGTACCCTGACCCTCTCCCGCCCCCTCCCTCAGATCGATCATCAAACATAGTAAAAGGAAGAAGGAGAAAGCGAAAGAAAAAAAGAACCATATCAAGGCCAGATCCATCTTAAAGCTTGAGAATGAGTTGATTCTAAATTTAACGTTCCTCTGGTTTGGTTTGTTTTCACATCTGATCGAACTTATTCTCAGGAACCGAGTTTTCGAAATTCGTCGCGGAAGGTCACCCCCAAAACGCAAACAAGCCCCTATTTTTTTTGATTGATTCTTGTGTGGATCAGAGCCTAGATGAAAGATCCTCTTCTACGGACTGTTTAAATTAATCTATTAATAATTGTGGCGGATTAATAAGATCCTTGAATTCAAGGTGCAGTTGTTAACAATAATTGGCATGGGTGATTAATGCAAGCAAAGATTCAATTCAACAATAGCCGTGGTCAAAGAAAGTAATATCCTATTGGATCTGATCAACCGACTGAATAGTATATTTCTAACCCTATTGGGGATTGAACATCATAATGATTCTTTTCTCTGACCTGGTTAAACTGGTTTGGGTCCTAGTTTCGTCAACTTCAAAGTAAGTAGGATACTTTGAATTGAATTGGATTCATATGGAAATGCATCCCAATTAATATTTAGTATTAATTGGATCTGATGTTTAAACGTTCAGCTCGCTTGAGTAGTTATATTTTTTTGAAGATCTCGAAAATATTCAAGATAGGATATTTCCTATCCAACCATTTTTCATCTACCAATTATTATTATTATCCAAACAAACCACTGGTCAACTTAATTGTCGGTTACAGTTTCGATGATTATTATTATTATTATTATTATTATATATATTATTATTAATTATTTATTGAATAGAGGAGAAATATGTATAATTTTCAACCGACTTGGTTGATCAAACTAATTTATGTTGTTGTTGTAGGTAATGTTATTATTATTATTAATTAATGGTTTAATCATCCAATGAATCTTGATTATTCTTTTTACACCATTTTGAAAAGTTGAATTTATCAGATCCAAAGAAACTAAGTAAAACTGGCAATAAAACTAATCCATGTAATGCACCGAGTATAACAATCGAAATATACATACGGAAATAATATACTCTAAAGATTTCAGAACTAGTAATAGAAATAGAAAATATTAATAATCATTCATCACATCACGCATTCAATAATGTCTACTATTTTGTTTATATTTACTTTGAAAAACCTAAAACTACAACACCTAATAATTTAGTGATGAAAATACCACTGACGATGGAACTACCAACTTCGGTGAGGGCGTATTTGGCCTTTTCAGACTTGTCCATGGTGTCGGGGGCACGGATAAAGGCGTGAGCAACGTGGACACAGAATTCAATAGAGATACCAATGGCCATGACGACATTGACGACCGAGACGGCATTGAGGTTGACATTCCAGAGATACATGACACCGAGAAGATCGACCGACACCATGGCGACGCAGAGCACGACAAGGAGTGAGATGACGGGGTTGGCAAGGAGAATGAGACAGACGACTAGGACACCGGCAAGAGCGAGACCAATAGCCATGACAGCGATACTCTGAATGGTAAGATACTGCTCAAAGTAGACATAAAAGACAGAGTAGACAAAGATGGAGAATTCATCGCTAAAATGATCGGCCAAATAATAGGCAGCCTTGAGGGCATTGATAAAATCGTTTTGTGTGCGGAGTGTGGAATGGTAGCCATCGAAACGTGATGCAATGATGGTTGAACCGTTTTGGATATTGAGATCGGATGCATAGGCGAGACCAGTGACAGGACACAAACCACCGGGAGTGACTGAAAAGTTGAAAAAGGTGGGGAGGAACTTTACAAATTGTTGTGGGTTGGGACGGTCCTCGTTGGTGAGTGTAAAGCAGCCGGTGCAGTTGGTCGACTCACCGGGGATACACGAAGACCCGTCTGGCATGACACCGCAGCACGATGGGTTGGCAGCCCACGACATGTAATCGTCGAGCCACGAGCTGACACCTGGATGCACAAACGGTGCGTTGTTGTAGACGTTGACAACAGACGTGTCGGTACAATTTTGGATGGTACAGAGTAGGTTCTGTGAGTTAAAGTCTGTGTAGTTGTAGGCACCCTTAATGACGATATAGAATGGTGGTCCGACCTCTAAATACTCGTCCATCTCGCTGAAGTAGGCTTGGAGGTAGCTGTCACCTGGCAGAGCGACACGTTGGTCAAGTCCAAGTTGGAGGTCAAATGATAGGGTGATGGCCAAGAGGAAGGCGCCCAAAAAGACGACGACGGCGACAATCTTGACAATGGGGTGCATGACAAAGGGAGCATAATACTTTTTAAAGGCGACCTTTAAAAGACTATCCTTTTTCTTGTAGACGGGGTTGTAGGATGAGTTGGTCGACATGTAGTCTTCGTGTGCGGCCAATGGCATCTTTTCCTCGTTGACTTCGGGTTCGTCGTCGTCGGAATTGTCTCCATCATCCAACGACACACATGGGATACAGTCGATACGACGAGACTCTGATCTCTTGGTATCGAGCACGAGCAATGCGGCAAAGGCTGTGATTTGGAGCAAAAAGTCGAATAAAATGGCGACGGACGCGTAGGCAGAGAATGCGACGACGGCAGGCATCTTGGTGATGGTTCCAAGGAGGAAGGCGAGTGATTCAGAGAGAGAGGCGAGGGCCATGGAGGGACCGACACGGGCCATGGCACGGGCGAGGGTCAATTCAATGGGTGGTTTGGCAGACGACCGGGTATTGCTGTCGTAGGCAGTGACATAGAGATTCTCAAACGTGTTGACGAGGATAAAGATATTGTCGACACCAATTGCCAACACGAGGAATGGGATGACCTCGGAAATGATGAGTGTTGCCTTGATACCGCCAAATGAACAGAGACCAACCGCGATACAGATAGACGATGCGACTACCAAGATACCAGAGAGACCCAAAGAGAATCTAGAGTTGATAATATAAGATAGGAAACGTTGTGGACGTGGGTAGAAACGGCCAAGTGCCATAGAGACATAGACAAACATGACAGAGTAAGAGATGACGATGGTTGAAATATCGGCAGCACTCTCACGGGAAAGTTCGTCTTGGACGGAACGCTCGGCCGAGTAGGCAGCGTTGAGAAGACGGCTGCTGTTGCGGTTGTATGCTTGGACCGTGTCGAGCCAGACCTGCTCCCATGCCATGGCCTGGTTGAGCAACTCGGGTGGGTTCTTGAGGAGGAAGGTTGTGACAAAGGCAGATGCGTTGACTGCGTCGGCAGGCAAACCAGACCATCCACCAAGCACGACCGACGGGTTGACGGGCGTACCTACAGCGTCCATACAGTTGGTGTTGAGCGGGTTGCCAAGACAGCCCTTGAGCTGTGTCTGGAAGGCGGACGAAGACTGTCCAATCAACGCGAGGTTACGCTGCCAGATACCAGTGATTGACTCGACGAGACAACCTCTGTGAGTGGGTTGGAAGCAGAGGTCGCTCAACACTAATGTCTCGTTTTCATAGACTGCCGACAGGTTCATGAGTTGGATCTCGAGTCGCGCAAGCTCGGCAATCAGGGTCTGGTTGTTACCGACAATCGTGACGTTGGGGTCGACCGGTGTAAGGATGAGTTGTTCAATACGATAGAATGCACCAAAGTTGCTGTCAAAGTACTCCTTTTCAACGGCTGATCTGCTGGTGGGACTGACCCACAGTTTGACGGGATCCTCTTCGATGACAAGAAAGCGGATACCAATCGAGCAGACACCGGTAAACACCAGACAGGCTGCAATGGTGACGAGCGGGTATCTAGACACGAGACGACCGAGCAAAAAGAATGCCTTTTGCACAAGTGATGGGTCGTCCATGCCAATATCCTTGAAACGCGACTCTTGCGACGTCAACAATGGGCTGGGGTATCCACCCTTTTTGTCGCCGAGACGTGACGAGTAGATCGACCCATTGGAAGGGATCTGATTGTTGAGTTGGTTTTGGTAGTGGATGCGTTGTTGCTCGGAGCGGTATTTCAAGTAGAGCACGGTCGATGACAAGGCCATCAAACCAAGTACGGCCAACGAATACGAGAATGATGTAATGACCAATGCACATGCCCAATCTTGGCCATGTGGCATTTGATAATTACAAGTATCCGATGACGTAGGCACGATGCCAGAAATGACGGGCAAGAAAATAGCCGAAATGTAAATGAAAACAATCAACACCAATCCAATAGCCACATACCGTCTCTTTCTCTGTAATATCTTTCTGATCAACCAAATCGAAATCGTTGTGAATAATGTCAACAAGAATAAATAATATCCAAATAATAACCAAACTGATAATATTGGTACTCTAAAAATGGAAAATAAAAGTAGATTAATTAGAATTAATATATATATATATATATATATATGTTTGTTTTTTTTTCTTTTCTTTTGTTTCAGTCTTACTGTTTATCAAATAAATAAGTATTTGGAATGATTGATTCATTGATCATTCTAAAATCACCATATTCACCAGGGAATGAACAGAGGTCACGACAACTGGTACAAGAACAACTCTCGGAACAATTTTGAACGGCAACGTTGGAACTGTAGCCATTGACGGGATCGAATATAAAGTTGATGCCAAATTGTGGGTTATTGCCTCCGAAAAAGTCATTGAAAAAGGTTTGGTACGATGGATACTGTGCGGCAAATGGCACGTTGCCATTGGCAATGACATCACGACACGAGTTGTAGATACCTTCGGCATAGACTGGGTCGAGAATGTAGGTGGCAAATGCTACCTTGGTATAGTTGACATGGTTGTACATGTAGGGGGCTGTCTTGTCAACAATCATAAATTGTGATTGGTAGGGTGAACATCCACTAGCACACCACAAATCCCAAAGATTGTTCATACAGGCTGGACATCTTCCAAAAATAGTATTGGCAGTTTGCATTTGTGCACTCAAAATACCAAATTGTTCTTGATCACAACAACTGTTTTCATTGTATTCAAGATGTGATGGACAAACTCCTGTTGGCATACCTCCTGCTACCTAAAATAAAATAAATGTAAATAATAATAAATCATAGAAATGGAATGTTGTATAATTTACTTACTGGAGAAGGTTGGAAAGTTTTGGCAGTTGTAATACTGAAATTCGAGTTGAAAGCACCTTGAAGGACGACACCGGCCATTGAACATCCTGTCGTTGTGTTGTATGATAGAACAGATGATGTAGCAGACAGTGTCATGTCAACGTGTATATCAGAGGGTGTTGGCAGTGGTTTGCCTCCATGTACCACTATCATCATATAGGTGATGATTCCTAATACTACCACAAATAGAGGTTGTATTTTCATTTTTTTATAATATATATATAGATATTTAAATTGTTCTTATTCTTCTATTTCTTATTTCTTTCTTTTTGTATTGTATTATTTTTGTTGTTGTTTTTTTATGTAGTTTGAATAATTGAAAACTCTATAGCCAAATAAATAGGTATAAGTATTAATTATTTAATTCGTCTTGTTTCTCAAAATATATAATAAATATAATATAAAGGTTGAGAGTTGAGTGAGTGTGTCGTCGGGAAAGGGAAAGAGTGGAACAACTATAATTTAATTAATTAATATATAATATATAAATACTATTTATCTAATAATACTATATACTATAATATATAAAAATTAAATGATGTAGATATAGATAATGATTTTGCGAGGGAATAATAGTAATAATATAATATAATATAATATATATATATTTAATGATTATTCCTATTACTATTCATATGTATATATTAGGAAATGTGTGATTGATTGATAGGATGGTAAATCATTAATGTGATTTTCAAAACAACAACTCCCATCCATCTTCTATCCGTTCAAACTATTATTATTGTTATTATTGTTATTATTATTATTATTGCCATTTTCATTTGAAACTGCAGTAGATCACACACACAAACAAACAAGTTCACACTCTTTTTGATCGGATGGATGGGATGGATAACGTGTGTGTGTGTGTGTGTGTGTGTGTGTGTGATGTACAAACAACGATCGAGTGATACAAAAGTGAGAACTTCTTCTTCTCTCTCTCTATCATTGATGACAATGACCATGTGTGAAGTATACACTTTTCATCACAAACTCTCTTTTATCTGTATTTTTGTTGCTTGCTTGTTGTGTATGTATCTGACTGATAGTTTGATTGATTTGAACATACTTAAATAAATGAATAATAAAACAAATCTTAATTAGACAGATCTGAGGACAGTCAAATTAGTTGTAATAATTATAAATAAATTTATAGAGTTTAAAATAGAAATAAATAAAAGATAGATAGATAAGTAAAAGTTTTAAAATAACAATTGTTTTGTGTGAAGAGCAGAGCAAGAGGTGTACCTGCGACAACGAAGAAGAATCTTTCGTGAGATTGAGCAAGCCTGTGTTGTGTGAAGAAAAATCCTCCCAATGTAAAGCCGTTGACAAAACAATGAGAAGGGTGGACACGCCCGATGCTTGAAAGTGATCTTTGCAGTGTGTTCCCCGACTTGCGATTGTTAGTGATCCAAACTCGAAAATAGATCCCAACAGTGCCATCATGGGGGGTACCTTGAAAATTAAAAAAAAAAAGATAAACCCTTGGGTGGAGCAACAAACAAGATTTTAACTATCTGTCGGAATTTATGTTACGCACTGCCCACCCATCTTATGAGTATAAATTATTATTCGTTGGATTGTTCTGTCTTTACACCGAATAACTCTGTTTTCCCTCTTAAATTTCGTGTGTCTACAATTGTCTTGAAAATATCTATCTCTCTCTCTCTTTTGTTGTACTACTAACGACTATTTATGCAAGGCTTGTAAAAGTCCGACACATACCCACCCAAAAAGTCAGAGATAATTGTTTGTTGCGCTAATGGTTGTTGTTGTTCAGCAAGAGGAGGAGATGAAAATTGATAGCACCATGTTGACAATGGGATGAGGTGATCAATCGTAATAATAATAATATTAAAAATGTGTAAAAATATAATATATATTATATTATAACCTCATTTCCTTTGCATGCACCCCCAGATTTTCGTGAATTTCAAGTTGGCTCCCAACAAATTAAGATTGATTGTTATTACTATCATCCATGCATGAGTCTTCATGGAATGTGTGTGTTGATGTTGCATCGTCGGACATTTGACAGATTTTGATTGGTCTGACGAAACTTACAATTTATAAAATTTAATCTAGATTGGGGGGGGGGGGGGCTCTTTAATAATAATAATAATGTACAGTACACAGTTATGTCTTTCTTTCCTCTTCTTCTTCTTCTTCTTGTTCTAATCTTATCTCGTATCGAAAAATGATTCTCTCTATTGTTGCTGTTAGAGTGAAATATTGATCTTTGAATTGAAAATAAGTTATATATATAAAAGTTGAATAGATAGATAATAGTTAGAGTTTAAACTTGTTGTTGTTGAATATATAAAAATGATAAATAAACTACAAGATCCCTCCTCAATTAAAGTAAGTAACACGAAATGTGAACAGATAATTTTATTGTAATTAATTTTTATTTTTTTACTCTTTTTGCGTCATCTGGCTTTTGATTCGACATTCGCCCCACCTTACATGTCCCCGATAATAAGTAATTAAAAAAATTATTATATTCTTCTTTTCATCCCTCGGAATTCAGTTCAGCAGTATCAATATATATATATATATTTGATTAATACTTATATATCAATATACTTATATATATTTATATTTGATTAATACTTGTGTATTATGTGTATCTACAGAGAGGATGTGATCTGAATCGAGCAGTTTTTATGATCAACGATATTGGGGGTATCCAAATCTGAATGTTCGAATAAATATCCATCCCAACACAACATTTATTTTGTTTTTGTTTGTTGGTGAAAGTACTGTACTATTGTCGCGAGAGAGAAAGAGTGAAAGAGGATAGTCTATATAATATAAATAGAATCTAAATATATATAAATAAGAATGGGAGACTTTCGTCGTACAGGAGCAGAAGTTGGAGCAAATAGTGCAAGCGGAGGATACATGACGGTTAATGTATCGGGCAACTATGAGAAACCAAAGAAACATCACCACGGTGGTCATGGCGCACACACCGACTTTAAGAAACAAGAACATAAATCTGACAAAGAGTACAATGAATTCCTACACAAGTCACAAAAGATCAATGGTGATCCTCATCACAACCCAACTCCAACATCTCATCACCATTATCATCATGACACTAAAGTTGTCACAACTACACCACCACCACCACACAAAGAATACAAAGTACATAAAGAACATAAAGAGCATAAAGAATACAAAGAGAAAAAAGATAAAAAGGAAAAGAAAGATCAAGACAAAGAAAAGGGTGGAAACTGGTTCACTAAATTTATGGATAGATTGGAATCTGAATCACAACATTGTGTTTTACATGAACATTGTAATCATGGTGGTACTGGTCATCATAGTCATAGTGGTCATAGTCATAGTCATAGTAGTGGTCATTTGACTACTAGTACCTCTAGTTATAGTCCAAGTTCTAGTCACAAGACTCATCCTCATAGTCACCATACTACAACTAGTGGTAGTAGCCATGGCCATTCCTCATCCTATGATAATGGATATAAAAGACCTGGAACTACACTTGGACCAAGTGGAACTGATCATAGCAGTCCGTCGACTGTAGGTGCAACCAAGAGTTCACCATCCGTCTACCGATCGACAACAACGACAACCAAAGTAACAACTACCACTCCATCAACTAGTTATCACTCTACAGGACATTCCGGCAAATCATTTTGTACTAAATGTGGTACTAAAGTTCCCGTTTCGTCCTCTGCCTCTTTTTGTTCAAGTTGTGGTGACCGTCTTTAAAAATGACGGGTAAACAAACATATAGCTTTCCATCCTCCACCACCAATACAATATTGTACTTTTAAAATATTATTATGTATTAATACTTACATATATACACACCAATTATTTCATGAAGAATTCAACGAATAAAATATACTAAATTATTTAAATTATTTATTAAAATATTAATAACAAACAACAAACTTGCGAAAGAAATGTAAAATGAATAGTTTGTGCAATAATCTTTAGAATTTTATTTAAACATATCAATTGAATTATTAAACTAATAATATAAATTGATTACCTTTCATTTACTTGAATACACATCAGCATCATCATTGGTTGATTCTCAATAATTTACTCAATCTTGAATTGGCAAGTAAGTACTCTCTACTTTTTTGTTTTGTATTGATGATCGGAGCTGGACAGGAACCAGAACGAAATTTCAAAAGATGATTCAAAAAGTGATCGAACCACCTCATCAATGGCTCCGAATATATGACGATCAAGTTCCTTGTCCGCGGAAGTCAATTGGTATTAGAATCGAAGCTGCAAAGATACGTTCCATGTGATGCCCAACAAGATCATGATTTCATTTCTTCCTTGAAAAACCGAAAAATCCAAAACATCGATTCAGTTTGGGGCATGGTATGATGCGCAAGTGCCCTCTCGTCTTGCACGAAAAACCATCAGCCACCCTTTTATCTAAAAAAACTCTCTCTCTGACAATTGCGATAGTCGTTTACTAGTATTAAGTAGTTTTCATTTTCTAGGGAGGTTACCAGTTAAACTCACTTGTCTCCTCCACCTCATTCCTTTTCTGCTAATTTCTCCGACTACTCCTCCGACTCTAGTACTAGTAGTACAAGACATATATTTATATACAACTACTTTTAAATCCTTTTAGTTTGTTTGGATAAAACAATTTTAAAAAAGATATCTTTAGCATTACAATTGTCAATTATACAACCGTACTGATCATTTAAATACCACACACATACATATACACATACACATATACACATATATATATACACCATTCATATAGAATGAACAAACTTAAAAGTATATCAACAATGTGTAGTAGTAGTAATATTAGGGGTGGTGGCGGCAAGACCACACCACCCAACTACTATTACTTTTTTATATCTTTGTTAATTTTTATTTGTTATTCACACACTTTATTGATCATTGGTTGCAATGCACAACAAGATCAATTACCAATTGAAACAGGTTAGTATTAGTCATCATGTGACGATGGTTAGAGAAATCTCAAAGAAATAAAGGAAATATTTTTTTTCTAAATATTTTTGCTAATAATACCTTTTCTTTCCTTTTTTTTATATCTATATATTTAATCCAAAAAGTCAATGCATTGATTGATATTAGAACAGCCTTTTCATTACAATCGGTATACCCAGACGACACTTCATTTTGTACAGCAAATTTAACAATCATTCAATGTAAACAAGATTTTACAACTGTTATCTTTTTGTAAGTTAAATGAATCAATCAATCAATAATATATTTATATCGATCTAACCATTTATTTATTATTTTAATATATAGAACATTGGATGGAGGTGGAACGGTTCATTTACCATTATCAGTAACCGTTTTGACCAATTTAACTCAATTGTATGTATTCCTCGGACCATTCATTATTTACCAAAGTAATCTAACTTTAACTTTTATATCATCTTTGCAACCAACAAAACCACCAGAACACTATCAAATGTATATGTAGATTTAATTCCAAATATCTTTGATGCTTTTAGAGCCACTACAATTTTAGTGTAAGAAAAAAACAAATCAAATGATCATTATTAAATTGTAATTAAACTAATCAAAATTATTATTAATTTTATTTTAGATGTGATAGATGTAATATTAGTAAATTTGAAGCAAGTAATGTTACTTCATTCTCTCAATTGTATGTGTATAAACACCACCACCATTTCTCCATCCAATATATTAATAATATCATTTTTTTTTTAAAAGAACCTTATTGAATAATCCAATTGAGGGAAATGTAAACTTGGATAATTTCCCAGTTTTGAATCAACTTATGGTCTACACGACTGATCCAACTCTAGTTAGAGAGGTTTATTACACAACAACCGCTAATATGAGATTAACTAGATTGTATGTCATCCCCGATTATCATCTGATCATTAATATTAATTCTAATATATATATTTCTCTCTGTATTTTTAGTTATGGAACCATGAGTGCTATATTAAATATGTCCTATTTTCCAAATTTGACAGATTTGTCTATTTATATAGGTGAAAACTTCCAACAATCTTCATTTTCATTTTTCGAATTACCCAGAGCTTTAGCTTTACCTCTTGTGTATGTTACAACAACAAATCAACAACAACAATAATAAGTGATTGACTACTATTTAGAAGATATATAGATAGAACATCTTAATTAATACAATTTTTTCTTTAATAGAAGAATGAACGATGTAGCTGGATCCCAAAGAATGCTAGATTACCCAAGGTTTGAAAATTGGTATAGACCAACTGCCTTGTATGTTTTATGTTTATAACTACTTTTGAATTTGTTATTAACTCTTTTCTTTTTTTATTTTTAATATATTTTTAAAAAGAGTATTTAATAATGTAAATTTTAATCCAGTTTTAACAAGACCAAATTATTCAAATTGTACAGATTTGTTATCAATTGTCATTACAAATAGTGAGAGACTTGGTAACAATGTTTATCCAACTGCCATTCATTCACAGCTAAAGTTTTATACTTGTGAGAATTGTGGATTGACTGATCTCTTTCCCTTCCCCATCTTTCTCACAAAATCCATTCAACTCTTGTCATTGAATAGGAACCGAATCAACAAAGTATTACCAGTTTTCCCTTCAACTTCATCTGTTAGTACATTGTATGTAATAACAAAAATCAATCAATCTATCAATCAAAAATGTGAATTATGTTACTGACTTTTGTTTTTATTTTCTATTTTTATAGAGATTTAAGGGGTAACCAATTAATTGGAGCAATTGATAATTCATATTGTTCAATGTATGTAAAATTGGATGGTAATTCTTTCAATGGAACTTTACCTACTTGTTTTGCGTGTCATTTGAGAGATACAAGAATAGCAGGGATGTTTTCAAATAGTAGCTTTACAAACTACCAACCATCCAATGGAGTGATACCACCATGTACAACGTTAAAGATTACAAAGCCAGCATTGTATACTGCAGGTGCTGGAATCATAGAAATCAATGGTGAGGATTTAGGGTTTTATCCTGACCGCATTCTACCCGACCCAGCACTCTTTGTCAACTATGCTGCCGTCCAATTCAAGATACCAAACAAAAGATTCCAAATTTCATCAAGTGTTCCTGCAATGGTCAATGCAACTAATAGTGGTAGTTTAAAGGTATACTTTTTAGACCTAAACAATGCTAGTTTGACCGTACAGATTAGTTTGTTGCCACCAAAGATTGACTCTATAACGACTTATTTCGACTCGGACATCAACGGCTACGTATTTTTGGTTTCTGGTCAGGGATTGACGATGCCGGCTCAAATCACGGTGGGACAGCGTATCTGCCAGGTCGAAGTGATCGTGCCAACTCTATTGATACGGTGCAAGTTGCCAGACACTGCCAATATGGAAGAAAACTATTATTTGGTGACTGCAACTGTGCGAGACGGACAAAAGGGGTCGTTCAACTACCCATTCATCCGTTACTTTCCAACGATCACTGCCATCACATCGCCACCTCGTACCGGTGGGCCTTTTACCATCTCTGGACAATTTGGTGAGAACTTTACAGTGGTGGCGCTGTCGGTGGGCGGTGTGTCGTGTCCCATTGAATTTATCAACTCGACTACCATCTTTTCGAGAATTGCCCCGGGGTCGGGCATCAAGGACGTGCGTCTGACAGTGGCTGGATTGGTTATGAATCGATTCGGCATCTTCTCGTATGAAGGTGACGATCAATGTTATTGCTCAGACAATGGAGTGTGTGCGGTTGGCGGATGCTCGTGTTATTTCGGGTGGACTGGTCCTATTTGCGGCGACCGTGTCGTTCCCTCCAACTCTACACACGGTGTCAATGGATCAGAGATAGAGTCAGAGGGGATCAAGTTTGGATTCAGGGTGGCCGGGATCCGAGAGGTTGATATTGACGACAAGGTGGTACGCGAGTTTGCCTTTTCAAACTGGACGCTTAGCAGCTCGGTCGAACCCGTCTACAAACAATGGACCTATTTCTACGATCAATTTGACGGATTGAACCCTGTCTCTACCAATGTGTCTTACTCGATTCGTGAGTACACCCAACAAGACAGTTTTGAATTTGCCGGTGTCCCTTTGGAAATGGATATAGGGTCACTCAAGATGACGGCGACCGTCAACCAATGGCCATACCTAAAGTCAACAAACAGTATCGAGATTATGCTCCAATCCTACTCGCTGACCGATTCCAAGTGTAGCGGAGAGATTGTAGCCAACCAGGTAGAAAGTACTATCAAATACATAACCATCATGAGAGATGGAAAGGTACTCTATGCCAGATTCATCGATCGTGTCTTGTCTGATGGTAGAAGTACCTTTTCAAGAACTCGTGTCATTAATCAAACTGAAGCATATATTTATGTTGGCATTGGTTTACCTTATTGTCCAAATCAATGTATTTTAGATCCTGATTTTTCTGTAAATATCAAAACAAAAAACAAAAAAAAAAGAAAAGAGAATATTAATATTAATATTTTAATTTTATTTATTTATTTAGATATTAATTCAAGAAGATGGAATGTGTAAATCATCATCAAATGATATTCTTATTATTTCAGTTTCAGTTGTAGTTAGTTTGGTTGGAGCTTCAGCAATATTGATTGCAGTCTTTGCACTTAGAAGAAAAGCATTTTTCAAAATATCTCTTCGTCATGGTGTTGTATTCATGTGGAAGACAAGAACTGATACCGATGAACCCAATTCCGAAGAAATGAAACAAAATGATTTTTAAATATTAAAAATAAAATAAATTAATTTGTACAAATGATATACATATAATATATATTAAAATTGGATCCAACCAATAGTATATGATAGGAATCCTTTCTTTTCTGGTTGTGCCATGATTACTTATATAAATATATATATATAATTATTGGATCAAAAACAATATTTTTTATTTCCATCCTACAATTATTTGTTGGCCAATCAAAAAAAAAAGAAGAATAATATATTCATTTAAATCAATCCTTGTCACCCCCTCTCACTATACTATTATGACATTGTATTTTTGTATATAGAATCCTATTCAATTCGAAATTGAATTTATAAATAGAAATGGAAATGGAAATGATTGTAAATAACATCATCCACACTTTGCTAAATGGTATGGTTTTGTTGTAGTTTTTTTTAGAACGAGTTATCTATTTTTTCAACCATTGGTATATACACACTTAAAATATTTCCATGGGATGTTTTTCGTATCGATCAAACAAATGTTGATACGTTTGACAATATGTATATGTTGTTTGCTGTTGTTCTTGTATTGGTTCATATCATCATAATGATGATAACCCCGCACCACAAACCACTCTGAATGTGTACCCACTACCAAAATTGACTTTTTCACAAAGAATCGAATTATTTTAATTAATCTCTCTCCATCTATGTTTGTTTAGTTGGGGTTGATAGGAAAGAATGAGGTCAGACTGGCATGATCATCCCCTAATTTTGAACCAATTATTTATGAAATGAGTGAAATCCAGTTCCAATTAAAATGAGAAGAAGGACTTTTTTGTTTTTTTTGTTTTCTTTCTTTCAGTTGCAACCATCCACTCCACCATCAGATCTATTAGATTTTGGAAACTATTTAAACTGAAGACAACCAAAGAACAAGTTTTCATTTTCATTTTTTAATTGGTAAAATTTATTATCTCTTTTAGTTTAAACAACTTTTTTGTTTGTACAGTTTATGTGTAGTGTATGTTGTTATTTATTGACAACCTAGAACGAAAGGAACAACCATAGATGGTGAATTCACCATTCACTTTTTTTTAATCTATTAATCTTTATCTTTTTCTATTTTATGTATTTCCACAGTAACCATTACTAAAAAAAAAGGATCTACTTGAAAAAACACACAACTTCCTCAACTCTTATTCCGGTAAACTCTTAGATTCTTTTAACCAAACGTCGACGTTGTTCAACAAGAGTTTAAAAACCACAAAGATTCCTAAATCTAAATAGTTTTAAAACTAGTGCTATGTATGTTGGATTGAACCATTTCCAAGATTTTCCAACTACTAAAAAATTATCTTTTATTAAATATAAATATTAATTGACTATTCCCATTCTATTCTTTTTTCATTTCATAAAGAGAATGCAAACTACAATTCCCAATTCAAATATAAATCCAGAAAATCTAATTCAATCAATATTTGATATTGTAAATGGATATAGAAAATGTAAAGTATTGTATGCAGCAGCGGAATTAAATATCTCTAAATTTATTCCACCCAATGGAAAGATTCATGTTTCTCAATTGGCCAATCAAATGAATGTCAATCAAGATAAACTGTACCGATTGATGAGATCTCTCACCAATGTTGGTGTTTTTAAAGAGGTTGACGGTGAAAGTCCAGACACCAACGTAGATATGGTCGAGTCGAGTGGTGTGTTTTCCCATAGTCAACTTTCAATGATCATAAAGGACGATAGTATTCGTGATGTTATTAGAATGTTGGGAGGTTCAAGTCAAATGAATGCATGGAATTCAATTGTTGATACTGTCAAAACCGGTAAATTAGATTTACAATCATCAATTGGATATCAGTCATATTGGGATCTTTTAGAAAACGAACCAACAGAAAGAGAAATATTCGATCGATCAATGACAACATTTACCAAAAAAATGGGTGGTCCTATTCTTTCTCATTGTGATTTCTCTCATTTTGATACAATCGTTGATTGTGGAGGTGGTGAAGGATGGTATGTAAACTATTTTTTATATTAAAAAAGAATCAAGTTTCTAAATTGTTAATATTATTATTTTTTTCCAATTAAATTTGTGAATAGGTTGATTGAAGAAATATTAAAAAAAAATAATATTATTAAAAATGGAATTAATTTTGATTTGGATGCAGTTATTAAAACAAAGAAAACCAATACATGTCAAGACTCAAGATTTAAAGATGTTGCAGGTAGTTTCTTTGAATCAGTTCCAGAGGCTGATTTATACATTTTCAAGAATGTTTTACATAATTGGAATGAATCATCGATTGTTGAGATTCTACAAACTGTTTCAAAATCAATTAAACCAAATGGAAAGATATACATTCTTGATATTCTACCAGAAAGAAATTTAAAGAATGAAAAAACATCATTGGCAGTTTGGCATGATATGCGTATGTTCTTAAAAATTACATTTATATACATTAACCAACTTTTTAATTTAAATACTTTGTTTTTTAGATATGATGATGATTTGTGATGGAAAAGAAAGAGATGGATGTGATTATGAAAAGATATGTATTCAAACTGATTTTAAAGTTGAAAAGGTCAATACTATATCAAAGACATTTGGATTTTCAATTGGTCAAATTATACTTTCAAAAGTATCCAACCTATAATTAATTGTAAATAAATAAATATAAATAAAACAAACTAGAATAAATTGTAAACATGTTTTTTTAAAATAGCAGGTATATATGGTAGTTTTTATTATTTATTACAATGATTAAAATCTAAAGATAAATGAATTTTAATAATTATATTATATTATATTATTGCATTCAACAAATTTGAATGATTTACCAATTTAAATGAGAATGATTTGGATTTGGATTATTTACATAAAAAGGATGGAAGGATGATGATTCGGTTGTGTTTTGATTTTTTGTTTTAAAAAAAAAAAAAAGAGTAAATTATTATTATTATTATTATTATTGGATAGTGGAATCGATAATGTTGGGTTAGGGTTATTCTTCTTGAAGGTGGTTTTTGTTTGATAGGGTTGGTATTTAAATATATATACAAAAAAATGATATTATTATTATTATTATTATTGATTAATGATTATTATTATTGGAATATTATTCTTTTAAGAAGATGAACCACAAATGATTAAACTTGTAAATCTCTTTTTAATTGATTTTGATACAGTATTCTTTTTGTTGAGTTTACTATTGGTACGATTCAAATTGAGGAGACCCTTTTTGATTTCTCGTACCAATTCAAAGAATGCTTCGTCGACATTTGATCTTCGCTTAGCTGATGTTTCGAAAAATGGGCATCCCAATGCCTTTGCCATTTCTCTTCCTTCGCTATAGGTAACCTCTCTTGAACGATCGAGGTCACACTTGTTACCAACCAAAACCATTGGAAAAGAGTCACAATCCTTGACACGTTTAATCTGATCGACAAATGTGCTCACCTCTTCAAAAGTAGCTCGACAAGTAATATCGTAGGCCAAAATAAATCCCATTCCAGTTCTCATATATTGATCTCTCATTGCTGAATAATCATCTTGTCCAGCTGTATCCAAAATATCTAATAAATATGTTACATCATCAATTTGGCATTGTCTAAAGTAGAATTGATTATTATAAGTTTTTTTTTTTTCAAATTCCAATTTTTTTTGATTTCAGATAATCTTTATCATGATGAACAAGCAAGTATTCGTCATACTAGTCTATAAACTACAACTAGTATAATATAGAGTATAAAATATTGATATAAAATTGTGATATACTATACCTTCTATAAGAATCTTCAATGGTTGGATCGTATTCCTCTATGAAATGATTTTGAATAAACTGGATGGTAAGTGCGCTCTTGCCTACTGCGCCGCCACCCATAACTACTATCTTTTGACTAGTATATGATTGGAATCCCTTGTTTGCTGGTTGTGCCATGATATGATTACTTTTATAAATAAATATATATATACAATAGTTTATGTATCGAAAAACTAATATTTGATTTTGAAACAAAAAAAAGTGATAGTGATTGGTTGGAATGTTTCAAGATTGATGATGACAATAGAAATATTAATAGTAAGAGTAGTATGTAGTAATAATAAATGTAATAGACTATCTGTTATTGAATGATTGATTGATTGATTGTCTGACTGTAGATGGTAGTTGATTAATTTAAGATTTAAATTAATAAGAATAAGAGAGTGAGTGAGGAAGGGAGGGAAGGAGAGATTGTAACAGCAATGTAATTTATATAAATTATTATTAATATTATTTAAATATAGAAATAATTGGATTGGATTGGATTGGATATCGAGGAGCAAAGGGGGTGGAATATTATTGAGGAGAGTAGGAGGATGATAGTGTGTGGGGGAATAATGAAATGGATAAAACGCAACAGCAATAAAAAACAAAAAGAGAGAGAGAGAGAGAGAGATAGTGGAGAGTGATAAATTAAATTATTATTATTTGATGGCGGGTAATAATAAACAAACAAAACAAACAAAAAATGAACAATGAAAATTTATCTACAAACAAAGGATGGATAAAACACACACACACACAAAGAGAGACACAAACAAACACAAACACACACAAACAAAAATTTAAAAATTATTATTACATCCCGCGCCAGGAAGATGAGTTAAGAAAAAAAAAACCCTTGAAAAGAGTGTGATGAAATTCATTCATCCAAAAACCATTCAACAATTGAGCTGTTTACCGATGGACAATGTCTAAAAATATATTACAAAGGGGCACTCGCTACACTATCTATCTGCTGTCTATGTTACGACGTCGACGGCTGGACCAACACCCTTTTTGTTTGTTGTTGTTGTTGTGAATATATTCCCCAAAAGGAATTGTGTGATAAATTAATTAATATTATGAACCGTTGGTTTCTAAGGAAGGATAACTTCATATTTTAAACATTATTTATTTTCTTTGATTTGGAAGGATTGAGGTTGTGGGGGTTCTCTCTTTCTCTCTTTCTTTACTTATTCTATTTTAAAAATATTAATTTATTTATTTATTATTCTTTATATAGTCATAATCTTATTTAGAGATCTCTTATTCTTCTTTATGTTCATGATCTTGTTCATGATGATGATGTTCATGATCTTGTTGTTGTTCTACAATTTCCTCTTCTTCTTCTTCCTCTTCCTCTTCTTCTTCCTCTTCATTATCATTTTGATCTTTTCTTTTTAGATAAAGTTTTTGACCAGTTTCAAATTGACCAATAGAATGAACGACTTTGAAAGCATATTTTTGTGTCATATTTGGTTGGAAAGCATTTGAATAATAATTATTACAAATATATAAATTTTGAAGATGTGACATTTTGTTTCGTGATGCCTTCAACAATGCTTTGTTGAGGATAGTAGTGTCATAGTATTGTGTTTTAAGTTTCAATGTGTTGATGTTTGGATGATTGGCAATGAAATCAAACATCATATTCGATGTGGTTACCTTGGTGACAGTGGTTGGCAGTTTGATGTTGTGCGCTTTGACCGAGTTGGTCGCATGAATAATACGCAAGTACTCGAGTTTTGGGAACATATCCAAAGAGAGGAGGTGTGGTATGTCATACGAGATGGCGGTGAGGCGCTGTTTGACCGCTTCAGGCACACTGGTGTACTTGTCAATATCTCGCTGTGTCAAAAAGAGCTTGGTGAGTGATGGGAGTTCGTTGGTGGCTTCGAGAATACCAGTTATATGGGTATTACGATTATAGTATGGGTTGGAGATATCGAGTTTGGTGAGAGATTTGAGAGTCACCAATTGGGTGACGCTGGGCGACTGTGGTGTATTGTGTGCACCGTAATAATAGTACAAGGAAAACGAGAGCGATTGCAAATGAGGCATGTGCTGCAATATATTCAATGTGTTGAAACTCTGTGTCAACTTGGCTTTGGTGACGTTGGCGAGACAAGAGACAAGGCCGAGTGGGACATCTTGTGATATACGAATAGCATGAATGGGTCGCACTGCAAGATGTGTCGTACTCGTCAAGTTGGCGACGAGCAACTTGTCTAAAAATATTTTGCATGGTATGTTGTTTTTGATGTGTTGGTGTACACCCTTGCTAATGAGTCCCAATTGGAGCTTGGCACGATTAGAAATTGGCACCGTGTTGATGAGTGGTAAATGTGGCTTGTTGTAATCAAAGTGGACGGCACATGTCTTTTTCTGTGCAAAGTATCGGTCCACTGCGTCTTGGTCTTGGAATACATCAAATCCTTCATTCAACCATCTTTGAATCAATTCTTCGTCATAATCACATGTACAATATTGTCTCTTTTCCCAAACCATTTCAATTATTTTATAAATAATATTATTTGGTAGTTGTATTGTCTTATTATTATTATTATTACTATCATTATTATTTTCAACAATATCCATTCTATTATCATTATTATTTAATGTTGATGTTGATGGTGACTTTGAAGATTTAATAAATAGAATCTTTTTACCTCTTGAAATGGGAGAAAAGGTTGAACCGATATAGGTAAACCCTTTACTGTTCATTTTTTGAATATCCTTGTCAGTAATATCAACTTGTGAATAGATAATGACTCGAGTAAAGGAAGTTGATGCAAAGTTGAGATTGGTGATTGTTTCTAGACCATCGGCAACGTTGAATCGAATGGTTGAAAGATTCAAATACTTTACAAAGTATTCGATCGATGTGCAATCAAACAGTGTGACCTTGGTGATGGTTTCGGGAATGGTGGGTGTGAGGTTGGGTGCACTCGAATAGATTTGTCGTAAACTTGGAAAGTCAGCAGACTTGAATTCGACGACTGGAAGATTATTATTGTAGCGTCTACGAGAATTCTGGAAAACCGAAATACCAACGAGCTTGCTTTTAATGTCCTCGTGCAACAGATTCCAATTAAAATAAGATGACAGGAATATCTTGCGAATGGGAGTGTCACGAGGTAGCAGTGAGGGGATCTTGTCGATATCAAAGGCATCGAGACGAGCCATAGCAAGATTGATGTGAGTGAGGTTTTTAAATACCGTAAGCAACGTTTTAAAGACTGTTTTGGTGGGTTGACAAAACGAAACGATCTTGTTAAGCTTGGGTGCACATGAATTGAGTGTACGAAGAGGATCGACCTTTTCAACGACAAAGTTGCCCTTGATATAGACTCTTTCGACATTCTCAAACAAGTCATTGACAAAATGATTGTCTTTTGGGAAGGAGCCTGAAGTTGTTGGAGCAAACGTGACCGATCTAGGCTTTTTAACCAAATTGTGTTCGTTTTTAAAGTGTTTCCAACTGTCTCCATTTGGTTCAATGACAATATCGGTAAATAGAGTCGTAGAGATAAAGGTAAATATACGTTTAGAGAGCAGTGCCAATGACCGTCTCCAACTATACCCTTCGCGGTGGTGTTTGAGGAATGGGTCGCTGGCTAGTACAAATGGCTGTACGTGTCCAGAGTCATACCCAAATTGATGGCATGGACACATCTCTTCTCGCTTGAGTGAGTGTTTTTGAATGTCTGGGTACAATGCCATGGTTCCATAAAACACCTTTAACAGATTCTTGTCAGAGTTTCTGTCACTGCCACCTTGATGATATACAAATATCTCTTTTTGTTTTGTTCTAAGATCACTCTTTATCAAACAAGTGCATACATCGGTCATGTGGAATGATTCAGTCAAAATACGTTGAATGATGAACCATGGCAACGCATATTCCAATGCACCACGATGATAGTCGTTGATTGGATTGTGGTCCTTGTACTCTTGATACTCTTTGATTTGTTTAGGACGTGCCAATATCTTTTTAATCATAAACTTTTTAGTCTCCTTATTCGTCATGTTCAAACCCAACTTTAAACATATCTCCAATACCTGTGGTTTATACAATTGCTCCAATTCTTTTTTTGTATAATCATCTCTTATCTCTTCCTCTTTTTCTCCTTCTTCTTCTCCTTCATTATCTTCATCTCTATCTCTTTTCATTTCTTATTTATTATTATCTATAGACACATACGAAAAATGATAAATAAACTTTAAAAGGTTCAGTCTGCAAATTCTTGTAAAAAAAAAAAGAAATTTAAAAAATATCTATTATTTATAGAGGACGTTGGGGGTTTGGTTTATTTTGTAAGGGGGTGGGTCATCTGTTGGTGTTATTCGTTTGTTTGTTGGTTTGTTGGTTTGTTTATCTTTTGTTTGTTTTGTTTGTTTTGTTTTCGGGCGGGAGTAATAATAATAAATTAAATAATAATTATGGATAATTTGATTTAATAAGTAAAATTATTTATAGATTCATAAACTTGTTCATCTCGGATGGCATCGATAAACATGGTATCTAAAAATGCCAAATACAATCCTGGATTATGTTCAAAAAATCTAAATAAATCATTTGCTAATACTTTATATATTACACTCTAAATTCAATTGATATAAAGGAGGGTGTTGTGTTAGTGATTATTATTATTATTAATATTATTCTTTCTTTCTTTTTTCTTTTTCTTTTTTTTTCATTTTACATTTTCTTTTGCAATGACAGTAGTTTTATGTTCAAGAGGAGGTATGGAAGACATTGCAGAAGTGTCTCCTAAAAAAGAACCCTTTTCAAAAGGTTCGAGTGAATCGTGTCCGAGGATTTCGAGGGCACCTTCGGCGACCAAGCAGCCAAAGGTGGCGATATCGCCTTGTTTCCAGAGGTGTTGTCCCTGTTCGAGTTGCTCTCTATGCAGAATCGACTGTAAAAAGGTTTTTTGTGAGTTGGTGCAACGCATCAAGACGCTGTTGAGGTTGATAGTCTCCCACGACTTTTCATTTCGCATCTCCCACAACTTGGTGATAAAGTTGATAGAGTCGGTACTGTTTCGTGTGATCGACAAAAAGTCTTCTTTGCTAAAGACGAGTACTTCGACGTCAGTGTTGGCCTTGACGCACGCCGACCGCAATCCACCCATAATCAACGACATTTCACCAAAGTAGTCGCCTACAATCAGGTTCTTTTCAATACCGCCAACCGACACCTTGACAACACCCGACGCCACCACGAAAAAGGCGTCAGGTTCTGAATCTTGCGCAATGATGACTGTACCTGCCGCATACTGCTTTCGCATGGCCGTACGAAGAATCTCGCAGGCCTGCGACAATGGGATCGACTTGAATATATCAACCGACTCCATCAACTTTAAAATATCGACTGCTTCGCTGTGCGACTGCTTGGCCACATCCAAACGCAGCGTGTGTGCCACACCCTCACGTGCAATCTTGAGTCCCGACTCTTTGGGCAACGAATGCTCTGATATGTGAACCAAGTACAGTCGGTTCTTGGTCTCGTTGGACAATGCCGACAATACAGTGACTGGCGTGTGAATGGGTGGTACACCAGCCTCGTGCAACACAATCGTATGATTCCAAGGTTTTAAAAAGAAATTCATTCTTGCCGTATTCATTATATTTTTTGAATGCATTTCTTTAATTCTACTTGGATCAAAACATGTATCACCTGAATAATATCTAGAAAAAAAAAGAATATAAAGTAAGTTAAATATATAGTTTTCTTTTCTTTTTTGTTTTGACTTACACGCTCTTTCCACCATAAAATACTTCAAATGAAATAGTAGGGATTGTATGAATAGTATAAAAGAAATTAAACTCTGCACCAGCAATGGTCATGGGTTCACCAATCATGACTGGACGAAAGATAAATAGTCGACGCAATACATCGGCACTGAGGTTGGACAATGCGCTGTATTTTCTTAAAAATGAGTTCAAAATGGTTGGTGTTGTTACAACAGTGATCTGATACTCTTCCAACAACTTTTGGAATGTACCAGAGTCATGATCAGCATGACAATGCGTTAATATAATATGATCCACTCTTCTAGTTGGTACACCTTGACTTAATAAAAAATTACTACTATTTAATGGTGGATCAATCATTACTTAAAAAAGAAAGAAATAATTAATATCTTATATATATATATTCTCTATTCTATTCTATTTTTTACATACTTCCTCTTTTGTTTACCCATAAAACAAAACCGGTAGTTGATTTTTTTGGATCAAAACCATGACTTGATCCAATGATTGTGATACCAAATGTTGGGGGATCAAATAGATCGGTAGAGATTCGATTTACAATGTCTGGAAACATGATCTTGGATGGGAGGAATGAGACGACTTGATCCTCCTCGAGTGGTTCTTCGGCGGTGGCACGATGGATCACCTTGAATGCCGACTCTTGTTCAAGGTAGTGGATTTCTACACCTTTGGGTAGATGTGCTACACCATTGTCATCGAATAATACAAAGTCAAACAGTTCGTCTACACTGTTGAAAGTTCTTAAATATTTACATTCTAGTTCTAGATTGGGTATTTCTTCGATGGGATAGCTAGGTGCAAACTCTTGAAGAAAGTCTGATGGATTCTTACTAACCAATTCATTGGTCGATAAATGTGCTGCCGTACATCCACGTAATGGTGATCCTCCACTATGTGTTGTTGTTGATCCTGTTCTTGAATGAGTTCTATTATGTCCACTATGACTACTATTATTACTATTATTTGTCGTTGAAGTTGATGTATTATTTGAATTATCTAGTGAAATAGGTGGAGTTAAACCTTGATTAAATTCTGATGGTCCTAAAAGAGTCTCTTGAAAGACAACTCTGATACGACGTTCTTGTTCTTTGGTGCACACAAATGCCACCTTTCTCTTGAGTATGAAAAAGTTAAAGTAGGCTGGGAACTCTGCCTCGGCGGCATTGATACCTGTTCGACGATCCCACAGATCCTCTGGAAACACGTATATGGTAGGTACGTCAATCTTGAGTTCCATCGAATCTTTGATTGTCTCGGGTGGCACTCCAAACTGTATGTTCCCCAGTCTATCCGACTTGACGACATATCCACCTCTAGGCAATGATATGTAATTCCCTTGAGGTGATAGTCTCATTGATTTTCTTTTAAACATCTCTCCTCTATCTCTATTATTATTATATATATATATTACAACTTTCTTCTTCTCTTCCAACTTAACTATTAAATATCTGTCTAACTATCTCTAACTACTATTACTATTACAACAATGAATTACTCTACTCTACTCTTTGGTTTTTCCACACAACCAACTATATACTTTGTTTCTCTATTGATATTTATAATATTTATATATATATATAGACTGTGTTTTGATAATTTATATATATATTTATATAATCTTTCAAGTTCATATGAAGTATCTACGACTCTCATACCTTTTCTTTGCGCGCAAGCCAAAAAAATTAATTTTTTGTAACTTTTTTTTTGAAAAGGAGATACTTTTATCCCGCGATGCGACTCCGATCAAACTGGTATGAAATCCCAGCTCAGTCGACTGAGTCAACTCATATTAATTAATTAAAGGAAGGGATAAGGCCTTAGAACCTATCTATAGATCGATCATATGATCTTATAAAAGTCAAGTAAAAGATAAGATAATAATAACACTGCACTACTCTCTCTCTCTCTATTTATTTATAATGTAAAATGGATAACAAGGATGATGCAAATTCAGTGGTGATTGGATCTTTTGAAGATGATCTCCATGCAATGAAACCATCAGGTCTGACAAGTAATGCATTGCCATAATCCAAACCAAAATCTTTTTTCCAATCTAAACCAATTAACAAGTATTGTGTCTCTTTGGTGTAGTTGATATGATTGATTGGTCGTTTAAAATGGGAAGGATTTTCTTCTTTTAATGCTTTTTTGAAAACTTGGTCCCAACTATTCCCCTTTTTATCCTCTCCAAATGTTATTAATGTGTATGTGCATGGGTCGACCCAATCCAATGTTGATTTTGGTTCAATTAACTCTTCTCCATCCTCTTCATATTCTTTTACTTTTTCTTCATCTATTTCATCGATCCATTTGTGTGGGATACGAGTACCAGGTCGACCACATAGATCATATGATTTGGGGGTAGGTAATGATGACCCGTCATCATCTCCAATGATAATACTTGAATTGTATCCGTATCCAACTGTCATGTAGGGAATGAGTTGGAGGAAGGATGGGATGATTGAGATGGTGTTGAGTCGCATTAATCCACGCTCGTCATTCATGGCGGCAGAGATGGACGCTGCACGTTGTGCAATTGGTCGTCGCTCCGTCTCATAAGTGTCTAGTAGTTCCTCGCCGCTCCATCCATTGATGACATGCACCAACTTCCAGACAAGGTTGTGTGCGTCGGCGATACCGGCGTTGGCTCCAAACCCTCCCCATGGAGGAAAGACATGGGCAGCGTCACCTGCCAAAAACACGTGTCGATCAGGTGTGCCGTATCTTGTTGCCAGGCGGACCGTCGACCACCACGGCATGGCGCCTTTAATCTCGTCGACGACAAGCGTGTCGATACCAACGGCTGCCCGCACCAACTCTACACACCGCTCCTTTGGATAATCCTTTGCTGTCTCGTTGCGACCCATTGACACGTGCAACACCCAAAGATCGCGACTATTCACCGACGCAAATAGCCCACGCAGCTTGTCATTCTCGACCAAGCACATGGACAGCGGGTTCGACGACACCAACGGAACCATCGCTTTTGATTGAAAGTAAATGTTGAGTTGTTGGGTCATCTCTCCGACTCCGTGGAACCCTATCCCAACCTGCTCTCTCACCAAACTCTTTGAACCGTCACATCCAATTACATAATCAGTCCAAATAACCTTTTCATCACCCGTCACTCTATCCTTGACCAATACTCTGTACCGACCCTTTGTATTATCATCTCTGTCACTGTCATCCATCTTTGTCAACTCTAACATTTCTTGATTAAATTCTATATCTATGCCACGTGACTTTGCAGACTCGTATAATAGAGGTTCGATAATATCTTGGGTAATACGAGTAAATGAAGAGGTACTACTCTCTTTGATATACCGTTTCCACTTTTTAGCCACTTGCATCAATACATACACCAATGCAATCATGAATATGCTAAACCATCCACCAGGCAGCACCCAGTAGATGGCACCAAAGATCGACACCAACACGGCCAATCCACCAAGTAACTGTGGGTTTCTCAACCACCTATACTTTCTTCCAATCGCTTGCACAAGCGTACGACCCGAGTAGATACCAGTACTCTGTATGACCGACTGGTCAACCGTCTCTTTTACCTTGCTCTCCAATCCCAACGATCGAATAATCTCCATTGACCTAGTATTAAATCCACGTGATCTTGGGTGCATACATAATGTTGAATGTTTCTCTATTACTTTAAATGTAATCGATGATGATGTTGACAATGATGATGAAGATGTTGATGATGACTCGATATCATCACTATCTTTTTCTTTTTCTTGTTGTTGTTGTTGATGAAGTAATAATGAAGTTGTCAAGCCGACAATACCCGATCCTACAACCAACACCTTTACATGTTCTTCCTTCATTCCTATGTATCTATATATCGATACTCACAGATTCACAAATTTATGAATGAATGACTTTGATGATGACCGGACTACCACAAGCTCATAGCTCTACATTTTATACTTTTCATTTTTTTCAAAAGTATATTATCTTCTTTAGTATCTTCATCCTACTCATCATCATCATTATATCATCAATACTATTACTACTATTCACATAAACAAATGATTCGTTGACAAGTTTATGAAAATACTTACTCAACCTTGTATAAATTTAATATCTCTTTAATCCCAGGTTACACATGTGTGGTAGGTAAGGTAAGTTGTAAAGATTATAATTATAACATAACATCTAAGAGGAAACTAAACTAACTTGTATCATTCATCATCATCATCAATTCGTATTTGTTTATGTGTATCTTTTAATAGATAAATGATAAATCAGGACAATGATGTTGAACGATCTGAATCTGATAAAGAGTCAACATGACGTGATAATCTTGTTTGGTTGCCCTTAGACGAGACAATCGTTGCCCGATCATCAAGTAGGGGCTCTGCTCTTTGAAAACCGACGACCCAAAACCCGGGTACAAGGATGGTTGGTGGACTTCTCTTTGAGCGAAAGGCAATGCCAGGAGTTTGTTTTGGTTTTGACTCAAGGTTTGATTTGCGCGAACGGATAAATTTTATAATTAGGGATTACCGATTGGAGAATCATTCTCTCTTCAATTGGGGGTGATCACCCACAACAGCTGCTTTCAATTGTTGTTCTACCCTCTTCTGCAAACCAAAGCTACGTGCTTGTAATTTTGGTTGGTTGTTTAGAGTTTAGTTTAGTTGATTAGATTGCATTCAACTCGACTCTCGGGTTGGAGAGATGAAAGGCTCTCTGCCAGCACAGCTTTCTTATCTGCAAACACCTTTTTCCTTCTTCCTCTTTCTTCTTCTTTCTTTGCATTCATCATGATCGTGTTGTTCTTGTTTTCGCCCCCCCTTTAATTTAAAACCTACCTATTACAACACAACTTTCTTAATGAACAAACAAAACAAACAAAACATTATCTATCTTCTCTTTGTACAACCAGCATTGCAACGAAACTAAAAAATTGTAAATCCCAGATCCTCCCTTCTCCAATCAACATCTGACGCACCTCTTCGACCAACCAACCAATCTGTAAATTAAAAACTAAACCTACCAACCAACAGCCAGCGCAGAGGCACTCCGCCCTCACCCTCCCCCAACCAATCAATCAAATAGACCAAAGACATTCGTCATCAGAATCTTCCTCATTCCTTCCCCTTTTTATTCTATTTATCTTATTATCCGCGCACAACAACCATTCATTCACTTTCGTCTTTCATATCGTACGTCATCTAGATTTATTTCATTTATCTCTTCTCTTTATTTCTTCATTGTTCACTGTTCTCACAAAAAAGTAAAGTTATACTTTATCAATCTCGATCACTCGTCTCACTCGTCTCGTTGATTATTCGCGCTCGTCAATATTTATTCGCGCGCAGTCCAAACGAGAGTTCTGTCTCGTACCCTATTCCTTTTACCATCTTCACCAACCACCAGAGAGGGAAGAAGAATAGATTTGACAAACAAACACACAAACACAAACAAACAAATAACAAATCATAGTCATAATTAATTTTATAGACTTGTTTTTATCCATATATACAAAATATAAATATCTATATAAATTCAATTTTTTTGTAAATACATATATATCTCTATATAATCTAACCATATATACACTCAAAACACATCTAATAACAATATATATCATAAATAATAATAATAAAATGACAGACCCATTGGAAACATCATCCTGGCTTGGAATTTGGGAAGGAGATGATACTCAAGAAGAAAATACAGTTCAACAACAACAACACCAACATCGCGGTCAAATAGGAGACTGGAGTAGTTTTATGATTGCCGTCGATGATGAGGGTGGCCAAGAATTACAAAAATCACTTTCCACTATGAATCTTGGAATGATGATGAATAAAACCAAAACTAATAATATCAATAGTAATAATAATAATAATAATAGTACAACAGGACACATCAATATAAATAATAATAATAATAATAATAATTCATCCAATTGTAGTAGTAGTTCAACAACTCCAACTCTTTCATCATCTCCAAACAATAATAATATAAATACACATAATGGATCACCAACAACTTCATCCTTGATGTCATTCTTCAAAAAATCAAATAGCAATAATAATAATAATAATAATTCTGGTAATTATTCAATATCAAATTCAAATGGTAGTTCAAGTTCAAGTAAATTACAATTGAACAAACAAACATCGACTGGATCAAATTTGGCTGCATCCATTCATTACAATCAAATCACATCGTCTAATGATTCGCCAAGATATGACAGTCCGTCACCAAGTATGAGTGGTGGGTCCAATCCAACTTCTCCATTACGTACAAGTGGAGGTATCACTAATCCCAACAGCAACAACAACAACAAGGTCCACATGTCACCATTAAATTTGGGTGAGGTGTCACCAGTTTCGTCTGGATGTAACTCTCCAACTACTCCAACCCATCATCATCAACAACAACAACAACACCTTACCAAAGAACAATCATCATCATTCTTGAACAATTTATTTAGAAAAAAGAAATTACCGTCTGACCAAGACTTGCTAAAGAAAAAACAGAGTATTGGACTCAATGAAGTTGGTGGTTCCATGTCATTTGGTGATTCTTCTGGTGGTGATTGTATGACTCCTAGAGAAGTGGATACCTCGTCCACATCATCCTATCTCGATGACAGAGAACGACTATCAGTCATCAACGAAGCGACCGAGGACATGGTGTCTGATATTGAGTCGTTGAGCTCTGCATCTACCTTTTCACCACTCCAAGATTTAGGTATATCCGTTGCATCGGATCGTGTCATGGAGGGATGGATGGAACGTGCTTCATCACGTTCAAGCAAGTTTAAAAAGTATTGGTTTGTTTTACGTGGTATTCATTTGGAATATTATAAAGGTTGGTGGGAAGTTGATGGAAATAATAATAATAACAATAATAATAACAATAATAATAATAGTCAAACATCACCACAACCAACATCTGCAAGTGGTGGAAAGGACAGACCATTGTCACCAACCTCCACCTCTACCACAACTACACCCGAGAATAGAATCACACTCAATTATTGGTATACATTCTCAAAGGTCACTGTTGAAGACAACAAATATGTATTTTCAATCATTCAATCATCCGAAGTTGAAAAGACATCAGACAAACACAAACTATTAAAATTCCGTTGTGAAAATGAAGATCATGCAAAGAAATGGGTTCAAGAATGTGAATCTATTATTAAAAAGAGAAAGGGTAAGAAAAGACAAAGATATATTTTAAAATATATTTATTAATTTGATTTATATTTATTTTTCTTTAGAAACAACTGTTACACTTAGACCATTGGCAGATGGTAAATTGGCAGGTGGAAGAAGACCTACTATATTTGGAGGTTCACCACCATTTATTCCACCTTTGAATACTGATGCTTTGAATGGTGGTGGTTCTAGTACATTTGTCAATGAGAATGTGACACCAAGACATTTCCCACAGTCTCAGTCATCGCCACGTACTCCAACCACTCCAAGCAACCCAAACATCATAAATGGCATTGTCACCAACAGCGAGATGCTCAACATCCCCAAGGAACTATTAGAAGACCTCGAACAAGACGAGAAAAAGGTGTTGGAAAATGTCAAGGCTCTGTTGGACGAGTTCAAACCCACACCTCTCCCATCAGGCGTATCCGCACAAGAGTATAGGGACAAACCACGCGGTCCAGATGGAAAGTACCGTGTCTTGTCAATGGATGGCGGTGGTTTGCGATCGGTGATGGTGTGCATCTTGATTGAACGTATCATCAAAAAGTATCCAACCTTTTTAGACTATGTCGATGTGTTTGCGGGTACTAGTGCAGGCTCGATTGTCGCTGCTGGCATGGCTATGCAATTCCCATCCAAGGGTGTTCGTCGTGTGTTGGAGCAGACTGCAGCACCAGTGTTTGGCAAGAAGCGTGCTGGACTCAACGTCAGTAGCGCCAAGTACTCTCATCGATTGTTGCGTGCTGCTTGCTATGTCTTTTTCCAGGGTATCAAGTTCAACGAGCTACCTCGTAAACTTGTCGTGCCAGCATTCCAACTGGACAGTTCGTACCCACCACAAGCCATCCCCACTGCACCCGATGTCCGCAGATGGATGCCTCAACTATTTCACAATGTTACTGGATTGGAACCACACCCCACATCGGCCCGCGGTGACTCTCCACGCTCTCAACACTCGTCATCGTCCTCTTCCACCATCTCTCAACCCGGATCGATGGACTGGAGAAACAAGGAGCTTGTAAGAGACGTCCTTTTGCGTTCAGCATCTGCCCCCACTTTTTTCCCAAGTTACCAAAACTTTATTGACGGTGGTGTTTTCTGCAACAACCCTGCCATGGCAGCTATCAGTCTTGCCATCTCACCACAACGAGACAATATCCCTCTTGACAAGATGATTTGCTTCTCTGTGGGAACTGGTGTCGCTGAAAATTTTATGGAAGGTGGCCATGGCGAGTACGATTACGGCCTCTTGGGATGGGGACCGAGATTAGGCAACCTTTTCATGGGGTCACAAGTAGATTTCCTCACGCAACTTTGTGAAAATATGTTGGCTGAAAGATACTTTAGACTCAACCCATCAATTGGTGAAAACACTTCCATGGACGATCCAAAATTGGTCAGTGAATTGGCTACCCTTGCAAATCAAGTAGATTTAACTGAAACATTTGATTGGATTGAAACTTATTGGTTTCCCAAATAAAATCTTTAAAGTATAGTATTGTTGGTTTAAATATCAAACTTTTACCAAATACATATGCATATATATTATTTAGAATATATATATCGAACTCTAAAAAAAACAAATTGATTTCCATCCACCCATCTTTTATTTTTACCTATTCTTTTTTACTTTATTTTTTACATGTTATTATTTATTATATTATATTAGTTCTTATTATTATTATTAATTTGATTTCTTTCTTATTTAGTTTAGTTTTATCTTGAATTATTATATTTTCTTTTTCTTTCTTCTTTTTCTTTTCGAAGACTTTCTTCTCTTTCTCTTTCCAATCTATCTTCTTGTGCTGCGTGATAACTTGATCTACGTTCCTCTGCTTCAATGTCTTCGGCAGAGGCAATCATTGATTTGTCATCAAAGAATCGGTCTTCTCGATACGATCTCTTTCTCGCCGACATACCCTTGAGGAATTGTCTCATGATTGGGTCAGTAGCATCATAGTCTTCGTTATCGATAAAGTCATCCATTGAATCTGACTCATCGTCTCTATCATCGTCGTCGCTATCAGAGCGACTATCGTCGTCGTCGCTATACTCGTCATCCGAGTATTTACTAGGTCTTTGATAGGATCCTGATTTTCTTGGTGGTGTATGAGGTGGAGGTGGTCTTCCATGTGTCCCATATCTTGGTTCTTTTCCTGATACGCTTGGTGACAATCTTTTACCTTTGTCACTGCTACTACCTCTTGAATTTGATGATGTTGATGTAGATGGTCTACCGCTACTGCCACTACCAACTTGAGTTGATTTTGGATCTATTCCTTTTGTTCCCCAAACTGAACCAGATAATGATGAATTTGGTGCAACCTTTACGATTACTGGTCGTGGTGCAGGAGGTAATTCCTTATATAATGGTGGTAATAAATCATTTGATGCTTTTTTTGATGCTGATAGTGAGCTAGATGATGAAGATGACGAATACGATGATAAAGATGGTAAAGGTCTTGAAGGTAATGATGCTATGGTCGGCGGTCTTGATAAAGATGGCAATGGTTTTGGTGTTAGTTTCTTAATTGTTGATTGTGAAGGTGATGGTGTTGGTTTTGATGTTGTCGTAGATGTTGACTTGGATGGTGTAGATGATTTGGATGAGGATGATTTATAGTCATTTGAACTATTCTTGTGAGATGATGAGGATGATGAAGATGATGAAGATGATGGTGGAGGTTTTTTTACAGATGAATTACTAGATGATGATGAGGATGAAGATGGTCTTGAAGAAGAAGATGAAGATGATGAAGACGATGATGAGGATGGTCTTGAAGAAGAGGATGAGGACGATGATGAAGATGGTCTTGATGATGAAGATGAAGATGAAGATGACGACGAACTTGGTCTTGACGATGAAGTAAAACTCTTTCCAGAATCTTTACTTGAACTTGCATTATTATTATTATTATTATTATTATCTTTACCATTGGTTGTTGTCGTCGTTGGAGAATCACCATTTACATCTTTCTTTTTCAAAGATAAACCCCAAATGAATTCATCATGACTTGAATTAATTAAACGCGGTGCTGGCTTTCTTTCTCGATCTCTTTCTCTTTCTCTATCTCTATCTCTGTCTCTATCCCTTTCTCTTTCACGGTCTCTGTCTCTGTCTCTGTCTCTTCCACCACCTCCACCTCTTGGTGAAGAAGAAGAAGATGATGAAGATGATCTTTCTCTTGATTTACCACTAGGTGATGTAGAAACATCTCTATCACCTTCAGTTTTTACTCTCTTTTTAGGAACCTTTTCTTTTTCTTCAATAAGATCAACCATATTAGTTTATTAATTGTTCATATATCTTGATCAATCTAGATTTCATTTAATTTAATTTCATTCATACATACCTTCAAAAGCTGATCCTGGTTTCTTTCTAAACAATAATTCATCTGGTGCTCTATATCTTGTATCGACTACTCAATCAACAGATCAGTATATATCATAACTCATTGTTATCTTGTTCTTGTTGTAACAACCTACCTTCAATTGTCTTTATATTTTTATACTTTTCTAATGCTGCTTGGTTAATCCTTATTTGTGAATCTGTCATCCTATCACTCGCTCTCCTCTCTCTCTCTGTATAAATAAATAAATAAATATGTATTACAATAGACAATAGAATAGAATGAACAAAAGAAAGTTGATGAATGATGAATGAAGAACAAAATGATGAATTCTTCTCTCTTTGCAATCAATGCATTAATTTAAATAATTCATGAAAAAATCGATTTTAATTTAATTTTTATCTCTCAAGAATGTGATGAAGTGCACTTCATCTTCTTGGAAAGTAATGACATAGAGATAGATATATATATATCTAGATAGATAGATTAAGGATATATAAGAATAATATATTTTATTAAATATTATGGTAAGTGTTATGCTAGCTAGATATGATTTAAATGAGATGATGAAGATGTAACAGTGGTATTTAACTTATCAATCTCTTTTTGTTGTTCGTGGTAGTGTTCTTGATACTTTTTGGTGATGAATAGTTTGCAGTCGCGACTCCACTTGCCCTTCCACATGTGTGAATCGTCAAACACGTTGCTTGTTGGACTATTGGGTGTAGACGATGATGGAGATGATGTTGGTGTAGTTGAATTGGATGATGGTAGATTGTCACTTGTTGTAGTGGCAGACATAGTGCTAGTGCTAGTAGTAGTAGACTGAGGATCACATGAAATGGGTGAAGATATGGTGAGGGATGCCATAGAAGGTGAACTATTGTCGGCTGGGTGTGGAGGAGATACTAGCATCTTGGAATTAAAGTATGGTGATGGTGGATAGTTGTAGAGATTGCCGCTGTAGATGAGGTTGATGTTTCGAATGGCATAGTCGTAGGTGACCTGTTCCAGTTGCTTGGATTGAGTGCAAATCGACAGTTCGAGCAACTCCCCCACATTCTCGATATCAATGTAGTGCCAGAGATAGTATTCACATTGTTGACGTAGTTCTTGGATGCCTAGGGTGTTGGCGTATGTCAGTAGTTGACGACTATTGTCAAAGTTAATGTCGGCCGAGAACCCATAGATCCATCGGAATATTTCATACATGACCTTAAAGTCTTGTTGGTTGTGGATGACCAATGCGTCAATCTCGCGTATCGACCCGAAATTATCCTCCATTACCATCGTTTCAATCTTGGAGTCTTCATTGGCCAACCATTCCTTTAATTTTGGACATCTTGATAAACAAATAGATTGATGCAAGTATATTTCTTCTTGATCTTTTAATTTTAATATAAACTAATGATAAAGAAAGATAGATTTAGGTTAGAAAAAAAGAAAAACAAACAAATATTTAATATTTATATTAATATTCTTTTATGTTTACATACATCTGGGAATAAAGTTTTGTTATTAAATAATACTTGGAGTTGTCGTTTCATGGTTGCATCTTCATCTTCGACAATGACAGAGCACTCTCCCATTCCCAGCTTGGAACAAATTCTAGTGGCATATTCCTTGACCATTTCATTATCTGATTTTGATAATCTAAGTAATGAAATACCACTATTATTCTCTCCAAGAGTTCTCCATAACATTTCTTTTTTATATTTATCTAAAGAAAAACAAAAAAAAAAGGTAAGTAAATAATAATAATAATTTATCTATATTTTTTTATTTTAACATACCAGAACAAACAAAACTATTTACACAATATAATACAAACATTTGTACTTCTAAATCTTTAGAATCTAATAATGGAATATGAGGTTGAAGAGTGACCCAATTAAAGTTTGCTGGGAATTCAACCACTCCAATATTGTCTTGTACAAATTGACCAATACTTTCAAAGCAACCATGGTTTCGTAGGATGGCTCTATTCTCTTCGTGCATGCTTAGATTACACAAAGTGAGACATGACAAAAACTTGATCTTGTTGTCTCTGTTTTTGGATCGCTCGATGATGAGTTTTAGTACTTTGGTGTTTCGAACGATTTTTAATTGGTTTGGATTGACTCTTCCACTTTCAAATTTATATTCTGATAGATTTTGAATAATGGCCGATGATGATAATAATTGTTCTCTATAATTTCCAGTATCCAATACTTCCAATAAGGTATCTAATACTCCTTCATCAAACATTTTAGTTTTTAAATTTTCTTTATAAATCAAACAATGGATAATAATAATAATAGAAATTGGTAAGTAATCTAAAAATATATTTATATAAATATATATATTTATCTTTGTTTATATTTCTATTTTTACCTTCAGCAGAAAAATTCCAAAGTATTGACATTATAGTTTCATTTGTTTTCTTTTCTTTAGATTTTAATAAGTTAATAAGTGGAATCATTGATCTATAGTTTGCAAATACGGTAACCATATATTTAAACTTTGATAAAATGATTTCATTTAATGAATAGAGTCCTGAATATTGGAGTTGTGGAAATTGAGATTTCATTAAATTTAATATTCTAAAATTATTAAATGGATTTTTAGAAAGAAGGGTAGGTGTTAAGTTAATATCTTTTTTTTATTGGAATCGCCAAATGATTTTATAACAACAACAAACATACCTATCAATATTATCCATAAAATTCAATACTGTATTATTTCTATTATTGGTTGGAGGAATATAATTCCCCAACAATACATTATTAATTGAAGTACTCATATTGTGCGTATGTAAAGTGTGATTATATAGTTCCGCAAAAGTATGTATATAAAAAAACTCTTTTTAAAAAAAATTTAAAATGCTATTTTTAAAAATACTAAATTATTCCTTAAATAAGATAGGATTGTGATTGTTTTAAAACAAACAATAGTTGTTTGTTTTTTTTTAACAAAAGAGATAAACAGTAAATAGAGTACAGAGTATTATTATGTTGTTGGTGGTGACTTGTCAAAAAAGGTTTCTTGTAAAGAAAGAGTGGGCTGGACCGACAAGAGATATATAAATAATTCCGCCTATAGAGCTAAGCTATTCCTTGGGGGAATGTATATCGATAGTGTAGTCGGATGGAATAATGGTAAGATGTCTACTTGCTGACAATGGCGAATGTGTACAATGGGTGAATGACAGAGTGACAGTAAAAGCAGACGAACAAAAGATCGCACTTTATTAAAACCTACTAGTTTGTAGATGGATATTTTAAAAAATAAACACCCCCACAACGAGGATTTTAAAACAATGGTTACTGTTAAGAGTGTGTGTTAAAAAAGTCAGCTCCAAGTGCAAACGAGAGAGCTGAAGGGTAGTTGGTAAATAATATCTGATGATTATTAATAATTTACAATGAAATGGTGTGCTTGTGGTTGGATAGGTATAGAGTAGAGAGGGTGGGTGTGTGTCGACGAATAATGATATAATTGATAGATGGATGGATTGGTAAAAAAGTACTAAAAAACTATTATTTTAAATAAATAAATAAACTTTTACTAAAATGTATTAATCTTATTGTTATTATGAATGTATTACTACTATGAAAATTTTAGGGTTTCACTAAAATATTATAAATCTGGATGGTGAAAATAATAGATCACAAAAAAATAACAACTAAACTATTTTATTTTAATAAATTTCTTTCTTTTTAAATTTATGGATGTCAGTCATTAAACTATGCAATCGGACTTGATTCAATATTGAGTTGAGACTACTTCTACTCTGTCATTAAGATTGAAAGAGTTCACTCGTTATATGGTAAAATCAACATTTTTTATTCATTATCTTCCCAGTCTATCAATTCATTTTTTAAAAGATTAAAAATAATAATTAATTTAAATTAATTTTCAAAACTATTATATTTTTTTTAATTTTTTATTATTTTTTTTTCAAAATCTACAAAAAGAAGAATTTCTAAAATAATATAATAACCCAAAAGTGAGAGAGAGAGAGAGATCTCGGGACAAAGAAGATCTTCTTTTTCACTACACAATTGAAAGTAAACAATAAATTGTTTTTTCCCTCTTTTTTTTTTTTTGGTTCAAAAAATATATTTAATAACACGAATATGAATATTATTATTATTAATATATTTAAATTGGATTAATGTATGATGATGGTGGTGACCACCATGATTAAATTTTAAAATGTTCTATCCACCTACTCTACTATACTCTACGCTACACTACTCTACACTCTGTCTTATTTCAGCTTGAATAATCTACAGATTCTTGGATCCATTTAATATTTATGATTTGGTGACAATAATTAGCATTTTATTCACTTTTTTTGGTAAACTTGTGAGCTACTACTCTCTCTCTCGCCGGCGAGAGACGATACTTTTACACTTTTTTCCAATACCCTAACCCCTACCCCTAATCCGACATACACATTTCGTTTAAAGATAACATAGCATATAAATGTTTATGATAAATCTCCAGTTTTGTAAAACGTTTATTTCAATTGGGTGGAAACATGATGTTTTTAAATTAATTAATTTAAACTTCACATCACCATGGCAATTGATGATGATGATGATGATGGTTGCTATAAAATTGAAATCAATCATCGTGTACTACCATCCCTCCCCTCCCCTTATATTACATCATGATGATCATTAAAATCCATCCACTTCAACCGTAAAAACAAACAACAATAACAACAAGCTCTCGAACTGCTCTGGAAGAATATTGCATACAGTCACGTAACGACAATACCAACAACGGTAGCAGGAGGAAGAATGTAAACACTTTTTGAAACTGGATATGCAAGGTTGAAGAGGATGCGATGTGTCCTTGGGTGGGGTAGGTGGGGTTTCATCATTTAGAAAGATAAAGTTTAAAAATCACAATGTTATTTGGAACCTAGATGAGAAAGAAACACGTCCACACAAAAATGGCAGGTACATGATGGAACAATTTGACCAGATGACCATGATTCATTAAATATTTAAATATTAAAATATTTCGATTATTTTAAATTTCCAACTACCCTTACCCTTTATCTACCCAGGGAGGGAGGAAGTGGTACCAAGAATGATTCTTGGATGGATTGTATTTTTGTTTCTTTGTCTCTGGTAACAAGTTGCCATTATAAATATTGTCATCCAAGTTTTTTTTTTTGTTTAAAATCACCTCTTTGTAAAATCCAAGCCAAGATAAGATGTGGTCACTATTGTTGAAAAAATTAATAGAGATGGAATAGAGGGGGAGAGTAAGTGAGTGAGTGAGTTTAATGTGGTGGGTGTGGAGTGAGTGTATCCACCAATGTTTTTAATTGGGTTGGATTCATATCAAAAAAAACAAAAGGGTACTCGGGTAGACTGAAGAGAGAGAGAGGGGTGTGAAATCAACTCATTCACTCACTCACTCCCCACCCATCGAAAACAATTGAATTACCATATTTTGACACGATAGGGGTACCAACCATCATCATCTGCCAGGTCAACTTTGATGAATAGAAAGAAGAATATTATATTTTGTTGTTTGTTTTTGATGATGGAAATATGGATAGATGATTTGATGTGACCCCAAACCCCAGCAGCAACTTAACCACTACCTCCAACCAACGCCGCTCAAAGATGTTCATATATAGCTCACTCAAGCAGCAGGAAGTGGTGTTGATCAAATTAAAGTCATTAGTTTGTTGTAAATGAAAGTTGATCAAAATCAATAGTTACTAACTAAATATTTTATTTGATTAATTGATTAGTTTGAAGAAACTATTCTTTCTTATTTATCCTTATCCTCCTCTTCCTCCTTCCGCCAAAAAAGTTTATAGCTTTTTTTCCTTTTTTTTTTTTTTTTTTTTTTTTTCTTTCTTTACCTAATTACACTTCCGTAATTAACCTTATATTATTATATATATTTTATATAGAGTTTTATAATCTCTACCCCTTTGTTCCTTTTTCTTTCTTTTTTTCCAAATTGTACCTATATTACTATTCCTTATTCCTTTATATACATTATTATGGTTCAAAATTATATAAATATATTAAATTAAATATTATTCTTATTATCTCTTTATTCATTCTTTATTTTACTTATTTACTCAAAAGTCATATTCAACTTTAATTATTATATTATTATTTCGTTATAAATTATATTTTCATAAATAATTATATATTATTAATTATTCTAGTTTGTCCGTCTTTTTTTCATTATATATATTTTACATTTACATTTTGTTCTCTTAGAATTTATTTATTATTCCTTTTTTTTGCATACATTGTATGCAATATATATTAGTTATTATCTTTACTTTTACGTATATATAGTATACTACTTATTGCTGCCGACCGTTATCGATATTGAATTGTGGACATTACATGTACTCTAGTTAATTACTACTTGGATATCTATCTATCTATCTGCAGTCTATCATAGTTGTATATTACTTCTATATATATATATTTACATACCTATATAATCTATACGTATCACGCGCTCATCTCCTATCACAATTGTAACCCCGTGCTCACCTTCCACGACCGACCAACCGACCGATCTATCTATCTATCTATCTATCTATCTATTATATTCCAAATAATAATGGAACAAGGTGAACTCGAGGACAACGGGGAGTACTCTCCCTCGTCGTCCACCTTTGTTATGAATTTGAATACGAATACCAACAACACCAACAACAACCTTAACAACAACAACTATATGATTAATACTACTACTCCCTTTTATCAACACCAATCATCATATAATAACAAACAACACCAACACCCAAGAACCTCTTCTTCTTCTTCTTCTTCATCGTCAGCAATGATTGTTGATGTCGATCGAATGGTCAATAGAATTGTCAACAATATAAAGACCTCTTCTTCTAAACAACAACATCATCACAGCAGTAGAAGTAGAAGTCGTAGTCGCAGTTACAGTCCAAATCACTCGTCTGCAGACAGAAGTAGAAGCAGAAGCAGAAGCAGAAGTTACAGTGACAGTCGTAGTCGTAGTCGTAGTCGCAGTTACAGTCCTTATCGTATTAATGGACGCGACAGTAGAAGTAGAAGTCGTAGTCCAAGCGACTGCGATCGTTATGACAGTCGTAGCAGAAGCAGAAGCAGAAGCACAAGTCATGACAGTAGAGATGACAACAACAATCATAATAATAATAATGGCGGAAGAAACACCTACACCAACAAAAGAGATTACAACAACAACCATACTCCTCGTGGTAACAACAACAACAATGGGTATTCTCAACCATCATCTATATTAATCTTGAATGGAATACCTCCTCGTTTATTCAACGAAGACCAAGTATGAATAAGGCTATATTATATAATTATATTTATTATCAATCAATCAATACAATTTTATTAATCATTACCTTGTTAACTCTATCAACAACCCTTTAGATACACGAATCGATAAAGAATAGTTTAAACGGAGGTAAATGTGAAAAGATTACATTTAAGAAATCGTTGAATGGAGGATGCACCGTATTTGCATGGTTTCCAACGATCCAAGACGCCACTGATTATCTCAAATCACACAAACATATCAAAAATGGTAACGGAGAGATCAATCGTGGTGTTGGAAACAGTGACCTCGTGATTGGAGAGTCACCAGTGCAAATTGGTTACGCCTTTTTAAACAGCACAGAGTTTAGACATTTGAAAGAACAACAACTTGTCTATCTGCAACAAGACTGGATGTGCGAGAATTGCAACAAGTCCAACTTTTCATGGCGTGAGAAATGCTTTCATTGCAACGAATCGATTGCAGAGTACCCACGCAGAATCGCATCAGCTCCAGGTGTCAAAGATGATGATGATGTTCCAACTACAAGTCTTATCATCAGAGATTTGGAATCTAATCTTACAACTGAAGATATGGTACAAAACAAACACAAAACATATATTCATATATATATATTCATATCTAATATTTATGGTTGTTTATTTATTTTATAGTTACATTTTGCATTCAATTCACTTGGTGGCAATCCACCGAAAACCATTCGCTTAATCAAGAAAAAAGATCATAACAAATGCATTGCCTTTGTAGAATATTCTACCGTTCAAGTAATGATTATTTAGAAACCCCTATATTATATTTATCCCCTATCATATGATTATATATATTATGTATCCATTTTCTATATTTATTATTATAGCTATTTAATTATTATATCACCTACTTTATATTGAAACAACCAACCAACCTAGCAGTCTAATCGACTCGCGTCAATTTATACTAACTTATTATTTCTTTCTTATTACCCACAACCAACAATCAATTGATCGTCAATCGATTTATTTATTTATTATCCAACTTGAAATTATTCTCTCCCTCTTTCTACCACCTTTTCCTTTTCTCCCTCTTGTCTCTTTGATTGTTATATATTTATTATATTTTTTGTTTGCTATTAATGATTTAAAGGATTCTATATTTGCATTCTCGAATATTAAAAGTTTGGTTGTTTTAAACAATCAAAACTATCGTGTAAATTATTGTAAGAGTGAAGTTCATCCTACTCACAATAATAATCACCATAACAATAATAATAATAATGTAGCGAATAACAATAACAACAACAACCACAAAGTATCTTTGGCCAACAAGTATACAATGTGGAGTAATGCCTATTCGCAGCAGCCTCAAAAGCAACAACAACAACAACAACAGGCTCCTGAAGGATTTGTTATTGAACCAACCACTGGATTCTATTACAATGCTACAAGTGGATATTTTTTCGATGTCGTCAAGAGAGTTTACTTTTACTACGATACCACCACTCAATCTTACAAGTGCTACGAACAGACCACCAACAACTATGTACCATTCCAACCGTCCAACCCCGTCACTTTGATTGGGTCCTCCTCCTCTGCCACCACCACACCCAAACCCGCCACATCATTACCCACCACTGATAAAAAGAAACCTGGTTCTGGTGCACCACTGACTCGTGTCACTCCCTCTCTTTCACGTAAAAAGGTAAAGATACATTAATCAACAATGAGAGAGAGAAAACAAAAGTTTGTTTATTGACCCTTTTTATTTATTTATTTAGATGGACAGTGAAATTGAAAGATGGAACCAAAAAGGTAGAATACTTAAAGAAGCCTTTGAAACGGATGAAACATTGTTAAAGTATCAGTCCCAGTTGCTCCCAAAGTCTGGGTCATACTCATCGGTTGAATACTCGATCCAACAACAACTTTTACAAAATAGAGTCACTCAACAACAAAATGAATTGAATCAACTAGATCATGAATACGATGAAGAAACTATCAATTATAATGAATACAATGATGAAACAAGTGTTGGCGATCACCAACAACAACAACAACAAACACTTGAACAACAACAATCTTCTTCTAGCTTGTCAACATCTGCAACCAATGCACAGCCAATTAAATTCCAAATGAAAAGTAATAGTACAACGATATCGGCGGCACCTGTAATTAACAAATCGGCCTTGGCCAGTAAATTGGAAGCAAATGAACAACAACAATTCATTCATCAACAACTTCAACAAACCATCAACAACCAAACAAAAAACGAACTGATCCAAGAACGTGGCGGCAACAACAGTGACAAGATCATTTGTCAACTGTGTGATCGAATGTTTCCCAACTATGACTCTTTGTTTAAACATGAGAAAATGTCAAAGCTTCATCTTTCAAATCTTGAAAAACAACAACAAAATAATTTAAACAACAACAACAACGTTCACCAACATAATGGATTAGAAAATCATCATCAACAACCACAAATAGAAAAGAAAAGAAAAGACCAACCAAATCCATTTAGTACAAATAGTGTTGGATTTAAATTATTAAAAAAAAGTGGTTGGGATGGAGGTTCATCTGCTACTTCAGAAAATAATAATCACACCAATAATAATAATCATTTATCAAACAACTCTAACCAAAATAATAATAATAATAATAATAATAATGATAGTTATGGTGGAGGTAGTAAACAACTTGGACAAGCAATCAATGTAATGGTCAGACCATCAGGTGCAGGACTTGGTTCAATCAAGGAACAATCCAGCATCGATCCGAAATTCCAAATTCTCCCATCAGACGATTACCAAACAATTGTAAAGAAACGTGCACTTCAAAGATTCCATGAGAGTGGTGGTTCAACTCTTGACGAATCTTCAAATCCATTCTTCCGTAGTAGTAAAAGATAAAACTCCAGACCTCTGGACTAGACTGAATCGATCCTTTTTGCCTACTTTTTTTGGCTAAACAAAACTTGCTCTCTCTTTCTATCTCTTTTTTGGTCGACAATATATATTTATATTTATATATTTATATTTAAATATTTAGTTTGTCGAAAAAAGATGAAATTTATTTAGTCAAGTAAGTGTATGTGTGTAAATCATCATATAATCATATATATACATATGTGTAAATAATATATATTTTTAATAAACCCAATTACCTGAAATAACAATGTTATTTCATCGAGTAATTTTACCTTTTTTTTTCTAAACCCCTTCCTGGATTATATATATCTAAATTAAATTGTCAATGATTTTATAAATCTTTTGTTTGTGAATATATACAATTAATTATTTTATTTGTTGATTATTTTATAATGGACATTGACCCAATTGTTTACAGATGCTTTCTTCATTTGCATCGACCATAGTCCAAATGGTTGGTTCATTTTCTTTAATGTAAGCGATACACTCTGGAATATAATTGTGTCTCTTTGAACATCTTGCAATCAGACTTTGATAGATTTCTGTAAAGGTTGATCCTTTTTTGTATTGACGATTGGTCTCTAATACTGCATCGAAACAGAATAGACAGTCTGTGAAATTACCAACATCAGCTTGTTGTTCAAAGACAATGTTGTCTATTATATTTTCTTTTTGGTTGTTGTCGTTGATTGTGATTGATCTCGATTGCGTCGTTGATGTGAAAAACAATGCAAATATTGTCATCATAACGACGATTGTTAAAACTATACTTGATCTATTCATTCCAGCTCTATTCTCTTTTTTTTTGTATCTAAATTTGAATGAATGACGAAGCTCACTCTCCTCTATAGTTATCGATATTTGTAAATAGAATTAATTGTGTGATGATGTGTATTGAATATAGTTCAACGGTTGTTTTCAGCGAGCACCTCCAGTTTTAAAAACTTTCTCGGATTTAAAGGTGATCAGATAATACCGCTGGATATTTTTAAAATATTATTATCCATGCCAATGATGACAAAAGTTAATTTTTTAATAATAATTCTTTTTATCACAGTTAGCATTGTACAATAATAATAATAATAGATCTTTTACTTTGAGAAGATGGATGTGGTTAGTTGGATGTAGATATGTTTGCATAATTTACAATTCTGTGCAATTATACTTTGTGATTTGAGATACTTTATCAAGATAAAAATAAGTCAGAGGACAAAGTTCTGATGATTTTTCATCTTTTAGATTTATACTTTCACACTAACTATAGTCATTTGATAGAATTGATTATGTGAATCCAACCGCAGTCGTATTAATCAAACGTCTGTTTGTCCTTGTCTGTTCTGTGTGTGCAGACGTTGACACAGAAACAGCTTGATCAGTGAGATCATCGATTTGAGTTGTAGAACTCCAGATCAAATGATTTTAAATATCTTGGGGGAGATTGTCACAAATACAATTGTTCGACCTCATCATTGTAACTAGAGTGAGGGGGTGGCCACCACTTGTCATTGTCAAAAAATCACACCCCCTATTCTTGTCGGTTTGCCCAATGAAAATGTCGTGTCATTGGCAATGACCGGGGTGCACGATCATTCCATTTGCCCTATGCAGAGGCAAAAGTATGCCTGAACTGAAAGAGGGAGGGTGATGCAAAGGGATGAGTGATGGTCGGATTTTTTCATTTTTTAGAGACAGCAATTCGATGGGGGAGGATCATCCCCCATTTTCGATGAATTCTTTCATTCGCAGATATTTTGTAGTGCATCCATCAGCATGCCCGCCCTCTCAATTAATTATGAATTATTAATCATCATGAGAAGGTCAAAGTCATCTGACAACTCGCATGGTACATTCATAATAATATAATACCTAAACGTCATCAAACAAATATAATATAATTTAAATATATTCTTCACATAAAACAATAAAGTTAGTAGTAGTATTATTATATATTATAGTAGCAATACAAGTAAGAAAGAAAGAAAGAAAGAAATAATCCAGTTAGTAGTAAAGAAAGAAAATACATTCATCCGATAAATTTATAAATCGATTAGTGGTAAGCAAGCATCCATATCATCATTCATTATTATTATCTCATCGCATATCTTCCCTCTTTTGATCGATCGATCACATTATGTACATACATTTATCAATTATCTCTTTTCTTTAAAGAAGATATGATCGATCATCATTATCACCATCATTATAATACTACTACTTCTTCTTCTTCCTTTTCTTTATTTTTATTTTTATTTTTATTATTAATTTTTTCAACTATGAGAGGTCAGAAATGCAAGACCTCAGACGTTAGACCTCATTAATTTATTTATTTTTAAAATCCCTCCCCTTTTGCAATTGTGTTTGTCAGCGACGCTGCTGACCTGTGATTTCAAATAATTTTTTTCAAGAATCTTGTCTTTGCATGCATGATGATCCCCTCCCCCTGCTCGCACGCCCCACACAAAATTAATCTCTATTTGACCTTGTTTGGGCATTGAAAAATGACTTTTGCACCTTTTTTTTGTAGCAAGGGTCGATTCAATTTAAATTAAAACCAACCAATCAAACACCATCATCGTTCATACATTCATCCGTCCTCCTCCTACAGTGCCACTCACAACTCTTGCATTCATTCATCATTTTCATTTTCATTCCTAACTTTCTCATAATATTTAACTCCATCCCTTCCTCCTCCCTCGTCTTTTGCATTACTTTCTTTTTTTTTACAACAACAACAACAACAAACACATTTCACACAAAAGAGAAAGAGAAAGATAGATAGATAATAACAATAACAAATTAAATTAATTTATTCATAAAGATTAGAGTAGTGTAGTATAGTATAGTATAGTATAATATAATTTAGATCCGATTAATAATATAGTAACAGTAATAATAATAATAATAATAATAATAATAATAATAATAATAATAGCCTTGTAAAATTTAAAAAGGTAAATAATTATAACCATAATCAAATCCGACACCCCCCCGATACCCATTTCATCGTCGTCGTCGTCGTGTTTACACCACATAAATATATTTATACATCACTTGGATACATTTGATTCTGATATTCCATCGATATATGATGGATTCGTAGCTGTGCACAGACTTGATAACAGATCATGTCATGTCAGAGTAATGATTGATGATTCCAAATTTCATTAAATCATCGATATTGTTGCAATCGAATTTTCAAATACGATTTGACATTTGTGTTTTTTTCCATCCATCATGATCATCGTCATATGATGTTTACCACGACGCAATCCACTTTATTACCCACCACCACTCACCACCACAGTTTGTGGTTGTGTGTTCTATTTGTAGTAATCTTTTATTATTAAATAGTATCCAGTCAAATGAATGAATAAATGAATGGATGTAGCATTTATTTGTTTGTTTGTTTGTTTGATTGCTCTGCAATTCATATCATCGTGATGAATGATTCATCCCCAACTACGACTACGACGACAACAACAACCATCCCATCCCATCCAATCCAATCCCATCCATCCCCCTACATTCATCATCACCAACAGTTTTGTAAGAAAGGAAAACAAAGTAATGAATGAAATGAATCAAGGAAGAAAGGAATCATCAACAACAACAAGATATGACAAGATGATGAACAACAACAACATAAGAATCTGAAAGAGAAAAAAAAAGAAGAGATTTTAGATTTACCATTCCAAACCCCCACCATATGTACATCAGTCAATTCAAGTTGGCATATGTTTGGTGTGATTGATGATGATTGGTAAATATCCCACCCAAAAAAGAAGCAATCAAATTAAATCAGTGTATGCAGCAAATATTTATTTATTTGATCATCATTTTTTTTGATTTGCCTGGTTTGAATAATCATAATCATCATCATCATCTAATCAAACATATGAATTTCACGCATACGATGTTGACTGATTAGCAAGTGGGGGTAGGGTAGATGTTACCATCAACAATACAATAATAATACATTCATTTTAAATTAATTATCATATCTTCACCTCCACCTCTCACTCCCCAAATGAATGATCATTCATATGTTGTTCATATGTTCCGTGGAGGGGATGATAAAGGTGATATGAAATTCCGTCAATAATATCGTACTCAATGTTGATCATGAATTATTATCCCCCACCACCACACACACATACACATTGTTTAAAATATATATCATAAAAACAATATTACCCACAGTAAATTACGACATATGGATCACATGGAGCACCATTCTTCATCCATGCTATTTGTTTGTTTGTCATCCCAGAATTATTGGAAAATCGTTCCTCTCCTCTCCTCTCAAGATCACCATTCCACATGTGTATATCAAATTAGTTGACTGACTGACAGACTGCGGGGAAGATAGTCAGCTGAATGCACGGCGACTTTGGTTGGTTGGTTGGTTGGTTGGTCAACACACACACATGGTTAATTAAAAGTGTCATCTAGCAGCTGGCTGGCTGGCTGGCTGGTTGCCTGGCATGACATTCAGGCGGGCTGGCTGGTTTGGTTGGATAGATATACGTATTCCTACCCCTCTTTACCGTACCTGCCACCTGAGATGCCTGCTGGATAGCACATTTGTTTCCATTTTTAAATTTAATTGTACAATAGCGCAACAACAGCTGCAATAATATACCAGCAATCCCAACCTTCTCGTCCTCTCCTCGATTCAATCCTCTACCACCATCCCACCCCTACCCATCTACCACACTTGATATTACTACTACTACTACTCTCCTAGGTTGAATATGTGAATTTAAATTTAAATTTAAATTTATTTATTCTCTTTTTTTTTTTTTTTGTCTATCTATTAAACAACCAATTTGATGATTGATGATTGATGATGAATGATGGTGATAAGAAGAAGAGGAAGAAGAACAAGAACAAGAACAGCAACTAGAGAGAGAGAGATATTTAATTATCATCTTCATCTTCCACCTCCACCTAACCTACTATAATAATTAATTTAGTATCTTTTTTGTGTTTGGAAATTTCCACCTGTCATTATTTATTATTATTAATTGTGTGGTATCCACAATTCCAGACGTTAAACAACAACAACAAACAGTTTAAAATATTATATTTCAATACCAATGAAAAAATTAATATCGTCGCAACAAAATCACAATAATACTATCATCATCATTACTACTTGTACCTCTTGCAACTACCATCATCATCATTGTACCATTTCATTTTCCAGATTTTAAAAATTGAATCATCTGTTGTTTTTTTTTTTTCAAACCAAGCCACAACATTAATTATTTTAATTAATCAATATATTTATTTATTTCCAATCTAGTAGTAGTAGCCCTCCCATTTGTAATAATTAAAATTAAAACCATCTGATTAAAACCATCCCCAAGAAGAAGCCAAAAGAAAAGAAATTGTCATTTAGCCAAAAGTTTAAAACTCAAATTAATTGGTATGTTTCAAACAAAATCATCCTCTCAAACCCCAGGAGAAATCCTATTCTATCTATCTATCTCTTTGTTGGATTGATTGGAAGATGACCAATCTTGTCCTTTGTCAAAAACCCAAAAATTCAATCGAAACCCTACCCCTTTCTTCGCCATGTTATGTTCAACTTTTTATTTTTTTATTTTCCATCTTTCCATCTTTTTATCACGATGGTGATAGTCGTCGTCGTCGTCGTGCGACCTTCACCTCTTTCTTTCTCCTTTTCCATTTTGACAATTTAAAAACAAAAGAGATCTCTTGAATTCATGGATGGATGGGATGTCATATGACAGCAGTTACATTACATTACATTGGTTGGTTGGTTGGTTGGTTGATCACGCATCGTGTTGGTGATTGGCACACCCCTACGTTGCACGATCAAAAAAAAAATCTCTCCCTCTATCTATAGATCAAATACACCCACCACACCCACACACACAATCCACCATTTTTTGAATTTTCAACTCTAACTGTACAACAACAACCCCTACCCATAGATTCGGTTGAGTTGTTCAAGTCAGTAGAACCCACCATCACTTTAAATAAAATTTATTTGACCGCCTGACCTTCGCAGAAAAGTATCGGCAAGGGGTGAGTAAGTGGTAGGTAGGTAGGTAGGTAGGTGGGTATTCCGAACTAAATGCATGATGATGATTCTCATCCCTGATTCTCTCCTTTCACACATCACAATCACCTGACGATGATGATCCCCCTACCACCATCATCACCACGCCACATCACACCCCACCACCCCAAACCCTGCAAAGCAGACCAGTCATCATATGACATGCATCCCGTCAGCCATCCATCCATCCAACAATCAATCAATCAATCAATCAATTAATTGGACTGATCAGTCGGTTCAGCTTTTTCATATGATCAACAACTGCATTCACGTTCACTTTCAAACATTCAACTGAATTATTGGTTGGACTCTTCCCTTCCCTTCTTCGACATATTCAATTTGAATTAAAAGATAGAAAAGAATCATTCTTTAAAATTTATTTATTTATTATATATTTAACAGTCAAACGCCAGACATATACACACACAAACACATACATACACTTCACTTCACTCTTTACTCTCCTCTTCACTTCACTCTTTATTTCCATTAAATACTAATTTATTATTTATTTATTTCTAGAAATAATAATAATCTCCAACATTCCCTAAAATATTAGTTATATAGTGTACATCTAACTATCAAATATATCCAACAACTCAACAACCCATATTTTTATATATATATATAACAACATTTTCACAGTTTAATTAATTCATAGTCAAAAAAAAAAAGTCAGAGACACACCAATCAATCAAACCACCCAACAATCTTTATATCAATTTCAATTTCTGGAATCTTCTAGATTTTTTTAAATTTCCAACAGTCTCTCACTCACTACGCTACTCTCATCTCTTTTCATTGTATATATAGTTTAAAAAAAACTAATCATTCATCACACACACTCTCTGTGTTTCAAAGTTGATCCAACAAAAATGTTAATGAGCCCTATATCAAGCCCCCACCAAGGCGGAGGTGGCAATACCTTTTCACTTCCACCTCAACAACAATATTACCAGCAACAACAACAATCGTCATCGTCATCGTCGTCACAATCATCTACTCCATATTATTCACATAGCAGCAACGGTGGTGCTGGAAGCTCGGCTGGTGCCACCGCCGCCGCCAGCAGCAATAACATTAACAGTAGCAGTCCTCCACAGCCATCGCAACAATTGTCACAAGAGGATTTGGAAGAGAAGCGATTCATCTCGCAACTATTCTCGTTTATGGCCAACCGTGGCACGCCAATTGAAAAGATACCCATTTTCGACCACAAGGAGCTCAACCTCTACAAGCTGTACCACTGTGTCATCTCGCGTGGTGGTCTAGTCGCCGTCATTGAGAACAAGTTGTGGCGTCAGATCACAACCGAGTTGGCCGTCGACCCCGAGCGCACAGACGCCGGTTTTCGTCTGCGTATCCATTACCTCAAGTACCTCTACCCCTTTGAACGCAAGTTCCACCTGCAAATGGATGATGACGAGCGCTTTGACTACGAGGCCTTTGAGAAGCATCTCTCCAAGTCGCCCTCTGACAAGAAGCAGCAGATGCTCGACGCGTCGGGCTCGGCCTCGGCCCGCAAGAAAAAATTCTACGCGTCTGCCCCCAACCCTCTGAATGGTGTCGCCGGCAAGAGCTCCCCCACCTCCTCACCCGGCTCGCTCATCTCACAACCCAGTACTGCCAATGTAGCACATCTTCATCAACATCAACATCAACAACAACAACACTCGTCACCTCAACAACATCCTCAACAACAACCTCAACCACATTTCCAACAACACCAACATTTCCAACACATCCAACACCAAAGAGAAAGAGAAAGGGAGAGAGAAAGAGAGAGTTCAAGTTCACCAACCATTTCCTCGATGATTTCAACACCAACTTTTGAGCAACAATTTCATCAACACCAACAAATTGCGAGCAGTCCTAATAGCAGTCCAACTCATCATACTTCAAATAACAACCATAATCATAATCATAATGGTATCCCAATTTCTTCTTTGTCCAATAACAACAACAACAACAACATTAACCTTAATAGCAGTAACGGCAGTCTCAACATTGTAAATAGTTCCTCTTCCACCACTTCCACCTCGTTTATCCCATCGGCTCCCATTTCCAACGCATCCTCCTCTTCATCATCATCTTCTTCACATCTTTCAAACGCCATTTTCCACCCATCATCAGATGATTATCTCCTTGGGTCGTTGACAGCCGCTTCGTCAGTGTCGTCAGCTTCGATGACATCCACCTCAACGTCACACTACCCAGCTGTAAATTTAAAGATTCTCGAGAACAAGTCACTCAAAAAGTACAATGCCCTTCACAAACTCAAGCTTTCAAATTCACCATCACGCCGGGAATTGGTCAATGCTGTCTCCCAACATTTTGATGCTCAAAAGATTGATGAAGATTCAATCATTAGTCAATTCTTGAAAAGAATTAAAAGTGGTAAGATAAAATATAAGATAAAACAAGATAGGATAGATTGAACAGATGATTAATATTTTATTTATTTATAGAACATAGATTAAGAGTTGTTGAAAGTCGTTAAGATTGATTTCCAATTCCCAATTCCCTAGTTTCAAGTTTCAAGTTTCCCCAACTATATCCACCATTCACAAACAACACACACATAACATAACTTTGATTAACTTAATTGTATTATAAACAACAACAACAACAAACAACAAAGAATCAAATAATAATAATTCTTTTTCACATCACACTTATATATTATGTTTCTAAAAATCTTTCTTTCTTTCTTTCTTTATCTATCTATCAATTTGTCATTCTCCCTCCCTACTTTGTCCAATGATGATGTTTTTTTTTTTTAATCAATAATAATAATAATAATAATAGCCCCACAGAGACTGGATCCAATCAATATCTACTTTTGGTGACGACCTACTTCATGAATGATTGAATCAATGTGGTCCCTTGATTTAAAGATACGATTAAATACACCTTCCTTCTCCTATCCCCAACCAACTCCCCTCCTCCCCCAACCACCCAACCAACCAACTCTATATATTCATCATCGTCATCCAACTATTAATAATAATAATAATAATAATAATAATAATAACATACATTCACAACATCACGAAACCAAAAGAAAGAATTTTAAATCAAAGTATCTCTTTAAACAAAAGTATTTCATTAAAATTTTTTTGTACAAATATTTATTTTTAAAACAAAAACAATCAATATCCTTCTAATCTAATCTTATTTATCTTTTACTTGACTTTATTTTTTATTATTTAATGAAATGAAATGGAAATTGGAAATGGAATGTAGTAGTGTAGATTAATCGGTTTTAATTATATTATATCATCGGGTTATTATTATTATTATTATTATTATTTATTCATTATTTAATATTCTATTATTAGTTTACTAACAAAGAGCCTTTTCAATTTGTAAATAATCTAAATGATTTGGAATATTTAAAGCAACTAGAAGAGAATCTGAACAGGTTGGGTCTTCACCAGAGCCATTACACATTTTGTATTCCAGAGGGTCAGCTGAATTGTTGAACCAAACTTCAACGGGTAAATGGTAAAAGTTCATCCACTTTGATGGTAGATGTGGGACGACATCGTGGTAGTTGACAAGTCTCCAGTAGGACTGTAATACTACGGATTCAAAATACTCGACAAATCCAACATTTCCAACACGTGGACTTCCAAATGTATACATTTCAATGGGCAGATTAATGAGTCGTGGGTAGACGTCGGCAACGGCCAACACGGCCAATGCACCACCCAAACTGTGTCCAGTGGCAATAAACTTGTCGCACTGTGGACACTTTTCAAGCGCAGCAGTGATACCAGTCTCTACTTGGTCTTGAACGTGTCCATAGGCATCGAGGAATCCAGCATGAACCATTGCCGATGGGAATCCAGGGTATGGTGCCAACTTTGCAATATTTAAATTGGTAATCCAATTTGCTAGATTTGGTCCTTCAGTTCCTCTAAATGCAATGACAACTAGATAAGATTAGAATAAGAAATATATTTGATCAATATTTGAATAACAAAATATATATATAAATAAATATTTGAAAGTGTAAGTTTTGCATGCCATACTTGTATTATTTTGGGAAATACCAATAAAACCAAATGTATTGGTACGATCATGAATTAAAAGTTGGGTTACATCTAGATGTGGAATATATTGGTTGATACAATACGGACATGTCCAATTACTAACTACATCATTATCACAATATGATGAATATGAATACTAAAATTAAAAGGTCCCATTAATTAATTAATTAATTTAATATTGAGTGTTTTGATGATCATGACACATACCATTAAATGTGCATATGCACGATCCATTTGAAATGCAGGGTTTGCAGGTGGTGGTGATACAATATCATCACCATCATTTATTTTTAATCTTATGCCTCTATTATTATTATTACTGTGTTGTTGCTTTGCATCAACAACAACAACAGTGGTCGTAGATGATAACAATGCTACTATTATGGTTACTAGTAAAGTAGCAATGATCACTGATATACTACTCGAACGCATTCTCCACTCTCTTTCTCTTTCTTTGTGTGCCTCTTAAAATAAATAAATAAATAAATAAAGATTGATTGATCTCTTATTCCTACTATACTACTCCTATGACTACTTATAAGTAGATAGATAGATTTCAATGCCGATGAAAATAAAATGTGTTTATGTTGTTGACAACCACACACTCACTCACAACACTACTTTGATCACCTTTTTAAAACGTGACCTTTTGCAAAGGCCAACGGAAAAATCACCGGCAACAGAGCCGCAAAGATAATAATTTTTTTTTGATAATTTTGTTGTTGAAGTCTCATCAGAAAAATGAAAGGTATTATTTGAACAAATCCCGCGAACAGATAATTATAATCATCAATCCAATCTCGGTAGTAGATAATAGTAGATATAATTACTATTACTTTTCTCTTCAACTCTCTCAAACTTGCGCTAAAATAGTTTTCAATCAAATAATCAATAACATTGTTAAGATCTGCTTTCTTGGCTTGGAGCAGACTGAACTTGACTCTCATCCACCACTCCTACTGCTGCTAGCAAAAGATTTGATGCAGACAGCTGACAGATCAACAGATGAAATGTGACATATTGAAAAGGTCGAGGTTGTCAAACATCTCTCAACCTAACATTCTCACAACAGTAATATCTTTTCTCGAGGAGTCGAATGTGTGTGTCTCGGTCAGGAAATTAATATTCCAATGGAATTATATGAACCAATCGAGCAATATCCATAACCACTTTTTTCATCACATCAATTCCCCACCACATTGTATGGTATGGTTATTTTTTGTTGTTATTCCCATTTATTATTATTATTATTATTATTATTATTATTATTATTATTATTATTATTATTATTATTATTATTAGTGATCAGTAGTTAGTAGAAGTAAGACTCACACACACACACCCCAATTCGAATCGATATCCAACAACACCAAAAACATAATCATTATAGTTGACCACTTTTTATCTTATCTATCCGATAGATAAAAGATTTAGATTAGAAGATTAAAGAAGAATGGTATGTCAGCAACACAATCGATATAAAATATATCAAGATTGTCTCGGTGATTCATTGTTAAAAGATATGGTTGATTGGTCGGATATTGAAGAGTTGGGACCAGAATGCGACGAAGAGTGTCGAACGATCATGGTTGAAGCCATACAAAAGTTTATTACAGTTTGCAAAAGAAAAGTTGGATTTTAATAATGCACAGCTCATATCAAACGAGACTGGATCCTTTACAGAATTGAATTCTTGTGATTACTCTCAATATATTAGAAAACAATTAATTCCAAATACAGATGGCGTTTATGAAAACATTGAAGACAACTTAATGGTCAAATGGGATGACAGCCAAAATCAACATCATCTTGTACCAAAACAATCACTCTCGAACAAAGATAGAAATAGTGTTCTTTCAGGTGATAGATTCCAACTATTAAAAGTATTTCCATCCTAATCACAACAAACAAAAAAAATATATATTAAAAAATATTAATAATAAATAAAATAATTATATTTATCTCTCACTCTCACCCTCTCTCTCTCTGGAACACTTGGAAGATACAGGATTACAATTAGTGTAGATGATGGTGGTGGTTATGTATCTACACGATGTACATGTCCTGTAGGTAGATGTAAACACATAAAAGCAACGGCAATAGCAATGTATCATCGACTCCAACAATCATCTTTGAAAAAACAACAACCTACACCTATAAGATTATTCAGAGAGTTGTTGCATAAGCTACCAAAGCACGATTTGATCAATATGATCATCGACCTCAATTTCCCTGGTCACGATGACAACGATTATGAAACAGACGACGATGATGAAGATGATAGTGATCTAAATAATGAATATCATGATGATGAAGATGATGATGAATATCATAAAAGAAAAATATAAATAAATCAACCTTTTTTAAAACAAAGAGTAAGTAAAAAGCAAAACAAATAATAAAGGTTTCGGTCTATAATGATTATTTTAATTTAATTGCATGAATAATATAATTAACTTTGGTGTCATCCATTATTGACCAATTACAGGTGATTGGATTGTAAAAAAGACCCTTTTGGTCGAGTAGTCTCATGGCAGAGTCTGATGATTCAATGTATTGTCTCAGCTCGGTTGGCATGACGAATTGATTATGATGATGAGTGTTTACTGGTACTATTCTGAGTAGATATTCAGCTCCTACTATAGTCAACAACCATGATAATGGTGTACGGTTAATAGTTGATATAAATAAACTACCTCCTGGCTAAAAAAAAAAAAGAGAAAACGATCATTAATATCATCCACCATTCATTATTATTAATCTATTTTGATTATTTATACCTTTAATATTTTAGTTAAATTTGAAATAAATTCTGGTACATTGTCTACATGTTCAACTACTTCCAATGAACATACTACATCGTATTGTGGGTTGTTGGCATTGACCACATGATTTTCAATGGTTGATTCTATGTATTCGAGTTGTTGGAGTTGTAGTTTTTGTTGGAGTAATTGATCGAGGTTGGCATGAGCAATGGCCATCTTTATATTTTGTTGAGCAGCGTCTACACCAACCACAGATGCACCTAATCGACACAATGACTCTGTCAACAAACCAGCACCACATCCAACATCAATTATCTTTAATCCTTTTAATGGTGATGATGCAGCAGCGGCAGCAGTAGCAACATCACCTCCTCCTCCTCCTCCATTAATCGCACCAACCTCTTTTAGTTTTTCGACAATGTATTGTACACGTACAGGATTCATTTTGTGTAGTGGTTTCATCTCTCCTTCTTCATTCCACCAATCCTTTGCCATTGTATTAAAAAAGTCTATTTCATTTTGTCTCTTTGATGATGATGATGATGAAGTCGATGATGATCCGACTTGACTATTATTGTTATTATTATTTGTATTTGTTGTATGATTATTTGGAGTAGTTGAAAATGATCTATTTATATTGTAGTAGTAGTTGTTGTTTGTAGTAGATATACTACTAGTACTATTACTAATAGTAGTATTCAAAGCACAACGACCAATGTATCTATTACCAACACACGTTATTGCAATACTCTTGAATTTAGATAGAGATTGCATTATCTTGAGGAGAAGATAATAATATATTTATTATTATTTGAATGAATGAGATGATGTAATATTATTAATAGTACTTACAAAATAAATAAAGTCATGTCGGCCAAAGGTAAGTTCATAGGGGATTAATTTTTGAAAGCTTTCAAAAAATCTTCATTTTATTTAAAATTTTTAATTGTAGTACAAATACAATACAAATAAAGATAGAAATAATGAATCAACTACAGCAACAACAATTATCACAACATTTAGATCAATTTATACTCTGTCTATTATTAAAAGAATGTGTAATAGATAATAATATAGTTAGACATGCAAAAGAAATAGTATTATTGTCAAGTGTTTGCAAGAGATGGTTAAACACGATCAAGATTGATTTGAGTAGATTAGACTCCAAATCCGATTTTCTGGAATTTATTCGATTAAATAATCGTTCAAAAGTCATTCAAGAGTATAGGAGGATGATTGAACACCCACAGAGTCTATGTGGTCAACCAACCGATTTTGTATGTCGTCTTTTACCAACACTCGTCAAAACGGTCGATTATCTCGAAAGAGATAGATCATTTGCTACATTATTTACGTCATCGATACGGTCATTGACCATTCTCAACTGTGAAGAATACCATAATGTCAACAAAAGATTATTGTCTTTGCCAATGCCATCGTTGGAGTGTTTGGTCGTCCAAGAAAGTCGTAAAAAGAATCCAACCAAATACTGTTGTTTTCAATCATTATTTGGAACCGATCTAATATTGAATTCACCAATACTGGAAAATGTAAAGAAACTTGTACTTTTTTGGTTTGTTTCAAACAAGGAAGAAGAAGAAGGAGTGTGGTTAAAAGTATTTAAGAGAATGACATCACTTGAATCATTACACATTTTTGGAAGTTCCTCCAATTCTGTTCAAAATGTTACACCTAGATGTATAGTAACAACTATTCTATCGGGATTGGTATTCCTACCTAATTTGATTCATTTGGATATTAGACAATTACCAAAGGAAATCAATTTTGATCAATTAGGAATTGATTCTACGTTTAAACTTCCAAAAAGTCTAACAAACATAAAGATAGATACTAAAATTGGTAAAACAGATTCATTTAAATCATTGGTTCAACAATATTCAAAACAACTTAAACAACTACATGATTTTCACCTCGACCAAGATTGGATCAAGATATTTCCACTCACAACATTGACTAGCTTAACATTTGCAATTCAAAGTGTACCTAATAGAACACCAATATTTCCACCAACTATAGAATATCTAAATATTGTAGAAGATACAGATGGAATACCTAATGTTATAGATTTTAATGAATGGAAATTAGATCAATTACCAAGATTAGAAAAGTTGGTTTTTAAACCATGTTCTGAACAATCTGTAAAAGAATGGATTCATTTCTTTGTCAAGTTAATCCAAGGTTCATCAAGTCTTAGGATATTAAACGGAGAGTTGAGCAACAAAGAATATATAGAAAGTGATTTCTTTATTCTTTTTAATTGCATTTCTAAAAGTCCAACATTCAAACAATACACTCAAAGAATGGCTCCTTGGGATAGAAATGTAATCAAACAATTCCTTCAAAATTACCAACAACAAAATCCGCATCTGCCGGCAGATAATGTATTGATATGGAGGGTTCACAGGGATATAGACATAATAAATTCAAATAATAACTATTAAATAATAAACTTTAATTTATTAAATAATATTTTAAAAAAAAAACTTTTATATTAATAGTATGAAATAGAATCCATATTTAAATAGTTATTGTTTGTATTTATGATGTCTATGTGCTTGTGGACTCTCGATAATAATGCCCGGTCTGGATGCGAATTTAGGTAATTCTTAAGGAATCCAACAGTTAAATCACTCTCAAACGGCATCGATCTTAGATGAGTATAATGTTTGAACGTTGAACTTTGAGAGATACAGCCAAAAAGAAGAAAGAATTCGCTTTCTAAATATTCTTTTTCTTTACAAACTTTCCCCAAGCCTAAAATTCTAAGACTTGATGAACCATTGATTAATTTGATAAAGAAATTAAAACATTCTTTAATGGATCGTATTGGACGAAACTAAAAACCAACTTTTCTAGTTTTGGTAGTTGATCTAATTTCCATTGATTGAAATCGATACAATTCGTTTCAGTACAATCTGAAATATTGAGATATTCAATGGTTAGTGGAAATGTTGGAATGGAAATGTTACATAATACATTTCAAAGTATAAGCTAGTCAATTTTGTGAGTGGAATGATTCTTATCCAATCTTGGTCGAGATGAAGAGACAGTAGTTTTTTGAGTTGTTTTGAATGTTGAACCAATGACTTGCAATAATTTGTGTCTCCAATCTGGTGCTCGACCGATGATTGTTAGAGTGCTTGGAAAACTAAACCCAGAATCAATGTCTAATCGACGAAACCTAACATTGTGTGGTTTAGCCATATTCAAATCGATAAGGTTTGGGAGCAATACCAAAGCATTTAATAAAGCAGTCACATTGTCCAATGTAGCCTTTTTACAGTTGAATGAATTTGCTAAAATGGCCAATGATTCAAGTGAATGACACCTCTTGAATACTTTTGACCATATTCCATCTTCTTTTGGTCGGAACCAGTAAAGTACGAGCTCCTTTAAATTATCCAGAATTGGTGAATTCAATATTTGATCGATTCCAAATAGTGATTGGAAAGCGAAATATTTGGTTGGGTTCTCATCACGACCTTTATCCTCTATTTCCGAATACTCCAAAGATGGCATTGGCAGACAATAATCTTTTGTTGACATCATGGTATTTTTCACAGTTGAGAATGGTCAATGATCGAGTAGACGAAGTAAACAACTTGGCAAATGGTTGATCTTTCTCGAGATATTCGACCGTTTTGATAAGTTTTGGTAGATCAATAAATACAAAATCAGTTGGTTGGTTACATAGACTCTGTGGGTGTTCCATCATCTTTCTATACTCTTGAATGGGTCTTGAGCGAATGTTGAATCGAGTGAATCGTAGAAAACGTGATCTCGAGCTCAGTTTGCTCAAAGCAATCTTGATCGTATTGAGCCATCTCTTGCAAACACTTGCCAACGATAAGATTTCGTTTGAATATCTTGTTGGGCCACCATCATCTATCGAACACTCTTTTAATAGTAGACTGAGTATGAATCTAAATAGTGTGATAATTGTTGTTGTTGTTTCATATTTATCTAGCTATCTCTATCTTTGTTTTAGATCAATTTCTCTTTATAAGGACAAAAATTCATTGATGGACATATAAAAAAATGATTAGATTTAAATAACAAAATAGATCAAATCCAAAGTATTATTCCTTGTTTTTAAATATCGTCAAAGTCACGATGGTACAAAAAAAAAACAAATATCTAGCGGATAGAATTTGGGTGGAATATTCTTCAACTCCAATGTCAAAGATAAATAAATAATGGATCAACAACAACAACAACAACAATTATCACAATATTTAGATCAAGTCATATTCATTCTATTATTCAAAGATTGCGCAGTAGAGGTAATAGAGTATGATTTTGAAAATCGATTTAGATATGCAAACGAAATCAAATCACTGGCAAGTGTTTGCAAGAGATGGTTCAATACGATCAAGATTGCATTGAGTAGATTGGACCCGAAATCACCTTTTCTGCAATTCTCTAAATTTAACTATTATCCAGTGAACCACTTTCGAAATCAAAGAGGTTCAAACCACATTCAAGAGTATAAAAAACAAACTTATGGCTTCTCTTGAATCATTGCAAATTTACGAAAATTTAACCAACAATAAAATCCTTACACCTCGATGTGCGGCAACTATTCTATCAGGGTTGGTATTCATTCCTAGTCTTGTCCATTTGTGTCAGTGGTCTAGAGTATATCAACTTTGATTACCTCAGAATTGATGCTCGGTTTAGGATTCCAACCAGTCTAAAAAGCATCAGGGTTGGCGAGGATATTGGCAAAACCCTTTCTTTCAAATCACTGGTTCTGCACTCAAAACATATCAAACAGTTACAATCTCTTCACCTAGGGCTTGACCAAGATTGGATCAGAATATTTCCCCTTACAACATTGACTAGATTAAAATGCGAAATTCATTTTGTACCCAATACACCATTTCCACCAACAATAGAACATCTTGATATTTCAGAAATCATTAGAACCAAAGGCCTGAATGATGGCATAGATTTCAATGACTGAAAATTTCCAAAATTCGAATCCAGATAGTCCATTGGTATGGAGAATCAAAAAAGAGATAAATATAATAAATACAAACAATAACTATTGATAGATATTTATTTAAAAAAATGGTGATATGTTTGATGATGTTATTGATCATTATTATATTTCAAAGAATTGTAAGTTAATTGGATTGGGTTGGGTAATAGTATTTATTTATTTATTAATTAATTTATTGTTTGTGATTATAATCTTTCAACAGGTTCAACACCTAATAAATAGAAACCAGTTTCTAAAATCTTTTTAACGGTATTACAAATTAAAAGACGTTGATGTTGACGATCACTACCCAATACAGTGTCGGTCTCGTAGAATCGATGGAATGTGTCGGCCACATCCCATAGATAGTCGCATATGATGGCTGGTCTGAGTTGTCCTTCAGCCGATTTAAGTGTGTCTGCAAACTTGGAGATCATCACGACGAGACGTCTCTCATTCTCTGTAAACTCTTGAAATTGGAATGATGCAATGTTGAGTTCAGCCTCTTCTATATCAAATCCACGTTCTGTCTTTGCACGTCTCATAATGGTTGCAATTCTAGTCAGACTGTAGTTTAGATAGATTGAAGTGTTTCCTTTAAACGATAGTATGTTGTCGTATGAGAATCGATAACTATTACTACGTTGTACCAAATCATAATATTTAATTGCACTAATACCAACTTTTAAATAATGTTGATTCTTCATTATATCGACGTTTTCGTCATCTTGATTGTCTTGGTCATTATTTTCAAAAGTATCAGATACACGAGCAGGTTCTTCTACTCGATATGCAGTGTGGGTGGGATCGATGGTTTCAGCACGACTGAGTGACTTTGATGTGATGGATGCTTGTTTGGCACGTTTGACAGATTCCTCGACCAACTCTGACAGCGCCAATGGATTACCATCACGTGAACTTAGCTTTGACCCATTTTCACTACGCACCACTCCAAATGATAAATGGTCAACACGGACATTATCACCATCATGTTTTTCTTCTTCTTTGAGCCAACCAGCCAATCGAGCAATCGAAAATATATCTTCAAAATGTTTGTTTTGAGAGTCATCTGTAATAACGACAATCCATTCCTTTCCACTTTCAATTCTACTCTTGATGGCTGCCAAGTCTGTCGTAGCATATAAATAAGCTCCATCTCTCTTTTTAATAATAACAGGTACTTTGTTTCCATTTAAAAATATACATTGTGCTCCCTAAAAAAAAAGAATAGAATAAACAAACAAATAATTATTAATACAAATATATTTGTTTAATTATCTTTTTATATATTTATAACAATTACCTCTGATTCTGAAACTAAACCTTTGTTTCTTAATTCAGTGATTACATTTTCCAACATTGTACGATAATATGATTCACCTCTTTCGTTGACATTGACATTCATTAATTTAAATATTTGGTTGAATCCTTCTCTGCTGGCTTGACATATCGATTGCCAAGCTTGGTATATATCGGGATGTGATCCACTATTATTTCCATTGTTGTCAAAGTTGGGTGGTCCTTTTTGCAACTCGGCAGCTGTCAGTTGTGCTCTCACCTCGAATTGCTTGTCTGTCTTGGTTCGTTGTTTGGCCGCTGCATAGTATTCCGACATTTCTTTTGGTGTTGGAATGTATGGCATCTCTTTATATACTGGCATAGCTGGACTGTCATCACTCTCTACTCCCGCACGACCCCAAATATGACTAAGGAATGGAGCCTTTTCATCGAGTGCATGGCTAATGACCATACCCATCGGTGTGCCAAAATCACCGACATGACTAATACGCTCCACCTCGTGACCACGGTACTCTAGTATACGACACACCGACTCACCAAGTGCAATCGATCTTAAATGACCGACATGTAGTTCCTTGGACATGTTTGGTGATGCAAAGTCTACCAACACTCGTTTACGTGGTGGTATGGGATCGGTTGCAATGAAATCAAGTGTTACTTGCTTACTACTATTACTACTATTACTACTTTCTCCAAGACACCACAGTCTAACACACTCCTCTAGATACTGTTGTGAGAGTGTCAGGTTGAGATGTTTGTTGATAACCTCTACCTTTTCAATCAACCTTTTGTCACGTTTCGTCTGTTGATCGTTGATGAGAGTGGTCAGCTGTCCAATCACAGTCTCTGGTTTACTATTGATCGCTCTTGACAAATGAAATACATTGCTTATTGAATAATCTCCTGGTATCTTGGTTGCATTAATACTATTAAACATTGGTTGATAGGTTGAAGTAGTAGTAGTAGGAGTGGAAGACTTTGTTGTTGTTGTTGTTGTTGTTGTTGATTCTGACAATATACTATTGGTCAGAGGAGATATTTGACTTCGAAGTATAGAGTATGTTGACAATGAATCAACATCAAACCATTGTTTCTTTAGACTAAATGGTTGAACGATCGTTGCATTATTATTATTACTAATACTACTATACGACAAAGATGATGATGATAATGCCGCACCAGTGATGACCGCATTTTGAACCATCTTTGTCTTTGATGATATATATCTTAACATATTGTTGTCTGTTGTTGTTGTTGTTGTTTCTGTTATAATGTGTACATGTATTATGTTAACTAGATTATATATCAGATAGACTTACAATTCTTCGAAATATAATACAAACAAACAAGTCATCCATCAATCTGATGATCAACATCGACTTGTTCAAATTTCATTTTCATTTTTAATTTAGCTTGATCAAATAATGAAAGAGATAAATAGATATAGATATTTACCATTAATTATTAAATAGTTTACAGTAGAATATATAGATAGAATAGATAATTTGTTATTTAGTTAAACCTTTAAATCATTATAATGCCATTAGAATATCATAAACAGATATTTGAAACATGTTTATCAAACGATGGTTTAGTTGTAATGTCAAAGGGCTTGGGAGTACAACATGTGATATTGGCATTTCTCAAAGTGTATTGTGACTCTGACAAGTTGGTGTTGTATGTCGATCCGTACAGCGAGTCGTTGCAAGAGTCGTATTGCTACTACAATGAAAAGCTACTGCAGTTTGGCGTAAAGTATGCTAATCTGCCAACCTTTCTCAAACAAGAACTGGTGGGTGCGTCCAAGTACCGCGACGGAGGTGTCTACTTTGGCCCAGCAGCAACGTTTATACTCGACATGTTGATGAACAGAATACCAACCGACCACATTGCCGGTATCATTGTCGACAATGCGCACCGTATCGATGACTTGTCACCCGAGGCATTGCTCTTGTCACTTTTCAAGATGCGAAATAGTCGTGGATTCATAAAGGCATTTTCATCAGATGCTGCATACATTACATCGTCGTATGCGTCGTTTGGAGACATTAACAACTTGCAACGACTATTAAAGCTTCTTCAAGTACCACGTGTCTATTTGTGGCCACGATTCCATCTTGCCGTGGCAAATGAATTGGATACGGATAGTATTGCTGGTGGCGCAGTTGCAGACAATCGACTGATCGAGTTGACCATCCCAATGACAGAGAGTATGATCAAGATTGAAAAGGCACTGACCAACACGATCGAAAAGCTAATGGGTGACATTCGTTCGAAAAACAAACATGTATTGGAAAAGCATAGGATGACATTGGAAGATGGCCTATTTAACAGCTTTGACTCGATGGTACAGTCTTGGGGTGACATTGGATGGCACACCAAGCAAAATCTAAATACCATCAAAATACTTAGGAATCTAACAACCCTCCTTGTGAAATATGATGGTGTATCTTTCCTCAAATTTCTAGAAACTCTACGAGATGTAGATTCTTCTTATAATAATCCAGAAGATGAATATAGTTGGATTTATACAAGAGATGCTGAACATTTATTTAATGTAAAAAAAAAAAGATAAATCAAAAAAAGATAAATATTAATATTAATATTTATTTATTTGATTTGATTTGATTTTTAGAGTGCAAAAGAAAGAGTTTATATAGAATCAAAATTAGAATTTAAAAAGAAAAAAGGAGATAGTGGACAAAAAGTAGATGTTTATAAAAGAGAATTGGTTTTGGAAGAGAATCCAAAATGGCATTTATTATATCAAGTTATAAAAGAAATTGAAGATAGCAAGAGTAAGTACAATTTATTGTACAATACACAAAAAAAATAATGTATCTTTTTTTTTTAATTAATTTTATTTTATTTTTTAGAGGAAACTGGAATAGAACCAGAGACAATATTAGTATTTGTAAAAGATGAAAGAACATGTACACAATTACAAGAGTACCTTGATTTGGGTGGTTATGGAATGTTGTTAAAGAAATATGATCGATTGTATGCTCCGACACCACCCGAATCAACCAATTCTAGTATTTATACAGGTGGTAATTCGAGTTGGGCTGGTGCCAATCGTAGAAAACGAGGTGGTGCTGGTGGAAAATCATATAGTAAAAGAGCAAGTGAATCATCGAGAAAACAAAAAATAACAGAAACCAATATGCGAAAGAAAATGAATATAAAGGATGAAACCAATGCAACGTTGTTTTCAATGGGTGTGTCGGTGGTTGGTGGAGCGGGTGGTTTGTCCATCTCCAATCCTAGAATAGTAGAGGTCAATGGAGACAATCAATCCATCGACATTGAGCAGATCGACGATATCTACTCGGTACTTTCACCTCCCCACATTATCATCCATCCCATCGAATGGTCGGGTAATATCCTCGAAGATGCGACACCACAACACATTATCATTTACGATGCCGATGTCACCATCATCCGTCAAATTGAAGTGTTTCGTGCCGAGAACCCTCACATGACTCTGTTTGTCTATTTTTTACTCTATTCCGACTCGATAGAGGAAAGTAAATACATTTCTATATTACGTCGTGAAAAGGACGCATTTGAACGACTCATTAGAGAAAAGGCATCTCTGATTGACCTCAGTGGCGGTTTAAACAATACGACCATCACCACGGAAAAAGAACAAGAGGTTGCAAGGATTAAAAACATCACCGAGGAAGAATTGGAAATGCTCCCGAGTGCCAATACGAGCTCGCGAGCCGACAGCAGAACAGGAGGTGTTGTCAAATATAGGTCGGCGTTGCGTAGAGGACAAGGTACCAAGAAAAAGGTGGTGGTCGACAGTTTTGAATTCAAGAGTAGTTTGCCGGTCGCACTTCACTTTGGCGAGTACCAAATCATCCCGCTGCGTCTCGTCACTGGTGATTATGTCATCTCGCCATTATACTGTATTGAAAGAAAGAGCATATCCGATTTGATCGGCTCGTTTGGGTCGGGTCGTCTATTCCACCAAATCGACCAGATGGGTCGTCACTATACCAACCCGATTCTCCTGATCGAGTTTGACGCACGTCAACCATTCATGCTACACACACAAGAAGAACTCAATCTACCGTATATTTCACAGGTTGCTCTGTCGAGCAAGCTCATGATGCTCTCTCGTGCCTTTCCAAAGATGCGAATCATTTGGGCGCGAAGCTCACGTTCTACAGTGGCCGTGTTTGACCGACTCAAAGAAAATGGCCCTGAACCTGACCCCTCCAACATTAACGTCTTGCCCGAACCCTCTGCCAACAACTCGGAATACAATTATGCACCACACGACGTTCTCAAAAAACTACCCGGTATCAATGAATCCAACATTCATTTTGTACTTGACGGTGTTAGAGATCTTCACCATCTATCTCAAATGTCAAAAGATCAACTATCAACTTTATTACATTCTGAAACTGATGCAGCTTTACTTTATGCTTTTTTAACTCAAGATCATATTTCTTCAAAAAACATTAATAATCAAAATAATCAAAATAATAATAATAATGGAAATTATAAAAGGAATTGGTCAAATAGAAAGAAATAAATAATTAATTATTTAATTTACTATTTATTATTTATTAATTCCTTGTAACTCTAATAATTTACTAGTTTGACGAATTAAATTAAAATTTAGGTCAATGGATGATAAGAGTTGATTGAAACCTTGGTTGTCATAATGAATGATGGGACTGTTGGCAAAGGTGTATCGTGATGCTTCGTCGAGACGAGTATCTTTGTCATAGTAGATGGCGAGGATTGGTTTGTTACGATTCTCGGCCAAAGAGATTTCATCACGTACCAATGGTGTAAACTCCTTGTTGGTGAGTACAACGACAAACACCCAACTGGAAAGTACACCTTTGTCTCTTGGCACCACTTTGATCTTGTTTTCCTTTAAAAATTCAAACAGATCCTTGTACTCTGCAATCTTTGATGGATTAAATGACAAAAAGATGGATGCTTCTTTGCCCTGCAAAGCACCGATACTTGGTTGGTCAGACTTTAAGTCTTCATCACCTTCACCACCAGCACCACTACCCGAAAAGATGCTAGCATCGAGGATGGTTTGCATACCCTCGAGCAAAGTCGAAAGTGAGAGTTGGTAGATATTGCTCGTTGAGAAATCGACCAATTGTGAACGATAGATACAACTTTCGAGTGTGGGATCGGTGATGGACACCTTTTCGGCCCAAATACAAATCATGAGTGCCTTGGAGAGTGGACCTTTGACCAGTGCAGTGGTGGCTTGGTGTTTGATGGTTTGAGCAGACACGAAAAATACATAACCAATGACTGGTGGATTACCAGCACCATTTTCCATAAACGCCACGGTAATGTGATTCTCTTCAAGAGAGTCTCGCAGTTTTCTAGCCAAATGCACAAACGCACTGTCAAATACAAATGCAATATCATACTTGTTGTATTGCTTTTTTAATTTAAATGCATCCTCTACACTTAGATAATCCAATGCTCTCTTTCCATTTTTATCAATGATTCTTTCATCAATTCCTAAATTCAAAATTTTTGGTATATCTTCAAACATTTTCTACAAAACAATTAAATAAAATAAAGTAATAAATAAATGAATATTTGGTTTCAATATATTATATTATATTATTCTATTCTTGTTTACTTACATTATCACAATAATAATGAAAAACATTTTGACCATTTTTAGAATCAATAAATTTAATGTTTGGAGTGGCAGGACGTGCTAATAAATTACCATCGTAAAAGAATGGTGGATAACCATCACGATTTGGAATATTGATTTGATGTTGAAGGATTTGGCTTGGAATGGTAATAGAGTCGGCAACTCTCATCTTTCCGACCAAATGTAAAAAGGTGTCACCGTCGTAATTGGTGAATTGGTTGATTTGAGCAATATTGGCGTTGATGATTGGATGGGCGACGTTGGGGTTACCAGACCGCACCAATTGGCAAGAGACGTCGGTGGTGGACTTGTAGAGGAGTGCAGAGTGGTAGGCACCGCAGGAAACGGCGGTTGGCTTGCCGACGACCTGTGTCATACGACCAAGTGGGACAACCTCGGCGAGATGTCCGACTTGTCCGTACCGACTCCACCCACAAGACACAGTCTCACCGTTCATCTTGATACCAATAAAAGAGAGCGAGCAATCACAACTGGCCGAAACACTTTCATAGCCAGTATCCACCTTTTTGGGAATGGGACTGGTGTATTCACCAAAGTCACCCCAAATGTAGAGTGAATGATCGTCGTCTTCATTGGACAGGGATAGTGTAAACTTGCCACCACACTCGATCGACTTCATACGTTGACGAATCTTGACGTGTTTGTATGGTACGGATTTGTCAAACGAGCCACCATCACCAAGTTGGTAGTCTTCGTTGCATCCCCATGTATACATGTACCCCTCGTCGTCAACGGCGCCCATATGTCTATCACCAATTGAAAAGCAAGCGATACGAGTCGATCCAATACGCTCACCACCAAATTGCGATATAATGTTGGGACGGTTCCCGTCTTTGGTGTTACCTAATCCCAACTGACCGTATTTGTTGTATCCCCATGTATAGACATTGCTCGCAGTGACAGCGGCACTGCTTGCACCACCTGCATACACATTTAGTACCACTCCGCTAAATGGCAATATACATGGAGTGACCATCGTGCTTTCATTGCCCAATCCCAGTCGACCCTTTGATCCATTGCCCCATGAAAACACACGACCAGTGCCATCAAGTGCCAAAGTATGTTCGTTGCCACAAGACACCATACTGAATTGTACACCTGGTCTGACTTGCATAGGTATCTTGTAATTGTCGGTATTTCCCAAGCCAAGCTTTCCAAATGACCCATTACCAAATGTCCATAACCCTCCATCGACCGTTACAAGTCCACTATGTAATGTTCCCATTGATATACATTTTATATTTGAAAATTGTTTTAATAATGTTAAATCTGCTGTACAATTATCTCTACACATCAATCAACAATATTAATATATTTATATTTAAATCAATATCAATATTCGAATTGTAAACTTTTAAACTTACTGGTCATAAACCAATTCATCACTACCTTCAAAGAGGTTAGTACCTAGTTGTCCATTTGCATTTCTAATTAGAAAAGAAAGAAAGAAAGAAAGAAGGAAGGATTAGATATCTCTACTATAAAGTTGAACTATATTGTATGTGTGTTTATCTTACTTTCCAAACAAAAAGCAACATCCTAGATCTGTCATGACTGTAGTATAGGATAGTAGTGGGGTGCCGTTTAGTTTAGTTTAGTTACAATAAATATATTTACAGGTGTGGATTGAAGATGATGATTGATGATGGTGAAGGTGGGTGATGTGATGACTACTAACTATTGCTACAAATCTGATGTAGTAATATTACAATCCCTCTCTCTCTCTCTCTCTCTATCTCTATCTCTTGTCAGATGATAAATGACAATGATACAAAGTATCTTAGACAAACTGCAGCGTCGCATGACATGTCTTTTATTGCATCAGTCGATTAAAAACTGATCAAAATGGAGAAAAGACTAAGATTTTAATGAGAATTATCCCAATGATAAATAAATAATTAATTATCTTTCTCTATTAATATTTATCTATCTTTACAAAGATAATAATAAATTAAATTAATTTAATTGTGTGAATGTACAAAATTGGTTGTGACTGGTAGACAGTCATGACCATGATATTATTAAAATAACTTTATTAATTTATCAATCCATCTCCATATTCCAGTAACCATTAAAACTATAAACAAAGATAATACTATATCTAATAATAAATAAATAAATAAATAAATAAATAAATAAATAAATAAATAAATAAATAAATAATATTAGTTCAATTTAAATGAATAGGATTGGTTTGGTTTGGTTTTAATCAAATTGATCATACAAATAAAGAGTTTTTCATCATCAGTATAAATACTTAGACCAGTGACATGTTCAAACTGGAATTTAATGTCATAGGCATTGAATAGTGATCTCTTGTATTGAGGTGGTTTCACTGTCTTTCTAATATCTCTAACTTCTTCTTTTCCTTGGAATTTGAATGCTCCTCCATCTAGTAGTTGTTGACGTTTGATTGTCGATGTTGTCGATGATGATGATGATGATGAATTTGTTGTATTTGGTTTCTCTGCTACTGTTGTTGTGCTCTTCATGATAAATAATGATGATGATCTTTAATTTATTTACTAGTAAATAACATTGTACTAAAGAGGAGCTTGTTGGTTTGGTTTGGTTTGGTTGTTGTGTGAGTAAAAAATGATAATAATAATAATAATTGGATTCTTTAATCAACCACCACTCAACTCACACAGGTTGTGTTGTTGGTTATAAATGAGCAGAGCTAGCATTCTTGTTGTGAAAACCTTCTTCTCTACGTATACTTTTAGATTTATATAAATAATCTGTATAAAACCAATGAGATTGAGATACTTCCTCTCCTCCCTCCAAATACGTCTTTGTTTGTTTGTTCTATCATAAGATAGGTATACCTGAAACTACCAAATCCACTGCTATACACGACATGTCATGTGTAAATTAGGAAGGAAGAATCAAAAAGTAAAATGAAGTGTGTCCTCATTACATTCATAGTAATGTTACTATTATCTGTCTGTCTCTGTCTAGCTGTAGTATCTCTTTTGTTTCGCTCAGATACTTATAGATAGAAAGAAAGAAGTATCAGTAGAGATGTGTTGGGAATAAGCAATATTCCTGGGTTTGGAGTCGCGTGCAGACTGATCAATTGCGATTTCTTTCCGAGTTGCAAGAGAGAGGACATCAAAAAAAGTCTTCTCTTTTTTCTTCTGATCGGTGATTTGGGAACTGACAAAAATATCATCTCTTTGCGATATGGAAATTTCACACTAAATTGATTCTCTTTTCCCAAACCAAACAAACGTGTGTCATCTGACAACCCCCGGATTGTTTGTTTGTATGTTTGATTCCCACCACCTGCAAACAAAACAAACACAATCAAGCAACCAAGCAATCATTGATCGACATTGCAATAAACATAAAATTTTAAACATAAAACAATAAATCAATAATAATAATAACAAGGAGAAAGAGAAAAGAGAAGGAGAAGGTTTTAAATACAACACCTAAACTAGTTTGATTATAGATTGATTATTATTATTATGGAGAATACAGGTATAGTATTATCATTATTATTATTATTATTATTAATATCATTCCATTCATACTTTCTGTCTTTTTGTTGTTATTTGGTCTCTTTCTTTCTTTCTTCATCGAATCGACACCACCCACAATAATATTATGACCAACCATCAATCATATCATTTGATTGTGATTGATTGTGATTGGATATAGATGTAACACAATACAAACAATCAACCAATTGATTGTTAATCGATTAACAACAATCAATACAATAGACTCTTGAACAAAAAGAAGAAGAAGAAACTATTATTTCATATCAGTTCATAACGATTGGTAGCTACATACAATACATACAATACATACATATATATACACAACAGTAACTTAATTTAACTCCTTCATCCCTCTTCTTCCTTAAATCTTCAATGTATAAATATATATATACAATCCAAATTTGGAAATCACAGATCCTAGATAATTTAAATTATTGGTGATGATTCATAGCAAACAAGCATAAGATTGTATATCTATCTATCTATCAACCAATGTAACAAACATATGTTATGTTATCGTCTTTTTTTTCACACACTTCTTCAAATCTATAATATGATTTTTTTTATCTGTATCTTCTTGCTTCCTCTTCTTCTTCTTCTTTTTGTTTCTTTTGCAACCAACCAAACCCCTAAAATGGATAATAATTAAATTTCCAACCCTATCTATCTTTTAATCCTCTGACATCATCATCATCATCATCATAATCATAATCATAATCATATTCCATCGTCGTCACTATTGTCTATTTGTTTTCCCCACCCTCATCATCATCATCATGTGATTGTGTATCATCAAACCACTACCGCCACCAACACCACCAACTTTCAATCAATGCTATTGTCTATTTATTTGTAGTTTAGTAGTACTAACATTCCCTATTTTATTTTCATTCCAATTTAATTATTTCCAAAATCAAAATATTATTATGGCAACAACTGTTATATTTAATCCACACAAAGAAATGAAAAAGTTACAAAGAAAGTTGTTTGAGAATGGTGGCTCTGGTGGACAAGGATCATCACCTTCACGTATCAATATTTGGAGACCTGTGGTTGACATTAAGGAGAATGATACCGACATTGTCATTGTCTTTGAGTTGCCAGGGTTAAACAAGGAGAATGTAACCATCGATGTTTCCAAAGATATCTCTACTATTATCATTAGTGGTGAAAAGAAATTTAACAAAAAAGATGAAACTGAAAAGTATGCCAAAAACTATAGTAAAGAATTAATTAATATTAATTAAAGTATATTAATATTGTTTTGTTTTAGATGTCATAGAATTGAAAGTTCATATGGAAAGTTTATTAGATCATATCGTTTGCCACCTGGAACCGATCCAGCTAAAATCAAGGCATCAATGAACGACGGTATCCTTGAAATTCAAATTCCAAAGGAAAAGATGGAAAAGATGAAGATTCCAATCGCTTCCAAACTCTAAAAGAGAAAAGAGAAAAGAAAAAGGAAAACAACTACTATTGATTCGATTCTACCAACAAAATATTTATAAATAAGTATAACCCCCAACCCAACCCAACTAGACAAACAGACAAACAGAAGGAGGACATATCTCTTCTTCTCATTTTTTTTAAAATCTCTCCCTACTTCCCAAATTAATCAGTATCATCAATCAATCTATCTATCCATCCATCTATCTATCATCAAAAGAGAGAGAGAGAGAAAGAGAGAGAGATATAGATTTAAATTAATTAATTGTATAAAAACAACAAACAAACCAAAACAAAACAAAAAATGAATGGAAATATTTATAAGATTGTTATTCATCATGTATAACCATCACACACAACAACCACCCACATCTATCGTCATCATTATAATCATCGCCATCACAGTCATCTAACAAAAAACAATAACAACAAATGTATAAATCTAACAAATATAATATATAATATAATATAATATAATATTATCCCAAGTAATAATAGCAATAATAATAATAATGATAATAATAATTCGTATCACCCAAGAATGATGGATGGATGGATAGGAATAGATTTCATGATAGGTTAAATTAGACATCTAATAAAGAATGTAACAATAATAATAATAATAATAAATATTTGGATCATTTTTTTAAAATTCATATGTGATGGAGAGGGGGGTATATATATATTCTATACATTGTGTTTTCAATCAAAATACAAAACAAACGTGTTCACATTAAAACAGACACTAGATCCACTTTCAACAAACATGCTGCTAAACACGAGACACCAGTAAAGACAGTATAAATGCAAACAATGAAGAACCACTTGTTTAGTTTGGTTTACATTCAAAGTTATTGAAATAGAAAAAAGACAAGTCAGGTGCACTGTCATGTCATGTCAGTTGGGTGTGTAAACAGGAACAAGTATGTTGTTGTCAAACAAGACAAGCCATATATCTATCATCTATCGTATCATATCATGTATATATGTGCAATCAACATATTACCAGAAATATGTGAAATGGTGATGATGATGATGGTTGTGATGGTTGATAATGATGATGATGGATGGAATTGAATTGATGAACTAATAACCATCACATACGAATCAAATATAATAATATAATATAATGATATAATATAATATATTTACGATTGTTATTATTATTATTATCATTCATTATTATTATTATAATTATTTTTAGTTATTCTATCACTCTCTCCGATCACACATAATATCTATCAAATTTACAAGATGGTAAAACCATCATCAACAACACTATCACCATCTTCTTTTGGATGGATGATGAACAATGTAATTGTTAGTGTCATGGTGATGATGCTCATTACCATCGTTGTGGTAACTGGATCGTCATCCTACTCATCGTCACCAGATGAAAGTGGTAGTGGAAGTACTAATACAATTTTGGATATGTGTAATCCAGATACATTGTATGATATGATGGACAATATTGGTGTCGATCCATCACCCAAAGGTATTGATAGGTTGGGTGCATACGGATCATGGTACAGTCCATGGACCACCAAACTAGCAACATCCAACCAAAAATATTCATTGGAGACCTATGAACCAACCAAAGACTTTGCATTTTGGTTGGAAGTAAGACCAACCGAACAAGGTAGATTCGTTCCTGTTCAAGTTGACAATAATAATAATTATAGGTAACTACTACATAATTATACAACATAATAATTAAACAAAACAACATAATAACGTTAAGTTAAATAATATATATATTAATATATTTTGATCTATTGTTTGTATTTAGAGATTTAATACCAATTGGGTATAATGCAAGATCATCAGTATATGAATATGGAGGTACACCCATTGTATTTTTAAATTATCCACGTCATGCTAATGACCAAGACTTTAAAGTTGTATTTATCAATGAAGATCAAGCTTTGTATCTACATTATCCACATCGAGACAAATATGTACCATTAAGATTAACACCACCTGTCACTACCCGTAATACAACCATGCGATTTGTAGATGGAACACATGACAAAAAGAGAAATAGAATTGTCTATATTTGTGAAGAGCATTTTCCATCACCCGATAACCCAGAGGAAGAATTGCAACAAGCGCTAAACTATCTATGTTCAATCGATCTACGTACCAAAGAAATTAAAATCATTGAACAAGGTAGAGATTTTTATTCTTATCCAAGATTTAATCATGATTTCTCAAAAGTAAATATAAATATAAATGTAAATATATTCATTAATCAAAGTATATTAATATTGTGTATAAATTGTTTGTTTATTTTAGTTAACATGGATATCATGGAGTTTCCCAAATATGCCATGGGATGATACAGAATTGTATGTTGGAAATATACATTATTTTGATGGATCTCTCACATCAAAGTATCGTGTGTCTTGGTTTAATGAATCCGTGATCGATCCGAAATGGGGTATTGGAGACGACCGTGATTCACTCTACTATATATCTGATATTAGTGAGGGCTATTGGGCAATCCATAAACACAATAGTATCTCTAAAACCAACCAATTAATCCAGTCCCCCAAAAGTCTAGGTTACATTGAAATCGGTGAACCAATTTGGTATTTTGGTAGATCTTTTTATGACTTGCTACCAAATAAAAGAGTATGCAAATATATACAAATACAAAATACAAAATATAAATATACAAATATATTAATGTTACCTTTTTAATTTATATTTTTAGATTATGGCAACTGGAGATAAATATATAATTGATATAAAGATTGGAATGGGATTTGAGAAATATGAAAATGAAATGTCGATTGGAAGATCAATCAAAACACAAAAACAAGGAGTTGGGTGTAGAGATGAATATGATTGTTCAGTAACTATTCTTGGAGGTTCACCAACTCAAACAACTACACTTGTAAGATTATTATCATCTCCTCGTAAAAGTTTTCAAAATAATCAAAACAATCAAAATAATAGTCAACAACAAAAAGTTAAAGTTGGAGTACAAGTCGATGTTTCATCAATTAGATATCAAGATAAAGATAAAGATAAAAAGGATACTTATATTATTGAAAGATTTGGATTCCCGTATGAATGTAATCGTCAAACAGGACAATGTAAATCAGTTTATCTTTTACCCTATCATATTGAATTTCAACCACTTTTACCTTTGGTATGGATAATATATTAAACATGATATATATATATATATATATTCCAACCAAGTATACTAACATTTATATTATATATTAGGATACATATGATAGTAGATTTATATCAATTCCAGTACTAATTAAATTTGCAACAAGTGATGGTCATTTTGCATATGGGTATTACTATCCACCAACTAATCCATTGTATACCAATGCTGGACAGATTAGTAATGCATCCAACAAACCTCCACCTCTACTTGTCAAGTCTCATGGTGGACCTACAGATAGTGCAGAGCCAGTTTTAAATATGAAATTCCAATACTGGACATCAAGAGGTATAGGTATACTAGACGTCAATTATAGAGGGTCGTCAGGATATGGCCGACAATACAGAGAATTATTAAATACTAAATGGGGTATTTACGATGTTGACGATTGTTGTAATGGTGCAAAATACCTAGTTGAAAATGGTTTTGCTTCAAATGATTCGTAAATATTAACAACAATATTCAATATCATATATATATATATATATTTATATACTTATTTATTTATTTATTTATTTTAAATATTTTTGTTTAGATTATTAATTGATGGAGGTAGTGCAGGAGGATTTACAACATTGGCATCATTAACATTTAGAGATGTATTTAAAGGTGGAAGTAGTTTTTTTGGTATTGGAGATCTTGATAAGCTGGCTCAACAGAGTAGACATAAATTCGAGTTTAGGTATGCCGACAAGTTGGTAGGCGATTATAAAGAGCAACGACAATTGTTTTATGACCGGTCACCCATTCGATATGTGTCCAAGCTAAAGGTGCCAGTTGCCTTTTTCCATGGCGCTGATGATATGGTCGTCGATCCAAACCAAAGTCGCGAGATGTATGAACACTTGAAAGCGATTGGTATCCCTACACTACTTGAAATCTATCAAGGCGAAGACCACGGATTCGTCCAAGAAAAGAATCTCCAACGTTCACTCGATGGAGAACATTTCTTTTTCTCAAAAATACTTGGGTTTGAAGCTAAATGTTTACTTCACAATGATTTTAATATTGTAAACCTAAATAAATAAACAATCAATAAAATAACAACCAATCAACAAACAAACAAACAAACAAACAAACAAACAAACAATCAATCAACAAACAAATAATACAATTATAATACAAATAAATAATAAATATTATTTTATTATTTATTTCCTTTTTCATTTTATTTTCCATTTTCTGGTTTATTTGGTAACTGGAGTATCACAAGTAAGTACTTGATAATTATCAAGAGTGATAGCTTGAATTTGACCAATATCACTGGCAAAGCTAGCCCAAGGAGAGGTAGCATAGTTGCCACCCTTGTTTTCAAAGTAGAGAGAGGCATCAACTGAATTGTCGACGACGTAGGCACCGTAGAGTTGGAGTGTACGGGCGATGATTCTAGCCTTGGTACCGGTGAGTGAGTTGACGTTGAATGATGGGTTGAGACGGATACGTTGACCTTCCATGACAGTGTTGGTGCCGACGTACCAGCCATCGGTACGACTAGAGACGGGTGAACAGAGCTCATAGGTGTAACCTGGCGACTCGGTCTTACGCATACGGTTGACTGGACCAGACATGGCGAGGACATGGTTGAGTTCACCACGGACAACAAGCTCGTCCCAACGGATGAGACCACCGATAAAGGTAGAGCCTGCACCACGGACGGCACGCATCCACCAACGTGAACCACCGGCATTAAAAGCTGGATAACTACCACTAACATCGTATTGGAAACGATCGAAACGAGTGGCACTGGCCCAAGTAGAGTTTTGCCAGATGAAACGTGAAAACTCGTAAAAGGTGTATGTGGCACGATCATAAACGATCATGTGTCCGTCGGCCATTGGGTCGGGGTTGACGGTGCTGGGAACTGGCAGGTTCAAGATTTGACCGGTATTGAGTGGATCAACAGAGTTGTGGTAAAACTCTCCTTGTGGTTGGTAAATGTTGATACGGGTGGTAAAGGTGGTGCTGTCGACATTGTGCAATGGAGCAGTCCATTGGTAGTAGGCGAAGCTTAGGCCGTTGGTCGTCTGAGAGTTTTTAATTAAAAGTAACATCGAGGCAGACAATGGTTCGACGGTGGCACCAGATGGAATCAATTGATTCCAGGCTGAACTATTGCTAAATACTTGGTATGGGAATCCATCAGTTGTAAATTGTGCTTGACCTACTGATGATACCAATAAAATTGCTAGTACTGATACTATTAAAGATAAAATTATGTTATTCATTTGTAAATATTATTATTATTGTAGAATGATGATGCTTGCTTGCTTGTTTTGACTCTTGTCGATGGGGTGATGTTCTTATCTTGTAGACTGCAGTTGCACAACTTTGTGTTATTCATCAGAATTCTTTCAAAAGTTTCTTCTTGACCTACTCTTTCGTTGAAATGTGCCGCGGCGCGGACCCAGATATTTTCAATTGAAACCGATGTTTATTAATCTACAAATATCTGCTTGTCGATGGGTGAATGCTTGGTTACGTAGGTTTACTTTATTTGAACCATTGGTTATAGTAGGTGTGTGGTTGGTGGTCTCGTTTTCGTTATCGATCGACCAACAAAACTGAAGCTCTCATTCATTCACCAGGTCACTTTGATCATCGGTATATATGTTTGCAGTTGCAATCCATCTTTGGATTCTTTCTAACGATCGAGTCATCACTCGTTGCAACGAACATGTGTTAACTTGCAAAGTGAGAGATCTCTTTAAAGAGTGTCATGAGGAGTTGCCTGGCTGGCTGGCTGGCTATCGGTCAGTACTATTAACCGATGCTACCTTGCTTGTAATTTTGTATTCACTATCGTAGCTACGATCAAGGTAGTATCGGTTAATAGTACCTTGACGGCGACTATATTCATTGAATTGGCAGTAGACCTATTTCAATCCCAAAGATATTGGGTACCAAAGAGTAGCTGGGAAGACTGTGACCTCTAGTAGGGGTGAGTAACGGCGATGATCAGTGTATTACCTTTAATTAATTAAAATAGAGGTTGATGTCTGCTGTCAATTGGTTGTTTTGTCGATACATCAATAAACCTACTTACTCGCGATATAATACAACACCAACAACAACTAATAATAAAACATTAAAATTGTTCATCCCAAGATAGAGAGAAATTAGGTTATGATAATCTGCATCTTTACTAGTACCGGTATGGGGAGGGCAAATAATCTATTTCCATCCGTTTCTTCTAAAGAGTTCTTTTAGTTGACCTTTTTCGTCGACTCTACATTGATCGTCTCTCTCTCTCTCTCTCTCTCTTTGAATATTTATATACTAATAAAAAAGAAGGAATATAAAAACACAGCAGTCCTGCACTCGCTAGTAAAATTAATTAATTCTATGTCTTGTTTCCTACACGATATATATCTCCCAACGAACAACAACAACAACAACAACAACAACAACAACAACAACAACAACAACAACAACAACAATGACATGTTATTATTGTTATTATTAAGATAAAGATAAAGATAAAGAAGAAGAAGAAGATGACAACAACAACAACAATATCAATCATTGGGACTGCAGGTAGAGACAAAACAAAAAGGCTGACAAGCGATCATTTTGCTTATATGTGTCAATGTGTTGAATCGTATATAGCTGATAAAGGTTTACTATTATCATCGAATCAACCGTCATCTTTACAGAAGAGTACAGTTACATTGGTCAGTGGAGGTGCTGCTTGGGCTGGTATGTAATGTATATATGATCATCTGACTGACATTCATTGAGTTACTAAACTATTTGATTATCGAATGTATATAGATCACGTGGCTGTAGATATCTATCTGAGAAATCCTCAGTTATATAATTTGGTACTCTATCTACCATGTCCAATTGTAAAGGTAGGTGGTGGTGATGATGGATCATCATCATCTACAACATCATCAACAAAATACCAATACTTGGATACTTTAAGTAAAGATTGGAGAACCAATCCTGGTAAAACATCAAATAACTACCACAATATAATGTCAAAGGAACTTGGAGGAAGAGATACAATTAAAGAGATTATGGATGCACATGAGTTGGGTGCCATACTAGATACATCATCCAAAGGATTTCATACTAGAAACACCAAAGTATCAAAATCAGATTATTTAATTGCTTTTACATCAAGTACAAGTGGTCAACCAGAGGGTGGTGGAACACTAGACACATGGACTAAATCAAAATCATTAAACAAGATTCATTTCACTTTACAACCATTACAACAACAACAAGTATCTTCTTCACCTCCAACAATCAAAAAGAAAAAGACAGAACCAAAAAAAAGAAAAGAAAAAGAAAAAGAAGAAGATAATGATAATGATGATGATGATGACACCTCGACAGTAACAACAACAACTACTACAGTATCTAAAAGAAAAAAGAAAACTGTTGTACCAAAATAATATTAATAATCCTGGAATAAATTATAAGTCTTGACTTTGGAAAAAAAAAAAAAAAAAAAATCTTTGCATAGGGAGGGAGGGTTTAGTCATCATCGTGTTGTCTATTTAGTTAGTATTAGCTTAGATTTAGAGAAAAGATTGTATAACTATTGTACTAGTAGTACTACTTTATATTGATCGTCTGTCTATACGTAAAATAGCAGACTGGTCTAAATAAAGGAGGAGGAGAAAGTAATTCATCATCATTAATTAGATAGCAAGCAGCAGTTGATCGATCGATTGATTGAGCTCAAAGAGGGAGTAGAGAGAAGATTAAGAATGGTATTACCTTTGCTCAAAGTTGGTAGTTTACTTGTTAAATCATTGGCCAAACCGTTTTCGAAACAGATCAAGGTTGTAGCTTCAAAGTCTCCTGCATTTCATACATGCGTTGTTAGTATAGCTAGAGGTTTCCATAAATTAGGTATGTCTACAAATATTGATCAATGTTAATGTTAATAATATACTATAACACATGATGATTAATGATTGATTATATTATGTATGTATGTGTATGTATGTAGACATTTACTTGTCTAGATTTACAGGAGATGTTGCAAAAAGAAATACAGAACTCAATGTAAACAGTGCTATCGATCTTGGTAGTGAGATGGCCAGTGAATTCTTTTTGTTGAGTGTTGCTGTTGGATTGTTGTTGTTTGAAAACAAACGGTCTGCACAAAAGGAACATAACAAGGAAGAAGCTCTAAACAATCGATTCAAGAAACTAGAGGAACAATCCAAACAACAACAAGAGTTGATTGATTCTATGGTATTAGAGAATGACCAATTACGTCATAAAATTAGACGTACTAGTGGATTGAATAACAATAATAATAACAACAATGATAATGTCGATAAGAATGATGATGGTCAAGATGGATCATTGCTTGGCGTTTTACCATTACGATTAAATCCATATCATTCAATTGTCACGACAACTCAATCATCATCAGGTCATAGTAAATCGTTCACCTCTTCTAGTGATGAAGAGGCAGGTACCGGTGTAAATATATCAAAATTCTTATCACATAGAGGTGTAATACTTTCCTAACACACAACAAACCAACCAACCAACCAACCAACAAATAATAACCAATTAATTAACGATAATAATAATAATAATAATGATCATAATAGCAAATTAATATTATAATACAATACGAAACCCCTTTCTTTCTTTTTTTATACATACAAAGATGTATGTTTGTAATCCAAAATATTATACTTGGTTGGTTAATTATATTTACAAAATTTGGATCAAGTTGGGATGGAAATGATTATATACTGATACTCTCCTCGATGATATCATTTATCCAATTCCCAACTTGACTCCATCGCTATATTGAGTTTATTCTATTATTATTATTATTACTATATTACTTTAAGTAATATATTGATACGTATTCTATTATTATGAATTAGTTATTATTAATTATTATTAGTAAAGAGAAGTTTTACATCTATTATCATTATGTACAGCAAAACATTTTTTACTACAATATCTACTATAACATTGTTTACATGAATAATCTCCAATGTAACCACAAATCGAACAAAAATGCCTTGGAGGGTATATAGATGGTGTTGAAGCAATTGTATTATATGTTGGTACATTTGGTGGATATGTTTCTAAATACTATAGTAGTGTAAAAAGTAATCAAATCAATCAAATTGATTTATGGTTAGTTTTGTGTGTCTGACCAGATTAAATTCAAATTCAACTTGGTTGTAATAATAACACTTACAGATCTTTCCAATACAATTGGAAATGATAGATTTTTAACTTGTGATTTCTTTTTCTCTCTTTCTCTATTCAATTTTCTTTTGTTTTTTGGTGTAGAGTATACCATGTCTTCTTGATCGTCGACTTTATACTCTTCATCATTTTCTTCGTCTATTTCCAATTCATTGTCATTTTCCAAACGTTCAATGTGTAGTTCTATCGTCTTTTGTTTGAGTTTGAGACGATCTTCGTCTGTCACCACTCTGAATCTTCTAGAGATGACACTCTTTCTCTTGCCAGCTGCCAATTCACTTGCTTGTACAACTGGTAATTGTTCTTTTGTTGACATGATTCGATGTACAACTATTATACAATATTGTTTGAGTAAGTATTGCTTAATATTAAAGTATTGCTCAATCATTGAACTACTCAAACTAGCCAGAGTACAACAATGAAAAAACAAAAAAAATCAAAAAAATAAAATAATGAGTGTTATGATCATTCACTCTGAGAGTACTCTGCTTCATCGAATAGAGTGTTTGTAGATCAGAAGAAGAAGAAGAAGAAGTAGTCGAGTAATATTAGTTATTGTATAGTAGGATAGTAGAACGTTTCGAAAATGCTCAACACCACCAATCAATTATTAAAGCAATCTGAAAGGTATAGTATATCAACTCAACTCAACTCAGTTCAGTTAACAAAGCTTGTTCATCATGTCAATCAATCTTACAACTTGTAAGAAACTATAGTTGGGTTGTCTGTCTACAACTACATACAATACATATGTAGACAATAAGATAGATAGATAGATGGATGGATGGATATAGAGAGAGTGGGACGAGTGATGATCAAGAAGATGATACATGTGACATAGCATGAAAGAGAGATGTTATATGCTATATGTTATTATACTGACTTGTGTTGTTACATATATTTTAGATTGATTATTTTCGGTACTAGAACATATTCAGCATCAGCAGCGGCTACACTTAAATTCAAACCAACCAATGAAACGATTGCAACTAGATTAGAAAAGGTATCTGTTAAATACCCATTCTACGATGCTCTTTTATTCCCAAATGATGTCAGCAACCTCAAGTTCAACTACAAGGAACTCTGGGAGAGTGTATCTGGTCTTGCAAGTGGATTCGTTGAATCAAATATCAACAGCAACGAGCGTGTTTTAACCAATGCCTCTCAAACTCCAGAACATGTCATCACCCAAATGGCTGCATCTACTGCTGGTCTAACCTTTGTACCAGTTGCTCCAGATTCCTCATTATCTCAAATTGGGTATGTAATTGAAGAGAAAGAAAGAGAAAACAAAAAAGATTGTTCTAACAATATATATTTGATTTGAATGACAATTAGAGATGCACTTGGAACATCATCAAGTAAAGCATTCATTGTAGAATCAAAACAAAAGAATAGAAAGATTATCGACGAGACAATTGCATATTTCCCAGAGTTGGAAAGAATGAATTTCAAGGAGCTCTTTAGAGACACGAGATACCCAAGCCTCAGATATATCATTTCCACCGGCGACTCGATCGAACCAGGAATCGATCTCTACAAAGAGTTTGTTCTCCAAGCCAACCTCTTAAAGAATAGAAAAACATCTGCCGATCAAATCTCTACCCTAATTCCATCTTCAAATGTAAATTTTTAAAAGACAATCAATCAATCAATCAAACATACAACATACAACATCCACATAATATATATAAAATATTAACTTATTTTGTTTGTTTTTGTTTTTTAGGGACTTGTTGGATATTCACAATCATCATTAATTAATACTGGAGATGCTTTGGTAGAGTTGTTGGGCGTCAAGATTCACTCACGTATTTCATTTAATGTGCCATTCCACTCTGGCACGTCATACGCATTCTACATGGGTGCATTGTCCAAGGGTGCTGTCATGGTGGTACCAAGCGACGCCTTTTCGGCCGAAGCTGCCTTGTCGAGCATCAGCAAGGACAAGTGCACCACGTTGTTTGCCACATCTGAGCAGATCAGCGCTATCTTGTCGAGCGACAAGTTTGCCAAGACCAACTTGTCATGCCTCACATCGGTCATTGTCGCCGGCAAGGTCAACGCCGAGACTGCCAGCACACTCATGTCCAAGGTGTCGACCGTCAAGTATGTCTTCTCGATCGACACTGTCACCTCGGTGCCAGGCCAACTCTCCGGTGCCGTTTTCAACGTTGCCACCGGTACCGGCCACCTCCTCCCAGGTATCGAGTCCAAGATTGTCGACAACAAGGTCTATACCAAGGGTTACCATCTCAACAATAGTACCAAGGATTGGTTGGAAACTACCATCTCTAATGTTAAAATTAATCAAGATGGTTCAATTTCAAAATTATAATAATCAAATAATCAAATAATCAAATAATTAATAATTAATAATAATAATAATATATACATTCCTTTTCAGACAGATTAATAAACAAACAAATAATAAATAATAATAAATAAACTTTGAAATACTATAAATTAAACAATAATATTAATAATAATATTAATATTAATATTAATATTATTCTACTCATTTCCATTGGTCTCAGTCGTGAATGATTCATTATGGGTTTATGATCGAGAAAAAAAATAAATTAAATTTTTAATATTCGACCAAAACAAAGAAGAACAAGTAAAACTCTCAAGTTCATTATCATTTTTATTTACAAACAGACAGAGAAAGAGAAAGAGAGAGAGAGAGACTGACTTGATCGAACAACAGAAAAAGAAAAGGAGAATATATTTCTTTGTTCATTCATCATCATCATCATCATCATCATCCTTCATCATCAACAAAATCATTTAATATCAACCAAACAGAATATTATATTTTATCATCAAATTGATTTATCATCATCATCATCATCGTCGTTAGTTTTATTTATATTATATTGTTTATCTCTATCATTTAAATCTTTTTAGTGTACTTATAAAAGTATAGTATTTGTTTATCTATCGTACAAACAATATATTACCTATTTATTAAATCAATCATTCATTCATCAGTTTTTTTTTATTGTTGAAAAGTATTAATACTTTTGTTTCATCTTTAGAGAGTTCTTTAATAAAGATGAAATTAAAATCAACAGTTAAAACTTATAAAGTTGTAAGTAGAATAGCAAAATAAAGAGAAACAATGAATTTCATTGTGGTTATTGTTAAACTGACTAACTTTATTCTTTTTTTTTTAAATACTTTTGTATATGTTTAGAATTCGACTGAAAAGCATTTAATAGATTATTTAGTACATTGTCCAGAACCAAAGTTATACGATTGTTTGGTTAATTTTACTGAATGGCCATTTGAGAAAAATGTAAGTACTACTATGTAATATAAATATATGAATATCATATTTCAATATACTAACGGTTTGTGTATAATATAGGATGATTTAAATCATTGGAACGATTTATTAGACAGATTTGAAGAGATTTTTCAAAGATTGATTCAAACCTATACACCTCCAAAATATGTAACTTCATTATCATCTTCCACCTCTTCTACGACGTTGTCTTCTTCGACATCATCAAACTCATCAACAACCTCATCATCATCATCAACAACAACAACCGCCACAACCGATCAACCGACAACACAACAATCTCAACATCAACAACATGTTGTATACTCTCCAATACTTTTGAAACCAGACCATATTACAGAAGACCAATACAATAGAGACAAATCATTCTTGATAAATATTTTGAATTTTACCAAATCACTTTTGTATTCTTGTAATTCAATCAGTATTTATCATTCATCAGAGGTATGTCAAATCAAATCAAAAACAAATAATAATAAGAATAATCAATCAATCAATCAATTCTTTTTCTTTTTACTTATTCTCTTTTTTTTGTTTTTGTTTTTATATATTTTCATAGGAATTATTTCAATTGTTAGCATTTAATGATTTTGAAATTGTTTGTGGAGTATTACAAGTATTGAATGCATTGTTGACCAATCAAAAATATGTAAAAGAAAATCATACTCTTTTACAAACATTATTGATTCCAAAAGTTGCCATGTTTTCTCAAGGTTTCTCTGAGAGTCATCTTGACCTTTTAGCATGTTGTAGTGAAACTTTAGAGGTAAATAGAATATATAATAATTCATAGATCTATTTATTATTTCTTATATTAATTTATCTTTTTTTATTTTTAGTTACCAAAATCAATTTTTAATACAACATTTGAATTTTATGAACCAAAACCAAAATTTGTAAATAATAATACATCAACCACAACAACAACCACAACAACTACCTCTTCGGATACATTTTCAAGTATTACAACAGCACCTGGTGGAAAGGTGGTGATCAGTCTACACCACATTGACAGAAACGAAGAGAATGTATATGCATTTGTAAATAGAATCCTTGGCAAGCGAACGCTGTTGGACGACGACTTGTTTGCAATCTACTATCGCTTCCAGCTGGCGCGTGCAATGTTGTCGCCCAAGGCACGCCAAAAATGGGTCGAGATGCGTCTTTTGACTGTCAACCTATTGTACCAGCCAACATTGACGGGCGAGCAGCGTGCATGGCAGGGGTTCCCCGAAGTGTTGGTTGAAGAGCCCGACTTTATCAACGAGCTGATCGAGTTGTTGCGTCAGGGTACAGGTGGATTGGGCACGATCGCCAGCACGGTGATGGTTGCTGCCATCGACACATTGTCGGTGCTGACGCTGACATTCCCAACCAACAACCTCAACAACGCGTTGGTCCGCACGCTCGCACCTCCAGCCGGCTTCTTTGCAGCGGTTGTGCGCAAGTGTGTGTCGATTGTCGGGGGAGAGGTCGATCCCCTCAATATTGGAAACTACTCGACCGCCTTTATCAAGTCGGCGTTTACATTTATCTACAATATCGCGTCGACCAACAAGAACTTGGTGCATGCCAGTGGCATCTTCCAGGCGTTGTTGCCGATCCTCAGACTGCGTCTAACCACCCTGTTTGGCTTGAATGTGCAAATCACGGCACTCAAGATCCTCCAAACTATGATGTACTACAAGATCTCCAATATTGAGATTGTTGGTGAGCAGGATGTGTTGCGGGACTGTATTGCCGGGCTCGGTGAAGAGGTTGCTCACGTTGCATCGCTGCCTGTTGTAGAAGATGTCAAGGAAGAGCTCGCTGTCGAGAACAAGCGTCTCGCCTACCTCAACCAGTACAAAGCACACCTCGAAAAGAAGCAGAAGCGTCAGTCACAGGCACAAGCATCAGCTGCTGCAGCCGCTCTCGTGTCACCTCCCAAGAAGCTGCTCAACCTCACCATCAGCGACGATGTGAGTCGCGTTGACGAGCGTTTGTTTGGCGTCGACTATCCACCACGTGTCAACAAGAAAAAGTGTGTCATTGTGCACGAGATGCTCAAGCTGCTCATCCCTATCGTCAGCAGCAATGGTGTACCACGAACCATCCTCAACCAGGTGATCGACAGCGCGATGATCCAGATTATCAAAAAGATTCTGGCCGAGTCATTGCACTTTTTGCCATCCACCATCAACCAGGCCATCCTGCTCCCCACACAACTCATCCAAAATGAACCAACATGTTTTACAGCATTGCAATCTGGAGGATTGATCCAAACACTCTTTGACTATATTGTCAATGGTACAAACGCCATTCTCGGCATCAAACCAACCGACAAGGATAATGACGTTGAAATGGGATCAAGTAGTTCTGATCAACCATCAGCCGTCTCTTCTTCTTCTTCTTCAAAACAACAAGAGTTAAATTCAGAAGTCATTTATACTATACCATCAATGTTGAGCTCATTTTGTTTGAATCAAAATTTCAAGACCATGTTGGTTGATAGCAAGTACTTGGACAAGTTTGTAAAGATCTTTTCGTCACCCAAGTACATATCGTCATTCAACAGTCGTACATTTGGTATGATTGGTGCCGGTCTCGACGATTTGTTGCGTCACCACCAAGAGTTGCGTCAATCGACCATTGTAGCAACCATCAGTCTTGTACAGGATGTCAAGAATTTGGATTGGAGCAATAGTGCATTGCAAACACAAAACATTGGTGTCTTCACCTTGGCCACCAAGTTTTTAACCAATCTCTTTGCCAATAGTGAGCAGGATCGTCATTTTATCCAACAAGGAGGGTTGGATCAACTGATTGAATTGTTTACAAGTGCTCCCATTATCGATTTAATGAAGGTTCCACATACAAATAGTAATAGTAGTTCTGCTAGTACCAACTCGACTACCAATGCATTTAATCGTAATCTTTTAATATTCAAGTCACTTTCCATCAACAATACATCTGCAGTATTAAAGGCAATTATCAAGGCATTGAATGTAAACTTTACACAACTCGATAGTATTTCAATGTGGAGAAAATCGAGAATTATTCGTGACTGGGTACCTGAAGAGGTACAAAACAAGGATGGCATCCAAACAACCGTCAAAATCATTGGAGCTTTGGTTCAAATCCTCACCAGTCTTATCAAGGAGCATCCAGATGATATTCCAGTATCTGTACTCGATGAATGGGCTAGTGAAGCTGGTGTCGAGGCCAGTGGATCACTCAGTCTCTTGCAACGATCATTGTATTGGGAGAAATTGTCTCCAAAGAATTCACTTTGTTTTACCACAATTCCACACTCACCACCATCTCAAACTCTTACCGGTAAAAGAAAGGAAAAAGAATCTCCAAAACAAAAGGAAGTAATTCCTGAATCTTTAGATGATAATAATAGTACTAGTAGTACTACTACTACTACTACTAATGCTCAACCAGCAGCACCACAGGTTAAAGAGGAATTTATGCTTCAAAGATTATTGGATGATTTGGAATATCTTTCACATTATTTTGTTGAAAGTTTAAATCCATTCAACAAACGTGACCATTCAACAGATTCAAAATCAGAATTACTTATCAAAACAATTTCTAAAAGTTTATTATTTTGGGTACAATGGAAACCTGAAGGTAAAAAATAACAATCAAAAAACAATAGCAAAGATAAAGATAGATAAAGGTAGATATTAATTTCTTCTTTTTTATTTTTTAATTATAGAAACATTTAATCAAGAAATTTATTCAGATTATATTACAATAATATTTGATGAAATATCAAAGTTATTCTTCCCACAATTAATCAATTCATTGTATGAATCTCAATTCTTTGTTCATTTCTTTGATATTTTAAATCAATTATTATCATTGTATCAATCAAATCAAAATGATACTCATTTAATTTCTGCTATCAAATCGTAAGTTATAAAAGAATTAAGTAATCAATTAGTAGGGTCTTCAAGTTTACTAATCATTTCATTTTTGTTTATTTTATATTTAGTGGAGGAAATTTAATTTTATCATCAATTAATCAATTAACAATTAAAACTCAATCACAAACGGTTAAACAAATCATTGAGAAGATTCTTCCAACATTGATGAGTAATATTTCTGGATTTTGGTATATGAATGATTTATCAACGTTGCCATTGAAAAAGGCAATTCTCGAAGTTGTCTATTTGTTTGTTAGCAAGGCTGATGAATTGTCAGAACCAGTTGTACAACAACCAAGAAAGAAGTTTTCTACTCCTGTTGTATTCACTCCAAGTGAATCGACTATTGGAATGCTCGTCGATATGGGCTTTGTAAGAGAACACATTGTCAATGGAATGCGTTCCCTTCAATCAAATAATATTGAACATGTTACAGATTGGATGCTTACAAATCCATATATTGAAGAACCAGTAGTAGCACCCGTACCAGTAGCAGCAGTAGTAGCACCTGCAGCAGGAGAAGTACCAGCAGTTGTACCTGCTGCAGCAGAAACAGTACCAACAACAACAACAGAGACTGTAGTTTCAGAGGAAAAACCAAAAGTTGAATCACCAAGATCACCAGTCACTCCACAACCACCACCACAAGAAAAGGTTACTATTGCCAAATTGGTACAAGATCTCAAACCAACTCTTTTGGATAATACTATGAAGTTATTGAATAATTTAAAGGAAAATTCTTCATTGGTTGATACAATCTACAAAATGATTCTTTATATTGCAAAGGATTCAAAGATACCTGAAATTAAAGATGAAATTGTCGATAGATTATTATCTGAAATTCAATCATCATTTTCAAAGTATGTAACAACAAAAAAGTATATATTGTAATTATTGTCAATAATTATTAACCTTTTATTTTTCTTTTATTTTTTTAGTGATGAAAATCAAGGAAAGAATTTAGGATATTTATTCAATATGATTCAGAAATTGAATAGTGTCACTGATGTTCATCAATTATATTTGGACAAGGGATTGTTATTAATATTGTTGGGATATTTAACTGATATTGTTCATAACAAAGCTCAAACTATATTTACCGAACAACCACCATCAACATCAACAACAACAGACGACACTGAATTGGTAAAACAAATATCAGATTGGAATAATCTATTGTGTGTCATGTACGATTTGGTTAGAGATCCATGTATAAAGCCAGCCGATTATGACTTTGAAACAGAAGAGAAAAAGATGATGGAATGCAAGGAAGAAGTGGATGATGAAAAGAGCCATCTTTTAGATACGTGCTTAGAGTTGCTTAGATTATCAAACAACCAGAATCACCCAGCCATTTCGAGTCTTGATGTATCGTTGCTCTCACTTATCAAGGCACTTACCGAGAATCATGGTTTGTCTGTACAGTTCCTCAATAGTGGTGGTGTAGAAACGTTGACCGAAAGAGTGTCGGTTGTTACACCAAGTAGAGAGGTTTACACACTTTCATCGGATATTATCAAAAAGACAATGGACGATAATATGAATGTTCTCCAACTCGACCAGATTGTCATTCGTAACACCCTCAGTTCACCAAAGTACTCAAAGGGAATGCCACCCAAGACCTATTTGACATTGTTTGCCAATTATATTGTACCAAATCCAACTATATTCCTACGTGCAAGTGTCGATCTGTGTAGAATGACCCAAAACAATGCCATCAATCTTGCCAAGACACCACCACCTCCTCTTCCATTTAGCGAGAATGCTCGATTCCCACATATCGTAAAATTGGCAGATGTCATTGTTAAAGCTTTATTGTCTCCAGAACCAACTGTCAACAATAATATTAGCAGTAGTGCTAGTAGTTCGAAAAAACCAACATCAATACCAGTCTTTAGTAAAGCAAATATTCTAAAGTTGATGTGCGAATTGTGTATGGTACCAATGTTCCACGACATTATACTCGAGTACAAGGACGCTCAACAAACCGATTTGTTGGACCATGTCATTGAACATTTCATTCCACAGGGACATGAAGGTGTAGTGTCTACTCACTTGTCGGCATGTCTATTCCTCACCTCGCTCTTGGGAACTGAACGTGGACGAAACAGATTGATTGGATTGATTGCCAAGCACTTTACCCATATCCATCGTGAGCGTCGGTCGGTTGGACAAGACCGCACAGATCTACCCAGACTGACATATCTCGTCAGCTTGGTGTCACTCATTCTCAATCTGCCACCACACATGTGCTCCAACGACATTTTCAAGACAATGATTGAGAATGACATGATCAACATTTTGCTCGAAGTGATGGACGACATTGACCTCATGAATGGAAAGGGTAGTTTGCTGGTCATCTCGTTGTTGCAAGCGATTGGACACTTGACCAAATACATCTCTGCACCACCTGCCAGCGACGACAATAAGAATCTCATCAATATCTTTGAGTTGCCTTCAAGCAACTTTGAAACCTATTTCAGAAATAGTCGAGATTCGTTGCATCTCCCATCGGTTGGTGGCAGTGCTGCCGCCGCGTCCAATCCATTGGCCGAGTATGGGTATGCACCCATGGGCAACGAGCACGCATTTGACCCGATGCGTGTTGGTGGCCTGTTTTCGAGAAATCCAGGGTTGCAGGGCATGCACCATCCCCGTTATCATCTCAGTGTCGACGGTGGCAACAACCTCATCATCGAAGCAGAGATTGACGGCGATGAAATGGATATCGACGATGGGTTCCAGGAAGACAGCAGTCAGAGCGACGATCAAGATGATGAAGATCTTATGAGCGACGAAATGGACCAAGAAGACGACGACGATGACGACGACGATCTCTACGAACAAGACGATGGCGAAGAGGAAGTGGTCGATGGCGAAGAAGGCGACGATGAAGAAGACCTCATCGACGACGAGTTTGACGAAGAAGACGACAGAATCGATGCATCGCTCTTTGAGAATCTCTCACACGCCTCTGCACAAGAACGTGCCAATATCATCAACTTTTTAAACAATGATCCTATATTTGCACAACTCAACAGTCTTGCCAATGCCAACCATTTGAATCAACACAATTTCGAAGCCATCAATCAATTGCTCCGTCCACTTGGCATAGGTGTTGGTGAAGGCGGTCGTCCCATTATCCAAGCTCCAAACCTTGGTGGTGGGTTGATCAGCGCCAACAGCTCAGCCATATCAAACGCAGTGCCAAGCAGCAACCATGATGAGCTCATTGCCTATTCAGTGTCGTTTGAACCAGACTTGGTAAAGTTATTGACCAAGATTACAAAAGAAGAAGAAGCTGCTCAAAAACTCAAGGACAAGGAGGCCAAAGCAAAGGAAAAGGCTGAAAAGGCTGAAAAGGAGAAATTAGAAGCTGCTGAAAAGGCTGCTGAAAAAGAAAAAGATGAAGAACAATCAAGTGCTAGTCCACCACCACCACAAACCACTACAGAAGAGTCAACACCTTCAGCATCATTGCAATCTCAATCCCCTTCACTACAAACATCTTCTCCAACTGCTTCAACTCCATCAGTTCCATCTCCACAATTGGCTTCTACTTCAATTCCAACTAGTACCGATAGTTCAACTGTTGTTTCTCCAAGAAATAGCAATCAAATGGATGTTGATCAAGAGGTGGCCGAAGAACCAACATCTTTGACTGAATCACCAATAGTACAAGTTCAATCACCAATTGTACAAAGTCAACAAACTTCATCAGATGTAGTTGTTCCCGTTGCAGATGTTGTTAATCCTCAACCACCTTCAACAGAAGTTGAAATGAATGATGAACCATCTTCATCTTCATCGACTACTACAACCACCACAACTACTTCTACCTCTACTACTAGTACAACAAATGATGAACAATCTAGTTCTTCTTCTTCTTCTACTACTACTGCTGCTTCAACTTCAGTTCCAGTTCCAGCTGAACCAGTTGATTTAGGAATTGATCCAGCATTTTTAATGGAATTACCACCCGATCTTAGATTGGAAGTATTATCAACCCAACTTCATCAATTACATGAAGCTCATCCAAACCTTGTCATTACTAGAGACTTGCTTACAACACTTCCAAATGATATCCAAGAAGAAATCCTTGAACAAGAAAGAATTATCATGTCTAGAAGAGTACCAGTGATTCCAGCCAACATTGAGATGGCACAAGAAATGGATAATGCATCGTTTTTGGCTACACTGCCACCCGATCTCAGAGAGGAAATCTTGCTCAGTCAACCAGAGGCATTCCTCTCGACCCTTCCACCAGAGCTCCATGCCGAGGCTGTTAGACTCCGTGAGCGTGCCTATGCTCGTGCAGTACCCCCAGCAGGACTGGCCAACAATCTCGGTGGTGTACCAGCTGGCATGCCCATGCGACAAATATCGTCAAAGACTGCACCAAAAGCAAAGAGCGTCCCCAACCAAACGGGATCGATGGTTCGTCACGAGAATCTTTTGCCACTCATCAAGATACTCTATCTCGACCAATCGTGGAATCGTCAACAACTCTATTTGATTCTCCAACAGATTTGTACATTTACCGAGAGTAGAAACCATCTCATGACCACATTCTTCCAGATTCTATTGTCGTCTCATTACTCGTCTGCACATACCAAGCAGAATCCAGACATTGTCTACTCGGACACTTATCGTTGGTCGCCATTGGAAGATCCGTTCCATGCAACCATCAAGGGTAAACAATCACGTGTATTTGACGAGTGTCAGCACCCACCTCTATTGGTTGTCCGTCGTATCCTCGATATTATCCAAAACCTACTCAACAACAATCCAAACTGTGTCAAGTGGATGCTCACCGAACAACCATTCCCAGAACCAGTCTCGAAAAAGGGTAAAGAAAAGGATGTAGATATGACCAAGTCGACACTTCCACTGTGGAAGTTGTGTTCGATCATCAAGAACAAGGAAATCATCACCAAGACATCCAACATTGACAAGTTGGTATCAATCATTTTAATGATTGTCGACTATCAAATCTTGCAAAAACAAAAGCTTCCTCAATTTGATCAAAAGTATTTGAGCTACATTATCGAAGCAATGTTGAATAGCAATTCAAATGATATCAAGCCAGCCACACTTTTAATCAAACTTTCCCAAGAGAGTCGTCCAGTAGTTTTGGAAGAATTAAATGTCAATGTCAAGATACTTGTTGGACAGGTCATCAAACATTTGAACCAACTCAAATCATTGTTTACATCGTCACATTTGTCACCTGCCACCCTAGTAGCAATGTACCTTCCATCATCAAACAAGGAATCTAATCTTTTGCAAATACTCACAACCATCAATTCGATCATTCATTATTCAAAGAGTACAACCCCACCTTCTGTAAATTCACCATTGGTAGTTAATAATTTACAACCACCTCAATTACCAGGAGGTCAACCAATTCCAAATCCAATTCCTCCAGTTGCTGTTGCAGCTGCAGTTCCAGCTCAAGCTCAAGCTCAACCACAATCACCTCCAGCTCAACCAACTCAACCAACTGACGCCACATCAACCTCTTCTCCCACCACAACAACTACGACTACTTCATTACCACCAATGAATATAACAATTGGAGAATACTTTAAAAATGGAGAATTTGAAGCACTTTGGGATGTTATTAAATCATTTTTAACATTTATCAATACTAGTGAAAAGGAAGATCCAAATGCCAGTGCCTCAATGACTGACAACAACAATAACAACAAACCAGCAATGTCAAACAAACAAAAGTTGACCAAACATAAAAAGTTGGCCAATGTACCAATGTCATCGTTGATATTGCCATTGATGGAAATCTACTTTTTGTTAAACTCTCCACATCCAGAAAAGATTGCCAATAATACTGTGCCATCATCGCCAAGTCTTACCGGCTTGCGTTTGAGTGCTCAACAAATCCCAACACAGTCTATTAGCGGTAGTAGCAGTAGTGGTAATCTCAGTCAGATGACCACCTCATTGTCGTCTGGTTCCTTGTCGTCTCTAGCCTCGACCAATACCCCACCCATGGTCGATCAACAGACCATACGCTTCTACGAGTTTGTTGATCAAAACAAGAACCTCATCAACGATCTCATTCGTCAAGACAATAACTTGTTGAACAATTCATTCTCGGTTTTACTCAAGGTACCCAAGTTCCTCGACTTTGACAACAAACGAACCTACTTTAGACAGTACTTCCAATCGAGAAAGGATCGTGCCAATACCATCCGTCTCAAGATTCGTCGTAACCATATTTTTGAAGACAGTTATATGCAACTTAGAATGCGTCCTGCCGATGAACTCAAGGGCAAGTTGCACATTCAATTCTCTGGTGAAGAAGGTATTGATGTTGGTGGATTATTGCGTGAATGGTATTTGGTGTTGTCTCGCGAGATGTTTAACCCCAATTATGCACTGTTCAAGGTGTCGGCTGCCGACAATGTCACCTTCCAACCCAACCCAGAAAGCTACATCAACCCCGACCATCTCTCATACTTTAAGTTTGTTGGTCGTATGATTGGCAAGGCATTGTACGACGGTCAAATGCTCGATGCCTTTTTTACTCGTAGTTTCTACAAACACATGCTCGGTCTACCAATCACCGTGACTGATATGGAGGCAATCGATCCACAATTCCACAAGAACCTTATATGGATGTTGAACAATGACATTACCAATGTTGTCGACCTCACCTTTACCTCAGAGATTGATATTTTCGATTCCACCAAGGTCATTGATCTCAAACCAAACGGTGCCAACATCCCAGTGACCGAAGAAAACAAACATGAATACGTTCGTCTTGTTGCTCACGCTCGTATGACCAACTCGATCAAGGAACAAATCACCAACTTTTTGGAAGGATTCCATGAACTCATTCCCAAGCAGTTGATATCCATCTTTAACGAATTGGAACTCGAACTGTTAATTTCTGGTCTTCCCGAAATCGATATCGACGATCTCAAATCCAACACTGAATACACTGGGTACACTGCAGAGTCGCCACAAATCAACTGGTTCTGGAATGTCGTTGCCGAAAAGCTATCAAACGAAGAAAAGGCTCTCCTCCTTCAATTCGTTACCGGTACGACAAAGGTGCCACTCGACGGCTTCAAGGCACTCGTCGGCATGTCCGGTCCACAAAAATTCCAAATCCACAGAATCAGAGGAAACTCTCATAGATTGCCCACAGCTCACACTTGCTTTAATCAAATCGATATTCCTGAATATGATACCCAAGACCAACTAGAAAAAATGTTAAAGATTGCCATCACTGAAAATTCTTCTGGTTTTGGTTTCCATTAAACAATTGCCATGAGACCTCATATATAATATAATCTCTCCCTATCCCATTTTTCAATAAAAATAACTGTATAGTATTATTTCTTTTATCCCAAAGAGACATTCTCAAACAGATAGAGTATTGGCAGCGATGATCAACATTGATGTTGAAATTATAAACACAAATAATAATTATTAAATACTTATTTTTAATTAAAATATACAAATATAAATAGTGATTTAATAATATTGATGACTATTAAAGTCTCTTTCCCTCTTTTCTTTGTTGGTAATTATGAACATATTGTTTGATTTCTTTGGTATACGACGGCAGGCCAAATAATTGAGTATAATGTTTGAATGTTGGACTTGCAGAGATACAATCGAAAAGAATAAAGAAATCTTTTTCTTCATATTCAGTTGTTCGGACTCCACCGCTATATTCTAGTATCCTAAGACTCGATGAACCATTGATTAATTTGAAAGAAATTAATACATTTTTTTATATACATGGCACCAATAAAAACCAACTAGTCTTGGTAATTGATCCAATTTCCATTCATTGAAATCTATACGGCCATGATCTATATTTATAGTATGTTCTGAAATAGAAAGGTATTCGATAGTCGGTGGAAATATTGGTGTGCTTTTGGGCAGACTTGTAATTTGAAATGACAATCTAGTCAATGTTGTCAGTGGAAATATGTCGATCCAATCTTGGTCGAAGTCAATACAGTGTACTTGTTTGAGTTGTTTTGAATGCCGTTGAACAAATGCTTTGAATGAAATTGATTTCCCAATAACATGTTCGTCACTGATGTCGATGAGATTGCTTGGAATCGTGACTTCAGATCCAAAGTTGAATTGATCATAGTCTCGGTTCTCTAATATCCAAATGAATCAGACTAGGTATGAATACCAACCCTGATATAGGTAAATTGAGAATTTGATCGATTCCAAATAGTGATTGGAAACCAGAATATCCGTTTTTTCATTGGTTTGCAAACACTCCAAAGATGGCATTGGCAGAGACAAAAATCTTTTGTTGGCATCATGGTATTTTTCACGATTGTAAATGGTTAATGACCGTATCGATGATGTAAACAATGTAGCAAATGTTCGATTTCTCTCGAGATAACCGACCGTTTTGATGAGTGTTGGCAGATGGACACACCAAAAATCAGTTGGTTTCTTACTATTCTCTTGAATGACTCTGTAATAAAAGCTAAATAAGAGTATTTCAGAAAATGTGATTTAGAGTCGAACCTACTCAAAGCAATCTTGATCACTTTCAACCATCTCTTGCAAACACTTGCCAATGATATGATTTCATTTGAGTATCTCGTTATACCATCATCTATTGAACACTCTTTGAATAATAAACCGAGTATGAATTGATCTAAATAGTGTGATAATTGTTGTTGCTGTTGTGGTTGATTCATTATCTATTTATCTTTTTAAGAGTGAGCGGCTCAACATTGGGCTTGTTCAGAGAAAGAGATATTAAAAATGTTTTGGTAGAATACATTGTTATAAAGGGCTTAGTCATTCACATTATATTTATATACCAATATTAGGGGTCCACCAGACTGGTCACCAGAGTTTTATGTGTTCTTTCATCAATATTATTATTCTAAATCACTATTTTCCAATCTCATTGTATTTCTTTTTAAAATTTATAAGTAATATAAATTGATCCTTTTTGTTTCAATTTATTTTCAACTAAATCTAATATTTTCTTTCTTTTGTTTTTTAATAATGTCTTGTGTATCACTCTCCAAATCATTTGGTAATAGATGCTCTTCTCTATCCCTTCTCTTTTGCAAAATATGCTTGCCCTCTTTTATTCGAGGCATCACACAAATAAATTGTGTTGGGAACAGCCTGAGGTAATTGTTGTAAATAGATAAAAAGAGGGGTGGCATTTTGGGATGATAATCATGATACATTTCATCTAACCCTCCCCTTTTCTCCAAAAAAGTTTGTCCCTTTGATTCAAGATTGTAAAACATATCCTGTTGCTGGTTCACTGAAATTAAAGTACCTCGAATCGAGTAACCCAACAACTTTGTGAATACCTCTTTGTTATCTAGAAGTAATTCTCCAATTCCCAAATGTTCATCAATTTTTTTGGCAATATGATTGAATGCCTGAGAGTATCCAAATGATTGACTAAAAAAAAATAATGATCAAATTATTAGGTAACAAATATAAGTATATGTTGTTCTTTACATACTATTGATTTAAAAAAAAATCTTTTTGTTTACTAAAATCACTACTAAAGATGTATTCTAAAAAGAAAACAATTGCTAACGGTAATCCTCCCAAGTCTTGTAACATTTGGAGTATAAATCTGTTTGTCATCCAATCCTTGTTGAGATTTGAATACGTATTTATCCAATCAAATACAGCTTGTGGAGACAATAAATCAACTTGTACAAATCCAAAGGATTGATTTGTTGGATCCTTTACTCTTATAAGCAATTCTATTCTTGATGTACCAGAAACTATTGGCTGGATTACTACACCGCATAAACTTGAAAAGTATGTGTATATCGATTGACTAAATAAAAAAAAAGTTTGATCAGTAAAATTGTACAAAATGTTGTCTGTTTTGGCATACAAAAGATTTTTTGATAAACCTCCTGGGTAGATATCTTTCAACTTGTATTGATCTTCATACTCCAAAAGACATTGAATTTCATCAAGATGTAACAAGAAAAAAATATCTGATCCAATTTCGTGTTTGATCTGAAATATCACTTGATCGATATAAAAGTATTGAAGTAGGCTCTTTGCTTTTAACAAATTGTAGAATGTCAAAAAGTCATAAGAATAGCCCTTTGATTTAAAATAATAACAGTGTGCAAATCGAATACCAATGATCGTTCCGTGATTTAATTCAAGGTCATCTGTTGTAATGGCATATTCATTTTTAAAGTCCAACGATAAGGAAAAGAAGGTCGAATTGGGTAAGATGGTTGTCCATGATTCAGAGAGTCTTCTTGCACATTCGTTTGCAAGTGTAGTCTTTCCAATTCCTTTTCCTCCGATTAAAGCAGGTATATTCAAGTCCATCCTTCCATATCTTGCTGGAGACCAGAACCTAGTTTCAAGCATTCTCAAATTTCCCCTGACCATCGTTATTATTTCATTAATTTGATTTTCTCTCTCCATTAAAGGTAAAATTTTGTTGGTATTGTCAGAGCATTGAATCTTCTTTTCTAAAGTTGGTTCAATTTCTTTGATGATTTTTGAAATAGGGCCCAGAAAAGAACCATTAATCCAATTTGTAACAGAGGATTCTGTTAAGGTCATTTTTATCTCCCTATATATATTGAAAAGAAATAATAAAAAAAAAAAAGAAGAACAACATTCAAAATTTCTTTCCTTTATCCCCTTTTTTAATTTTAATAAATAAAATTGATAAAAGATTGATCATCTAAAAAAAATAAAATTAATTTGTTAGATTATCCATCTCTTATATTTCTTAGTAATTATACAATTGCCATTTATTTTTGTGGTGGTGGAACTGGTGATTTTTTGATTGGCATGAGGAGCTCTTTATCCAAATCTATAACCATTTCCTTTTCATTTAAATAATTGACAAGTTGGTCCCTTGAAATACACGATAAATGTTTTTCCAAAAGATTAAAATGAATTGATGGTTTAAACCTAAAATAAATAATAAATATATTAATATTGTACATTTGTATCTATTTGTTTTTTTTTTCGTACGATTTAATAATTGGACCAAAAGTACTATCTCTAAATTTAGTTGATAATATCTTGTCCAACAAATATTTTTGATGATTAAATGATGTACAGTACAATCGATGGAATTGACAATAATTATTGGTTACAACTGCCTTTGATACATTGAAAGAGTGTTTTACCAGTTCATTCTCCAATAAATTAAATTTGTTATAAATTGGTAATAAAGTGTCGATATCTTTTTTTTAGAGAAGAATAAAATTAATTAATATGTTTAGATAAAACGTTTGTATTCTCTTTCTATTCTTACCTTCGGGACTAAAACAAATAGTAAACAAGATATCATAAGATACAAATTCGTACATGTATTTACTTAGTATATGACTTGAATATAATTCTTTAATTTGTGATAAGCATTGCCCAAATTCTTGAAAATCATTCTAACAAATAAAATAAAAAAGATAATTAATTAATCAATCTCTTTTTTCAATTCTTTTTTTTTTTTTTATGTATACATACATTCTCCAAAGAAATAATTGCATTTGTTTCATAAACTTCCAAAGTAAAGGAATTTCTTAAATGTTGAACAACCAAATCTTGTCTAATTGATTTCATTTGATCCAATGTATAATCATAATTTCGAGTTTGTTTATATTTACGAACCAACATTGGTAACCATGTTTCCATTACATTTTGAGGTCTAACTTTTGTTGGGTCTGCTTTCTATTAAAATAAAATAATTAAATTAATAAATTAATAAATAAATAAATAAATAAATACTAATACTAGAACTACAACTACTAATTACTTACAGTAGTTAATCTTAAATATTTCTTTTCATATTCTTTACAAGTTCCAACAATTGGACCTTCATCTTCATCCTCCCCTTGTTGTTGTTGTTGTTCTTTTTTAGGTTGTGATGGAGGTGGTGTTGACTTTGGTTGTTGTTGTTTTAAAGTTGATGGTGGCGTTTTAGGTGTATCAGATGCATCAAATACTAATTTTTGTGGAGTATGAGATTTTTGATCAGAGCCTCTTGTGTTGTTACTTTTTCTAACTTGTGGTGATGGTTGTGGAGAAGCGTATGGACTTAGTTCCTCTAGTTGTCTTCTTCGTGGTTGTGGTGGAGTTGATAAATCACGTGTATCGGTATGTTGAACACGTGTAATTGGGGAATATAATACACGATCCTTTTCACTCTTTAATGCCTTTTCTCTTTCTCTAATCTTATCTTTATAACTTTTAAATTGTGGTTTTCTTTTATCTTCTTTTTCTTCTTCCTCTTCTTCTTCCTCCAATTCTTCTTCATCATCCACTTCTTCTTCATCCTCATCTTCATCCTCCACTTCTTCTTCTTCATCTTCATCACGGTGATACTGTTTTACTTTTCTATTATTTCCAGCAGCAGGTGATGGTGAATTTGAACTGAATCGTTGGTCGAGTGTTTTGGTTGGTGTATTGTATGGTGATTTTGCTTTTTCTTTCTCTTCGTTGATCAAGTCTCTAAGGTCACCCTTGAATTGTGACGGCGATGGTGATGGCGATGGAGACGATCGATGATCACGTTTCTCTTGGTTTATCAAATCCCTTAGATCACCCTTGAATTGTGATGGTGACGGTCCATCATCTCTAGAATTATCAGAATATTTTGATGGGGTATGATTTCTTCTTTCTTGATGATGGTTCACAATTGTATCTCTGAGATCACCTCCTTTGAAATTTGGTGAAGAAGAAGAAGAATGATTCTGATTTCTTTGTTGTTGATCTCTAAATGGAGACTCTCTTTCTCTTTCTCTTTCTCTATCTCGATCACGAGAAGGAGAATCGAATCTACCACCAGATGACGATTGTTGTGATTTACGACCACCACCACTATCATGATGTTGATCTGATCTCTTGTCTTTGAATCTATTGTTGTCAATTGGCGATGATGATGATGAATAGTTGTCGCTGTAATCTCTTTTATCACGTTTAGGTGATGGAGACGCATGGTCTGTTGGAATGGAATATTCCTGGCTGCCAAATGGTGAGTCAAAATCTCTATATACGCGTTGTGGAGTTGGAGATGGTGCCGGTGACGATCTATGATTATTATCATTATCTCTACCATCTCTTTGGTTTCCTCCTCTTCCTCCACCACCTACATGATGGTGTTGTTGTTGTTTCATTGGAGATTTGTTAAAGACACTATTTCGATGGTTTCCACCTCTATCATTACCATGATGGTTATAACCACCTCTTCCACCACCACCTCCATAGTCATCTCTAAACCCTCCTCCTCTTGCTCCTCTTTTCTGCATATGACCTCCTCTATCTCTTCTATCAAATCTTTGGGTGCCGCCACCACCCTGGCCATGACGTGGTGGTTCTTGCTGTTGCTGTTGATCTTGATCATATTCTTCTTCATCTTGTTCTTCATATGAGTCTTCTTGTTGGTCATCACCACCATATTGTTCTTGTTGTTGTTGCTGTTGTTCTCTTAGTTGTTGTTCTTTTAGTTGTTGTTCTTCTTCATCCTCTTCAGTAATCTCAACCCAAGATTTCCCACTTAACATCCTTTAAAGTATTTTAAAAATAATATATATATACTAATATATATATATTTATATATCTATGTATGCCTAAAATTAAATTAATGATCATCAATGAGTGTCATACATCTTTGTTATATATTGACTCTCAGATGTATGACACCCCCTTTTTTATTTTAATATTTTTTTTTTAGTTTTTGATGTACGTCTCCTGAGAGTATCTCATAGTCATCTTGATTGATCTTTCTTTCTTTATATATATATAACACATATATATCTAATATACACAAATGGTTTCAATTAGACCATGTCAAGTATGTTGCAGCAGAGAATGAGAGAGATAGTTAGAGCAAAGAGATAAACAATATGACCACAATTTAGACTTACACTCTTCCTTCCTTACATATATAATGTTATAGGTCAGTGATTTGCTTGCTATGCAAAATGCAAATCTTACCTGTTTACCAGAAAACTATCAAATGAAATACTACTTGTATCATCATCTTACATGGCCACAACTCTCTTTTGTCGCTGAAGATGAAGGTAACAAACTCGTTGGTTATGTTTTAGCAAAGATGTAGGTGTTGTGAAACTAGACTATAGACAAGAGGATAGAATAGATCATCAACTATACAGCGTAATATCGATATTAACAAATGATTCTTCTTCTTCTTCTTCTTCTTGATGCTAGTGATGAAAACAATCCAAAGAAAGGACATATTACATCGTTGGCAGTTTTAAGATCACATAGAAAGCTTGGTGTAGCTACTAAACTTATGAAACAAGCTCGTATGTTTAGATATTAAAATGATTGATTGATTGATTGATTGATTGATTGATTGATTGATTGATTGATTGATTGATTGATGGAGGACAATAGAGATGACAATGGATGATATATGTGGAATATTAACAAATGCCATCTTTTTCTCTCACTCTCTCTCTTTTATAGAAGCTGCATTGGTTGAAACATTTGATGCTGAAGTAGTATCACTTCACGTTCGTAAGAGTAACAGAGCTGCATTCACATTATATCATGAAATTTTGAAATTCAAGTATGGATCACAAATATATATATACATATATTTATTTATGGAAAAAAACAATGGGATAACCTGGATCTGGATCCATCCTTCATTCGATTGATATTAATTAATTTCTATTATTATTATTATTATTATTTTAGGATCCAAGAAATTGAAAAGGAATATTATGGAGACAAAGAAGATGCATATTCAATGACATTGGCATTAAAGCCAGAGCATGAAATGACAATTAAAGATAAAGATTTGAAAAAAGAAGAAAAGAAACCAGAACCTATCAAAAAGGCTGCCAAAAAGGCTGCTGGTAAAAAGAAATAAATAATATAATATAATAATAATAAGAACAATAAGATATAATAATAAGAATAATATTAAGGATTTATATGTATATATTTTAAAAATAAGATATCAAGATCAATTTGATTTGATTTTGATAAGTTGATACTAGAACAATTTATTTGGAATTATTTTTACAATATTATATGTTTGGTTTGGTTTGGTTTGTTTTGTTTTGTTTGGATTAGTTGATTTAGAGTTTTGTTTGTTTTGGGTTGGGTTAGCGATTTGATTTGTTTTGTTAATATTGAGAAACCTTCGGGTGGTTGGATTGATTGTGATTAGATGATGTGAGACGACTATTTTAATAATACTACAGCCTGGTTTAATATGACTGGTTGAACCAATTAATTAATTAATTTTTAAAAAAGTTAATGGCGATGCGATGTGATGCGATTGTTTTGTTTGTTTGTGAGTTAGTAGTAGTGTGTGATGAGTGATGTAATGTGTGATGTGATGGATGGATGGATGAAAGTAGGATGAAATTCAATTATTATTATTATTATTTATACTAGCAAATGTGAATGTTAATATTATTATTATTATTATTAATTATTAACTATTAAGATTATGTTATGGTTATGTGTTTGTGGAAAAAAAGAAAATAAGGTTGGTGTGGAAAAAAAAAACAACTAGTATACAACAATATAAATATTCATGAATGAATGTGGAAGAAGAAAAAGTAATAAAAGAACAGTTGCAGTGAATGTGAAGGAAGAAATATGGTTGGATTGGGTTGGGTTGGATTGATTATTGATTAAAGTATGGGTGACCGGCAGATGATGAGGAAGATGAATGGTAATAGTATCCACGGGGAGTTTCATGACCTTCATAATTTAAATATGGGTGTGAAGGGATAGGAGGTTGTCTGGAGCCTTGACTAGGTTGTGGTTGTGACACTGACGAACTATCAATCTTTTGTTGGAGCTTGAGTTGTAATAGTGTCTTTTTGTCGGGCTGCGATTGGAGGGGTGGGCCTTGACGACCACCAACCGAGCCGAGCTGGGGTGATATGGCATGCGGAGATATACTACCATCCTTGTTACCACTACCACTACCCCCTCTTGGCGTAATAGAAGGTTCATAATAGGCATGTGGATGATGTGATTCACCAGGATATCCACCCTGAGTCATTTTACCATATACAATTGGTGGATACTGTTCTCCTCCTCCTACTCCTCCTCCAACCATAGATGGTGATTTACCACCTTGTGGAACAGCTGCTGGATTATGATGATGGTGGTGTGGATGTTGTTGTTGTTGTTGTTGTACAGATTGTGATGCCTGTTGTTGTTGTTGTTGGTAATGTACTTGTGCTTGAGCCTGTTGTTGTTGTTGTTGTTGTTGATGTTGTAATTGGTGTACTTGAGCCTGTTGTTGTTGTTGTTGTTGATGGTGTTGTAATTGATTGGTACAGTAGGATATGCTGCGGTCATACTCGACCATTTTAGCGTAGATTTGTCTGTATCGTTCCTCTTGCATCAACAAATGATTGTCAACTGCATTCTTGAATTCGCCAAAATACTTTGTAAACTCTTCGAGCTTGTGTGTGGTGCTTCGGATCTGATCGACGAGACCTGCGTTGATACGCAGTGCTTCCTTGGTCACCAAGTCTCTAATCTGGCTAGATGTTGGGGACAGTGGCAACACCTGACTCGACGTGGTCGGAGTATGAGGCACAGACGATGACGATGATGGCGTATTACTATTACTATTACTACCATTATTAATATTATTAATGGATTGTTGTTGAGCTTGGTTCAAGTTGAGGAGTGGAACGGAAACAATATTATTTCCTTGAGCTGAATACATTGGGTGTTGTTGGTGTAGTTGTTGATGTTGATGTTGTTGATGTTGTTGTTGTTGTTGTTGCTGTTGTTGAGCAACTTGTTTCTTGAGACTATTTAATTCCTTTTCAATCTCCAAAACCTTTGATTTACTTAGAGTTATAGTTTCACTGGCACTGTCACAATCTTGGCCAGCAGCAGCAGCAGCAGCCGTAGCGGTAGAAATAATATTTGATAAAGATAATTGGGACTGACCCTTTTGTTGGTGTTGTTGTTCGACAACTCTTGGGGAAGAGGAAGATGATGATTTGGTGATGAAACCACTATTTACAATAATGTCAGATGACTCGGCCGATGTACCCAATAGTCCAAGGAGATTAGATGACAATCCACCGCTGCTGCTACCGCTGCCAATCTCTCTCTTTGTGGTGCCGCCCAACGGTGGTAAAATGGTCGTGTGGTGCACTGTTGGAGGAGACGACATTTCATCCAAGGCTATATGATGGTGATGGTGGTGATGGGTGGTTGTATTGTCAGAGGAGGTAGCGGTCGATACTAGCATACTAAGAGCCGTTCCATAAACTGTTGTTGCTGTTGTTGGTGGTGCAGAGGAGGCTGATGAAGACGATGTTGGTGTTGGTGAAGCTGCCTAAAAGATTAGAATAGAAAGATAATAATAATAATAATAATAAAGATAAATAAATTAAATTAATTAAATGAACAACAACAACATGTCATGGTCGACCAATCAAAGGGGGGTGAGTTGGAAAGAGGGAGGGAGGGACGGAGGGTACAAGCTAAATTGATTCACACACACAGCAGCGCTGGTTTGTTAACTTGGAGGGTTGGCTCCCCGTAAAATGAGAGTAGAGTCGGCCACCACCTATATAGAACAGAATTAAAATCTAGATAACCCCATTTGGTTGGTTGGGTATACCCATGGGCAAAGAAGCAGTGGGGTGGTTGCAAAGAAGCAGAGGGAAAAAAAACCGTGGCCAATATTAATTAAGTCTTAAGGCTCGAGCCTAGATAGGAAGGTGTCTATCTGAAAAAAAGTGAATCGTGGAGTACGACGATGAATGAGAAATGAAAAAGAGGGAGTGTTCCGTGATTCATTCAATGTGTGTCGTGAGAGTGAGTAAGTTGAGTGAGTGATCACAGCACTAAAGATCAAGATGTTAGGATGGGTTGAGTGAGATAGGGGCAAAAAGAGAGAGGCCACAGCCCCTCTTTTGACACTGACATCCCAAACGAGTGCACGTACGGTTCAAACACTTGTTGGTGCTAACCAACCAACGATCGAACGAAAATAGATGGAGGTTCTATCTATTGAACCACCATCCATCGGGGTTGGGGATGTAGTAGCAGTAGTAGACAAAGAAACAAGAGACAAGAAACGAGAAGATACATACTTTATGAGATTTCGAGGCGTGGGTTATAGCCGAGGTTGGCGAGTCTCTTTGTTTTTTGAATGGTTGTTGGTGATGCTGATGCGCTCCAAGATCAGGGGCACTATGTTGTTGTTGATGGTGTTGGGAGTTATATTGGTTGGGTGTGGGTGATGGATTGCGAGGTGACGTAACAGGTGAGTCTGAAGGTGATGCGCCATCGGTTGGTACATGAAAAGGGCGCTTGTTATTATGGTTGGTTATTATTGATGATGAGGATGGTGAAGTTAGTTGTTGCTTGTTCTTGGTCTGCATCGATACAGAAGAGGAGGGCGATACAGCACGGCAGTTGTCTGATGATGTCTCTGACGACAGATGATGACCACCGGCCATAGACGCAGAGGAGGGGGGCAATTTGTATGGCACCGTCACGTCTTCGGTTTGACTGGTCAAGTTCATTTTTTGTATTATTATGACAACTGTGGTGTGAGATGTAAGATATTTTTTTTTTTGATCAAAAGTGTCAGCTGTGTTTGCAGATTGGGGTCGTCGACGAAAAAAAAACCAATTGTTTGATGGATTGCTTGCTTGTGCTTTTCTTAAAGAGTGTACGCGGCACGGCAACAGTGTGAGAAAAGGAGAGAAGGAAGGGCTCGCGCGCAAAGATCTCTTTGGTGGTTGGTCAGAGGTTTAAAAAACGTGATTTAAGTCAAACAAGAATCTGTCTGGAGATTGTTAGATAGATGAGAAAGAAAAAGCGGGTAGTAGTAAACGATTCGTTAGTTTTGTGCGAAGATAGTATCTATTGACCAAGAAAGGAAATATCAAAAAAGAAGGGACGAGAGGATGAGAGCGCGAGGGAGGGAGGAAAAAGTTGGAAACTGAATAGAGCGTACTGCTGTGCTGCTATGATATAGTATATATGTAATAAGACAAAAAGAAAGAAAGAAAGAATATCTTGATGATGGATGGGTGAGATGTTGAACAAAAAGATTAAAGCAACTATGTTCGATTGAGCTAACTAACCACTGACGGACGGTCCTCTTCTCTCACAAACAACAATATATATTATAAATTTATATTTTATAAATTAGGAAGGAGGAGGAGGTCGGTGTGATTGTTAAATCTTGATAATAAATTAATTTTCAAGTAGAGGGTGATAGGATGGGACAAGGTCTAAAAAATATCAAAAAATGGGGATGGACGGTTTGGGGGTGATCGATAACAATTATGAGATCTCGTAATACCAAAATAAATACATGTACAAGTAAGTGAAGTGATTGAAAGGAGGAAGGATAAACTGTACTGTGCGTGTGTGGTTGTTGAATTTATATACCCTATGAATAAAAAAAGAAACAAAATAAAGAAGGAAGTGATGGTTGGGTTGAGATGACGATTGGTGGAATCGACTAGTAAGCAAAGGTCGTTTGATTGGGATATTATTATTATTATTTAATATTTAATATTTAATATTTGCTCTGGACGATTGTTGATGTTGATGCTGATGCTGATGAGAGGGCGTCCAACGAAAGAAAGAAAGTATATACTCTTTAATAATCTAATTAATCTCTTTGTTTGTGATAATGATGGATGGAACTCTAGTAGTAGTTGGATGATGGATGGATGGATGATAAATGATTGATTTAAGATTATGATGGATTGATTGATAATGATAAGACACTTGGTTGTTGTTCTGTCTGTGCAGAATAGAATAAGACAGACCATAAACACTATCTTTATCTGTAATCTATAGTTAGATCCGTCCTTACTCGGTGCACTTTCTACAACAGAAATATTTTAATATCCGTTTTTCACAACATCATCTGATCAGATTATTCTTTCTGTTTTGCTGGTTCTTTCTTGTTCCTGCCTGCAAATAAATAAATTGAATTTTACAAACCCCCTCCAATGATTGGGCAAGGTGATGATCTGTGTCATGATTGGTTCGGGTAAGTGCGTTGCCTATAGGGCCTTGTCCCTAGAACCCTAACCCTACCTTTGCACACACACAAACACACAAAGACACAAACCTTTTCGTTTTCTCAATACAGGGATAGGAGGGATGGAAGAGATTTGACTTTTGAGTTTGAAATGGAATGATTGATTGATTGATGGATGAATGTATAATTGGTATTGAAAAGTAATAAATAGAATAATAAGAGGGAGAGAGATAATCAATCACATACGTGATCAACTTGGGGTGGGGATAGATTAAAATGAACACGATGGATGTGGGTGTGTGCTTATAAGTATTGATCGAGCTAATTAGTTGGTTCACTAGTCCAACCAATCAGTCCAAAGTGGGGGGGTAGGGGCAGTTGTGTGCAAACATCGTTAACTGGAAGGACTTGCAAAGCCGACCGAGCTTGAAAACGAACATCCATCATTTGAAAAAACACACACAAGATGACGGGTGATTCTAGATATTATCACATGAGCAGACATGATTTAATTTTCACAATCTCTCTCGAGTAGATTATCTGCTGATCAGAGACCGAGTAGTATTATCTACTCTAGTACTTTCTACAACTACCGCCAGCCGAGCAGCAGTAGCGCAGGAGATTGATAGATAGACAACTTTGAAAGAATGAAAGATAGAGTTGTCGTTGCAGTTAACAAAAAGTAAAAGAGAGAGAAAGAGAAACTTTTTTTGACAACCTTTTAAACATGGGAGAGACAAAAGCAAGTACCGAGAGCGATGAGATTATAATGAGCAAAAGTAAAGTCAACTTCCTTTTAAGGCAAGTTGAATTGTTGGCAAAAGGAGGGAAGAGAGAGAAAGAGAGAGAAAGAGAGAGAGAGATATATGTAATATTATACACACATACACACTTACTTTTAATATTTTTTTGATTATTATTACTATCAATCGAGCAAAGAATGTGGAAGGAGGAGATATAAATAAATAAATAATTAATTAATTGGTACTAAAATAGAATATGTATGGGTAGGGGTGTATATGGTTTGCTTTCCTTGTTTGATTGGAATATATATGTATGTATAATTATAGATTGATATATGTTATTGTACAACTATGGGAAAAAACAACTCTATCAAAATAAGAAGATGGTGGATGGATGGATGGAAGGAAGGAAGGATGGTAGAAGGGATGAATGAAGATCATAAACAAAGATAAAGTTAATGATGATGATTATTATCTTATCGATAGAAACGGGTTGGTTGTTGGCTGGGCGTGGATGAGGCTGATTGGTTGGGGATGGTGATAATTGAAAAGGGACTGCTGCTGCTGTTGCAGCTAGCTAGGTACATGTTTCCTAAGATGGAGCTGCGCAAGACAGACCCTCTTGTTGAGCTCTGGAGAAAGTCAACACCCACCCGTACGCACGCGCGTCAAACAAACACATCCAACCTGTCCTCTTGAGGGGATTGGTCAAATCCAATTCCACACCCTTGGGAGGAGGGAGGAGCTAGCTCTTGTACATCTGTCTATCTAATCTAATCCTTTTCGAATGGGGGTGGTGTGGGCGTACGATCATTGGGATAAAGGAATAAATCATAAAGCAAACGGGGAGGGGGAGGGGGAGGGGAGATCGTCGAGTGGATCAACACATCCATGCCCGATAGTCTTTGCCCTCTCGCAACGCTGGTTTCACCTTTTTCTGATCATCGAACTGCAGAACGCAAGGGGAATGAGCTAGCAATGATGGTGATGGATTATTGGATAGGCAGGGCAATCAAAAAGATATCCGTCGTTGAGATCGATTAGGCAAACCCGTACAAAACAAACAGGGTATCATAATAATGCATAGCCCAACATATACATCCACGTGATGGGGAGAGCAACAGCCCTAAATTAAATCTCGAACCTTTAGATGAAGGAGCTCTTTTTCCCCAACACAGCAAAAAAGACAGACAAAGATATTTTAATTTTTTTGTTTGTTTTTGAAAAATAATGAAAGAGGGAGGTGAAGTTCGATAATACATCTCGTCGATTTTTTTCAACAACATACAAAAATTAATTAATATTTTAATTTAATTAACAGTTCGTTTTGGGGAGGAGGAGAAGGGTGAGCAAACACACACCCCCAACCCAGCCCGCGACTAGTATCTGATCGTTGAGCTTGATCATCATACCTCTTGATGATTTGATTATTAAAAACAACAATCAATCAATCAATCAATCAATTAAGTTGTATGCGATAAACTACTACTACTACTCTCACAACAATAATCTCCAACCCTACCCATCTTACACAACAAATCACAAAACAACCTTTGACGTTGGTTATCACTTTAACAAGTGTTTTTCATTCCTCCTCGCAACAAACAACATCTCATCAAAATAATCTAATAAGCAATGAGCAATAGCAACAACAACAACAACAAAACTAGTGGCAATGAACAAGATGAGATAATAACCGTCGATCAATTACAATCCCTGGTTAAACAACGAATCGACCTTGAAGAGGAATTACAAACACTTAGAGATTACCTTATAAAGGGTGGAGGTAGTCTCTTTGGGTTGAATGGTTCGTTTGTAGATAAAGAAGGATATCCTGTAATGTATCTTATATCATATCAATCTCTATTGTAAATCAACCGTCACATATATCTTTAAATTCAAACCCTATTCTATTATTTGCTTTTATCGGCCCTCTTACCTCTTTCTCTTTTGCTATGTGCACACTGATCAGTGGTAGGCTGGTTGATCTTGAATCCCCACCTACCATTGTGAACGGGTAAAAAGACATGATGGTATTGGTTGATGGGTGGAGGAATGAATCACTATACGTCCCCACGGCGGTGTTGGCAACGGACACAATCACCAACAAACGATCACAATCACGATAGCGCACCAATGACAATGACAATGACGATCGAATAAGCAACAACAAAAACAACAACGACAATGGGTAGATGATGGTTGAATGAATGGATGAATGAATCATCTAGATTGGTGATGAATGATACCAATCAACAAGATACATACTTGGCTAGATGTTTTTACAGACTTGACTATATTTGGGTATATTCCTAAATAGTTGTTTGTTTTTGTTTTGTTGGCTGTTTGATTGGTTGATTTGTTGATTGATGGCTGATTGATTGATCAACAGATCGATTCGATTGGTTAAAATAATATTATACTATATATGGTTAAACGGTTTATTATTATTTGACAAAATGGGATTATTATTATAATTATATTTAATATTAATATTTGTTTGTTTAATTATTATTTGTATATATAGTCTCCACACTTGGATATAATAATTGAAGTGAAGAAAGCGAGAGCAAGGATTGCATGTATTCAAACCGATTACAAGATATTAATGAAGAGTATTGAGGATGGCATGTTGAAGTTGCATGCTCAGAACAAACCTCAACAACAGACTGTCCCCAAACCATCAAGCATATCAACACCAACTACATCTTCTTCTTTGACCAAGGAATCCTCAATACAATCTCCTGCTGCCAATCCATCCTCCGCATCTGCAGTCGGTTCTGCTCTTGCTCCTGCTACTGCCACCTTGGCGACACCTGTTAAAAACGAAGAGCCCTTTGTATACATTGACTTGGTGACACCCGGCTCGCCCGCATCTAAAAGTGGACTGCAAGTAAACGACAGGATCGTCCAGTTTGGAAGTGTAGGGCCGTTTGATAAACTCGAAAAGACCGTGCAATATCTCCAATCGGTGGCCGCCGTCGTCAGAAATAGTGAGAATACGCCCATCACCATCAGATATATTCGTAATGGCGACAAACAAAGCACCAAGCTCACTCCCAGAAAGTGGGAAGGGCAAGGGTTACTAGGGTAAGTAAAGAAAAGAAATGAAAAGAAAGGAAAGCACACCCCATCACTCTTTCACACACGTACACACACATAGCGCAAACAGAGAGAGAGAGTGGTAGAACCATCACCTACAAGGAGGGCAAGGGCATGGATATAGAGAGCGAGAGGAATAGAATGGAGACAAGCGAGATCGCAATGGTGATTCCATTCTTCTTGTTGGGTTGTCTCGAATTTTCAAACCCGACAATAGAATGAAAGAGTATAGTAGACGCGGAAATGATCATCATCAAATGTTCTTTTATTAGAACAAACAAACAAACTGGGTTTCCTTTTTTTCCAAACGAAAGAAAACAACCCCACCACCACAACACATTGATCTCGGTTGAATATCTACACACTTGCATATCTATCTGTTGACTTCGGTTGTTTGAAAATCAGGATAATGTGACAAGTCCTTGGATCCATTCTCCCTCCCTGACACTTTTCTTCTTGTCAGGGCATGGTTTTTTTTTCTTTTTTTTTGCCCAACATTGAAGGCTTTGCAACACCCCACACACACATTGATTTCTGCGACATCTTCCAACCAAATCCACAAAACCGCCACTAACTTTTAATCAATCTTTTTTTTTTTGATCTTTTCGAATCATTTTAATCTCTCATAATCTGATTTATTATCCATTGTGACACACATCCCCAACAGTTGTCTGATCAAGCCCATCACTTTGATTGATTAATACCAATCAATATCTACGACTAGTTTTTTTTCAAAATGGAGACTTTGACCATCCAGATAGAGCCCCTTCCTTTCGGATACTTTCCTCACCTATAGGTTCCAATTCGATTGGGGTATCATCAACTCGCTCGCTCGCTTACCTAACATCAGATTCAATTACCAAATCAAATCAAATCAAATCAAAATCAAAAAAATTCTTTTCTTTAATGATCGATTTTTAATAAACAAATATTGGGTTAGTATATTTCCTATTACCTTTTTTGGATCCAAAAAGAATCTCTTTCTTTCTATTTGCGTTTATATAATTTTTAAAAATATCTCCAAACCAAAAAATTACAATAATAATAATAATAATAAAATAAATAATATTTGGTTTGTTTTGTTTTGATTTGGTAATTGATGATTATTTGTTCATGGTAAACAATAATAAATATGATGGTTATCTAATTCCAAAAAAGGAAAATGATGACAAAAAAGATAAATCGAATTTTTTATTGTTTTTTTATTGTTATGAACTTCATTGCAGTGTGATGAATGATCTAACTTTTTGCAACAACATTATTATTATTTGCAATTATAATTCATTATTTATTTCATTTCATTTAGTAAGTTTATTCATTCAAACTGTGCTGTATTACTATAGACTAGAGTGAGAGAGATGCATCCGTGTGGTGGTTGTGTTGTATTATGTGTTGTGTTGTTTGTGGTGGTGAGTAAAAAGAGTAAAGTAAAATATCTATCTTGCCGATATCGGATAGAAGATAGATAATAAGACAGGGTTATTATATAGTATATATTCCTCCTCTCCTACAACAACAACAACAAAAAGAATAATTATAATTAGATAGATAGATACTTACCGCTATATTATAGTAATACAAGACAGATAGAGATAGAGATAGATTGGATTAGATTAGTAAAAAGGGTACCATTCATTCATTCATTCATTCACTTATATCCCCTCTCTCTTTTTTTTTTGTTCTCCCTTCCTCTACTTTCTTCTTCTTCTTCTCTTCACACCTTCATCTCATCATCCATCCTCCTCCTCTTTTCCAAATTGAATTAATTTATAAATTAAAAGTAAATTTAGAATATTATTACTATCATATAAATAACAATACAAGAATTATCATCATCAACATCATTCATTAGATATACTTTGAAATATAAATTGTTTATTTAATTCATTCTTTTTAAACTATTTTAGAGTTTAGATGGATAAAGGATATAATAGAATGGATTTAGAAATCAAGATAGCATTGGATCATCATGCAAGAAAGATATTGACGACTGAAGCATTGGCATTCTTGGTAGAGTTGGAGAGAAAGTTTAGATCGGCTCGTACAGTGTTGTTGGCAAAGAGACAAGAGAGACAAGCCGATTTGAATCGTGGCATCTTTCCAGACTTTTTAAAGAATACAGAGAATGTCAGAAAGGCAGATTGGAAATGTGCTGCCATGCCCCGTGACATTATGGACCGTCGCGTTGAAATTACTGGTCCACCCGAGAGAAAGATGGTTATCAATGCACTCAACAGCGGTGCCAAGGTGTTTATGGCCGATTTTGAAGATGCCAATTGTCCAACTTGGTACAACTCGATTCACGGTCAAATCAACATGATCGATATCAACAACCGTACCATCTCTTACAAAGCACCCGATGGACGTGAATACAAGCTCAAGCCAGAGGTTGCTACCTTGTTTGTACGTCCTCGTGGATGGCATCTCGACGAAGAACACGTCTACATTGACGGTATGCCAATGAGTGGTTCACTCTTTGACTTTGGTCTCTATTTCTTCCACAACTATCGTATTGCCATGAACAGAGGTTCAGCTCCATACTTTTATTTACCAAAATTGGAAAGTCATCTTGAAGCTCGTTTATGGAATGTAAGTCGAAAGAATAGAAAAGAAAAAGAAAAAGAAAAAGAAAAAGAAAAAGAAAAAGAAAAAGAAAAGAAAAAGAAAAAGAATATTTATTTATTTATTTATCTATTTACTTTTTTTTTGTAGGAAGTATTTAACTTTAGTCAACATTATGTTGGCATTCCAATTGGTACAATTAAAGCAACTGTATTGATAGAGACTGTTTTGGCATCATTTGAAATGGATGAAATATTATACGAGTTGCGTGAACATTCGGCTGGTTTGAATTGTGGTCGTTGGGATTACATTTTCAGCATCATTAAAAAGTTCCAACAACATCCACAATTTGTGTTGCCTGATCGTGCCAAGGTGACCATGACCAGTCCGTTTATGGAATCCTATGTAAAATTACTCATCTACACTTGCCATCGTCGTGGTGTGCATGCCATGGGTGGCATGGCCGCACAGATCCCCATCAAGGACAACAAGCAGGCCAACGACGTTGCCTTGGAAAAGGTAAAGGCTGACAAGTTGCGTGAAGTCATGTTTGGCCACGACGGCACCTGGGTGGCCCATCCAGCACTCATCCCCACCGCTTTGGAGCAATTCAACTTGCACATGAAGACACCCAACCAAATCCATATCATCCCTCCCAACCCTTCCTTCACCGCCAAGGATATCCTCAGTATCCCAGAGATCAAGAGCGACGATATCAGCGAGGAAGGTCTCAAGGGCAACATCATTGTCGGTGTAGAGTACTTGGACGCCTGGTTAAATGGAAATGGATGTGTTCCAATCAATCATTTAATGGAAGATGCTGCAACTGCTGAAATTTCAAGATCTCAAAGTAAATCAAAAACAATATATATATATATTTTTATTTTTTATCAATATTAACAAAAGAATTCTTTTTCAATATATAATTCTTTAGTTTGGCAATGGATTAAACATAAATCAAAATTATCAAATGGAAAGGTTATAACATTGGAATATTTCAATCAAATTTTGAAAGAGTTACAACCAGTTTTGGAAAATAGAAACAAAAAATCGACAACCTTAAAGGATTCTATACCAATGTTCCAATCTCTTATTGCATCTCCAACCTTTGTCGATTTCCTTACACCAACTGCCTATCAATATGTTATTAGAAGAGAAAGAACTGCTTTCAATCCAAAACTTTAATGAATAATAATAATAATCAATTTTAGGTATACTTTTTTTTCCATACACCACAGCATCAATATTGATCAATATAATTTATTAAATTTGATTTCGACTTTAATACATTATTTATTTGGGTAAACCCCATGGTTCAATCGAAACAACACATACAATATTGATGATCAGAATGGGTCAACAGGAATTTCCAATTTCAAAAGGGGGAATTTTGGCTTTGGGATTTTTTTTTTTTGATGAACAAATAGTTAGTCTACATATAACATATTTTTTATCTCAATCTTCTATTATCAATAGATTGACCAAAATATGAAAGTATCTATTTTGTTTATCTTTTTATTTATAGGGATATGGCAAAACAATTTTAGTTTCTCGCAACCTTTGGAAAAGTGTAAGTAAGGAAAATAGTAAAGGTAATGGTTCAATCAAATCTAATCGAACCCACTCAATTTTATAGTTATTATGACCGTATCGGTCACCGATCAATTCCCAGGATTAAATGATAATTTTGAGCCTGATGTCGGTTCTCTCACTCATGGTCTTGTAAAGAGCAATTTAAATGTAATTTCAAAGATCCCGGAATTACGAAGTTTAGACCCCAAAAATCCGGTCAACTACCAAGGAAGAATAATATCTCCAAATATGTTTCCGTACTTTTTTTCACCTGATTATACAAACAGAACCACAAGAACCCTCTCCACGAATATCTACTTTTATAGAGATACAAGATCTGATCGATATCTTTATCAAAATGATATTTTTTTTCCAATAGACGGTTTGGGGTTTGATAGAGACCCATCTTTTAGAAAGTACAATAGTGAATTTGGTATATACCACAACTATCATTTTTGTCTCAAGATTAATAGCTATTTTACTTATGCAAGGGACAAGATATCTTCTTTGAAGGTGATGATGATTTTTTCCTCTTTGTCGACAATCGTCTAGTCAGTGACCTTGGAGGGCTTCACGGTTTACAGTCAGATCATATCTCAATGGATGATCTTCGTCTCTCGAATGGGCTCAAATATCCAATAGACATGTTCTTTTGTGAGCGCAAGGCCCCTGGTTCTGGGTTCACTATTTCAATTAATTTTATTCTAGATTGTTCACAAAAAGGTAAGTTTATTATGATGATTGATTTCGAGAAACAGATATTAACTTTATTCTATTTATTTAGATTATTGTGGTATATGTTTTGGAAGGTGATTGTTGCGATCCTAATAAATGCAATAAATTCGAATCCAACAAATGTGTTAAAGGTGAATGCCCAAGATGGGATACCAAGATAAATGACATATCAACAATTGGAGAATATTGCACCTATACCTTTAAAAACTACTCCCATCTTGACAACAAATGTCAAACTTTTAGTTGCAATTCATTTGATGGCAAACCAATTTTAAAACAAGTAGTATGTCCCGATAAACCATGTTCAACCAATTTGTGCAACAAAGATATTGGTTGTCAATATACATCCACTTGTTTCTCGGAAAATGTTTGTACAATATCTACTTGTCAATCTGACAATCAAACATGTTCTCAAAGAGAAAAAGATTGTAGAGGTCCTGACAAATGGTATTTTTGTGATCCAAATATGGGATGCACTTTTCAACCTATATGTCCTCCATCCGTCATTGTAAATGGATCTATCAATCCTTGTCAATATTATAGTTGTGATTCTACAATTGGCGAATGCGAAATAATGGAGATAAAAGATTGTAGCAACTGTACTATTGGTCATCCAAACAAATGTCAAGTATTGGATAAATGTATTTCATCAAATGGTACTTGGACTTTGAAACCAAACCCGTTAATTGATGATGGAAATGCATGTACTCTAGATTCATGTGATGCAGAGTCTGGTAACATTACTCATTCATCTATCAAATGCCATGGTTGTTCAAGTTGTGATCCAATTGATAGAGTGTATCAATGTAAGCCAAGAAATTCATTGTGTACACAAATGGAAAACAAATGTCAAATTGGATATTGCAATGGTACATCGACTAATAATGGAACATGTTCATATCCTGCTATTAAATGTCCAAACCCAACCAAATGTCAATATTCAACTTGTGATACTGAAATTGGATGCCAAGTCAATGACAAGATATGTCCAGATGGAGAGGGACCATGCCAAGTAGCATTTTGTGATGAAACCACTGGAGAATGCAAATTTAAAAGGAGAGAGTGCGAATCATCACAAATGAAATGTCTTAAACCTACATGTATGTGATGGTCAACTTGGATGCACTTTAATTAACGTTGACTGCATTCCTTCCAATACCCAATGTCAATTTGGAAGATGCAATAACGAAACGGGATGCGATTTCCACGACATTACGCCAATTCCTTTAATTTGTCAAACTGCAGCAGTCATATCCATAGGTATTATTGCAGGTGTTGTGGTGACGTGTGCAGTTGTTCTCAGTGTACTATTGTACACTGCCAAAAAGGGATATGATTATTGGAAGGAAAGATATGAAAAGGTAAAACAAACCAGTTCCAATCCACCCTATCAGACCAAACCAGGAACAGAAGACAATCCTCTATATGGTGACGATATGGTTGGAAAATAAATAGATAATTAATTAATTATTCAGATCATGATTTATTATTATTTAGTAGTAGAAGAGGTGGGGGAGGAGGAGGAAGAAGAAGAGGTTGATGATCTTTTAATTGCAGTAAAGAATTGACATTTATATACAACAGACATGAGAGAGCTTCTATTTGAAGTGTATTGTGTTTCTCGGAGCTCCTCGTGAAGAATGTCGAACCCCAAATTGATAATGACGTGTCTGAGTTGTTCGTAGGACAATTCAATAGAGTCTTGATGGTCAGCAAAATGATAAAGTAATGGACCAAAATTAATCCAATATCCACCATCCTTGATCATCTCTGCAAGACATTCAATATATTCAACTATATTTCTTGCAGTATCAATAAAAAAGCATGTACAAACAACATCCCAATGTTCTAAGATTTTTATAAAAATAATTAAATAAATAAATAAATAAATAGGTACTTATTGTTGTGTTATATTTAATACTTACTTGATTGAACAGTTTTGGTAAAATCACCAGCAACCATACTAAATTCACAATCTGGATCTTTTGGTAACATTTCCAGTGGGTATACATCTGGAACTTTAATATTCCTCAATTGATCGACATCTCTAAGTACATTGACTGTTTGATGTATAAATGGATAAATAGTAAATTCATTTGCTTTTGAAACTCTATAATTAATAATATTAATATGAAGGTCTATACTATTTGTTTGATTGTTTGGTTTACACATACTTGTTTAAAATAAAACTTGAAGCAAGTAACATGAAATAAGAAAATTCACTACCTTGACATGAAAATCCTCTTGATACAACCTCAAGGCAAAGTCTACCCAATCCAGCACCAGGACAATATACTTTGATTGCACTACGTTTACGTAAAGGGTCGTCGGTTTGTGGGAACAGTTGTTCCAGTTTTTCCAGTATAGGTAAGAATGTAGCATCTCTTTCAGTCTTTCCTTCACTACTCCATTCTCTTGCAAATTGTTTAAGTGTACTCTTTACTTTATCAATGTTTTTTGGGTCTGGTGAACAACTGTCTTGTTGTTCTTTGTCTTGACCACCAACCTGAGGGATCGAACTAGATGATTTCTCTGCTTGAAACACTTGATTACATTCTGCACCAATCCTATGTAAAAAGTTGGCATTACCAACACCAGCTTGTTTCATCGCATCCAACTTGTTAATATAATTTGGTAATAGTTTCTTTAAAAATGAAACAAAAAGTTAGTTATTATCTCCATGGTATGTTGTACAACTTGAATCAATCTACATACTCTTTGATTATCAGTCAATCTTTCATTAAAGTAATCTCGCATATGTTCAGCCCAGTTATTGGCGAATTGTCTATAACTAAAGAATGCCTCTACGACAGTCTTGAAGTGTTTGATTTCATTTTCATCTGTTTCTTCTTCGTCTTCGTTGTCTTGATCATCTATACTAATATCATCATCACCATCATTATCTCCATCATCGCAATTGTGACTACTATGATCATGTGAATGTGAATGTGAGTGTGAATGCGAATGCGAATGATCGTGTGAATGAGAGTGTTTAAACATTAATCTATATCCTTCAAAACCACAACAAAAGATAGAAAAATAAAGTTGTAAAAAAAGAGTCATCATCTTGATCAAATATTTGCATTTGAAATTAATTAATGACAATAATTATTATTTATTTATTATTTATGTACATATTTATATTATTATATATTATATTTGTTAGAAGGATTTAGTTTTTGATAGATTTGAACCTATAATACCAGTTTGACAAGATTGAATGATTGTTTTCCAAGTTGCATTGGTTGATAGTAATTTTGATCTACCAACAATGACAAAATGGTTTTTGGCTCTGGTAATGGCAACATTTAATCTTTGGGGATTATCAAGAAACCCTTGAGCAAATGTAGATGTTCTAGTACAACTAAATATAATAATGTCTCTTTCAGCACCTTGGAATGCATCGACTGTACTAATCTTTAAACCTTCCATATCATCCTTTTTTCCTTGATCCTCTTCATCACCCTCTCCTCCTCCTTCCATTTCAACCAATCTATTTAATTCTTCATCATCATCATCTCCCAATAAATCTTTACTTGATAAAGTCTTTTTTTGTTTTTTTTGAGTGACTAGAGCAGGTGGAATATTAGGATTGTTAGTCACATTTGATTGATGATCCATTTTTTTTTCTTCTGTTTCTTCTGCACCGCCAAAATAATCATCATAATCACTTATAGCTGTTTCTTTTTGAAATGTTTTTTCTTTTTTCTTTTTCTCTTTAAATGATGTTGCCATTTTAAATGCTTGTGCTTTATCTAAATAATTATAATAAATATAAATAGTATTGTTAATCGTCTACCATCCTTTTTTTCTTTTTGTTCTTTTTTCTCTTACAAAAACAAATAACACCAATTTGAGATTCTTTAATACCATTTCTAGTTAGAATATCAATCATTGAAAATATAAGATTTGCTTCACCGTCATTGTAAAAACCACCGGTAAAACTATCATGTTGTTCCGATCCAATATCAGATTCAATGAGAGTGATGGGTGAAAGGTTGGAGATGAGGGGAGGTCGAGAAGCAGGTAGGATGCCATCGTTGAGTGCATTGTCGTAGAAAAGCTTGTTGGAGAGCGCACTGATTCGAGGGTGACACCGATACTGTGTCTTGAGAATAACAGGTTGTAGTCCGAGCTTGGATAATCTCACATAGAGTGTTTTCTCCAACCCACCAGTATCCAATACATGTTGCGATGGTTTTGAATGGAGTGTAGGCTCGAGTTGGAGTGGATCACCAACTGCAACGAGTCGTTCACACCGACTCTTACACAACGGTAGTAAAGACAGTGGTTCTGTGATTTGACTACACTCGTCCAAGAATACAATGGGGAATGTCATGTCTGCCAACATTGACGATGTCGACGACGCACAGGTTGTACCAATCACACGGCTTGCAGCCAGTCCCTTTTGACGATTGATATATCTACCCGAATCAATATCCTCTATTTCCAGTTCCAACAGTTTTCTGCTCTTTTCGTCGGTTTCAGTTTTCAACATTGACCTAATCTCTTTGAGCATGTCATCATCTGACGTGCTAATCCCACTACCACCGGCGCCACTGTGAATAGTGTATCTGATGATTGGTTTGGCTATTCTCTTGACACTTCCAATACGGTAGAAATCCTTGTATCGGTATTCGAGTAGACCAAGCAGGATACGGTCGACTGCCACATTGGTCAGCGATGTCACCAACACTTTAACCAAATCATTCTCGCCCATATCGCACAGCTCGCTGATGAATAGTATGATAATGACGAGAAGTGTACTCTTTCCAGAACCAAACACACCGTGTACAAGAAGGACAGGTTTAACTGGTTGTTTGAGTCGAGCCGGTTCAGTATCTGCAAAGTTGAACCATGAAAACACCTGCTTGAGTACTTGTGATTGATGATCGTTGAGTCGATGCTCTGTCATGTATTTATCCAATATATGTTGTGCATCCTGACACCCCATATTCAAGAAAAATATATCTTTACAATCTTCAGACATTGGTTTCTCTTCTCCATTCATTATAAATTCATGAATTGGTAATGATAAAAAGTTTTCAGATTTTAAATTCTCTAAAAAAAAAAAAAATCAAATTCATATTAATATTAATATATATATGTTTATATATTTATATATTTACCAATCATTGACATTTCAGTTGAAATATTTGGACCAAGTATTGCAAATAGAGTTGTTTTTCTACCAAGTCTTGGTAACAAGTGTTCGTAGAGTGGTACTACCTGTAGCATGTTTTGATTGGATAGTGAGTGAAATACACTTTTAACGATAAAAGTGTTTGTACTAAAATTACTAGTCAATGATAGTACCCATAAATCATCTTTTGCATATTTGAAGTTTCTCTTATCGGCAAGTTTAATAAAATATACATATTCTGGTTGTTTTGGTGGTCCACCACTTGTCATCATATCTCCTCCTCCTCCTTGACCAAATTTTGGTTGTTGTTGTGGAAGATCTTTAACTATAAATTCTACATTAAAACATATATTAACTCCTTTTGATTGAAAGTATTTTTCATTTTCCTTTGTTAATTTTTCATTTGGTATTGATAATGAATGACTATCCCTAAAAAAATAAATAAATAAAATAAATAAATAAAATAAATAAATAATAATTTTTTTTTGTTTTCTACTTACAATAAAGGTGAAGGAGATTCTTTTTCATCAATAAGTTTAAAATAATTACATTTCTTTCCTCTTGAATCACAAGTATAAAAATCTTTTCCTTGATTCTTTCCTTCTTTTTTAATTGATCTTCTAACTGAAGTGACTTGTCCTTTTGGTTGACATAGACAAGGTGGAGGTTTTTCTTTTTTAATAAATAAAAAATCATTAGTATAAAGTATGATAGTATATATATTTTTGTTGGTTGATAGATTACATACCATTTGAATTTAAAATAACACAAGATTTAAATAATTTATGAGCCAATTCGAATAAATAAATATTAATTTCTTCAGTGATTGCATCGACATAGTTGTTCATATATTCTTCAAAATTGTTAAAGTAGTTGAAAACAGTGCATTGTCTTTCAATGGTTCCTTTTCCATTTGCTTTGGCATTCAACATTAAAAGTTCGGTTGTCTTTGCATCGGGGAATTTAATTATATCATAAACCCATTGAACCTTTTGTGCTGAATTGGATGGTGATTGGAATCCTCCTACTTTGGCTGTCTTGTTAGTATTATTATTATTATTGTTATTGTTATTTTGTTGATTTCCATAATTAATTTCTTTTCTCTTTCCAGTTAGTGATAACGTTGTATTATTATTATTATTGTTGGAAGCAGCAGATTTGGTTGGAGCTGTAAAAGTATTTTTAAATGTTGAATTTGATGATGATGGTTTACCAACAACCGTAGTTGTTTTTTTAACAATATTATCTATATGTTGAATTTGTTGTTCTTCCTGTTGTTCTTCCTCATTTGGATTCCCAAAATCAAAATCTACATCATCTTCAGTCGTCGTTGTAGTAGTAGTAGTAGAAGTGGTGTTGTAGATTGGATTCTTTGGTTTTGATATATTGAGTGAAAGTGTTTGGGTTTTAGCATTTGGTTGTTTAATTGGTGATTTATCATTATCATTATTATTATTATTATTATTATTATTATTATTATTATTATTATTATTATTATTATTATTATTATTATTATTATTATTATTATTATTAATTGATGGTTTTACAGACAATGAAATTGTTTTTTTTGGTGATATACTATTATTATTATTATTATTACTACTAATTGATGGTGAATGCAAAGGAATGTAATCATGTTGATCATTATCCATATAAAATTGATCGGCGTCACTGTCTTGCGCACTTTCATCCATACCAAAAAAATCGTTGTATTGTGGCTGTTGTTCATTCTGTTCTTGTATATCGACGTCGTTGTGAATTGGGTGTTCAAATTCAAATGGATCCTCTTCAACAATTGGACTAGGAATACTTTCAGCTGGAATAGATTGTGGAATAATAGTAGTAGTAGTTGGTTGGGTTGTTTGATAATTACTACTCAAAGCAGGAGTAGATTGTGGAATAGTAGTGGTTGGTTGACTTCGAAATTTAATACCAGCCAAAAGAGATGTTGGACGCGATGATGTAATTATCTGAGTGGTTTGATTATCGATATTACTATTACCCAAATCAACATCAACATCTGGAGAAGGTGTAAGGGGAGGAGAAAGTGTAAAAGGAGGAAGGGGATTTTGAGTAGGAATGGGCATCGTAGAGATAGGTGGCTTGGACAAAGGTCTCAGCAAAGATTTGTTTTTGGGCAACAATAGAGAATTCCTATTTTGAGTTTGTTGATTATTTTCTTCTTGTTCTTGTTGCTCTACCAATTGTTGGTGTTGTTGTTTTTCTCGTTGGGTTTGCTCTTGTTGTTGGAGTTGCTTTTCTCGTTGAAGCTGTTGTTGTTGGAGTTGCTTTTCTCGTTGAAGTTGTTGTTGTTTTTCTCGTTGGAGTTGCTCTTGTTGTTGTTGTTGTTGTTGGAGTTGTTCCTTTTCTCGTTGGATTTGCTGTTGTTGGAGCTTGTTTTTCTCGTTGGAGTTGCTCTTGTTTTCTTGATTGATCTTCTTGCATTTGTTTCCTTTTTTTCTCTTCTTCCAACATTTGTTGTCTAGCTTGCATTTGTTGTTGAATTCTCTCTTGTTGTTGTTTTAAAAATAGGTATTCTTCATCTTCTAGCACAATTTCATGCCCTTCCTCTTGGTGCACATCATCTTGAAAAGAATGATTATGTCTATTAACCTTTTGTTGTTGTTGTTGTTGAGGAGGATGAACAGGAGCAGGGGCAGGAGCAGGAGCAGGAGCATTGGCAGCAACAGGCTTTACACTCTGCCCTATTAAACCAACACCCCTTTTTATTTGTGGTTGAACAAATATTGCAACATCGTCATCTTGGTTATTATTGATGTTGTTGTTATTGTTACCACTTGTATTATAGTTATATTTCGATGATGATGATGATGATGATGATAAGTTTCCATTTGGTGTCGTTGATGATGATGCACCAACATTTGAATCGGTACCATTTCTATGAGACACATCATCAAATGAACTACCATAATTGACTACTCTTTCCCTTTTAGCAGCCATGTTGTTTGATTTAGCAATAGGATTGCTACTACTAACAGGTACAGCAAATTTAGTCTTTTTCACTACTGTCTTTGCTTGACCAATGGTACCTGATGATGATGACGACGATGACGACGTCGATAAAGGTATATGTGTATTGGTTGTAGTTGTATTTGGTTGTTGATTTGAAGAAGTAGAAGAAGCCAATTCTATTACACGAATGAGAAAACCATCAGTCTCCAACTCTTGATCGACTTGCAGTGCGGAGAAGGAGAGAAACTTGGAGTCGATAACCTTGTTACTGTCGTCTTCATAGAGCACTACTTTGTTGGCCTTGAGTAGCACATATCCGTCAGACCATCGCTTTGCTTTCTGTTTCTTTTGATGAGTGTATTGAACGATGTATTTCGGAAAATCACTCATATCATTATTCTGCAGATTCTCTCTATCTATCTATCTGTTCTCTTTATCTAGATGATTTTAAATTAATTATAATGTTTTTAATTTGTTTACTGTGACAGACAGAGGGTTTCGAGGAAATTTTTATAGTCATATGATGATGATTACAAAATCCCAAGCAGAGGGTTGAAAGAAACGCAAGTATGTCGATGAATGGCTGATTCATCTGGACAGCTTAACGAAGTGTACAAGAGTTTAGAGAAATCAACATTAATAGAATTGATCAAAGATCAATGGAAGTTTGCAGCTGTCGGCAAACGAAATGAAAGAAATGGGATCATCAACGGAAGAGATAACTGCTCATCATTTCCAGCAAATTAGACTACTTAATCAAACATTGCATATCAACTTCAGGGCCATGCATTGAAGCTATCTTGAACTGTTAACGTCTTGAATCTGACTAGGCATACGGATTTCAAAAGTAGCCATTGTAGGCCCAGGACGTTAACGATTTGTGTATGGCTTCTTCTTCTTCTTCTCAAGTTTAAATATATATAAATGTATGTTGTGATTAATCATTATCATTGAAAAGACAAGAACTACTCTTCATTATCTTCCTTTACTTTTTTTTTAACAATCAATTCTATAGAATCAAACCAAAGCAAAGTGAGTAAAGTGATCCATACTGTATTTGTCTTTAAAGATCTTATCCTTTCTAACCTTTCATCGATCAATCGCTTTCTACAAAGCTAAACCCAACCCTCTTTTTTTCATTGGATTGGGGATGCAACACATAAAAGCGTGAGCCAACAACACGAAAATGGGTTTTTAGGTGAAATCGAAAACAAAATGATCGGTTCTGACATCGCGCCGATGGGATAGCCAGCTAGCTGTGTGGCATTGATCACAAATCAAATCGAATCCGACGACGATTGGCACACCCACTAGATAGTCGATAGAGGGATTGGCCTGTGAACAACATGATGTGTGTGTGTACCACCCCCAATCTAGATCGAAACAGTGATGCTCACTCACACATAACTGTCAACCACTTTTGTAAAGTCAACGATGTACATGTACATGGGTGGTGCATATGATTAAATTAGTTTTAATTTAAAATCTTCTTTCCTAACTCCACTGTCGTTTTGCCCTTTCAAAACTTATAAATAATCAAACCGGTTTGTTCTGTTTCACACCATTCATCAATATTTTATTTATATAAATAATATATATTATATATATCTTTACCAGTTATCCAGTTATCTATCTATCTATCTATATCTTCACAATAATAATTATAATAATAATAATAATAAATTAAATGTCTTCAGCCTATTCATTAAAACTCGAATTCTCACAAGCTGCTTTGACTGCCCTCAACAGTGCCAGTGAAAAAGTTTGTGTTGGTATGTATTATATTAATATATATATTATGATTAATATCCTATTATAATTAATTATCCATTCAAATGACTAACTTTTATTTCTATTTGTATCTAAAAAAAAAAAAAAAAAAGTTAAAATCTGTAAACGGCAAAGTTGCTAATGTAGTTTGGTTGACCTTCAAGCCCTTCCCACACAATACTATTGATTGGGCCGAAGCCTATGGCATCTACGCAAGTTCTACATCTGTACAACATGGAGCTACCATTAATAGTATGTATCCACAAAGCAATCAAAAAAAATTAACTTTTTCAACCAAGCCCACAAATAATATATAAATCTATAAAATTCGATTGAGTACAGATGTAGAACTTGCGTAGATGCCATAGGTTTCTGCCAATCTCTTTTTGAAAGTACTAACCCAGTCTCCCTCTTTCTATTTATTTATTTATTTAATTATTTATTTTAGGATTATCAACTTTAAAGGCTGTATCAAAGACTCATCAATATCCATTTAATGAATCAGGTTTCTTTGATGGACCAAATCAAACTCATGTCAAATCATATGGTTTAATCAACAATTACAACGAGCCATTGACATTTGGTCTCACCCAAACTGCCATGGTCAACGGACACCAAGTTGACTCCGAACTCAATGCCGTCACCGTATTGCACAACCAATCTGCTGAATTTACACCAATTGTAACCCTTTCAGTCTATGTAGCTGCCTCTTTCAACAATGGTAGTGTCATTTCCGATATTTCAAGTAACACTCTTGTTCTTACCTATACCTCTGATACCCACAAGAATATCTATTATGATGATGTTCAAAATTGCTTTGTCGAGGGAAATCTACCCCTTTAAACAAATAAATATCAATCAACATCAACTGATTGTATAATAAAAAACACTATTTAAATTATATAAAGTAAATCCAAAACATTGGAGTTGATAATATATTATATTGTATTCTTAATTTTGATTATTCATTGGATTATTATTCCACATATTATTATTATTATTATTATTCCATGTGTTATTATTATTATAATTATTATTCATATTATTGTTGTTGTTGTTGTAATTCATATTGTTATTATTATTCCACATATTATTATTGTTATTATTATTATTCCAAGCTGCTTGGTTATTATTGTTATTATAATTATTATAATTCATATTATTATTATTCATATTATTGTTATTATTATTCCACATATTATTGTTATTATTATAGTTATTATTATTATTCCACATATTGTTATTATAATTCATATTATTATTTCCATAGGATTGATTACTCCATCCCATGTAATTATTATTATTATTATTATTATTATTATTAAAGTGATTATTTTGAGAATATGCTTGTTGTAGTGGTTGTTGTGATGGTAATGGTTGTTGATTTATATTATTATTATTATTTACAGTATCAAAACTTGATAGAATTTCATCTATTTGTGAAGGATCTAATGTTTCATTTGCATTCATTGGTACAATTTTATCATTATATTGTAGGGTTGTTGTTGTTGTTGGTGTCGTTGGTGCTGCTGCTGAAGGTTTTTCAGCTGGAATAATTGGTACTTGAGAATCATCGTAATCAGGTTCGAGGTCAGTTGGTTCTTGTGGGTTTTCTGGGATATTCGAGTCTAAAAATATTTCCATGAGTGTATAGTTTTCTCTTTCGAGTTGTTTAGCACGCTCTTTACTGTCGGTACCAGGTCTATATACATATGATGAAATCTGATTCGCATCAATGGTTGCAGGAGCCTTGTACTCGATAGTGGCAACGATCTCTCGTTGTCGGTGGTGTAATTTTTCGCTGTCGTGTTCCATCTGTCTCGCCTTTTCAAAGTCAATGCCGTCATGATCACCTTCTTCAATCTCTTCGTTTGATTCAAATTCCTTGATCTGTAATAGTTTGTCGTCGGGTGCCCATCTGACATTGACTCTTCCTTTACTCGACTTTCTTCGGTTTGGATCTGGTACTACTTCAAAATCTTCCTCTGGTACTCCAACTGGAAGATCCCAACCTGAACTCGAAGCTGTATTTCTAGGTGCCACTTTAGTCATATCCAACAATGATATAGATTCCATACCAGATGATGTAATATTAATAGTTGGTAATTGTGGTTTTGTTATTGTAGGATTGGTTATTGGTGATGTTGGTTTAGTTGATGTAATTGAAGTAGGTGTAGTCGAAGTAGTAGTAGTAGTAGTAGGAGTAGGAAGGTTATCTTGTTTTTTTCTTGTTGGATATATAGGCAATACAAATGATGTTCCAGATGTTGCAGCACCTGTCGTTGTTGTTGTACTACTACTATTGTCTTTTTGTTTTCCTAATTTCGTCATAAACAAGTCTTCAAATTCCTTTAAATCCTTTTTAACACCTGGTAATGTTGGTGATTGTGATTGTTGTTTTTGTTGTTGTGATTTATTTAAAGCAGTACCACTAGTACTACTAGTTGATGACCCATTATCACCTTTAACTTTTTTTGGATCTATAAATCAAAAAAATAAATAAAAGTTAATAATTTCTTTTCTTATATTCTTTTTTTTTCTTTTTTTTTTTTTTTTTACCTTTTTCAATTGTAGAATCTCTTGATCTTTTCTTTGGATCTTCTTCTTTTTCTTTTTCCTTTTCTTTATCTTTGTTTGTACTTTTTACTAGGTTCATCCAAATACGTTCCAAATCGGTTGCTAGGTCTCTGACCGATGCATTATCATGTTTTTTGAGTCCACGTACAATTTTTCCAACTCCACTTTCCTTTTGCAAGTGTTCGAGGGTGATGGGCAGTTGTTTTAGTGCTTTTAGGATGGCGATGATTTCTCTTGGCAAACATTGAGACACTTGGGTGTATTTGAGACAAGTGTGCAGTTGCCTTAGACCGCCTTCCTCGACATATCTCTTTCGACAAGAGTTTGTAATCTTGTTCTCGAGTACATTGATAAATTCACGAAGCTGACTCCACGAGGCGGCAACCGTAAACTCTTGGATAAACAGTGGTACTCTGTCGACAATCGACAGCGATCCCTTGTCATCACGCCAATTCTTTTTCTTTGGATTGGCAGCATTTGCCACCAAATCCTTTGGTAATGGATTTAAAAAGATGTATTGTTCAAGTGTTGGTAATTCATCAGTTAATTGATATCCAATAATTGGTAATGGTTTTGATGCAACATGTTTTGATGTTGTCGACGATGATGAAGGTTTCTCTTTTTCTTTCTTTTCTTTTGAACTTGTTGTTGTTGTTGTTGTCGATGTTGTTTTAGGTTGTTGAGGTGGTTGAGGTTGTTGAGGTTGTTCAGTCGATGAAGAGGATGTAGTAGTAGATGGAGGAGATGTACTAATAGGAGGAGTAGTCAACAAGGTGCTGTTGATAGATTGTATCGTAGTGGTGGGAGGTGGTGATAATGGAGTGGTTGTTGAGGAGGAGTATGAAGATGTACTAGTCGTAGTAGTATTGGCAGCAGTGTCTTCAACCACTGGAGTATTATAAGTGACTGTCACATACTCTTGATACTGCTGGCTCCTCTCATACAACAAGTAATAATAACTTTGGAGTGCGTTTGACTCTTGAGAGGGCTCAAAGTGTTCTAGCAGTATACTCGAGCTAATATTATTCAACTCATAGTGCAATCGTTTGACGACAATCTGACAAAAGATGTCCATATTCATTGTGATGTATAAAAAGGTATTGGGATCAACGCGGCTACCGAGCGCTGACTTAAAGTATTCATTGTACATTAGATAGTCCATACTCTGTGGAATATCAATCGTATTCATAATGCCAAGCATATAGTCAATGAATGTTGCTGTCATATTTGTATTATTATTATTATTATTATTATTACTATAATAACTACTACTACTATTATTATTCTGAATGGTGGTTGAGTTGTATGACATTGTTGTTGTTGGGATTATATTTAGGTTTGTTTCCATGATTGCTATTATTGATTGATTGATTGGTAATAATGATTATATTAACAGATTATATTAAGATGTGATTAAAGAAACGACGCTGATTGGTGATTGATTGATGATTGATGATTAAAGAATAAAAAGTTGAAAGATTGCTAACTAACAACAAAAGTAGGTAGGTAGGCAGGTAGTAGGTATATGATGGATGATGGATGATGGGTAAGTGCAATAAAGGACGGATCGATCTGAGATTGTTCATCAAACTTTTGAATCAAATGCTACGTACGACAACAATAACAGTTGAACATTAAAGCTGTATACCGACCGGGACAGCAAGTCAACTCTACGTCGAGTAGTATAAAAAGTACGTATGAATGTACAATATGTGAGACACAGATCAGATCAGATCTTCTCTTCCTCTTCTCGTCGCTTACTCTCTCACACAACAACAAACACAAACACACAAACACAAACGTTACTCTTATTATTTATTATATAAAAAGTAAGTAAAGTAAGTTCTCTTTCTCCTTCTTCCTCTTGCCTTCTACTTCTTGTTTCTTATTATCTCTTTTTTTTTTAGTGTATTCAAATAGTTGTCTCTCTGGTTTGTTTTCCCCTTGCTCCACCTCACCTCATTCTCGTCATGTCTTTTTTTTAATTTTTTTATTATTATTTTATTGACCTGGAGACCTACCAACTATGACTACTTACTACTTTTGGACAATCATTCATTCATTCATTCAATTCATTCTTTATATATTTAATAAAGTGTATATTTATTTATTTTGTTTTGGGTTTGGTTTATTTGTTTCCCCAAGTTGCTTGATGATGGGTATGTTTGATCTTTAGATTATCATGTTTCTTGTGACTATGTTTCTTTCCTTTAGTTACTACTTCTTCTTTTTTGACTGGAGCAACTTCAACTTGTTCAACTTCTTCTTGATCAGTATTCTTCTTCTTATTCTTGGTAAGGAGATCAGATTTGGCAGCTTCAATGGACATTGGGTTTTGATCTTTAAAGTGTGGTTTGGGTGGTGGTGGACAGAGACCGACCATTTCGCAGAGTGTAAGTGGTTGGCCATTGACAGTGATAAAGTTCATAATTAATGGACCGTATTGATTGACTAGATCGACACATGAATGATCCAAACGACCAAGGTGAGCACACTCCTTGTCCATAAATGCCAATACTTGGGAGGAATTTCCAAACTCCTTTTTGAGAACGGCTGATGCACGAGCTACAAGTACCTCACAGATACTACAATTGACGCCATCCAAATAACTAAGTTCTTGGTCACTCTTTACAACCGTTGCAGTAATACATAATACTATACAAATAATAATTGCTACAAGTTTCATATTGATTTCTCTTTTTCTTTCTTTTACAAACTAATTAGTTTTACAAAGGTTGTTTGTTAGTCTAATAATAATTAGTATTGGATAATAATAAAATAATGAATATCAAAAAATATATATATCTATCTGTATCTGTCTGGACCATCGTAGTCACTATTTCCAACTTGATTACAATCTTTTGTAAAATCATTCTTCTGGTCGGTAAATATTCCCATTTCCAAGTGTGTGAGTGTTTCATCAACAACCACACACATTTCATTTTTGGTTTAGGAATTCGTATTGTTTCATGTTTCCATGGATGGAAAAAAAAAAGATAATAGATTGAGATAAAAGGGGGTGGTATCGTTGTCAGATTATTATTATTATTGTTATTGTTATGGGGTACGAATTATACTAATTTGTTGGGTGGATTTATTATTATTATCATCTCTCGAGAGATAATTATATACAGTGAATTATTGTTGGATGGAAGGGGATTATATATAAATAAATAAAATGGATGCTTGTTGTTGGGATGAATGAATGGATGATTTTAAGACAATGTATCTAATTTCTCTTGAATATCTTCTAATTTTAAGTACAAGTCTTGTAATTGTTCTCTATTAAATTCCAACAACATCTTTTCATTTGACTAAGAGAAAGGATTAGTAACAAGATATATCTATCTTTTTGTATTTGCATTTGTTTGTTTTGTTTGGTTCAACATACATTTGAAGATTTCAAATTAAATTCAAAGATTGCAGATGATTGTTTGATTTTACTCATCGATGATTGTGACATTTGAAGATGGAATCTCCAACCAATGTCATCTAATACCATAGGTGATACTGTTTTAGATTTTAATTGTTGTAATATATGTTCTGCATTCTCTTCCCATACATTTTGGAATGTTTGGATCTAGATTATTATTGAAAATAGATATCAATATGTGTTCATTGATTAATCAACATATAAACATTTAACATACTTTGTCTTTAGCTAATATAGTCTTGTCTAATTGTGAAGCAAGAGCATTTGAAGAGATTGCATAGTATGCAATTTGATCCAAGATAAAAGAGGTTGCTTCAATGATTGATCTGAGTTGGTTGGTGCTTAGACCCAAGACCCCTTGCAATTGCTCCTCTTCAGCCTCTGAGAATATTCTCTCTCCCTTTTCTCTCACACCTATCTTTTGTACAATTCTTGATAATATTCTTGTAAACTTGCTTGAATCTACTTTATTGATCAATGCTAACGATTCATTGAATCTATTGTATATACAAGTAAGTAAAGTTAGTTTGATTCATCGCTCGACTACTACTACTACTACTGCTGTTGCTGCTGCTGATACATACGCTGATGATGTAGTTTCAAATATATTATGTCCTGACATTCTATATAACTATCTCTCTCTCTCTCTATATATCTAGTACAAACCAATAATGAATAAATGCAATGAATCTTCAAAAGAAGTAATTTTCAATAGATTTTTCAAAGTCTGCAAATTAAATTGTTTGATTTATTATTGATTTAAATAAAATTGACCGATATGACAACTAATCAATTCTGATCGATTATTCCAATACTTGGTATCATCCATTTCAAGATTCAAAGTATGTGTGAATTGATCTAATTGTTCTAATGTTGGGAGTAACCCACCATCAACGGTGTCTTGTTGACCTGTGGATCCACTATTAATAGTCTCATTTCCAGTGTAAACAGGGTTATCATAAATATCTTGTACTCTATTAACTGTAACCATAGACATGACATGACTACTTTCACAAAGACACATTGGTTGTTTTTCAGAATACTGTTTTTGAATGACCACTCTGTTACCACTGGCTTCGAATCGATTTGGATGACTAATACCTTGCTTGGTTCCCAAATACTTGATAATGAGATTAGTTATCATTGTCACAGTCTCGGTACGATACAATGTCGAACAAAGATCAAATGGATAATTCCAATCTCTCTTACTAACACCGTCCAATCTATTCCATTTATAATATACATTTGATACTTTTGAATTGTCCTGTTGTTGATCTTCAACTACATTATTATTATCTACTTGATGATCTTGTAATTTTGTAAAAGATGAAGGGATTTGAATTTGTTCATCACAAGTGTGACAATAGGTGATGGAAGGGTTGAGTTTGAGGTAGAAGCCAAGTGCATCGTTGTGAAGTGACAGACGGTGACTGTAGAGTGAAAGATCCAATGCACGATAGTAGAGGATGTCGTCTACACCAAACACGGTGTGTTGAGTGTCGATATTGTCAATCCAGTCTTTGAGTTGGTTGGTAAAGTTGGTTTCTTTGATAAAGCGTACTCCTTTGTCTTTGAATCGTTGTTCGACAGTCTCGTACGATTGTTGGAATGATTCTTTTGATACTGTATACAACACACTAATATGAACAGTGTATAAAGGGTCGTATTGACACTGATGATATTTAAAGAATGATCTCAGATACTCTTGAAGTTGAAAAGATCGATCCTTTGAAAATATCAATATTGATACTCCATTTTTATAAGTTTTCTTTGGTTGTAAAGATGAAGAAGTTGATCTATTTGGATTTAAAATATTTAATATAGATGATGAAGATGATGAAGATGAGGATGAAGAGGAGGAGGAGGAGGGAGTCATAGAACTATTCAAAAGTTGCATGATTTGTGAAGTTGGATTACGTGATATCCATTTTGACCATAATGTATGTTGAGTTGGATGTGATGGGAATTTTGTCATGAGTAATGTGACTAGTTCTCCAAACCGACCGTTTGTATTCTCTTTGGTCGTGTCTTTGGACGATGGGTAGAGATAGTTGATGACTTGTTCAATAATCAATAGGACATAGACTGATTTGGCAATAGTATCTCCTGATTCACACGTTGCGGGGTGTTGGAGTGCAGAGATGACATCTGGTGTGACAAGACTGGTTTGATCATCCGACAGACCAGCACGCTTACACATTTTGACGAGGTAGTGACTAGACGCCTTGGCAGCACCGTCTCGTTGTGTCTGACGGTTCTGCAGAGACACACCTTGAGCATGTTTACGTAACACTAATAGTGGTGGGGTTCCAGCTGGCATATTATCAATCTTCTTACCATCACCAATCATCTTTAACCACAATGCATAGTCTTCAACATGTCCAAACTTGTTTGAGTATTTGTATTGCTTTGTCGACCCATCACTATTTGATTTGAACAAGGATGTTGTACGAACCAATACAGTAGGATGTACAACACAGCAATTAAAGAACATTGACCAAGCCACATTATCCAATCCAACAGGATGTTCTATTAAATTACTAGGTGACTTTAATTCTCTCAACATTGATTCTCTTTCTTGGTCAATGTCAAACTTGCTGCTGTTGTTATTTGGTTGAGAGTACATTGATATAGGGGAACCTACAACATCGACGTCTGGGTGTAGTTGAAGATAGTTGAATTGCTTTTCAAGTCTTTCTGGGTGACAGTAGTCGTCGGCGTCCATACGAGCAATGTAGGTGCTGTTGGCAACCAGCGGCATTGCAAGAGCTGCGTTGAGTGCACCATAGACACCCATGTTTTGTGGTAGTTCGACAATTTTAATACGCGGGTTGCGTAGTTGATGAAGGTATGTTGTCAAGTCTGCATTCCACGACCCATCATCGACAATGATCAACAACCAATTTGTAAATGTCTGTTTGATGATACTTTCAACCGACAATTTAAAGTATTCTAATACTACATTATTATTATTATTACTATCATCTGTGATATATACAGGTACGATAATAGAAATATAATTATTATTAATAGAAGTAGAAGTAGTAGACATTCATTAACACTAGAATAGAGTACTTCAATGAAACTAATTTCATACCCCCACTCACCTTGTCTTGGTGGTGAAAAAAGTGTCGTTTGGGGTTTTTAATCTTTTTATAAACTGATTCACTTGTCGACTGTCTTAAAACCACCATTGACCTCTCCTATCATACTAATCATCCTTCTTCTTTAATCTATCCTTTTTTTTCATTCATTATCTCTTCTTTCTTTCTCTTTCTTTCTCTCTCTCGCTAATTGGTTATTCGAACCACACTATCCCTTTATTTATATTTTAAAAAGAGGTGACGAATCAATAAGTCAATCAATCACACACAACATTACATTAATTTTTCAATCACTATCATTCATTATTTATTATTTATTTATTAAAGTATCAATAATCACTTGTATCATTAAGAAGAAGGAAGAAGAAGAAGGAGTTTTTTGACGAGATAGAGATATATATATAAACTTTAACCATGGTTCAAATGAATGAGACTAAATGGGCTAGGTTTAAAAGATCGATTAGTTCAATTACATTTGAACAGGCTAAAGTACATTTAGTGCTGTTGTCTGTACAATTGGTATTCTCAGTCTTTTATATTCTTGGTAAAATAGCTCTCAAATCGATGCATCCATTTGTATTTCTAACGTATCGATTGTTATTGGCCACTCCGATCATGTGGTTGTTTGCATTCATTGCTGCACGAGACCAAATGATGTCATTACCTAAAGGTTGGAGAGAATGGATATTATTAATAGTTGTCGGTATCTTGGCTGTTACCATTAATCAATCTTTATTCCTTGTTGGTTTGGAGTTATCTGTATGTTGTCCCGAAATTCAACAACAACAATCAATGGATCTATTTATATTTATATTAATCTTTCTTTTAGACGGCAAGTAATGCAGCCATTACTCAACCTGCAATTCCAATATTTAGTACGTTGATTGGTGTCGTGATGGGATTTGAGAAAAAGACTGCATTAAAGTTTATTGGTATTGGAGTGTCGGTGGTTGGTGCCGTACTGATGATTGATTTTACACATTTGGTGAGTGATACTCGAACGGGCACAGAGACGTTGCTTGGCAACCTATGCTTTTTGGGTAACACTATTGCCTATTCTGGCTTTCTCATTTCACAACGTCCACTTTTAAAGAGTGGTATGTCGCCTGCCAAAGTTATGGCATGGGCGTTCCTATTTGGAACACCAATTGTTGGTATTGTGGGCGCTGCGATAGTGCCCCACGGTCAATGGGCCGAGACCAATGTCATGAACTGGATGGTGTTGTTGTACACGGCCATCCTAGCCACCGCATACACGTTTTGGATGAGTGCATGGGCCGTCAAAAAGTCAGATGCGACCACTGTCGCCGTCTACCTCACCATCGAACCACTGGCCACGTCCATCATGGCAGCTATCGTCTTGCACGAGAGATTAACACCACTCAACTATGTCGGCGCATGCGTTATCCTGGTCGGAGTCGCCGCAGTCATGTTTTCCAAACACAAAGAGAAAAAAGAAGAGTTGATGCGTGAATATGAAAAGAATAAGAATAATCACAGTGCTGTACATCAGAAACATGCGAGTGCGAATATAGATATGTTGGAAAGAGGAGAGGTGGGTACGATTAAAGAGACCAACCAAATTGTTGATAGCAGTAATATTTATATATCACCAGACTTGCACGCACAAAAGTCGTCATCTTCTGGTGACCATTCCGATCACGAGCAAGACTCTGCTTTCTCTACACCCGATAAATCACAATCTATTCCAAATCATAAATTGGTACCACGTCATCAAACAACAACAACACCATCACAACACTTACATCAACATCAACATCAACAACCAACACCACATGATCCATATCTTCCACCTGCAACTTCACATATCAATATTGAAAGTTTCAATGATAATTTTGATGAACAAAAGAAAAATAACAAAAAGAAAAAGGATAAAAAGAAAAAGGATAAGATCAAACTAAAGAAATACGGTAAACAAGGGGGTGGTAATTCAATCCTCAGTAGTGATTACAACAATTATGATGATTACTATGAAGATTATGAAATTACAAATGGCGGTCAATACGATGACAATAATAATAATAATAACAATAATAATAACATAGATTATGATGATGATGATTCATAAATCAACTTTAAATAATAATAATAATAACAATCAATAATACTAATAACAAAGTAATACCAAAATACTAATAACGATATGGTTACAAATAATATTAATAATAATAATAATTTAAAAATTGTAATAATATAATCATTTTTAATATACATAAATACACACACACAAATATATGGCGAACAACAACAACAAGTAAAGAATTACAACAAATAAGGAAATAATAATTATTAAATAAATAATTATTATATATAATAGGGGATTGTATGTTTTTTCAAAAAATATTTACAAATTTTATATATCCAATTCTATTTATTATTATTATTATTTGTTTTATATAGAAACATTTAATTAAATTATAGTATTTGCTATTTCGAAAATTATCCAATCTCTGAATATTCTTTCTTTTTTCTACCCAAATCAAAAGTTGGAGCCATTTCTTTGATGATTTCATAGAGTAATGATGTAGAGGATGATAATAAATCTTTTTCAAACTCTTTGGTTCCAACCAATTTCTTGATTGATGATAATATAAATGATAGTGTATGTTTCTTTAGTACTTTACAGTTGTAAATGTCCGAATGGGAGAGAAATGATCCAACATTACTTAGATTAATTTCTACTATTAATTTGGTTTCACATTGCGCTAAAAGAAAATAAATAATTAATTAATAAATACTCTACTTGCTTTGTTTCATTCATAGATTTAATTTACTTTTTAAAGAATCTAATAGGTAATCATCGGCAATGACAATTAATTGCATGATAGTGTCAATATCTAAGTTCTCTTCTTTATCCTTTTCAATCTTGTCCGTGTATAAATATTCTATCATCTTTTTAAATATAATTGCTTTGTATTCTGTCACTTTTAATTCTGCTTCTCTACTCTCCTTCATTTGATTACTAAACATTGCTTTAAACTTTTCACATCTTGCTGATAGTATATCTAAATAATATATAAATAATTATATAAGGTTAGTATCCAATTCCAACATGTACGATATTAGTAGTGCTGTACTAACTTTTATGAGCAGGTAAAGTCGATCCATCATCCAAAGCAAATGTAATATCACTAAACTCTTCAGAATTGTATAACGCTTTAATATCTTCGATAAATGAAGAGGTTAGTGATGATTTGGTTGGATCAGTCGATGACTTTAATGGTCTATGCGAAACTCGTCTAACTACTATAATGTCACCTGTTGCAAGTCCAATCTAAATAAATTGAATAGACTATTAGTTAGTATCAAAGTTTTGTTTCTATATCTATCTATTTTGTCTATCTTTACATACATCAGAAGGACATTGTTCAGGATTAAGTTTATCTTGAAAGAAGAAGATGAGTTCACTTTCATCGATACAGAATCTATTTGATACATGTACAAAGAGACGTTTGAATAGAGTATGTTTACGCATGAGGAATGGTGGAAGTACACCATATGCCTTGATACCAATAGGACATATAGAGATGGTGATGTCGTCGAGTTGTTGTTGTTGGAGTTGTTGCTGCACCTGTGATTGAGGAGGCGAGCCAAATATGATTGAACCTGATGATGTAGTCATTGGGTTGGCAGGTAAAGCAACGTTATTTGTTGTAGTTGTAGTTGTTGTAGTGGAAGAATGAGAAGTATTATTACTACTAGAGTTACCTCCTCCTCCGTTGCTGCTAGCGTTCAACATGTTGATAAACTCTATTTGTTGTGGTGAAAGGTGACCAATACTACTCTGCATGTACACTAATTATGATTAATTTGATATTATTATTATTATTATTATTATTATTATTACTACTACTATTATAATAATATAACAAAAAGTATCTCTAGAGATAAAAAGTGTAGCTTGTTGTACAATGAAATGAAATGACACTAACGATGAATTTTAATGGTTCGCTTTAAAAGATTTTGTGGGGTTTTGAAAAAAAGAGGGAGGGAGTTATTTATTTAAATAAATACAAATATTCATCTTTGGTACACATCACATATGTAAGTGCTAGCCCGAGTTTTAATTGTTACGCAAAAACGACATTTATTATATTCTAATTAGAATATTATTCTAATTTTTTATTTTACTTTCACGAATTATTATTTTTGCAAGAAGCAACTATGCATAATGCCAACCTCCATCTGGTTTTCGAATATCTACCAGCAACTAGGAAATTGACATAATTAATATTAAGTCTATGACCAATCAATTTTTTAAGATAAAACACTTACACGCTGATTATAAAAATTCATTGTCTTAGAATAATCTATTTCCTTCTTGTACCAATCAAGTAATTTCACGTTCCGAGGGAGCTTGTTTTCCTTGATACACAATCTTTCCTTAAAATCAAGAGCAAGTTCCAATGGGTCAGCTTCCATTTGAACTCCGTTGGAAAGGTTGATTTTGATTGGATAGTTGTAGTCAATATACAAAATCCCATTTTCTTGTAGTTTGACTTTTCTCGGGAGAACAAGTCGGCAACCAAATGACTCCCTAATATAATCCCAAACCTATAAGTAGAGGAGATGGTTAGTTTTTTTCAATAATAATTAAAAGTTATTAAATGTATGTTATTTGATTGAACATACAATTTCAGGGATGACTTCAAAATTGATTGATTCCTTGGATGTTTGCAACAACATGCTAGGATTATCTTTGTGCACCAATGAAGAATTATCAATCATTTTAGGGGCACTTTCAGGTTTGCAATTACACATTCCAAAATCTCTGAAAGATTTAAACCACCCATCTTCGACCACATACCATGTTTCACCTTCAATCAATGGATGATTTCGAATGGTTTGAAGAACCTGAAAGTTTTTTTCAAATATCTCTGTGTTTGTCATCATGGAAAAAGGTTTTTTCGGCTTGGTTGGTTCTAACAGATTGGAAGCTCTCTTGAAGCAATTGAAATAGTGATCCAATGCATGACCCTTTTCAAGTTGTAAACCACAAAGAAAACACTTTTTTTCATCTAAATCAATCTTTTTGATCAATTCTTTTTTAAAAGAATTATCATCTAGTTTTAAAACGACTTCTTCTTGAATATTAGTTTCCATTCTACAAAAATAAATGATAACTAAATTAAAATATATTTAATTTTTCTCTTTTTAAAATATATTCTTACTTTATGAATAGTATTATAGACTCTGAGGAATATGATAATATTGTATGAAATTCAATTGTGAGTTATTCTATTCTATTCAATGATCATTGCAAATTAATTTGGATGAGCATTTAATTTATTATTTGATTTCCTTTTTTGAATTTGGATATAACTTCACCCCTTTGATTTGAAATCATCCCCCTCTCTGAATGTAGATTGATATTGTATAATATTAATTATATAAACATTTGTCACAGATCTAAACACACCACCAAATGTAGTAAATGCACGCACGATGTATACTATACATTGATACAACTTGAACTAGAATTCTTTTATTTTTATTGATCAAACCAATGATAATTATTTATTTTCGTTTATGGTTTTTAATAATTGATTGAATTGCATTCCATTGCTCCACAGTGAAAATACTTTGATTTTCTATCAAATCTCCAAGATTATGTAATTGTTGGATGAGGACATTGGTATTATGAGGATTTGATTGTAAAAGAGTATCAAATAGTTGCATGTCAATTGATCTCTGTTCATTGTGGGGCGATTTTAAAAATGCCGATCGAACAGCTTGGAGCATTTCAATGGAATTGATGGGACTAGGAATGTCTGCGAGGGAGAGGGTACTATCTTTGTTGTAATAAATCTCTATGTATTGGTATAGATTATATGTGATGGCCTCTTCCCAACGGTCATCTGGAAACTTGTAGAATTCCATAAACTTTTCGTTCCAAAATATTGGTAATCGATCAACTGTCAATTTTAAATCGTTAATTGTAATATTATTTTGTCTAAGGTATTCTATGATTTGCCTGGTAACCTTCCATCTCCCTTTCCAAAGATCCAATGGTTGTTTAGCAAGGTTTAGGTAATTGAAATCCATGATTCCACCAAACACATCTGTTTTGTCGTCTTTTTGGCTGTACTTTTGGACAACGACTAAAAGATCGAGTAGTTGCGTCATGTTTCGCATGGTATGAAAATACTTCTTCTCTGCAATGGCGTCGATTGTGGATTTTGACATGGATGAGATGGGGTCAAAGTAATCCAGCCACTTTCTTTGTTTTGTATCGGCGTCGGCGGCGATGAGATGTAGGAAAAACTCTTGGTTACTGATGGATAAATGCGAGTCAATGGTGGCCGGGATCCACTTGTCATACTCACCAACGAGTGCCAGACACATGAAAGTGCCGGCTTCATCGGTTCGTTTGGCATTGGTGTAGAATGGGCAGTACCGGAGACCACCTCTATCACCAGGCGCCTGTTCAATGTACGTGTTTAGTTGGGTCAATGCGTTGCGGACCTGACTGTGAGTGCAGTTGCCAAAGATGCAGTCGACCTGCCCTTTATTCAAGTCCTGGCCAAAAAAGAGAAATAGATTGGCTGGTGTATTCTCATACCCCATCGCCATCTCGTCGATGATGAGCCTGTGAAAAAACCCTCTGCTTGATCTGTACAAGAGCCGGTTGTTGGCCAGAATGTCGATCTTTTCGGTCAACTCTTTGGGATATAGTGTTTTGAGGTCAGAGCAGATGCCTTCCCTGGTGAGGTTGATAAAGTCGAACTCGCGCAGCTGCGAGAGAAAGGGGTCGGTCGTATCGATATTGTTTTGCGAGTGATCGTTGAGGAAATAGTTGAATAGCTGCATGGGGATGTTAGGATCCTTTTGGTGAAAGATGGCAGCCAACAGACACGAAAAGGTCTTGGGGTTGTTGCTGTTGCTGTCCTGGCTCGACGATCCGCCACTGTTGAAGCTGTCGTCCAAAACATATATGCTTTGGTGTCCCGCGAGGTCAAAGAACCCCTTTTGACCAAATTTCTTGAGCATCTCTATCGACCCGAGTTTGTACATGGACTGCTGGAACGGACCGTGTCCTCGTAGACGGTTGTCGACCACGTCAATACTCTCGTAGAGGTGGTTGCGGATCCACCCGATATACTCGAGTCCCTGCGACCCATACTTCATCGATGCAGACAACGTCTCGTCTAGCAGTGAGTGGTCCTCGAAATGGATGCGTTTTGATTGTACATTGTACTGGTAATGATCGTGACTAGTTTTCATAAAATACGAGAACAAATAATCAAGTGATTTGATGGGGCTGCCTTCCATCGCTCGCCGAAAGAGTCGGCCGTCGTGGAGATTGTTTTCAGCGGCGAGGTCGAGCAACGTTTTTATAATGTCGGTCGATGGGTTGGAGATGACGGCCTCCTCGAGACACCGGATAGTGTTAAAGTAGATTTTTTTGGCTTGGAATATCACGTTGAACTGCTCGGGGTCGTCGACCCTGCCGCACACATACTCGGCGTCTTCCGTGGTGAACCGAATGTCCACCTTGAACATTCTGGGCTTGAACTTGTCGACGAGCAGATTGATATGGTTGTTGAGCAGCATGTCACGGGCACAGTACCAGTGCTGGTCGAGATGGGGGTCGAGACAAACCTCATTGTCGCAGAGGGCCACGTCCCTGGCCCGCTTCCAAATCTCGTCTTTGATTTGTTTTTGTTTACAAATACAATCAATCATTAAGGCCTCTGACCGTGTTCTCTTTTCCATTTTAACGTTAAATTAAAATAAAAATTATAAATAGAGACTATATAAAAATAAATAAATAAATAAATATTTAAAGAGAGGGAGAGACGTTTCGAGGAGAACGAGGAATGGATTCCAAACGTGATCAAGTTTTTTGATAGTAGGATCGGTTGACCGTTGTACTTTTGAATTAAAAGATTAAAGATTTTTGAGATGATACAACAATCTGAAAAATGCAAAAAACGAAAAAAATAACCAAATTAGGAATGAGGCGCAGTGAGATTATATGGCGTTACCTGAAAAACTTACCAAAATAGCCTAGGGGCGCGGACAACTTTTGCAAAAAAACAAAAAGAACGTTCGAGCAATTGTCTTGGACTGTTTAATTTTAATCGATTTGATGATTATCGTAAAATGACAACAACAATAGCAACAATGCAAATGCGATGCAATGAAGCAAACAAACAATGATTAGGTCAGCTGATAAATGAGTTATATATATAATGCAATGTGTAATGTATAGGGTATATAGAGTTGTATAATATATAAATATAAATATATACAGATATATAAATTGTTTGTGTAGAATATTATGATAAATTAAATAAGAGATATGATAAAAGAGATTATGATTGATGCAGGAAGCATCTGTCATATGATATACTATGCTGATTGGATGTGTATGTTGTTGTTGTTCATCTGTTTTAAAAAACATAATCCCCTAGCCCGTAACCCTCCAACATGAGGAGGATTGATCAATCCTCTCTCTTTTCTTTCTCCAACTCAAAAATATTGATTACAAGATTTTTGATTCTATTTTTTTGATAAATGCATTGTAATGTGGAAGGGGTGAGAAGAGAGGATGGATGGATGGGTGGAGTGACTGGAACAGGGTGGGGTGGTGAATGCAATTTTGGAATGAGTTTCCCTCCTCATGCAAAGGGAGGTGACCGGAACAGGCCATAATTACTCTTTCGCGTTATTAGTAACTCTTGATTGTCATATCTCTCATCGAGTAGTGTTGGTGGTGCCATACTTTGTGTGGTGGTTTTGAAATATAGTTGTTTCATGTTTCATCGATCAGATGTAAAACAGTCTACCAACTACAATGTACAAAAAAAATGATACAATATACATAACAGATTTAAATGTGAATTAATGTTGCCGCCAATTAAAGATATCTTTTCTATATATATATCTCTTCTCTGATCTGATGTGCTGTGGTTGTAGTGGTGTTGATGTTTTTCGTGTTGTTAGTGTGTGGGTGTTTTTTTCAAAGGGATGGTTGGGGTTGTACAAATGATTGATAGAGGAGAGTGACCTACTGATTTTGAATTTTCAAAGTACAGAGGAGAGCATTTAGATAATTCAATATGATGTTGCATTTTGAATCTATTAGTTTGTTGTAGTTGTTGTTATTTTTACGATTCTGCTTCCGAGTGATGTTGCGTTGAATGGTAGAGTCGATGTCACTGACAATGAACTTGATTCGTTCCAGTGTTTTGAGAGGGTTTGATTCGGATACTACCATCATACCGATGCAGTGCTGGATAATATCGGTATTGTCAAGTACCACCTCGAGCATTTTAATGATTGTTTTTGCTCTCTGCTCTATACTCCACTTTTGAGGTTTGGAGCGTTGATACAGACACTCCACCATATCGACACTAGTTGCAAACGAGAAATACTCTTCATCTATTGAAAATGTATCAATATATTTAATCAACCCAATATTATTATCAGATATAATTAATGGAATCCCCATCAGATTATTATAATCATCTTTAAATAGAAATAGAGATTACAAAATTACCAAATTAATTCATTCACATTTATGTATTTTATATATTTTTGGAAAAGATTATATATATATTTGGTTAATATAATTTAATACTTTGAATTCAATTTAATTTATATACTCGATGTCTTGTTTACATACCTTTTGTAAATAATTGCTCAATAAAATGAGAAGGAGATGGCCAAACTTTTGGTGGATGATTTAATTTGATTTTGTTGTTTGGATATTTAAAGAGGATGTAGGGAATGATGGTCCATAGTTTTTTAAATGATTCCAATGAGAAATCTTTTGATACGAGGTTGAGTGTTTGAATCGATGCGTCAATCATTTTAATTGATCTAGATTCAATGGCACGACCGAGGAACTGGTGATAAAAGTGGTTTGGAACAAACAACTTGAATTGATGTAGCTCTAGCCAGTCCAGAAACGCTTCGTCGACAAATGAGTAGCTGTGCATATAGTAGGTATACAAGTTTCCTTTGATTAGATCGGATGAAATGATCGATGCAACTTTGATCATGATATTTTGGTTTTTAAAGACACGGTATAGTCGAGACGATTCGATTTGATGGTGTCTGGGATGATGACTTGATAAATAATCGATAATGTCACATCCAAAGTCATCACTTCTTGCAGCTGCCCCGAGGAATGGTGCGTCGTCAATATTGCCAAACTGCGGTGTGGTTGTGATGATGCGCATCACCTCTTTTACCTGTTCTAGAGTGGCAACATTTTCAAAGAGGCATTGATAAAACTGTCGGCGATGTACCATACTGTAATGTTCGATACAGTGACTGATGGATGACACTTGTCCCAACCGAACCTCGTATGCTAGGTATGGTTCAAATGCCAACTCTGCCAAATTAATTCGTTGTGCTACAAATATGTAAAGGTCGTTGTATACCAACGTCTCTTTTACAATTGAACTGATCGGTTCTCGGCCTTCCATTCTCTTTTCAACATTTTGTCGGTACCCTGCGACCAGTGCATCGTAATCGTGATGGAGTGGTAGTTTGGTGATATTATTATTTTTGATATAGTAGAGAAGTAGGTTGATTCTGAGTGTTGGCTGAGTTTGGTGACTGTTGATATCGGTCATGACCATCTTGGTTGACCACTCTCTCATCGGGTTGAATTGTTCGAGTAACGACATATCTCCCATCTTGTAGAAATTAGGACGGTATGTTCTATTTTCAAACAAGTCTTGTGATAATTCACAATGATCGATCATCCATCTAAAGACTGATGCATCGGTGATCATTTGAATGACCGTACTGAATCCACTCGATTCAGTGTGACCTATTCGATTAACATCTTGATTAAGAAGGTAGTATCGAGGAGGATCAAGATTAGTGGCGGTGAGGTAGTCTCTAACGACGGGATGAGAGACTATAAAGTCGAGGAATGCTACACGGTTGGTAGTACTTCGATTGAGCAACGAACTGTACATCACATTGTTCAAATACCACTTTTGTTCAAATGCGTCGGAAATGTGCAAGTTGTTGAGTAGATGGTTGACAATATCAATGTTACCCTTGATACACGCCGCATTGATGCATCCAGGTGACTGAAAGTTGAGTCTTCTCGCTTGATAGATCTCTTTGAATTGTGTAAACGAGTCAAACGTAGAACAGATAGTCTCTGCATCCTTGGATGTGAATCTCAGTGGTTCGTTTCTCTTTAATTTATCAATTAGTAATCCTATGTATCCATTATCCAATATATCACTAACTCTAAACCAGTGTCGGTATCTAAACAAACAAAAAGTGATGAGTAATCGAGATAGAACGAATAATTATATGTAGACTACATACTTTAATAACACCAAACCATATCTATCTATAAGTTGTCTTGAATCTATTTCCTCTTGTATCAAACAAAGGTTGATTGTTTGTCGTACCGATCTCTTGACCGGTAGTTGATCAAAGATATACTGAAACAAATATTTATTTCTAAATACTTGGAATAACGTGTTATCCATTTAGAATGAATAAGTACAAGTTTATATCTGTCTCTGTCTCTGTATTGTTAACTATAACTATATATATATAGTGGTGGTTCGTATGGTTGGATAATATCATTCCCTTTTATCTTTTTTTTTTTAATTAATTTAAAATATTTAGGGTGTGGTTTCTCTGTTTATGATCATTCATTCATTCATTCCCTCTATCTAAATGTATAATAGTTAATAATAATCATTGAATATGACAACGCAATCACCTGATCTATCAGTATTCATCATTAAACTAGTCATTTTTTGATAGATATATGTTATCATTCCCATTCCTCTTCATCAACAAATCATGGAATAGGTTATTTGACAACAAAAACACCTATTTTTAGTTTGGTCAAGTCTGTCATTACTACCAGAGTATTACATTCCCAACTCTACTTTAACAGATGATTTATAAAGAGTATGATAGTGATAGCGCACATGTATCATAGATTTTGGGAACAAGTCAAATCTGAAATGAACTGGAATGGGCCATATGGAGAAGATTCTAAAGATAATGAAATCTATCTTGGAGCAATTTTGGGTGACAATGGATGGGTGTCATCTTCCAACCAGAAACATGGATTGGTCATATTTGTTTTTTTTAAAACTTAATAAAAAGGTATATAGGGCTTCATTCATCATCGTCATCATCATCATCACCATCATCATCATCATCATCATTGTCATCATCATCATTCTTGTATTTTTTCAATTACAGTAGATATAATTTAATATCGATAATGACAACGCAATTAATCCAAGGAGAGGCCCCTCCACCTCGATGTACATAGCCCCCTCTTCACGCAACGTTCGAGGATATGGTCAGCAGAGTTCCTGGGCTACACAACTTGTGTATGTATGCGAACCAACTATTCATAGACCAAAAAAACGACTTTGCGGATTTCGAACAGCGGTCTGAAAATGCCTCTTTGAAGGGGATGGCTCGTGTTTATTTATTATTGACGAGTTTTCAATCTTCGATTGGTGACTGATCAAGGCTAATCTTTGCTGCATCATACCCAAAATCTAGCCTTATCTTATCCAGGGAGAAGGACTTCAAGGAAAGACTTCCAAGGATTCCCCCCCTTACCATTCAAGACAGAATCAAATCAAACGTACTGTACACAAACTGACATAATTTGCAGATTCAATATTGAATTGTTCTATTGAATTCTCGTTGTCTGATGATATTTTGTCCCCTTGCTTGAGGACCTCAAACTACTTTTTCTGATTTCCTCCTCATCTTTTATTTATTTATATCTCATTGTAAATAATAATTATTATTATCTACAACAACAACTACTACAATGTCTTCATCAAGGAGATCAAGTAAATCCAGAACATCTGGAACTGATTCTTCTGGTAGTTTAAATAGACTATTAAACTTTTCCAAATCAATTGAAAAGGGTAAGTAAGAAGAAACAGAGAGAGATAGAGAATAAAAAGTATGGTATTTCAAGAAATTTATTAACCCATTAATTTTCCATTTTATTAATAAAATATGTATAGGTATTTTCGGAGTACTATATGCAATGACAAAGAATAATACATTTCCAAAAGCATTAACAATCATTGCATTGATCATTGAATTTATTCGTAAGTAGTATTGTATTGTGTTCAAGTAGCAGTACTGTAAAAGCACGAGCGAGGATATAGTTTAAACAGTTCATGCACTGGGTTGTCATGATGAAAAGACAAAAGACAACCATTAAGGGCCAATTCCAACCCTCCAAAATACCAGGTTCCTCGTTTTAAAATATGTGGAGGTTTGAAAATCATCGAGAAGAGGTTTTTTTTTTTTTTTGCACCATCATCATCATCTTCATCTTCATGATCTGACCAATAGGTTTATTTTAGTCTATTGTTCATCAGATCATACCCATCCCCACATACCTACTACCCACACATGACAATGATAATCTAATCAAATATCAATCTATATATATCTATATATATCTATTTATATATCTATCTGTATCAATACCTTTTATAGAATTAATATCTTTTGGATTTAAAAGTGTATTCCCTTGGGGTGGTGATCTAGGATTGTAAGTACCAAATCAAATCAAATCTATACTTTGATTGATCGACTTTTCTCTTCTTACTCTTTCTTTCTTTCTTATCTTTTCTTTTCTTTTTTCTATTTCTATTTATAGTTATTTAAAAAAAATCGTATCACCAATATCACATCCAGCAGATGTATTAGCATATAAAGGATTTACAGTATTATTTTGGGTGGCCATTGCCTTTATGGTATTGGGATTTATCAACATTTGGTATGTCGCCTATACATTCTATCAAGGAAAGATAGCCAACATTTGGATCATTCGAACTTTGAGATGGTTTGTTTCATCGACTGTCGCCGTGCTCTACATTCCACTGCTTTCTCTGTTTCTCATCGGTCTAAACTGTTCAAAGGATTCAGAGAGTGGAGGAGGATACTATCTGACTCGATTCGCTAGTCAAGACATTCTTTGCTACGGACCAGAGAATATGCCAATCACCATCTTTTCCATCGTTTTCATCATTCTTTTTACAATCATTGCTGTTTGTTCGAGTGTTACCTATTATGAATTTGATACTTCAGTTTCTGATAGATTTGCTAAACCTCATGCTAGAGTATGTTAAAAAAAAAGAAAAAAAATATTTATATAAATATATTTATATTTATTTATTCATATTAATAATAATAATTATTTACTTTATACTTTAGTTTGATTTAACCATATTACTTGTTAAAACAATATTTGCATTCTTTTTTGAATTGTTAAAAGGGTATCCATGGTTATTGGCAATTGTATTTTTTATTGGGTTACTTTTACTGTCTTTTGGTTCCATCATTTTACTTCCCTATAATAATCAGAGATTGAATCAAATCAAGTCTGGATTATATACAATCGTCCTATGGGTATCATTTTGTACCATTCTAACAATGATTGTAAATGATACTGAATCACCAGCTACAAGTTATTTAGTAGTTGCTGGTTTAATTCCTTCATTTTTCCTTGGTTTCTTTTTAAATAGTAAGTTATTATAAACTATATTAATATATTATTAAATATTAACTTTTAGTTATTTTTTGATTTTAGAACTATTTTATAAATATTTATATAAACAATTAAAATATTTAACAAATGTTCCACCACAAACATCAGTTCAAACAATGGAAGTTATAAATAATAATAATAATTTAAATGGTGAAAAGATTGTAAAATTTGAAGAACCTGTAACATTGGGAAGCAAAAGTCAAATTAAATTTCCATTTTTTGATAAGTGGTTTTCAATGCCTTTGTTTATTGAAATAATGTCACGTCGTATTCTAGCATCACGTGGTGGTAATCAACGTGATCAAGCAGCTATTGATCGCGCCAATCTACTGTTCCAATGTGGATTACAGTACTATCCAAACTCTTCGCTTCTGTGGATGGCCTATGCAAACTATCTCTTTACCGTTCGTCAAGATCGTCATGTTGGCTATGCATCGTTGGAAAAGCTTCGTCGTATGAACCCGCCATTTGATATTCGGTTCTTTATCTTTCAACGTGACAAGGAGCGTGAGCAAATGATGGATTCCGATCTGCGTGGTCCCAGTGGCAAGATTCAAGATTTTGTCACGTACATGGAGTTTAAAAAGTTGTATCTTGGGGCACGTCGATCCCACCAATCCTGTCTCAACTATATCAATCGGTTCTGGAGACATCTCTTGCACGAAACGATCGATCTCAATGCCCTCTCTACGCTCTCGGGCAAGATTGCCACATCCGAGACGAGGGCCACCGAACAGTATGAACGGCTGCTTGGACTCAACCCCAACTCGGTTCGTGTCATTCGTGACTATGCCCAGTTTGTCGAAGAGGTGGTGCGTGACAGAGACCACTCTTTCAAACTAGCTAAAAAGGCAGATACGATCGAAGACAATATGTCCAAGAGTCTATCTATTGAACATACTCGTCGGTTGTCTAGTAGTATTCCATCCGACCTAGATATAATGGGTGATGGTGCCAGTACTGGTGGAATTCAATTGGAGCGTATTAGTATTGATACTTCAGCTGCGGCTGGTTCCCTGCGCAGAGGGGAACAAAAAACAATAAGAATTCCCGAAAATTCATCAACACAAGATAAAAAATCGGGTGGTGGTTTATCTGGCGACGATTCTAGTGATGCAACTGGATCATCTTATCATAGTCGATCGAATTATGCTGCGTATCAACAAAGCAACTCAATTTCTCGTCTTTCATGGTTGATGATATTTACGACGTTGGCCACTGTCATCTTTGCCATTGTCGTGTTGGTCGTGCTTCGTAATCAAATGATTGCGCAACGTAATGCTTTCCAGGGTGTTTTGTCACTTGGCAGCTTGGGGTCAGAGAGTGTCCAAGTAGCCAACAATTTCCTGCTCATGAACCAGTACGCCCTGGCCAATAATTCGGCGGGCTTTGCGTACCACCAACACGACAATGTGCGTCGCATCAACATTATGGAGAATATTCATCGGGCCATCTACTATGGCGAAAAGAGTCCGCAGGCCTATGTCAGCGACCCCATTGCCACGCTCAAGCGCCAGGCTGGTATTTCTGGTGTCTATGACATTGGCAGCGTCCTCTTCTCCTATCCCCAGTTCAACAAGACCAATCCGGCCAACTCTGCCCTGCTGCGTGCAGTCTACAACAAACCGGTTATCGACATGATGATGCTGATCGGAACCAACGCCTACAATGACAACACCACCGACTTTAAATACGTCACGCAGCCATTCAACGTGTGGAAGGGTGGTAATATGTATGTCGAGAATGCCCGTGTCATCAACAGCTACGCGATCGATGATTTTGGCACCGAAATTAGTCGTGACCCTGGATTCAGATTCGTCACCAAAAACACTCAGACCTTGTCCGACTCTTTTCTCCTCGTTCAAAAGGCTTACGTCGGCACTATCCTCTTGTCAGCCAACAACAATTCTCTCAACATCTTGTATGTGTGGGTATCCATCTTTGGATTGCTCTTTATCCTCGCTGTCCTCCTCTTCCGTCCAATCGTGAGTCGAATTTCGAGAGAAAAGATACGTACACTCGTACTCTTTGCTCTTGCTCCTCACGACCTCGTTTTGAAAATGGCTACCAAAAAGGTTAAACTTTCTAATCTTGAAAGTGGGTCAGATCGTGATATCCAATTTGATTTGACCAGTGGTGACGATGAAGATGATCAAGTTAACAATAGTCATAGCCCATTCTCCTCCCCCTCCTCCTCCTCCTCGAGGATGGTCAACAAATCATCTTCATCCCTTTTACCAGAATCTTCTTCTTCATCACCAAATATATTATTACAAGGTGAAGAATTAACCAAAGGTGGTGGAGAAGATGGAACTGCAGTTCTTGATCAAGAGGATCATCATTTACCTTTACTATCTCCCGCCAAAATAGTTGGTGATAGTACTACTACTACTGCCACTGCCACTGTCAAGAAAAGAATTGGTGGATGGGATGGTACAAGTAAAAGAAATATCAACAAACGATCGTTACGTGTGGTATTACGTAGACTACATGTTTCATATAGTTTTGCATTATTCCTGCTCTTTGGTATATTGACCATGGGATTGTTCGTAAGTTTTGCACAAATATTTGTCGATCAACAAGCTGGGTATGACCTTGCGCTCTGTGCCTACCGTACAGCCGATTCTCGACTTTTACACTATTACACAACCAAGCTATTGTCACCACCAGACGAGGGTGATAATCTCCAACATGATATACACAACACCACCCTTGCATTCCAAAAGAATCATCAGTCACTCATCGATATTCCTCGTACTGAAGATGTGATGGATGGCACATTTGGATGTTATCGTATCGACCAATCCGAGTGTCGTCAGCCCCAGGATCCCTATTACAAGGACACTATATTTGGTTTGGATTGGACGATCGAGCAAATGATCCAACATTCTCTCAATTTAGCCTATGAAAATCGTTCAGCGATGACCGGGACCGATCCAGACATCGTGTGGATGAATGCCATGTATCCCGACATTAGTGATGGGCTCGATCGCACCACTTTTAGATTCTTTGAGTACTGGCAAGAGATTCAAACCAAGGCACTCAACATCATCACCGCCATCTTGTCCGTATCCACCGTCCTACTCGTGCTCATCTACCTCATCCTCTTCCGTCCCTTTATCAATCGTCTTCGCGTTCAACATATACATACTCTTGCAATGCTTCGTCTTGCTCCTGAAGATATCCAATTTATGCATGTTAGTGATAAAATTATTGATGAAGATTAACAAACATAAAAATATTTATTTAATTTATTCATAAATTTTTTATCATCCACGACCCTTCTCATTTTTTTACTTTATTTTATTGATTTATTACTTTCAATAATATTATTACTATTATGACAACAACCGAATTACCTGCTTTATCATTATTGATCATTAAACAAATCATAGTAGAGTGTGTAAGAGGTGATAGATATATGTTATCATTCCCATTCCTCTTTGTCAACAAGAATTGGAATAGGTTATTTGACAATGATTCATTTTGGCAACAACTATGCTATGTTAGATGGACAAGTTTGTCATTACTGCCACAAGATTATACTCCCAACTCCAATTTGGAGGATTTTAAACCTGTCATTGAACCAAGCTGCGGTGGTAGTGTTGATGATGATGAGGATGAAGATGATGATTACCTTTTTGGAACAAATATCAACTATCCAAAGGTAAAAAGTATCAATGGATGGAAAGATGTATTTATATCAAGGTATTATAGAACTTATCATCTTAGAATACAACAACATTTCTACATGTCTGGTCAATATCTTGTATGTAAAATCCGTGATCAGCAATCTATCACCAATCAAGCATTATTGGCAAAGAAAATGAAAGCTCTTGATCAAGACCACTTGGACATGTATAGAGATGATCTAGAATCATTATTTGTGTTAGAGTCGGTCGAATATCATTCAATTGAACAAATAGGTTATCATCATTCAAAATGCACTGATTTCCGAACTGAAGTTATCGGGTCAGTCATGACTCTATCTGGCAAGAGAATTAAATTCCAATTAAGAAAGGGAAGAGACCATGGCTATAGCTATGAAGATTATGATACCAACATATTGATCATTGGTTCTGCTAAATGCACCAAGGAATACCTATTGAAAAATGTTCCTGGCTTTTGGGAGAAAGTCAAGGTTCAAATGAAATGGAATGGGTCATTAGAGAAGATCCAAGAGATAATATGTGATATCATGCAACCCGAAACAGAGATTGATGCATTTGGTTTACCACACGAATATTTCCAGAGGTACAATTTACCAGAGTAGTAGCTATAACTTCCAAATATTGGGATGTCAATTTAATTAAATATGGTTATGGTTGATCTTCTATTTTTTATTTATATACAACTTAATTTAATTAATTTAATTTTATTTACATTTTATATAAACACAATTACATTCCATTTCACAAACATTAATATATTATTATTATTATTATTTGTTCTTTTGTTTGTTTGCAATTTGTTGTTGTTGATTTTGTTGTTGTTGTTGTAATTTACCATTTGCAAGAGATAAATGATGGAAAGAGGTTGTAGTTGTGGTGGTAGTCGTGGTTGTGGTTGTGAAATGGGTAAATGGTGATGGTATGAGTTCAATGGTTGGAGCAGCTCCACCACCACCAGCTGCAGACGACGAGAACAAAGACAATGAGGAGGAAGAAGATGATGAGGAGCTGGTCGAATACGACAAATGAGAGGATGAAGTGTCTTGGTTACAATCGAATCCAATGACTGGCGACGACGACGATAGTGGAGGCGATACAATCTGCTCGAAAAACTTGGCCTTGTTTTCGTGGTGATGGTGCGTGTCTAGGACGCTAGCACTGTTGCAATGTTTGTGAGAAGAGTTGTTGCTGGTCATGCTACTACTGACACCAATGTTGTTGTTGTAAATGTCGTTGTTGATAATAGTCTGGATAAAGGGGCTGTTGGGTGGTTTGTAGATAGGGGTCGTTGGAGGATTAACCAAGATACGTGGAGTGGCACCTGTCGAGATACTACTGTCCTTATCCTTGGAAGAGGACTGAGTACTGCTGATACCGATAGAGGTAGAGGTATGGTTACGCTTGAGTGCTTGGTACACCTTGTAGATAGTTTCCTTTTCAAGTGCGCTGTTGTTGGACAAGTCAATGTTGAGTAGGGTGTGGTTGGACGCGAGCAGCTTGACTAGACTTTGTCCAGACTTGGCGCCGAGCTGGTTGCCGCGGAGGTTGAGTGTTTCGAGCGTGGTGTTGTGCTTGAGGTACGAGTCGAGCCACGAGTTACACTTGTCGTTGATGCAGTTGCTCTTGGCCGACAGGTCGACGAGGGTCTTGTTGACCTTGAGCGCCTTGGTCAGCGCCTTGAGGCCCTTGCAGCCGATCGCGTTGTACCCCATGTGCAGCACACGCAGGGTCGAGTTCTTTTTCAACGCACTGGCGATCGCTTTGGCACCCTGCTTCTCGACGCTGTTCAAGTTGATGTACAGCACCGACAGCGACGTGTTGGTGGCCAACGCCTCGCCGAGATGGATGGCACCCTTGTCGAGCAGGTCCGTGTCGTTGAGATTGAGCGACTCGAGCACGATGCGGTTGCTGGCCAGTCCAATCGTCAAATCCAAAATACCAGAAAATGCCAACTTGGTGTGCGACACGTCCAAAATGCGCAGGGTGTGGTTGACGGTCAGACTCTTGGCCAACACCTTGCCAATCAAGTTGGACGACCGTGTTGAAGAGATGTTGAGGTTGATGATACTCTTGTTCGTGCCCAATGCCTCGACCACATCGATGGACGACTCGTTGAGGTCGTTGCTCGACAAGTTCAACACCTTGATATTACTATTCTTGCGGATAAAGTCGCTGATCAACCGCCCGCACTCTTCAGGTAGCCCGCAGCTGCTCACGTCCAGTGTAGAGAGGTCTTGGTTGCGATTGAGGATATCCAAAAAGCATTTGAAGCCCTTTTTGCCAAATGGGATGCCCGACAAGTTGAGATACTGCAGTGGACAGTAGCCGATCAGCAGACTGTTGCTGCGGTCCATTGCCGCCAAAGAAATGGCTTGCGCAGTGTCGGCAGCAGCAGTTGGCGTCGACGATGCCGATGCCGATGCCGAAGGGTAGCTCAACGGCTGCTCATTGGAATGATACGACTCGACCATTGTAGACATGTCACTAAATGGAACCACCTCCTTTCTCGATTTAGGTGTATTGTCCAACAAAAGATGATGGGTGCCCGAAAAGATAGAAATCAATCGATTCAATTCCTCCTCTTGTCCAAGCTCCATCGCAACCTCTTCGTCTAATTGATCGACCTCTCGATATCTATGTGCCAAATGTTGAGTAATTGTAACTCCAAATGTTGATAAACAAGGTGAATGGGATGATGTTGCTGATGATAATGAAACGGATTGGTCTACATGATTATTATTATTCTTTTCTTTTTCATTATCTTTTTGTTGTTGAGGTTGATTTTGTTGACTTTGTTGTTGATTATCCTTTTCTCTTTCTCTTCTTCTAACATAACTTGAAGTGCTACTACTACGACGACGACCATGATTACCGCTGTGATCGCGATGGTGGTGACCATGGTGACTATGTACACTACTGCTTCCAGAGGTGCTGCTGTTGGGTAGTTGGTTGAGCAAACATTGGCAAAGGTTGATAGATGATATACGGCTCGAGTCGAGCATGACCTTGAGTAGGGGGAGTGTGTCAGTGTTGGAGATGGCCATGTAGCTGAGGTCGATCGACTTTAATGATTGGTTGGCAGACAGTGCTTTAGACAGCCCGCTCAATGGGATCTTGTAAGAGTTGCGACCAAAGTTGATATGTTGAATCGACGTGCTGCACTCGATAAAAGTGCATAGACGGGCCGATATATCCGTCGTCGACTGGTAGTCATTGTTGGACAGGTCAATATAGGTGAGTGTCTGGTTATGGGTGAGTGCGTCCAATATCGACTGGTTCTCATCCTTGTCGAGGTTATTGTAGGCCAAATTAAGCCACTGAATGCTTTTGTTGCTACGGATGACATCCGAGATGATTGGAGACAACCCTTCACTTGCCAAATAGTTGTGTGAGAGGTCGAGTTGGACGATCGTCTGCGTGGCAATTTTAAGGGCTGATCCAAGTGCGATCCACGCCTCCAAATCCTTGATACACTTGTTGTGTGAGAGGTTGAGATGGCAGATAGAGTGACGCAGCTTGAGTGCCTCGGATATAGAGATGAGCTCGTGTGAGTTGGACACTCGAATGTTGAGTGACTGCAGTCCGAGGTAACGCGCACAAAACTCTCTGTAAAATTGGTGTGCTCGATTGTTGCCTCGTGATGTTGACGGACATGGTGGTGGAGGTAGTGTGGCAGAAGTAGAGGTGTTTGTAGTTGCCAGTATGGTCAATGGTCCATTAGAAGATGGAGATATGGAAGGTGATGAGTTGGCAGATGATTGTCCGCCGGCAGCAGCGGCAGCAGCAGCAGCAGCAGAAGAGTGGAATGGAAATGATGGAGTTGAAGATGAAGTGGCAGATGGAGGAGATGAAGATGTAGTTGAAGTTGGAGTTGATGGACCACTACCACTACTACCAATACTCATAAAATTTAAATGATTATTTAGTGAACTAAATGTATCACTACCAATAATATTATGATTACTATTATTAGATATATTATTATTATTATTATTTACATTGACAACTAAATTTAAAGTATTCTTATTTTTCATTGATCCAAAATTCAATGATGGAATCATATTTTTGTTTGAGTTGTTTGGGGATTGAGATACAATCATTCTTTTGCTATTTTTTTTTTTGGTTGTTGTTTAAAAATATATTAATATTTTGGGTTGTAAAATTATAATTATTATTATGATTATTATGATTATTATATTATTGTTGGAAGCACTATAGTGGGATAAAGTTAAATAAATAAATAAGTTAAATAAATTAAATAAATAAATAAATAAATTAAAAATAAATATAATGTAAACTTTGTTTGTTTGTTTGTTTGTTGGAAAATGAAGTGAAGATGGATAGAACTAATAATATTTGAAAATATAAATTCTTAAATTATATGAACCAAGATCAACAATCAACAACAATAATAATAATCATATAACAATTGCAATATTATTATTATTATTACTACTATTATTATTATTATAATAGTTGATGAGAAGGAATGAAAAAGTACTTTGACAAAGAGAAAGTGTAAAAGGTGCCCTTGACCGGGATAATATTTGTTGAATTATAGATTGTGCAATTGGAAATTGAATTGGAATTTTTGGACAAGAAGTACTTCTTGATGATGATAATAAATAAAAGAATAAAATGTTGTTGATGATGATATATTTGCGCTTTTTCCTTTGTCCTTTGTACTTGTCCTCTCTCTCTCTCTCTCTCAATATCAATATCAAAGTAATAATAAATGAATTTGAATTGAGCTGATGATGAATATTTGAAAATAATTGTTTGTCTTTTGTCTTTGTCTTTGTCTTGTCTTGTCCAACTGTCAATATTAGGTTGACCTACTGACACACACAGTCAGTCTGTCAGTCAAACACACACACACACTTTCTCCAACACACACTATATTTATATAAATAACTGATTTACGAAAATGATATCACTTAACAAAATCACTACTATCTTTTATCAAATCACCACACACATATTCAATGTATATACACACCATTTAATTGATTAATCTTTTTCCTTCCTTCCTTCCTTTTAATTCCAATTCTTTCTTCCAGTCTGTCTGTCACCCCCCTCTGGAATAATTCCTATTATTATTATTATTATTATTATTATTATTATTATTCTTGGATGATGAGCTAATAATAAATCACTCCTCTCTCTTTTCTTTTGTGTATAAAGTAATAAAAAAAAATGTGAGATGGAATGGATGCGATGTTGAATTTAAATCACTTGACCTTGTGATGTTGGTTGGTTGGTTGGTTGGTTGTGTTGTGTTGATCAATTAAATTGACCCGTCGTTGGAAAAAACAAATAAATAAAATAAAATAATAATCGACTAGTAGTTGTACTCTTTGTGTATGTGTATATGTATTATTGTACAATAATAATAATTCTACGCTACCAACAACACAATTAATATTTTTTTTGCTCCTCGTCCCACTTAATACATCATCCAACTACTAAATCCATAGAGAGTAGTAGTAGGGCTACATTCCTCCTACTACTACTACTGCTACCACTACTGCTAGCTGTGATGCGATGCGATGCTAGTTCTAGTTTTTTTGATAATCACGTTCTATTATGTTAAAGTTGGTGTTCTTGAACCCTTATCAGAAATCACCTCACCCCCCCATGCCATGTAACATCAGATATAAATGGACAAGCCAGCAGAAACTGAGTAGGCAATTCCAATGTGTCATCTATCTTTTCTTTTCCAAAGATAGATTGCAAGTTGGGAAAAGAGAAGAGGTAAAAGTGTGCCAGCATCATCATCAACCTTTGATGGGTATCCATGTGATGATGATCGATGATGAACGATGATCAATCTAAAGACATGTATTCCAGATTTGTTTGTTAATCACATCTTTGATGGTGAGTGATGTGGTGTGGGTATTATAATACTGCTGTTTTAAAAAAAAATCACAGACTGACATTTCACTCACCTCCCTCCCACACATCACCAACGATCCATGATGATGTAAATAATATCCAATGTTGGGATTGGTTGGATCGGTGGTTGTTGTGATGTGTCTCAGACACACGTTTTTTTGGGGTGGGGGTGGGGTGTGATGGATGGGGAAAAGGTTAACTTGTTGTATAATCACTACTTCTATACTACTACTACTAACCTGCATCGTGAGATATGGCGCATCACTGCAGTATAGGTGGTGGTGAGATTTATATATATATCTAAATCTACAAGCTGCAACACACACACACAGTCTTGCCAAAAACATATAATCAAACATGACATTCTTTGTATGATATGAATGTTTAATGTTGTGTTGTGTATTGGTGATGTTGTAAATGTGAACATGGTTAATGGACTAACCATGGTGATGGTGATGGTGATAGTGATGTTGATGAGTTGGGTGGTGGTGGATTTCTTTCTTTCTTTCTTACCTTTAAATATTCCTAGGGACACTTCTCCTCCTACTTCTAATTCTTATTCTTCTACTTCTTGGTTTTTTGTTTCCTTTCCAACGAACGAAAACGATTGGTTAATCAGTTCAGTTCTGGTCTATCGGATTGTTGTTGTTGTTATTGTTGTTGTTGTTGATTGTAATGACAAGCAGTGATATTTGGATATTTTGGATATGGATAAATATAAATAATTGAATTTGTAGATGGATTTATGGATAAATAAAATATATATATATTTAAATTTGATTTGATTGATATGGTTTGGTTTGAGAGATAACTGACTGGCAAACTAATTAGTCAATTGTCAATGATTACTATTATACAGAATTATTAGATTATTATTATATTATTACAAAAATATTATTATTATATATCCAAAAATAAACAATGGATTTGATTGAATGAGTATTATTATTATTATTATTATTAATATTACAACAACAGTTAATTATTATTATTATTATTAACTATTAAATGAATCAAAATTAAAAATGGAATGGATTGATTAATTAATTGATTTGTTTGTTTGTTGAGTTGTGATCACAAAATGAATGAATTTGGAAATTGATTTGAATGGTAATAATAATAATTGTAATTGTAAACTCTAAAATGGTGGCATCAACAACAGTTAGAAGGCAGGATTCATGTTTCTGATAACATTAGTTTATTTTAAGAACATACCATTATTATTATTATGCCTCGATATACCCTTTTGATTGTGTTTAATCGATGATGTGATGAGAGGATGAGACGTGTCAAGGCAAACAGGTAGGTACCTTTACTGTTTCTTTTGAGAATCTTGATGGATGATTACCATTTAGGAAGGTAGGTATAATACAGTGTTTAATCAAAGATCACCTTGCCCTTGGGTAGTAGTGTGTACCCTCCTCTCCTCTTCCTCTCTCTCTCTCTTTCTCTTTCTTTGTCTCTTTAATCTATACATCAATCTATGCAGCGTCGACCCTATCCCCAAAAGGTTAGGTTAGCGACGCGCTCTTTAAAGATTCATCTTGACCAATCTTGCCGATTTTACAATTGTCGAGATAGATACAAATAAAGATGATCATCTTCATCTAAACACCCCTAACCAAAACACACACAGGTATTAATGGGGGGCGGGTGTTTACTATTTGATCTATAACTTCATCACAACGCTGCTGCTGCTGTTATGTTATCTATCTTTCTGACTATGTCTTTTCTAGAATGCATGTGTGTCTCTCTACTCTCTTCTTTGATTACATGTTCTCCTTCTCGCGAGAAGTAAAAAGAATGAATAGAAATTAAGTGTGTGAAGGGACACCCCTATATCTCTCGTTTTTCCTTTTTTATATCTATTTACATTTTCATCGTTTTAGTTTATTATCTTATTTGTTGTTTGTGTTTGGGTTTATAGCATCATCGCATCAATCAATCAATTAATATTAATATAAAAGAAGAGAATGCAGACGACGACGACATTGAACAAAGAGATGTTTAAAAGATCAATATCGATCCTCGGATTGAAAGCACCTAAATCTGGTTTAAAGACATTGGTCACTGAATTCAAAGGGTTGGTACATTCAATTAATTAAACAACAACAACAACAACAACAACAACAACAACAACAACAACAACAACAACAACAAGAGAGATCAGATATACAAGATAGGATAGATCGATCATATAGATGAGATAGATGAGATTATGCAATGATAATAATCAATAACCAACCTTCTTTCTAACAACACACATTCATTCAAATTTGTAGGTTCCTATTTTGTAGACAAAAGTTTAAACATATTGTAGATGCAGATACAGATGAGAACAAAGTAGTATTGTTAAGTGAAACAATTAAGAATGGTATGTAAGATATAATAGAATAGAATAGAATGTGTGATTGATACAACCAAAACTCTAACTAATTGGTTTGGTTGTTAATTAGAAACTGAATTACCTGAAAGATTAAGAGAATATATAGACAAGAATAAATTACAAGTTGTCAATCATGGAGTACAATTAAACTATGAAAACTATTCATATGAAGAGGTATTAAAGGAATCGTTGCCAGAGAATGTACCAGTTCCCTATGCATTTGAGAGGATTGGACATATCGCTCATCTCAACTTGCGTGACGAACAACTACCATTCAAAAATATCATTGGACAAGCGATCATTGACAAAAAGGGACCCGGTGTCAGAACGGTTCTCAACAAGATTGGAAAAATAGATACTGTATTTAGAACTTTTAATTTTGAATTATTAGCTGGTGATAATGATTATATTGCTGAAGTTGTAAGTAAAATAGAATATATAATAATATAATAATATAATATTGAAATGGATGTTAATCGGATTTGTTTGATTCATTGTAGAAAGAAAATGAATGTACATTTAGATTTAATTTTGCAGATGTGTATTGGAATAGTAGACTACAATATGAACATGGACAATTGGTTGAATCGTTTACAAAGGATGATATAGTGTGTGATATGTTTGCTGGAGTCGGTCCGTTTGCAGTACCCGCTGCCAAGAATAAAAAGGTGCGTGTCTATGCCAACGACTTGAATCCACACTCGACCAAATACATGGCAGAGAATGCTGCACGTAACAAAGTGTCGACGTCGGCCACTACCTCTAAACCTCTGCTGTCGATATTCAATATGGATGCTCGTGCATTCATCAGAAAGCTTCTGCTCGAGACATCCCCACCTATCCCATTTACACAGGTCGTTATGAACCTGCCATCGACAAGTGTCGAGTTTTTAGACGTCTTTAAAGACATTTTCCTCAGCCATACCATTCCACCTCCCATCCCACCTCCAACCATCCACGTCTACACCTTTGTGTCGGCTGGCGACGACATCTCTGAGCGTACTCGAGCCGAAGCCGAAAAAATACTCCAACATCCACTTCCAAACGACTACCAGTGCTACGAAGTACGTGATGTCGCTCCAACCACTAGAATGATGCATTTATCATTCAAAATGCCAACTATTTTAAAATATCAAGAAACAACAGAAGTATCAACATCTGAAAGTTTAAATAACAATAACAATAATAATAATAATTTAAAAAGAAAAGATACTGAACAAGATACAACTACTACAACTACTACAACCACAACCAATGTAGATGAACATACATCGAGCAAACCAGCAGATATCAATGATACCGCCGTCTCGGTATCGGGTGAAGGAGAGGACAAGGTTAAAAAGGCAAAACTAACTGATGACCATTCAAATCAATAAAACTAACTAGATCGACACACACATACAACAAACAGTTATGCTTTGCTTACGGATGGTTTTTGTTTCAAATGAATGAATGAATGGTTCTACAAACATGGAAAGGAGGGAGGGAGAAGACATACCTCAAACGGGAATGAAAAAGTAGCAAGTTGATCGATCAGGATTGATGATTGGAACGGAACCACCCCCCATTATAATACTTTGACTGTTTTTTTAAAAACTAAAATATATTTTGATTGATGTGGTGTTAGATCGAATCCACACATTTAACACTGTGGTGGGTGGGTGTGTGAGTGGGAACTAGGCACTGCTAAAGAGAAGAGGTGGTGGTGGTGGGCAGCAGTTAACTAAAACTAACTTAAACACCCCCCTCCTCTCCGGTCGTGTCATGCCACTCAAAATGACGAACAATGAGAGAGTGAGACAGAGAGAGAGAACCACCATTCATTCTAACTTTGAAAAACATACATCATGCCCACTGACAGTGATAGGTGAGGGGGAGGGTTGTGACAGAAAGAGACAAAGAGAGAGAGAGACTGTGTGTGGGTGGGAATGTAATTCCAAAAGTTTGCAGCTGAAACAACAACAACAACAACAAGTGTTTAATTTAAATCACAAGTAATATAGATCAATCAATCAATCAATCAATCAATAAAAACAATCAATCACATGTTTAGATAGAGAAAATAAATATTCACAGAGATATATACATACATGTACATATAATTTACAGAGAGAGAGAAAGATATATATATATATAAACACATAGAAAGATCTAAAATAGAAAGCACATATAGCACACTCTCACACAGATTTAGACTTTATATAATTATATAAATATATTCCCTGGAATAAAAAAGAAAAAGGCTGGTAAATGTATGTTCCTCCCATACCTTTTTTATTTGTACTACATGCTACATGTTTCCCCAAAAATAGATTTCATCACCATTCATTTCATTTCACAAGTCTATATTTAAAACAACAACATTGCCCAATATGAATATACATCATACATACTTGGATTGACATGATAATATGGATAGATAGTAAAAGTAGATCTATGTCCTGTAAGACATCATGTTATTATTCATCTTTATCATCTTCATCTTCATCTTGCTCCTCTTCTTCCCTACTTCATTAACAACGAGCAGCAGCAGTGTTCCTAGTTTCTCCTATACTTACTACTACCATCCATCATGATGATTGGTAACGACATGATCATCACGGCAACAACAGCTGAGCTCTGCAGATACACTCAATCATATTCTATTGTTGGATAATTAAGAGAGCGAGAGAAATACGCACATACACATGCAACATTCAAACAAGAATATATCTAAAATGGTCCATCCGTCCGACGCGCACACATTATAGTAGTAGTATCTATAGATGGAACAGTGGATGGATGGATGGATGGATGGACGGACGGACGGATGGACTGATGAACAACATGTCAATGCTAATTGCGCAAACGATGACAACAACCAACCAACCAAGGTATTCAATACATAATAGAGAGGGGGGTTGAATTAAGAACGTCACCAACACCATCAACTCCTCCTCCTCCTTCTCTACTCAATTGGGATACTCTATATCTAGTACGCATTGTTTTCCCTCCCTCCCACTCATACATACACACATACACACACTGCCAACCAACCAACCAGCCAACCACTTTTGGTTTTCATCCACCCACCCACCCACCCACCACTTTATCAATTGTATGTGTGTCAGTTCAGTTTGTGGTGGTGACAATCACAACTTCAGAGTGATGGGGATAGAGGGATACATAGATAATGATGATGATGATTAACCAATTGATCAACAACGTCTACACTAGTTAGATGGATGGAATGGTATCCAACTAAACTAACAACCATATGGTTGGTTGGTTCATTTTTTTTTTTTTTTTTCCTTTCCATCATCAGGAGTAATTCTGATATTAATAGAAATCTATCATCTATAATTCCTATTTCCAGACACCAACCAACAACACTATTGTTATATTTTTCATTAGTGGTCCTTGCTTGCTTCCAACTTTCAGTAGTAGTTTTCAAGGTTACACCATTTTCATGTTACCTTTAACATCATCACCACCACATTTATTATTATTATCATTATTACTACTACTATTCTATTGTTGTTGTTGTTGTTGTTGTTCTTCTTCTGCTTCATTTCTCCTATATCCCATCAATCAACATTAACAATAATAATAACAACGGAACGGTATCATCATCATCACTATCTGACAACCAGCCAGTCAGTCAAGTCAGCCTCCCGCCGTTTAAAATTTAAATCATTTTCCTATAATTAAATCACAATCACAACCAACCTAAATTATAATTATAGATACTTAATCCATCAACACAATCATAATTTATCATTTAATAACAATCGGTCGGTCACTGTAATTACTTTTTATTACAACCAAAATCAAATCTATCATTTTTGTTGTTACTTTTTAAATCAATCCAACCAGAAAGTAAAAAAAAATCAACCAATCAATCCGGCCAGTCAGTAATTATCATAAATCAATTGTTTGATAATTGGACGCACACACACACGACAAGAAGAACAACAAGTGAGTGAGTGGGTTGTGTAACTTCAGTAGAATCCAACTTGTTTGATCAAACAATCAATCAATCAATCCAATCCAATCCACATTCCATACTTCATATTATTTATTTATTTTCCAACAAGATCAAGAAAGAATAAGAACCATAACAAAGAATAACATATAGTGTATAGCAGTAATGACTTAGATCTACCCATTATACATCATCATCAGACCTTTCATCATCAGACTTATCAATATTACAACTTTTGTGTGATTGTTTTTTTTTTTTTTTTTTTTTGTAAATATTATTTATTTTGTCTCTTCACTCTTTGGAAATACTATACTATAATTTGCTTTATTATAATTATTATTTGTATTATGTCAACTCTTACTATTCCCAAACCAACTACACCATCATCTACAACATCTCCATCATCACCTTGTTTACCGTCATCGGCAACATCATTGACTTATATATATTTGCACAACAACAGGTACATAATGAACAAATACACCGTCGTCAAGGTGATTGGCAGTGGTGGCGAGGCCAAGGCATTGTTGGTCAAGAAGAATGGAACCGAGCAACTGTTTGTGTTGAAGCAACGCAACTTTACGAATCTCGAGCAGGCCAACGAGGGCCTCAACGAGGCCATGTCACTGGCCAAGATACAGAACCAAAATATCGTCAAGTTTGAAGAGGTGTTTCTCATGAACAACGGTATCACGCACAGTCTGTGCATTGTCATGGAGTACTGCGATGGCGGCGACCTCATGGATTTTATGGTCAACTTGATTCGTCATGCTACGGCCGTACACGACCAAGCCATGATGATCACGTCGCCTACACTATCGTCGGCCACAAATTCCAACTCGTTGTCTCCCAATGTCGGCAGTTTGGGTGCACTCAACGTCGGGAGCCATTCGAACCTTTTTTCCTTTATATCGCCTGCCAACAGCTTCAACTACAAGATACCCAGCATCATAGACGAGGAGCAGAGCTTGGCGACACCCTCCATAGTCGGTAGTGTACTCCTCGAAGATGATAGGTCGACCACCTACACCTACTCGTCCACATCCAGTAATAACTCCAACTCGACCAACTCGCCCGTCCCCCACATCACCACCACCTCTCCACCCTCACCTCTGTCTCCCAAGAGCAGTAACAATATAAACAATATTAACTCAAACACCAAACCTGCGGGAGACAGCACGACAACTACACCCACGCCAACCACCCCTGGCACAGCTGCGGTACCTACCGGAGCCAACTTTAGTAATTTCATAACCAACCCAAGCCTACTCAAAGCCAATATGCTCAATAGAAGTGACGACGTTTCTATGCTTGCACCAACCTCTCCCAAACCAGGTAGCAAGTCTGATCCTCCCCCCAATACCAACAATACAAACAATACAAACAATAGTCATCCAACTACTATAACAGTGAATGGAGGTTCACCAACACAATCATCACCATATACAGAAACCAAGAAAAAACGTCGAAGTTGGTTCAAGAGTCATAGAAAATCAAAATCAAACTCTTCGGCTATGGAGCCACATCATACTATTCCAGCGACAGCATTAAACTATCCAACTAGTCCACCACCAGAATCACAACTATCTCTACAAATCCCCAAGAAAATACTGTACAACTGGTTGTACCAGTTATGTATGGGCGTTCAAGCCATCCACTCTGCGCATCTTATTCATCGTGACCTAAAGTCTGAAAATATATTCCTTTCCAACTATCTCATCAAAATCGGTGATTTTGGATTGGCCACCAACTTTTCCGAGGATCCTATCGTCGGTATTGCCGGTACCTACTGTTACTCGGCACCTGAAGTACTCAACAACGAACCATACAGTCGATCAAGCGATATTTTTTCATTGGGTTGTATCATTTACGAAATGACAACTCTTCGTCTACTCCCCCTAACAAGAAGATACATTGCCGAGGAATTATTAGCTGGTACTTTTGATTCAAATGCTTTTTTAAGAGAATTTCCAATTGTAAGAATATAAAAAGAAAAAGAAAATAGAAATTAGAAAATATTTGTTAACTTTTTAATTTATTTATTTATTTTAGGAACATTTCCAAATTGGGGAATTATGTTTAAAAATGTTAGATCTTAATCCACAATTGAGACCAACTATAGAGGCTATTTTACAACATAAAATGTTTGAAAGATTTAGAACTATTATGATTAGTGCTAGTCATAGTAACTTGGCATCGTTATTGTCAACACATTCGCCGTCGACTAGTTTGTCACCTGAGCTCAGTCTCAGTCCTTTGACCATCTCGTCGACACCGTCGAGCATCTCTTTGATAAAGTCTCAGAGCCTGTACAATGTCAGTCCGCTTGGCGGGTTTAGAAAACAACTTGACCGAAACGATCTAAACTCGGCCGCCTATATTTTGGCCGAAGCATACTCTAACGACCCCAGATTCTCATGGGCAAGAAAAAGAAGGAATAATTCAAATGGAAGTAATTCAAATGGAAATGTTAACGGAAATAATAATAATAATAATGGGAATGTAAATGGGAATAGTAGTGTCAACTCTTCGTCGTCGACGGTCAATGGCCATGGTTGTGGTGGAACATCACCTCTATCCACATCAACTGCATCGTTTCCTCCACCTCCATCATCATCATATCACAGTGCTAGCTTAAATAGTAGTACTGGGATACCGTCAAGTCTAAATAGTACGAGTAGTATCCCACCACTATCCCCCACGCCACCCAATATATCATCAACCTCTAAAAAGTCTGGTATACTACCACTGATGGAGGAAATGGATGAAGGGTTCTTTATTAGAAAGGCATTTTTCGACGCTGCACTCAAGATCATGTACAATGAGAGATTCATTATCTGGGGATACTACAATTCCGAGAATGTCCTACACGGCGTAGCCTGTTGGATCTCACCGGAATCCAAAAAGATACCTTATGGCATGATGATGTTAAAGATCCTCTCGATCCTGCCCAAAGTTGGGTTACGTGCAACCAAGCGTATCAAAGACCTCATGGAAGTTTTGGACCGTGCCATGGAACGCACTGAAACATCAGAGAATGGCTACCACCTCGCCTATATGGCCATTTCAAAAGACTATAGAGGCAAGGGTATCGGTCCCTACTTGCTCGGTCCCGTACTCGAATGGTGTGACTTTTCCAACAAAAAGGCCAAAGCCATTGTACTCAAGCAACGGTCCATCTCCTTTTTCATGCGTCAATCGTTTGACATGAGTTACGAAATGAAAGGTAACGATCTTCCCGAAGGAATCGATGTCATTTGGGTAATGGAAAGGTCTCCCAAACCAAATTAATTAATTTAATAAATAAATCCCCCACCACAATACTACTACTAGTGTGTATATATTATGTATAGTTGATCATTATACAAATAAATCAACCATCATTCTCATCTTTATATCATACATTTTAACAACCATCTCTTTTCTTTTCTCTCTCTTTTATGTACCTATCATAGAGCATTTTGGAATTGTCACAAGTGATATGTGAGCCAGGTTATACATCTGTCAGGTGTTATTTTCAAATGTTTCTTCCAAATGCAATTGTATGTAATAATATATACATTATGAAGAAAGATCACATGACCGACCTACTTTTCAAAATGGAGTTCAATAAAAATCGATTTTTATTATATTTTCTTTTTCCCCGAGATTGAATTGAACAAAACGCTATTATCACTTACTTTCAATTCAATTCTGTTGCTTATTTATTTATTTAGTTAAATATATAGTATTGCAGTAGGAATGAACTCTTTACTAAGTGCTGCTGGTAGATCAGCAACAAGATTCATTTTAAAGGTAATAACTCAACAAACAGAGATAGATAGAATAGAATAGAAAGTGGTCAGATGATGATGATCAACATACATGTGACAAAGAAAACAACAACAACAACAACAAACAAGATAGATAGGATAGATATAAAGAGAGAAAGAGAGAAAGAGAGAAAGAAACAATGATATTAATATTATGTACTTGATTCTCTAGAATCAAATAAATACACAAGCATGTAGTATATCAACTACATCAATTTGTTTATCAAAGAGTGGTACTACTACTATACCAGAAGCATGGATAAAGATGGCAAAGAAAGAGATCAAGGATGATGATCCAGTCAACAAGTTAACGTTTCAGTCACCCGAAGGTATTGCCATCAAACCTTTATATATGCAATCGGACGTCAAAGATGTTCAAGACGAAGTACCAGGTCAATTCCCATTCACTCGTGGTCCATATGCCACTATGTATTCACATCGTCCATGGACTATTCGTCAATACGCCGGTTTCTCAACGGCCGAGGAATCAAATCGATTCTACAGAAAGAATATGGCCGCCGGTCAAAAGGGTCTGAGTGTCGCTTTTGATCTTGCGACACATCGTGGCTACGATTCCGACCATCCACGTGTCATGGGTGATGTCGGTATGGCCGGTGTCGCCATCGACTCGGTCGAAGACATGAAGATCCTCTTTGACGGCATCCCACTCAAGGATGTATCCGTATCGATGACTATGAACGGTGCTGTGTTGCCCGTTCTTGCCATGTACGTCGTCGCTGCCGAGGAGCAGGGTGCTCCCCAGTCATCGCTTGCCGGCACCATCCAAAACGACATTCTCAAAGAGTTTATGGTGCGTAACACATTCATCTACCCACCCGACCCCTCGATGCGTATCATCTCGGATATTATGGGTTACACGGCCAAGAATATGCCCAAATACAACTCTATCTCCATTTCGGGCTACCATATGCAAGAGGCTGGTGCCGATATTGGCTTGGAGCTAGGGTTTACCTTGGCCGATGGATTGGAGTATGTCAGATGCGGCATGCAGGGTGGCGTGACAGTTGATGAGATTGCACCACGTTTCTCGTTCTTTTTTGGCATTGGTATGAACTTTTACATGGAGATTGCCAAGTTGCGTGCCGCCCGTCGTCTCTGGGCCAAGCTCATCAAAGAAAAGTTCTCGCCAAAGGACAACAAGTCGCTGATGTTGCGTACACATTGTCAGACCAGTGGATGGTCGCTCACCGAGCAGGACCCATACAACAACGTCGTGCGTACCACCGTCGAGGCCATGGCCGCCGTGCTCGGAGGCACACAGAGTTTGCACACCAACGCACTCGACGAGGCCATCGGCCTGCCAACCGAGTTTTCAGCTCGTGTCGCTAGAAACACTCAGTTGATCTTGCAAGAAGAGACTGGTATCCCACGTATCATCGATCCATTTGGCGGGTCGTATGCCATCGAAGCATTGACCAATGAGCTCGAGCAAAGTGCTTTGGCCATTGTCAACGAGGTTGAGGCACTTGGAGGTATGTCCAAGGCTGTTGCAGAGGGTATGCCCAAACGTCGTATTGAAGAGAGTGCTGCTGGACGTCAAGCACGTATCGACTCGGGTATCGAGACAATCGTCGGTGTCAACAAGTATCGTCTCAAGAATGAAGATCCAATCGATATTCTAGCCATCGATAACAAGATTGTACGTCAATCTCAAATCGACCGTCTTGAAAAGATTAAAAAGACACGTGACACTAAACTCGCTGAACAGTCGTTGCAAGACCTCAAGGACGCTGCCACTGGCACCAAGCCCGGCAACTTGCTCGATCTCGCCATCAAGGCCTCACGTGCACGTTGCACAGTCGGTGAAATCTCTGACGCCCTCGAAAGCGTCTATGGCCGTTACAAGCCAACCCACACACTCGCTTCGGGTGCCTACAAGACCAACTATGGCAAGGACAATGAGATCCAAGCCGTCGCCGACGCTGTCGAAAAGTTCAAGGCCAATGAAGGTCGTCCACCAAGAATCCTCGTCGCCAAGATGGGTCAAGACGGACATGACAGAGGTGCCAAGGTTGTTGCCTCTGGTTTCTCTGATTTAGGTTTTGATTGTGATGTCGGACCACTCTTTTCCACCGCCGAAGAGGTTGCCAGACAAGCTATCGATGCCGATGTTCATGCTGTCGGTATCAGCTCGCAAGCTGCCGGTCACAAGACCCTCGTTCCACAATTAATCGAGACACTCAAACAAATGGGTGCTCCACACATTGCCGTCGTCTGTGGTGGTGTTATCCCAGCCCAAGACTATGACTTCCTCTACAAGGCTGGTGTTGTTGCCATCTTTGGTCCAGGTACCAAGGTCACCGATTCTGCCCTTTCCGTCATCAAATCTATTGAAGAAAATATTGCTAAAAATAAAAAATAAATAGAAAATGGAGTAAGAAAAAAAAAACTCTTTGTTATATAATCAAAAAGTCTTTTTTAAATGAAGTTTGTAAATTTGTACATATATGTGTAAACATTTATTCGGTTTCTACTGTTGAACCGTTTATATTATCCTCTTTTTTAGTTTCCAAACGATAAAAATATAGATATCCACCAGACATTAATTGTTCAAATACATCATCTTCAGCAACTTCACTCACTTCAGAATCATCATAACATTTCCAAGTTGCATTATTTTGTTTAAGAAATGATATATAATGTCCTGAACTAATTCCAGATCCAATATGTTGAATGGTACTATACAACGAATATTTTGCTAATTCAAATTCATTCTTTTTTGGTTGTGATTTCTTATTATTATTATTATTGTTTGTATTTGTTGTTAGAGTTGTAGTTGTTGAAGTAATTTCTTTTTCTTCTTCTTCAATACCATTTATATCTACTTCTATTTCCTCTTGTTGTTTTTTATCTTCTTCCTTTTCATCTTGTTCTTGATCTTGAATATATTTAATTTTCAATTCAAGAGAAGGAAAGACAATAGTTTTATCTTTTAAATATTCTGTTGATTTTGGTAATTGAATGAACCTTTTTAAATGTAATACCAATATATTTGGTAGATGCGAAAAATGTTTTTGTATGGTTGATTTTTGATTTGAGCATTTTGAACATTTTCTTTCAATCACTTCCTCTTTTAGGTACAACTCTAATAACTCTTGTGTATAATTGGTTGCACCTCCTTTTTCATGAGGTATGTTTAATGAAATGTCTGTAAATATCTCTCTTGAAACGGATTTGTCTCCACAAGACTTGCAAATAATAGTGTTTGTAATAGTTGATTTTAAATTTTTTGTAATTGGACAAACACTTGATATTTCTTTGGTAACCATTTCAGTTTCCTCTGCTGTAAACTCTTGTGATGATGAGCCTTCCTCCTCCTTTTCCTCTTTTTTAATTTTACCAATGATTTCCTTTTCTTGTTGATTTGTTGATGTAACATTTACAATATCTAATTCTTCCAATTGATGATTACCATTTGTAGTTGTCGTTGTAATCGTATTATTATTTAATTGTTTTTTCTTTTCAATTTGTTTTAATGCTTTAAATTGATCAATAAATTCTTTTTTTAATTCTTCTTCCAAAATATCCAATAATGTAATTAAAAATTCCTGTGCATCATGTTGAAGATAACCTGTGAATTTTGGTGTAATATCATCAATTCTCTCTTTAAACGATCTAGTATCAATGCCAGACGATAACCCAAAATAACTATTATCCTTTTGTTCTTGTTTTTTTAAAAGTGTTGCCATTAATATTGGATATAATCTATTTTCCTTTTCAATAAAATATTTCATTAATCTAAAGTAGAAATAAATTAGTATGTCTTTTATATAATTAGATTATTTCTTCTATACAATACTCTTTGTTTTTTAAATCATTTACAATTTCATTTGAACCAAAAAATGATTGTAATACTGAATTCATAAAACAAGTATTTCCTAAATTTTTAAATCTAAAAAGAAGGTAAATATTAATATTCATTCAAAACTTTCTTTGATATTTAAATAGTTACCCTTTTTCACTTAATCTTTTTCCTTTTGATGATGATGATGTTGTTGAAAAAGATGATGCCAAAGATGAAGGTTTGAAATAATTTGTAATTGTATTATTAATTGTATTATTAATTGATCTTGAAACTGATCTAATAGTTGATGTTGGCTGTTTTGCAGGTGAAGTTGGTTTGGATGAAGAATAAGAATAAGAAGAAAGTTTGGATTGTTGTAAATTTACTTGTGATGTTTGTCTAACTGATTTTGGTTTTGACTCAAATGTAGAATTGAAAGAACCAACAGGTTGATCATTTGGTTTTCTCTTGTTTCCAACCAATGAACTACTACTACTACTACTATTTGTTGTTTTTAAATTATTATTATTATCAAGATTGTTTGATCTATTTTTGACTTCAAAGTAACTATAGCCTGAAGAAGAAGAAGAAGAAGAAGATTTTTTTGTAGTTGAAAAGGTAGGTGAAACTTTGGTAAAGCTAGATTTTGGAGAGGTAATCGATGATGATGATGATGATTCTTTGGGTGTAGAGTTTTGACTACCATCGCTATCAATAGGATCATTTACTTGGAATCTAAAATGGTCGACAAATGAACCATCCGACATTGATTTCAAAATGGTGCACAAATCAATCCAAGATCGATTTGATTGCGCCGACGTTGGACTTATAATCTCTACACATTTCAACAACGCTCCCGATAAACAAGATTTAGGAAAGGTTGTGATTGGTAATATCAAGTACAACTGTATTTTGTCCATTAACACGTGTTCATAAAGAAACTTTTTTATATTATTATCTATCTATAATCAACCAACAACAAATAATAATAATAATAATAAAGTTAATACGTATTAATTGATGATAACTTCTACTATTTAAAAGTCTAGACTGAATTGATTGATATTTACCAATATAGGAATCTCACGAGTCCCAAACTTTACATAAATACATATTTGACTGCGCTCTATACAAATGAATAGACAAAGAGATTATATGTTAATCACAAATAGTACTATGTACGTTTCATTACTCACACTATAGTATACCATTCGAGTGTCTGTAATTACTACTATTAATACCGTACCATTCAACTCTATGATGAAATTACCAAATGCAAGACAACTAGCTATCGGGTACGACTTGATCTCTATGGTAAAGTCAAAAGTGTTTTCTCTATTGTTACGTTGAATGAATTCAAGATTACTATTACTACTCCTACTACTATAACTGTTATATTTATTCATCTCAATTCATTCTACAAACAAATAAATAAAAAGGTAAAGTAAATAATGATTTTTTCAAAAAGTGAACAAACAAATATTCTGTATTTTGGTTTTAAAAATATATTAAATTTAAAATGTCTTGTTAAATAATAATAATGATCATTATTATTATTCCATTCGTATTTATTACTCTTCTCATCAAGAAAATTCAGTCAACAACAAAAAAATAAATAAAATAAAAGTAATAATGATTGTTTTAAAACAATCATATAATAGTATGTATTAATTTAAATGATATTATATTACTATGGTTCAGATTTAGACTTGATAACCAAATTTCTTAAATAAGTTGTTCCATTTGTAATTGGTAAGTTCTCTGTAATATTTAATAATCCAGTGTATAGAGTATAGGCATCGGTATTTGAGAAATTAAAAGGCATTAATCCTCCTTTAATATTTGGTCCATGTCCAATAAATATTCCCTTCATATTCATATTACTAATAAGAGATATAGATAGAATAGAATAAATTAAAATTAATATTAATATTGTTTCTTTTTGATTTGTTTGTTGACTTGACTACTTACACTGGATCATAACCATGTGTTGCAAAATCAGTAATTGCTTTACCAGTGTAAACAGCCCAACCTAAATCAGCAACACCAATGATAGGAGCAATTCGCGCATTGGTAGTAGAGTTGAAATTGTATTGTGCTGGAACATCCTCTTTTCTATAGATGGTAAGGTTTGGATGAATACCGGACAATTTATCGTATATCTCATCAACTGTTAATTCACCATCGATTGGAAATATTGATAGGATGGGTGTTGCACCACCTCCAAGTAATATTTGAGACATGTTAATATATGTTGTAATATCAATCGTTCCAGTGATATTAGTCATTCCATGATCGGATAGAATGAGTATATTGGTATTTTCAATCAATCCAGCATCTGTCATATTCTTGATAAATGTTCCAATAGCTCCATCAACAAATCCAAGTGCTTGATTCACTTGTTTTGATTCAGTTCCATATTCGTGACCTGCAATATCGACATCTGATAAATACACCATCGTTAAATTTGGTCTTTGATTTAATTGCCATTGGAATACAGTTCCCAATACATCAGTTGCTTGTGTATCTGAATACTATATAACGTAGTTAATATAACAAGAAATAAAACATTTTAAATCATCGCTACTTACAGTAACCATATTTGGGTTTGGTGAATAACCTTGGATTGGAGCACTACAACCAGGCCAGAAATAACAAGCAGCTGTGAGACCATTCTTTAGTGCAGTGACCCAGATAGGTTCACCCCAATACCAAAAAGGGTCTGTTACAGCAGGCTTCTTGTAATCAAAATATTTGTTGGCTGTTGGATCATACATTTGATTGCCAATAATCCCATGATACTCTGGGTATAATCCAGTTGCTAGTGAATAATGATTCTAAATAAAGAAAGAAATGGGAATGGTTAATAAACATGTATGTATGTATGTATCCTATATTTAATATCAACATACTGGGAATGTTTTAGAAGGGAATTGAGGTGTGATAAATTGTGCATGAGCACCTTTGGCATTGTTGTATAAAGCTTGTAAATTGGGTGTTATTCCTCTATTTAAATAATCCCATCTGCATCCTTTAGATTTTAAATTAAATGAAAGAATGTAAGTTAATTGGCCAGAGGGTTTGGTCTACTTGATACATACCATCAATTGAGATAACAATGAGATTGGGTATATTGGTTGAATATGATGATGGTGGTACAGGTTCTGAAGAGGATGAAGATGATGAGGAGGATGAATCAAGAGGTACATCTTGATCATCTTTATGTGAAATATTACGATAGATGACAATGGATATTGTAGTACCCAATATAAGCAAGATTAATAGTAAACCAAAAGCTAGTAATCTTCTTTTATTGTAGAGTGCACTACTTGGAGCAATCAATCGTTCCACCTCTATGAATGCATGGTCTTCCTTGTCTTCTTCTTCGTCATCATCTAATGCAAACCGACTACCTCCAGCACCACTACCACTCTTCTTATTTGACGGTGATGAAGATGGAGTCTGCTCAAAATCCTTTGATGTGAAAAAGAAAGGATTGTGGTCTTGATGACTATTATTATTATTATTATTTATATTCCTATTATTATTACTATTACTACCAATACCAGAATGATTTATATCTTGGTGTTCGAATTGATCTTCATCTTCATCTCCATCGCCTACCAATGCAGAGTAGTTGTTGAAACTCATACTATTACTATTACTACTTTTAAGATATTAATAATCCTCCTTTTGCTTTTCTTTTTCCTTTTAAACTAACTATACAAAATAATAACAATAATACAAATAACTAGTTGACATATATATATACAATTAATAATTGTCAGCAAAGATAAACTTTAGAAGTCGTTGTATAACAACACGAACAGAACATTAATTACAGAGTCTGTGTTTTTGGTTTTTAACACCTTGTGAGGATAATATCGAAAATTTCATCAAACTACTCTCTCTGGGAAGTAGTTATACTTTTTATGCTAATACCAGGCGCAATGTAATAGATATAGACCAATGATTGTTTTCATCTTATAATAGATTAGAGGAATATGGTTTTGAATGTACATGCATGATAAGATCAAGTTGAATCTTGAATGGAAGATGTCGTCTTGGTCTTGGGATTCTATTCTATTATGAATGAGTCAATGGGTGGGTGTGTTGTGGGTTTATGAAAGAACCGAGGTTCGACGTGACATCTCATTAATCTCGACCTCCTCAAATTTTTTATTATTATTAGTAATAAATACAAAACAAACAATTTATCTCTCGGTAGAAAAATATTAATAACATTAAATTTTATTCATATTTATATTTATATCTTTTTTTAAAAAATGTATGTATTTGTTTATTTATAATTTATAATAATAATTATTATTTTTTTTTAATTTTTTTTTTTTTTTTTTGCACTTACATTACTCGACCGATTTCTTTCATTGTCTTTGTGCTTTTTACTGTTTTCTTTAGATACATAGTTCAACTCATATATCATCATAATATAATGTCATCCCCAAAGGTTTTTGTTATTGGTAACCCATTACTCGATATCTCTGCTCATGTCGACATTGAATTGTTCAACAAGTACGACATCAAGTTGGGTAATGCTATCCTCGCCGAAGAGAAGCACCTTCCATTGTAAGTTCAGATTAATAACTAGTAGTTTGATTCCTCAACAACTCTCTATAGCAATAGTCACAAGATTAAATATATCAACAAAGACAGCCTGCTAAGTAGTAGAGAGTAGTGAACCAAACATATAAAGTAAATTATATTGATATTGACATTTACCTACCTTCCTCACTACTACCTACTACATACCAATACTTTATTCACTTTCAATAATGATGATATATATATATATGGATGGATCAATTTAAAATGATGATTGGATAATATTATTATTTTGGAAACTATTTTTGATGGATTAATTAATATTCTTTAGATATGAAGAATTAGTAACCAAGTACCAAGTTGAATACATTCCAGGAGGAGCTGCACAAAACACAGCACGTGTTGCTCAATGGATGTTGAACGAGAAGCAACAAATCTTGTACACTGGATGTGTTGGTACCGACAAGAATGCCGACATTTTAAAGAGTGCCACTGAAGCCAACGGTGTCGTTGTCAAGTACTTGGCTGACGCCTCTGCCCCAACCGGAGCCTGTGCTGTCATGATGAACAACAAGGAACGTTCGCTCACCACCAATCTCGGTGCTGCCAACAACTTCAAGGTCGAACATCTCCAAACCGACGAAATGAAGGCTCTCATCGATGCCGCCGAGCTCTTTTACATGGTCGGTTACTTTATGACCGTCTCACCAGACTCTGCCATGCTCCTTGGTAAGCATGCCGCCGAAAAGAACAAGTCATTCCTCTACGGTCTCGCCGCTCCATTCCTCATTCAAGTCGACTTTTTCTGGGAACGTGTCAAGGCTTTGTTGCCATACGTCGATGTTGTCTTTGCCAACGAAAGTGAAGCCGCCGTTTTAGGTGAGCGTATGGGTTGGGGTGCCGATTTGGCTGTCATTGCCGAGAAGCTCTCTGTCTGGGAAAAGGTCAACTCTGCCCGTTCCAGAACCGTCGTTTTCACTCAAGGTCCAAACTCTACCCTTGTCTTCCAAGACGGCAAGCTCACCCAATACTCTCCAATCAACATTGCCCCAGAAGACATTGTCGATCTCAACGCTGCCGGTGACTCTTTCTGTGGTGGATTTGTTGCTGCTTACACTTTGGGCAAGGAAGTCTCCAAGTGTGTCGAAGCTGGTCACTATGCCGCCTCTGAAATCATCCGTCAAAATGGTTGTTCTTTCCCATCAAAGCGTTCTTATGATCTCTAAAAATATAAGAAAAATAGAAAAGAAAGAAAGTACCCTTAAAATTCACAATAGTAATAATAATAAATTCAACTTTTTAAAAAAAAGCCTATCTATTTTTTTTTTTAATAATTTAATTGATTGATGTTCAAAACACACACACATATAACACCATTGTTGTATATCTCAGATAAATAGAGAGAGAATTACACACACATATAAATATATCAATTCAATTAAAGATGGAACCAAGACTTTCAAATAATGTTCATCAACCAAGGTTCAAATGTTCACAGTGTCCGATGGAAGCTTACTGTTTCTGTTATGATTGTGAACTCCTCCAATTTTGTAAAGAACATGATGAATGTTCAAAAGAAGGTACAGGTCACAAAGTCGAAACAAATATACCAGAGATACTCGATATCTTAAAAGACTACACATCCTCCAATGATGATCAAAACAAGAAAGCACAAAGACTTCAAAACAAGAAAGCACAAATACTTCAAGATAACGACCACAAATACATCAAATTGGTATATCATAATAAAGAGTTTCAAATGAGCCAACAAAGCGAACCATTCTATATCAACTTGTACTCTTTTGTTGGCCCAACTGGAGTAGGTATGTATCCTATAGGTGGTCTTTTTTCCAACTCAAATTACCTAAACTAACCAATCATCTATCACATATATATATAGGAAAATCAGCATTACTTGCAAGTATATTAAAGTTGAATAATTATGGATGTACTAGTGGAGTACCATTATCAAAACGAAATACAAATTCATGTGAATCAATGTCATCGGACATCAACTTGTATCAAACTAATTTTGGTGCCTTTCTAGACTGTGAAGGCACTCATGGAACAGACACTAATCACTTTACCAATGATTCCGATGTTCCCGTTCCCACTCCAGTGAAAGAGACCCACGTCAATGTCTTTTACCCGAGACTGTTGCATATGATCAGCAAGATTATCATCTATGTGTTTCACAACGCTCAAGAACAAGACACATTTTTCAAAGATCTCTTGGAAATGCCCAGCCAAGTCATATCAAAAGCCGCCAATAATTCATACAAGCCACACCTTTTACTCATCTTTAACAAGCAATTAAACATTTCAGAAGTTGATTATTTTAAAGCTAGTGCATACACTTGTGACGAAAACGAGGTAAACAAAGAAATGGAGGCTAAAAAGGAAATCATCAAATCATGTTTCCTCAGTCACCATTCTATTTTCGTCCCAAATGCAGGTACCCATCCTTTTGAATTCATTCAACAGTTGAAATTAATCATTAAATATTTTAACGATATTGGTGGAGAAAGTGATCAGGCCAAATGTACCACCACCATTGAAATTATCAGAAAGATGAATCAATACGGTGCAAATGTCAATGATCTCTTTTCAGTAATGGAGGATAAAGAAGATACTGTAATATACGCGCAGTACAAAGAGAAATGGGACCAACTATCGACAATATATAACGCAAAGCATAGAGAGAGATTGATAGAGGCTGTCGAACATGCCAAAAAATATCTTTCACCTGACACTAGTATCGAAGAATTGGCAACGACAGACTACCTTATCTTAAAATCACTCAAGTGCCAATCAAAGAATGATTCAGATCAACAATGTAAACTTGTATTATCAACACATGGCACGTATCATCAACACGACGACGCAACTCAATGGCAAGGTGAATTTGAGTTTATAGGAGGTGGATCATTTAATGGGATAATGCTTTTGGGTCAATATTCTAAAGAACTTAAAGAAAAGAAGAAAATGGAATATGCTAATAATGCAAATCAGAGCATCGGATTTCCACAAAGTTAATTTAACTTGTAAATAAATAAAAGTAATTGTAAATAATTGTTATTTTTGATATTCGGAATTTATTATTTATTTATTAAAAATATTATTATTATTACTTTGATGTATAGATTATTATTGACATTTTGAAAATTAAAGTAGAGGGGAGAAATATTGATCGTTATTAATTATTATTATTGTTATTGTTATTATAATTTAAATGAATGGGTACGCGTAAAATAGGATTATTATTATTTAAATTATTAATTATTATTATTATTATTATTAGTTAAATTGATTAAGATTGTTTTGTGTATGTGTGAATTGATTGTTTTTCTTAGGCCAATTTAAATGGTTGATTCTTTTTCTTTTTATCCTTTGATTTAAATACAAAGAGCATGATAAGAGCAAGGATACTCATGACAAAGATGGCAATGATGTAGATGACCCAGAACCACTTTAACCCCTTGATGTAACGAACTGCATTGGAGAACAAAGAATTGATAGCAGTCACCGATGTGTATTGTGAAAAGGCCATAGTACAGAATTGTGTAATACTAACACAACAAATAAGAATTAAACCAACATTAAATAAGAATGCATTCATCATTGTTGCTCCAACACTAAAAAGATAGAAAATTAATTATTATTAGTATTATACTTTTACTTTTTTGTTTTAATATTTTTAATATTTACCGCATTGGATGAACAGGGAATAAAAAGAAAATTCTTAAACCAAACTTAAAGTTACCCTTGACACAACAGAACAATAGATAAAAGGAGAGAAGACCGTAACAAATGGTACCCAAGAAACCCCAGGCATTGTCGAGTGAAATCACCAAGTTGTTGAGGAATGGATGGAATGGTTCTGGTTGAGTCCACATGTAGATAATGTCGTGAAGCACCCATGCGACAGAGCAACCGGCAGCAATGAAACCACCAAAGAACTGAGCCCAGTAGAAGATAACCTTGCCTCCTTGACGTTGATAAGAGATCTTGAGCTTCTCATAATCATCTTCCAACTCGAACACTGCAGCACGGTAACGGTTATAGTTACGACGCTCCTTTCTGCTCATGTTGAAAACACCGCCACCAGAATACTTGGTTTGGATCTCCTTGCCAATAGTGACGAGTTGGGTTGCTCTCTCTCCAATCTTTGCCTTGATCTCTAAATACTTGTCGTACGATATACGTTGTGGACGATTGCCAAAGTCGGTAATCATATCAAATGGCAGAGCGGCCAAACCAATACCTCCGAAAATAATAAACATTAACCATCCAAAGAATGATACCATTGTAATAATAAACAAGAAAATACTAACACGGAATACTAAATATTGTCCTGTATCTCTTGTTTCCTAAAAAATTAAAAAAAAAACAAAAGAAATATTAATAAATAAATAATACATTATTATTATCTTTTTCTTTTGATATATTTACTTTAACCCATCCTTGATAACCTTCAAGAGTACCTTCATATGTGATATTCTTAAACTTGAACCATTTACCAGTCTCTGAGAAATCGGCAGTGTTTAAGTTGGCTACATAAAATTGTTGGTTGACAAGAACAGTTGGGATTTCAGCAATACCAATGAATAACCATAAGAGGACGGTAATCACTGCAAATGCAAACAAAAGGAAAAGGGTTCCCTTAAATGCTGATGCAAATTGATTATTGGTACCACTAATTTTAAATTCAAGATATATATATATGTTAACATTTTTGTATATATCTATATCTGTGTCTATCTACTTGTACATACTCTGCTTCTTCAGATTCATAATAAAACATTGCAAATGGAACGATGATGACTGAAAATATGGCTATGGCAATATAGATTACAAGCCAAATAGTGTCCATCGGGAATCCTCCTTCTCCTCCTTTATTAGCTACATCTAGTGGCAGCATAAGGATACTAACCGCTGCTAGTGTTAGACCAGCAACCTTAAATAATAATAAATCTGTTAATTATTGTTCACTATCTAATCTGTCTTGTTGTCTTGTTGTTCTTTGTTGTCCTTTATCTACTTACGACAATGATTTTCGGTAGCCAAGCAACATTCTTATCATCTGGATGTTGGAAGTAAACGATAAGATAGAGACTTGCTAATATAATGAGAGCTACGACAACGATAGCTACAATAATTAAAAAGACGTTGACCATATTGATAGCAAGTGTATATGGTGGTAGTCGTAGACTGTTAAACTGTCTGTCCTTTTCCTTTACTCTATTCTATTCTATTCTTTATAATAGTATCTGATCTAATTAATGTATTAATGTGTGCGCGTAGTTGAAGAGTTAAAATTACTCTTGCTGTGTGAGAGTGTGAGAATGAATGAAAAAGATAATGATAATGATTGATTTATAATATAAGCGGGCGTTGATGATGTAAATAAATAAATAAATATTAAAAATACACAAATCGATCGATGGTTTTACTCTTATACTTTTGTATGTAGCCCCCTTTTATCCACAGGTAAAAGAGACACAGAGATATATAAGATAGATAGACAGACAGAGAGGAGGAAATATAAATTAAATTGTGAAAAATAACAACGTCTTTTGTTGTTTCTATCATGCTTTGGTTTTTCGAATTTTTTTTGTTGAATCCCTCCCTTCTTTTGGTGCAATGCATGCGCTTTAATATCGCTCTGTCCAACTGCGGGTTCTCTCTTTTGTTTGTTGGTGGTGGGTCATGGTGACATTGGACAGACGGACATCATACCACCACGATCATGATACATTATCGTCATGCTCAATGTCTAAATGAATAATAATAATAAATTAAAATCCCAATCATTAATTCAATCATGAACCATTATTTAAAGCTATTGTGATAAGTATAAAACAATATCAATCTATCTGATTATATATGTGAATATATAATATGATAAGACCTACATATATATAATATAAAGAGCTAGAAAAAAAAAAAAAAAAAAAAACGACACATCCACGATCACAGCATCTGATCATATGAGCGTAATTCTACATGATTGTTTTAGTTTCAGTTAACTTGTGTACAGATATATAGATTATAGAGAAAGAAAGAGATGTTTGCAGCAACTAGAGCATTATTCAGTGGTCTTGTAAACAAGCCAATCAAGCAATCACACACATGGAGAATGGGACAAAAGAAGAGATTCACTATGCAAAAATCGGTAGAGGATTTCCTTCGTCTTCATAATACTTGTCTCTCTAAACGTTTACCAAAACCAAGAAAGTATGTGATAGGATAGAGGATGAGATAGACTATAGGATTGCAACAATAACAGCAATCATTGCAAATTATAGATCCTTGATATCTACAATGATGACAATATACTAATTTGCAAATTGTTTCACTAAATCTTTAGATGGACAGAGGATGATGTACCTTTACCAATGTACAAGAGAGATCATTTATTGTTATTAGACAAGTATGGTTATGGTAACAAGTTGTACAAACATTTACAATCATACGAAGGCAAATAGAGTTCACAAATATAAAACAAAATTATTATCATTATTATACAACAACAAACTTTGGTCTTGCTTTATTATTATTTCATTATGGCACTTAAGATTTGGAGATACAGAAAGAAAACAGCTATGATGTTGGATTGAGGACTGTTATCTGACAAATCATGACTGCATTATTCATTTCAGTCCAATCGAAAGAGATATGTTTTTCTTGGCTTGGTGATGATCAGAATAGCGAGGACAAGGTAATCTGTCCCGACTAGCGTCGATTGTAACAAATATTAATTTTGGAATATCCACAACCTCTATTGATGGTTCAGAAAATGACCCATTGAATCATTTATATAATATTCCCTTTAATTTGGTTAACCTTGTTTATTTTTTTTTCATTTTGGATTATGTTATCTAATTTGTAAATTGTAATTACTACATTTCTCGGGTGGAATGGATATTAACCTGGTCCAGTTGATTTTTGTTGGCCATTTATTTTTTTAATCCAACTACTTAGAAGACCAATTTTTTCGTTCCTTCTTTTTTCGATTTCAGCCAACTCTTTGCGAATACTTTTCTTTGGTGTCCCAGAGTCCTTGACGGTTTTAATAAACGACTCGAAACTAGTCATGATGTCTGTGATATGTTTTGTTGTTTTTTCATCGTTGATTGGCTTAAGAGCTTCGAGTTGAACTCTGTATGTTTCGAGTGCACATTCGAGTAGAGTTTGGATGTTTCCAAAGATCGAAAGTTTTTTTAAAATGGATTCCAATTTTTTGAATTTACTTAGTTGTTTTTCGTACATCTTTTGGTATGTTGATACTTTTTGGTCAAAAAAAAAAAGGTTATTAATATAGATGAAATATTATAATAATTTATAATATGATATCATACTTTCTTCGTTATATTGTTTGGAGAGATCCTGGGATTCCTTTGTTTTTTTTACTATTGCGTAAAAGTTTTCAACAATCGACTCGTTTTCAATCCATTTTGTTCGGAACTTGGTATAGACATGTTGGTTTTTGGGGCATTTACAAACTTGACAAACTGTTTCGGGCTCGTTAAATAAGTGACAGTTATCAAAGTTGACACCAAAATAGCTACAACCTTCTTGACATACATCCTTGATACATCCCGGTGCTAGGCATATTGTCGAGTAAACGCCACCTGGCCATAGCTCATTGCCAATAACTTTGGCCATCGGTTTTCCATCCTTGATAGCATATCCCTTTTGTTTAAAGTACTCCTCCATTGAGCTATTGTCGGTTGATGTTACCAATCGATCGAATTCCTTGTTATTATTTAATGAAATAAGAGCCAAATTATTTTTGGCATGGTTATATACGGTGAAAATATCTGTTAGATCCCCGAGCTCTGTCACCAGAGTATCGATGAGGCTATTGAGTACATTCATTCCTTTTGATTCAAAAGATTGCTTAGATTCGAGCCTCTCGACCAAAAAAATACCAATCTCTTTTGCCTTTTCGTTGATGTTAAGGTTGAGATCGTTTGTGTTGTCGACACCAGTCAGATTGAGACTTTCTGCCTTTACCTCTTTGTTGGTATTTGCAGAGTGTTGGGCCCTAAATGTATGGGGTTAGAAGCTTATTTTATGATTGGGGATATTTTGTACTTACCAAGGATTGTTTATAAAAGTGGCAGGTTTGCCTTTTATTCCTGGCAACATTTGGTCCAGAACATTCAAGACACTGGATGCCTGGTCTCTGTTGTCTCCAAATGTGATGGCAGTCGATATACATGAAAAAGCTTCGGCCGGAAGAATAGAAAATACCTGGCACAGAACATTAAGTGATTCCAGAGTTTGTCGGGTAAGCGATACAGGGACCACGTATGTAACGTTGTCAAGTCTTTCAATCTTTGAGACAGCTCTCAGTATTGACTTGATGTGTGCTCTATCCTTATCTATTCCATTTGTATCTGCAAATCCTGGTGTATCGATTAGTGTTAATGTGAACATGGGTTTGTCATCTATGACAAATTCAATGTCATACCGATACGCCTCGGTGGTTTTGCTTTTTCCAATGCCAGCTGCCTCTAGATCCTTTGCCCGAAGTGTTTGTGGAGACCCAAGTTGGCCTGTCAAGATATTTAGAATAAACTCCACTAATGTGGACTTTCCAGAGCCGGTTATACCCATGAAAATTGCAAAGAATTGTTTTCTCTGGGGGTCAAGCGACCCCTTGATGCGATTGTATAAATAGTGGAATGTCTCATCTTTAATCCTATCCACGCTGACCCTGAATTGGGTAGTTCTATCAGATTCCATCGTTTTAGTTTGTAGACTTTGTGATTTATAAAAAGTTTGGCGAATTTCGTTCCATTGGCCGAGCTCTTCTGGACTCCCAATCTTTTCAATTGCTCCCTATAATTATAAAAAGTAGACTAGGTTAATGAATGCCACCATCATTTTTTAATCAATACATACATCAGAGTAGATTATAGTTGCTGGATAGGAAACTTGGTCTTCTTTCCATACGCCCTCAATGTATTTAATTTTATCGACATTACCTAAATGGTATTTCATTGTACCATTTCCATGGCATTTACCATTTAGGCAGAGCCCTACGTAGGTGTTGCCGTTGGGGTAGGTGTATCTTCCCATGTATGTTGGAATGTGCACAGGAGGATCTGTTTTGGAATCTATTATGGTCGGCCCAATCCATAATCCCCGATCGGTTTTTGTTTGTGATCGTCCTATTGTTATTGCAATTTTTTTTTTCCAATTCATCTAAATCATAATGATGAGTAACCATCTCTGTTCTGTTGAAATATAAGTGTAAGTTAGGGTAAATAAAAAGAGTCAATATCTTTACTTACTTTAAAATTTGGTTAAAAGACTTTAAATTTACGGCATGGAGCTTCTTTAATTGCCCGATCAACAGTGAAACCTTTGTATGGAGGGGTGCGATGTAGCCTGACATATCCTCATCTTCAAGAAGAGTTTCGATTTCCTTTCGAAATTCCTCCAGATTCTCCAGTAACATGTTTATTCTCTTAAGATTCGAGGTTACTTTGATTGTGAATTCATGGCTTGTTTTCCATAAATTCAGTTTCACTTGATCCTCAATCCATTCAGTTCTCTGTAGAAAAAAAACTTGGGTTATTGAATGCCCCCATCATTGATACAATCGATACGTACATCAGAATAGGTGATGGTTGTCGGATAGCTAACTTCGTCCTCTTTCCAATTGCCTTCAATCGATATTACCTGATCGCTACTAGTTGGGAATGTCATTTTTCCATGACCATGTCTCTTACCATTCAGGCAAAATCCTTCGTAAATGTCTCTATTTAGGTAGGTGTATGTACCTTTGTATGTTGGGGTGTAGGTGGTAGAATCTGTTTCAACCTCTAAACTAGTTGATGCAATCTCTTTTCCCTCAACATTTGGGATAAAGATTTTATCGACCATATTTGGACCGGTCCACGTTCCCTTGTCTGTTGTACATGGGATATCTCCAATCATCATCAAAATTGTGTCCTTGGAAATATATTGACTTGGTTTAGGTATTTCGTAGTTTTAAGTAAAAAAAAAATTAATCAATTTTTTGTTCTAGGTAAATATAATTTTGGTTGACATACCTTTTGTCATATTGTTTGATCAAATTAGATAGATTGAATTGATGACTTTCAACTGCTTCAATGGCTTGTAGTACTTTTGTGTTTAGTTCCTCCACATAAATGAAAAATTCTTCGTCTTCAAGCATTGTTTGAATATTTGTTTTAAAATCCTTCAACTTTGAAAGTAGATCATCTAAATCTTTGTGTTGTTTGAGATTGTCGAAATATTTTACCAAATTTGGTTCGCCTATAGCCATACCGGTAAATTTACCAGCCCATTCAATAGCTTCTTCAAGTTGGAATGACTTTCGGTTATTTGGGAAAAATATTTCCTTAAAAAAGTTGTAGTTATTGGGTTCCAATTTTTGTTGTCTTGATTTACTTGATCGGTGATAATCTCCGTGTGTTGCAAGTATCAAATCGCATTGAAATCCATCACTGCAGATTACCTGACATCTGCCATTCCAAATAAGATATTCGGCCTGAACCAAATCATCTCGAGATGTAGAAAATGTTATTTTTTTCTTTACTTGTTCGATGGCCGTTTGGTGTTTCTCCAAGTCTGTTGTACCTGACGAGTTTTCCAATGACTTCTTATAATCCTTATAGATTTGAGATTTCTCTTGCAATAACATAAAATAATCTATCGATTTATCTTGGCTTTGATTTAATTGTGCTACTATTTCTCCAACCGTAAATTGAGGTATGAATGTATCCAACTTGGTTTTTTTACTACTATATGCGTCAATTACCAAATTTAATTTCTCTATAAACAAAGTTGGCATTTCAGATGAGTTTGGAACGGTGATTGATTTATAGCTTGTAAAGTGTGATTTGATGATTTTTGTATCTTCTCCCTCATCAAGGAATTCTTTGGATTGGAAAAAATCATTATCTTTGTCAATTTTTTCTTTTTGGTTGTTGAAGATGACCAAGAGATGAGGCTTGTGTGGCTTGTTGATGACTTTTGATTCAACGTGGCTGACCATTTTTGATAATGCCGATACAATGGTCGAATGTTCTCTGGGGTTGCTGAATACATAGACAACCAGATCACTGATGAGATGAAGAAGTCTTGGATAAACTTCTTCGACGTGATGAAGCCTTTCTTCTGGTTGACCTTTCAAAAATTGGTTGTCAGGTGTTCCACCAGTTCCTTCAGAGTCCAACAGATATTCGGCATCTTTAAAAACGGAGAATATATAATAGTTGATATCTGAAGATGTGGATTGGGATGGCCCGTCATCTTTGCCTACGAATGGTATTTCATGTTGTTCACAACCATTCTTTTTTAGTATACTCGATCTTATAATCAATGATTTTCCTATTTATACATAAATTGGTTATTAATAAGTTGATTCGATAAAATGATATAGGTCTATAGAATAAAATGTACATACCACTACCAGTTGGTCCAAAGAATGAAATGAGATGAGAAGATACATCTTTTACTTTTAAATCCATTATCCAATTGTTGTTGTTATTCTCTAGTTGAATAAACTTATGTTTCGCGTCCCTGCTCGTCCATTCTGCTTCTTTGATATCGCAGTGGTAATCTATTATGTCCCTATCTTTTTTATCTATACATGTATGATCGACTGTTTTGCATTCTTCAAAATGATCTTCGCAAAATGTATATTTGCACATAAGGCAATAAACTAGATCGTTAGACGATGAGCAATGCTTAGAAATACATTTATTATTATTTCTTTGAGACTCCATCCCATCACCATAGAATGAATTGGTACAAAATGAAGCGATCTAATGAAGGTATGATGTTCAGCAAAAAAAAAAAAAGTTACTAAAAAATAAATATCTCGATAGGGTCGATGACGGAAATAGACTAGGAGGATATTTATTATTGGATCGTTGTTTTGAACTTCCCAAATTTAAAAACAATTAAAAAAAAAAAAATTATGATCATCATTCTACAGAGTAACAATTGGAGTTGAACATATTCTTTTTTTATGTTAAACAAAATAATAATAGTTTTAATTATTCTGTGATAAAGATTGAGAAGTAGATATCACAAAAAATTAAGAAAGTGACTTGGCAGTCCTAATCAATGTGGGTGGTATTGCGACCCATGGCCATAATAATATAATTTAATTTAATAATCACCAATTATTGGTAGAGGAAGAGACACTAATAATAATGTTTTTTTTCTAGTTTTAAAATAAAATAATATAATAATTCAAACAAATATATTTGTTTTTTTTTCGTAGCCACTTAAATTTGTGATGATTCGAATCATTTTGGTCTCTTCAATATATATTTTTAGTTCCCTCAATAATTAATAATTAATTATTTTTAGATTAGTAATTTAATTTACAGCAATATGATAATTATGTTTTGTACATTTCTAGGTGAAATGGTTGTTAAATTTGCTCAGTCGTTTTGGGTTGGGCATTTACTTTTTCAATCCAGCGATTAATTTGCAAGACTTTTTCTTTTCTTCGTTCTGTGATTTCCAAAACTTCGCCTTCAATTCTTTTCTTGAGTGCATCCGAGTTTTTAATAGTATCAATGAACAACTTGAGATTACTGATAACATCGGTAAGATATTTCTTTTTGATGACATCGTCGATTGCCTGTACAGCTTCTAACTGTCTATGAGTTTGAAGTGAACAATCAAGAATTTTGTCGATATTGCCAAAGACTGATAGCTCTTTGAATTTGGATTCTAGTTGTCTGAGTGTTTCTAGTTGATGCGAGTACTGATCGCCATAGGTTTTGACTATTTTTTTATCACAAATAAGTTAGTAACGTAAATAAATTGGGGATATTAAAAAAAAAAAATGGTAGTAACATACTTTCAGCATTATATTGGTTGGACAGTTTTTCTATTTGTATGGATTTGTCTAGGATAGACAAAAAAGTGGTGACTATCGACTCATTTTCGATCCATCCGATTTTAAATTTGGTGTAGACATGTTGGTTTCGAGGGCATTTGCATATTTGGCAAATATCCATTTTAAAAACATGGCAATTGTCAAAGTTGAACCCCAAAAAACCACAACCTTCGTGGCATACATCTTTGATACAGTCCGGTGCTAGGCACACTGTCGAGTAAGCACCATTTGGCCAAAGCTCATTACCAATGACTTTGGCCATTGGTTTTCCATCCTTGACAGCATATCCAGATTTTTTAAAGTATTCTTCCATTGCATTTTTGTCAGCGATGTGTGCCAATTGATTCAAATCCTTGGAGTTGGATATCAGCTCCAAGCTTTTAGTAGAAGAGCTTAATTTACCATAGGTTTCTTTTATATTTTTAAGTTCTTCCATAAGAGTTACAATGAGTTTGTTGAGTTGTACCATTCCTTTGCACTCAAAGGATTTTTGAGATTCGTACCTCTCCACAAAAAATGATCCCAGTTTTTTGGCAATTTCATTAATGTTGATATCAGTGGAATTGTCTGCTCCCGATAGATTAAATTTTTCTGTCTGGTTGTCCTTAAAGCTATTGTTTGGATGTTGAGCCCTTTAAATTTTATAGTTAGTAATGGAACAATGTTAATTATTTTGAAATTGGTACGTACCAAGGATTGTTTATAAAAGTAGCAGGTTTGTCTTTAATTCCTGGCAACATTTCATTCAAAACATCCAGGACGTTAGATGCCTGATTTTTGTTGTCTCCAAATGTGATTGCAGTAGAAACACAATCAAAAGCCTGGATAGGCAGGATTGAAAATACTTGACATAACACACTAAATGTTTCCAGAGTTTGTCGGGTAAGAGATATGGGAACGACGTATGTGACATTGTCCAGTCTTTCAATCTTTGAGACTGAGCTCAATATTGATTCTATGTGTCCCCTATCCTTATCTATTCCATTTGAATCTGCAAATCCTGGTGTATCGATTAGTGTTAATGTGAACATGAGTAGGTCATCTTCCACATATTCGATGTCATACCGATATGCCTCGGCTGTTTTGCTCTTTCCAACGCCAGCTGCCTCTAGATCCTTTGCCCGAAGTGTTTGTGGAGACCCAAGTTGGCCTGTCAAGATATTTAGAATAAACTCCACTAATGTGGACTTTCCAGACCCCGTTACGCCTAAAAACATAGCAAAGAATTGTTTTCTATGTGAGAAAAGAGACTTTTTAAAGCGACCATATAAAATCTTGAATGTTTCGTCTTTAATCTTTTCCACTTTGACTCTGAATTGTGTGGTTTTTTCACTTTCTATAGTTCTTGTTTCCAGACTTTGTGAGAGGTATGTAGTTTGGCGCATTGCCTTCCAGGAGTCCAATTCCGCTTTGTTGCTAATCATTTCAGTTTTCTATAAAAAAAAAGGTTAGGTCAAGACATATTGTTGTAAACAATCAATCGATACATACATCATCATAGGTGATTTTTGCTGGATAGCTAACCTCGTCGCTTTTCCACTCGCCTTCAACCAATTTAATTTTATCAATACTGCAAGGATGGTATATCATTATTCCATTTCCATGTCTTTTACCATTCAGACAATATCCTTTGTATACGTCATTGTTTAGGTAGGTGAATATTCCTTGGTGTGTTGGAATGTGAGTGGTAGGATCTGTTTTAAAATCCAAAATAGTTTTTCCCTTCCATTTTCCCTTGTCGACAATCGTTGTCTCCGTTGTTCCCATTGCAATTGAAATCTTTTTTAAAACTTCATCTAAAAATGTATCCTTGACGGTAATCTCTCTACTGATAGAATTGAGTAAGTAAATTATAATTGAAAATAATAATTATTATTTTAATTGTTTATGGACATACTCTACAATGTTTTTGAAACTTTCTTTCCCAAACAACTCTGTCTCTTGTTTAAGGGATTTTAAACGCCCAATAGCTTGTGAAACTTTAGTGTTGAGAGGAGCAATGTAGTTTGACATATTCTCATCTTCCAATATTACCGATAGTTCTTCTCGATAATCCGATAACTTCTTGAGCATTGATTCTATTCTTGGTAAATATGAATCTAGTTTGGCTTTTTTGCTTTTGAAAATCGAGAATTGTTTACTATCTACTTTGAGAGGCGACAGTGCATCGGAAATCTCCATTTTTACAGGCATTAACAGGTGGCCCTCGTCTATTTTTAAACTAAAGAATGACTTTAACATTTCTAGGGTGACTGGGTGGCCAACTAACGGGTCTTTGAACCCTTTTCTTACGAGCACATTCAATTTGGCCAATTGTAGGTGTTGTTCTAGCTTGTCAGACAGTACACCAAGGTGATGTTCTAATTTTGTTTCCTTTCTAATTTTCTTTATTAATTCTTTGTCCCTGTTAAATTAAGTGTCAGACAATATTGTTTCAGAAATATAATGAGAGGAGTACTTACCCTGATTTTAAAGTTAAATGTACCTCCAACAAGGCTTTAAACTCCATCTTCTTGATGTAGTATTCGCCAACCGATTCAATGGGAGGGTTGGGTTGAGAAAGGGTGGGTTCATCTAGACTACACCTTGTGATTCTTGTTCTTGTCACTATGTAGGTTATTTCATTGTTGTTTTCAAATGGTTTCGCTCTGCAATAAGTGTCATCTGAAGCAACAAAGCTGAAAGAAAAAGAAAAGAATAAGAAAATGTATTAATGGTAGGTAAGGGTTGAGCTCAAACTTACTGTGTAATAGGAGGAAGGTCGAATATCCTATGTTTTTTTGTGATTTTATGACTGTTGTTGGGATCGTAGTGTAGACTCATCCCGAGGTCTGACTCAGCAAGCATGTCTGGGTTGTCATGAGGAATATTGACAATGACCTTATCCATCTTTGCTTGTAACCTATATTCTCTGTGCTCTAGTTTTATATGAAGAGATTTCAAAAAAATAAATCAAAGGAGCTGTTTGTGATGAGATGAACAATCGAAAGCTACACCATAAGAAGAAACCAAAAATTAATTAAAATGATGTTCAATTCAATAGATTAGTTGAAAAATATCTTTTTGAAGAGAAAAGGTTTTTTCAAAATCACCCACCCCCCCCCATTGTTTTAAAAATTGGTGGTACAAAAAAATTAATTAAAAACATTGTATTTATATCATTACTGTATCGCTCACAGTTGGTAATACTTTATATTTATTCAATAGTCTGGGATGATTACACTCAACCCAAGCATTAGATTTGATAAAGAGTTAGGAAGTGGATTCGATATCTGCGAGATAGACAGGCAGTGCAATGACATATTTGTTCAAAAGGGCATCGAGTATCTTCCTTGTTGTCCAACGATCGAAGAATATAACTATTCTTTTACGTTGCTTGAAGTTATATGCGACCAAAAGAAACAAACCATCATCTATACTTCAACAATCATAACTGAAAAGAAAACACTGCCTTCGACACCATCACCTCATTCAGAGATCAGACAAGACATGGATGAATTTAGAGCTCAGTATGGTTTACATTACGTTCAATCAATCGAGATTGGTGTAAGGGTAAAGATGATCATATCTCTTGAATCCAAGTATGTTGCTAAAACACAAGAGATCAGCTAATACCCATTTACTAATATTTATATATACTTTAGCGAGCAATCAGTACTCAGGCAGGTGCAGGAATATTGTAATGGAGATTTTGATCAGTTTATCACAAGTATTGGGCCTCTCATTGCAGACTCAAGTTTAAAAGCGTGGTTTAATGGATCGATTGATGGGCACCCAGACAACGAGGCCTTTAAAAAACTCATACCAGCAAAGGCCAAGGAATTTATTCGGTTGCTTAGAACCCCTGGTCTCTCTAAACAGTACAAAATTCCCATTCGAATATCTGTTTTGCCAATGCCCTCTAAACTACATCCTCTCCTTGCTCAACTTGACTTTGATATCTACCAAACCAAAGTCAATCAAATACATGCAAACATTTCAAAGATTGAAGAGATGACGACTGTTTTATCCAAATCAAAAAAGACCATTCAACATATACTCGAAGATGACAATCTATCTGCATATGTTGAGACTTTATACACCAAAGTCTCCCAATTTATCCGACGTTTAAGAGTATTACATGAAGACACTGTCAAATTGCTCAAAGACAAAGTCGACAATATTCTCAAGTAAGTTAATATCGATGTATTTTAAATGTAATCTATGTCTACTTACTCTTTTAAAATTTTAATTAGATTTGATGTATCCAATACACAGGATATTCTGACAGAATACAAAGCCAACGTGGAAATGCTGATTGGAATATCTAGCTCAACCACAAAAGAAGGAACGTGGTTGGGCCCAATTGTAAGTGGCGTACCAACATACAAAGGAACATACACATACACAAATGGAGACGTTTATATTGGTTATTGTCTGAATGGGAAGCGACACGGATCTGGGATAATGACATATTGCAATGGGGATGTGGATCAAGTAAAATCCATCAATGGAGAGTGGGTCAGCAATGAAATGAGATACCCAGCTACTATCACACGTACAGACGTATGTTATCAATTATTAATAGTTTAAAAGTTTTTAACAAGGTCCTAACTCACTTTCTTTTTTAAAAGGGTAACTCACATACGATTTCAAATGAAAGAGAGCTCTCTGATTGGACAGCAGACCAAAAAGAGAAGTTTATTAGATTTGACTATTCAAATGAACAATTGTACAAATATTTTGTTTACATTGACAAGATTAGAAAAGATTCTCTGTTGCAATTTTTTGGTAAAGTTTTGGAATTGGAGGAACCCCCTACAAAAAAAAAGACTATTTCCTAATATTCATGGGGAGAAGTGGTGTTGGAAAGACAACTTTGCTTGAGTTCTTTCTCAATATTTTGACTGGCCAAATGGACTCTCCAAAATCACTTCGTTTAACAAAATATGAAGAAACTGTACCTGGAAAGAGCAAAACCCAAAAAGTTTGTCGTTACCGAATCGAGTACTTTTCCGATCAGAACAAGTTTCAATTTTCGATTACCCTTATCGACACACCAGGATTTTTAGATACTGCAGGAGCCGACAAGGACAAGGAGCACATCAAGACAACTCTCAATGAGATCTCGAATCTCGAGAGAATACATGGATTTATCTATGTAGTATCGGGTGCATTGACAAGAAAAACCCTCGAACCTCTCCAATCCATCTCAAATGTATTTTCATATCTCAAGAGAGATGCATTGGAAAATGTGTCAACAATCATTACATTTTGCGATAACTTGAACCAAGCTTCAAATGTTAGAAATGTCCTAAATGAAATGTTGGATGGAGTCAAAGATCGACCTGGTCTATTTATGGATAATCCTTGGTATTTATTTAGATCTAATTTTAAATCCCACCAATTGATAACTAACTTTTAATTTAATAGGGCCCTTCACCCAAGTAATAAGTTTGGTGCCGAAAAAATTGGCAAGCTCTCGGTTCCAGATACAAAATTAGAATCCAAGGCCCAACTGGCACTGGATTTTATTTACGAGAGAATCAAGATTGAAAACCCATTCCATATTCCACAAATGAAAAAGCTTGTCGAACTCAAAGAAGCTTTTCTTGACTGGTTCAATCAACTGTTGGAGAAAAATACGTCTTGTGGGGTTGCAGAGGCGAAACTATCTGATTTTAAAGACGTTGAAGCTCCCCAAATCCGCCATTTAATATCAAAGGATTGGCTTAAACAGCAAAAGTGTAAATTGAATAGCGAAGGAAAGGCGATTCGAAAGGTGCCCAGCACTGAAAAATGGTCCAATGGAGGCGTTTCGACCGTCTGCATGTCTTCAGATTGCAGGCCCAACTCAAAGGAGGTGTGTGATGAAGGATGTAAATGTTATCTCCCAATTAAAAATGTTGCATTTAATATCAGGGATTGTCGAACCTTCCGTAATATGTTCATGATACGTTATGATGAGTGTTTTTATTGTGGTTGCAAATATTCTCTACACATCCATTCCGAATTCAAAATGATGTGGGTCGAAGACGACGAAATCACAGCCAAATATAATGAAGCTCAAGAGCAAGACAAAGAAATACCCATCAAAACCAAGGAATTGGAAAAAGAAAGTATGTATGCACCTACAACCAACAAAATGATCATTCTAATAATTTTTTCCCAGTTTCCAATATTGCTGCCAAATTTAGAGAACAAATTGAAGATGTTTCCAAACTTAAACAAAGACTTCAACAATTGGACGCTGGTGACATCCAAACCATTGTAGATGATTCAATGAAAAAGGCTAAGCATCATTTAAATATTCTCGAGAATCAATCGCCCCAACCAAATGAAGGTATCCAACAATTGAAAGATCTACTCGAAAAACTAAAAACCTTTATACATGTATAACTTGTACAAAATTGTAAATAATATCTATAATATTAAACGTTTGTGAAATTATCCATCTTTTTTGAATTTAAATTCTTTTTTACTTTTGAGTTTACAAAAATAATAATAGTAATAACCAACCAATTAATAGATTAATTGATTTATTGATGTTTAATTTTAACGTCCTTGACATCATCAGTAATTGGTAATTTAGTGTATTTGTTTCTATAGTGACGATGCACAAGGTAATCTGGCAGCCACGACACCAAAAGCGAAGCCAAATAGGTGATGGCAACCAAAGCCTCTCTCCAATAGATACCAAATATCTCGCCACCGGCAAATCTACAACGCATTGCGTCGAAATCCTCATCCAACAAGATACCCATTTGACCGAGGAAAAAGGCATGGTAGATGATACCGTGACTAAAAGTATGTGTAAAGATCTTGAATCGTTCAAGCTTGCTAGTGAAATGTGGAATGATGATGGACAACTTGTTGATGGCCGATCCACCGTCAGTGGTAAGACTACTCTTGCTGCTGTCCCTCGTATAGTTGGCAGACTTTTCACGCTTGTGAATCTTTCCAGAGTTTAAGTGTTGATGGAATCGATGGTTATAAAGTAAATAATAGTATGGAATCACCAAAAGTATGGCATGGTGTACATAGAATACATAAATCTCCCACCACCACAAGAACCACGTTTCATTTGGTGGTGATACAAATCCAACCAATCTAAAGAATAATAATATTAATTAATATTTATAGTCTTTCAACTATAGTTTTGAGTTTGAATTTTAGAATTGTATTGTATACATACGGCATCCACATTGAATAAAAATAAGAATAAAAGTATCTTGGGTCTCTTCCAGAGAATAACATTACATACATTAGAACAGCCGATAAAACATGACAAGGTTGCCACTACAATCATAATTAAGTAATTTAATTTAAATTGTCAGTCAACAATCGATCAATTGATTCTTTTTGTTTGAGAACCATGGTAATGAACCATCAATGTTTTTAGATAATGGGGGTGGGAGTAGGGTGGTGGGTAAAACAATGAGTCAACCAACCAATTGATTTCCCCATTACTCGAAAAACATTTATTGTCAATATACATATATTACTTTCTATGTCTACTTACCAACCAATGAGGAACGCCTTTGGCGACGCGAATGTATATATTTGTTAATAAACAAGCAGCCAAGATTGAAAAGAGTATCCATTCACCCAAGGTGAGGGAATAGGATCTGACTTGTTTCTTCTTTTTAGTTGTTAGGTTGTATTCTTTTGGACGTGTTAGATAAGATACAGCGGTCCATGATAAACCATGTAGACCCAACACTTTAAAATCATGCCATGCATCCATTTTGAAACATGTTTCAAATACATCTCCCATTTTCTACTTTTCTCTCTCTCTCTCTTTACTTTAATATATTATTATTACTCTTATAGTTTAACTATTTTTTTAAATATTACAATGATGATGATGATAGTGACTTGATTATGATTATTCTTATTTTTATTATTATTACAATTACGAATCACTTTTTAATTGGTTGTTTAAAAGTGTTTGATGTTTAGATAGAGTGTGATGATGTGTTAAAAAAAATTAAAAAAAATTGTTGGGGAAGTCGTTTTTTTCATAACCCCCAACACCGTATTGGGATTGAACGGGGCACTAGACTCGGAAAAAGATTGATTTTTTTTATTCGATTCTCGAATCTAAAAAGATAAAATAAAGATATTTAAATCGATCTCTCTTTTATTATTATTCTATCTATTTATTTATTTTTTTTTAGTAGCAGCAGGTTTCTTTTTGGCAGCAGCTTTGGCAGGTTGTTTTGAACTACTTTTGGAAGGTTTAATTAATTTATCCACTACATCTTGTTGAGCTTGTTCTTCTGATTGTTGATCTTCCTCTTCTTCAATCTTGGCAGTTGACTCTTCTTGTGCACCGGCTTCTTCAAAGTCCATTGTAGAGGCGTGGTCAGAGACACTGTTACCTCTGGTTGCAGACATTGAAACATCATAAACTGCATGTGAACCAGCTCTCCATTTTCTGGTAAATGAGGATTTGACAGCTGGTGGGATAGACTTTAATTCCTCAGATTCTTCAACCTTTACACCCCAAGTTGTCAATTCGATCACGTCGTCACGATCTTCTTCAGTGAGGCCATACTCGTCCATAAAATCAATAACCGATTCAACACCATCAGCCTTGTCTCTAATCATTGGTTGTACCATGTAATGTTTAAACATGGGAGTATAGTAAAGTCTAGTTTCACTCTTATTGGCAAGTGATTGAGCCGATGATGATCTCATATGTAATTGAAGTTCAGATACAAATCTTTTTTGTTTACCATAATTTGATTGTTTTCCAAGATATCTAAAAAATTTAAAAAAATATATATATTAATATATAAATGTAACAAAAAAATACTATTTAGGTTATTCTTACTGAGGAAAAGTTGGATAAAAATTTGTACTACTTCCATGAATTAAATGACATGGAATAATAGTAGACATGATAGCATAGGTTGGTAATAATTCAAAACTTTGATGAGAATAAATTTCCTTGCTAACAACATCAGATTCACTAATAGATTCTGCAGCCTTTGAGAATAATTCCATTTCGTTTGTATATCCCTTTCTATCGGTAGTTTGATTTCTAGGTACATTTGTCAAATAATTTTCTTGAACCATCAATGGAATTAAATTATAATCACTAAAATATAATTCCATTCTTTCATTTAATGTTTTGTTTGCACTTGATAATAAAACACTACTAGCTTCAAATGGACTTGTTTCAAAATCTTTTACTGCCATTTCAATCCTAAAAAATAAATAAAAAAGAAAGTGTAAATAAATAAATTTTCTTTTTTTTTTTTTCTTTTTTCTTTTTTTCTTTTTTACTTTTTATCAATATTTAAAGGATTAATTTTTTCATTATTTCCTCTATTCAACATTTGCATTAAATGAATAGTTTGACGAATATCATTTTTGGTTGAGAGAAATAATTTCTCGGCCATGTATTGATTTAATTGCATTCCTTCATTTTTGGCAATTTGCAATAGTCTGTCTGATACTTGTTTGGGAGTTGGACGATTAAATCTCATTTCTAGACAATATGATTTCAAAGATTTGATCTTTGTACTATAATAATCATTACATATACAAATAAATGGTACCTTGCTCGTTTTAATCATACCAATGATTTCCTTTATACCGCCTCTATCATTATTACCTGATGATCCATCAACTTCATCCATAATAATTGCTTTTTTCTTTGTTTTTACTTGTTTCTAAAAAAAAAAAAAATTAAAATAAATAAATAAATAAATAATTGATTTGATTTGTTTTGATTTTTTTAAATTTCATACATTAACAGAAAAGAATTGAGTAATTGAAGTATTATCAGATACACCACCTAATAAATGATCAATATCATTTTTACTTCTAGTATCTGAAGCATTCATTTCAATGACATCGTAACCCATTTCCTTGAGTATCATACTAGCACAAGTTGTCTTTCCAATACCTGGTGGACCAGCAATCAATACAGCATTGAGCTTGTATTTTCTAAGAGGTTTGTCAAAATCCATTAGAAACTCTTTGAGATGAGAAATCATACCAGGATTACCAATGATATCGGAACTAGTGGTTGGCTTGTATTTATCGACCCACATCATATCATTTCCTTTTTTAATGTTTTTAAATGATGCTGGAAGTTTGATCAAATCCATATCACTTTGAACAGAATCACTCATTGCATTGACAAATCTTTGATTACTTGCTGGTGCAAATCCCATTTGTTTACTTGATACTTGTGCTTGTCTAAATTCACCATTACTATTATTATTGATATTATTATTATTAATATTATTACTATTAGTTGGTTTTGATTTGGATATAGACAATGAAATTGTTTTCTTTGCTATTGGAGCAGCTGTTGGCATTGGTCGTTTAATATCTCTATCACTTTCAGATTCAGAGTCTTTAATGATTGGTGGAGTTGAACTATAACTATTATTACCACTATTACTAGTACTAGTAGTAGTACTAGTTGATGTTGTTGTTCTATCTCTATCACTATCACTATTTTCAATTTCATCCAAATCCATTTCATCATCTTGTTGTTGTTGGGGAGACATGTCTCTATCACTACCTTGATCAAATGAATTATTGATCATGGCCAAAAATTCATCTTCTGTAAGGACAACAATACTCTTTTCCCTTAATCTATCGTCAATTATTTCTTTTTTCTTTTCACCACCACCTTCTCCAACGACCACATGAGTAATCTTTTTAATGACATTGTCAGAGAATTGACCTCCATACAATTGGACAAATCCTTTGATTTCAGTTCTTTCAAAGCAGTCCAATACACCAGTGACGGTAAAGTACTTTTTGGCTAGACATTTTGGAGCACCACGTGGTTCAGGCTTGGAACCCTTGTTGGGTGGTGGTGCACACTTGCCTCCCTTCATGAGGAATTGTCTTTGCTTCTCCTTGGCTATTCTCTTTTCCTCTTCTGTCTTTTCAGGTGCCGGTTCCTTTGCACCTGCCTTTCTCTTGGGAGTGGGTTTGTTTGGTTTGGCAGGTGATGGAGGTTCTACAACCTTGGCAGGTGATGGTGCTGCTACCTTGATTGGTGTATTATTGTGAACAATAGTCTTTGTAATATTGTTTTTAGTTGTTGTTGTTGAAGTGGAAGTAGAAGAGGGAGTTGATGGTTTGGCAGGTGTTTTTCTAACCAATATAGATGGTTTCGATGGTGTTGATGGTTTTGTATCGTGATGTTGTTCATGTTTGACTTGATCCTCGTGTATCAATGAACCAATCAATTTATCTTTACTGAGTGCACGTGTTTCTCGCATGTCTTGTGTTTCCTCTTCAGTTAAATCTTCATTATCACCGTCATTCTTTGGTTCCTTTTTGACAGAGTTTAGTTGTTTTGAAACATCATAGTTTTTGTTTGGTTTTGGTGACATTGGAGTAGTTGTAGTACTACTACTACTAATACTATTATCTCTCTTTTGAGATGATTTTATAGTTGAATAGATATCATCTTCATCGTCATCATCAAATATACTATCAGGTGCATAGATACCAGATGTGAGTTTTTTAAGAGAAGATGGAGGTGGTGGTGTCTTTTTCTCCTGTTGTTGTTGTTGTTGCTGAAGTTTGGTTGGAGTAATATGTCTTGTTACACGATCAGCTTCTTCATCTGTCGAATCAATATCATCAAGATCTTCTTGTTGTTTCTTTTTCTCGATACTAACTCTTTTCTTTTGCTTTTCTCTTTCCTCTTTTTCCAATCTCTCCTTTTCAGCAAGTTGTTTGGCCTTTTCCAATTTAATCTTGTTTTCTCTTTCCAATTGTTCCTTTTTAGCTCTTTCCTCCTTTTCCAATTGTTCCTTTTTAATTCTTTCTTTTTCCAACAATTGTTCTTTTTCCTTTTTAGCTCTTTCTTCCTTTTCCTTTTGATCATCATCATTAAACAACATGGAAGATTGTTCTTTTTCCTTTTTAGCCTTTTCTTCTTCCATCTTCATCTTTTTCTGAATCATAAAACTTTCCTTTGACCGTTTCTCCAATTCCATTTCAGTTTCCTTTTCCTTTTCCTTTTGCTTTTGTTGTTGTTGTTGTTGATCAAAATTATCTGCAACACCTGCATCATCAGACATTTCAATATCCTCTTCAGTATCATCATCATCATGACTCGGTATGTATTCATCCAACATATTAACCTTTTCCTTTTTAAAAGAAGGTATAATTTGAGGAGTTGGTTCTTTCTTTTCAGGTGTTGCAGGTGGTGCAACTTTTGAAGATGAAGATGATGATTGTTTAGATGGAGAAAAGAATGCATCTATCGCACTCTTTGCAGGTGATTGATGTTGTTGTTGTTTAGAAGGTGATTGGTGACGTTTAGTAGTAGTATCTTTGGTATCTTTTGAATGAGAATGTTTATCACTCTTTTCCTTTTCCGACTTGACTGACAAGGATGATGTAAGTGATTCCATTTTAATTGGGGTGGATGGTTGCTCACCGTTTCCACCGCCATTATTGTTGTTGAAATTAAGTTTGTTTGTTGATGATTTGGTTGGTGTTGAAGATGGAGATTTGCTAGTAGTACTTTGCTTTTTCTTCTTTTTTGGTGAAGGTTCAACAGCAGGAGCAGGAGCAGCTACAGTCTTTGTCTTTTTCAATCTATGATGAGTTGTTCTATTCTCCTTGTCTGAATCTTCTTGGAAAATATCATCGTCATCAAAGATATCATCTTTAATCTTACTTGATTGTTTGGAGGATGAAGATGAGGAGGATGATGACTTTTTACTTTCACCATTACCTGATCCTGAACCCTTCTTTTCTTGTTTTTTCTTGTCACTACGATTGTCTGGCTCATCATCATCGTGACTATCATGATCCATATCCTTTCTCTTTTTTAGAATTGATGTCTTTGATGATGATGATGAAGATGATTTACTACTTGAATCTACACTATTTCTCTTATCCTTTGATTTTGTCGATGATGTTGATGTTGTCGATGATGATGATGACGAAGGTTCAACCTTTTTGACAGAAGGAGATTTGGTTGGAGTAGAGGTAGCAGTAGCTGTAGTAGAGTCACTTGTTTGCGAGTCACCATTATTATTACTACCAGCCTTATTCTTTTGAATTCTCTCCATAAAAGCATGCATTGACTACATCATTATTATTATTATATTATTATTATATTATTATTATGATTGTAAATATATATTAATATCATGTGACATATATATCATCCAATTCATTCAATACTTCTTATAAATATATATACATACGATAGTGCCTTGGGCATGATCTTTCATACTAGTCTTTTTCTTTACCATTCTTTATTTCTTTCTCTCTCTCTATAGATCTAATGAATTAGATGAGGGTTGTGAATGACTATATATATATATAATGTGTAATCTACTTGAAGTATCAACTATCAAAAGTAGTATGTATGTATGTTACTGTGTTCTAGTAGTAGATTCTAGATACAAAGAGAGTAGTTTGCTGATTCAAACCTAGGTACCTATCTTTCTCTCTCTTTTTTTTAATACTAGTATTGAATGTTTCTGTCTTTGTGTTTCTTTTCGAAAAGGTGAAAGGAACATCAGCGCGCCAAAATTCGAAAACAGGTCATACACTACATACAAAATTCTTGTAAGTATTTATTAAACATACATATATAAACACTCAAAGATATTAAAAGAATGACATATATTAATAATAATAATAATAATAATAACAAATGAATATTTTTTGTAAAATGTGTACAGAGGTTTTTATTATTTTTTTTTTAAATTTTGTTGTAAGTTGTTTGATAAGATTTATATCACTGCTAGTTTACTTGTGAGCAACTGGATGAGTATCTTGGAAGTGTTGATAGTCTAATTTGTCCTTTGCAAATTGAGCTTCCAATTGCTTTCCTTCTTCCTCCAAACGTTGGTTCTTGGTGATATGACCAAACTTTTCCTTGACGACACCCTTTACCTTCATGATGGTAGATGGCTTGTGTGGCTCGGCTAAATTGTGACCGTTGTTGGCATTGTAGTAGGGGTCGTTGGCAGTGTGGGTGGTACCGGTGGTGCCGCGGGTAGAGTCTCCGTTCAATGGCTTGTTGTTGTTGTTGTTGAGGGACTTGTTGCTACCGAATCCATTGTCATGGGTGGTGGTACCACCATTCAATGGCTTGGCACTCGACAAAATGGGGGTATTGGTGCTCTTCAAGTTTCCAGCCTGCGATGAAATTAAATTGTTCAAGTTGCCACCGGTCGAGATTGGTGCCTTTGTAGTTGGTGGGATTGGTGGTGGGATGGGAATACCAGCTGCATCCTTTTGACCTGCAAAGAATTTCTCTTTCATAATTGGTGCTCCAAGTACTGTTCCAGTTCCAGTTGCTTCAAAAAAATGGAAAACAAAAAAAATAATAATTAACTAATTAATATTCAATGTTTCCAGAAATAAGGTAAAGGTTGGATGGGTGTAGGATAAGGGGTACAACATACAATTAATAACATTATGTTCAGTAGCTACTTGAGTACCAGTTACATAGGTAGTAACATTGGGAGAGTTTGGAGCATAGGTGTAGGTTAAATCACCTTCCTTTCTTGCTTGATAATGGCTAGTCATTTTTTTTGTTTAAAATTTTAAAGAGTTGTTGGTTTATATGTTTAGATTATTATTAATATCTTTTTCTATTTGAAATTTTAAAAAGTAAAAGTAAAACTAATTAGTTGTTTGATTTCAAAGTCTTTAATCGTGTTGAATGGACCATTATAGATCCCTTTTTTTAAAAAATATTAAATAATATTATTATTATTTATTTATTATTATTTTTGATTTTTCGAAAAACTATTTTGTTTTTTTAACCAAAACAGGAAAAATTCAATTTTAGATAAAGGATCAATTGGGGAATTCAATTGAAAAATGACTCCTCCCCTTTTCCATCGATTAAATATTATTTAATTATTAATATTTTATTAATGTTTTGATTGGAAAACATGAAAGAGATCTAATCTTTGAATCATATAATTCATGTAAATTTTGATAATTACAAAGAAAAAGAAATCTTTTTTTTAACAGAGAATCTTCAAAATGAATGAATACATATAAAACTAGAGTTAAGAGGATTTTTAACAAAATTATTTATTAAATGCATGTTGAAGAGGATTTGTTTGTTTGTTGTTGGGTTTTTTTTTTTGTTCCATTCAAAAAAAAAAAAAAAAAAAAAAAGGTTATAGTTAAAAAAAAGGTTGTAGTATAATTATTATTATTATGTATTGTTGTCTTTTTTAAATTATTATTAATATCAATATATAGATTGTTTCTTTTCGTATTTTCTATTGTTTTTGTTGGTTGGTTGTTGGATATAGTTTGTTGGTTTTAAAATAATTTAATTAAAATTTACAATTGGTTGTGGTTGGAGTGGTGGAGTCGATTCTTGAGAGAGTTGATGTTGTTGTGGTGGTGGAGGTGGAGTATTGACTGGAGAGTGTGATTGATTGCCGTTTGCCAAGTGTTGTCCGTTTTCCATCTTTACCATGACTGGTGGTGAAGGAGTTCCCTGTGGTATCGACTGTTGTTGTTGTTGTTGTTGTTGTGGCATGGGAGCTGGCAAACTGTGTTGGACTTGTTGGTTATTCTCCAATTTAACAGGTGATGAAGTTGGCATTTGCATTTGAGTATTATATTGTGGTGGAGGATAGGTTGCGTTGTTGTTGTTGTTGTTATTGGTTTGTGGTGAAGTTTGTAGAATGTTTTGTTGTTGTAGTTGTTGTTGATGATGAATTTGTTGTTGTTGTTGTTGAATCTGTTGTTGAGGTAATTGTTGTTGTTGTTGAACTTGTTGAACTTGTTGAACTTGTTGAACTTGTTGAACTTGTTGTTGAGGTAATTGTTGTTGTTGTTGGATTTGTTGAGGTATTTGTTGTTGCAATTGTAATTGTTGAACTTGTTGTTGTTGTTGTTGAACTTGTTGCTGTTGTTGAGCAGCTACAGCAGCGGCAGCAGCTTGTTGTTGTTGTTGAGCAGCTACAGCTTGTTGACCTCCAGCAGCTGGGACTGAGGACATCTTGAAATCACACTCTACACGAGTATCACGGTAGCTGATGATAAAGGTGACCTTTTGGTACTCGTGGATGACGGGGTCCGAGCCGTCCTTTTTGTCGATTCTCTTCTTGACCCAATCCTTGCCGGCCGAGAGGGTGGGGAAACCCGAACGAGCGTTGAATGTAAAGTAGAGGTGTTGGACATTGACTTTCTCGCCATTGATCGATGTGACACGGTCCTTGGTATATGAACGCCACGATCTAAACAATTGAAAGTGATCTCTAAAGAGCTCGACGGGCAAACATCCCAACGCTACACCTTTTACAGTCTTGCCATAGCCATTCTCCAAACGATCAAGTAGAATAGTATGAGCAACCTCCAAGAACTCTTGTAGTCTAATTTGTTTATATAACGATGTAAAGTAGGATTTGTCAATCATTTGTTCTTCCATTCTTTACTTCTTTTTTTTTGTATCTTTATAATATTTTTGGTATTATATTATATTATTACTATTATTATATTATTAAAGTTATTTTCTTATTATTATTATTACTATTATAGTTATAGTTATTGTATATTATCTGTTATAGTTTTCAACAAAAAAGAAAGAAGTAATAATGAAATAATAGACCAAGACGAAAGATAGATTAGATAGTGATAAAATTTTTAAAGTGAAAATGAGAGGGGAGGTCGGCAATGAACATCAAAGAGTGAGGTGTGTGGGTGGGTTGAGATTAAAAAAGGGAAGAAGAAGTCAGTTGTTAGTTAGATTAATCTTTATATTAGTATCATAGTTATCATCTTTATCATTATCACTGTCATCATCATCATCAACCAAACAAACAATCAAAAGAAGAATAATATAGATATATATATATATATATGTATATACACCATAGTGATATACTCGCATATAGATAGTTATATTAATTTTCAAAAAGTAATATGTGTACAAATAAAAGATATATATATTTATATTTATATATATATATATTATCTGTTATGAACTCTCATCATATCTTGTATTTATGTATCTATCTGTATAGTGTAAATTATCTAGATATGAGATATTTTTTCTAATAAATCAAATATCTGTATATTTCGCACAACTCTCTCCCCTTTGCCTCGTCTTGATACAGATAGATAGATTTAGTTATAATCTATATCAGTTGGTTGTTTGTGTGTTGTGTTAACTCTGTTATGCATTGATAGAGAGACTGTCTCTCGATCAAAATTGGGTTGATGATGTTCCAGTTTTAGATAAGATAGATGGGTGGGGGCAACTACCTACCTAATTGTGAATTTATATTATAAATATATAAAAAAATAACTAATAATTTTTTTGAATTAAACTTATTTTTGAGTCAAAAGGCGACTCGTTTGTTTGAAACTATTTTTTTTTAATTTTTGTTTTTTTTTTCGTTTCGTGGGGATCTACAACGGTGCATGAACTTCAGAAATAAAAGGTCAGGTGCTCCAAGAGATCTCTATTAAATTTAAATTCATTTATGATAACTTGTTATTGTGCGAGGATCTATTCGACTGTGTATACACTACCCTCCTGCTGGATATATTATTATGTATACCAACCGACACACATTTTATTTAATAAGTTCACTAGCAAGTGGAGAGAGTGCACAGTTGATAACCGAAAGTTAACTTCTCAAAAGGGATAGATAGATAATTTGTGGCGCAAAGATATTATTAAAAATAACAAACAAACAAACAAACAAGATCAATCTAAAGTAATAATGAAATGATAATTGATACCTAAATTAAATTAAATTGATATAAATAAATATTGAGTGAATTTCTGTTTCTTGTGTCTATAGTTTTTTCTTTTGAGTCAGTTTCATTTCAAATTTGATAGAGAGATAATAATAATAATAAGACAAAAGAAGAATGTCACATAGAGATAGAGATAGAGGAGACAGAGGTGACAGAGATAGAGATAGAGGAGATAGAAGTGACAGAGGAGACAGAAGTGAAAGAAGCGAAAGAAGAGAAAGAAGAGTCGAACATGTATCGACAGTTCCAAACAGTTTAAAGAATCTTAGAGCATGTCTATCATGTGGACTTGTAAAGACTATTAACCAATTTGAAGATAAAGGATGCGAAAATTGTGATAGAAGTTCAAGAACTTATCGTAGAGATGATGCACTAGCTTCAACTACTGCAAACTTTGAAGGGTACGAAACATTGATATAAACTCAAGAGATAGATATTACGATTATTAACAGATACTCCTTTTGTTGGTTCGAATATATATATAGATTAATTTCAATGATGAAACCAAATGAAAGTTGGGTAGCTAGAAAACAACATATTGAAGGAAAGGTACCAGGTTGTTATGCACTTTCAATCAAGGGTACTGGTGCTTAAACCATCAAATAATAATAATAATAATAATAATAGATAGAATAGAACGAAACGAAAAAAAGAACAACAACAACAAACACAATGGATGTAACTAACAACGAATTAACTCTTGGACACAAATCGAATATTACTTTTGGGGGATTGTCAATTCAATCCAATGAATGATTTATAATGGTGATTGGATCATTTGGGAATATTCTCCAACAACAAAATAATAATAATAATAACAACAGCAATCGCCAATATTCATTCAAAACTATATAAATAATTGTAAATTTTAAAACACAAAACAAACAACAAACAAACCATGTCTGGAATTCATTGCAATTTGGAATTGTGGAAAATTGGTCATTAAACCAATCATTTTATTTGGGGAGCTATAGCTATCGTATAGTTATTCATTTAATTGTTTTGTTGATGTTGATGTGAAAAATGGTAACCAATTATTATTATTATTATTATTATTAATGTTATTATTGACAGAAAGGGGTATGAGTAGTTTCACCTATTAAGATGATGGATGGGAGGGATGTGATAATTTAAATACAAAAAAAAAAAGGAGGATTAATATTAATTTAAAGTTGTTGAATATTATTGATTATTGGATTATTGAATGATTAGCTTTTAATAGCCTTATAAAATGCATTATAACTACTATCCAAATCAAATAATAATTGTCTTGTTTGATCTTCATCCAATTCTTCGCTAGCCTTCATTTTGTTTAACGTTGTCATCCAAAACATAATTTTCTCTTTTCCTTCAAAGTTTGGAAGCCATGTGTTTCGATTAAGACTCTCCAACAAGTCACTCAACAGTGGATGTATATTATCAACTGCAACAAACTTTAATCTAACAGAATCCATTGTTGTAATAAAGAATTGAACTGTTTCTGCAACATTTCTAGAATAATAATAAGTATTAGTTTAGTTAGAGTAAGTACTATTATTATTATTATTATTATTGAATTGTTTATACATACTTTGCCATTTTAGTATCATTTGAATCTGTATGTACATTATGTTCCAAAGTGGATGGATATCCCTTGTTTACTAATCTTTCGTCTAAATAAATAAATAATAAATGTTAATATAAATGTATAATTACTGTGTATATGTTGTATATTTGTATAGTTTTTTGGGATACATTACAAGCAGCTTTACAATCGAGATTATAATCTCTCATAAATGTATTAATATTTGGTACATTATCTTTGAGAAGTGTTTGTGAAGTTTTAAATTGAGCAATGAGTTTGGAACAAGCAGTTGTATAGTCTTTTGGTAAGACGCTATCTCGTATATATGCCTTTTCGAGGTGTTCTGTCACCTTTACAATCGAATACAACTCTGCTAGATTATCATACATCTCTCTATCTTTGTTATTGTTACATAGTTTAACCTCTTTCATCATCATCATATTGTTGTTGTTGCTATTTGGAGGTGACATTGATAATGGTACCATATTTCCATTTCCATTATGATATCCATTACCATTGTTGTTATTATTACCATTATTACTAAGATTAAAAAGTGTCAGTTTAAATCATTCATTCTTCCATTCATCTCCTAATATGTCCTAAATCTACATACATTGGCCTTATATTTGATTGTTGCTTTATTTGTTGTGACTGTGTATAACTTGGTGGCAAATTTGGGTTATAATACTACACATAGATACAAAAGAAAGAAATAGATATTAGTCAAACTGTCCCTGTCTCCTCTCTCTCTCTCTCTCTCTCTTTAGTATTTCTCATAACTTTCTAGAAATGGTAGTAGTAGAGGAGGTAGAGGAAGAAGAAGAAGAAGAATATACATACTGGTGGAGGAGGTTCATTAAACTCTAAAGGAGGATAGGATGGTTGGTTTTGGTACATGCTATGCTATGCTATGCTATGTTGTGATATTCTCTTTTGTAGTTGTTGTTTAGTTTCTCTCTTTCTCTTTGGGTTGTGTTGTAGTAATATCGAGTATCTATAGACCACTTATTATTCTCTCTCTTTTATGTATACACTACTTTTATCTCTATGTTTATAAAAACTAATAAATAAATATTTTAATTAACTTGTTGGTTTGTTGACTTGCTTCAGTTTCTAGTTTTTCAAGACACACAAAGCTCAGTTTTCTCAATCCGTGGGTCACAGTACAACTTTCCCGATATTATTTATTTATATTTAGGGGATAGTAGTAGGGAACCAAAGATAGAGTCTAACATGTTGTACACTTTTAGTAAAGGATAAATAATAATATATAATAATTAGGATGGATATTAACTTAATTAGTTTCGTAAATAATAATAAAATTAAATTGTTGGAGGAGGTCAATCCATTTATTAATAATATTAATTATGCCTAAAGAACTTTAAACTAAGCCAATTCAAATAGACAGTGATAATAGTGACTGGAATAACAGCAGGTATTAATAGACAATAATACCAATCGTATTTGATAAAGTCTAGTATTCGATTACCAGTGTCGGGTATAAACTTTGAAATGACCAATGCATAGGTAGATAGTACAAAAAAGAGACAGGTCACTATAATAATGATCCATCCATAGAATACAGTTTGGTCGTGATTGGCATTATGAAATCTTTGTAATGGTTTGTACTTTTTACGTGCTGGTGGTGTACATGCGTCTGTTGTCGTTGTCGTCGAAGAGGATGATGAATTATCTACATTATTATTTACTATATTACTATTACTATTGATAATAGGTGTTGCTGATGTTAGGATTACAGATGATGGTGGTTGTGGTTGTGATGGAGGCGTAGACTGTGTTCCTAAACTGATTATATTAAAAAAACTATTGTTTCGGTTCATTATAATACCCGATTGTTGTTGTGATTGTTGTGATGGTGGATAATGATATATTTGTTGAGATTGTTGTTGTTGTTGAGGTTGTTGTTGAGGTATTTGTTGTTGAGGTTGTATTTGTTGTTGTTGAACAGATGATGAATTTGAAGATGATCTTCTATGATGTGTTTTCAATCCCACAAGTGTAGGTGACACTTGTTGTGGAGTGTCATTGATATTCATTCTATCTGTCTATCTATATGTATGTATCTATCTATGTATATCTATGTATCAAACTATAGTTTACATGTGATTATGAATCTGATTTAATTATTTATATTATCTTTAACCAAATTCGAATGATTTCAAGTCATGTGAGTCAGAAGAGGAGAGGTGTCTATCCAAAAATTAAAAAAAGTTAACATTATATAGTTTAATTTAATTTAACAAAAAGAGATAAGAGTGAAATAATATGTATAATAATAGTAATAATAATGAAGATCAAACATTGAGAATCATGTCATTTAACATTCGATATGATTCACATAAAGATGGTATTAACAATTGGGTAAATAGAAGGAATTTGGTGGTTGACACTATCAAACAAACTAAACGTATGTAAAGTACGACTTTTGGAATACCAAGAGTGATTAGTATTAATATTAATCGATATTATAGCAACGATAATAGGGTTCCAAGAATGTTTAAAAAATCAAATTGAAGAGATTATCAATGACTTGGGAGGTGATTATAGTTTTGTAGGAGTTGGAAGAGATGATGGTTTGTCAAAAGGTGAATATTCACCGATTGCATACAATAATAAATTGGTACGATATGATCATGGTAGTCATTTTTGGATATCACAAGATTGTTATGTTGCAGGTTCAAAGTCTTGGGATACAATGTGTCCTAGAATTGCTACTTGGGGTAAATTCAAATACCACAATAACAGCAAAAAGTCATTCTATACTCTTAATACTCATTTGGATCACATGTCATCTCTGGCAAGAAGTGAAGGAACTCTATTGATTAAATCATTTGTCTCTCATCTTGATCCTTCCATTCCATGTATTATTACTGGAGGTTTGTACAATTATTACATAATTAATTAATTTATATATTTTTATTAATACTATATATTGTTTGTTTAATGATTAGATTTTAATGAAGAAGTTGGATCAAAACCATATAGAAATATAATTGACAAGATGGATGATATGGTTGGACATAAATACATGAATATGTTGAAAATACCAATTGCTCCAACTTATAGTTTAAAGACATTCAAAGATTGTTCTAAAGCTGCTAATAATAGGGATGGTCCTTTTCGTATGTACAAAATACACAAATCCATATGAGATATAAATATTAACTTTTTGTTTGTTATTTCTAATATTAGATACATTTACAGGATTTACAGATGAATATAAAGTTACAATTGATTATATATTTGTAAATGCCTCTGTTAAATCAGTTGATAAGTTTCAAGTACTCACAGGTCATTTGAAAATTGAAACCGATGGTTTAAAACCATCTGATCATCTTCCCATCTATGCTGATCTAATCATTTAATTAATTAATTAATTGTTTCCAATATTAATAATAATAATAAATAATAATAATAATCGCAAGATAAGATAAAAAATCAAAATTACACAACATTAGTGATCTTCAAGAAAATTGAAACAAATCTAATTATAATTATAATACATGTCACACAACAACAAGAATAATGATGATCAAGATGACAATACAATAAAGATTGTAAAAAGAAGAAAAAACAACAACAACAACAACAACAACAAACAAAATAGTACAAATAGTAGTAGACTTGCAAAAAAACAAACAAAAATGATATCATCAACATCGATAACTGCTGATCGGTCAAATAGTAACAAGAGAAATATTAAAGATGATGATGATGATGACAATCTTGAAGAAAAAGGTAATTAATAATAGTCGTAGATATGATTGTATATATATATATTTTAGAGGGTTATTAACAAACTTATTATTACTATTTTTTAGATGAATATTCATTACCATGGTCAATTATTTGCAAGATACTTGAACAACTTTGGATTGAATCATCAGTGTGTACATGTTACTATAGTCACCAATTATTTGAAAGTACAATGAGGAATGATCAAGTGGGTTGTTTTGATCTCCTTCAAATGTGGCCACTCTATCAATCAGTGTTGGATGTACACAAAGAGTCAAGGATGAAATGTCCAATGCACAGGTACCACTATTTAAATAGTGATAAATGTCAATCAATATCAATCTCTATTGGTACTCCATTTACATCGACCATCAATGACAAGAACAAATGGAGATACCAACTTTTAAGTATATCTAAAAGAGTACACCAGTTATTATCATCATCATCATCGAAACACTTTGACAATGTCAGTTTAATACTTGGTCAAGAAGATATGTGGAATCATATCGACAGCCAATATTGTCCAATCAAGACACCCAAAAAACTTGAATTGACTGCATTCAATCCAAGCTTGGATTTTCCAAATAGACGAATCCCTTTGTTTAGTTGTGTTGAAAAGCTATCGTTTCACGGCACCACAGGTGCACAACGCGATGTCAATACTCTATATAGTCTATTTCAAGGTATTACATCGATGACTATAAACAACTATGGGTTTAAATCATCGTTTATACTGAAATTCAAGAACCTCACGTCCATCAACATACAACGTATTTCTCCACATAGTAATCGACAAGAGTTTTTAGATGCACTCGTGACAACTGGGCAACGTCTGGTTAAGCTTTTACTTCCTGTTGATTGGATTCGCAGTTCAGTTACTCTCAACACCAACCTCGCAAGCACCATTCAATCGAGTAACATTTATCCACCAACCCAAATGCCAAACTTGCGTACATTCCATCTCCCACCCGATTATAATCAACAACTATCATTGTCGTTTAATCACCCAACAGTCACTAAACTAGTAGTAGACAGCGTTGGTATACCCATCATAAAAAATCAACTTGCAAGTCTTGGAGTAAACATTGAAATATTAAAATTGACTTCAACTGAATACTCGCATATAATGATGTTTTCAAAAGAGTGTCAACGTTTAAATGTAAAGAAATTAATCATTGGAACTACATCGGAAATATATGACGTTATTTTAAATCATTTTAAAAGAGGTGGATATCAATATCGTGGAGCATCATTTCAAGGATCTACATCGGCCAGAAAACTATGTTTTATTAAAATGTTAGATGGACCAAATGAAGAAGAAGAAGAAGAAGAAATTGAAATTAAAACATTGACAGTTGCCGACGACGATTCAAATAGTATATCACCCAACTCTTCCTCCTCCTCCAACTCAACACTTCCATTCTACTTGATCGAAAAGATTGCTAGATACTCTTGGAATAGTTATTTGTGTAGTTGCGAGTTTGAAGGGTGTGATATTCTACCGGCCCGTCCAAACCTGACACAGATTGAAGAGCCTGCTCGATTATTCCTCGAGGCAAAATCAAAATGTCCGACACACAAAGATAGTGTCCCAAGCTTGGAAACTTATTCAAGTGGATATCTACTCTATAGAATCAATCAACGTCGATTTGGAATACCAATGTCATGCAAGAGACTATTTACATTTGTTTCAAAACATTTGATCAAACGAGTTGCGTATCACGACATTTTGACTGGTATAGCAACCTATCACCAACACTTTTCAAATCCATATTGTTTGGTTGGAAAATCAATTGAAAAGCTCACCATTGAAATCCCCAACAACAATGATGCCATCAATGTCCAAAGATTCAACCATCTCAACAGGGAAAGATTGATTGATAATACACGCCAACGTTGGCGATTCATCGATATCGATCATTACTCTAAATTACAAAGTTTACTGTTACTACCTTCAAGTAACATGTACACCTTTGGTACTTTGAATTATGCAGATGAGTTGTTTCAATCTATTGTTGGTCGTTTACATCAGTCTCTAACATCATTAGATATATCAGAGTGGAGGTTAGATGTACAAGGTTCAAAAGCAATAGAAATGTTAAAGAACATACCTCTACGTAAATTATATTATCTAGATATTGAAAATCAATTTCTATTCCCAAGCGATGGTAATAATGACGGAGACGATGGTGGTGGAGAACCAAAAGGATGGCCATTATCACAATCATTAGAATCAGTATCAATCAACTCGTTAAGTGTCATTCCAAAATTGGGAAACCTCCCAAAACTAAGACACCTTAGAATCATTTTAAATTATCCGAGTAGTTATCTACAACCTCCTCTGTCGGATGAACAATTCAAATTAACTCTTCCCTCAAAAATTACCAAACTGTCATTTACAGATCCCAACATTGCTAAAATCAGTAAACATAATACACAAGTAACTGAATTGGTTGTACTCCAAAGATAGCAATTTCCAATTCATCGGAACCTTTTACACTGATCATTTTAATGATTCAACTGTTCGAAAATGGGTTTTTGTCAAAAAAGTAAATCAATAAATAAATAAATAAATAATACTCTACTTTTTATTATTTATTTATTTGTTTATTTATTATTGGTAAAGAAAGATACTTGAGTATTTAAATGCTATATACTCGAATAATATTGAATAAATAAATAAAACTTCATTTTGATTAAAATTGATTTTCAAACAATATTTGCAGATGGACCATATCCATGATCAGATTCTAATTTGATTTTCACCACATTCATTAATTAATTCATTACGCTAACCACTCATTATTAATGATTGCTAGTTCACGTACTGGGAATCTTCTCAATCTCTTTTCGAAACCTTTAAAAGGAGTATCAGTGTCATCACATACTAGTAGTATCTCTCATCATCGTCATTCAACAAGACAGTTTTCATCTTTATCTTTATCTTCATCTTCTTCAACTCTATCATATTGTGGTAATCGATCAAACATTCGTTTACTACCATCACAAACAGTATCATTTTACAATCATCATCATCGTTATATGACATCTAACAATAACAACAATCAACCAATAGTACATAATCCACCAAAAAGAGACATGTCAAGAGACAATAGATTAATTTGGGTCGATCTTGAAATGACAGGACTTGACATTACAAAGGATAGAATCATGGAAATAGCTTGTATCGTCACCGATGACAATCTACAAGTCATTGAAGCAGGTCCCGATCTTTGTGTATACATTGATGATGCTGCTCTTGATGGAATGGGTAAATGGTGTAAAGAACATCATGGTGATGTAAATATCATTCAATAATCTTTTTTCTAGATTAATCATTTTACTTACTCACATTCATTTATATTTATCTCTATTATATTAGTCTGGATTAACACAAAGATGTAGAGAATCAAAAATATCGATTCAAGAAGCCGAGAAAATCATGGTAGAGTTCTTGGCAAAGCATGTACACAAAGGTATGTGTCCATTGGCCGGTAATACAGTACATGAAGACAAAAAGTTTTTGTTGAAAGAGATGCCATTGTTTGCAGAGTATCTCCATTATCGTATCGTTGATGTATCTACCATCAAAGAATTGGCTCGTCGTTGGTACCCCAATGTAATGGAAAAGGCACCTGTCAAGAGATACCTTCATCGTTCATTGGCAGATATCGAAGACAGTATTGAAGAAATGAAATTCTATCAAAAGCATATCTTTATTCCAAAGGATGAGTAAAGTAAACAACAAACTATATTATACCAACCCAACCTCTTCACAAATCACATTATAGATTAAAATAATAATATTATAAAATATTATCCAAAAATAAATGTAAATAATAATACTTAATAATAATAATTAATATAAACGAACGACTTGCAAAAGAACAAAGAATGATTTATCATTCATTCATTCTTCCACGTACCAATTATTAAAATTATTAAATCAAAAATCATTAAATTAATTAACTTCAATTTCTGAACCCGATTCGTTAATCTCGTTTTTTTGTTTAGATACATATAAAGAGATATATATATATATAGATACAGAGATATGGATAACATAAAGCATATTATATTAGTGTTGTCTGGTAAAGGAGGTGTTGGAAAGGTATGATGATGATGATTGATAGATTGTATTATGATAAGTTAAATGAAACTAACATATTGATTGAATGTATAGAGCACAGTAGCATCACAATTAGCATTATATCTATCATATACAGGAAAGAAGGTTGGATTGTTGGATGTTGATTTGTGTGGACCGAGTGCACCCAAGATGTTGGGTCTAGAGGATAGGGAGGTGCACAAGAGCAGTGCAGGATGGATCCCAGTCTACTTGGACAACACTAGAAACTTGGGAGTCATATCGATACAGTTTTTGTTGGGCGATAAAGATGCACCTGTTATTTGGAGAGGTCCTAAAAAGAACTCAATGATCAAGCAGTTTGTAAGTGACGTGTGTTGGGGTGAGCTAGACTATTTAATTGTCGATACGCCACCAGGCACCAGTGACGAGCATCTTGCAGTCACTGAAGAACTACTTAAATACAATCCAGATGGTGCAATCATGGTCACAACACCACAAGGTGTGTCTGTCAATGACGTACGTAAAGAAATATCGTTCTGTCAAAAGATCGGTCTCAAGATCATAGGTATCGTCGAGAATATGAGTGGATACGTATGTCCACATTGCTCAGAATGTACCAATATCTTTTCATCGGATGGTGGCAGGTTACTGGCCGAGCAATGCTCCCTTCCATTCCTTGGCAAGATTCCAATTGACCCATACCTCACAGCTTGCTCTGAAAAGGGTATCAACTATTTTAAAGAATATCCCAATTCTTCAACTCTCATGGCTTTAAAAACACTCTGTGAATCATTTGAATCATCAACGTCCAACAATAACAACACAGATAGTATGATGACTGACTAGTCACATGTGTCACATGTCATCGATGACCGAATAAACAAACAAATGTATAGTTATATAATATAAATCCCATTCCAAAAACGGCATTGGAAGGTAGAATGATTTTAGTCGAATTTTTAAAGCAGAGAATCAACCACCCAACTTGAAGAGACAGCATTCTTCTATTCGTTATATTATTTGTTTTGTATTATTATTATTATTAAATCTAGTTTAGTTAGTACCTATGATTGATCATTAGTTTGTTGTTGTTTATTGTTTATTTATTTAAAGGATGAATAATAACATTAATATTCAAGTAGCAAGTGACTTGGCAAAACAAACAATGCAAAGAACGATAAGTAGTCGAAGTATAGAGGAGAGATGGAAGAATAGTAGTAGGACGTCGGCGACGATGATGCCTGATGGAGCTGGGTTTGATGATGACAGAAGTAGTTTCAAGGACTATAGCAGTACTGCAACATCACCGTCTATTGAAGAGTTGGACGAGAACTACTTGCGTCATCGTATGAAACGTGTAAAGGATGAACGTGTGGTACTCAATGTTGGCGGTCGGAAATTCGAGACTTACAAATCAACCTTTGCAAGTCAGCCCAACTCTCTGCTAGGTGTTATGTTTAGTGACCGAAACCGTCATTTCCTCCAACCAAGTATTCCCTCTACATCAGAGAGCAACGCAGGTGAATTCTTCTTTGACAGATCATCCCAACTCTTTGAATATGTACTCGATCTCTACCGTAATGGTGGTGCGGTAGCTTGGCCATACGATCCATCACTACGTGCCCAACTTCGTGCAGAGCTTGATTTCTTTCAACTGCCAAGCTCCATGTTACTCGGTGAAAGTATTATTGGTGTAGAGACACTTGGTGAACGACTCAAACGAGAGTCTTTGGCACGTGCACGACTCGAAGTTGGTGACACCTTGGCACGTATCAAAGCACATATTATAGAGTGTCTCCAACGTGCCGCCGAATCTGGTAAAGACAATGAGATTATTCAATTCAAGTCACAATACGAGTGGCGTTCAAGAGACCATACCGACGAGTTTGAATTCTACTCTTTTGTATCGAATCTACGTAATCGTGAACTACTACTCTACGATCTCATCAATGAGAATCTAGACGTATCATTTCAAGAAGAGTTTAGTAGTTCACATCATTCTTATCTTCTTCAATTTGTACTTTGGAATCGTTATACTCGTAATGGTGATACTCCTCAAACTGTATGTGAAACTAGAAAGAAAGAAAGAAAGAAAGAAAGAAAGAAAGAAAGAAATAGACACTAAATTAAAATAATATATTAACCATATTCCATATTTAATTAATATTTCCAGGATCAAGTTGAATTTAGACAGAAAATAGCTCAATTATCTGATATACTTTATACAAATAATTTAAAGAAATAATTTATAAAAGTATATGTATATATGTGTAAATTAATAATAATATGGAATGTTGGGAAAAAAAAGAGATAATAAAATTTTGTATATTTATATTTTAAACAATAATAATGTATTTGTTATTATTTGTTTGTTATTATTTGTTATTTGTTAATGTTTGCGTTGTCAATTATAATCTTTAAAATTAAGTATTATAATTATATATAATTGGCAATTAATTTTGATTCGCATCTGGACATTGAAATGTTAAATGAAGAAGATGTTGATAATAGGTTGTTTGTTTGTTTGTTTGTTGTTATTGATATTGGAAGGGGGGATTAATTATAATGATGGGTAATTATAAACAATAAGTTTTGATTTTGAGATTTGTTTGTTTGATTTGTGAATTGTTGTTTGGTTGGTTATTTACTAAAAGTGTTTGTTGATTCATTATTATATTATTATTATTATTATTTGATTATTCTTATCTTTTTTTGTTTAATTCTTTAAAGAAGCACCAAAAGTAACAACCAAATCACCACAATCCTTGATAGCAACGTTGTTTAATGAAGATACGATATTAGAGTTAAACTTGTTCATCAAATCAGAGTCAAATGGAACTGGTTGTGAAAGAAGGTTGTGAAGGTTTGATACGTTGGTTGCTTGTGAAAGGTGTGGGAGTCCAAATAATATGTTTGATTTGCCAATGTTTGTCTCTTTGATTTGACTGCTATAATCCTTTTCCTCAAATATGATGTCCTTTGCATCTGGTCCAACTGCAGATACATCAATGAATTTACTTTTTAAAAAGAATAATTAAGGGAGTTAATTAGTTAAACCAAATCTATAATCATAATCATCTAATCTATCTAATTTATCTATCTATATATCTTACAGAGCAGTTCTATCGATAATGTCTTTGAAAAAGTCATTGTCCATTTCTCTCATTTGAGAGTATGATACTTCTTGTGGTTGATCATCATTCCTATTAATACACAAAGTAGTTAAATTGAAATATATTAGTTTATGGTCTGTCTATTTGTTACATATCTATCAATCTATCTATCTATCTACATACTCCTTTGGTACACCTATTTGCTTTGATGGTGTTTGTACAACAGTGCTTCCTGATTGATTGTTGCTTGGTTGGTTTCTAGATCTTTCGTTGTTATCCTTTTGGATATCTATTATTATATTATATTAAAATCATCATATGATATGAATGATAGGTTAGTTAGTTATACTACACAATCTATCTATCTATCTATCTATACGAGAACGATGATCTATCAATCTTTATGAAGATAATATACAACTCGTCTCTATCGTGTGATCGAGTCGTTATCATGTTCTTTCTCTTGTTCTATCTATCGTTCTTCTTTGTCGTCGTTTCTATCTATCTATAAATACACACCTCCAGCCTTTGATTGATTGCAACCCATTTCTTCCTAAGACTCTTATATTGGTATTAAAATTAATAGTATACTAGATAATAATAATAACAAACAATCACCTCTCTTTTTGTGCTGAGAGAAAATAAAATAAAAAAAAAAAAAACAAAAAAGGAAGCAACTTGTGGAATCATTGAGAAGATTGAATGGAACTTTTTTACTTTTCCTGATTTCTGGGTTCAGGAATTTTTGGATCATTTATTTATAAATAAAGTAAAGTAATCAATGTACTTAATTTGATTCAAACTAGAGATTTTTTTTTAAAAAATACATAATAATAATTTACAATCAATCCTGGTTGGTTGAATGGGATTGTCAATGTTAAGTTTAGTTTAGTTGATTGACCCAAGAAAAAGAAGAAGTGTCACTTGGAATTGTTGGTTCATTTATCATGAATCATTCATTTCCTTTCATTTCCTTTCCTATTTGATTGCATTGTAGATTTGATATATATCAAGAATATTTACACTATGGTTGGTAAACCTTCAAAAGATATATTTCAATTTAGTGTTTGTTTTTTTCCCACTCTCTCTCCTCTGTCAACAACACAACTTTATTTCCTTTCGAGGTGTGAATTATAATGACACATATCTTATTTTATTTGTTGGGTTGTGTGAATGAATGGAGAGAGTGTGGTTGTCTACAGTGTTAATAATAATAATAATAATAATAATAATATTAAAATTTTAATTCAATGATACAATGTTAATTCTGACTGATAAAGGGTGTTAGAAGGTAGAGTAGAGTGGACATTATATATTTAGTAGAAAGAGAGTAAATACATTATAATATTAATAATACTATTTATTATTTTAAAAAACTAAAAACTTTGAAAATATTAGTTTGCAAGTCTAAAAATAAATTAGAATAAAACCAAAAAGGAAACAAACAAAAAGTGGACGATTATTATTAAAAATAGACAGTTTGTTTTTGCAAATAAATAAATAAATAATATTAATATTTATTTAAATAATGGCAAAGAAATCAAATAATCTCCAAAGGAGTAATAGTAACAGTACCAATAGTAGTAATAGTAATAGTAGTAAAAGTAGAAATGGAGAACAAGTTAAAGAGATACAACAAAAACAACAACAGGAACAGATGAAACCAGACTTGACAGCGACAGCGACAGCAGGAACAACATACTCTTCAGATATCATCCATAGTAGTAATTTAATCAATAGTACCACTAGTAGTAGTTCAACCAACTCACCAATACAACTAAACAAATCATCATCAACTAGTAGTACCCAAATGAGTGTACATAAAGATGAAGTTAATGTATTTCCCCTTCCAACCTCCTCTTTGAAAAATGTACGTACATGCAAATCTGGAATTAATTTCATTCTAACAAAACCACTGGAGTGTTAGGGGGTTGGCTGTTGTCTCATACTAAAACTATTTTTCATTCATTTTAGACAAGTGAACATCAACATCAGTTACAAGGAGGATTAGCAACTGAACATTTAAATATAAATAATCATTATATCAATCATGTGAATCATGAGACTATAGTTATTCCATCACCAAATGTTACCAATACATTTATACCAATTGAAATCAAAAGTGTCAATACTGATAATGCGGTGGTAGAGGATGACATGATAGACATTCCTCTAACACCTCTACCAATCACACCTCAAGAATCAAATACTACACCAACAAGTAGTATAAGTAAATCGTCGTCACCTATCAACAACAACAACAACAAGAGACAAGAGAATGGTAGAGATGAATTGTCAGAAGAGTCAACATCGACAGCTAGTACAAGTACAACAAATCAACAAGCTGTCCCTACTTGTACAAATACAACTATTGCTAGTATGTCATCAGAATTAAGAAAAAGAATTGGATTGGAACCATCAAATGATACTATAGAGATTGTTAATACTAGTGATCATCCAAAACTACATAATTCGGTGGCATCGACCACTACTCGAACAACATCCAATATATCAACAACCAACACTCATTATATTCAAACCATCAATTATATACCACCCGAAGAACAGTCTATTCTCTACACCAATGATCCTAGATACTATAGACACATGTCTAGTTCTTGGAGTGGTATTTTGGCGGGTAGTGGTGGTATTCACGACCACCAATACATTCGAAGAAGTCAAGACTCTCAACAATCTGTACCATACATTCCACCAGGCGACTTGAAACTCAATGGAACACCTATTGGCATGATGTCTTCGAATCGAAAAGACAAGAAAAAGGAGAAAAAGATTGAAAAGGAGATCAAAGATGCCATGCATGACTTGGATGAGAAACATGCAGACGTTGAGAAACAACTCATTAAAATGTCACAAAAGAATAGAAAAAAGAAAAAGAAAAGAGCTAGAAAACTACACCTCGAACACAAAAAGAATAGTCTTGGTGAAACCATCTTTAAAGGTCATCCAAGTTGGTTCTTGATGCGTACCATTCAAACTGGTATACTTAATTGTATATCAAAAACATCTTACCTTTCAATACCAGAAGATTCTGATCAATTCTTTTCTTCTTTACATCATGAATTACCTGTCATGTAAGAAAAAAAATATAAATATAAAAGTAACTTTAAATTCAATCATACTAATTAATAATATTATTTATTTATTTATATTATGTTTAGTGAAGGACAACCAGGAACCTTTTTATTTAAAGATTATTGTCCACATGCATTTTCAAGATTAAGAAGTTTATTTAATATTGATGCACAATCATATGTTCATTCATTGTGTAAAGCTTGGAATGAACAATCAACACCTGGAAAGAGTGGCTCCATCTTTTTCTTTTCCCACGATAATCAATATGTACTAAAAACAATTCCAAAACGTGAAGCTAAATTACTTCGTAGTTTATTACCTGAATATTTTGAAGTATGTCAAAAACAAAAATTTAAGAATAATAATATATGTATCGTGGTTTATTAATTTATACTTGGTTTATTTATTTTTTAAGCATATGAAAAGAAATCCAAATAGTTTATTGACAAAATTTTTTGGATTACATAGAGTGAAACCAAGACAAGGTAGACAAGTTAGATTTGTTGTAATGAAGAATCTATTCAATACACCAAAGATTATAACCAGTCGATTTGATATTAAAGGATCGACTGTTGGAAGAGAACTGACAACCGAGGAGTTGAAAAAGAAACATCCTACTTTTAAAGACCTCGATTTCAGAAGAATGGGTACCAAGATTAACTTGGGACCTGATCGCAAGAAACTATTTTTACATCAAATAGGAGAGGATTGCAAGTTCCTCGTTAAACTAAATATCATGGATTATAGTTTATTGATTGGTGTACATCGCAAAGAAGATGCAATGCGAATGGTTGAACAAGAAGAGATATTACGTGAAAGTCAAGGTGGTGGTGGTGGAGGAGAGACTGCCACTGCCGATACCACTGGCAACACAACCCTTCCATGTGACGACTACTACTCATCGAGTGAAGACGAGGATTATAGCGACGAAGATGATGATCTCACCGATGAGGATGATGGAGACGATTTAAGAGCATCCTCCAAAATTGGATCAATTGCTCAAACCAAACAATACTTTAAACAAATTGAACAACAAAAACAACAACAATTGGATGAGTTACAACGAACCCAACATTCATCATCAGCATCCAATCAACATTATTCTCATCCTCTTATTCCAGTTCATTTAAATGATCCAGGTCATCCAAATAATTTAAACGAACAACCATCTCAACAACAACAACAACCACGCGGCAGTAGTAGTAGTAGTAGTAATCAACCTCATCCACATCCACATCCTCCACACCCACATTTACATCACCATCATATTGTCCATAAAGATTCATGTCTTGTTGAATTGGATGGACCATTCCCACCATTGGTTCCAAAGGAAGAGAAATCCCCTATTCAATCAGTTCCACCAAAGTATGTAAACACAAACACAAATACAAACAAACAATATATTCCCCAAAAAATACATATTAACCCAATTTATTTATAGGATATCAATATTTGAACATGATAAAGGTGGTATGCAAGGTATAGATGAAACAGGTAAACCAATGCCAGAATATTATTTCATGGGAATCATTGACATATTGATGTTGTTTTCATTTAGAAAGCAATTTGAACACACCTATAAAAGTATATTTCACAAAGGTGAAATTTCAGCTGTAGAACCTGTAGAATATGCAGCAAGGTTCATAAATTCAATAAGGGATCATGTCATCAAATAATTAAATAATTAAATATCTTATAAATAAATAAATAAATAAATAAATATTTAATATTTTAAATGTGAAGGTCAAACCCTGAAGTTTTCATTCATTTTAATTTTAGTCAGTGATATATAGAGGATAGAGGGAGTGGGATTTAATTAAATGATACATCAACAAAGAGACCAATCACTATTTTATAATGGAAGGAATGGGACAACATCATCATCAACTTCAAGTAGTAGCAGTAGTAGCAGTACTAATGGCAGTATATCATCATCTGTATCCAACCATCATAATCCTGCAATGAGATTTGTACTTAGAACTGCATCTCCTTCATATGAATACAACTACTCATCTTCTTCTCATCCTTCTTCACAACAACATCAACAACAACAACATGTTGATCACAACAATCATCAAAGCAGAGTATATTATCAAGAGAGTCAGAGCCATCCTCCAACTGTCAATTCTGGAGTTGTTGATGTTGATAATGCTGATGATGATGATCAAGAACCTACTCTTGTCACTGAATATAGTAATGTTATTGATAATAGAGACGATGATAATAATCAACATGTTAATAATAATGGAGTCTACAATTATGGACAAGTGGTCGAAGAGGATGATAATGGTCAAGATCGTTACCAAGTCATTGACGATACTGTCGAACAAGATCAAGACCGATACATACCACAACAATCTCCACATCGAATAGACTCCAAGACATCTTCACTACGATCAACAACTATGTATGGTAGTGGTAACAATAGTATTGGTGTTGGAAGTAGCCAACACCATTTCTCTGATGACATTCATCAACAGTTAATTAAAACATCTAATTTATTGGATCAACTCGGTTATAAAATGAAATCATCAATCCTGTCTTCATCTTCATCCTCATCCTCATCTTCATCATCAAACTATACTTCGACCATTTCAGATAATGGTCTTCATCACCAACAACAACAACATTATCTTAATCCAACCTCTCCTTCTACCACCACTTCATCATATGTACCATCTTCATCATTATCGTCATCATTCTATCCAAGTGTAAGTGGGGGTAGTAGTCGTACTACTGCTACTACCACACCTTCAAGTGGCATTGCTAATCGAAATTTAAAGGATTCATCTATATTTTTTGTACCAGATGATTCCATGATCTATGATACACCTATATCATTTGACAAGAGTTATGCTACACCTCCACAATACAATTTAAAGTCATCTTCATCAATCCCACAGACCTTTTCCTCCTCCTCAACCATGTTATCTCCAACATCACCCAATTATAAGAGTACCATTGATAGTAATCGTAGTAGTCGTAGTACTACTGGCTATCAACCACTATCATCTACGACTATGACACCTGGTAATCAACGATCGTTTACACCAACAACAACTAATCCAACCAGACATGTTAACCATAACCCTAACCCGACCCCTACACCAACTAGGGATAGTCAATACCAATATGATAGTAGTTATAATCTATCAACATCGACATTAATATCTGAAAAGAAAGCGACGCTGTTGGTATCAAACTTGGACCTTGTTATCAAAAGTCTAGAGGGAGAATTATTAGAGTTGCAGAAGATGCTCGTCAGTAATGTCTCCCTTTCCGATTCAATCCAATCACAAATCGAATCAAAGAATTTCCAGATTTTATGTTTGGCCAATTGTAAATCGATTGCTTCCAACAACAATAACAACAATCAAACCTAAAAAAGAAATTTAAAGTAATATTAATATTATCAATCAATCAACCCGACCGAGAGAGAAAGTAATATTTGTAAACCAACCAAACCAACAAAACCGTTGCAATCAGACAAAAATAAATCCATTGTTTGATTCCTTACTATGTCTTTTGTTAGCATTTATATTCTTTACGATAAATGGACTCTTTGGTACTACTTGATCGTTTATTATTATTAATATCATCTTTTTTCATTATTGAATGATTTGTTTCAATTTGTTGTTGTTGACATTTTGATTGAATGATCCAAAATGATGAATGATTATTATGTATTTCACATTCCAATGGCTAGTTTGTCAACATTTGATAGTACAGTCAACATCCATCACAAACTATATACAAATATATTGGTGATAAAGATGACATGTGCTCCTCTTGATTTAGGTAAAGGTCTTGTAACCCTCTTCCATCTTATTCTTCTTGTCTACTATACTTTGCTTTTGATTATTTACTCTTCTTTGACGACGACTTTTTGATACTCTTTTTCTTTGCAGTAATCGATTGAATGATTGCTGATGGTCCAGTTGTTTCTAGCAATTGGAAGGTAAACAAAAAATAAACATTAATATATATTAGATCAATAAAGTCATCAATGATATATAGATATTCATATTTCTTACTCTTATCAAGATGATCAGTAAGTGATTCAATTTTGGGGGGAGGTGGAAGTGGAGCATTGAGTTGTTGTAGAAATTGTTTAAAAGTAGTACTTGATTCAATGGTATTGACGTGTTTGTTGTTTGTTGTCTTGTCGACATTGATATCAAATATGATTCTTTCAAGCAGCGCACGTTCCTCTACACCACGACTATTGACAAATGGACGACCATCCATATGATCTATAAATGATCTAATCTTATCATTTGACACTTTGACATAACATCTTGAAGGTATATTGGATTCTTTGGTTCTGCAAACATTAAGAAGGTGGGTGATAAGCATCATAAATCGATCAAGTGATCATCAATCGTTGTTATTCAACAACAATCAATCGGGATTAGTTAGTTGGTTGGTAATTACCTCAAAGCACCTTGAACAAACTCTAGTATCTTGACATTGTCTACAGTGAATGGTGATGCTTGTGCTTGTGATTCTTGATATATGATTTGATGAAGTTTGGTCTCTTCGATATTGTATGGTAGATTACGTATCACATATACGTCTCCTCCCGTCATATCTATCTATCTAACTCTAATAAAATTACAAGTACAATACTCTATGATATATGATTAATCTGATGATCGTTTCAAAACTACACCTTGATTGGTTTGTTGGTTGGATGAAAAAAAACAAAAAAAGATAATATCTCTTTGAAAAACCTCTTTTGGTTAATTTTTGTAAAGTTTCATTGAAAGAGACTTGTGTTGCCCCAATTTTCAATGATAAACACCTTCATCACCATCATCATATCCCCTACCAACTCATCATCCATCTTTGGTCTACAGATACAAACAAACAGATAATAGAGAGAGAGAGACAGATATATAAATAAAAAGTGTAGGTTATTAAATATATTATTGAGTTTTTTGTAGGTCCACATCCATCATCATCATCATCCGACATTACCCCAACCGACACCACCCAACTTTTATTATCTTTTATCTTTCATTTCATACTTTTAGTTCTAGTTTATATTAATCATAAATACCCTTCCCTTCTACTTTTACTTCTACTTCTACTTCTTTCATTCTTTACCTTATCTTTTATTGTATTATTATTATTGACTCAACTTATCAAACAATATCAAGAACTGGCAGACTTATCAAACAGCAACAACAACAACAACGACGACAATAGATTATTATCACAACTTGTCATTCAAAGCAGCACAAAAGAGAAGAAGAAGAAGAATAGAATAATAATACTAAACAAACTTAGAAAGAAATCAACAACTATGGGTGCAGACAAGAAGAAATCAAATACTACGACATCAACAATCTCACAACCAACGAGTAATGATAGACATGTAGACTATAAGACATGGCATGGTGACTTTAACATTCAGGTCATGTCACATCCAACCAATGGACGTTACATTGTGGCCACTAGTGACATGGAGGAGAACGACGTTATCTTGAGAGACCTTCCATACACTTGGGCCGTCGACCACTCATTCAAGAACTTTGTATGTCAACAATGCTTCTTGGAGGTACCAGTCGAGACACAAAGAGACAATGCCGCCGGTGCCAACTCCAAGCCAAAGAAAAAGAGTAAAAAGGATAAAAAGAAAAAGACCTCCAAGAAGGAAAAAAAGACAGATGAACAAGGAGAGGCAGAGGAACAACAACAAGAGGATGCCGCTGCTGTAGATGCAACAGTAAAGGAAGAAGAAGAGGAAGAAGAAGAAGATGGTGCTAGTGTACCAATCATTGCTGCCGAAGGAGAGGAATTCCATATGTGCGAAGACTGTAGTTTTGTTGGATACTGTTGCAAAGAATGTATGGAAAAGGATAGTCATCAACACAAGTTTGAATGTCTTGTATTTCAAAACCTCGATCAAAGCGAATACTCTTCTTCACTCTTGTCAGAGATCAAGTTGTTGATTAGAACCTTGTCAAGAAAATGGTTGGAACAATCCCTCCAAGAAGAAGGTACCCAATACAGAAAATATAAACAATATGAAGATAGCAATGTTCCACAAGAAAATGGTCTAAGATATAGTGATTATGATCAATTGGTTTCAAATATGTAAGAATATATATAGAATAGAAAGGAAAAGATAGAAGTGATTGATTATTAACCTTGTTATTTCTTTAGTGAAGCATTTAGTTCAACATTAAAGGATAGTTTATCATATTGGATTTGTGATCCAGTGATTAGATTGGGATCGAAATATGTTCAAAAGAAAGAGGATGGAGTGGATCTATTGAATGTGTTGTTGCGTAATCGTTGCAATGCATTTTATATTCAAGGACGTCCCAAGAATGGAGGTAATGGCGAGTCGAGAGGATGTGGTGTCTATGTCCGAAACTCGTTCTTTAATCACTCTTGCAATCCAAATGTAAATTATTGGGTCGTTGAAAATACACTCGAAGTTGAATGCTCGTTGATGAGAGCTGTTAGAAAGGGTGAAGAACTGTGTATATCTTATATCGACACGGCTGCCTCTCTTCGTGACCGTCGCGAGAAACTATCCGAAGGTTATTTGTTCCATTGTCGTTGTGAAAAATGTATTACCGATGAATTGGCTGAATCTCAATCAGATTGTGAACCATCAGCATCAGCACCACCACCAACTACAACAGTCAGACTTGAAAAAGATTCTGATCATGATGAATAATGAAATAATAATAAGAATCAAATATTGTTGGATACCCTCAATCTAAATTTATTTATTTCCATCAAACAATAACAACCAAAAAAAATATAACCAATTGTATCAATTAAATTAAAAAAATAATAATAATAATAATAATAATAATAATAATAATAATAATAATAATAATAATAATAATAATCATCCATCCATCCCACCTCCCCCATCCCCTAATTTATTTAAACTACTATTCAAAAAGAATAGCAAGTATTTATTTATTTATAATATATTATCCTATCTAATAAAATAATAATATAGTTTTAGTAATGATTTGACCAAAACAAATACATCTCAACAAGATCTTTTAACCATTATCTGTCCATGTTTTAAAATATTAAACTCTATATACTTTTATTCAAACAGTACATCCATTTGATCAATACCATAATAAAACCTATAAATAAATATATTAATATTAATTTGGAAGGAAACGCGATATCCCACTAGTTTTCGTTTTCATTGTTTAACATTCGTTTATGCAAACCTACTTTTTAGATAAATATAGATAAGATAGATAATGGATACTGATACGAATACAAATCTAAAGAGAAAGGAAACTGAAGATAATGGTGATACCAAAGATGGAGGAGCAGGAGAAGGAGGAGATTTGAAAAGAATGAAACAAACTGGGATTGAAGAAAATGAAGAAGCAACTACTACAACATCGACAACATCGACAACATCGACAGTAGTATCTACAACATCAAATACAAGTAAAGATAATAATGATAATACAAGTAATGAAACAAAAAAGAAAACAAACTACTTTAAGGGAAAGTTTATTTATGGAAACTACAAAAACTATTACAAGTATCGACATGATAAGGCTGATCAAGAAGACCTTAGATTTCAAGTACTCGGTAAAGATCTCTTCAAGGGAAAGAGATGTCTCGATATTGGTTGCAACTCTGGTGTTGTGACTCTAAAGATTGCTTGTGACTTTGAACCTTCCTATATCAAAGGTGTAGATATCGATTTGGATCTTATCAAAATTGCAAATGCCTCCCTAAGAAATGAAAGAATTAAATTATTTAATGAAAAGAATGGTATCCCCAACAACAATAACAATAATAATAACAATACGAATCAATCTAAAAAAGAAGAAGAAGAAAAAGAAAAAGAAGAAGAGAAAAAAGATGTTGAAATGAAAGAAATTGATAAAGAGATAACCACCACAGCGTCAACAACCTCAACAACTTCAACTACTCCAACAATTAGTAATGAACCATTTATACCAATATCATTTAAATTTATAAAGATGGATAAAAAGGAAGTAGAAAAGAAACCATTTGCTCAACAACAAAACAATTACAAAGAGATGAATAGAAAATTACAAGGACAAGGGTATTTGACAAATATTGGATTCTATCAACAAAACTTTTTGGAGGATCACAAGTTTGACACTGAAGGATCGTACGATGTAATCATGGCACTCAGTATTACCAAATGGGTGCATTTAAATTGGGGTGATCAAGGTATCAAGGATTTCTTTAAAAAGATTTACAAGCTCTTATCAAAGGGTGGCGTATTCATTATGGAACCACAAAAGTTTAGAGGTTATTCCAAGCGTAAAGGTCTCTCTAAAGAGATGATTGAAACCTACAATACCATCCGTTTCAAACCAGAAGAATTCACAGACTATCTCATCAACCAAGTTGGTTTCAAAAGTTGTGAAGAATTACAAGCTGTCCAAGGTGTTAAAGCAAAAGGTTTCCAACGTTCTTTATTTAAATTAATTAAATAAAAAATAATAATGGTGGTGATAGTTTGTTAATTCAAATGGATAGGGAAATTATAATAATTATTATTTAAATTGATGGGTAAATTTTGGATAAAATGAGAGAAAATAAAGAATTTTTTGCATAGATCTATGGAGGTTCTTTGTTTGAGAATGTGAACTATTTCTAATCGGTCATTGGTTGGGTGATGAAAGTCAGGTTGTTCTAAAGACTAAACCTCTGTGGGAGAATGTAGGTGAAAGAAATTTTTGGATGGTATCGCGGTGGATCAACACTAAATATCTATCAACCAGTTTGTTTTTTTCGCAATATTGATTGAATTTTGTAATACGTTTGTCTGGAAAGCAAATCTCCCTGTTAGTGGCATATACAAGTATCATAGACTCGCCTTTTGCAGGAATAATCTCTTTCATTACACCTTTGTACCACTCACGAAGGTCCTTTGGTTCGACACGAACGATCTTGTTGCCATTGTGGCCAATACCAGAGTGTTTGCATTGGATAAGTGTTAAAAACTTTCCACCCTTGTCATCCTCAAAATAAGTTCGGTGGTCGATCAGCTTGGTGCCGTTGCTGCACACAAATATGAATGGTGATGATATTGTATGACTTGTGAAATTTGTCTTACCTTTGAGCCGTGCATTGGTAGTCTTTGAGCTGATGTTGGTTGATTCTTCAAACTTTACATCAAGAGGGAGGAGGGTGATAGAATTATCGGGAAGAAAACTTACACCACTGGCTCCTCTGAAGATTGATTTAAACAAAAGGGGTTTCTGTTGCTGATTTAGAGTTCTTGACAGACGCAATGCTGCGACCCGGCAGACAAAAAAGGGTGGGAAAAGGTACTCGAAATGTAACCAATCCCATGGGAATTCAGCGCTTGGGAAGAATAACAAATCTGGATGGAAAAACTTGTTGTCCAAATAATTGTTGAGCCACTTGAGCATCATGAATGGGATGAATACGTGGAAGGTGAGTTTGTTTTTCTTTGGAGTTAAATACAATATACCAGTACGGCTTGCATCATCGATGGTGAACTCTCCGTTTGGAAGCTTTAATAATGGGAAGTCGAGCGGTACTGGTGTATGTGAGAAAGCAAGTGCGCAAATGGCATTCATCATTAGTTTCTTGTCACGTTCTGACATTAAAAGGCCTTCCATTAACTTGGTCCACTTTACAACAAACTCTTGATAAACCGATTCGGCGAATCCTACTATTTGATTGTTTGCCTTCTGGAGGAGCTCGATCAACAGGAATGGGATGTAGCCTGTGTCTTGAATGGCGATTTTGAAGTATGGCGCACCAATGAGTTCCTTGTTGTTGGTGAGGTAGAAGTTGATAACATCGTCGCACTTCTCCCTATCGAGAGGAACCAGGTTAAATACTGGGACTGAATTTTCAGTTGGAGCATAGTGTACGTCATTGTCAGAGGTACCAGTGCAAATCGGGATAATAAAGTGAAAATCGGAAGTATTGGCGAGCATGTGACCACCTATTACTCTAAGCATTTCTTTAAAGAAACTTCTTGCAGCTTTAAAGTCCATTCCATTGACTTCCATAGCTCTATCGATATAAAATTGGTACTCATCAATATGAATAATGATTGCTGTTAACTTTGAGGGGTTGTTTGCGAGCAAAGACTTTATGACTGTGTCAAAATCGAGGCCATCATAGCCATTGTACTTCTTCTTTAGTGCGAAAAGGGTTTCACATTCCGAATCTTGACAGAGTACAATACGAGCTCCAATTCTTAACTCTTTCACTTCATGGTCAAGATCACCAAAACATTGTCCACCACAATTGAGGTTGATATAACAATGTATTGGGTCTCTCATTGCTGAGACAAATTCTTTATCTTGCGAAATGTCCCATAAAATATCTTCAGGGATGTCAGCAATTTCTTTGCCAGCTCTGGTCTTGCCAATACCTACTCCTCCAGGAATCAAGATGAATCGATGGTTTTGTGCTTTTTTCTCTGTTGATGGGTTGAGGTTCCTGTTGTTATAATTGTTAAGGCAGACATTGGTTGCATGACGATAAAAACTATCTCTATCCACAAATGGGGTTGGATTTGGTTGTTTCTTTGATGGTGAAAGTGTGAGTGCTTGTGAGGGAAAGTAGTTAGTTATAAAGATTCTAAAATGATAATGTTATACTAAACATTAAGAACATAACGATCAAACATACGTGTATTTCTGGTGTCCAAACTAAAAATGGGGGTGTACACTACATCTGGGACCAAATCTGTGGCATTGTCAACAAAATAAACACATTCTTCTATTTCATTTTCAATTTTATAAACAAGGCGTTGGAAGGTTTTGTTGTTGTAGATGTCTTTAATGTTTTTTACTAATTGTTCCCATGAACCTCCGACCTGTCTATAGAGCAGAATAGAGAGTAAATAAAATGATAAAATAATAAAATATAACTTGCATATTCAAATGATTAATATAAAGATAGGAAATACTTGCATTGTTCTTAACTTTTGATGAGAGTGATGTTTTAATGAAATTGTATTCATTTTTCTATTTGAAATTATAAATGTATTTATTGTTACAGAGAATAACAATAAAGTTAATAAAAAATGAATGTAATGAAGAATTTAAAATTTGACAATTTTCATAAAATTAATTTAAAAGATGTATAAAAATTTTAATTATATCTATTAGTTTTTACTTTCAATTATTTCTTTGTTCTTTTATGAGGATCTTGTTCTTCTTGCATTTGTTCTTCTTCAACCGTAATATCATCTTGTTCTCTTTCCTTTCTCTTTAATTTACCATCAGATGGTGGTGGATATTCAATAATTTCAACTTCATCAATATCTTCTTGTTGAACTGTTCCATCTGTTGTTGTTGTCGTTGCTGCTGTTGTTGTATCTGATTGAACTTGAGGTGGTTTTCCACTAACTTCAAAGAATTTATTTTGATCTTCAAATTTATCACTAACATATGTTTAATAATTAATTAATAAACTATTCCAACTATATTATTATTATTTACTTACCAATGTGAAATTAAAATGGAAACTTTAATATCTTGTAAATAATCATGAACTTCTATGATTGCGTTATCAGATAGTCCAAATGTAATCATTGGTTTTTGTTCGACCATTTTACGTGCATCCAATTCTTCCTTGTCTAGATCATCTCCACCTTCATAGATCATGGATTGACCCTTCATAATCATTGGTTCGTGGAATGCCAATCCCTTTTTCAATACTTCATTGACCAATTTACCAATCGTTGTTGTGTTGGTGTCAATCTTGAGTGTTACAACAGTCTGTGAACAAACATAACAACTTTTATTTGGTTGATCAATCGAAACTGGATAAATAACTCTTTTGTTTGATGGTTGTTTAAATAAAAATGTCTAGAAATAAATAAATAAAAAATATTAGAGATAGACTAAATGGATTGATTGAATGGATTGATGAGTTGATTATTCTTACAGTTTTACATTTTTCTTGAATTTGATCTCTTGAAGATAATATTTTGAATGCTTCCAATACAATGAAACCACTAATGATTGCATTGGTTGTGGCAATAGCAGGAACAATGTTTCCAGCCATTTGCTTGATATCAAACTTTGATTTGAGTGGGATACCAAAGATATGAGATCGAATATTGGATGCAGCCACCACAAAGTCAAGTGCCAAATCATCATCCTTGTCCCATGACTTTGCGCCATCCTTTTCAAGTCTCTCTTTTAGTTTCTTTATCACTTCTACAAATGCTCTAGTATTATCTTCAAAACTATTTACAATTTGACTATTCAAAGCAATAGATTTCGTTGTAATTGTTCCATTATTATTATTATTATTATTACCATTATTTTTTTGATAGTTGTTTAGTAAATCATCTAAAAGTAATGGAGTTGGAGGTGTTTTTCCAGTCCATAGATCTTTCATTCTAGCAAGACGGTCAATGTCAGTGTGAAAGACCTTGTGGAATACCCAGTGATCGTATCCTTTGGCTTTGGCCTGTTCGAGTTTGGTGTCGCGTACCTCGGTGCCTTTTTCGGGGTCACCTTCGACAATGTTGTCGTCCATGTCAGTGACGGCATTGTTCTCGTCGGCCACATCAAACAAACGGCCATACAACATCTTTGCCCACACGATGCAGTGAATCGGTGACGATGGGTTGGATCGAATGGTGCACACTGCAAACTCTTTGGGTGCCTCCTTTGGCAGACACTCAAAACACTCTGTCTTTTCCTTTAGGATGACAGTCGCCTGTCCCAAATAGCCAGCCGTACCACTCTCTACCAATGGCACGCCAACCGACAAACACATACGATTGACATGCTTTCTAGCCGACAAATTGTCAAGTGCATTCATCACCAAATCGAATCGTTGAAAGTATTGATGTCCATATTGTTGATTCTTAATATCTCCTTCATGTGCTTCAATATTAACATCTGGATTATATTTCAATACTGCTTCTCTTGCAATCTAAACAAAACAAAATAACCAAACAATCAAACCAAACATTAATAAATGATCACATATCTATCTATCTATACAACCAACCAACATACCTTTGCCTTTGACATACCAATATGATGTTTTCTAAACAAGAATTGTCTATTTAGGTTACTTAGATCAATTGTATCCAAATCAATCTATATATCATTGTACAATACAATATCAATCATTAGTATATCTTATTCTCTAGTATACATCTATTAATACGTATCTATCTATCTATCTATCTATATACATACAATATGGATATCTTTAAAGCCTGATAACACCAAATTCTTTAACAACTCACAACCAATACCACCGGCACCTACAACCAACACCTTTGCTTTCTGTACCTTTTCAAAGACATCATCTCCTATACAATCTCTGATATGTTGAAACTTGTCTTCTGTCATTCTCTCTTTCTCTCTATTAATATAGATATCTGTATCTACAACGACCTAATTTAACATATACAAAAATGGCGGTTCCCTTCTAATTTAATGAACCGCACTCATCTGACCACCTTTGAGATAAAAAAAATGATGATCAGCATGCTAATGGTTGGGAGTGGGGGATGTCAATGAGCTGATAAAGCTCATTGCTGCTTTATTGATTATATTATTTTACAAGTTTGTTTTGTTTACATTCATTATTATTAATACAAATAATGATTAGTTTAGTTAAATTAGATTATTAAATTATTATACATGGATGAAATTTAGATAGATATGATCAAGATCATATGATGACGATGATGATGGTCACCTGATTCGGTAAATAGTTGTAGTAGTAGAAGTTAAAGAGTTACAAGTACATATATACATATATATATTAGATATTAGATATTGTTGTTGTTGTTGGTTGATTATAATATCATTTGTTGGAAGAAACATAACCTAATTAATAATTACAAGTAGATTGGTAAGTAGGTGTATACACATAATGGTATATTGTTTGAAAAATACTTACTCTCTCTCTCTCTCTCTATTTTTGTTTAGATATATATGGTTTGGTTTGGTTTGGTTTTGATTTGATTTGATATTCTAGAAAGTAGGAACAATGGTATAATTATAATTGGAACACCAAGAGGGGAGACCGCTGGCCATGATGGTACCACATGTACAGATATTGTCTTCTGTGCAGAGGAATGCTCTGGCGGTACGACCACAAGTCCACAACATGGCAAAGAGACCCATGGTGACCGAGCCGTAGACTAGCCAGCCAAAGAACCACATATTGTCCTTCATCCACTTCCACGTTGGCTTGTGGGGCAACTTAAAGTACTTGACTTCGACATAGGTACATAACGTCTCTGATAGAAGATCCAAGATGATCGAGATGAGTGCCAGGTAGAACAATGTGAAGGGGTCGACATTGGCCTCATCGAAAAAGTGGAACAATTGTCTGTGTTGCTGGAAGAGATAGATAAAGATGGGTGCCGAGATCAACCCACTAAACTCGAGTGCACACTGGATGTTGATAATGGCCGATCGAAGCTGTAGGTTTTGTTGCGAGTACACCTCGATTTGGGCACGTTCTGGACCGTGGAAGAACCGACATACCAACTCGTCACGCTTCAATGCAATGCATCGAATCAGTACATCTTCAATGGCCGATACTGCCATACCGATCAGTGTCAACATGACACCATCACCTTGGAATGTAAACACAAATATACGTCCCAATGTTTGATGATGGAAAAATGTATGTCTAAAAGAAATGAAAACAAAGTAGATCAATATGGTGGATGATGGATTGTTATGATTATTTTAGTTTGTTTGTTTAAACTTACAAGACAATATTACTATTTAACATGATATCATCAGTTGAAATATCACGAGTAAGGAATTGACGAGCTACGATAACAACGATCATCCAATAGATTGGGTGAACGACTAGACGCCATCCGAGACGGATGATATTATTATCGATGGAAAAGTAGACAGGCAACAAAAAGAACATGTAGACGACGGTAAAGACGGTGACGACGATATCGGGAGCGGTATAGTTGATGGCGACCATGCGAGCCTTTCGATGGTCACGAGTTGGTGGATGTGACTCTGTTTTTTGCATATATAGATTCATCTTGTAAACAAAGAACAGTTCACCAAGTGCATAGCACAACGTGATAAAGATACCATCTAGATAATAGTACCAATAGTGAAAGTCATAATGATAAAACAATCCATACATCATGACCAACCCTGCATTCAGTACCACACAATAATACAATACTTTGGATTTTCTCATACGTTCCATTCCATAGGCAACTGTCAAACTAACTGTAACATAAAATGATCCAAATGAAAACTATAAATATGAAAAATAAGTAAGAGTAAGTATTATATTTATCTATATTTATATTTATATTTGTTTGTTTTTTTTAATTTCATACTAAACCAAATTGCATAAATATAGAATAAGTTTTAATATTGAAATAAGTTTCTGGTGTGGTACCACCGGTCCAATTGGGAAGTGAAAGAATATAGATGGCAAAAGAGACGGCAGTGGCTACAATGATACCGAAAAAGTATCGTTCACCCATGAGACGGATCGTCTTTTTTCCTTGCCATCCGATATCTTTGATATCGTACAAGGTCTTTCCTTCTGGATCGGGGTGCATCTCGGAATCTCTAAATGCCAAATCTTTTTTGTGGTGTTGGTGGTCTCCATCGTCTGAATCAAAGCTTGGTTTTTTTGAAATAGAGTATGGTTCGAGTTCAATACCTTCGTTAAACTGTCCCTCGAGACCACGCGGTGAATATACACTGGACCATGAGGAATCGGAAACAACGGTACCGTGAGGCGATGACAATCCTACGTCTCCATCGTCGTCTTGGTTGTTGTTTTGTCTGACTGGACTCGTTGGAACATTGATGGATGACAGCGATGATGATGACGACGACGACGATGAATTGGCAAGATCTATTTGTTCTTCTACACCTCCTCCCAATTGTTGGAGATTGGCAGACGACGGTGGGTTGGTCGTTATGGATTGTTGAAGAAATCTTTGATTTGATGACATTTCAACTCAACTATTTATTTTTTGGATTGGAAAGGTGGATCGCGCGATGATAAACAATTTGGAAAGATATAGAACAGAAATAATTATATATATATAGATAGATAATTTAAAGTAAAGTTGTACAAGTTTGTATCGAGTTGGTTGGTTGGTTGGTTGGTTTGTTGGTTGGTTTTATTCAAGTAGGTGCTTGTTGAAAAAAAAAAAAAGAAGGAACAATATTTAAACAGTACGAATAATAATGTAAGGTATTGAAGCTTGATTGGTAGGTAGGTAGGTGTGCGTAATGACAACAAACATCAATGTGGTAAGAATATGATGAATGAAATGATGATGAAGGATATTGGTAAAAATAATAATAATAATAATAATTAAAACACAAAGCAAATGTCAATTTATACTGTTGGAGGCTTCTTATTAGAGTATAATGTGTGTATGTGATTTATCAGTTCCTTTGGTGAAAAAGGAGAATGTAACAGCAACTACTACAACAAGAGGGAATATACCAACAAGAATAGATTGTTGTTTGTTGGTTAACTACAGCTGCTCACGACTGCAAAAAGTTGGTGGCCGGCAATAGATAGATAGATGGATGGATAGATAGATAGAAAAGATAGAAAAGATAGATATATGGTTTGATGATGATGATTAGATAGGATGCGACCTTAACGATAGGGCGCAACTATGATTGGTATTGGTATTGGTTGAACCAAGCTGATCGATTCTGCTCTACACACGCACACAGTTTATTTATAAATATATATACAACTTGATCGTCACAATAACAAATGTGCACAACACCACAAGCAAGGAAAGAGGTCATGCAACAACAAAAGAGAAGAATGCGAGCATGCCCCCAATATGTCTGTCATTCTGGTTGGGATCCGCCGGCGTTCAGGTCAAACAACAACAATATCATATGGTGGGTTGTGGTTGTGTTGTGTTGATTCAACAACAATTGTGAATTCATAAAATCTTTGATAAAAGATTGTTTCGATCTTCACCATCCCAACAACAACAATCTGTTATGTTGTTGTTAACTTTTTAAACATATTTCCAATTGGGAGAGGTCTATCTCACTCCTCTCTCTCTTTGCACCCAACTCGTTCATCAAGCAAGTCACTTACTATATGATACCTTTTAATCCTGCGACACACCAGATTCATTCGTCGTGACTTTTCAATTCAACAAGAAAAGAAGAGAGGGTCGGTTGATCAATTCCACACTCTGATCTAACGAACCATCTATCTTCTCCTCCTCCTCCTCCTCCTCCTCTTCCTCTCTCCGCACCATCTTAAAAACAACAACAACAGTATACTGAAGCTACTGGGGAGAGGTTATAAGTTGACAAGTGTCTTTGATGATACCAATTAGGAATTAGCTGGTGGTGGTGGTGGAAGCGTTACTCTAATGATACGGTGAAACCAACCAATATCTTTAGATAAAGTTAACCAATCAAGTGGTAAAGGGATAGATGATGTGTGTTTGTGTGAGGGTGTGTGTACAGAAAGAGTAGTAGCAGATGTGGTATGTGTTTGTGTGTTTGTGGGGCGGTGTGTATGTGTAGCTGACGACTGTGTTTAATCACTTTTAAGAATGATCGGTGGTGTGGTTATGATATATCATGACACACATCAGGCGGTGCAGAGATATATCCATTTTAGTGAACTTCTCTTCTTTTGCTAAATAAATTCAAATATAGATATTGAATGGTTTAAATCAATGTTATACACATGTGTCACTTTCAACCTCACATCGTATCTATCTATCTACTAATTCTAATCATAATAATAAACATGTTTCTTAAATAAAATATCAAAACATAGTTATTGGGCAGACAACAACAACTTTGGCGGGATGTTTTTCTAATGACATTTAAATGTACTCATCATGTAAATGTGCGATAGAGATAGAGGTAATGGAGTGGGATGACAAGAGCTCAAGATAATGATATCATTGTGTATCATTTGGGATACCAACAAATGTGAAGGAACCAAAGCAACTAGAGATGATCGATATGATTACAAAGAGAAGGATCGAGATTGCAACTTATAAAGACAATATAAACAATAAATTGTTGTTAACAAGGTTATATTATATGTATAATTATATATAACTTAACTACAGACAGTCTTGTGTACTAGTTATATAGAACTAGTTTTTCAATCAATAAACAAGACTGAGTCAGTTGATCAAATAAAGTCAAGATTGCGATCGAGATCGAAAAAAATCGTTGCTAGCAAACCGTCTCTTGCCCAACCAATTCATTCTTGCTTTACTTGCTTTTTTAAATATACAAACAAATACATATACATCTCTACTATCTATCTATCTATCAATCAAATATACGATACTTTACAACAATAGTTAGTTTTAGATTGCTTGCAAAGTAGTTAGTTAGTTGGTTGGTTTACATAACATAAGCGCTTTATTGTAAATCTCTATGGACAACGGTCTCAGCAGAATAGATTAATCAATCTAGAAAAGAGTATAATCAACACCCGGTGAACTGAAAAGATAGGATAGTTTGTTCGATATCACTTAGAATTCATATATATATATATATATAAGGTATGTGTACTACTATTTATTTTTAATGTTAGCATGACACCACCCACATCATCACAACAACAACAAACAACCTGTCTGCTGGTATGGTGTCTTGAGTACACACTATTATAATTGTACTGTACTTGTCAATGTCAACCAATCAACCGAAAATGAACAACAATCAGAGGTAGAATAAGAATAAGAAATAGAAAGAAAAAGAAGAAGGTTATTATTGGTAGCAAATCGATGAATTAAGATTCATCCTCCCCACTACCAACAACCCCTCTCATCAATCAAAACTCAAACCCAAACCCCTCCCTCCTTTCAAGTACTTCAACGCTGCTGTACCTCTTGCCCAAATACTATGATCATTCATATTCAATAGATAGAAAGATAATAGAGATAATAGATAGAGTAATAAGAAAGAAAGAGAGAGGAAGAAGAAGACGACGACGACGACGACGACGACCTCTGAAATCTAAAAGGGAGGACATAATAATAATCAATCATAGTTTGACACAAAGCCAACAATTATCATAATCAAGTCAGCTCAAAAACCAAAATTAGCCTTACACCTAATACCTCTGCAATTGAAGGAGGAAAGACACTTGCTTGTTTCTTCTTATTCTCTCTTTGCAAAGGCTACAACCATCCTCAATTAAAGTTACTTGGGAATTGTAACATTATTATTGGAACAAAGAGTAGTCAGTCCAACAGATTAATAGATCAAATTAATAGTCATCAATAATCACAATAATAATAATAATTAACAGATAACATAGATACAAAACAAAAAGAGAGAGAGAAGAGAGACAGAGATAATAGATATACATATTTTTAGATCGTTTACTTTTTCTTTAACCTCACCAACTCTCCCCGCTCCCCACACCAGTCCATCCCATCCATCCAACAAAAATCAGTCGCGCAGACACGTTGTTTCATTTCATTTTTTGTTAACAACGTTGTTATTCGACGTCGTGGGTGCAAGCATTGTTTGTTTGTTTGTTAGTTTTGTAATAGTAATAATAGTAGTAGTATTTATACATCTATAGTGTAACATATATTATATCTCAACAAGAGATTTTAAAAGAAGAACAAGTATAATCGTACTACTCTTTTTTTGAATGATTTTGGTGTTGAAATATATATATATAATTATATAAACACACACACACACACACACATACACACAGACAGATAGAGTAGTAGTAGTACAACTTGTTTGTTAAGATAATAGATTTTTCATACATATTTTTTAAAGTGGTTTGGTGTGTTGTAAAAATAGTAGTAGAGGAGTAGAATAGAGTACTACACACATTCATCAGTCATTATTATATTTATTTATATATATATATCTATCAAATCATTTATTTATTTATTTATTTGATCATAGTGTAGACAGAGAGAGAGAGAGAGAGAAAAGTTAGTTGTATTATTTATAGTATTTGTAGTAGTAGTAGTAGTAGTATTGTATGTTATAACATTATTATTATTCAAACATTGATGTCAATATTATCAGCTCTATCATCAATCGTATACTATATAATCGGTGTACCCATACTTGCATATATATTAACTCGGCTCTTCACCAAACTATCATCATCGTCATCATCATCATCTATCCGACCATTAGAATCATCATCTAAAGTAAAAGTAGAAGAAGAAGAAGAGGAACGACGACAAACCTCTTCATCAGTATCATTATCACCACCATTAGATTCAGAATCTGAAAGTAGTATTCAACATTTAAAGGATAACATCCAACACTTGCGACAACAACTATTAGACCAAAGTAAACAATTTAAATTACAACAACAAGAAGAAAAGGAGATGTCTTTCTTATCATCTAAACGAAAGACAAGTACAGCGTCGACCACACCACCTGTGTATCCGGGTGGTGGGAGTGGAGCGACACCATCGAGCCCCGGGTTTGCGCCACGGGCGTGCAACTTTAAAAAGTTTGGGTGCTCGACCTATTTGCACAGCAAGATGGAGATGGAGAACCATTTGCGCGACGAAGCACAGTTCCATCTGCAGCTGGTGGTCGAGAAGTTTGACCAGCAGTTTGATCTACACACACAACTGATGGCACACTTTACCGAGCAGATGGAAGACCAGTTGGACCGCACAATGAAGGTGGTCAAGAACCACATGGACACGTTTGGCTCGACGCTGCAGGGCAAGCTCGACGAGGGCGTTGAAAAGTGCATGACGTTTGCTAAAAAGGTGGAGCAGCAGCAGCAACAGCTGGCCAAGCGTTTGATCACGCAAAAGGTCGCCGCCAGCCCCATCAGCAAGGGCCTGAGCAGCGAGGATCTCGACGGCGCGGCACCACACAATATACTGGTCAACGTCAAGCAGCTCGAAACCGAGTTGCACCGCTTGCGCAAGGAGACGGCCGACGCTGCCGACGAGATGTCTGCCAAGCTCGAGAAAAAGACCAACCTGCGTATCGATCTCGTCGAGAGTGACCTGCAGAGCAAGGTCGACCGCAAGGCATTGACCGGCGCCATCGACGACTCGTGGGCGCGCAAGCAAGAAGTCATCGAATCCAACATTGCCAAGAAACTCGAGGACAAGGACAAGAAGCGTACCGATCAACTCGTTTTGGCATTTGATTCCAAGGTTGACGGATTAAAAGATAAGATCAAGACTGTTGAAGTCAACTTTGTCGATGTGTCGAGTGACGTTAGAAAACTTAAACTTGAAGGAAGCTCGACGGGCACGACGACATCATACCGCTCGAGCGTGTCGTTGCCAGTCGCACCGACATTCAACAAGAACGAAGTGTTGGACGAGATCAAAAAGGTCGAGCAGCAACTCAACCAAAAGCTGTCCAAGAGCGAGCAAAAGACAGCCGACGACATTACACAGACACGCAGCGATCTCAGCGACCTGCAGCGCAAGGTCAAGTCGACACAGAACGACCTGCTCGACACCAAGACACAGACCGACAAACAAGCCGGCAAGATCAAGCAGATCGAGGACGACCTCCGCAAGAGCGATTCACTCTTACTACTCGTCCAAAACAACCTCAAGAAACACACCGAGTTTATCGACAAGGAAAAGGAGCGCGAGGCCGAGAGACAGCGTCTGGTCGACAGCATCAAATTGCTCGAAGAGAATCAAAAGAAAATCGCTGCTGAAATTGCCGAAGGTAACGAACAAGTCGAACGTGTCTTGCGTGAAGAAGCAGCTGCCGGTGCAGGCTCGGGAAGCGGATCAATCAACAATAGTATTAGTAATGGAGGTCGCGAAAGAGAAAGAGATAGAGATATATCATCACACTCTCCCATCTCTTCGCCAGCCGTCGTTTCACCATCATCTTCATCTGTACCACGTTCACCACTTTTATCCAAACGCAATTCATCTGCTTTCACCTCTTCACCTCAAATCACTTCACGATCACCTTCATCTGATCTAAGTAATGATGAAGGTGAAAATGGTATCTTATGGGAATATGATCCAATCATTGATAAATGGATTAGATTATCAATTAAAGTAAATAGAGAGAATAGAGAGAGAGAGAAGAGAGAGAAATATAATACATATTAACAATTTATTATTTTACTATAGTTAAAGGTAGAAAGAAGAGCATTTGCAGAAGGAGCATTGAGACAAGCATATCATACAGTATCATTGGGAATATCAAATGACGTAAATTATCCGTTGGGTACCAAACATAGTTTCCCAGCGATTGAATCGATTTCACCGGTATCGTTGCGTAATGAAGCGAGCAATCAATTGCAGAGTGGTACCAAGTTTGTATTGAAACTCTACAAAAAGGAGGCAGAACAACAGACTAGTCGTGAATTATACTTTGAAGATGTCAAGATGCAGATGGTGTGTCGTGACTGGGGTCATAGATTCAACCAAAAGAAACCACCCAAAAAGATTGAGTTTTGCATGTCTTGGGTGGTCGAGTTGGTCGACCGTGGCAGCACACCCGTGTTGTGTTCGATCGAGCCACTTTTAGTAGGAGAGTTTAAAAAGAACAATAGTAATTATGGCGCCGTGTTGACGAACCGGTCGACACCACAGGCATTCTCTCACTTTACCTATGAGAATTCCAACAAGCAAATGATCATTATCGACATTCAAGGTGTCGACGATCTCTACACTGACCCACAGATTCACACTGGCGACGGAAAAGGATTTGGTTTGGGTAACCTCGGAAAGACTGGTATCAACAAGTTTATCACGTCCCACAAGTGTAATGCTGTTTGTGCATTGCTCAATTTGGATGTCAAGCTTGGTGGGTCGTCGCTATTGTCCAAACAACAACTCAACAAGGGTACGATGATCATGCCAGATATTGTGGGCGACTTGGAGAGCGGTGATTTGGCCGTCAAGGTCGGCGCCAACGAGTTGCCACGTGCCGACTTTGGACGCAAGGAACTCAAGTGTGTCAACACGATCCAGTCGTTCCGTGAGTCGATCAACGCAGTCTGCTTCTTTGACAATGACCGTTATGTGTGTGCTGGATACGGTGATGGTGTCATGCGTGTCTTTGATCTGCACAACAACTGGCAGATTGCTCAGACATTCTACTGCCACCGCAAGCCAATCGTGTCGGTCTGCGCCAACTCCAAGTACATCTTTACATCGTCGCCAGACCAGACCATCAAGGTGCATTCGCTCAAGAACCCACACAACGTGATTCAAACGTTTATCGGGCACTCGGGAGAGGTCAGTTGCATCCGTGCCAACGAGACGCATCTATTCAGTTGCTCCTACGACAAGACCATCCGTGTCTGGGATCTCACCACCTTCCGCGAAGCCAAGACTATGGAACAGATGCATACCAAGTACATCAAGACGTTGTGTCTGTCGGGTCGATACCTCTTCTCGGGTGGCAACGACCAAACCATCTATGTCTGGGACACTGAAAACTTTACCTGTCTCTTTAACATGCCGGGTCACGACGACTGGGTGCTCAGTCTCCACGTCGCAGGTGCCTACCTCTTCTCCACCTCCAAAGACAACCAAATCAAGATCTGGGATCTCACCGACTTCCATTGCATCGAGACACTCAAAGGTCATTGGAACAGTGTCTCTTCCTCTGTCGTCAACGATCGTTTCCTCTACTCTGGCTCTGAAGATAATTCCATCAAGGTTTGGGATATGGATACTCTAGAGTGTAGTTATACAATGCAAAAGGCTCATTCCCTTGGTGTCAAATCTTTGGCCTTTTATAAATCTCAATTAATCTCTTCTTCTTTTGATGGTTCAATCAAGGTAAAATATAAACATACAATATATATTTATTTCTTGATTATTTATATTAACAATATTATTTATTTTTCAATCTTTAGATTTGGGAATGGGCATCAAGATAAAAAAAAGTATAGTAAATAATAATAATAATAATAATAATAATAATAATAATATTAAAAATATATTTGTAGAACTCTAAACAAAAACACAACCAAACCAAATGACAATATAACAACCAAACAACCCTTGAAATAACATGTTAATAATATAATACTAAAAAAAAATGTAATAATAAAAACATTTAAAATATATACCTCCCCATCCATCAATCAATTAATCCCTATAGTCTTTATTTATTTGTTTGTCGAAAGATATATTAAAACTACAATCTGATCCAATTTCCATATTTGGTAAAAAATGATGATGTGCCAAATTGTCGAAAAAATCTTTGCTCAAAGAGTGGGTAATTTACTCTCTTTCATTTCAAATTTCAGAGTTCGTTTCATTCATGTACACTTTTTGTATTAGTACAGATAAGAGATGTATAGAGAAAGAATATTACAAGTATGTATTTATTTATACTATCGTAGATACAGGTGTTTCTAAACAATATTCTAATAATCTCTGTTTGTTATTGTTAGATATCAAAACATTTAAATCCATCTAATGGTTTGGAGGGACCAAAGATTAATAGTATAGTTGTTGGTAATAAACAAGTTGCTTTAGATACAGACTTTAAGATTGATGTTCAAAGATTAAAGCTTGAATTGGATTCACCTCAATTGTCAGCCTACAAAGATCAAGTTAGAGAGTTTATCAAGAATGAACCATTACTCAAATCACCTGTTGGTATTCCACCCGACCAATACAAAGAATTGGTACTTCAACAACTAGTAAAGGTTGCTCAAAGTGGTCTAGTTAAATGTACTGATGTTAGAGATAGAATTGCTCATTTCTGTTCTGCTGTTGAAATATTAGGATTGGTAAGAGAAAGAAATATAGATATAGATAGAAAAGGAAATACTATATGATATAGTTAGTTATTAATATTTATGTTTGTTTTATTTATTTATATTTAGTATAATAATAATCTTTGTACTAAAATGTTTGTACATTATAGTTTGTTTGGAGGTACAGTTACATTGTTGGGTACTGAACGTCATGAAAAGTATATTGATATGGTGACTAATGCTACACATGTTGGATGTTTCTCAATGACAGAGATTGGACATGGAAGTAATGTACGTGGACTTGAAACCACGGCCAAGTATGATGTCAAGACACAAGAGTTTGTCATTCATTCACCTACTCTATCGAGTCACAAGTTTTGGATTGGTGGTGCTGGTCTGCATGGTCGTCTCACTTCTGTGTTTGCTAGATTGATTACTCCTGATGGTGTTGATCATGGAGTACACTGTTTTGTCGTACCTATTCGTGACGAGCATCTCAAAGTACTCCCAGGTATCACTATCACCGACTGTGGTCTAAAACATGGTTTGAATGGTGTTGACAATGGTAAATTACAATTCACTCATGTCCGTATTCCTCGTGAGAATCTTCTCAACAAGACTGCTGATATCTCTCCAGACGGAATCTACAAATCTCAATATGCAACACCTATAAAGAACTTTGCTGCTACTATGGCCCCTTTTATTGGTGGTAGAGTATGTACACACATACATATATATTATATTATATACACTCAAATCCATATATTAATCTCACTCTTTCCAACTCTATATTCTAGTTATATGTTACAAAGAGTTCAGCAGCAGCATCAAGAGTATGTTTGGCGATTGCCATTCGATTTGCACACTATCGCAAACAATTTGGACCATCTGACAATCAAGAATTACCAATCATTACATTACCACAACACCAACGTAGATTGATGGTGCCATTGGCTCGTACCATTGTCTATGACTTTTTCCTTCACTCTCTTGAAAATCAATTACAATCAAAGAATGCTCCAAATGTATTGTATACCGACCCATATTAGATATAGATATATTTATATAAATTAACATTATTCGGATCTATTTAGACAATTCATCCACATTGTTCAGGTATTAAAGCAATGTATTCATGGCATTCAATTAGTACGATGCAAGTATGTAGAGAAGCATGTGGCGGTCAAGGTTTCAGATCGGACAATTTAATTGCAGAATTCAAGGCAGACTGTGATGTCAACTCTACCTATGAAGGTGATAACACTGTATTGGTTCAACAAGTTGCCAAATATTTATTATCTCAAAAATCATCTTCAAAAGATAATGTAAATATCATATTTGTAAATCCAATAGTAATAATAATATCACAAATCAATATTAATTATTATTATTATTTATTTTTATTATTTAGATTAAAAAATTTGATCAAATTCAACAATTATACAATTTAAATGAATTATTGGTATTATTTAAATCAAGAGAACAATTAAAGATTGAAGAATTAAAGGGATTGGTAGGAAAGAATAGCTACCAATCATTTAATGATGCAGTTCCATGGGCAGTTCGTACTACATTTGCCTATATGGATCGTGTTATTTTAGAATGTGCCATTCAAAGAGTTCAAGCACCAAGAGTTTATCTCCACCCATTGGCACATATTGTTTTGTTGGATACTCTTGGTCGCATTGAAGATGACTTGGCATTCTTCCTATCTCATCAATTGATTACTCCAGAGATTGCAAATTGTATTCCATTTGTTATTATGGATCTATGTAAATTCATTACATCTCATTCACTTGATATTATCAAATCATTTGATATTCCTGCCAAGTATGTAAAACAACATGAATATAAATTAAATAATGATATACCACCGCTACATTATAACTAACTATAACTAACTACTCCAAATCATTTATTAGATGTTTGCCATCAGAATCATTAACTGATAATATTTATAACTAAATAAATAAATAAATAATCTTGATTATTCAAAAAAAAAAAAATAAGCTTATTTTCACCATCAACAAAAAAGAAATCACAAACTAATAGTTGTTAACTTGTAGTAGTTTGTAGTAGACAAAGTAAGAAAGAAAGAAGTACTCTTATAAAGCAATCTAGGTCAGATCATATTGATCATCATATCATACATGTATAGTAGTTAGAGGTAGAGGTAGAGTTGGTTAGTAGAGTTATGGATTTCTTCTGTCAAAGATGTTCAAAGCCATTGGAGCTTGATGAATCATTACTAGAGATCGATCAATCTCTATTTGTAAATAAAGGTACATACATATAATATATAGATTATAGATAGATAGATAGATAATAGTTTGATTTGCTAAAACTAATAGTTTTATATATAACTCTTGAAAATAATAGAAATAGATGAAATATCAAATATAATTAAAGATATATCATTAAAAACAAAGATAGCATCTGCTGCTGCTGCTACAAATGAACAAGAACAGCAGAGAGCTGAACAACTACAACTACAACAACAATTACAAAAGAATGCAGCTACTACAACATCGGTATCAAAGTTTAGTAGAGGTTTGTTTAATAGAAAGAGTAATAAAGATTCTCCTCTAAAAGATCAAATCAATACAAGTTCAAATAATCTATCAAATACTTTAACAACAAATAATAATAATAATAATACTACTATAAATACATCTACATCAACATTAAATAATAATACACAACAAACAACTCAACCATTTTTTACACCTATATCATCTTCATCAACATTGAATAATAATAATGGTAGTATTAGTGGATCACCAACTTCATTTGGATCTTTATCGCAACATAGATTGTCGTCTTCGATATCTTCGTCATCGTCATCATCAACATTTTTAAAGGGTGCGTCGACTGGAAAGTTACCAACTATCGACGTCGGCACTATGTCTTCGTCATCGTCGTCGTCGTCATCATCTTCTATGAATCGTCCTATCAAAGGATCGACATCATCAATGACAAGAGGATCAGAGGATTTTTCAAAGTCGTATGAACCGGGCATGTTGAAACGAATGGCGTCACAACAAAACAAGAGACACCATTTGTCCAATAGCACAAAGAATCTGGCGATCAATACGAGTATCAACAAACACCCTATATTGGCCAGTCCACCTGGTAAATCATCAACCATGATGCAACATAGTAGTAATAGTTTAATGTCTAGTCCGGTACAATCACATCACGGCGGTAAAACACAAAAACTAAAGTATCTGCGATCAAATGAAAAGTCTCAAAGTATGGCATCGTTGGATCACCTTCATATGCACCAGTCTACTGCCTCTTCTTCTTTGACATCTACTCCATTGATGAATCCAATTAATCATTCAATGTCGGCAATCAATACTGCTGCGATTGCTGGTGGAGTAGGAGGGAGTAGTACGACCAGCACGCCAATTGGCAGTCCACCAATGATGGTTCAAGGAGGTAATAGTAGTACGACTGGTACACCTACACAGATTGGGATGGGTGTGTCTGTCGGATCGAGTCGGTATTTGCAGGCAATGTCACTATTCAAGTTGGTGACAGATTTGATCAGCTACGATTTGCCGCTGTGTTTAGAGTGCACCAAGATGGCAATCCACGAGATGGACGATGAGAATGGCGTGCTCGAGGCAGAGATTGACGTGTATAATAAGTTCCTGTGCGAGTTGGAGGACAAGCAAGATAGCAACGCGGACGAGTCGATCGACTGCGAGATTGAAAAGTACGAGCAAGAGGAAGCGTTCCTGCTGCGTATCATAGCCAATATCCAGCGCGACCGCAATGAACTCGAGGAGATGGAGCAGACGCTGCGAGACCGCGAGCGTGCACTTGGCAGGCTCGAAGAGCGTTACTGGGAGGCATACAGCACACTTCAGCTCGACGCGCACAACAACCAGGACGACCGCGCGTCAGTGCACACACAGACGTCTACAGCTATCGACAAGCTCAAGAAACTCAAAGAGACCAATATCCTCAACGACGCGTTCCACCTCTGGCACGACGGTCACTTCGGTACTATCAACTCGCTACGTCTCGGGCGTCTGCCCAGCCAGCCCGTCGAGTGGAGTGAAATCAACAGCGCGTGGGGACTGTCCATCTCACTACTTGAAAACCTCGCCAAACGTCTCAACTTTACCTTTACCAACTTTAAGCTCATGCCAAACGGCTCGACATCGCGTATCGAGGACACATCCAACAACGCCATCTACGAGCTGTACGGGTCGAGTGACATTAGTCTCGGCAAGCTGTTTTGGTACCGTCGGTTTGACAATGGCATGGTGTCGTTCCTCTCATGTCTCAAAGAACTCTGTGACCACGTCAAAACACAAGATCCAACCTTTGAAGTACCGTATCTCGTCGAAAAGGAGCATATCAACGGTATGCCAATCAAAGTACAATTCACAAATGATGATACCTGGACCAAGGCCCTCAAATACATGTTGACTAATCTCAAATGGCTTTTATCTTGGGTTGCCAAAAATGAATCAACTCAACCAATGAATATTATAGCTCAACAACAACAACAACAAAAACATCAACCTCCTCCTACCTCTCAACAACAACAAACTAATACAACTCGTTCCTAAATTAATTAATTAATTAAAATTAATTTCCCCCCGACCTATTATATAATTATAATTATAATTAATCAATGCACGACCTACACAAATTGTTTTTTTTGCTTCCATTATTCTTTCACAACTATTTTCATCGATATGTATATTATAATTTGGTATAATAATTGATTTTGACCTCTCTTTGTGGCTTGTCGTTTTATTCTCCCATACGAAAGAAACAAATGAAATTTCTAACCAGATTGAATATTTCTTTGTTTCTACAACTTTATGTAAATTTGTCAAGAAAAATATCTTCTTGAGCCTCTAAGATCTTCATATTTCTGAGCAGACACACCCATTTGATTGGCTGGTGGAGTCTTGACCAACACCAACAAAGATGATCCCGTTAAACCGATATTTATTTTATTTTAACTTATCATCCATCTCATCTTTCTCTTTTCCTCTGCAAGTTTTAAAAGGTGCTACACCCATCTTTTCAATGTTATAATTATACTTCATACTGCACACATTGAAATAAGTTCATACAACAACAACACATCAACAGCAATCAATCATTATTATTCCCACACAAACAACAATTTGAACTTAAAATAGAGAGAGAGATAAAGATAAAGATAAAGATAAAGATAAAGATAAAGATAAAGAAAGAAAGAAAGAGTCAATCAGAGAGAGACTATATAGCAAACAGATCATCATCAACAAATCATATATATAGTTATTAATTATTATTATTATGTGGAGACATGAAGACTATGATATTGTACACTTTATATTGGCTGGATTGTATATAGTGTTGGGTATACTATGTCTATCTATATACTTTAAACGACCCAAACAAAATACTTCAACCATTCAGAAAATATTCTATCCTTCTTTATTATGTGCTGTTACAGGTATGAAACAAGTAGAATCGATTCATAGATCATAGATAGATAGACCGATCAATCGATCAATCTCCGATGACTACAATGAATCTATCGGAGGGGAAAAGAAAAAAAAAGTAAACAAATATTAAATGAATTGAATTCTAACCATTGCTATTTTTGTTAAACTATTAGTTAGAGCATTTTTCATGGCAATGCAACCAATTGTAAGAGAAGGATTATTGTAAGTATTAATAATTAAAATAAATATTATTATTTATATTTACTTATTTTTCTTTTTCTTTTTCTTTTAGACCATCATTTCCAAATCAAGTTAATGTTATTTTAAATATTGCACCATCATTTGTACTTTTCAGTGCTTATTTAATTGTATTATTTATTTGGGTGGAGATGTATTTAATTGCTAGTGGAGGATCTACAATCATTCATAAATTGCCATACATCTTTTATGTTTTGTCATTCTTTATGTACTCTGCTGTGATTGCACTGTTTATCGCCGATTTTGTACTCTATCCACCACAATTCAATGCTATATCATCGTATAGCAACCCCATTGAAAAGGCAATTGGTATCTATGACGGCTGCTGTTTTATTCTCACTAGTTTGGCATTTCTCTTTTTTGGCTTTAGTATCATCTTTAAATTCAGATCACAACAAAAGAACTTTACCGAGGAACGTCGAATGATCATTCTTAAAAGAGTGTCGGCTCTCACTGCTCTCATAGTTGTTTGTTTTGCTGCTCGGGCCTGTATCACAATATTTGCTGCTGTTAAAATGAATTTAATCTCTGGTGTATGTAAACCCCCTAAACAACTGGTCCAACCAGCAGGAAAGAATAATTATTCCCAATACTAATTCATTTACAATCTCTTCTTTATATAATTCTTACTTTAGACATGGTGGTGGTTTGATGGAGCATATTACTGTGGATTAGAGATTGTTCCCATTTCAATCATGTTGTATCTACTTAAAATGGGTCATAGTAATAATAGCAATGGACATCATCATCATCCAATCAATACAATGGTCAATAGCTATAATCATAGTCGAAGATCAAATGGCAATGAATACTCCCCACTTTTATATGCCAACAATGCATAATTATAACAAACAACAACAACAACAACAAAAATAACCAACCTTTTCACCTTCATTTTTTTTGTATACAATTTTTTTAAAAAAGGAGGAATAGAAGAATCTAATGGAATACAATCAATTAACCATGTCGGTATTGATCTCCCATTACTCTTCCTTTCTCTAAATCTATCATCCATCCAACCAACCAACACTAATCCAACAACTAACCATCCTTCCTTATAATAATAATTAATAATTAATTTCCATAATCGAATTGTTCATAAGAAAAACAATTGTAGTATAAATTAAATTAAAGTATAGTTACCAACTACAACAACTATTGGGGTAAAAGAAAATGTATTCAATTTTCATCAATAATAATAATAATAATAAATAGTAATAATATACTATTACATTTTCTTCTTTTTTTTTCTTCTTGTAGATATACATAAATAATCTTTCTCCCTTTTTCTTTATTGTTGGTTTGAACGATAAATTAAATATTCATCTTCTTTGTCATCTAATATTAATGGTGATGAGGATGTACGTGTAGCACTTCGAACGATAGCTGGTTTGGATCGAGAATTCCATTCAATCTCTTCATCTGTTGGAAATAGTGGTTGTGAACCATCGACATATTCAAATGATGGATCGTGTTGTAGAGGTGTCAGTGTCGATCGTTTAACAGCACACCTATTTCTAAAAAATCTCTTTGCAATTCTATCCTCTATCGAATGGAATGAAATGACAACCAAATTGCCACCGGGTGCCAATATCTTTTCAGCCTCTCTCATACCTCTATAGATCTCACCCGTCTCGTCATTTACAAACATTCTCAATGACCTGAATATTCTTGATATTGATTTCATCGCCGCTGGATACGGTATACACGACTCGATAATATCTACCAACTGACTAGTCTTTTCTATTCTTTCGTATTGTCTTCTCCTTATAATCTCATGTGCAACTTTTAATGTATGTCTTTCTTCTCCATACTATAATCATAAAGTAAAAAAAAGAGTTAGTACAAATTTGTTATTTGCTTGTTTGTTTGGTTTGGTTTGGTTTCATACATAATACATTATATCTCTTAATTGTTGATTTGAAAATGTGTTTAATATATCGGTTGCTGTAAGTCGTTGAGTTGATGTGTCGGTGTTGTTCATTCGCATGTCTAGGGGACCGTCAAAGTCTTTACGAAATGAGAATCCACGATCGGGAGAGTCTAGTTGCAATGATGAACATCCAAAATCCATCAGAACACCTGATATCTTGAGAGTATCCAATCCACGTTCTTTCAGTAGTTGTGAGAGATTGCTAAAGTTACCATGAAGAGTGATCAACCTGTCTTGATAGGTTTCTCTAATCTTGGCAGTCAACTCGAATATCTTTGGATCACGATCTACAGCAATCACAAATGATCCTTTGCATCGGTCAAGTATGTTTAGTGTATGTCCACCCAATCCAAACGTCGCATCGATATAACAATGCCCATCCTTTAAATGTAATCTATCAATCACTTCGTTGACCATCACTGGTTTATGTATACCATAATTATTAAATCTTAATGTTGATTCTATATCTTTGAATTGGTTACTTGTACTTGTAGTACTACTAGTCGTACTAGTTGAATAATAACATAGTTTACTTGTATATTTATAAGATGATGTTGTTGATGATTGTCTAAACAATAAAGATAAACTATTCTTAATCATATTATTGTAGTTGTATTACATGATTAAAGTCGCTAGAGTTTGAAACCAAACAAGTTTGTTCGAAGAAAAAATGATGTAGTATTTTGTTGGTCGACGCATTTTTGAATCTTATTTGGTTCATCAAATATCATATCATTGAACAAACAAACAAGTTCAAGAACTACTACTACTACAACTACAACTACAACTACCACTATAGAATTATCTCGAGTTGGTATCTGGATAGATTATGAAGAGAGAATGAAAAGAAAGGGAGGTGGTTCGTCTTCATCATCGACCTTTGCAATGGATGATATCTTTGGTGATAGCGATGAAGATGGCAATGGAAACAACGATAAAGATTGGTCAACATCGACATCGACGTCATCTTCAAGTTGCAATCCAAAGGCATTCAACAAAGTGGTTCAAGATGCAATCAAGGAGAGGAATAGACTCAAAAAGGAAGAAGAGAGGAGAAGAGGAGAAGAGGAACGACGAAAGGAACTTGGGACAGCAGACATCTCAAATTATTTCAAAAAGACAGGTGCATCATCAGGATCCTCTGGGTCTATGGCATCTACCAATAACCAGCAGTCTACTCTTCTTATCCCCGATACATTATTAAAGAAACTATATAAAATGCAAGATGATACAAATAATGTACAACAACAACAACAACCAACAAAGAATGGTATTTGGAATAACATTGTATCTTCTTCCACTTCACATTTATCATCTTTATTGATGAATAATAATAACAACAAATCAAATAATACCAATAATACCAATAACACATCTAATAATAATAATTCACATTCTCATCATCATTTTGATGAAGACTCTATTGAAGAGGATCATGATGCTGACAAGGACAGAATGTTTGTAGAGATGCGAAAAGCCAATTTGGAGAGGCAAGAGAAACTGGAAAAGGCAAAGGTATCAAGCATGATTGTGAAAAAGTCATCCGTCTCTTCACCATCTACGACATCTTCACCAAAAAAGAAAAGAATTGTTGATCATGATAGCGATCATGATAGTAATAGTAATAGTGAAGGTGATAGAGATAGTGACGACCAAGACGATGATGACGATGACGAAGATTCTGACGATGATTCCAAAAAGAAAAAGAGGAAGAAAAAACAACAACAAAAGAAACCAACAAAAAAGAAAACAAATACTAAAAAAGATCAATCAGATAAAAAGAAATCTAAAAAAGGAGAATCATCAAGTAAACCTAAAAAGAAAGATAAAGAAAAAGAAAAAGAAAAAGAATCAGGAAATAGAAATAATAATAATAATAATAACAATGATAATGACAATGATGATAGTAGTGATCAAGATGATCCTTTTTCCAGTCATACTCAAGATATCAAAAGTATCATACCACCATCAATACCAGTACCGCAACAACCCATACTTTCACCAATAACTCCAAATAATAATAATAATAATAATAATAATAATAATAATAATAATAATAATAATAATAATAATAATAATGTTCGACCTAATAACCCGAATAACTTAAATAATAACACTATCAATAATCAAAATAATTTAAATAGTATAAATAATTTTAAAAGTTTGTTTAACAGTCAGGCATCATCAGATGGAGGTTGGGGAAGTGATGATGATGATGATGAAGAGATTGTTATCCCAAACTCACCAGAATTTGTAAATAATTTTAATGTACACAATCGACGACCACTCAAACAAGAAAAGGAAGAAGAAGAAGAAGAAGAAGAAGAAGAAGAAGAAGAAAACGAGGAACAAAAAGAAATCGACCAAGCAATTGAAAGGATACGAAATTGTAAAGAAATAGTTAGTCACCGAGAAAACCAATTATCTGAAGCTGTCAATAACCTTAAAAAAGAACTTTTGAAATTGGATTCATTGTACAGTCATAGAAACTCAAAGAATAATCCACCTGGATAATGTAGCCCATATTCATTCAAACATACTGTATATATAACTCTCTTTTTTGATAGAAATTGAAAGTACAAACTAATAAAGCTTTTATTCTTACAAAAAGAAGATGAAGATATATATTCATCTTCATACCAGTTATTTGTTTGTTTAAAAAATAATAATAATTGTTATATATTTATTACTGCCGATTCTACCATCAATTGATAGAATTTATTATTTATTCGAGACATGGACGCGTATCCAAATCACCGCTTGTTGTTGGTTCGACTACAACAACTATTTGTTGTTGATTTTCAGTAGAGGAGGATGATTCAATTTCACCCAACTCTATAACTACCTGTTGTTGTTGATTGTTTGATGATGAAACACCCGATTTATCTTCATTTGAAGAAGATGAAGAAATGGAAGATTTGGTCGCTGATCTACTTCTACCACTCGCTGACTTTTTCTTACTCGTTTGTGATCCAGTAATTGTACCTTTTGATTTGTTGCTGTTATTCGATCCAGATGATCCAGAAGAAGTGTCTGAACCATTTTTGAGGGCCTTGGCACGTCTGGGATGGACTGCAAGGATGATGGTTGAAGTTTGACACATTTCAATGACAAAGGAAATAAAGTCATCGAGTGTACTTGCGCCAAACGTACGTTTAAACAAAAAGACGAGTACCACCGTCTTGGCAATGACGATGATGACCATGATGGCCAGCAATCGGACCAAGTAGGTGATACGGATAATGGAAGCTGAAAACTCTTGTTTCTTGGCCTCGTGTGGTCCAAAGTTGGCCTTTCCCAACTCTGACTTTAGTGCTTGTGTCAAGTGATGGCCGTGATATGAAAACAAGACGCCAGCAAACAAAACAAAGCCCAGAAACACAATGTAGTAGGCCATATCGATCGCTTCGTGACTCTCCCACTTGACATTGAGTGCAATGACGATGGCTACCATGACGAGTGTGAGAATGGATACTGTTACCTTGAGACATCGATCTACAATGATTCTGGCACGAGGATTAATCGCATACAGGTCGCCACCTGCAATAGTACCGTAAAAGAGGTAGAATGTCAGAATCCAAAAGTACCCAATCTCAAACCAACTGATGAAATTGCTCGATGTCCCTACGACGAGTAGACTATAGTATGCCACAAGCAGACGTTCGTGTGTCACTGATTCTGGGTCGTACCGTACATTATCGATAATGCTGATGATGGCGGCAACGAACCGAGAGAATAAAAAGATGATGGAAAAAAGGTATATGATGGGGACGGTGTGGTCTCTAGTTGTCTGATACGAATCGGTCGTATAGTCTTGTCTATTCCTCTTTTTATAAATCTTTCGAAGTACTTTGTAGAGTAGTATCGATATAAAGACTGTATATAAAAAATAGACTACGATTCGTGTGACTGCATAAACGAAATAAATTCCTTTAAATGAATCGTTTGCTGTAGAGTATTCTATTGGTTCCAACTCTATCATTTTGTAGATTGTCTATTCCTCCTAATTATCTCTATTCTATTTATACTATTTATACTATAGAAGTATGTATTGGTGTTTGTGTAGAGTTGAGTTGAGTTGTGAGATATAAATAAATATCTATTTATAGATAGATTGATAGATTGATAGATATAGATACAACAATTGTTGTGTTGTAAATACTACTACTACTACTGCTATCGATGTGTTGGGTGATGATAGAAAGATAATAAACAAGAGGGTAGTACGGACAACACAGCGAGAGAAAGAAAGAAAGGATACTCCCTTTCAAACAGGTTGTTGGTGAGACACAGCCAAGTTGGGGGACGTCGATATTATTTATGAGGAATCCTAATTGTTGGGGCCATGGCATGTCGAGACTCTTAATACGAATGTATCCCCACATTCACATGTAGTACCCATCTGCCGAAAGAACCCTTTCTATTACCAAGAGACGTTAACCCGAAAGATCTTTTTTTTTATCGACTCGAGAGTCTGTCGCGAGTTCACCAAATTCGATCACTTGTTGGATCATTATAATCATTATCTATCTATTCTAAAGAAATATATAAATAAATAATAATTCGTACAAGTAAAAAGATATTAGTAGTATTGTATCTTGAACAAAGATATGCAAACTTTAAAGTTAACTGAAAAGATAAAAGAAAATGAATGATGAAGCAATAAATTTAATTCCTTTCGTTAATTATCTGAAGCTAAGAAGAGAACTCTTTGGTTTTGTACTCGTTGTACACTGGTCATAGAAATTCAATGAAGTATATTGTTGATGATGATGATGACGACTAGTTATATAAAATGGTTAGGTTATTCTCTTCGCTCACATGTTCCACATAGCATCGACACACAACACATAAAACAACTAAACCCTATTAGGTATACAAAACATCTGATTATTATAAAATGAAATGAGTATAGGTTACATCATCAAAAGGTAAAGAAAGGGACTTACGTTACCCTTCCTTCTTGTTGTTTATTATTAATAAAATTAATCGTTCAAATTTATACTAGTAATAATTTGGCTTGGATGTGTGCCCTCTTGGCTAGAGAAGGGCCTTCACAATAACAAAAACCAATAGATTCATTGAATGTAATTATCTAATCTATCTATCATTCAAACTAGAAGAATCTTTATGCCTTGATCAGGTAATGAGGACCAAGCCAGGCCAAGGCCAAGGACACCAACTCGTTTGCCCTCCATTCAAACAACCAACAACAATCATACTATGATTAAAGAGATCTAGATTGTTGAAATCCTCGTTTTATGTGTATCAGGCTTGGACGAGATATTAATATGATCACAGACGAACCATAAGCTTCGCCTTTGGGCATAATGGAAACCCATCAACCCCCTATATTTTCTTCGTTGGTATGGAAGAAGTCTTTCGTTTTTTGATCGACTTTTCGCCTCTGGATCTGGCTGCCGGCTCTATTTTTAGCATAAACTTTAGAGTGGTTGTGCGAAGCTAGCCCACGTAGCAAGGAGAGGGTGGGGGGGGGGGTTGGCTGTCTCATCAATCACACCAATTTTCTGTGTTTCTTACCATTGATCGCTTTGAGAGAAGAGTAATTTACTTGGGCGTGTGCATTCCATCTAAAATCATTAAACACTTCTGTCTTTTTCTTTTTCTAACACTCCCTTTCTTTGTTTGGTTATTATTATACCCCTTGCACCAACTACAGCATCATCATCACCTTCATCCATCTACACACACAGCCTTTCTCTATTATTATCTTTATCTATCTATATATATTATCTCTATAGTAGGGTTCTAATTCTAACCAAGCAACCAAGCAACCAGACAACCACCCCAACAACAACAGACACACTCTTATTTAATCGAGCTCGACATTAATTAATTATTGTTTATACATACATATACACACACAAACAAACATTCATTCATTGTTTATATTTATTTATTATTTATTTATTATTTTTTCTTCCTTGAAAGATTCAGGCATAATCAACATCAACATTCCCCCTCCTTTAGCTCCACTACAACAACAACAACACAGACTAGCTAGCTAACAACAATAATAATTAATTGTATTTGTAATATTTTTAGCATCGCCAACCAACACCAACCAACCATCGAAACAACCAAGCTAACGACCTGAGCCAACTCGACCATCAACCAGCAAGACTCGAATTTCGGTTCTTTTCGTCTTTTCCCCGTAAAAAAATCACTACCGTATAACTGTTTTATCGTTCATTCGTTTCATCGTTACTCCCTCATTCCTCTTGATCAACCATCCATCGTCGATCCCCATTCCCTCTCCTCCTTCCCCCCTCCCACATTATTATTTTATTATAATTATTACATTAGGCACCCATCCACCCATCATTCATTCATTCATTTATTCATACAACACGCCTATTCAAAAGAGATCTACTACTACTACGACATACACTGTTTACTAGCTCTCTTTTTTTTAACCTTTTCCCCATTAAACACAACAATAACAACAACAACAACAAGAATAATAATATAAATTATTTAAAGATACCTTTTTTTCTTTATTTTATAAATATCATACATAATAATAATGAGAATGTCTTGTTTATCATTAAATCCAATTCAAAAATCAGCATTCTTTTTGATGACTGAGGCTGGAGAAAGATCTATGGACCGATACCCACTTAAACTCGGTTCGACATTTGGCGAACGTATAAATCAAATTTGCACCGATGGATCTCATTCATTGGTACAATCCGAGAGTCTAGAGGTGTTGCGTGACCGTGTCGATTCATACGATTCCGATCACCCCATCATATTCGTACTCATTCACGTCACCACCACCGATATTGCCAAGGTTGTAGAATTGATCGAAGAGATGAGAACCACCCGCAAAATGGTCTCATTCATCTCTGTCTTTTTAGATCCACAACGTCGTGCCAATAATCCTGGTTATGCTATCGATCATGCTACTCTCATTAAAAAGGGTGCTTCCCAAGTTTCTGATAGGTAACTATACAAACTAAAACAAACTAAACAAATAATCAATAATATTAATCCAACTTTTTATTTATAGTTTAAATGATATATTATATACAGCTGGAGAAATGAAGAAATCAATGTCAACCACCTCAAGATATGCTTGTCCAATTTGTAAACCAGGAGGTATTGCACATCACTTGGACAAGACTGAAATTAGAGACCATATATTTTTATTCCATTCCTCCGAAGATTTTGAAACTCTTGCCAAGGTAAACATATACATCAAACAAACAAATATATATATTTATTATTATTATTATTATTTGGTTTAATTAACTTTTTTTTTTTTTTGTTTTTTTTTTTAGAAAATACCAAAATGCCCAATTTGTAAATTACCAGTTCACAAGGTTGGACAACATCTTCATACAGAACATCGAGATGAGAATAAGCCGAGTGAGAGTGAGTTGGCATTGTCGACAGTATTCCCATTCTGCTTGGTGGTATGTAGAAGAAAAAAGGACGGAAAGTTTTTGCTGGTCAATGAGGTGGCCGGCCAAGGCTGGTGGTTGAGTGGTGGCCGTGTCAATCTGGGCGAGACACTCCAACAGACGGCTATTAGAGAGACCAAGGAGGAGGCAGGTATCGATATTGAAATCAAGGGTATTCTAAGATACGAGTACTCGCCCAACCCCAAGTACGCAAGAATGCGTGTCATCTTTTACGCTGAACCAGTCGATGATGACCAACTCCCCAAATCAGTCCCAGACTACGAGTCGATGGGCGCCGCCTATGTAAGCGTCAGCGAATTGGATAGACTCCCACTTCGTGGAAAGGAACCAAAGATTTGGATCCAGTACTTGGCGCGTGGTGGACTCGTCTACCCTGCCCAACTCTTGGCACCGGAAAACTCGAGCATCTCTATCAAGGGCTCGCAAAATGTACATAGCGTATCGACCGGTGGTACTGCCAGCATGGGACACGACGACTCCTCTTACAATGGTATGTCTACAAACAATCTTGTCGACTCGGCCGAACAATCCAAGAATTCTTCAAACTCTCCACAACAATCTCCAAGAGGTTTTCAAATCAATGTTCCTATCCGATAAAAAGTAAAGAATGATATAACGATAATACCCGAATAATATATGGCGCCATATATACATATATATACATACATACATACATAATCCAACCAAATCCAACCAACCAACTCCCCCAAAGAATAATAATCCAAAACCCACCGCATCTTTTTTTTTGGAACTAACTCCATCCCCATCCATATCAACAACAAACCAAATCACCAGAATAATATTATGTATCATACTCAACAACAAACGGCAACGGCAATTAATTAATTAATTAATTAATAATCCAAACAACGAATAATATTTATTTTTCCCCAATCCAATCCATAAAACCAACCATTTCTTTTTTCATACTTGTTGACACGAGGCATATAATCAACACCAACAACAACAACAATAAACCCAAACAGACATTTTGTAGATAAAAAAAAAAATAAACATCTCTTTTATACTCTATTATTTTATTTATATATATATATAACGTTTATGATCAAAATGTTTGTTTGTTTGTTTAAAAAAAAAAAAAAAAGTTGTAGAAACTTTTTAATTTCTCTTTTATTTTAAAATAAATTAGTAGTACTATAATAAATATTGTTATTATTATTATTATTAATCCCTTTCCCCCCTTTGTCTTTCTTGTGTATTTGGTTGGTTTGTTATATATCTTCCTCTTTGTATATTTGCTGTTGTTGGTTGATGATTGTATATTTATATATTGATTTAAGTTTAAGCAGCAGTTGGTTTAATTCCATTTGAAATATAGTAGAGTTCACGAATCTTGGAAGTGACTTGTGATAAATCACGATCCTTTCCAGCAACCTTACTCAAGAATTTAAGGTATGATGGACGGACAGTATTTGGTTCCCAAACAAATGCATAAAACATGACTGATGTACAGAAACAAAACAATGCAGTATCTCCATGTTTCCATGATTTAACATATCTATATAGATATAAATAAATAAACAAAATAAATATTAATAACAGATAATATAATAATATAATAAATAATAATAATTAATTCGAATGATTTCATACCCTCTCTTCCAAGCAGCATTGAAAAGAGATTCCAAAGCTCTAGCGAATAAATAGAGAGCTACTTCAGTACTCTTTGAAAACATCATTGATGCACCAGCAACAAAACCAGCAATAGCACTATTGTAACCATCCTCCTTTTGTCTAATGGCTCTCAACAGACAATTGACACCTTTGAATCCACCAGTGTAAAAGGCAAGGAATAAACCAAACCCAATTGGATCTTTATGTAATAATGTTTGATTGACAAGTTTTCTTGGACTATACAAATAAATAGATAGATAGATTAGATGTATAAGTAATCTCTCTCTAATGAATGATCATTCATTCATTCAATATACCATCATACTTTTTATATAATCTTCTAATGAAAATAGCAGATAGTAAAGCCATTGATGCACGTAAACCATAACCAATTAGCAAACCTCTAGCCCATGTATACAGAGTACTGTGTATACATGATCCTCTATGTTTGCACAATCTATTTTTATCTTGTTGCGAGTCGTCTAATTTGATTTCTTCAACTTGATTATTTGTATCATCTGTTGGTTGTGGTTGTTGTTGACTATTATCTTGTTGTTGATCGCTCATTCTCTTCTTCTTCTTATCCTATACTTTCTCGTCAACGTTTGTGCTATAACTATAATAATCAAACAAGCAAAGTAAGATGGTAGTAGAATAGTCTTGTTCAGTGTTGGTGAAAAGTTAAAAAATTTATCAAATCAATTAAAATTCATTATCTCGGAGTTTTGAACTAATAATCTAAAATAGTAGATGAGCGATGATCAACGACAATCATTTCCTTCTTCTTGCTTTCTATTTATTTATATTAATATATTGCCGATGATGATATCTTGTTCATTGAAATATTCCATAGTCAATAATATGTTGTTTTATTATCAATCAATGAAAACGACAATAGGATTGGTGAGTTTAGTTCTTGTACAGTAAAAGAAAGAGTATTCATCGATGAATTCATAGTTACTTCCGTCTTGGTAGTCTAATGAGAGTCGGTTGTGATGGGAGGGGTATCCTCGTACTATGACTTGTTGTTGGTCAAATAGAATGAAACCTTCAATATCGAAGGGTGATCTGGGTTGATTCGTAAGTATGATCTTTTGCGAGTGGTATACACCATAACCATCGATGATTGGTTGTAGATTCTCATTGTAAAAATAACGTTGGTTTCCTCCAAATGGCTGTTCACAGTAGGTTGGTAGGTAGGTAGGTAGGTAGGTTTGGTTAATACAACAATATATATGAATCAAGTTCAATCGATATATATATATATAATAGCGACTACCAACAACACATTACTTTGTAAAGAATGACCAAATGTTTGATGACTCCACTACTCAATTCATCAGCCATCTTTTTAGTGATGCCGTCTTTTGGTTCAATAGAGTCAAGTGGACCATATGGAATTGACATTGTTGTGGTTGGTTGGTTGGTGGAGGTGGAGGTCACCGTTTGATTGGTTAATGTATTTGTTTGTTGTTGTTTGCTCATCATGATGGTTTGAAGAGAGAAAGAGAAATGAGGATAATATTAACTAATATTGTAGCTAATATATTCAACATTTTTTATTTATTTTAAATTATTTAAATTTAATGAATCTAAAGTTGTGCCTTCCTCTTTGAGTTTGTTGTTTTATTATTATATTTATTGGGGTTTTGCTAACTCTAATGAATTTCACATGATTCATACCCACCACACCCTAGCTGCTAGCTATGGGTTATCATCTTCATTCTTTTAGTTGACTCATTATCTCTATTGTATAAATATATTTTTGTTTGTTATCTCTATCTTTTTATATTAGTTTTGTATCTCTTTTCTTTATTTCTTTCTTTTCTGTATATATTGTAAATTAAATTTAATCAATCAATCAACATAATCAATCTATCAAATTTAGTATAAGCATCAAAAAAAAAAAGATTAGTTAGTTTATTATCATTCAACTCATTAATTAAAAAGTAAAGGTTTACTTTGATTGGTTGTAATGATGAAAGTAGTTGATAAAGAATCATCAAGTAAAACTGGTGGTGGTAGTACTAATGGTGGCGGAGATGATGGACAGGTGTTTGTTGTGACTCTAGAAACCATATTTTCAGTGGAGGCACCTGATTCACTTTGTGATGCCATCACTCACAATCTACTCAAAGATCCATTGTTTTACAATGGAAATACTTATTCAAAGGATACTTGGGTTAGATTCAACGGTGTACATCCACTGACCAATCAACCCTTCCAAATGGATCAATGCCAACGCAACTTGGACAAGGAGAATGAAGTTGATAGCTATCTATCTACATGCTTCAAATCTCTTGTCAAGCAATTGGAGACTGAGCCCACCATCCAATCTGTCGAAAAGGTACTATCCGTCGTCCCTCTTCTCGACCACCAACGTAGTTGTTGTTTAAATGCCATTAGAGAATTTAAAACAATCCTATCAACTACTACCCTTAGAAATCAATTTCAAAAATTAGTAAATGAATCAAAATTATTAATTTGGAATCAATTTATAAATGTAAATAATAATCAAAATAATAATGATCCAAATAATAATAATAATAATAGTAAAAATCCAAAAAATAGAACACAAAAGATGTTTGAATTCCTAATTGAAAAGAGAAAGGAACATTTAAACAATATGGAATTGGTATATGGATCAAAACTTAAATGGGATCCTATTACATTCCAAATTTCAACATCGGTTGATAAATCGGTTGATGCCGATGCAAACAATACTGTTGACGAGTTGCTTTCCAATTGGAAGAATGAGACTATCAACAAGTCGAGCATCACCAAACAACATTGCCAACTCGTGGCCAAAAAACTGAGCAACAGATCAAGAGAGGATCCAAATGTCATCATATCGGTTCAGACACTTCCATCATTCACCTCTCAGAAAATGGATCTATTGATTGATATCTATGGTGTCGATATCATCCCTTCCTACATTTCAACACTTCGTTCCAATATCGATATGTTGCTTGGTCAACTTGTCAGTCGTCAACCAACCATCTCTAGTCAGGATCTAGGTTCCTTGTTGAAAAACGAAAAGAATAATGTAGAGGTCTTGTTGGAATCCCATTTCTGTACTCTTGAAGGATCAATCAATGATTATACATTGTATGCAACTTCAGATGATGATTGGAATTTAGTCAACAAATCATTATCAAATGTAAAACAATTAAAAGGTTTAAATGAAATTGTAAATTCAAATGTAAATGTAAAGCAACAACAAACATCACCACAACAAACAAATAATGATAAAAAATCAAAAGATAAAAAACAACAACAACAACAAGTTGAACCTCAAGATCCACCACAACAAGAAACTTTTATTGAAGATGGTCGTCCTGTATTATACAAGAGTCCAAACGGTAAATTAGTTGGAGCAAATCAAAAACCTAGTAGAACTTTGTTTATTAGAAATCTTGGATTCTATTTTAAACTTGATGATATTGTACCAATATTTGCAAAATATGGTGAGATTCGCAAAAAGTATTCACTTATTCCAAAAAGAGGTATCCTATTTCTTACTTTTGTATGTGTTATTCAATCAACTAAACTACATAGTACTATAACTAATCTTCTTTTTTTTTTTTTTTTTGAAATAGTATGATATAAGAGATGCTGAAAAGGCAAAGATTGAATTAGATCTTACAAAGGTTCTTGGTAGAGAGATTGGAGTTCATTTTGATTCAACTACAAGTGATAGTGAAGAAGATGCAAAGGCAGTCTCTGGATACCTCATTTTAAAGAACAACACAACAAGCATCGAAGAATTGAAAACTTATTTTGGTTCATTTGGTGATTTGAAAAGTGTTAGAAATGAAGAAAGAGATGTGTATGTATACAATATATAATTATATTTGTTAAAAAGATAGAATTTGTAGATTTAATAGAATTTTATTTTATTTTATAGGATCATTGAATATTATGATATTAGAAATTGTGAAAAAGCATTAAAATCATCACAAGGTAAATCATTGGGAAAACAAACTCTATCACTCTTTAAATGGGCTCCAAAAGAAACATCAATCATTGTAGAAACTTCAACTCTTACAATTGTCAACAACAAAAACAACAAGATTAATAATAATAGTAATAATAATAATAATAAGAGTATAATTAAAAATAATCAAGAGCAAGTGGAAGAAGAAGATGATGAAGATAATCAAGTTGGAGATTTACAAAAAGTTACATTTAGAAGACAATTTAGAGGTTTTATTGTGAATACATTTACAAAGAAATGGAAGACAATGTTCCCAACTGTCAAGATTACAATACTTCATAGTTCAATCAAATTTGATGAAAAGAAAGACAGACAAAAGGTTTTTAAATCAATCAAAGATGATGTAGATGCTGTTCGTATGAAGATGGTTGTTTTGGATGCACCTCATTCATTGTCTCTCTACCAACCATTGATTCAAGAGTACCAAGAAAAGAATCAAATCGTCATTGAAATCAAGATTAGATTAGCCAATCTTTCAAAGTCAAATGAAAAGCAGTATGGACAAGCTCCAAGTGAGAAGTTTGGTTCCTCCACTACTGCTGCTACTATATATTCGTCGACAGATTCCAATGTATTAGATATGACAGTGATTGGTCTTGATGACAATGTACTTGCAAAGGCTATCTCTCATGTCAAGTCATTGTTTGGTTTGTGGGCTCAACTCACCTCTCCTCTAGGACTCTATCAAAAGTTGGATTGCTCTCAATTTGCAATACCTAATCGTTGTATCGTATCTTTAAAAGGACAAGCTGTCCTTGTTGAAGCAACCTCTAAAGATATTTTAAAAAGTGTTGCAGAACAAGTACAACAAAAATTGACAGAATTTACAAATGTAAGTCGACTATATATCTATAAAACAATTTGTTAATACTTTTTTTTTAGGTAAAATTTGAATTAGATGTTGAAGAATTTGAAATGAAATATTTAAAACAAAAGAATATAATATTTCAATTACGTCAACAAAATGTAGATGCCAAGATTGATATACCAAGTGATGTTAAAATTGTTGTGCTAGCACCTCCAGCAACATCAACCAACATCAAGAGGGAATTGGCATCATCTTTGGATGGAATAGTAGGCAAAGTAATCAATATCAAAGGAGAAGAGACAAAGGTTCATTCAAAACTGATCAAGATCAAGTTACTGTCTATCCAAAACAGATTACAACAACAACAATCAAAAGATGTTACATTGGAATTTAAAAACCTATCTTCAAAGGATTTGTTTATTGATTTTGGAAACATTAAAATCTATGGAGTCAAAAAAGAAGTTGAATTGATTGAAAAAGAAATTTTGCTTTGTAAATCAAGCATCTTTACTTTGAATATTCAATCTGACAACCTTGGATTGATCATAGACTATGTCAAGGATCCAAAGAAAAAAGATAATATTTCTTTATTGGAAACTCTCTATAACTCTTCCATTGTAGTGTCCAAGGATATTTCAGTCACCATTTCATCATTTGATAAGCAAGATGCTGTTGCAGTTGAAAAAGAATTGGATTTACTAGTTGGAAAAGAACCAAGAGATTCTAAAATTATTCATTTTATTAATAGTTTAGTTTTTGAAAAGGTAAATATAAATATAAATACGATATATATATTATATAGTATATCATTTATTAATTAATTATTTTATTTTTATTTTAATAGTTTAGAAATGATAATAGATGGACAATAATGTCATTGGATAAGGGAATATTATGTAAATTAAATCCTAGTGATTTAACAATGACCATTACAGGTAATCCTAGTAGAGTTGCATCAATGCATGATGAGGTTGAAAAAGAAAGGGTTAAAGTAGCTGGTCAGTTTTTCGACATGGAAGTAGAGATTAACAAGATGCAATACGATGTCATATCACTCAACACCAAACAACTACAATTAGAGTCAAACGTGTTGATACATTTGATAGAGAGTGATCAAGAGATGATTTCGCTGTGTCTTCCAAATGGCAAATCCATCTCTCTAAAGTATGGTAATTTGCTAAAGACCAAAGCATCGGCCATCATCAACCCGTGCAACTCTCAGCTTGCACATGGTGGTGGAGCGGCGTTGGAAATTGCCAAGGCTGCTGGCCAACAATACATCGATGCCTGTGCCACCTATATCCGTCAACACGGACTACTCAACGTCGGTCAATCGTTGGTCACTTCCAACTATCAAATGAAAAACTGTTCATTTATCATCAACTCGGTCGGTCCTAATCTCGCCATAGAGAGCCAGAAAACCAACAGAAAGCAGTTGTTGCAGAGTGCACTCAAAACTGCAACCGAACAAGCCAACAAGTTGAACCTAGAGTCGATTGCAAGCCCTGCAATCAGCTCTGGTTTGTTTGGATACCCAATCTCTGAATCTGCACCTATTCTAATTGAAACAGCTATTGCTCAACTATCACAATCAACCTCGCTCAAGAGTATTGTGTTTGTTGACACCAACTATGATCTCTTGCATTTCTTTAAAAAAGCAATTTTGGATATCCAAAAGATAAAGGTTGACGCTGACTGGAAATGGAGAGAGAATGACAACCAATACATTGAATATGATAAAGCTAGTAAGGTATTGTTGGAAAAGGCATACAGAGATGGCAGTCCATTTGTCAATTTAGATATTGAGGGTCGACTCTATAGAGTCATGTTTGATGCCAACAATTGGCACCAAATCAACTTGGGTATTAGAAATGGCAACAAGAGATCGGTGATTAGAACACCACCAGCCATCGACATCACTGGTATTACCATTAAAAACCCTACCGCCAATAACAAGATTAGAGTGACTGGAACCAAAGAGTCAATTGAAACTTTAAAAAGAAATTTGGTTCGTATGGTATCTTCCAATGTTACAACGGTCAACATCAACAAGAACCTCTGCAACAATGAAGAAAAGATCATTCAACTTGCTGATTTTATTGGTGTAGAGATGAAAAAGGTGGAAGCCAATTCGTACCAACTCAAAGGATTGCAACAAAAAGTGTACGAGGTTCAAATTGCCATCTTGGAGAATTCAACCCCATCAGACACCCAAGTATCTTATCCAAGTGGATGGGATCCAAAAGTCAAGCAAGGATTCATTGACATTGCAGCTCAATCAACCGAATGGAATCAAGTAGTTGATAAAATCAAATCAACCATCCCATCTGCAAGAGTATCCAAAATTCAAATCGTTCAAAATGAAGAAGCTTACATTAATTTTGTTCATATGAAGAATAGATTTAAATTAAATGAAAAAGATGATGTAAAGAAAAAAAAAGAAAAAAAAAAAGAAAAAGAAATTAGAGAGAAAGAGATTACTTACTTATTTATTTTTTTTATTTTTTATATATAGAATGAAACATTATTATTTCATGGTAGTCGTCAAAATGATCCAAAGCTTATTTGTTTTTCAAGAGATTGTTTTGATTTTAGATTTGGATCAGAAGGTGGATCGTATGGCCCAGGATCCTATTTTGCTAGAGATGCATCCTATTCCAACTCTTATGCCTTTGCAAGCAAAGATGGTGGAAAACAATTCTTTTTAGCCAAGGTACTACTTGGAGAATCCATTACGATTCCACCAACCAAGCTTCATCTACCACCCCTTAAACCAAACACAACCTATGACCGTTATGATTCTGTCAAGGGTAATTCAGGTGGAGAAATCTATATTGTCTATGATTGCAAAGTTTCTTATCCATATTATTTGATCACCTATAATTAATAAATAAATAAATGAATAAATAAATAAATAAAGTAAATCATTGAGATGTACAAAAGTCAAGAAGAAGGAATCAATTAAACAAAAGTATTATTTTTAGTTATAACACAAAAAGTTAAACAATTCTGTCTCTGCGTAATATATTATAATACTAGTACGAGTAACAATATAGATACAGTACAGTAAACTCATGTACATAATTTAAATGTCAGCTCTGCACAGGGTTGTGGGTTGTTGGAGAGTCTGGCTCACCCCTAATTAACAAACCGTCATTGTCGCCGAGTTATAGCTGTTACGCAAAACGAAGACGGATAGATATATCCGTTCAACTGTTAAACTCTGTCTCAAGTCGACGACTATGTTCGGCGGGCAATGAAGGATAAGTGATTAAAAGTTAAAGGTGAGAAGTGTATAGTTTAGTGTAGACCAATCTTGAGAAAAACTATCGTATCTCCAAAGCTGAAAGGCTTTCTGCTATTAATAAATACCCGAATAATAGATCAAAACATAAATTTAATGTGCACCCTCTCTCAAGCTGCATTGGCAGCAGGTTTTGCAAACAAAAATATTCATCGAAAAAAGTTCATGGTGTGTTGTGAAAGGTGGATGAATAGAGTGATCGACAATGTACCAGGAGGAACAGCAAAACAAAAAAAAAGGTGTATTATTATTGCGATTAACAAAAGGTTAGGTTAGTTTAGTTTAGTTTAGTTTAGTTAAATCTTCTTTCGCAGTTTCAGCTCAAAGCAAGATAGATAAATTATAATCAATCACCAACTCCACTCCAATCTCTTAAACCGTCACCACCAACAATAATAATATTATTATAAATATAATATACATATATACATATATAAGTCTATCTATCTATCTATTTATATATCTATTTATATCAAAGATACATACTGTTTTATTATATTGATCTCACTTCTTCACAAGCAAGCTTACTGTTGGTTTTTAGTTTTTTTTTTTTTGTAAAACAATCAAATCGCAATCAATCAATCACAGTCAACACTCCTCGCTACTACTTACAAATAAATAATAATAATAATAAAAATAGATAGATTAGCATTGTAATTGTATTTATATATAAACCAAACCGAGTACACCAGCATCATCATCATATCAACAACAGCAACTAATAGAATAGAGTAGAATAGAATCATCATTGGTAGTGGTAAAATAGGAGGAGGGGTTCAAAGAGAGAGAGAGAGAGAGAAAAGAGAGTTGTATTAAAATAGTAAAAGGGAGCAAAGCATCTTTGAACAAATCAAAAAAAGAGAGAGAGAGAAAAGATGGCAGCTGTCGATATCTTTAATAGTATTCCAAATAATAGGGTAAGGATATATTATATTGAAGGATTGTATTCGTGATGAGTCACCCACCAGACTATTAACATCAATGATCGATTGCTCTCTCTTTAGGACACTGAAGACTTGACAGTATCAAGAGTAACACCAGCTGTCGAACAAAATATCAATGAACTGAATCATTTGGTTCAGATTATGTTTAATAACGCATCTTCATCACCTGATGTAACCTGTAAATCAAAACTATCAAAATCACAGAATAACAAGTATGTACATATATATACAAGTGTCACACACGTACACATATAACGCATAACAAGCAAAGCAAGGAGGGATATGGCCCTATTAAAAAAAAAAAAAAAAATATACAAAGTCGGCGATCAACTTTGCACCGATTTATTAATATCTTTTTTTCTTTTCCTTTCCTTTCATTTCATTTCTTTTCCTTTAGATTAATTGTTTATATAAAGAAATTAGAAAAATTAAGAGCAAGAATTGTAATTTTAATTGGTAATTATTTGGGACACGAGTCTAGATTAAATGGATTGTTGGGTTTACTCGATCGTATCGATGATGTATTGATCACTGTAAAGATTGTTTCTGGTCAAGATGAGCAACTAGATTTTACTGTGCCTGCAGAGGGCGGTGCTGGAGCAACCAACCACCCAAACACACTCGCCCTTCATGCCCTCCCTCCCCCACCTCCACTCACTCCACGTTCAGCTGCACGTGCTCTCGATTCCGACAGTGACAGTGATGGCGGCAGTGGTTTCGTCCCACTTCCACCATCACAACAATATGCAAACGGAAAGAAACCAATTAAATTTCATTTCTTTAAAGGTGACAGAAGAGTATGTAAACAATAATGAAATGAAATGAATTGAAATGAATGTTAAATGTCACTTACTAATGATTGTCTTTTTTTAGAGATCAATTTTTGGAGTTAATCCAATGAGTACAGTCACTGCAAGTACTTCTCCTCATACTACTACTACTACTTCTACAACAACCACAACCTCGAATACTTCGAGACGTCCTCGTTATATTAAAAGATCACAAATCGAAAGATCAGATAGTGAAGAGGAAGAATCGGAGGAATCGGAAGAAGAATCAGATGGAGAATCTGAAGAAGAGTCTGGATCAGATCAAGAATATATTCATGAACAAAGACGTCCACAACACTATGCTTCAGACGATGATGAAGAGATCCATCCAATGTCACTCGAAGAATCTTTTGAATTGAGAGGATTGAAAAAATTGGTCTTTTCTACACCCGAAACATCGACCACCTCTACAACTAGTACAACAACAACAACAACAAATAATAATTATAATAATAATATTAGAAATTCATTGGAACTTTCAAGACCATCACTCAAAGAGGAATTGGCGAGAAGAGTACAAGAAAGAAATAAGCGATCATCACAACTTTCTCGTAGTCACGATGGCATTGGAACTAGAAAATGGATTGTTGGCAAGACTGTCAGAACACAAAACAAAAGTTATGATGATTCTTCCTACTCTGAAGAAGACGAGGAATCCGAGGAAGAAGAGGATGAAGATTCTGACGAGTCTGATTCAGACGACGAGCCAGCCACAAAGACTGTAGAGATATCTATACCAGTGCCATTGGACGAGCCTGTTGAATGCAAGATTTGCTACTGCGAGTATGAAATGTCAAATGAAGTGTATGGATTTGGTTGTGGACATCAATATTGCTGCGAATGTATCCGTCAATACTTGTCGAGCCACATTATCGAAGCTCGTGTCCTCGATCTCATCTGTCCATTCCCAGGCTGCAAGACTGATATTACCGAAGAAGAGATTAAGCGTTTTACCGATGAAAAGACATTTACCAAGTTTAGAAAGTTCTCAATGGTTGCTTCGCTCAAGGCTGAGCCAATCAAATGGTGTCCAACTCCCGACTGCGACACTTCTGTGCGTGGTGGATCGGCTTCAAACCCCTGGTTATCATGTCCCAAGTGTAATTCTGAGTTTTGTTTCAACTGTGGCGAGGAAGCACATCAAGGTTACAAGTGTGGTGACGAAGCCATGAAGTTTAAGAATCGTAAACAAGAGTCTGAAGACAACTCAAAGGAGCTCTTTAAGACTTGGGTTGACGGCGGTGGTTTCCTCGTGCAAACCTGCCCCAAGTGCAACTGCTATATTGAAAAGAACGACGGTTGTAACCATCTCACCTGCATACACTGCCAACACCAATTCTGCTGGTTGTGCCGATCCGACTATCAGCCCGGCCATTTCCTCGATCCCAACTTCCCCGAATGTTACGACAAGCAATACTACACACCGCTGGTCACCACCACGGCCTCTACCAACAACGACCGTCACCGTCGTCGCCACCGTAGAAGAGCCAAAAATGTTGCCATTGGCGTGGCATGCACTGTTGGTTTACCAGTCATCTTGGTTGGTGGAGCGGTCTATGGTGTTTACAGACTTGGAAAATACATCAGAAGAAGAAGAAGAGGCTATTAAATTTATAAATCTTTTTCCAAAAATCAAAATAATCAAATAATCAAAATTATCACCACCTCCGAATCATAATAATCAAAAACAAAAGAAATATTTCTAGAATAATATTTTGATAATCAAAATAATAATAATAATAACCAAGAATAATAACCAACTCAACTACTAATAATAATTAATTAATTGATAATAATAATTAACTTTTTTTTTTTTTGTAACATATATATAAACCAACCAACCAACCAACTAAAAATAGATTGATAAATATATTATCTCTCCACTCCTCATTTGTCGTTCACTGTATATTAACATAATTGACTCGTTTCAAATGATTGCACCGACGTTCATTCCAATACACTGAATTATAATAATAATAATAATAATAATAAATTCCAGAGCCAATAAAATCCATTTGTTTTGGATGCACTATTTTTTTTCTTAATCCTTTGAGCCAACATACAAAGAATATTATCTTATTTATCTTTTTTCCTTTCAGGTTTATTCCAGGATGATCAGATTTGTGGTTTTGGTGTGAAAGTCATACATTTTTTTTTTGTGGTTTCGTTTGGATTTCAATAGTCGAAAGATGTGGGGAATGTGATAAAAGATCATCTGATCGGAACTCATTTGTTTTTTTTTTTTTGTAAATCATTTACTTTATATAATTCCAATCCAACGTTGAGCGGTTGGCCAATTCCATGGACAGATACAATTTAGTTTCTTTTTTAAAATTAATACTCTTGGTTTGGCTGACAGTATTTATCTTGTTTCCACAAATTTCAGAACCACACAAGAACCAACCACAGGTTCCTTTCAAAGAGGATACTAAAATCCCAAAGAAAAGAGATTGGCTTGACTGTGTAGAATACTATTACAATCGAACTGAAAGACAATGGTACTATACAACATGTCCCTATCTTCTAAGCAATGACCTAATTCTCAGTCCATGTAGAGTCATCTTGGGTGACAAATTTCAATTATACCCAAGATGTTGTGATGCTATTAGATGTTAAATAAATTAAAATAAAAAGATTAATTTAATATAATATATTTTAAATTAATATTTATTTGTTCATTTTTGCATACTGTACATCACTGTTTTTTTAATTTAATTTTTTTTTTTTAATTATTATTATTATTATTATTATTTGGATGAGATTGATGATATTGTTTAAAGTTTAATTCAATTTCATTTAATACTTCTGGATCTTCAATTGTTGGTGGCATTGGGAATGGTTCACCATGATAAATTTTTCTAAGGATGGCTCTTAGGATTTTTCCTGATCTAGTCTTTGGCAGTCTCTTTACAACCAATACTTGTTTAAATGTTGCCACTGGGCCAATCTTTTCACGGACAGCCTTGATCATATCCTTTTCAATTTGTTCGTGGTGATGAGCTTGGCTATAGTTTGGTTTGACAACAATCAAACCAAATGGTACCTCTCCTTTGATATCATCATGGACACCAATAACAGCAGATTCAACAACTGCTGGATGTGAAGAGAGTACCTCTTCGATTGAACCTGTAGAAAGTCTGTGACCAGAGACATTGATGACATCATCGACACGAGAGACAATGTTATAGTATCCATCCTTTGTAATAAAAGCAGAATCACCACTTCTCATGTATCCCTTGTATCTTCTTAAATAAGTATTTACATAACCATCATGATTCTTGAAAAGAGTTGGTGAAAATCCTGGTGGAATTGGTAACTTGATGGCAAGTTCACCTGTTGTATCTGGTTTTATAATTCTTTGTCCATTTTCATCCAATATATGAAAGTTGTATCCTGGAACTGGTATACCAGTTACACCTGGTACAATCTTCTTTTTTCCACATGGATTTGTTATCATTGGCCATCCAGATTCTAAAAAATAAAATAAAAAATATTAATTAACATTGTTTAAATAGATCTCTTTTTTTTTTTTCTCTTTACCTGTATTCCAATAATTATCATAAACAGGTGTTTTAGTTGAATCAGTCAAGAAAGAATAAGTAGCAGAATCTAATTTTTCACCACCAAGCCAAATGGAACGCAGTGAGGATAGATCATGCTTTTTGATTAATTTTCCATCTGGATCGGCTGCATGAATGGCACGAACAGCAGTTGGAGCAGTAAACATGGCATTGACACGATGTTTTTCAATAAGATTCCAAACAACACCCGCATCTGGGATGATTGGTTTACCTTCAAAAACAATGCTTGTTAGACCACAACAAAGCGATCCATAGACCGTACCAGTATGGCCAACAATCCAACCAATGTCACTGGCTGCAAAAAAGGTGTCTTCACCAGCTTTCATGTCGTATGTGTGTCGCATGGCATAGTTGACTGCCGCCACGTAACCTCCAGTCTCTCTAACCAACCCCTTTGGTGATCCAGTTGTACCAGAGGTATAGAGAATAAAGAGAGGATGTTGGCTGTCAACCTTTGCATAGTCACGTGATAAATGTTGGACTGCTTTTGTGATTTCATGCCAATCGAGTGCACCTTGAATCTTGGGTGATGGTACATCGGGCACTATATCCTTTCTAGTGTATACAATGGTGTGTGCTGGTTTGTGTTGTGCCAACTCTAATGCCTTTTGCAAGAGCAGTGTATAATGATTGAATTTCTTGCCTTCTACACCAAAGTTGGCAGAGATGATTAGTTTTGGTTGGAGATGATCGATACGGTTGGCCAACTGAGGTGATGCAAATCCACCAAAAACAACACTATGAGTAGCTCCAATACGTGCACAAGCCAACATTGCAACTACCGATGCATTAATCATCGGCATGTAAATAATAACATGATCTCCTTTTTGAATGCCAAGATTGATTAATGCAGTTGAAAATAAACATACTTCATCATATAATTGTTCGTATGTTAATTTATGAACTATTCCCTAAACATAAATAAAATGGAAGGAGAGGTAAATATTAATAATTATAAATGGTCAACTTGGTTTGTTCTTTACTTACAACTGAAGGAGTTTCATGAACTAGAGCAACTTTGTTCTTTATTTTAGGGTTTTTAACATGTACATCCAATGCATTGTAAGCAGCGTTGAGTAAACCACCTTCAAACCATTTGGGATACTCTGGTGTTCCTCCCAATGTTTTGTCATACTTTTTATCCCTATTGTATATCGTATCGGAGTTGATGTTAGTCTTGATTGTCAATCCCGAATGATCGATTATCTATTCGATTCTATTCGTTTACATCGATTGGATATACTACATCTACCTACCAATGTACATAATTTGATGCATTCTCATTCCAAAACTGTTCATTATTATCCATTGCATTCTTAAAGTCATGATCATAACTATAATTGTCTGGTCCACTCGTATATTTATGTTTTGTTGAGGATGAAGAAGAAGAAGAAGAAGAAGAAGAAATATAACATCTCTTTGTACTTGATGATGATGATGATGATGATGATGATAAGACTGTTGTTGTTGCTTTTAGTGAAGAAGATAACCTTCCAACACTATTTTTAATTAAACTATGATACATTTGGTTGGTTTCCTTTTATCTCCAATACTACCTACTACTACTAATACTATATCTTTATAAATAATATACAATATATACAAACAAACAGAAAGATATGTTTGTTCAATCACAACCACGCACAAAGTGCTCACTCTCACTCTCAACCACTTTAACTTGTTTTTGTCAATTTTAATCAACACTGATTTCCAAAAATAGTAATCGTGTTAGATGTAATTTATCACTATATATCCTTCCTCTCTCTTTATTTTTGAATTGAAACTTTTGAGTTGTTCCTTGTAATGGGTATAGTTGGTGACATTCATTCATTTAAACAAGATCTGATACCTGGGATAATAAAATTTGGTTATTAAATGAACAATCATCAGCTTTTTTTTTATTGACTAAAAATCTTATAAATAAATAAATAAAAATATAAATAAATAAAAATAATTTATATTTTCCTGATGCTGATTTTGAAAGTAAGATGTCTACTAGTAATAATAAAGTATTATACATTTTTTTTTAGTCGTTATTTTTTTAAATTTAATTTTTTTTTGTAGGGGCAACTTTGAATGATTAGATACAATTGGATTTGTGACGACTATGAGAAATATGTAATATTTTGTGCAAGAAACCATGATAATAGAACTATTTGTGCCCATCATTTTGATGGTAAGGAAAAAAAAAAAAAAACAAAAAATAATAATATTATTATAAACATTACATTAACGCTCGCTTATTTACTTTCTTTTTAACTTTATTTAAATATAGAAAAACATAAGGGAAAATGGACAGAGTGTAAGAAATGTAAAGATTCATTCTCACCAATCGATTATGCAGCCTATGCAACAGACAAACATGCAAACTTTGAAATCCTAAAAAAATCTTCCAAAGGCAACCGCATCATTGTGACTTTTGTGGCTACACTTCTGGGAACTCTGACGAATTTCCATCCATGTCATTTGCCAATGGAACTATGAAAAGAAAATGTTATAAATGTGCATATAAACAGGTAAACCAAAATAAATCAAATTAAATTAAAAATATCCTACATATCTCTTTTTGATTTTGGGACACCTATTTTTATATTAATGTACATAATTGAACACAAAGAAGATGTAGAGTGTACATAATTGACAAAGTACATCTATTATATTAATAATATAGTAATATTTAATTATATTTATTTTGTTTTTTTAATGATTTTAGAGTTTTCTGCCAAACATAAATTGCAGGCGGAAAGGAGCCTTTCCTTTTAGCTTATGATAGACCGTATTTTTTACATAAACATCATCAGTCTCTCAAGATTCATCTTATCATAGTGGTTGGGTGTTACATTGGTGAACAACAATGATGATTGATTGGCACACCACACACCCAATAACATTTGGTTGATGTTCGTAACAACAACAACAATCAACCACACTCACTATTATCAGGTGATTTGATTTATTCATATGACTGACTCAAGATATATAACAATAACATAACAGCAATTAGCAATGAGCAACAAAGCAACAAAGCAACATAGCAAAAGTGGTATTATTACTTTACATTGTTGCTAGCTAGGTGTGAAATGAAACATGTATGATATTGATGACAATGGTTATCGAAATGCATATGATCATACCTACCTACTACTGATCATCAATGCATGACTCTTCAACAAACAATATAAATATATAGTAAATTAATAATTTAATCAATGAAGGAAAGAAAAGGTGGTAAGCAATCAGATAGAAACAAGAGCAGTATGTAGAGAGAAATAGAGAGAGAGAGAGAATCAAAAAGTAAGAGTTATTATTATTATTATTATTCAATTTAATTATTTGTTGGAGAGAAATTAATTAATTAGAAAAAGAATAAGAAGAAATGATTTCTAAATTGAAAATCACCATCTTTGCAGTGGTTTGGTTGTTGTTGGCATGTTTGACGACAACGACAAGAGCAGCGGATATTTATGCGGTGGACGGATTGTGCTTTTTAGACAACAATAACAACTTGTTTTACAATGGTGTTGGTGAGCCTGGTGTGGCGGGTGTCATCATCACTTCGGTCATTTCCCAGGGCAACGATACCACTCAGTTCAAGCCAGACATTGTCACGAGCAGCCAGGGTATCTTCCGATTCGATGGAATGAGATTACAGACACTGTACACTCTCAAATTCTTTAACCCCGCCAACTACTACTTTCCCACACGTAACGATATCTCGTACACTTGTAATCTGCCAGTTGGGTCCATCTCGACGTCACTGGCCAATTGTCTGAGACCATTGTCGAGTGCCGAGAGAATTGGTGTCGAAGCCAATATCCTGGCCACCGGTATCACCGCCTTTCAATTGCCTATGGTTGCCAGTCCCGGTGCCATAGCCAACGCATCGGTCGTGACCCTCATGATCAATATCATTCCACCAACTCCACCACCCATCTACCAAGTGTCTGGTCGAATCTTTATCGATCGATTCGCCTGGAACGATGTTGCATCGTCTGCCAACACTGGATTCGCCATCAATATCACTGTCTATGACAAGACTGGTGCCTATATTGGCGCAGCATCGACCAACATGGATGGAAAGTACGCGCTGTCGTTGCTCCGTGGCGAGACGTACAAGATCGTCTTCCAGATCCCCGACACCCACATCTCGACCGGCACAGCCACCACCTTCTTTGCCTTTGAGTCGGCCATCTACAACATTGGTATCATCCAAAAGGCCAACACTGGCAAGACGCTCAGAAACTTTGATCCAGTCTCTTTTGCCGTCTCATGCTTTGTGGTTGGATCGCGTAGCGGACCCAATGCAGATCTGCCCGCCATGGTCTCGATCAGTGCCAACGCTGTTGGCAACGGATACGACGCTAGCGGATCGAAATTCGTTACCAAGCTCAGCAAACACTTCCAAGTCGGTGCGGTATCTGGTATCGTCTATGAACCAACCTCACGTAACCTCTATGCCTCTGCCCTCTGGAAATACAATGCCGATTTCGGGCCAGCTGGCCCATGTGGTATCTATATGATTGACTATCTCGAGTTGGATGGCTCGGGTGCCAACTCGATCTATGCAGACCTGTCAATCATCTTTGGCGACAATAACTACTGCGGTCCCCAGAAATCGCACAACTTTACAGACCGTTACCAGGAAGCTGCTATGAACATGGCTGGAAAGATGTCGTTTGGTGGTATGACCACCGACTATCGTTTCCTCTATGTTGCCAATTTGTATAGACGTGAGATCAATGTAATCCCACTCTTTGAAACACCCAATGCTGCCAATGTGCGTAGTATCCCTGTTCCCAACCCTGGATGTGCCGATGCTCGCGACTGGCGTATTTTTGCCGTTACATTTGACCACGGCGCTCTCTACGTGGGTGGCGTGTGCTCTGGCGAGTTTGGCGGTGCGCAATCCATGGGTACTTATGTTCTCCGTTCGAGCGAGTCCAAGTGGCAGATTGTCGTGTCGTTCCCGTTGACATTTGCTCGTGGCTGCACCAACTATGACGGCGGCAAGTGCGATCCAGCCGAGTGGAGTCCATGGAGAGCTGGTCTAACCCAACAACCACAACTATCGGGTATCTACTTTAACACCAAGGGACGTATGATCCTGTCGTTCCGTAACCGTATCGGTGACAATGCCAAGGGTATCAACCCTGCACTCGACATGCTTATCCTCTGTCTCGACATTACCGGTAACTGGGTACTCGAATACAACGGCAAGTGTGGCAAGGTTGCCGGCTACACACAGTCGCGTTTCGGACCGGGCGGTGGCCACTTTTTCAACACTGAGCTCATCGGCACTCACCAATATGCGTCCAGTCTGTTCACTGCACATGCCGGCAGCAACGACCTTATCGTCTCGTCGGGCTACGACTATGTCGACTACTACACTGGCTCGCTCAGATGGTTCAACGCATCCACTGGCCAAGTCGTCAAGGGATTCCAAGTGTACAACTCGGGTGCTGGCGTTGGCGGCTTTGACAAGACATTTGACAAGGCCAACGGACTCGGAGACATTGCCCCCATCTACCCTGCATCGGCCATCAACCAATGCGGACTCTTTTACACTGGTCGTGTCTGGAACGACACCAACGGCAATGGTATCCAAGATGCTGGCGAGATGGGTATCTCCAACGTCAAGGTAATCATGGGCTCACCACATCCATCGACTTGTATCACCGATCAAAACGGTTACTTTACATTCTCTGGAAAGTCATCCTCACCTCACGCTGTCTACATCACTATCAACGAACTCGCCCGTCGTCTCACCGGACCCTACAAACTCTCACCAAAGTCTGAATGTGATGCCGACGTAACTGCATTTGGCTACCAAACATCTCTAACCTCTCCAGCTTTTGGTGGTTATTATTTCAACAAATTCTTGTTTGGTATCACTTGGAAATAAAATAAAAAAATATAAATTAACAATATCAGATCTAATTTTTAAAAACAATAAATATAATTTATTTAAATATATATATATACAATTAAAAACAAGAATGGTTCTTTTAAATATGTCATTTAAGCTTGTTCTTGTTCCAAAGGCTCACCGTCAACAAATGCAGCCAACCCTCTTGAAGTCTTTCCAATTGGTTGTCCGTCAACTCTTCCACTCTCCTTTCCACCTTCATAGAGTAAAATGGATGGTGGTTGAATATTACCAAAATAAGTCTTAAAGTCCTCTTTGAATACTTTGATAAAGGTTATATCTGGGTTATTTTGTACAACATTTTGAAATAATGGATCAATTGCACTACATAAATAATTATCCTTTTCTGAAATATAAATAATACTCTAGAGAAATAATTAAAGATTAATAATTGGAAGTCTATAGATGGATAGATAGATAAATAGATAAATAAAACTTACTTTGGTTGCTGGGAAAACTACTTGTTCGAATTGTTGTTGATCAATAATCTCCATCTTCTTTTCTAGATTGTTTTTTTTTTTGTAAAAAAGTAATAAATAGTAATAGTAATTGTATGTATTAAATTTGTATTAAATGATTGATGTATTTTATTTACTACTTGACACAACCAACCTAATTAAATTAAAGGTTACCTTATTAATAACAACAAACAATTGACACAGACCCCCCCAAATATCCAATAAACAATTTTTTTTAAGGAATGGGGTGGGCAGAGACAACAATTTAACTGAACGGTGGTTCCTTTAAAATTGTGGTGAAATTACATCAATATTTTTGTCAACACAGATCCCAATCAAGTCAACAATCCCCCCAATGTAAATATATATATATTGAAAAACCAACGATCATCATACATCAATCAAAGCATGAATGTAGATAGACCATAGACCATGATGTATGGATGGTTGATTAATCGGTCCGTTTGATTTGTGCGTGTTAGAAAAAAATGATAGAGGTGTTAACACTTTCAAAAGGTTGTTAACCGTCAATCTAAATGATGATGCCGCTGCTACTGCTACTGCTATTCATCTCTTTCTTTATTAAGTAGTGATAATGAAGATGGTTTGGTTGTTGATGCCCCATCGCCAGTAGTACATTCAGTCACAACCACTGATGTTGCTGTGGTGGTTGCTGTTGCTGTTGATGCAGACGATGCCGATGCTGTTGTGGCAACAGAATCATTTGAACTAGACAATTGTATTTGTTGAGCAAAACTGATTATCTTTCTAATGTCTCCATCGCTGTTTTGACTGAATCTATTGTTGTTGTTGTTGGTCTCGCTCATATTACTGGTGGTGCTGGTGGTACTACTGGTTGATCGGGTTAGGTCATTCATTTGGGCAATTTGGTTAGAGTATATACTACACAAATAATCTTTGCCCAACTTTAGCCATCCACCTCGAATCTCGTAGTCTTTGATAACACTCTTTTTAGAGTATGGACCGTCCGACTTGGACGACAATGGTAGTCTGTTCTTTTTGTCCAACACACCAATTTCTTTGAGTTTGGATGCCCCGTTTTTAGAGGTGCCTGGCAGAGACTGACGCCAACTAATGTATTGCATGACATACGATGGCTGAGCGTAAAACTGTACGCCAAAGTTCATGGCAGTGATTCCTAGTTGGATGTCACCGTGTGTGACAAATGACAGTTGCTCTGACGACAACACTTCAGTGTTGAAAGGCAAGTAAAATACATCGATACCGACGAAACCCAAAAAGTCCTTGGATAGGTGATCGTGTACTTCAATGATGACCATATCGGTCAGCACATTGTCGATGGGGACAATAAACGTCTCGTCCCATCTTGGATTTAAACTACTCTCGACCACTGATGTTTCGGCCAAGAATTGATTAGATTTTGTATTTCCAGTGGTACGAATCTTTACATACGGATCACGTTCATCCAAATGATCTCCAGCTCTTGATCCCAACAAATTACGAGCATTTATAATTCTAATTTGTATTTGTGCATTTTGATCATTCAAAAATGATACTCCCGAAGGTAAATTAAAATTCCATCCTACTTGTACTTGTTGTTTCTTTGGTGTTTGTTGTGTTGTTCCATTATTCTGATTATTATTATTCTGTTGATTATTATTATATTGATTTTGATTATTTTGATTAAAGTTAGTATTATTATTATTATTATTTGATATTGTATTATATTGATTATTTTGATTTAAAGGTTGTCCATTAACAAATGGAGTATATGAAAATTGTGGTTGAGGTTGAGGTTGAGGTGGTTGTTGTAATTGTCCAGGACTAGTTGATATGATTGGTGTATTGGATGGACTTGTACCAGTTGGTACATATATTATTTTGTTTCCTCTAATTCTTTCCAATACTCTGTTTATAGCTTCACACCAATTTTGTGCGTCGTTTGGTGAGTCTGCCAGAATGGGGTATGATCTCTTTGAAGTGATGACACAAAACTCTCTTGGCGATACAACCATCACACTCGACGATGGCTCCAAATCAAATTTTCCTTTACAATATAAATCGCCCTTGTCTCTTAGATAGGTCATTCTATTATTCTTTAATATAAAAAATCGTCTCTTCCATGTTTTGATACGTCCTCCTTCTTTTGTCAACCATCCTTCAATATCTGGTTTGATTCTATCTTCTTCTGTCATCAACTAAAATAGAAATGGCATAAATAAATAAATAAATATTATTAGATAACTACTCCATCCATATAGTTTGAGTACTATAGTATTAATGACATTTTTACTTACATCTCTTTGCTTTTTAACCTTTTTTATCTTTTTACCCATTGTTTAATGTTGTGTGGTTATATGTATGTATATGTTATATTATTGATGATGGTAATAATAATAGTCTAGGTTGTAACGCGTGTACTCGAGTATTTCTACTTTGTTTCTACTTTTTGAATTATTCTTCTCTCTTGGTGAATACTACTAAAATGGATTCGGGTGCAACGATGATGATGATGATGATGATGATGATGAGTGATGAGTGACGGCAATGACGATCTTGATTACTTCTTAATAGTTGGAATTGTTGGTTGGATCACTCACTGACTGTAAGATGATAGATATCTTGTTGAAAGATGTCTGGGGGGTTGTGTTTAATAGGTCAAGAAGAAATTGAGTCGTCTTGCAAAGTCTGCAAATATCGATTTTTTCCAACTGAAATTGGTGGGTCACGGCCTTATTAAAAATATATAAACGTGTTAAGGGTATTTGCGTAGATAAATATAAATATACTATTATTATTATTTGGAACAAACTAACTAAACTAACAATTATTTGTATGAAAAAAAAGTGATCACTCTTGGCATGTGTTTGTTTTGTAGAGTTGTGTGTGTGTTAAAAGTGTAGAGAGGCAAAACAATTTTGGCAATGGAAACTTCAGATACTAAAAATATTTTATGTGTGAGCATCAAGATGAAGAGCGGGGGGGTCATGCATTAAGCGAGTCGAGCGATTCACCCCCAGGTAGGCAGGAGGGAGGGCTCACCTTTTGCCACCGCAAAATTCCAAAGACTCTCGTGATTATATTATCGTGTGCGTGTGCTTTACCGTCTATAAAAATCAATCCCTGTGCTTGCTGTTGTTTTAACAGATATCTGCGCGAACCAAAGAATCCCTAACATCGATTCTACAACATCAGCAAGTCCTCTTCTTCTTTTGATGGTGTGATTCCTTTCCCCAAGTAACCAAAGAATGTGTGTGATGAAAAGACACACTATGATTGATTCTTTGTTTTTACGCATAAACAATAGTCTTCTTTATGCAAGTCGGTGTCAAATACTTGGTCGCACAACATGATAATGGCTGCCATAATGATGATCATCGTTCATCAAAAAATGTATGCATGATGGTAAGGATGATTCTCTCTCTATTGATGATTGATTATGTATATAAATAAATAAATAAAGATAATTCATGAATGTTGAGAAGGAAAGGAGGAAGAATAAAAAGAATAAAATTTTAATCATCACCCACCTCAGCAATTATCTCAGCCTTTGCTTGTTCTCATAAAAGGTCTGTTTTTGTAGCTTCCAAGCTTGGATCTAGATATTTCTAAATCTCCTTTTAGACTAAACACTTCGAGCACCTTTTCGAGTTGTTGGTTACATCATCATCTTTGTCAAATTTTTAAATTAAATTAAATTTTAAACGGAACGGAATCATCTTCATCATCATTGTCCTCTTTGATTTGTTTCAATCTTTTATAATCCTCCTCCTCCGGTCCTGAGTATTCAAAAAACAAAATCAAAGACAAAATTATAGTGGCCAATCTAAACAACAACAACCACATTTAGCAATACGCAGAGTTACCACAACTTCATTTAAATCAATCAATCAATTACCACTATAGCACAAACAATAGTAGCTTTAGATTATTAATCTACAAATATTCAAATAACAACAACTACTACATACATATATATATATATATACACACAATCTTGGATTACCAAGTCATAGTCTAGTCAAGAAGAGGAATAGGAATCAATTGATCACACATAAAGATAGTTATAATATTAGCATATAATATAGATAGGATAGATAGGATATCTAAATAAAAGATAGGAAGAAATGGCATCACTGGCAGATTCAGCGTATTTAGAAGGAGGAAGTCTATACTATTCTGATTTACCGATACGATCAGAGTTACAGAGAGAGAAATATAGACATTGGGGAAGAAGAATATTATTTTATATACATTTAGCTTATTTTGTAACTGCTACCGTTATGTAAGTAAAAGATAGACATATCTATATCTATATCTTTGTCAAACATACATATATTAATATATGTTTACTTATTTCTTCTTCTTCTTCTTTCTTAGGTTTCCATTTTTAATAACAAATTTAACATTTTGGTTTTGGTTAATACATACGTTATGGTTTGAATTGGATGTAACTACAAACAAGAATAATATATTTATTCAACTTTTACATGCTGTCAGTTTTGTTGGATCTTATATAGTGATGATTACGGCCACCATTCTATTGGTCATTCTCAATCCCGATTTCATATCACAGCGTGCCGAGATGGAGAACCACTCGGTGGCATTTGCATGGTTGCTCAATGTATGGATTCATTACATTCCTCCCATTCTATTGACACTTGATTTGTTCCTACACAAGGAACATATCCGTAAACGTCATCGTATCACATTCAACAGAAACAGTCCTTCGAAAAAGGTTATTCTCAAAGACACACTCAAGGTGATTTGGGCCATCATCGCACCAATGGGAGTATGTGCTGCATGGATGCTTGCAGGATACACTCCCGAAAATGTTTATCATGTCACCAATTATAGTTACACCTATTTAATTCCAATCATGTGTGCCACCGATGTCATTTTTGCTGTTATCTTTTTATTCATTGTAAAGAAAAGAAAAGATACCTATATTAGATTAAATTAATTTAAATTAATTAAATCAATTGTGGATAGAGATGGGGGGATAAATCATTTATAAATAATAAACTTATTTTGTATCATTTTTTTTTTTGTAAATATATATATATAATGTTTGTTTGGGATAGGATTGATAGGATTAATCTATTCTATGTTTCCTTGTTTTGTTTTATGTTTTTTTATTACGATTTAAAAAGCCAGTAACATATTTATCAACATCATCTTGGATATATCTTTTCAATTCTGGACTTTGTTTGATGGTTTCTTTACTTTTACTTTTGAGTTTGTCATAGTAGCAATGAGTGAGTTTTCTGGCAATGTTTTTAAATTCCTCTCGATTAATAGATGGATACTTTTTAAGGACTTCTCTTACAAGTATACTGAGTATTTCCTTTTCTTCTTTGGTGATTAATCTGGCAAGCTCTTCTTGCGAGACTCCGGTTTCGTTATTATTATTATTTACAGGTTTTCCTCCAACACTTCCAGATGAAGAATTGAGACTATAGTTTCCACTACTGTTGAGATTGGTAGAGTATGATGAAGATATTGGTTCTTGTTTTACAGTTGGAATTTGTCCATATGAAGAGGAAAGTGGTGGTTGTTGAGGTTGTTGTTGTGGTGGTGGTGGTGGATGGTTATATGGTTGTTGTGGATGAGGTGCAATTGGGTATCCAGGTGGTGGTTGGGTACCAGACTCTAATTTAACAACTGGTGGTAGATGCATATAATTTGGTGGAGGTTGTTGTTGATAGGGTGGCGATGCAGTATTATATGGTATTGGTTGAGGAGCAAGAGGAGCAGGACCAGGAATAGGAGGAGGAGTGTATTGGTTTGGTTGTGGTGTGTATGGTCCTGGTGGAGGTGGTTCTTGTTTAACAGGTGACATATGCATATAGGGTGGTTGGAGAGGAGGAGGAGGGGGTGCTTGAGGGATTGGTTGTTGATGGTATGGGGGTGATGGTTGTTGAGGATATTGGTATGGATAAGGTGGTCGGTATTGTTGTTGCGGTTGTTGTTGTGGTGGTGGTGGTGGTGGTTGTTGATATGGATGGGGTGGTGGATTACCATAGGGAGATGTTGGATATGGAGGAGGAGGAGGTTGTTGATGTTGTGGATGTTGTGCATAATGAGGTTGTTGAGGAGGATGGGAAGGATGAGGAAGAGGTACCCTATCTCTTTCATATGGATGATAGTGTGGTTGATTGTTTTGATATGATCTCCGATCATAATCCGATGGAGGTCCATGTTGGGGTAATCGATTCATAGGTTGTTGTTGATTGTGATGCATTGGCATTGCGCCAGGAGGACCACCCATTGGCATGTTCTGGTGTGGTTGTGGTTGCATATTATTATTTCCATATGGTTGTTGATGTTGTTGATGTTGTTGATGCTGTGGTTGTGGTCCAATAGGGTTGATAGAAGAGTTGTTGTTATTATTGTTATTGTTATTATTATTATTATTATTATTTGCTTGATTCATAGATGATCCATTACCACTACTTGGATTTGATGGTTTATAATCAGAATCATCATCACCCTCAAATATAGTAGTCGTGGTAGTAGTGGTTGTAATTGTTTTGCTTGCTTTTGGTTTTCGTCCGACAGCTCCTGGTTTTTTGGGGATTATGAATCCACTGTTAAATAACCAGGAGTTTTCAGCGTCGCCGTGATGTGATCGCTTGTTGATCATTGGTTGCACCTTGCCACGAACCTTTTTGGGGTTGTGTCCATGATAGTTTTTGGAAAAGCATTTCTTTCGTTCTTTTTGGTCGTCTGGCTTGACTTCTACGACCTCGGTCTTGTCAACTTGGTAGCAGAAATCCTTGTCAATCTTGCCGGCTTCTCTGAGTCCGCTCAGAAGTGCTCCAACGACGGTAGAAGGGTGTTCTCGACAGGTAGCTTCACCTGCAAAGTATAGATTGCCAATATTGTCACCCATCAAGTCATAGTCATTTCCACTCGATGTCTTTGCTATAAACGAGTAGGTTCCACGACTATACTCTTCTTGACTCCATTTAGTAATTTTATATGCCAATGGATCCAATGTTTCTTTTCCATATCTAGATCTTAATTTCTTCATTACATTATTAACTGTTATTTGTTCCGGTGTTTCTATATATAAAAGATCAATCAAAATGAATATTAAAAAGAACAATCATCTAATCGTTTTATAAATTTGTCATTTGTATTGCATACCTTCAACATCTTTTGATGAAGCACCAGATGCCAAGGCAACTAGGATTGGTTCACCAGTGACACGATGAAGATTCCAAAACATAAATGCTTCCCCTCTAGATTCCTTGTCATTGTTTAAAAATCCAAAATAATCAGTGTTTCCCCAAAATACTCTACTAAAGCGAAGTACAATCTTGTTTAATGTACCAAATCCCAATCTTTCTATAATCTTTGTTTTCCATGATGGAAGTTCTGGTGTAAATTGAATATTACTAAAATAGAGAGAGTTTTTATATATTAGTACTCTATCTATTATTATTTGTTTTCTTGTTTGTTTTTAATATTTACTTTTGTTTTAAAACACCTAATGGAATAGTTACAATACAACAATCACCAAAATAAATACTACCATCGGAAGAGATGACTTTGACTTGATTGTTTTTATCAACGTCATATTCGATAGAGACGACATTACAGTTTGTGGTGATTGTAATGTCCTTGGCAAGACCTTCAGCAATTGCGCCATACCCTTCTTTTATCATACAATGTTCGCCACGATAGTCATAGGAATCGTCTTGGTCCCATCCAACCATGCAAATGTCTTTGAGCTCACCGGCACATCCATACTCGAGGTTTGCAAAGTGCCAGTTGAGAATACGTGCCTCTTCTTTGGTGAGAGACCGACCCTTTTTGAGTTCATTGTCGCACGCTTCTTGAAGTGATATCGAGTCGTCTTTGGCCTGCTTGGCGACATTGTCGAGCATGGTGTTAAAGAGTTTGGTGATACGCTCGTCGGCACGCTCGCTGATTTCGTTGCCGTCAACGTCGTAGAGGGGACACTCGCCCTTGAGCACATGCAAATTGAGCTGCAACTGCTTGCACAGTACTGTGAGGGGGTTGCCCTCGAGACCTGTGATGACACTGCCGCCGAGATCGATCGATGCGCCAAACGTCTGGTTGTCAGTACACACTCTACCGCCAATACGCTGGCGTGCCTCGAGAATGCGCACGTCGTATCCAAAGAACTTGAGCTGGCGTGCTGCAGCGACACCCGCCACACCACCGCCCACCACCAGCACCTTTTTCGAGCGACGTATATCCCGCTTGCCAATTGACGCGTTCTCTGAGAAGAATTCGGGATCCCCCGATGGTCTCTGAAACACACCCACATTGATGTATCCCCATCGCTCCAAAAAGTCAAAGACAGAATGAGCCTCTTTTTTGTTTTGTGCGCCAATCATCTTGGTTGCCTCGTCCTTGGTCAAGTATTGGTTGATGTTATCGTGCCAACTTGCTAGAATCATATTACGAATCTCACAATATCTTCCCTGACAACTCTTAAAGTTTTGCATCTCTCTAATCTCTATTTGTGCCATCTTGTATGGTGGTAAATCAGAATGAATCGCAGCATCTAAGAAAAGTAAAAGAGAAAAGAGAAGAAGAAAAGACAAACAACAAAGTAAGTATCAATATTGAATATATACTATTCAATTGATTGTATTGATTGACATACCAAACTCTTTCTTAGTTTGTTCTTGATCATCAACATTTTCCAATGGTTCTTCTTCTTCCCCGTAATGTGGTGTGTTGTGTATCTGTATACTTTGTCTCTTTGAATGTATTGGTTTCATTGATCCAATCTGCTCATTCATCTATACAGAGATTGTGAGGGATGGAAGAAAGAACAGTAGTGAGTATATATATAACTATTACTGTGATTCACAAGTTGTTGTATGTTGTATGTGTTATTCACTACTGTTTCAAACATACCAGAGAGTACTGTTTATTTGTTTTCTTTTCCATTGTAGTTATACTTTCATTAATCTATATTTACATGTAATTTATTTGATGATGATGATCAATATTACTACTACTTGTACAACTACAACTTTCTGTATAAAATAAATAAATAAATAAATAATAATATAAATATATAAATAAGTGATGATGAGAAGAGACAATGAAAAATGAAATAAAAAAGGAAAGGCCACACCTCTACTTAATTTTGGAGAAAGATCCACTTTTCCGCGATCTGCAACCTCGAACTAAAAGTTCAAAAAGATGACATTTAAAGTATATATACATGTATATACACATTTAAACTCATTTCATTTCCATTATCAACTCACGAGATCTCTCTCTTTCTCTCTCTCTCTTTGTTGATCGCGTAATGATCTCACCACACCATCTAGTTAAAAAAGGTATTACTTTAATTATTCTTTTATTTAGTTATTATTACAGATTGATTTTAAATATGTATATGGTTGTGTTTGTTTGTTTGTTGTTATACTATACATATACTACTACTATTATTATTATTATTATTATTTTATGGACTACTATAGGGAACCTTCATTGAAATGGAACGTTGTGATTTACCTCTTGAAATGATCTTGACAGAGAGACCTGATCGACTAACATAGAAACGACGCTTGACAGCAAAAAAGGTGGCTACTCCAGCAGCTACGACTACACATGGAACGACGACGGCAACAGGGATGACCCATGCTCGAGAGTTGCTGTCTGAACATCCATCGTCCTCGTCCTTGTTGGTCAAGAGGATGGAAAAGTCGGGATCGAGAACACAGGCAACTACGCAATGTGGAAGACTGATAGAGAGGAATGCAGCACCGTCGGTCTTGTTGAGGACAGATACGGGTGAGTAGGCGGGTCTACCGTCAGAGAGTGATCGATCAATGAAACGACCGTAATAGGCAATCGTGTCAATTGTCATGACGAGGTAGTTGACAGAGTCAAACTCGTCGACACCTACATCAGACGATTGGACTGCGTCTGTGCAACGCGACTCTGCAGCTGCGTCGGTCAGACCGGTTGCCGAATGGATAATGACGCGGAGAGTGTTGGTTGATGCAACAAATGGCCAGTCGTAGATGCCGAGCTGCACCTTGAGCGAGCCCGACTCATAGGTGTCGGTCTTGCCGGCAAACTCGACCGACGAGGATGCGTGGAATGCGATCAACTGCGCTTGGACGGTTGCGTTGCCATAGATGTTGGTTGCCAAGTACGAGTGGGTCGTGTTGGCCGAGGATGTTGTGGTGGTGCGGTTGTCCCATTCGCCAGAGAGAGGGATTTCAACGACGACAGCGCCATCGAGGTCAATCTCGGCAATACCGACGATTTGAATGTCGAGCAGCGACCCGCTTGGCGTGCTGATCGACGTGTCTGGCTTGACCGGAGACGCTTCGATGGTTGCGTTGGGTGCGTCGGGCTTGACCTCGACTGCACAGGTCGGGCCGGCGTACCCAGTGTCGCATACACATGTGCCCTTGGTAGTGTCGCAAGTCGAGTGTGCGGGACAGGCGCTTGGACATGTGGGAGCGTCAAACATGCCCAAAAAGAACAGTCCCTTGGAACGGAACGTGTAAGTGTCGATGGTGACCACAATCTCCTTGGGTCCACGGGTATCCTTGTCGAGTGTGCAGTTGAGTTGCGTAGCATCATACATTACGTTGGTACATGGGTTTCCGCCGACTGTAACGGTTGGGATACCTAGATTAGACGAGACACTTTGGACGCCGAGCTGAGCAAGGGTCGATGACGCAGGGTTGATGGTAATTGGGGTCGTGGTTGGGAGGTCGTGTGAGATGGGTAGATCTTTGACGACCTTGCCAGCACCCACAATGAATCGTCCGTACAACGTGAGTATACCTCCGTTGGACGGTACTTCGCTGGTCGATGTAACTAAAGGATATGAACGCAAATAGTAGAATATACGACTGTCATTTCCATAGACATTGCCACTAGCAACAATCAATGTATACCCCTCCTTGAAATCCTGTGGCAGTGTGCATTGGTACGATGTTGGCACACCAGTATTGACTCCATAGACTGTGATAGAGCACGATACTCCACCCACAGTAAATGCTGGGTTTTCGAAAAAGGTTCCGTTTAAAACAACGGTCAATAACCCAGCTCCCTGGATAAACTCGACTGAGCTGATCTTGGGGACACCATAGGTAATGGTAATTGCCTTTTTCATGGTCGCTGAGAATCCCAAGTTAAGTGTGAGTGTTTGGACACCTGCGTAGGCTGGTACGGCAAGGAGGAACTTTTTGTTTGGCACAACACATGTCAAATCGGGGTACACGCCTGATCCGACACCCCAACCCATACCCGTTCCTTCTAGTGTGATCACTCCACCGTCGCGACCAACCATAAACTGTGTGGCACTAAGTGTCAAATAGGATGCACAAAGACTTGGATTAAAGGTAATGTCAAAGTCAAACCATGGTCTCATGTCAAATTGATTAGAATAGCATACAAAACAATTGTCAATAGCTGCAGCTGTCAAACCAGTTGATCTTGCATCAATTGTTCTAACTGTACATAACGGATATGTAAATGATGGACTGAAATTTGGATTTGAATTTACATTACTATGTGAGGGAATATATATATTAGTTAAATGAATAGAATAGCCAAACAAACAAAACATGATACTATCAATTGTACTTACAATGTAGCAACATTATTAACAGTTGATGGTAATGCTTGGGCAACTCCATTCTTTTCAGAGTAATGAATAAGAGAAAATGGAATAGTTGTTAAATAGAGTGTGGCTGGATTATCATAGGTTACGTCGTATAATTCACTGAAAAGAAAATAATAAGAGTGTTAATGGAAATGTATTATTATTTTAACCTAACAACTACTACTTACACTGATTGTAAAGCTGTTACAGTTGATGGAAGTGGTGTTACAAGTTTACAATTATATGCTGAAAAATAGAATAAACTGGTAGGAACATTAATTTGGAATCCAAGTTCAATTCTAGTACCAACAAGTAATGATCTAAAAGTTCTGTATAGTTTGAAAAAGAGAATGATTAATATTATTAATTTACTTAATATCTAATATTAAATAATAATTAATATTGATTTACTTACAAGCTTTGAATTCTATCAAGTATAATGTTATTAATATGTACGTAGAAACCAAAATCACCAACTGTTAAAGTTGACATTAATCCTCCAATATTAAAGGTACCTCCACCAGATGAAAAGTCAATTTCAGCGAAACGAATGGAATTGGATGTTGCAGTTGATGACAATCCTAATCTATTTCCTGATAATTTAATTGTCTCTAGCATTGTACTTGACCAAATAGATAAAGGAATACCAGCATCTACCATACTACAATTAGTTAAATCACTTTTAAAAATCAAATCAAGGTTAGTGACATGATAGATATATATATATATATATATATTTTTATCTATTATATTATACATACAGGTATTTGAGTAGAGTTTGACCACTTGAAGGGAAACTAGAGAAATCGGCAACATATGGTTGATTATTGATACGAACATATACGAGTGCATTGAGTGATGAAATGTACTGTAGAATATTAACATCAGTGACTGCTGGAGTGATTGTTCCGAGGATGGTCAAATTTGTGAGGAATGGGAAATCGAGTGTACCAAAGGTGAGTACTGGGAGGTTGACTGGAGTACTTGGTTGACTGTATACATTAAAAGCTTCGTAAACACTTGGGAGTGGGATTGGGTCTAATACATCAATCGATTCACTTGTTACTTTGGTAGTTGTTTGAGGTCCTGTAGTGGTTGAATCTGCAGTAGCCTGCGATGTTGACGATCCACTTGATGTTCCAGTAGATCCAGCTGCTGTACCACTTGACTGGGTTGCTTGTGATGTTGATGCTCCTGTTGATCCTGCAGTGGAGGATGCTGCAGTAGATCCTATTGTTCCAGATGTCGTGGTTCCTTGTGATGTCGAGACTCCTGTTGATCCATCAGTAGATCCGTCAGTTGATCCAGTTGACATGGTTGCTTGTGATGTTGATGCTCCTGTTGATCCTATTGTAGATGCATCGGTAGATCCGTCAGTCGTTCCAGTTGACATGGTTGCCTGTGATGTAGAGGCTCCAGTTGATCCATCGGTAGATCCATCAGTGGCACCAGTTGATAAGGTTGCCTGTGATGTCGATGCTCCAGTTGATCCTACTGTAGAGGCTGGTGTTCCCGATGATCCAGTCGATTGAGTAGTAGTTGATATTCCAGAAGTTGTCGAACTGTAAGCGGCTGCATCTAATAATCTATGTAGTTGTAGTAGTATTTGTAAAGTAAAGGTTAAACAAAAAGATTCTCTTATTCGAAAATTACGAATCGCTCTCTCTATGTATTTACATTGACAAAATATTTCCATCAGGAGTACATTTAATTCCTATTCCATTGGAACATATGGTTGGTACATTCCATGATGTTTGGTATAGTGCTTTCAACCAATTCAAAGATTCAACTGTAATAGTAAAATTGAAATGAATTAAAGGATGGTTAATCGAAAATGTCAATTTTAAAAAAGTCATTGTATTATATCTCTCACAATTAATACATACTCTCTGTGGTTGATATTGTAGCCGATACTAAATTACATTGTAAAATAGTACTTATAGCTATGATGATTGTGAATAAAAATACAAATCTAAAAGATGATTGGTGGGTATGACGATGACGATGTAATAGTAGAGCCATCTCTCTCTCTCTCTCTCTCTCTCTATCTCTATTTATCTGTCTACTATTATCTATCTCTTTATAGGTGTAAAAGGTTGACTGTGTTGTAATGTGATTGAAGTGTTTGATTACTCGCCCAAGGAAGCAAGGCAGCTAGAAAAGCTTTTCTTTCCTCATCATCTGTCTCCGAGTTGTTACAAGGTGGTGGTTGAATGGGAGCGTCATTCCCTTGTCGATGGATACGTTCATCAATGGAGTTTGGGAGGGATAAAAATATTTCGCGATGGGTGCCACCAATTATCGTGACAGTGGGGGCACCAACACACACCCTTGCAATTGAATTGATCACATTGTTCTTGAAAATCTTTCTTTGACGGTTCGTAAGCGAAAAAACATCGAGCTTATCACATTCGTCATCATAAATATCTAACCAGGTAGAATTCCTTTCCTTTCTACTACAACTATAAATACTACAGATAGATAGATAGATAAAATAATACAGTTAGTCGCGAGAAGAATACATACATAAAAATTGTAAAGCGCTTAGGCCAGGAGAAGTATAGTAAAAGATATTAGAAAGATAATGTTGTGTGTATTATATATGATCTATATATTTATAGTATCTTTTACTATAGCTTCTATACTGTAAGACCCTTTGGAAGTGCTGTTCTTCAGTGGTAATAGTTGTCATTGTCTACAAATTCTGTTGTTGTTATCTCAAGGATCTTATTGATTGTAAACATTTTGTGACATATGTGTCCCATTGCACCTAGAGTAAAGGATGATTCTTTTGTTATGAGACTCCAACAAAGCAAAAAAATAGAGTAAGTATGTGTAGTCAATTGACATGTCAAACGACAAAAAGGATCTTATTGGATGTTCAATATGTCAAAAAAGGGTTACATTACATATGTTATGTAGATATATATATATATATTGTTATTACATTATAATTTCTTCATGATAGATTTTGTTGTTTTTGACCCAAAAAAGAATGATCATAAAATCATTCCATTTCTTTCTTCTACAAAGTGCTTTTGTGCGAGTATTATTAATAAATAATAAAAGTATTCGTATTTATTGTTGTGAATAGAACAGAATTATAGTATAGATAGAGGAGAATGGACAATTGGAGGAAGATTAGTATAACACCAGTGCTTAATGCAAACTCACCGATTCGAGGTAGCAACGATCAAGGAAAAGATAAAGATGAAGTACCAAAACCATTAAGAGTATGAATCAATCAACAAATCAATCAATCAATCAATCAATCAATCAATCAATCAATCAATCAATCAATCAATCAATCAATCAATCAATCAATCAATCAATCAATCAATCCTCCAATACTACTCTCCTCTAGAGGAGCAATCATTGCAATGTGTTGCATGCAAATATATTGATCAATCATGCAGCAAATATTCAAGTTATAATCTATCTCTAACCCTTGACTCACTCTTTACTTTATCAATTGTTCATATGACATTCATTATGTAAACTATAGTATCAAATACCAGACAATGACTTTTACACATACCTATTGGGTACATGGAAGAGAAATTTAGAATGGAAAGAGTTTGGTGGATTGTTTCCTCACATTAGAACTAGTAATACTGTTGTAATGGTATGCACACGATCGTTAATGCAATGATGATAATGATAATCATCAGACTCAAACTAATTCACTTATTCATTCCTTTGATGATCATTTAGATTGAAGAATCAACCAATTTCAATTCAGATCCATCATCAAGATTCTTAAAGTGGAGTTTTGGAAAGAGTCTAAGCAAGAATGAAATGAGATTTGGTTATTTAATGAAGGTATATTAAAACACTATAAATTAATATTGTTGAATGGTTGATATTAATTATGATTGTTGTTCGTGCTGAATAGATGGTATCAGCACCAAAGAATATTGAAACCTATTTAGAATGGACTTATATTGGTACATTGTGTCATGGAAAATACTTGCCAGCCACAAACTGTGCCGTTTTAAATTTCTTTCAACCATTATCTACTGTTTTGGTTACATATAGAGTTGTTGATGAAAATAGTAAGTCTAGAATTATCTATATAGACATCATATATCATGAAAAACTAATCACATCAAATTATGATTAATCAAAATATATAGCAATGTCAGTTTGTGTAGTAGAGGTTGATGAAAAGCAAACTCCATCCATACAGTTTGGTAACATGTATAGAATTGATCCATCAATCTATACAGATTCAAAATAGTTTTGGTGTAATCAAAAAATGCAAGACAGTCAATGTCATCGATAGAAAAGATATCTTTTCCCATTCTCTCTACATACACCAAAATATGATTTTTAATTTATTTTCCAAACTTGTAATAACAATCTACATACAATTGTATTTTAATCAATTATTTAATTCATGATTGATATATAATATAATATACAAATCCTCCCAACCTCCTACAATTCCGCCATCAATCAATCAACATCATAACCAAATTATCATTCATCATTTTATTTAATCCACTAGATAAGAGGGTTTGTAAAATATGAACAACAATATTATGATTCTTCCTCTAACATCTAACCAACCAACCTCAACTTATATGGTTGATGATCAAAACATACAAAAAAACAAACTATTCATTCATTTTTAAATAGTTTCTATAGTCAAAAAAGAAAAGCAACAACAACAACAACAAAATACAAATTTGTTGGAAACCAATATCAAATCACAAAAGAAGATCTTCTTTACATATCTATTTATTTTAGTTTTTGTAAATAAATAAAACATCTACCCACCTCTCTCTTTTATCTTATTTATATTTATATTATGGTTAATAGATTCTATGTATGTTTTATTTAATTTAAGTTATTATTTTCCAAGTTGAGCTTTTAATGTACTATTTTCAGTTTCTAAACTTGTAGCCCAAACAACAACTTCTTCTTGATCTTTGAGTAGTGAGGAGTATTTTGTTTTAAGTTCTGTCAACTCTCCTTCTAGTTTGGCAATAGTCAAATTATGTGGTGGAGATGTTGTTGGTTCTTGTTTGGGAGGTTGTGGTGGACTGGAAGTCATCTTTTTAATAGCTTCGTCTCTTTGATGTTGTAACATTTGATTTTCTTGTCTGAGTGTTTGCATTGCTTGTTGTAATTCTTTCATGGATTGTTCCATTGATTCCAACTTTGTCAAATAATCTTGATTGTCTTGTTTGATTCTCATCACTTCAAATATATCAGCTGAAGAAGAATTATCACCCATCATTCCTAAACTAGATTCTGAATCTTTTTGATTTTGTATTGTTTCCTAAATATTAAATAAATAATTAATAAATAAAAGTTTCTTTTCTTTTCTTACTATTTCTTTCTTACAATTTTTAAATTTAATTCTTCAATTATATCATCCTTGTCAACAATTAAATCTTCAAATTTAGAGATTGATTGTTGCAAGATATCATTTTCCCTTTCTTTTTCTTGAACGATTGAATTTAATCCATCGATCAATTGTTGTTGATCAGAGGTGGAGGAAGCGGCGACTAATTTTTGTTGTTGGACTTGTAATTGTTGGAATTGGTCGGACAATTGTTTCAAAGATTGATCCTTTTCCTCTACATTCTTTTTCAACAGATTGTTTTCATTTTCAAGTGATTGTATCTTGGCATTGTCTGCAGCCAATGACTGAGATGATGCTGAACGGTCGATATGGGGGACGGATGGTGACCCGACTGTGACGGGTGGTGTTTGCTGGCCTGGTGGAGAGATGGAGGGTGTCTGTGGTTTGGATGAAGAGGAGGGAGGGGGATGAGAAGACGACGCCGAGGTGGGACGGGTGCCTGGCTTTTGCTTGGTCGAGGTGGCCGTACCAATGTTTCGGATCTTGTCGTATGTGTCCTTGTAAAAGAGGGTAAAGTCAAAGTCGTAGAGTGCAATGGTCAGTTTGTCGGCAGATGTTGTAAACTCTTCCTTTTCACCCTGCTCGGCGTGTGTAAACGCGTCAGTCTTGCGAAGTTGGTCGAGACGGTCTTTGAAGGAGCTGAGTCCGATACGCGTGTGGATGATGCTGCTGAGGTTGTTCTTGTCGGCCGCATTCTCGTCGGGCAGGTTGGTGACGTACAAACCAAACACGAGTGCAAACAGCGCCTGTACATGCACGGTCTGCGGGCTCGACGGCTGCTGGATCGACTCGACCATGAATGTGAGGTACTGGTTGCTAGAGAGCAGCTCGCGTGCTGCCTTGGGTGCGTGGTCCAACCACACGGCGAGCAGCTTGAGCAAGCCGACACGCACCATCGGGTCGACGGGCGGGTCGGCACGCTTGGTCGCCAACAGCGCCTGCACCACCTTGGCAAAGAGGTGCGTGCCAGCAGTATCCACGCACGCCTTCAACATCACGTCCTTGGCATGCGGCGAGTCACGCAGAGTATGACACAACACAATACTGGCAAACCAAAACGACGTCACGTCGATACGCGATGCCATGCTGCCCGCTTGAACGGGCGATGTGCCCTCCCAAGAAAACAACGCACGCACCAAATGCTGTCCAATCGACAACTCCTCCTCAGCATCCGTTCCCGGTGTCGCAGGTGCAATCGGTGTGATGGTCGATGCCAGACCCATCTGTGCCTCCTCATTACCCGACAAATAGCACTTGAACACGTGTGCCGCCGAGATCTTCTCCATCAAATCCTTAGAGTAGAGAATCACCATTGTCAATCGGAGTAGTGCCGACTGCGAGTGTCCATTCTGCTCCGACTTTATCGAAATCTGTGAAAAGTCTGCAATATTCTCGCTGTTCAAGTTGATCACCTCGCCCAATGTGTACAATGCCTTGCTTCTAATGATCTGTGACGACATCTTTCCCAAACCCAAACGAACAATCAGATTCATTATACCACTCTGCGATATCTGGTTCTGGTTCAATGGTGTGCTAATATTGTTGCGTTCGACCAATGTCAAGATTAATTCCAACGATGACATGATAATGTTAAACTTGTTATCTGATAATATCCACATGTCTGTATTTTGTACTTGTAATAATGGTGCTACTCTTGGTATACATCCAGTCTCTCTAAAATAATTCTAAATATATAGTGGTAGTAGTAAGTATTAAAGGTCAAGGGTGTATTGATCAACCAATTTGGATAATAATTACTTGATTTGAAACATTTGATTTTAATAAATTGATCAATGTTTGAATACAATCATTTACAATGATTCCACCTTCAGATTGTCCTTCTTTGTTTATAATATCCAATAATACATCAAATGCTCCTTCAAATGCAACAATCTTTTGAATCTCTTGATTTGATTTTGTCAAGTTGTATAATACCAATATAATCTCTATAGAGTAAAAATTGATTATATTAGAATCATTACAAGTTGGGATATGTTATATATAAATTTAAATATATTTATATACTTTACCATTACGAACAACTTCTCTAGTATCACTCAATAATAAAACGATATTTGGAACAGACATTGGACACGATAGAATCAACTCTTGAACTGATTCAAAACGATTGTCAAGGACAACCTTTAAGAATCTAGCAATATAGTATCGAACATAGTAATCGTGTAGAGTCAACAAATCACACAACAATACAAATGTCTCTTTATCATTCAAGAATAACTCTGTATTATGAATTTGAATAATATTATCATCTTTCTACAATTCAATATATGTGTATGTTAATACATAGTCTTCTCTCTTCTATTTAAATGTTGATATTGATGTAACACATACTGGATGACAGGTCATTACACAAGTAAGAGTTTCAACTACATCTCTGACAACTTCAATATCATCTTTATATTTCTTTAAGAATGCTGTCAATACTGACATTTTAGATCCAACTGCCTGTAATAATAATAATATTAGTTAGTTAAACTATCATGTGAAAGGTATATATATATATATATATATATGAGAGTATATGTATATGTGCTCTAACATACTTGGAACCCATTTTTACCAACAGCAGTCAATTGATTGAGAGCTTGCTTTCTCTCGTCTGCTGGCAATGTCTCCAATGCAACCTTGTCAAGTAGACCCTCTGCATTGATGTTTGAAGTACGATCGACATTGGCGACTGCCCCAACTCCACGCATAATCGTTTCACGTGCATTACCACCTAGAAATCCTCCAAACCAACTCATACTGTATAACTTCTAAATGTGATTAATCCTATATAGGGTTAATCTAGGAACAATATATTACTAATAGAGTGAATGTATGATAGAGTGTAAAATATATATATATTAAAAAAAGTATTGAAGTTGAAGGTAATAAAGGGAAAAATCAAAAATAGACTACAATTTTTTTTCTTCATTCTCACCCAAACTGAGCACATCAAAAGAAAGCTCTCTGAAATTTTTTCCTTCAGTTATTTATTCATTATCTCAGTTTCATACAGATAATAATATTATAGATAGTTGTCGATTTTAAAAGGTAGGTTATATATATAGTATACTCACAAGTACAGAGATGTTGTCGACAAGAGTTTGTTTGTTTGCACAGTCATCATCATCATAGACTGCCGATTGATGATGATGATGATGATCACAATAAAGAATGATCATTCATTAGTTACAACCTTGCTAATCATTCTTTCTTTCTTTCTTTTATTATCCCTTTATATATAATATAGAATATATTTAAATATATATTTTGATCAAAAACTCTTTTAATCATATCTGTAGGTAAAATAAGAAGGAGGAGGAGGAGGATGTGTAGTTTGTGAGAGAGGTGAACAACAAAAAAACTTTGTGAAAACATGATCATACTTTTCTCTATTTATATGTATTCATTATAATACTGTGTACTAATTTAGTTATTTCAATACATTTCTTCTTTCTATTCCTATTTCTAGAAAGGGTTCATTAAAAAGAAAGTATTTCTTTTATATTTATATTTGTTCACTTAAATCGAATTGGTTATTTCTTTATTGAAAGATTGATAAGTTCTCATCAACGAGTCATCACGATTATAAAGAAATCTCTACAACTACTACAACAACAACACAGCAACAAGCAATCAAGCAAGAGAAACACACCCGCAACAGCAAACACTACATTTATCTTTGATAGTTATCTTCTCTCAAGAGACAGTTGATAACGTACACAAGAGAGCAAAGCACAATATATATGTCAAACACATCCAAGAACAACAACAACAAAGATCATGAAGCACCTTTAAATAACACTTCTTCTCCCTCCTCAACTCAAGGTGGAGGAAGAGGTGGTCCCCAAAACTATGCCCCACAGCAAATGAATGGTCACAATCCAAATTATAAACCAAGGTAAACTAAACAAAACTATATTATAAATTATATATATATATATATGATATCTGATCACTTGATTTACTTATACTTTTCATATTATGTTTAACGATATTATAATAACAATAATGGTGGTGGTGGCGGTGGATACCAACAACAGCAATATGGTCAACAACATCCTCGTCAACAACAATCGCCTGGAGGACCTCCACCACAGTTCCAACAACATGGTCAGCAACCACCCCAACTCCAACAACCACTTCCACCTGGCATCCAACAGCCACCCCTTCAACAACAACAACAAGGCCAACCACAACAAGGAGGAGGAAGAGGACAAAAAGGTGCACCACATTCATACTCCAACTCTCCACAACAACCACAACAACAACAACAACAACAACCTCAACAACAGGAACAACAACAAGCTCCACAACAATTACAACAACAACCACCACAACAACCAGCTCCACAACCATCTCACAAACAACCATCCCAACCACAACCACAGTCTGTTATCAACTCTACCATTCCACAACGAACACTGTCTGCTCCTCCATCACTCGAAGAGAGTGGGCCACACCACCCCCAAATGGGCAAGGGTGCTCCATTTGTCCCACAAAAATCAATGGGTGGTCCACCCATTTTTACCGTATGTGCAGATAGATAGATAGATAGATAGATAGATATATTTTGATTGTATTTAAAATCCATACTTAGACTTACTTTTCTTTTTATAATTTAGCCACAATATGCACCAGTAGGACCAGGCGGATATAAACAAAGACCACCATATCCAGTATATGGTGAACCAGTTTATGGAATGTACCAACCACCACCCGGAAATTACTATCCCGGACCTGGTTATGGCATGCCCATGCCAAACGACCAGTTTTACCCCAGTCAGATGATGCCTCCACCACACATGTCTACTCCACCCATCCCAGTTGCCAAGATCACTCAACAACCCAGAAAGGTATTGACGATTATCGACCCAACCACCAAGGCTACTGTCGACATTAACACCTCGCCACCAAAGCAACCACAACAACCACAGCCACAACAACAACAACAATCACCACAACAGCCACAACAACAACAAACAACTCCTCCAGTTGCTCAATCACCATCGTTTAGTTCAGGATCAAAGGGCTATCGTAACAAGAAACAGGAAAAGGAAAAGGCTGCTGAAAAGGAAAAGGCTGATTCTGCCGCTAGCTCGGTTGCATCATCAACTGATATTTCATCATCTTCATCAACACCTAGTAACGAACATGTTGAGCAAGTTCCAACTACTCCAACTCCAGCAGCAGCAGTTGAACAACCAAAGTTGGAAGAGGTCAAGCCAGTAGTTGAATCAACTCCAGTGGTAGCAGAAGAGATTGCAACACCAGTCCAATCTGAAACACCTGTTGCTGCCAACGTAGCAGATGATGTTAAAAAAGAGGAAACTACAAATACCACATCGGCAGCTGCCGAAGAGGGAGAGATTGTCGAACCGGCTGCTGCACCAGCAGAAGAAGAGGAAGAGGAAGAATGGGAAAAGAAGGGTGGTGACGAGCCAGTTGCCAACAGTTCATCGTCATCTTCCAACAACAATATCATTTTGTCGTCGTCTGGCACCAACCCATTTGCATCGCGTAGCAGCGGTGTCATTAGATACTCTAATGACGAGATGTGGAAGCTCCGTCCACAGCATATGGAAGCACGTCCAGAGCTCAAGGATCTCTTTGCAGGTGCTTCAGATCCAATGCAAAACAAGTATGGTCCACAAGGCGGCAAGCAGGGTGGTATGAACAAGTCTGGCAACAATATCAGTTTCTTCCCACCACAACCACAAGGCAAGATGATGGCCAAGAACCAGCCATTCAACAAGGGTCTCAACCAGAGCGGTGGCAACTATCCCAACAACCAAGGTGGAATGGGCAAGTTCAACCAGGGTGCCTATGCGCAGTACACCCAGTCCATCCAACACCAAATCCACAACCAACAACAGATGCAACAACAACACACCTCGCAGACACCCCCACATATCCACCACCAAGTGCCATCGGTGCAGTTGCCCGTCAGCGAGAACAGATGGGTGCCCACCAAGCTGTCGGCACTCAACGAGACCGAATTGCAGCTCCGTAAGACCAAGTTTATCCTCAATCGTCTTGCTCCAGAGTTGTTTGACAAGTTGTCCAAGGATTTGCTCGACCTCGGCTTCACCAAGCAAGAAAAGGTCTTTACCGGCGTCATCCACCAGATCTTTGAAAAGGCCATCTCAGAGGCCAAGTATGTCACCATGTACTCTAATCTCTGTAAAAAGATCTTTGAGTATGAACGTATTGAAAAGGAAGCCGACCGAAAGGTCCGTATCGAGCAACTCGAGAAACAACTCAAGGACGGCGAGATCGCCGAGATGCCCACCAACTTTGTCATTGACAAGGATTTCAAGCCAACCTTTAGAACGTTGCTGCTCAGTACCTGTCAAGAAGAGTACGAAAAGATCCAAAAGTTGTTTGAGAGCGGCGACGAATGTCCACCCAACCTCACACCACAAGAGATGGTCGACTGGGAGGAGAAGCAATTTATTCAACGTAAAAAGTTCTTTGGTTTGATCAAGTTTATTGCCGAACTCTTCAAGCAAGAGATGTTGTCTGAAAAGATTATCCACGCCATCTTGATTGCTTTGATGGGTGAGCTTGTCAAGCCACAAGAGATCAACTTGGAATGCTTCTGCAAGTTGCTTGCCCCAATTGGTGCCAAGATTGTGTCGCGTAAGGACCCAGAAGTCGAGAACTTTATGAAGGGCTACTACCAACGTATGGAGACCCTTATCCAGTCCCCCAACCTTTCACAACGTATCAAGTTCCTCATCCAAAACGTACTTGATCTCAAGGACAAGGGATGGAAACAAAAGCCAGAGGATCTTCCAAAGCCTGCCAAGGAAGAGCGTAACCTCGAGGAGGAACGCAAGCAGACCACCGGTGTCCGTTCCAACCAAAAGAACAATATGTTTGCCACACCCATGTCGTTTAACCGTCCCATCTCCAAGCCCGGTCTCAGCACGTCACCTGTCACTAGTATCAACCCACCCAACAAGTTTACGTCCAAGCCAGTTGCATCGGTTGCACCCGTCCCCTCGATGAACAATCCAAACCCATGGGGTGCCAAAAAGTCGCCTGCCAACCCACGTGCTGCCACCGCCACCACCCCCGCAGCCGCCTCCAAGGACAGTGCCTCGTCAAAGGCATGGGATGACATTCAAAACGCCTTGAACGACGTCGTCGAAGAGTATTTGGAAAATGGCGACAAACAAGAAATGGTCGAATGTATCAAGGACTATGTCACCTCGCCCGATTTTTACCCCAACGTTATTTCATTGTTTATCTCTTCAGCCACCGAACAATCAAATCCAAAGTCATTGATCGATCTTGTAGTATACTTGGTTCAAGATGCAAAGATTTTTACTTCCAATCAATTTATTTTAGGGTAATTAGAAAAAGAATAGAAAATTAGAAACAATATATTAATCTCTCTTTCTTTATTTTTATTTATTTATTTATACGTTTTTAGATTCGAAAAGTTTATTTCAACTTTACCAGATATTTTTGAGGATAGACCTGCAGCATACGAACCAATAGGCAAAATTTGTTACCATTTCTACAACTCGCAATTCATTTCACTTCAACAATTTTCATCCACACTTTCGCAACAGGTAGAGAACATAGAAGGATCAATGATATCAAAGATCCTCATCGAATTTATTAAAATGTTTAACGACACTGGCAAAGCTGTCCAAGCATTCAACAGTGCCGACCAATCAATCTCTACCTTTTATGGACAGTCTACAGATCGTACTGTTACCGACACTTTCGACAAAGCAAACCTTTCTTCATTCTTGAACCAGGTTAAATTTTAAATCATCATCCTTATATTGAAAAAACAGAAAACAAATAACAACAAATAACAACAACCAACTAGCACCACCAACATCACCACTGCAGAAATATAACAAAACAAAATCAAATTAAAACATTTTTCCGGAGCCAAAATATGTTTAATATGGTTTTTTAAAAACACAACAACTACTGTAATCTAACAATAAATTTAATTTTATTTATATATATTAAAATATACACATTTGAGCCTTTATTTCAAAATGAGGAGAAAAAATTAATTATTATTTATCCAATTGGATTTAATAATCTTGTAAAAGATACTATGTTTTCAGTTTGATTTAAAATTGAAAATTGGTAGCGTTGATATTGATGAGCAAGTGGGACCATATTATCCAGCCACACCATTAAATACTCAATCGATTTGTTGAGTTTGAGAGAAGAGAATAAATGTTGCATCAATATGATATGACATTGTCTAATCTTGTCGCATTTATCTGGAAATGCTGTTGCGCATGAATTGGTTGAGGATGAAGCTACTGAGGCGGCGGAGGCTGCTGATGCTGATGTTGTCGAATTACAAGAAAATGGTGGAGTTGCGAAATCTTCAAATTGAAGATCAAGTGATTCGATTGATTGATTCGATTGAAGTGCATGGAAAAGTGGTCCTGCAAGGTGATAATCTATATTTCTTAAACAAAGTCTTCGAATTGATTTGTTGTGCGTTATAAAAATGCCTAAATATTGTATATATGTCTTTGTACATTGGTGATTATGTTTACCATTAAATTGTTGTTGTTGTTGTTGTTGTTGTTGATGATGATGTTGACTGTCAATTTCCATTTGACAATTATCAATTTCCATTTTTGTTGAACAATCTTTTTGTTGTTGATCTTGTTGTTGCTCTTCAATGATTTGTTGTAAACTTAGTGATAATGATGTAATGGATGAATAAATATTTAAATTAATGTATGATAATATAACTGGAATGGTGATGTCTTCACCAAGAAGATTGAGTTTTGTTAAACTCGGACTGGTAAATGCAATCATTTCGGTACTCGGGTATACCTTGAGTGTAGTGAGTGTTGAACGAGTGTTGCAAACGTTGAGAAGGGTCTTGTCGACTTCAAATGGTAGTTGGAGTGACACTAGTTGCATGTTGGTGTGTGACAGGTACTTGGTGGCAGCTGCGTTGAATGTGTCTTCATCAGTCTCTGCCAGATACTCGATTTTGAGACATCGTAGTGTTTTAATGTTGGCTAGTTGTTCGAAAAAGATGTCGGGGCAACGGATGCGAACACCGCATATCGCCAGACGTTCAAGACACTCTGGTTTACTCTGCATCAAAAGCTTGGTGACACTAAATGAATAAGAGACAGTACCAAAATCAGAGAATCCAATCTCAAAGCTACGCAGTGTCTTTGAGAGACTGCAGACATAGGCGATGAGGTCGTCGTGTGGAATCATATTTTGGTGGAATTGGACTACAAGTGAAGTGATGGATTGTGGTAGACGGTGGATATGTGCAAATGGCTCGGATGCCTTGATGACCACCCTCTCCAACGTCGATTTGGCCGCTTCGATCAATCGCCAAGACAAATCGAGCGACTCTTCATGATGGAATGCAAATGTCGATTGGATCTCAATCGACTTTAAATTCTTGGACAACATTTCAATTGCCCATTCAATCCTCTTACTATCAATATTCCATCCATCAAATGAACAACATTTGTTTGAAACTAAAATTGAAGTGGTAGTAGAACTATTACATTGATTATTATTTATAGGTTGTTGTTGTTGAGGTGTATTTGTATTTGTTGATGAAGTACATCTAAACCATTGATTAAACTTGTGTAATAGAATAACCAATGATTCAATCTTTTTAGTTAGACAATATTTTGATTGTAAATGTTCGTATAGTATCAATGGTGTTTGTTGTTGTTGTTGTTGTTGTTGTTGTTGTTGTTGTTGTTGTTGTTGTTGTTGTTGTTGTTGTTGTTGTTGTTGTTGTTGTTGTTGTTGTTGTTGTTGTTGTTGTTGTTGTTGTTGTTGTTGTTGTTGTTGTTGTTGTTGTTGTTGTTGTTGTTGTTGAGCCAATCTTTCAAGACATTGTTGTTGTTGCTGTTGCAGACATTGTTGTGTCAATTTCTGTTGTAGTAATTCACATTTGGTCGATAGATTCAAGTGTCTATACAACATGGATGCATAGTAAAAGAATCCCTTTGATACCAAAGATATCGATAGTTTCCATCGCAATGTATTTCTTTTATCCTTCCAACAATAGGTAATGATATCTTTCATGAAATAACATGGAAATATTGAATGTTGTGGTCTATCATTATTAGTATTACAATTGTTGGTTGGGGTTGTTGTTGTTGTTGTTGTTGTTGTTTGTGGTATTGGACTACTCGTGTCAAAAGCAGATGAAGCAGAAGAGGCTATATTTGATATACCATTACTATTACTATTATTGATTATACTAATCATTGCATCGTTATGCGGAATGGGTGGAACTACTGTTGTTGTAAGTGTGAGTGTATTTGACATAATAATAATAATAATTATGTTAAACTATTATTATTATTAATTATTATTGATGAGATGATTCAGGTGATATATTGATATTGATTCAGATTTAGATATTATTAATTAACTGTAATAATACTTGTACAATATAACTTCCATTTATATATATAGATAAATTAAATAAATATATATATTGTTCTTTCTTTGTGTTTTGTTATAATAATTATGTATGTTGTTGTATTATGCTGCAGCTAGCTTATCTGTTTTGTGTAATTGAATTGTAACAATTCAATTGATAAACAAACCATCATTATTCTGGGGTCACTAGACACATTACACTGGAAGCAAACTCAGGAGCCTGTCTGCTCCGCTTCCGTCTCCTCAGCTGAACAAATATTTACGAGAACGTAGTTCGTGAATAGAAAAGAACAGAAGAGCCGGGTTAGAACGTCTCCACTCAAACAAAAATGAATTTTCGAATCTTTGCGTTTTTTTCCGTTCCAGAAAGCGACAAACACAGCACCAATCATCCATCTCAGTTTTATCCTCTGTCTCTGTCTGTGTAAGATCTTACTCCCGATCGTCTCTCGTCGTCGTCTTTATAAAGTTATTTGGTAGCAGGGATTATGATTGGACATGATATAGGAATAGATTCCTATAGGACATATGTTGTCTCCCAACTACTTTTTGAAAGGGAAATTATTATTATTATGATTATTATGAATAATTATTAATATTAGATAATTCTTTTTGCTCTATGTTTATTTATTTATTGCATAAAGGTTTTAGATGACTTAACGATTCTAATAAATTCATCAACATGTATTTGACCATCAACAATCTTTGCATCCTTTACCATATTATCAAACTAGATACAGAGAGAGAGAGAGAGACATAGAAGAGATAGGTTAATATTAATTTAAATTAAATATTGATTCCAACAACAACCAAAAAGGTTGTAACAAGTACTATCTATCTATCTATATTTATATCTATATTATACAAACCTCTTCCTTTGTTAACTTTTCACCGATACTCGTCAAAGTATGCTTTAAATCTTGTACATTGGCATAACCATTTCCTTTCTTGTCAAACACTTTGAATGCCAATTTAATATCAGCTTCAGAGTCTGAGAATTGTGTCTTTCTACCCATCAATTGTACAAACTGTTGATAGCCGACAAAACCACTGCCGTCGTCAACCTCTTTAATCATATCTTTGAGCTCTGCTTGTGTTGGATTGGATCCTACCGATCTCATGACAGTCCCCAATTCAGAGGTACTAATCTTTCCATCACCATCCTTGTCAAATAGGTTGAATGCATCTTTATACAATTGTTGTTGTGCTGCGTCTTCTTTGGCCTATTTATATATACATATGATAAATGAACAGATATTAGAGTTTGAACATCAATCGTCATCAAAGCAATCATCAATCAAACTCACCATGGTATATTCAGATCTAATCTCTCTCTCTTTTATATATATCTATTTACTAATAATGTACAACAAACTAAACTATCTAACCAACTATAATCTACACTTTAAAAAAATAATAATCAAACAATATAATAAAATGAACATTAATATTCGCAGCGTGAGTGTGTTCAAAGATTAATCTCGATTATTAGTTGGTGAAAAAGTCAACATTAAAAAAAGAGATGGATGCAAATATTATTATTATTACAAAGTAACCAACCAACTTTAACAACAACATTATTATTATTATTATTACTTTGTTGTTGGTGTCTTCTAAACTTATAAAGAAAATTGCTTTTGTTTTATTGATTCATAAACATCAATGTTAACATTTACTTTGTTGTTGGTCAAACAACCATCAACCAATCTTTGCATCCTTTATTTCTATCGTTTTTGTTGTTGTTACCTCAAACAGACTTTGCATTGACTAAAGAGAGAGAGAGAGAGATCGATTGCATCGGATTACATTGGTTTTAGACTTTAATGTTTTTCGGGTGTTGTCCTCAAAGTTCTCTCGACTCTCGACAACCGAATGCATAGAATATTCTCGATCCAAATAGAGCTTTTTGCAGAATACAAAAGCTACCCCTAACTTTGTTTAAAGTATTTGGTGGACTGTGTTTAAAGAGAGAGAGAGAGATATATAAATTATCTATATGTACGACTATAACGATGATGATAAAGATACAGACGAGGAAGAAGAACAAGAAGAACAAGATGGAATCATATTAAATTCAATCAATGTCACTGCTGGTGATGATCAAGATAATGATACTGATGCAATGTTGTTACACCATTCATCATCACTACTTGATCAAGAGGAAGAAGAAAAAGAAAAAGAAAAAGAGGAAGAAGAAATTGGTTTAAATCAAAAAAAGAATAATAATAATAATACAACAACAACAAATATTGATACGAATAATAATAATAAGACACCATGGTGGTGTTATGTTGTTTTATTATTTGCATTGTTGGCAATGTCGTCATCTGGATCGGCACTGTCAAAGATTGATGCACCACCACTACTCAAGGCTAGTTGGAGATTACAATCGACTAGCATCATTCTGTTTTTTGGCTTTCTCTATGACCTCAATGCAATCTATCCAGTGACCAATATCAACCCATTCACAATGTTGGCTCGTAAACTCTACCATCTATTGGTCAAGCAGTACCACCTACTGGACAAGTACCACGCAATTGCACTTTTCCTCTTGAATTGGTCGGGCACACCAAACCAACCGTCACTCGAACAACAACGACTCGATCAAAAGGAGACAAGAGACAGATTCTTTTCAAAAAAGACTATTGGTCTTCTTGGTGCCACTGGTATCATTCTCGGACTCCATTTTGGGTTTTGGGTTAGTTCATTATCCACAACATCACTTTCACATTCGTTACTATTTGTAACATCTTCACCTATTATGATTGTTATCATCATGTTGGTCACTCGTAAACCAATTTCAAAATTCGAGGTCATTGGTTGTATCATTGGTTTTGTTGGTTTAATTGTTACTCTATTTGATTCTTTATTTTTAGATAATGATAATGAATCATCATCTTCTTCATCTTCCTCATCTTCATCTTCATCTTCTCTATCTGAATCTTTAACAAAGGTATGTCATACATCCATCCATATTTAAAAAAACAATAATTAAATATTAATATTAATAATAATTAATTAATTTATTTATTTATTTATATATTTCTAGTCACCAACATTATACGGTGATTTATTAGCATTATTGGGAGCATTTTGTATAGTTTTTTATTTATTTGCAGGAAGTAATCTTAGATCATGGCTGTCACTCTATCTCTATGTATTCCCAGTCACTTTTATAGGGTCTGTTTTCCTGACCATATCATCACTCATCTTTGAAGATGCATCCGATTATGGAGGTGTGTTTGGGTGGTTTAGACCATCTTTTATTTGGCTGACTCTTTATGTAGCAATCTTCCCAGGTATCATTGGTCATACTGGTATGAATGCCATTATTAAATATATCGAGCCTGTTGTTATTTCAGTCACACTTCTTCTGGAGCCACCCATTGGAACGCTGATGGGTTGGTCTGTCGGTGTCAGTGATGTCCCCGGTCTCTTTACATTCCTCGGTGGTCCCATTGTCATCTTTGGTTGTGTTATGGTGACTCTAGCCAGTTACAAGAGAAACAAATTAGAGACTGAAAGACAAAAGAAACAACAATTAGAAGAAGATAATCAAAACAACAACAACAACAGTAACGACCATATCGATATTATGGACCAACAACAAACCACTACAGTTGTACAAGAACAAAGTAGTGATTACATAGCTTTAAATTCATTGGATTCTTTAACTGCCATTGACTTGGAAAATAATCTAAAACTATTAGAACCACATGAAGAAGAATAAACTAAAACAAACAAACAAACAAACAAACAAATAAACAAATAAATAAATACACGCACTTTAATCCTTTCCATTCACCAACCCATTCCCTTTCCCTCCTATCGTTTGCCAAAACAATGGATGACGGATGATGCATTGGTAAAAAAATAAACTGTTGTTGTCGATTCCCTGGGAACATGACGTTGAGTATCGACTGTCATCCACTCTGCTCTACTCTTTCTTTCTTTGGTGGTCAATCACTTTAGTCAATTACTTTGATCAGACAACAGGCGGTGGACGGAAGAGAGAGTGGTTTGTGAAGATAGGTCTGGAACTCGTTGAACCGATTCAATCTTTGAATGTATATATACAATGTTGTTTGTCGTTTGAGACCATGAAAAATTAATAAAAAAAAACCAGAAGCTGATCTTTCACTCTCTCTCACAAACGTAACCACTGGCTGTGCTTTCTTTTTTTTTATATGTTTGTGCTTGGAAAGGAATAGGATAACAATCATTATCTCACCACCATCTTTGGATTTGACATTATCACCATCCAATTCTATATACCGGTATGTATCTTTTATTACTCCATCGTTTGTGTACTGCTGTATATAGTTTGTGCAAGTGGGGGGTGGCAAGTTGACTAATCAAATCAAATCACAACCAACAATCTATGATCATCGAATCGCATTCGTTCACTGTCATCACATCCATTCAAACTCTATTGCTGAGATCATCATCATCCAATAGGTTGTCAATGTTGACAAACTGTGTTGTTGTCCAACCAAACAAGCACCCATCCCATCCTCCATTCACTCATTCATCCAAACATGTAAATGAGAGATCTTTGATTTACTCAAAACTCAAATATTTACTTGTGCACTCTACTTTCCCAACAACGAGACATGAATGACATCTCCAACCTGTTGTTGGTTGAGTAATAGTGCATGTCACCTGCCGACTATGGTAGGATATTATATATGGCTGGCTTTATTTGTGTGATAGATAGGGAGGGCTGTACCCGGCACTCCACTCAAACATTTCCTTGTTCCTTTCCTTCTTCTCGTCGTCGGTCTCACCCTCTCTCTTTCTCTCTCTCGCGAGAGGATGCATCAGACCAAATAGAATAATTTTTTCAATTTTTTAAAATTTTACAAAACAGGAGAGGTGAGACATGACAGAGAAAAAAGACGATCCTGTCATCTCCAATTTTTTCCATTAATTCAATAGGTTGTTGGCACCACCCGTTATTACAGTCCAACAGTGATAGCATAGATCACTTCATACCACCAGAGAGTACAGTATCAACAGCATCACCAACAAACACAGCAGCAACCATTCAGACAGTTTCCACCAACCCATTACACAACAATACACGCATATCATAGCAGATCTCTGTTGTTGCGAGATAGATCTACACCAACTCTTTATTATCAGTCACTTTTTATATTGTAGTTAGCAGATGTGGTGCTGCTTGGCATATTGCGTCACCGTAGACCGTCCATCATCCATCACCTACCCTAATAATCGATATTACACAATTCCACCTTTTTCCTTCCCTCTCATTATATATAGTTTTTTTTTTTGATAGGCGATCTCCTCATCCTCACATAGTATCGTTATTTATTATATTTGGTTTCATCTTCTTCATTTTAATTGGGTGTGGATGCGGCAGTAATGATTGACATTGATTCGATACCCACATGTTGTCCTATCTTCCACACACCGCATGTACGCTTCCAGGTGTCACCATCGTATCTCTCATTTCATTTCATTCCTCCTTTCATAACCAACAGCCACACACAGATTTTTTTTTTTTTTTTTTTTGTCTAATTAATTTTTCATCGACTTTTTTGCAACGACACCATTGTTCCTCCCTATGAAACTAAGTATAAGTACTTATGACCATTATAATAATGGTTGTTTGTGTGTATGCATGCATCCTATCGATGTATATATTAGATTCATTTGAACAACAAATAATTGAGATAGGCTCTTTATTATTTATTATACCGGTACTGGTTGTTGAAGGACATCCTTCCATTTCAAAGATCGGATTCCAAGGAATCCTTTCCTTCCCACCAACTGTTGGTTGAATATTCGAGTCGTCGCCAAAAAAATACGGTTTTTTTTTTAATTTTTTTTTAATTTTAATTTATTTATTTTTTTGTTTGCAAAAAAAAAAAAGTTGGAATAACATGGAACATGTTAAAACTGGAATCTAGATCTGTTGACAGGAAAAGTTTTTATCATTATACAAATAATAGTAGTAGTACCAGCAAAACAACAACTCTTTTTAAAATTTGTTTATTTTTGTTATTAGTACTCTTTTTTATTATTTATTTAAACTTGGTAACCATCCACATCCACATCCACATCCACACATCGCATACTCATTCCAGTTAACATCCATTCCATTCCATTCACAAACATACAAAAAAAAACAACAACAATTTGGATTGTTTATGTCTTTTTAAAACAATATATTTATATATTATATTATAATATATTACAATCAACATTTATTTACATTCTTGTTATAATATCATACCCATTCCTGTTTACTAACCAACCATTATTTTTTTTTTTTTTTTTGTCACAATAGTAAATTTTTTTTTCCCTTATTTAGAGATTTGTATAATTAATTAATTAATAGAAAGAAATAACCTACCTATCATATAAATAGTAATAGTAATAGGATTATACAATCAATCAACCAATATCAAATAGATTTATCTTCTACACACTCGATTATTAATTCCAATCAAAAAAAACCAACCAACAATCAAACCAAACCAAACCAGTTTATATATATATATATATACAACCATACATTTTCATAACATACTACACTTAGACTTAGTTATTGCATGGAATCATCACCAAAACGAACAACTATATTAAAATTTGTAACAAAAGGAAAAGGATTTGAATCGGTACCGGATACCACCACCAAAAACAACAATAACAACAACAATAATAATATGGATAGTAGTTCACCTGCAATGCAAAGTACTAATACATCATCACCCAATATCACCAACTTGAGTAGTCGTCCACCAGCCAACACCTCGTCGCCGGCCAACAACAACACCATAAACCTCATAGACAACGATATCAATATGGACGACGACATCCAAACTACTACCAGTACTACAAGTACTACAAGTACTACCAACAACTCTACGAATAATAATAATAATAATAACGCAAAACAACCGAGTACACCATCAACACCAACAGTTGTGCCACCTAGACGTGCAGCACCACCTCCACTAGACGAAAACGCAGACGAAACAGACGATGATCTATTGTTGGACGAATATCCATCCGACGAAGACGACGAAATATATCCAGAAGATGCCAAGTCTCGAAGAGGAGGAGGCCACAACCAGAACCACCAACAACAAACATCGCCACAGGGTGACAAGGTAGCACGTCAAATCAAACGTGTACGTAAATATGCCGACGAAGAGGAAGAACAGAACCAACAAGCACTCGGCACACCCAACCAACTCGGACAAACTCCACAAACCCCTCAAACTCCAGGTGCCTCTGGAGACAGACCAGCACCAAACGGTCGTGGTCGTCCCAAGAAATACGTCCCACAAGACGAAGAAGATGATCCAAATGATCCAAACAATGAAAAGAAAAAGAAATCAAAGAAAACTCCTCCCAATACTTTAGATGTAAGTAAAAGATATATAGTAAATTAAAATAGATATATAGATATATATAAATACACAAATATTAATTAATTAATCTATTTGTTTGGTTATATTTTTCTAGATTCGTCCATGTTGGTTTGCAGGATGTACAAAAGCAGATAGATCATTGAAAATCCTTAGACCTTGTTTAATTCCAACATGTAAAACTCATGCTATCAAGTCTGAATCTAGAATTTATGATGCTCTTGGTAAAGGTGTATGTATACTACTATACTTTAGATTAATAGTAATGAGATGAATAAGAGAGAGTATTTATTTATATTAACTTTTTGTTATATTTAGTTTTGTTTGGAAGAACAAGGACAAAAAGATACGGTTTGTGGTATTTGTGGAGAATCGAATAAACCATTGTCTCATTGTGCCAATGATGAATGTGCATTTGGGTATTGTCCACCATGTACAGAGATTATTGTGAGCAAGCATGGGAACCAGCCAGGACGTCCAGGATGGATGTGTTGGGTATGCAACTTTGTCAAGATCAGAGGCAAGGAACGTGAGCGTACGAGATGGGTGAGGGAGGTGTCTCAACCAAACTCTTACACACCAGGTCCCCGTAAACAACGTGTGCCCAAGGCGGCACCAGAGGGCAACACGTCTGGAGGAAACGAAGGTACTCCATCACTGACTGGCAAGCGTCAGAGAAAGGGTAAGCAGAACATGGCCGGTATGGAGGGTGAGTATGACTTGGCTGCTACAGCTGCACCCGGTGGCAGCGGTACACCCAACAACAACGCTGCTCCAGCACCAGCCAAACGTGGTCGCAAGAGACTGTACAACGCCGACCAGGGACAAGCTGACACTACCTCGGTACCAGCGTCACCAGAGCAAGGTGAGAATGGAGAGTTTGTGTACCACTCGATCATGTCGCCGGAACGTGAGTCTCTGGGTCCCATCGACTCGTTTATCGAGGCGGCCTTCAACTCTATCAAATTCTTTAATTCGATTCTCAAGAACCAGAATGACGACAACTTGGCCGAGCACTTTAACGGGCTCGTCACCATGATCAGCCGTCTTCGTACGATCCGTTGGTCCAACGACTACCAAATGGTGTGGAGTGCCATTGAAGAGCTCGGTATGCTATTCAAGCGTAACCTCGAGTCTTCTCAAACCATCCTCTCGATGCAAGGCGAGATCAAGGAGCTCACCGACGGCGCCATCCGCGACACCAACAATGGCAACCGTAATCTCCCACTCGAGCGTGCCATCTCGCGTGTCTTTGAACACCACGAGTTGTCCAACCGCATCGAAAAGGAGTGTACGGCCACCCGTAGCATCCTCGTCATTGCCATTGACAATGCCATGAAGGCAGTCGAGGAGATGCAGGCCCGTCTTCGTCTCACGTTTGACGAAGACACCAAAAAGGAGGTCCGTATCTCACACGAGCTCGTCTCGCTCGAAGAACAACTCTCCAAGACCATCGTCGACGTCCAACGTCTCAAGAACCAAGAAGACGAGCTTGTCGAGAAGCTCTCGGCCGTTCGTAACCAATTGGCCACCGTAGACGGCCACCGTGAAGCCCTATCCAAACGTTGCAGTGACCTTAAAATCGAAGCCCTCCTATCTAAAAATGAATTGGCTGAAAGTGAATTAAATGCAAAGGTTAAAGAAGCTACATTGGATAATGAAATGAATGCTCTTCATTCTTTAATTGGGTAAGTTAACAACAAAGACAAAGATATATATATATTTTTTTGAAAAAATAGGTTTCTAACTTGGAGTTTTTTTTTTTTTTTATACTTTTTTGTTTACTTTTTTAGATTGATTGAAGGAGTATTTTGGGGACACGAATACTTTTATTGTACAGAGATTGGTGAATGTGAAAAGGCAATCAGTGAGAAATTGGCATCACACAATGAAAAGATTACATTCAAGAATGATATCCCATTGGCTAGTGCTTTGAAGAGCGGTATTCAAATCCAATCACTCAAGGAGCTTCAACCAAACAACAACAATGTGTTGGCTACTAATACTTCTGCCAATGGAGATGTTAGTGCTGGTGGGGAGACAGAGGGATCGGATGATGTTGTCAGCTTTGTCAACCCATTCAAGACGCTTTGTATCTACCACAACGCGTGTATGGAGCATAATGTGCCCGATTTCCATTTGGAGAAACCCGATCGTATCCGTGTGGCCGTGTCGACCATCCAAGAGTTTGTGAATCGTTACCCTGGCATCGTCGAGATATTCAACACACCACCCGAGATTGAGCAACGTTATGTGATGGCCGTCCACGACGCCCACTACATCCGCAAGCTCGAGACGTCGTTGCCACCAGAAAACTCGGATTACGAGACACATTTGGAGAGCGATAATACGGGAGCGGCCGTAGCAGTCACGCAAAAGGAGGGAGAGGACGACGAGATTTACGATACGTTCTTGTCGCATCGTTCGATGAAGGCGGCACTCAGAGCAGCCGGCGCGGTGTGCTCGGCCGTCGACTCGGTCACCAAGTATGGCTACCACAGAACATTCTGTGCCGTGCGTCCACCCGGCCATCACGCCGGCAGATACGGACGTACCGCCGACGCCCCCTCCCAAGGGTACTGTCTCATCAACAATGTCGCGATCGGCGCCAAGTACGCGTCGCTCACCTACGGCTACCAGCGTATCGCCGTCGTCGACTTTGACGTGCATCACGGTAATGGCACGCAGGAGATCTTGTCGGGTGACGACAACTTCCTCTTTATCTCGATCCATGTGTGCGACGAGAAGCGTTATTTCTACCCGGGCACCGGCAAAGACTACTCTGAGATGCGCGAGGACGGCTCGTCCGAGGACAACATCCTCAACGTCGGCTTGAAGCGTAACAGCGGCTCCAACACCTTTTTGCAGGCGTGGACCAAGAAGATCATCCCGCGTCTCGAGGCGTACAAGCCGCAACTCATCTTCCTCAGCGCCGGCTTTGACGGCCACAAGGACGACCCCACCAACGGGCTCAAGCTCGTCGAAGAGGACTACTACACCATCACCAAGATGATCAAAGAGGTCGCTGCCAAGTACTCGCGTGGCCGTATCATCTCAGTGCTCGAGGGTGGCTACGGTATCGAGCGTACCAACAGTTTACAGCGATGTCTCAATATGCATCTCAAGGCACTCGTCGAAGACTCCAACAGCGAGATCCTCTTTAACCAGGCTGCCTCGGGCGACTTCTCGCTCATCAAAAAGCTCTACAACGGCTCGGCTGTCAGCACCATCCGCGACCCCAACAAGGTCGGAGACATAGAGTCACTCAACTACTACGACTCCATCTCCAAAGACTTCCAAAAGGAAAAGGCCGCTGAACAAGAGCGTTTCGAGCAACACCTCAACACCACCTCCTCTCAACTGCCATCCTCTTCACCCGCATCACCATCAGATGGTAATAATATCAATAATACCAGTGTCAATAGTAATGCTACCGATCGCGAAATGACCGATGTCACCACCACCTCTACAACCTCAACTACCACAAATAATAATAATAATACAACCGATCAACAACAAACAAATACAACTCAAGAAAACGCCAACAACAACAATGGAAATGATAGTAATGTTTTAAATACCTCTTCACCAATTTCCAATGATCAATAATCATCGTTCATATGATAGATACATCCTTTTTTTTAATATATATAATCAATCTTATTTTTCATTAACCAATATCATATCCTCTTCTTTTACATGTAAATAAATTAAAAAAAAACAATTAACAATTATATATACATCAGCTGGGGGTGGGTTGTTCCTTAGAAGAGTGGTAGATAGATGATAGATAGATAGACAGATAGATAGATAGATAGAGAGATAGATAGATAGATAGATAGATAGATAGATACCAAAACAGGCCATTTGTGTTAAGTGTGGTCATTGTTTGAATAAATTAATTTTGAATGCATTTAATGAATTGGATTGTAACTCCTCTTTTGGTATTGAATATTAAAAGTATAAGAGTACTCTTTTTTGACAGATAATATTTGTAATAATAGTAGTAATATTAAATGATGAGTAATAATAGTAATAATAATGATAATAGTGATAATGATGATGGTACGGGATTAGACCCACCTTTTGATAAGGATCATAGTATAGAGTTGTATCATGATGGATTCTACACTAAACTAAGTAATGGTGTAACATTCTATCAATTATTTGAACCACAACTATCTACTACTACAACTAGCTCAGTAGATGCTGAACAACAACAACAACAACAACAACAACAACAACAACAACAACATAAATATACACCAAGATTAATTAGAAACTTAAATGATAGTACTAGAAAGAAGAGTGGTACTAAAGTAGTATTATGTCTACACGGTTTGGTATGGTGGTCTGTATCTTTTAATCGTTTAGTACAACCTTTAATAGATCAAGAATTTACTGTTTTATTGTTTGGTATGAAGAGATATATAGATAGATAGATAGATAGAGACTAATTTGTATTATATTTGTTTATTTATTATTATTATTAGACTTTTATGGAAGAGGTAGAAGTGAATCACCTGATATACCCTATTCGATTGATAATCTATTATTACAAGCATGTGAATTGTTGGATCGTTTAAAGATAGAGTCTGTCTATTTGATGGGTTATTCGATGGGTGGAGCTGTAGCAACTCAATTTGCAGCTACTCATCCACAACGTATCATCAAGTTGTGTTTGTTGGGTCCTGCCATCATCCCAGTTCCAGTACCTCTTATTGCTAAAATCATTACAATGCCATACATTGGTAAATTCCTATTTAAAATGGTTGGTGCCAATACAATGTTGAATCGATTGGAAACGTAAGAGACAAAGAGACAGAAAAAGAGAGAGAGATATACTCACACCAAATATTAAATACTAACAATAATAATATTGATTGGATTGAACTGACTTATTATAGTGAGAGATTTGCAAGTGATATAGCAGACAGTTCGAAAATCGATCCAAAGGTAATCGATGATTTGGTTGCCAAGGTTAAATGGCAAATCACACAAAAGCCTTCCTTTCTCGATGCATTCCATTCCACACTATACAACATACCGTTTTCAAGTGGATTACTTCATCTACTACCTCATATTCCATCAAATATTCCTGTTCTTGTTATCTTGGTATGTGGTGTATTACTTACTACCAACCACCTTAATTTGTGTATATGTACTAATAATAACTTTCCATCGTTGATCAATTGATTATTTGGTTGTTGTATTTATAGGGTAAAAAAGATTTGGTCATTCCAGTTGGCATCGCCGAACCAACTCTCAAAAATAACCTCCCTCAAGCTCGTATCAAGGTTATTGACTGCGGGCATGCTTTCACAGTGGAAGTTCCCGATGTCACTGCCAATCTAGTAACCTCTTTTCTTTGCGAATAATCATATTAATTATTGATCCTGTGTACACAAACGCACACACATGGGCTACGCAATCATCACTTCTTGTTTTCTTATATATATATCCTCCTCCTACTTTCCGTTTTTAATATATTTATTAATATCCTTCCCATATAATATCCTCATTTTACACCCAATCAACAACCAAAACCCAACAACAAACCAACCAACAACACCAATCGTATACATATTGTACGTTTGTAATACCAATACTAAACTACATTTTTTAACCCTGCCCATTTCATTGTATGTTGCCATCCACTTCTAATACTACTACTACTACTGCCACTACTTAATTCCCAATAACAATCAGCAAGTACCCCTCACCATACCTGAACATCATGGTTGAAGTGTGGTAGGATGGCATTACCAACTTTATACCCCAACAAAAAAAACAATGTCCCCCCAATTTGTTTTTTGTCGTTCAACGGATACTTTTCCACTTTTTTTGGAGGGTAAACGTTCAGGTTTGAAATGATTGCAACTGTAATCAACAACAACAAGGCGACAACAACAATATCAACAACAACAACAGTGCAACAAACAAAACAACAACAACAATCAACAACAATAGTACAACAACAACAATATTGTTGTGGTAGGGTCGGGGTAATCAACAGTTGTTGTTGGTTGTGGCGACAACACTACCACCCACCTCTTGTATATAATAAAACTTTTTTTTATATCTTCATACATAGATCCTTCAAAGCGATATCACTACTACTACTGTTCTATGTACCCTTGGGTTACGGATGGTTGAAGGAGGGTGAGGGTTAGGTTCCCTTGTTGTACGGTGATCACAATCATTTGTTAACAATACAATGTTGTAAATCCAATTCTCCTCTTCTTTTTACGAATGATAATTAAATCTTTCCAGCTGCCACAAAAATAACAACAACAACAACAACAAAAATCTGTAGTAATTTATGAACTTTGCATTGTTGCTTATTTCATCAACATCATCAACCAATCAAATCCAAATCTATCCATCCATCTCTCCAACAATCAAATCTTTAATATAATCTTGAATATAACCATCCAGTCTTGAACACACTACACTTTTGGTTACCACCACTATAACGACTTGTCGACCCCGTCATCATCTTTCCAACAAAACCCACACACAAAGCTAACTGCTGGGTTTTTAAAGAGTGCAACCCCCCGTTCCACAAGTAACGAAAGGTATATTTACAAGCTTATCGAAAGGGAGATTATGATTTACCCAACTAGATACAGACTCTAACCTTCTCTTACCAAACTAACGACTCTAAACTAATTTAGACATCCAACAATTACAATTGTTTCCGCAAAAGGTGAGAAGAAGGCGTTGTTGGGTATTGACAACAAGGTTGTGGTCTTGAATCTCCCCGTTACCAACAACATCTTTTTTTACCCCAAAATTTGGAGGGTAAATTTTAAAGTAATTAAAAAAAAAACCTTCCTTTCAAAGGGCCAGCCCTCTCTCAATCAAAAAGGATCACAACAAGCCTCCTCCAACCCATTTCTAAATCACAACTACTCAATCAATCATTTTGATAATAGATATAAATATACAAATAAGATAGGATAGATAGATAAGATAGATAAGATAGATATACAATTAAGATAGTTTAATCAAACAGATAGATAGATAGATAGATACAACTTTAAACAAATAATTAAAAGTAACAACAATAACAATAACAATAACAATAACAGCAAGTGCAACTTCAAAAAGGTCGTTCTCTCAGAGAGATATTTTTAAAATTCAAAAAAATTTGGGAGGCGCCCTTTGGAACCGACTGACCTGTTGAACTTCAAGTTTGAGAGGGTCCATTAAAATCGTTCAGTCACCTATCAACACTATTTGTTTTGATTTAAAGTTGATTTAAATCAACTAGGAAGAGGAACCTATAAAAACCAGTCATGACCAACATTCATCATTCAAGCAGCTCTCCTAGCTATCAAGTCTCTTTAGTGTCTCTCTCCTCTGCGTCCTCCTCCGAGCCTCTCCTCCTCAGCCACGGCCATAGCCATAGTAGCCACAGCCATAGCCACCGTGACCACTCTGCCTTTGTATCTAATAGTAATAATAGTAAAGAGCAAATAGTACCACATCAGCAGTCTACTTCCTCTTTCCCTTGCACCACCACACCCGCATCACCAACTTCACCCACACTACGACCGAACCCCACATCTCGTAGTAAAACCTCAACCTCAACAACAACGACAACGTCGACTACCACAAACAACTTAAATATTAATAGTAATAATAATAATAATAATAATACTAATATTGTAAATAATAATAATAATAATAATAATACAGATAATATAAAGGAAGCTCATAGTATAGTAAAATACATTGCATCAACACATAGTAATAATAATAATAATAATAATAATCAACCAAATCAACATAACCAATCTATCAATTCAAAAGTTAGAAGTCCCTGTAAATACACATCATTCAATCACTCATCATCTTCATCTATTAATCATCGTTCACAAAGTACTCAATTATTGAATAGTACTCAGAGACGTCGGTTTAACAATAATAATAATAATAACAGCAACAACACTAGTAATAATAATAATCTATTTAATAACAATACGATGGTATCTTCAACTGAACCTCTATCACAACCAACATGTTGTCTATCCAGTGACATGATGATGTTGGATATCATTGACTCTTCTTCTTCTTCTCGTCCATTGCCAATGATTGACAACAACAACAACAGTTGTGTCCAACAATCGTCTTTGTCAAGTAGACCAACCACACCTCAAAAATCGGTTCCATTGAGTGAATGTCCAGGCGCACCCAAAAAGAAGTGTCGATACTCTAAATCAAGATTAGGTCGTTCTGTTCCAAGAGTCTTGTTCCCTTCGTCATCATCATTATCCTTGGTACCATCACCATCACTAATTGACACCAGCCAATTTAGTTGTTTACCAACCTTTTCATCAGATTTATTAAATTTACTTTAATTCATCCATCCATCGATCCATCCATTAATTCACAACCAAACCAAATCAAATCAACCAAATCAAATCAAACCAGCCAAATAATTGTACATTTAAATTATATTTATAATAATAATAATAATATTAATAATACCATGCATACTTTCATAATGTAAATAATTTAATTTCCTCAATCAACCAACCCAACCAATCAATCACCTCCATAATAATAATCAACATCAACAATCAAATACTAATCCCAAATTGAACTCTAACTCAAACTTGTTGTTAATCAAATAAATATTCATTTAATTTATTTAAAATAAATTTATTCATACTTCTTTTAATTTAAGAATTCCTCTTGTAAGTTTATCGATTTTAGTATTTTCATTCACTCCAAATTCATTGATTTCTAAAGATAGATATAGACGTTATGGAAAGTCAATTTGTATGTATATGTATATGTATATACATTGATTGATAAAGTAGAAGATGACTAATATAAAAGTATTTATATGTAGAAACGTAAAGAATATGATAATCAACAGCAACAAGATGATAGTCAACTATTAAAGAAATATAGTAAATTACTTGAAGAGGCTGATGAAGCTGATGTATGTTACATAATACATTAAAGGGTTATACTATATCCTATTATACTTATCACTACATTTATCTCTCTTCTTATATTAGTTTGAAGAATTGAATCCTACTACATTAAAAAAGATGGTATTATCATTTGAAAAGAAGTTTTCTACCAATCAAGATCAAAGATCTAAATTTAACAATCAACCTGAAAAGTAAGTATAGATAGAGCAATATATTGTAACCATACGAATAGTACTATTATACATATATAATAACACCTTTTTGATTATAATATTTAGATTTATGCAAAGTGAAATTGAATTGGATGAAGAGATAAAGAAACTTCAAATCATTGCAACAGCACCTGAATTATACCCATTATTGGTTAAATTGGGTACAGTTGTTTCATTGGGATCATTATTGGATCATGAAAATGTAGATATAACTATTGATGCGATCGATCTATTCAATGAATTGGTACAACAAGAACAAGAGGCAGAGGAAAAGGTATTGATTCACGGTCTATTGGAGAATGGTGTTTTGATTGGTTTCGTACAGGCACTGTCTTCTCGTTTACAGACTGCCAATCCAGATCATAAACAAGCGATTGAGAGTGCACTCGCTATCATTGAAATGTCAATAGATGCCATTCCAACAGATGTGTCTCAATCGTTGATTGAACATTCAAATATATTCCAATACTTTTTCTCGGTCATTAAATCAAAGGATGCACCTCTCTCTCTTAGGCTCAATTGCAGTGAACTATTATCAATCATATTACAAGACAATGAAAAGGGAAGATATGTATTTGGTAAAAAAGATGGTATAGATAATTTATTAATCATTATTTCAGTATGTACAAAGTAGTAGCAGTAGTTAATATCAATCAGTCAATTATACTAACTTTGATTTGATTTGATTAGCAATTTAAAAAGAAATCACCAGAATCATTGGAAGAGACAGAGATGATTGAAAATTTATTTACAAGTTTGTATTCATGTTTATTCGATCAATCAAACAAGAATATATTTTTAAAATCAGAGGGTATTGAATTAATGTTATTAATCATAAAGTATGTAATGTAAACTGGCTGGCGTCATCCAATCCAGATCGAGCAAGAGATGATGATGATACTAATATTTTATAATTTATTTATTTATTTATTTGTCTCTAGAAATAAAACAACACTTAGAGGATCAGCACTAAAAGTATTGGATTACGAATTAAATAATCACAAAGAAAGTAATCAGAAATTTGTTGATGCATTGGGATTGAAAACATTGTTTTCATCATTAATGAAGAAATTAAAACAAAAACATCAATCTAAAAAGGAATACAAGAAAATTTATAATCAAGATCAAGATGAAGGTAAGGAGGGAGGAAAGATAAAAAAAAAAAAAAAAGAAAGAATAACTTTAACTTAATATTTATTTCAATTTATTTCTATTTATTTAGAACATATAATTATTATACTTCAATCATTATTTAGTCAATTGGATAAAAATAGATTAGAAAGATTACTTTCTAAATTTACAGAAAACAATGGTGAAAAAATAGATAGACTTTTTGAATTGTTTGAAAAGTATAATAACAAGGTCAAGAATGCAGAGGATAAAATCAAAAAGGAAATTTTAAACAGAGACGAAGACGATGATGAGGATATCGACGAAGATGAAATCCTATTACAAAGAATGGATGCAGGATTATTCAAGTTGCAAAATATTTGTTTGATTATTTCTCATCTTTATGGTCAACAAGATAAAATGGTATGGAAAAAATAGACAGACTAGATAAATTTATCTAGTACGAGTACTAATTACCCTCCCTCTAGTTTAAAGAAAAAATAGAAAATATTGCCAAAAAAGATGGAAAACGATTGTCACTAGATATAATCAATGTATTAAATGGTATGAATGAAAGAATGTTTATAATGGATGGTTAATGAATGAATATTGATATAAAAGTATACATATACTAATCACTGTTGTTATTATCATCGTTGTCTATACAGAATACAAAGGAACAATCGATATCGATTCCAATGAAAACAAAAGTCAAAAAGAATTGGTCGAACGATTGACCGATGGATTATCCAAACTCTAATTATGGTAAATTTTGACAAAAAAAAAGTGGAAAGAGAGAGAGAAAAGTCAGTATGTACATAATTTCATTAGCACCTCTATTCAATCAAAATACAACTGAACAGTAATAATAATAGTAATAATAAATCAATACGGGAAATTGATTGATTTGAACTCGATTATGTGGTGTCCACAAGCTTCCTTTTTCAGGTATCACCACTACTTTTCCCAAATTCAACCATCATCCACCAAAATGTTTTGAAAGTATGATTTATTTTTATCATAATCCAAAAGTACGAATAGTGATCATTCACTACTATCAATTCATGTCACCAACGTCGTCGACGTTGGCGTCAACAACAATAGCTACAATTCCAACACTCTCTCTCAGAGAGAGATAAAATATTGCTCATTTCGTCATCAACCAACCAACCAACCAACGCACCACCATTAAACTAAATCTTGCCAAGACATCAGCAGCGCATATCCACATTCATTAGACTGTTTTATCTTTATATGTAAAGAATGATATAAATGGAAATGGTGTGTGGGATCCCGTTTTGATTAAATTGGAATTCAAGAAAAACCAATTATATACTATTAAGCGAATTGGGGATCCAAAAGACTGGACTGGAGTGAGTAGATGGGAAAAAAAAAAAAGGTGGATGGTTATCACAATAAGTATAAATTGATTGATTGATCTCCTACCACTAGTGGTGTCAATAGTAACAACAGAACTAGCAATAATGGTCGTGTGGTATACATTTAATGAATGAATTGTCAACATTCGAAAAGATCATCATCATCAACAACAACATCATTTTCGCTCGTTTTCATCTTCTCCTTCTCCTTCTCTTCCTCCTCCTATCCAATCTATCATTGGGTAGAATGGTGGAGGGTATAATTAACTTCACCTCTTTATTAGTACCCCATCTTGTCTCTGTTGTTGTTGTTGTTGTTGGTCGACGATTAGATTTCAAAGTAATTAAAAGGTTAACCAATTAAGGGAATTATAGATTCAATGTATCCAGTCACATTTGGTTTGGTTTGGTTTGGTTTATTTTCCTATAGTTGATATAGTAGGACAACCCATCCTCCCACAGCTCAGCAACAACATAATAATAATAATAATAATAATTCATTCAACAACAACCCAACGTTTCACACGAACGTACTCACTACCCCCAATCAATCACCACATAATGATTCCACTAGTGTGTGGGTGGGTCAAAATCGATTTGTGTGGTGGTAAGTAAATCAATGATCAACATCAAATTAACGCGAAGATGGGGTACTAGGGGTGATCCGATACCCCTGCCATGCATATATCATTTAATTTGTTTAAAACACACATACATTAATGTAATAACTCACTCATCAACCAAAGGAGAGAGAGAGAGAGAGAAAGAGTATGTGTGTGTGGTAAGATTTTTTAACATTAGATGCATGCGTTGAACACCATTAACGGAGTATCCCACCCGAGAGAGGAAAGAGAGAGAGAATATCCAAACAATAGCAACAGCAACGTTAGCAGTAGCAATAACAACAATTCAAGCAAGAAACCCATTCATCCCAGCTTGTTTGTTTGATTGCCCTCCCTTCCCCACCATACACCATTATTATCATCACCACAAACAACAACAAAACAGAATTCATGATATGGTGACCCTTACCGTAATTATTGTTGATGTACATCCAGGCTGGCTGGCAGGCAGGCAGGAAGGTGTGTGTGTTTTGATTTTTGTTGGAATCTAATTGGTGTGAACATTGATGATAATAACCAACAGAGATATATATTAATCATCTACTGGTGGTGGTGATGGTGGTTGTGTTCTGCTGGTGGTGGTGGTGGTCGGTTCTGTTGCTTCTGCTGTTGCTCAACATTACCTCTTCTTCTTTCCTCTTTTACTTAAATACAACCAGATTTTTTTATTTTCTTTCCAAATATCATCATCACCAGCATCATCAACAACATCATCAACATCATCATCATCATCACTGTTAAAAAGTTAGCTAACAAACTAACAAACTAACTAGTTTAAAAGATTCGATCAACAACAATCCATTTCATCTACTATAAATTTAGCAACAACTAAAAAACAAATTAATTAAAAAAGAAATAAGTAGAAGGAATTAATTCAAAACAGGAGAATTGCTGGATTCCCTTCCAACCATCCACAAATACATTCACACTCTCTTTTACTAACACCAACAACAACAACAACCAACAAACCAAATCCAACATATTCAAATCCTGAATCCTCATTTTGGTTTTCCAACAATAATATTTTATTTTCCACCAAAAACACCTTACCTTGTTTCCAAGACATAATATTCCTATCCCATCCCATTCCATTTTTAATTATTTATTTGTAAACTAGTTAACATCAATTTTGTTATACTAGCTAGTATCCAAGTCGGTCATTTCTTTCTATTTATTTATTTCCCTTTTTTAGGCATCACCCATCTATTTATTTTTTATTTTTTTCCCAGTAGATTGATTAGTATTGAATTGTATTGTAGTAATAACAAACAAATCTCAATCAAATCAAACATTTTCTTTTAATTTTAATTTTAATTTCACAACATTCGGATATTACGTAAAATTATAATTACTTTTTCCACCCTAACCCTCCTTATACAAAATACAATAATATCATCATGATGGCAATGGTTAATACAATGGATTATCCAATCGGATATTATTCCTACCAAAACCCAAACAACTATATCTACCAGGCCGTGCCAACATCTGCATTGGACCTCGATGTCAATCCACCCAGCCCAATGGACCACAATGCCAATGCACTCTTTTTCCAACAACAACAACAACATCACCATCATCAACAACAACAACAACTCCACCTTCAACAACAACATAATAATAATAAATTGGCAATTTATCCAGCACAACCAACTTCGCCACCAACTCAACATTCTATGCAACAACATTTTCCCATCCAACAACAGTTGGCTTATCATCAACAAATTCAAAGCAACAGAAAGAGACAATTGGAGTCGCCAACCATGAATGGCGGGTCGTCGACATCGTCGTCGCCATACCTACAAACCATATATTCACCCATCCAATACTCGCAAAAGCCACCCTCTGCCACGGCAGCCAACAATGGTTTCCAACAGGCACCACTCTCCCCACAACCTTTACACGTCTCTCCCAACAGCCTCTCGTTTATAGGAGTGCCATCACAAAACTACCAGCCACCTTCTCCCCCATCCGACCACATGCTCGATGAAGATATTGAAGACCAACTACGTGAGTATTTGGCCCCCCTTTTTGTAAAGCACCTCGACCAAACCGCGCGAGACCACCTCGCCAATCTTTTGGCCGATTTCTTCAACGAAGAAATGACACTCTCGGTCCTCTTTAACGAGCTCCGAGGTATTGCCCTTGACGACCGTCCTCTTTTGCAGTACCTCATCGAGATCTTTATCGTTGTCGACACCACCAACAAGATGTACCCCTACCTAACAGAGAATGGCGTCAACGAGCAAGAACTCAACATTGACACTAAAAACATCTCCATGTTGTTTGACCCAGAAGGTGGATTCTTTAAGAAGCGTGATCGTTCTCGCAAGAGTGTTAGTCGCGGTCTCCGTAACCCTCCCAACAAGTGGACCAAAGAAGAGTCACAACGTCTCATCCAGCTGGTACACGAAAGCGGCGACAAGCAGTGGAAAAAGATTGCCCTCCAAATAGGAGGTGGCAAGACTGGTGCCCAATGCGCTCAACACTGGAAACGTGTCCTCTGTCCAGCCATCCGCAAGGGATCTTGGGATGAAGAAGAAGAGGCAAAGCTCTTTGTATTGGTCGAGAAACATGGACAAAGTTGGAAAAATGTTGCCCTAGAAATTAGAACAAGAACCGATATTCAATGTAGATATCAGTACTTTAAATCATGCATGTCTCGTGAAGTACCATGGTCTCCCAAAGAAGATGAATTGCTCCAAAAGAAAGTGATAGAATGCAAACAAGAAGGAAGAGAAATCTCATGGATGGATATCTCAAAATCAATGGCTCGTGCTCGTCAAACTAAAATCCCTCGTACTGCTCTAGAATGTAAATCTAGATGGGATTCAATTGCTCTTTGTTCAATTGTTGAATAATAAACAAAAAAAAAATAGATAAAAGAAAAAAGATCAATTTAAAAATTAAAAAATAAAAAACCAAACCATCAAACTAGTATATACAAAACCCTAATTTATCTATCTTAAAAATGTGTATTAAAATCTTCAACTAATATTATACTTTGATTTTCTATTTGTTTTTTTTTTTTATCTTTTTTTTGACAAAAATACAAGGCTATTGTCCACCATTTTTTTTTTTGGTATATATTAAATTAAAGTATTTTTTTCTCTTATTCAAATTATGATTGGGAAACAATACAGGTCCAAATTTTAACCTACTAAAAAAAAAAGTAGGTGACCTACTTAAAAATAGTAGGTACTAAAAAATAGTAGGTGACCTACTAAAAAAAAGTAGGTAGGTGGATTGGTTTACGATATTATTGATTATTTATTATTATATTACAAATTATGGTTTAATTAAACTATAGTATTTTACTATATATAGATAATTATTATCATTTTTGATTTTAATTATTGATACACACACATTAACGATAAACTAATCCAGCATTATTATGATTTAAAGATTGGTATTCCCTTGTATCAGAGGTTACTTTACGGAAAATGGCTGGAAGGAATAAACCAAGAAGTAATCCGACAATTGCCGACAATGGAACAAAGATTGACATTAAAATCTTCCATTCCTTGTCGGATCGATATAAAGGTGTGTCGTCTGAAGAATCACCAGCAGCACACGTTTTATCCCAACTAAAGGTTGTTAAAGCATCACTAAATACTTGTTTGAAAATTGTATAATCACAATAAATATCATCACAACCTGGAATCAATGTTGCCTAAATTTAAATTAAATGAATAAATATTATTATTATTAATAATTTATCAACGCGCTGACCACATTCCAAATATTTGGTGTATATATCTTACAATTTCATTATGATCAACTCTTAATTTATAATTATTATCACCACAATCATAGAATAATAAAGCAACATTTGCTGCATATGGTGAAATGACACTTGTACGGAATAGTCTACTTTGAATTTGTTCTTGAGAAAGATTGGCTGTTATTTGGTAATCGTCTTTATACAATCCCAACAATGATACAAAAGGAATGATAGTTTCGGCATGACCAAATCTAAAAATGTTGGTATTATTAAAATCCGTTGGTTCATTTACATACTGATCAAAATATTGTACCATATCCTATAGATAGATGAAAATAAACAAACAGATAATTAATTAATTAATTTATCCTTCTATTATAATTTGTGGTGTTTCATTTTCATACTTGTAATAATAAAGAACTAATTTGATAATTAATTGGAATACCATAACTTTTACGCCAATAATTTGATAAATCTTGAGAATATTCCCAAGCTTCAATATCGGATGGATCGAAAAGACTGCACCATTGATTGGTAATGTTATCAATCGAGATTTCATAGGCACACATTGAAAATATGGTGGCAATACCCGATGGAGAAATATCAAACACGTCTTGTAGACCTAGTCGCTCAGCAACCTTGGTCGAGATGTTTGGAAAGACGTTTGCCTGGAATTGATCCTTTTGGGTGTTGACAGGCAAGTCCTTATAGGTTTGACAAGTGTCAAAGAATCTTAAAAGGTAGTCTTCATTGGCCGAAGCAGTCCATGTAAAGGTTGGTTGGTAGTTGGATGACCCGAGACCACCAGTACCTTCAAAGGCGCCATAGAGGAATGAATTGGCAGAGATGCACGTACGGCTGACCACTGTACACGAAGTGTTGTAGGTGTTTGGTGAGTAGGCCGGGAAATTATCTGGGAACCTCGTCAACATTCTTTTGGCAATTTCGTAGTGTTCCAACTCTCCTTGAAAGATGAGGAGTCCCGAGTCAGTGGTTGGGTATGGTACAGTCCAATTGACAATCCAGTTGTACTGGGGTGCAATCGAGCTCGAGTATTGCTTAATCTCTTGCACCAAGTCAATAATGTCATAGATGGATGACTCTACCGGCATTCTACTACCGTGTCTTGCAACCATATCAATTCTCTGTAATGTGCATTGTGCTGGTGGGTTGGGCGATCCCTTGGATTGTTCTGGTATCCAGTAAGGTGTGTTGGTTGATAAATGTTGTTTAATATTAAATGTTTCCTCTGATGATGATGATGAAGAAGACGATGAAGTAGTAGACGACGAAGATGATGAAGAAGAGGAAGTAGAGGAAGAGGAAGAAGAAGAAGGTCTACATTGTACAAAAGCAATATTACAACAACAAAGCTGAATAAAAACTATAATGCTAATTATAGCAAAGATATTTAAAGAAGAAACGACTCTCTGCATCTTTTCCTAATCGCGAGGTGAGGTGAGAGACTATGGGATAGACTAAACTATAGTAGAGAGAGAGTGAATGGGTGGTGTAGAAGAGTTTCTCTTTCTTTGTTTGCCAAGATATATTATTCTCTCTGCTCCGAGCTTGAAAAACAAAGAGAATGTGTTCAACCTCTTTTCTCTTTTCATCGGGGATTTAATTTGCTATGCTGCTTTGCAAACTGACATCCCACCCAGGGTTCAGGCAAATGAACTTTTGTTTGAACAATCTAAATATTACTATTACTATTACTATTCATTATTTATGAATTGTGAATGGGTATAGGAGGAAGAGAAAGAAAGATAGGAGAGAGAGAGAGATGTTTTTAGCAGATAATATTATAATACAGATCATAAAGAGTTTACATGACATTGATAGGATATCGTTTGTTATGACATGTCACAAGTTTTGGAGACTAAAGGCACACCTTACATTTTACTGCTTTCCCAACAAGACTATTACCATTCAACAACTACTCGAGCAACACCGATTACATGGTAGCAATAATGTAACAGAGGAGATACTATATAATTGTATTACTCCTCCAACTGCAAATATTTCAAATGTTGTTACAAATGATCCTTCTTCTTCTTCTTCTACTTCTACTTCCTCATCATCTTCAATACAAAAAAGAAAAGGAGGGACATTTAATCTTGGATCATTTCAAGATAATTATATTAAATCGATACTTTATACGTTGGTAGTGGATGATAGTATAAATGCAGAGATATCAGGGGCTAATGGAGGACTGGATAGTGAGGAAAAGTTTGAAGACTCTTTAAAGAGTCTATTTCAAATACCCGCTTCGAAAAACATCAAAAAGATACTATTCAACAACTCCAAGTACTCGATGCCCTCCAAGTGTGACTGGATCCCAAATCATGTGATATCGGTTGCTTTCGGATCATACTATGATCTTCCAATACCCCCACACTCGATTCCGTTAACCGTAACGTCCCTTTCATTCGGACCGACTTACAACAAACCCCTTCTACCTGGCAGCATACCATCGGGCCTCTTTTATCTCGACATGGGCACCAAATTCAATCATCCCATCACAAAATCGCTGTTGCCCGACACGATCAAACTGCTTGTTCTCTCTGAGAGCTTTGGCACGGGGATCGAGTTGGCGTCGATTCCTTCACATTGCACATATCTGCAGTTGGGACGGGTGTTTAATCAACCACTCACCCAACAGGACCTGTTTGCCAACTCGTCACTTGAAAACTTGGTGTTTGGTATGAACTACAACCAAGAGATATTGCCAGATGTACTACCTCAGACCATCAAGACAATCCATTTCTTTAACCAGCTTGAACGCCCATTCTTTAACACCAACTGGTTACCAACATCATTGACCAAAATACTCATCTCCAAACTAGAATTTGAATTGGTACCAGGTATCTTTTCGTATCTAGTGTCACTGCGTAGTCTGTCTATAGAACTCTACTTTCACCGTATTCTACCCGGTACATTACCACCTAATCTAGAGAAATTAAAGGTGGCATTTAGATTCAATCATGCGTTGGAAGAGGGGTCTTTACCAGACACCTTGCAGTCTTTGGCGTTGGGTGACAGCTTCAACTCGGCATTCAATAGAGCTCTACCAAGACAATTGAAAAAGCTTACTATGGGCGATGCGTTTAATCACAATGTAGCACAAGGAGAGTTGCCCGAGACCCTCACGCACCTATCTTTTGGAAGAAAGTTTGATCAACCTATCCACCAGTATCACATACCTCCAGCCATTGAGATTTTGAAATTTGGTGCCGATCTATCGGTCGACAACATTTCATCGGTTCGATTCCCAACAACTCTAAAAACACTCGAATTATTCCAATACCCTTTTACTCAAGATGAATTAAATCAACTTAAAAAGGCATCATCATCTTCATCTTCATCATCATCAACAACCACCAGCAAAAAGAAATCAATCGCAACCAAATTTTTAAGTATATTTAAAAAAAAGAAAAAAGATATTGTTGTTGCTGTTGAAGAGATTCAACCGCAACCACAACCACAACAACCAACAGAAGAAGTAAAAGAAATAGTAGAAGATGAAATAATAGAAGAAATAGTAGAAGATGAAACAAAATTTAAATTTAAATTACCAAATCAATTACAAAGTTTTACAACATCATCTCAATCGATACCACTTATATTTAATCATCTTCCAAAATCGGTGGATACCTTGATTATTTTTTTCATTGACAAGAAAGGTAACAACAAGAAAAAAGATGTAACTATTAAATTCCCAGCGACCATTCCATCGCATATCAAAAACATTGAACTGCATGTATCGAGCAGTCAGGCAAACTTTAGACCCTATTTTCCAGTATCTGCACTTACCAACATTGAATCTCTATCACTACAAAACCCATTTACAAAGGTTTTAAAGTGTAGACGAACTGGACAAGACCACTTGTTTGTACTCTCGTCAGAGATTGAAGATAGCAACAATGGTTTCATTTCAATCAAGGAAAATGAATCTAAAAATGTTCTAGAATCATTCCAATTTAGTGATTATTCTTGGTTAAATGAATTCTTTGTATAAAATTAATTTATAAATTGTAAATAAATAAATAAATAAATAAATAATAATGTACGCGAATAATGTAATTTTAAAAATACAATAATAACCTGATAGATATATATCTATATTTTGATTTTATAGAATTTTCTTTAATCTTTTCATAAATGTATCAATATCATCTTTTGTGATACCAATAGCACATGCAACTGTAAGATAGGAGGAATGATAATTGTTAATGTGTGATCCATATGATTCAAAGTCTAAACCAGCCACTGATTTCTTTGAACCTGGTAATTCAATGACACGAGCTCCAGAACATGATCTTGAAAATAACTTTGATCCAATCATTGATATTGATAGTTTTTGTTGATCACCTGAAGCTACTGCCAATGCCAAACCCAATGATATACGATTATCAGGAGTATCTAGTAATCTACAATTGGGGAATTGTAGAGATAGAGAAGCAAGTTGATCTCTAAAATATGTTAAAAGTTGTTTTCTTTCATCCAACAGCTCTTTATAACCTTGTCTACCCATTGACAATAAAGTGATAAATAAATCCAATATAGGTGATCCATTTGCTCTACCAGGATAATTTTTTGATATTAAATCTATTAAATTAACCTGCTGTTCCTCTTCACCTTTTTCTTTTTGTTTATGTTGTTGTTTTTCTTTTTTAGGACTTGTAATGATGGCTCCACCAACTGGTACCATATAATTTTTATCTGTACTTTGAATGATTGCATCTACACGTCTTTGTTTATCAGATTGACATGATTCATTGATTGCATGAACTATTTTACTGCATTGAAGTCCGTATGCGTTGTTGATGATATGACCAACATTGTATTTATAGCAGAGTTCAGAGATTTCAATGATTCTATCTGGTACTCTTGGTGCAAAGCATGATGTTGTACTGTAGACACATACAACATTTTCTGGACCGAGTTCAATAATCTTGTTCTCAATTGCTTCGAGGTCTGTTGTGATGACATCACCTTGCAACACATTCTCAATAACCACTGGCACCAAGCCAGCGGTTGCAATTGCCTTGAGACAAGACTTTTGATCTATTCTCGGCCATATGACATACTTGGCAGTAGGTGGTCTACAATGCTTGGTAAATGTCATCAACGTCAATGCAATCGTCATACCTGTGGCCATTGGCAAAACCAAACATTCTCCAATCGAGTTGAGACCCGCTACAGACATTGAATCCATCACTAAATAACTACACAATCTTTGTACCAAAGATGACCCTGCCGCCTTTGGTTGTTGCTCGCTAATATCACCACTTCTACCAATACCATGTGCCAATCCAAAATGTCTCTCTTGTACTATTCGACTATGTATTCTACCTTCACGTTCTCCAACACCAGCATTCTCTACATAATTGTTTGAATCCATCTTTGCAATATCATTTAAAAACCATCTTATAAATTGATCATCCCACCCTTTATCAGGTAATCTTCTCTAAGAAAAGAGAGAATGATGTATTAGTTAGTATTAAGTTAGTTTACTATCTTTACTTTATAATCAATAAACAATGGTCTACAGTACTACTACATACCTGTGTCAACAAGACATTAATCAAATGATTGTATTGATTGATTGCTTGTGAAGATTGTTCAATATAACTTGGATTGATTAATGATTTACATATCTCTAAATTCTTTTGATTCATTCTTTTCTCTCCTATAACTTGTCTCTTTCCTTTTCAAACCACATAAGATAAGATATGACTTGAAATGGAGTTTTGGATGTTATCAAGAAGTGGAGTGGTCATAGGCCACGTGAACATTTTTTATTTAATATAATTAAATTGGAAACCCTCATTTTAAAGTTAATATTACATATATCTAAATATTTTACACATTTATTTATTTGTATATATTTATACATACATTCATATATACATTTATTTAAAAATGAGCTGCATGGAACCAAAATCATCACAGGAATTTGATACTTCCCTGGATAGTGCCCTCGAAAACGACCCTGTAAGAGAGAGAGAGAAATACAATTCCATCACATTTTTACTAATTATACTATCTCCTACTTTTTCTTCATTCTTTATTTTATAATAGTACGTTGTCGTCTACTACACTGCCGTTTGGTGTGGTCCATGCAGGTAAATATTCAGAGAGATGGATAAAAAAAAACAACTTACTTTTCTTATTGTTGATAACAGAGCCATTGCACCGGTCTTTTCAAATGCCTCCATAGATAATCCAAAGGTCAGGTTCTTCAAGGTCGATATTGACCAAAACCAAGGATCCAAAAGAGTTGGTGCCATCTCCTCTGTTCCAAAGTTTGAATTCTACAAGAACGGTACCAAGGTTTCCGAATTTTCTGGTGGTCGGGCCTCTCCTGCCAACCCCCAAAAGCATCTTGCTGATCTCCAAGCCTAGAAATTAATTTCTAGTGCAGTTAATTAAATAAATAAATAATTTGGTTATTTATTAATTATTAATTATTAATTATTAATTATTAATTATTAATTATTAATTATTAATTATTAATTTGTTTATTTATTTCTTTTTGTTTTAATCAGTTAGGATTAAAGAATCGATAACAGCGAAACCAGCAGCAACACCACCTTCATCAGAATTTGAAGTTTTAGTTCGAAGTAAGATTCCACCTTCTTCATTTAATAATACACCTTGATCATCGTGTCCAATGTATAGACCAAATATACCGAGTTCATACAATGCTTCTATGTCAATCACTTTGCTCTCTCTGATGATGGTAGTGTTGAATGCCTTTGGAACAATACGATCCATTAGAATATAGGATCCCAATTCATCGGCGTTCATTGATGCCAATGACTCTCTGACTTGATCACCATAGATATTATTACCTCCACCTTCTCTTTGTGGTTTCATGACGTATAGTTGTGGGTTGGCCTTTGCCTTTTGTACTGCTTCTTGATCGATATCCTCTTTGGAAAGACTGTACAATCCTGTAAAGCTACGACGCATTCGCTTGATTGATTCTTGGTCTTGTAGTAGTTCTTCCAAAACTCCCTTTTTAGCAATAGCTTGTTGAATCTTTTTGGCACCTACCAAATGATTTGCAATCGATGGACATTTAATAGCCAATGATCTTTCAACCAATAATCTTCCATTCCATTCATTTTCACTTGGATAATCGTTTGGTGTATATCCTGCTCTATAATATGATACTGAAATTTCATATCCATCACTAATAATAATCAATTAAATAAATAAATAATTAATTAAATAAATAGATTTAAATGTATATATATTTTTGGAATACATACATTTGTAAAGAATGATTTGATGGATCTATTTTACCGCGTGTATCAAGTTCTAAAAGAGTTCTTCTAATCATTTTAATTGAATAATCTGAAGAGAGTGTATACTCTATAGCTTTTTGATCCCAAATGTTACGTTCATCTGGTTGGACTACAATCATGACGACAATATTGGTTTTGGCAGTATTATTGGTGGAACTTGTATATAAATTATGTGCTTGAGCAATGGAACGAGCAATGTTGGCACCACTATCATTTCTTGGGAGGTTTTCAAGTGGATAGGTATGTTGGAGATGATTGTCTTTGATCAAGTAACGGTGCATGTCAAACACCTTGGCAGAGATACACCCAAATGACGATGAGATGGTATTCAATTCAACTTGGTATAATTCAGATTTACTGGAATCATCGTTATGGTGAACCATATAGTCTGATCTAAATATACCCAATTCAATCTTTTGTTTCTTTCCTTCATTTTCAATTTCTCTATGAATTTTTAATAATGATTGTGTAAATGGATCTTGGACACTAAAAAAACAAACAAAGTAAAAGAGTACAGTTAGTTTAGTTTACTTTTCTTTCTTATTTTTGCTCGGTTGGTAGGATACTTTTGTGAATCTAATTTTGCAAATGCATTTGATTCCAGTTTCCTTCGCCCAAAACGATGGGTCCAATACTCCTACTCCTACTACTCGACAATACTACTTACTCTTTTAGAGTTGATTGAATAAAGTTGAAATTCTTTGATAGATGATGAACGAGAAGGTTGTAGTCTTTGGACAATGAAACGGCTTGTTCGTACAAGCGTTTTGGGAACTCTGAGGGGAGAATAGAAAGAGGAATGTGAGTGACGATGGGTTGTTGGATGGCCACTGCCTCTTGCTCGGTCTTTCTTTTAACAAAAATGATTCCTTTGCCCAACGCCCAATCTATAGCTTGTTCACCAATCTCTATTAACTTTTCTTTTTTAAAGCTTGATATCTTTGACATTCTATATATATATTGTGTTAGGTGTATTATCGTGCCGCGATTATGATATGAAAGTGAAGTGTTGGGTAGGGTAGGGTAGGGTTGCCTTGCTGTTAGGGTAGGTATGTTTGACTCTTGACTTTTTCAAAAAAGAGTACTCTCTATCGAGTTGATTAGTTGATTGGTTGATTCAATTCAAAGTCGGGGATTGTAGGGATGATGTTGATGAAGTAACGGTGAAAAAGAAAGAAGGAAAAGTGTTTCTGTTTGCGGTATCTTGTATCTCTGTTTTGGTCAAATGCAAGCTAAAAATAATATCGTCTCTTTTAAACTCTCTCTTTTCTTTTGTTTTAAAAGAAACCACCACTATTGTTTCTCGATCTTCTCTCTCGAAAATTGCAATCTAAATCTTTGCTGGACAGATCGTGCTTCTTCCTTTCATTTATTCTTTTAAAAGAATTTTTCAGCGTGCAAAGACCAATTCTGAGAGGGATACGATCTGATTGGTATATATTTGGATCCATGTGGGTACATATTGTTGTACAATGTGTCAAGCACATCACAATCTTGATATCTATAGACTAAGACACTCTGATTGGCTCGTGGTACAGCGAATAAGAAACGAGAACTGAACGAAGGTCTTCGTTTTGGTGCGAGTTTATCTCAGTCGGTCAGAGATAAATTAGATAAACGACGACGATTGGTCATAAAAATGACGGTATGCTCAAATCGCCCCCATTGTCTCTGTTGACCCGTTAGCTGCCCGCAACGAGAGTCTTCTAGGCTATCAACCTGCCCTCCCTCGCTTGACACACTGATATTTTTGGATTGGAACCAACCTCATCGTCAATCGTATTGTAATTACAATATTAATATGAACATCGTGTGAAATGGATCGCAGAGGGTAAAGTATAAATAAGACCAATTTTTGGTCATAATTAATCATCAAATAGATAACAATCAAACAAACAAACAAATAATTAAATTAATACATTTAATATTTCTTCCGGCATCCTATTTTATCACTTCTAAAGTTCTATTTTACTTTACTTTTCCCCCAACAACCAACCAACCAACCATCCTTTCTTTTAAAAATGAACAAGTTAATTACCATCATCGTTGCCGTCCTCGCCATCATTGCTTTGGCTCAATCTGCTACCAGTATGTCCCGACCGATAAAATTTATCTGTTCCACCAGATATTAATCCAACTCTATCTTTTTTCTTTTCTTTTTTTCTTTAGTTAACAGTATCGTCCAAAATGATCATACCCTCTTGATCTCGACCACTCCACAAAACATGATTTGGGTTGAAGCCCAATTAAAGTATGGTGGTTTGATTACCAACATTTTACCATACTGCAAGCAACCATTCGGTCTCCCAATTGTATGTTTCTACCTACTATACTTCTTTCTTTATTATTATTCTAATTATATATTTTTTATTTTCATATTACTTTAGAACTGCACTCTCCCAGCTGTCCCAAGTTGTGACAACATCCGTCTCTATGCCACCGTCATTGGTATGGGTTCAATGGAACTTACCAAGGACTTTACCTGTACCGTCACTGCTCCATAAACAACTAGCTAGTTTTCTTCTTTCTTTTTCCACCAACCATTTATTTGTTCTGAATCTGAATCGATTCAGGACCATAAATGCGCCAGGCATTCAAATATATTATCATCAATCTATGTATAATATACAACAATAATTTTCTCTCTCAAACAAACATATATAGCACAGGAATATACCTTTTTTTTTACCCAACCCCAACCAACCAACTAACAACAAACAAACAAACAAACAAACAATAATTTAATAAAACGCGCGTAATTAAATTTAAAATTAAATCTATTCATTTTATACTTTCTTATTTTTATTTTTATTTTTTTTGGTAAACGAATGAATATATATTACATAGGATGTGAGTCATGGATGACATAACTAAAACGTGTAAGGGGTTTCCTAAAATAAAAATAAAAATAAAAATATTAATAAAAATAATAAATAAAGTAAAATGAATGAAAGAGATGAGTCAAATTTTAATTAATATATTTTATTCTATTCGTATACATACATTTTAAAATGTCAGAACAAACAAATAATGAACAAGGAGGAGGAGGAAGAGATTTATCAGGGTTGATGGATCAAATCAATGCATTTCAAACACTAGCTCAAAGGAATGATGAAATAGATATTGAAAGAATCAAATTTATACTTAAACATAGACCAACTCCTCCCATATCAGATTATCAATTTCAAGAACTAACAGAAGAAGTTGAAATAACAAAGAGAAATAAAGGTGAGCCATACATACATACATACATACATAATAAATGATACTTGATGATGATTGATCATTACTTACTTGTTTTTGTTCTGCTTAAAATAGAGAGAATAGGTGATTGTTCAGTATGTTGTTGTGAATTTGATTTAGAAGACTTTGCAATTAAACTACCATGTAAACATTATTATCATTATGGTAAGTATAGATAAAAATAGATAGAGGAAGATATATAATTATATCTATATGTCAATAATATTAATATTTAATCTATATTTAGATTGTATTACACAATGGTTAAAATTACATTCATCATGTCCAAATTGTAGAGAAATATTTGGGACTGATGATTATGAATATGATGATATGAGACGTCATCTTGACAATCATGAAAAGAAACAAAAGAATGGTGGTGATCCAGAAGAACAAGATGAAGATAGATCAATACAAAAACAAAGATCAACAAATCATTATGTATAAATACTAAATAACATACAACCAACTCTACACATTTGTATAAAAATGAATACAAGATATATATATTGTAGTACTACAATCATTGAAAATAGATAGATAATAATATTTATTTATTTATTTTAATTATTTGATTGGTGGATTCAAAACTGAACAAGAAATAATTGTATCAATTCTTAATAATGTAATACAAGATTCAATGGCTGCATTAATGATTGATTTCTTTAATACCAATGGTTCGATAATGCCAAGTTTGGAAATATCACATATTCTACCTGTCCATCCATCAATTCCCCATTTGCATGGCACAGATGTCTCGTCTGTTGCTACATCTTGATTTTTTAAATGTTGACCATGAAGAAATGATAATCTTGTAATGATTGACATTATACCACCATCAATCATCTCTTGATCATCATTGTCATTGCTGTCATTGTCAATTTTGGTATTTTGAAAAGGATAACAATTTGAACCAATAATTGAAGGAATGACAGAAAATGCGTTTGCCAATATTTCAAATATTCTTGCTTCCAACCCCTTTATATTATTCTTTTGTACATGTCTCTTTAATGCCATTGATAGAGACATTTCACAACATCCACCACCATAAACATATCTTGGTTTTGTTTCCATTGATGATTTCAATAGATAGAGAGCATCGATCATACCAATCTCCAAATCATCTGCTATATCCATTGTTGGTGATCTAATTATAATCGTTGAATAAAATGTATTCTCATTGCTAAATTCAATAGTTAATATAAAGTGGAGTAGTATTTATCATTGTACAATAAACTTACGATAGATGAATAAAATATTGATTTTCAAATTTACAATACATAGAGATTATGGAAATTGATCCAATCATTGATTCCAAATCAAATTCATCTTGGTTATTTAATAATACTGCACCAGTAATAGTTGATATTTTTGTAATATCTTCATCTTTTAATTCTTGTATCACCGATATTGAATGATAAACCAACATTTGTATTAAATTCTCTGGTAAGCTCTAAAAATTATAGTATTAATCATTAGTTTGGATTGTGTTCACTTTCTAAATCATTAGATTTCAACATACATATTTACAAAATACAACATTAATATTCATTTGTTTAATCTTATTAAATATAAATATTAATCTTGATTGTTTGAATGATAAATAATGATCCATATCATTCACTGATGATATTGATTTATGAGTTTTAAATGATTCTTTGTTTTTTAAATCAATTAAATCAAATCCTAAAATACAACATCTTTTTTCATTATTATCCGTCGTATCACTACTACTATTATTATTATTACTATTATTATTAATTATAAATGGTTGTTTAATGGTTGATATAAATAAACCTTTGATAAATTCATTATTATCTATATTTGATATATTATTATTATTATTAGAGGAGGATGTATTATTATTATTGTTGTTTCCAATTCCATACATTTTAATTATATTTATATTATTTTGTATGTCTATTGTATTATTATTGTTGTTGTTATTATTATTATTGTTTCTACTAGTATTGATGATAGAGTTGTAAGCAATATTAATTAAATTATTTGTCCAATAGGAATAATGTTTGGTTGCCAATGATACACCAGCCATTTTTAATAGGATGGTAGGATCATTTGATTGGAATGCATTGCTAACTTGGTCACTTTCTAATATTGATAATGCAACTTGCCCAGCTTTAAATAATAATGATGTCAATGTAATTTGATGTATTGTCAATTGTTGTTGTTGTTGTTGTTGTTCTCCTCCCTCTCCTCCATTTCCTTCATATTCCTCTTCTTCTTCTTCTTCTATCATCTCATATAACAATTTCAATATTTCACTAGCTATCAATACTACAGAAGTTGTTCCATCACCTACATCGCGATCCTGTGCCAATGCAATATCTACAAACAACTTTGAAGCTGGATGATTCGCCTTTATATTTGATAGTATCATTGACCCATCATTTGTAATAATAAACTCTCCATTATCCTCTAATTATTTAAATAGTATAATATATATATTGGTGTTGTGTGATTAATCATCACATGTTATACATCTCTTTCTCTCTCTTTGTCTCTCTCTTCTTCTTCTTCTTCTTTCACATACTTAAAATCATTTTACTCATACTTCTAGGACCAAGACTAGTTTGTAATATCGATGATAGAGATAGTACAGCTTTAACACTTGATCTAATCGCATTGAATCCTCCATTACACAATTGAACACATGTCTTTTCAAACAACGGTTCGATTGTTTCATTCAATATGTTATCTGCTATTCTTTGCATTGATTGATTTTTAAAATATTATTTATATCTAAAGATATACAGGTATTCAATATAATATAATGAAGTGATAAAGTAATATATTGTTAATACGTATCTTGAGTTGTCGGTTGGTTACCCTTTACTCAAGAGTGCGGGCAATTATTTCTCGTCTGCGACAATTGAAAAGTGATTTTTTGAAAAAAAATTTTGTTTCTCGGTGGAGGTCTGCAGTGAAGGCTCGTGATGCTTGAAGTGAATAACGTCACGCTCTATCGATTCTACACTGTGTGCCTAAAAAAGAGACAAAGATGCAAAAATTGTTAGTATTATACACCCCTATCTATATCACACATTCTGTGCATGCCACTAACCCGTACTTCTACTACCTACCTATTATGACATATAAAACAGCATCAAGCAAGGAAGATTGGTCATCCTCTTAAACGGAAAGTACGCTGGTCGTAAGGCTGTTGTCGTTAAGAATACCAAATAAAGTAACTCTTCTATATCTCTACTCTTTCTGTCTATCCGCTATCTTACATCACCCATACAGCAGCAGGCTCAAATAGACACACAAACCAACAAAAACAGAGAATTTAGTAATGTATCGCTTTTACATACTTGTCTCGTCTTTTTTCACCTCATTGACGGCCGAGAGGGATTTATTCTCTCTTAAGTCAAACTTTGATTTCCTATACTATACCCCATTAAAATTATTAAAATGATAAACAAATGACTGCATTTCTACCCTTCGATGATGCCACCAAGGAGCGTCCATACGGACACGCTCTCGTCGCCGGTATCAGCAAGTACCCACGTAGAGTCGTCAGAAAGATGTCCAAGAAGCAAATTCTCAAGAGAATCTCCATCAAGCCATTCGTCAAGGTTGTCAACTATTCTCACATCATGCCAACTCGGTATGTATCTTACAAAATATACATAAAAATAGATAGGATAGGATGGGATAGGTTGGATTAGTTTAAAAAGACAGATAGTTTCACCACACAAAAACAAGAGAAACAAAACAACAAAAGGAAGATTATTGGAGGTTAAATTACAAACGATTGCAATGATTTGGTGGTGAAACTATCAATCTGTCTATCATATCCTATAGATCAACGATATACTAAAGACACAATGATACTAATTATTATTATTATTTTCAAATTTTAGTTACAATTTCGAATCCCGTGAGGAAACCTCTTTCAACCAACTCAGAGACTCCGTCACTGTTGAAGGTCTCAAGCCAGCCAAGAAGGCCAACACCAGATACGCCGTCAAGAGAATCTTCCAAAACAAGTACAGACTCGGAAAGTCCAAGTGGTTCTTCACCAAGTTGAGCTTCTAAATTCTTCCAAGAGCCCTTCCTGAATAAATAGCCTCTTAGATAAAATCACAAAGAATTTTTTTTAATTGTTCCATTATATATATACATTTTTATTTGTTTATAAACACTATTTATTCAGTTATTATTATTATTATTATTGTTACATTGTTTGTTTGTTTATTTATTTATTTATTATTTTTTAGATTGATTTAAAGAGATAAAATGTTTCTTTAATAATGAATGACATTCATAATAGTGTTGATATTTATATTCTATTAGAATCTTTGTTGTAATATGAGATGCGAATGTCATCTTGTTGGTTAAGAGGAATTCAAGAACATCATGGAATTGAACCATATCTGATGCATTATAATAGAGTGCTTTTGCGCTGCAGTTTAGGTCTGGGTAATACTTGTGGAGGAACTTTACAGTGTCCAGGAATCCATTTTGTGCTGCTGAATTAAATGCACATGATGAACATCCTTCTGTTCTATTTTCATGTAAGAACTATATATATAGTGGAAAGGAAGAAATTCTTATTAGGAATGGATTGGATACCATTATTATTATTAGTTATTCATCATCTACAAACTTTGACAATGTCCAAATGACCATGAGCTGCAGAATCATCCATGGCCTTGGTTGTGCACCCTTCAGTTCTATTTTCATGGAGAAACATCACAATATCAAGGAATCCTCCAGATGAAGCAGTATCCATTGCTCTTTCTGTGCATGTCATTTGATTAGAGTGTAATAACTTGAATCAAAGTTGATAATTGGAAAAATATATATATAGAGTTAATATCTTGGTTTCATTTGATTGATGAGTGAATAGATGGATGGGTTGGTTGGTACCTTTACAATGTCAAAATAACCAAACTCTGCAGCCATATCCAATGCTTCATCCCATATGGGAGAATGTATATAATGTTCTAAAAAGAATGGGATAGCATCAAGTCTCCCCCATGCAATTGTATAGTATACATATCTCGGTGAAAAGTGTGTGTCATTGGCATGGAGATAGGTTATAATATCTACAATATTGGTAGCAAATGCAGTTCTCTCTAAAGCATCTATTGTGCATCCTTCAGTTCGATTATTTAATAGAAACTAGCAGAATATTAAATGGAATGTTAGTGGCTACTAATTATAATTAGTCTATTTAAGATAAATACATTTGTAGTATCTACATAACCAAGGATAGAGGCATTATTTAAAGCTTTTGTTGTACAACCTTCTGTTCGATTTAAATGAAGGAATTGGGTAATTTCAAAGCAGGGAGATTGATCCATTGCTCTGGTTGTACATCCTTCAGTACGATTAAAATGTAACCATTCTACCACTGAAAAGTGTCCAGACGCCGCCGCAATATCCATAGCCTCTGTATTACAATTAAATTGAAATTGATTATATTCATGTAGAAACTTTACCAACTCTAGGTTTCCAGATCTAGCAGCAGAAGTTAATACATCATATTTAGAAACATCACTTCTATTTAATAATAAAAACTATATATATATATATATAAATAGAATCAATGAATGATTAATATTAAGAATAGGTGTTGATTAATCAAGTTTTATTTCTATTCTTTACTTACCTTTACAATATCCAAGTGTCCACCTCTAGCGGCGAGTGACAAACCATCAACAACACATCCTTCAGTTCTATTATAATGAAGAAACTATATAGAATGCAATTAGTATATACCATTTCGGACAATGATGATTATAGTTACTTTTACTTACCTTTACAATATCCAAATGACCATTTCTAGCAGCAACACCCATAGCCCAATTACCAAAGATTGGTGGTGAGTTGTTTGATTTCTCTTTAGTTCTATCATGCAAGTATATGACAGCATTTAGATATCCATATTCAATTGCACGATGTAATGAATCACTTGTAAAGTCACCTCCATCTTTACCAAGACTTGTTAAAAGTTCCAAAATAGAAACATGACCACCTGTAATAGCTCTTTGATTTACATTATTTAAATTGATATTTGGATATCTATTAATGATATACTCTAAAATATCTTTGTTTCCAGTAGCTGCAATGTTTTCAGCTAGTCGAGTATAACAGATCTTGTCTTGTTGTGGATCGTAATTGGGACACCATTCTAATAGATGAATGAGTATATCCAATGTTGCATTACGATGTGCACAGTATCGAGTGATTGTATATGCCCTTCTCTTGAACAATAAAGTGTCAGATGGTGGTAGATAATGTTTGATAAAGTACCATGGCATACCATAATCTGTTATCATACCAAGAAATGGTAACTTTGCAATATCTCTTCCTTTTAGATGTCTTTTAGAACCCGTAGTTTGTTGTTGTTGTTGTTGTTGTTGTGATATCTTTTCAACATGATTGAATATAGATTGTCTTATATACAGTATCTTGAATACACTATTAAATGTAGTTATCATTATTTGTTCAAAAAACAACACAAACAGAGAGAGATGAATGAAAGAAATAAAAGTAAAAAAAGAAGAAATGTGGTGTGATTGATATTTATTACTTTTTAGAATCCATCCAAAAGATCTTCTTTTCTATCATTAATAATGTAAAGGTACCTTGTCATTTAAATAATTAGGAGGATAGGGTTGGATTAAATAGAAAATAAAAGTTTAATAAATATAATTACATACAATACAATGTTGAGAGTTGTCTTTGTCTTGAGGGAGAGAGAGGTTGGATCCTATTTCCACGTGGCTTTGTATAATTAAAATCAAGTGTTTAACCATTATCATGTACATGAGAATACGTACATCATCCAAGAGAAACACTTGATTTTAATTAACTGACCACTGAACGGTCCTCGAAAAAGAACAGGCCAAACTTAAAAAGGGGTTGACCTAAAGTAGAGTTGATAACAGAAGCATATTGTTAATATTGCAACTACATAATAGTTTTCGATAAAATTGATTCGACGATTGATTTGAGTATTTATGGACATGTAAAGTCAAGTAGATACCATTTGAAAAAATAATCCAGTACTTGCTGTCAACAAGTCTGGAAACTTTAAAAAACAAAGATTATACTAAAGAGTAACTTTTTTGATCAGCCAACTCTAAACTAAAAGCCACCCCTTGCGGGATAACCTTTGTGCCTAGGTTGATCATTAATTTTGTGAATGAATTGGGGTTAACATGATGAGAATAGAATCTTTCGATATATGAGAGTGTACTACGTACCAAATAAAATATAATGTGTTATGTCTTGATCAACTACAGAGGACGTTCATATATAAAATCAAGTGTTTAACTTTATGAAATACTTTTCATGTGTACATTGCCAAGAGAAACACTTGATTTTATAGATGGCAGTCGTGTTGATGTATTGGTGGTCATAGTATCCTTTATAACGGCATTTTTTTCGTAGAGTCATCATGTGTAGCTGTCAAAAGAATCTTGAATGTTAATTTGGAGGATGTGCATAGATTATAGACATCTCTTGGTCTTTAAATATACCTACTGTACATGATACCTTTTGCCTTGCTCAATCTCTCTGATAAAAGTATGAAGTACTTTTACTTTTGGTCCACCTTTGCTTTAGTAATTCCTCTGTCAACCGTTTCTTCCAAGTACCAAGCCCAATTTACTACACATAACTGATCAAGTGCAATTTGTCGGACTAGTAAACTATTACCGAAAGTTTAAAACAAGTCCTTCAGTCGACGCTGCATCTCTATATATAATATGATCCAAAGGAGTATAAAAACAATGTTCTATGAAAAGAAATAATATATACTACTTACTTTCTTTTTTCAATTCCCCTCATACTTTTGATCAGTACAAAAAAAAAAAATCAAGAAATATATATTTATTTTTAACATGTTGTTGGACAGACTCTCAGATGACTGGATCATAGAACCATTTCTTTATTTACATGTATTTATAAATATCTCTATCTCTATCTCTTTAAACATTATTAACTTCTATTTATTATTGAGGAAGATGATTGATCAAGTGGAATGAAATGTTCTTTTTTGTAGATTTTGATTGGTTTGATCATGATGGTGGCGAGGATAAACCAAAACAGAGTGATGGAGAAGACGAGACTGTAGCCAGCCAACAGGTGACCGCGACTCTTGAGTGCACCGAGGACGAGACCGGTGATGAGCGGGGCAAAGACCTGAGGGACGACGAGTGCTTGGTGCCACACACCAAGATCCTTGGCGACAGTGTCTTGATTGGGCAGCACATCAAGTGCGAGACCATAATCGACAGCTTGGTATGCACCATATCCACATCCAAAAATAGCAGCTGTAGCCATAACACCGACCAGGGATGGCTTGAAGCTGAGGATCAAAAACATGAGTGTCGCCACCGCCATGATAGCACTCGACACGTATACCAACAATTTTCGGCCATATCGATCTGATAAAGGACCGGCAATAATACTCGATGGAATAGATGTAATGACAATGACACCCAACAACATCGATGTGTAAATGGGAGCCTTTTCACCAACACCAATCACATCCTTGAGATAGAATTGGAAATATGGGAGTACCGAGTAAATACCCATCTCTTGAAAGAATCGAGTAATAATAACCCAATAAAAATTGAGGTATTGGTCTTTTGGCAAATGGAATAATTTGAAAAACTTGCGTACCGTCAAGCGTGGGGTAAACCGACTTGAGGGTCGACTCTCCTTTATACCAAAAATAGTTGGTACTGTGAACAAGACCAAAATAACTAATAAAAAGATATGAACATATAAATAGTTGGTCTCTACTATTGGTGCAGTAGTTGAACTTGAACTAGATGATGATGCTAGTGATGAGGATTGTGAAGATGTAGATGTATCATCGATAGTTGTATGAGAATAAGAGATGATGACACCTGACCCTACAATACCAAGGAGATTGCCGAGTGCGTTGGAAAATGCCATGTAGCCACTGGCAGCACCCGTCTTTGACTTGGGAACCTTGTCGGGGAGCAAACCAGTGTATGCACCGGTACCCAATTCAAACCAAACTGGTATCCCATTGTAACGAGGATAAACACTTGAATCGATCCACAAAATGCCTCTGCAAACAAAAAGATAGCGGCAATGATCGACCCTGTCACCATGTATACACGACGCTTTCCATATCGAAACGTCGAATGGTCCGACATGGCACCCGACAATGGTGCAGTCAGTACCGACATTAATATTCCAAATAATGGCATCCATCCCAAATACTTTTCTTTTAATTCATCTCCAACTATTGACTTTATAAATTCAATAATAATAATAAATCAATGTAATGTATATAAGTAAGGGGTGGTATTGATATGATTGATTGATTGGTTGATTGATTTTCGATTACATACAGCAATTTGAGATGGCCAAATAAGAGAAGTGAGAGCACTTTGAAGTGCAGAGAAACTAAACCAATAGGAAGTTAAACAAAAGTAAAACCATGCTAATCGCCATACACCAGTTGGTAGTTGTTTAGATGATTCATTACCATCACCACCTCCATATATATCTCCATCTTGTCCACCAAATTCATCGTATCCCTCACCTCCACCTCCCTCTTCTAGAAACTTTATATCTTTAAAACTGTATTGATCATTATCCATATCTAGTAGTTGGTCTATAATAATAATAATAATAATAATAATACAATACAATGAATAAATAAGGTGTGTCCACATATATCATCATTTAAATGAAAAGAGGGGAATGTGTTAGTTTGATCAGTTTCATAGAATGGACTCAACTATTATTGCTAATACTATACCTTCACCACCTATTGAGAATAACTTGTCTTTATCGTTATCATTATCAGTACTATGATTTAATATTATATCATTATTATTATTATTACTCCTTATTCTATTATTACTATTATTATTATCTTGTATATAAACATCAACAATATCATTATCATCATTATCATCATCATCATCTGTTGAGTTATCTAATGACCCATATCGAATATTGGTTGTTGTTAAATGATCTCCATTTGTCATTATTCTATAGAGCGAGCTACTATGTATATGTTATTTGATCAAATGGAAGAGTGAATGAGGTTGGGTGAGTGGTGATGGATGAATATAAAGAGAATCTTCCTCTTTCTGTTAAAATAATGTTACAAAGATAGATAGATAGATAGAAAAAGAGATAATGATAATGGTAATATCAGCAGTCTCTGTTCTAAAAATAAATGTTAAAAGAACATACCACAATTTTAACACTTCATTTTTAAAAATAAATATCCGATGGGTCGATACAAATTTCCGATCGATAAAAATATATAATAATATTATATTATTATTTTACATTTTATTGATAATATATTCCAATCATAGCAACCATTATTTTATTTATCAAAGACATAATATTAATAATAAAAATAAATTAATGAGAAAAATAAAATAAAATAAAATAAAATAAAATTAATATTATTTTGCAACAAACTTAAGAAAGAGAACAGAGTAGTTAGTATCTATAAAGATAATATACTATTTAAACAATTAATTCATTAATTAAATAATTAAATTATCTTCAAAAACAGAATCTTTTGAGTTTTATTTCAAAGATTTTTTTTAAATTTAAAAAAAGGGTGCCAACTCGTAAATAGTTAAGAACCGCTATGGAAAGATTATATATAATGTCGTCGATAATGATGATACCTTATACTTGAATACAAACAACAAACATAATTATAATACATCATCAACAAATATTATATATATCATAATGAAGAAAATCATATCATTCTTTAGTTCTACCAGTAGTACTAGTGTTTCATCAACCTCCTCCTCCTCTTCACCTAGCAGCAAGAGTGGTACATCATCATCAGGATCAACTGTAGCTTCTTCAGATGAACAGAGAAATGACTATGAAAATGCAAACTATTTCAACTACTATAGATACATTGAAAAGGAGTCAAAAGGTGGTGACAGAGCCAAGAGTGGTCTACAATGCAAACGTGTCATCCAACAACCAAACACTATCCAATCAACAATCAATCAAAACAAATTCAATCTAACTAGTGTAGAGATTAATTCTGTATTGACTGATACTTGTTCAGTATCAACTTTTAAAAAGCATTTTGTAAGTATACTTGTATAAATATTGTAATTGTAATATTTGTATATTAATGTTTTATTTTATTGTGTTTAGGTTAATAATTATGATTCCCCAGTTGAAGCATTCTATCAATTACCATTACCACCTCAAGCATCGGTCAATGGATTCACAGTTGAATTTGATGGCCAAGTGTTACATGGAGTGATCAAGGAAAAGGAGGAGGCATTCCAAGCATACACTGACGCCATTGCTAGTGGAGGACAAGCATTCCTCGGTGAAAAGTCTGCCGACGGATACTTTAGCATGTCGATTGGTAACTTGCCACCCAAAAAGGATGTCAGCATCACATTGAACATCATCTCTGAGCTTGGCACTCATTATGACTCTCTCCACTTTTGTCTACATCGTTTCCTCTTCCCAGACTATTCATTTGACTTTAAGGCCAAATTGACTATCAACCTATCTTCACCCATCCAACAGGTAGAAGTTTTAAACAAGGAATACCAAAAGCAAAGCACATTGACCTTTTCCGAGGACAAAAAGACTGCAACCTTTTCAACACACTTGCCACAAGGTCTACCAAACAACTATGTAGTTGTCATTGTACCACATGCTACACCAGAACCAAAGGCAATGATTGAATACATTGAAAAGGACAAATCACATGCCGTTGCCCTTAGTTTCTACCCCTCTTATATTTTAGATAAAACTCCAGAAGATGAATTAAATCAAAAGATGGAATGGTAAGTAAAGAAAGAGAGAGAGAAAAGAAATATTGAATATAAATTATTAATTACTTTAATTTAATTAATTTATTTGTAGTATATTTATAGTTGATAGATCAGGATCAATGAGTGGAGATAGAATTCAATCATCAAAGTCGGCATTACAAATTATAATGAGATCTTTGAATGAAAATACAAAGTTTAATATCGTGTCGTTTGGTACATCGTTTGAGAAATTGTTCCCAGAATCAAGAGATTACGATGACACTAGTTTGACTGAAGCTAGTAAATTGATTGAAGGTATGAGTGCCAATATGGGTGGCACTGAATTGTTTGAGCCAATCAAGGATGTGCTCAAGGCACCGGCACTCCCAGACTACCCCAGACAAGTATTTATCCTCACCGATGGTGCCGTCTCGCAACGTCAACAACTCGTCAAGTTTGTGGCATCCGAGGCCAACACTACACGTATCTTTACCTTTGGTATTGGAGGTGGTGTCGACAAGGAGTTGGTGATTGGTCTCAGCAAGGCGTGCAAGGGGTCCTACGAACTCATCTCAGACTCTGCCAATGACTTTGAAGAACGTGTCTTGTCACTACTCTCCATTGCCATGCAGCCAATGCTCAGTAACGTCAAGATCGACTGGGAAGGTGCCGGTCTCACCGGAGTCATCCAAGCACCTCAAGACATTAGACCAGTATACAGCCGTGAACATATGATTGTATATGCTTTGATCGATGACAAGGAGGGAAAGAACAACGACACCATCACAAAGCAGGGATCAGTTACTGTCAACTTGACTGGAAATGGTCCAACTGGCACCATTCTCACATTCCCCATCACTGTCAACTTTTCCGACCACGCTGTCAACGACAAGGAGCTCTTGCACTCGCTCGCTGCCTACCAACATATCCAAGACCTCGAATCATTGGAAACCAAGAAATATGAGAATCACAAAGACAAGATTGTTCAACTCGGCAAGCGATTCACTCTTGTTTCCAAACACACCTCGTTTATTGTCACTGCCGAAAGTGATACGCCAACCGTCGACACCATGGAACAAGTCAATGTCCTCGACAAGCTACAAGCTACCGAGGGGCGAACTCTAGAAAGTTTAGCCCATTTCTCTGATACAATGACTCCCATCAGTTGCTCTGAGCCTCTTCAGTTGGAGCGTTGTTCTGCTCCATCTAGATCAAAGTCTGTCCATTCGTCTCAATCACAGCCAATGGAAAAGAAGAGACAATCATCCTCGGGAAGAAGAGGGGATATATCATCGGCCTCCAAGATCGACATCAATCCACTCATTGAACTTTTGAGCCAACAAAAAGCCAATGGAACTTGGAATCATTCCACCCTCATTGAAGGCTTTTTCTTCCCATCCCACGAACCAGCTCAAGGCGAAGACAAGGACATCCACTCGACCATTTTCGTCATTGCCCTCATCCAATACAAATTCGCCGATAGAAAGGCCAAGTGGACAATGGTTGTAAACAAAGCCCTAAGATGGTTAAAACAACAACCATGCTTTGTTAAAGATCCAAGTGACCTAACTAAAAGACTTGAAGCTGCTTCTAGACTTGTAACTAAAATGTATTCTTAAAAAATTAAAAATAAACATGGAAATCAAATCAAATTGATTTTGTACATTTATAAATAAATATTGTTATTATTCTTTTGTTTTATTATTAATATTATTTCTTTATAGGTCCAGTAAAAGTTCTTTTTAAGAAATTCTTGTTTGCGCCATCTTCATTACCACCACTATTATAATCTTTAAATGTTTTTGTTAAATTTGAAATAAATGAAAATGAACCTCCTCCTCTTTCACCACTAGACTGTGATCCATTTCTTTCGGGTGGTTTCAGAGACATCAATTCTAATCTCTTCTTTTCTAAAAGTACAGCAAAATGTTCGACCTGCGTCTCGGCCAATCTACGTGCTTCACGTTCCATATGCAATTGGGAGAGGAGATCCTCATCGTCATAGTAACTCTTGCGGTGATGGAATCCTTCCAACAACTCTTTGCGTGCAGCTTCCAACATGGCATAGAATGACTCGGGTGTGATGTTTTCATTGGCGGCTTCTTCTTCGTCCAAGAACTTGCCAACCGTCTTTGAGACGACTCCAAGACGACGTCTCTCTTCGAGCAACTCCTCTTGCACCTTTTTAGTCTTGTTCTTTTCTTGCTCGAGTTCGGCGACTGTCTCCCAACGACGTGCTTCCCATGCTTGGCGCTCGTCTTTGAGTTGCTTTTGGAAGTTTTGCATTTCAGTGTCGTAGGTGGAACGGACCTCTGCAAGACGGTCTTCATAGACACGACTGGCGCCGTCGGCGATTGAGTTTTTGGTCTGTTGCTCGTCGAGCTCGCGGATGAGGTTGTCTCGGGTCTGCACAATAGCATCAATTTCTTTTTGAAGCTCGATGTTCTTTTGTTCTACCTCGTGCACCTTTTCGCTTTGTTCAGAGAGACGTTGGGCAAAGGTTCCCAACTCTTTTTCCATGAGATCCTTGTCGCTGTTGATGCGGTCGATGATGTTCTTGAGGTCGGTGACGACCATCTCGGTTGCCTGCTCCTTGTCGACTTGTTCCTCCAAATGACGCTTGCTGATATAGTCGCGCTCTTGCTTGTTCTTGTCCAGCTCTTCTTGGTTGTGCTTCTTCTCGATGGCGAGTGTGCTACGCAACTCCTCCATCTCAATATTGAGCTGCACAATCTTGTCGTCGCGTGATCTCACCTCCTTTTGAACGTCTTCCAAGGAGTTGTTCTTTTCCATCAACTGCAAGTCAAGACTATGTATTCTCTTTTGAAGCTCGTCCTTTTCAGCAAGACGTTCATCCAATCCGGCATTACCCGACGAGATCATGTCTCTAATAGACTTGTTCTCCTCGCGCAAAGTTTCTTTCAAGTACTCGAGTTCTTGTTGTGTACGGTTGAGTAAAAGACATTCACTTGTCTTTTCACGCAGATTAGATTCCAATTGCAAGACTGTCAACTTTTGCTTTTCCTGTTCGACATGTGTCTCTTGTGCAGCAGTCGACAATGTATCAATCTTTGCTTCCAAGGCTTGTTTGTCCTTGTCAGCAGTCTCTAGATCCACTGTCTTTTGTGCCAGTTGGTTCTTGGCTTGTTCATGTTCTTGTTGGAGTTGTGCGAGTTGTTCGGTGAGTTCTTCCATCTCTTTGATATGCGATCTTCGTACACCCTCGATTTCCATGTTCAAGTTGGCACGAATCAGCGACAACTCGTTGATTTGTGATGCGCGGTTGGCCAACTCGGCCGACATGTTTTCGACGTCCAATTGTATCGACTCGTTCTCTGCTTTGAGCAGGTCCTTGTCGGTGGTGAGTTGTTCGTTGGTCGACTGCTCTTGCATCACCAACTTGTTGAGTTCTTCGTATTTGATGGTAATGTCTGCTAGTTTTCGCTCAATCTCTGTCTTGGTGCTAGCGTCTTGCTTGATGGCTTCGTTCATGCCCTGAATCTGCGACTCGAGTTCGGCCAACTGCACCTTTTCCTCGTCACGCTCCTTTTCCACCTCGGTCACCTTGCTGTTCAATTCCTGCACGCTCTGCTCCAACACTTTTTTCTGTTCGCACACTTGCTCCAAATGGTTGTCGAGTGACTGCTTGGCCTGCTCCAACTCGCTAATAGCCTCTTGCAGCTGACCGACCGTGTTGCCAAGCTCGACAGCCGTCTTTTCCTTTTCTTCAATAGTGTGTTGGTGATTTTTGACAGTCAACTCTAACGTCTCGATTGTCGAGAGGTGTGACCCTATTGTCGTGAGATGCGAATCAATGTTTTGTTGCAACTGTGTTGTCTGTTGCTCCAACTGCTCGATTGTCTGCAACTGCGTATCGACAGTCTGTTGTTTAGACTCTAACAACATTTCTTTTTCCTTGACAACATTCTCCAACGATTGAATCGATTGCACGTGTGATTTGATCGTTTCAAGATGTTCATCTATACTCTGTTGCAATTGAGCAGTCTGTTGTTTATTCGACTCGATCAATCGTTCCAACTCTCCACGCAACCCACTCGAAATACTCTTTTCTTGTTCCATCTGTGCTTCCAAATCCTCCATTTCCACATTTAATTGTTTACAATCCAATTTCAATTGTTCCAACTCTTTCTTTAGTACCTCTTGTCTTTCGATTGCTTGTATTTTATTTTCTTCCATTTCTTGATTCTTATTTTCAATTTCCTTTATTTTTTCTTGTATTTCCTAAATTATTAAATAAACAAGAGTTATAATCAATACTATACTATACTATACTATACTATACTATATTTATATATGTTTGTATGTGTATATATACATTTTTGTGTTCTTCTATTGATTCAATATTATCTTTGACAGTTTGATTTAGGTGACTAATCTCTGCATCCTTTTCACCCAATATTTTCTTTAGTCCTTGAGCTTGATCCATCAATACTTGCAACAAGTCAGTCTCTTCATTTATTTTATTGTTTAGGTTCTTCTTTTCACCTTTTAATGATTTATTTTCATCTTGTAATTGTTGAAATGTTGCCTTTTAAAAAGTAAAAGTAAAAGTATAAGTGTAAGTATACACTATAGTTTTAAAAAGAATATAATATAATAGTATGTGATACATACAGCTATTCTCTTTTTCTTTTCAGTAGTAATAAGATGAGGGGCTCTCTGCATAATAGAATCCAAAGATTCTTTAACTTGATCCATGTTGTTACAATATATATATATTTAAAACTATACTACTATGAATACTACTATATTTAAAATGTGTTTAGAGGTGGTGTATTAAAAAAAAAAGAGGGAATATATATATATATATATGTGATACAAATATAAATAATATTGAATATGAAAGGTTTGTTTGTTTGTTAATATGTGAAATGAAATTAAAATGAATGATGGTGAATAAATATGATGATGATGATGATGATGATGATTAGCAATGAAACGATGATGATTAATAGATTCTCTCCCTATTTCTCTTGTTGTACAATAAAAGATTGCAAATAGATAAAAAACCAATACTTTAAAGTATTAAACAAAAACACTCAAGACAGACCACAAATTTCAATTAAAAATTTTCAAAGAGCCGTTTTTGTAACGGTTATTATTTCCAAGGTAGGTATCGATATGAGCTCTGACATTTTTTGATCACAATTAAACAATGATCATATCAGATTATATTATATTTCATATTATTATTATATAATTGATTTATTTTCCACCTTTTTTACTATTCTTTGTTGCCGTACTATTTACATTATTATTATTATTATTATTATTATTAGGGTTTCCCAAAGATTCTTTCATTTTTGCGTTTCTTCTTGCTCTTGCATTACTAACACTTGATTGTACAAGAGTTCTTGGTGATGCCATTGGTTTGACTCCAAGAATTTCCTTTTCTAAATGTTTGTTCTTTAATACTGGTTTAGGGTTACTTGGTTGTTGGCTATTATTATTTTTGGTATTAATTGGTGAAACCAAAGGTTCTTCAACAATGGTAACTTTTTTAATGGTTCTTTTCTTTAGTTGGACTTTTCCTCCATCACTTTCATCTTCAGAATCAATGGTTCTAGTTTGTTTGATCATTGTTGATTTCTTCATTCTTGAAAATGGTTTAAATGATGGTTTGGAAATATCAACTGCTGCTGTTGAAGTACTGGTAGATGTAGTAGAGGTTGTTGATGTAGTTGGTATGATGGTTGATGATGAGGAGGATGAAGATTTTTTCTTTAAAGGAGTGATTTCCCTTTCATCATTATTAATTGAATCAAAAAGACTTTTGGTGATATTATTATTATTAGTATTTTTTGGATTAACTTTGACCTTCATGGCAGACTTGAAAAGACCAGAGTCATCAAGATCTCGGGATCCATCCTCAGTTTCATAGTCTGCATGAGTAAATGAATCGGTGTACTTGGAGAATGAGGTTGATGAGTCGCCTTCACTGTCCGAGACATATGGCTCCTCGGTTGGGTACCCAAACTTGGTGGCCGATGACACTATGGCTGCTTGGAAGTTGGCGGGATTCTTTTTGACCGTCGACTTGGTAGTTGACTTGTTTTTGGCGACTGTCGAGCGACTGGGAGTCTTGAATACACGTGGGTTGGTGGAATCACCATTTCTATCAGGCGACTTGTTTCCGCCGAGATCTTCGAGTGAGAGTGATTGGTTGGCTGCTGCAGCTGCTGCAGCGGCGTCATCCACTTGTTGCAACTGCTCCTTTTCAAGAATAGAGAGTTTGAGATTTAAAGAAGGGGGTGCGGTGAACGAGGGCACGGTAAATTGGAGGTTGGCAAGTTGGGCCACACGCTCGTTCATGGCATAATAGTTGTTGTTCATACGCTCAATGTCCTTGAGAATGTTGAGCTCTTGCTCAGTGACCGCCGTAGGCATGCGAGCCAGCGACTTGATGTCGTAGAGATTGAGCAGGCGGTTTCGTCTGTCTTCTTCACTCTCCTCTGCTGCTGCTGCTGGCTGTTGCTTGGATGCAGTGTTTGGGTAGTGGGAGAATCCCGTACGGTAGCCAGGGGTTAAGAGTTGAGGAGTATATAGTACAGTGCTGTTTTGGTGATAGTGACTAGACATGGGCGTGAAAAGGAGTGCGGATGTATTGGGATTTGTGTTATGGTAGGCAGCAACCAGCGACGACGATGTCTGCTTAGGTGTCATCAATGCAGCGATCGACTGGTTGAGCAGGTCCGTGTGGTGATGATGGTGGGTAGCAACTGGCTTGATCGAGCTTGGTGGGTTGGGACCCATGCCAAGCGATGCGGGAAGAGCACCTCCCGCAGCAGGGTTAGAGAAACCCATCGCGCCGGCCAGCTTCATACTTCGCTTTCGTCGTTCCTCGCGTTCTTCACGTTCTAAACGGTCGCGGTCCTCGCGCTCGCGCTTGGCGGCGTCTTCACGCTCCCTCTTTCTCTTTTCAAGACGCTGTGCCTTGTCGCGGGCTGCATCTTCTTGGATCTTTCTCGCCTGCTCTTCAAACTGGGCGTCCATCGCCTTGACCATGATTTCATTGTCAATCTCCATCTTTTTCTTCTTGGCACGTTCCAACGCCTCCTTTTCCGACTTGTCCTTTTCATAGAGTGCACGACGCTCGGCAAGCAGACGCTCCTTTTCCTTGGCCGACGCCAAGCTCTCCTGCTTGGACTTTTCGTCGGCGGCCTTTTTGGCTGCATCGCGTCGCTCTTGCTCGGCACGCTCCTCGCGCTCCTTTTTGTCCTTTTCCTCCTTGTCTTTTTGCTTTTGCACGCGTTCCAAACGCTCCTTTTCCTCGGTCTGGTCGCGCTTCTCCTTTTCCAAACGTTCGCATTCCACTCGGTCTTGTTCGGCACGCTTCTTTTGCTCGGCTTCTTTTTCAACGCGTTGGCGCTCCTTGAGCTCCTTTTCCTCGCGCAAATCTCGTTCCTTGCGTTCAGCCTCGACACGAGCCTCCATCTCTCGCTGCAAAGTCATCGTCTGCTGGATATCCTTTTCATCGGCCTGTGAACGCTCCTCGATCAGACTCTTGGCCTGCGTCTCGAGCTGTTGCTTGAATTGGGTGATGGCGTCCTCGGTCTCTTGCAAGGTGCTCTTGCGATCCCTGCCTCCCAAGAGGAACTGTTTCTCCGTCTCTTCCTTTTCAGCACGTGCTCTTTGTTCACGTTCCTTTTTCTCTTTTTCCTGTGCCTCTCTTCTTGCTTGCTTTTCACGCAACAGTCTCTCCATCTCCTCCATCTTTTCTTGTTGTTCCTTTTCCCATTGTTCTCGTTCCTCTTGTTCTTGTTGTTCTCGTTTATCTCTCTCTTCCTTTTCTCTCTCCACTCTTTCTCTCTTTTCTCTCTCCAAGTTTTCCTTGGCTTCTCTTCTTTCAATTTCCAACTTTTCCAATCTTTCTTTTTCCAATTTTTCCAATCTCTCCTTTTCCAAACGATCTCTCTCCAACTTTTCAACTCTCTCCTTTTCAACTCTTTCCATTTCAAGTCGTTCCTTTTCCAATCTTTCTTTTTCCAACTTTTCAACTCTCTCCTTTTCAACTCTTTCCTTTTCAATTTGTCGTTCATTTTCCAATCTTTCATTTTCCAAACGTTCTTTTTCAACTCTTTCCATTTCAAGTCTTTCAGCTTCGAGATTGAATGGGATTACATCTGGATTTACATTGTTTTGATTGTTGTTATTATTATCAGAGGGTGACTTGGGGTACTTTGTTGTTGAAGAGGCAGCTGTTTTGCTAGCCGACTTGGCAGCACTCTTTTTCTTTGATGATGTTGGTGTTTTTGGTGGTTTGGGTTGTGGTGTCTTTGGTTGTGTTTGTTCTTGTTCTTGCTCTTTTTGTTGTTGTAGTTCCTTTGAAGGAGTAGTCTTTGTAGGAGTCTTTGCCTTTGATGGTGACTTTGCAGTTGGAGGAGCTCTTGAAGGTGTTGATGTTGTTGGTGATGCAAGGTCTGGATTGGTATCGATGGTGATCGATTTCTTTGCAGATCCCTTTGAAGGAGTGGTGTTTGTCTTTGTAGGGGTGGTGTTTGTCTTTGTCCTTGTCTTTGATGATGTTGAAGGTGTCTTGGCAGGTGTCTTTGCAGACATCTTTGATCGAGCTGGTGTAGATGGGAATTCAAAAAAGTTTTCATCTACTTGGACCTCTTCTTGGGCCTCTTGTTCCTCCTCATCTTCATCCTCTTCTGACACTATTTTAATGGTTGGTTCATCTAATTGTTCAACTATATAATTAAACCAACATGTTAATATCCATTCGTTCTTATTTGTCAGTTCATTCATTCATTCATTCATTCATTCAATTCATTCATACCTTCTTTAGCAGCATCAGTAGTAATGTCACTACTATTATTATTATTATTATTATTATTATTATTATTATTATTATTATTCTTATTCTTATCATCATCATCTTCATTCCAATACGATAATATATTTACATTGCCAATCTCATCCTTTTGTTGTGTGTTGGTTGCAATGGAAGCATTCAACGGGTTGTTTGGGATGATTGATGAGCCACCTTTACTCACTCTTCTTTTATATGCTCCTCCTGCTCCTCTTCTCTGTAACCAATTACAATTGTCGATAGATAGATAGATTAGTATATTGTATACAATATATATTACTTGTTGTCTCTTTTGTCGTCACAAGATATGACATACCTTTCCATCTGTATGATCTACAGATGTATCCATTTCTCTCTCTCTCTCTTTCTTTCTTTCTTTGTTTCTTTCTGTTGTTCTTTGTTTGTTAGTATACTCTTCAACTCTTATGTTTCCGAGACCTACAATACAATATATAAATATAGAAAGATAGATATCTTATTATCGAGAATGCAAATAGAAATAGATAAATTTAAATAAATCACACAATGAATGATACTGATGAAGAGACAAAAACTTTTTAAAAAAAGGAGGGAAAACCAAAACACGCTTTATTAAAAAATAATATTTTTGACAGGAATTCAAGAGGGTGGATTTGAATATATATATAATAATATTATGGGAACTTGTTGATTGATTCAATGTACATAAAATATCTAGCCCTACTAATTAATTAATTAATTAATTAATTAATTAATTAATTAATTAATTAATAATGGTTGGGTAAATATTGATTTATTCAACACTGACTGCCTGCAGTTGTGGTGGTTAACAACAAGTTGAATGATGTGACTTTACTTTTGGAATACTATCAAATTGTTTGTGACATTTTGGGCATTCTAAAGGCCTATCTTTAATTGCCAACATCTTTTCCTTGTCAATCTAAAACAAATAAATGAATTATTCAAGAGTAAGTTATAAATTATAAATTGTTTTTGATTCCATCCTTGTCCTTACAGTAATCTGATTATTTGTTTCCAACATTCCAATAAATTCATTTTGAGGAATATAAAATTCAGTTGTAAATGATTGCCAATGTTCTTTTCTCTTTAATTGAGGTGTATTGTAATCTTTGGTATTAAAGTGCATGTGTAATTGTCTCATTGATGGAATGGCATGGAATCCAACTTGAAGGTTTTTATCAATATCAATTGATGGATAATTCTTTTTAATATAATTCATTCCATCTTGGTACATCTTTTTTAATAATGGTATATGTGATTTGGAAAGTTGTTTGAAATTTGATATCTAAAAAAAAATAAAAGATAATTAAAATTAAATTAGTTTTGTATCTTTTCTCTCTCTCTGATACTGATAAACATACATGTTCTCTTGGAAGCATTAAAAAGTGATATTTTGATTTTGGATAAACATCTTTAATCAAGACAACTTGATCATCATACCACACAACAACATCTTTATGACCTTCTGGATCATCACAATAGGGAAGTAAAGCATCACTCCATGATCCTTTTCCTTTACTTGTTGATGGTTTTGGTTTTGGTGGAACAATGGTTGAGTTATCCAATTGTTGTTGACTATTTGTAGATGTTGTAGAAGTAGAAGAAGTAGAAGTAGTCGATGTTGTTTCTTCTTCAACTACTTTTTTCATCTTTGTTTTATGATCAGAGTCATAAAGATCTTTATCATTATATTCACCATCATTTTTGTTTTCTTGTGATCTCTTTAAAAGATTTGTTGGACTAGTTGTAGGAGCGGTATTAGGAATAACATCAACCTTTACATGAATAGGTCTTTCATCTGGAATGATAAATGATAATATTAAACCTTGACTATACTCTTTTCCAATATTGATTACTTGATTTGACCCCTTTTGAATTTGTTGACCAACCAAATCTTGTACCATCACTCCCTTGGTCGTTGACAATTGTATAAATTGTGTATAATCTTGAATAAATGATGGGTTTAATCCTAACTATAGATATAGGTTATCAAGCTATTAGTTAGTCACAACTATTAATGAGAATGTGTATGTACATATATACTACACATACTTGTGAAATTAAAAGTTGTTGACTATTTAAACCAATAGAGAGTTCTACTTGTTTTCGACTGATTCGATCATCACCAATATCCAACAGACCTCTTCCAACATTGAATGGGTTCTTTTCCAAATCGATTGTTAACGGTGTAAGAGATTGTCTCACTGATGTATCAGGGTCACTCCACACTCTTGATAATACTATCTTCATCTTGTTGCTATGATTATTATTGCTTGATGATAATGATCGATAAGATAATGACAAAGATGACGACGACAACGATGATGATATTATAGATGATAATAATCTTTTACTTTTATGCAATAATAAACAAGAAGAAGAGTTCATATGTCTCGACAACTCTCTTCATTTACATATGCTTGCTTTAAAATAAAAATAAATTAAAAATACTTTTATTTCTTCGAAGAAGTTTAACTGGTTGTTTTTAGCTTAACTTTTATTATTAAATTAATTAATATATTTATTTTTGGAACGACGTGTATGTATGTATTTTAAAATATCATTCTATTTATTATTTTTTAATATATATATATAGATAGAATATAACATCCTATCTATCTATTTCTATCTGTCTGATTTGTCTATTTTGACCAAATAATTGGATGAGTGTTTATGGTGTGACGAACAAAGACATTTTGAGAAGCAAGGGAGGCATGTTCATTGGATGCAACCTTTTTGTAACGACCGTCGGGTAACATTTCCCAGGCGGTTGGATCGTTGATGTAGACGTCGATGATGGAACGCAGCTCTTTGATGTTGGCTGGGTCCTCGACAGGGACAAGTGTCTCAACTCTTCGCTTGAGATTACGATGCAACCAATCGGCACTGGCAATGTATGCCTTGGGTGCACCACCATTGGAGAAATAGTAGATACGACTGTGTTCGAGGAATCTACCCAGGATACTAATGACACTGATATTGTGGCTGATGCCAGGGATACCTGGGAGGATTCTGCAGCGACCTCTTACGACCAATTTAATAGTGACACCTGCTACACTAGCATGATACAATGCATTGACAATACGTTTGTCATCCAGTCCATTCATGACTGCTAAAATGGACGCTTCTTTACCTTCACGTGCATTTCTCGCTTCAGTCTCGATCAATTGGATCAGAGTAGATCGCATGTTCATCGGAGCAATCAATAGTTTTCTAAAAGAGGTGATACGACTGTACCCGGTGAGATAGTTGAATAGATCGCACATGTCGGCACCCAACTGCTGGTCACAACTAAAGAGACACATGTCGACGTAGATATCGGCTGTGCTCGAGTTGTAGTTGCCCGTTGAATAGTGCAAATACTCACGGAGACCATTCTCCTCCTCGCGCACCACCATAGCAATCTTGCAATGTGTCTTGAGACCGACCAACCCATACGACACGTGACAGCCAGCCTGCTCGAGCAATCTTGCATACTTTGTATTCTGTTCTTCGTCACCCGACGCCTTGAGATCAACCAATACACTCACCTCTTTATGAGATGCAGCTTCACACAATGCTCTAATCAATTGAGAGTTGGAACTAGTTCTATAAATGGCTATTTTAATGGCCAACACCTTTGGATCTTTCACTGCACTTTCGATGAACAATTGGACACTGCTATTAAAACTAACGTAGGGTAATTGAACCAACAATTCACCTTTTCTAATGACACTAAAGATATCTTGTTGAGGATACTTGGAGAGGTTGACGAGACGACTTGGGATGTGTGGTATCCAAGGTTCGAATTTGAGATGAGGTAGATTCAACTTGCAGATTTCAAAGAGGTCGGCCAATCCCAACAACCCATCGATAATGTAGACATCTGCGTCGTCGAGGTGCAACTGTGTGATCAACATGTCGAGAATATCCTTTGGCATGGAGGCAGACACTTCGAGTCTGACCATTGGTGCAAACTTTCGTTTGTGCAACTCGGTCTTTATCAACTCGAGCAGATCGTTGGCATCGTCTTCATTGAGCTTGAGATCATAATGACGAGTCACTCTAAAGAGACATTTGGTGAGCAGTTTAGTGTTGGGAAAGAGTGTGTCTAGATTGGCCAAAATAATCTCCTCCATTGGAATCAAACTGTATGGTTGACGTTGTTTAATGTGTACGAATCTAGGAATCTTGAGTGGTACCTTGATACGAACAAATCTAGTATGCCCCTCTTCATCGTGTTGAAGAACCACTGCAATATTCAAACTGAGATTACTTAGATTTGGGAATGGATGTCCTGCATCAACTACCAATGGTGTCATCAATGGGAATACATGTTGTAAAAAGAATGCTCTTAATTGATATTTTTCTCCATCTTGTAAATCGTCATACCTATTCAAGTTTATAAAAAATGTAATTTAATTAATTATTCATCCCTATCTCCAATATATATTATATTATATTTAGTTACTAACATACTTTAATAAATTAACATTATTTGCTGCCAATTCTGGAACAATCTTATTATTAAATAGATTATATTTATCATTGATTAAATTTCTAGTTGTATTTAATACCATGTTTATGTATTTTTCCTCTGGTTTTAATGATTTTCTTGTTGAAATAAATCCAAGTCGTAACTATAAATAAATAAACATATTAATATATATTATGTATACTTATTTTTTTTTAGTTTCTACATACTTTGAGAGCACGTTTACAAAAATACATATCAATATTTTGAGAGGTGATGGCAAGGAATCTTAATTTTTCAATTACTGGTACAGCAGGATTATAAGCTTCATATAATATTCTATAAAAGTAAATTAACTCGGTCAACTCTCGATTGAAATAATGTCTTGATCCAGAGAGTTGTAAAATCTTAATGTCCAATGGAAGATCATTGTCCATTCCAGGTACTTGTTGTTGCTGTTGTTGTTGTTGTTCGCTGGTGGTACCAAAACTATTAAAATACTTTGGGATGGCAGTACTATTATTCAAACTACTACCACCAGCATTGTTTGGCATTTGATAATAGGATGATGCCATGGATGGATGGTTGAGTGTGGTCGATTGGAGAGAGGTGTGTGATGGATGGGACAAGATATCTCCAACAGACTGTGACTGGAGAAGACGGGGAGTGCTATCACCCGGAGTCGATGGATACCCTCCTGCGGGGACACTGACATCTGAAAAGAGATTGTCAATGTCAAGGATAGGGTGTGAGCAAGTCGGCACGATAAAGACATTGTCTTGCTCGTCCCATACGTGTGGGAGATACTCTGGGTCTGGTAGAACGCGTCCTAGGTTAGGGTCACCCGATCCCATCAGTGTGGTGAGTAACGGTTTACTGCCCGACGGAATGATCTGGGGGTTCTGGTTCTGAAGGATATTCGAACAGCCGAGATTGCGGAATCCCATCAATGACGACGACAGATTATGTTGGGTGGTGAGTGGCTGGGGTGGATGGTGGTGGTGTTGGTGTGAGGACGACCCTCCTCCTGCACCCTTGACAAACTCGGTTGGTGAAAAGAGTGGAGAGTTGGCTTCACTTCTGATCAACGAATGGATCTTTTTGTCTTTTCCAAGATCCAAAGAATCTCTTCCGTCCATTGACTTTGATTTTCCCTTTCCCTTTTCCTTTTTCTTATCTTTATCCTTTTTTGATCTAGTAGAAGAAGAGTTGTTGTTTGTGGTTGTTGTTGTTGTTGTTGACGATGTTGAAGTTGTATTGTTGTTGTTGTTTGACTTTGACGACTTCTTTTTATTCATCTTTTTCGACTTTCTTTGTGCATTGTGATTGATCATTGAGGATGGGGTTGGGAGGGTATGGTGTGGAGCAGGGGGAAGATTAGAGGTCGACGAAGAGAGTGATGAAGACGACGATGGGGATGACGGTGCCATGTGTGGGTGACTGAGACGTCCGTTACTGCTGCTGTTTGTGAGAGCGTCCATGCCAAAATAGTCAACGTCGCTGTCAGTGTCGTCGCTGTCGTCCGTCTCATATCGGTCCTCTTCCGAGCCGTCCTCAGAGTACTCATCCTCTTGATTGGTTCTCTCGTCATCGCTATCCAAACTTGAATGCACATCACTCTCAATCTTGTTGTGGTTGTGTAACAAGTGAATCACCTCTTCATCTTCATTTGCAGATGAAGTTACAACTCCATTTGTTGATGATGTTGGTGTATCTAGTTGTTGGTTGTTATTATTATTATTACCATGAACAAAAGAGTGGACTGGTAACAAAGGTTCTCTACCATCATTATCATCTAACTCGATCGATGGTTTATCATCATCAATATCTCCAACCGATAACTCTTTTAATTGTTGAGTAGTTGCAACTATTGGTGAATCATTGTCACTTGTAATTGGTATGTTTTTCGCCATTGTCATGTCTTGGAGAGAAAGGAAAAAAAAAAAAAAAAGAAAAAGATAAGGAAATTAATAAATAAATTAATGATTCCACAATTTAATGTATTGAACATGGAAATTGATATTGTAACTATAGTTGGTTTAGTTGGTAGGTATTAACCAAGCCAAGAGAAGATGTGTGTTTGAACAATATTATTATGATTCTTTTTTTAGGTATAATATCTTGCAAAAGTAATAATAATACTGATTTTCATTCAAACATGAGAGTGAATGACTGTCACTTGTTTAGATTTAATTTATAATCTGGAATATAATAATAGCAACAACAAAAGTATATCTTTTGATTTTCCCCTCCTTGTCCTCGCCAACCAACTAAACTAAACTATACATTATCTTTTTCTAAAAAGAATGAATCAACATACCAGCAGTATCATTATTATTACCATTATTTACCAAAGTTGAACCATTGATAAACTCTGTCGAGAGGGAAAGTTTCTTTGTCCCTTTATCATTCATATCCATGATGTATGATATCAAATGAATGATAATTAATTTAAATATATAAATAATTTGATTTAATAACTTTATCTTTTTTTTTTTATTCTCTTTCTCTCTTTCTTTCTTTCTCTCTCTCTCTGTCTCTTTTTATCTTATTATTATTATTAATATTATAATATATTACTACACTATGAAAATCAAAATAAATAAATAGAATAAATAAACCAAAACTATTAATTATTTTAAATGAATGAATAATTGAATTGAATAATGAATATAAATATTAGATATCTCTATACTAGTATATATTGTGTCAAATATAATTATGCCCTCACTCTAGAGTGTTCAGACTTCATCATCATCTTGTTTAATCCATTTAAATGTGTAATTTAATTTATTTTATTCCTTTTTTGTTTTTTTTTTACTTTACTTTGTGTATGCATACCTACCCCTCTCTTGCTTTGGTGTACATGTATATTTTTTTGTGTGTCTCGCTAGCTACCTTGCAGCCACACCACCACCACTACTACCACCACCAACTACAAACCCTCACTCACTCACCACATTTCATTGATGGTTGGTTGGTTGGTTGGTTGGGTGTGGGTGTCTGGTGGTGAGAGAGGTAGAGGACTCAACCTTGATCAACAACAACAACAAGACAAGTTGTCTCCTTTTTATTCGTCATTAATGCTATTATTAGTTTAGTTGGCTTAAGAGTGATTGACACTTACTTGTAATGATTTATGCCATCATTGGTCTCGACCAACCAATCAACCAAACAACCAACCAATCTGAATAGGCAGACTCTACTCTAATCAGTATGTCTCTCTTTTTCTTTTTTTTTTGTAAAAGTTAGCAAGTTAATCAATAACCTTTAGCTTTACCCATTTAAATATAGTTGTTTAATATATAATGTAATATTATGTGTTGGGTTGTCAAGCAAGGTAAGGTAATATAATATAAATTAAATATCTTTTCATTCTTTGATGATCCTCTTCCTACCTATGCACCATAATGATTGACCGTTGATCATGGAATAGAGAGAGGGAGAGGGGTAAGTGGAAAAAGACGAAAAGAGATGTGGTGGTTACATCAAGTTGTGTTGAGGGGGGCCGAGTAAACTAAGCTAAAAAGGAGAGAAGTGCGTGAATCAATCTTTGAAGGTGGGCTCCACAAAAAACAGATTTTTAATGTTTTTTGTTTGCAACCATCGAGGAGAGAGATAGATAGACATAGATATAGTTATAATATCTTGTATCTATATATATTGGCATCACACCTAACCCAACCCAACCATACATATTAAATAGTGTACAAAGAGAGAGAGAGAGAGAGAGAGAGATAATAGATACAGTTTAGAGGGATACGTAGATAGACTTTAGTAGTTACAATGTTTAAAATTTTGTATGTTTTCACAACCACCAAGTGTTATTACTGATGTGATTGATCATCACAAAGATGACACAGTTAACTTACTCACTTTGATACTTACTACTACTGTATTGTACTATACTTATATAATATAACTATTATAGCGCATCAAAGGCACACACATTCAAACCAAAGAAAGCAATAAAGAAAGGAACTAAACAATATGAATTGCACGCAAAGATAAAAGAGACATTGGGATCAGGCGACTTGACCGATGCCATCAAACTACCACCAAATGAAACATTACATGAATGGTTGGCTGTAAATAGTAACTATCATCGATATAAAACGAAAAGTGTATATCATGTATAATGAATGTATTGACTAACAAATTTGTTTATTCAAATAATGAATCAATGATGATGTAGCTATCGACTTTTTCAATCAATCTAATCTTTTATATGGATCGATTACAGAGTTTTGTACAAACAAGATATGTCCTGTCATGAGTATCTATAACATGAATGAATGAATGAATGAATGAAGGATAGATGAAGATTAGTAACACTCAATTTTTGTTTCAATTAATTTACCTAGGTGCAGGACCACAATACGAATTTTTATGGGCAGATGGAAAAGATATAAAGAAACCAGTTCGTGTATCTGCTCCTGTATATGTAGATTATTTAATGACTTGGGTTCAAAATACACTTGAAGATGAGGAAATATTCCCTTTGAATCCTAGTATGTATTAGATAGATTGTGGATTATATATATATATATATAAAATAGATGGAATCTGCTGCTGCTGCTTCTGCTTCTGATCAATCAATTGATTAATTAATTAATTAATTATTTATTTTATTTTATAGCAACTGAAATGTCAAAGAACTTCCTTCCAACTGTAAAGACTATTTTCAAAAGATTATTTAGAGTTTATGCACATATTTATTACAGTCATATGGATAGAGTGGGTCCACTTGGAGTTGAAGCCCATCTCAATACCTGTTTTAGAGTATGATTTTCTATTTTTTGTTGGTTAAATATCATTATTTATGAATGAATGAATAACTAATTATATTATATATTTCTTTTTTATTATTATTATTTCATTCTATTATTATTATTTCATTCTATATAGCACTTTTATTTATTTATTAAAGAATTTAACTTGGTTGACAAAAAGGAAATGGCACCATTGCAACACCTCATCGACAAAATCAATGCCAGAAAGGATTAAGATAAAAGGAGTAATAGATACTTACTACTATTGTCCTCCTTTATTCATTCATAGATTATTTATTTAAACAAACACTACCCTAACCCTAACAACCCAACCCACAAGAAATGTATTACTTTAAACGTTCGATTGTATAATGATTTCAAAAAAACACAAACTATGGTTCAATATGTATATTTGATCAGTCCAACCTTGATAAGGGCTGGAAATAGATCGATGATCATCACCACCACCACCACCAACAACAACAACAACTTCCTATTTTTACTTTTAATCTTTTAACCAACAACATAATTAATATTAACTTGCTTCCTTCTACCACCAAAAAACTGTACTGTAATAAACCTTACCTTGTCTGCCATTTATTTTAATGACTGGAAATAATTATTTATTTATTTATCGACAGTACCTAAATTATTAATTAAATTGTCAACCTTTTCTCAAACCGAATGGGGTACCAAAATATATATGAGTAGAATCATATTGTTCTTGATTGATTGTTTTACGTTGAGTGATTGTATCTCCATCGTCATCAACAAATGTTATGATTTTTGATAATAATAGATGAGATAACTTTTAGCAGACTTGTCATCTTTAATAAAGGTAAGGTGTGCAAATAATATGAATGAAAATAGAGATATTTGAATGTAGATGCGAACCACCACTAGTATACTTCACCTTTAAACAAATAAATTAGCACATGTACCACACCCACCTGTTCATTCATAAGCTAATTGAATACAATTGTAATTATATTTAAAATGAAATGAAACTCTTGGAATTACTTTAAAGTGGAACATTCATGCGTTCAATGACAATGAAAGTGGAACATGTTGCAAATATACCTTGTCTCGGTAATATATTTTAATAATAATAATAATTGTCTATTCATTCACCAATACAATACATGATGATGTATAACATTTCATTCATATATTTCTGAAGAGAGGTTGAATTGAGCCCAACCTCTTGTCGGTCCTTGGGTCATTTCAGACTATTCTTGAAAAAGAAAATAAATAATAAAAAAAATACTGGATGGTCGTGTCCAGTGCGCTTGCATTTTTTGGAGTGACTGTACTCTTGTTGAAACTGGCGGTTTTTTTTCAATCTTTTTCAATAGAATATTAAAACGATGGTTGATCGGTATTATCAAAACCAAAACGTGCGAATCAATGACCAAGTCGAGTAGATGGATGGCGATGCTGCCACCCTCATCAAGAGTAGATTCGGGTTTGATAAAAACAAACACAGTGGTGGTGGTGGAGTGGTGATGATGTGTTTGTTGCATGAATAGAATTGAATGTTGGTGTTGGGAATCTACTAACCCGTTAAGATGTATGAGGGGGGGGATTGTTAATGGTGGCGGTATTGACAACAACGAAAACTCACCACATTGCGGTCGTGCACTGTACCACCAACACCAACACCACCACTCGCTAGCAAGAGATTGAACGAGTTGGTATTGCCAACGATTGATTTGATTTAAAGTATGAAAAGGGGGATCTGTATTAAAATGCGATTGACCCAACGTTGATGGAAACCGATGGACGTAGGCCACCCCCATAGGTCCATCAAGAACCGGACCAATAGGGAGCACTCCCAGGTACCTTGGTACTCATATTTTCAAGTAGGAAACGGCAATCTAAAATTTGATGGGTGGGGGTGGTATTGGTATTGGTATTGATTGATATGATGATGATGACGATGATTCGATTAGATGATGGACAGTGCTTACTGCCAAAATAACAATAACCGGAGATGATGTTATTGTCAACAGAACAAACAAACCCCAACAACAAACTGCGCGTGCAACAGCAGAAGCAGCAGAAGCAACAATAACAACAACAACGAATCGTTTAAATATATTAGCAATCTACATACAAATAACAAATAAAACAACAAATAAAACAACTAATAATAATATTCCTCTTCACCATCGACATTCAACCATCCCTTCCCAACAGTATTGTCATCGTTGTAACTCTCCTCCTTACTCTTACTTGTTCCATTAATTTACTACTACGACAAACCACTACCTACTAGTATATCTCTCTTTTTCCATTTTGCCAAGAGATTAATATTTGGTTGTGCCGATTTTATTACTCATACTCGAACACAAAGACTTGTGTTCATTGCCAGTATCGATACACGGACTAAATATTTGTTCCCTTGTCCAAAGAATATATACGCGAGTATAACAAGGATAGAGAAAATATATATTATTTCTATATATCACATTCACATTCTATATTCAATTGAATAATAGTATTATTAAAGTTTCTATTTATACAAATATCGAAACGATTGTTTTTAATCACCCCCTCTTTTTCCATACCACCTTCCCCACTCACACACACATATATATATATATATTATATATCTCTTATACATACACACCAATTTTAAAAAATGGAACCAATCAATGATGAAAATGAAAATGATTACAAAGTTGTCATTGTAGGATGTGGACCAAATGGATCGGTGATGGGAAATTTGTTGGGTCTTTATGGCATTAAAACATTGATCATTGAATCCAGTGATCATCTCAACACAGTTCCACGTGCTGCCCATCTTGACGACGAAGCCATTCGTATCCTCCAATTTATTGGATTAGATAAAATTGTTTTAAAAAATTCTTTTGTATGTACAAAAACAAAATAAATAATAATACAATCCAATTCTTTTGATTATCCTAAATAATTATATAATTTATATTAATAATTATTTATTTATATATATATATATATATATTTAGCCACTAGATGTACAATTTAATAGATATAATAGTAAGAAAACATTTTTAAATATAAAGAATACAGAGACTGAATTTGGTCACCCTCGATCAATATTTTGGTATCAACCACAATTTGAACAAATACTTGCCGATGGGTTAAAGAGATACCAAGACAATGTTGTCGATGTATGGCTTGGCCATCAAGTCAACGACTACCATTACGAAAAGTCATCCAAATCAAATTTGATCAACGTCACTGAAAATGCCAACGGTCAATCGAAATCCATCAAATGTAAATATATTATTGGCGCCGACGGAGGAAACAGCTCGATTCGCAAGTCGATGGGATCCAAGTTTTCGGGTGAGAGTGGGGCGATGAGATGGCTTGTCGTCGACGCTATCCTCGATGCCGACCATCCGGAGATGAACGGCAGTTTCCAGTTTGTGTGCGATCCTGCCAGCCCGATGCTGACGCTGCCCATCCCCTGCGGCCACTTTAGATGGGAGTTTGTGGTTGCCAACGACAAGACTGCCGAGCAACTAGAGTCTGTAGAGAATGTGAGCGAGATGGTCCGAAAGGCTGGAGCCGATCCTACCAAGATGACCGTCGTTCGCAAGGCTGCCTACACCTTTCAAAATAGAATATCCGATTACTGGTATGACGGCAACTCTGTGTTTTTAATTGGTGATGCTGCTCATTGTCTACCACCCTTTCTCGGAATGGGTGTATCGAGTGGTATGAGAGATAGCTTCAACTTGGCATGGAAGATTAAATTGGCACTCTCCTCAAACTCTACTCGCACCCTCAACTCTAACCTAGTCTTGAATCAGCGATCGTTATTCGAATCGTACATGACCGAGCGAAGACAAGAGGTAGAGTTGATTGGTAAAAAGTCTACGATCGTAGGTGAAATGATCATGTCTACCAGTCTTTACATCACAATCATGCGAGATTTGCTCATCTACATGCTCCTACTCTTCCCATTTGTCCAAACCATCTTTGCCAACAAGGAGATGAAGCCGATTGTTCCCATCGACTATCACGGCTCACTCGTCGATCGCCAACACCTTGTCGACAAGCAAAAACAACTAGACAACGTTCCACCTACAGGTATCAAGAGATTAGACGACAGTGGAATTGTCCGACAAATCATATTGACTTTGATGATCCTCCTACACACCATCAAATCTTTCTTTTCCTCCTCTTCCTCTTCCAATGCCCACAAGAACAAGATTGGATTTAGAATCCCACAACCAAATGTTACATCACAAGGAGCAACTGTCGACCTATTAGATAATGTATTGGGGTTAGGATTTAGTTGTATCATTGTCAATGCCGATAAAGATACCTACGATCAAATCGATGTAGACTCTCCCATTTGGAGTCTCCTCAATACAACCTTTGTTAATATCAATGATGACTCTGATGAAAAGGTAATGATGCATCACTCCAAGCAAGAAAAGGTTAAAAGCTTTACCTTGTCGAATCAAGATCACAAGAAATCATTCCATCAATTCATCTGCTCTGACAATACCACCACCACCACCACTGAAACGACAGTGATCATTGTCAGACCAGACAAACATGTCTATGGTATCTACAAAGGAGTCAATGATATCTCTACCATCACTCATTCCTTACAATCAACCTTTTGTATAAATTCAACTAATAGAGAAAATTAAATTAATTAATAAATCAAATTAAATGTATCAGATGCTGTGATTGATGACTGAACAGACATGAATATCATATCATATCATATCTATCCTATCTCTATCATAGTGTACATATATATTTGAGTATGATGATGATCATTCTCTCTCGTTTGGAGTGAGAGAGAGAGAGAGAGAGAGTGGGGTGAATCATTATAAACTTATTTTTGCGCGAGTAATTCCTCTCCCCCTACCCTCTCTTACTCAGTACCATCCACCGTCATCAAAAGAGTGACTGGAAGGAACATGTACGGTAACTTCACCCCTCATTATGAACAAAAATAAAAATAAAATAAATAAAAAAAAAATCCATTTTTCAATAAACATTAAAAAACTCCTTCCTTCCTCCTCTACTTGCTTCATCAATCAGAAGATTCTACTTTTTACTAGTATACTTTATATTTGTCTAATAATAATAAAAATATTATATATTATCTGTACAGAAATTTAAATAAAATAATATTATTATCATAATCATATAAATAATTTTATATTAATCCTTTTTTTAGTTCTCAAAAATCTGCAACCTTTTTTTTAATATCTTTGTCTACAGACACGTTTCATTAATTAATTAAATCATCAGACAGTCATCAGTCGGCACCCGACACACAAAGAAACAAACAAAGAAACAATCACATCATCAACATCAACATCATAGGGTAGCGATGGAAAGCTTAATATTGTCATCAATTACAGTTCCTCTTAACATTGCATATTCAATGGTATGTAGAGTTAGGTAGCAGCAATAGTACTAGATAACATCAACAACACAGCTGACTATAATCAATCACTCATTTGAATGATTAACTGATCATCTTCTCTTTCTTTCTATTCCTTTCTTTCTTTCTTTCTTTCTTTCTTCTTCTTCTTCTTTTAATCTATCTACAGGTTTCATTTTTTATGAAACTTTGGTTGGTTCCTATCAATCATATCATTGAATGGATTGCATCACGTATTCAACCACTCGTTGAACCTCTTGTTCATTTCTATCAACAAAACAAATCAAAGATTGTAAGAATATCAATCTACAGTGTGGCTCTAGTTTTACTGTGTGCCTTTATCTCTCTTATCAACTATGCAGTACTCTACTCTTACTTTGTTCCAAAGGTTTCATCTGAAGAACCACTCTATTTTGATTTCAAGTATGACATTAATACTGCGCGCTGAGTGGTTATAACTTTGATTAGTATTAATTAAAACTATTTATTTAATTTATTAATTTAGTGGACATCGATCAGTTGTTGCCACTACTGAAGTTGCAGTATCATTCCAACGTTCACAACTTTATGATATCTATTTGAATTTGGAAATGCCAGAATCACCAAAGAATGAAGATATGGGAATGTTTATGGTTTGTCTAGATCTTGATAGTCAAGATAAATGGAATCCTCATAAATTATTAAGTGTTTGCAGACCTGTAAGTAGAAATATAAATATAAATATATAATAATAATATCCTTTTCTGAAATATATTAATATTATTTATATTTTTTTAATCCTAGGCAACTATCAAATATAGATCACCAATTATTAAATCTATAAAGTCTGTACTCATGTCAATTCCTTATATATTTGGTCTTTATGAAGAGAAACAAGAATTATCAATTTCATTGGTTGAAGATTTACCTTTTAAAAGAGTATGTAAAAAGAATGAGATAAAGAAAACATTTTAAACAATTAATTTATTCTTTTTCTATCTTTTAGTTTTATCAAACAGTTTCAGCTAGTATTTCAATTTTGAATAAGAATATACAAATTTATTCAGCACGTTTATCATTCCAAGCCAAATTATCGGGATTGGAGTATTATATGTATTATTATCCAATCCTATCGTTTTTCATTGGTTTTTGTTCACTCTTTGTTACATGGATGTGTATAGTCTCCTTTATCCTTGTATCAATTTATGTATATAGACATTTTAATAATCCACATCACCAAGAAATAGAAGAAGAAGAACAAGAAGAAGAGGAACAACAAGTAAAAGAAAAGGTTATTAGGGCCGAGGTAAAACAACAACAACAACAACAAAATCCACTTGATATCTCTTCACAATCATCATCGTCATCAATAGATTCAAGATTCGATCCAAATAATAATAATAATAATCTAAACAACTCAACAAACAAGAAGAAAATATTATTTGATTCTGAAGATAATAGTAGTAGTGATGACCTATCTTGGAATGGTGATTTATTAAAAAAGAAAAAGAAAGAATCATTATTTGATACAGAACTTCGATTCGTACTTGACAAGTTGGAATCTGAAGCTGCTGCTGCTGCCGCTGCCAAGCCAGATTCCAAATCTCCCTCCTCTTCTACTCCAACATCATCTACCATTACTCCATCACCTACTCCTTTTGAAGAAGTTTCACCAAAGAAGAAGACGAAACAACAAGATGACTCTAACAAACAAGACAGTAGTAATGACTTGGAGGAAGAGGAAGATGATGGATTAGTACCAGAAGAACCACCAGTCGGACAAACCATTGAAGAAATATCAAGAGTATCATCCATTAGAAGTGATTCTACCAACCCTTCGTCATCGTCTCTCATATCATCAACCACTCTATCATCGTCATCTTCAACCTCTTCAGAACAAGAATCATATGGAAACTCTGGAGCTCTCGTTAATGATGAATGGCACATGATGAGCGGTAGTGACGATGGAGAAATCAATGACAATGTTTCCCAAACTGAACAACCAGAAGAAGAAACAATGCAAGAGGAACAAGAAGATCAAGAAAGAAATGATGGTATTAGAAAAAGAAAAACAAATTAATTTGTAACTCTTCTTGAAGTCTTTATGGTCTCATCTATTTTATAGGGTTTCCCTATACCCAATTTTAAAAAGTGTAAATAATTTTCCAAACAACAATATACAAAAAAAAATAAATAAATAATAATGTTTTTTTAAAAAATATAAATATATATAACTAACATTAATTCTTATTACTTATTATTATTATTATGATTTTTGTTGTTTAATCTTTTTTGAGAAAAATTTACAATTTATTTATTTAAATTAATAATTAAATATATTTAAAGAATTAAAGCAATGAAGCCTAAAATAACCAAAGCAAAGGTAGCCTTGATAGATGAACCAGAACCATGTTGGGAATCGTCACTGTCGCTTGATGATGGACCAGTTGAAGTGGCGGTAGTGGTGGCAGTGGTGGTGGCGGTAGCGGTGGCAGTAGCAGTTCCAGTAGAGGTGGTGTTGGTGGTAGTACCAGCAGTAGTGGTGGCAGTGGTTACGCCGCCAGTGGTAGTATCAGAGGTGGTGGTAGTGTTGGTAGTAGTACCGGCAGTAGTGGCACCAGTAGTAGTGTTGGTGGTAGTTCCAGTAGTAGTGGCTCCAGTAGTGGTATCAGAGGTGGTAGTCGAGTTGGTGGTGGTTCCGGCAGTAGTACCAGCGGTGGTGGTAGTAGAGTTGGTGGTGGTTCCAGCAGTGGTACCAGCAGTAGTGGTATCAGAGGTGGTGGCACCAGTGGTAGTTGAGTTACCAGATGTGGTAGAGGTGGTTCCATTATCTTGAGTGCAGTTGAAAGAAACTCCAGTCTCTTCGTTACACTTGCCACAGGTTCCGTTTTCGGCGGCACCATCAATCAAACGTTGACACTTGTTGTCAGAGTATGGAGTAAATGTGACATCGGTACCAGTGACGTTGACGGAAAAGTAGATTAATGCAGTAGCATTGCATGGATCGGCGGCAGTTACACAGACGGCTGGAAGAGTTACATTGAAACATGGGTTGGTTGGATCACAAGATAATTTATCACCACATGGTAGACAAATTTGAACAGAGGTGGTAACATTTTGTGCCAAACATGAGGCTACAAAGATGGCGAAAATTAAAATGATTGATTTATACATCTTAAATTATTATTATTTTAATGTGAATTAATTAAAAAAAAAAGGTAGGGGTAGGTACTAAGTAATTATTATTATTATTATCCTAAATTGCTAAAAATTAATGATACTACTAGAAACTAATAATATTATTATTAATATATTATAAATATGTCTGGATGATGATGATGCAAACAATGGATCCATACAGGTTATTTATATTTGCTGTTTCTCGGGCACCTGGATAAAAATAATTAAAAATAAATCAAATTTAAATTATTAAGATAATGGGGACACAGTATTCTTTTATTATCTTTTTTCCAATAGTCTACTGCTGGTGTGACGCAATACAACCTATTATAAGGTGATACAAAACCAAAAAAAATCTTCATTTGGTCAGTCGTACAAGGCTTTGACAACGATGCCAGAGACGAAAGAGATAAAATTGCCAGCCAGGAGAATGAATGATTATTCTTAAGGGAATTTGTTGACAAGTTGGTTGGTGGCTATAAAGATATTTTCAGTTAATGCGGTACACATTCACCGAATCCTCATGAATAATTTGAGGGAGGGGTGACAAGGAAAGTGATCATCTATCGGGAAATGAGCGACTACTGGTATCAATCATAGCAACAGGGGGGTTGTTTTTTATTTTAAAATAACCATAGCAATGACAATGACATCACTTTAATTAATATTATTTTATCCTTTTTTATTTTTGAAGGACTACCCCCCCCAATGACTCTGTTCAACCCTTGACAAGTGATGTGTACCCCTTCAGTTTGTCTCGCGACTAAAAAATCAATTTTTACTATAATATCCAAAAAAAGAAGATTCCACCCCCAATTGAAACACAATGAGAGATCACTTTTTCAAAAAGGGTGTAGGTGCTAACGACAGTTCATCTTTCGTTACACCTATTGTTGATCGTACAAGGCAAATGAACGAATGAAGGGGTGTTGGTTGATTTCAATTAATATCGGTCACTTTCATGGAACTATGAAATTATCTGACACCTCCCTCGTCGTTTGTTGTTTGTTCTCCTTCTTTTAGTTGCCGACAGAACTCTTGTTCTCTCCTTACTTCGGTCTTCAACTATTATAATAAATCAAATTTTAAAGATAAATCATTGTTTTGTTTTGTTCTTTATAATAACTAAACAAAAAAAGGAATCATCATATGATGATCTCGTTGAGATATCCGAGTACTATGCACAGTATCATATCCTATCTGACGGTTGTTGAAGTTCATATGACATTTATGATTATGATGATTATAGTATGGGGATGTTAATCCATGGAAGAATACGACTGTTGAGATGAGATCTCTGGTTGCAGAGTTGATGAGGCGGCCGCGTACTGCAAGGTTGGGAAACCAAACCTTTTTTTCAGCCAAAAAAGGGGTGATGGTAGTTAAGAGTTTAGACTCACCAACAAAAGAGAATTTAGTTTAGGTGATTGATTAACTCTCTCACTCTCACACGCCACGCACGCACAACACACACACACAAACTCATCATACAACCAAAACGTAAACACACACACAACGCAACCATCTCTTTTAACAAACAAAACAACAATAACAACATCATCACACACGTCGTTTACTCTCAATAAGCCTTGAGGGTGTGTATTGTGTTGTTGATTGATTGATGTAAATCACTCTCTCTAAAAAAAAACTAGTTGTGTTTCAAAGTACTACTCACTCCCTACTCTTCATTCATTCAGCAAAGTAGTTAGTAGTTGGTAGCAGTAGTATAGTATAGTTGTAATAATATTACTATTTCATCGTTCTATTTATAAACAAATATACAACGACAACGAACGTGGAGGAGGTCTGTCAGGTCAACTCCTTCTTCTTCTTCTTCCTCACCATCCATCAATCTATAATATTATTCATTATCTCCATCCTTATTCTTCCTCAACATCATCATACATACATATAATACAACATATAACAAATCTTCTTCATCTTCTTCATCATCATCATCATTAGTGTACATAGATAAATATATTTAAAAATATAACTACAGGTGTAGGGTTTTGACCCTTTTTTTTTTAATAGTGGAGCAGTATGATGGATCAACTACCGATTTATGTCGTTGAATATATCATATCGTTGGCTATCAACAATCGAGGGTTCTTTGACTCCAAGAGATATAGAGATGGCTACCAACAACAACCTCAGAATCTTCAGTTGGCCAATACCATGAACATCGGATTGGTGTGTCGCAGATGGCGTGTCATTGTCAATCAAGGCCTTTCTCTTATTGAGTTGCATCCTGGCATGATGAAACATCTCTTTTCCCAAAGAAATATTTACTCTACGACCTCCTACCACAACCATCTCCGACAACAACAACAACAACAACAACGACCCATCTCATCACTTAGTTATAATGAAAGGTTGATGAGTAGGAATACAACCGATCCATTCAAGAGATTCGATACTAGCATGCTACTCCGACTTCTCAAAGCATATCCTTCAGTCAAAAGCGTTTACCTTTCATTTTTCCAATTTTTTCGTATAGGCGGCAATCAAAATAATAATCAAAATAATCAAACTAATAATATTATTGATAATAATCATAATATGTATAATAATAATAATAATAATAATAATAATAATAATAATAATAATAATAATAATAATCTTTCAAGTAAATTTCAATCAACACCATCACATCAAAATAATCAAATACTTTCAGAACAAATCATTAAAGAGGTTAAAGAAAGGAATTTATTGTATAATTCAATTGGTGTACAGTGTCTCCAGATTGTGGAATGTACAAATTTCCGGTCCATTACATTTGTCGACTATATACTATCGACCAATTGCCTGACCAATTTGGTGATTGACCAATGTAATCTACGCGACTGGGACCTGTCCGTCCTTTCCTATGCCCTAAAGGCATCGACCAATCCAATCAGTACCGTTAGTTTGTGTCGAAATTGTATCTCTGATGAAGGGTCATATGCACTTTCACAGATGGTCAATGAGAGCAAGACGCTGCGTGAACTCTACCTGTCTCACAATTCGATTGGATCGATTGGAGCCACCTATCTTTCGCAAGCACTACAAAACAACCAATCACTCGTATACCTTGCACTCAACGACAACTCCATCTCTATGGAGGGTGCCTGCAACTTGATCACAAGTCTCGAAGTCAATCAAACACTTGTCAAAATCGATATATCTGACAACTATTTTGATGCACCCCAACTTTTTGAAAAGGTTCAGGTGGCCTTGTCCATCTCCCTCAGTAAATTGTCACAACACTTTGACAGAGTACATATTGACCCCTATTTCAATCAAACCTTTGTCGATAAACTATTACAAGATCTAAAAGAACAAAGAGAAAAGGAATTGGAAAGGGATAAATTGGATGAATTGTTAAAAGAAAGAGAATTAAAAGAAAGTCTAGAACAACAAGAAAATATAAATGAACAAGGACAAGAACAACAAGAACAACAACAAGAACAACAACAAGAACAAGAACCAGAACCGAAAGAGGATAAACTATTGAATCAAAGAGATTATGAATCAATATTAACGCCTCCAACTGTATTAAAAAAAAGAAAAACCGATTAATATAATAAACCTCCTCCTCCTCCCCTCCAAAAATCATATATCTCCTACTATAAATAACATTTATGATATATATAAATAATATATATAATAAAATAAATACAAATATTTTTCTTCTTTTCAATTATTAATAATAATAACATATATATACGATATATGTTATTATACAATTTATAAACGTTTAAATTGCATAGAAGTAACTTTCCATTTTTGACTAAAATGTTTCTCAATCTCTAGAATACCATAGCATTTAAATTTTAGTGGTCCTGGATTGATGATGGTTGTATTGCCAGTGGTAGTCATTCCAACTGCTGCATGCGTATGACCATGAATATTTAAAAATATATCTTCATTCTAAACAATACAATAAATAAATATTAATAGTTTGTCATAAAATAAAGAGAAAGTTGATAAAAATATATATGTATTATATTTACATGATCAATAATAAATTGAGAGATTGATTTACTACCAGAATAAAGTGGTGCTACAGTGATATCAAATTGATCAACTGTTGTTGAAGAATGATGTGGTCCAACATGTGTCAATAGTATAATGCTATCACCATCACGTATCAATGTCTTGTTGTCTCCTCCACTGACAACTGTATTTTTAGCAGTTTCATAGGTTTCTTGTAGATCTCTATTCAAATCATCTTCGTTGGTGTATGGATAACCAACCCATTTTTGTTCACCTTCTCTGTAACCTGGTACACTTCCTCCCAAACCCATAACAACCAAGTCATCTTCCAAACGAATACATTCACGATGTAAATTGGTTGAATATGTTGTCAATCTTGGTTTATCATCTTTTGATAGAGTTGTTTTTGCATCATGCTACATTAAATAAATGATCAATATTTGTAATATGATCTAGAGACTTGAATAGAGGTATATATTTACATTTCCAGGCAAATAATACAAATGTTTATCAATGTTTTCTAGATATGATAAGGCATGACTCATTTCTCCTTCACAAGCGGCAACCTTTTCAACATCACCAGCTTCTTCTGGATCAAAGTTTGCAATATCACCTGTACATATAACCATATCGAATCTATATAGAGACGAGATAGAGAAAGAGTAAGTTTAATCAATCAATAGCAACAGTCAGTTGATTTAGTTTTGGTTATACCTTTGAGCATTCTTATAAACAACATTTGAAAGTTCCTTCAAATGATCATAACCAAGATGTAGATCAGTAGTTAACAATATTCTTTTCCTCTTGATACCATTATCATCTTGATTATTATTATTATTGTTGTTGTTGTTATTGTTATTGTTATTCTCCATCTTGTAAAAAAATGAATGATCTATCTGTATATTGAAAAATTAATATAAAAATGGATCAGTTTTGGAAATTAATAATTAACAAATTAATGATTTATATTAGATAGAAAGTCACAATTTGAAAGATTATATACTAATACATATTTTAGAATCATAAAATAAATAGTATATTTATTCGTTAATTTATTGGTCACCAGTATTCATCGAATTATTTGTATTGGGTATAGATTGCATTTCAATTTCATTTCCATTATTATTATTATTATTATTTTGATTATTATTATTATTATTATTATTATTATTATTATTATTATTATTAATACCTTGATTGTTGAATGATACTATTGTATTATTATCAATAACTTTTGTTTTCATTAATGGAGTGGAGGATGAACCAGAACTTGAAGAAGATGTTGTTGTGGTGGTTGTTAAATCACCAGAAGTGGTTCCACATCCAGATGAATTGGTTGATAGTGTAATATCAAAGTGAATATGGTTGGTTCTAACTAGTCTTAATTTAGTAATCTTTCTACATAAATTCTTGAGGTATTGGAATCGAGTTGATTCTCTCATGGTCGACAATCCAGCAGGATCCAAAACAAATGTGATTAAAATAAATATACCAACATCTGATATACAAATGAGGTTGAGTAATTTAAACTCCATGCCTTCCATATAAGCTTTACATTTATCAAAATCTCTAGTTTCCAATAAACATTTAACAGATTGTTCAATATCCTTTTCATATTCTCTTTGTTTAGTTTCTGCATAGAATTGAAAGAATGATAAAAAGAGGAATGAAAATATCACATAAGCCATTAAAACTCCCATCTTTACCTAAATCAAATACATTAAATAAATAATTAATTAAAACATCCAAGTAAGGATTGTAGGTAGAGTCGGGTGGGTGGGTGTATTTTACATACATTGAATATTAGAACTTTGGTATTTGGACTGAATTTATACATGATAACAATTCTGTAGGTAGCGATACCACAAAATATGCTAGTCATTATAACAGCTATCCAACTTGGTACATAGTAGGTTGCATACTGCCATGCCTTTCCATCGGCACTTGATATCCAACATCCAGTTGATCCAATCGTTGTTTCATATTTGGTTCCCATTAATGGTATGCATGCAAGTAATAATGATCCAAACCAAATACCAACTCTATAATACTTGAAATATGTATTTGGTTCTAAATAGATAGATAGCAAAAAAGGAGTCAGTTATGTTAGAGTTTTAAAATAGACTAGATTAAAGTAACTCTACTTACTCATTAATAAAATAAGAACAAAATCATAACAAAGAAAACTTAACCAAAATATAAATGATAATCCACCAAGTTGAAAGACCGAGCCTTGTAACCAACATATACCGTCACCTTGAGAAACATATCTTCCTGGGTCATCGCTACATGTGAAATTCTCTTTTGCAAATTGTAGGTAGTATTGAAGACAAAGCAAGAGGGTAGCAACCGATAGATGAATTAAAATCTCCATTCTAATAGTTATTTTGTTTGGAAATACACCAAATACCAAAATAGTGACAATGGCACAAAACAATGACAATGGATAAAAGACAGCATCTGCAAGTTCCATACTTTTGTTTGCTTCTTTTGAAAAGATAGAGTATGGGCATGATACAGCACAATTACCATAGATTACATAGTACACTCTTTTAGATGCCACATCCTCTGGAGATACATAAACCAATGGGAATATACAATCATCTACAACTGTACCATTAGAATCACCTGCAAGATTACATTGTACTTTTTCATCTGCCTCACCGCTGACATTGGTTAGATTGTAAAAAGAGTATTGCTGAGGATACTCTGGTTGATTAAAACTATTATTATTATCACATGAAAAGTTTGGATCTACCAATGGAATGTATGTTGCACATACTGATTTGGTTTGTTCTATAGATATGAAAGATTTAATCAACATTAGAATTAAAGGGAGTGATCATTAAATAGGGATAATACATACCACAAACAGAATGACATAAAAATGATGGTAATACAATAGTTGTTGTGTTTGTAGTTGTTATATTGATAAAATTACATGGTTGATAAATCTAAAAGGTAAATGAAATGAAAGAAAGAAATGAATTGAGGTTAGTTTGAAGAATGATCTAAAAATAAATCGAAAAAAAAAGTTGATCAATATTTTTGGTCTAATTACTTACGGTTGAACAATAGTAAATGGTAGCTTGAGTTTTACAATTAACATTATCAATTAAAGCAAGATAAGTCATACTTGATTCGATTGATGTTTGCATAGCCTGTTGTGTAGTGTTTGAAGAAACATAAATCTCTTTATATGAAAGTACATTGTAGCATGGAGATGTTGAGTTGATCACTTCACAACTACCATTTAAATCATATGAACTTGAGCAATCCAAATAAATGGATAATAATAATAATAGTATGGGTAATAAATAAATAATCTGTTTTCTATACATCTTTTGAAAAGAATTGAAATAATATCACCAAGTTGTTGTTCAAGAACCCTTATGTTGGAGAGTTGCCAAAGTATTGAGTTCTCAAAATACAGACTCTTCCCTCAAATATACAACGACGATCAACAAACCATTAACATGTGTCTTTGAACTCCTCCACCCACCCACACACCCATTTGGGTATGCTATCCCTTCAGTAGATGAGTGCTCATCAATGAATTTGAGACGATCGTAGGGCGGGTTCTTTCTATTTATGTTTCTCCTCATCACCCCCCCTAATATATAAAATCGAAAAATCTTTGATACCATGGTTCAAAGGGCTCGTCCCTCAAAATAGGGGCCAATTCCTTGCACACTCTCCTTATTCATTTTCATCTGACTATACGTCATGGCACATGTGGTTTGGAACAAGACCGATAAGACCTCTTCATATTTGGTGAGGTTATTATTGGTTTTCAAACAAACGTAAAGAAAAGAAAAAGATCAACTCTTCAAAATTTGTGTGTCAAACTAGTTGTACATACCTGATAATAATTATTATTATTTATTTCCGTTTAAATGTCTAGGTGCCATACAACATGATCCCAATATTTCTTGTATTCATTATTCCAAAGTGTTCCACGATGCAAACAGTTTATGATACGTAAAACATCCGTTGGTACCGAGCCTCCGACTTTACTGTTAAATGGATTACATTCAATTGTTTTTAAAGTAGTTGGTAATTTGGTTGGTAATTTTTGACGGTACACTTCTACCAACTGGAGATATTCAAGATTTGATGGTAAGAAATCTGGTGGGAATGGATTTCCATTATCAACACCTATAAATTATAAATTATATATAATAAATATTAATATTTTCTATTTCTTTTTTTTTTTTATATTGATCCATACCAATTCTAAAATGAGTAACTGATTCGGGAATATCAAAACGACAATATTTAATACCATGACAATCTTCATTTTGATAGTCAAAGTATTTTGTACTTGGTGGGATAGTGTCTGCGAGAAGATAGGGATAGGAATCTTGAATACCAAAATACTTTATACTTGATGGCAGTTGAGAACCATCAAATTGACAATCAGTATTTCCACGCAAGAATAGATATGTTACAGAGTTTGGAATGGTATTTGGTGGAGGATTCTCGGTTAGATCCATCAATGATAGTACAACAACACTTGAAGGAATGCATCCTTCTTCAAGACTGTAATCTCCTTCTAATTCAAGTTCAACAACGGTTGAAGGAATCATTCCTTGAGTGACTATGGTTCCATTGTTAAAGGTGGCTTGGAGATGAGTGACGGATGGGGGAATGACCGATGATACGTTGTATGACAGATCGATGGTGAGATTCTTGACACTGTGTGGGATGGCACCGTCTTCCAACTCGCACATTGTAACATTGAGGAAAACGACAGTGTCTGGTATCATACCAGGTTCCAATACACTTTCATCGTCATCGATTGTTTTAATGTTGAGACTCTTTAGTTTTGGCATTGATTTGCCTAAATAGGGACCCAAGATTTGATTGGTAGAGATGGTCAATGTTTCAATGTTTGGTGGTAGTGTTTGTTCATCAGCTTCCAGTCTTGTCTCTGATGAGAAAATATCCAACCAAATCAAAGAGTCTGGTAGATCCTCTTTTTTTAACAGACCATTAAAACTCTTTCCAATGTAGAGATGAGTAGTATCTGGTGGAATGATACCTTGCATGTCATCCGAACCACTATACTCATCACCAAGATGAATCTTTGTAAAGTGGTCTGGAATGTCACCATCTTCAATGACAATGTCAAATGTAAAGTATAATTCATTACATGTCTCTGTGATGAGACCGTATGGATTGTCGAGCAAGTGTTCCCATTCCTCGATATTATTAATATACACTCTTCTATATTTTGTCGGTAACTGATCAATCATACTATTCTCATCATAGTAATTGATAATATCAATCGATGGTACCCTCGGAAACACCAATTGATGCTTCCATTTATATGCATCTTTACATGTCATCAATAGATTCATCAATGATTCATTATCATCATCTCTTGCAAATATTGGTAATAATGTTACTTTGAGTAATGAATCATTGACTAAAAAAAGAAGTGTAAATAAATGTATTTAAGTTAATAATAATAATAATCATATGATTTGTAAAATGGTTGGTTATAAATATTACAAAAATGATTACTAGATGGTTCTTCTTCATCTTCATCTTCTTTTGGTTGTGTAGTAGCAAAGTATGTATTATTTAATATTTGTTTGAATGATTCCATGCACTGTATATAGTGATGAGCCATTGTTTGATGTTTCTGTGCATTATCATTTATACTAGTAGAAGTGTTACTATCCAACAACACATTTCGATTGCATAAGCAACATAGTCCATTACTATGTTTTATCTTATTCTCTACTTCTTTCTCCATCTATTTCTAAATACTAATTCAAGTTATCTCTCTTTTATTAATATATAAACTATTGATGTTGTTTTGAATTGTTCTTTGACTTGTCATCGTTATAATCAAAAGAAATAATGAAAATAATAATAATAATAATAAAGATAATCACTTCCACACAACAAAAGGTCAAAAAAAGTAGATTCCGAAGAAGTTTAAAAAAATATCTTTTTTTATTCCAAAGCTTCCATGACCACGACCTCATCTTGCATATCCAAGCTCGGTCCTAAGAAGTCAAAGAGTAGTAAAGTAATCGACCTCCTTTTCTATCTATCTAGAAACAGTGAATGGACCTGCATTAGAACTATTATCATTGATTTCCATTGGTATGATTGAACTGTTGTAATCACCGAAATGGATGAGATCCCAATCACCAAATAGTTTGGTTAGTTCCTCTTTGTTGTTGCTGTCAAAGAGGTGTTTGGCAAATAGAGGGTTACTGTTCCACTGTTGGTCTTGATCAATGACAACTTTAAAAAGATCTTTAATGGCTCTTGGATGATGATCGTTGACAGTACCTGTAAGTAAATGTAGTCCTGGATTAGTGTTGACCTCTAGTAATAACGGATCCATTTGTTCGTTGAGCAGTATATCAAAACCGAGTAATTCAAAACTATTATTTCGGTGTCCTTCTTTTGGCCATGATTCTATTGTGTGTCTGACCAATCTAACTATCTTTGGGTAAATCTTTTCTTCCCAAATATCTTTTATTTCTTGTTCTCTAAAATATAAATATAATAAATAAAAGTTAGTAAATATTAAATATTATATATGGATCGAATTTAATAGTCTTTCATACTTGTTTAAATTTTCATTTAAATAAGATTTAAATTTAGATAGTGGCCATTGATTGTGTGGGAATATATCGGTAAGTAGGTCATCACCATGATACTCTTTTTGGATTTGGTGATTACTGAGATGAATGAATCTGTCTTGTAGATTATCGGTTGTGTATGCCATGCTACAGAATCGAAGATAACAATCACGGTACAAATAGACAACGAGTGGGTTTAGACTCTTGACCAGCACAAACTGTCTAATATCAAACTTTCTACCGTGCACTGTCATTGGTTGTTCAACATACTTTTGAACAACATATTCGTATCCATCCGACTCTACATAATCCATTAATTGTTTCTTATCATTAAATAATTGAATTCCTACTCCTCTTGCCTCTAAACAAAATTAAATTAAATTCATTAAATTAATATTAATATTATAATTATATAATTCATATTATTTCTTTCTTTCATATCGATTGATATATATATGTTTACATACGTGAAGAAGGTTTAACAATCCAAATATTATTAATTCCATCGATTGATGGTTGAGAATCTTTTATCCATATTGATTTATCATTATTTTCATTTTCTTTTGTGGTAGTAGTAGTAGGAGCTCTCTTTCCAACCATTGTATTGATTATATCATCATTTTTAGTATGTTCCATCATCATTCCATTATTATCTTGGTGATGAGTTTCAATATGTTTGATTTGATTTGATTGAGATGAAGTTTGATCAAAATCTTTCAAGAATGCTTTTCTTTCCTTTTTATTGTATAATCCATAGGAACGAGGAAAGAAAGATTGAATGATATCTTTTGTTTGTGTATCTGATTGTTTGAGCATTTTGTTCATATTATCAGTCATTCCCTTTTTAGATCCAATTTCTTGAAAGTTTGGGAAATGATTAACAATCATACTATTACTAATCTTTCCCAATACTTCCCATGACCATCCCCATTTAAAACTACATCCCCTAAATATATCAAAATATATAAAGTTAATATTAACTTTATAGTATAATGTATGTGTAGGTGTACATATGTTAACATACACTCCATTTTTTGATTTCATCCAACCTCTATCTTTAAATTCTTGATCAATAGTTGAATGATTAGATGACATTTGAATGATTTGATATCTTCTTTTAATTCCATTCTTTTTAATAAATTCTTCAACTTTTGTTGTTGTTGTATCTATTGTTGTTGTTGTTGTTGTTGTCTCTGTCGTCGGACTAGTCTCAATACTAATAATCTCTGATTCATCAACTGTCGCACTACCAACCACAGTTGAAATGATAAAGAAACAACAAGCAACTATCAACAAGATAGAAAGTAGTATTCCTCTTGATTGATACATTCTTGTCTACTCTCTACCTATCTATCCTATCCTATCTGAATGACCAAACTAAACTACATCTTTTATAAATATCTCCTCTCCTTTGTCTTTTGGTTTGAAAAAAAAAAACAAAAAAGACATCTTGCACAAGTTCTAGTGTCTTCTTCATTCTTTTACTTTTTAATTTATTTACTTTTACTTTTTACTTTTACTTTTTACTTATTTGTTTACAATTCAGCTAACCAAACAACTATTTGATCAATAATTTTATTGATTGCAGAATTGGATGCAACGGCATTATTAGAGATGATTGAAAAGAAGATGGGAGATTGGGTGTTTTGGATGCCTTGAGGTGCGACGACACCAGAGAGCGAGACAACACCTGTCATGGAGCCGGTCTTGGCGTGGACGATACCTTGTGCGGGTGTGTTGACGAACCGGTTGATGAGGGTGCCGCTGACACCGCCGGTTGGGAGACATGTAAAGTAGTCGCGGTCGGGGTCGCCAGCTTGGAAGAACATGGCTTCCAAGAGTTGGATAAAGGCACGTGGTGTGATATAGTTGGCGCGGTCAAGACCACACCCATCAACTTGGTTAAAGAGTGTTGGTGCAATACCCATGTCTTGTAGAATCGACGCGACATAGTTGATACCGGTAAGATAGGTGGCTTGGTTGGGTGGATGGATCGGAGTGGTGATATTAAACACTGCTCCCATTTGACGCAGGATACTCTCGGCGTAGAGGTTGTCACTTTGCTGTAGTGTCCAGTTGACGAGATCGATCAAGTATGGCGACTCGATGACATAGGTTGGGTACATGTTTGAACGGTCGCATACACCCTCTACGGCCGATTGGGGTGTTGCACGACCTCCCGAACTCTCTTTGAGCAACTGCGAAAATGTGTCTAAAAAGTATGTGGCCGGGTCGAGAATAGGCACGGTGAACTGAACCGTGCTTTGGTTGTCGGCAATAACACCGGTTAAATAGACCGTCGACGGCGATGTCAGACGATAGTTGTAGGTGAGTGGGGATGTCTCCAATAGTGGGTCGTCTCCCTCGACCGTCTTGGCCTGGTTCACGACGGTCAAGTAGCTCGCGCTGGCGTCGTAGTCAAACTGGACAGTTGGCGCGTCACCGACACTATCCGATGCCGTGACAGTCAGAGTGATGGTGTTTTCATTGACGATGAGTGGTGTGGGCAATGCGCCATAGTCACTTGTCAAATCCTCCCATTCCCATCCTTGGGGGATAGGATCACCCGCGTAAAAAGACTGGTCCAACACCAACTGTCGAATAGGGGTTGACGTCTTGCCAAAGTAGGCTGCTGCCTTGGTCAAAGCGTCCAGTGTCAACGAAGGGTCGCCTTGTCCAGCCACACACAACGTGTCTATTGGCTGACCAGGTTGATACTCTGCGTCCGTGTAAAAAGGTGTACGAATGGTATACTGCTCGCCAAGTGTCAACACTGCCACACTCGTCGTCAACAACTTGGTATTAGAAGCAGGTGTCAAATAACTGAGTGGGTTCAATTCAAACAATGAATCAAACTCTTTAGTATTTTCATTATACTGTTCGATAATAATACCCCATTCTACACCTGCACATGTACTCTGTTGACATTGATTCAATAGATTGGTTATATTATCTGTCAATGATGATGTTGATGATAATGGTTTAAATACTATTGATGATGATTCGTCTTTATCATCAACCAATACAATGTTTCTTCTTTGTCTACAATCTGCAACTTGTAACAATGATACTAATACTAATACCAATACTAGTACTATACTAGTTGTGGTGTATCTGTTCATCATCCTCTAAACTAAATGAATGAATGTATTTCAATGTGAGTTATGTGTCCCCATCGCTTGCATTGGGATATTTTACAATCGACTTTGTGTTTCGAATTTTCGACGAACCATGGTTCCCAGGAGATACTTTTTTAAAAAAAGGATATAAATATATATTTATTAAAAAATGTATATTGATTATTATTTTGATTATTATTATGACTATTATTATATTGATTATTATTTACATGTTTTAAAAAAGAGAACAATTATGTTTTTTAGAAGTTTTACGTTTTAGTGTTGGATTGATAACACATCTGATGGCTTCATCAAATACACTGTTTACACCTTTGAGAGTCATAGCTGAACACTCTACATATTGTGCACCGATTGCCTTTGCTTTGGCAAGACCTTGTTCGTAGGTTACTGGTGACAACTTTTTGTTTCCGAGACTTTCAAGAGTGGCTCTGTCTTCACGCATATCCATTTTAGTGCCAACGAGTAGGATTGGAACATTTGGAGCATGATGAGAGATTTCTAGATGCCACTTGTTGGATACATTCTCCAATGAAGATGGTGCAATAATACTATAGCAGATGAGGAATACATCGGTTTGTGGGTAGGAGAGTGGTCTGAGACGATCATAATCCTCTTGTCCTGCAGTATCCCACAATCCCAAGTTGTATGGCTTGCCTTCTAGCATCACATTGGCACAGTAGTTATCGAATACTGTAGGTACATAGTCTGATGAGAAGCTCTTGGTAGTATATGATATAAGCAGACAAGTCTTACCGACTGCTCCGTCACCTACTACTACACATTTAATTGCTTGCATGATTTTATGATATTATTATTTAAATGATTGTTGTTATATTTATTATTATTTAAGAGTTGATGATAATAACTAATGGATTACATTGTTGCTTATATACATATTGACTAGACTATAATTAGACTTGTCCATTCTTTAATTAATCGATAGATAGATAGATAGGAAATCGATCAAGAACAAATGAATGAAATTACCCTCCAAAAATTGTGTGAAAATGGTTCATCGAAACTCTCCCACCTTTTTTTTTTTTTAATTTACTTGTTGTCTTTGTTTGAATGTTCATTAAATAATTCTCAAATTTCTGAAATGTATACATAGATGATTATAGAGGAGAATAGAAAACTAATGATAATCAATAGCAGATAGAAACGATCGATATCAATTTCGCAACAAGATCTTTTGGTTGTACTGACGATTACGAAGGTAGAGTTTATCAACATTCAAATTGCCCTGAAACTCCAAATGTTTATCGAATGGTCTCCATCTCTTTGGAGACTCTCTGCCAGGAGAAAGCCCTCAACCAGGATTTGAATGCTATATATGGTGGCCAAATAACAAATGAATGGATCAAGTCAGTGGAGGAAGAAAGGAAAACCAAGTCTCTGTTGGCAAAAGTGTAAGATAAATCTATTGGTAGATTCCAAGTGCAGTCAAGGTGGTTCTTGATTTCAATAGATTGAACTAAACGTTTTGGTTCAATCTATTGGAATCAAGAACCACCTTGAATAGTGAAATCTATTCTTTTCTCCTCTTTTCTCCTCTTTTCCCCTCCACCTCCTCTTCCTCTTCCAACAAGTCTCGTTTCACCTCACAGTACCTAAAATATATTTTTCCTTCAAGTCAACATATAATAACCATAATCAATTGTGCCAAAAGGCAGTGTTGGTAATAACTCATTGTCTGCGTAGAGTTTGAATCAGAAATAATACTAATTCATTGGTTGTATCATCATCAAGTAATAAATAATAATAACAATCAAAAATATTATAATCATTCAAGCAATTAAATGTGTAGTAGTCGGTGACGGTGCAGTTGGCAAGACTTGTCTGGTGATATCATCAGACTATGTGCCTACAGTATTCGATAACTACTGTATTAGATAAAGTTAAAGTTGAATAGTTTATTTATTTAATTATTCAATCGGTCGGTCAGTCAATAAGATAAGAGTGTTTATAATAATACAACAACAAAACAAGATAGAATGGTAATAAATAATAATGATAATACAGTTGATGATGATGCAGCACTGTTGAGTGATGGATCAATGTTGGAATAACATTCACGATCATATTCTGTGAATTGTTCACCGGTATCTTTGACAGAGTCACCAGATGGTGAGTTCATGGTAATGTTGACCTCTTGATCAAAGATGGAACTAATGATCAATGTGAATGGCTTGGTTCCAAAGTTGAGATAGGCTGCAAAATAATTGTAACTGGTTCTCTCCAATGGAATACGAGTGTCTGGTGTATCACCCAACACCAAGTCTACACCCTTTACACCGATAATATGATTGAATACTAGGAATGATGCCCAAAATTGTGAAGCACCTTCTTTGGTTCTGACCTTGATATTACCCTTGGTAAATGGACATGGAATCTTTACAAAAGTCATTCCATCCTTTATCTCGATAATTCCCTTGTCGGCTGGTGTTCTGAATATCTTATAAAATGCATCCTTGTTTATATCGAAATGTGGGCGTTCACTATCACACCATCCTGCATCTGGACATTTATCACTAAATTTAATAAATGTTAGTTTATTTATCAAATTGAAATAATTAATTTTAATTGTTAACTTACGTTACAATAACATCCATTGTTTTGTTTTCCAAATATAATCTATAACATTGACCACATTCGGTAGTACCATCAAACATATGAGAATTAATTGCTACAACTATAAGTATTTTTTAAAAAACAAAGAGGGAAATGAGTTAAATAAATTTGAATCAAATTTGAGGATGGGGGGGGGGGAATACAAACTTTGATCAGTTCCAGGACCCAAAGGACCAAATAAATCTTTGTAACCACAATTTCCATTATTTGGAGTATCATACCATGTTCCAGTAGCAACATCTCCATTCCATGTCCCAGCGGGACACTGTAGATGTGACTCTGAAATGGTTACATTAAAGAATATAATTGATAATAGTAATAATAGTACAATGATTTTCATTTTTTTTTTTGGTTAAATATTGATTTTAATAATACAACAACAATAGAAATAAAAATAGTTTTGATTGATTGATATATATATATATAAAGAATGAGTGAGATATAAATAAAAAAAATAAATAATATTTTGGATGTTAAATGATTGATCTATCTATCTCTATCTGTATCTGTACCTGTGTTTGTGTGTATGTGTGTATGTGTGTATGTGTGTATGTGTGTGATGGTGAGTTTAGGGGATAAGGATAATGGATCAGTCAGACTAAAAACTGTTTGGAAAATGGTTATAAAATACACAGAATTGAAATAATATTACATGTACATGTAAATTCTATGATAAAAGATTAGAAGAAAAATGTGTATGGGTATGTAATGTGTTCTACTTACTTGTACCCTCCTTGTTGTATCCTATCAACCATTATTAGATAATATGAATCAACCCCACCCCACCCACCCAGTACAACACTATCTCAAATTGGTAAGATTTAAATACAACACAGCCGCATATTAGTCGTCGTCGCCACCGAAGGGGTGGGGGTGGGTGATTTGTTGTTTGTTGATGGTTGTACAATACAGTATCGTTGTATCGTATGCATGTTACTCACTGTTCAACACTCCCATCATCATCAAAAAAAAATGTGTCAGTTGGTTGAAAGTGTGGTGATGGATGGGGTGTGGGGAATTGGTGGGTAGGGTAAGAGTTTATTAATAGCTCGGCCAATGGTAGAAAGACAATCTAATCAATTGGTTTCTTTTTTCTGCTTTTCATCTGTACTACGATGGTGTAGTTGGTTGAGTTGGTTGAGTTCAATAACCCATCCATCCATCATTTTCAGCTGATAGTTGACATGTTTGGTAATTCAATCATCCATTCCTTCCCTTGTTTGAAAACTGGATGGTTAAATAGTAAAAGAGAAGAGTTGACTCCCATCAACATCATCCTCAACTTTTGGATATTCCGACCTCACCTTCACCTTCACCTTCACCTTGGTTTCAGAACTGATGATAGTGAACTAGTTTTGGTTTCTATTCTTAGTTTTTCCACATGCACATGCATGGAAGAAGAGAGAAAAAGAAATTGTTGAAAGAGATAATAATAGTAAATTATCGGTTGGTGGATAAAGTATTTGTTGTTAAATTATGATTATTATTTTGATTATTATTATTTACTATTGTTGTTTGTTGTTGGTGTTGTATTGATGAATCCAAGATTTAAGTTGTTTCTTAAACTCGATAATATTGTATTGATGTTTTCGGTAGAGATCAAAAATAGGGTCACCTTTACCAATCAACATTAAATGGATGAGTTCATCACGCTCTCTGAGTGTGAGAGGGTTGGTATGGTCATTCATGACAATCTCTTGATAGTTGATTGGCATGTCTGGATGATACTGTTGCGTGTGGACATTACTACGATTATTCCACCATCTTTTGATTCTGTGCCACAGGGAAGGTGCAGTGACTCTACGAAAATGGTGAAGTTCAATTTGTTTGTCAGTTAGAGACGGACCCAACAAACTAATGAGTTTAATGATCTTGTCCATCTCTGATTGTAGACGTAGTCTATCGAAAACAGGACGGTCCTTGATCAAACTCTTCAATGCAACAGATGTACGAGGTATCTCATAATCTGCTTTAGTCCAAACGATATAGGCACCATCTTGTATTTGTCTGACATGATTATTAGTCAGAATAGGTTCCGTAAATATTGGATCAACAAATGCACTTGTCTTTATATCATCAGCTGTCAATGATACACCTGGAAATAATGGATCACTATTTTGTAATATCTAAACAAACAAACAAACAAACAAAGTTTTAATTAATTAATTCAATTCCAAAAAAATAATAATAATAATAATAATTTATAGGTCTACTTACAGATTTCTTTAAAGATTTAATAGTATTTGAACGAAGGATGATAGTTGTAAGATTACCATCTGGAATTTCAATGGCACGAACAGTCTTTCCAAAAAAGAGAGTACGTAGTGCAAAAGAGATGATAGAAGCACCACCCAAAAGAAAGATGACTTCATTGACTCTTTTGACACTAACCGGTCCCCAAGGCAACTGTATCTCTTTTGTCGATTCATTGTTGATAACACTATCCAATGCTTCTCCTGGTGAAGTGATAATATTAGATGAATGATCGTTGACGGTAGAGTCAAGTCCAACACCATGATTATCATTGTGTAGAGGACCAACACCCAAAAAGTCAGATACTACATCAACAAGGAATGAAACGGGTCCTTGTGGAGGAACAGACCCTTCACCATCACTTGGAGGTTTTAATAAGTCGTCATCATCATTATTACTATTATTATTGTTGTTATTATATTCATCATCATCATCATAGGTCGTTGATGATGATGATGATGATGATGTATTATTGTTATTATTGTTGTCCATTCTATTACTATTTTAGTTTTGATTGGATTGTGAAGAGGGAAGAAGAAGATACTATTTTAATGTACAAATACTACATATACATGATTGTTAATATATCTATATATATCTATGTGATGTGATGATTACTATAAAACATTTAGTTTTTGAAACCACCTCATAGTTCACCATTTTTAATTTATTTTAAAATTAATTTCTAAAAAGAGATGATGGGTTGATGCATTCACGATCGTCATCATTGCTGCTCTCATTTATTTATACAAACGCATACATATAAAGAGAGACAGAGAAAGAAAGATGGAGATTACTAAATTATTAGTTATAATGTTGTTGATTTGCATGTCATCGATGATTGCAATGGTCAAGAGTGGTGATATCAACTTTAACGAGTTCAATGTTAAAGAACTCAACTCAAAGAATATAGATTCAACCATTAAATCATCTAAACAATTATTAATCTACTTTTATTCAAGTTGGTATATTTAATTCAAAATATATATGATATATTATATATTTAATTATTTATTTTTGTATTTTATAGAATCAAAAGATGCTGATAAATTATTAAAGATCTTTACATCAACTTCACAATCATTGCATGATGATGGTTCAGATGTTGTTTTTGGATTCATCGATTTGGAAAAGAATCATAATATTAAACAAAAGTTTGATGTCAAAGACTCCCACTCTATTGTTTTCTTCAAGTATGAATAGATATAGATATTTGCCTGTTATTTCAGTTAAAATTGACACAAAATTTGTATTATTATTATTATAGGAATGGATTAGAAGTATCTGAATTTGGAAACACTCCAACTCTTTCAAACTTTAAAGCATTTGCACAAAAGTATGTAACAAAAAATTAAATTAAAAATCAATTATCATGGATAATTACTGGATCTAACCTAATCAATTAATCAATTAATTAATCAATCAATCAATCAATCAATCAATCAATCAATCAATCAATCAATCAATCAATCAGTCCAATGATTTTACCAACAACACCAAAGATGGGACCTTGGGGAGTTCAATCATTGGTTCATTATGTTACTGATCGTACTGCTGCATCCCTTATCCGAACAAGACCCAAGGTGTTGATGATGTTTTATTCTCCTCAGTGTGGCCACTGCGAGAGAATGAAGCCAGCCTATGCCGAGGCTTCCATCGAGGTTCAAAAGAGAGGGTTGGGGGTTTTCGCAGCCATCGACTGTACTCTTTCTAGTGCCTTTTGCAACAAGTTCAACATTAAAGGGTTCCCGACTGTACTATTATTTGAAAAGGGTGCCGAATCAATGGTGTATCAAGGAGATAGATCAACTAATGATCTGATCAATTGGTTTGAAAAGTAAGTTGGACGGTTTTCCAAACGCGTTTTTGCAAAATGACTTTGTTTCGTCAGAGAGCCAGCTCCCACGCTGATCTTGAGCAGATGTGCATGGGTTGTTTAGGTGGGAAGAAATATCAAGATACATGCGTAGCTGCAGACGAGAGACATAAAAAATTTCTGCAAAACGATTCGTCCGTTCATTTGCATGACCTGTGTTCCACCACATACCATGTTTTCTGACACAATTTTTTTTAAAATTTATATATAGCCCATCTGAACCGTCCAAAGGAAGCCCTTCACAAAAACAAGAGCTCTGAATTAATCGATCCCCCTCACCGACATTTAACGTTTTCTGCAAGTGTGCTCGAATTACCAGATCTGGTAATCCAAAATAAACATGAACCAATCGCCGTGTGAACAATCCAAAACAGGCAAGCAGATACTGTCAAAAAGCAACAAAGCTTATCGATGGGGGACAAAGGTTGGTTGGCGCCCTCTCAGCAAGCAGTTTGATAACAATATATTATTAATTGATTTGAATTATTTAATAATTCATAGATGGCGGACACCACACTCCACCCACCACACCATTTTCTCGATTGATTAAACATCATGACGTTGTTGTCGTCTTTGCTTTGTCGGTTCATCTCATTATTATTTATATTTCGCATCACCATCACTCTTTCACTTTCTCACCAAGCACAAAACAACTCAACAACACCACAAAGCAACCATCAGCAACTCGATACCTCAAAAGAAAAGTCTTTGTCAGTCAGTTGTTGTTGCTGTGTCTCTTCGAGTGTTGGGAGACACTTCTTATCAATAGATCAAACGAGCAAGCAAACATTCGGGACCATAGGCTACCTTTTCAATCACAGTATTTAAAAATAGTAGGTGGTGTCATTGGTGTTTAAACCCGTGGCATTGAAACAGACTCTGTTTAAAACCCAAGGTTTTTCGTAGCTTCTAGAGCCCATTTTCGGTTCTAGATATCATAGTACAACTACCTTTTTGGGCCCAAAGTTTTCAATTTTTTTAGATTCCCCAGGTTTGATTGTTTTTTTTTACTTTTTTTGATATATACTCATTTTCAAGTATTATCGTGTTTACCCCCTTCGACCCTTTGACTCCTTTGAAGTTTGGAGGACCATTCCACCATTGTTATTATTTCACACATAGAGAGGGACCGACAAAATTTAAAGATTCAAAAAGAAAAAGAGATAGAGTTTTATCTCTATTATCTTTTTAGAATAATATCTATTATTCTACATTGATCCCTTATATTTTTTTCACAATCCAACCAAATATCACTTAACGTAATCTACATATGATAGATTAATCAGATCCTCCCTACATTCACCATTTTTTTTCGATTTCGAAAAGAAAAAATATTTTTATATTTATCACTATCTCTATATCCAACCAACAAATTTAACCTTGTAAATATAAGTTTATATTTATATTTCACACGATAAATAGATTTCTATTTATCACCTCACCATTCACCTTATCATTTATTATTTTTTAATCCTACAAGATCTATTTCTTGATTATTATTTTTTATTTAATTTTTATTTTTAAATGGAATCAAATACAACTTCTACTTCAACAACAACAACTACTACTACTTCTATCACAACGAAACAACAAGAAGACAACAAAAAATTAATTCAACTTGATCAATTTTCACTTTTAAAATTGGCATCTATTTATTTGGATGAAAATAAATGGGATCCAGTTGCAAGGAGACAAAATAAACCGGCATTGTACCGGTACAATTTGTCATTAGTGTCTAAACTATTCAACAAATCATTTAAACCAATTTCAATCACCAAGAATGTTTTCGAAATGGATTTGTCCAAATGGATCGATATTGTTCGATGGCCAAAGGTGGAATCACCATTTATCATTGATGGTTTGGTGTTTTCAGGTTTCACAGACTCTGATCCAACCCATCAATTTATCACTGCCAACCAAGACAATGAAGACACTCTCTCGATCAAACTCTACATGTTTTTCTACAAGGATATTACACAAATTGATATCCATCTTGACTCTTGTGGCCCCTTTCTCATTGATCATCTCAAATACTTGGCATCCCAAAAGACCAATCCAGAGAACAACAAGGTAGCACCTGCCAAACCCCTCAAAAGATTGTCCATCAAACTGACCGACCCCATCAACGAGACCGATTCCATCAACGAGATCACTCTATCGTCAATGCAACAGTCTATCCTGTCGAGTTTGGGTACGACCATTTCCGAGTTGGAAACATTCGAATTTATCTTTTTTGAAACGACACCGACTCTTTGCAACAATCAACCCATCATTGACTTTCTCAAGAACAAAACATCAACTTTTTTGACATCAATCAAAATCAATGTATTTGATAATGATGATACACAAGAGGTCAATTTCACATTTACCAACCTGTTTGCAGCACTACCAAATACCATCCGATCACTGGAAATCACCCGAGTATTTTGGGAATTTGATTTCAAGGCTATTCTCAAAGACATGCCTATCAACCGGCTATCAATTCGCTCGTTTTTGGATCAAACCATGATGGATTCCCTCGCCAAATATATCTCGTCCAACAATCATTGTATCACCGATCTTCACCATACCAAGTTATTTCTAACCAATCCTGGTCACTTTGTAGCACTGCAAAGCAAGACCGTCAAGAAATGGAATCTATCCATCTCTTCACATGTCGGTAGAGAGACTATCTATCTCATTGCACTCGATGCCAAATCTGAACATTCTCCATCTCTATTATCACCGCCCAAAAGAAGAAGAAAACAAAAAAAAAGAGCTGGTGGTAATGGTAGTAGTAATAATGGAAACGGTGGTAACGGTGGCAATGAACAAACAGTCAACATTAAAATGTCAAATGACATTGAATACCTCAAAATTTGTTTTAGACTAGATTCACTAAAAGTTCAACAATTACCAGACAATATCAATTTTTCACAGTTTTCCCAACTAAAACACCTTGTTTTAGAAACTCAAAATCTCATCACATCCGAAGTGGATATTATCTTTGGTTATCCTCCCCGGCAACTCGAATATCTTTGCATCATTGTCAATGGCCAGGTTCAAGATGGGTCGGTAAACTATCTTTTAGACCGGTTTAAACAAAACAACACAATCGATACCCTTTCCCTTTCACTTTCATTGATTGGTGGTGGTGGAGATGATGTATTTGAAAATATCGAACCATTCCAAAATGATAATGAATCTTTGGAGATTTTAAAAGACATTAATTCCAAGTTTACAACTATTTATTATATTATTAATAAATATAGCTCAACCTAGTCACACTCTATCGATCGACAGATAGATATTCCATAATATGTGTGTGTAGTTTTTTTGATCGCCGCGCAAGAGATTGGATATATATATATATTTATATCGATTACCCAAAAAAGAAAATAAATAATTAATAAATAATGAATGAATTGGAACTACGATACACTTTACATCAGTATCCAATAGTGTATCAATTTACTTTTTCACATATATATAAAATATATAGGTACATATATACGGCCACATATATGTATAGGATTGTTTTTTGTGTTTTCAATCTATTAAAAAATAATAGATTTAAACATTAATTAAAAGTGAATAACTTTTTGTTTTTTTTTTTTGTATTTAATTTGGGGATGTGATATAGGTTATATAAATTATTATATACTATATAGGGGGGTTTTGATTTGATTTGAGTTGATTTGATTTGTTTGATGATAATAATATTCTTACATTTGTGATTTTGTGTGTTGTATAAATTGGTCCAATTAATTTTTTAGTAAACTAAACCACCTTGTTGATGAAAATCTTCAGTATATTCTCTTTCATCATTAAAATTTAAAGATCCAATGTTGAGCATATCTTTGATTGATTTTGACAATGAAATGATTGGAGGGATGGTTGTAAACTCTACGGTTTTAAAAATAATACTTGGTACCCATCCACCCTCTGGACACTGAATGATGAATCCAAAAGGATGGGGAATTTGATCCAAAACAGATTCTTCTGGAAGATGAAGGATTTGTTCACTTGGGTCATCCTCTTGATGAATCTGGAATCCCCAATGTGAAGAGTTGGAAGGGTGTAATAATCGGTCAATCCAATTGACTTTGACCGAGAATGTTGTGGTTTTAATACTGTTTAGGTTGGTAATCAACCCATCGTATTTACAGAAACAATCACCATTCATCTTCCACTGATTTGTTTTTTTGAATGAAATCAAAAGGAATGCATCATCTAAAAAAAAATAATTATTATCCTGTATCTCTGTAGGGTTTGTAGATTGATTATAATCTAATCTTTGTCGGTTCTTTCCTTTCTTTCTTTCTTTAGATATTTACATTGACTGACGCATTGAACATTTCCAAACATATTTCTACAAACAATACCGGGATCGCATTGTCTAATGGGACATTTGAATTGAGTGTAGTTTTCATTCACTGGAAGTGGATCGACGGGAGGGACGTAGTGATCGGGAATGTGTTGGTGGGAGGGAGGAAGGGGTGTCGGGATGAGGGACAGTGGGAGCGAAGGAGGTGAATCTTTGGCTTGAGAGTAGGGATAGGTGTAAGCCTGCGAAGAGAATGGTTCTGTAGCAGAGAGAATGAGAATAGGGTAAAGGTTAAGAGTCAAAACAAACAGCATCACTAAATTGAAATGTGATGCCATGTTTGCGTGAGAAGATTTGTAATGCTATGGTGCAACTCCGATCTGATCATTAGTCAATATATATATATTTGGATTAAATATATATATGTGTGTCTGGTAAAGGTTGGATAAATTGGTTAGGTTAGATTCTTTCTCTCTCTCTCTCTTTTAAAAATAATAATTAATAATTAATGGATTGGATGGTGATGATAGAAAAAAAAATATTTAAATAGCAAGAAGAAGAAAAATCAAACAGAGAGCAAGCGAGCGGAAATGGGAATTGTGATTAGAGTAGATTGATGGATGAACGGGTGAGGGATGATGGTGAAGAAGAATGATTGGAAGTGATGATTGGTATGGTAGGTACTGATGCTTGATATGGATATAATTAAAATTAATTTAATTGGGTGTTTCCTGCCTGGACAAGACAGGACATATGACAGGATTGGACAATGTAAGTTGGAGTAGTAGTAGGAAGAGGAGGAGGAGGAGGAGGAGTGATTTAAAGTTTATCCAGGCAAGCAGGCAGGTAGCTAGTAGCTGTTGAACTCTCCCTCTCCAAATAGAAAGAGAGCTAGTGAGAGACATACAGAGAGGAGGAGGAGGAGAGGAAGGGAGAAGAGGGAAAAAAATATGGTTGTCACTTGATGATGAAAGTGGTGTAGAGTACGTACTGTGTTATTACTACTGAGCAACGCCTTATCGGCTTGCTTGTTTGGTTCATAGGAGTGCAACAACCAAAACAACCAAAACAAACAAAACGAAACCAATTCTATAGAATTTAAAAGAGTAGTGGTCGCTAAAAGATTTACCAGAACCAAAAAGAGAGAGAGAGATTAATTAATTAATTGATCGTTTGTATGAGCAACAGCTCATATGATACTGGATAGTGGTGAGGGTCGACCCTCCCACCCTCATTCTGTTTTGTTGTATCACTCTCTTACACACACACACACACTTACATCTAATGCATCGACCACTCTCCAAACAGTCAAATAAATGTCGACATCTCTACAGACGATGTTGGTATCCTTGCGCGAGTGACCAGTTGTGTTCTTGCCAACACCATCACAACGTCATATGACTGATTAAACTTTTACAACTAATCATCACCATATATGTAGTGATAATTCAACAACACCACAACCAAAAGATTTATCTGTTAAAATAAAATAAAGAAAGTATTAGTATTATTATTATTACCAACAACACTACATATTTATAATATATACAAGTATGGTATAAGAATAGTATAATATTAATTACAAATCGAAATCACAATCTGTCCATCCAAAAGAATCAACCAACCAATCAATCAAACCAAAGGAAAAGAGTAATTGATAAGCATTTGTGTCCTAATTGCAATCAATTCAATAATGAATTTAATCAATCAAATAATTGAATTGAATTGAATTGATTGATCATTGTGGGGGTTTGATGAATACTTTAGAATTGGTTCATCCTTTAAATGAAATGAAATGAATAGATAGATAGACACAACATATATTGTATTTGTATGTGTATGTGTATGTGTGTGTGTATGGGATGGAACGGGATGGAACGGAATGAATAGAGGGTATGAATATTGTGTATGCCGTAAGCTACCTCCTTCTAGCTAGAAGACTAGTACTATTGCTACTCCATACCCGTCATACTATTGGGTGTGATAGTCGTATACTATACCATAGCATGCTTTTGATGTTGTTGCTAGTTGATTGATTAACCGTGCCGCCCGATTACTTGTCTTGATTGATCAAAAAAGGAAATATAAGAAGAGGATTGAACTTGTCAAGACGATCGTCAAGTTGCATCATAGTTCATGGTTCAATACATCCAAGTGTCGTGAGTGAGTAAAGAAGGGAGAAATGAAGCCACTTTGCTATCTCTGATCCGATCACAAACCCATCATAGCCACACATGTATTAATTGATTAATTAGTAAACATACACACAAGCAAACAAGGAGAAAAAAGAATGGTTGGTGGATGAGAGAGAGGTATGTATTTCCGAGAGAATTGACAAAAAAGGAGTGAGTCATGAATCAGATCGAAACTTGGAGAGCTAAAAAAAAAACCAGATCTGAGATGGGGTCTTGTGTGATGACGGTTACACCCCCACATAAAGACACGACCTTTCATCACACACATTTTTATTATTATCGTCGCTACTATCAAACAACAACAACAACAACAAACCCTTTTATTTTTATCTGTCTATGAGCAAGGACAACAACAACAAGTAGTAGAGCTGAAGAATTTATAATTATAGAACTTCAATATCGTATAACCACATTTATATATATATACACACACACACACAACAATCAGTCAATCAATAAGAGACTTATAGTAGAAGCAGCAGTAGTAGTTTCTATATCTTATCTTCTACTTAACTTAACTTCTCTTCATTCATTATTCATTGAGGTACCCATACATATACCCACCTTCTTTACCCCCCAATCAAAACTACTTTCCCACCAACACTACCACAACACACCAACATATATCACACCACACACAAACAAACAATAACAACAAAGAAAGAAAGCAGCAGCTGAGCAGTAATAGACAACATCTATCAACAATAACACAACAACGATATAATAGCAGAGAGAGAGATAGGAGTAGTAGCAGCAGCAGCAATAACAACAATTCATCATTAGTGAGTGAGCGGAACCTACCCTACCCTACACAACAAACACATAATTAAAGAGAGACAGAAGAGTTCTAAAAAGAGAGAGAGAGAGAGAAAGAAAGTTAACTACAGCACAGAAACAAGCAAGCAAGATAAGAAATATAGTTTTAGTACTAGAGTGTAGGTATTAATAATCATGATACATACATCCATCCATCCAACCATCCATCTATATATATTTCCCCACACATCCAATGTAACATTGAATGACAAGTAAACCCAATCGAATTCGGTCCAATCGATGTTCGAGAGAGTACGAGTTGATTGTTAGTTGTTGTTGGTTTTTACCCTTTTATGTTAATTGAGGCACATTCGAACAAATATATAAGGGGGTTGCACTACATTGGACATAGAGACAATACGGGAATAACCCGAGCACCATAGTGTGTACTCTATCAAACAACAACAACAACAACTTTCAATGAATTCCCCTTAGGTTGGTATGTCATGGATCGATAGGGGCACAATGTCAATGTCAATGGTCATCACACACACACATAGATACACACAAAGTGGAGTAGAGAAGTAGGAATTCCTGAACAAAAAGGTTTCATACCTTTTTTATTTTTATTTTTATCAACTCTAACTCCTTACTTATAAGTGTGTCACCAAATGGTGCGACAGATAGACATAGCAAAGAGATAGAGAGAGAATTAATTAAACAACATTACATTACATTGCGCATTATTCCAACTACAAAAAAACGTGTGTATGAATAATTAAATCAGAGAGATAAAGAAAAGAAAGAAAAAGTGTAGAGGACATTTTATAAATAGACAAAAGTGCAAGACACAGCAGACAGACAAAGAGAGAGAGAGAGAGAGAGAGATAGAGATAGAGTGAGGGATATAAAAGTAAGGGCACTTCCTTTCATTCCATCCATCTAAATCGTATATATATGAAGAGAGAGACAATAGTAACCAACAATAAGTGTCAACCTATCCTTCCTCTTGGATTTATCACCAAACACTCTCCCTCCATTTTACAACCCAGTTGTTTGTTGTATTTTTTATTTTTTGTTTTTTCAAAACGATCCGCATCGAGATTGAATGGTATACTAACTCTCACTTTTTCTCACTATTATCACTACTATCCACATTTATTTGTATATATTCTATATTTTTATCATACTCTTCTCCTCCTCATCCTCTGTCAAATTTACTATACACCACCCTAACCTCTCGCATCTCTCATCCTCTATTCTTCCTTGTCTTTAATTAGTTCTATTGATTTATATTCAAGCTCTCTAGAGTTCTTGCCTCCTTGTTCATCATCTTTTCTCTTCTTTTTCTAGTCATCATCAACAAGGCTACAGCAACAACAACAACAACAACAACAATATAGAAAGGAAAGAAAAAAAAAAAAAAGAACGTTATCCCCTTGTTTCTTTTTAAAGCAGACATATATTACATAGATACACCATGCAAGGGGGATATTATGGATACCAGAATTCGTACTTGGGGGCACCAACGATAGTAGCAGGCGGTGGCGTAGGAGGTAGCAGCGTTGTGGGCGGCATGGGAGGGGCGTATTCGCCCACCGGTGGCATGTCACCCAACATATATCATCAGAATCTCCATCTTCAGCATCATCCAACACACCAACGCAGCGGCAGTCTGCAGATGCATCAGACAACATCTTCACAGCTGTCGGTGCAGCCACTCAGTCTGTCCAACCACCTCCCTCCTCCCTCTGCACAGCTTCAACAACAATTACAACAACAACAACAGCAACAACCAAGCTCGCAGCAACCCACCCCTCCACCTCAACAACCTACACCACCTCCTCAACACAAGACACCCCCCTACCCACCCAAACATGTTCGTATCCATCATCAACGAAACAACTCTAATGACGGATCATCAGCAAATCAACAACAACAGCAACAACAACAACAACAACAACAGCAGCAACAACAACAACAACAACAGAATGGATTTATAAATGGAGTACCATTATCGATTATTAATGAAGTGCCGACGCCGCCAGTTGGTACATACGTAGAGATGACATGGAATGAAATCTATTATTGTTATCATCACTTTAATACAATCGACAGTGATGGCAAGGGAGTATTGTCAACTTTTAAGCAAGTGATGAGCTACTTACAACTCGTCGACCAATCGAATCAACTCACCAACAATATACTCTTTTCCATCAATCTTCTTTTCCCCAACACCATTCAACACAATTCTACCATGCTCTACATCACCCTCAAAATACTTTTACTCGCCTATTCGCACGCCAAATCCATACTCAGTTTGACCGTTCCAACACCTGGAATGCTGTCATTCTCACCTCAACAGGCACTTTACATTATCGACGTCTTTAACTCTGTCAAGGACAAGACAGGGGGTGTTCCCAGTCAAAAACTTGCTCTCTTTGGAGCAGATCCTTCTAAACTTCCTTCTACGACTCTTCCATTTCATGAATTTGTACAATACATTAGTCTCGGTATCATCCCTTTTGATAGTCTTTTTAAATTACAACAACAATCTCCTCCAATAGAACCTCAACTCTTTGTATCATCAACTTTGGACGATGACTTTGAAAATGATTTATTTTTCACTGTAAATGATATAAAATTTAAACAACAGAATAACAACAATCAAAATTTTAATAATAACTATAACAATAATAATCAAAATATTCCTAACCCACCGAGTCAACAACAACAACAACAACAAAATAATCAATATTATAATGCATCACCATCACCTTTACAACAACAACAAGTAATTCAAAATCCAAATCCAATTCCAAATAATAATCAAAATAATACTAACTTTAATAATAATAATAATCAACAACAGAATAATAACTTTAACAATAATTTTAATAATAACAATAATAATTTTAACAATAATAACAATAATAATGGTAATAATTATAATCAAAATAATCAATCACCTTATAACAATTATAATAATAACAATCAAAATAATAATAATAATAATCAAAATAATCAAAATAATTATATGGGACAACAACAACAACAATTAGGGTTAATTAATAATAATGGGAATAATTATATGGTGGGACAAGTTAATGTATTAAAGGGAAGTGGAAATAGTACAATTTTAAATAATAATATGTATGTATTAGTATTATTACAAACAATCAACTAGTTGATATATTAATATTTCTTTTATTTTTTCGTTTAGACCACAAACATCATTTTCAGATATTGAAATATCATTTAACGAATTAATTATACAAAGTAAAATTGGAGAAGGAACATTTGGAGTTGTTTATCGTGGTACTTGGAGAGGAAGTACAGTTGCCATTAAACAGATAAAGATAACCGAGGAGGTTACCAATCAAGTGTTGGAAGAATTTAGAAAGGAATTGACTATACTTAGTAAGTTGCGTCACCCCAACATTGTCTTGTTGATGGCAGCATGTACACTTCCACCCAACCTCTGTTTTGTGACCGAGTTTTTAAATGGTGGATCACTCTATGACGTGTTGCACTCGAAAAAGATACGAATGAACATGCAACTGTATAAAAAATTGGCCGTTCAAATTGCACAGGGAATGAACTACTTGCATCTTAGTGGTATCATCCACAGAGACATCAAATCGCTCAATCTCTTGCTCGACGAACACATGAATGTAAAAATCTGCGACTTTGGATTGAGTCGTCTCAAATCGAAATCGACTGCAATGACCAAATCGATCGGTTCGCCGATATGGATGGCACCCGAGCTGCTCATTGGACAAGACTACACCGAAAAAGTAGATGTCTATGCATACGGAATCATCTTGTGGGAGTTGGGCACTGGCGAACTACCATACTCGGGTATGGACAGTGTCCAACTCGCTTTGGCCGTCTCAACAAAGGGACTCCGTCCAAACATTCCTCAATCTTGGCCTCCTCTCCTCAATCAACTCATTCAATCTTGTTGGAATCAAGAACCTTCCATGAGACCTTCATTTACTCAAATTTTATCTCAACTTGAGAAATTAGAATATTAAATTAATTTAAACCAAAACAAAAAACAAAACAAGTAGATATTATGGTCAGTTCCACATAATCCACTTGTTAACAATACATTTAGTTTGAAAACCCTCCCCTCCACCATTATAACAAGTAATAATAATAATAATAATAATAAAAGTAGAAAGAAGAATAACAAATACTATCCTTTTTTTTTTTCTTTTTTTTTTTGGAATATACTAGATATATATATATTTATTTAATTATTTGTTTATTATTTATTTATTTAATTTACATCTTTATTGAATTTGTTTATTAATTGAAAAACAATTAAGTGATACGATTAAAACATTGACAGTCAAGATTATAATTGGCGATTGATGGAAAACATGCAATAGGACAGAGGAGATGGAAGACATGGATACAAAGATGGCGAGTGATAGCAATGCGGGTAGAGGTGATAATGAGAGGACCGATCTAAATGATGCAATTGCGTTGTATCGTGATGGTGACACAAAATGGGTGTCCTTCATGGCACGTTTAGTGAGATGTCCAATTAAAAGAATGATGGCAATGACGTGAGCAGTGTGCGTATTGCTCTCAAATGATCGGATGAGATGAATCGAATCAAATTCAAGAGGCAATGATCCAAGCCACAACTGTGGCAATCGCTGTAATGCGTCGGCCAATGCCCATCCAGTGGCAATGGCAAACTTTGATTGACTAAAGCCTGTTACGAAATAGATTGCAAACAGATCCATCACTACACTCAAACATTGAACCAATCCTTGGTACAATGAAAAGGTCGACGTATCAAACGATGGGAAAAACGTAGCCAACAACATCATCTTGGCAACTTGTGTTATCAAGTTACCACATAATGCTTGTAATATTATATTGAATGATTTAAATTCATTTCTACAATCAAAAGTAAGTAAGTAAGTGGTAAGTCAACATGTTGTATCTCTCTCTCTTTCTTATCATAACATACAATGAAGTTGATTTATATAATAGATAAAAGGGTGCATATGTAACAAGTAAATTACTTGTAAAATAGAGAAAGGTCATTATAGAATGATGATGATGATGTAGACGATGTAGATGAAGATCAAGATTGCAAACTAGTGCAGTAGTTCGTGTTTCGTTGCTGTTATTGTTGACTTTAGTTCGGCCCTTTGTGATTGATGTACACTCGAGAGAGACTCTTCTTCTAATAATGATAATATCTTGTATCTATCTGTCTATCTTATACACGTCGACACTATAAAGGTAGTATTATTTGAAAGCATGGTCATGACGGTTCAAATTTTGCAACTTTTTATTTGTGTTGAGTGTTGTTGACACAAAGAGAGAATTGGCGGAACAGACGATCAGGAGGATATTATGGTTTTATGTGAAGAAACAAACCTTCTTTCTCGGCCCAAAGATTAATCCTTCCTCTCCTCCTTTGTCCATCCGCTATCTGATTCGTATCACTTTTTCTTAACGCAAGAGAATGTAGATGGGAAGTGGGGGTTGGGGCAATGTTAGATTGGGCGATGAAAATAAAAGTTCAAATGAGTACATAGTTAACTAATTCAATGTGGGTTGGGCAACCCCCCTATCGAGTTGAGTTGCTGCCAATCAATCAATCAATTAATCTAATCGCGTGTGAGTTTTGGTTTGATAGGTTACATTCATTCCTCTTTTGAGGAGGGGAAAAAATATATTTAATTTCATTTAGCTTTGGGTTGTTGGTAGGAAGGACTACTATATTTTAAAAAGTGAAAAAAGAAGGGAAGAGATGCACCTTTGTTCGACAACTCGCTCAGCCCATCCCCCCCTCAGTACTTTTCATTTAATATTTAATTTCAGGTGACACGACAACGACGATTAAAGTGCAAAGTGAGAGGTGTAAACAAACCAACTAAACTAACTATAAAGAGCCCGTTCATCTAATACCACCACCATCTTTAGTTGTTATTATTATTATTATTATCCTTTCTCGTTCATCCATTCAAAAAAACCATTAATTCATTTTCGGTCGTTTTTTCGAACTTAACTCCTCAGCCCATTTTAATTTACTTTTTTTTTCAAAGTCCTCCTCCCAAACCTACTATAATAATATTATTGTTCATCCTCCTATTATTATTTATATTATCATTATCTATATACACGAAAGAGAATAAGTAGTAGTATTGTCAAGATACAAAGATATAGCTACTTTTGACACGTCAACTCAAAATCATCAACATCATCAACGTTTGACAGTCGAAATTTCTATAATACCATCTCATCTCAGAGTTCTCTACTAGTAGTTCAAACAACACATACTTATACTATTATACATATACAAACAAAAGAGAGACAAAATAGATCGCGATTGGGAATATAACAAGAATCATTATATATTTACAACCAACATACACATCATCTATACATCATCCATCATAGCAGTAGAAGTAAATCATATTACCTCCTACTACTACCATCATCACCAATAACAACAACAACAACAACAACTGTGTACATAGACAACTAAACTAACCCCTAACCAACAACATACAACGACGACGACGACGACGACGATGGGCGAAGAAGATAAACAATCTTACGGTAACAATTGGGGAGACGACGATGAAGACGATTTCTTTAGACAGATTACAGAGATTCAAAGCAACTATGATAGAGGCAGACCTAGAACAAGAGAAGAGATCTCTGCCGACAATCGTACAAGAAAGAATAAATGGGATGTCGACAAGAACCCTGCCGTCTCTTTACCAGGTATCCCTAAAACTATTCCTCCTGGTTTAACTGATGATCAATTATCTTCTTTATTAAGTATGTAGTAATAGTAGTAGTAGTATAACTTAGCAGCGGCGACGACAAAAATATTAAATATTAAATATTAAATATTAAATATTAAATATTAACTTTTTAACTTATTACCTTACTACTTTTAGTTCGTGTTAGAATCGATGAGATAACAAAGAAACTTGTAACAGGACCAATCGAGTATGATACAAAGGAAGATAGATCAAGATCTCCTTCACCGGTATACGACAACACTGGTAAGAGAACAAACACTCGCGAACAAAGAACAAGAGATAAGCTTGCCAAAGAGAGACATAATCTAGTTACCAATGCTCAACAAATTAATCCAAACTTTAAGGTATGTTAGAAATAGAGGTAGTCGTAGTTGGTGGAGATTTATTAACAATAGTGTATTTATTTATCAATTTAGCCACCATCTGATTATCAACCAATTCACAAGAAAAAGACAATGAAGATTTACATTCCTGTAAAGGATCATCCAGAATACAACTTTATTGGACTTATTATTGGACCAAGAGGAAACACACAAAAGAAGATGGAAAAGGAGTCGGGTGCCAAGATTGCCATTCGTGGCAAGGGCTCGTTGCAAGACGGTAAGGTCAGCAAGCCACAATATGCAGAAAACGACGACGAGTTGCATGTTTTATTGACTGCCGACACTCAGGATCAACTTGAAAAGGCTGCTGTCTTGGTACGTCCATACCTCGTTCCCGTCGAAGAAGGTAAAAACGAACACAAGAGACAACAATTGAGAGAATTGGCCGAAATGAATGGTACTCTTAGAGAACGTCCAGCTTTTATCGTATGTATAAGAAAGAAGCAGTAGATACAGTTTAATATTGACATTTTTATTTGTTATTTGTATAGGGAGGAAAAGGTTGGTCAGCAGTTGATATTAAATGTGTACATTGTGGAGAGATTTCTCATCCATCATCAGATTGTCCACTTAAAACAAATCCAAATGCAAACATGCACCTCATCGAAGCAGAGTATTTGAAATTACTTTCAGAGATTAAAGATATCATTGGATTAGATGATAACTATCAATATAAGAATCAGAACATTAATAATAATAATAATATTAACAATAATAATAATAATATGAACGGTTACAACAACAACAACAACAACAATTTTAACAATTATGGTCACTTTGAACCACAACAACAGCAACAACAACAACAACAACATTACAACAATGGTAATTTAAATATGAATAATAATGCGTATCAATCACCTCCATATGGAGATGACCAACAACAACAACAACAGCAATGGAACAACAACAACAATAACGATATGATGAATCACCAACAACAACAACAGTTGCCCCATCACCATCAACAACAGCAACAACAATGGGGTCAAAAACCACCACAACAACAATCACCATATGGCCCACCAGGATCATCACCATACGGTCCACCACCAACCAATTCGTCACCTTATGGTCCACAATCTGGTTGGCAATAATTAGTTAATTAATTATTCATTAGTTGTGTGCATAATAGAGGATTGGATTAAACTTCTTCATCGTCATCATTCATTCATCATCATCATATCGTTATCGTTCTCGGCCACCATTCCAATCAGTTAATCAATTGATTAATTAATCATTAATCAATCTTTATAAACACTTTAACAACTAATAATAACTAATAATAATATCTAAATAGATTTTATGTCATATAGAATCTAATTAATTCCACCAATCCTTTTTTTTCTATCTATAAATAATCATCATCGTTAATAATAATAATAATAATAATAATAATAATAATAAGAATAAGAAAATTTGACTAACATAATAATAATAATAATAACATAATTATAACAATTGATCTAATAGTACTAAACCAATCAACCCAAAATATTACCATCACCATGCACATTTATAAATATAAAATCTCATCATCATCATCACCACACAAGACACAACATATATATATAAATATATATATTATAATATATATAGCCTTTTATTTTTTTCTCAATTCACAAAACCATCATAAATACAATATAAAATATAAAATATAAAATCTAAATCAAATCACTAATAATAATAATCATAATAATCATACAATCAACTAACTATCAAAATATAAATAAATAAAATAAATCTTGAATTCATTTTTTAGGATTTACAAAAACAAAATCTACCATTTTTGTACTATATGGAGTCATTCGTTAAATTGGAGAGATTAAAAGTGTCGGGTAGTTGGAATGCAGTAATTATTAATTTAATTTATTAAAAAGGTATTCTGAAGAGAATTGGAAATGGTTGCTATTTCATTGTCACCTTTGTAGATACCAAAAATATGTTTGTCTGGTCTAACAATAACAATGATGCTATCGCCATCCATATTATTACCAATAAATGCGTTGAATGGCTTGTCTTGATCTCTTTGAATTTGAATGGATGGGAATTGTTTCCAATGGCTACTACTACTATTATTTTGACCAATTGTGATAAATGAAGTGTTGAGTAATTTCCAAATGGAAGAGTTGGTATTTAAAAGACTGAAAGTGTTGTCTGTTGCATTGACCACGAAACAACTGAATCCCAGTCCCATGACACTATCTAGTTTCATTGTATTATTATTATTATTATTATTGTTCATTATGATATTGGGTTGAACGATTCGATGTCCAACATTCTTTTTATGTGTATTCTTTCTACTACTACTACTACTACTACTACTAGACCATTGTAATAATGCATAATAAAAAATAACCAAGAACCCAAGAAAAGATTTCCAAGGTGAGGATTTCTTTTTGTCGTAGTATTGGTCAGTTGCGTGCCCATGGTCGATGATTCCTTCCTTGATAGGTACGATTGGTTTCATTTCATTATTTGTAAAGATGGTTTGAATAAATGGCATCAAGAGTAAGATATAGGAGAATAGGTCACGGATAGTAGATGCGATGATATTGGTAGACATGACTGCATTGCCGATACGGTTGGATTTGTTGCCGATCAATTCAACCTCTGGTTTTCTCTCGAGAGCGTACGAGTCGAGCAGTGCAGCAGTGTTGATTCGGTAAGGTTCGTTGATATTGTCCAATGCCATTTTTAGTTTCCAGGCCAAGTTGATGCTGTCTCGCATACCACTCGATACTCCCATCCCGAGAAACTGTGGTAGACAATGAGCAGCATCGCCAATGATAAAACGAGACTCTCCATCAAACCAGCGATCGGCCACTCTATTCTGAAACGAGTATATAATCTTTCGGTTTACCTTGAGTTTGCTTAAATCACCACCATACAACTCGATTAATCGATCCGAGCCAGCGATAAACTCGTCTTCATCCTGACCATCGGCGATAGCAAACTCCCATCTAAAGTGGTTTCCTGGTAAGGGACAACTGACCATTGGTAACTTTGGGTCGCACACAAATTGAAAGTAGTCGTTGATTTTGGGATGATCCGAGTCGAGTGTAGCGTCGATCACCAACCATCTCATTGACCCACTCTCCCCATGTAAATTGGATGACATTGATTTTCTGACCGTACTATTGCCCCCATCTGCTCCAATTACAAAGTTGCATCGAATGTTTTTAACGTGTCCAGTTTCATTGTCGACCACCTCGACTCTATTTGTTTTTGTCTTTTGGTCATAACACATTCTAACCATTCTATGGCCAAGTAACAACTTGACCATATGTTCACCAAATCTTTGGAATCCATTGACCAGTATTTGTTCCAACTCTGGTTGATACCAAAATATAGATCTTGGATGACCATACACAGTCTCTGTATTCTTGATTGTCAAATAAGTCATACTCTGACTTTTTCTATTAAATTTTACATCCAATTTCTATAATCAAATAAATCAATCAAGAATTAGTACATATTTTTAGCTATTTTGTAAGTCGTAAAACATACCAAAGAATTTTGTTTCATCAATTCATCCAATCCAATAAATTGAAGGATTCTAATAGCTTCATCATCGAGATGAGCTGCACGAGGAAGATTGTAAATAGTGTCAGATGCTTCCACCACCAGAGTTTTGATTCCATACATGCCAAGTAAGTTGGCCATTACCGATCCGTTTGGTCCACATCCAACAATCACTACTTGGTATTCTTCCTCTTCATTCAAGTCTTGAAGCGGAAGTGTAGAAGAGGATGATTTTTCTTCCACAAAAGTTAAAGGTGCCATTTAAGTTTAAAAATACAACAAACAAATAAATATAATATAATATAATATACAAATATAATTACACAAATAAATAAATAATTTAAAATATGAGTTTTGTAGCCTTTATATAAAGGTTAGCAATGGGAGGGATGAGTGGATGGGTATTGGATTGTGTTACCATTTCGAGATTATAAAGTGGGCGACTTGACAGGCTGCAGTCAAGCCGTGTTGTGAGGATGACTATAGTAGTCTACTACTTGTGTATTTTAATTTATGTGTTGCACCATTGGATGTGCACAAAAGATATATCTCTCCCGAACCCGCTGTTTGCCCAACTGACGGGCAGGACTATAGTTGCCTAATCAGGTGGATTTGTTGCCATCAATGAAAGCTCGAGATGCAAACCTCCATGTTCAAAATTTAAAAATTGAAAAAGATTTTAAAAAAGCTTGGTTTCGATTGGTGGCTCAGCATCCACAACCAAACGTTACCTTAAGGTTTTAAAAAATTACTTATCATTAGATGGATAATAAATTTAAATAACACCATTATGAGATGATAAAGTAATGGGTAAATTATTATAATTATAATTATAATTAGGATAAACATAGTAATAGTTATTACTCTATGCTTGACCTTGTCCAACAAAGTCCTATCCCATCCAACACACCACACTTTCTCTCTCTCTCTCACTCTCTCTCCTTACTCTCTACAACATTTTGAGTTGACCATAATAAATTCTAATGGTTTATCACTTTGAGATGATATGAATGAATCTTACCCAAATTTAAATCTCCAACCAACCAACCAACCAACCAACCAACCAACCAACCAACCAACCAACCAACCAACCAACTACTACACCAATTTACAAAAACAATCTATCTACCTATATAATGTCAATTAATAAACATTCATTGTTGATATCGATTGTTGTGTAATTACAAACTATATGCATAATTTTCAATAATGGTACTATTGCGTGTATGAGAGGAGGATGGTTGGGTGGCTCGAGATGGTGATTGTGTTAATTAATTTATATATCTATCTATCTGTCCCTAGGTTTGTCTACCATGTTCACGTTGTGATATAGAGATAATGCAATGAATAAGTACTTATTTGTGTATCTGCACCTTTTTTGTTGAAAAAAAATTAAAATAATACAGATGAACATCCTTTTGGGTGAATGATCATTGTAAGCTTTTCGGCAATTATAACTAATAATATATAATATAATATTTATATCTTTGTAACATATAGTATTATCGATAAAGAGATCTATCTTTACCTACCACATTACAACATATATAGAAAATGAAACTCGTTAGGTAAATCATCAAAGCATAATGAATGATTCGATTAATCATTTCAATCGATTGTGTAACACTCTACATTAATAAGCAATAGAGAGTGAGAGAGTTATACAGAAAAGAAAGACACAATACACAAAGATAGAGAGAAAGAGAGAGAGACAGACAGAGACAAAGATATCAGTAAACGAAGAATCACTAACTCAATCTATCTATCTAGATTTTTAATGAAATTACACAATGAAACAGTGACAATAGAATTAAAGAATGGTACAATTATACATGGAACTATAGTCGGCGTTGACGTTAGTATGAATACACATCTCAAGACTGTAAAGTTAACATTAAAAGGAAAGAACCCAATCAATCTCGACACACTCAGCATCAGAGGCAACAATATCAGATACTATATATTACCAGAGTCACTCAATCTTGGAACACTCCTAGTTGATGATGGTCCAAAGAAATTGAAAAAGAAACCACAAAAAGGTAATTAATTAACAAATATTAGATAGAATGTATAAGCCATCCATATGATGGAATGAACCCAAACTAATAATATTATTTATTTATTTATTAATTTATAGAAAAACCAGCAACTACATCAGCACCAATGAGAGGTGGAAGAGGTGGAATGAGAGGAGGAAGAGGCGGAGGTATGAGAGGAGGTGGTGGTATGAGAGGTGGAAGAGGTAGAGGAGGAAACTAAAGCGACCATCCTATACCTATTCTCTCTCTTTCATAATAGTAATAAAAGAAAATAAAATAAAATAAAATACATAATATTTAAAAATCATACGATCTTTAAGTTGTCACGCCAACTTTGCAAACCTATCATATCAATTCATTTAGTGTCACCAACCATCCACCAACTAGAGCTCTAACTCCATCAACTTAGATATGTATGAATCGTATAGATAGATAGATAGATAGATAGATTAGATACGTATCTAATGAATTAGTAATACAATAACAAGTTAAGAGTTTACAAATTCATACAATTGAATTTTGAGGTTTGTAGTAAAAAGGATTTCTAATATGACAACCGATAGTAACATAACATAATTAATTCTTTTGAAATCATCAATCTCTCTCTCAAATTCATCATCGTCTGTCATCTATCCAGCAGTCAAGTACTGACAGTAGTAGTAGTAGCAGAGAGACAGAGATTTCATTGTTGTTCATCTTTTGTTACTTTAAAAGAATTAAGTAGTTACTCGTACTTGGTTAACGCAAGATATCTATCTCTATCAATCCAACCAGCCCTGGAAAGTAATTAATTTCTCTCGGTCGGTGAGTATCTATCATATCAACCACATCAATTACATCATCTATCGTGTGTCGTAAACCCTAATTAATTTCACAAAAAGACACAACACGATACGCGATGTGCGCATCTTCACCTGTTCATCCACATCCAATTTATTTTAAAACATGTTTGGCAAAACGCTGATGGACGCGTCCCAACTCCAACCAGTCGGAAAACGATCAATGAATTCGTTTTCTTGACGCTGCAAACATACCATCGTGTACAGTACAGTAAACAACATCAACAACAACAACAACAACATCATTCACATCACCGCCATTGCTCATAATAAGCAGATTAAATATCTTAAAAGACCGGATTTTTTTTCCTCCTGTCTTTTTAGATCTTAAAAGTTTTAAAGAATATTATTTTAAAATAATAATATGTTAATCACCAAAAGTTTCCCATTTCACTCAAGTGTCCCTCAACCACCTACAAAACCCGTTTCATTGCTTTTAAGAGAGACGAGGAAAACAAAAAAAAAAAAAAAAACTTTAAAGTTTTTCCTTTTATGGACGACAAGTCATTCAAATATAGTTTGTCCGTGGATTCAATCTTTGAAATGGGACTTGTTTGGATGAGATTGGCTCCGTTGTAATTGGTAGATCAAGTTTTCCAAACGTACAGTATTTTTTGAATTAATTCTTTGATTACCCCTTTGCACTATCGGCCAATTGGGATATTGAATATCCTCCCTCCTCTTCCTCAATGCTAAATGATAACTTTAAACAAACAAACAATAACATAACAAACAATAACTGACAAAAAGAAAGAAATAATTCAAAAATTATTTATATTTATTATTAGTCCAACAATAACAACAACAATTAACCAAACATTACACACCAACCATTGTTTTTTTTTTTTTTTTTGCTCCAGTCAAAATCATTGCTTCTTTTTTACATTAATACCCTAAAGATAAGGGTTTTTCAATTTTCATAGTCTTTTTTCCATATAGAAACAAAAAAACAAATTCAATATCTCTCACTCACCTCACTTGAAACCTCAAAAAAAAAGAAAGGAAAGATTGTGTAAAAAATCCTTTTGTTCATATACCAATTGGAGACTCTTTTGGAAAAGTCATTTAAATACCAAGTTGTTGTACCTATATTTATATTTATTTTGGTATTTCAATAATTAATCAAAAAGTATTTATATTTAAAAAAAACAAACCAAAAATTATTTATTTATTTATTTATTTGTATTTGATATTATGTTAACCAAAAAGGTTGGCACAACAGTTAAAATCAATTTATTTATTTAATTATTTAATTAATTAATTTATTTAATTTCTCTCTCTTAGACTATAGTCGTTCGTTTTGGAAACAAACCCCCCTTACCCTTTAAAATCAAAAGACAAATATAAAGAGTAGATATCTTGTTTTAAAAAAAAAAAAATTGGAAAAATTATTTTTCCAATTCCATTCGTAGTTCACACAATCCATCTCTAATATATCGCGCGCGGATTATAAAACTCTAACAAAAGTTACCACCTTTTTTTTTTTTTTTTTAATTTTTTATTTTCCACTTTTTAGTTTATTTGAACCTCTGTTGCTGCTTTCAAATAATCCAAGATATCTAAGATTTAAAAATAATAATAATTAAAGTAGCAACCGCAACTAGCAAGCAGGTAATCAATCAACCAACCAACAAACCAACCCACTCTCCCTAAAAGAGAGAGAGCGCGCGAGTTATATATATTTATATTTTAATTTATTTATTCTACCTCGAGTAGTAAAACAAACACACACACACACAAAAAGAGATATCTTCCACATTTTGAAATTCACTTTCAAAAAATCATCCAACATATAACAACAACAACAACAACAACAAACGTACATTCAATATATTATATATATAATGTCAAGATATTTTCATAAAGAGGATGGACTACCACTAAGAGCCCGTGCCAGTGGTATAGCAAACCAAATCAACTCAAATATTAGTGGTAATAATAGTAATAATAATAGTAGTGGTAGTACTATAAGTAATCCATCACCATCAACTACATCGTCGTCATTGGCAAGTGATATTCCAGTCGAAAATATATATCCACCCAAAGAAGAAATATTCGATTACTATCACAAACCATCTTCATCACTTAGTTCATTATCGTCGTCTGCATTGGCGTTTCTACCAACACCACCACTTTCATCTTCATTGCCATCGTCGTCATTGTCGTCGTCGGGCAATAGTACTTCATTTACCACATTCAATCATAATACTACTAGTAGTACCAATAAAACACATAATACCGGTAATAATATAGTCAAGGGTCGTACCATATCTGGTGGTGGCAGTAGTGCCAACGTAGGACATGCCAGATCACATAGTGGAACCGAACTCAATACATCACCCACTCAATCCATGTTGATGGATTTCAAGAATATCTCTACCAAATCTGACGCATCGTCTCCCATGGAAGAGGAAAACGATACATTTCCACGTGGATTCATGATGGACAATCCTTTGCCGAGACGTCCCAAACGATCTATACGAGACACTCTCAATCTATCGGAACCTATCAATAGGGGTATCGTCGAGAACCGTACCAACCTCTTCACATTTGATCAAATGGAAGAGGATTTCAAAGTAATGTCACTACGTCGTGAATTGGAAGACAGTATCCACCAAGTCAACAAATTAAGAGATTCATTGGAATTGGAACGTGCACTCATACTAGAACCAAAGTGTCATTGTCCTCATTGTCATCATTACCGTAAACCATTAAATTATCATGATAGTATGAATCAAAAAGCTTTATTTCGTTTGAAATCTGCTTTAAAAACTTTTAGAGTATGTGTAAAAATACAAAAAAAAAAAAAAAAAGTAAATTTTAATATTAATAATATTGATTCTTTTAGGACGGAGATTTCTCTGTTAGATTAACATCAAATGGATGTCATGGAATTGGAAAAGATATCATTGAAATGTTTAATGATGCTGTAACATTATGTGATTCAATGTCGAAAGAGTTTACACGTGTCGGTACCCAGGTTGGAAAAGAGGGTATAACAATGGACAGAGCTACACTGCCCGAAGCAGAGGGTAGTTGGAAGTTTTGTATCGATCTGGTCAACACGCTGATTGGAGATATGATCCTGCCAACCGAAGAGATTGTACGTGTCATTGGCTCGGTGGCCAAGGGCGACCTTTCACAAACCATCAAGCTCGAGTATGGCAGTGGCAAGCAGTTTAGAGGTGAATTCTTAAGAATCGCAAATGTGGTTAATAAGATGGTGACTCAACTCAAAAGCTTTTCAAGTGAAGTAACAAGGGTAGCCCGAGAAGTCGGTACTGAGGGAAAGCTGGGTGGACAAGCCCAGGTCAAGGGCGTCGAGGGTGTCTGGAAAGACCTGACCGAGAATGTAAATACAATGGCGTCGAATCTCACGGGTCAGGTCAGAGCCATCGCAGAGGTGACTACAGCAGTTGCCTGTGGTGACTTGTCAAAGAAAATATCGGTCGACGTCAAGGGTGAAATATTGGAATTGAAAAACACGATCAATACAATGGTCGACCAACTCAATAGCTTTGCGGCCGAAGTAATTAGGGTAGCTCTGGAGGTGGGTACTGAAGGAAGACTTGGAGGTCAAGCCGAGGTCAAGGGAGTTGGTGGTGTATGGAAGGATCTTACCGACAATGTAAATACAATGGCTGCCAACTTGACGGGACAAGTGCGAGAGATTGCACTAGTGACCACTGCTGTAGCTACTGGTGACCTGTCGAAAAAGGTCAACCTCGATGTCAAAGGTGAAATCCTGCAACTCAAAAACACCATCAATACCATGGTTGACCAATTATCAACCTTTGCAGCAGAAGTAACAAGGGTAGCCCGAGAAGTTGGTACTGAGGGTATTCTGGGTGGCCAGGCCGAAGTCAAAGGAGTGGATGGTGTATGGAAGGATTTGACCGACAATGTAAATACAATGGCTGCCAATCTGACAACACAAGTAAGAGCTATTGCCGAAGTTGCCAAGGCTGTCATCAAGGGAGATTTTACTCGTATGATCTCTGTCGAAGCAAGTGGTGAAGTCAACATACTCAAATCAATCATCAATGAAATGATTTACAATCTCAAACAAACCACCATCAAAAACACATTGGCCAAAGAAGCAGCCGAAGCAGCCAGTAGAGCCAAATCAGACTTTATGGCCAACATGTCTCATGAAATCCGTACCCCAATGAATGGTATCATTGGTATGACCGATCTAACACTTGATACTGACCTCACTGCCGAACAACGCGAATATTTAACAATGGTACAATCATCTGCCGGTTCATTATTAACTATTATTAATGATATTTTGGATTTCTCAAAGGTAACAAAAAGAAAAAGAAAAAAAGAAAATTAAAAAGTATACTTACAATTATTATTAATTTTTAGATTGAAGCTGGAAGATTAGAATTGGATCAAACAGAATTTTCATTACGTAATCATTTATATGATACTCTAAAAACTATGGCGTGGAGAGCACATCAAAAGGGATTAGAGTTGGTTTGTGACATTGCTCCAGATGTGGCTGATATTCTTGTAGGTGACCCAGGTCGTTTGAGACAGATTGTTACTAATTTGGTTGGAAATGCAATCAAGTTTACGGCAGAGGGTGAGGTTATCCTGGCGGTCGATATTGACGAGCGACGCAGTAACAATGTTATTGTGATTCACTTTACAGTAACCGACACTGGTATTGGTATACCGGCAGAGAAGCTACATCTCATCTTTGAAGCATTCTCACAGGCTGATGGATCTATCACTAGAAAGTACGGAGGAACCGGGTTGGGTCTCACCATCTCGACGAGAATGGTCGAGTTGATGGGTGGCAAGTTGCGCGCCGAGTCAACACCTGGACTTGGAAGCAAATTCGAGTTCACTGCTGTCTTTCCTATCAGCGATGCCAACAAGGAAATTGAACATATCAAACTCAAGGACCGCAACACGCTCATCATCGATGACAACAAGACCACTAGAAAGGTGTTGCTGCAAATGCTCGGGGAGTATGGTATATCGGCTGATTCGGCCGACTCTGCAGAGACTGCCTTCCGTCTATTGCGTGCAGCATCGTTACGCAAGCATCCGTACGAGTGTATCTTTATGGACGCACAGCTCAATGGTCGCGACGGCTTTTTAGTGGCTGAAGCAATCAAGCAGGACACGACGATTGGTGACGCCAGCATCTTTATGATGATTTGTGGCAGCGGACAGCGTGGCGACCCCGAGAACCGCAGCAGCGTCATCTCGGGCTACCTCACCAAACCCATATCGCCACTCGAGATGCTCGAAGCACTGCAAGGACGTGGTGGACACACTTCCGACTCTGCCAACGGAGATGGCAGCCGTGCACAGTCGACGACAGCCCCCGCCGAGACCATGGCAGCCGAGATCTTGCTGGCCGAGGACAACATTGTCAACCAGCGTCTCGCCGTGCGTCTACTCGAGCGATTCGGACATCGCGTGACACTGGCCGAGAATGGGTTACAAGCTGTCGCAGCCAGCGAGACCAAGGACTTTGACCTGATCCTAATGGACGTCCAGATGCCACACATGTCTGGCTTTGAAGCAACCAACACGATCCGTATTCGCGAAAAGGCACTGAATAAGCACACACCTATCATTGCCATGACAGCCCACGCACTGCAAAAGGACAGAGAAAAGTGTCTAGAGGCAGGCATGGACGACTACCTCAGCAAGCCAATCAACGCCGACCAGCTGCGCTCACAGATTGAAAAGTTCCTCGGCGCAGCCCAACAAAATGTCGTGCCTCCCACATCAATCAACGACGTCAATGTACTAAATGCCAAGGCACAACAGTTTCTCCAAGAATACGAAGTCATTTGGATGAACGTCAACCGGGCCATCAACACCAACAACCAAGAAAAGCTGGCACTAGAGGCCAAGAAACTGTGCGAGTATATTTCGGCGTTCTCAACAGACATTGAAAGACTGTGTAAAGAGCTCGAGACAATCGCCAGAGAAAGTCTGGATTTAGAAACTGCCAGACCAATTAGAAAAAGAATCGAAAGAGAAATCAATCGGTTAATGCCAGTCATTACAGAATTGGCAAAAAGAAAGAGTTAAAAAACATTTAAAATAAATAAATGTAATAATTTGTAATTTTTATTTTCTCCAATCTATTTCTTTTTCTTTTTCTTTTTGTATAGTATGTCTTAAACTCCCCCCCCCCCACCCCCCCTTTTAGTTTTGCTCCTAAAATGGTTATTTCTTGCATCAACATTAGAAACTACTACCACATGATCACCAAGTTCAGCAAATCCAACTGATCATCAGCAGGGTACAGCATCATCTAATCCAACATCTTTGACCGATTCATCCACCAACAACCACTGGAAGTCGATCATCAGCCTGTGGTCTTGTCTTCTTTTCGATGTTGATGACGAGGATGAAGATATCAGTGATTATCAACAAATAAATGTGGGAGATAAGTATCTCTTCAAAGTTGTATCTGTAGAAAAAAAACAAATAAGAAAAAAAAATTGAGTTAACCAAATCAAAAAGAGTTTTGTATTTTTAACCAAAACTTTTTTTTTCATCAAATTTGTATGCAGTGGTAACAGATGATGTTTTGGTGCAGTGGGAATTATCTTTTCAGACGATAAAATATAAAATGATACTATTTATGGAAAATGATGAAACACGCTCCACCTTTTCAGAAGATAAAATGATAAAACTAGAACTAACAGTTACTATTTATGGAAATATGGTGATGATCAAAGTTTAAACTTTTGGATTTTGCCTGATTTTTTGACAAAATAATTGAAGTAAAAAAAACTATAAACACTCTCAGCTTTGGGCACTACTTCTATAGCAATCAACAATTATCTTCACATTTAATTCATCTATATATTATATCCCTTTATTTAATATTTAGTATATTATCTTTTTTTCACAATGTCTCCTGTCAAACAACACCATTTTATTATTATTAATCATAAAAATCAAGCAATCATACATACCATACATTGCATTACATATTAATAACACATACATTTCTCTCTTTCATAGTTTACAAGTTGATATTTTGTGTCAATGAGGAGGTGTTAAAACGAGCAGATAATTACTTGGCACAACTTAATAAGAAAATAGAAAAAGAGAACAAAAAAAATAAGGATGGAAAAGTAAAAGTATGTAAACAATTTTTTAATTGATATCAATTAAAAATATAATTTATTTACAAGTTTCTTTTCATTTCATAGAACCTGAAAACCATTTCACCAAAAATTTCAAAGGCAGAGATACCCTCCCCTATATTGGCTATTCAAGTCAATTCTTGATACGGGTTGCAAGTCATAAAAATGGAGAAGATTCATGGAAGTTTAATTGCATGATCAAAGCATCTGGTGGTAATTACCTAATCTTAATCATGGGAGATCACCCATCACAACGTTTGGGCCTTCAATACGAGACTGACTTGATCACTTCATCTAACAACACTGAGAATGGTTTGAACGTCTTGCGTTCTAGTGTCGATGGAAGAATCCCCAATGATCCCGAGTACATTCGGGTATTGTCAAGACCAAATGGGTTTCACGTTGTTGTCAACAACGAATTCCAATATGGTCATTGGGATACAATGGAAGAGGCTGAAGCAAAGATTGGGACTTGTTGGAAAGATTAAAAAGTACAAAAGAAGATTTTTAGCACTTCCACAATCGCATATTGGGATTAATCAGTCCTACTGATTACAAGGTGGTTAATCTACTCATTATTTGGTTGTAAAGTATGTATAAAAAGGGATATTAAAAAAATTAAAACATTTAAAAATAATATTTATTCCTTTTTTTAATTTACTAGACATTCGAATTACAAACTTCAAACCATCAGCAGGAGAATCTAGAGGATCAACTACAACAACATCATCAACAACAACATCATCATCACCTAAAAGAATAGCAATAATAACCTTGGATGAATTCCAATCTGTGAGATTTGTAATTGACTGATGCAACCAACTTCAATTCATTACAAATCTCATAGATCGGAGTTGATTGACAGGATGGATCAGTGCCAATCTTGGTGACTGTTTCCAAAACACCTGCTCGCCCTCGGGAATATTCATGTGATCTGTTGTATTGTTGTTGTTGATGTTGTTGTGGTGTCAGCTTGTTGCAAATTATCGATCAGTTGGACTCTTCTAAATAAATTTATACTATTCATCCAAATCTCTATTTTTATTGTTTTGTTGAGACGCTGACAAGGATGTGGAGTAGTCAAGATGATCAATCTGTTGTGTGTTTACTAGTGTGTACATTTGATTGAATAAATAAATGTAATACATAATGAAATTTTTATTTTCCCCTTACAAATCTTTCTTTTCTATATTTTTAACCAAAATAAATAACAGTTGTTCTCCAAGTTGTTGGACCAATAAATTCACCACCCAAACTACTACTAAATCTTTCTTCTACTTGTTGTTTGATTTGTTGTTCCAAAGCCAACTCTGCCTGTTTTTGATCTAAAAGATAATCCAATCTATCAAGTAATTGGTTTAATCTTTCATTTCTTGCTTCAATATAATTCTTAAATGAATAAATATAAATAAATAAGTAAACAAGGATGTGTATAAATAAACAAATAAATTAATAAAACTTACAATATTGATTAAAAATAATATTAATAAACCCAAAAAAAATAAATAGTTTCTTTTCATATTTAAATCTCAAAGTACTTTGATTGAGAAACACTTTTGGTAAAATGACTGATTTCATATGCATCGATTTCTATTTGATTGCAATGAGTGAGGTAATAAAATCAAAGAGCAAAATTTTTTGATTTTTTTTCTATTTTTTTTTTATGCTCAAGTTGAAGTTCCTCCTGATTGAGTGTGAGTCATCCTTTTGTCTATTTTACACCTACATACATATACATATACAAATATATAGTTTTGAAATGTACAAGATTATAGCTTTATTAGTTGTAGCACTCATCTCATTGGGATGTGTCTCTTCATTCATGTTTGAAGTCAGACCAGCTGAAGAAAAGTGTATGATTGAAGAATTCAGAAAGGACACTCTTGTCAGTGGCAAGTTTGAAGTATCTGATCGTCTCTCAAAGAACGTGGACTACCCAACTGAATTGGTTATGGCTAACATGCAACTCAGATTCTATGTATGTAGTAAATAGTAATAGTAGTTAATAGTAATAGTAACTAGTAACAGTGTGCACCATTCATTGAACAAAAGAGAGATCGATATTAATAATAATCATCAATCAATACCTACATATGATCATCATCTATATATACAGATTCGTGACCCAACTCAACAATTATTGTTTGATAATCATGATGCCAAGAATGGTCCATTTGCCTTTACTGCCCAAGATGGTGGTGAATATTACTTCTGTTTCACTGATAACTACAAGCCACGTATGTTATCTATAGAATTCTTCTTCTTTTTTTTGACAATAATACTAATTCGAATGATTGATTTAGATGCATCTGTTATGCCATTAAGCAGAACTGTTTCATTGGAAATCAAGACTGGTGCCGACGCAAACGATTACACTGATTTGATGAACAAGGGACACTTAAAGTTGTCAGAAGTCGAACTTAAAAAGATTGAAGACTCTGTCGACAAGATCAAGGAAGAAGTGTTGTACATGAAGACTAGAGAAGAGACAATGAGAAATACCAACGAATCCACCAATGCTAGAGTTGCTTGGTTGGCCGTCTTTTGTATTATCGTCCTCATTGGAACTGGTGCCTTCCAAATCAACTATTTGAAGAGATATTTCAAGCAAAGAAAACTTATTTAAATGTGTACAAGAACAATAATATTGTTGCTTAAATGATCATTTACAAGGAAGGATATTCCCAAAAGAAAATCATCAATTGTCGATCATCATCAAAATGGTCAACATATAATAATAATAATAATAATAATCCTTTAAAATAACAATACTACCTACCAACCATCACGCGGCGTATATATAAATGTTTAAACAAACATTGTTGTTTATATGTATATCGAAATTATTATTCCCAATTATTATTATGATTCCATTATTATTTTCATATATGACTTTTATCTATCTATTTCTATCTATTTATTAAAAAGTTTCTTCTTCTTCTTCAAGTTGTTGTAACCATTGAGTAAAATATATACATTTGGCAGGAGTGATTTCTCCAACCTCTGAACACAAATGGAAAACTGGACAGTTGCCACATGGCATCTTGGTGAAATGATTTTCTGGTATTTTGGTTTTAGTTGGTTTATAAATAATTCCTGTTGGTTTTCTCTAAATAAATAATATTAATATGATTGTTTATATATATATTATAATATATATTATTTTTTTTATAAGCTTACTGATAAAACATGTTTTGCTCTTGTATCTCTCATTTCTTCAACTAGACCATCATAAATCAAACTATTTAAAAGTGTTAAAATATCTTCTTCTGTTAGATCCTTTTCACCTTGTTTCTTGAGATAGTTCATAACCTCTGAAATATCAGCAGCACCCTTGTTGGAGATAAACGATGAACAAGACCATTTCATTGCATTGATAAGCTCTTGATCGAGTGTTTGTCCACCACTGTACAATGAACCACCAGTGAGATCTCTTGATGGTTCCATCGAATATGACATGTATACTTTTTTCTTTCCTGCATCGATTGTCTTTACAGCCTTGATAAGCTTTCTAGTCTCCAATGTCTTGATGATCTTTGTGATTTGAACCTGTTGTAAATTGGTTTGACCTCTCATATCTTTGGTCCATGCACCCTTGTCCTTTGAGTCTTCTATGATCTGATAGATAAGCATTTCATCTGCCGACAGACCTTTAAACTTGGACTGATCCTCCAACGTAGTAACTTCTCTGTACGATGTCGATCCATCTGGGTTTTGTATGTATATGATTCTACCCTCTTTGACGAGTTTGTTGATAACAGTTAATATTGCTTGATTATCTCCTCCAAGTTCATCTTTGAAATCTTTTTGTGATATTCCCTAAAGTTGATAACAAATGTTAATATAATTATAACTAATCGACCGAGTATAAATCAACTTGTTCGACATACAGTTGGATGTTGTTGAAGTATGACCAAAAACTTGTCTTCAATATCTTTAGACATTCTATACTACTAACTATACTACTATACTATACTGTTATCTCCTTTTCTCCCTTCTATCTATCTATCTAAATATACAATTACTGTTTTTAGTAATGGTAAAAATAGTTTAATTACTAGAGTATCAAAACCGAGGGGAAATGAGAATGAAAATAAATAAAATGAAATTAAATTAATTTAATTTGGGGGTGTTTGTTGTGAGTTGATGAACCATGGTTTGAACAATGATCTTCACCATTTTCAATAATTAAACCATACATAGCAATCAACAAAGAATACAAATACAAAAGAATGAATAGAATTTTCAATAACGCAACTACTAGATGTCTTGTACAACAACAAATCAGTAACCATTCAAGATACTCTTACTCTACATTGAACCCAACAACAGGAGATCTTAAAATCAAGACCCGTATTCCTATCTTTAAACCAACTGATGACAGTGTCGAACACATTGCTATTGGAAAGCTCAAAGAAGATGAACACTCTGTAGCTCTCTACAGCTTAGAATTCATCTCTTTGGATAATATTGTTAACCTCAATGCTGAACAATTATCACGTTTGGTTGTCATCCCAAAAGAAGGTAAGATGAAGCAATAATCGTTAGTGATAACTCTCTCTCTCATCTACTAATTCTCTCTCTTTTTACACATATAGGAAAATTAACATTGGAACAAAGAATTGAAAAGCTTGAATCTGATTTAAAGAGAATAACCCAACAAACATCTGATCCATCAAAATCAGCCACCAACAACAAAACTAAAATCTAAACAAATATAAGATATAGATGAACCAGATATATTCCTTCCTTCCTTCCTTTTTAATGAATGGTGGTGATCCATGATCCATTGATTTCATTGTAAACATGTACACAATCCTATAAACAAATAATAAATAAAATATACAATAATATTAAATAAGGCAATATATATAATATACATTTGATTTAAGTGATTTGATTGATTATTTTGTTACAAATATTTATTGAATTATTATTATTATTATTAATTAATTATTGTTTTTAAAAATACTAAGGATAGGGAAGATTTTATATGGATGACAACAAATACTATTATTATTATTAGTTTGGTGAAACGTTATTTATCTAAATATTGATTAAAATATTCGAATATTTTGTTTGTTTGTTTGTTTGTTGGATACATCTGTGTCTCTATGTGTGTTCATTTAGAATCCTTTACCAAATGCAAAGTGATGAGCTTGTTGTTTGTTCATTTCCATTTGCATTTGGAATGGATCCAAACCACCCAAACCGCCCATACCACCGTGATGACCCTTTTCATTGTCCTTGCGTGGACCCTGAGTGATGATATTGTGGTTGAGCATGTTCATACGGAGGAGTGAGTCATTGGCAGCGTTTTGGAAATCCTTACCAACTTGCAACGACTTTTCAAAAGTGACTGAACGTTGGTCGGTCTTTCTGGCATAGAGACGCTTGTTGTGACTATCGATTCTTGCAGAGATGGAATCTTCCATGATCAACTTGCTAATCTCCTTTTCGAGTGCTCCAACAGTAGTGTTGAATGCGGCGGCCATGGCATTGAGATCGACCGATGAGAATGGTGAAAAATATTGAACAAGTGATTTGCTTCTAATCTTTTGGTATAATTTATCAATATGATCATGTAAATGAATATCCAATTGAAGAGTTGGCTACAAAATAATTAATTATATTATATAAAATATTAGAGATTTGGTTAGTTATATTATATACATATCTTTTAAGATTTGAGTTTACCTTTAATTTATCAAGATAATTTAAACATGAACTATATTTGCTATTGTAGAAATCGTTTATCAATTCTCTAATTTCAGGAACCAATTCCAAATAGTTTCTAAAGACACTGTTATCAATAACCTTTCTCTTTAATTCACTTCTATCAAATGAAGCCAAAGCACAAAGGCCACCATAGATTGCAATATCTTGTGGTGAAATCATCTAAAAACAAAAGAAAAGAAAAGAAAAAGAAAAAAAAAGAAACATTATTATTAACAAAACTTTCCAAAAAGTAACATGTTTGTTTGTAGTTTGTAGTAGACGGACTCTACTACTCTACTTTGCTACTACTTACATCAGAAAGATTACCAGAAATATCAAATGGAGCTTCAATGAATTTCTTTGCAGCTTGAGAGTACTTTGCATTTTCAAGACTTGAAAGACCCATAGCAGCACGAAGCTTGGCAGTTGATTGTGGTGAAAGGTCGGGTGTTTGCTCGGCCTTGGTGATATAGTTGATGACGTGGATATAGTTGCTCATATCAACACCTACACGAATGATATTAAAGCACATGGTCAACACTTGCTTAGAGGCAGTGCAGTAATCTCTAGTTCTAATATAACACTTGAGAGCATTGGCAAAATCTCCACTATGATAATAAAAGTCTCCTAATTCATTGTGTGCCAACTAATAATTGATTGATTGATTAATGAAGTAAAAAGAGAGAAACAAAGAATAAAAGAGTTAGTTTAAATATAGATATATACAAGATAGATTAGATAGGTAAAACTTTCTACACATACTCTAATAGCATCTTTAACCATGTTTGACTTTGCAGTATTGAGGTCTTGTTCCAACTTTTCGATTTGACTAGCATTCTTTTTGATGGTAGACTCAACCCATTGAGTGTCGTAGGTGACCAAGTTGTTCTTGGTGCACAAGTTGCCATACAACTCTACGTTGGGTGTCTTTTTAATCTCCTTTTGAGCAAGATCAGTAGCAACCTTTTCAAACTCCTTTGATACGTCGGCGATAAACAAGAGACGTTGAATCTTTGTGTATCCTGTATATTGGTTGATGTAAGCGTCCAAATCAAATACATTGCTTGAAATGGTTGCTTTGGTCGCGGTACCTTGCTCGACCATCATATCGTCACTGTCAATATTCATATCTTATCTATTCTCTATCTCTTTGTGTAGTTGAACAAATAAACAAATAAACAAATAAATAATAATAACTGATGATAAAAAGGGGCTTGAAGTTTAATATCTAGAGAAAATTGAAATTAAAAAAAAACTAAGAAAGCAAGGTTTGCTGTGAAGCTCAAGTTCCTCCAAAAAAAAGTTTGTTGGATCACCATCAATGTACATCTATTTTATAAATTGTGATGGTTGTTATTACTATCTATCTATCTATATATAACTAATCGGGTATTTATGTATCTTTGAATTGGTTAGATATTAAATGGATTCAACTTGAAGTATACTCATCATCATTGAAGAAATTAGATCAGAGGAGAGTACTTTGAAAAAAATGAATTTAATTTGAGGAGGGATTTACGCACCCATGCATGATTGTTCAAACATACGACCTATTTGTTAAAGAGATAGTTAGATATAGATAGGTGGAGAGAAAGGAGATATAGATATGACAAATATAGATAATAATGGGATAACGACAACGAATGGGAGTAGTAGTAATGGTACTACTACTACTAGTAATACAAAGATAGACAAAAAGAAACAAAAATTACAAAAGAAAAAGGAACAAAAGAAAAGACAGAAACAAAAGAAGTATCAAGATAAACAACAACAACAAAATGGATCACATAGTAATAGTAGTAATAATGTTGAAATAGATGGTGATGAGCCACCAGCACCTGTAGACAATATGATGATTGAAGAAGACCCAGATTTTGTAATAGACGAAAGCGATCCTACCTTTGAATTGTATAACAAGTTATTAAAACATTTCGATAATCCTACTCATCAAGATGATGATCAAGATGTACAGGTATGTTTTGTTTATAGAGATATATATCAGCTGCAGATACTAACAATCTCATCTGTCACACACAGTTTACTGATCAAGAAGAAAATCAAGATACTGATCAACAAGAAAATGATGAAGTTGAAGAGGAAGAGGAAGAAGAAGAAGAAGAGGAAGAAGAGGGTAAAGGCAAATCAAAGAAATTATCAAATCGTGAAAGAAAGAAACAACAAAGATTAAATCTTCCCATTTTAAAACAATTGGTCGATAGACCAGATATAGTAGAGGTATGTGTTATTAAACAAAACATACATACATACATACATAATATTCTTGCTTTGTTCAATACTAAAACTTATATATATCTATTCTATTTTCTAATTTAGTTGCATGATACCAATTCACCAAATCCAGCATTTTTAATTAACCTTAAATCATGTAGAAACTCTGTTCCGGTACCAATTCATTGGAGTCAAAAGAGAAAGTATTTACAGGGCAAGAGAGGGTTTGTAAAGCCTCCCTTTGAGTTGCCAGAGTTTATTGCTGCCACGGGCATCACCAAGATTCGTGATGCTCTATTGGAACGCGAGAGTCAGAAAAAGACAAAGACAAAGCAGCGTGAACGTCTGCAACCCAAGATGCGTACAATGAACATTGACTATCAGATATTGCGTGATGCCTTTTTCGTGCATCAGACCAAACCCAAGTTGACGGGTCAAGGCGACCTCTACTACGAGGGCAAGGAGTTTGAGGTGTCGATCAAAAAGAACAAGCCCGGACAACTCAGCACCGACCTCAAGAACGCGCTCGGCATGCTCGAGGGATACCCCCCTCCCTGGCTGATCCACATGCAAAACAATGGACTGCCCCCATCGTACCCTAGTCTCAAGATACCGGGTGTCAACGCACCGATCCCCGAAGGTGCACAGTATGGCTTCCATCCAGGTGGTTGGGGTAACCCACCGATGGATCCTAGTATGTTTGCACAACAACATCACGACAAGACCGTGCGCGGCAGTCTCATCAACCAAGAGGAGCGTGAGCGTTGGGGTCAACTCGTACCCGAAGAAGAGTACGAAGACGACGAGGAAGAAGGAGATGAAGATGATGAACAAGAGGGTGATGACCACGAAGACGGTATGCCACCCCCTCCCCCACCACTCTCTGCGCAACAAGTGCAAGATGGTACCATGTCCATTCCATCGGGTGGGTCAGAAACACCCGACGTTGTCGATATTAGAAAACAACAATACAACAACAATAACAATGGTGGTGGTAACATGTTACCACAATTCCAACAACAAAAGCAACTTTATCAAGTGGTCGAACAATCAAGCAGACAGTTGGGTCAAGGTATCATGGAATCAAATTACAAATACAATCTACCAACAAACATCAAAATGAATACTCCCTCTTCTTCCTCTTCTTCTACGGCATCGGCTAGCGGTGCTAGAAAGGTTGATCTCATAAAGGGTCATAAATCTGCACCTGTCGAAGTCACATTTGCACCAAATGAAGTAGAAGATGTAGAGTTGGACGAAGAATTGCTTAAAAAGAAATATGAACAAGCTGTTTCAGGAGACAAATCATCTCAAAGAAAAGAAGATTATGGAGACGATGATCATAAAAAGAGAAAGGCTAAATCTCAAGATGACAAACAAAAGAAATTCAAATTCTAGAGTAAGACACATTTGATAAATTAAATAAATCAAATCAAAAAAGAAAAGAAAATTTATTTATTTATCATTTCCAAAGACTCAAAGTCTATCCAGTAGTTGGATTGTTGGTATTTCTTCACATATTATCCATTTTTATATTTACAGATATTTATCAAGAAAGTTTTTACTGATTAATTAATTTAACTTTCAAACACTGGATTTAGAAATGATTCGAATTCCAGAATCGGAAAATTATTCTTTTCTAACCAGGATAGGGTTGGGTGTAGGGACAGGAATACGACTATCGTAGAATTCACACCCCCCCCATCCATCCATCCATTGATTCATTCATTGACCAATCAAATAAGAATATTTTAATTAAAATACTCGAATATTTTGATGTGATCATATTTCTCATTAGCAGCATCATCCTGTTTCAATTGGAAAGATATACATTCTAGGACAATCATCATGTGGACGAATGATCCACCTTTCCAATCCACTCTTTGATTCATTTCATTGATTTCATTTGATTTACACGAATTTGTGAATCCCCAATTTTAACCTCCACCTCTATCTCTATCTTCCACTCACCACACACACACAGTCTATTTTATCTCTATCTATAACTACAGTAGTGCTCTTGATTTATCTAATTTTTATTACCACCCAACGAGTTGTGGTTGTATTTTCGATTTGTTTGGAAATTGTGTTTTCGAATCCATCCAACCAACCAACCAACCAATGTGATGTGATGTGGTTAAAAACTATTTGTGAACATGGATGGTTAGTTGGTTCTTAACCCAAAGGGTTGGGTGAGTGATAGTGACGGCATCCAATCAGTAAAATAACCAGCAGTCTATATGTCTCTATTTACGAACACCCACGACAATTTAAATTCAATCAAAGACAAATCGAGTGTGTTGCTACCAACAACATTAAGATTAATATTTAAAATCATATCTACAACAAATCCAACACGGAATCAACAATTTAGTTTGATAATCTACCCCCCTAACCTCACTCCTACTGTCCTTTGTCGGTTGGTTGGTTCACTTGCCTGTTGTTTAAATAAATACTCGTATCAATCAATCAATTAATTCATTATTTATTAGTCTAACCTTTTTTTTTTTTTTTTCCTTTTAATAATCTTAGAGTTGGGTTGGGCGATTCAATCAATCTAGAAAGATATTTTAACATACCTTTTTATTAATAATATTATTATAATATTTATTCAATGACTATATCTACTACTACATACTTTATATTTATTTTATTAATAATATGTATTCTCCAATTTGATTTTATATTTTCAGCATCTAGTATGTGTAACATCTATTATTTTAATATTCCCAAGATTAATACTTACCAATATTATTATTTAAAGTAAAAGGTATAGATCAAAAAGACAATAAATTAATAATAGAATTTTCTCCAGTGAAAATGATTTGGTTGGATAGTGGCTTATACCATAAAGGCTTTATGGTTAAAGACTTGAGACCATACTGCTCGAAAAATTCACCCATGGAATGTATTTTGGATAATGTTCCAGATTGTGATATGGTTTCACTCTATGGTTTTAATGGTATTGGATCGATTAATATAAATTTAACCTTTGCTTTTAATTGTAATGCAAATGTTGTTGTTGGTAATAATGAAAAGATTGGCGATTCAAACTCTCATACGATTGAGACTGTGCCATTATCGACGACGACGACAACATTTACTGAAACGACACCAACGATAATGCCAATAGAACATGACGATCGATATGATGCAACATCTCCTACCACCACTGACTATCCATTATTATCAGACGGAAATGCTGATTCTGATGGTCATGGCCATGACCATGATGATGGACATGGACCTATATTTGGATCATCTTCATTGATTTCTCCAACTCTTTATCAACCTCTACTATTCTTATTATTGATCTGTCGTCATTTGATCAGTCGTTTTTAAATAAAATAATACTACCTATAACCATATTTATTCATCCCAGTATATAGCACAACTACATTGTATAAGAAGAAGATCTTCTTTTAATATATGTATGTTTGTTGAACAAGTACTTGTGCAGTATACTCTTTGGAAGGGGTCGTTCGCTTCAGATGGTGCAATGAAAAAAAATTGATTTTTTTAATTTTTTTTTTTCTAGCAGAGTGGGATGATCAGAAGTTGTATTTAGAGGACTGACTCGTTTTTAAAGCTTGTTATCATACAAAGTATATATTATATATATATATTTGCGTGTGTGTATATATATATATACTATTGTTTATCATCAGAAACAGAGTAACATCATAACAACAATAGTAGTAGAGAAAGAACGATGATGATGATGTCAAGATTCAAGTCGTCATCGACGACAAGAACACTCCAACACCTTGTGCATAGTAGCAGCAGCAGCAACAAGTCAAACGTTGCCGTTAGAAACTACTGTAACAACCACAAGGAGGATGATCATGAAGATGCTGTACAGATCGAGAAGTTGACCAAGGAAGCATTAAAGGATGATCGTTTCTTGGACCCACGTTTCTACAACGAGGTCGACAGTCAATACAGTGCAGAGACCTTGAAAAAGTTCCACAAGCGTTTAGTTGACAGCAAGTTGCTCGACGTTGCCCACGGCAGAAGATTGGCATCGACAATGGAAATGTACGAGAAGTTGGATCTGTTGGAGCCCGAAAAGACCATGGACGAAGAGGCGTTGGACTCGGACCACTTGGCACGTGAAAGAGAACGTGTCTTTGAAAAGTTGCACAAGGACGCAACTTACACAGCTCACATAAAGGGTATCCAAGCCGAAATGGATAGACAAGGAGAAGAAGGAGAAGAAGGAGAAGAACAAGAAGGAGAAGAAGAAGGAGAAGAAGAAGATCAATTAAAAAAACTAGAACAAGAACAAGATGAAGATGAACTAGAAGAAAAGGACGGCGAAGAAGACGGTGAAGAAGCAGAGGAATATGAATATGATGAAGATGAAGATTTGGATGAAGAGGATCAACAAACAAGACTGGAATTGTTGACAGATTTCTATGGGGTTGACCCAGTGACTGGTAAGCGTAATATCCGTCCCAAGGAATATTTAGGAGATGTCACACCAGAAGACCCCTCCATACCATTCAACCCTGCCAAACCAGAGATGATCAACGAATATACAGAGCTACACGTCGACGGCGAGGAAGACCTCGACCGAGACAGCCAAGAGTACATCCACATCCAGAACCTCAAACAGGCAGCAATCAACAGAAACCAAGACTTGGAGGACATCATCAAGCAGGTCGAAGACTCGGAACACATCCCCAGAGGCTTGTTTGCCCAACACTTTAGAGAGACTTGGATCTCCAACGAGGAAGGCAGAGAACAGGCTTTGGAAGAGTACCTCAACGAGAATATGAACACCCCCGTCCATGGCGAGGAGACATTGGGCATCTTGACACGTTTGCAGTTTGAAGCTGCTTTGGCGTCGGTCAATGCACTCTACAATGCACGTATGGAGGTACTTGGTATCAAGCCACCCGTCGTCCCCCGTCTCACTACCCACGAATACGAGCCACTCAAGTACGTCGGCAAGAATCGTTCTGCTATCGGTCGCGAGCCACACTATGTCGAGAATAACGACACCTTTGACTATTCGCAAAGCACCTCACCCAACACAACCGCCGCCGAACTCGAGGAGATCGAGGCGTTCCAAGGTGTCGATTTGCCCGCCGATCCAGAGTTTGATGCACAGTTTTCGCAATGGATGCGTGAGCGTTTCATCTACAAGCACAAGATCCTCAACCAATTGGCCATGGCCAAGACGTACGAGCAGATCGATAATGACAATGTCAGAGAGTCGCTGTCACGTAGCATCATCGAGCCCACCGAAGACGACCCTCTCGAGGTACCAATGACCGACGCCGAGCTTGAAAATGCCATCCGTGACATGGACGGCCGTGTCATCCCCGAAGAACTACTCGACGACCGTGACCGTTACAACTACCTCTTGCGTAAATACAAAAACCCCGCTGCAATCGCCGCCAAGGAGGCCAAGGAACGTGAGCAGCGTCGTGCTGCCATGGACACCAAGAAGCGTGAGATTGACGGCTTCCTCGAGGGCAGTGCCAAGTTCCGTCGTGCCATGTCCGAGGAAGAACGTTTGGAGACTCGTGACGACGTCGACCGTCTTCTCGGTGCCGACATCAACATCCAAAAGTACAAGGTCAACCCCAAACTCGAGCAATTGCGTGAGAAGCACCGTCTCGAAGCCGTCAAGGAAAAATCATCACACGAATACCTCCACCGTCAAATCCACCGTATGGAAAAGAACGGCCAACTCGGCAACGCTCCTCTCTACTCGGCCACCACTGGCAAGGAGGTCACTGGTAACCCCAAGTTCCCCAAGTGCCTTTTGTGCTACGACTTTGGCTGGCGTGTCGAGCCATTGAACGTGCCACTCCTCAGCATCTACATGAACACCGAGGGTGACATTTTACCACGTTACATCACTGGCAACTGTTTGAAGCATCAAAAGCGTTTGGCCCGCAATATCAAGGCCGCCAAGCATCTCGGCTTTTTCAGCTACAAGTCTGGTACTTTTACAATCTACGACCCCAACGTCGTCCCACCAACTCCAGCCGAAGAAAAAGAATACCTCAAATACTACAAGGGTGCCTACACTCCCAAAGAATGGATGGATGGCGACACTCGTCTACAATGGGAGGACGACGAATCAAACGAAAGCCTCTATGCCGAAAGCGAAGAGGAAATCATGTTACACAAGGAGGCTCTTATGCTCGATCTCGGTATCTCTGAAGCAGAAGCCAAGGAAATTTTATCTGGTAAATTAGAAAATGATGGAAAAGAACTTCTAGAATCAACTTCTGATTCTTTAGATAATCCAATAAATCAATAAACATAATAAATAATAATAATAATAATAATAAATTAATTTTTTATATAACAAACATCTCACAGTCTACAAATGGTGAATCAATAAAGGAAATGGGAAACTGTGTTTTGTCTCGGACAGTGTATTTGCAATTTATTAAATATAAATGTTAAATGATAATGGGATATGGAGGGTTGTTATTGTTGTTGTTGAGATAGTGGTCTATGAGAGACAAACAGATGTGATACGTATGTACCTCTCTTAGGAATCCAGTTTCTCGTCGTCATGAGGAATCTCAATTAGATAGTCATCCTCCAAGTCGTTGAAAATTTGCATTCCCATTGAGTTGTTTGAAACAAAATTGGTGCAAATATTTAGTATTTCATCTACCTCTTGAGGGGAGGGGGATACCCGCGCGCTATTTGCAGAGATAATAGTCAAGTCTCTGATAAAGCGCATTTGTCGACCTCCAACTCCAATCAATGATCTTCCAAGAAGCGCATGTCTTCTTCGCTTCGCGATATTGATACCAGGAATAATTGCCTTAATTGAATCTATTAGTTTGATGAAATTTCGTAGTTGCACATCCCCTACCAAACTTATTTGGGCGGAATCAACTGCAGAAAGTATTCCCACAACATCGTCATAGCAAAGACTGAAACGGAGATATTCATTGTGGATGAGCTCGTGTGGGTATAGGTCAGAACAAAGTCGGATAGTGAATGCATTTCCAGCGTTGTTGTAAACACTCAACACAGGAGACTGCAATGCAGCAACACCTCCTCCACTTTTGATTTTGTACGTGAATTGTTCACCAGCAGCATTTGGATGCTTGGTTGGGAATGTATTGAACAGGGTGGACAGCCCATCCATCTCTGGAATAGAGAGTAAATGAGAGTTACATCCAGTATCTAGCATAACATATGGGATTGGGTATCCACCAAACGTATTATCTGTGCTAGGGAGGAAGGTACGACGCTTGTCGTTGTCCAGACCATATACTACATCAGATGTTGGTTTTGACATCTTTAGAAATTGAAGTTGGAGCTTTAGTTGAGGGGTGGCATTAGTACAATAATTTAGAATTATAGAAAGGTAGGCTACGTACTAGATAATCGAAATAAAGATTGAAATTTCAAATGAGATAACGAAGTACAAATATTTACTGTCGTATATTTTTAATTTATCTATGTCAGAGTGTTTGATGAACTCGATTGCAATAAATGTCAGCACTACCTATTATTTATAAAATAAAATAATTTCACCGATTAAAAAAATTATATTAAAATTATTTGGTTTTAATTTAATTGGTTTATTTTATTTATTTACAAATTTGATTTATTTAAATTATCTTTTTAATCCTTTAGCTCTTTGTACATTTACAGCCTTGTATAAGGAAGTTCCTTGAAGTTTGGCACCACTAAGATTAATGTCTTGTAGATTGGCTCCTTGGAGATTGGCACCACTTAATAATGAATTTTGGAAATCTGCATTTTGTAATGATGCCTCTGTCAATTCTGCATCCGATAAATCACATGATACAACTGTTGAATATTGTAATTGCGCATTTTGTAGTTGTACTCTTTTTAAATTACTAAAATTAAATTAATAAATAAATAAATAAATAAATTAATATTATTTGGTTTATCTTTTTTGTTTTTTGTTTTACATACCCATATGATAAATCAGAATATCTTAGATCACATTTTTTAAGATTAGCATCTTGAAGATTTGCTTCAGCTAGATTACAATATTTTAGAATGGAACCTTCGAGATTTGCAAAGCGTAGATTACAACCTCTGAAATTCAATCCAGAGAGATCAAGTCCGCTAATGTCGGCCGAAGCCAATTGGATGGGACGTGCGGGATGGCATTGGTTGAGGAGTGTGATAATCTCCTTTTGTGTGAATCGACTTGGATACAACTCGGCGTCGCTCTTGGGTACTGGTGTGGAAAGGTGGTCGACCAGTCCTGTGATAAGGTAGAAGCGTGCTTCCACCAATACGTATTGTTTCTCAAGTTCGTCTATGATTGGTGGAAGACTGTTGTTACGCAGCCAATTCAGTATGTAGTGAAAGTATCGTCCGTCACGGTCTATAAATACAGATCCATCCTCTTCGCGTTGAATGGGGAATCTTCCAGAAAACATCAATGAAAACATGGAAGTGGGGTCGGTGCACAGAGTCGATACAGACGTGTAGTAGAGCACGCCACCAACATTGAGTTTGATCATTCCTTTTCTGTTGATCAGTGATGAAGCCTGCTGGTCAACGTCAGAAGGCAGTGTAAAATTGTCCAACAAGCAAGAATTGGTGCTGTCTACCGAAGATCTGTTGCTCGAATGTGCCGTGTTTGTTTGACTACCTCCTCCGACAATATCGACAGTCTGCATCTTGGATGCCAAATCAGTGTATGATGAACCAGAACCATGATTCATATTATTTTCAAGTATTAAATCATCGCCTCGTAGTTTGATTCTATCTTTTGAAATATCAATAGCATCACTACTTCCTTGTTGTAAAGGACTATTAATATTAATTGTTGTCATTATTTTTAAAATTATTAATTATTATTGATTGTTTACAAATTGAATTTGATTTCAAAATAAATAGTACTATATTTACAACTATAATAATAATAATAATATCAAATAAATTTAGTTAGTTTTGGATTCATATAACCTTTCCTTTCCTTTCCTTTTTTTATTCTTTCCTTTCTATGCATACCTACTTTTTTTATATGTGTATTAATGAATGTAGAATGAATGAAATGAAAATAATACCTCTTTTGATAATAAATAAATAAATAAATAGTCTGTTTGTCCGTCTTTTTGAATAAACTATTATTATTCTATCTATCTATGCCTATTCTTTATAATGTGTGGTGAAGGTAAATGTATGAGCTTGTATGAATGAGAATGATTTATATATATATATATATATATGTTACAACAATGCCTGCCAATAAAGTAATAAATAAAGTTATCTTTTCTTTGTCTTCTTTTAGAGAAGTGAAACTACTAAATCAATTGATGGTGAACACTTTCATTTATATATGTGGTGACTAAGAGAGAGAGCTGGTTTATATCGATAGAGTTGTTCTATTAATAATAATTCTTTCCTATTTTCCTTTCTATTACTCTGACTCACACTAGATTTGTTTATCTATTTCTTTGTTTGAGTTTGATGACTAATGATGAATGACTCATCACCATCTCCACCCAATTAAAAAAAATAAATTAAATTTTACAAATAAATAAAGTGTTGGGTGAAGAACATTTTTCTTTTAATTGAGTAGTAGTGGAGGTGGAGGAGGAGGAGAGAGCACCAGTACAATGAACGTAACACATTCATTCATTTGAGTTTCTTTTACCAATATTATTATTATTGATTGTTACAACCACCTTTTAAGAATCATGAGAGAGAGTTGTTCTATGTTTATCTAGATCTTTGATATAATATGATAGTAGTATATATATATTGTAGAATAGCAAACTTCCTGTATCATCTTTACTCTGGTGGCTGATCGGTCATCTCCACGCTACTTTGTGTAGAACCCAATCTACCCTCCCCCACCTTTCTTTCTTTCTTTCTTTCTCTCCTTTATTTGGTTTACACACTTTAAAGGTCAGAATCTAAAAAAAGAAGAATCATCATCACTTTAAACTTCTAGAGTTGAAGAGAATGTAATGAAGTCTCAATAACACTAATCTTGGTAATGGCTATGCGCATATGCCCCTCAACCGAGTGGACAAGAAAATTAAAATTAAGTTTCACCAGGCATGGGGAATATCGGCAACGAAACATTTGGCAACCAATTCCCACAGATTTGCATGTTTAACTTTGAATTTTAAAAAAATTTATTGTGTGCTGAAAAAAGCTCTCACAAAAACAGTTCGCAGGGGCAAGTAGTATTATTTGTATTATTATTATTATTTATTTATTATGATAAACAACGAAGATGCTCCTTTACTTGATGGAGTAGACTATCACCAACATGCATTAAATGGAGATCAACAACAATTTAGAACCTACAAATCTCGGTACTATGTGCTGTTTCTCTTCACATTGGTGTCTCTGCAACAATGTAACCAATGGATCACTTTTTCTACGGTAGCACCCCTATCGTCTACCTACTATAACTCACCTATCGCACTCATCAACTTTTTGTCGGCTGTTGGCCCAATCATTTTCGTTCCATTCTCTATTGTCATGACATGGTCTATCAACCGATACGGTATCCGAAAGAATATTATGATTTCTGCGGGTCTAGTTGCCCTTGGATCTGTCATACGTAGTATTCCTGGTCAAGGCAATAAACTATTCCCCCTTATTGTCATTGGTCAGGTTTTCAATTCGGTTGCCGGTCCAGTTGTCATGATTCTTCCCACAAAGATATCAGCTACATGGTTTGCACCATCAGAACGTACCTTTTCAACTGCCATTGGTACATTGTCCAACTTTTCAGGTAGTGCAATTGCATTTATCGTTTCATTGTACGCAGTTGATGGTTTACACCTTAGATACCTTTTATTTGCAGAGGCTACATTCTCGATTTTGATTTTTGCAGCTGTCTGTATCTACTTTCCCGAGAAACCACCATCCCCACCATCTGCCACCTCCTTCATCTCTGATATTAAGAGTCAAACTCCACTTGGATCATCAGGTGACATTTACCAACCACAATCACTCTTGCAAAGTTGGAAAACTCTCTTTGTCAGCTCCTATCAATTCATGACTAATTCATCTGCTGCAATTGTAACGATTGCTGTTGCATTAACATCTGGTACTTATGCTGGTTGGAGTATGTTACAAACAAATCAAATCAAACAATATATATATATATTTCCAACTTCTAATTTCCATTTGTATTATTTTAGGTGCTGTCTTAACAGAAATATTATTAGATGTTTATACTATAGAACAAGGTAAAATGTTTGGTTTCTATGGTATCTTGGCTGGCATTGTCGGTGGTTTAATGTGTGGATTTGCACATGACAGATTCCATAATTTTAAAAAGATACTTTTATTCCTTTTTGCCATTAATACTATTATTTATTTATTGTATGTTGAAATGTTGAAAGGTTGAAAGGTTGAAAGGTTGTAGTTGTAATATTAATATTTATTATATTATTTCTTTTTTCTTTTTAGATTTTCACTAATGGTTGATGGATATATACCAAGATATTATTGGTTAGGACAATTATTAAATGTTTCTGGAGGATGGGTGATTAATGGATTCTATCCGATTATTTATGAAGCGGCTGTTGAAGTATCCTACCCCATTCCAGAGTCGATTGGTACATCGATCATTTCCATTCTTTTGAATGTTGTCACTTTTATCGCTATTATGGTGGGCAGTGTTGTTCCAGTCTACTATCTCAATTATTTCTTGGTTGCCACTTCTCTAATCTCATTTTTACTAATATTCTTTGTAAAAGAGGAATATAAGAGATCAAAGAATGATAACCTTATTACATAATCCAACCCCAACGACAGTGTATCACTACCATAACTTGCAATACTACAACAAACAAACCAACAAACAAATCCACATCATCCATATTTTAATTAACAAGCCAAACCGACACATTCGCACCTACTTTTCATTCATTGGTAGATTAAATACTCTTTATAGATCATAAAACTAATTTAACCTACCATATGATATTATATTACCTTTCCATAAACGAATAAAATAACAAACAAACATAACAAAACAAATAATAATAATAATAATTTATTCCAAAAAAAAAAAAGAAAAAGATGGGCTTGGTTTGATTTGTTTATTTTTTGATATCCTGTTATACACATTGTTATTGTTATTGTTATTGTTCAACATTATTAAATATTGATTTTGTTGTTGTTGTTGTTTGAGTTTGATACAGAAATTGTACAATTAATTAATTTTAATAATGGTTGTTGGTATATATTTAAAAAAAAGAGAGAAGAATGAATGAGCTAGATTTAGTTGTGAGAAGGAGATTGATTATTATATAATGACGATGATGGTAATTCGATATGACTATTCCATTAGCTTATTCCATACCAATGTATTTTAAAATGGCGATGATTATTATTATTATTATAATTGTTAAATTATTGTTGGGTGTTAGTATTCTATTATTTATATATATATGTATACGATGATGATTGATGATTGATAATGTAATGTGATTATTTGTTGTTATTGGTTATTGTTGTTAGTTGATGATTGATAAGTTGTTATTTGTTCTTTGTTATCTAAATTCAAAACAAGGAAAACTAGATTCAGTTTCATGTTCTAAAATGATAGTTTGAAATAGTTCACTTGAACAATGATAGTAGAAACCTCTAATTGTTCCAGTTGCACGTTCCAAAGCGATATAGTAGAACCCCTCGTATGATGCCCCCTCGATATTCTTGATGCGATGATCTGGAACCAAAAAGAAACTCTCTTTCCATCGCATAAACAAAGTATCGCTGCTTTTGAGTAGAGACGATTCGAAATCGTCACGATTGAAGCTGTCTGCATAGGTTTGGAACTCTGGGAACCTACCCCAGTGATCGAGATCTACCTTGGCATTTGCCTCCCACTTGCGCGTGAGGAATCCATAATGCTTGCCATCGACAATCTCTCCTTCGAAAAAGGTAGTCAATACTGGGTACTTTTTAGTCAATCCCAATATCGTCAAGTATCCTGATAGTATTGAATTATCAAAATCGACATCCTACAAGACTTGTTTGTTAGTGTCGTCGTACTGATAGTGTATATATATGTTCTATTCTCTCCTATATTTACCTTTATATCAATGTGCACAGGATAAGAGGCTTTGGCACTCCTTTGTACGCCTACGAACCTCGAACCCGGGTAAAGAGAAGCACAACCGCCGGGCACGGACGAATCATTACTCCTGTAACGGGTTGTTTGTTCGCCGGCCACTGTTGGTTCTTCTTGTTGTTGTGTGTTATCGATTGCTACTATTGTTTTGAATATTATCTATCTATATGTTACAATAATAGATTATCCCTATAAAAGTATATTCATATGACAGACAGATAGATAGACAGATTGATAGATAGATAGATAGATAGATAGATAGATAGATAGATAGATAGATAGATAGATAGATAGATAGATAGATAGATAGATAGATAGATGTTAGCATTATATATATATAAAATGAACTAGTAAAGAATATATAGGATAATACAAACCAACACTACTCTACTGATAAGAAAGTGTGCTTCCTCTTCACTCTTTTGTGTGTCTGATTCCTTGGAAGCGCCTACCTTCTGACTTGTGGTGTGAAGGATGATTAATAATCTATTGATTGAACTATATAGTTTGTATATACGAGTATTATCTATTCTACAATTGCATAAAATATTACTGCTTCTTCTATGTGCGAGCTTGTAATTAAACATGTCGTTAACTTTGAAATTGAATGGGAGGGTCTTTCAAAAAAAAAAAAAAAAAGAAAATAAAAAAAAAAAACAACTTCACCAAGTTTAGCCTCTTCATAAATATGTATAAACCAAAGGTCAGGGGGCAAAAATGGATAAATCCATATCAATTCATTCATTCCAAAGTCCTCCCCAACCTTGAACCCCATGTGTTTGCTCCACCCAAATGATTCATTTCAAGTTGAGGATGCGTTACATTATTTAGTTTACATTTAAAAGTGAAAAGAATGAAAGCAAAGCAAGTCACCTCTGAAATAGATGTATTTATTTATTTATTAAAAATAATTAAGTGAGAGAGAGAGAGAATCCAATGAGGAGGAGGAAGTGTTTGAGACAAGAATAATAATCGAAGTTCATTTTGAACTCTCATTGCCCGACAAGCTTGAAAAAAAAAACAGTTTTTGGTGGCAGAGATTGTGATAATTTTTTTAATTTTTTTTCTAATTTCTTTTTCTCTCCACGTGACCTACCCTACCCTAAAAAACGAAATTTTCAAGTTATTTGTTTTAGAGTAGCAGTACATCTTCTTCTAACTTTCAATATATCATATAATGTAGGTCTTTTGTTAAAAGATACCTTATTAATCTATTGTTGTCATATCCTAGGATAGGTTATATTATATATATATAAATAGCAGTTTAAACATCTGTCATCATTATCATTGTCAACATTTTATCGTCGTCGTATCTGGAACGAGAGAGCAGAGAAAAAAAAAAGAAACATATTATATGTTTACTTGTAGTTTCAGTCAACCCAGATATGATAATCTTATCTGTTAATAATATAATAATAATAATAATAATGAACAACAACGATTAATTAATAATAATAATGGACGGACGACGATAATAGGTAGTATCAAAAGGGTGTGGTTCGGGTAAGAGTGATGTTCATTCATTCTTTTACTCTTTCCTCTTGGATACTTTTCTCTCTCTCTTTATGTACAGTGTTGATAATAATAGATGATGATGATGACTAGATAGATGATACTGCATATTCATATATCGATAACATATAGATAATAATAATATCATAGATAATAATAATTATATATTTTTTTTAAACTAACAATTATTAATTATTATTTTTATTTAGAATGCCATCATTTGCTGACTTGACAACTGACGCTGGTGTCATCGACCTCAACGAATACTTGAAGGACAAGACTTACCTTGTTGGTTTCCTCCCATCCAATGTCGACCAAGAAGCCGTCAAGAAGCTCGGCAAGGCCCCATGTGCCACCAAGTACCCACACGCCAACAGATGGTACAACACCATCCAAGCTCTCGAAGCCTCTGAATTCGTAGCCGTCACTGAAACCATCACTGTCAAGGCTGCCGCCCCAGCCAAGGCCGACGACGATGTTGACTTGTTTGGTGACGACGAAGATGACGAGGAATACGAACGTCAATTGGAAGAGCGTCGTGCTGCCGCTGCTGCCCTCAAGAAGCCAAAGGAAAAGGTTATCGCCAAGTCCTCCATCCTTTTGGATGTCAAGCCATGGGATGATGAAACCGACATGGCTGCCCTCGAAGCCTCTGTCCGTACCATCGTCATGCCAGGTCTCGTCTGGGGTGCCTCCAAGTTGGTCGCCGTCGGTTACGGTATCAAGAAGTTGCAAATCAACTGTGTCGTTGAAGATGACAAGGTCTCTGTCGATGATCTCTCTGAACAAATCTGTGCCTTTGAAGACTACGTCCAAAGTTGTGATGTTGCTGCTTTCAATAAAATCTAAGCGATCATTACTCCTTTCCCCTAGTTCCCACAAAACAAAACAAACATATATTCATCATCACAACAAACGCTATTCGATTGTTGTTGATTGATTAAATCACCAAGAATAAATTCATTTTATTCTTTTTCCTTTTTTGTAACTTATTTATTTTGTTTATTTTATTACTATTCTTTGGTCTCAATCTTATCCATAATCTAAAATCTATCTTTGTTCTAAAATCAACTCACTGACCTTTGAATCTTGGTCAATGTTTGTTTGGATGATCGAAAGATTCAGGAACACTCGAATCAACCTTGATTGATGTCATCATTGCTGCTTTGAATAAAATTGAATATCCTAAACACCAACTATTATCTTTATTGGGTTGTAGTGATCAAAGAAGGGAGAGATATTTATTTTTGTTCAAGTTTCAAAGGAATCTTCCCAAACGTTTCGCTTTATGAGTTTTAGGTGAGATCGCCTACTAGACTTGTCGGATTTTTCATGTGACGAGCTTTGTGGTTTCAAGCCTTCAGTCCGAAAATCATCGATAACCGAAGAAAAGTTGTTTTACAAAAAAAGTATACGAGTTTTAGCCAGCTTGCTATGACAGCTCATACAACCCCTTATGGTTCATTCTCCGAGTAGACCACCTAGCGAGCCTTGCCTTTATTTTTGTTTTGTTTAGAGCTTCAAAGAGATAAACAAATAAACAAAAGAGAGAGAGGAGAGAGAGTGAGAGATAGGAGGAGAAACAGGAGAGTAAAATACTGTTAGTTGTAAGTAACGATATGATCATCACATCCGACACACAACAACAAACACTATCAAATTTGTTGGGTTAGGTTTTTTACCTATACTTTTTGCCCCAACAGTGATGAAATAAGCAATCACCCACCCCCAACATCATTCTACACTTTCGAGTGGGAGAAATGTCTATTGACAATTTCAAAATATGATATTATTGTGATCGGTAAATATCTGATTATAACCCCATCATGTTTTGAATGAAGTTTTAGAAAAGGGGGTAGAGTAAGAAGAAGTGATCACTTATAATTGCCGATACTTTTGTTTTCATCAACAACAAAACCACAACGAGTTTTCTTGGTTCTCAGCTCAAACCTATCCCTCTTTCTCTTTTTAAATGGGTGTTGTCTCTTCATCTCTTGATTTCCTTTTCATTCATTTCAATACATCACCTTTTTATAAAAAGAGTGTCATTGTACAAATAATAATAATAATCTAATCATTAATTCTTCCTATTCCACAACACTATTTATATAAATAGATAAATATATATAAAAATGGCATCTAGATTTAATAATAATAATAATAATGATGAACAAAATAGTGGTGGTGATGATAATAGTATAGAGATTGATGGCGCAGATATACAAATACCAAAGAAACCAGCCTTACCCTTATATAAATTATTCAACTATGCCCGTGTTCATAAGCCATATACCTACAAACATTTGTTGTTTGCTCTGTGGTTGCCAGTCGGTGTTGGACTCTGGCCAATCCGTGTATTTTTGACCATCCTTACCTACCTCTTATTGCTCCTTGTACCAAAATCATTATCCTTTTTACTAAAGCATGTCTTGTTGGTTTTAATGGGTTTCAGAATTAAATATAATGGATTGTAAGTAGATAAAATATAGCCAGACAGTCTCTATATATATTTCTGGAATCATCTCATTCTAATATTGTTTGCTTTTTTCCAGAGAAAATCTTCCACGTGTTGGAGATCCAAAATCAGGTAGAGTGATTGTTATTAACCATATGAGTGATTTCGATCCATACCCAGTGATGACAATCATCCCTTATTTCCACACACTTGTTGCTGCACATATCAGCAAGGTCCCAATTGTTGGCAAATTGTATAAAAAGATGGACACTATTTTCGTTGACCCAGCCAACAAAGAAAAGGCCCGTACTGACGTCTTGGACGGCTTGAACAAGACCAAGATGCCATTGCTCATCTACCCAGAGGGTGGTTTGACCAACGGCTCCAAGGGTATCATGATGTTCAACAAGTTTGTCTTTGGACTCGGCCACGGTATCATCCCCGTCGCCATGCGCATGAACAACCCATGGCCCGTCAACACTGACTATCTCGGGTCGTCTTGGATGAAGAACTTTGCATTTTGGTTCCTCGTTCCATTCCACCGTTTCGAATTGACCTTTTTGTCACACATGTTTATTGCACAAAACGAGACTGATGCCGAGTTTGCCAAACGTGTTCAAACACGTATTGCCAACCATCTCCAAATCGAAGCTACTGACTACTCTTACTCTCAAAAGAAAGAGTTGGCCAAGGACCTTTCATCTGGCAAGTTTGTTCCACCAATCGATGATATTGAAACTCAAGTATCAAATCATTCTGAAAGAAGTGATTAATACTTTTTAAATGTAGTAGTTATATTTCAAAGTTAATAATAATAATAATAATAACAATACATACATATAATATAATATAATATAATATAAACCTATTTAGAAATAAATAATTTTAAACACACACAGAAAAGATAAACACACACTTAAATATATTTGTTTTCATAAAAATATAATAATAAAAGAAGAATACTGAACTGAACTGATGGTTGACGATACTACAACTATTACTCGCATATTTATTTATTTTATTATTTTATTAAATTTGGTGAAGTTGGTTTATTTTAATTATTGAAAAAAACTCAAGAAGAAAGGCCATTATCAAAATTGATCAGTAAAGATTCTTCAACAAGTATCTCGACTCAGAGTTAGCATTCTATCATCCATCTATCTGTCTTTGTCTACTACAACTTGTACATCATACATTCATTCATTACTCATCTCATACACATAACATATAGAATAGAAATCATCAAGTTTGAAAAGGGTAGTTTTGTAACTATCTATCTTTATTTATTTATAAATAGAGAGAGGAAGAAGAAGAATGGAGAGTGGAATAATCGTACCAAGGAGCGATCCAAAGTATGTCATGTCAATCAAATTGACGGCTGACATGTTGGATAGACTCACCAACGGTGGTTCTGCAATGCAGATTCAATTTAGCAATAATGATAACAATGTAAGAATGATGATGATGATGATGCGACATTGATGTCAATGGTAGATGGGACAACTAACTAACATTTGTTATCAATATAGTTAAAGATAATCATAGATGATGAAGAACGTCAAGTCAGTGCAACCAACGAAGCGAGTAATTTGATGGAGTGTCTTTGTCAGCAGGACGATCAGTACCAAGAGGTTGGACACATTCGCAAGAAGATCCTCGTGTTGTCAGAACTGACCGACAATGATAGAAAGAGATACAAATCAAACACAATTGCACACGAAAAGATTAACAAGGGGAGCAGAACTAGTAAAGTCATTGAATTTGATAACAAAAACAAATCACAATGTAAGAGAGAAAGAAGAGGGAAAGAAGAGAAGAGAGAAAGAAGAGAACATGCTAACAAACTATTCTTTTTCTTTTTTGTTTAGCTCGAGGTGTAGTTAAAACAAAGACAAGTAGTACTACTACCACTTCATCTTCATTGCAGACTCGACGTCAACCAAAAGCAGGTGTTGCGTATACGACGGCAAAGACTGTAACATCTTCTTCCATCCCACCCTATATTTCACAACCTTCTCCCGTGTCATCATCGTCGACGTTGGTACCACCAATACCAATCAACAACAACAACAACAACAGTCTATCACCCGATACACCAAGCCCTTCTTCATCGTCGCTTGGAGGATTGTCACCGACCAACAATAGAAGAACACATTCACCCAACTCCAACTCTTCGTCTTCATCATCGTCATCTTCAACATCAACGACCAGTCTCAAACAACCACCTTCATATGGATCATCATCATCATCAATGGGTGGAGCACCACTATTACCCGAGTTTTCAAATGTCACCAATGCTCAAAAGTCAAACAAACTAGTGCCAACGATGGTCATTTCACCACCTGTTCCCTCTATTCCTTCATTTGGGAATTCTCATTCAAATAACAACAATAACAATAACAACAATAACAACAACAATAATAGTAGTGGAAACGATAGAATGGATACTTCATTGGATTATAAAATGGATACTAGTAGTGGTAGAATGTCACATACCTCTTCTCACAACAATAGTGGTGGTTTTACATCGATACCAACTCCTGGGAACAACAGTTCACAATCAACAAAAGTTTCACCTCCACCAAGAAGATCAAGTTTCAATAATAATAATAATAACAGGAAATCAATTGATTTACCGGTCAATACACCAATCCCATATGGATCGTCATCAATATCTGGTAAAAAGAGTCCAACATCAACCACCCCTTCATCATTATCACCAACACGAAATTCACCTTCCTTGTCACTACCGGTAAACAAACCACCACCAAATAACAAAATCAACAACTTACCAGTCAACAACAATTATTTATCTCCTATTACAAACAAAGCAACCAACAGCAGAGGTGGTGGTGGTGGAAGATCGACATCGCCAGTATCTTTTTCATCGTCTCCACCCATTTCACCAAGAGATCCAAACAATATCAACGATCCAAACATGTCACGGCATTCTCATATAAAGAAACAAGCACCACAAACGATATCTCTCCCTCAAAACACTCCACCACCAGCCCCATATAAACCATCAGCACCACAACCTTCATCATCATCAACATCATTCAATACTAACAAATCATCAAAAACCCAACAATCAACAAATGTACCTAAAAACGAACAACCCAAGATTAACAAAAATGAACCACAACAACCACAACAACAACAACAGATTAATGGTGGACATAATAGTCAAACTATTAAAACAAATAATCAAAAACCAAAAAGTAGTAATACTACTAGTAGTTCTACCACTGGTACAAGTAGTAGTAGTAGTAGTAGTAGCAGTAGTAGTAGTAATAGTCAATATCAAGTTGTATATGATAATACCAATCAAATGAAACCATTCGAAATTAAAGATGATCAAGACTATCGTAATTTATTACAAGTCTCACAAAAGAAATATCATCAATACGAAGAGATACATAGAGTCATTACAAAGGATATCGATATATTTAACAAGTTGAAAACAAGATTGGAAGGGTGTAGAGACCCAGAAGAAAAAGAAAAACTAATTGAAGAGATTCAATTGGAATATGAAAAGAGAGGAGAAAAGGTAGAAAGATTAAAGACTGAATATCAAAGATTAGAAGAAGAATTACGTTCTTTAAAGGGAACTTTAAAAGATTATCAATTATTTCACAATAGTAACAAAAGTATATCTTGAATCCATGGAAATCCAACAACATCAACAATAACAATATAGAACAACAAAATAAATATTAAAAAAAAGAAAAAAAGACTTTACGAGGATTGTATAATAACAACAACGTAATTTTAAACAACCAACTCCATTATACATGATTTATTTGATTTGATTTATTTGATTTAGATTAAATAAATAATTATAAATTGGAATTTGACCAATTTCTTTTGTTATTTCCATTAATTTTGTTTGTAGTTTTAATGATACTGGTTTTGGTTGATCGTTTGATGTCATTGTTTTCTTTTTAGTTGTTGTTTTGTTGTTATTAGTTTCACAAGTAACAAGATATTTAATTGATTTTAATTGATTTGCTCGGATTGTAGGTTTGATGGAATTTGGATTGATATTACTATAATCCAACTTTACAACATTGTAGTGAATATATTCAAGTATTTTAAGCTTGTTATATTCTAGTGCAACCAAAACCATTTCTTTAACAATTGGCATGAAAAAACTTTGATTCTCGTCGATCCTACTGTCCTTTAGCATTTCTCTAAACATGGACAGGTTGCCCTTTTCAATGATCCGTTTTCTAAACTCTGGTTTCAGAGGATAGTTTTTTGTAAATTTGCCAACACGAAGTTTGGTCAAGTGGTCAGTCACGAGATACCTCCAAGTATCTGTATGACACAATGCCTCTGACATGTCAAGTACCATATTTACTTTGTTTGAAAAGTATTTGAGCATGTTGGTTTCGCCCATAACCATGGCCGTGGTGACGATACACATGGCAGAGTTGGGGTGGATTTCAGTGTCATCTTTAAAATAGATTGACAGGTGTGAGGAAAAGGTGCGCACTACAAACTGGCAGCCCAAGCTACCGGCCATAGTGCACTTGGTATTGACAAAGACCGGGTGGACAGTCGACACAAACTTGTGAAAGATCTTAAGTGCCATATTTTGGTCGACCAACCCTGCCGACTCTATGATGGGGATGAGCTGAGATACCTCGAGCTGGCTGCGAAAGAGATCGAGTAAATAGTCCAAATAGAGATGATCAACATTTTTAATGGCCACTTGTATGTCATCGTATCGGCTCTTTGTCAATCCTTCATTTGCACCCAACTGTGTATTTGTCCAAAGATATTCATGTACTTGTCTAGTATTTGCTTTCCATGATATTTCCTTTGTATTATTATTAATATTATTATTATTATTGTTATTATTATTATTGTTGTTATTAGTATTATTGTTATTGTTCATTTGTTGCTTTAATAGAATTTCTATATTATCAATATTGTTTGATTTAAGTGCTCCATTTAAAAGTTGGTGACGGGGGACATCAATAGTCTTGGAAAGTGCCATGATATATTGAAATACAGAGTTTGGTAAATCAAAGATTGATAGTAGGTTGTGACAGGAGAATCGCACAAATGATAAATTGCCAATATTGAATTGTTGGTTGATATAGTTGAGTGTGCAAATGAGTCTTATAATCGTCTTTAAATCATTGACAGTACAATAGTTTATAGAGTAGGTTGTACTAATGATTTTACCTTTCCATTTACTACTATCCAAATCTGTAAACAATTGTTCAACAAATATATCTATTTTTTCAAACATCATTATTATATTATTATTATTATTATATTGATTATTATTTTGATTATTATTACAATTTACTTTTTTTACATTATTATTACAATTATTATTACAATTATTATTATTATTATTATTTTGATTATTATTTACATTATGACTAATTTTAATCCAAATATATTGAATTAAATCGATTAGATGAGAGTATTTTGAATTACCTCTTGGATAATAGTTGACAAGAGGAATGTTGTTGATAAAGTTTTCAAAGGTTTGTACAGAGATGGTTATCATGTCATAGTCTGACATTAGACATTCAACCAATTGTTTTTTATAGTGTAATGGGATATACCGCAATGGATGGCTCTTGATGAGGTCCGGGTATACTCGACGTGCATAGTGAATAAAGTAGTAGTATTTAGTGGTAAGGATAAAGTTGATTGCACTTGACTCGATCCTCGTTTCAAATGCCTTATCGATAAAATCTACTACTCTATTTAACAACTCTCTATTACCACTCTTATAACTACAATGATATAATTTGGCAATTGTATCTATTGTCAGAGGATATGGATTCTTTTGTTTATCTTCTTGTCCAACATTATTATTATTATTATTATTATTATTATCATCAAGTTCTTGTGTCTTTTTATCAGCTGACATTAAAGAAGAAGATGTAATTTGTAAATATTTATCCATTATAATAAGGATAAGAAGAGGATTCTTGGTTTGTGAAACCACTCTTATCATATGATTGATTGGTAAGTTATTGAATTGAATGGTTCGATGCATCCAGTCGGCCAACAAGGTGACTGGGATTGATTTTGTGTTCTCCAATGTTGCATATTGAATCCAGTTCATACTCTCAATTGTTATATACTAAGAAGGTACAAATATGTTAGTTTTACTATACTATGTATCTATCTATATATCTATTATACATACTTGACCCAAATAAACCTTGTCAGCAAGTAGACCACTGAACCCATTCTTTAACATCCATTCTAATGTTATCGAAGGATGATTGTACTTTTTGATGAGAGCAGGTGTTTTACTATCGCGATATAGATGATGATTTGCTATAATGTGTCTTGTTATCTGCTTTGCATATCTCCATACAATCTTTGCAACATATATATTCCTTAGAATGAATCGAAAGTATCGAATATCCATCGTCCTTGTCGTCACAATCTTCCTATCTATCTATCTATCATAATAGTACCTATGAATGACTTCAATATTCATTATTATTATTAACAATATAAATATATATATATACAAATATGTATGTTTGTCTACAATGAGAATGAGAATGAAAAAGTATTCAATCTAAAAATAAATAAATATAGGATATTTGATAGATTCAACTTTGTAATTTATTTATTTATTTATTTATTTATTTGTTGGGAAACCAACCATACTCTGTGTGATAGATAGATAGACAGACAGATAGATAGATAGATAGATAGATACATACATTTATTTGCCATAATAGTCTGACACTAATGTCATATGGACTTTGGAAATACATTTGACATCTAATTATTTCAGATTCAGATATAGTACTACTACTTGACAGGCAAATAGACCTATTATCCAAATCTGAAATAACCAGATTTTACAACTTGGATTTACCTATATTAATATTATGATCCCAATCTTCTATAGAATGAAAGAAATTGAGTATATTTAAAATAATGGTAATTAGAAAGTAATGACCGATTAAACGACCTGGATATTTCCGGATTATCCTAAAATCGATATTAGGACAATCATTTCATATTTTTTTGTTATTCATCAAAATCAACACTCTATAGTTGTAAAAAGAATAACAATTGCTAAAATATCTCCTCTCCTCTAAAATCACAGGTATTATATATTCAAAAGATTCATATTTTTTTGATCTAAGTTAATGTCATCGATGCATTTGTTACAAGGTTATAATATATAATAATGAGTGGTAGCAGTAGTTCATTGGTGAATAAATGAATAAATGAATGAAAGGGAAATGAATTGGTGAATGAATGAATAAAAAGTAAATAAAAAAGAAAGAATTAGTAACTATATATAAATTAAAGTATATATATATATAAATATAAACACGTGAATACATACCTAAATTTACAACCTCGGTGATTGAGTTTTCCTTTGCGTCCTCGAGTTGGTCCAGTAGGACATTGTAGAGGGATTATGTTGGCAATAGAGCTTCCAGAACCAATTTGGGACATGGTTTCTGAAGATACTTTGAACGCTCTCAACACCTTGATAATTGAATCCAACTCTTCCCATTCGTCTTCATCATCGATCCAGTATTCCTTTAGAAGAGGATCTGAAGAGCAGACCATCTTCATGGCTGGCTTGAGGTGGGTGGCACGTACCAACATATCGAAGGTAGATCCCCAACGGGTGGGGGAGTCTACAATGGGACGGAGAGGTTTAATACCTTCAACATTGCATGCTCTAATTTGTAAGTTGATTTAATCTCTTTGCGTATAAAGTTCAAAAGAAGGGCCCTTCTTTTGTTGACTCTATCAAGAAATATACAAAGAAATGTGTCACATGTGCAAAGAATACCATAGAAAAGAACAAAATCGTGAGCGGGGCCAGCTTGAGATAGTAGTCGTACTTCTCCAAGGCATGTATGACGGCAAGTAGTTCTCGATCTTTCGTGCTGTAATTTCGTTGTGCTTGGTCAAACTTTCTTGAGTAGAAGAGAATCGGACGCAAACTAGGAGGTCTACATCCTCGTTCAATTGGATGCTACAAATATATATCTGCAATATAGTATGTATACATATGCTACGCTAAACAAAAGATGAACTGCTTATGTGTTGAAGTGAAGAGAGATCTCTTCAAACACCCTCCAAATAGCCTGGACAAAAGCTCGAGATTTTTCAATACTTTTTATTTTTATTTTTATTTTTTTACAATGTTGGGAAGAAGAACAAGCGGGTAGTGTAATTTATTATCAAATAACCTTTTCAAAAACATATTCGTACAGTTCAATAATAATAATAATAATACATACAACAAACAATAAATAGGATAGATAGATAGAACAGAGTCATGACTTATAGTTAACACCATTCACTTTACCAACAACAACAACAACAACAACTTGCACATAATACATTTATATACTATTCTCTTACTTTATCCAACTTTAACTGTTAACACGACGACTGCAGTCATCTACAATACAATACAATCATAGCGCGATAACTGAAAAGATATATCCATCTACCCCTGCAATCATTAACCACCAAACAGTAGAATGAGCAGAGATCATCGAGACGATGAGCAAAACAACGACGACAACAACACGACAACAGCAGAGACAACTATAGTATTTTCTGAACAAAATAATTCATTGTTGGATGAAGATGACTACGACGATGGAAAACAACAAGTAGATTTAGAAAAGAATGGTGGTGGTGGTGGTGGAAAAGGAAAAAAGAAAGATGGTAATAAGGAATACGAACGATTAGAGAATGGATGTGATGACAAGACCAACAAATTCATAACAAAGTCGGATGAATGGCCACCATGGAAACGAAACTTGGCGGCGGGTATATGGATTGTGATATTTGTCAGTCTCAACCTTTCCTTGTCATTTGCCAACAAGTATCTCTTTACGATTGGATTCATGAACCCTGTGTTTGTCATTTTGACAGGCACCTTTGTCACGTTTGTTGGTAGTTGCATATGCGTGTTTGGATTCAAGATGAGTACGTTTCCAAAGGCGGCACTCAAGCGTCGGTGGAAGATGATTCTGCTGTGCTCGACGTTTCAAGCGCTGACCTATGTACTCGAAAACATTAGTATCATTTCGATCCCCATCTCACTCAACCAAATCATCAAGGCGACGGCACCGGCATTCATTATATTCTTTCAGATCCTCATTGAGGGTGTGAGGTTCGATGCCACGTCGATTGTGTGCACGGTCATCATTATCATTGGTGCCGCGTTGTCTGTTGTCAAGAACCCGTCGTTTGACAAATGGGGATTCTTTTATAGTTTGGCGTCGACGATCTTTGCAGTGCTGCAGAGTATCCTCATCTCATCGCTGCAAAAGGATAAAGACCTGACGACGCTGTCGATCGTACTATGCACGTCGCTGCCGTCGGTGTTTGTCATTATCCCAATTTGGGCGTACAAGGAACTGCCCAGTCTCATCCACGACCCCTACCCCGACCCACTCAAGCCATGGTTGATTGTCGGCGCACTCGCTTTTGCCGCCTTCTTTTACAACTTGTCCCATTTTTACATTATCAAGTACACGTCGGCGCTCTACTATGCCATCGTCGGAAACGCCAAGATCATCCTACTCATCGTCATCTCGTCGGTCATCTTCCACACCTCGTATGTCGCCATCAACTATGTCGGGATGGGTCTCACCCTCGCCGGCTTCTTTGCCTACAATATCATCAAGTATCGTCAAAAGGTGTTTGATTCCAACTCGACTATCGACCACACCGAAGCATCTGACTGTGAATCAAATAACAATAATAATAATAATAATAATGGTATATGCTTGGACATTTTAAATAGACTTGGCAATAACAACAACAATAATAATTATAATAACAACAAATCACCAAAAAGAAAGAATGCTACACCAAAATCACAAAATCAATCACCACTTTTACATTCATCTCCATTGCCAAATCAATCATCGATTAATAACAATGATAGTATAAATAATATTGATACCAACACCAGCAGCAGCAGCCCCACCCACTCTATTGACGACGATGAATTATTTAATAATTCTTCCACCAATAGCCTTTATATTACACGTACAAGTAAATCTATACAGAATTCACCTATTTTAAATTAATCATAATCATAATTATAATCAACCAACCAACTAACCAGATAATATCCAACCCATCAAATATCCAATTCCAAAGATTGGATAATAGAATTGTAATAAATCATATATCCACACTTCTTCTATTGGAATGAATAGAAGAGAATAGAAATAGAAACCCACAAAAGACCAACAAAAAGAAAAAGAAACAACTTAATAGTTTCTAAATTGACTCCACCAGATGATTCTAAACAATCTATGACATGAAAGATCATTCGATTCGGAAAATGAATGATGAGCTCAGTCTACCGAACGACGAATCGTGTGTTAAATTTTGCTCTAGAGTGGTGAAAACGAGCAAAAAAATAAGTTTGGAGGAGGTGGGGGTTTGGTGAGTGATCAACCTTTCCCAAGTCAGTTTTCTTCTTCATTCTTCATTCTTTTGTTTCTTTTCTTTTCTCTCTCTGTGTTTAATATTTACTTTCAACTACTAGTACTAGTACTCTAATCTTCTACTCTACTCCTCTTCCTATTACTACTCGAAAATGTTGATGATTTGTATTGCTGGTGGCACTGCTAGTGGAAAGGTATATAGATAGTCTATGACAACAACGCACCAACAACAAACAGCAAATAGGTTTATACTCATTCCTCCCATCATTTCGTTATTCCTTCTTCTCTCTATACTCTCTTTACTCTTTACTCCTTACTTAGACTACTGTTTGTGAAGAGATCATCAAGAGACTTGAAAATAAGCGTATTTCAGTCATTTGTTTGGACTCTTTCTACAGACCATTAACACACGACGAATTGACAACTGTTGCCAGTTATAACTTTGATCATCCATGTATTTATCAGATACAAGTCAAGAAGGATTTGATTATTATGAATACTAACGATTTCACATGATATTATTATTTCTGTTCTAAAAATAGCTGCATTTGATTGGGATTATGCTACTCGTGCCATCAAGGAATTAAAGAGTGGAAATCACTTTAACATTCCAACCTATTGTTTCAAGACTCACAATAGATTGGAAGAGACTACCCCAATCGCAGACATTGATGTCATTATTTTCGAGGGCATTCTGTCACTCTACACCCAAGAGATCCGTGATCAAATGGACATTAAGATTTTCGTCGACACTGACTCTGACACTCGTCTCTCGAGAAGAGTATTGCGTGATATTGCCGAAAGAGGACGTAATTTGGAAGGTGTCTTGTACCAATACGAAAAGTTTGTCAAACCATCATTTGATGAATACATTTTACCAGTATGTTGTACAAGAAACAAGAAGCAAAATCACATGATGACTAACACGAGGTTATTTTTAGACTAAAAAATATGCTGATGTAATCATTCCAAGAGGAGCCGATAATGTTGTTGCTATCGATCTTATTGTCAGACACATCCGTTCAAAACTCCAAGACAAGGATAACAATATGAAACCAAATAGTGTTGGAAATCACTAAAACTCACACGCTTACCCCATACAATCAATTGCATCAAAAGGAAGATTTCCTTTTTCCCTACCTACCTACCAATAATACCCTTTTTAAAAAAACAACAATATATTTATTTTTTTTTTGATCAATAATATTAAAACAAAAAAAAGAGAGAGACAAAGACAAAGACAAAGACAAAGACAAAACAAAACAAAACAAACAGAAAGACAAACCACAACATGGAAAGTATGATGATCATCGAACCTAAAACAAAAATTTTCCATGTTTATTAAATAATTGATATTGTTGGAACCAAATATTTTTAGATATATAATAGTATCTGATATGATAGCAATGCCAATCAATCAATCGACATCCTACCCCCAACATAAATTAAATAAATATAAAACACATTAGTAATTTATGTCCTTTAATCTTTGTGCGTTGTGACATCATCACAAAATCGATCACTTTTCTCCGCCACCCCTTGCATTCTCACGTAGAAACCCTAGTGCTTAAAAGAAAGAAAAAAGGGATTGATCTTTATTGCAATCACTCTTGGAGGCTCAAGAGATTCCTCCCATTGAATTTTATTTTTCGTATTAAAAATTTCGCAAAGATTGAGAGAGACCTCAAATAAACATCACAACGTTTAGTCATCAACACTTTATTATTATTACAACAAAGTTGTATTTATTTATTAACACATTACCTCTAATATATCTACCCCCACTCTACATATTTATTATATACTTTCTTTATAAAATGGTCAACTACTTTGTTAAAATTAGTAACGTAAAGGGAATTAATTTAACCCTCAAGAAAGAATCAAATGCTCCACTTGATCCTTATGTCAAGGTAAGTTTAAAATAGATCTAGAAGGGAGGGAAATGTTTAAACACAAAGTCTTTATTAACACACACAATCTTTTTAAATTTGTTAATCTATATAGTTTTTCTTTGGAGAAAATAAAAAAGTAAAGACAGAGACAATCGCAAAGACAGATAACCCAACATATAAATTTGAAAGCAATTTCCTCTTTCAAACAAAGACACAATTACATTTAGACACTCAGAGAAAGCTCGAGGTTGAGGTACACGACTCTTGCTTGGTAGGGTCGGACAACTTTGTCGGTGGCTTTGCTGTCGACTTTAAGACGGTTGTCACTGGACCCGTCCACCACTCTGTCGTCATCCGTAACCAGGGCAAGCCCACCGGCACAGTCGAATACGACTTGGAGATGGTTGAAATCAACGAGACCCTCTTGACATTTAAGAATCTAACTGCCAACTTCTACCAAGGCGCATTGTCTCCAATGGACCAGCAATCGGAAAAGTTCTTGCTCTACCATGTCGACGAAACACGTCCCGGTCAACACAAGTCCAACAACTTGTCACAGTTGAAAAAGCCATCTTGGAAGTCCAAGAAATCAACCGGCCTCACATGGTCAGACATTGACCAAGTACTCGTCGAATCCAGTCTCAAGAACCTCTTGGTCAACCCAATCGTATTCAGTATCTGTCAAGCCAAGAACTACAACAACAACGATCCATCCTACGGACAAGCCTTTGTCACTGTGCAATCGTGTATCACCGACCTCTCCCAACTCAACGATAACCAAAAGGTCTCCTTTATCGAACCAATCATGTTCCAACAAATGGTCGTTGGTGTCTTGGAAGGTGACATTTATTTCCATAATGCTCCATTGACCAGTCAAATGGTGTCTGGTGTCTACACTGATGTCGGCATTCAAGATGGTCAACCATTATTCTCAAATGGTGTTGTAAATATTTCTATCACTCCTGATGTTAAACCAACAACTATAACTCCACAAGTACAACAACCACAACAACAATTACCACAACAACAATTACCACCACCAGTCCTACAACAACAACCAATTGAACAATTACCAGCTGGTTGGGAGAAAAGAGTTGATGCTACTGGAAAGGTTTACTATGTTGATCATAGCACCAAAACCTCACATTGGAATTTACCATCATCTCTTGTTCAACCTTTAGTATCTGCTCCAGCTCCAATTTCAGTAGCTCCAGTAGTTGTATCTGCTCCACCAGTTCCAATTGTTTCGGCTCCAGCTCCAGTACCATCTCCAGTTGCAGTAGCTCCAGTTGTTTCAGCTCCAGCTCCAGCTCCAGTCCCAGTCGCAGCTGCAATTCCAACATCAGTTCCAACCTTTTCCACTCCAATCACACCAGTTACTCCATCATCATCTGCCAATGTTGCACCACCACAACCATCTATTGCTCCAGTCGGACCAGTTGCCCAACCATATGGTGCTGCTCCAATAGCCGGACAACCATACGGTGCACCAAACTACCTTCCACAACAACAACAACAACAACCACAACAACCACAAACTCTACAACAACAACAAATGTACTATTATCAACAACAACAACAACAACAATTAGCATACCAACAACAAATGGCCTATCAACAACAACTAGCAGCTCAACAACAATACTATTACGTTAGAAGCAATGGAGGCCATTGTCACCATCACTGTTAAATACCCATGTACACAATACTAGTACATACATACACAAGACACAGATATAATAATAATAATAATAATAATAATAATAGTTATTTTTTTTTTTCAAAATAGAAATGGATGAATGAATAGTTCAAAAGGCATATAGGATTGGTGCAAAGATGACAAAGGGTGTGTGTCATCAGATTGTATATTTTTAATTTTAGTTATTCGCATCATCATCCGTATGCTTACGGAACCTTCAACTTTCAACTTTCAAACTCTATGTTTATTGGTTAACCTACCTTACCTACCCACCACAAGCTCGCACCCCCTCCCTCTTAACTAAAAGACAACCAATAATAAAAAGTCCAAAGTTCCATTCAAGATATCATAAAATCCAATACTATAATTTCCTTTTTCAGAAAACAGGAAATAGGGTTAGACTATTTTATTTTCATAAATATATTAAATCATCATCAACTAGTTTAATTCATTCATTGTATATATAAAAGTAGTTATTATTTATATAATTATATCATATACATATACATATATTTATTATATATTATATTTATAGATTGACTGAGAAGAGAAAATGTTGAAAGTTATTATTTTACTTTTAGTTGCTATTATTGGACACAGTTTATTTGTTTCCTCATATGAAATGAGGGCACTTTTGTTCAAGGGTCCAAATTGTAAAGGTGATCCCGTTTCAATGTCAAGGTATGGTTAAATTTAAAACTATTAATTCATTATTTAGGAATATACTAATATTTATTTTAATTGTATTTATAATCTTCTTAGTTCATCAAAATGTTTTAATATTTCATCAGATGATTTTACATCAGTTTCTGATTGTGATTCACTTCCAGTTCCAAAACAAAATCCAGATGTCAGAGTATCAACTTGTTTCAATGGAGATGGTGATCAAATGTCTTTTTACTATGTAGAGTCGCCAATCTACTCACCATTCAAAATCCAAGGTTATTGTTCAAGATTATTGTTTTTGGATTCTGATAATGATGATACCTTCAATAGTAGCGGTAGCAGTAGCAGTGGTGGTAGCAATAGTGGTAGTGGTACCGATACTGATGATATTTCAAGTACTGGAGGATCCGATGCACCAGTGAATTGTTCCAATGTCCGTGTAGAGTCTTTTCCATCGGGTGCATGTGTTTGGTCAGGTGTATCAGTTCATGCTGACAATAGAGGTGGATACTCTAAAGTATTCAAATATACCAAATCATCATGTCAAGGAAACACCATCTCTCATTTCAAGTGTGTAGGTGACTGTGCCGATGCCAATTGCAAACCACACTTTCAAGAAAACTCTGGTGTGGAACTCTGTCCATCAGTTCCAGCCAAACCATTATCTCAAGCTCTCAATACGAGCAAACAGTCTTCTCTTGACGTTCCAAACAATTTCACAACAACATTTGCATCCACAACCTTTACTATTGAAGGATCATCTGGTTTTAGATTAATTCCAACTTTTCTTTCCATTATTACTATTTTCATTTTATTCTTTTAATCTATCTTAATATCATCATAGTCTTACTAGTATTCTTTCTTTTGGTTAGAGAAACAAATAAATAAATAAGGATATAGTTTTAGTTTTGTCAGAGATTTATTTATTTATGATTTATTATTTATTTTGTTGTTGAGGATAGTAAGGTTGTAAAATAGGTGATGATGAAATATAATTATCGAGTGATTGTAAACGATGATAAGTGAATACAATCAACATTGGGAATTGTTTTACAAAGTATTGGAATAATGATTCTCTACTTGCAAATACATCTTCTATCTTTTTGTCGGTACTTGGTTGTTGTTGTAAACGATATTTAATTTCTTGATGATGTTCAATTGCATTTCTCATACATCTAAATAAATCCTTGACATTTTCATAGTGGTAGGGAGATGAGACTCCGGCGCTGATCACTTCCATGATGTTGCTGTCAATGAGTGCATCCCATCGCTTGAGTGCATGGTATTCAGTGAGAAGTGAGTATGTTTTGCCTCGTGGGTCTATGCTCGTGTTAAAGGTGGTTGGTGGCAGCGTGGAGGCCTTCATCGACTGATAGACGGCACTAATGTAGTTGATTTGTTTGTCGAGGGGCCAAAAGAATGGGTGGTGGATGACTTGCTGGATATTGGGTCTGAGTGACGGGTCTTTGATAATGCAACGTGTGATTAAATCGATGGCTTCGTTACTGGTGCCCTTGGGAAGTGCCTCTTCGGCGTTGGGCATGTCCTTCATGATACGGGGCATTCTGTCCCACGTGTCCTTTCCAAAAGGATGGTCTTTGCCATCACTTAAAAGATAGCATATGATACAACCCAACGAAAAGATGTCGACGGCACTTGTTTTTCTCTGGTCTCTTAAAATGACTTCGGCGGGGTGATACCCTCCCGTCCCAGCTGGTGAATGTGTCAGTGAAAAAGAATCGACGGCTGTGATCATCTTGGAGAGACCCATATCGGATATAACGAGTCTTCCATTATTGACTAAAATGTTTCTAGGGTTGAGATCATTATGTACAACGTTGTATTTGTGCAAGAATGCAACACCTTGGATGACATCAGAGATGAGTGATTTTTTATCAATGCTATGTCTTTGTTCGCGTAGATGAGCTGGTAACTTTTCATCTGCAAATTCAAACCAATCTAGAAGTGACAATTCACACAATGATACTGCCAAATAGATATAGTCATCGTTTTCTTCACGATCAATGTATCTAACAATGTGCAGCCCTTGCTCATTTGTTAGTTTTATCATCAAATCGACTTCTTCGGCCACCTTGTCCATCAAGTTGAATTCCTTGTTCATTCTCTTGATGGCTACTGGGATTTGATTACTCCATAGACCTTTGTACACCACTGTTCCATTACTACCTCTTCCAATAATATATTTATCCTTTCTACAATATTTCATTTTACCAATAGTACTATCCAATTCACTTTCAACAATATTATATTTCAAAAGTAATTGTTGGAATTGTAATTGTTTTTGTATCTTTTCTTGTTCTTTTTTCATTTGTTTGGTCGTTGGTGAAGAGTTTACTGCTTGATTATTTGGTGATTTAGTTGGTTGATTATTATTTTCTGATATTGATAGTTTTTCTATTTGTTGACTCAATGAAGGATTATTTGGAGAAAGTGTTGGTTTTGCCTGTTCTTTTGGTTGAGGAGTTTGAGGAGTTTGTGGTTGTGTTGTAGGTGTAGGTTTTGGCTGTTCTTTTGGTTGAGAAGGAGGAGGAGGAGTTTGAGGTTGATTTTTTGTTGTTTGATCTTTGGGCTGATCTTTAGTAGGTGTTTGTTGTTGTTGATTTTTTGTGGTTTGATCTTTAGATTGATCTTTGGGTTGATCTTTTGTTGCCTGTGCCTGTTGTTGTTCTTTTGGTTGATCTTTGGTAGGTGCATGTTGTTGTTGATTTTTTGTGGCTTGATCTTTGGGTTGATCTTTTGTTGTTGTTGTTGTTGCAGGTGTTTGAGGAGGAGGAGGAGTTTGAGGTGTTGGAGTTTGAGGTTTTTTCTTTTTCTTTTTTGCAGCAGGTTTTGCTTTTTTGTCCTCTTCGAGTAATAGTGAATCCAATGCTTTTAATCTCTCTGCCTCTTCAACCTTTAACTTTTTAACATATTCTTGATAGATTCCTTTGTTGGAGCTTTCCTGCATGATTGAACAGAGTTGGTTTGAATGGAATGCAGAAAAGTGATTTTTCAATAGATAGAGCGCCATGTCGTGTCTGCCCAACAAAATGAATATCTCTGCTGTCGAGAATTCCTGCACGAGTGAGATGGCTGCTTGTGGTGGGGATTTAACTATTCTCTTCCAAATCTTGAAAGAGAATCGAGCGTTCAAACGGTCGTGCGACATGTAATGTTCGGTGATGAATTGGAGCACCTCGAGATTGGGTGCGATCGATATCAACGGCACCAAGGGATTCGGTTCATTCTTTTTCTGGGGTTCGCCTTTCAACTTGTTGTTCTTGAGCGACAAAAAGGAGACCATCTCCTTGTTGCCCGTTTGAAAGATGGCCATGGACTTGTCGATCGATCTAAAAGTGGTGAGAAGGTTGATGGCCTTGGGGTGTTGAATCATCTCGGACATGATATATAGTAACCGCGTTTGGAAGATGTCGGCGTGTCTGAGGAGGATGGCCTTGATGATCTCAGGACGATCCTTTTCCAAGGCATCGAGAATCCATCCAGTTATTTGTGCGTCAATATCCGACAAACCGTCGCCATTGTAAAAGTCACCCAAGTCAAACGAGTTTTGGTAGAGGAACTTGAGAATCTGAGCTTGATTACGTTCGACCGCCATCTTTTCAGCACGTTTGTTGCCGAGTGTCGACGACATGTATTCGTGCTTTCTCTGTGAATAGATGTACTTGAGTGTGTCCAAGTCGGCAGCAAAGGTGCATGCCAAGATCAAACCACCCTCGTCTTGCACATCGTATGAGAAGTTTTTGGGGTCCATATAGTATTCATCGTGTCCGAGCATGACGGCAAGATCTATCACACGTGGGAATGATAGTGGCTCTGCATCACCCAACACCGATTGGTATTGTGCGAGATCTTTGTAAGCGTCTCCAATATGAGTATTGTGATAGTACAAATAACGGTCAAATGCAACTCTGTCTGCAAAGTTGCCACCCTTTGTCATAAACTCCAATTCAAATTTAGCATCTCTAAACATTTGTGGAATATATTTCATCAAGATACCCATTAAATTTAATCTAGCCTCTATCTGCATTAGTAGTGACTCGCTACCACCCAAAGCTAGATATTTAGCGTCGTACAACATCACTAAAACATCCATGATCGCTTCAACCACCCGTTTAGGTGGAACGAGCTTACTAGCAAAGTGTGTCTCTAAAAGAGTCATAATCCACTTTAATTCAACCAACGACCATCCATACAATTTAATGTTCTGAGCTAATTGAGTTTGATCTTCAGTCTCTGTATATTCTATGATACTTGAAAAAGGTAGAGAGAAAGAGATAGATAGATAGATAGATTTATAAATATATATATTAGATTATTGAATTTGTATTGATTATTGATTATTGATTATTCTAAACATACCCTGCAGCAGATGTTTTTGGGTTATAGTAAGCTTTGTATTCTCTGAGTTTATAACAACTCTCTGGGTTCTCTATTGATGCAGGTATCGCATCAATAAACGTACGAAGACCATTTGATCCGTACAATGGATATGATATTTGATTCATGATTAAAGAAGATGAAGATGAATATTAAACTATTAGTTCTATCCTCTCCTCATAATCTATAATGTCTAATATCTATCTTTATATATATATATCTAATTAATTACGATAATGTTGCTTGGATTACGGTTGGTTCAAATTTCTCCCGCTTTCGATTTTACTCAGAAGCACACAAATTAAAAATAAATGAAATTAATTGCACCCTAAATCAGTGTGTTGTCTTTATTGTTAACACCCTGACTATAGATGCATCCAAGTTGATTGGGGGCATCAATCACCCCCTTCTCCTCATCAATCACACCACCACTATAGCAAGATGAAGAACTTTTATTCTTCTTGTTGTTTTATAAAGTTGTTGTTTGAAAGAGATAATATATATAGAACACAAGATTATTTATTTATTAGATAGTAGTATGCATCATAATCAAACTATTATAGTAGCTATTACACTACTGTTGTTGGTGTTATTGGAATATAACAATCAGGTGGTTGAATCAGTATACATATTGAATTGGAATGAAAAGGCGTTGTGGACTGGTTTCGGAATACATCCATTCCCGTTACCAAACTATGTAGGACAATATATAACCAAGAAAGAGTGTGAGGTAGAGTGCTACTATTTGGGTGACCGAGCAAGATTGGCAGATGCTGATGCAGTACTGTTCGAACCACAACAGATTGGAGGATGGGTCAGACAATACTTTGACGACCCTCTCACACCATTTCCTCAAAAGGAGCCACACCAAAAGTGGATCAACTTTGGCTTTGAACACGACGAGTACTTTCCATTAGCATCTGAAAAAAGATTCGTTCAACATATGGATATCAACATGACCTATAGGAGTAGTTGTAACGTACCCACTACATTTGCATGTAGTTGGGGACAACAATATAATGGATCGGTCAATGACTTTTATGTCACTCCAAAAGAGTTCAACGTCAAAAGGAGTGCTGCCGTATTCATGGCTGAAAATTGTTGTCTTGGTGGTGCTTCATTTAGAAATATTTATTTATTGGTACGATTCAAAAGAAGAAGAACCATATAATCCAAACAAGACTAACCTTTTATGTTGTATAGGAAATGATGAAATATACAAAGGTTGAAAGTGTAGGATCATGTTTACACAATTATGATATTCCTGTAGAGGAGACTCAAAAATCGATTTGGACAGACTTGGGTAAAGCAATGATCAACAAGGTTAGAATCCTAGGAAGATATAAATTTGCTCTAACATTTGAAAATAATAATCTAACAGACTATGTATCTGAAAAGGTATATACTGCTTTATTGTATGTAAATCAAATCAAATATAATATTTCCAAAAAATATTTTTGAATTGATTATTTTATTATTATTTTAATTTAGGAGTGGAGCATTACCAGTTTATATGGGAGCACCAAACATTTATTCATATATTCCAGAGAATAGTATCGTTGACACTAGTAAATTCTCCAATCCCAAACAATTGGCAGATTATTTAAATTATTTGACCAATAATGAAACAGCCTATCAAGAATACTTTGCATGGAAAAAGAAACCTTTGCCACAACACTTGATCGAGAAATATGAAAGGTGTATTTTCTATACAGGTGAATGTGCTCTTTGTAAACATGTTGATAAACTTTTAAAAGAGGTATGTAAACAAAACAATACACCCGTTGTATTCTTAATAAATACATATATAAACTAACAGTTTTTTAATCTTACTTTTAGGATAAATTAAAATTAGGAAATATTGTTCAATATCGAGTAAATTATGGAGAACCAAATCATGTAAGACATTCAATGAGAGCACTCAGTTTAAAGAATGGAACTTGTATGAGATTATATCAAGAATCAAAATCTCACGTAATAGGTGATAATGGATTCACCATATCATTTTGGATTGAACCTTTTCATCTCGGTACATCACAGTACGTTATAAAAAAAAAAAGGTGATTGATATTTTAGTTTACTAATCCTTCATTCATTTTAGTATCATTGAAATTGGAGATACCAACTATAAATGTGAAATTCAGACATATAGGATACTAAAGAAAACATTTATTAGATTATGTGTCGATGGTCAATGCTTTGCGAGTGAAAGACCACTACGAAAAAAGGAATGGACTCATGTAGGATTTGTTTTAACAGAGACCAAGGCAATAATATATATGAATGGAAAGCCAGATGTTGAGGACCTAGTCGGAGGTGGTCCCAAACCAAGTGGGCTCGATCTCAAGGTTGTTTCAGTTGGCTGTGACAGACCAGCGTTGGCTGGTCATATGGACGACCTAACGATATACAAGAGAGCACTGACCGAGGATGAAATAGGCATTTTAATGCACAAAAAACTAAGAGGCAATGAAAAGGATTTGATTCTCTACCTTACATTCAACGATATCGATGGACCAACCGATTACTCGATCAACCACTACAGCGCCAAATCACAACTCGCCGACACTGTCGAAATCACTCATCGTCCTCTCAACCTACGTTGTTGCGATTATAGCAAGTTTGGTGCACCCATGGCAATTCCTTTTTCAATTCCAAACAACTTAAAATTAAAGTAATGATATTAATTCCTAATTATTCTATGTCATTCCCTTATTCTATCTATATTATTATTGTATTATTAGAGAAGAATTAATTATTATTATCGATTTGATTTGCTTTGTTTTAATAATTAGTAAATATTATTTAGCTTTTTTTTTTAAAGTTTATTTTTAATTTGGTGGATAACCTTGATTTGGATCGTTTTGATATCTTGGAGGTACTCCATAATTTTGATATGCGGCAGGGATAAAAGCAGGTTGAGAGGTTATGATTCGGCTGTGAGTTGGAGAAGTTGGGGAAGGAATTTGTGGGGATTGGTGTGAAGGAGATGGTGACTGAGAGTTATTTTGTGGTGGGATCATCATATGTGGTTGCATTTGATAGGAATTTTGGTGAGGATAGTATCTCTTTGGAACTCCATGTTGTGGTGGTGGAGGATTGTACATGGCTGGAACAGCAAATGGGGGTGGGAATTGTGGTTGGAAAACAGCATATGGAGGAGGGCCAAGGGGTTGATTCGATGCAACAGGAACTCCCTGATGTTGTGGATAGGATCTTGGTTGACCATTGTATGGCATTTTCATCGATTTAATTTGTGGTGGAGCAACCATTGGTGGTGGCGATGGGTAATATGGTGGGATAGGGACGACACCCATTGGAATGATGGGTGGACGCATGGAATAGCCACCGGCTGGCGAACCATACTGTTCGTCTTCACCACCTCCGTACTGTTGTCGATAGGATGGCACGTCGGACCAATAACTAGACACTGACTCTGGATTCTCTGGGTTTTGTTGTCTCTTTTTCATTGATTCATAATACAATTCGTTGATGGGTGTGGTCGAATCTGTGTTGTTGGAGGTGCTTCTTCCAATGTCGCCGCCTGGCATGCCACTGAAATCGTGGGGTGCAGAGGCTGGTATGGCAGCTGGCTTGAGGGTCAACCCCTTTGGTGTAAAAACGGGTGCATTGGCACTCAATGAACCTGGTGTAAATGCCTTGGCATTTGGATTTAATTTTAATTTCGAGGTTGTAGTGGTTGCAGTGGTCGTTGTTGCTGTGGTTGTTGTTGCTGCTGTAGCTTCCTTTTTGACATCTTCAGTCTTGGAGTCATCCTTGTTGTCGAGATTGGTTGGAGAAAGTGATAATGCTGTTATATTTGCAAGTCTTGGTGAATTTGGTCCAATCAATGGTGACGATGGACGTGATCTGCTAATGTTATAGTCGCGACTAAAGCTCTTGAGTTGCTCCATCTGTGCTTTACGATCAACCTCTGACTTTATCAACTTGAACTCGTTGAATTCCTTGATTGTGTTTTCGGTAAATGTAGGCTTGGAAGAGTGGAGCGAGAGTGCGCTGAGACCGACTGGATCAGAGACCAATGGCGAGCAGAGTGGTGAGCGTGGCTCAGAGTTTCTCATCTTTTCCGATACAATGGCAGCACGTACCTTGGTGTAGTTGGCAAGTGTACGAGGAGACTGACCATCACGCGGCGAAGAGACAAGGTCATTGTGATCGATCGAATTGGTTCTCTCTCTAACTGGGAATCTGAGTTTGGTAACTGGTGAGTTGTCGCTATTGATACCATTACCAGATGTCTTTAGAGAATTGGCAGAGTTTGATTCCGATTCCTTAAAGATTTGTTGTTGTTGAGTCAATTTCTCGTCCTTGGTTGGTGTCGATGATGTAGTAGTTGACGTGGTAGAAGTGCCAACAGCAGCAGCAGCACCAGCAGTAGCAACAGCAGGTTTGGTATTATTTTCATCCTTTAATGAAGTAGATGAAGATGATTTGGTAAGTGGCGTAACTGGTGCCGATTGTGTTTGCTGTGGTGTCTGTTGTTGAACTTGTTGATTTCTCTTGTTTGGAGGTACATATACTCCAGCCGATGATGATAAGTTTCCACCTGCTTGTTGTTTAGCTCCAGCCTTTGCATCTGGTTGTCTAACAACACTACTGTATCTCTCTTCTTCATCATAATCTGATCCCTTTACTTGTCCTCTTTCTTCTTGCATATGTAAATTTGATGATGTTTTCTATAGAATAAAAAAAAGGTTAATAATAGAATTCTACTATACCATTTTGGTTTGTTTATATTTATACATACACCTTCAATTTCTTGAGCAATTCTTTCGGCATCTCTTAATCTATTTCTATAACTATCAGATTGACGATCGAGACTGGTGGTGTAGAGATCTTCATCATAGGAAGAGGTGACACCAAAGAGCTTCTCGTTGGTTGAGAATTGATCCCATGATGCGTTTTGTTTGTTGAGTGCACTTGCTTCGAGTGATTCGTGTTCGCTGCCATCCGACATCCATGGAGTGAGCTCTCTTTCTCTTACGACGCCATCATGTCCGCTGATGTCAGTGTCGCTTTGGAAGGATGCACTGCCACGACCAGAACCTTGTTGGTAGGTGGAGAGATTATCAAATACGACGCCAGTGGCAGTAAGACAGAGGAAATCCTTGGATTCAATGACCATCAACGGGGTTGGTGGTGTGGTGATGATGGCTGGTGGTGGCACTTCCTTCTTTCTGGCCATCTTGATGACAATGCCCCAACCAGCACCACTAGTAGTGGTTGCAGAGCTAAGCAAACCTTCATAGGTTACTCCATTCTTTAGTGTCACCGATACTTGATAACCAACCAAACAAAGTGCCATATAAAGTGATCTATCCTTCATCTTTTTAACTTCTAAATCTTCATTATTATTATTATTGTTATTATTGTTATTGATATTATTGGTGTTTGATGGTGATGACTTGTTGTTGTTGTTTGATGGAGAAGATTGTTTATTATTATAACCTCCACTATTATTTAACTTTCCTCCGTTGTTGTTGTTATTGTTGTTATTGTTATTATTGTTGTTGAATGAAGCGTATGGCTTCTTTCCTCCCTTTTCCTTTTGACTCATGATTGTTGTTTGTTGTATGTATGTAGTTGTAAACTAACTAACTAACTAACTTTTAACTTTGATCTCCTACTAACTACTACTCCTACCCAAGAAGAATCCTTTGCAGCTGATTGACGACGACGACGACCTGACTAACTAACTAACTATTTGTACAATGAATAATGTTACTATTACTACTAGTTATATAAATAGATAGTATACTGTAATGATGATGGTGATAGTATAGGTTGGGGGGGGGGGGGTGGTGTACTATTACTCTATTACTCTACTACTCTACTACTCTACTACTATTGTGCCGATGAGATGACTAACACTTTCTACCCGCTTTAAAATACCGTTGTCTCAAACAAGTAATCTCTAGTATACAGATATATCTATCTATATAATGCGGTGTTGTTGATGATGATGAATGAGAGCTGCCCGGCAATTGTTTAATTTAGGGTGCACTTCATAGAAAAAAAAAAAGAAAAAAACATGGTTGGTTGTGTCAACTGACTTCAAATAGTTTGATGTTTTGAAGTATGAACATAGATATATACAATTTAAAACGAATGAGATAATAATGACAAAAACAGTATTAGTCCCAATAGCACAGTCATCTGAAGAGATGGAAGCAATCATTATTGTAGATTGTCTTAGAAGGGCTGGTGTAACTGTCACACTTGCAACAGTCCATGAATACTCTTTGGAGGTAGGATCGACATCATCATCCACTGAAAAAGAAAGAAAGAAAATAATCTCTATTAATACTATAGTATCCCGTTCTATAGATAACTGCATCAAGAGGTGTAAAGATTATAGCAGATGCATTCATAAAAGATGTTGATCAAGAATCATTTGATGCTATTATTCTTCCAGGTGGTATGCCAGGTGCTACCCATCTTTCCAATTGTCAGATACTCATTGATTTACTAAAGAAACAAAAGGAATCTGGTAAGTTGTATGGAGCGATATGTGCAGCTCCAGCTGTTGTTTTGGCCAAACATGGTTTGTTGGATGGTAAACAATCTTTCACTTGCTATCCCAATCCAACACACTCTGATCTTCTAGGAGCAGGTTATCAAAACAAATCGGTCGTTGTCGATGGAAATCTCATTACATCACAAGGTCCTGGAACTACTTTTGACTTTGCCCTAACTATCATCCATCAACTATTGGGTCAAGAGAAAAGAGATGAAATATGTAAATCTTTAATTTATTCTTCTCCATCTTGTTGTCAATAATAATAATAATAAACACCATGTATATATATTTAATGTTTTAAAAAAAGAAAAAGAGAATGTTGTGCGCAGGTTATAGTTTAACAAACTATAAGTATAGTTGTTGTTAGACTACTATTGCATGCATGACCATTACTGTTTTTTTATATAATTTTTATTTTATATAATACATAGTTTAAAAGTATTATTGAAATAATTTGTGTTATTGTTGTTATATGTTTAGCTATTATCTACAAGTTGTTGTTTGTTATTGAAAAAATATCCTATTATTATTGTTGTTGTTGTTGTTTTTTTGACCCACTAACTTAGTTATTATTGATACACCATATTACTTTCTCGCTAGTAAAAAAGAGAGTTACTAATTGAAAAAAGTAAGGGTGTATATATATAAGTTGAACTATGTACTATTGATTGTTGTCCCCGGCTATATGTGTATGTTGTGGTCACATTTCTTATGTTAAAATGATCTTTTGGTTCTTTCTGGCTTCTTCAGCGGCGTCCTTGTCCAAACCGGCTTGATAGGTGAATGCATAGATACACATGATACCAACAGTAGCTGCTTGAGCATAAATTCTGCCTCGAAGTAACTTGTTGGTGGTGATTTGATTACCACCTCTCATATGGTTGTATACACCTGATGATAAGAATCCTAAAGTTGCAAATGCACCTAAATATATTAAATATATGTTGTTTGAATTAGTATATACTACATTTATACTTAAACTTATAATGTTATTATAGTATTATTTTTAACTTACCTCCAACGAGGATATAATCTCTCTTTAAGGCATCCTTTAATGTCTTTGGTGGTGGAGGTACAGTGAACTTCTTTTGAATCTTTTGGAACCAAGATAACTTGTCAGCTGGAGCTTGGTGAGTAAGAGCATTGTCTGCTGCGGCGGCGTTCATCTTTGTTGTTGTATTATTAGCTGTAGTATTACTAGTATGTATATTATTATTACTGTGTTGTTGTTGTTCAGTAGTTGTTGACATGACGAAAAGAGTTGTTAAAGAGCGATCTTTTATAATTTTAGAATGCAAAAAGAAAATTAAATTAAAAAAAGAACGAAACCTCCACATAGTGCAACTTTTGCAGTTTGTTGGTTTTTTGTCGTAGATGTGGATACTTATTTTGGACAACTAACCTACAGATCACATGTCACTGGTTCGTTTACTGTTGAGGTCTTGCATGGTTGATCTAAGATTTGGTCAGTGATTACTGTGTTGGAACCTATTACACAAGGCCGATTGCTTGCTGATATCTATCAATAGGAATGATGTAATGTACGTGTCACACATTATGAAGGGACACTATTATATTCTTTAACGAATTGAAGCCTAAACAAACTATTATTATTATTAATAATATTATTATTATTAATATTATTATTATTATTATTTCTAGGATATTTTTTAATTATCTTTTTTTAATTTATTTATTTAATTATTTTATATGTGTTTATCTATCAATCTATCTTTGAACAAATAATACTTGTGGATCACCAGAATGATCTTCATAATTTAAAGTGATACCATTATTTGTAATAGATGGAATATGGAGGGTGATGTTGCTATAGGTGTTGGAATCGTATTGATGGTCGAGTTCATGGGCTGCTAAAAGTTGTAGGATGTTTTGACGTGCTACGTCGTTGTGCTCTTTGGTGATGAGTAAGAGGAAACCTCCACCTGCACCAACTGCAGAGTAGCCGTGTATCTGGTCATGTATAATCTTTTCCAAATCCATGACAAAACCGGGTAGCTTGGATCCTGTCGATACTTGTTTCTTGGTGTGCCAGTATTTTGTGAGTAGTCGACCAATCTCGGCTAGATCAGCACTCTGTATAGCCTTTCGCATGTCATCGGTTTGCGATGCAATGGATTCTATTGCGTCGAGGGTAGACTTCTTTCTCGCTAGGAATCCTCTGATCGCTTCGGTCACTTGAGGGTTGAGTCGTGGGCGATTGGTGTTGACTAGGAGCATGTGACGTCCGATATGTCCCATTTGGTCAGGTGTCAGTTGAATGTTGTAGTATTGGACATTGATACACTCTTGCTTGGATTTGGTGAGGTTTGCAATATCGATCTTTTCATTCCACCCATGTGTCAATCCTCCGACGACACCTCCAAGCGAGTCGCTGAATCCTCCACACGTAGTCATCATGTGTTCAACCTTGGTACACGCATGCACCAAATGCGACGGTGACATAAACTCGACACCATAGATTCGCGCAATCGCAGTCAGCACGCTAGCTGCCAGCAACGAGCTCGATCCCAATCCACTGCCGTACGGCAGCGGGCATGATATCTCCACCTCCAAACCACCGACTATTTCCAACTGTTGTTTTAATGATTCATGGTGTCTCTTGTGATGCTGTGTTTGTTTGCTTTGTCTACCTTGTAAATCTCTTAGATTCTTTAATATATCTGCATCTTGGTCAATGTCACCTGTTGAAGGTGGTGTTGATGTTGTTGTTGTTGTTGTAGTTGTAGTAGGGTCGGTTATAGTCGCAGCATGTGAATTATAAACAGACCATGGAGGGTTGACAATACCAACCTGAAGAAAACAAGCTTTCAGCAATGCATAGGGTGCAAGAGGTCGCTTGAAATCTGTAAAGTCGGCGAATCTTTGGAGTACTAGTGGAGAGCCAGATTGAGCAGACGAAAAGATGACGATTGGTTCGCTGATACGTCTGGCACGACATACGTACGGTGCAACGCCGTCAATGTGGATGGCGGCCGTGACAGCACGTCCACCCTGCTCATACGACATGGGCGCAAAGTCTGTCCAGAACCCACCAAGATCCAGTCGGCCCGGTGTCTCGACACGCACCCATTTCTCGATCGGTACGGGACCGCTGTCTAGCGGCTTGGTAGTGGATGGGGACCGATCCACCACGTTTTTAATGAGTATTTGACAAGCTGCGTCATAATGTCTGGCAGCAATAATCACATTCTCGCATGTGTCTAGCCAGTTGGCGCGCTCACTCGTCAGCTTGAGAATACCAGCCTTTTCATCACCACGAGAGAATGATAATAGTGCTTCGCACCATTTGCTGTGATGAGCGGGTCCTGTGCGAATACCACCCCTTCCAGCCATCCAAATGGCCATGAGATCACTCATATTGGATAGTATACGAGGTACGACGTGAGACGGTGTGGTGATGAGGATACGGTCCATAGCCTGCAATGCAGAGTCGAGTGTATGGTCACGCATTCTACTCCACTTGAGAAAGTAGATATCCAGGCATTGGCGACTCCAATTCTCAGAGTACACTGAATTGACCCTCATCATATCGATTCGAAACGAGAGTACTCTACGCCAAAGAAACGATGCTGCCACATCACCCTCGACACGATTCGAGTGTTCCAATTGTTCCTGCAGCTGACACACTTGGTCACGGGGTAATTGTTGTACCGACGCACTAAGGGTGGCTGTCCGCTGGAGGTATTTCACTCGTGTCTCTGCAATAAGAGTAGTCTCACCCGTAATATCGGCAATACTCATTCTCTTGGATGCCTTCCACCGTCCAATCACCGAGAGGGGTGGTTTTTTGGTAAGATCTTGTATCCACAACGCACTCTCCAACATGTCCTCGTCACCAGACACTGACAACACTGGAAAGAGACGAGCTGAACGCAATAGTCTTGGGTAGTTGGGAGGCCAAAGTTCGTCGGGCGATATACCAGACGATGTGAAGAAATCGTCCCATTTCTGATTGGCTATTGTTGCTTTGGGGTCAGTGTAGAGGAGATCGATATTATCGTCAATACCTACAATCACCAATACACGTGGTCTATTTTCAGACGACGAAATACCCATGATTGTTTTTGACCCATGGTCACTCGTTATATTGTTGGTAGTGTTGTTGTCAAATGAACTTTCAATCAATTTATCAATACCTCCAATATCACTTGTGTGTGGTGTTGTTGTTGTTGTTGTTGTTGATTTCTTGTTTTGTAATCCTCCAATACCTCCAATTTGATTGATAGATTTACAATGTTTTGGTTTTGAATTCCAAGGTGATTTGAGTTGAACCTCTGAGATGGTCATACGATCGGCAAAGTGTGCTCCACAAAACGACTCTCTTACACCTAGAATGACACAATCCTTTCCGACACTCCAACTACCCGACAATACACAACTAATAATAATCGAGTTCTTGTCGGCCACTCCATCTCCACTCAACAGGCTATTCAATACAAACCCATCAATTGGATTCTTATTATCAATATATGAATGTACTACCTTTTTAATTAAAATATCTTCAACTATTTCCTTTTGATATTTTAAAAATGATAATAAATCACTAAGTAATATAAAGGATACTTTTGGTTAGTTTAAACTATAATAACATGAATAATCTATATAATTTGCTTACCCAGCATCTTTTAAAAATGAATAGTGACCTTTAACTGATATGGCTGTTAGAGGAGTTGAACGAAAGGTTTTCCATAATACTTGACGTGCCATTTCCAAGACAAAACTTGGATTATAATGATGAGGAGTCAGTGAGAGATAGGATACTAGTTTTTGACTCTGACTCATTACTTCTAATATTTCTGGATAGACAGAGAATTTGAGTAGCGATGCACCATTATCGAGTGCCAACGTGGTGCAAGAGTTGAAGGGAGTTGTGGATTGGAGATAGAGAAGTTTCTCTACCGATTTTGGACACATTCTAATGATATTGGTGTATACCATCACCTTTTCCTCTTGTTGTTGTGTTTTGGTGTTGGTTTCTCGAAATATAAATTCTTTGTCTCGTAGCTCAGTCTCTGAGAATTTATTACCAAACTCTTGAATGACACCAAATGCATCAGTCTTTACGGCAATGTGACGTGTTGCAACTTCGGCGTCGACCGGTATAACCAACGTTTGAATACCTTCGCTGTTCCACATACGTCCACCCACTTGAATGTCCATGACATCATTTTCGAGCAGAACCAATGATTCAGTACTAGCAACAATCATTCCAGCGTCAATGTATCGTTCAATGCGATTGAGGTTACTGAGTAGTATGTCAATTGGATACAATGGGTAGACATCAGCAACATCCCATGCTGGATCATCAGCATAGTCGTCGTCAGCTGCCCTCGCAGCAGTGGCAGCTGAAGCAGTCGACATCTCTAATCTACAAGTTTCTTGTTTAGCCTTGATCTCATTGTTGTTTAGTCCATAGAGTGATGATGAACTTGAACCGCCGCCACCGCTGTCAACAGTTGGACATTGTGTACCGCCGATACCAGAGTGAATACGTCTGAGTGGATACTTGTCAACCACCATACATGTGAATGCTTTAGAGCAAAGGTTGACAAGTGTCATGTGATGAAAGAGACCACCAATGTGAAGCAACAGTATTTTAGAGTTCTTGACCACCTCGATATCGATGAATGAGCGACCGGCCAACCCACTCAACTTGTCTGCAATCGTCACCAATGAATTCAACGTAGATGTACCACTACCAATACGTGTAAAGTTGAGATACTTGATCTGATCAATCGGAATATTATCAGTGTTTGATGTGACTGGATCGGGAATAGGTACAATGATACAATTTTCATTGATCATACCAGTACATTTTCTAGCATTCAATTCATTCACAAATTCATGTGCCTGTTCATAAGTTGAAGCTGTAACTCCAATTGCATCCCATCCTCTTCTTTTCATCTAGAAATATAAATGGATTAATTAATTAATACAATTGGATGATTTCTTTCGAATATTAATGACTTACTCTTTAACAAATTTGTTCAAATTATTATTACTAATAAATAAGTACGTTTCTATTAATATCTATTGTTGATATACAAAGAATATAACATATAGAAATGATAGAGAGAGAGATGAATGAAATGAAATTTACTCGCACAATGCGATTCGTTCATCTCACTAGTGAGCTACCCATGAGTGCTTTACTACTTTCACCCCACTTGTAAATTGTTTCCTTTTTTGTCTTGTCTACATTTATTAATATTATTATTATTCTTTGATTATTAATATATACTAGTTATTGCAGCTATGGTTATTGTTATTTGTATCATTTTATTTGTTTGACTATGAATTTTAATAAATTAATGTATTGAAAAAAGAGAAATGAGATGGATGATCAAAAATAGTTTAAATTAATTTATAGAAACTACTGCTAGCTAGGTAGAGAGAAAGAGAGGGTACCTAGTTGATTAAAAGATGAAAAGAGAAACAGTTGAATTGGGATTGATAGTGATAAGTAGTTTGTTAGTGTATTGGTCACATCATAGAGACGAATCATCATCATCATCATCATCTATCAAGAAATTATTCAATGACGACGACGATAGGTTGAAACGTATTCAAGATCAACAACAACAAAGATATATAGATGGACCTTTATCATCATTATCTGAACTCATATTCTTTGTCATTAATATTGGTCTAGTCATCTTGTCATCCTACATTAAAGAACCAATCTTTAATCATGTATTGACCAAATCAACTAGAACTGAAAAGGGATTGGATCAAGGACTACCATTGGCACTGTCTCTATTGCCAATGGTCTACACATCGATCAAATCATCTAATCTTGGAATGGTGTCATCATCCTATTCAATCCCTTCACATATATTCTCAACCATTGTCACTGTACAACATCTACTCTTGGCATCATACCTAGCATCTGTAACATTACTCTTTGTCATTTTGAAAAAGAAGTATCTACATTTAATCTTAATCTCTCTACTCATTATAGTAATTGATTATACTACTTTTGGTATGTCAATTGATAATAATATTAATAACACTATATGATTATTAACTTATCTGTACTATCCTTTTAGGAATAGAAGCAATGATATTTGTAATTGGATATAATATATTATTTATAATATTATTCAAAGCAATATTAAATTATTTCCAAACTAGTTTTACATTTGGAGAGGCATCTATTATAAGTCAGTTGATCTCATCACTTTCAATACCATCGATTTTCTATTTATACGATCAATGGGATCATGTCAATCCTTGGCCAGGGTCTGGTGGTGGTGGTGTCAAAGAGTTGGAATTTATGACTGATAATTTACAAGTTATTAAAGTTGCAATTGTTGTATTGATCATTGGTGCTATACTCATTGGTATAGTAACATCTAGACTGACTACATTTATACGAAACAATGCGTTGATTCAACAATCAAACACAATGTTTTCACTCCATGTACTATTATTCTACACGATTGCATTGTTTATGATATTTGGAGTCTACTATCCATTACTCTATCATTTAATTGGTCAAAATATATTCCTTTGGCTACAAACCTACCTCATTCCAGAATCACTCGAAATGTTATACCAATCATCTGTTGGAAATAGAATTACCGTTATTGCATGTTGGATTGGATTACTATTTGTTACCATCTTATTCTTTTCACCTCCTTCTTCCAATAATAACAACTCTACATCTATATCAACATCAACATCAACATCTACATCAACATCAAAGAAATCAACATCATCATCATCATCATCAACATCAACATCATCAACAACAAATAATCAACAACAACAACAACAACAACAACAACCAAATATAATATTAAGAAAATATTTCCATTTATTAGCAATTATAATGTTTTTACCAGGGATATTGATGGAAAGAACATTCATGTCATTATCATTTGGAGTATCAATCAGTGCATTGATACTAATAGAAATATTGAAATATGGTAGAGTTCCTCCGATGGGAAAATATATTGCCGGATACATGGACGCATTCTTGGACGCAAGAGATTCTGGTGTTATTACACTTACCCATATTTACCTATTGCTTGGATGCTCGATTCCTGTTGTTATCCCATTCTATCTCGACATTAGTTTTTCTACAACCAAGCCACTGCTTTCTATCTTTTCCGGTTTGCTAACTATTGGTGTTGGTGATAGTGCAGCATCCTATTTTGGAGTGAGATATGGACGTACAAAAATGTTTGGTACCTCCAAATCATTACAAGGAACCATCGGTGGTATCACATGCACCGTTTTGGCATGTCTTGTACTCTTACCATTTATTGGTATTCCTTTTACCCTCTCCACACTGGTTCACATCATTATTACCTCTACACTATGTTGTTTAATTGAGGCATCAACTACCCAAATAGATAATTTGGTTTTACCTCTTGTTTGTTTATCTTTATTAAATATTTAAAAAAAATTAATAAATAAACCAAACAAAAATAAGAGTATTAAATTAAATATTACATCACATGTGTATTAATATTAAAATGGGTAAATTTATTTTTATTATTATGAATTATATAATTATAAAAAGGGTATAAATATATTTATAAAGATATATATTGAAAATTTTTAATTGGAAAATAGATATTTAAGAATAAATCCAAGTAATAAAACAACAAATACAATACCAAGGTTCATAATGAGTGAAGGAGTAAAAATGGTTTCAATGGCGGATGGGGTTTTGGATTTGGATGTTGATTTGGTAGTGGTAGTTGTTGTAGTATTAGTTGCCTTGGTAACTGATTTGTTGTTGGTATTGTTGTTAGTCTTTTTGGTAGTGGCGGTAGTAGTGACAGGGGCGTTGGTAGTGGTGGTTGGTTTCTTCGCGACAGCAGCAGCAGTAGTAGTGTTGTTGGTGGTTGTTGTTGTTGTTGAAGTATTAGTCTTTTTAACTTGTGGTTGTGAATTATTGTTATTATTTGATTGCGTGGTGGTAGTATTTTGAGTTGTAACTGGAACTGGTACTGCTGTAGTTTGATTAGACTTGTTCTTTTTTGGAGTAACAACTAGCGGTGCTTCAACCTCCAAGGCTGATAAAATATTTTTGTTCTTGATATTGGTTGGAGTTGGAGTAATGACAACCTTTTCAATCTTTTTCTTTTCGACCTTCTTTTCAACTACCTTTTCAGCAGTATTGTTGTCTTGTTCGGTAGTTTCTTCTTCGACTTGCTTCTTCTTCTTTGGTTTGTCGGCTTCGATCCACTCTTCGGTTGGCTTGCGTGTCTCGATGGCAATCTTTTTCTCTTCAGTCTTTGGCTTGATAGAGATGACAACTCTTTCTTGAATGGCAACTGGAGCGACAACAACAGTAGCAGCAGCAGTGGTGGTGGCAATATGTTCTTCCTCTTGCTTTTGCTCTTGAACAGTCTCCATCATCTTGAGAACATCATTCTTTTCCCACAATGAAACTTGTGGAACGATGAATCTGTTTCTTCTCTCCTTTTTACGCTCAGCTTCTCTATCTGGCTTCTTGGTTGGAAGTGGTGGGAGTTCTGGATCGATTTCCTCCTTCTTTTCTTCCTTCTTTGGTTGTTGTGACTTTTTTACCATTATTGTTGTTTTTGTTGTTATCTTGCTCCCAGAAAGCTTCATCCTTTTTCTTTTCATCCTTCTTTTCAACAATTGTCTTTTCTTCCTTTTTGTTGTTGTTAGATTTCTTTGGTTCCTTCTTTTCGACTGTCTTTTTCTTTTCAACCTTTTCTGGAACAACAGCAACTTGTTCTTCTACAATCTCTCCTTCTTCCAACTCTTGTTGTTTGACTGTTTGTGGTTGTGGGGTTGGTTCATGTCTGATAACCTTGATGGTGGTATCAACCTCTGGCTTGGTTTGAGTCAAGAAAAGACCGGTGGCCCAAGCATTGACCTTTGGTTTTTCAGCAGCAACAACAACTGGTTGGACGTCGACAGCAGCAGCAGCTGGCTTGTCTTCCTCTGACTTGGCAATAATGACAATTGAGTCATCCTCGACAATCTCACCTTCTTCAATCTCTCTTTGCCAGTCGACATTCTTGACTGCACCCCAAGCTGGTTGTTGTTCAACAATCTTGGATGATGGAACAGAGGTAGTGGAGGTGGTAGTGGTAGTTTCTGGGACAGTTTGTTCAGACTTGTCAGATGGACCCTTTCCAAAGAGGATACCAGTAGACCAGGCATTAACACCTTGTGGAATCTCTGGGACTGGTTCAGACGATGACGACGACGACGACGAGGTAGTATTTGATAGAGACTCCTTGGACAATTGCATTTCCTTGGCAATTTGCATTTCACGAGCGATTTGTTGGTCTCTACGAGTTCTCAAGTCATCAGATGACGATTGCATTGGCTTGATCTTACGGGCTGGGTTTGTCGATGACCATGGGTTCTTGTTTTGGCTGACCGATGAACCAACAATACTCCATCCATCCTCTACCTGTAAGTTATTAGATTGCATATAGGATTGGAAATTTGAATTGTGATCAATCTTTCCATACATTTTGTTTGTCTTTTTCTTCTTTTCATCATTCTTTTTTAATGTTTTTAAGAAAATTGTATTCTATAAAAAAATAATAATAGAAATAAGTATTCAAAATCGAATTGGTGGTTCAGATCTAATTTGTGATAATTACATTATGAGAAGAGAATTTGGCATATTTAACCTTTAATATATTTTGAATGGTATCTTTGAGAGCTTGAACAGCATCTTGATTGTCTGAATTATCATTCCAAAGATTAATACTAACACCCCAACTTCTAAATGATAAAACAATACCATTCTAAAAGTATTAAAAAAAATAAAAAGGTTGTTAGCTATAACCAAGTAGATATAACTATACTTTTGTTTGTATACTTTACAGTTTGACTATAATGTTCCCATTTTGATTCTTGTACAATTGTAGTTAATAAAGAAAACCAATTATTTAATACTCTTGAAAATTCTGGATGATCTTTCATATAATTTACAGACTAATAATAAAAGAAAATATAGAAATAGATATCATCTGATTAGTATACTCTGTAGAAATAAATATCTATCTATTTCTATCAACTTACATATTTTCCACCATCCTTATTCTTTACATCTTCCCAAGCTGGTTCAATACCTTCCTTAAAGATACTGATATTAGAGTCAACTGGTGATGATAAACCTTTCCATAATTCCTTTAAACTCTATAATAATGATGATGAATGACAAATAGAAACAGATATATTAATATATATATGTTCCAACATTTCAATAGTGATTTGACAAACAACATACATTTAAAGTGTTAAATGTTCCAATCTTTTTAATATTTTGAAGATATTGATCGTTTTCTCCTGGGTTTGCGGGTGCTGGAGTGATTTTTTCTTTGTTCTTCTTGTCAAAGAATACTACCCATGGTTGAGTGAATTCTTTGGCCGATTCTTCTTCATTGTACTCTGCTGAAAAGTCAAATTGTACATCGAATTGTAAATCTTGTCTCTTAGTTGGTTTGTAAGGGAATGATTCTGTTACTTGTTCTTCATCTGATGTTGTTGTAGTAGTAGTGTTGGTTGGGGTGGCATTGGTAGTGGCGGTAGTAGTTGGAACATTATCCGAGGTAGTAGCATCCTCCTTTTCAGCAGCTGCTTCCTTTTCCTTTTCAATAATGTTTAACTTTTGTTGTTCGATTGATGATTCATCTACAATGTTTACAAAATCATCATCTTCATCTTGTTGTAATACGTTAAAGTAATTTGACATTTTCTATCTATCTATCTATCTCTTTATATATATATATCTAAAAAATACTAAGATGATAACATTAATCTAATATATAATATATATATACAAATTGAAATTTCTTGTTATTGAATATATATTCTATATATCTTGTAGTAATAGATATAATAAGCAACACTTTAAAGCAAGGGAAAGACAAAGATAGTGTTAGTGCACACAGCAGGCTACAAACTCAAAAGCACAATGAAAAAACAAAATTGACCGAAGGTTGACTGCTGACTCGGTTGGGTAGGTGAAAAGTGCACCAAAAAAAATCGTGAGAGATTTCTCTCTCCCTCTCTCACAGCTGCAAGTCTCGTGACAAGGTCAGCAGCTGATCGAAAGGTACGTTTTAGATTTTTGTCAATGCAAATTGTTTATTGGGTATCTCTCAAGATTGTGGTGTGGTGTGGGTTTGATTGGGCGTCCAATCCAATCATCACGATCTAACAATGTGCAATGATGACTCACATTTGCATCCCCTCTCCTCATGGATCACTACTACTGATCGTACCATTGTCTTGATTAGTAGTAGTTGTTGTATTAGTGTTGTTGATGTCATCGATTGTGACTGGACTGCCAATTGGTTGCATTTCAATTGAAATTTGGGTGTTGTTGTTGTTGTTGCTAGCAGACGTTGTTGTTGTAGAGGTTGTTATTATTGTTGAGGGTTGTTTGTCATTATTATTGTTGTTGTTCTTTCTTTGTTTACCAAGTTTAATGACAGAGACGGTTGAAGAGGTATTGTCTTTGTTGGAAGAGTCATTACTACTAGAGTTGGAAGAGGTTGATGATGTTGGATCGTTGGAGCGTTTGTTGTTGTTGTTGTTGTTGTTGGATCGGATAAATGAAGATTGTTGTGATGACAGTGGATGTGGTTGTTGGGGATATTTGTAGGCTTTGACAACCGATGGATTGATAGGACGTAGTGTAAAGTAGTTCCAAGGTATCTCGGCAATAGCAATCATCTCAACGATAGCTTCAGTCGTCTCAAAGACAAACGACAAAAAGTTTGACAGATGACGCCAATTATTGTTGGTTGGGATCTTTAAAATGATGGCAAAGATCAAGTCACGGATGAGTACAGCCACCACAAGACCAATCGATACTAAAGCCAGAAACTTGATAGAAAAGACTACTTTGGCAGGTGCCTTACTTCTCTTTTTAGAACTTGTCATCATCCTACTGAGTATGAGACCAAACGAAGCATACATAGTTCCCAACACAACCAATATAATCAAGAATCCAATTGTAAAATATCTATCAGCATGTGTCGGTGAATAAATGGCAACAAATATATTACCTAGTGTAAATAAAAAACATGCTATCCAAATCAATATTGAATAACTAAATATTCTTTTTGATGTCTAAAATCAAATCAAATCAAATTAAATAAAATAAATAATTAATTTAAATCTCTTTTGGATTTTTGTATAATTAAATGTCAACATTACCTCCATTCTAACTCTTTTAGCAATATATAAAGTAAAGAGTAATTGCATCCAAAAACTACCAATGAATATCCAAGATTGTAGAGTAAAAAAAGTGACAAACATTCTAACAAAAACAGTTGAAGATGTAAATCCTTGATCTTTGGTTTCTATAAATACTCCAGTATAAACAATTCTTACTTGAATATATTTAAGTAAATAATAAGTAAGTACTTTTTGTTACAGGCTGAAGAGTATTGTTTTACTTACAAGCAAGGAATATAGAGATTCCAAGTAAAACAAGGAATCTAGGATTAATGACATTACGCCAATGTTGGTATTTAATCTCATAGAATGTTTGAACAGAAGCAGAAAAACTAATGGCAGCAGACACCACGATTCTAAATACCAAAAAGGCTAAAACTAGTTTATCAAGTGAATCATTCTCTGTAAATGAGTTTGGTGTAATCATTTAATCTACTATCTCCGATACTCTATCTATACTTATTATACAATTCTTGTTATTGTTTTTTAAAAAAGGTGATCTTTAAAATATTATTATTAATCACATAAATAAATAATAATGTACTCTGTTGTGTTCTTCTGATTAGTTGTTGTAAAGATAAAAATAGATGTTGATGTATTTGTTGAAAATTTAAAGATATAAATAAACTCTGATGATGAATGGTGAAGATGATGAACTTATTTATTTTTAAACATTAGAAAGAAGGAGGGGTTGGGCTGATTAGATGAAATCGAATGGTGGTGTATCGGGTTGTGTGTGAAAGTAGTTTTGAGTGTTTTTGTTGAATTCGTTCAATTATTTAATATTGTATCCCAAGACCATCATCATCGACTTAAGATCACCCATTGCATGCAGTGAGAGTGGGTCGAGTGTCGCTTCGAATTCATTTGGTTTTAATTTAGCGGGCGGGCGAACTTTCAAAATTCGAAAAAATAAGATACAATCGATTTAAAAGGAAACTAACTAACTAATCGTATCTCATTAATTTATCTGTACAATATTGAATTCAAAAGTATTGTATTCATTCATACATAATGAATAGAAATAATCATCATCATCAAAAGAGAAAGAAAGAAAAGGAAATAGAGGAACAAGAACAACAAGTCAATGATGGAGATGATGAGATAGAAGAAGAATCAATAACAACTGAAATCTCAGTTGTTAGTAACAAAGAAGCATTATCAGCATTCCTTCAAAACAAACCTAAAGAGTTTATAGACTTTCTAGTTGACAATAATATACCACAAGATTCATATGACATCAATCTAGATGATCTACCTAGATTCATTAGATTAAACAATCGTCTCATACTTGAAGATGGTCATCATCAAGATGGTCATCATGATACCAAACAACAAACAGTCAAACAAATTGAACAAGAACTTAAAACACCTTTAAAAGAATTGGCATGGTTACCAAACTTTTATCAATTAAAGTCTACTGTTGGTATATCTTCTTCACCTAGGTATGTACAAATATGTCAGAATGATTTGATTTGATGACATGTGTATTAACATTACATTATCGTCTATATATTATAATAGTTATAAAAAAGGAATAATGTATGGAATGGATGCAAGTAGTGGAGCAGCTATACTTGCATTGGATCCACAACCAGGTGACAATGTATTGGATATATGTTGTGCACCTGGAACCAAGTTTTGTATGATTGCCGATTTGATCAAGGGACAGGGATCAGTGACTGGTGTCGATATATCACCAAGTAGACTTGGTTCATGTAAGACTGTCATCAAAAAATACAAAATACCAAAGGCTAGATTGTTTCAATGTGATGCTACAACATTCAATATAAAAGCACCATCTTCTTTGGATCCATTACCTCATTTATCAGATACAAATGTAAAAAAGAGATTAAAAAAGAAACAAAAAAATGATAAAGAACAAGATAAAGAAAATGTAAATGGAGAAGGAGAAGAAGAAGAAGAGAAAGAATTGGAAAATACAACAACAACAACAAATATAGAAAAGAAAAGAAAATCAAAAAAGAATACGAAAAAGATTAAATATGATTTACCGGATTTATATTTCAGTACAGATTACTTTATGAGATATTCCAATTCATTGTACTATGATAGAGTTATAGTTGATGCAGAGTGTAGTTTGGATGCATCAATACGTCATTTAATTCAATATAGTAAAATTGGAAGGAATTTCATTCCATCAGAATTGACTGAATTAACAAATTTACAGGTATCTATTATAAATATATATATATATATATATCTATTCGACAACAAAAAGATACTAAATTAAATTTATTATTATTTTTGAAGAAAAAACTATTACAAACAGGATTTAATTTATTAAAAGAAGGTGGAGTTTTAGTTTATAGTACATGTAGTTTTTGTAAAGCAGAGAATGAAGATGTTGTAACTTGGTTACTTGAAAATAATCCAAATAGTCAACTTGAACCTTGTTTTGGTGATACTGACAGAGACACTGAAAGTGATGGAGATGGACAATCAAATCAAAATATAACAGTTGTTCCATTTAGTAGAGGTTATATTAAACATACATATAGATTTTATCCGAAAAATGGTACAAGTGGAATGTTTATAGCTAGAATTGTAAAGATGAAATCAACGACAACAACCACTAATTAAAAATACAAGACAGCAACAACTTTCAATTTAATTGTTACATATTTAAATATTTGATATATAATAATACATTTATTTTTATTTAAAAAAACATCCTAGCTATTTGTTATTGTTATTATTTGCTTGGTAGTAAGTAAGTTGAGTAGAATAGAATAGAAAAAAAAAAAAAGACCTAGAAAGAGTTATTTAAATCCCTTTCCATAATTATTATTATTGTTGTTGACATTTATACAAATTTTTGATTGATTAAACTAACTATTATTAATATTATTAGATGATTATATTATTATTATTAATCCCATTATATCTATCTACTTATTTTGAAATAGATGATCTACGTTCTTCTTTTGCTTTTAAATGTAATTTTAATTCATTTTGGAAAGCAATATTTGTACCACTTGAAGAAAGTGATTGTGGAGCCAATGGACTATGTTGACCACTACCACTTCCACTATTTGATGATTTTTGGGTATTTGTTGGAACATTACTACTACTCTTTGATTTGGAAAGAGCAATAGTCTTTGTTGCTTTCTTTGGTGATAGGTTTGGAGAAGATGATTGGGATTGGGATTGAGATTGTTCGTTTGATTTAGATGTCGAGGATGATATACTACCGTTACTATCACATCTTACAAGATGTTTGTTTATAATAATCTTGGGTGAAGACATTGATAGTTGATTTCGAGATGGATGAGGTTGATGTTGTTGCATCATTGTTGGAGTTAATGAACGACCATTATTATTATTGATAGAGTTGTTAGACGACAATGACAATGGTGATGGAGATGGAGAGATGGTGGTGGTGGTGCTACCTGCGCCATTCGGAGACGATGATGCAGAGGTGGTGGTAATTGTTGGTACAGCCAATGATGACCCAGTGGAATGCTTTAGTAGCGAGGCCGGGGATCTTGGTGGAGGGGTTGGTTTGGCCTTGACAATACTAATATTGCTAATGGCACTGTTGGTAGGTTTGGAAAATGTAATGGATAAAAGAGATGTCGACCGAGGTGAAGATGGTAATGATGATGCAGTAGTAGTACTATGGGTTGGTGACCCACAAGACATGTTTCGTGGTGATGGTGTATTTAGTTGTCGGTTTGTCGTATAACAAATGTTTGGAGTTGGAGTGGTAGTAGGGTATTCAGTATCGGCCATACAGTCCAAACTATTGGTCGAATTAGTTCTTTCTAAAACTAGAATACCACTATTACTAATAATTGATTTTTCATTATTATTATTATTGTTGTTGGTGTTGATTGGTTTAATTCTATTATTACTATTTTTGTTGTTATTATTATTATTATTATTTACAATATCGATAATTTCTTGACATTCTTTAAGTTCATCCAAAGTAACTTGCATCTTTTTATATTTTTCGACTGCAATTGAGGATGATGATAATGAAGCAGATCCTTGGTCGTTGGATCCTAATGACATTGATCGAATTCTTGTTAACTCTTCCTCTTCTTCTTCTTCCTCTCCTTCATCTTCATCCATTTCAACAGCAGATGAATAATAGTCGTCAAGTATTTCTTGAGCTCTTTCTTCTTCGTCTACTTCCATGATACCTTCATTTTCCTTGTCTAGGTTATATGAATGTTTCTTTAACAATGTAAAGTGGTGAGGATTGGTACTGGATCGAGTGCCGGCACGTGGGAGTGTCAATGCTTTGACGTTTTTGGTTTCAACAGACGACTGAACAGATGCTTCAGTTTTTGGTACAGGAACCGAGGGAGACGACCAAGACCGAAACCGATGTTTCGAGTTGTGATCGTTAAAAGTCTCTTCCAAACCAGTATCATTGTCCTTGATACCTAGTGGTCGCTTTAGTAGCTGTTTGGAGCTGATCGACTTGGTCGTTGGCGAATGAATCAATCGGTCACGTTTATGTTCCTCCATCTCGATTTGTTCGGTCATGAGGAAATAATCCTTGTTGGAGACTCGGTCGCGTAGCAAGTGTATTTCATTGGGCACCTTTTGGATACCATTCGTAATAGAGTGACCCACATTTTGTATACCATTGATTAGATTGTTGGTCGAGTTTTGGAATGCACCACTCTGATGAATCGTACCATTCCGCAAGACATAATGATTGCCATGGCTATTTGGTGGTCCTCCAAGATCCAATTGGATACCATTATATTGTTCATCCATAATCACCATTTTTCACAAATTATAATATTATTATTGGAGTAGTAGAAATTGGTTACTTGAAATTTGGAATGGAAGAAAAAGAAAAAAAAATATCTTTTAGATTTTATATGTATATAAATAAAATAAAATGAATTAATTATTAATACAATGAATAAATAAATAATATATATTAAAATATTATCTCTTTAATATCTTTTTTGTGATATAAAGATGTGGTAGTGGTGAACGATATTGTGTTGTGAAGGAAATGAATATTAAATAATATAATGTAATGTGTGAAAGTTATTTATTTAAAACAAACTATGTTGGACAAGAAAAAAAAAGAGTGTTATATATATGGTTGTTTTTTTTAGATTTAGGAAAGATGGATAGATAGTTTGATAATTCGACACTCTTTTATAATTTTGCTGTTCGTTGGGTTTGTGTATGGTAATATTGAACGATGAAGATATGGATAGATAGATAGGATAGATAGAGATTCTTTTGTAAAAAAAATAATTTAAAAATAAAGTTGGTGTACTGTACTGCTTACTAAATGTTTGTTCACTGTGTTGCTCTCTGGGTAAATATAATACTTGTTATATATAACACCCCTACCGCTGCCTGCAAACAAGGTGTTGCTTACGTCGTTTTCCTCCTCCACCCCCGAGTGAACAAGCAATGGAACAGGACAAATATAGAGGTTGAATTTCAATAAGCAGCCTCTGGACAATATTGTGTGAAGACGGACAAGAAGAGGTGGATGATGGATGACAAACGAGATCAACAATGGTAAAAATTAGACAAATATGGTAATCCAAATAAAAAAAAAACGGCGACAATAAACAAAAACAGTAGTTTTGCGCAATCGTTTAATTGAATACCTCGAGGATGGAAAATAAAAAAAACTACAATGGAATTGAACAAGTTGTTGTTGTTGATGCGATACTTTAGTACTAAAGTATGTTGTATGAAAGTGGATGAATCTATCTTTCTATCTATCTATCTTTAAAATAGCAAACTGTTTGATGATTGATTTTAATTATCTTTCTTTAAACTCACTTTCAATTGAACATCAGGTGTCAGAAGTATTTGTAGTCTAAGTAGTAGTTCTTATAGGAATTTAATTGTTACAACATATATTTATAGAGTAGATAAATTAAACAAAAAGTGAGATGATGAACAAGGATTTGTTGTTTGACTGCAAACATTAATGTTTGAAGTTTATATTTTTAGCTCTTCTTCTCTCTCACTTTTGAATTGTTTTGTTGCGTGGTAAATGTATGGATGGATGACTGTTGAAGAGTGTCTTTTGTTTTTTTTCATTCACTTTCTGCAACAACACAATGTATATTTATATATATTGATAAAGGAAGAGGAAGGATAGAGAGAGCTGGGAGATAAGTACTTTAAAACGCTCACACACAAAACACAAAAGGTGGAAAAAGAGAGAGATAAATACTTGAAGACAAAGGATGAAATGAATCGTATCATGGTTTTGGATGGAATATTTTGGTGTCAGTCAATGAACACAAAACACTCTCTCTATCTCACACACACAAACACAACCTACCTCTGTCTGTCCTCTTTTAAAACAAATTTTTAGATCTAGTTTTATCTCTCCCTGTCATAACACAAGAGAGGAGAGGTGGTGGTATGGTACTGGATTGGAGTGAGTGGTTGTTGTAAAAGAAAGACAAGGTCTTGTGAACCAAGTGTTTTTAGGGTTTTGAATGGGTTGTTGACAATCAATAAATAAATACAAAAAATGTAGATGATAGAATGAATGTGTGTGACCGTATAACCCTCTTAGATGGGCTAATAATAATAATATTTCTTACCTTTCTTTTTTTTTTTTTAAGTTTACTTGATTGTGTTTCCTATGCCAACAAAAAACTACTAAACTATACTTATTAATAATTATAATAATTATAATAAATACACAACTAACTAGTCTATTAGATATTTAAATATATATTAGAAATAAATAAAATGAATGATTTATTAGTTTGTGTGTGGGTGATGGGGAAAAGATGAGAATGATGATGATGAAGGGATGGGAAACTAGGCTGTCGGTTATGTGTGTGTGTCGTTTAATCACTTTTAGTTTAGTGCCTATATTATATTATAGAGTAGATATCTATATCACCCTGATGTAAAATAATTAAAAGAAAAAAAACAATTGATTTGGGGACAAACAACAATGCAACTGTTTTCGGACCTTCTAATAAATACTTGAAAGGAAAAAACTAAAAGTCGAATGATGATGATGATGATGTTTGCTGGTGTGTTTGGATGCTTGCTTGTCAACAACGACGATGATATTTTTTGTATTGTAGCCTACCCCTTCTAATGTAACATAATAAGCTAGCTGAGCTGGGTGGTACTGTCAGAATCCTACTTTACTGTGTTGTGTTGAATGGAGTGTGTGTGGTACTGCTTGCCAGAGTTGTGTTTAAAAATAATTTAAAAAAAAAAAAAAAAAAAAAACAATGATTGATTGCGAAGAGGATTTATCTGAATTGATCGTGAATGAATGTGAAACATATGTCCCTGAGGAATGGGTGACGGGTGACCACCACCAAAAGTCTAAACTTACCGAGACACAAAATGACTGACAAACTAATTTTTTTTTTGTCGGTTGGCTAAGGCTCCACTTGTTGTGGTTATTTAAATCTCTACTTTGAATATTTGACAATGAAAATGAAACCCAAAGGTTCCAAGTTTAGAGGGTGTTGGTTAATCAAGACGATTATTGTTTTTATGTGGTGAGGCATATGACTCGACTGCTGGCAGATATTTTTTTAAATTGGTCACCCCCGACCTACAATATAGAGGGTGACCAACAACTGTGCAGGTTTTTCAAAAAAATCAACATCGTTGACTGAAGATGGAAATTGCAATTTGTTGTCGGTTACCTCACCTCCTACTAAATTACAAAATAGATATCAATTGATAAGCACCACCCACAGGAATGATACCCTATGGTGGTTGGATATTTTTAAACTAGTATACACCTCCTAATACAAACTTGTTGACCAGTTTGCTCGTGTTTGTTGAAAACAATCTTTTGAAGTTTGGAGAATATGTGATGATAATGTTTACAATCAATCCCCTTCATTTCATTTCCTTGGTTTGTTCATCTAGCATCTCAATGACTCAATCCGCTCTAGAAACTAAACACCACCACCAATGGCAAACTTAAAAGTGATATGTGTTTTACCAAGATGGAAATGAACTATTTTAAAAAAAGTTACCATATCTTGTGCTACTCCTATATCCTATTAAAATAAACATATTGTTACTTTTGGGAATTGTGTGTGTAAACAGATAAATTATAAATTACCTCTGATGATTGAATGATTCATCGAAGTGAGTGGCAATAAGTGAGCGAGGGTGATTTAAACCATGAAATAATACCTACAAGTGTGGTGTGTATCTAGTGATAGATCAGAATATCATTTATGTGTTGTGTTTCACCCACTGTTGTTTTTTCAACTGTTTACTCTTGAGTGGTGTTTAGCTGAAGTTCATTGTTGTTGATTGATGATGTGGATTGAATTTCAAATAAAATACTACTCCTGTTTTCGACAACCTCCTAGTTGTTGATTATTTTTTTGGTTTGTGTCTTTAATGACATGACTTGTATTTGAATTGTTGTGTTGCTTTGTTGATGATCATCCAAATGACGACTTTAGATTTTAAAATTGTATCGAGTTTGAAATGGCATTTGATAGAGTTGGGTACATATTCTGATTTGAACAAACAATACCAACATTATTTGACAATAATCTGCCAACAGAATAATCCAACTTGTTGCCTTTGAAATCTCTGACAATACCTCCAGCTTCTTCTACCACAATCTGACCTGCTGCATGATCCCAAATACATTCCTTGTAATTGACGTCGGTTAATCTAACATAGACATCACTATCACCTCTTGCTACCATTGCATATTTACATTGACTATCAATCCTAAAATAAAATAAAATAAACCAAATAAATATATTAATATTAATTTGTTTCTTTTTCTCTTTTCTCTTTTCTCTTTTCCATTCTCTTACTTTAAAGCATCTTTAGTTACACCCATATGAGTTGAAATCTTTTTGTTTAATTCATGACCAAAACCTCTTGATACAAAGCTTTCTGTAAAGATTGCTTGCGATGGATCTGATTTGGAAGAGACGTTGATTTGTTGTTCAGCGTCACTGCCCAATGCGATCATAAAGGAACCTCTTCCTCGCTGAGCAACAAAGATGCAACCCTTTGGTGAGGATGGGTTGTGTGTTTCCAATGGCAACGAGGGGCATCCCAACACACCCAAGACAGGTTCATTGTCCTCCATGAGTGCAAGTGCAATAGCATACTGATCGCGACGCAAGAATCCCAACGTTCCATCGATCGGGTCCAAAGTCCACCATCTCTTTGTAGCAGGTTGCTTGATACGTCCCTTGTCCAAGACAACCGACAACTCTGTCTCGTCGATCGTAGACTTTCTATCTTGTTGTGCAAACTGCTTAAAGAACTGCAACACCTTTGCTTGGACGAGTGGTTGTTGAGCGAGTGTGTCGGCATCCTCTTCTGCTACAAAGTCGTATTCAGTTGATCCGTCCATCTCTTTGGTCATTCTTGATAGCTCGTCGATGATCAGTGCTTGCACAGTGTAGTCTCCGACAGTGACGGGAGACTTGTCATTCTTGCTGATGGTTTCGTCATTGACCAACGATGATTGTATTTCAACACATGCTACGCATGCTCTCTTGACTGCTTCAAGTGCAACCTTTCTTAATTGATTTAAACATAAACTACTAGTAATAGGAATCGACATGATATTTTATAAAAAAATAATGTATTACCTTTCTATTTTTGCAAGGTCTTATTCAACCCAAAATTAGAACTTCAAATTTTTTTAAAGATAAATTTTTGTCGAATGTGTACACTGGTCGAACTTGTAAATGGGCGATGAAAATAGATTGATTGGAGGGATGGTCGGTTTTTTTTTTTTTTTTTGATAATAGCAATACGTTGTCTAACCTTTGAATTCATTCACCTACACTTAATATTATACAAATACACATTTTAACAATATCAAATAGTTATAGAAAATTATAATGAAGAAAACTCAAACGAAATTTAAAAATTATTGCAAAGCTCATCATCTTTGTTACTTTGGTATAGACTGCAAAGATAAAGCGAAGTGCCACAACAATAACAGATCACACATATGTGTTTATGAGCGTCAGTATCTTTGTTCCCAAACAAGAGAATGGTGCATATTTGATCATTTGGAGGATATTGATAGTGCACCCATACCTCAAGGACCAAATCCGGTACAGGCCAATTTCGCTCCTCTCTCCAGCTCCTCAGATCATATCACCGAGGATAAAAAACGAATAGAGTCTATTGCTAGTATCAAAGAATGCGTCTCTCAACCCTCAAAACATTTGTCCTCAACTACTGAAGATCAGCCCAATCACCAACAAAAAAGTCCAGATGTTATGCATAACACCACTAGCACCAGTTCACAACAAACATCCAACATCTCGTCCAAACAATCTCCTTTAACGCCATCGACTGGTTCAGGATCTAGAAAAACCAATAGTAAATTCAAACCAATCCAATGCAAAGAGGCAGATCGAATCAAGTCAATTTTAGGTGAATTAAGTTCCGAGATGGATTATTCTTTAATGGTCAAATATCAAAATAATCCACATTTTGTTTGCTATTTGGCATTGGTTTCAAATTTATATGTAAAAGGTGGAAAAGAAAGATCTGATCCTTACCTTCAATGTATGTTAATAATATTTTAATAATGGTTTGTTTCCTTCCTCTCTAATGAAAATTTTCAACAGCACAAAACAGAGAGAATATCGAGAAAGAGTGGGAAATTCGTTCAACAACATGCGGAGAATTATCTCAACCCGCATATGATTGCATCAAGTCAATCAACAAGAAGTGGTGGGTCGATATTCATCCTCTTGAATTGAAAGAAACTAAAGATGAATATAATCCAGAGAGAATTGTTCCAAAGGTCTCTGTTTGTGACCAACACTTCCAAGAGATTAATTTTTCTTTCCCTCCAGGTCTAAAAATCAATATTTCAATCGTCCAATCGGACCCAATGAGTCCAAAGCATCTGGCAAAAAATGTATCTGGTACCAGGGATTGTATATCATTTAAAAACATGAACGAAAAAATGAAAGAGATATTCGGTTGGAGAGATCCCAAATCTCCATATTCATTTTCGATTACAGATATTTATCCATTTGTAAATAATAGGTATGAAGAATTAATTATAAAAAGAAATTTGTTTTTTTTTAACTAATAAATATTTAAAATATCTAATTATTAAATAGTAAAATTGGAATCCCAGGTGATGGTCTCCAGCACATGATAAATAGAGCCATTGAAATTGTTAAAAGCAAACCGAGAATCATTCTTCTATGTGGTAGGGCCCCACAAAACATCTTTAGATATCATTTCAAAATTGAAGACAAACAAGATTTTTACTTTATCAACAATGGAGCTGAAAGAATCTTGGTTGTAGAGTCGTATCATTTCTCGAGAATTAATTTACGAAATAGAGAGAAAAGTTTTGCTAATAAAATGGAGAGAGTAAAGAATTACCTAAAGACTGGAGAGATGGTTTCGGTGAATGAAACTCTACAACAAATAACAAAGAGAGGTGGGGGTCCCTCCCGATTTGTGAACCTCCTCAAAGAAAAGGTTAACCTAGTTACTATTTCACAACCAAAACCAGATCCAAAGGATTCAAAATCCAATATTTTAAAGGGCCAATCCGATAAAACCAAAGATACTCAAAGTATAGACACAAACATTGATGGACTCAGTTCTCAAATTTCCTCAAAGTCCCAAACCAGTGACTTTGGACACCAAATAGACAACAATTGCTTTGGGAACCAAACAGACAATGGCTCTGGGCATCAAACAGACAACAATGGGTTGAGACACCAAAGAGAAGGGCTTAACAACAATACCAATTTTTACAATCCCCCTGTATCTAAACCCTCAACACCACTGAATGGGTCTGCTTTTGTCAACCTAAATGGTTTCAATCCTCCAACCCAATTATCCACGACAGAGGAAAATCTGAAACTAGACTTTTCCCAAGTGAATCCAAAAGAAATCAATGTCCCATCCTATTCTAATCGATTAAATAATAATAATAATAATAATAATAATAATAATAATAATAATAATAATAATAATAATAATAGTAATAATAATAATAATAATAGTAATGGTAAAAGTAATAATCCCATCATACACAACTATATTGAAAATATGGATAATCTTACTTCTGACTTTGGTCAAAAATTACTGATTTCGAAACCCAAATCAGACTCAGAGGATTCTTATTCAAATTCCAATGTTTTGGATAATGCCATTGATAATAATAAGAATAATAGTGTCATAGACACCAATGGCTTTGGACCCATTAACAATTCCTCTGTATCTCAAACCTCAGCACCACTGAATGGGTCTACTTCTGTCGATCCTCCAACCCCATATTCCACGACAGGAAAGATTCCTCCAGACCAAAATGCATTTAACAATAATTCTCGAAGAGGTCCAACAGGTCCAACAGGACCCAGAGCATTAAATTCCCCTCCTTCAGCAGACAAGACTTATGTGAAAATTGGTAACGGTGACAAATACCATTACATAGCCAGAGATGGACAACGTACGTTTTGTGGTGAATTTAAAGTTGGAGCGGCCCGATACCGATCTCCAGCAGGAGATATTTGCAAGAGCTGTCAATCGTCACCCGATCAAAATAGGTAGATCACCATCATCTAGGTATTAAATAAAGAAATAATATTGTTTTTATAAAGTTTTTAAAGGATTAAGTAAACTATCAGTTTCCAAAGATGGTTTTGAATGTATGGTTGGCGAATGAATTGGAGTTCTAAGGTTGTCATTGATTTTGGCTTCACCGCGAGACACTGAAATTTGAGAAGAGAGTTTGAGGAGATCGAGCCACCATTGCTTTTGTGGACGACGATACTTGTGGTTGATGCCTTCAGACATTTCTTGGAGAGGAGTGAAAACAATTTTTCCCTTGATAAAGCCGATGCATCCTGAAAGATCGGTTTGGCGATTGTCAATGACCTCGGTTTGAAGGAGTTGGAAGAAATGGTACATGAGACGAGACGCGTTGAGACGGTCGAGTGGCGAGGGGATACCACCCTGTTGAAGATGGCCGAGGATAGACTCACGTACATCAAACAGGTGCTTACCCTCTTCTTTGAAGAGTTCATAGATGAATTTGGTAGAGTAGGTTTCAGAGGCACTTTCACTCTTGATGATGAGACCAATCTTGTGTTCACGCTTGAAACGGTCGACAAACATGTTGAGATCGTCTACGAGCGTGTTGATGGTGATACCCTCTTCCATGGTATAGGCACGTTCGGCACCACTAGTCAATGCAGCCATCGAGCATAGGTAACCGCAGTGGGCACCCATCACCTCGACTACAAACAGACGGCGACTGGCGACAGCCGACTGCTTGATCTTGTCGAGTGCGTCCAAGATGTTGTTGAGACATGTGTCGGCACCAATCGATGTTTCCGTGCCTGGCACGTTGTTGGCAATGGTACCTGGTGCGCACACCAACGCCACCTTTTGCAAGTACGAGTATTTGGCACGGAACTTGGCCAACTCGGTGATACCAACATAACCATTGTACCCACCAAACATGCAGATGGCGCCAATATTGTTGTCTTGCAATGTCTTGATGATCGCGGCAATATTGGATTCGTTAGGGGTCGAACGGTTGGTGCCCAGCTCGGCACCACCCATCACCGACCACCCATTACAAGTCATCCATGTCAACTCTTGCAAGTCACCCTTGGCCAGACCCGAGAACCCGTTAAACACACCAAACACACGGTACCCTAGATCGATACCAAGTCTTGTAAACGCACGGACTGCTGGATTCATACCCGGCGATGGTCCACCGCTATGGAGGATCGCAACGTTGAACCCCTTCTTGGCGACTGGTGATCGTTTCAAATTGGCACAAATGTTGAATATAGTGTGTGCCTCTTGAAAGATACCACCTCTGAGCTTGACAACATCGGCAAACTTCTTTTCTCTGATCAATGCGCCGATTGCCTGTGTCTCCTTGACTGCCTCCATCAAGGGAGCACGCACCACACGGTTACCGTGCATACCAATCAACACGGGTTCCAATATATTACCATTGTAGAGATAATTGACTGCTTCAACAGCCATTCTAGTCGATACATAACGATCGCAAAACGATGGGATACCACCTCTCTGCACATGTCCAAGAATGGTGATTCTAGCATCATGACCAGCCTTTTTCTCGAGTACATCTCTAACATAACCCGGTGAGATTGGCTTTCCATTGCTATCGATGGATCCTTCGGCGACAATCACCAAACTACATCTTCTTCCCGACAATCTACCCTTTTCCAAACTCTCCACCATTGCATTCTCCCATCCTTCCTCTGGTGGACATTCTGGTAAAAGAATATAATCTGCACCAGTTGTTAATCCACTAACTAATGCTAACCACTAAATAATAATAATAATAAATAAACAATCAAATAATTAATAATTAATATTTAATATAGATATTTGGATAGTTTCTACATACACCACAATTTCTACCCATAACTTCAATGACAAAACTTCTTTGATGACTAACAGCTGTACTGAGGATAGCATCGATAGCTTCCAAGATTCTGTGACAAGCAGTATCAGCACCGATTGTGATTTCAGTACCACACATATCATTGTCGATAGAACCAACCAAACCAACGATGCCAAGTGTTTCATGTGTCTTGAAGGTCTCCTCATCGATTGCCTTGTCTTCAACCAACTCTTTCAAAAGACTAGCCCATTCACATCGAAGTAGATTGGCACCTGTCAAACTACCATCACCTCCAATCACCAATAGATTATTAATCTTGTTCTTGATCAAATTAAATGCTGCTTTCTTTCTACCTTCTCTTGTTCTAAATTCTACACTTCTTGCTGTACCAATAATAGTTCCTCCCTAATTCAAATCAATCAAATCAAATTAGAATTTAATTTAATTCTCTATATATTATATTAAACATACTCTATTAATAATACCAGCAACAGAACCCCAATGTAATGGAATGATAGAATCAGTTACCAAACCATTGTAACCTTCACGAACAGCAAATACTTGAGCACCTTTAATGAGAGCAGCTCTAGTAAAGGCACGAATAGCAGGATTCATACCACAACTATCACCACCTGATGTGAGAATAGCTATTCTCTTCTTTTCACTGCTCTTGTCATATGTAAAATCTACAATCTTTTCTTCTTCTTCCATTTTATATATATATTAATTTGTTGTAGAAGAAGAACTACTTTAATACTCTTTTAATAATTATTATATTACAAAAGCACTGTATTGATCAATGAAAAACTGACACACCATTGATGAAGGTTGCAAAAAAAAAAGAAAATAATATATTGCCAGGTCTTGAAGTTCATTGTTTTTGGCATAATCAATCGAACAATTTTTCCGCATTAGGCAATGATCTTGTATGTCACTACTGTAACGTCATGTGATAGTCTGCTGACCTTCGAACATTACACAATGTTTATGAAAAAAAAATGGGAAATATTTATTTAAGTTGATTTACAATATGATTCTTCTTCTTTATATATATGTATAATTGATATGATTTGTTTGTACTTCTTCTTTACACATAGAGAGAGGAGAGGGACAGATACACTAATTATTTTCAAAATAATTGAAGAATTGGTTTGTTTTGTTGTTGATTTGATTGTTTTTTTTTAGAAAGGTTTAGGTTCCTTTAAATTGGCAAGTTCAGCATTGAGATTATTGATTGTTTTTGCCATTTTGAATTGTGCATCGCTATTTGATTTACAATCTTCCAACCACTTGTCACACTGTTGTTTGATCTTTTGGCGCTGGTAGTAAAAGTGAGCGTGAATAATATCCTTAAAGTAGGCGGGTGGCTTTTTGATCATGTCGACCATAGCCCACTCGATTGCGGCAATACGAATGGTCGAGTTGTAGTTGAGAGAGGATGCACGACCTTGAGCCGATCCCATCTGTGTCTCATAACCCGGTTCGTTAAAGAAAGGCTCTGGAACGAGAATCAACGACTGGATAGAGACAAGCACCTGAAGTAGAGTACTGGTGTTGGGGTTCCAATTCTCACCTTCTCCACCTGACCATGTACCGAGGAGTGACAAACACACCTTTCCGCTATTGTATAGGTTGGGGTTGAAACGAACAGTACCACCTCCAGTAGTGAGCAAAGTGACGTGTGGAGGTGCAGCGGGATAGTTGGCGGGGAATGTAATGTGGAAGAGGAAGCAGCCAGCACTGTACGGTGTGTCGGCTGGCCCTGTGATGAGTGCTTCCATAGTGTCCATGTGGTTCTCGTCAACACGTACAAAGACAGAAGAGTCAAAAGTGAGCGGAAGCGAGTGCACCAAACCACCCTGCTCTTGTGCAATACGAAGGATTCTTGATTGACTGTTTGAAGAAGATGTCTTGGCACCCAAATTAGCCATCTCAAACATGTGTGACTTTAATAGATTACAATACTTGGTGTCGACTGCTGTATCCACCTCTCCTGGAATTCGCAGTTGCACTGCTCTTGCACTTTCCAATTTTCTCAACTCATCCATCATTGATTTCAATTTCGTCTGAACCTTTTTATTTACAACTAACATTAAACTTTGAGCTTTTAATGCTTTTCTCCTACAAAAATAATAATATAAATATTAGTAATCCATTAATCCATTAATATATTAATCTTTCAATTTATACATACTGAGTTTCATCTAAAACTTTGAATACAATTTCAATTTGAGTTCCTGCAATAGCTAGGAATTCACCTAATGATTTTGTCTATAAATTAAAATTAATATTCAATTAATACATATGTAACTTTTGAATTTTAAAATATTATTGATATTCATACTTGATAAGATAATTGAGAGAATAATGGAACAAATGATTCATAATCTACAAGAGTTTCGATTAAAGTAAATATTGATATAAATAGATCTGAATGTCTTTCAACGTCAAGAGGAGCAATATCTCTGCAATAGCTTTCAAAGAATGGGATGAGACATGATTCTTCCAAGACATCAAAGTTTGGTTGATTTTTTTTGACTTCCATCTCGATGGCATTGATGAGCGAAATTGTTTCAGAGTCACGTTCCTTTTGAGCGGCAACAAATGCTTCGACATTCCATCCCTGTGTTCCTCCACGTCCATAACCGGTGCCCTTTGCCCAGTATTGGCCCTTTGCGTCTTTGGGTTGATCGGCCTTTTGCTTGGTGATGACATTTGCAGGCTTGACAATACTCGATGGCAAACCATACTTTAGATTCGCACGTGGTACAATGTTACTGAGCAATTCCAAACGGAGCAAATAATGCTCAATCAAAGAATATGAACCAGAGTTTTGTAAGGAATTGAGTGGGTTGTTGACGTCCAGTTGTGCGTATTTCTCTAGAACCTCTTTAAGATGATTCAATACAAATCTCATATCACAAATTGGATTCCAATTTTCAAGTGTAAGTATTTCTAAATGTGCAATCTAAAAAAAGTAAAAAAAAAAAAAAGAAAAGAAATATTAATATTAATATTTCTTATTTATAATAATGGATTTATATTTTGTGGAGATTGAATAATTTAATTAAAACATACCTTTCCAATCATGAATCCTTGTAATCTAGGTCTAATAATTTTTAAAGTTGGTGGATAGAATGGATAAAGATCTTCTGTGAATAAAACTTGTAATTCGACATAGTCCTAACCATCATTAATTAAATAAATAAAGAGGTTGGTTAGTTTGTTTGTTTGTTTGTTAATAACATTTCATTTCCACCATGTTTAACATACATATTCAAATTCCTTTTTAACTTGTTGTAATTGTTGATGAATCTTTGATGATTGATCGAATCCAAATATTTTAACTTGCCACCAATAGATGTTATCGTCGATTGGTTGAGCAGAGAAACCCAATGAATGTACGTTTTGCATGATACTAAACAGATCGTTTGTCAAGATACCAAAAGCCGCATCACTACTGAAAATGTTCGATACCTTTGGATCCTTCTTTTTCTTTTCTCCAAGTTGTGCTCTAATCTCTTGTTCCTTTTTTGCCCATACTTTTTTCATCTTTAATGTTTGTAATCTAAACAATGGTTGAAATCATATATAAGTATTGGTATCATAAATATTTTTGGATCGCATGATCGTTTAAACATACGCTTCTTGGAATTCATCATTCTCAAATGCATCTTCTTCATCTTCTTCCATGTCATCTCCAAAGTCACCATCTTCGTCCATTTGATCTTCATCCTCATCTTCATTGTCAGAGTCGTCTTCATCTTCTTCTTGTCCATCATCATCTTGATCTACATCAATGGTAACCTTGTTACTGGCATTTCTCTTTTTAAATTTTCCACAATCAAAAATGAAAATAATAGAGAGAGAGAGAGTTAATTTCATGATAACAAGTGTATAGTTTGTTGTTTGTTTAAATGTTACACATACATTCCTGTAAAACTTGTAAGCTAAAGACAAGATATCACTAAAGGATGCAATATTGGTATTGAGCGGAATGTCTTCATTTAATTTGCTGATCCATCCTTCGCATGACTTTTCTTTTGAAATGAATTTCTACAATATAATATGATATGTATGATACGATCAGGTCTGATTAGTAACAAACTATAAAATCATCATCTTTCATTGATCAACCTACAAATGACTTTAAATCAGCTATATCGATAGGAAATGAAATATGAATTTCAAAGCCCATAAAGAGTAGCTCTACTGTACTCTTGGTGGACTGTAACCAAATGTATTCCTCTGGATTGTCTTGAGAGGTAGTCCATACCTCAAATTGTTTCTCAAGATTTCCTGCCATCTAATCTTATCTAATCTAATCTAATCTTTATATATATAGTTAGATGGTGATGGTTGATTGGTATGATGATATTTGTTGATGATGATACTACACCTCCTCTTTCTATCTGTCTATCTATCTATTATCTCTATTTGACGTATATTATCTGTACTATATTGCTATCTTTGAGAATGAATAAAGAAAAATTAAAAAGTCCCATTTTAGGAGTATTATTTTCAGTGATTAAAATTCAAGAGTTCACCCCCACAATCAATTAATAAGTTGAATGTTGCCATTTATTTTCGTTGTAATAAATATATGACCATCCAGATAATTTACTTTAACAATGGAATAGAATAGATGTAAATGGTTTGTAGATATAAATAAAAAGAAAAATAGTTTTTATTATCTATATAGTTTCTGGTTTTTTTTTGGACATGGATTATCAGGAGGTTATTATTGATTATTAATAGTATCTATCGTTTGTGTATGTGTGTATAATGAATAAAAAGCATTGTGTCTAGAATAATAGCTACAATGTGATTTATAACCGAATTGAATGGTTAACTATGTTGTTTTAAAAGATAAATAAATGTTGATGGTAGTTGGTTGGGTTTGGAGTTGGTTGAGTTGAGCTGGATATTATAATTAAATATATTAATGATAAATTGGATCTAAATAATAAAATATTCTATTTGGATCCAATCTTGTTAGGAAATCGATTGGCAAATAGGTTTCTTTGACTTCTACCAAAATAAAGTCCACCTTTCTTTGGTGATATGTCAAATGTTCATACAAAACTTTGGATACTTCAGGTGAGATTAAAGCATTGTTTGTTGGAGGTCTAAAAGATAAACAAAAAAAAAAAAAGTTAATAATCAAATATAAATGAATATTAATAATATTAATTGTTTGAGGTGTTCGACATACGTTTGAGAAACAGAATAGAGATTGATATTTTGAGGGAAGGTTTGAACTACTTCAGCCACTCTTTTAACAATTTCAACAAAGGTCATTCCCTTTAAGATTTCGAGTTTAAATGAAAATGGAGCATCATTGTTGATATTCTTATAATTCAAAATCTGGAATGTAATAATAACCTTGTTGTAAACAAAATTGAAATAATCTGATACAAATGGTAATTGAGCTTTCTCTCTAAATAAATAAATAAATGGTTGTTAATAAATAAATAAATGGTTGTTAATAATTAATTAATTGATTAAATAATTAAATCTAAATAAAAATATTTACCTTAATGGTTGAATCTTTTGACAATAAATAATATCACCATGATTGACACCATAGGATTTGAGAGTACGATTTGGATCGAGTTGATAGAGCAGATTCATTGAGAATTCACCATAGAGCAACAATGGACTGTCGACAGTATTACCAATCTTTTGGTTGAGGAACGGAATAAAAGCAGACAGTGGAATGACAGTGTATGATACCTTGGAGGCAATAAACTCAATCTTTTGCTTGCAAGAGTCATAGTACTTGAAAAAGATCAAACAATAGTCTGCTTGAATAGGATCAAAGAATAGATTCTTATCATTTGGTTGAGGTGCTGATGATACTTCCAAATGGAATCTCATTTCAAGTCCACTAAAATGAGAAATATATTGATTAACTAAAGAAAGATAGGAAAAGATAATTAATAAATATTTAAATATATATATTCTTTTGGTTTTTTTTAGTTTCTACATACAAATATCTTCATCATCTAAAATAACAGGACATCTTGCAACCTTTGATGGTTTTTGATTGGGATTGTGATCCCAGAACCAAATTCTTTGTCTTTCAAAAGAGATACCATAGATCATTTGGATTTGTAACTTTAATTCCAAGAGAGTAGAAGTCTTTCTGATCTTGATTGGTTGGTGATTACTAAAGTCGATCAAATCAAAACAATTGGTCTTTTCAAAATCAGAATCCATTGTCAACTTGATCGTATGATAATAGTATGCTTCTTCCTCTGTCTTTTGTTTGGCAATTGTCTCTGGTGTCAATACATCATCTTCCTTGTTCATATGAAGTTTAAGATGTTTTGATCTTTCATTTGAATATCCCAATAAACTAAAAATAAAATAAATAATTAAATATTTATCAATTAACAATTATTATTTAAATATATACATACTGTTTAGTATCCAAAATTGATTGAGATAAGAAATAAATAGTAACCTTGACAGTGACAGTATCATCTTCCATAAATCCAGTTGCCATATCTTTAATCGTCTCTAGTGAGATGAATTTCTTGAATCCCCAATTTACACTACTATAACAAAAGGTATGGAAGGAATCTAAAATTAAGAAATAGAAATAATTAATTTAAGATCTAAACTTTTCTTTTCTTTTTCTATTCTTTTTTCATTTCTTCTTATTCTTACATTTCTTTTCAGATTTAGAAGGATTTTTCTTATTTACAACTTCTAAAATAAAACAAATATATTGTCTAATCTTTGGTTTTGTCTTTGGATCGACATAGTCTAAATACAATGAGAAAAAGTTTTGTACAGAGTTACCTTTTGGAAAGATATAGAATCTCCATTTGGTACGGTTTAAAGCAAACACTGGAGAGTAGAATGATTTGTCGAGAGTGGAAAAATTGTGAATGTCAAAACAGAATGAACCAGATTCTTCCTTTAATCGGTTCTTGGAGTGAGAACATTCATCGATGAAATTATATGGTAATGCAATCGAGTTTGATGGAGATGGATGAGATACCGATGGATAACACTGATTAACAAAGTTATTGGTGGTAGTAGTAGTAGTGTTGGTGGTATTGGCAGTGTTATTATTATTGTTGTTATTGTTAATATTATAATTGGTTGCTATTCTGGATTCAGTATTATTTACAGTTGGTTGGTTGGTGGTATTCGCTGATGACAATAACATTTCTTGTTTCAAATGTTCAAGAAGGAGTAATTGTTGCGATTTTTTGATGGGACTATCTACAAGGTTGGTGTTGGTGTGATCAAAAGGCAATGGTTTCAAGAAATCCGATGATATAATAATCAATTCCACATTGATAATGATCGTATCGTTCTTTATAAATCCATACTTTGGATCATTAAGTGTTGAAACCTTCATAAACTTTTGAAATAACCAACTAAATGAATTATATGAATAAATATTACTTATATCTAAAAAAATAGAAAAATAAATAAATAAACAGAAAAGGAATTGATTAGATTATTATTATTAATATTATTATGTGATTGATTTGATTGCTTACACTTTTTAAAACTTTTTGAAGGATTAACTTGATTGACAATTTCAATTGCAAATGATATATGTTTTCTCAAGAGTGGTTTAGTTTTGATATCAACCAAATCCAAATAAATTGAAAAATAATCGGTCAAGTTTTCGAGTGGATAACTAACCAATTGCCAATTACTTCCTGCTATATTAAATGTTGGAGAGAATAGCAGATCGATATTGGGATTCTTTTTTGAAGGAAATGTAAACTTTCCACAATCTGGATTATTTAAATTTGAATCAATTTCAAAACTATAAAATAAAAATAAAAAGAAAAAAAGAATTAATTAAAACTCTACAATATATATAATTTTTTTTTTTTTTTTTTACATACTTTGGAGAAGGTTCATCACAATTTGAAGACATTACAGTAAATTCGATATTGATAATGATTGTATCGTCAACAATGTAACCAAGATCACTATTTAAAAGTGTTGAGAGTAGAACAAATTTGGGGAAACCAAAGTTCATATTTTTATCGTCGTATTGATGGTCGACCCATTTCTTTAGATTCTTTTCAGGATATTTTTGGTTGACAATTTCGATTGCAAAAAAGAGATGTTTGCTCATCAATGGTTTAAACTTGACGTCCAACAAATCCAGATACACTGAAAAATAATTTGGTGAAGAATATCCATTTGGAAAGATATAGATCCTCCAATTCGATCCACAAACATAATAAGTTGGAGAATAAAAGTTTTCAAAATGATGACTAAAATTCGTTAAACTATAACTAAATTTACCATATGGTTTTGCATTTCTAAAAGAATAAATAGAAATTAAAAATAAATAAATAATTCAAAATATATAAATAAATATATTATGTCGACATACTTTGGATCTGATTTATCTATTGTACCAGAATGAGATTGAATTTCCACTTTGATTTTTAATTTATCTTGAATAAGGAAACCATTTTCAGTCTTTAATAAAGTTTGTAGTGAAAGAAAACTGACAAAACCCCAATTTACACCTTTGAATGAAAACTTGTGTTGTGATGCTAAATAAATTTAGAAATGGAATTTGAAAATGAATGAAATATCAAAAGTTAGCAAGACTGTTATTATTATATCTTGTAGTTGTGTTTAAAAATCGACGATCGACACCTCCATATCCTCCAATGGTGGTTTTTCGATTTTCCAACTTTTTTTTTGTTTTTTTTTTTTTGATTGGTTGTTGTCTACTTGCACATACTTTTCTTGACATTCTTTTTCGAGTCACCTTGATTGATAAGAGTTAACGTTAGATTGGCATCTTTTTCAAATAATGGGTTGACACCAATATCATAGTAATCAAGAAATATAGATATATTTCCTGGACTATTATTACCTTCTGGAAATATTAATAATCTCCTAAACAAAAATAAAAATTAATAAATTAATAAATATATATACAATATTTGTTTAATTGTTTTGTTTTCTTTTTTCCTTACCAATTTGAATCACATAAATGAAATATAGGTGTATAGAAACTTTCCTTGTAATTGGAAAAGTTTGATATCTCGACAGTCTTTGAACCTTGAGTGGGAGTATTAAAGTCTTCTCCTCCTCCAATTGTGACGGCGGAGCTCAAGGCATCTTTGGCACCAGTGATTGGATGAGCAGTGTTGGTGTTGGTTGGGTTTGAACTTCCTTGTGCCTGTTGTGAGGAGTTACTGCTACTGCTGCCGCTGCTGCTGCCGCCGCTAGTGTCAAAGGTGAAACTCATCATCGAACTGAAAAAATACTTTAAGTAATCTATTTTTGATGAGATGCTAGTGTCGTACGAGATCGTAGTTGGAATCGCCTTCAAAAATCTTTTAAAAGCGTTTCTTTACGTAATCTCTACTCTACAATAATAAATAAATTAAAAAGGAAGTAAATTAATATAAACTGTATATATATAGCTAATGGAAAAGGGAATGTGAAAGGAAAAGAGAGGGATAAAACAATAAATTAAAAAAAAAAAAGACACAAATTTAATTTAAATTATGGTTGGGTTGAGTTTGGGTTGTACAAAAAGTAATGAGTGAGGTGATGTGAGGTGAACTCAAGTTGAAGTAAGAATGAGTGGATGAGGATGATGATTAGATATCGGAAATCCAAAAAATAAAAAATGATTGGAATAAAATAATAATACTATTATTATTTCAAATAATTATAATAATAATAATAATGGTAATGAGAAAAAGGTTGTTGTTGTTGTGTCTTGTGAAATTAATAAATATTAATGACTGATAGATACTAGGACAAGTAATGAAAGAAAGGAAGGAATCTTCAATCACTCAACCAACAACAACAACAACAACAACTGCAGCTCCTCCAACCAAAAATAACCAATCAATCAAATTTGGTTTTTAAAAAAAAATATGAACAAATAGGTTTTTTTTTGTTTTTGTTTTCATGGATGGTGATTGAAGATGAAGAGGTTTGACTGAACCGTCACTGTCAATATAAATATATTTATAGTTATTATTATTATTATTATTATTATTATTATTATTATTATTATTATTATTATTATTATGAATGAATTATCATATATATGCAAAAATAAATATTGGAATGATGGAATGGAATGCTAACTAGTTTCGAAACTATGTCGACCAATATTGTGTACTGTACCTATACTCTCTATGAATGGTTTTATATAAACCTTTTATATGGTTGGGAATCAATCAATCAATGAATAAATGAATGAATGTATGATTTGTGTACAATCAAATATTTAAATTATATATAAATGTATATGAATTATTATTGTATTATTATTTGATTGCGCTTGTTTGTTGTTGGTTACTTGTTTGATTGATTTGATTGATGATGTTGTTCTTTGTTTTTCTATTCCTCTCACTCTCTCTCTATCTCTATCGATGTCTTTCTACGCAGTTCAATAAGGAGGAGAAGGAAGATGGTTGGGTTGTATTTTTGATGTTTGTTTGTTGTTTGTTGTTTGTTTGTTGGTTTGCTTCTGTTGTACGCTACGCTAGCTCTCTCTGTTGTGTTGCATTATATTAAATTTTTAATTTAATTTGGACTTTTAAAGTAAAACAGACCCACCCCTTTCCTTTCTTGATACAAATTTTAATGAGAGTACATGGTTTATGTGTTGGTTGTGTTTAGTGTGTGTGTGTGTGTGATGGTCTCATCGACAACGGTGGAGTTGAGTTGTGTGTGTGTGTGTGTTTGTGTGTTTGTGTGAGATGAGATGTATGGTAAGAGGTCTATAAACCAACCAACCAACCAACCCTCTACTCTAATGATATAGATTGCCCCCCTCCTATCACATAATAATACATACAATAAAATTATAAAGTAGAGTGCACTCACTTGACCACTACTGGCTCAGTCAGTTACTGTGTTCAACTCTATCTATTCTCTCTCTCTCTTTCCCTTCACTTCACTTTGTATCTAGATTGTCGTTGTGATTGTACTGCTGTTGTGGTTGAGTAAGTAGTTGGTTGGTTATCTAATATATTATATCTATATCTCCACTTTCTAATCTTCTATATAGTCTATGAGTGTCTATCTATTGGTTGGTTATGTTTGTTCGACACAACTACTTTACTGTTATTGTTGTTGTTGATGATGTAATAATATATAATGTTGTTGTTATGTGTATATATATGTATTTATAGAACAACACTATAATAAATAATGAATGATGATGAACTTTACTTTACTTTAACCCCTTTACCTTTACTTGGGTTTTACTTTCATTCATTCTCATTCTCTCATGCATTCACCCACACACTTAATATTAATTACCGTCATGTTGATCATTTTAGATTGGTGATGGTGGGTCGGTGGGTGGTGAGATGCATCTTGACAAGGGTGGGTGAGGAGGATGAGGAGAGAGTAACAAGGAGGAGGAGAAAGTTGGGAACTTCTGGGCTGGGTGGTTCAAATTCTGCAACAACACCATCAAACAACACACACTGCCGCATGGTTAAAAAAGCATCCAAGGAGGATTCTAATCTGCTTTGTTTTTGGGGGCAAAAACACAGACCAGAACAGAATAAGATGGGCATCATCAATACCTTAAAGTTTCCTTTTAAAGAGCTCTCTCAATGATTTGATGAGATGCAAGTAGAGCAGAGACTACAATTGCATCTACAATTACACTAGGTTGTTTATAAATAGTTTATCGTTTGCATGGTTGATTGTCCCTCATATCCCCTCTATCTGTCGTTGATTGGATTGTATAACAAATGATGATTGTACCAATTGTCGTACGACTTTTTAAATTCGTGTACAACAACATGTGTTGGATAAACTTGGAATCATCATGATTAGGAACTTAATTTGGAATCATGTCATTATGACCATACCAGCTCCATGTATACATCTGTTTATAATTATAAATCATTCTTGGAACATATCAATCAATCAATTGATCAATGTCTTTTTTGCCCATGGTCTAAAAACTATTTGTTCCAGTTTTAGAATATTATTATTATTATTATTATTATCGTAATGTGTTGATCGTCATAGCCAATGAAGGGTATGATTATTCACATATTTATTTATCTATTTATCATTCATTAATCATGTCCACACACACATCACTTACTTAACCCATTTTATAAGCAACCATTGTATCAACTTTATGAATCTATATAAATAATAATAAAAAGGAGAGATTAGACAAACAATATATATATATATATATATATATTTGAGTTGTTGGTGTTGTTATGACATACAGTAGTTGTGAATGAACGAAGTCTAACATGTTGACTATTGGTAATATATTGTGGATCACTTTCCTCCCATTTCTGTGGTACTGCGATATCCTTGTTTGTGTAGACCAATAGATCAAATGTGCATGCGTTTGGAAGTAATGGTAAAAAGGTAATACTTGCTGTGATTTGTCTAATGATAGCTTGGATTTCATTCATTATTTCTTTTTCTGGTTTTTGTCTTGGTGTTCTAAAATCAAAAATATAAACACAAACAGTTTGATTATTATTATTATTATAAAGTTGGATTATTTAATATATGTATATCTATTTTAACATACTCTCCTTCCTTTGGAATATCAGTTTGGACATCAAATACCCAACGTTCCAAAGTCTCTTTAGTGACTACGTCGGTGATAACCAACACCAACTTTTGAACGTTTCCAGTCAACAACCAATCAGAGAGTTGTTTCAAAACATTATCCAAATACTCTTTCAATCCCTTGTCGGCAGTGACAAGAATAGATAATCCATATTTAGCTACTCTTGTAAATGATTCAGGTGGATAGATTCCTCTTTGAAATAATATACTACAAACAAACAAAAAAGAGTAGAGTACGAGTTAGTCACTACACTACAATCATGATTGCAACCAACTACATTGTATTTAACTCTTACCTATTAATACCATATGCTAAAATGAATGATGATGATTGAGAGGGAGGGTATAAGTAAGTAAGTAAGTACAGTAATCAATTGGATGTCAATCAATTCGGCATTGACTCGTCGTGCTTTATTCTACATACAAAAGAACTCTGTTACAATCTCTGTAGATCCTTTCAATGTAATGTTATTCTTTGTTGCAATAGCAGATTGCATAGTGTAGTGTGCGTATGTGCGTGTTGTATTTAATTTAAGTGTGTAGGTTTAAAAGAGCATCTTTCTAAAAGAGAGGTTGGTGCATGCCATTTTCAAATTATTTATATTGTACCCGCCAAAATTCAAAAACCAAGTTCACACCCCGCTGTCTGTTTTTAAAAAGTAATGCGCCTTAGAACTAACATGCATACCATACAAACACATACTACACTATTGTTATAACATTACTTTAAGTGGTAGAGATAAGGACCAAATTGATAGTGTTGATAGCCCACACACATCATCATCATCATCATCATGATACAAGCTCCACACAACATAGCAGCAGCTCAGCATTAATTTGAGCAGTAATTTTTAAATATTATTATTATTTTCATTGTTTCTATTATTATTGTAAGAAGTTCCTACAACTTTAGAAAACTTTTAGAAAAATATATATATTAAATTTAATTTCTAAAAAACCTTTGTTTTTTTTTAAATTAATTTGATTTTTTTGAAAAGGTTCAGATCTCAAACAACACCGAGTTGCAACGAAAAATAAAGCCTCCCTTCCGAAACTAGACAACAGATAATATCAACAGTAGACTAAATTCATATATATATATATCTATTTTAATCAAATCAAAATCAAAATCAAAATCAAAATCAACCAAATTAAAATGACCGATACTTCAACATCAGTCCCCGTTGAAGTTAACCCTGCTATGGTTCCTCCACCAGAACATGATAATAAATTATGTATTCTAACTGGTATGTAATTACTAAAAAAATCAATTAATAGAATTCTATTTACAAAAAAAAAAAAATGAACAACCCTATTCATTTATAAATATTATTTATTATTATTATTATTTAGGTGCAACTGGAGGAATTGGTAAAGAATTAGCCAAAGAGATGGCTAAAACAAAGATGTCTGTCATTATTGCATGTAGAAATGTTGAAAAATCAACTGAACTCATTGAAGAGTTGAAAAAGGAGAGTGGTAATGATAAAATCACCGCCGCCAAGGTGGATTTTAATTCATTCGAGTCGATTAGAGAGTTTGCCAAACAGTTTAACGACAGATTCGTACCACTCAACTATTTGGTCAATTGTATCGGTGTCTATTCCAACACCTATGAAAAGACTGCCGATGGACATGAACTCAATGTTGGTGTCAACTATTATGGCACTGTCCTATTGACAATGTTATTATTGGAAAGACTCGAACAAGGAAATGGAAGAGTTTTATCACTTAGTTCAAAGATGCATGGTTGGGGTATGTATAGTAGTAGTAGAAATATTAAAAAATTGTTTGCCAAAATATTAATATTAATATACTTTGTTACTTTTAGCCGAAAAGATTAATCTTGAGAAATTGGAATGTGACGAAAAACATTACAACAATAACAAGATATATTCAAATTCCAAACTGTATCTTATCATGTTTTGTAATGAGTTGCAAAGACGATTGGATCAAAAGGGGTATTTGAATGTAGAGGTGAATTGCGCACATCCAGGTGTCGTCGCTACACAGATGTTGATGAAGAACAAGTTGCTCAAGTTTTTGCGTCCTGTCATCAACCCATTCTTTACAACTGCCGAGCACAGTGGTCGTACCATGGCAGAGGTAGCATTGGGAGAATCCAAGGCAACCAAGGGTACCAAGGGCCAGTACTTTGTGTTGAATAAAAAGACCAACCCTAGCAAACAAGCATCCAACCAAGACCTGTCCAAACAACTGTATGAGCAGACGTGTGCCTATTTACAAGTCCCACCCAATTTGGAGAATAATAATCCTGCCATTCAAACTGCTATGAATCTCCATGTTGGTCAAGTTGACAACAACAACAACAACACAGAACAATCTACATCTACAACTACTGTCGCGCCAACCAACGAGGAGGAGAACAAGCCAGTTGATACGACCACCGCTGAGCTCATTACCACTACAACGACCACTACTACAGTGACTGACAACACAGACACCCAAGCACTTCCAACCACAACAATTGAAAAAGTGACAACCATTGAGACCATTGAGCCCGCAACAACCACAGACTCCAATGCCACTGCGTCTACTCAAGATGAAGTTATCCAAGATGCAACCACTTCAACCACATCCACAATAGTTGAAGAATTAATCCAATAAATGATTAGCATAATAACATTGATCAGTGTACAGTTTTTAAATAGATTTTATATTATTATTAACCCCACATATTTTATTTATTTATTTCTTTTATTTGTTTGGAGTCGGATGATCATAAAGCACTCATACTTCTTCTTTTTCTGTTAAATATTGTCGTCAAAATTCCCTTTTATTATTTCTATCCAATTATTTTTTTATCCTCATATTTTTAATATCTAATTTGTATCTATTTCTTTATGAATACTACCTCTACCAAGTCAACCACAGTGGTTGCAGTTCCTTCCCCACCAGGAGAAGTAGAAATGACAGAAACAAAACCTGTCGGTATGATCTTGTTCACCACCTCGGTTCATCTTGTAGTTTGACCCACATTTCTGAATAAAATAATACTCTCCATTCTATTTTATTCTCCTTTCCACCCATCCATCTATTATATATCTCAACAGCAGCAACAGCATCAGGAGAACCAAAAACTAAATGGAAAGAATGGACCAAAGAAAATGTTTTGGAATGGGCCAGTACACATAAAAATGAAAAGGTCAGAGCCTGTGCCAAAACATTGCATATCCAAGACATCAGTGGAGAGAACTTCGATACTGTGACAGTCACCTTCTTGCAAAACAATGTTGGTCTCACTGCTGGACTTGCAGATTCTCTTCACAAAGCAATACATACAGGTTCTAATCAGCCAAGGTAAGGCACTTCTCCAAATCTTTTTTTCCATCTTCATGATCCAATCAACAATCGCCCACAATCTCCAACATTGTTAATCCAAAACACCACCACCTATTTTAGTTCAACATCTTTTTATATGAGGAAATTTTTTATTTATTTATATTTTATTTTGCTTGTTCATCCTTACATATCAATGGCATCTTTTCCCCCTACTGACCTTTTCAAATATTCAAAAATTATATAGAAGCAGACATTCCTAATGAGTTTTGGGGCTTGGATGAAGGAAAGGCAGAGACCGTTTTCAAAATACCACCAAATGTGCAGACACTTTGATGAACGACGGAACAATTTCGATCTTTATTCGTCAAGATTTCGTATCACTCAGGGATCGAATATATTCTCGATAAAGCAATCCAAACCCTCTTCGTAACAGGCAACCCTGGAATTGTCAAGAGTTTCTTTCTACTCTACATGCTCCACTACTTCAGAAGATCCACAGATTGCAATATTATACTTGATTCAATTCACATCACAGAGTATCTCTACTTTACACGTACCAATGACAACGACACAAAATATGTTTGTCAGTCCTATCCCAAAAAAGATGTCACTATTAACATTAAAGATGCTTGGACCCAATGGTATTTACCTGGTTGACTCTGTACATAGGGATTCTCAAGCCAAGATTAGTTCCTCCACTTTTGCCCTCATGGTGTCTTCTCCAGAGCCCGAGGTATAAAGAATTTCTAAAGGTATGGACAAAATTTAGTGATGTCAAATTTGTCACAACAAATCAAACCATTTATCTTTAGAAAACATTTGGACCAAAACTGTGTCATTGAAGAAATCAAAAGTTGTTACAATCAAGTCCATTCATCATTTGACTTTAAAGTGATACAACATCACTACATCCACTCGGGTGGAGTCCCAAGATACGTCTTTCAAGAGGTGAAAGATATATCTGCATATAGAGAGGCAATTGCGTCTATTACCTACTAAAACATTTTGAATTTTCTTGGTGACAACCAGCCAACTGCAACCTTGGGTTTATCTCACAAGATCCTACATATTGTTCCCAAAGAAAACTTCATTGACAAATAAGGTTGATATTTCATTATTGCAATGCTTCAAAAAATTTACAAGGAAGAGTTTATTGGTTGATGATGAGGAAGAGGAATAGTGGTACTAGGAGGACTACTTGATAAAATGGACGTACATCCATCATTATTTGTTATCATAATGGACCCAGAGGATGATGATCGTTGTTGTAGTTGGGTTTGAGATGATGATAATGATGATCCTTTAGAATCGATCGGTTTCGATTCATGAAGTTTTTCATCATAGGCTTTAAGAGCCTTGACAAATCCAACGTTTGGTTGAATGATTGATCTCTTTTCCTTTACCAATTGTCTAGTGGTTGCGTAATCCAATCCTTGTGTTTTCATTATATATGCCATGACGGCAGTGGTGCTTCTACTAATTCCCATTGCACAATGTACCAACACTCTACCTCCAGTTGCTTTGGCACTATCGATAAATTGATTGATTGGTTCGAAATGACTAGTAATATCTGCTCTAAAATTATCATCCAAATCAGCACGATAATATTTATATAAATGTGGAAATGCATCTTCTAATTCTGATGCCATATTTACTATATGTGTAATTTCTACACAAAAATAAAAGAAAACAATGTATTAATAAACCATGTCTATTCTATTTTCTATCTTTCTATTTTCTACATACTAAGATTATCAAGTTGAGATCTACTTGTTGCATTTTCATAAGCACCAAGATAAATGAAATCTTTTAATATTTCAGAAGGGTATAGGGAAGATTCGGGGATATTGCGGTATGCCTTGTTGCTGACAGTGACGCCGCGACAGAGAAAAGGATAGTGTTGGTTGAATGCCTCGAATCCATTGTCATAGATCGAGATGGCTGTCTTTTTAGAACGTGCAATCAAATAGTGTAACACAAAGTTGAACCAAGACGTTGGATCACGTGACTCGAGTGGGTGAACGTCGGAATTGTCGTGCATGGCGATCGACTCGCGTGACAAGGTGTGTTCACGACCCATCTCTGATGACACAGACCCGTCGGTATAGATGACGGCTTGCGAAAGCATCAGATTCCAGTATCGAGTAGTCGGACAATGTACAGCGAGATATTTGGTCATATTAAACTCTGGTAGATGCTCATCGTCTACTTGTTCCAATGAAGGAGGTGGGATAGAAATGGCAGCCTTTAAATGTGACCGTTCATACATTTCACGTGGTCTCAAATCCATTATCATCTTTGGTATGGCTATATCTTGCATTAAATTATACATTTGCATTGTATCTATATGATGAGCAATCTTTGGATTGACTGGTGGTTTTGCATTTAAATCATTCTTGAATAGAACTGTTGGTTGTTGTTGTCCTACCATGGTTGTTTTGGTTGAAGTTGTTTGATTATTATTATTAGTTGTTTCGGTCGATTCCGATTCTTGTGAAATACAATGTCTTTGATAGCTATTTAATAAAGACAAGTCTCCTGTGAATGTAGTTGTGGTGGGGTCGGTTGAAGCTTTGTTGATAGTAATAGGATACCAAATGCGAGAGACTTCTGGAAGTGGGGGTGGTGGAGGTGGAGGTAAAGTTGATGTAACTGCTGATTGATTGATAGTATTATTATTATTATTAATGGTCTTTGTACTTGGTGGGGACATGAAGAGAATAGAATAGAAAGTATAGAGTAATTATTATAGGAATATAGAGTAATAATATATTATATTATATTATAGTAGAGATTTAAATTTACTCGTCTCTTTGGAAGCTAGGTTATAATAACAAGAATGATAATAATCGAATACTATGTATGTAGTAAACTATGATGGTGAATGAACGAGATAATACTAGTAGTAGGTAGTAGCGACGAGAGGGGGTGGGGGTGGTGGTGATAGATAATGAGAGATTTGACTTTGTTATTAATTAATTAGTGTTGGTACAAATGATGTGGTAGAGAGAGATATTGAAGATGATGCTATTTGTGATTATACAGAACTGAGCGAGATGTAGTTGTTGTTGTTATTATTGTTGTTGTGTCAGCTGATTTCTACCTCTGTCTATTTTTATACAAAACAACCCCCTCCCAGTGTTAAACGACAAGCATTGCTGCGATAAAATTAAATTAAATTAAAATAAAGAGTACAAAACTACTTTGAAATCTCGAAGAAGTCGATTTTTAGATTGACAAATGGGTTGGGAATGATTTCCTTGATTAATTAATTGATTGGAAACCCTGTCGATGATGATGATGATGACAAAGACGACGATGTTTTTTCGATCTGATTTAATCTTTATTATACCATCCAATCTTGAAATGTAGCTACATAGTCGATCGGTTACCGAATCACGAATACAATATCTAAATTATTTATTTAAATATTTATTATATGTATGATGTTGGTATGTTTTGGTTTGTTTGGTTTTGTGTTTATATATATAAATATATAGATATCTAAAGGGGTCTTATAATAATAATAATCAATATTCTTGATTTTTTTGATTTTGAATAATAATAATAATAATAATGATGACAACAACAAATGATTCTAATTCTAAAGAGATGTTTTTTTTGATTTGTTTTGATCTTTTAAGCATCATTTAAAATATTCCAAGCATTTGAAAGATTATTATCGAAACAATCTTGCATAAAGTTTTCCCATTGGGGACGATTGTCGTAAAAGACGGTTCCGCAGATGTTTTGGTAGACATTTTTAGAAAGTTGTAACTTGGCTCCATCGACCCATTGCTGGTGATTGATGCCACGTTCATACTTGTCAGTGTGCGCTTTGATGAATTCAGCCGATCGACCTGATCGACCCCAATCAATAAACTCGAGGTTGCCAGCGGCATTGGTCCACGTAGAGATGTGTTGTTGTACGTTGGTCAGTCCGATAGATTGGTAAAAGTTGTCGAGACTCTTGAGACCTGCATAACCAATCGACCACGACGACTCTACGAGTGCCGATGCATTGACCATTCTAATCTCATTCGATCTCTCCATCGCCTTGAGATACATCCATTTGATACGATCAAATCCATTGTCGTCCAACCAAAAGTCGACATCTGCCGACAACAATACACGTCCAATATGGTTTCTTCTGCAATATTCAATGATGGCGTCAATTAATATCTCTGCCTTGTGATAACGGTCAAAATCCGATGGCATAATCTCATTGACCGTTGGAATCACCTTTAATCCATTCTCCAACTGGAACACCTGTCCTTTGTTGTGCTGTCCATGTGCGTCACTTCCAAATGCCTCTCCTCCTATAATACAATATTCATATCCCTCTTGCGCCACCGATCTACTCGACTGTATACTAAACAACTTTTCACTTGGACAGAATCCTCTTGGCGATCGTTCAAATAAATCCCACATCGTATGATTGGTTTCTTTAATATCTTCTTTTACAAATCCATCTATATATGCTTCTTGATATTTATCATTTAAACATGGCTAAACGAAAAAAGAATAATAATTAGATATATTATAACACAAGAGTTGTCTTTAATATTAATATTGATAGATATTTACATGAGCCAACCCAGATGCATGATATGTACTTCCAACAATCTCTGATTGATCCCAACTTGAATATACTGATTTATTGGCAGTTCTATATCTAATGGTTCCCTTGATCGATGGGTCAGTCTTTACGATTGCTTTCATTGTTTGTCCAGACATTGCCCAACTCACTGGAATACCCAATCCTCCATTATCATGATCGTACCACATACATTTATCCTATTAGAAAGAGAGAGACATAATAGAAAGAATAAAAGTAAGTTAGATCTATTGTCATTGCGAGAGAGTGGTATGCTTTGATTGGGTGGGTTGAGTGTGGGGGAATGAATAACAAGGCAAGTGAAATAGATTTCATTGACGAATGATAGATAGATAGATAGAGAGAGAGGAGAGGAAAAGCAAAGATCTTATACAAACCATTAATCTTGCAAGTTTATAGGCAGGTTCATCCATACCTATATCGGCCCAAGGAGAGAAAGCAAATAATATTGGCATTTTATATGTATATATGTATATGTATATATGAACTGTATTAGTATCTTTAAGAACTTTGAAACTAACTACTGCTACTCAATAGACTTTCTTTTATATATATATATATATATAGAGGAGGAGAGTATTAATTAACTATTTAATTTCAGATTAATAAATCTTTAGTTTTTTTTAATTTTGAAGTTACAAACTAGTCTAAACCCTTCCAAATATTTTATTAATATAATTTTAATAGACAGGTCTAGTAATATATAATATATAGATAATGACAACTAGTATCTATCTATTTCATCATGTTCAACGCACGTGTGTGTCTGTCATCTATGAAAGATGAAAGATGAAAGATGTTACCAGATTGAAATTAATGAGGCTCGTCTAAGTAGAGGTTGAAAAGCAGCAGCAAGATAGTATGCAGTAAATCACTTATATTATTGACCTGACCAAGAAGAGGAGTCACTCACTAATCTCTCTTTCTTAGTACATATTGATTGATTTTTGGAAGCAAGTGTACAGTCGTTGGACACTACAACCAACATTCTCAGTTCAAGATGGATGTAGGTTTCCAACAACAACAACAAGAACCTTTCATCACTATACATTAGAAAATCATATGTCGATTTGTATTATATCATATTCTGCAAACCTCTACCTACGGTTTAATACTTGGTCTCTCCGGGTATTAGAAAATCATGAGAATGTGGCTCGATAAAATCACATATCTAGATATTAGGCGAATAAAATTAATCGTCCGGACGATAACAGACAATCGAACTCCCAGGTCTCTCATTGTTGAATTAATTCAGAGACCTAGGAGAGGAGAGGAGAGGAGATCATTATCATTATCGTAATTTTATTTAAATAGTAAACAGAGATAGATATACGATGAAAAGTTGCACACCACCCCAAAAGAACAGGTATTTCAAATTTCTGATCACGATCATTGGGCTGATTGCGTTATTGTCAGTTGGTGTTATTCATTCACAAGATTTAAGTCCAGACGAATGTATGTAAATATAGTATATATATATTATCAATATATCATCAATTTAATCTATTACTTACACATTTTTTGTAATTCTATGAACATTAATGTTTACAATAATATCATATTATAGTGGCATCAGCAATATGGATCATCAAGCAGTACAGTCTACCAGTTCCCATGGATCAAACTCTATGTGGTACGACCGAATTTAGTTGTGCTGGAGGACACATAACCAAGATGTAAGTTGAAACATAATCATCAATCATCAGTTGTCGATATAATTCTAATTCTAATTCTAATTTAATTCAAATTCTGTAGTTCAAATATGCCAGGTACGACGACTACCAATGGTCTACCAGATCCAAACCTAAGACTCACCTTTCCAGCAGTAGAGCTGATAGCGGTGAATCAAAACCCATTTTTCAGTGTAGCTGATCCCGCCTTGTCTCTTTATGATCAACTACCAACATGTTGTCCTAGCCTTACAACTATTGCGTATGTAGTCGGTTGGTTGGTTGGCTGGTTGTACAATATTCTCTCGACTAACAATCAATCATTTTTCTTTATTTTCTCTAGAATGATGTCAGATCCTTCTCTACAGAATTTTCCAAACAATTTTGATTTGATTGCGCCAAGCACTCTACTACTTGCCACTTTTTCTCTTACAGGTAGAACGACTATTACATTCCCAAGTCACCCATTGGTGTCTCAGATGCAACTCTTTGCCGACGGTAATGCTACAGAGTTTATTATTGATGACTCTGTTCGACTTCCAAAATTGGCAATGTTGGGGTTCGGGCAGTACACAGGTTCTAGTCTTCGTTCTATCGGAAACTTTACTGCCAAATCTTTCCCATCTCTTACATTTTTGTATGTATAAAGTAAATTAATTCGAATAATATTATTTATTATTTATTATTTATTATTTATTATTTATTATTTATTATTTATTATTTATTCTATAGATACCCATTTCTTCTTTGGACAACACCTCCAATCAATCTCAATCTTGACCTCCCTAGTCTAACTTCCTTAGAGTTTTCTGATAATCCCCAATCACCCAATACAAACATTCGTTTCGCCAATACATCGAGTCTAAACAGTTTGTATGTACCATACCAACTTTTTTTATTTTTACACAACAACAAAACTAACTGATTCTTTCATTAATTATTATAGAACATTTTATGGAGGCGATATAACGTTTGAACCAGGTCTTGATCAATTCCCAAATCTAAAATCAGTGTATGGAGTGAAACAAATTTGTTCTTTGCTCAAAAAGAATATTATTATTTACTGTTTTTTTTTTTCAATTTAGTACATCGCATAGATATAATAGTAGTCGATATCCATTTTTGACAGGGTATCCACCCAGTATTGAAACTATAAGTTTCATAGCTACACCAATCAATACAATACCTGCTATTACCATTCCTTCAACCGCCACTATTTTGTATGTAATATTTTAGTCATTTAAATGTCTACATATATACATTTAAATTGTAACTACTGTTACTTGACTTGTATTAACTGTTTGACCAAAAAAACTAACTTATTTTTTTGTTATACAGTGATTTCTCAAGTAATCAAATCGCAATGCCAATTGATTTCGATACAGTATTGAAAAACATGACTGGAAATTTGGGTTTGAATCTTAGATCAAATGTTGCATTTCAAGGACCACTAGACCAAGAAAAATCACTATGCAGGTTAAAGTTATTGTATATGAGCGGTACTTCTATAACCTCTGTACCAGATTGCTTTTGGTGTTATGTAAATGAAGCTGCCATGAGATTTTCTGCACCTCATTTATCAATCCCACCTGGATTTACATGTCAAATCACGTTTGAAGACACCAATCTAATCAGCATTTTCAAACGGGCCATCATCAAGGGCACAAATTTGGGCTGGGGTCAGAGTGGAGGAGTCCTTTTCTCCACAATTGTTCCAAATGAACAATTAGAGGCTATCATCCCTGCGCTTCTCACAGACGGACCACCTCAATTAATCAACATTCCGTTTAGTGTATATTATCCACTATACACATACCCGTTCAATGTGACAGAGGCTGGATTCAATGTATCGTCTATCGACTTTAAGCAAATACCAAACCAATTGGCCATCATTACAGTCGTGTTTGCACCAGTAAACACATACTTGTCTCATAATGTATCAATCGACGGAGTATTGGCAACACCAAACTCAAGAGTTGCAAATACCTATCAATTTGAAATCCCAAACCTTTCAAATGGTAGTTATGATGTTAGAATTTTCAATAATTATTATTCTACCATTATGAAACAAGTTGCATATATACAATGTATGTTATGAAGATAATTTTTTAATCAGACCAACAACATAATTAACTAATTAATATTTTTCTATTTATTTAATTAATTAATTAGCATACCCAATTGTAGATAATTTTGTATCAACTTCTCAATATGTTGTGACTGGAAGCATATTACAATTTAATGGAAATTTTGGAACAGCTCTTCTCAGTTCATCGATTATCATTCAGAATAATAATAGTCAATACAACTTTACTGTATGTTCAACGACCCAGTTTTTATCAACCAGAATTTCATGTATTACATTATCACCAATTTCAAGTGGTCTTGCTACTTTTAATATTACTGTCGATGGGTATTCTATTATCGAGCAATACACCATACAATCAGCTCAACAACAATGTGAGAGCGATACTAATCATTGTGGTAATAATGGTGTCTGTACACCTGATGGTAGTTGTAATTGTAATGTCAATCAAGGTTCCTATTATAATGATTGTTCAAAACGTATGTCATACACCTAATTTTTATATTAAATTAAATTATTTTTTATAAATAATAATTTTATAATTTATTTATTTCCTTTAGCATTCCCATTTGCAACAAGTGGTCAAGTGAATGATCAAAATTCAACCCAACGATCTATTAGTTTATTTGGTGATTTTGGACCATTTGGGTTGACAAACTCATCGGTTACAATCAACAACACTATGAATTGTATTATCGATCAATTGGAATCGACTCAATTCCAAATCAATTGTCAACTTGTTTCATCACCAACCACATTTGGTCCTGCTTCTGTTCAATTGAATGTCAATGGATCATTATTTGATAGTAAAACATATCTCATTCGATTCATCAAACCAGGAGGAGGATCAACTACTACATCTCCAACAACAACAACCTCTTCTGCAACAACAGGAGGAAATACAAAAACACCTCAAGAAATATGTGAAGAGACCACCCAATCATGTTTTGGTCATGGTTATTGTGATGAAAATGGAATATGTCAATGTGAGGATAAATATAATCCAGTTGATAATTGTTTGACTAAATTTGCAGACAATACAACCTATATTCCCAATCCAGAATCACCATCAACAAATATTAGTGTGGACGGAGTTGAATTTGGATTTGATATTGTTGCCATTCAAGAAATAGGATTGGATAATGAAATTGTCAAGGAGCTATTGACAAATAGTTGGTTATCAAATATTACTATCAATAGTTCATTGACCAATGCTGTCTATCAACTAGTGATCTCCAATACAAGTATCCTCTTCGCCAATACTACTACTCAAGTGACAGTCAATATGTCATTCTCACAACAATCAAGAACCGTGGAATTTGGCAACCAACAATTATTGATCAATTCTAATTCAATTAAAATGGCAGTATCTATCAACGGTTGGGAATACTCTTCCAATGTAGCAACACTAAGAGTAGTTATAAAGACAACAACCAACAATCAACAATCAATCGAATATGATTGCAAAGAGACAGACATTGAATCATTCTCATACGATGATTATGGAACACTCCAATACCTCAGAGTACTCAAAGACAATGTTCAATTCAACGGTAGATTCATTGATTTTGCTTTGGCAGATGGCCGAACAACCTATTCACAAACCCTACTCATCAATCAAACCCAGATCAGTTCCAATCAATCAACAGCAATGATAGGTATCAGTCTACCTCAATGTCAAACATGTATACTCGATCCAGATTTCACACCACTGTTGGTAGTCAATGATAAAGCTGGTGGTGATTGTTCATCATCAGATGACAACAAATGGAAGATTATTGTTGGATGTGTTGTAGGTGGTATCGGTATAGTGGCCATCGCAATAGCAAGTGTAATTTACGCAAAAATGAAAATCAAACACAAGAGACACAACAAGAAAATGGAATCTAAATTAAGAGAATTCAATTAATCATTATTAATAATGAATATGAATAGTAAAAATAAATTAGATAATCCAAGTTCCTTTTTTTTTTGTACTCAGTATTCAGTTAAAATAGTCTCCAGAAACGTTGTGTCCAATTGTTGATGAAACTGACATGATCATCGTCCATAATTAAATAAATAATCGTATAAGATTATTTAATTAAAGTTTATTATTCTTTCGGGGACTGCCTTCTTTTCCTTTACTACTTTCTTTTTGACTATTATTATTTTCTTTTTCTTTTTTGGTGTTGTTGTATCTTCTAGTGGTTCATTGTGATCGTCTAACATTATTGGTTGTGATGAATCATCATTGTTATTATTTGGTATTGATGTTGTTGTTGTTGTCATTAATGATGATGATGATGATTCGAGATTGTCATCAAATGTAGTTTTTGTAATATTCTCCATTGCCTGTTCAACAGTCATTTGGTTGGACGTGATTGATTTGATGAACCAATTTTTTTTATCCCGACTGAGATTATTCATTATATTGGTTTCATTATTATTATTATTATTTGGATTATTATTATTTGATTTAATTCCAAGTGAAATGATATTATTTGATATATTTGTAATATTTGATTTGAGTGATTCTATACCTTCCAAATCTTCATAATTTTGATCAAATTGTGCAATTAATTCTTCGTCTGTTGGTTCTCCCTCTATCTTTTTATCAAGTTGTTGTTCTATTTTCTTATTATTAATATTAATATTATTATTATTTACATTTAAATCATCCATTTTATACAATATTTTCCTTATATCTTCTTCTTTGTTATTATTATTATTATTATTATTATTGTTACTGTTGTTACTAGATTGATCTATTATCAATTCCAATTCCATTGAATTTAAAGTTAATGAGAATTTAATATCATCAATCTGTTTAAACAATGATATAACAGAATCAATCGATGGTTTATGGTGAATGATAGACTCCAATCCATAGGTTTGAAATCCCATCGCCGTACCGACAGTCTTTTCCAATACAGCCAATGTAGTTAGATTAGTCAAGAATAGTGATAACTTTCCATGATTCAGTACCGATCTAATGTATGATCTATATCTTCCTCTTTCACTAAACAATGATCTTGATTGTTGAATATCTCTAAATTCACCAACATCTTTTAAACATCTTTCCAATCTACTTTGTTCTTGTTCAACCATTACTATCACTTTCCATAATGTTATACCTTTAAACAAGCAATTAATTACATTAGATTAGATAAGATATATCATGTATTCTTACTATGACTTTAATACATACTTGAATTCAATTGATGACATAGTATTCTTTCAATAGACATGCATAGACGATCAACACCAAAACTATTTGATGTTAATGTATTTGTATCTTGATTCATTAACAATGTATATATAATGTAACGAACAGATACTACTAGATCTTCTACCAAGCTAGCTCTAACCATTTCCTCTCTTTCTCTTGATATTCTATCTGCTATCGATTCTACCTCTGGCCATTCATTTTGTTGTTGTGGTTGTATTATATATGTTGGTGTCATTGATAATGAGGATTTTTGTTCGACATGTTTATCCTTTTCACCATGATTACATTCTTGTTCTTCTTTTTTATCATCTTCAACCATGTCATTTGATGATGATGATGATGATGATGATGGTTGTAAGTTTAATAAAAATGGATTATCTTCAAATTGATCGTTAATTGGTTCTCCTTCTCCTTCTCCTTTTGAGAGCTCCATTCTTCTAAATTATTTGATCAAAACATAAGAAAAATTATAACCACAAAGTTTGAATGTATGTTTTTTTTGAATAAAAGTTTAATTTCGATAATATTCCTCAACAGGAAAACAAATAATTATATTTATATTTTACTTGTTTTGTTTATTCATTTAATTGTACATACATTCATTCATTCCTTCAATATGAACAATCCTGTCACTCTTTTGGTCCACTATGGTACCAATGCTACCGAGATTGAAATTAGCAATGAGGCTACCTATGCAAAGTTAAGTCAGATCATTGCCGATCATAGAATGCTCCAGGTCCCTCCCATCCTCAAGATTATACTCTATCTGGACCCTCGACCCAACAACAATGATGCCATTCGTGTTCCTGTTGAACAATTACAAACAATCTCCCTCCCAGACCGCTCACACATCTATGTCGAGGTTGAAGATCAGCAGCATCAGCAGCAGCATACTAGCAATCGTATGTAGATATTTAAATTCCTTTATTATCTCTGACAGGTCAAGGGCACTAATCTCCCCTCTTTCTTTAGGACAATTTGTTCCCCCCCCTATTCCCGGTAAAGTTTCCATAGACTCTCCATCTCCACTAGAGTAGGACTGCAAAAGACAACCAACTTTACTAATCATTTTATTTGTTTTTAATTTCTTCTTTAGAGGGACAAGAATTTCATTTTTGGAAGCACCTTGCAAATGCAAAGTTGGATACAACAACCAACATTCTTTCACTTCAAGATGGGTGCGTGTTTCCAACAAGAGAACTTTCATCACTTTACATTAGAGAATCATATGTTGAATTGTATGATATCATATCAGCATTTGAAAAGCCTGCAAACCTCTACTTGGTCAAGGGCAACCCAGGCATTGGTAAGTCAATGTTCTTTTATTATTATCTTTGGAGAAAGGTTCAAAATCTAGAAACATGTCCCAAGAATATTGTTTTTGACTTTGTTCATCACAATGCCATCCTTTTCACATTCAAAGACAATCTTCCAACCGTGTATGTAGGAAATAGAGATCAGTTTGCCAATTTTCTTTTGTACCCAGACACATTTTATTTTGTTGATGGTATAACCCCATTACCCAGTAAATGTTTTGTTTTGTTTGCCTCCTCTCCAGACCGAACAATATATGAAAAATATATGAAAGTATGTTGTAATTTTGAAAATTTAAATAGATACAATCACTAAGTTACTAACTCTTTCCTTTCTTTTTTTCTTTCCATTACCAGGAAAAGTTTTCTGCCTCAGTAATACTCCCTATTTGGACCTATTATGAGATCAAGGGTTCAATACCTATTTATTGTAAAGACGATGATAACAATAGAGAATCTTTTATCAATGAAACATTGATTCGTTTCCGTCGATGGGGTGGAGTGCCAAGGTATGTTCCTTAAAAACAAAAAAACTATACAATAATGTCCTATTTAACTTTTATTTCTAATAGATATGTCTTTGAGAAAATATCGCCAAGCGAACAAAACACACTCCTTTTGGCAATATCTAGATGTGGTGCTGCTTGTTTGAGATCAGTCAATCAACAAGAGTTAGAAGAACCTGGAAGTCACAAGGTTATGCACCTTGATGTGGTTCCTAACACAGACTATGTGCAACAAAGAATGGTAATTGGATCACCCTTTATCAAGCAGAAATTATTTCAACGATTTTACTGGAGATGGACCAATGATCTTTTGGATCAAATGAAAACCTCATCATTTTTGTCCTCATCGTTTGGAAGTGCAATGTTCGAGCAACTCTCGCATCAAACGTTGACAGTTGGCGGAACATTCTTTGTTCGTCCTTTACAGACCAAGACTACAATGGAAAAGTTGTCTCCCATATAATTTGATCAAGTATGTTGCAGAGAAATATTTTATTCATTTTTGATGTCGTACTCATATGCCCTACCTAGTCTACAAATTTATATACATTGAAATTGGAACCGAGCACACAAAAGGAATTCTTTGACTATAATATTCTCGAGTATGACGAAAATGTTTATCTTAGACCAAACAACAGAGATTTTGAGGCTGTTGATTCAATCATCAAACCAAAGTTTTTGTTTCAGATGACCGTATCTGATTCTCATTCGATAAAGTCCTCTGGTCTTCACAATCTCTTGCATTCTCTCGATCCCAGTCACACAAAAGATATCTTTCTTTTCTTTGTTGTCCAAGAAAAAAACTATTCAACTTTCTCTCAACAATCCTATGTCAAAACAGAGACCAAGAACAAAAAAACCATCAAATCGCGAGACGATGATATAGAGAGAGTTCATCAATTTGCTCTCCAAATGACTTTCAACTCTGTTGTCTCTCCAGAAACTTTGTGTCCAATCGTTGATGAAGATGACAAGATCATCGTCCATGATGAATAAAATAAATGTTGAACAATTATTGTTAGATTAGATTAAAACATTACTTCAAAATGACTCCCTTGTTTTTTTTATATATTAAGTTAATTTTATTTTGAATAGTTTATTCAGCCGATTGATCTTTTAAAAATTGGCATCATATATTTGCTGAACAAGAGTTGCAAATGGTTTTCTGACATTTAGAATGAGTTCATTGCTTGGATTTGGATATACACGGTTGGTCAACAAAATGACGATCAATTGTCTCTCTGGATCACCACACAACATGGTTCCAGTGTATCCTAAATGCATCCAAGTTGTTGATGATAAACTACCACATGCTTGTCCCCATCCTTCATCTAAATAAGTAAATAAATATTAGTAAATAGAATTATAATTTAATTAATTTAATTTTACATACCAAAAACAGTTGGATCATTTGTATTCCAACCAATAGCTCTGCTACTTTGAGTATGATTATATTCAGTTGTGAAATACTTGACAGTAGTACTATTGATATAGTCGCTATCTTCGGTAGCGTACATCAACGAAGACATGAATGTAAACATTTCTGGTGCATTGGAAAAGACACCGGCGTGACCACCGACACCTCCCATAGCATAGGCATTACCATCTGAAACAACACCTTGAATGGTTGTGTGCATGTAAGAGGTATCATTTTCAGTTGGTGCACAGCTGTCCCATAGATAGGCTGGTTGAAGATAATTTGTAAACTTTAATCCCAAATTACCAAACACAAATCTTCTTACATAGGCCTCATAGAAACATTGTTCCGAACCTGGACCACCCTTATTATAACATTCTGGTGCTAAATCTTCAACTGTAATATATCCATAATTCTTTGCATAGTGTCCAACTACATACATTAATGTCATGAAACTATAACCAATCACAAATTAACATTAATATATATATTGATATATATAAAGGAAATATATATTCATTAATTACATACTTTAGATCACTGTAAACATAAGTTGAACCAATTGGATTCATCAAAGATTGATTCATAATATTATTAAAGATTTGAGCTTGACATGAGAAATCCATTGGTGGATTATAGAATTGGGTTGCTGGACAATTGAATTCTGGTGTATCTATAGAGACAAATAGAATTAATTAAAAATACTACTATTATTATTATCAATATTATTAATATTTAGACATACTAAAGAATGGGTTAGGGTCTGGGAAGAAACCAGAGTTGTGTAATAAACAATTGAGTACTGTAATGTCACTCTTTCCATTGACACCAAATTGGTCGCCCAAGATAGACTCGATGGTAGAATGAAGATCGATTTCACCACGTTGATAAAATTGTGCGATTGCAGTGGTTGTAGCAGTCACCTTTGAACAACTAGCCATATCAAATAATGTCTTTTAAATAATAAATAATAGAACAAGCAATAGATACATCATTGTTAATATATATACATAGATAGATAGATAGATACAATCTATTTTGTTTTGGTTTATATAACATACATCTAATTGCATTGGAGGGTTGACAGGCTTATTAAGAGGAGTTGGGATGCCATAGGTGAATGAACCTACAGCTTGTGAATATAATACACCATCTTTGTTACCAACGAGTGCAACACATCCTGGGAAGGTACCATTATTGACTGCTGATTGTAAGAATGCTGTGACTGGGTTCCAAATTGATTCGTCGCTGCTAGTAGTACTAGCATTGACAACAATCAACAACATCATCGACATTGCAATCATCACAGAGATGAATATTCCTCTTGATTGTAATCTCATCTCTCTATCTCTCTCTTCTTCTTCTTTTATATATCTATATATATATCTATATATATATATATTCTCAGCTAACTTTTGAAAATGAATGGTACCAGCTTGACAATGCTTATGCTTTGTCTTTTGGCAATGAGATTTTTCGATGCTTGAAATTCCCAATGACACGAACAATTCGACACCGCTCTGCGCAGAGCAGGTTGGTAATCACTGGTATCCCAGATATTATCAGTTTAATTTGTGCTTACTTCAAAAAAAAAAAAAGATAAAAGAGATAAAGAGAGAGTTATATAACAAAAGATCATATAGACGAGCCCATCATGGGTATGATAGGTTGTATCCAAAATCATCACTTAAGATTAACTTGGCACTTCTACAATACGATACAACAAATATTATATTATTATTGATGGTGTACTTCAAAACAGGTGTACACTTTGTTCGCTCTGTCATTTTGAACACACCAATTTGGTTTTATTTTATTTTGTTGTTGTGTTGTTCAAAGGTGTTGACACCAGTTAAAAGCATAACTTCATCTCTTATCTTCTATACGTACCATGTCAACGACCTTCTCTTCAAACAAAGAGGGGAGCACTGACAGTACTATTATCTCTTCAACAAATGAAGAGGTGGTAGCAGGTGAAGAAAGGAGAAAGAAAACAGTTAAAAAGAAACCTGCATCTCTCGTAGCAGCCGAAACAACTAGCAATGACAATTCTTCTTCCTCTACCTCTACTACTTCAACTTTTGCCGGCAACAATGATCAAGAAGAAGAAGGAGAAGGAGAAGGAGAAGGAGAAGAAACTACAAAAAAGAAAAAGAAGAAAAAGAAAAAGAAGAAAAACAAATCAACATCATCATTTGAAGCAGAACCAACGACCACCACCACTTTTGTACCTGTTCCACCAGCTGGATCACATTGTGGACTATGTGGAAAGACTGGAAAGATGAGGGTCACCAAATGCTGCAAGAACATCATTTGCGACGACTATGACAAATATCAACTCATGTCGTTTGCCAGAAACTCGTGTTCTAGAAACCATGATAGATACACTGTCTGCAACACTCATTTTGAACTCAAACACCGAGGTGCATGGCAAAAATGTTTGGAGTGCCAAAGAATGATGGGTGTACCATCGTTTGCCGACCAAGGTACCAACGAATACAACTTTGTCAAACTAGCGAATCCACCTAAATACACCATCACTTGCTCCTACTGTCCATATAGCTCTGGATCATTAAAGGATTTTCCTTCGATTTCTTATAAATTTGGAGATACTAAAAAATCCTATGCTTGTATTACTTGTTACAAGACTAAAAGAAATATATTATAAAAAAAATAAAATACATACTTCAAATTTTTGACAAGTAGAGCGGAAAAAAAAAAGAAAGACCATCGATTCTTTCTTTTAAATAATCATTCTTTCTTCAAAGATATGGATAATGATATATTCTTTAAAACAATTAGAAATATCTATCTTTTCAAAAGTATATTTAATCAGGTGACTCAAATACACAAGACTTTAGGAAAGAAATCATATACAATCAAAGATGTATTGTTTGCATGGGCATCAAAGAATGGGTATGATAGATTGGTCATTGAAAAGTTTAGATTGTATCCACAATCACTTAAAGATCAATTAAACAAATACAACTATACCAATGCAGCGATCGCAGATGCTGTACTTTTAAACAAGTACCTTGTTTTAGATGATTATAAAAAGGTACTTGGTATGGAAACCAATAATTTTATCAGGTTGTTGGATAGTCTGGCAATGAATCATCAATGGTATAGAGACGATGCATGCAAGTTGATTGAAGCTATAGAATACACTAAAACGCAATTAGTAGGTAAACGACAATACCGACAAGACGAATTCCTCTACTATTACAGTACCAAGATCGTCACTGCTACCATTCAATCCAATAATCTACAAGCTGTACAATATGTACTCGAAAAACTAGTTTACACTGCCAAACTTGTTCCTCAATCGATTATAGTGTTTGCATGTGGACAACTACCAACTCTTGGACAAAGTACACTCATTTTAGAGTACCTCATCAAAAAGTATAAAAATGAAGTCTACCCTTCACTTTTAAATATCAAGTCGATTGTAATGCACGGAAACTACAATCTAATAGAGATATTGTTAAATAATGGCATCAAAGAAACAAAAGAATATATAACACCAACCATAGTAGAGATTGCATGTTACAATGGACAATATGATTTGGTTGTCTATCTACTCTCACAAATTAAAAATATATCAAATGATCTATCTTTATCACGTGTACTTTTAATGGCTGCTAAAAGTAGTAATTTAAAATTATTAAAGTATGTTTGTCATAGTTTAAATAAGTTGGTTGTATGATTCATTAATGAATATTTATTTACTTTATTTCTTTCTTTTTTATTCTTTTTTAGATATTTGTATGAAAACATAAACATTGATTGTGGACCACTTGAAGTAATACTTTCAGAGTTTATAAAATATAATGAAAATGATAAACTTTATTATATTTCATACCCGGATCCTACCAAAACCTATTTCTATAATCGACTCTCCAAAGAACCCAGCAACCATAACCACGACCACGACCATGATCATGACGAGGAATATCAATTAAAAAAGTATCAAGAAATCATTGATTACCTCAAGAGTATATACACCACGGAATCGATACAATTCTTTGGAGATCAAATGAATCAAGATGGATCAACTAAATATACTCTCATCCAAATGCACAATATGTTTGGTAAATCATCACACTGGTGGACATCTAAATTACAGTATTATTTTCCTGAATTTGAATAAATAATAAATAATATAACAGTCCTTTCAATCATGATTAATATTAACTGTTAAAAAAAAGATAAGAGAAAAACAAAAGATTGTTGACTTGTCCAAAGATAATTCTAAGGTTGTTCTTTTCTATTATTTTAGAAAGCAATTCGAATATGTAATATACAAATATGGATAATGATCTATTCTTTATAACATTTAGAAATGTATATCTCTTTAAATGTATATTTAATCAAATACCTCAAATACACAAGACATTGGGTAAGAAGATATCATATGGATTTAAAGATGTATTGTTTGAATGGGCATCAAAGAATGGGTATGATAGGTTGGTAATTGAAAAGTTTAGATTGTATCCACAATCATTTGTGGATCAAATGAAGTACAAACCAAAGAACACTGCGATAGTAGATACCATACTACGAAACAAGTACTTTGTTTTAGATGATTATAAAAAGGTACTCGGTATTGCCATGGAAATATATTGTGATGTCAAGTTGTTGAATCGACTGGCATACAATCATCAATGGTATAGAGAAGATGCATGCAAGTTGATTGAAGCTATTGAATATACTAAAAGTCAATTAGCTGTTAAAATGCGACAAGAAGAAGAGATCATCTTTTTGTACAGCAACGAGATTGTCATTGCAACCATTCAATCCAATAATCTACAAGCTGTACAATATTTACTCGAAAAACTATCATATGCTTTCAAATACCCATACAACCTTTATCCCCAATCCATTGTACAGTGCGCAACTGAACAACCATCAACCCAACGAGACAGTACACTCATTTTAGAGTATCTCGTCAAAAAGTACAAAGATCAAATCGACTCATCCCTTTTTAAATTCGATTGGATTGCAATGCATGGGAATTACAAGGTTATCAAGATATTGTTAGACAATGGCATAGAAATAGCACAAGAACAAATAACACCTAAAATAGTAGAGATTGCATGTCATGATGGAAAATATGACTATGTTGTCTATCTACTGGACAAATTTAAGGGAATATGTCTATCTTCATCACTGGTACTTACAATGGCTGCTAAAAGTAGTAATTTAACATTATTAAAGTATGTTGGTTGGTGTTAAACTCCTTTGAAATATTTAAAAAGATTACACAAATATTAAATTACTAATTACTAACCCTAACCTATTCTATTATTAATTAACTTTCTTTTCTAGATATTTGTATGAAAACATAAACATTGATTGTGGACCACTTGAAGTAATGCTTCCAGAGTTTATAAAATATGATGGCAAGGATAAACTTTATTATATTTCATACCCAGATCCTACCAAAACCTATTTCTATCAACGATACAAAGATGATATAAACAACCACGACCATGACCATGACCATGAATATCAATTAAAAAAGTATCAAAAGATGATTGATTACCTCAATAGTATATACACCAAAGAATCTATACAATTCTTTGGAGATCAAATGAATCAATGTACAACAACCATTTATTACTCAAATGCTATGCAAATGCACAAAATGTTTGGTAAATCATCTTGGATATCAAAAATTATATACAATTTTCCAGAACTTGAATAAACCATGTATACATTTTAGAATGATAAGGAAGAGTTCTTGTCTTGTACTTAACTTCTTCCCATGGAAGCAAAAATTAAAAAATATAATATATTTTCTTTTTTCAAACTTTGAAAGAGATATCAAGGGGGTTGAGCTCGATCATTCAAGAGATCGCAAAGAAAGAAAGAAAGAGATAAAGAGAGAGAGAGATAGATAATATAATAATGAATAATGATATATTTTATTTAACATTTAGAAATATCTATCTCTTTAAATGTATATTTAATCAAGTAACTAAAATACACAAGAGTTTAGAAAAGAAGACATCATATAGATTTAAAGATGTACCTTTTGATTGGGCAACACAGAATGGGTATGATAGGTTGATCATTGAAAAGTTTAGATTGTATCCACAATCACTTAAAGATCAATTGTCACTCCTTCACTCCAATAAATATTATATAATAGATGGTGTACTTCAAAACAAGTACTTTGCATTTGATGATTTCAAAGAGATATTCAGGATGACCAAAGAGACAAATTGCTCTGTCATTTTGTTGGATAGTCTTTCTTTGAATCATCAATGGTATAGAGACGATGCATCAAAGCTAATTGAAGCATTTGAATACACTAAAACTAAACTTGGCAACCTAAATCAACAACAAGGAGAATCAACCTTTCTCTACACAACCAATCTCATCAGAGCAACTATTCAATCCAATAATCTACAAGCCGTTACATATGTACACGAACAACTAGAGCATTATGGTAAAATTGGAGCTCAGTCTGTAGGTTGGGCATCAGTTCAACCAACTCAACGAGACAGTACACTCATCTTTGAGTACATTGTCAAAAAGTATAAAGATGAAATCAGACTATGGTCAATCAATTTCAGATCGATTGCAATGCATGGACACTACAAAGCTATACAAGTATTGTTGGACAATGGTCATAACATCACAGTAATAGAAGAATATATAACACCAATCATTTTAGAGATTGCATGTTACAATGGTCATTATGATTTGGTTGTCTATCTACTCAACAAATTTAAAATTAAACCCCATCTATCTCCAAATATACTTGGACTTGCTGCTAAAAGTAGTAATTTAAAATTATTAAAGTATGTGTTTGAAATAATTAATTAATTTATATCAATATTTACATTGATCAAATAGACTCTACTTGGAGCCCAAGATAGCTAACTAACTTACTCTCTATTTTATTTATTTAATTTATTTACTTTTAGATATTTATGTGAAAACAAATCAATAGATTGTGGATCACTTGAATCAATCGTTCCAATGTTTATAAGATGTAATGAAGCGGATAAACTTTATTATTTCTCCGAACCAGAACCCATCTTTTTTTACTCAGAAATGCTATACTTTCCATACATTACAACCAAGTATGATGAAATCATTGATTTCCTTCAAGGTATATTCGACAAAGAGTTGATACAAAGGCTTGGAGATCGGTTAGGCAAATGTGGACCTTCAAAATTTTGCTCAGATGTAACAGCACTTGACAAAATGCTTGGGAAGCCTCCTGGATGGTATCCAAAATTAGATTCAATCGATCAAGAATTAATGGAATAATTTTAAATAGTTTGTTTGATATAATTCAAAAAACAAAGAAACAAATATTTTTCAATCAAGAACTGTTGGATGAAAAATAAATTGATGTCAAGTCAAAGAAAAAGCAAGAAAGGTTGCAAGACTCTTTGCATCAACAAAAATTATTCGGTGGTTTGGTAAATGGCGTTTTTTTCAAGTGGATCTATTTCCTCAGGGAAGAGGTCTGGTATTCATTAAATCGATTATATATCATCAGTTGTTATTCATTCGAAAAGAGAGAGAGAGATAAAAAGAGAGAAAGAAAAAATATGGACAACCTATTTTTCAAGACATTTAGAAATATTTATCTCTTTAGAAGTATATTTAATCAAATACCTATCATACACAAGACATTGGGCAAGAAGATATCATATGGATTCAAAGATGTATTGATAGAATGGGTATGATAGGTTGGTCATTGAAAAGTTAAGATATGATCAACAATCAATCAAGGATCAAATGACACCTATTTATCCAAACAATTACAAGACTGTAGATGCCATTATTCAAAACAAGTACTTTGGTTTGGAGGAATGCAAAAAAATAATCGATGCTCTCAAGGGAACAGAATGTTCTATGAGGTTTTTGACGGCTCTGGCATCTAATCACAATTGGTACATAGACGATGCACCAAAGTTCATCGGAGCTATCGAATACATGAAAAGTGTGAATATTGCCTGTCAATATTTACAAGAAGAAGATTGCCCCCTCCAGATTGGCATTCCTCTGATGTCTTCAGCCATCGAATCCAATAATCTGCAAGTAGTACAATATTTTCTCGAACCACTAGCGAATCATGAAAACTCTCCGTCTTACCATTCAACCTATCACGATCGAAATGTATATTTAGCATCTTCTCAACCACCGATACTGGACAGTGCACTCATTTTCGAGTACCTTCTCAGCAACAAGTTCAATCATCATCATCATCAATTCCAACCAGATTATTTGATATCATATATTCAATTTGAAGTAATAGCAAAGAATGGGAGCGTCAAGTTTCTCGAGATATTGTTGGACAAGGGATTCGGACCATATTTCACATATGAAATGGCCAATATTGCATGTTTCAATGGACATTATGATTTTGTTGTCTATCTGCTCTCCAGATTAAAAACAATTCATCATCCATGTTCAGATATACTTACCTTGGCTTCTAGAAGTGGTAATTTAAAACTATTAAAGTAAGTAGTACCACATGTTTATTACCCACCTACCCATTTGAATCATATCAAATATTTACCTACCTATTCTTTTCTATTCTTTTTTATTTAACTTTTAGATATTTGTATGAAAACATTGAATGTGGATCACTTGAAACAATACTTCCAGAGTTTCTAAAATATGATGGAATCAATCAACTATATTATATTTCATATCCAAAACCTAGATGGTATAGGTATGAAAGCTACCGACTTTTCGATGATGACGATAAAGACGAGGAATATCATTTGAAAAAGTATCAGGAAATTATTGATTTCCTCAACAGTATTTTCGACAAAGAATTGTTACAAAAGCAAGGAAAAAAAATATATGAAAGTCGTCATTTTTACCGTGATGCAATTCAATACCATATAATGTTTGTCAAACCAGTAGGATGGTTTCCAATAATAGATTCAATGGATCAAGACTTGATAGATTATTTTAAAATTGTTTAATATTAAATATTTAATATCAATATCAATAATTTAAAATAAACAATATCCTTTTAATTTTTACTTTTTATATATAATTAAATAATTCGTATTTATTTATTTATTAATTTATTAATTTAAAATGTTAATTCTTTTGGATTATTTAAAGCCTTTTTAAATCGACTAATAAATAATCCTTTTGATTTGACGGCAGCTGTCATGAATCCACCGAGAATCATTCCGTTTGGTAGTTGGGTGATACCATCCTTGCGACCGAGCGACACACTGATCATGACACCAGATGGTTTGTGAACTGACAATTTCTTTTTCGATTCGAGTGCTTGGATATTCTTGGAGACGACGGCGGCGTGGTAGGCAGCATTGTATGATGTCTTGAGCTCGTCGACATTGGTGATATCACCGATAGCAAATACATTGTCGTGACCCTCTACTTGCAGCGATCCATTGACCTTGATACGGCCAGCTTGATCCAATTGTGTGGCAAAGTGAGTTTGGAGATACTCGTTGTTTGTCTTGTTACCGATACTCCAAAACACGAGGTCGGCTTCAACTGGACCCTTGTCAGTGTCATAAGTCTTGAGTTCGACATTATATGGATATGTTTCTTGATTGTTACGTGCGGCAATGACAGTGTCGGGGATTGCGATCGACGTAGAGAGCATGGTGGTGATACCCATCTTTTTGAGTTTCTGGCCAAGCTGCTTGTTAAACTTGTCGCCGACATTGGGGTGTACCAAACGTTCTTGGTTGTGTACAATAGTGATTGACTTGCCCTTGAAATCAGTGGCAATCTCGCCAGCTAGTTCCACGCCCACAGCTCCACCTCCGACGATGAGCACCTTGGTGGCACGGCCAATATTCTCTTTGAGCGATGTGTAGTATGGTGTGACCGAGGCCAGTTCAAGTGGCGACTTGAATGGAGTCATATTGTTGGTGCCTGTTGCAATGACCAAGTAGTGAAAGCCGACAATCTCCTCGCCATTGCCCAATGCAATGCGGTTGGGACCAATCTCGGTGGCAGTCTGGTAAATGACACGACCCTTTTTGAGAAGACTATCGTATGAGAGGAACACCTTTTTGAGGAGCTCTGGCTCGACGGCCGAACGCAGAGCAGCCACATTATGGAAAAAGAATGGTCTCTTTTCAACCAATGTCACATCAAACTTGGCATCCAACTCGGCTGCCAATGTGACACCACCGTATCCTCCTCCGATAATTACAACCTTTTTCTTTTCTCCCAATGTCGATGTTGATGATGAAGACATGATATATTTTGTGATAGGTATGATAATAATAGAAACTACAATAGCTGATAGATAATAATAATAATAAGGATAGGATTGATAATTAAATGACATATACTAAACTAAATATAATATATTATATAATTATAAAAATAAATAAATATCGTGTTTGTTTGTTTGAACGAGTAGAAGTGTGTGTTTGAATAAATAAATAGAATTGTGAATGTTGTGTATAAAGTGATCTCTTTTAAAAAAAGCAATTGCTTTGGTTGCTTAAAACATTCTACATTTATAACTAATCTATTGATGTCTGTTGTCTATTCTTGAAGTTGGCCTTCTAGCTCTTCCCTTTGTCTCGGGAATTAATTCGAAGTTCGTTTATGTTTGAACCAGAAGAGGCAGACTTGATTCACATACGCCAACGGTTCGCTATTCAAAAAAAAAAAAAATCAGGACCTGTGACCCCAACAAACGTATCAGCTGCCAATGCATTAATTCCATCAACGTAGGAGCAAGACAACACGTCCACCTCCTATTCAAGATTCGTGATTATTAATCGTCATGTACATGAAAGAGATAGATAGTATTCGGACGTCCGAATTCAATAGCTAGAAACTGGAATAATAATTTAGCAGTCAAATAGAGTATAGCATTATTATGATGACGGATAGCATATTACCTTATATTAACAATTACGAGCAAGCGAATTGGCTAGTTAGTCAGTCACACAACTGTCGGCAATATATAAATTAAAAAGGATATAAATATTTAAATCGGCTGATATAAATAGACAAACAAAGCAGAATATCGATCGTATGATGTATCTCTCTATCTAGCATCTTATCTATCACTTTAATATATTATATGTATGTGTGTATGTGCGTGTTGATTGAATACCTTATTATTTATTCGATCTCGATTCAATACAATTGTATAAATAACAAGGTAGAAGGTAAGGTGGAAAGAAGAAGGTAGAAGGAATAGGAATTAATGTCAGAAGTGTCTTATTCAAAAGATAATACGAAACACAAGATGTTCCGTCTGTCCGTCCCTCCTCACCACCTGCTGAGCACGCATATAATGAATAAATGATTGGGTGTGGGTCGGACAACAACAACAACAACAATAATGTATGTGTGTGTGTGACAGACAAAAAGAAAGAGAGAGAGATAACAAATATGGCAATAAAAAAAACTATAGATAGATTCATAATACACATCACTTAAATTAATTAATTCAAGTGAGAAGGAAGAGGAGAAGGAGGAGGATGGTGATGTGCCGATGTCGGCTGGATCATGTTAAAAAAATGATGAGAGTGTGGTGAGAGTGTGTGGGTATTTGACTGTCAAACAAAAGTATACTTCCTCTCCTCTCCTCTCCTCTCTCTCCTTATCAAGTATCATAAAATTTAAATTATTTATTTCAAATTCCAACAAAAAAAAAGGAAACTAATATATTTTTAAAAAAAATACCTTTTTTTTTATTTTTATTTTAAATACTTTTTTTTTTTTTTTACTTTGGTGAGGAATCCAATCTCTTTGGATAACTCTCATTTCCATTGACCACCCAACCATTAAAATTTAAATTATTGTAGTATTTTTTATTTTTTATTCAAGTTTTTATTATTATTATTATTAGTTAGTACTCTTGTTACTTTACTAGTTACCAGTTAGAGTGTAGAGTTTTAGTAGTTTAGTAGGTTAATATTAGCCAGGCTACGATAGGTGCCCACACAAAGATATTTTTTCAACAGAAATAAACCAACCCCTTTTTTGGTAAGTCATTTCGTTCGTCGACTTTTAAAAAGTTATTTCCGCACTCACTACGCTAAGCAAAGCTTCTATCCCTCTCTTTCTCACCAACCCACAAACAACGAGAGCTTTTGCAAAGCAATCAAATATTTGACAACCTCCCTGTTTTGCCCATTACTATCTTTTTTTTGCGATAATCTTTAAATCTGTTCTTCTTCTTCCTCTTCTTATCAACCCAGTAGTAGTTACAATAAAGGAAAGAATCTGTCTCCGTGTCTGTACAGCATCATCAAGGCGGGTCGCAAAGTTGCACACACTACACCTTAGTCGATACATATTCCTTCTTCTTCGTACAACATATATATATATATATATATATACAATAATACATAACAGCAGCAATATATATATAGAAGAAAAGACATATTTATAAATATGTCTTCGTTATACAATGTACACCCACCACCAGCTCCACAACCAGTATGTAGGTACATGTAGAAGCAGCATCAACACATCATCAAGCTTGCAACAACAAAGTGACGTCACTCTCCATTCCTTCTTCGATGCTCAAGAAGGAAATAAACATTGCCCACTCCACACCACCCCCCACAACCTCGCCATGGTCAGATTATGATGATTGAATGATTTGTTTATTTGGTTGTGGGTGGGCGCACATGGCTGGCGGACGGGTGCGGGCTTTATAAATAGGGTACGCCCCACTATGACAATTGCTACAAATGGTACATTGAAACTCTATATATCATGTAGATATGTCGATGAAGGGGCGTGCTTCATAGGATGACTCTCTATTTAACCGACCCTGCCATTCTCCATTATTATTACCACACCCACCACTCTCCATCATCTGTTTGCACCCAATTCCCGACCAATTGTACTCGAGCGTAGTATAAGGGTATAGTAGTTGGAAGGTAAAACACAAAACAGAATATCAGGCAGAAAAGAAATAATATAGAGAGAAAGAGAGAGAGTAAGCTCAACTTCACCAATCAATCTATTGTTATGGTTTGGCTATACCCTATATCCCTTTGTTCTATCTTGTGTACATAGATAACATACATACACACCCACATTTTCTTCTGTTTGTTGTTATCCCTTGTCTCTGTTCTACGCTAAAAACTCAAATTCACACAACACAACATATTTATTTATTCACCCCACTCAACACTATGCTATACCCCCTCCCAACGTTGCATTGATAACGTTGTTTTGATGTTAGTGAAGCAATATAATATATTGGGAGGAAGGAGAGTAGACTTTCTCCTTGTTGTTCTTCTCAACCACTTAAAACATATATAATATAATATATCACAAACAAACAAGCAAACAAACAAACAAACAATACTAATTATTTTTTTTTATCCCAATTATTATTATTATTATCAAATCTATTTGACCATAAACAAACAAACAAACAATACTACTTACTATTACTATTACTATTGCTTAAACAACAAATGAATATCAAACAAAACTCAACAAATGGTTTATAATAATTATTCCAATTCCAATTCCAATTCCAATAATAATATCAACAACAAATCAACTTCAATTCTAAAGTACAACAATAGCAATTTAGTAGCTCAACAGCAACAACAACAACAACAACCCATAATTATAGCAACCACCACTGGCAACAACAGTAGTGCAAGTAATTATATTATAGAAACAACATCTTCACCTCAAACAGATTCACAACAACAAACATCGACAAACAACATGTTGGCATCATATTCTTATGCACCAACGTCAATTGGATCGCTTCAAGAGTACCAAAAGAGCGTATATGCAAACCAACAACAACCACCTGTTGTCGGACCGACCACTCCTCAAATGATGGTTCCATCTCCTCAATTCATCTCTTCACAGCAACAACAACAATACCAACAGGGGTACTATTTGAATGGAGGTGCTGGCGCGCCATCAGCCCATACCCCTTCTTCTTCATCCAACACTGCTGCCGTCAATACAGGCAGACCTATTTACAATGGCGCACAACAACAACAGCCAAATATCCACGTTGCAACCAACGTATCCTATCAAAATACAATGCCATCTCGCGGTGGACAGCAACAACAAGACATGAGTGCACCTTCTTCCAACAATAGTACACCAATGTTTAATAGTATGAATGGTAGTGGTGGAGTTGGAGCTGGGGGTGGACCAAAGATGAGCAATGTGGCGATGAATTTCTACAACTTTCTTTATCAAAGTCCTGCATTGGTTGATCGTTTAAAGATTGTAAATAGAGGGGAGCCCGTTGCTTCTGATGGTCTATATCTCTTTAACACTAATAATATACCTCAACACCTAAAACAACACATCCAACAGCGACAGGCACAGCTGATGCAACAACAACAACAACAGCAACAGCAAGTTGCATCCTCACCAACTACAGAAGATGAAGCAAAGGAATCATCAACCACCACAACCACCTCCACCACCTCTACAACCACCTCAACCAAATCATCTAGATCAAAGAAAACTAAAGCAGCTGCAGCAGCAGCTGAAAAGGAAAAACCAGCTAAAAAGAAATCAACAAAGAAATCAAAATCAAAGGAATCAAACAACAACAATAATAATAATAATACAGATGATAAAACAAATGTAAATAATAAGGATAATTCTTCTTCTGCTGCCGCTGCTGCTTCAGCTGCTTTAGTAGTTGTGGTACCAATACAAACATCGTCATTATCATCTTCGACACCATCATCCAATACAAATACACCCATTTCATCAATCAACGTCACTACTAATCCAAATGTATTGATCCACTCTTCATCTTCGTCGTCATCGTCATCATCATCATCATCTTCGTCTTCGTCGGGATCAGAGGATAATACTCGTCACCATCATTCACTTGTCAATGCATCATCATGTAAAAATACGCCATCAACTTTATTGCACAGTCACCCCCATCACCCTCACCAACACCAAGATTCTTCTTTGGTTGTTCCTATTTGCGATCCTCAATCTCAACCATCAACCAATACCTCTACTTCTTCTTCTACTGGACAAGAACCAGAAGTCAAAGTAAATGTGACAATAACTCCACTGTCACTGAGATACAACACGTTTGACTATTCAGTCTCACCTTCGATGGTTAGTAACACCTCGGCGACATCGACACCCCAACATGGATCTGCTGCACACCAGCACCACCACAACAACAGCAATAACAGCACTCCACCCGACAACAGTCCACCAACGATCAACATCCTACCAACAACATCGGCACCCAGTGCCATTGTACCACCTCCACCCATGTCGACTGCCTCCTCATCCACATCGGGTATGCTAAACATGGCACACCCAGGGTTTGGAATCGGACCCAACCGCAAGGAAAGTCTCATCAAAAAGAACTCGGTCGACAGTTTCTGGGAGACTGATCGAAAGAATAGTATCTGGTTCCCAAGTTCATCAGGAGGAATCGGAGGAGTTGGAGGAGTTGGTAGTATCTCTGGTTCATTCGGACTCGACTCACGAAAGAACAGTTATCTCTTGGACATTGATCGCAAGAATAGTCTTGGTTTGTCGTACGAGTTGGATGACACACTCTTTTGTGAACGTAGAAACAGTTTCCAAAATTTTTCAAATATCACTAGAAAGTTGTCCAAGGAAATTCTTTCAGGTCAACCATGTATAAATATTAATTTAGGAAATCAACAACAACAAAACAACAATAATAATAACAATAGCAATGGTGGTTTATCAAACTCATCATCCAAACTTTTAAATATTAATGTCAGTCCATCACCGATGGGTGGTAATCCATATAATAATCAACATCAACAACACCAACAACAATTTAATAATCCATCTTCTTCCTCTTTTATACCAATTAAAAAACGTTCACTATCTCAAGACGATATTCAATTTTTTACTCAACCAACCAAAATGTCAAAACCAACAACTTCCAATCCTTATGAATAAGACAAGACAATACAATTTTCAACTCAAGATAGAGAGATAGATAGATGGATAGCATATAATAATAATAACCATTTTCACACATTTTTTTTTTTTTGATACATTAATAATAATACAAATAAAAGAAAGAAATACTATTGTATTGTATGTTTTAAAAAGTATCATTTTTCTGATTCTGTACCATCTCTGTTTAAACCTTGTTTTTTAGCACCATGGAAGAGAGAGATTCCAATGAATATCTGATCCAAAGATTAAAAGATTTTTTGCCAACTTTGTCGGGTAAATTATCTTTTTTTAAAACCACAACAATGAGTTGTTTTTTTGTGGGTGTCCTCAACAATGCATCAAAGCCTTCTTTTCAATCTCGATTAAACCTCCTAAGAGCCCACCACACCAATCATTCATAACCTCTTTTTCACCACAAGCAAGTTTGTTGGTTCTTCTTGTCTCTCTCACTTGTTTATTTCTTTTTCTTTTTCTTCAACTTGAATCTATCTCTATCTATCTATTTGTATTATTTTCTTTCCTCCCTCGAGATAATATTCATTCAAGTCCTTTGTATCATAGCTCCCCTCCCCTCCCCTCCCCTCATCACTTTTATTCATATTCAATTCAATTCATGTTCACCATCGTTAATTCAAGATAAACACTCACACTCGCTCACACATACACAATTGATTGCTAGACACACCACTCACTACCTGCTGATCGATTAACTCTTTTCTCTTTTCAAAATGTCTTGGATACAAAAAACACCATTAAACACTAGCAATAGTGATAATAACAGTAATAGTAATAGTAACAGTAATAATAATAATAATAATAGTAATAATAATAATGGACCAACAATATTTCAAAGACCACCATTATCAAAATCGACACATAATCCTCAAACTTTTAAAACACCTCTTGTAAAATCCCCAGACATACGATCAACTTCATTTGATAGTTATTTACCTTCTGTTGTACATATCTCCTCTCCTCCTCCTCCTCCACAACCATCATCATCATCGACATCAACAACTTCAACCACATCAACCAATAATAATAATAATAATAATAATATATCATTACCAGCAAGATTTGGTAGTACACCATCACCACAACCACCAAATAGATTATTACATTCATCTGGATCACATCCACCACCACCACCTGTACCATTTAAAAAGTCATTTTCAAGTTCCTCACCATCATCAATAACGAGACCAGCGTCTTTAGGCACATCATCATTATCACCACAACGAAATCCAAACTATCGACCATTGTCAACACCCTCCAAACTCAACTCACCCATTGAAAAATTAAAGGCTAGCTCTAGAAGGCGTGGTGTCACTGTGGCTGCATCCGGTGCAGAGATTGATGTAGAAGAACTACGTATGGTGTTGATGAGCACACAACGACCACGTTCCAAATCGGTTGAAGTACTCAATTCATGGGACTACCAACCTGATGATTGGTACAACCAACCACACAACAACAACAATGAAGAAGAGTACTATCCTTTAGAAGACGACTATCAATATGGAACTGCATCTTCTTCCGATGGATCTGCTCCCAACTCTCCATCCCTATCATCACCTTTAAAGTTGAGTACTGGTATCAGTGGCAGTAGTAATAGTAATAATACTGGTAGTAGTAGTCCTAGTAGTAGTGGAACATCACCATCAATCACAGCTTCACTTTCCTCCTCAACATCTAATCTATTGAGATTATCATTAAGTAGATCTTTTTCAGAAGATGTTGCCACAACAACAGGAGGATCAAATGAAGCATCTGGAAATGGTAGTCCTAGATTAGCTGGAATCTCTAGTGGTAGTGCAGGTAGCAGTCCATCCAATGGTAATAGTGTACTTGCATCACCAAGACAACACCAACCATCTTCATCGCCATCCTCCTACTCACCATCATCCTCTTCAAATAATATCAACAAATTAATATTTGAAAAGAATGAAGATAACAAATTTAGTGTTGTATCAGGTCCAAAAATACAATTAATGGAAACATTATGTAGTAAAAATAAGCCTGGTATGTATATACATTGAAAAAACAAACAAACATATAATGTATGCCAAAATGTATTAATCTTATTCTTTTTTTGTAGATTTACAATTTGTATATAGTTTTATTTTATCTTTTCACTTTTTTATGACATCAAAGGAATTATTTGATTTCCTAATGATAAAGTATGAAACCATTCCTCAAAGTACCCATTCTGCTAAAATCTCAAAACAATTTGAAGAAATTTCAGAATCTATTAAACAAAAGTAGGTCATGATATGTTGCATCAATTGGAAAGTATATGTATTTATTAATATTCTATTCTATTCTATTTTCTGTTGTTTATAGTGTAATAACAGTATTATTGATTTGGATTGATTGTAATTTCCAAGATTTTTTGGATGATCCAGAATTACAAAAAAGATTACACCAATTCTCGCAGGAAAATAAGGCGGTTAGAGAGTATATTGATAAACAAGATATTTTAAAGGTTAATTTACAACAACTTGCAGATCAAATGAGAAATGAGCTTTTATTATCATCACCTAGATCTGGTTCAAATTCTTCTTCCTCTTCCTCTTCCTCCTCTTCGTTATCTTCCTCATCAAACAACAACAACAATAATCAAGATAAAAATCATATATTTACAGCTTACCAAATGCAAGATTGGATTGCCAAACATTTAAATATTGGCAGTTCTGCCTCTGAACTAGTTCTTAGAAGACTGCTTGCAATGAAAAGAATAGGTTCTATTGGTGGTCAATTAACTGGAAAAGGGAAAATACAAAAAGAAGATAATTTCTTTTTTGCAATTGTATGTTAAGAAAAACTCTCAAAGAAAGTTTGATTAATATTGAATATTGAATATGTTATTAATCAATTATCTTTGATAATTTTACTTTTGTATAGCCAGCAACAATTAAAGAATCATATTCTAAATCATTTTTAGATTATCATCCATTGGATATTGCAAAACAGCTGACTATTATAGAGTTTAATATATTCCAACAAATTAGATTAAAAGAGTTGTATCATAAGAGGTGGACGGTTGCAAAGACCAAACATGACAACTCACCACATATTATGGCACTGATCACTCTGAGTAACAAGGTGGCCAATTGGGTCAGCACCGAGGTTGTGACAACCCCACATCCCAAAAAGCGACTGGAAGTACTCAAACGGTTCATTACACTCGCCGAACAATGCAAAAAGATCAACAACTACAACACGTTTATGGAGATTATCTCGGGACTCAACAACGGTGCCGTTGTCAGACTAAAGGACACTTGGAAGCAGCTACCCTCAAAATACTCGAATCTATTCAAATCGATGCAAGAGTTTATATCGACCAACGAGAATTGGAAACATTATAGAAACGCATTGAAAAAGCGTGAGGTTCCATGTCTACCGTATCTAGGGTTATTCCTTCAAGACTTGAATTTTTTGGAAGACGGTAATGCAAACACTGTACAACAACAAATGCAACAACAAATGCATAGATCTATATTATCATTGTCATCATCTTCATCTTTGTCTTCATCATCTTCTTTGGATGATTTTAGTCTTGACGCCAGTGATGACCAAGTCATACAACAACAACTAGAGGAAGAAGAACCACATATTAATTTTAAAAAGATGGTTCTATTATCCAATGTCTACAAAAACATTCAGTTCTTCCAAAAACATCCATACCTCTCGTTCACCTCCAACAATACATTACAAACTTTTCTTGACAAGGATATGGTCATCCTCCCAGAAAAGGAACTATATGAATTCTCAAAGTTTATAGAGTCTCCAACTAATCCTCTCAACAAACTTTCAAAAAAGGAAATATATTAAAATATAATGATGTAACAATCTCTTTCCCACTTTTAATCATCAAATAAATATATATATATATATATATATTATATAAATATATGTTACATTTCGTACTCACATTTCAAATATCTCAAGTTCTTCCCTACATTCTTTGAAATCTTCAAAAATCTTGAAGATGTCTGAATTTTGACCTTTTTCATCAAAGATCAGCGCGATGAGAGGGTTGTTCATTGACTCAAACTTGTTAAATTCTATTATTATTATCTTTATTGTATTATTTATTATTTGTTAAAAGTAATAATAATAAATAGAGATATATTATATTTATATATTATATTATATAATTAAAGTTCTATAGAATGTTTAATGGATTTATATTCTTTGTTCATAATAGTGTACCATTAAAAGAGAGGTCAAAGATTAAAGAGAATGTAGTACAACAAGGTGCAAAGATATCTAGTTTGGTCAATGCTACAGTGACACATTTCTTGGTTGGTGTGGAAGAGTTGGATCGTGAGACACCGGTCATGGTCATAAAGAGTGCCTTAAAGTCAAACCCAGCACTTAAAGTGGCACACTATCGATTTGTTAGTGAATCGGTTGAAAAGGGTCAATTGCAATGCACCGATCAACTCAACTCTGCAATGTTACTACAACTACACAATGAAAAGAAAGCTCTATTTTCTTTATCTTCAGCTGGTTCATCATCTTCAGGATTGGGTCAAAACGAAGATTCTTCATCTAAAAAGAATAATACAAGTTACAACTTTATAGATATGATGAAAAAGAAAAAGAAAAAAGTTAGAATCTTTATATCTTCAACTTTTTTAGATATGTCTCAAGAGCGAGAATATCTAACTACTCATCTAATGCCAGAACTATCAGATTACTTTAGATCAAAGAGTAATGCTATCGACTTTAGTTTTGTCGATCTTAGATGGGGTATATCACGTGCCGAGTCACGTCGAATGAATACCATGGCAACGTGTCTGGACGAGGTCGAGTCGAGCACATTCTTTATCTCGTTGCTTGGCAATCGGTATGGATGGAGCGAGGGTGAAGACTATGACAAGTCATTCAATGTAGCTGCTCAAAGTCACCACTGGATCAAGGATTTCCACGGTCGTTCCATCTCGGAACTCGAGATTCTAAAAGCCACCAGATTCGCCAACTCTCCCAAGAATGTATTCTTTTATTTCAGAGAACAAACTGGTGCCTCTCAACACGAACCTGAAACTCCACTTTCAACCGATCGTTTAAATAGATTAAAAGGTTTAATCAAATCTCATCATTTACTTTCTTCATCTTATACAAATGTTAATCATTTATTAAAGGTATTAAACAAAAAGAAAAGAAAAGAAAAAAAAAAAAAGAAGAAAACAACAAATTAATTATTTCTTTTTTCTTTCTTTTAGAAAATATTTGATGATATTGTTAAAAAGGTTGAATATCAATTCCCATCTATAACCAATAATTCAAATTTACATTTCAATTCAATTCAAAATAGTCAAGAAGGAACACTTGCCTATGAAATTGAAAAACATGTATCTTTTGCCAAATCATTATTAAAAAACTATGTATCATCAACTGAAAGAGAAGCAATGATTGACAAATTAAACTCTGATATCATTTCAAATTCAACAGACAATATAATGAGTAATACACCTATTGTTGTACAACAAAATTTGGCTGACAGTGGAAATGGACAGTCTTCATTCATCTGTTACTGGCTATCCCAGTTACGAGCCAAAAAGATCATTGATCCTGCCAATACGTTGGTCATTGCTCTGTTTGTTGGTGTGACATCGGCCAGCAGATCGAGATTCGAGATTCTCAGACTCACCTTTTCCATCATCCGTGCACACTATCAAGTGACCACTCCACTATCTGAAGATCCAAAGTTGTTAGAGGAAGAGATGACCTATTGGTTTGATATTGCCACTAGAAATGGACGCAAGTTGATTTGGGTGGTTGACGGAGTCAACAAGTTGGATCGTATCGATGGTGAGTCGGCCAAAGAGTCGATACTGTTCCTCTGCAAGACACTACCATCCCAAGTCAAGTTGGTGGTTGGTTCCGATGAATACACAATACCTACCCAACCAACCTCCCAACAAGCAATCATTGCTTTCGAGGCACCCATGGACGTGATTCCATTGGTCACCAAAGCAGAGCGCGTAGAGTATATCACTAAATACTTGGCCAAGTATGGTAAGCATTTGGATATGGTCAATATTAATCTGTTGGCCAACTCGTCATCATGCGAGTCACCTCTCTACCTTGCCACGGTACTAGGTGAGCTTGTCCACTCGGTCAACTCATTCGAGCATCTCGATGCCAAGATCAAGTCGCTTCTACCGTCAAGCACCTCCATCTCCAAATGGACCTGTACAGAACTATATAGTCGCATCATTGAGCGTTGGGAAAAGGATCAATCCTACCCCAAGGGAATGGTCAAAAAGATTCTCAAGCTAGTGTCTGTGTCTGGTGTCGGACTGTACGAACACGAAATCCTTGCCATACTCGACATTAAAAACAGCTTTGGATTCTTCTCGTCGGCCAGATCTATTCTCACGATGGACGGAAACAGCACCTATGTTTACTTCCGCTCCAAACATCTCGTCGATGCCGTCTCTCACCGATACTTTGCATCGGCCAACAACAACGCTGACAAGTTGGAATTCATCCAAAAGCTTTCATCCTACTTTATCCAACTCAACAACCCGTCTCCACGTATCGCCGATGTGTTGCCAGGATACCTCGTTGAATGTGCCGATTGGAGTAGTCTCAGACAACTCTTGCTCCAACCAAGAGTATTTACACTCTTGTCGACCGAGACTGGTAGAATCCGAATGATCGACTATTGGAAGAAACTCAATCTCACCAAACCAGAGATTATTACCGGCTATCGCAAGATGTACGATGAGTACAAAAGAGGACATCCGCCTCTTGAAGCATTGGCTAATCTCACCAGACAGTTGGGTCTCTTTTTCGACAGTCTCTCCTACTATGAAGTTGCCTTTGAATTTTTGGAAATGGCAAGAGACTATCATGTCAGTCTTCACAGTGAATTACATCCAACAGTTTGTCAAGACATTCAAACTCTTGTAACCATCACTGTCAAACAATCAAAATATGATCAAAGTGAAAACTTTTCTGAAAAGGCTCTTGTCATTTCAAAATCTGTCTATGTATGAAAATATAGTAGTAGTCCCTTTAGCTAAATAATATTAATAATATTTTGTCTTTTTTTTATTTATCTTTTTAGGGAAATGATAATTTTGGAACATGTGAATCATTAATTTTAAGAGGATTGGTTCAAAAGAAAAAAGCAAATTACAAGGAAGCTAAATACTTTTATGAAACTGCTTTGGATATCATGTTCAAATTCTTTGGATACAACAAAAAAGATTCAGATAATCCCTGTCACACTCAACACTTTAACTCGAAACTTGCAGATCTCTACAACAACTTGGGTGATATCTATAGAAAGTTGGCATCTTTTGCCAAGGCAACCGAATACTATAACCAAACTTTGGTTATTTATAACAATATTAAACCACAGTATAACCCATCGTTTGCAGAATTGTACAAAAATCTTGGTTTGGTTGAAAAGAAAAAAGGAAATTATGTACAGGCACTAGTACACTACAACAATGCATTGGAGATTATCGAAATGAAATATGGAAGAGATCATGTCATGTATGGTCTCTATCTTTGTGATGTAGCAGATACAATGAGAAAACAAGATCATTATATTGCTGCCAAAAATACTTATTTCAAAGCATTATCAATTATTAAAGATAAACTTGGGTATGCGACCAAAGAAAGAAAGTAAACAGAGTAAAAGAAAACTAATTTAATTTAATTTATTTTTAATTTATTTTTTTAATTTAGTAATGAAAATATAGAAATAGCAGAAATATTTAATAATCTTGGTTTAATTGAAAAGAAACATGGTTTTTACAAAGAAGCAATAGAGTATTATAAAAAGGCAATTGCTATTGCTGAAAAGGTCTTTTCAAAGAATCATCCCAAGGTTGGTTTCTACACTCACAATCTTGGTGACACTCACAGAAAACTGGGTGCCTATGAGGAAGCAGAGAAATTATTCGCCAAGAGTTTACAAATTGCACAGAGCAATCTTGGCAATGACCATATCGAAGTGGCCGAGATTCTCAACAGTATCGGCTTGGTCTACAAGAAACAATCCAAGTACCTTCAAGCTGAACGTGAATACAAACGTGCTATTGCCATTGTCGAGAAATCGCTGGCAAAGGATCATCTAAAGGTTGGTATTTACTCTAGTAATTTGGCCGATGTCTATAGAAAAAAGAAACAATTTGACCATGCCAGAACTCACTACACCAAGGCTGAAACAATCATTGAAAAGGCAGTAGGTAGCCAACATTCTGAATATGCCGAGGTTCAGTATGGATTTGGTTTACTTGAAATGGCATTGCAAAACTTCCCAACTGCCATCCAACTCATTGAAAAGGCAATCAAAATTACAAAGGATGAATTTGGTAATCAACATCCAAAGATTGGTATCTATAGTAACAGTTTGGCAGAGGTTATGGTCGAAGAACAAAAGGCCAAGAGATTACCAAACCTTCCACAATCATTCAATGCAAGATTGGTTCGAACTACCTTCCAAAATGCTCTCAACCTTCTCAAAAAGGATCTTGGTGAGAAACACCCAGAGATTGCAGACATCCTCATAAACTTGGCAGATTTTGAGGAAATGACTGGTGACACTCGTTTGCATAACATATATATCGAACAAGCAATTGATATCATTCGCCATTCATTTGGTGAAGATCATCCTAAATTTAAATTATTACAATCTAAAATCTTAAGTTAAAAAAAAAAAAACAAATCAAATCAAAAAGTGTAAAATAATAAAAAGATTGTTAATCTAATTTGTTCATTGTATATCGTTACTTTTTTGTTTATACATATTTATTTATACTTAAATAAATAAATTAATAGTTTTTTTTAGTGATAATTAATTATTTGCTAAATTTAAAGAATGATTTAAGTTTTGACCTGGTTTATCCTTGAACCCTGAACCTAAAACTGGATTAACATCAATTGTCATTGGTGATCTAACGTTTGGTCTTGGTAGATCACGTGGGTTGGTTGGTTTGGGATTATTGGTGAAATATGGGTGATTCAAAGCTTCAGTTGCAGAACATCTAGCTGATGGATTAAAGGTAAGCATCTTGCTTAATAAATCCAAGGCATCATCACCAGCAGCTGTAAAAAGTTGTTTAAATGGTGTTGCTGGGAAATCTGTAAATTTAATATAATTTGGTAAACTTGTTACTCCCTAAAATAAATAAATAAATAATAATTAGAATAGATGGAAAGAGAGAGGTTATATGAAAAAAAAATGAATGAATACAAACAGGCCAAATGGTTTCATTGGGAGTTCCAAGAGCAGCAAATATTTTTGCCAATTGATCAATCTCTGATGTTCCTGGTAGATAGGGTGTACGTAACATAAGTTCTGCAAAAATACATCCAACTGACCATATATCAAGACTTGGTCCATATGATCTAGACCCAAATAATAGTTCTGGTGCACGATAGAAACTAAAATAAATTAAATATAATTTAGATTAGTTATTGGTGATTGGTGATTTCGTGTGTTTGATCAGTCATTCATACATTGTAACGGCTTGTGGAGAATATACTTTGTTTGGACTACCATATTGTCTTGCCAAACCAAAATCAGCCAATTTTAAAATACCATCACCACCAATCAACAAATTGTTTGGTTTTAAATCCTAATTATTATTATTAGATAAATAGATAGATAGACAATAAAATGTTGTTGTCAGTTTCAATTCAATCCAATAAATAATCATCTTTATATATATAAATATATATGTACTCTATGTAATATCCAATTTTTGTGACATGCATCCAAACCTTGTAATAACATTTTCATATAACTCTTAATGTCTGATGGTTTGAGAATGATTGATTTATCCATAATGATCTTTTCCAAATCCCATTCCATCAATTCAAATACCAAATACATATTACTCTTGTGTTGAAATACATCCAATAACTTAAATAAATAAGCAACAAGATAGATTAGTAAACCAATGATGATGATGATGATGATGATTATGATCACAAACTATTCTGTCTCTACATACATCTATAATATTTTCATGTTTAAGTTCTTGTAACATTTTCATTTCACGAATAGCTGAGAACCCAACACCTTGATGTGCGGCTTGTTGAACGTTTCTAATCTTTTTAAGAGCAACTGTCTTGTTTGTTGTCGTATCTACAGCCTTTGAAACAACACCATATGTACCCTCACCAATTAGTTTCTCTACATTGTATCTTTCCATTATTACAAATGTTGTTGATGTGATGATCGATCAATCAATTTACTTATACGTATATTATTTGTATACGTGGTTGTAATAGTTTAAGGTTGATTGATTGAATGGATTCTCTTATCTTTTAAAACTTTGAAATTCATTGGCTCTCTCACCCAATCGGTAGTGTGGGTGTTTGCAAAAAAAGCAAAATCGAATATAAAAAAACCTCAAAGCATATTAAATATTTGTTATTATTCACACTTTTTTATTATCTCTACACAAAAGAGAATAGATAGTATCATCATCATCATCCAATTACAGTACTTTGCGCAAACTTGTCATACTATTCTAATCGATCATTAGTATTGACTTATATATACAACATTTTATATATTTATTGTAGTAGTCGACTTTAGCTACTTACACATTCATTCACTTTCACTTGACCTCCCCCCTCTCCTTTCATCGTCAATCATATAACAATCAATAATATAATATAATATAATCAATCAATGGCAACAAGAGACAAGACTCCAACCTTTTTAAGATTCAAAGATGAATACAAGAATAGCAGACCAAGAAACTTTAATGAAAGAGATAGAACAAACCAACCATTGATGCATGGAGATGCCATTCAATTACAACCAATAGGAGTTGCTCCACAATGGATCAGAATACACGATATAGAAGCAAATATAAGTAGAATTAAAGTAAAGAGTATGTATTCAATATAGAGAGTGAAAGAGATACCACATGATCATTTCATTAACAATGTCTTATTATCTTTTCGAATCAAAAAGTGGAAGAGCTATCTAAATTCCATCAACAAAGTATAACCAATTTCGATGCAGATGGAGATGATTCCAAAATTGATATTCTAACAGATGGTATTGCTAGTGTATGTCTCTAAGATATCGATCATACCTATCTAGATAGAGATATTAACTTGTACTTTTCTCTTCTTTAGGTATTTAAACAAACACATCGTATGATTAAAGAATTAGGAAACAATAGAGACTTGACTGCAGAGGAAGTAAAGGTAAAAAAGAATATTCAATCTGCAATGTCCTCCAAATTACAAGAATTATCACAAACATTTAGAAAGAAACAAAGAAACTATTTGAATTGTAAGAAGAACAATGAACACTTAACAACAATTGGATCAAATACCTGACTAATAATATTTTTTTAATTTATCTTAGTATTACAAAAGAACGCAACTACTTATAATTGGTTGAAAAATGGACAACAACAAGAAGAGATATCTGATGAAGAGGAAGAATTTAGACAGATTGGATTTACAAAGGAACAAATCGATTTGGTTGACGAAATGGAAGAGCAAGTCATGTCAAGAGACAGAGAGATTAAAAAGATTGTCAAATCAATCAATGACCTCTCGACACTCTTACAGGACATTAGTATTCTTGTCATCCAACAAGGAACCATTTTCGATCAAATTGAATATAATTTAGAGCAAACAGAAACTAGTTTGGTTGGTGCCAACAAGGAATTGGTCGAAACTGACAATTTACACAAATCTTATCGATCTCGTCTATGTATATTACTCGTTTTAGTAATTTTAGTTATTACAATGGTCTTTGTTGCAATTATTAAAGCATTTATTTAAAAATATCCAAATTTAGTAATAATAAATAATAGTATTAATATAACCAATCAACAACAATAATAATAATATTTTTAAAACATTTATTTATTATTTCTACTTTTTTAATTTTCCAATTTGAGATTTAGTTAATCTAAATAAGACAATTAAAAACATACAACAAGTTATTGTTGTCATTAATACTTCAGGCCATATCAAAACTGATGATTGGCAATCGAGGTATGTATGTTTCTTGGAGTCGTGATTGTCACGGATCAGAATGCTGAGGTTATATGTCAATGACTCTAACTCTGTAATTGATTCATGAGCAAAATGATATCTATGATAAGAAAGATGGTTTCCAATTTCCTTTAAACTATCAGTAATCAAGGAATTCAATTCTTGAATTGATTTGATATCTGAATTATATTGATTAAAATCTTCCCATGAACTTTCTTCTTCCTAAAATTAAAATAAATATTAATATTCATAATTTTGTAAATTGTATATATATATATTTAATTTTGCTTACATCTAAATGATGAAAAACAGATTGTAAATGATTTAAAGAATCTGCCAAATAAGAGTACATATAATTTCGAATGGCAGCATCACTTTGAGAAAAAGATATTTGTTTACGTGTTGAAAATGCTGAATAGGGAGTATTGCCAAGCGACCATAGATAATTATTATCAACATCTAAATTCTTTGATAATGTCGTAAAGGTAGGAGGGATACCCCAAATAGTTGAAAGGATCGATGATAGGACTGGTCTTGTTGCATCGGATGGGTTGATATAGGTCATTTTTTGGTCGCATTGGTTATCGGTTGGGGTGTAACCACCCTGAGTTTGAATGGCAATGACCATATCGGGGAAGGAAACTGCTTGGTGAGTTCTATCCAACAATAGCAGCGATGTAAAAGAAATGTCAAACAAAAACACTGGGATGACCAAACGAGAAAAGCGAGTGTCAATGTCTGGAATAAACATGAGATTGTGCTTGATCAACCAATGGTGTAACTCTTTTGAATCCAAATACGATTGGGTACCCTTTGAACCGGAATGATGTACACGTAAAGAGTTTTGCTTTGCCTGAGCAGCATATACATTGTCCAAAAGAGAGATTGAGTTTTTAGAAAAGGTAATCGATTGTGTTGGCAGCAAAGGAATGCGCTTGACCTGGTTTTTGATCTCCTCCCAATCAAACTGCTCCTCCTCTAAAAGATTGACCTGGTGATCGTGCACCATGATGAGACGAATCTCGAGTTGGTCCCATTCATAGTTTATAAATCGCAACACTGGAGGAGTGAACAACATGTGTGTCGTCTTTTGAATAAAGGTGGCCAAGTTTAAAAGAGTGGCTGGATCCATTCTCGCCAAGTTGTTTGGTGATCCTGTGTTTGAGAATCTGCTGGTTGGCAGCATATCTGGCATAAATGTACCTGTACCCTTGGTCAGCGGACCAAACGATTGCATATCTGCCGATAAATCAATCCACACGTATCGACCAGACCCCGGAGACGCCTGTATATCCTCCATCACCGCATTTGCCTGTTCGTTGTATTTCTGTAGTGGTGCACTTGATTGCCACACCTTGGTGGTGCAGTATAGGTTGGTTGCATTCTCTTGTAGTATTTGCTTTCTCTCGTCGACCGTACCAGCATTGAGATAGGATTGTGCCAACTGCGCAATCTGCTCGGCTGTCAATTGTGAATACGTGTATTTCTCTTTAATGTCTGTAGCAGTGTTGATAACATAGATTGTTGGGTTGGTAGAGATATCTGATGTTGATATATAATCTCTATAGATGATTTCATCGACTAGATTAAATGGTACAACCATTGCATCTTTCTTTTTAAACAAGTTATTTATCTCTACTTGTTGATCATTACCATTATTATTATTATTAATATTGACATTGATACCACTAATATATTTCTTTACTTGTTGTTGTATATCATCTTTTACTTGATCACCAACTTGTGATACAGTATAAACATATTTTTGTTCAATAAATGGTACTTTTATAAACTATAGTAAAAAAGCTAGAGTAAGAAAGATGAAATTCTTTGCTCTCTCTTTATTTATAAACATCTTACATTGTCTAATATGATAGGATTATTTGAATTCTCTATTGATTTATCCAATAGATTTGATAGATCTTTAATAGAGCTCGTAGCAAAGCCAATCAACTTGACATTGATATGAACAGGATGTTGAAACTTGAACGATTCAGAGAATGTATCCTTTTGAATATGATCATCATCATTGTCACCATGACCATATACACGACCACTATCGGATAGTACCAATGATATCAATAACAGAATTGATACAATTATTAATAATCTATTCATCATCGATAATGCTTGGATGTTATAAAATGTCAACTACATGAACATCGCGTGCATGCTCTGCTGACTTTCAAAAATTGGAAAAATTATTTTGTTGCATTAATTAATTGGTCATTAATGATTGATGGAATTGGTTAATATTTATTGGTATCCTCCTTTATAGATCCATTCATTCATTCGTTTGTTTGTTTGATTTAATGAATGAATGAAGTGCAAGTTTGAAAAAAAAAATGGTATATATAATATTATATTTAGTTTTGTTTTGTTTGTTTTCGTAATCCGTATCATTACGGATTATTTAATGATGATGATGATAATGACATTATTATTATTATTATTATTATTGTTATTATTAATTGTTTTGTTTGTTTGTTTAGTTTTAGTAATCCTATTTTCTGTATATGTATATTTGTTTGGTTTTGTTTGTTTTGTTTTGTTTGTTGAAAAAAAATCTATCTATTTATCTATCTCTATCTCTAGAGTGTTGTTTTGTGTTTATGAATGTTTCGTCTTTTTGTTTTACTTGGTATCAGAGAACAAAGATGAAATACTTTCACCGTGGTGAGTACGACGGATGGCTTCGGCCAAAGTATGAGCAATATTAATGGTCTTGAGCTTTGAGCAATTGGCAGCCTTGTCGGCGTGTGGGATGGTGTTGGTGATGACGAGTTCGGTGAGTGAAGATTCGTTGAGACGCTTGATGGCATCGCCCGACAAGACACCGTGGGTGACGAGGGCATAGACACGGGTGGCACCCTTGGCAATCAACATTTCGCAGGCAGAGACGAGAGTACCGCATGTATCGGCCATATCGTCGACGATGAGGGCGACCTTGTCCTTGACGTCACCGACGAGGATCATACCGCTGACTTCATTGGCTTTCTTACGTTCCTTGTGGATGATGGCCAACTCGGCGTCGAGCTTGTCCGAGATCAACTTGGCACGCTTAACACCACCAGCATCTGGTGATACAATAACCTTCTCTCCTGGAATATTTTTACGAATGTATTTAATGATTTGTGGTTCGGCATAAAGATTGTCAACTGGAATCTAAATAATTAAATAATTAAATTTTAATATTATTCACCAAATGTAATAATTTAATTAATTATCATATGACATCATACATTAAAGAAACCTTGAATCTGTGAAGCATGTAAATCCATGGTAATGACACGATCGATACCGGCAGTTTCGATGAGGTTGGCAACGAGCTTGCCAGTGATGGGAGCTCTGCTCTTGTCTTTCTTGTCTTGTCTGGCATAACCAAATACTGGAATTACCGCCGTAATTCTATGAGCCGATGCTCTTCTGATGGCGTCAGCCATAATTAATAACTCCATCAAGTTATCTATTGTTGGTTGGAAATAGATAAAATAAAGGAATAGATATTAATATCTTTAAGAAAAAAAAACAAAAAGCAAAAGTAGAGAATCATTTTTGTTGCTTGATCAAAAGAATTAATCTCTCCCTCTCTCTCTCTCTTCTATCTCCTATCTCCTTTTATCTTTGCCCAAAGTTGTTATCATAGTAGTTGTTGATTGTTATATGTTATATGATAATGGTGTTGTTGTTGTTGTTGTTGTAGTGATGATGATTAATGATTTTACCATTAACATTTGGATTGCAAGTTGGTTGGATAATGTAGACATCCATATCTCTGATAGACTCGTTGATCATAACAGTGGTTTCACCATTGGAGAACTTGCCAATATGAGCCTTGCCGAGTTGAATATTCAAATCTTTACAAATCTCCAAGGCAAGGTCCATGTGAGCGTTACCTGCTAAAATCTTGATTCTGTCACCCATTTCTTTCTATATGTGTTGTATATGTATATATGTATATATGTGTTGTTATATTAAAAAAATAAATAAATAATAATAATGTTCTCTAGCAAAGGTGAAGTGACACTCGAGTACTAGTTTTTTCAAATTTGATGATTATTATTATTACTAAATGAAGAATAAAAAGGATAAGGTGATGGAGAGATATTTGTTGTTGTTATTGTTATAGATGTGATGTGACAGATATCAATCTCTATTTGAATAAATAAATATATATATTTATATATAATGAAAAGTAAGAAAATAAGCTTATGTTTCTCGTTTCGATGACCACACACCAACCAATAGAAAACGAATTTCTTCTTCTTTTTTTTTTTGGTTGTGCACTTCTTTCACCTTCTTTCGCTTCCCCTTGATCAACCAGCTTTTGCCGTAAACAACAAACAAGCAAACGACGAATCGCCACCCAAATTGAACCAGCGCAATTTGCAAAAGAGTAAGATGCCGAAACTCTTGATCTACAAGAGTTTTGAGTCGTCGTCTCGGTCGTTTGTTGTCCGTCTGATGTGTCACGGAATTTCGTTCAATCATTTCCCGGATGAGATCTGAGAGTAGTAGTAATACGCTCCGCTGAGCTCAGATACATCTATTATTATTATTATTATTATTTATAAAACATTTAAAGAAGAGGAAAAAAAGATAATAATAAATATTTATTTATTTATTACTATTAGTTAGTTATATTTTGATTTTTTTGTAGTACAAAAAAAGGTTTTTTGTTTCTCTTTCCTCGTCTTTGCAAAGATATACATATATAAATAAAATAAATATATAAATATATAATATAATGGATGACGATGATGATATCAATCTAACAGAACAAGATGACGATGTTACAACAGATTCAAGAATACAGGTCTATAACAACAACGACGACGATACGACTTTAACAGATCTATTAAATAACAACAACAATATTGGTAGTGCGCCTGCACCGACACTTGATAATCAAGTTATCATCCCTTTCACAGCATCTCTACAAAGTACAATAGATCAATTGGAAGATGAAGCAAGAGTATTACATCGTTTAAAACATATGATTGCTGATCAAATACATAGACTTCAAGTATGTTATACAAATCAATCAAATCATCTCTAATCAAACTAACTTGAATCTATTTATAGCTTGAAGAAATATCTTTAAAGAAACATCTAAACTCTTAATGGAAATTCGAAAAGAAGAAGTTGGATGTAAATAATGTAAATAGAAACAGAAGAATATTAATAAATGGAAGGGTAGGATTGGATCCTACCCTTTTGTAAAGACAAGATGTATGTAATGTTACATGTTTCCATGATGTGGATTGGGGAGCATGTGTATGTATCTTTTTAAATTAAATTCGCTATAATGATTATACCATCTTATAAAATGGTTGGTATAATCATTATTATTATTATTTATTATTATTATTATTATTATCTATCAAATCTATTTATTGAATAGAGATTGATATTAATATTGTTGTTTGCAGTGTGTAAAATATATGTGCAAAGGAAATGGAGTATTATTCGAATAATATTAAAACCTATTAGTTGTTGGTTGTGTTCCATTCGTATGGTTGTTTTGGGGAGGGGGAGGGGAGGGGAGGGAGGTTGTTGTTGTTGTTGTTGTTGTTTAGATGATAAGTTGAGAGGGTTAATTTAAAAGTGCAATTTTCTCTTCTCTTCTTTTATGATTAGCTCTTTCAGTTTCAGACATGGAACTGCTATTGACAGCAGTCGAGTTGGAACTGGTGTTGGAGCTAGTGTTGGAGCTTGAGTCGTTGCGGACATAGGAGGAAGCGAAAAAGACGAGGGCAACCGTCACTGCGATTGCCTCTGGCAGATAGTTGAGTGCGTAGAGATCCCAGATGGACGACTGGAACGGAGAGTCAATGTTGACGAAATAGTGGACAATCTTGATATCGAGACAGAGGATAAATATGATGGCCATGATACCGACACGTCTGAGGAACGGCGACACGCTGTTGGGGTTGGACTGGATACTGCTCGCCAACTTGATCGAGCGCACCATACGATGCAACTTAACCCAATAGACGATAAAGGCAATGGACAGTGCAAACGAAAACACCGAGATCACAATCAAACCAATACCAAACACCATGATGGCAAAATCACGATCCACATTTAAAAACAACTCGCTAATGATAAAGATGGCCAAGATCCAAATAGAGGTAAACACGCAAAATAGGTTACGCCATATACGCACCCTGTCTTCTCCGTGTCCCAAATGCTCCACTCTAAACACCACTTCGACCCATGAAAATAGTACAATACCGTACATACAATAGTACGTTATAATGCCACACAATTCAAATGTTTCAAATGCTATCGATGCACTACTCTGATGTTCAGATTTTCCACACAACAAATAAATAAATATTAAGTTTGATATTGATTTTGCTAAATGTAAATAAAAAGTAAATATTAATATATATATATATATACGTTTGATATAGATATCTAGTTGTCTCTTGTCTTATTTATATATATTGTACATACACAATGCATGAATAAAGATGATATAGAATACAAGTTTTGCTATTTTGTTGTATTTCAACCTTTTGACGGAAAGGATGAGATACAAACTCGCTATTGTTAAAAGTACATGCCATGTGGTGAGAGCTATTTCAAAGCCCAGTTGTATATTCTTTGGTAGTCCACTACCATACCCAAAATAGATTAATCCTATAATCTCAAAGTTTGATGGTGATATTTCTTGCAACTCTGTCGATGATGATGATGACAACGACGATGACGTTGTTGGTAAAGACATTTTTTCAATGTTTTTTTGATTGATGATTATACAATATACAATATATACACACAAATATATTAACTATTTACTACTATTATTATTATTATTTAGATATTATTATTATAATTACTATTACTATATTACATAACTATCTATCCTGTTACTAACTACTAACTACTAACCTACTACAACTACTATTATTACTATCCATCAAATGAATGAGACTGCCGTTGATCACTTGTGTGTATAATATGATATGATATATATATAGAAGTTAGTGTGTGGATATACAGTAATGAATGATTGATTAAAATTTGTAAACCCAACAGTCGCTTTGGTTTTTTGATGTGATGAGGGGGTTGCTTGAAAACTACAGAAAAAGAAACGTCAAAAGTGGAGGTAAAATTCGTCGTCGTTCCATTTCCTCAGATCTTTCGTTCCGTGATTCCATTTTTACGGTACCATCATCATGCTGATCTCATTGTCCCTTCCCTAAATTATTTCCGACCTTGTTTGCAAAAGGGATACAGTCCATTCCCCTGGGCAACCATATATCATGTCGGTTCGGATGATGATGATGATGATGATGGTGGTAATACTGGTACATATGTACTCAAGAGTTAATTTAAACTCTTGATTCAGATCGATTATCGTACAAGAATTCTGCCACCTCATGAAACTCATTCTCGTGTGCCCATAACCTTCCCAACGGAGTGCACCCCTCTGACCGATTATAATGAAGAAACTTTAAAAGAAATATTAAAAGAAAGAAGGAAATAATATTAATAGTTATAGAATAGCAAACAAGATAGATATAATATAATTATATTTATCTAAATACATACTTTAACTATTTCAAAATTGCCATTCATTGCAGCTGAATTCATAGCATTGGTTGAACATCCTTCAGTTCTATTAAAATGTAGAAACTGGAAATTGGAATGATAATTAATATTAATATTTTAATATTTTAATACTTTTTGGACATACTTTAACAATATCAATGAATCCATATCTAGATGCTTTATCAATTGCATCTATACTACAACCTTCTGTACGATTGAGATGAAGGAACTTTACAATTTCAATGTGGTTATTTTCCGCAGCCCAATCCATTGCGTCGGTGGTAGCTCCTTCTGATCGATTATGATGTAAAAATGATACCATGTCCAAGTCACCAGATCTAGATGCATAGTCTAGTGCTAGTGTTGTGCACCCTTCAGTTCTATTATAATGTAAATACTTTACAATTGAGAGATGTGAGTTTCGTGCAGCCCAATCCATAGCTTCGGTAGTTGACAACGCTCCCATTTGATCGAGCAACTTGATAACTTGAAGATGTCCGTTCTTGGAAGCACCTACCATTGCATTCTTGGTGCACCCCTCTTTACGATACTCGTGCAAGAATTGAATGATTTTAATGTGTCCATTGATACTCGCCCAATCCATTGCATCGGTATTGGCACCCTCCGTTCTATTGAAATGTAAGAATTCTACCACCGAGAGATGTCCTCGCTTGGCGGCACTATTCATTGCATTCTTTGAGCAGTATACATTGGGATAATGTCGATGTGTCCATGAGAGTATATCGAGATGACCATTTTCACAACACGACATCATAAATGGTTTCTTTGGTTCAAAATCTACACCATACACTTTTCTTGACCATTCAATGAGACAAAGAAATGTATCTAGGGTTGCATTTGGATGTTTAGGATATCTATTTAAACATTTTAATAATCTTTCTGGTTCTATTATAATAGATGTTGTAGTTGGAGGAGGAGGAGGTGTTATTGTTGTGGTAGTTGTATCATCATTATCATTTGTTTGTTGTTGAGGAAGAGGAGGAAGATGATGATCAAGTGGTAGATAATGTTTAATAAACTCCCATCTCATACAATAACGTTCTATTATATCAAAGAATGGTAATTGGACAATGACAGATCCCTTTTCAAACATATGTGTTGCCGAGCTGTCCTCGTTCAAGATGACCATCAACTGTCTGTCTATTTCAGATATTGAACTAATTGCATTGAATATATTCTTGCGTATGAATATATTTCTAAATATAGTTATGAATGTGATCGTAGTCGTAGTCGTAGTCGTCAATCCAGCAGTATGACAAACGACACTTGATGATTGATCTTGATCGTCACCATCATCATCATCTTCAAAGTTGATATTCTTAAATTTATGAATAAGTGACATGTATTGATCGTTGTATCGTATAAATAATAGTATCTTGAGTTAAAGTACTAGTACTTTGTGTTTGCTTGTTCTCGAAGAAGAAGAAGAACTTGAGCTGTCCTTCTGATTCCATCTCAGAACTCAGACAAACTTTACTCTGACCTCATCGAATTTTCTTTTGTTTTTCGTGGCACACCTGACAGTAGTTTAGGTTTGTGACACCTATTCAATTCTTTTAATTAAAGGTGACTACAGAGATAATATATAGATAGATAGATAGATAGAGTATCTCGGTATAGTATAGGTGGTTCATATGAAAGTCGAATCACTATGCAATAATTACAACTATGATGAACGAAGAGAAGAAGAATATAAAGACAGAGCTGGGTTGTCCAGCGGAAGCGGACCCTCCTCCTCTACAACAACAAACACCAACACCAATAACAACCTCCTCTTGCGAATCGATGACGACGTCGACGTCGACAATACCGACAATAGCAGCACAGATAAATCGTTGTGCCCTTTTTCGACAAGAGAAAGAGAGACTACTACAACAACAACAACAACAACAACAACAACAACAACAAGAGACAACAACGACGATGGGATTGAAGTCATCGACAGCAGGAGTAGGAGAGGGGTGTGCACAAATACCACCTCTCCCTACGTCCAATCCTTGCAGTTCTCTACCTCCAGAGTACCAAAGCATCTGTCAGGATGTAAGACTGACGGAATCTCAACTACGAAACATATACTCTTGCAACAGTCCGATTGTACTCAACTGTCTCAAGCAGTTGACAGAGTCGAGAAACAGAATGACCAATCCTCCCAAGGCAAAGAAGTCCGCTCAGGTGGACCCTGCATCGTGCAACAACACCACCCCACCGGTGGTGAACGTCAACTTTATTCCCAACTGTTGTCCCAACAATGTCAACAGCAATACCAACAACAATACCAACAACAATACCAACAACAATATCAACAACAATACCAACAACAATATCAACAATGCCAACAACAAACAGACAATTACGACCAAAAAAGAAAAGCAAGTCAAGAAGGAGAAGAAAGAGACCAAGAAGAAGAAAGAGAAAGAAAAAGAAAAACAAAAGGATTGCAACAACAACAACAAGACAAAGGGAACAACATCGTCAACGACGACGACGACGACGACAACTGCGACTACAAAAACCAATACCAACAAACAGAAACCAAAGAGATGTCTACAAGAGGAAGAATCTGCTTGCAATATATTGAAAAAGATCAAAAACAAAAATCAAACATCACCACCACCATCAACGACAATGGAAACAATGGAAACGATGGAAACGATGGAAACAATAGTAATACCGATCAAAACAACAGAAACAAAGATTGTAACAATAGAAATATTCCCAGAACAAAATTGGAAAAAAGAGATAAAAGCAGTCAACAAGGATGGGAAGAGAATACAAAAGTTACAGGATATATTGGATCAAGACATGGCGATGTTAGCGGAAAACAAGAATTATATAGATATGATAACTGTATCGATACAGAAAGAGGGGGAGGATTTGAATTGCGAGAGAGAGAAATTATGGAAAGAGAAACAAGAATTATGGAAAGAGAAGGAGAACTTATGGAAAGACAAAGAAATCTTTGTTCTAGAGAAAGAGATTTAAAAGAATTGACAAAAAATCATCTAGAAATTAAATCAAAATTATTGGCTAGAGAAATTGAAATTACAGAGATTCAAAAGTCTTCCCCGCATTGTAAATAAACACTAATGATATACTACTACTACGACCTATGACAATTTTTTTTTGTACAAAACTACCATTATCATGATTAGTATTATGACATCCTTATTTTATTATTATCATTTGGTAATGTTATCATTTTCTGCTATTGTTACTATTTATAATACTCTTTTATATATATGTATATATGTCATGAAACCAAAAAAAAAATAGGAGGGGTTATCCTTCTTTTTCCTTCTTTTCTTTTTCTTTTTTTTTTGATTATCTTAATCCAAACCCTTCTGAATTTTGGATGGCTTTTAATAATAGAGTTTCCAACTTTTCTTTTGTTGGATAACTTGGGAGGATGAGTGCATTGAAACAAGTGTGAGCCGATGGTAAACGATCAGAGTCTGGCTGTTTGGTGATTGAAAATTGTAATTTCGACAACCCACCATATGGTACTCTATCACTACCAGTTGTAAACGATAAAAATTTCTTTTTCAAGTCATTTGAAAGACTATGAATTACTTGCCAGAAAAATCTAAAAAAGAAATAAATTAATTAAAATATTAATATTAAATATTAAATTAATTTATATATCTAATATATTTAATTTTTACATACATAATAGTTGAATCATCTTTAGTAAAACCACCTTCATAAATTGTATTCTTTTCCAATTCTTCAAAATCTAAATCTTCAACTCCACAAATAAGATCTTCCAATTCTTCGGCACGGATAAATGCCAAAAAGGGAGTATCGCAAACTAGGGTAAAACCTTTTTTAAAGTGGTCCCATTGACTGGCAATAGAAGATTCCAAAAGATAGTGTGTATACAGTCGGATGTATTCCTCTCTGTTGTTATTGTCCACCGGGATGTCGTTTCCTCCTGGTTTCAAATCAATGATTTTGGTTTGTCCATAGTAATCCACTTCAACCGAAAAATAAGTCATCCAATCTGAAACATCTTCTTTTGATTCTCGTAGTTTGATCAAACTCTGATGAATCATTGGATCAATCGATTCAACATCATCCAATCCAATAGGAATATTTAATAACTTTTTATATACTGCTGTTGGAAAATGTACATCTAAAATTGTTGTATTATAAAGAGCCAATCCAAGTATCTAAAGAAAAAAAAAATATTAAAAGTTGAGAATTATTATAATTCTATCTCTTTTTTTTTTTTTTTTTTTTGTTGTGATATATAACTTACAATACCAATTAATTCAAACTCTAATAAATCACTTGAATTTGGATTGAACCACCAGGTTCTTGTTGATTCGTTATATTTAAACATTCCAAATTCAGAGTCGAAAATCCTTCTAACTACAATTTGAAAGAATTCCTTTTGAACTCCTCCTTGATCAACACCATCTTCACCAATAAATTGAATCTTTAATTCTCTTCTTAAATATTCTCTCCTTTTATATTTTTGTATCTACAAAAAAGATAAGATTAGTCCAATTCAAAGATCTTTAAAGATTTATAACTCTAATGACTACTTACAAGATTCAAAGTATCATTTATAATATTCTCTCGGTGTACTTTTAAAACTACATATTCAAATCCAGGAACTTGAGCTCTAAATTGATTTTGTTCCAATCTATGATCAATTTGTAAATAAGTACTCTTTGTTAATGTATTTAAAATAAATGGACAAGATGTAAAGCTAAATCTATAAAATTGAATAGAATTATTATGAGTATGAAATATTTAAAAAAGTAGAGTTTCTTTTTTTTTACTTACCCTTTACCCTTCCAATTCAAATAATCTGTTGATAAATCTAAATTTAAATTAATCAAATCATTATAAAATTCTGTATATAAAACATGTTTTGATCTTTCATTATTTTTATCTATAAAGCAATCAAATTATTAATAACCTCATTTAACTTTTCTACTACTATTCATTAATGAATACAAACATAATAAACTGAGCATTTGACATGCACCCATAATTGGTAAATCTTCATTCAAGGTAATATTGTCTGCAGTCATTAACCTGACCGATACAAATTGTTGAGTGTTTGTTAAATATTGTATAAAATGTTCTTTTGAAAATCTGCAACAAACATACAAACAATTGGTTAATCTCTAATTTTCTCTTTGTCTTTTTTAAAAAAATATTAAACATACGTTGATAACCATTCTTGAAGAATCAAAGTTAAAATAGGACCTTGTATAGGAACATTCTTTTTCTTTGATTCATCTAATCTTTTGATTTCCAATTCTTTTAATGCTCGAATTGCTTGGAATAAATTGGTCAATACTGTTACATATTCCAAATCATATATTAATGGATTCTATAGAGAAATAAATCAAAATGATTAGTGATCGATATAGGTTCTAAATTATAATTAAATGCTTGGTCGATAGATAGATACTTGAAATAAAATGACAATTGATCTTAATTCATCTGGTTCTTTATAGGCTCTGGCATTGAATTTAACAGATGCACTTAAATTGGTTGAAGATTCAATGAGAGATTGGAGAACATCAGCTCTCCCCAAATCTTGTAATGACTTGAATACCTTTCTTGCTTCAATCAAATCGATACCTTGGAAATAATCATAATTATTATTTACACATTTTTTATCCTTCTACAATATAAATAATAATAATAATAGATAGATAGATAGATAGATGTTAGTATATATAACAATATAATATATTTAGGAAATATTCTTATTCTAATTCTTCTTCATTTTGACCATACAGATACCAAAAATAAACTTGCAATTTCAGAGGGAAGTGAAAAGCTATCTTTAATCAACTTTATAATGTTTGAATAATTGTCGGCTTCTTTACATTTGTTAATGACGGCTGTGACACCAGACAATGATGCACAGAGTAATTTCTCTTGATAAACCTTTGCATATTCAATTGCTTTAACTGCTGCCAAGTTTGGATCTGATATTTTTGTACAAGCTACATCATTCATTATTGGATTATTAATTGACAATTATGATTAGTTAGTATGATATGATATGATATGATATGTTGTATGTATAAATATAGTATATAGTATAGGTACCTGGATTATGACAACAATAAATTGAATGGTTTGATAAACTTGCATCCTTGCATCCTCTAGTTAATTGTGTAAAATATCTGTAACAGAAATATATTAGCATCTAATTAATCGAATCTCTATCTATCTATCTATCTGTCCAACTTACTGTTCAATACAATATCTTATATTTGATTGTGATTCATTTGTTGACATGTCTACAGAAGTAAGTGCTGCTATATTTATATATATATTTATATATCTATATAAACAACAATAACTACCTATATTATATATGTATAAAGGTAGGTAGGTATATTCAGCTTGAACTAAACAATCTCTGATATGATGATATAGAACTCTTTCCTCCCTATCACGATATATATATATTTATCTATATCTATCTGTCTATCTATCTTTCTTCTCTCTTTTTTTTTTGACAAGATAATAACAAAATAATATTTGAAATTTTGTTGGGGAAAACCACAAAGACTAAAGACTTGAACTTCAAAACGTCACACTCTCTCAATATCTTTGTTTACTTTGTACATCTCTATTATAATTATAAAGTTGATCAATTTACATCATCATCATCATCTCATTTCTTTAATTACACACTCTAGAGAATAGAATAGAAACTTGATGTACTTGTAGTAGAAGTCGAAGAAGTTTGGTAGATAGAAATTAATGCAACCTTCATATATATCTGAACAATAATAATAATAATAATCTTAATCTATCGTTATTAGAATTAGAATACACTACCCCCATTTATGTCTATCTATTCATTTATCTATCTATCTATCTCTCTAGACCATCGACTGTTAAGGAATTCCTGTCTCATCATTATGTTAATAGACCGATCGATTGGTCATAACTAATTAGTTGTCATCATCATGCATCATGTCGTGTTATTATTAGGGTTATCATTATTTAGATTGGAGAGAGAAAGAATGATGAATGCGGTTGCTTCTAAATTAGATTTGGTTGGTTGGATGGTATGGTATGGTTGGGGGTGAGAGAGAGTGAAAAGGAGATCAACGACTCGTCAGGCTAAGGTTTCATGTGTTGTTGTTGTTGATTTGATTGGGTGTTATCCACTTAAACAATCAACAGACGAAAAAGGTGTGTGCTTTGTGTCTGTCATTCCAGTGCAGTCGACTAAACGACGATGGGCAGCAGCAGACTAGTCTAGTTAGTTACAATAATCGACTAAATATAATACTGTTGTTTTAAAATATGCATGCTACCACCACCACAATGGCAACCATCACCAAACCCTTGACTTGAGATCAACGATTGGGCACCAACACGCAAACTAACAAACTTGGTTTGTTTGTTGTTCTAGGACTAATAGGGTGGTGGATGGATTGCATTGGGAAAACAATCCCAACAACAACAACAACAACAACACATCGCCCACCATCATCGATAGATGGATGGATGGACAGACAAACAGACAGACTAGTGGAGACTCCAAAAATATAAAGAGTGTGTTGCAGAGTACTAGCACAACAACAACACCATAATGGGTGATTTTAGAGTGCGACTCTGCTATTATAGTCGCCTTTGGATATAGATTTTTTCATCACATATTACACATGTCAGACGGATCAAGCACCCTGCACCTGTCTCTAGCCATCATGGATCGGATTGCATGTCAATCGATTGTTTGGAATGTAAAACACACACACACACAATTGATTGTTTGATGCAATCACCCCTCCATGAGCGGGGGTTTTGATCCTAAATTTAAAATGATCCCTTCATCGTCGAGAGTGGCTATGAGTGTTGTGGTCGACGGGAGGTGGCAACTATATGAATGGGGGTGAGCCGACGATAATACTTAGTAGTAGACCATCCAATAATAATAATAATAATATTAATATTATTATTCGGGTCTGCAGATTTATTGTTCGTAGGGGGTTTATTTAATCATTGTTAAGTCATCTCAATCAATCAATCACAATCCCCATCCACCAATATAACATATATATATATTTAATCATTTGCATTCATTTTCAAATTATCCAATCCATCCATCCAGTATTTCACACACAGTTCCCAAAGTTTGTGTGTTTGTTGTTGGAGAGAAAGAAAGAAAGAGAGAGAGAGAAAGAGAGTGTGGTGTGCGTGTGTGTACTCTTGTGTTTTTAAGTTAAAAGCTGTGGTAGCACTCACTATAGCAGGCAGGCAGATAGACAGAGACAGACAAGCAAACAAGCTAGCTTGGAAAGGAGGAATCACACAATTAATTATTTCACGGGTGTACCTACCAAACTAAAGCAACCAGCAGCCAAGAAGAATATCTCATTCTCCCCTGCACTCTGTTCTTTCTTGTTCTTTCTCATAAGGTGGACGTCAATCTCACCTCTTGCTCACCTCCTTCACTCACTCTCACTCACTCGTTATCTACTGCTGTAGAGATAAAAAGATAGATATAGAGAGAGAGAGAAAGAGACACAGACAGATATTAGTTTCGTAGGTGTTCTTTCGTTGTCGTTCAATATATTATATATAATACATATATCTCATTAAATATCTCTTTTATATTAAATTATTATTATTTGTTCATTTCATTCCACTCATTTTACAAATACGACCAACCGTTTAAAAACAACATCGACACTATATATACGCAACAACTACTACTACTACTACTACTATAGTATCTTGTTGGTTAGGCACGAGTAGAATTCCGACTCGATAGTCTGTCACCAGTGTTGTTTGATCTCCCTTTTTGGTTTCCTCCACCCTAACTACTAATACCATCATCTATTAATAGTTAATTTTCCAAAATATCCATCCACTGTTGTATTTATTTATTTATTGTCAATAGATTATAGCTTTTCGTTCGAACATCCATCTCTTTAATTGTAAATAATAATTAATACCCACCCCCACACATATATCAATATATCCATATATTCAAAACAAAAGAACTCTAAATACTTTAATACATATTTAATATCGGTACTATATACACACTGTCTTATATATAAATATACATATATTTATTATTATTACTATTATTATTTTTACTCTTTTTAATTAATATTAATTAATTAACCCGACCAAATTAAATTATTATAATATATAATATAATTTACTTTATTTTTTAACATTGACATTATATATATAATAATAATTAAAACAATGTCATCAACTTCAACCTCTCCATTGGCGTCTTCATCGCCATCAATCAAAAAATCCAAAAGTTGTATGGATTTGAGTGTCATCAATATTTCGCATTCCCAATCACAATCCCAACTCCTCCCAGTGGTTCCGACAATGATGGACATTGAGATTATGGGTGATAGTAGCGACCACCACGCCGCCATGATGGAAGACTTGAAACTTGGCGAGACACTCTTGCTCAACCTGATGCACTCACGTGACAAGATTCCCATCCTCTCGTCATCTGGCAGCAGTTTCAAGTTGTCTAGTTCGTCGTCATCGATTCCGATAAGACGCGAAGGTAGTCACAGCCATCTCCCACACAACAACGGCAACGGACATTCGTCGTCATCGTCTTCCTCATCGTCCCATCACCACCACCCATACGGTGTGTCCAAGAGTCTGCCATCTACATCAATGATTGATCTCGGTCTCGACAATAACAATTCATTGGCCAAGCTAAAGAATCGACTAAATTCTAGTACCAACAGTATGCAGTCCTCCACCACCACATCCATGCAATCGACTGCCAACTGCTCCCCACCCAACGGTCGTTCAAGATCGTCTTCACCCATCAGTACTCCACCATCTTCATCGGCCCACTCATCATTTTCCCCCATCGCATCGTCCTCATCGTCATTTATCAATAACATCCTGTTGATCGATGAAGAGGATTCCATCACCACTTCTCCAGAGTCGGATTACGAATGTTCAAGACTCTCGCCACCTGTACAGTGTATTGAAGAGTTGAGTTTTCCTCCCACCGCCGCCACCACCGGATCCTCTAGTAAAACTTCTTGCAGTGTTCATGACCTACTCGTTCCAACTTCATCTCCTTCTTCAACTTCAATGCCACCTCTAAAATATCATCATACCACCAGTAAATCAAACCATCAATTTATTCATAACAATATTAATAATAATAGTCCAGCCAAAAATCGTAAAACCTACTTGACAAACCCAACGTCATTATCCACTACCGGGCAATGTACCTTTGATGACCCATGTCTACTCTGTCGTCGCGGTACTCCTATACTCCTCACCAAAACTGCTACCTGGGCCAGTATCATGAAAGTTGTCTTTTTCACCCTTGCCGACTCTCTTCCACACAAGACCTACTATTCATTGAAAAGTGATGTCTATGGATTCATGGATCATCACTGGGATATCTTATCTTTAAATAAGAAAAAATCAACCAATTGGCATAAACAAATTCAAGATATGGTAAATATCTATTAAAAGATAAAAAAAGTATAAAGTAATATTTATTAATTATAAAATCTCTTAATAGTTGTCTCATAGTAAAATAATATTCGAGTCTGGTGTAGAACTATTGGGACAAAATGGATTTTGGAGATTGAAACATCTAAGTGATCCATGGTTGGAAGGAGTGATTAGTGGATATGGAAATCAAACATCATCCCCCTCCTCCTCGACCATTCAACCACCATCACCACCAACACAATACCAAAATCTTCGAATCTCTTCTTCCAAAGTTCCTCTATCAATGATACGACCAATCTTACCAGCAAATTAAAAAACAAAACAAACCAAAAAATGAAATGTTGTAAATAATAATAATAACGACGACAATGATAATAACGAATAACAAACATATAATATAATATATAAACCAACCACACAACAAATAATAATATACAAATCAATCATAAATGTAAATAGCAATAGAAATATAATCCAAATAATAAATATAATATAATGACTAATAATAATAATGAATAATAGGAATAATAGAATAGAATAATGATTAAAATAATTTAACCAACCTGAAATAATATTTGTAAATAAACAATATAAATAATTAAAAATTGATAAATTTAGTTCTTTTGGTATTCTTTGATCAACAAACTTAGTTCTTCCTTTTATTTATTTTTTTACTATTTTGAATAGAGCATCTTTAAAGTATAGTTGATCATGAAAGACATAGATGAATTCATATGACATGGATGTTGAAGTAGTCAAGTTTAGTTTGGCATCAGGAGCAATCAATCGATAAATGAATCTTGTTGGTCCTCTTATCACTTTCTGTTGTTGTTGTTGTTGATCGACAGCAGTAACAGTAGGTGTGGATTGAACGGTATTGGAAGTACTGTTGTTGTTGTTACGATTAACAGGTAGACTACTACTATTATTACGACTGTTATTACGATTGGTTACTAGAGGTGTAGCATTGGGTGTGGGAGTAGGTATAATAGTTGGAATAATTAACGGTGATGGAGAAGGAGTTGATGTAGGTATAGGTAATGGAGAAGTAGTATTAAAAGTAGAAGAAGAAGAAGAAGAACTACTGGTCGATTTATCAATTGGATCAATTGTAGCATCCAACATTATTTGGTTATCTTTAAAGTATGGAACTAAAAAGTAATAGAATACCTCGGTATCGATGATACGAAGAGTTGCTTGTTTGTGACATCCTACATATAGAGTGGTATTGTAGTCTCGTTCATTGACAACCTCGAGACTATTGTTATTTCTGATACTATTGCAAATGGTCAATTGGATGAGTTCAAAGTCACTGTAAGCAATGCCACTGTGGATGTCACGTGTCTTGTACAATCCCATCAGTACCTTGTAATCATCTTCATTTGGAACAGATGATACTTGGTTTTCAAATGCTGGTTTGCTGACAATATCTTTGACTCTGTCATTGTCACAACAAACCTGTTTGAATGCCTTGGACAAGATGTTGTGGATCTTGAGTCGAATGGAAAATATATCTTCATTGTCACATGCTGCATTAAAAAAGTATCCATAGTTTAATTCTCTAACAAATGAAAGGTATGATAAATATCCTTCAAATTCTCCTGATTTCTAAATAATAATAATAATAATAATAATATTAATAATTTGTTTGTTTAATTTGTTTAGAGTTTGGATGAATTTAACTTACCGCAATGGTCCAATAATTATTCTCAGTGTCATAGAATGCTTCCCAGGGTAATGCTAGGGAGGTATTACCATCGGCACGAACATAGAGTGGAATGAGAGACTCGAGGAATGAACTATACTTTAAAACCTTGTTGTCATTTGGAAACTTTAAAAGAAATGATAGGTATTTGGACATGTCACGAGCAGTTGACCACATTCCACCCATCGGAACAGAGAACCCAAGATTGGTCACTTCGAAATGCGACATGGAATAATTGTTGGCCTTGTCAACCTTGACAGACATGGCACGTGGTCTTCTAGATTCGCTTGCCTTGAAGTGCGTGTCAAACATGCCAAGAGGATGAAGAAACTTTTGTCTAATATAGTCTTCGTAAGAGACCCAATCTTTGTTTCTGGAGGGTGTGTTCGATCGACCTTCGTAAATGTTGAGAGCATTCTCTAGAGCTCTTCCTAACAGTGTGTACCCAAGGTTACTGTAGATGGGTGACATCAACGATGGGAGTGGTCTAAACATGGTTCGGAGTGTGGCAAGGATTCGGTTGCAGTCACAGTCTTCGTAGGATGGTGATCGACATGGCACATCTCTTGGTAGACCAGACTGGTGACTAGCAATCTCCTCGAGAGTGATGGTACTAAATGTTGGAGCGGACGATTTCAGGTTCAAATCGTCGGCACTGTTGTCGACCGATTGAATATAAAATTCAGGCAAGTATTTTACGAGTCTGTCATCAAGATCAATAACACCTTCATCGCGCAACTTGAACATCATCAATGCTGTAAATGATTTAGTGACAGATCCAATACGAACGTTGTGGTCGATTGACAATGGAGCAGACGCATTGTTTAGGGGATCCTCATTACCAATCGTCTTTTGCCAAATAATATTATCACCATTGACCACTGTCATTGTAAACGATGGAATCTTCATATTTCCAACCACCTCTTTATCAATCAACTCACCAACATCCTCCAAAGCTTCTTTTACAATTTTATTATTTAAATTATAAATTCTATTTTTAATAATACATCCTAAAAAAAAATAGAAAAATATATTAATATTATATTTAATTAATTATTATTATTATTACCTTTTGATATAGATAATACAAATAGTATTAATAAAAATATTATTAATTTAAACATTTTTCTATTTTTACAAAGATGATATATTTAATTTCTCCTCCTCAATCTATCTATCTATTTATAAAGATTATCGGGTCTATCTTTACACCAATCAACTCTTCATTTGATTGATCTTTATTATTATTTTTATTATAAAGATAAAATATGATTGTGATTCCATGAAAGAGGGTGGCAAATTTATCACATGAAAGAAGATTTTCCAGTATTTGTATCATTTGGTATTATCTTTATAGTATAAAGTTCAAACATTGGTTTGGTAAAACAAACAATAGATATAGATATAAAACAGTGTTTGTGGGTGATGAACTTACTTTAGTGTTAAAATCAGTTACAAAATATTTTATTTTGATTGACTTTGGATTGGAGACTGTCGATCCAAAAAACTCAAAGGGTTACAAAATGTATCAATAAACCATATTGAGAGTTTGACGATATTATAATGTCATATCCTACATTGTAATCCAAAGTTGATGATATTATACATAAATTTAAAATTATCCAAATTGATTGATATTAAAAAATATCCATCTTTTTTTTTTGTTGGTCAACCTGGCATAGCTGGCACTAGTGATATTAATTAAATAATAATTTATTAATTAATTTTAAACGGGTATTCTATTAATGATTATCGCTACGAATTTCATCATCACCATCATCGTTTGTTGTTGTTGTTGTTCTATTTACAAGTAGCATCGATAAGATCCTCTTCTTCCATGTCTTCATCCTCGGGAGTTTGTGTTAATTTTAGCGCCATACCATCAAATTTCAATACAACCTTTGATTTTTTCGCTTCTGGTATATTTTCCTTTTTCATCAATGCATTTACTATTTTTTCAAATGGATCGCTCTAATTAGAAAGAAAGAAAGAAAGAAGGAAATAATAAAAGTGGTTAGTTTTTATACTTTTATAACTCTCCTTCTTGATTAAGAGATATAAATAAATACCGGTGATAATTTAAATTTATGAGTGGTTCCATTGTATCTAACACATAAAAGAATTTTTGGAGTGTCGTCAACGACAGTGGCAGCAGTTGAGAATGGTGCACCATTGGGTGTGAAAAGAGAAGAGGATGAAAGATTGGGCGAGGAGAGTGAGTGGAGAAGAGATGGTGGTGCTTTATATTCTATATCCTTGAATGCAACCATTAGTTCGTCGCCATCGATCAGTTCCAACTCTCTTGGTGTTTTGGTGTGTGACATTGCCAAACCATATAACTTTATCTGTACAGTTGCTGGATCCAATTGCTTTTTTTGGCAATAAGTGTCTACCAATTGTTTAATTGGTGTATCCTAAAAATCAATCAAATAAATGAATGAATGTTAATATCGATCCAAGATCTTTGTCCAATAAGACTTTTTGTTTATGAATGATAGTTACATATAATGTATCGAAAATAACATCCTCTTCTCCAACCAATTTAAATGTTAATCGAATCGGTGAATTATAGGGTGTTGATGAAGTGGTCGATGATGATGATGATGATGATGTAGTAGTATTGAGAGACGACGACGTTGCACTTGATGATCCAGTATAAGATACATCATATTCTTGGTATTTAGGTGGTTGGTAGATGTTGATCTTTGATGGTGTACTACCCATGACTACCAAGCCACCATCATCTTCTTCATCATCATCAATATCAATTGTTTTATATATACCCATATTATTATTACTACTATTACTACTACTACTACCACTACTACTTCTAATATTATTATTGCTATTCCTTATACTATTATTGTTATTATTATTATTATTTGAAGTTTGAGAGGGAAGATATTCAACATAATCATCTGCATCATCTAATGAGATGTATTGTTGTTGTTGTTGTTGTAAATTTGGTTGAGTAGTTGCCTTTGGGAGTGATGTTGGTATGGTTGATGAAGACTTTGAATGAGTTGGTGTCTTTATAGGTGTTGTTTGCGATCGTTGTAAGGTGGTGTCGAATTGACTTTCATATGCTTGTTGTGCTTGTTGTTCAGAGGCGTTGCTGTCTATAAGGTCGTCGTCAAAGTCAGCTCTTTTCTTTCGTTTAGTCGCTCTACCCGACAATCTCTCAGAGATTGGTGTAGTAGTCTTTTTCTTTCCTCTCTTTCCCTTTTTAGAGGGAGTATTAAACTCTTTGAATGCAAGTTGATCGTCTAGACCATCTTCATTCCCCATATCATCGAGTAAATCAATATCCTCGAGTGCAGTCATTGACCCTCTATACTGAAACAATGGTACATATTCATCATCGTCTTTGACAACTGCTGCAGTTGCAGCATCTGCTGCTTCAGTTGTTGGTTGTGTCTTTTTCTTCTTTCGTTCCATCTATCTATCTTTCTATCTACTATCTATCTATCTATATCTATTCTATTACTATCAAAAGTATCTAGTATACTAAGATAGTAATTGCCTATATCTGTCTTTTCACTTTAATTTCGTCGTATGGGAAACTGAGCTTCCTCTACTTCTTATTTTTTTATATTTAAGTCGCACCATCCTTTTTTTTATTTTCAAAAGGGATGTACTTTGGTCAAATGATCTGATAATTACCTGAAACAATAAATAAAAAGCTCCCCTTATTATTTTTATTATTATTATTTGAACCAATTTACAAAAATATATAAAACATATTAGACATTTTTTAAAAAATGACAAATAGAAAAATAAAAGTTGAAGAAGAAATATAAATTTACATTTCATTTTATTGATATAATAGTTAAGTTAATATTTATCTATGATGACGACAGATAAAAAATCAGACCAAAATTCCTTTTCAATGGAATTAAACAACAAGATGAAAAGAGACCCAAGCAAGTGTTTTCTTTGTGGAATCAAATTTGAACAACTAAACTCTGATTTTCAAACCCATCACTACTATGAGTGTTTCAAGAGATCCCTACTATTATTTGAAGAGACTCCAATATCCTCAAATTTGGATCCAGAAAAAAGAGTTGAACTGAATCTAAGAATTCTTGAAATAATTAAAACACATCCTTTGGTAGAAGGAGAGACTTGGTACATCAGAATGGGATCTTTCCTGGAGAAAATCAGAATTAACCTTCAATCCAGAATCTAAAATTGGAATAATCAACAACAAAAGCTTGGTAGATTTAGAGGGAGAAATCCCCTATGCTCTTCGCTCTCATATCAGAGAGAGATCTCTTGTGGCTTATCCAGAAAAGGTATTCACCTCCATAACTACCACTGAGAATCTGGTGATATTTGCTTGTAAGCTATATTAACCCTGAATTTCTTCTCCTCTTAGGTTTGGACTTTTATGAAAAGAAAATATGGATATCAAATTGAAATCCCAAGAGTTGTTAAAGTCGATGATAGAAATAATCTTTTCATTGATTATTCTTTTACCTCCAATGTATTATCTGTTTGTTTATCCCAAATGACTCGGATTCAAAATGGAACCTTCCAATAAATCCTCAACTACAAAATGGAAAATCATATTTGGGATGAAAAGGAACTTGGTATTAGATTCAAAGAAAGATTGTGTTCTTCTATCAAGACCGTTCCAAGAGATCTTAGATTGTATCAATTTAAGAAAGAAGTTGTCAATTTGATACTCCTACAGAAATGTTTGAAGAAATCGACATTTGGAAACCTATTTCCTTTAATCGCAATGCCAAAGCAAGTTCTTATTAAAGATTTTAATTTATTTAATTTGTACTAAAATTATTAATCGATTGATCATGACCATTAATGGAATAGGTAGTTTTTATAGATGAAAGAAATACAGGAGGATGGTTACAAATGGACAAACCCATAGGTTATCAATATGATCAATCAAGCTCTATGCCATCTAATAATCCAAAAGGAGAAAATGGTGATCACTATTGAATATCAAAAAAATATTTCCACCTCTGATTGCATATCCATAAATATAAATATGCAAATAAATAAATATTATAATTTGAAAATTTATTATTATTCATGCACCATCATGATGCACGATTATACGATGCTTTTTGGTTTTTGATTTGTGATTTATGATTTAATTTAAGATTTGTTTTTTTAACATTCGATACAACAGAAATTACATGTAGAACCTGAACCGTAGGTACTGTCCTTGACACCACACATTCCACCAAGGATGAGGACACGGGATTTACCGTGTTTGCGACGAATCGAGACGAATGGGTTGACTTCGAGGACAAAGACAGTCTCGGACGACTTGACCTTGATCCAACGATAAAAGAATCTAAACTCGGTGATATCTTGTTTGTCGAGGAGATAGACGGCACCGAGGAGCACCCAGAGAACGGCTGCTTCGTCACGTGTCTTGTATCGGTACCTATAGATTGGCATGAGGTGATGGGAAAGGTTCTGACCATCGGAATAGTACATAAAGAGTGAAACGGGGTAATAGACACTCGAAATACGTGAGCATCCATTGGGAAGGTTTTGGTTGGTGAATGGGTTACCAGACTGACTAGCCTTGGCACACGCGATCCAGAATACACCCCATTGATAGTACTCGTCAATCGACGATATCCAGAGAACGAGTGGGATGTGGAAATGAGTGTACTGACCGTCATTTTGAGACCAGTATGAGATGAATCCAAATCGAGGGTTACCAATCCAAACGATTGACAGGGCCATTTTGAGTTTAGCAGTGTCACGTTTATAGTAGATAAAGGGGAACATGAACAGTTTGGATTTACTGGCAGTGAAACAACCGCGCAACAACGATGCCTTGGGATGAACAAGGTAGATGAGACTGACGTAGGTGCGACCATCCTCACGGGCCAAAAAGTAGAGTAGGAGGATGTAAAAGCGCATACCAATCTCGTCGCCACTTGGTGACTCTTCGATGGCATAGTCAATGAAGCCGAATCGTGGCACAATGTAGAGTAGCGATAGATGGAACTTGTCGTTGCCGTTGCAAAGGGATGACTTTTTCCAAAACACTGGGAAGAGTGCGACAATCGAGTGTGCTTGTGACTTGTTGACACGGAACAGGGCGACCACTGGATGCACGATCCATACGATTGACAAGAGACTTGACTCGGACGTCTTGTCATGCTTGCGATAGTAGATTGGGAAGAGACGGTGGTAGCTACCATCCATATCATGTCGTTTGTAGTAAAAGAGTGAGATGAGCGGTATGGCAAACCAGAGCAATGCAAACACTCTGCTCTGTTCCGTGACACAACTATAATAGACGGGTAAAAAGTAGTGTGTACAGTGTCCGTTGACTTCATCGTTGTTGTAGTTGATGAGTCCGTATCGAGGGACGATATACACAATCGACAAGATAGTCTGGTGTTTGTTGGATGCTCCCACACTCGAGTCGAGTGATCCTCCATTTTTGTGGTGATTCTTTGACTCGCGTGACTCACTACTCTTGTAATGCCAAAAGAATGGAATAAGACGAGTGATGACGGCGAATGGGGTAGCCTCGCGAAGGAACAAACTGATGATAGGGTTGAACAGCCAGAGAAGGGCAAAGTGGCGACACAGGTCTTGCACGCGATAATAAAACACCAAAAACATAAATGCCTTGGATTCCTCAGCCGACTTGAGTCTGTGGAAGAATGCGAGCCAAGGCTTGGCAATCCAGAACATGCTAAAGTGGTAGTAGTTGAGTTTGTCGAGGTTATCGGTTCTGTTCTTGGCATGGAAGAGTGGCCAGAGGTAGACCTTGGTCGAACTGATGATATTGGTGGGTGGAAGATCCTTGTACGTGTCTTCCATCTCGACCATGTCCTTGGACGGGAGTTGCGTGTCAAACAAATCGACCTTGCTGGCATTTCGCTTGACTTTGAGGTCGGCGTCGAGGTCGCATACCTTGACACTATGCCTCCAAGTAAACAACGATACTCTGTTGGACACCAACCAAAACAATGCAACGCGAGTGTATTTCTTGAGACTAGTAGATGTCTTGTCAACTGCCAACAGCAACAAGATACGTAGTTGGTATTTATACAGAGCAGTGTCTGGAACATAGTTGGAGAGATGGTTGTTGTCAACAACAATATCACCTCCATCAATCTTTGGTGTGTCACCATTCATATCATCAACCTTTTGTTGGGTAATCTTTGTACGACGACGAATAAATAGTGGGATGATACCCATGATATTCGTGTCATCTTTGACATACTTGAAAAAGAGGAGAATGTTCATAAACATGTTGTCGGAAAAGTCGCGCCAGCTGTGACGGTAGAGGACGAGTAGGAACCAACGCAGATGGTCTAGTCCCTTGATCTTGTGCGCGTAGAATGGGAAGACATAGGTCTGCTCGACCTGGCTGGCTTCGCGATGGTAGTGCACATAGTAGGGGGGCAAGAGTGCGGGCGAGGCAAAGGTGAACTCGTATTGCGCAGAGTCACGTTTAAAGTAGAATGGCAAGAAGAGGGTGTTGCTCTGAGCACGCGTGGTCTTGTCGGTGACAAAGCGCCAAAAGAATGGCATGACCAGGGTAAACTCATTTTCTTCGCTGACCGATCTCCAAAAGAAGGGGAGTAGACGCAGCGAGTATCCAAGCGGGCTGCGATCAAAGTGGAAGAGAGGGAAGATGATATCGATGGCCTTGGACTCCTTCTCTTCATCGACGCGCCATCTAAAGAGTGGGAAGAGTACATAGTGGCTGCGCTGTGCCGAGCCGCTGGTCGACCGACCAAAGATGGGGAATATATAGGTAAACAGCTCGTTCTTGGATGCATCTTGTGTTCGGAAAAAGAAGGGGAAGATGGTGACAAATTTAAAGATAGTCTTGCGATAATAGACGACGATGGGGAAGGTAATGACACGCAGGTGTGTCTCGGCCTTGACAACGTCAATGTAGACGGGCACGACGATCATGACCGAGTTGGCGTCCTTGCGCCAGCGCACGTATATCGGCGAGAGGACAAGGTCGCGATGGAACGTATGTTTTTGGTAAAACACGGGCAATAGCCAACGGGTGACTTCTTCGTCGCGACGACGTTGGTAGTAGATGAGCGAGAGGAAGAGACTGTTGACAACATCTGATTTCCAGCGACATATGAATAGTGGGAGGAGGACGATGAGCTTGTTGCCACCAGTCTTGGTGACAAAGAAAAAGAGTGGGATGAATGCGCGGACGGCCAACTCATCGGGTGATGATGCATACGTGGGTTGTGTATCACCCGACGACTCGTCGATAGTTCGTGTTGGTGCGCGGCCAGGATCGGTGTACCAAAAGTACAGCAACACCACTCCCTTTGTAATACCACGCATATTGGAGTAGAAAAAGAATGGGAATGCGTGTACTTTGAACTTTTTGTCGTCACGGTCGTTGTAGTAGTATCCGAGTGGATAGAAGCAGTAGCAGCGAGTGAGCTGGCCATTCTGCTTGCGTTTGTAGATAAACACGGGGTACATGATGTAGATGTTGTAGCCACCACCCTCCTTGTACGACACCTTGTACCCAAACAACGGCCACAAATGGAACATGAATGAGTGACCCTCATGTTTACGTATCCACAAAAAGGGGAACAGCAGCGTGAAGCGGTTGCTGTCTCCCGCATCATACTTTTGCGTAAACAAGGCCAACACGTTGACAAAGTAGTCGTCTCCATTGGTCCAATGCACAAACACGGGTAATAGCAATGTGAATGTACGTTCTTTAACAAGTTTGACGATTCTGTAATAGATAAACGCGACAATATACATATTACGTGATTTCGACCGGCTAACAAGTAAGAGGGGAACGATAAAGAGGAAAAAGTTGGACGTACCATGATACACAAAGAGGAATGGTGCCAACACAAACAACGTTCCACTGCTAGTACGACGGTAATGCATAACAACCATAAAGTTGACGTGTAACGTGCCACTAGACTTTCGGTTGATGAATAGGAATGGGAGTATGTGCATATAGAACCGTTTACTGTCCGTTGTCATCACATGGAACAGTCCAGCTATATTAACGTGTGTTGTTCCATTACTAACCTTTCTATGAATAAATAGGAATGGTAGTATATGCATATAGAACCTCTTATCACTATTCACGACATGTAGCAGTAGTGCTAGATTAAACCAGAATCCTTCACCATTACGTGACTTGCTTAGCATTAGGAACGGCACTAAAAACAGCCGGAACCTGACAGTATTGGAAATCAACCAAAAGATACCCAACAGTGTAAACAGCGACCTTCCATTCTTGTACCTATACCATATAAAGGGGAATAGTACCACCCATATATCGTCTCCGTCATTCTTGGACACTATCGTAAATATACCCAGCAGCGTCAGTTTAAACGTTCGATCGGTCGATATAATCCAAAACAATGGACGGATTCCAAACCGAAATCCACGTCCACTATACTCTAAATGAATGATTGGCCAAAAGAAATCAACAAACTGTGTCTCTTTACTCTCGTTCCATGCCAATCTAAAAAATATATAAAAGAATGCAAATACCTTATTTCCATTTTTTGATTCTTTCCTAAAAAAACAAAATATTATTAACTAAATCATCTGATATAATTATATTGTATGTATGTATTTATGGTTACATACCATGTTATAGCAGGCCATAATAAATGTAAAATGGTATAAGATTTCTTGACATAGTATACAATTGGCCACGCAGGAATATAATCACAATTGACTCTTACCATGGTGTAACTAACTAATTAACTACTCCCAAGAGTTCAAACAATTGTTGATTTTATTGCTTGTCTTGTGGTTTGGACCTAGGATATTTAAATAAATAAATAAAAAAAAGATATAAATAGATTGCAAAAACAAATAAAAATAAAGTTGTGTGATTCGATTTTGAATTTGAAGCGATTGTGATTGTTTGACTTGTTCTTCTTTTACTCTTTTCTATTTAGTTGATCAATTTATTATTATTATTAATTTGTTGTTGTTGATGATGTTGATGTTGATGTTGATGTTGATGATGTGTTCTAGAACTTGATCAACTCCTACTCCTCCCTTCTCTCTTGTTGTTTAAAATAATCCAACCTTTTAACATCATCATCAACCCCACCCGAACACACTACACTACACTACACTACACTATCTACCACATTTGTAATGTGAAGGAGCGAGCGATTGATTGATTGATTGATTGTGATGTTAATGATTTGAATCTAAAAAGGAGGGTGGTGATTGTTGCTATTGATCAACCATAATAAGATCTTGATTTTATCTTCTCGTCTTTCTATCGTTTTTTAACTTTCTATCTTTCTTTTTCTCTCTCTCTCTTTTTTTTTTTTTGTTCTCTATTTTATTTATAGATCAGTTGATCTCGGATTTATATATATTTATACTGCAAACTAATAATAATGAATAAACTAACTATAATAATAATAATAACCTTACCTTTTGTATTTCTATCTTGAATATTATGATTTATCTTATCTATAAATAATAATTAAATTGATGATTAGAAGATAATCTTAACAACAACAAACACCTATTGATAGACTGTGTGTGATGATTCGAAACACCTACAACAAAGGGCAACGGCTTTAAATCTTGCCCAACCAAAGGTTGATTTGAGATTTTTTGGCGATGAGCATGACATCGCACAGACTTTCACACAACTTTTGAAGAATCTGTGGCACTGTTACACAGACACTGAACGATTCTCTTTGATCCGCAGAAAAAAAGACGCGTCTTTTTGGATACGAGTAGCTCTGATTGATGAGCAAAGTGATAGGATCAACTCAATTGTAATGAGGAATGTTCGTCTTTGTGATAGGATCCTTGTCCTCTGGGAGAAAGAAGGGTGTTCATCATACTCAATGATGAGTATGAAATAAGAACGCGCCCTCTCAAAGTATAGTTATCAAAATTATGAGAGGTTTTGAAAAAAAATAAAAAATAAAAAAAAAAATAAGAGGATGAGCGGGAAGGGAAGTAATACGAGGGTTTGAATAAGTATCTCTTCATTTTTAGTTAATTAATCTATCTCTTATTAATTCATCTTACTCTACCTTGCTCGTTAGTGTAAGACGAGATGTGTTAAGAAGAGCAAAGAGAGAGAGAGAGAGATAGATAGATAGTAGGTATGAGCAATAACAACAATAACAACAATATAGAGGGTTTGGGATTACCATTCCAACATCAACATCATCAACAAGACAATAATAATAACAGTAATAATAGTAATAGTAATAATAGTAATAATAATAATAATACTACCAATACACTATTACAATTTGCTCATCATCATTTGAGTCATGGTGGTGGTGGCGGCGGTGATGCCAACGATAGTATTACTTCATTGTTAAACAACTTTCAACAGCAACAACAACAACATTCACTTAACAATAGTATATCTTCTCAACTTTTCAATGCAACTGCTACCGGAGGTAGTTTGTCAAATAGTACATCTACAAATAATATATTGGGTGCCAGCGGCAACAGTCTATTCAATCCACATAATGAGGGGTTACTAGACTCCCTTCAACATTTAATTGCCGAGGTCATTAATCATACAAGTGTTTTGGGTGCCAGTGCTGCTGCTGCCGCCGTTGGAGGAGGTGGTGGTGGTGGTGGAGGAGGTGGAGGAGGAGGGATGGGAGTAGGAACAGGTGGATTAATGCTTCCTCCCATCGTACCATCTTCCACATCCGAGGGCAATTTTTGTATTGTCAATGCTGCTGCTTCTGCGGCAGCTGCAGCTGCTGCAGACAACTCATCGGCTTCATTTATGTCAATTGGAAATAATAATAATAATAATAACCAACATTCTCTATTGCCAAATACCATTAATGGTAATGGTATTGGTCAACAACCAATGGTCAACAACCACCATACCCATCTTCATGGTCAACCTCATTTCTTACCTTCAATTAATAATTTAAACAATGAGTATGCTTCTATTTTATCCCCGTCTATTACAACTACACCAACAACTACAACTACTAATATACCACAGCAACCAACGCTGCCAACAATAACAACAACAGCAGGTTCCAATACTGTTGTTGATGGGGTTGTTGAACTTCAACATCAACAAATCCGTACAATGCTTCAACAAGCTGCAAATTCATCCTCTCCAGTGACCCTTGATGTGGCCACCGCAGCATCTACACTCAACCCTCAAACGGTTGTGACACAACTACAACTACAACAAGCAACTTCCGCTTCTATATTACCTACTCCTCCTATATTACCGCCACCTGTATCTACTCCAACATTGGTACAACAACAACAACCTCAACCAAATGGAGGAGGCAAAGCAAAAAAGACAAGGGCAACAAAAGATACTACTACTACTACTTCGACAACATCTACAACATCAACTACCTCTACTACATCTACAACCGAGACAAATGGAAACAAGAGAAAGATGGGACCATTCTTTTGTGAACATGAAGCATGTGAAAAGAGAACACCATACCTAGCAAACAAAAATAGATTGAGACATGAACGTACACTTCATGCGGCATGTAAAAGAGAGAGTTGCAAGGTTTGTCAAGAGTTGGAGGCAAAGGCAAACAACACCGAGCCACCAGTCCTAAAGGAATCACAGAGACAATGTATACACACTGGATGCGAAAAGATGATCACTGTTTCAAACTTTTCTAGACATATGAAGAAACCACATCACTATAGCTCAGATCACGTCATTACAAAACAAGTTAAAAAGAATAGAGATCAACCTGTTCACTTGAACAAATTCAATTGTGAAGGATGTATTGAAGTGATGAAATTAAAATCAAATCAACAATTTTTAGATGATCAGTTGAATAATAATAATAATAATGGCAATGGCTCAGGAGATCTTATGGATAATAATAATAATAATATTATTGGTGAAGATAATAATAATAATAATAATAATAATAATAATAATAATAATACAGATACATCTTCATCTTCTTCTACTTCAAATGTAAATAATCAACCTACTACACCAAGTCCAGCAGAAATGGAATCAATATATGATATTAGAGTTGAAGATGATGGTCTTTGGACATATTATTTAAATCTATTCTCTCATGTTGTCAAACAATACTCTTTATATATTTACGAAGATCTTAAAAGTGGTACAGAAAATAATTTATTTCATAGTATGTAAAATATAAAAAATATATATATATACCTCAATCATATAAGTTATTAACAATCTATCTTTATATAACATTTCTACTTTATAGTATTTCCAAAAGTATCAAAAGAACCTAAAAGATTAATTGGATGTTATTGTGATATTATAGGGTTAATACACGAGTTGATAAAATTTGAACAACCTCTAGATGATGTAATTATCCCCTATCAATCATATTATTTATATTTTATTCAAACTTACCTTCTTTTGTTTTTATATTTATTTTAGAATATTTTAATTAAAATAACATTTGATGTAAATGTAAACAAAAAGACAATGTTGTATCAAAAAGTTGGATGTATACAATTGTTGTATGACTCCAAGACCATTGAAAAGATTAGATCGCCATACGATGTTCATCAATTTTTCATTTCATCAAGTGAAATCAATGAAGATTTAATTCATCTATTCAATGCCAATGAATTATCACAATTAAATGCAGATCTTAATAGAATAGCAAGTTCAAATTCAAAGGTAAATATTTTAAAACTAGTAATATTTAGTTTCATGTTTATTTATTATATTTGTTTTTTTTAAATATTTTAGATGAATGAAAATGGTAAAGTATTTGATTTATCATTTTGTTTAACCACTGAAATGACAAGTTTAGTTGGATTGGTTGGATTGTATGGTATATTTAAAATCATTGCATTCTTTAAATGTGCATGGTGTGATGTTTCTCAACAAACCATTGGTTCATTGACCAAGGTTACAAGGATGGATACAATTAGAGATATCCTTAGAGTAGAACCACAAACCTCAACTACATCGACAACCGCTTCTACTAGTGAAAACCCAGATATTCATTTAAGAAATATTGAAGCAATGGTAGAGAGTTTCAAGTACCTTAGTAAATTTACACCATCAACAAGAAAACGTATAGCCAAGAGATACAAGGGTCAAGTTAGTGTCCCTCTTGTACCCAGTATTCCATTTGTCAACATTGTTCCAGAACCACTTGAATTGATTAGTGGTGTTGTCAAAAATATCTTTAGATACCAACTCCGAGATCAGTCTTTGGTCGATTCAAACGATTCCAACCGCGAGATTGAAGCCTTTTTACGTAATGATGCCAATGTCTCATTGTTTCGTGGTGGAATCTATCAACAAATCCTCAAAATTCGCGAAAGATTTGATCATTCAATCATTAATCCTCTAGATGCCATTTCAATCGTCACAAAACAAGATAAATTTCTTCCAATCATTGCTCATTATCTTCACCACCCATTAAAAGAATTTGTATGTAAAAAACAACAAAAAAAAAACATATACCAACAATTATTTATTTATTCTTTTTTTTTTAGATTCCAATTTTATGGAAACAATTATGGGCATTAATATCAATAATGATGAATCAAGATAGAAGATATGGACAAGATGAATTTTTAGGCATGACTTTTACTTTTGCAAAACTACTTATTTCACTATACGGTACTTCCGTTATAAATACCCCAATCCATGTATTTATTCACCACATTGGTTATTATATTGAAAAACATGGTTCATTATTTAAATTTGCATCAAATGGTGCTAAAAGTATGTAATTTATGAATATTTATTTATTTATTTATGAATAGCCCATCTAACTATCTTTTTCTTTTTCTATTTCTTTAGAGAGACAAAATATTAATAATTTATTGACTGAAAAGTCGGGAAGTGCAGCAATGCAGAAAATCGCTAGAGAAAAGATAGAGGCATTTGATACTTTTGGAGATATATTGGCTGGTTGTGAAAAGTTCTCTGTCAGAGAGTACCACTATGATCGTAGATACAGAGAATCAGAGGGATCTAAAATATCCTTTCAAATTCGTGAATTATTCAAAGTATCTGAATTCAACCTCCCTGAATTATTCAATGATACTATCATGACAAGAGTTACAAATATCTTGGCAACTAATCCACTACCTGCACCTCTTCCCGTTTCTACTGTTACTACTGCTAATTCTAATACTTCTACTTCTACTACTTCTTCTAATTCTTCTACATCTAATACTACTACAACTGCTCCTACAACTGCTCCTACAACTACAACTACAACTACTACTGCTCCTACAACTGCTAGCATTAGTATCCCAACCACCACCACCAACACCAACATTACAAATGGAAATAATAATAATAATCATATTAATAATCAAGTTGTAAATAATAATATTATTAATACTATTATTAATAATCATAATCAAATTTTGAATAATTTATCAACACCATCAGCTATTGTCCCAGCAGAACATACTTGCTATTCAGGTCAACAACCATGTACATTAATGACCTTGCCAGCAACTTCTGCCTTGGCAGTTCCTTCAACCCCCAACTATCCATCTTTGGAGGAAATGTTGAATCTAATCGATGGGTTTGACCAGCACCATCATGATGAAATGGACGATGATATGGAGCCCATCGATGACGACGACGAAGATGATATGGAACCTATCGACGACGAGGATGAAATGGAGCCCATCGATGAATATAACCAATAACAATAATTTTTTTTAATAAACTTTTTGTACAAAGAACACTGGCCACATTTATTAAATAACAGTTATTGATTTGATATTTATTTTTACTTTTTAAAAGATAATCCTTAAACTAAACCATTATTATTCTTGATTTGATATTATTATATCACAAGAAAAAATTAATAAATAAGAAGAAAAATGTGAAAAAACACGAGCTCACTCCTTTGAGATTATCACTTGATACTGTATTATGATAATAAATATAAATCAACTAAACAATTGGTGGTTATCTCTTTTCTCTACTCTGCTAGTATTCTGCTGTGCAATTTATTTATGTATATGAGGAATGAAAGATAAACCCCCACTTTAAATTGTTTTCAAAGTCCGAGTGGGGGTCAGACTTAATATGGAGTGAGGGTTCCCCTTGCAAACGCATGGTGGAAAAAAAAAACGCCTGGTTCAAAAAAAATTGTCTCAGTACATCTTCGCTGAGATTGTCTCTTATTATTCTTTTACAACATCTGAAATTGCCTTTCAAAGTGATTTCAAACGATGGTCATCAGAACAAGTAAAAGAATGGGCGACAAAAGAAGTTCAAGTAAGAGAAGAATATGCCCAGATGCTTCTTAATAATGATGTGGATGGAGAGCATAGCAGTGTTTACAGAGGCTGATTTCGATAAATGTGGCATAGTCATAGCGCCTGCAAAGAAGCTCTATCTGGCTGCTCAACAACTTAAACAACAATCGCTGTCGCATCAACACGGCAGCAATGGTATGTATAAGAGTCTATCTTCTATTTCATATTTGCCACACACACACACACACACATATTCAGCTTGATTCACATTGTCATTCGTCAGATTCTCTCACCCGTCATTATGCTCTCTTTTAGTCGTCACCAACACATTTTATTATTATTATTATTTTGTTTAATAATTTTAAGTTTGTTAAAAAGCGCATACCAGCATCACACTTCTTTTTTGATACATATTCTTCCACTTTATCAAGTTATTCTTTTTTTTTGTCATTCATTTATTCTTCACACATATAATTTACTATATACCAGTTGTCAATAAAGAGAGAAAAAACATCATCTTGTTCTTATTATCAAGTCATCTTGTCAATTATCATGACAGGTAATAGATCTATTTGACAACATTTTCTTCCAACATACATATAAATTTAATCTAATATCTGCTCCTTTTTACAGATAAATTCTATACAGAGGTAAAAGATATCCTCATTGAATCCCAAGTTAGTGATTCCACAGCCAATGATATTTTGGGAAGATTAAAAGACAAAAAAATTACATCTCTGGAAGAGGTCTATGAAATATATCAAGATGATGATTACAAACAAACCATATTTAGTGGAATGGAACTTGGCGACCATTTGAAATTTTCCAAGTTGCTCTCGAAACATTCTACGCAAAGTAAGTTGACCCTCATCCTTTATGAGTCTGATCAAACTAATTTATTTCTTTTTTATTCATCTTAGACACTCCCATCCTAGCAGCCCCTAAAGGTAATTTTGTGTGTTTTATCAAAACATCCCTTCACCCATCTCATTTTCCCTTGCCTCATTGTTGGCCAGTCTCCCATTCCTATTTATTGTATCACCATCACTCAACATCTCGTTTTGTTTCATCACCGTTCATTGTTTTTGCACCATTTCTTTTTGGTTTTAATATCCAATCAACTTATCGCTTTTTTTTTTTGCCTCATTGTATGGCCAGTCTATTTCATACTATTCCTGATTGCTACATCACACAACATCTCGTCATTTTGTTGCATCAACCAATTACCATCATTCAGCATCTTGCCGGTAAACAATAGAAAGTACCATTTAACTTTCTATCAGAACTATCATTTCCCCTCCCCCATATCTTTTCCCTTTTAACCACTCTCCTCATTGTATGACCAGTCTATTCCACTTTGTTTTGTTTGCTTGTTCTCTTATATCACTGAGATTATCATCACCCCTGTTCATATTATCTTTTTTCTAACATTTAAACTTACTTTCAAAGACATTTTAAAATGGATCCTTGATTATATTTCTCAAATTGGAGGTGACCCAACTCACAATTTCAGCCTCTCTCCATCTGTTTCCAAAGTAAGTAATTTAATCGACAAATATTTAAAACTAAATCTCATTTAAATGTATTTTCAAGTTCCTAGGTAACCAACGAATTTCCATTCCATTTTTCTCTCGTTCTGAGTCTCTGGATCAATATTACTCGAGCGTGTTCACACGATTCATGATGCATCAAGACTCATATGACAAGATGGACCATCCCTTTTTGGTCGTACCAGGTGCACCAGGGATCGGAAAGACAAGATACCTTTATGAGTGCCACAAGGTATTCGAACAAGAATATCAAGATAAACTCGATGAAAAACAACGATTGCCATCCAATTTCCCAACATGCATGCTCCATTTGGTTGTTTCCTATGGCAACGGAACATCCTTTCAGGAAAAGTCCGAGCTCAATGAACAAGAAACACTCTCCCTTCGTCTTTTCCATCGATACTTCTTTGATGGTATTAAAGAGGTGGATGGTGCAAGTTTTACCAATTTTTGCCAGGCCATAAAGAGTCGTTTCCAATCACCATTGGGTTTGGGAACTTGTTTGTCAACTATTTATCAACATCTTATTGTACAGAAAAGAATCGAAGATGGTGATAAAGTATTCATGAATATATGTATTGATGAATATCAACAACTTATCGATACAAAAGCAGAAACCATAGAGGGGGATCGCGACTTTCTAAAGAAAGTTGCTCTGGCTGTTGGCAATCAACTTATGGCGTCTGGACCAATCTTCATCAGCGCACTTTTTGCTGGCACACCTCGATACCAACTCTCGGATATTATCACCCAAAACTCTAGCTACAGGGCAACTGTAATCCCTCTCCCTCCACTATCCAAAGATGAATATATTAATTTCTATTCACATAAGGACCTTTGCTCTGGCTTAGAACTCGTCCGTGACTCTCTAGGTGGCTGGCCACGATTACTGGAAATATTTTGGTTTGATTATTTTTCTTCGGACGTCCAACAAAGAGCAAACAAAGTTGTTCCATTCTCCAGCGGTATCAGTGAATTTCATGGGCGGTTATCTGGAACATCGTATCATCGTAGTCTTTCAAGTCCTCCTCCATTCATCCAAACCATACTTTCCTATGCTATTACATGCAAGTCGGTTGAAAGTTCGTCCCTAATCCCAGATTCAAACACCACATTTGAACAAGCTGAAATGGACTCGTGCATCAGAATCGTCAAGTTTAGAGGTCGCCATGTTGTAGATATTCCCTATTTCTTTGTCAAAATGTACGCACAACGTGTTGCTAGTCCATCATCAGCATCTTTGACACAACTCTTCTATTATTTAGAGTCTTCCCACTCCAAGATTCATTTTGGTGATTGGGAGATTATATGTGCCATACATCAAGATGTCAGAACCCAAATGTTTGCTCAAGACAAAACCGTCAGAGTTGGCGATTTCTTGCCTGGCATCGCAACAGATTTTACAAGTGAACAGATATTAGACCTTACAAATCTCAATGGTAATGTATATATATATATGCTCAATTGTATTATAGTAAATCTAACCAACATCCTTTTCAGCTACCACTTACAGAAAACTAAAACACCATTATCTATCGACCAAACTCTCTGATGAAGACCAAAATCACTTTCTCTCGGGCAATGTTTTGGTAAACGCTGACAATGCACCTTTGTTTGATTGGTTTCAATTTGTAAAAGGAACCTATTTGTTGTTCCAAGGAAAACACATCATTGGTGAAACTCGTTTGACAGGTGCTATGTTTGAAAAAGAACTCAAGAGCCTTGACGAGGCACAACTCAAACCATATTTATATATATTTGTTACTAATAGAGGAGTTGATTTACCAGCAATGATAACATCACGTACTCAAGACAATATTATAATACTCAATCTTTATGAATACCTCCCTAATTTTATGCACCCTATTCTCAATGTTCAAACCCCCAAACAAACAAAGGATCAAGCTATCATACTCCAAGAATTCCAATCATCAGGTCTTGTTCAAACTACCAGTTGAACTTATTGAAGGTTCATTTGTTGGTTATGAAAAGAAATAAAAAAGAAAAAAACATATATATTATGAAAAAAAACAAACGAGAAATAAATTAAATTATTTCTTTAAAGGATAATGATGATGATGATGTCGTAGTTAAATTAAATAAAATCAAAGTGCCAACAGAGCCGGTCGAATTCCTTCCGGGTTAGTTGTCGAAAAATGATTTATTTAAAGAGGGAAGATATTTTAATTTTATTCACCCCGGATAGATATTTATCCAATGGTTTTCGTGTCGCCACTTCACAACCATAGCAAAAGCAAGGCAAGCTTGTGTAAACTAAATCATTTCACAAACAACACATCTATTATTCACAAACAATATACATATATATATAATCGATACAGATACAAAAAGATCAACATAAATATGAAGTTCTTTTTATTACCATTATTTACACTCTGTTGTTTCTCTCAAGTAAGATAAGATATCTCATTGAATCAAATCAAATCCAAATATCTTCTAACTTTTTTTTTTTTTTTTTATTTATTTTTCTTTTTTAAAAAAGATGGTATCAAGTCAAGAAGAGATCACCCAATTCTTTATTATGAACAGCCAAAATGTATTCTACTCTTATAATACTACTAGTGGAGCACTGATCACTACAAATGATACAAACTCTACTAGCAAATATAACTTTTACGGTCAACTTTCTTCCAATGCAACAGACAACACCGTCTTGTTTTTAGGCACTGATTTAGAATTGAATCAAGATTGCATGGTTCAATATAATATTAATGTAACAAGAATATGAAAAAGAAAAAGAAAATGAAAAATATAATACAAACTAACCAAACATTATTCTTTATTTTAAATGACATCCTCTCCTATTGCAGCAAAATAGTCTTACAACTTTACAATGCACAAATGCTGTATTTAACAGCACAATGTTTCCTCAAGCAATTGCCTATGACCCCGTACACAATTTTGCAGCTATTCCTTCAAATGATACATCTTCCAATTTAACAATTTATATTTGGAATTTTAATACTCAAGAACTGTAAGTTAAACTAACTAACTATAAGAGATCAATTGATCGAGTCGTTTGCTCATTTATTTATTTTTATTGATTTATTTTAATTTATTTAATTATTTTTAGTGAATCAATTCCACTTCCAACAGGAGTGATGAATGATGTAACATTGACACCAGTTGGAGCTTATGATGCTAGCACTGGAAACTACTACATTCTTTATACTCTATTATCCTCTGTCCATCAAGAAGCCCCCTTGGTGATGATCTACAACTTGTTGTCAAGAAAGGTTGTCCAAGAGAGACTTTCAATCAGTAATGCTGGTACGGCCCAACCTCAATTCATCTTTGCCAGCGGTCGTGTCTTTTTCGTCGATATCTACCCTATGGGAGATCAGGTTATCTTGGAAATCGATCTTGAATCGCGTCAAGCCACCCAAGCTTGGGTCATTCAAAACGGTTGGAAAACAAACGAGGGCTTAGACTTTGGTATGACCATTGGCCAAAAAGGTAATTATATTGTTCTTTTCTCGCATTTCAAGCAACAATTCGTTTGCACAACTGTATCACTTTACCCAGGAAAGGTAACGTTTACCACTTCCCCACCAGCTCAACCAACTGATAATGTCATTGGTTTAGAATGGATATCTGGTGCAATTTAAATTAATTAAAGGAATAAACCCCAAACAGGAACAACTCAAATAAAGAATCATTCACACCCCTCAAACAAATTTGTACAAGTACACATACATATTAATACAGGAGCAAAGAATAATATTTAAAAAAATAGTATTTTTTTTATTTTCTATTCTACTTTAATTTCTTGAGATTTCTTTGATTCATCAACCAACTTTGGTAGGTTAATAGTAAGTACTCCATTTTCAACCTTGGCTGAAATATTTCCAGTGTTTATGTTGTTTTCTGGGAATGTCATTGATTTGAAGAAATGTGATTTGAAAGTTGATTTGTTTCCTTGTTTTTCATCTTGAGTTTCTTCCACTTTTTTGGATTCAACAGTTAATCTATTCTTGGAGTATGAAAGCTTGATATCGTCCTTTGACAAACCCGGAACTTCCATGGTCAAACAAAATTGGTCATCTCCTTCCTCTAAACGAGTCTTTGGTGCTCTCATGAATTGAGGTGTTTCAAATTCCTCCCAATCATGATCAAACATTTTAGTAGACTTTGGATTAAAGAATGGTTGTTTAAAGATTGAAAATGCATCTTCAAAATCACCAAAATGGTTATTTCTTAAACCTAGAAAAAAAATAAAAAAATAATAAATTAAAATTAGTATTAATTAAATAGATGAATTTAAATTCCTATAATTACCTTTTTGCCATGGTTGTTGTTGAGTAGTTGGTTGTTTATCCTTTTTATGTTGTTGAATTTGACTATTATTATTATCTGTATTTGATTTTTTGTCACTTGAAAATGATCTCGTAGTTGTTGAACCAATTCCAGACAACATTGAAGAAGATGAAGGATTTATAAATGTAGTGGTAGAAGATGTGGCTGGTTTTGCCAAAGATTTGAAGGTAGATTGTACTAATTTATTCATTGTTTGTGTTTGTTGTTTGTATCTATCTATTTTAATAAAGTATGAAATGAGGTCTCGTTGTCAACAAGAACACCTAAAAGGGTTATGGAATTTACAATAGGACCAATAATAAAAAAAAAATAATATTAAATATTAAAAATTTTGGTTGCTTTGTCCAAAAATGGAAATCGAAATAAGTCCAAGATATTTCAATGATATTTCAATCAAAATAGAATGAAATATCATCTATCTTGAAATACTTTGAAATTATTCAAATGAACAACTAAAGTCAATCATATCAATATGCATTCGAACTTTGAAGAACTATTGTTACTCTCACCCACCCAAACAATTAATTTGTAAGTACACATATGCTGAGTGTTGAACTTCACACCACCCTCATACCCATATTCGAAATTAATTTATTAATTTAATTTTTGTTCACAGTCACAACAAGCATCATCTCATCATCACAGCTGATCCCCATCATAGTATCATTATATATCAGCAAAAAGTAGAATATAACAAAGAAGAAGAAGATATATAGTTATTGTTATTATTATTGGTAGATATGAATAGATTAATGTTAAATTCAACTTTAAAGTTGAAATCAATATTAAAAAATGCAAATACTATAACTAATAAATCATCGTCATCATCATCGTTGTCGTCTGCAACATCAACATCATCGTCATTGTCAACTGCAAACAAAAACAGTAGCAATGAATTAAGTAATAAAGTTGGATACTTTACATCATCATTATCAAATTTAAATCTAAATAGTATTGCTCGTTCATCATTGTCGTCATCCTCGTCATTGTTTGACCCATTGAACAACAGTAATCATCATACCACTATCGCAAAGAGATTCTTTCAAGGTGCTGGTGGAAATGGCAATAATGGACAACCAAAGCAGCAACCTTGGGTCAACCCTGACAATGTACCACCAGGAGAAGCATTGGCAAAGTACACAAAAGATCTGACAGAGATTGCAAAGCAAGGTAAAGTAGATCCCGTCATTGGTAGAGACGAAGAGATTCGTCGAACTATTCAAGTACTCAGTCGTAGAACAAAGAATAATCCTGTATTAATTGGTGAACCTGGTGTTGGAAAGGTATGAAACTAAATTTAATTCAAAAGAAAAAGAAAGAGATTGAAAGAGGGATTAGAGACTAATATATTTATTTATTTAATTTATTTAATTTATTTAATTTAATTTAGACTGCAATTGTAGAAGGATTAGCACAAAGAATTGTAAATGGTGATGTACCAGATAGCGTAAAGAACAAAAGAGTATTGACATTGGATCTGGCGGCGATTGTGGCAGGTGCCAAGTTTAGAGGTGACTTTGAAGAGAGAATGAAGTCTATTCTAAAGGATGTAGCTCATTTCAAAGGAGAGGTGATTCTCTTTATCGATGAGTTGCATACTTTGGTAGGTGCTGGTGCCGTCGAAGGAGGTATGGATGCATCCAACATGTTGAAACCACAGTTGGCAAGAGGTGATTTGCATTGCGTCGGTGCCACTACCACCTCAGAGTACCGAAAGTACATTGAAAAGGATCCAGCATTGGCCAGAAGATTCCAATCGGTTATGGTTACAGAGCCAAGTGTTGAAGACACAATAAGTATCATGAGAGGTCTCAAAGAGAGATACGAGGTGCATCACGGTGTACGTATCACCGACGGTGCCCTCGTGTCTGCCTGTGTCAACAGCCAGCGTTACATCACTGACCGTTTCTTGCCCGACAAGGCCATCGACTTGATCGATGAGGCTGCCAGTCGTCTCAGACTTCAACAGGAAAGCAAACCAGAGAACATTGAGAATCTCAACCGAACCATCATCACCATGAAGATTGAAATCGAAGCTCTCAAAAAGGAAACGGATATTGCCAGCAAGGAACGTCTCGCCAAACTCGAAAGTGAACTAGCCACCAAAGAAGAAGAATGCAAGAAATTGACAACCGTTTGGATGAAGGAAAAGGAGGAATTGGAAAAACGTAAAATGGCCAATGAAAAGTTGGAAAATGCCAAGATTGAGTTACAACAGGCTCAAAGAAGAGGTGACTTGACTAGAGCTGGTGAGCTTGCCTATGGAATCATTCCAAATCTCGAGAAACAAGTACCCAAGGATGGCGATGGACAGGATCTCAACCTTTCCATGATTTCAGAGGCTGTCACTGCCAAAGATGTCGCACTCGTCATCTCCAAGGCCACAGGTATTCCAGTACACTCTCTTATGATGGGTGAAAAGGACAAGTTATTAAACATGGAAAAACAACTTGCAACCCAAGTTATTGGTCAACCAGAGGCTATCACTGCCGTATCAAATGCCGTTAGAATCAGTCGTGCCGGTCTTCATTCTCATAATAGACCAATTGGTTCTTTCTTATTTTTAGGTCCAACTGGTGTTGGTAAAGTAAGTTAAAAAAAAAAAAGATATAATTTAAAACAACACATTATACTAACTTTGATTACTTTTTATTTTTTATTTTCTATTAGACACAATTATGTAGAACATTGGCAGAATTTATGTTTGATAGTCCAAATGCATTGATTAGAATAGATATGTCTGAATATATGGAGAAATTCTCTGTTAGTAGATTGATTGGAGCACCACCAGGTTATGTTGGTTTTGAAGAGGGTGGTACTTTGACAGAGGCTGTTAGAAGACGTCCATACTCTTTGGTACTTTTTGATGAGTTTGAAAAGGCTCATCGTGAAGTATCGAATCTATTGCTCCAAATGTTGGACGATGGCCATTTGACCGACTCTCAAGGCAGAAAGATTGACTTTAGAAACACAATGATCATTTTGACAAGCAATCTTGGTGCCGACGTTCTTGCCAATCTTCCAGATGGAACTCCAAGCTCAACAGCACGTGAAAGCGTCATGCAAGTGGTTCGTTCTGAATTCCCACCAGAATTTTTGAATAGAATCGACGATATGATCCTTTTCAATCGTCTCTCTCGTTCCGACATGGATCATATTGTCGACATTCAATTGAACGATCTTCGTAAACTCTTGAGTGATCGTCAAATCACATTGGTCGTTCGTCCAACTGCTTTGGATTGGTTGGCCGACCAAGGTTACGATCCCGTCTATGGTGCTCGTCCATTAAAGCGTGTCATCCAAAAACATCTCCTCAATCCAATGGCTAAATTAATTCTTGAAGGTAAAATCACTGAAAGACATAATGTAACTATTGATGTTAACAAGGATGTAAATGAATTATCAATTAAACAAGATGATTAATTTTAAAATAATAAATAAAATAATATATAAATAAATAAATAAATATATATTTTGTTAAAAAAAGCTTCAGAACTTAATAATAAATTCTCTAGAGAGGGTATAAACTATATCCAGATACTCCTTCAAGAAAAAAAAGAAACAGATGCAGAGGGATTTGAAGGCGTCAGATTTAAAGAATTAAGTGGTCTGATTTCATTATCATTAGGTTTGTTGAACTGCATCTTGAGAATACCTTTATCTTTATCCTAATAGAAAAGAGAATAACTTTATTATCAATAAAGGTTTATGGGAAGTAACATAGATAATCAATAAAAGTAGAAGGTCTCTTTTTTTTTAGGGTTTCCTATTTATGATAATTAATCTAGAAAATGGTTGTTCCTAATGTAATTTAAATATTCTCAAGATGGTTAAATTTTTATTTGGATCGAATACTATTATTTAATGACTGTATATTGCTCATTATTTTCATTTAATTTGGGTAATTCACATCAAGAATCAACAAAAAAGAAACAGATGCAGAGGGTAGAAGTGGACAGGTGTATAGGCCTGAATTTCATTAACATAAGATTTGTTGAACTGCATCTTGAGAATACCAATACTTTTATCCTAGTAGAAAAGATTATACTTAATTTATGAATATAGGTTTATGGTCATAGATATCTATATACCCTCAATTAAAAATGAGAATAAACTATAGTTCTTTTAAAGAGGTTGCTTTTTTAATCGATAATTTATCTTTTCCAGAAAATATAAAAAAAGGGGAAAGTATACTGGCAAAGTGAAAATTAAATATTCAAAGTGTAAAAAAATAAAGGATTAAAGTTGGTCCCCCAATAAATAATAATTCTCCATTAACTATTTATTTATAATTCTTTTTGATGGTTTATTTTTTGGTATTTTTTGTTTTACTACTAGGTTTGAAGACTATCATTATCATTGTCTTGTTCATTATTTTCATTTGGTTCGGTTACATTACTAATATTAATACTGTCACCGCCATTACTACCACTTATTGGGATACCGACCTTTTTTTTTCCATTAATATCCAATTTTCTTAGTTCACCATCCAATTCGAATTCACTCTCATCTACTTCGTCATTTTGAAAATCAACAGAGCTCTCGTCATCATAGGTATCGTCATAATGACTATCAGAGTGAATTGAGGAAAGATCGATAGGATCATTACCAGAGGATTGTAATTTTGCTCTTTGTTGGGCTTTTGTTGTAGTTGCAGCAGTAGTGGCAGTAGCAGTGCCATTACTATTATTATTGTTATTATTGTTATTATTATTATTATTGGTTCTTGCAGCCATTTTTGATTGTTGTCTTAATAATTGTTGGTGTTGTTGCATTTTCTTAAAATAAATCAATTGTTGTTGTTTCTTTTGGATACGAGCCAGCTCATTGTCAGAGTCGGCAGAAACAGAAGAGTGTTTGGATGAACTTTCGTTGTGATAGGAACTGCTATCCTCGCTGTGTGGGATGAATGGTCTACCTTTTTTGACTTGAGTATATTGTTGTCTTCTCGAAGGTGTTTCATGAAGTACATTCTTGGGTGTCTTTATCTCAATATGACGTGTTTCTTGATGTGGTGTTTGTGGTGGAATTTGATGTTGTCCAGTCGGTACTTGTTGTTGTTGTTGTTGTGGTGAGTAGGTATTATAAAGAGGAGCAGGTGGAGATCCAAAGTTGAGGTTATTTTGTGGTGGTCTATGTTGCAATTGTTGGTTCAATGGATGTTGATAATTCTTGGCTCCTCCAATTGGTATCGAGTGTTGTTGTTGTTGTTGATGTTGTTGTGGTTGTTGTCCAGCAGCAAAATGTTGAACACTATATGGAGTAGTAGTGGCTGTTTGATATCTTGGTGGATAATGTCCATAAACATCAGTTGGGAATGTGTTTTCTGCATATCCCAATGGAAGTTGTTGTTGTTGTTCAAGTGGTGTTTCATGGTAATAGGTTGGTTGTTGTTGTTGTTGTCTTTGGGTATTATACATTTGTTGTTGTTGGTGTTGTTGTTGTTGTTGTTGGTAATATTGTAGTTGCTGTTGTTGGATTTGTTGTTGTTGATGTTGATGTTGTTGTTGTTGTTGTTGTTGGATTTGTTGTTGTTGATATTGTTGATTGATATATGCTTGGTTATATAAATTTTGTTGTGGTTGTTTGGATCGGTACTTTAATGGTGAATGGTTTACTTCTAGGGCATTTGGCGCAATCGCTTGGATGGCATTTTGTACCGCATCATTCAAGGCAATCCATTGGTGTGGTGTATGCAACACTTTTACATGACGAAGTATAATCAAAAGATATGCCATATCAAACATGGAATGATCTTCAATAAAGCTATACACTTCGTTGATTAATTTTCTACCTTCATTTAAAATTAACTAAAATATAAATATATATTAGTATTTGTATAAATATGAAAATAAATAAATAAATATGTATATACCTTTGTATCAGTTGAAGATGGTTGATGATGATAGGGTTCCTGTTGTTGTGGTTGTTGTTGCTTAAATGCAGTTTGTGGTGGATGGAAAGTAAAGGGCGTAGATGGGGTTTGGTTGATTGATTTGTTATATACATGATTATTTTGTTGTTGTTGTTGTTGTTGTTGTTGTTGATTATTGACACTAATATTGATATCATCATCTACAGATGGTGACCCATGAATTTGTTGGATTTCTACGCGATGCTTGTGACTTGGCGTAATAACTGAACTTGGAGCAGCACCAGAGGTTGTTGGTGTTTTAAGATTGTTGTTGTTGTTGTCGTTGTTGGGTGTCGTAGCAGATGATGTTGGGAAGTTTTGTTTCCATGTTCTAAAACTGGCTTCATCTTCACTGTCACTGTACTCAACGACAGAATGTGGATACATTGACTTCTTTCTCTTGGCACTGTGGTTGGTTGCATTATTTGCAATCTTGTGGTTGTTTACGAGAATATTCTTTTTCTTTAGTTGGCCACCTGAGATGGACAAAGAATGGAGGATTAATAAACAATTTATATGTATTGATTGGCAAAGCCATGGTTAAAATGTCAACTTACTTTTCTTTGTTTTGGGCAACCAGTCAATACCCAATTCTTCGTCATCGCCAATAGTTCTTGATTGGCTTTCATTATAGTAGGCAATTTCTTCATCGTCGTTTTGTTCCAATCGTCTAAAGTATTCCTCTTCCTCTTCATCTTCGGGATAGTATCCTTGGACGTCGACTTCATCTTCTTCTTCCTCCTCTTCTTCGTCATCTTCAGCAATGTAATCTTCATCTTCTTCATCCTCCTCCTCTTCTTCTTCATCGAAATCTCCTTCTTCTTCATCTTCGTCTTCTTCTTGTTGTTCATCGAGCATACCAGGATCAATTCCCATCTGATTTTGAGCCATTGCTATAATCATTGTTTGTAATTGGTCGAGTTGGTACCTTGATGATTGAAGCTGAACCAATTCTTCTTTGATTCTTTTCATCTCATCTCCCCATTCTGCCATTCTTGGATCGTCATTTGCAAATGCGGTGGCAGTAGTAGCAGCAGCAGTAGTAGTAGTACTGGTTGACGTAGTATCAGAAACTACAACCGCAGCAGCAGGAGCAGCAGAATCAGATGACTGTTGGTTTTCACCATGACTGTCAATAATTACAATATCTTGACTCTTATTATTTATAGATGTGTCTACTCCTCCATTGGTAGTAGCAGCGCTGGGTGTTGTAGTTGCAGTAGTAGATGTTGTTGTAGTTGTAGTGTCAGTAGTTTCCATTGTTCTCTATAGTTCCTCGTATTCATAAATGATAGATAGTTAGAACAAGTTTTATATTAATCTGCTATGCTACTATAAATAGATATGCTATGTATACACTATAGATAGATAGATAGATAGATAAATGTGAATGATATAATAAATAATAAATAATAAATAATGTGTATAATAATAATAATATGATAGATATATAGGTAGAGGATAGACTGCTGATTGTGTGAGTCGTGATTGATCACTTCTCTGTGAAGATGGACTTGGCTGTGTTGCTGCTGAAAATTTTTATTATTAACAATAATTTCATAAATTATTTGTTTTAATCATTTCCTATAAAACAGGTTGCTGCATCAAACATCAAACAAACAAACAAATATAAAAAAAAGAAACATGGATGTTCTCATAGATTCACCTATCGTAAAGAATACTACTACTAGTAATGGAGAGTTATACCAATCGGTAATAGACTATCCCAACGGTGATGAAAAGTATATCATTGTCAAGGTTACTTGGGAAGTAGATGGTGACGATGACGATGACGACGATGAATCATATGTTATCAATGATGATGATTCAGATGATGATTATGACGATGGATATGATGATGATCGTGATACAAAGAAGAAACCTCAACAACCTCAACAACCACAACAACAAGCTGCTGTACCACCTCCAGAATCACTCAAAATATTCAATACATTAAAGAATGATGCATTGCAGATGCAAACTAGATATGTATTGGTATCAACTGATTTAGAGTATCATTCTGATATCTATAATTGGTATAAAAAGAAACTATACGCTCTTTGTGCCCAATACAATAGGGCAGCTGCAGCTTCTACATCTTCAAAGTATAATTGTTCAACTAAATGTCTTGGAGGTGGAATTATCACAATTGATACAAAGAATAAAACCATAAAGACTTATGGTCAAAGTATGGGTTTCGGTCCACCAAAGTATGTAAACTAACTTAATTACCATAGTTGATTTATTAATAATAATATTTATATAACTATCCTAATTCTTTTTTGTTGTTATTTTTCTAGAATGGATCTACTTGAAAATATAATCAATTCAATCTATACTAATAATAGTTGGAAGACTAGTATTACTATAACTGATTATATTCGTGGTTAAATATTACTATACTATCTATAATATCTCTGTACAAATTGCAAAGTGCTGTGTAATACTTTTATTATTAATAAATGGGAAAAGATGGATCTATATCATCACTCCATCCTAATAACCCATCTCTGATATGTTTAATGACAACGTTGGATTCCTTTTCCCTATACACTGATTTTAAAATTTCTGCTGCATCTTGTGATTTATTTCCTCTTCTACAAATAATATATACTACAATCGGAATGGAATATTAATATTAATAATAATATTAAATGATGATATTGATTTGTAAGTTTTTGTAACATACTTGGCAATGAAGAATCATGTGAAATTAATTGATCTATTTTGTTGATATTGTCAGACTTGTTTAATTCATCAACTGGTATATCTAGATTGATTATTATTATTATATAGATAGATATAATATTGTCAATAATTATGGAACGAGGTACGCAAGCAAACATATAATAATATTCATTTACATACTGATGGAATTTGGGATTGAACAAATATCAAATTGTATTTTCGGTCTGACGTCTAATAATATATGAGGGGAATTGGTTGTGTAGACATGTTGGTGATAATCTTTACAAGAGACGATAAGATTGGTATCGATTCGATCGGCGGCTTTGCCAGATGACTCGGAATAGGGCGATTGACAAAACTGGGTATAATCGATGAGCTGGGTAATCGTTGGTGCGTCACCACATACTACGCAGTTGGGACGACGTGTGCGGAGTCTGACAGTCTTGAATGTGGCCTGTTGTCCATCGTAGATGACTAAACGACCGGCCAAAACACCATCCACCTTGGAGATGATCTTGATGGCCTCCAAAGCCTGCATACTGCCAATCACTCCGACAATAGGACCCAATACACCACCATCAGAACATTTGGTGACAGTGTCGGCTGGAGGAGGTGTTGGAAAGATACATCGGTAGCATGGACAGGTGGGTCCATAGTTGTAGACGGTTAGTTGGCCATCCCACTTTAAAGCAGAGCCACTGACCAATGGCTTGCCTGCCAATATACAGCAATCGTTGCATAGGTATCTCGTGGCGACATTATCAGACGCGTCAATGACAATGTCATAGTGTTGTACAATCTCCATAGCCGTGTCACTCGTAAACATGGTCTCGTGTACAATAGTTTGGATGTCACTGTTTCTCTCCTTGATAGACATGGCCAAGCTCTCTGCCTTGGACACTCCTTGTCTCGACTCGGTGTGACCTACCTGACGATGCAAGTTACCCAGCTCGACGGCATCATAGTCGACAATACCAATTGTGCCGACTCCCGCACACGCAAGATACAACGCCACAGGACATCCCAGTCCTCCTGCACCAACTATCAGTACCTTTGCCTTGAGCATCTCTTTCTGTCCTTCAACACCAATCCCAGGTGTAATCAACTGTCTTCCATATCTTTCAATTTGTTTCTTTTCCATCCTCTCTCTCTCTCTCTCTTTATGAATAAACAAACAAACAATCTTCTTGATTTGTTTGGTGTATCAGATAAAAGTAAAATATATCTTTGAATATAAATAATAATAATCACAACAAAAATGAAAGATGTGAAGGTAGGATCAATTCATTAATTAAATATAGTATAAATATATTTGATGTATGTATTCTTTGTTGATATTGTCAAGGGAGTTGGTTTGCAACGTCCAAAGTGAGTACAGAAAGCGCTCAGCTAATAATTCAAAAAAAATAAAAAAATTAAAGTCATGCGACCGAACACTCTTCGTTCGTTTTATTTTTTGTTATTGTGCTTTTCTTTGTTGTTCGATCTCTCTCTCTTTCACCCCAACTCAACTTTATTACTATACTTTACTTAGTTTAAAGACGACACGATACTTGTTGCCACGCTCTCTCTGTTCTACTCAGATCCCCCCACTTTTACACCTTCCACACGAATCTATTTGCATTTGTGTAGAGATAGTAACAGATAGACAGACAGACAGTTCAGTTCAGTTCATATATCTATATATTTATATTTTAATCAAATAGTATAAGTTAAAGATAGTATCACCACACCATTCAACATACATATATATAGAATAATCAAATATATAAATAATGGTCGGTTTAAACAACAACAACAACAATAAAGAAGAAGAGGGTCATACTGCCGAGTATGACGCCTACAATAGTAGCAATATCGGTACACTCGAATCTATGAAGCATAAAGACACCATCCTTCAATGCTTCTACGACATTATCTCAGCTGATGAAGGTACCCGTATCAACGGTGTCTCTACCCTCGTCTCGACACTCTCAGATATTCAAAAGAAGTTTAATCCTGCAGATCGTCGTGATCTTTCAAAATATGGTATGCAAATAAGAATAGAATAGAATAGAATAGAATATATTTAAAACACCATATTTATAAATATACTCTATACTTTACTTTACTTTACTTTATATATTTTTTAGCATCATCATCAATAGGTAGATCCAAAGTAGCAAATGAAAAGCTTACAATTGAATTAAACTATTCACTCAAGAGACTTGTTTATGGTTTGGCTTCATCACGTGAACTCACCAAGATGGGTTTCTCATTGGCGTTGGGAGAGTTGATCAACGCATTGCCCGAAATCGATATTGGATGGATGTTTGACTTTATTATGCATACATTGGATATTACAGGTAGAGACTTGTCAGAGCGTGAGTCTCACTATGGTCGTTTGTTTGCCTTGATGGCTCTCATCCGTTCGGGACGTATCGAAGAATCGTACAAGTTGGTGACCGAGCCAACCAACAGTTTTGCCTACAACGGCAACACCCCATCCTCTGAACACATCGTCGAAGCCATCATCGAACAACTCATTTTCATCTCTCGCAAACGTGCAATCTATGTCGACTTGTCATACGAACTCTTGGTCTCGGTCATTGAATTGTTGGACGAGAGTAACCTCCCCATCCTTTGGTCTCACATCAAAACCTTGATCCCCGAAAAAATAGACGACTATTCTCCAGAACTTTTATCACTTTTATATTTTATTTCTGCCCGTTTCTCTGTATGTCTAAAAACTATCAAATATATCATATCATCATATATATATATCCAATTCTAACCATATCTCATTTATTATTATTATTATTTGTATAGTCATTTGATATTACAAAATCATGCAAGGGATGGTCAAACAAATCGATTTTCCATCAAAGCAATTTAAAGTTACTTAAAAATATCTATAGTGAGACTGTCAAGAGTCACCCAAGAGTACATAAGATCTGGAAACTTACCATCAATGCTTTGGTTCAAGGTCATAAGGAAAATGCAAGTTTAATCGAATTTTGGAATGTTGTTGTAGAAAGTATGTTAAAATAAGTTATATATATATATATATATCTCAATATCCATGAATATTATTCTAATATATTATTATTATTATTATTATACTTTTAAAAGACAATTTGTTTAGAACATCATCAAACATGAAAAAGTATTTAGGTTTACAATTGTTTGAAATGTTGTTACCAATGATTCCAACCACTTCAATGAAATTCTTCTTTACAAAGAATGTTATCTATTATTTAAATGATTCTCTAAAGACTGATAGTGCTCTCCATGAAATAGGTTCTCAAGTTGTATGTATATCAAACAAATATAAATAATATATAATATTTTGTCTAATTTTTTTTCACTTATTTTAGTTCCAAGGAATTGCAAAGGTAGCAGAAATTTCACAAACTCATAGATTGGAATTGATTTATTTCTTCTCGATTAATCATGACAAGTTACATGACAGACAAGTTCCAGTTGATGTTATTACAGCTTTGGTTCGTGATATTGATGCCGAGCATGTTGCCAAGTACACCGAGTTTATCATTGACTCTTTCTACAATGCTCATCCAAAGAAGGGAGACGTTGTTGTCTCGGCTACCGAGAAGAAGTCATCCGAAGAGTCTGACGAGACTGAAGAGGCCGTCGGCACACAAAACATGCGTAGCTGGGCCATCCTCCAACTCAACATTGTCGCCAAGGACTCGATCAAGAGACCAACCAGCTTTATTGTATCAATCGAACAAACTATTGCTCGTATCGCCAAATTCTTTTATTTCAACGCTTTCTATAATAATTCGATCATTCCTCCAACCACCCAAGCCACACCAAGCAAGAAGAAGGCTGCTACTGCCAAGACTGCTGCTGTCGCTACCTCGGCCGATCCATTTGACGACAAGTTGATTACTCGTGTCCCCGAATACCCAATCGGTCACGCTACCCGTGCATCATGTGTCTCCAAGTTCTACTCGATTCTCGAAGAGTTGACCACACTCAACCTCGCTCCAAAGACACCAGCCTCCAAGGACGACACTGTCCTCGTCAATCCAGTCGACCAAATCACAGGTGTCACAGAGACTGGCGAGCTCTGGATTTCATTTGTCTACAACTTCCAATCATACATCTTTTCTAGACCCGAGCCACGTCCATTGACCACCACATTTTTGCCAAGTGGACTCAAGCCAATCGAAAAGGTCACCCGTATCATCAGCCAATTGCACGCTATTCCAATGGCCAACCGTTCCGTCCATGTCAAGGGCTTTGAACTCTTGTTCACTCACATTGCCTTGCAATACGTTGTCGACCCAATGGAAATCTCAGAGTTTGTTGACGATCTCGTCGAAGCCTACGAAGACCTCACCTCGGCTGCTGCCAAGGCTGCCGCTGCCTCGACCCCTGCCAAGAAAAAGGCTGCTGCCAAGGCTGCCGCTGCTGAAAGTGACAAGCCATCCGCCCTCATGGTGTTGATTGATATCTTGATCAGTTTGCTCGACCACAGCTCATCGCTCCACAAGACTGTCGTCAAGCAAATCTTTGGCATCTTTTCCGACCAAATGACCATGCCCGCCTTTGAACACATCATCAACATTATCACTACCCCAATCGATGACATCTTTGACCAAAATGATAATGGTGAAGCTGATGATGACGATGAAGATGATGATCTTGAAATCGTCAGTGGTGATGAAATGGATATTGATGAAAATGGACAAGACAATGAAGAAAATGAAGATGATGATGATGACGAAGAAGAAGAAGAAGAAAACCAAGATGATGATGAAGAAGAAGAGGAAGAAGAAGATTCAGATGATGATGACAAGGTAGATCCAGAATTTGTTGCACGTTTAAAGAAACAATTGGCAGGCCATTTGTTATTGGAAGAGGATGATGATGACTCGTTGGACCCACCAACCGAAGAACAAGCCAAGCAACTTGACAAGTCACTTGCAGCAGTTTTCAAAAACAAAAAGGAAAAGAAGTCCAATTTCCAAGACCTCAAGAGCAAGTCACTCAACCTCAAGATCCGTCTCATCGATCTCATCGACCAATACATTAAAAAGTACTCCAATGTTGCCAATCCACTCGTCTTTGAGTTGCTCCCACGTCTCATTGAAGCATCACTCTCTGAAGACCCAACCATCTCCAACAAGATGGTGTCACTCTTTAAGAACCGTGTTGGTGGCATCAAGTCGATGGGCGCCACCGTCCCCGCCGCCGTCCCCACCAAGCTCATGAACATCTGTTTTGACCGTCTCATCAAGGCCAAGACCATGTCGGTTGCCGAGCGTAGTGCCAAGCCATTCCAGTTTGTCATGGCTGCCCACACCATCTACATGGCCATCAAGGTGCTCCAACAAGCCAACAAGTTTGAGCCAGCTGCTCTCACACGTCGTCTCAAGGAAGTGACCGAGAAGAAGTTGATCTTGGACAAGGGTGGTGTTTCTGCATCGTTCCTTGCCGAGTTTGCCTCACGTTACCCTCAATTTGCCTGGGACTATGTACCCAAGTTGCTCAACTACATCAAGGAGGGATGTCCAGACTTTTGCATCAAGAAGTTCCTCAGCATCATCAACTCGCTCGTCGAGCACAAGGAACAACACGGCACCAACGGTGACTTGTACCTCAAGCAAGCTCAGCCCCTCTTTGCCTCGGTCATTGCCGTCATCTCGTCGGCTTCCCTAAAGTCGCGTTCTGTCTTTGACATCCTTGCCACACTCACCGCCTACGTCACCGTCGCACTCACCTATGTCTCGGTTGAAAAGTTCAACGAAATCGTCGATGCCTACAAACTCGAGAACCACTTGTCGGCAATGTGCGACAAGCACAAGAGTCAGGCCCAAAAAGAAGCCTCCAAGAAAATCCTTCGTCTCCTCCAGGTCGAGTCTGACCTTTTGGAAGCCCCCAAGCGCAAGCGCAAGGGCAAGACCTTTGAACACTCATACCTCACCGTCGACAATGCCCAGCGTGGCCAAGCCAACCCAGGCCTCAAGATTGATAACAAGCTCCAACACAAAAAGAAAAAGAGATTCCAAGATATCGATGAAGGTGCTCAATTGTATAGTGATATAGCCAATGAAAATATGGTACCAATAACCAAGACCAAGAAAACAATAATCAAGAAAAACCAAAGTCTGGAAAGGATGTAAGAAGAGACAGAAAATTGGCAAGAAGAGCAGAGAAAAAATTAAATCCATCAGAAGAAAATAGCACCACCGGCGCCGAAGACAATAATACTACTAGTAACACAACAAAGAAGGATAAAAAGAAAAAGAGAGAAGATTTTGACAACAACAACAATACTAGTGAAAGTTTAAAAGAAAATAACTCTGAAGAAAAAGTTAAACAACCTTTGAAAAAGGTTAAAAAATAAATCAATAAATAAATAAAATAAAATTAAACTAACTATAATTCTTATAATTTATAATACTAGTATATAATATATAATATTTTTTAAAAAATAAATAAAGAAACAAAAAGTTCGGACTTTTTTACATTTATTATTTATTTTTTTTAGTATATCGGTTTTATATTTATGAATATAGATTATCTATTTCTATTCATTTTTGTATGTAATGAGTGAGGGATGATCATTATATTTTTTTTATTATTATTATTTTTATATTTTTTTAATTTGATTTGATTTTTTGAATTGATTTAATTGAATAGATTAAACTTTTGAAAATACTATGGAACCATTTAGCATCAAGTAAAAGAATAATAATATTTGGGATACACCATAATATTCCACCTGGGAAATTACCATTGTAAAGGTGTTGCAACAAATGAATATGAATTGGAGCTCGATAAAATAAAATGATAACTTAAAAAAAAACAAATATCAATATCAATTGTCAAAATATTATTATCATCACAATATATAAATATTTATACTTACCATTTGACATTGCCAAACAAAAAACATAAAAGTAATTATATGATTTTCCAAAACTCTTCATTGCAAATAAGAAAAAGGAGAAAACTGAAAGGATATCAACACATCCAGACATTAAAATTGGATATAATCCCTTATTAACTCCAAACTAAAAAGAAAGAAAAAAAGAATACAAAAAAGAATTAATTTATCAATTTGAAATTATCTTTTTGTTTTTTTTTCTTTTTTATACTTATACTTACCACCATAATTGAAAGAGAAATAACAGCACATGCATGATGAAGATACATGTCAATATGTTTTGATTGATAGAAAAATAAAATGCAAGTATCTGCCATGTGATAGATGGCATAGGCAGCAGCAATAAAGTATGGATCTATTTCATCCTTGTGAAAAGACATTACATTTTTCCAAAAATGATAAAACAAATACAAAACATAGAGTGATCGAATCAATCTTTGAACGATTTCATGATATTTTTTGGTCTTTGCAAGTTCATGAACTTTGAGTTGTGATTCTTCGGACAGAATATATGGAGAAAGTTTTAAAAATCCAATAGATATGGCATAGTAAGCAATCATTGGTAGGAAAAAGAAATATGAAATACATTTAATAACATCAATATTGTTTAAAGGAATCGATTTTAAACCAAAATTATTTGTTAGGAAATTATCTCCATCTTGGAAATAGTGATAATCCCAATGGGTAAGAGAATATAATTGTTGTTGAAATTGTTGTGACTTTGCAAATAGATATGAATTGTCGAGTGAAAGGAAATTATTTGTTGACAATAATGGATCATCCGATGTCACATTGAAATTTAATTTTAAAGGTGGATAAAACATCTCCATTGTAGTAGTTGATGAATTCATTTTGTGTTTGTTTGGGTTTAGTTTGGGTGATTAATTTGTTAAAAATGTACCAAATGGTTAATTAATTAAAAATGTAGAAATGGTTTGATTTATATATAAATATATATATATATGTGTTTATGTATATAAAGAGTATGGAAAAAACGGTTTTAGGATATTTGGTGGAACAGAATCGTCTTCAAAGTTTGTGTTTGGAAAGTGAGTTGGTTGGTTTAATACTAAATATTTTATAAATAGTATCAAAGATGATGTGATTATCTATAAATTGTATTTGGGTTGGTGAATAAACAATTTTGAGAAAAAGTCAACTTGTTATAAATAGATATTTTCTAGGTCAATTACAAACACAGAAACTTTCATTTTCACAAATTACCTAAAAACATACTGAAAAATTACGAATCATCTCATTAATAAGGAAATCTCCAATGTTAGGTATACCATTCCAGAAGTCTATGGAGTTTGATATCAATACATTGCCCCTGTGTCTGCCGGCCAGTAATCCATTAGTAAACGAATGCCAATGGATTGTATTTCCAACACACTGTTGAACATTCCCCCCTCTCCCTCCTCCGACAAAACACACAGATATATAAAATATTTTAATTAAATTAATTTTTTTTAATCTCTTCATAAATTTTAATATCGGCTAGTCAAAATGATTTTAATTATATTTTTTATCAATAAATACATCAATAAATAAATATGGTAAAGAATATATTTATTTACGAATTTCAGTAAATGAATTTTGAAGATAGGCAATTCCACACCATATTTTATAATGAATATCTAATGTATCATCCTTTGAAGTAAATTTAAAGCGAAGGTTTGTGCCCAAAATTGACCATTTCTTGGCTTGTTCACTTGCCAAACTCATATCGTTTCTTGATCCCGGGCGAGATGGGGCAATAAACAATATCTTTCCAGATTTAGGACAACAAAATACAAGTTTGGTAACTGAAAAATATCCTTTCTTTCCGCTATAATAATCTGTCTTTTTATCGTCATTGGTTGGACCACTATTGATCAATTCTATTTTTTTTTTGTCACATAATTATTATGAATATTCGATAGATTCACAATCTATAGTACTTTGAATTGGTAACAATGACAGTCTACCAATATCAAGAACACGTAATACATCAACCCTAACCGTTTTCATGTGTTCCTTGAATCAACAACGTCTATGGATCTCCCAATAGAATTCCAGTTTAACATTTATATTGTGTATGGGTGGTAAAAAAAGATTGGAGGTTGGTCTCAACCAATCTTTATTAAATAATATTGATAATAATTTAGATTAATTCGTATAAGTATCTTTAGATGGTGACGACATTCCGTTGAGCTGTGGAATATTTGAATTAGTATATCTTTGTTGTTGTTGTGGTTGTTGTTGTTGGTATTGTGGTTGTTGTTGTTGGTTGGATGGAGAGTATACATTTGATGCGTAACTTGGGGAAGAAGTAGGATATGGAGAAAAGGATGGTAAATAGTTGTTGGGTGTAGTGCTTCCAGGTGACGACGATGTTGGGATGGAGGTGAGGAGTGAACCGCTGGTTGGGGTGGTTGGTTGTATGGCTTGGTTGGATAATATTTGGGGTTGGGAGGTCATTGACATTTTACCTTGTTGTTGCTGATATAGTAATACTTCGGGGGGTGGGGCCACTGGGTATCCCACTAAATTTGGTGCACCAACTTGTTGCTGTATCGATTGTATGGGTTGTGTCTGTATTGGTGCTACGTTGTAAGCTCTGGATTGCGATGATTGTTGTTGTTGTTGTTGTTGTTGTTGTTGTTGTTGTTGTTGTTGTTGTTGTGCGGCGGCTTGTTGCTGAGCAGCTTGTTGTTGTGCAGCTTGTTGTTGTGCTTGTTGGTGTGCGGCTTGTTGTTGTTGTGCTTGTTGTATTTCTTGTTGTGCTTGTTGTACGGCATTTAATATTGGTTGATTTTTTTCAACCTTTACCTAAACAAACAAAAATAAATCAAACAAAGGTCAGTATTAGTATTACAATGATTAATATTAATATTTTGTTGTGTTTAATATTTACAGATATAGGTCTTGATTTTTCTTCTTGATAATTATTTCCATTACTGGAACCGTTAGTAGGTGTCGTAGTAGTAGCTGTTGGATATTGAGATTCGGATGGAGTATCGGGTGCATTTAGACAGGTTTGGATGAGTTGTTTTCCTTCGGGCTTGGTGATGAGTGGCTGCAGCTTTGGCGTGGCAAAGGTATAGACGTGGCCAGTCTCAGAGGCCACCAACAACAAAACTTGTGTGCCAGTCAGTGTGCTGAGTTCAAATGCCTTTTTCATGATACCCGTTTTACGCTTGCTAAATGTAATATGACGTCTCGACTTTTCGTTGATAAACTCGATATTGATCTTTCTGCGACCAGCCTTCTTCTCTACCTTGGGACAATCGTTGTCTTCCTCTGGTGGTGGTGGTGAGTCGGATGGATCACCTGATTGAAAATCTGTAAATTGTCCTTGCTCGCCAACCACTCCATTGGCAATTGGAGCATGTTGTGCTTGCATTAGTTGTTGTTGTTGAGGGTTTGGTTCCATTATAAATTTATATAATAGTTGTTGAGGAGGAGGTTATGTATAAAATTAAAAATAATATATATGTTTTTTAATAATTAAAAAAGAGATTGATAGAAATATATATATATATAAGCCTCTTTAGATGAAATTAAATAATCTTCTTTTTTCCTTGTTTCTCTTTCTTCGCGGTTATTGTGGGGGATTCCGGATAAGATTATTTAATTTACTCTTGTTGTGTGATTATTGTACAATAAAAAGGTTTAAGGATTTAATAAATATGATTGTTGAGTGTTGAGAGTGTTGGGTGAATGGTTGATTGGTTGGTGTAGGTATGTGTGTATATGTCTATATATATATAAATATAATTAAATATATTTTAGTTTTGGGGAGGGCTTAGTTTGAAGTTGGTTAATAATCTAAATATTATTAAAAAAACAATAGATAAGAGACAGATAGATAAGATAGATAATAGATAAGTAATAAAAGGATGGATAGATAGATAGATAGATAAGATATTATTACAGATAAAGAGAAAGAAATCGAGTTAGTATATGTTTTTTTTTTATCTATATATATGGGGCTCAGCTGATAGATTGGATGGGTGGACAAAAGGACAATGCGGATGGTTTAAAAGAGTGAAGAAAAGTAGTACCTTTTGATGATGGTGATGTGTTGTAATAAGAGAGTTATTCCTATTATGTGTCGTATAGTCTTGTTTTAGGTATATAATTGTTTTTGTTGTTGATGAGCAACAGCAGAAGAGGATAATAGAATTTATGAGATGTCACAAAAACATAAAGACAAAAAAGGAAAAATCATGAAAATGAAAATGTTCTTAATTTTGGGCAGAAGAGCGCGCATAACCGACCCAACCGCAATTTTCGTTTCGTTGTCCTCTTTGTGCGCTGTTGGATGTCGGTTGGCGCCTATGCTATGTCATAGCTATGAATATCCCCCAAGTACTCGATTGAATTTCATATATATACTTTCTTGTCTTTTGTTGTCAACCGTCCATCCGTCAGCAGTCTATATATCTAACGATCCTTTAACTTTCCTTGTCCCCAGGCGATCTCTTTTAATATTTTAAAAATAGAAGAGTATTGCCCACCATACCTTTTGTTTTGTTGTATCAGAGAAAACAAAAAACAAACACAGATGAGTGAGGATATAGAAGCTTTGTATACTAACCAACTATATTAATATATCTTGGTTTTGTTTTGGGAACTACGCGCTCTTTTCTCTCTTTCTCTCTCTAACAAATTCTATTTAATTTATCGTCCCTACTAAATATCAAACAACAACAATGTGTAATGATGGTGTAGTTGCAAATGGCTATCGATCAAACAGGATGGAATTGGGAGGATAATAGTTATGAAGTGGATGGTTTGAAAAAAAAACATCCAAGTGTGGTGTGGATATTGTACACACTCAACTTAGAATTGTGGTGATTGACGAACAACAAAGAAGAAGAGTGGATAGAGTAGCAGAAGTTCATCACCACACACACAACACCACAATCGATCAACCGCCTCTCATAACCAAACCAAACCAAACCCTCCTACTCCAATTTTGTTGATTTCCTTTTTGTATGGGAGGAAAATATTGTTGTTAGAGTCAACAACAACAACAACAAATAAATCATTTCACGTGATAGTGATTTTTTGTCATGTATTGAACACCATATTATCTCCATCATTGTACATGAGAAAAAAAGGAAGGAGGGAAGGGATGTACTTTAGTATTTAAAAATATAATATAATAAATACTTTTTTTAGAAAAGATATTAGATAGATTAAAATATATGATATCTAATCATATCCAATCGAACCAACCGGAGCGCACAAATAATAAATATGGTGTGTGTGCGAGGGAGGGGCAGTTTGACAAACATAATGTTTGTGTGTGGGTAGGAATGTGTTAGAAAGATAAACATTTAATTTAAAATTTTTAATTTAAAAATTAATTTCTAGAAAAAAAAAAAGGGACACACATAATAATAATATTATAGTAGTTGTATAGAGTGGTTGAGAGATAGAGATAGAGAGATAGAGGGAGGGAGTGTTTATCTGTATCATCATGCTTTAGACTTTTTTTTTTTTCAATGCGGTGGGTGTATATATATATGAACCTCACGAGGTTCACATATGAGGGAGGACAATATAATATGAACAGAGGAGGAGGCAAAGCCTTGAGGACACTGCTTCTCATGAGTGAGAGTAGAAGTACTACTACACCTCTCTCTCTCTCTCCTAGACAATTGTTGACAAAAACAGCATACAGCAGTTGCAAGAGATAATTACCTATTGTATTTGTATTACCTAAAATTACCTATACCTAATTTGGATAATTTTGAAGTTTTGACGCAAGCTCGCTCATTCACATTTTTTTTAATTTTTTTTGCTTTTTTCAGGTCTTTACCCTTTTCGAACCCCCAATCCGCTTTGGGAGGGGTCGCCCAAAACAGTTGCCCAACAATATCTACAAAATCAATACTCTGAAAGATTGTTCAGTTGGAGAGCTAGCTCGAGAGATATCTTGTTTGTTTGCAAAAGTTTTTTGTTGTTTTGTTGTTTTTGTTTTTGTTTTTGTTTTTTTTTTTTTCTTATTGAACATCTGGCAAATTGTTTATTTTTTATTAATCTCGGTTGTTGGCACCCTGTTTATCGAGAGGCCACTCGAATCGAATGGAATCCACTGACCTGTTTCAATTGCCCCAACCTAATTTTATTTGGCAGCAGCGGCAGAACCGAAGAATAAAATAACCAAAGTTTGACTTTCCTAAAATGGAAATATAGTGGGGTACCGAAATAAAAAACCTCAAACCGCAGTGAAGCTCGCGACCCTCAAGCTGGGCTCTATTCATTTTCATGCTGCAAAGCCCCTTGATATAGACACACACACAACGCGATACCATCACCCAACTGTTCCACCACCTCACATCAACAAACCTACTTTTAAATATGAGTTTTACATTGTTGGAAATCAAAATATAAAAAACCTAATTAACTTAACTAATTTATCAATACAATACAATTGAAACCAAAACTTTATCTAAGATTGGAGGATAGATTCAGATTTCATCTTTCATCCCAACAATAACAACAAACAACTTTTTATATATATTTTTTCTTCTTCTTTCATCAAACTTAAAATCATAAATCTTTGTTCAGGATAAATCTTTAAAACCTGCTCAACCACAACTCAAAAGAATCACAGAAAACATCCAAACATATAAAAATTCAATTTAAAAGTAGTAGTAATATTTCTTATTTCAAATTTTCTGTACTAGTAAATTATATATACATATCTTTTTTAATTTGTATTCACTGGCCTATCTATCAACATTTCTATGTTTGTTTGGCAATATAATTAAAAAAAAAAACAGTCCCTATAGATCCATCCACTTTTTTTTTTTTATCAATCCAAGGATTTAATTCTCTTTCTCTCTCTTCAATTCCTAATTTAATCATGACTAATGGTAAATATTTATTTTATTACGTTATATTCTTATTTATTTGATTATACTTATTCAACCCTATTATTATTATTGTTGTTATAGATGATTCAAAATCACATTTTTACCAATGCGATTTAATATCGTTTAGTAAATTAAAAAGGGAAGAGAAAAAGGAAGCATTTGAAAAGAACCAACTAGATTATGCATACAGGGGAGCATCATCGGATTTGGTACATTTCAATGATAATTTCAAAGGATATTGTCATGTATGTAGGAATGAAAAACAAGATACCAAAGACACCCGTACCACAGGAGTATGCAGGTGTTGTAAATTGTTTTTGCATACGAAATGTGCATTGAAACACCATAATCCACACCTTGTATTCAAACAATATCAACCTGGTGGATCATCGATTTGCTCCTCTTCTGCAGTGTCTGCACCTCTGCCATGCACATATATGCCAACCTCGTATGGGGGACCATACGACACACCCTATCCTCTGGCCAGTGACATTCACCAACTTCCATCGCTTTCATCCACCTTGCAATCCAAGATTACCCTACCATCATTATCAATGTCACTCCACACTCCGAGTACAGTCCCAAGTGGGATGTATCTCAGTGGAATGATACATCATGGTCCAAATCAAAATATGGCAAGAGGTGGTGGCGGTGGTCCATCCAACAGTGAACCTAGATTCCCACATACAATAATCCATTAAAAAGATATCATCAACCAACACAATAATAATAATAGTAAAATAATTTATCTGTACATCCATCATATATCCATCATATATCCATATACCTACCTTCACACTGTATAATCAATCACCTTTATATCTCTATTCAAGGGAAATTAAATATACCTATATACACCAATCTCCATGGAATGATCTTTCATTTCCATTGGAAATCCCTCCCATCCATCCCCCTCCAACTTTTATATATTTTAAAAAAAACAACATCTACAAGAAGCAACAAAAAAAAAACAAAAGAAACAACCATTCCAAAAGTGCATAGCTTAATGCGAGCCGTAATATTATGATTATAATATCCAAACCAATCACCAATATTTCTGTTTTGAATTGATTATTAATTTAAATATTGTTATATCGATCGATCTCTGTAAGATCCTTGTAAGTATTAAATACATAAATATATATATAACTCCCCAAAACAAATACTAATTAATATTATTATTTAGTGATATTCCGAAAATATTTCAATGGGTACAATTTTTAACCTTAATTCTGGAACCTTTAACCAAACCAAATGGAAAGATGCTATTCTCGGAATAATGTAATATAGATTGTAAATATATTAGTATTACAACCATTAGTTTTAAATTTCTATAATAATAGAATGATTCACACACACAGACAAGATTAGGATCGTGATCAGGTAGATTTAAATCCAACCAATTAATTAATTAATTTAATTTTTGGTGCCCATTTGAACCAATCTTTCCTCCTCTTCCTCATGTATAATGAATTCATTGTGGAATATATAGATTAGAAAAAAACTAGCACATACCACAAACTGTGTACCGTAATATATATATGTAACTAGTAAAATAATAATATTTTGTAGATCCTAAAAAAAAAGAATAAATAATGAATTAATAGACAACAAACATTTAATAATAAATGTTATTGTTTATTAGTTCTGCTTTGTTAACAAAAAAAAGAAAAAGAAAAATAACTATAATACCAACAGAGTTTATAGTTTATAGTTTGTATTGACCGAAAAAGGTATCCATTGTCTTTGCCAAATTAATATCATTCATTGACAAACCATTGCAATCATGAGTAGCAAGAGTAATCTCGACTCTGTTGTATACATTGAACCATTCTGGGTGATGAGCCATCTTGAAGATTGATTGATTGATTGATTAAAAGATTGTGTTAGTTTGTGTATATGTATATTCATTGATAACTATTGATTAGAGTATTATGAATATATATAGACTAGACTTACTTGTTCAGCAACCAAAGCAACACGAGTCATAAAACTGAAAGCTTGATTGAAATCAGCAAAGAGGTAAGTTCTCTTGATAGCGTCTCTTCCTCCTTCGACCATAGCCCATTGTGGGATGGTAGCTAATAAAGCTGGTCTCTCTTCTGCTGTTAATTTAACTGGAACTGCCATTTCTGATGCTGTTATAAATGAACTTAAACAAATGATTAAAACAAGGATGATCGCTGATGCTTTTGAAAAAGTCATTACTTTAGCCCGAAATTTCGATGAGACGATACAAAAGTTTAATTAAACAAAAAGAGTTAAATATTAAATGGAATAGATACTGAATTCAGTTGATTGGATTATAAACATATACATATCAATTGATTCATATTCATACCCACCACCAATACCAATTGTGTAAACAAACACACTGTTTTACAAATAATATTATTTCATATAATATTACATCTATCTAGATAGAGATAAAGATAGAGAGAGACATGATGATATATATATTTATATATATTTATGTTTTCAAATATTTTTGTTTATTATTATATTATATTATATTTAATAAAAATCATAATCCAAAAACCATGATTTTAATTGTACACATCATTATTATTTAAAGTATATTTATAAATTAATTCACTTTATATAAATAAATAGAAATTTGGGTAAAGGTAGTAGGTAGGGTTGTTTGTAAAGTTTGTTGTTTGTTTGTTGATTGTTTGTTTGTTGAATAATTTAAATTTTGATTTAGGATTGCTTGAAGAATTTTCCCTTGAAAGTACGCTTGACAGTGTTGACTGGTTCTGGCTTGGCACGGTTGAGGACTTGGATGAGGGAGTCGACACGGTTTCTCATAGAGGTGTGCATGTAACCCTTGGAGCACTTGATGTGGTAGTGGAGATAATCTCTAAAGGTTTGGATGAGGTCAGCGGTCTCTTGAGCTCTCTTGAGGTGGAGAGGGAAGAGGGTGATGGAGACAAAGCCGTGGGCGACGCCAGCACGGACACCCTTTACACCCTTGAGCTCAAGTGGTGGGTCCTTTTGGGAGAATGTGACGGATGGCACGCTGGTCATGGTCTTACGTACATCGACAAAGGCTTGGAGGAAGATCTTGGAGAGGATGACATCATCGGCGTCCTTGAAGTGGATGTCAAAGATGACGGTGACATTGTCGCCTTGTGGCTTGATGTAGAACGACTCGTCGGTACGGTAGTCGATGGTGATGGTCTCGGGGAGGGGCTTCTTGGCCTCCATGGCCTCGAACACCATGAGGAAGGGGGCGGCCATCAAGTTACGCTTGAGGTTGGCGACCTTGTTGGCGAGCTGTTCCTTGTCGCCCGAGGCGTTGGCGTCGACCACCAACGTGATGTCGTAGCCTTGCTCGGGCTTGGCTTGCAACATGGCGCCGTAGACGGCCTTGAGGTAGGTGGCACCACCGTTCTTGAGCAGGTCTTGGGAGCCCTTGAACGAGATGGACACAAACAACTGTTGCTTGTCATCGCTCGAACGTGTGTTGAACTTGACACCGTCAAAGTCGGCAAATGTGCTCAATGTACGATGGTCGCCGCCAAAGTGGGCAATCACCTCTTCGTATAAAATCTTGTTGGCTGTCTCGAGAAGAATCATTCTTTTTTAATTATTATTATTTGTTTATGTGTTGGTTGGTTGGTTGGCGAGAGGATAATATAATATATATCTGTCTATCGTGTTCTCGTCGCGTTGCTCGTTATTATACAGGTGAATGATGTCTCCTTCTTTACAATTTAAATAAATACTAATACAACACTTTTAATAGAGGAGAGGAAGGATGATAATATAAAAGCCAAAAGGGAAAGATTTGATGATCAGCTCAGCCACACTCAAGATATTTGAAAAAAAACAAAATAAAAAAATTTCTTTTCTTTTGAAAAATGGGTGTGGATGAGGAGACCCGTAAATTTTTGGTCTACCTGTCTAATTATTTTTTGTAGAAGTCTACTTGTATTATTATATTATCTCAATCTATCATCGATTGTGCACAAGTTTGATCATCATTCTGATTGGGTTATGATATACAGATTAGTTTATTTGGCTCATACATCAATCAATCGACCGTATCTTATCTCAAAATAGTCAATCGACTGACTGCATTAGTGAATTCTATTGGTTTTAGAATTGATCTGAACAAGTACTGGCAACCTTGAAATATTCTCTCTCTTGATTAAAAGTTAATTTAATATATATATATTACACAACCATATTTGGGTTTCCTTAGAAAAGTAGGAATTTTTAAAAATAATTATATTGTTCTTCTTTTTTTTTTTTTTTAATTTTATATATATTGTGTCTGAAATTGTAATTATTTGTACATTTACACATATTTATATAGAAAGAGAGAGAGAAATACAACAAGAGAGAATGGATATACAATCACAAGAAGGTGGTTTTGTTAGCACATTAGATGAGCCAGTATGGCAGACTATTGTATGTTATAGAGAGACATATGGTTGTAGATCTACCACCAGACAACTAACAATGATCATCAATCAATCAAATACATATGTATATAGTGGAGAGATATAAAGACAGTTGGTTATAAATTATATCATGTTATATTACCTCGAGGTAATGCAGTTGCTGTTTTAAGAGATTGTAAGTAGTCAGTGAAAAAGAACCATCAACCATGGTTAGCAACAAGCAGTGAGTGTTTTCAACAAGTTGATTAACAATCAATCTATTTCAAATAGGGGATTTATGGGGACCATTATTATTATGTTTATGCATGGCAATGTATGTATATTATATATATATATATATATTGTTATTAATCGATGACTGTCGACGAGTCAGCTTATCTATCAATCTTTCATTGTCTAACTTTCTTTTTTCTTTGGTATAGCATGTTGAGTACATCGGCACAAGATAATCAAAGAGCTATTACTTTTGCTTTGGTGTTTGTTGTAGTTTGGTGTGGAGCTGGTTTCGTTACAATCAATGCTCAGTTGTTGGGTGGCAGTTTGTATGAATGACACGATTATCATCATATATAGTTAGAAATTAGAGACTAATTTTGGATATTGACTTTGTTTCATTATTATTATTATTATAGATCATTATTCCAGTCAGTTTGTGTTTTAGGTTATTGTGTATTCCCACTTACGATATCATCATTTATCATTTGGATCATTAATCGTATTCATTCATTACATATTCTAATCAAGGTACCTATAGTCGGTGTCTGTTGGGCTTGGTCAACGTGGGCATCATATGGTTTCTTGGCAAACTCTGTCCCACCAACTAGACGACTTTTGGCTGTTTATCCAGTACTTTTATTCTATTTAGTTATTGCTTGGTTGGTTGTTGTTCAATAATCATAATAATAACAATTTGGATAACACACATTAGATATAATAATAATAATATTAATAATACTGAAAAGAAGTTTAACATTTGCGACAGAATAATCAATAATAATAATAATCATATTTATTAAAGAGAGAGAGAAATAGAATTGAACAACCAAAAATTTATAGAATAACAACAACGACGATACATAATAATAATAATGAATAGAATAACTCTCTCTTCTTCAAACAAACACATACACATACACATACCATCTACTCCTCCTATAAATCAATTTTTTTTAAAAATCATCATCATCATCAAGTAATAATTAATAATTATAAACTTTCTTTTGGAATTGTAAAGACGACAACACACATATATATATACAATAGTAGGATTATTTATTTTTTAGCCATCTTCTTCTTCTTGTTGCATTATTTGGTCGATTTTTTTTCTTCTTTGGATTTCTTCCTACAAACAAATTGGAAATGGAAAATGTTAATTTCAATCCATAAGCGAATCAACCTAATACTTAGTATTCTGTACATTTAGAAAATACTTACATCTTTATAAAATAATTCATTCTTTTTCTTTGTAATTTCCATTTGTTTTTGTCTTGATGATTCCAAGTTGAACGAGGGTGATTGAAATTCAATATGTTCTCTTTTCTTTTGTTGTTGCAATCGTTGTTGTTTTGGTTGTTTTGGTTGAATATTTTTTGATGGAGGATAAATGATTTGATCTATTTTAAGGAACAGACAAATAGTATCTATAAAACTTTTATACATTTGAAGTTTACCTCTGTATCCATCTATGATACCATTTTCCATTGGATCCAAGAGATGTGGTTGTTGTTTATCAATGGTTCGACCATTATTGATTCCAAGGTTTAAACCTGTTGCTGACTTGGTTTTAAAAAACGATGAGATGGGAGCAGTTGTATTGAGTGAACTATTAACGAGGATGGTAGATGGCAAAGCATGAATACTTTTATATAATACACCAGCAGTTATCTTTTCAGCCTCATCGGCATCATTACTCTCTGAAATCGATTTGAATCGATCCATTAATTTTAATTCGACTGCACATGCACCAGGCAAGACATAGAGGTCTTCAAAACAACACTTAGCAACACCCATACCAGTTATAAAGGATCCAACCTTTTGTTGTATGACATATGAACTAGTTGCACAAATAATAGCACTAACCATTGTATATTTACATTCTTTCAATCCTTGAAACCTTGCTTTATATTTTACTTCTGATTGTCCTTTTGTTAATTGTATTGTATCAATAATACCAATAAATGGATTTGTAGTTGTAGTTGTAGTTGTATTTTGATTGTTTGTTTGTTGTTGTTGTTGTTGTTGTTGTTGTTGTTGTTGTTGTTGTTGTTGAAGTTGTTGTTCCAATTGGGATATAGAAGTAATTAATTTAATTCCAGAAGATCTTGAAATAACATTTAAAGTTTGGCGAGGGATATTTTGAAATATTAATGTATTTGGATATTGATCTTGTATCATGTCTAGTGTAGATTGATCGATTGGAGTACTTGCTAGAATAGCATCAACATTTAAATCAACCAAACATTTAACCTTTTTTCTTATTAGTTCCTTTTCACGCTCAACCAATAAATGTCTTTCAGATGTTGAAGTATATGAAAGTTTTGTTGCTTCCTGTTGTTGTTGATCTTGTTGATCTTGACCTTGAATTTGTTGATTATCATCTTCCACTCCAATAAAATCAGTTACCATTATAAACTTTGCATTTAATAACTTTTGGTCACCTATTATTCTTGTACTCCCACTACTGCTGCTACGATCACCACTATCATATTCCAATAACCAACCATTATTAATCAATTCTGTTTTGTTTAGAGGATTTAATGAAATGATGGGGTTGATGATAACTTGGTCTTGTAATACCAACCGATTCTTCATAATGTATGATACTGTTATTGGAGGTGTTTGTGATATTGGGTATAACTTTACGACAGTTTCTTTGCATAGTGTGGCTATTTCAAGACACTGATCTTGATCCTTTAACTTTGTATGAATCGAAGAATAGATGCTGTTGTAAAGTAGACTAACGTCAATATCCAATACAGTATCCAATATCTCTTGTTTGGTCATTGTCTCGAATGTTTGGTCATTGGCAAGCTTGACCAACGGTTTCTTGAGTGATGAAATAGTGTCTGAAATGACACTACCATACATTGATTGCATTGCATATACAATCGAGATGGGATGGAGTTGACTATGAGGGATAGCATACAACTCTCTCATTGCCTGCTCAATCAATATCACCAATGATGAACTACCATCATAACTCGTATACTCTAACGAATGTACAGCTCTCTTTATAATATTTGTAACTGGGTGTTCTAGGTTAACCAACTAAACATAAGATCATTCAATTAGTCATCATCCTCTTGTTTTGTCTTCAAGTTCAAGTGCATTACATACCTTTAAAATTTCAGCAGCTTTGTTTGATAGTTTAACTGTGAATTGTTGTTGTTGTTGGTGTTGTTGTTCTCCATCAAGATTACCCTTATTACTACTACTGCTACTACTAGTAGTCGTTAGCATTTGGTAGTTACCATATGGACCCAAACATGGTCGAATAATGGAGGCTAGTGTTGAAAGTGCCGTAAGAATGACATCTGTTCTATATATGCCATCAATGACCACTCCTTCCATATGTCATATATACAAGTCTATCAATCAATGAGTATATATGGTATATATGTGTTTTTTGAAAGAGAGAGAAGAAATGTATACTTTGGTGTCTTTGGAAAAACTTTACTCATACTTCAAAATTTCGCAATTGGTGAAGATTGCCGTGTGTCGGCCTATCAAATCTCTGTTCATTATTCTGTACTACTTCGGTGTCTGATCATTTACATATTTATATTTATATATATACGATTGTATCTATACAGGATAGATAAGAGAATGGCAAAAGAAGATACAAAAAAGAAAGAACAAAAGAAAGGATCAAACGAACAAAGAGAAGAGGTCCTCCAAGGTATCGTTCTTGGTGATAGTTTTGATAGAAGATTCTCTCCTATTACTTTAGAAAGACCAAGAGTATGTGTGACGATATATGAAGGATAGACGAACAACAAGAAGAGGAGGACACTTACTCACACAACTATCTATGTTATATTATTATCTATTCAATTTGATCTAGACATTATTACCATTAGTCAATATCCCACTTTTGGATTATACATTAGAGTTACTTGCAAGTGGAGGTGTACAACAAATCTTTGTACTCTGTTGTGCACATGCCGATCAAATCAAGAAATATATAGAGACTTCGAGATGGTCAAAGTTACCGGGTGTCAAGGTCGAAGCTGTCATTGACAAGAATAGCAAGTCTACCGGTGACGCACTTCGTAACATCTACTCTTACAATATTATCCAATCAGACTTTGTCCTCATCTCTGGTGACGTTGTTTCAAATATGAATATTTCAAATGCACTCAAAGTACACAAGTATGATATTTATTATCCGATCAACTTACAAACATGTATCAACTCACACACTTGATTCATTCTAAAATTATATATATATATAGGGAAAGAAGAGAAAAAGATAAGAGTGTACTGATGACAATGGTATTCAAACAAGCATCACCAAGTCATCGTACTAGATCCAAACAAGATGACATTGTAGTTGGATTCAATAGAGATACTGCTCAATTGGTACATTATGAAAACTCACCAAAGAAGAAGAACATTAGATTGCCAAGTGAATTATTTACCAAGAATCCATCCATTCAGCTTCGTTATGATTTAATTGATTGTCATATTGATATTTGTTCACCAGAGGTATGTAATAACACTCATAATCACAACAATCTTATCATTTTACTTATATATTTGTGTCTGGTTAACCTAGGTATTGGCATTATTTAGTGATAATTTTGATTTTGGAGATATTAGAAAAGATTTCATTCATCAGATTATGGCATCTGAGATTTTGGATTATAAGATGTCTACCTATGTATTGCAAGGAGAGTATGCAGCAAGAGTAAAGGACTTGCGTACCTATCATTCGGTGAGCAAAGATATCATTCACAGATGGACATTCCCAATGGTGCCCGACAACAATTTCATGTGCAACACAACATATACGTTATCGCGACAGATGATTTACAAGGAGAGAAAGGTGATCTTTCACGATTGCGTCGTTGGTGAGGAGACCGTCATTGGAAAGGACACTGAGATTGGCGATGGAACCGTCGTGTCACACAGCATCATTGGACGTAACGTCAAGATTGGCAACAATGTAAAGATCCACGGCGCCTACTTGTGGGATGGTGTTGTCATTGAAGACAATGCCACTGTCACAAAGTCGATCATCTGCGAGCGTGCCGTCATCAAGGCCAACGCTACCGTATCCGAGGGATCGATCGTGTCGTTTGGCGTTGTGATTGGTGAGAATGCATTCATTGAGCCATTCACCAAGATCACCATGCAACAGCCAGGTGCCGACGACGACGACGACTATGATGGCGAGCCAACCGAGGTAATGACCACACTTGGTATGGGCGGAAAGGGACGTCGCTGGACACTTGCAAACGGCCCATTCAACGAGCTCGTTCCACGCAACAATGCCGTCGATGCTGCCGGCAACCCAGTACAAACCGACAATGACTCGTCGGACGATAACCAAGGGGACACCGACACTGACTCTGACAGCAGCGTCGACAAACCACCCATTGGAGGAAAGAAGGATCCAGAGACTGACCACGCCAAATTCTATCGTGAAGTGGCTTCCACTGTTCGTAGAGGTATTTCCGAGAAGCACAACACTGACAATATCTCACTCGAAGTTAACAGTCTCAAGTTTGCTTTTGATCGTGATTTCCTTGACACTTCTGCCGCTGTTTTGCGTGCCGTACTCAATGTACCAAACAGATCAACCATGTCACTCAATGAACATGTAGTCGCTCTCAAGTCTAGAATTGCCCATTTGGCTGCTGTCCTTCAGAAATTCCTCTCTGAAGATCAAGATGTACATGTCGATTTTATTTTCAAGATTCAGGATCTTTGCGATGAAGACGATGTCATCAAACCATTGTTCAAATACGTTTTACATTCACTCCATGACAAGGAGGTTTTGGCCGAAGAAGCTATCCTCAGTTGGGCAGATGAATTGGATGGAGATGACGATGAAGAAAGTAAAGAATATCTTTCATTATGTGCAGATTTCTTAACTTGGTTAAGAGATGCTGAAGAAGAATCTGACGATGAAGAAGAGGACGAAGAAGATGATGACGAGGAAGAGGAAGAAGAGGAAGAAGAGGAAGAATCAGAATCCGAAGAAGAATCAAGTGGTGATGAAAGTGATGATTAAAATAAATAATAATAGAATCATAGAATAGAACAAGACGAGATTTACAAATAAACAACCAAAAGATTTAAATCTAGAATATCAAATATTCTATTGATGATAGTCAATATGATCGATGATAATATGGATCTCATTTGTTTATTGGTGACTTGTAAATCAGAAAAAGAGTACCCAAGTGAAAGCTAATCACACTTTGCAACTTCACAAGAGCATCTCTGGAATAAAGATGATAAAGACTCTATCAAAGTCTAAAACTCGACTGGGAAGACATGTAAGCATCAATGGATGTGGCTTGTAGTCATGGTTTCATTGACATTGAAAAGTATTTACACGGGAATAGAACTGAAGGTTGTAGTAAAAAGGCTTTGGTAGGCAAATTAAGAATAATTGAAGAGATGAATAAATGAAAGAGGCAAAATAGAGAAATCAATTTACTTATTTATTTAAACCATCATCATTACAGGATTCATTTTGAATTAAAATTAACTAATTTATTATTGGTTGAGTTTGAGGTAGTGGGGAATGGTTGTGCAATGAAAGTGGATAATTGTTTGGAACCAAAAAAAACAATTATACCAGGGTTGTTGGTGAATGTGTATCCTATCAGGAGATGGAATTTATAATATATATTTAATAAACTATTGATCTTGAATCGATTTGATAGATGTCTTACCATGTTGTCTTTCAATTAAAAACAATAGAGCAAAGAACATGATGGGGTTTTTTAAATTCATCACCGTGTGATCCCTTGGACTTCTAGTTGGATGATAATGATTGACAACATTAAGTTCCAATTCATTGGGGGGAGTTGTCAACTTTAAACACGAGTAAAAAACATTGACCAAATGGTATCTTGATTTGATTGGAATACCATCAGGGAATCTATTGCTCAATTGAAAATTTTCATCCTCTTCAAAATCGGTACTCAGGTTTACAAATAATAAATAAAATATATTTTATGGAAATATTATTATTCTAATATTAAAAAAATATTAAATTTAATGTATAGTTACAGTGAGAGTGAGAGGTTATCAATTTTGTTTTAGAAATTTCTTTTTTGTTTCTCATTCAAATAAAAAAAATATATGTAGATAGGATCTCAAGAAATCATCTTAAATAGTATACAAATAATTTTGTTTTTTTAATAAAAATTAAGTATCAAATAAAATAAATCCAACTAGTTAAAAGATTGAATTTGGTATGGGTCAATTGGAATAGATTCACCTGGTTAAAAGGATCTTTCATCATTTAATTCCTCTTCCAAACCATTGACTGCGACAATGGTGCAGATGGACAAAAGTTGAGTGAATAGTTTGTTTTTTCCACCAACTGACTAGTATACAAGACACGGATCTAAAAAGATTAAATAAAATCTTTATAATTTTATTCTTTATTATCTTTTAAAAAATGTGGAAAATGGGGACTTGAGCGATGCTCGTACTTTACTTTAAACTTTTTTTAATTTTCTTATCTAATTAAAAGTTTTTGATAAATCTGAGTACGAGGAACAGGCTCCAGCCTACTACGAAATATATAAATATAAATCTCAACCAAATTCATTATTTTATTTTTGGTAGTATTTAAAGAGTATGTGTGGCCATTCATTATCAAGTTCTTTTTCTGTTGAATAACTATAGATATAACAAGCAAATGGATGAATTTGTTGATCAAGCTCTCAAAATCATCTTTGATTCTGATCTTTCAGATGAGCAAAAGGATCATAGTCGCGATTGCTTAGAGGAACAGCCATACAAAGCCAGATTTATCATTGACGCTTTCAAAAGAAACTCTGTTCATAAATACCTTCTCTCAATGAAAAAGAATGATCCTACAACCAATCTTCGTAAGACACACCATTTAAAATTAATGATGAGCAGCTATTATTCTTACTAATCACTTATTTTATTCTAATTAAATAGAATTGATTTTTGTCCTCCAAGAGGGTAAGTTTGAAATGATTCTATTGAATTTATCAATCAATATTAATGAATGATATCTTTTATTAGAAAACAACAAATTTAAAAGAAAACTGGATCTATTCGAATCTGAGCTCTCGCAATTGAAGAATTCCAAGGGGGCAAGTCAAGACTTGCTCCCCCCAGTTTTCTATCAGCCAACAGAAAATTCACCAAGGTCTCCATATGAAGAGAATGTTAGCGAAGGAACCATCTCCAATGAACAACGAGAGAATATTATTGAAGAGACTATCGCTGATGAACAGCAAGTGAATTTTTTTGACGAAGATGAAGAACTGGAGACCGTCATCGACCATGAAGAGGAAGAGAATATTATTGAAGAAACCATCGCCAATGAAAAAGAGAATATTATCCAACAACAAGAGAATATTGAAGAAACCATCACCAATGAACAAGAGAACATTATGAATCCATTTTTTGAACTCAACGGGATTCATTCCTTCAGATCAATATTTCCATACAAATGTACTGTCTATGAATGCAGTTCGTTTAGATGAAAATTCAAGAATAGGAGGTGGTTTTGTGAGATGTGGATGTAGTCATCTCTCAGGGCAACACTAGTGTGAATAAATATTATTTGAAACCTACCATTAGGACTTTAACAATTGGATTTATTTAATTCTTATTTGTTTAAACCAATTTAAAAGATTGGATTTGGAATGGATTAATTGGAATTGATTCACCTGGTTTGTAGGATCTTTCATCCTTTAATTCCTCCTCCAAACCATTGACTGGGACAATGGTGGAAATGTTGGCAGATGGACAAAAGTTGAATGAATAGTTTGTCTTTCCACCAAATGACTCGTAGACACGGATAATGTAACCATCACCCTCCTCGCATTTCTTGAGTGTCTCGATAATGACTGATGATGTGAGTAGGGGTGGTGGTTGAAGAAGAGTTGGTGAGGGTGGAAGAGTGGGTGAGGTGGTCGATGCAAGACTATTGCTAATGGCGCAATTGACTCTAACAAACGATTGGAGTGTTGGGAGGTTGAATGGCAGCTCTTGGAGTGAAACGGGTGTGCTTGGAACCTGTACAGTGTGGAACTGGGTGTTGAGGGCATACCCCTCGGTAATGACACCACTTTGCTGGAGATCACCAGTGTGAGGCAACAGCGAGTAGGTGAAGCGGTGTGTACCCATATCAGCCTCGTCATCGGGTGACTTGGCCGAACGCAAAAGCGAGAGACGCATGACACCACCGCTGACAGAGTAACCGTACTTGCAGTCGTTGAGCAGAGCGACACCGTATCCATACTCGGAGAGATCGGCCCATTTATGTCCACACACTTCAAACTTGGCGACATCCCATGTTGTATTTTTGTGTGTTGGACGCTCGACATGTCCAAATTGGATATCGTACTTGCAGTTCATTGCACGGATGGTCGTTGGGAACTCGACCTTTAACATCTTTCTATTCTCGTGCCACTCGACCACTGTCTCAAAATCAATACGTGGACTGTTGTTGGAGAGGTAGATGATCTGCTTGATACTCGATTTGCTGGTGAGTTGTGGGTAGCTAAATTCAATGGCCACGCGGTATGGTCCATTCTCGATGATTTTTGCACCACCCTCTGCACCACCCAACACTTTGTACTTGTTCTGGCTGTAAATCTCTACATCCCATGCATCCCAAAAGAGGCATTGATCATCATACAAAACGAAACGGTTGCCTATACCACCGAGCACCTTTTCATTGGCATCGATGACTTGACGATTAACACGACGATCGACAATCGAAGAGATGGCACCCTCCTTGGTAACAAGTACTTGGAGGAATGGGTTCTCGAGTGCAACCGATCCATCTCCATTGACACGTGCAAAGGCAATGTTCTCCATTGACTTTGAAAAGGTGGCTTGGTTGACACGTACAAATCCATAGCTTGGCACTTTGATGGCTGCCAATGGGTGTCCATTGATTGACTTTTGTGGTGATTCAAAGTGGTCTGGTAACTCGATAATCTTCTCACAATCAAATGGTGAGGGATTGAATACGACCAAGTCAAATGCATCGTCGTCACCAGCAACTGAGTGTTCTTGGTGTTCACCACTAACATTGCCTCCTACCAAATGTGCCATTGTCTTTTTAATAATGTCGTATACTTGTTGTTGGATGTGTCCGTGGTGTTCGGCGGCGTCCTTGTAGACCATGCCGATCGAAGAACCTGGGAGGACATCGTGGAACTGGTTGAGAAGTAGCAGTTCCCAGAGCTCTTTGAGACGTGGGTATTGGAACCCTTCAACCTTGTGTAGGTCGAGGATAGTCGACAACGCTTCGACGTCATGCAACAACTGCTCACACTTTCTATTACCCTTTTTACAGTTGGCCTGTGTTGTGTAGGTACCACGATGCAGTTCAAAGTACAACTCGCCAATCCATACGGGTAGTCTGTCCTTGTCCTTTTCAATGACTTTGAAAAATTCGGCGGGCGATTGCAACTTTACCTGTGGGATACCATTCGTGTCAGAAAGGCGTGACAATCGCTCAATCATCTCAATGTTGGGTCCACCACCACCATCTCCATGACCATAGATCATCAAACTATTGTTGGAAACATCGTTGTTCTTGTGATTTGACTCGCACATTTGCACTTCCTTGACATCGGCAGCCGAGTTGTACGTGTTGGCTGGTGGGAAGTGAGTGAGCACGCGACTACCGTCAATACCCTCCCAGATAAACGTCGAGTGTGGGAACTTGTTGATATTGTTCCACGACAACTTCTGCGTGATAAAGTTGGAGATGCCTGCGTGGCGTACGACCTGTGGCAGCTGGCCTGAATAGCCAAATGTGTCGGGCAACCAAAACTCGGTGCAGTACTGTCCAAACTCAGACTTGAAGAATCGCTGACCGTGCAAGAACTGACGCACAAAGCTCTCGCCGCCCGGAAGGTTGCCGTCCATCTCGACCCATGTGCCACCTGTAGTCACCCACTGCCCCTTGGATGCCATCACCAGCATACGTGCATACAGCTGTGGATAGAGCTGCTTGGTCCACGAGTAGAGCTGTGCTTGTGACTGCACAAACTTGTAGTCGCGATAATAGTCCATGTAGAGCAGCTGTGTCGCAAACGAACGTGCACACTTGCGCTTGGTCTCTGCGTATGGCCACAACCACGCCACGTCAATGTGACAGTGTCCTATTGCCGACACCCCATGGCACCCGTCGCCGTTGGCTTGCTCAAAGAACTCCTTTTGTGCACGCTCGATCGCCGGCTTGAAAGTAGTACGGTCGTCCACATCGACCTGGTTGATGAGGTCGTTGGCAAGTCGCAGTGCTTGGTTGGCGCGCTGCGTAAACTCGGTCATCGAAGGATTAGTGTTGGTCGGTTGAGGATTATATGTGTTGGACGTATTATTCTTGGCAACATCATGCAACATTGTCAAATAGGTAAAGAGTGTGTATGCGTCACGATCAAACACACCAATCTCGCATTGCACCAATGTGAATGTCTTGGTGGGGTCGCAAGCATTGATCAACCCGTCCCTGCCAACACCAAACATCCCATTGCACGCCATCTCAATGACCAACTCGACATGCTCACCTCCCTCGGCCACATCAAACAATTTGTATTCGATACGCTTGTCCACCCAAGTGCCACCGGTCAGGCCCTGAATAGGAGCACCGTCACGCCAAATCAATGCCTCTGAGCTAGAGTTCCACAAAAAGTGTACTTCCTCTCCCTTCATTGACTGTGGTACATCAATCGATACTTGAAACCAAAAACTACTCCAACTTGGTCCAAATACTTTTCCTACTTTACAACTTTCATATTTTAATGATTGTGATTCTAAAAGGAAAAAAACAAAAAAAAAAGTAAAGAGACAAAGTAAATAAAATGTAAATTGCAAGCATACTATACTAGCACTCTAGCTAGCTAGCTTGTAAATCTATACAACATACCATCAAAAGTGATTCTATCACATTTTTCAGATACCTTTAGATTACAAGCATTCTTGTCAATGACAGGATAAATCTTTCCTCTAAGATTTACATCTGTAAAGTATGTATCACTTAGGAATTTCTCTATTCTTTCTACATGTATATTTCTTGTTCCTTGCATCTCTATCTATCTATCTATCTATCTACTTTTATACAAGTAGTAGTATTTGTGGTAGTAAAAAGAAACAATAACACAATTTGAAAGGTGATGTGTTCTTTTTGTTGATGAAGTTGCAAAGTTCATCAGATTAATTAAAAATCCAATTTCCTTTTATTTATTTATTTCTCCTGAAAAGGTTGTAGGTAGTCCAAATGAGCCTGGTTATTTGGATTGGAGTGATTGATTATGTTGAGGGGGTTGGTTGACCTTCATTGTGAGGAGGAGGAGGAGGAGGAGGAGGAGGAGGAGGAGGGAGGAGGAGGAGGAGGAGGAGGAGGAGGAGGAGGAGGTAATGGAATTGTTGTTCAAATATAATTGCCAACTATCACCAATTAATATAGCAAAGGTTGAATGTTTGTTGTTGGAGAATCTAAATCCTAAAATATCAATTGATTGATTGATTGATTGATTGATTGATCGATTGATTGATTGGAGTAATTTAATAAATAAATAAATAAATTGTGTCTCAATGATCATTCATCAATTTATATCATATCGATGTTTTGGAAACCTACCATGAATCATTTGAATCATTGAAACAAGGGCAAATTCAACCCTGTAACTTTTAAATATCATGAAACTGTCGTCATCCCATGTATGTGTATCAGCATTATAATATGGTTCGACATCCAGTAGTGGTAAATCAGCTGGAGGATCGATCATATCCGAACAATAGTTGAAAATATTAACAATTTGGTATCTAATGTTGATTGGAACATCTTCTGGGAATCTAATGCCCAATTTAAAGTCTCCCTCCTCTTCTTCTTCTTCTTCTTCTTCTTCCTCTTCCAATACTTCTATAGTTGGATGGACATTCCATTATTAAAATAATAAATAATAATAATAATAATTATAAGGTAAAGGAAAATGGTTAAATGATCTTGAATACCCATCCATCCCCCTCAAAACTAGTATTTATATTTATATACCCTATCTAGATTTAATAATATTATTTTAAAATAAAACCTACATATTATTTGAATATATAAACTTTTTTTAAAGTCATTATTATTATGTCTCTCAAAATGAACTTGTAGAAGAAACCTCTTCCTCTAAAATAGAAATACTAAATCAGATTAATCTCTCTCTCTGTCTATCTGTCTATCTGTCTGTCTGTTTCTCTACCTCAAACTATATATACATATATATATGTATATATATAGTTGATGATATCATGATAGATCTAAGGTTACTTTGTGATATTATGAGTGTAGGTGTAGCCAAGTCGACTTATCGATGAGGAATAATAATAGGAATAGTGTAGTGTTGTATTAATAAATACATGTATTAATATTAACTCTATAAATACTACTAAAACCGAGTAAAAGGGGGGGTATCATACACTGCAGTATTGATACTGTGTAAAGATCTTCGTCTTGCAGCAGACGAAGAACACTCGGGTGTTGTTGAGCCAACCAGAGAAAGTTTCACGTCCCAACACATGGGTTGCAAGAAAGTGAGAAAATTTTTTTGTGAGGAATTGTTTTTTTTTGTTTTTTTTTAATTTTTTTTTATTTTTTCAGCCTGTGTGTTTGTTCACCTCACTCTCTGTTCATAGTTCTGGTATGCGCATTGACTGCAACAAGATAATAATCAAAGATAGTAATAGTAGGTTTCGTCATAATAATAAGATTAGGTAGAGAGGTAGAGAGAAAAAAAAAAAAAAAAAAGACAAGGCATAGATTATTTTTAGTGTTGTTATTTATCATCATCAGTCATGTTACCATAATTGTGTCTAATGTTAATGTTGACGGTATATATGGCTGGTTGTCGGGGGGGTGTTGGGATGGACCGTCATACCTTCTGTTGCATATGGGAGATAGACCGACAAGTTGAGTAACCCCGGCGACGACCACGACGATCGTCATACCCGACTACTACACAAATATCATTAAGATAACCTGGCATTAACAACAACACCCGGTGTAGGGTGGTAGGTAGTGGTGTGTCGACACACGATGACTACTGCCCTAGTTTTCTCTCAGCCATTTATTATTTTACTTTTTCTCTATATTTATATATATACATTTCGTTTCATTTCTATCCTATCTCTTTTCATTTATAATTAAAAAAAAAAAAAGAGAGTTAGTTTTTAATTCAATTTTAAGGAAACCATCTTTCTCTTCTCCACTAATTTATTTAAGAATAAGCAACATCATCATCATCATCATCATCATATCATTATCATTATCATACCTTTATTTTTTTGTTGTCTTTTTAAAATACATCTATATAGCTATACATAAACGAGCAGTCTCTTTCTCTTATTTATTTATTTAATTTACTTACCCATCAATCAAATATTATCAATTATAATTATAATATTCTAGAATTAGAAAACAATGGCAACATTATCACGTAACCTTCGTTTAAATATAGATTCACCAACCCAATCGTTTGTACGTACAAAGATTGTATGTACCATTGGTCCAAAGACAATGTCTGTCGAAATGTTGGTCAAATTAATTGAAACTGGTATGAGCGTTTGTCGTTGTAACTTTTCACATGGAACTCATGAATACCATGCTCAAGTCATCAAGAACCTCAGAGAAGCCGTCAAGATTACCGGCAAGGACTGTGCCGTCATGTTGGATACCAAGGGTCCAGAAATCCGTACCGGTTTATTAGAAGGTGGCGAACCAATCGATTTGCCAGCTGAAACTGAAATTATAGTCGATACCAATACTGCCCTTCCAGTATGTTTGAATACAAGATCTTTATATCACATCAAAATGTCAAACTAACATTTATACTTTAAACACTAATCTCTCTATAGGGTAACAAACAAAGAATTTCCGTCGATTATAAGGGTTTGATTGACTCTGTCAAGGTTGGTGGACACCTTTTAATTGCTGATGGTGTCATTTCATTCTCAATTTTGGAAGTTAATAAGGAAAAGGGGTAAGTTTAAACCAATTCACTATGATCATATATATACATATATAACTTATACTTTTTATCTTCCTTAGTTTCCTCAAGTGTAAGGTTAATAACAACTCAAAGCTCGGAGAAAAGAAGAACGTTCATTTACCAGGAGCAATCGTCACATTGCCAGCTGTTGCTGAAAAGGATATTGAGGATCTCAAGTTTGGTGTTGAACAAAAGGTTGATTTCGTCGCTGCCTCTTTTATTAGAAAGGCTGAAGACGTCAATGAAATCCGTGGTATTTTGGGTGAAAAGGGTGCCACCATCCAAATCATCAGTAAGATTGAAAACGAAGAAGGTATCATCAACTTTAACGATATTCTCGATGCCTCTGACGGTATTATGGTTGCCAGAGGTGATCTCGGTGTCGAAGTTAATATGGAAAAGATCTTTATCGCTCAAAAGATGATGGTCTCAAAGTGTAATGCTGGTAAGTTAAACAAATCAAATCCATTGTATATGCGTATCATTCTGACAATATCTTTCTTTCTTTATTTTTATTTCAATAGTTGGAAAGCCAGTTATTACTGCCACTCAAATGTTGGAATCTATGATTAAGGCTCCAAGACCAACCAGAGCTGAATGCACTGATGTTGCTAATGCCGTTTTGGATGGTACCGATTGTGTTATGCTTTCAGGTGAAACCGCCTCTGGTGATTACCCACTCGAAGCCGTCGATATCATGGCCAAGATTTGCAGAGAAGCCGAACTTGTCGAATCCAGTACCGATTATCATACTCTTTTTGCTGCCTTGAAGATTCACACTACCAAACCAATCTCTGTTGGTATGTCATATATACAAAAAAAAAAAAAAAAAAAAAGGAAACTCAACCCTTCATTCCATTGTACTAATTATAACAATCAATCTATTTTCCTATTTATTTTCATCTGTATTAGCTGAAACTGTTGCTTCATACGCTGTTGCCACTGCTATTGACTTGAAGGCTGATTTGATTATTACATTGACTGAAACCGGTTTGACTACCAGACTCGTCAGCAAGTACAGACCACCCATTCCAATTGTTGCCGTCACCTCTTGGGAACACACTGTTAAGCACTTGATGTCCACTCGTGGAACCATCCCACTCTTGGTTGACTCCTTGGTCGGTACCGATAAGCTTGTAGAATATGTCCTCGAATATGCCATGAAGAAGGGTTACTGCCGTTCTGGTAGCAGAGTCGTCATTGTTTCTGGTGTCATGGAAGGTGTTCCAGGCAAGACCAACTCCCTCAGAGTCTTGACTGTCGGAGAATCAATCAAGAACCTAAAGGTAATCTAATCAACAATCATAGCCATTGTATTTTTAGTCTTTTGCCTTTTTGTAAACATTCCCGACTTTTTTAATATTAATCGTCATAAACCTATTTTTCTCCACCTTTTTTTTTTTTTCTTTTTTTTAATAATCTCTTATTTTTTTTATCCATTCTTTTTTTATTCATTCTTTTTTATCCATCCTTTTTCTTTATCCATTCTTTTTTTTTCTTTATCATCCTCTTTTTTTTTATCCATTCTTTTTTTTTCTTTATCATCCTCTTTTTTTTATCCATTCTTTTTTTTCTTTAGGTTTAATCGAAAAAATATCTAAAAAATTGTTATAAATTCATTCATTCATTCTCATAATAATCATCATATAAAATTAATTAATCATTATTACTGCGTATCATTCCTTCTTTCATCCATTCTTTTTTGAAATCATAAAATTATCCAAGAACAAAACTAACATTCCATTTTTTTTTCATTAATATTTTTAGCCAGGAGAAAAGAAAAAGTCATCAAACGTCCAAGAATAAGATAACTCTTACAAATATATAGATTTTTTTCCATATACAAAAAAACCTGTAATAATTATAATCAAATCATTCCCATATACATCATTAAAATATTAATCAAGATGTTTGGAACAAAGGCATATCTGATTTGAATTATTCAATATAATAATAATAGTAACAAAACTGAAACAATATATTTCCAAAATTTAATAAATTCCATCATGGTATATCTACCCTTTTTTTTTTTTATAAAAGACCAACATTTACGTTAACTTATTAATCATTAGGTTTGATTGTTTCAAAAATCTAATTTTACAATTATTTTATTAATATTTTTTTTTAAGAGTTGTTTTATGATATATTATTATTGGTTGGGGTAGGGTATTATTGCTGTGTATATATATTTTTGATTTGATTATTAATTTTGATCAAAATCTCTTTCACTGTAAATGACTAGGGTAAAATTATCTGGAATTCCTGGTTCAAAGGTGGCAGGTAGAACGGCACCTTGAATAGTTTCATTGGCCGAACCCTCAACGACAACCTCTTTGCCAGAGACAAAGCCACTCTTGCACACCAATTCCTTGAGATTTCCATCTGGGAAGATCTTAAAGTAGTAGAAACCGATGCCGTGGTTTGTTGGCTTGTCTGATTGATTTAATACAATGGTATAACGCGATGGGATGCCGCCACGTTGCCATACGTTAAAATTGAATCTTGGATTGAGTGTCCAAGAGGAGCTGGTGTTGGAGTAACGGCCTCCGCACGACTGGCCGCGCCATTCGCCGCCAAACTTGCGCATGTGCCACTCGGGCAATGCACGCATGGCGAGTGACTGTTGCGAAGAGATGAAACGCATCGAAAAGTCGGCTTCAACATTGGGTGCAAACGTGCAGGGGATGACGACACACGATTGACCTGGTTCGAGCGACAATGTGTAGTGTACTTGGTAGTCGTTGATAAACTCGGTATTGCCAATGAGATCTTTGGGGATGATCTGGTAGAGCTTCTTGTCGAGTTGAGCCGATGGCGCACGTGCAACGTAAAATCCAGCAAACTGTAACAGTGTGCTTTCCTTGGCAGTCTGATCCATGATGATCGAGATACGCGATGGAGCAGTGGCAGACGTGTTGGACAACAAGAATTGTGGGTTTGAACGCCAGGTGCTGTGGTTGAGACAGCCACCGGCACTGTCGCCGCTCCAACGTCCTCTGCTGGTGATAATCTTCTCCTTGAGGTCAATACGGTTGATTGGCACATCTGAAAAGCAAGAGATGGCAAACGAACCCTCTTGGTTGGCATCATAAGTACATGGCACGACAATGTAAATGCCTGGTTCGTATGTGTGTTGATGGGTGACTTCACTGCTGTTGATAAAGTTGGTCTTGGTGATGAGGTTTGGACCGGTCAAATAGACGTAGGGAAGGTTGCGGTCAGCCACTCTAAACACATAGAAACCAATGTAAGTGTCACGCGACACATCGTCATTCTTGCTGAGGATGGTAGTGACTTGTCCGCCGACAGCCAACTCAAACATAAACTTGGGATTGTCCTTCCAAGTAGCCGAACTACCACTAAAGCTGCCACCTGCCGAGTTTCCACGCCACTCGAATGAAGTGTCTGATATCTTTCTCCAGTCGCGGTCCGGAAGTACCTCGGTGATCGATGTTGAGAGCAAGTCATTGGACGAGTCTGATGTCAACTCGAGGTCGAAGCCACCCTCTTGTCCTGGTTCAAATGTGGCTGGCACAATGATATAGTTGCCTGGCTCTAAAGTGACGCGGTTCGATACCTTGGAACTACGCAAAAACGAGTTGTCCACGCCTGGAACCAAGTTGTCGCGAGCTAGTTGGAGCAACTTGCGCTCTGGTTGTGTAGGATTGGCACGTGCAACGTAAAAGCCAATGTGGAAGACATTGTTGGAGGCGTGTTGTTGGAGCGTAATGGTGAGCGAGGTGCGCGACTCGACACGCAACAAAAATTGTGGGTTGTTACGCCATGTGTGGTGGTTGGCACATCCACCGGCACTGATGCCCGTCCAGACACTGCTGGTACGGATGACGGCGGGGACGGGGGGAGTGGCCGTGTTGAATCTACGGGATTGCGATGGCGAGCTAATAGGAGTGATTCCACGCTTTGAGCCAAAGGCTGGGTTGAGCATCTCCTCTAATAGATCGTCGAGTTCAGAGACTGGTGCCTTGTTGCTAGTGTTGCTGGTAGTACCACGATTCGGTGTGTTTGAGATATTCATAAAACTATTATGAGACAATTGTCGTGAAAAATTATTGCTTGGGAGTACAGGTGATGATTCGGCAGATGAAGATGGTGATGATTGTTGTTGTTGATATTGTTGTTGTTGTTGAATATGTGAGAGTGATGGAGATGAAAAAGCAGATGGTGATTTACTATTATTATTATTATTATTATCATTATATAATTGTCCCAAATTGCCTGTTGAATTTGAAAATCTTGGTGGTTGATATTGTTGTTGTTGTTGTTGTTGATTTGGAGACGATGATTGTTGTTGATATTGTTGTTGTACATTTAATGATTGACTGATTGCTCTACCACCATTATTATTATTATTACCATTATTATTACCATTATTATTGTTACCAGATAAAATAATTCCATTTAATAATGAATCCAATTCATTCAAATCATTGTTGTTGTTTGATTGTGGTGGTGGTTGAGACAATGGTCTTTGATTGGGACTGTAGTTACTATTACTATTATTATTGTTGTTGTTGTAGGAAGGTGGTTGAGAAAGTGGACGTCCACTTGGTTGAGAGATGTTTGAAACATTTTTGTTGACATAGGGTGATGGCGACGAGTTGGCCGAACCTCTGTTCTTTTGCTCCTCGTTGTGCTTTTTGTTGTTTTGTTCCAAGAGGTCTTCCTCGTCGTCCGAGTTCATTGGACTGATCGAAGAGCTCTGCGTGAATTCAAACGGCTCGCCCGACTGCTTTGCCTTGCGCTCGGCGGCGACCTTGAGAGCCTGCTCACGTCCGCCGAGACGCTCGATGATGAGGTCGGCCGAGTCGGTCAGGGTCGACATGACGTACGTACCCTTGACCTTTTTCTCGAAAAAGGCGTGTTTGAGGAGGTCCTTGGCGGTGGGTCTCTGGGTCTGGTCCTTTTTGAGACACACGTTGATAAAATCGCTAAACTCGGCCGACCACTTTCCATTCTCCTTGAGTTTGGGTGGCTCTGCCGTTGGAATCATAAACAAGACACGCATTGGATGCAAGTCATGGTAGGGTGGATTAAACTCTGCCATCTCGATTGCGCTAATGCCCAAAGCCCATATATCTGCCTTGGAGTCATAACCAACCTCTTGAATGACCTCTGGTGCCAAAAAAAAGGGTGTACCAATCACCGTATTTCTCTTTCTCGTTCTTTCACTCAATTGTCCACTTACACCAAAATCTACACACAAAAATAAAACAAAAGACAATAAGTCGAGCTATGTCTAGATCTCAACTGATCTCTCTCTCTTTTCTTTTTTAATTACATACCAGCTAATTTACATTCACCATGTTCATTGACCAAGATGTTACCTGGTTTAATGTCTCTATGAATCTTACTATTCTTGTGTAGATAGAATAAACCTTTTAATACACTGTAACAAACCAATGCAATTTGTTCTTCATTCAAAATTTGATTTGTAACATTCATCATATCACTAACCGATCCCATAGCACAATATTCCATAATAATCTAAATATAGATAGATAAGAAGTAGGAGGTATAAGAGAGAGAGAATAAGAGACTAGATTCATCTTCTATTCTTGACATGTTTGTTGACTTACCCAACAAGTATCTTCTTTAAAATAATTTCCATAGTATTGTACAACATATTTAGATCTACATTGTTTCATTATATTGATTTCCTTTAGAATCTCTTGAAAGTCTTCGTTGACAGGTACCAACTTGATTGCTACAATGTGACCTGTCTTTTTGTGTCGTGCCTTGTAGACGGCACCAAACGAACCTCTACCAAGACTCTCGAGTAGATCAAACTCTGTAGCAGGGTCCTTTATGCCATCTGGCAATTTGAAAACTTCACCCTCTTCCATAGCTAGCGCTTATATATGTAATCAATCGTCTATATCTCTCCTTCTAAATACTACCTATCTATTCTATCTCTTTTAAACTCTATCGCCGATAAATAAACTAATCGAGATGGTACAGTTGAGGTGAGGTGAGATGAGGTGATGATCGTTGCTTTAAAAATATATATATTTATATAAATACACAAAGTGTTGATACAAAACCACTTGTACTTGATGCGAGTCTGTGGTTGGAGTTACTACTGAATGATTAATAATAATTATTATTTGTTCTAGTTGTCTTTGAGCTCGAAAAAAAAAAAAATTTTGAATCAATCGAGATTGAGTTGCTTTGCAGTTAGTGTGTTAAAAAAAGTGACAGCTGACTTGGGTTTCAGTGGGGGTGTGTCTAGAACCCTGTCAGATGATCCACAAAAGGTTGGTTGATTCCAAAGCATCCCAAACAACTATCATCTTTATCTTATTATTATTCTGGCCCAAGATATGATAGAGTTTGGTAGAAATATAACCTTAAATATGTTATAATATGTGTATAATAATGTAACATACATATAATTAATTAATTAATATAATTTTATTATTATTATGTTATTTTGCACTCCACGTCATCTTCAGATATTAATATTTTAATAAAAAGGGTAAAAATAAATAGATATTATAAAGAAAGTGTGAAGGTCAGGTGACCAGACTTGTCATTTAATAATTTATTTTTTTCAATTTAATCAAAAGAGAACAAGTAGAGTTATATTAATAATAAAATGATTATTAGAAGTCTAAAGAACCAATTAGTAAAGAATAGTGAGAATGTTATAGGGTTGTATCAATCGTTGCATCAGTGGGGTAGTACATGTCCCTGTCACGGTACTCCTATTGCACAATGCTCTAATCCTCCTTCGCAGTCACTACAGACTAATCATGTGTCACCTGTATTCATCTCAACTTCGACATCCAATGCAATACTCTCTTCTCCATCACCATCCTCATCTTCTTCTACCTCTTCATACAATAGATCAGTATACAACAATGCATCAGTATCAAGTATAAGACATGATATGGATTTGATTCAAAAGTTTGGGTCGTGGAGTAGCGACAATAGAGCCACTAGAAGATACAGTAGTGGAATCATCGTTGAACCGTCACAGACTGAATATGCCTTTGAAATGGCAACCTCCAACATTAAATTTGGTCCTGGTTGTACACATGAAATTGGACAGGATTTGATAGACCTAAAGATTAAGAATGTCTGTGTATTTGCAGATCCACACCTTTTGGCTATGTCTACTACCGGTACTGGAGGTGAATCACCTGTCTCTGTAGTATTACATTCTCTTAAAAAGGCTGGTATCAATTTTGTAATCTATTCAAATATTTCAATTGAACCAACTGATGAATCTTTTAAAGATGTATGTGTGTCAAACAAACAAACAAACCCTACCTATCAATGATGACTATTACGTTGATCACCTCTGATAAACTAATCATTTTATTTTAGGCAATTGAATTTGTAAAGAATGCTAGAATTCCAATTGAAGGGTTTGTAGCGGTTGGTGGAGGTAGCACTATTGATACTTGTAAAGCAGCCAATCTCTACACAACCTTTCCCACTGATAACTTTTTAGATTATGTCAACCCTATTATTGGCCTGGGTAAGCCTGTTCCCGGCCCAGTCAAGCCTCTGATCGCTGTGCCAACAACTGCCGGCACGGGATCAGAGACCACTGGTGTATCGGTGTTTGATCTTTTAGAGCTAAAGGCCAAAACTGGCATTGCACACAAGAATCTCAAGCCTACACTTGGTATTGTCGATCCACACAACACATTTACAATGCCAACCAACGTGGCAGTAGCTTCTGGTTTTGACCAGCTCTGTCATGCACTCGAGTCGTACACTGCCATCCCGTACAACAAGAGAACTCGCACACCCATCAGACCTGCCTACCAAGGGTCGAATCCAATCAGCGATATTTGGTCTCTCAAAGCACTAGAAATGATCAATGAATATCTTCCAACAGCTATTGAGAACCCAACCGATCTCAATGCTAGATCACAGGTAATGTTGGCAGCTACCTCTGCAGGTATTGGTTTTGGTAATGCCGGTGTTCATCTTTGTCATGGTATGAGTTATGCTGTATCTGGTTTGGTCAGAGATTATAAACCTGAAGGATATAATGTTGATTATCCAATCATTCCTCATGGAAGTATGTTAAATCAAATCAACGAATCAATTCAATTCAACAAAAGTTAATTTATACTTTTTATTTAATCCTTTTATAGTGAGTGTTTGTTTAAATGCACCAGCAGTATTTGAATTTACGGCAAGTGCAAATCCAGCTCGTCATCTTGAATGCGCTCGTTTGATGGGTGCCAATATTAATAATGTTAAAGATCAAGACGCTGGAAAAATATTATCAAATCAAATTAGAAAATTAATGAAGAGATTAAAGATTCCTGATGGATTAAAAGCTAGTAAGTGAAATGTTGAAACAAACAAGTTATCAGGATTTCAAAATCTAATTAACCCTTTCTTTAACGCTAATAATAATAATTAGTCAATTATACAAAGGATGATATTCCAGCATTAGTTCAAGGTACCTTACCACAACATAGAGTGACTAAACTTTCTCCAAGACCAGTTGGAGTTGAAGAATTAACAAAATTGTTTGAAAATTCAATGACCATCTATTAATCAAAAGAAAAAATACATGGTTGTATAATATATAATAATGTAATTTTATTTCACAACAGAAATCTATTTAATTAATTCCCTCCAGAATATTTAACCGCATTTGTTGATAGGGGACTTGCGGTTTTGGTCACCAGTTGTTTGCAATAATTCTTCACGACTCCATAGAGGCATATACAAGATGGATGGGGTCGGTTCTATCTTGAGGAAATTCTTTGAGATATCTCTCACTGGTGATGCGATTAGGATTTTCACGCATTGTGCAACTACCGAGTGTAGTGGTATTCCATCAGTAATGTACCATGTCGTCTTATCAAAGTGCAAACTATCGGCAAGAGAGTCCAAATGTGTGAATGGAACTTGAGATGCCAATGGTTGTCCATTGCTAAAAGTGAAGTGGACGAGTCTATGTGGCTGCTCTCTTGCGTGATACAGGACAGAGATATTGTTTTCTCTGCAATGAAGAAGAAGGAAATGGCCAAAAAATGTCTTTCCCACTCCTGGGTTCCCATTGATATAGAAAGAAGTAGTGGATTTGTGTTGTAATTGATCAGTGATCAGTGAGAGGATGTCTCTGTATGATTTCCTGATGAACATCACCCGTGATGTAGAGTCCTTCCAATTCACCAATGTACAGGTGTCGAGTGTTCCTGTCTCCTGTTTAGTATCGCCTCCTATAGACCAAAATATTTGGAAGTCTTTGATTGAAATTAAAATAGTAGAAGAATGATTAGTAAATGTATTGCGTGTTGAGCGAAGAGTTATGTTGAATTGAAAGCCAAACAAATATTAATCTTCTATAAATATTCTTCGATCTATAGATTCAACTCCAAGAAATAATAGACCCAACTACTCATCATCATCAATATCTCTTTCTGAAATTTTAACAGAAATCTGGAGGGATTAATTAATTTTATTTTTTTTGCCAATTTATTAAATAGTACATCATAATCATTTTTGATTATTAATTTGTTACAACAAGATGCTGACTGGGATCCGTGGTGGATTTAAATTCTACTAATATCTCTACCAAAGATTATAGATTTCATCCAATCAAAAGATAAAAGAACTTTGTTTTTTAAACTGAATTGCTTCTCCCAATAGATTGATCTGTAGGCATACCATACACCCAAACCTCCACCACTGAAATTGACACCTGGAATCTCGGCCACCGAGGTGTGACTTCCAATATAGGCAAAACTACCCAAATGCTTATAGTTGAATGGTGAGGCTGGCAAGTGAATTTCATCATTCTTTTCATTCTTGATGACATCGACGTTTAGTGACTTGGCCAAGTATGCACCCATTTGATTAGCGACTTGAGCCGTTGCCGGTAGGGTTGTCAACTTGCTATCAACATTTTGTAATAGTTGTTTAAATTCTTCCAATTGCAAAAATCCATCCTTGTTTACATCGAATTTCTTAAATTCTCTTGGTAATTCACTAGCAATTGGTTGAAGTTGTGGATAGGTTTTGGTACTATAAAAAAAATAATAATTTAATTAGAAATTAATTTTGGGCAACAAGTTATAATAATAATAATAATAATAATGGATATTTGTTTCATACTATTTCTGAACAACTTGAACAAGTTCATCGATGGATAATTGATTATCATTGTTGACATCGGCCTCTTTGAAAATATCAGCAACCTTGTCCAAAAGCTTATTTTGGGTGATGGTTGAACAATCACCAATTGCATAGACATTGGGGTTTGGTACACCAACAACTCTTAGGAAAGCATCAGTGGTGATGGCACGTTGATTCTTTTGGTCTGGAACCGATGCACAAAACTTTCTAGTCAATGTGCGTGGTCCAACTCCAGTTGCCCAAATACACATACCAAATGGTATTTCGTATTCCTTTTTATCATTCTTGCTCATTACCTTTAATGTAGTTTCGTTTACTTCAACTACTCTTGATCCATACAATGCTTGAATATTTGATCTACCAAATTGTTTTTCAGTAACTATTATAGAATAAATTAAATGGATTTGTCAAGTTAAACGGTGTATTCTAATATTATATCTTGTGATAATTACATTCAATAATTTTGGCATCATATGTATTTAATAAATGATCTGCCGATTGGACAAGTGTAATTTGACAATGTGGAACCAACTCTGGGAATGTTGAAACCAAATCATCATGAATAAAGTCATATAATTCACCTGCTGATTCGACCTAATAAATAAATAAACAAATAAATAAATAAATAAATAAATATTAGTTTTAATGTTGTCAACAATATATATATATATATATATATATATATATATATATATATATATATATATATATATATATATATATATATATATATATATATATATATATATATATATATATATATATATATATATATATATATATATATATATATATATATATATATATATATATATATATATATATATATATATATATATATATATATATATATATATATATATATATATATATATATATATATATATATATATATATATATATATATATATATATATATATATATATATATATATATATATATATATATATATATATATATATATATATATATATATATATATATATATATATATATATATATATATATATATATATATATATATATATATATATATATATATATATATATCTATATTTCTTTCTACATACACCAGTTGGACCACCTCCGACCACCGTAAAATGAAGTAATCTCTTGATTTCATTGATAGGTTGATTCGGGAAACTGGCACGTTCGAAGCAATCCATAACCTTGGTTCTAATTCTCAAAGCATCGTTTGCTTCTTTGAGGAATAGACAATGTTCTTTGACACCTTTGGTTCCCATTGTATGTGGAACTGATCCAACAGCAATCACCAACTTATCATAACTAATCTTGATATCTTTTGGTCTTGGTCCTTCCAATGGACTTGAATCTAAAAAAGTATTTTTAAAAGAATCAATATTAGTATTCAACCAAAATCAATAGACATCAACAAAATATATTTACCACTAATAACAACATAGTTTTCATTTTGGTTAATCTCTGTACATTCAGCTTCAATGTAGGAACAGTTGCCTTTAGCTATTCTCTTTAATACTCTACGAATGGGTTCAATAATACTACGAACTTCCAACGATCCAACAGTTGCAGATGCAAGCATAGGAGTGAATAAAAAGAACTAGACGAATGAATAGACTGTGGTCAATACATATGTATTTATGGCATATTGAGTCAATATATTTATGTTTAACATACATTTCTTGGAGAGATTACAATCAATTCATACTTTGAAGGGTCGATATTATTGATAAAAGCCAAACTTGCCCATCCAGTACCCAAGATCACAATTCTTTGTTTGCCATTACTTGGTTTCTTTAATAGTACCAATTCATCAAGTGGGTTTTTAGGTTTCTCTTCTCCCTCTAGATGAAGAATTGATGACATTGAGAGAGCGGCACCAACCAACAGTGGTCTACTAATTGTCTTCCATTCTACTTTGAACTTGTTCTTTCTTTTAGTTTGTTCATGATCTTCTCCTTGATTATTATTATTATTCTCTTTGTTTTGATTATTGTTGTTTGAAGAAGAATAAGAAGAATAAGAATAGGATTGCGAACAATTGTAACTTGTAGTACCACACTTTTGGCTTGATTGGACCAATGTTGTTGATAACCTTGTTAAGAATTGTTTATGACTTTTTTGTGCAATGTTCATCATCTTTTACACACTTTGATAGATAGATAGATAGAATAAATAAATAAATAAATAATAAAAGTACAAATCAAAATGATGAAAGATAGTGATGTATGTGATCACCGATAAATGAGTAATCTAAAATCCCAATATTCACAATCAAGTACACCCTTAACCCATAATTCCTTTAATTGGTTTTTCAAGGTTCGGAGTTCATTTTAACAAATATCCTTGTCCATTATTGAACTTCATATTAAATACTGCTCTTCTTATGTTTGAATAAATAAATTGTAATGGTACTTTAAGGTTTATTTTGTTTTTTAATAATCATGGAAGAAAATAAATCTTAAAAATCTTAAGAATGAAGATCTTGCACTAGCTGATTCATCTTGATATTGTGTAGAAGAGAATGAATGGTTTTGATAATTATTATGATTGGCTGAATCGATATTTGCAATGGATGATGAATATTGGTGAATATTCAATTTTTTAAAGGATCCTATAAAGAGAGAAAAGGAAAGAAATCAGTATACTGACCACTGGAATAATTATTAACTAAATGTTTACAACATACCAATTATAGTCATTTTTTGAAAGTTCAAGTTGGTTTTGGGCAAAGTTTAAAGATAGAAAAGATAAAAGTTGCAATGAAATATGTGCTGATAAAGTGAGATATCCTGTTCGAGATTTGAAAATTAGGATGATTGAATTAATTTGGAAATAAATAATAATAATAATAATAGACTGGTCAGAAATTTAATCTAACTTTATATATAGGTGTGGATGAGGAATTCGCAAGGAGGAGGAGGATAATAATAGTTGATACCAACCACAACAACCAACATCTATTGATAATTTTACTATCTCCATATGGTAAGGTAGCTGGTACAACGGTAATCAAAAAGATAGCGATGAAGAAAGGAGGAGGAGGATTAAACAAATTGTAAACTGTTGGACCATCCATTAAAGTTAAATAATGTGGGAACAACATTAATGGGATATGGTAAATTCGAATTGCAAACAGAAACAACTGTTAAAAAAAAGGGTACCCTGAAAAGATAGAATAGCCATACATGTATGTGTGCTATATTGAATAAACTCGTTGACGGGTAGTATAAATAGATGTACCCAAAAGGTAAACTTCAACTTCAATAAATTTTAAACATAAATTTAATTAAATATTTATTTTATTTTCCCCACAAAACATCCATCCAACTGTGTTGTTGTTCAACTCACACCAAAAACACTGTTCCACCATTCTTATTTCTTTTTTTATCCCCTACCTCTACTGTATTATTATCCTCTTTTCTTTTAAATAAAATGTCAAATTGTTGTTTGTTCTCTCTCTCTTTGTTTCATTCTTTATATATTATTGTCGATTTCTACACCATATACTATGTAATAGTGATATATATAAATGGATACATCTTGACATGTGTTCTCATTGTACAAACATCATCGACGATATACTTTTCGTAATAATTCCAATGGATAACCTATCCCATTCTTGCTTGGTATCCATCAATAGAGTTAATTCTCGTCATCACTGATGTAAATCGATGATGGTTGGTTGGTAGATATATAGCACACGATGTACATTTATACTAATCGTAACCTCACATCAACTCTGTACAATGCACTTCAAAATAGGTGAACACAACCTATTGTGAAGAAGAAAGTGGAAAATGGGCGATATATTGAATCGATCCGTGATTTATCTATCATCGCTCGCACCTGTTTGATGGAGATTATTATTATTAATAGACGAATTACTTTTACATCAGCAGACATTGTGATTCAATTTGGGAAAAGGAGTAATAGATCGAATATGGATAAAGACAAGATAATTAATTAAATTTATGAATGGATTGACAGCAGCAGTATTCCGTAACCACACACAACGATAATTTAAACAACCCCCTCCTCTCAAACAACCTTTGTTTACAAAATATCGTCGTGTGTGTGTGTGTGTATGCGTCGGTTTTGATGATGATGATGATGATGATGTTGATTGAAGATAATAGATGAATGCTCCATGCTAATCCATTTAAAATCCATCTATTGCGACCCCCTTCGATGTAGTTACATGGCCGCACTTTGATTGTTGAGGGAGGTATTAACTAATTTTCCGGGTATTTCCAGTACTTGTCGATCAATTGAACTACAAGTATCTTACGTTTTGCCAAATTTATAGTATATTGAAATTTCTACTTGTACTACAACTTGTTCTATATTTATAAAATGGTTCGTTAATATTAATCATCATCATCATCATTTAATAATTATTGGGCATTTTTCAATCATCAAACTGAAACTAGCCATAAGAAGAGATTAATTGATCAAACAAACAAACCACAAACAAATTTGAATGAATGAAATAAATTGAAATGAATATAATACTTGTTTTATATCGAATCTTTTTTCTTTTTAGTTATTGCCAATATTATTCTATATAAATAAAAAAAACAATTAGTCTCTCTCAAACTATCAATTGATCAATCCAATTAGAATTATATAATATATTTACATTTAATTAAATAGTATTGTTGATTCTTCTTTTCTTTCCAAGTTGTTTTGTTCGATTATTTACTTTGGTCATAGTTGACAGCCTTGAAATAGTCGAGGGAACGAACTGGATCAGCAATCATTGAAGCATCACCCTCCTTCCAGTTTACTGGGCATACTTCACCAACATGCTTGTCAGTGTATTGGAAAGCCTTAATCAAACGAAGAGCTTCATCAACTGAACGTCCAACTTGAGCATCATTCAAAGTTATTTGTTTGATCACACTATTATTAGAATAAAGAAAGATTAGAATTAGACCTACTCTTATGTCTTTCATTTCTACATTATGTTGTCAACCTACCCATCAGTACCAATGATGAAAGAGCCTCTGATAGAATGACCATCTTCAGGCATGTATGTACCATAGTCTTTGGAGATTTGATGAGTCAAATCAGAGACGAGAGGAAAGCTGACACTACCCAAACCACCTTGCTTACGTGGAGTGTTTGTCCATGCCAAATGAGTGTAAACAGAGTCAACACTGACACCCAATACTTCACATCCAATCTTTCTAAACTCTTCAATTCTTTCTGAAATCGATGAAATCTCTGTTGGACAGACAACTAATGAATGATAACATTATAAATCGAAAGATTAGTATATGTAAGGTAATAAATATATTGATATGATGAAGAGTATATATGTATATATTTATATATAGTAGTGTACATACAAGTGAAATCGAGTGGATAGAAGAACAAATAAACATATTTTCCTTTGTAATCATCTAATGAAATAGTCTTGATCTTGCCATCGACGATAGCTTGTGCTTGGAATTTAGGTGCTGGTTGACGAATACGAGCAAACTCATTTGCAGAAGCAATAGCTACAAAGAGAGCTACAACTAATACTACTAATAATCTGTTCATTTTGGTTCTTAAAATAGAAAAATAGATGAGCTAACTGAGGTTTCATCTACTTTCATTGTTTTGGGTGTCACCTCAAAATAAAAAGATTTTTTTAATGAAAAAAGACAACCCATCCCAAGTATATTCAGTCAACACATACAAACACAATATCCAACAACAACAACCAAGGCGTGCATACTATATTATGGTGTATGACAGTCTGAGTTCTGTCCCTATTATTAAACAAATATAATTATTAATAATAAATAATAAATAATAAAATAAAAAATTATGAAACTTAATATTGATCATTGGAATACTACTACGGTAGTTCTACTAGTGAGTTCCTCCTTGCAATATTAAAATTCGAAAACCCAGAGTATTATTATTTTTATTTTTTTTGATAAAGGGTTGTTTTTTGCGTCCATCACCACCATTGAAAACCAAGCAAGCAAACAGAAGCCATCCCAAAAAAACAAATACTGCTAACAAATCGATCAATATCATAGTGATTATATATTACGGTCGTAAAAAGAATACATACTAGTAAATGATTAAACAATATACTACTGTGTAGCAATAGTCTAGAGATAGTACCGTACCTATAATAGTAATAATTATAATAATAGTAGAAGAAGAAGAAGGAGAAGAAGAGATATTTACAAATATAAAGAAAAGAAAAGAATTATAAACACAAATGTCATCAGCATCATCATCATCATCATCACAACAATCATCATTGTCATCAACATCGACTTCGATGTTATTACAAGGTATTCAAAGCACCAATTTACCATCGTTGGTTTCAAATCATCATTCAGTTTCATCATCGACACTTGATCAAATTCAAGGCAACACTGACAACAACAAGAAGAGCAACTCATTTGTATGGAACAATCATTTAAAAAGAGAGGAAAAGGTATATCAACTATCGCAACTATGTCAAGATAATTTGGATGTATTGTATTCGTGCGAGATGGAACATGGATCAAACAGTAGTCATTGTTCCCGTTTTCAAACGAATTTGCAAAGTTGTCTTTCTTCCAATTTATGTCCTGATGAAGCTGCCATGAAAAATCAACAATGCAACGACACCTTGTCAGCTGCTTCTTTTCTACGATCTGCCATCCAACAATCGTCATCTCCCAACGCCGAAACATTTAACAAATGTTTTCAATTAAACAAATCAATCAATTCTTGTGTCAATAAGAATTTAGAGATTATTTGGAAGACTATAGATGAATAATAGATAGATAGATAGATAGATAGATAGATAGATAGATAGATAGATAGATAGATAGATAGATAAAACGAGACACCATATCAATGTAAATAAATAGAATCAAGGTTATGACTTTTTGGTAATGACAAGAGAAACAACAATTACATTTATTTTTAATGTGATTGATCCTCTAACCATTTTTGGAATCCAATAATCAATGATAAAATAAGCAATCAATCCTATTATTAATAATTACATATCAGTTAATTAATTAATTATCTAAATAATAATAGAAACAATGAAATTCAAAAAGTATTTATTATATTCACATTCAAATCATATGATTTGGAGTGAGTAATATTTATATAATTTTTTTTTTAATATTTTTTTTTTATTACATGTATTAAAAATGAGTAAGGGGATTATTATTATTATTATTATTATTGGAGATATTTTTGAAAAAAATACCAACAGAGTCACATATGATTATTATATGATGTTTGTTGATTTCGATTAATTAAAATATTTTTAGAGAGATTTGATTGGCAGGTGTTTGTTTAGTTTAGTAGACACGCTTGGCTGGTGGTATAGAGTGCATTTCAGCTTCATCCAAAGTGTGACCAATGACTGGACGGTAATCCAAAGTGACCTTTCCAGTTTCAACATCCAAATATGATAGTGTGTGCTTCATCCAGTTGACGTCGTCTCTTTCGGTGAAATCTTCACGAGCGTGAGCACCACGAGATTCCTTACGGGCTTCGGCTGAATGCATGGTCAATACGGCTTGAGTCATGAGGTTTTGGAGTTCGAGTGACTCGACCAAGTCAGAGTTCCAGATCATGTTACGATCGGTGGTCTTGAGGTCGGTCTTGAGGGATTGGGCAAACTTGTCAATGTTGGTGACACCCTCCTTGAGGATAGGTCCATCTCTAAAGACGGCGGCATGACGTTGCATGACCTTTTGCATCTCGAGACGGAGCTCGGCGGTGGAACGGGTGCCGTCGGCGAAACGGACCTTGTCGAGGTTGGCAATCGACTCTTCACCGGCGTTGGCGGGGAGTGGACGGTGTGGGGTGTCCTTGGCGAGTGTGTCGGCGATGGTGTTGGCGCAGGCACGACCAAAGACGACAATATCGAGCAACGAGTTGGCACCGAGACGGTTGGCACCGTGCACAGACACGCAGGCAGCTTCACCGGCTGCGTAGAGACCCTTGACGACGGTGTCGGTCTTTTCGCCTGGTTGACGGGTGACAACCTCACCCTTGTAGTTGGTTGGTACACCACCCATGTTGTAATGGACGGTTGGCAAGATGGGGATTGGCTCCTTGGTGATGTCGACGCCGGCAAAGATCATGGCGGTCTCACGGATACCTGGGAGACGCTCTTCGATAATGTCTGGTGAGAGATGGGTCAAGTTGAGGAGGGCGTGGTCCTTTTCTGGGCCAACACCACGGCCGGCGAGAATCTCCATGGTGATGGAACGCGACACGACGTCACGCGAGGCAAGATCGGCGACGGATGGGGCGTATCTGGGCATGAAACGCTCACCCTCAGAGTTGAGGAGGTAACCACCCTCACCACGGGCACCTTCGGTGATGAGACAGCCCGAGCCGTAGATACCGGTTGGATGGAACTGCACAAACTCGAGATCTTGGCATGGGAGACCGGCACGAGTGACCATGGCGTTACCGTCACCGGTGCAGGTGTGTGCGGATGTGGCCGAAAAGTAGGCACGTCCGTAACCGCCGGTAGCGAGCACGGTGGCGTGCGAACGGAAACGATGGATGGTTCCGTCCTCCATGCAGTAGGCAATGACACCACGACACTCGCCATTCTCCATGATGAGATCGGTGACAAAGTACTCGATAAAGAATTTAGTGTCGTGTTTGAGCGACTGTCCGTAGAGAGTGTGCAAGAGTGCGTGACCGGTACGATCGGCAGCAGCACAGCAACGTGTGGCCTGACCACCCTTGCCAAAGTTCTTGGACTGTCCACCAAACGCACGTTGGTAGATACGGCCATCATCCATACGCGAAAAGGGTACACCATACTGCTCGAGCTCGAGCACGGTGGGCACAGCCTCACGACACATATAGTGGATGGCGTCTTGATCGCCCAACCAATCACTGCCCTTGACAGTGTCGTATGCGTGCCATCTCCAATCGTCCACGTCGGCATTGGCCAACGCAGCGTTAATGCCACCTTGTGCGGCAACGGTATGTGAACGTGTGGGGAACAACTTGCTGATACAAGCTGTCTTGAGTCCCTTTTCTGTGAGACCGAGAGCTGCACGCAAACCAGCACCACCAGCACCAACAACGATGGCGTCATAAGTGTGATCGATGACTGGGTAGGCACGTGAAAACTGTCCTTGTGACTCTCCCTTTTCAAATCCAGTACGTGATTGATTTACCATCAATTGAGCACTGCTGTGGAATGATCTTACACCATTGCTCAATTTCAAGCTTGATTTTACAATATTCTTGCTAATTGATAACATCTCCTAGATATATTTATTTTCTTTGTTGTTCGTCGTAGTTGTCAATCGATCGATCTTATCTTCTCCTTTCTTATGTATTAAAAATAGATAGATAGATATATGATATGATGATGTATATTAAAACACAACAACAAACTATACAAATATAATAACAAAGTCTGCAGTGAGTTGCTGATGATCAACAAACATGTTGGCAAAAAATTCAAAAAAATTCATTTTAAATAATTTTCCTCACTACTCTTTCAAAGGTGAAGGATCTGATTCAAACCAAGTAACATTATTTATACATATATATATATATGTTAGTATTAGCAATCAAGTAATATTGTGTTTATATCAAAAGTAGAACCAATCCAAATTAAGATAGATTCAATAAGTTTATGTCAAGGTGACTGATTGGTTGGGTTATATATTTACATTGTTGTTGTTTATTGTTTATTGTTTATCTATTATTATTATTTAGACCGACTATTATTACCAATATCATCAGTAATAAAACAATGATCTGTTTGACGTTGTTGATGTTGTTGATCTAATATTAATTTTTCTTCCAAGATTACATTTGCAATAGCATAATCTTCATCATGTGAAATAGATAGATGAATGTTTGCAATATTCAATTGATTTGCCAATTCCATAGTACTATCTTGTAATTCAACTACTGGACTACCATCATCTCTAGAGGCAATCTTGATATTTGGAAAAGGTAGTCTTGATCGGTCGATACCTCTAAATGCTTTGTACACTGATTCTTTTGCTGCCCATCTACCGGCGAGATACTGTAATGCCTTTTCTTGATTGACAGTCTTTAGATGATAGAATCTATCAATCTCTTGTTGATGAAACGCTCGTCTTAGAAACCTTTCATTGTCAGAGTTTTTGCTAAACCTAGATATCTTTACTATATCATTTCCTATACCATAGATTTTATATAAAACTTTACTCATAGTCTCTTCTCTCTCTCTTTTTCTGTCTTTGTCTCTGTCTTTCTATCACAACCCGTCGTTTAAAGATTATAAAAGTACAAATAATAATAATAAATTAAATTTATTCATCTGACTTTTCTTTTGTTTCGAAGATTCTTTTAATTATGTGTATTTTTTAAAAACAGCCATTACATTAGTGTTATCTATCTCTCTCTCTTTACACCTATCTATTTATTATAAATTATATTACATAGTATTATATTACTCTACTATACACTTTATTGTATTTGAACAAACAAGAGTCATTATAATTCATTACAAATCGCGACTAGATAGATCGTCAGCAACACATAAATAGATAGAGAGAGAAATGGGAGACGTTTGGTTATTAGAATATGATAATGCTCAAAAGTTGCTTAATCAAGTTGCAACAGATGTCAAGAATTATGAAGTACAGATGCGATCTAATCCCTCGATGGCAACAAAGAACAATGCTACTGGGATTAGAAGAGGTCTCGTCAATGTAACGACAGAGCTCTCTAGATTAATGGATACACTTACATATGGAAATCTTAGAATCAATGAAAGAGAATTGATTCGAAGACGTCAATTGGTAGAATCACTAGTTACAGCTAAAAACAATCTATCTGCTGCCTTTGAAAGAGCTGTAAATAATACTTCGGCAAAGTAATTATCTTTCTAGAAATATTGAAAAAAAACTTACCGTAAACATATATATATATATATGTATATTAATATTAATATTCCGATTCTTCTAATATTAGAGACGAATTATTTGGAGGGGATAGTGGAAGAAGACAATGGGGAAAACCAAAAGAGACAGAGGTTACCAAAGAATGGAATAACCAACAAGTTTTTGACAGAAATAATCATATCATGAAGGAACAAGACGAATCTCTAGATGTTTTGTCTCAAAGTATCATGAGACAAAAGGTTATGGCTGAACATATGAATGCAGAAGTAGTAAGTATAGAATTATCAGTCACAACCCTAATTTAATTATACTAAGTGAAACTTACACTTTACTTTTCTATCTTTCTAGACATTACATAATGAACTTTTGGATGATGTTGAAATTGGAGTTGAAAGAGTTCATGGACGTTTGGTAAATACAAACGATAAGATGGAACATCTGACAAAAAATGCAGGAAGTACTTGCTTAATTGTAATTATAGTAGTTTTAATTTTGTTTATTGTTGCTTTATTGGCAACTGGTAAGTAATCAATACATATAGAATTTATAGTCATTGATATTAATCATTCATTCAATTATTTAGATTCTGGTTGTAAGATTTATAATGATCCAAATCATTGTCCATAAACAAACATTTTAGTAATAATACAACAACAACAAAACAAGCAATCATCAAGATTAAATTATTGGTTTAGTTTAATTTTTTTTTTTCTTATAGGGGAGGGATCAGTCATCAATCAAGTCAATCAAAGTCAAAGTTTACAATATATTAATAATAACATAACAACAACAACAATACTAAAAAGATATTGATTAGCTTTTTTTTTTAAAAATCTATATATTTGGTAAAATAAGGAGTAGCTAGGTTGAATATATTTATTTTTAAAACTATTAGGTTTAAACAAACAAAACAAACTTTTGTTGAACTATATATGTTATGAGATGATATATATTGGATTCTCTCTCTCTAGATTTAAGAAGAATAGAGAATAGAATCGAGTGATTGTACAATTTTAGTTAATCTATTTCTAGGTTGGTATCTATTATTATTATTATTATTATTATTATTGACGTAGTTGGTAGTATGGTTTGAAAGAGTTGATGTAATTTGTTGATGATCGACATTACCAATCATCGATACAAAACTATACTCAATATTACCAGTTGGATAGGTAGTTGGAACAAGTAATCTAACCTTGATCTTTTTCATTGCTTCCATATTTGACAAATGCAACTCTAGTCCAATATTACTCTTTCCACTAGCATTACTATAGTTGTTTGAATGATGTAAGAGTGGTTGTTGTTGTTGAAGGTTGAATGTTTTAATATTATATAGTCTCTCTAATTGTTCAATTTCACGACATAATCTTTGGATTCTTGTAATAGAGACTGATACAATTTCTAAAGTCTCTTTGATATACTTTAAAGATCCCTTTAATCTAGGTTCCAATACATTCTTTTCAATTGACAACTTTTCAACCAACTCTTGTTCCATCTTTGACACTGTCTGACTGTTAATGACAAATCTACAAGATACTATTGACAATTGATGTTGGTGTTGTTGTTTTGGTTGTAATTTAAATACAATATTGTATTTGTTTTCGTCACGGTGTTGAACATTGATGACAGAGTTGGAGATATGGATGATGGTCCAGTTGGCAAGAGATCCTTCCAACAGTCTGAGATACTGGTTACGTTGTTCCAACTGTAAGACTAGGTTGTGGTCAGTATCTTTTCCCTTGTCAACTAGTTTCTGACTCCATCTAGTTTGATTGGCTTCTAATTGCCTCTCAACGTCTTTAAGTTTGTGTCCGTCAGAGAGGAGTGACATTTCAACCTCTTTGAATGATTTGGCACGTGTGATTAGGGTCTCGAGATCGCTCGACAGACTATCACGAGATTCAGTCAATTCGCGACCAATCTTTCTCTCCAAGTCACGTCTCCATTGGATATACTGAAGTTGAGTGTTGAGCTTTGAATTGATCTTTATCTTTTTAAGTAAGTTTTGTTTGGCCAACAACCCATCTTTGGTAGCACGTTGGATAATGGCAAAGATAGATGGATTGGTCGTATTCATTTGCTCCTCTTTTTCACGGTTGGATTCGTTGGTTTGAGCCATCATCTTTTTCAACTCTTCATATCCTGCTTTCAACACATCAGACATTCTATGATAAATGTATGCATGTACTAATTGGTTCTTTAATGTGGTTGATTCATCGTCGACGACTGTTGCAGGAATGGTTTCAGTCATTGATTGGTCAACAGTAGTATTATTATTATTATTATTACTCAACAAACCACCAAGAGATGGACGTTTAGACTTGGTAGAGTAATCATCCATGAATCTACAGTTGGCAAGATAAAGGAACTCGTTAAATGTGATGGTATGAGCAATAGCTGGTGGCGAGTTGAATCCACCACCCCCTGACACACTCGATGCAGATGGAGCAATCGACGATGAATAGTTGTAATCTAGACGACCTGGCAATAAGTCCTCCAACATCATCGACTGTTTGTTGACACCATATGCAGTACTTTCAGCCATTGTACCCATCATAGGTCTACTAAATGACAACGAATCAAATGCCAATGAGTGATGATGATGACTATTATGATGATTATTATGATGATGTCCACTTTGTAAAGTTGATTGGTTGTATTGGTGGTGGTGGTGGTGTGGAGGATGATTCTCCATCAACAAGATTGGATCCATTAATCTAGTTGTGGTGGTGGTAGAAGCAGCGGTGGTGGTGGTAGTAACAGTGGTGGCAGATGGCTGGCTAGTAGTAGTCGTGGTCTTGGCAATAGGAACAACCTCTTCCTTTTCCCTTTCAATTTGAGATTTAGTTGGTAATATTCTACGGTCAGTTGTAATATTACTCTTGTTAAAGTTTAATTTACCAACAACAAAACTATTCTCTCCTTCTCCTTCGTATGCTGTAAATGATGGAGTGCAGGCATACTGCTTACTAAGTGGGATATCCACTTGAATAGTTTGGGTTCTTGTAACCATTGACTCTCCCAAATTACTTTGATACAATGATTTATCTTCTTCCAGTTGTTTGGGTTGGTTATCTTGTTCTTCTTCTTCATCTTCTTGGACTGTCATTGTCATATCAGCATCATCACTAATAATATTCTCATCGACGAGTGCCAATGAAGAAGGTTCCTCTTGAGATACACTAGACTCTACAATAGGAGTAGTAGACTGGTCAACTGATGGTTGTTGTTGTTGATGTTGTTTTTGATCATTACTAGCACTTAAAAAGGAATTTAAAAGGTTGGATTGGGTAATACTAATAGTTTCAGTCGAAGATGGGGACGATGATGTAGAGGTAGAGGTAGAGGTAGTTGAACAAATATTGGAAATATTGGAAGTTTCATCGCCATTGTCAAACAAGTGACCAGATAACAATCCCTTAAGATTATTAGTTACATTGTGGTCAACTTCAAATGCAAGTTGTGGTGTTGGTGGAGCTGATGGTTGTTGAGGTTGCTCCAACAATAATGATCTTCTTCTTTTAGCCATTTGAAGTATCTTTCCAAAGGATTGAGTTATAGTCATATCCTTTTCCAATTCTAAATGTAAACTTTCTTCAACAACAATTTCTGTTGGTGGTGTTGGTTGTAGAGTGTTAACTAGAGTAAGAGTAATTGGAGTAGTTGTTGATTCTTGTAATTGTAATTGTTGTTTACCAAGTTGAATAATATTTCCAAGTGATTGAGTAATTGTCATATCTTGTTCTTCTTGCTCCTCTTCCACTTCCTCTTGTTGGATACTAACATTATTGGAGTGTTGCTGTTGTTGTTGATGTTGAATAAAATTAAATGTTTCAGTTGTATTTTCATCTAAAAGATCTTTCATTGCTCCAGCAATACCATTGGTACCGTTTTGAAGATGGAATTGAATTGTATCATCTTGTTGTTGTTGTTGATTATTATTATTATTATTATTATTATTATCAATCTTTTCAATGATTGCTTTAAAGTTTCCAGTCATATCATCTTCATACATTTCAGTCAAAGTTGGAATTGGAGAGTTGGATCCATCATCTTCAAGGTTTGATGATTTTCTCAAAGTTGTTGGAGTCATTGGTTTGATAAATACTTGATTTAAATCTTCTTGATCAGCAAGTAATCCCAAAAGAGTTGGTTGCTTGGGTGTCATATCAACATCAACATCATCAACATCAACATTACGACTAATTGTTGTTGGAGATTGATTTAAGAATTGTTTCTTCTTTTTATGTGCTGGTGAATCAATGATTGAAGAATACCCAAATTTGGAAATATCAACTTCTTCTTCTTCTTCCTCTTCTGGTTCTTGTTCTTGTTGTTCTTCATCTTGTTGATCATCCATATTATAATCACTATCATCTAAAATATTTGATAATCCATTGGATGTCATTATTGGACTGTTGGTGTTGTTGATGGTGTTGAATTCACTCTCTTCAGTCAATGCAGATACTTCCATTGAACTAGCAGAAATATCCATCATACTACTATTATCTTGTAATCCATTGTTGTAAATAAATGGTTGTTGTTGTTGTTGTTGTTGGTCATTGTCTTCATCATCATCATACTCTTCATTTGGTATGGAACCACCTTTGAGAGGTTGAATTTCATCTTTTACAAATGGTACAAAGATACGACCAAAGGCACCGGTAAAGTCCATTGTAGGTTGCTCTTGTGAAGTGTCTCCAGCACTACTGGATGTCATTGATGAATCGGTACTATCATCTTCATCACCAAATGGAGAATTACGTGGTTTGGAAGAGGATGATGAGAATGGACCCTTTGATTTGACCGATGACGATGATGATGGTGCAGTAGCAGTGGTAGTAGTAGTAGAAGTAGAAGAAGTAGTGTTGTTGGCTGCGGGAGCAATCATTCCAGAGACACTAGTTCTCTTTCTCATTCCACTCTTTGGACCAGTCTTTTCAAAATATCTAACGGCTATAGTATTTGAAAAACTAACACGTCCCATACTAACTCTAGTATTCTTTCTTTTCCTTTTTTAATAAAATATCAATATTAATAATTAATTATATTATGTAATAAAAGAATATACGAGTATACATACTTGTTATCATTGCTATTATTATTATCTTTTTCTTTTGATTGTTTAATTAGATAATCTAAATTATCTGTTTTGTTTTCCTTATTTTCAGAAATATATTGTTGTTGTGGTTGTTTGGTTGATTTGGTTGTTGTTGTTGTTGTTGTTGAGACTCCAATAGGTGATGTTGAAGTATTTAAGCTATTATTATTTACAAAGACTGGTGGTTTGGTAGTGGTAGTAGTTGGTACTGCAAAGGCAGCAGTGGTGGTGGTGGTAGATGTATCCTTTGACTTTGGTGACTTTAAAGTCTTTAAAGGTGTCTTTTTAGAAGTACCCTTTGAAGGTGTGCCCGATGATGCTCTACTCTTTGTTGGAGTAGTCGATGATTTAATTGGTGTGGTAGTTGTGCTCATTCTATATCATTCTATCTTCCTTCTTGGTATAGTTAATATATGAATATATGTGTAAGTAAGATAAAGATAAGAGTGGGGAAATAAAAGTTCCAAAGAAACATGCCATATCTTAAACCAACGGATCATTTTTCAAATTTTTGGAGGTAAAAATTTAATTTGAATTTGAAAAAATTACAAAACTACCACTATTTTGGGAGTGGGTCATTTTTCTTCATTCATCTTTATCTGTATTATCTACTCCGTAGTCTAAGTTTATTAGGAATATGATGCGCATCATTATATTGATCAATTAACGAAACACGAAAACAACGCAACACACACACCTTAACACTCACGCATAAAGGAAAAGGATGAAAGAAGAATAATTATAACAAAGTTGGAATGATTATTTTCCAATAATTCAATCTACACAAAAGTGTTTGGAATTATATGACACACACCACACACACCTCTGGAAAATTAGTAAAAATTATCTCGGTGTATGACTTGTAAATCTGTGACGCTGGATATTATTTGCATTGTATCTCTATTGTCTGACAACTTAAAGCTTCCATAACTTTGCCAACCTAGTGTGAACACACTCCCTACACTTTAGAAGCAGAGAAATTGTTTACTCGGGTCATATGTGTGTGGATGTGGATGTGGCGGTGACAATGGTGCAACTCGACGGACCGTGTGTCTATTAATAAGCTTCAAATGTCAAACCTTGAAAATCATTAGTTATATATATTCACAACAACAACAACAACAAATAATAATAATAATAATAACAATCTAACCATCATCTATAAATTGATACCATTAAAATAGTAATAGTACTGTATTATCAACTTTTATAATATTATAAAAACAAAAAAACTTACTACTAGTATGTATATACATTAATATTATTGACCCATGTCTAAAAATTTTTAAATAATTAAATAATAATTAATATTAATAATAATATTAATATTCCCTTTCCTCTCCTTACTTTTCCACTTGTAGCTACAATACAAACAAACAAACAAACAAAAAAAAAAAAACAATACCAACATCAATCTAGTAAAATTATTTTTATTATTATTTAATATTATTGAAAAATGAGATTCTATTATTTAGTCATATTTTGTATGGCTGTAATGATTGGCACACTTGCCAATGCATCGGCTCAAATGAAGGGGTATGCCTTTTCTCCAATGGCTCGTCAAGCTCGTTGTCGTCTTAGTCACTACAATCGTTTTGACATTCCAGGCGGTGCTGGAATCAGTGATCCAATGTGTTACAATGCCTACAACTATGTCTACCACAAATACGGAGCCACGCCACAAGCTCATACCTACGCCATGGCCCAATTCACCCACTTTGACGAATATGACTTCACAATTCCCCATGGTTTGAACATCTACCAAACTGTTCCAACCAATCTCTGCGCTGCTGGACACGCCAATGCCTACAATGGTGGTGACTACACTGGTATGACCCTCCCAGGTTACTGGACTCTCAATGAAATCAAGGCTCCATCTGGATGTCAATCTCACAGTGTTCCATTCAGCTTTTGTTGTATGTATAAAATAATAATATTTTAATTGCACAACCAACATTTGTTCTAATATTTTCCTTTCTTTTCTTTTTTCCTATAGTGACTTCATCTCCAGAAGCCAATCCACAAAACAGAGAATTCAGTTTCTATGCCACAAAGCAAAACCACAATCTTGTCTCTCAAAAGATTGGATGGGAAGACACTGTCTACCTCCAAACCGTTCCATTGACCAGATGTCAAGTCAAGTCTGTTGACTGGTGTCCAAAGGGTTATGCCTACACTATTGACGTTAATATCCCAGCCCGTTTCGATACAAACGGTACTCTTGTAGTTAGCTTGGTCGACACTGTTAGTGGTGATTCTCTCTTGAACTGTGCTGATTATACCTTTATTCCACACGGTCACCTCTCTACTGGACAATCATCTGGTTCATCTGCTTCTGGTTCTTCAGGATCAGGCAGTGGATCATCTGGCTCTGGTTCATCCGGATCCGGTAGTGGATCATCTGGCTCTGGCTCAGGTTCATCAGGTTCAGGTTCAGGTTCATCTGGATCTGGCTCTGGATCATCCGGAACTGGCTCATCAGGTTCAGGTTCATCAGGTTCCGGTTCAGGTTCATCTGGATCCGGCTCAGGTTCATCCGGTTCAGGTTCATCCGGCTCAGGCTCCTCTGGATCAGGCTCATCATCTGCTTCTGGTTCATCCGGAACTGGTTCTTCAGGATCAGGCTCCTCTGGATCATCCGGTTCAGGTTCATCCGGATCAGGCTCCTCTGGATCAGGCTCTTCTGGATCAGGCTCCTCTGGATCGGGCTCATCATCTGCTTCTGGCTCATCTGGAACTGGTTCATCAGGATCAGGTTCATCATCTGCCTCTGGTTCATCAGGAACTGGCTCATCAGGTTCTGGTTCATCATCTGCCTCTGGTTCATCTGGAACTGGCTCATCAGGTTCTGGTTCATCATCTGCCTCTGGTTCATCAGGAACTGGCTCATCAGGTTCAGGTTCATCATCTGCCTCTGGTTCTTCAGGAACTGGCTCATCTACTGCCTCAGGAACCGGTTCATCTGGTTCTGGTTCATCCGGAACTGGTTCATCAGGATCAGGTTCATCATCTGCCTCTGGTTCTTCAGGAACTGGCTCATCAGGTTCAGGTTCATCATCTGCCTCTGGTTCATCCGGAACTGGCTCATCAGGTTCAGGTTCATCATCTGCCTCTGGTTCTTCAGGAACTGGCTCATCTGGTTCTGGTTCATCATCTGCCTCTGGTTCATCAGGAACTGGCTCATCAGGTTCAGGTTCATCATCTGCCTCTGGTTCATCAGGAACTGGCTCATCAGGTTCAGGTTCATCATCTTCTGGTTCTTCAGGAACTGGCTCATCAGGTTCAGGTTCATCATCTGCCTCTGGTTCATCCGGAACTGGCTCATCTGGTTCTGGTTCATCATCTGCATCTGGTTCATCAGGAACTGGCTCATCAGGTTCAGGTTCATCATCTGCATCTGGTTCTTCAGGAACTGGCTCATCTACTGCCTCAGGAACCGGTTCATCTGGTTCTGCCTCTGGAACTGCTTCATCAACTGGTACCGCCTCCGGCACTGCCTCATCCACTGGTACTGGTACTGCCTCTGGCACTGCCTCCTCAACCGGCACTGCCTCTGGCACTGCTTCATCCACTGGTACTGCCTCTGGTACTGCCTCATCCACCGGAACTGCCACCGGAACTGCCACCGGAACTGCCTCATCAACTGGCACTGCCACCGGAACTGCTTCATCCACCGGAACTGCTACTGGAACCGCCACTGGAACTGCCTCATCCACCGGAACAGCCTCCTCATCATCTGGAAGTGCTACTGGTACCGCCACTGGCACTGCCACCGGAACTGCCTCATCAACTGGTACTGCCACTGGCACTGCTTCGTCCACCGGAACTGCCACCGGAACTGCTACTGGAACCGCCACCGGAACTGCCTCATCAACTGGAACTGCCACCGGAACTGCTACTGGAACCGCCACCGGAACTGCCACCGGAACTGCTACTGGAACTGCCTCATCAACTGGCACTGCCACCGGAACTGCTACTGGAACTGCCTCATCAACTGGTACTGCCTCTGGAACAGCTTCATCTGGAGCTTCGACCACCGCCTCTACCTCTGCTAGCACAACTGCAAGCACAACTGCCACTACTACTGCCTCAACTACTGCTACTGGTACCGCCTCTACTACTGCCTCTACCACTGCATCCACAACTGCAAGCACCACTGCCACTACTACTGCCTCGACCACTGCTACCACTGCTGGTGCCACCACCACTGCCGGTGCTACTACCCGTCCATCAACCACTGCTGCCGCCACCACCACCGCCGGTGCTACTACCCGTCCATCCACCACCGGCCGTCCAACCAGTGCTGCCACCACATCTCCAGATCTCGCTTCATCCGAAACTCCACTTGAATCTGCAGATAACAGCAACAATAATAGCAGTGATGCCGCCACTTTGAAATCAATTACCTTTGGAACCTTTATGGTTTTATTGGTTGCTGTAATCCTTAATTAAATAGAATTATAATAGTATCATTATTATACCCCTCTCATCTTCATCTCGCACTCACAACCGCATCATTCATTCATTCACAAATAAATTCCTAATAGATAATTTTAAAATTATCTTTTTCCAAATTAAATAATTAATATTTTCCAGACCAAATGGAAATGACTTGTCTTTTTTGTATATGTTTTTTTGATTAAATACTTTATTTTAATATTTGGTTGGTAGTAGTGGTGGTGGTGTACATGAGTAGTGATGATATGTTGTTGTTTGTTATGTTTAGATTCTTCTTCTTCTTCTTATTTTATATAACAGAGTTTGTATTAAAAGCTTCGTACAATTTGCTGGCAATCTTTTGGTTGAGGACGGATTTATCAGAGGTAGTGATACGTTGAATGATGGGGTATAATTTGTATTCTTGGATCATCATCTTGGTGTTTGGATGATGTTCATAGAGTGAACTGAGTATCTTGAGCAGATTGAGACGGACGAGTGGATTAGTGTGCGAGAGACGGTCAAGCAACTTTTGGACAAACCCGCCAGTTCCCAGGGCAACATTGACCGACTTGGAGATGGACACAATTTTGAGGATGGGGTCGAGTACTCCGACAAACGACTGCGACTCGGCGCTTGCAAAGGCGGCAGTAAGCTTGCTGATGTTGTCCTTGGTCGACATGATAGCCTCGACACGGCTCGTCTCGTCGGCCATCCACACAGCCAATGAATCGAGTGCGTTGACTTGCCAGTAACGCTCCTGCAACAGGTTAATGTAAAACTCGACACCATTGTGGTTCCACAACTCGGCACGTGCCTTTTTCGAATGTGCAAGATCGCAGATAATGGGCAATGCAAATTGGTTGAGTGGTGAGTGCGTAGTGATAAAGAACAAAAGGTGAGGAATAATACCAGCGGCAGCAGCGAGGTACTGACGCTCGGCATCGATACGACACAAATGGAACATGGTGTTGATGACCTGGTTCTGTGTCTCGGCCGAATGATGGCGTGCCAAATATGGGATGAGTGCGCCGATTGTGCCGGCAGCTTGCAAACTCGCAAGCGTGTTGTGGTCCATCGAAAGCTGCTTGATGCTCTTGAGCACCTTGACCAGCTGGTCAGGTAACAACTTGTCGAGTGTGGCAAGTAATCCCTCGATCACCTCTACGCACGACATGGCACGACGCACCACGCTGTCGGCCGAAGAGAACAATATCAAAAGGTTGATGATCTTGTCGGGGTAGTTGTTGGTGCTGTTGATGCTGTTGTGTTGGCTGTTGTGTTGACTACCGCTGTTTTGGTTGATACTGTCGCTGCCCGAAGGTGGGTTGATCAACACCTCACCGAGGACGACTGGCAGCTGACGCATAAGTCCCACCTTGGAGAACAGTCTGCAAAAATCGTTTTTGGGTGTTGGCGACTGCAACTCAAATACATTTACAATGGCGTCGAGTGCAAGACACACCAAACGCTTGCTCTGTTGGTATGGTGTGGCAAGGAAATCGACGAGGATGGGCAAACCCTTGCAAGCAATAAACATCTGCAACGTCAACGTAGATGTACTACACATCTTGCTGACAAAGCTGGCTGTCTCTAGACGAATGTTGGCATCGTATTCACGGCCTGCAAACTTCATAATCGATGGAATGCCACCGACAAGACACAAGTTTTCTTGAATCTCCATATTATTATCGATAATTTGATTGACCACCTTTAAAATCGAACACAATACATGTGAATTTGAAACTTCCAACATTTCCATAATTGGAATGACACCATGTCTTCTAATTAAATGACTCTTTTGATCTGGATTCTCTTTAAAAATGGTAATCTAAAAAAGAAATTAAAAAATAAATAAAAGAAAATTAATTGAAATTATAATATATGCTAGTTTGTTTGAATATTTCACATACCAATTGATCACAAGCACTTGAAATAACTTGTTCTGATTGATCTATTTGTAATTGACTCATAAGTTTAAGAATCTCTTCAGACATTCTAGCATAATTATCTTTCATTAAATTCTTGTCTAAATCAAAATCTTCATCAAAATCATCAAATGCTTCATTGAATGGATCGTCATCTTCATCATCACCTCCTGTATCCTATAGAAAATATAGAAATATTAATTAATGTTACTGTAGAGTTGATGATTTAAATGATTATAATAATAATTGTACATACTGATAATAAATTTAATTTACTCTTTAACTTGGCACCTAAATCTGGTTTATGAACTGTACCTTTTCTCATTACACTTGTAAAATTGACGGTTGCAACATCACCCCAATCTTCATCATTTTCTCCCCATTGATCAATACTTTTCTTTCCTCCAACTTCTCCTCCAGATTGATTATTATTATTATTCTTTGGTTGTTGGGTTTGTGGAATTTGTAAATTATTATTATTGTTATTTTGTGATTTTGATGCTGGTGAAGTTGGTAATTGTTTTGATGGGAACTAAAAATAAATAAAAATAAGGTTGGTTAGTATTATTACAAATTTAAAATACAATTAATTATTATCTTACTTTGATTGCAGTTGGGAATTCAACATCACCAAAACCATCATCATCTTCTGCGTCTTCATTGAATTTACCCAATGCTTTACTTAGATCTTGTGTCTTGATTGAACCAACATCAAAATCATCCCAATCAACCTCGTCATTGTCTGGACGAGCGGCAAGTTTGAGAGGTGGTGGTGAAGCAGCTCTCTTTTTAAGTTGTAATTGTGGTGGTGGTGAAATGGGTGCCTTTTTGGCTGCTGGATTCTTGTGTGATGCTTGTGGAGATTTCTTTTGGTCTGGTAACTTTATAGACTTTGGTGTTGAACTGAAATCATCTCCCCATTCATCATCCTCTTCCTCTGGTGGAGGTAGATTTAATTTTTGTTTGGGTGACTTTGGATGAAGTGAAGGCTTTCTTTGATGACCTCCAATCTTTTTCTTATTGATTCTTTCATTGTAATCTTGGATATTCTTTGCAAGATCCTCTATATTGGATGGTTCCTCTACAATGGCTTGTTTCTTTTGTGCCAATGCAATCCATTTATGTTTAAGTAACTTTTGTGCTGAAATACGTAAATTTGGATCCTTTTGGAAACATTGCATTAACCAATCTTTTAATGCCTAAAAAACAAAATCAATAGAAGTAATAGAAATAATAAAAAGATTAGCAATTAATCAAATGGAGTATTAAATTGTGATTACAAACAGGTGAAATACCCTCTGGTAAAGTTGGGCAATCATCTTGAACGATTCTAAAAAGTGCAGGCATTGGACCTAGATCGTAATAGGGTGGTTGACCTGTCAACAATTCAATGACTGTACAACCAACACTCCAAATATCACTCTTTGTTGTACATCCATTGAGTTCAATGATTTCAGGTGCCATCCAATATGGTGTACCAACTACACTTGCAGCTTGTAAATCATCAAATTTAGTTGCAACACCAAAATCTATAAAGTATATCAATCAAAATGGTTGTTGTTAGATTTGATCTTCTCATTTTCATTTCTTTTGTGCTCAAACATACCAGCTAATTTAATCTTTCCTTCTTTTGTTGTTAGAATATTTGCACCTTTAATATCACGATGAACGACACCCTGTTCGTGAAGATATACCAAACCTTCGAGTACTTGACGAATGTAGACTGATACCAAAGTCTCTGGGAACTTTCCAAACTTTTTAATGATCGATGACAATGAACCATTTTCGACATACTCTAGTACAATGTACAAACACTCCTTTGTCTTTACGTATCGAATGTATTTTACAATGTTTGCGTGATTCAAATTCTTTAACAAATCGATTTCATTCATGATACCTTGCAACTGATCCTTTGGAATCTTTGTCAAATTGATTTGTTTAACGGCAACGAAATCACCATTCTCTACATCTAATCCTTGAAATACTGTACCAAATCCACCTTTCCCAATAACTGCACCCAAGTTCTAGAAATTCATAAACAATATTAATTGGCGACCAAAAGCGTTTTCTCTCCTTGACATTCTAATACATACATAACCTCCAACAGTCTTTCTCTCCATTGGTGGTTCATCTCTATCTCTCTTTTCTTTTGAAGCCATGATTGACTGATTGATACGATAGTAGTAGTAGCAACAGCAGATGAGATATCAACCTAGTTATCAATCTCTATACTTATACTCTCTTCTCTATCTATCTATCTCTATATATATATATTACAAACTGATGATACAATAAACACTCTTCTCTCTCTCTCTTTTATATCTTGAATTTGACACACTCAAAGATGAGTAGTCAATGTGTTATATAAATAAACTAAACTAACTATAACAATCTCTCCTGTTTGAAATAAACTATCATAGTTTTGAGGCACAAACCCCTCAATTTTTAAAAATTTTTATGAACCTTTTCAACGGTTGCAAATCCTCGATTGAGGTACATGAAAATACCTTGATGTATTTCAGTATCATTCATTGAATTATTTTTAAGAAGAAGAGAACAATAAGAAGAAGATTGACCTTGATAGTAAATTCTAAACATAATATTATTAATATTTTAAAGACTTCCTTCCACCACCTTAATATTTAATAATCAAACTACCATCCACCCAATCAGCTGCTGATTGATAGATAGATAGATAGATCAGATATTACCTTCTTTGTTGTTGTTGTTGGTTAGTACAATACAATTGAATCACAAAAACAAAGGATCAATCAATTCAATTCATCCCATGTTCCAACTCGATAGCTAGCTAGCTAGCTGGCTATTCACATTGATTTGATTGGAAAGACATATTGAATTGAGATGACCAATTCTAAATACCTCTTTCCATCTTTGGATAAAAATCTATCATTTATATATAACATTTCATTTTCCCCAGGTATGGGAACGGGACATGCACAGACAGACAGCTGGTCATCGTCGGGGATGGCACATTAATTAATTTTTTAAAGTATCGTTTCAAGCATCAAAAAAAAAAATCGGTATTCACTCGGGGTTCTCATGGTGATTATTCATCTTTAAAACTCATATCTTTTATTCAAATATCTATATCTATCTCACCTCGACCCCACTCACTACCAAACCAACAAAAAGAAAGGAATCAATCATCGACCAGTTATAATTCCGTTGAAGTTATTTCCCACACTTTACCATCCAAACCACCACATCCACAAATCAATCAGTTTTTGTGTGTCCCCCCCTCCCCAAACAAACACATACACACAACACAAACGGTTTAGCTTCTTAGCAACAACTCATCATCATCATCATCAACAATCAAATATTTCAATTTGAACTGAACCTCCTACCTCATCATCATCATCATCATCATCATCCTTCCTTTTATTTATTTATTTATTTATATATAATTACAATTACAACTACTATAACTATACTTGATCAAGAAACAAGATAGAGAGTAAAGAGAGAGAGAGAAAGAATGGATTCATATGATACAGAATCAAATAAAAGTATAAATAGATCACACCACGATGAAGAAAGAACATCTCTGATCAATGGTGGTGTCGACCCAGAGAAGAACAAACCATTTAGAGATAGAAATTTATACAATATCATTATACTCGGCTTATCTTTTTGTGTAGTATTCACAGCCTTTTCACCGACACAAGTATGTCTCTATAATCCTACTACTACTACTATCCAAATCATATGACACCAACACTAAAATTTGTGTAATTTTTCTCTCTCTTTAGAACTTGGAAACCACATTAAACGCAGATGTTGGTTTTATTTCCTTGGCATTACTTTATGCTAGTCTTTCGTTATCCAACTTTGTATCACCAATCATTGTAACCAAACTAGGTGAGAAATGGGCATTGATTGCTGGCATGCTCACCTATGCCACTTATATCGCTGCCAATATTGCTGTCACTCCATTAACACTCTATCTTGCTTCGGCATTCCTTGGGTTTGGTGGTGCTATTCTTTGGACTGCTGAAAGTGCATTCGTCATTAGATGTTCAACTGAAGCTACTTTTGGTTTACATACTGGTCTTGTATGTATATAATATAATATCCATTCACATCTTACATTTAATATTAATATTAATATTAATATTTTAACTCTTCTACTTTTTTTAGTTCTTTGCATTATTCCAATCTAATCAAATTATTGGTAACTTGGGTATGAGTGGACTTTTAAATTCTGGTGCATCCGATAGAACCTTATTTATTATTCTCACAATTGTTTGTGGTTCATCTATATTATTTTTCCTTGCTATTGGGTATGTATTCAATCAATATTCAATTTATATGATGGAGCCGAATTAATTTAAATTTAATATTCTATTTGTTTCTATCTAGAAACCCATCAAATGAAAGTGAAAAAGAAAAAGAAGAAAAGAAGGAACCAGTACCATTTATGCAAAATCTATTGGCAACAGTTTCAATCTTGAAAGAGTTGCCTATTCAATTGTTGATTATTGCCTTGTTGTACAGTGGTATCAGTCAATCCTATTTCTTTGGTGTCTTCCCACAACTGTTGGGCAAAGAATGGTTAGGTTACATTATGGCAGTGTTTGGAGTGTTTGATGCTGGAGGTTCGGTCGTTTTCGGTCGTTTGTCTGACAAGGTCGGTAGAAAGCCAATCATTATATTTGCTAGTATTTGTACTATTGGTGGCTCCATCTTTGCCTATTTAATCGAACATAATATCAGTGGTAACAAGGTACCATACTATTTTATCTGTGCTGGTTTACTCGGCCTGTCCGATGCAGGTTACAACACCCAACTCTACGCTCTTCTCGGTGAGATCTATCCTTCAGGTAGCAAGACCACCGCTGCAGCTGCCGCCTTCAAGTTTGTCCAATCTATCGCGTCGGCAGTTGCCTTTTTCTATGGCAAGTATGCCGTCCTCTACGAACACACCCTTATCATCAATTCACTCGTCATTCCATCCTGTATTCTTTTCATCATCGTCGAATACAAGTTTGGTAATAAGAACAAATCTAAAATTGATCAAATTGAATAATAATAATAATAAGTAATAGTAATAATAAATAAATATATTATAATGTACTTTTATGGAGATGGTTGAGGGGTAGGGTTATAACCTATTGGGTGTCTGTGTGTCAGTCGAAAGTTTTAAATTAAATTAATTTTATGGTTATTTATTACTTTTTTTGATCATCACCTCACTCCAAACCCACCAACCTTTTTAATTTATTTATTTATTCTGCAAGTAGTGAGAAATAGTTTGTTTGTTTGTTTGTTAATAAATAATACATTTATATATATAGAGACTAGATGACTGAACAAGTTATTATTGAAAAGTCACCAAATGATGACAGAGAGTACAAGTATCTAACTCTTGACAATATGATCAAAGTTGTTTTGGTATCTGATCCACAGACTGACAAGTCGGGTGCAGCATTATCGGTCAATGTCGGATCGTTGAGCAACCCTCCCGATGCACTCGGTCTCGCTCACTTCTTGGAACACATGCTCTTCCTTGGAACTGAAAAGTATCCAAATGAAAAGGAGTTTATTGAATTTATTCAAAATAATAATGGTCTTTATAATGGTTCTACTTCTTGTATGTAGTTGGAAAAAGGAAAAGGGGATGATATTGAACTAGATAACAAACAAACAAACTATTAATTAATTCTATTTATATTTTAGTATCAGAAACATCATACCATTTCAAGATTAATTATCAATTTCTTGAACCTGCTTTGGACCGATTCTCATCATTTTTTGTCAATCCTTTGTTTAATGAGAGCGCAACGTTGCGTGAAGTGAATGCCGTCGACAGTGAACACAAGAACAATGTATTGAATGACTGGAGAAGAAGAATTCATATTATCAATTCGCAGTTTGACCATCCACTCGCACAATTTGCAACGGGGTCACTCGAGACACTCAAACCATCAAAAGAACTGCGTGAAAGTGTTATTGCATTCTACGATAAATACTATAGTGCCAATCAAATGAGTCTGTGTATCATTGGACGTGAGTCAATTGACGAGTTGGAGCAATTGGCAGTCAAATACTTTGCATCAATCAAAAACAAGAATATTGAATACCCACGGTTCCCCGCCCTATCACTTCCACAGGGTGGCACTCGTATCGACATGGTTCCAGCTTCAAACTCTGATTCAATCACCTTTGCATGGCCAATGACCAATCCCAAGATGACTCACTCACACCGTTACAAAAATGATATGATTGGCATGATCTCTCATTTCCTCGGACACGAGTCTCGTGGATCACTCTTTTCAGTACTCAAGGCTGAAGATCTCGCATACTCTCTCGTGTCGGGACCACTTCCACTCCAAGAAACAGTCGAGTACTTTTACGTATGGATGAATCTCACTGAAAAGGGTCTAAAAAACATCGACACCATCATTGCCTATCTCTATCAAGCTATCGCTCAAATCGACACTATTCCACAATACCTCTTTAATGAAGTTAAAACTCATGCCAACATCCTCTGGGAAAATCTTGATAAAGCACCTCCAATGGAATATTCTAAATATATTACAAGTAATTTATGTGTATGTACAAAATATATATATACATTTATATATATCTAATAATATATTCTAATTATTTTTAATTTATTTATTTCTATAGAAATTAATTGAACCAAAATACTTATTGAAATATCCATATTTATCTGATCATTTGGATACAGCTGCCATTTCAGAATTTAAATCAATGTTTACATATCAAAATATGGTGTATGTTAATTAGTATTATTTTTTTTTTTTTTAGATTATTATATTTATATTTAATATTTCTATTTATTTAGAGTTTTATCAGAATCAAAATCATATCAAGGTAAAACAGTTTTAATTGATAAATATTATGGAGTTGAATTTAGTAAGACCAAAGTTACAGAGGATGACGTTGCAAGATGGAAATCAGTTCCAAAACACAAGGATATCTACATGCCAAAGGAAAATCCATTCCTTCCAACTGATTTTGCCATTAGAAATGAACAATCACAGGTAGTTCCCGACCCAGAGATTATCCATAACGAGGAAGGAATTGAACTTCACTTTGCTCCAGATCATCAATTCAACTCACCAAAGGCATTCATTAAAATCAGCTACAAGAATCCATATGAAGGTACTTGTAATTTCAACGTAATGAATTATCTCCTAAAGAAATCACTCAAAGAGGTTTTAAATGAAGATATTCTATACTATTCTCAACTAGCTGGTATTTCCTCAAAATTTTTAATTACTACTGAAGGAATTAGTGTATGTATAAAAAAAAAAAGAAAAAGAAAAAGATTACTAATTTGATTTTGTATGATTTCTCTTCTTCCTCTTCTTTTAGCATTCATTTTCAGGATTTAGTGATACATTGATTAAAGTAGTAGTTGAAATTTTAAAGAAAATGTCAGAGTTTGATATTAGTGATGCATCGTTTGAAAGAATTCAAGAATTGGTTGCTATCAAGTATAGCAACCAACCATTACAACAACCAACCCAAGTGGCACAGAGAGAGTTGAGTTTATGTACTCTGAATATCTCACACAGCGTTGAAAACAAGTTGGCAATGGTAGAGACAATCACCAAGGATGATTTTGTTAGATTTGTTAGAAATGTATTTTGCAAGTCACATTTCAAGGTGTTGATGGTTGGAAACTACACCAAAGAGGAGGCACTTGTCTTGCCAAACAGAATCAAGAAAGAGATAAAGAGATCTCCAGTTCCAGCATCAGACATCTTTTATCCACGTCGTGCCAATCTTGGCAAGGGTTCTGAATACCACTGTCGCAACACATTTGTCGATCCTCAACAACCCAACAGCGTTGCATTGGTCAGCTTTACCGTTGGACCCGTGACATTGCTCAATACCGCCATCGAGATGTTTATGGCACCATCTCTCCATCAATCGGTGTTTAGTGAGTTGCGTACCGCACAGCAACTGGGATACATTGTCTATATGAGAGTTAGTCGTGACACTAATGTATCGGGACTCCAGTGCGTTGTGCAGTCTGATAAAAAGGATGCTCTCTATCTCCACAATGCCATTGTCAACTATCTACCAGTGTACTACAAACAAGTTCTCGAACCAATGTCTGACGACCTATTCCAAAACTATATCCAAACTGCTAAAAACTCAATCCTTGAAAAGAGAACCAATATGAAACAACAAACAGATGTCTATTGGAGTTTATTCAAAAATGGAAATTATAATCTAGGTATGTCATATTTATAACCATATTTTAACATGTAGTCATCATCATCATTCATTCTAATCTCTTTTTCAAATTATTATATTTATAGATAATGAGATTGTTGAACAACTATCAAAACTTACATTGGAAGAAGCCAAGAAATACTTTAGAGATTATGTTTTGGATGTCAACAATAGACAATTATTCTCTGTCCAAATGTTTAGTGGCAAATATCCAGTGCCAACAGACACCAACATTGTCAATGACAGTAACAATGGTAATGTTAAATTAACACCAAACTATGTTGAATTTAGAAGTCTTGTTGGAACCTATCCTTGCGCTCTACCAAAAAAAAATAATTAATCTATTAAATATAATTAATAAATATATCCCTACGTACATTGATTAAAAAAAGGTAACCAAAGGTCAACATCTCCATCCAGTCTATGGTATCATAATGAGGATCAGCCCAATAAACAATGGTTGACTCGGGTAAGATACCATAGACTGAATGGTCGATTGTTTCCATCTTTTTAGATTCAATGACGGATCTTGGACTAAAGATAGTCTTTGAAAGAACTTTCAAATCGTGTACTGTGTGATACCTGTACTACCGGCAATATTTTTAGGTAGGTAAATGATTGATCTAGATATATTGATAACAGGTTCTCTATAATCATTGAACTCAGTAAAGTGATCTATCTTTGATAAAGTGGGTATAGAAGAATTAATAGTAGGTATTATACTTTAGATGATCATCTTCAACGATCTACTCCATATGGAATTTCTGTTTGTTCAAGGACATCCAAAAATCATACAGTATTAGCATACATGTAATATAGATCGATAAAGAATATATTGTTGCTTTTTGATTCCGTGCAAGTCAAACATCAGGTACATACCTTATTCTTGCGTTCACTCGTTGTGATTTGTTTTAATAGTTACCTGACAACCTATTAAATGATAATAAACCACTTTCAATTGGAGAATAATAAGGAAGAAGGTGAAAAGATCGCTAATAGAAATATCTTTCAACATATTGCTATCAAACTGATTACAACTGAAATCAAATATGATACATTCGAACTTAAATCTTGATGTCTATTTACTCAGCACAGAGTAACCAACGTTGTGATGTAGTTGAATATTGATTGTACTTGTAACTTGTTGCTGACTTTTTTGATGTAAACTTGTTGTCGTGTACTATCCTGTTCTTGTCAATTGTGATTGAAACACAAATAAATAGAATAAAGAGATGGTTGTGATTGCAGTTTGCACGCTATTTTCGAAAATGAATTATACAAATTTATTATTAATTAGGTTCAAATCGCATTAAACATAATAACGAATCAACCATTCACAAATAGCAGCTGGCTTTTGACTGTCCTCTACTTCGAATGTTAATTTGATGACAGCTTGAGCACCACCAGTGACCTCTTGGAGATCTTGAAGAGTGAATTTACATCTAACCTTGGCACCGATTGGAACTGGTGAAAGGAATCTAACCTTGTTGAATCCCATGTTTACTCCATATTTGACACCTTCAACATTTGGCATAATCTCTTCAGCAAACATTGGTGCCAATGATAATGTTAAAAATCCATGTGCAATTGGACTATAAATGGAAATGGAAATGTTAATTATATTATTATTATTATTATTGTCATCATGACATGTCTATAAACTTACCCTCCAAATGGAGATTCTTCTTTGGCTCTTTCTGGGTCAACATGAATCCATTGGAAATCACCTAAAATACAATAATAATAATAATAATAATCAATGAATATTCATTCCAAAAATAAAATAAAAGCTAAGTTTAACCAAACATACCAGTGGCAGCAGCAAAATCATTGACTCTGTCTTGAGTAATCTTCAAGTAATCACTAATACCAATATCCTTTCCAATAAGAGTCTTTAATTCCTCTAAACCTTTGAGTGTCTTGGTGTTGAGTGCATTTCTTTGTGTTTGTGCTCTAATCGCTAATTCTGGGAGTGATGTAGCTGATGTTGGGCATGCTTCTAATTCACTATTGGCAGCTGTTTAATTCAATGTAGATAGGTAGAGATAGAAGAGTTGATTTGATTAGTTAATTGACCAATGATCATTCTCATTTACTCTCTTTTTGTCTCTCTCTCACTCTCTCTTTTTACATACTGAGGTGACTAGAGATAGCTTGAATTCTTCTTAATTGTTGTTGATCCATTTGTATAGGAGCGTTAAGAGTTTTGTAAACAGATTAATAAACAACATTCTTTACTCTTTTGGTCATAGTGCCATAGAAAATTGAATTAATTTTAATTTTTTTGAATTTCTTTTTGGTGATCTCCTTTGGTGCATTCGGTTTGTCATTTTTGAATACAGATAGAGACATAGAATCAGATATTGTTAATAGATCATAAAATGGCTACCATCTTTCAAAGATTTGTTGCCCCATACATTCCAAAGTCACTAAAGTCTGGTAGATTCGTTGTTGGTGAAAACGGTTTCTTTGACGCTCAAACTTTCCGTTATCCAGCTCCAGGGTAGGTCAAAGATATAGATAGTTAGATAGATTGATAGATAGATAGTTAGATATATAAGGACAGTAGCAACATGATCATTCATCAAGTACAACTATAACTACTCTGTACAAGCAAAGTAGAAACAAGATAGTAGAAACAGACAGGACAGTTGTACAAAGATGAGATGATATGTATCATCATGTTGTTGTTGTTTTCGAAAAGAAGAAAGAAGATATATATATATATACATATGTAGATACTAACGAATGACAATATATGTTTCATATGAATGTATAGTTCACAAACACCACCAGATGTTTCAAACAAGGTTTTTATCAAGTCTAGACCATTGGCAAAGATTTACAAATACTTGAAAAAGAGAGGAGAAGTTCAATACATGCGTCCAAGTCCACTCTTTTGGGACACTGAAGCAGAGGAAGCTGGTCATCAAAAGGCAAAGGAATACTATGAAAAGGAACCATACCAAGTCACTCAACCACGTATTGCCAACCCAAAGGAATACGTTCGTCAATTAAACGCCACCGAAGGTTTCGATCTTCGTAACCTCAACAACTACAAGAAACACAAGTCTCAATTGGAAGATGCTTGTCTCCCAAAGGACAGATACTTGTTTAGATACGAAGAATACCATGTCGATACTGGTGACCATATTCCAAAGAAGGTTGATAATTTGTATTAATCTAATCAACAAATATATCTTATATTTATCATCCATCATCATCATCAATATCCAACAATCGAATAATAATAATAACAAATAGGAATTGGTTTTAAACCTATCACCAATTCAAACAAACTTGTAAATCAAATCATCAACCATATGACAACATCAACAACATTACAAGACTAGCTAGTTATAAGTTAACTTTTAAAATCATCAATTTTAATAATAATAAAAGTTATCAACCATCATCATCATGTATGTTGTTTAAATTAAACTAATTATCTAATCAAATCATTTCCTATCGAATGTGACTGAAACAAAAGATGGAGGAGTTTCCTGAAAAACAAAGGAATTCCTTATGACCCTCACTATTTATTTTGTATTATTATTGTCAATGTCTTTCTCTCTTGATCTTCAAAAACAAAAATAACACTCTTTGTTATAATATATTATTTATTTCTAAATGTAGAGATAAATTATAATTATAATTATTTCTTTCCCTATTATCCTCTTTATCAAAGAAAGTTGAATTTTTTTAATTTAATTTAAATTGGTCGAGTTCCGCAAAGATAAACTACACAATTCATTTAACCCTAACCCTATTATAGAATAGTTTTATTATTATTTATACTATACTATACTATAAGACACTATAAACATCTGTATTTATATAAAGAATAGCAGTAGTAGTAGTAGTATTGCAATACAGATAGGAAAACAACAATTGTGTTGTTAAAAGTAGAAGAGGAAAGAAGAAAGAGAAAGGTGAAAAAGAATGGAACAACCAATATATTTAGCAAGCAGTATTGAAAAGCTTGTGTCAGAGCATGTACAGAATGTAGAAGTTGATAAAGCATACAAATTCTTTCATTATCTGCAGACTCTAAACAATCTGACTCGAATATCATCTACCTACAAGTCCGAAGGTGATATGGAGAAGGCTTATGTTTACTTGTTAAGATTTTGTGTGTATGTATAAATATTGGACAAAGAGAGAGAGAGTCAATTTGTACGGGCACGGCCATACTAAACAATTACATTTTCAACAATAATAGATTAACATTGGAGAAATTACCTAAACATCCTGAATATAATGACCCAAAGTTTATGAAATCTCGGGATGCTTTGAAAAGAGAGGCTGCTTCAAAGATTGATGAATTGGAGAATATGAAAGAGAGACTTGTTCAAAGATACATACAGACAAGTGATGAAAGGGTGGCAAAGGAGATGCAAAGAAAACAAAAGGAAAGAGAGGACCAAGAAAGAAAAGCCAAACTACTTGAAGATAAGAAAGAGCACGATAGAGCTGTTCAACAGGAAAAGCAAGATGAATTGGATCAAAGACGTTTGGAACGTGAACGAAAGAAATTAGAGGATGACAACCTCGAAGAAAGAGAATTCATTATGAAAAAGATGGACATTGAAAAGAAAATGAGACAATCTAGATTCGAACAACAAGCTGCTCTCTTGAGACAAGAAGCTAAAATGGAAGAAAAAAGAGCAAGAGAATTGGAACAACTAGAACAACAACAAGAGCAACAAAAACAGCAACAACAAGCTGCTTTGGTTCAAAATGAAAATGACAATTCATTTGTTTATTCTAGTAGTAATGTAACTGTTGAAAATGTTGATGCTGCTACACAACCAGTAATATCATTAAATAATGATGATTTCTCATTTTTGGAATCAAAGTCAAACAAGACATACGACACTACTTCACAACCACAAGATTCCTCATCATTTTTGGTCGATCCCTCATTTGCACCACCTCCATTACCCGCACCATCAGCTCCACATGTATCCACACCACCAGTATATTCTCCAACAAATACAGTAGCAGTCTCAACACCCAAACAACAAGAAGAGATTAGAATTGATCCAAATCATAAATTTGGATATCCCTCAATTGATAATATAACTATTTCCGAAATACCAAAACAACAACCTCCACCACCACAATATCATCAACAACAACAACAACCTCAATATAATAACCATGTAAACAATAGCAATAATAATAATAATGTATATTCAAATCAACAACAACAACAACAACCTCCACCACAATATTACCCAATACAACAAAACGTTCATTATCAAGTTCCAAATTATGCAACAAAATCACCACAATACAATATTAATAATAATAATAGATTACCGGCTACAATCATGTCACCACCAGTACTTGCTAATGGAATATATACTGCTCCACCTTCTGGAAAAGGACAACAATCATTTTTATCAGTGGCACAACAAAACCAAGTACAAAATGCTGCCAATCGTGCAACAAACTCGGCAACAGCCACCCTACCTTCTACTACTACAACGACAAATCAAAATCAACTTGCATCACCAGCAACAACTGCGGTTGCCAAGTTAAAGACCAATTTAGATTCTCCAGAAGCATCTAAAAAGTATAGTAAACTTAGACGAATCGTTATTTGTGGTGAAATATTTGGTGATTTTATGAAAATGGCTGATAACAATACAAGAAGACATATTGAAACTTGTGGTATTTTATCTGGTACATTGGTATGTAAATTATATTATATAGTGTGATAATTTAAATCACTAGAGATGTCTAATATATTTGTTTATTTAGAGTAATGAAGTATTCAGTGTAACAACATTAATTATTCCAAAACAAGAAGGTACCACTGATACATGTAATACTATTGAAGAACAAGAATTATTCGAGTATCAATTGGAAAATGATTTATTAACACTAGGATGGATTCATACTCATCCAACTCAAGACTGTTTCTTATCGGCTGTTGATGTTCACACTCATTGTTCCTATCAATTTTTATTACAAGAAGCCATTGCTGTTGTTATTAGTCCAATGGCAAATCCAAAGTATGTTTGTGTAAAAGGAATCAAAAAAAATATTTTAAATATTAACAATCATTTTTCTTTTTTCAAAGCTTTGGAATTTTTAGATTGACTGATCCACCTGGTATGGATACAGTAAAGAAATGTAAATTAAAATCCTTTCACCCACATCCACCCGTTGGAGGTGTTCCAATCTATACAAAGGTTGACCACGTCGATATTGTTTGGGGTAAAAAGAATTGCAAGGTTGTAGATTTTAGAAACACTAAATTAGCACCACCGAAATAAGATATATGGGAAAAAGTAAAACAATTCCTCTCCTCCTCTTTCTCAAAAAATAAATTTAAAACACACAATTCCCTTTTCTTTTTTTTTCCATCATTTGTTGGATGTATATTTTTTTCAAAAGTATTAATTAATTATCATGTGTTAATAAGGTTAATTTTATTTTAGTTATTACTTTTAGTAGGATTGGAAATAATTATCTCAAAGAGTTGTTATAAAAAAGACCAAACTTTTTGTGTTGTCCCAAAGTTGCCGCATTGTTGTTGTTGTTCATTATTGATTATTGATTAATAGATTATTTTGATTAAATTGATTATTGAGTAGGGGGTGGAGGAGATTGAGGAGTTTCCATATCAAGAATCTTTTGTTTATAGTTTTTGATTTTGAGTTTCTTTGGGTCCACTTCCATACGTTCAGCCAAGTATCTTGCCACGGTTTCATTTCCATAGTGACAAGCTAGTGATAGAGGTGTACGTCCTTTGTTATTCTTTTCAGTGAGTGATGCGTTGTATTTGAGGAGTAACTCTAGAACCTGGAAGTGGTTCCAAAAGACTGCCAAATGGAGGGGTGTGCTACCATTGACATTCTTTTGGTTAATGTCTATTTGACTCTTGAGCAAGAGTTCAATAATCTCGAGACGTGGCTCTTCGGTCGAGATGAGGATGTGGATGGGAGCGTAACCCTTGATTTCAGAGTTTGTACAGTCCAAATTGACATTGCGTCCGACGAGCAGACGAGTGACCGAGTCATTCTCATTGTAGCATGCAATGTGGATGGGCTTCCAACCACCGGGACGGCTCAGCTCGGGGTTGGCACCGCGGTCGAGGAGCAGCGTGACAAGGTCTTCTCGGCCACTCGAGCAGGCGTGGTAGAGTGGGGTGGTGCCCTGTGCGTCTTGTGCGTTGACGTTGGCGGCGTACTTGTCGAGGAGTGACACGGCCATACCAAAGTGACCCTCGGCACAAGCTGCATGCAGAGGTGTCCATCCGTCGAGATTAGTCTCGTTGACACTGGCACCCATCAGGATGAGCGAGTCGGCCGTCTCGAGGTTACCCTTGTACGACGCTGTGTAGAGCGGAGTCCATCCATCTGCACGTTGGTGGTCGACACGTGCTCCGCTTTGCGTCAACGACTCTATAATGGTGGGGAAGTTCTCTTCAGCAGCTACGTGAAGAGATGTCGCACCCTCTGCATTAGCAGCATTGGCATCGCTTCCCGCTTCAAGCAGCTTCTCGACCACCTTTCGTTGGCCACGCAATGTCGCATAATGGAGTGCTGTGTTACCCTTTTTGTTGGATGATTTTACATCGGCGCCGTGCTCCAACAACAAATCTACAATCTTTTCGCCGCCATTCAACGGGACCATCATGATTGGTGTGGACGAGTCCTTGTTGATTGCATTGACATCGCACTTTCCATACTTTACCAGCTTTTCAATAGTGGTAATGTCGCCGTTTAATAGTGCCAAATGTAGAGGTGTGTTTCCGTCCATGTCAGCTTCATCAACCTTTGCTCCGTGGTCAATCAACCAAACAACAGCTGCTGCTTGGCCAGCCGAGGCAGCCTCGTGCAATGGTGTACGACCATGCATAGACGTCTCGCCAATAGTATCTGGTCGCTTTTCCAACAGCTTTTGTGAGGAATCCAAATCACCGTCCTTTGATGCAAAGTGTAGTGGAGTCAAAGCCTGCTTTGATTCTTTGGATAGCTGTTCGTATTGATGTATCTTTTGGTCAGCCAGTGACAATTGTTGCATTTGTTGTTGGAGGTTGTTTGATGAGGATGGAGTAGTTGCATTGGATGGTGTTTTGGTTGGAGTTGGTGTAGCCGATGAATAAATAGGTGAAGATGTGGTTGGTTGAGAAATGCTAAAGTTGTTGTTGGTATTGGCGCCGTTATTAATAGATGGTGTTGTTGTTGTTGATGTTGTTGTTGTTGTTTGTGGTGGTTTTGACTGTACAGGTGAGGAAGAGACGGTAGAAGAGATGCTTCCACTACTACCTCCATTACTAAATATGCTGCTACTGCTGATTCCGCCTAGTTTGGTAGCATAAACGGACGATCTGGGACCTGGAGAGTTTGGATTAGAGGATGGAGATGGCTTTCCAGCAGCAGATTTGATAAAAGCATTGTCCCATTGAATGACTGGTAATGGCACTTCCTCATTGGCACCCTTGACCGATGGCGAAGAGGTGACCGACGAAGGGGTATCCAAATCTTCGACGGTTGGCCATTTGATTGGGAACCCTCTCGAGCATATCATCGCAGCCATTGTATTTAATGTACCAACAACCTTTTGAAAGTTCTTATTTTCACATAGATCCGTTGCTATAAAGATTTGATGATCATTTATACCTAATTTCTTTACTACTCCAATAAATCTAAATAAATTTAAATAAATATAAATAGACAAATATAAATAAAGATTGTTGTTAGAAACCAATTAATCAATCAATGATGATGCATCATTGTCAACATTTACTATACACTTACGAATTTATATTTTCTATTAATTTAAATGTTACACTATTACTCTTATTGTAACGTGGGATGATTCCAGGGAATATAGTGTTTGCCAATTTACACAACACCACTCCATCACGGAGTGCAGTGTGTAGATCGGAATCTAATTCCTCTTGAATGACAAGTTCTATCCATTTCTTGCATTCCATCTGTCTAAGCTGCATCTCATAGGTTTGGAAATCTGACATGGTAATCGTTACCGACCCCGATGAGATCTTCTTCCCACCACTTGGTCTAATTGGTCTGCTCATTCTATGTATGTGTGTGTGTGTGTTGTGTATCTATATGATGTATGTTGGATTGATTGATAGATGTATGTTGAGCACAATATTGTGATTGATTGATGTATGTTGTATCAGATGATCTTGTTTTTGCTTGTTTATGATTCTGATCTTTAAAGGCTTTCTAAATCTTGCTTGTTATGTACAAATATATGATGAAAGAAACGTAATATTACAAATATAGATAATTATTTACATAAAACGAAGAACAATAATAATAATAATAAGCTAAGGTAGAGGGGTCTCCTATGACTTTAGCAACAAAATTAATGATTAAAAACCAGTTTTCATCAAACACAACCACAGCCACCAACATCAGAGACATTGTTGTGTGAGTTCAAAAATCTCAGCATCAGGGATTAACTGAATAGATTGGGAGGGACAACATCGCCATTAATAAAACGGCGTTACCTTTGCATGAAGGTACCTATTACCGAGAGAGGTACCTCCATCAATTAAGTTAACTATTGGCCTCAATAAATTCAAGATATGACGAACAGACTTTATTCTTCTCTTCAAAAGATCAATTCATACAACATATCTTATTATAGTAATTAATTGTTTGTTTTGTGTATGGTTGTTCAATTTATTTCTAAAATGTGTATGTGTGAGTTGATGATATTTTAAATATTATGTTGTTATTGATGATTGATGATGATGATACTATCTTTTCTTTAGAATTGGTATGGTGTATTATTATTATTATATTTCGTCGTTTCTTCTTCTTCTTTCTCTTCTTCTTATTCATTCATGTAAATGATTAATTAATTAATTAAATTAATTACTTATTGTTTTTTTTGATTTTAATCAACCATTTCTTCATTTTCATTTGGTCTAACCATGCCTGGGATAGCCTTGGCACGATTGAGAGCAGCCTCTCTTTCGGCATTTCTTTCTTCAATGTAAAGCTCATTATTATCGGCTTGGAATTCCTTTAGAGTAATGAGGAAGTCTCTTACGGCCGATCTAAAGTCGGCAACACTAGCATTTGTCAAACCAAAGAGACGATGTGTCATCAATTCGATTTGATGTGGTGATACGTTTGGTGTGGCAGAGAGATACTTGGTGATGACAACCTTGAGATATTCAGTGTTGTTGGCAATGTTTGGATTGGTGGCTGGGTCATAGATAAGAGTTGACACTAATCCACTATCGACCACTGTAAACATCACCTTGATGACTTCACATTGTAATGGGAAACCACTCTTGTGGAATGAATCTGTGAGAATGTACAACACATCGGTCAGGAGCGATGCAATGTAGGTTGGATAAAATACATTGGATATCTCTTTTTGTTTGTTGATATTCTCCATCAACTCTTTGAGGATATTCAACCCAGTTTCACTAATATTTCTTTCAGTATGTTTAAATGCCCAAACAATACAATCAACCAATAGTTTAAATTGTTGAGCTGATAATGATTGGAATACTAAAATAAATAAAAAAATAGTAAGTATGATATTTTATATTATTCATTTGTTTCTTTTTATCTTGTTTACCATGAAAAGCATTTTGGTTGACTGAACGAATTAAAGTGAAAAAGTTAATACGATGATCAGGGAAATCTTCAAAGTTGGTTGTGATCATGTTGAGGGTGCATTCAAAGACTGATTCAAGGATTTTGGGGATATCTGGATGAATGAGTTGTTTGAGAGAGTTGACAATGGTCGATAGCAATGACAAGACTTCTGGCTCACGAGTCTCTGGAAGATTGGTTTGATAGTCTCCAAGAACAGCGTCTAAAAGTGGACCGATAAAGTTGTTGTAGATCAAACTCTTGTCTTCGGACTTTTCGATAAAGGTTTGCAGAAGCTTGAGTGTTTCCTTTTTGGCAGTCTTTAGGTTCTTGGTGAGTGTCGATCGTTCCTGTGGATGCTTGGTAAGATAGTCACTGTAGGCTCTATATACATTCAACATGTCAAGATAGACAAGTTTGATTTGGATCAAATAAAATGGCCCCAAACTAATGGCTGCCTTGTGATTTGTCTTTAACAAGTTTACATAACTCTTTACAACATCTAAATTTACGATATTTTCAACTCCAACTGATGCTCTACCCATTATTTGTTGCCACTAAAAATATAAAAATAAATAAATATAAATATTCTTAAAACTATTATTATTATTATTAATATTATTATTATTATTTCATACAGTTTGATTTGGGAGACTCATAAATAGAATTACAAAACGTTCACGATTTTCAGCATCGGTTGAACTACTGATCATGTATCCAACGGCTTCGTAGAAGGTTTGGATTTGATGAGGTTCGAGATCCGAGATGATGGTTGGAAGCTGCTCGAGAATTTCATTGATGAATGGATTGGTCTCGTCGGCTTGTTGGATAACGAATCTACGACGGGTGGCCTTGCTGATCTTGAGGAATGTGTCACAGGCCATATCTTGAACACCTGGATGCGACTCGTGCATAAACTCAAAGAGTTTCTTGACGACAGTCTTGAGGAACTTCCAATGGTCCTTGAGGAAACGGGGGTACTGGCCGACAATATACATAATGTCACTGGCAATGATTGCCTTGTTGTCCTTGCCCTTTTTGGCTTGCGTCAAGTCCAACAAATCTCTAATGACATTGACCAAGAATCTCTTTTCCTGGTCCTTGGTCTGTGACCCACTGATCGATCCAATGGCCCAACACAACGTGTTGATCTTGTTAAACGACCACTCTTGGTTCTTGACCAAACGATCCAATTTCTCGAGCATGATGCTTTGTGTGTTGTCGGGATCGAGGTTGGTCAAAAACACCAATGTCTCTCTCATCAACTCGTAAAGTGTCAATGAATCAGTGTCCCTTGTTTGTTCTCTGATTACATTTCCGTTTTCATCTTCTACAATAATAACTTCTTCTGGTTTTGCCATACGACTAATAAGAACATTTCGGACTAAATAAAAATAAATAAATAAATAAATAAATAAATAAATATTAGAATATACAAATAAATAATAATTATTATTTCTATTATTACTTTACCTTTTGATAAAATTGATTTATACAACATGATACGTGGAGGAGTAGTTTGAAGGGGAGCACCAAATCTAGTTGGTTCACTGTACAAGTTGGAAGCCAATGTATTCCAATAGTCCAAACAAATCTTGAATATTTCAATATCCTCGACATGTGAAATGGATACTAGAATCTCATGACCCAGAGTTAGGTATGGAATATTTAATGAACCTTCCATCGACTTTAAATTGTTTTTGAAAAACGATGTTAAAAATAGTGTAATACCTTGAATGAAATCTTGTTCATTTTGATCACCATTTTCATAATCTTCTGCTATTTTTGCTAAAAGAAAAATAATAATAATAATGTTAATATTCATTCATTTCAACATTACTATAGTGTATATAAATATTGATTACTTACAGATATCAGGTTTCAATGATATTTTTGCCAATACTTGATCGATAATATGAACAAAGATACCTTGATAATCTTGGGGTAATGAAATTGAAACAATTTCAGTCAAACATCGCAAAGATAGATTTCTAAACATTGGTTCTGGGAAAAACTATAAAAAATTACAAGTGATTAATAAGTAAAGGTTTAAACTTGTATAAATCTTGTACCTATTTTGTTTTACATACTTTTTGCAATAATAATTGAATTAAAAATGAAGGTTTGGCCTTATCCTTTTCAATAATGTAATGAAGAGGAATCCAACTAAGGAATTTTTGTAATGTCAATAATGTTTCCTTGATCAATTGAGGACGATGAGCCTTCTCCAAAATAAATTGACATAATTCATTAATTAAAGAAAATTCCTAAAATAATAATAATAAAAGATTATTAGTACCAAATGAATAATGATGACTATAATATTGTATATTTTACCTTTTCAAAACTATTCTTTAATTGTTGTATTTTGGCTTGAGTCATTTGTTCTTCACCAAAATTGAAAATCTCTTCGCTGAGTAGTCTAAGAATAACCATGTTATTTTCACACAAGGTTTCATTTGTTTTGCTACTATTTACAATCTCTGGAATAAATGATGACCAATGACTTGGCCATTCCTTTTTTAAAATCTAAAATAATAAATAATAATAAATATTTATTATTAATAATCTTTCAAACATTATTTAATTAAACTATTATATTACATACATGAACAAAAATTAAATTTAATTTGTTGAGAAAGACCTTTTCACGTTGGAAACTTTGTGGATCAGAAGATAGTTTGATGATCATGGAAACTACAAAGTTTTTAATACCTTCAGATTGTTCTCTTGGTAATGCTCTCCATTTGAATTTGATCAGTGACTCTAGAATGATCAAACCAAAGAACTTGGTCTCTGGGATCTTGGACTGCTCTAAAATGGCATCAACCTTCATCCATGCAGATGGATTCTCTTGGAATTGTCCAAGTACCGTTTGTGCTTTTTCTCTCTGTTTTTTTTTGATAAAGAGAAAGAGAGGAGAGATAATGTATTCATTAGCAAGTTAATATACCATTGAATGATATATATATTTGTATTAATATTGACTTACCTCTTGTTTAACGGTAGAAGTGTAAAGGGTTCTGACAACATTGTCTAAAAGATTAATATCAAATTGGTCTAAATTTAATATTTGCTCCATCATTACTGTCATTTGCTTTTGTTATTTGCAACGATGATGAATATGAATTAAATAAATAAGATTAAATAAATATATATATATATATATATAGTACTTGTTTGTTGTTTGTTAGTAAAGTAGTAGGTAAGTTGTTAGTCAAGTCAGAAGGTAAGGTCAGGTAAAGGTAAAGGTAGTTAACCCAAGTCAATCAAGTTTAATAAGTAAAGTAAAAGTAAAGTAAAGTAAATAGTAAAGTAAGGTTTTTTTGGTTTTAGTTTTGTTTTAAAAGGTAAAAGTAAAGTTTATAGTTTTGTTTTGTTTTGTTTTGTTTAAGTTTGGTTTATAGTCAAATAGTTTAGTTAAAAGTATAATATCTCTTTTCTATCTATCTATCTCTTTTCTTATCTGTATATATATATATAAAGAAATAATTTTATGCTACTAGTAATGGTTGTTGGTTTGATCAAAAAAATGAACTTGCATGCAAACATCCCTCTGCACTTTTTGTCAATGAGGGAGGGAAAAAATAAAAAATAATTTTTAGTGGTTTTATCTGTCTCTTCCTCGCACAGTTAACAACCCTAACCCTGAATGAATGCTATCAATAAAAAATATTTCTTTTTTAAATAATGATAACAATAATGATAATAATAATAATGAGTTGACTGTCAACATATTAAATATGTATTATGTATTTATTTTTGATTGATTATAAAGCAACATATGAAGAACTACTACTAACATTCCAATGACTATTGAAAAACCCTGTTGTAATGGTTGATCCTAACCCATTTTGGTTCCATTGGTTGCTTACGACGAGGTAGTCTGGAACAGTCTCACCCGATCTCATTGGTAGTGAGTGGATGGCGTTGTACAGGCCTTGGCTATCAATTGTGCCTGCAACTACTAATATTAATCCATTACCACATTCGTTTGGTGATAGGAATGTTATTCCAGTACCTGGTTGTGACCCGTCAAACGTGTCATCACCAATTGTGAATGTGTTGGTACTACTACCAAACGAGACGGTTAGCTGGGGCTCTAATTTTTGTGTGACTGCATTTTGACTCGGTGTTCCAACCAATATCAAGTTATAGTTGAATGATGAATCATTAGCGTTGCTGATATTACAACTTTGATGTTGATATTCAGCGTCTGATATAATGATTGGTGATCCTCTACCGTAGATATTGTAGTAATTGGCCATCCAAATGGATACTGATAGCATGTCACTCGATTGTTGGTCGTTGAGTGTTCCATAGACAATGACAAATGGTTTCTCTTGTAGAATTTGTTTGATTGGGCCGTAGGTGGATGCTGATCGCTCTGTCAGTGTCCAATCACTACCTGATTCAATTGACCACTGTTGTTGGAGTCCAGAATTCTTTCCAGTGTTGTGATAGTGCACTTCTGGCAAATACTCTGGTGTTTGTATAATGTTACCGTCGATCATTAGCTGACTTGGCATTTTTTGTGTGGGTCTGACCGGTGTTTGTACCAATCCAAATCGTTTCACATTTTGAGTGGTCAATGTCCATGTCAATGAACCGCCGTTTGTATTTGAACGAGACTGGACAAGCTTGATTCTAGCAACTCTCTCGGTATTGTGTTTTTGGAGTATTTGGATATTGGCACGTGACCCAGAGATACCGGGGTTCATGACTGTGATAGTGATGGTTTGTGGAATGTCGGGGAATGTTGGAGAGGTGGTTGAAGCGATGTAAAAGTCGTCCATGACAGGCGCGTCAAACATGCCTGTGAACCAGTGCGACATGCCTGGCACCTCGCTGATTTGCACTGCCGACAGGTTGCCGCTCAGCTCATTGACCATTCTCGCCATACGTCTCGAGTGCCATGGGGAGACGATCGTGTCGGCACCACCATACCGCGCGATAATAGGAATACCAACCATATTACTCGCGTGAATATCAGCGTCGGCATCGGCGATAGACGACATGAGCAACCCTCTAAGCGACGGGTCAAGGTGTGAAAAGGACGGACGTGTGTTGTAATAGACATAGTCTTGCAGCTTGGCAAACCCAGCTCCGCATGCACCGCCCAACGCCATGTCTCCATAGTGACCGAGCATTGTCCAGCACCCGTACGCTCCCATACTATGTCCGGTGAATAGAATGCGTGAGACGTCAATTGAGAGCGACTCTACAAGTGATGGTGGTACTCCAGGCATATGCTTTGCAAATTGGTAGAGTGATTGAAATGCATCTACTCGACTGGCAGTCTGCCAATCATATCCCCACGGACGTCTACCCGACGGGAATATAATCCATGTGTTGGCTAGTGCAGGATAGGCAGTATACCATCCCGGCGTGTCAATCACCGACACACCTGCACCGTGAGTAGCCAACATTGCAACACACGACTCTTGTCCACCAAAACAACCTCTCTCACTACCACTTGGAGGATAGGCAACAGCATACTGAACAGTCTCATCGAAATCGATAAATGTAAATGACCAAGGGTTGCCCCAAGTCGTACAATTAAATGATATCAATGTGCTCACCTCTCCATTGACAGTGATATTGAGTGATGCCGGACACTGTACATCACTCGTTTGATTGATTGTGAATGTAATACCATATTTTTGACCTGGCAGTATGTATACACCAGTCTTTGACGTGTACGCTATCGACGATGGAGTTACCAACTCGACCGATACACCTTCCACAGAGTTATCACCTGTTTGTAATGTAATCTCGTCTATAGTCTCTACACCAACATTCATCAATGTGATTGAACCATAGTATCCTCCCAACTTTCCATCCAATATTGAAGGCACCATATTCTCCTTTTCAACAATAATAAGTTGACTACTAGTTTGTTGTTGTTGTGTAATAGTACATGTGAATGATTGTTGTGGTGAAAGGTTCTGTCTAACCGAGCTTTGAACGCGAAGGATGAGTTGGTAAGTGTCTGGCTCTAGCTCAATCAACTGCTGTCCAACTCCATAGTTGAAGAAATCACCAATCAACTCGGTATATGTATTATTTGTTGTTGATCTGATATAGTACCTTATCAAACCTGTACAATCAAATAAATACAAGTTTGATGATGATGAAGATGATGAGGAGGATGAAGAGGGGACAGTAAACTCTCCAACAGCGTATGCATACCACATGTAAACACTCCAGCTTAGTGGAGTAGTGAATGAATCCCAATTGATTGTTGATGAAAAGTTGAGTGTCAGAGATGTCGAGCTAGCCGTCGTGATAGCATTATACGATTGCCAACCAACCACCCCATTTACACCCAACTCACATGGATACATGGTATTGTCACCAATAGGTATATCAAATATACCTCCATAGTATTCAAGTGTATCAACTCCTTCTTCTCTCTCTCCAATCGGAAACGGTCCGATCACTTGAAAGTTATTAGGTATCAAACTTGTTGTCGAACAATAAACTATAATACGTAAATTCTACTTTGTTAGTTTGATCAACACAACTATAATTCGTTGTTTCGATCATCCATCTATACATACCATTCAATGTTATAAATGATAACAATAAGAATAATGAAAATGATATAGTCATAATGACCTTTACATTTGATTGTTAAAATAGTATCAAACAAAGAAGAAAAAGACATCTATGCGACGATCATCTCTGACTCCTTCAAAGTCGCTCGATGCAAATCTGGTGAAAAAATATAAATAATGGGTCGGTATTGAGGTCTGATGACTTATTATTATTATTATTATAATGGATTATATTTATTTTAAATTAATTTACACTTTATAAAAAAGTATGTACAGGAAAATTGTTTGTTTGTTTGTTTGTTTTTATGTATATCAGGTTTTTTTTGTATTATATTATTAAATCGGCAAGTAAGTTAGATTACTTTAAGAATTTTCATGCAAAGATGACGATGGCTGCAAGGAAACTAATCAAAACAAATGACATTGTGTTGGCGTTGAAACTGGCAGCGTTTTCACATGGTGGACAGGTTGCGTTGTTTTCACATGGTGGACAAGTCGAGTTGGTGCCTGCGCAAGTATTGTTGTACCCAACAAAGTCAGCATTGCAATATGGGGTAGCTTTGAAGATAGAAGTGGTACTGTTACAGTAATTTCTAAACACTTTAGTGTCGGTGATATTGGAAAGGATACCTCCAATGATTTGGACTGGCTTCCAGGCGGTCTGATTATTGGCTTGTACCAATCCGAAGCCTTGACCGTTGACAACATTGCTGTCCAAAGCGATTTGGGTCATACAATTTTCGCAGTACAATGTTTTGATGCTAGAGCCATAGATTACCTTGTCAAAACCAGACCACATAATGGCGGCTTGACACATTGGACAACTCTCACCGGTAGTGTAGAGATAGGTTCCGCTCCACGAATTTCTTCCGGTTATAGTGGTACAATTCATGATGGCTTGGATCTCACCGTGATAGATCATTGACTTGCCACCTTGGTTGTAGCCATAGCAGATTTCCTCGTTGGTGACAGCATCGACAATGAGGGCTGAAAAGAAGGATTTGGCTCCAGTAGGACCGTTGAGGTAATAGTCAATGACCTTTTGCATGTTGCCTTCATGAAGGGCAAGTTCGGTAGCAGTGAGATTGTTTGCATAGTATACTGGTGACTAGAGTAGAAATAATTAAAATTAAAATTAATTTTTATGTGGTTAGTATTGGAATTATTAATACTTTTCAAGTTACTAGTATACTTACAACTTCATTTTTATATGGGGTATTTGAACAACCACTGACCAAGGTTGCACACAATACAGCAACAAGCGCGAATAATGCTAATTTCATTTTCTATTTAAATAAATGTATGTATGTGTATATATGTATAGAATTTGACGTCACAGTGTTTATATGTTGTGGGCGGATGCGAGCGTATGTGGTATTTAAATAATAATCTGTTTTCAAAAACAAACAAGAAGATGTTCTTTAAAAGTGATATGAGATATTTTAATTTATTTTCCGTTTGACCAACGTTTTTAGTGTATCTATTAATTTCAGATAAATGAGCCCTAATTAAACCGTACCAAGGTGGTGTTGAGACCGTCAGGAGAGGCTTTAAAGAGTCAGGGCGGGATGCCATAAATAGAGATCCAGAAAAAACAAATATTTAATTTTATTTTTTCATTGTTTTCGAAAAATGAAACGACCCCATTAATTGAAACGAGTATGTATCGGAATAGTTCGCCAGATCCAACCTTTGCAGGAATCCCTTTAACGTTCATTTCGTGCAAAGATAGCGTCTATAAAGACAACGGTATCAAACAAAGGGGTGGTGTGGATCAATCTCCTTCCTTCACTTATCCAACGTTTTTAACGGTTCAGATGGTGAAGTGGTTTGTTGTTGGGATTGTTTTCCATCTGCCCTGGGTACCAGATAATCAATTTAGTAGTACATATAGATATTTATACATATAGATATTTATAAATATATATACAATCATATTTTTAAACCGACGGGTATCAAGATTGAAGTAGTTAGATCATTTCTATTTGGTCATCCTCGTTTGAATAAAAATTGATGGTTGTGGAAGCAATACTTGGATTCTTTGAAAAATAGATATCAGTTCATTTGGTTTATGAAGGCCCCAAACCATTGAAAAGGTTAGATCTTACATTAAAGAAAAAGAAACATGATGACCTTTTCTCTACCTCTACAAATACTGTTCCTCTCCCAATGATGATTGAAAATGAATCAAGTAATGCACTTTAAAAGGTATGGAATGATTCCAAATTACAATTAGACAGGGATTGGTTCAAGATTGGACACGCTAGATCGGTATTAGAAGATATTATGATTTTTACAGAAGAACACATTATGTATCAATTAGCTATTCAGACGAGTTGCTCAAGACCATCGAAAGAATACTAGAATTCTTTGAATATTACTTATCATTTATTCCTTTGGTTTGTGGTTTGCAAGAACATCACACCATTGAATATCAAATACATGTTATTCGTGATTATATTACAATCATCCCATATATCTACAATCCTTTTAATTAATTAAATAATTAAATATTATTTGATTTGTGAATTTTCGTAGATGTTCACTCAAACCAAAAAATACTACTTTTTTTTGAATCATTCTCAAAGTCTATCTCTTTCAGATATATATATATATAGATATGCCTAAAATCAAGACATCAAGAAAGAAATACCCAGAAGGATGGGCAAACGTACAACTAACATTGGACGAATTCCAAATAAAGATGAGAGAAGGTATGCACATGAGTCATCATGTTTACTCACAGCGACAACATCAGTAACAAGTTCACTAATGCATAGATAATACTCATCCATCTATCTATCTATCTATCTATCTATCTATCTATCTATCTATCTATCTATCTATCTATCTATACAGTCGAGAATGAATCACATGAAGGAAAGAAAAAGAATGAGTTAATGTGGGGAATCTTTAAGATTCATCATCAGAGATCGAAATACATATACGAGTTGTTCTACAAAAAGAGAGAGATTAGCAGAGAATTGTACGAATTTTGTCTAAACGAAGGATATGCAGACAAGAACCTCATAGCAAAGTGGAAGAAACTTGGTTATGAACGATTATGTTGTTTGAAATGCATTCAAACGAAAGAAAACAGTGGATCTACTTGTATTTGCAGAGTACCAAGAGAAAAGTTGGAAGAAGAAAAGACTATTGAATGTCAATCATGTGGATGTAAAGGAGTATGTCTAAACTGTGGAGCAATCAATCAGTTTATATCATTCATTGTTATTATTAACACACCCACTCTCTTTATATAAATCTAGTGTGCAACCGATGATTAAAAATAGATTGAATATCTATTGAGCTCAATAAGGGATAAATGACGATAATTGGCAATGAGCAACCAACCAACCAAACCTCCTCTCTTCTCTTATTATTTATTTTTGGATCTTTCTTTGACCCAATACTTTAAAAGCGACCCCCTTATCATTAATTAACAGTTAAGTTAAATTAATGGTTGATGTAAATAATAATTAATTATTATGTATAATACTACATAACAAACATAACAATCAAATCAAATCCTACAACCATCCCTATCCTACCCTATATTTAAACGCAACAACAATAATACATCATGATGGAAAATAAACTTTTGGAACAAATTGTACCCAATTTAATTATAATAATAAATAATAATTAATTAATAATATAGATATAAATAGATATTATTTAAATATCAATATCATTAATTTCCGGAACTTAAAGTTGTCAAATGCACAACACCCAATATATTGATTGTTTTCAAGTACCACTGACTCTGAAGCTACCATGAGTGACTGTTCATTAAGTTTCTTTATTGTCCAACATGAATAGATAAACATAGAGAGATAGAGATGGAGTTAAATGAAAAGAGCGATGAGGAACTCAAAAAGATAATGATATCGTTGTGTATCATTTGGGATACTGACATGAAGAATCCAAAGCAACTATCAAGATTAGAGATGATCGATAGAATTGAGGAGAGGCAGAACGAAATTGCATATTATCAAGAAGACTTGGAGAATGGTATTTATTGATACATAGATATTACAACATTCATTGATCTTTTACTAACTCTGTCTAATTCATTAGATACACTTTCAAACTATTCTCAAATGGTTGGTATTAGACTACCTGTGTTGGTGATCATCGATATCGTTAGATATGCATGGGAGATGGATACAATGAATGGTAGATACAAGTATAGGGTGTGTGGACCATATGATAAGGATGTACTTGTTGGACGATACAAATGGGCACTGTCACTTGGATTGGTATGCAAACGATTCTTTAATCTTGTTAGATCATCATTGTTTAAACGTGTCAATCTCTATAGCTTCTCTATCGGAACTCATGATGGACCTTATGACGACCGCAAAGCCAGATCACATGCAGACGATGCATCACGACATATTAACAATATTGCATGTGCAATGAAACAACCTACCCACCTTTCGTTACAATGTACATTGTTGATTGGTATTGCATTGAAACCATCTATCGGTGCAGTGATTTTTCTTCAAGGTATTACAAAGTTAAGATTGGTTGGTCGGACATTATCTTACAATAATCTACTTCAAAGTGCACTTGGCGTGATGGTTAATCTCGAGTCACTTGTACTCTATAATACCGAAGATATTCTTTCAGGAGTATACCAACCATCACTCAAACACTTGTCGTTCTTGGATCATCTAAAAGAGGGTGGTCCAATGGTCGTACTAGATGAGTTTACCAATCCCATTCAAACACTTGGATTGCCAGGAAAACACAACCTACCAATCCAACTACCCATCAACATCGCATCACAAATCAAAAAGCTCCGTATTCCCAGTCACAATATTCCACCAGACTTTGCATCCAACTATACATCACTTTGGAAACTACATCTGACCAACATAGGATATTACGGCACTAAAAATATACTATCAACAACTATGGATAATATCACATATCTAGCAGCTGAAATCACCAATCCCATACACAGAAAAGAATATTTTGAAGAAATCATTCCACACCTCCCATCACTCACAATATTGGAAGATTATAGACATAATTATTGTAAAGATGAATGTCACATATTTTGTAATAATTTATTAAAATTAAATAATAATAATCAAAATAATAATAATAATAATAATGATGGAATGGTAAACGGAATCAAAACAATAATATTACGTTCTCCATTCTTTAATCGTAACAACTTCAAACACAGTCTCGCTCGTGCAGGTCTGTCGAACTACAAAGCTACTGGCCAACGATTCATCAAACACGAATTCTCTTTTGATATCAAAATTGTCTTTTCTTACACTCGTAAGCTCCCTATGGTAACTGGACAGTCGAAAAAAATAAAATTTATTTTCACAAAAGACTCAAAGGTCCTTGATCAATAAACAGATGGTTTGTCCTTAACTAACAATGCAAAACTATTAAGAGTATATGTTGTTGTAATCCAAAAGTTGGAGAATCAATCCCGATTTACATTTGGTTGGCGTTGACACATTGTTTGTAAATTATATGGTTCCATAGTAATGAATTTTGGAAGGGTGTCTCTCCAAAATAATTTTAATATTGACTGTTTTAGGGCCTAAATCGCGTATCTTCAACATCCTAAATATGATAGTCAGTAATGTGATGGTGAATCAAGACAGAAAACAATGCATACATGAGATACACCCAAAGAATCCAAGTAAACGAATCCTCCACCCTGGTCGTTGTTGTCTGATTGTTATGAAAAAAGAAACCACCAATCAGGGGCTGTTGGGGCCGATGATATCAGCAGGCTTTGTGGTAGACCAATACATTGCACGAGACCAAAGGAGGGATCGGCTGACTGCACACAATTCCAAGTAATTAATAAACAAAAAATGATTTGTAGATACATAATATATAATATAATAACTAAGATTCATAAGCAAACATAGATGCTCGTTCTCGTTTTAACTACTGACATCTTTCTTTGACTCAATACTTTAAAAGCAACCCCCTTATCATTAATTAATAGTTAAATTAAATTAATGGTTGATGTAAATAATAATTAATTATTATGTATAATACTACATAACAAACATAACAATCAAATCAAATCATACAACCATCCTATCCTACCCTACCCTATTTTTAAACGCAACAACAATACATCATAATGGAAAATAAACTTTTGGAACAAATTGTACACTAATTTAAAAATAATAATCATAATAATTAATAATATATATAGATATTATTTAATATCAATATCATTTATTTCCGAAACATTAAAGTTATTTTCAACGAAACTGTGAATGCGATCTTTTTCCGATTCAGTCTTTCATCAACACCCTTGCGACCACTTCTACTTGTTTCATCATCTTTAATTTTATTTACATGGATTATTTGTACAAATAATGTCTAAAGAATCAATAATATTACAAGTATTTAGAAACAAGATACTTTTAAGAGAGATATTAAACAAGACTCGAGATGACATTGAGTTTCTTGGTATCCAAGTACCAAACAATGCCGTTAGAGTAGAGGTAAAAGACTCTCAGATGACTTATCATTGCAAGAGAAAGAGATTCTATCATTTGGGTACTGATTTGGTATGGCTCATCAAGAATAGATACTATGCAGTGATTAAAGAACTCTTGTTGAAGCAAGATGAAAGACCTCGTTTCAAAAAGGAGAATTTCTTTTCTCCCAATAGTGACTTTATTCAAGTTGCAATGACATCAATCGACGATGCCGAAACATTTAGTCTCATCCTATCAAACTATCATCAAGACTTTAAAGACTACTTTCAAGAGTACTTTGACCCAGAAGCTCTTAGAACAAGAGTTCATTTCAAAAATGAAAGCTTTCCACCAAGTGACTTTCTAGTTTCTCTCATCAACAATCATGGAAACATCGATATTTGGAATACATTTATTCAATTTATAGATTTTAAATGTTTAAACAAAAATATTGATCAACCTCCTCCTCCATCCTCTTCTTCAACAACAAAAGAAAAGAATTCAATATTTTCAAGATTATTCTCTTCTTCTTCATCAAAAGGAAAAGAAAAAGAAAAAGATGATAAAGAGAAATATTCAATGTTATATGTATTATCCTACTTTCATAAACAACCAATCAATGATGCATACAAACAAGTATTTTTTATTAGTGATTTAATCAAGCATTGTTTGTACTCTGGTAGAAAATCAATTTTGCATCATATAATCAACCATTTTGGAAAATCAATCTCTAAACATTTGGAAGAAGTCTGTTTGGAGCAGAAACTATCGGTTCCTACTTTGGGTGTACCATTCAACTATGTTATCAGAAGAGACATACAAAAAGAGATGATTTTGGGTCTAAGAGAGAACCTGCCTCTTTCAGTATTCAACCAAATCTACTATAACACCGATCATCAATTCGTTGCAGACCATATGCATTTGGCATATGATCTTTTAGAGAAAGATCATAGCCATTGGATTCATGTTTATTTGGCAAACAATCCTCTCAATAATTGTAAAGATGATGGTGACATTATCAAAGCACATTACGATTGTTTGGTCAACATGTTTACCAAATACAAAAACCAACTTTTAAAATCGATCGACATTTCCAAAATGAATGATACTATTCCACATCTTTTCCAACAAGATCCATCTCTACCAGTGCCAACAGAGTATTATCAACTTTGGATATTCGAATTGTACAAGAGATACACGTTGATGCCTCCACCAGCTGTTGTTTTCGTCACCATTCAAAAACAATCGCATCCACTGTTTGAAGAATACATTATCAAGACAATAAGTAAAAACTATGGCAATATCACCGATTACAGTAGCATGGATTTGGTTTCATATCTTTTGGATCGTTGTGGATTCACCATGATCACTCGATATGGCTCTGTCGAGTTGGTCAAACTTGCATACGATTTCTTGCGTGAACACCGTAGAAATAGATACACTCATCTCATCAGTTTACAGTCAAACGACATTCAAGTCATCGAGTTCCTAGTCGGCGAGGTAATTTATAACAATGTAAATACTTGGGATAAACCTGGTCACTTTGGAGGCGAAATACAAAAAGCGGTCGATGAACATGTTGAAAAAGGTAACTTTGCCATCGCCGAGTACCTCATTGAAAACGCTGGTAAAATATCCTATGATTATCAAGCCTCAACCATATCAAAACTATTGCAAAACGGTAGTTACAAATCCATAGAGGCAATGAAACTACAAACAGATATCTCCATGCCTGCCAATTTCAAAATTAGTGTCCAAACATTGCCTGCACTCAAATACTTTCATATTGGAAGAGTATTTTTTAAGCCAGAGTACGGAACGTCCACTCTTAAACGAGACCAAGAACTTACACAAATGTTGTTTGAGCTCTACGATGACGAGATCGAATCAAACAGCATTATCACTAATAAGCTTGTCGATGTATTCAAAAAGGCAGTTGATTCGGCATTTCTATCAAACAACCTAGACATGATCGAATATCTAAATTATTATTATGAAACCAACAAATCAAGATTTAAAAGTCAAAAAGAACTCTTGTTCAGAGCTATCGACTTGGATAGGATTATAAGCTCGATGAATTTCGAAATGTTGGCATTGGTCATTAAACTACAATTCCCGTTGAAAACATCTTACATGACCAGTTGGAGAACTGTTGGCATGTATGGATCTCTTGAATGGGTCGAAAAAGTTCTTTACAACTCTTCCTTTAGACCTGTCAGTGACCGAGATAGAATACCTCTACTTGCTGCACTCAAAAGTGGTGCCCTCCTCAACAAGTCACTAGAGAATAGAAAAGCAATCATTGCTCACGTAGAATCTATACCAAATTGTAATAATAGTTACTAAATCAAGTTAATTAAATAAAATTGTATATTGATAGTTTATAATAGATTAATTTTAATTCTTTTATTTGTTTGATATACAAGTTTGGAATTAATAAATAAATGATATTACACAACAATTAAAATTAATCTATTGGTGGAAGGGGATGAAGGATAGGTTGGTTGATTTGGGGGGAAAAAAATAATAAATAGGTTGCTACATTTTAAAGAGGCCTTGGTACCTTTTTAACCTCTACTTGAACTAGTAAAGCTACTATCATATGTGGTACGATTGACAGAACTGCTGTTGGCAGAGCTGTTAAAGTTTTCACGACTATCAGTGACATAGGAGAGTTTGCTAGTGTTGGTGGTCTGTTTGACACCCGAAAGACTACCTTGGTTGTAAGAGTAGAGGATGGAGATGACGGGGATAACTTCGGTGATGAGGAGACCAATGAAACTGAAAATAATGTTGCTAGGTTCAGCTCCGACAAGAATGAGCACAAAGACGCAATGGAGAATAAAACCGACTGAACAGGCCAATGTGACCACTGAAATTCTCTTTTGTTGTTGGTCTCTGTGATCATTGTCGACATCGACCTTTTTGAAACGCATCATAAAATAGAGAGTACCACCCAAGTAGACAAAGGCAGCACCAATGACCAACGAAATGACGGCCTGGACGACGGCATACACGATAGACACGATACGCTGTGGCGTGGTCGTGTTGGCTTCAACAACCATACGACCAATACAGTCATTGGTTGGATTACTTTCAGTAAGATGGAACACCAAAATAATAATGATAAACAATATGTAGAGAATAGCATTGATCGTGCCAATCATCAAACCAATACGACGAAGGATGTTACGTTGTGTTCTACTCTTGACAATAATATACCAAAGTACAATAATAATGGTAAATGCAGTAAAGTAAATAAATGTTGGTAACACTACCAAAATATAATCTGCTACTGCTGATGTACTAAGTTTTCCACTTGGCAATATAAAGAAATAAATTGATCGAACTATATAGTAAAATTAGAAATAATTAATTAATATTTATATGTAAATAAATATTTATAAATACTATTTACTTACTTAACATAAATACAGTTACTGTAACAATTAAAGAATGAACCAATTTAGGTTTTTCCAAACCTTGATAACATTTATAACCAGTGATTGCGAGTTGGACAAGACCCCAGATAGAGGCGAGGAGGAAGATGACGGCCAGTGTATAGATGAGTCCTGTGGCACCCTTGTCAAACACTTCCTTTTGTTTGTTTTGATAGTCGTCGATACGTGCAACGAGAAGGTATGTGGCGGTTGGGTTGACATTGGGGAGGAAAGCACATTTGTAGGTGATATTGTCGGTTGAATCAATGATAGAGGTAATGTTAACTTCCATTGGAACCAAGATATCCTCTTCAATGACAAAGTCCAATACTGAAAGTTTGTAGCTCTCTGGGGTAGCACTGCTTGAGAAACAGAGTGTGTACGAGTTGACACCCTGTGCTTGAATCTTGACACCATCCGATAAAATGGTACCAATAATAGCGCCACGCGAATTGAGTAAGGCAAAATCATCGGGTTTGCGATAAGAGACAAAGTTGGAAGAGAGAGTTTGGAGCTCGGTGGCCTTGAACAACTGACGAGATACCTGGGAAACGAGAACCGATGTACAGGCAAATGGAACACTAGACTCTTTGAATTGGAGCATACCATAGGAGAATGAAAACGATGATTGTTCGTTGGCACATGGTTTTGTCTCACCGAGCATCAATGCAGATGTGGTAAAACATTCTGATCCTCCTGGCCCACTACACGAGCAGGATATCGAGTTGAGATTCTCCTCTACACGCTCCATACGACATAGAGAAGCCGAACGTAGCAAATCAGAGACATGAGTGTAGTAGCCATAGTTGAGCTCGGTCGCAATGGCTCCAAAATCCAGCACCTTTTGAATCGATGAAGAGTGACGGAAGTCTGGCTTGATCCACTGTGGTTTGACTGGGATACTTGGTGTCCAAACACCTGGAATCCATTCAAACATATTAGTCCACTCGTGTGAAATATCGCTACACGTTTCGCACAAGTCTTGGTCCATTTGGTTGAATCGGTAGTTGTTGGGAAGGTTTTGTTGTGCCGTGTCAATAGTCTTGCATCCCATTTGCGATGTGCATTGTGCTTGAGTGATAGCTGGAGCCCACCAAGAATAGTCTGGGCCAAGCTCTAAACACTCGGCCTCTGTAAACACCAAGGGTGTCGAAGAGAAGCATCCCTTTGGCGAGTCATTCTCGCTGTCATCAAGACAAGTTGGGACGGGCCAGTTACTCTTGTATGCATAATGACCGTGGACACACTTTCCAAGCCCGTTGGTGTAGTTTACAGTCTGCTTGGACTGGAAGAAATAGGCATCTGAACACCCTCCACTCGCCTCACATTCCTCCTTGGTATTACACTTGGTACTAACTAAAACACACAAATTGTCTTCCAATGGGTCGCTGCCCAATGGCGAGTAGCACTCTGAAACTGACTTGGCAGCGCAGTTTAACCAGATGTGGTTGGGACGTGATGTACATGTAGTCTGGGGAACGGTCACCTGGCAAATGCCACGAGCAGCATTCCAAGTAGAGTTTTGAACGGCCTGACAATTGCCAGAATCAACGGCGGGCGTGTAGATGCAGCCTGTGACACCGTTGGTTTGGCATTGGTAGCCGCAAACGGACGAGCACGTGCCGGCGGTGGCACATTGGGCTGCTGCACCGACCAAGTACTGGCCATTGTCCATAATACACACGTTGGGTGTCGCCGAGCAAGCAGCGCTGCCCGAAATCGATGAGAACTTGTGACACTGTGTTTCATTGTTGGTACAGTAGCCGCAGAAGCTCGGCTGTGCGGCACACGTTGTGTTGCAGTCCCTGGGCGACTCGCACGACATGTCTGAGCAGTATCCATTGTTGGCACACGTCTTTGGGCTTGTTCCGTAACGGTACAGGTTCCATCCACTATAGTATCCGTCGTAGCAGACGTCGTGCACGGTCAAACAAGTGGCGTCCAAGCAAACGGGTGATGGATAGCACTTGCTGGTACGCGGGTCAAAGTTGGAGTACCGGTAGTATGTTCTAAAGGCCAAGCCTGTGCGATGCGTGCAATCGTCGATGAGGAAGTAGTTGTAGACCTCGTCCAAAAAGGCCGTCTCGTTGGGACTGGCACTAATACCCAACGTGTATTGAAGATAGTACTGGATAGTCGCCGACGATCCATTCAACACGCACTGCATGTATTGTTTGTCTTGCACGTCGAATGGAATCTCGCAGAATCGATAAAAGAGATTACAAGTGTGCCCGCCACACTGGGTATCATTGTCGCACGAGATATAGTCATAGATACTCTTGCAACGACGCAGCGTTGTGTAAATATCGAGCTGGAAATCAAAAAAGCTGTCAAATGTGAGCGCGCAACTACCGTCTTCGACCTGTGACACGGATGCATAGTAGTCATTCAAGAGACTGACCGTGCAGTCGTAGGAAGAGCAAGTGCTGGACACTAGGTCGTTGTAGACACCGATGTTGACGGTTGTCTCGACCAAGAGCTCACGGGGCACACAGCACTCGAAAAAGGTGGTGGTGCTGTTGCAGCATGGCTCGAGTGCATAACGCGGGTCGCTCGACGAGTACGGACAACGGGTCGTGTTGAGACGTTTCTCGACGGTTTGTGTTTGCAGCAGGCTCTTTGCCTGTGCAGTGCATCCAGCCCATGAATCACGCATTGTCAACACATCAATATTGAATCGGAGCGACGATACATTTTGAAACTCTGATGTTGCAAACAACTGATCCTCGAGTGAATTGATCATGGCCAGAGTAGACTGGAACTCGGTGTAGTTGCATGGCAACACGACGGGCGTGAATCCAATGGCACCAACCACAGGGTTGCCATCAGCATCCACCAAAATATCGAGAAATTCGAGCTTGGATCGGGTGATGTTGGAGTAGTCGGAAAAGACTGTCGTCGACTTTCGGTCGATTGAGAGGATGAAAGCAGCCTGGTATGTATTGGGAAGGGGTGGGTTGGTTGGGTCGGCAAAGGAAATATCCGAGAAAAAATTGAAACGCTCCGACGCGTCAAACAAGATGTTGGGGATTGGCCAGAGCGGGTTATTGTTGACACGGGGAAAGAGCGAATAGAAACGGTCAGTATTCTGCCAAATATCGGGTAGCAAGTGAGTGCCATCGGGGAAGATCAATCTCGATGTTCCCATTGAAAGGTAGGTACCGCCTAAATCATAGTTGTCGGTAATCGCTCGCTTTGTATTGTTGGTATGTGTCGTAACTGTACATTGGAACTTTGATGGATAGTATGGAATAATACTAATATACAATATTTTAGGTGTTGTTTCATTCCATGGTTTAAGTGTCAATGTTAAATAATCATCATCTAAATAAAATAAAAAACAAAAATGTGGGTGGTTAATAATCAGATGATGAACTATTTTTCATTATGTTATCTATCTATATTTTTTGACTTACATGGACGCATTGCACTCCATTTAAAATTAGATGCATCTGGATTGGTCATATTAGGGGAATCACTAATAAAGAAATCAATGTCTTCAAAGAGTAATGGACAACCAAATGATAGGACCATGGGACGATCAACGACAAAAGTATAAAAGGTTGGTATTTCAGACTGACCTTCACCCTCGAGCAAGTCACCATCGTTGATACATTGATGGGTGGGGAGAATCGCTGTACATGGCTGTGCAGGTGGCACTGGTGCTGAAATATCACTCGAATATACAATAAATCCAAATGATGCAGATGTTTTAATTGGTGTAAGTGAAATGAAATAGGTATTATTTGTCCAACTTTGCATTGGTGCCCAATCCGTATTATCACTTGGACAAATACCAATTTGAAGTGGAATCTAGAAGTAAATAGAAATTGATTAATTAATTAATAATGCATACTGTGTTGTGTTTAATTTAGATATTATTAACATACTAATGAAAGATCACCAGATGTTCTACGACCTAAACCTTCGGATGGATTGGTTGATACGTAGATATAGAAACTACCAGTATTTTGAGTACCGTATAGACGTAGACCTTGACAGATGGAGTTGTCTGCTTTGAGACGTAATTTGATAGTGTCTGAAGTCTCTGCATAGAAATAGTTGGTGTTTGTTTGAATGGTAGTCCATGGGTCATTCTCATAGTCGCAATATGGGATGGTGACGTTATTTCCGAGATAATCTGTCTCGGTGTACTCTGTTGGACAACTTGGACACCCACTTCCAGTTTGTGGACACGCTTGTGGATTGGTATAGTCACAGGTACAATCGATTTGAGGTGGTATGATAGGTGCCGCAGGACATGTGAAATTGGGACAGATCACATTCATGTAGGTGTAGAGTGGTTTGTCAAACGTAATGTCCATCAATGCAAAATCCATCTCTGCACTCATCACATTTGTGCTCTTACGCGTAATGCTACTTGATACTACTTTGACTTCATCTGCTGCTGATACAACTAATATAATATTTTGAAATAATACTACTACTAAAATACATATCGATAAAATGATATTCTTTGATGATGATAACCCTGGGTTAAGTCAAAAAAAAAAAACATGTTAATCATTTATTCATTACAACACAGCTTTGTTATATCTGTATCTAGTCGTACTTTTAAAAGATGGAGATGATTTCTTTGTTGTCATTTTCGGTTAACGTTGATATGATAGTGATGATGATCTGTTCTTTAGCAGCTGACAAGATCGATCCTTTACTTCTCTATCTCTATCTATCTAAAAGTAAGCTGCCAGAGTCACACTCGTGGTACTATTTAAATGTGTGGTGTGTATGTATGTATATTTATACAACACGTGCAAGTTTATATGTATGTACAAGATATTAAGAAAAAACAATTAAAAAAATAAAAGAGTTGGCAAGACATAACATAAACCTGCGTGGCAAGCGAACTGCCAATTAGCAACTTAAAAATACTTTGGGTGCAGTTGCCCTTGTTCAGCCCTCCATCTTCTTCTAGATTTTTTCGAAAAATCTCTAAAGAGCGCACCCTTTGAAAGGTGTCGCGTTTTTCGTGTGAATGATTATACAGATATTTATTGTGCGGTAAATCCATTCGTGAATGGATGGATGGGTGAGGAGTGATCACAGACAGCGTTGGGTGACCATATGATATTTTCTTTCTTTCGGCTGAACCACCTCGGTCGGTGATACTTTTAGACTGCCTCCTTTTTATCATGTTTAAGTAAACTGTAGTTGGAAATACTTTCAAATTGTACTTGATCCAAATAGCCCTGTAAATAAATGAGAGAAAGAGAAAAAGTTAGTAATTGTTAAAGTATCTACAGATTTTCAAAGATCTGTCAAAAAGGGCGTGTCCCTTTCAGCCATTCTTTCATTCTTTCGTTGACGCACACCGACGATCACCAATGCGTGTCGGGAATCATTAAAGTGTGAAAAGGGATGTGTGGAAAGAAGGGTAGATATCTCCCTGGCCAATTCCGAACCAAACGACGATGATAAAAGAATGAATTTGAGGTCGCGAAACATGTCTCGCGTTGATTGGTCGTAGATGAGACATAGCAAACACCAACTAAAACTTACTCTTTGAATGATTTCGTCTATATATAATACAAATTTGGGTATCTGTTCAATAAAGAATAACTCTGATACACCTTTCTTTTTACAAACATCTTTTAAGCATTCTACAATTGGATTCATTATATCTGATACTATAATAATATAATGGCAATGAAATTGAGTTGTTAATAATGTTATTGACTGACATGACCAAGACCGCGAGGAATAAGATAACATACATGCAAGTTCATCATATTCATCTGAAGATCCACACAAGAACAATAATAGTTCTCCTACATTTGTAAAGACTATTATATTTCCTCTATATATATTGGGACCGAAATAGATTTGTTTGTAAATTAGAATAAGATGGTGTCTGCTTTGTTGTTGTTGTTGTTGTTGTTGTTGTATAATATTAATTTAACCTACGCAAACTCTGTTATTAAATGCTTTTCATTCTTTGAGTGTATCCATTCATCTTTGGTGAGTTGATAGAGGATCTTTTCAAATTCATTTTGTTTCTCTTCGTTGAAAGAGTTGTAGTATTTAGAGAACACTATATTTCCATTAAGATTAGTTATCAATAAACTATTTATTGTCATTTTCTATCTATATCTCTATTTATCTCTTTATATGCGCTTTTAAAAGAGATAACTATCCTATCCTATCTCTATACAAATACAACAACTATAAATCACTTTTAAAAAATAGATTAAATTTAGGTTTGAAAAGATGAAAACACAGATCTGAGCGAGTTGACGAGAAATCACTTGGTTGTTCAATTTGCATAGTCTTATTTATATATAAATTGTATATTTGTATACAATATCAATATTATTCACATCTCAAATGTCAGCTCCAAATACACCTTCAAAGAAGCACCAGTATGTAGCATATTAGTTATAGTAGTACCCTTGTTACATCAAGTTGATTGGTATTAACATGTACTCTTTCTTTCTTTCTTTATCTCTCTCTTTCTCTCTCTATCACTTTCTAAATTGTAATTATAAAGAAATGAAAAGGGTGCTATTGCATTCCCAGATAGCTTCAAGATTGTAAAGACTGTAGTAAGAAGTGACTTTGGTTCAGATATCACCTCTGGTGTATACTCTTACTATGGAATGGAATATATTGCTGATAAGGCTGCTCATACTATCTTGGGTTGGGTATGTATACAGACAATGATAGACAAACAACAGCAATGATCTTTCTCTCTGACTAACATTATAAATCTATTTAGATGGGATGGAGAGATATGGACCAAAACGATAGAGAACGTCTCTCTTTACATTGGGTAGATCGTGTGTTGCATCCACAAGGAGGCATTCTTTTCACAAAGGGAGATGATAAGCAAAAGTTTTCTGGATTTTTGAGTCTATGGTTCAAACCAACCTTTTCCAAACCAGTTGTTGTCTCTGGAAAGGATGGCTCTGTAACCATCACCTATTGGGAACACTCAACAAATAATAATAACTATAATAAGCACAGAGTTGTCTTTGACACCAACGGAGAGATTGTTCAAAGAACCATATTAAACTCTACCAATCGACAATTCAACTTTGGTCTCAAACTTTCATTTGGTATTTTAGTACTTGGTTTTGCTTCATTTGTTGGTATGTATAAAGATTATAATAATAATAATAATATAAAAAAAAAATTAATTGTAAATATACTTACACATAACAATTATTGTTGTTTAGTCTTGAAAAAGAAATTACCATTATTAAGAAAGTAAATTAATTTGACTCTCTAATAAATAATAATAATATAACGATACTACTAAATGGAAAAACAGTTTGGCAATGTAATGCACATTTGTTGGCTGTAATAATAATTATTAGTTCATTTTTATTATAATTCCTTATAATAAGAGATGATCGTCTGGATCACAAATTGAAATGAATGGTTCTATTTCAAAATGGTATTTATAGAGGAAGATTATTCTTTTTTCATTTACATTTTGTTTAGGGGGTCGAGTTGCGTTGCTCATTTTTTAATCGGCATCATCTGTAGCAGTGTCCATTGTATCTTCATTGGATCTACCAGCGCTACTATTACCACCACCACCAAACATACCTCCACCACCTCCACCAAACAAACCACTCAACAATGAACCCAAACCACCACTTTGTGGAAGTGGAACCTTATAGAATACAAATGCAATTTGATCCAAATACTAATATATAGTAGTAGAAACGGGGTTAGCCAAGAGTTCTATTATTATTATTATTATTATTAATTATTATTATTATTAATTAATTATTTACCTTTGAAAAATCAGGGTCACGACCAATAGATGGAGCATATTTGGCACGAAGAGTTTTGAATAATGGAAGAGCATCTCTAGTCAAAGTCATCAAAAGGAAATTGGTAAAATTGATGAGTGGAGAGTCAATGGTGACTTGTGATGTGAATGACTTGAAGAGAGTGGTTGCGTCGTTGAGTTTGCCAGTGCAGAGGTATCCCAAGACGGCTCTGACAATGTACAAATCGGCATCAGACTTGTTGGGAGAGTCTTCAGCCCATGTCTTGAGCATCGATGCAAATGCAATAGGGTCGTCTCCAAATATATAGTGTTTTTGTGCGTCGATATAGTCTCCTTCACGTGCCAATGAATTTGCCAACAAGGTATGGAATTCCGGTGATCCCTTCTTCTCTGCTCCATTCTCTGCACTCCATTTAATTGCGTCTCTCATAAAGTTAGTCTTTGCTGCACATTCAGTTTCACCAAATCCTTTAAATATTTTAACAATGTTTTCTACAATATATATATAGAGATAGTAAGTGATTATGTTCATACATCTATCTATTTCTACAAACCTTTTGATTCATCATTGTATTGAGTTTTAAAGTTCTTGTATGTATCTACTAGTAATTGAGCACATTCAGCAGCACAATTCCATTGTTCGTATTTGAGAAAGTTGGTTGCACCTGACATGAGCAATGCAACGGTCTCTTTAAACTTCTTGGCTGCTGAGTTTCTAAAGTAGAGTGCTTTGTACGACTGCAATATATCATAGTAATTGCCTTGTTGGAATTTATTCTCCAATGATGCTATTTGTCTTTCAATCATCTCTCTATCTGCTATACTATACTATATATATATAAATCAAAACAAATAAATGCGAAAATGAAGAAGATGAAGATGACGATCCATCACCACCACAAGAAAGAGTAAAAATTTGATTTTAATTTAATTTTGTTCATACAACAACCTGTGACTGTTCACTTAGAGTTCACAAATTAAAGTTTGTTAACAGTTTAAGTTGATTCTCTCTCTCTCTATTTACTAGTCAAATAGAGAATGACCAGTACTGAAAACAACAATAACAATAGTAATAATATTCATGATGGTAAATCGGAAAAAGAACATGCAGATGCAATACATAGTCAACATTTCAAGACAGAGTTGATAGCTGGTGCAATGTCGGGTGCATTGACTAGATGCATAGTGGCACCTTTGGATGTTGTAAAGATACGATTCCAGCTGCAGAAACACGATACTTCACATGCACACCAAAGTGCAGTCTACAAATCCACGCTTCAACAAGAGTACAGTGGTGTCTTTCAAACATTGTCCAAGATCACACGAGAGGAGGGATACCGTGCACTATGGAAGGGTAATCTGACAGCAGAGATTCTATGGATTTCATATGGTGCCGCTCAATTTGCATGCTATTCTTCATTGAATAGAATACTAGATGAAAACTACACTAAAAATATTTGTAAAGATGAACATTATAAACCACCTCCCATCATTTCATTGGTATCTGGTGGTTTATCAAGTGCTGCTGCTACTCTTTGTATGTAATATATGTTTAAATATAGATTCAAAAATTGATCCAATACCTTTTAACTTATTTCTATCCTTTTTTTTAGTATCATACCCATTTGATACAATTAGAACAAATATAGTATCAAAAAAACATCATGTATCAATTTATGAAACATTGAAGGAGTTGGAAAAGACTAGATCGATTTATAATGGTGTTGGTAGTTCACTATTACAAATTGTGCCATTGATGGCACTGCAATTTACATTTTATGAAACACTTAAACATACTTGGATCAATTTGAGAACTAACCATGGAAACGCATCTACGCAGACGGCAAAGGCCGATCCAGTTGGACAATTTATATGCGGTGGCTTGTCAGGTGCCATGTCTAAATTCCTTGTACTTCCACTAGACGTTATTAAAAAAAGATTACAAGTTTCAAAAGGATCAACAATGCATTATACAATTACTACAATGTATAGATATGAAGGTTGGAAATCATTTTTCAAGGTAAATATATATATTTAACTTTAAAGTGAAGGAAATAATTATTCTCAAAAACATTTATTTATTTATCTATTGTTTTTTTTAGGGAGCAATTCCAAGTTTAATTAAAGCTGGATGTTCATCTTCACTATCATTTATGTTGTATGAACAAACTAAATTATTAATTAATGATACACTACAATTTAAACGTCATTAATTAATTAAACCCAACCAAAAACAAATTTATTTTATTTATTTATTTGTGTAAACATTAATGTTGTAATATCAATTCCCCCCGAACAATATAATATAATATACTCCTATCTATGAATTTGGTTCAGAAAGAGAGAGAGAAAGACAGATTATATTATTATATTATTATTTCTTTTCCATTTTTTTTTTTGAACAACAAAAACTAAATAGTTTAATTATTTTGGTATCAAAATTGGATCTCTACAAAAGAAGGAAAAAAAAATAATTAAAAATATTTATTTATTTTTTTCAAAAATCTAGAAAAAAAAACAATGATGATATTAAATTAAATAATTAAATTGAAATTGGTTGGATTCATCGATATGGATATAGAGTGAGCAATAGGTGTTTTGGAAATCGATTTAAAAAGAAGTTGGCTTGGGCAAATTGTGAAGGGTTTGGGGGGCGTCTTCCAAAAAAGGCAACCCGACAATATCAACAATAATAATATTTTTTAAAAGAAGCAATTTCAACGATAACGGGGAGCTGGTTCCCATTGCGACAGATCAACTTCATTGACAACTAACGTATCTTGGCACGCACACACACAACCAACATAGCACCAGATAACGATAGACTAGACAATAACAACAACAACAGAGACAGAAATATATTTAATAAGCTGCAGCAGTTCACGTTCCACAACAAATTGTTTTCATAGTTTTATATATATTTTAACATTAACATCTGTAACTTAATTATTATTACCAATACTACTACCTACCTATATATATAACTGTATATCATTACTTGTTACATTTTATCAATAACAACAACTTCATTATTAATCTTGCATCAAGTAATACGTTTTTAGCATATATTAGTAATAATACAACAACACAAATATTAAAAAGTAATTATAACTACTCTCTCTCTCTAAAACTATCTATCTATCTATCTATTTATAGACAGTACTTCATCTCATCTTTATACCTATCGTTTTATTCTTCTTAAATCTAAATCTATATTTGTTTTCTACAAATCTATTATCTTATCTTTTAAGGTGTAAAAGTAAAGTGTTCCACTCCACTCTTCCTTATAATTTTTTTCATCAAGTGATATCATTTAATCCCATCTCCTCAATATCAAAGTAAGATATATCTCTCATGTCTTATATATTTAAAATGTAATATACAGACATACTTTGATTTAATTTAACCATACCAGGCTAAATATGATGTTTGCACTATTAACAAAACAGAGGGTGACGAATGATTTTCAATTTTTAAAGAACATGTAATCCTGATGTATTGGGTTTCGTCTTTATATCTTTATCTTTTGCATACTTCACACACATCTATTTATTATCACACCTTTTAATCTCTCTCTCCCTACCTCTATATTTAAAATTAATTAATTAATTAATTAATATTAACCACACAACATAACTTCCTTCCTTCCTTCCTTCCTTCCTTCCTTTCCTTTTATTCATTTCCCATCATCAATTCAATTCTGACCTTTTTTTTTTTTTAGATTAATCAATATTAATTAATTAACAACAACAATAATAATAGTAAATAACCAAAAAAAATGAGCGGATATGTTGGAGATTTATCAGCTTCTCAAGAGAAAGCACTTCAAGAGGTAAAAGATCTTGTCAACAAAAATATGACCGATGCAACCAAAGAAGAGGCTGAAAAATTAGATGATTCTATGATCCTTAGGTATGAATTCAAACACCAATGTTACAATTTAAATAATTTATTAATTTATTATTATTCTGTAGATTTTGTAGAGCAAGAAAATGGGTAGTAAAAGACGCATATGAAATGTTAAATAATGCTTTGGTATTCCGAGGCTCATTCCAAAATGTTGGTGTCGAGAATATTAAAGAGGATAGCATTGAAAATGAATTAAAGAGTGGAAAGAGTTTCTTCCATGGAACCGATAAAGAGGGAAGACCCGTTTGTATAGTTAGAACCCGTAAACACGATGGTACCAATAGAGATATAGATGAAGCTCAACGTTACTGTGTTTATGTCATGGAAAGCGGAAAACAAATGTTAAAACCCGGAATCGAAACTTGTACTCTTATTTTTGATATGTCAAGTTTTAGTACTAAAAATATGGTATGCATTAAACTCACACTACAACTCTCTTTTTTTTTTAAAATAATATATTAATATATAAATATTTATCTCTTTTCTTTTTATTTATTTTCTATAGGATTATCCACTTGTAAAATTCATGGTAGATATGTTCCAAAAATATTATCCAGAGTCTTTGGCCAAGTGTTTAATTTTAAATGCTCCATGGATATTTATGGGCTTTTGGCACATTATCAAGCATTGGTTGGACCCATACACTGTATCAAAGGTTAATTTTGTAAAGACCAAGCAATTGGCCGATTTCATCCCAACCGAAAATTTATTACAGTCCTACGGAGGTTCTAGCCAGTTCAAGTACACTTACAAGGGTGTTGCCGTTGACGATTAATATTAATCCCAAACAACCCTTTTATTTTTGTACATTTAAACCCATACATATATACATACATATTTTAAATACACGACCCGTCCCGTTTGTAATATAACAAAACAACAAGAATCACGATAATAATAACCTTCTTTTAAAACTTTAAATTGAATAAATTTACTATAGTAATAATCCATCAATTATTACTATATTTTAATTGTAACAATTATCCAGTCTTGGATATTATTTAAGGTAGACATCTTTTGAAAATTGAATCACACTCTTCAAGTCTGAGGGTTTGATAATATATTTATTACTGTATAAAATAAATTAACCATCTTGTCAATATGCACTGAAGCTTGAGGAAATTGATTCTGTATAGAAGAATATTTTTTTATTTATTTATTTATTAATTCTTACAAAATAGATGTGTACATGTAATAGTAGTTGGTTGGTTACTATTGCTATTAATTTATTATATATTTTAAATCAAGACAGCAATTAAAAAGGTTGAAATAACAACCAATGAAGCGACGACTTGGGTCGACGAACTGTGAATGTAATAGTCATCGAGATCTTGGATAAAGTTGGTGTTTGGGGCAGACTCTTCGGTACCACCGGTGGTCAAACCACGTGGGGTGGTGTTATTCTTCTTGTGACGACCGGCCCAATCACCCAAGGTAGATACCTTGTCGTTGTTTCCGGAACCGGTACCAGTTGGGCTGGCAGTGGTCGATGAAGAGTCGGCCGTAGTGTCGTGACTGGTTGAGACAATTCCACTTCCACTTCCACTTCCACTTCCACTTCCACTTCCACTTCCACTTCCGCTTCCACTTCCACTTCCACTGTACTTGCCAGATGATCCAGAGGCACTGAAACTGGTCTTACCATCGGTGGTTGATGTCTTGCCGTCATGCTTGCCGTCGTTGTGACCGTCGAGTTGTTCCTCACCACCACCATAGTTGCATCCACTAGCACTTCCACTGGTTCCAGAGGTGTCTGTATCAGTAGCAGTGAATTTGACCTTCTTTCCCTTTGGTGCAGCGTTTGGACATCCTGTTCCACTGAAACTTCCAGTTGATGCAGAGTGTCTTCCATCATGTCTACCATCCGACGAGGTGGCGGAAGAGTCAATGGCGGTGAAACGAACCTTCTTGGCTGGTTCTCCTTGTTGGACGACTACAATATCGGCAGCAGCGGCGGCTTGGACCTTGTCAGAGGTACTGTCAATGTTGACAGCAGCAGACTTGTCAGAAGTACTATCAATGTCTTGTGCATTGATCGACAAAGCGAAACAAGCCAATAATGCAATGGCTACAAATAATAAGATTCTATTCATTCTAAAATATGTATGTATGTTGTTCAATTATATATATAAGTATATGTAGATTAATAGATGTATATTTATTTGAACTTGTGAAATATATGATCAATTTATAATGTTGTAGAACCATTTCGTTGCCTCGGAACCACTCTATAGAATAATTCTAGATTATCATTAAAATTAAACAGCATTGAAAAATATCGGGATCGACCTCATCATTTTTAAAAAGATATTTCCATTGATATTCGAATTCCATTTCAAAAATAGGCGACAGATTAAAAATGAATTAAATTAGAATTGCGTCTTGGCTCATGTACGATAACCTGACAGTTCTTACTTTAAAAATTTTTTTCCATCCTCTGAATTATCTCTTCTCGTGTTCTCTCTCTACTTGTAACTCGAGACATCCCACCAATGCGCATCAAGTTACGAGAATACCTTAAGAGTCAAAGAAAATTTAGCCGACCACAGAACACGTTCTGTTCGCAACAGAGAGAGGTTGTCGTATCGTCTTGTTGGAATCAGATGATAATAATAATATAAGTACAGGTTATAAGTCGTGTATTGATCGTACGATAATGCCATCAGCAAGGATGTATTTGTAAGTAAATATTTAAAATTCATATATTTTATTCTATTCTCTTTATTTTAGGTAGAGGAAACCAATATTACTCATGTAATTACAAATTTAGCCAGGTTGCTGTCAACAAGTCAACAACCAAATCGAAGGCACGCCAACCAAATCAACGGTACCAACCAAACCACTGTTGATTCGTGCTGTGGTACACCAACTCTGTTACATCTATTTCATATAATGCTGCTGCGCCTCACCACACCCTTTGTTACAATGAATGGTTTACTGTTGACTATATCTCTTCAATAAATGTTGTGTGATGTTATCTGTCCCCCTTTTATTTAATTAAAGTTGTAGTTTTTTTTTTTTATTTGAGTGGTGGCACTTGGTGATTATTACTTTGTGGTGAATTTAATTATTGGAGGTGTATTCATAATAATGATTATGAATACTTTTTCTTCTAATCAACAACCCTCTATACCATTATATGTACAAGCTATCATTATTGATAGATTGATCGTTTACACCAACGCTCATGTTTGTAGTCGAACAATATCAAATGGTTTTGAAGAGAGGATGCGTGCTCCATTCTATGATGGGAATTGTCACTATAGTTTGAGTCAAAACACACACTCTTCATTAAGATCAGACAGCGAGATATGTCGATTGTTGTATAGAGGTGAGTTGGAAGATTTCAAGCATCGCGGCCACGCTTATCTGATCGACTTGGCATTGGTCTCGAGATGGTGGTTTCAAGTGGTCAGAAGAACAAGGAGAGAGTTGACCATTATAGGAAGGTTCGAAAAGGACGTCTTTCTACCTCTTCAACAACAGTATTCTATTCACCACACTTGCAACATTCAAAAGATACATTGGAGAACGTTATTGGATAATATCGATTCTGACTATGATATGGAAGCCGACAGATTACAGTTGATTACAAAGAGATCATTGATCAATTACCACAACTAGATACTATCAACATTACGACAAGAGGTGCGTGGTTAGATTCTGTATCAAAGAGAATGAATGAAATACTCGTGTTGGCGCCACATATAAAGACGACAATGTTATTGGAACTTGGTGAACAAGATTTGTTGTGGGATGGTAGTTGGTCTGTTAAAATGCACGGGTTCACTCCGAATCATAGTACCGTGGCCATACACAATAGACAGTTAGCGGACAACGCCGAGTTATTCGATCATCTCAAACCAAGCTATGTCTGTCTCTTTCAGGGTGGCGGGTATTACCGCGACCTTGTACACTGTCAGTACAAAGACATGTTTGATCGACTCGAACCTCACATCAAACACATCTCGTTGGATGATGACTATGTCGAATTGTCGGAATTGTATGACTTGATAACATTGGAAGATTCAAAGTTGGAATCACTCGAAGTATCTATCATACTGTTGCCAAGAGAGGAAAATGGTGGTATTGCAAGCAGCTGTCAAACCATTGAAACGTATGATTCATACGCGGTCGGCGACCAAGACGACGAAAAAAAAGAAAAAGAAGAAGAAGAAGGAGAAGAAGAAGAAGAAGAATCGTCAAACTGGGAATGGATTTGTGATGCATTGGAGGAAAACACCACTCTCAAACGACTCTTGCTCAAAGATTATTATAAACATTTATACTTTAATGATTACTCGAAAAAAAACAAGGACATTGTAACAATACCAAGTTTTGAATGGCCGTTCCGCGCTATTTGGGAAAACAATACGACCATTGAATATCTTGGTCTGTCGTATCTCTCTCACATTATCTGTTCGAGGTTTTTTGATGAGATGCAGCACAACCAAACCATCACTACGTTGGTACTGACAGAAGAGACTATTCATCGATCATATGTACCATCATTCTGCAAGATGATTGCAAATACTAAAACCATTAAAACACTGTCAATCAGAGACAATCATTTGGAATGGTGCGACGAGTTTGAGCATGCGTTCCAACAAAACAAGTCAATCAAAGTGCTGGATGTATCAGGTAACAGGTTTGGATATAATGATGCTACACAACTATACAATTCATTATTGCAAAGTGATACTGTACAATACTTGGTATTGGACCATTCCAAACCACCGATCGACCAATCTGATTATGTCCGACAATCAAAATCATTAAAAGATTATTTCTACAGTGATTATAAAGGTGATATCAGAGCCGATAGTTTCCTATCACCATCTATTTATTATTTTTCATAACCCAAACCAAACAAGATAGAATTACATCAATTATAATTCCCTAGTCATTTGTTGTGAATTAATCAAAAATAAAAGAAAATGATTAATATATTTTAATTTTAAAATTCTGAATAATAATAACATTTTGTAAGAGTTATTGTTTTTGCAGCTAATTAAAGGCCAATAGAGCTACGTAGCTGTGACGGAGAAATGGATATGCCAACAGGAAAGTTCATATCTGATGTTATCAAGTATTTTAAAGAAGTAGAAGTGGAAGTGCAGAATAAAGAACATGCTCTTCCAAATCAAAAAACAATACTACTACTCTCAAAGAATACAGAACAAAAAGTGATATGGTTACTTTATCTACTTGCAAATGGTGCACCACCACAAACAAAGAAAAAGGTATGTCGTTGAAATTAACTGATTGATGAATGAAAGAGTAGAAGATCATCATATCTAACCACAACAATATTATCATTATCAACATATATATATAAATATAGACTGCCAATAAAGATATAACGATCCATAGTGCATCAATTAAAGCACTATCTCAAGTATTTGTAAAAGCAACAGCACCAGCACTACAAGTATCAAGAGAACTAAAACAAAGGATAAAAAAAGAGATTTTAGAATATCTCAACAAACCATTTAATTGGTTAGATGAACAACAAAGTCACCGTGATTTAAATCAAGCCCAGAATTGTATAAATATTATTCATATTGCACAACAAGGTATGTAGATTGATTGTTCGTCATAACTGTCGTCACAACACTAATAATTTTAAATATTTCTAGTTGGTGATGAATGGAATGAATTGATAGAATTTATAAACAATACGATGAAACATGAATACTCTGTCCAAAGGACAGGCTTTATGTTGATGTATCAATCAATTCAGTTGGGGTTTGAAATAGAGAGGACCATTCATGTAGAGACACTTTTTAATGCTCAGTATGCTTCTCACATCCCTTTTTGCAAGACAATCACAGACTTGATGGGTAATGATGAATCATTTTTTGGGTTTGTGGTCAAATCGATGGCATCGCTTACTAGTAAAGGACCTGAATTGGGCGACATGCTAGAAAATTTTCTTTATTATTTTTCTTATATACAATGTCATATCAAGAGAGATAGGTTATTTCTACTCTTTAAAGACGATATATTTGATATCATAGTAAATATGTTACAATTTGGTTTATTAGTTTGTCCTTTATCTTGTATACGAGCCGTTATTCCAAACTTTGTAAGTGTATATACATTTACAAAGTTAAAATATAATTAATTATATTTTAATATTAATAATAATCTTTTTTATTTATTTATAGGATTGTTCAAGATTGATAACGCCAATTGTCAATTCTCCAGAAACCTACCAAAAACAATTTGTTTTACACACCACATGTTGTTGATATACTTTGTCTGATTTCCCCCAATGTTTCAGACAAGAGACTTGTTGTGAAATCCATTCGACAGATATTGAATCATACAATTTTAAAGGAGCAACTCGACACAAATAGTTATTACAATCAATTGTACATTGTAAAAGGGTTAGGGAAACTCATTCAATTCTCGGGAGATGAAAATATTTCCATCTCGGTTTACCTTTCAAGATTGATGAAACATATTTACTCTGTATTGGAAGTCGACTTTGTATCGGATGAAATCGACTCGAGACAAGTAAATTCTTCATCTTGTTTGTTGAGAAGAAATCGTGAAAAGTATAGCAACGAAGAAATGGTTGATTACATTCAGCAAACTCTTTTATTATTGCACGAGATTGTTAAAGTGGTCCCTTGGCAACAGATTTATCCATATGCTTGGTGCCTAGCCATACACCTTGTCAAATTCCGAAACTTCCACGAATCATTTGCAATCATCCCATATCTCTTGTCGTCAATCAGCAATGACCCAAAATATTTTGATTCCCTATCAGATAATCGTTTCGACTATTTCGGTGGCGTCTTTGGTATTTTCCACATAGTAATGCTTGACAAACGGTTTTCAGAGTTTGATGTGTCACTAGATCAATTCAAAAATAGGATTCCATCCTTTATCTTGGTGACTCGTTCACTCCATCATCTCCTCCAAGCAGTCGCACCTGCTGTTAACTTGGACGTCGAGCGAGTATTTGAAGGTTTTAAACAATCCTACGCATTGCAATATCGTCAATTTCTAGCTCTTTTACTAGATCACCAGTATTCCAACCAAGATGAAGATGAAGATGAAGAAGAAGAAGAAGATCAAGAAATGACCATAGATGAACCTGAAAGGAATGACGATGATCATAATATTCAAAGTTTAGAACTATTTGCTGCTAATTGCGGTATTGTCAGCTTTATCATCACATTACTGCAATTAAATGGAGACGATAAGAAGATCGAGTACAAGAAATGATTATTTCCAGATGATAACGAGTTTCATAGACTTTGACAAGGAGGATATTCAAGACTGGACAAAGAATATAATCTTTATTGGTCGCTTTGATAGTGTAGTGTCGGTGTTTGGTGGTTCAATTCAATTTGCTATCAAACAATATTTGCAAATACCAAATGTTGGAGAATTGGTGGATGCTGGAGCGTTTAAGATTGAAAACATTATCAATCTATTGGATATTATTAAATTGACATCGAGTACAACGATGATAATGACAAATGATTTGAAAATGGCGATTGAAACCATCATCGAATTTGTTGAAAGATATCTATCTTTTGTACCTTTAATTTATAATCAAGAAGAAGAAAAGAACAAAACTCGTCAACAAATCAATGTCATTCTTTACAATACTATGAGTAAAAAATGGTTTAAAGGAAATAAAATTAATTAATTAAATTAAATAAACAAAAATAAATGATCTTTGTGTTTAACGAAAGTTATTGGGCTTTTTCAGCAAGCTCGACAACCGTCAAAGAGCGGAATTCGGCTTGCATGATAGATTTTTTCAAAAACAAAGAAAGAATCCAGCTCATCACAATCGCAGAAAACGTCGCCTAAAAATTGGTGATTCATTGTTTGACCTTTTGTAAATTTCTCTTTCATCTTACACAAATTTATCTATCTATCTTATCTATCTTATTTAATGTTCTAAAATACATATCATTCCCCGACAAGTAGACAAGAAAGAAAAGGTAGAAGAAGTGACGAAGAGAGAGAGAGAGAGAGAGAGAGATGAATAAAAATAGATTAAACTTTGGAACAAGTGGTGGACGAAGTAGTGGAGGGTTCACGTTGACGAGGCAGTTGTTGGTTGCATGTGTGGCATTTGTCGTCATTACAATGATCCTCATATCGAATATGAGTCAAAAGGATGGTGGTGGTAGTAGTGTGGTTGGACAGAGACAAGGACAGGCAACCGTGACGGGACAGGCATCCAAACAACCGACACCTGAAGAGATGCGAGAGAATTTAGACAGAGCTCTTGGCACTGCCACACACTATAGACAAAAGAGAAGACATGCCAACCCAGAGAACCGATACCTCAACGACGACAATGCAAGAGACGTTGCTTTGCAATATTGGTCGCCCAAGATTGTCGACCGTCGTCGAAAGAGACTGACCGACGAGGAGCAGATGGAAGCTAACCGTGAAAAGGCATTGGCTAGCAAACAGACCGAAGACGAGAGACTTCGAATCCAAGAGTTGGTCATATCGGACGTCAACCGTGAGGTTGCCTTTGTCGAGAGTCTCATGCAATCGGGTATTAAAATCGACGAATACGCAGCCGTGCCATACGTTGATCGCGAAGCTTATCCCATGTACCCACTCAATGCCAACTCATCGGCCGACTTTAAAAACAGTATGGAGTGGAAACAGGACCCTACCAAGAACCCATTCCTCATGCCACACCCATACATTTTCGTTCATGTTCCCAAGACGGGCGGATCATCCCTCGCCAACATATTCAAGAGAAATGAACGTCGTGACAAGTTTCACCACTTTTGGATGCGTCCATCCTACCAAGAAGTGCAATACATCTCCTATCTCAACATCATCTATGGTCACATTCGATTTGGATTGCACCACTACTACGAGGCCGAGCAACCAGGTCGTCTAGGTGTATTGGCGTCGGAGGAGATGAACCCATACAGCTACATGACCATGCTTCGTGAACCCGTCGACAGAGTCATCTCTCACTATTACTACCATCGTCAAAATCGTCGTGACCCAGGTCACGCCTTATCAATGAAATATACTTTGGACGATTGGTTGGATCACACTGGTGCTGCAACCAATGAACAGGCTCATATGTTGTGTGGTATTGCATCCACAGACACAAACGACAATCCAGAATTCCTTTCAAAATGTTCTCATTATCATCTTCAATAGTATGAAATCAAATCGAAAAAAAAAAAAAAAAAAGAATTATTATTTTATTTGTTTATTAATTTATTTTCATTTCTCTATATAGTGTATATAAATATGTTGGATTAACAGAGAAATTCCCAGAAAGTTTAGTATTATTGACACATTATACAGGATTCCAAGCAATTAGATTTTCAAAGATCAATACTGGAACACAACGTCTCAAGGTTGAAGACATTGATCCAAATGTAATCGAAAAGATCAAACGTTTGAATGCTATCGACATTTCACTCTACAACATGGCTGTTGATATTTTCGAGAAATCGGTCGATGCTGTCGGTCGTGAATTTGTTACCTACCAATCTGATCTCTTGAAAGATAAGATCAGACAATATTTACCATCAAAAAAGATTTAAATAGTAATAATCAACCTGAAATAATAGTAATATTACCATCCACACATACCAATAATACAAACAAACAAAGAATGTATAATATTTTGTAAATATTATTTCATTGCTCAACATCCAATCATCATCATTATCTAATTCCCTTAGTACTTATTGTACAAAGAAGAAGAAGAAGAAATTCAAAAATTCACAAAAACAAATAATAAATTATTATTATGCGATTATCTCCAAACATTTAAATAAATTAAATATTTATATTTATATTTTATATTTATTTATTAATTTATTTGATTTGATTTAAATGTAATTTAATGATTGGTTGTAATTTAATTGATTCACGAATAGATGTTGGTGATTGGAATTTATTTGATGCCAAGAGAAGAGCAACTGGAACAACATGACGAATTTGGTTGATGTTGGCGTGATCGATATGTGTGTAGATGGCAGCATCGATAATGTGTTGGGGAATAGTGTCTTGGTCATTGATTGAATAAATAGCACGTAGAATACAGTCTCTTGCACGTTGGGAATCAACCTTCATCAAACTTTCGACAATACCACATGACCTGTAGAAAAGCTTGTTGTTGGTTAATCCAAGATCAATCATTCTATTGCCATAAACCTTTCCTTTTAAAACAAATCCACCAGTTGTCAATGCATTATAAATCCACTTTAACGACATTTCATGATAACTATTAATACCCTTGATCAACTCTTGTTCATCCAAATTCAAATCAATCGATATTAAATTGACATTTAATTTTTTGAATTGGGTAGTAATAGTTGATGATGATGAAACCTTATCATTTTCCTTTTCATTTAGATATAATAGTACATTTGGTTTAATTGATTGTTTGTTGAGTGTTTCAATGATATTAATGATAACATTTAAATTGTGGTGTTGGTTTGGACTGATGGTGATGAGGACAGTGTCGTCACTAGTGATGGTTGGGATTATTGATTGTTGTAAATGTGATTGACTGATTTTGTATTGTTCAGAGATATATGATACATCTCCCTGGAGGTTATCCATAATACTCCATCCTTGACGACCTTGCTCGTCATCTAAAATGAAGCCACGCACATCCAAGTTACCAGCACCAAATGTAGGGACTGTCTCTGAAGCGTCAATGAATCCAACAATACCCATACTATCACTGGCGATATAGTATAAATGTCCATTATTCTTGAGTGACGCTCCAACACTATCAATAATTGGTGCCAACTCATCAATGTATCTGTAGGTTGATCTATATGCTTGTTCGTATAGGTTGAATTTATGTTGAATGGCATACACCAAGTCGGATTTACCATCTTGATTTTTCCCATCATTGAGTGAAAGTGCAAAGAGTACTTCCAAGAGTATTTTAGTGGCTGATCCAGACTTCATACGAGTGGATCCAGTCAGTGGTTCTGGGCCAATGACAGGGTTGATGAAAAAGAATTGTGATGGTGTCTCGAGTGCACGTTGGTAGAGGTTGAGTGCAACGTCGTTGAATGAACGGTCCCATTGTTCAATCTTGATCTTTCTAGCTCTGTCCAACGGGTTGAATCCCATGAGCGAAACGATATGGTTGCCTTTGACAGTGTTGAGGAGATAGTCGATCTGTGCAGCTACGTAGGGTGCACTGAAACCACATGTAATACCAATGTATACGAGTGTAGTGTTCTTTCTATTGTCCAACACTGATTGAATGTCTTTGATGGCTGCAACAGTATCGTCTTCGGCACCTTCAATACCGACCGTAAGTGATCTGTCACCTCCAGCAATCAGATAGTTGAATCTGACAGCTTGCTTCTTGTCAGACATATGTTGTTCAATGTATCTATTGAATGTACGTGCCACAAAAAAGGCAAGACGACCACTAGTACCAGCACCTGACATGACAAAGTCAACCATTCGCTTCGATTCATTATCATCACTATTGACAATACTACGAATAGACTTGATCATTGATGCCATCGATTCTATGAATTGACTATCATTCATACCAATGAATGACTTGTATCCACTGAATATCTGTGCATCGGTCGATCTAAACAATCTAAGCATCTCCAACGATGAGATACAGTCTAAATCACCTGTCAATTCATTTGCAGTTTCTGTAATTGATCCACTACTCATCTCTCTCTCTCTCTCTCTCTCCTATCTACTATCTACTACAGTACTATTTTTTTATAGATACGTATGTCTATGATTAGATTGATAGAGTTAATACCAAATAATGACCACGGCTTCGCTGCAGGGCCGATTTTAAAATTAAAATAATTTATTAAACTTTCAAGTGGATTAAATACATACTAGGAAGACTGTACTATCATCTGATCAACTCAGTTGCTCTACTACTCGTTCCCTTTTCAAAGTATCATCATATTGCAGTTCCATTGTTGGCTAGTGGTACCCTTTTATTCTCTGGTTCTCTTTATGCTATGGTTTTAACTGATAACAGAAAATTGGTATGAATGATATCATAATGATGATAATGACGATCGGATCATCATCCACAAGCAACCCTCTGATATGATATATTAATACTACTCTTTGTACAAAAAAAAATTATTATTGCGAATATGTTCATTCGTGGTTACCAGAATTTGTTTATTTATAATCTTCTATCAGACCATATTCATAACTATTTCTATGAAAAAAATTATAATAATACTAGAGAACATGTTCGCTCGAGCTGAGCACAAATCGTGGAGACTATGTCGTTTCGGCAATTCCCATGCAGTATACAATCTCGTCTCTAGAAAAAAAAAACAACGAGATCCTCATTGAATAACAGTGACAAAAGTTGGTCACTTGAAATCAATAATCAATGCATCACACGAAAAGTTATGCAACAATGAATAATAATAATAGTAGTAGTAGTAACAACAGGCTACTGATATTGATGATAGTTACACTACTCTGTTGTCATTATCATATTTCACTATCAAATGCACAACAAACTATTCCAGATGATGAACGTATGTATAACAATACCTCTACGATCTAGAAAAGAGTTAAAATCTTAACAATATTTATTCTATCTTTATAATATTTATACGCTATCAAGTTCAATCAGCTATTTTCCTAATTAGGTATGATGATCACTATATATGACACTACTCTGTGAGATTTAAATACATGAATATATCCTAACAATTGATCCTGTGTTTCTATTCTATTCTATTTCATTTAGACAATATGGAATGACAGTACCACAGAATCAGTCTCTATGTCTGGACCAGGGATCAAATAAAGATAACTTTTTTTGTTCAAACAAGACATTAGATGGACAATATCGTATTGTTGAAATGTAAGACTCAAAGAAGGATATCTGTAGAACCCTGTGGATTGGATATTATCTAACCTTTACTCTCAATTGTACTATAGTCTTAAAATTTCATCTATTTTTACCAATGTTGGAATCCCCTCGTCTTCTTTGACATCATTTACAATGCCTGCTTTGAAGAGAATCTATATAGATAGTAGACCTGGGGTTACCAATCAATCAATCAATATCCTAGAGTTGCTCAAATCCTCCAAAAGTTTGGATGTCATTGACTTGCGCAATGATCGATCAATCACCTGGATTCCAAACGATTTTAATAACTTTCCAAATCTTTCTAATGTGATGTTTATCCTTGTCCAACCATTAATTGTACCTCTATCCTTTCTAAACAACTCTATCAACCTTAAATTAATAGATTTTGTATTTCCAGTTTCATCTATTTCAATTGACGATTCCCTCTACTTTCCCTCACTCCAACGTTATTCTTTTGATTCCGCTTGTACCTATGGATCGCATCATATCAATGTAACCTCTAAATCATTTCCAAAACTTAAATATTTGTAAGTACTTTTCAAATAATACAATAATAGAGCATTTCACTAATCTCATTATCCTCATACATAGTTTCGCGCGTTCTCTTGAATACTACTTTACAAATCAAAAACAACATCACTTTCAAGGTTACCATGATGGATTATAATCCATATTTTAATCACACGATAACAATTGATGACGATATTGTCTGTACCAATGTAACGAATATTTCTTCAACCCAAATCCAATGTTCAACTCCCCTTTTATCGAGTGGTATTCACCAATTAATAGTTTCAAACTCACACGTACAATCAACACAATTCAAATTTAGTTTTTTCTCGTTTGCCAATCTCTGTCAAAAATCAACCAATAATTGTTATGGGAATGGAAAATGTGATGTTGATGGAAATTGTATATGTAATAGTAATTCATTTTACAAAGATTGTTCAAAACGTATGTCATTTCATAAAACTCTAGAGCTACTAAACACGTTCAATATCACTAACTATATTATTTATTCATTTAGCATACCCAATTATAAGTTCAGGAAATTATAATTCAACAAACAACAAGTATGTTCAATTGAATGGTGATTTTGGTCCATCATCCAACCGCCAAAATCTATCGATCATGATTAATAGTACAATCAAGTGTGTTGTTGGATCAGTATCTCAATTCCAGATCAATTGCACACTTGATCAACAGCCATTATTTGGATTGGCATCAGTTCAACTTCAATTTAATGATTTAAATACATTGGCAAGAGATTTATTAAATCTTCAATCACAACAACCATCACAACCATCATCAAAATCAGAATGTGAAACTATTACATTTAAATGTTATGGACATGGATATTCATAATGATATTGATAATTGCTTGACAAAATGTATGTACATGTTGAACAATTATCAATAAACAATATTGAATATTTAATATTAATATAATTTTTTCTGTAGACATCAATACAACAGTCGCACCAAATACAACAGATCCAACAGTATCATTTGATTTTGATGGAGTCGATTTTCTATTTGAAATTGTATCGGTTCAGGAATTGGATTTGGATGGTAATATTGTCAAAGAAATATTTATTTCCAATTACACTTGGAATGTAAATGCATCCACTATCAATAATCACACAACCAATATCAACTACCAATTGAATACTTCATCATCGCTCAGCAATAATTCATACCAACCAGCTCAAGTACAATCAACGATATCATTCTCGACACAACCAAGAACGGTTGAATTTGGAGGCAAACAATTATTGATGAATGCCAACTCTATCAAACTAGAGGTCAATATCAGCAAGTGGCAGTATTCATCAAATCTGGCAACACTTCGAGTTGTATTTAAAACATTGATCAACAACAACCAATCGATTGAATATGATTGTATCAACAAGGATATTGAATCATTCAGTTATGATTCATTGTCATCGTTGCAATATCTCAGAGTGGTCAAAGATGGTATCCAATTCAACGGTCGATTCATTGATGTTGCAATGTCTGATGGAAGACCAACCTACTCACCAACTCAACTCATATCATCGACTAGAATCAATGACCAACAATCGATTGTAATGATTGGAATTGTATTTCCCCAATGCCAATCATGTATACTCGACCCAGATTTCAGTGCATTAATTGTGGATACCAGCAACAATAGTCATCACACATGTGACAATGATGATCCTAACAACCAATGGAAGATGATTACTGGAATAGTGGTTGGAGTAGTTGGAGCTGTGGCTCTATCAATCGTTACCCTTTATGGTATCAAGAGATTTAAAAGATACTTGGTACTACGTCGTAAATCAATCGCCATGTCAAAAATAGACAAATAATAAAATAGTATACCAAACCTTCAAAACTGACCATTGCTCGAATAAGGCGGCCTTCATCTCGATAATAGGTAGGATTATCTCTGATAAATGTTTCAAGTGATCCATTTTCGATTAGTTTTGTGATGATCTATTCCAACCAACGTAGTACTAATATTAATATATGTACTGTTATTAACTGTTGAAACCATTTCGATTTATGAGTCACCTATCATTAATGATTCATTTGCAGTTTCTGTAATTGATCCTAGTTACTCATCTCTCTCTTCAGTACTAATTGTTTATAGATATGTATGATTTGATTGATTGGTGCTTGTTAATACCAACAACAAATAATGACGACTTCACTGCAGGGCTGATTTTAAAATTAAATGAATTTTATTAACTTTAGAAATAACCATTGCCTTTGATCAATTCAAGCGGATTTAGTTTCATTTACAACTAGTTTCAAATACATAATACAACATAATGAACCCATCAATTTGGTTTTCTATTGGAGGTCTTAGTGGAGCAGCAGCCATTGGCTTCGGAGCCTTTGGTGGACATGGGCTTCAAAACAGAGTAAAAGAAGCCAAGATGCTAGAGAATTGGAAGACTGCATCATACTATCATCTGATCAACTCAGTTGCTCTACTACTCGTTCCCTTTTCAAAGTATCATCATATTGCAGGTCCATTGTTGGCTAGTGGTACCCTTTTATTCTCTGGTTCTCTTTATGCTATGGTTTTAACTGATAACAGAAAATTGGTATGAATGATATCATAATGATGATAATGACGATCGGATCGCTGAATCTATCTATCTATCTATTATACTACTCTACATTGATACTAATTTTTTGTATTCATAGGGTATGATTACACCAATTGGTGGTCTTGCAATGATGGGTGGATGGGCTGCTTTAGGTCTTGGTGCTAGACTACCCCCATCATTTGTTTAAACTCAAGTATGTCTCTGTGCACAACAGCTCTGTCTGTGACAGTTCATACATGTATCAACACAAATAATAAAACCCTGGTTTAGCTCTACCAAGTTTGTATTTTAAAAATAAGAAATTATATATTTGTTTTCTTTTGATTCGTTTATTATTATTATTATTATGGTTTGTTGTTGTTTTAATTTCCACCGTGTGAGTGTCCATGAGCATCATTTCCACCATGACCATGACATGGTTGGCCACCATGTGAATGACCATGTTGTTGTTGTTGTGGTTGTGATGGAACAGCAGATGGAGCAGCACCGTGAGAATGCCCATGAGCATCATTTCCACCATGACCATGACATGGTTGACCACCATGAGAATGACCGTGTTGTTGTTGTTGTTGTGGAGCGGCACCATGAGAATGTCCATGTGATGATGATTCATTTCCACTACCACCGTGTCCATGAGCATCATTTCCACCATGACCGTGACATGGTTTACCACCATGTGAATGACCGTGAGCTGGTTGTGGAGGTGGTGGAGTTGAAATATTTTTGGGCAAGTCTGCTTGCATTACACCAGTGTTGACAATATCTGTCAAAGTATTGATATATTGTTGAATAATTTTCTTTTCAGAGAGTCTTAGATAAATTAAATATTTGTTCCAGTCACTTGGATTCTTTGCCAATGCTTCTTCATCATCCTATATATAAATAAAAAGTAAGTAACTAAACTAATATATCTATTTATATTTCTTTCCTTACATTAATTGAATGAGAATAAGTATTTAATTTCTTTCTTAGATAATCAATTGCCAATTTGTAAGCGGCAGCTTCATTATTTTCATTGAGTATTTCGTAAGCCTTTTCGTTGAGGTATGGACGGAAATAGGCAGCGTCTTGTGGGGTATGGTTGTGTTGGGTGCTGTCGTCGTATTTGGGAGCGACGGTTGCCAACTCGTCTTTGGTGAGTGCGACGACACGGAAGAATGGGATGAGAGGGTCAGGGAGTGATTGGGATGGTTTCTTTTCGAGAGTGATGTTCATAGAGGCACCCATACCGCGTTCTTCGAGGACGTGGAGCTTGTCGTGGTAGACAGATTGGTCGCCACCGGCAGCGAGGGTCAACTTGATCTTGGTAGAGTCGTTGGGGTTATCTTGTACGCAAAAACCGCTGTAGAGAAGGAGTTGGGCGTTGGGACGGTCGCCATAGTGGATGAGCACCTGCTCACCCTTGGTGAACGAACGCACGGCTGCGCAGGTGAGCGACTTGCGGTCTGGCTCGTAAAAGGTGGTGATCTTGCCTTCGACGAGATGGTTGCAGAGATCCCAGAAGGGGATGAGCGACATTTGGTGTTTGTGGGCACTTTGGAAGACCATGGCGACAGTCTGGTCACGCACGTTGGGAAAGGAGATGGTGCCCCATGGGATCTGGTTCTGACGACTCATGACAGTTGACACGGCCCATGTAAACGTGTCCCAAGTGAACGAGCTCGTGGCGACAATACCAGGTGTCTTGTTGAAAAAGTCGTAGAGGAAGCAGTACTGACGCAAAGTATTACGGTATGTTGAAATGGCCTCTTCGAGCACTGCTGATCCCAAGAGTGCGCGGAAATCATCCATTGTAAATTGAAGAATGGTGCGGTATGTACGTGGCAACATACGGATATACGGTGCCCAGAAAGACTTTGGCATAATCAATTGCTCCTGAATGAGGTGTACGGTCAATAAGAGCGATGGGATGTATCGGAACAATGGCTCACGAATCACCTTTTCTCCAATCGACTTGATTGCAGTCTCTTGAGTCATAAACAACTTGGATGGCACAGCGATAAACTCGTCACCCTCTCCAATGTCACCCAATGCGACCAATCCACTACCCTCGGTCAATCCACGGACAATCTTGACCTTGTCAAATGCCTCCTTGCATCCATTATCCGACAACCACTTGGTGAATGAATCGACTACCTGTTGTTCACTCATTGGAGCAGCTTCCACCTTTTTCAATTGTGATTGTAAATCTATCAATTTCTTTACATTGTTGAATGTCTTTTCAAATTGTTTCAAGTCTGTTACTGTTGGTCCAATTGATTTCTCCTCTATATAATATTATAATATAACATATTTACATATATTAGTAACTTTTTTAATCATTTCAATCTTTAAATCTCTCTTCATGTACATCATCATCGTCATCTTCATCATCCTTCCTTCCTTCCTTGCTTCCTTTCTATCATGTGACACAACCGATTATTATTATTTCATCGTTTCATCTCTTTCTTTCTCTTTGTTGTTAGTTTGCTTGTTGTTGTTCGTTCGTACCATTATCGATTCTTTCAACCAACTCTTTGATTTGAGCTAATATTTTAATCATTCTCTCTATATATATCTATATTGTAAATACACAAAGTAAAAGAAAACAAGTTCAAATTGGAAGATCTTGCTTTTTTATTTTTTTTTAATTAAATTTCAAGTTGAAGAGAGTTGGAAAAAAAAGATAATAATAATAATTTACTATATATATTCCTAAAGATTATTCTTTTTAGATTATATTTGGTTTAATAAATAAATAAATAAATATAATAATTTAAAACTTGATCTTGAAATTAATCATATGATGATTTATCTGTCTATCTATTTTTTAATTTTCTTCTTGAGTGTTGGAATTTGAAGATGTTGAAGTTGTTTCAATGATTGTTTCATTATTATTATTATTATTTCCATTTTCTTCAATACTATCTTTTTCTGTTCCTTTTTTAACAAGATTATCGGTTCTACTATTTTTTCTTCTTTCTTGGCCTCTTTGTTGATTGGCTTGATCTATTTTTTTGTTGGTTTCTTTCATGGATGCTTGATCCAAGTTGTTTATGCTACCGGCACTTGGACTGACATCGGCGACTTGGGAGAGGATTTGGTCAATCTTGGCGACAACCTCGGCCGAGTATCTCTCTTGGACGGGTGATGTTTGGCGTTCGTGTGCCTCTGCCTCTTTACACGTTAATACTACAATATTGCTGGGTGCCAATGGCAGCTCTGGTCTCCATCTTCTAGTGGTGAGTGTCTGCTTGTTTTCTCCCGACACGCCACTGCATCCGCCATAGACCTCGTCGACGAGATATCGGAGTGTAGTGGAATCAATCATTTTTCTGACGAGCAATGGTGAAGTGTGGAAGACGACTTGTTCCATCTTGGTGATAACTTTGAGCATCTTGTTGTACTCGCCCATTGCAGGTGGTGCTCTCTTTTCCTCTTCGAGTACTAGTGGCAGGCCGACGAGTGCGTTTAGACATGCGTTACCCATTGTCGAGCCAAAGATGGTTGGGATGGGCATCGACACGCCCAACGTGCGTACACGTAGTGTCGACTTTACTTGTGTCTTGAGCAACTCCTTTTCCTCCTCTGTCAGAGGAATCAGCTTTTTGCGGTGTGTCTCGGTTGAGTAGACGCATGGGATGCCCGAGGTGATACCATTGACACGCAACAAACGACGCACCTCCTTTCCAAATGGACACCCAAACGTGAAAGCCAAATCGCATATATTAATCTTGGTAGGGTCGCTCGACGAACCAGCGCCAAACGACGACATGACGGGCAGACCGTTTTGGTGGCAGTATGTGAGCAGCTGCACCTTGGTCTCGGTGTTGTCGATGCAGTCGAGGACATAGTCGGGTTTGCCACCGAGCAATTGTGGTGCCAAGTCGCCCGTAAAGAACGTCTGGAACGCCTCCACCTCGACCTCGGGACATATAGCCGCAAAGTAACTCTTCATCATCTCCACCTTGCTGCGACCGACATCCTTTCGCTGTGCCAACACGTTACGGTTGAGCGAAGAGATAGTGACGAGGTCTGGATCAATCAAACGGATCTTTTTGACACCCGAACGCAGTAGCACGTGTGCTGCAGCTCCTCCAACACCACCGAGACCCACAACAATGATAAATGCACCACGAATCTTTTTAAAGTTCTCTTCTCCATAATACAACATGGTTCTATTCATTTGTTCGTCAAATATCTGCTCTTGTTGCATCGTGTCTATGTTTGTCTTGTCTTTTGCAAATGGGTCAGCGGTCGATACTGACGATGAAGATGAAGGTGCAGCAGATGGTTGTGTCCACATATTGGTAGTATCGATTGGTTGTATATCATCGCTATCAAGATGCATCTTGTTCACTTCCTCTTCACTGATACCTTCGTCACCGTCCGACGTCTTCTTTCTCTTTTTGACTGGTGTATTGCTAACCTTTGAAGTGATATAAGTGGCAGCTGCACCAATACCAGCTCCCAAAGCCGCTATAATGAATCTATTATCCATATCTCTCTCTCTCTCTCTCTCTAGACAGATAAATATAACATGAAAGGTATATATAGATAGATTAAACTAAAAAAAACAAATGAATGCGAGTTGAGTATTTGTCTTGTTCAAAACTACTCAAACCTTGAAAATAGTAAGAATTTTAGTTTTATTCATATTTACTTTTAGTTCGTTGTATATGTATATTTATATTTTGAATATGAATGATGTAATACCATTATCATCATCATCAACTAGTAGTAGTAGTACTACATCGACAAATACAAATACTACTTCAACAAAGAATAAGAAGAAGAAACAGTTGGTTCATGGTGATGATCAGCAGAAGGTCAATAATACGACCAACCCATTATCATTTCAACAATACTTGAATAATGCTTCTTCACAAACAAAAAAGGATACTAATGTTGATAATATAAATAAGAAGAAAAAGAAAAAGAAGAAGAAGATAAAATTGGTGAATGCTGCTCCAAATGTTGGAGTGTCTCATCATCATCCTCCACCAAGTGCAATCAGCATTGATGAATCAATACAACAAAAAATCATTCAAAACAAGAAACTAAAGAACCCAAAGAACAAGTTGTTTGTAGTTCGTGATACACCAAAGATAAAGAAACCAACAACACTCAAAAGGAATATCTTATTGTACAAAGAAACAAAGGAGAAATTAATTGAACAACAAAAACAAGATCAACAAGAACAAGAAATCAATCAGCCGGTGGTGGTGGTGGTGGATCAAGAACCAACATCATCCATCCCATTTCCTCCTCCTCCTCTTCCAACAAATGACAATGATCATGGTTGTAGTGCACAACCAAATCATTTAATTGAAAAATTGGAAACCATATCATTGGAGAATCAAAATCCAGAACAACAACAAGAAGATGTAAATCATCAAACTAGTATAGTGAATGGAGAAGAAGAAGACAAATTTTTAATGGAATTTAAACAAGAGTATGGATAAATATTTGTATATTATTATAAACAATCCAATCCAAGTACTAACTATATTTATTTTATATTTAGTTATATTAATCAAATTATAAATCAAGAGATTAATGAAAAGGCAAGGGAATTTATAATTAGAATTAAAACAATGCAAGATAATTATACAAAGAATAATCCAAAGAAACCAAAAAAGAGATTTATAACTGGATTGAGAGAGATTGAGAGGGACGTCGATTGTGACAAGATATCGTGTGTCATTATAGCACCAAATATCGATGATGTTGGATGCGAGGGTGGATTGAACCCAATGATTCAATCCATCATTCGAATGTGTCGAAAGAAACAAATACTCTATACCTTTGCGCTGTCCAAACGAATCATTGGCAGGTTGTTACATGTACCCATCAAGATTAGTGCATTTGGCGTACTCAGTCATGACGGTGCTCATGACCTCTATAGACAATTGGATCTATTGACACAACGTGCCAGAACAACATTTAGAGAAAACTATAATCAAACTGTAAAGTTGCATGGACAGGAAGCACAGAAACAAATACAACAACATCAAACGTCGACCAAGGAAATCAACCAAACTGTCAACAAGGAGATAAAATCAATTGGCCAAAAACATAAAGACACCCTTAAAATACATAAACAAGCTAGAGAGGAAAAAGACAAGATCGAACAGGAAAAGAGGGATCGTATCAAAGAACAAAAGAAACAAAAACTACTTCAAGAACAACAATTAAAATTACAACAAAAACAATTGGAAAAACAAAAACAATTGGATTTATTACAAGATCAATTAGAGAATAGTCATGTTGTGACCACTAGTACAACTTCAACAAATAATAATAATAAGAAAAAATCATCATCCTCTCAACATCAATCCAAACAACAACAAAAACAAGATGCAATGATTAAAAAAGGTGAAGTTTCAGATCAATTACTATATAGTAATACAAATACTGGTGGTGTATCGAGTATTAATAATACTGGAATGATGTCAGATCATCAAAAACCTAAAAAGAAAAAGTAGATAAAGATAAAGACAATACAGCCAAAGAAATACTCGATCGATCATAGGACACAGGTCACTCACTTGTATAATACTATTTATTTATTTATAATTCCGTGTTGAATAAAGACAGGTCGAGCATAGTCATAGCGTATACGGCAAGTGGAACAAAAAAAAAGTATGATCGAATCGTTCCGGCTATCTGCAGCAGCAGTAATATTACTTTACTTTCCCGAAACCGACGTCATATCTCTGGAACATACAAAGAGGTTCGTTCGTTTTTTTTTGGCGTGATATTTATTTTTATTTTTATTTTTTTAAAACCGAAACCTTGAAGTTATTTGTCCTCTATCAAAGGGAATCGTTTGTCGTGTGGGGCAACGGCCAAATTCGGGGTTTTGAATTAAATTAAATTTAATTTATTTTCTGTTTGTTGTTCGTTCAGAACCGCAGGCAGAGTAATAAAACCACCCTCTCGTTGTTGTTCTACTTGCTTTTTCATACACCTCTTTACTATAACCTTAGTTTATTTCTTTGTATACCACCTTTTTTATATCTCCTCTCTCTCGACTTTTTATAATACAAAAGGTATGCATGCATAAAAATAAAACAAACTAAAACTATATTTGGTTGGGTTGACTGGAATGAAATAGAGAGAGACAGACATGAATCGAAATTGAACTTCAAGATCAACCACACCAAATTTACACAATTACAATTGGGTGTTAAAATTTTCCTTAACCCAACTACGACGACGATGTTCATCGTTTTGATTATGATTATTTACTCAATCATTTTACTTACTTTCCCTTTTCTTTTTTGTCCCTTATCTTGTAAAGTAAAGTTAAATCTTTTAATATATATATAGTATTTTTTTTTTTTTTAGAAGAAGATGAACGGTTTAGAAAAAATTAAACAAATGCCAGGTGGAAAGTTGTATGATGAGTCAATGTTTGTAGATGGATTGGATGCATTTGAGCTGTTCTCCAAGCAACATGGTTACACATACGATGATTTGATCATGTTGCCAGGACACATTAGTTTTGGTGCCGATGACGTCGGACTCAAGTCGCGTCTCACCAAAAACATCGCACTCAACATCCCACTCGTGTCGTCGCCAATGGACACAGTCACCGAGCACACCATGGCCATCAACATGGCATTGCTCGGTGGTATGGGTATCATCCACTACAACAACACGATCGAAGAGCAAGTCACCGAGGTCAAGCGTGTCAAACGTTTCAAGAATGGCTTCATCACCGATCCCATCGTCCTGTCACCCAAACACAAACTGTCCGACGTAGACAATATCAAGGCCAAGTTTGGGTTCTCGGGTATTCCTATTACCGAGGAAGGTCGTATTGGATCCAAGCTCGTCGGTATCGTCACATCGCGTGACACTGATTTTATCAAGGATCGTTCGACCGCGTTGGCTGATATCATGACCACCGATCTCGTGACCGCACCCGCCAATTGCACTTTGGAGGAAGCCAATACCATCATGAAGACATGCAAGAAGGGTAAGCTGCCCATTGTCAATGACAGGGGTGAGTTGGTTGCTTTGGCATCGCGTGACGATCTCCTCAAGAATCGTGATTTCCCTCAAGCCACCAAAGACTCTGAGAACAAGCGTCTCCTCGTCGGTGCAGCCTTGGGTACCCGTGAACAGGACAAGTTGCGTCTAGCTGCCTTGAACGAGGTCGGTGTCGACGTTGTCATCCTCGACTCGTCGCAAGGTGACAGCACATACCAACGCGACATGATCCACTGGATCAAGCGTACCTACCCACGTATCGACGTCATCGGTGGCAACGTCGTCACCTGCAAGCAGAGTGAGTCACTTATCGCAGCCGGTGTCGATGGTCTCCGTGTCGGTATGGGTGTCGGCTCGATCTGCACCACGCAAGAGGTTATGGCATGCGGTCGTCCCCAAGCTACCGCTGTCTTTAAAACCGGTCTCTACGCATCGCAGTACGGCGTACCCATCATTGCCGACGGCGGTATCCGATCGATTGGCCATATCATCAAGGCACTCTCACTCGGTGCATCGGCTGTTATGATGGGCTCGATGCTCGCCGGTACCGAAGAAGCACCCGGAGAATACTTTTACAAGGACGGTATGCGTCTCAAGAAATACCGTGGTATGGGTTCCCTTGAAGCCATGCAAAAGGGTGGTGACCAACGTTACTTTAGCGAGGGTGACAAGATCAAGGTTGCCCAAGGTGTCAGCGGCAGTGTCGTCGACAAGGGCACTATCCGCAAGTTTGTACCCTATCTCGTACAAGGTATCAAGCACGGTCTCCAAGATATCGGTTCACCAAGTGTCAAACAACTTCGTGAAGATGTATACAACGGCAAGGTTAGATTTGAAATTAGAACTGCTGCCGCTCAAGTTGAAGGAAGTGTACATTCCCTTTTCTCTTATGAAAAACATTTTATGTAAATTTTTATACCAAACCAAACTATAATTAATTAATAAACAAATAAACAAACAAATCGGCGGCAGTTTTCTTTTGAAAAACAAACATATTTTATTATAACATATACATTTTATATTTTATATTTTAATATTGGTATTTTTATTATTATTTCTTTCAAATTTCGACCTCTTCAAATTTCGACGACAAAAACCTCAAACAATTTTGTGAGAAATATCTCTAGTAGTCCATAAATATCAAATATTAGATAGATTATTATTACTTACTATTATTAGTTGTATTTCTAAAATGTCAGAGAACATTTGGTATTATCTAAAGACCGAATGCTATGTACAATCTGAACAAAAGGATCTAAAACCTCCTCTATCCATCTTTGCTGGTGACTTGGAGGAAGTAGGTGGCCACCCTAACGATCGTCCAATTATACAATCATCGTACTTTAATTCATCAGAGTATAGTCTGTACAGTAATGGTGGTGGTAGTAGTCAATCAACTGACACTACCTATTCAACCTATGGTGTAAAGATTGATAGTATCTATGGTAGTGACAACCACCAACAGCAGCAGCAGCAGTCTTCTGCAACCACTACTCTGAGTCCAAATACTAATAGCTATGAAAATGCATCAACATCTAATTCAAGTGTATACTCTGCCTACATGAATGATAGTACTGGTAAGTAAATACATAATATATATAACCTATATAGGTTATGATAGGATCAGCTGTCCATAACCTTTATTCTTATTCTTTTTTCTTTCTTTCTTTCTTTCTTTTTTATAAAGGAGAGTTAAATAGTGGTTTATCAGCAAGTAATGCTTCTACAACTGATTTCTCATCATATAGTTATGAGAATGCAAACAACAACAAATCACCACCATCTGCAAAGACAATGACAATGACACCATCTTCGAATAATGTCCGTGTCAGTTCTTATTCATCAGAGTATGAGTTAAGTAGAAATGTGGCATTGTCTGGAAGTGGAGGAGGAGGAGGAGGATCTATATATGGTAGTGCCTATTCTTCCTATCAAGACCTTGGTTCTTCTTCAGGTGGATTAGATGAATCAATGAGATCAATCTCTGCAGATATTCAAGAGAAACAAACCAACAACAAAACAACATTACCATGGAATGAATCTTTCCAGGAGCTTTTAGATAAACCTGTCAATTCATTGGACGAAGAAAAGAATAGAAATACCTCTATTTCATTATTCTCTACGCATCTTGCAAACACAGCCATGTAAAGAATATAAATAATATTTAAATATTATTCTATTTCTATTTATTAAACATTTTTTTTTTTTTTGTTTTAGGAAATACTGTAAATCACTTGTTCAAGAAGTTCACATGCATCCTGACCATAAATCAATCAAACCCATGGATGTTGGTGGTTTCGCTGGAGGAGAAAAGTATAAAATTGATAATATGTTTATTAAATTTGCTCTTGTAAGTTGATTAAGATTAATCTAATAACTCAAAACAAAAAATATAAATAATATTAATATGTTTGATTTATAATATTTATAGAATCCACATTCAATTTATGAAAAAGGTAATCCAGTATCCTATTTTGCAAATAAAGCAGCTGGTCATGAATTAAAAGTATGTAATATATACCACAATCAATCTATATAAACTATAATAATAGAATCTATTTATTTATTTATATTTCTTTCTCAAGTCAATTAATGCATTAGTTGGATGTGGAATACCAAATTTACATTTTCCATTAATGTGTTTATTAAATTATCGTGGCTATCGTTTGATTGTCATTTCAGAACTACCCATTTCATCTACTACCATGGTATTTGGTAGTGCCAATGCTGGTGTAACCATTCATGAAAATGATACTGTTAGAATGATGATGGTAAAGATTGGTGAGATACTAAATCTCAAAGAGCATTTGGTTGAAGAGAATCTTAGTTCACCAACACGAACGGGAAAGATGTATAGCATCCCATTGGCTATCGATATTGAGGGCCATTTTGGATACGATGGTCGGTACTATTTAGTTGATAGTGCTAGGCTTTTCCCACCCGAGACACCCATTCCAGGTCTCACTGGTGGGCATTTATACCGTCTCTTTAGAGCAGAGTTTGTCAAGCGATACGAAACACAACTTTGTGCAGACTCTTTTGTCAACTTTAATGTGGTTGATCAGGCACCATTCAACGAAGAGGTTACAAAGGCAAACAACTACCTCATTCAAGAATATATCCCACGATTTGTCAAAGATAGATTCATTTCTACCCTAGAGGTCCATTCAAAAGACCTGAAAGAACATTTACATAGAGAAGGTATTAATCTCAGATACTTGGGTCTCTTGTTACATCATGTGATTGAAGTTTCACAAACCAGCGACTCGTCGTCTCAAAACAACAAGAACAACAACAAGTTGATAAAGATCCTAGTCATCGAAATGTTGTCACGTGTTATGCGATTTATAGTGTATACAGAGATGCGTCAAGTCAACTCACCTCAAGATGAAGCTCATCTTCAAATTGCAGTCGATCATTTAAACAAACTGTTTGCTTCAAATAATGGACAAGAATCGTCGTATTGGTCACGTTTCCTTTGTAATGCATTGATCGCAAAGTATGCATACACATGTTCAACCATTTCAAGTGTTGAAAAGTTGGTTCAAGCATTATTTAAAAAGAGTAATGGTTTATCAATTTATTTTAACGACTTGAATGACAAGAGCAACAACAACTCCATGCCATACAAACTATTGAAAAAGTTTTCACAATTGACAGGTCTAACAATCGATGGTTCAGTTTTGGAATCATTTAAATCTACTTTACCTCTTCCAATATTAAAAGTTTCTGATATTAAAGAGATTCAAGGTAAATATATATATTATAAAATATACATGTATTATATTTACCAACCAATACTTATATATTTAAATTTAATTTTTAGTTATTGTAAAACATATGAAAGTATCATCATCATTTAAAACATTTGAAAATTTTGCAGATGCTGAAGCATACTATATCAAAGAATTGGAATTTAAAACAACAAAATTGGGTAAAGATCATGTTCAAGTTGCTTTGACTCATATCCATGTTGCCGAACTTTATGAGACCTATTCTAATTTAATTAAGGCCCAAGACCACTACAAGGTTGCTATCTCTGTGTACATTAATAGATTTGGAGAAGACGATGTTGGAACAGCAAACTTTAAGGAAAAATTGGCCCTTTGTCTCATTAAAAGTAAATCTTATTCTGAATCTACAAAATTATTAGAACAGTATGTAAAAATATTATAGTAGGTAGGTAGGAATAACTTTTAATTCTTTTCTTTTTTTTGTTTCTACTCTATAGAGTATTAAAATCAAAAACCAAAAATATTCAAAGATAATAGTATAGAGGTAGCAGATACATATGATAATTTAGCATGGTCATTACAATCTCAAGGAAAATTTGAAGAATCAAAGAGTCATTACAACAAAGCATTACAGATTAAATCGAGTAAAGGTGGTAATTCTCTAACCATTGCAAGAACTCTAAACAATCTTGCTCATTTGTATTTAACCTATGGACATTTGGACAAGAGTTTAGAAATTTTCCACAAGGTTTTGGATATATTTAAAAAGCAGTATGGTATGGATGGACAAGATGTAGCAGTTACCCTTGACAATGTTGGATTGGTCTATTCAAGAAAAAAGAATTATACAATGGCTGAAAAGTACTTTAATGATACTCTTCAAATTAGAATCAAACAATTTGGTGAAAACAGTCGTTATGTATCATTGGTTCAAGATCATCTAGCCCAACTCTACACTCAATGGGGTCGTTCCAAACATGTTTTGGCAAAACAATTATTTGAATCTAGTATTTCAATTGCCGATCAATTCCCAGATTTTTATCTAAGAGGTAAGTAAATAATTATTTTAACCACCAATATTAAATTTATTAATATTTTAATTTTAGTATTTTTAAGATATAATTTTAGTAAATTATATAAAAAAAAAGGAGATAAAACAAATGAAGGAATTTATTTAAAGATGGCATTGGAAATGATTGAGAGTAATAATATTACAACAGATTTGACAGAAAAGATTCGTTCAAGACTGAATAGTCTTAAAAAGACTGGTTTCTCGAGATTCAAGGATTGGTTTGCTCCCCCCAAATCAAAAGACACCAACAAAAACAATATACAAGTTTCTCAACTTGTAGGTGGACGTATGGACATGCCTACAACCAATCAAGTATCAACCCTTGTTGAAATCCCACCTGAATGGGAAAGTATTCTTCACGAAGTAGGTCTGTCCGCTGAGGAGGCTTTGAACGACCCAACCTACAACCAAATGATCCGTGACTTTATCAATGAACAATTTATGGTTGAAAATGTTAGTCAAAAGGAAAAGGCAATCGCTTCACCACGAACATTAAAATCAAATGTTTCTTTTGGAGCTGATTTTAAAAGAGATGGAGTTGCAACGCAATCATTCACAAACCTCGATTCTCTAACTTCCATCATGTCATCAAAGAATAGTCTAGTTGAGGAACCCACACAATCCTCTCGTCCAACAGACAACATGGTCTTTAGAAGTAATGAAATGGATGAAGACGAGGAGGATAAATTATATGAAATCTTCCATCAAGAATTAAAACAAGAGTTGGAAATAATCAAAGAAGACATGGGAAAAGAAATCACCTCTTTTTTAAAGTCTGACGGTTTATCGTCGATGATGCAAGAGGAAAGATTTGCTCTTTCCTTGGACGACAATATTGAAAGTGAAGAGTTGGATCTAAAGAAAATGAAACAGAAAAAACCACTAAAAAAGAGCAAGGACAAACCAATGAAAAAGCAACAAGAAGAAGAAAAGAAGAAGAAGCCAATGGCACCTGCACCTGCCCCTGTTGTTGCCTCACCAAAAGGAGCTCCACCACCTCCACCACCAGGAGGACGAGGTGAACCACCACCACCTCCAGCAGTTGGGGGAGGAGGAGGAGGAAGAGGCGGTGATGATCTTAGAAAAAGAGAAAGAAAAAGTTCTCCACCTCCTAGTCCACCATCCAATCTTTTCGTATCATCCTCAACAACCCTATCACCATCCTCATCCTCATCGTCAACATCGTCATCATCGGTTGTTAGAAGCTTTGCTTCTGCTCCACTACGTCTATCAGCAGCGCCACCACCACCCTCAGCAGCGGCTGGTGATCAGCAATCAATGCCACCACCCGCACCACAAGCATTATTCCAGCCACCACCCCCTGCAGCAGCAGCATCATTCGAATCACCACCAGCTCCACCACCAGTACTACTTTTCGCCCCACCTGCACCAATTACCAGAGCTCCAACGCCACCATTTGAAGAAGAACAGAAAGGTGCCCCTCCCCCAGCACCAGCTCAATCCTTGTCATTTGGTGGACTACCACGTCCCTCTGTTTTCGCACCAGCCCCCAAACCCATTTCTGCGCCAAGTAAACAAGATCAAGCTGCATTATCTAAATCTCGTCCAACCCCAGCAGGAGCTCCTGCTCCCCGTCCATCTACGACTCAACAATCTGCTCCATCCACTCGGCCAACTATTCAACCAACTATTCAACCAACCGTTCAAACAACTGTTCAGCCAACCGTTCAACCAACTGTTCAACCAATTATTCAACCAACTGTCCAACCAATCTTTAATGAAACCAAACCATCAAGAGAAGGAATGGAAAGAATGGTGGAACTTTTCGACGACGACGACGAAAATACACAACAACCACAGCAACAAGAACAACCGACTGTCAATTGGCCATCATTGCAAACTCAACAAATGGACAAGAACAGAATTGTAGAAATGCTAAGAGAAAGAATGAAACAACAAAAAGGGAAATAATAGTTAAATTGGAAGAGAGAAATGTTATTAGAGCTTTCAATCTCTGAAAAGTCTGCTGTGATTGAAAACACAAACTATATATACCAACCATGGTCCAAGACCATCCCAAATTTAGCCTAGCACTCTATCTTGATTTAGAATTCTTGGATATATTTATATCAATAAATAGATAACTTTGTAATATAACAGTGATTAATCACCTAATTTTTGTCCATCAAAAAAATCAAGTTCAATTTTATCCAAAGCATCTTCTTTACACTTTCATTCATTTAATAAAACTCTTTGTAGTTTGTACATAAGAGGAGATAGATTAGATAGATAGATAGGAAGAGTCAATTGGGATGAATACAACTCTATCTAGAAAGATTCAAAAGGTTCTAGAGATCAAACTAGATTCACCAGAGTTGGTTGATTCATTGAATGAATTGACTACCTTTTACAGTAACAACTCTATCAATGCAAGAAGGAACTTGAGAAATGATATTGAAAGAAGAGCTCTAGATATAAACATTCAATTCCTAGATCAATTTACTGCTTTAAACAAGGTAAGTATTGGAGTGATGACGCTCTTTTGGTGATCGATTAGTTTTTGCTAATGTACTAAATCATTTGTCACATTTATCACTATAGTGCATTGAAGATATACAATTAGATTATGAAGATATAAAGAAAGGATTTTCTGAAGTTAGAAATCATCTATCACAATCAAAGAGTTCATTTTCAAATGTATTACAAGAAGCAAAGAAATTATCATATGATTTGTAAGTGATAGGAAGAATCTAGAACTTTTCAATCCATATAATTTACCTAACATGTTATTCATTCGAATTTAAAGAAAAGAGATTGAAGAAAAAGAAAAGATGGTAAATGATTTCTTGGTTAAATTTAAATTATCAGATGAACAAGAACAAGCATTACAAAAGAAGGATATTGATGCCTCCTTTTTCGAAGCATTAAAGCGACTGTCAGATATACACAAAGAATGTAAATCGATTCTATCGGTCACCTATCAAAGACCAACCTATGAAATCATGGAAATGATTGCACAACATCAAGAAAAAGCATTTAGAAAGTTGTATAGTTCGGTCAAAGAGATTTCAAAATCATTGCAAGTAGAGGTTCCTGATATTGACAAGATACTTCCTGCTGCATTGGATGCATTGCAGGAAAGACCATCATTACTATCACACTGTCTCGACGATATTGGCGATTATAGAAGTCGTTGTATATCCACTTCTTTTATTACTGCATTGACTATGGGTGGTCCAAATGGTACCCCAAGACCCATTGAAATCAATGCACACGATCCACTTCGATACATTGGTGATATGTTGGCTTGGATTCATCAAACACTTGCTTTTGAATTTGAATTGGTCTCTACAATCATTTCAAAAGTTAATATTTTAATTCCTATTAAAAGTATGAATGAACTTTTCGGGATTAAGAAAATAGTTTTATACTTATTCATTCATTAATTCATCGATTATTAATAGGTACATTAAACAAATCAGAATCATTAGATTTTAATGAAGATTTGGTTCAAAATAACAATAATGAAGAACAACAACAAATTCAACAACAAATCAAACCAATTGAAAAAGTAATTAATGCAAGTTTTGATTTAATTTGTAAACCATTTAGTTGTAGAATAGAACAAGTACTTCATTCCAAACCAAGTATTGTTATTTTGTACAAGATGATTTCATTGTTGGATTTCTATTCGAGAATATGCTCGTCGGTGGTTAGGTTCAAGTCATCAAAGGTGTCGGAGATTCTAAACACCTGTAAAAATGTTTGTCTCAGTCAATTCTATTCACAGATAAAGGATCAATTTGAAAAGGCACAAAGAGTCCCTACCAATCCGACCGCCGACTTATTACCAACTCTTGATGTAAAAGATTCGATTAATAGATTGGTAAGTTAAACAAGAAATCTAATTTGGATGGAACAATTTATTTATTTATTTATTTATTTATTTTTGTAGAAAGAATTAATTACAACATTTAATACATCATTGGTACCATTAGAAGAAAGAGAGGAAGAGTTTAAACCAGTTTTAATCGCAACGGTCGACCCAATTGTAAATTTATGTACTACATCGGTGACAACGAGTAAACTACCACTTTCACATATGGCAGTGTTTATGATCAACTGTCTTAGTCAACTTCAATCGGTATTGTCGGCCTATGACTTTACAAGAGATCGTGTTGAATTGTTGGCAGGACAAATCGACGCTCACATGGACACATTGGTCGAAGAACAAACATCGGAACTATTAAATCTATTGGGGTTGTCATCGAAACTGGGTATCCTACAATACCACGATATGGGAGGAACCGACGACACACTCTCAAATGTAAATAACCCTCAACGTACACCATTTTCACAAATAACAGGAATGGATAGAATATCGATTAAACAAGCGATCCGTCAATTCGATACGACTCTGGAGAGCAGCTTTGGTTCACTGCCAACACATGCACTAGAAAAGATACAATCTACCAAATTAAAAAACTCTGCCAAACGAAGTGTATTGAATCTCATTGTCCAAGCCTATTCATCACTCTATAGTTGTATTATCGATCCTGCCAATCAATATGAAGAACCATTTTCAATATTCCAATATACTCCAGATCAAATTAAGAAAATGATTTCATAAAAAGGTTAATCGTAATTAAATAAATAATTGTGTGATATCGGGGAAAAAGTTGGATATTTATTACAAATATAATACATCAACATGTATGGCCTTTTTTTTGTTTAAAAAAGAAAAGATACCTCCAAGAGAGAGAGAGAAAAAACAATCATAACATTAGATTTTACTACTATTATTATATTGCTACTATTAATTATTATTATTCAAATGATTAATTATTTTGGTTATTACTATTACTAAATATTACTACTATTAATACTTATTATTATTATTATTATTATTATTAATTATTATTTACTATTTACTTATTATTATTACTATTATTATGATTATTTAACATTGCTAATTTGGTAAGGTCACGTGAGCTTGTACCAGTTATTGTTGATGTAGGTTTTGTATCACCTAAACCAAAACTTAGAGTTCTTTCTTTTTTCGAAATATATGCATTATTCCAACTTCCCGATAGGTTGAGGGGACTATTATTGTTGTTATTATTATTATTATTATTATTGTTAGTAACTATTATTATATCATCCTCGGCATCACTACTCTCATCTTCTGTCAAAGAGTCTGACCCACTGGCATTACTTGAAAGGGTGATAGAGGGGATTAAATCGTCTAGAATAGTTGCTTCCTCTACATTATCCATTTTCAATGATCTAATTAAACTAAGCGTAGAGCTAAACACTGTCAAATAATATCCACCTTCACCTCCCAATTTATCGGGATCGCACAATTGCCATAAATATTGATTTGTAAATTCTAAATCTTTTACTCCAGAATTGATAACAACATAAAGATAAATCTAAAAATAAAATAGAAAATAATTAATATTAATATCTTGATTTGATTAGTTATGATTAATAGTTTATAGTTACAGGTAAAAAATCATCGGCTGATAGGAAAAAGTCTTCATTTCCAGTTGCACTTTTTTCATAGTTGATTGAATTATAAATAGAACGAGCTGAAGCCAAGATGGTATCCAATTTATGATGTGGAATTTCACACCGATCCAAACAACTCAGTTCTAAAATGGCTGATTTCCAGTTGCTTGGTGTGATGAATTCGTCTTTGATGCCAAAAAATTGTTGAGGTTTGCTGATGAGTTTGGCGAGGTTGTCCTGTAGGATTTGCTCTTCCTTTTGTACTTGCTGCGAGATGACTGAATAGAGCTTCTTGTGGACGGGGAGAAGGATGATTTTCTCGAGGTTCTTTTCGACAATTGTGGTGATGGAGAGTGAGTCCTTGTCGGCAGGCGACACAAGGACCGAGTTGTCCACCGAGCTAGACAACCTCGAGATCTGACCAGCCGTGTCGTTGAGGATCGACTGTTTGGTGGTATCGATAAACTGACGCACAATCATGACAACTGTCGTGGGATTCTTTAAGAGTACGTTAAAGTTGTTTAAAAATTGTTGTATTTGTTTGCGTTCATTCGAGTGTGGTGACAATGTGATGCGATCAATCTCTGCTTGCAAACGTTGTTCTTCGGTGTTGCCGAGTAGCTGAGTGACCTTGCTGGCACGCTTGTGCACACGCTTGGCACCGTCACCCTCGCCGTCGGACGTGTCCCCCAGCCCGGGGTCACCCGCACCACCCGGAGGAGGCGACGACGACGACGATATGCTACTCGAATCAGAGCTGTCAAATGACAGTGATCGCGATATACTAGTGCTACTACCATTGCTCGCCACGGGAAGCGATGACGATGAATCTATTCCACCTATTCCTCCATCTATAATCAAGACACTCTGACGATTGTTTAACTGTTTGAGTTTCTTTTGATACTCCATGGCAATATCAAAGCCATGTTTCTTCTTGTCTGTTGTACGACGCATGTTGAGTCTGCTCGTGATCTCTTGCACGATTTGGTATCCAATCGACGACTTGTAGACATAGTTGTGTGATGCACCGTTATACTCGAGCACAAACACCTCTGAATCGCGCAGGTAGATGGCTCTGACATCGGCGTATTCATAGAGGCTCGACACGACGTCGTTTCGCACGTTGGCGACGCCCTTGTTGGTGAGTCTGAGCACACGCTTTTGGTGCTTGCCCCACTGGTTGATTTTGGTGACATTGTATGACAGCTCGGGCATTGACTGAAACAACAGCTCTGCCTCGTTAATCTCGCGCTGTCGGTCAACGTCGCATGTCAATATATATTTTGTTTCCTTTGAGTAGAGTGAACTCATCTTGCTGATACCCGACGATATTCCACCAATGCTGCTGCGCAATGCCACGCCATTGTTGTTGTCGCGACCTCCAAGACTGTGCTCGCGTCCGCCCAAACTACTTTCTCTTCCACTCAAACTACTTTCTCGTGATTGTGTTGGGGTGGATGATGATGAACATCCTAATATAGGTGAGGATGGTGTAGCCATTTATATATAATATAAATATATAAATATAATATTGTGTATATATTCTCTCTTGAATTCACAAAAGATATAAATATATATGTATAACTTATTTGTGGTTGATGTGTTGTTTTTGTAAAAAAAAGTTTCACAGTTGTTCTATATCTCTCTCTACCTTTTTATCTATTTTCTACTTCTTCTACTTCTACTTTTACTACGACTACTTCTATCTCTTCTCTTTCTCTCTCTCTCTCTCTATCTATGATAGATAGATATTGACAGATCTGTATGTATGCGAGTTTTGGTTGTTCGAACTCTCTTTTTTGTAGATTCTGTCTATATATATATATATTTGCACACCCCTCTACTACGAATATTATGATAACACAGCGACCAATAATATTGATGATGTTATGATGACCAATCTGTTGTTTGCTGTATATATTTTTTATGCGTAGCTTGTTCTTCTTCTTTTCTTTGATTATCTTGCTTGCTTTGCTTTGCTTTGCTCTCTTGAAAATCCAATTACGACTTGTACTACTATTACTCTCTCTCGAGTAATAAATGAGGAGAAGGGAGTGAGGGATGAAAGGAAGGGGTATACGATGATGATGATCTATACAAAAAATTTCTTCTTATCTTTATCTATCTATCTTCTCACACACACAACTTTGAGTGCCACTTTGCTCATCGCCACCTTAAAAGAGTGAGAGGCGAACCACAAATCAAGTGAGTTTTAAAAAAAAAATCAATTTTAATTGAACGGCCATCTCCCACCCATCAACAACGAGAATCGATTGCCAACATCTCTCTCAAACTTTCATCTACTTGACGTCATGCTCAATTCAATTTAAAGATAACTAGTTAAATAGTTATTATCTTTCTTTGTTTATTTATGTATACAATAAAAAGTTTGTACATGATACTATCTAATGTGTAATGGTTTGTTTGTTTGTTTGTTTGAACAAATTGGAGGAGAGATCGTAGATAGATGGTTAATGTGTTAAAGTTGATTGGATTAGATTATTTTTAAAAAATCTACTGTGAGTTCTCTACACGTTGGTTATTGTAAAGTTGTGGGTTGTTGTGCATTTGCGAGCAGAGGAAGAGTTTCGAGATGGATGGCCATTGTACTGATCCTCATGCACCACTGTTGCTTACACAACCATTACATTGAGAAAGAGGAGACAGGAATAGATGGGTTTAAGATCGGCAAAGAGGACTTATCATGTTATAACATGAACGAAAATATCTTTTCCCAAATGTGGGACTGATCCGTATAAACGTCGTTTCATTTTCGCAAGAGCATCCATTTTGAAAATGTATCCCTGTCAGTTTCGAGCAGGTTGCGGGTTGAGTTGTCTGTCTCTCCAAACTACCACAATCATCCTCGTGTGGATAGATTAGGGCCAAAGGGCTCCTCTGCTATGCTATGCTCGACACGTCTCACATTTGATAGATCATCAGATCAGTTAATAATTTTTGGATTTAACAATTATTATTATTATCGCATCGATTGTGTACAATCACTTTGACTATCCATCCACACCCACACCACACATCATCCTCTTTATCATTCTAACATTATCCTAACTATCTATCTATTTACCTATAGATAACATAACAACCTACCTCCCAAGTTAGGAATATATATTTATAGTCACACATCGTTATTAAAGTAGGTAAAACATAAAACATGTTGAACTTTTCGTCTTGACTCTTGACTCCAAAGAATTAAAATTAAAGAAGAGAAAGATAGATAGATAGTTAGCTCACTCTACATTAACATTACAATACAATACACACCCAAACCACCAAATACACACACACTACCAAACACACCATCCATTATTATTATTTTTTTTATTCTTTTTGTGTTGTGCGTGTACGTCCTTCATCAAACATTTGCATCAACCCGACTACTGCCTAGCGAGAAAGAGAAAGAGAAAGAGAGAGAGACATATATACAGAGACATGATAAATATAAATATATCAACATCTTTTAATCAGATTTAATTTAATAAATATCAATAACATAAATACATCACATCCCATCCATCATAATAACTAGTACTACTACTACACTACTATATACATACTTACATACACTCTTTAAAGAGAACAAAGAAGAGAAGAGGAAATAGGGTAGGTAACATCAATCACACAACTCGCACGAATATTGATCATTCGTATTGCTACAAAAGAGAACAAAAGAGAGAGAGAAAGAGAAAAAGAAACAGAAGAAGTGGAGCAGCGTTATATTTAACATTAAAAAGTGCAATTAAACGATCTATTTCATCACTATCATACTTAATAATAACAACAACAACAACAACACTTCTAGAATATTAATTTATTAATTAATTAATTACAAACAAAGACACTAACCAATAGCGACATCTCTCTCTTAGACAATTTCAATAACAATAATAACAAATCAAAGAATTCTTAATCAATCAATCAACAATTTGATCATATCTTATTTACTCAATTCATTCTTTTAATTAATTAATAATACTATCAAGAAACTCCCCTCTTGCTTGTTGAACAAAAAACATTATATTGAACCACAACACATTATTAACTGCTTGGAGTTTTTTTAATATTTGTTAACCAAACAAACAAATAACCAAATAACCAAATAACAAAATACAAAATAACTACAACAACAACTTGGTTGAAAGCGTTGTTGTTACAACCAACAACAAAACAACAAAAAACAACATTGTACATATAAACACCCAAACCAAACAAATAATTATATAATTATTCAAAAATAACCCAAACAACACACATATATATATATATAATATATATATATAAATAATATAGATAGATAGATAGATAGATATAGATAGGATAGAAGAGAAAAAAAAAATGTCAAGTCATCATTTATCACTTGATCACTTTCCAGGGATTAATTCCAATGGAAAGGTGGATCAAGAAAAATCAAAAGAAGAACTTATACAGGAACTAGAGGTGATGAGAGGATTGGCAAAATCAAATAGATCATCACGTATCATGTTGGATGAGATGTACCAGTTTGTTGCGTTGCTGGACAACAAGGGCAACCTATTGGATGTAAACGAACCTGCACTTCACGGAGGTGGTATGATTCGTTCAAATATTCTTGGTACACCGTTTTGGGACTGTCGTTGGTGGGCAGTCAATGAAACATCAATGGACGATTGTAAAAAGGCTGTCATGAGAGCGGCTGCCGGAGAATTTATACGATACGAGTGCGACATTTTTGGAAAATCAGCTGGCACTGAAACAATCACAATCGACTTTTCACTCATGCCCCTTTTCGACGAAAATGGTGCAGTCAAACTCATTCTCCCCGAGGGTAGAAACATCACTGAAAAGAAACTTGCAGAAGATGAAATTGCAAGAAAAAATAATGAACTTAGATCACTCTATGAAAAGATTAAAGAATTGGATGAATTAAAAACTCAATTTTTGTAAGATCAAAAAGGAAATGAATCTATCTACTACTATATTGGTATATTAACTAATTATTTTTTCTATTTAGTGCAAATGTATCACATGAATTAAGAACACCATTGACATTGATATCACATCCAACAGAAAAATTGCTAAAAGATCCTGGAGTGTCGGCAGATGCTAAAAAACTATTAGAGGTTGTGGCAAGAAACACCCGAGGGTTGTTGAAACATGTAAATAATTTATTGGATATTAGTAAGCTTGAAGCTGGTAAGATGAATGTAAACTATTCGATGGCAGATGTAGGCAAGACCATCACGACGATTGGGCTGTGCTTTGAGCTGCTGGCCAAGGACAAGAAGCTCGAGTATATCATCAACGCGCCCAAAGATGGTCTGCTCATGGCGGCCATCGACAGAGACAAGATCGAGCGTGTCGTCACCAACCTCATATCAAACGCTTTCAAATTCACACCAACGGGCGGAAAGATCCGCATCAGCGTCGAGCCAGACCAACTCAACCAAAACCCCGCCTTTTTGGTCACCGTCGCCGATACGGGTCCGGGTGTACCCGAGGACCAGTACGACATCATCTTTGAGCGTTTCCGTCAGGTGGATGGCAGCTCGTCGCGACGCCACGGTGGCACTGGGTTGGGTCTGTCTATCGTCAAAGAGTTTGTGCAGCTGCATGGCGGAAACGTCCAAGTCACCGCGCAAAAGGAGGGTACCGGTGCCGTCTTTTTGATCCGCATTCCATTGTCACCCAAGATTGACGAGCTTGCCAACAAGACAACCGTATCGGATGCCAATGTATCGGCCAGAGTACAACCACACCAAGAGTTGGTACATGTAAAATCACCACCAGGTGTCAAGTTGTTGGAGAATGGTATCACCAAAGAGGATCAAGAGTTGCTCGAGATGATCAAGGAAAAGGAAGAGCAATTGTCGCATCTTGATACGATGGGCAGCAAGTTTGATACAGAGATGACGGCGCGACAAGCCGCAGAAGAGTTGGAGGAAAGGGAGGGATTCGCACCAATGGTCGCCGACGATGGCAAACCAAGTATACTGGTCGTCGAAGACAACGTCGAGATGAATCGATTTATTGCAGAACTGCTGTGCAAGCAGTACTCTGTACACACGGCCATGAACGGTAAAGAGGGGTTGGACAAGTTGCGTTCATGTACACCCGACCTTATCTTGACCGATTGTATGATGCCAGTCATGAGCGGTGATGAAATGGTCGAAGAGATTAGAAAAGATCCACAATATGACAATATCCCCATCGTCTTGCTCACTGCCAAGGCAGACGACAATCTACGTGTGCGTCTGTTGACCAATGGCGTAGCCGACTATGTCAACAAGCCATTCTCGACCGAGGAACTGACCGCTCGTGTCAACAATATTATGGCTATGAAAAAGGCCAAAGACTATTTGCAGCAGGAACTGTGTATTGCCAACACGGATCTAGTCGAGTTGGTGAGTCAGTTGACCGCAAGAAAGCGCGAGCTCCAAGTACTAGTAAACGAGCTCGAAAAGGAACGTGTCTTACTCGACCGCGCCAACCGCTCCAAAGACGAGTTTCTCATGAATCTGTCACACGAGCTGCGTACACCGCTCAACGGTATATTTGGCTGGAGCCAGCTGCTGCGCTACGACGGCAACATCTCGACCGACGTACGTCGCGGTCTCGAAGCGATCGAGCGTTGTGCACACGCACAGAACCAACTCGTCAACGATCTGCTCGACATGTCGCTCGTCATCAGCGGCAAGTTCTCGCTCTCCAACGAGGTGGTTGATATCCGCGAGGTCATCCGTCTCGCCGCCGAGACATTCATCAACAAGGACAAGGCCAAAACCAAGATTGTCGTCGATGTGGGCGACCTGCCACTCATTGTCTGCGGTGATCCCGTGCGTCTCGAGCAGTCTATCTGGAACCTGGTCTCCAACTCGATCAAGTTCTCCAACCAGGGCGGCTCGGTCACTGTGCGCACATCTATCCCCAGCCAGACGGGTACAACGCCGCTCACATTGCCTCCAGGTGTATGCGGACAGTCCGAGGAGAAGCTCAACCTCTTGCGCAACCACGCCAGCAACAAGAACTGGTGTCTGGTCACCATCTCGGATCAGGGATGTGGTATCACTCACGACTTTTTGCCACACGTGTTTGAACGCTTCCGTCAGGCAGACAACAGCTCCACCCGCGGTCACGGCGGGCTCGGTCTTGGTTTGTCTATTGTAAATAACATCGTCGAGCTACACAATGGCTACCTGTTTGCATTTAGCGAGGGTGAAGGAAAGGGCAGCACATTTACTATCATCCTCCCCATCAGCAATGGTAATGAAATCAATAACATGGAAACCAATGGTTCCACTAGTAATGGACAAGCAGTAGTTTCTAATGGTAATGGAAATGGAAATGGAAACGGTAATGGTAATGGTCACGGTAAAAGAAATAGAACAGATTTTGATACTGGGAGCTCAGCTGGTGACCAACACCCTCAACAACAACAACAACAACCAGAAGAATCACTCATGACAAAAATGTTGACGACTAGCCCGTCATCGTCGAGTCTCAAGGGACTCAAGATATACGTTGTCGATGACCAAGAAGACACTATAAAACTCTTTTCGTCAATGCTCAACAAGATGGGTGCGTTTGTCTCAACGTTCCTTTCTTCCTCATCGTGTTACCAAGCATTTTTGAATGGTGATCCCATGTCGCGACCAGACATTATTCTCTCTGACATTACAATGCCAGGTGACGATGGGTACTCACTCGTCAGTCACATCAGAACACTCGAGCAACAAACCAATTCCAAACACATCCCCATCGTTGCTCTCACAGCTTCGTCTGACAAGGCCAAAGTTGCAAAAACTGGCTTTGATCTATATGTTAGCAAACCAGTAAACTTTTATGAACTTTCAAATTCTATTCATAATTTATTAAATAATCAAAATCAAAATAATCAAAATAATACTAATAATAATAATAATAATAATAATAATCATAATGGCAATGGTAAGGGTAACGGAAATCATAATAATATTAATAATAATATTAATAATAATAATAATAGTAATCAAATTTCACCTGCCTTGTCTGTGGATGAAGATAGACAAATTAAAAAGAAAAATAGGATTACTAAAAATATAACAATATACACCAACCAGTAGAAACCCTATCATATATATTCTTTTTTTTTTATTTATATATTTCTCATCCAATCTGAAACAAACTCTCTCATCAACTATACACTATATATGGATGTATAACGATACTACGAATTTGTTAATTGTTATCTTTTCTAAAAATAAAACTCCTTCATTAATGTTGGTAGTTGGACAGACTCTAAAATAAATAATAATAGATCACACTACCATTCTCTCTATTTATAAATTAATTAATAATTAATTGTTAATACACCATCAGTGGTGAGACTTGAAGTATATTTGTTGTTATCTATCTATTGATATCGTACATTTAATGATGGATAGGTTCGCAAACCTTGGGGGGGGGGGGGGGGGGGGAATGCAAACGCATTTAACAAACTGTTATAGAGACCTATATAAAAAATACTCTCTGACAGGTTGGTAAATCAACAGTTGTTAGAGGACGCTGGTTCCAAAAGTCTTTGTTTGATGTAAGCCATCTCTGTCCTGCCGGTCAAGTCTATCTTTCTATAATCTAATCTCTCTAGCTGGCCATTGTCTTGAGTACATCCAGTTATTCTCACCATCATAGACAGACAGTAGGTGAATGCCCATTTTAAATTCTAAATAAGCCAATTGTTTTGGTTTGGATCTTTAGAGATATACTTATCAATGTATATTCTACACATTGCTTGGTGTATCAATGAACTACACCTTTTTGTCCCTTTTTGCTCGGGTACGCTCTTTTAGTTTCTCTATTCCAACACAACCATAAATAGTGTATAATCTTTAAGCACCATCTTGATCGACTCCAAATAGATTATTTGGTGGTATCTTGTACCTGTCCAATCCCATACCAATCCATCAGACATTGAAGAGTCCTAGTACTTACAGACAACACCACCACCTAAAATTCCCGCCAGAATCAGGGAGGTTCTATCCAAGAGCTAGAAATTTCTAGTTGAACAAGTGAATTGACCAGTACTTACATGATCTCTTGGCAAATGTCCAATCAATCATTAACTTGTGCCAGTTGGCAGCAATCCACGATCATCCTGTCCGTGATGTGGAGCAAGCTATTGCGTGGTACACACAAGCTGAGAGCACATGTCAACTGAATGATGATGAAAAGGCTGCTCATATCCAACAAGGGATTGAATTAGGGCTCAAGGAATCGCCAATAGTTACCCTCTTCTATACATACCAAATTTAGACCAACGACCGCTAACCAAAAGTCCATCTGCTTCCCGTACTACCTCTGATAATGCGACAACACACCACAAGCAAGTAGACATAAATAGATAACCATATTATAAACAACCTTCACAAGGTGGACTGATACCAAACGATAGTTTAAGAATCGGCTGTCGCAGTAAAAAAAAAAAAAATGAAAAAAAAGAAGATGACGATGCAGTTTGGGGGTTCAACATTATGATAAACTAAACTATTGATAGAACATTGGTGTTTGTTGTTGTATTAATAGATAGATAGATAGATAGATAGAGGAGATAGTTTAGAGTAGAGAGGGAAGTCGATTTCATCATATTCACATCATCATCAATCATCATCATCATATCTCATTCATCATAATAATCAAAAAAAAGAGATGAAAGTACTTTATTTACTTGTAATATTATTGGTAGTAGTTGGACTCTGTCTTGGTGGAAAGGACTATTACGAAGTTCTTGGTGTGTCTAGAGACTCATCACCATCAGAGATTAAACGTGCATACCGTAAACTATCACTACAATACCATCCAGACAAGAACCCAACTCCAGAAGGTCAAGAAAAGTTCCTCGAGATGACCAAAGTCTACGAAACACTCTCTGACTCTGAAAAGAGAAGAATCTACGATCAACACGGAGAAGAAGGTTTGAATAGACAAAATGGTGGAGGTGGTCAAGACTTTGGTGACTTCTTTTCAAATATGTATGTAATAATTGCGCATATTGTATTACTTTGACTTTATACTTGATCGATCGATCGACCGACCGATATAAAAGATCTTCTATACCTTGATTGATTCTTCTAACACTCGACATTCAATTGAATATTTTAGATTCAGAGGATTTGGAGGTGGTGGAGGTGGTGGACATCAACAACAACACCAAGCACAACCAAGAGGAGCCGATATAGAATTGGATTTAGAAGTAACACTCAAAGATCTCTATCTTGGACGTACCTCTAGAGTCACTCATATGAAACAAATCCTTTGCCAAAAGTGTAGAGGAACTGGTGCAAAGAAGGCAAGCGATGTAAAGACATGTACTGGATGTCAAGGTTCTGGTATCAAGGTTAGAGTACAACAATTGGGTCCAGGTTTTGTTCAACAAGTTCAACAAGTGTAAGAAAAGAAGAAAAAGAAAAAGAAAAAGAAGAAAAAGAAGAAAAAGAAGAAAATTAAAGTTGAATGGGAATATTAACTTTGATTTGTATTCATAATAATAGATGTGACGAATGTGGAGGTAAGGGTAAAAAGGTAGCTAGCAAGTGTCCACATTGCAGCGGTAAGAAGGTTGAAATTGGTGAAGAAACTTATACCGTCATCGTTGAAAAGGGTATGCACAATGGTCAACAAATTGTATGTATCAAATCAAATCAAATCAAATCAAATGAATTGTCAATAATTATCAATATTAACATTCCTTTCATATTCTTTAGAAACTCGATCAATTAGGAGAGGAATCACCAGACATGACACCAGGAGATGTTATTTTCAGAATCGTTGAGATTCCACACTCTAAATTCCGTCGTGAAGGCGATCACTTGCATCATAATCTAAGTATTACTCTTTTGGAGGCACTCACTGGATTCGACAAGACTATTACTCATCTCGATAAACACAATGTACGTGTTCAAAGTGGAGATATCACTATCCCAGGACAAGTCATCGAGGTCTTGGAAGAGGGTATGCCACACCATCAATACCCATCTCAAATGGGTAATCTCTATGTTCACATAACTGTCGATTTCCCAAAGGATTTGACAAACGACCAGAAAGAACGTAAGTAAACTATATATATATATATAATATAGTTAGCAAAACAAAAATCAATTACTAACAATAATAATTCATGTCTCTCAAATCTTTCATCAATCATTCATACTCAATTTTAGAATTTAAAAAATTGTTAACTAAATAAATCCCCACCTGAAATAATATTACATGTTTAAAAAAACATTAATGAATAACATTATGCATGTAATAATAATAATAATATAAATACGTCCAGAATGTTGTTTCCAAATCAATCTTTTAAATCGAGGTGTGTGGTTTTTTAATTTTTATATATTTTTTTATAGCCCAACTTTTGACTTCTATTATTGCGACCGTTCACTACACAAATTAATAGACAGAGAGATAGTAGATTATAGTATTGTATAGTATAGTATATATATATAAGAGCGCGACAATAGTAGTAGAGGATATAGTTAATCGAAAATGTCTACGAGTCCACCACCAAGAGCAGTACCTAAAAAGCCACCCTCTCAAAATGTAGGTTCCGTTCAACCTCTTCCTCCTCGTCCTACCCACCCTTTGGTATAGTTACTATAGTCACCACCATACCATTCACTATACCTTCAGAACAATGAAACAAAGAATAGATAGATATATAGATAGATAGTAATAACAAGCAAAGATGCTGCAGCATATCACATGCATCATTCCCTTCTTCAGCAGCAGCAAAGATGATCATGAGTTGATATAATGATGTTGTCTAGACAATTAAAAGATGGGTGTGTGTGAATTGATAGCTATTAGGTGTCTAGAGATACAATACAAACACACAACAACAACAACACCACAAACATATATATTTAAAAACATCACACTTTAGATCTCCAACCAACCCAAATCCCAATTATAATTATCACCACCATCCCTCCCTCCCTTCCCCTTCCCATCGAATAGAATGAAACATTCCAACCATGTCCACTAACAAACCCGTTTTCTTTCTTTATTTATATAATTTAACCTTTAATATAAATATAAATATAAATATATTGTGTATTGATTAATTAATTGGTTTACTATTTATTGCAGCCAAATGTTTTGAGAGCTAGTGTAGTACCACCTCTTCCACCTCGATCACCAGATATACGTCCACAAGACACTGCTGCTGCTGTTACAGTTAATACTACTACTACTGCTGCTGCTACACCAACTACTATAGTTCATACAACACCTCCTCTTCCACCTCGATCACCAGACTTGCATTCGAGTGCACCAGTCGTCCAACAACACCACCATCATCATAGTCCTGCGACAGGAGCTCCATCATCACCAACTCCTCCCCTACCTCCACGTACACTTCCCCCTCGCGGTAGCACTACGACTACGTCATCATCATCATCGTCTGGGTCAAGTCTTTCATTTGACGATATATCTAAAACTGTACAACACAATAACCAACAACAGAATCAACATCAATCTGCAACCATTTCACATAGTGTTAGCAGTAGCAATATCCAACATCCACCTCTACCACAATCCAAACACAGCACCTATCGCAAACCACTCCCTCCACCACCTCACGAAGACAATCGATTGTCGTTAAAGACACCACCAACTTCTGCCCCACACCCACCTATTCCTCCTCGTAGTGGATCTGCATTGACTCTCTCCACTACCGCGTCTACAGTAGCACATCGTGATCGTGAATTACCATCAACTCCACCATCACATCATAATCACTCAACCTCACCACAACCACATCCGCATCCAATTCCAATTACACCTGTAGCTACTACAACCACAACTAATACTTCAACAATGGGAGGTAAAGATAAAGAAAGACAATCTGTTATTCATAAAGAAAAGGATAGTAACAAGATTAGAGATAGTATGATAAAGAATGATAAACCAAGCACATCTTTGGAAAATGGTGGTGAAATACATATTATCAGGGAAGACCCCGATGCACAAGCAGTTACATCAAACCACCCAAGTTTGGATCATCTTGCTGCATTTACAAGCCTACGTGACATGAAGGCAAAAGAGATTTTGACGACTGAACGTACATATTGCGACAACATGAAGATTTTGGTCGAAGTATTCATCGAACCACTCAAATATGGTGAAGGAGGCATTTCAAAGGAAAGTGCAACCATCATTTGTTCAAACTTATCAGATATCCTTTTGGTTAGTGTGGAATTACTCAATCAACTCGAAGAAAGATTGGCTACATGGTCAACTACTCAAAGAATTGGTGATGTTTTTAAAACTTTGGTAAGACAAATAGAATAGATTAATTTATTGGTTGGATTAAAGGAGAATATTGGAACTTGTCTCATTCTTTTTTTTTTTTAATTATTATTTAATATTTAGATTCCATTTTTGAAAATGTATACAAATTATACTGTTGGATTTGATAATGCACTTACTACAGTATCAGATTGTGAGAAAAATTCAACTTTTGTTTCTTTTATTCAAGTATGATATACAAACAACAAACAACAAACAAAAAATATTATATATTAATTTATACTCTTCTTAATATAGAAATGTACTGAAGATCCAAGAACAAAGAAATTGGATCTTAGATCATATTTAATTCAACCAGTTCAACGTATTACAAGATATCATATGTTGTTGGACGAACTATTAAAACATACCGATGCTTCACATCCAGATTATGGCAATCTTGCAGATGCTTTGGACAAAATGAAACGTGTAACAAGCGAGGCTAATGAAGCCATCAAAAGAAGTGAAAATAGAGCAAAGGTTATGGAAATTCAAAAGATGTTTGTTGGTGATATTGATGTATGAAACAAAGCAAAACATAATTATTGAAAAGAAAAGTATAAATATTTATATATATTAATGTTTTTTTTTTTTTTACATTTCTTAGATTGTAGCAGCACATAGATCATTTGTATTTGAAGGAGTATTGACCAAAGTTTGTAGAAAAGCCTGTAAAAAGAGAAATGTATTTTTGTTTTCCGATTTGTTACTCTATGGATCTTCAATGCCTCCAAAACTACTGTTACACGAAAAAATTAATCTAGAGTTTTGCAGAATCGAAGATATACCAGATGGAGACTCTGGTGGATCACGTGCCATTTTGTTGAATGGATCAGGTATTGTCAACGCTTTCCAAATTTGTAGTAATAAGAAATCATTTGTTGTGTTTGCCGACACTGCTGAAAGTAAAATGTTATGGATGTTAAGATTAACTGAAACTGTATGAAAATATTATTATTACTACTGTTGTCGAATAGATAACTAACCAACCCATCATCAATTATTTATTTAATTATTTAATTATTTATTTATAGATTGAATCATTACAACAAAAGAGATCAACTTTGAAATCAGACAGTAAAGAAACTTCATCGGAAGCTCCAGTTTGGGTTCCAGATGAAACCACTACTAATTGTCCTTTCTGTGAAGAAGGATTTACATTATTAAATAGAAGAGTAAGTAGTATTATAATTATAATCATAATAATAGGATTTATTTATTATTATATATTTATTAAATGATACTAATTAATTAATTGATCACTACTTTTTAGCATCATTGTAGAAATTGTGGAGAGTTGGTATGCGGAAAGTGTTCTGAAAAGAAATTCAAATTACCCATTTCCAACTTTAAAGCGGTCAGAGTTTGTAACCCATGCTACGAGAAGCTCTCTCGTAATCCACCACAAAAGCAGTAAACAGATATGGATTGCAATAATAACAATAATAATAATCACATTCATTCATATCCACATGTGGATAATATTAATATATAAAAGTACTACCCGACTGTGCGTACCATGCACCAATATTTATTTAAAAATAAACAATACTTCTAACAAAACACAACCATCGATGATTTTTTTTTAAAGGTGAAAATAACTACCCACACAATTAATTGTGTTTTAAAACTCAGCGCCGAGTGTGTGTGGAGGTGTGTTCGTGACGAATTGAAATGATTGTCAGTCAATTAAAATATTTACCTCTGTAATTCCATATAGGGAATGAGGAGGGGTTTATTATTGTGATAGGATACTATTAAACTACATACATGGTTTAAAAAAGATGATACAGCTAACATCTAGTGACAGTTGTGACGTAAAAGTTAAGAGTATTGAATCACAAAATGGTTCAAAAAAGAGAATCAATATTACACCATGGTACCCAGTCCATGACTGTCTACTCATTCTTATTAATATTCATTGCCATCTTTTCCTAATATCATTCATCAATTCCAATTGGGTTTGTTTCAGCTACTGCTTCGAGAACAGATAAAGAATAAACCAAACCATTCATTATTATTATTTATATTTTCTTATTTCTTCAAATACATTTACTTAATACTATTTTATAAATATCCTTTCAAAAAACTAAATTATTTTTCTTTTGATCAATAATTATTTTATTTATTTATTTATTTATTTATTTTTTTAAACCCCAAACTAGGTATTGTATAAAATCTATTCGTCTAATCCGTTTCCAATCCATCATTCAACCAATCCAATTCAATCCATTTCCCATTTCCCATTTCATCTCTTCCATCTTTCCAAAAAAATGGATGGTTTTATTTTTTTATTGTTATAGAATTCACATTGCATGATTGATACATTCATACTATCATGATCAGAGTAGGAATATTCAACCACCAACACCATCAGTGGAGATCATCATCATTTCCGTCAACCATTTAAAACTTGTCCCCCACAGATGGACAAATATACTTTATTCTCCTAATTCCAATTCAGTACCCCCTCTTGTTCATCACATTCCTTCTCCAATCAAGTTTATATGTTTAATTAATATGTTGATGATGAATGTTGTATTTTTTCCATATTCATCATATTCGCTTATTTCCAAATGAGAATGAAAAAACAAATAATCTAATCAAACACACCCCACATATTTCTTTATTTATTCTTTTAATCATATCATCATCTCTATGACTATCACATGGATCTATCTACCACATGTAAACCTTTGGTTTAAAGAAGAGGGTGGGAAATAATCCCACTCTCTGCTTCTACCATATATGATTTCACGTTTCCTTATTCGTACGGAGGGTTATAAAGCATACCAATGTTTATCTATACAAAGATCTTTTAATTAACTTTAAATGATCATTCAACCTGTTTGTTTCACCCTCTTGTATAATGAATCACATGTGTTATTACTGCACATATTTGGTTGGGGTTTGATTTTACCATAAATAATATGACCAATTAACATATGGAAAATCATGTCATCATCCCTGGATTAAGAGAGTTGAAGCTTTAAATTTGGGAATCTTTTACTAATTGTTCATTTACATTACTTTTGGTTTTAATTAGAAATCTATATTTCTTAAATAGACACTCTTCTTTATAATTAATTAATTTATTAAAAAAAAAAAACAAAATGGTGCCACCAATTTTAAACAACGAACCAAATACCATGAAAATGGGTCCAAAGGAATATTTAAATGCTATTCAACCTTCTGGTATGCCAAAAATAGAATATATTATGAGTAGATATAGTGCATCAACAAATGAATTGGTTGTAGAAAGAAGTGTATGTATAAATATATTAATATTAAATTAAAACTACATTTAAAATTACAATCATTTTATTTACAATTTTTTTTTTTCTTTTTCCTCTCTTAGCCACCGGTAGTAACCAAACCAAGATCAGTATCATTACCAAATAGAGTAGTATGTTTAAATTGTAAACAATGTTATAACATTAATAAATGTAATACATGTGATCGATGTTCAAAAGGTTTCTATTGCTCGTATGTATCCAAAAAAAAAAACAAAAAGATGAATCAGACATTCATTTCTATCCCTCCAAAGATTTGATTCTAATTTTATTTTTTATATTTATATAGGGATGAATGTAAATATGCTCATTGGCCAATGCATAGAAAGAATTGTGTCAAGTTGGAAATGGTAATAAAGCTCAAGAGAAAAACATTCTAAAAATATATATAAAATTATCAAAAATATCGGATAGGTATTTTATTGGGATCAATAGTCCCATACGTTTTCTGTACAAAAAAAAATAATAATATTTTTCTACCCAACTAATATCGACAATTATGCTAATCCATCAATAAATTTTGAGGTATTTCATCACTATAAATTTTCTTTCCATGTTGTTGTTGTTGTTGTTTTTTTGGGAAATTCTGTTTGTTTTGTTTTGGATTGTTGTTGTTCTTTTGTTGTTGTTGTTGTTGTTGTTGTTGTTGTTGTTGTTGTTGTTGTTGTTGTTGTTGTTGATTATTATTAATATGATTGTTTGGTAAATGTTGATTATTATTATTATTATTAAGATAATTTAAAAGAACTTGACCACTTTGATTTGTATTATTATTAAATTTTTTTGCCTGTTGTTGTTGTTGTTGTTGTTGTTGTTGTTGTTGTTGTTGTTGTTGTTGTTGTTGTTGTTGTTGTTGTTTTTGTAACTGTTGTTGTTGAAGAAATAATTGTTGTTGTTGTTGATTAAAATTAAGATTTGAATTTCCAAAATTAAATATGCCTGGATTTGATACTTGTTGATTTAACGAGTTAATTGTTGGTTGTTGTTGTTGTGAAAATGGATTAAAAGATGAATTATTATTGTTATTATTAAAGTGATTGTTGATAAATGGGGTTTGATTTGATTGTTGTTGTTGATTATTTATATTATTATTAAAATTATTATTATTATTATTCATATAACTATTCAAATCTTCATCCATCTTTCTTTTCATATTTGGTTGTGAATTTTGTTGTTGTTGCGGTTGTTGTGGTTGTTGTTGTTGATTAAAATTAAAATTATTATAATTATAATTATTATTACTACTCAACTTATCAACATCAATATCATCTAAAGAATCCATATTCAAGTCCTCATCAATAATAATAATATCCGAAGATGGTGAAACTTGTTGCTGCTGCTGCTGTTGTTGGACTTGAACCTGGAGATTCTGTTGCTGTTGTTTAGGTTGTTGAAATTGAGTTGGTTGTTGGTTATTATTGGCAATAGAGCCATTCAGATTATTCACAAAGTTAAAAATATCTTGAATGCTAGAGTTTTCCTTGAGCGAGAAAAGATTATAATTCTTATTAAAGGAATAGAAATAGTTGGTATGCTTGATCATCTGGATCTCCATAGCAGCCTTGTCATCATCAATTTCATTTAAAAACTTCTCAATAGAGTCCAAAAGTCTAAAGGTGTCGTCGATGCTGATCGGCTGTTGGTGTGCCCATGCATTACGCATTCTCTGAATCTCAATGGCATAACCCTTTAAAAGGGGATAGTGGTTGGTGATACTGCTTCCGTTGGGTGTCAACAGAAAAGAACACATTGCACTGATATCCCACGTAGAAAGAGCAAGAACACCGACATTTGCGTTGTTAATCGTCGATTGGCGATCGCCAACCCTCTTTTGATGATCAATCATCTTGAGAAGGGTCGATTTCTTCTCTTCTGCCGTGGGAATAGACTTTGTCCCTACTCTCTTTGTAGTGTTATTGTCATCGACAAATTCTCGCAGAAATATCTGCATACGATGTTTGGCCATTGTAAGAGCCTTGCCTACAACATTTTCATTGGTACCAATACCCCATGCCGCCAAATCTATATGAATTAACATTGGATTATCGGCTGCAGTAAAATTACTAAAAGGTATTGATGATTGTTGTTGAGTAGGAATAGGATTGGGAATAGGAATGGATTGAGGCGGGGGTGGTGTTTGAACAAAAGCTTGAGCTTGTTGAATGAGTGCTTGAGCTTGAATAGTAGTAGGTTGTTGAACCTGTTGAACTTGTTGATTAGGTCGTTGTTGCTGTTGATTCATAGTAATATTTTGAATTTGTTGTTGTTGTTGTTGTTGTTGTTGATTTGCGTTGATAGGGGAAGGAATATTGGTGACTTGATGTTGTTGTTGTTGCTGTACATTTAAAGGAGGTGACTTTTTTGGTGGAGGGGGAGGTACAACAATATTTGATATTTGAGCAGCCATTCCATTAAAAGACGATGAATCAAATACTCTTGTTCTTTTAGTGGCACCTCTTCCTGTTTCCCATTCATTGTCAAACGTGTTGATCGATGTTGCAACATTGACTGGTGTAGTACTAGCCGATGATGGAAGAGAAGGAAAATCGGTACCCCATTTAAACGATGATAGATCTCTTGGTGGTTGTTGTTGAAGACTTAGTGATGGACTGAGTAAAAGAATATTTGAAGGTAACTCTGGTTGTTTCTTCTTTTTGCCTTGTTGTTGTTTGTTATTGTTATTGTTATTATTGTTATTCTTCTTCTTTCCTTTTGACATTGTTATATAAAAATAAATAAATAGATAAATAGATACAAACTATCTATCTATCTATCTATCTGCCTATCTACCTATCTATCTGCAAAACAAAAAAATATGATAGTAATTAATGTGAAACCAAGTGCGAGTGAGTGTGATGAAGTTTATAAAAATAATTTATTAATTATTTTTTGAAACAAGTTCTAGGATAAAAGAATGATGAGATAAATATTCATTCATTCATCTTTATTTATATTTGTCAAACAAATATTAGTAATACAATTATTGAAGTTAATTTGATTCATAGTATTTTGGGTTTTGACTCTGACAATCCATGTGACAGTTTCTTAGGTTGTAGGAAGCTCCATTCATTTCTTGGCACTTGTGAATACAATTTTGAAATGCTTGTGTAAATGCTACTGTAAGTGTAGGTACAAATACTGTCAACAATACAAAAACAAATAATACTAGAATATTTATATATTTCATTGTTATTGTTGTGTGACTGAAAGAGAGAGAGAGAGAGATAAGATGGATTGGAATTCTAGGATATTGAATAAATTAACTTTTTTAAAATAATGGTATCATCTTGAGATATGTTCCATTTCCAGACTGTATGTTGGTAGACACAACAATGAAATAATATAAACTTGGTTTGTAAAGTGGATAGACAAACTAATAAAATAACACTATTTTTTGAAAACACACTTGTAGATCACCCACCCTAAATAATAATTGATTCAAGTACTTCGGTCGGAGATAGCAAAATACAAATACTCGGTCTTCATTCGGAACAATTCAAATTTAAATTTTTGACAGTTGAGTTTTGCATTGGCGGGAATTGATTCAAATAATTTAAGAGTGGTGACCACTACTGTTCTCGCTCTTGATTACCTGTAACGGTACTTGTGATCACAACAACACTACACTGGTCTTATTATTTACTTTTCGTAAAGAGTTATAATTATCAATCAACACAGACAACAAGAGATACTAATTAGTTCTAGAATAGAAAGAGGAAAAACACAACAGTAGTAATATTACATTAATTAATTAATTAGATAAATATATATATTTATCTCTATTCAGTACAATAACAACAGTGTTTATTAATTCATATTGGTTTTAACTAGTATTTATTGATTGGTATGTGTATTAGACAACAATTCCATCCTCCTCCTCCTCGGATCACACACACAAATACACAACAGATCTATTTATATCTTGTCTGTCAACTCAACCCAAGCAATAATAATAATAATATTGTTTGTCATTGAGCTACTACTATTACTACTACAACTAAAAAGAGTATATCAATAATGTTAATAACAATAACTAAACATTATGTCGGACATAATAACGGGTGTAGTAAGGTTAAATGGAATGAGTGGGGGTAAAAAAACCGTCCATCATCCGCCACTATTAACACTGCAGTTATTATTATTACTACTATAAGTAATGTGAATAACAGGTGTGAAAAAACATAACATTGTGGTTGGGTGTGTGTGGGTGGTGGTACTATATTCAGATTTATGGATGATTCATCTTTCATCAATGATGATGATGTTTGGAAAAACAATGGGTCGCTCCAAAGTAGTCCGACTACACCCTCACCCTATTAGTAGTAACATGTCCTAACCTTGCTAATCCTCATCCGTGGGAGACCATATTTTGGCAACACGGAGAACGACGATAACTTTGGGTTGATGACGAAAATAAGCAAAGCTTGTTTTATTATTATTATTATTATTATTATTGTTAATTATCACCTCCACACTATAGTTATATATATATATTCCCAGACATAATAAAACATATAAAAGAAACAACCAAAAATATTTTGGAAAGAAAATACAAGAAGGAAGGAAGGAAGGGTATGGATGGATAAATTAAATCAAACAAATCATCGTCTCATTTAGATCTATACAACAGGAAATTAAATTAATTCATCTCTACACTTTTTTTATTTTAAAAAAACAAAATTATCATTTATCATTGTTGTCATTTCCGTCAATGATAATCATTAATATTAATATTAATTATATATTGTTGTCACCTAACACTTTTTGATTTTGGTTTGAATTTTAATATTAATATTATCTCTCTTTTTTTTTTTGAATATTTAGTATTATTATTATTTATTTAATTTCCTTGGATAATCTTGTATTTAATTTAAAAAAAATATGAGTAGTTTACAAGATAGTCATTTGACACCAACAAAGTTGGAGAAAAAGAGAAAGAATATAGAGGGAGCCAAGGACTCCAAGAGTCCCATCCACAAGATACGATCGGCCACTTTGACGCGACAGGCCACCTCCAAGCTACAGTTTGTGGTTGACCTTGGCACTTCGATGGCCAAGGGGTCGCCGTCTAAATCAACTGCCAACGCATTGTCTCTCCACTCGTCTGTACCATACCACAACACACCTGCCTATGTCCAATCGATCTGCAATAGTCCGTCGGCTGCATCAAGTGTCTCGAGCATCTCGTCGCCATCAGCCAACAAGACATCAGAAAAAAAGAAAAAGCAAAACAACACACTACATCGTCGCAGTATCAGAATATCACAACAATTAAAATTGGATGAGGTCACCAAGATATATGCTCCGCTCACCGGATCAGACTATCTCGCAACAGCACCCTCCACACCACTCTCCCCAACTCTCAGTAGTAGTACCAACACCAATTACTATCAATACAACAGTTGTAATAATACACCAGTCTCACATCCAACTAATTTCTATCCATTGACACCTGTCTCTAATAAAGACCAACTCCAAAACACCACCACCACCGTCAAGTCTACTCCCATTCATTGCTCCACGCCACTCAATGAAAATCATGCTGCCACCACTTCATCCTCTTCACTCAATTCATCTAATGGATCAACATCCATCTCTCCACTCATGGCATCACTTTCCACCGCTGCTGCCAATAATGACAACAAAGAGAATGTTGTCAACTCACCGCCAACATCACCCAACACTGGCAACAAGGATAACGCAGCCGTCAAGCACCCTCTGTCACCCATACGTCTCTCACTGACCATGTCACCCGTGTTAAAGGCGTCTGCTAGAAAGTCCGTCTCGTTTACACCCGCCCAGCAATCCTCTGGCATGACGATTTCCAACCAACAACACCAAAAGAACCAACTGGAAAACAACAAACGAGAGACTATCAACAATTGTGAATTCATTCTTGGTAAAATGAGTGAATACCAAAAGATTGTCTTATCCAATCCAACTCTATCAAAGGATATTCTTCATTCAGAATATGAATATTTAATAACTGATACAAGAATTATTTCAAAGGTATAAAACAAAAAAAAGAAATATATAATAATATTAATATTAATATGTTTCTTTTTTTATTTGTTATATTTAGATATTATCACCATTTAATAATATTCAAGGATCAGAAACAGATACAGAAGTTATAATTAAAAAAGAAAAGAAAGATAAAAAAGATAAAAAGGATTCATCATCATCATCACTGCAACAACAACAAAAACAAGAACAACAACAACAAAAGAAAATAATAGAATCACAACAACAAAAATTGGCTGAAATGGATATTATCGCTCAATCCATTGCATCAATTGCCAAAAAAATATTGGCAATGGAATCAGAGGTAAAGAAACCAAATATCACTGAAAAGAAGACACATACTTTGGGATTGTATGTGTTTGCCATTAAACAATATTTAGAAGATGGTCAAATGCCAAGTGATCTACCAACCATCCCAACAGAGGTTGCTCATTCTCTAATTCAAAGTACTGAAAGTACCACCAAACTATATCAACCAGATGAAAATGGATACGTCTACAAATCTGGATACTTGATTAAAAAATGTAAAAAGGGACCATTAGTAGTTTGGAAAGAACAATGGTTTGTTTTATCTTGTGAAAAACTTTCTATTTGTTCAAGTCAATCTGTATGTAACCAATTAAAAATATATAATATAATATATATTTTTATAACATATTAATTATTTATTTTAATTTATTTTTAGAGCACAAAGATTAAAAAAGAAATAGCATTAAATAATATTATTTCAATTGCACCATGTACAAAATATACTGAATTTAAACATTGTTTTATGTTGAATGTAAAAAACCCATCCATCAAGATTATAGTTAGAGCCACTTCAGAGAGAGAAGCTTCACTTTGGATGTTGGCTATTGACGGACTTCCCAGACGCAACTTTGACACGAATCAATCGTGTATCAACCAATATATCCGTGAGACAATGCTCGAGGTGATTGGGTCTAATGGTGGAGTACTCAACTATAGAAGATCGATTGCTGGAGGTGTGGTGCGTAGTAGTCATGGTGAAGAATGGACGTATCGTGCCGACGGTACCATCTTTAACACTGACCATTTAGAGCCAAGTATCCGTGCCAAGGAACTAAAGTATGTATGGAACGGACAGTTACTCGTCGCCGCCAAAGACAGTCCTAGAAATCTTGGTAGTGGAAAATTCAACGGTGTCTGGCTAGCTTGGTACGATTCAAATGGTGACCCATTCCTAAAATACATCTGGGATCCAGAAAGTAACGAATACCTCAACCAAAATTCAAACCTCTCTCACAAATGGTCAACCAGAGGTTTAGTATCAAAGGTTGGAACTGGTGAGTGGATGATTGAAGGAAATGTTCCACCAACCATTGTCATGTTTTTACAATGTTTACGTTATTGTAGATTAGGAAAGGATTTTTAAAATCAAAATCATAAAAAAGTAGATAGACAAGATAGATAAGATAGATAGATTAGAAATCAAACCAACAAAACAAAACAAATAATAATAATTTTTTAAAACAACCAAAAGAAAGAAAAAAAAAAAAGAAACAAATAATATTGTTTTTTTTTTTATACACATTTAATAATAATCAAAATAAAGCAAACATTTTCCGTTATATATATAATTATCCAGAAAACTATCATGTTCATTGTAATGTACATTACACATACACACACCATGTTTATATATATATATTTTAAATAACTCTTTGACTTGAACAGTCAAACACACAAACACAATGGTAATATTCGGTTTGTTTAAAAAATCAGTTGTAAATCCAAACCATCTCCTCTTTTTTTATATCTATCTATCTCATCATCATTGTTGTTTAAAGAACTGATGGATGGGATTCTCGAGTTGTCGTACAACGCTTTCCAAAACCTATTGAGCAATCAAGAGGTAGTTTTGGATGTACGTTGGATTTCCACTCCACTGCCACATGACGATGATCGTGTCGGTTGGGAAAAAAAAAACTTTTTTTTCTTGTGAAAGGAACTGGTGTCGCTCGGAATTGGGTGATCGACCAGAGAGATCCAACAGGCCAATAGATGGTTGTAACACTACTACAAGATCTCTATATCTCTATCTATCTATCTATTATCTTTTTTTTTATTTTTTTTATTTATTTGTTTTGTTTTTTTAAAAATCTTTCATAAGAGGAGGATGAAGATATTTTTTAACACAACCACTTCTTTGTTGGTGATCATTGCAACAACAGTACTACTACTTTTATCATCACATTGTGTCAGTATTCATGCTAAACAACTATTAGATATAAGTGAATCACCAAGAGATAAACAACTATTCAACGAGTATGCAAGTGAGTTATTGTTACTCAATGGTGGTGTGATGCCAGAAGTTGAAGAATTCAGCCACACTTGTATTCACGACACCCTTATCGGTGCTGAAACAACAACTAGAGCCAACATCGAGATGGCTGTTACATCGACTGTATCATCATCATCATCATCGGCGATCCCTGATGTAACAGGTTCTAACGGAGACACATCCAACAAACTGCCAACTGCTACACCACCACCACCAACATCACACCCAATTCGTATTATTGTCAATACAACCTTTTTGATGTCAAGTTTGGAACCACAAACTTGTTTCCATATTGGTCAAAAGGTTAATATCTCTGGTCCATATGGTGGAGTTGCTACACAAGACTGTGCCACTATTAAATCGACACCTTGTGTGTGGACTTGTACCGCATCGGATCTTGTCACTACAAGTTATGCCAATGCAATTAGCAGTATTGTTATTGACAAGGTTGTAAATATGTACCAATCGACTCTTAATATCTCTGGTACGGCCAAGACCAACTATGTTCGTGCTGGACTCAACACATACCCTTGTTCGGAACAATTCATCAAACTCGACCCTAATTGGCAGACCCAAGGATTCGACGGTGACCTCATTCTCTATGTCACCTCACATCCTATCCCCGGTTCCACCCTTGCCTACGCATCTGCATGTGCCCAAGACCAAGCTACTGGCAGACCGACCGTCGCATTCATCAATATGAATCCAAACAGGTTCACTCAATTTGCAACACCAGCTAATCGAGTTGGAATAGACTGGGAAATGTACTACAGAGTCCTTATTCATGAGGTTACCCATGGTCTCGGATTCTCAAGAAATCTTTATAATAGTTTTCTAGATCCAACAACTGGTTCAAAATATACAAGTATGTTTAGATTGATAGATTGATTGATATATATATATTTATAATTATATTAATATTAATTTATATTATTATTTTATTTTATTTTTGTGTAGCATCACCAACAACTACAACAACATATCAAGGTGTAACACCATTAGGTGAAACCTATTCAAGAGAAAGATATTATCTTACAACACCAACAGTCACTAAATTTGTTCGTGAACATTTTAATTGTTCAAGTTTGATTGGTGCAGAGTTGGAAAACTATGGTGGATCGGGAACGGTTATGAGTCATTGGAAGGGAACTTTCTTTGGCGAGGAGATGATGTTGGGGTCTGCTCAAGTCAAGGCTCCATTGACCAAGTTGACTTTGGCTCTATTGTACGATTCCGGATGGTATGTTTTGGACGATGAAGTACTCAACACCAAGTCGGAACCATTGATCTGGGGCAAGTCACTTGGCTGTCCATTCACAGAAACTTGCACACCAGAGTCTTGGGCATTCCCTGGATACTTTCCAAACGCCTCCACGGTGTCTAATACAAGAGGTTGCAGTGCCACTCGATCTGGAAAGGGGTACCTCATCTATGGAGTAGATGGTAGTGGTGGGGACTTGGCACCATACCAACAACACTTTAAAGACAAGCGTACTGGTGGAGCTTTTTTCTTTAAAGATAAGTGTCCCTATACTGATGTCTATTCGACATCGTACCAACAAAACACAGCTTATTGTTTTGATACTGCTGCCACACCAAACAAAAATGTCTACGAGGTGTTTGGAAGTGACAGTCTTTGTTTCGAATATGTTCCAACTGGTTCGTCAACCATCCAAAATGCATGTTGGCCACAACGTTGCAATCCAGACAACGATACCATGGAGATTGGATACAACAACCAATGGTTTGCCTGTAACTCTGGCAACCAACTCATCTCGACTGGCGACGGCAACACTATCGTTTGTCCACCAAACTTTAACATTTGCGGTGGTATCTCCAAGAACCTCATTTTCAACAACAGCATCCTATCTTGGTCATCCAAAATATCAACTTCCTCCTCTCATTCAATGATCATTGTACCACTATTATTTGTAATACTACCATTCCTTTTATTCTAATAAATTAAAACAAAAAAGATTCTTACTTTACCTGTTTTCGAAAACAGTTAATACAAACACAACAAATTAAAATAACCCTTTGTCTTTAAGTAAAACTAAAATATCTGTTTTTTCACGTACGGTGGTTGGATAGATAGTTGACCATTGGCAGTTGGAATCGATCAAGATCTTGATTGTTTTTTTTTGAAAAGTTTGGGTGTGTCCTCTCAAAAAAACATCGTTGGATACAGTTGGGTCACAAAGGCTGTTTCCCTCACCCATACACGAAGACTGCCTTATGATGATGACACCAAAAAATTGATTTAATTTGTTAATCAGCTGCACGACGGTGTGCACAATGCACTCAGAAAAGCAAGCATGCGCTTTAAACATTTATTAATAAATAAGTTGTAAAATACAGATAGCAGTAGATAGATAGATTAGGAGGAGAATGAAAGTAACGTTATCAATACTATGTATAATAGTATTATTTAATGTTTTAATAGTAGTTTCATCAACTTTGGAGAATCATCATGACAATAATAATAACCCAAGCACACTTCGTAGAATCATTCGTGCACCACTTACAGACAAGCAAAATGAATTGATTGAAAAGTATGCAGCAGAACTTAGAAAGTTGAATAATGGTGAGATGCCAATGGACCATGCACCACTCAAACACAATTGTGTACACGATCACTTGACAAAGGATAGTCCTCCACAACCATCGCCTATCCCATCTGGTCCAGATGCAGAGGTCGGACAAGAACAAGAACAAGAACCTTCTGCCAAGTTTGGAGGCATTTTACAAAGACCATTCAGAATACTTCTAAACACTGATTACATGAACCCACAAAATGAACCACAAACATGTAGTTATGTCAATCAAAAGGTTACTATTGGAGGCCCAGGTTCTGGTACTGCTCAAGTTGCATGTGATTCAACTGGAAGAACACCTTGTATTTGGACTTGCAAGGCAGCCGACGTAGCATCACAATCCTATCAAAATGCAATCATCTCGATTGTTGGTGAAAAGGTTGTTTCATTCTTTGAGGAACTTCTCACCGTACCAACCACCTATAATCAAATCAACAAGGTTTCAAGTTCCGGTACCTATGCATGTCAAAGACAAGGACAATACTTAAAGTTGGACCCTACATGGTCTACCACTGGTTTCAATGCAGATATGGTTCTATTCCTCTCATCACATCCAGTCCCAGGATCCACCATTGCCTACGCAGCCACTTGTATATCAGACAATGTCTCTGGTAGACCATTGGTTTCTTTTACCAATCTAAATCCATCCTATTTTTCACCATTTGTCAACGCTACCCTTAGACAAGGACCAGATTGGGAGCTTTATTTCCGTGTAATGGTACATGAAGTGACACATTCTCTCGGATTCTCCTCGTCTGCCATGCCAGGTTGGATTAATCCAAATACTGGTTTAAAGTATCCAGGAGGTGTGTAAACACATTAATATTAATATTTTAAACAAAAATATATAGACTAATTTTGTTTTGTTTTTTTTTTTGTTTATCCTAGGACCACTTTTAATAAGAACAGATATGTTTGAAACACCATCTGGTCAATCATATTCAAGAGAACGTTATTTCCTTACTACTCCATTTGCTACACAATTTGTTCGTGATCATTTCAATTGCTCTGATTTGATTGGTCCAGAAATGGAAAATGTTGGTGGTCCAGGAACTAATATTAGTCATTGGAAGGGTACACCATTTGGCGAGGAAGATATGATTGGGTATGGACAAGTTATTGCTCCTTATACCAACCTTACATTGGCTCTATTAAAGGATACCGGATGGTATAGCATCAATGAGTCGGCACAGGCTGAACCATTGATTTGGGGTAAGGGTATGGGTTGCGCATTCCCAGAGGGGTGCAGTCAAAAGTCATGGAACTATCCAGGGTATTGGGACTTCCCAGCAGAAGGAACAAATGGTGGTGTCAAGGGATGCTCGGCCACACGTTCTGGCAAGGGCTACTTGCTACTCGCCAAATACCAACAAACACTTCAACCACCATTCCAACACTTTGAAGACCCAGCCGTTGGTGGTGGTTATTCATTCAAGGATTTGTGTCCATACACTGACGTCTATAAATCGTCGCAAGCCGAAAACAATGTCTATTGTCTCGACACTTCAGTCACACCAGACAACTCTGTCTATGAGACGTTTGGCGCCAACAGCTATTGTTACGAGTACACCAAGGGTGGCGACGACAAGATTAATCTTGCTTGTTGGGTCACCAGATGCAGCGCCAACAACACATTACAAGTACTCTACAACCAAGACTGGCTCACATGTGATGTTGGTGGCAAGACCATCTCACTCCCCTCCAACGTCACCTTCCACTGTCCAAATGACTTTTATCTATGTGGTGTTGTTCCACAAGTACCATCTTCTCTCCCTTATAAATATGCCATCTCGGTTGCCACCCACACCTCTGCAATCGTCTCATTTGGCTCGATTATTTTCCTTGTTTCTCTCCTCATCTCCATTTTTTAAAATAATAATTAATTAATAAATAAAAAATAAGGATGAACTATTTTTTTTGTAAAAGTATCACAAACAAACAAACCAATTTACAATATTGAAAACATAATAATTCCAAAAATGGTAATAACCTTTTTAAAATACTCTAAAAACAAAAAAAAACAAAAAAAAACAAAAAAAAAAAATTATTAAATTAATTGAAAATAATTAATTAAATTAATTAAGTAATACTTTGGGGAGATAGATATCTATATGAGATATGGATTGCTACAACCAACCAACTAAATATCAACCTATCAATTTTAAAGTGTTATACAATTTGTAAATATATATAGAACAAAAGTAAAAGAAATAGAGAGAATGAAGTATTTAGTAGCTATTGACGGAACTGAAGAGTCACACAAGGCATTCCAAATTGCCAAAGACCTTTATAAAAGTGGTGACAATGTTAGTATAGTAACATGTTGTCCAACCAACAAAACAACTGATGTAGAAAAGGCTGAATCACTTTTAACAAACTATAGTAAAATGTGTTCAGAAAGTGGTGTATGTAACAAACAAACCCTAACCCTAACACAACCAACCTTACAATACTAAATATCGGATATTAATATCCCTTCCTCTCTTTTATAATTAGATGCCAAATGATACAATCTTAATGAATGTAGATCCTAAAAAGGGTATATTGGATGCTGTAGAGAATAATCAAACCGATGTATTAATCTTGGGTACTCGTGGAATGGGTATTATCAAAAGAGCTCTTATCGGATCTGTTAGTCAACATGTTCGTGATAAAGTTAGCTGCGATGTCATTATTGCAAAGTAAATAAATAAATAAATAAATAAATAACTTAAATATATTAACTATGAATTTTTAAATAAACCTCAGAAGAGGAATGAGAATATGATCTAGACGTCCTCGCAAACTTCCGGAATAAGATTCATGAACCTACGAAATTTCGATTTTTTTGAATTAAATTTGTCTTCAAGAATATTAACCCTTTGCTATATAACTCTTTAGTTTCAGTGTCTATTATTCATCATTAAATTATTTAATTAAATACATATATATATACAACAAACACATAAACAACAAACAAACATACATCAATGGCATCTAGAGTAGTATCAAAAATAGCAAAAGGAATCCCAACTAGCGATGGTGCAGGTGTAAAGTTAAAGAGAGTCATTGGCGGTCCAATCTCAGACTTGGATCCATTCCTCTTACTTGATGAATTCAAGAGTGATAAAAAGGATGACTATATTGCTGGTTTCCCTTCACATCCACATCGTGGTTTTGAGGTATGTAGAGATAAAGATAAAGAGAAATAGAAATAGATTTACTAAATACTAATATTCTATTCTATTTATTTATGTATTTATTTAGACTGTAACATATATGTTGGCAGGATCAATGGAACATAAAGATCATAAAGGAAATAAAGGATTATTAAGACCAGGGTCGATTCAATGGATGACTGCTGGCAAGGGTATCATTCATTCTGAACTACCTAAACAGGAACAAGGTTTGATGCATGGATTCCAACTTTGGTGTAATCTTCCAAAAACACATAAAATGATGGAACCTAGATACCAAGACATTCCACCAAAAGATGTACCGGTCGTTGAAAGTGATGGTGTCAAGGTAAAGGTTCTAGCTGGTACCTATCGTGGTACAGTCGGTCCTGTATCTGGTGTCATTACCAATCCACTCTACCTTGATGTCGAGTTGTCACCAGGCTCTAAATTCTCTGAAGAGATTCCAACTGGACACAGTGCATTTGCCTATGTCTTCCAAGGCAGTGGATTCTTTGGACCAAAGGGAAGTCAGAAAAAAGTGGAAGAGTCTCATATCGGTGTATTAACTGGTACCGGTGCCACTCACATTGAAGCAACTGGTGGTGACGATGGATGTAGATTTATTTTAGTAGCTGGTGCTCCAATCAATGAACCAATTGCTAGATATGGACCATTTGTAATGAATACAGAAGCTGAAATTAAACAAGCATTTGATGATTATAGAAATGGTAGATTCTAAACACAAACAAACCAACAAACCAACTCAAACATATAATATAATAATAATATAGGCAATTCAATTCAAGTTAATAATAATAATAATATAGTAATAACATTTATTTATTAAATTAATAATAATAAACTTTTTCAAATTTTGTATAATTATAACATAAATCTAAAGATTGATTGATTTCGGTATTAGTTTCATTCCCAACATTATGAAAGTTCGATTGATTTAAATTAATATCAATATTAAATTTTTCGCATTCGGGATGCGCAATGCGTTGTTCAATTCACTTTGTTTAATATTGATCAGATAGATTAGATAGATAGAGATATTTATATTATATATACTAAAGAGAGAATGAGTAATTTGATCAAGTTTTGGGAAAAAGGTACAAAGATTGTAGCAGTAGCAAGAAACTATGTAGCACATGCAAAAGAGTTGGGTAATGAAGTACCAAGTGAACCATTCTTTTTCTTAAAGCCAAAGTCATCTTATTGCTTGCAAGGCAGTCCTATTGAAATACCAAAGCAAACAAACGACGTTCATCACGAGATTGAATTGGGTGTTGTCATTGGAAAGAAGGGCAAGGATATCGATGCATCCAATGCAATGGACTTTGTAGGAGGTTATGCTTTGGCTATTGACTTGACTGCACGTGACCTTCAATCAAAGGCAAAGCAACAAGGTCAATGTTGGACCATTGCAAAAGGATTCGATACCTTTTGTCCAGTATCTGACTTTATCCCAAAAGAAAAGATTGCCAATCCTTCCAAAGTCGAATTATGGTTATCAGTTGATGATGTAGTCAAACAAAAAGATTATACTGATAAAATGATCTTTGGGTAAAGAAAAGAAAAGAAAATATTATAATCACAATCATAAATATAACTAACCATCACCAAACTAAACTACTCTACCCTATCTATCTATCTATCTCAGTATTCCAGAATTAATTCAATCGATTAGTAGAGTAATGACATTAGAAGAAGGTGATTTAATTTTAACAGGTACACCATCAGGTGTAGGTCCAATCAAGGTTGGACAAAAGATTAAATGTGGTATTACCGGTGTTGCTGAAATGCAATTTGATGTTGTCCAAAGAAAGTAAAGTTGCGCTTATATAATTTTAAAAAATGTAAATTATCAAACAAATCAATAAATAAACAGCAACTGCAGTATTCCATTCATTTGTTTAACTAACTAACTAACAAACAAACAAACATATATTAAATATGATTATTTATAAATGTATTATATTATTATTATTTGTATTATTTAATCAATTTTTGCAAGATGTGCCGACCTCTCTTCTGCTATTATTTTCGTCTTTCGTTCATTTTCACAATTTTATTTATTTTTGAATTTATTTATTTATTTTCTATATACATATACATTTATACATATAAATACAAAGTAGTTAGATATATATATAATCTACTTTAGTACTATACATAGAGAGAGAGAGATGAAAAAGTTTAATAAAAAAAAGATGGCACCAACAACGGTAGCCAACCCAATCAAACAAAGACAGAGTGGAGAAGCAAAAAAGAATAGACCTCCAACCATCTATCAGAAAAAGAAACAGAGAGCTCCTATGTCTGTAAGAGGAAAGGATGGAGAGTTGGAAGATGTAGATGATATTAGTATAAAAGAGTATAAGCGGTCGGAGGAGAACTCGCTCAAACGTCTTCGTAATCACGTGTACGAGGGTGGTGACGGGTTTGATAACTTTGACATTCTTGACGATGCCTCTAATACAGTGTTTGCCTATGCCACCGATGATATTGCAAGTACCGAGATTCTCGGTCCCGATCAACTACACCTCAACAAGCACAAGGTCAAGAAATCAAAGCTCGAACAAGACATGGAGAAAGAGATGGACGACGAAATCAACTTGAAGGGAATGACACCCAAGTTGAGTAAAAAAGAGAAGCTTAAAAAGAGAATCAGAGATCGTATGGAGTTGGCCAAGAACATTCATTTTGCCAAACTACCATCAGTACAAAGAAAGTTTTGGAAAGAGACTGTCAAGATGCCACTCGCCGAGCAATTGGCCGTACGTAAACGTCTCAAAGTAAAGATTGAAAGAACTATTACATCCGAGTTGACAGGTTCATTGGTGTCTATTGAAGGTCAAGCAGAACAACAACCGGTAAAATCACAAAAGGGACTACGATCGCCGCTACCAAGACCGATCGTGTCGTTGGACGATGTCGATATTCCAAAGTCGATGATGAAGTTTATCGACTTTTTGCGCAACAAGTACTCGGCCATCAAGGAACCAACACCCGTCCAATCACAGGCATGGAGTGCTGTCATGACTGGCAATGATGTGTTGACTATTGCCCAGACTGGTAGTGGAAAGACACTTGGTTATCTGTTGCCAGCCATCCCACACGTACTCGCACAAATGAAGCAAAGAAGTGGTCTACAAGTCAAGGGAATGCCACCTATTCGTGGACCGATCGTTCTTATCATCGTTCCAACTCGTGAGTTGGCTCAACAAGTAGATGCCGTCTGCAAACCTCTCCGATCTAAATTGGGTATTCACAGTCTTGCCATTTACGGTGGTGTCAAGTCATACGAACAAAAGGAGATTCTCTCACAAGAGCACAATGAAATCGTGATTGCCACACCCGGTCGTCTGGTCGATCTCATCCAGCGATCGGAAGAGGTAGTCGGTCTACTCAGTCGTGTCAGTCTACTCATTTTCGATGAAGCCGACAGAATGCTCCAACTCGGTTTCGGTGACCAACTCCAAAAGATCTCTGAACAGATCCGTCCCGATCGTCAAACACTCATGTTTAGTGCTACCTTTGCCAAGACCATGCAAGAAGCCTCCACCAAATGGCTCAAGAATCCACTCAAAATCAGAGTCAAATCAAGTTCAGCCAACGAAGAAAACACAGCAGTCATCACCAAAAACGTTAAACAAGTTGTCAAAGTCATCAAAGAAGATCAAAGACAAGATTATCTATTTAAATTCCTTGATTCTATTTTCACAAAAGAAACTACAATGAGAAATAGAAGTTTAATTTTAGTATGACAAAAAGAAAAAGAAAAAAGAAAAAGAAAAAAAGATAAAGATAGAATAGAGTATTTATTAATCTTCTTTTAATTTTTTGTTGATTTAATTTTAGATATTTGTAAATCATGTAAGAAGTGTTAAACCATTGTCATTGGCAATTGAAAAGATGTTGACTAAACAATCAAGAAAATACAAGTGTGGTGCTATTCATGGTGATTTGAAACAACATGAAAGAGATCAAGTAATCAATGATTTCAAGGCCGGTAAAATGACAGTGTTGGTTGCCACTGATATTTTGGGTAGAGGTATTCATATCAATAATCTTAGATTCGTTATCAACTATGATTTCCCAACTTCACTAGAACAATATATTCACAGAGTCGGTAGAACTGGTAGACAGGGTAACAAGGGTCACGCCTTGACACTCTATTGTGACATTCCACAAAACCAAACATTTGCAAAGGGTTTGGTTAGAATTTTGGAAGAGTGTTCTCAACAAGTTGATCCTCAACTCAGAGTGTTGGCTGAATCTTATTTTGGTGATTCAGAACAAGTACCATTATTAAAAACTGAAGAAGAAGAAATTAAAGATGAAGATGATAGTGATGATGAAGAAACAACTACTTCAACAACCTCTACAACCTCAACAACAGTTAAAGTTAAAAATGAACCTCTTGACGATAATATTGCAAATATGTTTGATTGGAAGAAAATTGCTGGAGATGATAACGATGAAATTGAAAATGAAGATTTTGGTGATGAATTTGTTCAAGATAGTGATGAAGATGATGAAGACGACGATGATGATGAAGATGAAGATGATGAAGATTTTGAAGAGGAAGATTTTGAAGAAGAAGAAGAGGAACAAGAGGAAGACGACGAATAAACATAAACAACTTTTATAATTATTTTTTTTTACAAATACAACAACAATATTCATTTAAATTTCTCCATCAATAGTTTATTTTTTTGGGTAGAAATCTGGATTCCATGGACAACATAATTCTCTTTCAAAGGGTTAGTAAAGGAGTGGAGTGGAATAGATAACTTGTGTTTGAAGAATTTCCAATGGAACAACAGATTTTTTAAAAACTTTCCATTTTAGGAATTATCTCAATATTTTGACGACATTGGTGCTGACAGCACCTCCTAATAATAATTATTCATCCACTACACAAAATCTTTTCTTTACTTTTTTTTAAAAACAATTTAAATTATTTGTTGTGTTTTTTTAAAATTAAATGATAATAAATAAACTTAATTCTTCTTCCTCCTTCTTTTATAAGCACAATTGTCGCACGATTATACCTATACCCCGCTTTAATTATTCCACCATCATTTTATTTTATTTGTTGGTATTTTATTTTTTTCAAAACGGTAGTTGCACAAGCATTGTCGCTGACAAGACTTGTAGTCATCCTTTAAACTATAGTGCTAGCAATAACAACAGTAATAGTAATACGATTACTAAAAGAGATAATAACTCTAGAGTTTTAACTTTACAACATCATCAACCACCTTGTTATATTCATTCAAATTTGAGTCATACTACTACTCCATCATCAAGTTATAAAGGTAGAATGAATGAATCAAATATTAGTATATCTTCAGAATCACCTATTTCATCATCATCATCGTCGGTGAGTGATAGTAGTCCAACAACTGTTAGATTACTTACCTATAACGTGTTTGTACGTCCACCTGGCATCAAGAACAACCATAACGACTACAAAGACGAACGTTTGGAATGCATGATATCGTCAGACTTGAATGCACACAAATTGGACAAGTTGACGAGTTCACCCAAGGGCACTACGAGTAGCGTCGTACCTTTTTCATTGTATGTGGTGGACAAGGACAGATTCCCGTCCATCCCATACCTTTCACCATGGAGATCTCCACGTCCCAACCATCATCATCACCACCACACTCATGCAAATGGATCATCTTCGTCATTTGAACAAGAATTAGAATCACATAGTGGAAAGAGTTTCAGCAAGTTGGATGGATCAATACTTGGTCAATTTGACATAATATGCCTCCAAGAGCTCTTTTCAGCATTTAGCTTTAGACAAAAACGCTTTATTGAAAAGGCAAAGAAACAGAACTTTTTGTATAGTGCAACGTCGCCGCTACCTAGATTGCTGCGCACCACCTTTCTCGTAGACGGCGGTATTGTCGTCCTCTCCAAACACCCGATTGTCAAGACCGAGTATCTTCAATTCAAGCAGGGTGTAGACAGCGACATGCTTGCATCCAAGGGTGCACTCTACACCAAAATCCAAATCACACGTGACGATGGTACACCTGGATCTGAATACATCCACCTTTTCTCGACACATCTTCAAGCATCGTACAACCCGAGCCAAGAACAACTGCAAAAGGGTGGTGGTCGAGACAACCAGATGAACGACTCTGTACGAACCATCCAACTCAACCAACTCCGAGACTTTATCATCGAGATGACCAAGTCTGACTCGTACCCCGTTATCCTGGCCGGTGACCTAAACGTCGACGGAAAAGGATCCAAAACCGACCCTACAAAGGACAGCAAAGAATATCAAGAAATGATTGCCTATCTATCGAGGGTACCACCAACAGGTGACGATGAACCACAACAACAACAACAACAACAGGCAACACCACCACAAGGTGGCAAGAAAGTATATAAAATAGCCGATCTTTTAAAAGAAGATGTAGGATGTCATCCAGCGACGGTTGGAGATACCATTGGATTGGCTCAGAATAGTATCCCTAGAGAAACATGTCTCACTCATCCAAACGATTATGGATGTCTCAAAAGACTAGATTATATATTTTTAATGGACCGTGTCAATGACACCACGACAACCGACGAATGTAGAGTTAAAGGTACAACCAAAGTGGAACCATTTTTTATTGAAGGTTTCCCATTCACTCAATTAAGTGATCATTATGGTGTATCTACAAATCTTCAATTTTATAATAATCAACAATAATAAAACCAGAGATATTAATATCTCTATTATTTATGTATAAAAAAAAAAAAACAATATCTTGGATAAGATGGAGGATCGAAATACATTTATTTATTTACGTAATAAGGTTGTAAGTTGTTGGTGTTGTTGTTGTTGTTGTTTTAAAAAACTGGATACATTTATAATTATTATATTATAATATTTTGTTGTTGTTATTTTGAGATTGTTGGTGTAGTTTCTTGAGGAGGTTTAGTTGTTGTTGTTGTTGTTGTTGTTTTATGTACATTTTTAGATTTTAAACAAAAAGATGATGAAATTGGAGGATATAGATATATATAGTTGACTCACAACTATATTACTACTACTATTATTATTATTATTATTATTATTATTATTATTATTATTATTATTATTATTATTATTATTAATTATTATAATGAACTTTTGATTATTATTAATTATTATAATTCAACTTTACATAGTGGACATTTGTTTTTGTTTCTTAACCAAATATCAATACATTGTGGATGATAAATATGATGACATTTTGGTAATTCTTTTAATGATTCAGATTCATTAAAATCTTCCAAACAAATCAAACATCTAAAAAGAATAGAAAAAAAAGGATATTAATATACATTATTCCCCAAAAGATATATTTTTTGTCTTTAACATACCTTTGATCATGATCATCATTTGATAAATGATTCTTTTTATATTGAATATGTTTAATTGATTTCTTTTGTTGATCGGTTGCACCAACCTTTACATCTTCTAATCTCGATAGTGTTTCATATGACATATCGATTTCTTCTTCATCATCGCTTTCAGCAAATTGAATCTCTTCTTGAAGTTTTCTTGCCATATCTCTATCTTCTTGTTCTCTAATTTCTGCCATTATCAATTGATTAACTATAAACACAAAAAAAGAAAGGATATTTGTTAATAATTATTTGACACTTGTCGGTGACTATTGACATACTTAATTCTTCGTTTTCTTCATCGTATTTTCTTAATTGACTAATTGATGATTGTTGAGATGGTTGTGCTTTAAATGGGTTTGGATTAATGGCAGTAATGGTATTATTGGATGATGATGTAGTTGAAGTGGTCGAAGTAGAGGTGGTAGTAGTAGAGGTGGTAGTGGTAGTATGGTCGTTTGAAATGGATACAGGTGGAGGTGGAATAGGAGAGGCAGAAAAGCTAAAGGCCGGTGAACTAAATAGAGGTGATGAAAAGGGAGAGGTCGATGGTGACACACCTCTTACATGTGACGACCCACTCGTTGTCGTTGATGATGATGCATTACTGCTACCACTACTACCGTGTCCAATACTAAATATCGATCTAATAAACGACGGTGACGAAGGTGACAGCGAAGAAATCGACTTGTTGCTGCTACTCGTGTTGTTGTTGTTGGCGCCATTGATGGTGTTGGTGTTGTTGATCATCGTCGACCCACTACTAAAAGCGTCTCTTTCGCTCACCACTCTTTGTTTCTCGTCCATCTTTCTTTGATACTTTGGATCATTTCTAAGGAGACTCATTTCTTCTTCTTCTACTCTTTTAAAATAACAACTAGTTATCTTCTCTTTCTCTTTCTCTTTCTTAATATATTCTTGTTGTTGTTGTTGTTGTTGTTGTCTTTTTAATATTACTGCTACACTATCTGAGTACGTGTTTGTAAAGTAAGTTAATTAACTATGCTTTCTTTGTCCCGCGTTATGTTATGTTTTTAAAAAGTGTGTAGTATTAGATAGATAGTTTATAACTACAGTCTTTTTTTTATCTATCTCTCTCTTTGGCTAATTTGCAATTCGTTTGTGAAAGTGATCTCGAATGGAGTGTGGAGGTAAAATAGCAGAGTGACAGCAGAGAGAGAATCAAACACACTATCTTTAAAACTGCTTCTTTGCTCACCCCCAAATTTAATTTTTATTTTTTATTTATTGTTTTTTACACCCCCCTCACCCCTGCTACCGCTCACTGAGTAACATAATACACAATGTCGTTACCATTCTATGCTCCTTCATCATTATTATCACTACGCTATTATCATCCTCAATGGCGAGTCGAAAACATTAATCGAATGCGATTTATCTTTATCCGATCGATATATATTACCACTAGTCGACAAACCAACACATAAATACACATGAATAATATAATATTCTAATGCTAGTAATCATGATGTAAAAATTCTCATTTGCCAAAAGTTCCCTTTGATTGGGTAACTCAACTTTGGGTTAGATGAGAGGTTGGTTGAGGTGTTTGGTTGGTTGATATCAATCATTTATAATAAACAATATCTCCCTCCCTCCCTCCCTCCCTCCCTATTTTGTTTGGTTAGGTTATTACTTGACGGTAAAGAAAGTAAGGCAAAATGAAAAATATTATCAAACCAAAACTATATCTACATCTTGTGATCTATCTATCAATCAATAATATTTAAAAGTCATAATGAATAGAATATTAATTGTATTTATTATATTGGTAGGATTATATGTCAGTCCAATAGTGTCAACTTGTCGACCGAGAAATATATGTTCTCCAGCTGGATCCTACTCTTCTTGTAATCCACAAAAGTATGTGTTTATTTAAATTTGGCAACTAAAAATATTAAAAGTAAATCTTTCTTATTTAGAGGAGTAATGTGTATGATATCAGAATATTGTAATACAACTTCATGTGTTCCAAATAAATTAGAGGGTGATCCTTGTGGAAGTACTCCTTGTGGTAGTACAATTTATTGTATCCAAAAGAATTGTTGGACACCTGGAATAAAGACTTATGGTGAGTCGTTTAGCAATTCCATTCAGTGTGGTGGTGAAATGTCAAAATACTACAATTCAACTGTTTGCACTAGATCTTTGGACGACGCATGCACGGTAAATTCAGAATGCCCAGTACAATATTATTGTGATGCACGTCTAAGTAATTGTAGACAACAAGGAAGAGAGGGTGAGTCTTGCGACCCTAGTTACAACAACAACTATGACGACTTTGCAAAAACCAATATCCCATCTTCCAACAGTTCATTAATTGGACAATGTCTACCCCATCTTTCATGTATTGCCAAGACTAATAATACAAATAATAACAACAACAACAATCAATCCGATTATACATGTCAATTAAAATTCTCTTTAAAGTCAAATATGCAATGTAATAACTTTGATCAATGTGGAATTAATTTAGCTGTATGTAATGAATCATTGGCACCCAATTAAACTAATTAATTTAGATACTAATATTATTTAATATTATTAAATTTAGTGTATATCTGGTAAATGTTTACCTTACAAAAATCAAGATAATAGTTCAAAAGTTTGTAGTGATGATCGGGATTGTATAGCAGGATCAGAGATTTGTCTATGTGGACCTAACAGTTCAACTAATAATGGTGCAGGTACATGTAAGGCAATTGTAGATACATCTGTAGAGTGTGTCGATGCACTCAATACCTATTATCAATGCATGTCCTATAGTAAATGTCAAGATGCCGATAGTCCTTGGGGAAGAGAGACATGCGCCAACAAACAATGTGGAAAATACTTTTGTGCAAAGATGAGGTTATGCGACCACAACTTGCAAAATGTTGTATTATTAAATTCACAACCTTGTATAGATTCTACCAACAATAATCCAATATGTTCTCAATTCAACATTGCATTTATACCTCCTAAAAGTTTATATAATAATTCAACAAGTCAACCAAATATCCCTATTCAACCTTCTTCCTCATCATCTGGATCTGACTCTAACATTTCAGAGGCATCTTTTATTTCACAACCCCCATTAATATTGCTTTTGGTAATGATCAGTCTCCCATCTATACTATGGTCCCTTTTTTAATCGGTGTCAACTACCTCAAAAAAGATAGATCCCATTTCAATTTTGATTGGTCAAAAAAAATAGTTTTAAAAATAGTTTTCTAAAAATCAACCAAACCAAATTTTATAATAACAAACAACATCAAATATTTCATAGTCTCGAGACTCACTCAACAAAAAGAAATCTTTTTATCATGATCTCCTTTCAATAGAATAGTGTAACAAATGTAATTTTTACAAATATCATATTTAATTAATGAATAAACTACGACCACCTCACAATATACATATATTAGTATTATTATTTTTTATTTTATTTAAAGTTTGTATAGTAGTAGAGTCTAATTGTAGACCTAATCAAAAATGTTCTTATAATGGACAGATTTGTAATAATGGGTATGTAATGTAATCTAAAGATAGATAGATATTCCAAAAAAAGATTTTGAAAAAAATATTAAATTATTTTTAATTTCTAAAAAAAGAATTCCATGTGTTTTTTCACAAGAATGTATTTTGAATATGGATGAAATGGAGTATAGATGTATGGACAAGAGAGATGAAGGATCTAAATGTGGAAAAGATTGTGGTGGTGGAATGACTTGTTATAATGGTGAATGTTATGGATACCATACGTTGACACTTGGTGAAACTTGTTTGGTTGATGCTCAATGTGGTGGTGGATCTATGAAATGTATTGGTGCTCCCATATGTAATACATCTGGAAGATGTAGTAATGGAGTTTGTGTAACTGGACAAACAGGATTATCATGTAGCGATAACAGTCAATGTCTAAAAACACAATGTACCTCATCTGGAGAGGGACCTGGGAAATGCCAGAAACTACTGACAAGTGATAATGAATCTAGTTGTTTAAAGAATTCAGAGTGCCCACCATCAGACTATTGTGACGTTAGATCATTCCAATGTAGAAACAAAGGAAGAGAAGGTGAAGCATGTGATCCAGCCTACAATAGTAAAACCTACGATCAAATTAGTAACCCTATAGCCAATACGATCGATCAATTATTAATTGGTCAATGTCTACCACACCTTTCATGTGTCAAGAAATCAGACACTCAATTCCATTCATGTCAATTAAAATTCTCGTCCAAGTTGAATCAGCCTTGTAATCATTATGATCAATGTTCAATTGGTTTAGCTGTATTTATCAATAATATTAATATTAATAACCCTTTAACAACCTCTAATCAATTTCTTTTACTTTCTTTATATTTAGTGTATTAAAGGACATTGTGAAAAATATTCTAAAAGTAATGGTACTGCTACTACTTTGTGTAGTGGTGACACGGATTGCATTGAAGGTGTAGAATTGTGTATGTGTGGACCATACAAGAATGGGATGGGAATATGTCAACCAATTATAGATTCATCACCACAGTGTATTGGAGCGATATTTACATACTACCAATGTATGTCATTTAGTCGTTGTCAAGATTCAGATAATCCATGGCCTAGTACAACATGTGCCAATCAACAATGTGGTAAATACCTTTGTGACAAGATGTCTAAATGTGACTATGCCATTCATGATGTCTATCAAAGTGGAGACTATTCTAAATGTTTTGACTTGGGTTCTCGAAATAGAGTTTGTAGTCAATTCAATACTCTATTTATTCCACCATTTGGTTTATACTCCAATACTACCAAACAAATAACCTTTTCCGATGATGATCATACACCAAGTTTAGATTCTTCGTTGTCTGTTAGATTACCAGTACAATTAGCAATATCATCATCACTGTTATTATTATCAATGGCATTATTAAATATTCTAATCATATAAATAAATAAATAAATAAATAAATAGAAACATTGAAAAAAAAAAGAATTGGTTTTTAATATTAATATTGTTGTAATATTACAACTTTGTTTTATGATTGATTGATTGATTGATTGATTGATTGATTGATTGATTGATTGATTGATTGATGATGGATTATCATTTAGAATCCTGGTGCTTGGGATGGACGACCAGAACCAGAGTCTCCGGATGAAGAACCTGAACCTGAACCTGAACCTGAGCCAGATGAGGTTGAACCAGAACCAGAGGTGGTGGATGGACGACCGGAACCAGAGTCACCAGAGGTACCAGAACCTGATCCAGAGCCAGATCCAGAGGTACCTGATCCAGAACCAGAGGTGGATGGACGACCGGAACCAGAGTCGCCAGATGAAGTTGAGCCTGTGCCTGAACCAGATGAGGTTGAGTTGGTGCTTGAAGATCCAGATCCAGAGCCAGTGGCAGAGGTGGAAGAGGTGGCAGAGGTGGCAGAGGTTGAACCAGAGGCTGAGGTTGAGCCAGAGGCAGAGGTTGAGCCAGAGGCCGAGGTTGAGCCAGAGGCCGAGGTGGCAGAGGTGGCAGAGGTTGAACCAGAGTTGGTGGTTGAACCAGATCCAGTGGCAGAGGTAGAGCCAGAGTTGGTGGTTGAACCAGAGCCAGTGGCAGAGGTCGATCCAGAGTTGGTGGTAGAACCAGAGGTAGCAGAGGTTGAACCAGAGGCAGATGTGCCAGAGGTTGATCCAGAGGTACCAGAGGTAGCAGAGGTTGAGCCAGATGTAGTGGCAGAGGTAGAATCAGTGGTACCGGTAGTAGTAGAGGCACCGAAATAATCCAAATCAACAGAGACACCACATTGGTTGGTGTTACCGGCGTATTGCTTCATTTGTGGGTTTGACCAACCACCATAAGAGTAGAATTGGGTGTCGCTGAAAGAAGGGTTGTTGTCATAGTGAGCATACCATTGTGGGTAGGCTGACAATTGATCCAATGTACCGACGGTTTGACTCCATTCACCGAGTGAGGAGTAAACACCGACACGAACACCCAAAGAAGCAGCAGCTTGAACAGCTTGAACAACAAATTGAGCGTTGGCTGAAACACTTCCCCAACATCCTTGACATTGTTCGACATCAATCCAAAGTGTACCAAAACTGACACCATTAGATTGACAATAAGATACCAATGACTTGATAGCACCAGATACTGGATTATTGCCACCACATTGATTACATAAAAAGGCATACTATAAATCAAAAATGAAATAAAAAGATTGTTAATATAGGTTTATAAACAAACAAATATTAGTGGTTATTTAATTTTTAAGCCAACTTACAATATCGACTGATAAACCAGCAGCAGTGGCACTCTTGTAAGCAGAAGCCACTATTAGATTAAAATGTGATCAAAAGAAGATGAAGAAGAGTAATGATTAGTTATCGCATAATGACAATGAGGAACAATATATCACATATCACGACACACGCTTTTTTGTAAAGTGGGTGTGTGTGCGATCATCCAAAGCGATGGGATACATACAATTGTTATTTAAACCATAACCACCAGACCAAGCTTGGATGATAATCTTTTGATTTTGTTGAGCTAAACAACTGTATTGTGATGATGAGATGGAGCCAGATGTATCGGCATCAACATCGATAGCTTTGCCTGCGTTGACAACCGATGAAATGGAAAGTGCTACAACTAGAGCAAAGATAATAACTTTGAACATTGTTATATAATTATATATTAAATTTAGATATCTAAATGATGATTTTTAAAATATAAACAACAGTTGCATAAGTAACAATCGGTTAGGACATCGCTTAAGGATCTGAGGAAAATGCGAAGAAATTTACTGCGGATATTTCTTTTTTTCGAGAATACCAGACGAATCATATCGTTAAATTAAAGCATAGGTCGATAAACTTAATTTATGCTTAGTCCAATGTCGGATATGACCTCTAAACAAATCGAGAACTCCCTATTTAGTAGTGCATGATCATGCTATAATGGCTCGAATAAAATTTATAATTGTTAATGTTTAAAGATAAAAAGGAAAAAAGGAGAATACTTGTCCGAATACAATACCTACCTCACAGCGAGAGAGATTTTGCTTTAGAAAGTTCTAAAATTGAAATGTTTTATTGTGAAGAGAACCAAATAAGTTGATCACCTACCAGGATAAAGAGGGTTAAAAGGAGAATAATAATAATCTTGATTTGATGATTTCAAGAAATATTCAACACAGTATTGTGGTGTTGGGTTTATAACTACTAGTTTTGGTGTACCAATCCTCTGAATCAAGCAGAGGTGGCAGTGATTGAACCAGATGTTGGTTGAGCTGCTGATCCAGAAGCAAAGGTTTGGCCAGAGTTTGAACCAGATGTGGCTGTGGTTGAGTCAGATGTTGGTTGGGCAGATGATCCAGAAGCTCTAGTAATAAAGTTTTATTTTTTAAAGGTACCATTGTTGGTGTATTTATTTAATGATTAATTTATGGTTGGTTTATAGTTTGACTTCTCTGGTCAATTTAGATGACCATGGACAATAGAAACAACCTGGAAGGAAAGCACCACAAGCTTCATCGAGATTCTCTTCAGTATAGGTAAGAGTAGCATCACATACTTCAATGGCCATGCTGAAAAAGGTAATGGTATTTGGGTCAAGATGGAAAGAGAAATGGGGATTATAGTCTGTTTGAGACTTTCTGATTCTTCCCATGACATGGACTTCTTGATCTTTTAAAACCTTTCTGGCATGTTCAATCATTTTGACATCGGTCAACTTGAAAACAAAGTCATGGCTTGATCCATGTGTTCTGAATGCAAAAGGTGCTGCAATGGGAAAGTATGCATAATTACTTTTAAATCAAAAATAATAATTATTTAGTTCACCAATCTTCATTTGTTGGTTGGTCGAAATTAATAGATACTTTTGGACATGGCTCGTTTTAACATAGTGAACCTATAATATAAACTCAACAACAAGTAGCAACCCAAGATGAAAGTGTATGTGATCACAGAGTGGGTGTGTAGTTGGTACATCTCTCCATATCATATCTATACTTATTTACTTACTTACTTCATTTTCATATTGATTCTTCACAGTCAGGTTATACTTGTCTGCATTCTTTCTCAGTTTGTATTATTATCTTTGTTGTTTGATCAATCGACGACGACTATAGTAGTATCTGCTTCTGTACAGCAACCACCAACATCATCTCAAGTATGGGTAACAACATTGGATCAATCTATTTTATTTGAGAGACAATCTGATATTCCTTTTGAATCATCAGTGTCAAAGGAACGATCATCATCATCGAGTATGAATCAAGTAGATGTTACTATCAATGTAGATACTTCTAATCAATATCAAGTAAGTTTGAAACAATGAATGAATGAATGAATGATGTTAGATATAGTCTATTTGATAACAAATATTAATATTTAATCGTTTGTTTAAATTTTAGAGAGTATATGGATATGGAGGAGCACTAACACAATCATCGGCATACTTGTTTTCAGAGATGTTAAAGACAAATGAAACGTTTGGTATGGATGTTTTGAAATCATTATTTGATCCAAATGAAGGAATAGGTATTTCAATGCTTCGAGTACCTGCTAGTTCATGTGATTTCTCATTGTACAATTATACCTATGACGATGTCGTCGGTGACACTGCACTCGATCATTTGTCAATCAACATTGATCTACTCTACACCATTCCAATCATCAAAACAATCCAACAATTCAATCCAAACATTCGATTAATCTACACTCCATGGTCTGCTCCAACATGGATGAAATCATCCGATAGTCTTGATTATGGTACTTTAAATTTAAACATGGTAAGTAAATAATAATTTACAAAACAAAACAAATCATATTTTTTTGATATTAATATTCATTTATTTATTTATAGTATGATGTATATACAGACTTTATAACTAAATTTATAACATTGTATAAAGAAGAACAAGGAATAGATATTTATGCAATTACAATTCAAAATGAACCATTGTTTCAACCAATGACATATCCAGGAATGTTGGTTACTAGTCAGGTGGAAACATCACTAGTTAAATTATTGGGTCCCAAGTTGAAAGCAGCTAATCTTTCAACAGAGATATTCATCTACGATCATAATTGGATCGATCCAGAGTATCCACTCGACATTTTAAGCGATGAGGATGCATACCCATATGTAGGTGCTACAGCATTCCACTGTTACCAAGGTGACGTTTCTAATCAATCGGTGGTGTATACCAAGTTCCCTGAAAAGGAGATTCACATGACCGAGTGTAGTGGTGGGGCATGGGCACCCAACTTTTCAGACAATCTTGTTTGGGCATCTGATAATCTTTATATCGGTGCAATGACCAATTGGGCAAGTTCAATGCTCCAATGGAACTTTGCTTTAAATACTCAAAGTGGTCCAACCAATCACGGATGTTTAAATTGTAGAGGTTTCATAACAGTCGATGAATCAACCTATCAATCGATCGAATACAATGTGGAATACTATGGAACTGCACATTACAACAAATTCATTTCACAACCATGTTTTAGAATTGACAGCGAAATCATTAATAACTCACAACAACCATCATCATCATGTATCAACAGTATAGCCTATTCCAATAGTGATGGTAATAGTTATCATGTAGTAGTTGTCAATTCATGTTCAACCATAATGAATTTACAATTAAACCTTGTACAAGAGAATATATATTTAACTTATTCCTTACCAATTGGTCTAACAACCTTTTATTTTTAATAAATAGAATCAAAAGAAAAGTTGATTTGTGGATTGTTGTATATTATAATTATTTTTTATTTTATTTATTGGATTAATTATTTATTATTTGTTTTTGTTTTGCATTATTTTTATAATCCTTCAAAAATATAATAAGTTGCAATTATTATATTAACTAAAAGTAGAATAGTTGTAACTGTTCCAATAATTTTAGTTGATTTTTCAAATATTCGATCCTCATCTTCTCTTTCGAGTGATCGTGATCTAAGAAAAGTCATTACCAATGCATCTACAATGTGTTGTCCATCCATAAATCGAATTGGAAGAACATTCATTGCACCCAACCCCAATGAAATGGCTGATACAAAATTTAATATAGTATATAATATAAAAGGTATATCTTTAGATCTTAATGATTCAAACCTAGATATATAATTATTTGTTGAATCTACAAAAAAAATATATATATATAATTATTAGTTTTAAATCATTTGCATTTGATAAGAGGTTTCACTTACAAGAATTCCAAAGTTCTTCTGGAGTACCCAAAAATGTTAATTCTTCAGGTCTATTATAACCAATACTTTGAACTGTAATTTTAAATATATAATAATTGTAGTCATAGATTTCAGTACAATCATATTGTGGTTGATCGCATGTAGTTGTACATTTTTTAATTAAAGTTAATTTATCATTTTTTAAACATTCTCTAATCTAAAAATGATTCAATGGATGGAATAGGTTGGTTAGTTTAGAGCAAGATAGGATCGATATTGTTTGATATTCTTTTCTTACATTTAAAGTTTCATTTATACAACTATGAATATCATGTCGTAGACAATATTGTTCTTTAGTGTCTATCACCTTGTAGATACATTGAATGTAATCGTGTTGATTGGTAACGGGACAGTCGTTGATAGAGATGATGTGGTCGCCTGGGAAAATTTTGTTTGACAGTGGTGATGTCAAAGCAACGTTGGTAACATAGAGCTCAGTGTCAGAGTATCGGTAGATGGGAGACACGAGCAAAGGTAGTGATGGTAATACAATAAATGACACGAATAGTGCCAACACAAGGTTATGCCATACACCGGCCGTATAAATCTTTAATTGATTCCAAAAAGGTGTTCGGTATAGATCATCCAAATTGACATCTACATAGGCTCCAGGTATAACAAAGAATATGTAAAGTCCAATATTATTAATTCTATTTTTTAATCTAAACAAAAAGAGAAAAAGATAAAGAAGAAGTTAGAATAACAATAAAGTAAGTATTACTACTACTACTTTCTTTGTACATACTGAAGACATGACATTGCATGACCAAATTCATGAAAGATTGCACTGACGACAAATGCTCCGATAAGATAAATAAGATGGTGTGATGGAAAGTTGACTCCAGGCAGAATGGGTGTGATGACTACATTGTCGGTAGATCGTTGTGAAAGGAGAATATACAAGTTATATACAAGAGATAGATAGGTGATTGGCAGTAGAGCAATGACAACGACATTGCCCACTCGAAACCATAGCTCCCAAAATCGTTCGAATCTCTGCGTCAACCTCTTTAGAGGATTGTTGAAAAGTGTTGTATACCATGTAAGCGTAAATAATTGAATGTGTATCGATCTAGAATGAAGAATTGTTACAAATCTTTGTCCATATTTAATCTAAACAAAAAAAGGTAAAGAAATGAGTATAACGATTATGATAAGCCAAGTAGAATGATCTTAGGGATATATATATTGATACCAACCTCTAATAACTTAAGAATAACAAAGCATACAATCCATACGATTGTTATTTTCAATATAATAGATAGAATAGGGTTCATTCATTAGAACTTTATATAACCTTAATTAACCCCCTTCTTCTTCCTCTTTGTCTTTGGTAATGCTACTATGATGGTATTAATATATCTTTAAAAAGTATATCTCTAGCTCTCTCTCTCTCTCTTTGTATTGCTTGCTTTCTGTGAATTATTAATACTCGAGTTGCATTCGTTCAACACCCATCAAACTGGACTTGCTCCGTGAGCTGACTCATCACCCAAAATTAAATATTAATTAAAAATGGATGCCAACCAATTGAATTAAATTTAATAATACTAGTATTTTATTACGAGCTTATTAATTGATGAAGATCGACTTGGGTATGGGTTCTTCTTCTTAGATGGAAATATATTATTGACCCTTTATCATTTTGTTCTTATTTATTTATCATTATACTATGGATATTACACCTACAACAGAGAGAATCAAATATTTATACTCCTCCTTGCACATGTGGCGATAATTAATTGTCTCTGACATTGTTGTTGTTGTCATACTTTTAATTCATCTCTTGTAAATCAATCCTCATTGGATCAGTTCTACAGAATATTAGTAGTAGATATACTATACAATACTATCTATCTGTTTGTAATATCGTCATTTTAAATATTAATATTATCTGTATGTTTGGATTCGTATTTATGAACAAAATAGGAATGAAACTGATGATTCACCATTGGGGTCGATTTGTTGTTCATTATATTTTTTGCTTTTTTCACTCGGAAGATCGCACCCCCACACTCTCTCACCACCATAATAAACTTGGCAAAGACGTCTATCTCTCTAACTCACTCGTTACTTTCTTTCGTGCTATCTGTTCTACAACATCGCAAACCGAGGAACTTGTTGTTGTTTGTTGTGATTGCAATCAACCTAGATAAGTTAGATAGATAGATAGATAGTTGTTTTTGTTTAGGAAAGCGACACAAAAAAAAGAGAGAGTAGAGCTCATCATCATTCTATAGAAGTAGTAGTACAACAACATACACAACAGTTGATATATCCAATTAAAGAATGCAAAGATTATTCAACGCAAAAACTTTAACTACCACTGGTAGCTTGTTGTTAAACAAGTCTATCACCACCACCTCCATCACTTCATTCAAGCCAGTTGCCAGCTCGTTTTCACGTTACTACTCGAGTGTTGGTGGCTACGAGAGTGTATTCACTGCCTTGGATACCTTCCCAAGACGTCATATTGGTCCAAACGAAGATGAAGTCAAATCAATGTTGGCCAAGATCACCACCTCTAAGCAATCCTCTCAAAAGGTCGAGTCATTGGATCAACTCATCGACTTTACCATCCCCAAGTCTATCCGTCTCAATCGTACACTCGACATTGATGGTAATCATGTCAAGGGTGAACATCAATTATTACAAGAACTTAAAGAAGTTGCTAAAAAGAACAAGGTAACTAAAAACAATGACGATGACAAAAGACAAAAAGACGAACGATCTTCAGAATGATCATTCATTTTATTTTGATTTGTTTTTTTTGATTGGTTGCTAATTAACATTGACATTTCCATTTTCAAAATTCTTTTTAGATTTTCAGATCATTTATTGGTATGGGATATTATAATACTATAGTACCATTTGTAATTCAAAGAAACATTTTGGAGAATCCAGGATGGTACACCCCATACACTCCATATCAAGCCGAAATTTCACAAGGACGTCTCGAATCACTTTTGAACTTCCAAACGATGGTTGGCGACATGACTGGCTTGCCAATGGCCAACGCATCTTTGTTGGATGAGGCCACCGCCGCCGCTGAAGCCGTGTCAATGTGCGTCAACATCTCCAAGAACAAAAAGGCACTCGCCTTTTTGGTCGACAGCAAGTGTCACCCACAAACCATCGACACTATCCGTCTTCGTGCCGAGCCAAAGGGTATCCGTATCGAGGTTACCGACAGTGACAAGTTTGACTACTCTCGTGGCGACGTTGTCGGTGTGTTGGTGCAATACCCAGCTACTGACGGTTCGCTCGTCGACTACCGTCACCTTGCCAAGAAGGCACATGAACATGATGCTCTCGTCGTCTGTGCTACCGATCTTCTCTCACTCGCTCTCTTGACACCACCAGGTGAATGGGGTGCTGATATTGCACTTGGTAACTCGCAACGTTTTGGTGTGCCACTTGGATTCGGTGGTCCACACGCCGCCTTTTTCTCCACCTCGCAAAAGTACTCGCGTCTCTTGCCCGGTCGTATCATTGGTGTGTCCAAGGACAGCGCCGGTTCACAGGCCTACCGTATGGCTCTCCAAACACGTGAGCAACACATCCGTCGTGAAAAGGCTACTTCCAACATTTGCACTTCCCAAGCTCTCCTCGCCAATATGACTGCCATGTACGCCGTCTACCACGGTCCACACGGTGTCAAGGCTATTGCCAGCAACGTCCACAAAAAGACAGTCATCCTCGCTGCCGGTCTCCAACGTCTCGGATTCGAGATTGCCAACCACCACTACTTTGACACCATCAAGGTTGTAACTGGCGACCGTACCCAAGCTCTCCTCAAGGAGCTCGAGAACCGTTCGATTAACGTCCGTCGTGTCTGCGCTCAATCCATCTCCATCTCACTCGATGAAACCGTCACATTGCGTGACCTCCAACTCTTGTTTGAAGCATTTGCCGCCGTCTCTAAAAAGACCGAAGCTATCCTCTTTACACCAGAGTCACTCGAAAAGGAATTGATCACCAACAAAAAGGAGACTGCTATCCCCGCACACCTTATCCGTAAGACCGAGTTCCTCACCCATCCCGTCTTTAACCGTTACCACAGCGAACACGAACTTCTCCGTTACATCCACCGTCTCCAAAAGAAGGATCTCGGTCTCACCACCGCTATGATTCCACTCGGCTCCTGCACCATGAAGCTCAATGCCACCGCCGAGATGTACCCAGTCTCATGGCCCGAATTCAACTCGATCCATCCATTCGTCCCATCCGACCAAACCGTCGGATACCGCGAGATGTTTGACTCGATCAGCCGTTCGCTTTGCGAGATTACCGGCTTTGCTGCTGCATCTCTCCAACCAAACGCTGGCTCCCAAGGAGAGTACGCCGGTCTCATGGTCATCCGTGAGTACCTCCGTTCGATCAACCAATCACACCGTGACATTTGTCTCATCCCCGTCTCTGCCCACGGCACCAACCCCGCCTCGGCTGTCATGACTGGTATGAAGGTAGTTGTTGTTGCATGTGACCAGTTTGGTAATGTTGACCAAGCCGATCTCCGTGCCAAGGCCGAAAAGCACAAGGACAACCTCGCTGCACTCATGATCACCTACCCATCGACCCACGGTGTCTTTGAGGAGGGTGCCAAGGAGATGTGCGCCATGATCCACGGTTATGGCGGTCAAGTCTATATGGACGGTGCCAACATGAATGCACAAGTCGGTCTCTGTCGTCCAGGTGATATCGGTGCCGATGTCTGTCACTTGAACTTGCACAAGACCTTCTGTATTCCACATGGTGGTGGTGGTCCAGGTATGGGCCCCATTTGCGTCGCCTCGCATCTCGCACCCTTCCTCCCCGTCCATTCGGTCGTCAAGGAGCACGTCGGTGGCGAGCACGGCATTGGCGCCGTCTCTGCTGCACCATGGGGCAGCTCGTCGATCCTCCCCATCACATATGTATACTTGCAACTTATGAACGGTGTTGGCTTGAAGCGTGCCACCCAAGTTGCTATCCTCAGCGCCAACTACATGGCCGCCCGTCTCAAGGATCACTACAAGATCCTCTACACTGGCAGTCACGGACTCGTCGCCCACGAGTTTATCATTGATCTCCGTCCCTTCAAGGAAACCGCCGGTATTGAAGCCGAAGACGTTGCCAAGCGTCTCCAAGATTACGGATTCCACGGACCCACAATGTCATGGCCCGTCACCAACACACTCATGATTGAGCCAACAGAGTCAGAGTCCAAGTACGAACTCGACCGTCTCGTCGACGCACTCATCTCAATTCGTCAAGAAATCGCCGACATTGAAAGTGGAAAGGCTGACAAGCTCAACAACATCCTCGTCCATGCTCCACACACTGAAAAGGTTATCACTAGCGACAAGTGGGACCGTCCATACACCAGACAACAAGCTGCTTACCCAACCCAAGCTACCAGGGAATCCAAATTCTGGCCATCCGTTGGTAGAGTAGATAACGTATTTGGTGATAGAAATTTGCAATGTTCTTGTCCAGCTGTTTCCAGTTACCAAGAATAAAAAAAAGAGTTAATGGTCCGTTGGAAAATATAAATAATAAATAAACAACAATATTAATAATACAAAAGAGAGAGATTTATTTAATTTTTAGATTAAATAAATAATCAATCAAAGGTAATGAGCCAAATTCAAAAGCTGATTTTTTTAATCTAGTCCAATCATCTGTTACGGCGATAAATTCCTTATTCTTTGGATCGGAATAGATTTGGTGAATAAGTTTAACTGCTTGCATTTGATGATGTTTTTGAACCAGCAGATGAAAATTAAAATTACATTCCAATTTTTGTTTCTTGTTGGCTCGGTTGTGTAGAGTGTAACACTTTTCAAACCATTGTACAATATCATTGATCATATCAAGGTTTCCACAAAACGCTGCTCCCTTGATGATACCATCGACAGAGTTTCGTGGTATCGGTATAGGTAATCCATTATCCTTTAGATAATGTATCATTTCTAAATTTCCATAGGTAGCACTACTTTCCAATGCATATACACTCAATGCTGACAATTGACCTGGAAATTGTTCATTTATAAATTTCACAATGTCAAGTCGATTATTAAAGGCAGCATATTCTAATAGTTGTGATGGTACCCCAACTCTAGCAGTATCCATTTCAAATATATGTTTAAATATTTCAAAATCTTCTAATTTACATGCCTGTAAAGATTAACAAAAAAAGGTCAATATAGAGTTTTATATTATATTAATATTGACTTACAGTTGAATAGGGAAAATAACATCTTGAAGGGATTGTTGTTGATTTTGAAAAACAAAGATCAATCATTTCTATAATATCTTGTGTAGATAGGAGGAGAGGATTCTGTTGTTGTTGTTTTGTAGTTTGGTTTGAAACGCATCCTTTTAATAACAACTCTAATCCTGTGGATGCATAGTAATCGGGTGGGTAGGTGATACTTGAGATAATTTGTTTGATCAATTCTTTTGAACCTTTTGCAGCGGCAGCTTGCAATATTGGTTGATTGTAAAGATCAGTCTCGAAATTTGTCCTATTGTATTTCAACATGAGAAGGGCTGTTTTGGGATACCCGGTTGATATGAGACGATGAAGGTATTCATGGTCTACTTGGATAGATGGAACTGTTTGAATGATGTATTCTACAATCTCTTCATTGTCGTTGCATTCCCTGAGGACATCGACAGTGTGAGGAAAGAAACCATTGTATTCGAGAACTAATTTGACATTCTCCAAGTCATTGATACTAGCAGCTTGACAAAGCGCGTGCTCAAGGTCAAATGAAACGTCTGATTTTGGTAGTGAAATGAGATACTGGACAATATCCTGTTTACGAGCTGAAATGGCAATACCAAGCATCCAATTAAACATCGTGGTTACGTTGGGATGGTTAACCAGTCTTTCTAGCAATTCAATCGACAGAATTTCCATACCGACATAGTTTACAATCCATTTGCTCGGTGTCAATGTCTCAGGATCTACAGCTTTAATCGTCGACGATTGGTTATCTAAAATATAGTTGGCAACATCCATGTGAGAGTTGTATAGAGCTATTTCAAGACCGTGGTTGTAGCACACCGTTGCAGACGGAGGCATCGTTTCAAAAAGGTATTTCATAATCTCCATGTTACCAGAGAAACACGCTGAAATGAAAGCACCTCCTTTCTGTCCATACTTGATATTATGTTCTTGATAGAGATAGTCGAGTAGTTGAAGATTGTTGCCAGCAGCAATATCAAACAGGTCGCATAAAATCCCATGACTCTTTCTAAATGTCAAGACATAGTGTACAACCGCCGAATTGGACGCTTTGGCCGCATCTAAAAGCACTCTGTCCCAATCGTCGGGAGAGTATATTTGATACTGTTTACAAATCTTGAGTGTTTCAAAAAAGCAATCTTGTGATACCATCTTGGTTGGTGGACTCTTGTACGCTACTCCTCTACAATGACTACCATTACAAATGGTCGAGTAGTGTTGACAAAGTAGTGAAAGCATGGCTGCATTACATTTCTCGGCGTGATAGGATGCACATGAACTCCAGACATGGTGTTCAATTGGCTTCCTCTTGACGTCTTCTGATCCATTCATAAAATCGATCAAGAGTGTTGCAGTCTTGACATTCATACACTTGAATGTGAAAAAGTCTAGATTCAAAATGAGTTTGTCTCTAAACTCTCGAAAGAGGTATTCTACGGCCACTTGATCACATGACACCAGTGCTTGTTTGATCAATCCACCATCGGGTGGGTAGATGTGAATGACACGTTTCATGCCTCTAATAAACTCTTCCGTCCGTCCATACCGAAGATACACCAATAGATTGTCATTTAATTTGATATCTTTTCCTTTCATTGATTGTTCTCCCAACTCTTTATATATGCTTTCAATATCTCTAAATATTCTTCTTTGAATGATTATATTTCTAAATACCAAGAAGAATCTACTCGTAATAATATTATTATTATTATTACATGACATGGTTGATTGTTATTAATAATAGTACAGATACTATTATATGTATGTATGTATGTATGTATATCTATGTTACAACGAGTTTGAAAATCAATAAACTTAAATATTTGGTTTTCAAGAAAGTTAAATTAAAGTCACAAGCAGAGCAGAAATCTAATTTATTTTTTATTATTATTATTTCATTCATTGATGAGTTTATCAGATATTCAAAGAGGTAAATACCTCATTGAAGTAGGTCAAACCTATGATGAAAGGGGCGACTATCAGAAAGCATTACAATATTATACAGATGGTGTAGAGAAATTGATACATCTTTGCAAAGGTAAATATACATATATTTTGATAGATGTTTATATTATATTATACTTACAGTTTGTTTGTTTTTTGTTGTACTTAGCATCAAAAGAATTAAAAGAATATGTTTCATTGTATCTTGGTAGAGCTGAATACTTGAAAGCAACAATGATGAATCAATTACAACATAACAACATCAGTTCATTCTCTGATCATCTTTCTACTTTGTCCTTGGCTGAAGAACAACAACAAAGACTGCAACAACAACAACAACAACAATCGATTCCATTATATTCAAGTTTCTTTTGGAAAAGTAGTAACAAGGTGCATATTGACCCAGACTATGGATACAGTCTATCCAAAGACGACAATGGAAGAGAAATTATAGACGTTGATCATGTTGCACCAAAGACATCAACAACGACATCAACAACAACAAATAATTCTAGGCCACTTTCAATATCACTTACAACTTCACCAACTAGGAAACTAACACAATCAACTGCGCATTCATCAACTGTAAATCAACAACCTAAAACTAATAGTGTAAAATCAACAACATCAACATCTATATCATCTCCATCACGTGTAAATAATAATAATTCAACTACTAAACCTACAACACCAACAAAGGCAACAACTGTCTCATCAACACCAATTTTATCAAATACTTTAAATAATTCAAGACTTTATAAATCTGCACCAACTTTTAAACCTCCTGCTTCTGCCAGTACCATTCATAGACCACTGAGTGGTACTACATCACCGATACCAGATATTAAAGGTGTTGACAAGGCGGCAATATCAATCATTATGAATGAAATTATGGATATGAAACACCCAGTGACGTGGGATGATGTAGTTGGTTTGGATAAAGTAAAACAATCATTAATCGAGGCTGTAATATTACCAGGTCTCAGACCAGATGTATTTGTAGGTCTGAGAGCACCACCAAAAGGTCTTTTACTCTTTGGACCACCTGGCAATGGCAAGACAATGATAGCAAAGGCAGTGGCCTTTGAATCAAAAGCAACTTTTTTCAGTATATCAGCATCATCTTTGACGAGTAAATACGTTGGAGAAGGAGAGAAACTGGTACGTGCACTCTTTGGTGTTGCCTCTTATTATCAACCATCGATTATCTTTATCGATGAAATCGACTCGCTACTGACTGAACGGTCGTCAGAGGAATCAGAAGCCACACGAAGACTAAAGACTGAAATACTTGTACAATTTGACGGTGTAAAGACATCGGGTAGCGAAAGAGTGTTGGTGATGGGCGCAACCAACCGTCCCGAGGAATTGGACGAAGCTGCACTTAGAAGACTGGTCAAACGTATCTATGTAGGATTGCCAGAGTTGGAGACAAGAAAACAAATCATTTCACATTTGCTTCGAGACCAAAAACACTCCATCACAGCGTCGCAATTGACCACGCTTGCCAAAGCATCCGATGGATACAGTGCGTTTGATCTCAGCGCACTTTGTAAAGATGCTGCCTATGAACCAATCAGAGAACTTGGCATGGAGATTAGAGATTTAAATACCAGTCAAATTCGTCCAATCAATCTAAAGGATTTTAAAAATTCTTTAAAACAAATTCGTCCCTCTGTATCTCAACAAAGCTTAGTTGCCTATGAAGAATGGAATTCAAAATATGGTACTCTTTAAAAAAAAAAAAAATAGAGAGAAAAGAAATCAATAAATTTATTGATACTTTTGCAAAGTGTGGTAGAGTAAGAAAGCAAGGAGAAAAAAAAACAAAATAGATCTTGATCTCTTTAAAATTAATTAATAATGCCTTAGAGAGGAGAGTCAAGAACTTGGCAACCAATTATTTAAAAAAAAAACTAAATAAGGAAATTATTGAAAATCCAAAAAAAAAATAAATTATTTTCCAATTCAAATGTTTCCAAAAAAAAAAAACAAATATCAAATTCACTCTCCTCTTCACATTCCAATAATACAACAATATCAACAACAAAAAAATAGATAAGAGAAAGAAAAAGAATGAATATCTTATCAAGAACAATTAATCATTCTAAAAATTTCCTTACCGGAAATCATTTTCAAAAGGTAACAATTGTGTTTAAAAAAGACTATCATATTGTTTCGAATAATTTATTCTTATTTTTTTATTTAGGTAATTCCAGGATGTCAATATACAACCAACAATATTAGAGGATCTTTATATGAATATGAACCATTATCAGAGAATATAGTTGTCACTGCAAGGGAACAAAATAACTATTTTGTATTTGGAGATAAAAAAGTAGGAGAAATCTTGGAAAAGAAAAAAGATAATGAAATTGTAACGGTTGGTGAACATGAATTGATTATCAATGCCATTAGAAAGATGGTCGATAAAAAGATTGGATCCATTTTGGTAGTCAACTCTGAAAACAAACTAAAAGGTATCTTTTCTGAAAGGGACTATTTATCAAAGGTAAATTTGGCAGGTCTATCATCACGAGAGAGTCCAGTGGAGCAAGTCATGACCAAAAACGTCAAAACAATCAAGAGTGATACCTGTACGTTGGACGCCATGAAGATTATGACAACCAAGAAATTCCGTCATTTACCCGTTGTCGACAATAACAAACATATCATCGGTGTTGTTTCCATTCAAGATTTAATCAATTCTGTTCATTCAAATCAAAAAGAAACTATTAAATATCTTCGTGAATTTATTAGCGATTCCAACTCTTATTCATTGTCTGGTAATTTTAAAAATGATGGAAAATAATTAATTCAATAAAATGAATAGATCAAAAAAAACTATTCAAAAATTGTAAATATGAAAATTATCAACAATATATATGGTGGAGGGTGTATGGATGGAGGGTGGAGTGTAGATTGTGGATGGTGGATGGTGGATGGTGGAGGGTGTATGGTGGAGGGTGTATGGATGGAGGGTAGATGGTGGATGGTGGAGGGTGTATGGATGGAGGGTTGATGGTGGATGGTGGAGGGTAGATGGAGGAGGGTGAAGATAGATGGAGGAGGGTAGATGGTGGAGGTAGATGGTGGAGGTAGATGGTGGAGGTAGATAGTGGAGGTATATGGAGGAGGTAGATGGAGGAGGTAGATGGCAGACAACCAATGAACATCAAATTTAATTGTCTGCCACACACAAACGAGTGCTGCACTACGCTTCAGCAGGAGATTGATTGATTGATTGGTTGCTTGTTGATGCCAAAGAGAAGAAGTGATGATGCACTAGGTTGTTGATGATGATTGTGGCAGAAGTATTCAATCATTCAATAATACTACCACAATCTTTGAGAAAGAGATGATCATCAAGCAGCTGTAGTATAATAACTTCAAGAGAAAGTGAAGAAAAAAAAACATAAACAAACTATCTTTTTTCAAAATCATAATCTAAATAAAATACAAAACCTTGATAATAATTATTAGATATTATTAGTTATTATTTTTTTAAGGGCGTAGATGCAATTTATTCTTAGAGGTGGTATGGTATGGTATGTTTATGGTTGGAGGGTAGGTAGGATAGTAGATAATATCTTATAGGATTATTTAATCAAATAATGAATCAATTTCAGATGCATCAACAAATGCACCAGCCTTTCTTTCATCACCCTTTTGTCTATCTGAATTTTTCTTGTGGGTAGCATAAGCATCAAATAATTTTCTATCACGACGTTGCTAAGAAGAAACAAATCAAATAAATAAATAAATTATAATTAGTAAACCCAATAATAATAATAATAACTAATTGTTGATTGTTCTCTCTTTCTTCTCTACATACATTTCTTGGTGAAACAAAGTTTGGATTGTTATAAAGTAATTGACCAGAGAAACCACCAGAGAAGATCTTGTTGACTTCGAGGATCATTCTTGGACCGATTTCGGTGAGTAAACGTTCGTTTTTGAATTCGTGATCAGAGATTTGGTAGTTACGGAACCAAACACGACCATCTTGGTAAAAGAAGGAAAAGACGTGGTCAAAGAATGGCTTGCTCTTGGCATGTCCCTTTGGAGTCGAGAATACTTGAGTGAGGAGTTCACGTGTCAATTGCAAGTGTGGAGTGTTGTTGAATGTGGTGTCAAAGTGCAAGTATGGTCTTGATCCCTTTAAACAATTACCTGTCATTTGTAATTCATCCAATGTATGAACTAGAAGAAAAAATAATAAATAAAATAATCATAATTAATAAGTAACGTATTCATTGTTTGTCTATGTATCGTTTTTGTTTTTACCATTTGAAACACTAAATTTAATGGTTGGACCTAATGGAGCCTTGGCAATCCACAAGTATAAATCATTGTCTCTACGGTTGTCGAAAAGCATGGCATAGTTGCAACCCTTCATTTCGCAGGTATCGTTGATTTGTGAAAGAGCGTTACGATTGTCGACCTTTTGTTCACGCTTTGAGTGTGGGATGAGGTTGCAGAGATCGTTCATAAGATGACGATTCTTTGAGCTGCCACCTCTGGTTGCTAGAATTAAAACTCTCTTCTTTTTAAAGATTGGATCTTCGATGGCTTGTTTCTCCATCTCTTTCTCTAATTGTTTCTTTGTTGCTGGTTTACTAGTCTTCTTATCTACATTATTATTATTATTATTATTATTATTTTTGGTGGCAACTGCAGTTGTAGTTGTAGTTGTCTTTGTTTGTTGTTGTTGTTTCTTTACATTATTTGATTTAGTTGTAGTCTCTTTTTGTTTCTTTATTGGTTGTTCTACTTCGATTTCTTCTTCTTCAATATCTTCTTCTTGTTCTTCGATATCTTCTATTTCCTCTTCTTCAACTTGTGGTTTAGGTGGTTCGACAACCTTTCTCTTATTATTCTTTTTATTATCTACCATTATTGTTTGTTATAAATATATATAAATAGTAAGTATCGATGATAATAATAATTAAATTATTTCAAAGGAGACGATTGACTCGGTTGTTTCGTTTTCGACTCCTCCCACGTTGAAAAATTTGGAATGAAAAAAAATGAATTAATGACAAACGACACATCCCCTCTATACTTTGCAAGGATGATGATCATGAAGGGTAGTAGTTTGCAGTGATCATTCGATCTATATTATAATCATGTCTGTACGTATGCATATAGAGTACTACTTACTACGACTTTCAAACACTAACAAGAATATCTATCTATCTATCTATACTATTACTACATACAACATAATTACATGGCATATCTCTATTTAATGGTTGGTTGATTGATTGCGACTATTCTTCTACAACTACTATTGGTTACAAACATATTATACTTTGATACACTATTATAATTGATCTATACATAATGATACCTTTATACACAAACTACAACGCAAACAACAAACAACAGGGTATTAAAAAGTTTATTCCATTGTTGGACCGTATCTTGATTGAAAAGTTGAGTGTACAATCTCAAACAGCCGGTGGTATCTATTTGCCACAAAACAAGAGTAACGAAAATCAAGCACGTGTTGTTTCAGTTGGTACTGGAATCTTGAAATCAGACGGCTCTTTTGCTGGAACCATCGTCAAGGAAGGTGACACTATCATCATCAATGCCAACAAGCCATTACAACCTATTTTAATGAACGACAAGACATACTATCTTATGAGCGAATCTGATGTCTTGGGTATCGCCGAACTTAAACAATAAAATAATAATAATTTAATATATAAATATAAACCAAAAATTAAAAGAGATACTACTCTGGTGGATGTTTCAAAAAAACCCCTCCACAAATTCAAAAATGATCCGTTGCAAAAATAGTTCAAGCGCATTGCTCATCTCGCTGTTTAAAAATATCATCATATTATTGTTGTTGTTGTGTTTAAAGAGAAGAGAAGAGAAAGAGAAAGAGAGTAGTAAGTAGAGTAGAGTAGAGGTATTATGGCAACATTTAATACATCAGGAGGATCATTTTATGATCAACAACCACCTCATCATCAAATAATGAATAACAAGGAGAATGTACAACAAATGATGAATAACAATCAAGGAGGAGCCCATATGGCAAGACACACTATATCATTTTCAAGTGGTCTTGGTAGTTGCATGACACCTCAAAAGCCATCGTCACCATCATTGCGAAGAGCATCGTCCATGTCTCCAAAAGGAGGCTCTCCCAACCAAAAACCATTATCTCCTATGGCAATGTCACCACCTCAACAACATAAACAACAACAGCAACAACAGACACCTATCATGATGCAACAACAACCATCATTATTTTCAACACCAACCAACAATGGGTCATTTGCAATCCCAACCTCTCCATTCCACCATACTCCATATATTTCATTGGGTGGTACTGGAAAATCAAATACTACGATGACTACACCGACATCGACACCAAATCCAATTGTAATTACACCACATTTTAATTCAATGATGCCACCTCCAGTACCTCCATCACCAGTACCATTATCATCACCATTTCAAACACCATCAATGATGGGGCCACCAATGATGGGGCCACCAACAGTCAATTTCAAACGTACTTCTGCTACTGTGTTTGAAAGTGTTTCTCGTGCCCAGACATTAAGTGCGTCTTCGGGTGCTGCCTTTTTGGCTCCTCCAACATCTGGTCCATCCACACCAAATCCAACACCACCCAACTCTGCCCACAATACCCTTAGAAACACTAGATCACTTCGTAAGAGTGTCAAAGATGAAGAAGAGGGTATGGCACTCAACGAAAAGATGAGAGATAGTAGACACCAAAACAGTATGTCCAAACAAACCTCCAAACGAGATCTCACCATCTACCTGTCACGTCAAAAGTCAGAGATTGATATTCGTAGCGAACAAGAAAAACGTGATCAAGTAGACAAGGAAAAAAAGAGAATAGAAGCTATTAAAGAAGTATTAACTTCTGAATCAACTTATCTTAATCATTTAAATACTATTGTTGATGTATGTATCAAAGAAAGAAAGAAATATTATAATATAATATATTAACATATGTTTTTTTGATTGATTGATTTTAGAATTATTTAATTCCATTACGTAAAGAATGTAGTGCACCTGAAGAAGTTAAATTTATAGTATCAATCTTTTCAAATATTGAATCTATTCGTGAAACCAATAGAGAAATTCATAATTTATTTAATCTAAGAATTGGAATCAACCCAATCACCAAAGATACATCAACATCTGATTTATTCTTTCAAATTGTATGTGGTGGAAACAAACACAGATATAGATAGTTATAAATATATTTGGTATTAATATTTTAATCTTATATTTATATTTATATAGTTGCCATCACTAAATATTTATACACAATACTATGTTAATTGGTATAGATCATTACACTACTTGGATCTTTGGTTGGTTAAATGTAAAAAGTTTCAAAAGTTTATAGAAGAAAGATCAATTACAACACTAAACCTTAAATCACTTTTAATTATGCCTTGTCAAGTATGTACATGTAGTATACTATACTATAAATATAATTATAATTTCCAATGATGATGATGAATGACGGTGGTGATACTAATAATATTTATTTATTTCTATTTCTATTTCAGAGAATTCCAAGATATACATTATTGATTGATGCTATTCTTAGATTTACTAGTCCAACACATCCAGATTATATTCCAATGCAAAAAGCAATGACAGAGATGAAACTGCAAACTGAAAAGATTAATGAGAGTATTAGAGACTCTGAAAAATTACAATTGGTCACAAATATTAGAATGAGATTTGAATCTGATTCTATTGGTGTAAGTATATCCCATTAATAATATAATATAATATAATATAATATAATATAATATAATATAATATAATATAATATTTATATACTTTTTATTCCTTTTAGTTTTTGGATCAAGTACATCGTAGATTAGTAAAAGAGTCAGGAGAATTCCAATTATTACCATGTAAAAATATCAATCAAATCAATGACCATTACAATAACCAACAGGATGAAGATGCTTCAACTGATGAAGAGGAATCTTATGGAAAGAAAAACAAGAAACAAATTAAATTAATACCAAGCAAGTGTCATCTATACCTTTTCAACGATCTCTTTGTTATCGGTGTTCCATCTACCCAAAACAACTCTGGTAAAATGAGTACACTACTCAAAGGATCACTTGCTACAACTGTATTTAAAGAATATCCTACTTGTATGTAATTAAATCACAAATCATAAATCAAGAGAAACAAACAAACTAACTTGGAATATTCCTTTTTTTTTTAGTCCCACATAAATTTAGTGTACATCATAATAATGGTAGTTATATATTGAGTGGACCGACCAAAGAGGATGTTAGGGATATGTTGAGAGCATGTGATGATGCGACAACGGCTCTTTTAGAGAGTGAGCCAGAGTTGAGAGAAAAGAGAGCCAATATAACATTGGTTGGCAGCGATACCGATGGATGGAGTGTATTTGACCCAAGTGAACAACACAACAACAAATATCCAATTGCACAGAAATCATTGGAAGAAATCAACAAGGTCAAATCACAAATATTTACACCAAAGAAAAGAAAGAGTATGATTGGAAAGTTAAAGGAACGTACCAAATCTCTACTTGGATCAGCATCTCAAAGTAATAGTGCAGTTAGAAGAACTTCCTCTTTTGTATTAAATTCATTTGATGAATTACCTGTTTTAAATTTCAATTCTGTAGCAAACAACAATAACAATAATAATAACTAATAATAATAATAATATTAATAATTTATAATCAGTCACTAACAATAATAATTAATTAACTTATTAATAATAATAATAATAATAATAATAATAATAATACAATATGATTCATCTATCTAATCTATCTAACTATCTTATCTATATAACCTATATGAAATATATATTAATATTAAAACCACATCCAAGAAATATTTGAATAAAGATTCATTTCTCAATTTGAATAATTCAATCAATCAATCAATAATCACTTTACTTTTAAACTAATATTATTTTTAAAATAATAATTACGCGAGACAGTCGGCCCCTTCCCAAGGAAACTAAACCAAACTAGGAATTCCTTTCAAAAATCATATTTTACCATTTTAGGGTATTTCAAACGAAAACTAAAAATATATAAAAAAATGAACAATTATCTGGTAGCGGTGACTCATAAATGGGGTATAATAATTCATTCGTGTTCTAATTACATACACATAGATATTATTATTATTATTATTATTACTATTTATTGTTATTTAAACATATACAACAGATAGATAATATACAACATCAATACATACATACATACATCAATCATGGTGACTGCAGTTATAATGCTCGCAGTAGCACTTTTAACATTAATTTCTCCATTAACATTGGGCCAAACTTTTTCATTATTGTTCTTGGGCATGATGATAATGGTCTATTCGTGTCCCTATAAAGAGAAGGCGAGTTAGTTACAACTTCATTCTTTCATCCATCTCCCTTCAACCCAAGTTTAAATATCATCACTAATGCGCATTATTATTATCTTTGTTATCAATATTGATAACTTTTTACGACAAAGAGTATAATTTCTTTAATTACTACGACTACTACACAATTGTACGTAAATCAAAGAGGATAAATGTGCGTACAACAACCAAGCAAACTTCAAATTATTAATCAACAATCATTTGATAATAGAACAATCTTTTGTACATACACGCATACAACCTGTAGAATAATATCTGCAGGTATATATATATATAAATATATTCATCATCGATGATGAATATATTTATATCAATCCTCTTCTCTTCCTCCTCTCTTTTTTTTACTTTGGTTGGATTGCATTATAATCAAATGACAACAAGCTCTCTCTCTCTCTTTGTTACTATAGTTCAGAGAATATAAATTAAGCCAAACAGACAATCAAGACGATAAACAGAACAACAACAACAATAATTATAATTATAATAAACAAACTTAGGCAACAACAACAACAACAACAATCATACTGTAAATATACTACAATTTTAAAAAATCCAATACATGTCATATGCACAAACAAACAAACAAACAAACAAATTGTCTGATTTCCAATTATTTCTTTTCTCTCTCTGATAAAGAAAGAACAGCAGAGATATTCTGTCTTGTTTACAGCAACAAGTTTCCTGGTGTATCAGCAGCCGAGTAGAGTGGTGGGGGTGTTTGGATAACATTCGAAAATGAACCACACCACACCACTCTACTCGATTCCAATCCAAGTTTGCATTTCCATATCCAATGATTTAAATTTAAATTTAGAGGGTGGGAGTGTATTTGCTGCAGACGATAGATTTTTATCTTATTGAGACTCTTTTGAAATGAATGTCAGATGGGTGGGTGCTGCTATTTGCAAATATCTCTGCTCTGTTAACTTGTTTAAATGTTATAAAAAGTTTAAACTTTATTTTATTATCAAAATTTAAAGATTTTATTATTATTATATTATTATTACAAAAGAGGAGAAAGAGGGTGAGAGACAGACAAAATAATAATAATATAATTAGTATTTTTGTATTTTTAAATAATGTATTTAAAAATATCATCAATATTTTTATACATTTCAATATTTTTAATATTATTAATTTTTCCAAACTATGTATTATCTGTATGTATCTCAAACAATGAATAAATATATAAAAATAAAAATAATAGATTATTAATCAAACATTTGTTTTACTTTGTTTTTTTAATTAGGATAAATTAACAGTCTCTTATGACAATAGAGCAATCATTATAAATGGAGAGAGAAAGTTATTGTATAGTGCTTCAATCCATTATCCACGTAGCACACGTACCATGTGGCCAGACATTTTAAAGAGAACCAAAGCTGCTGGCATCAACACAATCGAAACTTACATTTTCTGGAATCTCCATCAACCCACACCAGACACTTACGACTTTGAGGGTAGCTCAGACGTCAAACACTTTTTGGATCTTTGCAAGGAGGAGGGTTTCCATGTCATTGTTAGATTCGGTCCATATGTTTGCGCCGAGTGGAATAACGGTGGTCTGCCATCATGGCTCAAGGCGGTGCCGGGTATCGTCTACAGAACTCACAATGAACCATTCATGCGTGAAATGAAAAAGTGGATGGACTATATCGTCCACTATCTCTCAGACTATTATGCTCCCAACGGTGGTCCAATTATCATGGCTCAAATTGAAAACGAGTATGGATGGTTAGAATACGAGTACCGTGAACAAGGTGGACCCGAGTATGTAGACTGGGCTGTAAAATTGGCCAAATCATACAATACTGGTATTCCATGGATCATGTGTCAACAAAACACTCGTAGTGATGTCATCAACACTTGCAACGGCTTTTATTGTCACGACTGGCTCCAGTACCATCAAAGAACGTTCCCAGACCAACCAGCATTCTTTACCGAACTCTGGACTGGCTGGCCACAATACTTTGAAGAGGGATTCCCCACTCGTCCAACCGTCGATGTTCTCTATTCGGCCGCTAGATTCTACTCGCGTGGTGGTGGTATGGTCAACTACTACATGTGGCACGGTGGTACTACCTTTGGCCGTTTCACCAGTCCCTTTTTAACTACATCCTACGATTATGACGCACCACTCGACGAATATGGTTTCCCACAAGAACCCAAGTACTCGATGCTCACCAAACTCCACGTCACACTTGAAAAGTACTCTTCGGTCATCCTCCACGACCCAAACGTCCCTCCGCCATACGTCTTCCCCGACAACACTGTCGAAATGATCGAATACAAAAAGGATGCAGAGTCTGTCGTCTTTTTGGTCAACTGGGATGATACCTTCGCCAAGCAAGTCGACATGAACGGAAAGAATGTCAAGATTAACCAATGGTCAGTTCAAATATACTACAACAATGAGTTGGTCTTTGATACATTTGAAATCCCAGCCAATTTGACTCGTCCCAATCCACCATTCAAACCAATTGCCAAAACATCTCTAGATGCCACAGCTGCTGCCACCTCTCGTACTGGTCTAGTCAATCTTGTTTCATCGTGGAATGAACCATTCTCATTCCTCACATACAACGCATCGTCTCAAACACCAACTGCTCAACTCAAACTTACTGGTGACAATTCAGACTATATCTGGTACGAGACTGAAATCGATCTCACCAAGACCGATGAAATTCTCTATCTCTACAAATCATATGATTTCTCCTATGTCTTTGTCGATGGACAATTCTTGTATTGGCACCGTGGTTCACCCATCCAAGCTTATTTCAACGGCAAGTTCCCAGTTGGAAAACACACCCTTCAAATCCTCTGCGCTGCTATGGGTGTCCCATCTTATGGAGCTCATATCGAACAACATGAACGTGGTTTGACAGGTGACATTTTCCTTGGCTCAAAGAATATCACAGACAATGGTTGGAAAATGAGACCATTCCTCTCTGGTGAATTACTTGGTTTACACGCCTCCCCATCAACCGTAAAGTGGTCCCCTGTCTCCAAAGGCACTGCTGGTTCAGGTGTTACATGGTATAAATTTAATGTAAAGACTCCTTCATTTGAAGATGGTCCTGCATTTGCATTAGATCTTAAAAGGTAAAAAAAAAAAAATAATAGAAAAGAAAGAAAAAAAAAGAGAAAAGATAAACTAATAATATTTATTTTATTTTATTTATATATATTAATTTACTTTTAGTATGTGGAAAGGATTAGTATTTGTAAATGGAAATTCAATTGGTAGATATTGGGTTGCTAAAGGATGGTGTGAAGAAAAGTGTAATCAAACTGGACTTTATGACAATTATGGATGTAGAGAGAATTGTGGAGAATCCAGTCAAAGATATTATCACGTTCCAAAGGATTTCCTCAAGGAATCATCGGACAATGAAGTTATCATTTTTGAAGAACTCCAAGGTGATCCATACTCTATCGAATTGGTCCAAAGAAACACCGAGTACAGAGATGATTATCAACATCATCGTATTGAATCAAATGGTATATTATCTTCAGAAGAAAGCAGCAGCAACGGTGCCTCTAGTGGCGGGGATAGTGATCACAGAGCTGATAGTGGGGAAACTGCCACCGACCCCCCAATTGCCGCCACTACAGCACCTGTTACTACTAATCCACCAACTACACCAACTGACGCTTCTCTTAAATCATCAGCTATCACTCTAGCCTTATCAAACCCATTAGGTCTTTTATTTGCCATTGTCTCTTCTTTGGTTGTATTATCCGTAATTTAAAAAAACAAAAAAAAACAAATCAAACTAATAATATATCCAAAATTGGATAGTATATAATATATAATAAAATAATAAAATTTATTTTTGTAATTTATTTAATAATATTGTTATTTCAAGAAGATAACAAGAATTAATCTATTTATATGCTCACTATTAATTTTGATGTTTCAAAATCCGATCCCTTTCCCAAACACGACGTCCGTTTTTTTTTTTACTCTGAACAGAGAAAGGGAAGGGAGTTGAAAACGAGTATTGACTACTCATTTTATTATTCAACAAATTGATGTATTAATACAATAATCTAGGAGAAGAGAAGAAGGAGATTTATCTAGATAGCTTAAATGTCAACAACCAACAATAGACAAGAAGAGGAACAAGACACAAAGAACGAAGAAACCATGAATAAGCTTGCAACAACGTTAATCGAATCATTGCACAAGAAGCTTACGGGTCATGACTTTATAAAGATGGTTAGAGAGACCACAGGTAACCACTCAAACCCAATTAAAGTATTGGTATGTAGTTTGTTAGATGTGCAACACGCAGTCATACTTGTTTACTGATTTATGTTTCGCTTTAGGCACCAATGGTTGAACATTCATTATTAGCATTTAGATTGTTGACTCGTAAATTTGGAGCAGATGTTGTATACACACCAATGTATAATAGCAAGATCTTTTCACACGATGCTACCTATAGATGCAATTTTTCAACCAATCCTCAAGACAGACCAATGGTTGTTCAGTTTTGTGGTAACGAAGTAGATCATATCGTTAAATCTGCAAAGATGGTAGAGGATCACTGCGACGCTGTAGATATTAATCTCGGATGCCCACAAGGTATTGCTAGAAAGGGCTTCTATGGTGCATTTTTGTTGGAGAGACCCGATATTGTCCTACCAATGGTACGTGCACTTCACAAGGAACTCAAAGTACCTATTTTCTGTAAAATTAGATTGCTCCCAGACATTGACGACACTATCAAGTTGGCATTGCAGTTGCAAGAGGCTGGTTGTCAACTCTTGACCGTTCATGGAAGAACCAAAGAGCAAAAGGGTGAATTCTTGTGTCACGCCGATTGGAAAGCTATTAGACGTGTAAAGGAAGCTGTTAGCATTCCAGTGTTTGCCAATGGAAGTGTTGACGAATACAAAGATATTGTACCATGTCTCGAAGAGAGTGGAGCAGATGGAGTTATGTCTGCCGATGGTATTTTGGCCAATCCAGCCATGTTTTCAGGTCTTGATATGACTCTTACCGACGTTTGCAGAGAATATCTCGATATTTGTGATCAAATCCCAACCGATTTCTTCCTTATTCGTAGTCATTGTTATAAAATGTTAAAGAGACAGTATGTACAAAAGTTATAAAATACAAAATCATCATATTTATTAATAATATATTTTTTTACTAGTATGGATGATTATGAAGACATTAGATATAAGATTTCAAAGATGATTGATGTTACAGATATGAGAGGTATTTTAGACGAGATTGATAGAAGAGTTAAAGAAAAAGTTCCAAAGATTAGAATGTTAACCAACGCAGAGAAAAGAGATCTTAAAAAACAACAAGAAGAAGCAATTGGAGCAATGGCTGCCGATGCCGCTTTAACAAACAAAAATACAAATAATGGAGCCGACAATTGTTATGGTACATGTAAAAAAGAAGAAGAGGAGGAAATATACTTTGATTTAGATAATTTACCATCCGATACAACTACCACTACCACTGCTTCTGTTAATTCCTGAAAATTTTAATCAATAAATCCAACAACTTACTAGATTATTAATATAAATTATCAATTTTGATAGATAGATTATCTATCTATTCCATCATCTCTACAAGACCTTAGGTTATTTTTTAACTTTTTTTTTATTTTATTTTATACTAATCATATCAGTTGGGTTTTCTGGTACCTTGAAATTTAATTTTCTTCCAATTTGATAGATTTTGTTGAGAGTTTCTTCAAACTCTTTGTTTTTTACCAAAATTTGATATTGTTTATAAAGTTCCATTGCCTAAAAAAATAAAATAAAAAATTTAATTATACCATTATTATTATTATTTGTTTTTTTGTTGTACATACACTTTTAGCGTCTTCAATTGAACAATGAGTTTCAGTTTGAATATCAGTATTTAGTAAAATATGTGCAAGGAATCTGAGCGACAATTTACGTTGATTACGGAGTTGGAAAATTTCGACGGTATCAATGATTTGTTCAGGTGGTACATAGATGTTGATGATACGGAAATCCTTTTTAAGACCATGGCCGACAAAGATGACACGCTGATCGACAAGATATCGCAGTTTGATGTAACAAGATTTTAGGCTTACAACATTCTTTGTCGAAATTTTAGGGTCAAGATCTCCGGGCTGGATGCCCGAAAATCTGGTGAGGTAGTCGGTGACTGGCTCGATGGATTGTATATAGTCGTCGAGGAATGCCTCACCGTTGAGACGCACCAAACTGGCACGCGCAAGACTAAAGTTTCCGGGCTGGATGATGACTCGCTTGCCGTCGCTCGACACTTCTGTTTCCTCGGGTCCGATCGAAACAAACTCAGTGTCAATGGCGACAATGTCGTCGGTCTTGGGGAGGGTTTCATAGGTTGGTGGTACAAACGAGACGGTTTGGGGATTACAGGTGATGAGGTTGTTGGCCATGTACACCTCTTTGGTGATGGGGTTGCAGAGCGTGGGGATGGCGCCGACACCATTGTTTGCCATCTTTTCAAACCCTACACGACGATAGAAAAGTACTGCCGGAGTCTTCCAATTCGAATCAAAGTGAGCAACGTCGTTGATTGTGCATGGCTTGACTTTAAAGTCGTTAAATAAATAAAAGCTGGGTTGTTGGACGGGCGAGGGGATGCCTTCAAAATAAAAGTCGGTCAAACGACACTGTGACACCAAATGGCCTTGCTTGGGGAGTCGCTTGACTTGGTCCTTGACATGAGAGATGAGGGACACCAACTCATACAAGACACCGTCCTTGGTGACCTCGTCGTTGGACTCGGGGTCTGTGCACAGAGAACCAGTGTTTTTGTACTCTGTTACATTTAGTTGGTTGGTTTCATTGTCAATGTTCATTCTGATTCTAATGGGCAACCACGTGGTTTCATTTTCAAATTCTAATTCTCCATCTTGACTTGGGTTTACTGTTCCAGTCACTAAATGTTAAAAGATTAGTTCAACTAATATACTAGGGTGTGTATGGTGGTGTGACTTACAATTGTTTGAAGTGAATTTCCAATAGTCTTCATATTCTTTTTTAGATACATTTGCATTGAGACACAATATATTGGGCAGTGTCAATGGGTTCTTCTTTTGGATGGTCGAGAAGTAGTTTTGACATTTCTCGCACCAGGCTGGTGTTTTGATTTGCTTGCTCAAACTGGTTCGAAGAAGGTTTGCAAAGGTAACACCTTCTGGTCCTAGTTCAGATGCACTATTTGGGTACTGCAAATCAAATTGGAAATGTCTACTTGTTTTTTCGTATTGATTTCCACAATTGACACATTTGTTTGATGAAATCACATTTGATCCAAATAGTCCATCAATAATAGATTCTCCTCCAACTGCTGTTGCTGGAATGGTTTGGTTATGGTTATGGTTATGTTGTTGTTGATGATGATGGTTATGTTGTTGATGTTTTGATGATTTGTTATTATTATTATTGTTGTTGTTGTTGCTGTTGCTATTTGGTTCTTGTTTTAAAAGGTCTTTATGGATTTGTTCAATTAAAAATCTATTAAAGTTGGTAATTAATTGAGACAATGGAATGGGTGCTTCTGGTTGATCGTGTGACAAGCATAATCCAAGATTCTCTGCTTGTGGGAATTGTTTCAAAACTCTCAAGAAATTACTTGTTTCAACTACTGCTTTACCACTTGATTGATCCATCATATCTAAAATAAATAAATAAAAATAAATAAATATTAATTCATTGAGTATAGAATTATTTTTTTGTTTTAACACATACGGAATACAAAACCAAGTTCACAAGATAAACAATAATTTTTTTGGCATAAATGGTTGAGTAATGAATTTCTAATATGAGGAATGAAGTATAAAGTTTGTATACAACAATTTGAATAGGTATTTAATAAGCAATTTTCTAAACCAGAGAATTTTGTTTTGTTATGTACACTAAAGAAGAAAGAAAAAAAAAAGTGTTAATATTATATTAAAAAATTCTCTATCTCTCTCTCTTTTGACTTACGTAGTATCAAATTCATCAATACCAAGTTTTGTAAAACGAATTTCCATCCATCTATAACTTTTTGGAGGACGAACATGAGAAATGGAGGATAGAGCAAGATTGGAAAGTGTTTTATGAGATTTTCCATCCTCATAGGTCTTTGTTCTGAATTGTTTACGAGAGATTCCAGTATTTGTGATGTAGCCGACAAAATCATGTTGCTTAAGGTGTTGTAAAAGTGAAGGGTTGAGCGGTCTAGTTGGAAGTCCGACGGGATAGGATAGTGTTGGTTTCCAATAAGATGCCAATTCTGTATTTGTGCTACTGTTCAAAATGACTTGGTTGTTTCCATCGACAAGCTGCGATTCATCTGGAGTGAAATCTACCACTGACAATGGCCAATCATCCTCCATTCTCTTTGGTTTGGAAAATTGTGGGTAACTTCCAAACTCTAATGCATAACTGTGAACATTTACTCTAACGTTATCTTTTTCTGCCCATTGATGAATAATGCTTCCTGTATCACCAAATGCCATAATTTCACCAGATGATGACATATCAAAAGATTGAACACATCCATACAAGTTATCAATCTAGAATAAAAATAATATATAAATAAATAATAAATAAAGGATTGTTAGTAAATATTATTATTGTTATTGTTTGTTTGATTTTTTTTTGCATACAGAGAAATTTTGTTGAGAAGGTGGATTTTGATCCAATTGAATATCAGATATTTGAATTTGATTACTAGTTTCAGAGATGACAGCAACCGAGGAATAAAACTTGGGATGGAATTTAACCATGTAGGGACGTTTGAATTGAATGGGTGGAAGATTACGAAGGGTCTTGACGTCGAATACCTTGACGACGGGGTCGGTAAAGAGCTGGCCATTGCGAGGGGAACAGCCGCAACTGGCCAACAGGTCACCCTTGATGTCGGTTGAACGCACGTCGGCCTTGTGTGCAGACAGCGAGTGCTCGACACGCCATGTGCGCGGGTCGAGCATCGAGATGTCTCCGTTGGCAAGTCCGCACCACACACCACGGGCACGACAGAGTGTCTTGATGGCGCAAGGCATGGGCACCTCACGTACGACACGTCCCGTGTAGAAATCAATGACAAAAAGAGCGGCATTGTTTGAGCCAACGACAAACTCAGAGTTGTCAAACTTGCTGTAGCTGATCTGGGTGAGATCGCGCATCTTGTCATTCTTGACGGTGAAGATGGGTGCGCCACCTCTTGTGTGGAAGGCGACGCTGTTGGGAGAGACACTCAATACACCCTCGAAATCAATGAGCATGTCTCTGATCTCGCCTGTCATTTTAGACTGTGGTTGGAAGGCGTTACCCTGACGCGTGTTGAGTTGGCTCGACGTCGAGTTGGCAAAGAAGCTCGAGTAACGCTGTTCCATTGACGGCTGCAATAGGGAGCTGATCTTGCCGTTCTCGTAACCGACCCACAACAGTTCCATGAGTGGATCAAATTTGAGACAGGTGGGGATGGTGGGGATATTGTTTTCAGGCGCTGGATACTCTGGCTCCATACGCAGCTCGTACCACGACTCATTGTTGTCATAGTATTCACCAGCATCAAACGAGTTGTCCTGTTGTTGATGATGATGATGATTGTTGTTGTTGTGGTGAGCATGTTGCTGCTGCATGTGCTGGTGTTGGTGTTGTTCAGGTGCGGGCGACGCATAAAGCGGCGGCGCCATCATATGGTGCATCATGCTGGGGGGTGGCTGAGGTGTGTATGCAATGTGTGGGTGTGTATGGTAGGGTGACTGCTGGTACATATCAGCACTGTTGCCTGCCGGGTTGCCCGAGTACAGTCCACCTGCATTCACCGTTGGCCGGTTGTTGTTGCTGTTGCTGTTGAGTGCCACGAGTGATGCGGTTGTAGGTGTAGTCGATCGCTGCTGCTGGAATGGCATCGTCCCATAGATCTGCTGTTGTATGTTGTGTGGGTTGGGAAAGAACTTTCCCGTGGGCTGGAACACACCCGACGAGTGACTGAGCGTCGTCTTGCCAATCGGCGAGGACGTCGACGAAGAAGACGACGATGAGGTGAGTGGCGACGATGCGCCACCTCCTCCGCCGCTTCCTGTACTATTTATATTGGACATTCACTATCTATCCTATCAACGTCGTTGTGTCTATGTCTGTGGATCGATTGATGTATGTGTTATCTATCCTCTTATATTGTTCTATCTAATTGTTCTATATTATATATTTAGTTGTACTATTTACAATTCTTTCTTTCTTTGTTGTTCTTTGTTGTTCTTTGTTGTTATGTCGACGATGTTGTTTGTTAGATGCTTTGGCTGCAGTAATTTAAAAAGGTCACTTTTTGTTTAGTAATCTAAAAGTAATCTAACAGTAACACTTCATGATCTATCTTGTTTGTGATCACGTGTTGTTATCTATCTCTATTCTTCCTCTTCTTCCTCTTCTTCTTCTTCTTTTCTATTAATATATATAATACTGTTACTGCTGAACACAATTTAGGTTGGTGAAGAAAATCATGTGGGAGGGAGTTTTTTTTATTTTTTTATTATTTCTTTTTTTGGTTTACCCAATATTGTTGTCATTATCAGACCTTTCTCTCTATCATCATCATACATACTTATCTATCTATCTATCCATCCATTACATATATATACACTATTTATTATTTCTGAATGAATGAATAATCAATCACTCATTGATGAGCTTGAGATCAAGAAATGGATACAACAGGTCAGTGTCAGTCAGCAAAGCAATGCAAAGCAAAGCAAAACAGATAAAGAGAGAGGAGAGAGAAAGAATATGATTATAATCAGTTTGGGTGTATTGATATCAATACATTTATTGTCAATCAAAGAGAGTAGTTTGCTTAATATCTTTTTCAAGTTGATGATACTAACTTTTATCATCATTTTACCATCGTCTGATCAAATAAACAGAAATGCAATAATCTATCGAGTGATTTTTTAGAATTGGACCTGGTAGAATCATTACAGTCTGGTACGATACTTTGCAACCTCATCAACAGCATACGATTGGGAACCATACAGAAAATACATCTACATCCATCACAACTACAAAAGATTGAGAATATCAGAAATTATCAAAGAGCCTGTTGGTTACTAGGTTTACATTCTCGTTATTCATTCCAATCCTCTCAATTACTATATACACCAAAAGAATCAAGAAATTATGTTTGTATCCTCATGAAACATGAAACAAAACCTTTGATCAATCTTATTAATTAATTATTATCTCTTGATTTATTAGTTGATCATCAATTTATCAGAACTTTGTAAACTTTCAAATCACATACCAAAGAATGGAAGCTTTTTATCATCCCCAAATTTTAATTTTGGTTCTGCTCCCAATAATATAATCAAACAACATAGTATTAATAATAATAATAATAACAATAATAATAATAATAATAACCATATGAATATTCAACATAGTCAGATATCATCCAATACTTCAACGCCTTCAAATCCAGCTACACCAACGGTTCCACTTCTTCCAACACCACCAACATTATCCGTGGGTCATGCAAGTAGTCATAGCGTATTAAAATCAAAGTCTGGATTTATTCAAAAAAGAATTTTGGATGATTCTTCGTCTGACGATGATTCATCTTCGTCAGACTCAGATGAAGAAGAGAATAGTCCACCTTTAATGTTTGGTAATTCAATATCATATAAATCTTTTGTAAAAGGTAAGAGGAAGAAGAAAATATCCCAACCAACAAGATCAAGAAATTAAATATATATTAATTTTTGTTATTTTAATTTTTTAGAATTATTACATTTAAAAGATAGAATATCAAAACAAGAAAAAACAATTATGGTTCAAAGAGAAAAGATTGATTTATTACAAAAAGAGGTTGATTCACAAAAGACGTTGAACAAGAAACTAGTGGATACGCCCATGGATGTTTCGCGGTATATCGAGTTTGCAACCGATCAGAATGGTGCCATTCCAGTATCGACACAGGCATTTACCAAGCAGATTCAACAACTTCAACACTTACAACAATCAGTTCATACGTTGACGAGTCAATTGTCGGGTGTCAATGAACAAATATCCGATCAAATCAAACGTAATAGTAGACTTGAGAATGAATTGTTGACGGCTGAATCCGAACTACTTAGTTTGCGTATGAAATATGCTAACCAAATATCGGACCCTCCCAACAAGAATGCCAACTCTTCTCTGTCGATTAGTTCCAAACATCCACTCTCTCGTGCCAATTCCAATCTTCCACCTCTTCGAAAATCAATATCTCACACCAACATATCAACACCCCAATTCTCATTCACGTCACCCATGATGGTGTTACCACCTTCTGGGACTCCTGGATCTATTGGTACCTCTGCAGGTCAAACACTAACATTGCGTATGAGTGGGAGCAATATATTAAATAATAGTGCTCCTGCAATTGGAAATATTGGATATGCATTGAACAATAGTAATAATAGCAGTCGTCGTAACAGTATAAACACTCACAAGGAATTACCAGTCGACAAGGAAATGATGGATTTTGGTAAACAAATTGTCTCTGCTCTCATTAGCTCAAGTAATCATGTAGAAATGACAGATATATATAAAATGAATAATCTTTTTACAAATGATTTGGCTAGAAGACAAGTTTGTATTACTTTGGATGATGAAACAAAAGCAAATGTAAGTGAAAAAAAAAAGATTATTCATTTTATAATAATATCATTAATTAACTTATATTATTCCCCTAAAAGCAAATGAATTTACCAATGAATGAAAACGCATTTGAAGTAACTTTATATCTTTTTAATACTCTATTACAAAATTTATATGAATCTCCAAGGTAAAAAAAATATTTATTCTTATCTATCTATGTTTACTAATATTTTTTTAATTTAGTAAGGATTATTTTAGTTTTAAATTAATAATGGATACATCAAGAGTTTTAAATAGAAAAAAGAGTAATGGATCAAATGAATTTATACAAGAATTTATAAAAGATCATCCTGGTTGGAAGGATATGGTATTTTGGGAGGAAATGTACTGGGATGATATAGTAATGAAGCACGAGCAATTGATTGAATATAGCGACATGGCAGACTTGGATTCAGAACTAGTGTCTACATTGTTAATATCTTATGCTTATAACTTGGCTGGATGGGGAATGGGTAAAAAGGAAGTCGTAGAATTTACCATTAATTTATCAAAGAAATCACTTTTGCAGGGTGTCGACCACGAGAAATTGGTGGAACAGGTCAATTCAATCGCAGAGTTGACATTCAAATCGGATGGATTCAAAGGTGATCATTCGTTTGTCATGAAAAACTTTAAAAATATATCAGAGTGTAATTATTGTCATCAGTACATATGGGGCGTAAGAGGAATCGTAGCTCGTCAAGCCTTTGAATGTGTTGGTTGCAAATTTAAAGCTCATAAAAAATGTTTAAAACAAGCTTCTGATACTTGTTGTAGTAAGTAAAAAAAAAAAATATATATTTAAATAATTTTACAAAACATACTCATATTTATTTTATTTATATTTAGCATCACCAAATGTAGGAGCACCATTTAATGTTAAACATGAAATTCATGTTGGTTTGGCATTACAAGGTATCCCAGAACAATGGAAAACATTACTGATCCAAAGTGGTTTCCAGGATGGAGAAATTGATCAACATCCTGATGATGTATTAGATGTATTGGAATTCCATCATGTATATAATGAAAAAATTAATAGTAATATTAGTAGCAGTATTGGAAACAATCAACAACACCAACATCAACAAAGTTTAACAATTTCACAAAACAATCAACCTTCTTCACATCCATCTCCAATATTGTATAGAGCAAGAGCAATTTCTTCACCATCTCTGGATTCAAATTTAAATTTAGAAGAACCATCATTAACTCTTAGTATGTAAAGGAAAGAAATCATATTATTTGCAATCAATATTAACTATTATTTATTATTTTTACAGAGGATTTAGTATCAAATGAAAATCCAGAAGAATTATATGAAGAAATACTTAAAATTGGAGGAGGATCAACAGGTAATGTGTATGTTGGAGTACATAGACAAACAGGTGAAAAGGTTGCAATCAAAAAGATGAAGGTTGATAATCAAAACATCAAGAATATCGTCAATGAAATTTGTACCATGAGAAATTGTACTCACAAGAATTTAATCAAATATATAAATTCACATTTAGTTTTAAATCAACTATGGGTATGCTAAATATACAAACAACAATATAAATGATTATTTATTAACTTTTCTTTACATCTATATATGTTTAGCTCATTATGGAATATATGCCATATGGATCATTAACAGATTTAATATCAAATAATCATCAAGATATTTATTTTACAGAATCACATATTGCATACATATTCCAACAAGTTTTGCAAGGTATTGATTATATACATAAAGGACATCGTATACATCGTGACATTAAAAGTGACAATATATTAATTGGCAAGGATGGAAGTATCAAGATTGCCGACTTTGGATTTGTAGCCAATCTGACGAGAGCAAGAGCACAAAGAAACAGCGTTGTTGGAACACCCTATTGGATGGCACCAGAACAAATCAAAGGTATCAATTACAATCACAAAGTTGATATTTGGAGTTTGGGTATTTTGGCAAGAGAATTGTCTGAGGGCGAACCTCCCTATGCCCAGTACCCACCAGTTCGTGCTCTCTTTTTGTTGACACTCGAAGGTGTACCCGATTTCAAAGAACCCTCCAAATGGTCACCCGATTTCATTGATTTTGTAAACCTTTGTCTCAGCCTCGACAGCCAGAGAAGACCAGACGCCCATTACCTTTTGCGTCACAACTTCCTCAAAAAAGCATGTCCCAACAAAGACTTTGTTGAAAGAATTGAAGAAATATCATTGATGAAACAAAACCATTTCTCTGATATTCAATTGAAATAAAAGAAGAATCTTCTTTGTTTATCTGTTTTCGAGATGTAAATGAAAATGAAATTAATTTTTTTTAAATCATGGCATGTGATTTACTAATAAATGTATCCATCTTTATTCCTAATCCAGTTCTAAGATATACTTTTTAAAATAACATGTTGTCAGAGGGGGTTTGCTGTTCTCTATCCTGCTTTGATTTTTTTTTTTTTCATTTTTAAGGAGCTAGCTTTTTCTGTATCTTCTTCCTCTTCATCTTCCTCTATTGCTCTCTTCTTTTCTTTTTTTGTTGCACTTTTTGTGGGTATCTTCTTGACTTGGGATCTGACAGTTGGATTTGCAAACACTGGGTTTGAAACCTGACCATCCAACTTGATACGATTCCAAAGACTAGGAAAGAAGTGATGAATGTTTCCAGAGTGATAGATGATAATGTCTTTTCCATATTTTTCCAAAAGAGAATGTGAAATAGCAAAATTGGTAATCATGACGGGAACAACAAGATATTTGGGATAATGTTTTCTGAGATGATGTGTAGTTGATTTAATGTCATCGAGTGTTTTGGCTTCAAAGTACTGATCGGAGTTGGTGAACTTGGAATTGATGGCGATCATTGCATGTGTTTTTGACAAAACCGGTTCCTCGAATTGGTAAATGAGTCTGATATCGAAGCTTGTATTACCTGCTGCCATTATGTGAATACCATCATCAAACGAAACCAGGTTTTCATGTCAGGGTTGCCACCTAAGAGGTATGAGTCTATTTCACTTTTGACCTGAATATTGGGGCTTTGGGGAGATCTAAAGTTTAAAGAGGGGGAAGGGTTAGTTTGGTAAATAATGATAAAGTGAAAAGTAACATACCCATCAATCCACTTGTATTTATCTTTAAAGATATGGTGAATCTTTTTTGGAACCATGTTGAAAGAATTTTGAATACCCGTTGAGGATGGGAAAAGATGTTGAATTGTGAATGGAGTGTCCGTATGCAAGTTGTTACGCAACATGAGAATGATGGCCGTGATTTCTTCAAATGGAGACCCACCGAAATTTGAGCGCATTGGAAATTGGACTAATTTTTCCAAGTGAAAAAGTTTCAGTTTCTTGGCTATGAAATACATTGATGCAGAAGGGATAAAGAGATAGAGAAAGCGGTCTCTATCCTCAAGAATGAGATGGCCTTTAAATGCAAGTTGTTGAACTGTTGTGTCAGGAGTGATATTGGTGTCCCACCCCAATGATTTCTGACAGATACAATATTGGAGTAGAGTGGTAGTGACTTGGTCATCAAATGGGAAGGTAAACCGATCCGAAAGTTTTTGGCCAAGCAAAATAAGAAATTCATAAATGTTGATGTCTGGGTCCATCCAGAGTGACTCCTTCTTTTTAATGAAATTGATTACTGTCATGAGAGATCGGGGAATAATACCGAGATCATTGATAAAAGTGATGAATTGTCGATCTTCCAAGATCGATTCTTTTTTTGATCGAAGAGGAGGTTTCTTGCACATAGACTTGATCATTGAAAGTGAGGAATCGAGTGAGATTGGGAAAATATTGACGCAATTCATTTTCCATTTTGAGAGCATGGTCGGTTCAGTACCGTTTGATGTTGTCCCAGTGAGGAGAGGGATGAGGAATATGTTGTCTTGATTTGCATCAGATTTGCTATCTCCTCTGCATCTATAAGTACCAAGCCCCTCGATCATTATTTTGACAAACGAAGGGTGATTATTCTCTACCACAAAGGCGTTTGCCATTGGGAACTCGTCGAGGTGCAAGAAGATTGCAATGGGTATTTCATTGCTTATACCTAATTTCTTTCGAAGATATCTAAAAGTTGATCCAAACGAGAAGAGCCCATTGGTCTGAGTGAGATGTTTAGAGATGACATCAAAAGATTTGTGCATGATGGCACGAGCAAATAATCTTTTCTCTAGCGCGACAGAGATAGAGTCAGGGTCTCTGGATAGATCCGATTCATCAAGTCGATCCCCACCTCCATTGAAATCGATAAATATGTAGCGAGATGACTTCATGGCCTGAGAGATCTCATTGTCAGAGAAGTTGAAGTTCTTCAAACGTCGATGACACTCCCGACCAAATGTTGTCTTTCCCATTCCAGAACCAGTAATACACGTTATAAAAGGGTGATTCTCTCGTGTTTTGTCCTCGGATTTGAATGCAGAGTACATATCTTCAATAGTATTAGCAACTGAATCAACTGCATCATCTCTGTCCATGAATGGTGACGATTCATCTTGTTCATTGTATTGACTAGATATTCCTAAATCATTCAAATATTTCTCTAGTTGTTCCAAATTTGAGAGAATTGCTAGAATAAGAGAAAAGAAAATAAATGATTAGTAAAACTGTTATGATTATGTGTGATGATTGATGACTTACCTTGTTGTTGAGCTGGAGAAGAAACATAGATACGAGTAAGATTGAAATCAACATCCAACTCTTGATCAAGGAGTGTCGTCAAGGCTTTATCTTTGTACAATAAGATTGAATGACCGCGTGGAATGTCGAGTTGTTCCGACTTTCTAATGGTCAGTATGAGGGTGTCGTAGTTTGTGGGATTACCAAAGGTGAGATGTGTCTTGTATGAGCCAAACTCAACCCAACAAGAATAAGATGTCATTGTTGTGATTTGATAGATAGATAAATGTATATAATATACAAGAACAAATATTTTGTGTAAAGAAATATCATTGATGAAATAAAACCATTTCACTAATAAACATTTGAAATAATAAAGTAATCATCTTGTTTCTTATGTGGTCAAATGAATGATTGTAAAATTATTATAATTAAAAAAAATGATTGTTTTAGTAAATTAATATTGTAATGATCGTCATCTTTACAGTCATTAACTTTGTTTTATCTATCTAAAAGAGATAAATGAAGATCTTTCAATATTTATCATCACTACCAGAGAATGAGATACAAGATTTATATTCAGATGCATTTACATGTCGAGCAGTACTAAGATCATTGCCACCACGAGCCAAGCAATATCTGATGAGATTGTTGGTTGTAGATTCGATATCGATGCAAAGTGTCTATCAATGGACAACTCAATCATCTATACAAGCACATAAAGACGCTATCAGAAAACTACTAGACCTCAAGATTCTGACAAGAGTACCAAACCCAAAGGGTGTCGTTTCACAAGATCAACTATTTCTCAATCAAAGATTCAAAGATAATATAAAAGATTCATTAACGGATTTGTATTTATCAAAGATAAGATAGAGATGACTCTCTTATATTGTACTGAATCAGTCAAACTAACATTTTATATTGATTCATATAACTTAGGGATAGTGTAGTATTAAAGAGTGTAAAAGATAATCAATCTGCACAACAACATATAAAACCAATGACAGTAGAGGAATTGGATAAATATTCAAAAGGACAATGGGAAAAAGTACTTTATTATCTATCAGATGAAGGTAAAGCTCCTCCTGAATTGGTATCTGATCTATTATTATCATCAAATTTAACTAAAAAGTTAGTAGTAATTTGTTAACAATCAAAGAATATTCCCTTTCTAACAAATTCTCCTCTACCTCTTTTTTAGAAATGGAACATCAATAGCAATTACAAGTGAAGGTTTTAAATTCATGTTGAAAGACATTTATACACAAATATGGACATTGATCATTGTTTATTTAAATACATTGGAATCTAGAGGAAGACCAAGAAAAGAGGCATTAATATTTTTATTTAAACTTAGTTTTCTAACATTGGGAAAGTCATATTATCTGGCCGACCTAAATCCAAATCAAAGAGACATGTTGTTTGATTTAAAAGAATTTGGTTTAGTTTATGTTAGATCTGTATGTCACAGTGAAAAGAATAGAATCTATTTGCTGTACAAGTGGGTATTAATATTTTTTTTTTTCTTTAGGAAAAATCAGATGTATTTTATCCAACAAGATTAGCAATTTCATTGGCAACTGGTAGAACGGTATCATTGATGAATGATTTGGCACAAGAAATATCAACGTCACAAAAAGATCAAGGCTATTTAATATTAGAAACAAACTTTAGAATCTATGCATATACACAATCATCGTTACAAATATCATTGATTAGTTTGTTTGTAAAGATGTTGTACAGATTACCAAACTTGGCAGTTGGTATTTTAACAAGAGAGAGTGTTAGATCGGCTCTTTTACATGGTATCACTGCCGATCAGATTGTGGATTTTGTCAAACAAAATGCTCACCCCAACATGGTGATATCTGGTTATCCAGAAGTTGTATTTGAACAGATTAGACTTTGGGAGTCTGAAAGAAATCGTATCACCTATAAGAAGGCCGTACTATTTGACTCTTTCCCAAATGCAGAATCATTTTCAAAGACTGTCACATTTGCAAAAGATCAATACTTTTTAGTATGGTTTGATGAAACAAAGAAAATGTTGGTTGTCAATGATGAAGGTAGTGAACCAATTAGAAATTATATTAAAAAGAATTTTACCTAAAATCAACAAAAGTAGAATATTATAAATATTATAAATAAATTGTTTCAAAAAATAATAATAACTCGGATGTTTATTTGGATTTTATAATAAATCTTTTCTTGTTATAATTCCAACTACAAAATTACTAACATCAACTATTAAAAAATAGAAAATAACATTAATATTAATTATAACTCTTTTAAATATTTTATGTAATTAATTAATTATACATTATACATACTAACAGTTAAATGTCTTAAACCCATAGTTCTAAAAAGTTTATAAGCTTCACTGTATGAAAAAGTATCGTGAATAGTTAGCGCAGAACTATTCATATAAGGTCTAAGATCCACTATTCTTTCGTGGTCTGATTCGTCAAGGTCCAATTCATTTAGTTTGGGTGGCTTTTTTGACGTTTCTTGGATAAATCTATCGTGACCAAAATTAGTGTCCAATAGTAGTTCGCTGCTTGTGCCGCGATAAAAGATTCGTAGTTTGAGGAGTACCAAAATATCGTTTCTTAGGACTAGTCCTCTATAGGGTGCTCTCTTTCTAGCTCCGCCAAACATTAATTCGTATTCGTTGTTGTCGCTTTCGAGTGAACAGGTCACAGGATATGCGTGATGATAGTTGCCTTCAAGTGTCGAGAGCAGAGCACGAACTGTACATAGCTCTGGCACCGTGACGACTTGTCGATTCATAACTTCTGTGATTTTCTTTGTTGCCTTGGAGTGTGGAGGGAGGGATTGAAGGAATGGAATGTGTTTGAGCTCCATCAGATGTTCGTACACTGATTCGTTGAAAAAGTCACCGACCCACTTGGCAATCATAACGGCCAAGATGATGGGCACTAGGTACTGCGTACCCTCTGTCAATTCGACCATAATAACGACGAGTGATATCGTCATGCGACAGTATCCAGCCATCATGGCAGCCGAACCAACCAACGCATAAATAGAAGCGTCAATACCGTTGAAATAGAGACCAACAAGTTGTCCAATAAATCTTCCAAATCCAGCACCAACCATCATCATTGGCACGAAAAGACCGCCGGCCACCCACAAGCCAGACGACATGATCGATAGTGCAAAATAGAATAGGGTAAAGACAACAAGTGCCGGGAGTGTGAATATATTGTTTGTACGAGAGTAGAGTCTTCGCAGAGCTTGGTCGGGATTGGTAAAGAGCAGCGACGCCATCTCACTGTACATGCCAGGTGGACAAAAGAATTGTACCATCTCGGCGTTGGTCTGGTCCTCGCACACCGATGGCTCCACCACAATCTGTGACTGGTATCGACAGTTAAACAGCGACGAACTGTAAAAACAAACAATCGATGTGATGACAATGACGACCATGACCTCGATCAATTTGATCAACGAGTTTGATTTGATAAAGTCGCGTCTCCACTTGTTTAGATGGATGTTAAAGAATACAAATGCTGCGCCCAACAATCCACCAATGATACCGAGTCCGCAAAAACACAGCAGCTCGCTGTAGCGGTAGAGGTAGAGTCTTGAAAATCCAAATGTCAATAGACCAGAGTCGTGAATGTCTGGAGACGACCCAACACCCTGCAGCAAAAAGTTGGTTGTAAAAGTCGCAATCATGCAACAGAAAAAGGTTCGCCATGTCAGCTGTCTACTCCAAAAAGACGATGCCTCTTCAATTGAAAACAATACACCACCGATCGGTGCACCAAAAGCAGCGCTGATACCACTCGCAGCGCCCACCGATATAAAGTCTCTCTTGTCGCGATCATTTTGGTACTGCAAAAAGATCTTGGGATAAAAGTTGATGGTTGACGATCGGAATTGTGATACGGCTGCACCTATTGCACTGCCGATATGAATCATTGGTCCTTCTGGACCGATAAAAAGCCCCGATGAATAGGACATGATCAACGACACAATCTTTCCAAACAATGGTCTAAAGCCCAACGATGATGGTACTTTTACGCCATTCAAATATCCCTTTACCTCTGGTATGCCAGAACTACTTGCCAACGGTCCGACCACAATCACCATCAATACAGCCAACAAACAATAAAATGAATTGATTCCTACAAAGGTTAAAAATGCATATGCTGGTTCATCACTAGTTATAACTAAAAAAATCATTGATCAATTTGCGTGTTAATTATTATCCATAAATTCATCATCGATTTCTTTCACTATTTTATCCAATTCTTTGACTTGTGATGATATATCTATCTAATCCATCTGTTATGATACTTTACAGTTTTGTACCATTGCAAATTTAAAGCCTTGTAGTTTGTCAACTGATAATTTCAATATATATGCTATCAAACCCACAAATACACCTATAAACAGACATATCAGCCATTTACCAAATGTCTTTTGGAGATGACTAAGTCTTGTTGTCTTTTCCAAACTCTCTCTTAGTAATAAATTATCTCTAACTGTAAAGTTTAAACTCTATCATATGATATATTAGTATTTGAGTTGAAAGTAGATGTTAAATCAATTGATTCATTGTTGCTACCTACTTGAACGTTTTTCATCATGCCTATATCGTACGGCGTGAGATGATGTGCCCGTCTTCTATGTGTTACTGGAGCACCAGACCTCCAATGTCCAATCATCTCATCTTCATTTGTAGTATATATATCTGATACTAAAGGTTGTGAGAATCTTCCTCCCATTTCTAATCTAATCTAATCTTGTCTCTCTCTCTCTCTCTCTCTCTCTATATCTATCTATCTATCTATCTCACTCTATATACACCTCTATCTATATTATTATTAATATCTATCTGTAAATATGAGAATGTGTAAACCAAAACAACGATATCCCTTTTTTGGGTTGCAAATTGAATAAAAAAGGTAAATAAAAATACTCCTTGAATGTTTCCATTCCATTGATCGCCGGTATAAATAATGATTGTTTCTAGTACTTTAATACCATGGAAGAATATCCCTCCCTTTTTTTTATTTTATTTGTGTTGTGTATAATTATCGCTAATTTGAACAACTGTTTCTTTCCTTCATTTGGTCCTCCTCTTGATCGAGTTCCAACCTTGTTGGAATTAAAATGATTATGATTGTTGATTATAATCTTTGTCGCGTTTGTTTGTTTGGTTGTTTGTTTAATTTGGTCCAAATTGATGATCCTTTGTTGTCATCATATGATGATCGTTGTGTTGTATTTGTTCCATTTTTGTGTTTTCTTTTCTTTTTTTAATATATACAATTATTATTATTATTTTTAATCTATAACGTCGTTATGTTGATCCATTAATTAAACTTTCTTAAATTAGAAAGTTCATCTAAAATAGCTTGAATGGTATCATCATCGAATCTCTTGAGTGATACGATCAAACTCTTTGCTTCGTCTGAGTTTTCTGGACAGAGATTAGCCAAACTGGCAATCTCAAATTCGTGTAAGTTCTGTTTCGACAATGCAGCACGTACTTGTTTGATCGATGTCTTGTTCTTGTATCTACTGAATCTTTCAGCGTATGCTAATGTCTTGTGAAATGTTCTAACAATCAATGATTTATAAATGTAAGTTTTAATGCATCTCATCACCATCCTACTACTGAGTGATAATTACTGTGGAAACTCTGTTTGATTCTCGCTTTCAAACTCTTTACGACATTCTAAAAAGATAGCTACTTCAGAGTTTAACAAGAACTTTGCTTGTTGGAGATCTTTTGGGAATTGCAATGTAACCAAATCCTCCTCTTCTTGAATGCCTGCACGTTTAATTAAAGGATCTGACATATTCTTCTAATTGTATTGTTTCTGTATGATGATATGATTGATCTAACTTATAAATATATATAGCTTGCAATAAAGAAGAAGGATAGGATGATACAAAGAATGTCCTCCTCACCCTAAAAGAGTATTTTTTAATTTTTTTCTTTTTTTTTTTTGAAGTTGTCACTCGAATTTCTGTCAATCAACCTCTTCTTTATTCATTCTTTTTTTGTATCTATTGTAGATATATACATATATACGTCAAACTAACTCATTCATCAGAAAAGAGAGAGAGAGAGAGAGAGAAGATGTCAGCTAATTACTTACCACCCAATTTATTGTTGATGTTTCAACCTCGACATCCAATAGCCTACCTTAAACCAACTGAAAAGAAGAAGTTGCCAGAATACACTGGTATCTCTGCTTTCAAGAATACCTTTTTGACTGAAGCTGATCCAAATCCAAATCCAGACAAGATGGTATTGAGAGAAGAGATTAAAAGAGAATCAAGAACTAAAAAGGAGGAAGCAATCGCACAAAAGAATCAAGAACTCTTACAACAATGTACAAATCGATCAATCATCATAATAATAATCATCATTGGAGTTTAATATCTTACTAATAATGTACATTTACTTACTTTATATGAATAGGGGAACCACATACAGAAACTAGAGCAACAGGCGATCCATACAAGACATTATTTGTAGCTCGTATCGATTATAATACACCTGAAACAAAGTTAAAAGAGGAGTTTTCTCAATTTGGACCAATCAAAAAGATTAGATTAGTACACGATGCTGTCTCTGGTAAACCAAAAGGTTATGCCTTTATTGAATTTGAAAAAGAACGTGATATGAAAGGTAAATGCGACGGATATGTAAATAGATTGATTGGAAGACAATATCTAACTCTTACCTTTTTTTTTTTGTTTAGCTGCACATAAATATGCCGATGGTCTCAAGATTGATGAAAAGAGAGTGTTGGTAGACTTTGAAAGAGGAAGAGTGATGAAAAATTGGAAGCCAAGAAGATTTGGTGGAGGCTTGGGTGGGACCCGTTTGGGTGCGCCAGAGGTCAACCAAACATTCAGTGGCAGAGAATTGAATGAAGAAAGAGAAGCAGAGATTAAACGTGAGTTACAAGAAAAGTTGTACCAACAACAACAACAACAGCAACAACAGCAACAACAACAACAACAACAGCAACGTAATGGAAACGGCAACAATAATAACAATAATAGAGACAAAAAGCCATATGACCGACCACAAGGTGACCGATCATTCAATGATAGAGATGGTGGTGGTGATAGAAGAGAGAGAAACAATGGCGACCGTGGTGACAGAGACGGTGGCGACAGAAGAGACAGAAATGAAAGAGGTGGCGACCGTGACAGAAGAGACAGAGATGGTGGCAGCGGTGGCGAAAGAAGAGACAGAGGTGAGAGAAGTGATAGAGGTGGCGGTGACAGAGACTATCGTAGTAGTCGAAGTGACAGAAGCACTGGTGATAGAGAAAGAGACAGAGGAAGTGACCGCGACAGAGAAAGAGATAGAGGTAGCGACAGAGGAGACAGAGAAAGAGACAGAGGAAGCGAAAGATCCAGTGGCAGCGACCGTGACAGAGAAAGACACAGAAGTGGTGGCAGTGACCGTGAAAGAGACTACAACAACAATAATGGCAGCTCCAATGACAGACATCGAGAAAGAGAAAGAGACCATCACGGTGGTGAAGATAGAAATGGAACCAGAGAAAGAGAAAGAGATTTCTAAAAAGGAGAAACAACCAATACAAACAATAATAATAATAATAGCAACAACAATAATAATAATAAGAATAATCATGTATCATCAATATGTAAGATGTTGATTCATCTATAGACTAAAAATAACCAAACAAATGGTAGGTAAATATAAATAGATCATTGGTAAAGTATAATTATTTTTTTTATTAATGGTAAATCCTTAAGGACTTTTGTTGTTGTCGCAAGTACAACACCCAGATGGTAGGTGATCATCACATTCCATTTAACTTTTACATACACACTTTTAGATATTTCCAAAACCCCAAAAGTAAGCTTTACAATGACTTTCGCCCAAGGTCATTATCCAAATAAACATCATTTCCTCCCTCCACCACTAAACTACAATAATAAAAAAGGTAAGATTTGGTTGTAAGTATACCAAATTTTATCCACTCTGTATACAACTCTACAAATAAATAACAAAAAGGTAAGATGATTGATAGAATAGATGGACATTCCAGTAAGTAGGGGTGCTACTATGTGCTATCAAAGATACATCATCATCATTGTCATAGGTAGTCTGTCTTTTATAAATGTAAATATGTGAGTAATATTTTAGTTTCTTTTTTTTTTTTTTTTTTTAGCTTCTTATGCGGTAAGGATATCCATTACGTAAGTCCATGTACATTCTGGGTCTAATTTATTCTTTTTTTCCCACTGGTGATTAACCTTTTTATTTTTAGATGGAATATTTTGATTGTTTAAAGATACAACAAAAGTAAATTCAAAATCAATGTCAAAACTTTCCTTTTCAGGATCAATCTTTTATTGAGGTATGTTTTATAAATTAAAAACTTTATAAATGAATAAATGATACGTAAAGTGTCATTTAAATTTCCATCAAATCTTCGGAATCCTCTGGTAGTTGGTTGTCAATATTTAAAACAACTGGAGAACTATTACTCTGGTCTATTGATTTTGTATCTTGTTTTTTGGATACAACAATACCAACCTTCTTATTTTCAATTCCAAAATGTTTATAAAGTAAATCTAATGTCTCTAAATTAATTTCTTGATCCCTTTAAAAATCATTGTTAATACATATATAATTTAATATAAATGATTTCTACACATACCATTCAGTTTTTGATAATAAGTCGGTTGCTAGTTTGTTTGATCCGAATCTATAGATCATTTCTTGAGAAGCAAATTTTCTTACTCTTGGGAACTTGTTGGATAATAGACCTAGTAATAATCCAATTGATTCTGTTTTGATCTTGCTATTAAAAATATCTTTTGTAAAGTATGAAATTCTTTAAATGTAACAAACATCAATAGGTTAGTGATGATAGCAAAATGAAAAAAAGTTTAGAAACACTTACAAAGGTACAACTGAAAATAATAAAATGATATCATTACAATCTATGATTGATTCCTTTACTTTAAAGAATATTTTTTCGTTTGTTTCATTACTAAAATAATAGATAGAATTGTTAATGTTCATGTATTTCTTTTGTCTTTGTGTATTTTAACATACTTTTGAATTTGATCAAATAATTGTGAATTAAATAAAAAGGATACTGATTTAAAATTTGGTATTTTGGTTCTATCTATAGAGTTGCCCAAAAGTTCAAATGAAGTACCAAGTAAAAGGTTTCGATCGATTTCTTGAATGTTGGTGATGACGTCTTCAGCAAGTGATCTCGATGACCCACCAATCGATGAAAATAAACCAAGTAACAAGGGATATCGGTAAGATCCATAATTTAATACTTTACAAAGTCGAGGGAATGCCATGTCACTTCGAGACCAATTCATTATTGTTGGTTTTGGTGGTATGGCATTGAAAATGTCCTTCAGTTCTGAGGCATTGTCGATATATGATTCTAATTGTTGATTGTTTACGAGTTGGACAATCAACAAACAACAGGTCTCTCGGATCTTGTCTAGTTTTTCTCCAGCCAATTGCAACAACTTGCAAAAGTATTGAGAAAAGGAAGATTTTGTAATATTTGGTGATTGGCCACCACCATTCTTGAGGTCCAATAAAACCAAATCATTCAAAATTTGGCATGATAATTCTCTTGACCAACTTCCAATATCTCCACGTCTGTCAACACAATAATCTTCTGTTGCATCCATCAAAGATCTAAAGATTTTATCAAACAGTTGTAAAGTCATACGACTACGATCATAATAAATTGTGAATAATCTTTTTAAGGAATTTAAACTATTTACTCTTGTTTCAATATCTTTTAATTTCTATATATTAATCAAAAGTATTATTTTGAATTAGTTTCAATGATGGTTTTTGATTAATTGTCTATTTTGTTTTTTTTTTTAATACATACTTCATCGTATAAAGGATAGATAACAATATCTAAAATTTCATGATCGAGATAATATTGTTCTGGAAGATTACCAATGAATAAAGATGCTCCTCTTCTAGTTGATCTATTTAAATCATTCTTTAATAAATCACAATATTTCTTGACCAACAATCCCAATTGTTGTTCTTTTTCAAGAGTGGACATATAGTTTGTTAAAAATATACGAGTTGAAATGGCAGCTTCTTTTTGGATTTCCTCCAATGGATGTTGAATATTTTCTTCCAAAAAAGTCAATACTGTCAAATAAGAGTTGGACGATGAAGAGGGTGTTGCTGATAATGGTTGTGGTACAGTACTGGACCCTGTCTTTTTTGATTTTAAAAGTAGAATCTTTTCTTTTAAAGATAAACTTGCAGTACTTGATTGAGATGTAGAACTATTATGTGTTTCCAATTCAAGATTTAATATACAAATAACATATATTAATTTACATAGAGACAATCTTATATACATTCCTCCTTTTCCTTTAAATATTTTCTCATATTTTCTATCTGATAATATCATTAATATATCCTATAAAAAATGAAATGAAATGAAATACATTATTAGTATCTACAAATACTAATATGTCTATTTAATGTTTTTGTTACATACACTTTTTAAATTATTATTATTTAATAATTTTGAAACACCAAATAAGATTTGTGAAAGTGATAAAATGTAACCATGTTTAATATTCAATTCATCGGATTTGGTTTGTTGAATAATAAATGGTAAATGTGAAATACAGAAGCTTGGGTTGATGGTGGTGAGCTCTTTGAGTGCCTTTGAAGTCAATTGTCTGATTTCAATGTCCCAGTGACCAATCTTACTCGTCACAAGGTGATTAACAATTGCTTCATAATAGGGTGCAAATTTAGCAATGATGGGTGCAATTTCGAGATAGGAATGCTTTCTATTGCCAACTGCTTGGTAGTCGACAATCTGTACAATATCTATTCCGTGAGGTATTGTCATACCACCCAATCTTCCAACCAATTCTTGGAATGCTGCCGATGCCGACTTTCTACAATTAATTTCTCTGTCAAACATTGATACGACCAATAGATTGGATGCCAACTGCGAAGAAAAAGGTTCCAAAACACTTGGTTGATAGGTTCTAGCCAAAGCCCAAGCAACATAGCAAGCAGCATCGCGCACGTACGAGCCAACACTATATGACCCTTTTAAAACGTCCAAAAAAAGTGCCTTGTTGACCTTTTCCACCAAATTACCTATATTGTCGGGTAAAATCAAACCTCTTCTACAAAGTTCTGCCAATGCCAAGCATCCACCATGCCAAGCAAACGGATCTGGCTCTCCTTCAAAACAGGTGAAAATAAATCCAATTACTTGCTCGCCCATCTCTTGATCCAAAAGTCCGATGATTCTGCCCATAGCCTTGGCACTTGTCCAACGCACTGTTGTATCCTTGTTTCCAAGTCCATCAGACATTAAAATCTCGATGATTTCCTCGATTTTAGCAGAAGACTCTGGTGGTAGTTGATGCTCACCCTCTTGTTGATCAGAAGACAGACTGTGTTGATTGTTTTGTAAAAGACGTTTGATAACGCGTTGGTATCTCCAAGATGCATTATTGGTTTGGGGTAGAATAAACAGAGCCATTCGTTGGAGTAGTTTGGTGTATAATTTTTGGTTGACTCTTTCGATCGATGAGTCTTTGATGGATTGAATAATCTGTTGGTAGAGGTGATCATCGAGTTGTAGTAATTTTCGATCAGCTCTCTTGAACAAAAGAGACAGTGTTGTAGATATACCAATATTATACAGGTTTTGTTCGCTTGTTGCTACTTGTGATCTAATACCATCGATTGTCGACGTACACCATTGCAAGTATTGAACTAACTGATTATTCATATCTGGTCTTGTCAAGAGTTTTGATAGCAACTCGGCCACTGAATCTCTAATCTTTGATGAGTGACCCAATGCCATCTTGCACAGTCGAATGATTCTATTTGACAAACTGTCTTGATCATCCTCTGGATTCTTCCCATCGACCGATGAAAATTTAAATGGTATAATGATCAACAATGATAACCACAATGATATAATATAAATCTCTTCCCACTGGATTCTATATGTTGTTTTTGATGATTCATCATCGACAATGGTTTCTTTTTCTTGTGAATAAAAATCTTTTAATCTATTCTCCAAGAGCAATGTCACTGGTAATAAATCTTGTACTTGATGAGGAAATAGTTTGACAATCGTCTTTGCGCCGCGCACCTTGGTGCAGGTATACAATATCTTGTAACATAATCCAATCCAATGATCATCAACTTTTTGAGTTGTAGACAGTTTTTTTTTGTTGAATGAATCGTGAACATGATTGAGCAATGGTGTAATGATCATTGAAACAATATCACCGAGATACTTGTCTAATAGATTTGATTGTTCTTGGTATTGTTCCAACTTTATACAAAAAAACAATATTAGACAACATTTATAAACGCAAAGAGATTAAATCAACTTACAATAAAGGTTATTCTTGTGGCCATAAATTCGATATTATCATCTTTTGTAGTAGCAGATTGATAAGTTGAAACTCTTTGAACAAGTGCCATGAGTTCTTGAGCTTCAAAAACAAAAGCTCTGTGCTGACATTGTTCTGTATCAGCAAGTTCTGTCAATGATTCATAACCAGCGATCGGTATTTGATTGCTATAGTTGATTGCTGTACTGCGGTTCTCTTCACTTCCTTCATAAAACCCTCTTTGATCTGTCATTGTTAAATTAAATGATTAAACAATACAAAAATGGTGATCTAATAAAACTTCATTAATTTTGAAAAACATCTGATCAAAAAATTGCTAAATTTAGGAACAAGTTTTTTTTTTCAAAAGTCAAAGGAAAAAAAATGAAATTCCATCCATTTTTCAGTGGAAAGGTTTTAGAGCTAAGTCCATTTTTTCTCATGACCTTGAAGAGATAAAAATAAGAACTTCCAACCATATTATTATTTTTTTGGGTTTGTTTAAGGCCAAATTTTTGATGGCTTTTTCGAGGTTTATTTCCATACTCATCTTCTACAATGAATAGGTTACATAAATAATTTTTAATCTTGATAAACAACTTGTTTCTTCTAATCTTCTTTTTTGATGCGTTCTAGAACTTCTATTTTTTTCTCATTTGACTTTTGTGAGTGGGGGGTATTTGATTTTTTGGGGGATATCTACAATAAATAACTGGTAACGTTACAAATAAAAATGGTAAGTTTATGAATTTATCGAGGTTATTATCATTTTTATTTTATAAACTCAAGAAAATCTCAGGTACTTACTCTTTTTTTGTTTGGAAAATAATTAAATTAGAATTTCAGACTTTATTAAAATGACAAAAGATTGTGTTAGTTTTAATCTCTGCGTTATTCATGAAAACAAAGTACTTACACTTTTTTTAGATAAATCTGACTTGGAAACCTCCGAATCACTCAACTCACGAAAATTTATACAATGTACTTACAATTTTTGGAAACACTCTTAAGAGGCCAATAAACTACTAACCTTTTGATCTGAAGTGGTTAAGCAGTAAAAGGATTTGCTTTTCGAACCAACTTCACCATCTTTATGGGGTTATAAGCCGAATATTCGTTACCGGTGACGGATTTTTGATCAATCTCCATATCTACTTCCTGATTAGAATTCTCCTCATTTTCCGAGGGAGAACCACCAAAGTTTGAAGTCGCAGAACTTGGAGGTTGGCTGAAAAGTGAGACTTTTCTAACAAGCGATGAACTTCCTATTATTTTGGCTGGTTGTTCTGGTTGTTGAGGAGGAAGTTGTTGAGGAGGAGGTTGTTGGGGAGGAAGTTGTTGAGGAGGATGTTGTTGGGGTTGCGGTGACTCGCGTTGAGGTGGATGTTGTTGTTGAGGATAAGAAAAACCAGTGGGTTGAGTAACTTGAGTATGATTATACGCATACTGATATCCTGGTTGGAAATAGTTTGGATAATAGTAATATGGGGCAGCCTGGGCACCAGAAGGCTGGGAAAGAGGGATTTGTTGTTGGGGAGGGGGTTGTTGAGGTGGGATTTGTGAAAAAAATTGTTGGGGCTGGGGGATTGGTTGTTGTGGTTGAGGATGTGGTATTTGTTGTTGTGGATGAGGAATTTGTTGTGTTTGATGTGATTGTGGTGGTTGAGGATGAGGGATTGGTTGTTGTGTTTGATGTGGTTGTTGTGGTTGCGGATGAGGGATTGGTTGTTGTGTTTGATGAGATTGTTGTGGATGAGGATGAGGGATTTGTTGTTGTGGTTGCGGATGAGGGACTGGTTGTTGAGGATGGGGGTTTTGTTGTGTTGGATGTGATTGTTGCTGAGAAATAGAAGAAGACGAGGACAAGTTGGATGGAACTTGGGTCGGAGGAACATTTGCAGAACTAGCAACAGTAGAGGCTGTGGGATGCGGAGAAGTATGATTAGGGGAATTAGATGAGGATGAGAAGGAGGCAGACGAAGACGACGAAGATGGAACATGAGTCGAATGATGGTTCGGAGGAGAGGACGAAGAAGGAGAAGAAGAAGAGGATGAAGAAGATGAAGACGAACCATTGGGCGCCGCCGACGCACTTGAGGAAGATACCTGGGGTTTGAAAGCTGAAGAAAGCTTTGCCACACGAGAATCGTTGCTAGAGATTCTTGGATCTAGCATTGGGATTCTGAAAGGCTCAATCTTTGGCATAACTGGCACAGCCGCCGAAGGACCCTGCGAAGAGGGCGAAGGTACAGAAGAAGAAGATGTTGACGAAGGAGTTTGGTTGAATGGAGAAGGTATTGGTACAAATGATGTTGAACTGGTTTGTGATGATGATGATGATGTTGTAGTCGGAGTTGGTACCGATGTTGATGATGAAGGTGTTGGTGAAGGTGTTGAACTTTTTACAGGTTGAAATGATTGTGTAATTGGTGTAAATTGTATTTTAATTCTAAAAAAAAAAAAAAAAAAAAAAAAAAAAAAAAAAAGTGTGGAAAAAAAAAATGGTTCGTGAGTCTAACTCTGTGAGCTAGTGAAGAAATTATATACATACTCTGGAAATGTTATTTTAGTCGTCAAACTCAGATAATCGATGACATAGGTTTTTATTAAGCCCATTAACCGGCTTGGTGTGAATTTTGAAGGTAAGATTTCTAGGTTTTGGTTCCTAATTAATATAAAAAAAAAAAAAAAAAGTTAAATATAAATTGTGCATGTTTATGTGAACCTTTTCCTGAAGGTATGTATTATCGAAACTCAATAGGGGTAAAAATCTCACAACAATAAAATTCAGTGGTGGGTGATGTTTTTTTTCTTACGTACATTTGCTGAAAAAAACTTTTAAACAGAGGCTGACCAAACATTGAGGACATGAGCAACTTTTGACAAATGTCGCCAGGACTTTGGTTTTTCGATTGTTTATAGTTGTACCATACAATATAAAAATGAAAGTATATGACCTGCGTACATTCGTCTTCAGACATGATAAAACTTTTGAGATAACCCTCCAAGTCTGTAAAATTGCTATTTTTAATCAATTCCTCAACATAGTTCAAATCAAAGTATATTTTAGTTTCTTTCTGAAGTCTGAATGTAAAGTTAAGTAAAAAGAGAGAAAAAGAGAAAATGTTCGTTTTAGTAAAAAATAATGAGTAAACCCGTTCTCCTTGCGAAGCGTAGCTTTGTTTAACTCTAAATAAAAGGTTCTATTGTTTTCGCTGTGTTTGATCTATTGCTAGTGTACGTACTCTATTAATGATGAGGTAAAGTTATTGTCTTTTAAAAAAGACATCACGGAGAATATCTCCTCTGTTGTGCTACTCATATTTCTCTATATACAGTCAAGAACACTAACTAACTAAACTATCTCTATCTTTTTATCGCTTTCCCTTGTTATCTCATCGCATGAAAGATTATCAAATGGTTTTTGAATAATCTACCATTCCCTGTCTTTTGTAATGAGCTCATTGAATTTTGTTTTTTTTTTTTTTTCTTCTTTCGCAAACCCCCACACATAAATAGATGTTTCACCCATTCAAGAGTTTGATTATATTTACATAACGTAGAGATTTATTTTTATTTAGTTTATTATAATACAGCCAATAAAAGATAGAAACCATTGAAAATAATGATCATTTCCATCAAATAGATTGGAATCAGAATGGTGGAGATGGACGTAGTTTTGATAATATCGAGACCGCCGAGATAGACGAGCACCAAGTGAATCGAGACGAGGAAGGGGATGTAGAGATACCCGTGTAGCTTGTCGAGGAAAACCAACGTTACAAGCGAGCTGAGCGTCACAAAAATATAATAAAAAAATGGGATGAACCGGAGTGTCCAGTCAATATGGCACAAACCTTCGAGATGGATGACCTGCAACACTGTAAATACTGCCAAACTGACAATAAAGTTGGGTAGGTGGATTTCAATCATCTTTTTCCATTCGCTAAACGAGTGCATATCTTTACTCGTTTCTTTCTTTCTCTTGTCACGTCGCATCAAGTTGACCAATGCCAACAACACCCACAACGGTATCATAGCACCCCACCACGACAAGTTTCCATGTTCATTCTTCCAATATGATTCCAATTTGATTGCTAATGTAATCGAAAAGACGACAAGGTTGGCACAAAACAATACGCCCCATACAAAGTAGTTGAATTCATCTTCATGTTTTATAGCTAATATAAACCATGTAATAATTGCCATTGCACACCAAAATGGTGAAAATATTTTAATCCTATTAAGAAGAAGAAAGAAGAAAGAAGAGAAGAAAGAAGTATCAAGTGATACATATGTGTTAACTAAACTGATCAACTAACTAGATGATATATCTGTCTTTCGATAGTTACCATGAGAAATCATATAAACCACCAGATATTTTAATACTCATTAAAACGAGGAAGGCTATTAACAGACAATGAATGGGCAACCACATCAAACAATGTAGACAATGAAAATGACGTCTGATTTTACCTCTCATTTTTTGATGATATATTTATCTCTTGTTATACTACTACTACTCTACCACTACTATTCTACTACTACTACTGTACATATGATTGAAAGTTATATATTTATATATTTATGTGTTCTACCGTCGTATCCTTCATTTAAGATGAATCGATCAAGACTGTTATCAACATAGGGTTGAAAAAATTTGTGTTTTTTTAAATTTTTTCCCATGTTGGTTGGAAGTAATTTCGATGAATGACAAATAGTAAGTAGTAGTATATTTGGACTTGGGAAACAAGTACTTGAAAATACCAACACCGAGCAACATCGATTACTTTAAAGGTAAGATAATAATTGTCACATCATTTTATTTAACTTGAAAATTGAGTCATCCGGCCTTGGTTTTATATACTGTATAAAATTGAATCCAATGACCCAACCGATGATAAATTTTCAATTACCGACTTTGCGATTTGTTCATCATCTTTGTCAATTTGAGAACACACGACAACTTGTTTGTTTAACCTTTTTTTTTATTTATTTATATATATATATATATGCTGTGTAGATAGATAGTAGATAATCTTTATCTTAAAGAGTAATGAGTAGACTATTTAGTTCAGTAGATGCGATAGAGCTCGTTAATAGATTACAACCTGACCAACACTTGGTGTGGGGATGGAATAGCGAGGGACAGCTTGGCAAGATAACACATGGTGACGGACAGACTGTCGAGTCGCCGTCGCCGATTGGAGGCGTCAAGACGTTCAACACGGCGAATGTGGCGATTGGACTGTCACACACTCTGATGCTGTCGGCGGCAGGAAAGGTGTATGCCTGCGGAAAGGGTCGATATGGGAGACTGGGCATCAGCACCGAGCATTCAGTGTCGGTGCCGCGATCAATTGACAGCGGCGGCATGCGTGTGGTGAGGATCGCCGCCGGATCGTTTCACAGCGCATTCGTCACTGAGAAATGGTCGTTGTTTACGTTTGGAAGAGGTGATAGTGGACAGCTGGGACTGGGCGACCTCGAACATCGCATGGTGCCATCACTCGTCACTGCCAAAGAGATCGACGGGTTGGTGGAACGGGTGTCGTGCGGTGCCGACCACACTGTGCTGTCGCTGATCAACGGATGTGTCTATGCGATGGGCGCGAATGGCACATACCAGATATCGGGCGATCTCCCGACCACAGAGAAGCTCGCAACACCGACATTTATCAACATCAACCCGCTGCTGCAGACTCACCAAGCTCGCTCGTCTGACATCACGTCGATATCGGCCGGGACAGGGTTCACCGTCCTCGCCAAGAATGGTGAGTTGTACAGCTGGGGAAACAACGAGCTGGGACAATGCGGCATCAAAAACACGATGAAGAATGCCGATGGCACCGGTGTGACAGATCGCATCTACACGCCAACCAAGATCAATGTCGTCTTGTCCAAAACGCGTCGCAGCAAACCCGTCTTTATGCAGGTCAGTGCCGGTATTGAGCACTGCGTCGCGCTGACGAGCGATGGCGAGGTGTTTGGATGGGGTGGCAACAAGCAGGGCCAGATCGGCCAGATGTTTAGCAACATGATTGACATTGACACGACCACACCCATCCGTATTGGCGAGTCGCTGATGAACGAAAGAGTGACACAGGTCGAGTGTGGCAGCTACCACTGCATCGCTGTCACGAGTGATGGTAATGTTTATGGATGGGGATTGAACGATTACAACCAAATTTGTACAGAGAAAAAAGCAACCGATTCAGTCCCCGTCCCCATCAACCTTCGTATCCTTGTCGGTGCCGACGGGTCGCCCATCAAAAGAATCGCCGCTGGTGGTCGATCGTCGATGGCGCTTCGTTTCTACCCCTCGATCGTCACTGTCAGACCATCAACCTACAAGGACGACATTGAAGCAATATACACCTCCAACAGTTGCACCGACTGTGAGGTGGTTCTCACATCCAACAAACAACAGCAATCAGTCGACGTGGAAACAACAGTTCCCACACTATCACACAAACTATTCCTCGCTAGATCACCATACTTTTTAGAACCATTGGATGGTGGATCAAATATTATCGATATTTCCAAAGACCATTTCGAAAATATTAAAAGATTAAATGAATATTTAAAATCTTTATATAATGATTTTGATGATTTAACTTTACCAAAGTATGTTTATAAATAGATAAATTTAAATATATTAGATTATTTATTAACTTTTTATCTATTATTATTTTATTTTTTTTATAGTCATTTATTCCTTTTTGTAAATAATCCCTTATATTCTGATGTAAAGATATGTGTATCCAGCAATGTAAATGACCATGAGCCTACCAGCGCCACTTTTTCAGCACATAAATGTGTTCTTGTCAATCGTTCACCAAAACTTAAAAACCAATTGGAATCAAACTTTCAAGAGGGTATTAATAATACCATTTACATACACGATTCCGATCCCGATGCCTATTTAACTTTTCTCCATTATTTGTATACTGATAGAGTATGTTTTTTTCTAGAAGAAAAGAAAAGATAGGAGAAGATACACCTATTACTTACTAATTATTTTTGCTATCTATTTATCCATGTCTAGTTAAATATTAATAATGATAATGCCATTGATTTATTATTTTTGGCTCATTCTGAAAATATTGATCGATTTATTGATTTGGTTGTAGAGTATTTAATATCTGGAATTGAGGATGACAATGTTTCAATCTTTTATGGTAAGTTTACCCTCTTTATCATACAATGCATTGTAGATTATATATTAATAGATATATTATTATTTTTTTTTAGATATTGCATCATCTTTAAATATTAAAACATTTGTTGACCAATGTGTGTATTATATTGCAAAGAATATCCAAACGGTATCACAAACCGATTCATACAAAAGTCTAGGTCTTGAGAAACGACTTAAATCAATTAATGTTAGCCTTCCAGAGAAGGCATCAAAGGAAAAAGGATCATGTTCAATGATGTAACCGATTGTATAATAAATAAATTTGGTACTAAAAAGGAATTCCAAGACTAGTCTTTGGAAAAGTTTGAGGGGCATTTCTGACCTCATATTTTTGGTTAGACCGGTTGTCTCGATCAGTGGATAACGAAATATCAAAAATATCTTACTAAACGGAATTCGATTCATTTTTTAAAATTCTGTAATTTAATCGTGACATCATCAACTAGGAACATGTTTGGGTTCTCTCAACATGAATTCATTCTCTAATTATTCACATTATAGATAGTAGCAAAAAATGAATAAATCAATAATAGCATTATTTTTAATTATCTCTTTGTGCACCCAATCTATTGTCAATGCATCATATGCAGTTGACGTTAATATGGATGTATCGGGCACTCTTACATCATCTGATTTAAAGTGTTTGGCATCTCTTAATCAAAAGTTAATTATCCAAGGCTGGGATGGTGGTCACGGATTAAATCAACATTGTATGTATAAACAATTAATTGTTGAGTTTTTTTAACAGAGAATTATAACTAACCAAATTGATTTATGACTATTATAATAATAATAATAACAGTGGCATCTGCATTTAAATTGGCAGTTTCTTCAGGATTTGCTTCTAGCCCAATTGATGTCGTACGTATTTAAAAGGTTTATAGAACCCCCATTCTTTTCTTTTTTTTTTGTTACTAATTTGTATATATTTCAATCTACTATATATAGTATGCATTCTTTTGTTCACAATGCGGTGGTAATAATCCAATTAGTTCTGCAGTCAAGCAATTGGTTTCTTACTGTCAATCAAATGGTGTTAATTTTGGTACACTTTGGATTGATGTCGAGCAATGCACTGGATGTTGGGGTAGTACCTCTGCAAACACTGCCTTTGTGACTCAAGCCGTCCAAACTGCCGCTTCTCTCGGTGTCAATGTAGGTATCTACACTTCTAGTGGAGAATGGCCTCTTGTAGTTGGTTCACTTTCATCACTCTCGCAATATCCATTGTGGTACGCTCATTATGATGGCAATCCTTCTTTTAGTGATCCAAAGTTCTTCCAATTTGCCGGATGGAAGACTCCAGCCATGAAGCAATATGACGAAAACAAATCACAATGTGGTGTTTATGTTGATATGAACTATTTCACTGGTTCTTCAACTAGTACTTCTTCTTCATCATCAACTACTACATCGAGCGATAGTACATCTGGTGCAATTACCTCTGGTGCAAGTACCTCGGGTGCCAGTACCTCGGGTGCCAGTACCTCTGGTACCTCTGGTACTAGTGGAAATAGTGATAGTACATCTGGTGCAATTACCTCTGGTGCAAGTACCTCCGGTGCCAGTACCTCCGGTACCTCTAGCACCTCTGGCACTAGTGGAAGCACATCAGGTGGAGGTAGTAGTAGTACCTCTGGTTCGAGTGGAAGTACCTCTGGTACCTCTAGTACCTCTGGTTCAAGCGGAAGTACCTCTGGTACCTCTTCTACCTCTGGATCTAGTGGAAGTACCTCTGGTAATAGCGGAAGTACCTCTGCTACCTCTTCTACATCTGGAAGCAGCGGACAAGTATAAGTATAAATAATACTTTCTTGCTCTAATGCCCTGTGATCTTTTAAAATAATAAACCTAAAATGTATATACATTATTATCTCTTATCTTATTACATATATAAAATTAAACAAACAACGAAAATTCATCAATTGATTTTGAAAGATAATAAAAGTATTTTTGATTTTTTTTTGAAACCCCAACAAACACTCTAATCTATGAACATTCGTTTTTTTAGAATACTACTTTATTTATATTTATTTATTACTTAATTTTGTATTATAAAGAAGAAGAATAGTTAGTTTATTGTTTTATTACTATTATTTAAGAATAAAAGAGGACTATAAAAGATGTTAAGATTACCAAACTTTTGGGAAGACGAGTTTAAGCAACCATTGTTGTCAATGGATCAAGGATACATCAAGGAACAAGGTATCGATGCTTTGGTAGAGCGTGCTGCCAAATGGAAAGAATACCTAAGAATGTCTAAAGAAGAGATTGTTAAAATAGAATATGGAACTCAAGAACCTGATCGTATCTTTATTCTCGACGCTGAACGTACCTTTCACAATGAAGACAGTAAAAAGAAGTTAGTCCGTATCCTCAATTATATTAGCAAGAGGTTAGTATCATAATCATCATCATAGTCACAGTCATAGTCATAATCACACATCGTATACGAACGGTCAAGAGATTGAATACATATGTCAAGAAGATGAAGAGAGGAAAGAAGAGAAGAAAGAATTCAAAGAAGAAGAAGAAGAAGCAGAAGAAGTAAAACAAGATTGCTAATTTAAATTATCATTTTCAACAACTATATTCTACATATGGATCAATATTGACTTTGGTGATGGTTTTTTTGAATAATCTATCTATATTCTTAGTATTGGAGATTATCAACAAGGTATTTCATATGTAACCAGCTTTTTATTATTGACTTTGGATGAAGAAGAAACGATTGCAATTTTATTGAAAATTAATAGTATGTTGTTGCCAGGCTTTTGGAGAGCTGAAGCCGTCTCGTTTGGCACAGAGGCACAAACATTCTTTAAGATCCTCGACAAGGTGCACCCAGCCGTCACCAAACACCTCCAAGAAAATTTGATTGAGGCTGGCACCATCTGCCAACGTTGGTTCCTCGGTCTCTGCGTACATTGCTTGCCATTCCAAGAGCTCTTCCGTTACTTTGACGAATTCTTCAAGGGTGGACGTAACTTTTTGCTCAGTTTTGGTCTTGCCTTGTGCGGCATCTTGGAAAAGGAGATTTTGGCCACTAAAAATACCGACACTATCTTTGCTTTGCTCAGACTCGACAAGAGTGTCATCAAAGACAATGCTGTCTTTGGACGTATTCTCGACGACGTTCCATCGTACAGAGACCGTCTCAAGAACTTTGATCTCGATATTCTCCGTGCCGAATCCTACGAAATCATCGTCAAGCCACGTCTTGCTGCCGCCCAAAAGGCCCGTGAAGCCGTCGTCATCATCGATGATTGCCAATGGTGTCTCGATAACCTCCCAGAGGCATACTGCATTGAATGCGCCGCCGTCGTCTGCCAAGACTGTCTTGACATTGACCAAGACGAAAGAGGTCACAAGGAATCACACAAAGTCATCTCTATGGAAGAATATGAAGATCGTCTTGATGAATTCACAGCCGCCGCTGCTTCTGACAAAAAGGAAGAATCCACACCAGAAGAACTTACCGAAAAGATTTCAAATTTATCAATCTAAATTTAATATAAAGATAAGATAGATAGATAGAAAGAATAGATAATATTAATAATACATGCGATTCATAATAGAATAATAATAATAATAATAATAATAATAATAATAATAATAAATATTTAAACTATAAACTAAAAATCAATCAAAAATAGATCTAGTGGATTTAGATAGATAATAATAATAATGAAATTGATTTATATTGTATCCAATTTTCTTTTCTTTTCTTCTTCTTCCTCTTCTTCTTCTTCAAGCATTTTTTGTTGTTCTTTAAACCAATTGGGAAGGAGATTACTTGTTGGAAGAGTAACCAAATCAACGTCGAAAAGTTCAATAAATTGTTCGTTTACATATCTAGTGTTGCTCTGACCGGTAAAACTACCGTATTCCACCAAGATCGATGTTAGATTCCAATTTTGTAGTCTTCGTAGACATCCAACCAATACACCAGTCTGATGAATACCACTTGTACAAGTGATCATCAATGGATAATTATCATAATTCAATACAATCTCTAATGTTTCTTTAATTAATTCTTCTGTAACTGGTTTCCATGATGCATCTGCTTTCCATGCTTTTAATCCAAGATGTATCTAAAAAAGAAGAAAATAAAACATACAATTGTTAGTTTTGTATGAAATGAGTTTGATTGTTTGTTTGTTGTTATTAGTTTAACATACAAGGTTAATATTATTTTCTTCCAAGAAGCTAGTAACAGCCTTGATAGGGACTTCGGGTGATAATTGTACAACGGTTTTAAGTGATAATAATTTAATAAAGGGAAAATTAACGGGTATAAAGGAATTGGACCGATATAATTGTGGTTCTATGATACCAAACAATGCAGATGGTGATAATTGAGGTGGTCCCTGTTGGAGAAGAGACAATTTACTCGATGAATGAATTGCAGATGCCAATGTAGTCGGTGTTGTTGATTTTGATGATGTTGTTGTTGGTGCTACGATAGTTGTAGTTGAACCTAGTGTCGATGATGTTGTTGTTGTTGTTGATGTCAATGTAACATTTGGATTAGATGCTACTAGTTTGACAGTATCAGTAGTTTTAGTGTTGTTTACATTATTATTATTATTACTATTTGTTGATTTTGATAAAGGTGTCGTAGGTGATGGTGAATTTATATTTGTTGATGATAACAACGTTGATAGTGGTGTAAGATTATTATTACTATTGTTAATGTTATTGCTCAATGCTTTTTGTTGTTGCTTTTTAAGTGCTTGAAATGGTGAATTGTCATTGATCCTTGTATCTATACTACTACTATTATTGTTATTGCTATCTATTGATTGATCTCCATTACTATATACAGAATTTCCATTGTTATTTGATGATGAGGTAGGATCACTCATATTGTCGATAACGATATCTTCAAAGTTAGTGCAAACTTGAAATGATTAACACTAAAAAAAGAATCAGAGTTTGCGTTTGTTAATATTTATTTAAATTAAAAAGTTTGTTCAAAAATTTTTTTTATTTAAACATGAGGAAAGTCATATTTATAATTTATTATTATTCATCTTCTTTTTTGGATTTATTTATTTATTTATTATTATTATTATTATTAATATTGTTTCCAAAATATTTAATTATACTATCTTTATTTAAAATCTTGATTTAATAGTGTGGTATTATACCATCTTTGTGTAATACATGTGGTATTGGAGAACTACCCTACCGAATTTAATTTAGATTCCACTCGGTTTCCCAGTGGAGTGGGCGAGAGGACTGGATTGATCAAGGGTGGATTAAAAAGGGAGATGGAAAAGAATAATACTCTTTTTTAAATTTTTTTTATCGACAAAGTTTGGGAGGTGGTGTTGTTTTGCAAAGTGTGGACTCTTCATCAATCAACAGAAGAGAGAGAGAGAAAGAAGAAGACTACTTTGTTCGGTACCCACAAGTGTAAATAGATCTCGTTAGTTTAGTTAGTAGTTAGGTGTGTTTGTAGTAAATAAGAATAATAAGAATAATAAGAAAGTAAACAACAAAAGGAAAGAAGAAGAAGAAGAAGGATAATATAACAAAAGAAAGAAAGAAAGAAAAAGACAAAGAGACTACATTACGACAATTAAAAGAAGATAGAAGATAAAAGAATGAGTACAAGTACAACCTCAACAGCATCGACAGCACCAACAACTGCCAACGTTGCTGCCGACACCTCATCATCCTCGTCATCGTCACCAAGCTTACAATTTACACTTAGATCAAAGACGGTTGTGCAGTCGCAGACGTCACCAGCATATGGAAAGAACGACAAGCTCTACCACTCGGACCAAGCACAAGAGTGCAAACACATCGAATACTCGAGCGACGGCGCATTGATTGCATACGTCCACACGACACACATTGAGGTGCGTCGTAGCGAGAGCTGCGAGGTGTATGCTCGTATTGAGCGCCCCAACGTTTCATTTGTGTCGTTCTCGCCCATGAACTCTTTCCTGCTCACATGGGAACGTTGCTCGCCCGAGCTCAACAACAACGACAGCAACTTGGTCGTATGGGATCTCGTCACGTGCAAGGTGTTGCATCAAACCGGCCAACGTTACTGCAATCAGGATCAGTGGCCTTTGGTGCGTTGGACCGACGACGAGATGCTCGCCGGCCGTTTGGTGCAAAACGAGATACACTTTTACAACGGACGTAACATTGGACTCGCCGCCAAGAAGCTGCGTCTCCCCGACTTGGCATCGTTTGAGTTTGCACCAGGAGAGCAACGCGGTGGATACCGTTTCTCAGTGTTTGTGCCCGAGCGCAAGGGTGCCATCCCCGGTATGTGTCGTATCTACACCTACCCCAACACCAACGAGCACAACTCGCACATCTCCTTTTTCAAGGCCAACGAGGCCAAGATGTTTTGGAACTGCTCGGGTGACGCTCTCTTGATTCACACGGCCACCGACACGGACAAGACCGGCAAGAGCTACTATGGCGAGACTGGTCTGTGGTACTTGTCGCTCGACGGCACCTCCTTTTCGCTCGGCATCAAGGGTCCCATCCACGACGTCAAGTGGGCACCACACTGCAACAACTTTGTCGTCTGCTACGGCAACCCCTTCCAGTCGACCATGTTCAACGCCAAGGGTGCACCCATCATCGACTTTGGTTCGTTGCCCCGAAACACCGTCCGTTTCTCTCCCAACGGCAAGCTGCTCATGTTGGGTGGTTTTGGCAATTTGCAAGGAGACATGGACTTTTGGGACCTCACCAAGTTCAAGCGTGTCGCATCTACCACCGCTCATTGCGCCGTCTACACTGAATGGGCTGCCGATTCTGTGCATCTCTTGACAGCCGTACTGTCACCACGTATCCGTGTCGACAATGGTGTCAAGTTGTTCCGTTACGACGGATCGATCGTCTTTAAGCAAGACATCCCCGAGCTCTACCAAGTACTCTGGCGTCCACAATCGGCACACGCTTTTGCCGACTTGCCCATCGTCTACCCGTCCGCCACCCAGTTGCAGCAGACTAGCTCACCCCCACCCCAAAAATACACGCCACCCAGTCTGCGTGCACTCCAGGCTGCCGCACCAGCCAAGCCTGTCCAGTCGCCGTCCGAGATCAACCCACCCGGCTTCAAAATCCACATCCCACTCACCGGTGCCTCCTCCACCTCTCCCACAAACACCTCGCCCGTCCCCACCGGTGGCAGACGTCGCGGTGCAGGCATTGACACCTCCACCAGCGCACCAAAGCCAGCCGCACAACCACAAAAGTCGCCAGCAGAGGAGCAGCGCGACAAGCGTATCGCTGTCCTCGAAAAGAAACTCAAAGACATTGCAGATTTAAAAACCAGAAGAGACAATGGCGACCCACTTCCACCAAAACAATTAGGTATCATTGAAACAGAGAAAAAATTACAAGATGAATTAGATACTTTAAAGAAACAATAAAAAAAAAGAAAGAAGTAAATAATCACAAATAATCAAATCAAATCAAAACTCACATTAATAATTAAATCAAAATCCACACCTCCAGAAATTAATTAATTCCAACCATCAACCAATTACTCTTTTTTTTTTTTAAAAACAAATAAACTTTTAAATACTTTTTTAAAAATTAATAATAATAATAATAATAATATTGTGGGAGGGGAGAGAGAGAAAGAGAGAGAGACAAACAACAATTGTTATTATCTTTCTCTCTTTCTCAAAGAGTTTTGTGTATTTTTGTTTTTTTAAATCAATTTTTTTATAATTTACTTTTAATCAACATTCACAATTTAAGCTTTTCAGCAGCTTCCTTGCCACAGACGTGAGTCTTGACACCTTCCTTCAAGGTAGAGTCAATAGAGATTGGGCTGGTGGCTTCACCAGAGACCAATAACTTCCAGTCCTTGTTGGTTTCGTCGATAATCTTGATGGCGAAATCCTTGTCGAGTAACTTTCCATCAAAAGCAAATTGGTTTGGTCCCTTTCCGTCTGGGATCTTGTAATCTCTCAAGAAAGTATAAACTTCATTGATCTTTCCTGGCATAACCTTTTCAACATCTTCAATGGCTACAAAGAAAAAAAAAGAAATTAACAATGAGTAAACATGGTTGAAATAATAATAATAATAATAATAATAATTAGTGTTTAGAGATAGTTACTGTTAATTTGGCTAGCCAATGGATCAGTGACATCAATACAAAGAATCTTCCAATCAGTTTCACCGGCATCAATCATAGCCCAGACACCAAGTACCTTGACTTGCTTGAATTGACCAGAGGTACCTTGTTGGGAACCGATTTCACAGGCATCTAAAGGATCATTGTCACCCTTGGCGTTGGTGTTGGTGTCAACGTGTGATGGGTTTTCCCAGGTTTGTGGAAGAGCACCATAGTTGAATGGGTACTTGTCGTGAACGAATCTGAGCTTACCGTCCTTGACGTCTTGCTTGATTGGGTTCATGAAATCCTTGGTAGAGATTTCCATCTTGGCATTGGTTCCACGTGGGATTTCAACCAACATATTGGCAATACCTTGAGTCTTATCAGCCCAGATTTGAACGTCATGGAATGGTGATACAGCCTTGCCATCTTGGACTATATAATACAGCAAAACAAGTAATGTTAATAATCGTTTTGAATTGAATAGATAAAGAAAGAAAGAAAGAAAGAAAGAGAAATACAAGATCATCAACCACGATCAATCGACCAACCATCAATCACTTTTCTTTGACTGATTTGATTTGATTGGTAGATGGTCGGGTTTGATCGTATCTATCTATCTCTGTCTATTTATCTCTCTATTCATGTCTCTTTAGACTTACCAAAGTATAATCTGTATTCGAGAGTACCAGTCTCACCAACTTGCTTTGTTGTAATAGTCATGATTCTATTAAATGGATAAAGATTTATAATTATAAAACTAATTAAAATAACCAAGAGAATGTTCTTCATTCGGATGTTGTCGATGATCACACAGACAAAAGAAGTAAAAAAAAAATAAAAAAAAATAAAAAAATAAGATGGTATCGAGAGAGTTATATAATACAAAAAGTGTGTTCAATGATGATGATGACACATTGAATATGATACAAAGTATTTGTTACGGATCGTATCTATCTATTGGTTTCACCATTTGTTACACCACTCACTTTTTTGTTTGGGAATAGACTTACAAGCACAGTCACCAAGATTGTAAAGTGTTGCGTGAGATTCAAACTCATCACATTTTTTGGGACATTGTCAGAACTTTGAAAAAGGCGCCAACTAACAAACATTGTATTGCCGATCATCATTCACCAACCCAACCAACAACCAACTAAAGTGCACCATCGTATATTTACTACATACTCTAGGTTAGATTTAGTAGTAGATCAGAGTTATAGTAGTAGGTAGACAGAACTACTAGGAGAGAGAGAGATATACTAGGAGAGAGATGGGTACAACCGAACCAGATCTAGTTGCTCAGTTTGAAAAGGATTCAAACAGGAGAGGAGGCAAAGATAAAGATGACGAACAAGACCTTGACGACGAACATCAAGTAGATGATTTCGAAAACATAGACTTTTATGCAGTATTGAATGTCCCTAGAAATGTATGTAAATTGCATTATACATGTGTCACATGATGCATTATACTTACTTACTTTTTGCTTGTGTATGTGTTTGTTAATTTAGGCAACAGCAACAGAGATACAGGTAGCATATAAAAAGTTGGCATTTACATATCATCCAGACAAACAAATAGACCCTGTCCTAAAGGAAGAGAGTCAACACAAGTTTGCATTGATCTCGATGGCACGTGACACACTGTGCGATGAGAAACAACGTGCCATCTATGATCGCTATGGTATCAATGGACTAACAAACTCACAGGCAATCATCAACAAGTATGAAGAGGTTGACAACCTACTCAGAGCAATGGGAAAGATTCAACAAGGCATCAGAGAGGAGCGTGAGATGGACGGTTTCACCGGAACGGGTCAGCAAGACGTGAGTATTGGTTACTTTGCCCAATACCGGACCTTTTTCTTGGAGCGATTCAACTCCAAACAACAATACAACATCAAGACTGGCTTTTGTGAGATTGATATCATTCCATCGTTTCAACACAACTTTATTCAAAAGGAGGCAACCTTTGGATGTGGCACAGTTATACGCAAACCAATATCTCATCGTGTCCAAGCAATCTGTGCTGTCGACTTTCATCAAGGTTATCCACTACAATCAATGGTTGGACTTAAAACTGTAGTTACAAAGAACACGTATGTAATTTAATTTAAAGTTAATCGGAATTATTATATTATATAAAACTAATATATATATATATTTATTTGTTTGATTATTAGAATGGGTCAGTTGACACTTTCATCAATGGGATTACATCCAGTTGAAATAAAGGGATCATTAACAAGACATATAAACCCAGAGTTGAGTGCAATTTTGGAAGCTGCATTATCAATTGGAGGAAAGTCTGGTGGTATAATATTGCAGAAAAATGTAGAAAATAGAGTATTAAATGTTTCTGTAAATGTATGTTATAAAACAAAAAAAGAGAGATATATTATTATCTATATATATATATTTAAATATCTTAATGTATATTTTATTAATATTATATTTTAGGCAAGTACAGGAGTATATGGAAATGGAATAACAACATCAATGACAAGACAATTACCAATTTCAAAACGAACATTTATTTCATTTACAGTTGCATCAAAGGGGTTTGGATTTGGTAGTTTCAATACATCAATCACAAGAAGATTGTCAAAGGTTCTTGATATTGATTTCAGCATGAAGGTGACAAAATCAAAATTCTTGTATGTCATTGGTATCAGACACAAGTTCCAATCCTTTGAGATCCCATTCCCAATCTTTACCCAAGTATCCTATAAACATTCTCTACTCTTCTTTACAGTTCCATCTGTCATTTTATCATTATTCAAACTTTGTGTATTAAATCCAATTCAAAAGAGTAAAGATAAAAAGTATGTAAACCAATCATTTAAATATATATATATATGTATGTAGATTTATTAATTTCATTTCATTTAATTCATTTAGGAATCTTGAAGAAAAGAAAGAAAAATATATACATGAAATGGAAAAAGAGAAACAAAGATCATCTATAGATATTCAATTGATGAAACCATCGGTAGAGAAAAAGATTGCGACTGAACAATCAAAGAATGGTTTAATTATACAAGAGGCATGGTACGGAGTTTTGGATGATCGTGGAAGACCTACTGACCAACACCCAGACTTCCCATCTTATATTGATGTCACCATTCCACTTCAATATTTGGTAGAAGACAGCAAGCTTGAATTGCACGCCAACAAAAAATCTGATCTTCTTGGCTTTTGGGATCCACGTATTGGAGAATTCAAGAGATTAAAGGTTACCTATTTCTTCCAAGGTAAATTACATCAAGTTGTAATTGGTGATGAAGAATATATGAGATTACCTTTAAGATGTATGTACTATAGTATTTTAAATTTAATTACAAACAATTTGAATATTAACAAAATATTATTATTATCACTCTTATTTTTTTTAAAACACAACCATTCTATTATTAATAATACAAAAATACAGCACATTTAATGAATAATTAAAATAATAAACTTTATAATATTAATCAATCCATATCCAACTATACTATTTTAAGAAATATGTTAAAGTTGAGTGAAAAAAAAAGCGAGGGAGAAAAACAAATGCTCAAACCCATCTCATCAGATTTTAAGATCAATCTTTAATAAAGTAGACAGATATAGATATTTAGATAGGAGATAGAGGAGTGTGTGTATATATAAAGGATTAGAGAGGAAGGTAATAAGAAGGATGTCAGAGTTAGGTTTTTTAAATGGTAGTGGAGTTCAATTACCAAACTCACAACAAGATGTATCTATTCATTCAACGAGTAGTGCTGCTGAACACAATGCTGCATTTCATGTCCCTATAGTAACACCTGTAACATCACAACCATTATTGGGTCCTGATGTATGTATATATGAAGTAGTAGATGAATGATTAGTTAATAATACAATCAAATCAATTTGATGAATCATTTCTTATAATATAGGGAGGAATAGATCCAAGTAAATTAACAGCAAAAATAGAGAAACAAATGGGTATATTAAGATTTGAAGTGATTACAAATGATGGAGGAAGAAATTCAGAGTTATTGGTCAATTTGAAGAATGTCTTTTCAAAACAACTTCCCAAGATGCCAAGAGAATATATAGTGCGATTGATGTTTGATCGATTCCATCATTCGCTGTTGATCATCAAGCGTGATGTCGTTATTGGTGGCATTTGCTTCCGTCCCTTTAAAGAGCAAGGGTTTATAGAGATTGCATTCTGTGCCATCACATCGAGCGAGCAAGTCAAGGGTTACGGTTCATTCTTGATGACGCATCTCAAAGAACACAACAAAAAGACTGGCATCTTTCACTTTCTCACCTTTGCCGATAACTTTGCCATAGAGTATTTCCAGAAACAAGGATTTACACACGAGATTACCCTACCACGCGAAAAGTGGAAAGGGTTCATTCAAGAGTACGATGGAGGTAGTTTGATGGAATGTGTCATTCACATCAATGCAAACTATCTCGATATTCCTTTGATGGTCAAGGCACAAAGAGACGCTGTCGACCAAAAGATACGACAGATTTCAACGTCTCACATTGTGTACCCCGGTCTGACAAGTTTCAAGCCGGGTGAACGCAAGATTATCCCTATCGACTCGATACCAGGTATCAAGCAGTCTGGTTGGGTAAGAGCGGCCAACGAGCCCAACTTGGCACTACTCCAAAAGCTGTTGGCCAAGACACTGCAAGACATCAAGGACCATCCAGACGCATGGCCGTTCCAAAGACCGGTCAACGAGCAAGAAGCACCCAACTACCACTCGATCGTCAAGGATCCAGTCGATTTACAGACCATTAGTGGACGGTTGTCGTCTGGCGCCTACTATATCACCAAATACATGTTCCAAGCAGACCTAAAGAGAATGTGCGAAAATTGTAGAGTTTATAATGGAGAAGGTACTCAATACTATGAAATTGCAAATCGTCTAGAGAAATATATTGTCGGACAATGTAGTTCTATTCCATCTTGATAGATAGAAAAAAAAAAAACATAAATAAAATATAATAATAATATTTATAATTACCTTATTGATGAGATTTCTTTTGTTTGAATGGGTGGGTACTAAGAGCCCCTGCTAATCACCCAAATTATAAAGAGAAATCTCTTAATGTTTCAAAATTAATTTTAAAGAGATTTCAAAATATAATTTGGGTGAATGCGATTGATGGTTGATGGTCTGAGTATTCAGCTGATTCGTCATTGGCAACTATCAGATGTTTTCCCAAGGAATTCAGAGTGTACTAGTACAATAGACATTGATCCATGAGAATGACTCTATAATTCTAGATGAATCTATTTAAAAAGAGTAATAAATGAATTCACTGTTGAAGATATGTTCTGGCAATACGTCCAATAATGATACAAAGTTTAGTATCTCGATAGCTACCTTGATGTTATTTCGAATTTAGCTTACGGTAAATTTCCAAAAATTGACAAGAAATGTAAATACCTAGAGATGATATACACATAATATAAACGCCCAACCAGAAAACACTTCCTATCAAAAGTCTGATTGTTGTTCTTGTTTTGTTAATAGTCATTCTTATTTCATAGTTGGATACTTTTAATGAAATTGTTTGTATGAATATTAAATAGAGTATAAGTACAATATATTTTATTTGTACTTGCATACAACCTGTTTATAATAATATAGCCTTCGTATACGAATCTGCATACCATACTAAATTGAGATAGGTTTACTCTAGTCTGGTTCTTGTCCTTTGATCTACGAGCAATCCCCTACAATTTTGTTGAGAACAAATATATGACTCTAACCCTAACAAAAGAGTAACCTACCACTAATCTCTAATTACACCTCTTATTTGAGGGTATCTCCTTGCAAATGAGCTGTCTTTGTTTGGCCAATAAAACAAAAAATACCAAAAACCCAAAAAAATCAAAAAAAAACGAACGAGGAGGAAATGAAGCTAAATGCAACACGAACGATTATCTATCTCTATCTGTCTATCTATCTACATTAGTGGGTTGTAATATTTTAAATACCAACAACAACTAAAAGAAAGATGAAATTTGGATATAAATTCTCTAATCTTTTAGGTACAGTCTATAACAAGGGAAATATAGTATTCACACCCGATGGAAACACTCTTATCAGTCCGGTAGGCAACAGAGTCACTCTATTCGATCTTGTAAATAATTCATCTGTCACTCTTCCCGTCGAAACAAATAGAGATATCGACATTATTGCAATATCACCAACTGGAAAGATTCTCATTGTATCTGATGAAGGTATGATAAAAACAACATCTTTACAAGACGCGCTAGGAGTTAGTTGTATTAATAACCACCCACTTTTATTTCATTCATACTTTATTATCATCATTCATTTCAATTGTACATTACATTACATCATTATATATTATTGTAGCTGGTTTAACATATATCATTAATTTACAGAGACATGTTTGTCTTGGTACTGTCAAGTTTCACAAGACACCATCTTGTATTCAATTCTCACCAAATAATAGGTAAAAAATGATGAATGATGAATGATGAATGAATCATAAGAGTAAGACTGTATTAACTATCATCTCTTTTATATGTACATATATATTAATAGTTTGATTGCATTTTCAGTTGAAAGAAGAGTATACTTTTATAGTTCACCAAAACTTGAAAAGGTTGTTAAACCAATCACTCGTTTATCTGTTATTACCTTCCAAAGCATAATCAATCATGTTGGATGGTCACCTTGTTCAACCAAGGTAGTTGTTTCACTCAGCGATGGTAATATTGCCATCTGCAAAAAGAAAAAGGGTAGTCAAGCCATCTTGAGAACACAAGGTCGTGTTCCAAAGTCGGCTCACTTTAGTCAAGATGGAAAGAAGATTATTGTATTCACAAAGACTGATACTATGGAATTCAATCTCAAAGAAATCATCTCAAAGAAACAAAGAAAACAACAACAACAATTATTAAATAATGAAAATGGTTTATCAACAACAAAGATGCAAGTTGAAGATGAAAAAGATGAACAAAATGAAGAAGAGGATGAAGACATGCAAGAAGATGATGTTGAAGATGCTCAAAGTGACGATGAAGAAGAAGATGAAGAGGAGGAAGAAGAAGAAGAAGAGATGGAAAAGGAAATGGAAGATTCTGAAGAAGAACTTGCATCAGAGGATGAAGATGAACAACAACAACAACAAGTTAAAAAGACTAGTATTAAAAAAGAACCAGTTGTTAGACAATTTTGGAGAAGAGGAAAGAGAGTTCCAACAGGACCAGTTAAAGCTACTGCTTTTGGATTCCATCCATTCTCTGGATTGGCAGTTGTTGGTCAAAAGGGTAAGTTCATCCTCATCGACACCAACAATGAGTTAAAGAGAGCCATGACGATGAATCTCTCGGGTACGTCGATCACCTCGATTGCCATCAATCCAAGTGGAGAGTGGATCGCTATTGGCAGTGCCGATCTTGGCCAACTGTTTGTGTGGGAGTGGAAGTCAGAGACATTTATCCTCAAGCAACAAGGACACGCCTACAACATGAACACCATTGCTTACTCGCCCGACGGACAGATCATTGCCACTGGTGGCGACGACTGCAAGGTCAAGGCATGGAACACCAACTCTGGATTCTGCTACGTCACCTTTGCCGACCACGAAGCACCTGTATCGGTGGTCAAGTTCTCACCCGTCTCATCACAAATGGTGTTGTTCTCGGCCAGTTTAGATGGTAGTGTTAGAGCATACGATATGATCCGTTACCGTAACTTCCGTACCTTTGTGTCGCCAAACAAGACACAATTCTCGTCGTTGGCAATTGACTCGACCGGAGACATTGTCGTTGCAGGTTCGGTCGACTCTTTTGAAATCTATGTGTGGTCAATCAAGACTGGCAAGTTGACTGATATCTTGTCGGGCCATACTTCACCCGTTTACGGCCTCTCGTTCAACCCCGTCAACAATATCCTCGCATCTGCATCGTGGGACAAGACAGTCCGTCTTTGGGACATCTTTAACGACGCTCAAATGCTCGAATCGCTCGAACACACCTCTGACGTCCTCACATGCTCATTCAGCCCCGACGGCAAGCGATTCGCATCGGCATCACTCGACGGAAACATCCAAATCTTTGAAACTGAAAACTGGACACAAATCGGATTCATCAATGGAAAGAATGAGATCATGGGTGGCAGAAGTGCCAAGGATGTCGTGCAAAAGAACCCAAGCGGACGTACCTTTACCAAGTTGGTATTCACTCCCAACGGCAGCTGCTTGATTGCTGGTGGTGACTCCAAGTACATCTGCATCTACCACGTCGAACAACAAATCCTGTTGAAGCGTTACCAAACCACCTACAATCTTTCGATCGACGGTATGTTGGACTACTTTAAGAGCAACAACTTGTCCGAGTTTGGGTTCCATCTCGACACTCTTGACGGTGACTATGCCGAGGACGAAGAGCGTCGCACCAAATACCTCCCAGGTGCCCAAAAGGGTGACCTCTCCAAGCGCTCCACTCTCAGAAAAATCAAAACCTATGCCCTCGACGTCTCACCAACCGGTCGTGCCTGGTCTGCTGTCACCACCGATGGTATTGTCATCTATTCCCTCGACGATACTCTCTTCTTTGATCCAACCGATCTTACTATCGACATCACCCCAGAAACAATCAAACAAACTTTATTAGAAAAACAATATCTTAAATCTTTAGTTGTATGTTTGAAAATAATAATAATCATCTAAAAAAACAAATTGTTTTTGTTATTAATTTAATTTCTATTTCTTTAGATGAGTCTCAAATTAAATGAAAAGAAATTAATTGAAGAAGTATATCAAAGTATTCCACATGATGAAATTGAATTTGTATGCCATGAATTCCCAGTCTATCATATCAAGAGTCTTATTCATTTCATCAGTTTCAATTATGACAAACAACCACATATCGAACTTCAAATGAGATGGATCCTATGTCTATTCTTTTACCATGGAAAATATATAAAGACAAACTATCTTGCCATCATTGAACCATTACGTAATCTTCAAAAATTGGCTGTCCAAAAATATAATGATTTATCAAAGGTGTAAGTATTAACAAAACAAAACAAACAAACAATAAGGAAGTTAGTTCATTTTAATTAATCTAATATTATTTTTAGATGTGATGAAAATCAATACACTTTAGAGTACTTTGAGAAATTATCAAATTTGATGAATATTAACCAACAACAAACACAAAAACAATCAAATGGAAATGGAGTTCACCATGATGATGAAGAAGAAGAAGAAGAGGAACAAGAAGAAGAAGAAGTTGTTCAAAACAATCACAAGAAAAAACAAAACAAATTAAAATAATAATAATAAATAAATAAATAAAATATATATTTTAATTAATTAAGTTAAAGATCAATCAAAATTGATTACCGAGGAGGATTTTCCAAAAGGAACCGAGATAATTAATTAAATAATTTTGACATTGGGAATCAGCCGATTGATCATCATTGAATGATTAACATAATTAAAAGACATTCGATTCGATTGGAATATCTTTTGTTGTTTACTTGTAAAACTACAATTAGCTTTTTAGACGATCAACGAAAAAGTAGTTCCTTTCCATGTGGTAAATATTTTGATTGGTTGACTTTGTTTTCTCCTCTTTTGATCAGTAGAGAAAACAAAAACTCAAGTTTTTGTTGTTTATTGTTGATGATCTCGAGTTGATTCAACTAGAAGGAGGCACACTCAGATACAGAAACCGTCCCTGAGGGGTGGTGATATAGAGATCCTTGCATAGGTTGATGATGATGATGATTGAATAGAATGATCGGCTGACACATGTGTGTATACATACACACCATTGTAGAAGTAGGTAGTCGACCGTCGACTCTTAGACTGATCACTCAAAGTGATCTGGTTTAGCTCGACCCATCCTCCTCCTCCTCCCGCGTGTGTGTGTGAGTGTGTGTGTGAGTGTGTTTGGATTGAAAACACAGTGTGTTAATAATAGACTCCACCACCACGTCTCGATAGCACCACCACCACCAACCAGCACCACAGTTGTTGATCGTTTTGAATGACGAGCACCACCTCTTATGGATGGATGTGTGTGTTAATGGCATGTCTCTGTTCTGTTGCAAGCTCTTTATCTTAAATCACAGTCCTCATCCAACCATCCAACTAACCTAACCACCGAAACAACTCCCCAAACAACATTGGAACAAAGTACATATTGGATGGTGACCATGCATACAAACAAACAAACAAACCAAGCACAACATCATCAATCAAACAATCAATCAAATCATAATAATTGTATTAGCAAAAAGAAGGATTAGTGTTGTGTTTTTGTTTTTTTATCTATCTATCTATCAATCAATCTATCATTCCCATTCCCATTCCACACCACCATTATTGCTCTGGAAACCTATAAATAACATTCAAATCAAATTTACAACATTCTCAACAGCACATAATTAAAATATATTTATATATTAAAAAGGGACATCTGAACCATACATTTCCGTTTCCCATTACCAGCACTGTTACCCGAGTTTTTAATCATCATTACTCCATTCTTAAATCCATTCATTCATCCATCCATATTATTTAACGGCTGTTTAAGCAACGCAACTCAACAACAACAACAACAACAACAACAACAACAACAACAACAACAACAACAACAACAACGACAAAGACAACAACATCATCTACAACACAACGAATAATTATAACCTTTATAAATAGCAATTAATATTATTATTTATATCAATTATTATTATTTATTTCAATATTAAACAAAAAAAGTTAATCGTTTAATAATTTCTGTATCAACTTGATTAATCATTATTATCATTAATAATATATTCTATTATTGTAATCTATTTTATTTGTTTTAACATCAATAATAATAATTAAAGATCAAATCTATATTTATCCATTCAAATAACTTTTAAAAAAAAATGGTCAGACCAATTATCAAGAGATTAAAATCATTGGGAGATTTGAAATCCAAAAAGAAAGACGAAAACAACCATGAACAAGCAGAATGTAAAACCGAACGAGCCACCTCTCCATCATCGTCGGTCAACTCGACACCCTCGACTAGTGTCAATTCCACACCCAACAATATGACTCCATCTCTAAAGTCGCGCTCGCCAGACTCTTCGACGCCACCCATCAAGCTCTATTCGCCATCACCACTCTCTCGTGGAATGAGTGCCTCTGAATTCAATGCCATGCAAAGTGCACAGCCATCGGGAGACCGTCCTCCACTCCAAGGTCATGGTCTCAAGAAATTGCCACTTGAGAAGCTGCCAAACATTGCAGAGTCTGACTCTCCTATGCAAACACCCAAGACACCATCCAAGAGTCCACGTACTCCTCGTAATTTATTTGGCTTGTTGGCTCCTAAAAAGGAAGAGCCCGAACATGACGACTCGTACGATACGACAGGTAGCGACGACGAAGATTTTGAAGACGATGACGAGGGTCGTGTAGATTTAAAGGATTATGCATATGACAACGACAATGACGACTATGACATCAATGAAAGAGAATTGGTTGATGAAGATGGTGATGCTGTCGACTCGCCACGGGGCAAGAAATTAAAAAAGAATGTGTTCAAGTGGGTCAACCTCTTTAGCGCATTCCCATCAGTCGCTCCACTCCCAACCACTCCCAGAGGCACTACCACTGTCACCACTTCATATCAAGTTCAAAAGAAAAGAGAAGAGATTTATGTAGATTAAATCCAATCATCTTCTATCCATCTATCCATCTATCCAATCCACCGATTTTACACTATCTCTCCCTCTCTCACATTTCCAGAAAAATAATTAAAATATTATTTGGTAAGTTAAAAAATTACTTTTATAAACTGGCACAGTATATTGTATGGCTGGCTGGCTCAGTTTGACAGCTCATGTTTACTAATTTATTTGTTTGTTTGTTATTTTATAGATCATCTCTTTCAACCATTTTCATGAACAATTCAAAAAACCTTCCTCTCTCTCTCTCTTATTCACCACTCTCACCCAAATATCAACCAAAACAACTAGACTATTTTTTAATCATTTCTTCATTCATATTCATTCATAATAATATTAATATTTAAATCCTACTAGTATTATCGATCATACTTTATATATATTTGAATCATCGTACCATCAGATGGATCGTTATAATAATAATCTCAAATCAAATCACTCATTTCTCCTCTTTATTTATTAATTAAAATCGATTACCCCAACCCCTCCCTTCACACAACACTCTAAAATCTAGAACTTTAAGTTTGTAAGAATTTGACTAAACAAAAAACAACCAAACCACCAAACAACAAACAAACAAAATCAACAGTAATCATCAATCCCCACCCATCTCACCATCCACCACCCCTCCACTTATTTGTTCATTCCACATCCTCATCCTCACATCTCCCATCCTCCTCATCTTACTCATCCATCAGTTACGTACTACTAATGACGGACGATGATGATTTTCCTCCCTTTCCTCTCTCTTATATTTTGTTCAAAACAAGAAATAATAAAGCCACTTTTTTTTTTAAGTTGTTGTTATTTAACTATAATCATTAATTTATTATCTCTACTCTACTACCTGCCAATTACAAGATTATCCATAAAAAGTAAAATAAAATTACAGACAGACAGATATTTATTCAAATTGAATGGAGCACCCATCAACTATCACAACACTGGTTTCCAACTGTCAAGAGAGAAACACACCAATTTCATGAAAGCGTGAAATTTCCAAAGGACGAATCCCAAAGCAAAGCGATATTATTATTTTTGTTTTTTCGTGCAATTGTTGTTGTTTATGAATAGTCCAATCCTATTTCGTTTTCATTCATCTTATTTTTATACGCATACAATTGCATTTTTATAGCATTCTACTACTAGTATATATATAGACATATACCCCTTTACTTCCCTTCCCTTCACCATTACACTCTTCCCTTCCCTTCTCACCACCGTTATCTCGATCGTTGCGTTTGCGACTTTCCTACCCCCCTCACAAATCCATCGACCACAAACTAGTTTTGTGGTGGTGTGCAGTTAATATCAGTTCAATTTCGCGAGATTACCTACCTACCAGACAACCAACAACAAGAATAGTAATTCTTCCTCATCCATCAATCAGTCCACACATTCATACAAACATACATAAATACACACACAACTACTATTAGTAGTAGATACAGATACATACGATACGATCCGCATCTATTGGATGGGACCATATAGAATATAGACAGTAGTTGTAGAGAGAGAGAGAGAGAGATAACCAAAAAAGACAATCACACTCCTGTCTAATCGAGAAACACCAATCAATCAACCAAACAAACAAATCGGACAATATCAACATCAATTACACTTGATTCATTTCTTTATGAATCCCACCACCACCACCACCACTATCATCATCATCACTCATCGTTGATCACCGCCCTCTAGCTTATAAACAAAGACTTTCATATAACTTATCCATATATTTCTATTTTAGAACTTACCGACCGACCAACCAACCAACCAACCAATTCACCACAACTACCTACTGCTACCATACATACATACATAGAAAGCAACAATACCATTACTCGAATATTTCATACTACGATTAATTGTCATTGTTAATTGCCATTTCAAATAATAATATAATCGATAGCAACACTGATACCACACTTCCTTCTTCCTTACAACAGTAACATCAATACCACCCATACCAACATATACATATACATATATATATATATATATAACCTTGTATTTTAATTTATGTAAATATATATCCACAACAATCCACAAGTGATCACAACCAAGAAAATCAATCATTCCAAAAAAGAAAAAGATTTATTCCATAAATATCCCTATACAATACTTTTTTTATAAATTATATAATATATCAAACAACAAAAAATGACAACTACCAATTTCATTTCATCATTGGATCATCCAATTAGATTGGGAATATGTGCAATGGAAGACAAAGTAAAGTAAGTAAAAAATTTATGGAAATTTATAAATATATATATAGAAATTCCATCCATCCATTTATTAATCAACTAACTTTATTAAGATCAACACCAATGAAGGTTTTCATTCAAAAGATTCAAAAGTTTCAAGATATCCAAATCAATATATTTACATCCAAAAATATTGAATCCCCTATTGAGGATTGGCCAATTTGTGATGCATTCCTTTGTTTTTATTCACAAGGATTTCCAATAGACAAGGGTTTGTAAAAGACCAAAAAACATATGTTTATAGATTTATTTTCCTTTGGATCCAATATTTATTTATTTATATTTTTTATTTTATTTTTTATTTATTTATTTAGCAATCAGTTATTGTGATCTTAGAAAACCATACGAGGTTAATAATTTAAAGACACAAAAACTTTTGACAAATAGAAAAAAGGTTTACCAAGTATTAGAAAAACATAATATACCAACACCCAAAAAAATATTTTCAACATGTTGTGATCATTCATCTGAATTTATTGAACATGATGATTATATAGAAGTAAATATGTCCCAATTTCTCTCACTCTCTTTATTAAATATTCTCTTTATATTAATATAACGTTTTTTTTTTTTAAAACTAGTGCAAGGGAGAAAGAATTTATAAACCATTTGTTGAAAAACCATTTGATGCCGAAGATCATAATATTTGTATTTATTACCCAATGTCACAAGGTGGCGGTTGTAGAAAATTATTTAGAAAAGTTGGAGATAATTCCAGTTGTTTTGATCCAAATTGTAATTACCAAGAAAAATCTAGTTAGAATTTTATAGACCTTTATTATTAACTCGTTTCTTTTCCTTTATAGTAAACTCTATAAGAAGAGATGGATCATATGTATATGAAGAATTTGTAGAATTGGACGATGCCAAAGATGTAAAAGTATATTCCACTCCAGCAATGGCATATGCAGAGTTGAGAAAATCACCGTCTGTTGATGGACATGTAGAAAGAAATAATTTAGGAAGAGAAATGAGAACTGTTACTTTACTTTCAGGTATATATTTATTTAAACAAACAAAGTTTAGTTGTTTACCATTTTGCTTGAGATCATTTTATTCTAATATTTCTAATTTCTTTTCTTTTTTTCAATCTAGACGAGGAAACATCATTATCATTACGAATTAATAATGCGTTTAATCAGTTTGTTTGTGGATTTGATATATTGAGAACCAATGGAGTGTCGTATGTGTGTGATGTCAATGGATGGTCGATGGTCAAAGGTACCAACCAAGACAAGTTTTACGAAGAAAGTGGCAAACTTTTGGGTCAACTCTTGCAATCTGTTTTTTCACAGGCCACCACACCCGACATTAGAATCACCAACCAACCAATACTACCAACTCCATCACTGTCATCATCATCAAATACTATTTTTTCTTATATAGGCAATCATGCCCCTTCTAAATTCCACACCAACAATTTAAAACCATTTTGTACAAAACTTCCAAGTCGATAATCCAATCCATTATCATTTTTTTATATATAATATCAATGCACCAGCCAGACGGACAGACAGAAATCAGATTAAATTATTACTACTACTATACATTCGGATCATTCCCAACAATACAACAAGTATAACTTTTCAACTATTATACTTGATCTACAATATTTTCCAAATCAAAGGCCCAACCAAATGAGCCTTGTGAATAATAAAATTTTTACTTTCAAAGTATTACCAATGTACATTTGGCCATTATAAAGAATCATAAAAATAGAAAAATATGATTATAAATCTAGTTTATTCATGAATGTCAATTTAATATCGATATACGTTCTACATCTCTCTTTACTCTATATTTATTCTTTTGCTCTTTACCGTTTATTTAATTATTATTATTTCTTTGATCATTAGAGTAACGAGATTGACAGATTTGTTGGAGATTGGAATGTACAGTCTTTATCTCTGACAGAGTCGATGAGTTCAATTGGTTCTTTAATCTTGTTTGCATGATTGAGAAATTAAATGATATCTTTTTCAAGTGTTCATGTTGTTCTTTTAATTGGTTATTCAAATAGACAATATCTCTTTTAAACTCTAAACTTTTCATTATATCCAATTGTTGACTAATAGTAGCTGTATTATTATTATTATTTGTTGGTGATACTTGATGTTGTTGTTGTTGTTGTTGTTGTTCCTTGTTACCATTATTTGATGTACGTCCAGTATTTTGGTTTTCTCTATAAATATATATATAAACCATTTAAATGAATTAATAGATTCAATAAACCCCATCCATTCACCTCCTCATCTCATCTATCCCATCTATCCCATCCATCTGTTATTAATAGTATTATAAAAACTCGAGTTGGTTGAATCTTACTTTTGAGGAGTTGGTCTTCTTTCTTGTGGAACTTTGAATTGTGTATCTTTTGATCTTGTCATTGACACATTTGTTGTTGTTGTTGTTGTTGTTGTACCACTGCCACTTTGTTGTTGTTGTTGTTCATTACTATTTGAAGAAGCTACCGCAGTCATTGGACTGGGAGACAAATGGAATGACTTCCTTTTTAACATATTAGTACTACTACCGCTACCACCACTATTATTATCATCTTGATCAATATCCCTTGAATAAATATGTTGTTGTTGTTGCTGTTGTTGATGTTGACCAATTGATCCCCTTTGTTGTTGTTGTTGTTGTTGTTGTTGAATACCATCCATATCTTGAATAAATAAATAAGTTATTATTTGTTTGTTTGTATATTTGTATATCTATATGTTATCTATATATTTGTATATCTCCTATTTATTATTGAAACAAGTTAAAGAAAAATATCCATGAAACCTAGATTGATGATAGTAATTAATTAAAATGTTTGTTTGTTTGGTTAGTTGGTAGTCCAAGAATTAAATAATAATTATATAATAATTATAATTAATAAAAGTTAAAATCCAATGATGTCATGTCCTTTGGATCGATACCCTCACTCTGCTAATTGGCCAGTATAATAATAAATCCGATGATTCATTTGATAAAAGAGTGTGGTTGTTGGGGGGGATATATGATGCATCATCGACCTGACGTTCGTTGTTTGTTGTTGTACATACCAAATAAGTTGCAAAAGAAGCTACGAAACCCTCTTGGAACAACTCCCATTTTACATCTGAATCTTCAACCTCTAGAAACTTGGAGTAGTAGATTGTAGTGAAACCAGCATTGACAACGAAAAAGCTAGATATATATGGTTGTTAATAATCATTGATTGATGACTGTATGATGATGTTGATGTTGATGATGATGATTATGACGATGATTATGACTATCATTGACTATCTGCGATATGTATGTATGTATCGCATGACACATTCACCAATGATGATATCATCCTAACCCCAAACCAAACCAATTATACATACACAGCAAGACCAACGATACCAGTCAATGGCAATAAACCAGCAGCAACACCCAAAATCAATCCTAATATTTGACGAATCCAATGAACGTTGGTACCCATCTCTTTCTACATTAGTTAAGGACAGGTGTTAGTTATCTCTTGAGATGATGATTGATCGATTTCTCTCCGATGATCATCAGCAGATAAGTATACAATATTGATGATGTGATGACATACTTGTGTAAACTCTACATCAGTGTTGAATGCATTCTTTAATAACCACAACTGTGATCTTTCCTTTTTATCTTTATCTGCCATTCCTGTGTCTCTGGTTTGAATCATATGAAAATTGAGAGATCAACAAGCAAAGTGAATCGGGTTCATCAAACTTGCTCAGAATCACAGTTTTTTTAATTAATTAAAGATGTGTAATATTAGATTGAGTACTCTTTTGGTTGTATTGTCACAACTATGTATAATGATAGACAACATTAGATCTACGAATATTGAACAAAGAAGACCTATCTAGGTATCTAGTCAATGCCAGTAGTGGACTTATTGATCAGTAGCAGTGCAATGAATGAATCATAATAGCAAAGTCTCAAGGATCCTTGTATCCGTTGTTGGATGTATATATCTCTGTGTCTATATGTTAACATATACAAGCTGTCTGATAAAGATATCTCCAACAACAACAACAATCAATAATAATAATAATTAAATATAATTTAATAAAATCATCAATAAATAATGAAGAAAAAAAAATTAAAAAAAAGTTGAAGATCAAAAGATGAACATCGCACCACCTCATTTTATTAATTAAATAACCTAAGAAATAATAACAGAGATAATGGAGGAATTAGGTTTACTCCCACAAAAGGTATTTATCATCAACACTGAATCAAAAGAAAGAAAGAAAGAAAGAAAGAAAGAAAGAAAGAAAGAAAGAAAGAAAGAAAGAGTGTTACTATAGGATCGATAGAGAAAGAATACTAGACTCTATCTCTTATTATAATAATAGTTGAACAAAGCATTTGACTAACCACCTCTTTGTTGTAACTATAACTATCACCTATTAATTAGCCTGTTGTCTTGTCAAAACATGAAAGTCATCACCATCACCATCATCATGGATCAGATCAAGATTTGTATATAAAGATGAAGAACTTGGAGAGTAAATTAGACTTTTTCAACATTCAAGAAGAGTATATTAAATATGAATATAAAAATTTAAAGAGAGAATTACTCCACGCTCAAGAAGAAGTTAAACGTATTAGATCTGTACCACTTTTGATTGGTCAACTTTTAGAAATGGTTGATTCAAACAATGGGTATGTAGAAAGAAGAAGTAGCAATAATATATAAATGCCAAAAGGCTTAAATATATATATATAGATTAAAAACTAACCAATCAATTTTGATTAAAAAAAAAAAAGTATTGTTCAATCAACATCTGGATCAACATTATGTGTTAGAATCCTTAGTACAATCGATAGAGAATTATTAAAACCATCAGCCAGTGTTGCACTCCAACGCCATTCAAATGCATTGGTTGATACTCTTCCACCTGAATCAGACTCGAGCATTCACTTGTTGGGTGCCGATGAAAAGCCAACCGAAGGTTATTCCGATATTGGTGGTAGCGATATTCAAAAGCAAGAGATGCGTGAAGCCGTTGAACTCCCACTCACTCATCACAACCTATATAAGCAAATTGGTATTGATCCACCAAGAGGTGTATTATTGTATGGTCCACCAGGTACTGGAAAGGTAAATAATTAATTAATCAATCACACAACCACATATACATACAATTACTAACATTGTTATTTCTCATTTATTTATTTATTTATTTATTTATTTATTTATTTATTTATTATAATTTTTAGACAATGTTGGCCAAAGCTGTTGCTCATCATACAAGTGCATCATTTATCCGTGTTGTAGGCTCAGAGTTTGTACAAAAGTATTTGGGTGAAGGTCCAAGATTGGTAAGAGACGTGTTTAGATTGGCCAGAGAAAATGCACCAGCCATTATCTTTATTGATGAAATCGATGCTATTGCCACCAAGCGTTTCGATGCTCAAACCGGTGCCGATCGTGAAGTACAAAGAATTTTGATGGAATTGCTCAATCAAATGGACGGTTTCGATGTCTCTGTAAATGTAAAGGTTATCATGGCCACCAATCGTCAAGATACTCTGGATCCAGCTCTCCTCCGTCCAGGTCGTCTCGATAGAAAGATCGAATTCCCACTTCCAGATCGTCGTCAAAAGAGACTTATCTTCCAAGTCATCACCTCCAAAATGAATCTTTCCGATGAAGTTGATCTTGAAGATTGTATGTAGTAGAAATAATAGAAATTGAAAACATCATCACACAAACACAAACTAACTTTTTTTAATTGTTATCTCTTCCTACCTCTAGTCGTTTCAAGACCAGACAAGTTGAGTGGTGCCGAAATCCAATCTATTTGTCAAGAAGCCGGTATGCATGCCATCAGAAAGAATCGTTATGTCATCTTGGCCAAAGATTTCGAAAAAGGTTACAAGTCTGCCATCAAAAAGAATACCCATGAATTTGGTTTCTATTCTATTTAAACATTATAGAGAACAGCGGCAACTTAAAAGAAACAAAACAACAAAAATAACCATCCCTCCTCCCATTATGGTAAAAAATGTAATAAATAAAAAAAATATACACAACATTAATAATAATAATATATATACAAACATCTTTTGAATTATATTTATACATCTGATCAATACAAACAATCATCAATTAGGAACCCATTTTAATTGTAACGGAAATAATTATCAAGGCAAAAATAAATATTGAAAAAAAAACGACCGAGTAATTTATGTTTGAATGAATTTTGCTCCCCATTGTTTGTGTGATACATTATTAATAAGATATAGATATATAGATAGATAGAAGAGGAAATGGCACCACCACCAACAAAGAGTAATAATAAAAAAGCAGACAAGAAGAAAAAGGTCGATGATGAAGATACAAAGAAGAAAAAGTCGTCATTGTCTGACGACATTGTCAAAGAGGTAACAAAGAATGGTCCAAGATCGTTCGACCCTGAAATGGTCGACTTTGGAGACACTACACCTGCACATAGAATATACGAAACTACTCCTGAAGATGAAGATGATTATGATATCGTTGATGCAAAGTATGTGAAAGAATGATAGAGAGAGATAAGAAAGAAAGAAAGAGTGAACGAGTAAAACTAACCAACTACAACAAAACATTTTTACTATAGTAAACAAGGTGTTAGAATTAGAGGTGATATGCCAACAACATTTACAACTGGTGCATATGTTGGTAAAAAGAGTACTAGATCTGAAACATTTGAAGACCAAGACATTGATGACGATGACTTGATGGATAATAGTGATGGATATAAAGACTTTGAATTTATCGATAGTGCAATTGGAAACATTTCATCAAACAATGTAGACAGAGCCGATGACTTGTTTGCACTATTACAACAACAACAAAATCAAGAGAGTGACGACGAAGACGAAGATGGTGAAGAAGGAAAAGAAGGTTCAATGAAGTTGATGAATAGAATAGACGAAGATGAAGAGATTGAAAAGGCCATTCACGCAAGAAACCAAACCAATCTCTACGACGATCTCCTCGTCTCTAGAATTCATCTTCAAAGAGGTATCAATAGTGTAAACAAATTCCCAAAACCAGAAAACTACAAATTGATGCTTCAAATGAACGCACCTCTAAGAATGGAAACGACCGAAACTATAAATACCGCTAAACATTTATTATCAACTTTATTTGATTTACAAACTGTATGTAGTAAACAAATCAAATCAAAATATATTAGAAATTAGAAACAATAATATTAATCTCTATTTTTATTTGATTTAGGAATTAATTGATAGAAATCCAAAAATTGAAAAAAATAAGAGTAAAAAGAGATTAAGAGATGATACTCCATTGAATCAAATATGGGAAATAATAGATGAACAAAATCAAAGGTAAGAATATTATTATGCTTTTGATTTGGAAATTATTTGTTATTTGTATTAACCATTATTTGTTTGGTATTTTGTATTTATTTAGATTAATGAAAAACTCTTATGAAACGATTGAACATTGGAATAATAGAGTTAATATTTCGGGAGATACAACTAAAAAGAATTTAAAGTCTATCAATCAACCAATCCTTGCACAAATTAACAATACATTGAATGATTTTGAACGTTTGCAACGTAGAACCAAATTAAAGAGATCTACTTATAGAATCATTGGTGAAGAGGACCAACAACAACAAGAAGAAAAGAAAGAAGAACAAAAACCAACAACCGCTACAACACCCGATAAATTGGATTTCTATGACGAAGAGATATTTGATGATACCGACTTTTACCAAATCCTTTTGAAACAAATCGAAAGTAGTAATGACAATATGGACTATGTCAGAGAAGCCAAACAAATCATCAAAAAGAAGACCAAAACACGTCCCAACAACAACAAAATCAACAAGAACAAAGCCATTCGTTACGACGTCTATCCAAAACTTGAAAACTTTATGCCACCAGTCGCATCCACTCTACCAGACTGGAACATCGAACAACTTTATAATAATTTATTTGGTATGGCTTCTTCTTCTGTTTAAATAAATAATATAAATATAATTATAAATATAAATATAAATATATTATCATTTTTAAAAATAAACACAGAAAATATAGTAGTAGTATCAATGAAATAATAATAATAATATTTATATCTATTTATTATAAATCAAATTAATATTTGGATGATGAATCCAAAAAAGAAAGTGGTGGAGATAGGATCGAGGGATTGGATGTGCCACTCGTTTTGTTGTTGTTAAGGACAGGCATTGTTCGTAACGAGACTTGTTGGTCTAATCTCGAGCTCTTCACGATTCGTCGTTTTGAAAAAAAACAAAAATTAAAAAAAAATAAAAAAAAATAATTTTTTTTTTCGACTCTCTCACCTCTCACTCCTCACACTCTCTCTTTGGTCATAGAAAGTTGGAGAGCATTTCTTTTTTTCCACAGACCGAGAAAAGGTAAAGATTTAAATGTGTTGTTTATACATGTATAATATATCACCAATCACAATCGTATCACACAATATCAACTACAGCATCATCTAAACATACACCAGACACTATAGTTAGAGCATAGAAACGATAATTAGACGAACGAAAGAAAAGAAGAACAAACAATTTTTAGATAAACCAATAGAAAACGAATAATTAAAGAGATAGAATAGAACAACAAAGAGTGAATGAAAAGAAGAAGAACAATCAAATCAATAGATAATATGATCATGTGAAAGAAGAAGAAGAAGAAATTATAAATAATAATAATAACTATAATATAATATTTAGAGAGAGAGAGAAAAAGGGAGATAGAGAGAAGAGTGAAGATAAAAAAAAAAAAAAAGTTTTCTATTTTTAGTCAAGTTTGTTGTTTGTTTTATGTGTGTTGCAACAGGTTGAGTTGAATGAATGAACAACAAACCGAACGAAAAGGGACATCAAACCCGAGTAGTTCACAACACAATCAATTCCAATTCAATTCGTCGGGTTATCTTCCCCACCAGGTCTAACGTCTCGTTTTATTTGGTTGGCACACCATTCCTCTAATCTTCTTCATTTTTTGTTCAAAATAATTCGTTTTTTTTCAAACTTTCAATAATCGACAACCTTATTAATCGATTCTATCTTTTTACTATTTTATTATTAAATTTACTATAGTTAAAAATGTCCACGTAAGTTAGAATTGCAAAACAAATAATTAAAAGAAAGAAAAAAAGAAATAGAGAAAATTATATTGGTTCAAATCAAAATCTTTCGAATCAATCAAGACCAAAACAACAACAACAGCAGCAGGAAATGAATTCAATTTCAACTTCAACAACAGGATCAACATAATACAATCCTATTACATATTATATATATTTGTTTATTAATATTAATATTTCCATATATATATATATATATATATATTATTATTTATATACAATAGTGAAAACAAGTACAAAGAAGACCAACTCATGAAGGATGAGTTCGAAGGTACCTATGAAAAGGTTATCGATTCCTTCGATGGTATGGATCTCCCAAAGGATCTCCTTAGAGGTGTCTACTCTTATGGTTTTGAAAAGCCATCTGCCATCCAACAACGTGCCATCACTCCATTGGCCAAGGGTTATGATATTATTGCCCAAGCCCAATCTGGTACCGGTAAGACTGCCACCTTCACCATTGGTATTTTGTCTCAAATCAATACCTCCATCTTCAAGTGCCAAGCTCTCATTATTGCCCCAACTCGTGAGCTTGCCATCCAAATCCAAAAGGTCGTCGTCTCACTCGGTGAGTACCTCAAGATCAAGTGTTACGCCTGTATTGGTGGTACCAAGGTCTCTGATGACGTCCAATCGCTCCAAAGCGGTGTCCACGTCGTCGTCGGTACCCCAGGTCGTGTCCACGAAATGTTGTCCCGTGGTGTCATCACCCGTGAATCCATCCGTATCTTTGTCCTCGATGAAGCCGACGAGATGTTGTCCCGTGGTTTCAAGGACCAAATCTACGAGATCTTCCGTCTCTTGCCAGAAAAGATCCAAGTCGGTTTGTTCTCTGCCACCATGACTGAAGAAACCCTTGGCATCACCACCAAGTTTATGAACACCCCAGTCAAGATCCTCGTCAAGAAGGACGAACTCACCCTCGAAGGTATTCGTCAATTCTACGTCAATGTCGGTTCCGAACAAGGAAAGTTTGACGTCTTGACCGATCTCTACGAAACCCTCTCCATCACCCAATCCGTCATTTTCTGTAACACCCGTAGAAAAGTCGACTGGTTGACCAACAAGCTCACCGAGCAACAATTCACCGTCTCGTCCACCCACGGTGACCAAAAGGATCGTGAGGGTATTCTCTCTTCTTTCCGTTCCGGTATTACCCGTGTCCTCATTACCACCGATTTGCTTGCTCGTGGTATCGATGTCCAACAAGTCTCCCTTGTCATCAACTACGATATTCCAGGCAATCTCGAAAACTACATTCACAGAATCGGTCGTTCCGGTCGTTTCGGTCGTAAGGGTGTTGCCATCAACTTCATCACCAACAACGAACAAGACAAGATCCAAGAATTGAGCACTCACTACAACACTTTCATCCAAGAAATGCCAAGTAACATCAGTGACTTCCTCTAAACGTCTTTGTTGTAGCCGCCCCCCCAAGCACACGCCCCCCCCCCACCGCTTTGTCCCACCGCGCTTTTTTGCTTAAATTAATACCACCCCAACAACAGCCAACAACAGAAAACAAGAAGACAAAATACAAACCCTCCCCCAAAAAACAAACCTTTTCCGCCCATATCATCATCTATATTTTTTAAACAATTTCTCTTATTTTTATTTGTGTTTCGTTATTCGTTCCTCAAACACATAACAAAACTATAGAGGAATTGGCTCTCACCATCCTTTTGAAAATAAAATATATATATTAAAAAAAAAAAAACGATCACATCTGCAAATACTTTTTTGTATTTGTTTGTTTTTATTCGTATTCCTTTTTCATTAATTTGTGTGTTCCATATTATTGAAGTTATTACTTTTTGGTTGGACCGAAGAGAGAACAAAGACGACTCTTGTTCTGGATAGCAAACCACAACAATTACAACTACAATCAATCTAGATGGCTAAACTAGACCAAACACCAGACAAAAAAGAAAGAAAGAGATATAAATGTGGTGGTTGTCAGAACTACATTACTGATGGATGTAGAGCAGATTGTACAAAAAGAAAGACAACTGGGACACCAGTGTCTCCATACAAACCCAAATATTATAATAATAATCCTACCACACCTGTATCATTATCATTACAAAGATCAAAATCATCACCAACTATAATATCAACAACAACTTCTACAACCTCTACAACCTCTACAACAACTCCTACACCATCAATTACAGTCTATCTTACAGATGACCAATCTAAAAGAACTGAAGAGAGAATTCATTCTGTTTTAAAGGTTTGTTTTGAATCTCTCTTTTGATCAACATTGAAAACTAATAACAAGAGTTACTTTTAGAAATACTTTGGGTTTAATTCATTTAGAGGATCACAATATGATATAGTTTATCAGAGTTGTGTTTATCAATCAGATATATATGTATCAGCTGCTACAGGAGCTGGAAAGAGCCTTTGTTTTCAATTACCACCAATCGTACTAAGAAAGACAGCATTGGTTATTTCACCTCTTATTTCAATCATGCACGACCAAGTGATGAAACTAACACAAATGGGTATAAGAGCATGTCAATGGAGTCCACAGTGTAGAATTGGTGATCCAACACATCAAAAGTTGGTTGGAGGTTACTATTCAGTTGTATTCATGTCACCTGAAAAGGCAATGACTTCATTAGAGATTATTCAAGAACTCTGTGAAACTGATACACTGTGCATGGTGGCTATCGACGAATGTCATTGTCTCAGTCAATGGGGACACGATTTTAGACCAGATTATGTAAATTTATCTATATTTAGAGACATGTTTCCAAACGTACCAATTATGGCACTCACTGCTACCAGTACACCAGAGATTGAACGCGAAGTTATTTCATCTCTTAAAATGAGGAAACCATTCATATCTCATGCATCTCGAAATAGACCCAACATCTTTTATCAAATCATCCAAAAGACCAAAGGAACTGGTAGAAAAGAAAAGGATTGGGATGTCATCACAAAGATCATTCATACTATGCAAGAGAAACGTCCAAATCAATCAAATTCAACTATTATCTATTGTCCTACAATTGAAGAATCTGTTGAATTAAATTAGTTTGTATCAAAAAAAAAAGAAAAGAAAAGAGAATATCGTAAATACTAGTAGTCTCTCCTGCTGACACCATTCATTTATTTATTTATTGATTGATTTTAGTTTTTTAAAAACTAAACAAATTAGAACAGTTTGTTATAATTCAAAGGTATCGATGGAACAAAGAAAAACAATTCATAGAGATTTCTTGTATAATAATATTGATGTGGTGGTTGCAACCATTGCTTTTGGTATGGGTATTGATAAACCAGACATTAGACTAATCATTCATTACGGGCCGAGTAAAAGCATTGAAGAGTATTATCAAGAGAGTGGTAGAGGTGGAAGAGATGGATTGCCTTCATTGTCAATCACATTCTTTTCTAGACAAGATTTCATAAAGGGTGATTACCGAATTACCAAATCACCCAATCTCCAAACCGTTTCAAACACCTTTAAAAAGTATTCAGAATACAAATCATTTTTGCTCAATGGTGTGGAGTGTAGAAGAAAAATGGTTTTAAATGCTCTTGGTGAATCATACACCACTCCGACAGATGTTGTAGGTGGTTGTCAAGGTTGTGACAATTGTATCACAAAGAAAACAACCACTTCTCATTCCTTGTTGGATCTAACATCCGAAGCATTGGATTATTTAAATTGTATAGTAGAGATGGGTGAAAGTTTTGGTCCATCAAGTTATATTAAAGTTTTGAAGGGTTCCAAAGCTGAAAAGACAAAAAAACATATAAATAACAAATACTATAACAAAGGTACTTTGTTTACATTAGAGTAAGTAAATAACAATAACAAATAGATTGAAAATATTTAATTAATTAATTAATTAATTAATTATTTTCCTTAAAAGATGGTGGACAGCTTTAAATGATGCTTTGGTTCAAGAAAACTATCTCAAGCACAAGCTTGTTAGAATGTTTACTCTTACAGGGTTGGATGAAAAAGGTTGGACTGTCATTAGAAATAGTATGAGCCCAAACCATCGAACACCAATCCTCCTAAGACCTTCACCTATTTTAAAATCAGAATATACAAAAACTAAAGGTTATAAAGATGGCAATAACAAAAGCAACAGTAACAATAATAATAATAGTGATAGCAATAATGATAATAATAATAATAATAATAATAATGAGGAAATGAGAATAATTAGTGAATTATTTTCAGTTTTAATAGAGTATAGAAGAGTTGCAGCATTAAAAGAAGATATACCACCATTCCTAATATTCACAGAAAAGACAATTAAAATCATGGCAGAGAGAAGACCAGTCACAATGCATGAACTTCGAAAAATTGATGGTTTGGAAGAAAAAAAGATTGCAAATTATGGACCATCGATTATATCCACTATTCAAAACTATTGTACCTCTAGAAATTTACAAACCAACCTTGGTCAAGACATTGCCCCCAATGAAGAAGGAAATGATCTTTTTACCAATCTTCTTGATTTATTTGGTGGCAGTTTAAGTGGAGGTTCCATTCCATCACAAATAATAGATGATGATGAAGAAGAAGAAGAAGAAGAAGAGGAAGAAGAAAAGATCGATTTGGACAAATTGGATCAATTTGATTCGGATCAAGTCTTGGATGATTATTTTTATGGCGATGTGAAAGACACTCAGAGTGAGTCGGATCAACAAAATAACTTGAAAAGAAAAGGGGTTATTTTTCAAGATGAGGAAGTAATAGAAAATCAATCCAATCATTTAAAAAAGGTTAAAACTCCAACTATAACTTCACCTCTTCCTCCTCAACCACCTGTTCAAAAAATTAAAGAAGGCGAAGAATTAAAAACCTATTTCTACCAAGTGGCCAAATCAAATGAATCCATTCCAACAACAAACTTGGATGATGTTCACAAGTTTAAAACTATTGATACAATGTCATTAATGTCCTATTTTAATTCTGTTCGAAACAAATCGTATAGGTGGTCACCATCCAGCTAGGAAAAGATTAAATAAAATTTTAGTGACAGACAAGATGGATGGAAAAATCAAACCATATTTCTGGTGATTCTCTTTATATAGTATTGTTCAACATCATCTTACTAATTCTCATTTTAATAATTCATTGATTTAAAATTATTAAAAGGATCAAAACCTTAATTTGTGTATTATTGTGTGTGTATTTTACTACGATTTCTTTATTAGCCAAGATTTTGAGGATGAAAAAGTGTTTGAATTTTTTTTAATTATTAATTATTTGTTTTTTTATTCATACATACACAGATAGAGAGAAATAACTCAAACATACATATACATACTCTAAAGATGGACTTATTTGATGGAATAGAGAAAAACTATCAACATGTTTGTAATACTATTACGAAAAGAATCAAACTTCTACCTACATTTTCAGGAGGTAAGATATATATACAAATGATACTATATAAACGAATTTAGTGTTACGTTGTCTAATAACAGTTTCTTCCATTATATTTTATAGAAAGAAGAAAGATAGCAATTAGAGAAGCAGAGAATGACTTGAATGAAGCTATATCATATGTAATTATCATTAGCGATTAGTGTGTGTTGGTACAAGCATTTTTGATATTAACAATAGATTTTATGTTATGTTGTAATTGTTATGTTTTCTAGTTGACAGAGATGGAGAGAGCAGCACAAACCAGTTCTCAAAGAGTTATGTATCAACAAAGAGTAAAGCAATATCAAGCAGATATACAAAAGTTTAAGAGAGAGGTACAAAAGGCATCTCAATCATATGACTACAATTCAGGACAAAATGGCAATAATCCCTTTTCAAATTCACCAGAGGATTACCAATCACAATATGACAATCAAAGACAACATCTCTTACAAGGATATGATACAGTTACACAGACCTCTGATAGATTAATGAGAGTACACCAAATATCTGCACAAAATGAACAAATTGGTGAGGGTATTATGGTGGATTTGAGTAAACAAAGAAATCAAATTATAAAGATGGGAGATAAGGTAAGAAATCAAAGAAGAAAAGAAGAAGACACTAAATGAAACATATCATACTAATAACTATTCAAATTTATAGTTACATGAAACAGATGAAAATGTAAAGTCTGCCAGAAAGGTTATTGGCAGTATGGCAAGAAGAGTTGCAACAAACAAAGTCATTTTAACATTTATCATTATTCTTTTACTTGGTATCATTGCTTTAATCATTTGCTTAAAGTGGCTCAGATAGAAGACTCTCTGACAAATGTTATATTAGTTAAAAAAGTGATGATAGTAGTAGATAATGATAGATAATAATAATGGTAGATAATAATAATAATAATAATAATAATAATAATAATAATAATAATAATAATAACAGACACACAACAGTAGACAATCTAATTTTTTTTTGTTAATAACAATAGGGATAATAATTACACACATGGCAATAGATGGCTTTTTTTTTTTAAATGGGAACAAAACAATGGATTTAATTTGGATTGGAATGGTCGTTGATAAATTTATCACAACATAATAATAATAATAATAATAATTGATAATAGATAATAATAATTTAGTAGTTCACTCCTCCTCCCTCCTTCCAACATTTATAATCCAGTTTAATTTATATTATGTTAATTATAATAAATTCATTACAACAAAACAAAATCAAAAACAAAAACAAAACAATACTCTTGATCAATAGTAATGTAATAATATAGGAACAAATGGTATCTCTCCGTTTGTCCAAATTCTATTTATTGGTTTAAAAAAATACTTGTATGATCTTTGATTAATCATCAATTTGATTGGATGCTGGTCTACGTTTTTTAACAATCTTGAGTTCATCCAAATTCTTTGATACACCTTCATCATCGTCATCTTCTTCGTTGACAATGCAATCATTTAAACGATCTGATTCTTCGTTAATGTAGGATGGATTCTTTGAGATTTGTTCCAATTGTTGTTGTTTGGATTCGCGTCTAGATTTGAGGTTCTCTAACGATTTCATGAATCTAGTGTTTGATACAGAGGATTCAGATCTGGTTTTTGAAGCGAAAAAGTCCAAAGATTGTGATCCATGAATCGACACTTCATATGCCATCAATTTCATTTTGAATCCATCATTGACAGTCAAAGATTTGTCAGCGGTTGCTGAAACATGGGTCCAAGCCTTTTCCAATGTCCATTTCTTGTTTCTAATTAAATAAGCCATAATAACTGATGGCGATCTACTTCTTCCTTGTTTACAATGTACTAAAACACTCTTGAATAATGATTGTTGGTCAGAGGCAACTGGTGCATCCACTACACTGTCATCTCCTCTTTCCTTTAAAACTTCATCAATAAAATCACAAGCATCGTTGAAAAAATTTTCAATTGGTGATTTGGAACTGTCTGCAATTGGAATTCTAAAATATTCAATCTCCAATTTTGGTTGAACTGGTTGATCTTCTTTCTTGTCAGTTTCATCCTTTTTGTCTTCTACAACTTTGTTAAGCTCTTCATTTTCCTGTTTCTTCTCTTCTTCTTGTCCAACATTCTTCTTTGGTTCTTTGTCTTCTTGTTTGGACTCTACTACCAAATCTGGCTTAACTGGTTCCATTTCCATTTTAACATCTTGATCAACTAGAGTTGGTTCTGATGTTGATACCAATTTTGTTTTATCTTGGTTCTTTTCTTCATCCACCTTTTTATCTGTGGTATTATCTTCCTCTTTCTTTTCAGTCTTTTCTTCTTCATTTTCCTTTTTATCTTCATCTTCTTCCTCCTCTTCTTCTTCCTCTTCTTCCTCCTCCTCCTCCTCTTCTTTTTTAGACTCTTCTTTGAAATAACACTTAACTTCTGAAGTTGCATTGACAATTCTCTTTACATTTTTCTCCAAAAGCCATTCTTCATTTTTGGCAGCCACAAACGATCCAAGATAAAGACCTGGAATAATTTCCACACCCTTTGTTCTTCTTTCTTGAATGAGTTGGTACTCTTCCCAATCATCTTCTTCCTGTTGTCTTCTTGCCTCGTCTCTCTTCTTTTTGAGTTCTGCCTTACGCTTTCGATCCTCTGCCTTTTTAATACGTAAGAGTTCCTCCTCCTTTTCTTGTCTTTCCTTTTCAATTCTTTCTCTTTCTGCACGATCAGCAGCCTCCTTTTCAAAAAGATACTTGTGCACTTGTACGTCACCAGACAATGGCTTGAAAAAATTGGTCACACAGGTTTGGTGAAGTGCATCACCTTCCTTTGAATCTGTTGATCCTGTCTTTGTTGCCGTTGATGTTGGTGCTTTTGTTACAGCTGCATCTTTACTTGGTGTCTTGGTGGTGGCGGCGGTAGCAGTTGTCTTTTTCTCCTCCTTTTTATCACCAGCAGACTTCTTTTTCTTTGGTGTAGTTGGAGGAGCGACTGTTGTTGATGGTGTTGATGTAGTGGTAGATGAAGGTGGTGTTGTAGTGATATCCTTATCTTTGTTGTCAGTAGGTTTAACTGCAGCTGCTTTCTTTATTGGTTGGTCTGTCTTTGTAGCTGTCTTTGTAGCAGCAACAGGAGCAACAACAGCTGCTGGCTTTGAAGCCTGTGCAGTTGCAGGTGCACCAGGGTTGATAGATTTAAATACGAGAAACTTATCCATCACTTGTACTAGAGATTAAAACACTACAAGACAAGAGACTGAGAGAAGTAAAGTTATAATCAAAGGGAGGAGGTAATTGCTTGGAAATTAACAATCAATTAAATTTTTCCCTCTCTTTTTTTTTGTTTTAAAAAATTGATCAACGGCAAACGAGATTTAAAACAAATTTCATTTTGAAATTAGAAATCTGGAATGCAAAGATATATAAATAATAATAATAATAAACTCTGAAGATTTGCTAAAAATTATTGTTATCAATTTTTTTATTATAAAATATAAACTAATAAGGAAGGAGGAAATAATGGATAGATAAATGATTGAGATGAAATTTGATTAAAAAAAGGATGGATGGTTGGTGATGGATGGGGATGAGGTGGAGGAGAAGGATACAACAAGTTGAGGGAGGGGATTTGGTTTGTTGATTGGTTGGATGGATGGGATGGTTGGTGGTTGGTTGGATGGTTTGGGTATAAATATTGTTATTATTTTTTTGTTGTTATTGTTTGTTAGCTGTTGTGTTGTTGTTTGATGTATTGTTGTTCTACATGATTATTGATTCTATTCTATTTGTACACTTTGTAGATGTGAAGAAAAAGAATATTGATTCCAAATTATAAATACACTACATTACACCCTAAAAATTGTTTTGGAATTTAATTTCTGTCTCTCTTGAAATTAACCTTTAACTTCTTTCCTTCGACATGGAAACCATTCAAATTGTTGATGGCTTGAATTGCTGATTGTGATCTATCGTAACTTACAAAACCTAAATAAATCAAAAAGTACATACAAATATTAGTTATTTGATCCAATTATAATTAGTAATATAATTAATTACTAAAACATACCAAAACACTTTGATTGACCAGTGTTCTTGTCAATGAAAACTTTGGCACTAACAACGTTTCCGTATTGTTGGAAAAGGTTCTTTAACTCGGCATCACCATATGATGCTGGAAGGTAATAAATAAAGAGATCATTTGATTCTTGACCTCCTTGTTGTTGTTGCTGTTGTTGTTGTTGTTGTTGTGAATCTAATAAAAAAAAATAATAATAATAGAAATTAGTCAATCTACTCGTTTCTTTCTCAACTATCTTTCTACTTGTTGTTTCTTACAATCTACAAAACCACCATGGTTCATGTGGTTATAATTATTTCTTTGACCGAAACGTTGACCAAATGGGTTACTATTTTCATTGTTGTGTTGTTGTTGTTGTTGTTGCTGTTGTTGTTGTTGTTGCATGACGTCCATGTAGTATGGTGGTTGTTGTTGTTGTTGTTGGTAAAAGCCAGCATTGTTCCATGGTTGTTGTTGTTGCTGTTGTTGTTGCATTTGTGGTCTTGGCATACCAACCATTTGTTGTTTCTTTCTCTTTTGTCTCTCAGTGTCGGCAAACTTGACAATGATTGGAAGAGTTGAACCCTTTTGAAAATAAATAAATATATTATATTATTAGTTTATGGCAAAAGTATAAGTGAAATTTCGATGTTGTAATAATAATTACTGGTAAAGTTTGCTTAGAGTCCATATCTCTGATGGCTTCTTCGGCTTCTTCTCTCATTGAGAATTTGACAAAACCATAACCTTTTGGCTTTCCATCTGGCTCTCTGACAATGTTGATGTCTTCGATATTACCATACTTGGAGAACAATTGCTTGATTTGATCTTCGTTGGAAGTACCCAACATACCAACAAACAACTTTCTTTCCATTTTTTCAATTTCATTGTCTGAATATTTAACTTGCAATGGTTTGTTCATCTAGAAATAGTAGGAAAAAAAAGCGGTGGAATTAGAATTTGATCATCCCTATGGCTTTTGAATGATTTGTTTGATTTTTGGGATACTTTACATCACCAATGTATTGATTGGTTGCATTCATAGTGTTGATGGCATTGTCAGCTTCTTCTTTTGTTCCGTAGCTGATGAAAGCACAACCTCTTGGTACGCTAGTCTTCTTGTCCTTGATGATAGATATATTTAAGATACTTCCAAACTTGTCGAAAATCTCTGATAGCTCATCCTCCTTCATAGTGAGGGGGATGTGACCGACAAACACCTTAAAGCCTTGTGGTGGTGAGAATGATTGAGGAATAGTTTGCATAATTATTATTTATAAAATGAACACACAAGTTGATGTTGAAAAGAATAATAATAATGATGAATAAAGAGAAAAAAAAATATTAAATGAAAAGAAAAAAGACTATTCCTAAAATAAATATATATATATATAGAGATGATGAAAATATAGATATATGATGAAAGAAAAAGGTTAATATTTAAATTTTACTAGTTGCTGCTTATAAGTCTCCGATGATGATGAGCGATAGACGAATGGAATCTATCTATCTATTATTATTATATGAGGAGAAAGAATGGAGAAAAAAACAAGGACAACCGATGAATGATGATAATTAACTTTTTCAAAATATCATAATTGAAGTGCACAAAATAAACAAATAGAGGGTATCGGATAGGAGGGGAATGTTATAAATATAACTGCTACTGCTTTTTTGGCTTTTGCTTTTGCTTTTGCTGCTGATGAGTAATATCTATGTATCTATGTATCTATGTATCTATGATGATCTTTTTTGATGTCTTTTTTTGTTTTCTATATAAGATATAAAAGATTAAAACAAATAAAAAAAAAGAAAAAGGAAAAAAAAAAGATAAAGATAAAACAAAACAACAAACAACAAACAGAAAAACTATATAATTAATAGATTAAAGATAAAAAGGAGAACAGGTGAAGCAGTTGACTAAATAAATAATCAATAAAGGAAGGAGATACTTTACTTATACCCACCTCCTGCTGTCTCTCTTTCCAAAGCTTGCAATATTTTTTTTTTGAAGTGATGATCGGGTGTGTGGTGAGGTGAAGTGAAGTAAAAAGGAAGGAATGAATGAATGAAGAGAGGATGGGTGTGTAAATGACAGCCACCACTTGATACAATGGTGAGTAGTAATAACCCTAACCCTAAACCCATTTGGATTTGTGTGTGTCGTGTTGATGATCATCACCATCATCAGGTGTTTTTGAAGTTTGAGATCTATGATCCTTTCTTCTCCTCCTTCCTCCTGATGATAATATTATACTAAATAGAACTCTGTCTAACTCTTCCTGTCTATCTTTCTTATCTATCTATCTATCTATCTTTCTTGTCCATCTATAAGTTTGTTTGGTTTGGTTTGGTGTTGTACCTTGTGATAATGTGAACCAAACTATACTATTTTGTTTGTGTGTGTAAAGATGATGATGATGATGGTGTAATTTGTGTATAAAGGTGTCAATGGCTAATACTAACTAGTATAAAAGACTGGGGGGGCTGGTTTGATGTTAGTATATTCCTTTAAAATCTTATAATTGATCTTGCACCAATGAACATTAAAATTTGCTTTTGGACAGCAAAAAAATTAGAAAAAAATTAATATTTTTCGTGTGAAGGGATATTTTGGTTTCTTTGCAGCAGTGTCGCCTCTCTTTACCCGGGTATCGCGTGGGTGAACTACCAACAAAAATAGAATGATGATTAGAAAACTACCGAAACACAAAAAAAAATATCGGAAGAGCAAATGGGGCAGATAATATGAACGGCAAATATTATCTATCTATCTATCTTTTGAACTTCAAAAATATAATACAACACATATATTTTTTAAAGATATGTGCCCACCCGACAAAAAATTAATTTAATTTAATGGTATTGGGATAGATAGATAGTTTCATCGAACTCGTATTGTCTTAAGACATCCATCCATCCATCCATCCATCCATCCATCCATCCATCCATCATGACATCTACAAATAATAATAACAACAAGAATGTGGTGGATGAAGAATCTTCAAGCGATGTTGAAATAGTTGATCAACATTCATTGAATGGTGTGTCGTCGTCGTCATCATCATCATCCGTCTCAAACTTGTTGGAGACATTTCCTCAATTCATATGCACTGATATCAAGAATGTGATTATTGGTTATCTATCAGAGATTGGTATTGACAATGCTTTGATTCAATCATTAAACAATCAATTCGAATTGAAAATAGACAATCAATATACCTCGATCAAACAACAACAACAACACTCATTATTACCTACTACTACAACGACACCAATACCAATCAAGAAAGAGAAAGGTGTTGATCAAGAAGAGGAAAAGAATATTAATACAACTCAACTAATCGATTCAAATCTAACATTACTTTCAAAATTAAATGTATGGTCGTACATAATAATAATAGTCAAGACATGATTAATCTTGTCTTGATTGGATATAGATTAGATGATAACTCTTTTAATATTGTTGGTTTTATATTTAGAGTATATATCATGTAACTAATCAAAAGAGAGTAAATGGAAACAAATCAAGATTCAAAAGGCAAAAGATTACATCAGCACCATCACAAGTACAGACAATCTCTGGAGCACAACAACAACAATTAAACAAAGTAGAAGTTCAAATACAAGCACCGCGAGAAGAGATATCAAAGAGAATACAATCATTCATCTCTAGAAAGAAGATTGAAAACTCAGAGTTTAATACAAGAGTGTTTAGAGCGGCTGATGATGGACAAGATCTTGCTGCCAGAGTGACTGCTGGCTTGCCACAAAGAATCAAATCATCGATCACTGTCAATACAGAAGGTCCTGCAACTGCAACTGGATCAACAAGTGATGGAAATTATGTGCCATATGTAAATGAAAGATGTTCAATCATTGAAGATCATATTGGAGTTTGTAAGTTGCAACCGATATTGGTGTATAGGATCCTACAAACTTTTGAATTGAATCCCATTCCAATTACTAATCATTTTTGATTATTATTAGTGAAACCAATACCAACGGAAATATATAGTAGAGTTAAAAAGATAGAAGACAAAATTGTAGAGATTGAACAAAAGAATCCAGCTTTCTTTAGGGAGGTTTATGACCAACGTATCCAAAAACAAAAGTCAAATAGAACTATTGTTCATCAATCATCATCATCATCAACTACGACGACATCCATTCCTTCACCTCCAACAAAATAAATAAATAAATAAATAAATAAATAAATAAATAAATAAATAGACAATGAACACATGTCCCTTTTATTTATACAATATAATAACTTAAATACTTTGATTATTTTTTAAAAAATGATATTTTATTTTTAAGTTTAAGAGAGAATTTAAAATTCTAATTGAATATAAGATTTTACTACTACTGGCAGTATTATTATAATATGTGGAGGAGGGTGGTGGTGTTGGTTGTAATTGTAATTGTATATAGTTTTGGTTTTGGTTGTTGGTGATTATTATTATTATTGTTATTATTATTATTATTAAGGTTGAGTTTAGGCAACTCTTGGAATACAAACTTTGACGTCGACAAAGAGAAGAACGAGGAAACCAAGAATGACAAAGATGACAATGTTGTGAGCGTGGTAAGAGGAGGCGTATGGCCATTGTTTTTCGGATTGACGGAGGGCCATTGGAATGAATGACCACAAATGCCAGCAGGTCGAAAAGGCGAAACCACCGACAATGACGAGCAACCACATATCGTTTTGGAAACAATTGAAACGAAGGAAGGCAGTGAGCATGGCAATGATGTTGACGGCAAACAAAAAGATGTTGGCGAGGAAAAGACGAGAGTTCTTGATAGTGTCTGACTCCTTGTTGGAGGAACGGAAACTTTGTTCTGATTTACCTTTGTGATCCTCGATGGCGTTGGCGTCGACGTTGGCAAGGAAGGTTTGTCTCCAACCTTCAGTGACGACTGGCTTCTTGGCAAAGTCACGCTTCCAGTTCCACATGGCGAGGTTGTGACGTGACAACTTACGGGCTTTGAGCAGACGGACAATCGATGCTGATCCAGCCTTCCATGCAGAGATGTAGGTACCGGCAAAGGCAAAGAAAGTCTGTTCGGCACGCCACAAGTCGGTTGCTTCGACCCAGAGAGATGGGCCAGCTCTTCCGGCTTCGTATGGACGACGGGCACGCAACACCATGTACTGGATGACACGTGGCAATACCATGACGGGGATCATACCGACGAGAATAAAGATGATTGGATCCTTGACGACGATGGGGACGGTCCACACAGACATGACAAGTGGGGCAATACCGTAGAAAAAGGCGGTCCATGAGAGGAAGGGGTAGACACAAGAGTCGAGATTGTACATCATCTTTCTCCAACCCAATTTCTTGCGAATGTAACCCCATGGAGTGAGCGAGAAGATTTCCACGGCACCTTGAGCCCAACGCTTACGTTGTTCGAGTGTTTCCTTGATATCGACTGGAGCGGTACCGACGACAAGCACCTCATTGTGGTACCATGACTTGTAGCCAGACACTTGCAACTTCATACCGGTATACATATCTTCTGTGACAGAGTTGTACATAATGCCACCAATGTCATAGAGTGGTTTACGACGGAAGACAGCGTTGGTTCCGACGAATGGACAGGCACCGTTGGCTGAACGACCTTCCATGACAGGACCGTAAAACTCCATGTTACGATGACCGAGTGGATCGTCGACTGGATAGATGTTGCTAAAGAATTGTGGAGTCTGGACAAAGGCAAGCTCTTGTCCGTCGTCGGCGTAGAAGTAGGGGAGGACACGCTTGAGGAACTCCGGGCTTGGTTGCTGATCGGCATCGAGTAACGACATAAACTCAAAGTCTTGCGAGGTTGACTCGTTAAAGATGGCGTTGTTGATATTACCGGCCTTGTTGTGTGGAATGGGTGGTTTACGACGACGGAGGTAGGTGCACTTGGGTGAGATGACAGAGCCGCTTGGTTCAAAGTCGACACGGACGTTTCCAGCCGAGATTTCGTCCCATGGCACTTCTTGACGACCGAGCATCACGACATTGTATTGAGCCATGGCGAGTGCTTCGGTGTTGAGGAAACGGAGACGGTGCTCGTCGTTGAGACGTTGGATAAAGTTGCGGACGAATCCCTTCTTCATCAAGACGGAACGGATGAGTGGACGGAAGAAGGCGTGTCCGTGCCACATGGATTGGAGACCCTCGATCGAGAAGTTGTAAATCTTTTCACGTTCTTGAGCGGTAAAGGTGCGGTACGGAGCAAAGTTTTCCTCACGCATCTTGGCAATCATATTCTTTTCATAGTCTTCTGCTTCGGTCTCTTCCTCTTCCTGGATGTTGAACCAAGAGTTGAGGAGGAAGTACTCGATGAACCATTGCACCTCGCTTTCGATGACCTCCTTGGTAGACTGTTCGATCTTTTGACTGGTCTCGCAGAGGATGCCGTGGGGATCGTCGTCGGCCGAGGCAACGGGTGGATGGATGTTGTGCACGGCATAGATGGCCTTTTGGAAGAGCACGTAGAGGAAGTTCTTTTCTACGGACTGAAGATGCGCCCAACCACGCGACTCTCTAAAGTTGATGGAGTCGTCCAAGAGTCCGAGCCACAAGTTCTCAGAGGGATAGTCCATCGAGATGGCGGTTCTAAAGGTACGCGATACAATCAAAGGTGGTTCCTTGTAGGTACAGACATAGACCATGATGTTGGGGAATGGCTTGCGACGCTTGGCAAGGATCTGCTCGAGCGTGACGACGAGGATAAAGGTGCACGGGTTGGTAAAGTTGTTGAGATGCAGTGCGGAACCGAGGAACGAGATAAACTCGACGACAATAAAGATGATACTGTACGAGAAGGTGTACCAATCGTTCTTGTTCATGGTCCAGCCGGCACGATAGGCAAAGTAAAAGATGTTCCATAGAATAAAGACAGCCATGGTGGCCTGGAGAATGGAGTGCGAAAAGTAGGGCTTGACCTCAAAGACGACCTCACGTCTTTGCTCGCCGATAATGGTTTCGAGTGTCTCTGAGTTGTCGCGGGGTACGACGGCGGGCACACGCTTCTTGAGTTGCATCTGCGACTTTTTCTTGGTGGGGGTCTGTTGCACTTGCTGACCCTTTTCGTAGGCCACTCTTTGACGCTCCTTTTCTTCGAGCTCTTGAGGTGTCATGTCGGGGTCGACCAACGTCTCAAAGTGTGGCTCGTCGAGGTGAGTCATCGACGACGACGCCTGCGAGGGTGACATCATGTTGTCCTTCTTGCGGTGTTGCACGTTGGAGCTGCTGGGGCTGTCGTCGTCTCTGGGCGCAGCCTCGGTCATGTTGTCGCCGTTGCCGCCCGTCTGGTTGTCCTCCTCGTGCAGATTCATCATTGTCGTATTTCGTCGCTGCAACATGCCGCTGCCCTTGAGCTTGCGCACCGACTCTTTGCGCACCGCCTTGGACTTGACCTCGGCGGGCTTGTTCCATTTTAGGTTGTTGGCAGATGGTTGTCTGGGGTTCATTATACGCGAGTTGAGGTTGTGTTGGCTGTCCATGCGGTTGGAGGGTGGGTTTCCAGTGGATGAGGTCGACGCATTGTTTATAGTCGATGAAGGTGAAGTGGCGTTACTGTGAGGGGTATTGATGGGAATATCTCCCTCACCTTGTCTATCCATGTTTTTGTATGTCTTTTTTGTTTTGTTTTAAACCCTTCCTATAATTAAATAAATAATAAATAAATAATTAATTAAAACAACAAAACAAAGAAGTTAGATTGGTTCTTTGATATTTTTTTTTTTTTGGATATGGAATATTATTATTATTAATAATGTTGGATGACAGTATTTTGATTGATTGTGTGGGTGGTTGGTGGTGGTAGTGAGTGGTGGGTGTTGTACGATTATTACTAATATTTCCCTACTGGGTAGGGGTGGTGGTGGTGGTGGTGTATTGTATAGATGTAAATTACCTTTTTTGTTTATAGTATTATTTTTGGTTTGTATTTTTTGAGTCAAAGGGTTTTTTGATAGAGTAGAGTTAATAAATAAATATTAAATAAATAAAGTTACACAAAGTTGTTTTAAGGGATTGTGTAATTTTGAACCTATAATATATAAAAATTAATCTATATATTAAAAAAATTGATATTTAAAATTTAAATATTGATTGAATGATTGATGGAAATAAATGGAAAAGAAATAAAATATTAATAATGTGAATTAATAATAATTGATTTGATTTTTAAAAAATGAAATGTATAACAAATATAAATAAACAATTAAATGTAGGTTTGCTGGTTTGTTGGTTGGTTGGATGATGATGTCGCTGCTGCTGCTTAATTGCTGACGGGTGGTGGTTGGTTTAAAACATGATGAAGTTTGCAGTCCAGTATTTAGATGAGAAAATTATAACATTGCCATCGCCTTGTTTTGCTGCGATGCTGCTGCTGCTGTTGCGTCTATGAATGAATTATTCACAAATAATTTTAAAATTAAGCGTTGACACAAATGCAAGCATCTGCCACCCTATCCCCCAGCCTGTCAGTCTGCCTGTTTGACCATCCACAATCCAATTTCCAATCTCCATTCTCGCAAATGATCAAATTTCTTTCTTTATCATTCTTAAAACACACGCACACATGCAATCAATCAATGGATAATATTATTTGTTGTTGTGGAGTGGTGTGTGGATACAAATATTATTTGTTGTTGTTGTGTTGGTGACGTTTGGTGTAGCTAAAAAGTATTACTTACTTTTTTAAAAAAATATGTTCTCAATAAATTATCTATCTATGATGATGATGGTTAATGATGACGGGTAGGTAATGATTTCTAAACAATATTATCAAATTCCAAAATCTATCTATAAAAAAAATGTTGCAACAGATTAAATAAGAAAAAGAAGGAATATTAGTGTTTCTGTGTGTGTCTCTAACTTTATTACTAATTAATCCGTCATCCAAATATCCAATCCAATCTTGCACACACACAAACAAAACTTTGTGAATGATAGTGATGGATGTGGAATGGGATGGATTAATCATTCATTCATAAACAAACACAAACTTTTTAATTAATTGATTAAGCTTTGAACCTTTTTTTTTTTTTTATGGATATAATAAATAATGGTAACAAAAAGATTAATATATATATATAATGGTACAGATGGTAGAGAGAAATAAATAAATAAATAAAGCGTAGTAGTAGGGGTGAGTGATGGCGATGGGTTGGTTGGTTGGTTGTGATATACAGATATTTAAGAATTTAAACAATTATAACAACTTGTTGTACAATAGAGAGCGCAGTGAGCAATACAATAATAAATAAATAACACAAAATCTTATTCAACAATAGTATTGCAATTGTTGATTGATGGAAAACAAAAATAGGAAAGAACAATCAATAAATAAATAAATATTATTGTTAATGTTTGTTGTTGTCGGAAGCAAGAAAAACAACAACAATTATATAATTATAAATTATTATATGATGATGATAGTTAGTGTGGTCGTAATTGTGGTGGTGTGGTGGATTAATCAACAAATGTAGTATGTGTAGTCGGAACCTAACAACAATGTCAAAAATATATAAATGTTGTTCTTGTTGTTAATGATGATGATGATGATGATGTTAATTATAAATTAAATTATTATTATTATTATTTTGGTTTATAAATAAATGATCATTTGATTCACTCACTTGTGATGTTTGTTGTTGTTGCTGCTTTGCTTGTTACTGTTTTAAATGATGATTGACAGACTGGAGAGCAATGCTGCTGGAAAGCAGTATTAATATATATTGATAAGATAATGGGTGGTGGCACTGATTTGATTTGGTTTGATTTGAATGCTGATCAACTTTAGTTGTTGTTGTGATTGTTTGATAATTGACCGAAATTGGATGCTTCAACTTCTCTCTGCTGGCAGCTCTATTTGGTGGTATGTAGCACAGAATGAAAGAAACGCAAACAGACAGCTCTCTCCCTCTCTCTCTCTCTCTCTTTATATATATATGTGTGTGTGTGTGAGTGATTGTTGCCAGCATATATATGTGTGAGTTTTAATGTTGAAACTGCACTTGGATGGCAATGCACACGCATGTCAACCCTGCTCTCACCCTTTAGGGGGTCGTCCCACCACGAACACACGCACCAACATGAACAATATGCTGCTGCTGTTGTATGGGATGTGGACTCTCCTTGACCGAGAATGAGTGTGAGCCATATATATGTGATCGCCAATTCGATCATAGATATGGGTGGGTGAATGAGTGAGTGAGTGGTGGATGTTTTTGATTGCATTGCATTGATGTGGGTCAATGGGGGTTTTTGGCATGGTGGGTAGAGTGTTTACAATTAAACAAAATGGTGCTGTGTGGGGGGAAAATAATGGATATGGTGGGTTAGGGTGGGAACAACAACAACAAGTCAGTGTTATATGGTTGTTGTGACGATGTCCCTCGCTCTATGTGCCATCTTTTCCATACTATAATGTATAGTACGATAGCGCTTCCTCCTCCTGCATTCTCTACTCCTATCCTATTGTTAACCACTTACTACTACATTGTGTGTGTGAATGTATGAAGGTTTCTGATAATTTAAAAATAAACCATTTAATGGATACTTTCAAACCAACCAACCAACACCAATTAATCAATCAATCAACAAGCCAGCCAACCACAATTTCTCCGATACAAGATGATGATGATTGGATGGATAGAGAGTGGGTGAGTGGATGGATGGATGGTGTTCCGATCGCTGTGATTCATCCCCACCCCTTTGGTTGGTGTTCACACTACTCGAGTAAAGTATACACACACAACAATGTTCCATCATGATTCGCAACCATTCACATCCAATTTCTACTTCATGGTGCGCATGTTTGAATCTTATTTTTTTTTCCAACTCGTTACTCTACTCTCTACTACACATACCCTGCATCCACTGCTCGGTGATGTTGATAACGATGATGTTGTCGTTTATAGTGATTGATGATGATGTTGACGATGTCATCATCTTTACCAATATTGTGAACAACAAGAAATAAAGCAAGAAAACAAGAAATGCAAAAGTGCCAACAACAGACAAGTGCTATTTTTAATGTAATATCCAAGTGTGTGTGGGTTGGACAGAGTTGGAACAAAATACACACAGCCAGATCTGATTTAAATACCAACTGCGTCAGTAACCAACACAAATATATATTCAATTGATAGATTAATTGTTGGAAAATACTTTTAAACATTCGGAAACACATTTAAAAAAAAGTAGATGGAGAAACTCTGACACACTAACTGCGCAGTTGGTAGGTTGATTGATTGGGTGGTTGGAATGAATCATTTAAATCGATGATCACATTTAAACTATTATGTCATCATAATAAGAAAAAAAAAAAAAAAATCGATTTTGATTTGATTGATTCACATACCCTTTTTAAAAAAAGGTTAAGCATATTATACAAAGAATTCAATTCTTCTTAAACTTTGTATGTGTACGAATACCAATACTAACTACTAAATAAATAATAGTTAAACATGTGTGCGAAAATTGTTGGTGGTGAGATGGATGAATGGGAAATGGGATGAAAAGTGATTACCATAACAATATGTTTTCTTTTTCACCTGGGTTATAATGATTGTCAAACCAATAAATACTACTATCTACAAAGGTAAGAGATGAATAATTATTGGATTTGATTGGTGTACGATTGGAATTACCAAAGTTTTTGGTATCCAGGAATATTAATATTGGCCGTGAACTGGATCGCGATGGATTGGAATATATATGGATGATGGATTGGGAATTATAATAACAAATAATAAATAAATAATAAATATATATATATTGATTACCTACCCTATTATTATTATTATTATTTCTATAATGTTATATTCTTATTGTTATTATTTTTACAGTTATTGATACTTTTACTATTACACTATTATTATTATTATTAGTATTATTATTTATTCCAATGAATCAACTGACTATCCAACAAAAACAGATTGATACAATAATAAAGTTATTAATGAATGAATAATCATGTAGATGGTGAAAATAGATATGTTGTTGTTGTTGTTGTTGTTTGTTCCAGCTAGCTAGCTAGATGGCCGTGTGGGTTATTTGTGTTGTGAGTGTAGTGTAGTCGTAGTAGTCGACGAATAATAATATAGGTAATTAGAGATTATTATGAAAAAGACGATCAACAACACCCCCAACCACATACCCCCTCACTACACAATTATCAAACAGTTCACCAATTTCCACCACACCCCCGTCCCACAACAGCATGCGTACTACGCAGAGTCTGTCTTTTTAGTTGACATATCTTTGGTTATGGAGTTTTCAAACAATATTCCAATACAAACACATCACACAACCTCTATCTATAGAGATACTTTAATGATTATTATTCCTTCCTTTCAAAAAAAATAAACAACAAACACACCTCTCTATCACCTAAATATTTGAGAGATTAACCTCCTATTTGTGTTGTTGATAATAACAATATAGATTGATGAATGAACATATGATATAGTATATCTACTTACATTCAAGCTTGATTTGAGATTAGATATATAGATATCTATATTATATCTAAACTATAAACTATAATCCATTAATGTTGAGGAGGAGAGAAAGCATGTACATCTCCAACATGCATGTTTGTGTCACAAGGTATTATTCATTTTGATTGTTGTTTATATCTATCTATATACGATCATTGAATATATCTTTGTTACTTTGGTTAAAATTTGATGTTCAACTCGGCTCTGAGTAAACTTTTCAAAAAATTAATATTGATTAGTTTGTTTGTTTTGAAAGAAGGATGATACAAATATTCCCAACAGATATAGTTGATAGAAAGACAATATCAGATCAAGATAGAGTAGAAAGATTAAAAGCGTTGGTGAATGATCAATACCTACTCGAGAGGGGATTGACACTCAAGAAGAGTACGCATGGCGATGGTGTGGGTGTCTACACTACGAGAGCTTTTAAAAGAGGAGAGTTGATGATCAAGTGCAAGTCGTATGCATCACATCCTCGAAAGGAAGACATTGAGGTGGCATGTGACCGATGTCAAAGCTCGCCTGTAAAAGGTATTCTAAACGGCAAGCAAGCTGTGGAGGGGACCACCCCTAAAAGATGCTCGGCGTGCAAGATGGTCTATTACTGCAGCCAAACGTGTCAACGAGAGCAATGGAAGATACACAAGTTAGAGTGTAGCGCGTGGAAAAAGGCACGATCTATGTTTGGTGAAGCAGGCGCTACACCACACCCAACCATCCAGTTGATGATCAGATGTCTCATCAGGTCGCACCTAGAGTCCACCAGTACACTGACCAAAGACAGAGATGGAAACTTGGAGATCATACAACTGTTGGAACGAGATGAAGATAAGGTGAGACAAGCAGAGATTATATCACGAGGATTGATTGAAATGTACGAACAACCACAATCGGACAAGTGCACCAAGGTATTGGAGCAGTACCTTGGAAGTGCCGGGCGAAACATCATGTCGGATGGCACGTCTATACACATGTTTCCAGTCCTCTCGCTCATCAACCACAACTGCTTGCCGACGGCTGTAACAATATTCAAAGGTGAAAAGGCAAGATTGTGTGCGTCAAAAGATCTCCCAGCCGACACTGAGATCCTCATCGACTATATGGACCATTCCTTGTCTCCACTAGCCAAGCGTACCGCACTCGAAAGTACATTTGGATTCCAATGCAAATGTAAACTGTGTACAGACGTAGACAACGACGAGAAAAGATACCATTTTGCATGTCGACAGCCAAAATGTACTGGACGTGTCTTTTTAAAGTTGGAACAGGGACAAGCCAAATGCAATTCTTGTAATCATGTCAGTGACGATTGTCAGTCGTTCATTAATCGAGCCAAATCATTTGAAAGAAAATATAAAGCACAACTAGAGACAGACACCACTCCAATGTCACCAACCGAGATTGGTGCAATGCTTAAAATCTACTGTAGTATATTCCATCCAACCGACCCACTCTTTCTATGCATATTGAATCGCATTGAAACTTTTGTACCCAACAACAAAGAGATGCTCTTTCAAGCATTTGTTCCTCAAACAGTTCCCAGGTATTTCAAAATCTGCGAATACTTTAATCTTCCAATCAAACCAAATCATTGTACATTATTTGCCAATATTTCAGAGTTAATGTTGTAAGTATATTTTAAGACAAGACAAGTTAAACAGATATTTATTTATTTCCATTCACTAATCATCATTTATTTTATTTATTACTTTTTAAATAGTGATATGAATCAAAGAGAACCAGCAAGATTATGGTTAAAGTATGCTTATGATTTAATGTCTACATATAATCTTAAAACTGAAAGTAAATATGTACACACTATAGACACATTAATAAATTCATAGAATAGAATGTGATCATAATACTAGTTATGATGATGAGAAAATTTATTTACAAAATGGTACAAAAATCGTTGTTTTTGTTGTTGATGTTGTTTTTGTTATTATTATTATTATTATTGTTATTATTATTATTATTATTATTATTATTGGTATTGAGTTTGGATGAGGATGATGAATTACCGATGAGAGGTTGTTGAATTCTTGATAATTTTAAATATTGAATCAATGTGTCATCCAAACGAGTGCGACTATAATCTATTCTATAATTATAATGATTAAATAGATCATTGGGGATATGGAAAGGAGGGCTGTAGCCACAAACAAAGGTTTGGACATGAGAATAGTGTGGCAGTGATAGTTTTCTGATAAATCGGTCAAACCCTCCATCTTTGTATGATGGAAATTTGAGTTTGAATTTTCTGATATGTTTGTGTACAGCAAGAAAATCAATGTCAGAATAAAATGATGTAACCTTTGTGATAGTTTTTGGTAATTTCCATTTAGAGAAATCAGCCCTATTGTTTATAACCACAATATGATTGAGATTTGGGAATTCTTGTAGATATCCGTCCGGATCGATATAGTTGGTGTCAACTGAAATCTTGGTGATTGATTGTTTCAATCGTTGAGAGAGTAGATGGTATGTGGAAATATACTTGGTTGGAAGGCATAGTTTTTTGAGAGGCATGTCTATTATTTCTTTCTCCAATGTAGAAGAAGAATCATTGACCACTATATTATTAATACCAACTATATCCAATTCTGTTAGGTGTTTAAGCTTACAAAGATTTGATATATCGAATGCAAGATGACTTCCATGGAGATTTTTCGATATATCAATCGTAGTGAGGTTGGGTAATAATCCGATTATGTCTTGTAGATATTGTCCGTCCAAGAGTACCATCTTTGTAATGTTTGCAAGATTGTCTTTGAAATGTAGGAGGATATCTGGGATTACACCTTCATAACATTTTATAGTTGTAAAATGTTTGAAACCAACACAATATGGATTTATGACGTGTTTAGTGTCAGAGACCATATTATATCGACCCAAGTCGACAATTGAGAAACAATTCTTGGTGATATAATCTAATATATCTTTGTTGATGAGTGTCAATTGTAATTTAGATCGATTACTACCTTTCAAATCAAATGATAGTGGTTGGTATGGTTGAGTGTGTGAGAAATGAGTTGGACAATTATTCTTCATTTGGTTGAATCTCTCTACTTCTTTTTCATCTTGAAAAATATCATGTCCAATGGCAACCCATTTTTGGATTGTTTCTTTTTCATAAACACATGAACAACGTTCTCTTAATTTCCATGTCATTCCAATTATTTTATGTACCATTGATTTTGGTATCATTGAATAGTCTGATGATGTTAATGGCGATGAAAATGGTGATGATAATGATGATGATGACGAAGAGGATGATGACAATGGTGATGTGTTCTTATTATTATATTTGTAATAGATATTTTGGCAAGTTGCAATGCAAAGTTGTTCTTTAATGTATACTAATTTCTTTGTGTTTGATTGTACCGAGAATGATGAACCAAAATAATCAAATCCCATACTATTGTAATAGTCTACGTCCTTTTGGCGAACATCTGTTGGCGAGAAGAAGATCAACTTTTTTAGAGATGCTATCTTGTCGTAACTTGGAGTGTCTGTTCCATGCATCAAAGTCGTTCTTATCGTTGAGATATTTAGGTTTACAAGTGGAACAATGGATTTTGAATATAGGGTTTTGAGATAGGTCACTTTACGCACTTGGTTTGGAATGCTGACAACTGTGTCATAGTCACGATTGTTGGCGTGGATGTGTCGAAGGCTTGGAAAGTCGATTGGATCCAAGTTGATCTCTGGCCAAAGTGAAATGACTTGAAGATTTTGTTTGAATTCTTTTCTGAGGCAATTCCAATCAAAGGAATGGGGAAGAATAATCTTTGTTAGACATGACGATGATGATGTCGTCTGAATAAGGTTGCCAATTTTGAATGCGTTCTCACTCTCTATAGTATGATAAATCTCACTGGTATTCTTTTTTGCAAGGTAGATTGATGGTATCGTTTTCAGTGGACCGTTAAAGAGATCAATCAACACTGATTCACCGATTTCACAATTGAAAATGATCGATCGAAGAGATGGTGTCAAATCAACCAATGATTTGATGGTTGAAGACTTTTCGACGAGATGGAAACAGTTGATAGATATCTTTTCAACATTCTTTAAAAACTCTTTAGCCGATGAGTAGGATGAGGGGGAGTGAGACGACCTCATAAAGAAGAGTTGAGTGTCAGATGATGGAGAGACTAGTGTCAGTGTCTTTGGTTGTTTGATGAGACAATAGTTGTTGGTGATATGACTCCACGTATCTGCTGTTGGGTCCATGACAATGTCGGTGAGGAGTTTTGTTGAAATAAATGAAAATACTCTCTTGGACAATAGTGCCATGCTGTGCAACCAAATACAGCTCTCTCGTGATACCTGGTAAAACGATGACTTGCTGAGAACAAAGTTTGGTTGGTAACCTTGATCAAGACTGAATCGATGAAGAGGACACAGTTGATCTCGAGTAAGAGAGTTATGTTTCATCTCGCTTTGAAGCACCATGTTGACATGAAGTACCGATTGATGTTGTGGATCAAAATCACTATGATAGGTCAATGGTCTCGATCGAGTTTCATGGGTTCTAAACAATGCATCGCTGTTGACACAAGTACATCGAGTGTGATGGTGACTGGCAAGAGTCAATATACGCTGAATGATTGGCCACGGTAGAGTATACTCTAATGCACCACGATTGTAATCATCCATCTTGTTGTGCAATTGATCTTTTGTCTTGATGATTGGAAACTGTTTCTTTACATGAGCGAGCAATATTTCGTTGATCATTTGTTCAGGTGTATCCATTCTTCTTCCCATAGGTACACCCAATTGAAAGCATATTTCTATAAGTTCGCTCTTACTCAACTGACGCAACTGTCTTTCAGTATCATATCGAATGGTAGAGTGACGACCTGCAATACCGGCAATGTCATCTTTGCTCTTCTTCATGATTGTACTTTATTGTCTACAATACTTATTATTATTATTATTATTATTATTATTGATAATGATTCATTCTCTCTTTCAAATGAAGATCATGAACCTAAAACAACAAATTTGTAAAAAAAAAAGAAAATTAAAAACAAATTAATTATTTTATTTGATGTAAAGTCTAAACAAAAAACAAGAAAATATTTATTATATTATTATATCAAGTAATTATATTATATTTATTATTATATTGGACTTGAGTAAACTACAAGAAAAATGAAATAATTAAAGATGCAAATTAATTTAACCAATTCATAGTTGACAATATTCAGGAAATGTCAAACCAAACAAACCCAAAACAATATATTTATAATTAATAATAATAATAATATAGATTAAGCAACTAAAGAATGCCCACCAAGTGCACAATCCAAAAGATAAGGATGTTTTAATCGTCCTCTCTCATCTTGAGAATGCAAGATAAATGAAGATCTAATTGTTTTAGTTTTAGTTTTTAAACGACCAAACCAAGGGATTTTTTTCTTTAGTTCCTGAGGACCCAGATTTTTTCGGTGATGACTACGAAATTTACATATTTTATTCTAAAATTGATCGCTTCAATTTCGACCTTTAGTTATATTATATAGATGTAAAATGTAGAGCTCGGAAATGAATAGTTGATTGGCATCCGACCTTTATGCTTCTAATCTAGTTCCTGAGGAATTGAAAATCATTGGAAACTATAAATACCTGTGTTGGAAATATGAAACAAATATATATTATCATTAGTATTACTACCACCACTACTACTACTATCAAACTCTAATATTTATATATACATATATACAAATCAAATTAATTAATTATTTCTTTTAAAAAAAAAATGAAATTCTCTTTATCAATCTTTATCATTTCAATGTTGTTGGTTTCAACAACCACATCTAGTTATGTTACTGTTTTAAATTATCAAACCAATGCTTGTAAAGGTAATTATGTTAGCCAACACTCAATGTTGGAGGATACTTGCTTTGATGGTGTCATGTATAGTTGTGCCAACAACCGAGTAACCAAGTATGTTTATGGTGATTTGAATTGCAATGGTATCCCATACCCACCAGTCACCACTCAAGTCAACGAATGCGGTCAAGTCGCCAATTTCGCATCGGGTATTTACCAATGTAGCGAAAACGTCCCGTTCACAACCCAATCATCGATTGTCAACGTCAAGTACAATGGTACATGCCAAGACTCATGGATGAATAAACCAGTATTGTACATGTCCGCCATCTTTACCGATACCTGTTTCCAATATGACTCTCAATCGTCATATATGATCGCCTGTGACCCCAACAGTGCACCATTAATGGACAGTTACATCTTGACCGAAGTCAAAGGTACTAAATGCAATGGTCCATCTTATCAACAAGTAGTTCCATACACTCCAACTTGTGGTGATGCAAATGGGATGACATCTAAAATGATTTGCAATCAATAAATAAAAAAAAATAAAGTAATAAATATTATTTTATTATTCAACCAACAAATATATTTGTTGGTTGAATCATTTCTGGAAAAAGAATAGTTTAAACTATTCACCACGCACGTCTTTGGTAACATTTATAATAATTAACATACCTATTATTGCAAGAATAGTCAGCAGCAGCAGCTGATAATGATTACAGACCAACAGGAAGGATCTTGAAACAAATTATGGATGAGATATTGGTTTACAGATACGTGAATATCTCTTGAATAATTTGTTTCATGATCTTCATACCCTTTGGGACGTGTATTTATATGCTTAATGCATTCGTCAGCGGAATGATCATCTGGGTGCCATCTAACAAATCTTTGTTGTTTTTCTACGTTTGACTCATTTGAAAAAGGTCAAACTACATGAAAAGAGAGTATTAGTATATCGCACTGGGTGGGTGTCCTGGCTTGCCAACCCCAACAATCATTATTCCTTTCATTAAATATACTAGATTGATTTCGCTATTGATTGATTAATAGAACGTCGTTTCTTATTCGTCCACGCCGTGTATCAATGAGAACAAACATTTTTTGATGTTGATGGTCTTTGAATAAGGATACAGAATACTTTAAAATACTATTATCGATTGTTTTCTCTATTATTATTTTATAATTGTGTATACTCTGACCGAGATAGATATATTATATATGTGAGTGTGCTTATGTAAAATGATCATCTTTGCTTTTGAGAGTAGAGTTGATGGAAATTAAAATAAAACAAATTTAAATTATACTTTTATTTTTTTTCAAGGTTGATGAATCATGATTGATGAAAAGTATCGTCGCACCCCTTAACTATTCACATCTGTAGTATTACCATCTCATTATATAACATTATTCATATAAGATAGAATAGATAGAGAGAGAGAGATGGATTTAGATTTGATTCAAACAAAAGATAAATTCTTGGTTATACCAAAACAAAGTAATAACAAGATATCACAAGCATTGGAGATTAGCAAACTCGATGATAAGATTAGATTGACGTCAAAGAGTGACGCTGCCAAGGAACAAGAGACTAGTCGTATTGCTATCCAAGGTATTGTGGGTATTGTAGATTTGATCTCTGGACGCTACTTGATCGTCTTTCAAAAGGCTCCTCGTGTGGCTACTGTCAATGGACACAGTATCTACCGTGTCGAGCAGATTCAAATCATCCCATTCCAAGCCAACCAACAGTCTCTCATGACCATCCCTGAATGCGACGAAGAGATGGTCTATTTGGACATGCTCAAGTGGATGTTGAATGTAGAGTCGTTTTACTTTTCGTTGACCACCGATATCACACATACACAACAACGTCTCCTCGTTGACAAGCCAACTGCACCCGACCAGCGATTCTTTTGGAATGGACCATACGTGCGTCAGCTGCAGACGGTTGCACCCGACTATGTCTTCCCCATCATGCTCGGCTTTGTCAAGCTCAATGCGTTTGACCACGACGGCGCTGCCTACACACTGACACTCATCTCGCGTCGCAACCTCTTGCGTTCGGGCACACGTTACAACTTGCGTGGTGCCGACAAGCGTGGCAACGTCGCCAACAACGTCGAGTCGGAGCAGATCATCGGCAAGGCCGGCCAACAAGACACCTTTACCTCGATGGTGCAGATCCGTGGGTCGGTACCTTTGTTGTGGTCGCAGTATGTCGATCTCAAGTACAAGCCAAAGGTCAAGTTCCACGGCACCGAAGACGAAAACAACGGTACGATCAAGTCGCACTTTACCGCACTCAACCAGCTGTACGGCAAAAACATCACCATTGTCAACTTGATTGATCGCAAGGGCGACGAGTTGCACCTCGGTCAAAACTATGAAAAGTTCTGCTCTAAACTCGCCGTACCACCCCGTTATGTGTGGTTTGACTTCCACGCCATCTGCAAGGGCATGCGTTACGACAAGTTGTCTCTGCTCATCGAAGAGGTTGGCAAGGACATTGATAACTATGGTTTCCTCCATGTTGTCGCCGGAAAGGTCGTTGCCAAGCAACAAGGTATCTTCCGTGTCAACTGTATCGACAATCTCGACCGTACCAACGTCGTGCAAAGTCTCTTTGCCCGTACCTCTCTAGAAAAGTACCAAATGGCTGCCCTCAAGTTCCCACAAACCCTCATCACCTCCTCGTCGTTTGATCATGCATTCAAGAATATCTGGGCCGACAATGGCGACCGTCTCAGCACTCACTATTCGGGTACCGGCGCCCTCAAGGGTGACTTTACCCGTACTGGTAAGCGTAACTTTGCCGGTGTCTTGCGTGACGGTCAAAACTCTGTCATCCGTTACTACCTCAACAACTTTGTCGATGGGTTCCGTCAAGATGCATTTGATCTCTTTACCGGTGCCTATCAAATCAATCCAGAAAAATTAAAAAATCCAAAACATTCTACTCCTCTTGTAAGTCAAATATACATTCGAATCGATACACACAAACACCGATTATTTAATTAATATTTAATATTATTGACACATTTTATTTTCATTTCATTTAGGTTTGGGTATTTTTATTATTATTCTTTGCACTTGTAGTTTATTTATTTATGATACCAACATTTTCATCTGGTGTCACCAACTTTATCTACTTTATCATTTATTGGTTCATGATATTCTTTGGTGTCTCTAGTACAATGAAGAGATTCAATAACAATTTTATTGATCGTCCAAAATTATTACCATTAAATTAAATTAAATTAAATTAATCCAACTACTACTACTATTTTCAAAATATATATAAAGTGTACTTCTTGACCAACCAAAAAGTTAATTAATTAATTAATATAAATAATACTACTAAAAATCCATACTGTTGAAGTATTCAGATCCCGAACCATTTCTTTATAATCTGCCTTGGGGATACAAATACTTTGGAAAGTGGAAAGGGAAGCAAAGTCAGCACCACCCAGTATCTGCGGTCGGCACATAAACAAGTAATATATGACCCACAAAAAAAATATTATTATTATTATCTATTACTATTATTGGTTTAAAAAGAATAGAATCTGTGCTGAACCGATCAGCAAAACAAAGATAAGATAAGAAAATTCAAAAGCTCGACCACCTCTTTGAAAGATCTTTTTTCGGTAGCAAGATCTTTTCCGGGATTCATGGGCCAAAGGCACCTTGAGATGTCATTCATTAACTACGGATAACCGAGAATCAAATCAGGCATTAGTATTTATTTATTATTTATATAAAGAAAGGGCAAGCAAACAATGAAACACGGTATGCAGTTTACGCTCTTGTTTATCATTGTGTGCTTTAGTGGTTGTATTTTTCAGCGTGTTTCATCTCAGACATTATCAACTGATGAGTGTAAGATACATACATATACATAACAATATGATAGATCATATCATATCATATCATATCATTACTTTGAACTTACATTATTGAATTATTCTTCCTTCCGTTCACAGTAAACAGTATTATATGGATCATTCAACAATATAAACTACCTATAGCACACAGCACAACACCTATTTGTAATACTCCAGTATCTGGAATCGTTTGTAGTACTGGTACAGATGGATCAATCCACATATCACAAATGTATTTAACAAAACAAAGATGTTTCACAACATATCCACTCGACTGACTACTAACCTCTCTTTCATCATTAAAGTGATGTATTGATTGCACCTTCATCGATGGTTGATTCAGGATTTCCTTCAGCATCATTGACAGAGTTTGAATTCCCACAACTTACAGTCATGTCAATCAGAATGCAAGGTGTCACCAAATCAGCATCCCTGTGTATTCTAGACAGAATGAAGACCTTATTTCAACTTCGAAGATTAACTCTAGATCTAGATCCAACTGTTATTACAGTACCCACTGATTTCATGGTTGACAAACCACAATTGAACATAGTGTAAGTCAACCATGCAAAGATCGCTGTGCATGGATGGATGGATGGTTACTTACTTTTCTTTCTTTTTCTTTTTAGGACTCTAAACACACCAAATCTAGTCAATGCAACTAGTATACTAAAATCACCCCAAATGGTGTCCATTGAAATCTACTCCAATACTATGACTGATTTAATGATTGACAGTTCCTATTATAGTCCAAATCTCAGGACTCTTAGACTTAAAGTTAATTGCAGCATCCCTCTTCATTGGGAGATTATGCAATCCTCTTTTCCAGCTCTTTATATATTGTACGTAATTATTTGGAGTTTTGATCTATTTATAATATAATACAGTTATAGTTTCTTAATTCTTGCTAATCTTCCACCATATATAGCTATTTAAGTGCAGATATTTGTACGAGTAAAATCATTGTTGATGTATATGCAAAAGTAGCATATCTCTCATCAACTTTACCACTACAAGTAACAGGCGATATTAGAATACAAATCCATAGTCCTGAATCGGTCGTTCAATTGGTTGATTCTGGCAATTTTATTCAACCAATTGCAGACTTTACTCCTTTTAAAAAACTTACAACATTGTATGTATAAAGAGAAAAGAGAAAGAGAAAGAGATAAAGAGAGTTATAATTATAATTGATGTGTGAAATAGATCTAACTGTTTTTTATTTACCTAATTTATTTTATTTTTTGATTTATATAGATCTTATATTTATTCAAACATAACATCATACCCTATTACTACCTTTCCCACAACTTTGACACAATTGTAAGTCGTAGTATTAGTAGTAGTAGTTTACTATTTAAAGAGAAGACTTTGGTTCCAACATGTTCTTTAATATTTAACCAACCAAATATTTCCACTCCCAAATGTACATTTTTTACAGTTTTGTAGGGGCTACCAAAATTTCAACCTTTCCAAGCATTCCCGTTCCAGCTACACTAACAATGTTGGATATCTCAAATAATCTAATTACAGGACAACCACCTAGCTATCTCTTGGACTTGAACCCATCAAAACTAACCCTGTTAATTTCAACAAACATTGGAATAGTTGGAACGATTCCACAGAGTTATTGCTCATTAAACTATTTAAATATTCAAGGGACATCGATTACATCTATTCCCGACTGTTTTTGGTGTTACCCTGATTCAGTATTAGCTACCGATCTTTCAAGACCACCTAATGTACAATGTGGTATGTTATCATCATTTTATTCCCATTAATCATCCTGTTTATAATTAAAAAGAATATTAATTTTTTGTTTTTTAGATATTCGATTTGATAGCTTTACTGTGGTCTCATTACACTCATTCTATAATATTACGGGTTCTAATCTAGGTTGGGGCATTAATCTACCTAATATTCAAAATGAATTTGTTATACCAAACAAACAACTATCGTAATTATCCAACATTTATTAAGTTTCTTCCTGGAAACCAATTCAAATTTATTTATTTATTTTCTCTTTTGTAGGTTTGTTCTTGATCTTAATAATGGAATGAACCAAAATATAACGCTTACATTACAATCTCAAAACTACACATTCCTCGTCAAAGAAGCAAGTGTATTTCTCTATAGTATCAAGGTGATCAGTCAGAGTGTTTATTCAGTGGAATTGAATGCCACATTTTCCCGTTTAAATACTCTCCCAGACATGATGCCAAAATTGTTTGTTGGCTCGGTTCCATGCATCATATTACAAGTCTATACAGATAAGAATGTAAGATGTGCTACTGTTGATTCCATTGCAAATGAACGGAATAATCTTTGGGCCAACAATTCATATTCATCTTCTGTCGTTTCATTCAAAAGAGGTAAAACAATCAAACAACTCTAAATTTGACCATCATTGGATGAGAACTAATACAATTATTTTATTATTTTTATAGATACTTTGGTTACGTCAGTCACGATTGAACCACAAACATACCCCCCAACCAATTTAATTGTACAGGGATATTTTGGAAGTTCATACTCCCAATCAAGCTTTGTGGCTGTAAGAGTTGGTGACGGCAATCCTTATTTCTATTGCAATATCACCTCTTTTAATAGTACCGTGATTGAATGTAAATTTGAGAAAATACCACCATCTGGCCAAGCATATTTCGTGATCAACATACCCAATGGATTCTTTGGGTCAGATTCACTCGTCTCTCTTCCATTCCCACCAACACCAAACGATGATTGTGAAAGTAAAACTAAAAATTGTTATGGTCATGGCAAATGTGTTAATGGTCAATGTGTTTGTGATCCAGGTTATTATGATGATTGTAGATTACAAACTGGTAAGTAAAAAAAAAGAAAAGAAAAGAAAAAGAAAAAAAGAAAAAAAAAAACTTTCTAACTTTTTACTTTTTTTTTTTTTTTTATTTAGATCCAAATATTATTGTAGAGTCAAATAAAACAGATCCAACCTTTTCATACAAGGATTATTCATTTTCATTTAGAATGGTTGCAATTCAAGAATTGGATGTTGATGATACTATTTTATACCATTTAGAGACAACTAAATGGAACTCTAGTGAACAATCATATCAAGATCACTCGGCTATTACCTATCAATTGGTATCACACCACAACCAATCCAGCAGCAGCAGCGATACTGTCAACTTTTTAAATACCAATGTTACATCGATTTTTGAATTCTCAAATCAATCGAGAACCGTTCAATTTGGAGGTGACAATATTCAATTGGCAAGTGGATCCATCAAGATTTCAGTCAATATAACCAATTGGCCGTTCCAGTCGGTACTATCCAGCCTTCGTGTATTATTCTCAACAGTAATCAACACCAATCAATTTATTGTAGGCTGTGATGACACTATGAACGAGGTAGAGGCATTCCAAAGGTTTTCCGATGGTGGATCCATTCAATACCTCAGAGTCGTTAAAAACAATACACAGTTTTTTGGTAGATTCCTCGAATATAGTGTCTCTGATGGCAGAAAAACATTTAGTAAGACAGAGCTATTAAATGTAACCAAAAAAGATGACATTGACTCGGTTGCCATCATTGGCATTGGTCTACCACAATCTCGACAGGCTATACTCGATCCTGATTTCAGTGCACTCATAGTCAACAACCAGTTATATGGAGAGTGTGGCGAATCCAACAATGATCATTGGAAACTTATTGTTGGTGTGGTGGTTGGTGTAGTTGGTGGAGTATGTCTAGCAACGATTATTTACTTTTTTGTTAAAAGTAATCGATTCTATTTCATTCGAAAAGGAAATAAGGAAATATCAATGAAACAAAGACATACTGAATCATAATATTAATAATCATAATAATAATCATAATAGAATAATAATACATACAGAAGTTAGGATATTTTTTAGGATAGTGATAAACATACAGATCCTAAAATTAAAAACAAATCATCCAATCGTGCAAACATTTATTTATTTATTCATTTATTCATTTATCCAATCTATCCAACCTGTTTGTTTGTTTGGGAGATTGTGTCTATCCAAACATCGCCGATGATAGTAAGAATGTTAAATCTCCTTTTTACTCATATCGAACATGTTAAAACAGTGTGGTGGTGTGAAAAAAAAAACAACCATGGATGGATGGAATCACACTAACTCACTCAATTTAATTAATACATTGACATCATCTTGCTAAAAAATATCTCTAGTGACATTTTGATATTGGACTGTGTGTCAATTACATTACACGTATCGATAAAATGGTATGGGTTACACACAATAGAGTATAGTTTGGACTGATTAGTCAGTCTGAATGATTCATCATAGCATTCATTCATGGCAAATTCAATTCAACTCAACCCAACTCAATTTCCATACCTTCCTTGAAAGTAGGAACCTATATGTACCCAACAAACAAGATGATTATTAGAATTCATTCCATTTATTTCCAATTTTAATTTCACATCACTTGGTTATTGTTGTCTTCACTATTTCTTCTATCTTTATCCCTTTTTATCCATCCATCCATCCATCCATCATCTTTCAGATATTTAATTATCTATTTATTTATTTATTTATTAATTTTTTTTGTATATATTATGACTGCCATTGGTGAAGAAACGGATGATATTGTTGGCCAGAACAACACGGTTGCTTTTGATGATGGAGCATCCTCACCAAAAAATATATTTAAAAAAACCATAAATTATTTTCCAAGATACAAACTCAATGATACCAAAGGATCTGTCATATCGACTGATGAGAGACTGGATTGGCCTCAAATGATAATGTTGTCATTACAACATTTCTTTTCTTTGGCTGGTGGTACTATACTTGGACCTTTATTAATGGGTTTCTCTACCAATACTGGATTTCTTTTCAGGTATGTACAAATCAACTCTATATATTATATTCTTCTTCTCTTTTAATAATATTATTTTTTTTTGTTTAGTGGAATTGGAACATTATTATTTTATTTATGTACTGGTGGTAGATTACCATCATTTTTAGGACCATCATTTGCTTTTATTGGTGTAGTGAATGCAGCAACTGGATTTAAATATATTCCAGGTGGAGCTGGTAACCAAAATATTCCAGTTGCATTGGGTGGATTCTTTGTTTGTGGTCTTATTTATTTGGCAATATCCATCATTGTTATGTTTGCTGGTGCTGGTTGGTTAGAAGTATTGACTCCTCCAGTTGTGACGGGAACCGTTATTTTCTGTATCGGTCTTAATCTTTCTGGCTCTGCCATTGCAGGTCTAGGTGGTGTCGATGCCTATATAGCATTTGCAACCGTTATTGCCATTTGTCTTTTAATTTGCTATGCTCCACCTACCATTAAAAGAATAGCTATTCTAGTTGGTGGATTGTTTGGTTACTTTTTACATTTCTTCCTTGGACTTGGTGGTATTGGACCTGGAATTGATTTTAGCAACGTTGAAAAATCTGTTTGGTTTGATGCACCTCCTCTTGCAACACCTGTTTTCGAAGGAGCTGCCATCTCTCTCATTGCACCCATTGCCATTATCCTCGCCGCCGAAAATATCGGACATGTTAGAGCTGTTGGATCAATGACCAATCAGAAATTGGATCATCTCTTGGGACGTGCTTTCTTTGGTGATTCATTAGCTACCATTATTGCTTCTGTTGGTGGTGGTATGCCAACTACAACTTATGGTATGAAACATCAATCCTATCAATCTCTAAAACTCTTTTAATATTAATTCTTCATTTTACTATTTTAGCTGAAAATATTGGTGTTATGAGTGTAACTAGAGTATACTCTACTCTACCATTTATCGTTTGTTCATTCTTTGCAATCTTTTTAGGATTTTTTTCAAAGTTTGGAGCTGTCATTCAGACGATTCCAACATCTGTGTTTTCAGGATTGTCCATCATCTTGTTTGGTATGGTTGGATTGACAGGTGCTAGAACATGGATTGAGGCACAAGTTGATTTCAAAAAACCTCGTAATCTTTTGACTGCTGGCATCTGTATTACTCTTGGGTGTGGAATGAACAATGGAACTATGATATCTTGGGGTGTAGTTAAAATCGATGGAATAGGAGTATCAACACTTGGTAGTATCCTACTTTATCAATTGTTACGTGATGATTGGAAAGATATATTTACTAGTTTGTATTGTAAATTAAGAGGACGTAAAATATCACCAGACATTGAAACCACAGACCAACTATCCGAGTCCGATACCACCATCACCATCATCGGCATGCCAACCGACGATTCCGTTCCTCCTCCTACTACCCCTATTACTAAAGAGGATTTGCAATCAATCGAATAATTCATCCCTCTCGCTTTTATCGACATTATACCTTGAAAGTAGGCTTGTATATTTCATCGGATTCAGACTTCCTCCTCTCGAGCTCGTACCTACAAAAAAATAAATATTTATTAAAAATTATATAAATTAAATCACACAATATTTGCTGGGTTCCGTATCAATACGGTAGGCTGTCGTTCAAATAATGTGGTTTTGACGTCACCGGGGGGGACACAATTTCTAAAATGCAAAAAACGACATAGAAAGATTTTTTTTCCGACTTGGCTGTGATCAACTACGACTTACCCTCAAATATCTGTTTATTTTCGGTATCCCCACATAGTGTCTTGGCGTGCACAAGCTTGTTGGCTTGGATAGGGGCTCACCCGATCTTGGCGAATGTATGAGCTAGAAAGCTCATAAGAACTCGGAGTTGGGAGAACCATTTTATTTCACAATTTTGCGAGAGATAGAGAAAGACGAAACCAACCTTGTCTCGTATGTTTCGTTGTTAGATATTTTCCTTTTTTTTCATTTACCTATATATATATCTCTATCAAGATTGATAGGTAGCAACAGTCCACTACAAAGATGACTATAGCACACGTTTGGGAGAACACCAAGATCATTCTCTCTGATCCAAAGACGCTCATACGGTTGGGTATTGAATGCTTCCCAAAGTACAAACTCAATGATACCAAGGGTGCTCTCGTTGACGTAGATGAGAGAATGACTATGCTCAATACAATTATAATGTCCATACAACATGTTTTGGCTATGATGGGTAAGTAGTATAATAACAATATATAAAAATGATCATCATTTACCAAACCGTAATTTCGTTTTCTTTTTTTTTTGTTTTTTTTTGAACTTCATTTTCTTTTTCATTTTATTTTAGGTTCTACTGTCATTTGTCCATTGTTGATGGGATTTTCACCAAATACTTGTTTACTTTTCAGTGGTATTGGAACTCTTATCTTTTATATTTGTACGATGGGTCAATTACCATCATACCTTGGTCCATCATTTGCTTTTATCGGTGTCGTTAATTCAGCTACCGGTTTTGCATATGTTCCTGGTGGCCCAACCAATCCAAACATTCCAATTGCCACTGGTGGTATTCTAGTGTGCGGTCTCATCTATTTGGCCATTTCATTCATTGTAATGGTGGTTGGTGCTAAATGGTTAGAGATTTTAATGCCTCCCATCGTAACAGGAACAGTCGTCATGGCCATCGGATTAAATTTAGCCAATGCTGCTATTGGTGAGTGTGCTTCATCAGGTATCGATGCCTGGGTTGCCTTTGCCACTATCATGATGACATGTCTTTTACTTTGCTATGGACCTGGTCTAACTAAAAGGTATGTGTTAGAGTTAAACAAAATCAATATTATTTTTTTTAATATTATTCTAATTATTATTAATATTTCTATTATTATTATTATTTTCTATTTAGAATGCCAATTTTGATTGGTGTGATTTTTGGTTATTTAATTTATCTTTTCCTCGGATTAGGAGGTATTGGACCAGGAATTGATTTTACAGCTGTTAAAGAGAGTGCTTGGTTTGAAGCACCTCCCATGCATACTCCAGAGTTTGATGGGTCTGCCATCTCCCTCATTGCACCTATTGCTATCATTCTTATTGCTGAAAACATTGGTCACGTCAGAGCTGTTGGTTCAATGACTGGAAAGAATCTTGACAAGCTTCTTGGAAGAACTTTCCTCGGTGATTCGATTGCCACCATTATCGCCGCCCTTGGCGGAGGTTTGGGTACTACCACATATGGCAAGTATATCATGATACAACCCTTTTATATTTACTATCCTATTCTATAATCTAACTCACCTATTCCAATCATATCTATATCCATATATATATTTATATAAATATAGCTGAGAATATTGGTGTTATGAGTGTTACACGTATCTATTCTACTTTGCCATTCATTTTCTGCGCATTTTTTGCTATATTCTTGGGATTGTTTGCCAAGTTTGGTGCATTCATTCAAACGATTCCAAGCGGTGTATTTGGTGGTATTGAAGTTATTTTGTTTGGTATGATTGCTATTACTGGAGCCAAGATTTGGATTGAAGACAATGTAGACTTTTCCAAGCCCAGAAACCTCCTCACCGCCGGTATTGGAGTGGTGTGCGGATGTGGTATGATCAATGGTATCGTTGTCACCTGGGGTGTCATTAAAATCGATGGTATCGGTGTGTCTACCCTCGGTAGTATCATTCTCTACCAAGTGTTGCGTGACGATTGGCCAGAGGTTGCAGCTTTCCTCTATGGCAAAATCAGAGGTAGAAATGTTACTTGGAAGGGTGGCAAATCAGACACTCCACAAACCCAGACCACCATTGAAATGCCAGATCTCAACCAATCCTCTGCTTCATCTACATGGCAATCGGGAGCATCCAAACCATCATCATTGCCACAATTTAAAAACGACGCAATTGTAACTTTAGGCCAAAGTGATGGTGATAGACTCTAAACGATCAACAAAGTATCCCATTCCTTTCCTTTCCTTTACTTATTTCTCTTTCTAAAAAAACACAACACAACGCAATAGTATTATTATAAAAAATATAGGTATATTATTTATATATAGTAACTAAACAATTTAAATAAAATTGTTTAAATCTTTTTCAAACCCAACGGTCAATCATGATCACCATGAATTTATTTTTAGCACGCGATATTAATGTGTATAAATGGGGGGTGAAGAAGATAGATATTGATATTGTATTAACTTTAGATATATATACACACATACATTATCTTTTTAATGTTACATATATACTAAACAAAAATAGAAAATATCTCTTATTCTCCATTAGATATACTTTTTGAAGGGAGAATAGAAAGAGAGAAAGAGAAAGTAAAAGAAAAGAACATTCATTCTTTCAATTCATGTTTCACAAGATTAGTTAACTATTTCTAGAATTTAACAAAAGATGACTCGAGGAGGAGACTATGGTCATTATCCAAAGTTCATTTTACAAAAAGTTAGAAACTACTTTCCAACATATAAATTCAATCCAGAAAAGGGAGCAATCATTTCAACACAAGAGCGATTGACTTGGCCAGCTACTATATTAATATCACTTCAACATGTATTATCATTTATTGGTATGTGGAGTCATTTAAATCAATTAATCATTCATTCAAGACTAATAATTTTAACTATTAATTTACTTTTTAGGGGCAACTGTAATTGGACCATCGTTGATGGGATTCTCTGCCAATACCTCTTTATTTTTCAGTGGTATTGGTACATTAATATTTTATATTTGTACTGGAGGTAAAATACCTTCGTATGTAGGTTCTTCGTTTGCTTTTATTGGTGTCGTGAATGCTGCAACTGGTTATCATTTTGCGCCAGGAACTATGAATCAGAATATTCCAGTTGCATTGGGTGGTATTTTAGTTTGTGGATTCATATATTTGGCCATATCTATTATTGTTATGTTTGCTGGTGTTGGTTGGATTGAAGTATTAACACCTCCGATTGTGACTGGAACGGTGGTCATGGCAATAGGATTAAATCTTGCTGGTAGTGCAATAAACCAAGCAGCATCATCTGGGTTTGATGCCTGGATAGCATTTGCAACAGTAGTTATGACATGTCTATTCATTTGTTATGCACCTGGTGTACTGTCTCGACTACCAATTCTATTAGGTGGTTTGTTTGGTTACTTTTTATACCTATTTCTTGGGTTGGCTGGAGTAGGTCCTGGAATCGATTTCAAAGGTGTTGGTGAGAGCAAGTGGTTTGGTGCACCACCTCTTCATCTACCTGTGTTTGAAGGATCGGCTATTTCACTGATTGCACCCATTGCAATTATACTCGTAGCTGAAAACATAGGTCATGTCAAAGCGGTTGGCTCAATGACCAACCAGAAATTAGATCATCTCTTGGGTCGGGCATTCCTAGGTGACTCGATTGCGACCATTGTAGCTGGTTCATTTGGTGGACTTGGTACAACTACATATGGTATATAAAGCAAGAAATTATTTATTATATTTAATTAAACATTTTATTTAACTCTCTCTCTCTCTCTCTTTTCTTTTCCTTCTAGCTGAAAACATTGGAGTTATGAGTATAACAAAAATATATTCTACATTACCATTTGTAATTTGTGGATTTATTGCTATCTTTTTAGGATTATTTGCAAAGTTTGGAGCTGTTTTACAGAGTATACCAAGTGGTGTATTTGGAGCATTATCAATTATATTATTTGGTATGATTGCAATAACAGGTGCAAGGATTTGGATTGAAGATCAAGTGGATTTTAAGAAACCTCGTAATCTTTTAACTGCTGGTATTGGAATAGTGATTGGATCAGGAATGACAAATGGAATAGTAGTTAGTTGGGGTGTTATTAAACTTGATGGTATTGGTGTCTCTACTCTTGGTAGTATCATTCTCTATCAATTATTACGCGAAGATTGGAAACAAATATTTCACTATCTCTATTCAAGAGCAAGAGGAAGGAAATCAAATTACCCAACTAGAAAAGGTGGATATAGTGATTGTAATGATAACAACTCTAAAAAACATGAAGATCATTCAACTACTACAATAGAAATGCCATCAATCAGTAGTACAGAAGATAGATCATTGACAAGCTCATCCTCATCATCATCATCTGATCCTCCTCAACAACAACAATTGTTATTACAAACTCCTACCAGATTGAATGATGATTCAATAAACGATAATGTGTAAATAGTAGTAGTTATTTAGAGTTATTTTTTTTTTTATAGAAATACGTGATAAGATTTAGATTTATTTGTTTAATTAATTGAATCTGCAAAGTTCATTGGCATTTCATCGATTTGAGTAGAATAAAACTGTTCAATGTCTCTTAAAATTCTGATATCTGAACTCTTTACGAAATTAATGGCAACACCCTTTCTTCCAAAACGACCGGAACGACCGATACGATGAATATAATTCTCACGATCCATTGGGAGATCGTAATTGATAACCAATGAAACTTGTTGAACATCAATACCTCTTGCCAAAATATCTGTAGTAATTAATACACGACTATAGAAATAAACAAATAACAACCGTCGTTAGTAAATAATCCATCATCTGATTGTTATGTTTTGTCATACTTTTCACCAGATCTAAATGATCTAATAATTTCTTCACGTTCTTTTTGATCCATATCACCGTGTAAACTGGCGACAGTAAAGTTTGCTTCACGCATCTTGTTGGTGAGAGCATCGACCTTTGATTTGGTGTTGCAAAATATGACAGCTTGTGTGATGGTGAGAGAATCATAGATATCGCAGAGTGTGCCAAACTTCCATTCCTCCTTTTCGACTGACACAAAGAATTGTTTGATACCTTCGAGTGTCAACTCATCACGCTTGAGAAGGATACGGACGGGGTCGGTCATGAAACGCTCTGTCATGGATACGACGTCCTGTGTAAGAGTGGCCGAGACCAACACGATCTGAGTGGCTGGTGGCAAGTATCTATAGACATCATTGATCTGTTGTTGGAAACCAAGTGAAAGCATCTCATCGGCTTCATCCAAAATCAACATCTTGATCTGACGTGTGTTGAGTGCCTTTCTTGAAATCAAATCAATCACACGACCAGGTGTACCCGATGCAATATGTACACCTTGCTCGAGACGACGAACATCCTCGCTGATAGTCTTTTGTCCGACAAACGAGTGTACCTGTACACTCATAAAGCCGCCCAATGCCATGACGACCTTTTGAATCTGTTGTGCGAGTTCACGTGTCGGCGACAAGATGATAACCTGTGGGTTCTTGATGCTGACATCGACCGACTGCAATGCACCAATTGAAAAGGTGGCAGTCTTACCCGTACCACTCTGTGCTTGTGCAATCGTATCTCTTCCTTTGATGATAGGTACAATAGCACGTTGTTGAATGGCCGATGGCTTTTCAAAACCAAAACCATAGATACCACGTAACAAGTCCTCTCTTAAATGAATCGACTCGAATGTTGGATATACTTCTACTTTACTATTTGCTTCATAATGTTCATCTACTACTTTCTTTGCCGATTCTACACTTCCACTTCTACCTGCTACTCTCTTGTCTAAATAATAATAATGAATGATCGTCCAATAAGTATCATCTAATAAGTAACACATTGATTGATAGTATATAGTTGATATTTACCTCCACCACCACTTGATCTACCTCCTCTTGATGACATATTATATATAGTTTGATATTGTTAATATATGTAAATACAAACAAGATAAAATTAGATGAACGATCTATCAAGTAACTTTGAAAAAAAGTTTCAATTGTGAAATTTTCAAACAGTTGATTAAAAAAAATATTCCATCCATATTTAATAATAATATTATTTAATAATTGTATAAATAGTAATAATAATTGTTAACTTTATCAAAGAGTATTATTATTATGATTATTTAATTTTTTCCTAATTTTTTTTTCTTTTTATTTTTAAAAATATACTAAAATGTTTTAAATGCCAGCAATATGTTGTCTAGTAGTAGTAGTAGTAGTAGTTATTGTTACTTCTTATTCCTTTGTTATTATTCTTTTCTATTGTATTCTATTGTATTCTATTTGTTTATTCTTGATTTTTGTTGTTGTTGGTGTTGAAGTGTTCTTTCTCTTGCTGTTTTATGAATCTTGAAACCGTATATCTTTGGAATATATGTTTGATGTGGTTTTGGAGGAGCCAACTCTGGATAGGTTATTAATAAAAGGTGTGGGAAGGTAGTTCCAAAGTAGGCACCATCAATATCTAAAATTAAATAAATAGAAATTAAATTAATAACCTAATTAATTAATCCACAGCCACATGAATGTGATTGGTGGTTGATTATATGATGATTTCATACGGGAATGTCTTCTATATTTGGGATTAAAAATATCGTTACATCTTGGACAATAAACTTTAACAGTATCTACACCTGTCATGTCTGATAGTCCAACGGGTAGAACCGGTTGATTTTGACAGAATACTCTTGGACATCTTCCAAACTCTGCTCTCTTAAATTTTTCGTGCATGTGTTGTAGCCCCTTCATTGTCAATATATATCTTGCGTGAATGAGTCCATAGAGAATATCGGCGGATCTCTCCAAACTTTCTTGTTGATCTTCACTTAGTGGTTCATCTAATAATATACATAAAGAGGGTTAGAGATAATCATTCATCATTCATGATTCAGTCATCATCATGATATGATTTTGATTCAATCATTTTTGTTACATACCAGGATCATCATCCAAAATGATACCCAAAGCACTTTCATAGTGAGGAACTACAGAGCTAAGTCCTGTAAGGTTGAAGTCGTCTTGTATATAATCTTCTTCAATGGTTGCAAAGAACTCGTGTCCTTTTAAGTTGCAATACCAAGGAATCCATGCAATTTCATCTTCCTGTGGAGAATCGTCCTCTTCAGAGGATGTGATTTCTTTGTGATTATTATTAAACTTTCTATCCATTCTTTTAATAATAATCCTTCTTTCTTCTTTCTTCTTTGTTTTAACGCAACTTGTTTGTATGATGATGATGATGATGTTCGTATCGTAGGTGTTATCTATCCTATCTATCTATCTATATATGCTCCCTCCCAAAAACAATACAGTATTTCTGTATACCAAAGTCGTGTATGCCTCTTTGATCCTCTCTTTTTTTACTAGTGAAGATCGCTTTCTTTATAAAAGTCTGGTTGGTTGTATGTATAGTATAGAGTAGTAGCGAGTGACTGCTGCTGCTAATAATAAATAAAAAAAAAGGGGAATAAGAGAGAGACTAAAAAAGGAACAAAGAGATAGAAAGAAAACAGAGAGGAGGGAAGAGTGAAACGAAAAAAAATTAATTTTTTTTTTTTTTAAAACTCTGCTTTTGAAAGAGAGACGAGATGCATCTCCCATTCGTTTTATGATGGACTTGCCCTTATCTTTGACAAAGTGATCGATTTTTTTTAGTTTTACTTTTGGAAAAGTAAATCTATAAATATATACACATATATCCATATCTGTATCTATAGATATATTTATAATGATAAATAATATTATTTATTTATTTATTCAATCTATAAAAATTTTTAGATATCATCTATGACTCTTCAATCAATTCACCATAAAATTCGATGCCACCAATAGATAGGAAATTCAAATTGGTACTATTATGTCCAGTTTGAAGAATTCTAAAGTAACGATAGGATTGAGTGCAATTTGGAATGGGCCAAGAATGAGATGCAAAGTTGGAGTTTAGGAAATGTTCATTAGAGTGACGTGAGATGGTGAACCAATCATCGGCTGCGTCTTCCGATGCTTGTAATACCCAGTTGCGTAGACAATCTTGTTTGGAATTACCTCCATGTCTAAGTGTATAATATCTCGGTAGAAAAAGATTGGTCGGTCCAAAATCAATAGAGATCCAACTAGATGGAATATCTTTTGACCAACACTCTGTTGGTTTTAATTCCAATATATCACTTGGACTACCCTTTTCAATTGATGAAAAACTAATTTTAATCTTTGGTTCGTGATCTGTTGTCGTAGACGTCGTTGATGATGATGGAGATGCAGGATTACTCCAATCATTTGTATACCCATTAGTTCCAAGATAATAAAATACTCCCTTATTATCATAATCAAATGTATATTCAAATAATCTTCCAGATGTTTTTCTTTTCATAAATCTACATACATATAGATAAATAAATTAAATTAAAATAATATATATATTAATATATCTATCTATCCTCACAATTAATATTATATTATAAATTTACCTTGATTCATTTAATCTAGATTGAACAAATGAAGAATTTGGACATTCTTGAAAACCAAGTCTAACCATTAGACCTTCTGTTAAAAGTTCTTGAGGGACGAGGGGGTTTTGAATGACTTGTTGGAATTCGGAATAGGTGAGGTATGGGAACCTAACCTTTTTAAAGAGTTTGGCGATTTGTGTGTCTGTGAGGAGTTGTTGTTTTTGTTGTTTCGATTCAATGTAGCTACAGACGGATTGGTACACTGTAAACTCTGAAAAGACAGAGAGTGAGTGATGGTCTAGTATTTGGATAAACGATTCAAATGGGATAAATGAAAAGATGTTGACATTTTTCTTTTGTTGTACTTCAGTCTCCATGATGGACGAGAAGTTTCGAGCAATGATCACTATACACTTGGGCACCAACTCTTCAATGGAAAACTCGATGGCCTTGTGCAGCCATTGTACTACATTCTTGCCAGAGATGTGTTCAGTGATATAGTTGAATGCCAACTTTCGCAGCGAGTGAATGAGGAATCGATTAGAGTAATGAAGGATGCCAACACAGTTACCATCGGTAATATCAATCTTTCCTCTATACATGTACGATACAATCTGATCAAACAAATTGTTTTCCTCTTGAATATTAATTTCAATCACCAGATTATTGCCGTCCCATTTAAGTGTTGGTTTTGGATTATGACTATGAAATTGTTGTCTAATATATGATACTGGTATTATAAATGATGTTGTTGAATCTTTTCTATTCATTGGTTGAGAATTATTATTATTATTATTATTATTATTAGTACTATCAGAATTATAAAGAGTTGATGATAAAGAAGAGGAAGAAGAAGATGATGATGATTCTTTTTCTTCAACCATTGGTAATTGTTTCAACGATAGAGTTGAAGATGACGAAGATATGGAAGAGGTTGATAATAAAGATGCCGTTGAAAGGGATAGAATGGATGAAGTGGAATTGGATAAAGATGAATTGGTCGTTGGAATGATGACAGTCAGACCTTGCGTAGATGATGATGATGATGATGATTTAAGTTGTTGTGTCGGTGATGTTTGCGTTTCTTGGGTGATTGGTGGGAGTGATTTAGAGGGTGTTGGTGGTCGTGTTGTCGAACTAATAGTATTATCTGCAGATATACTTTTGTGATGTGATTTCTTGGTGTTTGTTGGCGTTAAAAGTTGTACGCTAGTATCAACCGAATCCTTTTTATGGTGTCCTTTTGGAGACGATAATGACAGAGATGAAGAGGAAGAAGAAGAGGAAGAGGAAGAGGAGGATGATTTCTTGGAGGATGACGGTGTTACAGTTGATAAAAGAGCAGATATTGATTTGGATATTGATGTTGAGGTTCTTTGTCTTGACGATGATGGGGATATTTGAGGTTGTTTGGTTGGTGTAGAGTTGGGTGTTGTCGTCGCCAAAGGTTGTTCATTGGATATTTCAGGTATTAAATTGGATGATTTCTTTATAAAACTATTGCTACTGCTGCTACCATTGCTGCTGTTGGCAGAAGTTGTTGGTGGAGAGGCAGGTGTTGTTCGTTGGACTATTGTTGGATTGCTTACACTATTCCGAGATGGTTGTTGTTGTTGTGGTGGTGCAGTCATAGTTGTACTATGCGTGATACCAGTGGTTGGTGTAGAGGGTAGAGAATGGCTTCCTCCTCCTCCAAAGTTTCCATTGATATTAAATGATGATGACGTCGCATTATTACTCCCATGACTTGCATTATTATTATTATTATTATTTCCATTTGAATTTGGATTAAAGTTTAGATTGAGGATAGGAGAAAAGGATGGGACTGTCTTGATTAATGCAATCTTGGGTGATGAAGGTGGAGATGATGGTGGGGTGCCAGTCCCAGTCCCAGATGCAGCCCCAGTTGCAGATGCTGTATGTTTCAAAGGTGTTGCAGATGGAGATGCCGTCGATGGCGAATTATTAAAGATGTCTGGACCAAGATGCTGCACGGTTTGAAGTATATTTGAAAAGTATTCCGACGAATAACCAACGATTATTCTATGAACTTTGTATGTCCGATGATTCACAACCAATGTCAAATCACTATACAATCCACTCGACAAGTATTGTTGAAATCCATTATTAAACATTATTATTAATAATTATATATTATTATTATTGATTATTATTAGTTAGTACTACTATTCTATTATTATTATTATTATTATTATTATTATTTAATTAATTATTATTATTATTATTAGTATATATGAGAAAGAAAGAAAGAAAGAAAGAAGAAGTGAAGAGGATGAAGAGAAGAAAAAAGAATAAAAGATAAGATTAAAGATGTTCTTGCTGCTATACTGCTAATCAATCATTTAAATTTATCTTGTCTATTGTTATATTTATATGAACATTTTAATAATAAAAAGATGGTGGATGTGGTTGGATGAACGATGAATGAATGGAAGGTGTGTGTGCTTGATTGTAAGTGTGAACGTGTTTGAGTTAGTGAGTGACCGAGTGAATGAATGAATGAAGGTAAAGAACAACAATAACAATGTGAAAGAGAGAGAGACACTTTTAATTAAACATTCTCAAAATGGACCAATCATAAAATTTTAATTTAAATTATTCGTTTTCTCTTTCTGTGTCTCTCTGTGAGTTGTGTTGGTTGCTATGATGATGACGTTAAAATAATCAGATTTGTGAGGAAGAGTCAAGTCTTGAGGTTTCACTAAAACCATTCATTCATAAATGTGTTTTATTGGGTCTACCTATGGTTTTAATATTTAAACCTTTTTACAGAGCAAGTCCATCAACAAATAAATCTATTTATTTCTCCATATATGACATGGACCCTACATTTAAATTGCAAAGAGAATGGAACTACCAACATGTAATTGATTAAATGGATTTGACCGAACAACTGGATACGATAAAAGAACGGAACATCACCTGGATTGAGATATTTGTCTGTAAACTCTAAGTTTAACAGATTTGTTAGAGAATTGATAAGAGTAGATACATCATCATCATGCATCAATCATCATGGTATACTTACGATTCCATCTAAAATATTCAAGAGTGAAAACACAAACTTCTTCCGAAATATAGTGAAATCTGTTCATGCTCTCTTCTCCAGTAACATTTGTTGTACCTAGTAGGAATGTTGGAGGGTTGATTGGATCAAGATATTCAAAACTTTTATTCTTTCGGTGAGTGAAAGAACACTTTCTCTATTATAATGTCCGATGAAAGATATGTCAAAATTTATATAACCTTCATCCTCTTCGAATATATATTCATCTATACTACTACTACTTGACATCGCCGCCTTATTTTCTATTTATTTATTTTTTAATAACTTGAACTTGACAAGAAATACATAATACAAAAAAAAACTAAAACTAGATTAATATATTTAAAACAAACCAAAACATATTATATGAATGACAGATTACTAAATACAAAGAGAAAGATTTGTAGATCATTTGACCCTCTATTTATGCGCTGAGGTTATTACGTGTACGTTTAACATTACCACATGTTATTGTTGTTGTTGTTGTTGGTTATTCATCTCCTCCAACCGTTGACATAAATCTAAAGGTGTAATAGTTTGAATGTTGTTGAGATGTAACTGGTAATGTTGTTGTTGTTGTTGTTGTTGATCTGTCACGGCAGTCTTTGAGGTCATGATGCAATAGGCAACAAAATGGTCATCAATATTGGCCAAAATAAATTGGCATGGGTTGGGTGTAGGCTTTGCATGTAGTTTCAAGGTGGCTGTTTTAAAATCATCGTCCAATGTGAATTCCATAGTTTGTAATCCTAATTGTAATCCAATTCCATCTACAAATCAAAATGATTAGATATCAGTTAAATCAATAAATTCAATTTGGATTACACATTACATACCAGCTTTTATATAACTTTCTTTTAAACACCAATGTCTGTAGAAATGTTCTAGTCTCTTTGACTCGGTTGTTTGCGATTTAATATTGTTCCATTCAAACTCTGTAAAGCATGATTTCATAGTCTTGAAGAATTCTTCAATCTAAACAACAAATAATCATAGTTGATTAATTAATCAAGTTGTTGAAATAGTCAAACATAGTACTATACTTACAGACTGTCCTTTTGGAGGTTGATTCTTCATTATATCGATACCAATTGATTGGATAGATGTATCATTTGAAGAGGTGATGATGGTGTAGTCACCATCATGTGATACATTAAAGTGAATTGTATTCTCTTTGGTACTATTGTCGTACCCTACGATAAAAGGTTTCTCATTGGCATCCCTCTTGAATGTAAAGTGACTGGGAGGTTTTGAAAAGGTCTTTGATGCTACCCAGAGCATCAAGAGTCGTCCACACATTGATGCCTTTGCAGAATCATTGTCTTTGCCAGTGACCCATGCTCCTTTGACTGTTGGTGACGGTCTCTTGAATGCCATTATTCTATCAACCTCTTCTTTATTACCCAATATGTTTAAACATTGCTTCCAACATTCTTCACTTGGATTCCAGTCTCTCCATTTACAACTTAAATTAAATGTCATTATACATTTATTATTACTATTATTTGATATCATCATGTCTATTGTAAATATTTTAAAAAGTATAATAATAATAATAGTCTCTTTCTCTCACTTCTTCTTTTTCTTCTTCTTATTCTTCTTATTCTTTACATTATTACTATTATTAATACAATATTGAATGAGTGTGTGTTATACGTATAAATATATGAATACTTCAAATTAATTATTAATAAAAGATTAAAAAACAAAATGATCATTTGGGGGAGGATGCATCAGATCCTAAAAATCGAACGCGAGAATACTGTATACACTATTCATTCAAGAGAGAGATAGAGATGATGAACATTATAGGTAGAAGAGTACTGGGAGGATACTCTTCTTCTTCTTCTTCTCTATCATCGCTGTTTGTATCGTCGTTGTCGATCAGATCATTGTCGAGTACTACTTCATCAGCAGCGACCACACCGGCATACAATAATAATACGATTGTTAACAAGAATACTACTACTACTACAACTACAACAACACATAGAGATTTTAAAAAGAATTGGAAACCAACAACATATACTAAACCAACGACTACTACTTCAGATACAACTAATAATAGTGTTGCAGGACAACAACAACAACAATCTTCCGATACAACCAAACCACTATCGAGTAAAGAGAAACATAATGCTAGACATCATCAACGAATAAAGTTGAAAAGGACAGCAGCAGCTGAGAGGAAACCCCTTCAAACACCGGCAAACAACCCATACGAATGGGATGACGTAAGACATACAAATCATAGACACGACGACACTGGCAGTGTCTTTGCATCACTCACATTCCGATGGAAAGATGAAATCGAACCAAATGAACACTATGTAGACTACAATCCGATCATTGCACAGTTAAACAAAGAATCACTATTCAAATATTTGGCATTTAGATTTATTAATTCAAATGGATTTAATGTTAAAAGGTAAGAAAAGAAAGAAAGAAAGAAAGAATGAGAGGGAAAGAAAGAAAGATTTAAATTTAATTTATATTTTATTATTTTAGTATACAAGAAGATTTATTTAAAAAGAAACAATTTCAAAATCCATATGTTATGTATAGAGTTGCACAATGGTTGGGACATGTGAAATTCAATTATATTGCAGTGTACACCAAGATACTAAAATACTTGCAACGTTGTGGCAACAGTAATTTGTTCAAAGGGACACTTGAGATCATCCGCAAGCAATTCCAGTTCAACTACTCAATCGACACACACAACACCATCTTGGCATTCTACAACGAGCAAGGTGAAAACAATACGGCACGAAGAGCCACACGAAAAATGAGACGAACTGGTATCAATTGCAACATTGAGACAATGACAGAGATGGTTAGAACCTACTCGAACGATATCATCAAGATTGCATCGATTCTCAGCGAATGTAGAGAGAAAAAAATGCGTTACAGCTATCAATTCAATGCGGCGTTGTTGAGGGCATGGCTCACCCACCACAACCGTCTCATTCGGACAGACACACCAGAATCACGTGCCTCTGCGGAAAAGCACCAATTGGTCAAGCGCGCCATGGACCACTTTGAAGAGCTCAAGGGCAAGGGGACAGCTGCCAACTCGCCACTCATCTATGACAGCTTGTTGCAATGTCTGTTTCTTATTGGAAAGAGCGATCCAAAGTCGGGTGCCAAGGAACACTTTGAGGCAGTGATGGAGACGATGCGCGAGAGAAATGTCGAGATGTCGGGCCCGACAGCTCGCTTCCTCATCATGCGTCAGCCGCTCGCGCAAGTGTCGCAGTTCTACGAGTCGCTGATCAAGGAGCAACCGATGCTGCAGGATGATGCGCATGTCGTTGGCGCGCTGATCCAGGCGTTCACGTTGCCACACATTCACTCGGACTACAAGGACATTGAAAAGCTGATCATGGCAATTGACCAACGCGGCAAGTTGAGTTTGGAGATTTGCCAAAACGTCATTGGCGCATCAATGGTACGTCGATCCAACATCCGTCAGTGTCTGGCGTTTATCCGTCCCTATCTCTCGAAATACATCACCAAAGAGTATTTGCGAAACAATGATGGCACGCTACTCCACCTCATTCTACAGGCTGCCTGTTCTACCAAGGACCCGGCGTTTGTCAAGCTCTGGATAACACGTTGTACCGACGAGTTTGACTTTACGCTCAATGAAACATCCTACTCGATCCTGCTGCGATTCAACCTCATCCACGGCAAGACCGAGGAGTTTGAAGCACTGGTCGACGAGATGAAGACCAAACATGCCAGACTCACCTACACTGTCCTCAGCAACCTCGTCGTCTTTTACCACATTAACAACCAAACCGCAGAATACAACAAGTACCTCAAGAAAATGTTGAATCTTGAAAACTTGTCCAAGGATCTGTTTGTATCGTCGGTTGAGCAAATCATCAAGTTGTACTTGTTGCGTGAGGATCCCGTGTCGGCTAGATACTGGTTCGATAGCTACGTCAAGGGCAAAAAGGCGTCCAAGGAACTCATCTTTTACTTTATTGCATACTACAAGGCAAAGGCACTCAAGACACTGGAGCAAGAGTGGATCGACAAGTTGGAGGAAATCTACAAGGAAAAGTTTAGCGAGTTGGTCAGATTACCAGTCTACTCCAAGATTATCAATCTCATCACCTATGAAAACTCTGGTATCATTGAATACCAATCAAACGCCATCAAACAATATCGTCGTGCTAAAAAAGAACAAGAATTACAATTATTAGAATTGGCTGATTTGGCAAATGAAATTGATTTTAAGTCAAATGAAGAAGATAAGGATGAAGATGAAGATGAAAATGAAGATGAAGATGAAGATGAACAAGAATATGAAAATGAAATGGAAGAAAATGAAATTAAAGATTTAGATATACTAAATGTAAATCAAGATAATACTAATACTATTAATAATAATATTCAACAACATCAATAATAATTCTTATACTTATTTTCCAGATTGGAAAAAAATAAATATATATATATATTGTATTTGTAATAAATATCAACCTTATTTAATCTTTATAGATGGTCGCGACTATGGTATAGACATATTAAATAAATCTTGTTCTAAAACTTGAATTGTTTTCATACAAATTAATGATTTGATATCATCCCAAGTGATCAATGGTTCGAGTTGCCTGAGTTCTAGTCCACTGTCTGTAGATTCTTGTAGTCTTATACATAGACGTTTTCTGAGTTTGGTGATGGCTTGACTACAGTCACGTCGTGATTCTATCAATGCACGCAATCGAATGTAATCATCATCACCGCCAAATGAATTGACCACCTCTTCGGCAGTCACAATCTTGTCAATATATGCTTTGGTTTGTTCGCTCACTTGAGACTCTTTTCTGAGGTAGACGTGTCCACACGTATCAGATGTTTGAAGTTGTATGTTTGCCTGGCCCATTGACCTGGCATCTGGTTTCACTCGATTCAACATTGCAGTGGTCCACTCACCGCTCTTCATCGATCGATTGGCCAACAATCTGAATTCAAAGTCCATCAATTGATGCATGAACCCATTATTTGGTAGGATGATTGATCGTCGATCCAACACAGTGTAATAGAGTTGGCTGAGTGGCAGTCGCTTTGACATCAACAAGTATCCAAGTATAACAGACGCCGATCTACTACGACCTGCCAAACAATGAACAAATACTCTTCCCTTTTCCAATCTAGCTTCCTCTATGAAATGGTATGCCTGTTCTTCAATGAACGGTATAATCGGTTGATCTTCCTCATCCTCCAAATGACCCTTTAACACTTTGTAATCAGATTCTCCATGTAATTTACCAGCACAACTAATCACATGACTAATTTTAAATTGTTTCATTTCATTCACATTCTTTGTATCTCTAAAACATAAATAGACAACTAGCTAGATTAGTGTCTCTCTATATATATTTGCATTGTCGTGGTCAACAATGTTAAACATACCTTGCAGCTCCGAGATATAAAAAGTTTGGTATAATTGTTGAGATTCCCATTATTAATTATTATTATTACTATCTATCTATCTTTGTAACAAGTAAAGTATGATTCTACATGTGTATGTATAAACATTTTTGAAAGGTGTATGTTGATAAATAAAACTAAACTAAAAAAAAAAGGAGAAAAAAAAAGAATAGTAAAATTTTTTAATGGCCAACTGTTAACATATGATTGATTTATGATTATTATTTATAGACTGGAATTAGATGGAAGTGATCTAGAAGTAATATATTTTTATAGTATGTGAATGTTTGGTAAAATGATAATAGAATCGATACTATAGAGTTTAATATTAAATATAACATTAAATAGAATATGTAATTGATCATTACTTATTATTATTATTATTTAAAATTTGATTGAATGGAGTGAATTGATTGAACTGATCTGACAGTTTATACATACCATATTAATACTTTTTAATGTACACTGGAGGAGACTCCAAAAGATATTTACTTTACCCCACTTTTCGAAAGCCCAATAATATTATTTGTGTGTGGTTGAAAAAGGAAGGGACTCAATGCCTTCATGCATAATAAAAGTAATTATTTATTTTCCAACCACCCAGTGAACCTCCAAACAATCACAACAACCATCCCCCTTTTCATTCTAATGAATCATTCTAACAAACTCTATCTTACTTATCTTGTTTGTTGATATTATTATTTGTATATTATCTTTTTTCCTTATTCCTCTTCAATATTGTAATTTAGTTTGTATATTTTAAAAAAAAAAGTTTATCTATCATTGTATTATTCTTTCTTTCTTTCTTTCTTTTATTCTATTTGTAAATTTATCAATCTATACCTATCTATCTTATCTATTTGTATTTTTGTATTCAAAATAAATGAATAATATTATATCATCGATTGGAAAGAGGACACTTTCATCACCATCATTAAAGAATATTGTGAATGTTGCCTCTTCCTCTTCTTCAACATCGACCACCACCAACATTTCAAGTTTCCAATGTCACCAAAACCCAAGATACATTGGATCATCATCATCAAAGACATGTTTACTCAATTCATCAACTACAAGATCAAATTTAAATACTTATGGTATGTATACTACAGTAAATGTAACAAGAAAGAATCTTTTGCTTGAAGGATTGAAAAAGAAAAGATTTTGATTAAAAAATTAATATCCCGACCTTTGGCCAGAAATGGAAGGTTGTTTGGTTTTTCAAAAAAAACTTGAAGATCATCATATTTACTTTGCTTATTACTTTTTGTAACATATATATATAACAAAAAAGAAATTAGAAACTTTCAATCATCATCATCAACAAGATGGAGTGTATTTAAACCAAGTTGGATAAGTAGATTCTCTGCTACTGCAACTGAATCTCCATCATCGTCACCTTCGTCATCATCAGGTGATATTGCAGAACAACTATCTGATCTAACAGGTAGACCCTATGGTGAATTAGTAATTGGTGTACCATCTGAAATCTATCAACATGAGAAACGTGTTGCACTTACTCCAGAAAACGTAGCATTACTTCTTAAAAAGGGTTTTAAAGAGATCATTAGTATGTATCATACAACAAATGATATATATATTCAAAACAACATATATGTATGTACTTACAACTTTATTATTTTTTTCTAATATAGTTGAAGAAGGAGCAGGTAAAGGAGCAAAATTCCCAGATCAAGCATATATAAGTGCAGGTGCAAAGATTGGTACGGCTCAAGATGTAGCTGACCGATCGGATATTGTTCTAAAGGTTAGACCACCACAATTCAACTCGAGTTTGAATAAACATGAAGCTGCACTGTACAAGAATGGAGCTACGGTGATTAGCTTTTTGTATCCCGCTCAGCAACAGGCTCAAGAAACATTAAAGCTGATGAGTGAGAGAAAGATCACTGCCATTGCAATGGACTGTATCCCACGTATCACAAGATCACAAGGATTCGATGCACTCTCTTCGATGGCCAACATTTCAGGTTACAAGGCGATTGTAGAGAGCTCCAACTTTTTCGGACGATTCTTTAGCGGACAGATCACAGCTGCCGGCAAGATCCCACCTGCCAAGGTGCTGGTGATTGGTGCCGGTGTGGCCGGTCTCAGTGCCATTGGTACCGCCAAGGGTTTGGGAGCAGTCGTGCGTGCGTTTGACACACGTGCAGCTGCCAAAGAACAGGTGCAGTCGATGGGAGGAGAGTTCTTGGAGGTGCACGTCAAGGAGAGCGGTGATGGAGGAGGTGGGTACGCCAAGACCATGTCCAAGGAGTTTATCGAGGCTGAAATGGCACTGTTTGCCAAACAGTGTAAAGAGGTTGATATCGTGGTCACTACTGCCTTGATTCCAGGCAAACCAGCACCAAAACTCATCAGCAAGGATATGATCGAGTTGATGAAACCTGGAAGTGTGTTGGTTGATTTGGCAGCTGAAACGGGTGGCAATTGTGAGTTGACTCAGCCCGGTGAGGTTGTCAATCATCGTGGTGTGTCGATTGTCGGGTACACTGATTTCCCCTCGCGTATGGCTACTCAGTCGAGTCAGCTCTACTCTAACAACATTGTCAAGTTCCTCTTGTCACTTGGCAGCAATGAATTCAAGATAGACTTAAAGGACGAGGTGACTAGAGGATCGACAATCCTCCAAAAGGGAACGTTGGTATGGCCACCTCCACGAAAGGAGGTACCTCCCCCACCACCCAAACCAGCAGCCACCACAACCCATGTCGGTACAGTCGTTCCTGCCAAGCCCGAGGAAACACTTTACAACTCGACACTTAAAAAGGCATTGATCTCAGCTGCTGGTTTGGCCGGTCTCGGTGTCATCACCATCAGTATGCCCGGTCCGTTTATGGCTAGTTTGACCACATTCGCACTCAGTTGTATCATTGGATACAAGGTTGTGTGGGGTGTCACTCCCGCTCTACATTCACCACTCATGAGTGTTACCAATGCCATCTCTGGTATTGTCGCGGTCGCTGGTATCCACATGATGGGTGGTGGACTGCTCCCATCGACCACTGCCAACGTGCTAGCTGCATCGGCCGTCTTTATGAGTTCGATCAACATCTTTGGTGGTTTCTATATCACCAAGCGTATGTTGGATATGTTTAGACGTGCTACTGACCCACCTACATACGAGTATCTCTTTGGTATCCCCGCTGCCGCATTTATGGCAACTTATATGGCTATTGCTCCACCCAACCCTTCACTCACCGAAATGAGCTATCTCATCTCATCGGCATTGTGCGTACTTGCTATTGGTGGTCTCAACAGCCAAAAGACAGCTCGTATGGGTAATGTCCTCGGTATGAGTGGTATCGCTATCGGTGCCCTTGCAACACTCGGCACCATCGCCCCTGCTGCACCCCTCCTCGGTCAGATCGCCCTCATGAGTGCTGCTGGTGGTGGTCTCGGTTTACTCATTGCCAAAAAGGTTGGTGTCACCGAGTTGCCTCAACTTACCGCTGCATTCCACTCGTTTGTCGGTCTTGCTGCCGTCCTCACCTCTGCAGCTGCCTTTATGGGTGACGGTAACATTGCACACATGGATATGATCCACAAGAGTGCCATCTACCTTGGTACTGTGATTGGTGGTATCACCTTTACCGGCTCGCTCGTCGCCTTTGCCAAGTTACAAGGACAAATCTTTAGTTGGAAGGTTCCCACCAAACCTCTGATGCTACCCAACCGTAATGCCATCAACGGTGGTATTGCACTTGCCAATCTCGCCACGATGGGTATCTTTTTGACAACCACCAACCCTGCACTCGGAGTCACCTGTCTTGCTGCCAGCAGCGCACTCTCCTTCCTCCAAGGTCATCTATTGACCGCCGCTATTGGCTCGGCCGACACACCTATCGCCATCACCGTCCTCAACTCGTACTCTGGCTGGGCACTCTGTGCTGAAGGTTTCATGCTCAACAACAACTTGCTCACCATCGTCGGTGCCTTGGTCGGCTCGTCTGGTGCCATTCTCAGTTATATCATGTGTGTTGCCATGAACCGTTCGTTGCCAAACGTCATCTTTGGCGGCTACGGTACCAACTCTACTGGAACGGGTGAGGTCATGAAGATCACCGGTACTCACACCGAGACCAACGTCGAACAGGTTGCCGAAGCCTGTACATCGGTCAAGAACATTATCATTGTGCCAGGATATGGTTTGGCCGTGTCTAGAGGTCAATATGCCGTTGCAGAAATGACAAAGGCTCTCACTGAACGTGGCATTAATGTCCGTTTCGCTATTCACCCAGTCTGTGGACGTCTCCCAGGCCAATTGAACCTTATTCTCTCTGAAGCCGGTGTCCCATACGACATTGTCCACGAAATGGAGGATATCAACCACGAGATGCCATCGACCGACTTGGTGTTGGTCATTGGTGCCAACGACACAATCAACAGTGCCGCCGTAGAAGATCCAAATTCAGCCATTGCAGGTATGCCAGTCGTTGAAGTATGGAAGGCCAAACAAGTCATCGTATTCAAGAGATCTCTTGCTGGTGGTTATGCCGATATCCCAAATCCAGTATTCTACAAACCAAATACATCAATGTTATTTGGTGATGCCAAATCAACCTGTGAAGCTTTAAAAAATAAGATCATCTCTACTCTTGATAATTAAATTTAAATTAAATTAAAATCAAATCAAATAACCAATTATAAAAATAAATAATAAATAAAAATAAATCATCGAAAATTAAGAGCAGTTCCTTTTTTTTTTTTTTTTTCATTGATCCAGGAAGATTAGATAAGTAGAGTACAGTGATGATCGGTGCAGAATAGTAATAGTTTAGTGGAGTTGCAGATATCATGGTTGGTCTATTGGTTTAGAAAGAAGACTGGGTATGGAGCAGCGATCCTGCCCAGTTGGACCTCATTGGGTCGATAGAGTACTGCTTGTTTCCTCTGTACGTCGCGTTCAAGTGGTGGCACCAAGTTCGATGAAAGAGAATCGCCACAACGTTGGCGTATCGTTGTGGGTACTCTGTGCGTTGTAAAGTTTAGAGCATGCATCCAACATTCCACTGCACTCTATTGTCGGTCCAGTCGAGTAGCAGCTTGCTGAACGTCGAGATGGTTGGATGTGGATGCAGTCGAAGAGATTGTGGATGACTGGTGCCGTGTGAATGGATTCATCGAATTTGGTTAGGCACGCTGCGTATTGGTTGCGTCGTCAGGGACCTTTTCATGGCTCTTGCAAGGAATCGGAAGAGGGTGTCTCTTACTGTAGGACACTTGACCATCGCCACAGCTTCGAAGATCGCGTTCAATGCTGGTGGCAAAGAGTCGTTCGATTTCCTTTTGGTCGACCGTCTTTGTTATTACCTTGGTTGGTTGGATGGATGCTTGGAGAGCAGCATAGATCTGTTTGAGGTCGATTGGTTCCTCTGGTTCTTCAGGTCCCTGCTTGGAGGTAATGAGTTTTGGCAGGTTGAGACCTTAACCAGGGAATGGGTTGGGCTTCGTGTCGTTTTACAGTTGGAGCCGTACATCCCAACATGATTATTTTTCTATTTTCTTTTTTTTTTTTTTTTTTTAACATCTATGACTACCACCATTCACATCCGTGATAGTCTTTTTTGTTTTATTATTAATAAGAGTTTAAAATACAAGTTTTAGAGGTTTAGAGAGAGAAGGTTATATAATGGTATCTACTAGCAAGAATGAAGGGATAGGGTAGGGAGCCGCGAGTTTTCCCCAGGTGACAGAGAAACGTTTACATTGCGCGACTAGTTCGAGACTGGTTAGCGGCCAACGATTAGGTTGGCATTTAGACAGTTTAGACTTGCAGTGATCAACTAGCTTTAGGTACTCTAGGTATATTACAGATTTGAGACGACTGGTGACGATTGCGACTTCATTTGTATCGATCGCATATTGGTTGTTGGCATTGTTGGTGTAGAAAGAAACATGCGCATGGTGGCACCATGCGCGATGGAAGAGAATAGCGACAGCATTAATGAGTAGCGGTGTGGATGTGCCCTCTGTTTGGTAAAGTCCAGGGACATGTACATTCCACTGTACTCGGTTATCGGTCCAATCGAGCAGCAGTTTGCTAAACAGAGGAGCACGAGATTGGATGTGGATACAATCAAACAAATAATGTATGGCTATAGAGGAGTGAATCGAATCGTCAAACACGGTGTGGCATGCAGCACACATGTCTCGGGTGTCTGCTGGAGTGCGCTTCATGATCCTAGCAAAGAATCGGAAGAGTATCTCTAGCGGTTGGACACTTGATGGATGTGATGGCAACAAAGATTGGGTCGAGGCTGGTGCCAAACAAACCTTCAATTTCTTTTTGGCCAGTGGTTCTCTGGGAGGTCGATGGTTGGTTGGCGGCTAAGAGTGCAAGATAGATGCTCTTCAATTCAATTGGCGTGTCTTGTTGTGACGAACTGTCTCTAGTTGAGGCGTGGTTAGACGATCCAGAGTGGGCAGGAGCATCCTTGCTAGAGATGTGGGTTGGTAGGTAGGGGCCAAAGCCAGGGAAGGGGTCAGGGTGGGTGGCATCGTACAATTGTCGCCACGCCTCCCAGCATGTTTGGAAATAATTGGAGCTGTTGGACAACGAGCCGGGTCGTAGATATTCACCCAACATATGACTAGTCCATACCTTGCGGTATGACAGTGGGTTGGCTGAAGGGTTGGCGAGGAACCTGTTCATCGTCCAAGCTTTTTGGGCGACTTGACGGACGTCCATGTCCCAGAGACCGATGCCACCTTTAGACCAGTGGGGAGCTGCTCTGGGTCTGGCGATGTTGTTCCGGTATCTGTAATCTTTGATGTATGTTGACGATGCTGGAGAGTAAAGAAACCAATTAATCAGACTATTCAACTGACCAACCTCTTCTTTTCCCAATGTTTCTATGTAAAGGAAGTAGGTTAACTTGGACAATGAATAAGATTTGATGATTGTCATCGAGGCTCTCAATGTCTTTGATGGCAACATGGGAGATCGAGTCAAATGCTTTATGAAAATCGCATAATGTAATAAAACCAGACTGTTTATTGCGATTGGAGTAATCGATCACTTCGGTACGAAACCAGTTTGATTCTCGTTGATGATGGCTGAGTGGAAACCAAGCAACCGGTTGTTAATCATCAGCGACAATATTTTATAATCGGTATTCTATTTTCCGTATTGCCACTGCTCTCAATCATTGTGAACTTACCTATAGTATCGGGTGCACCCTGTTTTAAATGATAAAACCTGATCTGTATGCAAGTTCACAATGATTAAGATGACTGTTGGTGTATAGTATGCAAGCTATATATGGTATGTACGTATGTTATAAACAATTATATTTATGTATTTATTTCTTTTATTTCTCTAATTTAATAGATTGAATTTTTCAATTATTAATTCTCTAACATCTTGATCATAGACCTTTCTAACAAATAATAGATTGGTATCCAAGTTGTCTATATCTTGTTTCTCGACTGCATAACGTCTGCTTGGGATATGTGCATTCTTGGACCATAGAGTCATTCTTCTAGAATCCAACCATTGTTGGTTGGGATAGAGAGGATAAAAGTATTTAATGGCTTGGAAGAATGCTTCATCTGGAATCGATGTGAATTTAAGTGACAACATTCTTTCAATAGAACGTAGATCGCTTATGGCATGATAGGCAAATTCATAACGAACCAAATGCCATTGACTGCCATAACCACCAGTTGCCAATTCAAATTGTTTTAATGATCCCATCTCTCCACAATCATATTTATCAAATACCATTTCATCTACTTTTTGGAAATTATTTTCTTTTAAATACCATGTCGTCTAAAGAGATAAAAAGAAAAAAGAAAGAAAAGGAAAAGGTCAGCCAATACAAATAATATTATTTGATTCAAATATATATTTGAATCTACTCTACTTACATTATATCTAGGTTTATAATTTTCAAGATCATAATGTTGTAAATAGTTTGTTTGGAAATTGGAACAAAGTAAAGATTCAAAATTGGCAAGTGATTTGAGTGGCATGTCATTACCACTAAAGTTGATGACATGAGAGAATTGAGTAAAACTATCTTGATTCGACAAACCAGATGCAATACCAATACTTCTTCTTTGTTTAACCATATCAAACAAAAAGGTGTATGATGTTAACTCCATATACACCAATGATGGAGCACCCCAATACCCCATAAATGGAGAATCCATCACTCTAATATTCATAGGGTAATTCTTTTCTTTTTGTTCTACTGTCAATTTAGATTGGAATATTTCAAGTGCATCCTTTTCAATTTCTTTTATATCATTTTCATGTCTTTTATCAACTAAGAAAGAAATTAAAAAAGAATTTAATATTATTAATATTATATTATTATTATTTTCTTTCTTTTTGATGTTTGAACATACTATTAATAACATAATAATGTTTAGTTGAATATAATAATTTCATTAATGTTTTAAATGTTTGAGAGTCATAACTGGTGATCAACATGACAAATGCCAATGGTGGTTTGTTTTCTTGATTGCATTCTCTTGGTAGGTATTGGAGCTTGTCGGTGTTGTTGTGGTATCGAAGAGCATAGACTAGTTTGGTACGGTCACGTCCAAAGGGCAATTCTCCTTGTACAGAGACATGATGTTTAAGATAGTTGATATCGTTTTCATCCCATGGACCATAAGTCTTTAATAGTCGACGAATCTTGGCGTGTTGAACAATTTCAGAGTTGTCATCCAAGAACCAAGCAGTTTGTCCAAGGTTAGTTGTATTCTTTGAAGTTCTAGATTTTGACCAACAACATAGTGGTCCTATATTGATATCTCCATCTCTTGCTTCACCACATGGTAACTTTGTATTGGTTGTTGTATTACTTGTGATTGGTGATGATGTGGCATCAAACAACTCACATTCCGATCCTTTATAACCAGCTGCACATATACACTCTCTGTCAAAGTACACTCCACCATTATTACATAATCGTAGTTGATTATCGTCTACTACTTTCTGACTAATACTAATTGTACATTTAATATTAACTAAAATTAAAATGAATAAAAACAACAAAAGTTGTTTCAATTGATCCATCCTAACTAAAAAAAAATAATACTAAACTATTATTATCTATCTAAATTAAAATAAATATATAAATATGTGATAATCAAAATGAGGTAGTGAATCAAACCTATCTATCTATTGCAATCATAATCAATATATTTATTTCCAAATGTAGAATTGTATACACCATCCACAATTTATTCGTCTTTTTCATTAAAATATCATTGTAGTGTGTGGTTGGTGGAGTGGGTGGATTGAGAGTGGGTCAACAATTGTGTGTTGTTTTTTAATACCATAGTAGTCATTGTTGTTGAAGAGAATAATAAACAATAGTAGTAGTAGCAGAACTTCGTTGAGTGAAAAATGTATATGAAGATCGATCGCTTAAAAGTATAGGGGGATTGTGTTGATCATTGATCAAAAATCAATCACAATCCATGTAGATTGAGATTAAAACCCAACACACCACACCCACTTGAATCACAGTATAAACAGAGATGAAGAACCATTCATCTCAATCAGAGAATGGATCGAATTCCTCCTACTTTTTCAACACCCACCCACATCTCTCTACCTCTCTCTTTGTCTCAATTCAACCATTGCTAAAGATAGATAAATGAAATCATGGCTGTTTGAACGGAGGCTTTTCCCCAGCTGATCACTGATCCCTCACTCTCTCCCTTGTCATCCATCAATAATAGTTTAACTCCTTCTTCTTTTGCTTTACATCTCTTTGTTGGTGTCGACACTTGTTTCTGTCATACAATCGATTTGACCAAATCCTTTGGTTTCCCCAATACCATCTAAAAGAAATTAAATAGTTTTCCTTTCATTTAAAAATAAATATAGTTTTTTAGAGTTAGAGATATTATTATTTATTGTAAATTAATTAATTAGTAAGTAACAATATATTTATAATTTATAATTTATAAATATTATATTTCCCAATCAAGGGATAATTTAATAATATTATTTAATCAGATAAATCATAATAATAAATCATAATAATAATTTTAGTTCAAAAATAATAATAATTAATAATAATAATAGAATTAATATTTATTACCATTAATAGTAATAATTATATATATCAAAAGGTTACAACAAAAACCAAAACAAAACAAAAAAAAATCAATTCATCTTTATGACATCATAAAATTGATATCAACTAGAATTCGATCCATCTTAATTTTCACAACTATTCTCTACTTTTGTCTTCATCGTTTTTGTTGTTTGTTCACAACTATTTTGTTTGTTCCCTATTCCATATGGTTCTATAACCAATTTCTCAAAGTGTTGGATGATATGACTGGCTGTTTCCTTTATTCATCCTCCAAGAGATGCATTTATTCAATTTTACTTTATTTTTTCATACCAACCAGACTCTGTCAAATTCTACTATTATTTTGCATTTCGAGGTGTTTAGGGTTCCATCGCAAATTCATTCCTTTCACATGTCTATCGCAATTCCTTTATTTCTGTTTTCCCCCCCTCACATCTACCACCACACCACACCACACCCACCACCATTATCAAAACCCAAGCTTGGAACATTTTTTAACTAAGAAGCAGTTCACTACCCACACGCATCCGTGGGAGAGATTTATCATTGCCTTTGTCTGGTCACAGCGATGTTGGTCAGAGAAAGTAAAACAGGAATACCCAAATAGGATAAACAATACTATTATTCCTTTGGTCAATAATATAATATATAATATATATAAAATATAGTTTTAATAATTATTATTATTTTACACATATTTAGGAATATATATCCTTTAGATAATTATCTAGAAGTAGTAGAATTATTATTATACATCCAACAAACCAAGTGCGATCATCACCTACTTCCCTACCACAACATACCAACCAAATCACCAACCATCCCAACCATTTTGCATTGAAATTGTTTTATTTCAAAAAAAAAAAAGTAAAGTTAAAAATATAATACTACTACCCTTTTATTGTAAAATCAAACAAATCCAAATCCGAAACGAATAGAACAAATAATATTATATATATCAAATAATCAAAAAAAGGTAAGATTTTAAAAAAACAAATATTTATCTATTATTGTTTTTCTCTTTTTGTTTTTTTTTTTGTTTTTTTTTTTTTTGGAAATAATATTTCCATCCATCCTATACTATCATATCCAATCCAATGGGTTGACCACATGACTATTTTTAAAATTCATGGATTGGATGGTTGGATCCCATCCCATCTCAACTCGTTTGATTGTTGTTGCTGACAATCATCAGACAGCCAGCCTTCTTGTTTTTCTACAACCCTTTGTGATTGATCATACTTTCTTTCCATCCAACACCCCCATTAAAAATCCACATCTTCTTTATTTGTAATACATCGTTTCTCGACAAAAGAATGAATCTATTCAAAGCAACATTATTATCAACATCATCATCATCATCAAAACAACAAAAACAGTTTATCATCTACCTTTTTTTCTTCCAATTGTTGTTATTTTTTCTGCTTTATTGGAAAGTTTCGCAAAAGTGTATCCGTCCAGTCCAGATGGATATGGTACAAAGAGAAGGGTACGGAGTAAAATCACCCTCATGCACGAGTTGGAAGCAAGACGAAGATTTAACCGAGTAGGACGAGTACATGTATTTGTGAGAAAGAGCTAGATCAAACGAGGGAATAATTCTTTATGATTATTTTCCTTTCTGCTTTTTCAAACCATTTATATTATTATTCCATTTACTCGCTGCGTAACACACCAGATCATTATCATCATGTCATGTTTGACAATGTTGATGTTGTTGAGGAGGGGTAGGAGAAATAGTGGAATCATGAAGAATTTAAACAGTGTGAGTGTGTGTGAGTGCAGCCATTCAATTGTTTAGTTTGTTGATTGATGAAGATACCAACACCAACAAAACATCAAAAGTTGAGTTGTTGTTGTTATTGTTGGAATGCCATTCATTTAAAAGAATGGTTTGTTTGTCCCCCACACACCTCTAGGTCATCATCCTCCTCCTCCTCCTTCTTCTTCTCTATTCCATATCCATCCATTTATCCATCCATCCATCCATCCACACCTACACACCGACACACACACCTACACATGTTATGCAAAGATATATGATGGTTGGTATCCATCATCAATCATCAACCAACAACAACATCATCATCATTAATACTGTAAATACCACAATCAGTATATACAATGTAAATAATTTGTGCTTTTCTGTTATAGTTGTTGTGTTTTTAAAATGTTATTTTAAGCAGTTCAACAACACAACCTAAAAGATGTAGTGCAATGTGTTATTGTTGTTGTTGTTCGTTATCATAACTACTACCACCAACTACCACTCTTATCTATACACCACATTTTAATCGTTTCGGTGGGTGGGTGGATGGAGATGAAGAAAAAAAAAATCAATACTCTCAGTCAGTCACAACAGTGTTTATGTGTTTGTTTGTGTGTCGTGTCAAGGATTGTGTGTGTTTGTGAATTAAAAACAAGATCACAACAGCAGGAGAGGAGAAGTTGTGTAAAAACTGGAAAGGAAGATTAAAAACACTTGGATAACACAAAATGAACTGTTTGTTCCCCTCTCTCCTCATCAACTACTACTACTACTACTACCTCTGACCTGTGATTTGATTGTATAACTCATGAATCATGATAATTACAATTGCATAGGTAGGTGTGTTGTGTTGTGGGTGTGGGTGTGGGTGTGATGATGTCTATTATTTTTTTTGGTAGGATGCGATGGGTACGCCATCATCATCCATATTTCTCTCTCCTCTCTCTCCTTTCCCTCCTCCATCATCAATGCAAATTATTATCAGATGGAAACTAGTGGTGTTTAATGTTTAGTGTTTAGTGTGTGTGTCTTTCACACATCGCTGAAATGTGACAACACTCTAGAGAGTGAAAAAAAAAAGCTGGAAGGATGGAGAGTTGTGCTTTTAATTGGAAATGACGGTTACTCTATGCTTCCCTCCTCTCTCTCTCTTCCTCTCTCCATATCAACTCTCTCTCTATTGTGTAATTGTTGTGTTGTTGTTGTTATTCTTACCGCTGCTACTGTTGCTACCGACTGATGTTGGTGCAGGAGCTGGTGCACCAGCCACCTACTACACATTATTTTAAATTTCTGCTACTGCTGCTACTACTACTACTACTGCTGCTGTTGATTCTTTCCATCATCACCAACACCAGTAGCAGCAAGAATAACAACACAACTGTTGTCAATGTAGCTGTTGTGAGTGGTGGTTGTGATGATGCTGGGGATGGCTGGCTGGATGTTTGTTGGATTTTAAATTTTGGTTCTCAACAGCAGCAAGCATGCAGCATCCATCATGATAGATCAATCATTGAACACCAACACCAAAGGTAAAACTCTTTTGTTCTCTTATTGTTGTTGCTGCTACTTTTGTTGAATCACAACGCAACAACAACAAACAAAACAATTGTTTTAAATTTTATATTATTTTTATAAAATAATAATAATAATAATATTTAAATTAAATTATCAATCAAAATCCAATCAACACAAAAGATAATAATCGTTGTACAACAAAAATATCTGGGATTCCCCAAACGAAAAAAAAAACAAAACCTTTTGAGAGTAAATTTTAGTTTTAGTCAACCATCAATTCTTCTCTTCCATCAACCCATCCCAACCAAAATTGTATCTAAAAATTAAATAGTACCATCCATCTTTTCATCACTGTCCCACTGTTTTTTAAACAAAGATAACAATTTCCATTCGTCTCATCAAACAATCAGGATTTCAAAACACCCACACTATTTTTGGATTTAAAAAGATCAAATACTACTTGATCTATCAATATTTTGTTCTATCCATCTTTTTTAAGATCCATCCTTCCCTTTCTCTCTCCTCTCTTGTTTATTCACATTGCCAAGTTATTTATAATAGCTTTTTCCATTTCTTTTTGTTCATCAAATTATTTATTTAATTATTTATTAAATACTAATCTTTTATTTATTTATTTATTTAAATAGTCTAAACCCACCACCACCACTACGAACCATCCATCCATATTATATATTAATCTCAACATCAATTTATTTATTTAATTTATTTATTATTCAATTTAAAAGTTTTTTTCAAAGATTCTTTGAACAATGAGTCTAAACATGGCTCCCATTATTACAAACTCCAACGGATTATTCACTACTCAACCATCGTCACCCAACTCGACACCATCGCCCACCTCGTTGGACGATATCAGCCATGTCAAGGATGAAGACACATCTGACCCAACCTCGCCAGGTGGCTCGTTGGACACACCAAAAAAGGCCGGTCGCAGAAAGATAAAGATCGAGTTTATCGACGACAAGAGCAGACGTCATATTACATTTAGCAAGAGAAAGGCTGGCATCATGAAAAAGGCATACGAATTGTCGACTCTGACCGGAACCCAGGTTCTCCTGCTTGTTGCCAGTGAAACTGGACACGTTTACACATTTGCAACATCCAAGTTGCAACCCCTCATCACTAGAGCCGACGGCAAGAATTTCATCCAACAATGTCTCAACACACCAGACACCAATATCAACTCATCACCCATTGCCACGTCGAGCAGTATGACGCGTACCCCCACCAACACCACCTCTCATCACCAAGCCCAACAACAACAACAACAAGCTGCCCAACAACAAGCACAGCAACAAGCTCAGCAACAAGCTGCCCAACAAGCCCAACAACAAGCCCAACAACAAGCCCAACAACAAGCACACCAACAACAAATGCAACAACAACAGCAACAACAACAACAACATCCATCACCAACTCAACAAGCAATCCAAGCAATGCACCAACACCAGGCCTTGCAACAACACCTATCACAACAATACCCAGAGTCATTGATGGCTATGGGATACTCTGGCGCAGATGCATTGTACAATTCAGAGATTGGCGACAAAGTGGTCGAGGAGAGAGCTCGAGGTAAAGGAGGGGTTGTCGACAAATATCTTCCATCTCAAATTGATCATTTGGGATATCAAAACACTCAAATGTACGCAGTTGGTGGTTATTACGCTCAATCAATCAGTAATGGAAATCGAGGTTATGTAGGAAGTGCTTCATCTTCTCCAACCTCTCCAACTCAATACGCTTCTTATCCAACTACTGGTTTACTTCAAGGTTATCCATCAAATTAAATAATAATATTAATAATAATCTAAAATAATAATAATCAATAATAATAATCAACCTACCTACATATATTTATATCACAGTTTTTATTTGTTACCTATATAATATTACTCAACTCAACTCTACTCAACTCAACACTCATCCATCCAAAACACACCACCCAACAATATTTATATATAATGCGTTCAAAATAATAATTAATAATTAATATATTAATTCCTGATCACCCTCCCCTTCATGTCACGACCAAACCCTACCCAACTCAAACCAAACCAAACCTAAAAAATCATTGTAAATTTAAATAAATAAACAAAACTAAAACTGGTTTCTATAAAACCCTTAAAACAACAACCAATATTGGCTATATATAGTATTATTTATTTGATTTATTATTTTAATAATTTAAAACTATCAAAAGTAAACATACTTGTATCATAGGAATCTTGAAATTTATCTTGTAATGATTTCATTGATATTTTAACACCAATGTTACCTTGCATGACAGCCAATTTGACAAGATATCTTTCAATTTCAATTTCAGACATGACATTTGGGTTGGGTGATCCAACTCTGACGGCAGAGTCAAACAACATACTGGCTGCTTTGTATTTACCCATTCTTGCTGGTTTTTCATTGATCATTTTCATTGATTGCAGTTGTGATGAAAAGAGTAGTTTGGTGTCGTTGTGATACTCGATCAATGAGATTGGTACGGTGGATGTTGGATCGTCAAATGGTAGTCTTTCAACTGATATTTCGGCAATGTGTGAACTGTCTTTGGTCGACACAAAGATGAGGTTGTTGTGACCACTGTGCTCTGAGATGTTGAGTTGGATGGGAATGAGCACTGAAAAATTGGACATGAGGTTGCAGTAGAGGTTGTACTGTGCGAGTGAGCCAACTCTAGTGTCTGCTTTGATTTCATTTTCACGAGCTACCTCTTTGAGTCGCAGAGACGAATAGATTGCGTTAAAGAGTGGGTGGTAGCGATGCATCTCGCCTTCCAACGCAGATATGCCAAATTGGATATAGGTGTCTTCGACAATCACGATGATCGTCTCGCTGCTGTATGTCTTGGCTGTGTCCTTATCGTCTTGTTTGGTGGTTTGGAACTTGGTTTGGAATCGAACGGCGGTGTGTTTGTAGTCGGGGAGACCGAGTGTCGCGTGTTCAGTGTCTTCTTTGGCGACGGTCGTCTTGACAACCGACTGTGCAATCGAGTCTTTGGACAGTTGTCCGTGCAACGTCTCTATAAACGTTTCGGCGGGCAGGCCGGTCTTACCCACTTTGAAGCTCAACACGAGGTCGTCGACCAATGTCGACTTCATCACTATACGGTTACCCTTGGCATCGTCAGAATGACGCTTCCAAAATGGCGATCGCTGCGAGGGTAGATACGAGGTGACTTGCATGTATGTATCCAATTTAGCGCCATTCTCTCGACACGCCTCCCACACAATATCGTGTGGTGCGAGGTATGCAAACTTGAGACCCGTTCGTCTCACCAATTTAAATGTACTTGCCATGTGCTTGAGCAGTGGTCCCAATTCCTCTCTATCTTTTGCCGATCCAGTTGTCAACTGCACCGTGTAGAGTGTGTCACCATCCAACATTACATACTCGTCTATAAACTCGCTCTCTGTGAAATCGTATCGCCAATAATGACCTTCTTTGCCATCTGGCCCAATCCCAGTTTCATAACCATCGACCACTCTCAATGCATCTTCTTTTAATGATTTGGTCATCATATCTACATATTTTGGGAATGTAACTTCACCATTTAATTTCTCTTTATAGAAGAAGAAGAAGAAGAAGAAGTAATAGTTGTTGTTGTTGTTGTTGATGAGATGATACACATAACAATATTAACTCGATTGGTTAGTATATCAACCTTGAATCATTGATCATAGTATACCAACCTTTAAGATTTTCAGATACAATCATGATTGCAGACTTTGAGGTGTATCTTTCAGACAACTCCTTTCCTTGTGGTAAAAAGACATAGACTCTTTGTGTCACTCTTGCTATCTTCCAAGTGTCAGGGTATTCAATATGTATTCCATCACATAACCCAATATCGAATAATCTATATCCTTGTTCTTTATCTTCCATTTCTCTCTCCTCTACTATACTCCTCGACTCCTATCGATATCTATCTGACTTTTCTATATATATATCTGTATTAGTAGTCTAATCGATCAATGAAATACTGCAGTATTGTGAGCAAAGACGACAAAATTTTAAATATTTTCAAAGACTACTAAGGATATTTTAATAATAATTCATAATAATAATAATATATATATATCTAAATATATTATATTAATGATGATTTGTATTGTGAGATTATATTTGATTGATTGATTTTCCCTTCCTTCAAAGAAGAGAGAGAGAGGGAAAATATTGATTTATTTATTTATTTATTGATTGTCTAACAACCCATATCAAAGAAAGGAAGGATGGATTAACAACACTTCCAATAATGACTGTTACAAGCACCAAAAGCAGCAGTTTTTGTACATACTATACCAGAAGCACCTTCATATCTACATGGATACCCTTTATTGGTCAGAGCTTCAATAAACATGCCAACATTTTGGGGACCTGTCTTACGGCACCCAGCAGCACACTGGTAATGACATTGTCCATTGTCACTGGTAGCATAGCAAACGACTGGACATGTAGTAGCTTCAGGATCACCTGAAACTGCTAGAAATGATGCAACAAAAAGAATGGCAATTAATATTAATAATTTCATATTTAAGAATTAATTTAAATAATATGATTGAATTTAGAATTATATTACTATCCATTTATCCTTTTCTATATATTAAAAGTCTATATAATTTAGTATTCATTACGTCATTTAAATGACAGAGTAAAGAGTATGAATTATTTGTTAATCAATGATTAATTGGTCGACAGGTTCAAATTAATATAAATCTTTTAGGATTATAAATATCTAGATAGGATATATATGTGGTATTGGTCTGAAAAACATACATATTAAGGAATACTACATTCCTTAAGATTTAAGAGATTTACTCTTTAAAATTAGTATTATATTCCCAATTATATATATATCTTGATATAGTATATCCACGATCATTGAGACAAATCCAACCACTATGAAAAAGGGTTTGGTTTGGTTTGGTTTGAGGGGGTGTGGAGTTTCATCAAATTTTATTTAATTTAATTTTCGTATGGATGTGTGAACTTGCAATAATAGAGTCGTGAAGCTCATTGAAAGTTGTTTCATTTCAAGTATCGCAAGCAATAGCAACAACAGAGAAGATGAATCCAAAGACATTTGAAGAACTTCAAAACGACTTTAAGTCATTCCACAATCCAGTATGTGTTATACCTATACTAAAAGATACAATCTTTTAATAATGAATCTGATTGACTAACAATATAGTACCTTTCTACTACTATTTGATTTAAATAGGAATATTATCTTGGTATTGATATTGGTGGAACTAATACTAGAATCATCTTATCGATTGAACAATCAACCTATGAAGTATCAACATTCAAAGCAAGCAAGGTGGTAGATCTCATTGAAGGTGTCAAATCTGCTGATACAAAGTTGTACCCATTACTCCAAAACCCTCCATTGGCCACTTGTTGTTGTATGGCTGGACCAACTTCAAATGTTGATAGAGTTTGTATCACACCTGAATGAAAATGTATAGAGATATCAAAAACTAGGGTTAAACTAATGTGTGATGCCTTTATGATTATATATATATAATATTTACAGTATAGATTCACAAATTATGATCAATCAGATGCTGTTTTAGATCCAGTTCAATTACCACAAAGATTATGTCCATCTGGAAAGACCTTTTTCTTGAATGATTTGGAAAGTGGATGTTACGGATTGATTTCATTGATTAAACATAATTTGGTTGGTTTCTATACCAAACAATTCACTAGTATCGTCATTCCAACTAGACCAAGTACTTCTGAAATTTGTAAGTTGAAAAGAATGGATTGACCAGAGATGAGATGTGGAATGGTTTATTAACTTTATTTATTTATTTATTTATATAAAGTTGTTGTAATGGCACCAGGAACTGGTTTGGGTGTTGGTTTAATCAATCACAAAAAGGGACAATACTATGTATCTCCATCAGAGTTTGGTCATATTCAAATCTCACCACATGGACCAAACCATCCAAATTACAAAGAGGAACAAGCCCTACTCAACAATATCATTCCAAATGAAGATCCAACTCGTCAATTCTCACTAGAGTATGAAGATATCGTCAGTGGACGTGGTCTTGTAGCCTGTTACAAATACTATAGTGGTGGTGACACTAAATTGGGTCATGATAGTGAGTATCATAAAACAACAAATACAAAGACAGGGTAATTAATTAGATTCTAATCATATATTTTTCTACTACTACCACCAGTTGCACATGAAGCCAATGCATCATCAGATCCAGAGAATGCATCAGTCAAAGCAATGAAAGCTCATTATGCCTACTTGTTCAAGGGTGCCCAAGAATTGGCAGTTGGTCTCAAGGCTACCGGTGTCTATTTGATTGGTGACAATATCGTTCATAACAGTCGTTTCTTTGATGCCAACAGACCATTCCTTCTCGATCAATTCTACTGTCATCCAAAGAAGGCTTGGATTGAAAACACTCCAATCAACATTCAAACCGTTCAAACTAATTTGAATCTTTTGGGTACTGTCTATTATGCCAGACATCATGGTCAACTTTAAACACCCCTACTAGTATAGTCGTGTTGTTTTTGTCTTTATTATTATTATTATTATTATTATACATTTCCCATTAAATATAATACAACTAGATATCAATCTTTAATAATAATATTAATATTAATATATTATTTATTTGTTTTTTTGTTGAATGCGATCTGGGCAATGAAATATTTTCAAGGGAACACATTTAAAAAATTATCTTCTCACAAGCATCACCTAATAACGAAAGAAATACTATAGTATTCGATATCAGAACATATAATACTATTACTTGTGTTGAATATTACTACTATTACTATTAGCTCGTAATCAAATACTACTTACCTCTCTTCTCTTTGTTGATGATTATTGATTCTGTGGTGAGAGTGATTGGTTCTGAGATTGTACAAAGATAGATAGAGAAAGAGAGAGAGAGAGAAGAGAACAATCGTAACTATATATCCCCTTCATCAACTAATCTTCAACAACAAAGATAGAGAGTAATTAGATAGATAGATAGAATGAGTAGCGAACGTAAAAAGGTTCAATATTTCAGTATCAATGATCATGACGAAGATATCTATTCTGGTATAGATCATCGAAGTAGTCGTGGTAATAATGACACCAACAATAATAACAATAATAATAACAATAACAACAATAGTAGTAGTAGTAGTAATAATCAATTTGTAAGAGCTCATATACCATTCGATCCAGATTTATTGGATGATGATTCGAGTGCACCTGCACCATCCGATATCGATAGCAATGAAACTGGTGGTAAAAGCAATGGTGGAGGAAGTTCTTTTCAAGGAGAATCTGGTGGAAGCACTAGTAGTACAAACTATAACAACAATAACAATAATAAAAACAACAACAACAACAATAATAATAATAATAATAATAATAATAATTATAGTAACTTTGGAAAAAATCCTGAAAAACTACAAGAATATAACAACAAGAAGAAAGATGGTGCATTTAATGGAAATACAACTGGTCGTAGTGGCAACAAGGATAGACCCTTTCGTCCAAAAGGTGGAACCAACATGAAAAAGAAATCGAACCAACATGAAATATTCCAACAAGAAGAGGAATATGTTGACCAAGAGATTGTCTTTTCTGAAGACAGCTCTGAATGTACAGACTCTGGACACGAAGAAGAAACTAGAATCGATTCACTCCTTGATTTGGTTGGCATTTTCTTACAGAAAAATCCTATTACCGATGATGATAAAACTGTAAATATTAATGAATTGGAAGGTAAAACATAGCATTACTTGATAGATTAACATTTTCTATCTTTCTCTCTCTCTCTCTCCTTAGATAATAGTAGAACACTTTCGTGAAATGACAGATGAATATAATATTCATTTGAAAAAATATAGATATGATAAGAAATTAAAAGTATTGTTTAAATCTGCAATTGAGAAAATAACAGACGTATGTATATATAGTTGTATTATTATTTATGACCAAAGTTTATTAATTTGTATATTTATTTAGGAACCAATATTAAGGCAATTGTATAGAAATTTTAATTTGACAAAGAAACACTTTATTGAATTCCGTAGAAACAAGATTTATCTTGGCAGACCTCTACCTGATTTATTCCATCCTCCTCGGAAACCAGTCAAAGTTGCAAGCCTTGTAACAAATAATAATAATAATAATAATAGTGGTAAACCAAGACATCCAATTGAAATACCAGTGATACCATCACCACTGGAATGGAAGGATTTGGTGAATTGGGAAAAGAAACGGGAACAAGATTTGAAAGATGAACAAGAGAGAAAAAAGAAAAAGAAGGATCTAAAGAAGAAATTACTTTTACAACAACAACAAGAACATCAGAAACAACAAGAGTATCAGAAACAACAACAACAGCAACAACAACAACACCATCAACAACAACAACATAAATCAAGGCATGGTGGTGTGTCTATTAGTAGTTCGGGTGAGGGAATTAGCAAGTATGGACCAATGTCCAAAGACGATGCCTATTCTAGCGATGCTGATGATGAGTCTGGTGGACCTATTAAATTGGTTCAACATGCCAAAGACTCAGACTCTGATGCAGAGAGAGTGGTCACCATGCCAGCAGGTACTCCCATTCCATTGGCTGCATTACAGAAAAAGAATGCTAGTACTGACAATGTACCAGAAAAAGTTGTCACCATGCCCGTTGGAACACCTATACCCACCAGGATCTTGGTACCATTATCACAACAACATCAACAACCAGCTGCAGCTGCATCAGTACCCGAATCAACAACAACCTCCTCCTCTTCATCTTCATTCCAACTTGACTCTAAACTATTAGATTCTTTAACACCTGGAGAGAATGATAATAATAACCAACAACAACAACAATCGACATTAGATACAGATGATAGTGCTTATATGAAACAAATGTTACAGGCAGTAAGCAATCCAATGATAGTACTTCAAGTTAGAAGTCTTGTAGAAGAGGAAAAGAAATTCACGAGGAAATTGTTGGACGACCGAAAGAGACTTGTAGATATGCTCTATATTCGAAAGAGGACACTAGACGATGCCAACAGAAAGAAGGCAGACGCTGCAGAACCACACATACGGCAATTACATCTTATTGAGAATGAAAGAGAAGAGAAACGAATGATGGAAGACATGAAACGAGAGCTCCTCGAGATGGATACCAAGATTGCAAACGATATGCGTCATTTGGCCAACCAACAACAACTCAAGCTCCAACAACTTGGTGTCATTGGACTGTATCCAACATCTGATCCATACGAAATTGGCCAACAGCAAAAGATTCTCACATGTCTCTTTAACAATAATCTTCCATTTGATGATGGTTCAATTAAATAAATTAATTAATCTTTTATTGTCGTGCCTCTATCCATATATTACTTTAAAGAAAGAAAGATATATATTATTATATTGTTTGTTTTGTTTGATTTTTTTTTTACAGAAATTTATTTTAATTTTTAATTATTGTATTTGTTATTATTTTTAAGCATCGATTTGATTGGAAGTAGCAGAGGTAGTGAATTCCTTAATATCGTCACTCTTCTTGGCTGGGTTACCGAGGACTTGCTTGAATGGAGAACCTTCGATGTGCTTACCGTTCAACTTGACGGCGGTCTTGAATCTACCGTTACCAGCGAGGGCGTAGGCGGCAGTGTAGGTACCGTTTCCATTGTCGATGGCATCGAGGGTGATGAATTCGGCTGGACCAGTGATGGCAACTTCAAAGAGATCACCACCGACAGTCTTTGGCTCGCCCTTCTTGTTCTTGGCGGCAACGGTAAAGGTGAATGAACCGAATGAGGATTGATCACCATCGGCACCTTCAATGCAGGTGACGTTGACTGGCATGTCCTTGATTGGGGCGCCACGGAGGGTGACAAGGACTTGGTAGTTTCCTTCAACTTGTGGTTCGTACTTGACGTCATAGGTACCGTCGTTCTTGTCTTCAACCTTGGCTTCAATGTCTCCGTTTGGACCGGTGACCTTGACTTCGAATGGGTCTTGACCGTCGGTACGTGGGTTGCCTTCAGTGTCGACGGCAAAGATGGTGAATTCAGCGACTTCATTGTCAAAGGCCTTCTTGAGACCCTTGCCCTTGGCGTATGAGGCGTCGGCGCTTGGGGCTGGCTTGACAATGACGGTCTTTGGGAAACCATTGACAGTGTCACCGTCGAGGGTGAGGTCGATGACGTATTCGCCTGGAACCTTTGGTTCAAACTCGACGTCGTAGGTACCGTCACCATTGTCGACCATCCATGGCTCGACTTGGGCTGGACCAGAGACTGTGATCTTGAAACCGTCACCACCATCGGTACGGTTGTTTCCGTCTGGGTCGACGGCTTGAATCTTAAACTTGGATGGTTGGAAACATTCTCCTTGTTCGAGACCCTTGCCAAAGGCGTAGGATTTGTCTGGATCGGCGGCTGGCTTGATGTGGATGGCCTTTGGAATCTCCTTGATTGGCTTGGAGTTGAGTTCTACGTTGATCTCATAGTCTCCTGGCTTTTCTGGGGTGTAAGAGACAGTGTAGGTACCGTTGTCATTGTCGGCGATGGCAACGTCGACTTGGTGTGGACCGACGATGGATACTTGGTATGGATCACCGCCCAAGTTGGAGGCGTTTCCGTCAGCCTTGACAGAGTGGATGGTGAATTGGGTTGGACGACGAGCTTGGGCAGCTTCGAAACCTGGACCAGAGCAGTAGGAGAGCGACTCGTCACCAGAGAGGACGGTGACTTGGGCTGGACCTTGGGCCAATGGGATGCCACGGAGAGTGACTTCGACATTGTGGGTGCCGTTGGTGGTTGGGGTGTAGACAACGTCGTATGAACCGTCGCCATTGTCCTTGAGCTCGGCTGGGACTGGACCTTCGGATGAGGTGACAGTGACGGCAAACTCATCACCACCTTGGGTGACGGTTTGACCTTCCTTGTTACGACCTTGGATCTTGAATGGGGCTGGTTGGCCGACCTTGGCGACTTCGAGGCCACTTCCGTACATGTTGGAGGTCTCTGGATCGGAACCGTCAATCTTGACGTTGAATGGCGAGTTCTTGATGTCGTCGGCGTTCAACTTGATTTGGACGGTGTAGTTTTGTGGGTTGGAGGCAGTGTAGGTACCGTCATAGATACCGTTGCCGTTGTCCTTGAGGGTGACTGGGATGACCTCACCATCGGCACCAACGACGCTGACGGTAAAGTTTTCACCGCCGGTTGGGAGTGGCTCACCGTAATAGTTGACAGCCTTGACGTGGAAGTCTCCCTTCTTGTTGACGAAACCGTCTTCAAGACCTGGACCCCAGGCGTCAACCTTGGAGGCATCAGAGGTGGTTCTTCTCTTACGTTCCAAAGCTTCCAAAGCTTCCTTGTCTCTCTTTTCCTTGTTGACAGCGTAATCTCTGAAATATGATACATAGGTGATGACTGAAAGTTCATCTGGAAGATTGACCATATCAGATGGATCCATAATCTTTGGAATTTCGTACTTTTCAAGTGCGACATCCATAGCACGATCAACATCAGTTACAGCATCTCCCTAGAAATAGAAAAAAAATAAGAAAAAAACAAAAAGATATAATTAGTTATTTGTTTCTATCTTTGTTAGTATTTAATATTTAATATTTTTAACTTACGGTTAAAGAGTTCATATCTAAAACACCTGGTTGTAAAGAGTCTGTGAGGGCAGACAAGACCTTTCCATCACGCCATGAGTCAGTGAAATTGTTGACAACGACACCGTATGGCTTGACTTGTTGACGGACCCATTCGAGGAGAGCAGCCTTTGGAGAGTCAGTTTCGGCCATTTGGATTTGATAACGGAGAATGAGTGTCCAGATGAGACCGAGGATCAACTTGAGTTGACCATCGACGATATCTTCAGCACCAATACCGACCAACTTGAGACCTTCAGACTTGATAAAGGCGACGGCCAAGTTGTTGTTTTCCATCTTGTGCAATCTCATCTTTGCAGTCTTGTTGTACTTGAGGATCTTCTTGGACGAGATGATTTCTAAAAGGTTGATCAAAAGAACACCATCTTCGAGATCGGCTCCCAAATCGTTGATCTTTAAGATACGTTCCTTGAGATAGTTGTTGGCCCAACCGGTAAAGGTTCTCTTTTGGACATCAATCCATGTCTTTTTTGATTCAGTCATGTTTTTATGTGTGTAGTTTGAAAAATTATACAGAATATAGAATATACAAATAAATAAAGAGGGATGTGGGTTTTATATAAAAATAAATAAAAGAAATTAAATCTAAAGAGTAATAATAGAGATAATAATAAATGATTTTATATATTAGTATATATTTGTATAAGTAAAGAATGAATGAATGAAGAGATGAATGAATGAATGAATGATAAAAAAAGAATGGTTGATCTATAAGATAAGAGAGGATGGCAGTGTTGATGATGAAATTCAAACATTTAAAAAATTATATGCAAGTGTACACTTGCACCCCTCCCATCCAACTTTGGGCAGTAACTTACTTTGGTTGTGACAGCCCCTTAAACAACCTTTTTTTATTAATGTATGTCTGTGGTTGGTTGGTGATTTAAAACAAAAAAAACATGTGTGTGTTTGTTATAAAAAGGTTAATGTGTGTAAAGATGGATGGATGGTTGGATGGAAGGGGGACACGAAACCTGCAGTGGTGGGTGGGTGGGTTGATAAATCTGGCATCGATCAAACTTCTCCCTCACATCCTCAAATGTGTCAGATTTTATAAACACAAGTTGAATAAATAATGACATGACAGACATTGTGTGTTGGTGGTAAATTAAATTAATGTGAGCGTGTAAAAAAAAAGAGAGAGGTAGGTGAAGGTATTGGTAAAAGAACCATGAGCGATACAAACAATTAAAATAAATAAGTGTGGATAGTAGCAGTATTATTACAACTAGAATCTATCTATGTTTATATAAAAAAGAGGGTTGAACAATGTGTTGTGTGAGCAAAGGAAGGCCACTTCAAAAAAACAATATTAAAATAAATCAACCAAAACTAAACTGTCAATTCAACTCAACTACCTCTCGGTATTGTTGTTGGTGTTCAAAATTTAAACTTTATAGAGTTGTTATAGGTGATCCTGAGCAATACCCTTGCATTGGCATTGTTGGTTGTTGGTTAAAATGTGGGGGTGGCAGTTACAATTGCAACAAAATAAAAATGGTGTTTTTTGTTTTTGTTTTTGTTTTTTTTTTTTGTTTTGGTTAGTGTTTTAAAAAGGAAGTTAAAGTTGTTGAGGTGCTTGAGATATTATAATATTATACAAAAGTTGTACTTACTTCTTGTAGGGGTAAAAAAAAAAAGGGTAGTTATATGTATGATTACCCGATGGATGAGAACATAAGGATAAAGAATATGAAAAGGTCTTCATATCACTGCTGGTGTCTGAGAGGCTAATGTGAAAAAAAGCAAAAAAAATAAATCAATCCCAAAAAAAAATTTCAATGGCTTTTGGGTCTTTCTCTGAAACTGCAAGGGGTCGTTGTCCAACATCGATGAAAGCACCAATTTTGCACAACTCCAAAAGACACTTGGGATCTCTTCATAGAAAATGAAACAAGTGTCGTCGTCTTTTTCATTCATGACACCAGTTAATGGTGATCGTCCTATCATTCACGTGATCCTTTTAGAATAGTCAACAGAGAGAAGAGAACACTCTGCAATTCATTCTATCTGTACACTCTCAACACCTTGCCTCAAAGGATACATTAATTGTCGTGTACATGTCCTACAAACAAACACAGATACAGATTTATCTAGATATAGGTATAGAGTAACTAACCCATACCCATTTTCACACAAACCCACTCATCTTAAGTTCTGTTTACTAAAAGATAAGATATTTATTTTATTTATTTACTTTATGATAATAATGTAACGATTCGAGATCTCTTTCTTGAATCTAGATAAATATGAAAAACTATGTATGCGATGGGATCGCCCATAATCTATCTATTAGATATTGAAACCAGATCTGGTTTGTTTTGTTCAAATTTATGGTTATACATTTGTTCATATTTGATGGTCATCACATACAGGTTGACTCTCAAAACGGTGTACGATAAAATTTTTGGTGCATTTTTATAATCTATAATGGCAAACGATTTGAAATCATTCAATAGATGTTCTAGAACTACATAAATCAAATCAACTTGACCAGATAGAGACAGATTGGAAGTTTTCAAAATGATTTAAACTTGGTATAGTTGATTATCTCTTGTCGTGGGTTGGTTACAACAATCTTGAATAGTGGGTTCGTCCAAAGGGAGTAGCATCAATCGATGACAAGTTTGTATCATAAGGATGAGGCATTAGAAATTGGTTGGTATTGACATTAATATTGGAACTGTCAAAAAAACCTACACTATTAGGTACCTCTGTGATAAATGGACTGTTTTTGGGTAATGAATGGTATTCAAATGAAGATTGAGAAAGCATGTTGAGGCAAATTTGTTTAAAAAATGCTTTTCCAATTTTAGAGTAACTTGGATTATCCAAATCTCGTACTTTTAAATAATTGATCATATTGTGATGATCTGTGATCATTAGACGATAGGTCACACGTTCTTTAATATATTTTGATGCAAATTGAATGGTTGGTCTCTACCATTTTGGACGATCGACACAATCTTTATGTAGAATAGTGTGTACTATAGAATGTGCAATCTCTGATTCTCCACTAACATGTGCTCGGATGGTTTCATAGTTGAGGGCATGAATTGCATCTTCAACCTCTCTCAAACTTTGACCTAATCCACATGACCATTTTAACAGTACTTGTCTTACATCACCACCCCAATGTTTATAGAGTAGATTCATATCATTGATTGGAACATTTGGAAAGATTAAATCACGTCATTCTTCCAACTCTTTTTTACTCCATATTGGCATCCACATTCTATAAGTGCATTCCTATAGATAAAATAAATATTTAGAATTATATATATATATAATTTGAAGGCAATGATTATTATTCTTTGAGAGTAAAACTTACTTTTGTATGTCTATGATAGATATTGGGATTGGGATATGATAGAATGATCAATTTTGATTGACATGGGATTACATCTTGTACACCATCAACAATGTAGATAACATTTCCTAACTAGAATTTTAAAAGTGGTATGGGAGACCCTTCTTGCATCTATTGGATATCCTGATTGTAAAATGAGTGATTTTGATTTCGAATTGATGATTGGTTCAACAATTGCATGTTGTAAATCTCCCCAAAAAGATACAAATACTTTCTTACTTTTTTTTTTTACTTCTTATTAATTAATAAACATACTTTTTCTGGAACAACTTCAAAATGGGTAGTTTCTATTAGCCCTGGTTTGATGAAATCTGTTCCTGCAACAAGAAGATTTGAGTTGTCGATTGGACCCAAACCCAACATATTCTTTGACCACTTGTCAAACCATTCAAAATTGATGAGATACCATTTTTCACCGACTACCAAAGGAGTTCTTTTGATGATGTCTTTGATGTTAACGTTGTTATTTTTCATGTGATTGACCATCTCGAGTTGGTTGACATATACACCATTATCTTTTTGTATTTTTTGATTGACAAGCTCATTCTCTCGTTGTTGGGCGTGGATCTTTTGATTTTCAAGTATAGATTCTTGTAGTTGATAATTCAAGTTGATTCTCTATGTACTTTTGGTCAAGTTGTTCAAGTTGTTGTTTCAAGTTAACATAGTTGGTTTTGAGTGATTCGTATGCTTGTACCTTTTCTCCTATCTCCTTTATCTCTGCGGGCTTGTCCATTCCAAGTCACAACAATCATATTCATTCAATACATGTGTTTTGAGTGACTTTATAGTAAACCCTCCTGTTTCACACAATCAGCACTTTAAATTCATAATTGATTGATTTATATCATATAAAATATAAAGTAGATAATTATTTGTATGTAGCTATGATGGCGATGTCTGAATGGAGTGAGAAGGGAGTACCCCTATTTGGGTAATTTAATTTAATTAATTTTCATTTTGGGGTTGAAAATCATTTTCTTGCAAACATACGTATATTTTATTATCATTCATATATTACATGATTAGTTAAAGATAAGATAGTGTTGTTAGTAACAAGAGACACTTTAGATAGATTCATAGATTATAGATATCAATCAGTGAATGAACAGGTAGATAGAGAGAGAGATAGATCTATAGTGTTTGAACTTAATCTTCTTTAAAACAATGGATAAAGTACAATCTTTGGAGAATGACAAACGAGTGTTGTTGGAGTTTATAATGCATCAATATGGTCATTCTGTTCCAACACGATACCTGAGTCAGCCATTAGTGTCAATCAATGTTACAGAGTTTATACAAGCCATCAAATCAGCTAGCTCTCCGACTGCAATGGCTGCAGTCACTGCGACCAATGGACACACGGGTGCAGCTGCACCACACAACCATAGCAACATATCCCCACCAAAATCAAATACACCTACTCTGCACAGCTCCCTTTTACCATCACCTCCATACGTTGCAACTGGTACCCCTCCCATCATCACTACACCAGACACATACGGTCACCTCACCAAGGAACAGCTCCACCTTGCTAGTTATGAAACCTACCTCTTGGTCAATCATTTTACAAAACCAACCGATCAAAGAGTTTGTATTGATCAATAGAGTAGTAACAACATTCTTTAATCTAATCATTTATATTATTATTTTTTTTAGAATACAAATGAAGAAGATTCATTTAGAATTCAAATGGAAATATCAAAAGTTAAACATGACCTATTTATAAAGATGTTTACAATTAAAGCACAACATAAGGAGTTGCAACCACCAAGATTCCATTCAGTTACCTTTAGACTGTGGACTATGAGGTATGCCGACTTTAGCGGATTTGATACGATGGACTCTATGATGTTGTGGTGGCGTCGTCAAATGTATGTAGTGTTGACGGCACTTGCCAATATGCTAAAGGATCCATTCGATGAAAAGAGTCCATCACCAGCAGTACTGTCAACACTCAGACAACACTGCTTCAACGTTGAAAGTTGTTTGGCGGCAATGCCGGCACCTGGTAGTGTCGATTATCGCATCTATTCACAGGCATTTGAAATATTGGATTCCTATATTGCATCGTCAGTCTTGCAACGTACCTCTCCCAAGAACATATCGCCATCACAACAACGACCACTTGCAACAGAGTATTTAAACGAACCCATTGCATACACCTTCCCACTCAACACCAACATGTATGAAGATTTACTATTCTACACTCTATTTGAATTTAGTAATGATGAAATTGTCTATGTTGGTAATGATACACTTGAAACTTCATCTTGTTTGGTTCCAATGTCAATGGCTTTAAGAATTTCTGAACCAATGTCAAAGATTTGGTAAATGTGACAACTTACATAATCACTTCTACTTTTTTAACTAATTGATTTATTTATTTTGTTTAGTCATTTAAATTGTTTTTTGACAAGTTATCAAGCAGAGTTGAGAGAAGATCATTTTATCAGATTAAAGAAATCATTGGATATTATTGAGGAGATTATTACAAATAGTCCTACAACCATACAAGACCCATCATTTGCAACTGCTAGTTTATTGAAATTGACTCTCAAGAAAATAGCACAATGGTTATTGAAATTACTAAGTGATGTTCATTCACACAAGAGTGAACATACTTCAAGAGACATTGAATTGGCTTGTTCTATTTATGTACAATCAAGAGAAATGTGGAATATGTTATCATCGTACGTGAAATATATTATATATAATAGACGGTATATTTTATTAATTTAATTTGGTTTCACTTTAGGAATAAATCAATGAAAACAACAGAATCTAATTTTACAGCATTTTTAACATCATCAATATCATGTCATTATGGTAGAATTTCAAAACCCTATAGACCATTGACACTTGATAACTTTTCAACATTTGTAGAACAATTGATTAAAGAGATTGCACTCAATCTTCGAGTTTATACACGTGGGTTTGCCAAACATCATGGTAATGCAGCATCATGTGCTCTCCAAGAATTTGTAAACCTCTACTCTATGGATTTAAAGGTTGTCTTTGGTGATGTTTATTTCCTCTCACCTCAAGTTTTACAATCAGTTCAAACATCTTCAGATTTCCAATTATTTTTACAAGATTTAAAGTTATTACCTTTAGTATGTAGAGGATAGATAAAATTAAACAAACAATCAAATAACTCTATATTTTTATATTATTAGGAAAAATTACCACCAGTAACAGAATATGTTAGTACAGTAATATCATCATGGTGTCAAAATCAAGAAAAATCATTTAACAAATGGTTTGAAAATATGTTTCAAGTTGACAAGTTTACACCTATGGACAAGGATCATAAACATTCATCATCTGTACTTGACATGTTTCAAATGTTTTACCAAACTCTTGGTACTCTGAGTAAAATGAAAGGATCTTTGGGAACAAATTTCGCTGGATTCATTATTACTCTATCTGGAATGTTTAACAAATGTTTAATTATTTATAATCAAACAATTGCTGAAATCTCTTTACAAAATCAAAAACAACATTTATATCCATTTTCATTAAATGAAAAGATAAAGAAAAAAGGAGCATTTAGAAAAAGTGTAAATAGTTTAACATCATCTGCAACAGGTGTTGGTTCAAGAGAAAGTGAAAAATATAATGTATCACCAACATTAATTACAAAATTCCAAAATCAATCTTTACAAACTGTAAATATTAAAAAATAGAAAGATAGAATTTATTATTTAATTTACTAATTATTTTAAATATTATTTCTCAAGTTGATTGTATGTTTAAATAATTTAGATTTTATTTATAAAAATGTAAATGATTATGTTGAACATCATTCATATGCAGATGTAAATCTAAAGAAATCATTGGCAGATATGTTTTTACCAACTCAATCATCGATGAAGAATAGTGCCACTGCACTAATTGATTATATTGGTGCCAAAGTTGTTTTTATCGATCTAAAGGAGACTTTTATCGATATTTGTTACATGTTTCCACTATCACAAAGAACACGAGTCGACGAACCATTGGAATCTCTAAATCCTCATCTTCGAACCATCTATACAAACGTGTCATCTACAGAAAGAGGTAATGATGTATTGACAGCTGTTTGTAAAGCGTTCCTTCAAGGTTTGGAGTATTTAATTTTATATGGTGGTCCCAATAGAATCTATTCTGCAAAGGATTCAGATTTAATTGATTTGGATATTGAAACCATTAAAGATTATTTCCTAGATCGAGATGAACAAGGAGTTGCAAAGGCTGTACAGGAACTACATTTTGATGGATTCGCTAAAAATCTTCGAAAGGTGGTCAATGTGTTGATGGACCAAGGTAGTGAAATTCTCATTGAACAGTATAGTGGTGTCAATAGTGGTACGAGTAAAACAGCAGCAGCAGGCTTTGGAAAGGAAGTACTCATGGCTATACTAGTTCACAGAAATGATAAACCTGCCAGATCATTTATCAAAAAGAAATCAACAGATCATTTCTACTTGCAAATTAAAAAGAATAGTAAAGTTAATTTCCTTACTCAATAATTAATTAAATTAAATTAATAATTATAATTGTAAAAGAGTACTACTCAAATAACTCTTGTCCATATTAATCCATCAAGTTATTATTGTAATACCAACAAACAATAAACAATAATAATAAATTAAAAATAAACAAAAAAGGTTATTACATTTTTTCCCGCCAACATTCTGATAAAAAAAACCCCGTCCCTCCCTCCACTTTCCACGTTTTGTTAGTTTGAAAAAATCGCGGTCTTGTTTTTTTGCTTGCAAGCATGCAGAAAGCTTTGAATCAATCAATCAAACTATCTAAAACATACTTAACCGACAATCATATCATATCACACCTTATAAGATAGATAGATATAAGAAGAAGAAAGATCAGTCAATATAATATAATATAATACAACGTGTGGTGGGAGACACAGTGTAATTAAGATACGCCGCGATGGATAACAATACAACAACTAATAGGCCGAGATCGAGTAGTAGCGGCATCCCAACTCCTTCTACTATAGGATCTAAAACTCCATCTTCAACTAAACCACCTTTAAAACTATCTACACCATCATCCTCTTCCTCATCGATGTCTACGTCTACATCATCGACCTTGTCATCGACATCGTCGTCAACAACCAAGACATCATCATCATCGTCATCATCAACACAAAATACAAATGGAATGAAATTATTATTTAGTGATATTGAGAGTGCAAAGAAGCTATCGGCAGCAGCCAGTGCTACCAAGAAACGGTCTTCCTCTCTATCAAACGTTCCTTCATCACCCCTTTCACTTTCACAATCGCAATCGTCATCGTCGAGCAATACCTCACCACTTTCAACATCGTCATCGAGTAATACATCGCCACTTTCATCATCACTTGGTATTAGTGGTATTCCTACTCGATCTATTACCAGTACAACTAGTACAACAACTAGTACAACTGGATCAAATGTAAATAACAATAACAACACAACAATCAACAAATTATCAAGAAGTTCATCACCATCACCAGCATTTCCATCATCCACTTCATCCTTTTCATCGATTAATAATAATAATAATAATAATAATAGTAATAATTATCCTGTAAAGAGATCATCATCACCATTAATTGATTTACGTAGTAGTGGTGACGATACATTTATAGAGTCATTTAATTTGTTAAATGATAAATCGTCCTCTCCAAAAATGCCAACACTTACATTGTCATCATCATCATCTTCGACAATGTTATCATCGGGTTCTGGACATACTACACCTTCACATTCTCCATCACCTCCACCACCACTACAATTGTTGGAGCCACCCATTCTTCCACCAATTGTCACTAACCATCCACCTCCACTACACCAACATTTCCCCAAGAGTGGAGTGAATCGGTCGCGATCACCGTCACCATCACCTGTTAAACTGCAACAAGCTGCCGCCGCATTGGCTACCGCTGCTGCCTTGGCTGCTTCCACACCATCTATTAATAGTGGTGGACAGGACAGACAGTTGTACGATATCTTTAACCCGGTCGAAGAGAGTCTCAAGGTGTTTTGTAGGTTCCGACCCGAGAGCATTCAAGAGCAGGGAATGTCTGCCGAGAGTAACGCAAATGTTAAAGTGACGGTATTGGAGGACGGCAGAACCGTGCATGTTCAGAATGGAGAGAAAACACAGCAGGTGCGATTCGCATCTGTGTTTGGAAAACAGACAACACAGGAACGTGTCTATTTAACGGTTGCACGTCCATTGGTCGAAGGTGTACTGGCAGGATACAACGCAGCCATCATAGCCTATGGTATGCCACAGTCTGGCAAGACCTACACAGTGTCTGGATACCGAGTAGAGGATATATGCGGTCCAAACGATAAGATATCTTCACAGGAAAAGGTTAGAACTGATTTGTGGGGTATTGCTCCACGTGTCATCCAAGATCTTCTAGCTGCAGGTGTACACGTACACGTATCTCTATTTGATGTTACACATGAACGTATTCGTGATGTTTTTGATTCAAATAATAGTAATAGTAACAATAATGGTAATGGTGGTAGTGGATTAAGATTGGTTGGAGATGGTAGTAATGGATTCGAAGTGGTTGATGCAACAAAAATACCCATCTCAAACTCTACTTTTCCAGGATTTATGGATGTATTCTATCGATCGACTACAACGTCACAACGATCTGGTAATCTTGTCGTGGCGGTATCAGTCACTAGAAACATCCACAACCCGGTCACTGATGAGACAACAAGCGAAAACAGTCTCTTTTATATGGTTGATTTGGGTGCATCAGAGAGTGTCTCACAAACCCAAGCACAAGGACAGAAATTGGAAGATCAAAAGAGTATCAACCGTTCGTTGTTTGCACTTGGTGGAGTGATTGAAGGATTGGCAAAGAAATCAAAACACATTCCCTACCGTGACAGTAAACTCACACAACTTCTTCAAAATTGTCTTGGAGGTAATTCAAAGACCAGTATCATTGTCAATTGTTCCAGTTGCACACATGAATCTGTCATTCGCGATACCATCGCTTCCTTACATTTTGGTGAAAAATCACAATCCATTCGTAATCATCCATCTCTAAATAGTGATCTATCAACTCAACAATTAAAAACAATCATCACTACTTTAAAAAATGATTATAATATTTTAAGATCAATTATTGATAGTATGTATAAATTAATCATTAATAATTAATAATATTAATATGTAGAATATTATGTGTATTAATCTATTTCTATTTCTATTTCTATTTCTTGTTTAGATGCAGGAGGACCAAATAATATTACATCTAATCCAATATCGGCACAATTATTAAAATTCCAATATCAATTAGAGGAGAGTAAGAAAAATGAGACTAAACTGCAAGAGGCAATGACTTCAATGGAGGAAGAGTCACGAGAGAATCAAAAGGTATTGGATAATGTGCAGTCGTTGTTTGCAACCAAGGAAAAGGATATCAATACACTCGAGAATGAAAAGAGAGAGCTAAGCCAAAAATTGTATTATCTGCAGACACAGTACAACGAGAATTCAAACCTATTGACACTCAAAAACAACAGATTGTCAGAACTGGAAAAGATTGCAACAACAGCCGACGAGTGGAAGATTAGATTTGGAAGCACACAAGAATTGATCAGTAACAACAAACAGTACATTCAAAACTTGGAAAACCAAAAATCAAAATGGAAAAACAAATGTTCAGAACTTAGTAACCAAATTAAAACTATAAAAGAGTCTTATGATGAACGTACAGATATATCTGATCAACAACAACGCGATCTTCAACAACAACCTTCATCATCATCATCATGTCCAGGTCATATTATTGTGATTGACGATCTTCAAAAACAATTAGAGTATGCCAACCACAAATGTCAACAACTTGAAGAAAGATTGTTGGGTTATAAAGAGTCAGAAACCAATCTGCAAAATGCTCTCACTAAACTAAAAGAGCAACAGAAACAACAGACAGACATACTCGTAATGCTTCAAGATCATATGGAAACGCTAAAGCAAAGAATGGAAATTGAATTCCCAGTCATTGCAAATATTGTAAATAATAGTTTATCTCTTTCTCAAACAGAAAATAATAATAGCAACACCAGCACTAGCAATACCAATAGTGCAGCTCAACAAACTCTTTTAATTCAAACAATGACCAAGGTGGATCAATTGTTTGAAAAGATATCGGAACAACAACAAGAACAAACCTCAAACATTCAAAACTTCCTTTCAACCATTGACCATCAACAACATCACCAACAACAATTACAAAATCAAAAACAACAATTACAAGATCAACTTTTAGAGGCAAATAGTTTATTAGATAAATCAATGGTAGAAGATGACAGTAATCAAGCTTCATCATCAAGTTCAAATTTAATAATTCCAGAGAAAAAATCATCACCATCAATTGTAAAATCATTATTTATTGTAAGTAAACACATACCAACAAATGAATATCATAACAAGTATTAATAATTCTATCTATCTATTTAGAATTTATCACTATTTTTAATGGTAGCCATATTTGTGTTTGTCCTTATGGTTTGTGTTGGAGTAATCATTCAAGATAGATCATATTATAGTTATAGTAGTTATAAAAGAACTTATAGATCAAGTTAAGTTGAAATATAAAATATATATATATATAAATAAATGTGAATAATAAATAGATATAATAATAATAGTATTAATAATATTAATAATTATAGTAACTGATCAATATTATTGAGCGAAAGAGTGTCGTCATGTTCATCTGACTTGTTTTTAGATATATTGAAAGATATTTTATCATCAGATTAACTGCTATATTTTTTTCAACCTTTAAATTGGGGCTAACCCAACGGCTGAACCACCCCACCTTTAAAAAGTGTAAAATGCTGCCAATGATCGCTGGTATTGGGAACCGACCTCTTAAATACACCACTTTAACAACTTTCACACACCAACCAATTAATAATTGCCCTCTTTAGTGGTCAAAGGGTTAATGCCTAGTCATGACAGACAGATTAAGTTCATTCCATCTATATCTCTACTTATATACCCGACCCGTTCGTAGATATATATAAACAAATAATGAAAAAGAATAATAGCAACATCACCAATAATAATAGAAAAGAAAATGATAAACCTAAAAATAATAGTAGTAGCAGTAGTTCAATCTTAATTGTATTTTTAATATCATTGTTGGTAGCATTGTATACTTTTAATAAGGATTTGAAATTACATTTTATATCATTGTCAAATTCAACTATAAACACTTCTTCTTCTTCTTCTTCTTCTTCAATGTCAATCAAACAATCATATGACTTTACAAAATTAGATGCACAAGAACATATTGAAATACCAGAACAATGGTATTATTTTGGATTTGGTGATTTTGTTGGTAATCAAGGGATTCAAAGTATTGTAAAGGAGGGTGGATCGGGGTTCCTTAGAATCGATTCCAATCCATTTACATTGACTCACCCTTCGGTGTTGGATCATGTAAAGTGGCTTGCACTGACAAAGGAGTCGGTCGCTGTGCCCGAGAATGGAAGTTTGACTTGCTCGTTTAAAGTGAGAGCTAATACATTGGGAGCAGACAGACACCCCTTTGGAGACGCAATCAGAGATGCAAAGAATGACCCACGTTTAGCAATGGGAGTAGTCAACTCGTTGGATTTCGAGACAATGTTGGTTGCAGACTTTGCAATGGCCGGTAACTCATTGTATGCCATCTATGAAAGATTGCCATTTGCCAAGGGTGATTATGCGTCTTTTACCTACATGATACCAATAGCTACCGATATCGACCCCGCTGCCTTTCTCGATCTTGCCATCACATGGGATCATCCAACTAAAACAGTTAGATGGATTGTTGGTGGCAAGGTAGTCTATCAAGTCGATCGCATAGGATACCAAATATCTAGAGAGTACGTCGCAGTTGATCGAGGTGGTGTAGAGGAGCTTGCATTCCCACGATCCATCTCTTGTGGTTTTGGTACCTTTAGTTTATTGGATTCTGCAGAGACGTGTCACATCGACTCGACATCATCATCGATGTCATCTAGTCTTGGTAAAAGATGTCATAGATCTAAACAGACAGACACTAGTCTTGTTAGACTTGACCAAAACAAAGAATCGTCTCGTCCCTATGTACGTGCTCGTCATTCTGATGATAGTAACCAACAACCATTTGTCGATGAACAGTCTCTAGAGTCATCTCGACTATTTAATCAAGGTGCTATCATTGATATACAATCTATTATTATTACAACTAACCAACAATAATAAATAATAATAACTGACTAATTATAACAACCAACCTCTGTCAATATCTTTTTCGTTTCTTTTTTTTTTTTTTTTCTGTCTGATCTTGCAGATCCATGACGACGATAAAGTGTGACAAAAGGAGGGAGAGACATTATATATCATTAGTGAGAGAGATAGAAGAGAGAGAGAGAGAGAGATAAGAGATGATAAGGAGCTGTCTAGCTATTAATAAACACAAACTTTGTGTTGTTAGTAGGTTGATTCAAGGTTCTTCTTCCTCTTCTTCTTCATCATCATCATCACTTTATTATACTCCATCAACATATTTATCATCAACTTCAACATATGCTTCATCAAATTACTCAGCAACATCATCATATTATCAACCAGTATATATAAAAAGTAGAGATCCTTTTAAATTATCATCATCGAATAAACAGAACAAAAATGGGTACCCAGACGTAGCAGACAATTTCGATACAACTGGTGTTGATAGATCTTTTGTACCATTTCAAGATACATCTACTATATTTAAACAAAAAGAAGGAGAAGAGAACTACCAAGAAGATAAAACCAATTTGTCAGGTGTCAATGTATCAAACGTTCGATTCCCAAAACCAAAGAGATGCGAACCACTAGACAATATCTTTTCACTAACTCCTGTCGAATTATATGAATCGTATGTTAACATAGAACAAGGAAGAAGAGGAATCTCAACCATTCGTCTGATTATTAGTGTCTAACCTTTTAACATTGTTTTTAGATTAGTTGAAAAGTTTGTACATAGTCATGAATTTACTACAGCAGAATCAGATCATTTGGTAGATCAAGTTGCAGGAATGATTTACCAACAACCAGACAGAGTAAATGAATATAGTCCGATTATTACATTGTTCCTTCATCACTTTGTGCTACAAGAAGAGAAATTGGCAATGTTGACCGTTTTGACGTCATTGTGCTCGCGATGCGGTCTTGCACCACAACAAGAGGCATTTGATATTGTGTATCAGTTCTTGTCGGAAAGAGATTTTGATGGCATTGCACAGATCCATTCACCAGTATTTTTGCAATCGTTGTTGGAGCGATCGGCCAGAGACAACAACCTTGAATGGTTGGAGACGTGGCAACCACCTGGACCACGTACAGTGGCCTTGCCATTGGTCTACAACCAAGTCACCAACCGAAAGGATTTGTACAATGCATTGATTGAAAAGGTGTTTGTGCGTATGGACCGAGCATACGTTCAAAGAGTCATAGAAAAGGTCATCACCGAGTACATGTTGATTGAGAATGCCCAACCAATGGCATTGGAATGGTATTGCAAGTTGATCACTGGCCTAAACATAACACCCAACCTCAACACGCTGCTCGTCCTCAAACAAGACAACGACGAATCTGCAGAGTACTGGGATCACATTAAAACAAACTATGTCATTGGAACACCGATTCTCGAGCGAGAGAATAAAGGAGGAAGGGACTTGCTCGACAAGATCACCTCCTCGTACAGATACATCAAGACCGAGACTGACAATCAACTGGAAGAAAACATAATTAATTTCGATCAACAAAAGATGGTCGATATCCTCAAAACCGAATACTTTGCCAAAAATAGAATGCCATCGGGCAACCTTCTCATCAGGGCCTCTATGGTCTTGTTCAATCGTCGACCAAACTACTATCTCTACCACTTTACACCAAAAATCCCCAGCCGGTTCCGACCGCTCATGGCGATGCCATGGCAGTACTGCGCCATTGTCGAACAGGAAGTCAACGATGGTTTCTCGCTGCTCTCAATCAACGACATTGACAAAACACTCATTTTGCAAAGCGAGGCCATGTGGAACAGTTTGGTCATGGGTCTGATCAAGGCCTCTCAATGGGAGACGATTGCAAAGATCTTGCACAAGATGGTCGACGAGAAAATACGTATCAAAGGAGAGCTTGTCAAGGACTTGAGCTCGTGTATGCTCAATTTCAAAAGAAGCAATCGTTCCGTCGCCCAAGCTCTCCTCAGATACCAGAGTAGAATGAAATTTGTCCATCATCCACGTATCAACAACATTTCAATTTTGGCATTCAATTTGACCCAACAATTCAGCATTGCCAAATCCATTTACGATCATTCAAGCGTTAAAAACCTCATGACCTATCGTTTGGTGACCATGTTGTTTTTGGACCAACTGTCTCATGAAAAATGCGATCCTCAAACCACCGTCGACATCAATGTCTTTGAACAATACATTGGCTTTAATATTGGATTTGGAACTGGCACTGAATTAAACACCTTTGCTGAAATCCTCATTGAATTTGCCACCCCAACAGAATCTGAACGAAAATCGATTCTCTGTCAATTCTTGGTCTCACAAATAGTCAATCGTGAATGCGAACAAAAAACTCCATTCTTTTTAAAGCTCAGAGAATTGTCACCAACTGACAATGGATTCGACCTGCTTCAAGGAATCATTGCCTCTGATGTTTTATATCCAGCTGGCACCTTTGACGCAGAGTCTGAAGAGTTTATCAAGATGCTTACAAAACCAAGAGCTCAAATCAGAGATAAAGCAGAACGACCTCAATCATTGACTGAAGTCAGCAATTCATTTATCAAACTTTTCTTGGATCATACTTATTTAAGAACCATTAGAATTAAAGATTAAATAATAATAATAATAATAATAAATGCGACAAAGACAATTATATATAACTACTAAAATATTTTACTTTTATTATTATTTCTACATTTTTGTTTTTGTTTTAAGCTTGTACACCAGAGTTTTGATCATCATCATCTGATGAAGAGATATCGTCATAATCGACATTTGGATCAGCGTCATAGTGGTATTGATTGGCTTCGAATGGATCTGAAGTTTGGTCAGCTAACAATTCATCGATATTGTCCAAGATTTGTTCAACCTCCAATTCCTTTTCTAGAGAACGTGATTGAGTACGCTTTCTCCATGCCTTTTGGATGGTGGAGGCAGCTTGGGAATGGTTCTCAATGTATGGACCGTATTGAGATGGCGAAGATTCGACTGGAGTTGGTTGGTTTGATACGGCGGCAAGAGTGCTTACTGGTGATGGAATACAGATACCATTCTTCTTTTGGAGCGATTGGACTTCCTTTTGTTTGGCCATTTCGTATACCTCTTTGAATTCATTGTAGATGTACTCTTCTTCATTTTCATTACCAAATGATTTATCCTTTTTGTTGTTGGTCTTGGCAGCAGCTGGATCAATCTTTTTCTTTTTGTTTGGTTGATCCTTCTTGTCATCCTTGTTATCAGCGGCAGCTCTTCTCTTTCTTCTTCTGACACCAATGACAACACCGGCGACGAGAGCACTGGCAGCTACAACACCACCTACGACAGAGCCAACAATGATAAAGATTCTAGTGAGATTGGATCCATGTTGGATACCTTGCAAGAGAGCAAACTGGGTGAGATGGTTACATTTGCAGAGGACAGTCTCTCCATCTCTCTCGGTTTTACATCCCTTGTCGGACCAATCCGACTTCTTTTCATCCCACCATACACACTTGTACTCGGAGCTCTTGGAGTATTTACCAGCGTCAATGACAATGGGTTCGACGAGGTTGCTGACATTGAGCTTTTGTCCGTCTTGTTGAGTAAACTCAAGACTGAATACATTGTTCCCTGCAAATTTACCGAGTGAATGCTTGGCAAAGTAATGGGTGTTTCCTGGGAGTACGACATACTTGGCACTGACTTCATCGGTCTTGTTGCTACCTGCGACGGCATTCTTGAAAATACCTCTCTTGAAGGAAAAGATTGGTTCGCCATCCATACCACTCATGAAACCACCCTTCTTGTGGAGTGCTTCCAATTCGTGCTTGTAGGTTGTGATAGAGACACCGTTACGAGAAATGGTGGTTGCATCTTCACCGGCAGTCTGACGATAGAGAACAGCGCTGGCAATGTTGGAGGCACACTCTTCGATGGCAAAACTGACATTACCAGCAGTGCTACGATACTTGGGGTCAATGTGTGGGATTTGGTTCAAAAGTTGCTTGGCAATGTTTGATACGACTTCAACACTACCATAGATACCACGTGGATAGACTGGGTTCTCGATCATGTGGAATGTAATACCTCTAAGGATCTTGGACGATCTTCTGAGATAGTCTGGCGAGAGACGTGATGATTCTTCAGTAGTACTAACTAAAATATCAACTACAGATGTTAATCCTTCAGAAGTGATGACGAGTGATCCAGATGCTGCTGGAGCAGGTGATTCATCGGGTGTCAACAATGGAACGTTTTCAGATGATTCGGTAGAGTAGTCGGCTTGGTCGAGTAACTTGTCGACACCATCATTTCTTGACAAATCTTTGGTGAGCTTTTCAATAGTGACGAGGGCCGATGCCTTGATGGATGCAACTTTTTGAGCTACTTGCCCTGAACTCAATGCCTTTCCAGATGGTGGTTCGACGACAGAGTTGGCAATCTTGAGTGAGGTTCCGAGTTCGAAAAAGTTAGTGTCTTTGGATTTGATGATATTCGAGACAAAGTCGAGTACCTTTTCATTTTGATCGTGTGATGGAGCTTCAACGACAACGTCACAGGTCGATGAGGATGCAACACCGGTACCAGACATGACATAACCAATGATGACGAGTTCTCCTGGTGGAAGATGGGTTGTCAAACGATTGGATACAGACTTTTCACAAAGTGGGATCTCTTCATTACTATCCTTGGTTCTGTATCTAAAACTGTAACCAGAGATACCAGTGGCAGCTGCCCAAGAACGGCCCAAGTCAAAAGTGTACTTGTCCATGACGCCACCCTTTTTGGTGTAACAGTTGATCTTTCCACCGGATGGACGTGCTTCGGTTCTAAATGAGACAGTTGCTTCTCCTTGAACCTTGGTGGTTTTATCTTCGACGACTACTTGAAAGGTGTAGAGTGTGTTTGGAGCAAGTGCACCCGATTTAATGGCAAGGTTTCTACCAGTGACGGGGGTGCTGTATGGTTGATCGATCGACAAGTCACCCTCGAGGACAGACCACAAAAAGGAAAGTCTCTCAATTGGAATGGGGTTGTTGTGGAGTACAGACAAGAGAACTAACTTGGCTCCTGGATCAATGTGGTCGGGAATGGTGCTCTTGTCAATGGTGACATCGATGAAATCAAAGTTGGTCAATTGAATCCAGGTGATGGCGACACCACTACGACGGATGTTGTCCGATGGAATTACCTCGACCGAGATGACATACTTTCCAGCGTCCCACTCGGATGAGTTGAAGCTGATGATTGGCTCGCTCAACGACTCGAGTGGACAATTACCAACAGTCTGTTCGGATACGGTACAGACCCATTTGTAAGAGTAGGTGATGGAGCTGTCGCTACCCTCGCTATTGTCTGGATCGACTGAAGAGCTGGCATCGAGTGTGATCATCTCTCCCTTTGCAAATGTACGGTCACCACCAGAAATCTTGGCCAAGATGTTTCTCTTGTTGATCGAGACGTTGACTGTATCTTCTCCAGTCGAGTCACCAGCTGTAGCAGACAATGTGAATGTGTAGTTTTCACCCGATCTCCAGGCATTGACTGGTACAAACAAGCTGCGACCATTGAGATTGACGGGTACCAAGAGGTCGGGAGTGACACGCCATTGGTAGACAAAGTTGCTGTTTTGGTTGCCCGAGCAGCCATTGGCCGAAGCAACACCTTCAAGTGAAATGGGGATGGATGGGATACGGATCTGACTAGGTCCAAAGATATTGACAGTGATGACATCGTTGAATACCTTTGAGATGGTGACAGAGGTCTTGTCAGACTTGCCGAGCCAGTTGGTGACTTTAAGGGCAAACTCGTAGGTACTTCCAATTGTGAGTGTGTTGTTGGGGAGGACGACTTTAGATCCCTTTGCATCTGAGAGAATCTGTGTGAGTTGTTTCATATGGTCGGGTGCAGATACGACAGACCAAACGAAATCCAATTGTCTACCACCTCCACCTGCAGAACGGCTACCGTCCAACTCGACAACATTACAAGGTCCGACGACGGATGGAGCGTTGATGGAGGCGACGGGTGGTACTGGTTCACCGCCAATCAACTCGATAGTCTGCTGGTTGTTTGGTTCACCACCAAGTGATGTGATGGAACCTGCTCTGATCGAGATAGCGTCACCAACTGAGATGGTCGAAGAGGTGCCGAGGGTGATGGTCAGTGTAAACCCATCTGACCATTGACAAGTGGGGTTGGTGCCAAAGGTGACAGTCGTGTCGGCCGAGAAGAAGCTTGCGCAGCTTCCGGCATTCTTTTTGGTCTGTGGGTCGAATCTACAGCTGATGGAAGTGCCAGTTGGATCAAGAGCACATTCCTGTGCAACGGGTGCACCCAAAGCAGTGTAAGTAAAGGCAGAGAACAACGTAAAGTGCCCACCATTTGAAGTGTACACTGATACATCCAAAGGTGTAGATGCTTGGTTTGGAGAGGTTCTACAGGTCATTTGACGTGCAGACAATACAGTCAAACCTGCACAAGTACCAGGTCCAACTTGAACACGTGTAATAGAGCAGTCCAAAAACCCTGAACCAGAGATGGTAATCGTTGTACCGCCCGTCATTGGACCGGTGCTTGGAGAGACAGACGACAAAGTGATGTTACAAAATTGCTCGGCGACAGCGTGTGATACAACCTTTCTGGCGAGGAGATTGATCAACGGCTTGTTGTCACCTTGGAACAACTGGCTGTATGGACGAATATAACGCATTTGATTCATCTTGGTATTGGTTTTGAACACCATTTGATTGACGAGATCGTGGATACGGTAGTAGAGCAATGGTTCAGTGACAATCGACTGCTTGAATCCGTTGATGGCCAACTTGGACAATAACTCGTGGTCTTCAAGACCGACGCCATACTCTTCAGTAAATCCTCCAATACGTTCAAAACTCTTTCTCTTGATGAAAAAGTTGGCATCTCCAAAACAGTTTCTAAAGACACCGACGACGATCGATGGACCCAATGGAACCCACTGCTTGGTGATCAATTCCTTGCTTGGAACGGCTGAGCTTGTAATAATGGAATGTGGGGCAGTGACGACATCTGCATTTGTGTTGAGTGCAACCTTGACATACGACTCGATAGCATCGGGATAGGCATAGTTATCATCATCCAAAAAGTATAACCACACTCCACTCGATTCCTTGGCAGCGGTGTTTCTGGCAGCTCCCAAATATCTATTGGGTGTTCTAATAATCTTCCATCCCTTTTGTCTGAATTGTGGTTCAAGCTTCTTTAAATAGTCGATTGCTTCAGTTGAATTACTACCATCATCTACCAAGATGACTTCATAGTTTTTGTATGATTGGTTTTCAATTGATTCAATTGCTTGAGCCAAATAATGTGGTCTATTGTAATGAGTGATACAAATTGATACTAATGGAGTAGTAGTGGTAGACGATGAAGGAGAAACAATGACAGAGTGTTGTTTCTTTTCAGCTGCAGCAAAGATGGATGGATAGAATGCAGACCATGCTTGAGTTGATTCTGTTGGTGTAAATGTTGGTCTTGCTACTATAACTCCCTTCTTGATGGTTTGTAACAGAGTACGAAGTAATTGGTATGACTTGGTATCAAATGTTACTTGATCTCTATCAGATTCTTTGATCAATGGTAATATAGATGGTGTTGCACTTGCAATAAATGGTATTCTATCATATAAACATTCATACAATGTATATGGTGAATTATCTTCTAATGATGGTATTACCTAAAAATTAAAATAAAATTAAAATGTATTCATTCGAATTTGATATCTTTTGATTGTTAATATTATACATACAGCTAATCTATTACTTTTTTCTTTTAAATATTGAATTGCTTCACCAGATGATTTATCAAGCAAATATGAAACTTTGGTATAGGATGCCCACTTTGAAGCACGACCTTTCAAGTAGACGAGAGAATCTTGATCGTTGATGGTGGATGAACGACCGAGGAAGGTGACGGATACCTTTGGAACAGACTTTTTATCACCAGTAAACAAAAGGTCAAGAGCATCACAAAACAATACAATACCCTTTCTTGATTCTAAACGACCAAAGAATACAAGTTCTTTGATTGGCGATGAGGAAGAATCATCTTCAATCTTTGAATCTATACTACTGGTTCTTGGTAAGAATGGCATAAGATACATATCTTGGTTGAACGACTTTCTACCAAAATCCCAGTTATGTTGAATCATCCAATTGATCATATAGGTACTTGGAGCCCAGATTACATCGGACCATTCAACGGAACGTCTTTCTATATAGTCAACTTCCAATTCAGATTCGAGAGCAGGTGAGCTTTTGGTGTTGGATTCGATAACCCATGCCGATGGACCGTGGATACCAGTGATAAACTTGGTCTCGGAAAAGAAGAGACCAGACTTTTTGGCGGCCAATGAATAGTAACCCAAACCTTCGAAATCGTGTAAATGGACAACATCAAATGGTGGATTGTTCTTGAGGTAGTGGTAGACTTGGTAGGATTTACGGATATGTGGGGTGTTGGTAATTGGCACTGATAAAGGAGGGAGATTAACCAACTCTATCTTTCTATTTAATTTCAAGTGTTGTTTCCATTCATAGAAACTCATCTTTTCGGTAGTTTCATCTCTGGTGTAAATGACCGTCACTTGATGACCCAATGACACTAAATAATCGGCCAAAATCGAATACAATGTACCAATACCAGAGGTAGAATAAATCCCTTCAAAACTTGAAACTACAATCGCTATATTTAAACTTTTTTTTGGTACATTTATATTGTTATTATTAAAATTAATCCAATCTAAAAAATAAATCAAAATTAATTAGTTTTAAATGTTGATTAATCTTTTTTTTTGTTTTTTTTTTTAGACTTACCCAATTCATTGGTTGTATGATTATTTAAAGGATATTGGATTTTATCAAGTTGTTTTATAATATCCTTAAGGGATTTTTCATATTCAATAATATTATTATTATTTGAATTGTGTAAATCTCTGTCAAAAAAGATAAAAAAGGTTAATATAGTTAAATTATTATTTTAGTTTTTTAAATATATATTTACTTTATCATATTTTCATATTCTCTTGTTAATGATTTAATATCATCGTTTTGATTTGTAGTATTTAAAAATATTCCATATTTGGAATTTGATGGAAAATCTATGGAAAAAAAAAATTAATTAACTATCTATATTTATTATTAATATTACTATGTTTGACATACCAATTGATTGTGTATATTGAAATACATTAACCAATAAAATAAATATAAACAATAATTTAATCATGTTTTTTTTGTTTTTGTAATTATACTTTGTTCGACATTCAACTAAACTCTTTAATAATATTTGTCAAACTCTTTTGATGATGATACCTGTGAAATAATGATACTAAATATATATATATATAAATATGAATCGATAATAAACAAATAAATAATTTGATTTGTGAGTGATGGTGATATTGGTGATGATTGAGATACTAAAAATAATTTCTCTAAATCAATATATATTGAACCCTTTGTATAGGAGTGACAATGAATGAAAAGAATAAAATGAAATACAGATATAGATAGAGATAGAAGAGAGTATTTGTTGGTATTATTATTATTACTATTTAGGGTGAGTGAACAAGTTGTGACTAGTCCTCACTCTGTCTCTCTCTCCTCTAGCTATCAGCGACTAGTGGGTTCTCAACAAATAAAATAAAAGTTTATCTTCACTATTAACTAAAAACTTTTTAGCAATTTAGTTCATTGTCAGGCCAGTGTGGTTGATTTTTAGTCAGGTTTCCATATAAAAAAAGATGGAAACTTCTGGCGATGTGGTGTTGACTCTGTTTTTTTCTGGAAATTTTTTTTGTAGTCTTGAAATTATTTGCGTGTGGTTTTATCATTTTTTGATAAAAAATCTTTAGGAAACGTGTGTTTATGTGTGGTTGGGTTTTAGTTTAGTCGACGAAACTATTGGTATGAACCCGACTCGACTGATTATTGCTTATTTCGGAGAGTGAGTGTTTTTTGGAAGATGGAATACCAACTTTTTTTTTTTCATCCATCTTATATCATATTTTCCAAACCTTGAATTCAATTATATATATATCTTTTGTTTTTTGAGTGTGAGAAGTGTAAGAAAGATAGATGGTTTTTTTATTATTATTATTCATCTCCTAAATAAATGACGATGATGATAATGATGAATGTTGGGAAATAATAATATTTAATTTTTGACATAAAAAAAAATAAATGATTTAATAATGGACGGGTGGATGGATGGGAAAAAAACAATAATGCTATTAGTTGATCAGTCTATTGACTGGTTGGTTGTTGTATGTGTGTCGAGTTTGTATCTCTCTATTGCCGTTGATGGTTGGTTGCGTTGTGTTTAGGTTGGGGGGGTCGTGGGATGAATGTAATTTTAATAAATAGGTTTGTGATTGGAAATAGAGGACTATAGTTTTTGTTGTTGGCTGTTGGTTGAAGAAATTAAATTTAATTCATTTCATCTTCATCATCATCATCAAATGCAAAGGAAAATTGAGTTTGGGAATTGACAGAAGCCGATCTTCTTCGTTCTTGTAGTTTTTGAAGGGCAAAGATTGGTTTTTGGGGGATTGGTTGATGAAGGTGAGGAAATTGAGGTTGAACCCAAGATGTCTTGGTGGCAGCTGGTGGTGACATGATACCTGAACTAGTACTATTGTTGCTGCTGTTGAGACTGCTGTTGGGACTAAACATGGGTGACTGTGACAATGTCATTGGAACGGGCGAGTTGGACAATAGTCTGTTGCTATTAGAGGCATTGTTGAGAGGTGTATTTTGTGACATTGATCCCGATCTTGAAATCGACGGAGACGACGGCACTGCACCTCCAACACTACCATTCTGAAGATTGAAAAAGTCGGGTGCTGAATATGAAAACCCTTGGAATGCCATTTGATCAGTCTCTGATAAATTGGTATTGATCGAATTTGGATAAACTGGTTTTGAAATTGTACAACCTGGATCAAAATATGAAAAATCTAATGGTCCATTCTAAAAAGAAATAAAAGTATATTATTAATAAATGTATATTTTGAAAATATATATACATATATATATTCCTTCTTACAAGATGAGGTTTAAAAGGTGGATCAACTTCTTTGTTTAAAACTTTTTGCCAATTTACAGATCTAAAGAATGGATGAGTTTTAATTTCCTCTACATCGGATTCACCTGATCCAAGTCTCTTTTGAGGATCTCTATTCAATAACATTGAAACCAAACTAGTAGCATTTTTTGAAATACCTGGTGGGAATTTCAATGGTGCTGTTAAAATCAATTTTGTCATTTCTCTTGGGTCATCACAATAAAATGGTGGCTAAAATAATAAATAAATAAATAAATAAATAAATAAATATATTATTAGTTTTTGGAATAAATAAATATAATGGATTGTTTGTTTTTTTTTTATACATACTAAACCAACAATCATTTCATAAAATAATGTACCCAATGCCCACCAATCAACAGATTTACCATAACCTGAACCATTGATTGTTTCAGGTGCCATATATTCTGGTGAACCACACATTGTATAGGTTGGTACACCATCTTTGACACCTTCCTTGCATAGACCAAAATCGACAAGACAGAGGTTGCCGTCAAGATCCATTAAAAGGTTTTCAAGTTTCAAATCACGATAGATGACTCCATGTTCGTGAAGGAAACCAATGGCCAACATAATCTGAGAAATGTAGAAACGAGCAGTATCTTCGGAAAAGGTTTCTCGTTCGTTTATGTGATAAAACAACTCGCCACCTCCAATGTAATCTAGTACCATGCAAAGACTATCCTGTGTCTGGAAGGAATATTTCAAACCAACAATAAAGGGATGGTAATATTTCTTGAGTAATTTTCTTTCGGTAAAAGTATGTTGAACGGCATTCAAATCCAAACATCTATCCTTTTTTACAATCTTCATTGCATACAATCTACCAGTATCTACTTTTTTTACAACATTAACATGTCCAAATCCACCTTTACCAATCATACTCAATACTGCAAAATCATTTAATGTTACCTTATTCTTTTTGAAATAGAAATAAAAATAAAAATAGAATAAATAAATTAATACACACAAAGGGTATATAAATACTTTCATTATCTCTTTTACATACATTTGAATTTGTATAACTTAATTTAACATGTATAGAACAAGATGAACTAACAGGGAACCATTGATCAAGATATTGAGTTTGAAACACAGAGTATGGAATAGAGACTCTACCAATTACTTTTCCAATATTAAACATATTTACACTTTTTCTTGGTGTCAAAGATTGATCTCCATTGCCAATAAGTGGTGATGGACTTATTGGTGAAACAGACATTTCTTGATCATTTGATTGTTGAATACTATTTACATTTGTTTGCCATAGCGTTAAAGTTAATTCCGTATTTGGTGAACTGACATCACTAAATATATAAAGTAGTAAATTATCAAAGATTGATTTTTTGGTTAGAAAAGAAAGATTACAGTAAAGGTAGTGAGTGATAATTACAATGTATAACCTTCATTCCACTCAATATTTGAATTTGGATGTACATTGATTGAAGTGGTTTGAATGGTTTGCTTTTCCAGTGATGCCAAACAATATATTCTTACGGGTTCATCGATTTTTAAACCTTTGATACTCTTTAGTGAAAAGAATAGTTGTGCTTGATGATCAAATGTCACTTCCAACTCTTTGGGTGACGTTGACGCTGTTGATTTACCATTACTAATGTTTACTATATAGATAGATAGATTAGATAGATCGGAATGAAAATGTGTTAGAAGAAGGAATTTGACCAATGATGATTAGAGATTGATTTCAATCTTTTTAATTATTGGGCCACGCCACCACACATTTTTGAAAAGCCATCCCATCCCCGCCCAATCAAACAACAAACAAACAAATCAAAAGATCAGCTGATCCGGACAGACTATTTGACAAATCGTCCTTCGGTTCTTTTAAAGATTGATTTCTTGATTGCGCCTCTTTATGATAACTGATTTGTGTGTTTGTGTTTGTTCAAAAGGGTACCAACCAACTAACTAACATGTGACGACAACCAATGCTACTACTACTAGCTATCTACTACTTACTCGCTCTCTGATAAATTGCGCTTAACATTATGATGATGTCCTATTATCCTCTGATACTTTGATTCTTTTCTTATTGTTCCTTATTACTGATACTCTGATTGCTATTTCAAATACTTAGGTTGATTTTTGTTTATATATTTAATGTTTTAATACGTATAATGTAATATGTATGTATGTATGTATGTATGTATGGTATGTAGATGTAATGTACAACAACCTATATATATTTATAATATATTTTGAATATATATAGATGGATGATAATGATATAATTGATTGGTTGACTGATATTGTTGATGACCACAAAGAGTGTTTTATATATGTACTAATATGTGTCAACAAACAACCGATGATGATGATGATATAATAATACAACAACAAAGAAGAAGAAGAATAAGAAGAAGATGATGATGACGATGATAAGTAAGTAATACAATGAATGTTAAAATAGAACCACAAAAAGAAAGTTTTTGACAAACTAGATAAACTTGACTCTTTTCTTTTTTGGGCCAACAAAAATATTTAAATAATAATATACTAATATTGGTTGGTTTGGTATTATCAATAATATTTATAATAATAATAATAAATAATTAGATTATTCTTTCAAAAAATATTAATAATATTTTTGGTCGGTCTATTACTGTTTGTTTGTTTGTTTGAAGATCCACCCCCGACCAGAGAGATTGATTGAAAAAGGTTTTAGCGATGAATCATTTTTAAGCCCCCTCTTGGGGCTGGTCATGCCAACCCCCGACCATTTAAACAAACTTCTCGCGATAAAGGGGGGTCTCAAAACTTGTTTTTGTTGACCACACAATCGATAAATGAGGTAGCAATCAACAACAACTCACCATGGCAGACGGTTGGTGAAGTGGAGTAGTGTCAGAGAAACCAATTGTCGTGCAATATCCACCCAGATCTTATGATAATATGATTTTTTTTTAAAAAAGGGATTAGGAGAGAGAAATAAAGAAGATGGATATCATTCCAATCAGATAACATACAAATAATTAATACATGTTTTCAAAAATTATTTGTTTTTTTTTTCTTCTTTCAGACTGGATAGATTGAGAGGAGGAGGATTTAAAAGACAGTGATGATGTGACTTGATTGTTATGATGGAATGAAAAGATATACAAAGAGGATTAGAGATAACAAGTTGGTATTCGGTATCATCGGTTTGATATTGTTGACGTTGATACTTCTTATCTATGATTACAACAATACTCCAGATTACTACAAACTGCGGCTGCTAGACAAGCAGATAGATGAAACGATCGAGCGTAATCAGACACTGTTTCTAGTTGGCAACGAGTATGGAAAGACTGCAAAATCAATTGTAAAGACATATGATTGTGGAATGTGGGGAACAACAAAGTGGAAAGAAGATAGTAGAGGAGGAGACAACATATCACCCAATGGTATTGTTATGTTTGGATCGGAACTTTCTAATATGGAGAATCCGATCATTCCAAGAAGGATAGATAGTAACAAGGTGTTGTCAGTCTACATACAATTACATAGTTATTCTTCAGACTATGCTAGATGTGACAAACATCAGGACTGCATGGGATTGTTTCAATGGTCGATAGGATACAAAAAGAGTGATACTGTACAAGTACTACCATACCAAGGTAGAAAGCTACTAGAAAACATATACAACCAAGCAACTGCATTCAACTATACAACCCATCTAAAAATGTTTAAAAGTATAAACCATCAAGTGTGTTGGATATCTTCTTCGTCGTCTTGTGGTGATGATGATGATGATGATGATCGATCATCGCAACCATTGTCGTCGTCGTCGTCAGACAGCCGAACACAATTTGTCAAGCAGTTAATGGAATATATTAAAGTGGATAGTTATGGTAGCTGTCTAAACAACGTACAGATGCCAAAGGGAGGAGGTAAAGATGAGTACAACTCACACTCTATCAAGTTACAAGTAATGTCTAGGTACCAATTCTACTTGGCATTTGAAAAGATCAATTGCCAGGAATACTTGTCAGAGGTGGTGTACCACTGTTTGTCGGCTGGTGTAGTACCAGTTATCATTGCCAGTCCCGATACGCACAGTCGTCTTCCCAAAGGATCATACATTGACGCAGAGCAGTTTGACAGTGCCATCGATCTTGCCAACCATCTCAAGAGTGTCTACCAAAACCAAACGCTCTATCAACAATACTTTAATTGGAGAAATGATGTATACGCACTTAGAAATTGGATAGACAACGCATTCCCATCAACCACCTATTCTCGTGTAGCTTGCGAAATACATCGTCGTTACCTCGAAACATTTAGACATCGATCGATCAATCATCCACCCGAACCATTTCTTCAAATCAAACCTTCTCATTGTTATGATCCATATTTAAAATATTTAAATTAATCATTCAATATACCTACATACACATACATATACATATAATAATAATAACAAATAATAATAATACTATTCTCAAACTTGCACTCACACTCAACTCTGCCAAAACCATCATCCCAAATTTTATTTTATTATAATTTATTTATTTTTTATTTTACTAGTACCTTTCTAATCCAAAGTTTAGTTTTAATTTTTTTTTTTCACACAAACAAACAAACAAACAAATATGGTTACTATTAAATTATTATTATTATTATTATTTGTGTTATTATTTATTTCTTTTTCAAGCTCAAATAATCATATTGTTTCATCTTTATCACTATTACCAATTAAATCATGTCAAAATGGAGGTATTGATTTATATGGTAACTGTATTTGTTGTTTTGGATATTATGGAAAGGAATGTGAGATGGTAGATACAAGAGAAAGGTGTACACAATCGACATTTACAGAATATGATATTGGTCCAGTTTGTTGTTGGTCAAAACATAGAACTATTCATAATGCAACCAATCTCAAAGAGACAACGTCGTGGTCAATAAGTGACAACTCTATGCAAACTCAAAACAAAAAGATTAAAAGAATGATCAAGAGTTATGGACCATGGGATGACAATGATATCAACTACTTCAATCATATTCTAAAGTTGGACCATATCCAAAGAAATGGAAGATTGAAACAAGTCTATTCTCTCCGATTCAACAATGCCACTGACAAGATACCTCGTTTACCATCAATTTGTGACAGTACCAACAAACCACCATTAGCATTTATCATCATGTTAACCAACTATGATAAAGAATCATTTCAAACTTTACTCAATATTATTTATCATCCAAAACATTATTATGTAATTCATGGTATGTCCAAATTTAAATTTATAATAACAAATAATAATAATAATATCAGATAGATAGATCATTTAATTAATCATTCTTATTCTTAAATTGCTGTGTACTATAGTGGATGCAAGAAATTTCAAAAAGGAAATTATAGATACAATGAATAACGATATCAATCATTTATTTGTTTCAAGACAACAAAAACAACCACTACAAGATCCAATGAATATTCAATTAGTAAATATTCCATTTAAAGGTAATTGGGGTACTCTTTCATTGGTTTATATGGAGGTTGCATCGTATACTTATTTATTTGACATGGTAAAACAAAGAAGAGAGTCAAGATTGAAATCAAATAGTCATCATCATGATCGACAAAATACAATAGTTCAATGGTCACATATAATCAATCTAAGTGGACATGATATGCCAACCAAATCATTACATAAATTGGAATCATTTATTTGTTCAAATCTAAATACCAACTATATTGAACATTTTCCAACAAAAGATATTTTAATTAGATTTCAAGTAAATCAAATCAATTCAAATCATCAGTCAACTTTAATATTAATTTATTTTATTTTAATAGATGACATCATTTGATCAAGGTAAATGGTTAGTAACAATTGATAGAGAGGTATTTGAAAGCAATGATTGTGGTAAGATGGGATCACTGTCAATTTTTGACCCAGAATCTGGAGGATATGGAAGTCAATGGCATATGATCAGATATGAATTAGCATATCATGCTATTAGTGATATACGATCGGTAGAGAGATTATTGTCACTCAAATTCACATCAATTCCAGATGAAAGTTACTATCAATCGATTAAACATTTCTATCCACATCTGAAACACCAGTCATGGAAAGATCAGGTAAACAGAAAAACATATTGGAGTAAATATACATCTGATACAAGTCATAGATATCGTGTTGAGAAACATGACATTGATTCACTAGTACCATCCCTATTGTTTATACGAAAGGTATATGATCAAGATGTTAGAAATTATATGATTGAAAAGTTACATTTACTCAAATAAATATAATTAATATCATATCATTACACACTGGAAACAAGACACATTAGGATTGATGGAATTATTATTTGTGATTTTATTAAATTATATACAAATTGTTTTTTTTTAATTATTTTAGTTTAGTTTAGTTTTGTTTTGTTTTGTTTCCAACAACAATAATAATAATATTACCCAAAAAATAATTATTATTGATTGAATTTTCAAAAAACAAATATCTTACTATTATTATTATTATCATTGTTATTACTATTATCTCTAATTATTATTATTATTATTAAGTGATTTGATTTATATTATTATTGTTAATTAATATATTGGAATATAGTGTGAATAAGTTATTAATTATGGTGAGTGGTGGATGATGGTGGTGATGATGGCGATGGAGGATAGAAAGGGGGAGATGAAAAAGAAAGATTATTATTATTATTATTATTATACCATACTATTATTATTAAGTTATTATTAAGTTATATTATTATTATTATCAACAACAAGTTTTTCTTTCAGTTGTTGCTTGATTTGGTCTATTATTTTGACTGTTTGCTTCTGGTTGTAATTTAAATGATTCCTTGTCTCGTGGTAAAAGAGAAGGGTTTCTTTCAAAAATCGTTTTGACCATGTCTTCGACAGATTCGTTCAAACCTGCTCCAGTCATTGCACTCGTGAGGAACCACTTATCGATGGTATTCTCCTCGCAAAACTTATCGAATCTCTTGTAGGGTATCTCTTGTTGAGAGTTTGGAAATAGATCGCCCTTGTTGGCCAGTAGAATAGATGGAATGGGGTTGTCGGCAAAACACTCATCGACATCCTCCTTCCATTGCTCTGCTACCTTTAATGTTGGTTCAATGTTTGAACTATCAAATACAATAAATACTCCCTTGGCATCACTATAATACAATCTTGTCATATGTGCATATCTACAATTAAATATATTCATAGTAAGTAATCTCTATCTATAGTGTTTTCAAACATTCATTGTAAACAAACAAACATTCATTCATTTGATGTTGTAACAAACATGTGATGATGTCATACCTTTCTTGACCAGCTATATCCCAAATCATCAAAATAACCTTTCTTCCTGATATAGTTGTTTCTTTGGTGACGCAGTCGACACCGACCGTAATCTTATAATTGGTTGGGTTGATATTATTACAATACTTGTTGATGATACTCGTCTTTCCACTTCGTGGTGGTCCAATGACCAACAACTTGATCATGATAGGTTCATCATCGTCGTCATCTTCTTGATGATGTTGATGTTGGTGTTGAGGGTTAACCATTATTCTATCTATCTATCTCTATGTATGCGTTTTACTATCTCTATCTCTACAATCTCTATCTAATCTTAATCTAATATTTGTATATATGTATATATGTGTTTGTTACAACAATGAGATGAATGAATGAATACCAAAATAGTAAGTATATGGTATGTTGGCTATATTAATATAATCTATCTGTTTGTTTAAATGTTAGATCTAACTTGAGACTTTCTCTCTCTTTCACAAAGAGTGTCAGAGTGAGGTGTGCTCCTATCAAAACTAAATTTTTGAATAATTATTCCTTTTTTCAAACCAACGTCTGAGGAGGAGACCTGAATTGAAATTCAAGTGGGTGAGAGAGAGTTGTTTATGATTCTCTCTCATTCATTCATTCATTCTTTATCATCTCTAGAGAAACGAATATACTAGTATAGTATCTATCTATCATCATGGGCAACTTACTAAGTTGTGCTCCAGAATATCCTTCTGAGCCGTTTACAGGCGATATGCCATCCAAACCCATACCATTACAGAGTGAAGCTCCAAAGTCGTCTTTGAACAACAATAGCAATAGTAGCAAAGATAGTTATTATAATAGTAATCCTTCTCTTTCATCTATATCACCATATAGTAGTTCTCCTACTACGACATCTTCAAATAAACCAACTAAAAGTACTACTCCACAAAAGCAACAACAATCAACAACAACAACTCCAACTCCAACAACAAAAAAAGAAAAATATATTAAACCAATTGTAGATAAGAACCCAACACATAAAATGAACTTTAGTGACGATGAAGAAGAGGATGATGATGAAGATGATGGAGACAGCATGTACAGTGCAGAGGAATTAAGAAAACAAAAATTAAAGGAAAAACAACAATCGTCTGTTACAAAAGCAACAACAACAACAACAACACCAACAAAAGAAGTAGTAGTAGAAAAGAATGAAACAACAACCCCTGTAGATTTATCAAATGTTTCACTTAGTAAACCAGCCTCTGCTCCAATGAAATTAATGGGTATGTAAAAGAGGATGGAAATCAATCATAGAACTTATTATTAATCATTATATTATTATTTGTAGCCAAGAAACCATTACCAAAAACAACAACAACTGTTTCAAGTTCACTTCAAACATCATCAGTATCAATCAAACAACAAAATATTGCTCCTCAAAAATCAAGTAAATTTGCAATTGCAGATGAAACAACCAGCAATGCAACTACTACAAATATTGATGCAAATTCAAGTATGGGTAATTGGGGAGACGACGATGAAATTAATTTTGGAGATGATGATGATGAAGATGTTGGATCAGATGATGAGAGCAACAATGAAAACAATGAGATGGATGATAGTGAATCCATACAACCACCAAAAATTACACAACCCATAAAGAAACCATCAATAGTTTGGAACGATGATGATGATGGATGGGAATAAATAGATAGATAGAATATCATTTCAATGATTTGGAGGGAGAGGGAAGACAAAACAAAACTATTTACATATATATATTTTAAATTAGAAGCCAAATAGATTACTAATTGTTATTAAACAACAACAACCAACAAACAAACAAATATAATATAATATAATATAAATAATTATATATCAATATTAAATAAATCCAAATTCAATACAATAATTATTATTGTTATTTTAATTTTAGTTTTTTTTTATTTAAAAGATATTTGATATTTGATTGGTTGGGTGGATTATAATATATTATTTAAAGTTGTTCTTCAGTGGTAGTAGATTCTTCTTCTTTGTTCTTCTTTCCTTTGTGATAGGCATCGTGATCTTTGTAGTTTAATGGTAATTTGAGAAGAGCATGTGGCGAACGATCCTTTTGGGAACTCGTATGCTTTTCTAAAATCTTGCTACGTTCTTCGGTGGATGGGGTACGGAGAGAACCATCGATGGCACTGATGAGGATGAGTGGGTCGGCTTGGGCATAGCCAGTGAATGGGTTACGAGACTTGTCGATGAAAATAAGATTCTTGCGCTTTGGCTTTTCAAGAGTTGGTCCACGGAAGTAGACTGGCTTCTCTGGGAACGATGGTGGAACGTTTTCTGGGCGTTCATGGATTGGATCGACACGCTTGCCCTTCTTTGGTACAATGGAAAACATGTTTTCCTTGCCATTGAGCAACCAGTATTTTTGCATTTTTCTTTCGTCGGCTTCGAATTGACCAAGGTATTCATCCTCCTCTCTTGTTCCAAAGTATCCGGTCATGGCAATCTCCAAATCATCAAATACTTCTTCACCAGCTTCAACTTCCTTTAGATAGATTTGTTGGAATCTAATAATGGCAGCGACTGAGAGAAAATAGAATAAATAAATAAAAATGTTAACATTCTATTCTTTTGATATATTATATAGATATATTATTTGTGCATTTCTTTTTCTTACTTCTATTTGGATGAATATGATAAATCTTTGATAATTGGTAGGGATTGTAATATACAGGATCTTCCATGTAGGCATCGTAGATGTTCATTTTGATGACTGGATCTAATGGTCTTGGGTCGTCCAAGGCAAGACGATAGGCGTTGTAGAGGACACGAACACCTCTGACGTCGGGGTCGTTGACGACTGGACCGATGATGTCACGGTACTTGCGCATTTGCTCTTCGTGTGCGTCTTGTTCCTCTGCGTCTTCCTCGGCATCACCCTCTTCAACCTCTGCCAAGAGATCGTGGAATCGCTTGTTTTTCATACCGTCGTCGTCTTCTTGCAAGGCCTCCTTTTCCATAGCATCCTCGCCTTCAAAGTATTGGTTGGTTTCGTCGTCATTGTAAAAGTCGTCCATTTCAACGGGACGATCATACTCTTCGTCGTCTTCGTCTCTTTCGTATTCTCTGTCCAATGCATCCTCGTCAAACTCGTTTTCGTCGAGTCCGTCAAGTGCCTGTTCGTCAAAGTCCTTGTCGCCAAACAACAGGTTCTGACGCTTGGTCTTGCGCATGTTGAGTGGTGCGTCGTCGGGTGTGTCGTGTTGGTCAAAGTCGTCAATGTCTCTAAAGTCCTCGATCTCCTCGTCGGCGTCGTATGCAAGCTCCTCGTCCTTGTATTCCTCGAGCAAGTCGCCTTCAACGTCCTCACCAAAGTCGTGTGCCAACTCTTCGTCGTCTCTAAAGTCTAAAAAGGTTGGGTCGATCTTGGCGTGCAACTTGGACATCAAGTGCTCGTTGTTCTCTGCTGGATCCTTGCTCTTCTTCTTTGATGAGTATCTTGCAACACCCACTGAGCCAGTAGCAGTAGCAGCAGCAGCAGTGTTGGTCGCGACCAAACGACCAATAGATACCAATGTCTTTTGTACAGTCAACATTCTTCTTCCTCTTCTTCTCTGTTGTTGTTGTTGTTGTTGAGTTGTTGTACTGATGTTGATGTTTCTTCTAACACACTATACAAACAAGACAATATAACTAGTACTAGATAGAGCTATGAATGATACTATGTGTTTGCTCCTCATTCATCAGATGCTTGCTCATTCGTTTATGATCATTTTTTTTGTTTTTTTTTTAATTTTTTTTTCCATCTTCTTATCATCATTCTCACCACACTTTTTACTTCTTTCGTTAATCTACTTTTGTAGGTCAAAAGTAATAATATATAAATATTAGTTTAGTTAGTTTAATTTGATTGTACAACTTATGAATTCAACATAAGGTTGTTGGTTTTACGATCTCGTGCTCAAGATTATTATATGTTATTCAACACTGCAACGCACAAAGAAGTAGTCACAATTATAATTAAAAACATAATAATAATAATATAATGATAATGATAATTTTATTTAAGACTTGTAAAATATGATAAAACTTATTATAACCACAATCATTTAATTTCTTCTTTTGATATTAGTAGTATATTAGTAGTGGTTGGTGATGACATGGGTAGGATGGATTGGCATACTAAAAGATATGGTAGTGGTGGTGTGATGATCACACACACGCACTCTCTCTTTCTCTCTCTTTCTCTCTCTAAACACAGTGGTGGTGTTTGTATCTCGTTTTTTATCTTTTAAGCATCACCGAACACAAATCATAATCACAATCATTTGAATAAATGTTTTATATTGGTCGATTCGATATACATAAAGTATGGTTACATCATCATCGTCACAAACAATATTGTTGAATCAGAGAAATTATTATTGTCGGTCTACTAAACCATTCTCTATCCAATTGAAGCAATGTCGATGTGACTGACGACGCCTATTCAATATACTAACGATCTAATCGCTAACGAATTAGTTGGTTAAAGACAAAGAGATGCGGGGTTGGAGTACCGTCACACGACCTTCACCAACTCGGCCGAGTGCACTGCTATCCAACAACCTCAACTATAAATAAGAATGGATTTCCAACTTTAAATATAATATAAAATTAAATCATATTAATAATTTATCAATAATAAATATTAATTAATAATAATAATAATAATAATAATTCCAACAAAAATGAATTTTAATATCAATAATAATAATAATAGATTTGTATTAAGAGAATTCTCAGAGGAAAAAGATTTAAATGCCATTTCATCAATTCCAAGACTACCAGTATCATACAATTACAATGCATTGGAAGGAATGTCACATCCAATCGATTTCACAATCCGTCCAACTCTAACAAAGAATCATAAGATTATTGTTGCCGAAGACAGACAGGAACATCAAGCTATTGGAGCCTATGCATGTAATATCAAAGATGTGATTGTGTGTGGTGAAAAGAAGACATTGTACTATATGTTTGATATCAATGTTCATCCAGAATACCGTGGTCATTCCATTTCCAATATGTTTTTCAGAGATATTCATAGTGCCGTCAAACAAGACAACCGTTCAACCATCCTTGTCGCATCGACATCAAAGAATAATGCACCAATCAAAAAAGCAACTGGAAACATTGAAATGACTCCACAATATGATCAATGTCAGATGGCTTGGAAGGTATCCAGTCCAGTAAGAGTCAACTCACTCCCATCCAATTGTTCACAAGTTAGATTTATGCAACTATTAGAGAATGATGACATCAAAGAGAGATGGGATAATGCATTCCAACAATACAACTTTATTCCATCAAGTTTCTCAGATATCCTTGTCGATAATCAAAAATACCATGAATCAACCTATATTGCAACGATGCAATGTAATGGTCAATTGTATGAAGCATCAATCTCTATTTGGAATCAAGATTTAATATTCACACTCAAGAATCGTCAACAACAAACACAAAAACATCGTCAACTCTATTGTTGTTATTCATTGGGTGAAGATCAAGAAACAAGTGACACTCTATTTAGATACCTTTTACAACGTGTACACAATGAATTGTATTCTCAAGGCATCAATTATGTATTTGCAGGATTCTCAATGACCGATCCAATCAGACAACACTTTCCATTACTTCCAGGTATCAAATCATTAGAATTTACATCGATTGCCAGATTTTCAACTCCAACCGAATTCACTCAATTCAAATCACAATCCAATTACCCAATTTGGAATGATCCACGTGATTATGGTATTTTAATGTTATATCCAGAACAACACCAATATCAACAACAAAATAATTGTAATAATAATAATTTAATTTCAAAACTTTAAATCAATCTAAAAACTGTAATCATAGTCAACTCTTTCACAATTAACTAATATATATTGTTAGTTAAACAACTCAGCACTCAACAACCATTGATTATATCTATCGATGGGTGATATAAATAAATAAATAAACAAAATTGTATTTTTATAACTGTAAATTATTTTTGTATGCAATTGTGATAATGGAATTAATATATTTCCATTTTTTTTTATTTTTATTGCGAGAATCATCATGTCTTCAAAACAAACAAAAAAAGTACCCAAAGTACCTAAAACACCAACAATCAAAATACTTGATCCATCACTAAACAACAAAAGAAATATCAAGACATGGGTGAATCACCAACCTCTTAGAACCAAGTTAGAGAAAGCCACAACCAATTTTATCAAAGCTAACAAGAAGCTCTCTTTGGTATGTGGCAAGGAGAAGTCAATAGATAATACAATTACTTCGATGAAGAAGATAGGTGGTCTGTACAGTGATACAGAAGTAAATAGAAGATACAACCACAACGAGGTACTTAAAGCAGCAAGCGAAAATTCAGCAAAGAGGTTGGCTTATTTGACGCATGTAGTTGGTGAATGTGCAGAGCTTGTATTAAATGATGATTTGGTTTGGAGAACAAGATAGAATATTTTCGTAAAGCTGCACCTCACATCTACTCGGAGAAGGATTTATTTATAATTACCTAATGTAATGGTCAATTGTATGAAGCTTCAATCTCTATCTGGAATCAAGATTTAATATTCACACAAAAACATCTTCAACTATAAAGTGATACTCTATAGAATAATATATTATATATTGCAACGGAACAACATCAATACAATTACAGAACAACCGCAATAATAATAATTTAATTTATTGCAATCTATTGTTTAAAATAAATAAATAGAGTTTATAAAGTGTGGTGTTATTTAATCATCATCAAACCAATCATCCATATCTTCAGATGGTGGAACAAAATCATCATCTGTTGGGTGGTCTGGCGTTTCTATAGCTTTGATCTCTTTTTTTGGTTCAACCTTGATTGGTTTCTTGTTAAAACTAACCGAGGTTGTAAATCTTTGAGAATCATCTTCACTACTGCTATCAATATCTTGGTTCTTTGCAACAAGTGAGTTTTCTTCTTCTTCCTCGTCATTGCTATCGTCATTGTGCACGATAATTGGTTTTGGTGGGGATTTAATAGTAGAAGGTTTTGGTGGTGTTGAAGCTAATTTTGGTGAGACTTGCTTGGGTGATGATGAAGTTTGGGTAACTGGTTTTGTTACAGGTACTGAGGTTAATTTAGGTGATGAGGTTTTGACAATTGGTTTCTTTACTGGAATATCTTCATAATCATCATCTTTGGTTACAAATGGATTGGAATCTTCATCGTCATCATCGTCACTATCATCTTTTACAATAGTCTTCTTTGGTTTAGTGATTGGTGAAGATGATAGTTTAGGTGATGTCTTTGATACTGCTGTTGGTTTTGAGGAAGAAGAAGGAGGTGGAGTGGACGATAATTTAGGAGATGATGTCAAGGTGGTTGGTTTTGGTGTTTGTGTAATTGGTTTGGGTGAAGTTGTCGATTTAACAGGTGTAACCTTTTTAGCTGGAATATCATCATAGTCTTGATCCTTGGTTACAAATGGATTTGTATCTTCATCATCATCGTCGTCACTATTACTTCCAAGTGTGATTGGTTGTTTTTGTGGTGGTGGTGGTTGTTTTGTTGTTGTAGTTGTTTTTGTTGTTGTAGTTTTAATATCCTGTGTTTTTGGACTAGTATTTACAGTAGTAGCAATTGGTTTAACAGTCATTGTTGATGGTTTTTTTACAGGTGTATAGAATTGTTCTTCATCGATATCTTGGTCTTTAGTTACATATGGGTTTGATGATTCATCGTCGTCATCCTCTTCAAACTCACTTAGATTTACATTATTGGTAGTGGTTGGTTTGGGTTGGTTCTTTTGTCCACTAAATACACTTTTAAACAACGATTGTTTCTGTTGTGGTTTTGGTTCGTCATCATAGAAACTGTCCATTGCATCTTCACTTGCTGGATCGAATTGATCTACACTTGTTATCTTTGTTGGCATTGCTTTTTTAGCTGGTGTAACTGTTGTAGTGGCAGTGGTGGGTTGTGGAGCCTGTTCTTGTGATGCTGGTTGTGGTTTAACTTCTTCTTTTGACAATCCCATTAATCTTGAAAAGAATCCTCCTGATTTTTGAACTGGTTGAGGTTGCTGTTGTTGAGCTGGTGACGGAGGTGATTGATGTGGTTGGGCTGGTGGTGCGGATATAGGAGGTTTGGATTGTGGGGCCATCGGTGGAGATGTCGATGTCGATGATGGTTTACCTTGTAAAGTAGGTGATGGTTGTTTTGGTGTCTGTTGTGCAGCCTGTTGTTGTTGTTGTTGTTGTGCAGCCTGTTCATCTTGTTTTCTTTGAGCTTGTTTTTCCTTTTCCAATCTAATATGATCTAATCTTTGAGCATGTTCGGTATAGGATTGCTGTTGGGTAAGCATTGTCACCTCGGTGACTGCTGATTCAAACTCTAAACGATTTCTCTCCAATTGCTGCATGATGACGTTTCTCTGCATATAGAGGAACGGAATGTTTAGAAAACTAATGACAGCACGCAGTCCGTAGGCATTCAACATGGAAGCATCGACATGTCGCATTTTGGAGGGACGGGTGTCGCACAGTGCGTCAATCTCACCCATCGATATCTGTTTGGACCAATCACCATGATCTCTAAAGTTGGTGACAATCAACACAAACGATTCCTCTGGCACCTTGTGCAACTCCTTTTCAACGTATTGAAATGTCCATCGTTTATGTGGATTGACCATAAATATGACGGCGTGTACATTCTTCATAACATCGACCGTCTGAGCATCCAAACTACTAAATTTAAAACTACCACTCTTTTTTGTCGCCACAACACTTGCCTGTTGTTGTTGTTGTACATCTGCATAGAATGATTCCACTTCCATCTCTTCTTCTTGTTTTGTTTTAGCTTCTTGATCATTGGTAGTGGTAGATGTTTTTGAAGCTGTAGTAGTGCTACCTTTACTATTACCACCAACTTGTAACTGTAAAGCTGAAGAAGATAGTTTGTTTTTGTTTGTTGATACATCTACAACATCCCATACTTCAACATCAACAATATCATCAGTATCTACAAAATGAATGAATGTGTATTAGTTTAATGTTTTATATAATCTATCCTATCATCTATCATTTACTTTTATAGTTCCAATTAATATGAGCTATTTGAATCTCTGGTGTTGGTGTGTATTCTTCAGTATGTGGTCTCCCTTGCAACCTATTAAAGAGTGATGTCTTTCCTGTATTCCTATCACCTTTTATCACTAATTTAACTGTTATAACAATCAAAAAAAGTAAGTAAGTAAGTTTCATCAGTCATCAGTCATCTTGTTCAACCAAACAACATACCATGATATTTTGTAGCTTTAGTATTCAACTTTCTCTTTAACTCTCCGTCCATCAGAGCAATCTCTCTTTGTCTGATTTCATCTGCCGTGAGCATACGACCATTTTCATTTCCCATCTTCTCTCTCTCTCTCTCTATGGAATATGAATGTAAATGGCTATATATATTTATATATATATATATATATATATGTATATGTGTGTAAGTCTACTTTAACTTTAAAATAGATCAAACACTGATACTTTGCACTCTCTTTTCAGATGAATTTTCTTTTGCCATTTTCGGGTCAATATTATTTTAAATGGGTCTATATTTATTTATTTATTTGATCCCTTTTATTATTATTTAAAAAAAGGGACTAGATTTAATAATAATAGTTAGTTTTGACAATGATATTTTAATTCAAAAAAGGAAAACTATTCTTTTGGAGGAGTGGAACGAGGGAAGAGGGGTTCCCAATTCTGTGTATGATTATTATTATTATTCATCCCACGAGCACACAAGATTTAAAAATTGTAATGTGGGTGGTTGGTAGTGTGACTATAGTCATTAAACTCGCCAGCAGCATGCAAGCTATATCATATGATGATTGGTTTCTATTATTATTATTATTATTATTTTTAATTATAGTCATCTATACCATACCAAATTCTACCATTTATTAATTATATTTATTTATTTATTCATTTATATTCAATTACTATAGATAATAACTAGATAGATAGATAATATATATTTATATAATGTTTAAAAATAGAAATAATCAAATAATAAGAATCATCTTTATTTTTTGTACAATACTATTATTATCATCAACAACATTTGTAGACTGTAAATTTATTGATCATAATCTTAGTCACTCTTCATTGGTCAATTTAAAATGTCTACATCCTTCTACAATGTGTACAGAACAAATCATAAAAGATAGAATTAATAATTGCAAGTCTTTAGATCAACCAACCAATATCATTGGAAAATGTATTAAAGATGCTGTCATTCAAAATAGAAGTTGTAAAGATTCTTGTACTAAAGAACATCTTTAAATGAACCGTTCATTCGAATGATTGACTATATAGTTGTATTACATTGCTTGTCCATAAAGTCGATGGTGATGATTGTTAGAATTCCATTTGGATTGCTGCAAACAGTCAATCAACCTCGAATCTCCTCAATTCTCTTTTCTCTTTTCTCATTTCACCACCCCCCCTCCCACGTAGACAATCATCATTCACTTTCCAAGAATGGACAAGAGCCCGATCCCTTCCTCTTTGTAACACAAGATCAAAAAATAAAATAATTCGATCACAAAAGAAACAGTGGTGCGCCTCTCAATCACTTTTCCCTCCTTTGAAAGTCTTTTTTGACCTCCTCCTCCTTTTGTTTATTTATTTATTATTATTATTTGTATTTATATCTATATCTATATCTCTACCTCTATTTTTGGAATAAGATAGATACTAAAGAGAGATGAGAGGAATTAAAGATCATTTAGTTAGCAATGAAACATTATCATCACCACATTATTTGATGAGAAATAACAGATGGTATTTAGTTGTGCAATCAGATGGCAACGTCGTTATTTACGACGGTCCTGTTTTTGAGCACAGATTCAGTGTTTGGAGAACTAAAACCAATGGAAGAGGAACAGGTCCCTACAAATTAAATGTTTTATCAGATGGTGATGTTGTCTTGACAGACTATTACTCTACCGTCATTTGGAATAGTGCTACTGGTGGACGTGGTGTCTACCCATTCCGTCTAGATTTGACTGAAAACGGTCAACTCGAGTTGAGAGACGGTCGTAATATTTGTCTTTGGACCTCACATTACCCAGAGCCAGAATGGACTGACACTTTATCATCTGTCACTTCTTCCATCATGTCTGGTGTTTTATCTGGTATTGCATCGACTACTGTCACTACAGCAGTATCTCAACCAAGATATGTTGTTCGTACACCCACATCAACTACCTATGTCAGCGGACCTCCAACATACGTCCGTACACCACTCTTTGCACCACCAGTTGTCCAACCACCACCACCTCCCACCGTAATCATCACTCAACCACCTCCAACCGTCATTGCTCCACCAATGATGGTAGCACCAATGATGTCTGCTCCAAGATGTGGCACACCAATGATGTCTACTCCAATGATGTCTACCCCAATGATGTCTGCCCCAATGATGTCTGCACCCATGATGTCCGCTCCAATGATGTCTGCACCAATGATGCCAATGACAGTTGTAGACACTGGTGTACCATGTGGATGTGCCAGCAAGAAATATCATAATGTTGGATGTCCCAACTACGTCAACCAACACCCCATTCCAGGCAAGTCATTCCTCCGATTCGATGGTTTCATGGGAGTCAATGAACAACTCTTATCAGGATCATGTAATGCACTCCAAAATGGTGCATATAATCTTGTCATGCAAGATGATGGTGTAAGTACCTAACCCTTTACCTTTACCTTTATTTTCTAGCCAAAGAATGATTAATTTATTAATTAACTAATTTCAATGTTAATGTGATTTTTAGAATTTGGTACTATATAGAGGAACAAAATGGACATCAAGAAATGCAATTTGGTCAAGCAAGACAAATAATAAGGGTAGAGGTCCATACAGATTTGTTTTACAACAAGATTGTAATGCAGTTATATACGATGCCTACAACACTGCCACATGGGCATCAAACACCCATAATAGATCAATTCCCAAGTCATTGAGAGTCACTGCAAATGGAGGATTGGCTTTAATCGATTACTATGACAATGTTATTTGGTCTTGTAGTGGTCGTTAAAAATACACAAATTAAGTAAGGAATGTACCTTACTGTCATCCCATCCCATCCCCATCCTATAGATAGGACATTAGATATATTTATAATAATATATATATATGTCTATCATTGTTGATATGTATATATATATATTTATAATAATAATAATAAGTAATAATAATAATTAATAGTAATAATAATTAATAAAAAAAAAAAAGATCAAAGTTGATTGATTGGTTGAGTGATTTGATTTTGATTTATTTTAATTTTAAATTTAAAACAATTTGACGTTACATTCGTGACAGTATGGATTAGAATTTTTGGTGACACAGTGACTTGGATCCGACAAGGATTTCTTACAAAAAGTACAACTGAAACAAGCTTGATGCCATTTCTTTTGGTCGATACTAAATGATAGGTTCAAATCACTGATTGGTTTCTCACATTTCTGACAAAGACTTGCAATAATTGCATAATGTTCATTACACAATATCTTTCCTTTATGTGCAAATGTAATCTAAATAAATAATAATAATAATAATAATGATATTAGTATTAGTTGGGTTGGGAAATAAATAAAATATATATTTTTTTTTTTGATTCTTTCATACCATTAAAGATTTGTTACAAGTTGAACAATGACTCTCTGAAAATGATTTATCATGACATTCTTTACAAAAGAGTTTATCTGATCTTTCGATATAGGGGACATCTTCAACATCGATGAGATGTTTGTTGCAACATGAACAAAAGAGGTGGTGTGGATGCCAAGATTTACCACAGGCATCGATCTTTAGGTCACCTGTGATGGGTTCATTACACTTGCCACATTTCTTTAGATTACTACCAAAAGTTGAAAACATCTTGTCAAACTCACCAATGACGTCTTTGGTCTCCACACGTTTAAGTGGAGCACGATGTGGAGAAATGAATTTGTTGGTGTAGTTTGGTGGAGGATTTTTAGCTGGAGTATTGGGTGTTGAATGAATAGAGAGTCCGATAAATTCATCGGCATTGAGTAATTCGTTGATCAATGGTTGTTCAGATCCAAGACCTCCCAATCCAGAGATAATACTTGCATCTTGAGCACCCGATGCATTGGATGATTGATCAGATCCACCATGTTCGTTTGCACCATTAATCGATAGAGTTGTATTACTATCTGATACCTTGTCCAATATCTCTAATATATTATTTGTTGTATTATCCATATCTATATCTGACATTGATACACCACTATTTGTTGTATTTGTTGTATTAGTATTATTTTCATTATTATTATTATTTTTTAATTCTTGAGATTGTTGAGATGGTAATGGTGGTGAAGATATTGATGGTGAAGTAACTGCAGATGATGTTGTTGATGATGGTGGTGCTGGTGCTGGTGAATGATCAACCGTTATTTTAATATTATTTTGATTCAAATTATGAGCAAAATCATAAAGTGATTGAGCAAATCCAAGTACACTAATTGAATTTCTATTAATGAAATCTAAAAAAAGTATATAAAGATGGATGAATAGATTAGTTTGGGTAGATATAGATATATATATATTATTACATACCATGAGAAGTTAAATTAGAATCCAATTTAATATTATTTGATTGAACTGTTTTAATAATTGAATCAAATGAAGCGAGTAACCATTCTCTTTCCTTTTCCTTGGTATCTGGTTTCTCACCGATATTGGTAACTTTAATATTCAACTTGTCCAACAATTGAATGACAAATGATACATTGTAAAGGAATTGACATGGTTCTTGAATGGAAAGTGTCGATAATGTTGATAACCATTCATTTAATAATATAATATTTTTGTTATTGTTGTTTGAATCATTTTCATTTGATTTTGGTGATTCTTTAAAAAAAGTGGAAAAGAAAATAAAAAGTTAATATACTATAATAATAATAAGTAATTATTTGATATGTAACATACCTGGAGGAGGTTGAGTAAGATATTTATCACTATCTTTAATAGTATTAATCCATTTATCTCTATCTTCTTCGGTTTCGGCTTGTAGTAGGATGGTAGGGTACCCCTTGTGTGACAATTTAAAGCAATATCCGGGTTGAGTGACCGTATCAACTTCAATCTTCCAATTGGGAATTGATAGTTTACCCTTTAGTTTGGCTTCTGGACCTTCGTAGTAATAGAGTATCATGTCTTTGAGTACGAACCAACGTTTCTTCCATTGTCCCTTTCTAAGACCTGCGTTGGCTTGTTTCTTGAGCCATCCACTAAAATCTGATATACCGGCCATTTGCAAGGCACCTGGTTTGAAAGCAACCGATTTTGATCTATTTCTAAAGTTTTCTTTGGTGGGTTCTGGTTCCTTTTGAACGGCACAGCATTGTTGCATCTGTGGTACCCAATCTTTCATCTCTTCCTCAGAGTCACTCGACATCCAATATTGAATGGAATCATCAATTTGATGAGACACCTTGAAACAAAACGGTCTTCCATTTGGTCCCTTTAATGCTGTTGTAATCACTCCACATCTTGCCAATGGAATGAAATGAAGTATTTTATCTTGTTCAACTTTCTATAAAAAAAAAAAACAAATCAAAAAAAGGAATGTTAGTAGTGTTCCAAGTGGTACAACTACTACTAGTATTGTTATTATTATTACTACATACACTCTTATTTTCATAGACATAAAGGATTCTATTTTTCAAGACGCAATGTCTTTTTTTCCATGTCTTTCCATCAGTTGTTAAAATTGATACTTGACCTTCTTTAATCTCCATTCTTTTTAAACTATGCACTACTATATTATACTATACTAACTTCTAATTTAGATAAAACTATTTTTAAAACAATTGGTGGATGGAAATCAGGATATTAATATTAATATTTAATTTTTGTTTTTTGGAATTGATTATTATAATTGGATTGATTGATTGATTGATAGAGTGATTGATTGACAACAAAATAAAAAAAGGAAAAAGTAAATGAAGAATAATAGGATTTCGGTATAGTTGATTGATGGTGTGCAGCTGGTTGGGGTTGGGATTGATTATTTTCTAAAAGTTGACTTGTCTTGTTAGCTAGCTAGCTTAAGCTTTGCTTACTTTTTAAAAAAAGTTGATGATAATTTAATTTATCTGTTATATATTTTACAATCACAACAATCACCTCCCTTACTTTATCTCAAAGTTTTGATTGATTGATTTCACCAATAATTATTTTTTTTTTAATCCAATCCAACCACCAATCTATTCTTTCTTAGGTGTGGTGATGGTGTGTAGGTAGGTGGGGTGGGGGTGAATTAAATTCTATATGTTTAAAACAAAACCTCTCCCCTACCCACCACCTACCACCATTTTGAATAAACAAGCAAAATAGTCAGAATCTCACATGATGATGGTGATGATGAATAACTATAAGTTATACGTTATTATACCACCAATTGGTTTTATGTTGAATAAATGATTGACTATGACCTATGACTATGACTATGATTTCACGATCGATGTGATGCGATGTGTGTGTGATACATATAAAAATTTTAAACAACATTCTCATACAATGCAATGGAATTGTGTGTGTGTGCGTGCGTTATATATGTATGTGGGATTGTATTCATTCATGAACTATTGACAACTCTTCATTCTCTCCATCTTATCTTACTTACAGATTAATTGAAACGTATTTAATAATAATAATAATAATAATAATAATAATAATTGTAATAGCTAACTAACTAACTCTAACTTGAAGTATTTGAATTATAATAATTATATAAATAAAAAGGTGAAGATGATGTGATAAATGATCAGTTGCCCACCGATGAAGATAAATAATCAATTGTATCTCCTACTGTTGCTGATTTAAAAATATATGAGAGGCGACCCTAAAAATTACCGCTCTGAAGGCTAACATCGTTGAGGCGCTCACAAAAAAAAAATCGTCGCCCGCTGCTTTTCAGAGAAACAAAAGGCAAAGGGGTGTTGTGTTTTGTGGGCAATCTCTGAGTTTCGGTAAATTTTGTTGTTTTGTTTAAAAGAAATTTATTATTATGGCAATTTTCATAAAAAATAGTATTAACTAATAGATAGATAAATAAATCATGATTGTTGATGTGACGATGGGTTGTTCCGATTGGTAAAAATATCATGATTACCACTACTACTAATAAATCTATCCATTATTATATTTCTTGAGAGTTTTGTATTATTATATTATTATTATTATTATTATTCTGAATTATTATTATTATTTATATAATTAAATTATTATTGTTTAAATTTTGAGAGAAAAGTAGCAAAGTTGGTTTCAAATTCATTAATTTTGGCTGAATCTACTTGACCAACCTTATTTTCTGACAATTGAATTGGTGAAAGAATTTGGTATTGACTCTTTGATTGTGGTTTGGTCTATAGACATTGATAGTTGGTTTTAGGAATATAGGATTGTTAATAATCTTGGAAAGAGTGTAGTTTTTTTTTTTTTTTTAGATGAGAGTTTAAACTTACAACTTTTCCACTAGAAATTACAGATAATAATTTATCAACATCGGCATCTTTTTGGAAAGAATGAGTATTGATTATATATACATTTGACTTGTTTTGTTCAACAAGAGCTAAAAAATAAATAAAAAAAAAAAAAGAATAATGATTAATTTCTTGATTTCTTGAATTTGGTTCTTTTCTTTCTCTGTCTTTTTTTCTATTATTTACACTTAAATAATTCAGCCTTTGCTTTTGGAGAAGTAGTAATTGGTTCAGAGGTAGCAAATGGTTGGAAAGAGTCACCATTGTAACCAGCGGTGAAGAAATTTTCGGCTTGCGATGCGTCCAATTGAGAGAATGGAGGAATGATTCCTTTAGAGTCCTTGACCATAAAGACAATGTCGGATGGTGCAGCATATTCGTTGGTGTCAAATTGAACTGGAGTGGTTGATACAGTCTTTTTTGGTGAGGCAAATCTTTCAATCACATCGAATTTCTTGTTGGCTGGTGATTCCAATGGATAAGAGATGGCATCAAAGATACGATATACACCATCCTTATTCCATAATGATCCTTGTGATACAACTGATCCACTTTCAAATTTCTAAAAGAAACAAAAAAATTTAATAAGTATATTTTGATTTGATTTGTTTTGATTAGTTTTATCTTTTTTTTTGTTTACCTTGTTTAATAAATAACCATCATTAAAAACCAAGATATTTTTGTTATCATGAGTACGATAAATATCGGCAGAGGTAGAGAGGGTTTGAGTTGATACAAAGTGGGCTTGAGAGATGGCAGAGAGGGTCTTGCGGATGTTTTCGGTGGATTGGGCACCGGCAATGACAGCAATACCACGCTTGATATCGATAATGTTAAAGGCTTGGCCACCGACGAGACCGTATTGTTGTGGCGAGTCGACGACGAGGGATGGAGCGAGGTAGAGGGTGATGGGGTGCTTGAAATCACCGACCTTGCCTACGAGGGTACGTGGCAGGATGTGGTTGAGGTAGAGTGCGTTGGTGGCATCGCCAGTGACGGTACGAATGTGTGCCTCGACGGCACGGCTGCTACCGAGGGCAGCGTCACCTACAAAGATCGACTTGTGTGTGCCAATGTGGTCCTTGACCAATTCAAGAAGTTGCTTGTACTGTGCGACACTGATGACGTTGCCATTGTTGGTCTTGGCAACTTCAGCGTCGAGGTAGTAGTTGGTCGACTTGGTCTCTGATGCTACTTGCACCGAGATCTGTCCGTTGGCTTCCTTTTTGCCTTGTGATTGTTGGAAGAGTACCTTTTCAGAGGCATTACGGAATGCTTGAAAGGTTGGTGTAATCGAGTAACGGTTCAACGTCCAGTTCAATTCATAGTCGACACCTTGACGTTCCATTGGAAAGTATGATACATCGGATTCTTCAATCTGTTGTTCATTGACCAATCCCTTTCTGTCACGCTTTCTTCTTGCTGCTTCATACACTGATGATGATGAAGTTAAGTTTCTTACACTTGATACATTATTAATTGGTTTCTATATAGAAGAGACGATTATGATTAGTTATCTATATCTATCTATATATAGTATCATTTATCTTTCATATGATCATCACATCACATCTCACGTTAGATATGCAATGAAATATGTATGATGATGATCATCATCTTTATCATATGTTATACATACAACCAAGAGGGAGACAGATCTTTTAACAAACATGATGATATATAACTAATAATTTATGTAGTGATGATGAGTTTACTCTTGCTGTCGTCTTCTTCTTTCTCTTCTTCAATAACTATCTATCTACAAAAACTACTACTTCTGATCAGTTCTCACTGTTTTTCTGTCATCGTCCTTGCGCTCTCTCACTTCAAAAAAAAAAAAAAAAAAATTTGATCAAATTGATCATGTCTCCAAGTCTGGACATTCCTTCATTATTTCCTATGGCTCTGATAGTTAGTTTAAATATTATAATAGTTAATATCTGAAATGAGTATATATATATATATAGGAAGAAAACAAGTTGACAACAATGAAGAGTATATCATTAATAAAGATATGATATCTTCTTTCACTTATTCATATGACAAGAGAGATAATGAAGTCTAATTTATCTAGATCGCGATGTTCGTAACAAACATTCTATCTATACATGAGATAAGGGTAGACGAGGTGGTATTTAAATTTAATGCATTACCCATGATGGTCGACTTATCTTTTCTTTGCAGCCGGTTACAAAATATACAAAAGATTTTTATTTTTTAAAAACCTTATTATTATTTTCTTTTTAGAGATATTCATTCCGAAAAACATACCTATTAGAGAAAACGACAAGTTCACTTTCTTTTTATACATTTTTATACCAAGGTTGTACTATTTATATTTATTTATATCTTTATCTATTTATTTATTTATTTATTATTTATTAAAAGTGGTGTTGTTGTATCGTTTAAAATATTTGTCACGTGAAAGGAGAGAGAAGGTTAATATTAATATAAGTATAGTAGTAATAATAATAATAAGAATAATAGTAATAATAATAACAACAACATAACAATATGATGGATACTTTACCATCTACAACAACAACTACAACTACGACATCTGTAGATAATGATACATTTACCATTAAAACAGAAGTACCTATTACCATTATACCAACACCTAAACATGATACTTCTGCAGCCTATGCAAAGAGTCAAGACGACTTTTCAAGTAGTGTATTTGACCAAATAGTGACAGCTATCAAACTGAACAACTCCAACATGTTACAGCAGATAGTCAACAAGGATCAACAAGGTTTTAGAGCTGCTGTCAATGACTATGACTCTAAAGGAAAGACACCTCTCTACATTGCAACACAAGATAAATGTTATACAGAATTGGTTCTATTACTATTGGAACAAGGTGCCAATGTTAATAAACAAGTTAATCTCTCAGATAGTGAAAATACTACTACTACTACTACTACCTCTACTTCTACTTCGACAACAATTGTAACACCAACAACACCGTTTTCATTGGATGGATATAGTAAACCAGCCAATCGAGAATCGGTAATACATTTGGTTGCTAGATCGGGTGATTCCGATTTATTGACACTTTTCATTGAACACAAGGCAGACCGTGATGTATTGGATTCAGTCAATCGTACTCCAATCATGTTGGCTGCTGCCAATGGTAAAACTGAATGTGCAAGTATGTATATATACACAATATACTCTCTCAAAGCTTACATTGAAGACAAGTTATTAATATACCTTTATTTTGTTTTATTATTTTTTAAGGATTATTGGTATTATCAACAATTAATTTAACATTGATTGATTTATATCAAAAGACAGCATTACATTTGGCATTGGATTTTGGTAATGAAGATATTGCAGGAACTATAACTCACAACGGAGGTGATTTAACCGTTAGATATCATTACAAACCTGCGACACAGAAAGGAAAACAACGTATTGTTACACAAACATTGTCGGGTGATCCAAGTGGTCTCCCAGAGATTGCTATCATTGGACAATTGGATCGTTATGGACATATTCGTCGTGACTCTCAAGCTCTTAAAGAAACACAGTTGTTACAATCAATCCAAGAACAAACAGATGACTTGGCTGCAGACCAAGAGGAACCAGCAGAATTGACACGTGAACAAATAGAATTGGAATTGAGTAGAGCTGCCAAATGGTGTAGAATGATGAAGAATTGGGTACCTGGTAAAAAGAGACCAAGTAAAGTTGATTCTAGAGCAATCAAGGGTATACCAGACCGTGTGCGTGGACAAGCTTGGAGATTATTGTCAGAGAGTGATTTGATGCTTCAAAAGAACAAGACACTCTACGAATCACTTTTAGAACAATCGTCACAGAGTGAGTTGGTCATTGACTTGGATGTCAATCGTGCCAGCAGAAACCATATTTACTTTAGAGAACGTTATGGACAAGGTCAAATATCATTGTTTAACGTACTCAAAGCATACAGCAACTATGACCAAGAGATTGGCTATACACAGGGTATGAGTTCAATCGCAACCCTCCTAGTCATGTACCTGCCAGAGAATGAAGCATTTTGGACAATGGAAAGAATCATGAACAAACCAGAATATGGAATGCGTGATCTCTTTACATCTGGTCTACCAAAAGTACATCAAATGATGTATGTCTATGATAGATTATTAGAACAACATGTACCTTTGGTTTATAAACATTTTGTATGAAACAAAAACAAACAAATAATTAAAATAATAATAATAATATTAATTAATTTAATCTTTTTTTAATTTTAGGAATCAATGAGTATAGCATCAGTAATTTATGCAACAAAATGGTTTATTATTTGTTTCTTGGATACATTGCCATTTTCAATATGTCTTAGATTGTGGGACCTTATATTTAGTAAGGGGTACAATATAGTGTATTCTGTTGCCATTACATTGATTAAAATGAATGAAAGAAATCTACTCGACAAACCTTTTGAAGATTGTTTCCAAGTTTTCAAGAGTATTGAAGATATGAAACTGAATGAAGATACATTCATTGCCATGGTCATGAAAAATAAGTTTAGTTCTAAAAAAATTGAAGCCTTGGAGAAAAGGTACAAACAAACTCTTGTCCAACCAAATGAAGATCCTTCAAAAAAATCAATTAAAAAAGGAAGATTTAGTAGATTCTTTAAGTAATAAGTAATAATTAAAAATAGTAATAATAATAATAATAATATTAAAAATAATAATAAAATAATGTAGTAATATTAATTTCCCTCCCCCTCCCCCTAAAACTATATATATATGATCTTTTTTAAATAATACAAAAAAAATATGTGTAAATAATTTATTATTAGTATACTACTACTTTTGTGTGTGGATGGACAACTGGATAGATATCTATCTATCTATTCGATTATTTATCAATTTTCAAAATTGGTAATTGATCCAAATCTTCCATATCTTTTAATACTTTTGATACATTGTATCTGAGTTTATGGAACATATCGACACTAACTTCAAATGTTCTCTTGTTTCCTTTGGTATCGGTAGTTTCCATTAAAATGATGGGATGAAGAATACGAGATGTAAAACTACTGCTAATGATGACATCTACTCTCCATTTTAAGGTTTCCAATTGTGGGAATAGAATCTTATCACTCAACACTTTATCGATTAATTCTTTACGACTATCAAGATATAAAAAGTATTAGAGATTTGTCAGATCTTTTAAAGGAATAGATAGATATTATTGATCATTGATCATTTATGTTTGACAGCACATACATATTTGTGTAAACTTTTTGTAAATCTGTTAAAATGGTTGATGGTATCTTGAGTTCTGTTAAATCTGTAATAAAGTATTCTACAGAAACCTTTGTCTTGATTGCCAACTTTAATATATAATAGATACCAGTGAATAATATTGATGATTGATCATCTTGTTGTTGTGTTTGTTGTGTTTGTTGTTGTTGTGAAGCTATTGATAGTTTATCGTGAATCTCTTTTGTGATTTGATTAAACTTTTGATATTCTTGTTGATTGCTGTCTATTTTCTTTGCTTTGAGGTATGATACAACCAATGATACGATCTGTCTACAGTAGGATTGTTCTATTTTAGCTAGTATAGGCAACACATTCTTTACTTCGGTTGGTGTGTTGTATCCCAAGAATGATATTCTATCCATGTTGATATATGTATATGATATGTATTTATAGGTATATAAAAGTAAGTTGTGCTTTAACTAATTACAAACATACAAGAGTAATATATCTACAACTATGAAATAATAATCTAAATAATGCAATGAATGTCATGATTGGAAAGTGACAAACCTTTTCAAAAATTAAAATCTTTATTTAGTCATTGACCCTTTTCTCTTTGCATCCATGGATGTTTAGAAGTAATTTATATACAAATTAATAAATTTATTCAATGGGTGTAGCAGGAGGTTCTTTAACACTGGTTTCTATCTTTGGTTCAAATGGTCTTTTAAACTCTACCTTGTCACCATCCACCGAAAACCCATACATACAAAGTATTGTACTTCCAAGAATGTTGCATTGGAATGGTCCCGGATGAGGATAAACAAAGTGGTCCTATCCTTGGATGTTGATCGAATAATGTTTGCATCCATGAAAATTATATGGTTTCAAAATCCCCTTTTCTTGTAAATGAAAGATTGTAATATGGTCAAGGTATATATCTGAGGTCCCTGTGCTGCACAAAAAGGTTACAGCCATGATTGTGTCAGGCTCGCCTATTTTAAAATAAGTGCGGTATAAACATCTGGAATAGGAGAAAATTAGAATAGAATAATCGGATCACATACCATAAAGACGACTTACCTATTTCTTCCTGTTTGACAGTTTGGATCATGCACCCTGGAAAAGGGGACAAAGTAGCAAAACTTCATATCTTGCAAGTCACCAGGATAGAGGGAACCATTCCATGCAATAGGATAGTCTTTCCAATCATAATTATGATTCATTTTTACCAGAACCAAAAATAATACTTTTTACAGACTAGACTGATAAAACATAAATTCTACCGAAATATATTTTCATTCAAAGTTGGTAAATTATTTATTAAATAAATAAAAATATGATAACATGAAGTTAAATGAAAAGGTTTTTAGGTGAATGGAAGATACCTTTTTGATTAAATTATCATAATCGATGGATTCTTTAAATGTGGGTTGATTCTTTCAAGATTAATGTGCAATTCATGGACTAGAGCATTGGTATTTATTTATTCAGTGGGTGTTGGATCATTGGTCTCTATCTTTGGTTCAAATGGTCGTTTAAACTCTACTTTGTCGCTGTCAATGGAAAAACCATATATAGATAGAATTGTACTTCCAAGAATATTGGTTTCATTATAGTTGGAACCGTACTTTTGGTTTTGTCCTTGAACTGATGGGGTAGGATAAACAAAGTGGTTTTTTCCTTGGATGTTGATTGAATAGTGAGAGCTTCCCTGAAAATCATATTGTTTCAAAACACCTCGAGAAGATAATGAACGGAGAGTATCATTTCCAAGGTAAATATCAGAGGTACCAGTGCTGCATAGAAATGTCACTGCAACAATCTTGTCTAGCTCCGATTCCTTAAAATATGTGTGGTAGAAACATCTTTATAATAGAGCAGAGATAGATAGAGGAGAGAGAGGGAGTGTTAATTAATTGATTATTGAGATCCTGAATTCTGAGCTATATATAAAATTAATATTTACCTATTTCTTCCAGTTCCACTAGGATCATGTACTAACCCAAAAGGAATAAAGTCTTTGAACTTTATAGTAGTATTGTCTTGGGGATGGTGGTCACCTTTCCATTCAATTGGAAAGTCCTTACAATCATATATATGATTCATTCTCTCTGCTCCTAATCCTAGGATAACAATGAAAAAATTTTCTAATTTGCCCTCGAGCTTCCCCTGTTAATTGAATTAATCGATAATATTATTTATTATTATTCACTGAATGGGTAATCTATAGATTATATTCATATTCATAGTTTTTTAAATAGGGGTTTGAACCTTGACTGTGATTGGTTCAAATGGCCTGTTAAACTACTTTTCACCATTAACTGAAAATCCATAGGTACAAAGAATGGTACTTCCAAGGATGTTGATTTGACTAGATTCTGGGGTTGGATAAACAAAATGGATCTTTCCTTGGATATTGATTGAATGATGTAAGATTCTATCAAAATAATATGATTTAACCACATTATGTTTTTGTAAAAAAGAAAGAGTTCTAACTCCAAGGTATATCAGAGACACCAGAGATGCACAGAAATGTCACAGCAACGATATTATCTGGTTCAGATACTTTAAAATATGTGTGGTAATAACATCTAAATTTTAGAAGTGAATGAATAAGTTAGATTTAATTAGAACTACCTGTCCAATATAAATAGAAATATATATTAAATTTACCTATTTCTTCCAGTGGTTGGACTTGGATCATGTACTATTCCAAATGGTATAAAATCTTTGAATCCTATATTAAATGACAGGATCCTTTCCATTCAATAGGAAAGTCCTTCTGATCAAATTTAGTACTTATCATTATTATATTATAATATTTTGTAATACAATGACAAAGAAAAAAGAGATAAATAAAAAAAAGACTCAGTGAAGTATTATCTTTGTTTGTTTCTTTATTTTTTAATTAAATTATTTTATTAATATTTTTATATATTTATAATATTATAGATTTATATTTAATTCTATATCTAATCGGATACCTGAAACTTTTTAATTTAATTTAAAAAATATCAAACATCACCTTGCAACTTTTGTTGTTGGTTTGTCAATCTTTGATTGCTAGCATGCTTTCGAACAAGTATATCTATAGCTATACCTATATCTATAGAATGAGTAATGATTTCACAAAACATAAAGAGTTAATAGTGTTGGGTGCGAAAGCACTACTCAACCTTTCAAAGGTTGATAAATGCTTGCTTGTTGGTTCAATAGCTTTCCCTTTTGTCTTTAATTGTAAATATCATACATAAGATACAAACAGATACATCGATAGATAGATGGATAGATGGATAGATGGACAGTGCATAGTATACACTATCTATTTATATCAATAAACGATGTTCCATACACATATTCTAACTCTTTTTAATTTGTATATATAGACGTACAATTTTATGGGTTGGCAAGCCAGTCTACAATAGAAAGCTACTGTCTGAATAGTGTAGAAAGGTTAGGTCAAGTTCATCAACAACTGATGCAACGTGACTTTAATGTACTCTCAGACCGAGATATTGGAGAAATGGCAAGGTATGTCAATTCTTCCAACAAATTGCGTCGTATATTGTCTACCTCTGAAGTAGTGAGGATGCTAGTTAGAATCATCCTCCTTGCAGACCATATGTTCTTGGGAGTCTCCAATGATAAACTACCCTTGTCAGAGGACACGATTGAGCGCATTTACTCTACTTTGTGTACCAAGACTTTAATGTTGGATTGCATTTCATTGTTACAATCAATCCTACCACATGGTATGAATTAACTCTATCTATCTATCTATCTATAGTTCAATTTGGGAATGTAAAGATATTAATTAAACCTCTTTCTTTTGTATAGTCAGACAAATACCATACCAAGACATTATGAATGCAATGTTGGTATATCAAATATCACAACCAACATGTTATGTTTTGGCATGTGCAATATTAGAGACAATGACAAAGAGAAAGGATACAATCGAACCATTCATCGCTAGAGGTATGACGACGCTGGTTGGACATTATTTAGCAAGGGAGTTCAAATCAGAGTATGCTAAATTACGAGCCTATTGGACACAGATTGCAACTGAAATCTATCCCTATCGATTTAAATTCAATATGTCACCATTTGATCGAATGTACATCGAGGTATACTACCATAAACGTCATCATCTATGGATCCCACAAGAATATAGAATCACTCCTCATAAAATTTTAAATGATATGCTATCTGATGGGGGAGCTCTTTACTTTGGTTTCATTGCTCCTTGTAATATTTTATGTGGCAAACTTTTAAATCCCAAAAGATTGTCATATCTCTTTTACAAGCCTGTTGAATCTACAACAGCACGATACATGTTGTATTCAACGTACACATCTACTTTATTGATGTTCTATTCATTCTTTATACCAGGTGGTAAGGGAAAGTTATACCTTATCGGATCGTTATTATTCTCGACTACGCTAAATTCCTTTTTCACGACATTGCGATCACACCAATTACAAAGTGGTTCTCTTTACAAGGAGTTCAAACAATTGTATCAAACTTCACCCATTATCAACGGTTCAACCTTTTTTGATAACCAAAAATCTATTTCAATTGTAAAAGATAAATCACAAATTCTTAATCACCATTTTTAATTAATTAAAAAATAAATTAAAGTTATTCACCTTTTCCACATGGAAAACACTTCCTTTTAGGAAAGAAAAGCAATTCAATATTAATTAGTTATTTATTGGTAAGTATATAAATATTAATATGTTTAATAATTATTTGAGAGTCTATGGGATTGTTTTTTCTAAATGGTAGTTTGATTCTTTACAATGATGGGTTCAAAAGGTCGCCTAAACTCTACTTTGTCACCATCTACTGAAAATCCATAGGTACAAAGAATGGTACTTCCAAGGATGTTGATTTGACTAGATTCTGGGGTTGGGTAAACAAAGTGGCTCCTTCCTTGAATCTCGATTGAATGATGAATGAATTTATCAAAAGTATAAGAATTCACCACATTATGTTTTAGTAAAAAAGCTAGAGTATTGACTCCAAGGTATATATTAGAGATACTTGTGCTGCACAGAAATGTCACTGGAATAATAGAATCTGGTTCAGATACTTTAAAATAGGTATGGTTTTAACATCTACGGATTGGATGAGAAAGGAGAAAATATGATTAAAATAGATTTATTCTTTTAAAATATTTTATTTTACCTATTTCTTCCAATGGTTGTACTTGGATCATATACCATTCCAAATGATTTAAAATCTTTGTGCTTTATAATACTAAGGTCTTGGGGATGACAACATCCCTTCCATTCAATTGGAAAGTCTTTTAGATCAAATTTAGTACCTATCATTAATAATAATTCTTCAATTTGTTGTATGAGTAAAAAATAGAAAGAGAGAATATTTTAAAATATATTCATCAAGTTTCAAAAGTCATTTATTTATTTATTTGTAATTGTATTTTCACATAATATATGTATATGATCAGATATGGTATCTTTTGTAGATTTAATTTATATATTTCGGCTATCTAATTTGTAGATTTTCAGTGAAGTAAAGGTACTTGGTGTGAGCGTTCAACATACACCAACCTTATTGTTCTGAATTCACCTTTTCCAGGTTTTAAGAAATCCCCTCCTAAAAAAAAAATCTTTCAAAGTACACTTGTAAAAATTCAAAAAACGAACGAAACTTTACTTTTTAACAATTAAAGTATGTCGTTCATTTCATTAATTATTTAGAGAGGTAGAGAGAGATAAGAAAGAGAGAGAGATAATAGAGAGAATGGAAAAGAAATCTACCACCACCACAAAGAAAGTAGCTATTACTAAACCCGCAGCAGCAGTAGCAGAGAAGAAAAAGAGTATAAAGATATCAACTAAAGTAGTCGAACCAAGAACTACTACTATTGCACCTGCTGCAGCAGTTGCAGTTGATGATAAACCTAAATCTATTTTAAAAAAGGCTACTCCAGCTGCTACTACTACTACTGAAAAGAAAAAGACATTGATTACACCAGACTCTTCATCACAAACAAAGGTATCAAAAAAGAGTGCATCATCTTCATCGTCGTCTAAAACAACAACCACAACAACCGAACAAGATGATGTCCCAGTTATTACAAGTAAGCTTATTACTGTTGGATGTTATGAAAACAGTATTTTGGGGTTTGAAGCAATCAAGTTGGCAGATTACCCAGAGTTGGGCAACCCTGACGATTTAGAGGTTCATCTCGAACAGATATTTGCATATGCCTCTCATTCAGGTTGCATCAAATCAATTGCATCTGGATCTGAATATTTGGTTAGTTCAAGTACCGATGAAACTGTAAAGTGTGTATCATCAAACAATACAATTGATCAATTGTACAATGACAGTCATATTATTATAATTATTACTATTATTTAGTTTACTTACTTTTGTTTCATTTACATTTATTTTAGAGTATACAGTTTATCAAAGAGAGAAGAATTTGGACAATTGGTTAAACATGAGGGATTCATTACAAGTTTGAAGTTTTACAAGAATAGTCATTTGATTGCATCGTCGCGTGATCATACGTTGAGCGTGTGGAATGTCAATGGATGGGACTGCTTGAAGCAACTCAAAGGACACAAGGATGCCGTCAATTGGGTCAGCATTCATCCATCGGGCAAGGTTGCATTGAGTGTTGGCAAGGACAACCGTTTCTTTTTGTGGGATTTGATGAGAGGTGTTGCAGCACACTTTCAAAAGACCAAGGGTGAGCCATTCCTCGTTGAATGGTCCAAGTCGGGTGACCACTTTGTCATTGCCTATGCTGACCGTTTGGTCGTACACACTGCCGACGGCAAAGAGGTGCACACCTACCCCACCAAGCAACCAATCCTCGCCATCCACTTTTTCGACGACGACACTTTAGTGGCCGGTGGTGACGACAAGGTCATCTCATTTATCGATTACAAGTCTGGTAAATTAATCAAACAAATCAAAGAGATTGATTCACGTATCAAAGCACTCTCTTCATTCTCGTTTGACCCACAAGACACCCCATACCTAGTATCACTCTCTTCCGATGGTAATATTGTCATTTGGAATGTTGAAACTGATATGCCAGTTGGTTTTGCAGAGACTGGTGCTAGATTAACTTGTTTAACAATTAGTGATGTTAGTAAGTTAAAAACTATAATAATAATAATAATAATGATTATCTTTAAATTCATTTGTATTCCATTTTCTAATATGTATATTCCATTTTTAGTTAAATCAACAGAAGAAGCACCTTCAAGAGAATTACCAGATGAATTTAAACAAGAAGAGGAACAAGAGGAAGAACAAGTTGCAAATGTTGGTCCAAAGATGAAGGTTGATATTAAATATGACCAAGAAGAAGAAGAGGACGAAGAAATGGGCGAACAAGCACAACAACAACAAAAACAAAAGACAAAGAAACCAAAGAAATTGACAGAGGAAGAATATATCGATTATATGTTGGCTCAACCAACCAAAGATACTAAATCCAAAGGTAAAAAGAAAGTTGGAATCAAGAAAAATACCTTTAAAGGAAACAAACCATCTAGCAAAAAATAATAAATAATATACCCAAAAAGCGATAAAATATATTATAATATTGTATACCAATCCATTGATCGATGATAATGATGAAATCAAATCCAGTTCAATTATATTTCATTTTCCACCTCTAATAATACATCAGAGGATTGTGTATTTATGTACATGTTTGTTTGCAAAGAAAGAGAAAGAGAGAGAGAGATCGATTCTTTCTTCTAATTGCAAATTATTATTATTATTATTATTATTATTATTATTATTGTTGTTGTTGTTGTTCTTTTAGTTCTCTTGTTTGAATTCTTCTTCTGGCTCTATCGTCTCTGTCAGTGTCTTGATTAATCTTCTTGTCCTTGTGATACTTTAAATAAGAGTCTATTTATAAAACCTAATTAATATCATGTATGCAATGACTAGCTAGTGATCTACTGATATGGATGGTACCAATGATACATACAATATGAACCTTGTAGATATTGATCAAGATAGTAGAATGATACACCTAAAACAGTCAATGAAGCTGCATAGAATAATGGCGATCTTTTTTGAATCTTCATTCTTCTTTTAACCTGTGTCGTAATATTATATAAGAAAGATATCCTTTCGCAAGAGATATATAGGCGACCGACTAGACTTGACTGTGATGATAGTGCTAATATTACTAAATGAAATTAACAATGAAAAAGAGTGGCTTTTCGTTCGTCATGATTATTCTTATTATGCGATATCGTGCAAGTTTTGCAGATGAGCCAACCTTTAGAGGCGGTTGACATGTACTCTTAATTTTGATTCATTCATTGTCATCATCATTCATCTATCTATCTATCTATAAATATATATATTCTTCTTATATAAACATAGTTTATCTAGATATGATTGGATCAAGAGCATTAAGAAGAACATTGGTATCTTCAATCAATAAGTCATCATCTGCTTCATTTGCAGTTGGTAACAATAACAATGTCTTTAGATACAACTTGTTGAATGGTACAACATCATCATCATCATCATCATCAATGATGATGAACAATAATAATGTTGGTAGTATCATTGGACAATCATTCATCAACAGAAATAGTAGATTCTATTCAACTGATAACAATAAGAATGAAATAGTATATGATACTACTACTACAGTACCACAACAAACAATTCAATTAACAAATGCACAAGAAAAGGCAATAGAGACAGTAGTCAATTCAACATCAGATGTCAGTGTTGGTTCTATTATCAGTCAACCATCAACAACAACAACGACAACACAAATCATCTACGACACACCACAAAACCCAATCATTGAGGCAGTCTCCAACTTTAACACTGGTATTGTCGAATCGATCAACAACTTTTCAATCAGCAGTGGGTGTCCATGGTGGTTGTGTATTGCCGGTATGACGGTTGGTCTCCGTTTCCTCATCTTGCCATTGACCGTCAAACAACAAAGATCGGCTGCTGCCATGGCATTGGTCAAAGAAGAGATGGAGAAGCACTCGTATCTCAACGACGGTACGACCGAAGGCAAGATGAAGCTCTTTACTCTACAACGTGAGATTTCAGTCAAACACGGAGTATCTCCAATGAAACTACTGTTTGTTGGTCTCGCTCAAGCACCAGCATACATCTATCTCTTTTACATTATCCGTTCGGCATGTGTCGACTTTCCACAATTTGTAACCAATGGTGGTCTCCTTTGGTTCCCCAATCTTTCCATTGTCGATCCATATGTCTACGCCCTCCCAATCATCTCATCGCTTTTCCAATGGACTTCGATGAGATTATCATTCACAGAGACAACTCCCCTCATCATGAAGATTGTCTTTGGTGGTCTTTGTATTCTTCCACTTTATTTCACTCTTGATTTCCCTGCTGTATGTATATATAGACATAATCAACTAGAAGATCTAATCCAACCAACCAACCAACCAACCATCCATATCAACTCAATATAAATATATTAATATTATTTCTTTCTTCTTTCATTCTCTAGGGTTTAAATCTTTACTGGTGTATCAATTCATTATTATTTGTTGTTCAAAACTACATCTTTAAGAAACCAGCAGTCAAGAGATTCTTTAATATCCCAATTCATGGAAAACCAACGACCGGCGCCGGTTCAGCCATGGAGATTAGAACTGCACCAGAAGTGATTAAAAAGGTTGCACCAGAATCCATCTTCCCAGAGGACAAGGCAATGAGATTAGAAAAACTAAAGTTGGAAGTAAAGGAAAAGAAAAAGGATGCTCTTGGAAGAAGAAAATAAATCTAAAATAATATAATATAATCAATAGAAATTAGAAATAAATAACAATTAATTTTTGAAAATAAACTTGGTACGTTGGATGGTGTTTTACAAAAACATTAACTAATCAAACCACACACATTTACATTGTGGTTTGTATGTGTGGTAGAGTGGTAGCCAATGTAACCAATGGAGAGTAGTAAAGGATAAACAGTCATCACATGGATGATGATAAGCAAAGTAATTATTATTCTGTCTATCTTTTAAAAAAAAGATAGATAAATAGATAGGAAGGAGGAAGAATGAATAATCTTAGAGAAAGATCACCACTTTCAACTGGAAGTAAATCACATCAAGAGATTGATATAGAAGATGATGATATTGCAATTGGATATGATGAAGAAGTTGATGATAGTGACGATGATAGTACTACAACCGATCAAGAAGATACAAGTACTGATGACGATGATAATGATAATGGTCAAAGTCATCGACAACATCAACATCAACATCACACGAAAAATGAAATACATCAACATCTATTATACAACATCAAGAAAAAGAATCAAGATAATGATAGATCATCATCTTCATCTAATGGTTGTTTTAAAAGATTAATATTACAAACTGGTGGTGGAACAACGAAAGGAGGAATCAATTCATACAAAAGAAAGAATATAACATGTTTGATTGGAACATTGGTATTTGGAATATCACTCTTTTTAATTGTAATGTTATTGACTAGATTCCCATTATCATATATTGATCATGAAGATTACTCTGATAATATATTGTCATCATACTGTGCTCATTTATCAATGGAGTCTGATCAAGTTGAACTATCAAAAAATCAATGTTCATTCCTTCAACACCAACATCAACAACAACAAAAACATAATAATAATAACAAAAATAATAAGAATAATAATAATATTCAAAATAATAATACAATTCATAATTATGAATGTAATCCGTCAAATTTAAATAGACCACAATATCAATATAAATTGGGTGGATTGGAATATGAAGGAAAGGATCCATTCTCTTGTCGTCCACCAGTTGTTAGTATTATTGTACCAGTTTATAATACACCAAAGTATCAGTTATTGGAAATGTATGAATCGGTGAATCGTCAATCATTACAGTCGTTTGAATTGGTGATTGTGGATGATGGATCGACCAACTCTGAAACGATCAACCTCATCAATGATTGGGAGAAATCAGACACTCATGTACATATCCAAAAACATAGTTCAAAACGTGGATTACCATCTGCTCGAAATACTGGTATCAAACAGTCCCGTGCACCCTATATATTCCTACTTGACTCTGACGATATGATCGAACCAACCACTCTAGAGAAATTAGTTTGGAAGTTAGAGACATCACCTCACATTGCATTTGCCAAGGGATGGACAGTTGGATTTGGAGCACAAGAGTATGTTTGGGAAAAGGGATATGAAAAGGCAGACGCATTCCTTTACGAAAATCAAGTCACTGTCACTGCCATGTTTAGAAAGGAAGTATTCTTTGAAAACGTCCATAATCGCAGTCTTGCGCATTACTCTGGATTCGATGAACAAATTATTGGAGGAATGGAAGATTGGGATTTCATTTTAAAGTGTGCCAACAATGGACTATGGGGTGAAACCATTCCAGAGTATATGGATTGGTATCGAAGAAAACCATCGACAAACAGTGATTGGACCAATTTTGGTGATCAAAACAAATCATCAATCATTAATCAATTTAAATCAAAATATCCTTTAATTTATTCTAAAAAAATGAATCATTTATCAATGGTAAAGAAAAACAAAAAGAAAAATATTTAATATTTAATATTTTGGTTCAATCTAACTAATTAATTAATGTAATTATCTATCCAGGATGATAAAATAGAATCACATTATTATTTAGATAGTCATATTGATATTCATAATCATTTGGATAAACAAGTACCAAGATGTTTATTAATTCTACCTTGGTTAAATACTGGTGGAGCTGATAAATTTAATCTAAATTTTGTTAGAGAATTAATTATTAAAGGTTGGGATGTTACCATTGTAACTACACTTCAATCTTCAAATCCTTGGTTACCTTCTTTTCAAAAGTAAATAGATATAGATATCAATATCAAATCAAATATTCTATAATTTAGACTAACAATTCTATTCTTTTCTTTTTTGTTTTTAGATTAACTCCAGATATATTTGTATTGGATAATTTCTTGACAACAGAAGATACACCAAGATTTTTATGTTATTTGATTGAATCTAGAAAGATTGATATTACTTTGGTATCAAACTCAGAATTGGGTTATTTATTTGTACCATATCTTAAAGAAAAATGTCCATTCTCTGCTATTGTTGATTATGTACATATGGAAGAAGATCATTGGAAGAGTGGTGGTTATGCAAGGTAAATAGATATAATATATATTAATATAATTCATAATATTTTCTAATTATTATTATTTTTTTTTTAGATATTCATTATCAATGCAATCAACATTAGATTTATCAATTGTATCATCAGATCATTTAAAGGAATGGATGATTAAAAGATCAATGACAAGTAGATTAAAACAACATCATTATAGAGAGAAAAAAGAAAAGAGTAATCAAGAACGAGGAGGAAATGGTACACCAACTCAAACCCATCAACCAATGGAAAGTGCAATTGCCGATAATATAGATGTCTGCTATGTCAATGTTGATATGAAGGAATTCCAATTTAATATTGTCGATCGAAATAGAATTAGAGAATTATATAATATACCAATGTCAACCACAGTGGTATTGTTTGCTGGTAGATTGGTGGAACAGAAACAACCAAAAGTAGCATTGGAAGTGTTCAAAAAATTGATTGAAAATGATGTTACATTTAATGCATTTATAGTAGGCGATGGAGAACAAAGAGACCAAGTAGAAGAATTTATACAGAGAAATGGAATGCAATCGGTTGTAAAGATACTTGGAGACGTTCCAAGTGAAGATATGCCAGCCATTATATCAGCATCGGATATTGTATTTTTGCCAAGCGCAATGGAAGGTATATCGATGTTATTTTTCGAATCAATGGCTGCTGGTGTCATACCAATCGGAAGAAGTATCGGAGGTCAACATGAACTCATTACAGCCGACGAAGGAGAGTTGTTGTCATTCCCAAAACATCATGATGGTCCTGAATACACGGTGCCAGCCTACACTGAAAGACTCCAACACCTCATCCAACTATCACCAAGAGAAAAGAAAGAAAAGAGTCTAGCTTGTATAACGAGAATTGCAACCTACTTTACCATTGAAATGATGTCTGAATCAATGATCAAATCATTCTGTAAGGCAAGTTATCGTAAACGAATGAAAGAGTCTGGATCCTTACTCTCATTTATGGACTATCCCATTGCCCATACTGGCAAGTCTAATCGACCAAAGAAAATAGTCCAAACTGCCGTTCCAATGAGTGGGTTTGGTGACATTAATGAACACAATGGTGATGGTGCCGGAGACGACCATCAATCTGTCTTTGGACTACACAATGTTGGTGTTGGACAAGAATTGGCCATACAAGCCATTGAATCGATAAAATGGCAAAAGAAATCAGATGCAATGTGGAAAACACTGGAAGCATTGAAAAAACAGGTGGTCGATGACAAACCATACCACAATCAATGTGATATAGACAAGGCCGATGGTGATTCACTCAAGACTAATCTCCAACAATTGACCAAATCTCATACACAATTACAACAAGAATTTGATCAATATGTAAAAGAAAATGAAGACCTATATTCAAAATACCAAGATACTTTGGAATCTTTAAGAAAATATCAATTACAAGATAAAGAAAAAGGAAAGATAAATATTCAAAATAATGATGACGATTAAATAAATAAATAAGGCAGAGACATTAAATGTATATATCTTACACAGTATTTGGATTTATTATTTATTTATTTGGTAGGTTTTTTCTTTTTAAAATCATTGTCTTCAGGAGCTTTAACTAATTCAGAAAGTGGAGCATTGTTTGAAAGCAATTCATAGGCTCTCATAAATTCCTTGACAATGGCAGCCAAGTGATGAGGCTTTCGAATGGATCTTGCAATGTTAAAGGTTGTGTCGAATGGATCTTCAATCATAAAGAAATACTCTCGCTTGTCATCCCATGTCTTTGTCTTGGCAGGCAAGATGACACCTGAACGAATACTAATGACACTGTTTTGATAGTCAAAATGGAGTGCATAGTATTGGAAAAAGGCAAAGAGTAGTTCTGGCACTGTCATGGTGTTGTGCTTGCCAAACACCTCTCTGAGTTGTCCGAGATTGTTGTAGTATTTACAATTCTTGTCTGAAATCATATGATCCTCTTTGACACGACCATCACCATATCTACGACCCTTGATGTAATAGTACTGACCATTTGCCATTCTTTGGAGTGATGGAAGGATAAGAACCTCCTCACGTTGCATAAAATGGATAATCATATTTACAAATGAATAAGAGTGTAATGTATTATTTGATGCATCATTAATACCTCTAACTTTAGCCTGTTAAATAGAATAGAATAGAGAAAGGAGGAGAGTTTTGGGGGAAAAAAGTACCAATTTAAAATTCTTTCTTTCTCGACAGAGTAGTCATATGTTGTATTCATAATGATTGTGTCTTTCAACTTACCCATTGTTTAATTATAATGGCAATGGTTCTAACTCTAATATCAATTTGCATGTAATCATAAATCATTTTACTATTGAAAATTGCCAATGGATTATTGATTGAAAGGTCACAAGACAATGATGAAAATATATCATTAAATCTAATAATTGGTACTCTTGTTCTAGTAATAGCTAAAACATTTTTAAAATTATCTAAAATAATAATAATAAATTAAATTAGTTATTTGTACTCAAGAGAGACAATTAATTTGTTTTTTAATCTTTCTACATACTTGATTTTAAAACATTTGAAACCTTGAATGTATAATTTGATAAAGAATGAAGAGGTCTATCAGTGACAAGAGCAATATCCAAGTCAGAGTTTTTAAATGCCAAACCATTCAAAGATGAACCAAAAAGATAGATCTCAACCTTGACAGGTTTGAGGGTTCTGGTAAGGAGGTCTTGTAAAAATGGTAAGAGTTGTTTACCACGCTGTGTATCGGTACACACTAATTGGGGGTACAAAAGATTACAATCGGAAAGAAGCTTTTCATAGGATTCTTGAACTGGTGGTGGGAGAGTTGGTCTAGCAGATCTTGACATGATGAATTGCAATTGTGCTTTTCTCTCTTGTAGTGATTTGATTCGTTTTTCTTGGACTGTTTTCTTCTTGGTCAGCTTTTTAAGTTGCTTGATCAGATTCTTGTTGGCTTCAAAGTCTACCTTTGTCAACTGATCCAATATTTCCTTGTCTACAACGATTTGATTGTTTTTGGCTTTAAAATCTTTGATTGCATCAGATGCCTCTTGAACAGCTTTCATTACCTTTTGAATCTTGTATTCTACCAATTCAAATGGATCTGATGGTTTTTTTGTAAATGTGGTGGTAGTGGCAGTGGCAGTGATTGAGGTCTCTGTTGTTGTTGTTGTCTCACTACTGATTGGTGTTGTAGATTCTAATGACAATGTTACAAGGTATTGTTCCAACTCTTTTTCCTTTCTTTTTTCTTTTTCCAATCTTTGATTTTCTTCTTGTTCCTTTTTCTCCTTTTCCTCTTGTTCCAACTTTAATTTCTTTTCCATTTCTTCTTTTTCTTTTTGTTTTTGTTTTTCTATTCTTTTTTGTTCTTCATTATTATTATTATTTTGATTATTATTATTTTTTGTTAAAGTTGATGAAGTTGGGGTTGAAGATGGTATACCATTTAATGAATTCTTTTTAGAAGTATAGGTATTATTTAATTTTTGTAGGTCCGATTGATAACGATTTTTGATGTTTTGCTCATCATACTTGTTTCTAACATTCTCCTTTAGAGTTGCATACTTTTCCTTTATCTTTTTTTTAATGTCATCATTTTTCTTGGTGATCTTGTCCATCTTGCCGTTGTGTTTGTCTTCAAACTTGGTCATTTGGTCGCGATGCTTGGCGTCCAAAGCACCCATTTGAGTCTTCCATACACCCTTTGGATTGGCATTGTCTGCCACTACAGCAGGATCAGCAGCGAGAACCTTGGCCAACTTCTCCTTTTCCTTGGCTTGTTCATTTTGAAACTTGGACAAAAGGATGTTGAACGACTTTTCCTTGGGGAATGGTTCGATCTGTGCTTCAATCTCCTTGTCCATTTCCTTTTGAAGTGCTTCTTGTTCGGCCAACATTAGAGGACCTGTGTTTTGAATCTCTTGTCTCTCCCGTTCCAACAATACTCTTGTGCATTGAGCCCATTCCTCGTCCAAGTATTGGTGTCTTTGATCCTTGCTTGGCAATGATGATTCCACCTTTAAACCCTTCAACTCTCTTGCTCCCTGGCCAAGAACAGTCAATATATCACTACTAAACTTCTCGATCATTTCTTGTCTTATGTTGTAGTATCCGCCACCATTTACATTTCCACCTTGTGGTTGATTCTTGTACTTTCTCTTATTCTTTTTGTATTTAGAATCATTGTTGTTGTTGTTGTTGTTGTTATCGTCTCTTTCAACACCAATGTAATGTATCTTTGATAGAGTAGATAGAATGATGGCTGAACAATCTTGTAACAAACCTTCAGCTCTCTCCATGTATCGATCAAGATCCTCCTTTTGTAATTGTTGTTGAAGTAGTTGACTCTTTGAATTGTCATCAGGTGATGTTAAAGAAGCTGCTGCTGCAGGCGTAGTAGCAGCAGTTGCAGTAACTGATTGTTGTTGTTTTATATCAAACACACTATCAATGTCATATCTCTTGTATTGACCGACTATTCTATCCGAGTCTGTTGAGAACAACTTGTTATTAAGTTTAATTTGTTCCTTTAATTTTGGATGTACATGTTCCATTTTCAAGGTAGATGTAGATGTTGGTGTTGACATCCTACTATTCTCTCTTTCTCTCCTTTCTTTATCTATCTCTATCTCTTCTCTCTTCTCTCTCCTTTCTTTAATCTCTATATCTTATATTACTTTATTTTACTTTAAAAGAGTCTATGAAAATGATGATTTGGTGTCTTTGTGACAACAACCCCCAACTGCCACACAATAAAACAAAAAATTTACTTATATTAATTTCCCCGATTATCTAGATCTTTGAGGGGGGAAAAAAGTTGGATAAACATATAACTATGAATCATTATTATTATTATTATTTATTTTCCTCTTTAAATTGGATAGTGTTGATTCCAAGTTGTTAATGTCTTTAATGATAGATTCTAATTTATCACTATCTATAAATGATTTTGGTGGAGGTTCTGGAACTGCCGCTTGAACTTGGACATGCTTGTTTGCACCACTATTTTGATTCAAGGTTTCAATGATACTATCTTTTTCTTGAATTGTTTGTTGTAATCGATTAATAATTTGAATTAAATCATCCCTATTATGAAATAAATATTGGTGTGTTTGTGAAAGTGGACATTGTTCCCAAAGCTAATAATAAATATGGTATTAATATAATGATCTATTTGATTGTTGGTTGTATTGATTATTACTAACATACTTGAATAGGAGATTTTCCATTAATATTTTCAATGTTTGGATTTGCTCCACTTTGAACCAACTTGTTTATACAATCCCAATTGCCATTCAGTATTGATACATGTAATGGTGTGTCACCTTGTTTGTTTTGATTAGATACTGATGCACCATGTTGAACTAGGATGTTTAGTGTTTGTACAGATCCCTTTATCGCGGCGAGGAATACCGATGTTTCACCATCACGTGTTACAGCATTCACCAATGACGATACTGTATTACTGGCAGATAATGTCAGCTCTGCCTTTGCAGCGCTTTGAATGATGGTATTACAAGCAAGGTATTTACCTTCAGTAGCTGCCCAATGAAGTGGTGTCATACCCTCACTATCACGTTCAAAAACATCTAATTTAATTATATCTATTAAAGTTGGTTGGTAGTATTAGTAACAATATCAAGTTTTAATGCTCATTTCTCTTAGGATAGATATATAGATATGTACTTATAAGATATCGAACTATAGAGTCGTGACCAGACTCTGCCGCATAGTGAAGATAGGATTGTCCCAACTCACTCTTATCACTCAATCTTTCCTTTGGTGTCGAGAATATGATTTGATTATGACCGAATCGAATTGCTTGTAATATATTATAATCCATCTTTCTATCTATATCTATATCTATATCTATATCTATCTCTCTCTCTCTCTATGTTGTATAATCTCTATTTATTATCCATTATTATTCTTTTATTGATTTGTTTGCACTTTACTTTTGAATTAAAAAATAATTTAAAAAAACAAACTTTGATCTTCACTTTGGGTGAACTGCACTTAATTAAATTATTATCAAAATTAGTTGTTATACATTGTACATACATATATTATAAATTAAATCATGACTTTAGAGGCCGCAATTGTTTGGTATATATTCATCAGATATCTAAATAGAGAGAGAGAGATACAGCATTACATCATATATTAACATACCACTCTATCTATTACCTATTGTACTTTCTATCTACCTACCTATCTATCTATCTATCTTAAAGTGTTGATAATTCAGAATGGATGAGAAATAGTGATTTCGAACCATCAAGATATCTAGCTCAAAAGGATGCTGTCAATATCATTTGTTGTTTGTATCAATCAATATATATGAAAAGAGAGAAAAGAGAGAAATGAGTTGTCGAACAACACTCCTCTCTCTCTCAAGTGTCGAAAGAGAGTTCTTTATATTAACCTATCATAACTTAACTACATTTGTATATATTTATAGCATCAAAAACACATGGTAATCCAGAAACATCAGTAGCTATATTATCAATGTCTGGTAGACCAGAGATTTTAGTAACATTGACTCAAGACCTTAGTAAAGTATTGGCAAGTTATGATGACATTAAAATTCATGGAAAGATTGATTTCTCAACTTCAATGCAAATTGCTCAAGTTTGTATTATCCTTTTAAATCATAGATAAGATATCTTATGTTATTTGATTACTAATACTTACACATTAATCAAACAACAACAGTTGGCACTCAGACATAGACAAAATAAGCACCAACATCCACGTATTGTAGCATTTGTTGGCAGTCCACTCAAAGAAACAAAAGAGGAGCTCTGTGATCTTGCAAAGCGTTTAAAGAAGAATGCAATTGCTGTCGACATCATTAATTTCGGTGAAGAAACAACCAATGTAGAAAAATTAGAAGCATTCATAAGTGATGTAAATAATAATGATGAACCAAGGTAATGAAGAATAAGCAAAGAAAGAAAAGAAACAATATATTTATTAATATTTTTTGTTATTTTATATACGTAGTCATTTATTAACTGTACCAGCAGGACCACAAATTTTATCCGATATTATTATTCAATCAAAGACTATTATCGAAGGATCAAGTACCTATGGTGCCGAATTCATCAATGCCGATACCGATCCAGAATTGGCCATGGCTTTGAAATTATCGTTGGAGGAAGAGAAGCAACGTGTAGAAAGAGATAGAAAGGCTAGAGGCGAAACTACAGAATCAGACAACAAGACAGAGGAATCAAAGGACGTACAAATGGGTAACATGGGCGGAGACAACTTTGATGATGATCCCGACCTCCAAGCTGCTTTGGCAATGTCATTGCAACAAGATGTTCCAATGAGCGATTCCTCAAACACCACTACTACCACCTCTTCCAACAATGAATCATCTCAACCACAACAACAACAAAACTCTGATGCTTTTAGAGACCAAGAATTCTTAAACTCTACTTTAATGTCATTACCAGGTGTCGATCCAAATGATGAAAGAATCAAGAATGTACTCGAAAATCTTTCTAAAAAGGATGAAAACAAAAAGGATGGTGATAAAAAGGAAGACAAATAATCGTATACAACCAAAACTATGCCCTGAAAATACTATAAATACTCTTCCCCAACAAAAACATTATTACAATAATACACAAGACCATAAAATAAAAAATTAAATTAACAATTGTTCTATATATAAATAAACTTGAAATTTGTTGTATCCTTGATGAGTTATTAATTATTAATTATTTTTATTTTTTATTTATTGAATTTATAAATTCTTTCAACTCAAATATTGATCTTTGACAAACAAGATTACCCTTGAAAAAGTTTGTATAGAATACTATTAAATTGTCTAGTTGTGGAATTAAAGTTTGCTTTGGATACATTCTGGCGATTGCATTGACGTTTTGTAAAAATTGTTTGCTTTCGTCTTCATCTGAAATGGGGTATTTGGACAACCATAATGGGATAATGACAGAGGCATGTTCGGAGAGTTGGGGGACATAACGGATGAATCTTCCAATACTTGATATACCATTTTCGGTGGAAACTATATTTTCTTCATCGGCTGCATCGGGTGAAGAGATGTGTTGATTGAATATTTGCAGTGCTTTAAATACATAGGGAGCAAATGCGCTCTGGGCAGTCTGTGCAACGATACCCAAGAGGAAAAAGATGGTTTGTTTGTTGGGTTGAGGTGTTTTTGGATTTTCGAGGACACTAAGCATCAGAGGGACAAATGTAGGCAACATATCAATGATCCATTGACCACCAACCTCTGTGAAATCAGACAACAAACAAAAGATTGATACTTTTAGATCTTCATCCATCTTTTTGTCTTTGACCGCTTTGATCATATCTGGAATAATTTCAGTTGCCATTGTAGTGAGTGCAGAGGATTGGTTGTGTTTCATTGCTTCACCGACAATCTCGTGAATGCCATACAGTGAATTGGTGCAGTGAATTCTGAAATCTTCGGCATCGAAAATTTCTTCATCGGCGTCGTCGTCTTCGCCGGGAGTTGGAGGTCCCTTTTTCAAAATGTCGTAGATTTGAAGACGGGTCTCTTTGAAGAATGAGAGGGTTCGAAGGATTTGTTCGTAGGTAAAGAAGTTGTCGCCTACGACCTTGAGCAACTCGGCAATCGAAGAGAGTCTCTCTTCGAGAGCTGCCGGATCAGACTCTATTTTGCAAGCAGTTACCAAATAAGCCAAAACTTTGGTAAAGTATTCGTGTGCCTTGGCACTGCCAACACCGTGCTTGGCATTGTGTACCAATTGGAGATTTTGGAGACTGGCAGAGGCGGCAGACTTGGTTTCAGCGCATGAGGTGCCACATATATCACCTTGTGAAATCATCTTGGCCATGGCTTCAGAGTATGGATAAAAGTGTATTAAATTGAAACCACATGCATCCGAAGTCAAATAAAGTGGTAGGAATCGCATAGCCTGTCTCACCCTAAAGAGATGACCACTGTACAAATTATAGTTGAGCAGAGTCAAAAGGATGGGAAGGTACACTGCAAAGTCATTACCAAGACATTTGATAAAGTTGATACATGCTTTAAAGAATCCAGCTTGCAAATCAAACGCCACTCCATGTTTTCTAACAACGCTCATAATTTTGGCTAGATCCTTTGCAAACATCTTTTTACCACAAGCATCACACATTACAGACAATGCCATGAGTGCACGGAAACGTACTTTTTTACTATCCTTTGAAAGTTGATAATCTTCAAACATTTTTAATAATATTGGAACAAATCTTGAATAATACTACAAAATATATAAAGTTATTAATATATTCATTATTATGTTATTATTTTCTTTATCTTTTTCTATTTGACTTACTGGTCTAAAGTGACATTTCAAACATTCAACAAATGATGTCAATGCAGGTAATATATTCTCCAGTACATACAAGTGCTTGGATGTTTTTAAAAGGTATTCAAATACATTTAATAGATCTTCACGATGAGTAGAGTGATCTGTGAAAAATCTACCTTCTAAATTTTGTACCATTGATTGAATAAATGTACAACCTAAAATAGATTATATATATATTAGCATACAATAAATAGAAGGATTAGAATTATTAAAATACTTACAGGAAGATTGAATACGTTCATTCTTTTCAACTTTTGCAATTTTAATGGCTGTAAATAATAATTCCTTGTTTTCCATAATCTCTCTTTGGAAATCTAAAGAAAGTTGAATCAAACAATGGAAAGATATTAATCTAACTCTTGGATTTGTATTATCAATTGTTGATAATAAAATACTTTTTAAAAAAAAAAAAAAAAAGTATGATTAATTAATATTTAAAGAATAATTCTTTTTCTTGACTACAAAATATATATATATAGTTTACATACGCTAAAGTATCATTAATAAATGGAATAAAATCGTAACTCATATGACTGATAGTATGTGCTAAACCAAAAAGGGCTCCATATTTATCTTTCCAAGTGTTGGTTGTTGTTGAAATCATTTCATTAAAACGTGCTACGACTATCTCGGTATGTTCAGAAGTGTTTAAAACAACAAAACGTTGGAGGAATTCAAGGTCTAGTGTGTCCTCTGCAATTTGATCTTCTTTTGCCTCTCTGGCCTCTTCATCTTGTTCTTCTTCTTCTTCTTCTACTTCTTCATCGTCTCCTTCTACCAATAGACGAGTATCCATTCCATTATCTTCTTGTTGAATGAAATTACTGCTATCAACATTGGTATCAGAGTTCCAAACATCGATATCAATATCTTTGATCTCACCACACGAGTAGTAGATTGACTTTACCAATGCCTCTGATTGCTCTGTGCTGAGCTCTCCCATACCAGCCTCGAGAATGGATAAGAGAAGGTTGTGAATACTGCGCTTCAAGTATTTGTTTGTCAAGACGTGATTGGTAAGGATGCCAACGAGAAGATCTATGTAGTCTTGCGCATAGGGCAAGATAAAATCTTGGTTGGTCTCCAGCAATCCCCACACAGCATCAAGGTATTCATAAAATGATCCATTGTCAGCTTTGGCGGCATTAGCAATCACCTTTAAAGCCAATGGTTGAAGTGGCTGGGTCATATCCAGATCACCAATTTGGTCGTCGAGCACTGCACCAAATGCAAACAGAGCAGACACTGAAACGTGAATGCTTGTATCTTCCAGAGCCTCTTTGATCAATCGAACTATCTCAACTGCCATCTCTACCGGCACGTTATTGTGAGTAGACAAACATTCGGCCAACACCATAAATGAGTTACCTCTAAGATTAATCATTGTGTTTTCAGGTTTAAGTGCTTCCATCAATTTTGGTCTAAATAGTCTCCATTCATCTATAACCAACAGAATAAACATTAGAACAAGTACTTTTTTAACAACAACAACAACAACAACAACAACACAGCAAATGATGTGTTCAATATACATTAATGTGTGTAAATAACATACTTGGTAGGAAACGGTTAAAACAACCAATAGCTTTGACAATGTTGTCTCTGACTTCCTTGTCTAGCTTAGTTGTAAACTCTTGATTAAGCAGATTCCATAGTTCATTTCTTAGAGCCTCTACCAATTCAGGTGTAATCTTTAAGTAGCATGCAGGGATTCCCAAAGCTGTTAGAAGGCAAGTTGAAGTATAATGTCTAATCTATAAATAATAATAATAATTGTTTTGAGAATGCATGAACGAATGAATGATAGATAGGTAGTTAGGTAAGATACATACAACAGGATATTCACATTTAACAGTTAGATATAAAAACCAAGAAACCAATTGGTTTGTTGTATATTTTCTAAATGTTTCAGCAGGTGCATTCTCTGGTGAATTTGCATATTTAACAATGATTTCTAAAATCTCTGATATTGGTTCCTCCATTATTATCTATCTATCTATCTCTAATAGTCTCTATCTGTTCAGCTGATATCTACACAAAAAAGAATAATAAGCAACCCACACAAGGTGACGTCTGACACATTTTATTTGAGATATTTTGTTTGTTCCCAGAAAATAGATTGTTAGAAAAAAAGAAACTTTAATTCGGGCTCTGTCGTTGGTTGGCGCCAATTCATGAAGAATTTACAAGGTGTTGCGATTAAATACAATTTTGTTTATTTATTTATTTATATCATCCATTGATCGGTCAATCTGATGAATGGTTGTTGTTTAACTACAATATTATTAGTTAATTGTGAAATATAGTTTACAATGATTATTATTAATGATTACAGTTTTTTTGGTATTTTAAAGTTTTGAAATTAAAATATTATTATTATTACAGTTGTTATTTTGTTGTTGTTGTTGTTCTGGATATAACATTAAAATACCATAATCACGTGGATCATTCCAAATTGGGTAATTGGATTGTGATTTGAATTGAGTGAATTCGGTTGGAGTTGAAAATCTGGCAATCGATGTAAATTCTAATGATTTGATACCTGGAAGTAATGGAAAGTGTTGTCTGATTGGATCGGTCATTGAGAATCCTGCAAATACATAATTGATGCCTTGAGAATACAATTCATTGTGTACACGTTGTAAAAGGTATCTAAATAGAGTGTCACTTGTTTCTTGATCTTCACCCAATGAATAACAACAATAGAGTTGACGATGTTTTTGTGTTTGTTGTTGACGATTCTTGAGTGTGAATATTAAATCTTGATTCCAAATAGAGATTGATGCTTCATACAATTGACCATTACATTGCATCGTTGCAATATAGGTTGATTCATGGTATTTTTGATTATCGACAAGGATATCTGAGAAACTTGATGGAATAAAGTTGTATTGTTGGAATGCATTATCCCATCTGATTTTAACATCTTCATTCTCGATAACCTTCATGAATCTAACCTGTGAACAATTGGATGGGAGTGAGTTGACCTTGACTGGACTAGATACCTTCCAAGCCATTTGACATTGATCATATTGTGGAGTCATTTCAATGTTTCCAGTTGCTTTTTTGATTGGTGCATTATTCTTTGATGTCGATGCGACAAGGATGGTTGAACGGTTGTCTTGTTTGACGGCACTATGAATATCTCTGAAAAACATATTGGAAATGGAATGACCACGGTATTCTGGATGAACATTGATATCAAACATATAGTACAATGTCTTCTTTTCACCACACACAATCACATCTTTGATATTACATGCATAGGCTCCAACAGCTTGATGTTCCTGTCTGTCTTCAGCAACGATAATCTTATGATTCTTTGTTAGAGTTGGACGGATTGTGAAATCGATTGGATGTGACATTCCTTCCAATGCATTGTAATTGTATGATACTGGTAATCTTGGAATCGATGAAATGGCATTTAAATCTTTTTCCTCTGAGAATTCTCTTAATACAAATCTATTATTATTATTATTGATATTGATATTCATTTTTGTTGTAAATCAATTGATTAATGATTAATTGATTGTTATTAATTGATTGTATTTGTTGTTGTTGTTGTTGTTGTTGTTGTTGTTGTTGATGATGAATAAATTAAAGTTGATCAATTATTATTTATAGTTGTGTGTTCTTTGACCAAAGGACAGACGATAAAGATAAGCGACTATCAAGTCACAGTTAAACGGACGACACACTATTGACGAGTCTATGAGAAACGTGTCGACGATCGCGACCGGTCGGATAAGTGCAAGATCACCAACGGGCGACTGAATGATGCTCATCATGTCGGTCTATTCAACATTGTATAGGTAACCGGACTGCGACACATTAATTAATGAATGAATAGACGTCGAAGTGACGGTACAACAATTAACTCTTGCTTCCTGTATGTCAAGTCGACTACTTGACACCCACCCATATATCTCGAAACGTTTGCATTGTTGTAAGTCATATTGTAGATGTATATAAGATTAAATCACAATGGTGATTCTAGTCTCATCTAGATGACCTAGATATCGTTCACACTACTCTAATGCATTGTTGTTCTCTCTTTCTCTCTCTCTAACACATTCGAACGTAAAAGGTAATAGATGATCATAGAGTGGGGTCGTGGGATTGATGGGAAGATTGGCAAAGCACCCTTTTTTAGGGGTGTTTATTATTTCTTTTTGGAATTAATAAAATAATATAGTTTTACACTCCAAGCTTAGACGGTTTGTGCACAAGATCAAATTACCTTATTAGTTAGTTAGTTCCTCTACCTTTAATTATAGAATAGTAGTAGAATATACAAGAGTATATATATTACTAGAAGTAATCAACATAGTGTAAGAGAGGGAGATGAGTAGTATTCAATCTCCTTTTAAACTATTTCTTGTAGAGAATGCAGACTCGATAAGTTTGCTTAGAAACTTGATTGTATTCTTGCCCGGCAGATATGATGACTCTGAATTCATATCAGAAGCATGTATGTTGTCAGATCGAAAGAGTAATATACTAATCGATCTATGTACTAATCGAATCATCATCATAAAATGAACTCAATTGTCATCTATAATCATTCATAGTATACAGTGCAACCAATATATTTCAAACATATATAGATTGGATATCTTCAACGATTATGTTATCACACAATCAATCAAAGACATCAACCGAAGAAATCATCCCTCCACCATACTACTTGTCAATACTCAAATGGATAGCAGTACTACAAAACATAGAATTAACCTGTGAAGTATATGCTAGTACAAAATTTAAAAAGAAATCAAATAGATGGTTAATCATTATATTATTGGAAGCTTTAAAGTACATATATCTTCAACTTGTTTCATATAAATAATCATTTATTAACCAACAATTATCAATTGTATTTATCTCTCTAGAGCATTTTTAAGATTAAAATTATTAATTAAAACCAATGGTAATATGTTGGTATATCATTCATTTCATGTACCAACCAAAGATGTACAAGAATTTACACAAAAGGCCAGAGTGGCATCGAATTCATCGAGATTTATTGAAGGCTCACGAAAGACATTACAAGATCAAATCATTGAACAAAACGAACTGAAAATTAAAGAGGAAGAGGAGGAATCGACACTTTTATCTATGCTCCCACCATGCTCTCCTCCAGACTATCCCACCAAGGTGATTGGAGAGTTGTTGTTCATTTTTAGACCATTGGCATACTGCGTTGCACATTGGAAATATGGAAAGAAATCATGGAAACCTTGGATTCTATCATTGGTCATGGAAGGTGCTAGCAAATTCTTTAGTGAATTTGGTTCCAACAAGGAGTATCTTTCTGATTTGGAATCAATCGAATTAAAAAGAAGACGAGGATTATTTATATATTATTTATTACGAAATCCATTCTATGATAAGTTTATTGGGTAATTAATTATTAGATAATAACAGATATAAACAACAACAACAACAACAACAACACCACCAGTCATACTAATCAATCATTCTATTCTCCTTTTTCTAATCATCATCATTTAGTGATGGTATTGTTTTTAGAATATTAAATTTTTTCAAGAGAATACCAATTATTAAGATTTTAGTTGGTAACTATTTTATTTATTTAATGTCCATATCCAACCAACATACTAACAACCCCTACCCCCCTTACTCTTCCTTAATTGATTTAGAATTACTTATTAATTATATAAGCGTTTTTAAAACAAGATATTTCTATACATCTGCATCTTAAAGTTCTTGCTAGCAACAACAACAATAATACCAACGACACTGTCAGTGTATAGCACTGCGATTGAAATAAACTTGAATAATGGAATTCAAAACCCAATTAATTAGTTGGACATACCTAACAACATTTACTTTATTTCCTAATTAATAATAATAATGAACCATTTTATTTGTTTGAGAGATAGATATATATATATATTACCTACTTACTAAAGTTTGGACAACTGTGTTTCCTAGATCTTGGAAATGGTAATGACTCTATAGCAAGCAGGGTGGTATCCAACTATTTAAAGAGCCAATATGATTGTATGTTGGGATAAAACCTAATCACAAATCAAAACATTTCTAGGTAAACTCTTTACGTGATCGTCTGGCTGTCAAAAAATAGAGCAAACCAAAGTAAGAACATCTAGATGAAAACCTAATAAATAATTTAAAGAAAAGATAATGATCAATTTATAAAATGAAACTCGCTCCTGTAATCAATACCGATGTAGAGGAAGCCTTGAACACCTTCTATTCATTAAAGAACCAATATATATCGATTGCGCCAGGATATCATTGACAACATAAAGAATTATCGCAACTATTGAAATGGGTTTCCACTTGATTGTCCATATTTAGGCATCGCTATTGTTGTTGTCGGTATTGTTACTATTGATATTGTCGTTGTTGATAATGGACTACCTATTCTAAATTGTTCGATATCCACTTACCTAACGCTGTTGCAACTGGTTGTCATAATGAGGTTGTCTTCTGCTTGAATTGTCTTCTTTGTTAAACACTGTCAATTCAACAAGATATTGTTGATAGTTTGTAGTAGTTGTTGTTGTTTCTTTAAGATGTTCTGAAAGAGATAATAAGCGTGAGGTTGATTCATTGATAATGTTTGTTTGTTATCAACAAGACAACTTTTGTCCACCCCAAAAAATCTATTTAAAAATATGCAAGGGATCGTCTGTAGCTACTACTCGGCTTTCGAGTCGGCTAAAGGAGGATCACAAACTAATTAATTAGCTAGTTGTATAAATAACATATATTAGAGAGAAAGAGAGAGAGAGAAGATGAAAAAGGATGAACCAGCACTATTACAGTTATCAGTCGGTGCAGCATCTGGTGTGTTGGCCGACTCTATCATGCATCCAATCGATACCATCAGAGCTAGATTACAAATTGAAGTAATTTATCATCATCATCATCATCGAAACAATTGAACATGGACGACGACAAGAATATTGATACTCTACATTCATTACATTCATTCACATTCATACTTAGAAAGTAGGACAACAACAATATAAAGGAACTATAGATGCATTTCAATCAATCATTAGAAAAGAGGGATGGAGGTGTTTATACAAGGGATTCCCTATCGTTGTCACTGCAACCATACCAGCACATGCATTATATTTCTATGGATACGAATACAGTAAAAAAGAGCTGGCCAAGGTGCCCAGTATAGGCAATGGCATCATCAACCATTTTACATCGGGGTTGGTGGCCGATGTTGCTGGTGCAATGATTTGGACACCAATGGACGTCATCAAACAACGATTACAAGTACAAAAGGCACAAGTTGCAGCTGGAACTACATTTTATAGGGGATCATTCCATGCAGTCAACGTTATATACAGAGAGGAGGGTATTAGAGGTTTTTATAGAGGTTTTTTACCATCATTGGCTACATTTGGTCCGTTGGTTGGTATTTACTTTGCAACATATGAACAAACAAAACGATGGATGGCCACATCGATCACCAAGAAACCAGATCAAGTTCTTCCACTTCCACTCTTGTTGGGTGCTGGATTTTTCGCCGGAACCGTAGCTGCTGCAGTCACATGTCCATTAGACGTCATTAAAACTAGAATTCAAGTGGCGCGAGCCAATGAATCAACCTATAAAGGTATTATAGATGGATTCAAAAGAATTCTTAAAGAAGAAGGTCCAAGAGCTTTTGTCAAAGGTATGGGTGCTAGAATTCTATGGATTGCTCCTGGTAATGCTATTACTATTGCTTCATGTATGTTAAACAAAATATATAAATGTAAATATAAATATCCTAATAAAATTCTCTTGACCTCTCACTATAGACGAACAAATTAAAATGTTATTTTCAAATGCATTTCAAAGTTGATGATATGGAATAAATAACTATTTATAATATGTCAATTTAATTTAATTAGTGTTGGAGAGATTGATATACAAATTTCAATCCCTTTTGGTGCATTTATAAAAATTCGACCAAATACAATAGTTATTTCTAGGTTGAAATATGGCAACAGAAAGAGAGAAAGAGAGAGATTTACACTGTTATACAAAATGTCTTTATTTGGTTGTGGCTTTCTCTAACTTGGTTCTAAGAGGTTGGTGATTCGCCCATGTCTTGATATTTCTTTTGTTGTTGATGGACTGAGTATTTTGATTGTTGTTGGATGAGGACAATATTTCTTTAACCAAAAAGGAAACTATCTTTAATTCCCACTCCACCAATCTTTTTTTCTCAATAATATAATATAATTTATATTCTCAAAAAGAATGGAATTATTTATTTATTAAAGATCAAATGGTAAACGGGTACTAGGAAAAACAAAAAGATATAAATTTAAAAAATAAATAAAATATATTGGTATTTTAGTTCCAATCCATCAACACACACCCATACTTGCTCAATTTAAATATAAATATATATAATCTTATGGATATTTAAATCTATAGTATTGATTATTATTAGGATATGATTAAAAAAAACTATAAATAAAAAAGGAATTGAAATGACCCCCATTGTAACCATAAACCCTCATGTGATTACTGATTCTTTTTTTATTAATCAAACTCTTTACCAAAAGGGGTCACAAAACCTCCTCTTTTATTAATACTTAGTTTAAAATCCTATGGTTTTAAAGTCATTGGAAATAAAATCCAATGATAAAGTTCCTTCTTTTGGGGTAGTCAAGTCGCTGTTTCGCGTGTGTATGTTTATTTGAATTGACTGCTCATGAGGAAAGCCAAAACTATAAATACTACTATGATCAGCACTACAATAACAAATCATTAATACTATTCTTTAATCAAATACAAACTATAACAATATTATCCCCTATTATTCTTTATTATAATTAATTATTTTGGTACTTTTTAAAATGCTTCCCACACCCTCCATCCCATCCACTGGTATACTTATAAAAAAAAAATTAAAGATACACAAATTTACGAATATTTTTTTTTCTTTCTTTCTTTTACTTTTTTTTTCTAAATTTCTTTATGACCTCTTGTTATCTAGCCACGTTACATCAATTAGAAGCGGGAATGGCCCATTTGGAAACTATGGTCGATCAGGCCTTAGAAGAAAACAACACTTTGGCTATTACAATCGCTGATTTACAGCAAACAAACAACAACTTGCAACAAACCAACACCCAGTTGGTTTCGAGAATCGCTCAACTTGAGCAAGTTATCAGTGATGCTGGAATCCAGGTTCCACCATCAGCCTAGATATCTAATAAATAAAAGATATCATATTATTGATCAATGTTAAATGATCAATATTATCACCATCATTAAATTAAGTCTTTGTTTTATCTAATAGCAAGAATTCTATGGACTGTTCCTAGTAATGTTATTGCTATTGCTTCTTGTATGTATCAGTGATAAACATATCTCTAATTCAATTCTCTTCATTCTTTAACATAGACCAACAAATTAAATGTTATTTTCAAATGCATTTCAAAGTTGATGATATGGAATAAATAACTATTTATAATATGTCAATTTAATTTAATTTGTGTTGGAGAGATTGATGTACAAATTTCAATCCCTTTTGGTGTGTATTTATTAAATTCCAATTTGTATATTATTATTATAGTACAAACAGAAAGGGTATATCTGTTTTCGCATTATTACTGTTGTTGTTGTTGTTAATATATAAATTAATTCCTAATACTTAATATATATTATATTTAATTATTTGGAAGTGTTTGTTTTGTTTGGTAATATAGGACCTGGTGAACAGAAATGACACATTTTAGACTTTGTATTACAGCAATCACTACAATACAACATCGAACAAGAACTACATTGATGTTTTCTTGTAAACAGTGAAAAATCTTTTGAGCACCTATTACATATCTTATTGAGATCAATCTTGGGTTTACCATTGGTATTTCCATTTCCAATACTAGTATTATGGTTATCATATCGATTTTGTTGTTGTTGTTGTTGTTGTTGTTGTTGTTGTTGTTTGGATGAACTGATCGGTGATAGTGAATCTATATTAATACTATTATTACTATAATCATTTGTAACGTTGTCTTCACTATTATTATATGTTGAATTATTATTACTGTTACTTGAATTTTTTAAAGATGATTTAAGTGCTGATTTAATTGGTAAAGGTGATTGATTGGTTGATGATGATGATGAAATTGTTGATGTGATAGTTGTGGTATTTGTTATTGTTGTTGTTGTTGCCGTTGATGGTAACGGTGGTGGAATTACAGTTGTATTATTAGAAGAAGATGATAAAGAAGATGATGAAGATGTAGATGATGAAGATAATGAACTTGCATTAGGTGATGATGATGGTAAAGTAAATGTTGAAAGTTCAACTTGAAGTAAAGAATTAATGGGTGGATGGAATTTTCCAGTTAAAATATAATAATCCAAAAAGATAGTGTCATCTTCTTTACCAAATCTCTGAAGGAATGCCTTTCTGATTCTTGTGTTTAATCGTCTAGACTCTTCCAAATCGAAATTCATTCTAGTTATGACCGTATTGTTGAATTCTTTTTGTTGTTGTACATCCTTTTCCAGAGTCTTGATCTCTTTGCTGAGAAATTGAATGTGTAGTCTGTATCCAATGTTGGCCGATCTCGCACGATCCAACATGTCTTCCAACTGTTCAATCGACACCTTTCCGCTACCACTCGACGATGATGGCGATCCACCATTCATACTAGTATTTAAACTGTCGTTTGGAGACTGTGGAGTTTGTAGTTGACGGTTGATTGGTTGTGGTGAAGATAACCCTCTTTCTCTTCGTTGTAATAAAAATGATGCGTTGTTTTTGAGTGGAGAAGAATTGAATGTGTTGGCAACAGTTGTTGTTGTTGTGCCTGGAGGCGTACCATCAGTGCTATGTTTGTTGTTGTTGTTATTCTCTTCCTCTTCTTCTCTTGATCGATCTTGAGCCTGAATCATTTTCGATAGTTCTGAAAGATCGACTGATTTACGCTTACTATAGTTGGTTTGGATGCTTTCATTGTAGTTTTCGTCGCTTAAAAACAATAGCTCTTGCGTCATTTTCGATAACTCTTTTCGTGAGTTTCGTAGCGACTTTTTGGTCTGATGGAGCTGGTTGTTGTTCTCTGTCATACTCTCCTCCATCTTTTTGTATCGTGTGGTCAGTGTCGAGGCATCGATCTGTAGTCGCTGCACCTGCTTTTGATTGCGTTGGATCTCTTCGTCCTTTTCCTGGATGATGCGTATTAGTTTGCGTTCGTCAATGGTGTAGGTGGGATCGGTCAGAGAAATGGACGAGACGTGCTTGTTGAGCTTCTCATCTGACAGCTTGCGCTCGAGCTCTCTGATCTTGTCGTTCAAACGCGTAATAGTCTCGTTGGATTTGGCGCACTCTGACATGAGCAGCGACACCCTCTCTTCGATTTCTGTCTCGTTTTTGTTCATCAAACCGATGATGGCGAGACGCTCACCCTCAAACTGCTTCAACTCTTGTGTCATGGACTGCTGCGACGAGCTGAGTGCTACCATACGACGCTCTTCGTCGACCAGCTTGTACTGCAGCTTTTCGTTGATGTTCTTTTGGTCGAGCAGCTCAATCTCGCTACTCGACAGCTGCAGCTTCATCTTTTCGATCGTCTTGTGGGCCGTCTCGACCTCGCGCTCCTTGGCCTTTACACGATCGTCGTTTGTCTGCTTCTCTGTCTTGTTTTTCTTGACCTTTGCCCTCAAGATATCCAACTCTTTGAAATACTCTTCGCGCTCTGTCCTGTACTGTCGCTGTGCACTCTCTGCCTCTGTTCGCGCCACTACATTAACCTCTCGTTCACGTCGCACCTGGTCTGTCAGCGTGTCGATTCGCTGGCGCGACCCTTCGAGATCCTGATCCTTTGATTCGAGCTCGCTCGTGAGTGCCTCGATCTGCTCCTTCCATTGGGCCGCCTCTGACGAATCGACCCATGCATTCTTTATCTCTTCCAATTCATTTCGCATCGAAGCAATCGTCGACGCATCGCCTCTTGACTGTTTCTCGAGCTCTTTGATTCGCAGTGCCATCTTTTCATTCTCTTCCTCCTTTTCGCGAATCTCATTGTTGTAGCGATTGGCACGGTTATTTAACAAATCAATCTCTTGATCCTTGTGATTCAACTCTGATTGGTCTCGCTCTAACATTTGTGCCAACTGTTTCAATCGGTCTTTTAAAACACTACAATACTCCATTATATATTCTCCATCCTCTTCGATATCCAAATGTTCAAGTGAAGATGAAGCAGACAATGATGATTGTTGTTGTTGTTGTCCCGTTGGTTGTTGACCTTGTTGATTTGGTTGAAACATACTAAGATTAGAATAACTGACCGATTTACTTTGTCCATGTCTTCTTCTTCTTTGTATTGATGAATCTTTTCTACTTGATGAAATGATGTTAGAAACCACATGATTATAATTGTGTGATAATGATACAAATTTCAATACATACCTAACACTATTAGAACCTGTATTACTATTTACAAATAAATTATTACTATTTGGACTATTGTTTGTTGATCCAAATAGAGATGATGCTGCTGAACCAGGAGCAGAACTACCACCACTACCAGCAGCACTAGTATTACTATTATTATCACCTGACAATGATAGTAGATTTGGTTGACTGATAAATGGTAATCCTCCCCATGCAACTGTTGGATTGTTGTTATTGACAATATTGATCGAAGGTGATGTTGGGTTGATACTTATCCCCGAACTAGCTCCATTGGGAAACGGCGTAGGGAGAGTAGGTGAGGAAAGATTGATCGAATGTCGTTTATGACTATTACTAGTATCGAATATCATCATTGTCGCTGGAGGATTACTACTACTAGTTGATGAAGTGGTTGATGCAGCTGTTGCTATATGTGTTGAATCCATTGTTGTTGTTGTTGTTGTTGTTGTTGTCGTTGTTGTCGATGATAGAGTATCGCTACCATTACTCTGTTTCTGTTCAAACATTTTGTGTCGGTATAAATGATGATGATTTACTACTACTACTCCACTAGTATACTACTACTACTTCCCAAACAAACAATAAATAAAGAGGGTTGGTTTCGTTTGGGTTGCCTTGATAGATCTAGTCGGTTGTAGTTGTTCTATCTTTCTCTCTCTTTTTTCAAGTTGAAGTTGATTGATGATTATTATTATTAATAGGTGATGAGTGATGCTGCTATGGTAGTCATTAATAATCGGTCGAATACGTATAGTTACTACTTTCACTCTCTCACTCTGCAAAGAAACAAAAAAAAAGATACGAATAAAAGTGTGGTTTCTTGGATGATGTGGGTTGGGTAAATTAAAAATAATATTATCTATTTTTCTTGGTTCTACTTTGCATCAAGACAAACACAAAGATCTCTTTTACAAAAATTCGACCAACCATTAAAACAAATAAAAGAGTTCATGCTCACCAAGAAGGATCACGAACGTATCAAGCAGGTCATGAATGAGATCATCGAATCCTTCGATAGACACAATGACTTTGATACTATATATATATATAAAAGTATCTATAGATAGAAGATATATTCCCATTTTCAAGAATTTAATCATTGTTTTTGTAAACTGTTATTTATATTTCTCTTCTCTGATTATTTTTATTATTCAATCAGATGTGATATGTGTTTGTTTTCTCTCTTATTTGATTGGTAGTGACATGAATGATGCACGAACTATTTATAGATAGATTATTGAATAGATAGAGATTTTTGGTATTAATATTATATTAATTATATTATTTAAAGGGGGGGGGGGGGTTGTTGATTAAACATACCATTGATACCCAATTCATCAAACTTCTTTCTAAGTGGTTCGATGTTACCTCGCTGGTAGATAAAGGTAGGAATATTGTATTTGAGAGCAGGTTCAGCATCTTTGGGATTGTCGTCAATGTAAAAGATGTGTTTTCCATAGTCTGCCAATTTGTCTTTTGGTGCCTTTGGAAATACTTTTTGGATGAGAGCTTCGACGAATCTATCGTCTGGTTTGGTGTACCCATAGTCAAAAGAGTAGACCTCTTCGTCAAAGAACCTACGGATATTGTATTTGTTCTCGAGATAGTCAATACGTGACGATATATTCCCGCTAAATGCAACCACCTTGATTCCGTTTGCGCGTAGTGACTGTATGACCATTTGAATGTCGAGATCTGCTACATAACCATCGTACCAGAGCTTCTTGATGAGATCAACGTCATAGGTATCTGGTACATTTTTCTTGAAAAAGACATTCCAAAAGGTGTCATCGTCCATCTTGCCCGTACGCAATTGCATCGATTCCGCCGATATTAATAATTGTCTAATCAATGTTGAATCATATCCTCTTCTTTCCCATGATTGTTTAGCTACTTCTTTTCCTGCTGAAAATACAACTCCTAAAAAGTAGTATGTAATCGGATTTAAATTCAATTAATAAATCAATCTATATATGTATACCTATTTGTTGACTGTATTCTTCTTACCTCCTAAATCAAATGCAACAGCTTTAATTTCAGTACTAGCATATATATTGGTTGCTGACATGTCTCTATCTATCTATCTATCTATCTCTTTCTATGGTTTCAATAATAATAATAATAATAAATAATAATGTATTTATCTCCTTCTCTGCAAACAACAACAATAATAAAGATAAAAATGGAGTTATTAATAATTTGGTGTGATGCATCATCAGGTGACGCTTCCATGAATCAATTTAAACTCTTTTTTAATTTATTTTTTGCAACAACATCATTGCGACTGATGTTTTTAGACACGTTAAATTGACTTGTTCGCCTTTGAACCCAGGGGTCGGTCAGTTGGTTATAGTATTAGCATTCCAAATAGTGTGAATCATTCATTCATTCATCCATTCGATCATCATGTCGCTATACTCTTGTATGTGTTGCGTAGCATTAGCATAGCATTAGCATAGCATAGCATACACGTGTACTTTAGTAGTAGTAGTATTGGTAGAGATGCATTAACTTATACAGATCCTTTCTTTCTTTCTTTCTTTCTTTCTTCTTGTCTTTTCGATAAAGGGGGCAGTGGTAGCAATGGTCAACTAGGACTGGGAAACTGTGATGATGTTAGTGTACCATCTCTCGTACCTACTACTATCAATGATGGTGATGGTGTAGTGATTACTCATATTGCATGTGGTGGCTATCACAGTGGATATGTATCATCTGATGGTTCAGTACATATGTCTGGTGGCAATGACTGTGGTCAATTGGGATTAAATGATACCACCATCAACAACAACAACAACAACAAGGCAATCACACAATTCACACCAATCAACCATTTCAAACAACTGAATATCAAGATTACAAAGATATCATGTGGATGGAATCACACTGTCGCATTGTCATCTGATAATAGGTTATGGAGTTGGGGTTCAAATAGTCACTTCCAACTTGGCTTTAATACATCGTTACCCTCTTCTAATAATATCAACCCAACAACAACAACAACAACAACACTCAATAATATAGATAAATATAATAATAATAATAATATTAATAATGTTGATAAACAACAAGAAGAAGATGTTAAACCAAAACCAACTAAACAAAGAATAGTATTGGTGAAAAGAAAAATAACAAAACAAGATTCACAACCAACTCCAAGATTAATTGAAGGTGAAGGTTATCGAATGGTTGATATTGCATGTGGTATGCGTCATTCAATGGCATTGACCAGCGATGGTAAACTATTGGTTTGGGGATGTAACAAATTTGGGCAATTATCAGTTGATCAAGTAGAAGAGGAAGAGGAGGAAGAGGAGGAAGAGGAGAAGAAGAAAACAACAAAAATGATAATAGTAGTCGAAAAACCAACAATATCAAATACAAATCAACGTCGTGTTGTTAGTATGGCAACAGGTGCTAAACATTCAATAGCTCAATTTGATGATGGTCATATTTATTCAACTGGATCAAATAAATATGGTCAACTTGGAATTGGAAATACTATAGATCAAAGAAACTTTAAACAATCTATTGTTTTATTAGATGACCATGATAATAATAATAATAATAATACAAATAATTCAAATATAGACATTTATTGTGGTTGGAATAATAGTTGTATCATTAAAAATAAGAATAGTATTTATATAAGTGGTAGAGGTGATTATGGTATATTGGGAAATGGAGAATTTAATCAGCACTATTTACATTTTAAACGATTTAATCTACCAATACAACAAGATGAAACAAACAACAACTCAACCACAATGATCATTGGGTTTGCAATGGGAACTGAACATTTAATGATACTAATTAAACAACAAAATTTGGTGGAAAATAATAGTACATTATATACAGTTGGATGGAATGAACATTTCCAACTTGGTCGAGAGGAGAATGTTTATCCTGGGTGCCCCGATGGTGACAATCAATCGATTCCATACAGTGTCAAATCATTATCAAATATATTAAATTTAAATCCAAATCCAAATCCTCAATCCATTCAATTGGGTGCAAGTGGGCAATCAATGATTTATATAAATAATAAATAATAGATGTATAGTTTTTTTTTTGTTTTTCAAAAACAAATAAAATAATTTATTATAATTATTAAAAGGTGATATAATATGTAAGGGTGGCAGAAATGATGTAAAGAAGGCGGCAAATGTAAATGAAATGTAGAATACGATATGTATATATATTTGTGATACAAGTATTAATATCTTGTGTTTGTTTAAATATCGTTTGAAGAATGAGAAGCGGTAGAATGATGATTTGATTGTTTTCTCTTGCTGAGGGCTTTGGTTTTTTTGAAGGCAAGGGTGTTGTAATCTTGTTTGCCAAGATGGATTCTTCCGTGTTTCTCTCCGAGATCGTTGCTGTCGACGTTTTTGACAACCTTTGGTTGGACGGAACGATGGATTTTGAGGGCTTGCTTTTCGACGTCTTCCGATGGAATCTTGCTACGACGGAGCTCGAGGTCAAATGATGGACCCATCTCTTCCAACTCTACACGTGGTACCTTGGTACCGGAACGCTTGAAAAGAACGCTGTAGTGACGGAAGAGAATACGACCGTTGACAGCAGTCAAAATGATGACATGGTCGAGACCTGCAAGATTGATATATTCGACAACGTGTCCACGGAAGAAATCGAGAAAAGTGTTACCAATGCGTTTGGTGATGGGGTCGTTTTCAAACTCTGCACCATTGAATATGAAACATGGCTTGTTGCCAAGTCTAGAGGTGGTGGCACCTTGAAACTGTTCCATTCCCTTGTAGTTGAGTACACTAAATTCATACATGTCAAAGACCGAGTCGTCAAAGAGACGTCCGATCACCAAATTGTGTGGACGCTTATAAGAGTGTGATCCAAATGCAAACAAGCCACTAACCGACTTTTCTCCCAAAAACTCTATCGACTCGGCAGACTCCATTGGGTATATATCATTTTTCTTATTATATTGAACGGCATTTGGTTTCTTTAAAATGTACTATAGAAAAAATAATTGTTATAAGACTACTACTCTGTCTGTCTATCTATGCCGATCTTGTTTGGTTGATATACATACGAAATCCTTTAAAACATTTTGTATGATTTGTGATGACCATTTTCCTCTAATCATCATAGCTTGTTTATAATGTTCGACTTCTTGTGATTCTTTACTTCTTAAAAAGGCCTTTGCTTTTGCGCTCTTTGACATTTGTCTCCTACAATTGTAATAACATTATCATAAATTGATTGATAGATTGATAAGATAGAGAGAGAGAGAGAGAGAGAGGATATATTATATGATAATGACAAATGGTGTTAGAGATCCAATTCATAAATAACGACGTAATTATGTAATCAAACGAACGACCGACTGATCTATCGATTGATGGTTTGATAGATGACATACTTGACAAATTGTCCCCTTTAAAGTAGGGACTCTTCTACTAACTTTGCCTGTTGACATTTTATGTATATATATATTTGAAAAGGGTAAAGTTAAAATAAACAACACGAAACAAATTAGAGTGAGCTCATAATAACTACACACATAAAAAAAAACGAAACGAGGTTTTCTTTTTTTGAATTTTTCTTTTTTTTTTTTTTTTTTGCAATGGAATTCGATCGGAAAACAAATGATTAATTAATCTGTTTCAAAAGATAGATTGAACAATTGAATAATTTGATATATATAATATTTAGATTTAAAGGTAAAGGGAATTCTATTTTTTAGATTCCTTGTTTTATTAAACAAATTTTGTAAAAAGAAGAAAGTAGAGGAATTAATAATTTAAATAAAGATTACTTATGATGATGTTGATGATATGATTATTTTTATGTCATTGATTGTGATGTGTTGTTATAAGTTGTTATAAGTTGTTATTTTTTTTGTTGTGTCTTTTTTGTTTTTTTGGTTAGTAATTAATTGTTTGTTGTTTGGTTGTGTTTGGTGATTGGTTGGTGTTATTAGTTGTTTGGTTGTGTTTGGTTAGTTGATTGAATGTAACTATACAAATTAATGAAATGGTGAGTGTGTGTGTATGAATGTTGATGGTTGGTTTGGTAGTTATTATTATTATTACTATTATTAATTAGGATTAATTATTATTATTATTATTATTATTATTATTATTATTGATTATGATTTGACTATTTTAACAATTGTTGGTATTATTACTTTTTTGTTATTTTTTGGTGTTTGATTTTGATTTTGTGTTTTGATTAATTAGTTGTCTCTGCAGTTGTGGTTGTTGTTGTTGTAGTTGGTGTAGGTGAAATATATTTGTTTTGTCCAACCTTTAGACAAACACAAGTATTATGATCCATCTTTCCTGGATACAAATAATAGTCACATGGTAGTTTTTTAGTTGTATTTTGTTCCATAAAATCACGACTAGTCTGAGTGGTTTCAATGCAATGCTTGAGTAGATAGTTGGTGATGAATTCAGGTGTGAGATCGTCTTGTTTGAATCGGTCGCCAAGCCATTTGGTTCTGTAGTCATTTTTCACCTTGTCCGTCTCGACTGGATATTTTTGACCTGCTTGGTCCCAATTGTCAGCCTCTATTCCCAGATCCCTTGGTTTGATACCCAACTGCTGTGGATCCAGATTGTCATGTACACCATCACTAAGCAAGAGTATGAGATCTCCCTCATCACAATACTTGTAAAATACGCTGAGGTTTCTTAGATCTGGCTCACCATTGCCTACATAAGGTCCCAATCTTCCTCCTGGATCTCTTGCATCAGATACATTTGTTCTATTACCCTTTGTAATATCTGTAAATATTTTATTTTTTTTAGAATAATGGAATGCCTAAGAAAAAACAAACTATGTTAATGACATGTTATTATTTTTGTCTTTTTTTTGTTTAATTTTACTTACTTTACAATCACCCAAAGTTACACCAATAAATACCCAATCTGAATCTACTTCTACAAAAGATAGAGATGACATTCTTTTGAGAATGGCATTGTTATCTCTTTCCTTTTTGATTTTAGTCAACATACCACCGATAAGTGTGGTAGTACCAGCCTCCCAAACTTCACTCTTGCCAGCAATGATACCTTTGTGTGCTGCAGTCATGGCTGCCAACAAAAAGGATCCAGCCTTGCGAATAGTGTTGATAAAGTGATGGTTATCCTCTAAAAATGTCAAGAAAGCATTGGTTGCATTGGTTGCTGCTTCGTATGGTAATCTACCCCAGTTACATCCATCTGCCAATACCACCAATACCTTTTCTCTATAAATACTAATTTTAAATCTATCACAAATTGGATCTCCTTGCTACAAAAATAAAGAAAGATTATTATTAATATTAATTAATCAATTAATTGATATGTTTTTGACGTATATGTTTATATATATACATACTCTTCTACCAGTAAAATGTTTTGGATAAGATGAACCAGATTTACAATAAATAGAATTTGAATAGGATTGAGAATCCTCTGGTACATCGGTTCTTGGTCCAAACAATGTAGTAAATGGTTTAATTGGATGTGTAATAATAGATGATGATGAAAGTGAAGATGATGATGACGATGATGATTGTAATTCACCAGATTGTGCTGTACTATTATTGTTATTAATATTATTATTTTCTTGTTCGTTATTATTATTATTATCTTGATTATTATTATTATTAGTATTATTTTCAATTGGTTGTTCTGTTGTTGTTGTTGTTGTTTGAGTTGATGATGATGGAACCCATTGTTGTTGTCGTTCCGGTTGTTGGGGAGATGATGATTGAATACTATTATTACTTATTGATCTTGATTTATAATTATCAATATAAATCAATGGTAAAGAGGAACAAAGTTTCTCCTCCATGACGGTTGGAAAGATTACCAGGGCAGCAGCACCAGACTTTAAAAAGGCAGATTTCTTTTGTACAGGTTTGTTCTTGTCGTATTCGGTGATGAATGATCTAAAGTCACTCTTTTTGCTCTCGATAATGCTGCGAAGTTGTTCTTCATAACGTTTCCATTCGCTTACATCTCCATCACCTTCGCCTTCCCGAGTGAGTTCCTTTTCACCATTGGGTTGTTGTTTTCGTGTATTGGTATTTCTTTGGATAATAAGGTCTTGTAATAATCTCTCCAAGAATTGTATCTCTAATAACAATGTCTTTGATATATCATTACTATTATTATTATTGTTGTTGGATGATGATGGTTTAGAGGGTGATAATTGTTGTTGTTGTTGTTGATGATGATGACTATTGGCACCATTTAAACTACTACCATTACTATTCACTTGGGTAGTACTAGTTGCTGTATCGCTAGTACTAGTCTTACCAATACCATTTGTGCTGTCTGACAAACTAATAGATCCACCAGCATTGAGAACTGATTTACCTCCAGTACTGTGTATTTGGTTCATTGAGATACTCAAACTCTGGTCGTTTGAGCTAGTAGATAGTGTACGAAGCACTGTCTTTGTGCTGTTTCCGCTGTCGTCAACCTCTAACGAAGTAGACCCCTTTGTCGTTGAAGATTTACTCATACTTGTGCTCAGATGACTATTGTTACTATGATTACTACTATTGTGATTGTTAATATTATTGTTGTTGTTGTCTGTAGATGATTCAAGAGTGGAGGGAGGTGTGGTGGATGAAGAGGACAACGGAGATGTCGACAATGAAGAGGAAGAGGTAGATTGAGGGGATGTTGAAGGTGGAAGAAAAGAAGAGTGAGTACTTTGACAAGACTGCTTCTTTTTCTTTCCAAAGAACTGAGTTATCTTATCCAGGTTATCGTACTTTTTAATCACACAAACTTGTGTCTGGTGATTGATTGATACTACTATTCTATCTTGTTCTGGTTGGTTCCTACTTCTCTCTTGTTTTTTTTTCTGTCTAGACAGTTTTCTGTCTTTTAGTGATAGGTAGGTAGGGTAGACAGGAGATGAGATGAGGGAAGGGTTGCTACTATTTGTGTTGATGATCAACTATACACAAACTCTATGAAAATGATGATTTGATTTGATTTGATGAACGATAGATACTACCCTACTTAAGCTCTATAGTGTTTGCCGCCGATATTATTATTGATTTGGTTGATTGATTGGTTGGGGAGAATGTGAGGAGGAAGAGGGTAGTTGGTTGGTTGGTTGGTTTGTTAAGTTGTGTAGAGTAGCAGCCTTGCTTAAAGCGGTGTAAACAAATATATTTTTAACTTTGTTGTGAGAGTGAATCAAAATATCTTCTTTTCTTTCTTTGTTTTGTTGTTTGGTTTGGGCGCGGATGGTTGCAACGATCGTCCTTTCTTTCTTTCAACACAACCCTTTTTTGACTTAAAATGTCTTTAAGATGTAATACGATCTAAGTGTTTATTTATCTATCTATCTATCTATCTAGTAATATATCTATCTAGTACTTTATTTAATATCATTATTTTTTTATTTCTCATTTAAACTTTTTGTTTTTTTTTTTTTTTTTCTGTGGTGAAATATTAAGTCGAACTCACTTTGGATTGGGTATTACTCAGGGTTTGACTTATAACGCATGTATGGATAGACAGATAGATATATATTATATATAGATAGGATAGATATGGACATGAACGTGGTTGTGTATATGTTCAAAATGGTGTTACCCTTGCTCAAGAAGAATCTGGAATAAATCTTAAAGAGTTTCCAAAAAAACCCATATCTTGTGATCCAAACCAATACCATCCATCCCAAGATGATATATTATCTTTGATCGATCAATAGGATCGATCTATTGAATAGGTGAGAGATTGGGTATAAAGAAATAATTATTATATTTTTTTTTAAGGTTTTTATTATTATTTATTGTTTATATTATTTGTTTGGTGTTTAGAGAGTATTATTATTATTATTTATTTATTTATTTACGAGTCAATGTCATCATCTGATGGCTTGTTGGTAAACTTTCTCCACAAGAATAAACCAAAACAAAGAGCAATCAAAGCGACATAAATAACAGTACCGATGAAAGCACCACTAGAAGCCGTTGCTTCTTGGCTGGAAGTCCATTGTTCTTCACCTTCAGCCTTGTGATATTGATTCTTGATAGCACCTCCAATTGATAACTGAAATGATAAATTAAATTAAATTGAATTGAATTGGAATATTATTATTATTAGTATTTAATATTCCTTTAAACCAAAAAAAAAAACACTATAACTAGTTGATCTTTGGTGTTATACATACCAAACCAATTACACCGAATAAAGAGAAAACCATACAGCAAATGGAACATGCTGGTGGTGGGAATTGATAGCAAGCGCCACCTGGTGAGCAGATTCCTCCTTGTTTCTTCTTTGCCATTTTTATATATATATGTATGTATGTGTGATTATTAAAGTATTAAACTTTGATTGGGTGTTGTTGTTGTTGATTATACAATAAACAAATTGAATACAATCTGTTTAGTCGAACAAAGTATGAAGAACCTAAAAGGAAATAAAAAGATTAAAAAAAGGTTATTAGTTATTTATAATTAATACACACAACTGCAATATATATATATAACTATCTATCTATCTATCTATCAATCTATAATCTATCCATCCATCACATAGTATTATTATTTATAGTTATCTGTTGCTAGTTCAAGAGTATAGTTGTTGATTGTTGCTTTTTGAAAAGAAGTACTTCTTGACTAAACTCAAACTCTTCTATCTGCAAGTAATTGTTCTATTATTTTGCTTTGTTGTTGTTGTTGGTACTATCTATCTAGTATATCCAATCGAGTAGTGTATTCGTTTGTCGTTCGCTTGTTGTTGTATCGATAGATATAGATATATATATATTATCTTATAAGTAATATTGTGTATTGTTAATGATCCCTACTTTTTTAATGGTTACAAAGTGTATTAACTAAAATACTACTATTGGATGTGTTGGAAGGTGGATACAAAAGTAATTACTACTAGACAAGTGCTAAAAGTAATAAACTTGATGAATAATAATAAAAGGGTAGAGAGTGAGTGTGGAAAGGAGGGATTAGAGAAAAACAAGACTTCTTCTTTATAAATATAAAACCTCCTCTCTTGCACGCAACGTTGGTGTTGATATGATAATTTTTTTTCAATTTTTGAATTGAAAGTTCTTTGAGCGACGAAAGGGCTGCCTGGGGTTGCATAACGAATATCCACCTCCCAGTTTCATTCTCTCTCCCAAGCATCGTAACACTTGACTTGTACAAAAAAAAAAAAAAAAAAAAACCAAAAATAATACAAACCTATTCTACCTACCTCCTCACTCCACTCTATTCACTCTATCCTACATATTCCTATCACTTTCTAGAGTACTCAAAATCAATCTATTATATATTTCAATCATACATAAAGAGTATAGTCATGGCTTTAAGTAATTCAGGAACTATCGGTGTCGTCTCTGGCGTCATTTTTGGTGTAGCTGCTCTCTTTTCTATTTATCCACCAGTCCAAGATAAGGGGTATGTTTAAACATTAGAGAGCTCTCTAAGCGTTGTGGAGTAGAGTTAAGATATAGATAGATAGATAGTACTGTATAGGATAGGAACAACAATAACAGTACTATGCGATACAAACACTCTAAACTACTACTTCATGAATGGGTTTTCTCTCTCTCTCTGCCGTTATTGTTTTTGACAATACTGATAAACTAATTATAATCTCTCCTTTTATTTATAGATTGTGTCGTATTCTTCTTCTTACTACTGCTATCTGTTTGTGGTCATTGTAGGTTTCAATAATAATAGTAATAGTAATAACAGCGATGTATTACAACGATGAATACATTTGATAATGACAAGACACATACCGTATGAACGAGTTGTTGAACCAACATATGTCATGTGTTTTATATGTCATTACATTTTGGATAATCAATGTTTAATATGCGATACGATTTGAATGATTGTCTGTCGAATGGACAAACGACGACATACATAACATACAAATCATTACATTCATTTATATACATTTATATTAACCAATTTCCTTTCATTTTTGTATAGATGGATAGTTTGTTTCTTATCTCAAATGAATCCAATGGCTATTCCAGAGCCACAAGATCTCCCAGGTACTGATTAAATTAATTAAAATAATAATAATAATAATAATAATAATAATAATAATAATAATAAGAATATACCATAATAATATAAATTTAAATTTCATACCGCCCAACAAATAACAACAACAAATAATAATAATAATAATAATAATAACTATAATATGAAATATCATAACTTACCAACAATCTCCCCTACTACTTTACCTATACCATCATCATCAATCATACCTCTTTTCCACCAATTATTGTTTGCCAAAACAAACATTACTTTACCACTGTTAATATTAATATAAACGATGATTTGGAATTGATCTCTCAATCATCTTCCCTTTTAACAAATACATTATCGATCCAAAAATTCTTTCTTTAATAAAATGAAAATAATTATAACAAAATCCCTCCCATTAAGCCATCACCCACCATGGTGACTGGTATGTTGATATGGATCCAGAACTTTGAAACTGGCATTCATTATTTTATTCCAAAGTAACAAAAGATTGTTGTTTTATGTTTTATGTTTGTTTATATACAAGTTGAATATATTCTAGAAAGAGATCAGGTGAGGTTAGAGATACAATGTTGTTAGGGTTACCTCTTGCTTGAATTGTCATGAGAAAGATAGTTTACTTACAAATGTAAAAGAGGTGTTTCGTTGTTATATTATATTATTATAAATTATTGATTTCGATTATTATTATATTATTATTGTTGTTGTTGTTGTTGTTGATCACCCGAACCTCTTAATCTCTTCTTTAAGACCTTTCCTTGGTTTTCCTCTTCAGCAGTGATTTGGTGACCAAAGTCGTTGATGTCTTTAAAGTCGTTCATACCCATCTTGTACATTGAGAATGCGTAGACACCGATTGAAAAGAGTGCAAGAGCTGAAAAGATCTTTACATTTCCTCTAAGTCTTTCTCTGTGATATTGTGATACCATTCTGTTATTATTATTATTATTACTATCTGTATATCTATTCAATATGCAAACACACAATGAAAGTATTGAAAGATCGGCGGTCAGTGCATTCATTCATTGTTTGAAAATTTTCAAACTCTTTGTCTTCGAATGCATCATCATTTGATCATTTGATCGACGCTTATTCTCATTCAAGGATAGATTCATCGGTCCCACTTGATCAGAAGCATAGATAGATAGATAGATAGATATGGATATTATTAAAGATGATGGTGCATTATGTAAATCAAAAATAATAGTTAAAGAGATTACAGCAAAGAAGAAGAATACAAATACAAAGAAAACAACATCGACCACTACTACTACGACTACAACAAATGAACAACAAGAAGATACACAATTAGAAACTATTATACATCATATCAACCAGCATCCATTCAATCAATCTGTTCATGTAGTTGTACCAGTTCAACCTGATGCATCATCATCGGCATCATCTACAACAACATCAAAAGCTACATTATTGAGTTCAATGTCAAAATCAAAGAGTAAATTGGAAGATACTATTGCAACTCATTTCCTTCAAAGAGCAACATCCTCATCCTCATCCTCTTCATCTTCATCATCAACAAATGATCTGTTGGTTCAAATTCAAGTATCATTACACCAATTGATCAATTATCAATTTGTAACCAATTGTATTGTTAAAGGTATGTGATTATCATGTATTATGTATTAGTAGCATATATTAACTTTGACTGTAATAATAGGAGAATTTATTGGATTATCACAACTAAGTGGATTGGATAGTGGAAATGTAGTAGCCTTTTTGGCAAATGGAACGGTTGTATTAAATGTAAATAAGGAGACGTATGAAGTATTGGGATTGACAGGAAAGCATTCAGCATTTAACAAGGGTCAACGATTCATAATCACAATCAATCTGATGGAAAAGAAGTACTCGACCGAGGATGGATACAAAAGATTGAATTGGTGTTTTAACCAACGTATTGGAGACATCAATCTATTGTGTAGAATGTCAACAAATGCATTTGAAAGATTGAAATCACTGCCACACAAGGTATTGGCCAATGACATTGATTTTAGCTTTGACAGTATTCACTTGCCATTGGATATAAAAGACGTTACACAGATCATCGATAAACAAGAACAACAGGAATTGGTAATGGCATTGAACGAGGTGATTGGTACTTGTATATGTGGAGTGGTCACTCCATTCAACGTTGACTTTGTATTGGCTGGTCAAAAAAAGAAATCAAAAGATAATGGATCTTCAGAGAGTCAATTTGATAGTTATTCATTTATTAGTAGTCCAGAGATTGACAACAACAACAACAACAATAATAATAATAATAGTGTCTCGCATAGTAGTCAAACATTCATTTCATTTAAAAAGGGAATGATTTTGCCAAGTGAGATTGTGCCATTGGCCAAAGAGTGTAGACAATTGGTTGCAACTGGAAGTGCTCCGTGGGCAGCCGTACATGTTTCCGGGTTTGCAGATTCACCCATATCCTGGGGTCTAAACGAACATGCCTATGGACTATCAGGTGAAAATGACTATACTTTAGTCTTTCAAAAAAATAACAAGTGTTGTTTACATTTTATTTTAAATTCTTCTGATACCTTTTCCTAAATCGATAGTCAATAATAAATCTCCCATATCTATGATGGATTAATTTAATTTATATAAAAGAAATTGATTTGTTTCTAAATATTTTGAAAAGAATTTTTGACCATCACAAGTTGGAGTTGTAGTACATAGTTCATTCTTGGAGAGATGGTATCCGTAAAACATGTTTCGACGGAGACTATCGATGAGTTTACTTGCGATTCCCTTTCTACGACTACTTGAACATGTCCAAATTCTATTGATTCCACATTTGACCTTTTCACCTTGTTTGTTGGTGCTGAGAGTGGTGTCTTCTTTTTCCTTATTCTCCAAAATACGGTATGCAGTATTGGCACACTCGGCAAACAAACAACCAAGTACTTGACCATTCTTGTCCATATACATTAATAATTTCTTTTCATCATCATCATCATCATCTTCTTCTTCCTTGTCTTGATTCTTTTTTTCATTATTATTATTATCACCAATATATCCCAATTGATCGTTCACCATCTTTTTAATTGCATCAATCTTTGACTTGATTGGTCCATTATTCTCATCAATATTTATACAAACTATTCCATCTCCATTTTCAAATGAATTTAAAATCTTTAAAGTATTTGCCCAATTCTTTCGAAAATAGAATAAATGAATTATTAATATCTATCGATCTATATACTTTCTTTATAATTTATATATTTTATACATACTTTTATAACTATTTTAGTTGGATTTAAAGTAGCAGAACAGTATTTATTATGAGCTTGTTCATCTTCTTTACTTCCTCTAAAGTATAACATTTTACACTTTTTACATACTGTTTGACCAGCATTTTTTTGTCCAGCATCGATAAATGTTTGTTCCAAATTGGCAACACCATATCTATCGCTTTCCGATATTGCAAATGATTTGGTATTTGATTTCTTCTTTGTGGTGGACAGAGCACCTGTATTTTTATCTAAAATCTTTGATGGATTGTTTGAAAATGCATTTAATGATGCTTGTTTCCAATCCCATACTTTAACATTACTACCACCAATACTATTATTATTATTATTATTATTTTGATTATTATTTAATTTTGGTTTAGCAGGTGATAATGCTAATGATTCAATTAATTTTGATCGAGTATAAGTTGAAGAGGTTGGTGATAATGAAGATGGGATGGTCACTTTTTTAGTTTCCAATTTTTGTTTCTTTTTTGTTTGTTTATTATTATCACTATCCTCTTCTTTATCTTCTTTTTCTTGTACTTTTTTTAAAAGATTATCTTGTTGTTGTTGAGTTGGTTTGAAATAATCATATAGATTTGATATACTTCTTTTACAAGTTGTATCACTACTACTATTAGTAGTTTCTAGTAGTGATTTGATAGGTGATGTCTCTAGACTTGTTGATTGTAATATGCTGGTTGACATGTCTTTCTTAAATTAATTAAATAAAACACTGAAATCAAGTTCATACAAAGTTGTCCGAAATGTTTTTACACCCAAATCAAACGGAAAAAATTTCAAATTCAAATTTTGGAACTTCCAACTGGAAGGATGGGTACTCAGAATTTTAAAAAATAATGTTTACCAATCATGATGAGGAATCGATTTATATTTATTGTTGATAGTAGTTCTATATACGCCATTTTATTTTAATATAATATTTATAATACAAAAGAAAAAAAAAGTATACATGGTATTATTAATATTATTGTGAATTATTCGGATCGGATTTTTGGTTATTATTTCTATATTATTTGTTTGTTTGTTGTTGATATATATATATATATGTTGTGTGGGTGATATTGTTTCCTAGGTTTAATTATTTTTTTTTGTTTTGTTTTGTTTTGGTTTGTTTTCTTTTGATTTGAAAAAAAAAGTGTTGGGAAATGAAATGATAATTAAATAGTTTAATCATCAAACATTGCAGAACTACCAGTTGGATTGGCAACAGCAGTAAGGAATTGGTTACGACTGTACTCGGAAACGGCATTGGTGTTGGTGTTTTTGACACCAGAGATACCGTGTCCCTTTGGCTTGGCTGGAAGCTTGTCAAGGGCGATCTTGGGAAGACCGTCGTCTTGGATGGGGTTGTAGATCTTCCAAAACTTGGAGCCGAGGAGAATGAGGAGCGAAGAGAACGAGGTAAAGATGGCAACCGACGAGATAATGGCGTCACGTGATCTTTGTGAGGTGATACCGGCCATGAGGGGGACAACGATAAAGGTGGTGAAACTGATGAGGTAGGTGACGGTTGAGAACTCGTGTGTCTCTTCAAACTCTTCGAGATCAACACGTCTGGTTCTCCAAGAGATGTAGCAGCCGTAGAGAAGTTGGAGTCCGTGGTAGACGAGGATGATGTAGAGCGTGATGTCACCGTTGAGGTTGTTGACACAGTTTTGGGTGTACTCGTACTTGCCGATACCGTCCAAGCCAAGACTGTCGATCTTGTTGGGGTCACCAGTACCAGTGTAGATGGCGAGCAAGATAACATCGATGATGAGCAACACTGACAACCAGCTGTAGACACGGTCTGGAGTGATAGGTGAGATCTTGTCGGACTTTTTACGCAACAACTCTTCAAACTTGTAGTAGATACGAGTGTTTTTAACAATCATGAGACCAATGATAAAGGTGTAGCCGAGTGAAGCCATCCAAATACGTGACACACAAATACCCCTGTTCTTTTCGTGGAGATTCCAGAGCAAGATGGCAACGGCCACCAAGATGGCACCCAAAGCCAAACCAAAACAAAAGAGAATGTTTGAGTAGGCAATTGGCAACTTGTTTCTAAAGATGATACAGGCAACAATGGCAATAAGACCACACAAGATTTGGATGGAACTGACAGCAAGGAATGTGTTGTTGACACCAGCAGTATCATAGACCTCGGTCGTTGGCACGGCATAGTATCCATAGTTGGTGACACTCGAGTACATCTCCTCCATGTCCAACATGTCATGGTAACTTACACATTGAGCGTCAAAGAACTCAAGGTTGTTTGCTGAACAACAATAGGTATCGGTTTCATTATTAACAAGTTTGTTAAAAACAAGAGCAATGTCTGCTTGTGCTTCAGCTGGAACCTAACAAAATTAAAATAAATAATAATTAAATCAATGGTTAGAAACATTTATGGTCTATGTCTGTTTGATTTAGTTTTACTTACAAGATATGAATAATCAGATAATTGATAGAAACCATTGGCAAAAGTAGCATAGTAGTGAGTTGATTGCCAATTTCCATCCTTGATCAATTGAGCAAAGTGAGAAAAGATGGTGCTATAGTCATAGACGATACTTTGGAAGATACGTGATCCGTATCTAATGTCTTGGGCAAATCCGTTGGATCCAAAGGCATTGAGACCTCTGGCAAGGTAGTGTTCAGAGACAAGCATATCATCTTGGGATTGAGTGACGGCTGTAATGGCTTGATCCTGTTCGAGGATGTTGATGGCACCGAGAGCAGTGTCATGGTCATTGTAAGAGCTGGTAGAGACGACCGACAAGTTAAAGATAGCGTTGGAAGCTCTAGCACCGTTGAAAAAGGCATTGACAGAGTAGTAGTTCTCGACTGGTGGACCGGGGACGACAAAACCGACACTAGTAGAAACCTTGCCTGCAATGTAACCGAGCAAGTAGAATGGAGCGACGAGGTCACGACGGAAGGAGGCCATGTTCTTTCTGAGGCTTGGGAGTCTCTCTTGATTGGTGTGGTCGTTGACAGCGACGAGGAAGAAGCACTCTGGGTGGTCTCCGGCAGCGTCATAGGCAGCGTCGAATTGGCTGTCTGCGCCAGTGATGAAATAGTTGAAGCCACGATCAGCCATATCAGAGATGGTCGAGTAGGCCAAGTCGTAGGTGCTAATGTCTTCGACGACGAGATTACCAGATGTGTTTAAAAAGGCTTCGGTCTCTCCAGCACCCTTGTTGATGACATAGTTGGAAGCGAGATCTCTCAAAGATCCCTCCAACAGTACACCCATTCTAATGGGTGCTTGTTGTTGTGCCTCGGTGGTACCCAACAATAAAGTACCAATAATAATAAATACTACTATTATACATTGTTGTAATTGACTTATAATACATGTTTTGTTGTTTGTGTTGTTAGATCTCCCCATCATTTTCGTTTTTAAAATTACAATTGTGGTGATGTGTGTTTATCTGTTCTACTATCTATTGTTATCTATTATTGTTGTAATGTTACACTTATTATTGTTACTTTGTTTGTTAAATATATAAATAAATAAATAAATAATAAAGAGATATAGAGATAATAGTACTATTGGTTTGGTTTTTTTGAATCGACGATCTCGTCTCGACAAACTCGTATAACTCGTATAAGAAATATAAAAAAAAAAAAGAGGAGATAATGGAGATATATGTTAAGGATCTCTCTTTTGTCTTTTGTGTGTCTGCGGTCTTTTCGAAAAAACTTTGAAACTACAATAATCAAATCAATTGATTGGTCTAAAGGTTAGGTTTTTTTTGTTTTGTTTTGTTCCTTGTTGCTCACTCGATGGTCAAGTACTTATTAATAATTAATTATTTTAATTCGGTTGTGTCACAGCAGACAGAGAAAGACGGTGTTGTTTTCTGTTGTATCTCAGCGCGTCGTTGGTTTATGGGGGGTTGGTGTACTAGTAGGATGAAACTAAACTCTTCTCTCTCGTCGTCTTTGTCTAGTCGTTGGCCAAAAAGGGGACAAGTTGGCAGTGGCACCATGGTAACTAAACACCCCACTCACTCGTAATAATACTTTGATAAGGTCCCTTACCCACCCTTCGTCGTTGACGCACTATAGACCAAAGACGGCTTGTGTCGTTTTTGTTTTTAAATGTGTTTGTCGGTTTTTACATGAATTTTTAAACGGATTCGCTTGTATCTGTTCTCCTTATAACCAGCCAAACTCCATAAATAGCAGTTAGTCGCTCGATTGATATTTTCTAATGTCAGATTTCCTTCACCATTTTTGAAAGTGATTCAAAACCCATCGTCAATAAATAAATTCAAACTGTTTGTTTGATTGGTCAAAAATATAACATTGCAATGGGTTTGGGTGGATGGATGGATGGATGGTCGATAGATTGTATTGACGTTCGATTAACCTGATCTTGATATTAGTTGGTTTAGTGGTTTGTCGTAAGTAATGTTTGGTGGAATATCTCGTGGTACAGATTCAAAGACGTCTTGGTACTGAGAAGACACATTAAATTGAATAACGAGCACTTGACTGGTATCCAACATTTTCACACTTTTCAAAAGACAAGGAGTTTGATGAGGGTCGAGATCTTCCGCTTCAGACTTCAACTTGACTCGAAGAAGGTTTAATTGATATCTATAGCTATAGAACATGAGAACCTGATGAGATGCAATAAATATATTAACACAAACAAATACACGTGTTGATAGATAATGAAATTTCATGTATGTGAAGTTGAATCAAAATAAAATAAAAAATTTTAAACTTGTTGACTCATCAGGTCTCTTGAAGGTTTAATTTAATTAAAATTTATATGATTCATAAATTTAAATATAGAATAGAGATAACAATAATCATAATAATAAAGATAATCAGAGATAGGATAGATAGATAGATAGAGAAAAGAAGAGGAAGAAGAGGGAAAGATGGATTTATTATACCAAGTTAAAGCGGTCATTATAATGGATACCAATGGGAAAAGAATATGTAGCACATTCTATGATCAAGATAGTGAAGAGTTAAAGAATGAAAAGTCAAGAAGAGACTTTGAGTTAAAGTTACATCAAAAGTCCAAAGGAACAAATTGTTTGTATCTCTACGAGACTATAAACTACAACATCTGTCTGTACAGTGATTATTGACATCTACTCTCTTTTGTTCTGTTGCAAACAGGTGAATTGGAAGTAATTGATAATCATATAGCAGTTGGTTGCAAGACTGGTGACGTTGTGGTATTTGTGGTTGGTAAGAATAATGATAGTCTCAATGAATTGGCATTGGCCGATGTTTTACAGGCACTTCTCAATTGCATGAGAAGAGTTTGTCAAACAGAGGAATCAAACTATATTTCAAAGAAGGGTTTACTATCAAATTATTCTACTTTGGTTATGTACATTGATGAAGTTATTAGTGATGGGTAAAATTTGAACAACCAACCATTCAATATATATTTAAATATATTTCCAGCTGACTAACTCTTTTTTATTTTGTATATATAGAATTATATTTGAGGTGGATGAAGAGATTATAGCTGGTAGAACACCTGTCAGTGATCAAAGTTTAACAGATTTAAATAATGCCATTGAAACTGCAAAAGAAAAGTTTGCATTGTTTACAGGTGTAAGGAGATAGGGAGATGACAAACAAACAAATATATATTCAAAATTAGGAACATTCCAAATGTCCATGTAATCTAATAATATAAATGATCATCATTCATCTTACATCCAATAAAAGAAGAAGAAGAAGAAGAATTGTAATTTTTGTAAAAAGAAAAGAAAAAGAAATATATATATTGATATATTTTAGGGGTTTGGATGGTTAATATTATTAGTTGATTATTATTATTATTATTATTATTATTATTATTATTATTATTATTTGATTTAAGAAGAAGATTCAGCAGTAATTGATAACATATTAATATCTACTTTTTTGTCAACCTCTTCTTTTTCTTGCTCTTGTTCATCTTGAGTATTTTCAATGGTTGTAATTTTATCAGTTTGAGGAGAGTTTGAAGGAGTAAATTTAGATACAAGTTTAAGCCAATACTCACCAACCAATTCGTTAATTTTGGTAGTGAGTGTATTTAGATGTTGAGTGATAGTATTCTTGATTCTAGTCTCGACAGTGGTTGTAATTGTCTCTGAAAACTTGCTAATAATGAGATTGTACAACCATTTTGCCTTTCCTTTTTGAATGATAACTTCCAACTGTTCAATATTGAATACAATCTCTGTAATTTTAATCTCTGGTGTAGAGTTTAATAGACTATTGGATTGATTGGGTGGTGATTTAATGACCTCTGAGCTAGAGGTAGATGGACTATCTATACCACCGATGGAAGTCTCCTGTGTTGGAGTATTTGGTTCTGTAGTAGGTTTAGTTTCAATTTCAAAGGTGATAGAACAACGTCCACGACTAGCGTCAGCATTGGCAGTACCAACATCCTTGAAATATGGGAAACCTTCTTGATTAAACGACCATTCAAAGTTTTTAAGTTGTGCAGTAAAGTCATTGACCGATACAGTGATGCTCTTGTTATTCTCTCCAAAGTCCACATTTACATTTTCAGGTTTGATTCCCAAGCCTGCAAAAACAAGTTTAGCTATACTATATTTAAATCCTTTTGCAACTCCATTTACAGTTGGTATTTGAACCTTTAATAATTGATCTGTTATAAATGGTACAATTGTATTTTTAATTTCTTTAATAAAACTAAAGAAAAAAAAGTAAGAATAATAATAATTAATATTGTTATTTCCAATTAAATTATAACAAACAATATATTTTCTACATACTCTTTGTTTTGTTTTAAAAAGTCAATTAATTGTTGTTTTGATTTAACTTCCTTTACAAACTTTCCACCCTTTTCCAAGATGTTTTTGAAATCTTCTTTTTGGGTGATTTCACCAACTAGTTTGTTTGATTTAATTTGTTCATGTACATTTGTAGCCAACTTGCCACCTCTCTCTATCAAAGCTTTGATTTCCGGACTATCTCTTGAGAAATGTTTGGAATCATCGGATAAAAAGTCCAACAATACACTCTTTCCATCATCCAACAATGATGTAACTTCTTTGTTACCCTTTAATTGATTAAATATTTCTTCTCCTTCCTAAATATAAAATGTTATATTAGTTAATCAAAAACCTCTTTAGTTATGTTTATATTATTTATCTATATATATAGATATTTACATCAACAATTGATTTAAAAGTTGGATCTTTTTCTTTTAAAGAATCAACCCATTTCTTTCCTTCAGCAATACCTTTTTGAATGGTGATTCTAGTTTTCTCTTCTTCTTTGATGTCAAAGAACATCTTTTTCATTCTTTCAATGTAGAGTGAGCTTTGTTCCTTGTCTTTAAACTCTTTGATGAGTGAACTGCCATTCTTGAAAAGTGATTCAATTTGTTCTCTTGTTACGGTTGCATCCTTTGACTTGATGCTCTCTAAAAGGTTCTTTCCTTGTTGCAACATGTCTTTAACCTTTTCTTCATTCTTAAAGTAGTTCAAGACATCTTTGTATTCTCCAAGGATTGCTTGTGCCTCTTTATTCTGCTTTGCCTTTGCCAACAACTCCATACCCTTCTCCATCAGTTGTTTGGCTTCCTCCTTTTTCATGATAGTGTCTACCAATGTTTTACCCTCTTGAAATAGTTCCTTTCCACTCTCCATCGCCTTGATTTCATTCATCAATTGGTTAGAGTGTTCTATTAATACTCTACCATGTTGCACTACCTCAATCTCTATGCTCTCATCTAGTTCTTCTTCTTCCTCTTCCTCCTCCTCCTCTAATGATATTGATTCATCTGATACTTCTTCTTCCATTTATGTATATATTAAATTGAATAATAAGAAAGATATATAAATATATAAATATAGATATATATATATGAAATATGAATACGAAATAATTATTAGAATTTTTGGATGATGATTTGATGTCAGTTGATCGAGCCCGAAAATTTAATATTTATATTATTTTTTTATTCGTACTAATAATACTGTCACATAGAATGTCTGAAATGGTTTTAACAAGTTTAATATTAATAATATTAAGAGATAATAAAAAGTCAAAAAAAGAATATATGTTGTATTGTCTAAATAAATGATCATTTTTATTTAAGCTTATAATAATATTGTTCATTCACATTCACATTCAAAGGGTAAGGTACGTATTATGATCAAGAGAGAGTTAACTAAACTATTTTTAATATCTGTTAAAAAGAAATTGAAAAAGTTAGTTTATATGTTTAAAAGAGAGAGATAGAGAAAAGAACAAATATTAGGAGGTATTGGTTCAGAGATCTTGATGATAGTGTTAAACTCATCAGGCCGTCAGAAGTAGCATTAAATTTTCATCAGTCCGATACCCCATATTTGTTATTTGATTCTTTTCTCTGTGTTGACTATAAATGATTTGATTCATACCTTTTGAAGAGATAAATTATGAAAAAACGAATGTGTCTCTGCTTCCTTTTGTCTGCAACACCAAAGCCGCACAAGAAAAAAGATTAAAATTAATTTTTATTGTTTGTTTGCCAAAAAAGACGAACACAATTTACAAAACTATGTAATCAGGTTTTTTACAAAGCTCCAAATTAGCTTGACGTGCTCTCAAAGATCAATTTAATCAAACAATATATCTAATCTAAAAGGATAGATAGATAAGTTACAATGAAAAGAATCATAGTAGAGTATAGTCCAAAGATTAGATTTAATGTACTATCAGCATCATCAATGTCAAACGTTAACAGTAATAGTTCAAGATGGAGTGGTATAAGTAATATGGTATTTGGTTATGCTAATAACAATAGCAATGTAAAGACTACAACTGCAACTACAACTATGACACCTTCACCTTCATATAAAAGAGAATTTAGTAGTTCAACAACACAAGAATCAATATTGGAAGAATTGAATAAGAACCTTGATTACTATTACCATTCAAATGATCCAAGTCATAGAGATGTGATGCAAAAGTTGGCCGATAAATTGGTTGAATTGGATGCAAACAACTACAAGAGCCATCTAAAGAGCTCGACAATCTATGGTGAAAAGTTGGGAGACTATGAACACGCTGTCAAAGACTTGAGAAAGTCGATAGAGTTGATGATCAGACAAAAGGTGGCTATGGGTGACATGGTACACCACTTGCATCAATTGGCATCATACTATCACAAGATGGATATGTACGAGAGTGCTGAGGACGTGTACAGACGTGTCCTCAAGATTGCACCCGACAATACTGCCAATATGTTGTTGTTGGCATCGAGTTGTGTCGCACGTGGAGACTATACTGCCGAAGTATCAGGACTCTTTAAAAAGGTGTTGTTCAAAGAGACTGAAAACATCAATGCAATGCTTGGACTGGGAACATGTCTAACATCGTACGGACAGTTGCCAGAAGCTGAAAAGTTGTTCCAACGTGTCATTGACCTCAGCAACAAGAAGCCAAAGGAAACACTTGGTCTCGTTGCCACTATGATTGTACACGAGAGTGCACTTCGACTCGGACAACTATTCCAATACAGAAATATGAATGAAAAGGCAGTAGGTGCATTCCAAACTGCTCTCAGTTATCATCCAACTCATCATGCCACCTCTCTAGTACTTGCTAAAACACTCATGGATATTAATCTGCATGCACGTGCCTACAATGTTATAGTTGATTCTTTTAATCATCCAAATGAAGATATTGTATGTATAGTAGAAAGAACAATAGTTATTTAAATATATATATATAACTAATTCATTTTATTTTATTTCATTTTAAAGGGAGAAACAATGGCAATGATGGAAATTCAAATAGATTGTTTGAGACATTTGAAAAAGTATAGAGAAGCATTAGACTTGGCACGTGATTTGGAGAGTAAGATGATCGATTGTGGTGAAGCATATTTAATACCAAGAATGAATTTATTGATAAAGACAATCGATACAATGATCAATTTTGTATCGGAAAGAATCAACAAGGAGAATCAGTTTTCGTTGACTGATTTCCTCGCCAAGAAGGGTAAAACAATCAAAAAGGCTAGAACAGAGGAAATCGATGCCATTGCAGACTACTCCAACTCTATCTATCAGGATTTATCCAGTGCCGACGTAAGTGATGCCAATTCAGTCATATTCTTTGATGACGTTGCTTCACTCTACAGAGACATCTCAATTGGTGCCATTCTTTTAATCAACAACAAATCAAAATTTGAACCAAAAGATTTTGCAGAGTATAGTAAATACCTTGTAGATTATTATAATAGTTTTTGGGTAAAAGAATAAATAATAATAATAAGAAATCAAAACGGATATTATATATATATTTAAAAATATAATTATGATTTATAATTATTATTAATTTTGTTTTGTTTTGTTTGTGATATTACTACAATTTACCAACTAAATGATACTACTATTGTCTTGTTGTTTGTCTATCTATCTCTATCTCCTCTATCTACCATTAATATTATAATGATAGGGTAAAGAATTTTTTGAAAATCTTTGACTGTTGTTATCATAGTCGATGAGTAAACTAGTGTGATCGGATATGGGTCCAAATGTGTCTTTACCTCCGGATCCATTTGAAAATGATTGTTTTGGTCGACAACATCCAAAACACGAAAAGAACTCTCTGTATGTGCCAAAGAAATATTCGTCAATAATTCCATATACCATCGAATTGATGAATCCTTGAAGTGGTTGGAATATCGATTGTAACAGATACAATACAAATATCGGATTTTGTGGATAAAGATAGTTTTGAACTCTATTTACAAGTGATGGTAACTAAAATATAAAAAAATAATAAAATATATATTAATTAATATCTAATATTACTTATAGTTTTGGTTGGATTGTACATACTTGACAAATTAAAGAAGCTAAAATAAAATAAAAGAATCTACCTGTTATAAATCCATAACCATCTTGTTTACCAAGTTTAATACGAAGATAGACATAGGAGATTGTAATAAATAAGACGATGGCTAGACCGGGGATATAAACCAATAGTCTTACACCAGGGTTAGATATCCAACACCATGGGCCTGTGAGAGGCCCAAATAAGCCAAACACATAACATGGTATCAAACTCAACAATGGGACACCCCAAGATACAAAATGGAATATTTTAAAATTGGTTTCTGGTGCTTTCGATGTTTTCTTATTATTTACTAAAAAAAAAGAAAGTTAATTTTAATATCAAATTGAAGCATGTTGAATGTGATGGGTTAATTTTACATACAAACTACAGATAAAAAAGTAAATACTATACAAGATGACCAACATAGAGCTGCCAATTCACAAAATTGTATTCCAGAGGCTTGGATGGTACAAAAAGTTTCATTGTAGACACTCTCCCAAGGAAACCAAAAGAATGATCCAATGAAACCAGGTAGATTGAGTAGAAAGATCATTTTTGCGCCATCTTCCTTGTTGTGCAACCCTTTTAGATATTTGATGAGGTAGGTCGTTATGACGAGGAGCGTGCCTGCCAATGTCATACACGACGATCCAATCAACACATAGTGCAGAATATCTCTTTGGTGTACTGACAATTCGTAATTTGATTCACCATTACTACCTTGAATAATAGTGTCTCTTGTTGTATTCATCATTGCAATGGAGGTGGTGGGATCAACCGTCGTCGTCATTGTGTTCGCCATATTTCCATTACTATTATTATCTGTAAAATAGTCTATTATCATTCTATTTATCTATATATATTTATAAATCTATATGTATCTCTTTCCTATTTATATATATCCTACTCGAACTAAATGATTGATTATGATTGATGATTGCTATTTTAATAAATTACAAAAATGATTTACAAAAAAAAAAAGTGTAAAATGTTGATGATGTGTATGTACAAAAGAAAGAGAGAGAATAGTAAAGTGATAAATGGAATGAAGTTGGTTAGTACTAGTGTGTAGTGTTTTGTTTGATTGAGATATTCTTACAAGCTTGAGTGCGGAAATTAATCTTCACAGGTTGTTTATTATCGCCCCCAAGCTTGAGAAATATCTTGCGGGTTACTAGGTTGGCACTTTTTCGGGTCAATCGATGAAAATGAGATGATGAATCAAAACAAAAAGACAATGGACAAGTTAGTATGTTTAATTAAACTAGTTTGGGATCGGGAACTGAATTACCCCAACCTGTGTGGAAAAGGTCTTATCTCGCATTTTCTTTAAAGTTTACCAACTATAAATATAAATAGTATTCTTTTTAGTTGTAATTTGATTCCACACAGTGCCTGAACTTTCCCAAAAAGTTTCTGTCACGAACGATTTTTCATAATAGAATTCATCGTACTTGATCGAATTGAGTGCAACTGTTCCATGACCTCTTCCTTCGGAGGTCCCCGGGTTGAGGAAGATTCGACCTAAGATCAAAGTGACGATGGTATTGATTGATAGATATCTTTGCACGACCTTTGATTGAACCAGGCTAAAGATCTATCTATCTTCAATGAGTTGATAAAAAGAGTAGAATGATATGATGTGTTGACGAGAAGAGACTGTCCATACAGATCTTGGTAATAGCGTTCATAGTACTATAGTATTCACTATTACTATTATGTCATTGTCATTATTCGTTATTTGTTATTTTTGATAGTTGGTGATTTATTTTTCTTCGTTATTCTTCTTCTTTGCTTTTATCTTTTCAATGATTGTACATCTGATGGATCGACAGTGATGATAGCCTTTTTCCAATCCTTTTGTCTGAAAGCTCTCTTGGTTCCTTGTCTCTTTACTCTTCCTTGAACGTTGAGAGTGTTTACTTTTGGTACATCGACATTGTAGACAGACTTCATGTATCCCTTGATATCCAACTTTCCAACATCGCAAGAGGTACGGAACTCTAACTTTCTGGTCTGTGGGAATTGTTCAAATGACTTTCTAATGACTGTCATTTGCATGTTTGGGAAGAAGATATTGTTCCAATATTTGGTTGCCTTTTGGGCTGTTTGTTTAGCAATCTCCATTCTAAATCTAATCTAATCTATCTATTAATTATATATCGAGAATACAAAGCTCTAAAGTATCATAACAACAAGTAAAAGATCGTCAATGTTAATGTCAAGTCTATTCGTTTCTTTCATCGTGATCAATCATCATCATCATGATTCTGTCGTTTGTTTCATTCTCCTTCTTTTCTCTTTCTCTCTCTTCATCATCTATCTATGATCTATTTCTATGTTATCCTACCTTTTATATTCTTTCTTTAAAATAAATAAATAAACTACAAATATATGATTGATAAAATTTGAATGAGAGCAAGCAATGATCGTTTTATGGATGGTGTTTGTGCATGTTTTTTCGAAGTTCGTCCAAATCTTGCTGCTTTTGGTCTGTGTCAAAACCAACACTCTATTTTTGTCAAGAATGTTGTATTAGATTTAAAGTAAAGTGTAGATAAAGAAAGAGGAAGAGGATGTCTACACCAATAAAAAGAGGAGGAGGTGGACGTAAAAAGGTGTTATCATCAAATACATCTCATGTAATTACATCACAGACAACATCATCAACCTTTAACAACAATCAAGATCAAGATGAAAAGACTAAAATAAGATATCAATGGGCAAAGAATATGTTGAATTGGGAGGATGGTTCATATTCATTGATCACTAGAGAAGAGTTTAGAACCAATATACTATACTCTCTATTCATCTTTATCACCTCTTTTATAATCTATGTAAAGACTCAATATCCCGATGTATCTGGAGGTATGCAATTGCATCAATTTTAAAAATGAAACTAGATTTAGATAGATAGATAGATACTAATTATTATCAAACACTATGTTGTTTGTTTATATAGGTGATGCTGGAGAATTGATTATTACAGCACATCAACTTGGTATTGCTCATCCACCCGGATACCCTTTATTTACCATGTTTGGTCATTTCTTTGATAGCATCATTCCGTTTGGTACCGTTGCATGGAAGGTATCAACAATGTCTTCCTTTTTCGGTGCAATTTGTTCATCTGTCATCTATCTAGTCATTAAATTGTAATGTATAATAATAGCACACCAAATCAAAAGGTTGATCAAAATATTAATCATTTATTTAATATTAATTTAGATGGATAAATGATAATTGGTGTGGAATGGTATCAGCATATTTATTTACATTTTCACCATTGATTTGGTGCTATCAAATTCAGGGAGAGGTATTTTCGATCAATAATCTCTTTGTTGCACTTATCATGTTAATGTCAGTGTGGTATGTTCGTGTCAGAATCTACGAAGATCAAGTACACAACACTTCATTTTGGACATCCGAACGTATTGGGTATCTATCGGCATTTGTTTGTGGATTGGGTCTCACCAACCAACATACATTGGTTGTCATTGTCGCCCCATTTGCATTTTGGTTGATGTTGATTGGCGGACGTGACCAGTTTTGGACAACCAAGTCTTTGGCCAACATGTCGCTCTGTGCACTTGCCGGACTGTCACCCTATCTCTATTTGTTTGTTTCACCACGTGTCAACAAGGTTCAATACTCTTGGGGCAATACCGCCACCGTCTCTGGGTTCATCACTCATTTCCTTCGTCAGGAATACGGTACTTTGCAACTGTACAGTGGTGACAGTGGTACCACTCAACTCATCGATCGAATCATTTTGTACTTTACCAATCTCTCTGATCAATTCTCTACCGTTGGTGTTGTTTTTGCCTTGATTGGTTTATTATCTTTATTATTAGGTAGTAATTTTAAGTAAGTCAAAAGAAATAAGTAAAAGAGAAAAAATATGAACATTCTATTTATTTATTATTTATTTATTTTTGTAGGAGTTTCCAATCCAAATCAATTGGTACAATGATTTTGTTTACATTTACCTTTTATGTAACATTCTTTTTCAATCTATGTAATTTACCAATTGAAAAACCATTGTACAAGGGTGTATTTTTACGTTTCTTTATGCAACCAAATGTTATCATCTCTCTTGCCATTGGTGTTGGTTTGAAATCAACATTTAACATTATTTCAAAATATAATCAATCTATCAAAAAGTAATTAAACAACCAGAGAGCATGAAAATTAGATCAAACCAATTTATTAATTTAATTAATTTCTATTTTTATTTTTTAGATATTTATTACCAATTGTATCTATTGTTATGATTATTTATCAAATCCAATTAAATTATTGGATGCAAGATCAAAGTGATAATTATTCATTTAGAGATTATGGTCATGCCATTTTACAAAACCTTCCACCAAATGCCATTCTATTGGTTGGTGGTGACCTTGTAACCAATGTCCCACAGTATCTCAAGCTTTGTCATGGTGTTCGTACCGATGTCGATATTATCAGTCTCGAAGTGATGAGTTGGGATTGGTTCACAGTCACTCAAGGTCCAGTGTACAAAAATGTAATTTTCCCAGGAAGAGTCTATCATCCAAATCTCTATGATGGATTCTCATTAAAAACATTTTTAGATTCAAATCAACATCGTCCTGTTTTCATCTCTGGTGATTTTAAAGTATGTTTTAAAACAAACAAACAAACAAACAAAAAAGTTTTAAAAAGACATTGACCTAACCATTAACTTTTTCTTTTTCTTTTTCTTCTTCCTCGCTAGTACGGTGATAATTCATTCCAACAACATTATTATACATTATTTAGAGGGTTTTCATCACAAATTTTACCAGTCAATGTTGATCGTCACCACTATCAAATTATATTAAAAGAGTATGAAAAGTATCCAATCTTTAAACTTCCAAATGACACTGCCAAGTGGCCAGAGGATTCTTGGGAGTACTTCCTCGTCAACGACGTTGCTACACATCTTGAAAAGGGTGCAGAGAATCTATTGAGTACCTATCTAAAGGAGAGTGGTGAGGAAAGCGACAATGCATTGCGATTGTCAATCAAGATGTTGACACACGCTTTGGAAATCCGTGCTGGCAAGTGCTGGGCACTCAAACACCTTGGATTGTCCTATGACCATCTTCGATACCGTATCATGAACAACCAATCAACCAAAAACCCTCACTCACTCTATGAAAAGTATACTCAACAGTTGCACTACTATTGGGGTCAATACATAGATCAGTGTGCTCATGAAAAGGATCAGGATTGGGCTACCATCAAATCAGTTATTCAAACTAATAAATAACAACAGACAAACCAAAACTCTTTCTAGGAGACATTCATTTTAATAAATTTCTTCTCTAAAATGTTCCCAGAGTATTTGTTTAAAATTACAACAATTAAAATTAATTATCTTGTTGTTGTCTAATTAATTTATTTTGGAAAATTTCTTGGAGGTTGGATTAAACTCTTGGCTCTTTCTCTATTATTGTTACTGCTACTTGGGATTTGTGATGGCGTTGGTTGTTGTTGTTGCTGAGTTTGTTGTTGTTGTTGTGGTTGAACTACACTCTTTAAATTGTTGATTAATTGTTGCTTGATATCTAAAAATTGGTCAATGCTAGTTAAATAACTCTCGAGTGAAATATTTCCTGCTTCGTAGTAGGCAATGGCTGTCAACTCCTTTTTCAACAGCTCTGCGAATTGATCCAAATGGTTTCTGTGGAAACTGACATAATCAATCTTTGGATTGATTCGACTGGATTGTTGTTGTTGTTGTTGTTGTTGCTGCTGTTGTAATAGCTGTTGCTGTTGTTGTTGTTGCTGTAATTGGGCTTGTTGCTGTTGTTGTAATTGAGCTTGTTGTTGTTGCTGTAATTGTTGCAATTGTTGTTGTTGCTGTTGAAGGAGTTGTTGTTGTGCCTGTTGTTGTTGTTGGATGAGTTGTTGTTGTTGGTGTTGCAACGTTTGTTGGGTTTGGTTGTTTGAAATGTTGTTCGAGGTGGGTTGAGCCGATACAGTTGAATTGGTTGTTGTCGACGTGGTTGTGGTTGTTGGCGTAGTAGTATTAGTATTTGTGTTGTTTGTTGTGGTGGTAGTAGTATTACCTGACGATGATGATAGCTTGTCAGCTGCAAGTTTCAAATGGTCGGGAGGTGGAAGTGGAGCTGGAATATTGTAACTGGCAACTTGTTTCTTTGTTTCGTTGGAACCCAGTTCCTTGACACGATCGGCGTAACGCAAGGTGTTGAGTGTGTGCTCGGATGAAGTGTGGTTTGGCGAAACATTGGCAATCATGACAGTACGACTGTTGCCAACAAATGAATCCTTGAGCACCTGTGTGAGCGTGCTTTGACGGAACGGCGTGTGTTTGGACGCCTGGTCGAGCGCACGAATGCATTCCTTGAGCGCCAACAAACTCTTGTTGATATCGGCACCCTCCTTTCTCGTCTGCTTGTCATTGTCATAGGTATCAGACCCACGTTCACTACCAGCCAAATCGATAAACGAGAACTTGCCATGAAGCTTTTGAGTCTTGATGTTCTTGAGACTGATCTGGAGAATGGCATGAGAACGAGATGAATCACTGTTTACACCAGTCGACCCTGTGCTTCGACACTTGCTGCCATCGTCAATAGCCGACATGAGCTCTTCGGGGTTTTGGACAAGTCTCTCGCCAAGACCGACCACCACAACATTTTGCTTTTCGTTCTCACGGCACGCCAACTTGTTACGGTCGTGCAAGAGATCAAACAACTTTCCACCATAGATTTCAAAAAAGCTGACATGAACCTCTAACTGGTCCTTGAAATAGGTTTCAAGACGATGGAAAATATCACGTGCTGCCAACGCATACAAACCATCGCCATTACCAATCATTGTGAATGTCTTTCCAGACCCAGTTTGACCATAGGCAAAACATGTCGCCTTTCCTTTGTGAAAAATAGAATCAACCAATGGATATGCTGTATGTAAATAAACTTGATAATTATTTGAATTTTCATCAAATACCTAAAAAAAAAAAAGAAAAAGAAGAAAATATTAATATGTTATTCTCTATTATATAAAATTAAATGTTGGTTAGTTTTCAACAACATACTTCATCAAATACAAATTTATGTTTTTCTGTATATTTTGTAAGATCAAGTTTAATCTTTGGTTCGTGAACATATAATTCTTTTTTGCCACCAGATTCTAGGATATCCTTTTCGTTTTTAGCTGTTTCCTTTTTGTTTAATGGTCTCTTTCTAACACACACTCTAATACGTTGCCCATATTCATTCATGTCAATGAAAAAGTCTGATACTGGTGGTTCAACTGGAAGTGGAACTGCAACTGGAATTGGAACATGTTGTTGGACTGGAGCTTGTTGTTGTTGTTGTTGTTGTAATATTGGTTGAGAATTATCATAATTGAAATTGTTAAAGTTAGTTGATGTTGGTCTAGAATTCATTCCAAATTGATTATTATTATTATTATTGTTATTCATAATGGATTGGAAAAGTGGTTGATTGGATGTCATACTAAGTGAGGATGGTACATATTCTGATTCATCATATTCCTCTTCTTCAATGTACATGTCTCCATCTTGTAGTTGAGAACCACTACGTTCTTCTTCTCCTTCAGACACTTCTAAAATGTCACCATCTTCCAACTCACCGAGATAATCTTCATCTGATTCATCTTCAAATTCAAAATTACCGGTTGCTGCAGTGGTAGCAGAGTTGTTAATAGGTGGAGTCAATGGACGTGACAAGGATGGTAATTGAGGTAATGAATGGTGGTGTTGTTGTTGAGGTGGTTGTGGTCTCTTTGCAGGTGGTGTAGATGGATTGGCATCGAATCCATTCTCCAAGTTGAAATCGAGGTTAAACGACTTTGCAATGCTATCAATGTTTTGATTAAACGATGTACTGCCACTGCTGCTCCCTCCTCCAATACCACTGTTGTACAAGTCTCCCTTTTGTTTTTCCAATTCTCTTTGTTTGAGTAGTAATTGAGCTTGTTGAATTGGATCGACCGATGATGAAGAAGAGGGAGTTGCAAAGACAGATGCAGTTCTTGAAATGTTTGGTGTAGATTGTGTCAACATGGACAAACCTCCACTAAACGATGAGGAGGAAGAAGGAGTTGGTGGAGTAGATGCAGATGTAGGAGTTGAAGACTGCTTTTTAAGCTGTTGAATCAAATGAAACAACTTCTTTCTATCTTGAAGAGTGTTGATTCCAACTAGACCATAGTCTTGCATGGTAAACAATAGGAAACTTTCACATGTTACCTTTCTCTTTACAAAGTTGGGATAGAATGATTCTAATCCTGCTAATTTCAACCACTCGTGTAGTTGATCACTATCTGCTGACATGTTATTGTTGTTGTTGTTGTTGTTGTTGTTGTTGTTGTTGTTGTTGTTGTTGTTGTTGTTGTTGTTGTTGTTGTTGTTGTTGTTGTTGTTGTTGTTATCTTTCTACTATACTATACTAAAATGTACGTAGTATTTATCTATCAACCTATTACTTTGTCTATCTATCCAAATAAAGAAAGAGAGATAGGTGTAGGTGTGTGGTTGAAAGATTGTCTGTGTGATAGATTGTTTAAAAAAAAAAAAAAAAAAAAAAAAAAAGGAGGGAGATTGATCATCATTAAATTTGTTATCTTGTACTCATACCATTTCAATAATATTTATTTATATAAAAGATAATACAATAATACACAGACCAGACTGTATCAAGGAAAAAGGTCAAATTTGACTTGTATGCTTTCTTACCCAAAGGTAGAACAGCCCAAAGTATGTCTCCTCCCTGTTTGCCATCAACTTTCAATCATTGGAGAGCCAGAATAAAGACCAATCCCCAAAAGAAACAATAGTAGTACGTGTAAAAGCTACCATGTAAGCAAGAAGTGCCCATGAACTGCGAAAAGTTAAAGTAGCAACCCCGAGAAACATAACTAGGTCTCAGTGGTCTTGAGTTGCAGCTTTAACTTTTCGCAGTGAGAGAACCGTTCAACGACCTACGGTAATAATAATAATCGAGTAAGAATATTCTACATATTTCAACAAACATGATTTATTTCTTTCTTTCCTTCCTTCCTTTTAGTTGATAACGAGTGGAACACACAAAGCCAACACCAAAGTATTTTCAATGAAAGGCATCAGAAAAATCATCGTCGATTTGAAAGAATCCGTTTCCCCACTACGCTTCTTGACATGATTGTTTAAAACAGTTTGTATAAGCTACTTTATTATTTATTTATTTATTTGTATTATTACTACTTACTTACTTACTTACTCTCTAAAAATGAAGATTGTATTATTACTATTATTCAGCTTTGTATTATTAGCTACTACTGTAGTAGTCAATTCACAACAACCATCACTTGACGTTTGTTATTCACAGACTGAGGTTAGTGATGGAGTTGCTACTTATTATGAAGAGGTTGATGGAGGTAAGTTAAATAGATCTATATTATTATCAATTCAAGTATTCTAACTCTGTATACTACACTCTACCTAGGATCATGTTCATTTGGACCACTTTTTGGAGAGACTGGACCAAAAACACCATATATTGCAGCATTGACATCGGCCTGGTTCCAAGGCTCTTCACAATGTGGTATTTGTTATGAAATAACATCACCATACACAAACAAAACCATTACTGCAATCGTAACTGACCAATGTCCAACATGTGAGAATCAACATCAATTTGATTTGTCGGTCGATGCCTTTGTAGAATTGGGTGCAAAGGATATTGGTGTGTTGAAAGAATTAACCTATAGAAAGGTTGCTTGTCAAAACATCAATGGTAATGCAAAGATCAAGGTAAAGGATGGTTCAAATCAATGGTGGGCTGCTTTTATGGTATACAACACCAAGGTTGGTGTGTCAACTGTCAGCGTCACTCTTGCTGGATCTACAACCCCACAATCATGTGTAAGAAAAGATTACAACTATTTTGTATGTGATTACGATTTTACAGGTGGAAAGTTTGTAGTTACTGTCACCTCTGAATTGGGTCAAGTAGTCACTCAATCTATCGAAACCGTCCAGGAAAATCAAATCATCGAATTGAGTGAACAATTTAGTATTGGAGAATGTAAAGGTGCTAATCTTTTATACACTGGTGTTTCTCCTGCTTCCACTATACTATCAAATAATATTTTAATCATTGTATCATTATTATTATCATTACTTTCTATTTTCCTTTTCTAAAAAATACACAAATAATAAATTATAATTATTTATTTATTTCTTTTTATTTATTTAATATCTATATTATGTTGTTTGTTGTTTGTGTGTTGTGGTTGTATTGAAGTAAATAAGAAATATTGATTATATTGATATTGATAGGAAGAAAAGGTAAAATGTTGGAATGTTGGGTTCATAGTTTGAGTTTGGTTGATTTTGTGAAATAGGATGGTTAAATAATGATCTATCATGTGTTGGTTGGGTTGGAATGAGGTCATAAATGGGTTGATGACAATGGTAACAATATCGTTGGTTATGTATTTCATATTGATTTGTTGGAGAACTGGACAGTTGTTGGATACAATCTGACCCAACAAACCAAAATCCAAGTCGGGTTTGGGTTGGTACAAGTATCCACCCAAAGTGAGAGAAACAAGTGACTCCATATGTCGATTATATAGTATTGATATTGGCATACGATAGTTTGAAAGATTCGTATTACCATTTTGATTGGAGAATAGGAAAGTTAGATTATCCTTGTCTGGTTGAAAGTTGTCTATTGTGAGTTGTTCGAGTGTTTTTGGTAGTTTGTGAGATAGAATGAGTGAAGACTCGGGGTCTTCACCACCACTCACCTCATCATCGTCGTGGTCCAAAGGTGGTGGAAGTGGTGGAGCACAGAGTCTGAGTGTTCTAAGAGTCAAATGATTAAACAAGACAAACGGTGTCTTATGGTTGGTCGATACCCTGACATGCGGGGCTTGGACATCACGCAACTCTTTGAAAAAGATGGATCGATTAGTTGTTTTGATACAGAGGTATTGCAGAGTATCACGAGTCACTATGTCGATAAAGTCATACAACTCTTTGACCAAATTAACAAATAGTGACAGTCTTGTAAGCGACTGGATACGCACAAGTGACGACCAATTTACATTGTCAAACTCTTTTGCCTTGATCTTTAGAGTTGTCAAACTCTTACATAACACACTTGAAGGTGACGATGTAAAGATCGTGTCCAACAACTGATAGGAATATAGTTTTTGGTCAAGTTGAAGCTTCAGACATTCAATGTGTCGTGCTCTGTCATGTGTTAGTATCGCCTTTGGGTCAGTCAGCTCACCACCCCTTTCCGGTGTCTTGACTATCACCTTTGATAGATAGATATCAGACGAGTAGAGTGAAAAGTCGTATGCCTTGACTTGACCGTGACGTAATGAGTCATGTGCAAGGTTATCTACACATACACGGATTCGTTGTGGGGTACCTTGTATCGGATACAAATAACGGTCATGTATCTCTGCCAATGAATCGAGATTGAATACATTGCTAAACACAATAGTGTGTAATGACGGTACGAATGATCTACGAGCCAAAGAGTGTTCTCCCAAATGACGATACCTCTTGAAATGTGTCAACATGGTATAGATATTCTGACAATCGACCGTACGAACATTCTTCCAAAGACAATACCGACTCTCCAAATGTTTGACCACCTGGTAAAAGTCATACGGGTATTTCATCACTAGTTGTTCATCAATCTGTTTAGATACTGCTTCAAACCAAGACCATCCAACCAATGATATTCTAATCTTTTGTTTTAAAGGTGAAATATCAAATCTATTATTCCAAAAGTAACCAACTATCTTTTCTATTACTACTGATGGTAGTTGTTGTTGTTGTTGTTCTATCTCCACCATTGTAGTTGTTGATTCTTTATCCTCCATCCTCTCTCTCTCTCCGCTCTATCTCCGTCAATAGTCTACTACTTTGTTTCTTTTACTACTAGTTTGTTGTACATTGAATGAATGATGATGAGTCATCATAGACTAAATCATGATTAGTATCCAACAAAATTCTAATTCATGTACCCTCAAGATTTTTCATGGAATGAGCCCCTCTCTTTTAGAAATAGAAATATTATTTCCATCTTTATTTGAAAGTTTGTTTGGGTATACTATATATCTAGATAAATAAATAAATTGTTTCTCTATATCTTTTTTTTTTAATTTATTAATTTGTGTTATATTATTATTTTAAATTGATTCAGCACCATTTGGTAAAGAATCAGATAGATGACTACCTTTTTTAAAGGAATTACTTAGACGTTGAGTGATTGATTTTCTACTTGGAACAGAGAGGAATCCATAGGAGGAGGCTGGTGAACTATTGTTAATGTCAGATGATGGATCATCTTTACTGTCATTTAACGATGCACTGATCGAAGAGGATGATGAAGAGTTGCTAAGAGTGGATTGAGCAAGGAGTGGGTGATATGATCCTTCGGGTGGTGTGACTTGGTATTGCTCCATACCTACTAGTAGTTGGGCATATCCTTGTTCCATCTCTTCTTGGAATTCAATGGATGATGGAGTATTGACATCTACGTTACTCTTGTTAAATAGTAATGCTTCAGCACATGCACCCAAAAAGTTGGACAGAGATTGTTTGAGACGTTGGATATGTTCAACAGAATAACTATCTCTTCCAGCAGCAGTCTCTGAAAAGAAAGTTCTACAAATTTCTTGTGGTCCTGCATTGACTTGAAGTCTGACCGACCCTTGAATAACCTGTTGTAATGTTTTAAAGTTTGGTTGTTGAGTTTTGATTTCAGCATTTAATGTCTCGTAACGAGCATCAACTGCTTCAATGGCATTTTCAATGGGTGAGAGGTTGATTTCTTGTTTGGCAGTGACGATAATTCTCTTTTTGGTGTATGGGAAGTGTTTGGCAACAGTGAGGATAGTCTTGCGTTTGTATTGGTCGGCTACCGAGTTTCCTTGACCTGCACCACTAATAGTGAATGGTGTCTCAAACATGAAACGTGCAAGATTGACACAAGCTTCAAATGGTGTACGTCTTGACTTGCTCTCTTCAGCCGTGAAATATGGAGTGACCGATGTGATTTGGAGGTAGCATTGATTCTCGTCGAGTTTGGAGAGATCGACGACACTCGATCCTTCAATGATTTGTATGGCAGTTTCAGCAAGTACAAACTTTTTGGCAAAGAGTGTACGTAGACGATCCTTGATTTCTACAAGTCTAGTGATCTTTGGTTCTTTGTAGACGTATTCTTGGCCGTTCATCTCTTCGAAACGCTTGCCATAGAATCCAACACGGTAGTAGCTGCCAAGCATACGCGACTTGGTGCGAGTGCACTCGACGATTCTTAAAAAGATGTCTTTGAGGTTACCGTGACATTTGGCCAGCTCCTCATAGTTGAGATTGTACTCGTAGACGGGTAGTAGCAGCTTGTACACCAAATTGGCAATCTCGTAGAGATCGGCATCCTTGAGCAAGAGTATGGCGTCGTTGATGAGCGAGCAGAAATAGTCGATGGAGAATCGCTGGTTATTGTCGTCGTCTTCGCGCTCAATGTACGAGTTGCTCTCCTCCAACGCGTTCTTGTTGACGTTGAGGAACGCTGCCGACCCGTTGATCGTGGGGATGGGCGAGCCGACCAACACCAAGTACTCTGATACCAACGCGGCCATATGCAAGTAGCACTGGGCAGCTTCGGCAAAGTTCTCTTGTTTTTTGTGGAAGTTGGCCAGTCCTTGCAACCAGATGAGACGTGTGTCGGCATTGGACTTGTTGTTGTCGGCGATACGATGGTAGAGATCGGCGACCATTTCAGGGTCGTCCTTGTGGTTATTGATCTTGATATTGTCAATGACAAAGGTGTGCATGCGCTTGGTCAGGTCTTCCACCTGCTTGGCAAACGACTTGGTGCCGAGACGCTCGGCCTGTGTGTTGGCGTAGGCGTTGATCGTGTCAAGCGACTTTTTGAGATAGTAGTCGTCCTTTATCTCCTTTTCCACAATCTTGGACAACCCAATGATGATCTGTGTCTTGGCACGCACAAAGTTCTTGCGCGCCTGCTCAAAGTTTTTGCGCATCAAAATGTATGTAAACGCAGCTGCCTCCTCACGTGTGGTACGATTGGGCGAGTTGCAGTGGCGGATGGCGTTGTAGCAGAGATCCGAGCAAAATGTGTTGGTCTGCTCAAAGATGGATTTGGGGAACTTGAACACAAACTGGCGCAGCGCAAAGTAGAGTTTGGGGACGAGTACGATGGGCTGATTACGACACAACATGCTGTGCAGCAGCTGGAACACCTTTTGAAGCACGTCACTGTAGGCAGTCGACTTGAGTTCGCGTTCAAACTCGTACATAAAGTCGTCGCATGTGTCGATGATGATCGACCCCACCTCGGTGGCCAAGTTGCTCTCGAGACGGTCGTCATAGTCTGACATGTTGATCTTGTTGGCAGCCGACAATGTGCCCTTGTTGGCAAACCCACGCTTGTCCTTGGCGGCGGCATGGTGGTGCTGTGGCACGGGCAGGGCAGCGCCCGACCCCCCGCTCGCAGGTTGGTTGTACGACTCTAGAATACTCTTGCGTGCATCCACACGCTTCTCGCGAAGTGATCGGTTATTGTAAGATGACAACTTTTTGGAGCCATATGGCGATGAACGACTGGTGCTCGAGTAAAAGTCCTCCAGGATCGACTTGGCAGTTGACGTACGAATCGACGAGAGGGCGAGTGCACGTTCCAGCAGCTTGTCCTTGCCGACAAATTCGAAAATGTCGGTACATGTAGTCAGAATCTCAAACAGTGCAATGTACTTGGTCTTGACCTCTTCTTTCCACCACAACCGGATCAAATTGGGGTGTACACTCTTGAGTAGATACAAAAAGCTGATTAAAATGTTTCTCTTTACCGTAAATGAATCATCTCTAAACATTGCCCAATTACTGACCACACTCGACAAATACGGTACAAACACACCGACAATACGTTGTTTGGTCAATGGATCTTGCCAACGTGTATCCATTTCAATTTTAATCAATGTATCTCTTAATGAATTGGCTGCATCCATTCTAACCAAACATTCCTTATGTGATAAACCATTTGATATATGTGAATTTAATAATTCTGATAAAAAGTGTTTTGATCTAAAAATTAAATAATAATAGTTAATTATTATAATACTCTATTCTTATTCTATTTCTATACATACGAAGATAAAACATTATTTAATTTCAAAGATGGATCAATTCTATAGGGCATTGGTAAATTTAATTGTACAAAGAAATCATTTTGACAAATAATTCTTAAAAATTCAAACTTTAATTCATTGATTTCTGTTTCTGATTCATTTGTACTTTGATCAAAATCTAACACAACCTTGTCAATCTAAATAAATATATATTAATTAATAAATATATTTTCTTTTAACATTATAATGTTACTTTTTTGATTTACACTTACAATTGAAAATACATAACCACGATCACAAATACTTAATAAAGAAGAAATTAAATGACCAAGAGATTTGACCAATTCTTTTGAAAGTTTAAAGGTATGTTTTACACGAGTGGAAGCCTCCCAACGAAGAATAGAGATTAATTTACGGAGTTGACAACGAACACCGACAAATCTACCCTTTCTAGTCTTGTTTTCCTCACGTTTTGATCGTTCAATCAAACTGAGTGACATGGACTTGAAGATAATGGTAAAGAAGAATTTGGAGAATCTGAGGATATTTTCAGAGTTGTGCTCTTGGAAACGCATCAACTCGAGCCATGTCTTGATAAGTACCTCGTAGACTGGTTGGTGCTCGTGAGGATGGGTCGACGATGGTGAGGATGATGGTGGGAGTGTACTGTCTTGTTGGACAATATTGGTGAATACAAACTTGGCGTATCGCTCGTGCACCTTGCCATTAATGTCATTGACAATGTTGAGAATATCACCAATCACGATAAAGGTGGTCATTGCCAACTCATGACTGTGCTTGGAACTGGTCATGATACGGAACAATTGGTTCATGACAATGGGAAAGTACTGTGCGATCGATTCCAACTTGCAGTTTTTTAGGTTCTTGATGGCCTTGGCCATCTGGTCAGACGAGGCGCCAGGCGACGAGATGACATTGAAAAAGGTGGTAATGCTATCATCGGTCGATGCAATACTTGACACTAGCTTGGTACGCACTTGGAAGATTGGCTTTTTATTGTCTACATAACGAACTACCTCTTGCGTATCCTTGTTGTAACGTGGTGGAAGCTCGTATGCCACCGGCAACGTGTACACGTCATCCGACAATATCTTACCATTTCCATTGGCATAGATGGGGAGAACTGCATGACCAATCGGTGCATCAAAACTATTCTCCTTGTCACTCTTTTGACATGTAATATGATAAAATGTAAACAATAAATGTTGATTACTATTTAAATTAATTGGTAACTTTAATTTAATTTCATCATAGAAAAATGGTGTCTTTGAATGATATGTAACTAAATAAAAAATAAATAAGAATAAATAAATATTTCTTTTTTTTTTGTTTTTTTGAAAATTTACCAGAAGTTAAATATTTTGAAGTAAATGAATCATTATTACTACGACCATAGATTAATTTCATACCATCGAAATTAACATTATCATCATTTTCCATGAGTTGAATTTTACATGTAATATTTCTGGCAGTGACTGATCCACTACGATTTGAAAAGTTGACAGACTCTGGATAGATATAGAGATTGTGAATGTATTCTTGATTGGCTTCAAATCTTGGGAATGATGAAAACTCTTGCATCTCTTTAATCAGTTTATCTGGTGTTGTTGTTGTTGGTACAGTAGTAGTAGTAGCAGTAGTCTTTGCAGAGGGGATAGCATCCTCTGGACGTGGTGACAAGAGACTTGGAGTGGTTGAGAGTGATGATGAAGCAGATGATTGTACTGGTAGAGGTTGTGGTTGACAAATGTTGATTGGAGTAAGAGACTGATTATAGACTATAGTGTTTGGTTCAAATGGACTAGTAAAAAGATTATGGTAATTGGAGACCTCTGACATGTCGACTGTGCAATGACCAGGAATAACCTTTAATTTCTTGGTCGATGCACTCTTTGAGAACTCTCCCAGTGTGGAATCGAGCATTTGCGCATCGGTACTATCAGGACGATATCGATAGAGTGGACGGAAATGAGTATTCTCGCCAACACCCAACTCTCCCTCATCTCCAAACACTGGTACACATCCCCAACAAAATGCTTGTCTATAAGCACCCAATCTTGAACAATTTGATCTAATTTGTTCTTTTAATTTTTCTCTTTCTTTATCCTTTAACTAAAAATTAAAAATATCAAAAATCAATATCTATATATTATTTCCAAAATATTTAACTTTAACTCTACTCTCTCTACTCTGTCTTTTACTTACATTACACTTTATGTATGGTTCAGCTTGATCTTCTAAATCACCCATTAAAATCTTTTCAACCTTTAATACCAAGTAAATATCTTGACTTGATTTGGCAACTGTAAAGATTGCCTTTTTGGTAGCGTTGAGGTCATCCTTTGTCTTTTGATTGGCTCCAAGCAACTTGTCGGTCTTTTCATTGATAAAATCGAAATGGAATACATCAGATACTCTTACTTTTTTAGAGATATCAAATAAATATAAACTACAATAAAATGGTTCCGTTTCTTCGTCTTTTTCCCAAAATTTAAATACCAAATCTTTACAATCAACTAATATTACTCTTGCCCTAAAAAAATAAATAATTAAAAAAGATGTTAAAAAGACTGGTTTGTTTTCTTTTTTTTTTTTGATAATAATTACTTTTCTTTTTGATAAATGGGAGGATCAACAATTGATGGAGGTTGTTCAGATAGGGTAAAGTAAGAGTATAAACTCTTTTGATGTTGTTCTTGTTTGTTTTGTACGCGGAGTTGTCTTTCCAAATAGTTCATGTGTAATTCGTCGACGTCGTCACTCTTTACAACCACACTATTTGATTGGAATATGGAAACATCGACTGCGCCGCCACCCCCATTGGATCCACTCTGATGGTGATGATGGAATTTACTGTTGTTGTTGCCATTACTACTAGCACTAATGGTTGTTGTGATGGTTGGTTGTGGTGGTGGTACTCCATTGGAAGAGTTGGATGGTGAATCGTTTGACGATGATGAAGATGAAGATGAATCATCTGGTAACGCTTTATACTCTATCTTCTTTTCCATAATACTATTGACAATGGAATGAGGTGTCTCATCAACTGTAAAATCATTTCCTTTTAATGTTTTCCAATTGGTTGAATAATAAAAGTCAATGCAATCATCGATATATTGATTTGCTCCTTTTTTATAATCCTAAATGAAATAATAAATATTAATAACTATCTAGCATTTGTTTTCTGTAATATGTCTTTGCATACCGATGGTAATACCAAAGTTCTATTATACTTTGGAATAAGTTGAACATGATCGGTTGTAGTTTCATCGGGGATGACAACCAACTCTCTGACTGTTTCTCTGTTGATTTCCTTTGATTCATAGTAGTACTTTTCAAAGTCGAATGGGTATTGCTCGTGCTCAGTCTCTACATCGTCCTCTAATAGAATGGCTGGAATCTGTCTGGTATTTCTCTTTGCATATTCTTCTGGTGTAAGTTCATTAGATTGTGAATGGTTGTTGTTGTTGTTGGAGGTAGTACTACTTTCCTTTGAAGCAGAAGTACCGTTAATACTTTCGTTTAAAGGTGCTGTAGTAGTAGTAGAAGAGGATGAAGATGATGATAATGGCAAGCTGTTTGAAGAAGTATTTGTCTTTTTCGATTTAATAAAGCTCGATAGTTTCTTTCCTTCCATCGTTCTCTCTCTTAATTTAATAATAAATAATAAATACTACAAATAGGTAATGATACTATTCTTATATAATATATAGGTAAACTAAACTAAACTAAACTAAACGAAACGAAACTTGTCTAATCTTTCTTCTTTCTTCAACGCGTTTTTGATAATATCAATAATAAACAAAGTCGATGGTGATGATGATGATTGTATTACGGGTGAAGAGTGTAAAGTAAGTTCGTTGTTCGTTGTTGTTGTTGTTACTGTTACTGTTGTTGTTGTTCTGTTTGTTTTCTTTTTTGTTTTAATAGTAATAAAATACAAATATAAATATACAAATTATGATTGACAATAATAATAAGGAAGGTGAGTGTAGTAGTAGTAGTCGTAGAAGAAGGAGGAAGAAGAAGAAGAAGTACAAGTATAAATTGTTGTTATAGTCGACTACTGCTACCCTTTTTATCAATGACACGGGAGGAAGGAAGGAGCTGGTTGCCAATGTCGTGAGAAGTGACAGCAACGATCATGAAAAAAATGTTGCAAACCAAAAACAAAAATCTATGCAACCCATTTTTTATTATATTATATATAGTTCTATTTTTGGTATATTTATCTCGCTCTCCTCTATCGATGGTAAGCTTTAAATTTAATTAATAATAAGCTCACCCTTACCCATCCTCTATCGTTAATATTGATGAACATCGGTACTCAACCCCATCCATCCCATGCATCATGATCTCACTACCCCCTCTCTGGACGACCCTTTTGTCACTAGAAGAATGGATGGATTCATTCCCCACTCGCCGAATAAAACACTAAGTTGTTAGTGTGGGTATTGTAGGTGTAGGTGGTAATAGTTCAAATCGTTACTCGAGTCGACTGGTCGTGTCTGCATAAGAGTTAGAGTAGGTTAACCTATTCTCAAAAAATTCAAAACTTTCGTCGTGAAATCCTATTATAATCACCCTGTCTCACTCATTGATAAACCCGCCCGAAACATATAATAGTGATAGTAGTAGTAGTAGTAGTAGTAGTGTAACATAACAAGAGTAATAGATAAATACGAAATACATCCAAACAAACGACAATGACTCCATCACCAAACAACATAAAGATAAGAAATGCAACTGAAGACGATATCAGTAGTGTAAGTGTCACTTATCATCTGAGATGGTGTCAAACAACCGATTGTAACAATTGTATTTATTAACTTTGATTGATTGAATCTCTTTAAAGATTAGAGATATTTATAATTATTATATAAGAGAAACAACCTTTACATTTGAAGAGGTTGAAGTCACTTTGGAGGAGATGACCAATCGATATAGACATGTACTTGAATTAAAATTACCATATTTTGTGGCTGTAGAAGTGGTCGATAATGTTGTTGTTGTTGATGGTGCATCAACAGACACTACCGCTACTACCACTACCAAAGAAACAATCATTGGATATAGTTATGCAGGTCTATTTAGAACAAGATCTGCATATAGATTTACAATTGAAGATGTTATTTATTTGAGACATGACCTTACTGCAAAGGGTTTGGGATCAATTCTTTTAAAGAAATTGATTGACCGTTGCACAGAGTTGGGTTATCGTCAAATGATCACTTGCAGTTCCGACAATCCTGCATCTGTTGCTCTTCACAAGAAATTTGGATTCCATTCACCAATGGTATTGAAATCAGTTGGATTTAAGTTTAATCAATGGATTGATACTATCACCATGCAATTACCATTGGGTGAATCAGATACAACTCTTCCTCCCCCATTACCATCACAATAATAAAATAGTATAATAACACGCACATAATAATAATACCAAAGATCCAACCATTAGGGTTGGATATATATATATATCTATCTATCTATATTCAATCCCAAATAATTATAAGTTGTTGTATTATTATTATTGTTGTTCTGGTTGTAGTTGTTGTTGTTCTGTTTGTTGAACTTGTTCTGATTGTTTTTGTTGTTGTTGTTGTTTGATTTTCTTTTGTTCTGATTGATAAATGGCATATAATAGATTCATTCTTTTTTTTGGATTGTGATAGATACGGTGAAAGCATAGTTGGAATGGAAGTCTTTTGGTAATGAAGATGAGACCATAGGATAGAGGATTACCAGAACACAGGAAAAGATAGAGAGCCATCTCTGGAATGGCTACAGTGAATGGGACCGATATCATTCTGGTCAATAGGTTACTACCCAATCCAACAAGTGAAAGTGATATCTTTTTACAGACATGGGCACCAAACAATGACAATGGTGTTGTGAATCGACAGGCTAATGAAGCAACCGATAACAATGATTCCAAGAGATACTCTTCCTTGCAAAGAATATTCTTTGCACCAAAGATGGATACCTTTTGATCAGAGTACAAATTAACACATTTTAATACCTTGAGCGATAATTGATCTTGACCCTTCTCGGCAAGCAGTTGATTAGACAGTATTGCAGCAGCCAATCTAATTTGAGGTGACGATTGGTCAAACCGTGATTCAATGAATGAATAGAATAGTGCCAGTGAAAGCTCTGCACCATCTGTGGTGTCACCAGGACACCCACCTCTATTGATAATAGTCGATGCTATCATTTCAACAGAATCGATTCTTACCGACCATGCATTATCATTTGCAAGTGCATATTTTCTCAACAAATCCCAAGGTATCAGTTCTACTGGACCTGTGGAAACAAATATAATAGATAAATAATTAATTGTTAATAACGGTCATACGCCCATCTTATTATTAGTATGTATACAATACATACAATATTGACATAGAATTAAGAGGATTTCCTTTAAATCCTCTTGAAAGAGATAGGATGCTTCAAAATAAGCAACGTTAATCTTTGTGTCACTCCACAATTGCTTTGCGAGTAGACTAAAGGTAACAGATTGAGTAACAAAGATTGAATAGGTCATCATTGCCACATTAGGGTCTTTAGACAATCTCTTGGCAAATGACTTGTTGTCACGCATCAAGGCAAGCAATCCTTTGACTTGTGGGGCATTATCTAATACTTGTGCCGTATAATTGACCGTTTTTTCATACATGGTTGTCAATAGTTGTTTGGCAGCTTCATCATCATTCAAAAATACTGAACAATATTTATCACGATCATGTATATATTCTATAGAATAGAATAGAATAGAAATTGGTAAGTATCCGCAAATCATAATTCTTTATTTGTCTCTCTCTCTCTCTCTCTCTCCATCTCACTACTTCTGGATACATACCAGCCATAAGTAAAGAATAGACTATAATTGAACCACACACAATCTTGTCTTTCATTGTCAGATGTGTTAGACGATCCAATACAACCGCCGATATCCCTTTGAAACCATCGATGTTGATTGATCTGGTGACTGTTGTCACTATATCTGTTATCTTCATGATGACTATACAGATAAGATACAATCACTAGAGCGACCAACTTAAACTAAATATGTATATGTATATAAAAACCCTCCATCATCTGACTCTTGTGAAAAGTGACATCAAAAGATGATGAATGAAAACTACTTTTTAAAAAACAAAATAGAAAAAAAGAAACATAGCTAATTTTTGTTAAAAAGAAGCAATACTTTTGAGAAAGGATTATACAGTGCACAGATATAGATATATTTATATCTCTTTATCCTATATATATATATATCTCTCTTTCACACACAAGAGATAAAGAAATTAGAATGGTGAACGAAAAGAAAACAGAAACAACATTAATGTTGTTAAAACAGTCAGTATGGAACAACCTATTTCTAAAAAGATATATTCTATCTTTGATTAAAGAGACTGTACCCTATCGTAAAGAGATGATGGCGTCGAAACGACATTTAGATATTATCGCTTCGTTTAAAAGAGCTCGTTCAAATGTACATGGGTTGTTGTTTACACCTTTGTTGCTTGCAAGTCATATTGAGCATTTGATAAAGAGTAGTCTCACGGCCAAGAGATACCCGTATCTCAATGACATCTCTGCTAATCCAATACTGCGTGTTGACATTGCACTCTTTCAAAGTGTACATAAAATGTTGATGGACAAGGATCTGTACAACAGCCCGACAGCCTCCAAAAACATATGGGATCATATCGTTGGATCAAACAACATTGAATTGTACAAATATGCAAGATCACAGTTTCTACTACCAAGTGCCGCGATTTGTTTTGATTTGGTGTTGACGGCATCGAAAATAGGTACTTTTAGAAGTATATCAACTGTAGTTCTCTACGACACCATCATCCCCATATCAAAGGGATCAGAGATACTTGAAGACATGTTGGATGAGCTCCCAGAAATCTTTCCAGAAGATGATTGGTCATTGGCTGTAGACACAAAATATATAGTCGCAAATGGAAGATTAGACTTGTACAAAAAGTTGGAATTGGAACGAACAAGATGGATCAAGTATAAAAAATCTATCAATGGTTTTGGTACTTTAAACAAACTACAAAACAACTATAATATCTATCTATCAGACAATGCAATAGTGACACTCATAATCAACCAACACAAAGATTTATTCTATTATCTCTATTTCAATCAAAAGATTATCATCACTGAAAGGATTTTGAAAATGATAGTTAATACATGTTTAATTACTGGTGTATTATTTTTAAATCAAGCTCAAATAGATTATCAAAATAATAATAATCAAAATAATAATAGTTGTAATAATAATAATCAAAATGGATTTCTTTATTCGATGGTAATGTATTCAATGAGTAAAGAATTCCAATTTCATCAATGGAGAGGCCAAAGGGTTGATAAAGTTGGTGCATTTATAAAACAGTTGGAAGATGTGGCTCGACAACTCAACTATATCGACCCTGTTCAAAGTTTAAAACGATCAACGGCACACAAACCAAATGGATATCCTATCCTTGGTCACTATAAACTTAAATTAGCACCTCAATATTTCCAATTACTCCAACAACAATCTTCCGATCCTGTACCAACACTATCTTTTAATTTTTCCGAAGATCTTTAATAATAATAATAATAAAATAATAATAATAATAATAATAATAATAAATAAATTTAATTATGAATGATGGGGGTTTGCAGTTTGATTATAAAGCTTTATCCTCTTCTCAAATGTACATATGTATATAGTTGAGATTACGAGCCAGCCAGCCACTCTTCCAACACCATTGGTCTGTTATTCAATAATAATAATTCCAACAACAATGCACATCGAGTTAATCAGTCAGGTCTATATTCATGGTTATATTCATCCATCTTCCTACATGATGATCACACGTAGATATATAGTTTTTGTTAGTGAAAGAATATGATGATGATGATGATGATGATGATCGATTATACATACTCTCTATGTTTATTTGCAACGGGATTAAGAAAGTAGAAGAAAAGTGATACAGCACCAAAGATAATGTATGAGAGGTAGTTTGGGGCAATTCTATACAACACTAGTGCGATACCACCTAATATAACGGCACGTTTATGAACCAAAGGCCACGGGAATAATGGTGGAGGTGGAGGATCTATCAATTCTGTAGGTGTCAGATTTGATATCATTATTGCATGTTTACGCTTTATCTCTCTCTGTCTCTCCCTCTCTCTATCTCTATCTCTCTCTCTACTCATCTTTTGTTGTTCTGTAATGTTTCTTTTTACATGTTTATGCATTATCTCGTAGTGTTGTTATATTATCTCTCTCTCTCTCTCTCTCTTTATCTCTCTCACTCTTAATTGTTCGGTATGAGGTTGAAGATATTTTCGGTTGAAAATTGTGTAGATCAGATTTTAAATTAGTCATTGACAATTTCTCACAACAAAATATCACGATAAAAGGAATAAAAAATTTAATTTTTTTATAAAGTTCGCTCTTCGTCTTTTGTGAGTCTCTCACTATATTTTTGATGTAAGGGAGAAACTTCAAATTGAATAAACCATTTTCTAACTCTCTCCTCCTTTTTTTAAAATACACACAAACACATAAACACACACACAAAACTCAAACTTTATAGATTGAGAGATTGAATTGGATTTCACAACCAACAACAACACCAATCACGTGTTTCTCTAATCTAATTTGTTCAATATTTAATATTAAATATTTAATATACTCCTCATAATAATAATAATTTAAATTTAATTTTATTCATACATTTTAATATTGGTTCGTATCCGTATATCTTATCTTTATTCCTTTCATTCCTTTAAACCTCATCACATCAATTATTATTATCACAAAACTAACTAACAAACCCACTTTCTTTTGTATTTTTTAAAACTTTTGTTTGTTAATTTATTTATTATTAATTCTATTTAGTCTAGGGTGATAGATAGATATTACACAATCAAAAAATGACAGCTACAGTAGCTTCATCTCCCATTTCATCGACTGTACAAGAAGTACTCCATGAAATGGTTTCAAAATTACCAAAAGATGTATGTACATATTGTCAATCAATCATCAATCAATCAATCATATAGTAGTTCGTCTATCTCTAACCACCTATCTCCTTTTATTTTTTTGTTTTGGAAATATTATTATTATTATTTATTTCTATCTAATTTTTAGATATTTGAAAAAAGTACAAGTAAAGCAACTAGAAGAATATTAGTATCAGTTGGTTTAGTCACGGCAGGTGTAGTGATGATTTATAATTTACCTTGGTACTTGTTGCCTTTGGGATGGTTGTTTATGGGAACTGCTTGTTGTGGATTGTTCTCGGTCGGATACGCCTGTGGAAAGAACCTGCTCTTCAAGAACCGTGCCATTAACTACACTGTGGGAACTATTTTGATGTTGCCTCTTATGTACCCTTTTGAGTACTGGAAACGTAGTACTGGAGAGGTACGTGACTATGTGCGTGACTTGGCCAAGGGTCCATACTGGTGGTTAATGTCGCTTCGTCAATGGGCCACCTCCAACGTTGCTTCATTGGACAGTCGTCGTATGCTCTTGTCAGCTGCTGCACTCTACTTGTTTGCCTCGATCTTTTTGCCGCTGATGACCTATGGATTTGGGTTGTGGGGTTTGTTCAAGTTCTACCTCATCCCTCTGTTTGTCTACCATCTCTGGATGAGTACTTTCCTCAAGGCATCGTACTTGTCGTTCGAGTCAGACACCCCCACATTCTTTAGAGTCCCACGTTTTGTCCAATACTTGACACAAGACTTTAACATTGGTGTCATTCTCGCTCGTCTCCAAACTCAAGCTGAGAACTCGGTCAACGCAGTCATTGACTTCCCCCCAGCCTACAAGTGGAAAGAAGCATACCATGTCCTCAAAAAGGAGTACCAATTAAATATCTCTGAAGAAAACATCATGGATGTTTTACTCAAAGTTGGTCCACTCGCCAAAAAAATCATTTGTCCCCAACCTGAACAAGAACAACAACAACAACCATTAGAAGCACCAAAGAAAAAGAGTATTTTCGATGGTAAACCATGGTATGAAAAGGTTGTTTGGACAACTACTATCTTTATCTTTGCTACACCGTTGTTGTCCATGTACGGTATTGCAACATCGCCATTCAACTGGAAGACCTATGTCACTGCATTTTGCAGCTACTATATTGCCGGTATTGGTATTACTGCTGGATACCATCGTCTCTTCTCGCATCGTTCCTACGACGCTGTCTGGCCCGTCCGTGTCATTCTCACGTTGATGGGTACCACTGCCTTTGAGATGAGCGTGATTGACTGGTGTCACGACCATCGTGCTCACCACCGATTCACCGATACCGACAAAGACCCCTACAATGTCAAAAAGGGGTTCTGGTGGGCACACATGGGATGGCTCATCTTTAAGCGCGAGGAAGAACCCGATGCCGATGTGACCGACCTCAAGAACGACTGGGTACTCTACTACCAACACAAATACTATACCCCGCTCTCCTTGTTCTTTGGTATCTTTTTGCCCACATGGATCTGCGGTCACTATTGGGGTGACTGGCGCGGTGGCTTTTTCATCGCTGGTATTGCCTCCAAGGTACTCATGATGCAATGCACTTTCTGTATCAACTCGCTTGCCCATTATCTCGGTGAAGCCACCTACACTGATCAAAAGTCGCCTCGTGACTCTGCCATCACCTCACTTGTCACCTTTGGCGAGGGTTACCACAACTTTCACCACGAATTCCCATACGACTATCGTAACGGTATCCACCACTCGGCCTACGATCCTGGTAAATGGTTGATTGGCTTCTTGTCGTGGTTTGGTCTCTCGTACAACCTCAAGCGTTTCCCAGCCGAACTCTTTGAAAAGGGCAAGATCCAAATGGCCGAAAAGAAGGCTGCAGACGCCCGTGCCAAGCTCTTTTGGGGAAAACCACTTGACCAACTCGACATTATCGATCGTGAAACCGTCAAACGTACCTGTGCCGACAAGGGTAAGAAATGGATCATCATTCACGACATTGTCTATGACGTAGAAGAATTCCAAGCCAAACATCCAGGTGGCGTCCAATTCATCAAGGATTATATTGGTAAAGATGCATCAAAAGCTTTTGATGGTCTTGTCTATAACCATTCCTTTGCTGCTAGAAATATTCTAGATACTTATCGTATTGCTAAATTAAAATAAAAAGAAAAGAGACCAACAAGATTATCAGTTGTAGGTCCAGCCCCCTTTTAATTTATAAACAATAAATAGTAGTTTATTTAAGTTAATTTACTTTTAAATTTGACCTAATTTTTAGGTCGACTTGGATCCTTCAGTGGTATTATAATCGATGGCACCAGCTCCTGGGCGATACTTGAATATAAAATATCTTCCATCATGAGGATCTTTAAACACTTTGATATCTCTCTATCCAGTTGTCCATGTTTCCCTCCATATTCTAATTCCATCTACCTTGAATGTGGCTTTTCCACAACTGTATTAAGAGATGTTTGTCATCATTTCCAAATACAGGTCTTTGTACTAGATATGATGATATTGTAATATTGTTAAAGGAGTATGTGATTATATATATATACAAATATTGATGAAATTATTATTAAAATTTAATACATAATAAGATTATTTTAAGTTCATTCGAAATACATGGTTTGAATTTTCAGGATAAGAGAAAAATGATTCAACCATGATAGGCAATCATTTTATTTTTTTTCGATTCCAAGGGAGTCAACCGAAAGGGTTCCACCGTTAATTCCATTTTTTACAAGACAAGATTATGGATAATTGATAATATAAATTTATTTACTTGGGTTGATTGATGTTCTTTATTATTATTGTGGTGTTGTTGTTTTTTTTATCTACAACTTCTTTCAATTTCAATTAACTTGCCGTTGATGACCGCATCATAGCAAATTTCTCCAGTACGCATTGATTTTAGAACAAGTGGATGGCCCCTGTATGTATTATGTAGAAATTCAAAGGCCAGCCAGTCTCGTCTCCAATTATCTTGTCTATAGGTTGATTCTGCGCCAGCATCAGAGATTAAATCGATGGCACCAGATCCTGGACGATAAGAGAAGAGATAAAATCTTGTACCATCTCTATACACCTTCATAACGGCCCAGTCTTTTGACCAATCTTCATACCAGAGGGTAACTCCATCTCTCTGATAGACAGCTTTCCCATCACTATAATACAAGATTGATTGATTGTTATCATCACCAAATTTGATATGGTGTACTAGAAATGTCATTTGTAGAAAGTAGCTAATACTATAGATAAGTCTTTTGATGATTTAGAAAGGAGAACAGAAAAAAAAAAAAACAAATGAAATGATATGAAATGTTAACAAGTGAACTATCTATCTATCTATCTATCACCAGCCTCTTTTGAAAAGGGGAGGGAGTGTATACATGTGAATTAAATTAAATAATTGCCCCACCATGGTTTGATGTTGATGTTGTTGGCAATAATAACAATAACCCTTCCACTCAAAAATTTGATTCATTGCCACCCCACATATTGAGTATTTTTTTTTCCTTGCATTGCAAACACAGGAATATGTGATGGATGATGAGGTGAATATAAATATAATATTATTATTATTATTATTATTATTATTATTATTATTATTATTATTATTATTATTATTTTCCAAGATTAAATTAAATGATGTAATTACCAACAATTGTATGTGTGGTGGGTGTGGTAGGTAGGTAGGTACCTCTTTCCAATTTATTTATTTAGTAATGGAACGACTAGCAAATAAATTAATAATATTTTGTTTCGGTGGAGCTGTATTTGCATAGTCTAGAGGTGTGGACTTTCTATTATCGGGTATCAAAGGGTCAGCACCTCTATCCAATAATAATGATGCAATATCTGCATCATCACCAATTGCAGCAACATGCAATAATGTTTCACCCATTTCATCCATTAATTTTAGATTAGGGTTGCCTCCATTATCCAACAACAATCTAACTATATCCAAATTACCTTTACTAACTGCAATGTGGAATGGTGTATTTACTCGATACTATATATATATAATGAATTAATTATTAATATTCCACTCTTGATCAATATTATCTTTTACATACAGGTTCCCAACCATTTGTTCTTGGATTATCTTGTATATTAATATTTGCACCATTTTTCAATAACAATTCTACAACTTGATAGTTTGCAAGTGAACATGCTCTAAACAATGGTGTTTTTCTTTCAGTAGTTTCTTGGTTGACGTTTGCACCATGTTTGATCAATCGTTTGATCAATTCAATATTTGGTGTCTGTTTTTGTAGTGCCAAGTGTAGAGAACTTAATCTGACACCTGGCTTTGTATCACGAACATTGACTTGGCATCCACGTTCCAATAAAATATCAACCGATTCCAAATGTGATTGTTGTACTGCAATATGTAATGGACTTACTCCATATTTATCTTGTTTAAATATTATTTCATTATTATTATTGAATTGTTGTTGTTGATTTATTCTATTGTCAATGATCAAATTTAAAATATCGGTATGATTGTAAAGTGATGCCCAATGTAATGCATCCCAATTCATTAACTTTGTTTCATTTACTGTTATTTGATCTACATTTGATTGATAATATTCAATAATTATATCTTCCAATGTTGTAGTAGTAGTAGTAGTAGCAGCAGTCGGAGTAGGGGTTGATTGTTTCTCTTTGATAATTCTTAACAAGTCTTGTTGATTTTGTAGTTTACTTTTATCTTGAAGTTTCTGTTGTTGTTTATGTTGTTCTTGTTCTTGTTGCTCTTGTTTGTGGTTATTAATAGTTGTTGAATATGATCTTATTGATGTCGAACAGTAGTAGGTAGGAGTCGTAGTAACGACACGATCTACAACTTGTAAATATTTAGGTTTGAACAAACCATCACCATTACTAGTAGTAGTAGCTATGATAGTTATAGTCCCTTCTTTGCAAAGAAGAGATAGTGAATTTCGATTCACTCCATGACTCGATATTATTTGTTTAATCTTTAACATTGTGAGGAGTGGTTGGTACTATTGAATTTCATTAATATTAATATTAAATTAAAAAGACGAATGACTCATCAAGCTTGAATGAACTCAAACAAACATTCATTAATTTAAATTTGTTTAATGAATCATTTTTGAAATACTAATATATAAGAATAAGAAATGAAAGAAACAACTAATAATAATAATACGAATAATGATAACAATGATAGTACATCGATAGCAGTATCGGCAGTTGATGAAAAAGCATTGGTTGATAAATTAGATGACAATGATATCGAAGATAGATTAGAAAAGGATTTTGAAAGATCACTAAGACAGTTTGGTATAGGTGATAAAGGAATTGATATATTTAAACAAGGTGTATGTATATGTAAACTATTATTATTATAGTGATTGTAAGAATAAGTTGACTCATTATTTGTTTGTTTGTTTATTTGTAGGATGGATCACTATTTACAAGAAACGATCCAACAAGAGAAGAAATTGAAAGAAATAAACAAATGATTGATAGACAAGGAGACTTGTTTGCCAAAGCAATAGAAATGGAAGAAACTATTGAAACTCTTCAACAAGAAATATCATCACTCAAGAAACAATTAGCAGACAAGGATAAAATGATAGCATCACTACAATTAAAGAAATAAAATTGGATCAATGGAAGAAGATATCAAACTACCATTATTGTATATAACCAAACAAACTAAATCATCTTGGTATAATAGTATTATTATTATATAAGATTAATCTAAAGAGATTACATGTACATTTTAAAATAACTTATAAAATCTATACTAAACAAGTTTATTTATTTTATAATATTATTTTTAATGGGATCCTGGATTGTTGTTGGTTATTATGACAAGTGTCATAACAAAGAAAATGAATATTTGGGTTGATATATTTGTTTGATGTGTTTAGAAACAAATTGGAACACCTTGTTCTGGGATGACAACTTGGATGTTGTGGGTGTTACCGGCCTTGAGTTCATTTTCGATGACCTTGGAGACTGGGATGGTGAAGGTGGCAGCGTTGGCGTATGGCTTGATGTGTTGGACGATGAGCTTAACGTGTGAGAGACTCTCGGTGAATGGGGTGGTTTGGACAGAGAGATCGACGAGGTCATCGAGGAGGGCGAGGACATCCTTTGGACGGACGTGACCAAACATGGAGGCATCTGGGGTCGAGTTGGGGAAGGAGACTTCGAGGTAGACGGCACGGAGCTTGTCAATCTTGACTTGAGCCCAGACGTTGTGGATACGTTGCTTCCAGTCGCAGTTGTAGGTACCGCTTGGGATACCAGTGTCAGAGAAGAAGACGAATTGTTCGCCAGTAATTTGGTCGGTGAACAAAAAGGCGGTCGAGAAGATGTCGTTGTGACAGGTTTCGAAAGTGGAGACGTCCATGTTGGCAAAGATGGTGCCGGCAATGTTGGCATTGACGTTCCAGCCAGAAGCGGCGGCAAAGTTTTGGGTGGAGGCGTTGGTCAAGACATTGTACGAGTAACGACCGTAGAGGGCGAGATCAGGCCAGATGATGTTGTTGAACAAGTGGATGTCGATGGCTTGGAGGGTGCTGTTGAGACCGAGAATTGGCTTTCTTCTGAGGACACCGGCAGTGGTGTTTGGAGCGAGGTATGGTTGGATCATCGAGAGGATACCGTCGGTGATACCATAGTTGAGATGGGTGTAGGAGAGGGCGTCTTCGGCAGAGTTTTCAATCAAACCTTCCAAATGGTCCAAGTGAGAGTGACCGGCCATGTAACCGGCAATGTGGTTACGGAGGAACCAGGCGGCCTTTTGGTCGGTGGTCTTGGCATAGGCGGGGTATTGAATGTCAAAGATAGAGGCGAGGTTTCTGGCAGAGATGTACTTGCTGATTCCACTCCAGATGTTTCCAGCGTCCAAAGCAACAAAGACGTTGTTGTCCTTACGGGCTAGGAGGAAGGCCGAAAGGTTGCTCTCGTCCAAACCACCGGCAGTACCCAATGGCAAAGTTATAAAGTTCTTGTTTCTGCATGATCTGCTTAAACTGTACGAGTCGTATGAGCTTGGGCCTCCTCCAAAGAAATCAAAGTCGAGACCTTCAGCATCTCCCAAAGCTGGAATAACAATGCCGGAGAATACGACGATTGCTAATAAAAATCTAGAAAATAACAAAAAGTATATTAGAATTAATATATTCAAACTGACTGAGATGTTGTTGTTTTACTTGTTATACATACAAAGATTTAATATACATAATTTTGTCTTACTAAAATTCAACGGTGTTTTCTAAAGTTGAACAATGAAAAAGAGGCGATTGTTTAAATCAAAAATAAAAATAGAATAGATCGGAGGGGGGTTGTTGGTAATGTTACGGGTTATAAAACTAAAGATAGAGATATAACTATGTGTGTATGATACAAAGAATATTTAAATAATAATGTTACTGAAATGATGAATGATTAACAATTGATAAGTTTACTCCTTTTAAGCCTTTGCAGCTCCCCCCATTTCGAGCTTTGGTTGATTTGTGTGAAAAATAATTGAACGGGATCACATGTTAGGGTAGCACCATCCATACCCAAGCCATTGGTCGCATTCCAAGTACATTGATCGTCATTACCCTTATCAATCAATCAACCAACCAAGCCAAGACAATTATTGATCGATCAATTGTGTGTAACAAAACAACAAGCAATAACAACTACCTCTGGTTACCCACCACACAACCATTGATGGACATATAAGCTGATTGGAGGGGGGGTTCTCCCCCTTTGATGCAAGTGTGGTTTGTTCACTACTTTCTGATCATAGACACGATGTAGGGTACCAGCAAGCCAATAGGATCTCTACCCATATTCATCGATGTTGAACTCTGAGCTGGTACGAGCAGTAAAAAGACATTAGGCTAATCCCTCGAAAAGCAGGCTCTTGGTTGGTGAGCGGGGGAGGGGGGGCTAACTCTCGACATAATCTCCCCGCTGCATATGAACCACCTAAAACAGTTATCTGTTTGTGTGGAGATTAATCCGTCAGAGTTGATTGACAAGCCTGCAAGATGCAAGGCTTTCAATGAAAACTTTGATCATCTATGACACAAAAACCGAAAAATTGATCTCATTGGGCTCGTCTTGCAGACCCCATTTTTTGGTCCTGAAAAACACTGATCATAAAAATCGACCCTTCTTAGGTGGCCTATGGGCTCAAAGCCATCGAAAAACACTTTCGTTTGCCAAAACGTAAACCGTGGCTATCAGCCCTTTTTCCCACCCAGTAAGTGTTTCAGGTAATGGCATCTACCGAGCAGGGGCTGACCGTACCCCACTCAATCAATGATCGAACCATGGCTGGGTTTGAGACCAATTAATGGGGGGTGACTCGCCTATTTTCCCACCCACAACTTCGAATCACATTAACGTTTTATAGTTGGTGCTCCCATCAATCACTAACAGACCAATCATTTTCTGGAGCAAACTTTCGTGCAACGAGTTTGTTTTTGTGTGTGAACTTTGAGAGGATGGTCCTTTGCTTGTTTGAGCAAAACAAAAGTAGGACTCTCTTTGCCAGCAAGGCAAATGAAGCAAGAGCAGTCTGAAACCCAGTATTAGTTATTCCAACCCGTGAACCTTTCAAAGGGTGATGGATGTGGTTTAAATTATTAATAATTCTTCTTGATCATCTTTCATCCTTCTTTGCTTTCCTCCCCCTTCCTTACCTTATCCGTGTAATAATAATCAATAACCAAACTCGTAAAACTTCATCAACAAATCGTATCCTTGAATGACCCTAGCTCTATAGATATCTTTCCCAAGGTTGAATTGTGTTCATTCATTTATTATTGTTGTTTTCTACCCGTAGCTCTTAATATCTGTTATTTATTATTGTGATCCCAACTCAAATCGGACTTAGTGTTTATGTTTATTTATATACCCAACCCATTATCTCTATACTATTTATAAATATTATATCTCATCACTATCTATTTAAATATAAATATTTCCGTATATTAATTATTTGACATATTCAAAATGGCAAATACACCACCAACTAAATTACAAAATGATGCCTTGTATGGTATGCTTTTGTTGGCTGATTTCAGTTCAATCGTTGGTTGCTTAACTGTGTTGTTGGGATTTTGGAGATTAAAGCTTTTGCGTAATCATATCACCAGAGTCATCGCTTGTTTTTGCGTGACTTCGGCCATCAAGGATTTCGTGGCCGTCACCCTAACCCTATCCAAATCATATGCAACCAATAAATTTGCTTGTTATGTTTATGCTGTAGATATTACATTTGGTTCTTTTAGTTGTTGGATGTGGACTCTTTGTCTTGGTAAGAATAGATAGAAAAAAAAAAAAAAAATTACATACTTGGTCAAAGAAAAAACAATATTAATATTATCCAATTTCCTTTTTGTACAATATTATGATTTATAATTTAGCATTAAGTATTTATTTAGTATTAGTACGTACACATCATGAACCAGAAAGATTGGAAAAGTTTTATATGATTGCATCATGGGGTTTACCATTGATTAGTTGTATTATTATGGTGTCGGTCGATGGTCTGGTGATGAATGTTGGATCGTGGTGTTGGATTGGACAACAATACCAAGGTTACCGTTTCGGTTTGTTTTACATCCCCATGTTTATCATTTACGCCGGTGCTGTGCTCTTGACCGGTTTGACCATGTACTACACCTACACTGTCATCTACAAGAATGAGCAATCGACTAAAAAGGCCGAGCATCGTAAATACCAATTCAAGTTGGTCAACTATATCGTCGTCTTTTTGGTGTGCTGGATCTTTGCCGTCATCAACCGTATCCTCAACGCCTACAACCTCAACATCTACGCCACCAATCTCTTGCACACCTACCTCAGTATTTCCCACGGCTTTTACGCATCGCTCGTCTTTATCTACAACAATCCAGTCATGTGGAGATACTTTGTGTCCAAGGTTCTGTATCCCTTCAAGTTGCTCGGTCTCTTTACCGAAACCTACCACTACTACAACAAGAACAAGCTCAACAACAATTCGGGTACGGGCAACGTCTCCACCGACAAGCCACACTCGGGTGCCATGAAGACCTGCGTCGCACCAAGTTTTTCGGCTATGGAGCGTGGCGAGTCCTTCTTTACCGACTCTGTTGAAATGTCCATGATGAACTCTAGCATATCTCCCAATGGATCCGGTGTTGCTGATAATATTGATGTCGTCCCCGCTCCCGCCGCCTCCTCCTCTACCGCTGTCACTGTCTCTGTCACCAACAGTAACGACGATAATAACCTAAATAATAATTCTGAAAATAATACTAATAATAACAATGATAATAACGAAAACATTCATCATACATTTGACAGTGGAGGTGAATCAGATTAAACACAACAACTTGATCATTCTGATCGCCCACAACACACACACATTCACACAAACAAATAATTGAATAATTTAATTTCCAGCCCATGGAGATTAAAATAATAATAATAATAATGTACGCTAAAAAACTCTTTTGTAAAATATCCATAGAATTAAATTAAATTAATAAAAATAAAAAACCTATTCATTTAAACATATGTATATATAAATATATATATATACACAAGTAAGGATATTTCTATCCATCTATCTATCTAAATTACAAATTTTTGGTTTATTTTGGTTTTGTTTTTTTGAAAATAAGTTAAGCTCCATTGGTTGTTGGATTTGAGAAAAATTTACTATACTGTTACTATACTATACTATATGACCTACTACTATCACTAGTAATGATACATTTGTTGTTATTATTATTGGTTGTTAACGTTTGGATTGATTGGGTTGTCTTTAAAAAAAATGGCGATGAACAATTTTATATTTTCACAATTATGTTGTTGATGTTGTTATTTGTTTGTTGAGATATCAGATCAACAATATTCAATGTATGTAGATGGGAAGATACCTTCATTGCCATAAGAATCTCTACCCTTTGTCCATCCTGATCCATCGTCTTGTTGAATGACTGAAATTATATCACCAGCACGTAGATTCAAATCAGTGGCCTCTGAACTATTGTAATCGTACAAGGCACGAGCTTGCATCTCTGCACCAGCCGAGTAGTCTTGACTGTAATCTCCTCCTGCGTTATTATCGTAATTGTCATAGTTGTCGTAACTGTCATAACTCTCGTAGGTGTCGTAACCTCCACTTCCACTGTTTGGTACCTTTCCAGGAGCATAAGAAATACGATAATTGTCAGCATCACCACCTTGTGGTTGAATTTGTACCAATGTTCTTTCTTGTTTACTTATTAATGATTCAACTTCACTTGGTAACTAATAAAAATAAAAATAAAATAAAATAGAAAGAAAGAAAGAAAGAAAGAAAGAGAGAGGTTAGTTTCAAGTTTTGAGAGAATATGAATGATCGATTCCTTTTTCCTTTTTGAACATACTTGACTTTGAGCATTAATTAAATCTCTCCAACATTGTAAACCATTGGTGAATTTAGCGTTTGTATCATTTGATAATTCTACATCCTTGTCAATGAATTGGTTGAATTGAGATAAAAAGGTTGCCAATTTCTTTCTCTCCATCAATACAACATCCTTTAATTTGTTGGAATTTAATTGATCAGATTCCTTAATCTTATCATTCAATTCAGTAATTTGCTAAATAAATTGAAATGTTAATATAAATATTAAATCAAAAATGGGAAATATTCTTTAAATCATACTTGTTTAAGGACTTCAGGAGTTGTCTTTTTACCAGCTTTTCTAGTCTTTGCTTCCAATTTTAGAATTTCTTGTCTCATATTATCTCTATCTTTTTTAAAATTCTTTTCAAATGTCTAAATATATTTAAATATATAATTTGGTTAAGAGTAAATAAATGGAAGTTTCCAGGTGATTATTTTTGATTGTTATTGATTGGACTAACTTACCAAAACTTCCTTTTGATCATTTTCAATGGCTTGTTTACATGGAGTAATGAAATCATTTAACATTGTCTTTGCAACTTCTTCTCTCTTTAGTTCAAGTTCTCTGATTGTATCTGCCAATTTTCTTAATCCATCGCCAAATTCTCCGGCATTGTGAACGGTCAATCTGCCAATGGTATCTGATAATACACTACCAGCTTGACTAAGTGCAGTTAATTGTTGTTGGTATTTATTGGCAGCTCTAATAATTTCAGTGAATAATGGTGGAGTATTTACTTTCAAGTTCTATAAATATAATATAGTTAAAACAACAATTGTTGGTTAGTATTTTAAATTGATTGATTGCACGTGAGAGAGAGAGAGAGAGAGAGAGGTGCGAGAGTAATGTTGCCTTGTGTTCCATATAATCCCCCACCCCCTCTTCCTTTCCTTCTATTCCATTGATGTTATTATGATAATCCCGTGATCAACAACTGCATTTGAGGAAAAAGTCTTAAAGCGTATGTGAAAGTTTTTGAAAGAGGTGACTGTTGCTTGCATGAATGACAACGTAGACTTACGTTTATGGTCTTGAGAGTATTCTCTGTTACCGGGTTTGTCTTTTTAGCTTGATTCGACATCTTGTTGTTGTTGATGATTTGGTTCTGATGGTTGAAGTTGTTGATGATGTGTACAATATTGTTTAAACTACTAACAAACTTTATAATAGTCTCTCTCTGTCTCTCTACTCTGTTCTCTGATGCTTTGATTAATATTCTAGTAGGTAAGATATAGAACCCAGCAGCCAAGATAATAATATATTTTCGATAAAGTGTCAGTGTGTAGCAGCAAGCATCATTAGCTTGCAGAGCCATCCCCTCATCACCACTTCAAAAAAATGGTTTGATTTTTTTTTGTTTGATTCTCTGAAAGAGTCAAACTTGCGAATTAGATATATAGTGGATGGATGGATGTGTTTGTTGGTGAACCATCCATCCACCTCCTGCCAGGATCACAAACGTTTATCAATTATTCGGCGTGTCGCATAATTGTTCGTTTACATTGGATTGGTACCCCGACTTTTGTCTTGTTGTTATTTTAAAGATAGCATTCATTTAATCTTCTTTCGTTCATCATCATCATTCATCTTCTTCTGATATTTCTTTGTTCAAGTCAACTTACAATATGTTTTAAACATTATTATAAAGAAGAAAGAATGAAAGATATATCATATCTAAACAATAAATATCATTCATTATTATTATTGACCAAACCTAACAAGATAAACAAAACAAGATAAACCTTAATGATTCATAAATCGATTGCCGGGAACAAAATAATTATCTTTCTTCTGATGATATATAAAGGAGAATATATTGATGAATGAACGAATGAATGAATGAATACAATCTGTCACCTGATTCTGATGTTAACTATTAATAAACATGTGGTGAATAAAAAAGAAATAATTATCTTTTTTCTTTTTTTTTTTTTTATGAGACATCATTCCTTAGAGATAGATTGCGAAAACATAGAACTATACTATAAAACAATATATACAGATAGCTAGCTCGATAGATAGATAGATAGATGTTAAAAAGAAGAAGAACAAAAACAATACAAGATGAACTTTGATATATATAATTACTTTGATACGAATCAGTTGTTTAGAAATGTATACTTGTCGAGAGACTCGAGTGACGATGCATTATTGAATCTTGCTCGTAATCATCAGAGCAAAGTGGCATTGTCATCTTCATCTTCATCATCACCTCCAACAACTCCACCACAACCACCAACACCATCACCATCATTAGTATCTGCAGTAGCTCCATCCTCCCCAATTGTCAATTCACAACAACAACGAAACAACAAGGCACCATTAACTCAAGATCAACAACAACTATATAATATATTACCTTCACTAGTTAATCTTGATAAAAAGGATTATTGTTATGGTTTGGGTCAAAGAGATGCCGAGGTTCCCTATCTATTTGTCAAACAATCTAGTCTTCAAACAAGTGAGTTTTCATTCCCTGCTACATACAAGTATTAAATAGTACTATTCTAACTTGTTCTTTTTATCTGTGTTTGTAGATTGTTTTGAGTGTCTTGAATATGACATTCCAATCATCAAGAATGACGTAAGTATCAATAACAAACATTGACAACAAAGTATAAGAATATGATTCATTTTGGTTGAAACAAATTGACTAAAATCATGCTTTGTTTTGAAACAACAACAATAATAATACAGGAAAACAATGTAATATCAGCATTTGATTATATCATTACAGACTTTTATCGAGAGAATATTATTAGATTGTTAAATGGTGCTTTCAAATGTCAATTGGATGGTATGAAGTTTAACAACGAAAAGGAAGCTCTTCATCATGTTCATCAAGCACATAGATATCAAATCATTCATACTGTTTCTTTATTGGCTTCTGGTATGAATATATATTATATATTTATATTATATATATTTATATATATATAATCATTTTCAACAATCAGATGATTGTTATTCATTCAATGAGATTGACTCTTTTTTTTTTTTTATATAGATAATGAATCTGATTTTATGGGTAATTTGTTTACAAAGTTGATGTATTCTGATTTACTTTATTCGATTCATCCAAAATCAGTTTATTCAAATGAGTATCCAAGTGTCACTGCTCCTTCTTTTCCACCTTTGCAATCAACTGATGAATTGTTGCAACAACAACAGCAAAACACTGTACAGTCGACTGCAATTGGAAAAAAGAAAAAGAAGAGTAAATCGAAAAAAGTAAAACTCCTACCAAAGCAATGCATCACAAATGTATTCCCAAGAGACGAATTGGCAGAATTATCTAGAACATTATTTGGTGAAGCAAATATAATCTCTGAGGATAATCTTACATCTATTATGGTATGCGCGACAGACAGATAATCACAGTTATCAACTACACTGATGGACTGATATAGATATTGACTATATTATTATTTCTCTCTTTTAGATGAAAGAGGTAAATGAATATATTGGTAGTCATACAGGTGAATCGGAAGAATCTAGGATGAAGAGAGAACAAGCATTGTTTAACGAGACGATTAAAATGATACAGAAATCAATGGAACCACCTCCACCTGAACCAACAGAGGAAGAGATGAACGAAATACAGGAAGAGTTTATAGACGAGATCATGGATGAAGTGGTTCAAGAGCTAAGTTCGTTGATATCGAAAAAAATGTTTGCCGAGGAAAAAAAGAAAAAGGAAAAGGATCGACTCAAAGCGATCGAAAGAGAAAAGGAAAGAGAAAAGGAGAGACAACGAGAGGAGCAACGGCGACTGGAACGAGAATTGGAGGAAAGAGAAAGAGAAAAGGTTCGGGAAAAGGAAGTGCAACAAGAAAACATGTTGAATGCAATCGATTCAGTGGTCGAAGAGTTGTTGGAGGAATTGATTTGCGACGAGGTATTTGAAATGTTTGAAGATAATGATTACATGGCTAAAATACTCGAAGAGCAAAAACAATTACAACAACAACTAGTTCAACCAAAACAACCACCATCTCATACCAAAAAAGATCATCATCATCATCAACAACAAAAAGATCATCACCATCAACAAAATGGAAAACATTCAAAGCAACAACAACAACAGCAGATTCAAAGTTCTGCAAAGCTTGGTGTTAAAACTTCAACCTATACAGAGCCTCTACCAACAACAACAACGGTTACTCCGATTACAGCAGCTCAAGAGACAGTTCAACCAACTGTCAGCCAACCACCTGCTGCAGTCGCAGCTGCAGCCACTGCGCCAGTTACCAAACCATTTGTTAAATCTGGTTTGTTGACTGAAGAAGAGATGAACAATCAATTGACTGGAAAACAACAACAACAACAACAACCAATTGGAGTAGCACCCCCAATATCAAATATAATTGCTGCTTCTGATAATACACCCAAACTATCAACACCACCAATCACTTCTGGCATTTCATACGCACAAATATCACAAGGAATACTCAACAAGGCAACATCACCTCCACCTCAACCGTTATCGTCCATGGCAGCACTAAATGCATCGACTCCATTGCAACCAAATGCCCAGCCATTCTTTCCCAAAAATATGCAGCCAAAGATGGTTGCAAACTCGATACATCAAGTCAACGTACCATCTCCCAGTTCATCACCTGCCCTTCCTCCCCACATCAATAACAACATCAACAACAACAATCATATATTGGGTGTTGGATTAAAGGGTGGACCACTCAACAACAACAATGGTTATCCATCAGTTATTTCGTCACTATCACCAGGACCTATACAACAATCACAATCTCCACCACCTTTAATCCAAATACTTCACCAAACACCTTCACCACCACTACTACAGTCACAAAGCAACTCTGATCTGCTATCAAGTAACTTTATCAATTACATACAGTCTTTTAACTACAAGATTGAGTTGACTGTACTTTGTAGGACCGCTCTAAAGGGGGTTTTGGATTTAATGACCGTGTTTAATGGTGCAAGACTAGCATACAATGAATCATTTATTCCAAAGATCCAATTGTTTAGTGGAGGAGGTTCGTACGACAAGGAGAATATCTATCTTGTGCAATTTGAAACATTTGACGACATGGACAAGGCATTGGCTACCTACAACAGTCCTCTATCACCTGTTGTCTTGACACCAGTGTCTGGACGTACCATCAACCACCATGCCCCTCAATCGATATTTAATTCACAACCACCCATCAACCATAACATGGTCGGAGGTATATCATCATTTATGGAAACATCGACACCTACTCTAAGGGAACATGGATTATTTGATTCATTCTCATCGTCTAGTGTGGTCAATCTCTCTTCACTAGGTGGAAGTGGAGGTATTATTCGATCTCCTTCACCACCCAATAGAAACCTAATGTCTCCAAACAATGCTCCATTGAATACAAGCGGAGGAGGATTGTCATCTATTCTATCACCAAACCAACCAACAACATCTACCCTTTCACAAATGCTCAACACTGAATTGGATGAATTGATTCCAAAGGATGATTATATTCGTACCACTACATCATCACCAAGTAATAGTGGTGGTAGTAGATTCTATAACCCTAGTAGTAATAGTAACGGAGTTAACGCCAATGTACCTGGAAGCAGTAGTAATAATATTTTATTTCAATTACAACAGCAGCAACAACAACAGCAACAACAGCAGCAACAGCAGCAACAACAGCAACAGGAACAACAACAAAAGCAATTACAACAGTTACTATCACAAAACACTCTTGTTGGAAGTGGTGTAGGAGTAGGAGGTTTATCATCATTCAATATGACTAGCAACAATAATAATGGTAATAATAATATTAATAATAATAACTTATATAATCATCAATCAAGTTCGACAATATCATTATTACAAACACTTCAACAGCAACAGCAACAACAACAACAGTATGATTTAGGAGGTTTGAATAGTGGAATGATGAATCTAGGAATGGATACATCAATGAATCTGCCTGGTTTGAATTTGGGAGGACTCGGAAATCATCTTGGAAACAACAACAGCAATATTCTTGGAACTGGTTCATCTCTATTTGGATTTTCTTCGGATCTATCAAATAACAATGTTTCTAACCTTGGATTACCAAATTTATCCCCATCTCTCAATCCTTCCTTATTCATGCAATCAATGAACAATACGATGAACAATACAATGAACAATAACCAACAACAACAACAACTACAACAATTAATACTACAACAACAAATGTTACAACAACAACAGCAAAAATTCAATAAATGATGATAGTAGTCATATAATGGTGGATAGAACAAAACATACACAAAGCATTTTAATCTTTGAAAAGAAGAGGGTCGATCATTTATTTCTTTCCTTTATTATTACCGTTGTTATTTATTTATTAACAGAATAGATAAGTTTCTTTGTCACCTTCCATCATTCTATTACATCTGACACTTCCAACGATTCTTTCCAAAGCCATTTTATCCTTGGTAGTGAAGAGACTCATGACAGTACCCTTTTCAAGAGTAACCATATTCAATAATTCAGAGTAGAATTGACTGTTGTTTGGTAAACCGAAAAAGATGACATGCTTGATACCACGGATAAGATTACGATGGAAGTAGTGATAACGCTCACTAAACAATAAAAATGTCTTTTCTCCCTTGTTGAATTGTCTTCTGTTTCTTCTGTCTTGAGCTTCTGCCAAATATTCACTGGCAACTGTAAAACTCTTGGTTTCTTTTTTGAAAATATTACGAATTGTAACAAAATCTGTATAACCTGGAACAAATACCAATACACCAGCAGATTTATCGCTCTCTGCATATTTTGGTAATAACTACAGAAAGAATTGTGGTCAGAGACAAGAAAAAAAAGAATTTAATCAAAGGTATACATACAGAAGCAGTAAGGAATTGAAGTTTGGCAGTTGAATCATCACCATTTAATTCCTTGGCAATATGAACTCTATGGAAAGTTTGCATCAATTCAGGAATAACATTTTGAATTTCACCATCCTTAATTTTCTTGATTCTCATTTTACCAGATACATCTATAATAATTAAAAGAAGGTTAATATAAATATATTTAAGACTTTTTTTAAAATATATACGTACTAAAACATTGTCTATTAAATAGGGCATTGATTTCTGGAGTAAGAATTGAACCAAATAATAAAGTTTGTCTAAAGTATTTACCCCAACCTTCCAAAGTTGGTAATCTGACACGTGAGAAATCAGTGCCATGATCCTTCTTGGGTGTACGATTCAAATTATCGAAAATAATATTCATATGATCCCAATTTTGTTGGAGAATAGTGTCGAGTTGATCGGCAATGACAACTTCAATGCTTGACAAAAAGTCATAATCACGTTGCTTGTCTCCATCGGTACCAACTACAAGTCTCAAACCAAGTGGTGAGGCAATGATAATATCAGAATGGAAAAATGGTTGGAATAATTGAACACCTTTTCTCTTGAATGAAATTCCAATTCTAAAACAATCATCAATATTATCTCTAAATGTATACTTGTAATCGGCTAGAGAAAATAAAAATAATTAATATTATGAAAAATAATTATTGGTTTCTTTTGTTCTTTTCAAACATACCAGGTTTAGCTCCATTAACCTTATCCTCTTCATCTAAAAGAGTAAAATCGTGAATCAATTTTGATTTCTTTGTATTTGCGTCTTGTTGTTGATGTGGAACCATTTTCAATAATAATTTAATAATATCCATTGCTGTATTTCTAAATGGTACAATAATTAAAACCTTTGGTTTAGTAAAACCTTGATGTCTAAGATCAGGACTATATATAGTAAATGGAACAATATTTGAAATATTAGTAAACAATAAAACAATTTAATATTAAATGGTTTGTGATACATACGCAACTTGACTCTTTTCCTCTGCTTCTCTAGTGATTACATTATCTTCCATTAATTGATCTCTTGATTTCAAAATATGGTTAACTGCATGAAGTGTATATAATTGATAGATTGATCTATGGTTCTTTGGTGTAGATTCAGTGTATAATAAATCACGATATTCATTCATGATTGGGAATAATTTTTGTTGAAGCATTGTAAAGTATAAATCTATAAATGAGAAATAAATAAATAAATAAATATTAAATCATATAATAAACTTTGTTTGATATTATTACCATTATCTTTTGATTTCTTTGTAATTGACCATGGTTTAAGTAATCTATTTTTGATGTTGTACTCTTCAAATGAGTTCTTTTCAGTTGGAAGTGATGAAACCTTTTGTTTGGTCTTTAGAGTAGTGTATGATGGACATCCAGAAGAGATTAAATGTCCAAGTGTATCCATTTCAGAGGATGTTCCTTCTAGGGATTTTCCTTTTTCCACCAAATCATCCAATTGACTCCATTCCTCGATTCCATCTCTGTTGAAATGCATGTAATAGTTGTCTGTTCTTTTGTTGACTTGGAACTTTCCTTTCTTTTGCATTTCATTGAGAGTTGCTCTAGTTTCAGTATCATCCTCTTCTGCTTGTCTTTTTCCTGATCCATAAACATCTTCAAATGTTTGTTCTTCTTCTTCTTCTTCTTCATCATCGTCGTCTTCTCCATCTTCTTCATCTTGTTCATCATCCAAATCTTGATCACCATCATCTTCTTGGTCATCTTCATCAACCTCTTCTCCTTCTACCTCTTCATCCTCATCTTCACCTTCACTAAGTTGAATATCATTTTCTTCTCCACTTTCTTCTTGATCATCATCTTGTCCTTCTTGTTCATCTTCCTCGTCTTCTTCGTCATCATCTTCACTATCTGATACTTGTTGAGTTTGTGGTTTTCTCTTTCCAACAACAGCTGATGAACTTGTACTTGTAGTAGTTGTAGAGGAATCAATCTTTTTTGGTTTGAATGATGACATTAAAAGTTGATAAGATGAAGGACCAACTTCATAGATGTTTTCCATGTTTTCGTCGTCATTCTTTTGTTTGAGGACTGTTGGGTCTAATAGTTTGTGCTTGCTAGCACTGCCAGTCTTTAACTCTTTTTGAAGTTTATCGAGGATATCCTTTCTCTGTTGTTCCTGTAGATACTCTTCTCTTCTCTTTTGAGAGGCATTGTACTTGTCAGACATTGCTTGAAACTTTTCATCTCTCTTTTGTCCTCTGCTACGGATACTTAGATCCTTTGCATTCTCTGCCGTATCGAGATAGTAATGCTTGTGAGTTGTATACTTTTTAGATATCTTCTTTGATAACTTTGGTTTCTTTGATTTTGCTCCTCCTGCCATCTTTTATCTCTCTAATCGATTAAACTATTGAATGCGAAGAATAATAATAATAATAGTTCATTATCAAAAAAACCGAGTCATTCGGTCGGGTCGTTTGTCACAAATCAAATAAATCAAATAAATCAATTGATTTTAATGAATGAATAGAAATAATATCATAAAGTTAATTCATCTCTCTCTATGACTCTCTCTCTCTCTCTCTATGACTCTCTATCTATGTAATGGAGAGTTGACAAATGAATCGAATACTAACAAACTTTTTATATATGATAAAAATAAAAATAAAATAAATATAAATAACTCACGGATATCTGACCATCTTCTACTTCTGGTCACCAAGTATATCTTAATGAATGACCGAGGTGTTGACATTTGAAGGTTATATGTAAATTTCATACCAAGTATAATATACTTTTTAAATCAAGATTTTTTTATGTTCTACCCACCATGAAAAGTCTGATGAACTGGCTAAAATTGATTTTCTATTACTTTTAATCTATATATATATTAGATAGATAGATAGATATTTATTTGTATATAATAAGTAGAGAATGTCAAAATCACAAGAACCATCACCTATACCAATCAATATTATAAAGAGTCTAACAGACAAGAACAATGACAAGAGAAAGACTGGAGCACAAGAGATTGAAGCACTGGTTCGTGAATTGGTTATAATCGATGAGATACCTACCATCAAATCAATCATCAAGATCTTATCGGTCGACTATACAGACTCTGCACAGGGAAACAATAAAAAGGGTGGTTTGATAGGCCTAGCATCTATAGCTATTGCCCTTGGTCAGGTATGTAACAAACTACTCACGATGGACTAGTATAGTTACTAACAACACGCACACACACACACACACTCTCTCTCTCTCTCTCTATCAATCTACCTTTTTTAAAGGATACATGTAATTATTTACAAGAGATTATACCACCTGTGTTGAGATGTTTTCTAGATCATGATAGTAGAGTTAGATTCTATGCATGTGAGTCATTGTACAATATAGTCAAGGTTGTTAGAGCAAAGACATTGGTATTCTTTAATGAAATATTCGATGCACTTTGTAAACTCACTGCTGACCCAGATCCACAAGTAAAGAATGGTGCTCAACTATTTGATCGATTATTAAAAGATATAGTTACTGAAAGTCCAACATTTGATATTGACAAGTAAGTAGATAGAGAGAGATATATATGAACAAGATTTATTATACAATGATGATGATGACTAAATAATTAATATAATCTATTTTTTTTATTTTTAGATTTATACCATTATTAAAAGAAAGAATTTATGTTATTAATCCATTTTGTAGACAATTTATAGTTGGATGGGTAATTGTATTGGATAGCGTACCAAATATTGATATGTTGGTACACTTGCCTAAATTTTTGGATGGATTGTTCAAGATGTTGAGAGATCAAAACAAAGAGATTCGTAATGAGGCTGACAAGTCGTTGAGCGAGTTTCTCAAGGAATTGCAAACCACCGAAGAGGTGGACTATGGAAACATGGTAGCTATCATTGTCAGACATTGCTCAGACACTGATGAACTGACTCGTCTACGTGCTCTCAATTGGGTCAATGAATTTATATCGATTGGACGTGAAAAACTACTTCCATACAGTCCACTCTTGCTCACTGGTATCCTACCCAATTTAGAACACTCAATGAATGAAATTGAAAATGTAGCAACCAACTCGATCATTTCGCTTCACAAGTTGGTCTATCACACCTCTCAACCAATCCCAATGAAAGAGTTGATTGAGATAATCACCAAATTCCTCTCATCCAACTCTGTTCAGAGCCGTCTCAATTGCCTACGTTGGATTCTCATGTTGCACAACAAGTTGCCCAATGAGATCGGACCACATTTGGGAGATCTTTTCCCACATCTCCTCAAAACACTCAGCGATTCGTCAGACGAGGTTGTCACACTCGATCTCGAAGTTGTCGCCAAGATCTCTGACAATACGTTGTTGTTTGATCGTTTGATGGAGAGTTTGGTCAAACTCTTCCAATACGATTCCATCCTACTCCGAACTCGTGGCAATTTTATTATTCGTCAACTTTGTCTATTTTTAAATCCAGAACTCATATTCCGTCGATTCTCTCTGATCCTCAAGGACGAGAACGATGCCGACTTTGCCAGTGTAATGATCCAAACCCTCAACCTCATCCTTCTCACCTCTGACGAATGCGTAGATATTAGAAAGAACCTTAAAACTTTGGCCTCTCCAGAAAGCAGAGACCTCTTTTCAACTCTCTACAAATCTTGGTCTCATAGTCCTGCCTCTTTGTTTTCACTTTGTATGTTGTGTCAAGTTTATGAACATTCTTGTGATTTATTATTGAAATTGTAAGTAGAAAAGAAAAGAAAAGAAAAGAAAAGAAAAGAAAAGAAAAGAAAAGAAAAGAAAAGAAAAGAAAAGAAAAGAAAATATTTCCCAACAACAATCACTAATTCGTTTGTCTCTCTTTCTCTCTCTTAGTTCTGAAATTGAAATTACTGTAAACTTTTTAATGGAACTTGATAGATTAGTACAATTATTGGAATCACCAAGATTCATGTCATTAAGATTACAATTATTGGAACCAGAAAAATACCCATCTCTCATCAAAGCACTCTATGGTTTATTAATGATCCTACCTCAATCATCGGCATTTGAAACACTTAAAAATAGATTAACTTGTATATCTTCACTAGGAACTTTAAGATTAATTCCAAAAACGTAAGTAAATCATAATAATGATTATTTTATTATACAAGAGTACTAACAAATCTCTTTTCCTTTTCCTTTTGAATATTTATTAGTGAAAACCAAGATGGAAATAATATTAGTAATAATCCAGATTTGAAAGATATTGATTTCAAGGAACTACTTGAACATTTTAAACTTGTACAAGACGCTCACGAAAAATATATTAGAAAGAATGCACAGAGAAAGGCTAGATCGGGATTAACAACATCCTCTGAAACATCATCTCCACCAAAACAATCACATCTTCCCTATGGACTTCAAAATTTTGTAAACAAAAGAGTTGCTCATCACACCCTATCTAATCCTTTATCAAGTAGTGATCCAACTCCTCATGATCCCAATCATACCAATCATCATTGATGATTTTGAACCAAAAAATAAATTAATTATTTATTTATTTATATCTTTTTTAAAATTCACACAAGAAAGAATCTTTTTTTTTTTTTTTCTAATCAGTTTAGTTTGTTTGTTTGTTTGATAACAACTAAAGAAATGGAAATAATCAATCAAGTATTTCTAAATAAATACTTGGTAAGATGTATTATGAATCATGTACATCAAATACATAGGATTGTGTATAGAGTGGATGAAGACTTTAGAAATGAATCGTCAATCAAGCAGTACAAAGACATCACGGTGGTGTACTATATGATAAAGAACAAGTACTATCAACTGTTTAAAGAAAAGATGCAACGTCGGGAGACACTGGTATTCACATCAAAGTGCAAGAAAGCGTTGCTGTCGGAATGTAAAGATCGCCAAGTCATCCAACTGGCACTACAAGGCTACTCTGACTTGATTGAAGATACCAAGCAGTCGGTGCATAGAAATCAAGTCAAGGAAAGAAAAGATAACTTTTGGTCAATGGTAGAGACAACAATCCTTTTCGATGACTTGGTGGCCTTGCAGTGTCTACAAGAGCACTATCAGATGCTCTCGCCTACCCCTCCAGCCCAGGTACTCTTATTTCCTCGATCAACAGAGGTATGCGACTACCTTGGACAGTTTAACATTAAAGCAATCGTTAGAAGAGGTGAAGTAACAAAAAATGGATCTCATACACTTCGTTCATCAGAGGTTCTAGCACTCATCGATAAATGGAGCTTGGAGACCATCGAATCAAGTCATAATGAACTAGAGTGGGACAAGAACCGAACTAGAGAATATGTCTGTCATCTCCATACCATAAAAGACAAATCAACAATGACTCGACTGATGGTCGATAAACTTTGGTTACTTTGTCGATTTTGGTGTTGGTCGATTAAAACTGTTTCATTGGATACACTTGCTCCACCTGCTGGAACAATTGAACCAGACCATCCCTTGTACAACTTTCTACTCTTTTCAGCTGTTTTGGAAGTTGTTGATATTAGAGTGAATCCTCTAGCAGAGGCCAGAGTTATTATAGGTGAATGTGCAAAACACAAAGTACCTCACATGGTCACATTTAGTTTTGTAAAGGGACATGCAAAAGATTTGTTGGGATTGTTTTGCTCAAATGGATCATTTGAACAGGTGCAATGGTACGTGAACAACACTCCAAATATCACTAGTGATATAGACATCAAGTCAATTGAACTCATCGCATCGCTAGAGGTTGCACAACTTCTTATAGAAAGATTTCCTCAATACATCCCATCAAACAATACCGTTGTACTTCTTATTAATACCAATCAACTCGATATACTACGATTCTTCATTTTGGACAAGAAACTATTTGACAGGGACTGGGTATTGAGTTTTGGTATGAACAACATCCTCTTTTGCAAAAACATAGACCTCATTCAATTCTTTATTCCAAACAAGGAATCATTTTTGAAACACAAAAAGTCATCACCACCCTTTTCCAATTATTCCGGCTACTCTTCCAAAACCATCGAGTATCTGTATGAGTTGGCTCCTCAAGAACTCATCCAAGACATTTCATCTTGTCCTCCTTCAAATGTATTGGCAAGGAAACCAATATTCTCATTAATAATGAGGGTATTGGCTGACGACGGCGGTGTCAATTTTAAAAAGGATTTCCCATTCTTTTTTGATCAAGCAGTCGTCAGATATGGATCACCAGATGCCGTTGCCAGTCTAATATCTCAAATGAACCGCACATGGAAAAAAACAAAACTTTTCTATCTAACCATGGTATCCCTATTCCGAGGTAACCTCTCCATTACTTCTCAATTTACATCACTTTTACAACAACACAAGAAAATGTTTGATATCACAAACCCCTCATCATTCTTGAAAGTAGACCAAGATTTTATAGATTCAGAGATACTGTTTCTTTACAGAGACATTGGAAACTGTGGCTCGGCGGAACTATTTGACATTGTAAATGAAGTAATGTGCACCTTTAATTATCCAATTAAAGGAAATCATCTATTAATTGCACAAGCTTTGGTTTCTGGTAATATTAAACTTCTTGTTCACATACAAACACGCTTTCCCACTTGGTTTCTTTCTGAACAAGTCATTCTTCATCAAATAGGTGGTTTAAAACATGCTTCATTCCCACCACCAGTTCAAACCAGTCTATACCTCGAGACAACCGGTATATCAAGCTTTGATTCATTCTTCAAACAAAGAAATACTCCAATACATACCGACTATCCAGAAAAAAGACAAATAAAATGGATAAAAGTGGATAGAAATGATTAACACAAGAGATTCGTCCAAACAATCAATTTATTTCGCAATCTGTACTAAATTGGACCCACCATTGGAAAAACATTCGTCAACTATAAATAAAGGGCTGGAATTTATTTATCTATTATCAAATAATATTAATTTCCAAACTTTTGCAACATTTAATTATTCTCTTTGCTTTAATTTGTTTTATTCAGTATCCACTCATAATTATTTGTTGGATTAGTCGTTGTGGTCACTGAATTTAAATTCTAAGGATGGCAATAATACTGTGATATGTATACTCTTCGCTTTCAGAGTATGCTGAAATGATCACTTGCAATATGGGAAGTGTGAGTTGGAACTTGTCCCTAGAGATTTTTTTGAGACCATCTACATACTCCATGATCTCGATATAATGATCAGAGTTACCATATACCAAAATATCTTGAACTAAATCTCTGGTACTATCGAAATTGGGATCGTCTTGAAACCATTGGCATGAGCTTGGAACTTGAACCATTGACTAACTACTTGCCATTCGAGGTTGTTAATTGATGGTACGACTAGATTGAGTTGATTTTCGGATATTTCAACTGGACATCCATTATCATTGTTAATTGATATTGATACATGGTCTTCCCAATCGTTATCTACAAGTAGGTTCTCTAATGGTACATTTCTCTCTTGACTGAGAACTAGACAATTTTAATTACATACTCCCTGTCGTGGCTCTTTACTGGTTCTCCTTGAATGGGGCCGCTTTGATAGCCTGGAAAATGACTGTAGTGTGTAGAGCATGATAAACCTCTCCAATAATGTCCGTGCCTTGGTTGGGGATATAACATGGGTTGGTCATTTACTTCTATTGGGGTTCCAACATCTTTATTAATACAAAGTTTGAAAGAGGGTGGAAGTCTTTGTGTCTCACTCATTCTATATATAGCTCTTGTTAATTTTCCTTGAGGGTTGAGACAATTAATTGAGGTGAAATATTGATTGGTTGGTATGCCCAATGATTCTAAATGATGTTTATAGAGTGTTGCATTGCCATTTCTAACTTTAACAATTGCTGGGTCCTCTGACTGATCAAACAATTCTCTGTGTTCAGTTGTTAATAAGTCCATGATTTGTTGTATCATAAAAGTAATTGACCAAACTGATATGATTCTTTTTGAAAAATTATGAAGAGCTTATCACAACTCTTTCATCAGTAAATAAATTAATAAATTTATTAAATATAAATAATATTTGTTTGTTTGATTGATTGATTGTTTGTTTTTTTTTTGAAAGGGTTTGTTTATTACATGTAAATATGATTATTAACTTTTTTAAAAGGTATTGTTGATTATTATAAGAACAAAAAGGTCAAGAGGGTATTGAAATGGACGACGCGTTTTTGTTTATTTTCCATTACCGAGGGTGTTGGACAACCAGTCGAGACCTTCGTAGAGACCATCACCAGAAGTGGCACAAGTTGATTGAATGTACCATTTACGTTGACGGAGAGAGTGGAGGTTGAGCTTGTCAGTGACTTCAGCAACACTCATGGCGTTTGGAAGATCTTGTTTGTTACAGAAGACAAGGAGAACGGCATCACGGAGTTCATCTTCATTGAGCATCTTTTGGAGTTCATCGCAAGCCTCTTGAATTCTTTCTCTATCGTTGGAATCAACGACGAAAATGAGACCTTGGGTGTTTTGGAAGTAATGTCTCCAGAGTGGTCTGATCTTATCTTGACCTCCGACATCCCATACGGTGAAGTTGATGTTCTATAAATTGAAATTGAAATTGTTAATAAAATCTGCTGATGTAATATATATACAAATATACAAATATATTTGTGTCTATGCCATATAATGATCATCATACCTTGAATTCGACAGTTTCAACGTTGAAACCAATGGTTGGGATGGTAGTGACGATTTCACCCAACTTGAGCTTATACAAGATAGTGGTCTTACCAGCGGCATCGAGACCAACCATCAAAATTCTCATATCCTTCTTGCCAAAGAAACGAGAGAAAATCTTGCTAACGTTAACACCCATTATTTATTATATTAATTCTATATTTGTGAAGATATATATGCGCAGTAGATAGAGGAGGAGGATAGAAGATTATATGTGAATAAATAAATAATATTATACAAAGAGTGTGATATGATAAGAAAGAGAGAGAAGAGAATAAATTAGTTAGTTAATTGTGATCAGCTGCTTGGCAGGATTAATAGAACACAAAAAATTAAAAAAAATTAAAAAATAAAAAAAAAGAAAAGAGAATGATTATCATCAATCATCTTGTTCTCCTTTTTGATCGTCGTCATCAACAACCCATTTTTCTCATCGAGGTTATTATTGTGAACAGCAGACAGACAGACAGAGACAACAGTAGCACACACTACTGCTATATTATTATATTATTAATAGACATACTTGTGAAAACTTTATATGGTTGTAAATATTATTTGAATTGAAATGAAGGAGAGGAGGATTTAGTTTTACAAAAAAAAAAAAATTGGTGAGAGGAGAAAAATAAAAAAAAAGCGAGGGGAGAAGATCAAAGAAATCTTTTTGAAATGGTTTAGAGAGAGGAGAGAATCGTCGTCGTCGTTGTTGTATTGATGGTTGCAAATCTAACTATAAAGATATTGTCTTTTTGTACTCTAAATAAATAATAAAACAAATTGAACAATTGAATCGAATACTTTACAAAGAAAGAATAGAAAAATAAAATATTTGTTCAATATTATTATTTTCTTGTATTCTATTCTATTCTTTGCAGGTCATATATAATCCCAACTCTCTGCTTGTGTTTCGAAGAGAGAGAGAGAGTGCAGTGAGGGGTGGGTGTAGTGGGATTATTATGGCGGTCTACTCTTCACTCTTTGATTGCAACCAACACACACACAGAGATATGTACACACGACTTTGCACCCAACTTTTTTTTTTTTTTGGAATACCCGTGTGATCATGTGTCGGTATGTATAGTGTTGGTAGTTCAATGCAAAGGTAGAAATAGAATGTTATGATAATGCCATTTTAAAAGTAAAACTAACTTTTCTCTCTATCTCTCTCTCTATCTAATTGATTGATTGGATTTTTTTTTTTTTGTTGGTGAAGTGATGATTGAAGTGAAGATAATAGAATCTATAAATCGTCTGTCTTGTCTATCTAAAACGTCTGCTGTCACTGTTGATGAATCGAATCGTCCTATGATATGTTACTATTATTACTCTTTTAAAATTACAACTAATAGACAAATAATACACACGAAAAAAATTTACAAATGAAGAGGACTGGGAGAGGTTTCCATCAAGTACATGAAGAGCTTGAAAAAAAAAATTAAAAAATTTGATTGTTTTTTTTTTTTTTTTTTTTTTTGTAAAGATTTTTCTTTCTCCAAAGACAAGGAGGGAGACGAGAAGAGAAGAAGGACCTACCTTTTTAGAATAATTAAATTAAACCTTTGTAATTGTATAGTTGTTTAGTAGTAAAGTTATTTGTTGTTTGTTTGCTTGTTTGATTGAATGTATATATTGCATTGTTGTTTTTGCAGGCTATTTATGTCAAACACCAGTTTCTTTGTTGAATGACTCACCGCGGGAGTGAATCATCAAGTTTTTTTTTTTCACAAAGTAGGGTGTGAGAGAGACAGAAAAAAGAAAGATTTGCAGAGAGCCCCTTTCCTTTCACCCTCCCCTCTCGCACCGCACTGGGGATTCACGAGATGTGAGAGAGTAAGGGTAAGGTATAAATTCTTTGATAGGATATTTGGATCACCCGAATCTAATTTAAACATTGGTCGTTATTTTCGTCGGGTTGGTGAGTAATGGCCCTTTGACTCATTAAAGATACCTCAACAGAGGAAGATTCCATCTTTGAAAATAATACTAAAATGAATCCAGGCATTTATTTCTTTGACCAAAAATAATGAATAAAACAAAGACAAACAGCAAAGATTGGAGTTGATTAACTGTAACTGAAAATTAAATAATTTTATTTGGTATAAATATTATTATAATTATTACAAAAGTATTAATATAGTAGGGTATTATTATTATTATTATTTTAGACAGTCAAGTTTGAAATAAATAAATAAATAAATAAATAGTATTATTTTTTTTTGTTTTTAATGGCAGCTGATATATGCTAGTTGGTATTTAAATTAATATTATTAAAATCGTATAAATATTCTAAAAAGTAAAGAGTTTTTTAGTTAGTAAATAAATCTATATAAATATTTAAAAAAAAGAGTAGAGGAGAACATACTTTTAAAATCATGTTGATTTAGGATTTCAGATTCTTTGTTTGGAAGGTAACCAATTAATATATTAAAATTAATCGATATATTAAAGGCACGTTTGATGATACATCTAACCGTTAATTTGTATTTGCATTCAACCAATGTTCCATTGGTCGATGGATGATGGAACTTTTCAGGTGTCAATCTATAATTATTCCACATTGGTCTTGGTGTAGAATTATTACTACTACTACCACTACTACTACTACTACTACTACTACTGCTACTACTACTACTACTACTACTACTACTACTACTACTACTATTACTATTATTATTATTATTAGTATTAATACTACCACTTGAAGAAGATATATAAAAACAATCACCCATACTACAAAGTTTTGGTGATGACGCATTTAAATTAATTTGACTATCATTATTACAATTAAAATATTGTTGTTGTAAAAGTAATTGTTGTTGTTGTTGAATGCTTTCTTGTTGTATAATCTTTAAAAAGTCAAATTGGAGTATATTTTCGTGGTTGGTGTGTGATCCGATTCCTTCGAATCTCTGTTTAATCTTTGTATGATTCTTTTGAGAGACTGTCGATGTTGATGTTTCCGATTTGGCCACTTTTATCGTTTCAATTCTCTTTAGTTGTACCTTTAAATAATCGATACATCTCGATGACGAGTTGACAATAACAAATTTAATGGGGATAGTCTCACCTGGAAAGAATACATTTTTCGGAATCGATACTTTTAATTTCACCTCTCCTTTACTGACAAGGAATGATTTTGATGCTTCCTTGAATAATGGAACTTGATTAATCGATGATGCTATGATAACAGGTTCAGTTACAACAAATGATTTCTTTACTTTCATTGTTGAATGTGAATTTTCAATAAATATTGATAATGTATAAGCTATAAAAAAATGGAATAGAACAAATATGGTTAATAGGGAAACATTAAATGTTTGATCAACTCTATACAAACATACTTATAGAACTTAAAGTTTTGTTTGAATTATTGGCAAAGCAATAGGAACTTGGTAAATGACTTGGTAATTTAAATTGAAAGGGGAATGTATGTGATCCTCTAGTCAATCTATCGGTATCATTGTCATCGGTCGAATAAATAATATCAGTATCTTGAAAAATAACTTTTCTTTGTTCAATTCTTTCAGTTGGTAATGAAATTACATTCTATAATCAAATATTTTAGGTTAATTAACAACAATATTCAATATATAAACGTTTGATTTTTTAAACTCCAACATACATTATATTTTGGTTTAATTGTAGTTTGATGATAAATTACATGTTCTACGGCTTTCCATTTGAGGGAAACACCAGTTGTAATGGTATCATGTGATAGGAATAAATTAGCCTTTCCCGATACATTTTGACCACTAATAAAATACAATTGATCCATGTCAATATCAATCTTTCCAAATTGTTTGGAAGGTGGTGCTACAGTCCCTGAAAGAAGCTTCTCCCTAAAGCTTGAATAAGATGTGGATGGACTACTACATCCACTACCATTACCATTGCTACCTATTAGAGTGCTTACATTGCTGTGATAGGACGATGGTTCCATAGTGGTCAAAGGGTCAAATGAGCTGCAATGATGATGATTGGTTGGTGGAGTGGAAATGAAAGAAGAAGAAGAAGAAGAATGATGAGGGAAAATAATCAATGATGGTGATGAGGAGCAGGATGACTGATCACTTGAATTTTCAAATTGATTAGAGTTTTCAATATTATTATGATTATTATTATTGATATTTAATGGTATTTCAATAGCATCACTTTCTTGACAATTATTATTTTTTATAAAAATGTGATTATTATGGATGGTGTTATTTAAGTTTGTTGTTGTTGAATGACTGCTGCTGCTGCTGCTGCTGTTGTTAGTGGGGTGATGGTAAATGGTGGAATTTGTGTTTTCGGATTGATTTTTTTGTTGTTTTTGGGTTTGGTTATTATTATTATTAATATTTAAATCCATGATGATGATCTGTGTATCATCATCACCGTCATCAATCAAAATATTTTGATTATTTTGGTGTCCAGATAATTTAATTAAACTACTATTGTCACTATTGATATCACTTAAATTATTATTACAGGTGTTATTATTATTATTATTATTATTAATAGTATTAATTCTATGAGCTGACAAGGTAGGTGAAGTAAGAAGGATAAAATTATCCAAAGATGTTGTTGATTTTAAACTGTTGTTGTTTTGAGAAGTAGAGTTATTTAATTGGGGTGACCATGATATTTGGGGTGAAGAAGAACAGGATGATGATGATGATGATTTATGATTGCCAATGATTGGATTATTGATAATGTTGTTCAAAAACGTGTGTTGTTGTTTATGGCTCAAAGATAGTGGTGGTGATGATATAGGTGGAGTAGTACATGCGGACGAAGAGGAGGTAAGAGTAGGAGTAGTAGTGGTAGGAGTATTATTATTACTCTTATAAGATTGATAAAGAAAAGGTAAAAAGTGATCACTCTTGGAGGTACGATTTAGTCCAATATTATTATTACTATTTCTCCTTCTTATATTGTAGTCGCCAGGTGTTTTGCCTGCTTGAAAATTGTCCACCACACCCTCTGATGAAGTAGATTGTGTGGTTTTGATTGAGTGTGTTTGGTTTTCTTTTAAATTGTTATAATTATCCTCCTGGCAAGTACTTTTACTACTACTACTAGTACTTTGTTGAATATTAACATCATGTCCCTCTTCTTCTTCTTCTAGTTGGGCAGTCGTAGTGGGAGAGTTATTGATGATACCTAAAGATCTATGTGTGCTTAACATGTTATTGTGTATGTACAATGACTTTTAATAATAATTAAATATTATAATACAAATGTTGGGCAAATAAATAAAAGCAGATAGGATAGAATAGGAAATAAGGAAATGAAACAATTGAAAAGCTGGAAAGAGGGAGGAGTGCGTCCAATATGATTATACTTCATTTCAATTGGTGGTGTGTGAGTGAGTCGGGGGGCCGTGGGACATCTCGTCTCTTATCTCTTTTCTCGTTGTCACACTTGTGTTATAGAGTTAAGTTGGTTTTGTGGCGGTGTATGAGTGGTGGGGGTAGGGTAGTAGTGTTTAAGGGAAAACACATTTGTTTCATTGATTGATTAATCAACATACATATCATATCATAAATCGACCAATCAATCAGAGTGAGGATGTATTTTTAGATGTAAATATCGATATGTTGTGGTTGTACATGGTTGTGTGTGGTGGGGGGGGCAATTGATTTCATTGTAAGATCGGTTTGATCGATATAACCCACAACCCATCATCCATCGACTGACTCTCTGATCAGTGAATTAATTCCATCATCTACTTTCAAATAACATCCAACAACAACAAGAGTGAGTTGTTGAAGAGGAATGAATGGATTTATCTTTTTTTTGCACTTTCACAACAAAGCTAGCTAATGAGTTCAAAATTATATATTTATTTTTTATTATTAATTTAATTTAGTTTAATATTATCAAACTATTGCCTGATATGATAATTAATGATCTTGAGTACCACCAACTATGAATTCATATTTTTATTTACTCTATCTCATATACATATATAATTAACTTTTTTTTTGAAATTAAAAATAAAAGTTCAAATGATTAATTAATTCAGATATTTACAAAAGAGGCTAATATTAAAAGCAAGTTGAGTGTATTGTCAACCCCCTCTCTTTGAATATATCTACATCTATTTAAATGGATACAACTACAAATATTAATACAAGGCAAAAAGAGGATAAAGATGAAAAGGAGATATACAGACAACAACTCATTAAAAGAGTGTTGACCAATACACTGTACTTTAGGATGATATTGCTATCGTTGTATTGTGATGAAAGAAACAAGTTTGTGGAGGATAATGAAGAAGAAGACAAATACAGTAGCAGCAGCGGTATGATGTCATCATCATTCAATTACAAGAGGAGATATAGTGTTAGAAAAAAATACCATGATTATCGTACTGTCAAGAACATCACCAAGTTTGGTCACGACTCTCTGCTCAAGGAAAAGATCGTCAAGGGACACTTTCAAGAACTCAGATACAAAGATATTGTACCAATATGTCAATACGTCAAAGATATAGATACATTCAATATCGTATATACAAGATACAAACATCTATTCGATACCGAGCCTTGGGAACTACTAGTTGGTGCGGCAACCCACAACACCAACTTCCAAGTTATCAAGATACTCAATGAAAATGTAGATGCCTATAAAATACAACTGACTCGACTATCACAACTATCACAACAACAACAACAACAACAAATACTTCAACAACAACAACTACAACAACAACTACAACAACAGCTACAACTACCAACATTTAATATCGACAATAAGAGTTGTGATACAGTGTTGACAAGATCGACTTTTATAAATGCAATCGAATTGTTAAAACGAGTTAGAGATGTTGGTATATTCAAATATATGTTTGGTGTAATGGTCGAAGCAGGCATACCAGTGAATACATTGTTTGATAACATTTTTCATTATCAGAATCCCTGTACAAACGATATTATCGATTTCCTTTGGTCGTATGACCAAAGGCAATGTCATCGTCATCTAAATAGTTTGAAAAGGTCTTTTTCACTTGGATCTAAACCTCCTTATATTCCAGGCCCACAAGAGGAAGAAGTAGAAATCAACCAAGTTGTAACTACCTTTTTAGAGACCTATCCAAATTACTTTAAAGGTGATGTAGTTAGACAACAAACTTTCATATCACATATGGCCTATTTCGAAATATCGAGACAGTTGACCAAAGAATTGATCGAGATGGTCAACCATCCTTCAATCACAAGATATTGGTTGCAAGTTGAACCTCACAACACTGCATTTGTAAAGATTTGTCAGTATGGTACACTAGAGCAAATGAGGACATTTCAACTATCTGGATCCGATCTATACAGAAGGGATTTCTTGTCAACGATTAAATTAAGAGATTTCCAAAATAGATTGGATTCCCAAATCGATATTGTCGAACATTGGTTTCAACATTTTTATATTGATTCCTATCATCCACCTCCACAACATCATCATCAACAACAACACAACGACCATTATGATGATGGTGGATATCCTCAACCACCCTTTAACGATGAAGATGTTATCGATGATGAATATGCACATATAAATGTATTTACTTATCCATATCGAATTGGATCCATTGATGCTCCACAAAAACCAAGATTTGCACCAAAAACACAAAGAGGTTTAGAGTTTTTATTGAGGTACAATAACAAGGTACCAGAAATTGACTCTTTTGCAATCGATATGACCTATTTTGATTTAAACATGCTCAACTTTTGTATTCAAAAAGGTATAAAGTGTGACGGTTCATTTATTATACATCATTTAAAACTTGGTAATTTGGAGACTATCAAATATTTGGTTGAAAAGTTGGGGCTTTGGAAAGACTGTTTCTCATGTATGGAGCTGTCACTAAACTATGGTAACCTTCATATTGGATACTATCTGGTTGAATCGATGCCAAAAGGGTTCAATATGGAACAGGGATTAGCATCCAACCTATTAAATCCACTGGCATTCCAGTTGGGTGCTACAGGAGATATACAACTCATCCAACAAATTGGTCTGGCTCGTAGAAGAATAAAGTATGCATTGGAAGGAGCTATTAAATTTGGTAAATTAGAGTGTGTCAAATTCCTATTGGAACCACATCATTGGGATCCATGCAAGACATCGATGAAACTACGACTACCCAAAGTCATCAAATACAATGCTACAGGTGTTTTGGATTACTATGTCAGTCATCAAAGTCGGTTACTAGCAATGTTTGATGACCAAGTTATACTCAGTCATATCCTAAGTTGTGGTAATCCATATCTTTTAAAGTGGCTTGCAAATGGAAGAAGATGGCCAAACCCTCAACAAAAAGAAGTTGTCGATGCAAAGGTATTGGCATTATTGACTAAATATGTTAAACGGGCCAAAGAATTTATCATGGTTCATTTGGACGATAGTTGTAAACACAATCTAGATATCCTTCTTTACGCCTATCAAGTTGGCTTCTTATTTAAAGATGGAGTCGCCATTGAAGAGAAGAAATTAAATTTTGCTTTTCTCAAACATTATCAAAAAATATTGGCAATCTATTTAAATTATAATCAAGATATTCGTCAAGAAAATAATAATCAAGATCAAAGTAATAATAATAATAATAATAATCAAAGTAATCAAAATCAAAATAATCAAAATCAAAATAATAGTCAACATAATAATAATAATAATAATAATAATAATAATAATAATAATAATAATAATAATTACAATAATAATAGTCAAAATAATAATAGTATGGATACTAGTATGGGTGATAATAATTTAAGTTATGCTAGTGAATATGATGATGACTTTGAATTTGATTTTGACGAACACGATACCCAAGAAAGTAATGTCGATAATATCAATAATATTGTAAATAATAGTAATAATGAAGATGGAATTCAAAAGAAAAGAAAGGCTGAAGAAGAATTAAATAAAACTGTACAATAGGTTCGATTTGGCGCCAAATTGATGATCCACCCCTGCTCCCTTTTTTTTTTTTGTTTTTTTTTTTTTTTTTTGATCATGGAGATCTTCATTGCTTGGGTTTTTCCCTATGAAAAGAATTTAATTTTTATTATTAATAATTTATTATAAACTTTAACTATCAAGATCATCATTTTTTAAAAAAAAAACAAAAAAACCTTCAAAAGAAGAAGAACAACAAGAAGAAGAATTCATTCATTCGATTCATATCAACAACTATATTTTTAAAACATATACAAACAAGCACAGTAAAACATTATTACATTACATTTTTATATGATGAATAAATCATCATCGATACCAATCCCCTTTATACCATCCCCAACACAAACAGAAGAAACAAATGGGATGTTTACAGAGGGTGGAGGGGGAGGAGGTCTCTTTAACTCGACCTCTACCTATTCCTCTTCATGCTCTCCTCCATCGTCACTAAATACAAGTTTTAGTGAACAATTTGAATCACAACTACATAGTAACCAATTACTCCAACAACAACAACAGCAACAACAAAATGGTGGTTATGATCCATCTTCACCAAAGACACCAAGTCTATATAGACCGGTTAAAAAGACGACGACAAGTAGTAGAGCACCTAAAACCACCACCTTTTCAAACATTGATGAGATCATTCATACACCATTTACAAACGATCGAAAGATGATGTTTCACAGTCCCGAGACTAGTCATTCTTCATCGATCCCCATGTCTGCATCGAGACCAACACCCGATCAAGAGGTGTTTGATGTGGCATTGTTTAGCGACAAGAAAAAGAAAAACGTCATGAACCAAACACCTCGATGTCCCTCTCCACCACTCAAATCAACACCGGCCAGTCGCGTCATTTCATTCAACTCCAACACTCCATTTGTTCACCATCTCTCTACAACATCACCACTTGTAGTCTCCTCTACAACACCCAACAATCCCCTATTCTCTTCATCTTCTTCCTACTCTTCCTCTACCATGATGGACTTGTCGAGTGACAATCCCGCCACCACAAAGAGTAGTAATAATCTTTTCAGTAGTTTTAGTAGCACCACCTCTAATTCATCAGTCAATGCAGACTCGACAGTCTTTGATCGAAATTTCAAGATACTCAAAAAACTTGGTAGTGGATCATTCTCTGATGTATTTCAAGTTAAAAGTAGAAATGATTCAAAAATGTATGCGATTAAACAAGCAAGACATCCTTTTAGAGGTTATCAAGAAAGGTAAGAAAAAATCAAAAGAGAAAGAAAAAGTTGACAGACTTTTTTACTTATACTCTTTTTTTTTTTTTAGGGATAGAGCAATTCAAGAGATTAAAAATGCAACATCATTAAGTAGTCATGAAAATATAGTACAATATTTTAATGCATGGGAACAAACTGGTATTTTATTTATACAAACAGAATTATGCGAAAAGGGAACATTGAAAGAGTTTCTAGACATTAATAATGGTCAATTACCAGAGGAAGTGATTTGGAATCTTTTATTGGATTGTTGTTTGGCCGTACAACATATACACAGTCACAACATGTTACATCTTGATATTAAACCAGAAAACCTTTTCATTTCATCAAATGGTCGTCTCAAAGTTGGAGATTTTGGAATGGCATTAAAATGTGAAAGTAACAATAATAATAATAATAGCAATGAAGAAGAAACTACCAATAATATCAATGATAGTGTTGATACATCACCAACAAACATTGATGAAAATGAAACAACACCAAAACAAAACAAGAAATCAGATTCAAATAATCTTAGTATTGATGAGGATGATTTGTACTATGACTTTATCGAAGGTGACAGCAGATATTTAGCAATCGAATTCTTAAATGACAAAAAATTGATAGGAATTCACTCTGACGTTTTCTCGATTGGTGTATCGTTTTTTGAAATTGTTACTGGCAAAGAAATGCCAACCAATGGACCACTATGGGAACAACTTCGTAGTGATGGTGCTTTGGAATTCCTCGAACCAAACAAGTACTCTGAAGAACTTTACTCTTGTATATTATCAATGATGAAATCAAATCATAATCAAAGAATATCTTTAATTGAAATATTTCAAATACCAAAAATCGTTAATATTTTAATTCAAAGAAAAATTAATGTATGGAAAAGAACAACAAAGAGATATATAATCAAATATTTATTCATTTCTTTCTTTATCTTTTTTTTAGCCAAATTATAATGTATTAGCAGAATTTATTCCAAAAACACCAATACATCCTTTAGATAGACTGATTAGTCATGAAGAAGCAAATAATAGTGGCAATTCACCTTTATCTACGATGTTATTATCGGCAAGTCAATCGTTTTTAATCCCATTTTCCCTTAGATCAAGTAGTAATGATTTAAATATAACAAATCATAGTAGTAGCAACAGTAGTAATAATCTCTTAAATAATAGTCAAAATAATATTTTCAACAATAATCCAGAATTTCAATTTAAAAGCAACAACAATAGCAACAGTAATAATAATAATAATAATAATAGTAGTAATAATACTAACGGTGGTGGAAGTGGATTTTACCTCCGTCCTCGTAATAGTATTAGTAAAACAACAACAAATAATAATAACATTCAACAAAACACTAGTAATAATTATGACTCTGATAACGAAGGAAGTGGATTCTATCAATCAAAGTCTAATCATTCAAGTAGTGAAAACATCAACAAAAAATTAAACTTTTCAGATCTCCAAGATTATGATATACAAGATGTTGATCAAGATGAGGAAGAAGAAGAAGAATGTGAACCAACTCCCAAAAAACTAATATCACCAAGGCCAATGATGGCAACAACAATGGCTCCTCCTCCATCTGTAACCAAACAACCAATCAATAGAAACCTTAAACCTCTTGCATTCCCTGATTTAAGTAGCAGCTTTGGAGGTGTAGGTAATGGAATTGGTATGAATGGAAACAGTAGTACTAGTGGTCAAAAACATAATATTCTCAGAAGAAGTATTGATCCTTCTCTACAAGAAGATTTATCATCTCCAAGAAATCTTTTAAGTGTATGTAAACTAAAAAAAAAAGAAACAAAAAGTAAATATATTGATATTAATTTTTCCATCTTTTTTGTATTTAGCTATTTAATGAAACAAAAATAAATAAGACTAAAAAAGAAGAAAATAAATGATATATAAAAGAAAATAAAATTAAATGAACCATTTTTGTTTCATTGTATAGAGGAAGGGAATTTTTAATTAAGGGTTTTGGTTATCTACTTTTTTACAAAATATTAATAAATATGGATGTTGTTTTTAATATAGCTATTTTTTGGGGTTTTAAAAAGAGTTGAAAATTGTTGTTTAAATTTCACCATTGTTATAGTTGTTGTTGTTATTAATTTCATGATTGATTTCAACGACTGGTTGTAATGGTTGTTGTGGGTCATCATATTCGGCACCTCTTTGACCGAGTAAACTATCATTTTCTGTTGGTTGTTGTTGTTTCTTTTCAGCGTCGATTTCATCAATACGAGTCTTTGTTTCATCTGAAATTTGTTGAACCTGTTGTTGGACTCTGGTGGTGACTGATTGTTGGACGTTTCTAATGCTAGTAGATAAACTGGAAAAGAAAGAGACACCAGAGGAAACGGTTTGATTTTCTTGGGCCTTGGCAAATGCCGATGTAGCTTGTAGCGAGAGGGCATCTGTGGCAGCCTTAAACTTGTCGGATATTTGGAACATGTCGTCGACTTGCTTGGCCTTTTCAACAACTACAGTCTTGACAACAGTAGCATTCTCTCCAACCTTTTCAACAACTACTGTCTTGATGGCAGCAGCATTTTCACTAATATGGAACTTTTGGTCAAACTCTTGAACCGAGGCCTTGGCACTCTCGGCACCAACCTTGATTCTCAATGAAAGGCTATGTTCATCATCAAACTGACGTGCCTTTGTTGCTGTTTCACTTCCCAATTGATATCCTGCTGCAATTAATGATGCAACTACTGATGTTTTACTCTAAAAAGTAATATAAATATTAATATTCAAATAATTTCTAAAATATAATCCATAGTATATTCTCTTTTCTCTCTACCTGTTTCTTTTTTTGTTGTTGTAGTGTGCTTACTCTTTCATCAGCTGGTACATTATTTTGTGATTGTAATTGTTCTTGTCCTTCAACAGCAGCTACTTGTGGTTGTTGTTGTTGCTGTTCATCTTGTCCTTCAATATGTGGAGCTTCATTAGCAAATGAAATATTTGAAGTATATTGTACGACAGTAATAACCTTGTCAACTATTAAAGCATTGGTAAGTAATAAAGCAGTCTTGGCAGCAGACTCGGAATCGAAAACAACTACTGCTTCTTGACCTTGTCCTGTTGAATCGCTAAAATATTGATAAGAGATTTTGTTGTTTAATATCAAATGTACTATATCTCTGTGTTGTTGTTGTTATGCTTGCTACCTACACTTGGAGACTTAATTCATTGATCTTTCCACAGAAGCTAAAAAAGTCTGATACTGTCTTTTGTGTTGCTTTTAATGAGACTATTGATAGTAATAAGAGAGAAGAGATTCATATTAATTTACACTTTGTCGACTCTATAATCTAATCATATGACCAAACAAACTACTTACTGTTGGTAACATAGACACCTAATAATTCTTTGTGGTTCATCATCTTGATATTATTATTATTATTATATGTATTGATTTAAATATATGTATTGTATTGAAAGTAAAAAAGTAGAATTTCCTTTCTTCTTGTAGTAGTATTTGTATTAAATTAAATTGTTATGAATTCAAATAACAGTACTCGTGTTTCCTAATTTATAATAATTAATGAAAAAAACAAAAAATAGTAAAAAATAGGGGGTCAACCGTCTCCCCACCGCCGTGTGTTCATTTCATTCTCAAGTTTCGAGGTTTATGAAAAAAAATAAAAATAGATTGGTGCAAAGGTGGCAGAGAGAGGTGTGGATGATAGATAATATTAAGATTCAAAGTATGGTCCTCATCATTCCATATTAGTATTATTAAATTAAATATTAAAACAACATCTATTGCCTGATTGAGAGAGAGAGAGAGATGGAGATAAATAATAAATTGGTTATTCCAAACCAATATTTTGAATGACTTGATTTATTCAGAGTAGTGAACTTGTTCATTGTATGATTGTACCTTTGGAGCATTCAATGCTGTTTGTGTCTTCATATCAATGGCTTGAGATGGAGCATCGACGTTTCTAACTTGGTCGTTGACAGTGTTGACCTTTGGTGCATTCAAAGCGTTTTGGGTCTTCAAGTCAATACCTTGTGATGGAGCATCGACGTTTCTAACTTGGTCATTGACAGTGTTCAACTTTGGTGCATTCATAGCATTCAAATGAGCCATGTCAACAGTTCCAATTGGTGCATCAACATTTCTAACTTGATCATTGACTGTTGAGATTTTCTATAAAAAATGGAAAAAATATATTAGAAATGATGATCCAAAATAATATGATTGGTTAACCAAGATTGTTTTAAAACTTACTGGTCTATTGATAGCATTGTAAGTAGTCATATCCATAGCTCCGAGTGGCTTTTCAACTCCTTCTCTAACTTGAGTATTAACAGTTGAAATTTTCTATAAAGAAATAAAAAAAAGAAGGAAACATTAGTAAAAGTCCAAAGGGAGTTCCCTTTTCCTTTCCTTTACAAACTTACTGGTCTATTGATAGCATTAAAAGTGGCCATATCCATGGCTCCGAGTGGCTTTTCAACGTCACGGACTTGTTGGTTGACAGTGTTGACCTTTGGTGCATTGACAGCATTGGAAACAGAGAGAGAGTCGGCAACTTGAGTAGCCTTTTCCTTTGGATAATGAGTGTTACAATAGATACGACCAGTAGCTTGGTGTGGTTGAGCTGTCTTTAAAGTTAAAACTTGCTTGCATTCAGTGCCTATTTTTTGATATTAAATTGAATTTTGAAATTGAAATTTCATATATTATACTTGAATTAGTTTCTTTTCTTCTTTTTCTTTTTCAATCAATTTGATAATCATGATATCTGTCTTGTTGTTGTTGTTGTTGTTGTTGTTGTATATTTCTTTCTTCCTTCATTCCTTTCTTATTTCATCTTCCTTTGTTTTGTTTTTTGAAACTCACATTTGTAACAGTGCTTGTGCCATGATTTAGTTCCATTGAAGGCAGTATGAGCTTCTAATGGGTAGACTGACTTTTCGCATTCTTCACACTATATTAATAGTGATAGGTGATAATTTAAAAGTAGAATCAAATTTGTTAATAAATATGTATTATTTTTTTTTTTTTGTCACAATGTAAAATCAATCAACTATCTATCTCTCTATCTCTATCTATATATATATATATATACCTTGGTAGACATTTTGGTATAATATGATTTTTAAAATTACAAAAAATAATACAAATAAATAAATAAATAAATTATATAGATATAATAAATAAGTTTGGTTTAAAAGAGATCAAGATTGAAACTTGTGTTTTGTGATAGTTGACAGCTTTAAGATATTTAGTGAATTCAAAGGGCAAAACAAAAAAACTGTTCTCCTAAAAATTGTTGGGTTGGGGATGAAATTTCTTTTTTCACATAAAAATGGGCTGCCATTGGATCAGGAATTCACCTGTCGAAAGACAAACAAACTGGAACACACTTGGGTGGCAATTAATTTAATATTATTATTTATTTTAATTATATTGATTGATTTGCATGTTTGTGTATGTGTGCTTATGCAAAAAGGTGGAGGTGGAGAAGGGAGGATGGTTGTCGGTTGCTGTTGTTGTTGTTGTTGTTGTTCAATTTATGTCTCGCGCAATAGATGGGGGGTGATCATAAACTATATAAGTTTAATCGGTAGAATGATCATCCAAGAAGAAATAGTTACCGGCATACTTTTGTTCGGTATCCTTGATGGAGTTTAATTTGTTGATACGTGGACGGAAATTGCTTGGATCACGACGGAAGGTGATTTCAAGGGACTTGAGGAATTGATTCATACCCGAGAGCAAGCTTTGTGGGGTGTTGGCAACACAGCTGACCGATGGAGTACCTTCATAGACAATGACACGATCGGCCAAATAAGTGGCCATGATGAAATCGTGCTCAACGATGAAACCAGACTTTCCAGCGTGCAAGATGAAACGCTTGATGACCTTGGCGGCAATGATACGTTGCTCGGAATCGAGGTAGGCAGATGGCTCATCAATGAGGTAAATGTCGGCGGGTTGACCAAGACAGAGGATGATGGCAACACGTTGCAACTCACCACCAGAGAGATTGAGTACTTGTTGGTCGATGATGTTTTCCAAGTTTAATGGCTTGATGACATCAGTGTTGAATTGTGGATGGAGGAACGAGTCACGAATACGCTTGTGGCAGAGTTCACGAACAGAGCCTGGGAACTTTGGTGCAATCTTTTGTGGCTTGTATGAGACGTTGAGTTCGGGGATGTGTGCTCCATCATCGGGTGGTAATTGACCGGCCAACATCTTGATAAAGGTTGTCTTACCTGTACCATTTTGACCCAACATAACAATGATTTCAGAGTCAGTGAATTCACCAGCCTTGACTTCCAACTTGAATCCTGTCAATGTCTTGGTCATATTTGGATATTTGTATAAACAATGTTTCTTTACTTCTTCTTCTTCTGCTGTTTCAGCAAACTAAACAAATAAAAGCAAACAAACAATATTAATATTAATATTAATATATATATATATATATATCTTCACTCTTTTTGATATTATTTTTGACATACATTAAAAGTTAAAGCATCACGACGGAATCTCATATTTTCAGTCTTGATATAACCAGAAAGGAAAATATTGATACCTTCTCTAACACTGAATGGCAAAGTGACAACACCATAAGCACCTGGTGAACCATAGAGACAACAAACAAAATCAGATAAATAATCCAAAACACTCAAATCGTGTTCAACAACAATAATATAACTAAAAAATTAAAAGAGAGAGAGAGATGAAATGATTAATATTATTCCGATGAATACATATATATATATCTTCAAATTTTGTTTAACAGTGTACATACTTTCCTTCCTTGATAAGGGATCTAATGACTTGAGCAGCCTTGAGTCTTTGCTTGACATCAAGGTAAGAGGATGGTTCATCAAACATGTAGATTTCAGCGTTTTGAACGGCAACGACAGCAATGGCAAAACGTTGCAACTCTCCACCAGAAAGAACATCAATGTTCTTGGTGAGAACTTCCTTCAAGTCCAAATCGTTGACCATTTGATCCATCAAACCATTTTGGTTCTTGGCAGTCAAAATAGCTGTAACACTACCTTGAACACTTCTTGGAAGATTATCAACATATTGTGGTTTAATAAGAGCCTAAAAAGTAATAATAATCAAACATTAGTAACAGGGATACACTTTTTTCTTTTGTTTATATTTCTATTTCTAGTTACTCTTAAATTTTCCAAGATTCTGGTGAAATAAGATTGTAATTCAGAACCACGGAAATAGGTGAGAATGTCCATCCATTCGGGAGGTTGATCCCAGATACCAAGATTTGGCTTGAGCTTACCTGCCAAGATCTTGAGGGCAGTACTCTTACCGATACCGTTGGTACCGACCAAACCGAGTACTTGACCGGGACGTGGGGATGGGAGTCTGTGCAACTTGAACGAGTTTGGACCATAACGATGGGTAGTGTCCTTTTGCAAAGACTTTGGCAAATTGATGATGGTGATTGCTTCAAATGGACACTTTCTAACGCAAATACCACAACCATTGCACAAGTCCTCTGAAATGAATGAAATCTTTGATGTTGGCTTGACTTCAATACACAACTTGCCCATCTTGACGACGGGACAGTTCTTTTTGCATTCTTGACTACACTTTTTGGGTTTGCACTTGTCTTCGGCGACAATAGCAATACGAATTAAATCATCGGCCATATTTACTAACTCTTACTATTACTTTGTGTATAGGATATAATAAAGAAGAGGAGGAGTAGATGACGATAAAAAATAAAAGTATCTAATAATACTCTTTCTTATTATTGTATGTTCGAACTAACTAAACTCAAACTAGAGAAAAAAATATGTTTCGAATAGACAATTCGTCTTCTCAGCACAAAAAATTAAAATAAAAAAAAAATAACAAAAAAAAAAGATCGTCATCTTCATCATCTCTCTATTCTCTTCATCAATCATCTGAAAAGAATGATATATATATTGATTTGAATATAGAATACAGTACTGTCTCCAATGAATAATAATAACAGTATAGTAGTTATAGAATTCATCACTAATAATAATAATATTGTTGTAATCGTAGGGTTTTACTCGATTTAAAATACCTACCCTTTTTGTTTTATCTGTCTCACATGAGATCGACGACGATGATGATGATGTTGTTTTGTCAACCATCACATTAATTAGTAGTGGTTCACGTATTCAAAGAGGAAAGGTGTGTTGGAACAAGAAATCGATGAAGAGGAAAATGAGATTATGAGTGATCACTCACTCACTCGCTCACTCACTCACACATAGAGCTGCACCTTCATATGCGCCACACTCTTCACTATATCTCCACAGGATACCTGGGTAGGTAAGGTAGGTAGGTAGGTAGGTAGCTCATATAACCATCCAACAAAAAGTTGGGATTGGGTTTAGGTTTAAGTTGTTTTTGTTGTTTTTGATGTTCCCTCATTTAGAATAGAAGGTGCAGCAGTGTCTACACGACATAGATTTGATATTCACAATTTATTCAATTAAACATACATAAATGGTTGGATTTAATGCGACACCTATTTCTACAACTACCACTAGTACTACGTCTATAACAACGCATTACATCCATAGTAGTGGTCCCTCATTCCAAAAACAACAACAACAACAACATTTGTTTGGAGACTGTCCAATGCTTCATTTAGAGGACCACTTTTCATCTATAAGTCTAGATAGTGAGCATCATCATCATCGGTATGATACTCTAATTGACAACCAATTTAATATTGAAAATTTGGTTAATAAATCACCAACAAGGAATCATCATATTGAAACGATAATTAGAAATCCAGAACTATTAATATTGGAAAATAATAATAATAATAATAATAATAGTAATAATGATGATCATAATAGATTTGAAACAATGGTTGCACCAATTCCACAAGAAGAAGAGGAAACCATTTATCAATTACAACCAGGCAATCATTCCAGTTTTCCAAACAATCAACAACAACCTCCAGATGAATTTTTAAATCATGGTATTGATTTTACCCTTGATCAAATTCAATTCTATCAACACCAACAACAACAATCACCTTTTTTATCTTCTAAATTGTAAATAAAAGTCACTCTTTAAATATATTATAATATGTACAAAATTTATTTATTATTCCTGTGCTTTTAAATAAATGAAATGGACATCCATTTTGTTCTAGACTAAATAAATATTAAATAAATTGTTCTTTTTGTTATTGGGTTTCTATGATATTATTTAACAAGAGGAGGAGGAGGAGGTTTGAGGGGTTGGGTATTGACATCGATATTATTATTATCATTATTATTATTTATATCTGATTTGGCAATTGCATTTTTAAAGGATTGTTATTAATATGGGGTTGAGAGGTTAAATTGATTGTAATCATTCATTGTGTTTTAAATTAATGGCTATGATATTGTAATTATTATTATTGTTGTTGTTATTGTTGTTAGTAGTGTATTTGTTGATGATCCATATAAGATGGTTGTTGTGGTTGTTGTTGTTGTTGTTGAACTTGTGGAATTGGTTGAATGGGAACTTGATTACCACCCGAAGATGAAGATAATGATTGAGTAAATGGGTTGTCCATGACAAAATCGATACTATGTTTCTTGTTGATGATGATTGGTGGCGGAGATGATGCTGCCAGATTGATATTAATAGATTGTTCAGAAATGTCACTCATTTTAACATCTTTTTTAGGAATGACCAAAGAGTTGGAGGTTTGAGGTGACGAAGAGTTACTTGAAGTAGGTGATTTCAAAACATTGGTTGGTGGTGTTGGAGTGGTTGCAGTTGATGGTGGAGATGCATTATTGTTGTTGTTGTTGTTATTATCCTTTTGATCGGTACCTTCTGCAGCAGCCTTTGCAGCCTTTTCCTTTTCTATTCTTTCCTTTTCCTTGTTTTGCTTTTTAAGAGTCTTTGCATAATGCAAACCACAAGCATTACAGAGTGTATGGTCTCCATTGGGCCCTCTTCTCCACTCGGGTGTCTCTGTGACGTTGCAATGCTGACACTTGAGATTACGCTTGGCAGAGTAGACGGTTCTTCTTCTTCTTCTAGGCTTGTCGATCAAAGGATCGTCAAAATAGATCTCTCCGTTAAAGTTCTTTTGTGAATCAATATTGGAGACGGGTGTGGCACCACTAGAGCCACTGCCAGCAGTGCTACTACCACCGGCGCCATTGCTACTGCTCGCTGCGATGGCAGCTGCCTTGGTTTGAGTGTTTGCCATGGGTGATGAAGATGTTGACGAGCTTCCATTTCCGACATAGGTCAAAGATGGATCGGTTTTTATATTTAAAGAGCTTCCATGTTGTTGTTGTTGTTGTTGTTGTTGTTGTGGAGCCATTCCAGGTGCATTTGCACCAAGAGAGTGAGAGGGTATTGAAATCATCGAAACTCCAACACTACCACCATCATAATACATCTTGTTCTTATCAATCTCCATATTATAATGTTGTTGTTGTTGTAGATATTTTGTCTAAATATAAAAAAATAAAAATAAAAAGAAAGACTATTAGTTGTTTTGTTTTATCCAACAAGGTTTGTGGTGATTTGACATTTTTACATACATGAGAATCAGTGTTGATATCGGATATTAATTGATTCAATACTGTGGTCATATTGCAAAGGTCATCGAGGTTGGTGGATATATTGGTGTAGGCCTCTGTAGCAAACTCATGGATTATATAACTTATTTTTTGTATTTGTTCCCATTGTAATGCACTAAGTAAAATGGGTTGTCTATTGGCATGAGATTGCATTTGTTGTTGTTGAAGTTGAGAATGATGAGATTGTTGTTGATGTTGTATATGATGGGACATATGGTGAGGATATGGTTGCATTGGTGAAGTCATTGTATTTATTGTCGTAGTAGAGGTGGATATCTGTAAAAGTAAGCAAGAAGAAAATGTAAGTGACTGACTCTTATATTAAGTTGGCATGATCAAAAAATGAATCCCTTTTTCGAAAAGAAAAAAAATAATATACAAACAAGAAATATATCGATATGAATAATAATAATGGTAGGTATCTAGGTATTTTTTGTTAGTGAAATACAACAACAATAACAACAATAAAAAAATTTGTTTATACAAAAAAGTAAATAAATAAATAAATAAAATCAATTAATTAGTATTTAAACTAACTTGATTTAGTTTGAATAAATAAATATATATATAAATAAGTTTGGGTCAACTTAACTTCTTGAACCTAACAAATTCATATAATTGATTTATAAGCCGACCAACTACCTATGTTTGTAGGTGGCAAAAGTAAACATAAATCTTTTCCGGCGGTGATGTGATGGAGATGGATTAACAATAACAATCGACTCGAATAGCACCAGCCAACAACCAACAACAACAACCAATCATAAACAAGAGATAAAGATATTCTTTTTCACTTTGTTGATTCCAGCTGAGGTTTTCAAACAATCTTGTATGTGTACGTGTATACGTGGTGTGTGTGTGGACTTGTTTTAATTAAAACAAGGGAGGTTTGCCCATTGTTTAGTTGCTGCGGTTAATGAGGGGGAGGGTGATCGACGATCGAATGACTGATTAATTTATAACCAATTGGGATATGGAATTGGGATTGAGATGAGAGTAGAATCGATCATGATCATTGGATCAACAACACATGTGGTCCGGCCGGCACAACAACAAATGGGTTGTTTCCCCAAGCCGATCCATAAAACAAAACAACGACAACGACAACTTGGAAATCTCTCCCACTTGTTGTTGTCATTCTTTTTTTATAAAGATGCACCACCTGGAACTTTGCAACTTTGATGAGGCGTAGCACATCAAAGAGGGAAGGGTGGAAATATAGATGAATCCGGGGAGAACAAACGAGGAGGAAAATAATTGACGATTATCTATTCCTCGTCGTTCATCACTATCCCCCACATATCCATCATTAAATATATGGATAAATATTAATATTAATATCATACAAACATTTGGACGATAAAAACACAATACAGACAAGAGAGAGAGTGATAAAATTTTAAATAAAAAAAAAGCCGTGATAAACGCAACCCTTAATACATCTATCCTACTCTGCTAAATATTATATAAAAGTGAAATAATGATATGATGATTATCTTGTGGTTGTTGTTGTTGTTGATGAACGATTGATCATTCTCTAACATCTTTTAATCGACCAACCAACAACATCAATTCATCAACCAACCAACAAGATATTTGAATTATTAATCTGACAATCTTGGTATCCATCTTTAATAAAAGGGACAATATTGAAATATATTCAACAAACCTGATGGATTTGAATTTAAAAAAAAGAAGGAGGGGAGGGTAACAAAACAAAGATCATCCATACTAGTTTGTCATGATGTTGTTAAATATCGATGAGAAACCTTCAAATAGCAGCAGATGGTTATTAATTAACGTGGTGATGGTGTTGGTGGTGTGTTGTGGGTGATGTGGTGGTAGTTGTTGTTGTTGTTGTTTTTGGTGGTGAGTGATGAGGAAAAGGACGATGGATCGTGAAAAGTGTATATTGTCCTCGTCTATCTATCATCCAGCCAATATGGTAGCATATTAGCATGTCGTTGACTAGATTTGTCAATAATAAAGATATTCTCTATCTGCCAATGTAACCACCAGGTGTTAAATGTGTGTGTTGATGACATCAACCCCTTGGGTCTTGATGAACTGTCGAATCAACAACAATCGAACAATTGACCAACAAGCAAGGTTGAAAACAAGATGATTATTGCCAAAAATAGAATGGGCAGATTCATTCGATTCAAAAACTACCATTGTTTGAAACAAATTATTTGTTTGTTTTGTGTGTGTGTATGTATATATATATATATATATATTGTGGTTGGTTATATAATTTATATATATACCAACCGGTGTTGGGTTGTAAATAATCAATACTGCCACCAGGCCAAATGCAAGTGACTGACCATAAGTAAATCAAGGATTTGACCAATTAATTAATGAATCTGTTTGATTATGTGTTTAGAGAGCAGAGCGCATACGCGATTGAATAAATGAATCGACGAAACGGACAAATTCGAGTGAAGGATCCTTTTTTACACTTATCGTCACATTGTGCTAATAAATCCATCTATCATATCTATCTTACCACTTGTCTATATGTGTGTGCGTGTGCGGTTTGTTATTTGTCTTCTTCTTCTTGACTTGACTTTTTGTTAATTTCCCTTTTTTCTTCTTCTTCTTGTTGTTGTTGTTGGATGAATGATTTGTTGATTGATTGGCTGACCAAACCAATTAATAGGTGGTTCGAATATTGTTTGTTTTTTGGTTTGTTTTTCTACGTATACTAAGCTGGAAGTTGATGGATTGAAATTGGTATGTTAATAATTGTTATTACCACTTTTCTAAATATAGGAAGACGAGGAAGAGGAGGGAGTGATGACGTAGATGGTTGATTGATTGATTGATTGATGGTTGGGATGTCCCGACTCTGAGTAGGGATACAATCAACAATTGGAAATCAATTGATTTTTAAATCTAATCTAAAAGATCTATCCTAAAAATAAAAACAAAACAACTCTTTTTTGATTCATAAAAATATAAATTTTTAATAGAGACATGGAACGACGAGGTGGATGGTTTTAATGATGGTGATGATGATGATGATGAATGTTGTGAAACAAATATATAAATTGATTCATTTAAACACACCCAAAACACAAACACAAACACACAAACACACGCACTCTTCAAGATATAAATTGGCAGCAAGATGAACACAAGAAAGAGGAGGAGTCAATTGGAATCAAATTAATCTTGATCCCAAGTCAAACTAAACCTAAACACAATTAACCAGGAGGTATCAACATATGGATGGTGGTGTATAGGGTAGGTGTTGTTGTTGTTGGGGTTGGTGATCTTCTGCGCAGTTTTAAAAACAACAAGAGAGTGTGTTGTGTTGTGTTTTGACATTGTGTGATGTGGGTGGAGAGAAATCGATATATAAAAAGGGATTTGATTTTCAAAATACACAAATCAACTTGATTTGATTGTTGTTTGGTTGGTGGGGATACTGTACAGTATGGATGGACAGACAGACAGACAGAAAGGAAGAGGAGGGTTGGTTGATAATATATATATATATTTTTTTCTCTCTCTATATGTTTGTGCTGGAAAATGTTTGTGTTATTTAAAAATGGAAACTATTAAAGTATGGATGGTTATTGCTCAAAAAGTAAAAAGAATTCTTTTCTTCTATTTGTTTCCTTGGGAAGGTGTAAATGAAGCAACAAAGCATAAATAACAGCATCTGCAACAATGCATTCCACCAATTATTAAGGACTTGTCTCTCCCTGTCATTATCATCGAGTTGTACAACTACCAACTACATGGCTCTCTATTATTTGGTTAACACCCTATAATATTGAATGTACACACTACATTGCCAACATATTACAACAAGTTGAAAAAGATATTTCTAGATTTCCAAATTTAATTAAAACTGTTGTTGTGTGCGTGCGTGGTAATATATTAAACATCTATGTTTCGTTTTCAATGTAATGAGAGGGAAGAAGGGTTGTGGTGTGGTATTCTAGAATTAAGCAATTCTATTGTTGTTGTTGATTGATGTCATTGTCGTTAAGTGTTGTCGTTATTATTGATTTGTCGTAAATTATCTAATCCATATGATGTATTAACCACTGTAAGAGAATTAACAAGATAGATGGATCTCTATCTTTGCTATATTAAAGTTGGTGTTAACTAAACGAATGAAACTCCTGTCTTTGCAACCTAAACCTAACTTCCCACACACACACACACAACACACTTTCATTGCAAATCTTTAGTCGTCAGTCCGTCGTTTCACTGAATAAATGTAACCATTCATTTGGATAGGGTGTTGCATGTTGAATGTGAATGTATGTGTGGTAATAAAGAAAGATGGTAGTAGATTGTAGGGTATGGATGGACAGTATGGTTGGCATTCGCTCACTGCGCTAACCCAGTTCAATCCCCTAGTTGTTGTTGTTGTTGTGCACAGTACTCGCTTGCCTTGTGGTTGTGAAAGAGAATGAATGTCATTTGATAGGATATATACGAGTGGTGTACTGTACTGTTTGTTTAGCCGACGACGACGACGAGTAAGTAGTCTGTTTGTTGAGCTCTTGTCTTGTTCTTCCTTGTTCGGTATGATGATGATGTGTTGATAGTACTATTTTATTATCTATTGTAGTTGTAGTAGGAGTAGTAGTAGTAGGTTTATATCTATCTATCTATCTATCTATCTTTGTATGTATGTATCTATCTATCTGGGTTGTATCTAGTAGTGAATCTTATATATCTGGTTATCTTTTCGAGGACAACAGAGTCAGGTGAAAAATGAAAATAATTGTTGACCCTAATTTAGCTTTCCACCCCTTGAAAAGCTCAATTCTCCCCGTAATCCGTCGGTAGGACGGTCGAATAAAAATAAATTGTTCTCAAAATTATATAAAATATTCAAAATAAGAAGTTAGCATCTTTTTATTATGGTTGTTATCATCTATATATATATCGTATCAGACAGAGAGAGTCATCGCTGAAGAGGCACCCGTCTCCCCAAACTCTTTGTTGTTGGGTTCGGCCGTCACCCATTCCCACATCCCTATCCCTGTCGAAAATAACTATTTATATTTGTATATACAATTGGCAATTAACTTAAATAGGGGATGTGACTATTACTTTTAGTAGTACACCCCCCCTATCTATGCCCCGGTATTTAATTAATACATTTATTATTATTCCTCTCTATTGAGCAAAACGTTTTGTCCATTCACGAGCGACATCATTATGTTCTACCTTGTTTCGAATCAATTGGTCGGCTATCGACGGTACCAAAGGGTCTTTGGGGTTGGGATCGTCAAGTAGCGTACATATAGACAATAATACCTTGGCCACTGTCAATACTGGACTCCAATTATTCTTTAAAATATCTAAACAAATATCTCCATTTGAGTTTATATTACAATGATATATTTTTGTTTTAAATTGTATCTATATATATAAAGTAAGCAAGCAAGCATTCATTACTATTAATATTTATGTATATTATATTTAATTTATATTATGTATATTATTTACATACCTTTGGAGGTTTAAAAGGATAATCTGTTGGAAAAGTAATGTGTAAAAAGAAGACACCTCCTTGATAGGGAGTGCCCTCTGGTCCTAGTATAGTTGACATCCATTCATATAAATTATCACCAAGTGGTCCTGCTGAAATATTTGGAGGAGGATCTAATGTAATATCTGACAATTCTTTTTGTATTCTAGAGAAAGAGAGAAAGAGAGATTAGATATCTAATCTACACTATACAACTGAACTGTACTACTATACTACTACTATACTACTACTATTATTACTATCATACCTTTTAGTAGCTCCCGATCTTTCACCCATTTTTCTATGTTCTACTATTTTTCTATGTTTGGTAAGTTGAATGAATGAATGAATGTTGTTTTTTAAAAATATAGTAGTATAAACTCTTTAAATAAATAAATAAATAAATAAATAAATCTTATCTTGTTATATAATATGTTTATTAAACGAATGATAAATAGATAACGATGTCGTTGTTTGGTGTTGGTACAAACTACCTCCACCACACTTTCGCATGTTTGTGTGAAAAAATGAATTTTGGTGAGTCGAATGACATCACACACAACCCCCCTTCTTCCTAAAAATATTATTCTTCCGCCACTGTGGTGACTGGAACAGAGTCATCGGTGAGGAGCAAAGGGTATCTTTGCGCCCTGACGATAGATGATCGGGCATTCTTCTTCGTTACTTTTGCCAATAATTTAATGAAGATCTTTTGTATCATTTTGTTTTATTTTCTTATGCGCTACGCGTTTGAGAAATCATTAAGATATTATTATTAATAGTTTATTTAATATTAACTCTACTTATTAATAGTAGTACTATTTATTATTATATTAATTATACTTAAAGTAAAAGAGAAAAGGTAATAATGAATATAAATGAAAGGATCATTGAACCAGTTGTTAAAACATTGTTGGCCTTGGATTCACTGTCATCTGGAATATTATGAGAGGTTCCATTTTCATTTACAACTAAACCATTTACATAGATGACAAGAGATTGATCATAGGAAGCTTGAGTTGCATCATTTCCAGTTTTACTATAATCAAATGAAAAAACAAGGTTAATTAACATACATATTTTATATGTATTGAACATCAATTATAATTGACATATATGTCACTTGTCTCAAGACTTACTAATCTCTTGCAGCATGAACAAAATCAGATAAAACATTGTATGGGTTATCAGAGGTGAAAGTTGGATATACTTTAATTCTATATTCAAATCGATTGTTGGCTATTGGTAAAAACTATATATAGTTGAAAGAAGGGATCATGACCGATGGTTGAGGATCAGTATTATATAAAGAAAAGAAAGAAAGAAATATTGTATTGATACATACTCTAGTAGTTACTGATTTATCATCAGTGATAAGACTTAAATCATATATGAAACTTCCAACTGTCTTTGACAAACAATCTTGACAATTTGATGAAACATTGACCATCATTGATTTAGATAAAGAGTCACCATCCTCTATAGAAATAGAAATAAAAGTAATTAATTAATTAATTAATTGGATGAGGGGGATGGATGTGAATGGATGGATGGAGATACATACTACAATAAATATCAATAGAAAAACCAAATGGATAAGCTGTGCATACCATACCAGATTCATTATCTAGATACATCAAATTTAAGGTTTGTTGTTGTTGTTAGTTTTAAAACTCAAAATAATCTTATATAATCTTTTGTTTTTTTGTTTTAAACATACAATTTAAATTAGTTGTAAAAAAGACACCAGAATAAGAGACAGTTTCTGGAAGTGGAGCTATTTCATTGGCAGAGATGGTTCTGATGGAATGTGTAAAGTCTACACCTGCTTGATTGTTGTTTTGTGTAAGGTCAAAGTTGACGGTAGCGTCGGTGATACCATAGGTGAACAATCCGTCAGAGGTTGAGATTTGAACACAATCTGTCGATGACGATGGGATTCCTCCAGTCTTGGCTTGAGCCTTGCAGTTGAGTGTAAGACTGACAGTGTTTTCAATAGTTACATCTCCATTAAAGTAGAGTACCACTCCAAGTGGAATATTCAAAACTGTGTTGTTAAAGGTGACTAGTGCTTGATTGAATGTATATTGTGTAGAGTCACAATTGTCAGCTGTCCATCCTCCAATTGTACAATCTGATTGTTGTGCTAATACAAAAGATGGTGATGATCCTATCAAACATACGATGCTGGCTAAAAATAAATTAAAAAACAAAAAATTGAATCTTTTCATTTTTTGTTGGGTAATAATAGTAGTGTTTGATCTAAATGACATTGACACAGATAACTAATGTATACAAAATATATAGATAGATAGTAGATAGATGGATGGATGGATATATTGTTTGAGGTGTTATTGGACAAGGACGAATACGAACTCTTTGCAAAGATATCATTTAGAAATAATGAAAATCATGACGCGAGATGATTCGAGGATGAACAATCCAAAAGAAGATGAACAAACAAACAAACAATCACCTTTTGTGATCACAAACCAAGAGTTGATAGATAGGCTTTGGTTACTTGAAAAACTATAGACTCGCTCTCCTCCCTCCTCTTTTGTTGCAAAATTGAAACCTCGACTGACCACGTATGCAAAGGCAAACAATGGTTGCCAAAAAACCAGCACAGCATTTTATTGGGGGAGTCCTAAATGAGGAGTTGGTTGGTTGGTTGGTACAGTTCCCTTCCTCCCATTCACCCAGATAGGATCAAACAAGGAAACAAGAGCCCACACTGATTTAATATATTCAAAAATAATCAATAACAATCATAAGAGACAAAGGTTGTGTAGAAAAAAAAAAAAAAAAAAGAGAGAGAAAGAAAAAATAGAATCATGTCAAATATTAATAGCACCGTAAAACAATTACTTGTAGCTATTTTATTGGTATTGGCCATTATTCATTTACCAGTATGCCAATCTGTAATTGGTGTTTATTGTGCAACTCCAGGACAAGAGTGTATTGTGGCTGTTTCAAAATGGTCTGCAGAGAGTCAAGATGATAATGATGAGCAGTAAGTAGTAGTAGAAGAATACACAAAAGATATCAAATTTATAAAATTTTTAACAACCATGTCACAAAAACCTAGACCAAAAACCATGCAATACAAAGAAAAGTTTGAATGGAAGAGACCTGATGAGCCACGAGGAATGATAATGAAATTCATTAAACCTGCATTAGGTGATGTTATTGTTGTCGATCACGAACAAGTTGAAATCAACCCAAACAATTATACAATTGGTGCTACTACTTATTTTTACTAAAATAATAAATAAATACATAGTAATTGGAAATCAATCAAATAAATCTACATATATTATTTTGTATGGTAGTTATTGACCAGCAAAAAAAACACAAGTCATGCCGTGTGCCTTCCACTATACAGCATTACTTTTTACTATAGTTTATATGAACTATATTTATTTATTTATTATTTATTTATTTTTTGTATTAATTATTTGATTTGATTTTTTTTTTGTTGTTTAGTTTGTGTTTTTTTTTTAGAAAGAATAATAAATCACTGGAATTGTACTATAAGATTTGATAGTTTTAACAGTGTATACTTTTTTAGCATCGATTGGTTGGTAGACATGAGTGTAACCATAGGTGGTGAATGGAACACTGGCAGGTGTGCATCCAGATTGATCTACTCCATCCGAGTTTGGAGCACCGCATGTTTGGCTGATCAAAAGCGACTTGACTTGGAGCGAGATTTTTGATTCGGCTACTTCTCCTTCTTCGAGTGTCATGACAATACGGAGGTTCAAAGAGAGGATAGTACCAATATAGGTGGATTCATTGACGGTGAATGACTTTTGGTTTTTAAATGATTTCCATTGGAATATTTTTTTGACAGTGTCTTTGCTACCCTTGACCAGCGCCATCAAGTAGGTGTTGTCTGTGCAATCGGCGCATTCGACAGTATACTCTACAACAACTTGGTGGGGTACATAGGTGGGTGTGTCGGCAATACTATTGAATCGGTAGGATCTCGACATGGCAGAGTCAATGATAGTCAGTGGGAAGCAAGCCGATGGGATGTTGAGACCGACCAACGACTTGATTTCAATGATCGATGGGAACACTGCTTCAACCGATGCAGTGGTGGTGTTGTGGATGGTGTGGTTGTTGGATGTCAACAATGGTTCATAGACATCGGTTGTCTCATTGTAGGCGATGGTCGTTAGAGAGAGGGCATTGGGAATATCAGTTGGTGCAGCGTTGAAGTTGAATTGGAGCAATGTCATGTTTCTACTGATAAAGATCTTGTCTGGGTACACTTGTCCAAACCATTCAATCTCTGCATCCATCCAAAGTTCCCTTATACTCTGCGAACTATTCTTTACCTTCCAATGCGATGGAATCAACTCGGCAATATAATCCAGCTTAAAATCAATGGGAACTGGAATCAAATCAACTTGATTGGCCCAATCACTGAAACGAGCAAATGAATTGTCTTGATCGGGTGAGAAGATACCGGCGGGACCACCAAACGAAGAGATGGTAGTACGAAGAGAGTTTTCTTCAAATGATTTCATTTGTTCAGATGACACTTGGGAAGAGGTGGATTTGGTGGTTTGTACTTGGACGTTGAGAACGGGACTGTTGATGGATGCGCCGTAGCTTTGATCGATGCTGTTTGACACTTCAGACGAGTCAGTCTTGCTAGAGTAGTCTTCCGAGACGATGGTAGACTGCACTAATCTCCCACCGAGCGAGGCTGACTTGTAGTAGAGGTTCCCGTACTTTTTGACAACTTGGATCATTTGAGGTTTGTCAATGGCGTGTGAAATATCACGTACAAAGATGGGGTGCAACTTTTGGTCGACCAAATGCACCTTGGAGATGATACACTTGACCTCGGTACTATGCAACGATCCAGATATCTTGTTTTCAATCTCGGATGCCTTGGTGACTGAGTTTTCCTTGGTAAATGCAACGTTGGCAGATGCCTTGATAAAAGAGTTGCCTCCGCCAGCATTGGCCTCGAGACTGGACATGGTAGAAGTGGCCTTTTCTCTGGCCATACTGGTCGACGATGAGTAGGTGGTTGTCTCGGCATTGTAGTTACATGATGGGGTCAATGTAGCATATACACCCTTTGGAATGGTGTATACCTGGTAACGATACGAGTTTTGGAGGAGTGTAAACGTCGAGTTGTCACAATAGTCAAATGCAAAGATAGGTACCACTCTGCTCAAACCAGTGAGAATATCAACACCATGAGCCAAATTAGAGAGACCTGGCAACGAGAAGAGGTATTGGTTATTCAACAACATTCCAGTAGTATCAACTGGGTCAAGAAGAGATGGAGCTGGTGGTGCTTGAGCTGGACACTTTGGTGAAAGAATTGAATAACAATCAAATACACATTCCTCTGGTACTTCAGTACATAATCCATCACCACACGTAAACGCTAAAAAAATTAAAAATTAATAAAATATTAATTAATATCATCCTAGTTTGGTTGGTCGTCTTTAATTTAAACATACTGATATTATTTGGATTGAGTGATTGTAAATCAGATAAACAATAAAATGGAGAGGTTTCATTCTTTTCTTCTTCATCAAGAATTTGATCGTTACAAACTAAGAAATATAAATGAGAGAGTTGTTAGTTATTTTTTGTTTTTTAATTTTCTTTTTTTTTTTTTTACCATTTTGAGAAATGAAACCATCAATTGGAAGATATGGATCATTATTTGAAGTTCTCCAAGAAAGGGAAATATTTCTAGTCTCTGAAAAGAGTGAAAAGAATTCTAGACGGATGGTATGTGGATGAGCTTTAACAAAGCTAATCTCACGCACAGTATCGACTTCGGTCAAGTTGGATAGGTAGGCATCGATTTGGATACGATTGTTTACATATAATCTGACACCCATGTTTTTGGCTTGGAGACGGATTGAAATGGGACCATCATCTTTGACACGGACGTAGGAACTGAGAATACCGGCCACTGGACATGGAGCACTTGGCATAAAGTTGATAATCTCTGGTGTTTGAATCTTGGTGGTCGAGTTGGAACACCCAGTTTGGTTATTGATAGGTGGGATACATCCGGCGATAGAAACTAATTTCCAACCTGTCAATTTGCATTGAGTACAATCTGAACATGTCAAACAATTCTCTGTCAATGGATCACAAACTCCATCATTATTACAACTTGATGAATCACCATTATTTGATTGATCTAATAAATATAAATAAATGAATTGAAATATTAATATTAATAGTTTATACAATATTTAATATTTAATATTATTATTAATATTTTTTGTTTTTTTAAAAAGACATACTTGAATTAATTTGACAAACTGGACGAACCTTTCCACAAAGACTGATATAGTTATCGTCGTCGGCGGTACTGTCAGAGATGTCACCGTTGGTAACAAGACATTCTTTGGTACTGGCACAGGTGATGGAAGAGTTAGAGTACAGGGTGTTGCCGTCAAATGTTACAGCACCAGAGTTACAGTAGAGGTCGTTGGCACATTGCAAGTTCGAGTTGATAAAGTTGACAGTCGAGTCGTTGACGAGGACACCGTTGGCAACTTCGATACCGGCATTGTTGATAAAGGTGGACTGCGACACAATGACCGAGCTGGACTGGATGGCAAGGGCACCACCTTGAGAGGCAAAGTTGTCTCTAAACACCATATTCGACATGGTCACATGACTAGCATTGATAAACAAACCACCGCCAAAGTTACTACTACATTTTTGGATAGTAAAACCTTCAAGGATAAAGTTTGGATTGTTATTAATTCTCATACCATTTCCAGATCCCATGCAATCAATAAATGTTGAACTTGGTCCATCCTTTGATCTAAACAAACAAACAAACAAATAAACAATTAATATTAACAATTATTATTATTAATATTAACAATTATTATTCTTTTTTTTTTTTAAAAAACATACTTAATTTCAACTGGAGTTGAAATATTTAATTCTTTGTTTAGGTTTCCACTGTAGACACCTCTACTGACGTAGATGGTTGGGAAACAGTCGTGAGAGTCTTTACCGCCACCGTTGTTCTTTTTGAAGCCAAAGATGTCTAACCAGTTGTCATCCCATCCGTCAGAGTCAGAGTCCGAGTCAGAGTCTTGTCCTGGGAAGTAGGTTGATACATAGGACAAGGCTTCCTTTAGATTACGAAAGGCAGACCATGGATGACGACCACATTTGTTGTACTTGGAGGTGATGCAGTTGGAATTAACATCGACATACACCTTGTAATTGTGAGTACTCTCTGCAAGTGTCACCAAAGACACCAACAAAACAAGAGTACCCAAGATGATTGACGATTTGTTCATCATCTCTCTCTGCTGCTACTACACACTTGTTTGTTATTACAACTATGCACACACACTAGCTAGTATGTTGTTTTATATATATATATCTATATAGATATTACAAAGAGACTAGTTATGATTGTTTGTTGGGGGGAGGGTGTGGAAGGAAAAGGATCTCTTCACCACTTGGCATACCAACCAAGTCCAACCAACCAGCCATGTATGCTAGCAGCAGCAATGTCGCGTTCGTTTGTGTTTGAATGTATTATCATAATTGCAATTTAAGCTCCAATCACTGAGATAGATAATTGAATTGTACAAGTATGCTTACGTATGCAAAAAGTACTGATGTAAGCACAAACACTAAATAGAGTTGGAGTGATCTCGCTGTCAATTTTGTCTTGTCGGCTTTGGAAAAAAAAAATCGTCAAACCCTCGTTTCATCGTGGGTGCAAAGATTGTTTGTCCAAACACAAACAAATTAGATGATTGAATTCATGGTGCCATTAAAGATCTTCTTTTGTCAGAGTTCGTTGTATATTGGTCTGTCCGTCACACCCTCAACCCAATTCCAAACCACTAACTAATTTCATTTTCGAGAAGACTCTGCGTACACAAATAATATTATTAAAATCATCAAGTAAAGTAAATTAGTTAGTAGCTTTAGTCAAGTAATTAGTAGTTTCTAAAATGATGTACAACAACAACAAAAAGGCAATTTTGTTATTGTCAACGATCGTTTTGGTGTTGGTGTCTTTAACTCAACAAGTTCAAGGTGGTGGTCCAAGAAATATTTGGTTCCATTGTATGATGACTAAAGATTGTAAAGTTGCAGTTGGAATGTGGACTAGCAAAGATGATTATAATTATGGGTATGGATTTAAACAACAGATTGTAGTAGTTCTAGAATCAGCTCTCAAATTAATTTTAATATTTTGTTAAATTATAGAATTAGTATTCTTAAACCTGGATGGAGATATGGATGGTATAGAGAGTTTCAAGAGTTAAGAGGTGGATATCTAGCTGACAAAGTACCAATGTCAATTCTTAACCCATACTCTGAAAACTATGACAAGATAATTGACAATGATGGTGATCATTTTACCGAAACTTTTCCATGTGACTATATCAATCTTATTACAGATTCTTACACCTATGTCGATTTCTATGATGGCTATTACAGAATTTACAATAAGGGAAGTACTGTAAACTTTAAAGAATCAATAGTCTTCTATCCTACTGCCAATGTCACAACTTCTTGTGCTAGATAGATGGTTAGAAAGATAAATAAAATCAATCAATTTAAATAAATATATATCAAGTATTATTATCCAATTTAATTATTCTTTTCCAAAAAAAATTATTATTATCCATTATTATTTTTTTTTCTTTTTTTTTTTTTGAGACCAATCAAAATGACCAGTTCAAAAAAAAAAGAGTTTTCTAAAAGAGAAGAAGAGGGTTGTACAAAAAAATATCTACAATCTACTCTTGAGGGATACGTAGACGACTAGTTACCTTTAAGGAACCTCGCTGGTTTTGTTTGTTAAATCTGGTTTTTTTTTTTTTGCCTACGTAGGCAAGGCTTTTTTTGGAGGTTGCTGGTCAAGAGTCACTTTTTATTTGAAGCAAAGGAGATTGAGCTACGTAGTTTTCAAACCAACAATGGAAGTCTCATCACCATCCAATGTTTGTCTTGAATCAATCAAACAAACAATCAACCAACACGACCGACCAGCAGAAGAAACCAACCTACCTAGCCTAGGGGTGACACACTTGGTCTATTCAATTGTTTACATCAAACAACAAAAACATAAACAAAAAAATATAAAGAGAATAGAACAAAATGAAGGAGAATATATATCTCTATCTATTCCTCTCTCTTCTATTTCTTCAGGCTCTTTGTCCTGTTGATGCCTGTATGTAAACAATTAAAAAAATAAATAAAAAATAAATAAAAAATAACCTTTCCTTTCTTTGGAACGGAATACAGATATTAATATTAATTGTTGTTTATCAATATTTATATATATATATATATAGCTACATACTATGTAGATCCAGTCAGCACGTGTACAAAGAACTGTGGTTCAAAGTCTAGTCCATTCAAGTTTATTGGCGATGCCGTCCAATACGCCTTTAGACAACCATGCTCTTGGAACAGCTATCATACCGTTATGGTCAAGTCTGGTACTTTCAAAACCAACAAAAACAAGGAAATCTTAATCGACCAAAACATTGAAATTAGGTATGTACATATTTATCTCCACAAGATAGAGAGAGAGATAGTAATAATCACTATGCATATGCACTGAACTTGCAACTTCAGTCTCCCTTGAAGTTCTCAATTTAATTTCATTTTTTTAATTTTTTTTTTTTAATTTTAATTATCATTTCAGATCGATGTATGGGTCAAAACAAACTACTATCGATTGTGAAGGAACAACATTTGCATTTAGAGTATCTGAAGCTCGTCAATTTACGTTACAAGGTTTCACAATCAAGAACTGTACAACTAATCTTGGTGGTGCCCTCTATGTAGAGAACACAGCTGCCGTCATCAAGGATGTCCAGTTTATCAACAATACTGCTCAGATTGGAGGTGCCTTCTTCTCACTCGGTCAGATGGTCACTATGAACAGCGTACAATTCATTAATAATCGTGCACGTGAAATGGGAGGTGGCTTTTACGCAATGTCTAGCAAGGTCAATGTATACAACACCACGTTCAAGTGTAACAATGTCGGTATCTCTGCGCAACAAAGAAACGATGTCGGGTCGCTCAAATCTACCATCTCGATCGGCGACACTTTGACCAATGTAACAGGTGTCGGATTCTCATGTGACACTGCCTCTACTGTCACGCAAAAGGGTGGTCCTTCACTCTGTGACAATCCAGCTACTCACTGTTCGAATGTAACCTTTTTGCCAGGTGGATGTCTTGCCAACCCAGGTATGCCTCCTAATGTCTGTGGTGACTCTATTTGTAATCCCGTCTACGAGTCTGTTTTCAATTGTCCCGAGGATTGTCCGTCTGCCTACTTTACCGGTATCGTCCTAGACTCTTATGTCATTGACAATAAGAAGTGTTCGTTGGCCAATATATCAAACGCGTGTCTTGTCTCAACCGATGTCCTCCCACGTCTCCAAATCACCGACTTTATGAGAACTACCAACCGCGTAGTTGCCGGTAAGGTCCGTACCTACTTTAAGATTCAAAAGAATGGTTACTATTCTTTCCAAGTGACCGGTGCCAATATCGGTGTCAAAATCTCGATTGACAAGTTCCCAATCGTCGACTCTTGGTTTATGCAAAGTACAATCAACTCTTCCGACTATTTCTACCTCGACTCCAATGCCGTCCACTACATTGAAGCCACCTTCTTTTCCTCTTCAACCTCTACTCGTTCTCTTTCACTTGTTTGGACTGATATGGATGGTAAATCAGATCCATTTGAAATATTTTATTCTAGACTTAGTATGTAATGAAAAAAAAGAAAAATCAACCAATGAATGATAATATAATGACTAACAATTGTCTATTTCTTTTTCTATTTATTTTTAGATTGCGGTGATGGTATTCTTGAACTTGAAGAAAAGAATAAGACAAGTAAATATTATTGTCCACAAGACTTTAAGTCATCGTTGGCACCAGCTGTTGAGCCAGTTTGTGGTGATGGTATTTGTAACGAAGTCAATCCAAACACTTGTTTTGTCGATTGTTTTGGTGAGATGACCGAGTTGTGTCCAACACGTCAAACGTCAAAGAAGCATCTTTCACCAGGTTACCCACTTGCTAGTGACACTCTTGGTCTGCTCATTGCCAACCAACAGCTCTGGAGAATGCCAGGTTCCGAGGTTATGGGCTTTGGTGTTGATATTGTCACTGGTCTAGGTGCACCATCGCCACTCTTTTACTTTGGCAACTGCCAAGGAGACGCTACTCACTTAGTGCAAGACCCGTACAGAAACATGGTGTACGAGCTGCCAACCGGACTCAACGGCAAGCCACTCCCTCAATGCCAGTACTCGACCGAGAGCCAGGTCTTCAAGTCGACGACCGAGCTGTCCACGGCCATGGAGCAAGAGTCGTCTAGTTCATTCTCGGCCACCATCGGAGCCGAGTTTAAGGGTATCGGCGCTAGTGCCTCGGTAGCCTTTACCAACGAAAAGTCAGTCTCTCAGTCCAACTCGCTGGCCACCAGCAACGAGGACAAGATCATTGTCACCTCGCTCAACTGCACCACCTCTGTCATTGAGATGACTGTCGACAAGGCTGAAGACTATGAGTTCCACCCTGTATTCCTCAACGCACTCGCCAAGGTACGTACCTTGGAGGACATGTATCAGGTCATCGTTGCCTATGGCACACACTTTTACTTGAGAGCCACCTTTGGAGGTCAACTCAAGCAGCTGACCGTGACCAGCAAGATGACGTCGTCGAGCGAGTCAGAGAACGAGTGGAAGGAGAGTGCATCGAGAACATTTGGTGGTACGGTGAGCGTCCCCATCTTTAGTGCCTCGGCTTCCAAGTCTGACACCACCGACAGCACCCTCTCCACCGAATCACAAACTGAAATGGAAGAGGGATCGATCCACTCCAACATCATCTCGTATGGTGGTCCAATGGGATCGTATGGTCCATCTGCCGACTTTAGTACAACCGAGTTTACCTACTGGACTCAAGGAGTTGATCAACTGCCCGTACCAATCCACTATGACTTGGCACCCATTGCCTACCTCTTAAAGACCCACCATCACCAATGGAAGACGTCCAACAACAAATCCATCTCTGAACTATGGGAAAAGGCTGAAGCTCTCTACTATGCCAGACACACACGTAAAAACAATCTCGGCAATGACAATAGTCACCACTACACCCTCATTCTCTACAACTCCTTTGGCAAGTGGCAGACCAACCCATCGGTCATTCCCAAACTCCACATTGAATGGATGTCAAACACTACTGGCACCCCAACCTACCGTTCTGGATCCGTCGAAATCTTCCACATCAACGTATACCAAAACGAATCGTCACCAGAGTACGTCATGAACATGAATCCAGATCGCAAAAAGAGTCATGAGTGGTCAATCAAACCATTTTATGATCATGATGGTTCAGAGGCACCTCCTCTTCTTCCAGAGATCCAAACCAAGTCGTTCAATTTCTATGACCATCTCGCATCTCCCTACCGTTTCGACTTTAAGTTTGCCAATATCTTTAGCAACCTCACTCTTGGTCACCCCAACATCACCTTTAGTGGTTTTGATGGCGAATATTGGGAAGTCAATGGTGTCATCATCTCGCACACCACCAACGAAGCCGTTACCGTTCCACACCACCCCTCCAACCATGTCAACCCAGGTGAATATCTCTCTGTCATTGCCTATGAGAAATTGTTTGGTCCCTACTTTTCCAAAATCAGTGCAGGACCATTTTCTATCTTTAAATACTTGAACAGCTCAGCCAAAGATTGTTTGAGCGAGTACAAGTGTTATGGACGTAACGACACTATCAGATTTGGATTTGCCCAATTCGATGTAGACTTGCTCACAGGCTACCCAACAAGTTATGGGTTCCAACCGGCAATGGAGAAAAAAACCTATTTTGGACAAGGTGCCAAGTCAGAGTACTACAATTGGGACGCTTTCCGTGGCTCCTATCAACCCGTAAAGGACAAGGTCGGCTTTGGTCTCTACATGGATCAAATCAACTTTATTGGCACACAAGCAAGACTCAACTGGGCCATCTATATCAACCGTACTCATTCAGATCTAGACTTTAGAAGACAAGTTTCGGTCTATCACACTCTTGATGAACCAAAACTAGACGTTCGTTACCAATACTCCAACTCTTTGCTCACTTATATCTCTACCCTTACACTTCCAATTGGTGAAGATGGATACGACGATGCATTGGATGATTTGGATCTTGGTCGGTTCCATAAACTCAGACCATTCCATGTGGACTTCCTCGATACTACTTACTTCCCCAATTGGAAATTCACTCCATCTCCTGAATTGTCAGGTGCTCATAACTTTACTCAATCAACTCTCTAAAAAAAAAAAAAAAGAAAAGAAAAAGAATAAGAGAGGTAAGATGTAATGTAAAGTAAAGTAAAGTAATATAATAAAAAAAAAAAAAAAAGGTACACCAGATATGAGATGATTATTATATTTATCATCATTTAAATCAATAAACATAAAAAAATATATTTTTTTATTTATATATTTATAAGGCGGCCTGGAATTACCGACGGAAAACTCAAACTAATTTTATGTTGCCAAATATCTACACCCCTTTTTTTGTGTGAGAAATTAATTTCCTCTTTTGTAAAAAAACAAGAGCAGCGAATTTTCATTCATTAAAGACCTTTCTCTCTCTATCTTTATTTATATATATATAATATATATATATTTAATCACTATCACTATCACACACAGTTAACTAGTAGAAGTAGTAATATAGATATAGACTATAGATAGATTTGATTTGTAATCATGGTGAGGTTAAAATTTACACCATATGTTAGAAATTGGATATGTTTCCATTTTATGGGAAACATCAATAACTTCTCTTACTGTGTAGTTAATGCTGCTGGTCAATCATTGGCTGCTTATTTCGATAACTCAAAGAATATAGCTCTAGTTTTATGGTATGCGATATTATAAATATATGATAAACGAGTTTATCGAGTCAGATAGAAAAGATCTTCACATGATGATGACATTCATGAATGTTCAACTCTCTCTAACATTTGTTTCTTTTCTTTTATTAGGGCCAATATTGCCTTTGGTTTTGCTGCTAGATGTAAGAATATATAACATATTATACTATTATACTATCTAGATTCTCTCCTCTTTGTTAACATTTTACAACTTTTTAATTTTAGTATTAAACACTTTTGCATTAGAAAAAGTTGGATCAAAATTAAAGATTGCTATTAATTGCTTTATTATGGGTGGTGGATTGGTTGGTGTTGCGTTATCATACTATGTAAACTTTGCTTTTTGTATTTCAATGATTGCATTGATTGGTATTGCCAGTTCGTTTGGTGAGAGCGTTGTTTTATCATACCTCAAACTTTTCCCATCTGATATTGTCAATGGTTGGTCATCTGGAACTGGTGTTGCAGGTGTCTCTGGATCATTGTTTTATATTGGATTGGTAGCTGCTGGTTTATCAAACTCGTATGTTGATAAATAGATAAATAGAAACAACAAAAACAGAAACAGAAACAGAAACAAAAACAGATTACTTATTAATTTGTTGTTATATATATATATAGTGTAATCTTTTATTGTATTTTACCAACTGTTTTGGTATACTTTGCATTATTCTTTTTCGGTTTAAAAGTTCCAACTGGAACCAATGAAGCCAATCCATACACTCCATTAAAGAGCGAAACAGAAGATATTGTCAATCAAAAGAAACAGGAAAAGGAAACATTAATAGAGAATGCTGATGGAATAGATCAAATCGTCGAACCAATGCGTGGACCAAGCGGTGAAACCAAGCGTAACCGTTATATCAGATGTGCCAAGTTGGTTTGGTGGAATGCTATCAATCTCATGCTCGTCTACTTTTTCGAATACGTTGCTAGTGTTGGTGGTGCTGATCTTGCAGTCAACAAAAAGAACTCTAATGACTGGTTTGTCACCAACTCTTATGCCATTCTCAGTTTCTGTTATCAATTTGGTGTTTTGATTTCTCGTTCATCTTTACAACTTTTCAAAATTCATAGAATCGGTATCCTTACCGTTCTTCAAGGTATTAATATGGTACTTTGGATTGTTCAAGCTTATGTATGTTGAAATAGAAATATATAGATATTTTTTAATTAATTCTTTTTTTTTTTCCTAGTATCGTATGATTGAATCTGTTTGGGTATTATTTGCACTCATGATTTATTGTGGTTTGCTTGGTGGTGCCTCCTATGTAAATGTATTTTATTTAATTTTACACGACAAGAAGATTCCAGATGAAGATAGAGAAGTTTGTATCAACTATGCTGCCTTGTTGGTTACTGTTGGTATTACTCTTGCCAGTTGTTTTATTCTCATTATGGATCATACTTTTCTTGCTTTCCAAGTTGCTGCTAATCAAGCAAAATAATAATAATAGTTTTAATTTTTCCCCAAATAAAAAATATCGATATATATATTTAAACAATTATTTACCAAAATTGAGGAAGGGAAAGACACAAAAAAAAAAAATTAATAACCAAAAAAACAAATACTAAGTTTAAATAGCTATTTCTAATGAGTTTAGTATAACAATATGTAACAAATATTGTTACAAAGATTTCGGATTATGATTGATTTCTGAAGTTCAAGTGCCAGCCAACCTATGTTTTTTGAAGCCTTCAAGACACTGAGTTCAAGTCGGAAATGACAAAAAAGGAAATCGATTTCGAACTGATCATTATCGAATAAAATTTGTAATTAAAAATTTAATATACAGGATTCTTAAGGATTTTTCGTTATCCCATGGTACCAGGCAAAGAGTTTTCAAAAAAGGACCTATAGAGGTCTATTTTGCTCTCATTCATTATTAATTAGCTTTAAATATATAGACAACAACCCAATTCTTCCAATTCATTATTTCCCAATTCTACCTATTGATTATTTTAATTTTAAGTTATACAAGATTTGAAATGTCGGTCAAATCACTAGCTAGAAGATATGAAGAGAACATAGAAAATCAACAAAAATCGAATATTGCCAACCAAGTTATCAACAACCTCGAAAAGAAACCGGTTTATGTCCCTGCACAGATTGATGGAAAACAATATTATGTCAAGTTTGCACCAACTACCCCATCAGACAGGCTAGAAATACCCAAGATGAAGGCAGTGGTTGGTAGCCAACTACACCAACAACATGCCGATGCCAACAATGCTGAAAAAGCAAACATTCCCAAGGGCATGAGATGTGTCGGTCACCATGGCACCCCTGCATACTCAGAATTGTCAAAACCAGATGTTAAGATGAAGATGTCCGAGCCCCATGGACCCCATTGGAAGGGGGTCTATGTCAGTCCCGACCTAGATGTGGCAAAGAGATATGTTCTGCAACAAGATGGTGGAATATTCGATGTCTATGCACCTAAAGACGTCAAACTTGTCAACACCAAACATATGATGGACACTCCAGAGGCAGGTGCCGTTGCCAAGGCCACCAACAGAGCTCCCCATCTCGGGGGAAGTGATCGACACCCAAGCCGAAACATCGTCACTGGCAAAGAGTGCGCAGGCAGCGATTTTGGATATGAGAGTCGCATCAGTCCAACGGCTGCCGAGGAGTTAAAATTGGTCAAGTCGGTCACACTAGTCAGCAACAAAAGATTTGAAACCACTGTTGAACACCACGGCCCTGAACTGACGCCGGTCATCGCAACCGAGGTGGCACCGGACTACAAGGCAAATGTCGTACCCGAAAACAAAGTGATGGTACAAAAGGTAGGGAGTGTGATTACCAATGGTGGAAACCTAGCGATTAGCTCAATGGGAGTGGTGCACTCTGCAAAGGGGTTGGCGTCGGCCATCGAGAACGAAGACAATGGTGGCATTGCGGTGGGCACGCTTAGTGTTGCTTCAAGTGGTGCAAACCTTGTCAGTTCAGGCGCAAAGGCATTGTCGTCAGGAGCAAAGGGTGTTAGAAATATCGTGAGAGTGTCCTAGATGGCTGCAGATGCAAAAAAGCTTGAAACTCTCACATCAGTCTCGACCAAAGCCACCAAAGTGGCCAAGGTCGCAAACAAGGTGGCAGTCCCTCTTGCGGTAGTTGGTAGTACAGTTTCAGCTGGAATTGACATATATGAAGCCTGCCAAGATCCAACCCGTCGGAACATTTCAATGGCTGCTGTCTCCACAGTCTGTGCTGCATCTCTTCTCACGGCATCAGTTCTCTGTGCAACTAAAGTGATTCCTCCCGTTGCTTTGGGTGCTACCTTTGCTGCGGTTGGTGTAGTTTCTGGTACAGCCTCGCTAATCGATGTCCTTACTGATGATAACATTTCCAAAGAGGAAAAGAACAAGAAATGTTTGTCGGCAGGCCTGTACATAGCTGGATCCTGCATAATTGGAGCAGGTCTGTTTTTCCCCCCTGTTGCTCCGATTGGAGTTGGCTTCATAGTAGCCGGTGTTGCTGTGGATTTATTCGCTTGACTTAGTCCAATTATCACTATTCACTTCAAAATTGTACTTTTCGAATTCGTGCTAATATTTAACATTTTTAATAATCATTATCTGTACCATTGTATTTATTGAAAAAAAATAAAAAATCATTACAACTGTTACTTTTATTTATTTACAATTGTTCACCAAATTGTTTTTCCAACAATTTATAAATATCACTAAATAATTGTTCGTGATGATTACTCCATCGAATGGTAAATTGTTGTTGCACCTTGTCAAATTGGATGACCACTTGATTTTTAATAACCAACTGACTTTGATTGATTCTATTGATTTGGTCATGTGGTAATAATTCTGTAATTCTATCTTGTAATATTTCTAATCCATCCATTGCACTAGTCGTAGTTGATTTGTTGTTGGTTTGAATTTTATAATTTAAAATATAATTTAAATTAATATTATTGATTGACAATTCACTAGATGCTTCGCTTGGATCGAGTAATTTTAGATTTTGGTAGTCTTTTGCAACCAAAATACCTTGGATTGGTAATTGAGTAATAGGTGAACGAATCTTTTTAAATGGTTGTTCATCTGGATCCAAATTATTTATGTTTTCATCTGAATTGTCTTGTTTTTGTTGTTGTTGATGTGTTTGTTGTTGTTGTTGTTGATCTTCAAATTGTTTACTATTTGCTTGTGAATATTCCAATATTTGACGTTTTAATAATTTTGAAGAAATATCAATTGGGATTAATTTCGATGATTCTATATTAACTGTTACTCCATTTGCTGGGAAATAACATGGTACTCCAAAATCTTTTGATATTTTATCACTTAGATATCTCCTACAAAAAATAAATCAAACAAAGTTAATGTTGTACTCTTTACTATTTTTTCTTTTTGTCATACATTTTTTCTTTTTCACCATGAACTAATAAAACATTTTTTGGTTGAGACATTTTAATTAATTGCATGATACCTTTAGCATCGGCATGAGCAGAGAATGAGAGATTATGTATTTTACATTTAACCTCAAGTGTAGTTTTCTTGTCGATTTCAACCATTTGAGGACCACCTGCATTGGAAAGTAGCTTGTTTCCAACGGTACCAACCACACAATATCCAGGAATAATGGTCATATTTAATTCGTTTGGTGCCCATTTTTTGAAAACCTCCAACGATGCACCAGCATGAAGCATGCCAGGTGTGGCAAAGAGAACCATTGGACCTGGGGCATCGGCCAAATGTCTGTCAAAGGGTTTGATGTGTTTAAAGTCAAACATGTTTCGCTTGACAAAGGTTTGTTTGATCTTTTGGTTGGTCCAAGTGATAAAGAGTTTGTAGTAGAAATTAGCCTTTTCAGCCAACCCTTCGGAAAAGTAGATGGGAACGTTCAAGTTCATCTGCTCCCAATAAGAGTCGATGAGAATACAAAGTTCTTGTACACGTCCCAATGCAAATACAGGGATCAATACTTTACCACCCTTTTCAACACATTCATGTACACGTTTGAGAAAATCACGTTCACGACCACGTTTTGAATCACGAATAGTTGTTGCATAGGTAGTCTCTGTGATGAGTAGATTGGGACGAACTTGATCGATCCATGCACTACCTAGATGTCTATCGGGAGTCATATTGTAATCACCAGTGTAAACGACACTCTCTTCTCCAACCTTTGCATAAAACATTGCAGCACCCAGTACATGACCAGCATAATATGCTTTGATCGATAGTTCATCATCCACCTTTATCGTTTGATGCAATGCTATAGGAATAACCTTTTTCATACAATCTTTAATCATTTGAGGTGTAAAAAAGTTTGTTTCTCCTTTTCTATCAACTGATATCTTTCTATAATCTTCTAATAATATTGGTACAATTGCTTTTGTTGGTAACTAAGTTAAAAGTAAAAGTATATTGTTAAATATATATATGATATAAATCAGAGTGGTTAAAATACAAACAGTCATATAAATAGGACCATCATATCCACACATTTCAGTGAAATAAGGTAATGCTCCACAATGATCAAGATGACTAATAGATATGATATGATATGATTGTTAGTTATATCTCTTTCTCTTTGAATCTTTTTTTGTATCACATTCTAATTACAACTTACAAATGAGTAATAATAATACAATCCAAAGTCTTTGTGAATTGTTTAGTCTTTGATATGAATGAAAAGTCAGGGAATCTACGTTCATCATGATACCCCATATGCATACCACAATCAAACATAATATTCTTATTACCAATACTAACAATCACACAACTACGACCTACATCTTGTCCTGCTCCTAAAGGAACTACTTTAATTCCCATTCTAATCTAATATCTATCTATATATACCTATCTATCTATATGTTCAGTGTCTTATACAAATAAAGAATGTTATGATTGTTTTGAATTTTTTTGAACTTCAACTGCGCAGAACCTTGGAGTAAGTTAGATTTATAATAATTTAATTTGATTTTATTTATTTGCAAGTTTGATTTGGTGGTGTAGAAGGAGGAGGGGAGGGATGGAATTAATTAATTAATTAATTAATTGTCGACAGGTTGGTTTAATTTTGGTTAGTTGGTTTTGAGTTGGTTGAGATTGGGATTGCGATTGGGATGGGAGTGGATTGGGATGGTTAGTTATTGATTAAAATTAATTTAATTTTAAATGACTATTATTACATTATTAATTGTTATTATGTTATTTTGCTATTTGTTTGTTTGTTATTATTTTAGTTTAACCTCTAGAAGAAAAACCTTGACCAACAACTCTAATACCAGATCTATTATTACCAATTGGTTTTTTACTTGTATTCCATTTACTTTCTTTCTTTTGATAGATGGATATGGATTGATCAAAACTACCAAACCATATAAAGGGTTCGGCTGGGTTCTTGAAATTGGGTACTTCGAGAATCGATGCAATCGCATCGGCATTGTTACCCTTTTGTTCAAATGTGACCTCTCTGGCCTTTGGATCCCATCCTCTGACGACAATATCCCACGTTGAAGACCATATCTCCTTGCCAATCGATGTCAGCGCAAACAACTTGTCCCATCCACCATTATTGATCTTGTGGACAATCTTGAATGTGGCTGCATTGATGATTTGGATGGTACCTTCGTCACCGCCAATCCAAACGGTTTCTTGGTCGTCTGAATCAACCATCGCAGCCATACGCTTGGGTCGCTTCTCTTGAATCTCCATGGTATGCAAGATCTCTTTGGTCTTGCTGTCCCAGATGTAGACAGTCTTGTCGCTTGAGCAACCCCAGATTCTGTTGTTGCCCACTCGACACAATGCCAAGATGTAGAGACCCTGGTTAAAGAGGTCGGTGCCAATCGGCTTGATGGGCTGGTCGCTGGCGACTGTGGGGATGTCAGAGAGCGGGTAACTGCTCATCACCTGGTTGCCCGACACCCAGATATCGCGGTTCTGCGACTCGCACAATGCAAACGACTCACCCTGTGCCTCTCCAATCAACTTTCCATTGACATCCCATATAGCTACATTGGTCGACGACGCCACCCAAATAGTATCATTGGATGCTGTAATCATCTGGTATATAACACCACCCTTGTGCACAGAAAACTCTGTCAGCACTTCAAGTGTCTGAGAATCCCACACCTTTGCAACACCGACCGTGTCCAAACTAACCACCTTTTTGTCGCCGTCCATGAGTGACAGCCACTGCACCGACTTTTTGTGTCCCAATATCTTTTGGTGCAGTGCCAGTCTGTTATTTGTCGATGTTCCAAACTGCACATCTCCACAATACTCTTCAAACAATTCAGCATAATTGACTATAAATGTTTCTGTCAAAAAGTTAACCTTTTCACTCGTCGATTGTAAAGAGTTTATATCCAATTGTCCAGTTTCCTTTTTCCAAAATAAATTTGGTCCAAATACTCTACTCAAATTTGAATAATTCATCTATAACCAATTTAAATATAAACAAAAATATTAATCATTACATTTCAATCATATAATATTATATATATATATATATAGTATATTATTATATATATATCTATGTTTTGTACATACCAAATTTAAATGAGAATTTCTAGCAACAAAAGTTAAAAAGTAAATAGTGAATTGTAATAATAGACGATTGTTGAGTGGAAGCATGGCAACCGTCTTTTTAAGTATTTCAAGTGATTCACCTCTATTGATATGATCGGAAGCTGCAAGAAAGGCATCGTATAAATCGTTGGTGCAAAGTGGTTCGGGTAATTCTCTTAGGAATTGTTTCACCAAATTTGATATGACATGTGGATTATCCTCTTTGCTTAGATTATGTTCACCTTTATCCAATAATGCCTTTTTAGCTTGTACCTCTGCTTGTGATCCACTTATACGAAATAATCCTTCAACTCCAAGTGAATAAATGAATAAATGCTAAAAAATAAAGAGAGAGAGAGGAGAAAGAGAGAGAACATAAATAAGTAAATTGTTGATTGAAACAAATTTGTTGACATTGTCATATGACTTTTAATTACCTTTAAAGCTTTACTAACAAATACAGGGATTCTTGGAGAATCGACCATATTCTTTTGTCGTTCGACCAAAACATCCAATGTCACACCAAATATCTTGCCATCGATGATTGCAGACCCACCATTAGACGAATGGAGTGGTTGCATACTTGCAAAGGTGTTGGTGCGTTGCAAGTGCAAAGATGACAGAGACTTTAGAGATGATGTGCTGCCAAATGAAGGCATTGCTATTTTCTTGGCTAGATTCATCGATCCTCCTAAAACAATATCCGAAGATTTGTCTGGCTTTTCTGGTTTCTCTTTATCTTTACTATCTTTATTGTTTTCTTTATTAATCTTTGTCTAAATATAAAGGATTAGGATAGGATAAAAAGAGTAGGGTAAGCAAAACAAGTTTCCAAATCGTTGTTATTGATGGATGGATGGATGGATGATATTTGGTTGGAAATTAGATATATTAATATTAATGATGATTGATTTTGACGATGTTGATGATGGATGTTATTATTATTTGGGTTCGGAGTTGGTATTGATGATGATGATGATGATGATAATTGGTAGAAAAGGTAATTAATATAATATATATTAATACTTGGTTGGTGTTGTTGCGTTTTGATTATTGTTGTTGTTGTGTTCAACTACAATAACAATATATGTTTTGGGTTCTTGTGTTGTGGATGATGGATGGATGGATGTGTGTATGTATGTTTAAACTTTAAACCTTTTTCTTCTTTCCTATTCTGCTATTGTTGTTGTTGTTGTTGTTGGTAGCTTTACTTTGGTTGCTGATGTCGATGATACCAATCCAAACCAAAACACAACTACCACTACCACCACCTACTACATCATGATGATTGATTTTAAAAGTAAATGTTTCCTACTACTACTTCTTGTTGTTTGCTGTTGTTGTTGTTGTTGTTGCTGTTGTCAATCACAACAAACCACCACTACCTACACCCACTCATTCATTCATTCCAACTTTTAACATTGCACCCACACCCCTCCATATACACCACGATTGCTTGACTGACCAACCACCACTACCACTACCACTCACACCGATATCTTTTTTCAAACACCTCTCCTCACCTCAGGTGTTGTCAACAATTAAGTAACAACACAAGAATGAAGAATAAACAAAGAGTAATGAATTATTGATTATGATGGTTGAATGAATGAATGTGATCTATCTATATAGATATCTCTGTCTTTCTATCCTATTTATCTTACATTTAACTTTTGAATGAGTGGTTTTAAATTCTCTACAGTTCCTTCTATTCCTTTCTCAAACGTCTGTCCATTGCTCTCTACAACCAACTTTAACTTGATTCTTTGTTGCTTTGGTGATGCACCAAGAGAAGAGGATGAAGATGAGCTGCATAAACTAAGGAATTGATCGATATCCATTGTATGTATATGTTTAGAGGAGGTAGAGATAGATAGATAGATAGACTCTTCTACTAATCTACTTGTAAACTATGATTCTACTATACTTTATGATGAATATATAAATTACTACGATGTTATAAATCTATCTATGTATAAATATATCTATCTATCTATCTGTGTGGTAAGTATTGATTGATTGATTGATTTCTTTATGAAAACACTGGCTTTTTGTTTTTTATGACAAACCCCAAATTTTGAGTTGTTTGAAAGAATAACCACCAAGATGCATACAATGATGACAGTGGCGGACTTCTATTATTAGATTGAAGTGCAACCTACCCTTTTTCTCTCTTTCATTCCTTCTCAACAACGAACGAGTGCAACTAACTAACTACGAGGTATCATTCAATCAACGCACACACATGATGTTGAATGATTCATCTAAAGATGTAACTGACAACATCACAAACACAGACGATCATAAGGAGAACAACAACACTAGTCATGATGATGAACGAGTGCTTCCACCACATCAAATAGACAACGAAATCAATGATGTCATCTTTGAGAATTCACCTTTGGATCAATACTTGCAATGTAAGAGGTTTGAATAAGTAGTATCAAACAAACAAACAAACAAACATACTAATGGTCGTTCTTAAAATAGCATTACTAGAACAATCTTTATTGGATGATACACATACAGACTTGCGAGGTGACCTAATCAATTTCGAACAAATGGTACAGGATAATCAACTACAAGTAGACAATCAAGAGCAAGAAGAAACATCAGATGATGTTGGTACCAATAACGATAAAGATACAACAACAACTACAACGATAATGATAAACGTTGAAAAGTATAACAACACAGAGATTGATATGATGTGTATCTATCGGGACATGGTATCAAAGATATGGAATGGTGAAATGCTTCATCCATTGGAATCACCCTTTGAAAATATATCATTGATTTCCAACAACAACAACAATAACAACAACAATAACAATAACAATAATAACAACAATTCACTGTCTCAAGTATCATCTCTACTTCCACCACTCTACATTCCAATCGATAGTGATATGGTTACAAGTGAGTTTTATAAAGTTGATTACAACTCTATATGGAAATTCATTCAATATCGTTTATCACAAATCAAAAATAGAATGCGTGGGCAGGACAGTAACATGACCAGGTTAGGAGTTATTACTATTTTAATCTTTATCATATCTTTTCTTCTGGTTGGATCATCGTTTGGTTACATTTTAACAACATTACTTGTCTCATTGGTTATAATACTGTCATATGATATATATCAACAAGGTGTTGTTGGAACCAATATCATGTTAAAAGGTTCAAAGAAATCAATTACTCTAATCGATCAGATTATTACCAATTCAACTAAGCACTTTGATTCCATTTCAAGTTCCATTCAATTAATTCGTGAAATTGAATTAATTTCAAAAGGTTATAGATTGTATGTAAACCCAAACATATTAATATTTAATGTTAATTATACATATTAATATCATATTTCATTTATATATATATATATTTATAGTTCATCACCATTAATACCAATAGAAAGATTAGAGAATGAATCAAAATCACAAAAGTCAATAGTAATTAGAGCATCTGTTGTATCATCAATTAGAAAATCAACCAATTTAGTGCAAACTATTATAGATGATATGGTATCGAAAAGTAGTTATCTCCAAACCAATGGAAACCATTTATTTTTAAAGATTGATATTCCAGATTTATTTCAAGTGATTGATAGTAGTGACACCAATGGTGATGATGATCAAACTAGAGATATCAATATATCAATATTGGATATTAAAACAATGTTTCATCACTACCAAATCACTATATCTAATTTATTTACTATTTTAATTTTGGAATCTTCAAATATTTATAATATTCAATATTTATTAAATCATTCAATTGGTATGTCCCTCATCCATCATCATAGTTATAGTTGAAATGAATATTAATATTAATATTATTCAAATATATATTTACTTTTATTTAGGAAACCAACTTTATGATTCAATTTACAGGATTAAAGAATTTAATTCATTTATTAATTTAAAATTTGAACAATTAAATCAAACTATCAAGATTGAATTGGCAACACTTAAAAATACGCTATCAAATGAAATTTGGGAGAATAGTAAGTGTAGATAGATTCATTAAATGATTATTATTATTCTTCTTTTAAATCCAACTAATTTATTCTTTTTTAATGTATTTATTTTTAGAAATACCAAAGAGAATAGTATTAAATAGACCAAAAAGATCGATGATACAATCTCTACTTTATTCAAATGATCAAATTACAAACTCTTTAAATAATATTATCAATCCGTCTCTGTCAAGATTAAATGATAAACTTTTACCTATGAGTCAAAGAAGAAATAGTAATGGTACAACTGATGATGGCGATAATATGGATATTGTAGATGACAATCAAATATCAATGTCTGATATCGTTTCATTGGATGATATGGTATCTGATTTTATGGTTATCAAGGAGGAGTTGACAAACTCACTTCATCATTGGGAAATGTCACATCGATCATTTGTTAAAATCCTGCGCGCCATTCCAATCGATGGTAATCTTCCCGAGTTGGGCGAAGATGATGCTAAGGAAAGAGTGGTCAAACTATTAAATATTCTTAGAGGTAATAGTAATGATCGAGAAGAATCGCCAATCAATGAAAAGGATCAATCATCATCTGATCAACACCTATTTGATACAACTCAAGAGGAAGATGAAAGAATATTCGAAGCATCAGGTGAAAAAGATGATTTTGATTTATTATTACAAGATCCAAAACTAAATCAACAAGAAACAACACCAACTACCAATATCAATATAGAAGATACAGCATCAATACTTCTTACTCCACCTCTTCCTCCTCCTCCACCACCACCTCCAATGGGATTGCCAAGGAAAAATCCACCTGCAAAGCGTACAGTTTATGATCCATTATATATTGCAAAACAAAACAAATTACAACAACAAGAGACTACTATGGCTGCTAAACAAGAAGAAGAAGTGGAAAAACAAACAATAGACAACAAGACTAAACCCAAAAAGAAACATCAAACATTGGATTATTATAGAAAAGAGGTAAGTATTATTATTATTATATCTATTTTTTGTTAAAAAAAAAGAAAGAGGTTTATTATTATTATTATTTATTAATCTATTTACATTCTATTTAGACTCCTCCATCAGAATTTACAGTTATAAGTGAATTAAGAACAGTTTTGGATATTCTTAAAACAAATAAAGAAGCCAAGAAAAAATAGTGGTTTCGAGAGGGGATTGGTTGTTGTAGAGGTCAGTCAGTAGACGACGATTTACTTTGATCCTTTACAGAATCTAAGTCCAACAGTATCTCTTGCACAAATAGCACCTTCTTCACAAAGTACTGTTCCACAAATATATTTACATTTGCCTTCATGGCATTTATATCCTCTTTTACATTTTACAGAGTCACACGAATGGTCGGTGTGGAATACATCTACATTTCAATCAAATACATATGTGGTCAGTACATAGATTCCAAATTTGATAGGTGAGTCATTCTGTCACAGTTTAATCCAGTATGTCTCACTTACCATTTGCACTAACAGACAATACTGATGATAAAACTAAAAGAGCAAGCAAGAATAGACAAATTAATTTAGACATTATTATTATTATTGTATTATGGAGTTATTATTATTATTATTAATATATTGTTAAAAGAGAAATATATGTATATTTAATTAATGGACTGTGGATGATGATGTCGTATTTATATACAAAAAAGATAAGCACAAACAATAGTAAGAAGGAAGGGATTGATTGAATTATTATTCGTACTCGTACAAACAAATATTTAATTGTGTAGAAAATACTAATATTAATACTCATTGCACCTCCCAGATAACCAATCCCTCCCATATCACAGAGAGAATACATCTGTTGTTGTCGATCAATACCACCCATGCCATGTGACTGATAATTATCCTAAGGAAACAACGATCGCACATACACACATACGCACACACCAACCACTTGACTTGCTTTATTTAATATTTGGCAAATTTGGGAATTGGTTGTCATCAACACAGAAAGATAACATGGGAGCACTGCGACAACTTACTGTAAGATTAATTAATGGTATTAGATTTCCATTCCGTGATGATCATCATCCATCCTACAAATCCATCCTTATTTAACATTGTCATCCCTAGAAAGAAAGAAGTAAATTTTCCACAATCTCCACTCTCTCTATCTCTCTCGCTAACCCACCCCACTCACATACACCATCCAATTAAATGGCTCATAGGAGAGAGTGTGCAAGTAAACAGTTGTATAAAGAATATCTGCTTTTTCGTACATATATATATATCAACCACCAATTGCATCACCACCATCAACACAGTTTCCCCACACATACACACACGATTACTTTTTTTTGAATATCCAATCACAGCTCGAAATGGTTGAGAATGTCAATACCAAAATTAGATGTATATATGTCCTTTATTATTATTACTATTATTATTATTTACTAAAGTTGATAACCAGTGAAGGATCAGAGGTAGTAGTTGTCGATATGGTACTATTTGTAGATAAAGAAGAAGAAGAAGTGTCGGAGTTATCCACGACAGCAGTAGAAGCAGTGGTGGTTTCACCAAATTTACTTAGATACAATTTCTTTCGTTTTGGATCTAGATTATTAATCTTTTGATCCAAACTAATGTCCTCTCCCTTTCCTTTTTTGTTTGTACAATTCTGTTGTTGTTCTAAAAATAGAAGAAATGGGAGTTAGTTTAGTTAAATTTAATCCATATCCCTACTTTGAATTTAATAAAAAAAGCAGTAGAAATAAATACAAACCATTTGAATTTGAATTTGAATTGGTATTGGGATTGGTCGATTCAATCGTAAATGTTTTGATTTCCTTTAGACTATTGATCATCAAAGATGAAACTGCTGCTTTGATATAATGATCATTCCAAACATTAAACATTGATGATATTAATTTTTGATGTGAATCTATAGATCAATCATGATTGATTGGAAAAAAAGGAAATATTAGCCAAAAAACTTATAATTAATTTTCTTGGTTTCATCCATCATTACTTACCATTTTCATAAATAAATTCCAAATCTTCATAACCACAATCATATAATACTAATGGTATTTCTGATGCCATCTCATAAGATGGTTTTGCAATTGCAGATGAAGTATCTAATAAATCTTTGATAATCTAAAAAATAATTAAATTAATATTATTTCCCAAATTTGTTAATCAATTCCAACTCGCTACATACAGTTGTTGGGAATTTCTTTTGACCAATTAATAATAACATTGCCATCATACATCTAATTTGATGCCATAGAAAAGCATATCCGCAAATGGTTGCTTCGTATAATCCACCCGATTGGAATTGACCAACTGGAACGGGAGCAATGTCAAACGATAGAATGACACGTGTAAATGATTTGACAGCTTCCAAATCAATCTTGCAAAAGTTTGAGAAATCGTGACTACCAAGAAAGTGGTTTCCTGCCTCTTTCATCGCCTCTATATCAAGACCTGCTGGGTTAAAGTAGTACTTGTAGGTTCTATACAAAGTACTGAATCTTGCATTAAAGTGGAATGGTACTGGTGTCCATGCCAATACTCTAATATATGGTGGTAATACACCATTTAACATTCTAACATATGGATATTCAATTGGTGTGACATGATTATTATTCTTTTTGTTGTTGTTCTTATTCTTTTGTTGTTGATTTTTGTTGTCATCATCAGGAATGACAGGTGGAATGATTCCATCACCTTGTTTTAAATTTGATCTAACATATAATGATATAACTTGTCCAAATGCAGATACTCCTTTATCTGTTCTACCTGATCTAATTAATAAATAATAAAGATCAATATCAAATATCTAATTTAGTCCATAAGAGATACTATATAGTACATACTTTGTATAATTACATTCTTTAATATCTCTAATTAAACAAGTCTTTTGTAAAGCACTAAATAAGTGACCTTCAATAGTCTCTTCAGTACATTGTTGAGCAGCGAAACCATGATAATGCCATCCCAAGTATGCAACTTTGAGTGCAACAAATCGTCTAGAGAATCTATCAAAGTCCAACTCTGTTGCTTTTCTCTTTGATTTCTTGTCCTTTTTCTTATTTGTTGTTGGTTTATTTTGTGTTGATGTTGTTGAAGTAGTCGTTTGTTTACCATTTGATTGTTGTTGATTCTTCTTTAAAATAATCTCTATCAACTCCTCTTTTGATAATGAATTCAAATAGGTTTCCTCATTTGGTTGTTGTTGTTGTTGTTGTTGATTGTTGTTATTATCAACATTCATCTTATCTTCTTCTTTGACTTGCATGAATGAAGATTAATTTATTGATCGACACTGTTTCGAGTAAAAAGACCAGTACTCAGCAATACTTATTCGTTTTTTCATTCTTTCGATTTTACATTATTATTATTGTATTAATAGAGATAATAATATTACCCACATCATGATGAATAGAAAGTTAATATCACAATCATCATCATGGATGTCAACAATGATGTGTAATCATTGTATTAAGAATACAACAACTATGATGACTATGTATAATGGTGGTGCTACTTCGATGAAGATGATAGGCACTAGATACATGTCTATCATATCTAAAAGAGGTGGTAATACAGGATCAATGTCAAGTGGGATGGATGCAAGACCATCATCAAAGCTTAGATACGAGATTCAAGCCAAACAAAACAAGTTGGATCAAGCTTCAAAAATGTTGGATTCACTTAGCAGACAACAACAAGATATGCTTCTCAATACAAAGAGATCTCCACTACGACTACAAGAAACAATCGATAGTTTGACATCTACACAACCAGATAAACAATATCATCTTAGACAACAACAACAACAACAACAACTATCCTCACCATTATCATATGTCAATAAGAATCTACCAACAAACAGAACAGTGACCGATATCCACCAAAGAGTACAACAACTTGAAAAACAACCAAAACCAACTAAAATCAAAGAGGCAAAGGCCCTCACCAAAGAGAATCAAGGAACCACTGAAGTCAAATATAGTGACAATGAAGAATTAATCTTTAGATTAATGATTAATGGTTTGTATTATTGACAATAATAATAATATCATAATTGATAGAATATATATATTCTAATAATATATAATTAATTGTAGAAATGGAAGTAGATAGACACTCGGATGAAAAGGTTCATGAACTGATTGTACGTTTACCAGAATACCAAGATTATAATAATGAAGTATTAAGATGTTTAAATCAAATTGATATGGAGTATGTAAAACAAAAAAAACAAACAAACTTTGTTTACTTACTTATTTATTTCTATTTAGTTATATGTCATTAGGAGATAAAGAAGATTCATGGGTAGATAATGAATATTTTGAAAAAAGAAGAAATACAGAAGTAGAAGAGATTAGAAGAAAACATTATAGAAGAGTATCGGATGCTGTTGACAAGAGATTATCAGATTTTAATATGGAGCTACAAGGTCATTTGGATGGAATCATTGATATGATTAAAAAGTATGAAGGTTTGACAGACGAAGAAATTAAAAATCATCCAGTACATGGATACCTCTACGAAGAGGATGAAGACCTACTACAACAAACCTACAATTCCAAGGATTCAGTATTGGGTAATCTAGAACAAGACACAACATCGGATGAATTCCAAATGGCACTTGAACAAACACTTGGTCTTGCACCAGGTGAAAAGGCCGATATATCCGATGTTCCAGAGGAAACTCAAATACTGTTCCATAAAGTAATGGGTACTTCATACAAAAGAAAAGAAGAAAATATTCAACATGAATTTTCAATGGAACCATTAAACTTTAATAAACCAAAAAATAACACAAAACAACAATATCAACATTTACAACAAAAGGATCAATCACAACCATCTCAGCAATCTCAACAATCTCAACAACCATCAACATTATTTAATGAAGATGAAGATTTTAATTTAAAGGATATTCTTAAAGGTATGAAAGGTGCAAATAAGTAAATAAATATTAAATGATTATTATTACAATTATATATATATATACGCTTTTATTTATTATGTTACTTTTATATTATTATTACTATTACTTTTTAAATATTGTTGTTTAATCGTCAGATGGTGGAGGAACTGAATCTTTCATTTCAGGATGAAGAGAAGGAGCTTGATTTTCAATAGAATCAATTAAATCTCGAAGTTCACTATTGACTGGTTTCATTTCAGCATCTGTCTTTTTAAGTGATTCCAAGAGTTGGTCACGTTCGTCTGGAGGTAATGTACGATAGAGAATAGATGATTTGTGAGCTGTGGCAGCACAAATAAACTCCTTGTCATTGATGAGATTGGCAATAAAGAATGCTTCATCAAATGCTTCCATTGATACGTTGAATATGACTTGATCCTTTTGTGAAATGAGTGGATTGGCCAATGACCCCATATAAATGCATAGTTTGAACAGGTTGGACTTGTTTTGTTTGATAAAACTATCACTCATTGGTGGTGCAAATGCAGGTTGACTCTTGAGCCATTGATAATGATCCCAACAAGTAACATGTAGATCCATATATGCATTACCATCATCAGTTTGAATTGAATAGATTCTATCACGATCCTTGTAAATATAATCTAATTTTTTAAGATATGATTTAACTAATGCAATCATCTAAAAATGAGAAATAAAGGTATAAATATAAATATAAATTTAAATATATCATATATAAATATACTATCATAATATTAACATACAGTTGGTATATTCTTTTCAAATCTTGTTGCTCTTTCAATAGTTTCAATTTCCTTTTCAATTTCACCAGTTCTACTGTAGATGTTGGTGAGTAACTCCAAGATACGGTTATGAGAAGACTTGTCTTTGAGTGAGAGTACAGTGTTACGAGCTTGTTCTAGTTGCGTGAGGATGGTGTGGTATTGGTCAATGTCGTCTGAAGTGTTTTCGCAAAAGAGAGCAAAGCTGTTAAACTCTAGACCCAATGCTTTGCCGTGGTCTAGACCAAGTCGACCAGACAACTCTATAATCTCGGTTGTCCATACTTTAAGTTGATGTATCTTTGCTCTTCCTTGTGAAGATACTAGTTCCGACGGTGTCAATGTCTTTAAATGGTTGCGTAATGCCAACGATTGGTTCAATAACTCTTTTACCTTTGTCTTTTCCTTTTCATACTCTTCACTATCTATTTGAATCGTTGGTGTTGCTACTGCAGCTGCTGCTGTATTTCCTTCAGCTGGCGGCGTTGTTGGTGGTTGGCTCATACTTTAATATTATAATATTGTTTTTGATAAAATCTTACAACAAAGAAAGATATATGCAAAGCACAAAATGCATGTATGAAGTTCAAAAAAAAAGTAAAAATAAAATAAAATAAAGAAATTTTTAAAAACCCAAACACAGATCATAGCCTGTGTTTCTTCCGATAAGCATTATGCCAGTCGACTGCCCCAAGAAGAAGATTTTAAAAGCTTAAACCTTCTCTGGCGATTAATGACATGTATATCACTACATCTTTAATTCTCGCGCGATGACATTATTTTTAAATCACCTCACAAAATCATTCTCAGCAGCCGTGGCTAATCCGGTCATCGATTGGAGCTCCTTTTCAATCACAATCTTTAAACCTCACCCCTTCTCTGCTATTCACTCTCCTCTCACACCTCCCTCTCCCATCTCTTCTAGAATTTGTTCTTTTATTTCCAGAAATGTATGTATTGTATAGATCGCAGAGTCTTCTCTGTCGACTTTGAATTTTGTATCTTAGTTCCGATTGATATTTGGTTAGTTACATTTATAGATATATCTATCAATGCAATAGTTGAATGTCGTAGCAAATATCAATCGGAACACAACCGGTGGTGAAACGTATCAGTCCTGATCGCACGAAACACGACGGAATACCAAGCACTGTTCTACACTCACTCTGAGGGTGTTCTAATCAGAAAAAAAAGTGGTAAGTACGAAAGTACAACACATCAACCAACGCTCATTCATCAAAACACACCAACACACACACACACACACAACAGAGAGAGAGAGAGAATGAAAAGAATGATGATCAAGTGAGTATTCATTCATTCTAAAATCTAATGGATGTATCTAAATAAAACAAAGAAAGAAAGAAAGGAAGGAAATCATATATAGCTACTACTTATAACATTGATCAATTTAGATAGATTTATCTTCCTATCGTCCGTCACCTTTATCGAAAATCGAAATGAAAATAGCAATCAATTTATTGTTTTTGATTCTACTATTTTCATTGTTACTATTGTTTACAAGTACAAGAAGAAGAAATGATGATGATGATACCTCAAATATAAATATGGTCAGTGGTCAAGGTGTATTTGATGTAGGAGAAGAAGGAATGATTGACCATGCATTTAAATGTATGTACTCTCTCCTTATTATTCCATTTTTTGGTGTGTCAATTGATTAACTTACACTTTTCTATAGATCCACATTATGATGTATTAACGATAAGATATGTTGCATTGAATGGTTCAACCAATCAAGATTGTGGATATAGTCGAGAGACACCTTGTAGATATTTAAGGACTGTTCTTGATACGACACCGCAATTGGTAGATTACAAGATAGACCATCATTCCTATCATTTTGTGTATATGGGTCCTGGTACATACGACCAACCAAGAGATTTTAATTTCCTCATTCAAAATTTAAATCTATGGATTATTGGTACTTCTATTGGACATGCATCAAGGGATCCTGGTGGAGTACTCGATCCACCGGTCATATTTGATGCTAGTAAATTAAGAGGTTCAAGTAAATATATATAAATATATACATATATATATATTCCTATTTAATTATTAAAAAGATCACAACAACCTTACTAAATCCTCTCTTTCCTTCCTTTTTATAATTAATTAATTTTTAGCAAGTTTAACATCAATATCATTTTCAAGAGTTATCATGACAGATATCCAAGTTATCAATTGTAACTTTTCAGCCATTTTGGCACGTGTCTCTGAAGTCTATATTTACAATTGTGTATTTATGAATAATGTTAATCCAATTGATGATGGTGGATCATTTCATATTAGTTTAGGTAAGTATACAAAAAATTACCAAAAAAGATAGATTAAAATTAATTCATTTTAAAATGTATTTAGGGTTTTTATATGTATATAATAGTTTATTTATGTTGAATAGAGGGACTACTGGTGGCGCCATTTATATCTATTATTCAAATTGTACAGTTCATCAGAGTAGTTTTGTTTCCAATTATGCATCACCCAACAATGGCAAAGGAGGTGTATTTTTTGGAATTGGATCAACCGTACGATTTTTTCATTCTCTTTTTGGTTACAATCTTTCACCTGCAAGTGGTGCACTAGATCTAAGTAAATATATATAAAATACAAAGAAAGAGAGAGAGATGATATATATATATATAGTTCTTTTTATTTATTTATTTATTTTTTAGATGGATTTCAAATTGGAGTTCATAAATGTTATTTTGAAGGAAATTATGCAAATATTGGAGGTGCAGTAGGAAGTTATTATATCTCTAGAACATCGATTACAAGATCAATATTCAAAGGAAATTGTGCAAATTATACAAGTGGTGCATTATTTGTATCATCTGAATCTGCTGTTAGGTAAATATTAAATCAAACATCTGATCATTTGAAACTAATCATAATTCTTCTTGTTTTTTAGGATACTATTTTGTTTATTTGATGCAAATGATGCACCAAATTCAGCAACTATTGAAAGTCATGCATCATTACCATTGTTGATAGATTACAGTCTTTTTCAAAATACGATTGGTGTATCGAATACACAAATATCAATCAATGACAATTATAGTACAATGAGAACACTTGGATGTGTATTTAAAAATTTAACTGGATCAGTACTCGAATCAAATTCTTTATCAATTATTATCATTATGAATTCAATATTTCAAAGTACACATATTTAAATTTAAAAATAATCATTGTAATAATAATAATAATAATAATAATAATATTAATGCTTTTTTTCTTTCTTTTTCTTTTAGATATAACAAGTAATGTATTATCATTTAATAACAAAGTATCGGTGGTAATAGCAGGAACTGTTTTTAAAAATAATATAGTTTCGGAAAGTGTCATTTCACTTCAACTGTCAACGGCTCTTGTTGCTTTTAATTGTGTTTTTAGTAATAATTATGGTCCTGGTGTGGTATTGCCATTCTACAATTCTCTATTTATGGCATTCAACTGTACATTTTATCAAAATGTATGTGACTATGGTACCATTTGGGCAAGATACAATTATATCATTCAATTGGATGATATTTTATTTCAAGAAAATTTAGGTAAAACTGTAAGTATACAAATAACAACATATATTCATATTTAATTTATTATTATTAATAATTCTAATTTATTTTATTGTTTAAAGAGAGGAGTATCAATTGAAGTAGATCAAACAGGATCAATGAAATTGGCACATAATACATTTTTAAATAATACAGCATCATACGGACCAGCTATATTTTTAACGACATCAAATCTTTATGTACCATTAAACAGTGAACCAGTGGTAGTAAACTGTGTTTTTATCGGGAACCGTGCCTTTCAAGTCGCATCGTTATTCTATTATCTACACAATGTAACTCAAATAATTGATTGTATCAATTGTACGACCATCAACAACACTGAAACCTTTGGAAATACAACCATGAGATCGAGCTACTATAGTTTCAACGTCTCAATGCCATATGTCATATTCCCATTTGAAAGACTCAATATATCGATACAGGTATTTGACTATTTCAACAATACATTGGTTGGTAAAACAGATCTCGCCTTCTTCTTGGTTGCATGTAGTAATGTCTATGTTCGAGGTACCACTTCATCCATTCTAGATCCAGATGGATTTGTTGATATCTCAGATCTCTACATGTCTGCATTACCAAAAGATAATTGTAGTTTAACTTTTCTATCAGTTCCAACTTCGTCTAAAAGTATGTATCCTAAATACAAGTTTATAAAAAAAATATCAAACCAACCAAAGCAACTAATTGACTCTTTTATTTTATTTTATTTAGCTGGAGCATTAATTCAAAATATAACATTTTCAAATTGTCCAAGTGGTTATAAAGTATTTACATCTTATATTTATTATTGTCTAGAATATGTGGATGAATCATCGGCAGTTAAAATTACAACTGGAATATTAAGTGGAGTATTGATCACCATTAGCATCGTATTTTTAATCATTACCATTGTCTTTAGAAAGAAAAGAGTCATTCGTTACTCTAATCCTCTTTTCCTAGTCATCACCCTTGTTGGATGTATCCTAACAATGGTTTCAAATTTATCTCAATTATTTTATGCTTCTGATTTCTTGTATGTAAATGATATATAATAATACTTATTAATAGTTAATAACTTTTATTTTTCTTTAGATGTAAATTTAGAATGATATTTTTACCAATACCAGTATTTGTTGTGGCAACATCTGTATTTGTTAAACAATTTTCAATGTGGAGATTGGTAGAAGGAGTACAATATCTTCGAGAAACTATTGTAACCAACAAGATGTTGCTCAAGTTGGGTGCATTATTGATGATCATGCCCGTCGTACTTGTTATATGTACATTTATATTTACACCAGTCTATGATTATTACGATTATGATTTCGATACCTTAAATGTTAGACATTATTGTAAATCTCCAGATTATTATATAATATTTATTATCATGTTGGTTTATATGGTAAATATATATATATTCAAAACAAACTCGACTAGTTGATTATATATTAATACTATTTTATTCCTATTTCTTTTCAAAGAGTATTGAATTATTGTTTGGTTGTTATCTTGTAGTGGTATGTAGAAGATTTAGAAATGTACCTGGAACATTTAATGAAGCTGTTTATATTGGTATCTTACTCTACAACTATGTAATTATTTTGGCGGTATCAGTGCCACTTGGATTTGCATATAATGGAGATCCTACAGCCGAACTATTAATTCGATCTGCTGCTTTGGAACTGTTTGTTACTACAACCATTACTTTAATATTCTTACCAAAATTCAACTTTTTATGGAGAAAGAATGCTATCATTTCATCGCTTCGAAAACTAATAGAAGAACAAGAGAATAGTATTCAAAAAAATAAGGAAGTTTTGACATTTTATAATTCCTATTTGGATCGGACTAAACATCCTGATGATAATGATGCAAATGTTGTAGCTGCTGTTGGTGGAGGAGATGCAAATAATAATAACAACCAAAATCAAGACCATGTTTTAACAGAATTCTCAGATACCGATTCAAATTTAAATTCAAGTTCAAATGGCCCTCAACAACCAATGGATATTAATAATTTAAATCTTGCTACAAATAATAATAATAATAATAATAATAATAATAATAATAATAATAATAATAATAATAATAATAATAATAATAATAATAATAATAATAATAATAATAATAATAATAATAATAATAATAATAATAATAATGATAATGGAAATGAAAAGAAAAAGAGAAGAAAAAAGAAAAAGAAATCAAAGACATCTACGATTAGGGATGATGATGGGGATCCCAGTTCACCTCTTGTTAGAAGAAGAACAACACAATCAGAACCATCGACTCCATTGGAAAATGATGTTTGGCGATAATAGTCTGTTAGTGGAGTACTGGATATCCAAGTTACGAAATAAAGAGATATAGAGATAGAGCGAGATAGAGAGATAGAGGGATAGAAAAAGAGAGAATCCATATCTCATATGTGTGCATTTCTCTCTCAAAGTAACTCGAATCACTATCCTCTCAAATACTTGGGATTGAAATTACGCAAATTAACCACAATAAAATTCTAACGAATGATTATTTTTAAAATCAATTTAGTTAGTTTCACACAGAGTTGCATCAAAAGTATCTGTTTAAAAAAGATATATCGTTCTCATCATTATCATTCACAGATTCACATACATAAAAGTAATACTATAGTATACTTACTACTACTACTACTACACAACCAATACATACATAAAACATCAATCAGAGATGGACTCAATTAAAAGTTTACTGGGCAATAAAGAAGAAGAGAAGGATCAATCAGTTTGGGATGATGTAAATAATCAATGCTCGTTATCATTCAAACAGAGAATTATAGGTTTCGGTATATGCGCAGGTTTGGGTCTATTCTTTTCATTCTTGGTATGTGTTATTAACAGTCTTCATATGATGATGCCTTTACTAACTGTCATCTCTCTCTGCTACTCTTTAGGGTTTTCTATTCCTTACTTCACCATCATCTTTTGCTTTTCTTTATACAGTTGGAAATATATCAATGCTTTGCGCGTATGTTTGATAGAATAGAATAATGAAACCTGTACAGGTTGACTGTAACCATACTTTGATGATATTGACTCAATATTCCCCTTTTCATTTTATAGTACTGGTTTTATAGTTGGACCAACCAAACAAATTAAGAATATGGCACAACCAACACGTGCAATCTGTGCAGTTGTATTTGTTCTTTCTATGGTTCTTACATTGGTTGCTGTTTTCCAAGATTGGTCAGTCATTTTCATCATCATTTTGATTATCTTCCAATTCTGTGCATTATTATACTATACTTTCTCATACATTCCATATGGTAGAGAATGTTTGAGAGGTATTTGTGGATCCGTCGTATCAGTTTAAAAACATGATCAAGATAGACAGATAGATAGACACAGACCATACATACATACATACTTAAATATCGATTTCATTGACGATCGAGACAGATAGATTACATTTTAACTTATAATTAAAAACCATTTAACAAATGGACAATAGGAATATCATTTGTCCATACCTTTTTTATACAAACAACATACACATACATACCCTATATATATATAGATTAATTTCAACCAAAACCATGGGGCAATTGATTTACAACATTCATTAATTATTTATTTATTCCCAATTATTTACTTTTTTTGTTCTGATTGTTGTTGATCTTTTAAATCCTTTTCCTCTTGTTCTTTTAAATCCTTTTCTTCTTGTTCTTTTAATTCCTTTAATTCTTTTTCAACCTTTTCCAATTCTTTATCCAAATCATTATTGGATTTAATGATGTCGTGGATCTTTTCACGACTGAGTTCAACCATTTCATTGTATTCTTTTTCGTCTCTTTGACGTACTTTGAATTCATATTCTTGTCCAGACATGATATAGGTCAACACTTCATCATTGACCTTGGCCGTATTTTGAAGCATAAACATTGTGTTGTCTTCAAGGAGAATGTAGAGTGATTCCGGAGTGTTGAGTGATGGTTTGATTTGATCGATTGGAATCTTTAAAACCTGTTGGTTTGGATAATAGTGAACCAACAAAATACAATTCTCTGCTTTGTTGTAATAGACTCTTGTTGCCAAATTAGATACCAATCTCTTACCCATAAAATAAAATGTTCCACTCCATGCCAATAATAATGCTCCCATCATTTGATATTTTGCCTAAACCAAATCAGATCAGATCAATCAATCAATATGAATATTCATAAACTTATATAACTTATATATATGTATTCTATCTACATACCTCTAAACCTTTTGCCAAAGTAGCAACTGGGAATAAAACACTAGCAGCACATTGACCAATTAAAAGAGTCTTTACACCAGCAAAGACAGTCTCTCTGTCGTGTTGATAGACAAGTACGTTCTCCTTGGGATCAATAGTATCAACTTTGATCTTTGTTAGGTATTTTTCGTATGGGTTGGCAAAGAATATAGATCTCTTTGATTCATATTGTCCAGCAAAAGTAGATTGTCTAGTTAAGAGCAACGATGATGAAGATAATAATGTATTACTGCTATTGGTTAGATTTGAAACTAAAGTAGTGTTAATGGTGTTGGTGTTGGTGGTAGAAGGGGTATATTTGAATTTGGTTTGATTTAAACGTTGACTAGTGTGTGAGTAGTGAGAGGAGGAAGAGGAGGAGGTTGTATGTAAATTATAACTGTAACCGTTGCTGTTACGTGCAGCAGTAGCAGTAGCAGCAGATATTCCTCTTTTGATTAATTGACTGTTCATCTTTTTAGAGTGTGTGCAGTAGTTGTAGTGATAAAATGATGGTGGGCAATCGTTAAAACCTGCTCACACTTCTGATTTTCAAATTAAATTTGATAAAAAACACACAAATAGAAATAATCTCTGTTAGGTAATCATTGGTTGTGGGGGTGATGGGCAATCAAGCAATCATCATTCAATAATATCATCGTACTACTACATTATTATTTTATTTTTAAAAGCAGCAAATTTGGAAGTAAACCACTGCTTTCCCTGCCCACCACAACCACAACCAGCAAACCAACACACAGAGTAGATGATAACCCTTGAGATATAATAATAATAATAATAACAATAATAAAATATTACATTCAATTTCAAATTCAATTTCAATTTCGATTTGTGTTTCTATTAATATTTGTTTGTTTATTTGTTTGTTTGTTTGTTTGTTTCAAAGGCTAGGAGGTTTTTAATATTTAAATAGAGTTTAATAAAGAGAAATGAGAGAGGATCAATTCAACTTGAATACTTCAAATGAAGGGTAAGCAAACAACATAATCATCATCATTTGATCCACTTCACTTACTCAATTCATTCTAATAATAACTTAATTAGTTTTAATTTCAAATCAACTTTGTGTAATGGAATATGTTTGAAAACATTCTCCAATCAGAATGGAACGTCAGATGTAAGATTGTTGGATTGAAAATGACTCCCTTTTCATTTTTTTTATCATGTACATACATTCATTTCCATCATAAATGATATTTAGATAATTCTAGAAGATCAAGTAAATGGAAATAATAATAATAATAATAATAATGATAGTCTTGGAAGAGAAATGATTTGTCAATTTTTAAAAGACAATGAAAATTATATCAAAGGACAATGTGTATTGGAACTTGGATCATGTGAAGGATTGTGTGGATTGTTTGCTGCCAAACTTGGATGTATAGTTGTGATGACAGAGAGTAGAGACAACATACCAACATTGAATGAAAATATTAGATTAAATGATTGTTCACTCACTAGTTGTGCAGTTCGTTTAAATTGGGGTATTCAATCGATCCCAGAACTAATCAATACTGTACCCATTCCATTTGACTTTATTATGGCTTCTGATATAATGTAAAAAAGAATTAATTAATTCATATCTAAAAGTTAAATACCAAAAATATTAACAAATTATTTATTTATTTATTTATTTAGAATTCCATCAGGAATTGAAAATGCATTACAATTGTTTTCATTAGTATCAACCATTCTAAAAATTCAAAAGAGAAGTAACAAGGATTGTTATTTCCTATTGTCCTATATTCAAAGAGACCATCTTACAACATCAAAGACACTTGACATTGCTGATAGATTTGGTTTAAAATATGAACTTGTTCCTTACCATCATCATCATCACACAGATGGTGCAGGTGTTGGAAAGTTATGGAAATTTGATCTAAAAGTTTAAAATAGAGTTTTAAAATAGATGCTTTGAATTCAAAGTAATTTGTAGATAAATATTATGTAAATAGGTTTAATAAATATGTATAACGGATAATAATGTATAAATAGTACTATATAGTCGATGTTATTTTGTTTTTGTTGATTTTATATATATATTTTTTTTTTGATCTTTTCTTTATTTAATATTATTACTATTAATATTATTATATTATATTCAATGCTTAGATTCTATATTATACTCTATATTATAGTATTAAACATTGAAATTGGCCAATTTATAATATTCTCTATCTATCCATTTCTTGAATGATTATTATTATTATTATTATTGGTTATTCCTATCCTCCTTCTTTTTGTTGCACCTGTTTCTTCTTTCTTCTTTCAATTATATCTTTTTTCTTTTCTTTGTTGTTCTTTTTTTTTCTCTTTTCTTATTGTTGTTGTTGTTGATTGTTTTCTTTTATGTAACGATTAATTCATCGACAGACCAATCTTCGTATGCACCATTGGGAAGGAAACGTCTAACGATTAAAGGAATCTTCTTTGCTCTCAATTCCTTCCAAGCGATTTGTAATGGATCAGTTTCACCTTCGAGTTCGACCATAATAGGAGCATTCATGCTAATTTGAAGAGCACGTGAACCCAACAATCTAGCACGTTCATACTTGGTCATATATCTAGTAGTCTTTCTGAGATGTGGTGGCACCTTTCCAGGTTCAGCACCCTCTTGTTGTTGATTTGGATCTACGATATCTGTATAAGGAGTATCGGTAGTCTCTTCTACAAACTCTTCAAAATCTTCTTCTGGTTCATCTCCATCAAATCTATAGTCGTACATGAATTTGAATTCGTATAATTGAATTAGTATCTATCACTCTAATCTAATCTATCAATCTATCTATCAATCTATCTTCTATCTATCTATCTATCTTTGAGATCATACCCGTCACCTCCTCCGTATTCGTCCATTTTTATCTTTAGTTAATAATAATAATAATAAACAAATAATGAAACAACTCAACGACAAAAACTTTCTTCTCAAGTTATCTTTTTTTTCGATTTTTTTGAATAATTAAAATCGGGGGTATTTGCCATTGTTGTATAGTACGTCCTGTCTTTATTCATACATAATCATCTTCGTTCATTCATTCAATCAGTATAATATTTGTGATATCAATATCCTTTCACACTCAGTTCCATTGATGATACAATGATATGATGATGCACTGACAGTAGCCAGAATAGCAAAAGTAGCACCATTGTTGTAAAATGGTTGTTTTTTTTGGTTAAATGTGTGGTTAAGTGATCACTTAATACTAATGATACTGCATCCCTCCATTTTTCAAAAAGAGAGAGAGAGAGGAACCAACCACACTTTGAGTATTTCATTTTCCTTATGTTCCATCATTTCATCATCACATTATTATTACATTATTTTATCATTATTATTATTGTTATTGTTATTATTATTCTTCTTAATTTCAATTATTTGTTACAATCCTACTTAATATTTGTTCAACAACAAACAATCTTGTTTAGATCGATTTGGGGCCCCCTTGTTTTTTTTTCGTGCAACCAATAAAAAATCGACCAAAAGACGACAAACCATCGCCTCCTCGTACATTTGCTAGCCAACACAAAATTTTATTAGAATTTGTTGTTGTGCGTTCTATCATCATCATCATCACTATATATATATATAATATAATATTTCGGTTATTATTAAACATACTTTAAGTGAAGTTCATTGTACAAAAAAGAAGAAAAGAAGATGATAGCATCAGAAGAACCACCAATCACATCTGACGACGACCAAGTTGATCAAACAATCTCAACTACCACCACTGCCACAACCACCACACAAAAATCATCACCATCCTTGTCATCGGATAAAGATATTGAAAATGGATCACTATTAAAGTATGCAGCAGAATCTGATGATTTCGAAGCAGTCAAACGTATGATTGAAAAGGAGAAAATCAGTCCAAATCAAAAGGACAAGTTTGGTGATTTACCACTTCATGGTGCCATCGTCAAAGGAAGAGCTAGTATGTATCATTGAATGGTCGAGTAGTGTGAAATGTAAACTAATGTTTACCAACAATCAATATATTGATTTTGTCAACTTATTTAGGAATTGTAAAATATTTAATTAAAAAAGGAGCTGATCCAAACATTGGAAATGGAGTAGGATCAACATCTTTACATAAATTAGTTACGGTTGCATCGATTAGAGATCAATTTGATATGATTGATTGTTTGATCAAGGCTGGTGCCGACCCAACCATCAAGAATGTTTCCGGATTGATTCCAGAGCAATTGGCAATCTTTTCAAAGATTAAAGAGGTGTTGCAAGGTGACCAACTAGTCACGGTCAAGGTACACGTTGAACGTGTCGATCATGGAAAGGTGATTGGAAAGGGTGGCAAGAAGTTGAACGAGTTGCGTGAACTCACCAACACACAGATCAATATCCCCGGTATCAAAGATACCGACCATCGTATTGAAATCAAGGGTAGAAAGGATGATGTAGAGATTGCACGTCAAAGAATACTGGAAATGATCAAGCCCAAGGAACCAAAAAAGAAGATGGTAGAGGCTGAGCCTGAAGGCGACGAAATCACCTTGCTCAAGGTCCCCAACATTGCCAAAGAGAATCACCGTCTCATTATTGGTAGTGGAGGTAGCACCATCAAACGTCTTCGTGAAGAATTCAAGGTAAAGATTACTATCCCACCACCCGACAGTGCCAACACTGCCGTTGAAATTCAAGGTGACATTGATAATGTAACAAAGGCAATGCAAGAAATCAACAAAATAATCAAGAATACAAAGGAAAAGAAAGATAAAGATAATAATCATAATAATAATAATACAAAGGATAAAGATAGTAATGGTCATCATCATCACCGTGAATCTAAAGATAATAATAATAATAATAATAGGGATAAAAATAGATCAAATAATAATAATAATAATGGAGCAATTAAATCAAATGGTAGTAGAACAAATGGAAATGGAAATGGAGGATTTAAAAAAGAGGAGAAAAAGAAAAATGAATCAAATAATCAAGAACAGCAAGAACAACAACAAAAACAACAAGAACAAACTCCAGTAGTAGTATCTTCAGAGGCAGTAGAAGTCAATTCAAATTAAATTAATAAATTAAATTATCATCATCATCATCATCATCATTATTATCATTGTATCATAAAATAGAAATACTCATTTCCAATGAGTTTTAACCAATGATTGAATTGATCATCAAGTTATGTTTCCGAATATGTGTCCATCCATCCAAATATATATTATTCTTTCAAAAAATGAATGAATGAATGAATGAATGATGAATGGATCATTCTTGATATCTGATTTACAAAGAGGTGTATAATTTTTATATTATCTATCTTTTTTTGATTTTAGTTTAGTTGATTAATCGGTGGGTGATGATCATATCACGGGTTCTATTTGTTATTATATTGTTGTTATTATGTTGTTATTATTATTATTATTACTATAGTTTAAATATTTGAAAAGAATTTCTTTAATAAATCCTCTCCTTCACTGATTTGCTTTTTGTTTTGAGAGTTTGGAATCTCATCGAAATAGTTGACAACATGACTTCTAGTCTTTAACAATGATACAGCATCAAAGAGTTCAGTCTCTCCAATGAATGATAATCTATCCAAAACACCTTTATCTTCAATCTTATCGAATTGTCTGAAATCGGCTATTATATTACAAAACAAACAATACTTGTTAGTTAGTACTGTCTACTACGTCTACTAGCTACTACTACTAATATTGATATTGTACCTTTAATTCTAGCATGCATATCAGAAATATTGTATGAAAGATTGTAATGTTGGATGAGTACTGGTACTGAACGAATAGCGTTTCTATATAATTTGAGACTTCTTGAACGAGCAGCTTCAAATGAAGAGCTGACAAATGCTGGTCTGAGTGTCTTGATGGCTATTAAATTGGATGACATCTTTCTTCTTCTTCTTTGCTATATATTTGAAATAGAATCTGTTTGATTATCAGATGTATGTTCTCAGTCACTGAATGATCGTGTCTGACACTTTACACCACACCCTTATTTTTTTGGATTTTTTTAATTTTTTTGTTTTTTTCTGATAATAAGGCTGGCTAGCATGTATCCTTTCCAAAAGGTTAGTTTACTTCATTCATTCCTTTATTCACACACCATCCCATCCATTTGTTGTATTATTATTACTATTATCATCATCGTTATCACTACTACTACTACCACCAATATTATCATCGTTTAAATCTGTATATCTATATACTTGTATCTTTATATATATATATTATAAAAATTTGTTTTTTTTTTTTTGTTATTAGTACTACTTGCCCAACCAACCTACCAACCTATTACTTTCTTCTTGGTATATCTCCCCTTTTCGTCAAATACTTTTGAAATCATCTCATAATCATAATGGAGGTTGAAGATATACAACAAGAAATACAACAAGAGGAACAACCAGTTGTATCAAAGGAGGTTCAAGAAGAAGAAGATTCAACTCTGGCTACTGCTACTCTTACTGTTACTAGTTTTAGTGTATCAACAGAGGAACGAGAACAACAAGAAGAGCAAGAACAGGGAGAAGAGCAACAACAGGAAAGTGTAAGGGAAGATATTGAGGAGACTCCTTCCGTCCCTACTACTACAATTGTTGATGAAGAAGAACAAACAACTCAAACTACCACTACAACAGAAGAAGAGGAATGTAATAATAATCAAAAAGTAGAACCAGAACAACCAACACCAGTTGCCGTTGTAGCAGCTACTGAAGAAGTTGTCAAACAACCAACACAACCAACTGGTTCAGTTGTATCGCAACCAACGCCAGTTGTATCATCAGTAAATATTCATCATGGAGCCAAGTTGATTCAAGTAACTGGATCAGAAGAACCATACCATTTCATCAATGTACAATTATCTCACAGTTCATTAAACTTGACCGATGTCTTTATTATCCAAAGTGAATCATATATGTTTGTTTGGAGTACCGACAAGGTCCATAGTCAAAAGCGTGCTAAAGCCATTCAAATGGCTCAGAAATTAAAAGTTGAAGTTGGATGTCAAAGAGCTGTTATTCCATTGGGTATGAAAATGAATAAGAAAAGAACAGAAAAGAAAAGAAAAGAAAAGAGAATTATCTAATCAATATATTATTTTATTTTTATTTATTTAGAATATGGAGAAGAACATTTAACATTTTTATATATGTTGGGAGTTACAAAAGGAGAGAAATTAAAGGTGACTGCAGAAAAGAGTGAATCAATGTTGGATGAAAATGGAGATGAATTGGAACCAGAATACTTTTTGTATAGAGTTGGCAATGTCGACGGTAAATTAAATGTCATTCCAATCGACGAGGAAGTCGTTACACAAGAGATGTTTTTATCAACCAGTTGTTTTATTTTGGATTGTGAACATGAAATCTTTGTATGGCAAGGTGAAAAGTCGAGCAAGGCTGAGCGTGAGGTATCTGTCACATTGGCCAAACGTTTCCTCACCATGTTTGAACGTCCTGCCAACACATGCATCACACCCGTCTTTGATGGTGCTGAAGGTGCTTTGTTCAAGAGCAAGTTCAAGGTGTGGAAAGAGAGTGAAAAACATATGATGTCTTATTTGGGATTGGCATCCAAGAAAAAAGAGGCTCCATCGTTTTTATTGGACGAGATGTTTCAAGAAAAGGAGATTCCAGAGATTCATTTGGGTTCCAATGACCACAAAGGCAAGTTGTTGGTGTGGTCGTGTGCCGGCAACAACGGTCAGTTTAAACGAGTGGAAGAAGACGACTTTGGCGTGTTTTACTCGAACCGTTCGTACGTATGTCACTTTATCTACCGTCCAGCCGACAAGAACTCGATAAAGTCGGTCATCTTTTACTGGGAGGGCAGTTTTGCCAACTCGCGCAACTACATTTCCTACAAGTTTGGCTTGTACAAGGATATCAGGGAAAAGATGCAGTCGCTGCAGAGTGACGATCCCACCGAATACCGTATCTCACAAAACAAAGAGCCCAACGAGTTTTACAGCCTGTTTGGTCGCGAGACTATCGTTGTCAACGACGACCTCTCTACGAGCAAGCCGTCCATGTTCCAGGTGCGTGGCGCCGATGGCAAGTGCAGAGGCACACAACTCGCAGGCGACATGTCTGCCGCCAAGCTGTGCTCACTCGACTCGTTTGTCGTTATCATCCCGGGCAAGGTTATCTTGGTGTGGCACGGACGTGCATCCAACGATGCCGAGCGTGCCCTCGCATCCGATCTCTACACCTTTTTGCCACCCGACTATGAAGCACCTGTCAAGGAGATTGAAGAGGGTGAGGAGCCAGAGACATTTTGGAAGATTTTGGGTGGACGTCAAGACTATGCCGATTGTTACCAAGACAAGCCAAAGCAATTTAGATTCTATCTCACCACAGAGTCGACCGGTGTATTCAAGGCCGAGCAAATCAAACCATTCTCTCAGGTCGATCTAAACACCGAGGAAAATGCAATCCTCGATCGTTATGATGAAATCTTTGTCTGGAGAGGTGCCAAAACAACAGACGCCAAGTTCAAACAGACTGCCTCTCTTGCCAAGCAATATCGTGACAACATCAATGATGATCGTCCAGCCGACACCCCAATCACTGTCATTGATGAAGGAAAAGAAACCATCCTCTTCAAATCATTCTTTAACTCTTGGAAACAAGTTATTGCAAAGGTTTTCATTGATCCATTAGAATTAAAGAAACAAAAAGAACAACAACAACAAAAAGAACAATCACAACAGCAAATTGTATCTCAAGATGAACTTGATAATTTATTGGTTGATAATAATAAGAAACAAGATCAAGTAGTTGAAAAGGTTGAAGTGGTGGAAAAGGTTCAAGTTGAGCAAGAGGAAGTAGTAGCTGAAAAGGTTGAAGTTGAACAAGTACAAGAACAAGTTGAGGAAAAGAGAGAAGAAACAGTTTCAACTTTATCAACAGAGGAGGAAGAAGAAGGAGATAAACCAACACCTATCAATGTTGAAGAAGAAACTACTACTACAACTACTACTACAACAACAACTGAAAGTCCACAATTAATAGTTACACCACCAAATGAAGAACAACCACAACCACAAAAAGGACAACAAGAAGAAGAGGATGAAGAGAATACAACTGGATATAAACATTATAATAATGAATCTATATCAGTTTCTTCAAATGGAGATTTATTGTTTGCTTTTGAATTGCCAAACAACAACAATAATAATCAACAATCACAAAACAGTCCAAAAGGTAATAGAAAAAAGAATAACAAAAAGAAACCAAGAAACAGAAGTCTCAGTCAAAGCAATACACCAAATTCATCGAGTGGAACACCCATTTCAAAGTCTTGTGAATTGCCAAACTTCTCACCTCTATCATCTTCACCATCCAACGCTGCAGCTGGAGGTATATCAGCTGCAATCCCATTGGCTGCTGCTCTTCCACCACTTTCATCTTCTCCACAACACTCTCCCAATTTCCATCGTAAAAAATCAAATCAAAGACACAATAGAACTGGATCTTTTGGTAGTCCAAGAAAATAATAACCTAAAACAAACAAACAAACAAACAAACAAACAAACAAAACACACATTATTTATATATATAATCAATCTTTGTTGCGAAATAATAATAATCGAGAGAGATAGAAAAATAGATTCAATTTAATGATTTTTATTTATTTTCTTTCTACCCTCCTTGTATAATAATAATAATAAAATAATGGTAATAGTAATAATATCACTCAAAATAATCGAATATATGTATGTATATTCGATAAAAAAAATAAAATCAAACCTCTCTATATTTGAATATAATATATTATAATATAATATATTATATTATATATATATATCCCATTATTTTTTGTTCCCATTACTGATTATAATTTTATTCTAAAAATATAAATTAGACATTTTGGGAAGAATCAAAAAATGGAATGAAATGAAATAGATACACTGAATCATTGTATCATGTTTGGTATATATTTGAATGGGATGGAAAGTAGGATGAGATAAACAATAGAATGTGTAAAAAATTATTCATACCACTCTCACTACACACAATAAAGATTAGAGATATTTTCCACCACCACACTTACACCCAATGAGACATGTCTCGGGAGAGAGAGAGTGAGACGACAAATAGTAGTAGTGTAGTGGGTTCAAAATTCAGATACTGGAAGAATGTGATATGAAAGATTGGAAATTCATACTATCATTCATTGCAACTAGCGATATTGAAAAGCAACCCTTCTCATTGTCGTTATGGAAATCCAAAAATGTATATTCCGGAGACACAGCTGGTGGAAGAATTCTTCTATATATATATCAATGATTTATATGGTTCCACAGTAATTTTGAATCTTTGAATAATAATAATTAACCAAACCAGCTAGCTAGCAAACAAACAAGCAAACACTATAAGGTTGGAAATAACAAACATGTTCCAACAACCTCACACTCCCCCACACACCAAGTATAAATTTCATTGACCAAGTAGGATTAATAATATACATTCTACTACTCGATACAGAGAGAGAGTTGTTTTAATTTATTTATTTAATATTTAGCAAAAAAACAAATATTAAAATTGTAAGTATTTAAATATTAATAAAGAATCAATCCTAAATTTCCATCCATCCACCCATCCATCGTCCTTCATCAATCATTCAATCAATCATCAATTATTATTTATTATTATTTTCCAAATCATTTATGATTAGGTAATCAATAGTAATGTATGTAGAATTCAATTTAGTGTAGTACCAGACATGACAGGACAGGAAGTGGATGATTACCAAATCTAGATTTCATCATTTTTCGTATTTTTTTTTATATCTACACATTAGATAGTGATAGATAGATATCGACAAACACTTTTCATTCATTTATTCATACTAGTGATATACATATATAGCAAGACAATATCACCAATAATAAACATCATAAATCACGCAAACACAAAGATACACACCCACAAAATATTAGAGATCCATCTATCAATCTATTCCACAACATAAAAAATCTATAGCTTCCACACAAACAAAATAATTATTTATCATTTTTTAAAATAAGTGAGGAGAGAAGAGAGGGATGTACATTTTATTCCATACATACTCTGTCGTAAATTTTAAAATAATAATTATGACTATATGGTTTACGCACCCACTATCTCTATCTCTCTCTCACTCCCTCTTTTTTATTAATGAAAAAAAAGTTTGGTATCTCTAGAGATTTATACGCTACCACCCCCCCCAGCAAAAGGAGGAGAAGAAGAAGAAATTTATAAAGTTTATCGTCATGTATCTATCTTTCTATCAACAATTAAAAATCAACTACTATAAATTGTGTCCCTATTTCCCAACATACACCCAATTTTACTTTTGTACACGATCCAACTGCAGCTTTCTAGATTGAATGTGAAGAATAACAATTCTCCACTTGTTATTATTGTCGCACCTGGATTTTCTAAACAATACACACGAGAAAATCCCAAGAGCATGCATATATTCATCATTGGCGATGCAACTAGTTGGCATGTTCGATTTAGTTTAGTTTGGTTGCATTGTTGTTGTTGTTGTTTTACTTTTTTTTTTTTTTTTAAAAAGTATCCATCCATTCTTTAAACCAAGAATTTGTGTTATTATTCATCATCACCATCTCTACATTTATTTATTTAAATATCTATAATTTACGTTTTTATTTTGGAAAAAATAACTGGGGAGATTAATCTTTTCTTTCTGTACTGTTCAACTTTAGGAATAAAAATTCATACCCTTGTTATTAATTATTTATGACAAATGGAATCTAAGGATATAAAATCCAGCAACAATAATGTTCACAACAATGAAGGGAATAATAACAATAAGAATCATAACCAACCACAGCAGTCTTCAAAGAAACTACTTCAAATGACCCAAGAAGAATTGTTCCAACATTATTCAAATAATCCATTATCCATGGAACATATATTAATGAATCCCTTGCATCCTTCCCTTCGTCCTCCCATGTTGGATGCAAGTTTGAATGAACTTCCAAACATCAGCGTAAACAAAACTCAAAAACCTCTACTTTCAAATGATGAAACTATATTAATTAATAATTTTAAAAGTATTGTACACACAGTAAGAATAGAGAATATCAGGGTTAATGACAGGATAATACTAATACTAATACTATCCCAATTTATTTATTATTCTTTTAAAGAAAACGAAGAGAAAATTAGAAACTTTTTAAATTCACATCCAGAATGTCAGGAATCTAGATTTATGTTGATCAATAGGGAATGTTTTATGGAATTGTTCTCCATAAAGGATGAGATGGTAGTTGACAATGTATTTAGCTTCTTTCCAGTATCTGACATACATCATATGATCAAAAAGATGGACTTTGTCGAAAACAACACCATCATTCAAAAAAGCAAATCACAAGTTTTAAGAGAATCATCTTTTACTTCACTTGCGCACCCACCACAACTAAACCAACAACAACCAGATACAAATAATATTCTTAGACTTCCAATAGCTGGATCATTTCCAATTGAAACACCTTACCTTTACAACAACCACCTCAATAGACAGTCGAGTGGTGGTCAAGATAGTTGTTCGACAGGCTCTATCACCTCTGGTTCATCGGGCTCTTCAAACGACAGTACAACCGAATCATCACCTCCATCATCAATCTCTTCGTTTGGTAGTGCTGGTAGTGACATCAACTCTAAAACTTCATCACATTCTATTGATAGTAGTGGAAGCAGTAGTAGTAGTGGTAGTAGCACTAGTAGTAAATGTAGTAATACCAGTACACCATTGGGATCAATTAGTACAAATATCAATAGTAATTTCATTAATAGTGATAATACTCCTACACTACTGACAACTGCTGCAGTACAACAACATAAACTTCAACAACAACAACCAACAAAACAAAAGAATGAAAAGAGAACAAGGAGGTCTAAAAAAGGTAAAAAGAAAAAGGTTAAACTTCAAATCAAGAATCAACAGATTAATCTATTCGATGTCATCAATCATATCTATTTAATATTATCTAAAACCTCTGGAAATGAAGATGAAAGAATTAAAAGTATGGAAATAGAAATAGAAAAAGAAAAAGAAAAAGAAAAAGAAAAAGAAAAAGAAAAAGAACCATCCTATTAAACCTTGACTTTACTTTTATTTATTTAGGTACATTTAAACTTTATGATATTATGAATAGAGGATCAATTGATAGAGATGATTTAAAGAATGTTTTACATCATAGAATATTACAGAATGGCTTATCAATATCAGAGGTTACATTGGAGAGTTTAATCGATACTGTATTCGAACAGTTTGACAAAAACAATGATGGCAAGATTGATTATGAAGAATTTAAAGGTGAACTAGAGTCTATCGAAAGTGACAAGGTTGAAAAGAAAAAGGAATCATCAAAGAAACAAAAGGTGAATCTAGACTCTAGAACCGATACTGAGAAATTAAAGACATACTTTAAGATTGAGGGTATTAAATTCCTTTATTTTATCCTTTTTGGTATTGTTAATGCTATCATTATTATTACTACTTATTTTAAAGGTAAATATATAAATATATCAAATATAAATAGATCAAATATTGATTTGGAAAATATATAACTAAAATATTCCTTAATTGTTATTCATTTTAGTTTTAAATACAAATACAACGGCATTACATTTATTTGGTGATGGTTTATTTATTACAAGAATTGCAGCAGCTCTAATTAAATTCAATGGTGCTGTTATTATGGTGACAATGTGTAAACAGACGATAACATGGATACGAAATACTAGGTTTAGGAATATTATCCCTCTTGATAAATATCTGACCTTTCATAAACTTATAGCTTTCTTTTTAATTGCTGCTTCTGTTGTTCATACGTATGAGAAAGATAACAATAATTAATAATAATAATAGTAGTAAATTATTAATTAATTTATTTATATTTATACTTTTAGTGTAGGATGGTTTATTGGTATGGGAATTGCAACAACCAAACCTGATACAATTTTCTTTCAATGTCTTTATCCTCATTTTATTCAGAGACCTACCATTTGGGAAATGATATTCCTTAGTTTACCTGGTATAACAGGGTTCCTAATGTTATTGGTCATTTTAATAATGGGTGTTTGTTCTATTAAAAAATATAGAAGAAAATATTTTGAGGTAATCATAATCAAAATCAAAAACAAAATCAAAAATAATAATAATAATAATAATTAACTCTCTCTCTTTATCTATTTTTATTTGATTTTTTTTAGTTATTTTATTATACACATCATTTATTTATATTATTTTATATATTATTAATTGTACATGGATCAATGGGATGGATTTGTCCAGCATCATTTTGGAAATGGTTTATTGCACCTGCATTCATTTACACTGTCGATAGACTATTTAGATTGTTAAACAAGACACATCGAGTCAAGGTAGTAGACTTTTCACTCAAGAATCAAAGTGTGGTTAATTTGACGTTTAGCAGACCCAATTCTTTTAGATACAAGCCCGGACAATATCTTTTGGTCAATGTTCCACAGATTTCAAAGTTACAATGGCATCCATTCACAATGACAAGCTCACCTTTGGAAGATACAATTAGCGTTCACATACGGGTCACAGGAGGCTGGACCAGAAAACTTAACAAATATCTTTCAGACTATGAAAACAACGTTAACAATAATGATCTTGAAAGTGGTAAAAAGGACATTGAAATCAATATTGATGGACCATTTGGAAGTGCAAGTCAATATGCAATCGCTCAAAAACAAATCATCCTCGTTGGTGCTGGTATCGGTGTTGCTCCAATGGCTTCACTTTTACAAGACATCAAACTTAAAAAAGAATATTTAAAGTCTCTTGGATCTAGTACTTCAATTGAAAATAATAACAAAAATAATAATAATAATAATAATAATAATAATAATAATAATAATAATAATAATAATAATAATAATAATAATAATAATAATTCAAGTGATACAAGTAGTGTGTCGAGTGGTAATTTTGGAGCGACAGCAGATAAATCAAAAGATTTGGGAGATTTGGAAAAAGTTCATTTCTTTTGGTTAAATAGAGATCCAAATTGTTTCCAATGGTTTGAAGAGCTGTTGATTGATATGGCAAGAACTGGAAATCAAATTCCTAAAATTTCAATCCAAACATTTATTACTCAATGTTTTCCAAAGGATGATGTACGAACATTTATGCTTTGGAATGGACTAGAGAAAATGTTTAATCTTCAAGGAACTGATCCTACCACCAACCTACCATTCAAAACCCATTGGGGACGCCCAAATTGGGATGCCATCTTTTCATACTATGCTACCAAATACTCTGGTCAAAGAATTGGACTGTTTTGTTGTGGTCCTCCAGAATTATCAAAAGAATTATATGATAAATGTAAAAAATACTCTTCACTCGATTCTGGTACTAAATTTAAATTTTATAAAGAGAATTTTTAAACACACAACAAAACAAATATAAAATATAATAATAATAATAAAAACTACAAATATATAGCACTATTCTTTTTCTTTAAAAATAGATACATAGTTTTGTGTAAATTTACTTTAATTTAACTTTTTTTAATATTTTTAATTTCTTTTAATAAATTTCTTTTTCTAATTTCATCTTTACTGTCTCTGATGAATTGATAGAATTGTTCTAGACCATCTCTATGATAGGTATCGAAATATCTTGCTTGTGCTGGCTTGGTGTCAACTATTCCTTGATCGATTACTTGTTGATACATTTTCTGTAATTCATCTTGTGAATCCTCGATTTCAATGCCAGCCACTAACAATTCGATTGGTTTCGTTAAATCACATGTCTGTTGTACACATACATCTTTGGATAAAAGTGGATCGACACAAAAATTCTTAACACATCTAACAAAATCCTGACATTTCTCGTATGAACAAGATAGTGGATGTGATGCCATATCTGGATTACAATCGTTTTCATGTGCACATGTATAGAAAAACTAAATAATAAAATAATATTAATATTAATTAAATGATTATTATCTTTTTTTCTTCTTTGTTCATTGCTCTTCTTCTTTGTTCTTTGTTTTTTTTTTACTTACACCTAAAGAACTTAAACAATATTTTCCTAATAGTTCACTTGTTGGTGAACAATAACCAACTGATGAGAAAGCATCACATCGACAATATTCCCATGGACTACAATCAGACATTTGGAAACAAGTGTTGAAAGAGGTTGAAGGTCTAGTTTGACAAGTTCCCATTGCACTACCGACCCAATCTTGTTTGCAGTATTGGAGTAATGATGGATTACATGATATCTTGTTGACTACACAAATATCTCCAACATAGGTTGTCAGATTACAGACACCAATGTAGGAATCGCGATATTTTGGAACACAGAATCCAAAACATTCAGACAGAGTATTCAAAGAGTTGCATTCACCAGGTGCAAAGGTGACTGGTACACATCTGCCATCAGAGGTACACGCTTGGTCTCTTGGACATTGTTCTTGGCTGTAACATCCACCGGGAGGAGTAGTACAAGTTCCATTTGGACAAATCATACCCAAATAGCATTGATAGTTTTGTGTACAATTCTCTCCATATCCAGCATAGAATGCAGTTTGACATCGCTTTATTCCATCAACCTCCAAAACACAATATTCACCCAATAATTCATTGCAATCATTGTTTACAGAACATGTAGTATTTTCACTCTTTACACTTGTACAAGTTCCATTAATACAAACTAATGGTATAAAACATTTAAATCCACTAGGAAAGGGAAAGGAGAGGGAAAGGAAGGTGGAATTATGTTAATTATATAAGTAAAGAGGAAAATAGCAAGCACTGGTGGTAGGTGGTAGATCGTTTGTGATAAATATACATACCTAAATGGATAGATACAGTCACATGGACCTCCTTCACCCGAACAGAAACTAAAAGTACAAGAACTATCGACTATATCATTTGCAAAGGTTATTTCTGTTGTTGGAACTGGTTGTGAGTGACAAGTTGTTGGAAGTAGCAAGAGAACTATCGATAACAACAACAAGACCAACAATAAACCGATATTGGATGTTACCTGAAAACGGTAATATCTATCATAGATTATTGTCGTCATCGATATTCGTTTGCGTTATCGTTTAAATGGTAATCATCACCGATTCTCATCTGACTGACAGATGATTGATTATTAATTAATATATTCTTTCTAGGATGCGCAGAAGGAGATGAGCCAGAAGAACGCAAACATAGAGAGAGAGAGAGAGAGGGAGGAGGTAACAATTAATATATTTCATACATCACATAGAATATACTCCTACATACCCATTACATGTATCTATCAACAGCTAGCTACCTACACACAAAAAAGAGAAAGAAGAGTGTGCGGTGGTTTTGTGCAATGTGAGTGAGTGAGTGCTACGTGTGTATGGGGGTTGAGTATGTGTGGTGAGTGTGAGCGATTATCACTTCACTGTTGAATGAGATATACAGAAACACCTCTCTCTTACTCAAGTATGATAGGGAGGGGTAGGGGAGGTAGGGTATATCAACTCTTGTTTCCTTCAAAAATCATTCATTTTAATTGATTGGATGGATGCCCGTTTGCATGGAACAACAACAACAATTAATTTAAAAAATCACCCATCCACCATCGCACTCCAACAATTAAAAAGTTAATTAATTAATAGGAAAGAAAAGCTGTTGCTGTGTTGGTTGCTGTTGTTGTCTTTTTTTGGCTGGTCACCATCATCAAATTAGGGAATTTAATTTGTTTGTTTATCTTCCATTTCATCCTCCTCCTCCTCCTACTCTACATCCCTTTTACCTACTTCTACTCCTACTCCTCTAATACTATCATCCTTAAGTCTTTAGCTTTCTTAGTTGCTTCAGTTCACATACCTAGGTTTGTGTTTTTGTTGTTTGTTTTGTTAGATTTCTTTGGTTGCCTACAAACAACAACAATCATCCAATAAAAATAATAATAAAAAAAAAATAAAAAAAAGCCAACCAAAACACTCAACACCCAACAAAATTCATAAAAAAAAAAGAGAAACACAATTTAAACGTTTATTAGTAGTTGTGCAAATTTCAAAAAATAGTAGTAGTAGTAGTAGAGATAAATATAGCATAGCATAGCATAGCAAACAAACAAACAAACAAGTAAAGATATAATAGAATAATAGTTTGTTTCAATCAATCAACTTTGTTTTAAAAAGAAACAGAAGTTTGGTTCTACTTTTTGGAGTTTGGTATTAGTACTATAGTCGACTTGAATAATATAATAATATCATTTATTATTATTATTATTATTATGATAGCTACTCGTCATGAGCAGCAGTAACATAACACAAATGTCTCAAAGAAATATGAATGTATATCCACCAAATGTAGTTTCAAGTGGATTCCATCATTATCCACCTCAATCTACACAACAACAACAACAATATATGCAATTTGGACAACAACAACAACCATCTTCTCAGAATCAACAACAAGGATTTTATGTACAGCAACAACAACCATCATCTACACAACAACAACAACAACAAGCATATAATTCAAATTATCAAAAATCACAATATTATTATCAACAACAACAACAACAACCAAATAGTATACCACCCTCATCTACTCCATTACAACAACAACCCCAACAACAACAACAACAACAACAATCAAGACAAATTCAACCAAATATATTACAACAACAACAACAAATTTCTCAAGCACCACAAACACCGCAACAAAAATCACAAATTGTATTATCATCAGAGATTAGACAACAAATTGATAATATTAATATAGATTTGGATGATGATCCATCGAAAAAGAAGAGAAAAAGAACATCTCCAGATCAATTGGCAATTTTAGAGAGAATGTTTATTGCGCATCCACATCCAACACTCAACCTCAGAGGACAGTTGGCCCTCGATCTAGGAATGTCACCTAGATCTGTACAGATTTGGTTTCAAAATAGAAGAGCAAAGGCACGTCACATGGAATTTAAACCACAACTATCTGCAGAAGGAATGCAAGAGTTTGAAACATCCATCAAGGGTGAAAAATACTATGAAGAGCCCACTACCACTACCACAAACTCCAACTCTACAACTGCCTCTAACCCCGCTGCTGCTGCTTCTGCCAATAGTACACCTTCCAACACTTCTGGCAACAATACTGCAGAGACTGGATCACCAAAGGTGTCTGGTCAACTGTCGTCATTGGCAAGAATGTGGAATCGTATCTTGTTGGCAGGTGGCAACTCTGATTTGATTCGAAACAGCAGTAATTGCGATGACCCCGATGCAATTGATATCAATGCATCCGACTCTAATGGTTTGTCTTTGTTGTTTACTGCTGCCGTGTTGGGCTACGAATTCCAAGTTCGTCGCTTGATTGACAGTGGTGCCAACCCAAACATTCGTGACAATGAGGGCAACACACCGCTCCTTGCAGCCTCTGCCATTGGCAACAAGATGATTGTATCATATCTTTTGGCGCATGGAGCCGATCCCAACTTGGCCAACAACAAAAACATCACCCCTCTCTATGCCGCCTGCAAGGGTGATCGTACAGCCATTGTCGAGATTCTATTAGAGTATCGTGCAGAGGTCAACGAACTCACCAATGACGGCGAGGGTGCCCTCCACATTGCCTCACTCAAGGGATACGAAAAGATTTGCCAACTCTTGTTGGAAAACGACTGCAAGGTCAATGTGCCCGACGAACAGCAATACTTTCCTCTTCACCATGCAACCATCAAGGGTAATCTCAATATTGTCAAAATGCTTCTTCAAAAGGGTGCCGATACAAACGTGGTTGATAACAGTGGACACGCTCCACTCCATACAGCCGCTCTTATGGGTCACGACAAGATTGCAAATATCCTGATGGACAAGAATGGCAATCCAAACAAACAAGATTCAGAGGGTTACACCCCAATCCATTATGCCATTAGAGATGGTAAAACTGATACTGTAAAATCATTAATTAAAAGAAATTCAAATTTAACTTTAAAGGTAAGAAAAAAAAAAAAAGAAAAAGAAAAAGAAAAAGAAGAAAAAGATTTACCAACTATTTATTATTTCTACTTTTTTAGACATTAAAAGGACAAAACTCTTTACATATGGCAGCTCAATGGTCAACAGTAATGTTGGGTCAAGAAATATTGGATAATTATTTTGGTAATATTGATGAGTTTGATCATCAAGGCTATACACCACTATGTATTGCAGCATTGGTTGGAAAGACTCAATTTGTAAAATACTTGGTTGGCAAGGGCGCATCCATCAAACTTTGCTTTGGATATTCTCCAAAAAGAATCAAATCCAGATGTAGAGGCAATTGAATCCCTCCACAGATTATACACATGTAACAAAGATAATACTAATAATAATAACAACAATAATAATAGTTTTGTAAAAAATGAAATTGAGGAACAACAACAACAACAAAAGAATATTTATAATCACCATCATCAACAACAGAAACCAAAGATTGGAGACTATAGGTCAATATCTGGACTTGTCTGTGGAGAAGATGAGGAAAACGAAGAGTTGGATTCTTATTACCAAAATAACAATGCCAATTACAGTAGACACATCATCAGTAGTTCTCATCACCAACCAATGTAAAGCAAGAATTCCTTTTTTTTGGGAATCATTTTTTAAAAAACCTCCTCCCCTTTTTTTTCGATATATCATTTTTATATTATTAAAATAAAACCTATTAATAATAATTTATAAACTGTCAAAAAAAAAATGATTGAAATGAATAGATGGATGAGATCATTTTGATTGAAATCATGGTTAACTCATCTCAAAAATAATTTTCTTTTAAATTAAATTAAATTAAGGGGGTGTGGAGTCTACCTTTATTATTACCATGATAGTAGTGCGATTCATGGCCGATAGAAGACACATTTACAAATGGACAACACAGTTGCCAAAAGATAAATGGTCATAGTACTCCAAAATAAATTAGGTTAATCATTACAGCCTCACAACGTGTGGAGGCAGAAAGAGATTAAGCTTTCTAGAACAGATACTACACATAATCAGAGCAAAAACTCTGAGAGAAGATGGTCAAATGGCTATAAACCAAATGACAAATTTTTTGACTGCCAATTGACCAACCTATTTATAGTTTTTTTCTCTAAACTGGAAAATTAAATAATCCAGCATTGAAGAAAAAAAAAAATCTCTTTTGGAAATAAATCAAAACTATTTAATAGTTTTCAACAATCAAGTTTAGATATTAAATAATGATGATGTAATATAGTAGTAGTTTTATTTAAATATTTTAAAATTTAAAATTTGATTCTATATCTCTTAATGATTCATTCAAAATACCTGTTCCCTTATCGATCCATTGTAGTGCATTCAAATGAGCATTTAAAATTTTAATTATTTGTTGTTTCTAAAGAATAAATAAATATATTAATATACTGTGTCAAAGTTTTGTTGTTATTTTTAATATATCTATATCTTACTTGATCATTTGGATCAGCAGGTTCATTTGAATCATTAATAGTTGTGACGATGGATTGTAATTTTGATTCTATATTTGAAATGTCTTCGTCGATTTTCTTGGTGGAATAATAAATCTTTTCTCTTTCAATATCAGATGAAGACTCGATTTCCTTTTGTGACACGCTGATCTTTTCGTCCAAAGCGTGCAATGATTTATCCAATAATGATTGTTGATCTTTAATCGTATTTATAACCTGTTCAAGAGTTTTTTGTTGAGAATTAATTGACTGTACAGTTCCCATCAGCGTATTTAACTAAAAAAAAAAATAATTCAAATGTTAGAGATATATATATATATATATAAATAGATAGCTTTTTAGAATTTATACTGTACTTTTTGAGAATTTTCCATAATAGCAGAATCCCATTGATAAATTTGTTTGGCTTGAAGGTAGAATTGACGAGTTTGATTATTAATTTCCTCGGCCCATTCATTTAATAAATCTTCCAATATTTGACTTTCGTTGATTTCAATATCTTTTGGTGTAGTAGTGGTGATTGCTGTTGATGATGATGGGTTGTTGCCTGACAACATGGAAGTGGTTAATTCGGGCTTGGCGTCGGCTGGCTTGGCAGGGGTTGCTGCTGCAGAAAACAATCCTCCACTAGGAGTAGATGCTGTAGTTGGTGTAGTTGTAGGTGGTGTAGATGATGAGCCACCAAATAATCCTCCTGTTGTTGGGGCAGCAGTAGTTGTTGCTGTTGTAGATGTTGCTGGAGCAGATGATCCTCCAAATAATCCACCAGTTGATCCAAGTGATGGTGTAGCTGGGGTGGTGGTTGCAGCAGGTGTAGAAGTTCCAAATAATCCTCCAGTAGTTGCTGTTGATGTTGTTGTTGTTGTAGTAGTTGAAGGGGTACTGGTCGATCCCAAATTTAAACCTGATCCTCCAAAGAGACCACCAGCACCAGTTGTTGAAGTGGTAGTAGTTGCTGGTGTAGTGGCTGGCGTAGTTGTACCAAATAGACCACCAGCACCAGATGAAAGGGATGGTGTGGTAGTAGCTGCTGGGGTAGATGCAGCACCGAATAATCCACCAGTAGTGGTGGCAGAGGTGGCAGCAGGTGTAGTTGCACCACCAAATAGACCGCCAGCACCAGATGTAAGTGATGGTGTAGCAGAGGTGGTGGTAGCAGCAGGTGTAGTTGCAGCACCAAATAATCCACCAGCTGAACCAAGTGATGGTGTAGCAGAGGTGGTGGCAGCAGGTGTAGTTGCAGCACCAAATAATCCACCAGATGAAAGTGATGGTGTTGATCCCAAGCCTAAACCTGTATTACCACCCAATGATGTTCCAGTTGTTGTTGGAGTAGAGGTTGTGCCAAATAGACCTCCACCACCAGCACCGCCCAAAGATGTTCCAGATGATGCACCACCACCAAACAAGCCACCACCAGTTGATGTAGTTGGCGGAGTAGAGGTTGCGCCAAATAGACCTCCACCACCAGCACCACCCAAAGATGTTCCAGATGCACCACCACCACCAAACAAGCCACCAGCACCAGTTGTAGCCGATCCTAATGGAGGAGATGTTGTTGTAGATGGAGCACCAAACAAACCACCAGCACCAGTAGTAGTACTGGTTGTAGATGGGGCACCGAATAAACCTCCTCCTCCTAATGTAGTTGAAGGTGCAGCAGCTCCTAAAGAAGAACCACCAAACAAACCTCCTCCTCCTCCACCACCCAATGTCAATCCACCTGCTGGTGTTGATCCTCCAAATAGATTACCACCACTTGAAGGAGCAGCACCTCCCAAACTAGTGCCACCAAACAATGATCCACCTGTAGATGCACCTCCTGCTGCTGGAGCCCCAAATGGGTTAGATCCTGCTGTATTTCCAAATAAACTCATTCTCTATCTATAGAAATATATATATTATATATAAAAGAATGTGTAAAAGAAGGAAGAAGAGATATATTTACAAATAATGAACTTAAAATCGTCACAGCAATGAAATCGAATGCTTGGTCTGCTTTTTTTTGAATTTTTGAATTTTTTTTTTTTGGAGCTCAATTGATAAACTTTCCAACAAAGATTAATGCTATTACTTTTAGTATTATTATTTTTTAAAAGAAAGAAAATATATATCTATTTTTAAAAAGTTTATTAGTTTGTGTGTTTGTATGTTTGTGTGTGTGTAGGTAGGTATATATAAATATAATTTTTAAAAAAAAAAATGAATTAAATTTAGAAATCACTGTCTGACGAATCATAGTCTTCGTCATCATTGATGCCTATGTTATCAAAGTCATTCAATTCGGCAAGATCCAACTTGTAACGCAAGATACCACCCAAACCACCAAAACCTTTGCAGAATTGAGAACCTTCTTGTGAACGATTGGTGACAAACTCGAGGTGAGCACCGAATTGACGGTAGTTGTTGGCGAACCATTCAACCACAGACATGACTTCAATGATTTCATAATCTTGGTTGGATTCCTTGTCACGGAAATGTGATTGATCCTTTTCTTGTTGTTTGTTGAGGTAGATGATAGTGTCCTTTTCTTCATTTGGAAGACGAAGAACATAACGGTTGTATTCAAGTGATTCCCAAACAATCAATGTGCTAACTGCTCCCATATCCAAAGCTCTTAATGTATCTGCAACACCAAAACATACACGTCCAGTATCCTAAAAAGAAAAAAAACAAAAGGTAAGTATTGTATATGAGATAGATAGAGATATATATATATATTTAATATTTATATTTACTTGAGCAATTTCATCAAAGAATGAAGCAATGAGCTTCTTTTCTTGTACAAATTTAACATTGGTAAGAACTTCTTGTGATAATTCGATAGCTTGATTGAAACCATTGTCACCACCATAGGAAACATCGACAATCTTGAGAATCTTATCACGCAAACGTTGATCAAACATATCTGAAGTACTCAATTCAGTCTTGAAATCAGCACTACCTGCAAGAATTAAACCTGATACATTTGGACTAAAAAAAAAAAGTATAGGTTGGTAAGTATTTGTTGTCACAACCAAGTATTCTTCAACTACTACTACTACTACTACTACTATAATTCTTACTCTATCATTTGTAATATAGAATTGAGTTACCAACTCTGAAACCTTTCTAACATAGTTGTGACGTTTTTCGAGACGAAGACGAGCAAAACGAAGGGCAGATTGACCACCTCTACCGTGCTTCTTTGGAAGATCGACAGTGATTCTATGTAATACAGTTCTGGTGCTACCGGCCAAGACACCAAACAAGGCACCGTTACCATCGACAACAATGAAACCAAACTTTTCATCAGACTCTAACAACTCTCCGAGAGCAGCAGTATGGAACTTGTTGTCGCAGAGGTAGAGAGAGGTGTTGATTGGCTTGAATGGTTCGATATCAATGGTCACCTTTTTTTCCTTGCCTTCGGCAGTCATGATGGTACCACAGTACAATACAAGACCATTCTCTGGCACCTTGTTGTAGAGCTTGAGTCTTTGTTGTGTCGATGTAATGGCATCGAGTACAGACAATCTATTCACTCTAGACTTGATATTAGAGGCTGTACCATATTCTTCTGCAAGCATCTTATTGATCTTTGCAATTTGGTCTCCTGGACGAATGATCAATGAAATCATTGATGTACCATTACTAAAGATATAATCAAGTAAGGGTAGTAGGTATATATTGTTAATAATCGTATTACAATCTAATATAACAATATAATGAATGAATGACTAACCACCCCGACAATCGATCGATCATTTGATTGTCGGTCGGGTAGTCGGTCGTTTCATTCGGTTATTATTGTTAATCCAACCAAAACAAGTTGTGTAAGTGATCTCTTATCGTTTCAATTTACCCTCTAACAGACTCGAGATTCTTGATCAACTTTTTGATCTTCCATTGCTCGACTTGCTTGTCCATTTCGACATCTCCACCTTGTGCTGACATTGTTGTATTGTTGTTGTTGTTTGGTTGATTAAAATAATGCTATATGTAGTATTAAGTTGTCTGTCGGCTTCTCTCCTCTCTCTCTTCTCTGTGCGTTGAGTCAAGTACTTCTGATTATGTTATTAATAGTAGTAAAAGTAGTAAAGGATACACAAAACTCTAAAACAAAAAAGAAGAGAATTATATTGGGAGGAGGTTTGAGAGAGACGACTCTATCGAAAAAAAAATTAAAAAAATTCAATACTCTCTCCGTACTCGTTTTTTTAGAGTGCATCATGATTGATTGAGGATCACTTGACAGATCTTTCGTGTACATTTGAGATTGATGGAAAGTTTATTATTATTATTTAATATTATTTATACTTATATTGGTACACCTTGTTGAGATTTAATAGCCAATTCAATGATTGAATTTAAGAAATCAGATTCATGCATACCACCCAATTTTGCAAATTGGTTGATTTCCTTTTTAATTAAATCAACTCCACTAAATTGTTTGTATTGTTCAAGTGTACGTTCACTACCCAATGAATAATGAATGGATTCGGTGTCTAGATTGGCGGTCACTTGGTTTTGTAAAATATGATTGATTCTATTTCTACTCTGTTGTTCCTTTTCCTTTTGAATGGCTTGGTGTACTGGTGTGGAACAGTCATCTCTAAAAGTGGTACGATAGTCACGTTTCCAGAGATGAAATACCAATGCAATGGGAGGACTATAGAAATTCCAACCACTTGTCCAAAGTCTTGCCGTCATGATCATCTCTTCACCAAAAAAGAGGTGGTCGAGATGAGGATCGTATGGTACTTCTTTGATGACTGCCGACGATGAGAATGAGAACCCAGACACCCAGAATCTAGATGTAAAAGGTTGTTTGAGTGGTTTTGAAATCAATTTACCAGTCATTCGAATCATAGTGTCTTCTGCAAATCGATCTGCAACCAACACTGTAGGGTATGTATGTTTTGGTACGTTGTTTGGTAGTGTGTATCCCATTGGATAACATGTAATGATTGGTTTGGAAAGTGGACATTGCTCAATCATCTCTATCAACTTGCTATCCCAACCCTTGATAAATCTCATATGACTATCAATCTGTAAGAAGTACTTTTCATCTTTCCATAACGTTTGTGCTAAATGTCTTGCCAAACATGGTCCTTTTGCTTCTGTAAAATGTAAATCAATTCTTCTAACTAATAATAAGAAACAAAAAAAGTTAAAGATAAAGAAAGAAAAACAAACCAACTTATTAAAGTCTATATCATTATTATTTACCTTGTTTATCAAATCTATCAGATGTATAGACAAAACATTGTTGATCTTGATTATCTTTCATATCGTATTGCCAACATACACCAATGTATACATTATCAGGTTGATCTGCATTTTCAAATAAATTCTTGATTGTCCATTGACATTCTACATTTTTGAAGAGATTCATTAATAATCTTCATTATTATCATATATATATTCTTTACATACCAGGATCTCTATAACTTGCAATTGATACAAATATTGTATTATCTGTTTGTGACATTATGAATAATGAAATGAAAATGAAATATTAATGTAGCATTTTTGGTTCTAGTATAACTTGCACTTAATTATTATTATTCTTATAATATTTATATATTACGACAACACACAGTGCTCACCATCAGAACAGACATCGACTCTCTACTGTTAACCGATGATACCTTGATCATGGTTCACTTTTTTGACTACACTATTACGATCAAGGTATCAGCGGGTAACAGGACAAAAGTAGATGTCTGTTATGATGTGATAGCTAGGGTGGCGATTTCAGGATCAAATGATACCTTCTTGACATGACTCTACCTATATATAACTCATCTAAAATCTATTAGTTCTGTTATTGATGCTCTGATTGTGATACATATAATAGAATTATATATAATTAATTTATGGATTTATAAAAGTAACACTTTGAAAGACCACTCATTGCATCAATGTTGTTATAAAAAATTGAAATAAATTAATATTTGTACAAAATGTTTATTTGATTTGTTGTTGTTGTTGTTGTTGTTGTTGGAATTAATAAATAATAGATGGTAGGGTGTAGGGTGTAAGGGTTGAATTATATAATAAAATTTCTATGATACAATTGTGTATTGTGTATTGTGTTGTGTGAGTTGTGATTTTGTTTCGCCGCTTCTTCATCTTCATCTTCTTTTATTCCAAAGTTAAAACCAATTCCAAAAGAGAAATTAAACCTTCAACACCAAGAGTTTCACGCAAGAAAGCTTTAAAGTTGTCTGGATCAGTTAGGAAGAGATTGGTTAATCTATTGGTAATATAGTCTTTGTTGCCAGATGAAATGTCCTCGATGAGAAGATTAGTCAATTCTTCATAGAGTGCAGAGTTTTCCCATTCCTCGTCTCTTTCGGCACCCGATAGAATGGCCTGAAGATCTTCGACCGATTGATTGGTAGCGCTTTGATAGAGTGGAGGTGGAAGAGGATAAGATTTAAAATCAGTGATACTTTTAGACGATGGGAATGATGGTAATGCTGGAGGTGGTACAAAAAGAAGTGGTGGTGGAGGTGGTAATGCCGTAGATGAAGTGGATGATGTGGATGGTGACGTAGTAGTTGAATCTCCTCCTCTATCTGGTACAAGTTCATCAGATGTAGTTGAAGGTGAAAGTGTAGAGGGTGATGTAGTGGCGCCAAATATAGTTTGTTTGTTTTCAATCATTGCTGTAATCATACTACAATGATTTTGAATCTGTGTCAATGAGTCTGTGGTTTGTTGGGCTGGGTCTGATGAGATGGATCGCACCATATTTGGTGCAAAGCACACTCCAATAGCCATCGGTGCCATTTTGTTGACCGATGAGTTGCTAGCTACCTGTTCCAAAAATTCGATAATGTATTGCAATATCTTTATGTTTTCGTTTGGTAGTTTGGTAACAAAATCTTTAATGTCGTCGACACGTGTTGGTGTCGTTCCATTGGGGAATAATTCGATTGGAATCAATGGAAATCTCGCTTCTCTTAGATATAATTTTAATAATCCTGCCAAATCATGATGATTTGTATCAAATGATATAACATTTTCAGCTAGAAAACAAAAGTTATATATAATATTAATTAATATATATATATTCCTTCTTTTATATTTGATTTAATTTACATACGATCATTTAAAGCTTGCCATAGAGCTCTTATTGTATCTGCATTACCATTGACTCTGAATAGTCCCTCTGTCTTTATGGCATTTGCCTTTTTAATGGCAGTGATAATCTTGAATATATTGACAAATGATAGGTTGACATTGGGTGCAGTGAGGATATGTCGTTCGTACAATGAATCACGCGATGGTCTGTGCGTAAAGAATCGTTTCAATTTACTTGAAATAATGGTTGCTTTGGCATTTGTCTTTGCATTTTGTAACTCTCTCTGTTGTTGTTGGTTCAATCGTACAGGTCTCTGTGGTGGAGTATGTAATATCTGATGTTCTTTTGCTTGTTGTTGTTGTTGAATTGATCTTGGACTACTCATCGTTGTTGATATATCAGCTGCTGCAAAAGTCGTAGTAGGTATAGGATTGATATTGTTGTTTCTTTTAAACGAAGATGATGATGGTGGTGGTAATGGTGGAGTATATTGGGGTGCTGGTCCTAATATCGATGCTTTTCTTGGTGGTGGTGATAAATCAGTTTGATTTGTATTATTATTATTACTATTATTGTTTATTTGTTGCAGTTGTTGTTGTTGATTCGTATTAGTTAATACAGCACCGATATGTTGTACGTGTTGAAATGATGAAGGAGAACTAATTTCAAACTCCTTTTGGAGGTTAAACCTTTTACTCATGATATATACGACAGTCGTGAGGACACCTAGATTCTTCGTTGCCACAGCAAGGAAAGAGACGACGACTATTAAATTGTTTTTGAAAAGAATTTCAAATAAACGGCTCTTGAAAAGTCTTTTTAACTCGATGTAAGGGTAAGGCCGTCTCACCTCACTTAAACTAATATAAAAAAACTATATAACTATACAAAAAAGAAACTAAAAACTAATTATATGTAGACACTGCAATATATCTATCTTTCTTTCTGCTCTGCTGTGTCAAATGATAAATGATGAATGATGTTAAAGTCAAAGTATTTCAAATAACATGTTTGTAAGATTCACACCTCTACCCCAATAATAATTCAAAATAATTAAAAAAAATCGGCTTCTTATAATGGACGCGGGAGGTTCGTTTTGATCGAATCGTCTCTTCTTTTTTTTTTTTGTTTATTCCATTTCCAACATGTTTCATCCATCATCTTGTGTGTGGGTGGTAGTTTGGTTATTTATAAATTGGAAAGTAATACAACTAATGGAACACCAACAGATACTACTATAATGGATGAAGGTGCACCAAATTTTAGGTAATCTCTAAAACCAATTTGATAGTCTAGTTTGGCTTTCTCGGCAACGATCAAGTTAGCAACACTTCCAACCAGTGCTTGATTTTTAAAGTGAAAGAAAGAAATTACATCAAGTGATGATGAGTGTCAATAATGATGATTATGATAGTATTAATTTAAATCTGTATGTATTACATACTTAGATTACCAGCAACAGTTGAAACAAAAGCCAAAAGTAACCATGTAAAAGGAGGAGCAGAAGCTTCTAGGAATCTTGGACATAGTGCAAGTACGAGTGGAACATTACCCAAGATATTACTACATATCATGACCATGACGGTAAAGATAAATATTTTCAAGGCGTTTGGTGTAAGTGGAACCCATGGTTCAACCAAATCCCATGCATATGATGAAAACTCTCGATCAAAACCATCGACCAAGATAAATAGTCCACCAAAGAATACGAGTAATTCCCAATCAACTGATTTGAGTACCTCTGTAATATCCCTTCTCTCTAAAAGGATTAATATAGATACTCCCATCATGACTGTAAATCCCATATGAAATCCAACAAAAAAACCAACCAAAATTAATATTGATATCCATCCTGCTTTATATCTATCAATCAATATAAATCCATATTTTAATTGATCTTTAATGGTTTCTATTCGATTCTTATTCTTCTTTATATTGTCAATATGAATACCTGTGACACTACCACGACTATTTGAAAGATGATTCATTGAATGATTTAAATTAATTTCCATCTCTTCTTCCTCTTCTTCTTGTTGTTCATCAATTAAAACTTGAATTGAAGGAGAATCAATTGGAATATTGGTAGGAAGTTGGATATTTTCTGTTTCTTCTTCTTGTTCTTTCATTTCAATAAATTTATGATTTAAATCTTGACTATAGTACAATTCAGCGATGGCTGGAGTGGTGGAATTTAATTGATGACGAGACAACTCTTTTCTAAAGTATAGATAGAGTAGTGCAGTATTGATGACGACACCAATTAGACTTGAAACGATGGACACTTTGAAAAATAGGGTAAACTTGACACCAGAGGCAGTTGCAATGATCATATTTTGTGGATTTCCAACTGGCAGACTTGCACTGCCAATGTTGGCACTCGTAGCAATTGCCATGAGGTATGGGAATAATGGTAGATTGGTAGACTTGCAAGCTTGTATAATAATGGGTGTAATAGTGACACATACAGTATCGTTTGTCAAGACGGCACTCATCGATGCACTGATTGCACATACTCGCACCATAAATTCTACACTCGATCGACACTTGTACAACAACATCTTTGAAGCCATGTCCCAAACATTGGCTCTTTCCATATAATTACACAACATCATCATTGACATTAATAATATCAATGTATCCCAATTGACAACACTCCCTATTTCCTCTGCAGGTACTATACCAAAATAAACCATCATTGTCTATCATATATGAATAAAATAAGTGTAATAATACAAAATATAACTTGTGTAAGTTGAGGAGGAGGAGTTTACAACATATTTGTTTTTACTATTAATAGTATTATTTTTGATATTTACAGAACCAACAAGAGCAGTTGCAGCTCTACCAATTGGCATCCATTTAAAATTTCTTGAACATATAATGATGAGTGAGACTGTGAATATCACCACTGCAAAATATGGTTTAGCTTCTCCTACATCTATTACTCCTTTTCCCATGGACTACTTAAATATTCAAAATATTATTATTATTTGTAATTATCTCTTTTTTTTATTATCTCTATACCCTCAAAATAGTGTAGATATAAGTGAAAAGTGTGAGATGTGACACCCCCTAATATCCACCACAAAAAAAATAAATGAAATTTTTTCGTCGTCAAAAAATAGCTGAATCATTCGGTCGGCTTGATGTATGAATCTACTCGAAGCGCGTGTTACTTTCTTATCTTTGTGTTTAATCTTCTTAAAGAGAGAGAGAGAGATATAGTAGATAATCAAAAATGATGCAATCAACATTGAATAGAGTTGGTAGCAGATGTTTAAATAGCTATGTTACCAAGGGTGGTTTGACCAGCAACTTGACAAAGTTGACAACAACTTCAACTTTATCAAAGACCACATCATCATCATCTTCATCTACTTCTACTTCTACTACTTCATCATCATATAATTATAATAGAACAATGATGACAATGTCAACATCAATGTTTAATAATAACTTTAAGATTATCGATAGATCATATGCAACTGCTCCAACTACACACGACATTCAAAAGATTAGAAACGTTGCTATTATTGCTCACGTCGATCACGGAAAGACGAGTATGGTCGATCAGTTGTTGAGACAGAGCGGTACGCTCAAAGACACACAGAACGAGCGTGTCATGGACAGCAACGCATTGGAAAAGGAGAGAGGTATTACGATTATGGCCAAGAACACGTCGCTCAACTTTAAAGACTACAAGTTGAATATTGTCGATACACCAGGTCACGGTGATTTCGGTGGTGAGGTGGAGCGTGTCCTCTCGATGGTCGACGGTGTCGTGTTGCTCGTCGACGCGACAGAAGGTGTCATGGCACAGACCAAGTTTGTGTTGTCCAAGGCGTTGGCAGCTGGCTTGCGTCCCATCGTCGTCATCAACAAGATGGACAGAACCACGATCCGTGTCGACGAGGTCGAGAATGAGATCTTTGACTTGTTTGCCACGCTGGGTGCCACCGACGACCAGATGGGCTACCCCACACTCTACGCATCCGCCCGTATGGGCTGGGCCGTGCGTAGCCGTGGCGACGACCAAAAGGGCATCACCCCGATCCTCGACACCATCATCGAGTATGTGCACGCCCCCAAGGTCGAGGTCGACAAGCCCTTCTCGATGCTCGTCACCAACCTCGAGACCGACCCGTTCCTCGGCCGTATCGTCACGGGCAAGGTTTACAGCGGCAGCGTCAAGATTGGCCAGCCCCTCCGCGTCGTCTCGGTCGACGGCAAGTCCATCGAAGAGGGCAAGGTCACCAAGATCTTTGCGCGTCGCGGTGTCGAGCGTCTCACACTCGAAGAGGGTAACGCCGGAGACATCATCGGTATTGCCGGCTTCCCCAACGCCACCGTCACCAACACGGTCGCCGACCCCACCATCACCGAACCGCTCCCCGCCCAAGCCATCGATCCCCCCGTTCTTGCCATGTACTTTGAAGTCAACAACTCGCCATTTGCCGGCAAGGAAGGCAACCAATTGACATCGCTCAAGATCAAGCAACGTCTCATCAAAGAGTTGGAATCCAACGTCTCTATGCAAGTCCAATTCCAAGGTGAAGGTGCCTTTGAAGTCAAGGGTAGAGGTGAATTGCAACTTGGTATCCTCCTCGAAAACATGCGTCGTGAAGGTTTTGAAGTCGCCGTCTCTCAACCACGTGTCGTCTTTAAAAAGGAACAAGATGGCTCGATCCTCGAACCACAAGAAGAAGTCATCATCGATGTCGACGCTGAATTCTCGGGTCTCATCATTGAAAAAATGTCCAAACGTAAAGGTGATCTCTTGGAAATGAAACAATCCATGGGTAAATCTAGATTAGTCTTTTTAGTTCCATCTCGTGGTCTTATTGGTCTTCGTGTAAGTCGTAAACAAATAATAGAAATTTAATATATATATTCTAATTTTTCTATTTTCTATTTTCTATTTCTAGTCGGAACTTGTAAATGATACAAAGGGAACTGGTGTATTTAATCATTTGTTCCATAGTTATATTCCACACAAGGGTCCAATGGGTAATAATGATAAGGGAGCCATTATTTCAATTAGTGAGGGTATTACTACGATGCATGCTCTCAGCAGTATCGAAGACAGAGGTATCTTGTTTGTAGGAGCACAAGTACAAGTCTACGAAGGTATGATTATTGGTGAACACAGCAAGGCCGGTGACCTCGACGTTAATCCAGTCAAGACCAAGCATCTCACCAATATGCGTACCACCGTCAAGGAAGAAGGTATTCGTCTCGCACCACCACGTCCACTAAAGTTGGAAGAAGCCATCGCTGCCGTTCGTGACGATGAACTCATCGAAATCACCCCAAAGAGCATTCGTCTTAGAAAGAGAGAATTGGAAACTGGTAAACGTCTCAAGGCTACCAAAGATAAAAAGGCTCATGGTCAACGTGCCTAAACAAATTTTTCGAACAACGAGTAGTAGTATTGGAAAAATATAAATAATAATAATAATCATAATCGTATAAATATAATATATCCTTTTTTTTTAAAAAAATAACAACAAACCAACAATTAATTTTAAATATATGGGCACCCTTATAACTTCATCCTATGTAAACGTGCCTCCATATATGCTTCTTGAAGTGTTTCATTTATTTCCTTTAATTTCTTTACTTCTTTTTCTAATTCTTTATTCTTTTCTAAAACCATTTGTAGGTAATTGGTATCTTTTTAAAAATAGAAAAGAATTTTGTTAATTAACGATGAGAGAGAATATAAATGTAAATTCTAATGTACATACCTCCAATATCAACATAGATTTTGTCACCATTGGTAAGAGTGATTGGAGACAATGGATCAACTGAAACCCTAATATCATTATTATTGTTGGATTGTGGTGTAAGAAATAATCTTATATTAAATCCAACTGGAATATTGAGTATTTCATCTTTGGCAATGATCCGACGAAGGTGGTCATAAATAGACACATCTGTGAATTCAATCTCTGTAGAGTCAGAGTCATAGTACACTGCAAGAGTGATATTACGGCGGGGTGTATTGATGACAGGTAAATCTACCATATAAATAATAAATAGTTGTAGTAATGGTTGAATAATAATTATCGAATGGTATTAAAAGGATTTGCAATGAACGATATTAATTAAATTGTTGAACAATGTACGGCGCCGATTGAATTTATGCTGCATTTATGCTGGTATCGAGGGGATTACTCGAAAAAAAAAATTGTCCAATAGCTAGAGTTTGCTTTTCTTGTTTCGCTTGAGGAATGAAGGAAAGGAACGACAAAGTACTGTACAACAAAAAAAAGGTATCTTGCATTTATTCTTCTTACATTCCATTTCATTTTCTATTTTTTTTTTAAACTTATTCAAAAGTTGAAGACCATAAACTTGGAAACCAATAAATAACTTCACCTTTATGTTGAATGGATTGATTATCTATCCAAGCCATTCCTTCATTTAACAATACCTCCAATACACTTGAAATTCTTTGTTCTGACCAACCCAAACTACTTGCCAATATCGACGGTGAAGTGTATCCATCATTGTGTTGAGCATTAATCAAAACATCTGTATGATCCTTGTTCAATTCACAAGGCACCGATTGAACAATCTTTTTACTCTCGATCTTTAAAATGTTGAATCCATTGCCTAGTACCTTTAACTTTGCAATCGATACTTCAATATCATCTTTGCTTATTTCATTTGCAGCTTTACCTCTCATCTTTCTAATGTGATCTGTCAGCGTATTGATTTCAATCAGTCCTCCATTAGTAGATCTATATCTCAGACAAACATCAATAATCTGTACTGCCAATTGATAATAGAAATCTCCAACTCCCAACATTTGACTCCAAAATCCTTTATTTGCTACAAAAAAAGAAACAAAGAAAGAAAGAAATAGAACAAGTTAGCAATGAGATGGTTGTAATATATATATAATTTAGTTTTCATTCTTACAAGCAAGAGGATCAACACCAATGACACTACACATGTCTTGGAAATGTTTTCTAAACTCTGGGTTCTTTATGATATCTTTTTTGTGTTTGATTGCAAACTCTTCAAGATTACTCTTGAATGTTTGTAGTTGTTCATTGGTCTTTTTGATCTGTTCACTTGTTATCTGTTCACTAACAGTATTCAATTGTTTTTGATGTTGATTTGCTTTATGTATAGCTTGTATTCCTACTCCTCTTCTCATTGCGGGCAAGCAGAGATATATAAAGATATTATAATTTAACAAAAATAACCTTGTGAAAAAGTTAGATAGATAGATACTCACTCTCTCTCTCGACCCACAAATTAAATTTCATTTTTATTTTTTTATTAATTACTACTTTTGCTCAGCCCATCATCAGCCAAACCAACATTTAAGATGAAGGGTGTTAAATGTTGTTGTCAACAAAAGGGAGGATCAGATGGTCATGTTCACCGAAATATTTATTTATTTAACACTTTGAAAGCGAAATGAGTGCAAGAGCTTGCACTAATTAATGACGCGGTGCGCCTGCTACTTGCTCCCCATTTCAAGACAGCAAACCCAAAAATAAAAAAAACAATTACCAAATAAGGGTTTCGGTTGGAGATTTCAAGTTTCAATGTCTTCAGAGTACAAAGGTCAATAATAACAAACATTGTAGTTATTAAAGAGATAATATATTACCTATATTTGAATATGTATATATATATATAAAGGATAGAATAGTACTTTAGTTTGCTACAAAATAGGAGAATAGACAAAGGACAGTTGGGATGTTTACACATGTTATAAGTTATCTAGCGAGTCGTGAGACCTAGATCGAGCTTATCCCATGGTAGTAACTTGCATTTGTTTGTTGTTGGTTCTACACATTAAATACCCATTCTCCCTTTTTGGAACAGATAATATGTGCAAGTTGAGAGATATTTATAGTCTCGCGGGTCATTAAAAGTATCGATTATATCTTTTCTTCTTGAAAAGATGATAACGATCACCCGGGCAGAGGCTTAATGGTCTTGAAATGGTTCCTACCTATTAGGAGCTGCGCTATTATCCCGCATCTAACGGTATATATATTATATATATAAAGATAGGTTTATATGTAGAAGCTATTGTTCTTTTATTTACAATTTTAGGTAACACTTTTGCTATTGTTGTTGTTGTTGTTGTTGTTGTTGTTGTTGTTGTTGTTGTTGTTGTTGTTGTTTTTGTTGTTGTTGGAGGTGGTATCGCTTGACTAATGCCTTTAGCCGGTCAAAATCACCATTTTGTGTTAGACTCAGGTGTGAATCTACATAACAATGAGTGTGCATATGAACACCACAGGAATTACACATAGTTTTTACTCTTGTTTTTGTTTTATAGGTGAGAGCACGACCGCGTTTCTTTGGTCCATTATTCACTGGTTGATTTGCTTCACACCAAAAGCATTTAGAACGGGAATCACTTGTACAAAGTATATGATCCACTCTGTGATTGTCTGATGGATCTTGTGGGAGTAACTCCATGATTGGAGGTAGTCTTTCTTGTTCGCCCTCGTCGCCGCCGATTCTTCCTTCAACCACGATAGATGATAGTTCTTGTTGTTGATCGGGGATGGGTTTCCTCTTCCTGCTAGTTGCGGGTAGAGGTAGATTGAGTTTGGTTTGGACAACATGTGATACAAATTCTGAAAACTGGAGTCGTATTTCGGTTGTAAGGGCCTTGTAAATACAGTAGGCATTGATCATGGCCCTATCTAACTGAGAAAAGAAGTTGACATGCGTGTATTTGAACTTTCGGTGAGGATATGATCTACAAGAGGAGGCAAATTGACCTGATAGGTCAACTCCATGTGTGGTGTTGTTGTACTCGCTTTGGACTGATAGCTTTTTGCCTCCTTCACTAACCGTTGGTTCGACAGCATTGGTCAAAAAGTACGTGATTTTGCTATCATTGATTGCAACGGCACATATGTCTTGTGGAAGTCCAGATTCTTGTTTTGGGAAAGCAAATGCTGCTAGTTTTTTGGTGTTGGATTCTACATGGGGCTTAAGACCATTTTGGAATAGATATGAAGGTCTATTTGCTCTGACCGTCATAACAAAGTGTACTTTGTCATGTGTCAAACTACTGCTACTGCTACCAACACCACCACTATCCAAATCTTCTTCATCTACTTCGTCTCCATAGTTGGATCTAAAGTCGGATAGTCTAGTGGCAACTTCTAATGATGTATAGAAGTTATCCATTGCAAATAGATAGTTTTCAAGTGGTCTGGATTCATTGGCAACGTTTTCCTTTACCCATTGTGCAAATTCAAGAGGAATTCGTAATGGACTGTTTCCCTTAAAAGATAGATCAGGTTGATCTTGAAATAATAAATAAATAAAAGTTAATAAATATAGCCGCCATATGATATATGCTAAATGATGTATGAACATACCAAGCTTTGCAGTCTTTGTGGTCTCTTCACTTGACCCTTTATAAAGCCATTGAGTCAAGATAAATCCATTGTTATCAGATAGGACAAAGTATTTGAGTCCAAACTTATGGGGTTTGTCCGGTTCATATTGTCTGAATCTGACCAATCCTTTAAAGGGAGCCATGAACTCGTCCACAGAGAGACGCAGAGAGGGAGAGCAGTATCTATTCGAATTGTCCTCTATCATTGATACTAGAGTTTCCTCATCAAAATGAAGGTACTTGAGAATGTCTTGAAATCTATTTCTTGTCATCTTGTCTGAGATGGGAGTTGGCATATTCATGTTAGTTGTGGACCAATGTTGGAATACTCTAGGAAGTTTGATTATTCCCATAAAAAACCCCATATATATAAAAGATTCTATCTCTTGAAATGTGAATGGTTTGGCAATAGCATGTGCTCCAATACGACGAATGTATTCTGCTCTTGCTTCATTGGTGTGAGCAACTTCAAATGGACACACAAAGAAACCTTTTTTCCAATCTTCAAATGTTGGCATCGAATCTGATATCCTTTTATATTCATTTTTTCTTTCTCTACTGGTCATTTGATTGAAAGTTTTTGTAGCTTCCTCTTCTCCTTCTTCAGCTTCTACTTCTACTTCTTCTTCTTCTTCTTCTTCTTCTTCTTCTTCTTCTGGGGTGGAGGAAGAGGTTGAAGGAGTAGATGAAGGATTTGTTGTTGAGATATTTGTCGCATGAGCAATTGGGGTGCCTTGAAACCAACTGATATCAATAGGCCCTTCTGCACTAATTGGTTCCACAACTTGTTGATTTTTTTTAATCTTCTTCTGTTTACGTTTGTTTTGAGTTGAAGTACCCCCTCCTCCTCCTCCTGTTCCTTTACGTAAATTTGTATAATAACTTGATAAGAATGCGTAATCTGTTTTATACTCAACCCTATATATCATATATAGTGTTGATTCTTCTTGAATATAACGGATTAAGCTGGGGCTGAGGATGAGACTGATAACATCTTGGGGTGTGGCGTTTTGTGGAACATTTTTTGAAAAGGCCTTGTTGTTTTCGTCCATTTTGTACGAGATACGACTTCTTAGTTTATCAAAATTATCATTATCTAACATTTCCCATTGTTGACCCAGATCGTTGACTATAAAAAGAAACAGTTGTTATTATAAATATTTTATATTTGATGCTTTTAATGTTACACACCTTTAAAGCATTTGCACTTGCAAGTCTTGTTACATCCCTTGTTCCCATAATGACAACGACAATAGTCGGTGGCACATTGCTTGCCTGTACAGGCACAGTCGACATATCCTTTTGCATTTGGATCAATGATTTGTGTGTAGGCATATGACTTGGAAGCATTGGGATCCAAATCTGATAAATCGAAAGGATTGACAGGTCCTCCGTTCACCTTTCGATTTATCATCCTCATTTGGAGGAATCTATTGAATCTTTCGTGCATGGATATATGTTGTGGAGTTGCAAGGGTAGAGATTGATTCAGGGCTCTCGAACATTTTGAACAAATCTTTATTCAAATCCCTTTTGAACTCTCTTTTGAACCATTCTTCTTCTTGCTTGTAAGCTTGTTGATTCACAACCAGTTTTGTTCTCCTTTTTTTAGATGGGTTAGTGCCTCCAACGACAGTAGATGAAGATGAACTATTGTTTTGAGAGGCTGTGTTGTTGTTGTTATTGTTGTTATTGTTGTTATTGTTGCTGTCTACCTCGCCCTCCTCCTCTTCCTCTTCCTCGTCTACTTCTTCTTCCACCTCCACCTCCTCGTCATCCACTAGTTGATCATCACCAATATCCTCCTCTATCTCGTCTTCAAAGGGTCCTCCATTGAACAAGGAACCCAACAGACCAGTCTTGACAACCTTTTTGATTCTTGAAAACATTTATATTACAACTATTCGTCGTTTGTTTGATAGACATTGTAATGTAATACACATCTATCTGTTCTGTATCTGTATTTATATATATATTTATATGTATATGTATGCATAAAAATTTTTTTATTATTAAATGTTATAATATTAAGACTCTTCTCATACCTATATCACAAGAGAGGTTGTTTCCTGATTTGGAAAAGTAAAAAATTTCAAAAAATAAAAACCGAAATCATGATGATCTCAGTAAACAAGGTGTTAATGATTAAATTTAACATCAATCAAATCAGAAGGCACTTTCCACCTTCTTATTGAAGCTTTGGTCGGACCACTCTCTTTTAAAAAAAGAAGTTACCCAAACCAACCAACCAACAATATTTTTATTTATTTATTTTTTTATTATTTTATCCATTGCTGAAAAATCGCCAAGAAGAAAAAAAAGACCTCTTTGTGTGGGTTGTTAATCGATTCATTAAAATTCTAAACTAGCTAGCTAGTCTTATATACATATATACAAACATATAACTATATATATATATATTTATTTATTTATATATTTAACTAAACTCTACAAAAAGTTAGGCAGAAGTAGTTAACTAAGAGTAGTGTTAGACCTAGAGATATTAGGAGTACATTCAATCTAATAGATATATATATATATATAATAATAATAATATTATATATATATATATATATAATAATAATAATATTATAATATTATTCACTCCCATTGCATCGGATTACTAATTTCATATTCTTTACCACTTCCATTACTACTACTATTATTATCATCATATCTTCTAATCTATCATCACATCTATCATATATACATCTTCAAAAAAAAATGAAGGATGGAAATACTACTACTCAAGATGGTGAAACTACAAGTGCAAACAAACGAAAAGATGATCAAAGAGATGATCCAATATCTGATAATACAACTCCTTCATCATCATCATCAACTACAACATCTTCATCATCATCTTCTTCTTCTTTTACACCAACCACCACCACCACCAATTTATTAGATGATAGAGAACCCAAACGACAAAAGGGTGATGATATTGATATGGAAGATGGTGAACTAAACGAAATACCTGGTAAACAACAACCAGTAGCAGTAGCAGCAGCAACAGCAGTAGTAATACAACAACCAAATGTTATAAAAGAGGTAGAGCTCCAATCCTCTTCCTCATCGACTTCTACTTCCTCTTCTTCTTCAAGAAGAAGTGATGATCGTGAGAAAAATAGAGATAGTAGAGAAAGATCAACCCGTGATAGAGACAGAGATAGAGACCGAGATCATTACAGTGATAGTAGTAGTAGTAGTAAACATCGAGATCGAGATAGAGACAGAGATCGTAGTGGACGTGAACATGAAAGAGAAAGGGATAGAGATAGAGACAGACATGATAGGGATAGAGACAGAGATAGAAAGGAAAGAGAATACCGTGACCGAGATAGAGATAGAAATGATAGAGATAGAAACGATAGAGATAGACATGATAGAGATAGAGATAGAGACCGTGATAGAGACAGCAGCAGACGTGATAAAAGTCATAGAGACAGCAGCAGCAGAGGTGAAAAAGAAAGAACCTCTAGCAGAACAGATGGAGTTGAAAATGGTCATAGATCAGATGGAGATGCCAAAATCCTATCTAGTCCTCTAAACTCTTCTGAAGCATCCCTTTCTTCTTCTACTTCATCTTTATCATCTAGTGTAGTACCATCATCTAGTACTACAACTTCTACGACTGTTACAACCTCTACTACATCTACAAGCTCTACTACCACCACCTCTACTACCGCTCAGCCTCCTGCACCTGCTACCATATTTGAAGAGGATAGAAAGGAAAAAGAAGAGAACTTACTTGAGGAGAGCCGACTCCGAAGACAAAGAATCATGGATAAATATGCCTATGATCAACAACCAAGTTCTCCAGCTGTCGCGACTGATGTCTCTCCCTCCTCCTCCAATCAATTACAACAACCAATGTCTCCTCCACAAAAATTACAACAACAACAACAAAGAAGATCACCAAATGAACAACAAAATGAAAATGAAGAGGAGGAATCTTTTTCATTGTTCAAAGAGAATGCTACGACTGCAGCAGCTGAAGAATCTCCTCAAGAAGATTTGTCTTGTTCTTCTGAAGAAGATCTCAAGAAACGTGGAGTCATTGATGAAAGTGACATTACTAAAAAGACAACTACCAAAGTCACAACTACCACCTCTTCTTCCACTACTACTACTACTTCTACAATCTCTACTTCTACAACTGCTGCAACCAACCAACAACAACAATCAAAACCCAAAGACTTTGATATGTTTAGTGATTCTCCAGTCGACGAAGGAGAAGGACAAAACATTACCGAATCATCAGTTTCCAATAATCAAATCAATCTCATTGACAATTGGGACGATACTGATGGCTACTACAAGGTTCGTAGTGGTGAGATGATGGACAAGTACCAAATTATTTCATCGATTGGATCTGGAGTATTTAGTAATGTCGTGTCTGCTCGAGACACTGCCACCAACGAGGAAGTGGTCATCAAAATCATTAGAAACAGACCTTCCATGCATAGATCAGGTATTCGAGAGATTGAAATACTAAAAAAGATTAGTTTACCTGCCAACAATAATAACAATGGTCAGCTAAAAAATCATTGTGTTCAATACAAACATTCATTCAACTATCGTAATCATCTTTGTATTGTTTTTGAAGCTCTAAGGTAAATATATAGAAAAAAAAAAAATATAATTGAATAATACTAATTTCCTATTTTTTTTTTATTTATTATTTTTAGTATGAGTTTAAATCAATTAATTAAACAATATGGTAAAAATGTTGGATTATCAATCTCTGCAGTTAGAGTCTATGCTAAACAAATGTTTTTAGCATTGAGACATATTAAAAATTGCAAGATACTCCACTCTGACATTAAACCAGATAATATTGTTGTCAATCAAAACAAGAATATCATAAAGTTGTGCGATTTTGGATCAGCTGGTGAATTACATGAATCGGAAATCACTCCCTACTTGGTTAGTAGATTTTATAGAGCTCCTGAAATCAGTAAATATCATAGAACAAAGCTATATTTCTTTTTTTTTTTGATTCTAACTTTTTATTTTTTTCTTTTTATTTTTTAATTTTTTTAGTTTTAGGAATGAAATATGATTTTGCAATTGATGTTTGGAGTGTTGGATGTTGTTTGGGAGAATTGTATACTGGAAAATATCTTTTCCCTGGAAAAACCAATAATGATATGATTAGATTATTCCTCGAATACAAAGGACCATTCCCAAAAAAGATGTTGACCCAGAGAAAGGCTCAATTTGTCTCGAATCACTTTAATGACAATCTAATCTTTATGAAAGAAGACAAGAACATCATCGACAATAAGGTAAGTATAAGTGAAACAAAAGCGGTATAGTACAATTGACAATTTATTTAAAAAAAAAAAGAAAATACAACACAGATTTAAAACTAACTCTTTTTCTCCCCCTTAGGCCATGAAAACACCTTATGAAATACAAAAACCAGTCAAGGATTACCTTGATTATTTGGCGCCATCGAGTCGTCAAAATTTACCTGAAGCTGAAATGAAGAAATTACTTCAACTCAAGGACCTCTTGGAAAGATGCACAGTTTTGGATCCAGAGAAACGTATAACTCCTTCTGAAGCTTTAAATCATCCTTTTATTTGTCAAAATTAAATTAACTATAGTAGCCAACAACAAAACTAATATTAGTTATATATATTTATAATTATATATATATATATATATACCAATCGATACATATTGATATTTGTACAACAACAACAACAACACTATTATAATAATAAAACTTGGATTATATAAAAGTAAGAGAGAGAAAAAACATAAACATAAACATATTATAGATGTAATGTTTGTTTATTTAATTTATTGAATCATGATTAAAGTTGATCTAAATTTAATCTATTCATAAATTAATAATATCATTGATATAATAATTATAATTATTATTATTATACTTGTTATCTTTTGTAAAAAAATGGGATTGGGAGAGGAGAGTGGAGGGGAGGGGAGGGGAGGGGAGGGGATGGAGTATTATTATTTGTTGTTTGTTATTATTGTTTAAACATTATTGATACTTGAATCATCTTCATCATCTTCAACGGTCAATAATGGAGTTCTTCCATTATCGACTTGGTGTTGAATATTCTTTCGTTTCATCGCATCCCAAGTATTAGAAAGTTGGAAATTTGTTTTATCCTCTCTAACCTTGCAATAGAGAATGAAAAGAACCAATAATGTAACTAGAATTACAACAACGACTACCGCCAATATAATAAAAGATGGACTTTTTAGTCCTGGAATATGATGATCATCAGTTTGATCGCTACTACTACTACTATTATTATTGTTTTGACTTGAACTATCTATCCTTTCCAAGAGTGAATTTTTAAAATCGCCTATATTGTCGGGATTTGTCGATTTCACTGAGACGCATTAATAAATGAAAATCCCGACAAACGAATCGGGTCAAACGATGAGAGACGGTGAGTATTTTGTTTCCCTTTTAGCTAGCGACTATCAGTCTTTTCTCTTTTATAGAATGATTATCATCCATACCATTTGAAAATAATGTACAAAGTATTATCATCATTAACATTATCATTCTGCATCCCGACGATGATGATGATGATGAAAAGGAGATATCACGAATCATCCACAAATTCATTTCTTTTCAACTCTTGATGTTCTAACTTCTTCTTGTCGTTTTAACACGTGTTTCTTTTTTCCTATGTATGTAAGTTTTTGTCTAGTTTTTTAATTTAAACAATCTTTCCTATATATTCTAGAGTTGCATTAAATGAATAATTGTTGTTGTTGTTGTTGTAGTAGTATTAAATGATACATGTAAAGTAGTAGTAGTAAATAAAAGAAGAAGAAAAGAATAATAGTAGGGAATGGATGACAATAAATGGTTTTAATGAGCTTTGTTTGGACAAACAACTGCCCAATTTATTTAAAAAATCTGTTTTTTATAAGGGTTCTTTTGCACCTTGTTTGTCTGAATTTTCTTTGTTATCTTCAACAGTTTCATATGTGTCTGTCTGTCTGTTTCACTCTGTTTGTTAATAATAATAATAATCATTAATTTATTTTATAGATTTAAACACTCTCACTCTCTCACTTATCATTCACTCACCATCCATCCATCCATCAACGAGTTTAGATTTAAAATATTAAAAAGACAAGATTCACACCCATACATTCATACATTCATTCAATCCCCCCTGTCACTCTCTCTTTCAACCAACCACTATATATTATAGATACAGCTTTGGAGTGGAGATAGATAGGATAAACTGTATAAAAACAAACAACACAGATAGATAGATTGATTGAATAATAGTCATCAAATATATATATATAATCAAAAAATATGAGTTCTTATAATACATTGGGTATGTCTGGAGGCATAGAAAAGAGTCCTCTTTTAATAGGCAATTATAGACTTGATAAAACATTGGGTATAGGTTCTTTTGGTAAAGTTAAATGTAAGTATCATTCATCATCAACTTGTAGATAGATAGATAGATAGACATATATAAATTTATTTACTTACTTTGTATGTAGTGGCAGAACATATTAAAACAGGAGCAAAAGTAGCTATAAAGATATTAAATAGAAACAAGATCAAGAATCTTCGAATGGATGAAAAGATTAGAAGAGAGATTCAAAATATGAAGTTATTTAGACATCCTCATATCATCAAATTGTACGAAGTCATTGAAACACCTACCGATATCTTTATGATCATTGAATATGTGACTGGTGGAGAATTGTTTGAATACATTGTAAAGAATGGAAAACTTTCAGAGGATGAAAGTCGTAGACTCTTTCAACAAATGATCTCTGGTGTTGAATATTGTCATCATCATATGGTTGTACATAGAGATTTGAAACCTGAAAATTTATTATTAGATCCAATTCATTCATGGTAAAAAGAAAAAAAAGAAAAAAAAAGAAAGAGGAAGAAGAATGAAAGGAAGAAATAATGAAAGAAAGAAAGGAAGAAGAAGTATGAAGAAGAAATACTCAAACAATTATTTAATATTTATATTTAGTGTAAAGATTGCAGATTTTGGTTTATCAAATATGATGCAAGATGGTGATTTTTTAAAGACAAGTTGTGGATCTCCCAATTATGCAGCACCAGAAGTTATTAGTGGCAAATTGTATGCTGGACCTGAAGTCGATGTTTGGTCTTGTGGTGTCATTCTTTATGCTTTTCTTTGTGCAAGATTACCTTTTGATGATGAACATATTCCAACTTTATTTAAAAAATTAGAGGTACAAAAGAAGATAAATAGAAACTATAAAGATGATAAGAATATGTATTAACTATTTATTATTTTGTTTTGCAGAGGGAGTATTTGTTATACCAGATTTTATATCTCCAAGTTGCGCAGATTTAATTAAACAAATGTTAATTGTAGATCCAGTAAAGAGAATAACGATCAGTGAAATTCGAAAGCATCCATGGTTCCAAGTCAAACTTCCCCATTATCTATCTTCACCACAAATCTTTTTGGCAAAGACTTCACATAATTTGGACGATGCCGTTCTCAATGAACTGGTACAACGCTACGAATCACCAACACTCAAGCGCGAAAAAATAATAGAAGATCTACAGAGAATCGATGAAGGTGACGTAAACGACTTGATCGTTGCCTATCATCTATTGTGCGACAGTAAGAGAAACCCATACAATGAAAGTTTTACAAATAATAGAATGGCCGAGCCGTTACCCAGTGGATCTGACCCATCATCATCTTCCTCATCTTCGACAGCTGGCTCTCTTGTCCAACCAAGCAACAGCAGCAACAACAACACACAATCACAATCACTACGCAAGTGGTATTTGGGTGCCATTTCACAACTCCCTCCTCAAGAGATTATGAGCGAGGTTTATCGATCACTTAAAAAGGTTGGCTTTGAATGGAAGGTCACTGGGCCTTACCAACTCAGATGTAGAATCACCAAAAATGACAGACATATCAAATTGTTTTTACAATTGTTTAGAGTGGCCGACAATAGATACCTTTTGGACATTAAAAAGATTGAAGGAGAAATATTTATTTTCTTTGATATTTGTTCTGATTTATTAACTGAACTTAGTCTCTAGAAAATAGATAAATAGATAAATAGATTAGATAGATAGATAAGAACAATTGATTTTTCCTCAACATTAATAATAATAATAAAAAAAAAAATAATAATGTACATTTTTTAAGAAACAAAACAAAATGAACTTTTACAGTTTATTTTTAGATAATAGTTATAAGTATAGGATAAGATAAGAGGGAGGGGAGGGAAGGGAGGGAGAGTATTTAATAATTAATTAATTATTATTATTTTTTTGTTTAATAATTTGAAGGTAAACTATCAATCCAAGAATTTAAATCAAATTCTAAAGAACCACCATATTCTTTTAAAAGTTGACTAGGATCAATAAATTCTTCCAATCGATCTGATTTTGGGAAATATTGAACTCTTGCCAATATCTTGTTTTTGATGAATTTCTTGGCCAATGATAATAATGGTTTAATGTAGAATGGAGAGTTGAGTAGATAGATACCTTGGATACGACCAGGAAAGATATTTTCCATTGATTTACCATCCAATTGAGCTTTTAATCTATTGTCAAAGTGTTTAAAGATTGACATGTGTTTAAGATCTTCAACAATGACAATACCCAATCTATGTTGTTGAGATGATGTGTAACATGTAGTGTCTAGATTCCAAAGCATAAAAGTAATCATGTCTTTGAGAGAGTAATCTTTAGGAACGATCTTGGCAGGGTAGAGATAGGCAATTGAACGACCCATCTTATCTTTCATTCCATAAATACTAAAACTATAATTCTTTTTGGCAACTTCCAAGTTTAAATCACTCTTTCTAACTGGGAATGGTATAGATAATTTCTTTCTCAATTCTAAATTATTTGTTAATACCAATGCTGCCTTTTCAACATCCAATTTCTTTGCAAATAAATAAATCATTAATTGTTCATCTTTTATTTCTAAATAAAAAAAAGAAAAAGAAAAAAGAAAAAAGAAAAAGGTTAATATGAAATCTGTTTTAAGAGTCTAGTCTTTGTAAAAAGATATATTTATCTTTACCTTTAGCAATTGGATGGTTTCTAAATTGTTGTAATGCTTGAGTTTCAAGAGCAGTCAAGTTATCCAAGATATGATATTGTGTATCTATATTCATTTTTTGTTATATATATATTATATTATTTGTATGTATGGGTTGGGTGTGTAGTTGTGATTATTTGTTATTTGTTAAATAATGTTGTTATTATTATTTATTTGAATGATTTAAAACCAAAAGAGATAAAGCTGTATTTATATTTATCTATTCAGTCGTCGGGATGGTATGAAAGTGGTCGTCGATCATGATAACATCAAGCCTGGTTGCGATTTTGGGAGGGGGTTCTTGCAAAATCAAATTTGATGCGGTGGGAGGATATTATTAAAGCTCATCTTGTCATGCTCTGAATGAATGCCGATATCACACCATTGACCAGGGATGTTTAAAAATAGCCAATAAACTGGGTAGGTATACTCTATTCTGTTTTATTGGTAAGTCTATTCTTTTTTAAATCCAACCCAACTCATTCCTTACTTTCTTCTTTTTTATCCCTCTCCTTCCTACCCTCTGATATCTGTGCCTGGTACATCGATTTTTATATATATATATAGCTATGGTTTCTTGAATTCAAGTAAAAACCAAATAATAATATCCCCAATTATTAATATTATTATTTATTATTGTTAAACATTTACCTTTTGCTGGATGGCTGCATTTGGCAAAAAAAAACAATATTAAAATAAATAAATAATATTATTATTATTTAAAATTATCGATTATTATTGTTATTATTTTCAAACACCCACACCAACTTTACTCTCTCTTTGTCATGAATCACTCTGAATCACCAAGATACGTTTGATAGATAGGTCGGGATTTTCTTCTTCTCTTCCTCTTTTTTTTTATCTTGATCTGTCCATCCTCTCGAAATTTCAATACTCTAAGCACAACGAGTTTTATAAATACTTTCTTCTGTTTATCTCATCATCATTAATTATAGACACAGATAAAGAAGAAACTAATATAATAAGAATAATATACATATTATATATTATAATACATAATACTATACACGATAGATGCACGCAGTAGAATTTATAACTTGTAAACATTTGACAGAGGAGAAGCTTGTCGAACAATGTCTTGACATTGATATTTTCGATGGTGCTGATTGTAAGTATATGCTCTCTCTCTCTCTCTCTCTCTCTCTCTCTCTCTCTCTCTCTCTATTCTTCTTCTACTAGAGTCTAATATAATACTAAAATCAAAATTGATTTATTGATTTATTGATTTGATAGTAAAGAAACCAGTATGTTTTACATGTTTGGATGAAACAGAGAATTGGATTTGTTTAAAGTGTGGAGTGATTGGATGCAGTAGACATGTAGCAGGTCACGCAGCACAACATTATCTAGAAAATGCAGAGCATTCATTGTCTGCTTCATTCTCTGATTTGAGTGTATGGTGTTATGAATGCGATGCCTATGTCACTGCTCCATGTCTTGCTCAATTCCTAGAGATCCTTGGTATTGTAAAGTTTGCCAAAGAAAAGAATGACCATTTGGTGAAACAAGCTGAAAAGATAGAGGAATTGGATAATAACATTACCACCGCTACAACTACAACTTCAACTACTACTGCAGCTACATCAACAACCTCTACTACAAATGATAACATTTCAACCATTTCAACAACTTCAACAACTTCAACAACTTCTTCTTCTACATTTAACAAATCATCATCATCACCACAAAGACAAGATAGACATGATATTAGTCAAGATTTAAATTTAGATGAATCATCAGAATCTGAAGATGAATCATTAAAGTCTGAAAAGGGAGGTATTTTAAAGGCAATGATGGATATGTTGATTGGATCAAAACCATCGTCCCCTGGACAGATCCTATCATCGGTCGATATCAATGGTATTGCCAATCATATCAAATCGGGTAAAGCCAAAAATATTATTGTATTGACGGGTGCTGGTATATCTGTAGCAGCAGGTATCCCAGATTTCAGATCCCCCAAGACTGGTCTCTACCAAAACCTCGCCAAATATAATCTTCCATACAAAACTGCCATCTTTGATATGGAATACTTTGTAGAAAATCCAAAACCTTTCTTTATTTTGGCAAAAGAATTATATCCTGGTTCATTTAATGTAAACTATATTAAAGATAAATATTTATTAGTTTATTATATTTATTAATTTATTTTCTATTTTTTGTTTAGCCAACACCAGTACATCATTTTATTAAATTATTAAGTGATAAAGGATTATTATTAAGAAATTATACACAAAATATTGATACATTGGAACGAGTAGCAAAAATTGATGAAAATTATTTGGTTGAAGCTCATGGAACCTTTGCATCGGCCAAATGTATTAAATGTAAAAAGGTTCACTCTTGTGAATACGTCAAGGACATTGTCTTTGCCGATGAAATCCCAACCTGTCAAGATTGTTCGGCAGTGGTCAAACCAGATATTGTCTTTTTCGGAGAGTCGTTGCCAAGTCGTTTCAGCACCATGGTCCAAGCTGATTTCCCCAAATGCGATCTCATGATTGTCATTGGTACATCACTTCAAGTACAACCATTTGCATCGTTGGTTGCAATGGCACCTGCCAACACTCCACGACTCCTCATCAACAATGAAGAGGTTGGTATCTCTTTTAAATTTGATGAACCATCAAACAAATTGGATTGTAAATGGATTGGTGATTGTCAAGATGGTATCAATGAATTAACTACTCTTTTAGGTTGGAATGATGATTTATCAAAATTAATAAAAAAGTAAAAGTAAAAGGAAGGTTAGTTCCCAATTTAGACAATGTATAATATATATGTATTTTTTCTTTTCATTCTTCTAGAAGAATAGTGAGTCATAGTATAAGACTCAGACCACTCGAGTGATCATGAAAAAAAATAAAGTTGATTAAGAAGAAGATCTTCGCATTCGGGAAACTCCCAAAAATTTTAGAAAAAATAAATTAAAAAAAATGAAATCAAATGATGGTTGGTGAAGTTACCTTTATTGCGCTGAGAGTGTTAACACTTCCTCATTATTATTTTTTAATATCTTTTTATTTATTATTATTCTATGTATGTAAAATACATATATATACAAAATAGAGATCATAGTAATACCAACACCTCTTTCTATCTGTTCTACTCTATACTCTTTTAGATTTCAAAATTATGTCATCAGATATTGGTTTAATTGGTTTAGCTGTAATGGGTGAGAACTTGGTTCTCAACATGGAAAGTCATGGATTTACAGTATCAGTATTTAATCGTACTGTTTCAAAGGTTGATGAATTTGTTCAAGGTCGTGGAAAGGGTAAAAAGTTTGTTGGATGTCACTCTATCGAACAATTGGTCAACTCTTTAAAGTCACCACGTCGTATTATGCTCATGGTCAAGGCTGGTGAAGTCGTCGATCACTTTATCAATCAAGTAGTACCATTCCTCTCCAAGGGTGATATCATCATCGATGGTGGTAACTCTCTCTACACTGACACTGATCGTAGAGTTGCTGAACTCGAAAAGAAGGGTATCTTGTATGTTGGTTCAGGCGTATCTGGTGGTGAAGAAGGTGCTCTTCTTGGTCCATCTATCATGCCAGGTGGTAATCCAGAGGTAAACAAATATAATAATATTTATAATTTAATATTTTAATACCTAATTCTTTTCTTTTCCTTTACTTTTTTTATTTTCTATTTTTGTGTTAGGCATGGGAACATGTTAAACCAATTTTCCAAGGTATTGCTGCTAAAGTTGAAGGAGGACAACCATGTTGTGATTGGGTTGGTGATGGTGGTGCAGGTCATTATGTCAAGATGGTACACAATGGTATCGAGTATGGAGACATGCAATTGATCAGTGAAGCCTATTTCATCCTCAAAAACTATTTGGGTCTCAGCAACGAAGAGATGCAACAAATTTTCAAAGAGTGGAACAAGGGTATTTTGGACAGCTACCTCATTGAGATTACTGCCGATATTTTGGGCAAAAAGGATGAAGAGACTGGAAAGTATGTTGTCGATGAAATCCTCGATAGTGCCGGCCAAAAGGGTACTGGCAAGTGGACCGCCATCAACGCACTCGACTTGGGTATGCCAGTCACCTTGATTGGTGAGGCTGTTTTTTCCCGTTGTCTCTCCTCTCTCAAGGACGAGCGTGTCGCTGCCTCCAAGGTTCTACCAGGCCCCAAGTCAACCGCCTGTGCCACCGCATTCAAGGGTGACAAAAAGGAGGTGATTGAATGGATCCGTCAAGCATTGTTTGCCAGCAAGTTGGTGTCGTACGCACAAGGTTTCACCATGATGAAGGCTGCTGCCAAGGAATACAAGTGGCGTCTCAACTATGGCAACATTGCCCTATTATGGCGTGGTGGTTGTATCATCCGTTCAACCTTTTTGGGTCGTATCAAGGATGCCTTTGAACGTAACCCCAACCTCGACAACTTGCTCGTCGATCAATGGTTCACTGAACAATTGTCGCAATGTCAAAACGGATGGCGTCAAGTAGCCTCTGTCTGCATGCTCCACGGTATCCCTGCTCCAGCCTTTACCACTGCTCTCTCTTACTATGATGGTTACAGATGTGAATTGCTCCCAGCCAACATTCTCCAAGCTCAAAGAGACTATTTTGGTGCTCACACTTATGAAAAATTAAATGGAAAGCGTGGTGAAGTCTTCCATACCAATTGGACTGGTAGAGGTGGTTCAACTCATTCTACTTCTTATAATGTTTAAAAAAAAAGTAAAAGTAAAAAAGTAAATCTTTTTTTTTTTTTTGTATCTTTTCCATCCCCCTCCCCAAAAAATTAACAAAGTAAATAAATAAATAAATAAATTATTAAACTTATATTCTTTTGTTTCTATTTTCTTATTTATTTATTTAATTTAATTTATTCAGATTCAATAAATAATTCTCTACCAATTAACATTCTACGAATTTCAGATGTACCAGCACCGATTTCATAAAGTTTGGCGTCACGAAGAAGACGACCAGTTGGGAATTCGTTAATGTAACCATTTCCACCTAGGGTTTGGATGGCTTGGAGAGCGAGTTGGGTGGCATTTTCGGCAGAGTAGAGGATGACGGCGGCACAATCCTTACGAGAGACCAAGCCAGCATCGGCAGCACGAGCTACAGTGTATACATAGGAACGAGAGGCATTGAGGAGGGTGTACATATCAGCAACCTTTCCTTGCATCAATTGGAATTCACCAATCTTTTTGCCAAATTGTTCACGAGTGTGGATGTATGGAACGACTTGATCCATACAAGATTGCATGATACCCAATGGACCGGCAGATAGAACCAAACGTTCATAGTCCAAACCAGACATGAGAACACGAACACCAGAACCAACAGTACCCATGACATTCTCGTCTGGCACAAAACAGTCTTCAAAGATGAGTTCGCAAGTGTTTGATCCACGCATACCAAGTTTGTCTAATTTTTGACCAGTTGAGAATCCCTTCATTCCCTTTTCAATGAGGAAAGCAGTGATACCCTTGCTACCGCCAGCTGGGTCAGTCTTTGCATAGACGACCAAAACATCGGCATCTGGACCATTGGTAATCCACATCTTGTTACCATTGATCTTCCAACCACCATCGACACGAGTAGCATGTGTCTTCATCGACACAACATCACTACCAGCATTTGGTTCACTCATGGCCAAAGCACCGACAAAGTCACCAGAGATGAGTTTTGGGAGATACTTTTGCTTTTGTGCTTCGTTACCATTACGTGTGATTTGATTGACACAAAGATTGCTGTGAGCTCCATAACTTAATGCTACCGATGCACTAGCACGGCTTAATTCTTCCATTGCAATACAATGTGATGTATATCCTAATTCTAATCCTCCATATTTTGCTAAAAACAAAATAAAAAGAGGTAAGTCGATTGATCAAAGTGATTCTATATTCTAATATATTTACCTGGAGCAGTAATACCAAGTAAACCTAATTCACCCATCTTTTTCCACATGTGACTTGGGAAGACATTATCTTTGTCTACTTGGGCAGCAATGGGAGCTAATTCGTTTTGAGCAAATTCACGAATCGTCTCTTGTAGTTGCTTTTGATCTTCATCAAATGGCATAATCTCTGGTGTCGTAAAGATTGAACGAACACAAACAACAATACTGTTATTATTCTTTGTTAAATGATTAACTGATCTTGATACAATTGATTTCAACATTCTATCTCTTCTCTCTAGATTTATAAATGACTAATATTAATACAATGACTTTTACAAAAACATGATGAAGATCTTTGTGTTCAATTTCGGTTCAAAAATATAAATGAAAATTGATTAGATTATTATTATTATTATTATTATTATTATTATTATTATTATTATTATTTCTTCTCTACTTTTATTTGTTTAAAAATTAAAGAACAATTAGTACCACCAAAACCAAAACTATTCTTTAAAACGGTTTGAATTGGATTTGATGGACTGTAACAAGTATCTTTGACAAGTCTTAGTTTGTCATTGGTGTAATCGGGATTGTCTAGGTTGAGTGTTGGAGGGATAATATTATCTCGAATGGCGAGGATTGAAAAGATGGATTCAACGGCACCTGCAGCACCAAGTAAATGACCAATAGCTCCCTTGTTGGATCCTATAGATGGTTTGTCAGATGATTGATTGATATTCATCTCTGATAGAGTATTTTCAACTGCCAATAATTCAATTGTATCACCTAGAGGTGTAGATGTTGCATGTGCATTAATATAATCGATTGATGTAATGTTTATAATTTTGTTTGCATCTTGAATAGCAGCTTTCATTGCTCGTTTTGCTCCATCCCCGGTTGAAATGGGTGCAGATAGATGATGAGCATCACATGATGATCCATAACCAACAATCTCTGCATAGATCTTGGCACCTCTTGCCTTGGCATGATCTAAATCCTCTAATACCAAGATACCAGCACCTTCACCCATTACAAATCCATCACGATTCTTGTCAAATGGTCTACTCGATTTCTCTGGTGTATCATTGTACTTTGTAGACAATGCTTTCATTCTTGAGAAACCACTCATTGACAGCGGTGTAATAGCAGCCTCTGTACCACCACACACCATAATGTCAGCCTCTCCATATCTAATCTTTCTAAATGACTCTCCGATAGCATGTGCTCCAGTTGCACATGCCGATACAATCGATAGATTCGGTCCTTTTAATGAATGTTTAATAGCTACCAATCCCGATACTTCATTGATCAATATTCTTGGTATAAAGTATGCACTTGCCTTATTTACTCCCTAAAATGAAATAATAAGTTAGTAACATAATAGTTAACAAGATAGTCATATATACAACATACACCTTTCATAATTTTATCATGTGTAGTTGTTATATCTTCTAATGCACCAATTCCTGATCCAATACAAACTCCCTAAAAGATTGATTGTAATGATGATTAGTAGTTGTAGAAAGAAAGAAAGGAATAGATCTGGTATTCTAGAATGATCATTACAATTCTCTCTTGAAGTGAGGTATTATCTAAAGTGTTTAAATTGGCATCCAATATAGCTTCATCAGCTGCTACCATTGCATATTTTATAAAGTCACTACATCCAGATCTATACTATGTAACGAATGTATGTTTAGTAAAAGTGTAAAGATATACAGATGACCGCGATATCACATACTTGTACAGGTACTAAATCATCATGAAATAGAGTTGATGTATCACCAACTTCAGTACTACTACTATTTGTTTGTAATCTTGGTACAGTAGCAGCAACCTTTGCTTGTAGTTGAAATGGAAATGTAGTACAATCAAATACAAGTTGTTTGATTGCACCTCTACATGATTTCAATTGATTCCAACTATACTCGACACCTCTTCCAAAAGGTGTTATTGCTCCCAATCCTGTTATAACAACTCTATTCATTTGATCGATTGATTATAATATAATTTTATTTTTTATTTATTTTTTTAAACATAGGCTGCTAGCTAGGTTGCCATTTTATTCAAATTATTGTTTTGAACTTCTGCATCTACATGTTCATCTTTCGAGATACAGATAATAGTAACTATTCATTGTTTTGTTTAAACGTTACTCGACCTACCAGGACATCGTTTTGGGATAATGGTTGATCCCCAACCCATAAACCAATCAAATCAATCGGCGAAAAAACAAATAATTCACAAGATGGTGAAGATCACGTGATTCACATTTCCTTGGTTTGAAAGAATGAGACACTTCTTCTCTCTCTATAAAATAAGCAACTGGCTTAAAACACTATGAATAGATAAAAAGAATAATTAATCCTCAAATATAATAATAGTATCAATCGCAATATTATATTTCCATCAAATGTCCCTCAGTCCAGTCAATAAGTCACAACCCAAATCTTGCAAAGTTAAACCAAATCGCAAGAAGACTGGCACATTGAAAGCTTCGGTCAATCAAGAAGCTTTGGTCAAGCTTGTCCCCAAGAAGGCTGGCCCACCACCACCCCAACCAATCGTATTGGTACCACCAACATCTCAATCGATCGTCCCCATTGCATCGATGAAGAAAACAAAGGCAACTACCTCTATGAAGCCATCAAAAGGTTCATCGAGTAAACCTGGTTTAACAACACACAAGAAGAAGAAAGTTAAATCACCTTCTCAACCTGTTTTAAAAGCAGCTGCTAAAGTACCACCAAAGTTGGTTAAATCAAGTAAACCTTCCCGTTCCACCAAGAAGATTGATGAGGCAATCACTTTGAAAGCTTCGGTCAATCAAGCTTTGGCCAGTCCAATCCCCAAGATGGCTGGCCCACCATCCCAATCAACCGTTGTATCATCATCGAAAGTATCAAACGCATCGAGTCCCAAGAATACGGTTTCTCTGAAATCACCAAGTCCACAAGGTTCATTGGGTAAACCGGTGACTCAGCAGAAGAAGAAGAAAAAAACCATCCGTCCTCCCCAACCAAAAGCTACAGTACCACCAGTCGAAGCTTTGGTTAAACTAGTTCCCTCCAAGAATGATGCTGTCTCCATCGCATTACCAATCGAAGCCTTATCACCTGAAGAGGCATGGATTTCCAAATCACTCAAGATGATGGCTGACAATGGAGCATTTACCTCTTCTTTGGTTCCATGTTCCCATTCTGGTAAACTTGAATGGGATGAGTTCGTTGGAGATAGAGTCCTAGAGCTATATATCGCGTTGATGATGGCAAAGGTAAGAAGAACAATCTAATCAAATATATTAAAACATTCTCTAACTTGCCAATTATTTTATTTGTCTGTTAATTAATAGGAGATCCCTATATCATTACTGACACCAAAACTAGGTTCTGTATTCATCTCTGCATCCTGCTGCAACAAGTACCTAAGCCAATTGTTTGTGACCTTTGGAATTATCAAGTTGGTAAAAGATCCATCAACCTATAAAGTGAAGGACAGGGCTGATGTTATGGAGGCCATCATATTCCAATTATACGCTAATGGAGACAAAGATCCGTCCTCATTGGATCTCCTACAATTAATAATGATATATATTTTCAACAAAACAGTCGCCAAGCTTAAAATCGACTTGCCTCCCAAAGCAACTGGTCCATCCGAGGAGCCTGTCAGCTTAACTCGTCTATTCAAGAAAAAAGAACAGGTCGCCATCGCTGAAACCGAGCAGGTCATCACTGAAACCAAAGTCAGTGTACCTGGTCCATCCGAGAAAGAAGAACCTGTCATCATCGCTGAAACCAAACTCAGAGCACCCGTCTCAACCGAGCAGGTCATCATCACTGAAACCAAAGTCAGCGCAGCCGACTCAACCAAGCAGGTGATCATCGTAATCAACGAAGAGTCTCACCATCAAGAGTCAACAACCCCAACCGCCCCTATAGTTGGAACTTTTTGGAAAAACATTTCCAATGTTTTCCAAGGATTCCGAAATTATTTTGGCATCAAAGTAGAATCAATTTAATGATCACATTAACATTTTTGTATAGTATTCACCTTTATCAACTATTTATCTTTTTACTTTTTAATCCAATATATTATTGGGTTTATTGTGTAAAGATTTATATGTTGAAAAGCATGAAGCCATCCAAATTTTTTGTGGTCTTCATCTTGATTCTGGTGTGAACACAAACAACATAATTTATATCTTATCAAGTTCCCATTAATTTAATTAATCAATAAAAGATCATTTTTATAAACATTAAAAACAAATTAATTAAAGTTGATATTATAAATATTAATATTATTATTTTATGGTTTTAAAAATTATTAAACACTTTATTATTATCTACCAAACCAACTCTTTGTATAAATATTCATTTTAGTAAAGATACCTGTTGGAGCTGGTTGATTTGGATCTACAACTTTGGCTATTGTTTCACGACACGATTGTAATGTTTCATTGATCTTTTGTTTTGACAAATCAGCTCTTTGTTGAATAACCAATTCCACAACACGATCATTTACGTCCTTGTGTGTATTAATAATTGATCTAAAATAGACTGGAATCATATCACCTCCATCACTAAAAAAAAAAATAGATTAAATAAATATATTATATCTTTACAATTTTTATATAGTCTTCTTACCAAGTTAACATATTTTTAAAATCTTCCAATACTTGAATACGAGATGTTGCAAGCGAAATACGTAAATATTTTTTAAAGAAATCCAACATTTTATCACAATCACTACTCATTAACTTTTCAAATTGATTAATATCAATCTTATTTCCTCCAGAAATTAATTGTGTAAGTATCCTAAATAAAAAAGAGATTAATATTAATATTTTTTTCACTTTCTTTTTCTTTTCTTTTTTTACATTTCAATTAAAGTATCCAAACATAAAAGTGATAATCTTTTCATATAATTTTCTAGAATATATTTTTGAATATCATTTTTAAAGTAATCGTCTATGGTGTTTATGATGAGTTGCATTTGATCTTCTTGATACCATTCGGCAGTATAGAATTTTTTAATGGTATCTTCTAGATCTCTAAACATGACAACTGCCAATGATTTAATGGCAACACTTGAAACACCTAAAAAGCCATCCAAGACAGGATCAAAATTTAATTGTGCCATATACTCGACCGACAAGAGGTTTGAAACCTTGTCGACTAGATCTTGGGTGAAATCATAGTTTCTACTATTATTGTTGACGGCGGCAATGACATTTTCAAATTTGATCTCGTGGTTTCTCTCTTCGAGTAGTTTAACATTTTGTTGTTGGAAATAGGCGAGTGCGTTGATCACCTCTTCCATGACACCAACCACCAATTTTTGACATTTGGTAGCTTGAGCAATATCCAATTGTGATCCAACACTTTCAAAAAGATCGACTGGTGCCGATGTGAAATACTGTTGGTCAATAACCTGTGGTTTCTTTTGATTATCCTCTACCAAAATATTATCACACCAATCTCTCATCAAACCTTTGATATGTAATTTATAAATCTTTATAAGTGGATCCAATGATTCTAATAATGGTGGTGACATGTCTTGAATTCCTAATCTACTTAATTTTCTACTATATTCTTTAATTACCCATTCAACTAAAATAAAAAGAAATATTAAATATATATTTCATTTCTTTATATTTTTTTTTTCTTTTTTCTATTTTTTACCTAACATTAAAATATGAGCAGAAGGAATTGATTGTCTTGCAAGATAGGCATCACCAGATACACCACTTTCAACAAGATTAGAGAAAGAACCAAATAGTGAATAGAATTTACTATGATATTCTTTAACATAGTAATTGAATAAATCATAAGAGGGAGGATAACATTCACCTACTACATCCATAACTACATCCAATTCATCGACCATTTTGTTGACTTCTCGAAGAGTTTGAACCAAATCTGTTTGACAAGTTAAAAACATTGGTTCGAATCGTGAGGCAATCGATTGACCCAACACTTCGATAAACCGATCACCATAGGCACCAGTTAGATGATCATCTTCCATACTCTCACTAGACGACAATTTACTACGTTCTTTGGCTTTTTGTTCGTGAATCTTTTCACGTTCTACAATTTGAGCAACCTTTACAATAACAGGTCTGTTTCCATCCTTTTTAGCCATATGTACAGAATTGCTAACCAAATCCCATAGTTTGTTTTCAAAACGATACCCCAACTCTGGTACCGTTGAAAACATCTCTTTGATGGCTTCCAATTCATCGTCGTTTGATTCAAATTGTTTTAAAGCCTTTTTGTGTAGTCGTTCCAATTCTCTTAGTTTTTTATGTACAATGAGAATGTTCATGTCATTCTCCATCAATTGTTCAATCTCTAACGCCTTTTCGGGTATGGTGAGTAAACGATCGACCTCTTTCAAGATGGACATGAGGTTGACACGACATGTATTCACCTTTTTAATCATTGGATAGTATCCAATCAAACTTGATGTCTCGTGACACAATGATACCGTCTGATCAAAACTACCTCCCATATTCTCTATTCTACCAAATGATTTTGTTAATATTTCTAATCCTTTTTTTGCTCTTTCAAGTTCTCCCTAAAGAAAAGAAAAGAAAAAGAAAATAGATTAGAAAAAGAGTCAACTCTGATTGAGATATCTCTCTCTCTCTCTGTTGATTATTACATTTGCTTCATTTTTAATTTGAGCTTCAATTGTTTTCTTTTGTTGTATTAATGATTGTTTATGATTGGTGATGGTTGCAAGACTATCAATCATTGAAAAGTGAGCTTCAATCTTTTTGATAGCTACCAATTGAGCATTTGCATCATCTAACCCTTCTAAAGGTACAAGTGATGATACATCCATCCCGATCCTCTAATATGTACGTATATCTCTATTGTCTCTCTAAATGATTAATCACACAACAACAGAATCTAGCTCTTGACTTAGTTAAATTAAAAAAAAAAAAAAAAAATCATCCCCTAAGATTCACTCAACCTTGCTTGCTATCAAAGATGAGAAAACGAATCATTCGTTTTAACTAAAGTATATCTTCTTTTAAATCAGTTCAAGGAAAGAGTTAAATAGAGAGAGAATAGAGAATGAGTTCACCACCAAATAATTCATACGAGATTATGGACTCTACAACCAACATATTTTGGGAAGAATCTAGTGATGAAGAAATTGAATATACATCACATACATATACAAGAGTTGCTCCTATTAGTAGGTAGAAAAAGAAAGAAACAAAGAATCATTACAATTAATTGATAGAGATATATATATAAACTAAACGATTCAATTCAACTTTTTCTTTTTGTTTTTGAAAAGAGAATAATAGTGATGTTACAACACTTTCAGTTCGTTTACCACAAAGACATTCATTATGGGCACATTTAGCTTGGAATGCAGGTATTGCATTATCTGATTTTTTAGATAAAGAAATTGATTTTACAAACAAGACGTATGTAAAGAGAGAGAGAGAGAGAGAGAGGAAACAAAAAGAAAATGATACATGCATGTATTAATATGTCTTATTATTTTTTATAGAGTATTGGAATTAGGATCAGGAGCAGGATTACCATGTTTTATTGCAGCATTGAATAATGCCAAAAGAGTTGTAATGACAGATTATCCAGAAGATACGTTAATTAATAATATGAAATATAATAGATCCAATACAGTACCAGAAAGAGTATGTGATGAAAATAATAGATTGTTGGCAGTACCACATCTCTGGGGAAAGAATCCAGAAGAATTAAATCAACTACTCGATGAACCATCAAAGAAATTTGATATCATCATTTTATCTGATCTTTTATTTAATCATGCCGTACATGATAAAATGTTGGAAACTTGTTCAACTTGTTTATCTGATAATGGTATTGTAAGTATCACAAATCAAAAAAAAATAGTTAGAGAAACTGGAAATATTATTTAAAAAATTTTAATAATTATTAATTAATTAATTTTAAAAATTTAGATATATGTATCATTTTCACATCATAGACCACATAGACAAGATAAAGATCTCTATTTCTTTGAATTGGCAAAGGATCCAGAATTTAATTTTGAAAGTGAAAAGTTTAAAGAATTAAAGATGCAAGCAATGTTTGAAAATGATTTAGGTTGTGAAGAAACAAGATCAACTGTTCATTTTTATACAATGAAAAGAAAAATATCAACACCACAATAATAATAAATTAAATTAAAATTAATAATAATTATTTATTTATTTTTTATACATTATTTAATTCTTTCTATGAACAATTTTACCTTGATAAAAATATTCCATTTCATCTCTTTTAACCATGATATCAAAAGCTTTTCTAATGGAATAGGTTGATAGTTGTCCAAAGGAACTTAATTCTTCGACAACTTTTTTGAGACTGACTTTGGAGCCAATTGCAATTCTTCTTTTGATTTGAGTTTCTGCCTTGGAGATATCTTCGACCATTTGGGGTGTCAATTGTTCACCCATAGCACTGTTGGTGGTGATAGCGTCAAATGTGGAAATGGTAAAGAGACGGATAGCTTCTTGAACATGACGACTTGATGCAGTGTTGGAGAGTGACATTTTGGCCAAAGACTCTGAAATTCTAACAATGGCTTCGAGTTGACGAATCGTGATTGGAATGGCACCAGGTTGTCCATTCATTTCATTTTCACGTACCGTCGCTCTCACCGACACATAATGATTCATCAGTGCCTCTACTGCATCCTCTGACAAACGAGGACTACATCTAGTTCTACAAAATGTAATATATTTCTTTAAAAAGTTTAAATCCAACTCTGTATTGGCGTCTGTACTAGCTGCATTCATATGATTCTGTAATACTTTATCTGCAATTTCCATATCTCTTTTTGAATCTTTTGGATCTCTAACTATAAAAATTAAATCAAATCTTGATAATATAGTTGATTGAAAATCAATATTCTAGAAAAGAAAATTTAAAAGTAAAAGTAAATAAATATATATATTTGTTTGTTTGTTTGTTTGTTTTTCATCTCTTACCTCACCAGCAGTTTTTAAATCATCATATCTACCAAAAACAGGATTAGCAGCAGCAAGTACAGAAGTTCTAGAATTTAAAATGGTAGTGATACCAGCTTTGGCAATAGAGATGGTTTGTTGTTCCATAGCTTCGTGGATAGCGACACGATCGTTTACATCCATCTTGTCAAACTCGTCGATACAGACTATACCACCGTCTGCAACGACCATAGCACCACCTTCAAGGTAGTACTCGCCGGTTGACGGTTCACGGATGACCGATGCTGTGAGACCGGCAGCACTACTGCCCTTTCCACTTGTGTATACTGCAATGGGTGCCACCTTTTCCACAAACTTTAGTAGTTGTGATTTGGCGGTACCGGGGTCACCCAAAAGCAATAGATTGATATCACCTCTTAGTTTCATACGATCTGGTAGTCTCTTGGGACTGCCACCAAACAATTGACATGCAATAGCACGTTTAATGTCTTGGTGTCCATAAATAGACGGTGCAATAGAGCTCGATAGAATCTCTAATAGATCCGATTTAGTTGCAAACTTTCTAAATGCATCTTCTTCCTGTGGTGTAAATATATGTGCAGATCGACCTGCCTGGTCGTTTGACAACATACCAAGCACCCGGATATATGGTGTTCTAATAGTAGCCAACCCAGACATTTCCTTTTTTCGTCCACCCTGTCCTGCGTAAATACCAAATACGCCAACCACTGTAATACGCGTGCCAGGTGTCACACGCTCCACCAAAAACCTATCTACCGACAATTGAATGTGTCTTGGCATCTCTCCAGTTGGTATAGTCTCTGGACTCTCTTGTAATTTTAATAATTGTTGATTTACAAATTTACTCTTTTCAGGTAATATATCATATGGATTATTTGGGCATTGTTTTGATTCTCTAAAAACAAATCAATGTAAACAATTAATTATAATCTATATTTTCTTTTCTTTACTTACAATTGTTGTTGAGGATTATCACAACCTTGAGGTAAAGGATTTGTATTGATACCAGGTGAAATATGAATAGTCTTTTCATGTTTACAACCACGACATTTAATAGTGATTGAGAGTGGTCTTGGTTGAGTACGTGATGCAGATATAACAATACCAGGTATCTTTACAATCTTTGCAATTTGGTGTGCCTTTAATGTACGAATGGCAGTTGCATCTGCCGAACTTGTAAACAAAACTTGAATGTCTGGAATATCTTTATCTTCTTTTGCAAAATTCATCATTTTAATTGCTTCTTTGGCTGCCATTTCAAACTACAATAAATAAATAGATAGATTAGATATATTATATTATATAATATTCATTTGATTGTTTACATACAGTTGGAACAACTTCATTTGGTTTTGATAATAAAGAAGAAGCTAAATCTTGATCAAATTGAGTTAGATGATCCATGTTTACTTCGAGATAGTATTTCTCAAGTTCAAAGTGTTGTATGAGTTGTTCACGATAGATGAATGCATTGTTTTGATTCTTCCAACCACGAATGAATCGAAGAAACGATGCTTTGTAATGTAGTGTATCGCCATCCAACACCTTTGCATTGTTATGTCCTCCTCCTCCACTAACAAATACTTGACCTTGATCCCATCCAGACATTATTAATCTAACAACAACTCTAATACTAATACTAATACAATCATCTAGATAAAGATATCTTTTGTTCAAACTTATACACTGTGTTGGCGCTCACTCAGATTGAGAGATTTTCCCTCCTTTTTTTAAAAACAAAAAATACAAAAGAATCGATTGTTGGTACAAATATTTTGGATTAAGTACAGTATTTATTTATTACTTTTTATAGTTGATCTCTCTCTCTCTCTTTAAAAGGGGGGCGGGCTCTCACATTTGTCATAATGATCAATGAGTACAACACTTTCCAATTTAAATGGTTCCAGATCTAAAGAAGAATTTCTTTTTTGGGAAAGGTGTGAATATTAATATATATGACAAAAGGAATATATATATATATCTATCTATATATACATTTGGAAGATGTTATTCTCACTGGTCATCACAACAACCGTCAGCTCCAGCAAAGGAGGAGGAGATTATCTAACATGTAGACCAAAAGGAGAAAATGTGCATGTATTTAGGTGTAATATTGAATATGCAAGGTATTATTATTATTCCATGTGGTCTTGAAATGATTGAGATTGTATTAGAATCCTGAGAGAGTTATCTGTATGTATCTTTCTATCCGCAAACTTTGAGCTCTGACAATGAACCAACAACCATGATTACAGGTGTTATTTGAAAAAAAAATAAAAAAAAATAAAAAAATCAAAGAAGTTCATTGACAAACAAAGTACACCTATCTATCTTTGTTTGTTGTAATCATAAGTTTTTAGTTTCTTTGTACGAACAGAGAGAGAGAGAGAGAGAGAAGAGTGATTAAGATTTAATCATGGATCCAGAAGCACAAAAAAATGCAAGAAAGAAAGAGTTGGATGATATGAAAAAGAGAATTGCTGAATATAAAGAAAAGGTATGTTGTGATGATCAACTATCATCTGCTAACAGAGTTCACAGTATCATAATCTTATACTCTATATTGTCTTTTTTTTCTAGAAAATTGCACAAACCTCTAAACTTTCAACAACCAAAGCAACTTCACCATCTCTATCAACAGGTGCTGGAGCAACATCACCACCAGCTGAAAGCTTTGATAGTCTATTAGAATCTATCAATAACATTGCACCAACTTCACCACCAACAACTTCTGCCACTAGTACCAGTACTTCTACTACTACAGCTACACCATCAACTATACAACAACAAGATAAATATAAACCAACATTGTCAATACAAAACTTGGTCATTGAATTTGATATACCACCTCGTGAGATTCCAACCTATACAAAGGCAACCCAAACACCAGATATTGATTTCAATGGTGAAAATGAAGATCAACAAGTAAACGCTACACCAAACAAATCAAAATCAAAATATCAACAATTACAACAACAACAACAACAAACAACACCAACCCTTGCTTCAAGTTCAACTGGTATCGATTCATCAGAAGGTCATGAAGCTATTGAAGAAACAAATGTATCAAAAGAACCAGAAGTTATTGGTATGTAAAAGAAGATTAAATGTATTCTTTGAACAACATATGACTTATCATTGATTTCTTCTTTTTTTTCATTTTAGAATTGGATGAACAAGAGAAAAAAGAGATTTTAGAATCTGAATCATTTAGAACATTCTTTACAAGATCATCAAAAGTTATTGAAAGAGCTTTAATGTTGGATGATAATATTGATATATTGGTTGATTATACCAAAACTGATGATGAGTAAATATAAATGAATCAATATCTCTCTCTTCTCTATCAATATTGTTTCTAACCTTTTTTTTTTATTTTTTTTAGAGATAAATCATCATCAAAAGAATTAAAATTAATGGGAACATTGGTAGATGAAAGATGGTCAAAACATAGATCAGTTACAGATATTAATTGGTCACCAAAACATCCAGAATTGGTTGTTACATCCTACTCTGCAAATGAAACTGGTTCACATGATCCAGATGGAGTTGTTTTAGTTTGGTCTGTTAATAATTTCTATCAAAAACCAGAATATGTTTTTAATTGTCAAGTATGTAAAAAAAGAAAAGAGAAATAATAAGAAATAATAGTATTAATTTATTTCTTTTTTATTTTTTTTTAGTCACCAGTAATGACAACATTCTTTTCAAGATTTCATCCAACTTTGATTGTTGGTGGTACATATTCAGGACAAATAGTAGTATGGGATACTAGATCAAAATCAACACCAGTACAGAGGACACCATTATCATCGGTTGGACATACTCATCCAGTGTATAGCATGTCTGTTGTAGGATCTACCAATGCCAATACATTGATTTCAGTATCGACCGATGGTAAGTTATGTTCATGGAATCTTGACAATTTATCACAACCAGTAGAAACATTGGACCTCAATGCCAAAAACAATACTTCCTCTACGGTTTCTGCAACATCATCGATTGCTGTTACAAGTCTTGTATTCCAAGAGACTGAAATGAATGCCTTTTTCGTTGGATCTGAAGATGGTAGTATCTATCAAGCACACAGACACGGTAGCAAGACTGGTATATCTGATCGTTACAAGGGACATCACGGACCCATTACCTCTATTGATTTCCATCCATCACGTGGGTCAATTGACTTTGGTAACTTGTTCTTGTCGTCGTCTACCGATTGGACCACTCGTCTATGGTCGACCAACAAGACCGAGGCACCAGTCTATTCATTTGAAGACTATGTCGACTATGTGTACGATGCTAGATGGTCACCAGTCCACCCATCAGTCTTTGTCACTGGTGATGGTAACGGACAAATGTGTCTCTGGGATCTCAACGAAGAAACAGATGCACCGATAGTCCGAAACAAGATCTCTTCACATGCTCTCAATCGTCTCTCTTGGTCTGGCGATGGTAAGCGTTTACTTGTTGGTGATTCAACCGGTCAACTCTCCCTCTATGACACTTCTCCCTATGCCAACCCAGAACCAGATTCTTGGTCAAAGTTTGGTAATATCGTTGATAAACTCCTATCAAAACCTCTTACCCTTCAAGATTCTCCAACTACTGCAATTGATAAAGATGATTAAAAAATAGAAACCAAAAAAAACAAAATATTTAAATAAATAATAATAATATAAACAAAATATTAAATTTTATTTTATTTATCAAATTTAAACCTCGAAGTTTGATTTTGTTGTGGATCAAGTTTACCATTTGAAATGATTGAAAAATCATCAAGACTTGTTTGAGTTAATTGAAGATTATTTTTGTTTGATAATAATAGTACCATGAACAATGATATACTAATTTTTCTCTTGCATGCCATTAAATCAGATACTCCAAGTGTTTCAGATTTTAATTCCAATTCCAAAACCTCTTCAAATGATAATCGTGCCTCTGGTGATTTTTTTAAAAGAATAAAAAGTTTTCTTTCATAATCTTTACTATTAAATTCAAACCTTCTTCTTCTTCTATTTAATGATGACATTGAACTTGATTGTTGTCCCATTATTGTTGTAGTTGATTGAGTAAAAGTTTCTGAATCTTCAAATGAATCTTCAAATGAATCTTCAAAAGAATCCTCAAATCCATCTTGATAATTATTATCATTATTTTCAAAATTATCATTATCATTATTATCATTATTAATATTTTCTTGTTGTTGTTGTTGTTGTTGTTGTTTTTTTAAATTTTCTATATTTTCAATCTAAATTTAAAAAGTTTAATTAATTAATAAATTATATCTATCTATCTATTTCTCTATTTATCTATACATACAAAAAGCTTTCTTTTATCAATTGAAAAATTTGATCTAATTTTTAAATTAAAAAAATCAGATTCTTTATAATCATTTTGAATTGTATTATCACAGAGTAATTTTGATTTATCACCATGTTCTGGTTCTATCATATCTTGTGCATTGATATTATTTTTTTTGGACTCTTTTGGAATAGGGGATTTGGTAGAGAAAAGAATTCTTTTTCTTTTTGTGATAATTTTTTCTTTTCCAAACTATTATTATTATTTTTGATTGCAGGATTTGGTATATTTTGCCAATTTCTTGATTCAACATGACGATCAATTTCATTTTCTTCATTTCCAAAACCTTTCCATTCATCATCTAAATTTTCCTTTTCCTCTGGAGCATGATCTTCTCCATAATAACTATGTTTTAAATCAATGGTTGCATCTTGATCATTATCTGAATCTTCTCTAATTTCTTCCATTTGTTGAATATTAGTTTGACCATTTTCATCTAAACCAAATTGTATTTCATCTTGTAAAAGATCTGTAAAATCCAAATTCTCTTGTTCCCTTATAGGATTTTCTTCCATTTCATCATCTTCTTTTTCATTTTCATTTTCATTTTCATTTTCCAACATTCCAGTGATTTCTTCTTCTTCATCAGTTTCAACTTCTAAATCTTCTAATCTTGGAATGACTGGAACTATTTCAGTTTGTTCCAAATCTTGTTCATGATTTTCCAAAAAGTCATTGATATTTTCTGGTGAAATGGTTGGACATAATTGTTCTGTTGTTTCTCTTGATAGAGCAGCTTTAATTCTTCTTCTAAAATTTGAAAAACATTGTGTTCTTGGTACGTTTTGTTTTCTTTTTTTCGGTTTAACCTCTTCTTCCAAAGGATCAGTATTTTCTGTTAAAACCAAATCATCTGATCGATTTAATAAACTAAATGAATAGTGTTGATCTACTGGTAAAACATTTGAAAAGAATAATTTGAAATTGACTGCAACATATTGAGTTTTGATTGGGACTGTAAATGGTTGAAATGGTTTATCTAAATTTGCCTTTTCCCTAGTTGTAATGGTAGAAGCTGCAAACCCAGAATCACTCCATTTCTTCCTCGTCTTTTTCTCTCCATTTTCATCAACCTCTTCAAAATTATCATCTTCATAGGCACTTGTAACTTGTTTTGAACTCATTCCCATTGTATGAGTCAATTTGTCCAATGATCTACCAAGATCATCAACTCTTTTTGCATAGATATTGGATGCTTCATCTACAACGACCGTAGATATTACAAAACCATCTCTTGTTTCATCCTCCTCTCCTACCAAACTTGGTAAAATCCACATATTCTCTATAATCTTATTATCTTTATCCCATAATTTCTTTTGTCCCTATATATATAGAAAAAGAATTAGAGATATATAATAAGAAAAAAAATATAATAATAATCATAATCAAAACATACTCCTTTTGAAGTAATTTTATAATTATCTAATAAATGTTTATATTCTTGTCTAATTTCAAGTTGTGATCTTTGTGTACCTTGAGTACCTTGTGTACCTTGAGTATTTCTTTGTGTATTTTGTGTATTTGTTGTTAGATTTTTAATCTTTTGTATATCATCACTTTCATCATAATTGTGATGATCATCACTTTCATCATAATCAAAGTAATTTGTTGATGTTGGTGTCATCTCTCTCTAATATCTCTATTATATCTATATTTTATCTATCTTTGCACTACTTCTACATATGCAATGAATCAACTAATTAAACCAACTTCCCTCTTACCAAATTCAAAAATTTAACGACAACAAACAAAAAAAAAATTTTATTGCACAATATCAAGCAATCGTGGACCAACGCAAAAAATCCCCCATCACTTTTTTTATATCTCTCAATCTACAACTAAATATTTGTTCATATATATATATATATATTAGATATAGATAATAGATAATAGATAATAGATATGTGAATCATCATATGAATAAACTATTCTATTATTATATTTTATTTTTTATTTGTTGGTTCATTAAAACAACAAAGTCTACGACTACTACTACTACTATAGCTACATCACCAATAGGAACAGTTGGATATAGTTTATACCCACCAACAAGACAACAACTATGTTATTTCTCACACAATAACAAGTTTGAAGGAGAACCAAATACTGTGATGGATCCTGCATGTCGAGATGCCTATCATCATGTAGCATTTCAAGATCAGGCAGACTTTGCACTTGGATCGATACAGTTTATACATTATACTTCGTATTGGTGGTCACCCAAACAAGATGAAAATGCATCCACTCCATTAGACTATATAAGAGATGGTATTTGTTCGGCTGGTAATCAACACTATCATGGAATGGATCTCATTGCCAAATGGTCAACTGTCCCAATCACTCTAAGAAATTCTTCCTATTCTTTTCATAAATCAAAATTATTAAATAATAATATAGATACATCATTATCACAACATAATTTTGTATTGGAATATTGTATGGATACACGTGGAACATTTAATAATGTAAATTGGAATATTTATATTAGTAAGACTAACCATCTTGGTATATCATCAACCAATACCAACCCAGTAACAATGGATCATTTACTATCACTACACAACTATACATTTGAAAATGATAGATTGGATTCACCTAGTGATGGTTGTATTGGTGGTGGTATCATTGTTAGATTTCCAGTTACAATTCCATCATCCTATCATTATAAAACTGATCAAAATGTTGTACTCGTTGTTGTAATGCATCGTGGTAATTCTTCTTGGTTTAGTTGTTCTGATATTACTTTTTTAAACTATCAAGATAAAGATATTAATATTAATAATAATAATAATAAACCAACAACAACAACAACAACAAAAACAATAATTAATCCAACAAATATTCCAACTATTAATCCAACAATAATTTCATCTATTGATATTCAACCAAATAATACTAGTAGTAATAATAATACTTTATCTTCATCATCAAATTATCCATCACCATCAAAATTACCAAAAAATAATAATAATAGAATACCAACAACAACAAATCAATCAAAACCTACTACTACTACTCCAACATTTAAAAATTCAAAAATGGTAGAATTATTAATTTATTTATTAATGGGTATTATTGGTATATTAATCATTTATATAATAACATCAAATATTTGTATTTTTGGTAACAGACAACCAAGACAAAGATTTATTGAATCTGCATAATTAAATAAATTAAAGATATATATAAAAAAACTATTATTTATTTATTTTTTTAGAGATAGAAGGATCTTGGTTCACGAGATTTTGGATTTTCACTTTGAGCAAGATTGATAGCATTTCTTTGTTTTTTAACCAATTTGTTTTGTTTATAATTTTGCATAACTTGACCTCTAAGAAGTTCCAATTTCTGTTTCTTTACTACTTCTCTTTGTTGTTGTAATCTCTTTTCTTCCAAATCTTCTTCAGTCTCTTCTTCTTGTTTCTTTTCACCTTCATCTTGCCATAAATATTTACGTTTTGAAGATTGGGTTTCATTTGCAGCTTTTCTTTTACTTAGATCCTTTACAACTGGAAGAGTTGGAGGACGATCAACTTGTTCACCAAACTTGATATTATCTTGTAATTCATTAAAATCCTTTTTAGAATTTTTATGTTTTAATTGTTGTTGTTTTCTCTTTTTATCCAATTCTCCCATTTCCTTTTTCTCCACCGATCCTTCCTTTCCATCCTTTCCATCTTCATCTTCATCATCATCTTCATCATGATTAATATTATTACTATCATCAACCAATCTAAGACCTTTCTTTTTAAGAGTCTTTTTTAATTTCTTTAATTTACTATTCTCTTTGTTTTTAGCATAACGATTTGTCATTTTCTTTTCCTTTTCGTTGATTTGATTACGCATACGTTGAAAGTATTGTTCTTGGTTTTCACCAGGACGACGCTTTGTATCTAGTTGAATGTCTGCCTTTTTGTTACTGACGTCCTTTATACTGTTGAGTTTTGAGGTGTTCTCGCCCTTGTCTTCTGGGTTGGGCATGAAACCGAGAATGTGAGCGAGTTGTTCTTGTTGCTTTGAGAAATCAGTCATCTCTTCGACCGATTGTTTCTTGGCTTCAGCCACTGAAGTATCCAAACCAGCAACACTCTTTGCAACCTTTTGATTCTTTTTTTCAGTCTTTTGTTGTTTCTTTTTGTCTACTTGTCGTTTGTCGTCTTGATCTTGTGGATTTTGTTTCTTGGCCTTGATCTCTTGCTTTTTAATTTGTTTTGCAGAGACTCCATTGTTTTGTTGTAGATTCTTTTCCTTGTTTTCTTGATAGAGCTCTTCACGCTTTTGTTTCTTTTCATCAATCTCTTTGACCAATTGACTCGCTTGCATCACCATACGCAACGATCTTGGTACCTTTTCATCGTTTTTCAACTTGAATGGTTTATCCTTTCTCTTTTCCTTTTCATCTACTACCTTTCTTTTACAATATGGATCACATTGTTTAAGTTTTCTATTTGCTCCTATTGTCATGATTAAAGTAATAGATAGATAAATAAATAAATTTATATATATATACAAAAAAAATAATAAAAAAACGAAAAAAAAAAAACCAAATAGCGATGAGAGAAAAATTAATATTAAATAATTTAAATACTCAAGACAGTTCTTCACTTTGACAAACGTATTTATTTATTTATTTATTAAAAAAGAGTTGAAATAATTGATAATAGTGAAATTAAGATGATTGGAGATGATAAAGATGAAGATAATGATGGTTCACCTGAACTGGATGAATTGTTTGAGGAACAAACAAGACTGTTGATAGGATTAGGTGATGGACATGAGAGACTATCAACGATATCCCAATTTTCACAAGAATTTCTAACAGCACAAAACTCTTTGCTACACTTGCTTGCTACACAAGAATTTAGGTTTAGATAGTTATTGACTTGTACACATTGATTACCAATCAAACAGTCATGGTAGGACTTGGTGTCAGTGGCACATTGTGCATTGATATTGACTAGTATGGAACATTTACCTTGTGAACCGTTGGAACATTCACAAATCTCGTTAAAGTTGCAATAACTGTCATCTTGGCATGATTGTGAGCTATTGGATGGAGATGGTAGCTTGGTACAGAAACCATACTGGGCACTATTGATTTCACAGTAGAGACCTTTAGAGGCATCACAAGCAGATACAGTTGCGTCATTTGGATTGGGGCTACAGGTTTCACCTAGACCAAGAGAATAGAGTGCAGTGCAAGTCTTTGTAGTGTCGTTTCCACTGCAAACCGATCCATATGGACATGCGGTTGGGTAAACTGTACAATCGTCATTCAACTCTAGTTGAGGATAACAGACTTTGGTTGGACCAGTTGTGTTGCAGAATGTACCGAATGGACAGTTGAGTAGTTCACTGTCACATACATCATTGGTTAAGACACATTTGTTGGTACTGTTGGAACAAGTTAATCCTTTGGAACATTGATAGGTTTGATTACAGTCTTTACCATTTTGTATAAATCCCTAAAAAGAAAATTAAATAATAATAATGATTAGTTGAGGTTAAATTTAATGAACCATTTAATCATCATCACACATACATATTGGACACATTTATTATCATAGCATGAAAGACCTGGATAACAAGATGGACTATCATAATTCTGCAAACAGCTACCATTCTCTGGAATGTAGGCTGTACAATTACCAGAAGTGGAACCACCTGAATATTTACAATCAGAGTTTGAACATATTTTTAATAAATTGTTACTAAAAGATATAAAAAAAAAAAAAGAAAGGAGATATATAAGAATGATATCTTGATTTAATACTAGTGAAAAGGTCTAGACCTTACCATTGTTCTCCTACTTGGACACATTGTGAATTTGATGGACATGAAATGGCATGAACCGATAGTGCAGAAACTATGCAAAGAGTTATGGATAAAAGTAATAAAAAGTTGGTCATTATCTATCTAATTTAAATTATTCTTTTTGGAAAGGGATTTGTGTGCTTATAAAATATGATATATATTTATATCTTGTGGATGTTCACATTGTGTTGAGGTGGGGGTTACAATTTCTGATAATTTCGTCGGTTTAAAAAAAAAACCATCGAGGCAAGAAAAATCGCTTTGGCTAGAGTCTACAAAACAATGATTGGTTGTTCGATGGGTCTAATATCTCTAATATCTCTAATAAATATCCATCCATTTTGAAAAAATACAAAGATATCTCTCTCGATTATTATAATAGAAGAGTAAAACACGAAGAACGAAACAATCCATATCAACAAACAACAAACGATCGTTCTTATATATCACTCATAGCTAGATAGGTTGCTTTATACTACTTTTAAAAAACTAAATAAATGACCTTCCTTTTTTGGACAACTGAATCGATCATCATCACAAGTCATTGCGCAAAAAAAAAAAAAAAAAAAAAAAGGAAAAAGAAGGGTGGCTTTAATTTTTTGTTTAATTTTTTTATATTGTTCTGTCAACCCTTTCTAGAACCAACCAATTTTAAAACGACAAAGTAATAATACTATAGATAAATTAAAAAAAGTAATAATTGTGTAATAATGGCACCACAAGATAGAAATGAAAAGATAATAAGAGAGTTGTTAAAGTTACCAGATAATATGAGATGTATGGATTGCCCTATTAAAGGTCCTGTATATGCTTGTTTAGATTTAGGTACTTTTGTTTGTCAATCTTGTTCTGGTATTCAGTATGTAAAAAAAGAAATAAAAAAAGATATAGATATATAATATATATATCTCTCTTTACTAAACATTCATATTCTCTTTCTTTCTTACTACTTTTATTTTCTTTAGTTCACATTTAGGTAGAAGAGTAAAATCAGTATCAATGGGTACATTTAAACCAGAAGAGATTACAAAGTTACAAAATGGAGGTAACAAGGCAGCAAAGCAACATTGGTTGGGCAAATGGTCACCAAGAGATTTCCCAGAACCTGAAGAGGGTGATACTGCTCGTATTAAACAATTCATCGAGTTAAAGTACACTAAAAAGCAATGGGTTGATGATCATCCTCGTATCGAACCACTCTCTAATATCCTTGGAAGAGATATACCTCCTATCACTGTTGAAAAGGATAAAAGAAATTCTATCAACTATGGTAATAATAATAATAATAATAATAACAATGGTACTTTTGCAACATTACCAACAAATGGAAATAATAGTCCACCAAATCTTTGGACTGATCGTCCACAACAACAACAACAACAACAAAGAAATAATAATAATAATAATAGTAATAATAATTCATTACTTGAATTGAATGATATTTTTAGTGCTCCTCCTTCAAGACCTCAACAACAACAACAACAACAAAATAATCAATTTAATAATAATGGAAACTTTTTCCAACCATTAAATAATCAACAACAACCAATTCAACCAAATCAACAATCATTTGTTGATCATAATACTCAAAATAATCAATGGTCAACAGGAAATAATCAATGGGATAATAATGTAAATCAATGGGGTACTCCTTCTAATTTACCTCAACAACAACAACAACAGAATCCATTTGGTGGATTCCAACAATCACCACAACAACAACAACAAAATCCATTTGGTGGATTTCAACAACAACAACAACCACAACCAGGACCAGATTTTTGGATTAATAAACCAGCAAATACTGGTAGTTATGGATCAAGTAATCCATTTGGTGGATTCCAACAACAACAACAACCATTACAACAACAACAACCAGAGAAAAAAGATTACTCTGGGGCATTTGCAGGCCTTTCACCATTCTCTGGAAACAACTCTTCCTCAAATCCAACACCACCAAACACATTTGCCAACAATTTTGTTCCAACTGCATCACCACCAACTGGCTCTGTTGGCAGACCTGGATCCACTAGCAATAGTGCAAGTGTAACAAAGGTTAACCCATTTGAATCAACCTTTAATGTAAATCCTCAACAACAACAACAATCATTTAACAATACTGGTAGCATTGGCAACAAGGTCTCGTCAAATCCTTTTGCAAACTCTTCTCCAATGCCTCCAAATACTGCTTCTGGTAATCACAACCAACAATTGGTTTCATCTCAAAATAATCCTTTTGGTGGTAATGACTTTTTCAGTGGTGGTGTTTCAAATCAACAACATCAACAACATCAACAACCACAACAACAACAACAAAATAACCATTTCAATCAATTCCAATCAAGTGGTGCTCCACCAAAGGCTGCTAGTGGAGGTTTTCCATCGGGTTTAATCAATCAACAACAGAATAATAATAATAATCAATTCAATAATCAACAACAAAATAATAATAATAATCAATTCAATCAATTCCAGCCATTTAATCAACAACAACAACAACAAAATCAATTCAATAATAATAATAATAATTTCTTTACTAATAATCCAGTTCCTGCATCCAATGGTAACGCAAACAATAATGCAAACAATTTCTTTTTCTAAAAATAAATAAATATTAACTGGAATATTACAATAGGTAAAAAAAGGATCCTACCCTAAATCAAGTTCTTGGTGGTTATTATTGTTTGTTCTTGCACCAAGGTGAAGTGTCATCAAAAAAAAAAAAAACCAAAAAAAAAAAAAATGTGGAAATACATATGTGTGAAAATGTGTGTGTTCAGGGGCAATATTGTATGTCCTGGATGTTTCTGGACAGCGGGCCTGGCATGGAAAAAAGACAAAAACAATTTGATCGGTCTCTGCAGGGTTCGAACCTGCGCTCCCGAAGGAACATCCTTAGCAGGGATGCGTGTTAACCACTCCACCAAAAGACCGCAATTTCGAGATGATGTGGAAATGAAATTCTGCGTATTTATACGCCTACGCGCAGCGATTTTGTTAAGTTTGGTCGTGGAAAAGTGAATTTGGTTGTTTTCTTGCTATGTCCATCATCACCCTCCTTTAATTCCCTTCATTCCCTTTTCATTGAGAATTGTTTTTTTCATCCTAAGAACAATTTTATCTCGACAAAAACAGGGATCTTGCAGAGGGGTGGTTATTTTTCTTTTTCCTCTATTTTGATGTAAATTTTAAGAGAGTGAATCACTAAACTTATTTGTTCATATCTATTGATCAAAAGAGCCCAACCATTGTAAAGTGAATCAAGGAACCAATATATAGAATCAGTTGTTGTTGTTATAAATATGATTTCATAAATAATAATTATATCTGATGTGTGTTTTTGGCGGATGTAATTATCATAGTCCTTTTTTTTATTTTTTTCAATAAATACAAAGTTATTTAATCTTTTTTCAGAATTGATTCAACAAATTTGTTTGGTTGAATAATAAAATATTTATAACTGTATTTTTTTTAATTATTGATTTCAAATCATTTTTGATGTCATACCATTCACCACAAGTTGGAGTGTATGGAACCACTTGTTGATAAGATGGACCAAGGCAACTAGGACCTTTGACTTCGGTCAAGATGTAACTGTCCATTAATGGTGCACAGTTGGGGTCACAGGCGATTGTGTATGACGATTTAGAGTCGTATTGGAAACAGGTATCGGTATAGATGGCGGACAAGTACAAGACTGGTTGATTCATCCATGAGTCTTGGCATGTATCATTGTACTTGACGTTGACAATCGATGATTGGGTTGGGGAATTGGAAGATTTCTGAACATTGGTAAATACCTGATGGGAAATTGGCGACTTGATCGTATTGGTTGACTGGGGTGGTGACTGGTGGGTATGGGATACCATTGCAATTCAAATCACCATAAACATACTTGGTTACTTGGTTGTTGGAACAACGATACATGACACCATCAAAGCACTTATCTTCCAACATTGAATGTTGGCTAACATAATTACCTTTACAAGCATTGGTTTCAAAATTTAAAACAGTAACATAACTCGATGTGGCTGCTGCAAACAACATTGAAATGATAAAGATTGAAAAAGAGAATTTCATTTTTTTTTTAAAAGAAATAATTAATTTGTATTAAACAAATATTAGAGTTTGATAGTATAGTAGTAATAATGTTAAATATAAAAACGTTTCATATTTTCAAAACAGGTATTAAAAGTCTCCAATGTTTTTCAATTCCTCAGGAACTAGATTTTTAATAAATATGATAGTGTATATGTAGAGGGCCCTCCTACTGTATATCACTATTGTATTTAGTAAAGAATAAGATCAAGTAATAAAGTCTTTATAATGTTGTTAGAACAATAAAGAGTATAATGATCGTTCGCCTGTCTTAAGGGTTAACGTTTGTAAAAACCCAGATAATGAGATCTTCATTACAGATTAGAAACATAAAAAGTCAGATGGAACTCGACTAATCATTTCCGGGCTCTACATTTTACAACTATATAATAAAACTAAAGGTCGGAATGAAAGTGATCAATTTAGAATAAAATATGTAAATTTCGTAGTCATCACCACAAAAAATCTGGTTCTCATGGAACTAAAAAAAAAAATCCCTTGGTCATTGAAAAATTCTAAAACTAAAAAAATTAGATCTTTTTTTATCTTGCATTCTCAAGAGAGGACGATTAAAATATCCTTTTCTTTTGGATTGTGTACTTGTTGAAATTATTAGTATTATATTTTATTTAGTCAACAAAATTTCAAATAATAAATAATAAATATTTAAAATGAGTAGTGATATCACAAGAAATAATATTAATAATATAATTGGGATTTGTTATCATTAAATTTTGGACCTCTTAATAATAAAAAAAAACAAATTACACAAAGAACAAAGATGATTGTTTATCAATTTTTATTTATTAAAATCATATTCAAAGTTATTGCAAGATGTATACCCCAAGTTTTGGCGGCCAAAACTCACTTACTGAGTTTGTGGTTAAAAATCCAGATCCTCTAAGGATGCAAATGGGAATGAAAGGGAATGGACATAGCAAGAATACAACAAAATCGCTTCGCGTCGGCGTATAAATACGCAGAATTTCATTTCCACATCATCTCGAAATTGCGGTCTTTTGGTGGAGTGGTTAACACGCATCCCTGCTAAGGATGTTCCTTCGGGAGCGCAGGTTCGAACCCTGCAGAGACCGATCAAATTGTTTTTGTCTTTTTTCCATGCAGGCCACGCTGTATACCAGAAACATCCAGGACATACAATATTGCAGTCTTGGAACCCCTGAACACACACATTTCACATACATTTTTTTTCTGTATCCGTTATCTTGTAGCCTCTTGTATCTACAGCCTAATGCTAGCCATCAACATTAATCACAGTCTTTGGATATAAAAGTTTAAATATGATATTTTCACAACAGTTGTTTTATTCAATTTGATTTCTTTTTTTTCTTATCCAAAAACATAGTAATAATACCGGCAGCAATTGTTTTACCCGACTCTCTCAGCGTGAATCTTCCAAGCTGACGATAATTACTATACAATTCGAGACAAGCGGGACGGGAAAGGGTGATTTCGACGACCGCCGAAGCCGAATCGCCAACGCATCTTGGGTTCTTTTTCGATACACCTCCGGCATTGTCCATTAATGATACAAGTTTGGTAATAGTAGCAGGTTCCTCCATTGCGTGTGCGTGGAAAACTGCCTGATAGCCATTGGTGATTGGTACTGGTACAGTAAAAGTAACAATTTGAGCTTGAAAGACACGCGCCGTTTTGATTGGTTTTTCTGGATCGCATAGAATGGAACCAACTCTGATTGCAGTTGCCACATCGACCGACAAACCAAGATCGACATTGTCACCACCAACGGCCCATTCTGAATCCATATTTGCACGTTTGATTGCTTTGATTGTACATATTTCTTGACCTGGTGATATCAATAATTTGTCTCCCACTCCAATCACTCCTGCCTCTACTTTTCCTCCTACCGATACACTTCCTTTACTTGTTGATTTATATATATCATTAATTCCCATTCTAAATGGTTTATTAATTAATCTTTCACCAATACTAAATGTATCTAAAAGAAATAGAAAAAGGAAAAATAAAAATTAATAAATCTTTTTCTTTTCTTTTTACTTTTTTTTTTCTTTTCTATTTTTTAATTTTACCAATTAAATCAACAAGAGATTGACCATTATACCAATTTGAATTTGATGATTTTTCAATTAAATTATCACCTTTGAAACCAGAGATTGGAACAAATCTTAGGTTTGCTTCAGTAAATTTGATTGAAGTTAAAAACACTGTAAGAGTGTCTACAATGTATTGATAACGTTGTTGATTCCAATCAATCATATCCATCTTGTTGATTGCAACGATGAGTTGAACAATACCCAAACTTTTTGCCAAAACTGCATGTTCACGTGTTTGACCTTCCTCACAAAAGCCAGATTCAAATTCCGAGGCATTGATGAGAAGAACACCAACATCGGCCTGTGTGGCACCTGAAATCATATTTGGAACAAAGTCTCGATGACCTGGAGCATCCAACAATGTTACACGTCGATGTTTGGTTTCAAAGTATCGTACACAAACGTCCATCGTTACACCACGTTCACGTTCTTCAGTGTGTTCATCCAAAACCCAAGCAAAGTGAAATGAACCTTTACCAATTGCCAAAGATTCTCGTTCAAATTTGGCAATCGTTCTTTGATCAACTGCTCCAACCTTGAATAATAAATGTCCCATTGTAGTTGATTTTCCTGCGTCTACATGTCCAATTACTACCATATTCAATGATGATTTGGTTTCTTTTGATGTAAAATTTTCATGTACTAAATTTTCCAATTCTTTTTTTCTATTTATAGAATGTTGTAATATATTAATATTAGAATGAGAGGAGGAGGAGGAGGAAGAAGAAGTTTGAGATCCAGATCCATCCATAAAATTATTATTATTTGTTGGTGTATTATGTGGTGTTGGTGTTGATGATATTTTTGTTGTTGTTGATTGATTATTTGATATATTTAATCCTTTTATTGATTCTAAAACAGCTAAAAAAAAGAAAATTAGAAAGAGTTACTACTAGTTTAAATTACAAAAAAAAAAAAAAACAATTACAATTATTAATTTGACCAAAAGCCAATTTTTGTTTGTTTAAAATAATATCATCTGGTGATGGATCATTAAAATGAAAAGGTAAAATTCTTTCATTTTTAGATATATCTTTTTGATTATATAATGATCTCAATGTAAATTCATCAGATGATAATTCTATATTTTCTAAATAGATTGGTCCAAGATTTAAACCCAATGTTGATGGTTTAACTGGATAGATTTTAGCAACAAAATTGTAAAAAAACAACATAATATATATAACATAGTTTTTTTAATCTTACCTTTTGGTTGATTGTTTGATTGTTGTTGATTATTTGATTGATTTGATTGATTTGAACTTGTTTTTTTCTTATTATTCTTTTTTTTAAGTGTACCTTTGGCAGCTTCTTCTAAAAAGTAATCTGCAGTATCATCAACATCAAAATCAAAATCAATCAATGCATCATAAATCTCTTCCAATGATATATCTGGTATATCATCAATCACCATATCATAAACATCATAAACTTCTGAATCATAATCTCCATAATCTATAAAAAATAACAATATAAATGAAAAAGAAAAGAGTTTAGATACTATTATATATATATATATCTTTAGTTTCTCTCTATACCATCATCATCTTGTATATTTTTCATAAATCTATGTCTTGACATTCTTTATATCTTAAAAAGTTAAATATATATATATAATATATATAGGTTTAGACGTCTGTGTGATGAAAGAAGAAGAAAAAGAAAAAACACAATGAACAAGCTTTGCAAAGAGAGAGAGCAAAAAATTGAAAAAAAATAAAAATAAAAAAGATCACATGATCATAGGAACAGAGAACAGAGACAGATAAAGACACTTTAAATATATAGTTTAAAAAATGAAAAAGAAATCACAACAACAAAGAGATGTAACTAGTAGTAGTAGTAGTAGTAGTAGAAAAAAGACAACTTCTTCATCATCATCATCTGAAGCATTTATATTATCATTGATTGGTGGTATATTTGCATCATTATCATCAGTATTTGGAAAGATTGCATTATCAAGTTCTTTTCTTTCATCTTTAATTTCACAAGATAATGTAAATTATATAGAAATATAAATATATCAATCAATCTATATATCTAACTTATTTTGATTTTGATTTTTTTAAGGTAAATTTAATAATTAGAATAATTAGTTTTAGTGGTATATTTATTTGTACAACAATGCAATGGAGATATTCAGCCAAAAGTATGGATTTATCATCATCGCTGTCGGCAACAGTCGTTACAACAGCAAGTAATTTCTTTTTTACTGCATTTTTTGGTTGGTTATTTTTTAATGAAACTCTTTCTTTTGTTTGGTGGATTGGTTCAATATTTATAATGATTGGTTTATATTTTATGAATTCTGATAATACCGAAATTAAAAATAAAAAGAATTAAATAATAATAATTAATTTTAGTTTTTGATTTATTTATTTTTTTGAACAAATTGGTTAACAATAATTTCTAAAACATTTAATGGTAGAGCACCATTATTTAGGATGGTGTTATGAAATTGTTTAATATTAAATTTTGGACCCAATTGTTGTTTACAATAATCACGTAATTGTAATAATTTTAATTGACCAATTTTATAGGCACAAGCTTGACCTGGCATAACAATATAACGATTGACTTCTGCTACTACATCCTTTTCAACAAGACATGTATTGTCTTTTAATAGTTGAATACTTTGTTCTCTAGTCCAACGATATTCTGAAGAGTGTAGACCAGTGTCTATAACAAGTCTAAGACTACGCCACATTTCTGCAACCAAAAATCCCAATCTTTCATATTTGTCTTTGTACCAACCAGCTTCATCTGCCAATTGTTCAATATACAATCCATAACCTTCTGCATAGGCTGTAAATATCATTACACGACGAAAGATATCAATATCTTTGAGTTCTTGGGATAGTGTTATTTGGATGTGATGTCCAATCACTTCATGATAACAAATGTCTTTCATCATAATGCGAGTGTGTGCTGAAGTGTCTCTAAGATTGGTATAGAAAACACCACCTTTACTACGATCAAGTGGTGCTGGCATGTAATAGGCAGGTGGAGAATCTGCTTCCTTGTAGGCTGGTACTGGTTCTACATCACACATTGCCTCGGGTATTTGATCAAACCATTGACCTAGTTTTGGATAAACCTCTGCAATTATATCCTTGTACTCTTGAACAATCTTTTGACGACCTTGTTCTCCTTGTCCCATTTGGAATCGCTCCTCTGATTGAATAGATCTAAGTGTACCACCAAAATCATCTAGAATCTCTGGATATTCCTCCACCATCATATCAATAATTTCTTTTCTAATACGTTCTACTTGTTGTTGTCCAATTTCATGTATTTCCTTGGCTGTATAATTGGTAGTTGTATGATATCTTAGGAAATAATCATACAACTGTTCTCCATTTGGTATACGCCATACTCCATCTCCTTTAATATCGATTGAAATCTTTTCCAATTCCAAAAGATATTTAATTAAAATATCATTTTGTAAATAAAAATATTTTACAATACTATTTTCTAATCTTTTTAAATAACCATCCATTTCGAGTTGATTGATAACTTTTTTATCTTTTAAAAGTTTTAAATCTTTTTCAACTTTTATAAAGATAAAAAATTCTTTTGGATTTGATACTTTTAATTTTTCAATTTGATCAATTGAAGAATGAATGACATAATGAGGAGGAATGATACCATCTTTTTGACGATCTTTTAAATCTTCCAAAAGACCTTCTATAAAATAAGGATTATTTTCAATACGTTGTAAAAATCGATCCATATCTTTACGGTTATTGATTTGTTGTTTCATCAATGTTTCTGCAACCGATTGTTGACAACCAAATATTTGATTCACTGGATAAATACTTGGATAGATAAGATAGAGTGGAGTTGTATAAAGTTTTAATTGATAGGCTTCTACAAATCCTTCTAAATAACTTTTTAGTGTCTTTACACCGACATAGTTTGTTGAATCTTGGGTCAACTTGCTATCCAATCTTGAAATAACATCCAATTCTCTTTTCATTCTTGTCAATTGTTTTCTTCTTGTAGTTAGATGTAAAGAATCTACCAATCCATTTTGAAATGTAAACTTTAATTTATCCAATGCTCTCAACATTGTCAATACAAAGTATTGATCTTGAATTAAATTTAATGTAATTCTAATACTATGTATTTTAAATGATAGAAATAGAGGAGGTATTGAATATAGAGTTTTATAAATAAATAGTAAAATTAAGAAAACTAAAAAGATTACTAGATAATTAAAATTAAAACTTATAATCAATAATAATGAAATGATTAAAAATGTAAAAGATATTATCGTTTTAATTAAACTAAAAAATCCATTTTCTTTTATCAACTTTGTTATCACTAAAAAATAAGAGAAAGAGATATAGATAGAAGAAAGAGAGTTAAAGTTAATATGTTTACTTTAAAAAAGAGATAATATTATTACTTTTTTTTTTTTTTTTTTTTTTTGAAATGAGTGATGATTACAAAATTTTTTGATGTTCACCTTTGATAACTTGTTTTTTTTTTTTTAGATTTTTTTAGATTTATTTTAAAAGGATACATGATATTTTTTAATTTCATAAGAGATTTCGGTTTCAGCAATAAAGAATGGTGAAGTTTTAATTGATTTGAAATATTTTAAAATGATCATTGTGAATTGTTTGTAATAGTTGTATAGACGATCGAGGATCATTTGAAATAGTTTCATACCATTTTTAAAGTTGGGGAATAGTTGGGTTACATTTACATTCATCTCTTCGATACCACTTCTCCAATTGTGATAAAATTCCTTTAAAATACTCTCCAAATTCTCTTTGGTTAACTTTGGATGATTGATTTCCTCTGCCGTATACATTGATATCAACGGATACAGTTCATCGACCGTTGTAATCATTCTTTTGAAAAATGGATAAAGTCCAAGTTGATCCATTGCAAATAATTCAGATTCTTGATCATATAATATTTGATAAAATTCTTTATCTTGTAAATTTTCATTATTTCCATTTTTTCCTAAATAAAAAAAGTAATTTAATTATTATTATTATTATTCTTATTTGTTTGTTCTATTTCTTACTTGAAAGATTGTTAAAATTAAATCATAATTATTTAAAAGGAAAATATGACGATTTGGTTTATCTTTTGTTTCTTGACCAAGTTTGAAAATTAATTTTGACATGCAAGCTCTAAACATATCCAATTGTTCACGAATGAGTGGTTGAACTTCCAAAGGTAAATGTTCATACAGAGTAGTGATGGAACCAATCAATTCTGCATAACGACGAATAACATAATGAGGACGATTCTCTTCAATAGGTCCTAAATCTTTGATATTTGCATTTCTTATAGATTCTAAATTTTCATTCAAAACTACTGACAATCTATTTCTTGTTGCCAAAATAGTCGATCCAAATATCCTCTCTGTACATTCACTTTTAAAATTTGTTTTCTTTTGATATTTACTTGTTATACATAATATTAATAGTAATGATATTGGATCATATGTATTTGTTAAATATGAATTTAAATTTTCCTAAAACAAAAAGAAAATGAATAAATAAATATTTAAATTTAGATTTCTTTGTTTTTTTTTTTTGTTTGTTTAAATTTACCATTAAATAAGATTCACCTTTACCAAAAATGAAATTAGTAGTATCCATACTACTAAAAAAATAATCTTTTATAAACATTGTTTCATAGGAAACAAGATCCAAAAAGAAAAATAAAGCAGATCTAAATAAAACTTCATAGTTGTATTTGATTTGACTTGATGATGCAGAATTTAAACTTGTAATGGATTGTGGTTTTAATGCTTGTTCATCCAATTCATCCAATATTGATATTCTTGATTCTACTGTAAATATACTACTCTTAAATTTTAATTTATTAATTTTATTACTAAAAAATCCTAATATAAAAAAAAAGAAAAAATTAATATTATATATTATTATTATCTATATTTTTTTTATCATCTTTTTTACCTTTTGATTTATTATCAGAAGTACCAATTAAATCATTTTTTGAAGTTGGATCTAATTGTAATTTTTCCAAAAATACGATATAATTTTTATAATAGGAAGAATAGATTTTCTCGATCAATTCCTTGTATTGATCAAAAAGATGACGTGCAACTTTTGGAGAATGTTTAAAGATGAAAAAGAATGCTTGACGATAGAGTGTAAATTCTTGTTGTTTACTTTGAAGAGTTGGTAGATTTTTGATAGATTGGAAATGATTGGTAAAGAATTTATAAAGTTTATCAAATACAATCGTTATCAATTTTCCAATTTGTTCCTCTACATTTGAAATGGCTGCTACATTATCCATTTTTTGTGATTGTACATATCCCATCTTCTTTGACAATATTGATAAATATTGTAAATATTGATCATTTACCTCTCCATCTTTTAATAAACTAAATAGAAAATTAAAATTAATAAATATTTAAATATATATTTGTTTTTTCTTTTCTTTTTTCTTACTGAACAATATCATCAGGTAAAGTAATTTCATCAATAACTTTGTTTAACTTTTCAACCAAACTTTTACGATTTGAACATTTAACATTTTTGTCTATTGATTTATCTTGTAATACACGCATTTCCTTTGAAATGTTTGATAGTTCTTGTTGATTTTTAATTAACATTTCTTCAAATCCACTCAATATATTTCTACTTTCTTTTAATGTTTGATACATTAATGCAAATGATTCTCTTTCATTTACATCTATTAGAAAATAAAAGTGTTAAACATTGATCTTTGTCATATATATCTTTTCTTTTCTTTTTCTATCTACTTGTACATACAATCAGGAATAATATCTTGATATAATTGTTTCATTTCTTTATCATATTTTACGAGAGCAGTTTCAACTTGATGAGAATATTCATTTAGATCAATTCCTTTTTTAAAGCAATTAGTTAGAATCTTTTCTTGTTGAGAATATTGTTCCAATAGTTGTTCCAGATTTTCAACACCATCAAACAAATGATCAATGGTTGTATAATCCAAATCAAATTTAAACTCTAAATCATCTTCTTCATCTTCATCTTCTTCTTCATCAATTAAATGATTTGGTGTTTGTATCATTGATGATTCAATTGATAATGATAATGGTGTAAATATTTCATTTGGATGTTTTTGTTGAAGACTCTGATGATGAGTATTATTATTCTTATTATTATTATTATTATTGTTGATAGTTTGATTACTACTACTATTTTGATCTAACTGTGACATTTGATTTAGTAGGTACTAGGTGGTACCTTGTTGTTGTTGTTGTTGTTGAACTGCACCTTGTCTCAGCCTCTTAACGATCTTTTAACGGTAAAACAATGATTTTTAAAAAATATTAAAAAAAATACTTTGGCGTTGCAAACAACACACACCCAATGACAATCAATTTCGTTTATACCCCTGCTCTCTTTTGTTGCTACTGTGAGTGTCTCTCTTTCTCCCTCTCTCCTATTATTATTTATTGTCTAGACTTTATATCTATCATACAATGATATAAATATATTTATATCATATTTATAATAGTATAAGAATGTATTTAAATAGAATCGGTTCATTTTGTATCAATAGTAGTAAAAGATTAAACTTTTCAACTGGAACCATAACTTCATCTACTACTACCTCTGCAACAACAAGTTCGGGTTCTCCTTTTTTTATCATTCCACCATCTTCCTCTTCTACTTCTTCTACTTCATCTACTTCATCCCCTCCATCTGAATTTAGAAAGATAACAAACCCACTTAAATCAAGATTAAATGCATCAACTATTGTTATGCAACCTACAACATCATTGATATTTCCAATGTTGTTTAAACACTTATCACCACAATTGGAACGAGTTGGTAATCCCTACAAGATATTGGATTTGACAGCAGATGAAAAATACTATTTCAACTTGTTTAGAGATGTATTGATCTATTTCAAAAGACAAGACGTTCAACTACGGGTTGCTGGTGGATGGGTTAGAAACAAATTATTGGGTATTCAAGGTGGAACAGATATTGATATTGCAATTGATAATCTAACTGGTCATGAATTTGTTCAAATGATTCAAAAATATTATTCTATAAATAATCAAATTTTATTTAGAAATTGTAACTATATATTAAATGTATTTATATCAACTATCTACTAATTTCTTTTCTTTTTAGATATAATAAAAAGTAATCCAGAAAAATCAAAACATTTAGAGACAGCATCATTGGTAATGAAAGATGGATTAACATTTGATTTTACTGGATTAAGATCAGAAGAGTATGATGAATTCTCGAGAATACCAAATATTGTAAAAGGAACATTGATATCGGATTCACATCGAAGAGATATTACAATCAATTCATTGTATTATAATCTAATGACAACGAGAGTAGAAGATTATACATTGATGGGTTTACCAGATTTGGAAAACAAAATTGTTAGAACGCCTCTATCACCAACACTTACATTGTGTGAAGATCCACTACGTGCACTTAGAGTATTACGTTTCTCGAATCGTTTTAGTTTTTCAATAGAGTCTCAACTCTATGAATCACTTTGTTCCGATAGAGTACGTGATCTCCTCGGACTAAAGGTCAGTCGTGAACGTGTACATACCGAATTTACATCAATGATGATGTCCTATAAACATGCAATCCCCTATTTCAAAACATTGGTAGATACAGGTCTCATCCACTCTATCTTTCCAACACAAGGTCTCATCACCACTCAAGATTGGTACCAATCTCTCCACTATCTGGAACAATCTCAACATGTCTCCAATATCGTCCCAGATCAATCCATTCAAGAATTTATTCTATCTTCAATCTTTTTACCTTTAAAATTAAAATATCAAAATCATCTTGATGTTTTTAAAATTCTCCTAGATTTAAAAGTAAATATATAAAACAAAAAAACAAAAGAAAACAAATAACATACACTCTAATACTTTTATTTTCCTTTTTAGTATTCAAAAAAAATATGTTTCAATGTTTCAAGTACATTATTATCATATGAAATATTAAAAGATCCAATACAATTGATAACATCAAGACCGTTGGAACATTTAATAGATGATAATCAATTGTTTGAGGGATCAGTGTTGCCATTATTAAAATGGTTGAGACATAACCAACTATGGAAGAATTCATTGTGGACAGCCCGACTCTATTTTTACGTCAACCATCATCCCGTCCTGTCTCGTGACGATCAAATTTGGATTGACGCCCAACAAATCATCGAAAAGGAAATCATGCCCATTTCAAACACCAAATTTTGTTTTGAAGCTCGAGCTGTAATGGATGCCTTGGGTATTGTAAATAGTTGTGATATAAGACCTGCCATTGACCAAATCATGGTCTACCAATGGAAAAACAAATCTACCTCTTTTTCTCTTGATCATATTGTAAAAAATCAATTTTTTAAAATCACCTAAATAAAAAGTATCAAAAAAGTAATACTACTTTTCTTTTTTCAAATATCTCAAAAGGTCTTTGTCCCTTCTGTTTTTTCATTCACAAACATGTTGAGATATTTCAAATTGATAGATTTGAGAGAGAAAGAAAACGATAAAATTAAAAAGATGAGACACCGAGAGCTCTAGAAACATGTCTTGTTCATGTTCAAGTCTAATCATGGAGGTCGTTTTATTGGATTAAAGATCTTTGACCAATCAACAAAGAGGAACATCGCAAAAACTAAAAAAACAAAAAAAAAAAAATCGATCAAAAAATGATGATGGCACCCAGTGAGTCCTCCCACTCTAATTGGAACGAATGGCACAATGACCCGAAACAGGTCTGCAACAAGGCAACCCCTGCTCGAAAAAAAATGAAACAGAATCTCACGAGCAATCAGCTCCAACAGGTGTGAAAAAAACATTAATTATAGTAGGGACAAGCCTTGGATTGCGCATACACATTTATGATTTTAACAAGTTGTCGACTAATTAGGCAACAGATATTTTGAAAAACGTTGAGACTCTGCCTATAGAAATGCATTGCTGGCAAGTCTTGAAAAATAAGCTCATTAAATGGCACACTAGACAAGACGATCCAATCAGCTTACCATCTCCTCCTCGCAAACATAAAAAAGGGGGGGGTTAGGAATGACCACGTAGATAAGAGAGGAGGCCATCTGCTTTTTAATGATGGTGATGATGATGATGTTGTTGTATTTTTTTGTTTGTTTGTTTTAATTCTTCTTTCTTGTTGGGCTGTTTTCTCTTTTGGTATCAAAGGGTTAGGGTCATCATAGGTCTTGTATGTTTATCGACTTTTTTAGATTAAAAAAAAAACAACAAATCAGAAATAGATAAAACAACTAGTAACTGCGAAGGACATCCAACCCAATACCAACACCCCCGCATTCAATCCCCTACAAGTCTTATATATTTCATTTTTTTTAAATAGATAACAGATAGATATAGATAGATAGATATAAATAGATATAAATAGAAAAGTTCAATCAAGTTCAACATATATATTTATATATTTATATATTTATAGAATAGAGACTCTGTTTTTTTTTTTTTTGATGGTCGATCTTTTTAAAAAGTTGAAATTGAAAAAGTTGAAAGGTATGAATGACTGTGATGGTGATGATTGTTTAAACTTTTTATTCTCTCTCTTATCACCCTACAAACCTCAACACACACACACACAATGTTGAGTGTTTTGTGTTTTAAAATCACAGAGTATCTAAAAATCCTAAAAATACAGTAGCGAAATCATTTCAAAATGGGGGGAAAATTGTAAAGGGTGGTAATGTGATGCATAAAAATACACAATACTAAACAGTGTATATTGGTGCTTATATTTTTGGAGAGATCAGAGTCTCAGGGCTAACCCTACCAACTGTACAGGAATGAATCCCCATTGATGCTATTCGATCTCCAGTAGTCACACACACCAACAGGATTGAATCCAACATTGTCAAAGTTGTTTAAACAGGGCAGGTAGGCAGGCAGGCAGACGATGTAATTAATTAATAGAACTAAAGCTAGCAGTACAATGGGTAACTGTCGAAACATTTCAAGTACAGTGTACAATTGTTTCGTTTAAACACACACTACTTCTTTTGTTTTTTTTTTGATTGAAAACTACTACTTTTTTTAAAAACCAATCAAATAATAATAATAATACTTTTTTATCTGTTGTAAACTGCATTGAAATTAACTCTTTAAATATATATATTCTTTTTTAGAATTTGGGCAGAGAGACAGACAAACAAACAAACGAACGACAGACAGACAGATAAGAAAAGAGATTTAGACAGATTCAACTTGGAATCATCATCATCTACATAGATAGGTATGTGTGGCATCATAAATGACGATTTAGATCTTGTGGTTCCATCATCAAAAAGACAGTTTGTACATTGAACAACCAACTTGTCTCTCTCGATTGCATTGCATCTTAATTATTATCTATCGATCAATGAACAAAACACACACATACAAACACCACCGAATCATCAATTAGATTGTGTCATCCATGCCAACTAAACCACCACCCATCCAGCCATCTACCACCACCACTACCACCACCATTTACCACTGCTACACAAAATGGATGATTTCAATTCCACTTTTCTTTTTTTTTTTTTCTAAACCAAAATAACTCCATATGTTATTTTTTTCCCACAATTCAACCGCTATCTATTGTTATTCTATATTTATCTCTATATCACATCTCATGATGAAGATGGTGAAATTCAAATCACTGGGGAGGGGGAACGGTTCCGCTTCTCCATGGCAGTCATTCAGCCAATCGTCTTCTTACCCCTTCTCTTTATTTACCTTCTTCTTCTCTTGCCATGTTGAGATATTTTCTTATCGGTAGGTGGTGTGTGAGTCAAAAGAAAGTGTTTAGCACCACCCTAACCCTAAACACCATACCTATCTTATCTATCCCCATTGTGATTAATCATATGGAGCAACAGTAGCGGGTGGGTAGGTGGCTGTCGACACCACCAACAGACATCTCACTCTTAATTAATCAATCAATCAATCAGTAGTAATAGGTACCTACTACTACTGGCAGCAGAAAGAGTGTTGTAACACTACTGTGTGCTTCTGCTACTGCTACTGCTTCTGCTGCTTGCTGGATGGCAGTGTTGCGTGACTGACACTGGTGTTGCCACTAGCACCACCACCACCATCGCAGCTTGCAACATGGAATTTTATTTTTAAAAATCGCCAAGCAATTAATTAAAAGAACTAAACTTCTTAAACACCCTACTCCTTTCATTCATCCCCTATCTCCTTCTCTTCTTGTTCCATTTATTTTTACACTCTCGAACCCAATCAATTAAATTAATCACATCCAAAATAATAATAATAATATTTATATAAATATTATAATATATTATATATAAAACGCCGCCGCGTCAATCCAATCTATCCTCTTTTTTTTAAAACCAAATCACTCAAACAAAATCAAATCAAATCACTCCTTTTAATTAATTAATTAAAAAAAAAGGATATAATAGACTTTTAGATTTTAACCAAAATTTATCATCATAAAATATTTATATAACAATCACAAATCAATCAACCAATCCAACCAACTACTACAACTACTTACTACCCCCCACACTACACACTTGTGTTCTTCTTCTTCTTTTTTTTTGTTTTAAACATTTTCAATTAACCATTGCCATTTTTAACACTCACAACACTCACACACAATCCTAAAAGTTTAAACAGCAACATCACCAAAACACACATTCCAAAAAAAAAACAAACAAATAATTATTTATTTATTTATTAATTAATCTTTTCTTTTCCTATTTATATTTATTATTATAAATAATAATAATAATCAAAACTCTTTGTAATTTTACTCGCTCTTTCTACTCTTTTCCAATCAAACATAGGCTATTTTTTTTTTTTTCCAACTATCAAAAAAAACTATATTTATTTATATAATTGTATAATATTTTCCCAATCAATAATCAATAATCAATAATAATAATAATAATGGATATTGGATTACTTTTAAATTCAAGACCGGTATTAACCGAGTCTTTGGATAAACCATCATCTCCAAGAAATAATAATAATAATCAACAGGATATCAATAATACAAACTATACTGCAATGGCATCACCAAGAAATAATTTAAAAAAGGTTAAAGTTGAAACCAATGAATCATATCAACTATCACCAAATATTCAATCGGCAAATAATAATAATAATAATAACAACAAAATATATAATCAACAACAACAACAACAACCAATACCCCTATCAACCTAATCATCATATTCCACCACAACAACAAATGACCTATAATCATCATATGAACGCTCCACATTCGGCTCCATCATCACCTCCACATCATCCAAAGCAATATGTTTTTTCCACTTATACGCCACCCCAACAATCACCCAATTCCAGAGGCTTTTCACCCCATCAACACGTCCACAACAACAACAACAACAATAATAATCCAGCCAGCACCAAACCACATTATATTCCATTGCTACAATTATCCAATCCATCCACTCCACCACCTCCAGACTACCATTCGCCACACCACATGTCCTCGCCACACAGCCATTCGCCACATCTCCTCTCGCCACATGGTCACCATTCTCCACATCATCACTCACCACATCATCACTCTCCACATGGCCATGGTACCATCCATTCTCCACATCATCAAATCCAACAACAACATTATAATAATCTTCGTCAAGCTCAGCAGCAACAGCAACAACATCAACAACAACAACAACAAATCCAGCAACAACAACAACAACATATGAATCATCATCATCATCATCATCATGATGGATCATCATCACCACCACATAGTCCAGCTTCAAATTCTTCAACTCCAACTTTTCCACCTGAACAAGGTCAACCCATGATATCACTAAACTCACCAAGAGATGAGAAGGAAAAGAAGCGCCGTACCAGACTTAAAAAGGAACAATCGACTGTTTTAAAGTCATTTTTCAATCGTGACTGTTACCCCAACAAAGAGGAAAAAGAGTCGCTGGCCAACCAACTTGGTATGACCTACACGGCCGTAACAACTTGGTTTTCCAACAAACGCCAGGAAAATCGTAGAAAATCAACCGATGGAACTGGTGGTCGCCGCGTACCAGTCCCCGAACAATTGTCTCCATCCTCTCCCAATGGTCTTCCATCGTTGAATACAAGTGGTGGCAAACTCCCAACAAAATTGGGAGATGAAAGCACTTCATTAACACCAATCATGAATAGCATGAATGTAAAGAGTAAACATCAAAATCACCATCATCACCATAACCATCATCATCAAAATCAACCTATAGAATCATTACAACTTTCAACTAGTTCACCAGTTTCTCCAAGAGAAGCAATAACAAATAATAATAATAATATTCCACCATCTGATATTCATGGACTTTCAATTCTCTCCCAAGTTGCAAAGGGTGACATTGATAGTTTTAATAGTACTCCATCATCATCACCAAGAAATCATGAATTTAATCAAAAAAGAAAAGCAACAACCAATTTAGAAATCAAACAACACAATCAAGATGATGATGAAGAAGTTGATGAAGATGATGAAGATGAAGAAGAAGAGGAATTAGAAAATATTAATAATAATCATTTAAAACAATTACAACAACAAGACAATAATAACAATAATATTAATAATGGAAAACAAAAATTTAATTATCATCAAAATACTTTTAGCTTTTTAGAAGAAGAGTTGAATAGACTTAACAAGAAATACCCTCAAACAACAAAATAAACACAATTTTATTTATTTTTGTATATTACTTTAAAATTTATACCAAATCTACTACCACTACTATTTCTTGTTGATATTTTTTTGAAGATGAAGGTCCATGTCCTCCCTTTTTCGTTCGTTTGGAAATATTTCCACTCAAATATCTTTCCCTCGACTACGTAAGCAACTTTTGTTTGGTGAATGAATAATCTCGCCCATTTATAGATGTACTCAAATCACAAATCTCTTTCTTCTTTCCAAGGGCTACTCGTCATCGTTATTTTTGTACAAGGTTATAAAACAAATAAATAATTATCCAAGATTAAAATAAATAGTTATCAATCAATTTAGTTTTGAGAGAAAAAATGTGATAGTTTGATTTATTTATTTGATATGATTTATTTTTTAATTGTTTGTTATTGTTTTTAAAAACAAAATTATTTACTATATGATAATACAAATTAATTTGAGGTTTGGGCGTTTCTTCTTTGGTCGTTATATTTCTTCATCTTTTCAGCAAAGTGACTGTGGAGATCAGATTGGTTGACTTCAGTACCAGTGATCCAAGCATCCTCGAGACAACGTTTGGCAGTGTATCTTTGCTCTGGGTCCTTGACGATAAGGTTTCTGATAAATTGTTTGGCCGATTCCGAGACGTGAGTCCATTCTGGCTCGGGGAAGTCATAGTCGGCGGTGAGGATCTTTTCAAACAATAGGTTTTGACTGGATGCATAGAAGGGTGGGAAACCACACAAAAGAATATATGTAATGACACCGATCGACCACATGTCTACGGCGTTATCATAACTGCCACCAGTCAATACTTCTGGTGCAACGTAATCTGGGGTACCACAACTTGTTTCCAAGGCTTCTCCTCCTCCAAATATCTTACTAAGACCAAAATCTGCAATCTTGATTGTCATTTCATCTCCATCTCCTGAACATAATAAATTCTCTGGCTACAAAATAAATAAATAAAAAGAATATTAATATTATATAGTAAAGTACAATATTGTTTTTTTTACATACCTTTAAATCTCTATGAGCAATACCTTGAGAATGAAGATATTCAACACCAGCACAAACTTGTCTAACAACATTACGAGCATCCTTTTCAGTAAATGAACCTCTTTCTACAATCTTGTAGAATAATTCACCTCCAGTTACCCTAAAATTTAAAAATAAATAAAAAAAAGAAATAATTAATTAATAAATCATCATCATCATCCAACATACACATATATGGGTAGTAGTAGAGTAGTAACAACATAAAGAAGTTTTGATGATACTATCTATAAACCTTTTTTCTTTTTTGTTTTTTTTTTTTTAATTATTACATACAATTCCATTACAAGAGTAAGATGAGTATCACTTTCAAAGATTTCCTTGAGAGCCAAAACATTTGGATGGTTAACCTTCTTCATGATATCGATTTCTCTACGGAGTTGTTCAATGTGTTTTTTCTTTACAAACTTCTTTTCAATGTATTTCAAAGCAACCTTTTCATTGTTTGTCTTCTTGGTACCTTCACGAACGACAGAGAATGCACCTCTACCCAATTCCTTGCTTACGAAATAAAACTCTTCTACATTTCCTTGTGTAATGTCTTCGGCTATATAGTAGTAGGTTTAAAAAGTAATTGATAAAAGTTAGATTTTCATCTGATCCATCATCCTATTTATAAAAACAAAGAAAAGAGTGATCACTATCTATATATATAGATCACATTGATTACTCTTCTTCTTACTACTATTGTTTGTTTGTTTGTTTTACATACGAGCAATCTTTTCATCATTTTTAACTTCAACCTTTGTATTGTTGTTGTCTGGTGTTGCTTGTTGAACCTTGTTGGTTGTATCGTTTGCTGGTTTTGCTTCTTTTCCACAAAGATTGCCCATGTTTAAATATTATCTATCTCTCTCTGCTGTTTTACTAGTCCTTCTACCCTCTACTACTACTATAGTTATCTTCAAAACCAAACGTTGATAAGTTACTTATTATGTTGTTATTGTTGTTTATAAGCTATTGTGAGGATTATTTTTAAAAGGGGTGATATGATTTTTTTTTGATTATTTTTATTTTTTTTTTGTTTTGTTTTCACCAACAAGTGTATGCTGAACGTCGACGAATCTGGTCAATGGTTAAAGTAAACATGGATCAATATTTGTAAACACAAAAAATACTTTTAGATATCCATCTTTTCAAAATATATATATCTTTATATACTAGTATATGGGTTACCCAAGGTTTTACACATGTTTGTTTTGGTCAAATAGATCCCCATATGGTGGATGGGTCATAGGCCCATCCAGATGATATTGATATCATTCAGAGGGGTTTGGAGCTAGATGCCAAGATGAACCATTCATTTGTTCCAGACGATTGAGTCATTCATAGATAGATCGATAGATAGATAGATAGATAGATAGAGTCATAGGTTCCATATTCTGGTGTTAATAATAATAATAATAATGATGATGATGACGATGATGATGATGATTCTATATATATATAGTGACTAATATAATTATGTTATACCTCAAACCATAAATAAAATAGACTAATATTTGATTTAAAAGACTTTCTTTGTTTCAAAGGTCAGATGCTGTAAAAATATTATTATTATTATTTAATTTAAATTGAAGCGACAAAGCATGCTTTTCTTTGGTCAAGGTCCCTTGAAAACTTCTTCTTGAAAGTTATATATATAGTTAGCAATTTAGATTAATCTCTCTCTTTTGTCTTTACAAGAATGAGTAGTCAACAACAACAACAAGATGATCAACAAATAACAACAAATAATAAAACCAACACAAATGTAACAACAGCAACAACAACATCAACATCAGAAACTATAGAAACGATTGTTGAAGATGAAAAAGAGACAACAAGGAAACAACAGATATGGTTTCATGAGATATCTGAAAAGTTACAATTACTATCTCTATCAAATGATCTACTAAAAGAGAAAAATCTAAACCTCTTACAACAACAAGATCAAACTGAATTAAAACTAGAATCTTATAAACAAGAATTGGATTCAAAAAATACATTGTAAATAGAATAGAGTGATAGATACATATAGATAGATAGATAGATATATTGTTTCTCATTGTCTTTTGTTTCTGTTTTTTTTTTAGAATTCAAGTAATGGAAAGTAAATTAAAAGAAATTAAATATAGTTGTACACAAAAGGATGATGAAGTAAAGAAACTACGATTTCAAAACGAGGAATTATTGCAATGGAAAGAAACACATAAAATTACAGAAGAGGATTATGCAAGATTAAAGAAGGTTTGAGAGTTCGCGATGCCAATATTGATTCATTGACAATACAATTGGAAATTGCAACCAATCGAGTTGGCATGCTGTCAGAAAGTTTACGAGATCTTGGTGACAGAACAAATATATTTGATCGTGATGAAAGTTTTAATATTAGTAGTGCCAGTAAACAATTGTTGGATTATCAAAAGATCCTAGCCTATCAAAAAATTAAATCTGTTGAAGAAAAATATGGTACCATTAAAAATATTAATCTAGGTTTACAAGTATGAAAAAAAGAAAAAGAATAATTTAATTATATATTATAATCTATATAAATCCATGTACTAATAATAATAATAATACTATTTAATTCTATTATTTAGAAAACAATTCAAGAATTATCTTTAGAGAATGAAAAATATAAATATTCTTTAGAGGCCTTAAAAAATCAAAATAGATAGATAAAATCACAAAACAAAAAAGACAATAGGTTGTAAATTATTATATTATATATTTGGTATTGGGTATTTTCTTTTTTTTCTTATTTATTTATTTTATTACGTATTATTTGTTATTTGTTATTTGTTTCTTTTTATCTTATTTTCTTTTTTTCTTATTTTCTTGTTTAGGTTATTGTGTATTTTTTTTTTTTAGTTTCAATGATTGATTTGGACGAATTGAAATTGGATCACTGGTAGCAACATTGAGTGAAAGAGGTGGTGGATTACTATTAGAGATGGCGAGTGGAATTGATTTTCTACGTGGGTTTTGAGAGTTTGGAGTCTTTTTGTTGGGAGAGGTAATTTCAAGTGGCAATCTTGAATTCAAGAATGAAATATCAATCTCTTTGAATTTTGGTAATGTATGTAATGACTTGTAAAGAAGATGTAATTCTTCTGTCAATGTTTCATTTCTAAAACATACTCTAATATCTGGAATATTTGTTTTCTTGATATCTATAAAAATACACACAAATAAATAATAAATTAATAAATCTTTCTATTTTCTTTTTTTTTTTTTTTTTTTCATACCATTTTTGTTTGGATTTAAGTAATCAGTACCCAACCAATGACTCTTTACATTGTGTTCAAAACCGCTTTGTAAAACACTGTTTCTAGCAATTTCACAAATATCACATGGTGAAAGATGCCAAACCTGAGTGGCAATACTGTATTCTTCCATGAGTGGTTCTTTGGTATAATGGAATTGAAGTGGATCATCAGTCGAAATGGATACATTCAAACCACGTGCAAAGAATACTGGGAATGGATTTCTATAGTATGTTAAAAACAATGAATTATTACTCAATGGTGATAAAGCAATACCAATTTGTGTTAAATAATATCTAAAAAAATAAATAAATAAATAAATAAATAAATTAGAATCATAATTAATTCTTTTTTTCTTTTTTTCTCTTTTCTATCTTACAAATATTGAAGTACAGGAGTTTTTCTTAAATTAATACCATGATTAATACCATTTGCTAAAATAAAAGCTGCACCCAAATGATCAACTTCACCAGCTTCACCTGAATGTGGTCTAAGTGAAAGTGTATCTAAAAGGAAAAAAGAAAAAATAAAATTAGTTTCTTTTCTTTCTATTTTTTTTTCCATTTTTTGTATACATACTAAAACCTTTTTCTTCTCTAAATTTATTTAGAGAATAAAGATTAGAATAGAGATAATAAAGATAATAGGTATAGGGAGGATTATGTTCAGAGGTCCATTCTTGTGGGTTGGGGAATTTTTCGGTAAATTTCTTTTCAAATTTACTTTCATCGTCGACGCAATCGATACCAACAACTTGTTGAAGGAATTTGTGAAGCTTTGGATGAGATTCTGGATCACGGGTAGCTTCGAAAAGAGGTTGGAAGATATTGGCAAGGAAGTCTTGGAAGTTGGTAGCATCGGTCGAACGATAGACATCATAGAGACGTGGGATTTGGATGAGCCAACGAACCTTGGTCGAAAAGAGTTCATTGTCAATGACCCACGATGCCAAATTGTCCCATTCGCTCATCTTTCTACCATAGATGGAAAGACGGTACTCGGCGTTTTGGTATTTGCTATTTTCGAGATCCTCCATCAATTCCTTGGTGAGTTCGGCCAAATATCTTCCCTTGATAAGATTGTCAGTCTTTAAAAAGATCTCTCTCAATCTACTCTGTCCACATGGGTTGTATTTGAGATTGAATCTATCGAATCGGTGGAATGTATTATTGTCGGCATGTACATCCAAAGTATCAACACTAAGATCATCAACATTTAAATTTAAACTTTTAAATACTTCTGATAATGTTAAATATTTATCATCTCTAAATATTACTACTTCCTAAAGAATAAAGTAAATTAATATATATTGATCTATCTATCTATATTTGTTTATATTTCTATATTTTCTTACATTTGGACATTCTTTTAACTTTCTTTTAATAAATTTTAAAAGATGTTTTTGATTCATAGATGATGAATGGTGAACGTGGGTATCAACCTTTCTGACATTGTAAAAGTCACGATGTGGAACACTCTTTTGATGAGCCAATTCAACAGAATCATTCAAGAGAATGTGCATATTGTACTTTGATTCGAGAAGACGGAGACGCTTAAAACAAAATGTTTTGGCTGGACCATAGGAACAGAAACGCATAATGTTGTTGAGTTCCTTGTAGTAGGCGTTGAGTGTAATGGGAACAGTAAACGATGCTCTTTCCTCGACACGATCCTTTTCAGTACGATAGACCAAATAGGTTCCATTGACTGCCTTGAAAGTGTGTTCAGATGCAGTCTCTGGCTCAGTGTGGAATGGATTGTAAGGTGGTTTGTCACTTGGCAATGCATCGGGTCTCCACAACTTTGGATGATAAACTAATTTATCTCTCAAATTGATAGACTTTAATAATTCTTCACAAACTTCTGCATATTCTTCAATTTCCTTTTCATCTAGAAAAAATAAAAAGATAATTATTATTAGAGATCAAGTAGTACTACTAATTATATTATATCTGTATAATACACACTTTCATTTGTTAAAATGATTCTTTGAAAGATATGAGTTTGATCTTGTCTAGCCATATTAAATGTAAATGAATTTACTCTTGATTGATCCTATATAGAAAAGATAGTAGAAATGTAATTGAAATGGTTGGTTAGTTGTACTTTTATTCAATCTCTTATATCTATCTCTGTCTGTATGTCTGTCTTTCTTGTCGCTAATCTTACATCTTCCATATAATTTCTATAGGTAAAGTGACTTTCATGGTGTTCATTATCACCATCATCGTGTTCTTCATTGTCAAAGTATTCTGGTGTATAGAATGAAACCTTTGGTGATGATCCTCTTAATGGTGTAGACATTTTTGTTTCTTCTCTTCTTCTAATCAAATTTCAACACACAATAGTAGTAGTAGTAGTAGTATCAAAGTAGATTAGATTTGTAGTAGTAGTAGTAGTAGTAATAGTAATGGTAATAGATTGTTGTTTTAAATTGATTTGATTCAACCCTTATGTTCCGTCTGTTTTTTTTATATGTTTTTTAAAAAACCAACAAAATTAGTTAAGTTGATAAAAAAACGATCGGATCGATATGATAGGTACTTTTAGTTTTTTTTTTTTTTTTGTTTGTGATTGGGTAGGGGGAAGGAAAGGAAGTGATAAGATTATTTAAAGTCCTTTAAATTAAACAAAGGTCCTTTACGTTTTTTATTTTTATATTTTTTTTAAATTAAATAATAAAAATTTTATCTATCTCTTTTTTTTCTTTCTCTCTCTCTTTATCTCTTTATATGTATGTATATATTTATCTTCTATTTTAATAATAATGGTGGTGTGATTCGACGCATTGGAGTTGTACCACTTCGCAACCAGCTCCAACTTGAAAAAAAATCTAAAAAAAATAAAATTTAATCACATGACACGATGAGATGATCAGGCTTTGAGACCACTCCCTCCATCTTTGAATAATAATAAACTTAATTACGTGTTGTTTGTTCATTTTTCAAGAAACGAGGAAGAATACTTTTTTACTTTGTACAAAATACAAAAGACAATACTTTCTAGAATAATTATTATGTTTTTTATTTGTTTGTTTTTTATTTATTGTTTTTTATTATTGTAGATGAATGTAATAACTAGTACACATTATTATTATTAAAACATGTATGTATGGATGTATGTGATCATTTGAATTAGACATGTTTAATAGGTTTGCATATCACCCTTGAAAGAGGTAAAGTCAAATGGAACGTAACCTGGTTTATCGATGACATCGAATCTTTCTTGCAACAATACTCTGAATATGAAAGCAGCCAAGACACCTCCGATGAGTGGACCGGCCCAGTAGATCCAGGCGTTGGCCCAGGTACCAGAGATGATGGATGGACCCAAGGTTCTAACTGGGTTGAGTGAACCACCAGTGAATGGATTGGCAACTGCAACACCTGCAAACAAAGTCATACCAATTGCAAATGGTGCCTAAAAGAAATAGAAATAGAAATAGAAATAGAAAGTAAAAGAAAGATGGGTCAATATATATATATAGATAGATCTTATATATATGGTTATATTTATGATTACATACAATTCTATTTAATCTACGATCCCAAACATTGAATACAGATGTACCGAGTACAACAAGACACAAGAGACAAGTGGTGAATAATTCCATGAGGAAACCGTTACCGGCTGGAATACCGTCTCCGAGACGAGTGTTACCTAGACGCATTTGGTATCTCCATTCAATGCAGGCGTAGAGGATACCTGCACCGGCAATACATCCAATTACTTGACCGATAATGTAGGCAAGAGCATTGATGAAACCGGTTCTGCCCGACAAAAGATTGGCAACGGTGATGGCGGGGTTCAAGTTGCAACCAGATACACCAGAGATGGCATAGATGATAGCAGCCAAGGCAAAACCTTGGATGGTGGCAATGAGGAGGATTCTGGCAGCGGGATCACCATCTGGGAAGTAAAAGGCTGCAGTGACAGAACCACCACAAAAGAATACAAGGAACAGAGTGCCAATAAGCTCGGCAAGCAAACCCTTTACAATTTTGGTTGGGAATGTCTTTTGTGGCACTCTAACCTTCATCTTTGATGGATCCCTTACAGGATCATATGTTAAAAACCGTAGGAATGCCATGGTTGTTGAAAGTTATTAATAATTAGCTTAGTTGTTGATACGACTACGATGACAGTTATGTAAAATATTATTCCAAATAATATCTCTATATATATATATATATTACTAAGTATTGTAGATATAAAAAAAATAGGAAAAGAGATATATAAATATAAACTAAATAATAATAATAATTAACAATAGATGTATCGAATGGAATGGAATAGATTGTGGAGTCGATTGTTAATAACAATAACAATAGTCTATCTATCTAGTGTGGACTACGACAATCGCCGTAGTGGTGGAGGTGGTGAGTGGTAGGGGGAGTAGGGTGGTGGTCTACCACAACAATGACAAACAATCGTATATACACACTCACACACCATCTCTCTCTCTCTAGAGACTATTATATGGTGTGAACATCTTATGCTCTAAATCGTAGAGAATAGAAATTAAATAATTTTCTAAATCAATTTATTCGGAAGTTGGTAAATGATACGATCGAGTATATATCATATCATACTACCTTTTTTTTTGTAAAGAGTAGAGTAGGGTGGTTGGTTTTGGAAAATAAATAAATTTTCCAACCAGAAAATCCCACTACCAAAAAAACAAACAAAAGATCCTACTCTTTTGTAAACATTTCAATGATGATTAGAATAAAAATCTATCTTTATCAATCTAATCATATTTGAATTTTATATTTGATGCTTAATTTTTTGTTGAATTAATAAATTAACTTTTAAATGTTCATATCCAACCAAACTTGCAAAGTGTCCGACCACACATATTAATATTATAATTTATCTTTTACATAATATGTGTAATATTATTATTATTATTATTATGTTAGAACAATAACAATAATGTCTCAAGACCTCACAAAAGATCAGGTAAAGAGCTACTTTACTACGATTAAAGTAGAGGAGGCACTTGCTGAAGCTATCACCAACCTTCTTATTAAAGAAGACATGAATACAAGAGATAAGATTTTTTATGCTTTCTTTGAAGACAAGGAAATGAAAGAAAAGTACAACGTTGATAAAGCCATCACTGATGGAAAGCTTATCAATCTAAAGAAATTACTACAATCAGAAGAACGTAAGTAGAGAGGAAGTAGTAAATAATCTCTCACAATCAAATTCTAATCATTTGTCTTTTTATTTCTCACAACAAATTTGTTTCTTTATTGGTAGAACCACAATGTATGTATTCAAACATAGTCTAAAACAACACAATAGATCATATACTCACTCAAATAATTTAAAGGGTCTTATGTACTTGAACACTTATGCAAAACCTATAGATATCCTAAATCTAAAACAAATTTTGTAGTTATCTCCTGTGTTTAATATTTTTCGATGTTGGTATTTTTGCTTAGCCCCAAACCATTCCTTAGCTCACTTATAGTTTTACACCATTTGTTGGAAGATCAAATGAAGTTACTAAAATCATTGGTACCATTGTAAATCGTTACAAGGTGGCAGATTCTAGTTTAAAATCTGATCAAAATATTGTTGTGGTGGCAGGTCCACCTGGTATTGGAAAAAGTCGTTTACTTCAAGAACTACCCCGTTATTTGGATGCCGTTGATGAGTCTTGTTTGCCAAAATCCAAAGTCAATATTTCCATTACATTGGGAAATGGCTCACCTTTGCAACATCAATCCGAGACACCTCAATCAGCCATTGCCACTAGAATGTTGCACCACTACTTTGCAAGTGGTCACGGTGTAGGGTTTCCATTCTTTGTAGAGAATCTAAGCAAGATCATTCCACTAGGTGATGTCACACCAAATTTGGCACTTTCCATCATCATCAATCATTGTCGAAAAACTATTGGAAATCAAGATTTAATGATTACCATTTCATTGGATGAATTCCAAAAGGCTTTGACCGAGGTTGGTGATGATAGCGCTAGAAGATTATTCCTCAAACATATGATATTAGAGTTGGTTGGATTATGTCTGGAAATGATCAACGTCAAGGACCCAACAAACGGCCAGCTCATCGACAAGACATTTGTTTTTCCTCTTACTGCTGGAACCATTCTAGATCCAATCGATCAGATCATCAGCCGTGATTCTGCTCTTCCATACACACATGTTTCACTGCCTCTGTTGTCAAAGAGGGAATCTCACTCTATTCTAGCCGACTTTATTTCCAAATCAAACTTGGCTGGCCAAACAATACCGACGTCATTGATTTTAGCACTCGATTCTACGGGCGGCTGGCCAAGACCCATCGAATTGTTTCTAAAATCTTTGCTGTCTGATCAATCTCTTATCAGCCGACCAAACGTTACACATCAACTACTTCCAAACATTTATCAAACCACCGTTCGTCAACTATTTGAATCAATTGTCGCTCTCCTCCGATCTACATACCCGTTACTCGCTCCTATCAACCATACTTTCTCCATCTATTGGCATTTGCAATCACGGAGCATCCCATCTCAAACATGCTCTCACCAACAGATGGTGCACCTGCATTTACCCAATTACAAAATGATGGAATCATATTTTTGGAAGATCAGATTGTGAGAATGCCATTTATCTTTATATTTGCATACTCGTTATCTTTTTGTACAACGGGTATCGTAGATCTAGCAAATTATATTATTGACACTCCATCACCTGAACATTGGGAGCATTTTGTTGCAAAGTACGATCTCGTTAGATGCCAATGTTATTCCATTCTTGGTATTCAACCATCGATTGGAGAGTTTTATAGAAATGCTTACTTTTCACATTTTGACATGCAGTTTTGTCAGATGAATTGTCTCAATGGTAAATATTATTATTGCTAGCAAAAAATATCCCTATTCATTAACTAATTTATAATAACTCAATACTCTTATTTCAAAGGTGGATTTCATTATTTAGCACCTCAAAGATTTCCAGAGAACTCAAGTCAAGACCAAAAAACAGTGATCAAAGGTCTACTTGAAACTGGATCGGTTCTATCTAATCCAAGTGGATCTCACTGTGACTTTATACTACGCAGACAGATCAAGATTGGTAATGATTGGCGTTGGACATGGATTTTTGGTGATGCCAAATTCACACGTCAAAACAAAACTCTGGACTTTAATGCTGATGTTCTACCTTCGATTGGCAAAGGATTCTTCAATCAAACAGATTTGGATGGTATTGATGATTGGATAGTCCTTTTCCCAACAAACAGAAAGTTAACAAAAGGTATCGAAGAAATTACAAATGGTCAATACGGAAAAGTTATCATTGTAGCAGATGGATTTCTAGATTATATCTCAAAGCCATTTAGATTCTTCCTTGAATCACCTTCACTAGAGCAAGCTTAATTAGCAGTAGTAGTTAAACCAAACCCCCCCCCCCCCCCCTTTTGTATATTAAATATTAAATATTTACAATCATTCACATTTCTTTTTATTGAATCACAAATAATAATAATAATAATAATAATATTTGTTATAAATAAACCTTTTTGTATTTACATTTCCATTTATCTATATTTCTAGTTCTAGCTCAAAAAAAACATATCACCAAATGGTTCTGTCGGGATGATCCTGGTTTTCAGACCTCCCCCTCCTCACAAAAACAAAAATAATTCAAAAAAAACGAGCTTCTTGAATCCCCCTTAAACACCACCAAAGGTCCACACTCACACCATTATTATTATTATTATTATCTGCACACACAAATAGCAATAGATAGATAAGATATATTTCTATTTATTTATTTATTGTCTAAACCTTTATTTCTATTTCTACTAGTAATAAAGAGAATCATCTTTTTTTTTATTCGTTCAACTCATCACCCCCCCCTCTTTCACACAGAAAAGAAGAGAGAGAGAAAAAGAAATTAATCTTTTTTTTTACATTTTTGTAATAATACTACCTACTACTACGATTTACTATTCATCAACATATTTATAATCAGAATCAAATCATCAAAGAGATAGAGAACATACATATAAATAACTTTTAATCATAAATCAAAAAATGGACAGTGATCATTTAAAAAATACTAGAGAATGGATTCATCAATCTGTTAAAAATGATAATGGTAAGAATAGATAAAGATAGATAGATAGATAGATAAGATAGATAACAAAGAAAAGAATAACCTTCTATAATATAAATATAAATATAAATATAAATATAAATATAAATATAAATATAAATATAAATATAAATATAAATATATAACCTTCTATATAAATATATATATATATATAACCCTCAGATGATTAATCTCTTTTCTCTTACTCTCTCTATTATCTTTTTATTATTTTTAGATGCAGTATTAAATGTATCAACAAATGATAGATCACCATACTTTTTATCACCACAAGAAGAAGATGATCATTTAGATTTATTGACAAAGGAGGAACTAGCCAATCCCAAGCAATTGGCCAAAGCAGTTTCACTTCGAATTCCAAGATACGTACCCATTCTCAAATGGATTAAATCATATAACAAACAAGATGCGATTGGAGATATCTTGTCTGCCATTACAGTCGCTATTATGCTTGTTCCTCAGGGTTTGGCTTATGCCATTCTCGCTGGTCTACCTCCCATCTATGGTCTTTATTCTGGTTGGTTACCTCTTGTTATTTATTCATTTATGGGTTCTTGCAAGTAAATATATAGATAAATAGATAAATAGAAAAGATAGATACTAATTTATTTATTTCTTTCTTTTTCTACTTCTTTTTCTACTTTTTAGACAACTTGCAGTTGGACCAGAAGCATTATTATCAGTTTTATTAGGATCTATTTTAGCAGGATTTCCAGATAGTGAAGTTGTAGAGGTATCACATGCATTGGCATTTTTGGTTGGTATTATTAGTTTCCTGTTTGGTATTTTCCAATTTGGTTTTTTGGGCTCGATTATTTCGCGTTGGGTATTGAGTGGATTCATCAATGCCGTCGCCTTGATCATTGCCATTTCACAGTTGGATGCGATTATTGGCGTCAAGTTTCATGGACACATGGGTCCATACGAAAAGTTTTATTTTGCCATCACACACATTGGTGATGCCAACGTCAGGACGATCGTCTTGTCGGTATGTTGTGTATTCTTTTTGTTTGCAATGCGTTTTGTCAAGCAAGGTCTCGTCAAGAAGGGATTTATCAATGCCAAGTACATCCCCGAGATTATGTTGTGTGTGGTTGGGTCGATCCTCATCACCTTCTTTTTCGGACTCGATGAAGGCGAGAAGGGTGTCCTCATCGTCGGTCCAATGGACGGCGGCTTCCCCGTCCCCCGATTCCCACGTCTCCAATTTGACGAGTTGCAAAAACTCCTACCACAAGCATTCTTGATGGTGGTGGTTGGTTTTGTCGAAGCAACTGCCGTCTCCAAGTCATTGGCCACCAAGCACAACTACTCGATCTCTTCGAATCGTGAGTTGGTCGCTTTTGGCACGTGCAACATCCTCGGTTCCATCTTTAGATGTTATCCCGTCTTTTCGTCAATTCCACGTACTTCGATTCAGGATATGGCCGGCTCGCGTACTTGTCTCTCTGGTTTCTTGACATCCAACATTTTGCTCTTTACCTGTCTCTTTTTGACACGTCTCTTTACCTATCTACCCATTTGCACGATGGCTGCCATCATCTTTGTCGCTGCGATTGGCTTGCTCGAGTTGCACGAAGTTGTGTTCCTCTGGAAGACACGTTCGTGGTACGATCTCATCCAATTCATGATTGCGCTGCTCTCGACATTCATCCTCGAGGTCGAGCTCGGCATCCTCATCTCGGTCGGTATGTGTATCTTCCTCGTGCTCAAGCACTCGTCCTCACCACACGTCTACTCGGTGTTGGGTCGTGTGCCCGGCACCAACCGCTTCAAAGACGTGTCCAAGTTCCCCGAGGCCGAGCCCATCGAAGGTATCCTCCTCGTACGTGTCGACGAAGTACTCTACTTTGCCAACATTGGCCAGTTCAAGCAGCTCTTGTCCGAGATTGAGCGCATGATGGATAAGGCCGGCTCCGAGTCTGGTAACGGCTCCGTCCCCCTCCAGTCAATCATCATCAACGTCTGCAACATCCCCGTCGTCGACGCCTCTGCACTACTCACCCTCCAAGAAATGGTAGAAGCCTACCACAAGCGTAACGTCAAGGTGGCATTTGTACAAGTAAGCGAAAAGATCAAAGAGTCATTCAAAAAGAGCGGTCTCTACGACATTATCACCCCCCAGTTCATCTTTGACTCCAACTTTGAGGCTGTCACCTTCCTCGAGCAACACATCGAGGCCAAGCTTCCCGAGAACCAGTCGTCTGTAGATGGCGCACCCACTAAAAATCATTTCGAAGACGATGAAGATTACAATGATCAAGGTGCCATCATCTCTGATGGTCTAAGAATGGATGATTATTCTGATCCAGATTCTGATGATTTCATTTCAAAATAATAGAAAATAATAGAAATTATAATTAATTAATTAATTAATAATAATAATAATAATATAATATAATATAATAAACCCCAAACCCAAAAACCCCCCTATCATTATACGTAATAATAAAAAAAAAAACAAAACAAAACAAAACAAAAACTATTTATTTAAAAAATACAATCAAATCAAATCAAATCAAAATGGTAGGGATTCACACAATGTTGGTAGTTATTAACAGTTTTTAAAAGATCTTAGAAATCTTTACAATAAAAACCGTTGGCAATGAAAAGAAGGATAAAGATTGAAATTTCGGTCGTCACGCAACTCAGCAGCTTGTTTCAAGGCTTATTTTGGGAAAAGATATCTTTTGAATGAAAAGGTGTGTGAGGTGGGCAAAGATCGAAAAAGAGCCACACAAGGCTCTTTCCGACGACCCTTTCTAAAAACAGTTGAAAAAATCTATCCTCATCAGTTTGTTGTTTTTGGGTGAGGGGTCGCCAATTTATTTTTTATTCTTTTTTTATCACCTTTCTCCTTTACTTTACTTTACTACCAACAGAGAGAGAAAAGAGATAAAGAAGAAGAAGAATAGATAAGGATTAGTTAGTTATTAGTTTTATTTGTAGGTATATATAATATATATATATGTTAGACCAAGATCATCCATCACCACATAATCGATTAGATTAGACTTTCATCTAGATATTTCTTCACGTGACAAGAGTTTGATTGCAATGAAAATTGACCAAATTTATCAGCAAAAGAGAGAGAGAAAGAGAGAGTATCATCGATGATCACATAAATAGTAACAGAATAATAAGAAGATATTACCCTCCCTTCATATACTACTACTACTTCATATATAATCTCACGTCAACACTATAATTACTGCTACTACTATAATAATCAAATCATCGATCCAATTTTGTATAACCAATAAGTACTATTACCATTACTACTGGTTGTATCGCCATCGCTATCTCTATTTTTATCGTCGTCGACTAGATAGATAGATATGAGGGATGGATATTATTTCAATGTATTTCCCCATAATCCATAATCCATCTGACAACCCATAAAATCAAACAAACACCACACCCAACCACCACACCACCACCATTGTCAATTTCGATGTCTTTCTACATACATATAATTGTGTTGATGTAATCTTGATCCCCAACCACACCAATATATGTTTTAGACTACTGACAGACTGCCTGCTAATGATAGCTAACAAATGGTTACCAAATTTAAATTAATAATGTGCCCAAAAACAAAAATATACATTGTTAATTAATTACTAGTTGTTATTGTTATTGAACTCCATTAAACATAGTTATCATCAATCATACATATTTTTAGTTCGTCTATACATATATATTATTCATTCCATTACTACACTCATTTATTCCTATTCCATTCATTTTGTGGAGTATATCATATTATGAAAATATATACATAACCTTGTGGTAGGTAGTTCAGGCCGATCAAAGGCAACCAATCCAAATATTTCCCACTTTCACCTATCCCAACCATCCAAACCAAACCAAACCAATCCAAAGTTAAAACTTTCCAATCACCTAAAAACCCCATGCGCAAACAATTCAGACGATAACCAATCGATCGAATTGTTCATCAAATTTCCCAAAGCGCTTTGGATGATTGGGATTAATTCCAAAATGTGACGGTCAACCATCCATCCATCCATCAAGCAGCAAGTAACAGCAACAAAAATGTGTAACAACACAAACCACAACAAGTATTTGTTGGTTTAATTGATTGTTAACAACAACCATCAAACAAACAAACACACATCAAACACATTGATAACCCTAGGGGACTATTCGTAAAGAAAAGTAATATGTTTTTATATTATATATTGATTGTTGGATGGATAGATGGATGGATGGATTGATTGATTGAAGAGTTTAAATTTAGATGACACAATTAATATATAAATATATATATAGAGTTAACAGATTGCCAGAAAACAAATAACAACAAGTCAGTAACTAACAAAACATTTTATTATTGACATCATCTATTATACACATACACAAACACATACACACACACACACAACTACGACTATAATAGGTATTAGTATATTTCCATCTGTCCATCTTTTTTTTCTTTTTTTAATCAATCAGTAAGTAAATAAATATATTTAACAGACAGAAGCGGGTTTAGTAACACGCACCACACACCAACACCAACACCACCTTCACAGACACACACACCAACCCAAAGATAGAAGAGGAGGAGGAGGGAGATGGACGGATCATTGACCAACCAAAAAAAAATCGACCGGTTGTTGTGAAATGAATAAAACTCCATTTAATCTCCCTCTCTCTACAAAAGTAATAATCTCTAGAGTTATTCGATCAATTATCATAATCAATCATAAAAAAAACTTTCAAACAATATTGGCAGTTTTTAAATAACAACGCGTTAAAAGGAAAAAGAGGGAGAATGAGTGAAACAGAGAGATATGATCAAATCATCCTATTGTTTTTTTTTTAACCCTTCACAACACCGATGAACAATAACAAACAACAACAATAACCATAATAATAGTAATAATAATTAATCAGGTCAGGTGATCCCATTACAACTAATTGATTGTTTAGTAGTAGTGAACAAACTAGTACTAATACTAGTAATAATAATAATAACATCCATCCAATCCATCCATCAACTTGATTAATCAAAAAAAAAAAAACAATCAAGAAAGAACAAATAATAATAATAATAATTATAATAAGAGAGGATAAAAATAGTTAATAGATATAGAAATTGGGGTTGTTAGATCTAATATTAATAATAATAATAATAGATAGATTGTAACACATTGTAAATTATATTTATTTATTTACATTTTTTTTTTTAAAAATAGATATTATTATCTTATCTATCTCTATATCTATATATATCTTTGTAAAAAAATGGGAGCATGTTCATCAAAACAACAAAAAAAGCCAAATAATAATAATAATAGTACAAGTAGTTTGGGATCGGTGGGAGGAGCCAATATATCACAACAGGCGTTGGAAAATCAAAAACGTCATGAACTGGAACACAAGAATAATTTGCATCAGGTAGCCATCAATTGGCGAAACAACACGATTGGCATATGGAACCGTACACACGACAAATTGGCGATTCACACTGATATCCCACGTCTGGGACACAAGATTGATATCATTGACAAACTGGACCGTCTCAACAACATATCCTTCACATCCGTGTCGATGGGCGCCAGTCAATCCAACATGAGCGACTCGCCAACCTATGTCAGCACCAACGACATTACAATTGCTGCAAAGGTTCATAGTGAAAATAGTAACATCAATGGAAATGGTGCAAGTAGTGATGATCTCTCCTCTCAACAACAACAACAACAACAACTATCCAACGGTGAGACATCCAACAACAACTTTACAGATTCAACAACAATGACAGCAGGAGGAAGTTTTGTTACAGCACAAGTCCTTAAAAAAGAAGAGGTTGTTTTACAGGTCATGTTGGCATTGGCCAGATTGCTCGATGGCACAGACAAGGAGGCACAGATACGCAACCAATTCCACAACTATATCAAGGGTGCTGGTGACATGTCACAGCAACTGTTACAGTTTTTGGAGCATGTTGTTGGCGAGGAGTCTCGTATGATGCAACTGCTCAAGGTCTGTCACCAAAAGATTATCCTTCCAGCATACTATTTCATCAAGGCCAACCTCTTTGAGGAGCTGCCATTCCGTGACAAGCGTGGCTCATGGAGACTCAAGATCACGTTTGAAGAGGATGGCACCGTCTCTGCTGTACATTCCAAACGACAACAATCCACTGCCGGATCAGAAAATGACCCTGAATTCGAATTTGAATGGTGTTTAACCGCCATCTATGACAAAGAAATGAATATTACTAACCTCAAGATCGACGTTGTCGACCTCATCATATCCAAAAACATTAACGAATCGAAAAAACAAGAAATACAACAAGCCTTCTCAACACTTCAATTGGCAACAACCACTTCAAATAGTAGTAGTGATTGTTTTAAATTGGTTTCAAATCCTCCTCCTCTAAATAAATTTGTTGAATCTTAAAAGAAAAGAGAATGAAAAAAAAAAAAAGTAAAAGATCTATCTCTCTGTTCTTATTTATATATATACATTTAAAATATTTATTATTTCCACTACTATCTATCTATCTATGTTCATAGTTATTTGTTTTATGATGATTCGGTAGTTGTGGTCGATGTAGTCGATGTAGTAGTAGTCGATGTTGTAGATGTTTCCTCTACTTTTTCTTCTTCTTCTTCTTTTACTTGTTCTTCTTTTTCCTTTTCCTTTTCTTTTTCTTGATCCTTTTCCTTTTCCTTTTCTATTATGATATTATCATTTTGTTGTATTCTATTGGTAGATAACGATTCAATAGAAGAGGTAGTAGTTGTAACGATTGGAGTGGTAGTAGATACATTATTTGATGGTTTGGTAGGAGTTTTACTCTTGAATAGCAGAGCCAAACGATCACCAACAGATTGTTGTTTTTGTTGTTGTTGCTGTTGTTGTTGAGCAACCGATGTAGATAGTTTATCAAGACGAGTCATAATCAAACTCAATTTACTATTGATTGCCAACAATCTACCTCTTGCATTTAATAACTTTTGAATATGTGGATTCAATGTTGGTACTTGTGTTAGACTATTAAAGTTTTCCAATTCTATATATATATATATATAGAAAACAAAACAAATTGATTAACAACGCATTGAATAACATTATAATGATATCGTATGTTGATTATAATACTATTATAGTACTATACCTACCATTTGATAAAGTATCTATTTGCTCGGATAGATTCTTTTGTGATTGATATACTTCTTGAATCTTTGCATCGCATTCCTTTACAACAGGTGCAAGTAATGAATATAAACCATTACCAAGTATAACGCGTGGATCTATTTGTTGTGGTGGTTGTTGTGAAGTAGTAGTAGTAGTTGGTATTTCAGCTGTAGTTGTTGACATTCTTGTATTACAATCGATAATAATTATCTCTAAGCAACAAGACAATGAAAATCATAAAGTTTCAAAGATTTTTTTAAACTATAAATGAAATTCATTTTCCTTCCATTTAATTATTACATGATTTATTCAAGTTGTTGATTACAACAACAAACAACAATAACAATAACAACAAAAATATACATCACATTTAGATCAAAAATTTGCGAGAGAAGAATGTATGCTAATTAGATCGATCTTTTGAAAAGAGAGAGTCGTATCGTAAATAAATGTGTTGTGTGTTATACTAGTGCTAACTTTGGTTTTATATAACCACAGTTTAATATGTGTATCATCACTCTTTTTATATTATTTGTTGTTTTTTAAAACTTTTGGATCATCCATCATCCATCCAATTAATTAATTAATTTAAAATGACACGCGCAAATTTGTTATTTCTCTTTTGAACGAAACATTCCTTTTGTTTTGCCAAAAATCTCAAAAGAATATTTTCTATTTTTTTTTATATTTTTTTACTTTACTTGTAGAACATTCTTTTCATTTTATCTTTTAGTTTTTAGTGTAGAGAATAATAATAATAATATAATTACAAAGTACTAAACAGAAAAAAACAATGAACAGAGTTGGTAGAATATTATTATCAAATTCAGCTAGAATCGGGTCATCATCTGCTGCTGGTTTCGTCGGCAGAAGTACCACCTCCACCTTTACTCCATCTTCCTCTTCTTCTTCCTCTTCTTCTTCTACTTCTTTATTATTATCAAATTTCAAGGTAGAACAAAAGAGATATTATCATGAACGTGTATTGGATCATTACAATAACCCACGTAACATTGGTTCGTTTGACAAGAATCTACCAGACGTTGGAACTGCTACAGTCGGTGCCCCAGCTTGTGGTGATGTTATGAAGATTCAAATCAAGGTAAAGGAGAACATTATCGTCGATGTTTGCTTCAAGACCTTTGGTTGTGGTTCTGCTATTGCTTCGAGTTCACTCGCCACCGAGTGGGTCAAGGGCAAGACACTTGACCAATGCCTCGAAATCAGAAACACAGATATTGCCAAGCATCTCTCCCTCCCACCCGTCAAGATGCATTGCTCTATGCTTGCTGAACAAGCCATCAAGCGTGCCATCTATGACTACAAGGTCAAGTTGGAAAAGCAACAAGCCAATGGAGAAGGTATTCCAAAGGAAAAGGTTATTGAAACGACACTCTAAAACAATAACAAGTTAAACTCTTATCTTTTTTGTTTCTAATTTATTCAAACCTTAAACAAAGTTGTGTATCGAAAGAAAGAAATATATATAACAACTCAACAAACCAACCAACCTCAACAACCAAACCAACCTCAACAACAAAGATAATTAATGTTTTAAGCAATAATTATTTTTTTTCAACTAAACCAAAACCATCCATCCATCCAACCATCCAACCATAACCAACTAAAACAACAATAACAACAACGCCTGCTGGATTTTATTAAACTAGACGATTCCATATAATAATTAATCGCTAGTAGTATTTTTTTTTTTATTATTATTTTTTAATCAACAACAACAACAACAACAACAAATAACATTCAAGTAGAATCTTTGTACAGTAGACTTATTCTTCTTCCTTTGATTAAAAATTAAAATAAACTTTTATAATTCTTTTTTTTTTTTATAAACAAGTAAAAGTGATCCGTCGTCATTCGTGTGTGGATCGTGATCTTCAACTTTTAAATTAATCTTATCTTCAACTTTGCATCATTGAACATGTTGAGACAACAATTAAGATTATTTCAAAGGATTGGATCTTATTCATCGTCTTCTTCTTCTTATCGTTCGATATCATCATCTTTGTCATCATTCAACTACTATCAGACAAATGAAAATATAACAACATATCGATATTACACTGCTAATACTAGCGGTCAAGAAGATAAACTACGAATAAAAGATGAACAAATAAAAGAGGATGGACAACAACAAAAGGAGGAAGATAAACAACAACAACAAAAAAATAAAGAGGAAATAGAACAAGAAGAATATTTAGGTCCAATGAAGATTTTAATGCAAGGAAGTTTAGCTTTAATACAAGCACTTGGACTAGCTTATTTAATACATAAATATGTAGTTAGAAGAACTTATGTACGTAACATATAGACGGAAAGATTGATCAAAAGACTTACTTAACACGATTGATTGATTTAGTGTGTTGGAAGATCAATGGATCCTACTTTATTGGATGGTGACAATGTTTTGGTAGACATGAGAAAAAGTGCAATTGATAGTGTTCAAGTTGGTGATTTAGTAGTGATAGATACACCGACAAAAGCAGAATTCAATTCTGGAAAGAGAGTCAGGTTTGTAGGTGGTGATATTGTTGAATTTGATCATCCATCCTATGGTAAACGAAAAGTAACCATTCCAAAAGATTTCATTTGGGTTGAAGGTGATAATGCACAAGCATCATTTGATTCTCGTCATTATGGTCCTATTCCAAAACATTTCATTCGTGGTAAATTGGCTTATAGAGTAAGATTTAAAGAGATTTAAAATAACAGATATCAATATATTTGTATATATTTAACCTTCCTTTTTTATTATTTATTATTTTAGTTATGGCCAAATCCAATATTACTTTCTGAATTACCTATACCACCAACACAAACTGTAAAATTAAATTAAAAACATATATAATATTATTATATTATCTACCTTTTAAATATCTTTTGGTACTTGTGGTAAACAAAAGTTATAAAATGCATCTTTTCTAAAAATATTGGAGCCTTTCCATGCACACCAACCCTTATCCTTGATGTTTTTCAAGTCGGTTGGATTTCCAGTATAGTGTGGATCGAGAATAAGATATCTAGCATCACCAGTCTCTGCATTAAAGTCAACTCCGAGTAGTGTATACGCCAACACACCTCCTCCAATCATAATAGGACTACCATCTCTATCAAAATGTCTTGCCAATTCTCTTGCCTTGTAAATTACTTCTGATCCAGATGTAACATTTATAATTTTACAATCAATCTAATAAAATAAACGTTAAATGTGTGATTGAAATAATAGAATAGTAGTATCAGTATTTATCATCTATATTATTTATATAAAATATTACATACATTATAAAGATTTTGTAAACATAAAGTAATCTCAAAAGCACCAATCCATTGTTTTGATTTATAGAATGAAGGTGGTTTATCTTGAATGGAAACTAAAATATTTTGAATTTCATTGTGAGTTGGTACCTGTCTATTAGTGTAATCTTGATATTTGAGCCATGAACATATAGTTTGCATTGATCGATAAGCACATCCCCATCCATCATCATCAAAATGATCTTGAAGATAATGAAAGTAATCATATGATCCTTGAACCAATGACACTATTCCTCCAATCTTACTTTCAAGATTAAGATTTAAATGAATGTTTTGAATATGTGGAGTAAATTTACTAGAACTATTACTATTATCCATATCAGTTGGTGTTGGAGGAGTATAAGCTTTTGATGATCTTAAAAGTGGTTTATCAAGTGGTAAACCAAATTGAACATGATAATTATATCTTTTAGATTTTAATTTATCATCTTCATCATCTATCAATCCGGATCCATTTTTTTCATATCCAATAGTTATTGGAAATGGTATAAATGGTATTTCAAATTGATAATATTTTATCTAAATAAATAAATAAATAAATAAAAGTTAGAATCAATCATACATATATTTGTTTCTTTAAAACATTAACATACATTGCCAGATGATACTTGATTTAAAATTGATTTAATAATATTATTAAATATGGTATCATCAGACGATGATGACGATTGTTTTGGAATGAAAACAATTCTATTAAATTCATATGATGATTCTTGAATAATATTATTATTGTTGTTGTTGGAACAAGATACAAGCGATAGTTGAGGTGTCAATAAATTTGTAATATCATTGGTTGTTACTTTAAATAATGGAACCAATTCCAATACTGTTTTAAAACCAAAGAATGATGTAGATGTAGATGATGAGGAAGAAGAAGTTGTTGAATTCTTTTTTGTTGTTGATTGTTGTTCAAATAGAGATTTTAATTGATTAGTTGTAGTATTGATTGAAAGTAATTGTTTACTATTTGATTTTTTAAAGTAGATTGAATCCTTTTTAGATGATTTAAATAGTTCTATTGTATCTTTTGATAGAATAGTATTTGAATGAACCCAAATGAAATCGAATTGATTGTTTAAATGTTCTTGTATGTTTGTGATTTGTACTATTTCCTCGATTCTGTTTGATTCCTTGTCATAGAATTCAATCTTGTCTAATTGTTGATCATAGAATGCAATCAACATTGGTGATGATGATTGAACCAAGAGATGTTCCTTCTTCTTCTTTTCATCATCATCATCATTTGAAATGATATACAAAGATCCAATGATATCCAATCCAAATGGTATAGAATCTCTTATTTCATTATCATTTAACATTTGAACGACAGAATGAACATTTGGTAATACATATAATACCGTTTGTTCATATCCCACTAGTTTGAATGATACTCGGTCATCTTGATCTAAAAGTAGTTTCTTGTATTCTTCATTCTCGATGATCCATTTAATCCTTTCAATGATTTGTTGATTATAATATACTATTGTTGTTGTTGTTGTCATCTTCAATAAAGTACAAACAACTTGTTAAAAGTAAATTTATTTTAATATGGACTGTGATTAAAAAAAAGTTGGGTTACATTTTAAATAATTTATTTCTAAATATTTTTCTTTCTTATTATCTTTCTATCTATCTAATCTATCTATTATTATGTGTCATTGGACTATCAGGAAAATCAATTGAAGAGCTACTGCTACTAGTACTAGGAGAAGAGATTGAGAGATCTTGATCCTCTTGTACACTTGAATAATAGGTATCGGTGTAGTAGTTATTATTATTGTTATAATGTTGTGGACTGGAAAAGTTGGTGGACGATGACCGTGATGATGACGAATAGTCGTCCATTTGGATTTCATTGCTGAATGGTTGGTAGTCGTGTGTACCAAGTCCTCCCAAACCAGATACTAGTTCGCTTGCTTTTTGTGCCCATGCATTAGAGACGCTGGGCTTCTTTTTAATGAGCTCGGCTTGGACAAAGGGGGCATCGTCGTATTCAAGGATTAATTTGGTTCGATAGTATTGTGATCCTTGGGGATTGGCTCGTCGTTTTACAAAAAAGAAGGCGAGCAATCCTCCATAGATCGAGATGGTGATGACGACCACACAGATGATGATCTTGGCTGCTATGCTAAGGTTACTGGTTTGTTGTTTCTTGTCGCTCATTGAGGGCCCTTCGTTGCAAGTTGATCCGTCGCCGCCACACACTCCACACTTGTCGAGCTTTTTGTACGAGTATTTGACACCGTCACATCCTATTGAGCAGGTGGTGTTGCTGCCTCCGCACACTCCGCATGCGTCGACGACCAAGGTAGAGTTTGGTTGGTTGTCGCATCCGCCGATACACGTCGAGTTGTTACCTCCGCACACTCCACATGCGTCAAATATCTTGGTTGAGCGTGGTTGACGGTCGCACCCACTGATACACGTTGAGTTGTCACCCTTGCATACTCCGCAAGCGTCCAATCGGGCATTTGAGTTGACAATGCCGTCACATCCAATCTTGCACGTTGCATTGTTGCCCGAGCAAATACCGCAGGCATCTCGGAGCTCGCCAAATTCGCATGGCATGTTGACGAGGTTATTCTCGCACGCCCGGTCAATCTGAGTGGAGCACGAGAATATCTTGAGGTCGTTGTAGCAGTTGGTCGCCGTGCCAGGGTAGCCCGTGACGATGCCATTGGCACCGCGGCCAGCATTTCCGTAGAACAAGTTGTTGCAGTGGATTGACGGCTGCGAGTTGGACATGACGATGGGAACAGACACACCTCCGCGTCCACCTGCACCCTCTCCACCATTGCCTCCGCTGCCTCCACTACCTCCACTACCTCCCATCGACGAGTTGAGAGATTTCGACGGTACAAAGCCCGCACCTCCAAGCCCGCCTGCCAGTCCCTTTTCGGGCGTGCTCGACGGACTGCCATTACCAGCCTGCGACGTTGTAATGTTGCAATATTCAATAGAGACAAAGGTAGAGTTGAACACATAGACGCCGACTGAACTGCCACCCATCGACCCACCAATACCTCCACGTCCTCCACAACCTCCGCTACCTCCTCCACCTCCACTACCACCAAAACTCTTGCAAGCGTGACGTCCTTCGTATCCACCACCACCGCCACCACCTCCTCCACCCGGCGCTCCATTCTCTCCGTGTTGCCCATCCTCAATAGTCGATGACAAAAAGTATCTTCCAAAGTAGAGTCTAGAATAGTTTGCATTTCTTCCATTCTCTCCGTAGCTTCCATTTAATCCACCGATTCCATCGACCCATTGGTTACCTAGGAACGGTAGTGATCCATTGCCACCAAGCATTCCATCGGGACTTCCTCTTTTTCCATTCTGTCCTCTTTGACGTCCCTTTCCAGATCTTCCACCGTCTCCACCTGCATTACCACTTCCATGGTAGCATACCGCAACACCTCCCTTTCCAGGCTTGGGTGTATCACAACGATCACAATAAGAACTTGCTCCATCCTCACAACCACCTTGTCCACCTTCACCATCTTGCACAGAAATTCCATTTACCTTTTTCAATTCATTGGATGCATTTCCATCAACACCATATCCACTATGAATATTAATAAATCTTAATGTTACATTTGATGATTTACTAATTATTATACCATATGATGATGCTAAAGAAAAAGAAAAATAAAAAGAAAAAGAAAAAGAAATGTTAATATATCAAATAATACATTTATATTTTTACTTTTACTTTGTTTTAAAACATACAAAAATCAATAGTACCATTCTTTGGTAAAATGGTAAAATGAGACAAGATGATTGGTTTAAGTGAACTTGATATATTAAAGGCAATAGGTTGAAGTGATACAAATATAGTACCAGGAGAGTATGGTATGGTTAAAGGTTCTCTTTTCCAATCTGGAGATCCACTATAACCTCCATAGATTGATATACCTTCAACCATATTAATCCTTTGTATAGAATAACTACCAGTTGCTACATATATCGATTTTTTACCATGTCTTATTGCCATTAAATATCCTGTATAGAAATCATTTATTGGTTCATCCTATAAAGAAAAAGAATAAATAAATATTAGAATCAAAACATAGATTTAAATAGAGAGAGATATACCATTGAACCTTTTCCATTGATTTTACCATTCTTTATATCTATAAATATAGATTCATCTGGTATATTATTATTATTATCATTGCTACTATTATTGTTGTTATTCGTATTATTATTATTATTATTATTATTATTATTATTATTATCACCACTATTGGTTAAAGTACCATCTTCTTGTTCTTCTACTAAAATGTCAAAGAAATTATTATCATCGCTTTGATCTACTTGATCACTACTAAAGTCATTATTATCTATTGTACTATCACTTATATCTATATCATCTAATAATGAATCAAATAAAGAACCATCTATTTCATTACTTGATATTTCATTAAATGAATCGCCACCACTTGTCTCTTGTTCTGCCTTTGAATGTCTAATTTCGTCATGGTCTTTCTTTTTTAATTTTTTACCTTCAACTAACAATAATAAATATGGATGGATGAATGGATGGGTCAATAATAACATTCATTTGATCTAATAGATGGATGGATGGGACAGATATGATTTACTACATACCTATGAATATTGAATATAACAATAAAATGAGTAACAGTATTCCAATATATTTCATCTTTAGTCTAAAAAGATAGGTAGGGTTTATTATTAAATATACAACAACTAGATTAAGAAATAAAGAAGGATTGATGATGTTGGTAGTTGTTGTTAATCAAATTGGTTGTTGTTGTTGTTTTGGCTACTATAAATAATAATTAATTCATTTAATTACCACTACCATTCCATACTCACTCTCTCTCTCACATTCATTCATACTACACCACCACTACCACACACTCAACTCATTCAATCATCTTTTCACCACATCTATTTCATTTCAACCACCACCCATAGCTGTCAACTAGACAATAGGCAGGTGTGGTTTGTATGTTTTTTGTTTTTTTACCTTTAGGGCCAATCAAAACACCAGTTTACAAATTACTAGTAGACTTTTTTTTTTTTTAGATTTGATGTTGGAATTTGATGGAAAATGATTTAGATTAAACCATCAATTCCTAATAAATAAATTATATTTTGTTTATTATTATTATTATTATTATTAATGAATAATTATAGTAGGGAAAAATGGTTGGTATGGTTGTTATGGTTCTATCGATGAATCTAATCTAAAAAAAGAAAAAGGTGGAAAAAAGAAATAAAGAAAAAGTAGATATATTCGATTGCTACTTTTAACACTTTCTTTTCTGTGTTTGTTGTTGTTGTTGTTTGGTTGGGGGGGGGGGGGGGATTTGGGGAGTTATTATTATTATTATTATTATTACTTATCATATATAGTAGATTATTTGTTTGTGTGTTGTTTTAAGTTGAACTACTAATCTTATGATTTGGTGATGATTGATTATTATTTACAGTTGTTGAAATTAAAGAAGAAGATAACATGACCAATTCAAATCTTGCTTTTACTTCTTCAAGACTATTGGCATTTAAAGTTGCGACCTCATTTAATAGTACTTTCATTCGTTTCATGACGTCTGGGAACATCATATAGGTTGCATCCATTTGTTGCCAAACATGATCCAATAATTTAAAGACTTGGAAATAGAGTTCTTCAAAAGCACAGTCAGTCTCTCGAGACATGGAACAAAGCATAATCATAAAGGTGCTGTTCCAAAAAGGAGAGTACCAAGGTTGTTGGAGGCTTTCATCGGTGATATTGAGCACGCCAAACAAGAGACTGGAAATATTGATACCGGCCACGGCAAAGGGATAGTCTCGTTGCGAGTCGAGAATAGAGTCGACCCAGACACGATGATTCTTTACAAGATGGATGAGATTGTGTAGTCCGAGCATACCCATACCTCTAAAGTCACGTGTTGGATCTTCGCTCTGAAACCCAAAGTCTTTCCATTTGGGTGATTTTCGTTCAAATGGTTGGCCGGGATAAAGTGCATTCCACAGCTCCTCTAATCTTGCTTCATGGTCACTGTTTGTATTATCGTATGAAGTCGAACGGAATTGGTTAAACAACTTCATCTGCTGCGACTGCTTGGCAGTTATTTTCTTGGATCTGTCAATATGTGACCCGAGCAATTCCAACAATTCCACAGACTCTTGATGTGATTTTAATAAATAGATTGATGTTTCTTTACTGTTCCATGTCAACAATATCTTTCCTTCTTCGTCTTGTGGTGGACTGCTTGGTGATGATGACAGACCAACAACAGTCTCACCTTTTCTAGTTGCATTAGAGTCTACTGTATTGTTGGTAGGAGAGGAGGCCGCTGTTCGTCTAGGTGACAGTTGTTTATCGAAAAAGGAAGAGATGGTGGATTTGGGAGGTGAATGTCTTTCACCAAAAATCGATGGGTCGGAAGTAGTTCGTCGGAGTGGTGAGATACCCAAACTCCAAGTGTTGTGTCGAACACGTTCGAATATCGATTGCTTGGCGGTGGGTATTTCAAAGTTGGTCTTTACAGAAAAGAGTTGGTGAATGGATTTGGTTGAAATGAGCGAATGTAGTTCGTAGATGGGGTTCTCGTCGGCATCAAATATGATTTGGATGCGACTACCATCACAGCTGTCGATGGGGATAGTAGGCAGTTCCTTTGATTGTGTACAATGATAAAATGACAACTTACTCATCTCATCAATCTCTATCAATATCGATTCATCTCCATGTTGTGTATAAAATTTATCTCCCATTAATCTTAATTCTTCTAATTCACATTTCAACTTGATTGTAAAGTAAAGTAAAAAGTTAGTAAAAAGGAGTAAAAGAAAGAAGAAGAGTTATAAACTAAACTATAATACATACATTATTAAGTTCCTTATTTAATTCGATTAATTTGTTTTCATAAGATATAGTTGGTGATGATGAAATCAATATCGAAGAAGTAATTGTTGTTGTTGTAGTATCAACTAATATAGTAGTAGTGGTAGTAGTTGAATCTTCTTTTTCGGTGTTGTTACCAATACTAGTATTAGAAGATGATTCTAGAGATGATTCTAGAGATGATAATGCTGATTCAATAGTGGCAGTTGATAGTATTGTAGTGGTAGTAGTAGTTGATTCCTCCTCTTCTAGTTGTATTATTGGTTCTTCCACTACTTCTACTTCTTTGGTTATAGATTCTGATGTTGAAGATGATGATAGTTGATTCTTTTCCTTTTCTTCTTCTTTCATCAATTTATAGTCTAGTTCTTGAATGAGTAGTCTTTGTCTCTCAATCTCTAGTTTGAGAAACTCTTTTCGTTCTCTTCGTTGAGAGATTGACATCATCATCATCATTTCTACCTTTTTGCAATGCTACTTCATTAACTACCAACTTGTCTATTATTTATCTGATTGATTGATTGATTGAGTAGGTATATATCTTTTAAATTTCTAAAATGGGTTGACACTTTGTGGTGGGTGGGTTGTCCTACTTTAAATTAATTTTTTTTAATTATTATAAAAATACAATTTTGGTTGTTGGGTTGGTTTTGAAATAAATATCTCTATTCTTCTTTCTTTGATTAAAAAAAAACTAAATGTACAAATAAAATAAAATATAAATATATAAATATATAAATTTACAAATAATAATAATATTAATATTATTTTTATGAATATGGATGGATAAAAAGAAAAATATTATTATATAAATATTAAATTCTTGGATTGTTGAGTTGTGAAAGAAGGATGGATGGAAAGGATAGGAAAGGATGGATGGATGGATGGATTAAAAGTGATATATTGTTTAAAACATATTTTTAAAAATATATGGCCGTATATTAATTATGTGGTGGAGTCTGTACGATGGCTAGAAGGTAAGAGGACTGGATGGAAGAGAATTATACAATCCACCTATAAAACAATTGACTATTAAGGTGTCAAAAATACACATACACACACATGCACATACACTCAAATGTTGAATACGTATGATGTCGACGACAACGATAGATATTTGATTTTCGAGAGAGGGGGGGGGTAATAAAAAAAATTAATATTTATAATATTATTGTTATGTGTTTTTAAAAATGAATAATCTATCTATCTTTTTTTAAGATCTTTAATCAATACTACTACTTGATTAAAACGGAGTAGTTGTTGAAAAACGAGGAATTGTGTTGTTGTTGTTGTTGTGTTTAAAGATTGATTGATTTAGATTTTAGATTAAAAACACTTGAAAGGAAATATTAGAACACTTGGAAGGAAAAGAAGGAAAAAAGGAAAAGAGAAATAGAAATTGGAATAATAATCACCAAGTCAAGTCGGTCGTTCGTGTGTGAGTGGTTGGAAGAAGGAGGAGGAGGAGGAGGATGATGAAGGATGTGGATTTATTGATTGATTGATTGATAGTTTGATGAAAACTAGCGAGAGTCAAATAATTATTTGACCGTTAACAAAAAATCAAACATTCACACCCTAACCACTCGGATAGGAAAGAAGGAACTGTTGGTTAACCCACCACGATCCATCCAATTTAGTTTGGTTCTATAGATTGATTTCCAACCCCCCCATTTCAAAGTTAAAAAATATCCTGTTGTTTGGTTTGTTGGTTGGTTGACAGGCCGATCCGATATCGTTATCCAAACTATCTATCCATCCACCCTTTTTCGGTATTGTACGATCATGATAATCGACTCTATAAATTTTAATGATGTGATTGGTGATGATGAGGATGATGGAATTTCCTACACTTTTAAAAATATTTGCCATCCTATTCTTTGATTTTCTATCTATTATCATTTTTTGAAGGTGGTGTATAAAGAATTTAAAGTACAAATATGGATATATATAAACTTGTATTTGTTTATATATATATATAACCTTTCACCTTTTAAAAACAATGAGGTAAATTTAAAATATATTATAATATTTATATATATCTTACTTTCGTCAAAAGAATTAAACAATAAAATGAAAAGAAGAAGAGATGGAAAGAGTTTTAATATTTGAATAAAGTTGTTTTGATTGATTGATTGATTGATTTCCCATTTACCTATTATATTGATTTGTTAATCCAAACTTTTAAATAGTGGTTTGTGATTGGGGATATGGGTTTTATAAACAATGCAATGAACCCATTGATGGACCTATCATGACATCACACTTGTTTAATTCTTTTTTTTCGCAAAGTTTGTCTTTTTCATCATAGAGTCAGATCTTCAAGAAGAGTCATTCGTTTTAACAAATAATAATAAGAATAATAATGTCGACTTCACCATGGTATAAATATGTGATTGCATTCTTTACACCTGTTGCTGTTGGAACAGGAATTACATGGATACTCATGCGTGATGGTGATAAAGATTTATCGGTACATATGATAAAATAGATCTACATTACATTGATATTAACACAAGTTCTCTACTATCTCTAACTACCTATATATGTATATATTACAGCAATTCAAACAAGAACAACCAGAAACACTTAAATTATATCACGAGAATAATGTAAAGATTATGAAACGTATTGTTGATTCGACCAAAGGTGATAAGATTGTATACTTTGCTGAAAAGGAAGTAGAGGTTTTACCATCTGTCAGTGACAGTACTACAAAGAATAATAATAGTGTTGATGCACAAAAAGGATTCTTATCAAGATGGTTTGGTTGGGGTTCATCATCGACAGATACATTGAAACAAGATAAACCATTAAAACAATCAGATGCTGTTGTAACATCAGCACCTACAATGGTGCCAACCAAACAACAAGCAAATCAACAAAAACAAGAAGATAGAATCAAACAATTACAAGAAGAAACTAAAAAGAAACAACAACAACAACAACAGAAATAATAATAATATCAAAAGTGTAAATAATAATAATAATAATATATAAATTAGCGATTCCTTTTTTTTCTTTTTTAGATACATTTGTTTTCTTCTTCTTCTTCTACTTTATTGGTTGGCTGCTACAATGGTAATTGGTTTCCAAGATTTAATTAATTTATCAAATGCACCAGTAATGATTAATGGATTGTTAATGTCATTGTGAAGATATAGAGTATTGATGGGAACACCTGGATGACCTTCATACTCTGTGATGTATTCACCATTGAATGCATTAAAACATTGAAGTGAACCATTGTCAAATGTGGCATACAAGACATTGTTGAAAAGGAGTAGATTGGATACAGATGACTTGTCAGTGACCAAGTCAATGGTACGTTCACACTCGTTGGTGGCGAGATTCCAGAATTTAATGGAACCGTCGTTTCCACCACTGATGAGACGACTATTGTCTTGAGAGAGGATAATCGATCTAACCCAACCTTGTTGTGCTCTAATGATATTTTGACAACGACCACTTGTAAAATCCCAACATCTAATCGATTCATCACTCGACGATGAATACAAGACGTTGTTGTGAAAAGCCAATGATGACACCCATCCAGAATGACCTAAAAACACTCTCTTGAATGTGCTATCAGTGACAGAGCAAACTCTAATCGTATGATCGTCCGATCCTGTAATTAAATAGGTCGGATGATCATTTCCACCATCCACCAATTGAATACAATTAATTACTTCATAGTGTCCACCAAATGTTTGAATTGAATTAAATTTATCATCCCATATTTGTACTGTCTTGTCATGTGATGCTGTTATAATTTTATATGAAGACGACATCGATTCAATGTCTCGTTGACCAATTTGATTTGTTATAATTAATCCCCAAACAGCTCCTCTTTTATGAATATATTTTGATTTTAATAGTTTTCCTTCCTAAATAAATAATATTAATAAGATGGATGATATATGTATATCTTTTCTTTCTATTCCTTTTTATAATTACATTTAAATCCCAAATTTTAATTGATTTATCAATTGAAGTTGAAAATAAAAAATTATTAAAAGAAGATACACAAGTTACAATATCAAAATGAGCTTTAAATATTTTGATTGGTTTTGGATTGTGTACAATTTCTTCTTCTTCTTGTTCTTTTTCTTTTGAACCATCTTTTTCTTTTTTTGGTGGTAATTTAAATATTTCTTTATAATCTACTTGATAATCTTTTACAAACCAAAGATTGTAATCAATGAATCTATCCTTTTTAGATCGATGACCAATGATACAATTATTGTGAATGATGATGGGTGATACATTGCGACGATGCGATAGCTTTAGATTAAAGTATGCTGTTCCATTTGGGAATAGAGCACGATCCAATTTCAAATATTTGATTTGATCTTTGTCTTTGGTATCTGGATGTTGTTGTAGATTGATTGCATTGCCCTTGAGAAAGAGTCTCATTGCAATTTGATCGTCAACCACTGGATTCAAGAATGAAATGACAGTCTCCATATACTTTATAGTCTTTGGATTTGATTTGATGTAATAGAATCCAGCACAAACATCATCGTCATCCTGTTGAATGATTAGATCCGATAGACCGTTGAATGAGAGGTCCAATTGTAAGATGTATTTTAACGGGTCGGCCATCCAAACGATATCAGTGTCTGTCCACAATACATTATAACCTCGTTTCAATACATCCAATACGACCAATGGTTTTTCATTACATATTGCTCTGAATCCAACACCACCATACGATTCACTCTCTTCTCCATACACACCTTCATTGTTGTTGGTTTCCAATGGTTTTTGAGTTTGATTGATCTCTTCATTCTCACCAATTTGATTGTACTGATCTCCAAGGTTCGATGATGATGTTGTTTCCGACGATACTACTACATTTGTACTGTGTTGATTATGGTCACCACAAGTTGCACATACTGATCGGTTGCACTCTGTACAATAGCTAGTAAACGGTTGACAATGTTGAAAGCACAGATTGATAGTTTGTCTCTTAAAGTTGATACTTGGTATATTGTTTCGTCTAAAGAATTGATGTGACTTGTCATCCAATGCAAACAATAGATATTTGCTATTCCAATCAACCGGTCTAATGATAGCAGTACTATCATCTCGGTCTTGTTGCGAGATACTCTTGATTAAATTCAATGTCATATCTCTAAACCCATAATTACACATCATTACTACAACATCTTTATTCTCCATCTTTCTTTTAAAATATAAGATATAGATAGATAGATAGATAGTAGATAGATAGATAGATAGATATCTCTGTGTCTCTATATATAATATATATATATATTTATATAATATCTTTGTGTTGAATGAAATTAAAAATAAACAAGGTGGGAGGTCAAGACTTGAACATCATCACCATAGTTTTTTTTATTTTTAAATTAGTATTACAATTTATTTACATTTATCTATTTGTTGACTTAAAGTCATCTCTTGATGACAAAGTGTTATGCTGCTAGATGAGGCATTGCATTTTGTTTTGTATGTTCGGCGGCAACCAAATCAAACAACTCTCTATTTTCTTTAAATTGAGTTGATATGTCAATTTCACAGGGATGGTCGATGACAGGTTCTATCAAGATTTGGTAGAGTTGACCAATACAACGAGCAACCGTATACATCGGACTCCATCCCTCTAATTCAGGAATCAAACAACAACATATACTTGAACTGATATTTGGATGATAGATTGGTGTTTGGATTGACATTGATGGTCTTTTGAAAGGATAGTCTATAGGGAGCTTCGCATGTACTTTAAATACTCCACCTGAATATGGTGTATCTGGCTAAATATATATATATATATTTAAAGGAAGGGGGTCAATAGATATCTATCTACATTTATTATTGATTAAGCTTCTTACAGGACCCATTATAGTAAATTCAAGTGTTAATGTATCATGATCAAATCGATCAAGTGTTGCCCAATTAGGATGATTATTTGACCAATCCATCATTTCCTTTTTAAAAAGAATTACATATTAGTTAGAGAATATATTCTGTACATTCAACCAACTTTAACATACTTTATTTACTCTTTTAAGCATTTCTTTAATTTACTTCTTTGTAGTTTGTCAAGATCTCTAATACAATTGGCTTGTTGATTGGAGGATAGACAGATCGATCGTCTAGAATAAATGAGTCTAGTTGAGCTCTTGGGCTACAACTAAACAGGTGGCACGCTATAAGCTCTTTACAAATGATTTAATTAAATTTTTAATTATTTTTGGTTCTGTTGATTTTCTTGATTTTGGTTAAAAAGTTTCTATTTAAAAAATCAGTGGACTGTAGCACAAACTACATTAATTGTTTTATTTTACATTCTCTCTCTTTATTATCTCTCTTTATATTATCTCCTTCTATGTCAATATATAATAATAATCATAATAGTAATAATCAAAATAATAATAAGAAATGTTAGAAAAGGAAATATTTTTAAAAGTTATCAATCACAAGTACTTGTTTAGAGTATTGGTTAATTGGATTCACCGACTCAATGATCAAGACACAAAGACCATTAATGCTCAGTTGGATCAACGAACTATCCTAACATACTCTGCATCTGCATTGTTAAGAGTACGAAAATACGAACAGATCAGAGATGCAGATTGGCTAATCAACAACCGACACTTTGTATTGATGGAGTACATGTTGAAGAGTGGACATCATTTGCACTTTACACCAGAGTCTATAAAAATGTTGGCCGAGAAAGCTCCCTATTTGTTGGACTGTGCAAAGAGGTATTACTTGGCATCCCCACGTACATCCATCGAGATTGTTAAAGTCATAAAATGCATTGAAACCGATCCATCTGGAAGAGCACTTGCAATGGCTTGTGATATGATTAGACGTGCATCTGCATTTGACGATCTACACGATATCTTTTGCGAGTTGGGTAACTATATCATTGGGCCTGCTAGTTTGGAGACAACAAAAAAGAGTGAGAAATACATAGACATTAAAAGATTCAAAAAGATACGTCCACTTGAATTACTTGGTGTCGCTGTAAAATCAGGTAATAGTGAGGTGCTAGACCTAGTTTATAAACTCTACCAAGACCGGTTCACTCTTTTAATTGCCAAAGATGTTGATGCTGGTGTGCAAGTCGAACGTGACTTGCTACTCGATCAAATGTTTCAAAGATTTGATCTCCATACATTTAAAAATTACATTTCAGACCCCAAACCAATTTTCAATCAAATGTCAACAAGTGTGTACAGTACGATGTTACATAAGTTAATGAAAAGTCCTTCACCTCTCCTCTCCAACAATAATTACAACAAATCAATCATCATCATTAATCATTTATTAAAAATTGAAAATGCAAAACAAGAAGATTTATTTGTTGTAGAGGATTGGAAAGAAGAGAAAGAGAAACTTGGTGGCACAGAAGCAATTAGAATATTATTTGAATTTATCGAAAAAAAACAATCAACTAAATCAATTGATTGATGAAAACTATGGGACCTCTACAACACCGGCATACATTACAGAAAATATATTGGACGAAATATTTAAACAACATTTTGGATCAAACCCAACCAACCAATCAACTAGAGAACTACTCGAAAAAACATTAAAAGTATTAGATGACCAACAAGATTTAAATTCGTATGCACCAATCAACCTTTACAAACTACTTGCAAAATATGGGTCGGTGGCAGACATAGAGTATTTGGTAGAGTTTACAAAGGAAGAGCATATCTATGGATTAAACGATGCATTGGATCATTCAAGATTGGTTCCCATTGCCAAATATTTTATTGATACATGGAAGGCATACATTCGAAGCAATACCGTATTGTTGGCCACTATGTTTTCCAATATCGATGTTTTAGAGTACTTCCTCTTGAAACAAAATATTGATATCAAATTTGATAAATCAATGTTGGATGCCGCCATGAATCAACAACTCGGTTTCAGTGCAATGAGACTGTTGCTCACCAAATTCACACCGCAAATATTCGAAACGTTAAATGCCCGCGGTGGTCACTACACCATTGAACATTTAAAGTGGTTGTGTGATCATTACATGATGCTCATCAAAAATCATGATGGTATGGTGTATAGTATCAAATCGGCACTTGTTACCAATCTCATGCGGTTCTCTTGTTTTTGGGGTAACTTGGTACTCTACAAACATTTGCGTAGCAAGATTGGTGATGCAGTCTATGAAGAACCTCTAGAACCTTACCGATTCAATGCTGTGGTTGGTGGAAACATGGATATGATAGAGTACCTCTATATCGACTGTCACTGCGAAATGAAAAACGTCAGATCGATGGATCACTTTGGTTCGGATGTTTGGAGTTTTGTAGCACATGTTCCAGATACTCGTATGTTTGACATTATGTACATACATCACATCAAGAGTGTATCGGCTCAACAATTTGCAAATTGTTTCAACTTGGCTATGAAATGTGGAAATATCGAGTTGATGACGTTTATGCTCAAAAAGATCAAGAAATACCATTCACTGCGTCTGCCAGAAGTACGCAGTAATCTAAGCAAGGCTCTACGAGAAGACAAGTTGTTTGTTGGTACCGTGTCGGGACTCTCTTTTCTCGTCGAAAATGACTTGATAGGTCTACAACGACAAAAGGAAATCCTATCAGGTGCCATTATCAATAGTAACCTTCCAGTGGTTAAATTACTCATCAATCATCTAATTCCTTTTCAAAAATGGTTAATTCAACAAAAAGAAAATAAGAAAGAAAAGGATAAAGAGGAAGAGGAAGAAGATAACCAAGAGGATAGTAAAATTAGTTATAACGAAGATGAAATAGAAGCATTAAAACCGATACTTTCAGATGAAATGGTAATGATTGTCAACCGAAATCCAAGTTTACAAAATATTAAAAATTATTTGGAATCAATCCATTATCTCTAACCAACAAACCGACAAAGAAAGAGAGAGAGAGAGATAAATGGATTGATGAATAATATTTCTTCGGTTGAAATGAACCGACTCCTCGCGTCTTGTCATGACAAGAATGACATTCAATGAAAGATCGTTTGTTCATCATCTTACTCGTCGAAAAAAAGTAAATTGCTTTTCCAAATTGGATTGCAACGCCCTTACCAAAAAAAAAAAAAAAAAACAAATTATACACTGCTCTTGGAAACCAAGGAGGGAAATTAAAATCAAGATAGAATAAATATTCAATCTAAAAACGACAAATTATTATTATTATTAAGTAATATTAGTAATAACACACACGCACACACACATAATTTAACAACTTTTAAGGTTCTATTTATTTTTTTAATACTTATATTATAATCACACAACAAACATATTTCTCTCTTCATTTTTCCCTTATTAAGGTAAATTTCACTTCAGAGTAATAATTAACAAGTACACACACGTAATACGAATTCAATTCAATTCAATTTTGTTTGATCTTATTTTTTAATTTTTTTAAAAGAATGAATTTGATTGGATGTTCTCATTGAATTAAAAGACAGAATTCTGTCTATTCTGTTTATTTAGTCTATACCCACCCCACCTATCACATGCATGCTACCATTCATTCATTCACCCATCGTCACACCAAAAACATTAATGTGGTAGGATTAGTATGGTGTGGGAAGTGGGAAAACAGAGAGAGTAGTGTTGGAGAGAGGAGAGAGGATAAAAACATAATTAATATTATTGGGGGAGGAGGAGTCATATCGATGTTTTCCTAATCTCTCATTCTCCTCTATTTTTGTTAATCCCATTCTCATACTCCTACTTTATAACATTACTTGATTAATTCATTCACCACCTGTATTTATTGTCTAATCGATAGATTCCTGTACTCATCCTCCTCTATTCTCACCGATCAACCTAAAATTCGATTTACTCACTCTCTATCCAATCCATTCCTTAAGCGTTTCCAATAATTATAAATACCTATCAATTTTGCATTCTTTCAATTCATAAATTATAATTATAATCTATCTTCTCTATCCATCAATCCATCCTTCCAAAAAGTTCCATCCATCAATCCTCTTTCAAGTGTATTTTATAATTATCATTTACAATCAATCATCTATTAATTAATTACAAAAAGGTAAAATTCAAAAACAAAAACATACATCAATCACTATTATCTCTATTTTTGTTTGTTTTTCGACAACTATTGTGAGAGGTGCGTTTTTACAACTAGACAATTCTACAATAACCGTACAACCATTACATTTATCAATTCAATCAACATCACATTGTGATTTGTGTTCAACCGTGCGTGTACATGCTTCCTTTTAATTTTATAGATTGAAATGACATCATTCTACATTCATTCTTTCATGTTGAATGATTGTGATTCATATCAAAAATCAATATTCGCAAAATCTCTTTCCAATCAATCTCTATTTCCCTACTTATCTTTAACAAGTATCAACAATAACAACAACTAGTACTAGTATTTTTTTTTTTGGTATTATGATTTATATTCGAACAATAATTTATAATTATTTTAAGAATAATCATCATTTAAAATCTAATAATAATATTATTAAAAAACAACCTTGTACTAAAAATAACAAAGATAATAGTAATAATAATAATATTATAATTTGACAGTGAGGAAAGTGATACAGTTACTACTACACATATACCACTTTAAAATTCACTATTATTATTATTTATTATTTTATTCAAAAAAAGTAATTAAAAAAAGCGAACATTACATACACATCTTCAAAATTTCCAAACAAACACAAATAATTGTTATTGTTTTTTTTATCATCTTATCCAATTAGTTGTGCAGATGCATTAAATTTTAATTTTTACCTTTTTTTTAAAAAGTATTTTTATTTTTATATTAATAATTTTTTTTTTTTATTATTCATCTATCTTTTACTTTTTTCTAGATTCTAAAGAAACAAAGATCAAATTATCATCTTTTTTCTATTATTTTTTATCTCTCAACCACAACAAATATCAAATTAATATTTATAATCAACAACAAACCCTCATATTTAAAAAAAGAAAGAAAAAGAAATGGAAGGAAAACTTAGCACCATTAGAGTCATGTTCCCAAATGTTACCTCTGAACACGCATTGGACGCTCTCAAGAGCAGCAACTGGAACATTGATCAAACCGTCGATTTATTGTTGGCCGAGATCGAAGCTGCCGAGATGGAAAGAAGAGAAAAGGTGGTCGCTACTAGAAAGCAAGACATCGTCTACCCACCACCACCCCCACCACCAGTTACCAACGCCTGTTTGGATGAAGAGAGTGAACGTATCTTGAATGAATTCTTGTTGATGGAGAAGCAACAACAACAACAACAACATGTTAGCATCCCAGCATTTGTTCCACCAGCTGTCGCTGTGTCTGTTCCAGCCATTGCAAACATGCCAGTTGAAAGCGACAAGTGGTCTCAAGTACCAGCTGTCGTACCACCCGCCACTGCCGCTTCGGTCATTCCAGCCAAGCTTGCACCCATCTCCACCCCAGTTGTCGTCCCACAACGTCTTGTTCCATCGATTGCCATCAAGGAGGAAGCCATCTCGCTCCCCGAACCATTGGTTGCCCAACGTATCGACCAAGAACAATTGGAAAGTGCTCAACGCGACATCACCCTCCTCCAATCCATCTCCAACACTTTGCGTGAACTCGAAAACGAAATCAAGAGCATCAACTTCCTCGGTGGAGTCAAGGAAGAGTCTGAGCAAGAAGTCGCCAAGCTCGAACACAACATCGACCAAGTCATTGCCAACCAAGAAAAGTATGGAGGCGACTCTTTGGACAACGACATGGCCAACCACAAGAAACCAAATGAAATCGTCATTCACCACCACTGTCTCGAAGGAGAGGAAGAGGAAAAGAGAGAGATGCCAAAGAAGTTGGTCGAAGATATCGAACGTGCCATCGAGCAAATGGAATCTTATTTCAACGTATCACTCGAACGTACTGAAAAGGCACTCAAATCGATCAAGGAGGAAATCGACAGTTGGAAGATCAAGGACAACGTCTTGAGAGTTGGTGGTACCATCAAGAGAGAGTTTGATGACATTATCTCATCCATCACTAGATACATCAACCCAATCGTCACTGAAGAACAAAAGAAGGAAAGAGCCGAAAAGAAGATCAGCCTCGAAAACAGACTCCAACAACTCCGTTCACGTAACAAACAAATGGAAGAGGAAAGAATGGCTGCTATCGCCATTGCTACCAACTCTGCTGTCCTTGTTGCTCCAGTCGTCGCTGAACCAGCTCCAGTCGTCACCGTCTCTCAACCAGCTCCAACCGTCTCTATCCAACCACCATCCATGGTCCAAGCATCATCTCTTCCACAAGGTTATTATTATTACAACGTTAATCAACCAAATGTTTACTATTTCCAACCAAACCCACTTCCAAATGCTCAATAAGCAATTTAATAATTTAAATCTAAAATAATCAATCAATATAATATAATATAATAATATACTAACGAATAATCAAAAAAAAATAATTAATAAGTAATTAATTAATAATAATAATAATAAGTAAACCTTTAATAATAATAATATAATATTCATATCATTCTCTTAAATATATCATATAATATATATTTTCCATCCATATTTATATACAAATAAAATAAAATGCTTGTTGTATTTATACAATTTTTAAAAATAATATTATTATTAATTATTCTATCTTTCTTATCTATTTTGATTTAAACCCTTTTAGAATTTGCTCTTTCCAAAAATCTATCTCTATTAACCAAGTATCTTTCATGTGTTCCTTCACCAATCTTTTTAGTGTCAAATGCTTCACATTTGAATGATACCTTTTTACTCTCGACTGAAGTGACAGTAGCAATAACTCTGACTTGTATTCCAAGTGGTGTAGCATCTAGATGTTGTACATTGATTGATGTTCCTACAGTTGTCATGTTGGCATCGATATTACCACGTAAAAGATCACATGATACACGTTCAAATAATGCTATCAACGAAGGTGTCGATAATACTTCTACATCTCCACTTCCAACATTGGTTGCCAATAAATCATTTGTTACAAGTGCTGTCAACTCTTGTGTGTCTCCTACACATACTCTTATTTGATTTGGTGGTGGTTGACAATTACTCATCTCTATATATATTGTATATCTATGTATGTATATTAATGATCGATTGATTCTGTCAAAGCTTTTGAACAAACAAAAGAGAGATCCCAACTTAAAGTAAAAAAATTCAATGAAACATTAATTAAAAATATTTAAAAAAGAGTACACACAAGTATTTATATAAATTATAGTGACAAGTTGTTATTCATTCATTCATTTATTCAATTTATTTATTTATTTATTCAATTTATATTTATTTATTTATATATTATATTATATTATAGTATCATGGACTCATTATTTAAATCATATGAAGATGATATGAAGAAATCATTAAACACTCTAGATACATTATTAAATACTATAAAATCATGTACTGATAATCGTAAGTAATTATATATATATATATCTTTCTTGTTGTTGTTGTTGTTTGTTGTTATTAATTCATTCATCTTCTTCTCTCTTCTAATAGAATCAAAACAAGAACCAATTAAAAAAGCAGAGATACTTATTAAATCGATTGATGAAGATATGGAGTCATTATCAATGGAAGCAAATAATTTAAACAAGTCTATATCTACGTATAGGGAGAGACTGATGAATGCAAAAACTTCATTAAAACAAATCAAAGGATCGTTGGACTATCAAAATAATATGAATCATTTGATGGAGGGTGGCAGTAGTGGTAGTAAAGCAATGTCAAATGACTTAAACACAAGAGAACGTATGGATAGAATACAGAAAACAATGGAAAGTGGAAATAGAATGATTAAACAATCAATCAGTCAAGTACAAGAGAATATTCAATTGACTGGAAACATAAACATGGAATTGGCAGCTCAAGGTGAACGACTTAAATCCTTTGACAAAAGATTTGATGATATTGATGGACAATTACAACAAGCTGATAAAACTATGAAAAAAATGGAAAAGAGATGGTTTGTTTAAATCCACATATTATCTAACAAGTTGTAATAATATCAATCACTATCATGATATATATATATATACTTTTTTAAAAACAAAAGGAAAGTTCCTTTTTTGTACATTAAAATTAATTAATTTTATTTGTGGTTGGTTAAAGAGAGAGAGGGAGAGATTCTAGAACATTTACCAACAACATTATCAAAGATAAGATTTCACATTACCTTTCACAGACGCTTCATCATCAATTATATACTTTTAAATGAAAGGAATTTAATAATAATAATAAATATATATATAAATTTGATTTTATTAATTAAGTTAATCTATCTCTTTTAAAAATGACCTAGGTCACAGGTTGAAATCATTATTGATGAAGAATTTAATTAATTAATTATTAAGATTTGGAATAAAACGATCAGCCGATGGTTGATTTAAGAAATGACATTGATCACGATAAACAGTATCATATAATATAAAGTATTTTCAATGAAAGGAATAAAGAACCAGCCGCAAGATTAAAGATCTTATGAACAAACGCCTCGTCTCGATCAAAACAGATATTTCTGTTTTGCCCTTTTTTTATCTGTTTTCCGCCAACTCCATCATGGTTGTTGCTCTCCTCTCTACGAAACGATTGATCCATTGCAATGATTGTTATACCACACAATTGCTTGTAACAAACAATTAAACAGAAACAAACATGTTATTTTATATTGTACTTTTACCAGCTTTATATTTAATCTTTTCTTTTGTAAGTAACAACAAAACAGAGTGAGATTGGTGTGTGTGTTGGTACATAGAATCTATTTACTAATCTATTTATATATATAATATTTGTAGATTAATAAGAATAGAGGATTATCAACAAAAGATCCAAAAAGACCATGGGCTGTACCAGTATTGGGTTCATTACATGTATTGGGTGATAAACCACATCGATCACTTGATACCTTGGCAGATACATTGGGATGTGATATGTATGCGTTGTGGATGGGTGATGCCTACAGTATAGTTTGTAGAGATGTTGAATCAATTAGAGAAATTTGGGTAAAGAGACATGACATTGTCGTCAATAGATATCATACCCCAACATCGGCCGTCTATTCAAACAACTATACAAACATTGTATCTGGTGATTTGGAAAGATGGACATTCAATAGAGGCATGGTATCACCATCATTTACCAAACTAAAGGTTAAAACCCATCATGCCAAAGTCGTTCAAAATCAATGTACTCAATTATTAAATCACATGAAAACTTTTGAAAAATCAAATACTTTGGTATGTACAAATAATAATAATAATAATAATAATCAAAATAATAATAATAATAATAATAATGAACTAAAAATAAGAATATTTAAATTGTACTAATAATAGATTCTATTCTATCTCTCTAGTTTAAACCAAGATTATATTTTAAGAAATTTACAATGAATATTATTACAAGAATTGCATTTGGATTTGATTCACCATTTGAAAAGGACAGTGAAGAATTTAAAGAAATAATTAAAAAGATGGACAGTATCTTTCTTAATGGTGGTACTGGTACATTGGGTGATTTTATTCATTTCCTAAGACCTCTATTCTTTTTCCGTAAGATCAAAAAACAAAAAAAATATCAACAAACCAAAAAGATTAATAATTAATTAATTATTTTTTTTTAGAAATGAAACTTGGAGGAACTGCAATGAGTGATCTTAGATCACTAATTAAAAAAATTTATGATGAACATATTACTAATCTTGATGAGAAAGAGTAAGATTTATTAACTATATCTTATTTAAAAAAATAATTTATTAATCTTTTTTTTTTATTTAAATTGTTTAGACCAAAAGATTTAATGGATGAAATGATTATTCAATCAACAGGTATGGATAATGAATGTGGAATTCTTAGTGTTGGATGTGATTTGTTGTTGGCTGGAACAGATACAACAGCAGCTTCATTAGAGTGGTTTGCTTTGAGAATGATTACCAATCCAGAGGTTCAAGACAAGGTATACCAAGAATTGGTATCTGTCGTTGGACATGGAAACCGTGTCGATGTATCCCACCGAAACTCGACCCCATTCACATTGTCTGTTATCAAGGAAGTACTCAGACTCAACCCAATCGCCCCTCTTGCATTGTCAAGAGCATCATCAGAGGATATGATTATTCAAGATCAATTTATTCCAAAGGGTACCCAATTTTTAATGAATATTCATGGACTACATAGAAACAAAAAGATCTATCAAAATCCAAATCAATTTATTCCAGAAAGATTTTTAGTTGATGTCCCTGCAGATGCTTGGATTCCATTTGGTATTGGTCAAAGAAATTGTATGCATAATGAAAATCAAAATCAAAAACAAATTGTTATGTGAGCAAATATTAATATTATTTATTTATTTTTGTTAAACAACTGTGTAGGTGTTGGTTTAAACTTGGCACTTGACGAATTATATGTTTCAATTTCCAATATGTTACTCAATTTTAAGTTTAGAGCTCCTGATAATGTTGAAATTGATTTTTCTGAAAGTATGTATATTCATTCATTCATTCATTACCATCCTGGTCTAAACAACCAATCATAAATCAAAGTTGATATTAACCAACCAATCCAATCCAATTAATCATGATATTTTTTAGCATTTGGATTAACCGTTCACCCTAGCAAGGAATATGGATTCTATTTGGATTCCAGACAACAACAACCTTCCAGAGCCTAATAATAATACTTAATAAAACAAATATCATGAACCATTCTTATAAAGAACCATTGCAACATCATCATTCTATTTCCTTTTTCAATCAGTCCATCCTTTTCCCACTTTATTTTTAGCCAATCAAATTCCCCCATTTTTGAAAAAAAGAATCAACGAACCGAACAGATATCTGTTGGTGTGTTGTAGGATGTTCCTCGTGCGCAAACATCTGTTGTGTTTTTAGCGGTTTGTGATCATGTCGATTGACAAGACAACTGTTACTATCCCCACAATGTTGCCAGAGCTCTGGTTGTCGTTGCTACCACTCATCTCTTCATCTTTATCTTTTTTCAATGATGATCATTAAATAGATAATTAACAGTTACAGATAGAAGTTTAGTTTATTTCTTTCCCTCTCTCTCAATCTATCTCAAAATGTCAACTATAATTTACATCTTGATTGCAGTTGTAATCTATTTACTTGTTTCTTTTGTATGTATATTTATCTCTCTCTCTCTCTCTCTATTTATCTATTTCTATCACTGATCATTCTAATCTAATCTCTTTCAATTGTAGAAAAATAAGAATACAAAGTTCTCATCAGCTGATCCTCCTGGACCAGTTTCATGGCCAATATTGGGAGCCCTTCCTTTGTTGGGAGACCTTCCACACCAAGGGTTCAAGCGTTTGGCAGACAAGTTTGGAGGCGTCTATTCTCTTTGGATGGGTGATACCTACACTGTAGTAGTCACTGATCCAAAGGTGATTCGTGAAGTTTGGATTAATAATCATGGTACTTTGTCCCAAAACTAAACAATATCTACAACAAACACATTTACTTACTTTTCTTTCCATTTGATAGAAAACTTTTTAAATCGTCATCATTCGCCTACTTATGCCTTGTACTCTAGTAACTACACCAATATTGTTAGTGGTGAAGACGAGAGATGGGTATACCAGAGAGGATTAGTATCTCCAACTTTTACCAAACTCAAGATTAAAGCTGTCAATAGTATTGTTCATTCTCAAGTAGATGGACTATTGGGACAAATGAAACTTTATGCAAAGTCTCAACAATTGGTATGATGAAATCATTCATAATAGAATTCTTTTATTCCATTTGTCATTCTCTAATCACTTTCTATCTATCTCTATTCTATACAGTTTAATCCAAGAATGTATTTTAAGAAATATTCAATGAATATTATTACAAAATTGGCTTTTGGAATGGAAACACCATTTGATAGTGAAACACCTGAATTTGTTGAATTAAACAGTAGAATTGATAAACTCCTTGTTGGAACTGGAGCTGGTCATCTTGGAGATTATATCTATGCTCTTCGTCCATTATACTTTTTCAAGTATGTCCTAAATTTCTTTTTACATTATATTTCCTTTTTATTTATTTATTTATTTATTTATTTATTTATTTATTTTTAGGATTTTCTTTGTAGGAAATATCATGACAGGTTTAAGATCTCATATTTCACAAATTTATCATAAACATGTAAAGAATTTAGATGAGAAAAAGTATGTAGAAAAAGAAAAAGAAAAAGAACCAGCTACGAAACAACACTAACCATTATTAACTTTCATTCATTTTAGTCCAAAGGATTTATATGATGAAATTCTTATTAATACAAAGGGAGTTGATAATGAATTGGGATTGGTTAGTATTGGTATTGATTTGTTGGTCGCAGGAACAGATACTAGTTCTTTAACCTTGGAATGGCTCGTTTTACGTCTTCTTCAAAACCAACATGTACAAGAAAAGATTTATCAAGAATTGTTGGATGCTGTTGGAAAGGGTGGTCGTGCCGACATTTCTCATCGTAGTAGCACTCCATACACTGTCGCCACTATCAAGGAAGTACTCAGAATGAATCCAATCGTTCCATTGGCATTGAACAGAACATCCAAAGAAGCTGTCACTTGTGGTGGTTATTATATTCCAAAGGGTGTACGTATCAAAAAAAATATATATAAAATTTTATAGACAATGATGTTAATTTAAAGTTATTATTTAGACTCAAATGGTTATGAATGTATATAGTGTACATTTGGATGAAAAATTATATCCAAATCCACATGTATTTATGCCAGAGAGATTTTTGGGAGAGACACCAGCTGACAGTTGGCTTCCATTTGGCATCGGACCAAGAAATTGTGTAGGTTTAAACCTTGCCCAAGATGAATTGTATTTGGCTGTTTCCAACATGCTCCTCAACTTCAAGTTTAGACCTGCAACTGAAAAGATTGATTTCACTGAAAACTTTGGTCTCACTATGAAGCCTAATCCATTTAGTTTCTATGTAGACTCTAGATAAAACAATAGAAAAGAATCAAAAACTTTTCAAAAAAAAAAAATAACCTTTTTGTTTAAATTTAAATCTTTTCCATTTATTTATTTAAAATAAACATAAATAAAATAAAACCAAAAGAGAAAATAGAATGGTCATTGGATTGACAATAGTTTTGTTGCCACTTGACAATGCTTTGTAAGGTGTGCATTGATCAGTATATTTCTTGTAGTTGCCCATACATTCATTCTTGATACACTCATTCATTAGGATATTTGGAGAGTTGTCATAGGGACAACTATTCTTTTCCATACAATTAATCAATTCCTTGTGACAGAGAATACATAATGGTTTAAAATTGAGTTGAGTTTCATTATGACAAACCATTCTATTTGATGATAAATCATATGAACAATATTCATTTACCCTACAATCACATGCTGATAAACATTTTTGATTTGATATTTTAAGTTCATCACATGTTCCATTATTACACTAAACAAAGAAATTAAATAAATAATTAAATACATAAATAAACAAATAATCATTCATTATTTCTTTTGTTTACATACATAGAGATGAGTTTCACATTCATAAATATCTTTACATTTATCACCTTTTCCTTGTTGGAATCTATCAGTACATTCGCCATTGATACCACATATTTTCTTTGATAGACATTGTTCGCTAATTTGGCATTTTCCATCACTTTTAGGTTGACATTTACCATCCATGCAATATTGATTCCATGGACAATCCAAATGTACTGTACATCCACTATTTGACACTACACAAATACCATTTGTACATTCTGTACTATTTCCAATACAATTACTATCAATGGTACATTTTGATCCAATCCTAAGAAAATAAAAAAAGTAAATACCATTAAAGTTTTGCAGCATCACAATAGATCATGGATTTCTCTTACAATTGACCAAGATAATTTTCGCATGTTCCATTCTTGCAATATAAACCAACATCACATCTTGTTGAGTTATCACATTTACTACTTTCTTTTAAGGCTCCAACACAAGTTCCATTTAAACAATATGAATATCGATCACATTGTAAATTATAATTAATTGTTCTAAAAAATAAAAAAAAGTTAATATAAATAAAAGTAGTTTGATGATTTTGGTATAATACATACAGTTGAGATACACAAGTTTGACCTTCATGTAAATTAATTGAGCACTCTTGTATAATAATTGGGATGATATCCTTTCTTCCATCTACCAACAAAAATGGAATGATATACAACAATAATAAAACAAAAGAGATCTGGAGAAATTTCATTATTCTCTCTCTCTATTTATATATATTTATAATTTAAATAAATACTATGTTTATTTATAAAATTAAAAATATTATTATTATTAAATAAATAAATTCATCTCTGAATGTGAACACATTTGTCATGTCCATTGTGTTTGTTATGTTATGTTTCACTCTACTACTCCTCCTTCCTACTCTGACTTGTGATCTAAAAGATTTATATTATTACTATTGCTATTACTATTATATATTACATCTTCACCCTTTTTCCCCACTTACAAATTACAAGTTTTTTTTTTTTCCTAATTATTATTATTACTATTATTATTATTATTATTATCTACATGTACAACAATAGATTGACTACAAACATGTCCATCGTAACCCACATCCACAATGTGTTTGTGTGTGTGTGTTCGTTTTGTTTCGTTGCTCTCACACTCTCTCTATTTTTTAGAGTTGTCTCTATGGTTTCCTAATTTACTGAATCTTGGTGGTGTTGTTGAAGTTGGTCTAACTAGTATGGTTGGTGATTGTATTCTAATGGTAGTTCTTGTTCCTTCTTCATTGCTTAGATCTTGTGATGATGATAGAGACAAGGATATTGGTGTGTTTTTCTCTGGACTTCCAAAGATATTTAATGCTCTATCTTTACTTGCTGAAAGTGGAGTGTTTGGTGTTATTGGTGTTGTTGGTGTCTGTTGATCCACTGGTGTAGGTTCTTCTTTAATTGGTTGTATTAGTTGTTGTGATGGTTGTTCATCTTTTACAGGTGGTTGAGCAGAAGGAGGTGGTTGTACCTTTGTTTCTTCCAATTCTTTTTCTTTTGGTTGTTGTTGTGTTTCAACTGGTACTACTTGATCCTCCTCTTGTTGTTGTTGTTGTTGTTGTTGTTGTTCGATGGCTAGAGATTCATTTTCATCGGCCAATGTAGTAGTAGTTGTGGTAGTTGTAGTGGTAGTCTTTGTAGTGGTAGTAGTAACTGTTGTAGAATCGGTAGTGCTTGTACAAGTAGTCGTTTTGGTACTAGTCACATTATCAGGTGATGATGATAGTAAAGGTGCAGTAGCAACAGTAGCAGGTGATGTAGATGAAGAGGAAGAAGCAGACACTACTGCTACTGGTGCACTACTACTACTACTACTATTGTTGTTATTAGATGCTCTTGGTGATAATGCTGTTGATGCAGGTGTATTTACAACCACTGGTGAAGGTGATCTCGTTGATAATCGACTAGTAGCATTATCTTTTTTGGCAATAGCAATAGGAGGTGTCGATGATTTCGAAGGTGATATTTGTGTTGGTGGTTTGGATGATGATACAGAAGAAGAAGAAGAAGAGGGTTGTTGTACTGGTGTAGTAGTAATGTTTGCAGCAGCCAATGCAGCAGCAAGAGAAGATGCAGAGGTAGTTGTGGAAGTATTAGTGGTCAATAATCTTGGTGTCTGAGGTGATGATGAATAATATGAATCTCTATTGTTATTGTTGTTAAGAAGAAGGTTCGTTGACGCTGGTCTACTCCCATCTGTTGTTGTTGTTGTTGTTGCAGCTTGTGATGCAAAAGTTAACTTTATACCTATTAAACTTAAAGTACTTAGGAATTGATCTATATAGAAACATAAATAACTATTAGTCAGGTCTTACAACGATTGATTGATTGATTGGTTGGTGTGTGTGTGTTAGATAATATCTCTTACAAAAGGTGATAGTTGTATTTCTAAAGATGAGAAAGCTCTCAAACGAAGGAAGAGTGAATGGTGAATCTGTTGGTTGTTGGACCGATCCATTTGAATATTTAGAGTAGTCTTCCTTTGATATGAATCCTTTTGATTGAGTATCTATCGTCTTGAAGATTCTTTCAAACACTTGAATCTCCTTTAAAGTAAATCTCTCACTATTTAAAAATGGGTCATATACTTTGAAAGGATTAATAATCGTTGAGTGATTCATTGCTACTATTATTATTATTATCTATTATCTATTGTTACAAATATCTCTTTACATATATATTGGGGATTTTAAATGTTTTTCTTCCTTTAAAAACTTGGGGTTAGGGTTAACCCAAACGCATTTTTAAATATTTGACTAATTGAAGAACTCCAGTTCAAATTATACAACTGAATAGTTTGGTAGGTGGTTCATCTGCAGAAACAATAATTATATATATATATATATATATTGATTATAGATTGTGGGGAAATATTTATTGTATTTGAATTAAGTTGGCTGGGAGTGCCCATGGTTGTTGACAACTAACTTGTTGTTCCATAGATGAGTGACAGGATTGTTTAACATAAAGCGAGGTCAAGTTGTAATTGCTTTTGGCAAACAGCTTGTGGATAAATAAAAAGGCAACCGTCGTACTTGGAACGGGCATTACCACGACAGTCTTAAGCATTGGCAAAGGAGAGACAAAACATGGCAATGATAACCATTAAAAAGAGGATTCGAGCGCCAATTTCTAATTTGATTTGAAATTTGAAATGAAATCAAAAGTGTTGATATATGTCAATCCAAATGACAGAATAATTAATTGTATTGTTTTGTTAATTGCACCAAATAAATCATATTTATCCAACGCAATGCAGGACCCATTGCAATTTTTATTCTCTAAAAATCAAACTCTAGGTCATCAAGATCAATTTGAGATATTGATTGCCCTTGTCCATATGTAGTAGTAGTAGTGCTTGTTGTAGAAGTGGTGAATTGACTATTTACATTATTATTATTATTATTATTATTATTATTATTATTATTATTATTATAATTATTATTATTATTTTGATTATTTTGATTATTTGTTAATTGTTGATTATTATTAATATTTCGGTTATTATTGTTATTGTTATTTGTTATTTGTTGATTATTATTATTTTGATTATTATTATCTTGATTTGAAATACTTTCAATTTTTTGATAAAATTTGACAACACCTTGATCAACCTTGAAATGTTTAGGTTTTGCAGGAGTTTTTAATTGCAATCCTTCGAGTGATGTTGCTCTACTGAGAGCTACATATGCTTGTCCATTTTGAAAGGTTCCATCGAGATCGACTATCAATCTGTCAATGGTCATACCCTGACTTTTATGTATAGTCAAAGCCCAAGCCAATGCCAGTGGTAACTGACGCCTAGAGGCAACTGTCAGACTGCCAATTTCTATTTTCCAAATTTCAATACCGACAACAACCTCTGCCCCACTAGCAAATCTAACCACTGGTTGCACAATGTCACTATCTGAGAATCCAATCACCACTCCTCTTGCTCCATTGACCAAACCTTGTTCAAAATCCAAATTCTTTAGTAGAATCACTTGTGATCCAATCTTTAGTGTCAGAGATTGTGGTGCTTGCATATTATCAAATGTCTTTCTATAATTGTCCGAACCTACATCCACCGCTGTAAATGTCATCCCCTCGGTTGTCAATTGATCCAATTTCTGTTGATTTTCTTTATCTACTTGAATTCTTTTTGGATCTAAAAAATAAACAATTAGTTAGAAAATATATATATATATAATATATTTAATACTTTGATACATACAAAGAATAGTTGGAATGATACCATCTGAACGTTGTAAATTATTGTTTACACATTTTTGATTTAAATAGTCTATTGATTTATAATCAAAAGTTCCAAATCTAATTTGATTCAATAGATCAACAAATTGAGAATCCTTTTGACGAAAAACTTGACGAAGAAGGATACATCTTTCAATAACACTCTCCCAACACTTTGCATCAAAACAATAGGGTGATGCTCTTTTTGCAGATTGATCCAACATTGATAAAAGATCATCTGCAGGATCTCCACCACCACCATAATTATTATTATTATTTTGATTTTGTTGATTATTTGTAACTGGAGAAAGTTGAAAGAAATCACCAACTAGAATAACTTGAACACCACCAAATGAACGTTTACTTTTTCTAATTGATCTTGCAATTTCTTCAATCTTGTCAAATAGATCCGAAGATATCATTGATACTTCATCGACAATGAGAGCTTTACAGGTTCTCCAACGATTAAAAACAGTTTGATTGTTTTCAATGTAGGTTATATAATCTCGCGCCGATTTGTCACCTAGACTAACACCGGCAAATGAATGTAGTGTTGTTCCACCAACCGAACATGCAGCAATACCAGTACTCGCTGTTACGTGTACCTTGTCACTACCATATAATTGTCTGAGACATTTAACAATCTCTTTCAACACAAAACTCTTTCCAGTACCTGCACTACCTGTAAAGAATAGATTCTTTCCCTCCAATACATAGTTGACAATTGCTTTCTGTTCTTCGGTTAGTGTTGATGATATTTCTATTTGATCTTTTTTAAGTACCGCTACCGAAGAAGACGGACGAGATTGTTGTTGTACCGGTGATGATAGAGTCGATGTAAACTTTGGTGGTACATTTCCATATGGACCACCTCGTTGGTTGGTCATACTCGATGCAGAGAATTGATTTAATTGAGATGATATAGATGATTGACCACCCAACAATGATCTTGTTGTTGTAGTTGTAGTAGTTGGTACAATTGGTTTAATTGGTTGTACCATTGATAAATGTGAAGGTAAATCAAAGTCATCATCACCTCCATTACTTCTTTTTAATACTCCATTTACAGAAAGGAATGAGTGTACTTTTTTTGGTTGTTGTAAACTATTATTATTATTATTATTATTTAACAAAGAAGAGGATGATGATGTTGTTGTAGATGTAGATGTATTATTATTCTTATTTAAGAGAAGAGATGATGAAACGAATCCACCTCCACTACTACTACTTCCCATCGGCGCATTATAAACAATCGATGAAACGACAGCACCATGATCCTTCTTTACTTTTGGTTCTTGTTTCTTCTGCTGAACAATGATATTGCTTTGATCTTGAAGGTTATTATTGTCGTCGTCATCTTCAGTCGACTTTCTTTTCTTAAATGTAGGATTAGATTGACCAAAGTATTTAGACTGGAGTTGCTGAGATGATTGCGAGGAGGAGGAGGAGGAGGAGGAGGGAGTAGGTGGTGTTGATTTAACAGTAAAGAAATCAGTAATCTGTGAATTGTTAATCAACGATGTATCTGTATTATTATTATTTCTTTTAGTTCTTTTCATTATAAAAGTAATAATGGGGATTAATATATACAAAAAAGCGCCAAAACTATCAAAAGTGTATAATTCTGAGAAGAAAGAATATAATGTATAAAAATAAATCAAATGCCTTGTTTCTTTCGTTTGTTTACTCCAACCAATTTAGTTCATTCACGACCAGACTCAAAATATCGATGTACGGTAAGAATGATTGTGACAAGCATCTTTGACGAGTGAGTACAACAAACAAGTTGACCATCAACATAAGATCAAAAGTATTATATCAATCAAACGAACGATCTTTCGTTCGAAAAAAGCACGACCAGTAATCAACAATCAATACTGTATGCGATAGATCATCCTCAATTTCAGACTTTGATCGTACTACAGTTGATATCTCTTAGGAGATGTTCTGAATAGTATTTATCATCTTGTTATTGATAGACGCATGGGAGCAAATCACATTCTGAGAGTAAAAACAAACAATTGCCCGCTCTTTGGAAAAAAAGAATTTTTTTAATTTTTAAACAGTTTCAAATGCGATCATTGAAAAGACCGTGAGTAGGTTTGAAATATTTCATTTATTTATTTAATATTATTTTAATTAATTTGGTAGAGAAGAAAGAGTCATCTTCTCAACACGTAGTTCATTTCGTGCCTTGACGTTCTTTTTGAACTCAAGGCAGTGGGCACTCTAATTTTCTGACCCTTCCTGGGCATCAATGTTCTTGACATCTGGTTGGATCGGCATAGCTCCATGCTCCAAAGGGATGGGAACATCAAAACTTGGTTTCTTTGTAGTCTGCTTGTCTCTTTGTTCCATACCTGGCCTGGAGGCGCTCGAGTGCTGCATTATATGCTGGAGCATATGTTGATCTGTTCAACGGAGAGTTGACATTGGCTGGCCTGGCATAAGGGTCATATCGAATTGGATGACCTTGAGACTGGTGGTTCTCTCGTCGGTAACTGTCACGGTTCGATTGTGACTGGCGGTCATTGGCAAATGATTGGTTGGCAGACATTGTTGAGACTGGGCTAAACGAAATTGGTGATAATGGGTAATCGATGGGTTCGTCTTCTTGTATTGGTGAATCAAGTTGGAAAAGGAATATCCGCTGCCAAGACTACCCTCCTTCGTAGACACCACTTCCAAAAGGTTTCTATTGACTTGGAGATTCCCTCGATGGAACCTCCCTGCTTTTGGATGTAATAACAGGTGGTGGTGTTGTCCGTTCTGATGAGGACCTTTCGGTGTCTGATGGATCAGCATAGAACGGGGAACGAAATCAACACAGAAATGTATGGTTATTCTTAAACACAAAAGGGACTTGGAGGGGTTCTTCTTTATTCTTTAAAGAGTCATAAAATAATCCCCTGTCATCATATGATTCTTTTAAAGAAGAATCCCTCCAAGTGTTCACAAATCAAGTTACATCATAGTAGTTGGCTAATCTTTAATCTTTGTAATAGTTGTATGTATAATTTATTATCATTTTATTTATTATTTTTGTTCTTTTTCTTTTTCTTTTTCTTTTTCTAGTTGTTGTTTCTTTTCTTCTTCTGAACTTGTGCTATATTCTTCGCTATCAGTTTCCTCGGAAGATTCTTCAGAAGAGGTACTATAATCACTGGAACTTGAATCATCGTCTGAACTGGTTGTATCAGATGATGTTTCGTCTGAACTGTCATCCGATGTCGATCCATCCTTTTTTCCATTCTCATCCTTGTCGTTATTAATAATATTGGGTTCATCTTCTTTCTTCTTTGCGTCCACTGGTGTTGCTTCGACTACTTTAATTATTTCGGCTGCTGCTACAACCTCACCGGCTGTGTTGCCTTGATCCAAGTCTTGATTCATGATTGGGACTGGAACGGCTACAATATTGACGGTAGTAGTATTGTCTGATTGGGCAGCAGGCTCAACTTTTGGGTGGTCGATAGTTGTCTTTTCTGATGATTGGCTTTCTTCTGTTGTGGTTGGATTATTTTCAACCACTGTAACTGGGACTGTTTCGTGAATGACTGTAACTGTTTCTGGTTGTGGTTGTGATTCTTCAAAAGCCTTGTTGCCAACAACTACTGGTTCTTCCTCTGGTTTCTTTTCTTCTACGACGACGGCAGGTGGGTCTTGTTCAACAACAACAGTTTCAGTGATGATGACAGCAGCTGGTTCAGTGTCATTGATGACGGCGGCGGTAGTGGTGGTTGTAGTAGTGACAGTGACCGGTTCGTCGGCGACTGGGTCGACAACCTTTTGCTCCTCTACTACAACAGTCTCTGCAATGACGACTGGTACAACAGCAGCAGCAGCAGAGGCAGCTTGCTCTTCCTTCTTTGGTTGTTCAGTTTCAACCTTTTTGTCAACTGGTGGAATAGCAACGTCGCCAGCAATAACAAACGAGTTTTGAAGAGTTGGGGGTGGTTGGTTAAAGGTACCCTCGGTGTATTGGTCACCGTACATGTCACGGATGAGGTCGTCATACTTGGCGAGAATAATCTTACGCTTGAGCTTTTGGGTGGGGGTGAGCTCCGAGTCGGTTCCAGAGTCGGCAAACTCGCGTGGACAGATTCTGTACTTTTTAATGCTGGATGCTTGAGTGAGACGGAGATTGATCTCGTTGATCTTGGCTTGCAAGTAGTCGTTGAATGACTTGTCGCGGATAGCTTCCTCCAAAGTCTTGACGTTGAATCCAATCTTGGGCAAATACTCGACGTTGATGGTCAACATGCAGACAATGTACTTTTGACGGTCACCGACGACAACAGCGTGATTGACACCGGGAATCTGTCTCAAGTAACCCTCACTGAGTGCGGGCGAGACATTCTCACCACCGGCAGTGATAATAAGCTCTTTCTTTCGGTCGGTGATAAAGAGGTATCCATTCTCATCGATCTTTCCGATATCACCAGTGTGGAGCCAGCCGTCTTCATCGATGGTCTCTCTAGTGGCTTCGGGGTTCTTGTAGTATCCGAGGAAGACGTTTGGACCCTTGATGCAGATCTCGTCGTCACCAGGGTTGAGCTTGACCTCGCTGCCTGGCAATGTCTTTCCGACCGAGCCAGTCTTGGCACGTGGATAACTGATGCACTGTGGACCGGTCAACTCTGACATACCGTATGCCTCGGTGACGGTGATACCGAGCGACAAGAAGAACTCTAGCGTGTCCTTTGAAATGGGTGCGGCCGTACTAGCAAAGAATCGGCATTGGTCAAGACCCAATCCCTTTAACAACTTTTTAAACACCAATGCACGAGCAAACCCGTATCCCTTGGGCTTCTTTTCGCCACGTTGTTGCTTGTACCCTCCCTCGATACCCTTGCCCTTGGCCCAATTGACCAACTTCTTTTTAATACCTCCCGATTGATTAAGAGTAGTTTGAATCTTTAATTGAATCTTTTCCCAAACACGTGGTACACCAAAGAAAATAGTTGGTTTAATTTCTAATAATGTATCTAATAATGTTCCCTAAAAAAAAACAAACAAAACAAACAAAAAAAGAATATTAATATTATTTCTATCTCTATCTATCTTTTTAATTACTATTCAATACTTACTTGAAGAGCATTTCTATCAGCAAAAGAAACAGAGAAACCAAATACTAATGGAGCATATAATGTTACAACTTGTTCGGCAACGTGACTAAGGGGTAGATAACTGATAAATCTTTCACGATGACCAGTCTTTGGATGAAGGACGACACTACCGACGGTGTAACAAGTCCAAGCAATATTACGTTGGGTCATCATACATCCCTTTGGCATGCCAGTGGTACCAGAGGTGTAAATAAGTGTACAAAGGTTCTCGGCAGTGATGGCTTTGGAGATTCTATCAATTTCAGAATCTGGAACGTTTCTACCTTGTTCCAAAAAGTCTTCCCAATGTAATACTCCTGGTGGTAACCCTGTCGATGTGGTAGTAGTATTGGTTGTAGTAGTAGTTGTACTGGTTGTACTAGTTGTACTAGTACCATTGGCATCGGTCGTGGTTGTGGTTTCTGGAATGGTAGTTGCAGAGGCTGGAGCAGTGGTGGTGGTAGCTGGTGCAGTGGTAGTGGTGGTAGTAGTGGCAGCAGTATTGGCAGTGCCAGTTGGATTTCTAACATCAAAAGGTTCCATTAAAATGAAAGCTTTAATATTTGGTAGTTTGTCACGAATTGCCATGTATTTGTTTAGTTGTGTTTCATTTTCGACGCAGATGAATTGAGCTTCGCTGTGAGAGGCAAAGTACTCGCATTGCTCTGGTGAAGAGGTGGTGTAGATACCGGTTGGAAGACCACCGGCCCAGATGGCACCGAGTTGGCACATTTGCCATTCCGGCGAGTTGAAACCAATAATGTTGACTCCTCCACCACTAGTCAAACCCAACTTTATAAATGCCTTGGCAGTTGCATAAATGTCTTGACGGTATTGCATCCAAGACCATTGACGCCATATTCCATTTCTCTTTACCTTGATGGCAAGATGATGTGGGAATCTTTGAATGGTATGTTCCAATGCATCGATAATGGTAGTTGGCATTGGAATTGGTTCTGAAACCTCTCCATTTTGATCTACATGATGTTTTTGTGCTTCAATCTTTGGTGCTGCAGAAGTTGTTGTTGTTGGAGCAGTGGTTGAAGATGAAGATGTTGCTGGTTCTTCATTTGTTGTTGTTGTTGTTACAGGTGCAGCTACAACTGGTACTGGAGCAACTACAGCTGGTGCAGCAGCAGCAGCAGCAGCAGTATTATTATTATTATTATCTGTAGTTGAAGTAGTTGAGGTAGTATTCTCTTCCTTGTTTGTTGTTGTTGTTACAGGTGCAGCTATAACATCAGCTGATGTTTCTGTTGTAGTGGTTGTCGATGAAGGATCAACATTTGTAGTAGTTGTGACCGAGCTATCGGTATTTGTAGTTGATACCGTTTCTTGTTCACTCATTCCTAATCCTATCTATCTATCTATCTCTTTCTCTATATGATGATATATAAAATCTATTTTGAAAAAATTGATTGACAGCTGATGATGGTGATTGATTGGAATGAGGTGGTGTGAAGTTCTCTAAAAGGGTCAACTGACAGATCAAACGGAAAAAAGTATTTCAAAAAAAAAATTAATACAAGTTAACAATTAAATATATATAGTATATGTATAAATGAAAAGTTCGTGTGTTGTTTGTAATGATGATGATGATGATGATGGATGTTTGTTTTAAAATTTCAAAACCTACAATTGTCAGATGAGTTTTCTAAATAGGAAATTAGGTCAGAGGTAAATTGCGCTCTCTCTGCCTACTTTGAACTCTGTTTGAACCAAATCTAGAAAAAAATGGCGGTCTTTTGTTGTTTCTCTAACGGCTAACTAAACAAAACAGAGCAATTAATACTACAAGTAAAATAATAGAGAGTGATACAGATATAATGACAATGTAATTACAACAATGACCACACACTCACACACTGTATATTTATCCGTTAAATCAAAGAGCTTACCCCCCCCCCTATGTGTGTACATACATTGCAATCACCAATATTGGAGGGAATTTTGAACACGTGATTGAATGGATGATGGATGGATCTTTTTCTTTTCTTTATTATTAATATATACAACTCGACTCGATTACTCTGCTAGTTTAAGTTTTGAGTTTCAGGAGATGATGGATTAAAAACAATTACACCTTTTGATAATGATCTTGACATTCTATTTGTGATTGGAGTTGTTATTGTTGACCTGTTATTCGATTGTTTTGGTGAAGACATGACTGTAATGGTAGAGGTTATGGTTGCAGAGTTTACAGCTGTTGTTTGTGGTTGTAAACTATTTGAACTTAGTACCAAACTTTTTCTATTTTCTGCACGTGATGTTGCTGCTCTAGATATTGGTCTAGGTGGTTGTCTTGTCGATGACGACGACGATGAAGAGCTGGTTGAAACCGATGTAAGTATAGTTGTTGTTTTAGAGTTGGCAGTTGTTATTTGTTGTTGTTGACGTAGTAATTTAATGGTTTCAGATCTACCAAATTTAAGTACATAGCTAGAGAATGCTTCAAAACCACCTCCTACTCTAACTACAATACCACCTGCCAAAATTTGAACATTAATCTTTTTAGTTCCAAATAAATATAGACCTTCTCCCAAACGTTCAAAGTTTGGTGGAATGACACCTGTAATTGTAATTTCTTTGTTTCCTCCAACCGTTGTAGATGTAGTTGTATCTTTTTCTTTTTTGTCTTGTTGTCCTGGTTTGTTTTTAACAAAACTATCAATGACAGAACCAACCATTACATCCAATATATCATCTTCATTGGCCGTGTATTTGAGAGATGCTTCAGCTTGTAGTTCCTCGAGTTTTTTGATGAGTTGAGCCTTTCGTTTGATGACTGTCAAGTCGAGAACACCTCGTTTGGTACGTTCGACCAAATCAACCTTTTCATTGTACAGTACTTCCAAGTCTACCAATACTTGATCAGTCTCTGAGCCAATCGATATTTGTTCCAATGCCATTTCGACACCGACCGACATTCTTTCAAGTGACGATAGAAAAGTCTCTGTTTTCTTTTTTTCACCTTCATAGTATTGTATTTTGGCCTTGAATTCAACTTCAAGATCATTGATCTTGTTGATGAGTTGTTTCGGATCATCCAATATGATTTCTTGATCTTCATTTTGTTCGTGTTGAATAATATGTGGTTCAATTTTATCTACAATCGATTCAACTCTATTTTCAAATGGATCGATACACTCTGGATGCACTGGGAATGCCAATGTATCGGATTTAAGTTGTGCCAATTTTAGACGATAATCTTGTAGTGTTGCTTTTGCCTTTTCCAAGGTCTTTGTAAATGCTTGAATCTTTAAAGAGAATGGTTCAACACGATCCAATGTCATGGTAAGACTCTGTTGCTTGCATTTTTCAGTGTGTGACAATAAAACGTCTACGGGTTCTTGTAGCTCGCTTTTAATCATATCATTACTCATATCTGGTAATGAAGAGGTTGAATTGTTGTGATTATTTACATTGGCAATGATGGATGCTATTTTTGGTGTATACGTGTCAATAAACCCAAAGAGAATGGGTTCATTGGTAGTGTAAAGATCGACAGATGATTTGTTTAAAAAGTTGTTTATACATTGAATTTCATCAAATATGGTTGGATAAATCTCTTCCAATTCTTGTGACCGATACACCATTTCAAATTGTATCAATCGACCCACCATATCTTCAAAGTTCTTCAACGACGATTCTCTATCAATCAATATATGTTCATCTATTTTTTTCTTTAATTTAATATTATCTAAATAATATGTATCTCTTTGTTTTCTGTATCTAAAAGAGAAACAAACAAACAAAAAAAGAATTAATATAAATTATATTATTATTTTTCTTTTCTTTTCTTTTTACATACTTGAAATTATTTCTTTCAATTTGAATTAAAAATTGTGACCAATTCTTTGTAGTTTGTTGTTTACTACCACCACCAGAATGATGAATATTCATTGTACCACTTGATATTAATTCTAAAGCTTTCTTTTTTTGTGATTCCAATTCTTCAGTCTTCAATACCAATTGACTATTTTCATCACCCATAGTTCTTTCCAATAGATCTCTATCTTTGATGGCTTGTGTTCTAAGGCTACGTTCTTCATCCAAATGCTTGCTCATTACGTTGAGATCATTTTCCATTTCCTCTCTCTTTGTTTCCAAGTCTCTGATGGTAGCTTGGTACAAGTCAATTGAACTCTCATCGAATCGTTCGATTAGCTTTTCATTCTCTTTCTGTAAGAGACACTTTTCATCTTCCAACTCTTTGACATAGTTTTCAAAGGCCATCTTTTCCTCTTGCAACTTTGATATTTCATCGTCTTTCAACTCCAACTCTCTCTCCAAGTTTTTAGCTCCTCCTCTCGATCCTCCTTTACTAGGTGTGTACGATGATCCAATCGACGACTCATCGTCATAGTCGCTCTCTTGATTACCATCATATGAAGTGTAGATCTTTAAATCTCTAAGCATTTCATTTGTCTTTACTTTAGTCTCATCATCTCTCTTTTTAATTTCATCTAATCTTGTTGTAACTGAATCTATCCAATATGATCTTTCCTTTTCTGTCAATGTATATAATTTATAAATTCTTCCTATAACTTTTAAAACCAAAAAAAAAAAAAAAAAACAAATACAAATGTCAAGGTCAATTATTGGATTTACAAGAATAATAGTTATAGTCATATGTGTCTATCTATTTATCTATGTATCTATGTTTACACATACCAGTAATATCAAAATGGAATTGACCTTGAGTGGCAGTAGTATCTTTACTTGTACCAACATGTAATATATCCCTTAGTTTAATTGAACCACATTGCTTTCTTTCAATCTTTGATTCATAGTAATATATGATATCTTGGTTTTCTGGTACTATAAAGTATCTCTTTTTGAATGTCTTTATTAGCCCTTTATTACCTAATTTGAAAACTGATCCTTCTATTAACATTTTTTTTCAAATCCAAATCTCTCTTCTCTCCCTCTCTTTTATCTCTTTCTTTAACTTTGATTATTACTACTTTAATAATAATTATGATTGTCTTGATGAGGTCATTGAGTTCGTATCTTCTGGTCCTCTTCCCTACTTTTTAATTTTATTTCGAACCACACCTCCTTTTGATTTTTCGGACCTATTTTGGAAAATATCTAAAGGGTTGGGGAGGAGGACCATCAAATGACGGGCCACTTTTTCAGTGTGATTGGTTGGGTTTGTCAATGAGTATCCAATTATTCTTGGTTTGTTTGAATAAATTATTATTGTTTGTTTGCCTATTTATTTATTGTTAGTGTTTATTAGTTAGTTAGTTAGTTGGGTGTTGATGGTGGTCTATGGGTGCCTAGTAAATAATGTTTTGGATTATTAATATTATTATTGGTGGTTGATGGTGATGAAGTTGAAGAATTGGATGTTGATGACGATGATGATGATCGTCCATGTAGATCACTACGAACAAAAATCGGTGATAATGTGACACTGACACCTTGACCACTGCTTTGATCACTACTACTACCAGCAATTGAACTTGAACTACTATTACTTCTAGTCGATGTAGAAAAGAATTGAGATTCTCCTCCAGTCGATGCTATAACTTTTGTATATGGTAATGGTCTTGGTTTTGGTGTTTGAATGATAGTATTATTTACAATTAGATGACCTCCACATTTATGAAGGCTACTGGCACTGGCACTACCACCTCCACTTTTACCAAGTGATGAATACCCATTTGGAATTGATATGGAATTGGTTTCAGTTGCCGTTTCAGGTGGTGAATTAATCATCTCTAAAACAACATCACTATTATTAGAATAGGATTTCTTATGAAATCTTGAACTTGATCTAATCTTTGTTGTAACCAAAAGTGATGGTTGAGTTGGACTTGTTGTTGTTGTTGTTGTCGATGTAGTCTGATTATTATCTTCATTTTTTGGTGGTGATACTGTAATAGTCATCGATGACGACGGTGATTCATCACTATTATTATTATTATTAATATTATTATTAATATTATTATTAATATTATTATTAATCTTTTCTTTTTCCTTTTCCTTTTCTTTTTCTTGACGATATAAAAGTGATTGTAATTGTTGATGTTGAGTTGATTTACTAACCATCCAACTATTAAATAACCAGGTGTTTTGAGTTTCGTAGTTCATATAGAGTGATTTCCAAAGTTCCATACATCGAATATTAAGGTTGGGACGAATGATAACACCTTGTTGATTGGGGATAAAGAAGGGGTTGATAAAGTATTCAATGTTGAGATTAACGTCTGTCCAAATCGAGACGGTCTTTGTTTTGACCTGATCTCTCATTCTCTCTTGCTCAGTGTTGTGCAAGAATGTGCCGTATTTACAAGAGTACAAATGCTCGGCAATAAAGAGGAGCAGTGTGGGAGTGTACTCAAAGAGCAGAGGGAATTGGTTGACTAGTTGAAAGATGGCATCGAGGAACTGAATAAAGATGGGTGATACTTCATCCTCACTTTCGTGCAAGTGTCCCAACCGATGAGTAAACTTGTGTCCAAAAGACAACCACTCTTTTTCAATGAGTACTTGCAACCCGACAACAGTACGGTAATACGGATCCAACATGATTTGTGCCAGACTGGTCAGTTGAGGTGTTCTGTCCCACCCGTCACTACAATGCACCAATATGTTTGATCCCTTGGTGATGAGCTCGGCTGCAAACAACGCACCCGACAAGACACCCTTGATGTGGTTCAACCAACCACTCTCCTCAACTGCCTTCATGGGTTCTTCCGACTGTCCAAATTGCGATACCGCTCCAACCAGCTTCTCCAAGCTTTTTCGCATCACATGGATGTTGGCAATGTTGAGAAACACCAGTTTACACGATGAATAGTTTCCGATATTCTCAAAACCGGCACCGTTGGCCGTGTTGGCGATGGCATTCAATTTGGGACGTGCGTCGAGAATGTACAAGGGCTTGCCATTGGCGATCGTGGTGATGTAGAGCTCGTCCTCGGCGCACCGCGAGCTCGCCAACCCAACCAATGGCTGCGAGCAACGTGTGATGCATGCACCGTTGGGTGCGCGCCACGACAACACTGGTATTCTGCCTTTTGACCTATACCCTCCCACCTTTTCCAAGTCCTTGTCGAGCATGACACGTGACACTACCAAACCCGATGGATAAGATGAACAGAGCTTAAAATCCTTGTTGATAAATGTAAACTTCCAATAGAGATTCTGGAGTGTGTTGGGTTGATCTTCGTGTATGCCAAATCGAGCATACTCCTTTTTAGGCTGGTATACAAGCCAGCCGTCGTTGGGAGGTCGTTGCGACCGATACACATGTGCGTACAGGTATGGCAACGGTTCTTCAAATACACCGTAGCATTCGAATCGATCGATATGCTCGATACGTGAATGATCGTCCAATATAATATTATCCTTGACAATCTTGTTTTGGAGTCGACGGTTCGTGTCGATTAGTTTAAGACTCTTTTCCACCTTGGTCTTGTAATGATAGGTGATAATGTCAACCACCTTGTCACGCATGGCACTATTCAAAAAGTAGATCTTGCAATGCTTGAAATTCTTGGTTGTAATGACTATCGAGTAGTAGTTGATTGGGGTAGAGTTGACAATCTGTCCATTACTATTGATATTCAATTCACAGTGTTGTCCAGACACAAATGAAGACGACGTAGATGATATGACCTGATGTGTTATATTGGATCCAGAATTTGGTGTAAATCCAAGAGTTGTAGATCCATCATTTGATCCAGTCCAAAAATCATCCTTACTTAGATATAAATAAGATGATGATGTATTATTATTTAATCTATGTATCATCTTTTCCATTTCATCATCTGGTATATTATTTTCATCAATGTTATTATTATTATTAAAATTATTATTACTTTCATTATTATTATTACTATCAATATTAATATTAATATTTATACTACTATTATTACTACTATTACTTGTATTTGCCCAATTTGAAGAAGTTGTTATACCATTTGTACTATTACCACTTCCACCTAGATTTGGTAGAGATGTTGAATTGATTGTATTTTGTTGTTGTTGCTGCTGACCTCCACTACCTCCAAGTGCCAACATTGATACATTCTGAACAAGATTGATACTACTATTATTATTACTATTTCCACCTCCAACAACACTAGTTGTTCCAGTCGTATTATTAATATTATTAATATTATTTAAATTTGATTGATGATTAATACCAGGATGATTTTCAGTTGTAATTGATTCGATTGAAGCTAGAGCTATACTCATTTCTTCGTCATCTCCAAATGGCCAATTGAGTGAATATTGTGTTGTTGAAGGATTGGAGACAGAGTTTTCACATCTAAACACAACTCTATAGTTTGTAATAAATACACCACCATGTATCAATTGAAGGTGTTGTGAACTACTATAAGAATCTCCACTCTGTGAAAAGTTTTGCATATTCTTTCCATAAAATAAATTTAATTTCTCCATCCATATAATATATTCTCCACAACTTCCAATTCTCTCTAAAATAAAATTAAAATTAATACAAACAATTCTACCTCTTCTTCTTCTTATTTCTCTTTTGTTTTAAATTAATTTTTACCATTAAAGAATTGAACTATTTGAGGATTCTTTGATTGTAATGCATATTCCAAAGGTGAAGGAAATGATGAACTAAGTGATGATTTTGTAAATAATGCTCCATGTTCCATAAATGTTAACAATATATCAATTCTACCTTCTTCAATTGCAACATGTATTGGTGTCCTTCCTCTCCTAATAAAAAGTAAATTAAATAAATAAATAAATAGTAAATAAATGATGATTTAATGATAGTCTATATCCTTTCTTTGATCTTCATACTTGTTTAAGATATTTGGATTAGCACCATTTAATAATAATAATTTAAGGAATTCATTATTATTTGTTGGTAGTGTTGCACGATGTAATGGAGCTTCAAATTTAATGTCCTTGTGATTGATAAATGCACCTGCTTCAATGAGTAGTGATGCTAGTTTGATTGCTTTGGGTGCATGACAGTATTTCGAGAGGAGATGTAATGGAGTCGATCCGGTTGATGTTCTTGCATTGGGGTCTGACCCTTTGACCAATAACTTTTCAGCCATTTCAAAGTGACCTTGATTAACTGCACAATGCATTGCTGTATATCCATCTTTATCTCTCAACTCTAATGGTTTAATTTCTTCTAAATTTACATACTATAATAAATAATATAAACATCATTCATTCATTCATTCATTCATTTAATTAAATATAATAGATATGTACCTTTTTCTTTAAGCACTGTCTTATTACATCCATGTTACCATTCATCGATACCAAATGAATGAGCGTATGTTGATGGTTGTTATGAACCATTGTCAAAGGGTGTTTCTTTAACCATTCTTTGATAAGATTCTTATCGGTCGATCTTGATATCGACTCCAACTCTGTCATCTTCTTCTTCTTCTACTTGTACTCGAGTCGACTACTACTATGATTGTGTCTGTGTGAAATGGGGGAGACCTGCAAAGCAAGGACCTTGCTAACCTCACTCTCTCTTTACAATCCTATATAAAGTACTTGTACAATAACACTTCTACTACTATTACTACTACTACTACTACTTTGTTGATATCAATTATGTAAAGTTTAGTATATGTAATTAATCTAAATTAATGTTGTCATTACCGTTCACGACCGCACCTTGAAAGTTTGCATTCTTGTTTAATAATTTTTTAATGAAATTTAGTTGGTTGGTTTACTTGTCATCGGCAAAGTCGACCACCCTTTTGCACTGGTGCATCTAGCTAGTCGTGTTCCACCAATTTGGGGAACCTAGGACAAAGGGGGGTAGGTTAGGGTTCTCATCAGATCAAAGTAGAATTAATAATCGATCGATTGCGTCTTGTAAAAGTATAAAATTAAAATCGGTCATTCTTTTACATAATACTAACAAATACACAAACCCACCATTCATCTAAATTAGATACATTCAGTCCTATCAAATATACTGATGATAACTAAAAGGTACTTTGGTTGAATATTCCTCGAGTTGTCTCATGATCATAATCAGATATATGATGTGCATCGTCATCCAATGAAATGTGTAGCTATTTATGAACGATCCCTTCTTGGGATTCTGATGAAATTTCCAACCAAAGTTTTCAAAATACCTTTTTTCACAGAAGAGCCATTAAGCTTCATATAATCATCGTCATCATCATCATTTGTTATTATCCATCATCGATCAAACTAATTTATAATGTCTCATGATCACCAAAACGCTGATGATGATGATTGGATAAATGATTATCACGATCTATGTCACTACATTCACGATAGAGCATCGGTAAAGACAACGAAAAAGAATAGATACAAATTTTTACTAAAAGTATACAAACAAAGGAAACAACATACAAAGTATGTATAATATAATATAATATTAAAAATTCTTAGAAACAAAATACTATAGGAATAAATATATAACAATATCAAATGACTAACCAACAACATATAATGAATTAATAATATTTATTTTTTATTTATTTAGACCTTTTAATCAAAATCGATCGGATGGTGGTTTATGGGAAACTGCAAGATTACTAGATTTACAACTCCAAGACAGTATTGCACGGGAAATGGAAATGGATAGACTTGAAAAAAAAAGCAAAGCTCAAGAGGCCTATCAATTTGTGCCTAGGTTTAAAGCTGACCCATTTGTTAAAGTATGGTGTAAAGTGGGAGAGAGTGATTCCCTTGATAACGATCGAATGTGGCAATGTATTGAAACAAGGTCTGCCAATTCCCCATCGGTACCTTTTATCAGTCGTAGTACTCTGATCACTCAATACCATCACGCCAATTGGGAATATCTTGGGAGAAAATACTTTGGAAGGATGCAACCTATTCCGATGGATGGTCAGTGTGCGTCAGAGCTTGCTTTGTCACTCGAAAACAAGGTAGATGATTTGATTGGAGTGTGTAACGCAGTCGAATATTTCTACAAACGAAGCATACTCTTGGATGAGATCGTTCGTCTTGCATTAAAATATCAACATCCCGACAATCTCCAATTCATCATGTCCTATGTAAAGCCCACACATATCGCCGCCATCTACACCTTCACCAAATATATTTCTGATGAAATACCCACCGAGATGAAATATCCTCGTCCTCGGGATAGCAAAGTACCCAATCGACACTGTTTTTGTCTTGGTGGTATATTCAACAACGATCTACTACACACCATCGAAATAAGAAACCGAAACTACTCACTCGTCAGTGAATCGTCGTTTGCAACAGACCGGATGATGGAAAAGGATGAATGTAATCCTTTGATCAAGTTGTACCAATCACCCATTCGTATTGATTTCAAATCTTACCGTAAAACAATGATCAACAATCTCACACTCTTCAAAGATTGTTTTAATTGGTTCACATCGTCGGTTCTTTCAAATGTAACTTGGGGTGAAATAGATGGTTGTCGTGTGGTGTGTGCAGGTGGAGCTGTACTTGGTTCTCTTACTTGTGGGTCAAAATCCTTTGAAGAATATCACGAGACCTATCTACTTTCTGAACAGGCAATCGCAACACTACCACTAGTATGTAGAAAACAAATACAAGAATACCTTTCATATCCAACAAAAAAAGCCATCTCCGAAGCTAGACACCAACTTCAAGGTAAAATTCAACTTCAACGTCGAGGATTTAGTTTTTCAGAAGACGGTCTGACCGTTGATCCCCTCACCTGTGAAACATTCTCCAATTGGTACACGTCTACCCAATTACATTACAACTCCACCTCATCCCCATACTTCAACTCTGATATCGATCTATTCCTCATTACAAAATCAAAAGAGAGTGCAACGGAACGAATCAAACAATTGGTAAAAGAGATTACCGTGTGTCTTCCATGTAGTTACCATATCGTCAAAACTACATATTCATTGACGATCCTACCAACAGTCTTTCCATACCGTCCAATCCAAATCGTCACAGCGACACTTCAAAGCTACTATGAGTTCATTCTCAAAGCAGATATAGATTGTACATGCTTTATATATGATGGAGATCATGTATACACCCATTTACGTGCTATTCAATCATTTTACACTTCGACCAATCGCATATCACCTCGTCTACTCGAACCAGAGAGATCTCGAATGATCAAGTACGCAAAAAGAGATTATTCATTCGAGGCCACTGATTTAACAGACCAAATACCTGGGTCCTCCAAAATTGTTGAAAAACGCCTTCAATACTGCACACTAGATCCAACACCCCAATTTATGACTAGAATCGAGCCAAATATTAGATTTTATTTGGTTGGACCCACCAAAATCGACGAGTCAAACGATCAGGATGATTTGGATGGGCCTACGGAAATCGACATCGATCCAAGTACTGCATTTGAATTGGATGAATCCACGAAAACTCACGTCGATTCAAGTGCTACTGTGTTTGATTTGGATAGATTCTTGGAAACCGATAATATGCCAAAGCTCGTCAACCCAAATTTCGCCTATCATGGATGGAATCAACTAGATCGTTTTGTTGACCAACACATCCATACTCAACCAAAATCAGTTGTTAACATTGGTGTGGGGTGTTATCAATGTGGAGCATTGATCCTTCATCATCGGTTGGTAGATCCCAATCAGATAGCTGTTTGTAAAAGTTGCAAGCAAATATCTGAAATGAAGTGGAAACAATGGGACTCTATCAAAGTGGACCAAAACAATGCCAAATATGCATTGGTGACTGGTGCAAGAATGAAGGTTGGCTATTATATTGCATTGAGATTGTTAAAGAGTGGATTCACTGTTATGGTAACAACAAGATTCCCTTGGATTGCAATAGATCGTTATTCAATGGAAGATGGTTACTCGGAGTGGAAGGATAGACTATTTGTATATGGTTGTGATTTTAGACATCTCCCATCAGTCCAATCAATGATCAATCACATCAAACAACTATTCCCTCGTTTGGATATATTAATCAACAATGCTGCTCAAACCATTCGAAGACCACGTGCCTATTTTAGAGAATTAATAGAAAAGGAAGAATACCTATCTCTCTCTTATGGTTTAATTGGTCATATTACTCAATCTCTTAAATTTATAAAGAATGGTGATAGTAGTAATTATAATGAAATTCCAACACCAAAAAGAACAGTACAACTATATAATAATGAAATACCAAAAAGTATTATGGAATGTTCATTGATGACACAAATACAATTATTGGATCATGACAGAGAAGAAAGAAATGATAAACTATTCCCAGAAGGATGTACAGATTTACATGGTGAACCATTAGACAAGAGAGAACAAACAACTTGGAGAGAAACAATTGAAGAAACATCACCGATTGAAATGATGGAAGTTCAATTGGTCAATGTTACAGTTCCATTCATGTTGATCTCTCAACTATCACCCATTATGTCAAACTATATCAAGACAGATGGAGATGACAACCATTGGAAATTTATTGTCAATGTATCAGCACAAGAAGGATCATTCAACAAAGGATACAATCATGGTCATCACACTCACACCAATATGGCCAAATCATCACTGAATATGATGACCTATTCAATCGCTGAGAGTTATCTCAAGAAAGGTATCTATGTTTGTGGTGTAGATACTGGATGGTGTACAAAGATGACATCACAACTCAAAGATGGACCAGAATCACCACTCAATGAGTTTGATGGTGCTGCAAGAGTATTGGATCCAATTGCAAGTATATTGTTGTTGGATGATGATGATTCAGCAAAAAGAAACAAGATGCACGTTGGAGGAATGTTTTGTCACTTCAAAGCACAAGATAATGTAAACTATAGTGGTTCTGTAACAAGAAATGAATAAATAAATAAATAAATAAATGTAAATAATTTTATGGTGTTCAATAAAAAAAAACTCACACTAGTTATTAAATCATTTAAATACTACTCGTAAAGACAAGACAATCATCAAATATGATCTACTCAAACTCATTCTTTATTATAGATGTCAAAAAAAGAACTCTTCTGTACAGTAAATCACACCAATCAGAATAAATAATAGAGTATACTATTTACTTGTACTATCTACCAGAGAGTGAGATAGAGAAAGAGGTAATTACAATTTATGAGAAGTAATCATATGACAAAAGACTAACAAACACAAACTATTTATAATATATTAGACTCTGATCAATAATTGAGTACGCAATGGCGACTCGATGCTGAAGATATGATCACAGATCTTCATAAATTCTCTAGTTTCTCACAAAAGGTGTCTCGTCACCCTAATGCATCGTCATAGTGTCTCGTCACAGGATTTTGAATTTCCAACTATTAACAATTTTGCTCAGTCATCCGTCATTGAATGAATAATCATCTCATCATCGATCAAATTAGTGTTAATTTATAATGTTTCATCATCAAGACTTTAATATTGATTCGGACGACGATGATCACGAATTGTATCACTACATTCATGATAGAACATCAGTAAAGACAACGAAAAAGAATAGACATCCCAAAAAAAAGTTATCAATCTACAAAGAAAAGAAAATATTAAAACAAAGAACAATGTATGTATAATAATAATATTGTATTTATTTATATATTACTATTATACCCTAATAATAATTATTAAATATTTTATTTTTTTTAGATCTTTTAATCATGATCTATCAAATGGTCTTTGGGAAAAGACAAGATTACTCCAGTTACAAATCCAAGATACCATTGAACTGAAAATAGAATCGGATAGACAAAACACTACATCTAAATGTAAATCGACCAGAAAGAAGTGTAACTCGGATCCCTATAAAACGATCCCATTGTTTTCGCCTGATCCATTTGTTAGTAGATGGTGTCAAGTGGGAGGAGGAAAATACTTTAACAGCAGTGAATTGGATCCTCTCTCACCTAACCACAGCAAACCAGATTTGGCATCAATATCATCCATGTACTCGGTACCTTTTATCAGTCGTAGTACACTGATCAGTCTCTACCACCACGCAAATTGGAATGATTATGATTTTCTCTATAAACCGTGCTATGCCGATAGGCAACCAATGGATGGTCAGTGTGCGTCACAGCTTGCTCTGTCACTCGAAAACAAGGTCGATGATTTGATTGGAGTGTGCAATGCAGTGCAATATTTCCGAAAACGACGTATACTCTTGGACGAGATTATTGGTCTTGCCGTAAAATATCAAGATCCCACCAATCTTAGATTCATCATGTCCTATGTAAAGTGCACCCATATCGCTGCCATTTACACCTACGCCAAATATATTTCTCACAACAAATCCCTCAATCGACCAGATTTATTTCTTTTCGGTATATTCAACAATGATCTGTTGCATATCATTGAAAAGCAAAGTCGAAACTACTCTCTCGTCAGTGAATCGTCGTTTGAAACAGACCGGATGATGGAAAAGGATCATTGTAATCCTTTGATCAAATTGTATCAATCACCCATTCGGATTGACTTCAATCCTCCTCGCCCAAATCCCAACATACCTCGTTATCTCAGACAACTTTCTGGTAAACCCATCAGAATGACCAATCGTCTGTCACTTTTCAAAGAGTGTTTTAATTGGTTCACATCGTCTGTTCTTTCAAATGTAACATGGGGTGAAATAGATGGTTGTCGAGTTGTATGTGCAGGTGGAGCTGTACTTGGTTCTCTTACTCATGAATCAAAATCCTTTATAGACCACCACAAGACCTATCTGCTTATTGAAAAGGCAATCGCAACACTACCAACAATATGTAGAAAACAAATACAAGAATATCTCTCATATCCAACAACTATATTAGATCCCACCACCGCAGCCAATTGGTACACATCTACCCAATTACATTACAACTCCACCTCTTCCCCATACTTCAACTCTGATATTGATCTATTTCTCATTACAAAATCAAAAGAGAGTGCAACTGAACGAATCAAACAATTGGTAAAAGAGATTACCGTAAGTCTTCCATGTAGTTACCATATCATCAAAACTACGTATTCATTGACGATCCTACCAACAGCCTTTCCATACCGTCCAATCCAAATCGTCACATCAACACTTCAAAGCTACTATGAGTACATTCTCAAAGCCGATATAGACTGTACATGCTTTATATATGATGGAGATCATGTATACACCCATTTACGTGCTATTCGGTCATTGTACACATCGACCAATTACATATCACCACATCTTCTTGGACGAGAGCAATTGCGAATGATCAAGTACGCCAGAAGAAATTATTCATTCCAGACTATTGATATAAAGGACCAGATTCCTGGGTTCACCCGATCAGACAAACAAAAGAGCCTCAAATACGGCACAATAGGTGCAACCCTCGAATGTATGACTAGAATCGAGCCAAATACTCGGTTTGATTTGGATGGATTCACTGAAATGAACTCACCAAAGTTGTTCAACCCAAATTTCGCCTATCATGGATGGGAACAACTAGATAGGTTCATTGACCAACACATCCATACTCAACCAAAATCAGTTGTTAACATTGGTGTGGAGTGCTATCAATGTGGAACATTGATCCTTCATTGGCTAGTCGATTCCAATCAGATAGCTGTTTGTAAAAGCTGCAAACAAATGTCAGAAAGGAAATGGAAACAATGGGATGCTATCAAAGTGGACCAAAACAACGCCAAATATGCATTGGTGACTGGTGCAAGAATGAAGATTGGATATTATATTGCATTGAGATTGTTAAAGAGTGGATTCACTGTGATGGTAACAACAAGATTCCCTTGGATTGCAATCGATCGTTATTCAAAGGAAGATGGTTACTCGGAGTGGAAAGATAGACTATTTGTATATGGTTGTGATTTTAGACATTTACCATCGGTTCAATCAATGATCGATCACATCAAACAACTATTCCCTCGTTTGGATATATTAATCAACAATGCTGCTCAAACTATTCGTAGACCATGTGCCTATTTTAGAGAATTGATAGAAAAGGAAGAATACCTATCTCTTGCTTATGGTCTGGTTGATCATATTACTCAATCTCTTAAATTTATAGAGAATGGTGATAATGATAGTAGTGAAATTTCAACACCAAATAGAACAGTACAAACATATAATGAAATACCAACAACTATTATGGAATGTTCATTAATGACACAAATACAATTATTGGACCATGACAAAGAAGAACGAAATGATAAACTATTCCCACCTGGTTGTACAGATTTACATGGTGAACCTTTGGACAACAGAGAACAGACAACATGGAGAGAAACAATCAATGAAACATCGCCAATTGAAATGATGGAAGTTCAATTGGTCAATGTTACGGTTCCATTCATGTTGATCTCTCAACTATCACCAATGATGTCAAACTATATCAAGACAGATTGTGATGATAACGATTGGAAATTTATCGTCAATGTATCAGCACAAGAAGGCTCATTCAACAAAGGATACAATCAAGGTCATCACACCCACACCAATATGGCCAAATCATCACTCAACATGATGACCTATTCAATCGCTGAGAGCTATCTCAAGAAAGGTATCTATGTTTGTGGTGTCGATACTGGATGGTGTACAAAGATGACATCACAAGTCAAAGATGGACCAGAATCGCCACTCAATGAGTTTGATGGTGCTGCAAGAGTATTGGATCCAATTGCAAGTATATTGTTGTTGGCTGATGATGAATCAAAAAGAAACAAGATGCATGTCGGAGGAATGTTTTGTCACTTCAAAGCACAAGATAATGTAAATTATAGTGGTTCTGTAACAAGAAATGAATAATAAATAAATAAATAAATATATTATTTTGAAATTTTATAAATTTCTATAAATCAATTATATTTCATAAACGACGGTGGACAAATTCAGAAAAGAGATTAAATATATAATTATATAATTAATTTAACTATTTAAAATAATATTTTTTTGTTTTAGTTTTATAAAAAGAAATCTTTCTTAAATTTAATTTATTAATTGATTTAGTTGAGGGTCTTGACGTAGGTGAGCAAGTTGGCAAAGTTTGGAGTACCACGACCAGTGAGTGGATCCCAACCAGCGGTAGCTAGGTAACCATACTTGGAGCAACAGGATTCAGTACACTTGTTGTTACCGGTGGTAATATCGTTCCAACAGTTGGATGGAGCAGAGTAGATGAGTGGGTTGAGGAAACCGAGGGTTGGCTTCTTGTTGTTCAAACGGTAAGAGTTGAGGAGAGCAATCATACCACCAAAGACTGGGGATGAGCAAGAGGTACCATCAACTTGTTCGATGCCACCAGAGAGGAAGATGGCGTAGTTGTGACCAAGAGCAGATACATCTGGGAAACCTCTGTTGGAGGAGTTGAAGTATTGGCTTGGTGGGAGGGCAACACCAGACTTGAGGTAGGCGTTGACGGCAGATGCTTGCCATGATGGGACTGGGGAGTAGTCAGAGAAACCACCACCGGTAGTGATGAGGGCATCTGGGTAGGTGCAGGTAGTTTCACTGGTGGAGGTGGCACACTTTTGCTTGGAGCAAATTGGTGGTTGGGCAGCTCCGACTGGGGTGGCAGCGGTGGTGGGGGCGTTCAACATAGTGGCACCAACAGAGGTGACGTATGGGGAGGCACCTGGGAAAATGGTGGAGAGTGGCTTCTTCTTGTTGTTGCAACCTGGGGATCCATCACCTGGAGCACCTTGGTCACCTGAAGCGGCAAGGAGGGAGATACCACGGAGGCCAATCTTGAGGAACTCAGTGTTGACACGTTGGACGTATTGTTCAGAGGTTTCACCGTTGGTGCATGAAGCAACGCCAGATTGGCATTGGAGGTTCTCTGGCCAACCCCAAGACATGGAGACTACCCATGGAGCTGGAGTGGTGGCAAACAAAGCAGTGGAAAATTCGTACATCCAACCTTGGACAGTCCAGAACCAGATGTTGGCGGTTTGGGCGACAGCACCTCCGTATTGGACGTCGAGGGTTGACTCTCCATCTGGGCTGGATGGGGAGTATGGACCAACGATGTTGGTGACGTTGATTGGGGTGATGGCAGTCTCCTTGGCAAAGCTGGCCAAATCCTTCTTGTTGAAAGATTGGTCGTCTTGGAATTCAGCCAAACACAAACTGGTGTTGGCGTTGTTTTGGTAGCCAGTTGGAATGTTGTAGAGGTTGTAGAGGGTTTGTGGGATGACAAGACCTGGATCAGACTTGGAGATGTCGACCTTCTTTGGAGCTGGTCTAGTCGTTTGGTGTGGCAATTCAGAGATACCGGCAACCATTTGGATTTGGTCAGCGTATTGGCTTGGGATCTTGTATGATTCACCAGAACGGACGATGGTCATCTTCTTGTTGGTGATGTGCTTGTAGGTGTACATTTCGACCTCAAAGAGGGCTTCAACGTCTTCAACACGGGCAGAGGCCTTGATCATATCACGGTGGTTTTCAACATTGTAACATCCGTTCATTTCAAGGAAGTTAACAATCTCTTCAGAAACTGGAGCTGGTGGGGCAACCAAGTCCAAAATTTCATCAATTGACATATGGTTACCTATAAAAAAAAAAGAAATAAAAGTAGGAGATAAAAAAAACAGTGTGTGTCAGAAGATATTTTGTTTTAAGCTTTTTTGTTTGTTTGTAACTCTTTTTCTTTTCTTTTTTACTTACCATAGTTTGGTGAAGATGGAGTAGAGATATCGATAAGAAGTTGATCAGCAACATCAATGTTTCTTTGAGTGAGGGCTACTTGGAAGTCGATGACAGCGTGCTTGGAGGCACGGGTAGAACGGGTCCAATATGAATAGTCACGGTAGGTTGGGGCAGAGAGTGATGGCAATGCCAAGCACATAGCGACAGCTACTAATACAAATAGTTGTCTGTACATGTTTATATATAAATCTGAATGAAAATAATAAATCAACACTCTATAGACACCTATTTATTGATTGCGTGGCTGAAGGGAGGGATGTTCAAAAAAAATTTAAAAATTAAATTAAATATCAAACAAAAAACAATAACAATCAATTGAGCCCCTAATTGGCAGGTGGGGGGTCGGATGAATCTTTTGGTTTGAAGACTCAATGCAATTGCCCCCCTATTTCCTTTATAATGGGCATGATCGAAGCAGAAGAATTCATATCTGTCTTCGGATGAACTTTCAACCAACAAGTCATTCAACTCATCGGCAAGTGATAGATGTGGAAACATTGTAGATTAAACATATAAAAAAAATCTAAACAAAACTACTTACATCATCAATCCTTGATCTACGATAAATACTTGACAAAATGCAAGTAAAGAAGCCATAGATGATGTCATCAAAACCAATTAAAGTGATGTGGATTCAAGAATGAATTAAAAAAAAAAGATCAAGACAAGATATTTTTTGTTTTTGGGGTGAGAAACGGTTTGGTAGATTGGCTCTGACCTGACAATTTAAACACCTCATAATATTAGTGGGGGTAATAAATATTATTACTGACGACCTTTAATTATTGGTATCTTCAAGCTTTCTGTTTGAAGAGATAATTAATCTTTGGATAGTCTTGTTGAATTCTTGGTTTTCCAAAAGGTCTTCCAAATTGACGTGACATCTGTATCTCCAATAGTGGAATGGATTGGATGGCTCGTTAATCTTTTCCTCCTTGGGGTCACGGGACGAGAGCTCGGAAGACAGACCAAACCAGTCTTGCAATGGGAAGATAGAGATCATCGACTGCGATTGAAGATGTTGGACAATGACGGCCTCGGTAACATATGGCTCGCAAAAGTAGGGAGCTTCACCATACATTCCCAAGATGTTGTTGTAAAAGTTTTGTGAGCGAGTTCTGTCTTCCTCCCACCATCCACGAAGAGTTGACATGTCGTGTGACGATGTAGTGTTGACCGTAAGATAAGAGTACTCTGATGGATGGTAGAACTCCTTGGCGCTCTCGGATGGCATACGTTGGATACGCAAACCGAGGATACCAAGGTTCTTGAGGGTTGGCTCTACACACTTTGGTACCATACCAAGATCCTCACCACAAACCAACATTCTGGTGCAGTCACGGATAGCTGGCAAACGTTGCATACCGATCTGAGTCCAAAGCTCCTCTTGTCTTTCAAAGTAGTACGAGATGTACATACGGTAGAGAGTTGCCTTTAAATCATCTGACAATTCATTAAATGATGTAGTCTTGTTGATTTCAATTCTCGGATAGTATCTATTCTCATCATCTTGATCCTTTAATAAACTAACATTTTGAACTAATTTTAATAATCCTGGTTTATACATTTGATCATCTTTTTCAAGGTTTGTCTAGAAATAAAAATAAAAATAATTAATTAATTAATTAAATAAATAATATATATATTTCTCTCTTACATCAATAAGTCTTTCAGTTTCAAATTGTGGTAATAATTTAAAACAATTGGGAGAATATTCTTTTAAGAATTTCTTTGCAACTGTATCTGAATATTCACCAAATTGTTCACGTAAAGTATGATATCTAATATATGGTTCTATAATAATAAAAAAAAAAAAGAGTTAGAGAGACAAACTATAGTCATGCTATATAATTATTATTATTATTATTATGTCGACATACTGGTTAATCTATCAAGATCCCAAATACCATTATTTGATAATTCAGATCTCCATAATGGGAGGGATGGATTAAAGTGACCCAAGAGACCAGTTAATTGTTCAGTTGGGATTTCCCAAATTCTAAAGAAACCCAAGATATGATCGATACGATAGGCATGGAAATACTTTGACATTTGACCAAGACGAGCTCTCCACCAACCATAATTGTCCAACTTCATTCTGTCCCAATCATAGGTTGGGAATCCCCAGTTTTGACCATCATCGGCAAAGGCATCTGGTGGGGCACCAGTTGACATGTTCAAACGGAACAACTCTGGTTCTACCCAAGTGTCAACACTTTGTCTGCTTACACCAATTGGTAGATCACCCTTGAGACCAATACGATTTTCAACTGCATATCTCGATGCACTTAATAATTGTAAATGTAAATGGTATTGAACAAAGTAATAAAATTGTACCTTTTCCCAATACTTTTCATTCTTTGATGTTAATTTTTCAATTGTTTCCTAAAATAAAATAAAATAAAATTAATTAATAATTATTTTAATTATTTTATCTTTCTTCTTTTTCTTTTCTTTTCTTACTTTATCAATTGATTTATGTTCTGGCCAAGAGAAATGATCAGAAGATTTGAATTGTTCTCTCAATACCATGTAAAGTGCGTATGGTTTAATCCATTTGGCATTTTCTTGAACAAATTCAAAAAGACCCTTATCAGTTGCAAGTTTTGATTTTTCCTTTCCATAAATCTTATTTAATAAATCTAATTTTAATGTAATAACAGACTAGAAAATAAAATTAAAAATGATGATTAATAAATCTTTTCTTTTTTTTTGTTTTTTTTTTTTTAATATTTACTTCATAATCAATATGTGGTAAAGCATTTAATTTATCACGATGTTGATTGATGATTGATAGAATTTCTGGATCACTAGAGACAGATTCAATGTTGATATAGATTGGGTGAAGAGCAAATACAGATACTGAACTGTATGGATAAGAGTCACGCCATGTGTAATAGACAGAGGTATCGTTGATTGGAAGAATTTGGATCATGTGCATTCCAGTGGCAGAGGCCCAGTCAATGAGTGCCTTGATATCGTTGAATTCACCAACACCGAGACCTTTTTTGGAACGAAGTGAAAACACTGGTACGGCTACACCAGAGGTTCTGATCAAGTTGGATTCCTTGAAATCACCATCGTTGAAAAAGTAGACACGGTCCTCATTGACGGCGTTTGAGTAGTCAGAGGCATGCAAAATGCTGCTGGTAAACCAACGGTCGCTTCCTTGCTCCCAATGCACGTGTGACTTGGTCGTGTCGTCAGTGATAATGTATTTGTAGGAGAATGGGAGTTGATCCTTTGTAAATTCAAGGTCGACACGCCAATTTGGATAATTGTCGTCGGCCAATCGAATAGCACGTTCTGTTCTCCAATTACCAAGTGTTGTATTACTACCAACAATATAAACTGAATGATGTGGTGTAACACATGTACTCTTTACTTGGAATCTAACTACTACTTTATCTAAAAAAAAAATTTAAATTAATAATAAATACTTAATCTTTGTATATGATGATTATTCCTATTCTATTCATACCCTTTGAATTAGTTGGAATATGATTGTAAGTTTTAACATCTTCTGGTGTACGTCTGAAATAAACATCTCTAAAGAATGATGATTTGAGGAAAGTATTTTCAGCAGATGATGGACTCTATAAAAGTCAGTGAGTAGTAGTAGTAGGTAGTAGTAGGGAAGGAAAGAATTGGATGAATTAGAGACAAGATAATCATGATTGTTATATATATTTCATCATTGTTTAAACATACTTGATAGGTATCTCTAACTTCATGAGTATAGAATGGATCACAGATTGAAACGTCAAGAGTACGATTTGGACCACCTTCCCAAATCTTGTCAGCATTAGTGTCCATGATAAAGTACTTGTAGTTGAGTACTTGATCAGTAGAAGTCTTTTTGAATTCAACGATAATCTCCCAATCACCATTGTCTCCATATCTCAACTTCTTTGCTTCTGCATCTACCCAATTGCCCAATTCTTCAGATGATCCACAAATGTAAACTTCTTGACCCAATCGAGTGTAATAGTTCACCTTGAATCTAATGTGTACTGTATTATTACTCATTCTTTTTTTCTTCTTCTTATTCTTCTTTTAGTATAAGATAATTATTAAAGAGTGAAGTGATAGAAAAAGAAAATGAATGAACAAAAAAGAAGATAGTGCGACACTTTTAGTTTACAATTTTGTGGGAACTTCTTGAACTTCAGCAACATCATCCCGAGCAAACCTCGACTTTTTTTTGTAAAACGCATAATTTTAACCACCAGGCTTGAACTAATAATGATCGATTAATATAATTATTTGTTTATCATTATTTACTCTTTTAATTGTTTGAAACAAATAGGGTTATCATGTTTGTTCGTTTGCAAAGAGAGAGAGAGAGTGGAAGATAGAGAGAATGATATAGTTCAAACTTCAAGGTATCTACATTTCTAACTCCCAATCGTCACTCTCAGAGGGTTGTCGAGACATGTTGAACAAGACAACTGACATCTCATCTTGGACTGGTAATAGTAACTTGCCCCTGCCTACCCTCTATATGATACCCCCAAAGCTCATAGGGCACCCTTTGTTTCTTATTTTATCAAGATGGATGGATGGCATACTAGGTATGTATTCAAACACAATAACATTTGGATGTGAGCTGCAAACTCAACTATAAACTCTGAGTTTGCAGCTCTTGAAACCAAAATAAAAATAATTAGAAAAAAGGGGAAATGAAAGTTGATGATGATTGTTATTGATTATTAATATTTTATTATTTGTTTATTTATTTTTTAGAGAAGAGATAATATTAAATTAATTTATTGAACAACAACTACAATTACAAGTACAACCAATCAATGTCCATATCAACTCTACCACACCTATTGCAATCAACTATCATCAAAGAATGTTTGATTGATTGCGATGTTACCAATCCAATGCCAACAAACAACTTTGGATTGCACTATGTCTGCAAAAGATGGTTCCAACTGATATCAAATCTACCCAGAACCGTTCTCGTCAACAAGGACAATGTCAAACCGTTTCTTGCCTGTCTTGAAAGAATGCAAAGTACCGACACTAGCTCTGCCACTACTAGAAATGATCAAGATTGGAACCTTGCCAAGAATGTGACCTATTTGCTATGGCTTGTCAAAACAACCAATCAAAAAAAAGAAAATACAGAAAGAATGTGTAGAATTTTACACAACAACTCAACCATCACCCACATCAAGACATCCGATTCAAGCATATCATTGTTTGGAAAGAATGATTCACTTCCCAAGAAGCTTGTCCACTTTGCCGCCGAAACCGATGATGAATCCAAATCAATTAAAAGTCGTCTCACAGCTCTCTATCGTGAATTAGTCAAATGTCCATTCTTGGTGTCCATTGACATTGGTCGTTACAATGTTGCAGGCCATGACCCCTTTGGAACTGAATCTTTACTCGAAAAGGTATTCCTCACTGAAAAGATGAAATCGAAATCCACCAGTCCACTCACACACTTTAGATACCAAGGTGAAATCGAACACCCAGATTTCATTTCACCTTTGGCACTATGCACCGCTCTTGTGTCGATCAAGCTGGATACCACTTGGAACCTAATCAGTTTGTCATTTGTTGCCAAGGTATTGGCTGCCAATCCAAACCTCACCACTCTAGAACTGCCAATTGAAGGTGGTGGTTATAAAGTACTCTATGAGGCAATCTTTGCCCATCCATCGCTTCGATCACTTTGCATCAACTTTGATTCATACAAAACCAAGCAAGACCATGTCGACAGCTTTATCGATATGTTCCAAAAGAAGAAGAACACAAAGATATCAGATATCGGATTCAAAGCTGCCGATCATACCATCCATCTGCTCGATGCTTTCTTGGCCGATCAAGTGGTATCACATCTTCAAATAGATATGTGGAATGCAGAGATCCAATCATCCATTGTCAAATCTATGAAAGCCGGATCCTCCCCATTGAAATGTGTCTCTATCAATTATCAAGGTGACGACCCAATCAAGGGGTTGTTGGAGGATCCCAACAACAAGGAACAAGGCACCACACCAATAGAGGGACATATCAACATGGTATCACCCTCATTGGACAAGTACACCTCTCATGCAACCTACCAATTAACATGTAACAGCGGTACAGTCGGTGATAACGACAGATATGTCACTATCATTGTTTTGCCAAAGGTTAGTCATTATTTATTTATCGATTATCCTTAACTCAAATATAATTATATAAATATTATAATTGGAAAAAAAAATTCCTACCAAACTACTATTTAAAATAAATCTTCAACTTTATCTATTGTAATAAACAATTATTATTTTTTGATGATTGTTTATTATTATTATTATTATTATTATTCTCTTCTTGTTGGATTGGATAAAATAAATTATTTTTGAGGTTGTCATATTTGTTTCTTTTGTAATCACAAATAATTTGAATGACATGACAATTGATTCGACGACCAATGATGTGATCCATACTTTTCTTTGGTATTTCTGAAATGTTTGTGTTGAATAGAATGTATCGAACGAGATCGACATTTCCACATTGCATCATTTCATCCAAGAGATAACTCCAATCTTCACTAGAGAGTTGTTGAGTATACAATAAACAGTAGTCTAGGATGTTGATAGGAGTTGGAGGTTGAAGAGTTGTATTGATGGTCGATTCCAAACATACACCATACTCGTCTGCATCTCTATACCTTAATTTAACAATCTCTAGCTTGGCCGTTAATTGTTTGTTTACTGTCATGTATTTAATGGTTTCAAACTTTTTTACTGTTATGTATTGGTATCCGAGACAAGTAAAACTGGGTGGTTTACCTTTAGCATCGACAATGTTGTAATTGTCAAACAAGAATTTAATCATATCCAACCGAGACTTGTTGATTGCTTGTTCTACATCACTTATAAATGAAGTGGATGCCATGTAGGTGGAGAATGGTAGTCCTGATGGCAATTTGATCAACCTTTTAAGTATCTCTACATTGCCAAGTTTAATTATATCAGAGTATAGGTCATGCTCTGCCAAGTATTCTATTCTAGTATTCTCCAATAAATAGTCAAATGTCTCCAAGGATTGAGTAAATACAGCAACCCTCAAAGCCCTTTGAAGGTTACCCGTATGGATAACGGGGTCGTTGCTTATGAATGGGCTGTTTTCACATTCTAGTAGATACTTTATCGTAGGGTACGAGGCATGTAAAAAGCTGGATGTGTATTCTACCATATTCATATTTGTATGGATCCACTTGACCAAATCGACTTGTTTGAGCATAATAGCACGACGCAACATGATTTGGTGTAGTTGAGGATCAACATAATGAAAAAAATATTGGAATACTTGAAATGAAGCGGTATCTTTTGAGTAGTCAAATGATGGTATGGCAGATTGTACACGATCCAAGACTAGAAGGAATTTATCTTGGTTGTCTTTTTGAATGAGTTTTACAATATCCAAATAACTGTGTACACTGTTGGTGGGACAAGGAGTGGTTCCAGCTGCTACCAAAACTGCTCTGATTGCCTGTTCAGTATATCCTTCTGTTCTATTTTCAAATAGAAAGGTGAATATATCTGGGAATGGGGATGACCGATCCATTGCATTTGTCGAGCATGGTGCAGTGGTGTTTGAGTGTAGGTATTTTACAATATTGAGGTGATTGTACTTGGCTGCCTTGTCAATTGCTCTATGAGTCATTCCTTCGGTTCTATTCTCTACTAGATAGCAAACTACTTGGAAATGTCCATTTCTAGATGCCATGTCAATAGCAGCGACTGTAGGTGCACTGACGACTGTTGGTGGTTGGGTATGAAGAAACTTTATAATTTCAATGTATCCCAGTGATGCTGCAGTATCCATGATATGACTACCAATCGGTGTATCTTCTTGTTGTTGTATATGTTGTATAACATATTTTACAACATCCAAATTTCCAGCTTTCACAGCCGACCTTAATATTTTATCGGTATTTGTAATCAAGTCAATTGATCCATCCTCTTGAAAACACTTGAGCGTTGGAACAGATAACCACTTGTCTATATGATACAGTACATGTTCATCAGTAAACAAAGGTTGTTTTTTATCTTTGACAGCCAATTTGTTTAATTGTAAACAAAAAGATATAATGTTGGTGTTGCCACCGACCAATATCTCATGATGCAAACCATAGTATACATAACCAAGTATTCCAGTGATATAATGGAATATATCTTCTCGACCATACCGCATTGCGTGTTGTTGAGTGTAATACCCAACCTCTTGTGCACGCCGTCCATACCTTGAATAAATGTATTGTACAATCTCGAATTGATTCTGTTTACATGCCAACATTATCATTCCATCTAGATTCAATACATATGGTCCAACTACCACTTTCTTTGACCCTTTTTGATGACGATCAAACCATTTATATTGACTGTATTGTTTTTCTTGTCGTTGTAACAACTCAATCAAACTATTTTTGTATCCGTAGGCTGCCAATTGAGCCGAGTCAACTTGTAACTCTACCCAACTATATATTCTTGGTAGTACCCTTGCTCTTTTGAATCCCATGTAACCATAGCTTCGAGGATAGGTTTGTACAGGTACTTGACAAGTATCCTCTAGCACTCTCTTGCTGAGTCTACCAACCTCTCTAAATATCAAGTTTCTGAGTATCCCATTCTTTAATATATGCTTTAATAATTGATCTCTCTTATACTCCATCAAATAATCTTATTCTAATAATACATATTACATAATACTAATAAATACAGATATATACATGTTGCGAAAATTATTAGAAATACAAAGTAGACTTGCAAGTGATGAAGTTCTTCCACTCTCATAAAAAAAAAAAAAATAATTAGAAATAATAATTTAATAATTAATTTTAAAGAGATAAAGAAGACATGTCATTTTCTCAAAGAGGTAGAGGTACAAGAGGAGGAAGAGGAGAAGAGGAGGAGGAGGAAGAGGTAAACCAGCAGCATCTAAAAGGGTGACCATTGAAACTCCCTCACCTCCTCCTCCTCAGCCACCTGCGGCTCCACTTGCTCCCAAAAGATTTGCACCTTTTATTGTCACTGTCGGTGGCAGAGGTCAAGACAACAAGAATAAGACGACAGCTGCTGATGCGGCGGCTGCTGATGATGCTGCAGGTGGCCTAAAGTTTGAACCAATTGATGAAATACAATTCACAAGAATATTTAAAAATTTAAATGAAATGTCTAGTTATCATCCGGCCTATCCACTCTATAGCAAGACACCACCAATATCAACTCTACCAATGCAACCTAGACTACAACAAGTATCTCAATCAACTATGATCAAGCAACCTGTTGATGGTGGAAGTGAACTTACAACTAGTATTGGAGCTATTGTTGGAGCATTCACAGCTAGCTGTTACACATCGATATTTATATTTGGTGGTAAACATACACCTCAACGAATCATTAAAGCAAAGGTACATCCAGACATTGGTTTGAGAAACTTTCAAGAAATGCCAACCTCGTTATTGCACCCTCGATACAAATCATCATGTTTACAACCAGATCCAGAACCTAGATTTATCTATTTCGTAGGTGGAAAGAATGCACAAGGTAATGCAATGGCACACTGTGAAAGATATGATATTGAATTGGCACATGTCATCAAGATTGCCAGTCTCAACGTACCACGTCACTCTGCTGGTATTGCGTATGACCATTCTTCACAGTTGATCATAGTTGCCGGTGGTGTTGGTATAGACGGCAAGGAATTAGACAGTATTGAAGTATACGACAAAATAATGGATCATTGGTTCCTCCTAGATAATATTAAACTATCAGTTCCCAAAAGAAATATACATATTATAAATGATGAACAATCAGATAAAATATTTATTTATGGTGGTAAATCAAAATCTTCCAATATCATTACAACAACATCAACAACGAATAGTAAAAATGATCAATTTGAAAAGAATGGAATTATGTATTATACTCAAGTTGAAACTATCAATTTATTATCTTTAGAAAAGGAAGATAACAACACCAACACAACCACAACCAATAATAATGATAACTATACTAAAATCAAAGGGTATGGTGTAATAGTATCAATTGATTTTAGTCAATGTGTGATTGCCTCGTCCAACAAGATAGCTTATTTTATCGGTGGTCGAAATATAAGTACTGGACAACCATCTGGTAACATTTATAAACTCCATTATACAGAAGATCCTTATACTCTATCCAATCATTTTAATCAATTATCTCAACCAAGATTCAATCAATCTTGTAATATTATCAATTTATAAATAAATCATTAATTTAATTTAAATTGATATTGAAATTCCCTCCAAAATTTGTAATACCAAAAAAGGTTGTTATTATTATGTTTCGTTGCATATGATGGACACAGATAATTATAGTAATAATCGATCATTTGTACCATTGAATGATAAGGTATCAAACAATGATATAAAGATTGCAGCATGTTGTCCAATGATGGATTTACTGTCGATTGCTCAATCATCATCATCCATCACAATACACAGATTCTTAAATTGGCAAAGATTATTAAGTATTACAAGTAAATCTTCTTCTTCTTCTTCTAGTACACGACAACAACAAGAATCAACAACAGCAACAACAACAGATGAAAAAGTAACAACAGCAATGCAATGGAGTCCTAATGGTAAGATCATTGCATCAGGTTATTCAAATGGAACAATGACTCTATACTCTATTGAAAATGGGAAAGAGATACATTCAATTGCATCTACATCATCAACATCAGCATCACCAATCACATTACTACAATGGATTCAATTTAATGATCTATTGGAGACACCTGTTGGTAGTACTGCAACTAGTTTGTCGACGACAACAACAACAACAAGTAATACCAAATTCTCTGATAATGAACTTCACAGTGATTATTTTCCTTCACTTCAATATTATATTAATGAATTTAAAGAATCGTAAGTTATATATAGAGAGAGAGATGGTCATTAGATAGGATCCACTTTATTTACTTTTTGTTTATTTTCTCTCTAGAGATATTAAACCATTCCCATTAAAGAAAGATTTGGATGTACTTGATGTATTAATATCATGTAATGAAAAAGGAATTATATCATTCTAGTATGTAACACTATTTAATATTATATTCTATATACTAATACTCTTTATTTGATTGATTTAGTATTATTGGTATTGTTCATATTGGTAATTTTAATATAATGGAATTATTATTATCACAACAATATGTAAACAAACATGTACTTTTAAAGGGATGTAAATCTATTCAATTTCATTCAATTGCTATGTCAACATCATTTAATCAATTGACAGTGGTAGTAGAAACTGATAATGGATTGACTGTAATGATTGACATTGACACATCCATACTCTACAGACAATGCCAAGAGATATTCAAAGTGGCACTTCACTATTCTACTATTGAATGGCTTTTAGAAACAACTGATATTATCCTACATGATGTCATTCATCGATGGGAAGAAACCCAACAAATGATATCAGCCAAATGGGATATATTTGAAAAATTAATCAGAGATTATGGACGTACCTCTACCATTGAACAGGAAATACTCGATCTTTTAATGACTGGTGTTGCATCACCACCAACTTGTCAATTTATTTCAAATCATATTGTAAGTGAAAAAGAAGTGAAAATGAGGAAGAAGAATAGAGATATTAATAATCTATTCTATTCTATTCTATTATTTTTAACTTTTTAGGATATTAAAATAATGAAATCAATGCAAAGAAATTGTGAATCTATAAGAGAAACATTAATTAATTTAATTCAAAATGCTTATTCTTGTACTTTACATTCCATCTCTCAATTACATACCTTTTCATTGTGGTCGGAGAAATATGGTGATATCTTAAATTCACAGTCATTTGAACATTTATTAACTGCTTCAAATAAGTTTGGAATTCAATTGGAAACATTGGAAATAACACTTTCTCAACTTGAATCTCAATATTCAAATCTATTCACTTGGTTTTTAAAAGTTCAAAATCAATTAACTACAGATAAAACAAAGTTACAACAACCACAACAACAATATATTTTAAATGAATTATTATTACTTTCATTATTGGAAAATGGTGTAAAATATGATCCAATTATAAATGGTCAAAATACAAACAAAAGTAACAAAACAACAGATAACTCTAACCAACAACCAATTTCAAAACAATTTAAACAATTTAAACAATTATGTTTGGAAACTACAAGTTTTAATAATTTAAATAATCAATCAACTACCAATAATATTATAAATCAATTGAAAATAACTACATTTACACCAATATCAATGTTTGATAATTCAAAATTAGATAATCAATCACAATTTTTTAAATCTTCATTTTTAAATTTTAATGTATGTAAAAGAAAAAACAAAAAGAAATACAACATATTAATAATTTATTTATTATTTTATATTTTTTAAGAATCAATGCAATTTATCAATTATAACACCAATGAATAATAAGATATTTATTGGTAAAAAGAAAAGAAATGAATGGCATTTTTCATTTATACAATTATCAATGGATGATAGAGTAGTTGATATGTGCTTTTTTGATCAATCGAATCTTTTGGTATTGACAACAACGACGACACAAGACAAATCAATATTATCACTTTTAATGTATAATTGTGGAGAGGAACAAGTAGAAGAGGTTGATGGAGCTTCATTGTACTATCAACAATTACCAGTTACCATTCCACCAAATACAATTATGGTTGATCTTTTGGATGCAACCTTTTTCGATCAAGAATCTTGTACAACTCCTCTAAAGAATAGATTCATCAAATCATCAAAACTCAACATCAACAAAAAGGAAAAATTATCTCTCAACATTTCATCACAACGTAAAGTTGCATGTGTTATCATTGGAACAAAAAGAACTGTACTTTATGATATTGCTGAAGATGAAGAAATTCCAGAAGACGACGGTGATGAAGATGAAGAAGATCAAGATGAAGAATAAATTGAGAGAGGATAATTATAATTAAATAATATATAATCAGTCTTTTTTGTTGATTTGTTTACATTTGATATCAGATTTTATAAATTTGGAGTAGAAGGATTTTGATTAGAGGCTTGAGCTGATGATGATGATGATGATGATGATGATGAATTGTCATGAGTAAGTGCCAAAATACGTTCAGACTTTTGTCTCTTTTTAGCACGTTCGTTATCTTCTTCACCTCCAGCTCCTCGTCGTGGTAGTTCGTCGTTTCGTCTACCCATATCATCGTGTTTGGCAAAATAGGTACTATTAATATCATGTAATGGTGTAGGTGCTATGCCAGAATTCTGAGGTGGTTGTTGTTTGTTTAGTCTATTATCTACAAAATCGTTATCGGTATCATTATCTTGATCGTCTTGATGGTCTTCATTATTATTATTATTGTTGTTATTGGTTTTTTGATTCTTTAAATCATAAGATGTAATTGGTGTTGGTGTAGTGATTGATGATAATTTAATTAAATTCTTTTCAACCTTTCTTTTTTGTTTGTTTTTTGTCTTTTTAAGTGCATTTGGATCTGTAATAACTTCTCCATATAACTAAATGAATAATATATAAATAAATAAATAAATCATTAGATTAACTATAACTAAAAAACTTACAGGAGTTTTAGAAAATGTATGACGATCTGGGAATTTAGGTAAAAAGGATGGTATGTTTGGTGGAAATTCGTTGTGTTGATCATCACCTAGTTTGGTTATAAAGTGACTAGTAGTCTCTTCATTGTTTTTTTCCTTATTGTTGTTGTTTGGATCATTTTTAGTATCTTTTTCTTTTTCTTCATTGTTTTCATTATCTTGATCATTATCGGTTGTTGTTGATTTTTTGTTGTGTGTATGAAGAGGAGATGAAGATGAAGATGTATTATTATTATTATTATTACTGACATTGGTAACAGAAGGTATAGGGAATGGTGTAAATGTTTTTGCAAATGGTATCTCATCGGCTTGCAATAGATACTGTGATAGATCGTTCATATCGACCGACATGTCTGTAAATGCTTGTCGCACATCATGAAAGTTTGAATCTGTCCTACACGCCAATTCACTATAACTATGTGCTCGTGTACCAATCTCTTCTATATCTAAAAAAAATAATAGATAGTTTGAATTAGATCAACCAATCAATCAATCAATCAATCAATCATAGATGGATTGCAACATGAATATTTGTTAACTTACATAATTTAATGATATCAGTCAAAGCTTCACAAGCTGCGTGTGATATTGAAGTGAACCCCAATGCTTTAACTAATTGTGCAACTACTACTTTACATAGAGATCTTGCATATGCTTCGCTCATTCTTTTCTTTCTTTCTTCCTTTCTTACTGTTTTGATCGATCAAAACTTCATAGTCTTTGTAATGTAAGTATATGAATGTATGTATGATTATTTGTTGTTGTTTTAAAATCAAATAAATAAAGCGCGGAATAAAAGTGAACCTTCAACAACCTCTTTGATTCAAATTTTCAAACCCAAAGCGCGAATTAAAAGGGAGTATGAATACAATATGTATTACAATAATGTTGCTATAATGAATAATAATAATATTATATTATAATAGATATATATTTTGAAAATATAATTCACCTCTTCTCAGTATCAAATGATAATAATTTTAATTTTTTATTAATTTAAATTGTTCTGACTGCAAGTGCAAAGTGCACTAACTAGTTCATTGCATATAATCTTTCTTCTCTCAACGAACAAACAAACAAACTCATCATTATCATTATTTAATAATGACAAATAACAAACAAGAAGAAGAAGGAAGAACCAAAATATTGGTAGATTCAGAGGAACTGAAAGCATTGACACAAGAAAGAGATGTGGAACATCAAAGAGTTCATTATTTGCTCTTTCATAAATTCGAATCGATCACTGATACATTGATAAAGGGTGCAGCTGTTGGAGCAGGTGTTGGTGTGGCTGTTGGTTTATTGACACCTCTTGCCATTAGAAACACTGATCGTGTCACTTCACTGTTAAAGTCGGTGGTCAATTTCTCATTCATCGGTGTTGTCTACCAAGGCACTTCATATGCACTCGATCGTTCTATTGCCGTTCAACCAGTGGCAAACTCTTTTATATCGGGTGGTGTATCATGTGCTGCCGCCTCAATGATATTGACAGGTGGTGCTGCCAGTGGACTTCGAGGTGGATTCATTGGATCTCTCATGTTTGGTGCTGCCACTCTAACCAAACGATTCATCAATCATGACAATACCCGTACCCTTAGAGACGACAAGGATAAATTGGGTGAAATTAAATATATCCTTTCAAGACATGTAATCAATCTATCACCAGAAGAGAAAACTTTACTCCATCAATTATCTTCAACTGTTCATAAACATCATCACAAATCAACCGCGTCACCAACTAATAATAATAATAAAAAAGAGGAAGAAGAAGATTCCAAATAATGAATTGCCATATATACGAAATCGTTTGTTCGTTGTTGTTTGTTTGTTTTCCATAAGTTAATACATTGTTTTGTTCTATTTATTCTTCCATTTCTTCATCACTATCTTCCTCTTCATCGCTTTCCTCTTCTTGTGCTTCTTTTTCCTTGTCTGCCATACGTTGAATATCTTGATAAATTTCCTCTTCTTTTAATAACATGTTTGGAATACCAACTTCGATAGGGTAAACTCTGTTACAACTTGGACATGTCAATGATCCATTGATAACTTTAAGCTGAAAATATTATATGTTTTAGTATATTGATTGTTTAATCATTCCTAAATCCTCATTCTTGATGTACGTGATACTTACATTACATAATAAATTAAATAATGTCTTTACAAATTCTTCATCTTCTACACTTCCTTGTTCTGGTAAAACAACATTTAACTTTTGAATTGAATGAATAGAGAGGTTAATATATATATGATCAGACTAACTATCTATGTTCTATGATTCATTCATACTTGTTTAGCAACTAATTGTATACCATTCCAATCAAGCTTTGGGAATATATTCTTTACAAATTCATAGTTGAATGGTTGACTAAGTTGAGCGATTTCATTGGCTTCCAACTTTAAAGGGAATCCACGACCTACACATTGCTTCTTTGTGCAAGCCATCATATTATATGTAAGAATCTTCATCTCTTTCTTTTAATCTTTGTGATATATATAGATATAAGATATATAGAGAAATGAATACGATTATGAACCAATTATTAATTTAAAACGATGCTCGTCAAAAAAAAAACGAATAAAACAAACGAAAGTCAATTCGGGTGTCATCAATTTCTATTTATTCATTGTTGTAATATAAATCTCATAGTACATATATTATATATATATATATTATATCAAAGAAAACAAATAATATTAATAATATTTTTGAAAATAGTTTATTTTAATGATCAAAAAATTAATTTTAGAATAAGATGAAACAGTTTTGTTCAAGGTGGGTGTGAGGGTTACAAGTCATTCCCCAAGATATCAGAATTAATTGTCTGACACTGATTTTCAAGCCTGGTACACATAATTATAGTGTGTGGGGTTTCTAAAGTTCTGATTATGTGTTGTCGGGGTTTGGTTCTCTCTCTCTATAAATTACTCATCATTGATCATTATCATTTTAAATCAAATCATTTATTTATAACTTTTTATATATATATATATCTACATACAATGTTGGAATAACATTAAATAATATTAATCATGGAAAACAACAACAACAACAACAACAACAACAACAACACAGAAGACATCATCAATGATAATCATGAACAACAAGATGATCAATTAATAACAATACCAATTAAATGTAATCCATCACCATTCTGGGGATTCTATATTGGATTTAAAAATCATTATGATAGATACCAACACGTGTTGGATGGGGTGATGACTAAACAAGAGTTTGATGATTTGATCGAATCACTAAACTCTCATAAAATGTCTAAAAGTGCTAGAGCAAAGGTGATCAGTGCCATCATTGGATCTCGTGGTGCTTACAATCCAACTAGAAAGATATTCTATGGAAAGATTGAAAAGGTATTCGATGTGATTGAATATTATAAACCAACATTTCAACCAAGAAATATTCATCTTAAATTGGTTCAACTTGAAAATAAGAAATGTTTAGTATGTATAGATAGAACAACAAATATTTATGTATTATTTATTAATTAATTATTTATTTATTTATTTAATTATTTAGATTGAGATGACGTTTAAACCAGCACATGATCAAACCAATTCACAATATAAACCAACTTATAAAAAGGAATATGATCCATATCCTTTAAAAACAGCCAATTATAGTAAATTTATTAATCAATAAATAAATATAATAATTTAAATCTATTCTGACTGTACACCTCTATCTTGTCAACAAACATTTGTTTTGTTTTTCGATTACTATGACCAAAAATGGGTTTCGGCTCATTCCCAATTATTAAATTGCGTGTCTCTCTTCTTGATATCCCGACACAGTGTTGTAATCGTACAATTGCCTTTTTGTTGTTGTAAGAGTGAGTTGCGATTGATGACTTAAACAACAATGTTATTTTAAAGAGATAGAGATATTAATAGATATAAGAAGGGAGAGATAAAAGATATATTATATTATAACAAGGATGGGGGATCCTGTATCAATAGTATTATTAGTTTTTGGTATGACTATTTATTTCATTCTATCACCCCCCTTGATCAACTGATCGATATTAATTTATATAATATTATAGTGATAGGAGTAATTGTAACATGTACATTGGTTGATATATTTAAAGTATCACCTATTGATCCTTTACCAATACAATTTAGAATACCTAGATTTATTAATTGGTTCTTATTGGCATTGGGTTATAGTGCAATCTATATTGGTAGATATAATGTATGTTCAATAAGAGGAAGAAAAAGAATCTCTTTTTTTTAAAACAAATAATTTAACAATCCTTTCTATCTATTTAGTTTACATTATTAACAGATGATAGAATATCAAATGATATAAATTTAAGTTCAAGTTCATATGGATGGATATTGAGTATTGGATATTGGACCTATGCCTTGTTTGCACCGTTTACCGGGTCGTTTGGTGATTATTTTGGTTCAAAATACTCTGTCGTCATTGGAACGATGGGATCTGGTATAGTTAATGTTTTGTTGGGTGTCATTATCCTAGTTGGTGGAGCACATTCTATTCCTCCAACTCTATTGTTTGGGTTCTTTAATGCTATCAATTTTGTGCTTCAATCCCTCTCGACGGGATCAGTCAACAAGATCAACTCTGGATGGTACAGGAAAAGCGATCTTGGTCTTTTTGGTGGTATTTTTTCGAGTGTCTTGGCAACTGCCTTTTTCTTTACTCTTAGTGTTGGCACTACCATTGTCAACTCACCACTACATTGGGGATTTCTATTCATACTACCCGGAGCATTTCTTATTATTTGTGCAATTGGTATTTGGTTTCGTGTTAAAGAGAAACCATATCAAGCAGGTTGGAAATATGATTTTACAACCTCATCATTACCATTGGTCCTAAAAGAAGAGGGTGAAGATGAGGAGAAAGAGGGAGAAGAAGGTGAAAAGAATCAAATAAAAGGTGAACAAGCAGTATCATCAGCCATTATTATTAATAGTTATTCAACAACAACACATGAAGAAGAATTGGATCAATTGGATTCTGATGGTGGTGGAGGTATTTTACTTTCAAATATTCAAAAAGATGGAGCAATGGAAGAAGTAGATCTAGACGAAACAAGACATAATGTACAACTTCGAGAGAAAAGGTCATTTAAACAAGTTTTAAAAACAATAACAAAAGAGGTTTTACAAAAAGAAAATATTGAACAAGTATTTTCAAGAGATAATATATTAAATGCTCTTTGTTTATTTTGTTGTGGTTGGATTAAAGAAGGTTTTATATCTTGGTTTATTCCTTTTTTAAAATTTGTATGTAAAAATATAAAACAAAACAAACAAATATAACTTCTATTAATATTATTATTTTTTAGAAATTTCCAGATGCATCAAATTCATTAATATCAATTAGTTCAGCAGGAGTAACGGTTGGAGCAACATTGGGAGGGATTATATGTGGACTTTTATCAGACCATGTATTCAATTCTAAAAGACCACCAGCTCTATTTATCTTTTTTTTGTTGATGAATATTTGCATTGTTATATTATATTTTATAACCAATCAAGTTGGTGCTGTATTAATACTTTATCTTACACTTGTATTAATTTTAGGTGCTAATAATGTTTTAGCTGTTACTGGTAAGGAAAAAGAAAAAAAAAAGAAATAATATTTTCCATACTCATTTTTTTCGTTTAGCATTATTGGATTTAGGAGTAACAAGAAATGCATCATTAATGGCAGGATTACTTACTAGTTGTCAATATACAGCATCTGGATTTAGTGGATTTTTACTTGGATATATAGTTGATCATCTGGGTTTTAGTTGGTGGATGATATCAATGTTACCATTTGGTATTGCTGCTATGATTATGATGGGATATAATGGTATTGGTGATTTTAAGAAAAGAAATAAATAAATTATATTTTACTTTTTTTTTTGTTTTGTTTTTTTTTTTTGATTATTAATTTTTTTTATTTTCTATTTTTATTTTCTCTCTATTTATTATATATTTAATTAATATTTATTATTAATTCATTTCCCAACCCAAACCACCGAGGACATGCATTAACAATGTTTCTCTTACGGCCTGGAATACAAATTGAATGTTTTGAGTATCAATGGCGCAGGTGAAATGAGGGAAAATCATATGAGAGCTGTGGCTTTGGTCCAAAAACATCTTTTTAACAAACTGACTGCCATTTTCGTAGTTGAGACCACCCTTGTAGGCTGGGAAGAATTCGCCGAGTTCGATCTTTGTAATCTTTTCTCTAAAGAGATCGACCTTGTTGAAAAAGAGGATAAAGGCGGTGCTGCGGAACCAATGACTGTTGATGATTTCGTCAAAGAGCAACAACGACTCTTTCATTCTGTTTTGTGATTCATCTTCTCTGAGTGATTGATCGTATTCACTCAATGCCACACAAAATATAACTGCAGTGACAGAGTCAAAACAATGAATCCATTTACGACGTTCACTACGTTGTCCACCAACATCGAGCATTCTAAATTCAATATCGTGGAACTTGAAATTGGCTTCTTGAATACCTGTTGTTCTAACTCTAGATCTCAAAACATCATCTTGACTTGGTACATAATCATCTGTTGCAAATCTTGCAATATTCTTAAAGAAACTAAAAATAAATAGAAAAAATTAAATATTAGAATATGTAAAGGTACATTAGAATGTATTGAGGGAGTGATCTCTATTCACTCTGTTTCTTTTTTTTCCTTTTCTTTTTCCTTTTCCTTTTCTCTACATACTATTCAGCAGAATCATTTAATTGGAAACTCTTATCTCTTTGTTCATAAACCTTTTTAATATTTTCATCATCCCATAGTGCCTTGATATCATTGGCAACTTCCAAAGACCATGAATTACCTCCTGGTGTAATCTTTGAAATTCTATCAAATCTTTCCTAAAATGTGATGAATGGAATTTGGTGTCAATAAATATATATCGACTGGATGGATATAATATATTTACTTCATTTTCTGGATTGGCTGGTTTAAGTTCGGTTTTGATTGCGTGCATTACTAATACCTTCATTTGACTTATACAATTTCCATAAATAATATATCTATATTCTAATCTTTCTTCTGTTGAGAAACCTCCATCTTCTGAAATAATTTTCATTTGTTTAAAGATTGTTGATTTACCTGAAATTCACATGTTGATTATTATAATTGATTGATATATTAATATTGATTGATTAATATTGATCATCACTTTTCTATATTTAATACATACCAGATTCACCTGGACCCAACAATAATAATTTGGTTTCATTCTTTGCATAGTTACCATCCTTTCTCAATTGGTAATCTATAGATCTACTCTTCTTTTCTTCAACTGTTAATATACATCCCATTTTCTATCTTTTCTGTTCTTCTATTATTATTCTGATTTATGATTATTCTGATTATTAGTATTGTTATTGTTGTTGTTGTTGTTGTTGCGTTAGCCTAGGTTGTTTGATTGTTATACAAATGTAAAAAAAAAAAGAAATTGTTGTTTGATGGTGTTTATAACTAACTGCTTTCTGTTGTGTGATATTTTTGATTTGATGATGTTTGATGGTAATAGACGAAAAAAAAAAAAAAAAACTCTCTAAAAAAAGAATGAAGAAACCTATAAAAATACAATCTAAATGGTAATGGAAGAAATGGTAATGGATTGTCAGTAAATATATATATGTATATTAAACCTTTTATTATTATTATTATTATTTAAAATCTCTCCTTCCTCCTAGTAGTAGTTGGTTGGTTGGTAGACTTTTTAAAAATTGATAGAAGAGAGAGGAAAAAAAAAAAAGAGAAGAAGAAGAACAACAAAAAGTGTGAGGGGGGGTGTGTTTGTGTTTGATTAATCAATCAAGGCAAGTGCAGTGTTTGTTTGTTTGATTATTTGTTTGGTTATTTGTATATAAATTTTTTGCTCGTTGTCTCTCCTTCCTTCTTACCAAACAAACAAACGAACCAATAATAAATAAAATATAATATCTCTATCATCATTTTTTAAAAAACGTGGTGATAAAATATCAAGTTACCACCATTACTACTACTATACTACTCTTCATGTTCTCTTTCTATCTCTCTCCCCCAACAATAATCAACACTCTCTCGCTTTTTTAATTTTTTTTGATGATGATCACTATACCACACCACACCAACGTTTTGGTGTTTATAGTATATAGTGATGTTGTTGTTAAAAAAGACGATAATCATCTATCCTTTCTACTTTTTTAACTCCAACTTGGGTACTACTCTTTTTGTTTGTTTTTTTTTTCTACTTTTTACTTTAGACTGTGTTTTTTTGATCACTTACATTGTACTATAAAAAGTTGATCCTACTACTACTACTGATACTACTACAATCGATTACTTGTTGTATCTGTATCTGTACTGTTTACGCTTATGATCTTTGAATCTTATTGTGAAAACTACTGATGGTGATGATTGAGAAATCTGGCTTTGAGCGTGAGCCCAGCAACTCCCTGCTAAGTTTGGAGATTTTTTTTTTTATTATTTTTGTTTTTTATTCTTCTGTTTGTATGAGTGATGACGATCGACAGGTCATACGCCACATAACAGTGGGGTGCACGGTGTGCGAGCTGGGCTTGCGAAATGCGACTCCACCTCTAACTGCTGAGAAATCTTTTCTTGCAAAATTTTATCCAAGCTAGTATGCTCTTTTTCGTTACCGCTCTGATTTTGGGTTTTTTGGTGGGTCTCAACAGTGAGGCCACCCCCCTTTTGTTTGTTGTCACATTTTTAGAACAGGATCTTTGAAAACAACATTATCTTTTCAAGACGAGATTTGAGTTGCACATCATACGCAGACTGTTCTTACTAAGATAACAACAAATCTTGATCATCACAATCAAAGAGGTGGTTCTCTAGGTTGTACTTGTTTTCAACCAATCAATTCATTCTCTAAAAAGGAAATAAATGTTTCATCGGGTTCATTTACATTATCCAATGTACCAAATGTATTGGTTAAAGATGGCATTGTAATTGAAAATATACCTTCAGTTTTTTGTAATACATTTGATAAATCTTCTTTTTGATTGTTTGTTAATAATTTAATTACCTAAAACAGAAAATAAGTATAAAATAGATTGATTTATATTATTTTTGGATGTACAAACATTATTTGAAAGTATTACTTGTAATAAACCAGTACCATCTGATATGGTAACTAAAATGTCATCCTTGTCTTTTGTACATCCAGTAATGATTCCAAGAGTTTTTAAATATTTTGTACTAGTTTGTCCTCCTCGTAATTGTTGATCTAAAAATGTTGATATATAACAATATTGATATTCTTTTTCTTTTGATGATGATGATGATAATAATGGTGGTGACTTGTTTGTTGTTGTTGCTGTTTTCTTTGATATTGATAATGAAATGGTTGGGGCTTTTGTTATTGGTCTACTCGGAGTTGGAGGAGGACGTTGATTTAATCCAAAAACATCATCATTATCATTATCCATTGGTTGATCATCACCCATATCCATAAAATCATTTGCATCATATTCATAATGATCATTATCATTTTGATAATTAATTGTTATTGGTTGATTTTTACTTCTATTATTATTATTTATATTATTATTAGTAGCAGTTTGATTGTTGTTATTATTATTATTATTATTTTGATTATTATTATTAATTTGATTTTGAATAATTTGTTTATCAATAATATTTGAATTTGAAAGTTTATCTACACTACCACCTAATAATCTTATATTATTATTGTCTAGTAATAATAAACCTCTTCTAATTGGTACATCTTTTAATAATACCTAAAAAAATAACAATAATATAAATAGAGTTTAATACATATATAACATTCATTTGTGTCATTTGTTATTTGTCATTTTTACCTTTGTACCAGGAGCAAGTTGAGGAGAAATGAAAGAGATAAAAGTATGTTCTATTGCTTTAAAGGTATGTTTTCCATCTGAAAGTTGAAAGCTTAGAGTTCTCATTGATGATGCATCATGATCAAACCTAGTTTCAAATGGTTCAGATATGTTTTTGGTTTGATTGATTTGCATAAAATAGGGACCACCAGTCATTTGTTGTACTTTGGTTGTATGATCATTCCATCGCGTCGAAGTTGCATCATTGATGAATAGATTTGATTGATCTGCAAAGTCATGTATATCCGACAACAATACACATTTGTATACTTCTTCCAATACACCATCCTTTTCTCTTTTGAGACTTGTCTGATCTGTCAATAATCTTGTATTTGAACTATACCTAGAATGATTCTTCAAGATATGATTGACACACTTTTCAAACCATCCATCTGCTATACATATACTATATGTTGATCTTAATATATGATTCCATTCTTGTATTATTGATGTATCCATAATAATAAAAAAAAAGAAAGATAAAAAGAAAAGATAATAAAAGATGAACACTCAAATGAAATTAAACTTGGCAACTCTTTGCTCTTATAATTTTTGAGTTTCTTCGAAAAAAATATATATATATAATTAATCTAATTTATTACTTTTAATTGTTGTTGTAAAAGTATTAATATTTCTTCTTATTCTTGCAGGTTGAGGGAATTCAGATTTACCACCCCATCTCTTGAATGCAATCATTCTACCAATTGTATAGATTGAGACAAAAAAGCAACACGATGAAAAGACGAAAATGACTTTAGAGTAGACTGGAATCACTCCGAGGAAGGGATATGGCCAACGTCCTAGATAAACCTTGGATGCCAAAAAGAGTGACATGTAAAAGAGAAGGAACGAGATGAGATTGACAACGTCAGAGTAGACATTGGCAGTACTTGGTTCAGTGGTGGTGCCTGTCGATAGTTGATGGTGGTACTGATGATTGACAAGCATCATTTCAAAGATTGCTGCAAATGCAGGTATAGTGTGTTGAATGTGATTTAGACCAAGTGGATAGACTGCCTCTGTCGTTGGAGGATAGATAAAATTGCGATCATATACATACAGTCCCCAAAACAAGATCGATACAATCAACCCAACAGGAAACACCAATGATCTAAATGTAGAGTCTCTTGCCTTTAATGTTATTTGGTATAGATTGGGTGCACTACTCTTTAATCCAAATAAATCAACCATATCAACCATCACTACCCAAAAATAATAAAATGTATAAATGATCTAAAGATAGAAAAGTAAGAAAATCGATTGATATAATGATCAGAGTACAGATATAACTAGTTTTAGTTTAAACTTACTTGTCCCCAAAAAGTTAAGAATGTCAATATCATCAAAGGATGATTGGTACCAGTAATACCAGAACCAAATTTGATAAAGGCATGATAAAAGGTAATCAAACCATATGTAATAGTGATAAATAATGTTACATGTACAAGTTTAAGTAATGTTGACATTATAGAGTTCTTTTAGTAGTAGAGAATATTCTCACTCTTTTGAATAATGAATGTTGTTGTTGTTAACACGCTGATACTTTTTAAATTAAAATAATATAATTTAAATTATTTTTAAAACTACATGTGGGAAGTCATTTTAAAAAATAGTAATACATTACCTATCATTGCCTTTGCGCTCACCACAAACATATGTCAATCCTCAGAGCACTAACAATTGGTGTTTGTTACCATTGATCAACTCTATGTGTCTGAATATGATATTAAAAAAAAGAACACAAACTTGGTTAGAGTTGCGAACGAGATGCCAATGACCAAGGGATGCTATTGGTACGTTGTACGAGTAGAATGACATTTTTTGGTAGAGAGAGTGGAAAAAAGAAAGGCAAGGAGAGAGTGGAAAAAAACAGAAAGGAGGGGAGGGAGAGGACATGAAAGGAGGGGAGGGAGAGGACATGAATGGAGGGGAGGGAGAGGACATGAAAGGAGGGGAGGGAGAGGACATGAAAGGAGGGAGGAGAGACATGAAAGGAAAGGGAAGGGAGGGAGGGGAAAGGAAAAAAGGGGAAAGTCATGAAGGATGGGGAAAGGAAAAAAGGGGAAAGGACATGAAAGAAGGGGAAAGGAGGGGAGGGGAAAGGAAAAAAGGGGAAAGGACATGAAAGAAGGGGAAAGGAGGGGAGGGGAAGGAAAAAAAGGGGAAAGGAAAAAAGGGGAAAGGACATGAAAGGGGAAAGGAAAAAAAGGGGAAAGGAAAAAAGGGGAAAGGACATGAAAGGGGAAGGAAAAAAAGGGGAAAGGAAAAAAGGGGAAAGGACATGAAAGGGGAAAGGACATGAAAGGGGAAAGGACATGAAAGGGGAAAGGAAAAAAATGGGGAAAAAAAGATTAGATGATTCCTGTGGGATTTGAACCCACGCCCCGGAGGATCAGTGCCTTAAACTGACGTCTTAGACCGCTCGACCAAAGAATCCGCTGATGACACCAAATCCGAAAAAGCCTACTTATTTTGGTCCTTTTTGCCTCTATTTTGGATGATGATATTTCAAAAATTGCCTAATTGCGTGAAAAAAATTTTGGAGAAAATTTGATTTATGGGACTTTTGATTGTATTCTAACCTCTAAACTTATCTCATCTTCCATGGTATTTGATTTTATTTTCTTTTTTTCTATAAACATCTAAATGAATAACACCAACAACTTGAGTTCATTTAAAAAAATGCCTATTTCTTTTAAAAAAACATTGTAATTTCCACATTCAATAGTCTATTGATTGAAATCAACCCTCGAAACCATAATACTAGACTAATATTGACTCCCAATGTTGTAAAATGCACTCATTCTTTGCATTATTTTCAATCAGTTAACTTATTGAATTTAAAGGCTTTGAAAAATTAATCAAGATAGGGAAATACCTTAAATCTGGATTCAATTGGTTTGTTGGATTTACAAAGAGAGATTTCACTTTGTATGGATGGAACTCTTCTCTTTCATTATCAATATATTTACTTGGGAACTCAACTAATCAAAATTAATATTAAAATTTTAAATGTTTTGGATGATTTATTAGTTAATTCAAATCCTTTTTTTCCAATATCTTTTTACAAGAGTAAAGCAAGAATGGCCAAAAGAACCAAAGTGGATGGGATGACAATGACCGAGGAAGCACTGTGAGGGACGATGGTACGGCAAGAGGTGAATGGACTAGTATTATTTCCACAAGAGCCAGCATCACGGAATTGAAGAGCAGGGCCGATACACTTGGATCCACAGATGAGGTCACGACAATGCTTGTAGAGACAAGAACCAGAAGATGGGTTACCAATATCAGCCTTGCATTTGTTGTCCTTGGCGCATTGAATCAATTGGGTGATACTTTCCTTGCAAGCAGCCGAGTAGAGAATATTTGGTTGGCAAGTACCAGCAGTGGCACCAGCAGTGGAAGCACAAACACATGTCTCTCCACTCAAACAACTTGTATCTCCACAGGAGGCAGTACTGCTAGATCTAGATATTACAGCACATTTGTCAGAAGCAGGATCACACTGTAAATTGTTGGCAATGTTGCAATCTGTCAAGGGAATCTTTCCATCGAATTGGGTAATCGAAGTCAATGGTTGACTGCTACAGGCATCACCTGCATTCTTGGAAAATGCGGCAACACAAATCATACCGCTACATACATCACCGACGGCACAATCCCCATCTTCTCTACAGTCCATTGATGGTGAAATGGCAACGCAGGCTTGTGAGCTACATTGTTGACCGTATGGGCAATCGTTATTGTCGTCACATTTGTCTGGTCTGACAAGTGAACAAACGTCGTCTCTACATTTGAGATTGTTGGCACATTCCAAGTCAGACACGCAAGCCTCTCCAGCAACGGCAAATTGGAGCTGTCTACAACTACCAAAAGTAACAGCGTTTTGTTGATCGGAACGAATGTTTCTGTAACAACCCAAGTCAGCAAAGCAACGTTTAGTCTTGGTGATGTCTCCTGCATTTCCATCACATGGTCCATTGAGATCTACATATGGTTGACAAGTTTGTTCCAAATCTTTGCCACTTGGTGTACAATAATGTTGGAATGGACATTCTGTATCACTTGATTTTAAAAATATAAAAAGAAAATACAAAATTAATAAATGTGATTGGTTGGATGGGTAGTATTTATTCTTTTTGGTCAATATTTACTCTTTACAAACTTCATTTGCTTTTTTACAAAAATCATATCTACATTTTGCTTCAATGTTGTGTATCATGTAGATACAAAGGATTAATAAAATAATTGTTTTCATTTTTTGATAGGGAAAAGAGTTAAATGTAATAAGAATTAAAAACACAAATACAATTTGACTTGACAATGAAAATGAAATTTGACAATTTAAAGTTGTGGATGAGAGATTGATTGATCTATATTTTTACCTCCAAATAATAATTTATAATAAACTAGCACATCACATCTTGATCATGCAATTCAATGGTTAGAGAGAGGTTGGTGTTTTGGGGGTTTTTTTTTGTTGATCAACAAATTGAGAGGTGTTGGCATAAAATTCATCACCCACAACCTTTTAAAAAGATTAAAAAAAAAAGGGGTGACCCATCACTATTGTGGTTCTTTAAAATTCACCCATATGAGTGAAAATATATATACTATAGAACTGATTCGATTCAACAGAAAGAATTGAAAGTGTACCCCTCCTGAATCTGACAATTTTTTTTTTGGTATGATCAATTAGGGGGGTTTGAAAAAACCCCTTTGGAGTGGTGTCACCACACCTTGAACACTTGAGTACAATACCTAAATAGTGATGGGTTAGATGATATGAACCACACCCTAATCCCTGATCACCAACAAAACCATTGCCAACAAATTTATTATATGCGGTTGTGTCAACAAAAACAACAAAAAAAAAAATTAATACAACAAACCATCATCCCAACTTGATCATGGTTTTAAATACAATAAAATAAAAAACTGAGGGACAAAGATTGTCACCATCCCTATTATAATTATTATATCCAATAATTAATAAAGAATCCATTTTGGTATAAATAAATATTCTATTGTTTTCTTTTATTCAAATTCTAATATTTTCCAATCTAAACCAAAGGGTTTTTAAGAGGAGTCATATAGGCAGTGTTAATAATTTGATCAAATTTCTAAGAAATAAAACCAAAGAAGATGAGATACAGTTTAATGGAATACATCAATGTACAATCAAATACCATAGAAGATGAGATAAGTTTAGAGGTTAGAATACAATCAAAAGTCACATAAATCAATTTTCGCCCATTTTTTTTTATTAAAGTAATTCTTTTCCTGTTCTATCAATTTGCCCCCAAAAAATTTTCAGTAAAATAGGCAATTTTGAGAATGACTTTCGCACGGATTCTTTGGTCGAGCGGTCTAAGACGTCAGTTTAAGGCACTGATCCTCCGGGGCGTGGGTTCAAATCCCACAGGAATCATCTAATCTTTTTTTTTTTTTCCCATTTTTTCCTCCTCCCCTCTCCCTCCTCCCTCCATTCCTCCCTCCATTCCTCCTCCATTCCTCCATTCCTCCTCCATTCCTCCCTCCATTCCTCCTCCATTCCTCCATTCCTCCTCCATTCCTCCTCCTCCATTCCTCCATTCCTCCTCCCCTCTCCTTTCCTTTCCCCTCTCCCTCCTCCCTCCTTCCTTTCCCCTCTTTTCCTTCCCCTCTTTTCCTTTCCTTTTTTTTCCTTTTTTCCTTTTTTCCTTTTTTTCCTCCTCTCCTTTCCTTTTTTCCACTCTCTCTCCTTCCTTTTTTTTTTTCCACTCTCCACTCGAAAGATCTTCATACAACAAATGTCATTCTACCCTAAAAAAAAAAATTATATTTTAATTTTTTTTTTCCTACGTCAATTTATTCACAATACAAACCAATAATTGAAAGTAGATTGATGATTGTGTTGTGTCATGTAATGATTATAAATTCGTCCATGATTATGAAAGAGTTTGATTTTTAAAATAATAAATTTGTTGATACTCTGATTTTGGTTTGATAGAGAGAGTAGCCTGATAATTATAGATTAAAGCATTTGCTTCAGAGGATTGATCCGAAAAGGAATGAAAATTCTTTCTACATTCATTGACAAACCAATTGGCAGTGTATTGGTTGGCGAGGATACTTTGGTATGAATGGTTAATGTCTTGAGTGTTTGTCCATTCATAGAGTGGTTTCTCTGGATGCCATTGGACACCATAGATGGGATAGTCCTTTGCCTCGATAGTAGAGACAAATGGCAAACCGCCTCTATCATTGTTGATTGAGAGAATGGTAAAGAAATGGTTTAAAAGGGGATTTGACATAAAGGAGGATGGCGAGATACCAAACTTGTGATTGTTCATTGTCAGCGAAAGAGTGGCCAAATCCTGCATGACCGATTCTGGTGCCATGCTAAACAATCGACTGTCACGAGCACTGCGAGTAAAATTGAGAGACAATGAGTAGTTGAGAGCATCAAATGATTCCATCAAGTAGATATTGTCTGCTTGCATCATTAGGATTTGTTCAAAACCAAGACACGTGCCCCAAAGCGGAAAGTAATCTTGTCTATCGTTTGCCTCGACAACCAATTGATAAAGATACCTTATAGTGTCTTGATAGAGTGGATAGTATTGTAGTAAAACAGCTCCACCAGGCAAAAGTATCCCATTGATTGATTGAAATAGTGTCTTTAGTTGTTTAGGTGTACTATCATAGAGTATAGGTACTACCCTCGCACCTGCGCTTTCAATATATTTAACATAACTAGCTGCTATATATTGATCATATCCTAACGATTTGCTACTACCATCATTTCTAGTTGGTTGTGTTAATATCCCAATTATTGGTCTTTGATTAATATAACCACTATTACTACTACTAGTAATACAACTTTCTACTACTACTAAAAATATTAATACTAATAATATAAATGATATAGTACTTTTTTTAAAAACTCTATTAAACATTATTAAAAATGAATGAATGAAAAAAGATAACAAATTATTTGTTTATTAATTTAGTTGTAGTATTACTATTGGGTGTGGTTGTATTACTATTACTATTACATGGAAAATAATAAATTTGTTGAAAATCAGGAATAGTTAGAGGTTGATGAATAGCAGGATAATTATAAATTAAAGCATTGGTTTCAGAGACGTTGTCTGAAAAGGAATGAAAATTCTTTCTACATTCATTGACAAACCAGTTGGAGGTGTATTGGTTGACTAGAATACTTTGGTATGAATGATCTACACCTAGTTTATGGTACCATTCGTAGAGAGGTTTCTCGGGATGCCACTGTACACCATAGATGGGGTAGTTCTTGGCTTCGATAGTCGATACAAATGCAACACCCTCTTGATCCAAGTTGTTTGATAGTATATCGAAAAAGGAGTCAAGTAGAGCGTTTGATGTAAAGGTAGATGGAGAGATACCAAACTTGTGATTATTCATTGTCAGGGGAAGCGTGGCGAGATCTTGCATGATCGATGGTGACGCAAGACTAAATAATCGACTGTTACCAACCTTGTCTGTAAAGTCTAGTGGGATGGTGTAATTACTTGCTTTGAATTGTTCGAGTATGTGAATATCGTTGGCTTGCATCATGACGAGTTGTTCGAAACCAAGACATGTTCCCCATAGTGGAAAGTAGTCTTTTCGATCGTTTGCATCGATCACTAGTCTATACAACAGTCTTAGTGTTTCACAGTATTGTGGTAATTGATCGAGATGGTCTGCACCTCCACCAGGCAACAATATACCATTGATTGATTTAAAAAGTGTCTCTATCTCTTCTGGTGTACTGTCATAGAGTATAGGTACTACTCTTGCACCTGAACCTTCCAAATGCTTTACATAACCAGCTGCTATATATTGATCAGTTTCATGATCTGTCATTTCATTATCACATGGTTGACTTAATATTCCTATTATTGGTCTATTATTAACTTTCATTGAATAGATAAACATAAATAATAAATAATAATAATAATAATAATAATGAAAACAACAACAATTGCAAACTTTAAAGACTTTACAAAAAAATATCTTTCTTTTCTTTCTAAAAATAATTTTAATTTAATTTTACTTCTTTTTTACAATTGTATCTTCATCTTCTTCAAAATCTTCATAATCTTCAAAATCTTTGTCATCATCTTCATCTTCTTCATCTTCATCTTCACTTTCATCATCTTTAATTTCTTCACTTTCATCATCATCTTTATCATTTTCTTCGTCTTCTTGATTTTCCAAATTTTGTTGATTAAATATTTTATCCAAATCTTTTTGAAGAGTTTGATCAGTTAAAACACTAGTTGTAAGATTTCTATGAAGTGTTTCCATTTCTCTTGTAGACATATCATCCAATCCATCCATTTCCTCTTGCAGTTTAAGTTTTTCACCCAATTGATAACCAGGTTGCGATTCGACATCGAGTTGATGTAGGTATTTTTGTTGTTCCTTTTTATCCAACTTTTCAAATTGTTCTCTTTCCTTTTGCAATTCATCGATTCTTTGTTGTTTCTTTTGTGATCTTTTTTCTTTTTTAGTTGCCTCTCGTATGGCACCAGCATCATTTGTAAACTCTGAATAATCCATTTGTTTTTTATCTGGCCATGCCGTATATCTATTGGTAATATCTGCAAATTCTTTAAATGTTAAACTTTGTGGTCTTCTAGAAGGATCAATATCTCCTAATAACCCCTCTGATCCTTTTCCCATTGGTCTAAAAAAAAAAAAAAATTAGAGGTTGGTATATATTATATATATTCTCTTTTTCTTTTCTCTTACTTTAGGGCATTTGAAATTGTTTTTCTACGATGATTAAATAAACTTCTACAAATAAATTCTAAATGTTCTTTTGAATCTACTTGACCGATTGGTTCGACTAGAGGTTCTATGTGAATGACGCTGGCGTCTACTTTGGGGGGTGGTACAAACACCTTGCCGGGTAGATCGTATATGATTTTCGAATGACATTCTTGACCGACCATCACTGCCAATCTACCATAGTTGTGCGAGTCGACCGGTGCAATGATTCGCTCGGCCAACTCTTTTTGAAACATCAAAACCATCGGCACTCTTCCATAGGCATACAGACCTTCTCTTGGTTTGATCTGTCGTACCCATTTGAGCATGAGATGTGTACCAACGTTGAATGGAAGGTTACCTACAATCTTGACCTTACTCTTTTCTTCCCAAGGCATCTTTTCAGCTTGAAAGTGTCGTAGTAATTCACCTTCATCTACTTTCATCATATCGCCCATTACGACACTAAGTCTACCTTCACTTGCCTCTTCCAACATTCTAAGTGCCGGTATAAAACGTCGATCCATCTCTACGGCAATCACCTTTTTAGCGCCCGCCGTCAACAGACTTCTCGTCAAACCACCAGGTCCTGCTCCTACTTCAATGACCGTACAATCTTTAAATCCTCCAGCTTCTCTACATATCTTGTCTGTAATGTTTAGATCCAATAAAAAGTTTTGTGATAGTTGTTGTTTTGCTGATAAACCATACATCCTAATTAAATCTTGAATCTTTGGCATTATTGGTAGTTTCATCTTAGAGAGGAATAAAAGAAAAGAAAAGAAAAGAAAAGATATATATCTTCTCTCTTCTCTCTCTTTTCTTTCTTTAAAAAGATATTTAAATATGAATGATTCGTCTTTTTTGTAAATTAAATTTTTGATGTCTTTGCAAAAAACGAGTCATTTTTATAAAAAAAAAAAAAACAAAGAATTTGTATTTATATTATTATATATTTATATATTTATTTATTATATTATTTTATATTTTTTAAAACTTTGGATAATAACTATCAAAACCCATCATATAACAATTATCATTTGAAGCAGAGATATAGGCATACCCAGAGATACCCCAATAAGTATTCCATTGGTTTTTGACGATCCAATAATCTTGATTCTTGTTGTAACCAACCAATAAAACGACATGGTTAGTATTTCTATATGGAGTACGACAGACAAAGACACCGGATGAATAGGATTGGAATTCATCGTCAACCCACATGGCTACTGTAATGGGACCGTTTTGTAATTCATCGATGAGTGCTTGCTTATTGTTGGCTGGGATGATACCAAAAGAATTGAATTTGAATCTCGACGATCCACTTTTAGTATATGAACATGATCCTACATAACCAAGATATGGTTCATCAGATTCCAATGCTACTCCCTGAGTTGAAAAGGTTTCATAAAACTTGTTAATCCATCCACCATTACAACCATTTGGCAGACAATTGACTGCATTCTGTTCTGATAAATCAATTGATTTGATTTGTGATTTACCATTTTTAATTAAATATCTTGATTCAAGTGCAGCAACTAAAAAATTAAAAATATAAACAAGATTAATATATTTTGTTTTAAATAATTGTTTTTTGATTATTTTTTCATACCTGAACCAAAACTCCAACAAGAACCACATGGACCTTGATCTTTTACAGAAGTTTGATAATCTCTCCAATCGATAATATTACCAGATTGAGTTGGTGGAGAGGTTGAATTGGATTCGGATGGTTTTTCGGTTGGAATGACTGGTTTCTCTGTTGGAGTAACTGGAAGAGATGAACGAATGTATGGATTGATTCCATTGAAACCTCCAGCTGGATTATAGTCACAAGCAATAATGACTCTACTTCCACAATTGGCCTTGGCACATCCAAACTTGGTGGTGGTATTCCAGACGGCATAGGCCCATGGCAAACAGACTACACCAGACTTGCAGGTTCCAGTGCTCCAATCAAATGAATTTCTTTGCTCCCAAATCATATCCAAATTACCTTGTAAATTGAAATAGGATTGTGGTTCCCACCAATACATCCACTCTGATACTATACCATAGGAAGAGTAGGGAGAGAATGTATAGGAGCAAGTATTTAAATGATTTTGAAGTGTAGTTGCCATTCCATAATCATATGTAAGGGCTGATAGTGGTGATGCCGATGGTGGATCTGGTGATGATCTCCAATTGTTATGATTTGATATTAATGTTTGAATTTCTTGTGGAGACAAATCTCCATAAACAAAATTCAATCCATTTAATATTATAAATATTAATGTTATTAAAATTTTCATTCTTTAAAAAAATAGAAATATAGATAGGGATAGGTGTAGATATATAAAGGATGGGGGGATAAGATTAATTAATTAGGATGGATGGATAAAAAAAATTGAATGGATGATTTCTTTTTAAAAAAAAGGATTAATAAGTTTTAAAGTAACGACTTACATTTTTACTGTTTTCAAAACTACTATAATAATAATTAATTAAATTAAATGTTTAATAAACGGATATATAAACAAAACAACAACTAACTCTATAAAATAAACTGTTGTTTCTGATAAATGAAATGGTGGTGAGGTTCTTTTTCGAATAATGGTCCATATGTTCAAAAATTGATTTGACGTTAGGTCCAACAATATTTTGTTCACATTCCAATTTCAATATCTACAGATCCGTAATATTGTTGAGCCGTTAATGAATTTGAATTGTTTTTGTTTTTTTTTTTTCCCAACTGGAATCCACTTTTGGAAAGTATTGATTTTTCAAAATTGTTTTTCCGCATCTTTTTGGACCTATCAAACCTCTAGATCTAGAGGTCAATTGAAAGAATGATAAAAGAGGTATCCAATTAATCAACATGGTCACACCATTGATGTCATCTTTAAGGGGGTTTTTTCCATAGATTAACATTTAAATTGAATTGAATTTCAAATAACAAAAAAAAGGAAAAGAAAGAAAGTTATACAAACTATCAACTTTTCGTATTGTCTAACGGAACAAAAAAAGTACTTTTCTCTTCTTTGAAACTTTTAATCAAAAAAAACAAAACAAAACAAATTACTTTTAGTTAGTTTCTTTTTTTCTTTACAAATCTAATATTTATATTTATATATACATACATTATTATTATTTATATTACATACATATATATTTATATATTATTTTAGAATGAGATTATATATTTTTTTAATTTTAACAATCTTTATAATATCTCTCTCTTCAAACTTTTTGTTTGTAAAGGGAGGTGATATTCCAAGTGACCAACTATTTCAAGATGCATTCAAGAATTGGATGCAAGCATACAATGTACGATATACTGAAGGTGAATTCCAATCCAAATTTTCAAATTGGAGAGCCAATATGATAAAGATTGGTGATTTTAATGGTAAAATCAATGTACCAGATGTATTGGTACAGGATTCAGAATCACCTACAGATAGTAGTTCAAGAAAATTATTATCTGTAAATGCAGACCCTGTCATTACTTTTCCAAAATCACAAGTTCAACAATGTAAGCTAAACTAATAAAAAGATAAATTAATTGTTTATATATATTAATATTTGTTTTTCTTTTTCTTTTATAGTATCATTAAATCAATTTTCAGATTTAACATATCAAGAATTTGTTTCAACATACACTGGAGGATTACCACCAACTGCAGCTGTTGCTGCCGCTGCAGCAGCTGCTGGATTGTCAACTGGTGCTATTATAGGTATAGCAGTAGGAGGAGGAGTGTTGGCTGCAGGTGCTGTTGGAGGAGGTTCAGTACTTGCCTATAGAAAGTACAAAAAGAACAAATTAACCAAAGCAACAGCACAATCACATCCAACAGCCGTCGAAGTTGAAATGGTCGATAGAGTATCTGCCTCACCCGTCGTCTTCCCAGCCACCCCTACCACCGATCCAAATGAAGATGACCATGCTTCATCTCCTGTTCCTGGAGGTATCAATGTATTTGATTTCTCAAAGAATCCTCGTCATTCTATTACTGCTAGATCTTATACACAAGAATAAATAAATCGATACAAATAAATACAAATAACATTAAAACATTTTTTTAAAAACTAAAACGAAAAGCAAAGGTGTCTTTGCTGACTTCATTCATTTATTTAATTTTATTTATCTTTGTCTTTTTCATTTTGGATGGTACAAAGTTTTAATTTAGAAGCTTTTAAATGCTTGGTAAAAGTAGCAAGAAAGAGAGGATTGGTGATACCTCAGATTGAAGTGAATAGTGTCTGTGATATAAGGTTTGATCGACTCTATGATATGGGTTTTAGAGGTGTATGTTTTGACAAGGACAATACATTGACCGAACCATACAAAGACGATGTCTATGAACCCTATAAGAAATCGATTGATCTATGCTTGGAGGTATTTGGTAGAGACAAGGTAGCAATCATATCAAATAGTGCTGGATCAAGTGACGACACTGATTTTAAAAAGGCACAACAAATAGAATCATCTCTTGGCATGCATGTAATAAGACATGGTACAAAGAAACCTGATGGTATCGATCAAGTATCGGCTCATTTCAACACAACACCCGATAGACTCATAATGGTTGGTGATAGATACCTTACCGATATTCTATTTGGTAATCTCTATGGAATGTTAACTATCTTTACAAAACCAATCACAAGTAATGGTGATAATCCAATGGTTAAATTGGTATGATGAATAGTAGAAAACAAACAAACAAACAAACAAATACGATACTATAATATATTAATATTAATATTCATTAAATATATTTGATTATAGATTAGAAACAAGGAACATCAATTTGTTCAATACTCTAAACAATTTTATCAACCTCCTTTACAACCTCTATTCAAACCAGGTATTTATTTTAAGAAATAATATGTTATGTAATTAAATATATTTAAGGTTATTTTATTGTATTTATAAATATGGATGGATTGATTGATGGATTAAAAAGAGTTTTCTTTTCTTTCCTTTCTTTTTTTTTTTTGTTTTGTTTTTTTTAATATCCTTTTTCCTTTTTAAATTGATTCATATGGAGAACTTGAATAACCTTCAGAGATTGTAAAGTAATCGGCAGCACGGTTTGGAGAAAGGAGGATAGAGAGAACAGCGAGAGCCAAAAAGTTAAAGGTGACATAGAAACCCATGACAGTCTTGAAACGTTCCCATGGGTCGATGGAAGCGGCGATGATGCAAATGAATGGGAGAGCAAGGAACCAAATGAAAAAGGTGATACCAAAGTAGACGTAGAATTGACGTTTGGCTGGATGAGTCTCTTCCATGTAGGTGTTGTAGGCACACCACATGAACCAAATCATAGCGATGGAACGAGCAATCAACAAAAGAATACCTGGTACGGTATCGTACATGTAGACCGATGAAGCTGGATCCTTTCCAACCTTGTACCAGATAAACATGATCAAATAGAGAACGGTCAAACAACCCATAACACCAAGAATAATCTTCTTCTCGTCAATGGTTACACGTGAAATTGCCCATCCCTTGGCAAGTAAAATTAAAAGTAAGATAAATGTAAGTTGTGATGCAAAATCAATCACTAAAAAATAAAAAAAAGAATGGAAAACAATGGAAAAGAAAGGAAATGTAAGTTATAAACAAATTAAGGTTTAAAATGATTATTAATTATTATTATTGATTATTACATACATTCACCAAAACCTTGTAAACCCTTTCCACCAATACCATTGTGTGAATAGGCACCATAATGAATCAATAAAATAAATACTGACAAGAATTGTAAAAGAATTGAAATGGTTAACAATTTAACAATCTAAAATAATAATAGAATAGAAATAGGTGTTAGTCAACTTTCTCTTTGTTTGTTGTTTGTTTTGTTTGTTTTGTTTTTTTCATACTGGATGGAAAGATTTAGTTTTATGAAGATTCCAAGCAGAATATAAACTGTAAGCAGTGAGAGCAACGAAAAAGAAGAAATAGACCAAGTATAAACCTTCGAGACCATACTCTTCCCATGAGAATTGTTGATACCAAGTGCCACCATAGTTGAGCCATTCCATGTCATAGGTGAAATCGAGTGATCCACCATTGCAATCGGCAGCGACAAAATACCAAAAGTGTGGACGTTGAGTGTCGGCAAATGGAATGGTTGTTGTTCCATTACCAATTGTTTCGTGGAATTGAGTTGCATTGATCTTTTCCTCGCAACTCTTTGATGATTTGTAAACACTTCCCCATGACGATTCAGCATCATCGTAGAGATAAAATGTAAGGTTTGGATTATTGGTTGTGGTTGTAAATGTCCATGATCCTTGACCTTAAAAAGAAAAGTTGTTAAAAAAAAAGTGTGGTGCCATTGAGGAGGGAAAAGGGTGTTAATATAAACTTTTAAGTTTAAAATCTTTCTTGTGTGTGTGGTATGTTGAAAAAATAGTGTTGAAAGAGTAGAGTCATAGTACTATACTAATATCTCTTTGTGTGATGTGAAATGAACTATACCTCTTGAACCATAACAAAACTTGTTAACAAAAGCCCATGAAGAAGAGGAAGAGAAACTTCCTGAAACAACCTTTGATTCAGAGACGTTGGCAATAATAGCCAACAATCCCAACAATGAAATAATAACGAGTGATGTTCTCATTCTATTCTATTATATATCTCTCTCTAAAAGCTGATATAGATTTATATAATATAATATATATATAAAGAGCTGTCTTAATTTTAAATAACACTGTTTTGTTGAGAAAAAAGAATATCTCCATTGTGAGACATGTGGGGCAAAGAAAAGGGAAAAAAAACAATTTTAAAAAATTTATTTTATAAAAGCGAATCGTCGGAATGAATGGAACATCCATACCCTTTCAACAAAGAGTTACAATTGTAGATGAAGGGTATGGTTGTGGATGGATCAATATCTATTCAATAGAGATTATCCATTATTTACACTTTATTATTTTTGTCCCTCTCAAAGATTTTTAATCTCTCTGTTGACAAATTTACTAACTGTTATTGTCATTCGGTTAATTATTTTATATTCTCATTCTATATATATTTGGTTGCCACCAAAGAAAGTGTAATAAACACCAACCTAACATTCAGTTGTGTTTAAATCTAGAAAAAAAGAATTTCCAAATTAATCTTTTTTAAAAAGTTTTCTTTTTACCAAAAAAACTTAAACTCTTTTTCGCGAGAGCATTCGAACCATCGTTGACGCGTAAAAATCTCAACATGACGGACACCTCGTATTTCGATACCCGTCAAACCTTCAGATTTTTAGATCTTTATTATAATTTTGTTAAATCACAATTAGGTGAATGGTTTGTACTTTTTGGAGAACAAGTAGTTGGTCGAATCCAACCAATTAATTAAAAAAGAGATAGATATTTTTTGGATCCTTGTTTGTGAATTGAATAAATAAGAGATTATACATATTTTTATTGGGTGTTATACATGGTTTGAATAAATAATTTAAGGGCGGGGATGATCAGGCGATGTGTTTTTTACACAAATTTGTGGAACCATCTTGAGATTATAAAGATGGTTGCGATTAGGGCAAATCGGCAATGTTTTTCTTTGAGGGTGGAGGACCTGATGGTCTACCCTTTCCAGGCTTCATTGCTGTTTGGGTTTGGTATTGTTGATCAGAGTGGGGTGTCCAAACACGTTCTTTTCCCGTGGTGACCTCTTGTTTTTTGATTTCCTATAGGGAGGGGAGGGGAGAGGAGAAACGATAGATGTTGTTAGGGGGGGCGATTGGATTCGATTATCCGATTTAAAGACACACAACTGTTCAATCATCATCATCAATTAACTGAATTTAACCAGGGATCAATCAAATAATAATTATCTGTCCGTCGGGTGTATAGTTCTTAATTGGGTATGATGGCTACGTAGCCATCCATTTGCAGCGTGATACTATGGTAGTACTGCCCCCCCAAATGTGTGTGCATGTGGCAACACCAATCGCACACTATTACATCATCGGTCGGTGTGACGAGATGTTCTACGCAATCACACTCTGAGCTAAAAGTTAAAAGTACACTGCTGATTATGATGATGAGAATCTGAAGTTGGGATGGGGATGGTTGGGGTGTCTTCTTACCTTTTCAAAATGTGATTTTAAGTTTGATGTTGTCGACATGGCTATGCAAATATCTTGATTATTAATAGAATGGTGATAGTATGGTACACGATGGTGTGTGGGTGGGGGAGGGGCCGAGTGGAAAAAATGGTGAACCGAGGGGAGAGATGGTGATGAAGGGGAGAGATGTAAATTAATTAATGTGTTGTATGGTCAGCAGGCTGATCAGCAGTTGTGTGTTGTTTAATTTGATGGGTTGTGTGGTCTGTATTCTCGAACCAAGTATCTAACTAACTAGGTAGGTCTAAATCAAAAAAAAAAAAAAAAGTATAGTACCAAGCTATCTACGATAATAATAAATTAGATTGAGGAGGAAGGTTTAGAGGTGAGTAAGTGGGTAGAAAGGGCAAGGAATATGATATGTTGCTAATAATAACAATACAGGTAATTATTATTATTTTGTCCAAAAGGAAATGAACGTTGTAGTTGAAAGAAGAATGGTTTGGTAGTTGGGTGTGCAATAACTAAAAAACAGCAGTGTAAAATACACTTCGTTAAAATAACCCTCAATTAGGATAGATCTCTCATGATTTTTTAAAATAAAAATTAATTTTTTTTTTCAAATTTGCTACACCTCTCTTGCCTACTCTTGAATAGAGCTCCTTGTTTATTCCTCTCTTTAATGATGGAAAGTTCAATCGAGTAGGTATATGGCAGGCGACTCAACCAACACCAGCAAGCACCAGCAGCAACCAACAACACAGTACACCATTGTCGTAGTCAGGAGGAGCATTAGATCACATGTGGAGCAACAGACCAATCATAGTCGCATAGCGTAATAAAACACACACACAGACAATAATAATAATAATAATAATAATAATCATAACAATGTATTATAGAGTAGTAATCCATGTTGTGGGTGAAGTGGATGCCGAGTGGGAGTGGTCCACCACATTTTCTTTTAAAAGAAATAAAGGTGTCTTCTCTTCCTTCCCTCTTGTCTTGTCTGGTACTAGCAATCAACAAAACAAAAATTAATTTAAATTAATAATAATAATAATAATAATAATGTACATCACACCTTCCTCATATCCTCACGCACATACACACACACATTAATTAAATAACATGCACATCATCATTGATTGAGTAGTCATCAACGAGTGTAAAGGAGCAAACATTCATTCTCACCGGGACATCCAAATATCTATCAGTGTTTGCAGCTTGCTACCATGCATCATCGCATCCATTATCCAACAGACACTCACAGATCTCCCCATCCCACCAGCTTTTTTTTTTTTTTTTTTTAGTTTTTTTTTTTTTCTTTCGACATTCACACCTTTCACCATCATCACAACAACATCCAACGCACTGCCCTTGCCATCCCGATGATGATGAATGTTTCGGTTCTCTCTCGAAGAAACCCTCCCCTGCCATGATCGTGCACGACAACGACAATGATGATCTAATCTTGACAAAAATCATAGAAATTTTCTGACCGCTGATGAATATCATCTTATATTGACTGTTATATTAACTTGTAAATAAACTTTCTTTTTCCTTCTTTTTCTTTTTTTTTTTTTTTTTTCTTATCACCTCTTTTTTTCTCCTCTCCCTTCCTCCACTTACTTAGCCGACTCACAATAGCAATTTATGACTATCTTCAAGTAAAAGGTTTCCCAAAGGCAGCTGATATGCTCGCACAAGAGGCAACAATTAATGTAAACCATCCAAGGATATCTTACCAAGATATTTTGCATCAAGCCTGGAATCACTATATTCAATGTACTTTTTTTAACCAGCACCACCTTGTTCAATTTGGTCAAATCCAAAATCATGCTGGTTCGGTCGGTCTAATGGGGCAACTCCTTCAACAGCAACCGCAGCCACCGCCACCTCAAGTTCAACAACAACAACAACAACAACAACAGTTGTCACCAGCCCAACAACAAAGTATTCAACAACAAGTTCAACAACAAGTTCAACAGCAAGTTCAACAGCAACAACAACAACAACAACAACAACAACAATTGTCACCAACTCAACAAAGCATGCATCAACAAAGTATTCAACAACAAGTTCAACAACAAGTTCAAAATATGCAACAGCAAGCTCAACAACAACAACAACAACAACAATTGTCACCAACTCAAACTTCGTTGGGAGGATCAGTTTCGACACCTTCGCCACAACAAACTGTTACTACTGCCACTACATTTCTAAATGTTGGAGGTATGTCTTCGAACATTGCCGGACTCGGACTGAGTGGGATCGCAAGTCTTTTGCCAATCGCAACCACTTCTACTACGACCACCACCAGTACTACCAACAACTCTGTTGGATCTCGTCCGTTTGGTACCTCACCTCCTATCAATCTCATCAGCATTCCGGCTACTGGCGCCACTGCCAATCTTCACCAACAATACAATGCCATGCTTGATATGACTGCCAAGGCTCCATTGTCTCCTCACCAACAACAACAACAACAGGAGCAACAACAACAACAACAACAACAAGCGGCAGCGCTTCAAAACCAACTTTTTTCTACATCTCCGGCACAGCCATTTCCAGCTGCAACCTCAACCACCAATGTATTAAACCATCTCTCTTTTTCTCTACCTCAACAACAACATGTTGGGGAGAAACAACCTGTACAGCAAGCTTTGCAAACTATTATTCAACAGCAACAACAACAGCAACAACAACAGCAACAACAACAACAACAACAACAACAACTTTCTGTACAATTACAACAACAAATTCAATCAAATACCAATCTATTTGAAAATGTAAATGTTACTTCGCCATCAATTCTACTTCAACAACAAACATCACCATCACAATCTTTCCAAGTTGCTCCGGCCTCTCCATCTGCCAAGACGTCGACCACTAGTACTCTGTCTTCACCATTGACCCCTCTTGGAAGTGGTATCACTCCAATGAAGGTTGAATCCAACAACGAGTCGGATGATTCCGACTATGATGATGATCAAGAGCCAAGCTTGGTGTCCAAAAAGTATCCGTGCACCTATCCAGGATGTGACCGTATCTTTGCGTCGCCAGCCATTGTCAAGAGACACATGAAAGACCATGGAGGTGCCAAGCCATACATCTGTCCCCACGATGGTTGCAGCAAGGCCTTTGCCAGAAAGTATGATCTCAAGGTTCACCTACGCTCACACACTGGCGAGAGACCCTACACTTGCTCTCACCCAGGATGCCACAAACGTTTTGCGCGGAACTCGGATCTTCGTCTACACGAAAGAATTCATTCCGGTGAAAAACCCTATGTTTGTGAATGTGAAGGTTGTTCAAAAAGATTCATTCGTTCTGCTGATTTAAAGAAACATCAAAAAACTCATAAACGTAAGAAAACAAAAAGAAAAAAAGAAAATGGAAAAAACAAATATTAATTAATTAATTATCTTTTTATTTTTATTTTATTTAGTTCATAATACTCATCCACATAAACATGGAGCAGGATGTGGTCATACTGCAATTGCACATGATGATCATATTGATTTTCTTCATGACAAACATCTCCATTCGGTGAATCATGAGAATATTGATGACCATAGTATTGGAACCACTGAAGTCAATCCAGCCTCGTGCACACCCAATTTTGTGTGTTCACACCATCCAGATGGTAGTTCACACTCTATTTCCTGTGGTCATGAGATGATTCCTCACCACTCTGAGGAGGATGGGACCATTCACTATGACTTTCTAGTCGATGGACACCTCCACCACGTTCACGAGGGCCACTGTGACGACCACGGCTGGATCGAGGTTTTGAACAACTTTTTGACCCACAATGACAAGGTTATGCAACAACAACAACAAACCATTGTTCACCATCATCATGGTAATAGTCCACATCACCATCATCATCATCATCATAACCATAACCATGCCCAACAACAACAACAGGTCAATAATACCCTCAACCAAATGGCAAACAACAACAACAACAACAACAATAGTAATACTAATCTTCTTTTACAACAACAACAAGTTCAACAACATCAACATCAACAATCACCAACATCATAATTATTTTTTAATTTTTACTACATCAATTTGTACTCTTCTTATTTATTTTCCGATGGAGAAAACTCTAAGAGTAACAGTGTATGTTGATGTGATTTTTTATAATCAATCCTTTTTTTTTTTATTTTCATCATAATCATCATCATCATTATTTTCTATTATATATATATTTATATTATATTTTGTGTATTTGTAAATAGATTGCCGACATTTTTTTCTTTCCCTATTTTATTCTATATTTTATATTTTTTTTTCCATAATATAGTAATATTACTATTATAATTTATATCATCAATATTTAAATATTTCTACCACTACTACTCTACTACTATTTCTTCTCGAGCTCATGGACTTTGGACTGAAGAATAAATCATCCTTCAACAACGTGTCCCCACTGGCTTTACCAATCGCAATGACCATCCAGCATTGTTTCCACCACCATCAAACCACCACCACTTTCAAAAAGAACTCAGGCCTATATTTTTCTTTGACCCTATACCTTTAAACCCCTACCTATGTATCTATTTTTATCTTATTTTTTATTTGTTTTACCCTTTTTTAAAAAATAAATAAAGATATTTATATAATATGTATGTGTGTTTATTATTATTTTTATTATTATTTTTATTATTATTCGGCGGTAACACCAATAATATAGTTAGTTATACTATCCATATCTATCTATATATCCATATATCTATAAACACCTATAATATATCCATATATTCTAGAATACAATGTCTATCTATCAACAACCAACAACAACAATAAATCCTCTTCATCCTCTTCAAAAATCCACAAAAAAATAATAAAACAAAATTCAAAAAAAAAAAAGTAAACAAGTAATCCTCTCCTCCCTCCTCTCTTGTACTCTCTAGAGAGAGACAACAACAAAAAAAAAAAAGAAAAAGTAAAAGAAAGAGATAGAGAAAGAGAGAAAAAGAGAGAGGGAGAGAAGATCATCATCAAATAATTTATACCAAATCATTTTAAATTTATTTAGGCGATTGCACGTAGGTAATATTTAATATTCAGATCCAGATCCATGATGATTTTCTTTTTTTTTTCTTTCTTTTTTTAAAATTAGGGAATTATTTCTAGTTTGTCACAATCATCTTGATTCCAAGCTTTTATTATTATTATTTAGCTTGGTGGAGCACCCCAAAATACAACAAATATTAACCCTGCAATCTTACCAACAGCTGTTCCAGCACCGGCAAGATCACCATGCAAAAGTTGGGTATTCATATCCTAAAATGCATTATTATTATTCATTTGTACAAATATTTAATAAATCACACACTGTAAATGTCTTTCTTTTTTTTTTTCTTTGGTCTACAAAGAGATATACTTCTACATACAAGAACTTGATCTAAAATGGCTGGTATACTTTGATGAATGATCATTTGACGAATAAAAGATTGAGCCAAATTCGGCTCAGTTAAAACGTGTTGGGCACATACTCTGAGTTTATCAGATTGCCATTTAAAAAGACAGTTGGAAATAGTGTTACTTGGCAAAGTATCCATATTATCTGCAATATGAATCAAATAGCTTGAAAAGATTTCATATAATTCAAGAGGCTTTTCGTCTTTTCCTGTTAGCTCGACTGGATTTGGTCTGAAAATAGCTCCTATAATTTGATCTTTATCAACCAAACAAACTTTATGTTTACCTGGGTTTGCAATTTCCTTTTTAAAAAAAAAAAATTAAAAAATGTTTGTTTGAAAGTGTAAAAAGTACACAATATTTTTATCTTTTACATACTTGGAAACCAGAAACCAAACCACCTAAGAAATCAGTGGTACCTTTAGAGGTAGCTTGATCCAAGTGTTCAAATAGAGTCTTTTGAGCTGCCTTTAAATATTCAACTATTTCCTTCCAATTGACTGACCCAAATCGAAAATTTTCTTCATAATGATTTAACCTTTCATTTTCAACTTGCTCTGTAAATTGATTGAGTTGTTCATCTCTTACCTCTGAGTAAGTCCAATCTTGATCTTCACTTTTTACTACCAATAAACATGATAACAGTGATAGTATTAATACTAAAGTTAATTTCATTCTTTTTTTTTCTTTTAAAAAATTAACAATTAAAGAGGATGATGAATGAAAAAGTGTATAAACACTATGAAAAATATGATCATTGGAACCCAGTCTATTGATGTTGTACCCCCATTCATCATAAATCAAAATTCAAAACCAACCAAATCTCCTCTTCTAGAGACAAAAAAAAAGACAGAGGGAGGGAAGATTATTATCAAATTATACCAAATCATTTTAAATTTATTTATTTAGGTAATATTTAATAAATATAGCCAGTTTATATTTTTCTTTAAATTAAGGAATTATTTTTAGGGCCTGACAATCTTTAGCTTGGTGGAACACCCCAAACTGCAACAGATATTAACCCTAAAATCTTACCAACAGCTGTTCCAGCACCTGCAAGATCACCATGCAAAAGTTGGATATTCATATCCTAAAAAACATTATTATGAATATTTTTCATTGTACATATAGTTAATATTAATAATTCTTACGTTTTTATGTCTTACTATATTTTTTAAAATACATACACGAACTTGAACTAAAATGGCAGGTACACTTTGAACCATCTTTAATCCTTGGTGAACAAAGTATTGAGCCAAATTTGGTTCTGTTGAAATGTGATGGGCACATTCTCTGAGATTCATTGATTCCCATTTAAAGAGACAATTGGCAATGGTATCACCAGGCAACGAATCCATGGCATCTGCAATATGATTCAAAAAGTTTGCAAACTTTTTGAATAAAGTAAATGACTCTTGATCTTTTCCTGATACCTTGATTGGGTTTGAGCCGAAAATAGCTCCTATAATATGATCTTTATCAGCTAAACAAGCTTCATGCTTCCCTGGGTTAGCAATTTCCTTTTTAAAAAAGAAAAAATAAATAAATTAAAATGTTTGTTTGAAGAAATGGTAATAGAAATATTTTTTTTATCTTTTACATACTTGGAAACCAGAAACTAAACCTCCCAAATAATCAGAAATACCTTTAGAGGTAGCTTGGGCCAAATGTTCAAATAGATTCTTTTGAGCTGCAATTAAATGTTCAACGATTTCCTTCCAGTTGACTGATACAAATTGGAAATTTTCTTCATATTGATTTAACCATTCATTTTCAACTTGCTCTGTAAATTGATTGAGTTGTTCATCTCTTACTTGAAAGTAATTCCAATCTTGATCTTCACCTTTTACTACCAATAAACATGATAACAATCCTATTATTAATACTAATGTTAATTTCATTCTTTTTTTTTTTTTCTCTAAACAAAATTTGAACAAAATAAAATGAAAGAATGATGAACTTATATACACTACGAAAAATAAATATTATTCACTGTCATCATGATCGAACCACCAGTCAGTCTGTGATGTTGTCATTTTAACCACCATTTTGTGCAGTGGGTGTTGTGTATTCTGATCATTGTATTGTTGGTACAATGATATCAACTATTTATTATTTGAATATTCTTCGCCCCCATATTGACCAACTTTTTTGAAATATTAATATTGGAGAATAGTAATTTTGTATTTCTTTTATTATCTTTTTATTTTTGTATTTCTACATTTTTGTTTAAAATGTAAATCTAGGTCTTTCTCTTAATTAAGGAAAGCAGTGGCAACAATACCAAGAGCATCACCAAGTTTGGTTCCCGCCATACCCCAATCACCCTTGACGAGGGAAGACTTGATACCATTGAGATCAGCAACAAGAGATGATACCTTGAAAACTAACTTTACACCTTGAGATTTAAGATATGGGATCAATCTTCCACTATAAATAGAAATAAAATATAATTAGAATATGTAGGAAAAATATAAAATCAATCTTCTTATTTTTCTACATACGCTTTAATGGCAGCAAGGAGTTCATGAGAAGCTTTAGTGAAACCTTCAGCAAGGAAATCAAGACTGCAATGTGGAATAGAAGAGGTAACTGAATGCAAAAGAACGGTGAATTGCTTGGTAAACTCTTGAACAATATGGGCAATGTCACCTGTTGGGAATGCTTGTACCAAGTTTGGAAGAATATCAATGGTCTTGTTGATTTCACTAATACAGAAATGAGCATTCTTTGGATTAATTCTTGACTATAAATAGAAAATAAAATAGAAAATAGAAAAAGTCAACATTGAATTGATTTGATTGATCAAAACCTTTTGGTTTTCTTTTTTTTTTTGTTTGTTTACATACTTCAAAACCAGCAATGATACCATAACCAAAAGCTTTACCTTCAGCAAGGGTTAAATGTGGAATTTTGGCAGCCAAATCAGCGGCAACACCCTTGAGATTATCGATCAATCCCAAATATTCAAGGTATTGAGCTTCCAATTGGGCAATTTGAGTTTCTCTAACCCATTTCTCCATGTCTACTGATTGGGCATCTTTGTTTCCTTCGGCCAATTCATCATTCTTATTATAATTATAATTGTATTCTCCTTCATTTTCGCCACCAAACGATACATGAATGGCCATCAGCACCATGACCACCAAACATATTAGTTTTACGATATTCATTGTTTTGATATATATAGATAATATATTATATTAGGGATATTTAATTAAAAAAAACTCTTGATAGATATGATAAACAATAAATATAATGTGAATAAGACTGTTCCTGACTGGGTGGATTAAATACAATCTATTCAATAATAATAAATTATTATTATTATTATATTATTATAATTATCATATTATTTTTGGTAGAGAAGAAGGGTGGTGGAAATGGTGAAAACCACAATGAATTTGATTGCTGCCATTCATATGCAATAATAAACAGTTTATAATGGGGTTAAAAAAAAGTGATTGAAAAAAATGGGGGGTGTAGTGATTGCTATTATGTAATCACATACATTCACACCAATGTGCCCATTAAATCAATGTTTATTCGTCGTTGTTTTGTGAAGTTGATATTGTTGTGTTGTTGCATATTGGTAATGTCAGTGTTGATGATGATGATGATGACGATGATGATAGTGGCAACAATGACAATGATTTGAATTGTTTTGCATAGTGATCCCTTTTTTCAATATCCCCAATTCTATTGTAGTAGATACTCTGTAGGTAATAGACCTGTTCCAGTATCTTGTGATTTGTAAGTGTGATTGCATTCTTTTCTGTCACATCCATATAATATTGAATCTTTTCTCTTTCTTTTTGGTTGCTACTACTATTGTTATTGTTTCCTTTTGATTGCTGTTGTTGTTGTAAAAATAATGAAAGCAAAGATTTGGAAAACAAAAGGTAGGATTGGGTGAGTAGATTTAAATCTTTGAGAACCAAGGGTATGGTGACAGACAAGAGTTGGATTGCCTTGCTAAAGTCGGTAGATTGTATGTAGATGTTGACCAAAAGCAAATTTGCTTTGCATGTAAGAGTTGGGTTGACGTGGTGATGGTGCGATGATGGTTCAGTAAGCGAAAGTGAATTCAGAGTATTGGATATAGCGCCACTTGTCAACCAATCACTATTACTATCGCTACTACTATTACAATGATTCATTGTCAATGTAGATTGTTTAGTGTTAGAGTATAGGGTTGCTTTTAAAATGTAGAGTGATGGTAGATACTGGTCTTGTCCATACAATGTCGCTGTTTTGATAATCGCACCGAGAAAAGAGTGGGCGCTGTCGGGCATATCCATGTCGATATAGTATTCTGCTATTCTTTCGCTGGTTTGTAGAATCTCGTCCCATCCACCGGCATTGTTGTCTTGGGGCGCTCTTTTGTTGAGTAGACTGAGTAGCGTTTCAATTGATCGTTGGCAAATAGTATAGTTTCGAGACATTCTCGCGTGGTCAAAGATGACCGACACTAGTACAAACGAAAGTGGCGAGCTTTGAATATGTGAATGAAAGGGGAATTTAGCAATACAATTGTTGAGTGCTTGTACTGCCTCTTGATAATGTCCTCTCTTTGATGACAATAATGCCATCTTGGTGTATGAAAGAATATCATCCATTGTATCAGTAGTTGTATTTGTTTGGTTATTATTATTATTATTATTAGAACGCGTTGATACCACTAGATTGGCCAATTGACCAGTATTATCAAAACAAAGTGACAACTCTGCATAGTATTGTGCCAAATCATAGTTTCCAAGTATCTCCCAAACAGTTGATTTCATTTGGTTCAATGTCTTGCTACCATCTCTTGACATTTGATGACTTTTTTGTAATGGATAAAATATATTATTAAAAAATGTTGATTCTGATATAGTAGTAGTAGTAGTTTGATTATTATTATTATTATTATAATTATTAATATTTTGTTGTTGATTATTTTGATTATTAATTAAATTAAATTTTGATTGTGACATGTAATTTAAAGATGAAAGAGAGGTCATTTCTAATTGTTCAGATTTTTTTGTACTACTTTGTAAAACTTCAAGTTGACTTTGAGAATCTAAAAGTGATTGAAGTAGATCACTATTGTCGATGGTTTGTAGGACGGATGGTTCCAAAAGTTTGTTTAAAAGATTGAGTGCCAATGCCAAGCAAGAATGATCACTTCGTTCTTGTGCAATTCTAATCGTTTCTTGAAGAGACATGTAAGCCTCTTCATAATGTCCAAATTGAAAATGAAGTTTCGAGAGATTAAGCACTGCGTATGGAAGTAGAGTGTTTAGATTATCACCTCCACCAACTCCTCTACTACCACTATTACAATAATCAAAATATCTATGTAATTCCTCCAATGCTCCATCAAATTCCATATGATAGAGACAATTTAAAAAACCAAGATAAATACTTTTGTTTGCATCTGGTAATAATCTTCTCAATTCTTCAATTCTTTGTTTAATTATAATTGGATTCTCTTTTCCAATTAAATCTAAAAAGAGAGAGAGAGATATATTATATAAGTAAAAAGAATAAAGGATAATATTTGTTATTATAGATATCTACATACGATTAACTCTAATGATTTCTTCACAAATAAATCTTTCTTCATCAAATGGTGATAAAAAGGTTGATTTTGTTAATATACCATGAGTAGAAGATAGAGATATATCTCTATTGTCGTAATCAATATCCTCTTCATCTCGATTATATTCTTGAATATAAGATCTAGTTTCATGATATACATCAGCCAAACCATCAAACATGGTTTGATTATAATTCAATATGATCTTTTGTACAAATGATCCCAATATACTATTTGGTTCCAAATACTTTTGATGGTTATTATTTGGTTCTTCATCATCACTGTCCTCCTCTTCTTCCTCTTCTTTTACAAATAATTGATTCAAATCAGTTATAAATTGATGAACATCATCAATACTTTTAAATGTTATCTAAAACAAAATAATTTAGTAAAGAATACAACTATACAACAACAAACAACAACAACATACCTTTTCAATGAATTCATTGTTTATAAAGTGATCAGATAACCTTTGTTTTAAATCAGTTTCAATAAACTCTCTAAGTGTTGGATCTGAATAGTTTGATGATCTCTAAATAATATCATCATATCATAGGATTAGTATATCGGTCGGTATTATGTTATTTCTCTAGTCTTTTAGACATGTCATATACATACTTTGATATGTTTAATTAATACAAGTGATAAAGATCTCCTTTGATGAAATGTGATTGTATCAGAGTAGAGATAATATTCAATCAAAGAACACAAGCATAACTTGTGAGGTGTGATTCTATTTACAGGTTGTATATTGTCCATCATCATCATCATTTCGTCTTTCAAACAACAACAACAACTCGAACTACTTCCTAGTTGGTTTAATGAGCTCTTTGCAAAAGTGAACCTTTAGGTTTTTTAATATCATTATAATTTGCCAAACCCCCAAAAAAGGAAGCAAAGATGAATGAAATTGAATTTGACCTCAGAGATTGATTGGTTTTACTCCCCAAGCACATTAAACCAATCAATCATATTTTCATTCTCTTCACACACTTCAAACACAATTATCCCAATTAAATATTTATTTATTTATTTTTTGTGTAATATCCACTACTCCTACCTCCTACTCCTCCTTCTCCACATTGCATTATTCTCTCCTTCTACACAACTATATTTCATATTATTATTATTATTGTATCTTTTATTTTTAATAATAAATTATAATTTTGTAATTAATTGAAGAGCAAAGAGGAAGAAGGTCTAACCACCCGCACATAATAATTATCATCAGCTGCTTGTTCTCTATTTCTTTGTTTTTTGTGAACATCGCAAGGACAACTTTTGATTAAAAAAAAAAAAAAATATAAATTAAATTTCGCAAGGAAAATTAAATTCAACAAAGATCAGTACATTCATTTAATCAATCATGATTGAACCTGATCTCTTAAACAAGAATAATAATAGTAGTAGTAGTAATACTAAAAGTAATAATAATAATAGTAATAGCAATAACAATAATAATGTCAATAATAGTATGAAGAGTTTAAATATCAACAATAATAATGAATCTCAGCAACAGCAACAGTCATTGTCTGCTAATCAGCAGATTTATTCTATAACATTGACTGGAAATGGTTCTGAACCACCCTTTTCTGCCAAAGGAATGGTGTTGGATGAATTGGGTGTGTTACGTATCATCATCCCAAGTGGTCTCGAAGTAGCTGCCTCTAACCCTATCATCTATTCCAACTATCCCAATAACCCAACTGACACCTTTAAACGTGATCAATTTGCTCCATTCCAAACTGGGTATGTAATATAAATATAATATATATAATATATCTAATATATTTATATATCTATCTATCTATTTTTTGTTTCTTTTTTTTTTAGAAATATTAAACATGAATATTATGGTAATAATGATTTAATATTTGAAAAGAAGATTGAAAGATATGGATGTTTTGATTATTATGTTGAATGGACTGATAGAATGGGTAAGACTGTCAAGAAGGGTACTATTGGTACATTCCAAATCAACACTACGCTTTTGATCAACGCCAAAGAGGTGAGTGGTGATGGTATTGTGATGCAGACCGTGTTGACCAAGTGTATGGGTGCTATTGACCAATGGGAGTCGCATATCAAGTATGCATCGTCGTTGGGATACAATATGATCCATTACACACCGGTCCAAGAGTTGGGTCAGTCGGGATCGTGCTACAGTCTCTACGACCAACTCAATATTGCCAAGTCGATCAGTCCCAATGCATCGTCGGACGCGGACCGCTCCAAGGCACTGACCGACATTATCAAGCTCAGTGAAACCAAGTACAACATACTCAGTATGATCGACCTCGTGTGGAACCATACTGCCAACAACAGCCATTGGCTCAAGGACCACCCAGAGGCTGGCTACAACATTGACAACTCGCCACACCTCAAAGCTGCCATCACACTCGACGACGCCTTTATGGAGTTTAGTGAAAAGAATGTCGGCATGCATGTCGAGAGTGCAGAAGAGTTGGAGTTGCTCGTCGCCAAGATCAAGGATCATGTGATTGCACCACTCAAGTTGTGGGAGTTCTACGTCCTCGATATTGAAAAGGAGTTGGATATCTTCTCGTCGGCATACCCCGCATCGGTGCCACCCGTCGATCCCAACCAACCACCCGCCTCACCGTATCTACCCATGTCGCCAAAGAACATGAACGAGTCGGCCTACTTGGTGGACAATATCTTTAAAAAGGGTATGGTGCGCGACCCCACCTACGACCGTTACTCGATGCACATTGACCTCAACCACACCTTCCAGTTGCTCAACAACACTGCCTCGTTTAAACCTCTCACACTCATTGAAAAGAAGCAAAAGTATGAAGACTATTTGCGTCTCGTCAACCTCACGCTCTACCGCGAGTATGATACCGATCTAGCAGCCATTGTACAAAACATCACTGAACGTATCAAATACGAGCGTATTGCTCCCCACGGACCCAAGCTTGGCGAGGTGTCGACACGCCACCCACTCATCGACTCGTACTTTACAAAGGTCGATCACCGTCAAGCCGATGGCAGCCAACGCAAGCTACATCTTGCCAACAATGGATGGATTTTCAATTACAACCCAGCCATTGATTTTGCCAGCAAGGATAGTAAAGCCTATTTGAGACGTGATGTTATCATTTGGGGTGACTGTGTCAAGATGCGTTATGGTAGTGCTCCAGCCGACAACCCTTGGCTCTGGGATCACATGCGTCAATACACTGAACGCATGGCATCTATTTTCCACGCCATTCGTATTGACAATTGTCACTCTACTCCAATCCACGTTGCCCAATATCTTTTAGACATTGCCCGTGCAGTTCGTCCATCCATCTATGTGACATGCGAGCTCTTTACAGGCTCTGAAGACGCCGACTCTGTATTTGTCAAACGTCTTGGTATCAACTCACTCATTAGAGAAGCAATGGTTGCACATGACAGTAGTGAGTTGGGAAGAGTTTGTCATCGTTATGGTGGTCGTCCAATCTGTTCATTTGAGAGTATTCCACCATCGAGCAACGATAACAATGCCATCAACTTTACCAACAATCAAATTGGTGTAAAGTCACTCAAACCAACCCTTCCACCAGCTCTCTTTATGGATTGTACCCATGACAATCAAACACCTGCTCAAAAGCGTACCATCAAGGATACCCTACCAAATGCTGCCATTGTAGCAATGACCGTATCTGCTATTGGTAGTACTCGTGGTTATGATGAAATCTATCCTCATACAATTGATTTGGTCAATGAAAAACGTATCTACCAAGTTCAAAATGATATTAATAATGGTATTCAACCTTTAAAATCTTTATTAAATAATTTACATCTTGAATTATCAAATAATAAGTAAGTACAAAAAAAACAAAAAACAAAAAAAAGAAAGTGTATATTAACTATTTTTTATTTTCAATTTAGATATACAGAAGTTCATATTCATCAAGAACATAATGTAATATTGGTACAAAGATTTTCTCCATCATTAAACAAATCAATATTTTTACTTGCTCATACATGTTTTTCAGAACAAAAACCAGAAGATATTAAATTACCAGATGTAATTCAAATTCCTTGGTAAGTAGAAAAGAATTATTAATATTAATATATTCTATTACTTTTAAATTAATTTATCTTTCTTTTTATTTTATTTTATAGTAAATTAACAGAATTTATTTGTGGAGCAAATATAACAAATTCATATCAAGATCATTGGAATAGAGATCAAAATTATTTGACTGGAGTTCATTTAGATGTTGATACTAGATATGGCGATAGAGTTTATGAAAAATATTGTTATGTTGAATCTGAATATAATTTACATCATAATCTTCATCTAAAGTATGTAAAGGAAGTCAACAATACAATATTCTTCTGTTTATTTATTTTTTATTTTTAGATTAAAAGAATTCCCACCAGGATCAATATTATTATTTAGAGGAGAAATACCAAAAGAATGTAATCAAGCAATTAATCAATTGAATGGAGTTTTGGAGGAAAGAAAGAAATTGGAACAAACTCTTGAAAAGGTATCATTGATTGATTTGAATATTCTTATTTTCAGACATCATGATGAGGAAAAGGCAGTTGGAGGTGGTGGATACAATGTAGCCAACTTTGGATTCCTTCCCTATTGTGGTTTGCAAGGATTTGCCACTATTCTAAACCAAGTATCTGAATGGAATGATCTTGGTCACCCTCTATGCAATAATATTAGAGAAGGTGATTGGGCAATGGATTATATCGTTCAACGTCTTTTGGTGAGTGGTCGTAACAATCTCCAAGGTATTGCCAAATGGTTGGCTGATTGTTTCGTACTTGTCAAACGTTTACCAAGACACTTTATCCCCAAATACTTTCATCAAGTCGTTACTATTGCCTATCGTGCCGCTGTGGACAAGGCAATCACTCTGATGTCACCATTTGTCAATAGTCGTGAAAGTTCATGGTTTGTTCGTGCTTTGGCATTGTCGTCACTCGAGTTTTATGGTACAGTCACACCATTGATTGCTCACCATCCAGAGGTAACTGATCCATTTGGACCTGATGGAAATGCATCAATGGCTGCAGGATTACCACACTTTTGCGCTGGCTATATGCGTGCATGGGGAAGAGATACATTCATCTCTTTACGTGGGCTCATGTTGACAACCGGTCGACTAGACGAGGCCAAGCAACTGATCATTGGATTTGCTTCGAGCTTGCGATTCGGTCTCATTCCCAATCTACTAGACAGTGGTACACGTCCACGTTACAACTCTAGAGACAGTGTCTGGTGGTGGATCAAGAGTGTCCAAGACTATTGTGAGATGGGCGGTGAGGTACGTGCCAACGACATGCTCAACTATCGCGTGTTCCGTATCTTCCCCAACGACCAGTCCTCCCCCTACTCTACAGTACACGACATTTTACACGAGATTATGCAATCACATGCCCGTGGTATTCACTTTAGAGAACCACATGCTGGTCGTGAGATTGACGATCGTATGAAGGACGAGGGATTCAATGTAGATATTGACATTAATCCAGCCACTGGATTCCTCTATGGTGGAAACCTGTACAACTGTGGAACATGGATGGACAAGATGGGAGAGTCGACCAAAGCAAGAAACTATGGTGACCCCGCCACCCCAAGAGACGGTGCACCTATTGAAATCACCGCCATGGTCTATGTCACTGCCAAGTGGCTCGCAGCCATCAACAAGACGGGCCAATTCAAGTATGCCAGTGTCAAGTTGGGAGCCGACGAAAAGATCGAGTGGACCTATTCTCAATGGGCAGATACTATCAAGGCCAACTTTGAAAAGCAATACTATATCCCATCGTCATCTGACGATAAAAAGTATAATATCAACTCGTCATTTGTACGTCGCCGTTATATCTACAAGGATACTGTTGGCTCAAAGAACTCTTATTCCGACTATCAATTCCGTCCAAATCAATTGGTTGCTATGGCATTTGCACCAGAGCTCTTTACCAGAGACTATGTATTGCGTACACTAGACATTACAAAGCAATCGCTTATCGGACCACTTGGAGTACGTACACTTGATCCAAACGATACAGACTATCACGCCAACTATAACAACTCGTTGGATAATGACTATCGTCCAACTGCCAAGGGATTCAACTATCACAACGGACCAGAATGGCTATGGCTCTATGGTTTCTTCCTCGAGTCTCTTGTAAAGTTTAACCATCTCTACCCATCCACTCCCAACCAATCACTATCTCCATCCCCCATCCCATCTCCTCTAATTATATCCCCATCTTCATCCCTCATATCCATGACCCATTTGGTTGAATCATTCCTCCAACGTCACAAATCCTATATTCTTCAATCATCTTACTTTTCTCTTCCAGAGTTGACCAACCGTGATGGTGCCCACTGTCGTGATGGTTGTGATGCTCAAGCTTGGTCTATTGCTACTTTATTGGCTTCTCTTAACGTTTTATTTCAACAAAAACAACAAATTCATCATTAATCAAAAAAGGTAAAAACAAAATTAAATTAAATATAAATAAATAAATAAATAAATATAAATATAAATATTATAAATATATATCTTCTACTACTAATACTTTTTATTTGATTTTAAATTTTGTTCAATTGGACAAAGTGATTTCCTTTTTGGAGACCAATAAATATTTTCATACTCTTTGAAATTGGAACAAATACTTTCATAGACTGATCTTTTCCATTGTCTAGATACTCTGCTACAATTTAAAAGTGATTCAGTGTCTAGGTATTTAAATACATTTGAAAGTGTTGCAGTATTCATTCTTTGATGAATGTTTACAATGGATCTCTTTGTGACTGGATCTACAATTGAAACCAAACAATCTATAATTTGTTTAAATGTTGGTCTAGCGCTTGGATTAGAATCCCAACATTGTCTAATTAAATTGGCCAATTTGATTGGAACAGTGTCTGGTATTGTTGGTCTACCTCCCTTTAAAACAAAATTGATACGTTCAAATTCATTCATTCCTTCAAATGGTATCTTTCTTGTAAACATTTCCCACAACATTATACCAAATGAATAAATATCTGCTGAATTTTCATATGATTGACCTTTTACTACTTCTTCTGCCCTAATAAAAATAAATAATTTAAATAAATAAATAAATATATCTTTTTTTTGTTTTTTTTTTGTTTTTTCTTACATATAAACAGGAGTACCAATTACCGTCATTTTTAAATTTTGATCTAAAACTTTTGAAGTACCAAAATCTATTAATTTTACACTATAACAATCTTTGACTAGGAAATTTGCAGGTTTAACATCACGATGTGTTATACCTTTGGAATGTAGGTAATTCATTGCGCGAGAGGCTTCTACAGCCATATTGACTACCAATTCAAAGGGTGGTTCCGATCCAAAACTATTGAGTGCTTGGATTATATTTCCACGACTACACAATTCTGTGACAATAAATGGTTTTTCTGTTTGGAGAGTATGAGCACCAAGACATTTAATGACAAGTGGATGTTGACTGAGACAAATGATGGTAGTTTCCTTGAAAAAGAGTGGCCATTCAAAACCAAGGCTCTCTACCGACAATTGTTTAATGGCAACAGTATCCTCTTGTCCTGTACAACTACCCTTGTAAACGACACAAAGTGGTGATTCGTAAATGAATGGTCCAAGTTGAATATCTGATGGCTGCAACTCTTTGTGTACAAGACAAATTTGGTTCTTGGTTGAATAGTTTATAATTAGATCGATCCATTCTGGATGTTTTTCAATTGCGCTATGGAATGGTTCTTGATGATAATATTGACCAAGAAGTACAATCACTCTTCCCAATACATTTTCTTCTTGTTCTGTCCATGATTCTTTTAATAAATTTTTATGATTACTTAGGTTTATAAATGTTTCAATTAAACTTGAATTAAATGATAATACTAAATAGGTTTCTAAAAAGAAAATAAAAAGAAAATTAAAATTAAAGAATAAATAAATAAATATTTCTATTCTACTTACGATTTTCAAATAATAATAATAAAATGGTTAATAATTTTAAAGATAATTGATGAGTATTTGGATCGTATGATGAATTTAAAGTTGCCAAATATTCTTTATAGAGATCTGATAGAAAATTGACAACATCCAAATCATTAAAATAGATTGTATTCTCCCAATTAAACATGATTCTATAGAGTAATGTTAGGGATATAAATTGTTCATTTTGAATATTGGCAATATTTTCAAAATCTGATAAACAATCATGATATTTCGATCCAGATTGTAAAATACCAATTAAATAATCAAATATTTCTTGATTAATTTTAATATTACTAAATAAAAAGAAAATATTAATATAAAAGAGAGAGAATAGAATTGTATTATTATATAGTTTTTTTGGCTTACTCAAAAATATCATAATTTTTTAATATTTTAATATTTCTATCATTATCAAATCTTAATAATTTTATCCATTGAATTAAATTATCCAAAGTTAATGGTAACGATGATGTTGATGTAATATCTAATCCAAATTTTATAAATTGTTCTAAAAATAAATAAAAAGAAAAGAGAATGAATAAATATATAAAAATATTTTGTTGTTGTAATATACAAACTTTTTGGTGATTGTTTAGAGAAAAATAACTTTTTAAATAAACATGTTATTGAATTTGATCTACTTATTTTTTGACCTCCACTAGTATTATTATTACTATTGTTACTACTATTATTATTATTATTATTATTATTTTTACATTGATTTTGAAAATGTTCTTTTAATGTTATACATTTATTATGAACTACTATATTGCATTCTAAATTTAGAAAAAATTAATAAGTATTTAGTTTAACAAGCGTCTTGATCTCCTCTCTTTTTATTATCCTCTTACATACTTGTACAAGTTGAAACTAATGAAGGAATATGAATTAAAGGATCATTGATATGACAAAACTTGCAACTATAAGGTTTATCTACAATGATGTTTGTTTGAAATGAATGATGATTGTGATCAAGATTGAATTGTTGTTGTGATTTATTTATAGATATCATTCCTCTACTAAATCTATATTGTATTGTTGTTGTTTGTGATAAATCTATCTATCTATCTTTCTATCTATCTCCTAGTTTACACTTTATCGAATCAATTGATTAGATCTACTACTTGTTTTAATCATGTGATTAAAAAAAAAAACAAAATGTATTAATTCAAAAAAATCTTTTAATTTAGAACCACCAACAGCCAATGATTGGGTAATAATAAAGTATATCTTATTTTTTTTGTTTTTGAATACAATTAAATTAGTTCACAAATATAATATTTATGAACCTTTTTTTTATTATTTTTGTTGTTTTGAAATAAATAATGATATTTTATATATAATGATAACATGGTGTTTTTTGTTTTTTTTTTTCCTACTTTTTTCAAAGCACAAACTTTTTTGTTCTCTTGTTTTCCAAGTGTTTCCTTTTTCTTTTTGAAGATTGACCATTTTTAACCCATGGTTCCGAAAACTGGATTATAACGACAGATGGATGGACCGATTTCGTCGTATTTGGCCTTGGTGTGACAGACATTGTAGAATTCTGGGGTCGAGGCAAGCATAGAACCACCAAACCAGACAGCATAACGTTGCATGTTGTGAGAGATGACGTTGACTTCGAGTGGGACAGCCTTGAGCTTACCGCCAGAGAGTTCTTCGGAACGCTTGATACGGTAGTCGACAGAACGCTTAATGTCACGTTGCAAACGCTTGCCAAAGTCCTTAAACATGGTGGAACCACCAGACAAGACGATGTTCTTGTAGAGACCTCTACGACAATCGATTGGGCACGATTGGACAGTGTCGTCGACGACCTTTGGGAGTGGGGTCAAAAAGTCAGACGAGATAATCTCTGGGTTAAAGAAGATTTCTGGGCCGAGGAAACGTTCGTAACCAACATCGTAGCTGTATGGTCTCTTGCTGACGGCATCTTGAGTGTTGATGGTCTTGAACCACTTGCTTGGATCACTATCGTATTTGGTGAACTCTTTGACGAGATCTGGGCATACGTACGAGTATTGCTCCTTGACACGCTTGGCAATCTCGAGTGATTCGGCTGGTGGGATGGTTGGTTCACGTTCTCTCATGATTTGTTGAACAAAACCAGTGATATCTCTACCGGCGATTGGGATGTGCTTGATTGAGCTACCAATGACGTAACCTTCAGACACTGGAATAATGTGAGTAACACCATCACCAGAATCGACGACTGTACCAGTCAAGGTTCTTTCAGTTACATTCTTTGATGTCCATGAAGCGGCAAGGGCCAATACGGCTTGAACTGCAATATATAAACCTGGGACATTGAAAGTTTCAAACATAATCTCAGCTGTGAATTCACGATTTTCTGGTGCATTAAGAGGTGGTTCAGTCTAAAGAGTAGAAAATAAATAAATTAGAGAAATAGGAAATATATATAAATTATATATATCTATCATACCAAAAGGAAATAATGATCTTCTGGTTCACAACGTAAATATTTAAAGATACAGTGTTCCCAATATTGTTCCATATGAGTCCAGTTTTGGATTTGACCATGACGAATTGGGTTGTTAATGTCGTAGGTCTTTTCGTTGGCCTTGGCTTCATCACCAATGAAAAAGTCCAAATCTTCAACACCCTTTTTCATAGAGGCAGCAGTTTGCTTTCCCTTTGATTCATGAGTGGCAATGGTTGATGGGATAATAAAGCTTGGATCATCGTTACCAGCATAACCCATCTTTGTATAACTAAAAATGTAAATTAAAGAAAAGTAAAAGATGATTAGATAAAATGATAAGGAGGAAAGAGAGAGAAAGAGAGAAACCAAGGTAAAAGTAATCATATATCGTAGTGGTATGATATCTCTTTTTTATCATATCTGTATGTATCTATCTTATATATATATATAGTGCTGTCTATATATCTACTACTAACTACTACTCTACTACTACTACTGTGATTACTATTACTTTTAACTCTCTCTCTATATATCTCTCTGTTTGATTGATTGATTGATAATTACCCTGTACCATTATCGATAACTACAGCAGGTAATCCAGAAAGACTCATCTTTTAATATTTGTTTATTGGGGTGAAATGATCTATGTTACAACAAAAAAGGAGGAAGAGGGAGGAGGTATAGTGATTTAATAAATATTAAAAATGTAGATAAAACAACAAAAGATGAGGATAATAAAGTGAGCCTCATTCAAAAAATCAAAGTGATGATCAGCAAGAGTGCTGAAAAAAAAATCAACAAAATTTTTTTTTTTACAATAACAAAAAAAAGCCACACAAGTGGCTGTGCGGTGTAGATTTTTTTCAATGATCGAAATTGCGAAAAGAAAAGTTTTCTTTTTTTTTTTTTTTTTTAATTTATTTTTGTTTAATCAACAAACAAAAAACTATATAGTTATAACAGTAAATTAATTTAGTTAATCTCGTTTGTTGTCAACGTTGGTGTTGGTGTTTGTGTTTCACCTCCCTTTTTTTCAACAGAATCTATAAATCTTTTAAACATTGGTGACTAAAGATAGATAAAGAGATAGAGATAGTGTAAGTAAAATAAAAGATCTTCTTCTATTTCTTTTTTCTTTTTTTTTTTTTTTTTATATCATACTTGTAAATGTTTAGTAGCTTTTGATTGAGTTTTAAATGTATAATATTGAGTAGTAATAAAATTGGCAAGGGTAAAGAAACAGATAGGTTTAATGGACCGACCATTTAAAAGATAAAGTGATAGATAATAGGAAGAAAATAGGAGGGCTGGGAAAATGACAAAAAAGCCAGAGTTTGCAAATCGGTATGCAATGGAATGTGCAATTTTATCAGACAGCAATGCAAAGCTGTGTTGGTTACAGAGTGCCAATGTAACGGGTGATCGAATCCATTTCAATTGGTAACCACTTGTAAACATGGCAACATCCAATAGTATACCTCCAATATCAAATTGTTGATAGATGTTTGATAGAATGGGACGTGGTATGATTCGACACCAAATACTCTTGTTTTTCAAAACAAAATTCTTTAGCTCTTGGTCGGAACCATAGATTTCTTCAAAGTCTTCCAATTGTATGGCTGAATTGGCCAAGTATCGAATGGCCAAGTCAATTTGAATGATATGGTTTGTTCTAAATTGTTCAAATGCCCTAAGCACTTGTGGATAACTTGCCAATATCATTCTAGCTTTTGCATTCTTTTCAATGAAACCTGTCATTGATTGTGCCAAATTGGCATTTAATGGATAAATGTTTGGATTGGTTATAACTGTAATTAATTTATCCATTGGTATTTCATCTACATTTTTAACTATAAAGAAATAGACAAAAAGATATTAATACAAAATAATAAAGATTATTTTATATATATATATTTACATTCTAATAAAATAAAAGATAACATTTCAGTACAAAAACCAACAACACCAGTAATGATATTGATATAAAATACAACAACTTCTTTAGTGTCGAGACCACCTTGAGATTGAATAGCTCTATCCATTGTTTTTTGTGTGTTTAACATGATTGCAATGAGGTCTTCAACTATATCGGTGGTTGCAAGTTGACGTGCCAATCCTTGATTGTTACGTGTAGCATGCAACAAGAGTGATATCTTTTGTTTAGACTCTGGATCAATCTCTAATGTGTTTCTACGACTCCATCTTTCCAATCCTTTGATCGTATTGATTGATTCTTGATTTGCAAGAAAGTGTCTTGATATTGCTAATGGTTCAAGATGATTGACTAGAAATGAGGAAAGATATAGATAGATCTTGATTTAGTAGTGAATTATTTGATCAATGATCGTATGTTTCAACATACCACCAAAACCCAAAGAGACAGCAGTAATTAAACCACAAACAATGAGATCCTTTCTAGTAAATGTAGATAAATAGTTTGATGCTTTATCTAATACTTTGTTTACTATAATCTCTAATTGATCTTCTTGATGTTTCATCTCTCTTTTTAATTAATAATAATGTGATGGCGATCAAACTTGACACATTGGGTCAGTTTTAAAAAGACAACCAAATTTGAAGAAGATCACTAAAAATTTTTGTTTTTTATTAAATAGTAAATTATTTCTAATCCATATAATCATCATAATCTTCATATTCATCATCTTCATCATCATCATCATCTTCATCATCTTCATCATCATCATCATCTTCATCTTCATCTTCATCTTCATCTTCATCTTCATCTTCATCTTCATCATCTTCATCATCATCTTCATCTTCATCGGGATCTAGGTCTGGTCCATGGTATTCTTTCACTTCTACCACATTACCTTTAAAGGTAATGGTGACAGAATCATCGTCGGTAATACAATTCAAATAGGTACTTGCACTAATACTTGATCCAAAACCATTATTGTTACCATGGCCAAAACTATTGGTAAACTTTTCAGAGTAGGTTGGTTCATAAGGAAATTGTATTTCCAAGGAAAAATTGACCTTGACCAATTTAGAATGGTTATTTTTTAAAAAAACATAAAATCCCAACTCTTTGTTACCATTATAATTACCTCCATTACCATGTCGAAAATCATAATGATAATCATAATCATCATCATCATCATCATCATAACCATGATCAGAATCACCATCATCATTATTGTCCATATACGAAGAAATGTACCACTTGAATCCACCCATTTGAAAATAATCAGAACGCTCGTCGGTTTTGGATTTGAATTTGCTCAAAAAGTTTTGGATTTGCCATTCAAAATGTACAGGTAAATGTTTAACCATTTCCTAAAATAAATAATGATATCATAATTTAAATACTCTTGAACCCTTGACATGTTTAAATAATTTTGCATACCTTTGCTTTTAACTTGTATTTTCGAACCATTTGAGATACTTCGTAATGGCCAAGACCTGGATCGGCCTAATAATAATATGGGTAAAGTTAAATATTAATATAAATATATATCTCTTTGATTAAAAATCTTTTTACGTACTAGTCCCCAAATCTTTTCATCTACATAATTTTTGTTTGATTCCTATAAATAAAAGAAATAAAATTAATTTTGTTAAATTAATATTATTGCACATTAATTACCATTATAGAGTTTTTGTATCTATCTAATTTTGATTGAAATTGTGATTCCATTTTTTGTTTTAGTGATCGCAATTGAGATTCCATTTTTTGTTTATTGCTTTCCTATTAAAAAAAAAAATTTAATAATTAATAGTTTACAATTTTGATATTAGATGATGATTGATATTCTTTCTTACATTAAAAGTTTTAATAGATTGTTCAAGTTGTAATTCCATTTTTTGTTTTAGTACCTGCATTTGATATTCCATTTTTTGTTTATTGGTTTCCTATTAAAAAAAACAAAATTAATATAATTAATTAATATAGTGCAATTTTGGATAGCGTGGATAATCTTACATTTGCAATTTCAATTGATCTAGCAAGTTGTAATTCCATTTTTTGTTTGTATGATTCCTATATATTAAATATTAATAACTAATTTGACATAATTGTAGACAATGAATGAATTAATATAATATTCATACGTTGGCAATTTCAAATTGTGATTCCATTTTTTGTGAAAGTGATTGGATTTCAAGAGATTGGAATTGCAGTTTTAGTGATTCTATTTGTTGATTGTGTAATTCCTAAATAATTAAATGTTGTTAGTTTTTTAATTGATATATACTGGATAATCTCATAGATTAGATTTACCTTGATTGATTCTATGGATTTGTTAAATTGGAGTTTTAATGCTCCTATTTGGGTTTCTACTTTTTGATTGTTGATTTGAATATGCATCGATAATTCATTTTGAATATGTTGATCGACTTGTCTCTTTGTTCCCTTGAAACTACAGATATAATCACCAAATGGACATGATATCTTTTCTTGGTATATACATTGTGCAAGATGACCGGGCATATCATCTTTTAACACTTCTACATTGCAACGTTGATGTTTACATTTTAAAAGATTATATTTACAAAACAATTTGTGATCAATTGATGTTGCTACGGTTATAATCTCTTGACATCCTTTTGCGTCCTTTTCCCATTTCTTTTGTTCATTATTATATTTAAAATGATTTTCACAATGTACCTAAAAAAAAGAAAAAGAAGAGGATGATGATGATGATGAAAAGATACAATTAATTTGTTGTATATAAATTTAGGGCATGATTTGATTATTTTATTTTACCTTTAGTAATGATAACATATTGGCAGCAATAAGTGATCTTGATAATCTTCCATTTGAAATGGGTGTTCTACATTGTGGACAGGTACCTGTTGTCTCTGCAACCTTGTCCAAACAACTCTCGCAACCAAGATGACCAAATGTACATTGTTTGATGGGTGCAGTCATCAACGATAAACATATCGAACATGTTAATTCATCGAGATCTGATTCACTTACTACTCTTTGTTCTATTGATAACGATTCGATAAGATGGGCCATTTATTTAAATTTAAATTATAATTATAATTAATTATAACCCTCTTCTTTATCTTTTAAATATTGAACAACAACTATTAACCCATTCCATCACACTATTGTTTTTTTTTTTAAAATTAATTAAAAATTAATTTCACAAGATATTTCCATCTTTTTCATCAGAAGATCTTTGTCCCATTGTGAAAAATCTACATTTCATCGATTCAAATTGTTCCATCTATTGGTTGTACTGACACACGCGCCGAATCATGAGTGGTATTGTTCAAAATACCAGTACCACTCATGTTTAATAGATAACTATAGATTTAAACATTGAAAATTTTCACAATTTTTTTGTGTAAATTATACAATCTTGGTTTAAGTCTTAAGATAACACCAACTGAGCTAACAAAGCGAAACGGATGTACCAAAACAATCTGTCTCAGTAAAACTTCAATAAATAGATAGTAAACTGGAAATGGGTTCAAAATTCCAATATTTTTTTTTATTGGGACATAACCTTCCCCTTGTTATACTCTTATCCAACTGACCTAACAAGGCACTCAATGTTCCCAAAAAAAAAAAAAGATATGTATAGGATATAAAAATAAACCATTATAAAATTATATTTTAGTGTGGAAACCAATTTAATTTTTTTGGTGTGGAAAAAGTTTTCTCTTACAATGTTGTTAATTGTGTTTACCCAAATTAATTCCACCAACTGAGCTAACAAGGCTTTTTTGATGTCCAAATTCGAAAGGCATATCATTTTAAATCTACCTGTACAGGGTGGAGCACAATTCTTACGGTAATAGAAAAAAAATGCAATCAGGGTTAAAATTTCCAAATTTGCGATTTGGGACATCAAATAAAGCCTTTTTAGTCAGTTGGTAGTAGCTTAGAACTGATGATCTTGAAAGTCTTAATAAAAAGGAGAACCCAAAAAGTCGTCAAAAAATACATCTCGGCTCAAATTTCCTTTTTTGGAAAAGGGGACATCTAAAAAGCCTTGTTAGCTCAGTTGGTAGTAGCGTAAGACTGAAGATCTTAAGGTCGCTGGTTCGATCCCGGCACAAGGCAACTTTATTGCTGTTTTTTTTTTTTTTTTTTTTTTCACTCTTCTCAAACTGCTCGATGATCCAAGTTTTTTCATGATATTCTGGTAGTAGACACAATTCCCTACATTTTCATCGATTTTTTATTGATTTCTGACAACACCACTAAAACAGGGTATAAAAAAAGAAGATCCTGGCACAAGGCAACTGTATTGCTGTTTTTTTGCATGTGGCTGCCTCGTATCAAAGTTTTTTTAGTTTGTTTCCAACAATACCACACGCAATCTTTGATGTTTTTTGTTTCAATTTTGATAAAACAATATTATTTTATTACATTTTATTTAATATTAATGTAAAGGAATATCTTTGTTTGTTGTTGTTTTTACCCTTTGTTTTTTAATATAGAGGATGGTGATAGTAGCACCAGCAGTAATCAATAATGACCCCAAAACCAATGGGAGTACAAGAGATAGAATTCTAGATTTGGGCCAATTTTCATCATCTTTTTTATCACCACTGTCAGACAGAGTAAATTCTAGATGATTGAATGATTGACCATCTTGAATAAAACTATTTCGTTGGATTGTAAAATGATCATATTTGGTAGAATCCAAGATATCCTGGTCAAATATATAAACATTGGTCATTGTTGATAATGTTTGTAATTGTTGATCAATAGAAGAAGATGAAGATAAAGATGAAGAAGAGATGACTGAAAAGATGATTAATTTCTGACCAATTAAACTAGAGTTTATATAAATGGTGATTGATGATGTAGGTGATATATCCAATAATTGATTTTCTTCAACTAAAACTTTAACAATAGAAGTATCATTAAAGTTTGTGAGATAGAGTAAAACTTGACCATTGATTGACAAACTAGTAGTGACTGTTAGATTGGTAATTTGATTTAAACTACCAATTGAACCTCCATCTTGGATGATAATATTCGAAAATCCACCATTTAAATAACCAATACCTCCCAATTGCGATTGATTACCAATAATCAAGTCCGTCAAACTACCACTACAATTTAAATCAAATTGATTATTTAATTGAAAACTTTGATTACCATGATTGATTTGATTATTTAAAAATAATTTTGAATTTTCCAATATTATTTTAGTTTCATTTGTTATTATAAATGTAATATTATTATTATTACCGTTAATACTAAATTGTAATAATGGATGATTTTTAAATATTAAAGTTGAATTGTTTATAATAATAAATTCGAATTGATTTGTTGTAGAGAGTTGAATATTTGAATTAAATTCCAATATTGATTGATTTGAAATGGAAATATTATTATTAATACTAATGGGTGTATTGTCAATGATCATTTTAGATTGATTTTGAATGACAAGTTGATAGGATTTAAGATTGGACGAACCAAGTTGAAGAGTAGAAGCATCACGAAATGTGTATGGTCGTAATCCAACTGATTGAAATTCAATGGTACTATTTGGATGGGCCACAAATGAACTACCAGTGATTGTAATGCCACGAACAACATTTAAATGTGTACCACTATTGACAGTTAAAAGAGATTGGTTGAATAAATCAAAATAACTATACTCTATTTGAGCAATTTTAGTAGACGCATCAGACAATGGAGGAACAATAGTAACCAAACCATTATTTGATTCAATGTTTCTTGCAAATAGACCAGAGTAGATTATTATGGCTCCTTGATTGATTAGTCTCAATAGACCACCATCCACCGAGTATCCAGCCACTCTAGGTCTCTTTAAAACGATTGAAGCTCCATTACTAATGGTCAAAGTACCACTCATCCAATAACAATTATCCAATACCAATGAAATGTTGTTTTGATTTTCTTGATTACCAATAAACAATAGTACCAATGTTTCTGGTGTATAATTGACACAATAGACATGAGAATCTGTCTTGTTGATTGCCACTGTATAATCAGTTGTACCTGCAGGTACACGATTAGCTGACCAATTACTTGAATCATTAAATTGACCAGTAGTTGATCCAATCCAATAATTATTTATTAGTTGTCCCAAACAACAAAAATTATTGAAAACTAAAACTATTATTATTATTATTACTATTTTCATATTTGTAGTAAGAATAATAAAGAAGGTGAAGAAGAGGAGAAGGGTTTCTATTTTGTGTTTAGCAACATCGATGTTGTTTAAAAATCGAAAGGGCGGATACCCATTTTGAAATATCTCTTTTTTTTTGATGTGAATTTCAATGAATTCGATTGATGATAATCTTCATTTTATTTTTTATACACGAAAAAAAGAGATATATATTAAATAGTAGTATAACTATAAATAAAGAAGATAAAAAAAAATGAATGAATGAATGAATGAAAGTGACACATCTTTAAGAGTTCTTTTAATGAGAATTTGAGCTTTTTTAATTTTAATTTTTTAAAACAAATACTGACGATCGGTTTTGATGATGATCATTCATTTCATCCCGACTTTTTCATTCTTCTTCTTCTTCTTCTTTTTTATTTATTTAATATTAGTTTAGTTTAAGTTTAAGTTTTAGAATCATGAATAAAGAACAATTAAAAGATTTAAATCTTGATACACAACAAAGCAAGTTGATTGAGAAGTTGTTTCAATCAATGAAGGATGGATCATTGTCTGAAGAGGATTTGCAACAACTACGAGACAGCGGGTTGACGAAAAAGTTGTTACAAAAGTTTGGTGGAGCAGACGATTCAAACAGCTTGGATGCGTTTATGAACCTGACACAATTGGATGGCATTACAAGACCCGTTCAAGAGGACATCTCATTGTTGACGTACGAGTCGGTACTCAAGCGAATGGACCAACTCAAACGTCTGGGTAATGAACGATTCCAAAAGAGTCATTATACGTATGCACACGCATACTATTATCAACTCATCCAACTTGGTAATCGATATGGACAAGAAGTAGTTGAAAAGCAAGCAGACATATCGGAAGAGTTGAAACAAGAACGTTTGGCACAACTCAACAAAGTGGCATCGTTGGCAGCAAGTAATCTGTCTTTGACATTTTTCAATACCAATCGTATTGAAGAATCACTAAAGTATGCAGATTTGGCTATACAATTGGACAAGAGTAATGCAAAGGCATACTTTAGACGTGTTCATGCTCTTCAATTGTTTGGTAGAATCGGCGAGGTAAAGCAAACATTTGAACAGGCAACCAAGGAAATTCAAGATGCCACCCTTCAAGAATCACTAGAGTATGAAATACATGCACAAAAGGAAAAGGATCAACTCTTTGAAAAGAACAAACAACATACACTCAAGCGAATAGAAACCGATAAACAATATTCACAATTCCCAGTAGAGTTGGTTTGGAATGATAACATGGGTCGTTGTATCATGGCAACTAGAGATATTAAACAAGGTGAATTAATTCTTCGTGTTGCTCCTTTTGGTTGTGCTCTCTCTGATGATCAAATTGATTTAAATTGTGGTTCTTGTTTTAGAAAAATTAAATGTAAAAAAAAAATAGAAAAAAAAAAATAGAAAGAAATATATATTTATATTTATTTAATTTTTTCTATTCTATTAGATTATAAATCAGAAAAATGTAATTCATGTAAAACAAATTTACTTTGTGAAATTTGTATTAAAGATCCAACCATTGTTTCAATGCATCAAGAAGAATGTTCTTTAATTTCATTTTTACAAAAACATTATCCAAATGCTCAAACTAGGTAAATAGAAAAATGAAAAGAAAAGAAAAAAAGAAATTATATTAATTTTTTAATTTTCTTTTTTTATAGAGATTTTAGATTTATGATTAGAGTATTATTATCAGGAAGAGCAAATAAATTGGGTAGAATAACAAAAGAAAAGACACCACAACTTTGGAATCAACAACCATTTATTTATGATAGTTATGAAGATTTGGCATCACTTACTACAGATGTTTCAAAAATTGAAAGTAAACAATTACAATCGTTTACAGTGGCAACCAATTCTATTACCAACTTTTTTGCTGCAGTAAAGGGACCAAAATACTTGTCTGATCCATTCACCAAACAAGAAATATTTGACCTTTATCCAAAAATTCTATTCAATGCTCATGAATATATCGATCCACTTACTCATTATGAAATTGGTAGAGGTATCTACCCAACTGCTTCTTATATTAATCATACTTGTTTACCAAATACAACTTGGTATAATGATGATCATGGCCTAGTAAGAAATTTAAAAAAAAACAATCAATCAAAGATTATTATTAATTTTCTATTTTCTTTATATTTAGATATTATATAGAAGTAGTAGAGATATATTAAAAGGAGAAGAAATTACAACATCATATTTGGATATATTAAAACCAAAATTACAAAGACGTAAAGATTTGAAACAATATTCTTTTGTTTGTCAATGTGAAAGATGTTTAAATGAAAAACTTGGTTATCTTTGTTCAGAATGTGGAGAGGAATTGACAGAGAAACAGATTGAAATTTGGGACCCAATTCCAGAAAAACAATTTGATGGTCGTGTCATTGTTTGTAGCAAGGGTCATTTCAAACCGCTGTCAGTCTATGAATCTTTGGAATCAATTGGTGAAACTGCTTGTCAACAAGAACTTATTCCAACATTTAACCTATTGTTTGCTCCTTACCATCCCATTCATATTGTTCTCTACAAAAAGATTCTATCCAATAGTATTCGTCACTTTGACGAACCTAGTAAAATCAAAATCAATACCGTTACGGACCCACAACTCTTGCAACAATACTTTGATGCACTTTGGAAGTCATACAAGAATGTTTTCCAAGATCCCGAAAATGTCATCATGTTTAGTTATGTCGATGACCTCAGTGAACTATTCCAACTCTACAAAAAGCTTCCAGGTGACAATCGTGCCAAACTTTTAGAAATTAAAGACAAGGCTGCTTTCTATCTAGAAACTCAAACTAAATTATCTCAAAATCAACTTTTAAAAGAATTTGAAGATTATTTTCAAATCTAAAAAAGAGTAAATAAAAATAAATATATATAAAAATCAATTATTATTATTGTTTTTTGTTTTTTTTTTTTTATATATTTTTTTTTTTTGTTTTTAAAAATTTAATAATAAATAATTACTTTGGAATTATTATATTATCATATAATCGTCGACGTTATCATTATTATTATTATTATTATTATTATTATTAATTAATTAATTAATTAATTATTGTATAATACAATTCTTTGGATCTTTTCCATCTTTTCCTTTCTTATTTTGGGCAGCCAATTCTTCCTTTGAAGGTGGAAAGAGGACAACTCTACCAGCTTCTTCAAAAACATTTGTCAAACCATCCTGAGTCAATGCAGAACATTCACAATATTTAAAGGCTCCAATCTCTGCTCTCATTTGTTCTCCCATCTCTACTGTAACTGGGTCCTCACCATTGATCTTTTGCTTTGATCTTAAATCCAATTTAGTTCCTACCAATATGATTGGTGGTACTACATCCATATTTTGTGTAATTTCTGCATACCACTATAAAAATAAACAAACAAATAAACAATTAGATTAAATAAAAGAGAGAGAGAGAGAGAAAAAAGTTAAACTTCTTCTTCTTCTTTTTTTTTTGCATACTTTTTTGATAACATTTTCAAAACTAAGTTGTGATATAAGACTGAAACAAATAAGGAAAACATCGGTACCTGGATAACTAAGTGGTCTAAAACTATTATATTCTTCTGATCCTGCAGTATCCCACAAACCAAGATTGACAGGTGTACTATTTACAATTGCATTGGCATTATAGTTATCTAGAGAGAGTAAATAAATAGCAAAAAAGTTAGAATCTATGTTGATATATTTGATCCATATTCATTACATACCAAAGACAGTTGGAACATAATCGCCTATATATATAAAAGTATTTGAAAGAAAGAAAAGAGTAATAAAGTAGTTTGTTGTTAGTTTTAGATGATTTTTAAAATGTATATCCTATCGCGACAATAGATGTGGTTAACTATTGAATTAATTACCTGGAAAGCTAAAAGATTAGAGAGACCAAAAAGAGGGTATTAGAGAATAGGTTATCTTTTACTAGCCTAGTTTCAACTTACCTGTTTGTAGTGTATGAGATGAGAAGACAAGTCTTGCCGACACTCATGTCACCTACGACCATAACTTTGATATCTTTAACCATTTCTGTATTATTGTATGTATTATTCTATGTTGTTGTTGTTATATATGGGTGAAAATGTATATTTATATAAAAAGTATATATAAGATGTGTATAGATATTGATGAATGAATGAATGAAAGAAAGAAAAAGAGGGATGTTTTGTTTTGTTTTGTTGTTTGTTTGTTGATACTCTACAGATGATGTGTTTTATTGGTGAGGAGGAGGAGGAGAGGGTTGATCTATTGTCGACGTTATACTACTACTGCTGCTACAAAGAAAAAGAAAGGGAAACAAGTTATTATACAATTCAATAATAGTACTATTATCTATCACCAATCTCTCCAACACATGAAGCCAACTCACTCCAACAAAAGATTATTTTTTTTTGATGTTTTTTGTTTTTTTTTTGAAGCTTTCATCGCGATGACAACCAGAAGCTATTTCAAGGATAAAACCAATTCATTACTTTTATCTGATATATATCTGATCAAACAAGATTAGTATAAATAAATAAATACTAATCTAAAACTAAAACATTAATGTTATGTTTTTAAACCACCAAACTAAACTAAACTATGATGATGATGATCATTATCAAAAAAAAAAAAAAAGGTTTAAACTTTCATCAAGAGAAAGAAAGTAATATTAAACAGATAAAAAGATAGATAGATAAATTCTTATTATCTGTTGAAAAAAAAAACAAATGTCGGGCATTGTATCATTGTATTATCTCTAAATCTAGTTTTAAAAAACACACCCACCACACCAACTTTAAACACAATGGTGTTACGATTTTTATAATTTCTCTTCAAACTCTTATTTTAGTATCAAAAATACTTAAAACTAGAGTGGTGGTGCTGCTCTGGACAAAGCATGCAAACTCGCGTGTGCCTTACAATCCTAGATATATCTATCAAACAATCCTTTATTTTTTTTTAAAAAAGTAAACAATTAAATATAAAGATTTCTATTTCTATTTCCATTCATTTTAAAATTATACGTAGTTTTTTTTTTAAAAAGAAAAAGAGGAAAGAGAGATGGGTATAATAAAATTACATTTTCTATCAATACTATTAATATTATCAACATTATTATTATTATTGGTAAATGCACGTACAAGTAATACCAAACACTCCGATATTGAATCATTTCAATTCCCAATATCAAAAGTCTCAAAAGAAGGTTATGGAACACTATTAACAACTGGTAATAATAATAAATAATAATAATAATTAAAATTATTAAGAATCATTTTTAAAATATTAATATTAATTACTTTTACTATTTTTTTTAAAAAAGATACTATTTATGGTGGTCAAAATGGACCAGTTTCATCCTATAGAAATATATCTGGAAACTTTTTTGGAATGATTACTCCAATTAGAATTGGTAATACTGAAATTAATGTATTAATTGATACTGGTTCATCATATGTATGTGTACTATTGATACTTTTATAAAATAGTTTCTAATTTATTTAAATTCTTATTAGTTGATTATACCAAAACAAGGATGTCAATCATGTTCATTGAATAAACCATTTTATGAACCATCACAATACTCTACACCTATTCATTGTGCAAGTAATGATTGTAAATCGATTTCTCGTATAAATGATCCATGTAATATGGGTCAAAACAACGATCGTTGTTATTCACCATTTGCCTATTCCGATGGAACTAAATACATTGCCGAAGTGACTCAAGATGTTTTAAATGTTGGAAATAGAGCTATAAAGGTAATAGTAGGTGGTATCATTAGTGATTATGGTGCTAAAATTCAAAATATGAGATTTGGTATAATGGGAATTGGTAGATCTGTATGTAAATGAAAAGTCAAGAAAGAAAAGAAATCATAGACATTTATATTTATATTTATTTATTTTTTTTAGTGTCCAACATGCCCACCAAATTTAATAGATTCTATTTCAAGATCAACAGGTATTAGTAATGTATTTGGATTGAAATTAGAGAATAATTATAATGGTATATTTACAGTTGGTAAACCTGTAGTAAATGCAGGTGAGACTTTTAGTTTTACACCAATCAATGAAACCATCTATAGAGAATATGTAGTCAATATCGATAGTATATCATTTGATGCATTCCCAATCAACACCTTTTCATCTTCCAAACCTGTTCAATTGCAATCTAATATCAATCCAACCATTCTTGATAGCGGTACTGGTATCTCTTATTTTACAACTGAAATTTATTATTCAATTGTTCAAATGGTTTCTCTATATTGTTCAAAATCTCCAACTGAATGTTCTGGTTTAATTAATAATGTAAATATATAAAAGAACAACAAAAATATTATATATATTTATATTATTATAATTCATTTATTAACTCATTCTCTCTCTTTTTTTTAATATTAGTGTTTTGTATTTAAAAATCCATTATTTGTTCAAAGATTACCAGTATTGAATATTTTATTTAGTGGAGGAGCAAGATTATCGGTTCCACCTGAAATCTATACTGCAAAGATTCAAAGTAATATTCATTGTACTTCTTTTATTCGTTCACCAAATCATGAAAATTTAATTGGTCTATCATTTATGAAAAGTATATATTTTAAAATATAATATATTACCTTGAACCATTTATATATTAATATTTATTCTCTCTCTTTTTTTATTATTTATAGATAATTATGTATTATTTGATAATGAAAATAATCAAATTGGATTTTTAAATAAATAAATTATTATTTGTATTTTTAATGTTCTTATTCTTTATTATTATTTTTTATTATTTTTTATTCTAACCATTTTAATGTACCCATTAATAAGAATTTTGAAGGGATTAAACCTGGACAAGGAGCCAATACGGTCATTTTTTTAGTTTCAAGGTTGACCTCAGTGACATATAAAAATCCGGCAATATTACTCTTTAAAATACTTTGTTTTGATTTGGTATAGGAAACTGCGAGGATTGAATGGATCATATCGGTCGATGGTGTAACTTCTTGTAATTGAAGTGGATCAATCACTGATTGAGCACCAATTGGTAGTGCTGAAGATGGAGCTGCTGGACCACCACCTGTTTTTAAAACAACTATATCTTTGAAATCCAAAATAGTAAAATGTGGACATAAATCACCTGATATACCATAAAAATATTCTCTAATCTTTGACATTCTTGTTTTCTTTCTAAATATTGGTGATCTAAGATAAACCTAAAAAACCAAAAAACAAATAAATTAATATATATTTCTTTTTCTTTTCTTTTCTATTTTACTTACACCACCAGATTTTGGTAATTTAATAACTTTAATGGCACCTGTATACTTTTTATTTAATTCACTGTACAATTTATCATTATCCATGACAACGATAAGATTTGCTTTGAAAATATCGATAGAATCGATGAGGATCTCATAACCTAGACCATCAATCCAACCACAAGTATTGATAATGACACCCGACACTCTTGCTTGTTCGTTGGTTTCCATACGCTTTTCGATTGAAGTCGCCAGACTTGACACCAACGCTTTAAAGAGTGTTGGGTTGGCATCGAGTGAGGTGTGTCCATAGTATTGAACAAATGGTAGAGAGTTTGTGAGTCCGTCTTCAATATCGACGGGTTTGTCTACAAGTGATGCACAAACAGCACCTGGTATGGTGATTGATCCTTGTCCGGGATCGAGATCGACAAATGTCGGTGCATAACCTAGACGTGTAGAGTATCCCAATAGAATCTTGGAGATTGAACTCTTTCCAACGTCGGTCGGTCCGACAATGATCACTTTGGGACCAGACTCGCGATTCGAAAGACATGAAATACGAATATCATCCATGATCTTGTGTACACGAGCATATTGCATCATTGGAGTCTCATTTGCAATATATGCCTTTGTCGATTGTGATACTTCCAACTTGCATGAATTCCATGTAAACACTGCTCCTTTACATCCTGTCAATTTATATTCTCTATTTAATAATAACTCTGTACCAAAGTATTCTGCATTTCCTTCAATCAACTTAAATAGAAAGAGAAAAGGAAATGTTAATTAGTATAGTTGACAATAATAACCTATTACTACATTCATTGATTGATTGATAGTAGGTACCTTTATGAGAGCAGTTTCACCATGTTCAACTTCAAAACGTAGTTCATGTTCTTTTGGTAGATTGAATATAACGGTTGGGATTGGTGCAGCTGCTAGATCTGTTCCTCCAATAAATGATGATATATCTTGTCTATCCATATGTTCTTTCTCTCTACTCTCTCTATCTACTCTTATATCTCTCTTTTTATATATCTCTCTTTACACTACATTAATGTAATGATAGTTCATGCTATTTTTGAAATTTAGTTCAAAATTTTAAAACAATGAAATTCTTGAATGTTTATTTATTTATTATTATTGATATTTAGTAATTGATTTATTGATTGAATGGTTGATCTATTTATTATATATCCTATATTATATAATACTATTATTGGTTTATTTATTTTTTTGGAAAATAATTCTATGTTTGTTTGAAGGTTGAGGTTGGATTGTTTTGTGTCAGTTTCCGAACAAACACGATGTTCAATCGATTAATATCGTCAACAACAAAGAAGAATATCGTCATCTTTAAACAGGTCTATAAAAGTAATACTTCTCAGACTAGTCTCTTCTCAGTAGAACAATTCAAATACAACAACAATAACAAAGTATTACTATCACAACAAACATATAGTTACTATTCAACAACAAGTAATAATAATAATAATAATAATAACACAACAATGAACTTATCAGACTCTGAATGGAAGGTTAAATTAACACCAGAACAATTTAAAGTATTAAGAGAAAAGGGAACTGAAAGAGCTTTTACTGGTATGTTATATAATAGATATATAGATATCGGGCTAACCTTATTTTGTGTTGATGTCTAACTATCTCTACCTACCTACCTATAGGTGAATACGATAAAAAGTTTGATGATGGAGTATATGGATGTGCAGGATGTGGAGCACCATTGTATAGTTCAAAGTCAAAGTTTAATAGTGGATGTGGTTGGCCTGCATTCTTTGAGGCATTGCCAGGTGCATTGACCATCTTTGAAGATAAATCACATGGTATGGTCAGAACAGAAATTGTATGCAAGAATTGTGGTGGTCATTTGGGTCATGTATTCAAAGGTGAAGGTTTCAAGAACCCCATCGATGAAAGACATTGTGTCAATTCAATTAGTTTAAAATTTACTCCAAAGAAATGAACTAATAATAATAATAATAATATTGATAATAATATTGATAGAAATAATATTGATATTGATATTGATATTGGTAATAATAGTAGTAATAATAATAATAAAAGCGTTAAATGTAAATTGTAAATAATAAATAAAGTTATTATATTATTATATTTAATTTAATTTTGGTTTTGTGACCCTATGAACAAATTTGGGGTTGGTTTCAAAAGACGAGTGTTTGCAAGAACTATGAAACATATATCGATATCGATCAGATGCAAACTATTTCTTCAAATATAATATTATTACATATTGTCAACAATGTGAATGATCATATTGATAGAGTGTGTCTGTTGACATGTTGCAAGCGACTGTACGGTCTGCGTCATATGGTCACACTCCACTTTAAAGAGAAATGGGTGCAGTCGAAAGCAAAGCTACAGATCAACCTCTTTGAACAATCGATTAGTAATACATTATCTACTCGCATGTCAATCAATATATTCAACCTAAGACAAGAACAAAAGAAGAATCAACAACAACTTCAACAAATAGAACAACAACAACAAAAACAACAGAGAGAAGATGAAGTGGATGATGATATTTCAATTACTTCAACTACTGCTGCTGCACCAATGATGACAATAGTACCAAACATAGATTTAAAAGATAATTTAAATTGTTTATCAATCTATTTTGAAATTGAAGAGTTTCATGATATGGTGATGCCAATGATACCAGAGGGTATAGAGAATGTAGTGATACAATCAAATATCGGTGAAGCATTCAAGATGGGGACATTCCCACAATCACTCAGAAAACTTAATATGGATTGTGCCTATCCGTTTGAATTGACACCTGGTATCTTTCCAACCGGTCTTAAGAAACTTAGCATCTCTGCACAATGCGCAACCAAACATCGGGTTGGTCCGGGTGTCATCCCCAACACTGTAGAGTCGTTGGAGATTTGTATATCGTCTTCTGGATTACTGCCAGTCATTCCACCATCGGTCAAGTTCCTCTTGCTCATGAATATGAGTGGTCGTCCACTCGCACCTGGTTTCTTACCCGAAGGATTAGAAGAACTCTTTCTCATAGAGTTGGATCCTCGTTTGACACCTCGTAACTCTAGACTGGCCGTCCCAGTCACCAACAACGTCTTCCCAAAGTCTCTCAAATGTTTAACAATCGATTCAACGACACCAATACCCTATCAACTACCACCTAACCTCATACAACTCAAATACAGTGATAATTATATGGGAACGTTTGATACACCAATCAATGCCAACCTCCAAGAACTCTATATTGGGTATGCATTTGAACAACAAATTCCAGTCTCTTATTTGGCACAAGCCACCTCGTTGAGACATCTCACCATTCGAAATGCCGTCACACTTGATGGATCACTACCAAACTCTTTGGAAACATTGGTTACTAGTCGTGAGTTAAAGACTCGGTATGGATATACACATGGAAGTGGTCCGTTGGTTCTACCGACCAAATTGAAAAACTATAGAATGAAGATTGGTAAATCACATCTTGCACGTACACTTGCCAATTGTGTATCTACAATTGAACAAGTAGGTGTTTCATCAACATGTCTTCAAATGGAGAGTGAAGATTTGTCATCAATCACTCATCTGTATATCATATCACCAGAACATTTGAAAACTAATAATGATCGACTTGGCACTGGCTATATTCTCCCACCTAAATGTACTTCACTTCATTTGGTTGTTAAACCAGAGGAACGACTCTATACACTACCATTGGATTGGATCACCGGTGATAATGATAATCGTAATGGTGGTAGAATCACAACTATTTGTATAGATTTTGAAGGTCTAAAAAATACCATACATATTAGACAACTTGACTCTACCAGTAGTAGTAGTAGAAGAGACTATTTATTCCTTTGTCAAGAGGATTTATCTGGTGGTATCATTCATTTAGGTGAATCCAATAATAATAATAATAATAATAATAATAATAATAATAATAATAATGAAAAAGATGGAAAAGAAGAAGATGATGATGAAGAAAAAGAAGATACTATAGATGAAATGTATGAATTGGCAAACTTTTTTAGAATTGGTATAGTGTCTTGTAAATTTGATAGAAATCATATGATTGTATGTTTGGCTGGTACAGAAACAGCTCCATATATCCCAGAGTCTCCTCAATTTAGTGAACAAGATGAAATTGATGATAATGGAGATGGAAATGAAGAAGACGACGACGACGACGATGAACCAATCATTTTACAACAATCTTTACATGACCCTGCATTAGATGATGATGAAAGTAATGATGATGATGACCAAGACATGGAAAATGATAATGATAATGAAGACGATGAAGAAGAATACCAATAAAAAAAAAAATCATTTATTATTTAATTATTACAATACCATGCTATCCAAATTTGAATTTGTCAGAGGTGAAAATTTGGAGGCAAAAGCAAAGTTGTGCAATGGACATCGTCTTACAAGTCATTATTGACAAGAAGATTATAGATTGTTCGATCAAAAGAGAATAGAGAGAAAGAAAGAAAGAAGATGTCAGAGAATTCAGAGTTACCCAATGCTATAGTACAAAGAATCATTAGAGCTGCTGTATGTGTTGTATAGTAGAAGATGGATGGATATTGATTGTTGATGACTAACCTATCCTATTTATCTTTAGTTACCAGATAATGTACAAATAGCACAAGAATCTAAAGTAGCAATAGCAAAGGCAGCAAAGGTATGGGTACATTACCTTACAGCTTGTTCAAATGACTTTTGTCAGAATGCAAATAGATCGACTATCCTTGGTAAGGATGTATTGTCATCGTTAGAGGAAACTGATTTCGAACAATTTATACCTATACTTGAAGAATTCTTGGCCGGTATGTATATATAGTACTATAATACCGATTGATTGATCAACAAACTAATAATCTTGTTACAATCCAACCTCTAGAACACAAAGCAAAAGAAAAACAAGAACAAAGTTTAAAAGCATCTAAAAAAGAAAAAGATAATGCTGCTGCTGCCGCTGCTGCTAAAGATAAAGATACTAATAGTAGTAGTACTACTACTACTACCAACACCACAAAAGATAGTAAAGACAAGGATACCAAAGGAGGTGGAGGAGGAGATAAGGATAACAGTAGTAAAGAGGATTAAATCATAATAATAATAATTAAATTAAATAGCTTTGTAGATATAGATATATTCATACCAAACCACCATTCCATTATTATTATAATTATTATTGGACGTATAGTAGAGTCAACTGGGGATACATCCAATCCCAAATGACTCCAATTTGAAATTTCCGCATCGTTTATCGAAACAACCAAAGATGTTTGTTTGAAGATATTTATTTAGTTAATTTATTTATCATTCATTTATTAGTTAGTAATAATAACTGACTGCCTACCTACTGGGTTCTACTAATACTAAAGAAGTAGTTCTAGATCTTCTTTGACGACTTGTTGACCAATGTAATGATTCTTCTTTAAACGTAATCCGCCGTTCAAAACCTTCTTCCCTATTTAGTCATTGATAGTTCCAATGTTTTTATTTTGTTTTTTTTTGATTTTTGTTGTCAGTGGTGTGCTGTTTTCAATATCAGCTGATGTACCATTTTAGTCTCTTTAGCTTTCTATATATCTATCTATCTCTCTAGTTTGTGTATTAGCAAGGAATATGATGTCGTCTCAATTCAATAAGATTGTCGTTGATAACTATGTCGTCGAAATGGACGGTGATGAAATGACCAGGTAAGAAAAGTCAATCAGATGTCACATGATGTTGTATATATAAAACATGATAGAACAATTGGTTGGTTGTAAATCTCTATTATGTTTATATCTAATTCTGACAACAATCTTGTTTTCAACAACAACTATTTCTATTTATAGAGTCATTTGGAAAATGATCAAGGAAAAGTTAATTTTCCCATTCTTGGATTTAAAGATTGACTATTATGATTTGGGTATGGAGTATAGAGATCAAACTGACGATCAAGTCACTATTGATTGTGCCAAGGCTATCCTCAAGCACAACGTTGGTATCAAGTGTGCTACCATCACTCCAGACGAAGCTAGAGTTGAGGAATTCAAGTTGAAGCAAATGTGGAAGTCACCAAACGGAACCATCCGTAACATTCTCGGTGGTACCGTCTTCCGTGAACCAATCCTCTGCACCAACGTCCCACGTCTTGTCACTGGTTGGAAGCTCCCAATCGTCATTGGTAGACATGCTCACGGTGATCAATACAAGGCCACCGATTTTGTCGTCAAGAATGCCGGCAAGTTGGAAATGACCTTTACTCCAGCCGATGGCAGTGCTCCACAAAAGTATACAGTCTTTGATTTCCCTGCTGGTGGTGTTGCCATGGGAATGTACAATACCGATGAAGTATAGGAAAAAAAAAAAAACAAAAAAAAATATAATACTAAACTTTAACCTTCCTTTCTTCCTTTTCTTTCTCTAGTCAATTATTGGATTTGCTAAATCATGCTTTGAATTTGCTTTGGAAAAGAAATGGCCACTTTATCTCAGCACCAAGAATACCATTTTGAAAAAGTATGATGGTCGTTTCAAGGATATCTTCCAAGAGATTTATGATAAGGAATATAAGTCTAAGTTTTCTGCCGTTGGTATATGGTACGATCATCGCCTAATCGACGACCTCGTCGCATATGCCATGAAGAGTGAAGGAGGTTTCGTTTGGGCCTGCAAAAACTATGATGGTGATGTCCAATCAGACAGTGTTGCCCAAGGTTTTGGATCTTTGGGTCTCATGACCTCTGTCCTTTTGTGTCCAGACGGAAAGACTGTAGAGTCTGAAGCTGCCCACGGTACCGTCACTCGTCACTACCGTGATCACCAAGCCGGCAAGGAAACCAGCACCAACCCAATTGCCTCCATCTTTGCCTGGACCCGTGGTCTTGCCCACCGTGCCAAGTTGGACAACAATGCCCCACTCGACAAGTTCTGCACTGAATTGGAATCTGCTTGTATTGAAGCCGTCGAAACTGGTTTCATGACCAAGGATCTTGCTTTATGTATCAAGGGTACCATTGATAAGTAAGTTGAAGTGAAAAAAAAACCAAAAAAAAAAGAATATCTAAATTTCTAATTACCTTTTTTTTTTTTTTATAGGGTCAAGAGAACTGACTACTTGAATACAACTGAATACATTGAAAAGGTTGCTGAAATTCTTAAAAAGAAACTTAACGTGTAAGGTTGTCGTTCACCCCCTTGTTCATAAATCCATTTTATTATTATTATTGTTGATGATAGATAGAGATTCCAAAAAAAAATATTATAATTTTTAAAAAAAAAAAAAAAAAAAAAGAAAGTAGTGATTATTATTTTTGGTAAGGATTAACAAAACGAATCATCATAATAATAATAATTATAACTATAACTTTAAATTTATTATTTTATTTGTTTTACTAATTTATTTATTTATTTATTTTTTAGAAAAAGCAAACTTTAAAAAAACAAACAAAAATCCCTACTTTTCCTTCTATAATCAATATATATAATAACAATAAAAAGGCAATACACTGTGTAATAGTTATGTAAACTATAATATTTTTAGAATTAGTTTAAATTAATAATGGAATCTTTAAATATATTTTTTGATTTATTTTGTACTTTTTACATTATTATTATTATTTATTATTATTTATTTAAACATGAAATAATATATCATTAAATAAAATTAAATATAAAATAAAAGTAAGGAAATGAAAAGCAAACCTTGATGAAGTATTAAAACTTAGATATTCGTAAAGGACGTCACCTACAATGATGACAACCACTCGAGTGATGACTGCACCCAATAGATCTTTGATTGTGTAATCGATAGAACCACCAATGTTGAGAGTGGCCAATTGCACAATAGCATAGAAAAACAGTATTAACGGCACCTGTTGATCAAACTTTAATCGAAGTGATGGTAAGAACATGAGTATCACCACTGCCACTGAACATATGGCCAACAATCCAACACTGACAAGAGGAAGTACCGATCGTTCACTAGCCACCTCTTTGCTCAATGGATGAAAGAAGCATTTATGGGGATGACTAAACGGCCCCGCATCATTTGCAACTTCTACAGGTGGATGTTTTGATAAATAACTAATCTCTTCAACTGGTTGTTCAATTGATAAATTGGTTCTAAATGGTAAATATAAATATTTCCTATTATTTTGTTGATTATTTTGTTGATTATTTTGATTATTTGATTCTATTAAAGATTGTTGTTGACTTGACATGATTATTACAGATGGATATAATTCATTTAATTCTAATTTTGTATTTTTGTTTGTATTTACAAGTACCTATAAACAGAATAGAAAATAGAAATAAAAGTAAGTTAATCTAATCATCTCTAGTGATGTTTATATTTTATATTTACTTACCTCTACAATACCATGAAATGTATAAGATTCTTCACTTTGTGTCCATTCAATATTATGGAACCTTTGAAAGTAACAAGTACCAATGACATAGTGTTGATAGACATTGATATTGGTTTGAACGTCTGCTAGATAAAAGATAAACCAAAACAGAGCAACCATGAATGCAAAGATTGAAAATGAAGAGTCTTTAGATGGTAGCAAGTCTCCAACACGTCTTGTTATATTGTTTATGAAACCACCACCGTTGTTGTTGTTAATGCCATTGATGTTGTGTCCTGCTGCTAACCTCCTTCTCCACATTTCATTATGAAAGTTTTGTTGTTGCTGATCAAGATCATTATGTAGTTGTTGATTCATCTTTTTAATTAAAAGTAAATGAAACTTTTAAACAAACAAACAAATAAATTAAACAAACAATCTGTTGGGAATATCACTGAATTTGAACCTCACAGCAGCAAATTTTGCTGACACCATTCACACAAAAAAACATCGCTACCCTTTTAAACCCCAACAAACTGACTGATCTTACATTGACATATATATATTTATAAATACTCCCCATCACTATACTTGAAATTATTATTCTTATTATTATTGAGAGTTGTTCTGATTTATTTCAAGTCAAAAAGTCAAAGCTAACCGTCTAACTAATTATATTAATTCTTTAGTACAAGTACTAAAATGTCTTAAAGTAGAAAAGTAGGGGGTAAAAAATCATTGTACCAATTGAATTGTTAATTGTTTGAAATTATCAAAGATAGTGAGAGGAGAGGGGATCTCTACAAGTGTATTTCCAAAAGCATTCAGGTAAGGGTGGAGTGATTTGAAGGCTTTTTTGGCTCAAAACAGCAAACGAATTTTACGATTTCGACGACTTGCGTTGTCGGATTCGTTTTTTCGTGACTTTGGTCAAAAATTCTAAATGGACTGGCCCCTATGTAGCTCAGGTGATACCTTGCAATGTGGCAAATTTCATAACCAGTTTTCAGTGAAGGCGGATTTGATAAATTCGATATCAGCGCGACATTTCGTGTTGGTTTCCATTGTGCTCATGTTGCCATGGCGACGACTTGACATGGCGGTGAAGCCCCCCCTCCGCAGCCTCCCTACCGCTGCGTATCCCCGCTAGACACAAAATGATATTTTTGTACATGCCATCTACATTTACAACCATTGGCGGACTATTTGTATCAATTATGCCTTCCTTCATTGTTGTCCCTGCAGAATGGACGAACACAATCTACATCATCATTATCATCATAATCGTCTCAGTGTTTCATTGGTATTTGTTCAACCATTCATATTTGTACTACCTCATTTATTATTTTAAATCAACCCTCACATCGATACACCAAAAATACTAGTAGTTGTACTCAAAGTAATTTCACAACTAACCAACACACTCACACACTCACACAGGTCCAGAAATTAAGATCTTAAGCTTTCACCAAACACTTGATTTAGATTAACCTTTCACACTTTAAAGTCTACACCAAAAAAGATCGTAGTACATGTGGTCACAATACCCTAACCCTTTTTCTTTTTAATCCCCCAAACCCCTCCAGCCTCTATAATTATTTAATCTTTTCTTTCTTTCTTTTTTAAACTATTATTATTATTAATATTATTTATTTGTATATATATAAAATACTTTTTAAAATCCATCATCATTAAAAATGATTCGAACAATATCTTCCAAACCCAAATTGATTAGAGTATTAGGTTTAATCATAGGTTCATTTATTTTATTTAATTTAATGTATTTATTATTTGATGATCTTTTTTAAAAACCGAAAAAAGATAGACATAGTTTTGAAAACTATAATTCTAATTCCCTCCCTTTTCCCCATACCTAGATATACATTTTATACATCATCTACAGATTCAACAAATGTCAAAGCATATTTAGCCAATCAATTAGAAGAAAGAAATAGGCAATTGGAGAATAAACAACAAGAGATTGATAGTTTACAGAGACAACTTCAATTACTACAAGTACAAGAACCAGGATATAAAATCAACCAACCCACAGAACAACAAAAAACCACCCACCAACCAGTTGACAAGATCAAAGCCTATTCAGATAGAATAGCTGCTCTTGAAAACCCATCCAATTTTACCCAACCCGAAGGCTACCCCATATCAACACAACTAGTCAGTCCAAGATTAAAAGATCCTTCACTCGACTCTTCTATACAATGTTTTCTTACCTATTACAACTATGTAAAATATTATTCAGATGTTGATGTGCATCCATCTATTGGAGCACCTCATCGTTATCAACAATCAGAGTTTGAATATCTAGTTCCAACACCAAATCCATCATTTGGAAAAGTTTCAAAATCAGCAGATATCCTCATGGAAATGGCTGCTATTGAATTAACTCGTACATCCAATTTTGATGAAGCTACAAAAAGACAATTAGATACTTTGGAAATTAAAAAAATTGAAGGTAAAAGGAAAACCAAAACCAATCAACATTCTTGAATATTAATAATTATTTATATTTAATAATTATTAATTTAAAGGAAAAAATATGGAAGAATTTCAAAAAGAAGAAAAACAAGAAAATGAATTAAAAGCATTACAAGAGAAATTAAATTTAGTAGAGATTCCACCATTCTTTCAATTACCTCTTCCAGTAGCTCATCCTCAACCTTTGATACCTGCACCCTATTTATTCCTTCATATACCTAAAACTGGTGGTAATTCTATTCATTCTTTATTCCAACATACTTTTAAATCCCATGCAACTCAACATTGGACTTCTCCAGGTAAGATTAGAATAGAATAGAAATCATAAATAATATATTTCAATTTATTTACTTTTTATTTTTTTTTATTTTTTAGATTATGGAGAATCATATACAAAGATTATAGGAAAGAAATCAATTGTTGGACATTTTAATTATGGTCTTCATTTTTATTTACAAGAGGCTGGTATTAATCAACATTCCTATTTAACTTTATTAAGAGATCCTGTTGATCGTGTCATTTCTCATTACTACTATCATCGTGAGAGAAAGGAAGATGAGGGTCATGCTCTGGCAATCAATTCAACCATTGAAGAATGGACTGATACTCCAAGAGGTCAAAATGAACAAACTAGAGTTTTATCTGGTATCACTTCATACACTGAAGATTTTCCATCAATGGAATCTTTTAGAATGGCTTTATCTCATTTAAGAAAGTAAATATATCAAAATTTATTAAATTTATAAACACGGAGAAACAAGATATTAAATTAATATTCATTTCTTTTTGTTTTTTTTTTAGAATGAAATTTGTTGGATTGACAGAAAGATATGAAGAAACAGCAATTTTAATGAAATATTATTGTGGATTAAATTCAGTTTCCATTACTCAAGCCAATAAGAGAAAAGATCGTACCATGGATAGCAAGGTCAGCCAAGACGTTCGAATGTTAATTAAAGAAAAGAATTGGATGGATGTCTATCTCTACGAAGAGGCTGTTAAAATGTTTGAAAGACAATTAGATATTGTTGGTCGTGATATTGTTAAAAGTGAAATGAAAAAGAAGATATAAATACTAAATCGAAACCAATATATATTTATTTATATTTGTAGACAAAAAAAAAGAAAATAATTAATTCGATCTGAATTAATTTTATGTTATTATTTATTTTAAAGTTGGAAAATTAGTAGTTAGTAAATTATTATTATTATTATTATTTACAAAAAAAAATGGTGTTTTTGTTTACTATTATTATTATTATTATTATTGAATGGTACATCCACCACAAGTTCTATTTTTTGTTGTTGATGAAGAAGTATTTTGAACTTTGAAAGAATTTTCTCTTTCAGGTTTAAACTCTGAAAACTTTTCCTTATTTTTTGATTGAACCTTTAATTCCAAATCTTCAAACACCAATTTAGTCAAAATATTAAAAGGTTCATCGATGTTGGTATGTTTAATCGATGTGAATGCCCAACTAGCAATATTATTTTCTTTTGTATATAGATTTAATTTATCTGTAATATCTTTTAAATTTTCTTCATTTTCTTCTATTTTATCATACTAGTATGTAAGAATAATAAAAAATTAGAATTAATAATCTTTTTGTTTTTGTTTTTGTTTTTGTTTTAGTTTTCTATTAATTACCTTATTTGCCAATAAAATACAAGGAATATCTTTATCTAATCTTGAATATACTTCTGTTTTCCATTTTTTAGCGTGTTCCATTGTTTGTTCAAGTTGACTGAGGTCAACAACCAAAGCAACACCATCGGCATTGTGAAAATATGGCCTTGACATTACAATATATCTATCTTGTCCACTCAAATCCCAAATCTGTAATTTTACTTCTTTGGTTCCATCATGATCCAATTGCATTTTTTTAAGAAAAAAGTCTACTCCAATCTTTGACATTTATAAATGATTAATATTAATATTTAGATCTATTTTAAAATATTTCCAAATACATTGATTGACATACAGTTGGTTTATGAGTTTTTTCCTTATCAAATGGAAAAGAACCATGAGTTAGTTTACTGACGATGGTTGTTTTGCCAACAGCAACTTGTCCAATCACCAATATTTTAAATGCTTCTGGAATAAAATCTTCAATTTTGAAAATGGTTGATAATTTTAATGATCGTCCAGCTCCCTGTTGGTGTTGTTGATCATTAGATTCCAATTCTTCTCTACTATGATCAATATATTTATTTAATGCCATTTTTTTCTTTTTCTTTTAATAAATTATTATTTTTAATTTTGTATTTTGGTATTATTTATGTTTAACAACAAATTAAAGAAAAGAATGGAATATAATATTATTATTATATGTGGATTCGTAAATATGCAAGACATAAATATAAATATATATATATAAAATTTAAATTTTGATGGGGATGGTGAGGAGAGAGATGGAAGGTTATTTTAATTTTAATTGGTTGATTGGTCTGTCTGTTTGTCTCCACTTGACTTGTTGACACAGGGAAACTAGGAGTAAAAGGTATTGTTGGTTGGTGCTGTTTTCGAAAAAACGAGAAATGGAAGAACGTCGTCGCGACTATAAATAAGTTCAAAAGGTGTAGGAGCAATCAAATAATGCAACATGCAGTAGTAGTATAGCCACCCTTTTTACTAGCGATGAACTGTTTAAAGGTGCGATAATGATAGATGTTGGGGATGGGGATAGAGGTTGGTTGGTGGGTGGGTGGAATATGATGAATATGGAAATGAGTTGGATGCTTATAGAATATTTGTATTGATGTTGTGATCGCCGCAACACTCTCAATCAATAGTGTTATATATGATGGTTCGAATTATATATGTTTTTTTAGTGTTATAAGACTATTCGTGTATTGCTAGAAGTAATAATAATAATAATAATTTAAGAGTGGTGATAATAAGAATGATGCGAGAATGAATGAATGAGTGATGGGGGTATTAGGGAGTTCAATGGTTTGATCGCACTGTGTTTTTGTTCATGTGTGGTGATGATGATCATGTAATGTTGAAGGGGGTGTGATGTCCAGTCCTCGAGCGAGAATCAATCAGCTGAAGTTGAACCTGATTATTTAAGAGGAAAGGATTGTATCTATACTAAAGATAGCATTATGAATTTTCTCGACCACATTACAACGCAGAGTAAATTTATCCGTTCCGGAAATTTAGAGTATTTTACTTCATCCCCTGGGAATCAAAAATATTTTGGTTGTTCGAACTTCCAAGCTTGCTCATTCATAATGATCAAGCGAATGAATCAATTGGATTGTTTATTAATTTATCACTACACTAAAGTTAAAACAACAACAACAACAATTACAACGATTACAATTGGAATGTAAAGAAGAAGAAGAAGAAGAAAGATGTACATTGGTCACCACCACCACCACATCTTCTTCATTTACTCATTAAATCATCATCATATCTTAGATCATCCAATAACAACAACAACAAGAGAATAGAATGATATTTCCTCCTGTTGGTGGTGATTCAATTCAATTCGATTGTTGTGTGGTGTAGTGATAAAACAATCACACCACACGATTAGGGTGTGAATGGTGTCTGTCCACGATGATACTAGCATTGGTAGGTTTTATTGGGTTGAGGTTTATGTGGATGGAAAGAAAACAACCAATGAACGTGAGAAGACAAGTAGAGTAAAACAATTCGTAGTAGTAGATTAAACCTTTTGTCTTGTATTTAAGTAGACTGACTGACTGTCTGCTACTGCTACTGTATAATATTATTATTATTGTTGGGATACTACTTTGACCTACTACTTTACTTGTTCTACTCCTTTCTTTTTCCTTTATCCGTCACCATTATAATATGTAATGTATGTATTATTTTTATCATCATCATCATTAACAACAACAACAACAACAACATCATCCTCATCCTCATCATCAATTAAAAAGTAAAACTAGATAATATTTTGTGTTTATATACACTACACCAACCTATAGTTTTTAGATATTAATCCAAATTTCCATATTTAATACATTATCGACTGCGCAGCTAATTGTGTGTAAGTTTGTGTGTACACGTGTGGTTACGATTTTTGTTATCGTTTTTCAAACAGAGTAGTATCACCCCCTCCTTCATATATATCATTGCTAAATACAACGGCAGAGAGAGAGAGACAAAGTGACAGGAGAGAGAGAGAGAGAGAGAGAGGAAGAAGATAACTCATCATCCAACAAACGTGCACGGTTACCTCTCTAATTGTTTCCATAATATTTACAAAAATTAATAATATTATTATTATTAATGTGAACCCCCACACATTAATAGAGTAGAATAATATTGTCTAGAAGAACATCATCGTCGCATTGACAACGATACGAATACAATATTCCAATTTAAAAATATCATCATCAAAATTTAAATATTAAATAGAAATAAACGGAATAATCATCCTGGTTAAAAAAATCAAAAGAAGGAATCAACTTGTTTGTACAATAACAACAACAACAATAATAATAATAATAATATTGGTGAATGATAATTTAATCTTTTAATCAATAGTAGATAGATAGAAAAAAATAATAATAATAATTTCCTTTCCATTTCAAAAAAAAAAAAAAAAAAAAGAGAGAGATAATTTAAATTAATATTATTTATCAACCATACCTCCTCCTCCTACTCATCCATTGTATTTTTAAAAAAATAATAATAATATTAATAATTTAAATTTAAAAAATAATAGAGAGTGTAGTGTAGTAATAATAATAATAATAATAATTAATTAATGACTCAAGTTCAATCTAGAATTTAAAGTTTCACTCTCATTCTCTCTCAATTTTGTGTTTGTTCAAACATATATATAAAGGTATTTACATTTACATTTTAAAATATTTATTTATTATTATTATTTCTTTATTCTAACTTTTTTTTTATCACGATGAACAACAACAGAAAACAACAAAAAAAACAAAACAATTTAATTTTAAATAATTATATTAAAAGAAAAATGGTATCAGGAGTAGGAAACAATCGATTGAGAAAGAAGTTTGTTTCTGATTTTTCATATTATTTTAATAATCCTGAATTGTCAGATATCACTATAAGTGTGGTGGGAGACCCATTGTCGGGAGGACTACCAACATGTAGTTCGCCATCAGCTTTGGATATGCAATCGTGCAAACCAGTATCCATCACCCCTTCACCCATCCAAGACTATGGAAGTAATGTCGTTGTCGAATCGTTTCATGCCCATAAGTTTGTCTTGTCTGCTCGTTCACCAGTCTTTATGAGAATGCTTTCATCAGCACTCATCGAATCCAAATCATCTACCATCATTACCCATTTCCCAAAAGAAACTATCTATAGTGTCTTGAAATATTTATATACTGGTAAAGCCGACCTAACCCCAACCACTGTCCTAGATATCCTATCTTCTGCCGATTATTATAGTTTAGAAGATTTAAAAGATGTAAAGAAAAAAAAAAAAGAAAAAAGAAAAACAAATCAAAAACAAAAAAAAAAGATATAAATATTAATATCTTTCTTTTATTTAATTTTAGTTTTGTGGATGGTATTCATTAAGAACATGTTTAGAAGGAGATGAAGAGATGGATATATGTAAAGTATTATATGCAGCAGAAAAGTTTAGAATGGAAAAGATTAAAAGTTTATGCTTTGATTATATCACTCAACATTCAATGGATATCCTCTTGTCGTCTCCCAACTGGCATTTACTGTCCGAGGAGAATGTTATTTGTATTCTTAGACAGGACAGTCTCCGTGTTCCAGAGGTTGAAATATTCGACTCTTTAGTTCGTTGGGCAAAGAAACAATATTCAATCCTAAGAGACATTTCATTTCAAGAATTTGATGAAATGGATTTCTTGAAAAGAAAATTACAAAAACCTTTACAAGTAAGAAAAAAAAAAAAAAAAAAAAATAGAAAACTCTCTTAAAAAAAAAAATATATTAATAATTATTATTATTATTTATTTACTTGTTTAGTGTATTAGATTTGCAAGTATGTCACCATACCAATTAAGTAATCATATTGAACCAACTAATTTGGTGGATAGTGAAATATTATTTGAATCGTATCGGTGTTTGGCGACGAAACAACAACCACGTCGAGAGTGTTTGGGAAGGTTGCGTGACGGTGTACAAGATTTTAGTTTTGTGACGTTGGGAGATACGAATGGAATTATGTATTATTTTGGGACGTTCAACGGGACACAGGAATTTGAAAACCCAGTTGCTAGACAATTGGCCAATGTCACGTCGTCGACTATGAGTATTGGATATCCACACCCATTCACAGGTCGAACACCAACCAACATGTATACAGACAAGCTAGACAATTCACATCTCACAGTAGAGTTGTCCAACAAGTATGTTCTCTGTCCATCCTACTACAGCATGCGATATGCTGGTGATAGTCAAGGATCAATATATGCGGCACCAAAGAATTGGAAGTTACTTGGATCACTCGATGGAGAGAACTGGGATTGTCTCAAAGATCACAAAGAAGATATCAGTCTCAAAGAAGGCTACTCGATCGCTGGCTGGGAGGTTGACTCTACACATTCATACCGTCATTTTAGAATTCAAATGACTGGTCCAAATCAACGAGATGGAAACGAACTGTGTGTTTGTTGTTTTGAAATTTATGGTCGATTGGTTAAACTAGAAGATGATTTTGATTATCTATTAAATCCAACTGAGGAAAATGAACAAGATCCATCAAATACAATCATTCAAGAGGAGCGACATGATGATGAAGATGATGATGAAAATCAAAATAATCAAAATCAAAATAATAATAATAATAATCAAAACAACGAAGAAATGAATGATAATCAAATGGATACTGATCACCAAGAAGAAGAAGAATAATAATAATCAAAACAGTAATATGTTATGACCATCGATAGAATAATTATGTATTTACACATTTATAAATTATATATATTTATACAAAAAATATTGAGTTTTGGAAATACATAAATGGTTTATTTCAAAGTTTATTTGAGATATGTTTATTACTTGTTGGTATAATGTGAATTGTGAAATAATAGTGGTCTAAATGAAGTATAAATGCGTTTCCATTTTTTTTGTTCAAACAAGTTGATTGGGAAAAAGTGTGTAAAATAATCTCTGATATTTTCCAATTCAAGAAAAAGAAAACTGTTCTTGTACTGGTTAACTACAATGAGATCACAGGGATTACCAAACTCTGTAATGAGTTCATTGAGGGCATCCATCATTTGGCTGGAATGGTATTTGACCAGTTCTAAAAGAAAAACAATATGGTTAGTTGAAGGTATTTATTTAAAGGATTGAAATATTACATACCATATTTACTTTTAATGAGACAGAGGTTTTTGTACAAATCAATTCCATGTAGGTGATTTCTCTTTGAATGATTCAAGGTCGGACAATAGTCGAAAAATCTTGGTTCTTAGAACCAACACAAAGGTTCTTAAAGTTGTCCAGCCAATCTTTTGTGAGTTTGGGGACCAGTTCTTTGGATCTATAATGAGGTAGGAAGGAAATAAATGTCTAGACAAATATGAGGAAAATATATCTCTTACTGGTATTTTCCCATGTTTGCTTTGAAGTTGTTGAACTCATAGTTCTATAACAATGATGATAAATAAAGTAATTAATTGCTAAGTGACTTTTAAAGACAAATACTAACAATTATAACTACCGAAAAAAATAAAATAAATAACAAAAACAAACATCAACTAGATTCCCCATCATCAATAAATGAAATATTAAATTATTTTTAGTTTTCTTTTAAAGTACTTCATTTTTTATTTTTATCAAACGGCAATAAATTCAAGAATTAATTAATTAATCATTCAGTACAACATCAGACATGAGAGTGATAACCGATCAGGCATATCATAAGGAGTAAAGGTGAAGATAAATGAAAGATTGCAACAAGTTCTTGGCAACAAGGATTGTTTAAACATCTACATTTGACATGCATTAAAATAATGAAAAGATTGGATAGCACAATAAGGAACATACAACATCTATTCTTTAAATTGAGTGATCTTTATTACTTTTTTAGAGGGAATAAGGATATAGATTGTATAGACATAGACATAATAATATTATTATTTAGTTGTGGAGGTGGAATGGTAGGTAGGTAGGTGGGTACTTAGAGAGAACGGTATTTCCATTCATAACGAGCTTTTGGAATCTCAAAGACTTCCATAAAAAAATAGGTCACCACTACTCCAGAAATAAAGAGTGATGCCAACAATAAAAGTAATTCAAAACAAGTACCACATACACCTAATTTGTCAGAGAGCTTTGTCATTCTTTGATTTCTTGGACTACGAAAATTAACCGATAATTACAGATTATAAGAGGGTAGAGATAGAAGATTGAAATGTTTATTTGTTAGTAAGGGCCTAAAAAATAAATATTAATCTTTAATATAAAAAATAATGTATCAATCTCGAGTTGAACTATAAGATAAATTTTTAAAAAAGAAACACAATCTCATCAATAAAATAAACTAAAAGTTTGGTTGGTTGATTACTATTTAATAATGATGTCAGGGCGGACAATAATAATAAACAAGCTTCACATGTCAATATCGATATCAATATTATTTCTCTCACTACCACCACAACATCCATGACCACGACCACTGTATCCATCACCATAGAATATTATTATTTTAAGATCGAAATTGGAGAGATGGTGTTAATAGTTTCTTGTCTGACTTTTGTTGTTTGATTGATAGTTTTTAAAAATAATAAGAATTATAATAATACCTAGTTGTAAATTCAAATTTGAATAGTAATAATAATAATAATATTTAGTTTGAAATTTATTTTATAAAGAGGTATGAACAATATTTTTTCATTAAAATCCAATCAAAAAATCTTACCAATTATTAATTTATTTCTTAAATTAGAAATATAAGTTCCTCTTTTCGTTCATTCTGGGGGTAGCAATGTGTTTTACCGCAATGACTGGAATTTATCAAAAGTTGTTTCTCCCCTATTTCATGATCGTTGTCAAAAGTATTATTAAAATATTCAAAACTCTCTCTATTATTTGTTTTATGAATACTAATTAATTACTTAATTTATCTTTTTTTTTTTTTTAAATTTAGAAATCTTCCAAACTATCTCCAATTTAAATGAAACAGTTTAAAGTTATTCAGATGTATCAAGTAATTCTGTACACTCTTCTATCCAATGTGGTTGTCGTCATGGATGTTGTGGTGCATGGCAGTTTGAGAAATAATATTGATATCGATATTGACATTGTTGATGTTTGTTTGTTTGTTTGTTTGTATAGGCAATTCATTCTGTAAATCAATCCACGATCAATAAATATAAAAAGATTAATCTGTTCTACGGTATAGTATTATTATTTCCTAGAATTAATTAACAATATTGTTTTCAAAAAAGAGCGGGAACTTTGAGTTCTTTTTGACACACTTTTCATATCTATCTTTCCGTCTATTTACATCCTTTAATTTATTTATAGTATAATGTACTATGAGATATCGACATTATGGAAAATGTAAAGGATAATCACAATCAATTACAACTACTTTTACCTGTTCAACAGCAACAACAACAACCATTGGTAGTAGTTGTAAATGAAGGTGAAGAAAGCTTTCAATTTGATTTCTCAAGTGATAAGAGTTTAAACAATAACAATAATAATAGTAACCAAAGTAATAATAATAATCATAATAATACTACTACTACTACTATTAATAATCAATCATTTAATAATATACTTTCAACACCAAAAGAGTTTATTAAAAAGATTGCAAGAGTAGAAAAGAAGTTAGATAGATTCGAGAAAAAGTATCTTGAAAAGGCAATCATTGTTAATCTACATCAAAGAGATAATCATAATCATAATCATAATAATAATCATAGTAATGATACGAGTCGTGACAATAGTATAGTGATTGATGAATCACCAATAACCCAAAAGAGAAAGAAATTAAAAACTGATCTTTTGCCACCTCTTTTCTTTTCCACTCCTCATCTACCTCCTCCCATTCAAGCAACGACAATGACAATCGATGGTGATGGTGAGGAGATCGAGGATAAGGAGGAAAAGGAAAAGAGGAAAAGGATTGAAGAGGCAGAATCGGCAAAGATAATAGAAGAGGAGTTGAAAAGAAAAGAACAATTGGAACAGGAGAAAAGACAACTCAAAGAGAAAATGGTACGATTCAAAGATCAGTTGGTACAAGAGCTAGCAGTCAAGTTTCCAACCACCAGACTCAAAGAAGATGAATTACGTGGTTATGCATTCAAAGGGTTCATATCTCCATTTCCAGGTGCATCTGACCCTCAACCACATTATGGACTCATCCGATCAAAAGAGATTGTACCACGAGTCATCACAGAGACATCATATGATTGGTTTAAATCGTTGTGGGCAACTCAAGTTCATTTCTCGTATTGTCTAGTCTACCAATCACATCTTCCACTTTCATCATCACCTCTTCTCGAACTAGTAGGTGAAGATGAAATATCATTTCTTCCAAAATTGAATCATGTCGTTGGTATTTGTATATATATTGAAACAACAGGAAACATTGTATATTATCTACCACTTAATAATCCTCAAGAAAAGAGTGTAAAATATCAAGTAACTAAAACTGGAAAATTAAATCATATAAATGATCCACTACAACAACAACAAATTACAACAAATACAACTACTGCTATTGTCGTTGCCAATAATCATAATAATAAACCAATAATAATAGATCAACAAAATAATACAAATGAATTTCTAGAGAAATGTAGAATATTAACAAAAATAATAATGGAAAATCCAAACTCTTATAAATATTTATATAATTGTAGAGCTCAAATTAAAATGTTAATGAGCATGGATATTCATGGTATGTTAACAAAAAAATAATAAAAAAAAAGAATCAAGCAAAGAATTAACCTTTTTTTTTAAGTTAAAAAAGGAATAATGGATCCTAGGGTTGGGGCATGGTTACTTGATCCTGATAAATATAAAGATACAACATTGGATACTCTTGTTAGAGAGTTTAGTCAAGATAAAAAATTATCTACAAATGTTGATGAATTAAATCATTATGATAGATCATTTCATCATGTAAGACAAAAAAAAGAAAGAAAAAGAAAACAATTTCTAATTAATATCTTTTTTTGATTTAGTGTTATAGATCATTTGTTTTAATGAAACAATTATTTACAAGATTTCATTTTAATAGAGATTTGTATAAAATATTTAATGAAATGGAAATGCCATTATTGGTTATATTGGCAAAGATGGAGTATAATGGAATTGGGTTTGATGATGCGACTTGTCAAAATACAAAATATGAAGTACTCCAAAAACTACAATATATTGAAGTCAAGGCAAGATTGATGGTTCCTGACTTGAAATTTTCAATGTCTAGCAAAGAGGACATGTCAAATATCCTTTACAATGTTTTGCGTGTGGTTGATATTCCAAAGGCAAATAGAGGTAAAATTGTGAAAAGACATCATTCTACCAAGGCGGCTATACTCGAAGCAGTCCCAGAGGAAAAGGCTGCATTTCCGAAAATGTTGATCGAATGGAGAAAGTTGTCACATCACCTGCTCAACTATGTTCATGTATTATTTAAATTTGGTTATTACAATCCAGATTACGAAATGATGAGAATTTATACAACCATCATGCAAACAAATGTTCCAACTGGTCGTCTAGCAATGACTTATCCAAATTTGCAATCCATTGCCAACGCATTTACTTTTCGTGAATCTCCCATTTCATTTAGTGATGTATCTACCAACAATGTTAGCAAAGCATCTTCAAGTGCTTCACAACATTGTTCACCTCCCTATGATCATCATAATGTTACAGTTGATTATTCCCCTTCCCCAAATGAAAGTAAAAGTATTGGTTCTTTAAGTGTAAATATAAAAAAAAAAAAATTAAAAAGATCTAAAAAAGATTTAATATTCATTTTCATTTTTTTTTTTAGACTTTAGAATTAAAAGAAGATAATTGTAGATTAATTACAGTTAGAATTAGAGATTCATTTATACCAAGAAAAGGTTATTTATTTTTATCAGCCGATTATAGTCAAATTGAATTAAGAATTTTGGTAATTACAAAATATTATTAATCGTGATTAAATATTTATTAATATTAATACTTTTATCTTTACTTTAGGCACATTTATCAGAAGATAAATTATTATTGGATGGATTAAATAATCCAGATTTTGATTTTTTTAAAACCATGTTTGTTCAAATGAACAAAGGTACGAGGATAGAGGATGTAACTGCAGAGGAAAGAGATATAGCAAAGGAATTATGTTATGGTATTCTTTATGGCATGGGAACTTGGAGTTTGGCAAACAAATTGGACCGGGACGAAAAGGAAGCCAGAATATTAAAAGAAAAATTGTACAACACCTACCGCGATTTAATCAAGTATATTGATAGTGTCAAGAAACGGTACCATCAAGTAGGATACGTCGAAACATTTTATCATAGAAAGAGATTTCTAGACAACAACACTAGAGACAAGGTAGAGATTGAAAAGGAGAAAAGAAAGGCCGTCAATTCTATTCCACAAGGAACAGCTGCCGATATCATCAAACAAGCAATGATATCAATTGACCGAATCTTTGAAGAACAGAAAACACCTGCATTGATGGTACTCCAAATCCACGATGAACTTTTATTTGAAGTTCGAGAGGATTGTATCAAAGAGGTCGCAATCCTTGTTAAAAAGCAAATGGAAGGAATCAAATTTTCAGATATAGTTTCAATTCCAGTTAAATTGGCTATTGGTACTAGATGGGGATCTTTAACTCCTTTTACAATTTAAATTAAATACAAATACAACTATTTATTTTCTAATATTAGAGTTTTTATAAAAAACAAATTGTAGATCTTGGTAATATTGGTCTGTTTCATAACTCCAAGCCCTTATGGGTACCCTTGAGGCACAGTCAAATTGTTTACTGAATCGGTTCATAAATTCTTTTACAACATCACCGAGAATGACAGAATCCCCATTGAGGGTAATTCTTTGTTTGAGTTTGAATTTGTAAAGTGTTTTGGTTTCTCTCAGAAATTTGTCAAATACACTTGGTTCTTCCAATTGTTTTGAAAAGATTGAATTTTCTTCTTTGGGTGCAGAAATATAAAGTGTAGACAGAGTAGTATTTTCCAACAAGCAGTTTGAGAAATACTTTGACACTTTAACTGGTGTATAGGGACTAGAGTTTGAATTATAGTTGAATGACATGTCCAAAAAGGATAGGCATTTGCTTTGAACAAGTACCTTTCCAATACTGTCCATCAGTGTCGGACAAGAGACTACCAAAGAGAGTGATCTTAGACTGTTAAAGGATTGAGAAAAGTCAAAAGAAATCAAAGATGTTGAATAGGTCAATACCATCGACTCTATTATGTTGGACAGTTCTATTTGAGAAAATGATGGTAGATTGTTGGTTTGACATTGAATATTCCAGTGTCGAATCGATGGATGTGTTTTCATTGTTGAAAGAGACTCTTGCATGAAATAGCCAGATGCCCTCTGTATGGTTTTGTTGGTTTGAAGAAACTCGTTGTATGCTTTGTAGCCTTCGCGAATCCATTGAGTGCTGCCTAGTACTTCAAACCTTTTCAACGACTTGAACTTTGCTATTAATTTTAGCAGTTCTCGAGAGAATGGAGGCAAAATTAATTGTTCCAAGTTGTCTTGTAGAGGCTCGATCGAGAGAATGCTTGCTATTTGTTCATCATATTTTCCAGCAATCGTATAAAAGGCCAATTTTTTTAGAGTAGGGGTATTCAACTCTACCAATTTAACCAGCTCCTTGTCAATGCTGATCGAAATGACCAATGTCCTAAGATGGGTAAATGGTATTGCTCTACTACCTGGTAGGAGACGACGGATGATAAGCTTTTCAATGTGATGAATAAGTTGACCATAGTCGGTTGTAATAAGTTCATAGAATCGATCCACCTGTTCCAAAGAGTGACAATAGACTATTCTTTTGATGATTGGTATCAGATCGGTTATTGTCAGCTTTTGATCAGACTGATATCTTTCAATAGCTTCCTTTAACAATAATAGTTTATCTGAATCTGAAGGTGGAGATTGTGATTTAATACAATATTTTGAAAGTGTTCCTTGAATAAACTTATGTTCATTAAAAGGTTCAAATGTAATATGTATTTGTTTATAATACTGTTTTACACGATTGAACCACCTCCATGATACCATTGAACACCTTTCAATCTCTTCTATTACCAATTCACAACCTCTAATGTATCTATCAAAGATATCGTTTTGAATATAATGTGGTAATATTGAAAATGACATTATCTTATTATTTGTTTGAATGATCATCATTAAAAAAAGTAGATGATATATTTCTTTGCTCAAAATCCACAACAAAAAATCTAAAAAAATAAGATAAGAATATAGAAATTATTATTTACAATTACATTTATTATTAGATGAATGTATTTTTGTTATTTTTTAAAATTTGACAAAAGGGATCTATTCTCTTTGTTTTGAGCCAAAAGAGAACTTAATAATTTACTTGGACCATCCTTTTTGCGCGGTGAAGGTGGTTGTGAAGGAGTGTTTGCCGATTGTTTAATGACAATTTGGACCTTGGTATCCTTTTCAGTTGGTAAATGATTTAAAAGGGTTCCAATCTTTTCACTAGTGACATTTCTTTGAATCAATTTCTCCTTTAAAAGATTTGTAGTGGTACGAGTAGTTGAAATGGGTGCAGGATGGTTACTACCACTTCCATTGAGTGAAGATGATAATTGTTGTGAATTTGAAAGTGATGAGGATGTTGAGGTTGGAATAGCCAACACTCCATTAATATCATTTGAATGGTTGACATTGTTATTATTTGCTTGCTTTTTCAATATTGATTTAAGAGTTGGTGGTTGAGGTGGTGGAGCCATCATCGTACTACTTGATAATTGTGATGAAATTAATGACATTGTCAAACTATTATTATTACTATTATTATTATTATTTCCATTATTATTTTGTTGTTGTTGTTGTTGTTGTTGTAATAAATTATTTAATGATTTTTCCAAATCAATATTTTTAAATTTAAATGTATTATATTTCTTCTCGACGTCTCTTAATTCGGCTTGAAGCTTTTCCATCTTTCCATAGTGTTCATCTTCCAATGTCAATATTTGTTCATCACGTTGACTCAAATCCGCCTTGCATTGTTCCAATTCAGTTTGTAATTGTTGGATCGATTCTTGAAGACGTGATTCTGATTTGGTGGCAGCTTGTTTTAATTGTTGTTGGATCTGTTGGATTTGGTGTTCCTTTTCGAGCTGCGACTCTTTAATCCTTTTAGTGACGACTGATTCGTGGTTTGACTGTGCATTGTTGATCTTTTCATTGAGGTCTTTGATGGCATTACTCTTTTCTTGCTCCATCTCCTTTCCAACTTTAATGGATCGCTCCAACTCTGATCTGAGTTGGTCGATCGTTGCAGACAACTCGACCTTGTCTTCACGCAACGAAGCACAAGTGTCATCGAGCTCGTCGATTTCTTTTTCCAAGCCCTCTCTCAATTCTACCAATTGTCTCTCCAACACGGTGATGATTCCATTGTCTCCTTCCTTGTTGGATTTGATCTCAACCTCTAATCTTTCTCTTGACAGTTTCTCCTTTTGGAATCGGTCTCTTTCTCTTGTAACATTTTCCTGTTCCACTATGACACGTTGTTTCTCTGCTTCCAATTCCTTTGCAAGTCGTTCTAGATCGACCTTGATTGATTCTATTTCGAGTTTGGCATTGGATCTCTCCTTTTCCACCGACTCTTGTGCCATCAATGCGTACTCCTTTTCCTTGACCAATAAAAGTGCCAACTTTTGACGTTCACTTGATTCATGTTCAACAGACAATTTCATTTCTTGGATTGAAAAGTTGGATTCTGCAAGTTGTTGACAAATAGCATCACGTTCACTATCTACGACATTGATGACCTGAATCTTTTCTTGAACTTCGAGTTGTAATTTCTCAATCTCTTTTTGGAGATTATTTTGTGAGCTTTGTCTTTGCGAGTCATGTTGAGCTATCTGTTCCTTGGCCAATTGTATCTCCTTTTCAAGACGGATCTTTTCTTGTTCAAACTTGGTATTGATCTCTTCGGTGGCCATTTGATATTCCATTTCCTTTTGTTTGGTCTTGAGTTCAGCTTGTTTCACTTCTACTTCACGATCCTTGTATTGTGATTGTAAATTGGTCAACTCCTTGTCCAATGTACTTATCTTTTCATTGGCAACCTTTGACTCCTCGGTATTGCGTTGGGCTTGTTGCTCTTGTTCAGAGATTGTAATCTTTGATCTTTCAATTTGACGTTGGAATTGTTCGATTTGTTTGTTCAAACCAGAGATGGTAGTATTGAAATCTTTGGTACGATCGGTTGATGTCTTGCTCGAGTTTCTAAGCTTGTCCAATTCCTTTTCCAAGTCACCTGTGAGTTTCTTTGATTCCTTGTTTTCTCTTTCAAGTGTTGCCTTTTCAGATTGTGCTGTCAAACGTTCTTGTGTCAACACCTTTACCTTGGTCTCTAAACTAGTATTCTTTTCTTTCAACTTTTCATTATGTTTTTTCAATAATACCAATTCTGAAGAAGTGTTGTTCGAGGAGGAGGAGGAGGAAGAGATTGGCATTGTTGATGGTCTAATCTTTGATACTGGAACCTGAGTTGGTTGTTTCATTTTTAATTTTGCAATTTGATCTTTCAATTCTTGAATTTCTTCTTGACTTGATGCTTCCAAATCATCCTTTTCCTTTTTAATTTGTTGCATTTGATCCAATAAACCTTGATGATCAGTACGTTTATGATCCAATTCACGAATAGTAGAATCCAATATCAATTGTAATTGAGAGATCCTTGATTGGCTTTCTCCTTCTTTTTTTTGGTTGCTACTATTTTGTTCATCTTTTGATTTTTGAGCTTCCAACCTCAATTGTTGATTATTCTCCTTTAATAAACTATTATTCTCCTTTAACAGATTATTATCCACTGCAAGTTGTTGTTTTTCCAAGGTTAGTTGTTGATTATTATTTGTTAAATTATTAATTGTTTCATTATTATCCAAAACCATTTTAGATTGTTGCTCCAATTCTTTTTCAACTAGAACAAATTTAATGTTTAGTTGTTTTAAATTATTGTCCAATTCTTGATTATTGGCAAGTAATTGGTTGCATTCCAATTTGATTGATTGATTGGATTGAATGACTTGATCATTCTCAACTTTGACTTTATCAATCTCCATCTTGACTTGATCAATCTCCATCTTGACTTGATCATTATCAATTTTGACTTGATCTCTTTCCATCTCCAAGAGATGGTTCTTTTCTTTTAATAGATTATTATCATTTTTAAACTTTTCGACGATTGCATTGAGTTCTACTTTGAGCTTTTGGTTGTTTTCTGCAATTTGAACAAACTCTTGTTTGTGTTTGGTGATTTCATTGTCCTTTTCGAGATTCATCTTTGTGAGCCTCTGATCAAACAATTCGACCATTTCCAAATGTTTTGATATTTGTTGGTGGCTGTCGGCCAGTTGGAGGTGGAGATGATCGATGGTCTTTTGTTGCTTGTCGAGTTGACTGTTGATTTGTCCATCAAATTGCTTTTGTTGGAGGTCGAGTCGTTGCTGGAGATGGGTCATCTCTGACAAATGTTGGTTACACAGGGTCTGCTGGTCACTCAACTTTTTCTTGGTGCCCTCTAGTGCAATGGTCAATTTTTCTTTTTCCTCGTGGTCGAGACAAACACCCGTGTAGAGCTGGGCAAATTGTCGATTTTGCTTGTCGAGTTGATCGACCATTTCAGAGAGTCTTTGATTATCTTCAATGTATCCATCAATCTGTTCCTTGACGGGTGAAAAGAGTGCGTAGAAACTATCGATTTGTTCTTTGAGTTTGGACACAGTTTCAAGTGATGAACGGTGTCTATTGTCCAATCGGTGGTTTTCTTGCTCCAAATTTTGATAGGTTTCGCTAAACGTCTCCAATTGTACTTCAAAACGTTGTCGTTCGTCTCTCCATTCATCCTCTTTTTCTCCGGCCATGCAATACACCTTTTTGATAGTTGTAATCATCTTTTCTGTATTTTCACAACTAGCGTCATAGTCGTGAGAGACTTGGTCGACCATTTGTTGTAATTGTTCGTTTTCATCGATTGCTTCGTTGAGTGATTTCTCCCATTCGTCGATTGTTTCAATAGTCAGTTTCATATCGTTTCTGAGTGTTGTCAATTCTTGATCACGCTCTGTCAACTTGGTCTCCAAGAGATCGACAACCTCTGAATACTCTGTCGACATTTGTTTGGTGGTACATAGTTCTTGATCGAGTTCACCCAATTGACTTTCAAGTACAGCCACAGTTTGTTCATTCTCTTCGATAATTTGTTTGGTAATTGAATTGGTCAAATTCAACTCGTCATCCTTTTCAATCAACTTTCTTTCCAACAGTGTGATGATATCGGTACACTCTATAGTAATCTTCTTTGTTTCATCCAACTCCTCTTCCAATGCCACTACTCTACTATTTAGTTGATTATTTTGTACAATAATCGCTGGTAACTTTGGAAGTTCCCAATCCAAATGAATCTTTGTATCTAAATGATCGGTTTGTTGTTGTTGTGAATTACTAGTATTTGTTGGTTGCCATGTATCTCTTCTTTTGGCTTTCTTTTTTGGTTGTTTGATCACCTTGTCATTGTCAATGTCTTTTGAGTTTTGGTCAGCTTCGTATTGATTACCAACACTAGTGTCTTGAACATCAACATTTAATAGTTTACTCAACTCTTTGAAATACTTTTCCTTGGTTTCCTTTTTTTCAAGTTGTTGTTGAGCCAATGCAAATTTTAGATGAGCGATTTCATTCTCATACTTTTTCAAAGTTTCTTGGTTAATAGCAGCCAACTTGTTTCCATCTGAAAAGGTGTTGATCCGATAATTGGTCTTTACATTCTTGGCACGTTTGGCAAAATTCAATGTACTCAATGATTCATCCAAATGAACGGCAGATGGAGTAATCGTACATATAATGGCCGTCTTGCTATTACCACCCAAACTTGATTGTAATATACGTGTTAATTTACTATCACGATATGGAATATGTTGATTATTATTATTATTATTTGAATTATTATTATTATTTGTCAATGTTGAAGCAGTAGTAGTAGTATTTATCGTTGTTGTTGTTGTTGAAGTAGTTGTATTATTAATAGTTGTTGTTAAATTATTATTGTTATTAAGAGAGGAATCACTTAATTTTGAAATGACATTACTAAGAGCCATCAAACTTTTGTTAATATGTGTTCCTTCTTTTAATCTGACACCTTCTGCACCAGTTTGACTTTGTCTTTCTGAACCTGCAAGATCTACCAATGTCAACACGGATATATAGGTGGTTGTACTACTACTACTATTTGATTTACTTGATTTTAAAGTTCTCTTGTTATTTGTATTGATACTACTGGTAGATGCTCTACCGACAGCAGTATTACCACTCCCACTACCATTCGTTTCGGTACTACCTTCATTACTTTCTATATACATTCTAAAAATAGTATGTGATCTACTACTTGTTTCATTCATATTGGTTGAACCAATATGACGCTTTTCCTCACCCTGGGCAAGGAGTGCTAGGATTTGGTCTGGACTATCGACCATCTCTTCTTTGAGACCGGCCACATAGACCATTCTATCGCCATCTTCTTGTATCTTTAATTTCTGTTTCTGTTTTGTATTGTTGAGTAGATCTTTAATCTCTTCATTGTATATTTCCAAATAGGATACACGTAATGTGAATTGTCTGTCATTATTTCGTTGAATATGATCAAATATATATCTAATGGAAAGTGGTATAATACCAGGATTTCCATCACATCCTTTCATTGTATGTGTTTTACCACTTGATGTTTGTCCTATAATTAAATAAATAAATAAATAAATAGATATTAATATTACTCTATGGCAATCACGTATATATTAATACTCTATTTACTTACCATATGCAAATATAGTTCCATTAATCCCTTTTAGGGAAGAGTCAACAATTTCCTTTGCTATACCATCAAATACATCAATTGTATTTGAAGTATCACCAAAAACAGAATCTATTTAAATATATAAAAGATTAGATTGGTTAGTAAATTATGAATAACCTTATTCATTCATTCTTATCTTTAGTTTGTATACAATACATACCATAGAAAAAGGTAGATAGAATTGCATTTGATTTAATGTGAGATATAGAGTCTGAAGTCATCACCCATGGTATCGATTGTTTATCATTATTATTATTATTATTATTGATGTTATGATTACTTATTGGTCTAACTCTAATAGACACATTAATCTTGTTGTCCTTTGGTTTTGTAGTATTAATATTATTATTATTATTTGTAGTTGATAGTTTAGATTGCGCTAATCTGATGTCACCGACATTATTGCTTGTTGCTGTTGTTGTTGCTGTACTAGTACCTGATCTAGTCGAATGTCGACGTGTATTATTATTATTATTGTTTAGAGTATCCATCATGTATCTCCCTATAGGTTCATGATTGGTTGTTATTTCAAAATACTATTAAATTAATTTTGAAGGGATTTAAGGTTCAGTTTAACATTTACTTCGTCTTTGTGTGTGAAAATCATTAAAATATTTAGTTTTAAAAAAGGCGGGAAATTTAAATTACAGGCACTCAATTGTGGATATTTGTTTTAAAGGATATTACAATTATGATTTATTATGGATGGATTGTTTAGAGAACATAACAAAATATCTATTCAGTTAGATTTAATGTTGTGTCGGTTCATCTTGTTGATGTTGTAAATGATCATTTGCCTAGGCGGTCAATTGTGAGTGACAAACCACTCATAATATGTGTCACATGATCATAACATCCATATTTCAAAGTGAGTGCTACCTCTTGATCGATATGTTCTGATTGACAAGATAAAGCAAAATCATTGTATATCTGTTTGGCCTTTTCAATCTGTTCTTCTTTTGTTTTTGAGGGCAAGTAGATTGAAGCAGGTGTATACCCTCCACTAATACTCTCTTGTATCAATCTTTGTATCTCGCGTGCATATGCAATCGAGTTTGTTTCCAATAATAAAACAGCTAATAAACATTTGGCTTCTGGGTTTCCTTGAGCTACTGATCGTCTGTACCATGACTCTGCTTGTGACAAATCCTTGACAACACCCAACCCATCTCTATACAATGTACCAATATCTACTTGAGCATATGATGATCCAGTCTCATTTGCAACTTTTAAAACAAATCTGAAAGCTTCCTCTCTTTTTAAAACACTGTCGGTGGTGTCATTTGTTTTCCGGGTTGTACAACTCGAAATATTATAATAAATAGTTCGGTAGGCAAGAGGATGACCCATTTGATGAGCTTGTTCTATTGCCTTGATTCCCTTTTCAGTCTTTTCAGATTTATGGTTTAGTTTGATGATACCATAGCGATAGTATGCTTCGGGAATATTATATACTGTCATGGCCTTTTTAAGAGTCTTGACTGCTTGTTTAGATCCTCCTCCGAGTGGATTGGCTAGTTGAGCAACAGCAAGATCGCAAAAATATTCAACGGGAATAGTACGATCGAGATTAAACAAAGATGTCTTGCCGAGTAATTTAACGGGATCGACTGCTACCATATCAGGAGTATCCATTCTCCTCTCCACTGTAGCATATCGGTGTAAATGACATAGACCGAATAGTGCAAAGTGAAGATAATGGTATTCGGGCACATAATAGTCTCTAAAGAGATCATAGTAATACATGTCTGCTTTAAACCCATGTTGTTCTGGCTCATACAAAGATTTCATACTGATGCCACCAAAATTCTTTACACCGTTATAGTCTCCGCAAGCAGCTTGTAACATGGATAGTGCAGTCACGTCAATATTACTACCTCTGAGAGATACGGGGAGGCGATCAGACATACGTACAATGTGGTATGGTAGTAACCCACCTTTCATCGCCTTTAGAGTACACTTTAAAAGTATGTCATATGCCTTGTCCGCGTCCATTGGTATGTTGTTGTAACCAATGTAATGGCAATTGGCAAGTTCCATGGTGGCAAGGTCTACACCCGCCTGTGACGCTGTCACAAAGCTGTCGTATGCTTGCTGTGGCATACCACGTGCCTGACACATCAAACCGTAGTAATAGGTTGCTTTGGGGTGTCCCTTGGCAGCTGCCTCTCCCAGCAAACGGAAACAATGTTCCTTGTTGTTGACATGGTCTTGGAGGAGCACAGGAACTGGACTAGTAGGATATCCAACTCTAATCTCACCAATAGTATTGATGTTTACACGTTCAACGCAGTGGTAATGGTATCGTGCGAGATAGTACTTGGCCGACAGGTTTCCTTGTTCTGCGGCACTAACCAACATCTCGTATCCGCGATCATATGATGATGATGTTGATGACTGCGAGAAATAGTAGTACATAGAGATACGTTGTTTCTTTCTTTCGTCTCTGTGATCAAACCTCTCCTTTAGGTATCTACCACCGAGCAATGCCATGGCACCAAGATGGTTCTGGGTAGCTGCGCGGTCGAGCCATTTATAGGCTCTCTTGCCATCACCCATTTTAGAGATAAATGTGTCAAGTTGTCCTTTTGATTTAGCAATACTTGTTGTTCCATCAAACTTTCTCAAATAGTATCTAGCCACACGATACTGTGCCTCTGGGTCACCCAACTTGGCAGCTTTTTGAAAGTTATCAAATGCCTCTACATCATGTCTCTGACTAGTGCATTGCCATGCTTTATCCAAGTATTGTTGTACTATAATAGTACATTATATATAACATATATATGTAGTTAGTATCTATCATCTTTCCAATATTCATAATATTTCCTCTTACTTTTTAATTTTACTTTATCATTCATTTCAAAATTAAAGTAGTATAGTTGATTGTGTCGTACGATCACATCATTAAATAAAGTGCTTATTATTTAGTACTAGATATTCTCTTTACAATAATAATGTCATTATTATTATTACTATATTTAATTCGGAATGAACAAAGAATAGAATCTATCATCTAACCTCTGCACTGACTGGTGTGTAACAACAAATTTAATCTTTTTATTTTTTTGAAGACATCCAATATTTTTTAAAGTTATAATCATTCATGGCTTCAACAACTACAACAACCAAAGATGATGATAGTAGTAGTAGTAATGTTTTAATGGTTGCACTAAGACAGATACTAGTACACAACAAATACATATCATTCCTCATATTTCAACATGTTGTAAACATACACAAACACATCAATCTGTATCGTCTGGCATCAGACTTTGATTGCCAATACAGATACAAATACGATCAACTGACACTCGAGTTTTGTTTACGAAACAAATACCTTGCTATCATTAAAGAAAAGATTACTTTACTCGAATACAACAACAACAACAACAACAACAACAACATTGATAATAATAATAATAGTCAACTACTACCAACTAGTAAAGAGATTGAATTCTATCAATTCTTTAATCCATCACATTTTCATACATGTCTAAGACTGTTGTGTCAATTACCTGGGTTGGACTTGGAATCGTTTGTACTTGTTTTCAAGTGTATGACTGTCAGTCTGCCTGAATCGAGTTTGGCTGCAGACGTACCATTTTGGGTGTCAAGAAGTCAATGCACTCAGAGAATGAAATGGTGTATCGATCAATTCCCAGCATTCTTTGACCACATTGATGATATATCGAGATCACTTAATGCTGCAATCGAGAGTTGTGGGTTTGGTGAAATGACAGTCTTCCTTCTCAAACACATTCGAACCATCAGACCTGCATTCACCTCCCACCAGGCATTGATTAAAATAACGTCTCTACATTCACCAGACTACACCTCTCGTGTCTTGGATTTAATGCCCAACATTATATTGGCCAACGCAACCGAACGAGTCAGTGTCTTGCTCTGTGGAAACATACCAGTCATCAACAAATACAAAACCATAGCATTGGACGATCAACCACTTCCCATTCAATTGACATATCTCTATCAACTGGTTGTAAATCAACAGATATTGGAAAGAATAGCCAGTGATAGTGGCACAGACTACATTGAAATACTGAAGAGGCTACTCTATAAAACAGTAGAGATGAGATGGTCAAATACACATGCATCATCAGGAACACAACGATTAAAAACAAATATATATGATCAATTCTTAAATTCAAAGTTATCACAAATTGGATTTAATCAAGATACTACCTCTACATCCTCTTCTTATCCATTTACAAAGTGGCAATTGGATTTATTACTCATTTACTTTTTATATTATGAATTGGAGGATTTGATAACTGTAAATGTTTCATGTTTGGCATTTGCTCCACAAAAGGGTATAGTTCATCTACTATGTCTAGTTGACAATGATGCGATGAAGATACATCACGTCTTGCACAACAAAAAATCAAAAGAACATCTATCACAAATGCTTTTAGAGACGTACCAAACGATTACGAGTTGGGAGGATAAAGAGACAAGATTAAAGACAGTTGATATCATTCTAGAATGTTTGGATTTCTACACACATGGATACTCTAGAGCATTTGTAAGGACGTGTCTCAGTCTTGGTCAAACAGATATTATCAACATGTATAGATCAAAATTGGATTTAAAACAGAGTGATCTTCCAACAGACGATAGATACTACAATCATGCCTACCTAGACAAATACATTGAATTGGGACTCACGTTTACAGATCAACCAGACTACTCATTTCTATTTTGGAGTAAAATATGTAAAATGGCTGCACGTCTAGATCGAAAGGATCTAATTGATCTATATTTGGAACGGTCTCTAAAGGTCAATCTACAATCAAATATTCTAGAGGTTAGTGAAGAGAATAAACGTATTGCCATTTGTAGAGAAGCCATGATAATGGGTAACTTTGCACTTGCCGAGCAACTACAACTAGACACCGGACAAAACCATGGTTTTATTGGTCGATTCATATTGAAAAATGAACCATTTACACATGGAGTAGATGCAATCAACTTTATAAAGAAATGGGGTGGTGTTGGTGATGGTAATTCAATTTCACCATCATTGATTCCCGATGCCATCAAATTGAATCGTATCGATATATTGGTGGAATTGGAAAAGATTGGCTTACTTAAAGATAAAATTGATATATTTCAAGAGGTTGTTGACAATACCTCTTTCCTATCAATCTGTTTGGACAAACTCAATCCACTGTCATTTACAAAGATACTATCTATACCGGAATGGGGTAAAGTAATTAAAAAGGCAAAGAGTAAAAATAGATACAACCAAGTTTCAAAAGTAATCCGTAAATATTTTACATTCCATTACAAAGATCATCTACAGGCTCGATCACAATCAAATGATAAAAGTCTTGAATTTATATTTAATAAGATTCAATTAAAATAAAATAATTAATAATTTAATTAAATAAATATATTTGTATTATTATTAAAAATAGAAAAAGATAACTATCTATCTTTTTATCTATTTAACTTTATTTTAAATTTCGCGTTAGTACAATTTGAATTTGATTTTTGTTGTTTGTGTATTTGTACATTTAATTATTTGTTGTTGTTGTGCATTGATTCATTCATTGATTTTAAAATTATTATACTTGATTTAATTATTCTTGAGAAGATGGAGAAAATCCCAATTCTTTTTCAAATTGTTGTAATTGTCTACGGAATCCATTGTTTGGACAAATTCTTGGTCTTTGAGTTGCAGTAAATCCAAATGCATCTTTATAATTTAATTTCTGTATTTTCATTAAATAGGCGATAATGATCGTTGCAGATCTAGATACACCAGCTCTACAATGTACTATTACACCTCCACCAGCCTTTCTTGCTTCATCAATAAATTGAATACATTCTTCAAAATATTCTGCCAAATTTGCATAATCTACATCTTCAATATCAATTACTTTATATGTGAATATCTAAAGAAAAAGAAAAAAACATTGATTGATTAATTAAAAAAAGAAACACTTTTGATTTAGACTAATTTTACTTTTTTTTACATACATTTGGATAAAGTGGTTTTAAATTAGCAACTGATAGAATATGAGTTACATTATTATCTTTTAACCATGATTTATGGATTGAACATTCTCTACAACCAAGATAAAGTCCATCAATGATTAAATCTGGATAAATTGATTGCCAAACAATAATTGGTGATTTCTCATTTTCACTATTATTATTATTATTATTATTTGTACTAGTAGTTGTAGTTGTTGTTGGGGTGGGGGTGGCGGTGGCGGCGGTGGTAGTAGTAGTTGGAGTAGTAGTAGCGGTGGTATTATCATTATTATTATTAGTGGCGGTGGTATCATTATCATTATCATTATTATCATTATTCTCGTTGTTTTCATTATTATTATTATTATTATTATTATTATTATTATTATTAGTATTATTATTATTATTATCAATATCATTAATATTAATTATATTATTATCACTATTCTCTGTATCTATAATTGTTGAGGTTGTTGTCGTAGTTGTTGTTGTATTAGTTGAATTTGTTGTATTTGTTGAATTATCAACAACACCTAATAATTCATTTGTAGTCATATTTGTTAAATGATATAATTGTAATTGAACCTTGTCAATGAAATCTTGTAGCTTAAATGTTGAATAGGATGACACTGTTCTAGGCATACTACGAACATGAGCAAATCGATTACCACGAACATCAATGACTGAGAGTGTTTTACATTCTAAAATCTCGGGTGGTAGTTCAGAGAGGTCATTGTGTGGGATGGTAAGAGTTTCTAGGCACTTCCACTTTTTGAGTAGGTCACCTGGGATTGCCTTGATGTGGTTGCACCCGAGTACAAGGTTTTTGAGGTTGACCAGGTGACCTAGTGACGGGTCAATCTCTGTCAATTGGTTCTCTGACAAATTGATAGTTGTCAAAGTCTCACCAATCGAGTTTATAATACTAGTTGATAAAATACAATTCGTCATATCATTTGATGATAGATTTAACGTTTCCAATAAATTTGGTAAATATTCTGGTGCATTTATAAATGAATTACCCATCAATGATAAATTCTAAAAGATATATATAAATCAAAAAGAAACAGTCAATAAATATCTTGATTTGATTTGATTTGATTGATTATTTTGATTTACCTTTAAATTAATTAAATTTTCAATATCTTTTGGTATTGAATCAACTTTGAGTTGATTTGTTTCAAGATGAAGTGATTTTAATGATGTCAGTTGACATAGGATGATTGGGAATTCTTTGAGTGGGTTGAGACCGATTTGAAAGATTTCGAGGTTCTTTAGTTGCAAAATAGATTCGGGTACGACTTGGATGAGATTGGAACCCAACGATAATTCTTTGAGGTTGGGAAAGAGCGTAATAGTGTCTGGGATGACGGCGATTCTGTTAAAGTCCAATATAAGTGCTGTGAGATGTGGATTCTCGACGAGATCGAATGGTTGGATCTTTTCGGTGCCTCCTACAAAGAGACTGGTTGGTAGATCGTCAAAATTGGCGTGTAACGATACATAGACAGTCTCGCCAGACTTGTACTCGATCGGTTTGTAGAAACGAGATTCTTTACTGTGTCCACTCAAGATCTCTCCATCGTCATATGATTGATGCGAGTTGTTGTGTGGCGTCTTTGTAATCTTTTGTTGTATAGTGTCACCTTTGGATGACCCACTTCCCATCTTTTGTCCGCCGTCTTTTGAACTCCTCAGAATAGATGATAACCTTTTTAACATAATAATCGCGATCAAATTGAGTACGTCTTAAGTGATAAAAGTTGTTTTGAACGTTTCCCTCCCTTGTCTGCGATGTTGTTGCTGAGGGTTGTTGTTGTGTGAGAACGAGACTGTCGTAAGTTTGTTCGTTTGAATGAATGAATATTACTATAATAACTATAATCTACTACTACGACTATTCTAATAATAACAAAAGAGAGAGAAAGAGATTTCCTTCCTTTGTCGAGGTTACAACAAGGTAGGCCAAAGAAAATTAAAAAAAAGTAAAAGTTTTTTTAAAAGATATCTTTTATCAAGGGATCGATTATTAGAATCCTTTTGTTATTGTTAAATATTATATATAATTATATACAGATAGATAGATAGATAGATAGATAGGATGATAAATAAAATATATATTTGTTTTAAAATTTTGATCACAATTTGATCTTCCTTTTTTAAAACAAAAGGGATAGAGAGACAACCCATCACATATAAATCAAAAATCAGATTTGACTAATTTTCGAGGGAGGGAAGAGAGAAAGGATGGGTTTTTGGGTTTTCAAAAGTAGGATGTATATATATTAAACCATCAAACATATGTAGAGTGATGTCATCGATGTTTGGTTTATTGTTTTGAACATATGTGTATCTCTATATATATATATGTGTAGTTAATCAGACAACCAACTAAACTATAAATCTTATTTAAATATCGTAATCATGACCCCTCCCTCCCCTTCTCCTTCTTCTTCTTCTTTGTGTTTCAAAAAAGAAAATAATAAATAAATTAATTTCATCAAATGTGACCACACACTTCGTTCTTCGCGCTCATGAGATCATGGCACTCTCATTGAAAAAATTAAATTAAATAATTATATTATATTGCATTCGCTTGTTGACAACAAACAAAAATTAATAAATTAATTAAAAAAAAGTAAAAGAGACAAAGAAAGAAAAGAAAGAGATAGTTGACAGAAATACGTATATTATTATTATTATTACCATTGCAAACAACAGACAACAACATTAACATAATAATAATAATAAGAGTAGTATTATAAGACAACAATAACAACCGGTGTTTATATCATTCATACATTATACCTACCACCTCTCTTATCTTTTATATATCAACAATGGGAGAATTTATTTATGATATTCAAGAAAAGGTAGAACAATTGTATGGACAGGTATTGGAGGATAGACAAAAGGCACTTCCTCACTTTACAGGTTTGGGACCACCCGACCTTTGTGTGTTGGTCAAGTCATATGAACCACCCAAGTTTGTCCCCGGACTAAAGGCTACCACCTACAGCTCCTATCATTGGGTGTCGGGACTAGACACATCGTCAACGTCGAGCATAGCAGTCTATCTCGGCACACTCATCGAGAATCAGGAAAAATCGACTGGCTTTGGAAGAGGTACCTACAAAATAGAAGGATGTCATTTTTGTATCTACAACTCGTTTCAAAAGATGGATATACACGTGGAGCTGGGTATAAACAACTCGCAACCAACCGTCTACAGTGTCGGTGCCAACGGAGAACGAAACCCAGTCGAAGAATCTTTTTGGAAGGAAACTTATATATCGTCGGTACTTCGCTCAGTCTCTGATCAACCTGCATTCCTTCGTCCATTGAAAATACTTCCATGTCTTCAATCTGCTGATGAAGAATCTAATTTTCTTCAACTTTGTTCTCAACATTTTTGGCAAGGTAATTAAAAAGAAAGAAATAATTAATTATTTTAACTGTTTTCTTTTATTAATTTAATTTTGTTTATTTTATAGGAAGAAAATTAGGAGCACATGATGGAGAATATGTAGATATTAAACAACAACCAGATCCAGAAGGATTCGAGGTTGATGATAGTAATAACATATTGGTGGAATCATTGGTCAATTATTTCAACTCTAGAAATAGGTACGAGGTGATAGTATCCTTTTTCAGTGAGTTTATAGCCACTGAATCATCCATCTCTACGATTGTTGCTCGTGCCATGATGCACTTGAATCAACCAACACAGGCATTTGCTCTGCTCGACCAAGCACTCCACAAATGTCCAGAGTCAACCTCTATCCTCATGGAATACGCAGACTGTCTCTTGATGCTCCATAAAAAGCAAGAGCATACTTCATCCTCTCCAAACAACCAATCACAATCATCTACGCCAAAACCAGACATCCTCGTCAAAGCACTCAAATATGCTTTGAAATCAATCTCTCTCAAACCTCAAATAGTCAGACATTGGAAAATTGCTGCTAATCTATTATCTCAAATGGGTCAAATTGAATGGGTAAATTAAATTATATATATATATATTAGTAGATAGATATTTGTGAATTGATAAATTAATTAACTTTATTTCTTTTTATTTATATAGTCATTAATATTTTTAAATAATGCACCATATTTAAAAACTGATACATTGACAGATACAATTGGTAAAAGTAAATATGCACGTGTTACACCGCCTCCAGAACATCCAAACATGTTGACTGTATTGGAGGATGAAGAGATTGAATTTGATGAAGAGCCAGGTGACGACTTTTTAAAGAGATTGACATCAGTTTCCTTGCATGGAGAATCACTTGAAATATTTAACATGTTGGTTGGAATGTACAGAAATGTTGGATGGTTGGAATTGGCCGAGAGAAAAACAAAAGCTCTCGATCAACTTGCACAAACAGCTAGAGGAAGACAAACTATTAAATCAAATTCTTCTTTAAATAATAGTATTATTCAATCTTCATCCTCCTCACCACCACATAGTCAACAACAACAACAACAAACATCAACCAACACTGTAAATAGCAATAATGAAAATCACCAACCTCAAACTACTACTTCTCCTTCATCATCTTCATCTCCATCAAAAGATTCATCCAAGGATGGACACAACACTTCTTCACCAATTAATAGACCAAAAGCAACTGAAAATTTAAAATCACCAAAGGTAGAGGAAGGTTTGTGGAATGATGAAGATGATGTACAATCAGAAGGTAGTGAAAAGGTAGAGGATGTTGATTTAAGTGAAGATCTAAAGAATGTAAATCTCAACAAAACAGAACAAGTAGAAGAAGAAAACAAAGATCAATCAAAACAAGAGGGAGAGGGAGAAGAGAAATCAACAGTCTCTTCCACTGAACCAACTTCTGAATCTACTGCTACCGCTACAACTACAGTAGAAGTAGTATTACCAAAAGAACCAAGAAAATTAAAAGTATTTGATCAAGAATCATTACAAACATCAGAGATTGAATCACTTAGATTAGTATTGGAACCATTTATCAAAGATTATGGATTGGAATCAACCAAAGAGGAGGCAACTAGAGAGTTTGTAGAGATTGAAACACCAAATTTCAAGGCAAGATTGCCAGTTGTCGAGATTCGTAGAAATGTCGAGCTTGGATTCCACGCCCTCTTTCAAGATGTAAAGGCATACCAATCTTGGAAAGACGAGTCTCAAACCAAGAGAACCATGATTGACAGTGGAAATGTCAAAGATCTCAAACACGTCAACGCAACCAGAACCTTTGCAGACTGGGTCCGTCTAGGTCAACTATCATTTAGACTTGGTGATTTATCAGAATCTGAAAAACTATTCATACTCGTCCAACATGACAAGTTTAGTTCAAAAGCACTCTCTGGACTCACTAGAATATTTTGTAGGGTTGGGGACATTAGAAACTGTCTCATCTCATCATCGACACTGTCAAAGTACTATACTGACAAGGTCAAGGCCGTAGATATTAATCCAATCGTTCAAAAGTGTGTACTAGATCTGATTGCCCAATTTGGACTCCAAAAAGTTAGAAATATTCATTCAAGTATCTCTGATCTTTCACCAATCATTGGTAGTCTTTATTTAGATAGTGTAAAATGGAGATCAATGGGTTTTGATAAATAATAATAATAATAATAATAATAACCAAAAAAAAAAAAAAAAAAAGTAAAAGTAAAAGTAAATAATATAGTTTTAACAACAAAAATTATTATATTATATTATATAAATATTAAATAATAAATAAAGATATTTTTAATTTATAACATTTTAATAGACCAAAAAAAAAACATGTATATTTGTCTACGTAACTTTTAAACCGAACCATTATTTGTATGAATCTGAAGCATCGAATTTTCAACAAGATTTAGAACTTACGTCTGCTCCCAGTTGTATAATCAGTATTGTATTTGTTTACATACTACTATCATCGATCGATCAACAAAGAACAAATAGGGAATATTGACTATAGTTCTACGCTAGCGTGTACTATAGACTATTGTTGTTGGATGATGAACCAAAAAGAAACAGGATGCATGTTGGAGGAATGCACAAGATAATATTATGAACGACTCAATCTACATCCATACTACTTTGTTGTTAGAGTTATCGGAAGTATCGCAAAACAAAAGTATGAGAAAGTGTAACCGATCTCTTTAAAGATATCTAAAAGACTAACAAACCGCATTCTATATCTAGCTAGGATAGTCCTCAAAATATACTGATGATAACTAAAAGGTAGTTACTTTGGTTCAATTCCTTGGGTTGTCTCAGATCTGTTATCGATGAAAGCTAAAGGGTATTGCATCGTCATCCAAGTTTCCAAAGTGTGAGACATGGTCATACCTTTTTTTTCTTGATCAAGAATCCAGACAGAGGATGGATGGCTCAATAATCATCGTCATCATCATCATCATCATCATCATTTGTTATATTTCTCATCATTGATCAAATTAATATATAATGACGCATTATCAAGACTTTGGTGATGATGATGATGATTGGACGATTATCACGATCTATATCACTACCGTCATGACAGGACATCGGTAAAGACAACCACGACAAAAAAGCTATGTAGAAACAAATTAAAAAAAGAAAAGAAAAAGATATTAAAACAAAAAACAAAGTATGTATTTATTTTAGAAAAAATAGTTTATATAATATTATATAGTATCATCATCATCATCATCATCATATAATTTTAACAAATATTTATAAATATAATATAAATAATTTTCTTAGATGTTTAAATCAAAATCGATCAAATGGTGGACTATGGGAAAAAACGAGATACCTCGATTTACAACTTCAAGACACTACTATTGTTGAGGAAATAGAAATAGAAATGGTTATACAAAACACTCCAACTGATATCATCAGCCCCAAAGAACAACCTCAACCTCAACCTCAACCCCTCCAATTTAAAGGCACAATAGATCCATTTATTCAAATTTGGTCTCTTGATCGCAATGTACTATTATAGAATTATGGTCGGCCACTTCTGCCTCCGCATCGACGATGCCTTTTATCTGTCGAAGTACGCTGATCACTCAATACTATCAAGCCAACTGGAATTTGACAGATTATTTATGGCCATGCTCTTATAGTAGTAGGGCAGTGCCACTGATTCCGATGGATAGTCAGTGCGCAGCAGCTATTGCCATGTCACTTCAAAACAAGGTAGAAGATTTGATTGGAGTATGTGACCCAACAGAATATTTCCACAAACGGAGCATACTAATAGATGAGATTGTTGATCTTGCCACAAAATATCGACATCGCTCCAATCTCAAATTCATCATGTCCTATGTAAAGTACACCCATATCCCTGCCATTTACAAATACACCAAATATATTGAAGATATACATTATTGTGAAAACAAAGACCTCAATCAAACACCATGTTTAAATCTTAACGGTATTTTTAACAACGATCTGTTGCACACCATTGAAATAAGAAGTCGAAACTACTCACTTGTCAGTGAATCGTCGTTTGAAACTGACCTGATGATGGAAAAGGATGAATGTAATCCTTTGATCAAGTTGTACCAATCACCAATCCCCATTAATTTCAACCCAAGGTGCGGCATACAAATGGTCAACAATCTGGCACTTTTCAAAGATTGTTTTAATTCATTCACATCATCGGTTCTTTCAAATGTAACTTGGGGTGAAATAGATGGATGTCGAGTTGTGTGTGCAGGTGGAGCTGTACTTGGTTCTCTTACTCATCAATCAGAATCTTTTGTAGAATACCACGACACCTATCTGGCTACGGAACAGGCAATCTCAACATGACCAACAAAATGTAGAAAACAAATACAAGAATACCTATCATATCAAACAACAGAACCCACCACTACCACCACTACTACCTCTAATTGGTACACCTCTACCCTGCTACATTACAACTCCACCTCATCCCCATATTTCAACTCTGATATCGATCTATTTCTCATTACAAACGGATCAAAAGAGAGTGCAGTTGAAAGAATCAAACAATTGGTAAAAGAGATCACCATATGCCTTCCATGCGGTTACCATATTGTCAAAACTACCTATTCATTGACGATCCTACCAACAGCTTTTCCATACCGTCCCATTCAAATCGTCACAGCTACACTTCAAAGCTACTATGAGTATATGCTCAAAGCCGATATAGATTGTACATGTTTTATATATGATGGAGATCATGTATACACCCATTTACGTGCTATTCGATCATTGTCCTCGTGGACCAACTATATATCACCTCATCTGTTTGAACTAGATAGATTTCGAATAGCCAAGTATTTATATCGACATTATAAATTCCAGTATATTGAGTTAATGGACCAAATACCTGGGTTTTCAAGACGAAATTACAACTTTGCGTACGATGGAATATGTGGAACATCTCAATGTATGCGTCGAATCGAGCCAAATACAAGGTTCGATTTGGATGGATTCACTGAAATAGACCTACCAAAGCTAGTCAAACCAAATTTCACCTATCATGGTTGGGAACAACTAGATACGTTCATTGATCTACACGTCTGTACCCAACCAAAATCAGTTGTTAACATTGGTGTGGAATGCTATCAATGTGGTACTTTGATCCTTTATTGGCAAGTCGGACCCAATCAGATAACTGTTTGTAAAAGTTGTAAAGAGTTGACAAACTCGATCCATTCATGTCGATCTCTCACAGATATCACCGATTATGTCAAACTATGACTATAACACTGAACAATAAATCTTACAGCTAATCCAACCAAATCTAATATGAATAATCATACAATAAATCATTATATTTATTTACCGATGAAAGAATAGTCGATTACTTTTTAATTACCGATTGTAAAGATATTTATATCCATTCCCGCAATTATCAAAAATTAATATTTGTTGTAAGGGGATATCTTTTTTTGTAGTGGTGGTTTGATGAACCAAGAACACACCAATGGGTTAGAATGATTGATGTTCATTTTGTTATTAATAATTATAGATAGATAGACAAAGAGATAAAGAGATAAAAAGAAGATGATGAAATTAATCATTTTAGCATTGGCAACATTATTTGTTGTTTGTAGTGTAGCTCAGCAAGAGGCAATCAGACCTGTAGTTATGTGGCATGGTAAGTAGTAGTAGTAGTGTTTAAATATTATCTATTACTGTTTGAGATACTAATCAGATCTATCTATCTATCTATATTCTATAAATGTTTAGGAATGGGTGATACTTGTTGTTATCCCTTTTCGTAAGTATACTACCAAAAACATTCATTATTTATCTTCTAAATCAATTAAAATATTAATTAACTTTTTAATTTAAATTATTATTATTATTATTATTATTTTGATTCTTCCTTTCTTTTTTAAAGAATGGGAAGAATTAAACAAATGATTGAAGAAAAGATACCAGGTATCTTTGTATATAGTATTGAAATTGGTGATTCTATTACCGACGATGAATTCAATGGATTCTTTAAGAATGTTAATACACAGGTCGATATGGTGTGTGATATGCTTAAAAAGAATGAAAACCTGACCAACGGATTCAATGCTATCGGATTCTCACAAGGTGGACAATTCCTAAGAGCCTATGTCGAGCGTTGCAACGATCCACCAGTCTACAACTTGTTGTCGGTCGGTGGTCAACACCAAGGTGTCTATGGTATGCCAAGATGTCCAGGTACCAACGGTACACTTTGTAACATGGCCCGTGAATTATTGAATCTCGGTGTCTATGAAGAATTTGTTCAAGAACATCTTGTTCAAGCTGAATACTGGCAAGATCCAATCAACTATCAAGAGTACCTAGACAAATCAGTATTCCTTGCCGACATTAACAATGCAGGTCCCACCAAAAACGAAACCTACAAAAAGAACCTCATCACACTCAACGAGTTTGTTTTGGTTCAATTCACCGAAGATACAATGGTTGTACCACGTGAATCTGAATGGTTTGGATTCTACCAACTTGGTCAAGCCAAGACTGTCATTCCAATGGAACAAACTGATCTCTATACTGAAGATTGGATTGGTATGAAATATCTTGATGGTGAAGGTCGTGTAACTCAAATTCCATGTGTTGGTGATCATTTACAATTTACTGGTATGTTTTCGAACAAACAAAAAATAATCAAATCAACAAATATACATATTAATTTTTAATTTCTTTCTTTCTTTCTAGATCAATGGTTCTATGAATACATGATTCCATACATGAATAATACTATTACTGCTGAGTTTTATTAAGTTAATTAAATAAATCATTTAATTAAATAATAAAATTTCTTTTTAATTTTGATTAAATTTGTTGTTGATTAATATATTTATTAAAATGATTAATACTTGATTTCATTAATGGTTTACATTGTAGAGTAATATCTGAACCATCAATAATTTCAACCATAACATAATCACCAAGTTTAATGGGTGTTGATTCATTGTTGTTGGTTGGATCTGTTACATCGATCATTGGAACAATACATTTCTTGTTTGAATCTGTTCTACCAACAAAATGGTCACCTGATCGACGGCTTTGACGTTCGACGAGGACAAGATGTTTTTTGCCAAGTTCGTCCTTTGATTTCTCTCTGATACATTTGTAATAGGTATCGATTACCTCTTTGAGTCGTCTAGCTTTGACGTCTTCAGTGACATCGTCTTTCATCGATCTATGTGCATGTGTCTTTTCACGTAACGAGTAGGCAAACATGTATGCATTTTCATAGCCTACATACTCCATCAACGAGATGGTGTCTCTGTGTTCTTGCTCAGTCTCTCCACAGAATCCACTGATGAAATCAGAGCTTATCGAGCAGTCTGGCAACTCTCTTTTAATGAGGTCGATTAACTCGATATAAGACTCGCGCGTATACCCACGTCTCATACGTTCCAATACATCAGAGTTACCAGACTGTGCGGGAATGTGGAATTGGCGACATATGTTTGGTCGCACTTTAACCAACTCGATCAAACTATCTGGGAAATCCTTTGGATGTGGAGATGTGAACCGAACTCTCATCTCTGGGTCGACCAATGACACTGCATCCATCAACTCTGTAAATGTGATACCTTTCTTTGGTGATTTGTAAATTGTATTGAATCCTTCTCTTGGTTGTAATTTTTCTTTTTCCATTTTGTTGTCTTTTTGTTCCACTTGTTCCGATGAGGTTTCGGCGTCGACGCCTGGAATATAATTATAACTATTTACATTTTGTCCAAGTAGAGTGATTTCTTTGTACCCAGTCTTGGAGAGTTGTTTGACTTCATCGAGAATTGATTCGAGTGGACGAGATCGTTCACGTCCTCTTGTGAATGGAACGATGCAGTAGGAGCACATATTGTTGCAACCACGCATGATCGATACGTATGCACACAGTCCATTCGAGTCGTGACGCACTGGTGCAATGTCGGCATAGGTCTCGTCAGCCGACAACATGACATTGATGGCTGTCTGGCCATCCTCGATTCTGCCAAGAAGTGCGGGCAACGACCGGTATGCATCGGGACCAACCACCAAATCAACGGAATTCTTTGAATCGAGTAACTTTTGCTTTAGACGTTCTGCCATACATCCCAATACACCAATCACCATGTTTCCACCTTGCGAACGTTTGACTCTCTTTTGTTTTCTCAACTCTGTCAAACGGAACCAAATCTTGTCCTCTGCATTCTCACGAATAGCACATGTATTTAGAAATATTACATCGGCAGACTTGGCACTATCTGCAATGATATAACCAGACTGTTTCATGACAGCATAGATGACTTCAGTATCTGCAAAGTTCATCTGACATCCATAACTCTCTACAAACACAGATCTACCATCTCCAGTTGTATTTGCAGTCAATAAGAATGGGTCTACTAATGGTTGTGATAATGAATCACCATCAACTACTCCACCAGTAACGGTATCTATATGTTGTTTCATAAATTGATTTAAAGATGGTACACCTCCATTCTTTATATTATCACTTAATATCTTTTTTCTATCTCCTGTCAAAGTTGTTGTATTATTATTATTAATAGTAGTAGTGTCTATACTGTTTGTAGATGAAATAGTTGTATGATTATGTTGATGATGAGATGTAGAACAGCAATATGATGCTTTAAATTGATTAGTTGTACTCCTCGAGGAGGTAGAGGAGGAGATGAAGAGTTGTGATAATCTTGTAGTGTTATTTGGTACAAGACATTTCGATAGTCTTATCATCCTTTCGTATGTATAGATCTATATATATATAGTAGCAATGTTCTATACTCTATGCTACTCTATACAATTGATGTTTAAAGCAAAAGTAGATAAAGACGAATGCATTGAGTACTCGTTTTTCATTGTCCACCCTTTCAAAAATTCGAAAATAATGAGCGAAGGGGGTGATGATCATCAACAACGACTTTTATCACAAACTATTGTAATAGTAGTTGTTTAATTAGTTTAGTTAATCCTCTATTCATATCATATCATATATATATCTATCAAAAAATGGTAAATAGATTAATCAATAACTATTATAATAGGAAAGAATCGAGATCGATTACTAACCTACTGATTTATTAGTCAAATATACCAAAATTAGGAGAAGTTAAAGATATAACTAGAATAGAGAGAATAGGAGCTCATTCTCATATTAGAGGATTGGGTATTGACCAATCTCTAGAACCTCGTGAGGTTTCAGAGGGTATGGTTGGACAAATCAATGCTAGAAAGGCTGCTGCCGTTATATTACAAATGATCAAAGAGGGTAAGATTGCTGGTAGAGCTATCTTGATCGGTGGTGAACCAGGTACAGGAAAGGTAAGAAAGAATGAAAGAATGATATAAAAGACAACATGTTGACTTACAACAACAACACTTATATATTAACAACCATTATCTTTTTTGCTTGACATAGACTGCAATTGCAATGGGTATGGCACAATCATTAGGTAAAGATGTACCATTTACAGCTATAGCAGCAAGTGAAATATTTTCATTGGAGATGAGCAAGACTGAAGCATTGACACAAGCATTTAGAAGATCGATTGGTGTACGTATCAAGGAAGAGAATGAATTGATTGAAGGTGAGGTTGTGGACATTCAAATTGACAGACCTGCATCGGGTGCCGGTATTCGTGTTGGTAAATTGACACTAAAGACAACTTCGATGGACGCATTGTACGATTTGGGTTCAAAGATGATAGACTCGTTGGTCAAGGAAAAGGTGACTGCCGGTGACATTATTCGTATTGACAAGGGTAGTGGAAAGATCACCAAGTTGGGTCGCTCCATCTCTCGTCTTCGCGATCACGAAGTGTCGGGTGCCAAAGTCAACTTTATCGAGTGTCCAGAGGGAGAAATCCAAAAGCGTAAGGAAGTCGAACACACTGTATCGTTGCACGAGATTGATGTCATCAACAGTCGTGCTCAAGGCTTCTTTGCCTTGTTTGCCGGTGACATTGGTGAAATCAAACCAGAGGTACGTGAACAAATCAACCAAAAGGTGGCAGACTGGCGTGAAGAAGGAAAGGCTGACATCATCCCTGGTGTATTGTTTATCGACGAAGTACACATGTTGGATATGGAATGTTTCTCATTTTTAAATCGTGCTTTGGAAGATGACATGGCACCCATTCTCATCATGGCCACTAACCGTGGTATCACTACCATTAGAGGCACCAACTATCGTGCTCCACATGGTATCCCTGTTGATTTGCTCGATCGTCTTTTGATCATCCACACACAACCATACCAAGAAAAGGATGTACTCAAGATTCTCAAGATCAGAGCTGCCGAAGAAGATGTTGATATTAGTGATGATGCTCTCGCACTTCTCACCCGTATCGGTTTGGAAACATCGCTTCGTTACTCTATCCATCTCATCACATCGGCCTCACTTGTCTGTAGCAAGCGCAAGGGTACCGAAGTCTCAGTCGACGATGTCAGAAAAGTATACGATTTGTTTGTCGATGTCAAACGTTCAGTTAAATACCTCAAAGATTATCAAGATGAATTTTTGTATGATACTCAACCAACAACAACTAATGATCAAAAAATGTCAGATGTATAAACAAACAGATAAAAAGATATATTTAGAGAGAGAGAAAAAATAAAAAACAAATATTTAAAAAACAACAAAAAAATATAGGATTAAGTGTAAAATCAAATACAAAAAAAAAAGATATATAATATAATAATATTTATATATCTTTTTTGTTTATAGATTTATTATTATTAATTGGATTTTTTCTTTTTAAATACCCATTGTATTTCAGAGTCTTCCAGTGGAGGAGATGATGAATTTAAATTAGAAGAGCTTTGTGAAGAAGTAGAAGAAGGAGTTGGAGGAGTTGGGATGGTAATATTTGAAGATTTGTTTACAAAGGAAGTGGTGGTGGTGGAGGAGGAGGAAGAGGTGGAGGTGGAAGTGGTTGAGTTTGAAATGCCTATTTTGGGTGATGATAATCCACTGTTTGACTTAAACAATGTTGATTCAATATCTACAATATTAGTTTGATTTTGGTTGTTACTATTATTATTATTATTATTACTAGTGTTATTTGTATTATTTCCATAACTAGTAAATTTATGGAAAGGTGTATCACGAGAAGATGGAAGAGAAGGAGAAGATGATGATGGTGTTGTTGTGGAAGATGAAGATGATGTATTGGTTGTTGTTGTTGTTGCACTACTAGCAGCAGCAGCAGCAGCACTATTGACTCCCTCGAGCAAGGTATTTAACAATGTATTTGATCCTATTTTCATAGTACTATTTGGTGATGTTGGAAAATTATTATTATTATTATTATTATTTTGACTATTACTATTACTACTACTACCACTTGATTGTTTCTTTGATTGTGGAGTTTGTGGCTGTGAAGGTGGTTGAGATTGTGAAGATGACGACGATGATGTAGTAGTGGCGGAAGGAGTTGATGTCGAAGTAGTAGGTTGTTGAGTTTGTTGTTGTAGTAATTGGATAAGTAATTGTTGTTGCTGTTGGAGGGTTGAGTTGGCAATGGTTTGAGTGAGTAGTTGTTGGGCAAGTGGCGATTGTTGGAGCTGGGCAAGTAGGGCAGCTTGTTGTTGGAGCTGTGGTTGCTGCAGCTGTTGTTGCTGTTGCTGTTGTTGTTGTTGTTTGTAAAAGTTGGATAGGTGGAACAACTCGGGTTTGATGACATCGCCGACCTTTTCATGTTTGGCAACATGTCTGGAAAAGTTGGTGATCATGTGCAGGCTGCACCCTTGGAAGAAACAGATGTAACGACCTTCACTATCCATTCTAAAGAGTCGCAAACCATACTTTATCATTTGTTCACGGAGCTGTACACCTCTGGACGAGTATCTAGTTGGAATGGCATAGTTTTCGCTGTCATCAAAGTCTGGCGAATGAAGTATTTGTTGTCCTTGTCCCTGTCCTCCTTGTCCTCCTCCTCCAACGCTTACAGCAGTACCTGTTCGTACACCATATGTAGATGGAGGGTATGACCCAAACGATGGTGATGTCGAGGTGGTATTGATGGTTGGATTACTCGACACGGTATTGGTGAATCGGTTGGCGCCAATCAACTGTTGTGGTTGTTGTTGATGGTGTTGATGATGTTGATGTTGGTGTTGATTATTTAGTTGTTGTTGTTGTTGTTGTTGAAGTTTGTTCTTGTTGGAAATACCTTCGATGACCATTGCGAGTGACTCAAATGTGCTCTCGTCATCCTCCATGTCGCTGATGCACTTTGAAGAGACGCCTGAATGGAGGTGGCCGTGGTGACCGATACCACTGCCAGAGTCGGCGCGAAGCTTCTTGATACCCTCAAGACAGTCCCTAGTACGTGGTGAAGATGGAGGACCGCCAGCGGCAGATCCAGGGGGTGTAATATCCGAGATGGACATGGCAGAGTCGTAGAATGCATACAAATTTTCATATTTCTTGAGTGAATCTTGGGTAAAAGACAAGGCCTCTGTATCGTCACATGCAAGATCGTCGTCATCACAACCCAATCTTTCTTTTGGAAATAATAATTCCTCCAACATTTCATGTCCATGATTTTCATGAACTTTCAAATGGAATATATATTCTTCCAAAGAATTATTTCTAATTGGATTATTACATCCTTAAAAAAATTAAAAATAAAAATAAAAATAATTAATTAATATTTGTTTTTCTTTTCTATATTTCTATTTCTATTTCTATTTCTATTTGTATTTTTAGTTACCTTTATATATACAGATAAAATTATAATTTTGGTCACGTGGTAATCTTATGGATGGGATATTGTGTGCATTGTGTTGATGGTTATGGATTGATATACTGATGAGTTGTAGCAATGAATCCAAGTCTCCAATATTATTATTATTATTATTATTTTGATTTTGATGGTGGTGGTGCTGGTGGTTGTTGTTGTTGACACGGGAGGCAAGTGTGCCAGCACCGGCAAGCAATGTGGGTGAGGTGGATGGCGACGAAGAATCATTACCAGAGAGATCCTCTGATTTTTTTCGTTTGGGTAATCTCTCTCGCGGTGAAATGGACGACGAGGCAATAGCCGAAGACGATGATGGCACCATCAAAGACTTTTCCGACATTACAAATGATGAACTAGGTGTTGGACTCATTCTATCTTGATCTTGTTGATCTTGTTGTTGTTGTTGTTGATGATGACGATTATTAGTGTGAATTAAGATGATTGGTGTTTTTTTTGACTGACCCTTTGGACTCGAGTCTTCCATAATAAAAAAAAATTAAAAAGAGAGGAGAGTTTGTTTGGTTGTATATTTATCGATCGTACGAGATTTTAAATAAATAAATATTATATATATATATATGTACAAATAAAAAAAAAAAAAAAAGATATGATAATATTATATATAAATATATGACTATATGCTATTTAGATTAATTTAATGGACATCGATGATGATTGTCGAAAAGCGGATAATCTTGTTTGCTATTGTTATTGTTGAAATATTGTTGTTGTTATTATTATTATTATTATTGGTTACTCCATAAACATTTGTTTTTTGATGGAATATTAAACTACTACTATCGAAATAATAATAATGATGAAAGAGATAATAATATATGATTAGTATTGATATTTTTTTTTTTGTTTGTTTTGTTTCAAAATCAACCAATGTAGTTGGTGAGTGCAATGAAATGATGAATGGAATAGAGAGATGGGCGTACGGGTGTGTAGGGGCAACGGGGAAAAAAAATAAGCCACAAAAGTTATAATATGGCGATGAGGGAAGGGATAACAACGGACGGGGAAACAACGATGATGACGGGGAGAGTGTAGAACAGAAAAAGTCTTGTAAGATTATTGCTTGGGTTCTTGAAGGAAGAAGAAGAAAAAATATTTAAACAAACGATCTAATCTCGGAAACGGTGTCGGAAGGGTGGTAATTGCAAAGATATTTTCAAAAATCTTTCCGCGGGAAGATTTTCGCTGTGTGGGATTTTAGTGATGGTGATTAACAGAAAAGTCGCTACATGTTGTTCAGACGTCTGATCATCTGGTTCCAATTTAAATGGAACGAGAAAACAAAACACAAGACCTTACAACAAAACAAGAGCTTAAAAAAAAAAACAACAACAACAATTGGAAATTTCGGTAACACTGCATAGGACCTATCCTATACCCTGTTGCATTTGCACTGACCAATCACGAAAGATATGATGAGTGAGATGAGATATTTGGGGTATTTAAATAGAAGAAGAATCTTGGTTGATTCTTAATCCTATTCACCCGAAAGGGTTATTACCTTTTCTTTAAAGACACAGTTTGTGTTGTTGGTTGGTTTGGTGTAGTTGTAAGCCTTACTTGTATAAGTTCTATGTTTGTTGTTGTTGTAAGCTTGGGATAATGAATATCGAATAATTATTATACCGCCGTAGTGTCTGGGGAGTTGGTGAAACTGTACAATGAATAACAGAATGGTGTAATTTAAAAAAAAAGGGGGCAGGGCGTTTAGATGGTCGAGGGAATTAAATAAGATGGATGTTTGTTGTTGTAACTCTGGGGGTGGATGGGGGGGTTTGAGATTAATTATAATTACTCTGAGTGTTTGCCGATGTGTTTTCACAAAAAAGAAAAATAAACAAATAAATAGACACACCTCTTTTGCAATTGTGTATCTTGATATTATTATTATTATTATCGTTGTCTATTTTCAACAAACAATGTCATCAACCCAACACACATCATCGTATTGCATTGTTGGTGACGGTGGTTTTCGGGTGATATTAAAGCAAGAACAGAATAAAAAATCAATCGAACACGACAATATCATAAATATCGTATCTGATTGTATGATAGAAGTGGAGGGGAGGGGAGAGTAGAGAAAAAAGGGTGGCGTCAGCAGATGCATCTTGGCACTGGCACGCATCGAGCTTTGGGGGTGTGAGATTGCTCAATTTAACACAATAGCAGCGGCTACTGCCAAATAATATAAACAAACCTACTACTACTACTAGCTAGGTTGTTCCCAAATGTGTGAGAACACAGCTGAACTCGGTGGCCCTTGGTTTATGAATTGACACCCAAAGACAATTGCATCCACAAAATATGCGAAGCGGACCATGGTCTCGATGCAAAGCTTTGGCTGCGGTTACGCCAAAAAAGGGGATGGGCCAAGCAACAAAATAAAAAGTAAAATATTTTTAGAATGTTTCAGTACTCGATGCACTCGGCCGCAATATAGGCCAACGAATCCGAGACCAATACCGCTGCTGATTCTAATTGCACACCGCTGACGTGAAAAATAAAAAACCCAAAAACATAGAACGAATGTGCAATACAAACTTTGTCAGTCTTGGCGACAGCCATTGGACAGCAACCAAGTTCGATGATGGATGGTGATGAGTGATGACAAAATATATTTACTTTTTCGATAATGATGGTAGCAATCTGCTAAAATAATGTAATTCTGTTGCTATCGTTTTTTCAAAAAGCGGGTTGTGAGTGATTAATATTATTATTCGATTTATCGATGATGTCTTTATATCTGTTCTCTAGCTCTCTTTCTTTTGCATAATGATGATTGCTCTTGCTTGTTCTTGTTTGGTTGTAAACTTTGATTTATTTGTTTGTTGTTGTTGTTTAATACATAGATGAGTAACAATGAAAAATGACAATGACAATGACATGATGGATGTGTAGTGTAGAGTGCTTGAAAACAATGCAACGCAACCCAACACACCTTCTATTCTTTGCCAAAGATCATAACAATTCCAAGTCAGATATTTGTGAAGTGTTATTGGCGAAATATTTATAAAAAAACCTCGAAGAAATCGATATCCTCGTTTGTAGAATCTCCTTCCTGCGAAATGACGTCAGGCATGTAACCTGTCACCACAACAACAAGGCAAATGCCATTTCAAACTCGATCGAGACCTCTGATATTTGAAGAAGTCATTGGTTTTTTGAGAATAAAAACAAAAGTTCTCTTGGGTATAGCTTTGTTGGGTTGTGGGGCTGAATCACTCCACCAACAAGCAACTTCCTCTTCACCTTGACCAAAAGAGCCGACCACTTCCTCCCTCTTTTCGAATTGATTCGAGTCATTCCAACAACACCGTAGTATCGTATGTATTGGTTGAGCAGTGTCTATGTAATGTATGTATGGGTATGTATGATGTGTGATGTGCTTTGAAATCAAGACGATAATAATAATAATATCTTCAATGGGAAATATGAATGATGAAATAGGATGATATGGTGATGATGTACTATACTATATACTACATTTTATAAATTATATAGATTGAATCAATATTTAAATGATTGATAATCTATCTATCCTTTAACTATTATCTAATAAATCCTATCTGTAAGATTAATCATAAATGTAAATGTGAAATGAATAATAATAATAATAATAATGATGATGATGAAATGCATTGTGCTCTGCGTCTGCGTCGGTGGTGGTGACCTAATTTCGGTTATTCATTCACCCTTCCGATGAAAAACAACATCCTCCACCTTTCCCCTTCAACTCCTACCTGGTTATATTAGTAGTTGCTTATTATTGGGAATAGAGCATGGTTGTTGATGGAAGCAAGTTCCCAATAACCAAGATGTGGGTGTCGTGACTTTTGATCGAATCCAACTTTTGTGTTTTATTTTTTAAAAGTCAGCTGCTTGCTGTGCTCTGTGAACAAGGGTCGATCAACTCGTTGTTGCCAACTACCGATTGGATGTCCAAAAAGGGGGGTGAAAATAAAGTTTAATAAACGACAAACGAGTAGACACACTCACTCTAGAACTTTATCACTGTAACTCGAGTAGCTGCTTGCTTGTCATCATCAACAAAGATTGTGGTACAATGGAAGGTGATGGGTGTATATGTGTATATATATTACCTTTTTTATAATTTTGAACAACTAAATTGTGATTGACACTATTCTTCTGCTGCTCTATAGTAATTATCTGGTGGTTGGAGGGTTTGTTTGGTTGCTTGTTGTTGGAAGGTTGGATTGGATGTTGGTGAAATTGGGGGGAGTGGTGGTTTTCGACGGTGTGAGCCGGGTGTGTACGGTACAAGTACGATATGTTAATATCTCTCTAGAGGTGAAAAAAAAAGAATATACAATGGATAGAGGGTGCGTGGGCAATTTGAATGAGCCTTTTAATATGTGTCACTCGCGCACACAGAGATAGAAACCATCAGGTGTTGTTGATTAAAATAAAAAATAAACAAGATATTTTAGATATGAAAATCAGTCATAGATGATGATGGCAAACAAACAGAGGTACTCTGCAACGGGAGAACACTCAACAACCTGCTAGCTGTTGCTGCAGAACGTCATTCCATAGGATCGATGTTTTACTACTCTTTGTCAGAGGAGGTGGTGGAGGGATATGGGTGCTTGTTCAGAGAAGTCATGGTTGTTTAGGAAACCGACCTTTGTAAGGGTTTCAAAACTTTTCCCATCTAGAGAGACAATAAGTGACGTATACACCACAACAACATCAGAGGCGAGAGATGGGTGGAACTTTTCCCAATTTCGTCGCCCCCCTTACATCTTAGATGATTATTTTTAACGTAAGATTGCAGAGAGAGGGGATCTTTTGCTGGGTTACAATAATCCGTCATGAGTCACCCGAAATAGAGAATTGGGTGCATGCCCATGCTCTTCGTAAAAAACAAGAAAATTCACGTTCAACTTCGGCTCTCTTTGTTTATGATCAATTTTTTTCTGTTTCTTCAGTGACTCGGGTCTTTGCTAAAACACCGAGAATGTGAATCCAAGGTAATGCGCATGAATTCATTCCTTTCTCGAATATTCTTGTCTTGGGATAATTAAATGTGTTGAAATATCTGATTTAAATTTTATTCGAACTAATATCTCGTCTTTGATTCATGGGTATCATCGAAGTCTCTCGAAACAAACCTTTCTTTGGATGTTTTGTTTATGTTTGATTCTACCTGGTGTTTTACTTCTTTCGCTGCTACTACTACTTTTGAGATTTTTTTCGCGACCAAGAGACTTTTGATTTTTTGATGGCGAGTGGCCTTAGGTCTCTTTGGTTACAGGAGCTCTTTTCTTGGGTTGATACTTTGAGAGCTCAAGGTCATCGATTTTACTTGCAAGAATAAAGTCATTTTCAGACAACCCTGAAATCGTGTGCGTATAAATATCTATTTCTAAATCCCAATATGACTCTACAAGTTGTGTAAAAGAGAAAGAGTAGAAAGTGAGAGTAATCAGAGGAAGGGTAAGGGTGGGGGTAAGAACAAGTTGTAAGAGGGGAGATTCAATTCAACGAGTCATGTCTGTGTCATTGGTCACCGGTGTTTGGTATCTACCGCTACTCATTGGGTTATATTTGTCGTTTGGATCAAACGTATAAAAATGTAACCCTGTCCTGTTGGTACCCCCAATAACAATTTAAACATATCTCTCTGCTGTACTTACTGATGGACATATCGGGGTGATGGTTCTCGTCCTCGGCTAAAGCTCCGATCTGTGACATTAATTCGAGACCCTTTGGAAAAGGTATTCTCCATTTTCTTGTTACCTAGAGTAATAAAAAAAGACATTCATACCAATACAGATAATAATAATAATAATAATAATAATAATAATAATAATAATAATAATAATAATAATGGATTAATAATTATTATTGGTATATTATATTTTTACCAAACTTACCATATATGCTTCATTATCCTTGTAAATGATTCTCCAATCTAAAAATAAAATCAATCAATCAATTAAATGTAGATAAAGGTAATTATTACAAATGACATACTTTCATTTAAATTCTTTAATAATTCTTCAGATTCTGTATTTGATAGTTTTGGTATTCCTCCTTCACTTTAATTGATAGTATTTAATTAATTAATGGTCAAGCAAGTAAACAACAATAATTGTATACATTGTTTTACATACCATGGAAGACACTTTTTCTGACTTAATTGTTCTTTAGAAAGGGTACAATAACTCATTTTAGTTTGATTAATAAACTTATTATTATTATTATTAATATTATTACAATAACTGTATGTTAAGTTTTGTTTAAATAGAGAAGAGGAAGAAGAAATAGAGGGAGATGTGGATTGGATGACTACGTAGTTGATGATTTTGTTTTGATAGTTTCCACGCGGTTGTTGTTGTTGCAGTGCTGACAACAAACTATTTCGAACAGTCGCCGACGTTTGAGATACAGCAGTTTTTAATGTTGATGTAAGATATCTATTCATTCACACACACACTATACTAGTACATTAATATTAACTTATACTAATGATATTTGACAATGTTTTTTTCAATGTCTCCTTTTTTTTTTTCAAAGATACTCTGTTTAGTCTATAGACACTTGTTGTTGAAAAGATTACTACTAAATGTATAACATGATCTTTTTAGGGAATGATTCATTAATTATCTGATCATCCAACGATATTGCTCTCTTTTGAAGCTTCAACAAAAAATAAAATAAAAACAAATTCATCAAAAAAGATTGTGGAGGTGAAGATCAGTGCATCTCATCAACCCTAGGGTGTTGGCTCTATTAATTCATAAAACTACCTGTTGTATACCCAACAAATATAATATATTATATATAATATATTAACCAATAGGCATTTCTAAAAAGAAGAAGAAAAAGAAGAAGAAGGAGGGTCGTCAATATCGACAAAAAGAAGAAGAAGAACGATGATGATAGGATCAAAAGATTTAGTAACACTATTGTCTCTATTGTCAGAAGAGGACAAGCCATTGGAGACAGTGTCGACGACATTCAATCGTACATTTAATAGAGCCGATCAGTTTAAAATTGGATGTGCTATCTATACAATGATGAAGGATGGTTTCATCAGAGTGCAGTCACATCGATTGATATCATTCTATATACTCTACTCGTTATTCAATCATGGTAACACTGCTGCTGCTGCTGCCGCTTCTGCAGCTTCTTCATCATCTGGGTTTACATCACCAATTCAACAATCTGCTAATACCACTAGTACTAGTAATAGTAGTAACAATAACAATGAAAATGAAAACGAAGAGAAAACTGGTGATCAAGATAATTCATCAATATTTAATCTACCAATTGCATTCAATCCTTTTCTACCAGTATTTATTGATGAATTACAAAAATATTTAAATAACAACAATAATAATAATAATCAAAATAATCAAAATAATAATAACGAAATACAATCACCACAACATAAAGCACAACAACAAGTATTACAATTAAGATACAATAGTTTAATAGAAAAACATTATTTAATTCAATTTTTGACCAATTTACCAAAGGACGTAAGTATTTCTTCATCTTTTTTTTGTCCTTTATCTTTTCCTTTTTTTTATTTACTTTACTTTTTTTCTATCTAGTTTTCAAAAAAAACATCAAAAGAATTGGTTCAACAAACACCAACCAATGAATTGACAGTTCCAAATTTAAATGATTATAGGAAGTTTTATTTGGATAAACTTGCACATTATTCTTTTCCTTCACTTCGTAGTATAGGAGTATCACCATCCCTATTTTTCAGTGATTTCGAACCAATAACGCCATTTGCTATTGTCCAACAACAACAATCACCAAAACAACAACTAAAAGATTTAAAGATATCCGAACAAGAATTGAGTCTATTTTCATTTGAACCAGCTTTTCATCGTCCTCCTCCACCATTATTTAATCCTATCAATGTAAATATAAATATATATATAAATATATATATATAAATATATGTAAGATTTATGTATAAATTTATTAATATTTTTTTTTCTTTTTTTTGTTTAGACAATTTGGATAAATACAACTATTAATCATGGATTATTATTATCACCACTTGCGACATTAAGAAATGGGTTGATTAATCCTAAAAAGATTGTAAGAGATTTAATGTCAAAGGCGATTAGAACGAGATTAGCTAAAATCCAAACACAACAAATCAAAGTGGAATTGGAAAACGATCCCAAACTGGTACTCTATTCTGGGCTTGTTCCCAAGAAACTTCCTAATCTTGTCGAAAATAATACTCAAGTTGCCATTGAAGCACTGCTTAAACTCATTCATTCACCCGACTTTAAAGACTATTTCCAAGAGTTGATATCAATGGAAATGAACTATAGGTCAATGGAGGTGGTCAATGCATTGGCAACAAGTGTCGAACTGCCACAACACTTTATTCCAATGTACATTAGTAACTGCATTGCAACGTGCAATAATTCAAAGGACAAGGTCATGCTGCAACGATCCGTTCGTTTGGTTTGTGTCTTTATACAGTCACTCATCCGTAACAATATCATCAACATTAAGGATCTCTTTACAGAGGTACAAAGTTTCTGTCTTGAACATTCAAAAATCAGAGAAGCTATTAGCCTTTTTAAATTAATGAATGATGAAAAGACTGGTAGCAGCAGCAGTACAACATCAACCATTACAACAATTGATAATAAATAACTAAAACCCCACGATAATAATAGAATGGAATAGAATAGAAAACAAGCAAGAGAGAAAGAGAGAGAGAAAGAGCAAACACAATGAATGACGACAACGACAATAATTGAAAGATGGATGATCAGCTGCAGCCATCTTATCTTAATCCACAATAAATTCATTGAATGACAAAGTGTGTGTTGGAAGAAACCAAACAAACAAACAACAAACAGGGGTGTAGAATGTCAAAGATTCTCAAACGATGATTTGGTGGTAGTGATGATCAACAATCAACAATCAACAACAATCAACAATCACCACAAGATTCATTTATGTGGTTCCCTTTTTGTCACGAGACAACTCATTGGAATGGATCAAGCCGATACCAATTAAGAGAGCACGTTGATCAAAAAAATTGTTTGAAAAAAAAAAACAAATTCTTTTAAAAAAATGTCATCCCTCCATTGATTGTTGTTTTGCGGATTGCCTGCCCTCATTTGCTTATTGTAACGTCTTTTATACTTTTCTACTTCTATTTATTTATTTATTTATTAAATTGTACTTTTATTTAGATAATCTCAATCTTCGATATATAACCCTAACAAACTTAAATCGAACAACATCACGTGAGGGCGCGGAGTGTTCAATTCATTACAAATCACTAACACACACACACACACACACATATATATACCCAACAACAACAAGTTATAGTTATAGTTTAAGCAACAATAGAGAGGAGAAATAGTAAAAATGAAGAGAATTAAATCTAAAATTGCTATTGCCAAGCAAAATGTAATGGAAAAGACAAGTAGTAGAGAGAATACTCTTGAACCTGAAGAAATGAAAGAGTTGGAAAAGGTAATTTATTATAAAGATTCTCTATATATGATTTAGTCGTTAATCAATTTATCTTTTTGTTTGTTTTATAGCAAGTTGCAGAAACAAGAACATATGTCCGTAAATTGACCAAATCAATTGAAAAGGAAACAGTTTCAACTGGTGTAAGCATTCAAGATGGAACAGAGTTGGCTGATAATTTCATTGATTACAGTGTTCACGTTCGTGACAACTATCCAGATCTAGTTGTCTTGTCTGGTATTCTTTCAAAGATTGGTGAATTCCAAGCTGGTTTTGAAGACCTCAAAGCAAAATTAAACTCTTCATTAATCAATGATGTTAGTGATCCACTTAAATCACTTGTTAAAACTGAATTAAAACAAGCTCAAGTATGTACAATAAAGAATGAAAAGATATATTTATATATAAACTCCAAGAGTTAGTCGCTAATTTACTTATTTAATTTCTTTTTCTTTTTTTTTTTTTTTTTTAGATTCAAAAGAAAGAATATGATAAGTCAAGAATTGCATATGATGCATCATTGTCAGAATTGGCCAATATTAAAAAGTTAAAAAATGTCAAGCCAAACAAGATTCAGGAACAAGAGGATGACACTCAAAAGCTTGGAGCAGAGTTTGGCCAAGTCGGCAATGAGACTGCCCAACACTTGCGTGATGTCAACATGATTGCAGAGTTTGAAGCTGTCGAGAAGTTGTGCGACTATTTGGACTCGTACTATACCTTTTTCCAAAAGGGGTACCGTTGGTTGGCCCAAAAGATCCCCGATATCTATGAATACCGTCTCTATGTCGAAAAGAGAAAGGCCGAGCTCGAAAAGAGCAAGGTCAGAATGAGCATGTTGCTCACACCCAAGCCAGACGACCTGCTCAAGAACAAGGTCTTTGGCGAGGACTTGTCGGTACTCACCAACCGCGACCAATCTTCGATCCCCATCTTTGTGGCGCGTGCATTTGCCGTCATCCGTAGCAGACTCACCGAAGAAGGTCTGTTTAGATTGTCGGGTACCAAGCGACTGGTACTCGAGATGAAGCAGACGATCGACGAGGGCAAAGAGTACAACTTGCAAGATTGCAACGATGTCCATGTCGTGTGTAACCTTGTCAAGCTGTTCCTCAGAGAATTGCAGCCCGAGCCACTTCTCACCTACTCTCGTTACAATGAGTTTATCGATACTTGCAACGTCGAAGATCCCAACGAACGTATTGAAAAACTCTCGAAAATCATCCACTCTCTCCCCAAGCACAACTATAACCTCTTGCACCATCTCATGCATCTGTGCTCTCAAATCTCGCAGACACCCAAGTGCAAGATGGGACCTGCCAATTTGGCCACTTGCGTCGGTCCAAACATCCTCGTTTCACAAGTCGATATTATCGTCGAAGATATTGCCCTTGGCAATACTGTTATCACCACCATCATCCAAAACTTTGAAAGAATCTTTGGTGGTGCTCCATCCTTGGAAAATATTTCCCTTGTCCATCCTACTCCTCCTCAACAACCACAAGTCAATGCTACTCAACCATCTACCTTGTCTTCATCTACTACTTCTACTACTACTACGACTGCACCACAAAAAATATCACAGTACAAGTCACCAAGTTTCAACAATAATCATCCAGCACCAGGCAGCAGTCCTCCAGCGATATATAATGGTGTTCCAATGAGAAATAGAAATCTTTCTTCATCTGGTTCTACTCTGGGTGACAGTTTTGATGATAGTGATGCTATTGCTTTGACTGATGAGGAATAGTAGACACATGACCATAATAATAACAATAGTACATTTGTTCTGTCATAATTATATAATATTATTTATTCAAACAACAACAACAACAACAACACATATAATTTATTTATTACATTTCACCCAATCCATTCCCTAACCATTACCATTACCATTACCATTTATTATTGTACGATTAATTTATTAATATATTTAAAAATAAACCACCATTATTATACTAAACTATTAAAATAAAACCAAAAAAGAAAAGAAACAAAAGATAGACTGAGAATGGTTTGATTTGATTGGATTGTAAATTTTAAAATACACAAACGTTGTCATTGTCATTACACTTTGTTTGAAAGATGGTAATGAGTGATCAGTTTAATAGTTTATTTGAACAAATCAGAGAATTGACCAATTTCTTCAAGGGCTTGGAGATCATCATACAACTGTTGTAAAAGAGGAATAAACAAAAAGTTAATGAGGTTGTCTACTTTTATCATTGATCCTATACATATAGATACATACACCAACAAACTTGTCATTAACAAACAATTGTGGTAACTCTGTTTTTCCACTTGTCTTTTTCATGTGTTCTCTTTGAGCTTGATCACTAGCAACATCGTATTCTAGATGAGTATATAGTAAGTAGTAAATAATAAAAAAGAATATTAATATAAATACTTTTAACAAGCGCAGTGAACATCACTTCACTGCAGCTAAATAATGTTTCATACCAGTGTATTGGATTCCCTTGGCTTCCAATAAAGTCTTCAAGGCAGATTGATCCTTCTTGATCTTCAACATGCCAGTTGCAGATGATGTATATAATGTAACAGTAACCATTTTGTTGTTGTTGTTTAACTAATGTAAATAAATAATAATATCAAACACCTGTTAATGCTTTTATGATGATTTCTCACACCCATGGTGAGATTTTTTTTTGTGGCAACAAAAATTAATAATTAAATTGGTTTACAATAATAATTCTTTTCAAAGTGGTTTCATGGTTGTGTTCCTTTTAGTACAGTTTACAACAGTTGACATTATTATTATTTTTAATGAGTGTGCATCGATCGTTGTAAACAAACAAAAAGTATCTATCTATCTATATGCTTCTAATCAATCTTGTTTGTTAGTGTTGGGGCTTGACAAAAGAAAGAAAACTTTAGTGTTATCCTTTGTTAGGCAGAGCGTTGTGTAAACATTATGTAAACATTATGTACTGTACACTTGGTGTTTCTTTTTTTTGAAAATAAATAAATTAAATTACTTCTTTGGTTGCCTCGTCACTGACCACTGCAAATTATTATTAATAAATTAATTTAAATCAATTAATTTCGATTTTTTAAACTATTCTCAAAAAATTAGTATAAACAGATAAAGTTCAAAAACTGGTCATCTTACCTATATTTTCTCTATAGAAATACTTTAACATATATTTATATATATATACATAATAAAATGTATCAAAGTCATCATCATAGTAACAATAGTTATTATAGCAGTAGCTATAACAATAGTCCATCCTTTGGTGATAAGATCAATGTCTTATTACAATTCAACAACATGTAAGTGTAAACAATAAACAATAACAACAACAAACATCTCTTTTGTTTGACAATACTCTAACATTTTCTTTTTACCTTATAAAGATCACAATCAACAAAGAATGTATTAGTTAAAGTATACAACACATTAGCAATGTGTTTAGTTGCAGCAGCAGTTGGTTGTGCATTCTCAATGTATATCTACCAACCAAATGTCATCCTTTTATTGATTGCTTCAGTAGCTGCAGCTTACAAGTTTGCCTCTACCCCACGTCACGATACTCAATCTAGATTGACACTTTTATTTGCCATCAGCTCTATTAGTGGTATTTCTCTTGCACCATTGGTCAATTATGCCATTGAGGTTGATCCTTCGTAAGTATAAAAAAACATTCACAATATATGATCTCCTAGTCTTATCATAGTCTGACTAAAACTACCTTTTTTACTTTAGAATTTTGATGACTGCAATCTTGGCAACATTGGCTATTTTCGCTAGTTTCAGTGTCTTTTCATTATTGACAGACAAGCGTATGTTCCTCTACCTTGGAGGTTTACTTTCAACAGCTTGCATTGGTCTCTTTGTTGTTTCACTTGGACAACTTTTCATTAGAAGTCAAGCAATCGATGGTATCCTTACCACCACTCTTTTAGTTGTTTTATCAGCTTTTATCATTTATGGTAAGTCATGTGATGATTAATTATCATACATCTAAATATTTAGAAACTAACAAATATTTAATATTCCTCATTTATTATTATTATAGATACACAATTCATTGTTTATCGTATTGAAAATGGTGATCGTGATTATATTCAACACACATTTACATTGTTTATTGACTTGATTGATCTCTTTAGAATTGTTTTGAGAATTTTAATCAAAAACTCAAAGAGCAAAAAGAAGAATGACAATTAATTCATTCCTCACATTATCATCTTTTGTAAATTTAAACCAATCTTATCATCATGAAAATAAATATAGTACCAAAAAAAAAACTATTAAACTATTTAATAATTAATGTATCAACAAATGAATGGAATCCATTTATTTATTTTATTCAATGATATCATCCTCTAATTCTTGGCCTCCAATTACTAATCTTAATCCTTGACTATTATTATTATTATTATTTTGATTATTATCATTATTTTGATTATTATTAATTTGATTGATTTGATCATTTTCATCTTGAATTGGTTGAATAAATACTCCACCATCCTTTTCACGAATTTGATTTTCTTTTGCAAAACCAAAATTGTTATAATGTAATGGACCAAACGAAATATTTTCAAGAAGACTTCTTCCATTTCTTACAAATGACACTAATAGTGGCGATGGATCATTTGCAAAGATGTTTGTATAGTTTCTCATGAGCGAAACAAATGGAAGAGTCTCGTGTAACAGTTGAATGTTGCCGAGGAGTGATGGAGGTAGACTGTAGTGTGGGTCGTCTGGATGGAGAGGGTTTACCAAATGTTTGGCAGTTGATAGCGATAATTGATTATTACTTTGCATTTGCAAGAGCTGTGTATATACAAATTCTTTACATGCACAATCCAACTGAATCGATTGTGTGTGGGCACCTTGGAAATGAGGTTTAACAAATTGATGAAAGTTTCGAGATGGTGGTGGCGTGCAATGAGGATACATGAGCCCTCTAAGGACCACCGATGTGGCGTATGGGTTCTCTCGGTAGGTGTTTTCGATTGGCTCGTGAACCGATATTCTCGTGATTTCATCAGCCACGCTGAGATATGACAATGATTCACTCACCTCATGAATATCCGTGTAAAATGATAAAAAGTTTTCATGTAGAAACATTGTATAGTAGGATCCATCGATTTGTGATTGATCAAATACATCCTCTGGTACATTTTCCATTGGATCTCTATAATATTCTTGTTTATACCATAATTCATTTGGATCAGTTTGTTTTGGTATTCCTATAAAAATAAAATAAAAAGTGTTAAAATTACCCTATTCTTTCAATGTTTTTTCTCTCTATCTCTTCTTCTTCTTGCTTACTTTTGTTATATAAAATTTTACCAAGTGAGTGAAATAATGAAAGGTTTGGATTGCGTTGTTGTTGTGAAATATTGACATGACCAGGTTTTTTTTGTCTGCCTTTTGGTTTTGGTTCTTTTTTGTTTGTCGATGGAAGGACTCTGGTTTGTCCAATACAATGAAACTCTAAATTGTTTATAGCTGCTCTAATGTCACCAGCACTTTCTTGTACAAGTAAATCAACTAGTTCTTGTTCCACCGTAAATCCCTCAGTCTTTGCTATATTGATTAAAAATTTTGCCATTGTTGCAGGTGGAACAACATTTATACTAAAATTAAATAGAACCATTTGTTAAAAAAAAAATCGTCATCATATTTGACTATCTATCTATTTGTTTGTTTTTCATACCATATTTTTTTAATTGAAGAACTGGATAAAAAATTTGGATCAAATAAACGATGTAGTGGTGAATTGCCAGAATTTAAGTCAGAGACAATTAAAACCAATGGATATTTTCCAACTTCAATATATTTTCTAAACATTGATTTAAACTCTCTTTCTTGATCTCTGGTTGCTAGGTTGGGAAATTCCTCAATCAACATCATTTTCTTTTTTCCACCACGATTACCTCCAAATAGATCATGTCTTCCTGCAGATTCCAACCAGGTCTTGAATATTTCAAGTGGAGGGGTATAAGGACATGTACCCTTATTTTCTTGATCAGTAGTAAACTCTACCGATTGATTGATCCATTCATCAATTGAAAATGCCATACCACAATTTACCAATACTTTTATCATTGTCGATTTACCAATTCCACTTTGTCCCGTTAATATTAACATCTTTTCAGTCTATAATAATAAATAAATAAAAAAGTTAGTATTAGAGTAGTGTTTTCATTCATATCAATCGCCACTACCACTTACCAATTTTGTATTGTTTGACATTTCATTATATCGATCTTGTAACCAAATTTTAACCTCTGAAATTTTCTTTTTATGTACAGCCAATTCTTCTTCTGTCTTTGGTGAATATTTATCAATCCAAATTTCAGATTTTGTATCATTATTATTATTATTGGTATTATTGGTATTATTATTTATAGTTATATTTTTTAGTTTTTTGTTATCATTTAATAGATTATTATTTTTTGTTAAATTATGATTATTATTATTATTATTATTATTGTTAGTATTATTGTTTTGTTGTTGTTGTTGTTGTTGTTGATCTTCAAATTCTTTTCTTTTTCCAGTTGAAATGCCTGTAGGAGAATTTGGATTACTACTACTACTACTACTATTACTATTGTTTTGAACAATAGGTTGACGCAAAGTTGGTGATAGTTGAGGAGGTTTAAAAGGAAGTGGATTTGAAAATGGATCGTCATCTTCAATATCGTCCTCAAAGGAATTATTCTTGAATGTTCCTTGTGTTAATTTTTTGGTTGTTATTGATGTTGTCGTTGATGATTTTGGAGTTGTTATTGTTGATGACTTTGGTGAGTTGGGTGCTGCGGCAATGGTTGATGATCCTTTTTTCTTCTTTTTAAATTCTGGTAATCTTGTTAATACATCAGTGTCAATGACAAAGGTTGGTGTTTTAGCGACACTACTATCCGATCCAGATCTTCCATTACCACTACTACTACAGCTGCTGCTGTTGGTATTACTAGTTCTTATATTACCAATACCATCAGTATCAACTATTATAGTTGATGTATGAGGTGGTAGGGGAGGTGTGGTTGTCGTTGTAGGTATTGATGAAGTTGTTAATATTGATGTTGGTGTTGTTGTTGTTGATGTTGTTGATGTTGTTGATGTTGTTGTTGTTGTATTTTTCTTTTTAATAGTATCGGGTTTAGATCCTTGTCTTTATCAACATTGTCATCTTGATGTAGTACTTGTTTTACTTTTTCTTCTTCATCTTGTTGTTGTGGCTTTGGTTTCTTTCTATTTACAATATCTTTGATTTGAGTTACTGACAAAATATCAGAGTCATCTTCTTCTTCGATTGGTTTTCTTGGAGGACTTTGTTGAATACTCGAGTATTTGTTTTGTTGTAGAGATGGAGGAGGAGGAGGAGACGTATCATATTGTGTTCTCGATGACTGTGATCTTGGTAGGTCCATCTTGATACTATTAGTAGTTTTACTGCTACCACTACTACTACTAGTAGTACTACTACTATTGTTGGTTTTACTAGCACCTCGTGCTCTTGATCGATGAATGTATTCTTTTTGGTGATCATCAGACCAATCACTACAAGCACCATCAAGTATACATATAAACATTCCTTCTTCGTCTCCTCCAAAACCACTACTATTATAATTTGTTTGTGAGGAAATAGGTGATTTCTGTTGTTGTTGTTGCGAAGATGAAGATGATTGTGATGATGATGATGATTTATTGCCACCAAAGATAGATTGACCACCACCAACACCACCATTCTTACTTATAAATGAAGATGAAGGGGGTGTAGATGTAGAGGCGGATGGAGGTGAATGAACCTTTCTTGCAAAGGTAGAGGTTGAAGAAGGAGTTGAAGTGGATGTTGGTGATCGATGACTCTGTTGTTGTTGTTGTTGCTTGACAAGACCATTAACAAACTTCAAGTCGGGATCTTCCTCAATGTCGTCTTCATCTAGCAATGCATCTTGTGATTGAAAGGTAAGAGTAGAAGCAGCACTCCGCTTGTTCACGACCTTCCTAAATGATTTGCTCTCTTTCATCATTATGTCTTTCTATGCTTTCTCTTGTTGCATGTATGTTATCTGTCTATTCACGAATATAAACTATTCAGAGATATATAATATATGTATGTGGTATTGTATCTATGATGTAGGTCTTAATCTTTGTAAAGATAGAACAACCATTCATTTCATTTTTTCAAAAACAATTTTAAAAATCCGCCTCTCAATTAGCAGAAAATCACACAAAGAAAAGACAAGAGATAAGTTTAAGTTCAATTTTTTTGTTATTTATTTTTATCATTTTGTTTGTTTTGTATTTGTATTTTGAATAGTTTATAAATCTGTTTTAAAGAAAAAGAAAGATTGATTAGTATTTAAGTTGTAAAAGGTGATAGTGAAAATGATAAAGATCTAAGAGTTGTGAATCAGAAATATGGCAAGTTAAAATTGAAGGTCCATCTCAATCAGGGTCGATCAGACGGGGAAAGGATATCATCATTAAAGAATGTTTTGGGTTGAAAGGTGTAGAGGGTGCAAGCAAGGCAACTTACATTAATAGTTTTATGTTGGAGGGACCGAGAAGAGTACAGAAAGAGCAGAGGAGAAAAGAAGAGAGAGAGAGAAGAAAAATACCTATTTAAAAGAAAAAAGAATGATTAGTATTATGAATGAGATTTAAAAAAGGTTAGGAATAGAAGGATAGGATAGCAATAAATAAATAATCAACTAGTAGTAATAGTATGAATGTTTAATCAGAAATATGGCAAGTTAAAATTGAAGGTCCATCTCAATCAGGGTCGATCAGACGGGGAAAGGATATCATCATTAAAACATTTCGATTACTACTATTTGGTTGTATAAATATATATATGCTACCCAATGCCTGCATGTCCTTATCAAATTATTATTATTAAACTTACAATATTTAAAAAAAAAAAGAAGAGGACGACGAGTATGTAGAGGGATAGGTTAGATAAAGAGAGAGGAGAGGAATGAATTATGAATTATGATGATCGTTCACTTTTAGTCGTGTCGTTTTTTGGTTTGAAAAAAGAGATAAAAATTGAAAAATTAGTTTAAAAATCAGTCGAAAACCGAGACACTTTTTTTACAATCTTTGTTAAATAATTGCATGGCGGGAAAAAACTATAGTACACTAACAAACTTTGAAATAATAGGCAATAATTTAAATTTAATTTAATGATTGTTTTAAATTATTTATTTATTTATTTCATTATTTCATTATTTCATTATTTATTTATCCTATCCTCTGAATACTAATGATGGATGTTTAAATTCTTCTGGAATAAAGAAAAATGGTCTATAGTATTTCATTTGGAATGCCATTGATAATAAATAGAGACAGGCCATAAGACTAATAAAACCAATCATAAAAAGTGATTGTAATTGGAATTTTGATAATTTATCTGATAACTTGTTTGGAAGAATATCAGCAATCAAAATAAACAATCCTGCCAAAATCATTGCTATAAATAAATAAATAATAATAATAATAATATCAAACAAGGTAAATAAATACATATACTGTTTCTTTTCTTTTCTTTTTTTTTTTTTTTACATACTTAATACACCCATCATGGCACCTTCAACAACAGTTTGAGATCTTGTATTTCTCGAGAAATAAGATAATTGTTTGGTTTGTGGATTGTAATCGTACATGGGTGGATGATGAATATAGATATAAAAGACACCAGAGAGAACGGTGGCAACCAAACCCAAACTGAGGAACATCCAGAGACGTGGGTTTTGACGCTTACGGTACAATGTTAGGAGAATACGAAGTGCAAAGAGGAAACAAGCAATGATTCCAAAAAGATGTCCATATCTTTCAAAGAATCCTAAAATGATTTCAAACTATATAATTATAAAAAACACACAGGTAAATATTTGTTTGCCAATACAAATTTGATTTAGGGGTTACTACATACATTGGCACCTGAATTATCTCTAATAAAATCTCTAAAACCTCTTTGTGAAAATTGTTCGACTCTTCCATAGACGGTCTTTGAGGATATTTCAGCGGAACCCTTTGGATGGAAGATTACATGTGGGATGGTTTGGATACCAAGCTTTTGGAAGAGTTCCATGGTTTGATCAGACTCGGCAATGACCAAAAAGACAGGGTTGAGATCGAAATCTGGAGACTTTAAGTATTCCATGAAAGAGTAGGAACCAAAGTATTGAATTTCATTCTTGATCTTGATACAGACATCACATCCAAACTTGGGGTTTGATGATGTCAAATAGATGATCATACTGTATGGTCTGTTGGTTGCGTATACATATTTACGTATCAAATCCATATCGAAATTGATAACTCCATCCTTTTGAATTGCTAACTTTTTCAAATCTTCAATAGCTTTAATCCCCTAAAAGATAGATAGATAGGACAGATAGAATAGATATGATAAGAGATAGGATAAAGTTTATTATTAGCATTTTTGTTGTGGTCACAAACGAGTAACAGATCTATCTGTCTGTTTGTATCTCTCTCTAATTATAGATTGTAATAACTAGTTTAGATATATAATATATATTATACCTTTGTTTGTGATTCGACTCTTGCAAGCAATAATATCAACAAGATAAAAGTGAGATAAAGATACTTCATTCTCTCTGTCTGTTTCTGTGTGACTTCTTTCTTACTCTTACTCTCTCTCTCTCTCTCCCAATTCGATCAATGATCATAGTAGGAGGGTGGGGTGGTGGATTGTGAACAGCATCATCAAAAATATTTTTTATGAATCCTTTTTTATTATTAATCCTTCACTTTGATGGGTGCACCCTATTCATTGTGAAAGATAATTATTATCTACCTACCCCACCCCATACATACAAATAATACAACACACATTTATCATTCATATGCAACATGATTTCTAGTAGTAGAGTGATTGTTTGATTGTTTGACGGTATAACAACAACAATGAGCAATGGGGAGGAATAATATAGTCGTCGTATCATGTGATTGATCCGGTGACAGATACATACATATGATAGAGTGATCATGGTTATGGTTGGTAGTGATGATGATGATGTTGATGAATGTTAACAATGAATGAATGTTAGCAAATATGATCATCCAACAAACAATCAATCAATCACCATCATCAATCATTATTTATTTATTTATTTAATTACCATACAGTCGACTGCAACAACACATTATTTATTAAAATAATATATAGAGACAAGAAGGAAAGAAAGAATATTAATCAACATATAGTATAAAATAAATAATTAGAGATAATCCAAATGAAAGTATTAATAGCTATAGTATTACTAGCATTTATTGTTGGTGTCCATTCAGCCAGCTTTAGAGCAAGTTCAGACTTGTTTATTAAAAACAAAGTTCTAGAGAATGAACAAACCGGTGGACTATTGTACATCTTGTTTACCAATCCAGAACAAGAATGCAGTGGCTGCAAGGAAATCAACGACAAGTTTGCTGAAATGTCGGAACAATACTCTGATAAGGTTACCTGGATCGTTGCCAATGTTGATGATGTAAATGTATGTTTAAATCAAATATATTTATTTACAATAATACCAATTAATTAATTTAATCAATCAATCAATCATTTTAGGGAGAAAGCATGAAACCATATATTCCAGGATATGTCATGTTGAATGGAGCCAATGTCTTGGAAGTAATTCCAAGAGCTTCATTTGTCCAACTTGAAAATGCTGCTCTTACTTATATCGAGCAATTTTAAAAGATCATGTTTAAACCTCCAAAGCAAAGACATCCTTAACCATAACATGTTTTAAATTCAACAACAAAAATAAATTATCAAATAATAATAATAATTAATTAATTCTTTATTCTACACAACATGAAATGCATTGATTGACAAAAATTTATCAGTCCTCTTGAATTTCATTGTTTTTAATTATTAAGAATATCATTCAATATATATATAACTATTCGATGTATAGTTGATCAGAATATAAAGATATAAAGATATAAGGGAAAGGAAAGGAAGGAAGGATGTTTTCAAACTTTAATAGGAAACAAAAAACTATTAGAAAGAGATATAATACAGACGATGATGACGATGAAACAAACGATCAAGAAACAACAACAACAACAACAACAACAAAAACAACAAAAACAACAACCGACACAACAGTGAAAGATACTTTAGAAACTAAAGATGGATCAACAGAACAAGTAAAGGAAAATATAGTAAAGGTTGCTGCTGATTCTGCAGATGAGCCAGATAACGACGAATCATCTTTTATTCAATTTAAATCAAAGGTTGATATTAAGAAAAAGCCTGTTAATACATTCAAGTCAACAACAACAACAAAGAAATCAACAACATCATCTCCATCAACAACATCAATACTTAGCTTTGATGAAGATCAAAATGATGATTCCTCAACTTTTTCAATACGTAATCAATCGTTAAAGTCAATCAAGATGAGTAGTATGAAAAGAAATGACCTCAATATCCAATCGACTGCTGCAACTTCATCATTTTACAATCAATCCATTGGAGAATACACTGTAGAGAATCTAAACAAATTGAAAATTGCAACAACCTCTAGATCAACTGTCCCACCAAACAAAGAAGAACAAGATGAATCGATGACAACCATGGTTGGAATGGATACAAGAGATGAAGAGGAGGATGGAAAAGATGGAGACACTGATTTACCAACAATTGAACAAATCAAAGCGGCAAAAGAAAAAAGAGAAAGATTAAGAAGAGAACATAAAGATAGAGATAATAATAATAATAATAATAATGGTTTTATTCCATTGGATTCAAGAAAAAAGAACAATAGTAATAATAATAATAATAATAATAATAATAATAGTAACAAACCAATTATAGATATAGATATGGAAAGTGATAATGAAGATGATGACTCTGCAAATGAATATGATCAAGAAAAATCAAATGTTAGGAAATTTGGAGATACTAGTGCATCATCAAAGACAAGAGGTGGAGTTGATGATACTATCAATGTAGATAGTGATGAAGAAGATAGTGAGGTTAGAAGATGGCACATTGAACAAATACAAAAAGGAGGTGGAATTTCAAGTAAAGCATCTCTAGATTCCAAATCAAAGAGTCATCAAAAGGATTTACTTCATCAAACAAAAGAAGATTATCCTCAACGTGGTGGTGGCAGTACAACAGACAATGCTTCGGGTTATGCACAGAGATTGTTACGAGATATTGAAAGCGCGTTAGAGGGAATGGATGAAGTACAATTCTCACATAAATCCGATCTTTCAAGAAGTCAAGCGGCACTTGAAGACAGTCAATATTTGGTGATGAGGTTAGAGTCTGATTTGAATGTTATTGACGATGAAGTAAACTATTATTACGAGTTTGAGGATTATGTCAAAAATATGGAAGGATGTTTGGATGAAAAGATACCTCAGATTGAAGAATTGGAATCTAGAATGATGGATTTGGAATCTCATTATTTTGGATCAAAAGGAAAACCAATGACATCCGAACAAGAGGTAGAAGAAGAGGAGGCATTTTATCAAAAAGAAAAGAGGCACATTCAAGAATTATCACAAAAAGTACTAGAGGATGTAGACGATGAATATAGCCAACTTGAACTTGTACGAGACAAGTTTCAAAATTGGAAACAAAAGAATTATTCTTCATACAAAAAAATCAACCTTGCCTATATTATTCCAGCCATTTTTGCACCATTTATCAAATTACAATTACTTCAATGGAATCCTTTACAAGATTCTAATTTTGATAAATATCCTTGGTTTTCTCAATTATCAAATTATGGTATTTTAAAAGTAAAGAAATTTAAACAAAAAAAAAAAAAACAAATCAAACTCTAAATATTTATACTAATTCATTTTTTATTTTTATTTAGAATATAGAATTAGACCATGATGATCAAGATCACAATTTGATACCAAAACTTGTATCAAAAATTATTGTAACAAAAGTAGAATATTTTATCAAATCAATTTGGGATCCATACTCTGCAACTCAAACAAATAATTTAATTCACACAATTGAAGAGATTTTAATTTATGTTGAGCAATTACCTTCATACTTTTTTAATTTGTAAGTTTCAAACAAAACAAAAAGAATAAGTTGAATTAGTTTCTAATATATTTTCTATTTATTTTAGGATAATACAAAGGATTTTAAAATCTATAGAACAAATCAAATTTAGGAAAGAAAATACCGGTAAACAAGAAAATCAAATTATTTTTGATGGCTCTATCAGTTTATTACTGGTAATGGTTAGATTTCACAAACTTTTTGATTCAGATTCAAAATATACACTTGGGAACCATATTCTAGACTATGTAAATTCGATTATATTGACAAATATTTCACAAACCTCTCTATTGGATGAACCAAGTCAACTATTATTATGTCTGCGTCGGGTTGTCGATAGTTTTGTGATAATCAACAACAACAATGAAAAGAAAAGAACTTGTTCAAATATGGTACATGGTTTATTAATTGATGTGGAATCTTTAATTGAAAGTGAAGATGATATTAACCAAATATCATACATTAAAGATAAATTATCTCTTTGAATAATTAAATAAATAAATAATAAATTTAACCTATCATCCGATTGATGGATAAACGTAAATTGAAAGGGTTTTATTTGAACATCATCAGCCCCTTCCCTCCATTTCCAAAACTAATCAATCGAAATGGAATTCAACTATTTGTGTCGTCGCCTGGGAAACAGTGAAGCAAAGTTGACAATAAATGAGGTTGATTGGGTTCCTATTTTTAAATAATGACCAAATATGTAAAAAGATACTGTAGACAAGATGAGTGTAGCAGCAATGAAAAATGGTAACCAATCCATCGATCTTGAATCAAACCATATATAGTTTGGAACAAGTGTGACTAGTCATTGGAATTTACTTTGAAAGATTGGGGAATCAAGCAAAGAGTTTGATAATCAAGGATGGATGATCATCACCATAACTGTCCAAGATTGAAACGGTTTTAAGGATGTTTGTAAAACAGTTTCTCTTTTAACACACAAACCACACCCAACACACTCTCACTCTCACTCTCTTTCTCTCTCTCTCTATCTATCACTACTAACCACGATCATCAACCCATTCTACAAACCTGTTACCACCTTGTTACCAAGAGATTATGATCAAGTGATAGTCCAAACAAACCAATGGATGTTTTGTTTATTCTGCTGTACGGTCGTGTACCCCATCAATATTGATCATTACAACAAATGGAAAGGAAGGGATTTTGGATGGATGGAAGGATGGATGGATGGATGAACCCATGGTTCATGAACATCACAATGGAAGGCACTTTATTGATTTTTGTGAGTATATGGTTTTTTGTTACTTAATCAAGATGATGGTGATCATGATGCTGTTGTTGTTGTTGTTTTGATGTTTTGATGTTGTCAATATATGTATGTTGTAAAACTGATGAAATTGATTGAGTAATTTACACTTTCCACCCACACTTAATTTTAGAAAGTGATATTGAATAAACCAACAAACTAATATTATTAATAAATCGTGGGTATATCGATGGCGCAATTGGTGTTGATGTTACGGTTGTTTGGTACATGTCTTATTAAACAATTGTTGGCGGTAATGACAATAAAAAAGAAAAAGAGAAGCAAGAGGAGGAGAAGAAGGAGAATAAGAACAAGGAGGAAGAAGAAGAGAAAGATAGGAAGGGACCTACCTACTCCAACCCTTTAAAGGTTACCCGAGGTAAGAGATTATTAATAATACCTTCTCAATGTTTGTTGGGTGTTGTTGGTTGTGTTGTTGGCTGGCTTAGAAGGATGTTGGTTGTCTGGCTGTGATAATAATAAGGGTACGACGGACAGAGTGAGGGTTAGGGGGTGGTTGAGATAGCTTTACTTTGGCTGCATCATCCATCAATCCATTTAAATGAAATATATAGTAAAGTATGTGGTGGATGTGGGAAGGGAAGGAACTGAATGAATGAATGGAGCATGAAGAGGATGGAGAGAGAGAGGAGGATAGGAACTGTTTTTTTTTTTTTGGTTGATGGTGGTAGTGTTGATGTTTGTTGGTGTTGATTCTGTCAGTCAGACCTACCCTCTACCATCTACCCTCTACATGTATAGTGGCAGATACTCAATTCCGCAATGTGTACTCCCTTGGTACCTCCTCTTCTTCTTCTTCTTCATGATGGCTACTACTCCTACTACTACTATGAAATTGAGTTTAACTTGTGTGTTGTTGTTGTTGTTGTTGTTGCTGTTGTTGTTGTTGTTGTATTGATAGTAGTATCGGCATTGGATGTTGCGACGCAATACCATTGTTGTTGATACCAAGAAGTGCTGTAAATTATGATGATCATCGATGTGTAGTAACATTACAAACAAGTAGCACCTTTAACCTATGATAACTGTCATTTCAACCTTGCATCGTCTATGAGTATTGTCATCGACGACCAACGCACCGATCCACCACCCAACCATTTAGTAAGAACTAGCTAAAAAAGCTGGCTGGAATCCATCTACCCAACGTTAACACTCCTACCCAAGGTTCGATAGATGATTTGGCAACACCACAACACTATCACCAATTTAGATCTAATTAGATTTGGATCAGAGCACCACCACATCGCTGATTGTATGATGATGATGATGATAATGATAATGATGATGATGTTGTTGTTTAAAGAGGAGGAGGAGGAGTTGAATCAACGCAAAAGGGGGTCTATCTCTGTAGACGGAACTCAAACATTGGAAGGAGGAGGAAGAGGAAGAGGAAGTGGTTGGCTTCAATTGCAGCAAGAAGCAAGGACATCTGTAAGAGAGAGAGAAAACATTGCATTGTATTGGTTAGTATACTTGGATAACGGTAGGTAGGTAGGTAGCAGCAGCAGAAGCAGCAGGGGGTGGGTGCATGCGTGCATGTAACAATGTTCATTGGTATTCCACAACTTTAAAATATTATTTTTGCAATCCATCCAACAACAACAACCAACAACCAACCAGTCTATCTGTCCAGCTGGCTGTCAGGCGAACAATCAGTCATTTATCAAAAAAGAGAGAAAAGCAATAACTACATTTATATATATATATGTGTAGATGTATACATAAGCAATCGTCTGTCGACCTTACCAACAATACTAAAGTTTAGAAGTGTACACAATCACTAAACAAACACAAACACATCTTGCAGATAAAAATATAAAATAACAATATCAACTACAATAATACAGTCAGACAGTCAGGCAGACAGACAGACAGATAAATTTATCAAATATTATATTTAAATTGACAATAATAATAATAATAATATTAAAAAAAAGAGGAGTAATAGATTCAAATCTAGGTCCCAGCTAGATTTTGAGGGTGGCATTGACAATATTCCGTTCCTCTCTTTTTTCACACACACATCACTCACTACTATCTATCTGATTGACTGACGACCTTTGATCAAGGTTGTATTATTATTTATCAATCATCATCATCATCATCGCCACCACACATAACACCAAACACACCCATATAACAATAGCACGACCACAAACCCCCCAACAACACCAACAACAACACCAATAAGTTACATTTTGTTGCAACCAACAGTAGTATTTGCATTTTTAAAATTGCCTATAATATATTTGCACCTATAATCTTTTTTATCCTTTCTTTTTTTTTTTCCAAGATTTTAGAAAACTATAATATAGTTTTTTTTTTTTAAAGATGGAATTTGTAAACAATATCAACCACAATAAAAATACGACGATAAATAATAATAATAATTCCTCACGAATGGAGGAATACAATGAAATAAATAAAAGGTTACAAACAATGTCTATAAATCGGGGATATGGATTTTATGGTGAAGCTCTGGTGGATCCAGACTTGGACTCGACCTCGTGGCCTACACCACCACTACTATCGACTATTTCCAATACCATCCCAACACCTCCACCAACACCACTATTATTTGATGGTCCATCTTTGGAAATTGAAAATATTAATAATAATAATAATACAACATATGATCGATATAATAATTATTTTTTAAATTATAATTTTAATAATAATCAAAATAATAATAATAATAATAATGGTTTGCCTTTTTACCTGCCAGAGGTAACCAATAATAATAATAATAATAATAATAATAATAATAATAGTGATAATAATAATGATATAGAGTGGGGTGGGAATGATACTATTGAAAAGAGTAGTCAGCAAGATTTATGTAATAGCCCACCACGAACCCCTCCATTCCAGGAACGGGTTTTGAAATGTCCTCCAAGACCAGTCAAGAAGAGACAAAATCCAAGCACAAGAGAAAAGCTTCCAAAGATTGGAAGAAGATTATTTTATGACGACGACAAAGATTTGGGAGGTGGTGGAGGCAGTTTGGGATTTGTACCGCTATGTTAGATTTAACTTTGATGTCAGGCAACACACATACACACAACACGACTACAACTACAACAACAATATACGACAACTAGACAATGACAACAAACTAATAATAGTCAACTATGGCTACAAACAACAACAATTTTTTTTTCAACAATAATGGTGATTGTGTAGTTGGATGCGAATTGATGTCCCCAGATAAATCTCCAAGATGCCCAATAATTCTACCCCCCACACGCGCGTTGGCAAGATCCAAATCTTAATTTGGTGGATTATCTGGTAATTATATAGATATGCGGTATTTTTACAAGCTCGGTTGTACTAATCCCTACATTTTCTTTTTTTTTTTTTTTTTTTTCTTTAGTTAACAACACTACAACACATCACCTACGGCTACACTCTGTAATAATAATAATAATTAATTAATTAATACTAACCGTTAATAATATACCAACTAACAAGAAGAAGAAGGAAGAATAATAATAATAATAATGAAAGCGAACAGTCAATCTCTATCGATTGCCAACCAAGAATTTACTCTTTTTGAAAAAAGCCAATTAACAACTCTATAACCTATATTATATATATATAACATCAACTCTCTATAATATACAAGAAAGAAGAAGAATAATATTATTATTATTATATTATTTTTTTTTTTGTATTGACAGAAAACATTTACAATTAATACAATGATAAATCAAATGAAATGATCGAATGAATCTTCATATATATCTATATTCCATCCCATCCCTATTTACCAGTAGTTTTTGTTTGTTACCTTTTTTTTTTCTTTTTTTCTTTTTTTTTTCATTTTTTCTTTTTCTTTTTGTTCCATACATATACAAATGTTTGGGATGATCAATTGCCAAAACGTTAAATCCATAAACCAAAAATTTCAGGTTACCCAATATCTTTTTCTTTCGCAAAAAATTAGTTCCACAAAATCCAAAAAAGATGATACCAAAATATGAATAATAATAATTCCCATCTTTTATCTATCTATCTACCATCCATCCATCGGTCATTTTAATACAATGAATTCCATCTCTTTTTAAACAAATCCTTTTTAGTTCCCTTTTCAACTCTGGTGTCGGTTTTGTCTTTCATGGCAATAGCCTTTTCTACAATCTTTGCTTGTTTCTTTTTGGATTTTGGGGTCAATGGTTTCTTTTGCTTGACGGTTTTCCTTTTTTTGACAAAAACAAGTAAGTATACATACATACAATAGTGGATAGATAGTACAGATTGACCAAGATAGATATAGGGAGATATAGTTTAAACCGTTAAACCGTTCTACAAAAAAGAAAGAGACCATGATACTTACTTTACACCTTGTTCAGCAGCAAAGTTATGACGTTCCTTGTTCTTTAACTTTTCATCTGCATCTGGTTGAGCTACATCATCGATCGATGGGGCAATGATATCGGGTACGGTATCTATTTGGCATAATTAATTAATTAAGTTAACGACGGTGTGATGAGAAGAATAAGGATCGACAAGGGGAGAGTTGTTTGTGATAAAGGTATGGTTGGGTTAGTAAGTTTCATTCATTAAATGTGTGTATGTGTGTGGGTGTATCAGATTATGAATGAATCGTTGTCTTGTTGACAACAATGATGATGATGATGGGTGCGAACTTAAACACCACCACAACCACAAATTGATGGGGTTGTAGCCTCTTTCATTCATTCATCAAACCAAATCAGTCAATCAATCAATCTGATGATGATGATGATGATGATAGTGTTTGTGTTGTGTTGTGTTAAAAGGATGAGGAGGTTTAATTGTTACCTTTGTTTGGTTGTTTGGTGGGCTTTACCATGGTTTAAAATGTATAATCAATTAAAAGGGAAGATCTGGAAGAGATTGCTTGAGTTATTAATGTACGTGCGTGCGTGCGTTCTTTGTGTTTGAGAGAGCAGCAGTAGTAGTAGTAGTGACTGTTGACTTTTGTTTTTGTTGTTGTTGTTGTTGTTGTTGTTGAGCTTTAAATCTTATCGATCAAAATCTATACAACTTTAGCTGGGGCTACTCGAGTAGAGAGAGATGATGATGTGATAATGATTATGGATGGGGGTACTTGTACTTCTACTACCCTTTTTCTTATTCTATTCTATTCTATTAAAACAATGCAATGTTTGTTGGTTGTTGATAGGAGGACGAGACGATCACAAAGCAACCAACAACCATCCGCCATTCGGTCGTTCGTTAAAAAGACAAAAAAAAAAAACAAAAATAAAATAAATGAAATGATTTGATTTTAAATTATTCCCTATGATTTTACAAATTTGTATGTAATTTTTAAAATATCGATAGATAGTTGTGAATAAGATTGGATTGAATGAGTAGAGAGTAAAAAAAAATAAAATATGCAATGGGGAAAACAAAGGAAAAAAAAAAATACAATGGAAATGTGTTGTAATTTACAAATACACCAAAATTACTAATAATAATGATAATAATGATAATAATTATTTCATTCATTTGATATTGTATCTATATTGTGTTATTCAAAAATATTAATTAGATATTGTTATTATTTTTTACCTTTTTTTTAAACCAAAAAATCAAGTAGGAAACATGGTTTGAGTTTCAACCAATTCTAGGACTGATTGAAATCACTTGGATTAAAACTAACTAACAAATAATAATCTAATTCTTTTTTGTCTTTAAAAATTGGTGATATGTGGAATTGGAGGGAATTTAAAGTATAGATAACAATTGATTGACAACTACTCAAAAACTACCTCCAACCGCCCTCCGTCTTTTAAATTAATTATTAATTCTTTTGGTATTGTAATCATAAAACTTTAAACATGGAACATTGTTGGATGTGGTGGTGGTGGTGGCGGTGGTGTTGGTTGTGGCAATTATATTTAAAATCCTATCCTACCTTTTTTCAAAATGGGTTGGTATTTAAATTGTCAAGATAAGCCTGGCAAATGCACAATACAGCATCATTTTCAATGTCAAGATCGAAATGCATCGCAAATACAAGTGACCCCCATTCGTTGCAAAGGGGATGGCAATAGAGTTGTTAGACAGAAATTGGCCAACCAACAAACACTCAACCAACCCACTCCTCTTGTTCTGGATTTCCAACCAACACTTGATCACAACAGTCTCCAACTACAAATTCAATCATTTTAATCATCAACCATTTACCTCCTCTTTAAATATTACCAATCAATATTAAGAATCGAAACAACCCCAAAAGTGACAACAACCATATCCCTCCAGCCAGTATCTCTCTCTCTCTCTCTCTCTCTCTCTTTCACTACGAGCGTTGTGCAATGGATGGATGGAATGGCAACAGCAAAGTATGTAATGGATGGATGGGTGGTGTTGGTGGTTGTAGTAGTAACACCTAGGTGGTGGGAATTCATTTCCAAATATATGCTTGAGTTTCAAAAGTGATTGGCCAGCATTCGCTCACGGGCTGGCTCTTACTAAAGACGACGGTCATTCCAACAAACAACAAACCATGTTTCCAATAAAAAAAAACTTAACAATTGTTACTTTTATTTTTGAGCTCTCATGTTCTTTCAACTGTGATGAAATCAATAGAGAGAGAGAGAAGGATGTGATTGATAGTGTTTGACAATCGATTAGATCTGCTTCAAGAGAGCCCATAAAAAGATTATGTGGTGGTGGTTGTGAATGGCTCATATTGGTATTCACAGCTCTTGCTATCTGCCTGTCGAGAGGGTGTCGATTGGCGTATATTGATCCACACCTCCTCCTCACTGACCTCTATCTGCTGCTGAAAACAACAAACAACAGTTTCGTTCGATGATGACAGCAGGGTTTTCCAATACTCACACCATGCAAGTGGGGGGAAATCACCCCATCAAGAATGCTCTCATTCCAACCATGTTTGCGTTCATTGTGTTGTTGACGTGAACAAAGAGGTGTGGGATCAATGGTTCGCTGTTACAATTGCTGTCACTATCAACCACCCCGATAATCAAATATTAAATTAATAATATTGATTGTGCTTGTTGTGAGCGTGCTCTCCTCCATTATTTTTCCATAATAGATTGGCAAGCATTGTCTTTGCGCAAGCAATCATTGCGTTGTATTGTGGGCGGCCCCCTCCTACCATTCAAAAGATTGTCTTTTCAATGATATCTTGTCAGCGGCCCATTCCATTGGAGTCCAATAGTGATGGCGGCAGACATTTCTTCAGTGAATGCAAATATGGCTAGTTGGCGAGAGGGCATGATCGAATGGACACTCTGTCAATCGACTGCTTGTTTCTTGGAAATGCTGGTGGTTTTGATTTTGAATATATTTTTGGCAATCTGATTCAACAACACCAAACCAATCCGATCCAATCGGATCTAAATGCCTAGTAGATGGATGATCTTGATTACAGGCGTTGAATATTCGAGTCTAGAATAGGATATGGTTTTTTTCTTTAGTGGCTCGTCCAACCCATCGTATAGCCAAAGGAATAGAAAGATGCGCTATTCATATCGTTGTGATAATCTCTCTGTCTATCTCTTGTTTATCTTTCTCTATCGTTGTTGAAGAGACACACCATATACAAACAGTGTGTCGTCATCCATTGTTTCATCGGAATGGGCGACATCTGTCTAAATAGGTTGCTCTCTATCTCGTTATTTCTGTTATCTGTTTTTTACCCTCATCCAACATAAATTGCAAGATGATAGCATAGTCACAAAAAGTACCTGGTCAAGATGAAGGCAAGGCTCGTAAAATCTTTTGAACATATCTTTTTTGTTTTCCCCATTAATAATCCAATTGCGGCACTTTATCTCGTTGCAACCAAAAAAAAAAAAAACAAAATTAAATGAATAGAGAGAAAAATGATGATTTTTTAAAGATCTAAATATGGCAAATGTGTCACGTCCCTTTGACTTGTTCTTGATTGGTTGACCGATCTCTGAAATTGTTGGGTAAACCAAATCCAAAGGGTGTCCAACATTGGTTATTTTTGAAACGAAAAACAAACCATTTGATCGATCGATTTCAATAACAATAATAAATTGATTGATCACAAAACAAAACAAAAAAAAAAAAAAGTTAATAAAAAGGGTAAATTAATTTTTTGTACAACAAATTAAATTAAATATATTTCAATTCAATTAATTTAATATATTATTATTATTTAACACAAACGACATATGCAGTTTCCAAACCAACCATTTTTCCTGATTGTAATAATTCATCAACATGACTTTCAACCTAAAATAAATAAATAAAAGATAATTAGAGAAATGAATGGCTGGTTTTAAAAAATAAATATATTTTTGTTTGTTTTTTTTTTTCTTTACCTTTGAAACCCATTCTTGTTGTATATCAATTGGAAGTGATTTGAAATAATCTTGGAAATCTGGACCAGAGAAAAATACTTCAACATATTCTTTACCATTTAAAATTAATGCATTATTGTACTAATAAATAAAAAATAAGAATGAATAAAATAGTATATTAGATTAAATATTTATAATCTTATTTTCCATCTTGCTTTCTATTATTAATAATATTTACAGTATAACCACCAAGACAACTTGAAAATCCTGCATCTAAAACCATCTTTCTTAGATGATCGATATCGTTGAGATGGAAAGCAGAACGTTCAGAGTGGGGGAAATTTGGTACACCGATAGACTCTGCAATACTTTTGGTGATGGTGAATTGGTTGCTGTTTTGAGGACGACCCCAAACCGAGAAACAAGCAATACCACCCTTTTCCAAGACACGAAGTGTTTCCTTGAGAGTTTGTACTGGGTCTGCTACAAGATGCAAGCAATAGTTGGCAAAATATCTGTCAAATGTAGAGTCGGCAAATGGCAACTTCTCAGCGTCGACTTGGAGTACCTTGAACTTTCTCGATTCGTCACCGTCCTTGTCGACTGCAACACCAGTTCTCTTTTTTGTGAGTTCAACCATCTCATTTGAAAGATCGACCGATGTCAAGCTTGTAGAGTCATGCTTCATCGACAGTGCGAGACTGCTGCCTGCTCCAGCACCACATGCAACCTCCAAGATTGCTTTGGGTGGTGTCAAACTTCTTAGGTTTAATCTAAGGTTTGACAATAGAATGTGACATACTGGTAATGTCTGTGGTTCATTATAGAACTGAAACACTGAACTAAATCTATCCCATTTCTTTTGAATCACTTCTGTTGATATTGGTGTTGTCATATTTTTTAGTTTAAAAACTCTATTACTATTAATATTACTAATGTTACTAGTATTTATATGTGTGTATGTATAATTAATTATATGTTAATGATATTTGTTGTATGTTTGTTTTTGTATGCACGTGAGGGGTAAGTTCAGCAAACTCTGATCTTTTTACAAATGGAATATTTGATTAATTTTTTGATGATATTTATATTCAATTCAATTTCGAGGTGTCTGTCTATTATCTATTTATAACTACACTACCCACATCTATCAAATAAATTTATATAGATTTATTTATTATATTTGATTGATTTATTTGATTGATTTATTTATCTTTTTTTCTTTCTATCATTTTCAATCTTTGTTTGAACTCTTTCATGTGATAGATTGTATTTTATGTATTTTGTTTTTGAATGATTTCCATATATTTTACAGTTGTGCAAATAGATTGCAAATGATTGGTAGTCTCCTTGTTGTCGATTCATCATTTCTACAACGAGATCTTCATCTTTTTTGGTATTGATAAAATATTGTTTTAAATCTAGATCTTGTTCAACTAGAAATTGAAATGCAAATACTTTGATTTCATTGTATGCTTTGTTGATCATATACCTTGATATTCTTGTCCATCTATCTTCTCCTTCTTCCCATTCATTCTCTTCCTCTATTCCTTGAGCAATGAGTATTTCCTTTCTTTCTGTTTCATGTTGATAGATCATATGTTTTAGGGTTTGGTAGATGGATGGATGAGGACGTTCCAAGAACCGATCGGCGATTGATTTGGTGTCCCAATAATGTGCGATGATCATTTCCATTGCATTGTGACTGATTATTGGTGTGGTGGGACCCATATGCGCGGGTTGGTCAATATTGAGCAACCTTTTTAAAACTTTGGTGTCTGAAGTCTCGATGGAATCTAAAAAGAGTCGTACCGGTACTACTTTGGGTCGATCCGATTGACCTGATGACGATGGATAATAGGAAGGAGGATAGATATGATCACTAATGTCTTGTGATTGCATGAGTAATCCTTGAGAGACAAGACGTTCATACCAAAACAAATCGATCCCCTTGAAATCTGGTAAGGAAAAGATATCTACGTTGGTCGAGCCGGTGCACTTTAATGCCAGTCTGACATGCTGTTCATTGTACGTTGATATGGCGAGCATGAGGAATGAGTATGCATTATGATCCCCTGGTGAAAATGTCAGCTCTTCAGTGATACCAAGACTGTCAACGAGGAATTCAAACATTTCAGCGCACTGTTCTGGTGATTTGGGTATTTGGTTGCTAAAGATACTTGTATTCATTAATACTTTCCATACTTGGAGTGTACGGGCATTTGATTGGTTCTTGGGTTGACCCGGTCGGTTTACCAACGCTTGATAGTCGATGCCAGAGCTACTGTATTTGTTTGCCTCTAGAATCTGTGCAACATTGCCAAATTGACAGATAGATGACATGACAGATTTACCGCCATCGTCGTCGCCAAGTGTCATGTTTTCAGTATCATCTGATTTGAATAGATATGTAATCATACCAACACCGTCGCTTGCCATAAGCTCCTCTTGTTCAATCCTTGTTTTACATGTAGCCTGCATCATGAATGCAAACACATTACCTCTACATGACTTTTCAACAAGCTTGCATAAATGACAAAATACAAGCTTTGCTATCACGTGTCTTGACAAGACAGAGGGAGAGTGTCTTGCACGGGCCTTGTTTCCAAACAATCCAATCAGTTTGACTGGATCATCATCTACTCGTCGTCGATCACTCTGTTGTAAATGTCTAGTATATACATTGGCCAAGAACAAGTTGATAGAGTCTAGTCGGTCTGTCTCGTCGTCTCCAAACGTCTCATTCTTGACAGCCATGGCAACCGACGCAGCTGTCAATGGGATTCCAAACTTTTGCACGAGTAGTTCTACAACCTTGATATCAAATGACCAGAGAAACTTGTGCAACTCATCCTTGAGCACATTGATCCACACTGGCACCTTGTTTGCAAACCTGACGAGAAAGAATGAGATGAGGTCCGGTCGATACTTGTGTTCTAGTGCTGCTTTGAATGCATTCAAAGGATTATCACATCTCTTGTCACAGGTGCTGTTCAATACGAATATTTTGTTTAACATGTCTGTATGACCACCATGAGCAGCTGCCACAAATGCCCTCTCCATGTCACCTAGTCTCATTTGTACTGGGTCTTCTTGTTGCATCAGTGTGTTGAGAATGCTCACATTGCCTCCAGCTATAGCATCGTATAGTATGTCATTTTGATTGAACCAGTATCGATATTGAGCATTGTTGTACAGTATGTTAAAGAGTACCTCATCACCGTGTGATACGAGTAGAGATATAGATTGAGATGTAATGATCAGACCTCTGCGACTGGGATCAACCAACTTGTCTTTTAACAATCCCAAGTATCCTCCAACACCTATTATATCATCAATACTAGTCCATTGATAATAAAGTGTCTTTACTTTCTTTTTAGGTGCAAAGCAATTATGAACTTCTAATCTCTTATTAACAACTGATTGATTTAATATATAGTGTAATAAATATCTATTCTTTAATACACTTTCTATAGATGATGATGATGATGGTAAAGTTATCATTCTTTTAAAGATAGGTTATAAATTATAAAGTAAAACATGATTATATTTATGATGATTTATTAAAAAGTAAATGATTTGAGGGCTTTGGAAGATTCTTTTTTCTTTCTATTTAAATATTATTTATTTTGCAACATTAATATTTGTCTTTTTAAAAAATACAACTTTAACTTCACAGACACCTCCATATATATATATCAAATGGATGATGGTGTAGTTGAGGTTAAAGTTGATAAAGTTTAGAGATTGCTTGCAATTTTGTTGACTTGCAAGAATCGTCAGGCAGTTTGGAAGCTAATTCGTCCATTTACGTCAGCTTAGTATCGAGAGCTACCGTTTGGTTTTTAGAGGTAGTATCAATAATCGGCTTAGCTATTTATTCGTACCTGTTTGTTGTGATTAGAAGAGTATCAATCACCAACTCTTGAGCTGTAGGGTCCTCAATCGGTACTAGAGGGGTGATGCTGATAATGTCTCCACGGTTTGGGTTGCAGTCGCTCGGAATGGTATCAGTATGATATGAGCGACGGTGGAGCCATTGAATGCGATCGATACGTACGAATATCGGTTGTCTCGAGCTGTCAAACGATGACATCAACATCGATATGTTCATAGTGTCCCCATATATATAACTATTTCTTTTCTTACTTTTTTTGTTTTAATTCTATGTATATTTATATTTATATATTACCTGCGAGCTTGACACACAAAAGGAGGACCCAAAGCTTTTTTTTTAATATTTATTGTAAGTAAAAGTATAACATTTGATTGGTTTAGGTGGTGACTTTTGACGATAATGATAAGTGATAATGTCATTGTTCAGATTAGTGACCAAATAGTTCAACGGTACAACAAGCATAGTGTAGTTCAAGATGACAACGACACTACTCCTACTCCTCCACCTCCTCTAAAGAAGAAGAACAAGAGAATATTGGTTGGTATAGTTGGTGCACCAGGAGCTGGTAAATCAACTCTATCTGCAGCACTATTTACTCGTTTGAATGATCATCATCATCATCATCAAATTAAAACGGTGGTTGTACCAATGGATGGATTTCACATGGACAATGGTGTATTGGAGAAACGAGGTTTACTACCTAGAAAGGGATCACCTCCAACGTTTGACTGTGATGGTTTCTATCATCTATTGAATAGACTCAAGAAACAAACACAACAAGAAGAACCAGAGATTCTCATCCCACTGTTTGATCGAAAATTAGATGTCTCTAAAGCAGGTGCTGGTATTGTCGATTATCAAGATGAAATATTATTGGTAGAAGGAAATTACCTACTATTAAAAGATACACCTTGGAATAGATTGGCCAATATCTTTGACTTTACCATCTTTCTCCAAGTCGATCGCGCCGAGTTGGAAAATCGTCTCATTCAACGTTGGTTGGATCATGGGTATGACTTGCAAGGTGCAACCAATCGTGCAATGTCCAATGATATTCCAAATGCATTATTAGTATTATCAAATTCAATCAATGCAGATTTAATAATTGATAATAATAATAATAAAGATTCCAAATCATAATAGATCCTAATTATCTTGTTTTATATATATATATATATATTATATGGTTGATTTATTTTATACACTTCTATATTCTATTCTTATCTAAATTAATATGGATTTGCCTTACTTCTAGCATTATTTGATTTCTGAAAAGAAATAATAAATATTATTAATAATCAATTAAATATTTGAATGGGATTAGATCTCTTTGGATATCTATTTAATTTACAGTTATTTTTCCACTTGAAGAATCAGATGATGATTGATTGTTATTATTAAAATTGATTTGATTTGACCAGAAACAAAGACTACCATCTTCACCGGCAGAGAGGATGACATTGGTGGTACGATTCCAATAGATGCTACGGATAATGTCAGAGTGTCCGTTGGAGAGGGTGGCAATGGGGACGACGCTTGGTTGTTGGGCATCCGAGTTGACTTGGTACACTAATCCCAAGCCACTGTAGTTACCGCCAAACAACAAGAGTGCATTGTTGGCTGCATCGTATTGACAGGTGACAAAATAGTTGACTTGGAGGTCTGGATACTTTTCTTGGAGATGTGTACGAAGATCACCACCAAAGTCTGTGATACGTGAGAATGAAGCTAGATCCCATGTATAGAGACGTTCAGTGTGTGAGAGCGAATAGAGGTACTCGTTGGATGGTCCGTAAAACCCTATTGTGTTGAGTGAATGCTCACCATTCATCACCGACAAGACAGCCTCATCAACATCTTCGACAGTGAGGTCATAGACACAAATCAATCCATCGACACTACAAGAAAACAATTTAGTTGCATCGTTTGGATGAAAGAGTACTCTAGTCACATCTTCAGTATGACTATCACAAAACTCCTTTACCATCTTCATTGTCTTTAAATTCCAAATGCATACACTACTACCAACTCCAACTGCCAATAAATCTCCTGCAATATCAATTGTAAATGCTTCTCCTTTTTCTAGAGAGAGAGAGAATAGAAACAAACGTTAGTATCTAATATAGATAATATAATATAGATAATATATATATTTGATTGATTGATTGATTGACTTACGATTCAATGATTTAACAAGAGTTGATTTCTCACAATCAAAGATCTTGACAGTTCTATCGGATGAACATGTGACGAGGGTGGTTGGGTTGAGGAATAGAGTTTGGTGAATAGAGTCTTTGTGTTGATTGAGTACACTCAATAATGTATGTGTAGTTGGGTTGTATAGTTTGATGACATTGTTGGAACCTGCACAAGCGATGAACTTGTCCGACTCTGACATATGCACAATATAACAAACATCCTCTGATTTGGTACTATCCACTGTATGAACAATCTGTGATTTTAATTGAAAGTTGATTAATTGACTCATCTCTTGAGAAGATAGATAGATAGATATAAATAAATAAATAAATAATATAGGGAAGTAGTACTTCGAATATTGGTTGCAATGACTTTCGTTCGTTTTGAAAAAGGGATGAGAATGTGTGATGAAATTAATTTTTTGTTTTTTCTAAATTAAAAAGCAAAGAATGCAGATGATGATGATTATTGTATCTATGATTTAGAGAGTATAGTTTGTATTTATTATCTCCTATTCTCTTCTCAAAGATGTATAGATCAATTAAACAGATTAGAGTTGATTTACTTGGAGGTAAATTGACGACAAGAGAATTGATTGATGGTTGCGTCAAGAGAATCGAGGGATTCAAGAAATCGACCAATGCATTTGTGTCGGTGCAGTCGTCGAGCGAGTTGGATAGGTTGGTGGAGGAGAGCGACCGTCGTATAAAAGGTGGTGATGCACGTCCGTTGGAGGGTGTGCCCATCGCGGTGAAGGATAATTACTCGACCGATGGGTTGCGCACGACAGCCGGCTCAAAGATGCTGTCCAACTATACACCGTCGTTTGACGCGACTGTTGTGGCACGGTTGAAACATGCTGGTGCCATTATCATTGGTAAAACAAATATGGATGAATTCTCGATGGGCAGCAGCTCGACGAATAGCATCCACGGCTCTGTAGTCAACCCTTGGAGCATTGGAAAGACGGATCAATATGTTGCGGGTGGTAGTAGTGGTGGTAGTGCGGCTGCTGTTGCCGCTGGGATGTGCGCAGCGGCCATTGGCAGTGACACGGGTGGTTCGGTGAGACAGCCGGCCAGCTACTGCGGTGTCGTCGGGTACAAACCCTCGTATGGCACCGTCTCGCGGTACGGTCTCATCAGCTACGCCAGTTCGCTTGACACCCCGGGTGTGTTGGCCAACTCGCTCGACGACGCTGCTGCAGTCGCCGACATTATCATGGGACGCGACGAGCTCGACTCGACCTCGCTCTCTACCTACCCGCCTGCCCGCTACGTCACGAGCAACACAAAAAACTTTCTCCAAAAGAGTGTTGCGTCAAACAAGATTGGACGTCCACTCGTATTTGGCATCCCCACCGACTTTATCGTCAAAGAGATGGACGATGAAATCTTCCAACTCTGGCGAAACGTCGCCCGCGAAATTGAAGAGAGTGGCGTCGGATGTGTCGTCCCCATCAGTCTCACACACAACCGATTCGCGCTCCCATCCTACTACATTTTAGCAACCTCTGAAGCAAGCTCTAACCTAGCTCGTTATGATGGTGTTCGTTATGGTTTCAATGTTAAAGGTCAAGATCAAGGAGAAGATGGGGAAAACAATCAATCCAACTCATTGGACATTAAAACATTAAGAGAATTATATAGAGAAAATAGATCGATTGGATTTAGTGATGAAGTTAAACGAAGAATATTATTGGGTACAATGGCACTGTCAAGAGGATCACGTGACAATTACTATAAAAAGGCACAGCAGATTAGAAGACTTATTTCAGACGACTACTCACACGCATTCAACGTTCAAAATGTGGATGTTGTACTTACACCCACTGCACCCTCTCCAGCATTTAAGTTGGATTCCAAGATGGATCCAATCGAGATGTATCTCAACGACGTCATGACCATTCCAGCAAACCTTGCCGGTCTACCCTCCATATCCATTCCACTCCAAGTATCACCAACCAAACAACTCCCACTCTCCCTTCAACTCACAGGTCAACGTCTCAACGACCACACTCTTCTTCAAGCAGCTTCACTTGTACTCAATCATCTACCATCAAACTATTCACAAAATTATTCAACCGAATTTGAAAATCAACCATTTTATAAATCATAACAAAAAACCCACATATTGTACCATCTTGAAAAAAAGAAAGTTAAACAAACACATTTTGATCTTTATTGAATCAATCAAAAACAGTGTGATAATTATTATTATTATTATTATTATTATTAAATCTTTTTTTTTTTTTCGATCAATCAAGATCTCTTCACTTTAACTAACTAATATTAGTTTCAATCAGACTACTTTGTGAAGTGTGTGGCTGTTAAATTTAGATTTATACTAATTTGTAGTTTGTACATATTAGAGATATGAATCATGAAATACAAACCAAACGGATTCCTCATTTTATTAATAGTATACTAGGTTTGCCCTTGGTTTTACTCCTCTCAATACCTACCTTTTGATGGTAAACAGATCTGGCTGCTTCCCACGCTACTGGATACTTTTGATCTCCATCAATCGTTTTGAGCTTATTTTCCTAAAGTGGATTTCGTGTTCTTGCTGTTTCAACAGTTGCCCAACACAAACCAATGTTGCGGGGGGTTGTTGTTGCCATTTCCCTTTTTTTGACAAAACTAGTCAAACTTTGCAGACCAACCTCTGCTGTATCTGCACCATCAGATGATGATGATTGAGAGCATAGGCTTAAAGCTGGCAAGGAAGAGGACACTGTAGGGTATATGAAAGATAGAAATCTGTCGAGTACTATTAGAATCAATCAATCAATCAATATTCGTTTTTTGATCATTGTATTTGCTGCAGAAAAGTGTCGTTCTAACATCACCCAACAACCCTTTAATTTTTGTTGTTGTTATTTTGAATAATTAATATATATATTATTATAATATTATTATTACAACACATCAAGAAGAAAATCAATCATAACACAACACCATCACTGTCGCTCACTCTCACACCCACCAAACCCATCACTTCATAATTATCGGGTTAACCGTCAACCAAATTTTAAAAACATTATAATCTAATTATTATTATTTATTTTTATTCATTCATTTCATAGTGCACTTTGTCTTGTCTTGTCTTGTTTTCGTTCGTCATCATCATCACCCATTTCAAATATCTATCTTAAACATCTTGAGATATATATAATATATATCTCTTTTAAAAGAACATATAGAATGGAACCAAACTATGATCATTTCTTGGCTCAAATGGAGGCTGATCGATACTCTCAACCTCCAGCATCAATGTTTAATGTTAATGCTGATGAGATCATTCCTATCGAATATCAAAGTCCTCAAGCTCAACAACAACTTCAACAACAACAACAGGCTCAACAACAGGCTCAACAACAAGCTCATCAACAAGCTCAACAACAAGCTCAACAACAACAACAAATTCAGCAGCAACAACAACAAGCTCATCAACAAGCTCAGTTGCAGCAACAACAACAACAACAACAAGCTCAACAACAACAACAACAATATGGATCAAGTGATACAGTAACATCACAAGCACCAGCAACAACCAATAGTGTTGGTAGTACTACTACAACCAATTGGAATGAAACTGTAACCTATGTAGTGTATGGATCACACTTTAAGGTACCAAGAAGATATGATATATTGAAATGTATTGGTCATGGTGCATATGGTATTGTTTGGTATGTATAATAATACAGATACAACTTTTTATTCCAATATAAAGACCAATATATATATATATATAACTGACACCTATATGATATATCATATCTAGTTCTGCAAGAGATAATCTTACAGGTAAAAAGGTAGCAATTAAAAAGATTAGTAAAGCATTTGATAATATTAAAGATACAAAGAGAACACTTCGTGAAATTCATATCCTTCGACACTTTAATCATGAGAATGTAAGTATATCTCATCATCATCATAATTGTTTAAAGTAAGTACTAATTTATTCTTTTATAGGTTATTTCAATTAGTGATATTCTTAAACCACCTTCTATTGAAGAATTTGAAGATGTATATATTGTATCTGAATTGATGGATACTGATCTTCATCAAATCATTACATCGTCTCAGGTGTTATCAGATGATCATTGTCAATATTTTGTTTACCAAATGTTGAGAGGTTTAAAACATATTCATTCTGCCAATGTACTCCATAGAGATTTGGTATGTTTTCATGAGATAGAATAGATCACATGATACTTATATATTATATATTTTTTTAGAAACCAAGTAATTTATTAATCAATGAAGATTGTTTATTGAAAATTTGTGATCTTGGTTTGGCAAGAGTAGAAAACTCTAATAATCTTGGTTTCATGACTGAATATGTTGCCACTAGATGGTATCGTGCACCAGAAGTTATTCTATCATGGAATAAATATTCAAAGGCTATCGATATTTGGTCAGTTGGTTGTATTTTTGCTGAATTACTTGGTAGAAAACCTTTATTCCAAGGAAAAGATTGTAAGTATAATAACCTTCAATAACCTAAATCAATTTGATATGATGGTTTTTATTAACATTTATTTATTTTTTGTTTTTTTTTTAGATATACATCAAATTACAATTATTATTGATATATTGGGTAGTCCATCAGAAGATGATATTGTTAATCTTGAAAATGAACAAGCCAAGAATTATATCCGTATGCTTCCAAAGAGAAGTAGAGTACCATTCAACAAGATGTTCCCCAATGCTTCTCCACTTGCCATTGACATTTTGGAAAAGATGTTGACCTTTGACCCAGACAAACGTATCTCTGTCGAGGATTCTCTCTCACATCCCTATTTTGCCTCTCTACACGATCCCGCCGATGAACCAATTTGTCTACACAAATTCAACCTCTCTTTTGAAAATTGGGAATTGAATCGTGAACTCTTGAAACAATTGATTCACAATGAAATGCTTACCTTCCACCCTGAAAACTCAAATAATGTTCATGGACGTGGTAGTGAAGAAAATAATGGTGCCAACAATGGTTTATTCTCTCTATTACAGCAACAAACTCAATTACTTCAACAACAACAAGCTCAACAAGCTCAACAACAACAACAATATCGTTAAGGTTGTTGATGTTAAACAAATTAAAAAACAATATTGTAATAATAATAATAATAACAATAATAATTTATATAGTAAATATTAATAACAAAATATCAATCACTACTACTACTACTACTACCACCACTACCCAAAACTTATACATATTGTAACAATGAACTAATGTATCATTTCTACTATTATTTTTATAGAAATAATTTCTTTATTTTTTATTTTATTTTTTTTCCTCTTTTAAGTACTTACAAAATGGATAGATACAAACATTATCATTCTTTGTGTTATTTACATTATTATTATTATTATTATATTTAATTTATTTAATTTTCATTCTCTTCAACTCTTGCTTTCCTTATTACTTTTAATTTTGGTTTAAATCCAAATGATGATACCTTATTTTCTTGTTTACTCTCTTGTTCTTTTTCTTTTTCTGTATCCTCTTGTTTATCGTCTTGTTTCGTCTTGTTTGATGTGTCTTGTTCTTCTTTTTCTTCTACTGGTTTTAATTTCTTTTTTCCAAAAGCAAATGAAACCTTTGGTCCTTTTGTATCCGTCTGTGAAAAAGAAGGAGGAGGAGGTTGATAATTAAGAGTTGCTCTTTTGTTCATATCGATCAATTCTTCACCACTACTCTCATCGTCTTCGTCTTCTTGGTATCCAAATAATGATACTTTTTTATTCGATCTACCAGCACCAGCAGAAGTTGATTGATCTTGTTCTTCATCTTCTGGTCCATATCCATCTTCTTCTTGTTGGTGATCATAATTATTTGAATAAGTTGTACTCGATCCAAACATACTATCAGATGCACTAACAGATTCCCATTCTCCAACATTTGTAGATTCAATCTTTTCTTCTTCCTCGTCGTTTTCATTCTGTTCTCCATCACCTTGTTGATTGTTTTCATCATCACCATCATTGTTTTGATTTGACTCTTCTTGATTATATTGTTTAGTATCAACATATTTTGTTTGTGGTTGATATGATGATGTTGAAGATGAAGATGAAAAAGAAGGACCCTCTTTTCTCTTTTTATAATCTTGATTGTTATTGTTATTGTTATATCTTGGTTGATGAGAGAATTGACCACCATCCTTTGAGACAAATGATCTTTCACCAGATCGAATGATAGAATCCAATTCTCTTTGTTTCTCACGATCCGATCTTTGTTCTTGTATTCTCTCTTTCTTTTGATTGCCTATGAATCTACTGACAGCGTTCTTGTGTGTCCATCCATCTTCATGATTTTTAATACTCTAATAAAGAGAGGGAGAGATCAATTGTTAGTTATAATAGCAACCTTTGAACTTTAACAAACAAACATACCACATGATTATTGTATACGAATATTTTACAATACTGACACCAAAACCTTTGATTAAAGCTATCATCTTTACCTTTATTCATCGTCTTTGGTCGTTGTTGTTGTTTCTTTGATAAACTAATAGTTAAAAATAAAGAATAAATTAAATTGCGAAAAGACAACATCAAAAAGACATTTTAAAATTAATTATTATTATTTCATTGCAACTATTATTATTATTACTATTAGTATTTATAAAGAGCGATATAAATATATATCTCATGTTGGGTTCAGTGCAGAATTTTGTCATTGGACTGGGTGCAGGACAGTGGACTAACTTGTGAAAAGAAGAAGAGAAAGGGGGGACTTTTATACATCTCCATCTAAAGAGTGGAGTGGTTGCTACTGCATTCTCTGCTGATCCCACTGAGGTGTAAACAAAAGGGGGGTGATAGCGGAGAGTAATCAATCAACCATCCATAAAAAGAATGATCATAGAGAGAGAGAGAGAGAGACAATGCAATGTAAAAGAGAATATTTATTCTCTTTATATTATTTATATTATAAAGACATAGAAAAGATACTATATATTTATATAATATCGTAGTAAAATGATCAAACAAGATGAAGATCAATATTTTGAAATAGGTAGTAGTAATGTCAGCAATAACAATAATAATAATAACAATAGTAATGAAATACTACTTGGAGATTTACAACAAAAGTCAATAGACTCTTTTAAATTGAAAAAGTATTCAGATTCAATCAAGTTTCTAAATAGAATATTAATCATTCAACCAAATGATGTCATTGCATTATCGTATGTAATATAAATATTATATTATTATTGTTGTTGGTTTTTTGGATAACAAACTAACTATTTTTAATTTAATATTAGTAATAGAGCATTATGTAATTATCAATTGGAATTGTATAAACATTGTATCAAAGATTGTGATTTGGCATTGAGTGTTGATCCAACCAATAAATTGGTATCAATGCGAAAGGCAATGGCTTGTAAATATGTAAATGGAAAGAGTCAATCTAGTTTTGAACTATTCAAACAGGCTGCTGGAACATGGGGTAGTTTTGAAGAGATTGAAATCATTGATGTCTATTGGACATTAACCGATAGAAATATTGGTAATCCATCTCAACCATTTGGAAATAATCAAAATAGTAGTAGTAGTATTAATAACTCATCATCGGCCATTGAAAATATAAATAATAATAATAACAATAATAATAATAATAATAATATATCATTTATGGTATCAACAATGTCACCACCTCCATCATCATCCTCATCAAATTCCAATAACAATCAAGATTCGTTAGATATAATGTTGGATAGATCAATTGATGATTTATGTCTAAATTCAAATTCAAAGATCAAAGCATTTATTGATAACCAACAATTACATTTACAACAAATGGCCATGGTGGTTGATCCAAATAATACTATTATTACTTCTACCAACAACACAAATACTGATCTATGTGAAAATGATGATGATGATGAAGATAGAGATAATCATGATAATGATGATGAAAGATCAAGATTAAAAAAAATCAAGCTCAATGGATGAACTCAATCGAATGTTGGACCAATTATCAACTGAAACCATTGCCAAGGAGATATCACAATGCAATCTATTGGTAAATATCGGTAGATATCAAGAGGCAATTGAAAAGTTGTCAGAGGTGATCCAATCGAATCCATTGATTCCATCGGCCTATTTGGGACGAGGAACAGCATTTGCCATCATGGGGCATTTGGACCAGGCCATCGATGATTTTAGCAAGGTTCTTGAATTGGATAATACCATGTGCGATGCATACAAGAGACGTGGACAATCATTGGTAGCCAAAGGGTTGGATATGGCTGCAATGGGTGACTTTACTCAAGCAGTTGCATTGGACAAGGAAGGTGACAGTGACCTATTCTATAATCGTGCTCTACTCTTTTACGAGATGAGAAACTATGAACGTGCTCTCAAAGATTTTAGACGGTCTGTTGAATTGGACGCAGACAATAAGTTGGCTTGGAATCGTATTGGTCTGTGTCTCAATGTACAGGGATACCCTCGTCAAGCATTCTCTGCCTTTAAAAAAGCAATCGAATTGGATCCAAACTTTGAAGCTGCCTATACCAACATTGGACAGTGTTGGAAGGATCTAGGAATCTATCAAGACAGTCTAGCGTCATTCAATAATGCTCTGGATATTTCCCCATCCTATTCCAATGCACTGCATCTTCGTGGATTATTATTCTTTAATTCTGGGTACCATCTAAATGCCATCAAAGATTGGACTGAATTTATTCAAAATGAACCAATCAATATTGATGTTAGACAATTAAGAGCTATTACTTGTACTTCAATTGTATGTAAATATTAAAGAAAAAAAAGAAAGGAGACATAGACTAACTTTTTATTTTCAGGGAAAATTTAAAGATGCATTAAAAGATTATAGATTTATAAATGGAATTAATGATATACATTATTCATATTATCAAAAAGAGATTTTAATATTTACATGTAAACATTTGGATCAACCTTTTGATTCATTTAATATCGATAGACAAGTCAATGTGTATATTAAAACATTCCTATGTCAAAGGGTACCTCCCACCACATTGGTAGGATACCAGTCTCTGGAAGAGGTGTATTGGGATGAGTTGGACAAGATACAAGATGTTGATCTAGAGTACCGACCAACTCAAGCAGAACTAGAACTTTTAAAATTGGCTACACCAATTGGCAAAAAGTTACAATATGATTGTGAGGGATTCCTTCCCAATCACAGACAACAGTTACAATGTGGTATGGCTGTACTAGAGATAGCTCAAACCATCAAATCTCTATTGTCCAAGGAGAGGATGGGAGACGTTGCTCTTGTCAATGGTCGTGCTAGCAGTTGGATGGAACAAGACCACCCATTCCAATGGAGAGATCTATATGATATAGCCGTCAAATGGCGTCAATTCTCTGAGCCAAATGATCCGGTTTGGTGGGTCGATTGTCTCAGTCCCGAGCAATTCCAGGAAGGGTTTGGATCGCATACTCCACTTATCACTGGACAAACCAACGTCGTTCGATACTACCCAATGTTTGAACGATCGTTTGCACTCATGAAGAAACTCTTACCATTCCAATTATTAGAGATTATCAAGCCAGCATTGGGAGTTGAAGAATTGTTGGACAAGACTGAGCAAGAACAAGAAGATAAACAAGTATCGATGCTCAAAGAATGTCTCAATGCAACCAACTGCAAAGAACTATACAAGGCTATTAAAAGAGACTTTTTCGTCGTCACACCTTGTTACAGCCACTATGACAAACATCAAGGTAAAGTAATGCAAGGAACACGTCTCACACTGCAAACTGTGTATCCCGAGGGATTCGAATTTGCCATTCGAACACCATGCACTCCCGAGCGTTGGAATGACTATAACCAAGAACTGACCCAACTCTGGTCAGACCTCTATCTATCCATTCAAGTGTATCATCAGACCAGTGATGAAGAAAAGGAGACATTGTTGGATGACATTAGTGACAAGATCCTAATGATCACTTACTATTGGTACAATTTCATGCCATTGACTCGAGGTAGTGCAGCGGTTGGTTACACTGTTCTCCTCGGACTATTCATGTCGATCGATATTGACATATCCGCACCTATCGCCAAAGGACAACAACCCGACTGGGATGCTATCCTCTCTCCAACACCCGACCATTTCATTAAGATTTGCAAAGGTTGGATGTATCCATCTAGAAGAAAGCAGACAAATAATATCATTGAATACCCATCCGTCTCCAATCACATCAATACAATTAGAAAAATGATTCAATTATTAAATCAATCATTACATTAATAACAATAATAATAGAAATAATAAATAAATAAATAATTAATAAAGATCAACCCTGAGATATATACACTATGATATTGGAGGAGATCATTCCTTTGACCTTTTTGAGAAGGAATTTTTTTTTTTTTTTTTGTTGACCTTGAGGCGACTCTGCATCGTGCCAGTGTGTAAAGAACCGACAACTGTTTTCATTGTTGAGAGATTCAGTAACAGTAGCAGTAACAGCAGCCATCATCACCCACTCTCGGTGTTTTCTAAACTTCTAAAATAACAAGTAGAAGTAGTAACGAAAGAAAGAACTAGCAATCCATCAACTCAATCAATAGGTAGTAGTTGTAGCTCTTGTTCTTGATCATCAAAGAAGTAATTATTATTTTGTAATACTACTCAATTCTGTACAGTATCAAAGAAGAAGAAGAAGAACGTACCACCACACCACACCCATCCAAACACTATTTAAAATATCCAAGGTAAATACAATAAAACAAGACGACACATCCCAATCTAAACCCAAACACACAACACCCACCACAATATATAAATTTATGTTGTGAATCACAGACGATGACCAACCAGTGAATGTATAGAGAGAGAGAGAACGACAAGAATAAAGAACAAGAACAAGAAGAAAAACAAGATTATATATACACATACATATACAAAACAACAATTATAACAATAGTGATGATGATGATGATGGATTCAAATTCAATAGATTCATTTTAATAATAATAATAATAATAATATTTATATATTTAAATTTTTTTATAGAACTATAGTTTTAAAAATAGAATCAAACATCATGATTCAAGAAGAATTTGAAACAGCAAGTACTTCATCACAAAATACAACACCCGCCGATTTTACCCCGATGAATATTAGTGGAGAAGGCCTTGGTGCCACTAGTAGCAGCAGTGGTAGCAGCAGCAGTAGCAGCAGTGGAAGCTCGAGCAGTGATAATGATTCACAAACTACTCCTACTATTACAAGAAAGAGTGGTAAGAAACAAACATCCAACCAAAAATTACCAACTACACCACAACACCATGTCCCTAAATTGGCAAACTTGGTCATTTCAACAAGTGACTCTGAGAATGAACCTACATCTGCATCAAATGTAGATTCATCATCTAAAAAATTAATAGGTGTTACTGAAGATGGAACAAGTAAATATATATAAAAAATACAAAAGAAACATCTGGAGGGAATGGACAAACAAATGAATGAATGAATGAATGAAATGGAAATAATCTAATCTTATTATTATTATTATTCTTTTGAATATAGGATTTACATTACCATACACAAAGAACCCATTAACATTACATCCAATCGATACATGGACTTATTTTGATTACGCTAAAAATGCCGCTCTTGCTAATTTATTATTAATATTCTTTAATCTTCCAACTTGGGTAAATATTTATCAAATCGAGAAAAGAAAAGAAAGAAAAGAGTAAATAGAGATCATTATTCTAATAATCTTTTTATTTATATATTTAGTTTTATATTTCATGGTTTTTGTTTTGGAGATTTGCCTACAATCTTGGACTTGGTTTAATATTACGTTATCAATCAAATAACAAATTCCTCAGCAAATGGTTCAAGACCATTACACCATCTCATCCATCATATACCTTTGTCAAAAAATTCTGTTCAACTGGAATGGGTAGTGATTATGATTTCGATGTATGTTTGATGAATATAATATAAATAACAAAAAACAAAAAAAAGAAATGGAAATAATAATAATAATAATAATTCTTTTTTTAATTTATTTTATTATAGAAAACACCAGCAGAATATAATGCATGGTTAGCATTTAGATTAGTAGTTGATATTGTATTGGCATATGATTTGGCAACCTATGTAATGATGGCATTTGCATTTACTAGAATCCCACTTGACGCAAACTGGACCATTGTTCCAATCTATATTCTTGGTTTATTATTATGTGCATTCACATTATGGGCAAAGACTGATGCTTATCGTGTTGTTAAAGATTTTGCTTGGTGTATGTATAGAAATCAAAACAAAATAATTATAGTAAAAATTAATTAATTCTAATATTTATTATTTTATTTTTTAGATTGGGGAGACTTTTTCTTTTTAGTAGATCAAAAGTTAACATTTGATCGTGTATTTTCGATTTCACCACATCCAATGTATACTATTGGTTACACCTTTTTCTATGGACTTTCATTGATCAGTCAATCGTACACAGTTCTCTATGTATCGTTGTTTGGACATCTTTGTCAATTGTTGTTCCTCGTGTTGGTTGAAGACCCACACATTCAAAAGACCTATCCCGATATTGTCGAAGATCCATTCATCAGAAAGGAGGCTGTCTCCAAGTACTTTGGACACGACCTCATTGTCATTAAAAACTTTTTCTTCCTCCGTTCTGGCGATCTCTTTACATTGTTGATCATCGTCTACACACTCGGTCTCAACTTTATCAACCTTCCCATTGGTTTTTATGTCGTTCAAGCTATTGTCTGGCGTTGCGTCCTCTCCTTTGGCATTGGCTTTGTTCTTCACCTTCAATCCAAATCTCAATGGTGGACAAACAAATTTGGTAAATTAAATCTTGATGATCAATCAGCTTTTGAAAATTGGAAGAGGTAAAAAAACAAAAACAAAACATATATTTTTGAAAATATTAATATCCTTTTATTTTTTCTAGTATCTATAATTTATGTTTAATTATGGCACATTTATCATTCACATGTTGTTTCTTTAAATTGGTAGAGATTGAATTGAATCCATTTGGAAGCAGTTTTTGGAGATTGATCGCAGGTGTTTTATTGATTCTTTTGAACTTGTGGAGTTCAGTGTCGACATTTGAAACACTTGGCGAGTTTGGATGGTTCTATGGCGACTTTTTCATTGACGAGGTTCCATCTGCCCTCTACTATACCGGTATCTACCGTTTCCTCAACAACCCAGACTCGATTACCGGGTTTGCCGGCTACTATGGTCTCACCCTCATCAGCGGCAGCTTCACACTCTTTGCTCTCTCGTTGGCATCGCAAGTTGCAAACTTTTTGTTTGTCAAGTATGTCGAACGCCCACACATGAAGAAATTGTATGGCGACAAGATGCGTTCGCAATCTGGTTTCTCCAAGGGTCTCCAAGATATCATGACCGAGGCCGTGTCTAGCTCACCACCACTCCAAAAAATCACTCACTATGTAAACAAGACCAGACACTTTACCGAACGTGTTGAAAAGAAGGTCTCCAAGAGAATGCAAGATATCCTAGATGAACTTCGTGAAAAGGGTATCCCATTGTCATCTGAACAAATCGCTACCATTTTTAAAGAAAAAGAATCATCAAAACAACAACCAAAAACATCATCCTCATCATCCACATCATCATCATCGACTCAACCATCAAGTAAAAAATCAAGTAAAAAAGTAAATTAAATTAATATATATTTATATAACAAAAATAATAACAAATAATAATAATAATGAAAAAATAATAATAAATCTTTAAAGTAATAATATATTTTCCAGAAAAAAAAATAATTAAATCTTTTTTGTTGTTGTTTTATTTGTTTTTTTTGTACACAATATTATGATTTATCTATCTGTTAAAGTTTTGACATTAATGTTTTATAGGCAGAGGTAGGAGCAGAGAGGAGAGAGGCAGGAGATGATGATAAGAATTTATTATTATTGATCCGGTTTCCTGCCAACGGCGGTTTGAGAGTAGACTCTAAGAATTTATATAGATTGGAGAGGTATTTGACTGGATGAACTCCAAGATGATTGACATGTTTGGATTTATCAAAAACAACAGTCGATACTTGAATCCCTTGTTTTCTCATGATAGATATCCCCTTTTCAACATCTTGATATGATGTTAATTGATCATCATATGAATAATAATATAATTGTGGTGATAATATCTAAATAAAAAAATGGAAAAGGAAGAGTTAATAAAAGAGAGATATATAAATATATATAATTATAATTATAGTTTATATAGTTACAGGAGAATTTGATAATCTTGACCAAAAATCTTTATCCAATTTATCAACATCTACCACTTTGGAATAAGTTCTACAAGCTAGTTTAGCCATTATTTTTACCATCATTGGTGGTTTTGTTGCTACCAAAGAATTATATGCTCTCATTTCAGATATACTAGATGGACAACTATCAAATATTTGTCCTTTAATTAATGGTATAATCATTTTAAATTTCTTTTAAAAAAATAAATAATTAATATCAGATCACTCAAAAGGTAACCTACCTTTTCTATATATTCTTTTACATACATCATTTCTCTTTAAAATATGATAAACCTCACTCAGGAATAAAGCATTTCCAGAGAATACTTGGATAATGATTGGTCTTGGCGTATCTTTCTCAATTTCCAACAAATAATTTAGAAAGTTTAATGCCAACTCTTTCATCTTTTTGTAAAGAAAACTAAAAGTATAAAAACATATGTTATTATATTATATAATATATATATTCTTTTGTACATACTGTAATTTTGATGATGGTATAAGAGAAAGAGTACAAAATCCATTATCTCTGTATAGTTTGTTGTATCTTTCGACATATTTTGGTGATGCATCTATCCAACCAATGATGATTGCCAAAGGATGATGAGTTAGTGAAAAGGGAGGTATAGGTTGACCAGTTGGTTTGACAACATTCCATTTCATTTGATTTAGACCTATCGGTGTACAACATGTATGTGATGGTTGTTTCTGTTTCTGTTGTTGAACAACTATATCACCACCACCACTCTCTTTATTATTATTATTACTATTACTATTACTATTCATCTTTTGGATGAAAGATTGATCAATGTTGTTTACATCCAACAACCCAAACAAACAAACAAACAAACAAACAAATATAATCGAAACAAAATAATGAAAATGATGATGATCAGAGGTGTCATTCCACTAAAAATAAAAACATAATGTAATACATATTCATCTTGTGCAAGTGCAAGATATAAACATAAATAAATCAAGAAAATGATGGACTCTCTCTTAGATAGTAGTGGTGAAGAAGATAACCATAATGAAGAGGATCAACATATATTTGATAGTACATTTGGTGAAGGTAGAGATAAAAGAAAGAGAAAGAAATCTACTTCTTCTTCGTCTACCTCCAAATCAAAAGGACAAGGTAAAAAGGTACAAAAGAAAGATTCTTCCTCTTCAACCAAACCAAAGACAAGTACTACTAGTACTAGTAATAATAATGGTACAACAAAGTCAATATCTAAAAATAATAATAATAAGGATGGATCAAAATCAAAGAATAATAATGGTAAAACATCACCAATTAAAATAGATGATGATCAAGATACAGAACCAGAGGATGAAGATCCTCTATATAAATCGACTACATCATTCTTTGATGATGCTACTGATCGAGATGAAGAAGGAGAAGAAAACTCTGATGACGATACAATCGAAGATGAATCTCACACTTATGATAGTGATAGTGATGATCCTTTTGGTGAACGACCTAAAGGTGGAAATAATAATAAGACTACATATAACAATAATAACAATAATAATAGTAGTAGTAAAAAGACAACAACATCAAAGAGACAAACTAAATCTGGATCACATCATACCGATCAATTGGAAGATGAATTTGATATAAATGAATATGATAATGCATACAATGGAGAAATGAATGGTGATGAAGTGATGGATGACAAAATGACAAAATTAAAACAAGCATTACAATACTCTGTTGCGAGGATTAGTGAACGTGAAACTGAATCCAATCATAGAATTGTTACTCATCAAGCTATAAATGCTCTTAGTCATTTAATGTATAGATTATTAAAAAGTAATTTAAAGAGAAAAGACAAAAAGAGACAATGAATTCATTTTGGAAATATTTATTTATTTATTTATTTATTTATTTTATTATTTATTCATTCATTTCCTTTTCCTTTTAGATAATATTTCAAAAGACCTATTTTTATATTGCAAACATGCAAAACGTCAAACTATAACAATGGATGATGTTATTTTATTATCAAAGACTAATCCTACAGTTAGGAAAAAATTGTTTGCTAAAAAAAGAGAGATTTTAGGTATACCATCTCCAACTGCTAGTACAGACGATGACTATTTTTCAACAACAACTACAACGACTACTACAACAAATAATTCGAATCAATTAAAACAAACAACTCTTACTTCATCAAAATTAATTAATCCCATTTATCCTAAATCATCTAATAATAATAATAATAATAATAATAATAACAGTAATAATAATAATAATAATAATGGGAAATTCAATGATGATGATATTTTCAGATAATATAATAATAAAACTTCTTCTTTTGTACAAAACTTATTTTTTAAAGTCTAAAAAGGTAAATACACATTTTATAAAGCTAAATTTTAGTTTTTTTTGTAGTTATTATTATTATTATTAAGTTATTATTAAGTTATTATTAATTTTGGTTACCCCAAACAAAGTCCATTTGTTGTGAAACGACCTTTGGTAATTGAGGAAGGGTATTACGAGGGATTAGATAACTTGACAAGTTGAAAAGATCCAAAAAGATCTTGTAACGATCGCCAATGGTAGTACGAAGATAATGGTATCCAGATGAACCACCAGTACCAATCTTTGCACCAATAATACGTTGAACCATCAAACCATGTCTGAAACGCCACATTTGCAAGAGTTCATCAATCTCGGTCAAAAGATTAAGAATCAAAAATGGTGTATGGAAAATTGGTTCATCTTTGTATAAATAGATAAGTAATGCTGATTGTAATGCCCTAAATTAGAAAATAATTAGTATAATTAATTAAATATATCTTTCTTTCTTTCTATCTTTCTTTCTTTCTTTTTCTTACTTGTAAGATAATCTAACTTCATGTTTTTCCAATTTAGCATTGTATAGATTTTCATCAAATAGAGTTTTAAAACTATTCATATTCTTTTCAACCTCTTTAATGTTTTGTTCTTTAATGTCTTCGGTTAGAGATTGATTGTTTTTAATACGTTCGAGATCACGTTGCAAGATTTGATCGACAGCGGCACTGTAGGATTGCCAAAAGTCGTATTCACCAACCTTGAGGAAAGGATTACGTTCGAGCCAATTGACGACCAACCCCAACAGAGAAGTGTCCTTTTCCGATTGAGCCAAAGATTCTCTGTCAGTGTCTGAGAAAAAGGTTTGGTAGTGATGTTGTTGGTATTGAACACGATTGTCTGGGATGATGCCCAACTTGTTTTCAATGACACGGAACTGTACACTTTGGAAGCCAGAGGCTGGCACCAAAAGATTACGAAACTCGAGGAAATCGAGACCTGTCATGGTCTCGAGAATAGAGATTTGATCGACCAACAACTTTTCGATTTGTACAATACGACCGAGTCTGTTTACAATGACACCGTTGTGACGTTCCGGTGTTGGTACACTAGACATCATCGAACGAATTGAATCGAGTTCATGGATGATTTGCTTGAACCACAATTCATAGGTTTGATGTATAATGATGAAAAGGTGTTCTTCGTGTGCTTCCTTTCCTTCTCCTTGTTTTAAACTCTCTGGTTCTTGTAGTTTTAATAATTCATCAATCTTTAAATATGATCCATAATATACTCCTGTATGAACTTTATTTACCTCCATTGATCTAAAAAAAAAATATAAATAGAAAGTAGTATAGAGAGTAATAATGGTTAAGAGACTTATAGATACATATATATTCTATCATAGTAGTAGTTAGAACAAACACTTACGGTTCCATAAGAGAAGCTTTTTTGATTGATTCTTTAATGTCTGTATCACCAGTAGTAGCAGTAGGAGTAGTGTTGGCTTCATCATTGCTGTTACTATTACTTGGTTGACTACCATGTCCAAAGGGACAACCTCCACTTCCCAATGTACTAGTAAAAGGTTTGTTGTTATTATCCATTATATTATGTATTATTACTACAAACTACTGTACTACGAAGAAGAAGAAGTTAATGAAAAAGAGTAAAAAAATGTAAACTCTGCTGACACAACTGACTTGCGTGAAATGTTTAAATTTCGAAAATCTTTTTAAAACGGAGAGATCTTGAAAGATCTATGAGGAAAGCACGATATATAAATATATCTATCCTATTCATTTATTTAATATTTAATATTTATTGTTGAGCACAAGAAGTTGAAACTGAATAGGTAGCATCATCGAGTGAACGAATTCTTCTCTTTTTATGATCGACATCTATGAATTGAGATATTTGTTTTTGTCTCTTTGCAAGTTCCTTTTGGCTAGGGTAATTGTCTTCAGGCTCCCAAATCAATACATCGTTATCCAAACCACATGATATAATTTGTGGAAGGTTTGGATGACTGACAACACAGTTGACAACATCATTGTGTCCTTCTAAAATACGAACCAAATTGCCAGTCTTTTTCTCCCAAATGAATATGTGATGATCATCTGATCCAGTCATTACATACTCGCTATTGCTTCCATAGAATCCACATGATTTAATTGTCATATTACTAATATGTCCATTATATCTTTGTTTATATGATTTTGGTATCATTGTCTTTGATATATCTTCTTCAATTTCTGATTCATCTGAATCAGAAGAAGTAGAATCTTGAAATAAATCTGAATCATCTTCATCTTCTTCTAAACTATCATCCATTTCATCCATTTCCTCTTCTTCTTCATCATCTTCTCCTTCTTCAACTTCATCTTCATCTTGATTAATTTTTCTTTTCTTTTGATTATTATCAATTTGATCATCTTGATGATCATAATAACCTTCATATTCATCTTCAAAGAAATCTGAACCAACTTGACTTGTATTATCCTTTTCTCCACCTCTTTCTCTATCCTCTTCTTCAACGATGATATCATTATAATATTGATCCAACATGTCTTGACAATATTCCAAGGCAAATGAATCGTCCATACTTAATCTACTGGTAGTATTGCGTGAATTGTTTGTTGTTGTTGTTGTTGTTGATGTTGATGTTGTTGTTGTTGTTGTAGATGTTGATGTATTGGAATTATTAGTATTAGTAGTAGAAGATGATGAACGACTTGCATCACTAAGATTACTAAAACTTGATGATTGAGTTGAACCACCATTTGATGTATCTATTTTTTTTGATTCCTCTTCTAATGGTTCCTCTTCTTCTTCTTCTTCCAATTCTTCCATTTCTTCCAATTCTTTATCACTTTCACTATCGCTATCATTTTCATTTTGACCAAAATGACCATTTAAAATATTATGTAAAGTATTATTTTCGAGATCTTCTTGAAATCTATTTAAAAAATCATAAAGAACCTTTTTCTTTTTTTGTGCATTATTCCTCCTCTTATTACTATTTACATTATGATTGGCTCTTCTCTTTTTAATTGAATGATCTTTAAAATAATCTAAATTTAATTCCTTGCAAACATTTCTTTGAATGTCGTATAGATAAATATCGTCTGATAGATAGGTTGCCAATATTTCAGTGCCATCTTTACTAAATACACATCCTGTACATTCATTTACAGTTGGCCATGGTTTATGAAGATTTCTATAAATATTTACAAATGAATTTGATGAATAATCTTGAATTAATCTAAGACTAGAGGACAAAAATAAAATAAAAGGATATTAATATTATTATTAAATATATTTAATATTTACTATTATTTGTTTTCTTTTACATACTCGAATAATCTAACACTACCATCAGATGAAGAAGTAATAAAACTATAACCATCATTTGGATGAAATTCCACTGTAAATATAGTTGTTGATTGTTTTTTAAAACTACTTCTTAAACTTCTTCTAAGAGGTATTGAATCAAAATTTACTACCAATGTTGATGTATGTGTATTATAATTATATGTTTGTCTTGATTGTTGTTGTTGTTCTTGTTGTTGTTGTTGTTGTTGTTGATTTTGACCAACTCTATCACTTGTTCTACCACCTCCAAACATCTAAAATATTTAAAATGAATCAATTGTTAAAAAGTTGGTGGCTTCCTTTTACATTTATCTTGTTCTTTTTTTGATATTTACTTGAGGTAAAACTTCAACGTCAGTAGAAGTAGAAGTATAGGTAGTTGGAATTGAATGAGAAAAGGAATCTTGGTATTTACAACGAATGTCAAACATTCGAACGGTTCCATCTGCCGAACAAGTGAGGAATGTTTCAGGTTGTCTTGGGTTGACCGATAGTTTTAATACCTTTTTGGTGTGATGAGTGTATACTGTACAGGTTCTTGCGTTGAGTTCAAAATGTCGGACATCTGAATCATTTCCACCACTGACAACATCCTTGTTTGATCTAAACGGAAGGAAGTCTGCAGTGAAAACATTGGTCGAGTGTCCATAGAGTGTGTCTATGCATTGTCGCTTTTCAAAGTCCCAAATCTTGATGGTCTCATCGTCTGATCCAGAGACTACGTATTTGCCAACACTGTCAAATGCAATCGTGTTGACGCATTCTTCGTGTCCTTGCAACGATTCAGTGTTTTTCAGCACCGATAGTGTATGACTGCTAGAGGTGAACCTCTTTTCTAATCGATTGTATCGATCTCCGATAATCTCTCTATCCCTAAGGATTTGATTGATTTGTTCCATTCAAACAAACAAACAAACAAAATCAAAGGAATTGTATATATGTAGTAGTAGGGGGCTGGTTGAGTAGTTTATGTACAAAGGGTTGTAAATAGGTATATAGGTGGTTGAATTAACAAACAAATAGATGAATAGATAGATTGATAAATAGGATAGGAATATATATATAAACAAAAACTATAATATATATATATTGCCTACATCTATGTGTCTAAATGTGTGTGTGTATATATAATGTAATATAGTAGTAGACCTGGAAAAGAGAAAGAGTTGTTCTTTGGGTTGAAGTTTAAATAAAAGGGGAATTGGGGGATTGTTGAACAACTCAACAAACTATGTCTTTTATCTTTTGGTTGGAGTTGTTCTTCTTCTTGCTTGTTTGCTCTTCTCTATCACTCCTATTCTGCGCAGTGTGGTTGATGTAAAGGTGTGTTGTGTTTAGGGGGGAGAGGGGGAGGAGGGGAGATGGATGGATGGTTGGGGGGTGGTGAGATCACTTGAATCGATAAATGTAATGATGATATTTTTTTCAAAGCTTGAGCTTGAAATATAATATTTATTAATTTTATATTAATAGTATTTCGAGTTTTTACCTCCCCCTTTTAGGTACATTCTAAAAACCTAATTAGGATGTTCCTTCTTTTCTATTGGGCCAACCCGATGAGGTTCAATTGTAACTATTAATACATAAAATGGTAAATAAATAGTTAACTATTAATTAACTATTGAAATTAAATTAAAATATATACTATCCAAGTTGGAGTCAGATGCAGCATACAGTTCCATCAACAGATGAATATTTGAACTGTGGTTTATATTTATTTATTTGATTTAGAACCAGTACTCACATTCAAGAACAAATAAAAAATGGGATTATTTATGTATTCAATTTAATTTAATTTATTATGACAAGATTTGGTTTGAATTATCTGTTTAGACAATCGGTTGGGAAGCAGTGGTATTGTCACGATTACGAGCCATTTGGATATAACCTAAAAAGAAAGAAAGGGTAAGAAGACCATCTACACCCATCATTACAGTAGCTTGATGAACAATCAATAATGAGGTTTTGTTCAGAGATAGAGGGTTGGAATGGTAATATAGGAATACAATATATATTGTATTGATTTTATGAGAAATACGAACCATCAAATCCTAGTTGGTTTCCTTGAAAAAAATGTGGTTTTGAATGATCGATTCAACTTGACAATTGAAATGCAAATGTAGTTTGAATGATTAATATAAGTATACAATTTAATTTATTATGACAAGGTTTGATTTGATAATTATCTATTTAGACAATTGGTTGGGAAGCAGTGGTAGCAATGCCGCAATTGTTGTCACGATTACGAGCCATTTGGATATAACCAGACAAACCCCATTCTGGACCCCAGGAGTTCTTGACCTTCCAGAATTGAGCACCTTGAGTAGCTTGGTCGTCAGATGATTCAGAGGAAGATGATTGGGAAGCAGCAGAAGAGTCAGAATCGGATGAACCGTTGGCAGAGGCGGTACCGTAACCGACGACGAGGACACCGTGATCGAGGTTGGTGGATGAACAGGCTGGTTCATAGTAGACACCAGAGTCGTAGAGTTGGAAGGATTGGTGAGAGGCATCAATGGCGACAGAGACTGGACCCTTGACGGTTTGGGATTGGAGAGCAGACTCTGAACCAGAGGTAACGTCAACGTATGAAGAGAGGGTGGCACCAGAGTTGGCTGGGTTGTACTTGCACTTTTGTACCTTGGCTACGTATGGGTATGAGGCTTCAGTGTCGATACCACCGTTGGCAATGATGTACTTGAAGGCGTTGTCCATAAGACCACCGTTGCACCCATCATTACCGTAGCTTGATGAACAATCAATGAGGTTTTGTTCAGAGAGGGCGACAAGGTTAGAGGTGGAGATTTGGTGAGCTCCTTCGGTGGAACCAGTGGCCGAGAATGACCAACATGAACCACATTGACCTTGGTTCTTGACTTGGGTGACGGCACCTTGGGCAACCCAATCGATTGAGGCTGGGAGAGCACCTTGGACCTTGCCGAAAGAGGCAGAGGCAGAGGCGGCGGCAAGACGGGCAGTGGCGTCAGTCTTGGTACCGAGGTAGATGGCTTGGTACTCTTGGTTGGTCATATCGGCGAGTGAGTTGAGACCGAGGACGGTTTCAGATCCCTTGGAGTTCCATTCGTTAACATAGTCCATGTTCTTCTTGTAGACCGAGTAACGAGTGTTGAATTCGTGACTGGCATATGAACGGCTGTGCTTTTGCATCCAGTTGGTGAAAGAGTCTCTGTATTGTTGCTCCGAATAGGAAGAGGCTGAAGCAAAGGCCAACATTAAAACGATTAAGAAAATAACTGCGAATCTCATTTTAAAATAGATAGATATTTAAAGATAAAGATGGAGATGGTAGTGTAGAGTATGTTGTAGAGATAAAAAGAAGAAGATGATTGTTTTGATATACAACTAGTTGCTAAGGGAGAGTTTTTATAGGAGTCGGTGTCCAACACAAACGAAACTCGTCCGACCTTGGAATAAAAGAAAAAAAAAAGAATTTTCTTTTGAAGGAAGATTCTCAAGAGGTGAAAAGTTGTTGGAGGTTTATGTCTAATTGTCAAGGCAAAAATTTCGAGTCGTCGAGTCCTATGACGATGATATTATGATATCCCCCACAACCAAATAAAAATTAAAGGCGTATCGATATTGTTGGGTAGGACTCTTTAGGTCAAGGTGTGATGTCATACACGGAAGAACTGATACTTCAACAGAAAAATTGGAAACCATCAAGAAACGTTAAAGTATCTTTCATACTGATCGAGCAGCAATTGATGAGGTGTTTAAACTTATACCAGATACTGTTGATGTTCATGAATCAAGATCATTAGCATCTTCTCAATTGCATGGGAGCCCGATATCAAAGATATGTTCCTGATATCTCGGCCCAATTAAAATAATAAAATAATCTTCGTCATTATTGGCCATAGAAAGAAAAAAGAAGAGAAGAGAGAATACAATCATCTGATTCAACAAAAAAGAGATATTAAAGAATAGAGATTCTCTTCTATCTATCTACTATAGGTTGGAATAGAATAGATGGGTGGTTTGGTTTAGCTTGTAATAATAAAGGATAAAACTTGTATCATGTGATAGTTGTCCGCGGAAGTACTTGATAATTAAATTTCTAATACTCTAACTAAATACTTGTCAGGTTATACTAATTTCTATAGATAATAATATTTCTATTAATTAATTTGTATGAGGAGAACCTTATTGTCGTCTCTTTGGAAAAAAAAAATAAAAAAATTTCATCGTTTTGAGGCGTGATCATTAATTTACACTTTGCATGTGTACAAGTTAGATAATACATACCTTTATATATATAAATATAATATACAATGCCTTTTTCACCAAAAGAAATAGCAATGCAATTACTCAAGGTTGGGTCTCGTAAAGTTTGGTTAGACCCATCTAAAATGGAAACCATTCAAAAGACTAAAACAAGTACATAGAGATTGATTAGAGAGATAGATTAGAGATAGACTATGTTGATATTAATTCATTTCATTCATTAATACTATACTTGTAATAATAATAATAATAGGAGAAGGAATCAGAGAATTGATTGCACAAGGACTTATAAAGAGAAAATTTACAATTAGAGGAAGCTACAAAGCATCAAGAGGACCATTTTTGTATTTAAAACAAGATCCATCTCTATCTAATTTAAATACAAATAATAATGTAATCGATCAATAAACAATATATAATATAACACTAATAGAAAGCAAAAACAAATAATACGATATAATATAACAAAACAAAGAGAGATGATGAAACTTGTTTCATTTTACTTTTTTATTTTATTTTAGAGAATAATAATAATAATAATAATAATAGTACCACTTATAGTTAGTTAGCTAAATTATGACTATTCAATTAGTATTTAGTAATAGATATTTATTTAGATTAATTATTGATTATAGAAATCAATACTTGGGATCAACACATTGGTTTGAATTAGTTTCAAGACCATTACATCTTCAACTAAAGGACGATCATGTTGATAGTGATATTATTAGATACTCAATCAAACACTTTTATCGTATCCATAAAGATATTACCGATCGGGTATATAACAACATGTTATATAACAACAACGACAGTGGTAATGGTAGCTTTACGGTATTGCCAATTGAAGCTGCCATCAATGCCAACAATCTAGATGCTATTATTCAAATGCATCAATGTGATCTAGAGGATGATGAATACTGTACAGTGACGACTGATACGATTAATCTTGCAACTGCTAGTCATGTAGGGTTGGACATTTTCAAGTATCTGGCCAATCAAGATTATATAGTACCAAATAGAGAGATTGACATATTGGTACTATTCGAAGCAATAAACAACAATCGGTTGGATATTGTAGAATACATTTTCGACGAGCTATCTATAGAGACAAAGTACAAAGATTATGTTGGTAGTCCTATTTCAGAGGCCATTTCAAATGGTCCGAGTCATAGAGAGATTATAAAGTATCTGCTCGGCAAGTGTACATTGGAACCAATCGAGATTGGCTATGGATACAAGATTAGATCGACTGCAGTCTCTGACAGAGCATTTCAACGTGCTGTCAAAACTGGCAACATTGAATTGGTAGAGTTGGTGCTCCAAGCAGGATGGTTCCTACCAAAACAACATGACACTCTCCATGTCACTTTAATCTCTGCAATCTTATCAAATAATATTGATATGATTAATTATGTATTAAGTGATCAATTGTCATTTGATACTGACGGCAACAGTCAAATGACTGAAAAGATAAAGATAAAGGTAGAGATGGGTGATGATGTGACACTTTCGGACAAGGTATTGGATTTTATTATTAATGATACAAGGTGTTTGGTATCTATCAGTAATGTTAATCTTGACCCTTATATTGCAGAGAAAAGGGTAGATGCCATAGAAAGGTTACTTCAACATAAAATGGCAGAAGAAACATTTGATCCCAATCGAGCATTGGAATCTAATGACATACTAGAGACACTTGTACATCTAGTGACAGTGCTAAAGGTTGAACCATTTGAAAAAATGTCTATTCACAGTACAACCAATTACCACGGTGACAAAGAATTAATGCGGTTCACACAAAAATATTTGTGTAAAAAAGATAACAATGATCGTGACAGCAAGCAGTGTCAAATGGCTGCCACTTTTCTATGGACCCATACCATTAAAAAGGAGGAGAGCTCGACACCACTAGGTTATTACGAGTGTCTTGAACAAGCACATGCGGACGGGATTATTACCACTCGACACATCATGAAGGCTTTACGGTATTGGGATGGTGACCAAGACCTCTTTAAAGTGTTTCCAGCCCTACATCAGGCAATCATCGATATGGACCGTACATTACTGTTGGAGGCAGTTGAGAGCAAGTTTAAAGAATCTATAGATTCCTATAGTATGCCAGAAAAAGATTTTGATAAACGTATTAGAGATAGACCATGGTCAATATTTAAAGGTGCTATGGAACTAATAGAAATGAACAAGGAATATTTTAAAAAGGATTGTTTAGAACCTATTGGTGATTGGGCATGTCGACAAGATAATTTAGATTTGGTTAAATATATTTACAAATTGGACAATCCAAGACTATTTACACCAAAATCAATTAGAGTAGCAATCGTTTCCAACAAATCTTTAAATATTATTCAATTCCTCTTTACAATTGTATTTCCAGAGACTACAGATATAGAAAAACAACTTTCTATCCCAATTTTACCAAAACCACTTGTTCTACCAAGGTTTAGTAATTTTACCTATCCTCTTCCAAACAACAACAACAACAACGTATCAAAATCAAATAGATTATTATTACTTTCAAGATATTCAAATAATTTACAATTAATGATACCATATCTTCAAGGTCCATGTATCACAAGTCGAGAGTATTTCGAAAACATAGTATTCAATCGATCACACTATCATGTAACCATTACACATGACCATTATTGGACTCAAGTTTATCCATTATATGTCCTACTTTTATCACACAACAAAGATCAATATGATTATTCACTTTTAAATAGAGTCTTGCAAAATTATCTAATTAGCAATAAATAAATAAATATCTTCATTCTACTGCAACCTAGACAGGGATTTTTTTAAATTGATATTTTAGATTAATATTTTTTTATTTAAATGTAATTGACACTCTGAGATTCAAATTGAGATATTTCTTGAATCACTCTGGACTTATTACTTATAACTTATATATTATTTATTTATTTCAAAAAAAAGATATAAAAAAGATAATCAAACTATCATGGAACCAGCAGTAACAGAAAGATCAATAGAACCATACAAAAGTGATATGTATGATCATATCACTATAGTAAATACATTGGAACAATCAGTGGTTGTATTTATGAATTCAGAATCACCACCAATAAAAATCAACAAGGATCTTTCAACCACCATCTTTCAGAGTGCTGTTCAACAAATAGTTGAACCAGGAAATTCGGCAAACTTTGAGTTACCTCTAGACAACGAAAAGGCCTACATACATGTATTTGTAGCGGTACAAGTCAATGAAAACGAAGGAAGAGATCCAAGCCAATATATACAAATAGCTAAAAAATATCTACTAGTAGACACTAGATTCAATGTTCTTCCAAAACATTTGACATCAGCTCTAGGAATTACAGACAAACCTCTATTTAATAGAAACTTTCATCTCCTAGTGGATGGATCTCAAACCAGTGCAGAAGAGTCTGTTCTAGATACTCTAAATGAATACTCTACTCCTTATGGTGATGAAGAAACTCGAGTGTTTTAAACATAAAATAAATATCTTAAACTAGAGTTCAATCAATGAACTTCACAATTTTTAATTAGTTTTTTTTTTAATTAAAAAATGGGGCTATCTCTTGAGGCTTTTTCGATGAACTTATTATTGATCAATCATCTATCGTACAATATATATATAAATATAGATAACAAAAATGGAACCAGAGAAATCAATAGAACCATATAAAAGTGATATGCGCGAACATATAACAGTGGTAAACAAATTAGATCAAGCAGTGGTTGTGTTTATGAATTCAGGATCAGCACCATTACAAATCAACGATGATCATTCAACTACCATCTTTGCAAGTGCTGTCAAACAAAACATTAATAGTAGAGACTCTGCCAACTTTTATGTGGAAAAAGAGACAGCATACTTGCACGTGTTTGTAGTTGTCAATGACACGGATACCCAATACTTGCAAGTGGTTCAAAAATATCTTCGAGTAGACACTAGATTCAATATTCTTCCAAAGCATCTGACAGCAACCTTGGCAACAGACAAGCGACTCTTTAATAAACACTTTAGTCTAGTGGAGCATAAAACTCGTACTTTGCAACCTTCTCATCCTCTAGCCGCCTCTGAATTGGTTGTTCTCAATGAATATTCTGTTCCAGTTGCCGATGAAGAAATTCGTTAAGCGCGAGTCTTGTCCTTTGTTGATGAAATAATCAATCCCACCAACCATGTACCTGTTGTATAATAATAATAAAAGAATGGCATATATCACTTTGAATAAAAAAAACTTATTATTCCTTTTACATCTTTGCACTGTTTTTTTTCTTCAAAAAGGTGTCAAGTGCTTCACAAGTGGGCTTCACCAACATTGATCTTTTTCAAAAACAGAAGGAGAGATAGAAATATGAATATATACTTTTTATTAGACCAATAGATTGTAGTTTTAGATAGGATAGATAGATGGAACCCTCAATACCTTCAAGTAGCAACCAGAAAAAGATTGGAGATTTACTTTTAATAATATATACATGTACAACACTTCCCATTAATAAATATATAATAAATAAAAAAATAAATAAATAAATAAATATTACTGATTTAGTTATTATTATTTTTTTTTTCAAAAATCTCTGTGTGTTGTAATTTTAATTAAATATTTACAATCAAACAAATGTGTTGTTTGTGTATAAACTTGTATGTAGATATAGATATCTATTGATCAAAGGTTTACATTTATTTAAAATATCATCGATGAAACCTTACGATCCCTATTTTGATCGCACAAGGCACACTTTGGGAGAGGGTGTTCACGATCGTTCTGTGAAATGTTCGTTTGTTCAAAAAGATCCTCTCTATTTTTAAATCTCTCCTTGTGAAGATCAACAACCCAACCTAGCTCCTGCACACAATGGTAAACCAAACCAACTAGTTTGTTTGTTGTTATAATCATAATCAATACTAGCAATCTCGTCTAGACTTATTCTATTATTAATTTATGTATATACAATCATGAAGGTAGGTAATAAGTTAATAATTACTATTTTTAACAAAACGGTCGTTATATTCATTTCTATAAATAACTAATCTTCTTCTTTTCTATTTAAACTATTACGATTATTATAGATAACAACAATATTATTATTATTTTTATTTAGTATTATTAGTTTATTAAATAGTGTTCATGGACAATGTACAACACAACCAATTGTATTACCAGTTAATAATTCAATGTGTTGGTCACCTATAACTATGGCACTAGTGAATGGTGGTGCTTTTGATACAGTGTCTATCACACCCGATATGATATTGTTCCCATTTGGACCATACTATTATTTAATCTTTGATCGACCAGGTCTCTATCAAATGACAACTACGATTGGATCGTGTACTCAAACCTTACCACTACAAATCAATGTACCTGCCATTACATTTGAACAACCACAATGTATCTTTCAAAATACAGAGGCAACTTTGTCAGGTTTGGAAGGTGTCTATTCCGGTGTGACCAAAGCTGACTTTTTTGGTGATGGTGGTCATTCATTCCCATTCTCTGCCAAAGTTGGTGGTATTCCATGTTCAGGTGGTCGTTTCAATGTCAAACCAATCAATCGTACCTTTCAACCAGCTATTCGTGTCGTACCATCACTTTGCAACACTGCATCTGGTTCCATCTCTATTCTAAATGCCAATCTATTTACATCGATCATTTTAGGAATTGATAATATTAATACAACTGCTACTATAGGGTCGAGTAATATAGTAGAGTTTACAGGTCTAGTTGGTAGTTCTACTGGAAAGGCATTTACAATTTATGCATTGTCATCAACTTGTGGTTCAAAGGAACAAATGGTTGGTGGTTTATTATACTCTACCACACCATCATATGATGTAGTTCAAACCAATTTACCATGTAATACTACACATATCAACGTACAAGTTACATCCAATATCAATGCTTCTGTCAACTCTGTCACTATCAATGGACTTGCTTTTGGGTCGTTACCAGTTAGTCATGATGTTCCAGTTGGTTCACCACTCGTATTGACCTATACACAAAGTCAATGTCAATTCTCACAATCCTATGTATTGGAGTCGTCACCTGCACCCATTTCATATAATCTCTATCCTCCAACACTGTCATTCGCCCAAAAGACATCGCTTATGACTATATCTTATTTGGGTGATATGTCAGACTTGTCATTTAGCTCGGGCAAGAATGGTATAATACCAATCGACACTACCAACGGTCAAGTTAGTGTAGACTATGACGACACTTATACCATTTCGACATCATGTTACACTCAAAACCTAGTGATTGATGTTAGACGTGTCAAGCCAATCTTTAGATACACCAAATCTGGTGATTTTTGTATGGATGTCATAGAGATTGTTGTAGACAATTTCGAACAGTTTGATAGACTGTGGATCACCAATGGTAACACAACGGTACAAGCAGACCCAACAACTGGTAGAATATCCAATCTCTACCATAGTACATGGACACTTGTAGCACACGAACCAGATGCACCCAACGATGTAAATACAACAATTACATTGATACCAGAGGAGAATTGGAAAATCAATTATTTAGATTTTAAAATTGTTCAACAAAATGTTACTCGTCGTCCAAACGTATGTACAACCGTATCACCTGGTATTGGTATTGCAGAGATTTGGGTGTCTTATAAAGGTCAAACATCGTATAAACCAAATGTTTTCAATAATTATTGGCCTAGTGGTCAAACTATCTATTACTTTCATCCAACTTGTCCAACCTCTGGTGTACATGCCGGAGCTTGGGATACATACGATATCTCTGCTGCCACCTATACCATTATAGAACCTGCAGTTTGTCAACAATCATTTGCCAAAGTTCAATTCTCAAACTTGGCACCTGGATTCCAATCTGCCTCTTTCAACTATGACAACTGGGTCAATCTACCAATCACCATTGTCAACAATGCCTTTACACTCTATCTCCCAACCGGACAAAATCAAGTATATCTACAATATGCCTACAACTTTTTAAATTGTAGAGAATCTTTTAATATTTCAATTCCATTTACTGATTCAAGAGGTAAGAAAAGAAAAGAAAGAAAAAAAAGAAAAGAAGAAGAGAATATTATTTATTTATTTAAATTAATTTATTAATTTATTTTCTTTTTTAATATGTTTAGTAATTACAACTAGTACTATAGTAAAACAAAGTACAACAAATTGTAATGTAAATTCAGGACAAATATCAATATCAAATTGGGAGGAATTTAGTAATCTATCAATTGCAACTGGACAATATTTGGGTGGTGGTATATTCTCTACACCATCAATCTATGATAATAGTATTAATTTTACACACTCTGTTTGTGGTTTTGGAATGGTAAAGGGGATTGATTTGGCAACTGACCAAACTGGTGTTGGTATCTCTGTCATTCCATTGACTGCTACATCTTGTGATTCGGCATTGGGACTGGGTGATGGATCGGTCAAGGTGTACTTGTCAATGGGTGGATTCGATCAAACACCGCTGATCAAATCAATCTATAGAATTGGATTACCAGAACCATACAAATCAACTTCCTATCTAAGAAATACACTTACCATGATTGGTGGTGGTGATCAGTTTATTCAAGTCAATGCTGGCACTGCTTGTACTTTTAGAGCAAACTTTTCGCTGCCTGCAACTGCTCCTCTGCCATTTATCACATCGACTCTTGTACATGCTGATCCAGGTCGAAAGAATGGATACATTGAAACAAAGAGACTGTCCCCTGTAAAGTCGTACGTAGCAGCTATCCAATTACAAGCAAGTGGATATCTACCAGACACTACCAACACTGAAATCACAGGTATTGAAAACAAAAACTCTGTCAACTTGTTTGAACTGCAGTATGGTGTAGCTTGCAAGTATGCAGTGTCTTACAACCTTCTCAATACCTCGTTCCCCAAACCAACCTATTCAATCAATCCAGTTGATGAATGTGGTAGTCTCAATATGCATATTGTCGTGTCAGCCGACAGTTACGCCCGTTTCCAACTATTCCTTCGTTCAGAACTCACCCAAACCTATGTCTCGTTTGATGTGGATACACTTATTTACTCGGTGGTTGCTGGTACCTACACTATGCTCTACACTGATCGGTATTCACTTGCCACTGGATCCATCCCCATTCAAGTAGTATTTGCACCCTCTCAATCGCTGGCATTACCCTTTGAATATGAGGTAGTGGCCAATGAAACGTGTCGTGGTATGATGGACGGGCAGATCAAGGTGACTGGGTTCCCAGCCGACTCGTTTGTGAGTATGGTTGATGCAGACGACAATTTCCAACGTTCGACTATCCAGGGGTCGACCCCTGAAGAATCGTCGTTTGTATTTAGCGGTCTTGGTGCAGGTGCCGATTACACCATCATTGTATCGAGTACCAAATGCACACAACGATCGTCTGGTATCAAGGTATCATCAAATGAACCGAAACTAATTGTTACGCGAGTTGAAAACTATTGTCAAAGTTTTAATACCACCTATGCATCGTATTCACTTGGTACTAGTCCTCGAGGACTCAATGTGACGTATGCTGTAGATGGTGTTACGGTCACTGGCAAACAGCCAAATGCCAACGGTGAGATACTGATCGATTCACTCAGTCCCGGTCAATACCAAGTATCAGCCAACATCCAAGATGTTTGTACATCATTTGTCACCGAGTTTGTAACAGTCAAAAACAACTCTTTTGACATTAAGATTATTCCCAATCAAGCAGGTGTATGCGAACAACTAGTCTATATTGTCTACAACCCCAACCGTCTAGACAATCTCGCTTCTAGTGGCACTCAACTCTTTGCACAGGCCATCAACTTTTTCAACAACACTGTACACAACCAAACTTTGTTTAACCGATCGTCACTCAACATTGACTTTGGCATTAGACTCGATCTATTTGCTGGCAATTATAGTGTATGGGTACAAGACCCTTCACCAGGTGGTTGTACCTTTTACACTGATCCAGCTGTCCTTGTACCAGTCCCCAAGTGTCTACCACCCCCTCCCAATGTCACTTCACCACCCAACACTACAACCGGCGGTACTACCACTGGAGGAGAAGTTTCTCTCTCCCCTCAAATTCCAGTCATCTCTCTCTTATCCATTATACTATTATTAGTATCATTTATTTATTTTTAAATCATCCCACATCAAGTTTGTTAACTAACTTCTTCTTTGTATCTCTTTTTTTTCAAAGATTAAAATAAATAAATTAATTAATTTGATTTGTTTGTTCTATTTATTGTTTTTGATTATCTAAAATTATATTTAGAAGCATGTCTAAAACCAAGAGCTTCACGAACAGATACTCTCATTAGGACATGAGTATCTTTTGGAATTTTTCTATTGTGACTTGTTGATTGAACAAATAGACGACAATTGGCTGGAATATTGGCGGGGGTGAGCGTGAGTGGCTTGTCAATTGGAACATTGAGAAGTGTACACACATCAACATGACCAATAGTAAAGGTATCGGTGATTGTATTGTGTAGAACCATATCCTTGGCGACAGAGATATCTTCCTTTTTCTTTAATGCATAGTATCCTTCACCTTGTCTATAACTAACATTATTCTTTTGACACAATTCTTGGAATGTAGCTGGTTGATCACATGGTGGTACAACAACAAACGATCCGACAGCACCACCTCCCTTTAGATTGAATTCAAAACAAGTCACACTTTGACCATGTTTGACTGATCCATCGAACCAATGTGTCTTTCCTTCCTTTAGTAATCTAACACGGAATGGAACTGATCTTTGACGATCAGAGAATCTTGGTTCACTGTTGGAATGACAATTAAAGTTATTAACATAGATCTTATATTTTCCTGATCCTGCTGATGCCCAGAAAATATTTTCAATTGGTTCTGTTGATTGTCCATATCCAGCATTCATGTCTCTCTAAAATATAAATAAAATAAATAAGAAAATAAATTGTCAATATTATTAAGATTATATATAGGTTATTATACATACATCCAACCAACCTCCACAACGAGATTCTTTAAAACCAAAATAAAGATGTTCACCTGATGGGGTAATTACATGTAAGTCGAGATCGGCAATATCATGCCAAATCAAAGATGCATGTAATTCACCACTGTTACATCCTTCACGTGTCATTCTAAGTTGTATTACTTCGTTGTCTGGGTCACCATCTACTTCTGGAGCAACTGCTGCTGCTGGCGCTGTTTCAGATGTAGTCAGCGGATTGGCTTCAACTGGAGCAGTTACTTCAACTGGAACAGTTGTTACTTCAACTGGAGCAGTGACTTCAACTGGTGCTGTAACCTCAACTGGAGCAGTTACTTCAACTGGAACAGTTACTTCAACTGGTACGGCCACTTCAACTGGTACTGTGGCTTCGACTGGAGCAGCAACTTCAACTGGAGCAACGGGAGAAGTGACTTCAACAGGAACTTCTGCAGTAGTTTCGGGTTCAGGGGCCTTTCTCTTTTTGTTTCCTGAAACAGTGGTTGTTGTTACTTCCTCTTCTTGTTGTTCTTGTTGACCATCTTGTTCAACGGTAGTTGTAATTGGAGTAGCTTCACCCTTTGCCTTTTTAGTTGCTTTTGTTGTTGTTGTTGTTGAGTTGTTGTTGTTTTTGTTGATAATCAACTGAACCAAATCAGCTTTTTTACCTTTGATTGTAATATCATTTGATTTACAAATCTCTACTAATCTTTGATAGGTAAATTTTTCCAATTGGTCTTGTGTAAAATTATTTGTAGTAGTTGACATTTTTTTTCTACTTGTAGTAATACAATGAATTTAAAAATAAAAAGTGACCGTTGAAATAACAACAATGTGTTGTCTTTTTGGAAAGGGGGATGATTTTCTTCTAAAAGAATCGCTCACCCAACAACTTTCTCTGGTTTGCGCCTCTTCTTGACGACGTGTTGTTTTTTTCCCGATTTGGGAACCATGGATACCTTTTTTTTTTTTTTTTTTTTTTTATTGGTGCGATCATTGCCTTAGAACAGATATTATAGGTTTAGTCTAAATAGAGAGTGATTGTTGATTAAACAAACACCTGACCTGACTGATTGGTTGATCGATTAATTAACTTGATGGATAGAAATAGAATTATATTACAACCAACTGAAAATGAAGTAGAGGAAAAGAAAAGTGGTAAGAGAGTAAAGCAAAAGGTACCTCTTCAACCTGGTCACAGTCAATTGGATTGGTTAAAGATGCAACGTGCTGCAACACCTATGATACATGCATACGAACCTCCTAGATTGATCACTATTGAAGAGTTGGAGAAACACAATACACGTCAAGATGCATGGACAGTGTATAAAGGAAAGGTTTATAACCTAACTCCTTATTTCACTTATCATCCTGGAGGTGATGTACAACTTGAAAGAGCTGCTGGTAAAGATTGTACTTTTATGTTTGGTATGATACAAAAAAAGGATCATCCCTCCTCTTGATACAAATAATTTGTATTAACAACATTACATTATATATTTATCTAGATTTTAGACATGATTGGGTAAATTTAGAAGCAATGTTGGAAAAGTTATTAATAGGTTATTTAGCACCTCCTCAACAACAATAATAATAACAAACAATATATAATATATACCTGTATAATAATGTAAAAAGAAGAAGAAGAAAAACATTGCGATTTGTATAATATATTAAATATATATACCACATACGATTATATACAAAACTACTATTATTATTATTATTATTATTTATTACTTCTTATTATTGGTTATATCTGGATCAATTATAGTTGATTCTCCATCGGCATCATCTTCAAATAGTTGGAATGATTCTATTTTAAGTTTAGATAATTGACCTTTTTGTTCATCGTTTAGTTTCTCTAATTCACGAACAGTCATGTGTCTTCCAAATGATGGCAGTGCGTTGCTATCATTATTCTGTCCATCTATAGTGTTGTTGAGTAGATCATCATTCTTTTGATGTTGCGTCAGCATAAAGTCAAGATACTCTTGCCACTTTTTGTAAAAGATGAATGCTGTTTTCTTGTCTGTCTTTAGATGCAACCTCCATTCCGTTCTGACATATTGATCACCCATCGATTTAATAGGTTCTTGTAATATTCTATGACATCTTAGTAATCCTCTATATAGTGAAAGAAATTGATCTTTACTGTACATCTATGTTTTATGTGTGTGAGTGTAGACAAGAATGATCATTGTTATGAGTTTGTGTAAATTCATTTTAAATTTTCGTTCGGTTGATGAATAATTATGACAACTCGAGACTTGTTGTAATGATTTTATAATATAATAATATTCATTCATCTATTCAAGAATATAGATAGATAGGAGATAGAATAGATAGATAGATAGGAGATAGAAGATGTTGAATTTAAATCGAGCTACTATAGTATCGAGTAATCTTTATTCAAGATCATTATTAAATATCACTTCACATCATCATCATCATCAACAATCTTCATATGCAACAAATAATGATTCAAATGATAAACAATCTCAATTCAATCAATGGGGTGTAAGTGAACAATAGATAGATATAGATAGATAGATAGATAAGTGATATATAGACTAATCTAATCATTCTTTATGATGTTTAGTTTAAACAAGTTAAAAGTGGAATGGCACAAAAGAAACATGAAAACCTAACACTTGAAAGAAATAAACAAAGAAAGGAACTAGTTGGAGAACAAATTAAAATGTTTTTGCAACAACAGCAGCAGCAACAACAACAACAACAACAAACAAAAGAAAATGTTACTGAAGATACGACTGCTGCTGCTGCAGCTCAACCAAAATCATCATTTCCACAAATACCAACATCAACACCAAAGAATACATTTGCCAATTTTATGAAGATGTCAATGGGATCATCAATCAAGATACCAAATATGCCAACCTTTCAACAACAGCAACAACAACAACAACAACCACCACAATCACCACAATTGGATATGAAATCATTCCAAATGAAACAAACATTTCAAACAAGACAACCATCAGCCAATGATTTATTACATCAAAAGAAACAACAACAATTCCAACAATTGATGCAATTACAAAAGAAAAATGATATTTTGAAAGAGTTTAATCTTCCACCACCACAACTAATGCAAGTAGAGACTGTGCAAAAGACAAAATATGTATTTAAACAAGACCCAAGAGAAAAAGATGAAATAGAGAGTCAAAACGATTTTGAACGCGACCCCAACGAAGAAGACGAAGAGGAAGATGAAGACGAGGATGGAGAGGAAATGGACGAAGAAGACATTGAAATGGAAAAATACTTTGATGGCGTGGATGGTGGAGAGACCATGTCGATCGATCGAAAGGTACAAGCTTTCAAAGAACACAAAGAAGCCATCAAAAAGAAACAAGAGGAAAGACAACGACGTCAAGACCTACGTCTCCAACAAATCCAATCATACGTACCACAAAAAAGAAAAATTCAGATACCTATCATTCCCTCGCCGAAGGGGTTGTCTGGCTTGCTTCAAATCTCGACCATTGACATTATCAAATGGATGATTCGTATGGGCGAGCGTCCAATGCGATCAGATGTCATTCTAAAAAAGGAAATTGTCGAATTACTCGCGCAAGAGTATGACTTTGAGCCACAGTGGCCTGCCGATCGTGACGATCTCGATCTCAAGAGCCGACCACGTACATCTGACCCGTCGTGGCCGTACCGTGCACCCGTCGTGACCATCGTCGGACACATTGATCACGGAAAGACAAGTTTGTTGGATTACATGAGAAAGTCAAACGTGGTGCAAGGCGAAGCAGGCAGAATTACACAGCATATCGGTGCGTTTGAAGTGACACTTCCATCGACACAGGAACACATCACATTCATGGACACACCAGGACATGCTGCCTTTTCACAGATGCGTGTGCGTGGAGTATCGACCACCGACATTGCCATTTTGATTGTTGCCGTCGACGACGGTGTGCAAGAACAGACCAAAGAGGCCATTCGCGCGATTCAGGCCGCCAAGATCCCCTATATAGTGGCGCTCAACAAGATTGACAAGCCAGGCGTCGACAAGGAGCTGGCCAAGCGCCAACTCCTCGAGAATGGCGTCTTGTTGGACGGCATGGGCGGCGATATCCCCTTTGTCGAAATATCGGCACTCACCGGCCAGGGTATTGACCAGCTCGAAGAGACCATTGTCTTCCTCAGCAAATACCTCGAGTTGCGTGCACCACGTGACGTCCCTGCCGAGTGTGTCGTCATTGAGAGCACGTTTATCCCCAAGCGTGGTGTCGCTGCGACCGTCCTCGTCAAGGCTGGTACACTCAAGGTTGGCGATTTCTTTGTATGTGGAACGAGTTATGGAAAGGTTCGTGAATTAAAGAATCATGTTGGATCGTCGGTCCAATCGGCGCTACCATCGGTGCCAGTCGATGTGGTCGGTTTCAAGGAAACCCCTCCCTCTCCAGGCGACGAGTTGATTGTGGTAGAGTCTGAAGCACGTGCACGAGAGGTTATCGAGATTCGTGCCGAGAAGTTGTCCAACCAATTGACGCTCGAGACGTCGATGCAGTCCAATACCGACGCACCAGGAGGTGCACCCAAAAAACTAGGTCGTTTCAAGAAATACAAGGAAAAGGAAGTGGATGATGAAGACCTCAAGGAAGAGTTGCGTGAACGTATCCTGACGAAAAGACGGTTCAGGAAAAGGTGGCCGAGCACAAAATGGCCAATCTCATTGTAAAGTGTGATGTGGGTGGTTCGATTGAAGCACTCAAGATTGCGATGGCAGTATTACCCGAAGACGATGAAATGACATACAACATTGTCAAGGCATCGTGTGGTGAAATCACAGAAGGTGATATCAAGGATGCTCTACAACACAAATCACCATTGGTCTACTTTGGACCAAAACTACCGGGCAAAATCGAAGATATGGTCAAACGTCACAAAGTATCGTTGATTCAAAGCGACATTATCTATCACGTTGTCGATGGCATCAAAGCACATTTGGAGAGTCGTCTCGAGCCAGTCACCATCTACAACATCACTGGTGAGGCCAAGGTACTCCAAACATTCAACATTGACATTTCCAACAGAATCGAAATCAAGGCAGCTGGTTGTAAAATCTCTGACGGTATCTTTAAAAAGGGATCCAAGATTCGTGTGCGTAGAGGTGACGATATCATGCACGAGGGCAAGATTGAATTGATCAAACATTTCAAGGAAACCGTAAAGGAAGTGACCAAGGGTATGGAATGTGGTATTTGTATTCAAAATTACGATGAAGTCGAAGAAGGTGATGTTATCATTGCTTTTACAACTGATCAAGAAACTAGAGAATTGGGTCAAACTATTAAAATTTATAAATAAATATAAAAAGAAAAGAAGCAAATTTTGTTTGTTTGATTTCTTTTTTTTTTTGCCGATGTAATCATGATTGCCTTTTTTGAAAGATTAATATTATATTACTTACACACATATATCTTTATAGATATAGATACAAATATATAAAGAGAGAGAGAGAGAATGGTATTATCATTCTTAAATCAAGTAATATGGAAACCTTATATTAGAGCTTTAGATAGATTCCCTTTGATTGGTACGAAATGAAATGATAGACAACTCTTTGACACATGATCATTCTCGCTCTCTTACTTTTCTTTTTCTTTTTACTTTAGTAAAATCATTAACAACAGGTACATTAATGGGTACAGGAGATGTAATGGCACAATCAATTGAATATTATAGATATGGAGAAAAGACTAAAAAGAAATCATTTGAATGGGATATAGGCAGAACAATGACAATGTCGGGTGTAGGTCTATGTTTTAGTGGACCGGTCTTACATTTTTGGTATAGAAAGTTGGATAGAGTATTCAAGGGAGAAGGAAAGATTGTGGTTGCTAAAAAGCTTGCTTGCGATCAATTATTGTTTGCTCCATGTGTCATTTCAGTGTTTATGGGTATCATGGACACTCTCAATCATAAATCACCAAATAGTATCCTCCCAAGAATCAAAAGGGATTTACCTCCTGCTTTACTCGTAAATTGGTCTCTTTGGCCACTTGCACAGACAGTTACTTTTTCTGTCATTCCTCCTCATCTTCGTGTATTATTTGTTTCAATCGTCTCTGTATTTTGGAATATTTTCCTTTCTCAACTTGGTAATAAAAAAGATGATCAACAATAATAATTATAAAAAATAATAATAATAACAATCATCAGTCATACAATTTGTATATATATTAAAAGTAACAATTTGTTATTTTTATTAAAATGATTTATTATTTTTTTTTAACCAACCAAATATCCTTTGAAATTCTAAATTATTATCATAATCGGTTTGATCAAGTTGATAGGGAACATAACGTTGAACCAATTGAATGGAATTTGGATCACCAGATAATTCTTCAAATACAATGATTTCATTTAATTGGTTTGGTTCAAGATATAAATAATCGTTTGGCACATGATAATATCTTTCACTTGGTTCTCCACATCCAGTTCTACATAGATATCCTTGGTATCCATCTCCTGTATAATTACATCCTGATCCACATCCCCATCCCAATGTTAACCAATATCTACCAATTGAATTTCCATTAACTATTATAAATCCTTTATTCATTCTATTGAATAGAAAAAGAAAATTTAACACATAAATAAGTAACTTTGTTCTTTTTCTATTTAGTTTTTTTTTTCGTTTTTTTTCTATTTCTTTTTTACATACCCAATCATATCTAAAGCAAAAGATGAAGTATCTTGAATTTCAGATTGAATTATTAAATTTAATTTATACCAAGTTAGAGGTTGATTGATTGATAATTCATTATTAATTGACCAACTTGTCAAATGAGGATTTGATTGTATACCTTGCATTTCACCAACAAGATAAGGTCTCATTGACCATCCATTGTTTGTAATGTCTTGTGTACCAAGTGTGACTGTTCCATTGAGACCTCGTTTGTATGATTCAAAATGTGATCCATATGATATCAGACCCATGGTCAAGGAGAGTATTGATAATTTATGAGTACCAATACCAAATTTAGTGTCCAATACAAAGTGTGCCGGTGATCCACGTGACCAAGATTGATATTCACCATCAATGTAAATATAAATCATGTCATCGGCATTACTAAACAAGAGTGTATCTCCAACAGTCTGTATTTCGATGTCTGTTTCATACCAAAGATAATCGGTTTGGTCTAGAGTGAGGTCAAGTTGTTCACTTGGTAAATTGGCAGTCACAACATTGCTATAGTTTCCAACTCCAATTGGTTCTGTCCAACTCGATACCAATACATTTTTAACTCTTTTCGATTGGTAAAATTCCTTTTGTGCTGAATATTGTTGTTTGACATAACTAGTATCTATTACTGTTTGATTATTGTATAGAATCAACACTGACCATGGATTGACAGTAATGGTTTGACCATTCCAATTGAGTTGTACTGGCGCAGAAGAAGATACACCAAAATTGGTTACAAAAGTAATTGTCTCTAATGTTCCATTTATCGTAGTATTGTATTGAATGATTTCAATCGTGTTGCATGTAGTGATGTTTGATATATTTACTGGTCGAGCCACCTCTCCAGATGACAATAAGATATAAGAGTATTGACTCAATACAGAGTGTAATTGGGCGAGAGCAGAGTATTTTGGTTCTGCTTCATAACCATACTCGTCCAATGCAGCATCGTAATCGTAAGAGTTGGTCAAAAAGGTAGATGAATATCTTGCAAAAGTGGTACCACCATGCCACATGTAATAATTCATGAGTGATCCACCACGAGAGAACCAACGAGCCACCGAATAGAGTAGGTCTTCTGTAGGACGGTGAGGAACACCCTCGGAATAATATTGAATCCAGCCAGCCCAATTCTCTGTAAAGAAAGCAGGTTGGTTGGGATAGACTTGAAAATGATATTGAATCCAATCGTGACAATAGAATCCATTACAAGTGTTGATAGCATCATCTATATCATTTTGTTGACACATGGTCCATGGAATACCGATATTGAGAGACTTGGCAAACGATATTGCCCACTCGGCATACAATTTACCACTGTCTCCATATTCATTCTCCAACCATCCATATTCATTCTCTACCTGTGCCAATATAATGGGACCTCCATTACTCGCAAAGTATGGCTTTAAATAATTGACAATAAAAGTCATCCAACTGGCCATTTCAGTCATCCATGGTTGATTATAGTCACGGAAAACAATACCAGGAATGTTTCTCAACCACGAGGGTATTCCTCCATAATTCCACTCTGCACATACATATGGACCTATTCTAAGATGAACATATAGTCCTTCCTGTTGACATAGGTCCAAGAAATGAGTAATGTTTGCGTTTCCTTCAAAGTTGTATTCTTGGCTGTTGTTGGGTTGATGCAGGTTCCAAAACACATAAGTCTCAATCATATTGATTCCAGCATCCTTACTCTTTTTTATCAATGATGGCCACATAGACGGTGTACTTCTTGGATAATGTATCGATCCACTTATCATTAATTTTCTTTCTCCATTTATTTTTAATGATCTTTGATCATATTCTACAATCTAAATTAAATAATGAATTAAAAAAAATAATAATAATTATATTTATAAGTATAAAATTGGTTTGTTGTTATATTTTATGGTTACATACATCAGATTTGATAGTATTAATAAATAATAGTAATACAACTATTATGACAACCAAATTATTCATTTCTTCTTCTTCTTCTTCCTCTTTCAAATGATTAAAGATTAGAGATAATAGATTAAGAAAGGAAGAAAGAAAGATTGATTTCTTCTTCTTTTTCTTCTTCTTTCTCATCTATTGACAGGCCACATGTACATATGGATGTTGTCAACATTGATGGGGAGTGGAGAGGGGTTAACTCCCAGGAGTAGTAAAGTATGTTGTAGTGTCGCCTATTGACTGCTATCGTTGAGACAAGCCAAGGGTCTGTTATCAATCCTATTTGGGTGCTTGTACATCCACACTCACACATACACACACATACACACACACACACCCCCCATGAATTGCCTGTACTATTACCTAACAAAAAGATAGCTACTATACCTTGTTCCATAGCCAAGTGAATCATTGTAAGTTGAGAGAGGTAGTTGAAAGATCGTGTTGGACTACGTAAATTTATAAATTATTGGTGGGATGATAATAAAATAATTAACACACAACACACTCCCTCTGAAGTAGTTTGAAAAATCAATTTTATTATTATTTGCACCTAACATTTGATAGTTAACTGTACAGTTCATATATCTCTCATCTCAAATTTGAATGAGCAACGCAGCAGCACTAAAACAAGTGTATACACTTGCAATTATCAAACCTGATATACTTATCAAAAAGAAACAAAGTGTTGATACGATACTACAGTCAATAGGTGAACGATTCACCATACACAATGACATCAAACCAATCAATCTATCAGTTACACAAGCTGAACAATTCTATAATGGTAAAACAACATCATATGATGGATAAAAAAGAATGAATGAATGGATGGATGAAACGAATGAAATGAACACTGACATCAATATTAAATTGATTGATAATCATAATCTAGATCATAGAGGTAAATTCTTTTTTGAAAGATTAGTATGTTTTATGACAAGAGGTCCTATTGTACCATTAATCCTAACAGAAAAGAACAATGACAAAAATACAATCACAAGTTGGAGAGAATTTATTGGTCCAACACATGCTGAAAAGTAATTACATTAATGACTATCTTGTATAAAGCACTTTATTTTGTGATGATTTCTAACTCTTTCTCTCTCTTTTAAATAGTGCAAGAAAAATAGAATGTCTAAGAGGTAAATATGGATCATCGGATACTTGGAATGGATTTCATGGATCAGGTTCCAATGATGAAGCGACACAGGAAATCAATTTCTTTTTCCCAACCTTTTTAAATGATACTACCGTTGATCATTTCAAATAAATAGCATCCTCTAATGTGTTGTATAAGTATGGTCAAATTTTATCAAACAACATATTTCATTAAACAATTATTATTATTATGCTTTTGTGCAATTGGACAAACTCGAGTCAACAAATTCACAATCCTTGCCAGAGAATGAGTATGGACATGAACATTGTTCTTGACAGGTAATTGGTTTCCAAGATCAATGATCTTTGTCAGAAGAAAAACCCATTGGCTTTCATCATTTTCGTTCATACTTTGGATCTTGATTCACTTGCTTTTCTACTCAAGGTTTTATATTCTACAAATCATTATTATATTATACATGGTATGTATATGATAAAGGAAGAATCAATTAAACTCTCAGATATTGATATTAATAAATATATATTTTATTTTAGTTGATAAATCATTGTCATTTAAGGATTTTGAAAAGATTAAAGATTATGTAAAATCTCAATCAAACTATTCCAATAATATAAAGGTTCTTGATAACAGAATCAAAGGTAAATGGGGAGACATTTCATTGGTCTATATGGAACTAATTTCCTATGCCGCATTATTTCACATGGTCAACCAAAGACAACAACAAAACAATGAAGAGGGTAACATCTATCAATGGTCGCATGTCATTAATCTAAGCCTAAATGCTTCCCAACAGCTCCCTTATCCAAATTAGAATCAATGAAATTCTAATTTTTTGGTAAGAAAAAGAAACTAGTTATATGTAAGTACCAACGATCAGTTTAATCAGTATATCACTGCTTTTGAAATGGAGTGAACAAGAAGTGCGTAATATCTGGGGATCACTTGCCACCTTTATCTCTTCCTCCTCCTCCTCCTCCTCTTTGTCTACCTCTATCTTTTTTTTTTAAACTAAAATAACGAGTATCCTTTGAAATTTGTGGTTGATTTGAATCCCTCGATTCCATTTACTAAAATATCCCAAATGGGGGTGTCAGAAGTAAACCAAAAAGTACCCAAAGATTAAAATGAAGATTAAAATGAAGATTAACCCGATCTCTCTTCTCTTTAAAGAGATATCCTTAGTCAAATAAATAAATATCATCGTCATTCACCATCATGGTTTTAAATTAGAGGATATACAACTACTAATTTTGAAATTTTAGCGTAAGGATCACTATCTCTATTTGCCCTCTATCTTATTAACTAAAATAACAATGATTATCCATCCAAGCCTACCTTTGAATTTTTGTGGTTGATTTAAATCCCTCGATTCCATTTACTAAAATATCCCAAAAAGAGGTGACGACACCTCTCCCGCAACATTGCAACACCACCTACGAATTTAGAAACCACCCAACAAACCCAGACACTTTAAAGATTCAACCAAATACATCCCGTTTTCTAGTATGGGCAGGCTGTTGTTACGAAAAGCATAACAATGGGCAAACCAACCGCCCAAAAGGGAACATAGTTGGTTTTCCCCAACAAATATCATAAAAAAGAGGATTAGTGGCACCCATACTGAAACATTATTTGCATGATTTCCTTTTGAGATAAATCCCTTTTTTCTTTTGATTGATCAAGAGGAGAAAAAAAAGATTGGGAGATGCCTTGAAATGATTTCACTTAAAGATGCATCTTGATCAATCCCCCTCTTGAGCGCTCCACCGTGGTACATCCTGTTCAAAATTTTGCCATTCTTGGCGAAAACGACTTCTCTTTCAAAAAAAGTTTGTGGGTGGCACGTGATGTGTACGCGCAATCCAAACAAATAAAAAAGGGAATTCTTGATCAAAGGTATGTAACCCTCCTCCCAGATTTAAAAAGTGATTAAAATCGGATAATTCAACCTTGTAATGAATTAAGAGGGATTGGCAAGGTGAGGAACCTTTTCTCTTTGTCTCTTCTCATCTATTGAGTGGAGAAACCTATCAACAACAAGAAAAAACCCTTTGAACATTGGTCATAAATTTTTTTTTTTTTTTTTTGAATAAACAAGTAAAGTAGAGAAAAAGAGTAATTAGTATAAAGTACATTTCAAATCTAGTTTTAGTCAAGGGTATACCCTTGAGACCAATCACATCAAACTACTGACTACTCCAACCCAAACCACCAAAATATTAATAATAATAACCAAGCAACAGAAAGAATAACAAGTAGGTAGATCGTTTTTTTTCGGTTGTTGGGAAAACCCCAACCATCATATATCATCAAACACCTCTCTCTCTCTCATCTTTTCCAAATTTATCAAGATATACAATTTTTTCACAGGTTCAACAAATAATAATAATAATAATAATCATAGTAATACTATAGATAGGATAGTAATAGTAATAATGAGGCTTCACCACCACTTATTTATTTCTTGAAAGTGTACAACAAAAGAGAGTAGTAGGAAGGAATCAGAATCGAGAAAATAGGTTCTGTGATGGGTCACCATCATCAACGAAACCCCCCATTTCTATTTTAGGGGGCACACCAACAACACACAATTTTTTGATTGAAAACAAATATCTGGCGCTTCATCCCCGCTTTGGATGAAATTGCCTTATAAGGTTTTTTTTAGTGGCTGGATAAAGAGCTCCTTTTGCACCCCCCACAGCACGCGTGCCAACATGAGAGATGCACCACTTTAAAAAAAAAAAACTGTTCGCTTTGTTTCCTTTCTCATCACTTTTTTGTTCTGCTAGCATCAAATATTTATCGTCAAGCACCTACAACAACCAACAACCAACAACATTTATTGTTTAAATTAAGACACACACATAGATAGAAAGACAGAGAGATACAAACACCGTTATACATATACATATATACGACGACACATATACATACAAAATACATATATATATTTTAAAAAAAATATCGACACATCAGCAAAACGATCATCAACAAAAACGAATAATTAATAATCAACAAATAAAACAATATATCAATCAATATAATAATAATAATAAACTTAATGATCATAAAATTATATAGCAAAAATCATAATTCTAAATATAAATATAAATTATCAATACTTAGATATACATTTTTAAATAATAGTCATCATATATTAATATAGTAATATACCAACAAATATATACACCACACACATAATTTGTAAATAAGTAGTTTGTATGTAATCAATCAATCAATCAATCAATCAATCAATCAATCAATCACTCCGCACACACTTGTGATCACACAAAAATGTGATTTTTTTGATAAAAATAGATCGATCCCCAATCAACTATATGATATTTATGACTAATACGAATGCATATTTCTTACTTACCAACCAACCAACTCCCTACCTCTCTAGTAGTAAACATAATAATAATAATAATAATAATAACCAAAAGTCAGAATAATCAGTCGAATATACATATATAGAGTGGTCAGTAGTAGTAGTTAGTAAAAGTAGTAATAATATATTTTTATAGTATAAGCAGCATTGTAGTATTTTATTTTATTTATTAGTTCAACAACTGTATCATTAGTTTAGTTTACTTTTATTTATTTATTTATATAATATATCGATCCACAACAATAATAATAATATAACAAAGTACCCTGATCTTTCTTTGATCTAAACAATGGAGGGGCTTTGGAAGATTTTGAGGGGGAAGGATCAAAAGAAACCTTCCTCTTCCTCTTCCTCTTCTTCCAAAAGTAGTGGAAGTAGTAGTAGTAGCGGTGGCCCCAGTAGTAGCCATTCTCCCTCTTCTTCTTCTTCATCGAGTAAATCATCATCATCGTCGTCGTCTCCAACAATAAATAATAATAATAATAATAATACAGACCAATTAACAAATAATAATAATAATAATAATAATAATAATAATAATAATAATAATAATAATAATAATATAAATACTAATAATACAATAAGAAATCCTGCTACTAATAATAATAATAATAATAATAATAATAATAATAATAATAATAATAATAATAATAATACTAATAATACCACAACAACTACTAATCATCATCATCACCATCATAAATCAAGTCGTAATAATGTTGTTCAATCAACATTGACACAAAATCAATTACAACAATTATTTGTTCATCCAAAATCCAACCAAATTAATATTCCAGTGTCATCTTCATCGTCGTCATCATCACAACCATCATCACCACCACCACAACAACCACCATCAACTTTATCGGCAACATTTTCTACACTTCCAACAACTGATGACAACAACGGATCCGGACTTTGTCCAGAACAAGAGAAAAAAACCACCTCTTCTTCACCAATATCACGATTGATAATCAACCCGAAAAATGTAACATCGGATTTATTGCAACTCAAGGCTATTCTTCAAAAGGGTGATCAACCTTATTTGCCCGATGTTATTTTGTTCACCATCCTCGAGTACTTGTGGGAGTTTAAATGGTACAAGGACATCAACAGCAAGTTTCTTTTTCAGCAACGCATGCAACTGGACTTGGTCTGTTGGAAATGGTTTGACCGAAGCCAACGCATATTCAATAGATCCGTCGATTTTATACCCATTCCTACGGGCCGCCTGGCCGAATGCCAGCAACACCTGAATCGACGGTACTGTCTTATGCACTCGATCAGCAAGCTGCACATTGATATCCGCACGTTCAATCCACTGCCCCTTGGCTCGACCATTGGCAACAAGTTTGAGTTGTACCAATGGTTTCACAATATATTCACCAACCTCAACACCATCGTCATTGCCAACACGTCGCAGTCGTCGCAACGCATCACCCTGTCCAACCAACAGGGCCAAAAGACCAGTATCACCGACAAGTCGACCATGGTCGTCCCCTTTATCAACAGTATCATCTCGGCCAAGATCGAAGAAGGCTCTGGCGACTCGATCAAAGCTTTTTGTATAGACAATGTAAATATCATCACCGACATCGATCCCAACTCTAATAATAACAACAACAATAATAATAATAATAACAAGTCACCACTGATTGCTGCGTTAAAGACGTTGCGTTCATTGACGCTCAATACATCGGATTTCAAGACACTGATGAGTATTCTTTTGCTTACGCCTGAGCTTCGCAACCTTGTGGTCGGACTCATTTACGAGGATGCTTGGGTACCACCTCAACTCGACGAAGACCACGAGCAAAACATCACGGTCAACAGTTTTGCGGCGCCGCCCATTCCAACGCAGCTTGTACCCTACCAACAGCTGTTTATGGGGTTGCCAGGCGACCTCCGCTCTTTTGCACTTTCATTTATCAACAATTATGACGTCGATGCCCGTGGCGACTTTATGTGGCTCAATATGGTGTGTCCTCAACTCGACAAGCTGTCACTTTCGTTGAACGAGTTTGTCAATGAGAATGTGACCGAGTTTTACAGTTACATTGAGCGCAATGACTCGCTTACTGATCTGTCCAACGTTAATTTGCCCGTTCTTCCTAGCTTGCTCCCGTTACTCCAGTCCAAGACCAAGATTAGAAAATGGGCACTCTCTATCACCAAGGATTCCGTTCCTGCCAATGTTCCCAACACACCCATTCTCCTCCACAGCGATGTCCACACACTCAACCTCACCATTGGTCCCAATGTCGATGCGGCCTCTGTTATACTCCATCCACTGTCGCTCTCCAAGCCAATGTGTCTCACCAACTTTAATCTGATGCATAACAACGATATCCGTATTGATAATGCCATCACCATCCTATTGGCTCAGTTATTGGAAAGCTGCAAAAACACAATCGAGTCGTTTACCATAAACTCGCTTGTCGTCTCTAAAAAGAGTACCGACTATGAAAAGATCAATCGTGGTGCTCTAGACTACTTTTTAAATGCAGTCTGTTCCTGTCCAATGCTATCCACCGTCATGATCAAAGGCATTTACATTAGTTCATCACGTGTAAAAGAGAGTTATCCAGAGGTTCACAGTCGTTATCTTGCTGATGTCTATCATAAAACATTTGAATTGACTAAAAGACGTGATTATAATATATGAAAAGTAAAGTAATAAAATCAATCGATCCAGACTCACTCCAAATTTTTTTTTGGTGAACAACAAACAAAACAAAACAAAACAAAACAAATCTAAAATATTATATTATTATTATTGAGTGAGATAGTAGTAACTAGAGTTATTTATTCATTAAGATATATTATTAATTATTTATTTGTTTATTTATTCTTGAACAGTTAAAGTTTCCATTTGATTTTCAAGTTGATCAGCTGATTGAATAATTGGTTGTTCTTGTTGATCTTCTTCTTCTTGATCGATTTGGTTGCCACCACCAGCTCCATCCTTTTTCTGTTGATCAAATATGATTCTAAGTTTAACCTTTAATGGGTCTTCCCAATCATAGTTGGAATGATTATTACATTTCTTGAGAGTGTCATGGGAAAGATCAAATTGCTTTCTATGGAAATAACTTTCACTCATTTCATACAGACAATAGGGAACGTAAAAGTTTTTGTCTTGTAACAAGTGTTGAATCGACATGAGTTCTTCAAAACAAGACATCGATTCTTCATACTTTTCGATACCTTTGAGAACTGATCCCTTGAGCAAGAGATAGGAGGCACGATCTTCGATTTGATTGTCAGTGTTGAGATCATCCTTTTTGGACTTGGTGAGTGATGAGAAACTCTTAAAGAAAGAGTTGGTGCTAGGTTGGTTCTTGCCAATGTTGGCTTGACATGCTAGTGGTTTTTCAACACCTGCTTGTTGAGCACATTTGGTGAGTTCCAACAATGTCTTTTCGGCTGATATTCTTTCCATCTTGGCCATATCTCGACGAATGTACATGACTTCAAAGGCAGAAAAGTGACCATTGTTGGCAATGTAACGTTGGCTTTGACGGAGAATGATTGGGTCTACTGAACTTGACTTTTTGACATAGTCTTTGATCTTGGTGAATGCATCTTGTGCCTTTTTGGGCTCTCCCATCATGACATAGCAACCTGCCAATTGGAGACCGCATAGAGCACGGATTTGGAAGTTCTCTTCCTTGACGAGACTCTCAAAGATGCCGATGGCACTTGACCAGTCCAATTTGATGAGATAGCAATTGGCCAATTCGTAAGAGTAGATGAGAGGTGGTTTGGGCAAGGCAGAACAGTTTTCAATGGCACGTTGCATACATTCTAGACCAAGATCGACACGACATTGTTTACGATAACAGTGACTGGCCATGACTTGGAACAATGAGCCTTGTGGATAACGTTTCAAATTGTCGTCGATCAATACCTCAGCTTCCTTGAGATGTTTGGTTGGATTGTAAAGACCACGGGGCAACAATAGATTGTTGAATAAAAGAACCATGGTAGCAAATGCCGATCTAACACCAGCCTTTTCAGAACAATCACGGATATATTGAAGACCCAAATCTCTATCAGACTTGAAACCAATCAACTCTACAAATTTGATGACGTTCGAAGGGATGATAGACATTGCAAAATAAAAGAATCCAGCTCCAAAATGTAAACATTCCAATAGATCTTCTTCATACTTTATGGTCGAAGAAGTATCCTTTACCTGCTTTAAACATTCTTCAAAGGTTTTCCAACTTTTTCTTAAATTAAAACATCCTTTAATTTTATGATCTCTTGTTAATTGTAATACTGCCAACATATATAATGAATCTCCAAGGACCTAAAATATAGAATAGAAATAAATATTTGAATTAATTAATATCTATTATTTTTAAAAAGAATTATTATTCTTATTTTTTTTGATTCATACCAATTTACAATCCAATAAATTATTTTTAAATTCTTCTTTTGATTTTAATTCTTGGTTGTAGGTTGGTGGAGTTTTATTTGATTCCAATAGACTAATATACTTTTCAGCCAATTCTCTTGTTTCTTTGAGACGTTTCAAAGCAGATTCAGTGTCTTTGACATCGGCAGTGATAAAAGATCTTAGAAATATAATCTCGGCAAAGTGGAGACTATATCTTGGACTAATGGTCGATTTGTCTTTCAATAAATTCTCTGCCTCTTGAAATTTATTATTCCAAACCAATGAAATGGCATCTTTAATATCGTTTCCAATTAACATTTTGTAGTGAAACAGATAAAAATAAATAAAAATTAACCTATAGGTTTGTATGTGTAAATATATGTAAAACTAGATAGATAGATAGATTTATAGATTTTGATAATTTTTTTGTCAAAAAGAGGTGGTTGATGGAATGGTGATTATAATATTGTTTGTTTGGTTGTTTTTTTTGATTGAGCGAGGTTGGTAGAAGATTACAATAATAATATAATTTCAAAAGTATAAAAAAATAATAATAGTAATTCGAATGATTTAATCTTGTTTGTTTGTTTGTTTGGTTGTTGTTTGGTTGTTGTTATTGTTACACAATTTATAAATATTTTTATATTATATATTAAATATTCGAATATTTTAAAAGATGGTGACGAGAGACAGGGATGATGTTATAATTGATGATGCTGATTTTAATTGACGATGGTTGGAAGGAAGAGGAAAAAAATTGTAGCTAGTAACAGAAGTAATATTGATGGTTTGATTAAAATTGTATTTTACAAAAGAGAGAGAACAATAGATTGTCGAAGCAAACAAATGAAAATAAAGAGTTGTTGTTGTTGTTGTTTGTAACTTTTGTCTTTTCAAACATATGTCATCCACCAATCCTCTGCATCCATATTTATTTATTAATTAATGAAACAGAAGTGAAATGGGGTTGTGGTGCGATAGATTAGACAGACGAAAGACAGATTTTTAATTTCCCACTACACTGTGAGTGAGTGGATACGATTGTGTGTGTGAGTGGGGTGGATGGTGGATGGGTGGATGGATTGAGTGTTTTTAGAAGAGACATTGTTATTACTATTATTTTGGTATGTTTTATAGAGAGTACTGTAGTGTGTGTTTATTTTTATCAATCCTCGATTTAATCATCCTCATGGGTATTTGTATCAGAAGGAGGGTTATATTCACCAGCTTCATCGTGGATTATACATTGAGAATGACTGGTATTAAAGAATGGCGACGAGTATTGAGTAATGGTAATGGATTTTGGTCGAGGTAGACGGAAACGGTAGAGGAAAGAGAATCTTCCTTGGGAACCTCTAGTACTATACTGTTGTTCAATGTTTAAGATGGTCTCCTTGTCATTGATTTCCTTCATTTCTTTTTCTGTTTGTCCATTGGAAATGGCTCCTACACCACCACCACCACCACCACTACTATTGTTGAGATTATTATTATTAATATTAATATCTTGTTCTGATGCATGATTATTGGTTCTTCTTCTATGATGAGGTTGTTGAGATGGGTGAGACATTTGTTGAGATTGAGGTGGTTGATCACTATTGCTGCTGTTGTTACCAAAATCCATCATTTCATTATCCATGTCAATGTATTCATCTTCGTCGTCTATTCTGTTTGGATTGTCAACACATGGCAGAATGGCACCATCACAGACGCTATAGCAAAGACTCTTTGAGCACGATGGTACATATCTTCCAAATCCAACAACCAATAGGAATACAAAGATAAACATCATATCGGTACGGTATATTCCAATACAGTAGAGTAGATGCACGGCTGGTGCGAGGGTAATAGTAAACCATATACAATTTTGTAGTGGTTCAATTAATAGTTTATCCGATGGTGGTGGAGGCAATGACGATGCTACAACAATATACTTGTCAAAATAATACTTTTTCGTCAAATAAAAGAATAATAAAACAAATAATAATGGATAAAATGGTGCATAAATTGAAATTAATAATACCTAAAGAAAAGAAAAATAAAATAATCAATTAATTATTAACTGTAACCACCATATATGATATACCAATTGTGACAATTCTTACCGTTAAAAGGAAATTACAATATTGGTTTGCCAAATCTAAACATTTTCCATTTACATCATCCATTGAAACTTTTCTACATCGAATGACTTTAAAAACTATAGATGCTATACAATATGAATCCAATATTGGTGAAACAATTGAAAAGAATATAATAAAATATACATAAAATAAACCTAAAAATAAAAAAATAATAATTAATAAATATAATTGAAAGGGATTATTTCTTTTTTTTTTTTGTTTTCTTTCTTACCTCCAGTTCTAAAGAAATCGATAGGAGTATAAAAGACATTTCTACCAGATAATGTACCCATCATCATCATGAAATAAAAAGATGGTACTACAGCAATGGAAAAAACTTGTGCGTAAAAAGTGACAGCCATGGTCCGAGACTTGAGTGAACTACGTACGGTAATCCACGATTTTTTGAAAATGGAAGATATACAAGGTGGAATGAGACGGTTGACAACCAATAATATACAACATGGTAAGAATATATAAAACCAAAAACTATAAACTGCCAATGTAACATCATTACCATTTCTTCTTTTATAATGGAAAAATGAATGTGATTTAAACTAAAATGGAAAAAGAAATAGAAAAAAAAAAAATGGTTAATAAATAATTTCTAAAATCTATTTATCTATTTTTTGTTTTGTTTTTTGTTTGTTTTGATTTACCTTTTCAAATTGAGAATCATATATAAGTACTGAAAGAAAAGATAAACATGAAAAAAAGAAAATTGATAAAATGAGTAAAAAGGTGGTGAGTGCCGGACCATAGAGACGAGATGGATTATGTAGTTTTGTCCAAAGCAGATCAGAGACTGATGCGATATTGTATGATTTCCATCTTTTCATTTGTAACTCTATTTGGAATTGTTGAGGTGCCATTGGGTAAACGTCTTTAACCCATGTCCATTTGTATGGTGAAAATTGTGTTTTGAATAGATGTGCATCCGATACACAACTAAATGTAATAAATGCTGTACCAGTTGATTTTAATGGTTCCAAATTATCATTATTAATATTAACTCCTTGATCATTAATTGAAATATTTATACTATTTTCATTTGAAAGATGATCATCTTTTTGTTGTTGTTCTAGTTGTTGTTCTTTTTCTTTTTCTTTATCTTTTTCATTATTGCTACTACTTAGACCACTTGATAAAAATATTGAATCAATTTTACCATCTAAATCTAAATTATGTTCAATCTCTGAAAAATGTTTTTCCAATACAATAGTTACTGAATATATTCCCTCTATAAATTAAATAAATAAATAAATATCATTATTTCATTTCATTTCTTTTGTTTTTTTTTTTTTTTCCAACTTACTTGAATAACTAGTTTGAAGATAATTTTTAAGAATATTACAATCAACAAGAGATTTTGGTAAACCTGTTAACATTACAGACCGAGATGTAACTAGATGATTACTATCATGATTATGATAGATACGTTCATCATTGAATCGAGTGTAAATGACAACGAGAGATACGAAAACGAGAAAGCTGAGGATTGAATAGGAGAATAGATAGCTAGAGTCTACAAACCAATTGGCTTGAGAGAGTGCGTATGCACCAGTGAGTTTGTTGTCTCCAGTCTTTGTGATTGGGAGGTATGGTGTCAGTGATATGATGGTGAATAGCAACGACTGGAGTAAAAACAATCGTAGCACCTTAAAGTAGGTTGAAAGTGCGATGTTTTTACCCAACACTTCGTCGATGGGTGCTTGCACGGAATGTAAAAAGGTAGAGATGGAGATACGACCCGTTCTCCTGTACCCAATAAACAACTTGACACCGGCCGTAATAAAGATCATTGCAAATGAAAATAAAAGTGACACTGCAATGACAATGACCATGGCCGACCACTCTGGACCAACATTGATTGGTTCAGGATAGATTAGTACCGAGCAGCCAGCAGTCGTTACAAAGCCAATAATGTATTCACCCGGTTCACCGACAATAGCCAATCCCGTAAATATGATTAGATTGTGTTCTTGGATGACGCTGGCACTTGTATAGGTGATAATATTGTTGGGAACTCCACTTTTCTTGGAGATGGCGTTATTTGATTCCGGTGACTTTACGATAAATGGTTCGACAACACCTGCACCGTTTACGAATCGTAAAACGGGTTGAATGGGAAAAGATTGACCGTTGAGGGCATTGGTAGAGGGTGGTGTCACAAATGAGAGACCTTCCTCATTCTTGTCGTCTCCAACCACTGTCAAGTTGAATTGTGATGTTTGTACGTTGAATCCAGTGTTGAGAGAATCGTGTTGCACCAGACTGTACACACCACTATCATGAGTCGTCACACATGACAGAGTGGTTGTGTTGAGTGTCGTAACGATTCTGTTGCCTTCATATACATTGAATCCATCCTTTAGCAGCATCCAATTGATACTTGTCGGATAGCTATACAATACATTCAACAATACATCACTCTCTCCCGATGTCAATGTCATATTACCAAAGAATCTTGTCGATCTTCTCTCTGAATATACTTGAAATGATGGATTTATCTTTGCGTATCCTAAAAAGCAATTAATAAATAACACAAGTCAGTCAGTCAGTTACCTATTATCAACCCAACAACAACAATCTATGTCTAGATTAGTAAATGTGACTTACCATCTGATAAACTAATACAAAGTGAGAATGTAATGACCAACAGCATAAATGCTGCTGATATTATAAAACAAGAACAAGATTTCATCTTTGGTATCTACTATCTCGTTTTGTTGTTACTATTATTATTATTATTATTATTATTATTTTTATACTATATTATATCTTGCTTCCTTTCCTTTTAAAGGATATAATATATATATATATATAATATATAAATATAGAATATAGAGTTTGGAGGACTGGATGGATCGCGGAACAAGTTGTCCTCACACACTTTTAATTGTTTGTTATTATTATTATTTTTAGTTTGTGTCTATCTATCGTTTTCTCTTTCTTTTGTTCTGCCGCTGCTGCTGTTATAAAGTGTTCTATTTTAAGATTGAGAGAGAGAGAGAGCTAGTGGAGAATGAACTGTGCACTGCGATTGCGATTGTATGTAATGTAATGTAATTCATTCGCATAGAAGCTTCATTATCTTAAGAAATCGGTGGGTCGAAATTAATTACACCAACTTCAAAAAATTAAAAAATTAAAAACAAATAATTATCGAAGGTCACAAACTTGGTTTGTTCAACCGCTGCCAAAAAACAGGGCATTGATAAAAATACATCGTCTTGTGCAACATGGTTCAAAGCCGTCACTTTCTGCAAATGCACAATTGCCTTTTAAAGAGTAATGAAACACTTTCGTTTGGGTCAAAAACAAACAAACAAACAAGAATACGAGATCATCATGATGGTCTGCTCTGTCTGTCTGTCCATCATCTTCATGGAATGATTCGTTCTTTGAAAATCAAGATAAAGAGAATGCATTCTATTGATTGACACAATCTATAGATTAAGATTAATATTTAGTACGTGGCCACGTACTACATACAACATCACTGCATTAATTAATTAATTATTTTTAACTGTTTTTTATTTAATTAATTTTAGATAATACAAAAAAGGGGGTGTTGCAATGTACTCTTTCGCATTGTATATTATGCAGATAGCTTATATGTTAAAATGAATGTTTTTTAGCCTCTTTTATTATTTTGATAATAATAAAGGTTGGATGACTGAAAAAAAGGGTTGGTTGGGTGTTGGAGGTTGGAGGTTGGACCATTATATAGTCTTGAATCCACGAATGGTAATGCCAAAGAAAAAGGCAAGAGCGAAAACGCCAACTACAATGGAAAAGATAAGACCGGCCACCATACTTCCATGACGGTCGTCGCCACTGGATGAATCACTGCTCCAATAGTAACTAGATGATGACCACGATGAGGCAAAATCACCACATAAATATTCACCCTATAGAAGAGAGAGAAAAGAGTCTATTAGTACTAACCAATAGTATAAAAGTAATAAATAAATATATATATATTTACATACATTTGCATTGTTAATAACAAGTGGATTGGTAATTGGACAATCAATGGTATAGTCAACTGGACCAAGTCTCAAAAGATAGACTAGACCACCGAATGGGTGGGTATGGTGCATACCATTTGTGTAATAGATACCACCAATAATACCGATATGACTGGAGCCGATATAGATACAATCACCGACACCAGATTCCCAAATAGAATTTGAGTAGAAACTACTTGCTGTTAAATTCATATTTGTAAATTCTCCTTGAGTGGTTGCAAACTAATTAAAGATTGATTGAAATAAGAAGATAATATTATTATATGTTGGTGAGTAAAAAAATGTACTTTTGTGTTGTGTTATGAAACTTTCACTTACAATGACACCACCATTTCTGGCAACATTGGATGAGAATGTACAACTGGTAGCAGAGAATTCAACGGAAGAGCCAATGTAGACGACACCACCATTTCCACTGATAGAGACAGAGTTGCCTTCAAAGGCAGAGAGCTCTGCCGAGAAGTAAGTGGCACTATCTCCCATAGCAATGACACCACCATTCCAAAAGGCATTGTTATAGTTGAGGTAGGATTGATAGATTGTGGTGATGTTGGAGGCAATGGCACCAGAGTAGGAAGCTTGGTTGTTGGAAATATTGGCATTGGTCATTTCGATTAGATTGGCATAGATGGCACCACCATTGTTGTCAGCAGAGCAACCATTGATGGTGGATGACTCGATGATGACTTGTTCATCAGTGTAGATTGCACCACCGTTGTTTCGAGAGACCGAGTTGGTGATGGTGGTTTGATTCAAGACAACATAGAAACCTTGGGCATTGACAGTACCACCGTTATCTTGTGAGTAGAAACCGTTAAAATTAGAGTTGGTTAGATTTAACAAAGAGTCGTATGGTGAGCTGACAATGATGGCACTGGTTTGTTGAATAACACCGATCTTTGAACGATAAACATTGATATTCTTAATATTGATGGTAATCTTTGGCAACGACACAGAGTAGTAGTTTAAAAAGGTGCTGGCACAATAAAAGTTGACTTTACTCGAATTTAAAGTGTATGACTCAATGTTTAACAATCTAAAGTTGGCACTGATTGGGTATGGTGAGCATGCTTCAAAACCATTCTTTCCATAAACACCATCCTTTACTCTAATGTTTAATGATTTTGATGATGTTTGGTTATTGATACAATTTGATAATCCTGGGCATCTAAATTAAAAAAAAATTAATTAAAAAAAAAATATCATTAATATATATAAATTGATCAAAAGGAATGAGGAAGGGATTTGATTCGATTTGATTGGTGGTATATATATATATATATTTGGAAACACTTACGTGGTAATATTATTTGAAGTTGAACAATATGTAAAACCAGTGTTTGCGACAATACAAACACTATCGTATTGGATGGTATCATCAAAGTTTGGGGTTCCAAGAGCAATTTCATTTGTTGATTCAGTTGTAAATGCCACTGAAAGAAACATCATCAAACAGACAATGATGGCTACTACTTCAAACTTCATTCTTTATAATTCTTTTTTTTTAAAAGATTGTAGTTGAGAGTGAGTGAGAGAGAGGAGAGATAATAGATTGATAGATATATATATAAAATAAATAAATAAATTTGTTTGTTGCTTATTAACGATGTAAGTGTTTGTTCCATTCTTCGATGGGGTGCACCATTTATGTATATGCAGTCTATAGCAATCCTTGATTTCGCCGAGTGACGTTATCCTAGCAACCAAAGAAAGACTGCCGATGCTGTTGAGTAGTCATCAAAACTATTTTTTTTTTGGTTCTTATCTTCTTAGACTGAATTCTGAAGCCCGAAAAATTTGAATGGTTGATGCTTTTCACAAACAATTTATCAAAATTAATTTTTTTATTTATTTTATTTTAGTTTAATATTATTATTATAATGTAATCAAATAAAATCAGTTTGTTAGAGTCTAACATAAAATTTTTAAAAATAACAATACCTTCATTTGGTAATAAAAAAAGAAATTTATATTTTAAATTTTAAATTCTTTCTTTAGAATTAAACTTAAACCTGGACTACTACTAGTCTTTCCGGTTGCTAGACATTCATTCATAATCATTATTAATAATTTTTTTTTCTTTTTTTTATTTATTAATTTTAGATGATACAAAAAAGTAAAGTATGCGTGTACTATAGTATAGTATATGTGTGTTATATAGTAAAGTATAGTATAGTATACTGCAGCAATATATTTGGCAGACAGGCTTATATGTTAAAATGTGTGTTTTTTTAGTCTCTTTTATTATTATTATTGATAATAATAAAGGTTGGATGACTGAAAAAAAAGGGTTGGTTGAGTGTTGGAGGTTGGATGATCCAAAGATGATTGATTGATTGATTATACATATTCTTACAAATCTTTGAATCCACGAATAGTAAAACCAAAGAAAAATGCAAGAGCAAAGATACCGACTAAAATGGAAAAGAGGAGACCGGCCAACATACTTCCATGACGATCATCACCATTAGAAGAATCACTGCTCCAATAGTAACTAGATGATGACCATGACTCAAAACCACCACATAAATATTCATCCTATAGAAGATAGAGAGAGAGAGAGAGAGAGAGAGAGAGAGATAGAGGAAAAGAAAGGAGTAGTTGATTAGTAAGTATAGTATGGTAAGGAATGGCTCGATATTATTATACTACATACATTAGCATTGTTAACAACAAGTGGATTGGTGATTGGACAATCATTGGTATAGGTTACTGGACCGAGTTTCAATAGATAGGAAAGACCACCAAATGGACCATAATGTTGACTGTCAGTGTAAAAGACACCACCGATAATACCGATGTGACTGTTTACAAAGTTGATACAGTCACCAGCACCATCATTCAATGCACGGTTAGAGAAGAAACTACTTGAAGTTAAATTCATATTTACATATCCATCTTGGGAATATGGAGTCGATGCATACTAAATTGTATTGATTGATTGATTGATTGGTAGATGAAATGAAAAGTAAAGTTTGTGTAAGTGGAAATGATTTAGAATGTAATTAATTTTGTGTGTATACATACAATGACACCGCCAGCTTGAGCAACACTGGTTGAGAATGAACAAGTGGTAGCATAGAATTCAATGACTGCATTCAAGTGGACGACACCACCATTATTGGAAGCAGTGTTGCCTTGGAAGACAGAGAGGTCGGCAGAGAAGAATGAGGCTTTATAGTCAATAGCAATGACACCACCATTATGTGAAGCGCGATTATTGTTGAGGTAGGACTGATAGATTGTGGTGATGTTGGAGGCAATGGCACCAGAGTTGGCAGCTTGGTTGTTGGAGATGTTGGCGTTGGTCATTGAGATTTGGTCGGCATAGATGGCACCACCGTTGTACAAGGCAGAGCAGCCTACGATAGTGGAAGAATCAATGATGACTTGTTCATCAGTGTAGATGGCACCACCATTAATATTAGAGACCGAGTTGGTGATGGTAGTTTGGTTCAATATGACATAGAAACCTTGGGCGTTGACAGTACCACCGTTGTCTTGTGAGTAGAAACCGTTAAAATTAGAGTTTACAAGGTTCAAAGTAGAGTCGTATGGTGAGCTGACAACGATGGCACCAGTATCGGCAGGGAAACTACTTCTCAAACGATAAACATTGATATTCTTAATATTGATGGTAATCTTTGGCAACGACATAGAGGCATAGTTTAAAAAGGTGCTACCACAATAAAAGTCGACATGTTTCGAATTGGGTGTGTATGACTCAATGTTTAACAATCTAAAGTTGGCACTCATTGAGTATGGTGAGCATGCTTCAGAACCATTCTTTCCATAAACACCATCCTTTACTCTAATGTTTAATGATTTTGATGATGTTTGGCTATTGATACAATTTGATAATACTGGGCATCTAAATTAAAATTAATTAAAAAAAAAAAAGAAAAGGAAAAGGACAAGTCCTATATTAATAAATTAAAGGGAACATATATTTGATTGAGAGATTTGGAAACACCTACGTAATAATATTATTATTTGAAGTTACACATCCACTAGAACCAGTATTTTCAACAATACAAACGCTATCGTATTGGATGGTATCAGTTTCAAGTGAACTTTCAATTTGATTTGTTGATTCAGTTGTGAATGCTACTGAAAGAAGCATCATCAAACAGACAATGATGGCTACTACTGCAAACTTCATTCTTTATAATTCTTTTTTTCTTCTCTTTTTTTAATTAAAAAAGATTCAGATTAATTATAATTGTTGTAGTTGTTGTTGCAAAAGAGAGAAGAGGATAATAGATAGATAGATAGAAAAGTGATAAATTATTTGTTGCTAATGAAAATAAGTGATTTGACCCATTCTTCGAAGGCCAGACCATCTTATAAGCAATTGAAACAACAACCCTTGGTTTCACCGACTGAAAGTTGTCCTTGCAAACCAAGACACCCTTGATGGCGTGGAGACGATCAATCGAGCTTTTTTTTACGCTAAATTCAAATTGAAATAGGGAAGATCTTTGCATGGTTGGGAATCGATTTTCGTTTAATTAAATTAAAATACTTTAGTTTAGAATTTGACGAGTATTGTGTTCAACATTATTAATCATAAAAATAAGAAGAAGCAGAACAAATAATTGAATTTAATTAACAAATTTATATATATTTGAACTTTCCCTCTCTTTTTGTTTTTTTTTTTTTAGCAAATACCCTAAAGCTTGAAGATACCCACCTTTTAAAGTTGATCGGCATCATTGTTTTCAACATCAAACATCATCATCATCATTGATAGACGATGACAAGTAGAAGGAAATCGGCAGCAAAAGCAGTAGATGCTATATCACGAACAATAAGATCATCTAGAAAGAAAAAGGAGAAAAAGGATGACGATGATGACGATGAAATGATCGACGAAGAGGAGGGTGATGGCGAGGAGGAAGAAGAAGAAGATGACTACGAAGACGAAGACGATGAAGATGAGAAAGATGTAGATTATATACCAACTGCAGAAGAAAGAAAGATGCATGCCAAAGAAAAGGAAGAGGATTTTGCAAGTGTCGACAAACTCTTGGAAGAAGAGGATATAGAGGTTGCAGAACTCGACCAAGCTGAAAGCAGTGGAGAAGAAAACGAAGATGACTTGGGTTTGGATAGTAGTGGGGAAGATGAAGATGACTCGTCGGGTGACAATGAAGAGGATTTCTACTATGCACTGTCATCCGACGAAGAAGAAGATTTCTCACAAGCCAACATACATGCATTGGGTGAAGAAGAATTAGTAGAATCAGATGATGATTTAATACTACTTGAATTGGTTGATCAAGATCCCGGTATTTTAGTAAATAGTGATTATAAATTAATTGTAAGACAACTAAAATAAACAAACAACTGGAAATCAAAAGTACAGATACTTATTTATTTTGTTTAATTTAATTTTTAGGGATTAGATACTGATACACCAATGTTACAAATTGGATCACAAATATTTAGAGGTGAATATGAAGATGCAGTTGGAACACATTTATTCTTTAAAAATATTAAACCACCTCCACCGGTAGTGACCAAGGAGATTATGATTGTTCCAAGTGGTGGTGGACCGATACCTCCAGCAGTGGCGACCGCAGCAGCAGCGGCAGCAGCATCAGCAGACAAACCAAACAACAACAAGAAACCAAAAGACACTCAACCACAACAAGAAACAATGATCTATGTAAATAAGACACAAAAAAAGATTAGGTTTTATGAAACAGAGTTGAGAGAAAAGTCTTCTTCTTCAGAAGAGTCTCAACAATTATTCCAACTTTATAAAACAAATGCATTTATAAATTAAACATTATTAATTAAATAATATTATATTTGTTTAGAGTTATATTAATACTCTTTTTTAGATATTTATTTATTTATTTTTATTTATTTATTTATATTTATTTATTTATATTTATTTATTTATATTTATATTTATATTGATATTTATTTATCTACCATTATTAATGGCTGATAGTTTTTTAGCTAAAGTTGTTTCTTGTTTTTGAATACGAAGTTTTCTTTTGTATAACAGTGTTCCAGCAGTTACAGCAGTTGCGACAGCTGCACCACCAACTACACAACCGACAATGATACGCCAGGGGTCGTCGGATTTGGAGCACTTGTCTTGTTGTTCCGATAATTTGGCAGTGTCAAGTAACATTGAAAAGTTTGGATCAATCTCGACTTGGTTGCCAAAGTATGGGATGGCTGTGACAAGAGAGGTATTGGTGGGGGACTCTTGCAAGATGTAGTGACCGACTGCGCGAGGGATTGAATCCAACATGACTCTGTTGACTAGTCGTCCGTACAAAAGTTTGCCATTGGCCTGTCCAACATTGATAAAGTTGGATTTTGTACCATTGACCATTTCAACGGGACTATTAACACCACCACACTCTTCTACTGGTGCATTGATACTGGTCCACAACTCTAGGGTCGATAACAAACTACCGAAATTCCATTTTGACATCTCCATTGAATACTTGAATGATCCAATCTTGAGGTGGAATTGGTCACCTGCAAAAGTAATTGGATACGAATCTCCAATGGTTACATTTGGGATTGCTTCGAGTTGGATAAAGGTAATGTTGATCTTGGCAGCATAGTTGGTTGCATTGATGGCTGTGTACGTCCATGATCGTCTGATCACCGAGCCATTGTTGGTTGGATGTACAAGTGTCGTGTTGAGTTGTTGGACTGGTTGCCATGTGAGTGATGTCAAATGTAATACCTTGGTCACATTCATATCCAAATCACGTTCCAATAATTTGTTAATTGTGAATGAATACTTTACACCTCCTTTATCAATATCAATACCTGGGTTTGATGGATTTGGTGTAATGATCACACCTCCTCCACCATCTCCTCCACCATCGGTTGGAACTTCACAATATCGACCATCCCAGCCATCAGCACAAAGACATTCTTGATTAGGGCAAGTTCCATGACCTGAACAATCAACGGTTGATGTTGTGTTTGATCTACATGGATTAGTACCGTTAAAAGGTAGAGTTGTAGCATTGGCCACTGTTTGTAATACTTCAAAGTCTGTATTTTCGACAGTCACCATAACATAGTAGAATGTATTGTCTGGCAGGTCATCAACCAAACATGAAAAGTTCAACAAACTACCAAGACAAACATTAGCCCAATGATCATTGTCAACAGACATGAATACATTGTATTTTGTTTCACCTGGTACACCTCCACTTGATTCTGTCCAATTTATATAAATCGATTGGGTTTCTCCAATTGCTGTTACTATAACAGATGTTGTTGCTAAAAATAAAAAGATAGAAAAAATAAAGAATTAATACAAAGTAATATTAAAAAATATCATACTAATTAATACATACGAGGATGAGAATAATAGATGGTTGAGTTTGATGATTCAAAGTTATCATTTTTAACAATAATTGTAATGTTGAAATATTCTCCATCAACAACTGAATTGTATAAACAATTAGAAACTGCAATGTCGGTACAAATGTTTGTTCCATTTACTAAAACATCAAATAATGATTGGCCAGGAACACCATTATGCTCGACCCATGAAATATTAAGAACTGATTCTGATACTCTTGATAGAGTGATGGTTGGTGTTGATGTTGGTTGATACAAAGTAGGAGTTTCAGATACGGTATCTGAATCCTCTCCATTGTTGGTAACATAAATTGAAATGGCTGGTGAAGATCCAGGTGCCAATCCAATGACCTTACAATATGGTCCTTGTTTACATGATGCTGTTGCGATATCTGATCCAGCAACATTAATTGTATAAGAATTACCTCCTGATGTACCACCAATAGATGAATAATTAAATTCAACCCATGTTGTACCTATTGCCCCTATTTCGATTGGATTCATTGTTGGGACTAATTAAAAAAAGTAGATAAATTAATTAATATAATGAATGTTTAGATTTAATAAATATATATATAATATTTTACATACAATTAGTAACAAGAACCATAATAGTTTTTACGAGTACTAAACCATCATTTGTTGCAGTGACTGTAGCATTATAGGTTTTAGGGATCATGGATGTCAATGTACAACCACCTTCAGTGGTTGGACAATTTGGATTGGAAACTCCATCAATTAAAAGTAGATAGGATGTTTGACCTGGGATACCTTCTAAACTTGAATAGGATACTCTAAATGATGAACTTGTTTGTAGTGATGGTGTCACTGTAAGAGTGTTGACACTGTTGTAAAGTTTTTGACTTGCTGTACCTGGTGTGGCTGATGTTTCTCCATTATTGGTAGAGAGGATACTAATCGATGGTGTTGAACCTGCTGTCAATCCACCAACATAACAATTGGTTGAAGTAGAACAAGTAGTGTTGGTACTCAATACTCCATTGACCCGAATTGCAAAGGTATTGTCATCAATTACTCTTCCATTATTTGACGAATAACTAAAAGATACCCATGTAGTTCCATAATTTAATATATTAACTGCTCCCATTGTTGGTACTAAATTAAAAAAGAAATGGGTATTGGTAAGTATATTACTTTGATTTCCTTTTCATTTTATAGGTTTTGACATACAAGTCCAAAAGTTTGTAACCGAATCAAGTGAAGTAGCAGAATAACCATCATTGGTTGCAGTCACTGAAATAGTATAAACAGTTCCATAGACAAGACCGAAGAGTGTGCATGATGAAGTTGTACATGAAGCTTGAACTACGGTATTGAGTCTGAGTTGGTAGGTTGTTGCTCCATAACCACGGGTTACGGGGTACGATACAGAGATCGATGTGCTTGTCTGACCAGTGATTGCGATCGACGGGGTTGTAATAACATTGACTGTGGTTGCGGAATAAGTCAATGGAGAAGAGACTGTTCCAGCATTTGTTACAAGGACACTGACAGTATATAGTGTGTTTGGAGTCAAACCAGTAGCAGTACAAGTAGTTGTAGCTGAGCATCCAGTATAAGTGTTACCACCAACAGTCACTGTATAGGTACCACCGGTACTACTTGAATAACTAAATGAAATGGTTCTAGTCGTCACAGTTCCTGGTGTTAATGATGACATTATTGCGACTATGATTAAGAAGAAAATAATAATAAAGAATTAATACAATGTATTCAATTGTTTCATATTGGTTACTAATACATACGAGGATAAAAATAGGTTGTTGAATTTGATGATACAAAGTTATCATTTTTAACAATAGTTGTAATGTTGTAATATATTCCATCAACGACCGAATTATATTGACAAGTGGTAGTGGCAATGTTGGTGCAAATGTTTGTTCCATTTACTAAAACATCAAATAATGATTGTCCTGGAACACCATTATGCTCGACCCATGAAATACTAAGTGTCGATGTAGACACCCTTGTTAGAGTGATGGTTGGGGTTGATGTTGGTTGATACAAAGTAGCAGTTTTCGAAGCGGGAATGGAATTCTCTCCATTGTTGGTAACATAAATTGAAATGGCTGGTGAAGATCCAGGTGCCAATCCAATGACCTTACAATATGGTCCTTGTTTACATGATGCTGTTGCGATATCTGATCCAGCAACATTAACTGTATAAGAGTTACCTCCAGCTGTACCACCATTAGAAGAATAAGTAAATTCAACCCATGTTGTACCTATTGCACCCAATACTATTGGATTCATTGTTGGGACTAAAATAATTTAAAAATAATTAATTGTTAAATTCAAAAAATATATATATATTAAAATTATTTTTGTACATACAATCAGTAACAAGAACCATAATAGTTTTTACGAGTACTAGACCATCATTTGTTGCAGTGACTGTAGCATTGTAGGTTTTAGAGGCCATGGATGTCAATGTACAACCACCTTGAGTAGTAGTAGTTGGACAATTTGGATTGGAAGCTCCATCAATTAAAATTTGGTAGGATGTTTGACCTGGGATACCTTCTAAACTTGAATATGATACTCTAAATGATGAACTGGTTTGTAGTGATGGTGTCACTGTAAGAGTGTTGACACTGTTGTAAAGTTTTTGACTTGCTGTACCTGGTGTGGCTGATGTTTCTCCATTATTGGTAGAGAGGATACTAATCGATGGTGTTGAACCTGCTGTCAATCCACCTACATAACAACTAGTAGATGATGAACAAGTAGCGTTGGAGCTTAGAACTCCATTAACACGAATTGCAAAAGTATTGGCACCAATTACTCTTCCATTATTTGATGAATAACCAAATGATACCCATGTAGTTCCATAATTTAATATATTAACTGCTCCGATTGTTGGTACTAAATTAAAAAAGTAACAAAAGAAGAAGAAGAAGAGGAAGAAGAATTGTAAGTATTTTGAATTAATTTATCTTTCTTTTCATCTTTTCATTTTAATAATATATACAAGTCCAAAAGTTTGTAACTGAATCAAGTGAAGTAGCAGAATAACCATCATTGGTTGCAGTCACTGAAATAGTATACACAGTTCCATAGACAAGACCAGAGAGTGTGCATGATGAAGTTGTACATGAAGCTTGAACGACTGTGTTGAGTCTGAGTTGGTAGGTTGTTGCTCCATAACCACGGGTTACGGGGTACGATACAGAGATCGATGTGCTTGTCTGACCAGTGATTGCGATCGACGGGGTTGTAATAACATTGACTGTGGTTGCGGAATAACTTAAAGGTGCAGAGGTCGTTCCAGCATTGGTGACGGTAACACTGACAGTATATAGTGTGTTTGGAGTCAAACCAGTAGCAGTACAAGTAGTTGTAGCTGAACACCCAGGATAAGTGTTACCACCAACAGTCACTGTATAAGTACCACCGGTACTACTTGAATAACTAAATGAAATGGTTCTAGTCGTCACAGTTCCTGGTGTTAATGATGACATTGATGCAACTAGAGGTGGTAGAAAATAAATTAAAAAAAAAAATCAAATTAATTTTAAAAAAAAAGAGAATGTGTTATATTTTTTGACGTACGAAGTGGAATGGTAAAGGCAGCTGATTGACCTGATACACCAACACCTGACATTATTGGGTCTCCATTGGCGGATACAACGACTACGCAACTCTGACCTCTGGTGGCTGCAGGGATGGCAATGGCGGCGGTTGGTGTGGCGGGGTTGATCGTGACGGACATTGGGAATTGACCGGCTGGACAACTGAGCATGGCAGTATAGAAAAAGGTGGAGCCACCAATATTCGACGAGAAACCATTCAATGAGACATCGGTAAGAGTATTGGATGCGGCAACTGAGGATATAGACAGTGCTGGGAACACCTGTCCATAGGTGAACCCGCCATCGACACTTGAGCAAGTCATTGGTGAAGTAAAAAGGGTGGAACCCATAATAGTAGGACAATTGACATAAAAAAATCCAAATCCGATATTAGGGCTGGCAATTGCCTTGGTGTAGATACCTGCACCTCTGTTGGATGGTAACATGACACATGCACCTATTCTATCAATGTTTCTTTCGTTTTGGAAGTTTAGACAATCGGCCGATGGGTTTGGAGATGAAATTCGTTCGAAACCAAGTGCTCCGGTCATTGGAATGGGTGGTACGGTACGTGCTATGACCATCATGTTTCCACTATTACATGCGTTGAATGTATAGGGAAAGGTGTATTGAGCAGCTGCAAAACAACCGCCTGATGAGATTCTAAAGGTTGGAGTTCCACCAGATGTAGAGTACCACCAAAAATCGGAACCACCAGCATAACACTGTCCATCATAAAATGCTGTCACTCTATTAATTAAACCTGTACATCCTGCACCTGCGTACTCTACTTCATAAATCCATTGAGCTTTACTATCGGTTACTATTAATAATAATACAGCAAAAATTAATTTTAAAGAGTATCGTGCGATAAACTCCATAATTGAAAATTATAGATAGATATGTCTTGGTCTGTTCTGTACGTATATGTATGTATAAATTATAATATATATAAATAATTATGTATGTATATGAATAATATTATTTGTGGGGAAGAGAGAGAGAAAAAAAACCATATGATCTTGATGGGCTCACATTATATTTCTTGTCCTACCATATTCCTCAAGTCAGATGTCGATACGATGTTTCCATTAATATTTGATAAATATCGATGAATCTAGATAATTATTTCAGAGACTGTTTTTGTGGAGGAGAACCAACCGCTGATGGCATCTTGAGAACATAGAACCCCTCTGACTTGTCATTGATGATGAAAACGAGTATCAAAAAAGCGGTTGCGAATCTTTTTTTCGAGCTTGAACTGACTTGCAAAAATATTGGCACCTACTGGTAGACGCCCTTGGTTTTGTTTGTCGTTTTTGAAGTTTCATATGACGCACAATTACCATCGTCAAACTTAAAGATATTATACATGATCGGTTAGATATTATTGATGAAATAATTCGATATGCGTCTTTACAATTCTATTTCTTCTTGACTTTCTTTTTGCCTAATCTGAATAAATCTCTATTCTCTTCTTTTCTTAATAACCTCAATTATTATTTAATTAATTATTACAATATTGTTGGTTGAGGTTTGATAAAAATATTCATGGTTGGAGTATTTTGTTGATTGTTTTCAAGGATGGACCATTAAGAGTGTGAACAAAATTGTGAGTCTGCGTCTGCATGAAGATGGTTATATATTGATTGGTCTGTACAAAGCTTTTGTAATGGCAAAATTTATTACGATGAATGTTAAGGATGATTGTTATATATAAGTCCATCCACACGTGATTTGATGGTTAAAATGATAAATGTATGATGGAAGGTTCGGGCGGTTGTGGTGGTGGTGGGATATATATATAGGTTAACCTTTACTCGAGGTCATCGGGTTCCTCTGTTTCAGTTGGTTCATGAACAGGTTTATAAAGTACAGTGGTAACAAACTTGGTCTTGTATCGATGTGTTACACCTAGAATGGTTACCTTATCCTTTCGTGGAAGTGAATAGAGATGATTGAGCATAACATGATGGGGAAGTGGAAGAAGAGTTGGATCCTCGGTGGATGGTTGAGTATTTAAAAGTGCTCGACGAAGATGTGCTGGTAAAGATGGTGGAGGAATCTTTTGAAATTCTTCCTCTGGTACATTTTTACTATATGATCCTGGTGGTGTTGATGAAACTAATTAAAATAATTAAATAAATCAATTAATTAATTAATTAAAATAATTAAATAAATATATATATATATGTTTAATACAAACTTTTAAAATTACTCAATTCATTTGATATATCTTTTGATTTGACTTCAACGAAATTAATCAAGTTGCCTTTAGTGTCGGCAGCAACTGGTTGTTCAGATGAATGTACCCATTTGCCATCGACGATAAACTTGTATTGATGTACTCCAGGTGGAAGGTTATAAATAAGAGTAAAATCTTTCTCGCTGTGTGACAATGGTATCTTTTCCTTCCAATTGTTGAATGAACCTGCAATAAAGACTTCCTTGCCTCCACCAGCCCATGTAAATACTGTTGGTACCACTTCTTGTGTATTTGGTATACCAATCGATCCCGATAATGGTGATGATGGTGGTGACACTATATAGAAAATATAGAAATATCATTAGTCATCCATTAAAATATTATTCATAGTTATTTGTTTCTTACTTAATACATTAAATTCAGAGGTTGCAGGAGTTGATCCCATAGGAATGAATCTATTTGGAGTGGTATTTGTAGATGGAGTATGACTTGAGGAGTATTGTGACTTGGAGGTTGAAGTGGTGGCTGTATAGGATGAAGGGTGTTGTTGTTGTTGTTGACTCTGTTGATTAGGTGATTTGATAGGATTCTGTTGTATCTGTTTGCTTCCACTACTTGTAAAGCTTGGTATAGGAGAGTACCGAGAATTATTACCTGCTCCAATCGTATTGGGTGAAGGTGGAGGTACATGGTGATATTGTGTTTGTTGTTGTGGCTGCTGTTGTTGTTGTTGTCTTGTATTCAATCCTGTTGACATTGGAGAAGAGTTTGTTGATGAACTTCTACCTCTTCCAGTAGTCGACTGTTGGTTTGCATACTGACTATCTTTTTGTTCAGTCGATGATGTTATACCCATCTTCTTCCTAAATGTATTACTTATCTGCAGCAGATAAGAAAGATATATATATTTATTCGTTTATCTATCTATCTATCGATCTATCTAGATATCTCTTTATCTACAATTAATTCGTGTTGTTGTTGTTGTTAGGTAGTTAGTTGTAGTTTTCAGAGAAGAGTAAAAAGAATAATAATAATCTGAGGGTGTTCTTTTGAAAATAAATAAAAATTGGTTTGAACCATTAATTTAAAATTGCTTTGAACAAGCAAGCAAATCATTCAGGTATAATCATTTATTATAGTTGTAACTTTATAAAGGAGAAGAGATAGTAGAGTAGTGGAAACAAGTATTCAATAGCACAGTTGGAAAGAGGTTGGAGAGAAATTTGTGTTCATTGAATCATGTCGACTACATCATCACCATCTGAAACTACTGCTACTACTGCGACTACAACAACAACAACAACCTCAGCATCTACTTCAACATCACCACCACCTTCACTACCACCTTCTATATCAGTGACACCAACTGCGACTCATATCCCGGTACCATCACCGAATCAATCTGTAACATCGGCATCAGCATCTGGAGGATTAAACTCTTCGACTGCATCAGGAGGATTAAACTCATCATCTGCATCAATCAATGGAGAGGTCGGAGTTGATCATATAACAATATCATGTATGTACAAAGAAAGAGGGATGACAAAGAGGATAATTAATATGATGGATGATTGATTAATATAGAATCAATATATTAATTCTTTTCTTTTTTCTTTTTTTTTCTATCTATCTATAGATCAAGATGACTTTGGAGTATGGAAATATTTGGAACCTGATTTATGGAATCATTTACCATTGAGAAATATTAGTTGGAGAACAAAGACTGGTCATACCAAGATTGTAGATAAAATGCCTGTTAATATTCTACCACACAATGACGAACGATTGAAACCAACGTACGAGTTTCAAGACTTGTACAAGAAACCATACCTCTATTTGTACTTGGTTCACTGCGATGACGCCGATCAGTACAAGAACGCGGTCAAACCAAAGATCAAGCAATGGGTGACATCAATGTCTGAACGTCATCAGGAATGGTTGATAGTGTATGTGTCACTTGGTCAAAAGCGATCATTCTCAGAGTTAACGTCCAAGTTGCACAGGACCGTATTTGACAAGATCAAGAATGACTTTAACGTTAAACGCGATCGTTGTTGTCAATTGCGATTCTTTGACGACGCCAACAAGAATGACGACCTGTGGGATGATTTTCTGGGCAAGATGAAGGAGGGTATCATCTCGTCGGCCGAGCAATACCTCACTACCTACGAGGAGGAGATTCGCAAGTCAGATGCCAAGCGCACGGCACTCGGGTGGAGCTACTTGTCGTTTTTCTTTCTCAAAGAGAGTTTGGCGTTAATCTATGAACGCGCACAACTCTACGAGGATGCGTTGGTGCAGTACTTTGAGCTCGAAGTGCTGTTTACAGAGACAAAGACAACGTTTGAGAGTATCACCAACAACGACCCAGGTGACGGGATGGATATATTAGACGTAAACAAAAAACCATACCGCGACCTTATTTTTAACAACAAGATTAGTTTGTTTGACTTTAAACATTATTTGTTTGCCAAACAGGCCAAACTACTCTTCCTCTTGCACCGTCCAGTCGAGGTTGCATCGCGTGCCAATGCATTTATCGCATCTATCCAACGTATCATATCAAAGAATGCAGACAGTTTCTCGTCACCTTACTTTAGAGAGGCGTGGGTGTTTTCAGTCAGTCTCGAGATTATCAAGGCATGTCAAGATGGTTATGAAAAGTTGTCACAGTCACCTTCTTCATTGGGACAGGGTGGTGCGAGTGGAACTACCGTCAACCCAAAAACAAAGATTGTCACTCCTCCACTCTCGAGATTTCTCAATAATGTGACGAGCGGTCTCGGGCTCGTCTCTGGCAGCAACACATCTTCGCCTGCCACTACCCCTGCCACCGTATCACTATCATCGTCATCATCATCCTCCTTTTCAACAACAACTGCCGCTTCCAAGGCATCCTCTATTCTCAGTGGTCTAGGTATCACTGGAACTCAATCTCTTACAGTCACTCAATCATCTACACTTCAAGGTGGTGTATCTAATTGGATGAGAACACCATCACTAAACTCTATCGCTGAATTGGATCGTACCAAAGATGATAAACAAGAAAAAGAATTATTTGATTTATTTTTATCTGATTTATTATTTAATGCTGGTCAAAAGGTAAAAAAAATAATAATAATAATATTAACAACAAATGAAAGTATCATACTTATTAATCACTTTGATTTATTTTTATTTTTATTTAGTTGGAAGAATTAGCAATTAAATTAAAGATTATTCCAAAGGATTATTATGGAGCATTATTTAAAAGTGTTGAAGAGTTGTTTAGAAAAGATGATGCACCAAATAATATTTCTACCACTTCCATCTTTTCCTATCCTCCTCTTCAAGCTGCTTTCCAATCAGTCGAACAATTTAGAACTCTTTATCTTGATGTTATGAATCAAGCTGAAAATTTATTTACTCAAACAAATAGAACTAGAGCATTGGCCAGATTAAAATATTCTGTTGGTACTTTTCATTTGTATGTCACAAAAAAAATAGAAGAGAGTTATAATAATATATTAATCTAATATATTTTATTTTTGTAGTAAATTAAAAGAATTTGGATTAGCAGAGAATTTATTTAAATCTATAGTTAATTTATATGCAAGAGAAAGTTGGACTTCATTAGAGTATGCAGTTAAAACTAAATTGGGATATTGTCAACAACAATTAAATCATATAGTCGATTATACTGGAACTTGTGTTTCCTTACTTTCACCTGGTACACTATCAAACAAAGAAGAAAAAAATTATTACCTTGATCAAATCATTCAAATTTCAAATACAAAAGATTTAAATAGTATGAAAAATAGAAAGAACAAAAGAAAAAACAAGAAAGAAATATATTCTAATTCTTTTTTCTTTTTATTTTTTAGTTGTTCAAACACAAAATACATCAAAATTATTTAAATGTAAAATTAAGATTGCACAAAAAGAATATAGATTTTTAGAACCAATTACAATCATTGTAAAGATTAGAAGTAATCTAAATCAACCAATGACGATTAATAGTGGACATGTCAATTTTGTAAAACCATCCAATCCATCTGGCACTGTTGATAAACTTATCTTTTCACTCAACGATTTTGTTTTGCAACCTGGCGACAATATATTGACATTTAGTACGGTTGGTACCATCAAATCATTGTTTGTAAAGGAGTCGTTGTGGCTCAAGGCTGGCAGCATCTCCTTTGCCATTCCACTTCGTGGTGGTGATGCAGGACAGATCCAAATCATAGAGACGGCCAGTGCCATCACTCTCGACACTATTGCACCGTCACCACTGTTCCTCTGTTGTGTGCAATACATTACCGTTAGAATAGGTACGCATACCGACTCTATTGAAAAGGGTGTGTTGTCATTTAGCAGTCCTAGCGGTGCAACCATCATCAATGCACCGACATTAAAGGCATTACTCAAGAATAAGCATGGCCACCAATCGATTGTCGAATTTGCATTCAAGAATGAAAAGATCCAGCTTGAACCATTGGATTATGGTGAACAACTAGAGTTCTTCCTCCCCGTGATGGCAGTCAATGTCGATCCATGCACCCATCAATTCCGAGTTGATTTCCAGTATCAAAAACAAACCAAAGAAACCTATTCCATATCACCAATTGAAAATGCTCTATTTATTAATCCATTCTCCGTCGAGGAACAAGTCATCCCTCTCAATAACAAATATTTCTTAAAGATCCAATTACAATGTAATGCTCCTCTACCAATCGTCATCACTGATTATCTACTCGATGAATGTGATTCTCAATATTATGAAAATGAATCCGATCGTAAATATTCTTTTTATCTAATGAAAGATTATAATCAATCTTTAAAAAATACTGTATGTCAAAAAAGATTATTAGTTATTTGATCAAATAATAATATCAAGGCACTAATTTATTTCAATCAAAAAAAAAAAAGACATTATATCCAGGTCATTTAATTTCAACAATTTTTGAATTTAACAAATATTCAGATAAAGGTAAATATATATTAAAGAGAGATAAACGGATAACGAATGGATGGATTATTAACTTGATTTATTTATAGATGCAAATAGATGTTTTAGATTAAAAGTTCAATATATAAACAAATTACAAGATTTGGACCCACAAGTATTAGAGTGCAAAACATTATGGAATGATCAAGTTGATTTCTTTTCACCAATTAATATTGATTGTCCATCTGTAAGTCATATATATATAATATAAAAATGTAATATTAATTAATAATATTTATTTATTTTCTCTCTTTAGCATTTATATAAAATCGATATTAGTATTTCAAAGATTACCTATTTGGGATCTATTGTACCATTGGGTATTTCAATTAGTAATTTACAATCATCAAACAACAAGGAAACAACGACACTTAACAATGTGCAATACTCTATCGACTATGACCCTTCATTCTGGACGGTTGCCGGTCGTACCAAAAACTCTTTTAAATTGGCCAATGGAAAGACACAACAGTTTTCATGTGATCTCATCCCGATTTGCAGTGGGGCCCTGCCTCTACCAAGAATCAATCTGATTGGTATCGACCAAGTCAACGTAGTCTACTCAATCTCTACCAATAATGATCACATCTATGTATACCCTCCAATCAATATTAATTCTGCTTGTAAAATCATTAGTACTGGAGTTTAACAAAGTAATAGATAATAATAATAATAATAATAGTAATAATAAACTAATTTAACATATATGTAGACTGTTGAATGAAAAGAAGAATAATAATAGGAAACAAAATGATCTGTATAAGTTTTTCAAGAGCTTTTAGATCTTTAACAATTAACAAAAATCAAGTCCACTAATTTCTTTTTCAATACGGGTATGAGCTGAGCTTATAAAATTAATATAAATAAGATTAAAGTTGATGTGTTAGTGATAGGTCGTTGTCTTGCACCGACCTGACGTCGGTTTTGTTTGACGACCGTGGAAATTGAAATTTCCCCAGAAAGTGACAATGAAATTCATTGGGTTTGTTTCATTGTTTTTAATGATCACCAGTACTCACGTTAAATTTATTCATAAACAGATAACATAAATATATATACAAACAAATAATGGAACCAAAACAAGTAACATTAACTTTACAAACCAACCTTGGTGAATCAACTATTGCCGGTAAAGGTGAGTAGTTTTGTCACTAATATAAAACCTCTCAGCTAGTTGACTAATCAATCAATCAATCAATCTTGATCGCTTATAGCAATTGCTCTCCCTACGACACGCCAATTTCCTCCACCAATTGGTATGCGATTCGAAAAGGGATACTCAACCTCTGGAGCTGATATTTGGGATGTAAACGAATTCACTGTAACCTCTGCTTCTCTCACTGTCAACGACCAAGCTGCCGTCGAAATTCCATCGGCAAGAGGATCATGTTTAACCAACACTGAGCAAGGTGTTGTCAATGTTAGATTGAATTTGAATGAACCACCCAAACAACCAATCAGATTCTAAACCCAAGGATGGATTGATTTTCTCTCTTTTTTGTAAATAAATAAAGATCACTATTTTATTTGTTCTTGAAACAACTTTCCTTTTTCTTCTTCTTCTTCTTCTTCCTGTTTATAGCCAGCCAACTCGTTTAAAATATAGTCCAGTGCCTACGATCCAAACTGCAAAAAATGTCATCAAACAAGTAAACCATTTCATATGAGTATCCTCGTAATACCCCACCATGCCTGGCAACTTGACATTCATTCCAAATACACCTGCTATCAGATTGAGTGGCATGAAAATGAGAGTCAATGTTGTAAATCTTGACATGGACATGTTTAGAGTATGTGACTCTTCGTTGAGCAATAATGACACTTTGGAAATATAGACAGTGTTTACATTCTCCAATAAATCCTCTGCCAACTTTATCTTTTGTTGGATTCTAACTACACGATCCTTAATATTTCTTAAATGTCTTTTGGTATCTTCACTAATTGAATTTCTTAATAATGATGACAATGTATCACTAAATAAAAAAATTAATCAATAAATAATATATATATTTATATGTATTTATATTTTTCTATTTACTTACTTTTTAATAAATAACCAAGATAATAAATTTGTAGCTTTACGAGTAGCTCTACCTAATCTAACGTATAGTTCATTTTGAGCAACTTCTTCTCTTAGAGTGAAATCATCCAATGTATGAACTTCGGACATTAAATAGTCGGCATGGGTAGCATAGAGTTCACATATTGATTCCAACATGCTATAGAGTACCCATGGCGAATGAACTATTCCCTTGTCTAGATATTTAAATGAATTGACCATATTATCAAAGCAATCGATTGGTTCTTGATGAAATACAATGACAAAGGTTTGAAAGACGAGTAGATAGATACTGCTATTGATGAGTTCACCACCAGGCGAGTAGGTAATCTCAGAGGTTGAGACAAAGATATAATTAGAGTATTCTTCAGACTTTTCAGTTGAATCATGACTAATAATATCTTCATAGGTAAGATGATGAACATACAATACTTTACAAATAGCACCTATTTCCTCTTCATCCAATCCTTCAAAATCTAACCAATAAATCTTTTTTTCATCAATCTTTGGTGTCATTAGTGGTGGCGATGTTATTGTTGTTGTTGTTGTTGTTGTTGTCGTCGTAGTAGTGGTAGTATTGTCATTCATCTTTTTGTTTTGTTCATCATTATTACTACCAGAATTGGAAGAAGTGCATGAAGTGGATGAAGCACCAACAATTTCTGGTGTTAAAGTTGAATCAGATGATAATAATTGATTATTATTATTATTGATATTATTATTATTGTTATTTATAGGTTGTGGTGAAACAATTAAACTTTGTTGACTATTATTATTATTATTATTATTAATTAAATTGGTTGAAGAATTGGTTGAAGAAGTGGATGAAATTAAATTTATATCATTTATAGTTGTTGATTGTTTACCTCCATAGGTGGTGGAGCGATGATCTCCACCACCTCCACCACCACCATAAGCATCATCATCACTATTATTATTATTATCATCATCGTCATCACTATAATCTATTTTAATTTCTTGAGTTCTACTATCGGTTACATCTCTTATTGTAGTATGGTCTGTAGGTATGTTGATATGATCATCATCTTTTAGAGGCATTGGAGAATGATCATGAAAATGATCAGCATCCAAAAAGGGAGGTGTATGTATATTCATAGTGATGGGAGAATCCCTAAACGATGCACTCGTCAATCTATCCCTCTTTGCCAACATCCTACAAAACTGTAATCCTTCTTCATATGTATATAGTTTTTGACTATCACTTTCTTCATTTATAATATATACCTAAATATATAATATATAATATATTATTAGTTTACATATTATACACACATATATAAATCAATTAGCTGTATATATATATATATAAATATATGTATATATTTTTGATAAACAACATACATTTCTCTTTTCCAAAGGTTCAGTTGATGATATAATCTTTGTATTTGGATTAAAATGATTCATCTTTATTATACACGTGATCTATCTAACTTTGTTTAGTTGATGATATATATGTAGAATGCATAGATAAAAATAGAATAATATCTTTTTTCTTTTGTGACTACGACAACAATCGTCTGACTATGATACTATAGGTAGAATGTATTGTATGTCTCTTACTAAAACCAACTAAATTATCTCTCTCTTTCTTTCAACCCATAGGAATACAAATAGCTGTGTGCGATGATGATGATGATGAGCTCAAAGATAATAATAGAAGTAAAATGAACTTTTATAAAGAAGAGTTGGTCAGTCTGAAAAGGAGGGGTTTTCACAACCACCCACTCAACTTTGCTTTGTCTTTTAAGAGGCAAGCTAGATACAACAAGCCGTCTCTTTTTGATCGATCAATGAAAAGATTGAAAGACCGACCGACCGACCTACCATTCTTGGACATGACCTTTGATTAATGATCCAATCATTGAAGATTAATAAATTGATCATTGAAAATTAATTAATATTTGGGTTTTAATTATGAACATCATCACCATCGTCATTCATCCATTTTAATTAAACTTGTTTTTCAAGAAGAACTGTGTATATATATAAAGAAGAATGAAGGAAAAAGATAAACAACAGCAACAACAAACAAAAAAGAATAATAATAATAATAATAACATAGTTGTTGATAGAAAGCGTCAAGAACAACAACTAGAACAATACAAAAATATTAATAGTAATAATAATGATAGTAATAGTAACTTTATAATTATATTGATTGTTGGTGTATTATGTAGAATCATATTGTATTATAATGGATTTCATCATATACTCTCTGAAAGAAATGAAATCAGTACTCCTATAACTAGCTTTAAACGATGTATGTAGAGAGTTTAAGTTGTTGAAAGACAAGTTATATTCATTTCATTTGATCAATTGTTAATACTTCTTCTTCTTCTTGTTCATTTTCTTTTAGTAACAGAAGGATTATATTTAAATCAACTTGGATTATCACCATATAGTGGATCAGCATTTCATCAACCACCATTGCTGTTGGTACTATTCAAAGCATTCAATGATAATAGTTCATTTGTATTGTTGAGACCACAAGTATTATTTTTGGTGATTAGTATCTTGTCGGCTATCCTTTTACGTAGGATTGCAGTATTGGTACCTAGAGTATTACCAAAAGAGATGAAACAAAGTATATCACCCAATATAGTGGTTGCAATGTTCCTCTTTAACCCATTCTCTATATTGAGTGATGTCGGTATGAGTACCATCGCAGTCAACAATCTTGTCATTCTCTGTGCACTCTATTTTACACTCAAGGGTAATCTATTCCTTGGTGTCTTTTCAGTTGCCGCCGCTGCCTATCTTTCAATCTATCCCATCATATTGATTGTCCCGGTCGCATTTATTCTCTACCGTCACTATCAAGTTGCCGCATCGACATCGGTCACTGTATTCGTCTTTAAACTGTCCATTCTATTCCTCTTCTCATTGGTATCTCTTTTATACCTTTCCTTTTGTCTATTCAATTCTTGGGAATTTATAAACAAATGTTATGGTTTTACTTTTCTTGTTGAAGATTTAACTCCAAATATTGGTAAGCATAGTAAAAAAGTAGTTGGTCTGTAAAGATTCATAGCATCCAACTAACCTTCTCTATTTCTATTTTGCTTTAGGATTATTTTGGTATTATTTTATAGAAGTATTTGAACATTTTAGAAAGTTCTTTTTATTTATCTTTCAATACAATATATTTATCTATACCATTCCATTGGGTATCAGATTAAAGAATCATCCATTATTCTATTTTTGGATTCTATGTGCCATCATGGCAACATTTAAGAGTTACCCAGCACTTGGTGACACGGCACTCCATATTTCTCTGCTGCCACTGCTCTATGAAACACTCAAAGGTGTTAAATACATTTTCATCATTGTCGTGGTTGGCATCTACGTCACTGTATTGGCACCGATCCTCTGGCAAATGTGGATCTACCAAGGTACTGGTAATGCAAACTTTTACTATACCATCAACCTCGTCTTTACTCTGGCTCAAGTTTTATTAATGGCCGATGCACTTTCTGTATTACTTCGATTGGAATATTTAGATAAATTTAATGAAAAACATAAACAACAAGATGAAAAAGAAATAATTAAAAATAATAATAATAATAACGATAAACAAGAAAAAGAAAAAGATGATGTTAAAACTTTAAAACAAGATTAAAAAATAAATAAATACATATAATTACATTTCAGGGTTAAAAAAAGTGAAAGTAGAGAGTGACGATGACGAAGTTTCGATCAGATTTTAATGCATGATCACTTGCATTGTAGACGATATATATTAAACTAGTAGTAGTTAGTAAAGATTGTGTAAAGAGATGTTATTTTGCCCTACATGTGCTAATATGTTATTGGTTGAGAATGACAATCAAGGTAAACTAAAGTTCTATTGTCAGACTTGTCCCTACTTTTTCGGTATCAATAACAAGGTGGTTTCAAAGGTTCCTCTAGTTCGTAAACAAATAGATTCTGATGTGTTTGGTGGTGATGAAGCTTGGAATAATTCACAACAAGTAGATAGTATGTCCAAACAGAGAGAGAAAAGAGAGATAGATAGGATAGAGACAGAGATCATTCGTTTTATCATTATACTTACTTTTTATCACTGAATCAATCAATCAATGAATGAATGATCATCTTCCCTTTTAAAAAGTTGAATGTCCTACTTGTAAAGTAAGAAGAAGAGCACATTTGATGGAAATTCAAGTATACCCTGCCGATGAACCAAAGACTGCTTATTATAAAGTACATATATCATTATATTACAATCACTCAATCAAATGTAATGACATTGTCAATATTTATTTATATTAACCTATAACTTTTTCACACTATATAGTGTACATATTGTGCAACGAGATGGAGAAACTAAAGAATCAAACTATAGATTATATATAATTTGATTCCAACTTGGTGTATATAACAATAACTATCTATATAATAATAATAATAATAATAATATTTTAATCAATAAGGAGAAGAGTTCAACTCATTGATTTAATCCATATCCTTTACAATTTATGAATAAATTATATTTATTTATTTAGATACTGGGTAAACGAAAAACAACAACCAACAATATTGTTAGATCTATGGTTTCTCAAAACACTCTCTTTCAGGTTTGGATACCTTTCCAACTCTGTTCCTGTGACACAAAGAATACTGTAATTACCTACTTGGTCTTTTTACCAACTTTGGATAGGTTGTCACTATTCTGGTTTGGTTAGTGAAGCCCTCAAGTTGGGCAACTTCTTTGAAAAAATATCTCAAGAAGACGCTCAAATTTTTTTGTGATCACAATGAACATCGACACAGTCTCTGTCTATTAATACGATCATTTCATATACTTACCTTTTGGTAAACAACTATACCTATTATCACTTTTATTTATTTATATATTAACAATTAGTTTTCAATCATCACTTCAAAAATGAGCGTCTATGAAGATATTCTTAGAGAACAAGTCAAACAAGGTAACATGGGAGGAACGGTTTGTATAGAGTAAAGCAATCGCAACAATAGACTTAATAACTCACAATTCCATTTAATCAATACTTAGAAAGGACCATTAGGATATTTAACTCAAAAGGAAAATGCAACAAAGTTAACAAAATCCTCATCAAAACCAAAAGAAGAGGGTTACCATTGGATTAAAATTAAATTGGTTCATGGTATGCATATATTATTAATATCAATATCACAATGTCATTTTAAATTTATTTTTATTAATACAATGAATGATGATGTATTTAGGTATTGTGTATGAAGCAACTGATGGAAATGGATTAAGTGATCCATTTGTTAAATTTGGTCGTCTCAACCCAACTCTTTTTGAAGGTAAATACTTGTTTGAATCACCAGTTGAAAAAAAGACTCTTACACCAATGTGGGAATGGACATCAGAATCCAAGGAATTACAAATCGCTGGAAAGCATCGTTATTTGATTGTAGAAATGTGGGATAGAGATTTACTTTCAAGAAATGATTTCATTGGTGGCAACACAATCGATCTCACTCAATTCTGTAAACCAGAGCGTCTTGGTCTTGGACCCATCACCTCCAACTTTACAATGTACAAGGACTTTGATGAAACCACCAAAACTGGAAAGGCTGCTGGAGAGGTTGAACTCCAATTCTTTGTTACCTTTGGTCCCTCTAAAGCTTTCTCATCTCCTTTAAATTAATTCCATCAACAACATACTCTCTCACTCATCATCATCATCATCGTCATTCAATAAATAAATAAATAATTGTAATTAATATATAAATCATAAACAAATATTATTTATTATTAATATTAATACGAGACTCCCATCCCTTCATTCATTGAAAATTTGGTTGGGTGGGGCAAACAATTTTTTGAAAATATCGGAGTTCCAAAGGGCACGATTCGATCTACCCCTCAATGTTCTTCCCCAAAAACAATCACATGATATATTGATAAAACATAAATATATATTTGTATACACAGAGATAAAAAGAGAAATAATGACAGACTATAACGTAATTGTATGTTTATCTTTTATAAAGAATACTCTTGATCAACTAAGCTAATATCTATATCTCTTTTGATAGTTTGTATTACCAGGAGGAAAACAAGTAAAAGATAAGATTGAAAATGATATTACCTTTCAAAATTTAAAGCAAGTTATTGGAAAGTATGCCAACAGTAGCACCTTTTCATTGGCTCTCAGTAGTGATGGATCTAAACCAATCAAGGCTGTCAATTGGACCAAATTAAACACAATCGATACCTTTAAAAAGAGTTTCCCTCTTGGTCTCATCAACAACAATGAAATAGAGTTTAATGATAACACTGATTCATTTATTTGCAAGATTTATGTACTCTAAAAAGAATACTTTCATCCCTCACCTTATTTATTGATTAATGGTATCATCAAATTATCATTATTATAACATGTTGTATTATTAAATAAAATGGTTCGCATTGTGAACACATATGCATATACATATACATATATATATATACCCTCTCTCTCTTTCTTTGGATTCACATTTAAAAAAGAAGAAGAAAGATATTTATATTATAATTATAACTTTTTTTTTTTATTATTTATTTGATTGGGTTTTAAGACCTTTTTTTGTTTGTAATCTTTTAGGTCTTTTTGTTTTTGTTTTGGTTTCTTTGATATTGTATTTGTTTGTTTGTGTTTAAGATCTATTATCAATATCCTTTACCTTGTAAATTCTAACCAACCAATGAACAGAGGTGAAAGCCTCTTCAAGATGAGTCAAACTGAAACCCTTGTAACCGATTTCAGTGTTACGAACACGATCGTAACCGGAAGGTCTGCCATAGTCGGTGCTGACCTCTGAGAAACGGTAGTAGGAAAGTTTGTACATTAAAGAGTTGAGCATGGTTGGGGTGGCACCCTTATCGATACGATAGTGACCGTTGGCCAAGTAGTCGGCCTCCTTGATGTTTGGATCACACGAACCACCGATTCTCACCATCCAAAGGAACTTGTTGATATCGTCAGACGAGTAACCAGTGAGACCGCCAAAGATGACGAGGACATAGTCGACGTCCAAATCCTTGATGATCTTGTAGGCATCCTCTTCGTTGGAGGCAAAGGCCTTGCCAACTTGGGCAATGTGGGTGTTGTTCCAGGTGTTGTTGTCGACAATGACGGTACGGTTGGCCATGGCTGACATTTGATAGCCGTAATCCCACCAGGACATGACCTTGGCGTCGTCGGCGGTGTTTTGGCCCAACCAACGGTAGGCTTCACGGAAATCGTCGAAAATGATACGACCACCGTCGTTTTGCTTGGCCGACAAGACAATCGAGGGTGACGAGTAGGCTTCAGAGGTGACCCAGGTGCAATGGAAGGTGTAGAGGATGAGAAGGACCGACATGATACCGATCATGATGTAACTGCTTTCCTTGGTGTTGGAGGTGGCGGCGGCGGCGGAAGAGGACGAGCTCGAAGATGGGGCAGGGGCGGCGCTGAGGGTCTTGAGCTTTTGCGAGTAGGTGGCGAGGGTCGATGAGACGGCGACGGCAGACAAGACACAGGCAACGGGGGCCAAGACCAAAATTAGACGAACCATGACACCCGAAAAGTAGATCGAAGTGACACCGTAGAGAATGAGGAAGATGTTGGCGTCGGTGAGCTTGGAGAAACAAAAGTAGAGACCGACGGGGAAGAGGAAGACGAGGATATGGAGATCAAAGAAATACGATGCCCAAGTGGTTGGTTGATGCTCAGATACCGAGGCAATGATGGGGATATTGTCACGAGCGTAGGTTGGATCGAGCAACGAGTAGAAACGACCAGAGAATGGGGCGATGTGACCGGTAATGGTACCAATGACAAAGACACCACCGGCAATGGACAAGAGCGAGATAAAGGCCAAACGTTGGAGCTTGGCAAAGGCCTCTTCGGTGAGATGACTCTTGATCCAGTTGAGTCCGCAAAAGAGTTGCAACAAACCAAAGACACCGAGGGCGGCCATGTGCTCTGAAGTAAAGACTGGTTGGTAGCCGACAAATGGAATCTGCATCGAGAGGATGGTGCCGAGTGCGTAGACGGTCGAATACGAGACATAGAGACGGTGCGAGTATCTACCGGTCAACAACAAGGTCAAAGCATGCAATGGAATAAGATTGATGATGAATACGTAACCTCCCCATGCACTGGCCATGTAAAAGTAGGCCAAAGCACAAACAGCTGAAATCAACAATGATCCAGTGTTTAATGCCTTAATCCATGTATAATAGGTGAAAATCAATGCAAAAATAGCAATACCTTCGTTATCAAATGATCCTGCTACAGATCTTGATATGTATCCTAAATGAAATGTAAACAAAATCAAAATAATTAATTAATATCATTGAATTAAATGGAAGAGTTGATTAAGTTTTTTTTTGTTTATAGTTACCTGGAACAATAGCAACCAAAGCAGCAGCAACCAAACCAGTTTGAGTGTCCTTGATTTCCTTTGCAAACTTGTAAGTGACCATTGCAGTGTTGGATGCAAACCATGGTGATAAAAGTACACAAACATTACGGATATTGACTGTAAGGTTTAATTGATTGAGGATATAATGTACAGCGGCGGCAGTAGCCATCAAACCTGGATAAACTGTACCACCAACGATACGACCAAGTGGATACCATGCTCTTTCATCAAACCAATTCATAAAGTTATAAAAACCTTCTGATACTAAATACTTTGTTGATCTAAAATTGAAATATCTATATTGAGATAGAGAGGAATGGAATATATAATGTGTTTGTTTTGATTAAAATTTGTGTTAATCGTCTCTCTCTTTTTTTTTTCAATGATGGTGATGTTCACCAAAGTGCTAAAAATATCTCTATCTCTCCTATAGATATCTATCTATCTTTCTTTCTTTCTTTCTAGCACTACTATTTGATATATATTTAGACACATACGGATCGAATTCATGAATAACACTTTCATAACGTAATACTGAGAATAGACGAGTTGAAAATGCTGTAATCATGTAATTGTAAGAGTTGATATGTAATAGGTATAGTAGTAATTGGGAGAAGAAAGGGTTGGTTATTAGTAATAGTGTTGATTGTGAGTGAATAGTGTTTCTATTCCGTCCGATTGAATTGAAAGTAACATACCCAAAACATAAATGGTAGCAAGGATTAACACCTTCAAGAAGAATTCTTGATTCTCTTTATTTCCATTGAATGAAAATAGAGATGATGCAGTCGATGATGATGGTGCTGTTTTAGTGGTAGCCATCTTCTTTGTTTCACCTTTTTGTTGTTGTTGGAAGTTATAACAAACAAAAAGCGCTCCGAAATTAAACTGTCTGTTGCCTCTGTGAGAGAAGAGACAGTGAGAGAGCAACTTCATCAAAAGGACCCAAGTCAAAAAAATTCAAAAAAAATAAAAAAAATGACACCCTTCCAAATCCGATTGGTCTCTGATCATCATCATCCAAAGTCAAGGTAGACCAAATGAATGGTAGACGGAACTACAAATATAACATTTATGTTATAGAAATGAATAGTTAAACTTTTGTTTCACTAGAATAATAATAATAATATTATATTATTATTATCTAATCATTTCTAGATGGTTGGGTTGTTTGTTTGCACGAACCTAAAAAAATGAAATTTGAGAGGATGACGCATCAAAAGTGGGTTTGTTAGGAATGATCATTCTTCATTAATGATTTGACAACGATTTATCATTTTACAACTATCTCTTTTATTATTATTTATTTATTTCTATTTATAAATATTATTTTTATATCTTCATCTTCATCTTCTTCTTCTTCTTCCTTTTTGTACATTGCTATATTTGATATTGTTACTTTTTTTAACTAAAAGTACAGTAGAAGTAGCTCGGGCTATAATCATCCCCATCATCCTCTTCCTTACACAACAGCAGTTCATACATACATACATACATATATAACACAGATATATTACTACGATAAATAATGGCAGCACCATTTGAACAATGGTATAGAAGTGTACCAATAGTCACAAGAGTCTACATGACAGGATGTGTCGTAACAACGGCATTAGTGTCCTTTGACTTGATCACTCCTTTTGATCTCTATCTCAACTTTCCTCTCATCATGAACAAGTACGAAGTATGGAGACTCTTGACAAACTTTTTATTCTTTGATGTTCTTACCTTGAACTTTGTACTTCATATGTATTTTTTGTAAGTACCAAATAATAATAATAATAATAATCATAATCATCCATCCCTCCTATTTTGAATATTAACCAACATTGATTTACAGAGTCAGAAATAGTAAATTATTAGAAGAGGGATCTTTTAGAGGAAGATCAGCAGATTATATATACATGTTTCTATTTGGAATCATTTCATTATTGGTATGTCTTCACACAAGTCAATCCTATCCATATATAGTATATCTATATATATATTAATATTTAATATTATTATTATGATTTATAGAGTATGAGTGGATTTTTATATTATACAAAGATATTTAACAAGACAATGTTTTTAGGACCGGCATTGGAATTGATGGTGGTTTACGTTTGGTCTAGAAGAAACCCAAATATTGTAATCCATTTCTTTGGACTTTTTACATTTAGCGCACCTTTTTATCCATGGGTTATCCTTGGTATCAGTTATCTCTTGAAACAAAGTATCGAGAATGATATCATGGGTATCATTGTCGGACACATTTATTATTATCTCGAAGATGTTTATCCTACCATTTCAGGTAGAAGATTATTACAAACTCCTGGTATTCTGTAAGTACTACTAAATAATTATTTAATATATATTTATATATATATTAATTTCCATCATTTATTTATTTCCAATTTTTATACTAATTTGGAAACATTATTATTCCCTTTTTTTGTTTTTGTTTAAATTTAGTAAATATTTTATAAATGATCAACCGGGAATTATGATTGATGGTCATCTTATTAGAGATCCAGAGCTTATTAGGGAAATACAGGAACAACGAGAAAGAGAGCAACAACAAGAAGTAGAACAAAATTAATTGGGTTTGGTTCAAAACCAAACATTGCATGTGATTGGTAAACAACAACAATCCCCAATGTAAAAATAATAATAATAATAATAAATCATGCATGCAACCCCCCTCCTCCCTATATCATTCTTCACCCTTCCACTCACACATAAAAAAAAAAGACAAAGTTTGTTTCCCACCACCACCCTCACTTTCATTCCACTCTTTTTTAATATATTAATTTTTTTTAAAAGAGTTTGGTAACTTTGTATAACATCAGAATCACAATCAATCATTCATATATTATATTACAAATTATATATATAATATTATATATATAAATATTTCACACTTGTATTTGATTGAATATATATTTCAAGATTTTTATTATTATTATTACTTTAGTTAGAATTATATTTAGCAATGAAAAGAATAACCAATTTTATGACTATTGTGTTGTTGTTGGTAACAACCATGGTTGAAATATCATTGTCATCTCCATTCTCATCGTCATCGTCAACGTCATCATGTTGTGTTGGTACACTCGATCAAAATAACAATACCATATGCCAAGCTGATGCGCCATACTATGACTCGTTCTTTGTACATTATGATTGTATTGGATTGATGGTTTCAAACAATGGAACAAACTATTGCAATGAATGTAAAACTGAATTGGGCAATGGATCAGTTGCTCTCATCATTGTCGTTCCAATTATCTTGGTGGTCGGTCTATTTTGTCTCTGCATCTGTTGTTGTTGTTGCAAGAAACCAAACAAAAAATACATTTATACTTCCATTCCCGATTCCTCTCCACATCCATACTATCACACGGCTCATACCTATCAACCATATGGAGGTGTCCCCAATAATAGTAATAATATTAGTGGTCTTGCTATCCCAACCACTTCCTCTTACTACACTCCTCAATCTTCCTCCCATACCTCTCCTTACCAACCAATATAACCATACCAACCTTCCAATAATATTAACAATGCTTTATAATACTAATATTAGAATATTATTAGTTTATAAATAAAATGTTAATCTCATCTCTCTCTCTTTGTCAAAAGATCTTGTAATTATTAAAATATATTCCAAACTTTTATAAATATTTCCTTTTTCAAAAAAAAGAATAGTAGGAGGTTATATAAATCAACTTTTTCAAAAGAATAATAATATTAATAATCATTTATAAAAATTAACAATGAATAGAACATTTATCATTAGATCAGAATCCAAGTCAAAAACAATTTAGAGTAGAGCAAACTGATCAAATTAAAACTATAGATGATTTAAAAAAACAAATCCAACCCAACCTTTCACCAAACATATCTTTTGAATTGGTTATTGAAAGTAATAAAGTCTTAGTTCCTGGATATCATAGTTTATCAATGTTTTTTGGAGAAACAGTTCTTAGATGTCAATGTATGAATATCAGTATTTGTTTTTTTTTTGAAAAAGTATTAACTTATAAAAGATACAAACAATGCCATATCTACTACGATTGATAAGAAAAAGTATTTCTTAACCAATGGTAATTTCACTCCAGGCTCCCAAGAAGATTACTATCAGATGGACTCTCTTTTGATGCTCAAACAAGAAAATGGTTGTTTAGATTTACCATTGAGTGGATTTAGAACTATTTTTGGACCTCCATCTTCAGGAAAGACAACTAGTTTACTAGCTATTGCAGATCTTGTAAAGAATACTTTTACACCAACCTAGTATGTATATTTCTAAAAAAGAAATAAAAAAAGGAAAACAATAATTTATTAATTTTTTTAAAAAGTATTAGCCTTCAAGATCTAGATAATCGCAGTTTCCAATATTCAGAATGGTTCTTTAAAGGATTAGGAGACCTTTTAAAGAAAAAATATCCTTCTTTGTTCCATGCAATAGATATCATTGACGGTTCAGATTTTTTAGAGTTTTTTGGGTATCATCGTTTGGAGGACTCTCCATTTCCAACTAAGTTAGTGTTATTGATCGATGATTTTGATCGAATATACTATAAATGCAACAAAGAGACCATTGAAGGAATCAACCAATTTTTTGGTGCTTTGAAGGGTACCAATCATTGGATTCTTCACTCTATCATTGTTGCGGGTTCATATTCTCTCATCGAACAATCCTTAATGACTCGGTATCATGCTCCATTTTCATTGTTTGATTCAACCAAAATTTCAAGTTTTACTCTTCAAGATATTAAATACCTCTTCCAAAAGTATCAACACAATTCCTCAACTTGTGTAGAACCAGAGGTAATAGAGGATATATACCATCGTACAGAGGGTCATCCAGGATTGGTTAGTTTATTTGGTCAGGTTATTGATAATTATTTGAAACCTGGTATGTCTCTCAGTTATAGACAATGGTGTGCCACATTCTCACCAACATTGGTTGATATAATGACAAAACATAAGCCTACTTTTAATCTGATACAAACAATTACAAGTGAGGCAAAAAATACCAACTATCAAGTTTTAATGGATTCACTTTGGACAATTATTTTCATGGGATACATTTTCGAGGGATCTTTGATCATTGACCAACATTGTCAATTTAGGGATAGATTTCTAGTTTCTAAAGGCTTGGCAAAAAAAACATCAATGTATGACCAATTAAGCACCATTTCAAACCCTTCAGTACGTCATTTGTTGTTGGAAAATATTGAATTAGTCAATCCAAATATTATCATTCCAAAAATACCCTTTCCATTGCTTGATGCATCAGAGGAGATTATAGATATTCCTCTATTGGTAAGAAATCTAGTATCCAAAGCTCTAGTTACTTTTAAAAAAACCTACCATCTTTATTCTACACACCTTCCCTATCTATACCATTCCGAGTTTTATTCAATTCTTAAAAGTTGGAAACCAAATTCTGTATCCCTATCAACCAATATTGATGTTCCCATGCCCAGTGATGAAACAAAAAGGGGTGATTTAGTGTTGGGATATCTTACCCTAGAAGGACATAAAAAAACCTGTTGTCTAGAAATAGTTGCATATCAAAAAGACGAAATAATTATTGGTCATATAGAAAGAGTAGCCAAACTCTACCAACCCATCATTGGTTATGATCAAGTTTGGGTGATCAATATCACCGCTCGCCAAAGTACAGCAAAGTCAATCTCTTCACCTTTCCCAAATGTTAAACTCATTCATGTTATTCATGATCTAGAAACCAATACTTTTTCATTCAAAGAACATATTTAATTAAATATCATACAAGAAGAATGTTTTAATAAAACATCGTTCTATTTTAAATTTATTATACAATTGGGAATGGTATTATTTCAACCATTTATACTTTTTAAACTAGATTCTAGTTTATGTGTGAATTATTATTATTATTATTATGACTATTACTACGGTTTTGTGTTTGTTGGAGAGATAGATTATTATTTTTTTTTTAAAGTTTTGAAATTAAAATATTACTATTATTACAGTTTTGTTGTTGTTCTGGATATAACATTAAAATACCATAATCACGTGGATCATTCCAAATTGGGTAGTTGGATTGTGATTTGAATTGAGTAAACTCGGTTTGAGTTGAAAATCTTGCAATCGATGTGAATTCTAATGTTTTGATACCTGGAAGTAATGGAAAGTGTTGTCTGATTGGATCGGTCATTGAGAAGCCTGCAAATACATAATTGATACCTTGTGAATATAATTCATTGTGTACACGTTGCAATAGATATCTAAAGAGAATATCACTTGTTTCTTGATCTTCACCCAATGCATAACAACAATAGAGTTGACGATGTTTTTGAGTTTGTTGTTGACGATTCTTGAGTGTAAATATTAAATCTTGATTCCAAATAGAGATTGAAGCTTCATACAATTGACCATTACATTGCATCGTTGCAATATAAGTTGATTCGTGGTATTTTTGATTGTCGACGAGGATATCAGAGAAGTTGGTTGGAATAAAGTTGTATTGTTGGAATGCATTGTCCCATCTAAGTTTGACGTCATCATTCTCGATCATCTTCATGAATCTAACTTGTAAACAATTGGATGGCAACGAGTTGACTCTTACTGGACTGGATACCTTCCAAGCCATTTGACATTGATCATATTGTGGAGTCATTTCAATGTTTCCAGTTGCTTTCTTGATTGGTGCATTATTCTTTGATGTCCATGCGACGAGGATGGTTGATCTTTCGTCTTGTTTGACTGCACTATGAATATCCCTGAAAAACATATTGGAAATGGAATGACCACGGTATTCTGGATGAACATTGATATCAAACATATAGTACAATGTCTTCTTTTCACCACATACAATAACATCTTTAATATTGCATGCATAGGCTCCAACAGCTTGATGTTCCTGTCTGTCCTCAGCAACGATAATCTTATGATTCTTTGTTAGAGTTGGACGGATTGTGAAATCGATTGGATGTGACATTCCTTCCAATGCATTGTAATTGTATGATACTGGTAATCTTGGAATCGATGAAATTGCATTTAAATCTTTTTCCTCTGAAAATTCTCTTAATACAAATCTATTATTATTATTAATTGATTTCATTTTAATTATTAATTATTAATTATTGATTATTATTATTATTAATTGTTGTTGTTTTTGTTGATGTTGTTGTATTTGATGAATAATTTAAGAGTTGATTCATTATTATTTATAGTTGTTCTTTTGAACCAAAGGGTCAAAGTCAACAAGACGATGTTACCACCACTTGACGAGTCGTCTATGAGGAACGATATGACCGACCAAGTAAGATAAGCGCAAGATCAACTGAATGACGCTCATTATGTCGGTCAATATCGTTAACGATAGTGTTAATCGGTAAACGAACAGCGACACATTAATAATAAATGAATGGACGTAACGACATTTCATTTACCTAGGCTTGACTTGTTTGATCACACTCACATCACATCTTCTATCAAGTCCGATACTTGATATCTCGTAGAGTGTGTGGATTGGGATGATGGTCGAGCTTACATATCATCTTGCAAAAAAGATAATTGGTATTAGTTTGATACAAAATCTGTGTGTGTCGGTGATTAAAATCAATAAAAATAATATTATAAATAAAATAAAAAAGAAAATGATGATAATAACCTGTCCATCATCTGGAACCTATGAATCCGCTATCTTGATGAATAAATAAATATTATTTATGTTTATTAAAAATAGTACAATTTATGCTCTAGTCTCTAAAGGAATGACTACAAGTCTCTTGCGCGAAAATTTAATACTGTATTTCTTTTTAAGGATATAGATGACAGCTGCTGTCACCAACACTGCAGCCACTACACTTCCAACAACAATACCTGCTATTTGTTGAACTGATAATCCATTCTTTTTAGAACAATCATTACCTGAATTACTAATTAAAAATGAGAAATCTATTTAAATAATAAAAGGAAAAGGAAATAAATTAATTGATGTTTGTTTGTTTGTTTGTTTGTTTGTTTGTTTGTTTGTTTGTTTGTTTGTTTGTTTGTTTGTTTGTTTGTTTGTTTGTTTGTTTGTTTGTTTGTTTGTTTGTTTATACATACCAGGATCTAAAATAACATTATCATTAAAATTTGGAATATTAATAGCAATTAATTGATTAATATTATCATTTTGTTGTTCTTGTTGGATAAATGATGTGGTGATGGACATGAGTCTATTATCAACGATGCCAACTTTAATAAATCTACCAAAAATACTCTTTTCATTGACACGTAAACTAAACCAATTAGAATCGATTGTTGGGCTACCACCTCCACCAGAAGGACCTTGATCTGATGAAAGACATGCATTTCCGTCTGTAGATTGAATGGTGGTTGACATTAATAATCTTAGAGTCGATACTTGACTAGAGAATTGATAGCCATCCAATTCGATGGTGTACTTTATAGAACCTGGTACCATGAGCAACAGTTGATTTGCAAATGTATAGTTGGTGGTGGCATTAAACTCTTCAATAGTGACCTTGACGATAGTGGTTTGTATAGGCAAGTTGGTGTCTACAGGATCAACCAAATGTGAACGGTAAAAGTAACGGATTCGGCTGTCCAACTGATTACTACTATTCCATGTAGTAAAGGGGTAGGATCGAATAACTTGGTCATTTGTAGGATCGATCTCTTGAATGGCAACAATTGAGATGATACTCTTGATGGTACTATCTACATCGACTGTTTCAACTGATGGGTTGGTAGCATTAAATGTGGTGTTGACATTGATAATGGTCGACATACATGTCACTCCACTCCACCCAGGGTTGCAAATACAATTTGTACCCGAACAATATCCATTCGGTCCACAACTAGATGGACATGTTACATTTGTGTTGTTTGGTGCTTGTTGAACATTAATGAGACATGCATTGGATGTAATGATACGACGTGCAAATAGATTAAATGTTTGGGTGGGGGTAGCTGTCATATTAATCTGTAGCATCGTGGAAGATTGGAAGATGACCCAGTAGGGTGGTTCATCAGATAAAAGGTTGATAATAGGTGGGTCAAATATAGCAGTTGCTCCATACAAATTATTTCCAATGACGGTGACTACATTTTGTGCAATCGAACAACTGTCAATATATATAGTCGAGTTTAAAAAGTCACGCTCCAACGTTACATTGAGTGCTTGACCAAAAGTAAGCTTAGTGTTGGCAAAACCATGAGCAGAGAATATAATTGGGTAGTCTTTGTTTCCGTAGCCATATGGTAAGACAATCTGTGCTTTGTAGACATAGCCGACCTGTGACACATCAAGAATTGCCTCAAACGAAAGTGGTTGATTGGGTTGTGTGAGTTTGGATGCGAGTGATTGGACATAGATGATGGGGGTGTGACGAGCAGACATTTCAAGTCCATCCAAATCAACGACTGTGAGTGTCACGCCTACAGTACGTTGACTAACCGTTCCCGAAACATCGACCTTGTTCTTTGTCAGAGTAAGTGTTCCCACTGGAATGTTTGACGAGCCACTCAGTGGACTATTATTAAAAACAAACTTGCTCGCAGCTGCAAATTGATCAGTATTTCGAATCATTGCCAATGGATCCATAGTTATTGGCTTACTTGATGATCCACAATTTCCACATGTATCACAGAGCTCTACATTGTCAAAGGTAAATGTTTGGTCCATTGGAGAGCCAGTCGTGAGTGAAATCTGATACACTCCATTAAACTTGGTACCCGACTTTCTGGTGGACTGATTGATGACAAAGGTGTATGGCTTGTAGTCCTTGTTGGATGTGACATTGACAATACCATGGTCAAACCCATTTGGTTCATCTTGAATGGTAAAATTCCAATACATGATAAACTGTCCATCCGATTGTTCGAGTACCTGTGAAAGGTCGGTAATCAAAGGCAAGACTCTATCGGCGGCCGGTGAGATGATGGTCAAGATTGATTGTGGTCCAAAAAGAGGAGCGAGGATGGCCGACAAGAGGTACTGACTCTCAAAGACCAGAGTGTAGGGATAAGGACCTTCAAATGTGTTTCTGGGGACGGTAATGTTGAATTGGTATTGTTGGAGTCGATCGTTCCAGACGGGAGGACAAGGTGGCCCATTTAAGAGTTGGTCACTGTTTGGTAGGAATATAGGAGAGGGTAGTCTATTGGCAATATCGAGTGATTTGAATGAAACAGACAATGTCACTTGTACATCCATATTAGAGACATCGATTACATTTGGTGAGAATACAATCGATTGTATATCATTGACTGTGGCAATGAGGGGAAATGGAATGACTGCAAGTGTTTGTACAAACATATTTGAAAAGTAGTTGCCTTGTCTATACGCTCTATCATACACTCTAAAAGTATATGAATTTTCAGACACAAAAACAAAAGTTGAGCAATCCAGTGTAGCTTCGAACCATCCATCAGTAATATTTCCACTAACTAAATGTCTCTCTTCCAAATAATACAATCCATTCACTGTAATCGATAAAATACCATAAATACTTGATGCCCTAATCATTAAAACAACCTTTGTTTTCATTCTATTAATAATTAAATCATTAATAATTGGTAATGATGGACCTGGAATTGGTGTATCTAAGAAATAAATAAATAATTAAAAAGTAAATATTAATATTAAACTCATTTATAAACTATATAATAATAAATTTATATATTATATCTATTTCTATTTCTTACTTAATCTATTTGGAATGATAACCTTGTGAATAGTTTGATTAGCATTACAAGTGAATTCAGGTGGGACTGCTTGATTTGGATAATACAATAGATAAGTCTCGGTGAGATTATTCATTGAACCTGAAATACCAAATGGATAGTCGTACGATAAAAGATTGGGTTGATTGTTTAAAGAGAGTGACATGGCCATTAGAGCTTGACCATTTGCAGCGATGGTTGTAAATTGTATATAGACTCCTTGCATTGCCGATATGAATGGTATTGGTTCGGTGTTGACATGGGACTGACCATAGAGACCTACCCACGAGAGTAGGTTGGTATTAAAGGTATGCATGTCTCCAACAAACTGTCCAAACGAATAGAATGTATTTTTAAGGTATGTGGGTTGAATATTGCCAATTTGTCGATAGGACATAAATGTACAGTTATCTCTATTACCCTTGGCTCTTAGTGTTATAGTTTGTATAGTGACCGAGGACTCATTGGTACTTTGTTGAATGATATTATATCGAGCATTGGTGATTGTTAAAAACGACAATTGATAGGTCGTGGGACGTGCCAGTTGAGCAAAAGGTATATTGTTGGCCACAAAATTACTCTGCACTGGTTCAGGTAGCGCAGTCTGTGGACGAGGAAAGAAACTAGGGAATACAATACTACCAACAAACACACCATTCCCATCAATGACAGTGACAGAGACATTGTTGAAAAAGTTGTATTTACATGCCAACGATGGTACGGCAATCAGCATCATCGGATACAGATCACCATAGCCAGCCGAAAGACCCTGTATTCTAAAACAACTAGAGTCATTGCCCGGAAAGGTATAAGAATAACCATAGTCTTGTTGAGTTTGTTTGGTCAAGAATCTACCTCTAAACGATCCAACCATCGCTACACTAAATTGTCCAATATCTTGATAATAAGAATTAAAACTATCAAATCTTTCATTTGTTGCTTCTAGAGAAAGATAAAGAGAAAAAGAAAGAGATAAAGATGTTTTTGTTAGATTAAATCAATAAGCGACTATTATTATTGTTATTATTATTATTGTTACATACTAATACAATATATTTCAAATGGAGTGACTAGAGAATTGACAGTTGATGTAACTGTCACATTGATAGGTATAGGTTGGTTGCCTGTGGGAGGGATGTTCTTTAGATAGATTGTTAGCTTGATGAATGGAGATGCACCAGCATCTTGTGTGACACCGTTGAATAGTGCCGATGGAGTGATTTGTGTTTGGGTGGGTTCAGCGCTTTCGACGCCTATCACTAATGTCCCCGAACATACATCTCCTACTGATTGATACACAATCAGAGGTAAAGCGGCTCCTCTAAATGTTACACATTCTACATCACCAACTAATGAAGATGAGAGGAGGATAAAGATGATTAAATTAAATAAAAATAAAAAACTAGTATTCCTATTTGCTGGTGGTTTGATGGTTGGTTGAACCATTATTTTTTTTTTACACAATACAAATAATAACAAATAAATAAAAAAGTATAAACAAATAAGATTAAGATGAAAGAGAAAGAGAAAGAGAAAGCGTCTGTCGTTCGAGCCCGACCACGTCTGTCCAACCTCGGTTCAATTATGGTGGAGACAGCAGAATCAGAGGGTATCACCAAAAGAAAAGATTTTATTATTTGATTTTTAGATATTATCTCTCTAAATAAAAGGGTTGGGATTGTACAACCATACTTACAACGACATTCTATTTTCAAAGTATTCTTGCAATGGAGAGAGAGAGAGAGAGAGAGAGTTAAATTTATATCTTTTGAACAAGAGATACTCGTACATGTACGAATGATGTTTAGATAGATCGATAGATTATTGATGATTGCAATGAACCAACTTCGTTGATATTTTTTAAGCAGCGACACTCCGGAGTGCACTCTCCCCACCGCCACCACCCAACCACCAATTGAGGTGCACTTTGTTAGCTCATCACACGATCGATCGTTTCAAACACTTTTTAAACATTCAACTCCTTGACATATTCGTTTAGTTGTATTACGAACGATCTTTTTATCTATTATTTATTTAATTTATATACATTTATTTACTTCAATTATAAGATGGAACAGAGAATATTTAAAAAAGTATTTTCAAACATTGTATTATTTAATTATATCTATTCATTTGTACCAATCATTTATCAAGACGAAAGAGTTGTATCATATAGATTTAAAGAGTTACCATCGATCAATATATGTCGGCTAGATTCATCTTCATCTGCGAAACAAATACAACTATTTCAAGTAAAGCTGAAACATGACAAAGATTTTGTGGTTTACTTTAAGAAACTACCTGCAATCCTAAGAAGTAGTTGGATTGATTTAAATACTGTCAAGACATTGTTGAAAAGATTTCCACATTATTTCCACAACTCTTTGGTACCAAGTGCTAAAGAAGAAAGAAACAATGACAAGACCTATCGATCAAAGAGTTGGATACTAGATTGTCTATCGATATCTGGTAATCTAGAATGTTTACAATACATCATTGAACAATGTCCTTGGATTGGTGGTATTACTCCCAACACTGTCGATATGGCATGTGAATCGGGACACTTGCACATTGTCCGTTACCTCCTCTCATCATTCAAGGGTATTGGACCAAGTCACGCTGGATTTGAAGGTGCTGCACTCAATGGCCACCTGCCAGTCATTCAACACCTACTCGCTACGACCAACATCAAGTTTACTCACCAAGCTGTGATGAGTGCCGCCAAGTCTGGAGTAGTCGACCTCGTTCGTCTGCTACTCAAAGAAATCAAACGTGCAGAGAAAGGGTCTGGTCTGAGTTTAGATCAATTCCTAATGGCTGCTGCCATCCAAGGTGGGTCACCCAACGTCGTTAAATTGGTATTCGATCATCTTGGAAGAGACTGTCTCAACAACTCTTGTTATTTCTTGATGGATATTGCAGCAGAGATTGGTGATTTGGAGATTGTCAAGTTTCTAGAATCCAAGAAATTGGTGACTCCATCAGTTCGCGAGAAACCGACACGTCTCTCATTACCAGCTGCCAGGGGACACTATGACGTCGTAGAGTACTTGCACAGAAAGAAATTGTCGATGCTGACACCAGGCGATCTCCAAGAGGCATGTAAACACAACCAAATGGCAATCGTCAAGTATATCGTGGACAAGGAGCCAAGCGGGATCTCTGTCATGTGTGACACTGCACTTGGCTTGGCCGCAGAGTCTGGTCATTTAACAGTATGCCAATATCTCTTTGAAAAGGGTCTCGTGCGACAATGTAAATCCGAGACACTTGTGGCAGTATGCGAAGCGGGGCATTTCGAGGTGGCCAAGTTCCTTGTTGACAACAAATTTTGTGCAAGTGTCAATCCAACAGAGTCAGCAACCGTCACCGAGACAATGGATAAATGTCTCAAGGCCAATGCCAAGGTTGGCAACCTCGATATGTTTCAGTACCTCGTCAAATCATTTAATTTGTTGACCGTCGAGTTTGACACGATGAAATACTCGAGTTTTACTATCAACCCAGTAGAGCTGCGTCATCACCAAGGATCCATGCTCATTCTCAAGTGTATGCATGTCGCTGCCGAGCACAGTCACATCAACCTTGTCAAATGGATGGTCGCACACTACACCATCCCGCTGTCCAAGGTGCGTTTACTCCTCACCATCGTTGCAGAGGTAGCATCTTCAGAGTTGTTGGATATGTTTTATCAGGATGATGCCGATACTACAATTGACAGTATTTTACCAATCTTGCAAGCTGCATCCAATCATGACAATGTAACATGCTACCAATACTTTTTAGCCAAGGGTGTACCAAAACAACTATTCAAATGTCCACTACTAATGGACAAGGCAATTGAAAAAGGTGCAATTAAAATTGTTAGATGGTTGCATCTAAATATTATTGGTGTTGTCGGTGGTGGTGACAATACTATTGCAACATGTTCTTCACAATCTGTTGATATGGCAGCTATAAATGGTCATCTTGGTGTCATTCAATACCTACAAAGACACGGTATTCATTCAGGATTCTCTTCTTCAACTGCCACTGTGGCACTCATGTATGGTCATTACGAATTGGTTCACTTTTTATTAAATAATCGTACAGAAGGATATATCAGTCAGGGACGATGTCTTGTCGTGGCATGTTCCTCAAATCACCTAGAAATTATCGAATACCTACATACACACCACGGGCCATTGCCCATCACATCCTCTTTGTTTAAACATGACCACGAAGATATCTACCGATTCCTCATACAAAACTACTACGCCATCATCACCAAACAATTAAATATTAGCGACCTTGGACAAAGACAAGCATTCTTTTTGACCATTCTCAAACAACATGAACAAATGTTGGAAAATTTAAACAACGCAAACAATACAACATTTTCAAAACTTGCTAAAATAATCTTTAAATCTAAATAAAAAAATTAAGGAGAAAATAGTAGTAAGTATTACGATTATTATTTGATTTGATTTAATTTTTTTATTTATTTATTATTATTTAAAAAAAAGATAAATATTATTATTATTATTATTTTGTTTGTTTGATTATTTTCTTAAAAACATATATTTAAGGGCAATTGAAACTTCCATGACAGCTTCATTTGATTCATCAAGACCGATGGCAAAGAAACCGTGAGGAGAGTTGGTATAACGAGTGTGGTGGACTGGGACATTGGCAGATCGAAGTTTTTTGACATACAACTCACCTTCGTCACAGAATGGGTCGTGACCGGCAGTGAGGACGTGAGCGGGTGGTAAGCCAGCCAAACCAATCTTTGTATTGGATGCACGGATGGGACTGGCATAGATATTGTCAACGTCATTTTGATGACAATATTTATCAGAGAACCAACGGAAATAGGCCATTGGCATGAGATAACCTTCCTGGTGAACGATTCTCGAGTAGTATTTCTCTTCGTTGCGCTTGAGATCCAAGATGGGGTAGATGAGTACTTGACCGGCAAGACGAGGAGACTCCTTGTCTCTGGCCATCAAGGCGACTGCAGCCGCTAAATTACCACCTACACTATCACCGGCAACAACAATTCTACTAGGATCACCATCAAATGAAGCAGCCTTTTTGACAGCCCAACATGTAGCAGCATAACAATCCAATGCAGCTGCTGGGAATTGATGTTCTGGTGCCAATCTATAATCTACAGAGATAACAACACACGATGATTGATTTGATAATAATCTACATAATCCATCAATTGATGGTGTTTCAATTGATTTTGATACAAATCTAAAAAGAAAATAAAAAAGTTAATATAAAGTAAATAACATTATTATTATTATTATTGTTTTAAAAAATTCTTCTTACCCTCCAGTATGGAACCACATAACAATTGGGAAATTTGTACGTCTTTCACCTGGTTCCAATGATGGACTATAAATTCTAACTCTAAATCCTGTACATCCTTGAACATCCAAATCTGATGGTTCCAACATTAAATCTTGAACTCTTGATACTGGAATGGCATTTGATGGATAATTCTCTAATGAATCAATAATTGATCTATCAAAATCTCCATCTTCATGTGCTCCCATTTTCCTAAAATTGATTTGATTGGTTAGTTTAATTATTTCCTTTCCCCTTTTCCTTTTGTTGATTAATCACTACATACCATAATAAAACTTTGTTTAAACCTGATACTACTTTAGTTTCCTTGCTTACACCTCCAACATTGATTGTAATGGTAGTTTCTTCACGTGCACGATCATTAAGGGTTGTAGTAAAACATTTAGAGCATACTTTTACACGTGTTGTATATCCATATTCTTGTGGCAATGAACAATTGAGTGCACAACATTCTCCACAAAACAAGTGTCCACATCTTCTACAATGATGTCCTAAAATTTAAATTTAAAAAAGAATCATCAATCAATATCTAGTGAGACCCAAATATATATATTTATCTATCTATCCTGTTATAATTGATCGATCATACTTCTATTAAAGAATGTGAATTCACTTGAACACATTTCACATTTGTTACTAGAGTTGTCTGGTACCCAATCAGGTTTCTTGATGGCTGGTGGTGAAGATGTATCATAGTTGTTGGCTGTACTTGTAGTTGCTTGTTGTTGTTGCTGTTGCTGTGGTATAGTTTCTCCTCTTGCTTGTGCATCTAATTGTTTTTGTTTTCTCTTTACTGATTTATGATCTATGACTATTGGTTGTTGTTGTTGTTGTTGTTGTTGTGGTTGACTCTGTTGGACTGGTTGTTGTCTTTGTTGTTGTTGTTGTTGTTGTGGTGGATATTCTATAGTACTGTCAGCAGTAGTTGATGTATTATTTGTTGTTGATGTAGTAGTAGTTGTTGTTGTAGATGATGAAGTTGGATATGATAAAGAAGAGGAAGTTGAAGTTGCAAATGGAGATACGTTGTTGACAAAATCACCTTCTTCTCCCTCATCATCCAATGATGATCTATTTAATGGATTATCACTAAAACTCATTCTAGTAGTAGTAGATAGAAAATAACTTGTAATAATAATAATAACTAACTTGTGTGTTGTTACTACTTCTTTACTTTACTATACTATCCTAATACTAATACTAAATCTAAATTAATAAATGAACGGACTGATTTTCACCATACAAGTAACACACATTTAATTTATTTATTTTTATTCTTTTTTTGCCAGATTCTCTCGACACTGGGAAAAGGAGGTTGAAAGTTCACCATTTCATTAGCCCGCAGCTTCCAACCAGACATATTAATATTTGATGGGTGACTAGACACACTAGTTATATATATATATATAATATCTATCTATCTCTCAGAGAAGGAGACAAAGATATTGTTGTTTAAAGGAGAAGAGTGATCGCTAATATCATATCATATCATATGATTGGTGGTACCAGCGACAGCGAGTATATATTATATTATAATGTTAGAGAGAGAAAGAGGTGGGATCATTCTAAAACATATTCTTCTTTAGATATATTAAGGATAATATAATTTATCATTACGATATCTCAAAATGTGTACAATGTTGTTTTGTGCAAAGCGTCGGTTAGAACTGATCCATTGCACTGTTTTTTAAAATGTTGCAAAGAACGTAGTATTATTAAATTTATTACAAGTATAGCAATGATGGAATCAAATAATAATATAAAACTACCATGGATATTAATCAAGGATATTGTTAATATCATTTGGACACAGTATTCATTTTGTAAATGCAAAGAAGAAGATGATGAAAAAGAAGAATCAACAACAACAACAATAACATTCAATCAATGTTGGATACATCATCATCATAGTAGTAGTAATAACCTTAACATTCAAAAAGATAGATTACAATTATATTTAATTTGTAAAGATTTATATAAATTTGTATCGGAACATTTACCAATCAATGTATTGGTTGAACACAAAAATAAACATGAATGGACAATGATCAAGAGGTTGTTTAGGGTAGTATTAAAAGCAGAGAATGTTTTGTTTTCCGAACAACTAGAACAACAACCATCAACACTAAAGCAACACAATATTGGTAGATTTGCACTATCAAAGAGCACAAGACAAGTCATTCTCCAACCCCAATCAACCTTTCTTACTCTTCGCAACCCATTCTTTAAGTATATAAAGGCACTTCATCCATTCGAAATGTCAAATCTATCCTCTACGATGACTGCACTAGTCAAACTAAAAATATTGGGTTTCCAACTAGAGAATGTACAAATGGAGACGATAGCAAGGATGAAACAATTGGAATCGATTGACATTCAACTATGCACCACCAAAGAAGATGCAATGCTTCATTTCATCCATACACTCAACCAAACACACCATAATCACTACCAACACCCATCATCGATACGCAAATTATTGGTGCCATCTAAATTCTCGTCACAGCTATTATTGGCTCTAAATGATAATATTAAAAGCTCTCTTTGTAGTTCTTCGATTTATTTGGATGGCACAGACACTAGCCAACAACAACATCAAAAACAACAACAACAACAACAAAAATTTCCAAAGCTCTATTCTCTAACTATTCATGGATTCAAGGTGGTTCAACCACCTCAGTCATCACCACTTTCTCGCGTTACTAATAGTAGTAGTATTTTTTTTGCTCAAGAAGCGAGTTCTCTAGTCCCCCTTTCGGGAAGAATGTCATATACTATTCCCGTGTTCAGCCATATTACAAAGATTTCGGGAATGTTGCTTTTGGAATCGGACCAGTGGGAAGAGATCCTCCCCACGCTCACTCTTTTACAACAAGTCCAAGACACGAGTAATCTCAATGTTCTCAATGCGACCGCATTCGATAAGATGTATACTCCATTCATGTCGACATTGGCTCAGATGGGCGTCAAGCGCTTCGTTATCCTCGAACGTGTTTCAGATCACAACACACCACCGTTACACCAAGCTTGGAAAAAGACTTTTTACAATTCGATAGGGTATGCATATGGTGGATATAAATTTAAATTGGACCGTATTATTCTCGTAAACTTTATATTGATGATCAACACCACAAACAATACCGCACCCACGAACAATAAAGAAGAGTAGATCAATCAATCAATTAAGTCGACCGCAATCAATCAATCAATTTGCCCAAACTCCTTTTAATAACCAAAACATCCTTCCCTTCCTCTTTTTCAAAGATGCTGCATCGATCGATCACCACCACCCCAATCTCCACACCCACAAGCACATACAAAATTTGATTGTGATGTTTATTTTTTGCAATGTTGTTTTTTGAGTTATGTTTTTAACACCATCAACCACCATCACCACGTCCAACCAAACAGAGCTTGGAACACTAACCCAAATTTATTTTTTCACAACAACAACAACAACAACAACAACAATCCTTGTAATGACAATTGTGTGTATATGTGGTGGTGTTTAATTAATTTGATAAAGTATATTAAAAAACACATCACCGCTAAATCTAACCAAAAATAAAATATATGTACATACACAAACAACACAACCAAAAATTAATTAATTAATCAATCAATCAAAAATCGATCAAAAAATATATTCTCCATCCATTGTATCATACAGAGCAAGAGCAATCTTTTTCATCTTTATCATCATCATCATTAACACCGCCATCATCATCAACACCATCAACACCATCATCATTTACATTGTTACTCCCTCCCTCAATCAATCAATCAATTAATTAATTTCCAAAATATTTAATTGTCTTTTTGTTTGTTTGTTTGTTTGTTTGTTTGTTTGTTTGTTTGTATACACAATCTGTACAGATACAATAATCCTCAAAAAAATAATATTATACATTTACTTTTGTATTGTACCCTTTTTTAAATAATATTTAAATATTTACCAAAAATGAAATATTTAAAAAATACAAACGTTTCCATAACAAGTGCCCAACAACAACAACAACAACAACAACATCAACTTGTTGAAGAAGAGGCAGAAGAAACCAATGACTGTCAATCCAATTGTGGAGAGACAAGACAAAGAGAGTATTCAATATGTTCATCTATAGGTGAACAAACAGACGAAGAACAATATTCAAATCATTTGGATGAAATGATTAAAAATCTATTACTAAAAAGAGAAAATAAAACTTGTTCAGATTGTGGTTCTCCAGGTAACTATAAACTATAACAAATATTAAAAATATTTAGATATATTATTCTAACCCTACTATTTGTTTCTTTTTCTTTATTTCTTTTCCCTTTTTCTTTCTTTAGACCCAGTCTATGCTAGTATATATTATAAAGTTATCATATGTTCTGGGTGTGCAGTGATTCATAGAAAATGTTTAAAATCCAAGGTTCAATCAATCAATCTATCAAATGAATGGTCTCTGGATGAATACCAATCCTTTTCAAATACAAATAATATGATTGAAAATGAATCATGGGAAAAATATTTACCTCTCTCTTATATTAAACCTACTTTTGGTGATTCTTCGTATGTATAAATCAAACAAAAAAATCAAAAAATCAAATTGTAATATGTATTTAAATATTAATTTTAATTTCTTTTTTATTTGTTTTATTTATTTAAGATTATTAAAAGAGAATTGGATATTAACAAAATATATTCATCAATCATTTACAAGTGAAAAGAATTTATCAAAATTAAAGATGGATTTAACTGAGGGATGGATAGTAAAGAAAGGAAAGGTCGTAAAGAACTGGAAAAAGAGATGGTTGAGACTGTGTCAGGTGGGAGACAAGAAAAAATTAAATTATTATCGTGGTCCAACCGAAACCACTGCATGTGGGTCAATAGACCTCTGTCAAGATGGAGGTGCCATTCAAATAGATTGTATCAACGATAATGGAAAGAGAACCAATTGTTTTGTCATTTGTACGTCCAAGAGAAGATATCTTATTTCATGTCCTTCACAAGAGGAAATGTTTAGATGGATTCAACTTATTCGTAGTTCAACAAATTATTATAATCAATTTAAAAATATTCCACAACAAATTACAATTTAATTGTAGTAGTAGTAGTAGCGCGCCGATCCAAATAAATTATTTATTATATACTAAACCTTATTTATTTAAAAATAAATGTATTTTTAACAATAGAACCTACCTCTTTTAAATTCTACTAAAATATTTTAGTCACAAACAAAAAAAGTATAATATTAATATTAATATTAATATTAAAATTGTTTATAAAATATTATGTTAGAAATGAATGAATCCTTTTATTATTCTTTCTTTTTTTACAAAATAAAAAAAAGTATGTAAAAAAAAAATACCATTAATCGTTTGGTTGGATTTAGAGGGGCTGGGATGTTGTAATTATTATTATTATTTTCCCTGACCCTCTTTCTTTTTCCATTGTAAAATAAAGATGGCGTATATATGTGCAAATACATATATATATATATTCTATTCCATCTTTTATATGTCTCTCTCTCTGTCTTATTATTATTATTATTATTATTATTATTATTATTATTATTATTATTATTATTAGTTTTCTTAATCATTTGAAACATCACTATTTAATATTGATGCATTATCAGGTCTGAAACCCTTATTTTTAATCCTATACAACATTGCTTCCATATCAGATGTATGAATCTTAAAATTACTAACATCTTCATTTGATAGGGTTTTAAATTTTAATAAATTTTTAAGTGCATCTAAAAAGTACATATTATATTAATAACTTTGTTTGTTTTCTTTCTCCCCAAATGATACATACAATTAGCAGCTTCATTCTTTAATTCTCTTAAATCACTTCCACTAAGCCCATTTGTTTTTTCTGCAAGTAATTCAAAGTCAAAATCAGGTGAATGATTATCCTTTAATAACTACAGATAAATATATATATTGATTGAATTAAGTGTTAATATGTATTAGTAATTACTAAATGTTTGGTTTGTCTTTGTTTTCACTTACAATTCTTAATATTTGTTCTCTACCACTAGTTGTTGGTAATTCAACTTTAATTTTCTTTGGCATTCTCCTTAGAAAAGCATCGTCTATAACCTCTGCTCTATTGGTGGCACCAATGATAATGATTTTAGATTCGAGTAGACCATCCCATAGTTGTAGCAACATTGATTTCTTGCTGTTGCTTAGTTCCGATGACATGGTGTCTCTGCTCGATGTGATGGCATCGATTTCGTCGATAAAGATAATAGCAGGTTGCAGTTTCTCCGAGACGGTAAAGACTGCGTTGATGAGCTTTTGAGACTCTCCATAAAACTTGGACTCGATCAAAGAGTCGTTGATTGATAGGAAAAAGTATCCAGACTCTCTCGCGATGGCCTTGGCCAACGATGTCTTGCCTGTGCCAGGTGGTCCGTACAACAGTATACCTCTTGGCACTGTAAACAGATTATTATTGAATAGGTTGAGTTTGAGTGGCAGGAATATCGAGTCTTGCAACTCTTGAATGATATGGTCGAGTCCTCCAATCTCATCAAAAGACGTACCTATGTTCTCAGGAACAATCAGTCCATCCAAAACACGCAACTCGTACTCGTTGAATGAATGCATGTTGATCTCTTTGATGCGAGGATGTGACTTTAACTTGTTTTGTACTGCCTTTGCAACTTGTTCAGTCTCGTGGTCATGATCTGTTATCTTGTAGTATATGAGTAGACCAGTAAGTGTAGCTGCTAGAACGGTAGCTCCAATTTGAGCAAGACTCAAGAGTAGATTAATTGATTCTTTTGCCATATTTTGAATCAACTATCTCTATCTCTCTCTCTCTCTATCTCTATCTCTATCCTCTCTCCTGTTACTATACTACTACTACTTCTACTATACTATTCTAATGATACAAAGAATTACAACAACAACATTAATTAAAGAAACAAACAAACCAAACAAACAATAATATATCACCTGACAAGAAGAGTCGTCTAACCGACCAACCCATATAAAAAAAATTTCAAAAAGACAAAGAGAGGGAGGTCTCATCGCTCAATTTTTTTAGGTGTGACGTAATGGAAATGTGTGTCTCCATCTACGATCGGTCTGCTAGCAGTTCTATCTTTTATTCATAATAATAATAATAATATATATTGGATGTTTTTTGTCAATGAATGAATGAATAAATTTAATTAATAAATGAAGTTGGTTGAGTTTTATGAATAAAATAAACAGAGAGAGAAGAGATCTCTTGCAATCATATAAAAGAATGGTGGGATAGTGTCGATAACGATCGGTCACTTCACCCTTTTAGGGAACTGAACTATTGATTATCATAAGGAGCTGGTTTAAAAAATGATTTTAATTTTTTTTTTTTACACAAAAATCAAAAGACCCAAAAACTGATATTGTCACTCCTCATCTTCATCAAACACACAAGAAGAAAGAATAGAAAGGTGATATTTAAGCAGTATTGTACGACTCCCTGCAGACTTATCTTCTTCCTTCATTCATTCATTCATTCATTCATTCATTCATTCATTCATTCATTCATTCATTCATTCATTCATTCATTCATTCATTCATTCATTCATTCATTCATTCATTCATTCCTTTTATTTAAAAAAGTTTTTTGTTTGTGTTGTACATATACCTATATACATATCTCAAATATTATTTATTCTAAAAAGGTCAAATCTATAAACACACACACACGTTATTGTATCATATATAAAAGAAACAGATAGACTATAGATAGAAACAATGGCAGACGAATTCACTCCAAACGATAGAAGTATGGATCTTTCAGATCGCCGATCCGATCCGATCTGTGCGAATACCAAACTTTTTAAAGTACTCAATATTGATTCATATCTCTCTCTCCTATCTATATATATTTAGAGTATATCAATACTTTATTAGCACAAAAGAATCAAGAATCGACATACATTGGTATCGCCGACAAGATTAGCAAGAAAAAGAATAAAAAACCAAGCAAGAGAATCATTCTCTTGACAAAACACCGTGTCATCTACTTGAAACCAGGTCAAACTAGAGTTAAAAAGGAAACTCATTTCTTGGACATCGTTGAAATTAAAAGTTCAAATGCTTCCGAGGTATGAAACAAACAAACAAACAAATATTTATAGATATTTATATATATCTCATACTTAATATTATTTTTTGTTTATTATAGATTATTGTTGTATCAAAAACATTCACTTATGGATTAAATACTCCAAAGGCTGATGATATCATTAATAACATTAGATTATTATTCAGTCAATCTTATCTTGGTGCACCCGAAGATGCAGGTTTCAAATTGGATGTTAAACCATCATCAAGATTAGGTGATATTCAACCAAAAGGTAAATAGAGATATATACATAGAGTCGTCGATTGATTTATCTAACAATGATTTTCTATAGAATTACCATGTGGTGGATTTGTTGAAACTTATCAATTCTTGTGTGATTATTATCCTTCAACACCTGTTAGACTTGATATTTGTTGGGATATGGATCACATTGTATCAGTTAGAAATATCAAAACATTCAACATGAATGAAATCGAACAACCCATTTCAGCAAGCGATATCAAAGCTTTACTTGGTGCTCTCAAATACAACACCTATTTCAAGAGTTTGGTGTTTAATGGTATTCCAATGGGCAAGGATCAATTGACTGCATTGGCCGATACATTGAGAACAAACTCTACCATTGAAGATTTGAGTATGAACAATGTCGGTGCCAAAGGTGACACTTTACCCATTGTTGCCATGACTCTTGGTGCAAACAAGAATATTGGTCTAACTTCAATCGATCTTTCACATAATCCAATTGAAGATAAAGGAATGATTCCATTCTCAAATTATATTGGTGTAAATACGAACAGATTAATGAACAAATATTTATAGCTCTTATTAATATTCCATCTCTCTTTTTGTTTTAGGCAAGTCCACGTGGTATTGCATCATTAGATTTTTCAAATACTAGTATGGGTAAAGCAGGTGTTTCAGCATTGAGCAATGCACTTAAAAAGAATGTAAAGATGCCATCATCATTGACATACCTTAATCTAAGCAACAACAAGATGGAAGCTGATGGATCGGCTGCATTGGCAAACTTTTTGGCCAATCCAAATGCTCTTCGTACTTTGAATATTTCAAATACCCTCCCAACTATGGAAACCATTGTTGGTGCTTTGGTACGTGGTTGTTTGGAATTGAGACATCTAGATCTCTCTGACAATCGTCTCACCAAAAAGGAGGTAACTCATCTTGTTCGTTTTATTGGTGCTTCAGCAACTCTCAAATCCATCAATATCTCCAATACAAAGGTTCCAGTTGAAAATCTTAAAGAACTTGTTGTGGCTATTACTTCAAATCTTTATCTTCAAGATATTAATTTTGATACCAAAGTATGAAATCAAAACAGAAAACAGAAAACATGTAAAATTAATTTATTTTTCTCTTTCTTTTTTAGAATAATGATTTAGGTATTGCAGGAGCAAGAATGTTGGCAAGTTTAGCTGATAAGATACCAAATATTAGTGTATTGGATGTTAGTGAAAATGATTTTGGTGATGAAGGTGTATCTGTTATTTGTGAAGGATTCTGTCAAAACAATTCGGTCAAGAGACTTGTGCTCAATGGCAATTTCAAGGTATCAAAGACAAAGTCTAGACCATCGGCCATTGAATCGGTTGTCAATCTTTTGGAAGCTGGTACTTCACTCGAGTCGTTGCACATGACCAACGGCACATCAAAGACACAACTAAAGACTGAGATTTTGCCCATCATATACTCGCTTGCCACCAACGACTCGTTGCTCGAACTCGATATTTCAGGTCACCAAATGGGTAACAAGGGTGCGATTGCCCTCGGAAAGGCACTCCAAACCAACAAGGCATTAAACACATTGGTATGGGATGACAATATGACTGGTTTGGCTGGCTTTGCCGGTCTCCAAGTCGGTTTGGAACGTAACCTCACGCTAAAGAACATGCCCAAGCCATTGGTCGATATTATGCAAGCACACAGAGAAAACCCTGCCAAACTTACTGCTATCATCAAGGATATTGACTATTGCATCAACCGTAACCAAGCTCCACTGCGCAAGATGGAGAGCTCTGGTTCGGGTGTCGGTGCCACCAACCTTGCCTTTTTGGCCAGTGGTCAACAACAATCGATTGAAAAGTGGTTAAACAAGATTAAATCGGTCGGTAGAAAGACTACTGATCCCGAGCACGTTGTCGCTATCAAGGATGCTGAAAACACTGAAAAGGTGATTGGTGGTATGCATCTCATCAAAGAGGCTGTACATGCATCTCTCGAGATGGAATTGAACCAAAAACTCAAAGAGTTTGTATCGGTGGTTGGAGAAGTCGTCAACAAGAAAAAGGAAGAAATGTTGCAACAAATTTTAAAGACTATGCAAGGTACATTCCAATCGATGGATCAGTCGGCATACAAGCGTTTGGCTACTGGTATTCAATATGGTTCAAAGGATATTGATGAATCTGGTATTGAAAGTACATTGGTCAAGGGTGCTGGTGCGGAATTATCAAACAAGGTACATGAATGTTTCTTGTCTGCTCTTGAAATTGCATCAGATTACACTTATGAAAAGATTGGTAATGGCTTGGAAAGTGTATTCCAAGACTTGATCCATGAAGAGAATGCTGCTGCCGCTGCTGCCTCTGAAGGTCCAGAAACACCTACACTTGGACGTGCTAACCCTCCATCCACCCCTACTTCACCAACTGCTCCATCCACTACTCCAACTCCAGTCACTCCAACTCCAGTCGCTGTTGCACCAGCACCAGCACCAGCAGCTGTTTCCAACAATGTGCCACCTCCAGTTGCACCACGTACGGTCGGACCACCACCAACAGCACCACGTACTGGTATTGCTGCACCTGGAACCGGTCCACAGTCACCAGAGGTGCAAGTACAAAAGCCACCTCAACCAATGTTCAAGGTCGGCACCAAGGTTGCCGCCAACCCAGCCCTCGCTGCCGCCATTGCCAAAAATATTGGTGGCGGTGGCGCTCCACCCATGTTCCGTAAACCAGCTGCCGAACCAGCTCCCGAACCAACCCCTACCCCCACCCCAACACCCGCCGCAGCACCTACAAAGACAACCCCATCCAAACCAGTGGTTGTCAAAAAAGACAAGGATCCCAAGAAATCGTCATCTGCTGGCGCAGGTGGTGAAATTTCAGATGCTCCAGAATCAGACGCCGAGTCACTCAGCCATGTCACCAAGAGCAGACCACAAGTTCAACACAAGAGAAAACCACCAACTAGAAGACCTGCTCCACCCCCATCTTAAAAAAAGACTGGTTTAAAATCCAATCAAAAAAAAAAAACAATAATGTATTACAACAAATAACAACAACGTAGCAAATGATAGATAATGGAAATAGATATATATATACATGTGTTTAGATATCTTTTTTTTATTATTATTCACCACCTCTTCTCCTCTATTTTTTCTCTCTCATAATTACACTATTTATTGAAAATAAAAGAACTTCAATTTTGTACAACAATAACAAACTTGGCTTTAATATTTAAGATAAAACAGGGTGATAATGATGGGTCAAAGTTGATTTTATTCAATCTTGACTGCCAATCAATATACAAAAAAAAGAAATAGTTGGTTTCTTTTTTTTTATTTATTTCATTGGTAATTGAGTATTTATCTAAATCCTGGAATGACGACAGTAAAGAAAATACATAGGGATAACAAGGCAACAACCATGGTAAAAAGATAAGCAGCGAGGATACTTCCATGTTCCTCATCAGATGAAGAGGAGGAAGAGGACCAGCTTTCAAAACTGCTTGATGACCATTCTCCCCAACTGCTTGATGAGTACCAGCTGTTGCTGCTGCTATCAGTTGATGATGAACTATCACTTGTGCAATCATAGACATTACCATAATAATTAACCTTGGCATAACCAGAACATGATCCATAAACTTGACCACATTGGTATTCCGATGTCTAAATTAAATAATTAAATAATTAAATAAATATTAATATAACCGTATCGATTTTTGTACTAATTTGATTTACCAACATACATAAAGAATATTTTTAACTGGTTTAGAGGCTGGGCAATCAGAAGATACTCTGACATTGACCCAATTCAAATTACTATCGTATTGTGGAGTAAATGACTTCTTGCTCATAAAGTATCCACCGATAATAGAACTACCAGACAAGAATGCAGCGTTAAAATCAACATCATCACCACCAATAATAGATTGAGCATTATTGTATTCAAATACGCTCTTTGTTAAATCCAAATTAAATGGTTCATCATTTGAATTTAATTCAACTCTCTAAAAAAAATATATATATATATTAATAATTATTATAATATTGTTGTTGTTTTCTATCTACTTACAATAGTACCAGCGCCAGTTCCATTGTTGGAAAGGAAAAAACAATTATAGGCTTGGAATTTTGTTTGAGCGGTCTTGATGTTGAGGACACCAACATTTCTAGCAAAGTTTGAGAAGAATTGAGTGCTGTTGGCACTAAAGTAACTACCCTTTTGAATGTCACTAACACCACCAGTGACAAGAGCAGAGTTTTCACTCAATACAGTGTATCCAGTGATGACGGTGATGTTGGATTGCATGACACCTGATCTAGAGGCATTGCATTGGTTGACTGTACAAGCGTACATTGCCAATTGTTCAGTGTAGAATGCACCACCAGCGATCTTGGCAGAACATCCTTGGAAATAAGAGTTCAAGGCAATGATTTGATCGTCAGAGTAGACGGCACCACCATTTTGGTTGGAATAAGAGTCGGAAATGGTCGATGAATTCAAGACAACGTAGAAACCTTGTGCGTTGATGGCACCACCGTTGAGGTTAGATCTACATCCACCGATATAGGTGTTGGTGATTTGTAACAATGATCCGTATGGTGAAGACACGGCAAAACATCCCATTGCTGGACCGACACTGGCAGTCGATAGGATATTGAGGTTATTGATGGTGATGGTCATCTTGGCAACAGAGTTGGAGGTGTATTGGAGGAATGTACTGTTACATGTAAATTTGACAATATCTATCGACGAGTATGGCTCAATGTTGATGAGCTTGAAATTGCCTTGCATATAACCAACACAATCACTATAACGTCCAGCTTGTACTTTAATATTCAATGATTTGGAACCAAGTAAATCAGCATATTGTAAACATGCTGGAACTGTTGGACAACTAAACATAAATAAACAAACAATAAATAATTAATTATTAATTACTTTCATTTTTTTTTGAGGATAGTACATACAATGTTGTATTTTGTTCATGGGTTGGAACGACTGTACATGATTGATATTCAGGATTGACAGTGCATGTGTAGTCATAGATTGGACTACCAGCTGGAAGAATACCGCTTTCAAATTGTTGTTTAACTTTTTGGTGAAACTGTTCTCCTTTTTGATGGACGACTGATGATGATACACCCAATATGATGGTGAGTACTAATAATAAGGTTAAAAGTAACCCTTTCATTTTCTACGCTAACTATTTACTAACTTTAACTATTACTATTTACTTTTATATATATTTATCTGTACACTATTTATTTACAATTTATTGGGAGAGGAGAAAGAGAAGTGATCTACAATTGTCGAGACAAGGGCCAATAACTAGAAAAGAGTAAGCGGGCTTCGATCCCACAAAACAAAGAAAAAAGAACGTGTGAGGTGGCACTTTATCAAAAAATCAGAGAGATCTTTGATCGATTGGCTCTTCACTTTACATTATTGATGACCTTTATAAGAGTTGTAGGTCTAAATACTTTTAGTAACTAAAACTAAAGAATTATATATTTCGTAGTAATAGACAAATGAATGCAAGACATGACAATGAATTAGAATTAGAATTAGAATTAGAATGAATGTTAACTTTTTGTGAAGTTGTGATGGTTTTTGAATAATTTTAATATAAATTTTGTTTGTTTAGTCTTTTTTGTTGTATTTTAATAAATAGAGAGAAAGATGGTAAGTGATAGATAGATAGACAGTTGTTATATCATACTCATTCATTCATTCTAATATTTATTGTAGAACGCATTTGATATTCAACCAGTCAGATCAAGAAATTGGGAAGTAGAAGAGGAAGAAGAAGAAACTAGACAAGAACTTCAAATCTCTCAACCATATCTTAAAGTAATTATCATTGTAGACAATACACACACATAACGTGTAATGATGATGATGTTACTAACTAAATAGATTCGATACTTTTACTTTATAGTTTAATAATGAATCATGGAAAAGTGTAGATCTAAGTAACAGGGTTGTGATTGTTTCAACCAGTGATGCTCCATCTATATTTATTAGATCAACATTTACTGATTTGATTGAAATTGGTGAGATTATAATAGATGATATTGTATGTATACAACACATATCAAAGAGATGACAATGAAAATATGAGATATATCTAACTATTATTATATTTATGTGTTTTAAAGAAACCAATTAAATCAAATGAAATTATAATTAATAATAGATGTATACTTTATCAATCATCAAGTGACAAATCAGTTGTATTTGTAATCTGTCAATACAAGGTAGAATCTGATCGCGCATTCAACATGACTGAAACTATCTTTGGTCTCTTTAAAACACCACAATCTGTCATTGTATTGGATTCTCTCATCAACACACTCTATCTTTCTACAGATTATAGACATCCATCACCTCCCTTTTTGAGAGTTGTATATACTTCTTCTTTCCAAAATGTTGCTCAATTGGGTTTCATTCCTTTGGAATCACCAAATTTAGTTGAACGTTTAACTGCTGGAATATTATCTTATGTATGGATACACAGAAATCATTATCATCACATACCAATTACTAATCCCTTCATATATGATAACAGTGTGAAATATTTAAGATTCCAGCTATATCACTTCAAAATCTTGTAGAATCATCAGAGTTGAGTGTAGCCAGTATTGCCAATTTCGAAGGTGCCGTTGCCAAATTACATCCAGTGTTTCAAAGTGTCCAAGAATCTAGTAAAAACAAAGAAAGATTGGCTTTGTATAGAAAAATGGTTAATATTATAAATAGAAGAGATGACAAGGGTATCTACATGTAAGGGTTGATTGATTAATCAATACCTCCATCCATCCATCTTGTATATCTGTTTAGCCAGTTACATATACGTCCCTCCCTCTACACTTTTGTCGATTTCTTTTGTTTTTATCAATCAATGCCGAAATTTATTTATGAGCTATTTAAAAATCTATTATCGAAAAAAAAGATTTTTCTCCATCAACCAACGCATCGTCGTGGGTTGTAACAACAATTCAACTTGATCCATTCCGTTTTTGGACATCCATACACCAAACACACACAACACCAAAACAACAACTCTCTCACAGAGTGTTTAAAAAACAAGCTCTCTTATTTGTCTTTGTTAAGATCATCAACCCCTTTGTTGAGATCGTCACACACACACACCATAGAGAGAGACACCCTCGTCTAGTATCAGTATACCCCACCATAAAGATACAAATAGAGAGATAGAAGGTTAGAGGTTAGAGACAGAGTTATATATTTATATTTATATTTATACATCAACCAACCATCTCCCTACATCGCTGTAATATTAATTAATCAATCAACAACAACAGGTGGTCAGCAGCTAGCTAGTTTGTTCAACTGATCAGTTCTATTCAAATATATTCAGTCTTTCTTCTTTTTATCTCTTTTTTGATCAAATCAACATCTGTAGATAAATAGAAAACACAAAGAGTTTATAGAGAACTATAGTTTGCAAGTGAGAGAATGTCATTGTTCTCTCATCAGCACAATCATCATCTCAAAATGTCTACAATTCTACTCTTTATAACGGTGTTGTTGCTGTTTGTTTCAACGATGAGTTGCATCAACAATACTACTACCACCACCAATACTACTACCACCAACGATGATAACAATATAAAGAGAGACAACTATACTTCTATAATACCATCAACATCATCGTCATCGTTATCTGATAATAGTAATGATACTCGTAAACATGGTGGTAACAATAATAATAACAACAATAATAATAATAATAATAACAACAATATTAACGGAAATAATAATAACAATAACAATAACAATAACAATAACAATAACAATAACAATAATAATAACGGAAATAACAACAATAACGGAAATAACGATAACGGAAATAACAATAATAACAATAACGACAATAATGGAAATAATAATCATGATAATGGAAACAATAATAACGGAAACGGTAACCATAATGGAAATGGAAACCATAATGGAAATGATAATGGAAATGATAATAATGGAAATGACAATGGAAACAATAATAACGGTGATGATAATAATGGAGATAAACCAAAACCAATCACAACGGTTAGTATTACAACTACATATAGTATTACAACCAATAATGGAGCGTCATCATCTTCAACTAGTTCATCACCCAATGGAGAAGGAACGGGATCGCCATCTTCTTCCTCTACTTCATCTACTACTGGACCAGCATCTACTTCCTCTACTTCCTCTGTCACCTCTGCCTCAACAGGACAGACACCAGTTCCTGTTCCACCAGATGGATCATCTTCATCTTCATCTTCATCCCCAACTTCATCTTCATCTTCATCGTCAGTAACTACATCGTCAGTTACTACATCAAATAATGGACCAATTGAACCAACGTCCTCATCTTCATCATTTGATTCATCTGATGCAAGTGACTCTGATAGTGATAGTAAAGAGAATGAAGAATGGGATAATAATAATGAGCCAATGAAATGTTATAATGTACCAAATGAATTTATTAAACCAACAAAGGTAAATTCACAAATCTTTCAATTGTTGGTCCCACACAATTATTAATAACTATTTTCTTATATTCTTATAGAGATATATGCCAAATCAATGTTCATTCCTTCAACAAGATGATTCAAATGAATTAAGTTGTTGTACGGCACAAGATAAAATCAACTTCCCAGATAGGGATAGCGTTGTTTATAATCAAGTGGATGGAATGTTTGTTGATTGTTTTGATCGAAAGATATCCAATTACACCTACAAGACTGTAGAGTTGAATGGATCGACACCAGATTTGACAGCTCCATTCCAAGACTTTAATGTAGTGGACAATAGACAAGCCTATCAAACATGTGTCGAACATCTCTACTCTCTTCAATGTATAAGATGTAGCGTCGATCATAAATCGATACTTGGTCGACCATTTATACCCGAAAAGCCATTTATATTCAACTCTACCATTCCACCACTATTTTATATCTATCTCAACGAATCTGGCCTATATCATGAAGCCTATGAGAAGTATAAAAATTCATCAAAACATAATAATAATGGTAATCATAATGGTAACGGTAACGGAAATGGTAATGTAAATTATTTAAAACGACATAAAAGAGGTTATGGGGGCTATGGTAAAAATAAGAAAAATCCATATCTTGGAAAACCTGTTGTACTTTGTCAAAGCTATTACGATCAATTGTCAGAGTATTGTCAATACGTAAAGATTAGAGGTATTCCATTCCAAGATATGTTTTATACACCAATTACAAACAACTTTATGGGTAAAGCTCCAGACTCTGGCTACCAAAATGAACAAATCAAAACGGTTCTTTCACTCGATGGAATAGACACATTTTTGGTTTCAGATCGTAACTGTTTCTTTAGACCTCTTCCAGATCTACCAGAATACGAATGTTCGGTCGTCACTGCAGCTCATAGATGGATCAATCCCAACCTTCCAATTCCAATGGGTGCTGATCAATATAAAAGTGATTCCTCGAGGAATCACAATCCCAACAACCACTTTGTATATTTTATTTCAACCACCATTGCATTGATAACTTTAATAATAGTATAAATATTAATTAATTAATTAATAATAATGTAACAATAACAAAACACTCCACCTTTTTATTTATTTCAAAAAACAATAATAATAATCGAATAATATAACTCCCTTCCCCTCATTCACATTAATGGTTACAATTTTTAGGCCTACATCCCACCATTCAGCCAATTAATTAATAATCATAATAACTCAAAATAATAATAATAATAATAATAACATTTTAAAATCAAAAATATATTGATCTTGGATATGTTGGAATACTATCAAGGTATAGGATTTCATCAACACCAATAATCAAACCCCCCCCCCCCCCCCCTCCTCCCATACTCCAAACAACAATTCCTTAAATCAAGGATAAATTATAATTATAATTCAAAGGACCAAAAGACATCAAATCAATAAAACTTTCGAATATCGATTGAGAAATATAACAAGAAAGATTAAGGTGCAAATACCACAGTGGCGCCATAGACAGAGGGCTCAGCCCCACCGATCAGTTGTAAGGTTGGCGCGCTCAAAAATCTTTTGTTCGGGAACCACGGAACCCAAAAAATTAAAATCAATATAGATTTAATACTCCATCGAAAAGTTTTGATCACAACGAATTTTTGTCACCAAAAGAAGCGACAATCGAATTTTCGAAACTTGTTTTTAAAAAAAACTAAAATAGCCCCTACTACCTGGGTAGGGGTGCCCCTTGTCCAGTGGAGGGCGCAAACAGTTGGGGAAGATTCTGATCACGTGAAAAAATCGCTGATTTGGGGCAAGGGTGGAAAAGCGAGAGGGTAAAACATTTTTTTTTATTTAATAATTTTATCCAGCCGTTTGCGGGCACTACGTGTTGAGATTTACACCTCCTTTTAAGGTTGTGTTTGAATTTTCCTTGTTGTTCATCCCCCCAAAAACAAATTTGTATTTAGCAGGCTTCAGTTGTTTTATTTGATCATTTTTAATATATATATAAAAGAGATAGAGAATAATATAGATATATACAAAAAAGAAAGGAAATGAGATTTACCAATATTCTTTTAATAATCGCTATGGTTATTGCTGCCGTTGCAGCTCAATATAAACCAGTTGTTTTAATGTAAGGATAATAATTTAGAGAGAACACACATAGTAGTAGTCTTTGGATCATCTATATAGATATAATGGATAGATATACCACACAAAAAGAAAGAAAGAGAATCGTTAAAAGAAATATCTATCTATCACACAATCAATCATATGATCAAGACGAAACTCTCGAGAATTTTTTGTAATGCTGGATATTTTTTCATGAATCTCACCATTTTATTTTTCATTTTTCCCTTAGGCATGGAGTTAACTCTGGAGCAAAAGACATGAACCTTGTAAAGGAATGGATTCAACAAGCTTTACCAGGAATCTATGTAGTCAATGTTGAAATTGGTAATGGAAAGTTGGACTCTATTTTTATGACCATGGACGAACAAGTCGAAGCATACACCAAGGTTGTCACTTCTGATCCACAATTGGCCAACGGTTTCAATGCTATTGGTTTCTCCCAAGGCAGTCTTGTCACCAGAGGTTACATTCAACGTGTCAACAACCCACCAGTCCACAACTACGTATCGTGGGCTGGCCCCCAAATGGGTCAATTCGGAACCCCCTTTATCAATATCAAATGGTTGGATAGAATCTTGGGATCTGTCCCATATGAAAAATGGGCTCAACACCACATCTCCTCTGCTCAATACTGGAAGGATCCATATCACCTCGAAAAGTATCTCTCTCGTTCCGCTTTCTTGGCCGATATTAACAACGAACGTGACCAAAAGAACCAAACTTATGCTGACAACCTCTCTAGTTTGAATGCTTTTGTCCTCTCTTACAGCACTGTTGACAAGACCATCGTTCCAAAGGAATCTGGATGGTTTGGTTTCTATGCCAACAACACCCAATCCACCATCGTCCCATTGCAAGAATCCCAACTCTATCTCCAAGATTTCATTGGTCTCCGTGCCCTCGATGAAGCTGGTCGTCTCCATTTCTACTCTACCGACTGTAAGCACGGTGACTACAATGGTAACGCTTGCAAGAACTACTTTACCCTTTACACTCTTCCATGGTTGCAAAACTAAACAAACAACAGTGATATATATCTTTTCACTGGGTCAAACAATCCAACAACATCTTTGTAATAATATAATCAATAATTAAATAATATAGAAGTATTTATTTTTATCTGGTCCTGTCCGAACAACAGATGAAAATTATTTGTTGGTATTAATTAAAATTAAATATCAAACAATCATTAATTATTACAAACAAAACAATTTATAAATTAAAAAATATTATAGGCTTCTTTTTTTCTCAAAACAATATTCGTAAGATTAATTGTATTTATTTGTCACTTACAGATTTAATCATAAATGCTGTTTCAAATGACATTGCATCCATATGATCTTCATGTCCTTTTGGTCCAAAATGTCCACAATCTTCTATTTTTAATAATATTATTGGTTGTTTTGATTGTTTACTACTGCTATAGCAGTCCATATTTGGGTTTCTTTGTTCTGCATTATTATTTTGGAGTAAAAGTGATTCTCTTAATTTTGCTACCCATCTCATTGGTTGCCAAAATGGTACTCTAATATCTGATAAAGATGCTGTTACAAGAATATTTGGTAGTTGAATATTCTTATTCTTCTTGTCAATAAGAAAATATGGATCATATGATAAAATAGTATTGAAAGTTTGTTTGTCGGTTGATGGATTACCCCATTCACCATACTCGTGAATGGTAAGTGGAAGACTTTCATCCATCATGGTTGTTAGGATATCGACAAATGGTACTTTTGCTACAATGGCATTAAATAGATGGCCATAGGAAAGTGCCATATTACCCATTAATACACCACCTGCACTACTACCATGTGCTACCAACTTGTTATTACTTGTATATCCACTAGAACAAAGATATTCTGCACAATCTACAAAATCCAAAATACTATTCTTTTTCATTTCCTTTTTTCCAGAGACATACCAATTTCTTCCCATCTCTCCTCCACCACGAACATGTGCCATTGCAATCACCCATCCTCTTTTTAATAATGGTAAATCTGATTCATCGTATCCTGTATCAAGTATTGTACCATATGCTCCATATCCTTTAATTAATGTTGGATTCCTAAAGTAATAAAATAAAAAGAAGAAGAGTTAGACTATAATATAATATTATAATATTTGGTTTTTTTTTATGTTTCATACAAAGAATTTAATTTAATATCACGATGATGAATAATTGATAATGGTATTTGAATTGATGGATCATGTTTTGATTGAACAAACACCTTTTGACATGTATAATCTGAAGGTAATAATGCCAATGGTCCATGAATAGATGGAGGTGTATGAACTGTGGTATCATAAGTGTAAATATCGATATCATAGGCACTTGAAGGGATTAGCGGTTCACAACAATAGGCACGTATTGTTTTTCTACTGAAACCTTGATTGATACCCAATGCAAGTGTTGAAGTTTTTGGGAAATCGATACTCTTTGATAATGCAGCATCGAATCTACCAGTTTGTACATTCTTTGATATAATTCGAATTCTTGGTGACGAGTTGTGTAATTCACAAAGCACCAACTTGTTATCAAATACATCGACATCTCTTATATTTATATTGTCATCTGTAGGTACAAGTGGTTCCAAATCCTCAATTGAACCATTCTCCAATGTATCCTTTGCAACAAATATAGAAAGATCCTTTTTATCTATATTTGCAAATATAATAAATGAATCACCATTATGTTCTACATAATACTCCAAATTTTCCTTTCTCTTTATACACACTTTTGGTCTTTGATCAGGATCATCTAATCTTAGAGAATATACACATGATGAAGTTTTACTATTTGAACAAAAGAATATATATTTCTTTAAAAAATAGAAAAATAGACATTAGTGATCATTATGATTGATTTGTTTTTGGTTTTGTTTTTTACTTGTACATACACCATCTTTTGATTTAACCAAATCAAGAAAATAAGAATCATTTGGTTCATCTAATATTAATTCATCTGGTTGATTACTACCAAGTATTCTTTTATAAAGTTTATGAGGACGTTTGAGATGATCTGGAACAGTATAATAGACTTCATTATTCTTTCCCCACTCTATACTGACAACGTTTGGTATGTGATCCAATGTTATACTAGTATTATTTTCTTGGAGTACTTTAATAAAACAATGATAAGTCTCTTCACCAACATCTGCACCATACATAAAATGTTTCTGATCCTCTGCAAATTTAAATGATACCAAATCTGTTATTTTTAAATATTCAAACATTTCTTTTCCATTTTTAAATAATTCCTAAAAGAGAGAAGGAAAGAGATATTAGTAATTGATTACTTTCTCTACTATAGTAGTTACATACATGACATTGACCATCAATTAATCTTTTTCTAAAATAAGAATCTTTGTTTGAAATGTATTGATAACCTTCTACATCTTCTTCTTTTTGTTTTGATAGATTGATGATTGTATCCATCTTTTCACGTTTGATTTGTGATTGTAAATGTTTGATGACAGATTTACCATAGAGGTCTGCATAATCGTTTTCTTGTTGTATCGATTCTTGTACTCGTTCATCTGCCTCTATTGGATTATTCATCCATAGATAATCATCTTTCCATTTAAAACCATGTTTATCAAACTCTATTGTCTCTTTGTGATGTATTGGAGGTGCATGTAAAGAGAATGGTATAATAGGTTGTTTTTTCTTGTTTAAACCAAGTTTTGAAAGTACAGTTGTTGTAAATGATCCACTCGATTCTTCAAGAGGAGGTGGTGGAGGAGGAGGAGGAGGAGATCGAGTGACGTGACTATAGGTTACATAGAATTCTTTCTTATCAATCAGAGATGATATAATTGGTGGTGATATCAAATGTGTCGATGATACAGCAGCACTTGTTGATGATACAATGTCATTGAATGTTCTTTTAACGATTCTATTGATGTAGTGATGACTACGAAGATGGTGATGATACACGGTCGTCGCCACTGTTGTTGTAGATGATGACATCATCATCATCGAGATATGAAACGAAATACCAATCCTTTCAAGATGAAATGACCAAACACTCGACTCTTTGACCTTCATTTAATTTGTTTTTTCCCAAAAGAACAACTTAGAATGCATAGATTAATTTTAATGATCTTTGGTTTCAAGGTGTTTCACATGGTGGTGTTCCCAAACATACATATATCTAGATACAAAAAAGAATAAGAAGAATAAGAATAAGAAGGTTCTTTAGATCATTTAGATATTTATGAGACAAAACAAATCGAATCAGATATTTGAAATGATCCATTTAAATGATGATGTGTCACATTTGTTTGTTATCTTTTAATTTGATTTGTTTCAAAAAAATCATGAAGATTATAAATATATATCAAATATTATCTTTCTATTCTATATTATTATTATCACTTATAGGATGCAATAGTTTAAATGTAATACAACAAAAGGTAATACGATTTGCACCTGGAATCGATTGCACACAAGGATGTGATTTTAATAATCCATTGGCGTGGATTGGAGAGACAGTCCCAAATGGTCCAAACGACATTGCAGTGATTGATTTCTCCAACTCTCCTTTTTTTATTGGTCCACAAATCATATTTGTCAAAGATGTTATAATGGTTGGTGGATTGTATCTCGATACCAATGATGTTAACCCAATCGAATTTCAAGTATTTGAAGATATAAAGATAACAGGAAATTTTGATATATTGCAATATGTAACTGTCAAGACTATGGGATCCAATGGAAATATAATGACTGGTGGAAACACATCGATTATGGAAACAAGTGCATTGGATATTAATATCGGTAGTATATTTGCAACTTCCAAACTTTTGGCTCAACCCAATTCCAATGTATCTATTACTGCAGCTACTTTGGATGGTGATATTATAGTTTCGTCTGGTGTCTTGAATCTTGACAATGTATCTGTTTTAGGATCACTTTTAGCAAACAATTCAATTGTAACAATCAACCAATCCATTTCGATTCAAGGTGACACTATATTTGATGGTGATTGTTCTGTTATCCTCTCACTTGACCAACTGTCATCATCTCCAAATACCGGTGTTCCATTGATGGGGGTTGGATTCCTAACATTTTCAACAGAAACTACACTTGAACTTCGAATTCAACCTACGACACTTGTCGAACCAAACTCTACCTATTATATTGCATCAAGTTCCAATCCAATCCAATTAAAGAATCCAACCATACAATGTATCATTACACTACCAACTGGATTACCTTTACAAATAGAGTACTCTTTTTCATTGGATTATAAAGATTTATCTTATTATCTTGTATTGAATACTCAACCAACCAACCAACCAACCAGCAGCATTGACAACGAATATGAATAAATAATCAATCAAATAATTCAATCAATCAATCTAATCAACAATGATAATAGTATTTCTGATAGAGAATGCCAAAAATATAATTTTCACCGGTGAGCATGGGATCAAGTCTAAAAATTGTACAACTCTGATTCGTGCCACGACTATGGTTATGCAAAGTCTCTTGAGCAACTCAGATCCGATCTCTTTGTCGCGATGTTCCGTTTATTACTCAATGGAAATGGCTATACTGCCCGGTATGCCATAAATTCTTCAATAGAGATACGAGCGTGGCAAAAAATATTCTTTTGCTAGGGATATTATCATTAACCAGTGGCTATCGCCCTTGGCCCTATCGTCGTTTACCAGCTGATGTCTTGAACATTGGTAGACAAGATAGCCGGTGTTATTCAACAAGGCGAAGCCAGTAAAAATATGAGCGGAACATAGGCCCAGGTTTAGTGTGACCTGTAGGTATCAAGTTTAAACAAGTAATTTTAAAATTAAAATATATATTAACTTTGGATTTTTTCCTTCTCAATTTCCCTCATTTCAAAATAAAAGTTCAAATGGTAGATCAACCACTTTTACTTACTTTGCAAGGGTACCTCTTGATTAAGTATTTTTACCTTTACTGATGTAGACACCAACCAATAATTGAATTGAATCGACAACTTTCCTTTCCTTTCATAGTTAACACTCCTTACCTACACCACTCACCATCATTGCAATCAAGATGTGAATAATATACATACATACACCTCCTCCTGTATAACCCTGTGTGTTAAAAAAAAAGGATTGGAATGTTGAATAAGAGGAGGAGGAGGAGTGGTGAGTGGTGATACAATGGAAGGAGCATAGGTAAAAAAGTGTATTTGTAATTGTGGGTGGAGGGTGATTCATCATAATTAATTAGTGAAGGGTGGGTGTATATCCACTTAACCCCACCATCATCACCACCACAACAATAGAAGCAAGCAACAACAACAACAACAAAAACAATTACTACCAACAGCAATATAAAACTGGTATAGTGAGTGAATTTTAGTTAATTTATGAATAACAAAAGAGATATAAAAGAGAGAGAATAGAATAGAAGAAGAAGAAGAAGAAGAAGGAATACAAGTAGGGAGGAATCTAGTAAACATAATCAAATAACTATCTAAAATTATTTTTTCATTGTTATAAATAATAATCAAAATTGTTTAATTATCAATAATTCATCATCATCGAAATCAATACAGTATCGGTATCATCATCATCGATAATCTTTATTGTAATTCATTCCTTCAACCCATTACCATAATTATATCATTTTTAGTAGTAGTAGTAGTTTGTGTTTTTTTGGTTTATTTGTTTGTTTTTTTGTACGTGCAATAATTTTAAATTATCATAATTTATTCTTGTTTAGGATATTTTATAAATCACTATAGACAGACAGACAGAGACAGACAGACAAGTTAGTTCAATAAGGAATTAATTAAATAATCAGCAATCAACTATTGTTGAAATTAAAGTTGATCATTGATCATCATCAAGCGTCATTGCATCAATAGAAAAAAATACATATAAATAATGCACCATATTAAAGTAGTAATAGTTGGGGATGTAAGTATGATAAACAAAACCCATTCATAGTGCAATATAGTATAGTATTGACATTATTATTTATTTAAATAGGGTGCAATTGGAAAAACATCATTATTGATTAGTTATGCATCTGGAGGTTTTCCAAGAGACTATCAGTATGTATATTTGTTCTTATAAATTGATATATACTTAAACTAATATAACCTATATAACTTCAAGACCAACAGTATTTGACAACTTTAGTGCCCATCAAATGTATCAAGGAAAAGCATTTAATTTAGGACTTTGGGATACTGCTGGTAAATTTTTAAAAATATATATGATGGATTTGATGGAATTGAAAATTAATATTTAATTATTTATACTCTAGGACAAGAGGATTTTGATAGACTTAGACCATTGGGATACTCAAATACAGATGTATATTTAATATGTTTTTCAGTGGTGAATCCACCATCTTACAGTAATGTATGTGATAAATGGTTGCAAGAGATCAACCATTACAACACCACCAAAACACCAATTGTATTGGTGGGAACACAAATTGATTTGAGATCGGATCAACAGACACTCGACGTCTTGGCACAGAAACAACAACAACCAATCACCTACGAGGAAGGACTAATGATGAAAAAGAAAATAGGAGCTGCTTCATTTGCTGAATGTAGCGTTCAAACAATGAAAGGCGTCAAACAAGTATTTGAAGAAGCCATACGCGTATACATTGATTCACAAATGGAAAAGAATGGTAGTAGTAGAAAAAAGAAAAAAAGATCCTCTACTTCTAAAAATAATCAACTACAACATATTTCATCATCTTCATCATCATCATCATCACAAAATCATTCTGTAAATACTGCTTCATCAAAAACTACTATAACTTCAATTTCTTCTTCTTCCAATTCAAACTCATCAAGTTCCCACCATACATCTCCTTCTAATTGTATTTTGTTATAATTTAAAATAGAAAGGAATAATAATAATAATTAATAATAATAATAGGATTTTTTAAAAATAAAACAAATAATCATAAGAAAATAATAGGTTTTAATTTATACATATGTTTTATATTGTTGTTGTTATTGTTGTTATTGTTTATGTTGATTCTGGTAATAAAGGAATTAAAGGTTGTGATAATCTATCAATTTCTTGATTTAAATTATTAATTGCATTGTCTGTGAAACGATCTTGGAATTCTTTTGTTTTATACATATATCTTCCACTTGATATGAATCTTTTTAGTACTGCAATTCTACCACTTCTATATTGATCTTCTGGTACGTGAATATACTCTCTTCTTATATTATAAGAGTACTCCGTATATTCTTTTGGTGCTCTTCCAAGAACAGATAGATCAAAGTCTAAAAAGTAGTCTTGATCTATATTGATACCACTCTGAACCTTTGTATGATGTTTTGTTGCATCTATCATCTCTGAGACCAAATCAGACATCTTTGACTCGAGCTTTGTTTCTAGAGCAAACTCTTTAAACATTTCAACACTTTTATCTTCATTGTCTGATTTGGTAGCATCATAGATAACATCGTGAAACCAAATTGCCATTAGACATGCATCAGGTGTCTTTAATCTATCTTGATATTGATCAAAGAATCCTAATAATTCATCGATATGATTTGCATTGTGATAGGATCTTGAAAACGTTGGTTTATAATATTGTTCCAATACAGTATACCATTTGTTTGATATAGTATCTTCAAGATTTAATCTTTTTGATAATATTATCCATTTACTTTTTAGTGTATTCATTGATTGTTACAATAATCAAATATTTGTTTGGTTTGTTTGTTTGTTTTGAATTTGAAAGTTTTTTATAAAAATGACGCTATTTATTTGGGAATTTGGACAAATTTAATTTAATTTATTTTAATTGTTGATGTTTGTTGTTGTTGATGGTGGAAGGTTTAACCTTATTAATCCAAATATAATTTGGTTTGGGTGCATTTGCAGTTACCATTTTAATGGCTTGTGATTTGGTTAGATTGGTTGATAACAATTCCTTTCTTAGTGGTTCTGGTGGATTCAAGAATTGTTTACGATTATCTTGGTTTTGGAATAATGTTTGTGTCATTGGATTTGGTGTAAATGTATAAGATGAATTCTTTTTTACAATTGATCCACTAAAACAAATAAAATGTTTATCATTATCACTTTCACTTAATAATCCCTATAAAAATTAAATAAAAAAAAGAATAATTAATTAAAATGGTGTATATATATATATAACAGACCACAATTACTATACATACAAAATCATTAAAAGTATCATTTGATAATTCTAAATTTAAAAATAATTTGATTCCATTTTTGATTGCATTATCTAAACTATTATTATTATCGTTATTATTATTATTATTATCTGTATTAATATTTTGTTGGTTTTGTTGATTTTGTTGATTTAATTGTGATTGTTGTTGAGTTGAATTAATTAAAGATTGAATTTCTTGTTCTTTTTGGGATTCAAGATATTTTGATAATTGTTTGGATTCTTTTGAAGAGGATCCACCCTTTTTACCACCAATACATCCACAACAACAACAAAACATTTTTCTTAGAGCAGGTGATTTAATAAATGCAATAACAATGATAACTACCAATATCAAAACTGCAATTGTAATAATTAATCTTGATGTACATTTTGGTTGTGAAACAAAACAAAGTAATTGGAAACTAAAATAAAAATAAATATTAATAATCATATAATTATATTTTTTTTTGTTTGTTTGTTTTACATACAAATCAGGACAATAATCATCACAAGTTAATTCAAAACCAATATTTAAATTATCACCATCTCTTGTACCTGTACCTTGAGGATTTTTAATGACTGTTTCTGATACGTTGAAATAGACTAATTTACTATCGAGTAACTCGGCATTACCATTGAGTAGATCAACATAACAATAGTAGGTATCCTTTAACTCTGATTGAGTGGTGATATCAAATTGAAGTGTTTTGTATTGACCTCCAGCAATTGAACTTCTTTGTGCTGGGATGGGATTGATCTCTTGGGAACAGTTTTTAACTTGTACATCATACTCTGCTACAATGACACCTGTATTCTTGATGGAAGCAACTAAAACACCATTATTTGACATTGCTTCAAAGGTCTTGACATAGGCCTCGATAATCTTTCCAGGACTTGTATTCATGATGACTCGGAGTTGATCGGCTTTGAGTTCGAGTGATATTTGAGTTTGGTGGATTTGGTCAATTTGAATCTTGATGAATCGGTTGGCTTGCGACGAGGAAGAGTCGAGACTGGCAAACATCTGACTACCAAAGTTGGACAAGATATAGTTGCCTTTGAGTCCTTTGGACATCTTGTCGGTATCCTCCTTAAAGTAGTCGTCAATCTGATTGTTGAGACATGTTCCAAACTGGGCACCACATCGATTGGGTTGATTCTGAAACTTGGAATAGGATACACCAATCTTGTCACACTCATCACCAAATAGTCGACGGTCGAGTATCAATGATGACTGGATAGGCGACATTTTGGTACGTGGGTTGGTTGGGTCAGAGATGAGCTTGTTGACCATGACCAAGTTCTTCGACTCGAATGTAGGCAACTGGGTGTCCGTGTCAAAACTACCAATAATACGTACAATCATGTTCTTTTTAGCGTCGACGGCGGTTGGCGAGACTGGAGACACTACCAATGGGATGGAACGGGTAAAGTTGAATTCTGGGTCCAAGTACTTGATGGTCGCGTTGATTTGGTATAGTATAGTCCCCGGTTGGATAGCATACACGTTGTACAAGACCTTGTCAAATCCCAGACAATGTGCAGATGACGACTGGTCATTCAACAGCGTACACTTGAGGTTAGCACGTGAGTTGTGATCCTGTGTAAAGTAATCTGAAAAGATGCAGGTGCAGCAGAACCCCTGACTATCTCGCACAGCACTACCATTGACGACGGCGTATCCACAGGTACTCTGAGTAGGTTTATCTTCACACTCTGTCAAGATGATATCATCTCGTTTGTAAATGACAGTTTCGTACGGCTTGTTACTCACAGTTGTCTCATAGATCACAGGATGTTGAATAAATACCTGTGACTTTGAAAATGACACCTCTATAGGATATGACAGATTTCCACTAGTACCATCTTCATAAACAACTGCTTGTATTTGTTCTGTTTCCAACTACATGTAGGTAAATAAAAAGTTAGTAAAAGTAAAAGTTGATAGTTCAGCTGATAGATAGATACATACTTGATTATTATTTAGTGTCAATGATACGAATAGTTTCTCTGAGCAATCTAGATTAGCAGATGTCTCTGTTGTAGTACCATCTCTAATACATTTCTTTATTGTACTTGATCCTATAAAGGTTGGTTCTACAATGTTATTATGAAGAATAATAAAAAAAGTAAAGATGATGATCACCACCATCATCATTTTATTATTATATTTTCTAAACATGATTAATCTTTTCTAGTTGTATCTATCTATATAGTAGTAATAGTAATAGTAGTAGTAATAGTAGTAGTAACTATTAACAATAGAGATTGATGATGGTTGGTCGCGTCCATCTTGCTATTCTACCCATAGTACTCCTGAGGTTCCAGTTCACTTTAAATTTGTTTGTTTCAAGTACTCTGGTGCAGTTTAAATGAACAGAAGTATTAAGTACATATTAACAGAAGGAGATTATGTGCACATGACAAGTAATCCAATACCAATGCTCATTGTCTCAACAAAATGAAGGCTCTATTGAGAACCGACCGACACACTTTTGAATATTTAACATGTGTGACATGTGACCAACCACTACTCATAAACGATAGATTGATAGATAGATAGTAGATATAAAGTATTACTTGGTAGTAATCCTCTCTATTGAAAAAACTGGCTATTGTAAGATGAAAGAGGACCACCATTGCTTGGTTGACGCCAAAGCAAGAATCCTCAATACTAAAAGATTTGCTCACGTGATGCACAGCTCGTTATTCTTCTTCTACTGATCCTCATCCTCCTTTCCCTTGGTATTACTATTATTATAATTATTGGTGTTATAGAAAGACACCACAACAACATTTCAGATACATAGATAGACACAACAAATAAAAAAATCATATTTTTTTATTTGTATCTGTAGAAAATAACAAATGATTAAAAAAATTGATTTTTTTGGAGGTAGGTTCACATGAGTTTGTATGGTTATACAAGTTTGTATGGCGACACAAAACGAACATGTGAGTTCCTCGGTTTTTTGGTACTGTTGGCAACGAAAAACAGGTCAGTCAGCTGATCGTTTATATGTTAACCCATAAAGCACTTGTCAAAATATGTATATTAATTAACTTTTCAGAGGTAGCTTTTAAAATTTAGTTTTTTCAATAGAGAGGATTACTACCAAGTAATACTTTCTATTCATGATGACAAATCGACTCTCAAGGAAAGCATGTAGAGAATTATCAATCGGGACCGCAAAATCTTAGATTGTACGTCTGACCAACAAAAACTCAAACCTCTAATTAATTTAAAAGATAAAACAAAACTAATACTAAGACTATGATCATGTTGCTGTATACCAAATACACAGATATAATTTAAATTCTCTGTGTTTTTTGGTTGATATGTTCGTCAGCAGGTCTCTATGCTACCCTTTGTTCAACCTTTCGTTTTTTCTCGTTGTCTCTTGGGATCAATCTATAACAGGAAACATGGTATACCATGGCTCTAGTTACCCAACAACAAAGTAACATCATCATTATCTTGGTAATCTGATCTATCTATCTATTGGAACATACTTGCCACCCAATCCATTCTAATGAAAAATATCGGAGCTCCTATGCCTTCTATTTTTATGTTTTTCATCCGAATCTTCAATAGAAGCGTTTATGGCGGTTTGTGGGAATCGTGAGTCCCAACTGAATGATCAGTTTCAGACTGTCCCTTCCTTATTCTCTTTGAAATAATAATTACTATAATCCTTTCATCAACATCATCATAATGAGCAATCTGATTACTTTACTATAGCTATCACCAAAAATAATTATTCATATCATATACAAACCTTTTGACAAAAGATAGAAACATCAGATACAAATTGGGAAAGAAGAAGATATTTTTGATAAAAATATACAGCATTGGCATTTAGTTTAAACTAAATCATCTTTTAAAAGTATAATCAACCTTTCATTGTTTGTTTTGTCATTCCATGTTGTGTGTGTATAGATAAAAAAAACAATATTGGGGGTAAGATAATAATAATTCAATTTGTCGATTATTGTTCACACCCTTTCCTCCACTCCACATAATGTTTAAACAAGTCAAATGGAAGAGATGTAAATCTCTTTTATCGTCATTCAATTTCATCTCCAATCCTATCCTATCATATCATATCTCATTGTTTTAATACTTTTAGCTCGAGCTGTATATCATATCTATCTTTTCATCATCAAACAAACAAACAAACAGGCATCATGTAACGTTGAACAAATATAGATAACCAAAGAAGAAGAAGATACAAAGATAGGAAAGGAAAGAGGAGGAAACAGGAGGAAGAAGAACAATCATTCAATATTCAACATCTCACAATTTAACACTCCCAGTCATATTATATTGTCAATTACAACAAAGAAATTAATTAATAATCAATATTGTTATTAATAATAATATCATTCTTTTTTAGGTTGTAGCTACAAAAGACACATACACAATTAATATATAATAATAGTAGTAGTAATATAAATTTATATTATTCCAATCATCATTAAAAAACATTAATTTTGGTTCCAAGGATGATGTCCACATTTAATAGTCCGTATGGCGGAGGTGGAAGTGGTGGAGACGATGGATCAACAGGTCACAGTAATCATAATAGTTCTGGTGGATTTGGAAATGATGCAGTTGAAACAGAAATCAATCAAAAGATCAAGAAAATGTTTGAAGGTGCCATTGAATACTTTACCAAAATGATTGAAATCATTTTAATATCCTCTGATTATTCATCACAAGAAAGGGATGTTAGATCATTTCATATTTCAAATCCCTCACAAAAACAACCTTCAATAGACATCAATAACAATAATAATAATAATAATAATAATAATAATAATAATAATAATAATAATAATGATAATAATATATATAGTACACCAAACAATATATTTATTAGAGGAATCGATTCAAAAGATAAAGATGGGGGAGAAGCAAAATCATTGTTTTCAAGTGATGATAGTAATGATAATGATACAAGTCACAATAGTGACGACGACGACGAATTATATACACCAGGATACATATCTACCAAAGATATATTCCTATCTCGACCAGAAAATCAAAAAATAATTATGGATCTTACAAAGAATATGTGGAAAAGGAATTATAAACATCGTGAGAATCTATACTTTTCATTATCATCTGTTCAAGATTCACTATTGGTTGAACAATTAATTAATCAATCTTTTAGTAGTTTTGTTGAAGATTGTCATTTAGGTAAGTAATAATAATAATAATAATAACACACAAATATCAAATATAATTATATATTAATTATTGATTATATATTAATTATTAATTATTTTTATTTCTAGAAATTATGAATAAATTTGAAGATAGTCATTCATCATTGATAGATTTATTAAAATTATCAAGAGGTTCACCAGAAAAAATATTTGATACACCTGCACTAGAAAAATACTCACCTATTGTTAAAACACCTAAACCATCATGGTCCTATGCAGATGGAACATCAACCTCTTCCGAGGTTAAAGACTTTTTCTTACAAAAATGGAAAAAGTATTTTCAATTTTATATTATTAGAGATTATGTAATATCATTATTTCCAATTGTCTATTGGATTAAAAAGTATGTATCAACAAATTATAAATATAAATTAATCAATAAACAAAATAGAACTTATTTATTAATTATTTATTTATATTATTTAGATATAAATTAAATTATTTAAAAGATGATGTATTGACATCATTAACCATTGGATTTATGTTGATTCCTCAAGCCATGGCTTATGCTATACTTGCAGGATTACCACCAATCTATGGTTTATATTCAGCGTTTATATCACCAATTGTTTATGGTATTTTTGGTACTTCAAATGAAATTGCTGTTGGTCCAGTTGCAATGGTTTCTTTATTAATTCCTTCGTATGTTTTAGTAGTATAGTAGTAGTTAGTTTATTTTATTTTATCTAATATATTTTTATTTATTTTTTTAGGATTATTGATCATCCACCAGGATCAGAAAATTATATTATATATGCATCATGTTTATCATTGTTGTCAGGATTGATATTATTTACATTTGGATTACTAAGGGTTGGATTTATTATTGAAACTTTATTGAGTAATCCAATTCTATTGGGATTCATTCAAGCCGGTTCAATATTAATTATGTTTAGTCAAGTCAAGAATCTAACTGCAATACCCATCTCGTCGAAAGCAGCCAATCTAATCGAATTTATGAGAGATATAGTAGAGCACATAGGTTCGATTCACTGGGCCACAGTTATCATGGCAATCATTGCTCTCGCCATGTTACTAGCTGCTAGATACGCCAATACAAAGATTAAATACAAAATTCCAATGCCAATCATTGTATTAATTCTTGGTACTTTAATTTCTTATTTAATTGATGCTAAAAAGGTACAAAAAAAAACAAAAAAAGAAAAAAAAAGAATATTAAAAATATAAACTTATTAATTTATTTATTTATTTTATTATGATTTATAGAAATTTGGAATTAGAATTGTAGATGAAATTCCATCAGGTATTCCAACACCAACAGTTGTACCATTGGATTTAACAAGAATTGCAAAAATGTTTGTTGGAGCTATCATCCTTTCGATTCTTGGATTTGTAGAATCCATTTCAATTGGAAAGAAATTTGCATCACTTAAAAAATATAATCTAGATGTTAGTCAGGAATTGATTGCATTGGGAATGTGTAATATTGTTCAATCTGTTTTCCATGGTTATCCTACAACTGGTTCATTTTCAAGAACTGCTGTAGCTTATCAAGTATGTCAAAAACAAATAACAACTTATAATATATATATTTATTAAATCTCTTTATTTTTATCTATTTCTCTAGTCTGGATCACAATCACGTTTAACATCAATATTAACAGGAATTATAGTAATGATAGTATTATTATTTTTAACTGGTGCTTTTAAATATACACCGCTTTGTCTACTTGCATGTATAGTGTTGGTAGCAGCAATTGGATTGTTTGAACCAGTAGAAACCTATGAACTTTTCAAAAAAGGAGAAATACTTGGATTCCTTCAATTGGTATTTGTATTTTTCTGTACATTGTTGCTTGGTTCTGAAACTGGTATCATTATTGCATTTTGTGTATCGATTCTACAAATTATCTTTTTCTCTTCAAGACCCAACCTAGTTACCCTTGGTCGACTTCCAGGAACATTGGTATTCCGTAATGTCTCTCATTATCCAAGTGCAATCACTCATTCTGGTATCATTGTTGTTAGATATGACTCTAGAATGACATATTATACAATCAATCATTTTAGAGATTCAATGACTAAATTATTAAATTCAAATCCTCTAGATGGTATGAAACAAAGTAGAATGAATGAAATGAAATGTCCTAATTTATTTTTTAATTTTTTGTAGATATTAGAGTAATAATTATTGATGCAGTCAATGTAAGTTCAATTGATTCTACAGCATTGGATGTATTAAATGATATGTTGGATGTTTATGAAACCAATGGAATGATGATCCTATGGAGTGACATTAGACAATCTGTAAAGTCTGTCATGACAAAATCAAAATTTACCAATAGAATATGTACCGATCATATGTTTGCTTCAACAAGCTCGGCAGTTGAATATGCTCTAGCCAATTTAAATAGAGCTCAATTTGATATTACCACTGTTTAACAAAACAATGATAATGTTAATTTTAAAAATAAATGGATTTAATTATTTATTTATTATTTATTATGAAATAAAACATCTGCGACCATTAAAGTTGTATCCTTTAAATGGATTTGATGATATAATTTGTTAACTTTAACCAAACTAATTTGATTTAAATTTAATTTCTTAAATACCTTGTATATTTCTATAGAATAATAAAAAAGATTGATTAGTAATGATTGTATATTTTCTTCATTTTCTTTTCCATTTCATTTACCATTTTCATAACCAGATAATAACTTGTCATAATAAATCTTGATTGAAATAATATTTTCACAAATATCTTTGACAGTTGTAAGAGAACTGATGGAATCAATCATGGATTCAATAAATGTTGATATGGTTGGTAGTAATTGAGTGTCAAGATTCATTTCACGGTCAAGACTGGTCAGGTTAAAGTTAAAGAGAGTAGTATTTGAAATATTAGAAATGATCGAGTTGAATCCTTGAATGACAGAATCAACACGGAAATTCTTTTCAGTACGATAACATTCTCTTTTAAACTCTTCATCACTGTGGTCTGGTATCTTATCATTTAATAATAATACTTCAACATTTGATGATTTTGGAAAGTGTTCAATCTCTGCAATTGTAATTAATGGTAATACCTATAAAAAAAAAAAGAGATGAATAAAAATTATAATACTTTTTTTTGTTTCTACTCTTACAGGAGAATTTGTAAAGATAGACATTAAATATTCATAAATTAAATTTGAATATTTAATATCTTTAATAAAAACGGTACATTGTAAAGTTTGATCGAAACCATTTTTCAATGCTTCAAAAACACTTGATAGGTTGATAAATATTTGTTTCAATTCAGTTTCAACACCACCTTGAATTAATGCAATCGATCCTGGTTCCAAACCAATTTGTCCTGCTAATAATAATAAATTATCAACCTAAAAAAATAAAATCAAATCAAATAGATTAATAACACGTTCGTTGGATAGATATAGATATGATTTCAGATTTCATACAAAAGTTGCTTGAGAATAAGGACCAATACAAGCAGGAGCCCAATTTGAAATAGATTGAACATGTAAATTCTTTTTAACAACTTGATGACCAATACAATCGACCATAACCTTACAATTTGGTACTGGTAAACCAACTTGAATACATGCTCTGGCAGATGGATTCTCTTTGAAATGTTTATAATAATTTTGATTGATAATTCCAAAATCATTCATATCCTTTAGGTATAAATTAACAAATACTAAATTCTCCATTGTCATTGATAATGACTTTAATTTTTCTAAAAAAAAAAAATTGATCAATATAATATAATGTTTTCAAACAAATGATAATGAATCATTTTCAATACGAACCACTAATATTTGTCAAGATTTGATCCAAAGTTTCACCACTACTGAGATTGTCATTTAAAATGGTAAAAGATTTAATATGAAAGAAACCAGACTTTGATTGAATGATTTCTAAACGAGTCAAATCACTAGTATCTTGAAGTGCTTTTGTTCCATTGGCACCAGTGTAATAAGTAGTTGGTATTTGGTAATCTTCGATTGATATGGGGATTGAGAAATTTGAAAACTTGTCATTCCATGTTGAAATGCTAGTTTGATAGGATGGTGCAAACTCTACCAAATACTTTTTACCCTCTTCTATCTCTTCTGGTGTTTTATCTACCAATTTATATTTTTGAAATGTTGCATATGCTACTTGAACAAATGCATCATCTGAATGTACTATTACTTCAGTTTCAATTCTATAAATATAAAAAATTAATTGTCCAGAACTTATTTAATATTTCTATATATATAGTATAACATACAATTCAATTCTTTTTTTAAATAATGGACAATCTAATACAAGGGATTCATATTCTCCACCTTCACCACAAATATTTACACCATATTTTTGATTCTTTTAAAGAAATGGAAATTAATATAAATATATAATATTTAAATGTATTTAAATAGACTTACCAAAACCTTTAAAATTGGATACATTTGATCGATTGTTTTCATTAAATGTTTTGATGGAACAAGACCCATTGAAGCAGTTTTAATCAATATGGCACCCATCTTACTATCAATCATATCTCTTAATAATTGATCTTCCTCTCTTCTCCAAAGATAACAAAAACTTGTAAATCCTAATCTTGAACAACTATTCAAGATTAATTAATTAATTAAAAGTAAGTAACGGTTGATATTTAATATATTTTAAAAGATACATACACATTTTCAACACGAATTCTTTGATAGGTTGAAAGAATGGCACCAGTGGCAACACCTTGAACGTCTGGGTGTGACTGTTTGACCATTGACAAGAGATGGTATAAATCTTCAACTTCATCTTCTTTTGTAGCTACATAGATCTCTCCTTGATTATGTGGTTTACCATTGATTGCATGTTGTGTAAGTGGTAAACCCATTGCTTCAGCTATACCTTCAATCACATTATGTCCAACTGATTGAAACATATAACTATCAATTTCATCTAATATTATAACAATAATGTAAGTTACTTCTTCTACTAACTACTAACTACTAACTATAGATGATGATGATGTGATGATGATGATGATGATGTTCATAGTACTATGTCAAGTTCATACCTTGTTGTGTATTATCAATCTTTGGTGGTTTTAAATGAGCCAAAGCAATCACCTCATGACCATTTCTAATACATTCTATTAGATTATAGATTGAATCCTTTCCTCCACTAATTAATCCTACTAACTTCATTTCTTTTGATCTTGATGATAGTACTCTTTTTTTAATAAATTAAACTCTATATAAATTTTCGTGTCTGTCAGATGAACCTCATGTGCAATACAAATAATATTTTCAATTTTGTGTTTTGTGTTTTGTGTTTTGAAGTTTACACAACACACCTGGAGGAGGATTTGGTTAAATGGATCATAAATTTATTATTATAGAACATATTGAAAGCAAGCAGAGTAGAGATAACAACCATTTGGTTTCATCTTCTGTCGACAAGCCCAATAATTAAGTTGGTTATTTGGAAGGTAGGTAGGGGAGGTGGGGATCTATGGGAGCATGAATCGAACTAATTCCTTATATTAGTGTTTGGATACAAGGATGTTGGTGTGGTGGTGGTAGTAGTGATGGATGTAGGGGATGGATGAATATTATTATTATTATTATTATTAACAAGGGTGAGAGGAGATATTTATATTTTAATTTTGGTTTAATTTTAAAGGAAATAATCTGGTAACTCTTTAGTAGTATCTTGAGCAGGTTTGTTATGTAAACTTTCTGGAGCTGCGCTGTAAGTATTAAAGAAACGTTCGAGGGATTCGTTGACTTCCATGATTGAAGCCATATTACCACATCGGTAAGAGTAGTTCGGTGCCGACCAAATGGTTGATAACCTTCCACCGAAAAGTACTTGATACCCATCCATGCAGAGTTGATGTGCTCTTAGTATATGTTCCATCTTGTTGATCTTGAGGAATTTGGCGACCGTGTCTTGACCAAATGTGTAACCGGCGCCTCTTTGAGACTCGACAAATCCATCGCGGTCGGGGTCTGGATCAGACCACATCAAGTCTGCCAATGGGCCTTCGTGTGGTACCTCTTGGAATCTATCTAATACACGAATCTGATCGATTGACAATGCCGATGGCGACAAACCACCGTGTACACAGTATATGCTATCATCGATGATAGCTGCCACAGGCAAATAATCAAACATCTCTGTAAAATATCTCCACACGTTGGCATTACCATACTTTCTTGAACATTCTCCATAGAATCCATAGACTTGTGTAATTTGTCTTGATTCATGATTTCCTCTTAATAATGTAATTCTTGATGGATATCTAAAATAATAATAAAAAAGAAACATAGAAATAAATAGAAATAAGATATTAATAAACAAACTCAAGTCAAGTACAGTCTGTTTCTCTTCTATCTTTCATTCTTTCTCTTTCATTTCTTACCTCAACTTTAAACATGATAATAAAGAAATAGTTTCAACGCTATGATAACCTCTATCTACATAATCACCTAAAAACAGGTAATTGGTATCTGGACATTTACCTCCAATCTTGAATATCTCTAAAACATCATAAAATTGACTATATAGTTGAAGTTGTTAGTTTAGAATTCTATTCTTTCTTTCTATTCTTCTATTCTTCTATTCTTCTTACCCATGAACATCACCAACAACAGTGACAGGTGCTTTTATAGATTGTACGTTTGTTTCGTTGATTAAAAGCTCTTTCATTCTATCTGTTATCTCTTTGATGGTAGACTCTGAAAGTATCTCACATTTCTGTAACTTTTCGATACAGTGATCGAGATTTAATGTAGTTGTAGACATTTTCTATCTCTATTATATATATATATCTATTCTTTGATGATTGATTGATTGTTATGATATTTTGGATTATTTTGATTTGTGTGAGTGGGTACGTCGACGATTGATTGATTGATTGATGTGTGTCTTGTGTGTTTATATTCAATCAAACTAATCTATCTATCTTTATATATAATACAATCTCTTCCAATCTACGCTTTTACTTATAATACTAATACAATATCTATCAATCAAATAATCACTCTGTGTTTTTAAAAAGAATCATAAGGAAAAAGGAAGTTGGCACCACCGCTAAAAAAAACAACAAATTCAAAAAAAATCTTATCATAGATCTCATTGAGGATGGGAATGGGTAGAGTGAGATCATTCTATCTTCATTTTTCTGTATTGGGGTGTTGGGTTGGTTGGTTGGTCGTTGTCCAACTCTACTCGGGGAATATTAAATTATAGTATATTACCGACCGACCGACTGACCAAGTAATCTACTTATCTTACTGAACCTTTCTTTGTGATTGGTTGGTCCCAAGAGAGAAGTTTTTTTTTTTTTTTTTAGATTTTTTTTTTAAACTTCATTGATTGGGATTCATCATTCAAAAGACCTTGCTGGATCATTCAAAAACATAGTGGTGTGTAGTGTAATCTTCAACCTCAATGTTGAATACATACATAATTCTAGATAGGTCCAACAACAACACAACAACAACAACAAAGTACAGTTGGGAGGAGTTATAAATATATAAACACATTGTTGTTTCACAACAAATAATAAGCATAACCAACCAACTTTACTTTTTAATAGAACATAATAATAATAATAAAAATATTCATAGAGATAATATCTTTGACACCTCAACCTCAACCTCTCAACCTCAATAATAACCAACCCCAGTCGCATTCAAAAAAAAAAACCAAAAGGGTACGTACAAGGTAAATATTAATGATAGACGATCAATACCACTCCTCTCTCTTCTTCTTCTTTATTAATAACAAACAACCTTCTTCACTTCAACAACACACACTTAAATACTCTGCAAACAAACAAACAAACCTTTTAAATCGACATTTGTTTATTAATAATTTATCGACAAAAGTAGTTCAGACAAACAGACAAGTTAGAATATTCTCACGCATAGTTGTTGTTTTATGTTACTCTATTTAATTACATCATCATCTTCTTCTTTCCCTACTACTTCATCCTCTTCCTAATCATCACATACATATAATCATGGCAACTAATCAACAACAAAAACCTCCTCAACATAAAATAGTAAGAGTTGGATGTGGAGCAGGATATCAAGGTGATAGAGTACCACCTGCATTAAAGTTAATCAATGAAGCCAAGCTAGACTATTTGGTGTTGGAGTGTTTGGCCGAACGAACACTTACCGATAGCATCAGGAGAATGAAGAATGGCGGTCGAGGATACGACCCAAGACTAAGAGAATGGTTAAGTCAGTTGCTTCCAGCTGCACACCGCAATCGTGTAACTGTCATCACCAATATGGGTGCTGCCGATCCACGTGGTGCTGGTGAAGAAGCATTAGAAATTGCCAAACAACTTGGAATTGTCATTCGTATCGTAGTAGTCTGTGAAGTAGTTGAACATACAACTACAACTGAATCACAGAACAAAAAGACAACAACTACAGCCGCAGCAGCCGCACCAAAATTAATCGCCATTCCAAGCTCTAATGGATTCTCTGTTAGTAGTGATTCTGTAAATAACGATGACGATGAAAATTGGGAAGTTGGTTGTACATATCTTGGTGCTGATTCAATTATTGATGCTTTAAAGTTAAATGCCGATTTAGTTGTAAATATCAAAAAAAAAAAAGAAAAAAAGAAACAAATGTATATATATACTAATATATATTTATTTTCTAGATTGCAGGAAGAGTAGCAGATCCAAGTTTATTTGTTGCACCTATAGCTTATACATTTGGATGGGATTTAAAAAAGGATTTTGATTTGATAGCACAGGCTACTTTGGCGGGACATTTGTTAGAGTGTGGATGTCATTTGACGGGTGGCTATTTTGCACATCCGATGGGTAGAAACATAACGTTTGATCAATTGGCCAACCTGTCGTTGCCATTTTGCGATATCGATAGTCGCGGCAACCTAGTGTTGGGCAAAACCGAGGGGAGCGGCGGCGAGCTGAGTGAACGAACCTGCAAACAACAACTGACGTACGAAATTGGCGATCCGCGAGAATACATCACGCCAGACATTATAGTAGATTTCACAGGAGTCGAGTTTACATCAATGTCTGACAATGCTGTGATGGCGCGGGGTGCTAGGGGGACGCGAGGTCCAAGCACGTTGCTGCGACTAGTTGCACGAAATGCAGGTTTCAAATCATGGGCTGAGATTAGCTACGGCGGTCTAGGCTGTGTCGAGCGTGCACATTGGGCAAGTCAACTGGTACACAAGTGGATGGAAGACCGTAAAAAGGGTATCACGCACAATATGATGACCTATCTCGTCGGATACAACAGTCTCTATCTACCACATGGATCAAAGTTTACAATGATACCGACCTCTCTGCCAAAGACAATCCCAGCAACTCGCGATCCCCGCGACACCTATTCAAACGATTGTTGGGCCGATGGGTATCCGCCCGAGGTGCGACTGCGGTTCGACGGTCTATTTGACACGCGAGAAGATGCAGAGGCCCTAGGCATGGAGTTACAAGGTCTCGGTCTATGCGGACCCGCAGGCGGTGGTGGTTTTGCATTTGGTATTAAAAAGGATGTTAGATTAGTTAGACAATTCATTAAACGTGAACTAGTTAAATGGAATACATTTATTTTTTTAAATAATGATCAAAATATTAATATTAATCGTAATAATAATAATAACGATAATAATAATATTAGTAGAGGTCATTATAACAATAATAATAATAATAATAATAGCAATCATCATATTCAAATTATATCTAAAGAAAAATTAATTCTGGACAAAAAAGATTACCAAAACACAGTGTTTTTAACAAAGAATGGAACTAGTGTACGATACATGATCAAAGACGGTTGGAAGAGTTCCACGGCCGCCATCATCTATTCACCACCACCACTCCACCACACGAAAACCATTACTAGTTTACCATCCAGAGTTTTATTGTACAATATTGCACATTCGAGAAGCGGCGACAAGGGAGACACAGCAAATGTAAGCGTCATCCCATACGACACTGGCGATTTCTATCGACTCACCAAAGTGATAACTAGCGACTGGGTCCGAACTGTATTTAGAAACTTGACCAAACAATCCGACGTCACAGTCTACCAACTACCAGGCATCAAATCATTCAACATTGTCATCAACTTTGCATTAGATGGTGGTGTTTGTGTAAGCAGAAGAATTGACAGACACGGTAAAACTCTTAGTGATTTAATCCTAAATCAATGGGTTGATCTTTTACCATTATCATCTCTCTAAAAAAAACAACAAAAAGACTAAATATATAATTATATTTGCTCTTTTTGCCTCTCTTCTTCTTTTCCCTTCCAACTTTAAACTATTTGACGTTTTAATAATAAAAATATTATTTATTTAAATGTTGCCCTATTCCAAATAATTACAAGACCACTACTATCTGCAGAGGCTAAATGAGATTCGTCACTATTCCAAGTGACGTAGGTGACTGGTGAACCATGACCCATCAACTGATTAATCGATTGAGATTCCTTTCGTAGTGGATCGTAGATGTGAATGGTACCGTCGTCTCCACCACTCACACAAAAGACACCTTCTCTCTTGTTGGAGATGGGACAAAAGCAACTGTGTATTGAACCATTTTTCTTGGCCTGGATGTTGTACTCTTTTGAGATGACAAAACTACCAGTTTGTAAACTTTTAACACTAAACACTCTCATGACACTGTCTTTGCTATTGACCAAAAGTGACAACCCAGGTTTCTGTCCAATTTGCCAATAATGTACATCAACAGAAATAATAGGTTTACTTGAAACCTGTGTCTTTGATACCAATGAAAATGCTGATTGCTTATTATCAATTTTAAATGTAAATATAAATCCCTAAAAAAAATTAAAATCAAATCAAAAAATAAGTTAATAAGTAAGAATTTAATAGATTCATTAATTAGATTTGATTATATTTACTTTATCATCACCAAGGAATAAATAATCACCTTTTGATTCAAATTTCATTGATAAAACAGGTGATAGAGATTTAACTTTTGATAACCATTTCCCAAGTGAGATATCATAGATTTTGATTGCGCTCTTGTTTTCAGAGACAACAATGATTGATGAACGAGTTGGATGAGTGCACAAGGTAAAACACACGCCTGCGTCTTTGATGATTTTCTCTTCTTGTCCTGTACGTGCACTCCATTGTCTCATGGTTCCATCCACTCCGACAGTCATAATCTTTTCATTGTCATTGGTCCAAACAAAATCGATGATTGGTCCACTGTGTCCCTTTAACGCCTTGATGACACAAGGTGGTTTCGATGTTGTATTGCACAATGATAGAGTACCATCATCTGATGAAAATGCCAATAAATCTCTACTATTATTGGCATATCTAATACGAGATATCGCCTTTTTGTGTGAATCAAATATATGATGCATACCAGAGAATGAAAAGTCTTCCAACTTTACTATTTTGTTTATAACATGAGTTGGTATTGATGGTGATGATGTTGTTGTAGTTGTTGTAGTAGTTGTAGTAGTTGTTGGTGATGTATTTGAATCCGATGTTATTCTTATAGTTGTTGTGTTATTGGTTGATGACGTCGATGATGTTTCTTCAACATTTTGTTTTCTTTGTACATTATGATTTTGTCTGTTAAAAAGAGAATTAGTTTGTTAGTTAGTTCCATTAAATGTATACTACAAAGTTAAAGTTTAAGTTATAAATCATACTCTTGTTGTTTTTGATATTTTGAATCAAGTATTTGAAATCTACGTTGAAGATAATCATCTCTTCTATCACCATGATCTCTAACCTTTAGTTTATTAGCAATTGCTTTCTTTTCCAGCAATGCAGTTCTCCATGTTAGATAGTGTTCTGCAGTCCAATCAGTAGTTCTTTCAATACACGATATTCTTGATTGTATAAAACTATCATCAATAAAACTAGTATGATTTGCTATATTAATTTGTACCAATTGATCCATTACAAATCATCACTTCTTCTTAATATATTAAATATCTATCTCTATCCCTCTATCTCTTAGTGTTGTTTTAAAATATATATGATTTTTGATTAATTTGGTGTTTGTTTGTGGACAGACACCTGATTCATCTTTGAATTTCTTTCTTTGTTTTTTTTTTGAATCATCAGTTTTAAAAGAAGGAATGATAGATAATCAATCAATCATACAACAATGCATCCTATCTCCTCCTCCTCCTTTAATTATTAATATGATACATGTATATCATATCACTATGACTATATGACCCCCTACCTCCCTTCTCTCACTCGTTCTGGTGATCTATATCGGTCACCGTTTTGATGGAGATTTACAAGCCAATAATAATATGTGATATATATATATATATATGTTGTTGTTAAATTCGACAACAATAAGATATCATCATGCAAACACACCCACCTCGAGTAGTAATACTATTATTGTTGTGGCTGTTTTTTCTTTTCTTATCCTCAACACCAACACCCACACTCATGCTCGAATGTGAGTAGAGAGCAGAGTAGATAGAGCAAGCAAGCTTTTGGCAAAATACACCTCCACCACTCTGGTCGAGGGGATGGGGATGATGTAGGATTGACATGAAATTTAATGAACCATCAAGCTCGTTTGGATTGCTGCTTTGCTCACTTCACCTCCTCCTCCTCCTCCTCTTCCTCCTCTTTATATATATTTATATACTAGTAGTTAGTAAATTATACTTTTACCTTTACCATTTACTTTACTATTCTCTTTTTCATCAAAAATACCTTTCAATTAGAAACTACTAGTTTTAGAGTTTAAAATATTAATAATATTAAAAGAAAGAAAAGTTTAATTTCCAAAGTAGTAATAGATTAAATATTCATTCATGAAGAGCTAAATATTTAATTTATTATTATTATAATAGAAGAATAGTATATTATAATAGAATAGTAGTATAATAATAGAGAATAAGAATGAATTCATTAATAAATGAAACTCAAATGCAACAACAATCATTAACCAACAAAAAAGATTCTTCTTCTTCTTCTTCTTCTGAATCATCAATCATGATGATGATGGAATTGGATACAAACGATGATGATGATGATGATACAGATTTAAATCATCAAAGCATCTATCAATCAATATTAAATAATAATAGTTTGATTAAACCAATGGTGGCTGTACCTCAATCCTCTTCGTCTTCATTTCAAATATCAGTTGATTATAACAACTATTTCGATGAAAGTACTACTACTGACTTGGAGCTAGAATCATCATCATCATCATATATGGATATTGTTAAACAAGTACATTTACCAAGAGAAGTTTGGATCATTGTTTTGGGATACTTGAGTGAAAGAGATTTAATAATGATATCCTATGTTGACCATTCACTCAACTATCTGTCACAAGACAATTATCTTTGGAAATCATTGTATCTCAGAAAATGGAACGTAGTCACACTTCCACATCGATCAAAGTTGACACTGGATCTAAACGATCCTACAACTCATTCCCAAGTTTTTTTCTCTCCATCGAGTTATATTAAATTGTTAGATTTGAACAAATCACCATACTCTTCACCACAATCAAGATCTAATATTAGAATTAATAATAATCAAAATAATCAAAATAATAATAATCAAAATAATAATGTAAATTATTTAAATAATCAATTCCACTCGAATAATTATTTTCATGATAGTTATGATGAAAACAAACTTAGTTCATCGATTAAAAGGGTACACGAGGTATTTAAACCTAGATTCTATACCGATGTCAAACAAAAGAACCAAGAGTCAAGGATTTGGAAACAACTGTACAAGGAGAGAAAGTTGATTGTACAAGATGGAGGTATCGAAGAGTTTTACCATCTACTGTCAACGTTGATTGCCTTTCCCATGGAATTTAATAGAAAGGCAATGATGACAATGTACACCATTGTATTTCAATTGTGCATTGTCAACTATCGAATGAAAAACTATTACATACCACCTCTTAATCTGTATCGCATGATGGTAGAGTGTTGTCACAACCATTTGTTCAACGTTTTAATAGACTCTCAATCCACTCCCAATGGAGCACCACTACTTCGATTCTACCTCTTCCACTGGCAAAACTACCTCTACTCGATCAAACGAATCAATATCGTCTTTAGATACTATCACCGTGACTGGGTCAGCAAACAAGGTGAAGAGTTTAACTCGAGACCTCTAAGCTTCCATTCAAAAGGTTCGACATGGTGGAAGAAACTATTACACGGTTCTGAAAGCGAGATTTCAATTGTACATCTAGCCACCATGATGGCTCGAGGTTGGTTGACCGTTCTATTGTCAGGACTAGAGTTTCACGACAACTATAGTTCGCCTAATCGTCAACATACAGAACCTCAACTAGTTCCTCAGCAACAACAAGATGCAATGGATTTTGAACCACTCAATGGAGCGGTAAATGAAACTCTACTTAATCCAGCAGCATTTATCCAACCATCTGCAAGACACCAAGCAAATCCAGAATCACCAGTCATTTCACAATTTAGAAATCCACCAGTATCACCACTATTACACGCGCAAATCTCCTCTTCTGAAAAGAATCCATTCCTAGAGAACCGACTAGTCGAGTCTATCCAAATATGCTCAAAAGACCAACACTTTGACTTGGTCTACTCTTTCCTCATTTCAATACTACATCTCCAAGAATATTTGATGTTTGTTGGCGACGAATCACCTTCACTCCATCCTATTCAACATCCATCTTTTCTTATCATTGGAGACCAAAACTTTATGGACAATCATAGACATAGTGAATACCATCATGTTTCAGATTGGGAGTTTGGTAGCACCATCTCTGGCATGTCACCTATCCAATCGTCACGGTGCCCCTACTGTACCTTTAATCCCAATCCCCCTCAAATGTGTGACAAAACAATGAACAAACTAGTCTCTAAATGTATTTCATTTTTACAACCATCCAATCAATTAAATAAACAAAAAATGAATCCATAAGAATAAAAATAAATAAATAAATAAGTTTTGTTTGTTTCAATTTGTTTGTTTTTTTTAGGGTTAAAACTTTTGTTTTATCTTTTAGTTTTATTAATATAACAGGAGCTAGATCTAGCAAGTGGAGAATTTGTTATTATTTGTCAAGTCATTATTACTTATAATTAATTAATTATTATTATTATTATTATTATTATTTGTTGTTATTATTATTATTAGTTGAATGATGTGATGTTGTGATTGGGAGGGGGGGGTTATTAATATCGTGATTTATGTATTGTTAAATTATAGGTGGTAGAGAGAGAAAAAAAAATATGGAAAAATTATTTAATGCAATGTGAATTTACTTTGAGCTTCCTTTGCTTTTTTTGCCTCCATGATGGCAGGAACCAAAGCATTACTGTTACAAGCAAACTTGAGGAATGGATGTTTCAAAAGCACATGTGCGTCGACTCTGTTTTCGGCATCCTTTTCCAAACATTTCTTTACAAAGTCCTTGAATTCCTCTGACCATTTGCCTTGATCCTTGAGATCTGGAATTCCCTTGGTGGTGATAAGGAAAAGTGCACGAAGTGGTGGAAAAGACATATAAGGTGGCTCTGATTCTGCCATTTCCATAGCCATAATACCTAAACTCCAAATGTCTACCTTTCTATCATAATTTTGTCCTCTAAAAAATAATTGAAAAAAAAAATAATATTAATATCAACAATAATATGAATAAATGAATAAATCATTATTTACCTAATCAATTCTGGAGCCATCCAATATGGTGTTCCAACAATAGTAACTCTCTTTTGTTTGTTCTTTGTTAATTGAGCTGCATAACCAAAATCTGCCAATTTAACTGAACCATCTGATCCCAATAAAATATTATCACTCTTTATATCTCTATGAATTCTATGTTGATTATGAACATAAGCTAAACCTTTAAGTGTCTAAAAAATAAAAATAAAATATTAATATTTGAACTATCCTATTGTTGTCTTTTTCCTCCTATTATTTACTTCTAAACATATATAAGCAATTTGAGGTTCATTTAATTGAACTGTAGAAAATTGTTCCAAAACTTCTGTTAAACAACCACCACCCATAAACTCCATAGCAACCCACAAGGAATCGTTTACGAGATAACTGTCAAAATATTCAATAATATTTGGATGTTTACAAGACTTCATGATACCAATTTCTGTAATCAATAATTTCATATTTTGTTGGTTGAGTGGCATCTTTTTAATGGCCACCTTGGTATTGGTCTTTAATCTTGTCACAACAAATACTTCACCAGCAGCACCTTCACCAATCTTCATTGATCCTTCTCCAAATAATTTAGATGGATCTTCTTGACTAATTAAATCATCTAAAAAAATAGAAATAATGGATATTATTAGTAAAACAAAAAATAGTCTTTTTTTTTTTTTTTTGTTTGTTTTGTTTTATACATACTAAGGGAAACATTAGTTTCTTCTGGTAAAGGTGAAGAAGGATTCATCATTAAATCGTAATCATCCTCTGGATATTGATCTGGTTGTTGTGGTTGATGGTGATGTTGTATTTGTTGTTGTGGTGGTGGAGGTGGTGGAGTTGGTTTTGGAGCAGGTGTTGGTAACTCTCTGGTTGGTGGCCCAACAAGAGTAGTTTGTGATGGCTTGGCCATACCCATATTGCCCAAATGGAAATCTAAAACATCCAATACTGCTTGTGGTTGTTCTACGACATCCTCCTTTGTAATACCAGAGCTTTGCAATACAACCTCCCATTCTTTTGGAAGACCCTCAAAACCTGTAATGGAATTATAATCTACATGTACATTGTGTTTAACATTAAATGGTACACCTACTTCTGGTTCTTTTTTTTCTAAAAAATAAATAAATAAAAAAGAAAAAGGAGGTTAAATTAAATGTTCATCTCTTTTTTTCTATCTATTCTTTTTTTCCTTACTATTCTTTTTAGTAAATAAACCAAAGAAACCTGGTTTCTTTTCTTCTTCTTGTTTTGGAGCTGATGATAAAGTATTGATGTGTGAAGATGGTGGGGAGGGAGGGGCAATCAAAGAAGAAGTGGTTGGAGGTGAAGCAGCCATTTGAGAGGGGTTGGAGGAAGAGATGGGTGGTGGTGGTACAGACGAGAGCAATGGTGATTGGATGGGGCTTGGTGGAGCCGGTTTGGGTCCGCCTGCAAGGAGATTGGCCAAGTTGGCCGGTGCCTGAGTGGGTGCCAGCTTCTTGACTGGTGTCGATCCCGATGTATTTAATTTATTCGATGGTGATGGCATGGGTGGTGCAGGGCCGCCAGCATTTTGTGATGATGCTGCCTGTTGTTGGTGTTGTTGTTGTATGGTGATGGGTGGAGATAATTGTCTAGGTGGTTGTGGAGGTGCCGCAGGCGATGGTGGTAATGGTCTATTATTACTACTGCTGCTATTGTATCCACTACTGCTGCCGCCGCCGCCATTTGTATATTCATCGCCAATATTACCATTCAAACTATTGTTGCGTGAATGAGTAGTGCTACCTGCAGCTGCACCGTTGAATTGTGGACGAGGTTGTGTTGGAATAGGTGGTGCTCGCTTTACACCTGGTGGTCCCGGTGCAGGGGGTCGCTTTGGTATGGAAGGGGATGGCTGGCTGTTGACCACGCCGCCATTGGGTGTGCCGTTTTGTTGTTGTTGTTGGGGTGGCATCTTTTTTATTGGTTGTGGAGGTCTGCGCATTGGAGGTGGTGATGAATCTCCCTCCATAAATGTTTGAGCTTCAAACTTATCCCTTATAATCGAAACTCTTGCATTCTTGTTTACTCCATTCTCAACTATAGAAAATACTCTAATATCAGTACTCAAAGTAATATAGTATAGTATAGTATAGTCTATGTTGTTGTCTTACCTTTATCCATTTGCATTTAGTCTGTTTTGTTGTTTATTGCCTATAACTATCTGTATTTTTGAATGGTTTATCTATCGTATCGTATAGTATAGTCTGCTCTATCTATCTATTTTGTTATTGTTAAAAATACAAAGATCTATCACTAAAGCGCGTTTGTGAATAGAATACTAGTTGTGTGTGTAAAAAGGAGTATGATAATTAGTAACCTATGCTTTTGTGTTGTATGGTTCCAAGAGGGTTAGAAGTTGTAATAAAGGAGAGAGAGAAAGAGAGAAAGAGAGGAGGGACGAAAAAAAATATTGCAAAGTCGAATTTTTTTTTTTTTTTAATTTAAAACAACAGCTGATCGATCTGAACGGTGGATAGGATATTGTGGAGGAAGGATTAAAAGAGTTTTTGCGAGATGGAATTGAGATGAGGAGAATGAATGAATGAAAGAAAGAAAGGAAGGACCTGTCACTGACTAGAATGATGATAGAATTCCTTTTTACTTTACAATATAATTTAAAGTAAATGTTGTTTAAAATAGACAACAGAGCTGTCTGTCTAATCGAATTGAATATTGAATATTGAATTGGATTGGATTAAAGGTTGTCTCTTGAGATGAAAGTAATAATAATGATGATAATAAAACAGACAAGTGTTGGGGTTCTCTTTTTAAATTGAATGATGTTTGAATGAATTTTATGGATGGACAACGCGCACACTCTCACACATGCTACTCTCTCTCTCTCTCTCTTTCTTTCTTTCTCTCTCTTTTTTTTATCGTCATGATCGTTTGTGTTGATAAAGAGTGGAATGAAGGGGGGGGGGGGGGGGGGTAGGGTTATGAATGATTGATCGTCAACCCAAGTACTTCACTTCCACTTATTTTCCTTTTACTTTACATCCAACAATAACAACATGCACCTGCTTTCTTATTTGAAAAATCGATCGATGCGATTGTGATCTCGCGCTCTATTGTTATTATTATACTGTGTGTTGTTGCTAATTTAAAAGAGACGATAGACGCGTACACAATTCATTGTCTGTTATGTGGTGGTGTTGGTATCGAGTGTTGTTGTTGTTTTTAATGATGATGATGATGTTTGTAACTACCTTCACGTCTTTTTTTATATCTATCCTTTGTTTGTGTTTAGTTATCCTATATCTACAAATTGTCTTTCTTCTAATCTAGTTATAAATATAACTAACTCTAAATATATATAAATATATACGACTATTATAATATTATTATACCACCTGATAGGCAGTAATCTGTTTCAACAAAAGCAAAAAAATCTTTTGCTCAAAAAATTAAAAAAAAAAAATTGGTTTCTTTTAACCATCCAGCAGCTTCTTTCTTTTAAAGTCTGTGTCAAAAGACTGAATGAATACACATTGTATATAATTACACACAAACACACACATACTATAAATACTTTACCTACTTTATATTACTATTACTATTTCTATGTGAAGTTCCTCTCTCTCTCTCTCTCTATATATTTATATATATATAATATGTTTATCGATTAAAAATTTTAAAGAAGTGTCTGTTGGCCTTTAAATTTACCTCACAATAGGAAGGGAGGGCAGTTTGAGTTTTATTATTATAACCCTCTCAGTTCACGCTCACTCTATATTTCCAACACCCCGCTGCTGTCTGTCCTTGATTTCTTTTTTTCTATTTTTTTTTGGCGATCTGATCTCAGATGAGACCCGATTCGATGATGTCACCAACACTGAACAGCGGCATATCGGTTCATAGGTACACAACACCCATTCGAATTAATAGATAGATTGATTGAGAATAATATCTCAATCCTACCTTGTATAATACAATGTATATGTAAGTCCCTCTTCTCTCTCTCTCTCTCTCTCTCTTTACTTTTTATTCTATATTACTCTGGATTAAATGAAAATGATGAATAAACATCTTTACAATGAAGATTTAAAAGAGAAACCTACACACAAAGGGGGTGGATGAAAAGGGATGGCATGTTACTTGGTCTGGTGCTAAATGTAAATGAAAATAGGTCCTAAAAAAACCTATTGCTTTGGTGCTATAGCCTATCAGGCGCCTTGGATACCTGTCCCAATTCTTTCACTCTTTTTCTCTTTCAAGTCAATGTTGCTAACAAAGGAGATGAGGAACGACTCGGTTAGAAATAACTTTGAGAACTTCTTCATCCTGATCATTTTTCCACAAATCAAATTTCTTTTATAATCTCTAAATTTCTATTTCTACTTTTTGTGGATTACTAATAGATATCTATTTTTCTTTTAGTTATATATATATTTGTTGATTTATTATTTGATTGTTTAAAAATCAACAAAATCAGGATAACTAGTATCAATGTTTAAAGGGGTTGGGGAAGTTACAGGTGATGGTGGAGGTAGTTTGTTGGCATCCATCAACTCATCAAACCATGAAGAAGATGATGGACTAGTTGGTTGTGATGGAAAGGCAAATGATGGTTTTTGATCGGTATTTGGATCCATTTCAATTTCATCATCTACCAATCTAATTTGTTGTTGCTGAGTTGTCATATTTGTAGTCGTCATATTTGTAGTCGTCATATTTGTAGTTGTAGTAGTAGAAGTAGTAGAAGAGGTAGAGGAAGAGGAATGATTCATTTTTGATTGTTCTTTATCATCCTCTTCTTCATTATTATTATTATTATTATTATCAAGACTATTATCATTTTTATCAGTTTGATGAATTGTTTGTTCTTGTTGAGGAAGTATAGTTGGAGAAGTAATTTTAACTTGATCAAATAGTTTGGAAGCATTGGCAAGTAATTCATTGATTTGCCAAACACAAATTAAACTAAGAGATGTTTGGAAAGTTACCAAAAAGTAACCTTGTACTCTACTACTTTGTTGTTCATCCAAATAATCTTGAATAAACATGGATTCACTATACATTGTTGGTATTTTAGATTTAATAATTACAAATGTAAATAATGGTAATAAATCATCAGCTCCCCTAAAAAAAAATAAAAAGTATTATTATTATTAGTATTATTCTATTATTTTGTTTTCTATTTCTTCTTCTTACAAGACTAAATTTGAAGGTTTAAAATGATCTCTTTCACTCCAAAAAGATTGAATAGATTGACAAATTTGATCAGAAGTATCTACAAGGCATTGAATCTTTTCAGATGGTGAGACTAGGGATGTTAGCTTTTTAAGAGTATCGATTGCCGATGAATAGGGAACCACTTGTTTTTCGATGGTTGTTTCGTCAATCAACCAAAACTTTTGAGGAATGGACAAGTGGATGGGTGTAAGTGTAAGGAATTGTTCTTGTTTGCTTTGATGATTCAAATCATCGGCTTGGTATCGCAGTTTGTACAATGCAAATAGGAATGGATAGATTTGAATAAATACAGCCTTTTCAACTCCAAGTCTACAATACATTGCTCTATCCTCTGTCTTGTTCATATCTGGTACTTTTTGCAATACCAAATCTGTAAAATCCAAAATCAAATCAATCACTAATTTTTTAATATGCGCAAGTTCCTCGTCCAACATTGCATTTATAAAGGAAGATGATGTTGATTTATCTTTTGTCTTTTCAGTGACACGTGCAATTTCCTTGTGAATAGTATATATATTTTGATCAAATACTTCTCCAATATCAAATTCCTTTTGACTCAATATAAATGCTATATTTTTAATTACAAAATCTTTCTTGTCTGCATTTTGTAAAATTGTTTTAAATGTTTTTCTTTGTGATTTCTAGAGAAAAAAATAAAAGAAGAAAGGGAATAAGTAAAAAGTAATGGGTGGTATATATATATATATATAGATTTGAATATTTTGTTTTGGTTATACATTACAAATAATTCATCAAAAAATGAAGATGAAGATGAATTTCTTCTAATTGGTGAACTATTTAAACTATTATTATTATTATTAATAGTATTACCTCCTCTTGGTGATTCAAGTTGAGGTGAATATGAAGGTTGTTGTTGTGAGTTTTGTTGTTTTTCCAATTCTTCTTTTTTCTTTTTTTCATAATATTGTAATTGTTGAATTTGTCCTTCTCTATCTTCTTCATTACTATAGTAAATAAAAAATAGAAATTAGTAAATTTGATTGATTGATTGTTTTGTTTTTTTTTTCTCTCTTACAATAAGATAATATTTGGTTTTGATTCAGGTTGACTAATTTCAAGGATTTGATTAATCATTTCACTTTCAGTGTCTGGATTAAAATCTTGAGTATGATGACCTAGGGCTACGATCCACATGATTGCATTTTTTGGATCATCTGACCATATGAAATGAGAGATTGAATTGTTTTGACTTTTCAATCTCAATCCATATCTAAAACAACTGTCCGATCCATCTAATAGACGAATATCGATATTGGCAATAAGAGTCTTTAGGTCAATGACATCGGTCGCTTCAGTATCCTTTGATAGATGGTTAAACAATAGATGGTCACGTAAAATAAACCATCGCAGATCGTCATCTGTTCCTTTTTGTTTTCCCATAATCACTACATTGTAATAGAGTAGTCCTTCTTTGGTAATTTTGTTGTTATCATTTATCTTTTTGTGATTATTCATTGATTCTTGATAGGCTGGTGGTGGTGATGTTGGAGATATTGGAAATTGTTTTTGAAAATCAATATCATTACTATACTTTTGATAGTTTTGATAGATTTGTTGATGTCTTTCAGTTGATGATCTTAGAGATGATGACATTGATGAATTTGAACTTGATGAAATTGTTGGTGATGTAATAGAAGAGGAGGAGGAACGATGGCGAGGAGGAGGTGGAGGAGGAGAATCAGTTTCACTACCACTATAATCCTTGTCATCATCAATATCCAACTTTTCAATATATTGTTTAATCATTTCAATGTATGGTTTGACTCCATTATTTAAACTATTTCCAATTCCACCACCATTCTGTCCATTATTGTTTGTAGTACCATAATTATAAACTGGTGATGATTGTCTTGACAATGATCCATTATTATTATTATTATTATTATTATTATTATTATTATTATTTCTCTTTCTCGTTGGTGTATATTTTGGTGGAGGTGTTGGTTGATTATTATTGTTATTATTATTATTAGTATTTGTATTGGTTGGTGTATATTTTGGTGGAGGTGCTGGTTGAGATTGATTATTTGTTTGTTGTTGTTGTTGTTGTTGGTATTGATAAATAAATGGTGCAGATGGAGTATTAACAGGTGGTTGAGGTTGTTGTTGTTGCTGAGAGTATTGATTTTGATATTGTTGATAATAGTTTTGATGAGGATAACTGTATTGTAAAAAGTTCATTGTATTCGAACTAAGTACTTGTTGTTGAGGTGGAAAGTAATACCCTCCTGCTACATGTTGTTGTTGAGGTTGTTGGGGTTGTTGTGGTGGATGTAGTTGGTATGGTGGAGGAGGTTGTTGTTGTTGTTGTTGGGGTTGATGTTGTTGTTGCTCCTGATAATAGTTTGGTACCAATGAAGATAAATATTGATTATTATTATTGTTATTATTATTATTACTCATTGTTTTGATATTTATTTATTTCATAGGGATAGGGATATATAGAATACAATATATAAATATACAAATAAATAAGACGATGATTTGTTTGCTGACCCGAGAGTAGGAGTAGTAATTTGTGTTGCTGAATAGTGTGTTTGTGTTATTTTAATAAATGAATCAAATCAATCAATTTTGGTGATTGATTAGATGACTATTACTACTATTTAACTTTTCTATCTGTCTCTCTCTCTCTTTTTTTAAACAAATAAGATAAAAGAAGAATGAACGAAATTTATATTAAAAAAATAATAAAGAAAGAAATGAAAAAATCGGCCAAATAAAGATTAAAATAGGTTTAATAGAAGGTGAGATGAGAGCCAGTTGGCTTATAAGCCACCCAATCACACACACGACAATGATCACAGACCTCAGAGAGAGAGAGTTTAATTGTGTGTATAAACAAACAATGATCGTCGATCAGTCGGTCGGGTACAACAATGTATTAAAAATACCAGAAGAATCTCGGATTGCTAGGAATCGATTAACTAATGTTTCCTTGTCATTTCATTTGCAATTTGTTGTAAACATGACAAGGATATCTTTGTCATAGCTGATATAATTTGATAAATTAAAGTAAAGTATATTTGATTGTACATTTGTGTAGATATATGAATCGTTTAAAAAAACACAAAAGAAGAAAGAAATATCGTCATTCCTCTTTTTGTTTGTCTATATAGTTATTGCTGTTGTTGTTGTTGTTGTTAATGCTGCTTGATTATGTTATTATTCGAAATCTTTTATCTCTTTTAATGATGTCCACCATCATGATTATTGTTATTTTTTGGTGCAATGTGATGACCATGTCCATGATCCCATGGGAACTCTAAACCCTATTGTTGTAAAGAGGAGAATATACAATGTGTTTGATGATATACATATTGTTATTTCATTAGTATACTATATACTATATACTATATATATAATATCGCAATCAGATGAGAGATGAATGAATAAAACATACCAAGAATGATCTCCAATCTTGCTTGGCTCTGTAGAATACCCAGAACCACATGGTGGTTCCTAAAGCAACTGAAATGTATTTGTGATGCTTAGCTACGTGGAATGGTTGATGTCCTCCTCCCATTTCTTTTCTATACTATCTATCTAATCTGTCTGTATACTATCAGAAAGTAGTAATATTGCTGAAGCAATGATCTACAGGTCTGGCCATAGAAAAAATTCAAAAAAAATTCGAAAATAATTAATAATTATTTTCTCAGCTCAGCGATAAAACGAATAGTTTGACGACGATAAGATAGATACTTTATCGTTCAAGAGTTTACAGATAGATAATATAAAGAAGAAGAATGGGTAAACCAAAGAGTGCATTAAGAGTAGATAAATCAAAGTTGGATGAACAAGTACACGAGTTAAAGAATCATCCTTCATTGATAAAAGATGATCAAGAAGAGGAAGATGATGATATGAAAATGAATGGAATCGATGAAGACAATGAAAATGAAAATAATGATGGCAGCGATGAAGAAATTCAAGAAAAGAAATTATCTCATAAAGAAAGGTTAGTATAGAGACATGTGATCGAGGGTGATTAGATTGATCAATCTAATCTCACTCTCAGCTGTATATATTTGGTTTGGTATTAACTCTTTCTTTTGTTTTTTCCTTCCTTTCTTTAGAGCACAATTAAGAAAAGAAATGAAACAAGAAGTAAAAGAATTAAAAGTACAAAAATTAAAGTTAAAAAAGACAAATCTTGCACAAAAGGAAAAAAAGAAATTAATCTCCAAGAAAATTAAAGAAATGAAGAAAAATGTCAAGATTAACTCTAAAAAATAATCAACCAATATGGAAATATTAATAGTATATTATAAATTTCTTTTGTAAATATTTATCTTTGGACCATTTTCCACTACTCAAAATATATAATGTATTTCTAAAGGTTGGAAAAAAGTAATCATCTTGGTTTTTTAATTATTCCAAACCAATAAAAAAACCTTGACTTTAAATAAGTTAAAATTCCAAAAAAAAAAAGGTTGAATTCTTGATAGAATTATACTTCTCTGGCTCATATCCCAAAAATTACACTTTGTTTTATGGATAGATAAAGTAATTGGTTGTTTTTGTATGAGAAAAGTGTGATTGTTTTAATATGATTAACCAATCATCCTTAATTATCCTCTTTTGACAATTATTTCTTGGCTTCATTTCATTTATGTGTCAACAACTTCACCAATTTATTTAATTAAAGTGAGTTGGTTATAAAAAGTATTTGTCATCAAGCTAATATTGTTTTTACTTTTCATTTTCTATTCAAACTGATTGGAAAGAAATTTTCCCTACAAAAGGGGAAAATCGAAAATGGGTGCATCCTCCGATTTTAGCTCAGTGGTAGAGCAGCTGACTGTAGTTTGTAAAAAGGTTTTAGCTCAGTGGAAGAACAGCTGTAGAACAAATGGTTATTTTTGATATTAAAAAAGGGGCAAAAAATTTTCCCCTACAAAAGGGGAAAATCGTAAATGAGTGCATCCTCCGATTTTAGCTCAGTGGTAGAGCAGCTGACTGTAGTTTGTACAAAAAGTCATCAGCTGGTCGCTAGTTCAATCCTGGCAAATCGGATATCATTTATTGATTTTTTTGCTGCGGCTTGCCGATAAGGTGTTTTTTGACATGCCATTAGATTCTATGACCAATTCCCTATCGTTTGAGACATGTTTCATGAAAAACGATCAAAACCACATATAAAAAAAAAACAAACAATTGGCATGCTTCCAGCTAGTTGGAAAATTGTACACTTCCATCTGCTAGGTCACCCAAAGGTGTACCCTGTGTCAGTGGTGGGCTGGATTAGACAAAGAGAATGAACAAGAGACTAGTTCTACTTAATTAATTAATAATTGAACCATGGATTTAAATCCTGAAAAAAAACCCCTGAGAAAAAAAAAGGGCCTGTATAGATAAATACTTTTAGGGTTCACCAAGTAGAGATAAATTAAGTTATTTATAAAATATTTACCTTTACTGTGAATTTCAGATAGATTTTCTAAAAATTGGATCTTTTAGGATTTTTAAAAACAATGAAAAATATTAATATTTTTTTTAAATTTTTGTTTGTCCAATTTTTTTTACTCTTGTGGTGTTTTTAACAAAAAAGATAATAATAATAATCGTAAAGTTTATCGGGCAATCTCAACTAGAGATACAAACAACAGTCATCACTCTTCTTATCAAATAGAAATAGAAAACAGCAGACATCAATCAAAAATGCAATCGATATCTTCAAGGTAACACATTCAAACAACAGAAAAAAGCGTGCTAGTAGGAGGGTGTGTGTTTTTGAACAAAAAAAGCAAACAATAAGAGATATTAGTACAATAATAATATACACCTCCTCTACTATTACTACTACAAGATATATAATGAGTCTTAGAATACGTAAATTTACATTTCTTTCAACTTCTCCTCCTCCTCCTACAACTATCAATGACCCATTGTCATCTTCTACGACTTCTAGTGATATTACATTAAAAGCATTGGTTATAGGTGATGCATGTGTAGGCAAATCATCATTAATTTGGAGATTAACTGTAACTACACAAATACACACAAATGACTCAATCAAAAGAGAGAGATAGACAACTAACATTTAATACTTTTATCTATATAGGAGAATATATTCCCAAATAATGAACAAGCTAATCTTACTTTACAAAATTCAGTTGTATGTTTAATAATATCTATCTATTCCTTTTTGATCGCTTTACTTATACTTCTTCTTCTTCTTCTTTTAAAGAAATCAAAAGCTATTCAATTTGGAAAGAAACAGATATTAGTCAAGTTTGTATGTATAGAGAGAGAGAGAGAGAGAGAGAGAGAGAGAGAGAGAGAGAAAAGGGGAAAAGGAATTTAAATTACAATGTGTATATTGATTCTCTTTCTTTTTTTTTCTATTTTATTTTCTATTTTCTCTAGACTGATACAGCAGGACAAGAAAGATTTAGAACATTATCAAGAACATTATATTCAAATACTGATATTGTTATATTGACATATGATCCAACTACACAAAGTTCATTTGAGAATCTATCTTGTTGGTGGAAAGAAGTGGAGAGATATTTATTGGGTGTACCAATGGGAAGCAGTGCCACTGCATCGACCATTCAGCAATCCAAAGTATTTATAGCATTGGCAGTGACAAAGTGCGATCTTTCACAACAACATGTTGTCAACCAAGCAGCTGCACAAGAGTTTGCAAATCAAAGGGGAATTCCAATCATAGAGACTAGTTCACTTGCCAACACTGGCATTGAAACCCTTTTACAAACTGTGGTTCGTGGTGCAGGTGAAAAGATCTATCAAACTGAAAACTGGTCAAAATTAAAGATAAAGGGTACTGATAATAGTAGTACTCCAAATGGAAGTGGTGGGCGTGGTCAAAGATCACCTACAATGTCTCCAACTTCTTCCTCTTCTTCTTCATCTCCAACTACAAATAATATTAATAATCAAAATCAAAATAATAATGGAAATAATACTAACACTAATAATAATAATAATAATAATAATAATAATACAACAAATAATAATAATAATACTAATAATACCACAAATGCAAATAGTAATACTGAAAAAAAGCAATCATTTTGTACAATATTATAATTTTTTTTTTAAAATAATTCCTTGCCAATAATAACAAAAAATAAATAAATATTTAATTAAACAATTACAAATGATTTAATTTATTATGATTTAAATTGATAAAAGAAATTGATCAATAAAAGTTAAACATTTCCAACAATCTGTTTTAATGGTTACAATGGTTGCATCTTTTGAAATTTCAAACAATAATAATAAATGGAATTGAGGTGGTAAAAACATCATCAATTTAATTCTATTGATAATCTTTTTCTTTTCAATTCCACTATTTTGACCATTGTTATTATTATTATTTCCAATTTCTTCCATTTCTTCCATTTCCTCTATTTCTTCTTCCATTTCATCTTTATCAATAATAATATATTTACTTTGATTTAATTGAATTGATTTTTCAATTATATCTGATTTTATATTCATATTTTTAACTGATATTAATGATGTTGAATTATTCCTAAAAAATAAATAAATATTAATATCCTTTTTTTTAGATTTAGGTTTAAATTTCTTACAAATTTTTAGAATCTTGATCAAATAATTTCCAAAATTTTTTAAATAATTTTGATTTGAATTGCATTGAATCAATTTGAGGAGATGTAATTGGAATGGGGATTTCCATAAATAAATGATGGAATTGAATTGAAATTTGAGAACCACTTGATTTACAAGTTCTTCCTTCATCGTCGTTGAAAACCATTTTAACATTAAAGGTTGATGGGATTGGATATTTTGGTGAAAAGGTAATATCAATATCAAAACTATAAGGGAATTCCAATTCATCTTCTTTACTAGAGTAGCAAAGATAAGGGATACGAATAGGGTTGATTGGTGAATACATTGTAACTGGAACATTTGTACTACTTGCTAGTTTGCCGCCCATCATCAACATGGATGAACTCAATGGTGTAGTAGTGTTGGGAGAGATTGATCCTGGAGACATTGAAATCATTGGTGGTGATTGATTTTGGTTGTTTGGTGACAGAGTTGATGCCCATGCCAATGATGTATCTCTAAAACGAATCAAAAGAGCATAAATCTTGGTTGGAACATTGGCAGGCAATTGATTCATATATCTGATACGATAGGGAATAGTAATTCTTGGACAAAGTCTATCATGTTCTGCCAACATTTGTTGATATTGACTTGATGCCTTTTCAAAATCATCTACCATTCCAGATCCATGAATCACTGGTGTTACATCACCAATATTAAAATGATGTATAATTGGTTTAGTTATTTGTGAAATCGATACAAAATTTGGATGTGATTTGATAACTTTTGATAATGTTGTTGATGATATTATAACTAAAAATAAAATAGAAAAAATAATAAATAAATAAAAAATTCTTTTTGTTTGTTTTTTTAATTTCTTTTTTACCATTTTGATGATTTGATTGATTTCCTTGAGAAATTAATAAAGTTTTAATTTTATCATCAGGTAGATGAGTTAATAATCTATCATAGAAACTTGCACGATCACGAATTTCAACATTTGAAAAATAATTTGCCAACGTACAAAGAATTAAACGGAGTGGTTTAAATAGAGGTTGGGAGTTGTGTGTTATCAAGGTACGTCTACAAATTGAAATAATCATATTCCCAATGGTCCAATTACCTTGTCCACAAATTGATTTTCTTCTTACCAAATCACATATTTTGTTTAGTACCAGAGTTGGATTAATTTGATCTTCCAATACAATTCTTTCTACCAATGGTAAATAATGTAAAAATTTCAATGACCCAAGTGAAACGATTACCCTAGACAATGACAAGAATAAATGAATCTTTGTTTTCTTGTCTGGTATTCCATTCATTAATGATATTATACTATTTAAAAATTGTGGATAATTTAATAATAATTCTGAAAGGAAACTTTTAAATAAAAAAAATGTTAGAGAGAGAGAAAATGATGATGTACATATTGGTCTATATATATTTTTACATACGATTCAATATTTTTAAAAATAATTGAAAAAGATGAAAATGATTCCAAATAGAGTAATAAAATTGAAAATACAATCTTTGTTGGTTGTGAATGTTCATTTAAATGATATCTAAATTCATCCAAACATATTAAAGATTTCATTAAATCACTAATAAAAATTAAAAAAAAGTTAATATAAATATTTTTTTAGTGATTTGTTATTACTTTGTACATACTTTGGAGGAATTGATTTGTTTGTAATATTTTTATTATTATCCAAAATACATTTACACATTGCATATAATTTAACTTCTTTTAATGTTATTGTATCAAATGAAGTTGGATAGAATTGATTATAAAACCTAATAATTGACATTGGTTTTATATCTACTTTTAATTTATTTGGTATTGAAAGTAACCAATCAATTGCTAAAATTCTATGTTCTAATGGTCTAAAATAGAAATATAAAATATAAAATATTAATAAAAAACTATTCTCTTTTTCTCTATTTCTATATTTTTTTACATACAAAGAAACATCATTCATCATAAAAATTAATCTATTAAAGAACATATCAAATTCATCCATTGTATAGACATCTGGGAATTTTAGGGCAAGGTAAAGTAAGAGATGGAATTGTTGAGGATTTCTAGTAAAGAATAATTTGTAGAGATGAGGATGACGAAATACTGTATGGGGGATGGATGCAATGTCAATGAGTGGAACGAGTTGGAGAATGATTGAAATTAAACCAAAAGAGTTTAGCTGAGGTGATTGATCTACTACGACACTGATACATTTTAAAAGTTCTTTTCCAACAGACTCTGATAGTCTAATCGATTGTTGTGAAAGAGTTGCCAACAAAGTTACAATTGGTGCATATTTGATGTTTTGTGGAATTGTAAATACTGCTGATCGTTGCAATGATAGATCATTTTGAAAGATTGATGGTAATTGTAAATTGGCACTTGATGGTATACGTGATAATGATCTTCTATAATTTAATGAACTTTGATTTGATGGAGTAGGAGGAGGTGACATTAAATTATTTGGTGTAGGTGATTTAAATGATTGTGATGTATTATTTTGATTATTTTGATTATTTTGATTATTATTATTATTCTGTTGTTGTTGTTGTTGATGATGTTGTTGAACCAATTCTTCATGTTCACAAATGACAGCATTTTGAAGAACGGTAGTGAATAATTGAGTATATTGTTGAATGAGATGAGTATTTTCAAGTTGTACATAGGATAGCAATGAAGGGATAAATGCCGACAATAGACATGGATAGGTTAATTCCAATTCCAATAAACAAAGACATGCAGATCCTCTTAATAGACGATCACTACTATTATTTGTTTTAGAGACAATGTCAAGTAAAAGGTCGGTAAATGTCTCTACAAGACGTGGATGTGTCTTGATGATAGACTCGCAAATGAGAATAGTGGTCATGGTAGTGAGAACCTGAGTCTTTACAGGGTAACTGTCAACCTGAGAGTTTATAAGTGACTGCAATATACTAAAAACCTTTTCAAATCGTTTGATATCCTCTTCCAATAAAAGTGTACAATTTTCAGAGAGAAACAATAGTAGATTGATACGGAGAATGTCGTCTCTTTCCGACTTTAAAGTCTTTAACAATCCCTCTACAATTGTTGTAGATGTAATCGATAGTACATTGTTTTCACTTAGTATCGTTGTTGGTTGTGGTAAAGATGATGCTGATGCTCCTGATGATGCAGATTGTTGTAATGAACTTGATGAAATGGGGGAAACATTTTGTGATGATTGATCTTGTGATGATGGAGTTTGAGGTTGAGGTTGAGTTTGTTGAGTTTGTTGTTGCTGTTGTTGCTGTTGTTGTTGATCTTCGTTTTCTTGTTGTTGACCTTGCTGCTGCTGCTGCTGTTGTTGTTGATCTTGTATAGAGGCAGATGATGATGCTAAAGATGATGCAGATGAAGGTTGTTGCATCACCTTGTTTGATAGTATAATCGGTTTGTTGACTCTCCATCCTTGAATAATAGTATACCATTCTCCAGGAGTCCAACTTGGATTATTTGAATCCATCCCTTATTCTCTCTCTCTATCCCTTATACTAGTATAACTAATATAGATAGATAGATAGATAAATATGAACTATGTAGGAAGTGCAGCTGATGAAATATCTCTTGAATTTTAGTAACAAAAAAAGATGGTAGGAGCTCATCGATTTTTTAATGAAAGAATCTTTAAGTCAACATTCAGATCAAGTCGTCGCTGACTTTAGACAAATATATATTTATAAAAGGTGTAGTAGATAGGTTTTTTGAAAGAATAAACTATTATTCTAAATCCTCAATATAGGAGGGTTATTAAATAATAATAAAAATAATTTAAAAAATTAAAAAAAAACAAATTTTTTGTTTCTCTCTCCGAACATCACCTGACCCTTGAAACGTGATCATCATCATTGTAAAAAATTAAATTAGTGTTAATAGAAATAATAATAATACAAAATGGTAATAATCATATGATTCAAATCAAAACAAGTGACATATGTATAAACTAACAAAAGATGATTTAATTTACTTACTATACGACTTTAGGGTGTAGAAATTCTCATCAAGAAGATTGGTAGTGGTGTTAAGCCACCAGTTGGAAGCAGTGTCAACGTTCACTATGTCGGTCGTTTGTAAGTTTTAAAATATACAACAGGTACTTAAGAAGTTCATTGTTACTTATATATATATCTGTTTTTCATTCATAATATTATTAGAACCAATGGTACCGTTTTTGATTCATCAAGAAAGAGAGGTGCTCCATTCAGCTTCAAGTTGGGTGCCGGTCAAGTTATCAAGGGTTGGGATGAAGGTGTTGCCCAGATGTCAAAGGGTGAAACCTCTGAATTGACCATCTCCCCAGATTGTATGTTAAACACTATACCTATCTTATCATCGTCGGATCACTAACATTTATTTTTATTATTTATTATTATTATTATAGATGGATATGGTGCTCGTGGTGCCGGTAATGTCATCCCACCAAATGCCACTTTGATCTTTGAAGTTGAACTCATTGACTGGAAATAAATAAATAAATAAAGTAAAACTCGATGAAATTTAATAACAATATTGAATATTAATAAATAATAATTATTAATCATTAACTCTGGTTCTAGAAGAACAAACATATAAAAAAAAAAAAAGAAAAGAAAAGAAAACTCCTACTTTATTGCTTTAAAAGGAAGGAGAGAGAAAAACAAATATTTAAATTAAATTTAATTTTTACAAAGGTGAACTTCTGCTTCTTCTTCTATTCTTAAAGTGCGTGTGTGAATCACAACCTAATCACTCTGAATTTAGTTTTGATTTAATATATATAATATAAATTGTGTGCATATAAAAATAGAAAGAGAGAGAAAGAAATAGAAAGAGAAAAAGGAAATAGAATATCATTTTAAATTGTGTAGAAAAAGAGATAGATAGATATAAAATGGTAAATATCATTAAAAAGTATAAGAATATTATGAATATTAATCAATTGATTTGTACTTGTCTATCTATCGATAGATCATTGCAGTTAGAACTCCATCAGGAACAAGTAAATTAGACCTCAATGATACATCAATCATCAAGGATGTATTATCAAAGGTTTGTAGATTTATATATATTGAAAAGAATAATAATACTAAACAAACCTTAACTATAACAAAAACAAACATTTCATTTAGTTAAAAGCATTAAATGTAAATATAGAAGGAGCATTTTTAGCATCATCACCAAGAGGTCAACCATTCAAGATTGAATCATCATTACAAAATGCAGGAATTAGGTATGCTATATATATATATATATATATAAATATATTCATTTAAAAAAAAGACACATCTTTATTCATTATTAACATTTACCTTTTAGAACTGGAGATTTAATTTATTTATTGGCAGGAGAATCACCAACAGAGACTAGAAGAAAACAAGAAGAAGCTAAAAAAGAAGAGGAAGAAGAGAATAAAGGACCATTAACATCATCGTGTAAACATGCGGCAACTGATCGTTGTGTATTTTGTTCAGATGCAAAAGGAGAACAGAAATGTGTTCACCCAGAGAATGCAACCTGTGTCAACTGTCAAGACAAGAAGTTTTCTGGAAAGAAATTAAAATGGCTGTGTAACCATCCAAAGGGATCGAAATGTAGTAACTGTCTTCGTGTTGGAAAGACTGTAGCCCATAAATGTAATCATGGACCTCAAGCAGTTTGTGTCAATTGTATGGGTAAAAAGGATGAAACCTCTACAAACTCTTCACCATCTTCAACTCCTGGTACTTCTTCACCAAAAATTGATCCAAACAATAATAATAACAATAATAATGAAACATCAAAATCAACATTTGCAAATAGAACAAAAGAAGAATCTGTATGTAACATCAAAATAATATATATATATATATTTATAACTCTAACTTTTTTTTATTTTTTTTTATTTAGAAATTAAGATGTTTACATGGACCAAATGCAAAATGTACAAATTGTTTACCAAAGGATGATCCAAATGCAACTGAACCACCAAAGAGAAGATGTAAGAATCATGGACCAAATGGATCATGTATCGATTGTATAGAATGGAGAGAGGGATTAAAGATGAAGTTAAAGGCACAGGATATTGCTCATGCTCCAGGTGTTGCCATCAACTTTGAGTCGGCAAATGTTTTCCAACAATATATTAGCAACAAAAAGTTTGAAGAACAACGATGTGGATTCCTCTATGGCAACTATCTCGACGATGGTAGTGTCGTGGTTGAATGCATCTATGAACCACCTCAAAAGGGAAACAAGACCAACTTTACCTTGTTGGAAGACAAGTTTATCGACAAGGTCGAATCAATGGCTTCCATGCTTGGTCTCACTCGTGTTGGTTGGATCTTTTCCCATCCCTCTAGAAAATATATCATGTCTTCAACTGATATCATTCAAGCTGCTTCTTTCCAAAACAAGTATGGTAAATCTTTTGTAACTTTAATTTTAACAAGTAAGTAAAAAAAGAAATAGAAATAGAAATTATAATTTATATTAACCTTTTTTTTCTAATATTTTAGTAAATAGTGAAGGTAAAAGTAATTTGGAAGCTTTCCAAGTTTCAGATCAAGCATTAAAACTTGAAAAGACTGGAGAATTTTTAGCAAATCAAGAAGATCCTACCAAATGTAAATTAAAGTCACCTGTATTTGTAGAAGGTTCTGAAACTAATTTGGCTGATATCAATTTCTTTATTGCAAATGTAATAAAAAAGAAAAAAAAAAAAGAGTAAAAAGAAAAAAAAGAGTACTAATATTTATTTTTATTTTTTTACTTTAGGTACCTGTTAAAGCAAGAGAAGATAAACCATTTTTACATACAACCTTTCCTGTTAATAATAGAATTCCAGAAACTAGTAACTCTGATCTTGTATCTTACAAAATCGATAATCAAGATCAGTCAAAATTATATTTCTTTTCAGATTTCCACTTTTTAATATTTTTACTTATAAATAATATTTTTGATTTAAAGGTAAGAAAAAGAAAAAGAAAAAAGAAGAAGAATAAGAAGAGTTTAATCAATAGGTATGGTTTATTAATCATTTCTTTTTTCTTTTTTTTTTTCTATTTAGACTGATTTCCCACCAATTTGCGAAAATATTAAATCAAAGACAACAACTCATTTGGCAAGTTACTATGATCTAATTGATGCCATTGTTAGTCAATTTATTGGTTATGATCATTAAAAATATCAAATTATAAAAACAAGCAAACCAGAAATATATTATAAGTAACAGAGTAAAAATAAAAGAAATAAATAAATATCCCAACAAAATTATAAATCTGATTTTTTCAACCAAAATTTTGTTTGTTTGTATGTTCATTGTTGTTGTTGTTTACACAAAAAAGAGTAGTAATATTACAAAGGAAGACAATAAACTTCTTCTTCTTATTCTTTTCTTCTTTTCTTCTTTCTTTATATTTATATCTAAGAATGTCATTAGTTTCTGATCATGATGTAATGGATAAAGAGTTACTTGTTAAATATAAACAAGTAGCTAAATCTAAAATTCAAAAGTTCTTTATCACTACTAAACTTGTAATTGGGTAACAAATATATATAAATACAAAGATTTATCAATCTCTTTTTCTTATATACTTTTTTAGAAATATATTATTTTATTTAGAATGTTGGTCAATTGCAATTAGATCAATATTGTATTACTTTTTTGTTGGTACAAAATCAAATCGTATCATTAAAGATATCAAATACTCTGCTAAACGACCTAGAAATGTTTGTGATGTCTATCTACCAAAAAAGAGTGAGACATCGGTGACAACAAAGATTAGACCATGTTTGGTGTTTGTACATGGTGGATCTTGGGGATATGGAGACAAGATTCAATATATTCTACTTGGAAAACAATTGTCAGATAGAGGTATCATTGTAGTAGTGTGTAACTATACCCTCTATCCAAAAGGAACAGTCACAGAGATGGTAGATGATGTTGAACAACTACTAGTCCATGTAAAGAATCATGTACACGAGTATGGAGGAACACCAGACAATATTCATTTGGCAGGTCATAGTGCTGGTGCTCATATCACTGCCCTATACGTTTGTACACGTCTCATCGAACATCCATCTTCCACTGCCGTACCATCTGCCCCATCTATTCGATCATTTATTGGTATGGGTGGTGTTTATGATATTTCTGATCATTTTATTCATGAAAGTAAAAGAGGTAAATAGAAAGAGACATAAATAGACAAAGAAAAAAAAGAGATAGATATCTAACTTTTTTCTTTTCTTTTTTTTATTTTAGGACTTGAACATGTATCACCAATGAGACCAGCATGTAAAGGACCATCAAAATTTAAACAATATTCACCATGTCATTTACTAGAGTTACACGAAGAAAAATCATTGACACTACCTTGTAATATTTTCTTGTTGCATGGCGAACTTGATAAGACGGTCCCAATAAGCTCTGCCGAGAAATTTGAATATATAATTTCAACGCGATTCAAAAGTAATAACACTAGAAAAGACAGTCCATATAGATATATATTCAATCGTTATCCAAATGTTGGACATATCGACTTGGTATTTGGAATTTATGATGACAATGCTCCAATCAATGTTGATGGTATCGATTATAATACAAGTACTTCTCCTGATATGAAATCTACAAAGAAATCAGTCCTTCAAGATATCATTAGATTAATTGATCGTAGGACATAAAAAAAAGAAAAAAAAAAAAGAAAGAAATATTAATAAATTAAAATGAATCAAATCAAATAATGAAATAATTATTGGATCCTTCTTTTTTCCTTTTTTGGTTTGAAAAGATCCCTATATACTATAAAAAATTAAAAGGGAGCTCCATTTTTGAACAATAGATAGATTAATATTTGTATTCTTTCAAATTTGGTGAGTTAAAACGTTACCCAATCAAATTGACAATTTGAATATTAATTTTGATCATACTAGTATATAATACAATCAGATAGATAGGTAGAATTGGATTTTTTTTTAAATTTAACACTTAATTCCATTTACTAATTCCCCCACTGTCGTTAACATGTATATCATCTTTTTTTTACGTTTATAATTTTCTCCAATAGATTAAAGATATAGTAGATGTAAAATTGTCGTATTATACATGAAAAATATTTACAAAGAAAGAACAACGGACTGTACAGTTGACTGGTATTGGAAAAAATTAAAAGAAAAATGATTGTTTATTAAACAAATTTTTGCCGGCATATTATTTTGTCTATATATGGTCATACAAGAGAGCATATATAAAAAATACTTTGGATCGGATGGGGTGGTCGGTTACCAACAACATTAAACAAAAAGTCATGACAAAATATTAAGAGTAGGAAGAATACAAACCTTCCTTTAATTAGAGAATGATTAAATTCCATTCCAATCTTATCTGATCCCAACATATCATATGGTGTGATAAGAGGATTTTAAACTAATAGCACAATAAATATCCCCCCCCCCCCCGACCCCTACTACTTTTACTATTAGAGTGGGTATTTAATATACTTTTTTCACTCTCTAAAGAATCACCATGAATATCACATTGTCATTTTGGAAACATATAAATAAACAAATTAACGAATTGATTTTTAATATTCATTACCAAAATTAATTAATTTACAATTATATTTATTTATTTATTTAATCATTTTTAAAAAAATGAGATTATTATTATCAATTTTATTTATTATTATTTCATTCAATGCTATTGCATTTGGCCAAAACATTTTATCTGTATCGCAAACTGCCAAAAATTCATGGACAGATGACCAAGGAACCTACACTGTTTGGGATGTTGTTTTAAAAAATAATTGTGATCAAACAATCTACGGGGCTACACTTGTGGCCGAAAAGAACTCACTTGGTCTTCGTCGTGATCAAGATATTTGGGAACTTGATCATCAATATGATAATGTCTATTCTCTTCCAAGTGCTGTTGGTGATTATGGTATCAAAGTTAGAGAATCTCATTCTTTTGGGTAAATATTTAAAAAAAAAAACAAACAAAAGAAAGAAAGATAAAAAATATATTAACTCTTTTTTTTTTAATTTATTTAGATATATTAATAAAGGAACAAAACCAGCAATTTTTAATATTGCTGATATTGCCTTTACTTCAAAATCAAAAGGATATTAAACTCTATAGTACTAAACTAAATATATATATTATAGTTTAAAATGTAATTGTATTATTTGTCTATTTATCTATAAAAAATAAATCTTTATATATTTTATTATTTTATTATTTTTCAAGACTAAAAAAACTATTACTCCAAATAGTAGTTTTATCCTTTTTAGAATAAAAACCAGCAACCAAATTATAATTTCTATATTCAATTGGAACTGAAAGGAAACCAGAAACCTTTTTCTTTAGAGTTGGGGTGAGACGAGTGCTATCAGACTCTGTTACATAGCTAACGATCTCTTGTGTTCTGGGATCTTGGAAAGCAATTGAAAAGTTGTTTGACTTTCCCCATTTGATACGGTTACAGTAAAAGATATAAGTGTCGGCATCTTGAGTGACAAAGTTGCTTGGTAGCTTGTCGGCAGTGATCTTTTCGACTTGAGTAATGTCGGGTGGCAACATGTTCTTGGTGTTGGCCAAGTAGGTGATATCTTCGGATACAATGTGGCAGTTGGGGATGGGGACGAGGAAGCTGCCCTTTTTGTCATAGGCTACAAAGTGCAACTTGAACTTTTGGACATTGGCAGTACCTTGAGTGGCACGGCTACGACTACGCAGTGCCTTGGTCACCTTGATACCCTTGATGCAAGCAATACCGTCATCGTCAACATTGGAGGTTTGGTTTTCAATGTTGTAGGTCTCGCTCGACTCGTGGTCACACGATGCAATCACAATGATGTGTTGGCGTTTGATGAGTGTCTCGTCGTCACGGTATAGAGTACCCTGCATCTGGAATGTCCATGGATTCATATTTCCATTCTCAACGGCTACATTGGCACTTGTTGTCATAGTCATGGTCATTCCTTCTCCCAACGACAGCGACGACGACGACAACGACGACGATTGGACAATAGCACCCTTTTTTGATTTCTTGGGACGTTGTTGATTACGGACTTGTTGTTGTTTTGGTGTAATGACTTTTTTTGGTACCGAGCTCATATGACTGGGTCTAGCCGATCCCGGAACAAGGTCTGAATTGTCAGAATCTGTATCACTCATTTCAGAATAGTCAGATTGAGGTGACTTTGGTGATGGCAACAGTTGCGATGGTAACATTTGTGATGGTAAGGGTTGTGATGGTAATAGTTGTGACATTTGTTGAGCTGGAGGGGTCGTAGTCTCTGGTAACATGTTTACAAAGACTGTGGTGGTATCTTGTTGTTGTTGTTGTTGGTGGTTGTATAGATCAACAAATGGAAAGATGGATTGTTGAGAGACGGTCAAAGGTGACGATGGCATACCAATGCTTTCAGGCATAAAGTTTGATGGGGTTGTCATCATCAATGGCGAGGAAGAGGCAGTAGAACAGGTTGGTGACGAGTAAAAGGATGGAGAAGAGTCTGCCGATGACGGTGACATGTCGAATGTGGTTTCAGAGGACAAAAAGCTAGCAGTACAGTCCATTATTGGTTGGTCAAATTGAACAAGAGCTGATTGTTTGAGTAAAAGATCAAATAATTCTTGGTCTTGTTGGCTTGGTTGAATCGACTGAATTGACTGAATCGATGATAATGATGATGATGGGTACTGATGACAGAGGAGACCAGTGTTTTTTAGTACAAGTTGACTCTGGTTTAGCTTTTGGAATGATCCATAGATTGGTGTTTGATTGTTGGTGATTGGTGTATGTGTATAAACATTTTGAAAGTACAGTTGTTGTTGTTGTTGTTGTTGTAATTGTTGTTGTTGTAATTGTAGTTGAGCATCCATTTTTGTTTAAAGATAGTAGTAGATTTTAAATATTAAAAGAAGAGTTGATGTTTAGTGGTTACTAGGTATTAGGGGCTAGTTAACTATATTATTGTTATTATTATTTGTTTAAGCAATAAGGCTTGAAGTTGAAAGAATATTAATCACCATATGATCATGATGGGTGAGGATTAGGAGCTGAGAGAAAATAAAAAAAACAAAAAAGTGATTAATTAATTTTCAAAAAATATTTTTCGCTGAAGAAAAGTATCTTGGTTGATCAACCACAACTCTCGATATATCGATATTGATCTTCAAGATCAACCAATAAGTCCCTCTTTGACAAATGAATCCTTCTCATTCCTTCCGCTAAATACCTTTTACCAAAAGATAAATATAATAGTACACAATTAAGCCAACCAACCAAGCTTTAAATTGAATTGATAGTGATATGATATTGAAAAAGTCATAAATGAGATCAGACTTACTACTGGAACCAAAAATATTGTTAATTTATTCTTTTCAAGACCTTCCAATGGGCTCCCTAGTTCATTTATGAGTTGGAATCGTTGGATGGGAGAACAATGACAAAAAAGCTCACCCGCAAAGGCTTTTTTTTTTACTACTAAGGTGGGTCCAGGATCACCACTAGAAATTTTATTTTGTTTAGTTTAATGATGAAATGAGATAACCTTTGTGGCAAAGAGTTATTTATATAAACAAAACCACTCAACCTAGAAGCAAGAGCACAGCAACTTATTATTCGTTTCACTCATTACAGGGTAGAGACAGCCATGCAATTATTCTAGGGGTTAGAGATCGCTCACTCGCTCTAGCCACTTCAAAAAGTCTCAGGGCTCCCCCTTTCAAAGGCAGAAAAATAAAACAAAAGCATTTGAATGATGCAGGGGTTGAACCTGCGACCTATTGGTTCGTAGCCAATCGCTCTTCCAACTGAGCTAAACATCCGCGCTAATTTGATGTCCAAAAATGTTTTTTGGCGCTTTTATACCCCCTTTTTTTCAATTTTGAAATCAAACTAAATTTAGTGACCACTCTAATCTACAATTAATTGATAAATATTTATTCTAGACATTCTTGACCACAAATTTTATGATAAATTTCCTTTTCACCCTTCAATTCAAAAATAAAGTTTTTTGCCTGCCAATTTTTTCTAATATTTTACCAAGCATACAAGTGGTATAATATGATCTAGTAATAAGGGATTTCCAAACAAATCAATTGATATTCTTTTTTAACCAATGGGACAAGTACTTGCATTAATAGCAATCGTTGTAAAGTTTGGAATAACGGCCATTTAGTGTTGATGTATTCTATGTATGGAGGTAGTGAATGATAGTAATCTCCCATGTCATCAACAATGATAATAAATCTATATTAATATATTTGATCCTTGTTGAATAAATTATTATTATTATTATTGGAGAGTTGAAGAGAGTAATAAAAAACCGATCAAAGACGAGAGGATAATTTTGTTGAGAGAAAGAAATGAATGATTTAATTATTTTTTATTTACTTTCTAGCTTCAACAAAGATTAATATTTATACATTGTAGTTGATATATATATATATATATATATATATATATATATATATATATATATATATATATATTTAAGCAACGACGGTACAATTAAAAGCATATTGCATTTCAATGTTTGAACCACCAATACCAGTGGCACCATAGAGACGGATAGTATCACAAGATGGGACGGTTGGCAAGTTGCAAACCAATGGAGACCATCCATACTTGGCAATACAATATGGTGCAATATCAGTAGTCAATCCATTGTTGTAGAGTTCATTCTCGAACCAAATCATTGTCATTGGTGAATAATTAATAGTTAATTTCTTTCCATCTTGGATTACACTTGTAACTTTAAATTTAGAAAATAATAAAAGAAAGATAGTATTAATATTTAAAGTTTTTTTTTTTTATTGGTTTCAATATGTAGACATACTTGCAGCGTTGGCAAATACAGCACAAAGAATAATGGCAAATGTGAAAATAATGGTTGAAGATTTGAACATTTTGAAGGCAGTTTAGTTTAGTTTAGGTTGTTGGTTGTTTGATTGATGTGATTGGTTTGATGATGAATAACCATCGATTGACCACGGTTTATATAGAAAATATGCATTCATTAATTAATTGATATCGAATATATAGAAACACCGGGTGGTATCTTTGAGATTTGGATATATATCTCACCGCACCACGCCACCCAAAAAAGGAGATACTCTACTCTATCGTACACCGAGAAAAACAAAGAATGAATAGTGTCAACTATAGTTTGGTCATATATTCCTTTCAGAGTGACCAATATATTAATACCAAAACCAAAAAAGGTAAAGACCACATTAGCGAGCAAAGAGAGGTAGAGAGAATAGTACTTGGCGACAATTAATTGTTAATGTCAACCATGATATTGCAATAGTCTCCTCATATTTGTTCGTAGTCATAAGTACAAATATTCTTTTAAACTAATAAAAGAAAAGAAAATAAACAAAAACAAAAGAACTATCGCTTGCATTGCTCTTTTTTTAAAAACTGAGGAAAAAAAAAAAAGATTTTCTGTGGATTTTTTTTATCAGTTGTTTTGGCCTGGTTGCACCTCAACAACCCCAAAGACCATAACAAGGTGATGGCTGTTTAAATTGTTTTTTTTTAAATAAAAATTGACGCGTTTTTTGCAATAGAATATCCCTAAAGACTCTCTCTGCTCAAAGACTCCTCTTACTTATTTGTATACTTGTTCATTCATTTGTTGTTTTTTTCTGTGCTCAATTACTTTATTCATTCGGTAAACATTGTTTTCGCAACACCACACTTAAGTGCATAACAACAACCCTTGTTTTTTTACTCGTCACTCTACTTTTCAATTCATTTTAGAATATCTAGCAAGCAAAAAAGAGTATATAGATCATTCACAGCTCAAAAAGTACTTGTACAATAATAATAATAATAATAATAGTAAATAGATAAGAAAACAAATAATATGAATACAGTAGCATCATCTGAATCAATTGCATCATCATCATCGATCGATGGTGAAAAGGAATTAAGAAGCTCCTTTGAAAAGTTACTATCATCGGAAATGTCAAAGGTTGCCTTGTTAGAGACTGAAAATATTAAATTAAAGGCTGAATTGGCAAAGATTTCAAATATAAATCTAAGAGTGTGTAATATATAATGCAAAAAAATGGAATACATAACTAATTGTCTCTCTCTATCTTTCTTTCCTTCCATTCATTTAGGATGAATTATTTAGATTGGAAGAAGCCAATAGAGTGTTGAGTGAAAAGTTGGCAACAGAAACCACAAAGAATCTATTTTTAGAGAATCAATTAAAAGGAACTTCTATTGCTTCTACTTATTCTTTAAATGGAAACAACCACCATAATACTACTACATCTACTACACCATCACCAGCAACATCATCGGCCACTGCCAATGGAGCCGCCAAGAAACCACCTGCTACCATCATCAAAGATATTACAGTACCAAGAAAAGTTGTCGAAGCCGAAAAGAATTCCTCAAGAACATATACAGCCTATTTAATTGAAGTTGAAGTTGATCAAAAGTATGTAAACTAAAATTAATTAATAACCTCAGTTGTATTAATATATTTAATTTTCCCCCCTAGGAAATATAACATTTCAAGAAGATACAAACAATTTGTATTACTTCAATCACAATTTGTTAGAATGTTTGGTGAACATGATACACCAAGTCTTCCAGCCAAGAAAAATGGTATTTACTTTTCATCTGACGACCATACTGAAAAGAGAAGAATCGGTCTCCAAGAATACTTAAAGATAATTGTAAATCATCCAGTCATGAGCCAAGCTCCATTTTTCCTACAATTTGTCAAAGATGACAATGAAACCTCTACAACCACTTCAAAATCTCACTAACCAATTCAAACTAAAAGTATAAAATAAAAACCAAAAAAACATTTAAATAATAATAACTAAAAACAAATATATATATATAGATATATAGATAGGAACATTAATGGTTTCTTGTTGTTTAGATAAATTAAAAAACTTTGTTTGTTTGTTTGTTTTGGTTTTGGTTTTTTTTTTTTTTGGAAAATTTATTTTTAAAAACACAACAAGTAAACTCCTTATTAACACCTAAGAATAAGGATCTTGTTGGTACTTTTTGATGAGAAAAAAAAATTGATTAGCATTGGATTGATTATTATTATTATTATTATTGTTGTTGTTGGTTATTATTTTTTTTTTAAAAAAAGTAAATTAAAAATAAATAATAGAAAAAAAAAATAGTTGTTGATAGTTCAAACAACAACCTGAGAACAAGAAATATAATTATTTGGTAATTGATGATGATGATGGATGGAAATTGTTTTCAAACATTCGGTTGGTTCGTCATAGTTATTGGTTGATTGGATTGTTAATTGTGGAGGAGGAGGTAGTAGTGATATTTTGTACAAAATTCCCAATTGTTGTTGTTTGTTGATTGGATTGTTATGTGATGATGAGAGATGGAGATGGAGATATATATAAATTATTATTATTATTTGTTATTCATTCCATTTTTTAAAAAAATGGAATCAATTTTAAACCGCTGGTTTGTTGTTGGCTCCTTTCTTTTTCTTTTTCCTCCTTTTTCCTTTCATATTCATTTATAAATCAACTGGAGGAATAGCAGCAACTTCCATCAACTTTGGTGACAAATATTTTTTCTTGGTGGCTCTGAGAGTGGTGTGATCTTCGCCCTTTCTTAAAAGGTTGATTTCGTGGGCACAGGCAATAACATCGGATTCCTTGTAGCAAGTGTAGTATTCGAGGGTGACGTTCCAGTATGGTCCACATCTGTTGGTCATGCGACGGGCAACATAGATGCACGCGGCGGCAATCATGGATGGGAGGTACTTGAGGAGCTTAGAGTCGAGCATACACAACTCGGTGAGATACTTGGAGAGAGAGTGGGTGCGCGAGTCGGATCCGGCAGCCTTGGAGAAACGACGCAAAAAGTGCAATGGAGTGGTGGTAGTCAAGTGGAATTGCAAGGCAGACAAGATGTTACGCTCCATGAGCAACACCTCTTCCCTGGTGCAGGCATTGTCACTAGTGACAATAAAGTCGTTGATTTGTGGCGAGTAGATTTCCTCATACTTGGCAGCCAACAACATCGAGGTGATGCCAACCAACTGCAACTTGCCCACTGGGATCGACACCTTGCTCAAATAACGATCGACAATATTGACAGACAAGAAAAAGGTCTCTGAAATCATCTTGAATCTAACATGTACAGCCATCATCCAATCAATCAATATGGCTCTCATCTTTTCATTAATAAGTTGTTGTCCATGAATATAATCTCCATCAATTCTATCAGCAATCTAATAAAAAAAATTAAAATTAAAATTAAATTAATAAATAAATAATTATTTTCCAGGTTTGTTTATATTATTATTATTATTACATACCTCTTTATCTCTATAATAAGCAAAGATATCATTAACATATTCCCCGACACATTGTGGATCATGGGCATCAAAGATATCGATATTTTCAGGTTGTTCGGCTTCGACCATATGGACATCATCAATCATTGCGTCCTTGTCTTGGTCGGTATCAATCATATGTTCCGATGGCATGTGAGTTGGAATGGCCGAGTTTTCCAACTTTTGCAATTTGGTTGGTTGTTGGTTTCTAAGATTACCAAGTTCACTCTTGGCTCTTGTTGATACAATTCTTGGAACAATGTTTGATTGTTGTGGCTAAACAGTAGTAAAAGGGGAAACAGAAAAAAAAAAAAAGAAATAGAAAATAAGAGGCAAAAAAAAAAAAAAAAAAAAAAAAAAACAAGGTCAGTCAAAATTCAAATATTTTTTGAAAAAGCGTGGCAAACGTACCAAAACTGCAGAAGGTGCAATCATGCTCTTGCCTGATTTACCTACGACACCAGAGATGGTATTGTTGGTAATCTCTGATAGAGCACCACGAGACTTGAGGGTGACTCCACTCTTTGCCTTATCGAGTGCCGATACCTTGGCTGGGATCTTGTTTTCATCTCCAATGACACCTCCTCCAAGGTTATGAAGTGCTGTTGTATTTGATCTGCCAAGTGGCTTGTTTACTAGTGGATTTATTGTTGCCATTCTATAAATATATGATTGATTGATTGGATTGATTGAGGTGTGATGAGGATGATTGATTGAGAGATGATTATAATAATTTATAAAAAAAATATGCAAATGAAATGATGAATGGATTATGAAAATGGGAAAGGAATAGAAAAAGAAAGAAGAGTGTGTAATTGGTAGGTATTGAAAAAAAAGGGTATTAATAAAACTGATCATATATGTATATCTAAATATAAAAGACGAATCTGAATCTGATTGGTTGTTTGGTTGATTGGTTGATTGGTTGACATGTGTGTGCATATACTGTTTACTGTTGTGTTGTAGCATAGAGAAGAGGGGATGGATGATGATGATGATGATGATATAGGTATGTATGGTATATTGGTAGTAGTAGTGGATACTTACATTATTGAAAAGTAATTATATATAATATAAATATATATTTACTTTTGGTTAATGATGAGGGGTGGTAGTATATTATAATTAAAGAAGAAAGAACAAGTGAAGATAGAAAGCAAAAAAAGGAACTAGCGAGGTTGTGTCACATAAAAAATTATGACCGTTGCACCCGCTTAAAATTTGAATTTTCAAATTGAATTATGTGACAGACATTGTTTGGCATGGAATTCTAACGTTCAAAGATACGGTGAGGAGGAGCCAACCCAAGAAAAATGACACAGTGCCTATGAAGAAGAAGAAGATTCAAAAAAAAAAAGGGAACACAGCCCCTAATCAATCATGGTCATGATCATCAACTCTATTCTTTTAATTTGTTCAAAGATCAAAAAGACTGTCCTTTTTACAAAAATGACTAACATTTAAGAGTTAGTTATTGATTTAGAAAAATAAATAATACATTGATTATTATGATGATGATTTATTAATGTCTCATTGATGATCCACCCCCAATTCCACCAGATTGACCTCCTGCCATTGGCCTATGAGTTGGTATTGGTTGTTGTTGTTGAGTATGATGTTGTTGTTGTTGTGAAAATGTTGTTGGTTGTTGATGATGATGAGTTTGTTGTTGTATTGGTTGTTGAGTATGATGATGAGGTTGAGGTTGTGGAACACGTGGTTGAGGTTGATGTTGTGAAGAACTCATTGGAGAAGTACGGATTCCACTACCACTCATACTACTACTACTACCATCTCCAACACCACTACCACTACTAATACTAGTCATACCAAATTGTTTTCTAAGAGCATCCATTTTATCCTTATAATCCTTTAATTGAGAATCCTTTTGAGAAATGGTTTGTTGAGCATGAGCACTTGCCGCTTTCATATTGGTTTCAAACAGAGCAAGTTTAGATTGATAGGACGCGGATTCTTGTTTCTTTTGATCCTTTAGTCTGTCAATCTCGGCCGTCAATTGTTGAACTTGTTGGTCGAGTTTTCTATTTTGGGGTTCAAGTGTTTGTAATCTTGGTAGGGCCTCCTTTTCAAACTTGACAAGATTGGCAATATGTTGATCCTTTTCGTGTAATTGTTCTCTGAGTTGATCCACCTGGTCGGCCACAGCACTCTTTTGTCTGAGTTGACGCAAGAGTTCGTCGTTTTTTCGTCTAAGAGTTTCGTGGTCAGTTTTGACAATTTTAATATCCGATTGCAAACTTCCAATCTCACTCTTCATTTCATTCTCGTTCTTTTGAAAGTATTGGAGATGTGCGATTTGCTGTTCATAATCTTCTCGGAGGGCAAGATTTTCACGGGCCAACTTGAGATTGTCTTCGCCGAGTTTGGCAATTTCCGATTTCATCGATTCCTCGGTTCTGCTCTTTTCGGCAATCGTAGTGTTGAAACGAATCGACATGTCATTAATGTCGTCGAGATATTTACTATTGTTTTCTTCCAACAATTTCTTTTCTCTCTCTAGGATGTGTTTGTGTTCTTTGACGCCACGAAGCGACATGGTCTCTGCCTCTCGCTCCTTGAGACGCCCTTCGACAAGTGAAATATGTGATTTGAATGAAAAGGTTGATTTCTGTAGTTCCATCTTTTCTCTTTCAATCATATCAATCTGTTTTCTCAAATCAGTATTGATGGCCTCTTTTTCCGAACATTTCTCCTTTTCTCTATACAACTTGTCAACTGTATCATCCAATTGTTTTCTAATTTGATTTAATTCATCAAAATTATCCATTATATCATCTGAAATATTAAAATATTTTTGTTGTCCTTGTCCTTGACTCTGACTTTGTTGATATTGAGGAGGTTGTTGTTGTGGTTGAGATTGTTGTTGTTGTGGTTGTTGTTGTTGTTGATGGGAATAATAATCACCATTCATACCACTACCATTCATTGATGTTGGAGCAGTTGTTGTTGAGGATTGGTTGGAATATGATAATTGTAATTCTCTATTCTTTGCCTTTTCCTTTTCCAGTTGTTTGGTAATAAAATTTAATTGTTTTTCGATTGCCGATACATAATCTCCACCTTCTTTTGTTATTGATGGTGATGTAGTTGGCGATATATATGAATGTTGTTGTTGTTGTTGTTGTTGTTGTTGATGTCTTTGTTCAACTTCATCAACATATTGTGTTGGTTGACTATAAAAAATAAATAATTAATATAAATAACATATGAAATATTAAGATCTTGGTAAGTACTTACAAATCTCTTTGTGTGTATTGTGGTTGTTGAGGAGGTTGTTGTGGTTGAGATTGTTGTTGTGGTTGTTGTTGTTGTTGTTGTCCTACAGCTCGATAAGCAGATCTTTTTAATTGATCAGACATTGCATTTCCCTCTTGAGCAAAGTTGTCTTGATATTGCATCGATGAAAACATGGATGATTGTGTTGTTGGTGTAGCCGATGATTGTTGTGTTGCTGTTGTTGGTCTTCTTGGTGCAGTTGGTGAGGGTGGCACATGAGAAGAAGGGGTTGTTGTGGAGGTGGTAGGTCTACTGCCATTTGATCTTTCAAAAGGTACAGAGGCACCTGGAGTTGTAGTAGTAGATGAAGAATTGATGGGACCATTTGTGTGTACTGGAGTTCTCCCATTTTCATATTGGTATTGTTGGTGTTGCTGATGGGATGACGGACGGATTGGAGTGACAGGTATCTGATCATGATCGTATCTATGATCAACCTGAGTATCATCAAATATACCACTAGTCGATGAAGTGTCAACTGGTGTCATTCTAGTTGGTGTATTCAGATAACTTGGAGGCATAGGATTGGTTCTTCTCTGTGGTGTTGTTGATGGTGCTTGATTCACCCTTCCTCCTCCTCCGCCTCCCATAGTATATGATCTATCACTTGGATTACTTTCATAAAATGATGATGATGAAGCTGATAAATGTGGTCTATGTTGTGACATATTGATAATGATGATGATGATGATTCTCTAGAATAGAGTTTACTATTTAGAATTTATAAAAAAGTATAAAAAAGAAAAAGAAAAAGAAGAAAACTTAATTACTTCTAATTGACAATTGTATCTACTAGTTTAGATGTGATAGATATGATAGATATGATAGATATGATAGATATGATAGATGTAGATATATCTACTTTTTAGTAGATAAGATATTGAATATATATAAAAACTTTGACACTATAATGTTTTGAAAGTAAAAGGGTAATAATACAATTTAGGCAATGATCATATCATCAAATTTCCCTCCTTTTTTTTTTTTTTTCAAATTGATTTTTTTATTTATTTGTTCTTTGTAGGGAGGATCTAAAGAGATGAGAAAAAGTTGGTGAAAGAAAGATTTGAAAGGTATCATGATCAAACAATAATAAATATCTATTTTCAAGATTATTATCTTTACAATATTGGTTAAATTCTGATATTAACTTTTCTGGATTCGATATCTTTTGATTGGTAATATATAAAAGAATGGCGGTTGACGAGGAGTCAAGAAGAGAAGAAGAGATTTCTTTCATTAAATTTGTATACCATTCTTGAATATGATTATGACTTGGTTGATGATCATTTAAAAAGTGTTTGATTAAAACTTGAATATTACCACTTTTAGAAGAATCTTTAAAATAGGTTTGGGGATCAAATAGATTCTTGCAATTACATACCAACACATATGGTGATTCCATGGATTGTTGTGATGATTCTTTTTCAAAGATGACTCGGGTTGGAGTATGTGTAATAGAATAAAATGGAAGATTGGTTGCACCAGTAGCACCTTTAAAGTATAGGTAGAGTGGTGTCATTTCTCGACTATAGTTTGTTGCTACCTTGGTTAGACATACATTTACCAAGCAAATAAAAATATATGGGAAAAGGTGAATATAGTCCATACAATCCCATTTCGAGTGTGTGGAGAGTAACAATTTGGAACTGGTGTACTTTATCAATACTTGCATACGCTAAACCAAGTCTTCTTGCATCACCAACAGTAAAGAGTGATGATTCTGAGAGTGGATGGCGAATGTCGACGGCTTTAACGAGAGAATGCTAGTAAACATAACGAGTCTAGGATTTGTGTCTTTACTTTTGAATCAAATTTTTGCCCAGATTTTGCATCACCAAATTCCATTTGTCAACATATAGTTGATAGGTTGATTCTTGGTATCCAAGTGGTAATTGATTGTTGTTTGCACTTTTCAACAAATCGATCAATATGGATGGAATAAATCCTGTCTCTCCAATTGCAATTTGAAAATGTGGTTGATCGAGTAATTGTCGATTATTGACTTTGAGATAGTGGTCTACAAGTTGATTGACTTTAGTTGGATCTAGTGGATCAAGGTTGATGGTTTTGGTCCAATTCTCAGCCATTGCAAAACGAACATCATTGTCGCAAGTACCAGTGAGTACAGGAACGATAAAATGATTATCGGAGGTGTTGCCGAGCATGTGGCCACCAATCACACCAATCATTTGTTTAAAAGAGTGTTTTGCGTATTCTAGAGTCTCGCCAAACTTGGTTTGAATAGAATCTATAAAGTGTTGATGATTATCGATATGAATGATGATTGAAGTCACATTGGTCTTGTTTGGTTTGTTAATGAGTAATGAATGGATGACACGATCAAAATCAAAATTGTCATATTTCTTTACAATATCCAATAGATTGTTACAAGTTGGGTCTTGTGAAAGAGCAATACGAGCACCCATTCGATACTCTCTTTCTTTCTTGTCAATGTATTCACATAAAGAGTGACCACTAGAGTTGTTGAGGTTGACGTAGCAATAGATTGGATCTCTCATTGCCGAGATAAAGTCTTGATCACCTTGACAAACACTAGACAAAATGTCTACTGGAATATTGGCGATTTCCTCTCCTGCTCTTGTCTTTCCAATACCAGAATCATCAGGAATGAACAAGAATTGATGATGTTTTGCTGTTTTAACATCATAGGATTCTGATATATTCCTCTTTTCATAGTTTCTAAAACATGCCTGACTTGCTTCAACATAGAATCTTCAACAAATGGTGTATTACTCTAATGGTATAATGAATGGTACTAAAAAATAAATAGAAAGAAAATATATTAATATAGATTCAAAAGACAAAGAGATTGAAGATTATATACATACGATTACTAAAACGATTATATGGATTCATTTATATTTCTATCTGTACTCAATATTATGATTAAAGAAGAAGAATAGAATGAAGAAGGAGAGGAGGGTAGTATCCATTTTAAAATTAATGATTTACAAGAAAGATTAAATTAAAAATAAAATAATAAAAAAGAAAAGTCTGTTCTGTACCTCGTCCGTCTTTGCTTTGCAATCTAAAATTTACAGATTAGTTTGATAAAAGTTATATATATTTAAATATATTTACTCAATAGCAAATGGATAAAGATGGATTTGTATTAATTGTTAAAGGAAGAAAGAATAAGGCATTTAAAGGAGATGAAAAGAAAGATCTTAAACCATCACAACTACAATCGGCAAATGATATCAAACGAGATAATCAACTTCGAGAAAAGGAGTTATCTAAAAGAGTAAACATGTCTTCTAATTGGGGTGATGATGACGATGATAATAATGAAAAGAAGAAAAAGATAACAACAACAAAGAATAGGAAAAATAATAAACTATTTACAGAAGTTTCAAAAAGAAGAAAAATGTAAAAGATTACATTCTACAATCATTGAAATAGTGTATAGTATAGATAGATATGATTGAAATCAATATATATATATATATATTGTAATTTCTAACAACTTTGTTTATTAATTAATCTCTAGAGAAACAATGAAAAATACAGAATTCTTTAAAGAGATTATAGAAAATGAAAAGATTAAATCAATGTTGCAAGATAGATTAGAAGATATTGTGTGTTATGGTATTGGTAACTTTGAAGAATCTAAAAAATGTCAAGAACAACTATCATTTATATTGGCGCTGAATAGTTTATTCAAGATTAGTGGATCATTGTTTATATATGATCCAGTCATGTCGGATATGGAAATCAACGTATCTACACTATTGGGATTTAAAATCATTGAAACGAATGAACAATGTAAAAGATCGGTCAAGTGTCAACCAGATTGTGAATCACAACGCTCGACACTATTCTATATGCCATTTTGTCCGAGAAAGTTATACGATAATGTATTGTGGGCCAATTGGTCACCGCAATCACTTGGTAGATTGATAGTGATTGGTAATAGTTGGAATCTATACAATGAATCATTAAACAAACCAGATGAATCATATCTACAATACAGTTATACAACAAAGGCATACCAAAACAAACTCTATCAAGAAATATCATTACCCAACAATTACCCTACCAAATTCATTTTCCATGATCTTTCATTTCACTCTTTTGAATTGTCAAACCAAATTACAGACGATTTAGATTTAATTTGGAAAGATTTTAATGAACCTCCAACCATTTCAAATGATTCAGAAGTACAATAAAATTAAACGCGATTAACAATAATAATACAATTATTTATTAAATATATATTACAAAAATTTCTACTAGATTTATGAATCCTTCCATAAAGAAGTTTGTAATTGTAATATTTGATTTAAGTCCATTGCTTTTAGATTATTGATAAATTCCATAAATTCAGGTTGTTCAATCGTTACTAAAAAGTTTCTAAACAATCGTTCGGTACGACCATCAAACTCCATCTCTCCAGTCTTTGCTTTAATGATACTGATCAATTGATCGATAGTGATCCACCAAACAGTATTCTTTTCAACATTCATAATCATATCCTTGTACAACCGATTATCATTTACAAACAATGTCTTTTGAAAGGTTTTAGATGATACAAATAAATTGGTTGGTGCACAAAACATTTTATAACTAAACAACAAAAAGATTAATATTAATACAAATAGTTCATTATCAATCATTATTATCGTCATATTATTATTTACCTATTTTTAGGATTAATAAATTCTTTTACATAACCGTCTTTATGTAACTCTTTGTTTGATAGTATTTTAGTCATTGTTTCTGTACTCTTTGTTACACCTCCTCTTGTTCCTCTTAATTCTAATGATTGGCAAAATAATCCCTAAACATAAAAAAGATAAGATTGATTAGTCTTTTGATCATCATCATCATCACTCTTCTTTGTTCTAGTCTAACCAACCATTGTTTCTTCACTAAATTCTCTTGAAGCACTAACATGAAACAATCTATCAGATTCATCACAATAGCCTCCAAAGTCTGATACACCTCTATTCTCTTGACCCATCAAGAAGAATATTTCATTGTTTCTAATCATATAGGGTAATACACCACATGCCATACACGCCATACTCTGTGGTTTACTTGTTCTAACTATATTATTAAATATACTTGTCATTTTTGTGAATAACTTTTTAAACTCAAGTGATTCGATGTTTATTATTAATTCATAATAAATCATAAAAAAAAAAAAAACATGTTTGACTACGAAAGACAATTCAAACTATATTCCATGATTTTTAACAATATATATCATTCGCGAAATAAATAAATAAAGAGTATTAATTAATTAATCACAATGTTATAGTAATTTATTGCATTTATGAAATGAATGAATCGATTTAACTAGTAGTAAAAAAAATTTGTATTGATTGATTGACACAAAATTGTGGCTGGGTTTAAATCGATCCTACTGGATCATTATAGTGCTATGAATTAATTCATGTACCTCATTCCTAGAGATACAGGTCACACCAACTATCCATTTTAATTATCTTTCTTGCCAAGAAAAGAGATAATCGAAAATAAAAATAAATAAAAAGATAAATCAGGAAATCAGAAAGTGGGTGAACAATCGATATTTAATGATTCATCAACGAAATACCCACATATCTTCATTCCCTACACACACATTTTGGCAATGGTACCCTGATTTAAATCAATTTCAATTGAAATAGATCCCAACTTGGAATGATAGTGAGTGTGTTTGAAAATGTAAAATGAGAAAGGGATGTTCCATTATATTATTAATTAAATCATTTTGTAATTGTTTATTTTTAGTATAAATATAATGAGTGGCCTCTATTATTTATCATTGGTATATTTATTAATATTTATAAATATATTTTTATCTAATTGTCATACTACCTTTAAATAATTGACACTATCATGCAATCATTAAGTGATAAGGAAATTATCAAAAAATTTAAAACATATTGTTCAAAGGAACATATTAACACATCTAATATTTTGGCTATCACCATTCAACTAAATCGTTCAACCAAGTGCACAAGTTTTATCATTGATTTTGATAATGAAAAGTTATTGAAAGCCTATACACTTGAAAATGATGGGAAAACAGTTGACAAGTATGCTGGATCTTTTTCCATTAGTTACCATGCCAATTTGCCAAGACTGGATGAGAGTGCACCTGCCCAAGTCGATGCTCCTGGATCAGCTCCATTTTGTTGTCACAACCTGGTTCCATTCAAGCCAACTCGAACTGCTAGGGACTCTGTATTTGCCGATTTACTGTCTGGTCAAGGGAACCATCCCGACATTGTCTATGAAGTCAAAGCACAAGTTGACAATGGTCCCATGATCAGTACAAGATATTTCAAGGTGCTCAGCAGCAAGATCAAGGAAATCGATCGTGACAACAACACCAACAAAATCCATTCATTCAAAAACTACAAGTGTCCAACCCACAATCGTTTCTATGGTATCGATCTTTACTCTACAAGAGAAGGTTCCAACTATCACCATATGCGTGCCAGTCCATTTGAAAAAAGAGATATGGAGGTTTTAGATTCTTTTTTTAAAGAATTTGATATTTAAACATCTAAATCTATCCATTTTTATATCTATCTATCTATCTACAATGTAAATACAAAGATGTCAAGTTAAATCAATAAATAAATAATTATATTATTATTAAATTAAATTATATATATATATAATTTCCGAGACTCCATCATGAATGACTATATTTGGACCCAACCTCTCAATTTTTGGGTTTTTTGTAACCTCTCCCAACCAACAAAAATTTTAATCTCCTATTTAAATTAAATATGTGGTGGTTTGATTCATTAATCACAGAGAGAGAAATAGAAATAAGTAGAGTTCCTACTTGTAATACTACAATATATATATAATACGTCGACAGAAGAGATGAACGGAGCATCAACAACAAGTAATAGTAATAATAAGACTGTATATTTAATTAGACATGGTCAATCAACATTTAATGCAGCTTATGCCATAAACAAAGTTGATCCATGGCACTTTGATGCACGTCTATCAGAGTTGGGTCAGACACAAGCAAACGATTTAGCAAAACATGCCGAAGGTTTAAATGTTGATCTAATCATCTCTTCACCATTAACAAGAGCTCTAGATACAACTCGTAGAGGTTTTTCTGAAGTTATTAAACAAGTATGTAAATAATATAAATTTAATCATTTTAATATTTATATATACTTATTATTTCTTTTTTTTTCTATTTTTAGAAATCAATTAAAGTTCAAGTAATAACATATCATAGTGAACATGTAGCAACAAGTGATGATAATGGTAGATTTAGATCTCATGTTGAAAAGGAATTCCCAGAGTTTGATCTATCACACATTCAAGAGAGATGGTGGTATATGCCAGAGGATGTTAGAACAGATGAAAAGATTGATCCAGAGGAATACTTTAAAACCATTGGATTCAAGGAACCATGGGAACATTTGGACAAGAGAATTCAACAATTTAAAGATTATATCATGGATCGTAATGAAAGTGTCATTGCTGTTATTGGTCATTCTGAATTTTTCCATCAATTGTTTGAAAAGAAATTACCTTGGTTTAAGAATTGCCAAATTCTTAAATGGAATCCATTTACAAATGAAACTGAATGGGTTACCAATTAACAAATTTAATAATAATAAATTCAATTATCAATCCAATCCATTCTATTTATATATATGTTAAAAAAAGCTATTGGTTGAATAATTTATAGATTCTTCTTGTTAAAGTTTTTGAAATTAATCTTTGATGCTGATTTGTTTGAATAGATTCTATTCATATGTGGACCTTCAACAAATTTAACTGAAATGTAAAATACAATTCCCATTACAATTGTACAAACTAGAAATAAAGAATAAATAAATAAATATATTTATACATTTTGATTATCATTTTCTTTTTTTGTATAACATACTAAAACCATTTAAACTTTGATATCTAATAGCATAACCAAGACAAGAAGCAGTGGTACCAACATATTGTGGATCACTGAATAATTGGAAAACACCAGATTGAACGGGTGCATCCATTACATGACCAAAACTGTCTCCATTGTACATTCCCTTGACACCGAGTGCCTTGAGACACCAAAGGTTGAGAAAGACACCAAACAAGAACAAAGAGTTACCTAAAAAGTCGGCAATCTCTTGTGGCAAGAATTCGTAATAATAACGATCATAGTGAATGGCAATATCTATAAAGTAATCTCTAACCAATGCCGAAACAATCAAATAAACTGCATAATAATAAATTGTATATTTTCCAATCAACTAATAATAGAAAGGTAAAAAGTCAGTAAAGTGTAGTGAGTGTGTGGGATCAATCTATCGGACCTTTGTAAAAGTTCTAGTTTTAAATTCAAATTGAGCAGATGCATTGTAATTGGTAACATGCAAGACAATAGCTATTAATGCATATAACAGTTGACTTGAAAAGATTGTTTCTATCATTATGAACGGATAGGAATTATAGTATGATGTATCGTATCAAACATATGACATGATTTGCAAAAGGACTCTTCTTTGATGCGAAAAAAATAGAAAATTAAAAAAAATAATAAACTTTGATGATGAACCTCACAACCCTTTTTTGATCTCATTTCATTATTAATTTATATAGACAGACATACATACATACATATATATATAGAGAATGGGTAAAGGAGAAAATACATCAATTCAAACAACAAAGCCATCTAAAAAGGTTGATACTTTAGAAGATACATCAAAGATTAATCAACCAAAAGAAGAAAATGAAGTCATTGAAGATGATGAATTTGAAGAATTTGAAGATAGTAAGAAAAAGATGAATAGAAAAGAATAGATCTATTGTCGTTATTAATGTTTCGTTTCGATCGTTTAGATGTAACTTGTGATGATGTAGATACAAAGGAACAATGGGAAGATGATTGGGATACAGAACATATTGATGATGAATTTTCAAAACAATTAAGACAAGAAATTGAAGCTCATGCAGCTAATCCACAACCAATGAAAATGTAAATCAACAACAAACAACAAATGAACGAACGATCAATCAACAACAAACAACAAAACAACAATTAATTTGTACAAATTTTAATAATATATAAAAAAGATTCTATAAACAACAAAACAACAAATGTACATTTCCTTTTTCATTTCCTTTTCATTTTCTATATGTTTATTTTGACCAAACTTTCCAAGTTTTATCAAAAGAAGAAGAAACCAATTTAGAATTATCAAGAGAAAAGTCGACAGAGGTTACCTTGCTTGAATGACCTTGAAGAATAGAGACTGGGGAGAAATCGATTGGGGACCAAAGACGAACGGTATTGTCAAAGGAAGAGGTGGCGAGAAAAGAGGCTGCTGAATGATTGGGAGAGTGTTGGAATTTGACACACGAGACAATGGAAGAGTGGGCAAGGATTTGATGTAGTTTTTCTTTTTTTCTAATGTCCCAGACAATCACGGTATTGTCTTCTGAGCTACTGGCAACGTGGTAGCCGTTGGGTGACCAGTCTACCGATATAACTTGTTTGGCGTGTCCTCTGAAATAGTGTATGGGACGTCCACTACGCATGTCCCACAAGCGGACAAGTTGGTCGGTTGCGCCAGACGCCAGCAGCGAGCCGTCTTGTTGAAAGGCTATGCCAAAGACGGCGCCACCATGTCCTTCTTGGTCGAGTAGTGTCTGCTTGGTCTCAATGTCAAAGAGTCGCCACGACCGATCACTGCAACTTGTTGCGAGGTGGCGTCCCATCGGATGAAAGGCGACACGGTTCACAGAGTCGGTGTGTATCGTAGAGTCAAAGACAGCGATCGGGTTTGGTTGATCGACCTTCCACACCATGGCCGACTTGTCACTCGAACACGTTGCAACCATCTCACCACTCGGATGAAAAACACATGCCAACCACACGTTCACCATGACCAACCATTATATTTGTACATTCAATCGAGCTGTCGCTCAACTTCCATATCTTGGAGACACCACTCCACGACGACGTTGCCACAACCCCCGAATCGAGCGGCGAAAAGACAGCCACTGAAAGTTGACGTTCATCACCCATCTCTGAACTTGCCATTGTAAATTGTTTGTATCTTTCCTTTTCCTCTGTAATCTCTATTTCCAATTCTGTCTTTTGCCATTTCTCTGGATCCAATATATCCTTGTTTGCAGCCAATACGACTGCCTCCTTTTCCTTTTCCAATTTAGCTCGCTTTATACGCAATGAAGCAGCCTTTATCGAGTATTCTGCAATATGTAGACGAGCCAATTTCAAATCTTGTGAACCTTCTGTCAAAAACGCCTCACCTTCCTCCTTTTCCTCTTCACCCTCTCTTTTTAGAATGGCCAAAGGGTTGGCATTTGCAATGTTTCTATCTATACATATATCCTTTAGACGTGCTCTTCTTTCATCTGGTCTTTCACCAAACAATATAATAGGTTCACTCAATTCTCTCAACTTCATCTTTACCAATGCATCGTCTGTTGGCAATATAACATGTTTTGATCTCTTTTTTCTTTCAAAATCTTCCAATGCTTTACCATGTCTTTCTTGTGATTCTTTTGTAAATCTTGAAAATGGTAAGAATTCTAAAAAAGTAGAGTAAATGAATATATTAGCAATAGTAGTAAGATGTAGAGATAGTTATAGTTATAACTTTACCTGGTTGTTGTTGTTGTTGATCGTCTTGTTGATCTTCATCTTGTTGTTGCTGCTGTTCACTAGTTGTTTGAGTTGTTACTTTATTTGCTTGGATTGCACCAAAAAAGATTCTCTTTTTCTCTTCATTACTCATACTATTATTATTATTATTACTATTATTATTATTATATATATATGTAATAAAGATATAAATATATTTGAAAATGAAATGAAATTCATTCACAAAAAGACGAAAATTGAAATCATTTCGTTCATATTCATTTCTTTATTTATTTTTGTTTGTATAAATATATTATATATTTATAACTATAGATAGAATGAAAAGTTTATTCAAGAAATCATTTTCAATACAATCACAATCTTTGATGAGTGGATCAGACAAGAAAAAGTTGAAAGAGAAATTATCATATCGATTCAAGTCGTTATGTTCATCCAATTCATCTATTACAGCAGATACATTTGATCAAGTACTACAAAATAAAAAGGATTTAGGTGTGGTAAAGATTCATAATCCACAAGCTACTCTTTATTGTCAATTAGGAGATCCTTTATTCTTTGAATATTCAAATCAACTATATCCTTCAAGTAAATATAAACAATAGCTTCTAAAAAAAGATTTATTCATCAATTTATTTTCTATTTTAGTTTATACATTATATAAATTACCAAATTTATTACCGATTGTTTTGATTCATGCACCTGTATTTAAATATATATCGACTGGTGCCGATTTGATGTTTAGAGGTATTATCAATTTCGATCAAGTACCAGAGACTGAAGGTAGTTTGGTTTCAATTTGTATTAAAGGTTGTCCACAACCAATTGCATTTGGTCAAACTTTAAAGTTTACAAAAAAGGATAAAATCGATCAATCTGGAAAGGCTGTTCAAATCATTCATCATGTTGATGACGCTCTTTGGAATTATGGTTCAAAAAGTTTACAATTTAATTTTCAAGAAGAAATAGAAGAAGAAGAGGAGAAGGAAAATGAGGAGGAAGAAAAAGAACAAGAAGAGGAGGAAGAAGAAGATGATGATGACCAAGAAGAAGAGGAAGAGGAAATGAAAGAAAAATTGGAAAAATTAAATATTAAAGATACAACAACAACATCAACAGTATCAAATAATCCTTCTTCTACAATATCAAAAGAAAAAATGGATGAAATAATAGAAACAAGTTTTATGGGAACAATTAAAGTTGGTATAAAAGATGGAGAATTACCAATGGTATTAAAGACATTTTTCAACAAGTATATGTTGTATTATGCACCATCGAATGAACCAGAAATCAATATTGCCAAATCATCATATAAAAAGGTATCAAAACTATTAGAGGCAATGAAAAAGAGAGGATTGGTAGAGACTAGTGAACCGACACCAGGTAATATCATGGTGACTAGAATCGTTAGATCACATCCAGATTACAAATCATTTGTACCATTGTCAGATCAAGATATAGTTGGTGATAAACCATCACAAACAAAAGGTGATGATGATGATCAAGGTGATATTGATGATCCATATGGTAGTACTGGTACTGGTTTGGCACCAATTAAATCAATTGTACCAGTCTATCCATTACCAAATACCTTTTTCGAATATGCTATAGAAGGTAAAAAGTATTATACCTTTCAACCAGAGATCAAGACAATGGTCGGAAAATATATTGTCGATCATAAATTGGATGATCCAATCTATCGAGCAAATATAAAGTTGGATGAATCTCTTGCCAATATGTTGGGTAGAGAGATTGGACAATCTGTAGGCAAGAATCAATTACTCCCATTAATCAAAGAACAAATGAAATTGTATCTAGAGATTTCACGTTCAGATGGATCAGTTCAATACATTCAATCAAAGAAAATAGAAATCTATGCTAAAAAGGTTGCCAACAAATATATACTAGAAGTTCACAACCTACACTTGTTTTCCATTTCATTAAAGGAATTTGCAAAGGATGGTATGAAAGAATTTGCAGCTAGTACTACAGTCACTCAAGGTATTGGTAAAAATTATAATATTGTTAAAATTCAAGGTAACGATGCAGATAGAGTATCAACACATTTACAACAAAAATATCATATACCATCTTTTTGTATTGATTGTATTATCCATCCAAGTACTACTTAAAAAAAAAGAAAAAATAAAAAATAAAAAAGGAAAGTCTAATTATTAGTCTATTATTAATTATTATTAATTATTATGATACAAAAAATTTATTCTCTCTATTCTCTAGTTTGTTTTACCAACCTAAATTCTTTTGAATGATTGGTAAAGAATTCATAGCCATTTTAAGATGACCATTAACATTTGGATGACCATTACAACCAAGATCCGAACTATCGAGTATATCTTGCAGATCAATGTAAATTGATTTTGTGGCAGTGGCCACATTTTGAACGTATTGACAACATGGATCCGAGATCATTGGACCACAAGCCAAGAAAAAGACGGTACCATTGTTGTATTTTGTACGAATCGAGTCTATAAAATTAGTGTATCCTTGTTCAAACACTGTCTGAGGTGGATAGGGTTGAGATGAAAAGTCGTTGGTTCCCAAGTTGATAACGACGGCCTGTGGTACCCAATCTTGGAAAGTCCATGTTGAATTTGGATTATTGGCAATGGTTCTACCATAGTAGGTTGGGAATGGATCAACACTGGTTGTTCCATTGGCATCATAGTTTCTAACTACTCCCTTTCCCGACCATGATTCCACATGAAGGTCAGCTCCCAATATTCTAGATACTACACCTGCATAGGTTTGATAATTATTTTCAGTCTCTGCTGTAAATGAACATGGTGGTGTACCATCAATTCCATATCCACATGTTATACTAAAAAAAAATGGAAATTAGAAAATAAATAAAAGGATGCAAATTATAATATATATATAATATATATCTTTCTATATTTACCTATCACCAATAAATTCAATTCTTTTGTTTGGATTATCATTAAATGGGTTGATTGGAAAGAGAATGGCAGATTGGTCAACTACCAATCCATAAAAGTTGATAATACCAATGGCTGCCTCGGTTCTCTTGGTCAGTATTAAAATATAGGTTTGTTGAGGATCAAGTGTTCCACCACTAATCAAATTGTAAGCTTCATTTGATGTTGATGAAATATTTAGAGTTGAATATAATCCATAATTTATAAATACATTAAACATATTATCCTCTGTTGTCTAAATAAATAAGAGCAATAAAGAATCGATAGGGTTAAAAAGAAACTCTTTCTTTCTTTTCTTTTACTTTTTTTTTTTTTGTTGACACTTACTAGGCTAGTTGAAAATAAAGCTCTGACATTGGTGGTACCTTTAAAGGCAAAACCAATGGCGACACCAGACCAATCAAACGAGTAGACCGATGAGTTTGATTGATCGACTCTACCTTGATAGAATAGGTTTGCATTGCTTGGTAGGATCACCTGTGATGGTGGAGGTGTAGGTGTTGGTGAAGGGGTTTGTGTTGGTTTACGTGCCAAAACAATACCTCCTCCATTGCTAGTGATTAGACAGCATACTAGTACTACTAAAATCGTGGTTATAATCTTTATCATCTTTTTATCTTCTTTTTAAATATGTTGTTTAATTATTGGTTGCTGTTGCTATTGCTGTTGTTGAACAGCATACTCTATATATCTATTTAATTAAATGTGTAAACATGAGGTTGTTTAAAAAGACAGCTCATCAAAGAGCACAACACTGATTGATCGCTCAAAAAGCCTCTAATTTTATTTTTTTAAAAGCGAAAATTCTTTTTTCTTTTCAATGTGTTCCATTTGGTGATCATAGGTTCCCTACTCTTTTTTTTTGTTTTTTTTGTATTTTCTTTGTTTACAAAATATTATATATTGTTCAAAGAGTATTTAATGAACTAGACACTGAAATGAAATGTCTGACAAAGGTTTTATCATTAAATCGATCATCGTGATTTGTATGACACTGAAATGTTGTTTGGTGATTCGTTACTAATCACATAACATGATTGCTTGTTGCAGTTGGTCGTCAAACTAAACCTTCCTCATTTAAATATCATGATTAATAGCAGAAGTGGAATCCATCTATTCGGGTATCCAATGACTGGTGTAAGCAAACTGTTTTCTTGTCACTTTCCACCTTTGGGCAGGGTAATCATGTTTAGCGTGGAGAGTGCAGTGGGCACCTGACTTTGGCAAAGAACAATTTTAAACAAACTCCTCTCAAATAGCCAAGGTGCTTGTAATAGTGAATGAAATGAACTGGTGGGAATATTTAAATGGTTAGTTGGTAAATAAATATATCGTATACGATGAGTGAATGAACAACTACAGCAGTATTACTATAGTATATACGCGACGTATGTATCTAGAGATAGATATCCGTAACAAGAGATACAATATGTACTTACCTCTCTATGACATACTATGACAGTGCTCTTTCCAGATGTTCAGTCCTTTAAAAGGAGTGCTATTTTGTCTTTGTAATAAATATTAGTTTCCATTTAATCAGAGTTCCAGGCATTGTCTATCCTCTGATAAGAGCGGTATCGGTCCAAGTTGGTAAAAGTAGTATACTATATATCTTTGAGTACATCAACAATCCATGGTCGGTCGTAGACACCATAGATATCATTCGTCGTCATTGACTTTTCTACACGAGTGGAATACTTGCACCCACTGTGGTTGTTCTATTTTTAAAGATGTCAACTGGAGTGTTGGTGGCTTGTAAAGGATGGGTTGGCGGACGGATACCAAAGAGGGGAGAAGTTTCTTTTTAATTGTGATCGATACATGGGCATTCAATAGCATGCAAAGAGTGTTTGAGAGATCTGGTCCCCAAACTATGATGTATAGTTCAAATTTTGTTATCCTAAAAATTTAAATTTTGGAGTGCAGATTAGATTAGAGTGGTATTTACTAGGAATTGTGAAATTGAAAAAACGGGGGTATAAAATCGCAAAAAAATATATTTTGACATCAATTTTGCGCAATGCAGAGTATAAATACGCCAAAAACATATCCAAAAACACAAGAGTGAATGGATGTTTGGAAAACAGCGTATAAATACGCCAAAAAATATATCCAAAAACACAAGAGTCAATGGATGTTTAGCTCAGTTGGAAGAGCGATTGGCTACGAACCAATAGGTCGCAGGTTCAACCCCTGCATCATTCAAATCTTTTGTAGTTTTTTTTTTTCAGCCGGTCTTGCGGGTGCTTTTTTTGTCATTTTCTTGTTCTACACATCGATGGCCACAATTATAACCAAGTTTCATTAATTTCCATTGAATCCATAAAGGGAAAACCTTTAAAACAAAAAACAAACAATCCAAAAGATTTCCAGTCAATTGACATTTGATATTCCATAAACAATGAACCTAATCTAGAGAGGTAATATTAAGCACTTTGATTGTTTAAAAAAGACATCCAACAACCAGGGATTTAAATACAAGATCTATTCGGACCACCTGCCATACTTTTAGTTTGTATTTTCCTTTTGGCTAGTGAATCTATTTGTTAAACTTTGTGACTAAAATCTAACTGATCCTGACCATAGTGTGAGATTTTCCTTCTTTTTGTCCAATGTCCTGGCACTAATCAAGAAAATTAAAAATTGTTTGTAAAATGGATGAAAGAGATAATGTAAATAGAAACGATATGCCAAGTTAAACCATACAACGAGTCATTGATCATCTCTCCATTTATCCAATGTATGTTCATGAATCTTTGTTACTCGATCACACCTTTGTCTAAACACACACTTCATTTTACTCTAATCAGAATACCACACCCTTTCCAATCAAAAACAAAAAAATAACAAAAACAGTGGTGTCTGATAAAACATCAAACATCTAAACAGACAATTAATTCATCACACTGTTTAATGATTGTTCATTGTAATAGACAGTGCAATGGTAAAGGTTATCAACAACTACAACAAATATCATTTTTTACTAGTAATACTACTAGTCATAATCATCCCATCAACAACAAGTTCAGCAGCCTCTGATGACAGCAAAATAGTAATCTATGATGAAAAGTTATCAGATAAATTCTTTATTACATCATCACCTCCAATCAATGTACAAAGCACAAAAGTTCCCAATGGAAACGGTAACCATTCCATAGAGTTTGTAAATAGTTTTTATATTTTTTCTAAAAACGATCCAATCAAAAACCTTACCTTTGACAGAACAACTCATCGTTTTCTTTCCTTTGATGTGATGACAACATCACCAGATCAAGATATAACAGTCACTCTCATCTCTACTACAAAGGAAGGCTATTCTTTACCATTAATCGATCCAGTTCATCCTTCCAATTCTTTTTCAAAATCTACTTTTTTAACTCAAAATAAATGGACAAATGTAATTACATATAAAAATAATAAAGGTTTATTTATCTATTAACTTTTTCTTTTTTAATTTTATAGATAAAGTTGGATTTAGAGTATTTCCCATTTAATAGTTTTAGGGGTGTATGGTTTCTTCAAAAACATCCAAACACTTCAATCTTTATTGACAATATCATTTTAGAACCTCAACTAATCCAAAGAAATTATGGAATCATTTATCATAGTGGGATGATTGGATACGGTATTTTAATTCGTGACAATGATCAAACTAAACTATTCCAAAATGATGTAGTATTTAAAGGAAGTGAAAACTCTATTGAAATGGATATTTCTAAAAATAGTACATTATTATTTCAATATACTTCTTTCCTTAGACCAAAAGTATGTAAACAAAAAAAAAAAGAAAAATACCAAAATCTAAAATCTTCTCTCTCTAACAACTTTTTTTGATTATAGAATATGAGTTTATCATTTTTAATAAATTGGGGAAGTTTAGGTAATGGTGGAAAAAAAATTATAGAAACAACAGAACAAGCAGAAAAAAAGAAAAAAGATAAAAAGGATAATGATAAAAAGGATAAAGAAAAGGATAAAGATAAAAAAAAGAAATCAAATGATGATGATAAAAAGAAAAAAGATAAAAAGGATAACGATAAAAAGGATAAAGATAAAAATGATAAAGATAAAAAGGATAAAGATAAAGATAATAATCATAATAATATTTTTGAAAATCCAACTACCAATAATACTACCAATAATGATAAAGATAGTGATGATAAAGATAAAGATAAAGATGATGATGATGATGATAAATTGATAATAGATTCAATTACACTTAGTTTTATACCATCATTACAAATTGAACAAACAAAAAAATTTACCTTTAATAGAAACAAACAAAAAGGTTGGAATAGAGTATGTATAAATCCTTTAGATTCTCTACTCTTTTTAATTTATTAATTTTTTGTATAGATGACAGTAAAAATACCAGAATCAACATTTTCTGGATTTTCATTTAGTGTACCATCAAATCTAACAGAAAAATATAATGTTTATTTTGATGATGTTAGAATTGAAATATTGGTACAACCACAAAACCTATCGTTTGGAAAATATCAAACCATTGAAGACAAGAGAAACCAAGTTTTATATCAATTGGACAATCAAACCACCACCACCTCGCCCAATTCAACTGAAAAGGAAATTACATCTTCATTTCCAGGATCTAGATATTTCCCTTTTACAAAGTTGTCATTAGACTATGTCACTTCTACCAATGGTGTAGTTAGTAAATGGGTAGAAGGATTTCCAACCATTACATTGAAAACAACCCAAACACGTGTAGTAGGAAGAGGAGATTTTGTTTCTTTTGAAAATGAACAGTTACAATCGCTGGTTGGACCTGGACCACTAGAAGTTTTGTTTCAAAAAGAAACGGAAATGAATGATTTCCAATTCCTACATTTAGACTTTTCATTTCCAACCAATCAATTCTATTTGGTTGTTGGAGCAGTAGACAACTTTGAAGATATTTGGATATCGGCCACTGACCAAAAGTTTGCCACCGTCATGAAATGGAATCTGTTGGCAAGTGGGTTCCTCAACCCTCTGGGAAATGAAACCGATTCAATGATCAAATACAAGGTTAAAAACCAGGCTCTCTATCTCACTGCTGGCAAGGGTGATAATTCATTGCCACTAGGTACTCATCGCAACTATATCGTCGTTCAACCAGTCGACAAGGTATCAACCTTGTCCTTTTCGATGGTATCCAGTGTTGATTCCTCTCTTGTTTTTTATTCTCTTTATGCAATCTCACCAAATACAACCAATTCAATTAATGCTACTAGTATTAATCCAATTCCTTTAAATAATATTAATTCAACAATCATTTCAAAATAACAAACAAAAAGAAAACAAAAAAAACAAAAAAAATAATAGTTATATATATATATTAAATAAATCATAGTTTTAATCTTATAGTTTTTTTTTTTTTTAAATCATCATCATCTGTAGTTTTTTTACTTGAACGACCTTCAGATACCAAACCTTCATTATCATCTTCATTATAATCTCTTGGTCTTTCACCAACGTTGCCATACATATCGACATCCATTCTTTCTTCGACGAGTTGATTTTCGTCGACATAGGCATCTTCTTGATCTGGGTTTGTAGCCCACCAACTGACCATGCCCAAACCACTGTCACGCATCGATCCTCTAACAATCATTGGTGACTTTAAATTTTTTAGATATTCATCTCTTTCCCTGTCGATACGCTCTTGTTCCTTGATCAATGCGATATCGGCAGTGTTGGTAGGTGCTATTTTTGCTTTGGGTGCAGGTTGAGAAATGGCAGGATTAAACTCTACATTGTCAACCTTGAATCTAACTCTTCCTCTTGCTTCAAAAAATAATTGTGTATCTGCCCATTCCCAATACCATAATTGTTCACCTTCATCACTATATAAATGAAAGAGAGAGAGAGAAGATTTGATTAACTCTCTTTTTTCTTTTCTTTCTATTATCTTTTCTTTTCTTTTTTCTTACTAGAATGATGGATTTGGTAAATCAATTGAAGAAATCATTACATCATTATAGAAACCCAATGATACAATGATATAATCTTTTGTTGTTTTTTTAATGACACCTTCCAATATCTCTCCTACAAATGGTTTGAATACAACCAAACGACATCTAACTATTAAATGAGAACCACCATCTCCTGAATAAATATATGCATCACCAGTTCCCAATATATCATACAATGCTATAAATAATCCTCCATTAATTAATATCTAAAAAAGAAAAAAGAAAAAAGAGTTAGAAAGAGAGAGAGATAGACAGATAGATGTATTCTTCTTCTTCTTCTTTTTCTTCATCATCATTTTACTTTATTTGTATATTTCTTTTCAATTTCATCTTCTATTGTTTGTAATTCATTTTCAAATGCACTTGGTGGTATTCTAACCTTATCTTCTATCGTTATTAAATGAAACATAATCTCTTTCTTCTTTTTTAAATATATGTACAATTAAAAGAGATCGTCGTTTAATAAATAAATTGATTAAATCGAAAGAAAACGATCATTGTTTGAGTCGAGAAGTTCAAAAAAAAAAAAAATCAAATTTATAAATATTTTAGTAAAAGGCTAAGAGAGGGAAATAACTATATTTTATCCAACCTATAATTTGATCAATTGGGATACCATTTCAATAAACAAATAATAACATAAATGTAATCTGGTATGTACTATTTCTTTTAGTAGATTTTTTGTTGTAATAACTTTTTTTTTTTTGTTTCTTTCTAGATGAATGTTTATGGTGATCCAGAATCTTCAGACGATGATGAAATCGATAATATAGATCAATTTAATTTTATTGGAGGTATTTTACTATTTATCATTGGATTTATAGTCTATGTTCCTTGGATAATTTTAATTGTATTCTATCCAAAAAAAGATTATAGAGTTGTTCAACTTCATGCTCCAGCTTTATTCTTTTTATTTCTTTGGTTATTTTCTTTTACGAGTATCATCTTGGTTGTAATTATTAGAACAATAACAAATAAATAGTAGTATGAAAAAAGACAAAGAAGGAATAAATTCCAATTTTATTATTATTAATAAAACTGTTGACTGTAGAAGAAAAAAAAAAAAAAAAACTAAGTGTAAAAAAAAGGGTTATGAGAGCTCACGTAGTAGTGGACTGGTGGTGGTGATTCTATCTAATGATGATTGGGTTTTGAGAATGACCTTGGGGTATATTATAATAGGACCCCTCCAAAATTACGTTTCCCGATTGACTACTATGGTTTCCAACTCCATAGAATCTTGTTGTTGAACAGTTTTGATTTGATGGTTGAGAATGTTGTTGTTGTTGTTGTTGTTGTTGTTGATCATAAACTTGATGATGTTGTTGATGTTGATGATGATGGTGAATAGTATGATGTTGAACATCACCATGGGGATATCCATGTTGTTGTTGTTGTTGATGATGTTGCTGTTGCTGTTGGGGTTGTTGAATTGTCCAATAAGAGGACGATTCATGATTATATACTGGTCCTGCATGACTGGTATAATGACCACTAGCATGATCATCTTGTCTAATCCAAATTGCAGTGTCTCCATCATTGACATCAATCTCTTCGTCATCTTCTTCATCTTCTTCCTCGTCTTCTTCTTCCTCTTCAAAACCTCTAACATCTTCTTCATCGTCTTCATCAGAGTTTTCAAAATAATCTGGATGGCGTTGTGGTTGTGGTAGTGGTTGTTCTTGTTGTTCTTGTTGTTGTTGTTGTTGATATACAAAAGGAATAAAAGTAGGTGGTTGTAATTGAGTAAAAATAAGAGTTTGTTGTTGTTGTTGATTTAAATACATTGGTTGTTGAAAATTTTGTTGTTGTTGTTGTTGTTGTTGTTGTTGTCTTGTTGGTTGACTAACCAATATAGTACGTTCATAGTGGTAACTTGAAAAACTATGATCGTTATTGGTTATAGTACCATTGTTGTTGTTTTGTTTACGATTAAAATGCCTCTCTCCAATTAAGGAATCTGAATATGGATTAATATCAAGAAGATATTTTTGTTGAAAATTATTATTATTATTATTATTATTATTATTATTAACAGGTTGTTGTTGTTGTTGTGGCTGATGTGAAGAAATAAAACCATTATTATTATTACTATTGTACCCTTGTTGTTGTCGATCGGGTTGGTTAAGAGTTGCTGTCTGAGAAGAGCTATTGTTGTTGTTGTTGTTGTTATAGTAATAAGTATGATTTGGTGTAGAGTGGGCCGATAGTTGATTGCCCGTTGAACAAGGGGGAGGGGGAGCAGCAGATGTTGCTGCACTATATCTACTAGGGATTGGTTGTTGAGGTTGTTGAGGTTGTTGTTGAATTTGTTGTTGAATGGGCTGTTGTAGCTGTTGTAGCTGTGGTTGATAATAGTGTTGTTGTTGATAATGATGAGGTGGAGGCGGTTGACGTCTTGCAGCAGTTTCAATAATATGATATTGATTAACAATTTGTTGTTGTTGTTGTAATTGTTGTTGCTGTTGTTGTTGTTGTTGTTGTTGTTGTTGCTGATAAATAATTTGTTGTTGTTGTAAATGTTGTTTTTGTTGGTTGTAATGACGAGCCATGTTGAATTGATGGTTTTTGTAATAAAGGATATTACTAATAAAATTTGGTTGCGATGGAATCAGAGTATCGATAAAGTCGTCCAATTCGGTGGCAGCGGTGGTACTAAAGAATGGGTGTCTGAGAGCATCGTAGGCAGTGATTCTCTTTTTTGGGTCCAATTGGAGCATTCTGCTCGCCAAGTCGACCAATAGGGGGAGATGGTGGTTGAGCTCGTAAAAGTGTTCTGTCAAGGTGCTTGGTCGTCTGTGTGATCGCATTGCAGGCACCATTGTGCTCCAACAGGGGAGCATGCTCACGCCTGGCCATTCCACTTCAGACGGCGTACCAAATATTGAGAATATCTGCTCCAACTGTTTGGCTTCATCGTCGCCAGCAAATAAATATTGACCCTTGATCAATTCCATCAAGACACAACCAACACTCCAAATATCAATCTCTGGACCATAATTAAAGGATCCAAGTAGTAATTCTGGTGGTCTATAATAAAGTGAAACCACATTGTTTGACAATACACCTTCACTTTGATCTTGATATGATGTCGATAGTCCAAAATCTGATAATCTTAATTTCCCTTTATTATCAATTAATAAATTTGCAGCTAAACATAAAAAAGATAAAGAATAAAAGATAATTAGAACAAAAAATAGATTATAATTATAAAAAAAAGAAATTTTTCCTTTCTTTCTTTTTCACTTACGTTTAATATCTCTATGCATCACTCCTTTTGAATGACATTGAAAGACTGCATCTAATAATTGTCTTGTATATGATTTGATTTTACCAAAAGTTAGTTGTGTGATTTTAGAGGGAGTTGACATGATCTTCCAAAGATCATCATCTACAAATTCCATCACTATACACAACTCTGTAGGTGATCGATAGAAAAAATTATATAATTGAACTACATTTGGTGAACCTTTTAATAAATCTAAATATTTAACTTCTACTGGTATCTAAAAGATAAAGAGATAGAGAGGTAGTAAAGAAGATATAAAAATGGTTAACAATCAACTTTATATATATAAATCATTCTTTTTTCCTAATAGGTTTACATACTCCATCTTCTTTGGCTACATTTGAAACTACTTTGATTGCTACATTTTGTTGAATAGATTTATCAAATGCTTTATAAACCTTTCCATAGGTTCCTTCTCCACATGGTGACCAACCCTCCATTGCATTAAAATCTACTATGTATGTATTATCATTAACCATTACAAATAATAAACAAATAATAAAACTATAATCTCGCGAGTTTGATTATTGATTGTATATATGATAACTCTTTCTCTCTCTCTGTTGATGTTGTTTCTGCTTCTGCTGCTGCTGCTGTTGTTGATATTTTATAAAATAACTACTAACTATTTGTTGTTTATGATGATGATAAAAGTAAACATAAAATGATTAACTAGGTTGTTTTGTTTTTTGTTAAACAAAAAAAAAGAAAAAGAAATATAAAAAGTTGAATAAGATAAAAAAGGTGAGAATTAATAATAATCAGTGAGGGGGTGAGGTAGTGATGAGTGCCTAGAATTAGGTAGTACTAGTAAAAAAAAGAAAGATTCTTTGCAAAGAACAAAAAGTTTATGGGCGCCGTCAAAGGGAAGGGTAGCTTTAATTGAATTGGTTTTGAAAAAAAAAAACAAAAAAGGAAAAAAATCGGTTCTGGATGAAAATGAAAAAAAAACAAAAAGTTAGCTTTTTTTTTTTGATAAATTAAAAAAAAAAAAAAAAAAGAGTATAATTGTTTGTTGTTTTTGTTGAACTTTCTCTTTGTCTCTTTTGATGATTATGAAAGAGATGGTGAATATAATGTATTTTCCACTTCTGTCTGTCTGTAAATAAATAAAAAACGAAAAATCCAGATCTTTTCTTCTATATAATTTTTTTTTATACTTTTTATTATTATTGTCTTTTTAGTTGGTTGCCCTTCTCTCTCTTTCTCTTTCTCTATCCACTCACACTCTCGCTTACCTTTCACCTTGTCCCCCACAAACTTTGCTATTTGTGGTGGAGGGGGAAGAGGAAGGGTTTTTAAAACAAAAAGAAGAATGATAACGATTTTCAAGGTTGGAAAGCTTGCTCACCAAAATGATGATATGGGAATTATTAATATCGATCGTTTATTGTGATTGTATTGTTGTTGTGTTTGTTATTGGTATATTATTATGAGAGAGAATGAGAGAATGAGAGGAGGGGGAATGGTTAATGATATTAAACGATATAGGTGGTGATGTTATCATATTATCATTATTGGTGTGATATACTTGTTTGTTGTTGTTTGTTGTTTGTTGTTGTGTTGTGTTGTTATTATTGTTGTTTCAATATATCGTTGATTTTGCTTTTTTAATTTAATCTTTGGATAGGATATCAGTAAATTTTTTGAGTAATAATGTAGCGGTTATTACATCCATGCTTCGAACAGACACGACGACAGAGGTGGGGGTAGTGTTTTTACCTGTTTCAGAACCAACCAACTCTAGTTGAATAAAAAGATCCACCGATTTTAAGGTGCTCTTTCCAGCAAATTGGAATTTGGATCGAGATTTGTTGGCAGAGATGGCTTGCATGTTTGCACTCTCTAAAATTAGATTCAAAATATTGTCGCTTTGGACAGCTCCGCCAAGATCTACTTGATCGCTTGCATTTTGCATTTCCAAGCCATCGAATTGTTGTTTCCACTCCTCACTGGATATGTTTAATGGGGATACCAATTCCCCAATAATTGGTGTTAAAACAACTGGGTGAACTCCTTTGGATGAACTAAAAAAAAAAATCACATTAATAAGTTTGAATTAGTAATTTAAATCTCTACACAGAAAAAAAAAATAGGTAGGTTGAATGGATAACACAAGGTTGGTAGGTGGGTGGGTGGGGACTGTACATAAATTAAATTGTTTTTTCCATGGTGAAAATATAGTGATCTTGTTGTCGAGTTTTTTTACTTTTGGGGGTATTTGATACATGTACATCTGAATAAAAACAAAGAAACGAATGGGATCAAAATATACATATACATATGTGGTGGGTTGGAAAGAGATATAAGAGTGGGGGGATGATAGTGGTGAATTGTTGATTGGAAGAGTGGGGGTAGTAGTAGTAGATGATACGAGTAAACTAGTGGTGTGGAGAATAGTTATAATGTCTCTTATCTATTCTTGTTCTACATATTCATATATTGTCACTGCATTGTTTGCTGTTGCTACCGTCAAATGACACCAAAAAATATCATGTATAAAACAACATTTGTTGTTGATACGTCGTGAACGTATTCATTTCCAAAGATTACGTTGCGTTTTCTTCTTTTCTGTGTATCTCTTTGTAAATTGTCATACCTCTTCCAAATAAAATATTGGGAATGGATACATTGGAGATTATTTTTTCTTATCAAACAAAAAAACAATAATATGATTTGATTTGATTGGATTGAAATAGTAATGTTGTGTTTTGTTTTTTTTTTTTTTTTAATATGTACATACCAAATTTCAAATTTACATGATTGTGAAGTAGAGTTAAAAGTGACAAACAAATTGGTTTGGTAAGATTCATTTGGAGGGATTGATTCAATCTCGTCAAAATCTTGAATATTGGCACCATCAATTAAAGTTTTCTTGCCAATCTTGATGTTGGAAATGGTTTCTTCGGTGGAGTGATTCTTGAGGTATAATTGAATGACTGTGCATCCTGGGGTTATTTCAACATCCTCCCCAATCTCTTCTTTTGGTCTACGAAGGAAACAATAATCAATAGATAACCCTCCACCAACAGTTGGCTTGAGTAGGATCTTCTTTATAGACTTTGAAGAGGTTGATTCTAAATTTAATTGATCCATTTCCTCAACTACTCCAAATAATTGATCCATTTCATCATCATCCATTACTTCTTCTTCTTCTTCCTCTTCTTCCTGATGACGTTTGTTATTCTTTGATTTCTTTGATTTTTTCTTTCCTTTACCATTTTGTTTCCTTTTTAAAAATTAAAAAAAAATAAGTAAGTAATCTTGAAGGATCTTTTTTTTGTGTAGTCTTACTTTGAACCTTCAGATGAATCACTAAAGAATTTATCCAATTCATCTTGAGAATCTTCTTCATCTTCATCTTCTTCATCTTCGTCTTGATCACCATCATATTCATCACTATATTCATCTTCATCTTCTTCTTCTTCATCAGAGTAAAAGTTTTCTTCAGTAAAGCTAAATACATTCTTTTTAACAGAAGTTTGTTCTGGAATCCATTGTTTTGGTTGTCTAACAGATGGGTCAGGGACTTCTTCTGGGAAATCTGGTAATGATTGATATCCCATTGCTGAATGATTAACAATTTGTGAAAGACTTCCTAAAACAAATCTTTGTCGATCTAAAATAGATTAAATAAATAAATTAGTTAAAATTATAGTCTATTTTTTTTTCTATTTTTTTTACCTTCAGAAACACTAATTTCAGTTGGAGCAGGTTTTTGATTAATAAATATAGATTTTGATTGATTTGCAAGTTGTTGAGTAGATTCTGTATTGATTAAAAGGAATCTCATCATTCTAGCACTATCTCTAACATCATAGTTCATATCAAACTTGGCTTGATTAATAATATATTGGAACAACAATGATGTTTGTTCTGGATTGTGGAAATGTAATTTGGCACCCAAATTTAAGATTTGTAATTTTACACTTTCATCTTCATCTGAAAATGTTTTGGCTAATTTTCTTAATACATCTGGTGCTACCATTGGTATTTTATGAGAGTATTCACCTAAAAAATAAATAAATAAAGAGGGATATTAATATCATTTATCTCTTTTTCTTTTTTTTCTTTTTCTATTTCTTTACCAATAACCCAAATAATAGCAGCACGAGCAGAAGGAACTTGAAGATTATCTAAAAGTTTTGCAAGGTGCATGATGATATTTTCAGATTTGATAGACGAGTCTGGATTATCAACATTTAATTGTAAAAGTCTCTTGAGGACAATAACACATTCGGCAACAACGACAGATGAAGAATTGGACAAGAGAGACATGATACCATGAGTACAGCTTTCAGTGACATCTGGAATGGTGGCTGCACAAGTACCAATAGCTTGAATAGTGGCAGCTGCGAATTTTTTATCTTCACTCTTTACATATTCCTTGAATTCCTTCATAATTCTACTAATGTTTTCAGCAGTTGCCAATCTAGTTAGAATCTCTAATTTCAATTTAATACTATATTCTGGATCACTTGATTTAATAAAGAAATCTGATAAATATGGTTCAAACATATTCTAACAAAAAAAATATAAAAGTATTAATATTATTTTTGTTTTTTCTATTTTCTATTTCTTTTTCATTTACTTACAGGTCTAAGAGTAACCATTGTAGAAATATTTGTTAAAGCAATATATTGAACTTCTGGACTAATATGTAAGATACGGACAAGAGATTTACCAACTTTTTGAGCTTCAATAACAGGTGCAACATAAAAGTAGAGAGAAGAGACTGCCATGACAACGGCATTACTTCTACTTTGCAAGAGTGGAAGACATGATTTCAACAATAAACGATGATCAATATCAATCTCTTCTTGATCCATTGGATCGTATTTCTTTACACTTGTAGTTTCTCCATCATCTTCATCATCACTATAAAATGATGATTTTTTCTTATTATGTTGTTTAACATTTTTATCATTCTAAAGAAGAAAGTAAAAGTAAGTTAATATAAATATATAGAGGAAGATATATATTTCTTTTCTATTTTCTATTTCTATTTCTATTTTACCATTGAAGAATCAGGACATCTAAATTGAGTTCTAGCATATTTTGTCAAGACAGAGATAGTGATAACTTGAGACCATTCATCAAAATCGGCCAACAATTGACAGATTTTACGATAGTGTTGATGAATGATATCGTAACGATTTGGGCATACCTCGTTAAAGGCAACCATTGCAGCACCGAGAACCATTGTAGAGTTGTCAGAGAGGAGTGATTCAATGAGTTGAGCCAACTCGTCTTCCTTGTCTGAATCGAGTTTGTGTACCTTTGTGATGGCAAAGGCAGCAGCCTTTCTGACATAGGGACTGCTGTCCTTGACACACTTTTCAATGGCCAGTACAATGACTTGAATAATATCGACTACACGAATCGAAGACATGACACGCAATGCAGAGGCACGAATCACTTGACTCTTGTCTGACAGCGACTTTTGAAATGTGTTGATGGCAAGCAAAGCACTGTCGTGCTCAATCTCTGCATAGTGTACCAAATACATATAAACCAACTTTTTCAATTCAAAGTTCTTTGCAATAACATTCTTTACTACTTGTGGAAATACTTCAGATACATCTCTACCTTTTGATAACATCTAAATAGTGAAATAAAAGTAATGATTAGTAATGTGAGTTGTTTGATATATAGATACATATACAAATATTATATCTCTCTGAACTTACAGCAATCAATTTCTTCATGCACTCTAATTTATCCTTGTCTGATGGTCCATCTAATTGTTTCTTGATCTCTTCCAACTTGGTGTTGGTAGCAGAATCATTGAAATATCTACTTTGATTGATGTTGTTAAGTACAGTATTCATCTTTTAAGTTGTAAGTTGTAGTTGAGTAATAGTCTATCTTTTTTTTCAGATATTCTAAAAGTTATAGTTGACTTTTCTTCTTCTTCTTCTTCTTCTTGTTTCTCTAAACTATAAACTAACTCTATAGATACACTCTCCTTCTTCTTCTTCTTCAACCCTATTAGGAACTTTGACTGATTGTTTGAAGAGGTTCTGTAGATAGTAATATATATATATATATTGAAGTGGTCTATAGATATGATCGAGTTCTCTGATATCCACTTTACCAGTCTAAAGTGAGAGTGTGTTGATAAGATTTTTTTTAATTTTTGTGCAAAAAAGAGGGACTCTCGAAAAAGAAAGAGAAAGAGCTCGAAAGTTCTGTCAAACCATCTATTATTTTTAATTCCCGATTTTGTCGAAACCACAGACATGGGGAACAACTTCCGACCACAACATGATAAATATATATGGAGGGAATAGAATAATATCATGATGGTGGGTGGTTCTTCATCCATCGATCAACCATTATCTGCAGGCATATACATATATATAAAAAAAAAAGCCAGGTGGGCCCAAAAAAAACATACCAAAAATGAATTAAAATAATATACATATGAATATTTATAAAACCCAACAAATATTAGATATATCATCATTTTCATTCTCTCTTTCCTTTCTTTATAAATATATATATATATATTTAAATAATTAATTTATTACTTCTTTAGTCATCACCAAAGTTATGGCAGAATATCGTATAGTATGTGTTGGAGGAGGTGGAGTTGGTAAATCAGCTTTAACTATCCAATTTATTCAACATCATTTTATTGATGAATATGATCCAACTATTGAAGATTCTTATAGAGTATGAAAAAAAACAAATTATTAATTAAAGGGGAATGGAAACCTAGAATGATTAAATATATTTACCTTTTTCTTTTTATTTTTCTTTAGAAACAAATAATTGTTGATGATGAACCATGCTTACTGGACATTTTGGATACTGCTGGTCAAGAAGGTTTGTATATTATAATTATTATTATAATTATTTTTATTCCCTTTTCTCTATAATATTTCTGACAATTTACTAACTTGTCTAGCAACCTTTCCCTTTTTAGAATATAGTGCCATGCGTGATCAATATATGAGAACTGGTCAAGGATTCTTATGTGTCTATTCTGTAACTTCTAGAGAATCTTTTGATGAAGTAAATTCATTTAAAGAACAAATCATGCGTGCCAAAGGTAAATAATAATATTAACAAATATATTGATTGATCTTATACTTATATATATATATATTGTTTCAAACTCTTTTAGACTCTGATAAAGTACCTACAATGGTTTTAGTTGGTAACAAATGTGATCTAGAAGCAGAAAGAAAAATATCAAAATCAGAAGGAGAGGAGTTGGGAAAGAATTTGGGTGTACCATTCTTGGAGACATCTGCAAAGACAAGACACAATGTCGAGGAGAGCTTTTATCAACTTGTAAGAGAGATTGCAAAGGATCTAAAGGATACAGATCCAAAAGTAACTGAACAAAAGAAGAAAAAAACTTGTACCATTCTTTAGAACCAAATCTCTATAGTCATCATCATCTTTTTCTTTTTTCTTCTTATCTATAACCATTTGTAAATAAACCTATATATCCATCATACTATTATCATACTCGTATCCATATATGACTCATCATAGGATCTAGAAGAACAATAAGTAACAAGTTTTGTTGCTAATGAAAAAAAAGAAGAAGAGGATTTTGGGAACTCTGCTTCGAGATCACGATTTTTTTGTAAATTAAATTTAATTTTTTTTTTGTTTCACAAGCTTGCAAGAGTTGTTTGTGAACTTGAATCAATTAAATAATATCCTCATCATTTACATATTTAATTTATATATATTACTTGTAGAATGAGTCAACTTAATTTAGTAGCATTAGAAAGAGCATGTGCAGAGTCACGTGGTTTATCAATGGATGCTGTAGCCAAGGCTGCATCAGGTCATTTAGGTTTACCATTGGGTGCTGCTGAAATAGGTGCTGTATTATTTGGTAGTGCTTTAAATTATAACCCAGAACAAGTATGAATCACATATAAGCATATATATATCTCTCTCTACTCCTATCATCATCATCTTTACTTATTTCATTTTCTTTTACTTTTATTTTTTAGCCAAGATGGTTAAATAGAGATTATTTTATACTTTCAGCAGGACATGGATCAATGTTTTTATACAGTTGGTTGAATTTATCTGGGTATGAATTGTCGGTAGAGGATATTAAAAACTTCCGTCAATTAAACTCAAAGACACCGGGACATCCAGAGTTTCATCATACCGTTGGTGTAGAAGCCACTACTGGTCCATTGGGACAGGGTGTTGGTAATGCTGTTGGTATTGCCTCTGCCTGTAAGATGTCGGCTGGCAAGTTCAACACTGAACAACACAAGATTTTCGATCAAAAGGTGGTCGTATTGTGTGGTGATGGTTGTTTGCAAGAGGGTATTGCTCAAGAGGCCCTATCGTTTGCCGGTCACCACCGTTTGGACAACTTGGTCGTTATTTACGACTCTAATGATGTGACTTTGGATGCCATGGCCATCGAGTCGCAAAGTGAAGACACTGTCAAGCGTTTCGAATCACTTGGCTTTGAAGTGCAACTCGTCACCGAGGGTAACAACCTCACCGAGATTGCCAACGCCTATGAGCGTGCTCGTACCTCCAAGTCGGCCAAGCCACACGCCATCATCTGCAAGACTGTCATTGCCAAGGGTATCCCAGAGGTCAGTGGCACCAACAAGGGTCACGGTGAAGCCGGTGTCAAGTTTATCGACGCCGCTCGTAAGAACCTCGGTCTCCCAGAGGAAAAGTTCTTTGTCTCCAAGGATACTCGCGACTACTTTAACCAACACAAGCAACAATTGCTCGTCAAATACAATCAATGGGACAAGACCTTCCAAGAATGGAGATCTGCCAACCCAGCCCTCGCCACTCTCCTCGACTCTGCCAACATTGACCTCAAGTCATGTGAGCTTGTCACCAAGATCCCAGAATTCAATGTAAAGGACACCATTGCCACCAGAAAGGCCGGTTCCGATGTTCTCCAACCACTCGCTCAAGAATTGCCATTGTTGATCTCTGGAAGTGCCGATTTGCACGGATCTACACTCAACTATATCAAGGATGGTCGTGATTTCACACCAGCCTGTCCATCGGGACGTAATATCAAGTTTGGTATTCGTGAACATGCCATGGGAGCCATGATGAATGGTTTTGCCTACCACGGTATCTTTAAGGCCTCTGGTGCCACCTTCCTCGTCTTTTCCGACTATCTCCGTCCATCGATTCGTTTGGCCGCTCTCTGTAACCTCTCGGTCACCTATATCTTTACACACGACTCTATCGGTGTCGGAGAAGACGGACCAACTCATCAACCGGTCGAGACTGTCTCTGGACTCAGAATGATCCCCAACTTGGACGTTATGAGACCAGCCGACCCTGAAGAGACTGCTGCCGCCTTTGCCAGCGCCATTGCCAGAAAGTGTGGTCCAACCCTCTTGGCCCTCTCCCGTCAAAACCTCCCAAATCTCTCTACCGTCACCTCGACCGACGCCGTCGCCCGTCGTAAGGGTACCCTGCAAGGTGGTTACATCTTGGTCAAGGAAGAATCTGATCTCGAGGTCATCATCATTGCCACTGGCTCTGAAGTTCAACATGCCGTAGAAGCTGCCAAACAAATTGGAAAGGGTGCTCGTGTCGTCTCGATGCCATGTACCGAACGTTTCGATCGTCAACCAGAGGAATACCGTCAAACTGTCCTCCCATTGTCTTGTCGCAAGAGAGTGGCCATCGAAGCTGGTGTCACTGCTTTTTGGTACAAATATGTTGGTCTCGATGGAAAGGTCATTGGTATTGATAGATTCGGTCTTTCTGCTCCAGGTTCAATTGTCATGAAAGAATTGGGTATTAATTCTCAATCAATTTTAAATGCTCTTAAAAATTAAAACGGAAATTAAAATATAAAACTATATTAAATTACAATTGTACCAAAGTCTTTTTTTATTTATATTTTTTTCTATTTTAACGATAAAGATTAGCTAATCTAATACCTTCTTTCTTTTCAGCTTCCATTTGTTTTAATTTACGAATGGTTAACCAAATGGCAATACCAATGAGAGCAGCACCAACGATGGAACAAACCACGGCGACTGGGATGACCCACTTTTTCGATTTGGGACATTCAACACTATCTTGATCGATGATGGCAGAGGCTTGATATTGATTTTCAACAATGGTGAATGAATCAAATGATGGTAATAGGACAGAGTATAAATAGATGATTTGAGTCGACTGATCTATTTCGTACGATTCTTTGGCTTGTTCCAATAGAGAAGGACGTTGGATGGTTGGATCCAATGTTTGAGTATATTGCACACGCTTTTCATTGACTAGTCTATTTGTAAATACACAATGTAGTGCAGAATGTCTAGTCTTGATTTGGTATTCATTAAAGTTTGATTCCATTACAGTTGGTTGAGTTGAATCACAATCTGTTTCAGTCTCTAGATTCGTAACCGTTGCAAATATAATTTCCAAAAGATTGTTTGGTGATTCAAATTTCCAATTGTTTACTGTTACCAAATAACTAACCGATCTATTTAATATTTCAAATTCTTCTCCATAGAAATATTGACTATCACCTATATCATCACCGTTAAATATTAAATCAATTACAACTGATGTATTGGTTAATGGAAATATTATAGTTGACCAAGTTTCTGATGAATTATTATTATTATTATTATTAATATTATTTAGTTTTATCCAATCTTGTCTATTATTTGATAATGTATAATTATTTAGAGTATTATTTGTGATTGGATCAAATTCTTGAATACGCCAAATGGATGAAAGAAAAGTGACAGTTGGTTCATTATAGGACATGTCAAATAGAATGTTGGAGGGTTGACCAGTTTCAAAAGTTGTTGTTTCTTGAGATGCATTTCCAAGTTGGGAACAATCACCCAAAATATAACCTGGGTTACATATACAATGAGCATCGACACAGATACCTTGTTCACTGCATCCATTTGGACAATCTCTAGAGTATTCGTAAAGATAGACTTCTGCACCACCAACAGCCTGATTGATTGAAACATTGACAAATAGGGATGATCTAATACCTGGCAATACATCTGAATTGTAATAAGCAATGATTGTATTCTTGTCGATAAATGATGCATTGACGCTTGGAAAGAATCCATTCAATCCACCAAAAAATACTTGTATATTGGCATCTTCAAAATTATCACCTCTAACTGTTACATAACCAGGTTGTCTAAATTTGAGTGATGTTGCACTCGATACAATTGGTTTTATAAATGTAAACCATGTAGGAGTGTCATTGGTTTGGTCACCAATACTAACTATAACCTTGTGTGTACCAAAACCAGGAGCCAAAAGACATACCAATTGAGTGTGATCAGTGATAAATGTAATATTTGTACATGGGTATGGACCAACCATAACATTGACAATGGATGGATCATTGAAAAAGTTGGTTCCACTAATCGTAAAGTTACCTCCACTAACACCCAAACTAGAGATGGACGAGATGGTTGGTATTTGATAGGTAAATGGTAACCATTGTGAAGGTTTTCCACCAGTCACCAAACGCAGTGAATGCAACTGACTACCGTAACCGGCTGGTGCTTTACAAACGATTGATTGATGTGCTTGAATGAATTGTGGTTGTGTACAAGACAGCGTATTATCAATGGTGTAGGTGATTTGGTTGAGGAATGAACCAAAATTCTTACCATAGATGGTGAATCCATCTCCAGTGGTGGTGGGCGAGGTAATGTGAACGAGTTGTGGTGGAGAAAAATTAATGGAAATGGTCGATGCATCGGTGGTTGGCTTTGAATCGATTTGGATCTTGGCATTATAAACACCTCCAATATAATCCAATGTAAAATAAGCCAATTGAGTAAAATAATCGATATAATAGGCTCTAAAAGATTGACCATTAAAAACCAATGATACATTACTCGTGACGATACCTGGGTTTTTAACGGCGATGGTAATATTTTGCAAGGTTGATAGACCCTGGAAATTATAATTACCACTGACTTGTGGTTTAGTGTCATCCCACCAACTCTCTATTAAAATGGGACGAGGAGATGTTGGTGGTTCATAATCAACCACTTGATTTCTAATACTATAGTATATACGATTGGTCGATGGGATACTCGTAGGAATGGTGTTACTCTTGTAAAGTTGTGTTGATTGTCCCGCCTTTGGACCAAATGCATAGACAATGTTTGTTTGTGAATTATACAAAACATTTAAATAGGGTTGAAGGTTTCCATAACAAACAGACTTTAAAAAATCAGCTTGTCCTTGATCCTTTACAACTCCCATTGTAGATACCATTCCTTCTAATATTTTACCATTTCCAATGGTTCCTTGATCTCCAAATAAACTACCAACATCAAAACATGAATAACTATAATTATTATTATTATAATCTTAAAAAAGAAAAAGAAAAGAAAAAAAGAATAAGTAAACTTATTCAATTATTTGTTTTTGGTTTGTTTTTTTTTTTTTACTACTTACAAACTGAAGATCTAAAAGAAATAATTTCAATAGTATTAATGGTTAGATTGATTGGTAAAAATGATTGTTGAATAGGTTGTTGAATGGTACAATTGATTGCATTATTATTGATAAATGCAATCGAAGTACATTGAGATTGTTGACCGGAGGGACCCAACCAAACTTGAATGTCTGATGCATTGAATCCAAAGTCTGTTCCAGAAATGGTGATTACAGAACCTTGTGTAAAGGTGACAGGTGGTCTACTGACCAATACAGTAGGGTTCCAATATTGATAGAATGAACTAGTGGTGGAAATACCATCAGTAACATTTAATCTATATTTACCAGTACCACTTGGCATCAAACAACTGTATCCAGACGCACCACCATCATTTCTAACGTCTGTACAATATTTAATTGATCGATCTTTTAATGGTTGCCAAGTTTTTGTATCTATTTGTTCTAGTGAGACTATAGTATCTTCTAGTATAAACTGACTAGCAGTATTATAATTTAAAAGAGTTGCTCTTCCTCCAATAGCAGGCATGGCATGTACGACGACATCAGAAGATCCACCAAACTCGCAAACAAAGGTATACTCTTGACTGATGGTACCTGTTCTCCACTTTTGTTCTATACCGTCATAATAGAGAAAGAGGGCTTGTGGATCGTTTAGACCCGCTTTAAAGTTGTCGGGCAAGTTGCAATAATAACCACATTTGTCATAATTGCCAGAGTATATCAATGCACCCTTTTCAGCACCAGTTGCAAACTTCCAATTACCATCAGCAGATGTTTTCTCTGAACTTATATAGATTGATACATTTCTCAATTGTAATGAATCTAATATAAAATCTTCTTCTTCTTTTGTTGTTATTGTTGCTAAATATCTTTAAAAAAAATTAAAAACAAGGTAGTAAGAAAGAAAAGATAGTTAGATAAGTAGGAAGTAGAGGGGTTAGGGGGGGTTAGGTGTCAAGTTTACATACCCTGGAAGACCATTATATCTTAGTACTGTACAAACATTGATTGCACTGGAATAAGGTCTAGTTGTTGAAAAGTATTGATAGACGTGATTGTTACCACTTGTCCATTGTGAAGTACTAGTTACTTGTGATTGTACAATTGTAATAAAAGTAGAAGAGTAAATTAAAATATTGATCAATATATTTAATAATAATTTATATTTATATTTGATCATCATCGTCATTTTTCTTCTTTATATTAAATAGATAGATAATAAGATATATATATATAGTTTGGTGATAAAAAGGAGGTTTCATGAATGCTCTGAGGAAGGAGGAGGAGGATTGATTGAAGACAAGAGTTGCAAATAGATTGTTTTGGACTTCACTTCATTTTGACAAGATATTTTGTTGTTTGGTGGGTTATCAGAATTGATCCGAATCAAAACACAGAGAGACATGCGCGTTTGTGCACCATCCTCCTATAGATTTTACAACAACAACAAAATTTATTTTAATTTATTTTATATTCTCGTCTCTAACAAGATCCACTCATAAACATTTGTGTCCAATATGGATAATTTGCAGAGGATTTAACCATTGCAACTCCAAAGTATTGATAGTTACCAAGAATATTATTCTTTGTACTGGATGCTGTTAGACCTGTTACTGCTGATGCATCTGTATTATATCCTGCTGCAACATTTCTAAATTGAGAAATGAAATGAAAATGGTTAGTATATATAGATATATAATTATTTAAATTGTTACATACTGAGAAGCAGATGATACTGAAACTACACCGGCAGCTTTCATTCTGGCAATGATCCCACCTGCTGGATTTGCATTTGTCATACTACTAATAGAAGCTTGGTATTGTGAGTGTGATAATGAAGCTTGAACTAGTTTTGAACATAGAGTCAAAGGAGCTTTACCATTTTGTGCTCTAAATGCATTGATTAGTGATAGATGTTGAGATACTACTGAAAGGTTTGGTCCACTTGGAGTTCCTGTGGTTGTTGTTGTCGATGGACTAGTGGTTGTAGCAGTTGTACTACTAGTGGTTGGTGTACCTGTAGTAGTTGTTGATTGAGATCCAGTAGTAGAAGTAGTTGATGGAACAGTTGTTGTAGTAGTTGTGCTTGGATTTGAAGTAGTAGTAGTTGGTGAAGTTGGGTTACAAGTTTGATAGTTTGCAAACTGTTGAGTCCAATAAGGTGTACCAGACGAAGTAGTTGCCATACCAACTCCAAAATATTGATAGTTTCCAATAATATTGGCAAAATGACCCGATGATGCAACCCATCCTGCAACTACTGCATCATCACTTGAATAACCAGATGCTACATTCCTTTTAAATAAAAAAAAATAGGATTAGATCGTTAATTATACCGATTTTTAAAATTATTACATACTCTGCAGCAGAAGACATTGATGCAGCACCAAATGCTTGCATTCTTGCAAATAAACCACCTAGTGGCGAATCATGGGTCATTGTAGTGATTGATTTTTGATAGTTTGAATGGTATTGAGCAGCAAGTTGAAGACATGGACTAAGGACGAGTGGGTTTTTACCATTTTGAGCTCTTACATTATTCACCAACCCAAGATGATAGTTTGGATCAAATGTTACTGCATTTATTAAAATAATATTTAAAATCAATGATATTAATACTATTATAAACATTTTTGATCGATTGATTGTATGTGAATAAATAAATAAATAAATAAATAATTGTGAGTAGAAAGGACCGATCGGTCAGTTTAAATAGTTTACCTTTTTAAAAGCCTTTAGATTATAGAACCGACGCACACTGTTTTAAAGTTGTTAACAATAGAGCCACCTTTAGATTCATTGAAATTAACTGTTTTTGTTTTTTTATCTGTAAAATTTGATTGACGCTTTGATGGATTTACAACAACCGTGGTGTTGGGAAAAAGTGGAGGTGACACGTTGTTGAATTATGATAATGACATTTTAGAAAATTAAATTTGGATGTTCAATTATTATTATTATTTCCTTGTGTCCTTTTTATTTTGGTTGGTTTGTAAATGAAATATAAAGGTTTTTAGGATTTTGAAGTAGTCTATTAAATTTGATAAATAATGGTTGATAATTATTATTATTATCTTTTTTTAAAGTGATTATTCCACCTAGGATAGTATTTCTATCTATCAATAGGATATGATCGCCACCCAATCGTCTAATATCAATTCTAGTATACATAAATGTTGAAAATATAATGGTTTGAATATTTGACTTTGTGATGATATCATCAATTCTAAACCTATCACCTTGATCATCTTCAATTTCAATATATAATTTTCTTAGATTTGGTAATTGAAAAAGATTATTATTATTATTAACTTTTTCTTTTTTCTTATTATTTTGGTTGTCAATAATTTTAATATTTAATTTTTCCAATGATTGATTTGAATCTTGAATTGTAATGGAAAGTTTGGTTGATGTAATTGGTATATAAAGTGGACCGGTGGATATACTATGATAATGTACACTTTTGATGGTTGGTGGAAAATCCATTTGAAAAGATTCTCGAATCATTAATTTTTCAAGATTGTTGAATTTAGATAACCAACCTCTTTCCGTCTTTTTATGATCCAATGTAAGTAGATCGATTTTTTTCAATGAACTTGGAAGGAATGATAAACTATTGACATTGTAGACATTTACAAAAGTAAACTTTTCCAATCCATTGGGGATGAGTGTATCTTGAATAACAATCTTTTTGTGATAATGGTAAAGTTTTAGGTGACAAAGATTTGGTGGTAGATAATTGTTTGGCATTCCTTTTTTGTCAATGGCCATTGAAAGTTTGGTCAAGGTTGTAGGAAGAATGGTTGGGTAATCCTCCTCATCTGTGAGATGAAGAGATTTTAAAAATGGTGGAAGCCAGTCTTGGGCACGAGCTCTTCTCTTCTTTTTGCCAGCTGGATCACGCTTGTTTGTTTTAACAATCCTCAAAGATTGCATAGAAATACAATTTTTTAAATTGAATGCATTACCAGATTCCCAAGACTGAATCGACAAGTCAAGTGATACCAAAGTATTTGGGAATAAAAACCCTTTTTTCTCCTCTCCCCAACCATTAAATGATATTTCTAGTGATGTAAGGTTTGGAAAATTAAACTTTAAACCTTCACTATATACTATTTGAAGTGATTTAATTGTTTGTTTTTGTTGTTCAAGTAAAGAAGAGGATGAAGTAGAATCATATGATTGTTTTAATTTTAATGTTTCCAAACTATTTGGTTCTAAAGTATCAAATAATTTTAAATCTTTCATTTCATAAACATATAAATGTTTCAATGTTGTAGTTAAACAAGTAGTAGAAGAAGAAGAGGAGGAGGAATCTTTTAAATTGATGAATGCAGTTGAAAATGTATTATTATTATTATTACAATTATTATTGTCATCTATTAATATAGTTGATGATATTGTATTATTATAGATTGGTAGGAATGCATTCATAGTACAAGTATTTGTGATAAAGTACTTTTTATTGGCTGTTGTCATGAATGCCGTTGGGTCGATACAATCCAACTGATCGTTGAATGTTATTAAATTACTATACTTTAATCTAAAGTCATAGTACCATGACTTGCAAGTCATCAATAGACACAATAAATCTACATTGCCAATATCTCTAATAATCTTTTGTAATAATAATATAGATATTCTTTCTTTAATTAAATAACAATCTTTATCCATAGTTTGATAATATAGATAGATAGAAAGAGAGAGAGAATGATATAAAAAGTAAATGAAATCACATATGATTACATTCTATGTCATAGATAGCTACTTGTTTGATTAGAAATCAAAAAAATAAATTAAATAATTTTGAAAACAAAAGAGAAAGAAGTTGTGATGTTCTGACAAACTTTCAAAAATTTAATTAAACCCTCAATTCTTATAAATATTAAATATACTGTATACTTATTTCTTTATTCAAATACAATGACAAAGAGAGCAGCTTATCACGGAGGAAATTGGTACGCCTCTGATAGTATGTAATGAATAATAAAAGAAGAAAAAGAAAAAGAATCATTCTGACTTACTTACTTTAATCAATCAAGGTAATAAATTAGGTCAACAACTATCAGGATGGTTAGGTGAAACTAAATCAATTAAAAAGAATACTAAAGCATTGATTGTACCGTATGTGTAAACATTAGACAGATTCATCAATCAATCATTACTACATAACTAACAAAAACCCCAACTATCAAGACATGCAGGTTATGATTATAGTGGAAGAGCAGCATCAAGAGGTTATATTAATTTGTCTGATACTACATTGTAAGTACTTACAAAAGTAGTACAATCAACTATTCATTTAATTTAATTTAATTTAATTTTTTTAGTAAAAGAATATTTGTATTGGGACCATCACATCATGTTTATACTAAATCTTGTGGTTTATCAAAACATACTCATTTAGAAACTCCTGTTGGTGATTTAAAGGTTGATGTTGAAAGTATGTAAATCAAGTTGGATTATTAAATCCTTTCCCTTTTTATTTATTTATTTATTTATTTATTTTTGTTTTGTAGTTACCAATAAATTAAATTTAACAGGACAATTTACATGGATGACAAAAGAAATTGATGAAGAAGAACATAGTTTGGAGATGCATTTCCCATATATTGCACAAGTGACAAAAGGTCGTGATATTACAATTGTACCGGTATTGGTTGGAAATGTACCAAAAGAGAATTTAAAGACCTATGCAGATATATTTGCACCCTATTTGGATGATCCAGACAACTTTTTCATTATTAGTAGTGATTTTTGTCATTGGGGATCAAGATTTGACTACTCTCCACATGATCCAAGTTGTGGTGCCATTCATCAATTTATTGAAAAGATGGACAAGAATGGAATGAAGGCTATAGAGTCTGGTGATCCATCAGTATTTGCAGACTATCTCAAAGAAACTAAAAACACTATTTGTGGTCGTAACCCAATCTCTCTCTTTCTTTGGATCATACATAGTAGTAAACTCAAATTTGAAATTCAATCACTCTATTATGAACAATCAAGTAAATGTAATAGTATGCGTGATTCTTCTGTTTCTTATGGTGTCATTTCTTTTAATCAACTATAAATTAAATTAATAATAATTCTTTTTTTTATTTGTAAATAAATCTTTTTTTTTAAATCTTTTTCTTTTTTTCATTTTCACTGTGTAATAATCTTAAATCTTTTCTAATTATTTTACCAGTAGTAGTCATTGGTAAAGATTCAACAAATTCTACAAGACGAGGGTATTCGTGAGCAGCCAATTTATACTTTACATGTTCTTTGATTTCATCTTCCAATAGTTTGGTAGGTTGGAATGTTTGGTTGAGTACAATGTAGGCTTTGATGACTTCTCCACGAAGTGGACATGGAACTCCAATGACAGCACAAATGGCAACTGATTTGTGACCAATGATACAATTTTCAATTTCAGTTGGTCCAATACGATAGCCTGAACTATTGATAATATCATCGTCACGACCAACATACCAGAAATAACCATCACTATCCTTTTTGCCAAGATCTCCAGTCAAAAGCCACTTGCCAACATATTTTGACTTTGTTGCCTTTTCATTGTTCCAATATCTTAGGAATGACACTGGATCGGGTGTTTCCAAAGCTATATTACCAACATTGTCATGTGGCAGAACCTCTCCCTTGTCGGAAACAATTTCAACCTTGTGACCTGGTACTGCCCGACCCATCGACCCAACCTTGACGTCCATAATCGTTGAAGAGTTACTTACTAGTAGATTGGCTTCTGTTTGTCCATAGAATTCGTTGATTGTAGTATTAAAAGTTTCTTGACCAAAGTTTAGTAACTTGTCACCCAAAGATTCACCACCACTACCAATACTTAGAATATGAGTGTTTTTAGGTAACAAGTGTTGTGATTGTCTCATCATTTTTAGAGCTGTTGGTGGAAGGAATGAACTTGTCACCTTGTGTCTAATCATAAGATCGGCAATCTTGACCGGATCAAATTTCAATGCTCTATGTGCCAACACTGTCACTCCATAATACAATGATGGTAACAATACATCAATTAATCCACCTATCCATGCCCAATCTGCTGGTGTATAAAAACATAGTTTAGAGGTAGACAAGGTTTGATTGTTGTTGTTGTTGTTGTTTGTTTTATGATAGGGGAAAAAGTTTTGAGGTAATTGTACACCTGGTAAATGACCAATTAAAACTCTATGTGCATGTAAACATCCTTTTGGATTACCAGTAGTTCCACTTGTAAATATAATTAATGCTGGATCTTCTGATTTTGTTTTAATTACTTCAAATTGATCATTATAATTATTTTTAATTTTTTCCCATCTAAATAGAAAAAGTAAGTTAAACAAGAGTAATAATAGTAGTATCTATATTTTTTTCAACATACTCTAAAATATTCGTATTATTTTGAATTAGATTGATTTGACTAGTTTTTGGATGACCAAAAACAATAATTTTTTGAACGGTTGGTAATTGATTTTGAATTGATAAGAGTTTTTCCAATTGATCATAATCTGTCATTATACATTTAGTTTCAGAGTTGTTTAAACGATATGATAAAGCTTCTGGACCAAACAAAGTAAAAAGTGGAATTGAAATGGCTCCACTTCTAAATGCAGTGACATGTGACAAGGCAGTTTCTATACTCTGTGTCAATAATACACCAATTCTATCACCAATCTCTAATTTACATTCTTTTTTCAACATGTTTGCTAATTGATTTGATTGATGATATAATTCTTCAAATGTTATTCTAAATAAAAAAAAAAAGAAAAAAGAAGAAAATTAATAAAAAGATATTTATATATATTTGATTTGTTTACACTTACGATTTAATATTACCAATTTCATCTTCATAAATGATAGCTTTATGATTTCTTTTATGTTTTAAATGTTTATCACAAATATCATAACCTATATTAAAGTGCTCAGGTACACTCCATTTAAAAGAGTTATAAACTTGATCATAATTATCACCTCTAATAAAGTTTTCTTTATATTCAATAGTATTTGATGATGATGATGAAAAAGATGAAGAAGATGAAGAAGAACTATAATATTTGTATGTTACATTATTACTATTATTACTATGATTATTATTATTTAATCTACTACTATGTCTCAAATAAATTGATGGTTGTTTAATTATATTTTGTGATAATCTTTTAATCATTCTTCTTATTCTACACAATGAATATAAAGGAGATGGTGAATTTCATTTCTTCAATGGTATAAATTTTAAAAATTTTTAATCAGATATTTTGGAAGCTTTTCTTAAATTTTTTTTATTACTTTTTCTTTTTCTTTAAATGTTATAATCATCCAATAATTGTTTTAATTGATTTAATTTTAGAGGTTTTGTTAAAAAAGAATCCATTCCAACATTTAAACAATACTCTTTACTAAATTCCAAAACTGTAGCAGACAATGCTACAATAATAGCTTTTGATTTACTTGTTACTTCTTCGAATGATCTAATTAATGAACTTGCTTGTGCCCCGTCGCAACGAGGCATTTGTAAATCCAATAAAATTAATTTATAATTTCCTTTTTTAAACATTTCGAAACCATCTAGACCATCATCTGCAACATCACAACTATAACCCAAACGATTTAATTGCATAGATATTAATTTTTGATTGACAATATTATCTTCTACTACCAAAACCTTTGGTACAGGATCACGTAAAACCATTGGTTTTTGATTGGTGGTTGGTTGACAGATATCCTTTTCATTTTCCTTTTCCTTTTCTTTTTCTTTTTCTTTTTCTTTTTGTTGTTGTTCAGTTCTAACTTGTTCGATCATTTCATCAACACATTCCTCGTGGAATAGAATTTTAGATGTATTGATGATAGAGAGTGGTTTGTTTAGATGGATGTAGGGAGGATTCTTGGGCAACTTTTTAGCATTTGCATAACTAGTTACAAATATAACTTTGATACTACGATTTTTGTTTTGATAATAGGTTGCAGTATCAAATGCATACTTGTTCCAAACATTAATATCCATAGTCTCTGGATGAATAATCATCACCATTCTAAGGTTTTGATTATTAAACATTGTACTATTTTGATCGACATTTGTATTATTTAAAAAATCTTCCAATGCACTAGGTTTTAATGGTAGTGCTCGTAGATTAAATATTTGTTCCAAATTTTTACAAACTACATCTGTTGTTAATTGATAATTTCCAATCAATAAACATAAATATTGAAATGAATTATTATTATTATTATTATTATTATTATTATTATTATTATTATTATTTTGTACTTGATAATTTTGATGAATTTTAAAATCAACAATATTACAACTATTTGGAATTTCTTCAAAAATACCAGTCATTGAAAAAGTTGAACCTTGACCTTCAACACTTTTTTCCAGAGTCATTTCACCATTCATTAATTTTGTCAATCTATCACAAATGGCAAGTCCAAGACCAGTTCCTCCATAACGACGTGTAATGGATGCATCGACTTGAGAAAATGGTTCAAATAATCGATCCCTTTTTTCGGTAGGGATACCAATACCAGTATCCTCGACAGATACTTTAATCTTTATCTTTCCATTTACTCTTTCCAATATTGAAACATGAGTATAAATATGACCTTGATTTGTATATTTGACTGCATTTGATCCAACATTTAAAATGATTTGACGTAGTCTAATTGGATCTCCAATAATTTTAATTGCTACGTTATCTTCAAAATGTAATAAAAATTCGATTGGTTTATCTACACAAGACATTGACAGAGTAGATAAAGTATTTTCAATACAACCAATAAAATCAAATTCTATCATTTCCAATTCCAACTTTGATTCTTCTATCTTGCTAAAATCCAATACATCCGATGTTACAGAATGTAATATATCTCCAGACTTTTGTATCGTCTCTGCAATCTCTCTTTGTTCTTTTGTCAAATTTGTTGTTAATAACATTTCTGTCATTCCAATTAATCCATTTAAAGGTGTTCTAATTTCTATAAAAAAAATAAAAAAATTTAAAATATTAATATTTAATTTAATATTTATCTATATATATCTACTTGCCATGGCTAATAGTAGCAGTAAATTGAGTTTTAATTTTAATAGCTTTTAAAGCTCTATCTCTGGCATCTATTAATTCTTTGTTTTTTTGAATTTCAAGTTGAGATTTTATAGAAAGTTGATTATTTGCTTCTTCTAGAGAACTTTGAATTGCTTTACTTGCAGTAATATCTCTAAATACAACCATGAAACCCAAACTTGTATTATTTTCATCAAATAATTCTTTTATAAATACATCCAATGATAAATCGGTCGATCCATTTTCCTCTTCCAAAATTTCATCTTGATCGTCATCTTGATCTTGAACTTTTTTAAATAATTGTAATTCTGCCGATATACTCTTATTATTACTGTCATTTAATAAACTTGACAACATTGATAATAATGTAGTACTATTTGAAAAATATCTTGATTGGGTTTCCTTTTCTTGTTGTTGTTTTTTATGTAATTGTTGATGATAAAAAGAAAGTGGTTTCTTTTTTTCAAATAAACTAATACATTTGCCTGTAATTTCAAAATCCTTGTACCCAAAAACTGAAAATATGGGTCCATAGACTCTAATAATGATTCCATGTTTGTTTACCAAACATACACACGATGGAAATTGATCCAATACTGTTTTTGATAGTACCAATTGTTGTTTTACTTTGATACGTTCCATCTCTGCTGCAGCTCTCTTTGAAAGTGACATTAAAGTCGTATGAGAAATGGGTCTAAGAGAATTTTCACCAACTGAAAAAATTAATCCAATCACATCTCCTTTGGTATTAAATATTGGTATTCCAAGATATGATTTTATAAAATTATCTTGAATCCATTGATCACTTGGAAATAATTCTACTAAACTAGAAAAGAAAGGGAATAAGTAAAAGAGTAGAGATAATTTGGTTTTTAACATTAATTAATTACTTTTCAGAAAAGGAAATAATTTTCTTTTCATTTACAACCAATTCACATGGAGTACCTTGAGCATCATATTCAAAATTTTCAATTAATGAATTTTTGTTACAAAATGATAAAGTTATACATCTATTTGGTGGATAAAAATATGATACTGCTGCAAACTAAATAATAAAAAATAAAGAATGAAGTTAAGTTATTATTAGTTGATTTCTTTACTTTTTTTTTGTTTTTAATATATGTTACATTTGCATCTAAAACTTTACATAATTGTTGAGTTAATAAATTAAAAAAACTCATACTATCTGCATTGGTACATTCAATAATCATATTTAATAATGATTGATGAATTCTTCTTTCAACTTCATAACTTGTATGTTTAATTATAAATCTATATAAAAAATAATAAAAAATTAATATTTCTTTTCTTTTCTTTTTTTTTTCTTTTTACTCTCTCTCTTACTTTGAAATTAAACCATCAATAATTAAATTTTTTTCATTTAAAGAGATTGGGGAAATTTTAATTTCACCATAGATATGATTTTGACTTTCTAGAGGAATACGAATGACATTTGGTTGATCGAAATAAGGTTTAAAATCTTTACTATTTTTTAGAGTTCCAGAATCATATGAATAGGATGAAGAAACGATACCATTATCAAATTGAATAATGACATCACATACACCATAGTCATAGATTGATGCAATGGTAATACATTTGTTCCTACTACCAAGTAATTGAATGAGTGATTCTACTACATTATTGAAAAAGCTTTCATGTGTAGACATTAGGATTCGCTCAAAACATTCAACTTCTTTTGAATTTACCATAAATGGTGAACTTGCTACAGATGAATCTAATAATTTAGCCTCTGGTATTAATTGATTCGAATCAATTGATGTCATTGTTGTCGTTGTTGTTGTTGTTGGTGTTGTTGGTGGCGTTGAAACTGGAAGAGGATTAACTGATAATTCTAAAACACGTGATGTTGTTGAAGCAGTTATCGGAGTAGGAGGAGTAGAAGAAGAAGAAGAAGATAAAGGTGATAAAATTGTTGTTTGGCAAGTATCAATATCCATTCCATTTTCATTTGATATTTGCTTTTCCTTTTTCTTTGATTCAAAGTAAGTTGGTGATGTTGGTGTTGTATTGTTACTACTATTACTACTATTTCCATTACCATTTGTCATGACTGGTACATTTAAACTTTTTAAATGTTGATTGATTATACATTGACATCCTTTTAATTTACTTGTTGAAGGTGATGAATTTACATTATTATTATGATTATTATGATTATTATGATTACTATTATTATCATTTAATACAAATGGTGTATGATGATGATGGTTTGTTTCAGCAGATGAATTGAAAAATGTAGAATAGGGTAAATGTTCTTGTCTTGCTTTATATGGTGAAGATGTTGATAATGGTGATGTTGTTTGAGAAGATGAAGACTTTTCGAAACCATTGTTTTGTATCATTTTTTTTTAGTAAATATTTATATCTCTAAAAAAAAATATAATATATATATTATAAATAATAATAATAAATAATAATAATAGTGATTGCCTCTCTGTCTCTAATTAATGGGCTGTGTGTGTGGTTGTTGTTGCTATCAAATTTTAAATTTGTTTATAAAAAGGGTTAGGGTGGTTGTGGGGAAGGGAGGGAAAACGAAATTGAAGTAAATATTTTTAAAATAGAATTACTACTACTACTTCTACTTGGTTAAGTTTGTTAGTTTGTAATTTTTATATGAATGATTAATATTAATATATTATTAATGATATTGGTTAAAAACAAAACAAAAAAAGAGAAGAAGCAAAAAGATAGAAAAGAGGAGGACAGTTTATTAATTAAATCTATTTCATTTAGATATCTTAGCCCCAAGACGAAATTAACAAGGTACCTTTTTTTTTTTTTTTTTTTTTTTTTAATTTTCTTTTTTGCTTGCCCAACATCCAAAAAAGGTAAATGCGTGGTTGGCCTTGAGATTTTTAAAAAACTTTGAAGTTGACAACATCATCGATCTTGTTAACACCTATTGTGATATTTATTTTCAGGTTGTTTGTGGTAAGTGTACAACATTCTATTTATATCTTTCTTTATATCTCTTTAATAACCAGATGAAATAAAATATTGAATCATTTCATCAAAATGTTTTATGGATAATGAAATTGGTAATGTTGATAATACACATATAATCATTGTTGTTGTTTTCCCAATTAAACATATTTTCTTATTTTTCTAGAAAAAAAAAAATTAATAATATTAATATTTATATTTCTATTTCTATTTCTATTTTCTATTTATTATTTTCTATACTTTACAGTCATTGAAATAATATTTTGATTTTCATTTTTTAAAATTATATAATCTTGTATATTATTAATTTTAATACTTTTAATATTTTCTATATTATTTTTATCTAATAAATTGATTATTATTTCTATTTCACATTCCATATCTTTTGCATTGACCAATTGATCTATACAATTGTAAAGATAAAAATGATCAAATTTATAAGTATTTTTTAATAAATTTAAATAATTACTCCAATTATTATTTTCATCTTTGTTTTCATAATCTTTTAAAATGTTTGAAAATAATTTTCTACTATTTCGATCATGTAATCTAGATAATTGCATTTCTGATTTAATTTTACATATTAAACCAAAATGTATTGATTGTTTTAAATCTATTTCAAATTTTTCTATATCTCTTGCCAAATGATTTATACATTTATCAACAAGTGATATTATTCTTTTTGGTTTAAAAATATCATTAAAAGCCAATGTATGATATTGACCACAAGAAATTAAATGAATATTATCCAGTAATCTATCATTTATACGTTGTGGTAAAAGATTATCAATTGATTCTAAAATATGATCTTGTTCTGATAGCAGACAATCAATTTTAAATCTTTCTTCATCATCCATTTCAACTTCTGTGCTATTTTGAATAAAACTAGTAGGTTCTAAAATTTCTCCATTTGAAAGTTTGGTTGTTTGATTTTGTTCAAGTGGGAATTGAGCAGTTGAAAATCCTCCTTGTTTGTTTGATCCTCCAAGTGCAACGGTCATTCTAAATGTTGGTGATTCATTTTCAACCAACGCTCCTCCAAATAGATACAATTGACCATAATTTGAAACCACTGCATTGTGACCTGCACCAGCACAAACAGATACTGCAAAGATATCTAAAATCTCTTCAATTGTAGTTGGTAAATAGCTTCCCTCATCTATTTGACCATTTCCAAATTGTCCAAATCTATTCTCTCCAAATACATATACTTTTCCATAATTATCTAATATTATATTATGATAATATCCTGTTGATATTTCTTTTATCTCCTAAAAAGAAAAGAAAATGAATAAATTAGAAACAAAAAGAAAAGATTTTTTTTTTGTTTATAAATATTTACATTTAAAATAATAATTTGTTTTGGATGATTAATAAAACTTGGTTGATTTTCATGGTCGTCTAGGTCAAAACCAGTTGATAAACCACTACCACAAGAATAAACATTTCCATTATAATCTAAAAATAGAGTATGATTAATACCACATGATGATGATTTAATATTATTAAATAAAGGTATCAATGTTGGTATAATTATATCTATTTCTTCCTCTTCTTTTCCAAGACCCAATCTACCATAACCATTCTTTCCCCACATATAAACTTGACCATCTTTTGTAATGGCTGAACAATGATGTAGACTACATGATACTGAAACGATAAAGACTGGTGAAAAGGATGGGAAGACTATTTTGGTTGGTAAAGGTACAAAGGGTGATTCATTCAATACTGGGTAGCCTAGGAGAAGAGATGGTCCCCACGAATAGAGATCACCGTCTTGACTGATTGCAAATGATACCTCGCAACAAACAACCTTGATAAACTTTTTTCTTGTATAGATTTGATCCAGCTCTTTGACTATAACTGGGAATGGTATATAATTGACAGAGGTGGCAGTCCTCTCTGTGCTATCTCCGTTTTGTCCAACTGAACAATCTCCAAAAAACCATACTCTATTTGTTTCTTTTAAGAAATTAAATTGGTTAGTAGAGAATCAGAGAGAGAGAAAAGAGTAATAGATGTATATACCATCAATCAATAGAGAATGTGATTTGCCTGCTGATATTGATATAAACTTTAAACCGTTACCACTGCTACTACTAGAATCATCTTGTTGTTGTTTTGTATTATTAAAGTTTAATAGAGTTGGTGTTAGATTGTTTGTAAGAGGTCCATGACCTATTCTACCTGATCCCCAACTGTACATTGTTGTGTTTGTTCTTTTGTCAATGAATATAAAACAAAGATTTTGTATGATCGTCTTTGTGACAAGATATTTTTTTGAATTTTTTTTACTTGACAAATATTTATATTTCAATATTGTTTTTGATTGAAAAGCTTAAAAGAGATCACATGTAACAACAATTTCAATGAAACAACTATCAAGGAACGTTCCACTCCACTCTCTGGTTCTCACGTTCTTGATTAAGGATGTAATTATACAATAAAAAAGGTTAAATCATTTTAAAACATAAAACGATCTCATTAATTTATTGATTTCAATCTATATTATCTAGAAATATCATTGCTCGTCATAATCTAGTTGGTATTTTGGTATTGAACCTTTCTCTGATGTTTTTGATTGAAAGTTGATTGGAAGTGAATGAAAAAAAATCGACTATTTCACAAGCTAAGTAAAATTTTGATCAATTTTTGTCTAGAAATTTAATTTTAATCAACTCATTTGTTTATAATGATTATAGGTATGTAATTATTGATATTATATAAAATCAATTGTATTTGATCAGATTTCGGGGGAAATTGGGGCTAAAACGCCAAGTTTCTAAAAACCTCAACAGTTACATGCCAGGGTATGTAAGCTGGTCAAAGCAGTGTGACTTAAGATCTCATCCTACGGGTTCGTGGGTTCGAACCCCACCTCTGGCAAACTTTTTGAACTTTTGTTTTTTCGCTCAAAGTTGGCAGATTCATGCTTTATTTCACTTGGAAACATCATCATTTAGCTGTATTGTTACCACTTGTAAACGTTTTGAACTTTTGTTTTTTCGCATGAAGGGACATGAGAAATCTTGCGCCAACCTAATTAAATCAAATAAATCTAAAATACACTTTTGTACAAAGTAAAAAAAAAATGTTTTTTCGCATCCTTTATTTCACTTGGAAAATGCGCCCCTGTAAGGTGATACATAGGAACTCGAGTGTTTTTTATACTGAATTTATTTTTGTATTTTTTTCCTTTTTTTTTTTCTTTTTTTTATTTTTTTAATATTGATATACGAGATTAATGATGTAATAGTTAACATCATATACATTATCACTTTACAACTCATTAGATCATTTAGTACGAAATCATAATATATTAATCACTTTGCTTTGTATCATTAAATTCTTGGATGTTTTTGGCAATGTAGACGTGTCGTCGGCAAACTGGAGTAGCTTGATCCAGTGGAGGTGGACAAGAGGTGGTGGCTTTCGCTGTTTCGATCCAAATGCTGGTGGTGAGGGCATAGAGAGAGACTGGTGGCTTTGTCGTTGTGGTATGCCTTGTATGCGACCGTTGTTGATTATGCTTCTCACCAATGGCTAGGGGATCAAATTGAGTAGGTGATATTGGATCCGATAAACTTTCTGATTCTTACTGAGGACATGAAAGGTCTGTCGCTTCACCACTCACCCAAGATGCCGACTGAAAGTTTAATTGGCCTTTGGTCTTTTATAGGCAAAAACTTTGTCTCCTTTTTGTTATTTATTTCAAGTCGTCAGCTCACCCCTCACCCAATTATACTATAATTAATAATCACTTACAATAAAAGAATTAAACCAAACATTTTTTAAAAAGGGGCGAATTTTTTTTTTTTAAAGTAATTCTTTTCCTGTTCTCTCCTATCGGGAAGAGTAGTACTCAGAAGTTACAAAGTTTTATTAATTATACTTTTTAATTGACCAGCAAGAAATAAAGATTATCTCAAGAAGAATTAAAGTTAATTTGTTCTGGGGGGTTGTCCATGTCTATGATACATGTTGTATGGACGTTGATCATGTATCTTATTGTATAGTGTCAAGCATGTTGGATTGTTTTGGATTGTTGCTTGTTCTAAAAATAAATTGGTTAAAGATATAGCTATTTTTTTTTTTTTTTTTTTTTCTCAGCAGTATTGGCTGTATTATTGTTTTATAATTATTCGATGTTATTATTATTATTTAGTAAATTATTATTATTGGCAGATGAAGAGAGAGTAAAAAAAAATGAAGGTGTTGAGGAGGATGAAAAAAATGAGGTTGTGGTGATCAATTAAAGATGAAGGGTACGCAAAGTCTTGTACATCTCCAAATGACTAGGTAGTGCGATCTTGTAAACAGTAGGATGGTTGTAGTTGGAGGAGAATCGAAGGATGATAGTTTGTATTCGTTCTGTAATCGTATGTATTACTGATTCGTCGGTTTGGTTCATTAGAGCCAAGTGCCATCGATTACATAATTCTAACGTCTTGTCCCAGTTTACTTTTATAATATGTCGCATATCACTTATCAATCTAGCTCGCAGGTATTGTTCAGTGAATGGTTCATCTCTTTGGTGACGTAGATCATTACGTCGGAACCATATTCGTGTTGCAGCGACCAAGTTTATAGTCATTGGAGTTTGTTTGAGGTTGAGGAGGGTGATGTCCCAGACTGGTGGTGGAATATTGTTGGCAGCAGTAACCTCTTTCAGTATCTTCACTGGCAGCGTGGTCTCCTTGCATTGGAAGAACAAATGCTTGGAGGATTCATCTTTGCCACACGTCACACAGGTGGAGGCGACTGGGTCACCCCTGACGAGCGGGAGACATTTGGTTACGTATTTCCAAACCAGATCTCGACCCTTTGGTAGTACGATGGTAGATAGAGCAGCTAGTGCATTCATTGGATACACTCTGTCATCGGTTGCTAAGATCTTTTGGCCTGGGGTCGGGTCGTACACGTTCCACTTTTCGTTGGCTATGGTCAGCCTTTGGAGGTACACTTGTTTGAGAGGTACTCTTCCTCTTTTGTCTGGTTCCATTGCTGGCTTGGGTACAGCCTCTCTGCTGACGTCGTAGGGTTGGGCTTGTAGCCCTCTAAATTTTTGGGTATAAAATGGCCTAGAGTCAAAAAACTTTCAGTCGGCATCTTGGGTGAGTGGTTAAGCCGACAGACTTGAAATCTGTTTCCTTCGGGAGCGCAGGTTCGAACCCTGCAGATGTCGAAATTTTGTTATTTTGTTATTTTGTTATTTTGTTATTTTGTTATTTTGTTATTTTGTTATTTTGTTATTTTGTTATTTTGTTATTTTGTTATTTTGTTGGGTTGGGGCCAAAACGACTCTTTTTGATGTCCTCTTGTTGTACTCTTCATTTCCTATCGATTGCACTCGGTTTCATTCTTTTTCACCGAATCCCTGCCGAGAAAACATCTAAATAAGTATAAGAGGACATCAAAAAGAGTCGTTTTGGCCGCAACCCAACATAACCTTTTTTTTTTTTTTGATCAAAAAACAGCACCAATTCCAATCGACAACCCTCTCCATTTTGGTTGAGATAATAATAAAACTACTTGACCATATTGAATGTAAACGATGAAATAATAATTTTTATTTCGGTTGGTTTAAATATTTCTGGCATTTTTGAAAGGTAAAATGAGCTTGTTGAAATCTCCTCTCATTGGTTGAGACCCGACTCCAAAGATATTGTCCTTGTTGATTGGTTGAAACTGGCCATCCCTGATACCTTTTCATTTTTAATCGTAGATACTTCTTCTCCACCCTCTAGATCTTTCGAATCAAAGGCCAATAATTTGATTAGTTCAATTCCACCTGTTCCATTTGGTGTCTATTTAAACAAGTATCATCAGTTGTGAGGTACTGGTTGGTTGTTAAGGTACAACAGGTTGGCTTTTAAATAAAAGATATAAAGAAATATTTCATGAAATGATTGATGATATAATAATTTGAAATGAATAAATAAATAAATAAATAAATCAATATTAATATATCTATCTATTCTTTCTTTTTCATTTTTAAACATTAACATACTTTTCTTCTTTTTTAATAAAATGGATTTATCAATTAAAGGATGGACAAGAAGATGGAGGAGGTGGAGAGGTAGTTTGTTATAAAATGAGAGTATTGATCTTTTGTTGTAACATCAGCATTGTTGATCGATTTATGAACTTGCCTTTGTTTCGAGTTTTCGATTGGGAGAGTATAGTGCAAGCTCGTTGTTTTCTCTGAGACATGATCTGGCCCATTTGCGACCCGTATTGTTTCTGGAGCGATTCAAACTCTATCTATTGGGCTTGCGATCAAAGTATCAACAAATAAAAAAAAAAGGAACATTTTTCAAAACGTTTACAAGAGGTAACAATACAGCTTAAATGATGATGTTTCCAAGTGAAATAAAGCATGAATCTGCCAACTTTGAGCGAAAAAACAAAGACCAAAAAGTTTGCCAGAGGTGGGGTTCGAACCCACGAACCCGTAGGATGAGATCTTAAGTCACACTGCTTTGACCAGCTTACATACCCTGGCTTGTAACTGTTGAGGTTTTTTTGAAACTTGGCGTTTTAGCCCCAATTTTCCCTGAAATCTGATCAAATACAATTGATTATCATCAATTACATACCTATAATCATTATAAACAAAGGAATTGATTAAAATTAAATTTCTAGACAAAAATGGTTTGATAATATAGTTCATTTGTTCACTAAAAATGAGAAAATGTCCATTTTTCAAAAAATAAAAACATCTCAATTTGGACTTTAACCCAAACAAAAGTCTTTTGACCAGAGAATGGTTCGCTACCAAAATCCCAACCAAACTACTACGAGCAATGATATTTCTACATAATATATATTGAAATCAATAAATTAATATGATTGTTGTATGTTTTAAAATGATTTAACCTTTTTTATTTTATAATTATATCCTTAATCAAGAACGTGAGAACCAGAGAGTGGAGCAGAACGTTCCTTGATAGTCTTTTCATTGAAATTGTTTTTGCTAATCGCAGACAATTCAGCATGATGTGGTTGAAGAATAGCTTTGGCGTCACCAACATGTGATCTCTTTTTACCTTTTTCAATCTAGATTGAAATAAATAAAAAAAAAAAAAAAAAAAAAAAAAAGAGTTAGAAACTAATAATAATAATCAATTATCTCAAACTTTTATCTATCTTTTATAACTTACAATACCAACAGAAGGACCAGTCCAAGCAATAAAGACATCCTTGATATTACCCTTGTTACCAATGATACCATCCTTGAAACCTTCATCGTTTTCATTGTAAACTACTCTGATCAAGATGTATGAACATTCATTATCTGCAAGACTAGCAACCAAAGATGGTACACCAGAACCAGTCTTTTTTAACTCTAGAGTATTTGCATCCTTGTAACCTAATAGAATCCAATTTGCAACATTATCTGGCTTTTTAAACTTTTCCAATTCTTGTCTTATTTGATCTGAATTTGATACTGATACCATGATTTATATATATAAAAGTAATAATAATATAGAGAGTGAGAGATAGAAAATGATAATTCTGTAAAAAAAAAGGTGAAGTTAAAAAAAAGAAAGGGGACAAAGGCAAGAGGTTTTTTTATTTTTCACGACCCATTTTTTTTTTCAAAGAACACACACCCATTAATTTATTGCCTTTTTTAAAAAAGTCTATCTTTATATTTATTTGTTTACTTTTTTTTATTTATTTTAGATTTCTCATTGTTTTTGTTAATTTTAGACCAGTTGAAGTATATTTAATTTTTTTAAATATGAAATAAGAAATACCTGCCACTACCATCAAACCACCAACCACTGACCCAACTACAATTCCTGCTATTTGTGCACCTGTCAATGATCCATTTGTACCATTTTCATCTGGACAATTATAATTTACAAGTACTACTAATTTGTTGTTTCCATGTTCATATGAATGACAATTTGAATTGTCTTTGTTATTATTATTATTATTATTGGGATCATAAGTTAAAATTTTAATTGATTTTGGTTGACCAACTTTTTGTTGATGAGTCATTACAGTCATATTCATTTGATCTTTTAGATTTTGATTGACTCTGATTGTTATAGTTCCATTTTGACCAAATGTTGCCGTTTCTGTAACATTTAAATGATCAGATGTATTAAATGATACGATGGTCATTAAAAATCTACTACCAGTACCAATATCACGACTATCATTACTTTCACTATAATTACCAACGATGGTCAATTGACTAATACTCTTTTCATCACCAACCAACAATTCCTTATTTTCAACTGAACCTCTAATCGTTCCATTACCCATTAATTGACCATCCAAATTAATTGTTTGATTTGAAGAGACACTTGCATTATTTGATACCACCAATGAACCTTGAAGTGGTTGAACAAGTGTATGAATTGTAGTATTTTTAGATACCATAAATACTCCATTATTTCTAACTGGTACATCAATAAATACATCATCTTCATCATCTGAATCTTCATCTGAACTACCACTAATAATTTCAATGATTCCATTATTTATAAATGATGAAGTGGAAGAGGAGGATGTAGTATCATTGTTGATTAATCTAATACTATTATTAAATTTCATTAAACCTTGTTCATTATTTACTATAAAACTATTAGAATCTATAAATATTAATCCATTTGATTCCATATTTCCAATATTTTGTATAGTTGTTGAATTTATAATAAAACTTGAATTATATTTTAATATCGTAGACTAATTAAAAAAAAAAAAGTAAATAAATAAATATTCCATTTCTATTTCTTTTTCTATATATTTTGTTATTTACATTGTATAGGTTAAAATCAGAATCAATTAATATAGTTTGATTTAAATTTATAAATAAACCATTGATATTTGAATTTGAAGCATTTGAAGTGAATTGACCAACATTTAAAATATCGGCACGAATGTTTGAGTTTTGAGCATTTTCAACAATGAACCGACCACTATTTGTAATATTGATTGTATTTGTTTCAATTTCCATTACATTATTGATTGATCTAAATTCACCAGATATATCCATATTACCTTTAACAGTGAGGATATCATCTTTGGTTGTATAGTTTACAATACTACGTGATTGATCAAACAAGATTAAATCTTCATAAACAGTCACACCAATACCAATACGCAGTGTTATATTACTTGTACTATCTGATCCAATAATCAAATTTTTAATTCCAAATGCTCCTTGAACAAGGTTTAAATCTGTATCTGATTGTGTATAATATAAATCTTGTTGTGTTTGTCCAAAAGATAGTGATAAATTTAAAACAATAAATATTAATATATATATAAATATATATGAATATAAATATTTCATTGTTGTGTGTATATGTTTTATAAATAGAATAAAAAAAGAACAATTGAAACTGTGTTGGTATAGAGGTTGTCTGTTTTTTGCCCCAATAAAGTGGTTCTTTTTCGCACATGGTTCACTGCGCACCATGATCAACACAAATTCGATGAAAGATGGTGAGTTGATGGATTTCGTTTTTTTTTTTTTTTTTTTTTATTTATTCAATTTTTATTTATATTTTTATTTATTCTTCTAAATATCTATATTCAAAAGTAAATTCAGTTTTCTTTCTTTGGCACCAACCAGTTTCATAGTCAAAGTAGACATAAGTTCCTTGTTCATATTCGGTTGTAATGTATTTTGGTTCTTCGTGTCTTCTAAACCAAGTTAGGTATTTCTTGTGATATCTCCAACCTTGTTTTTTCAATTCTCTCGATGCCAAGAATTGTTGATAGGTTCCTTGTTTAAAATAAAAGATGAAAAATAATGTATCGATATCAAACTTTTCATAAACAATTGGATTCTCAAATAATGGTAATGGATGTTGAGGATAATAATTTGGTGTTTGTAATTTTTGTGTTTTTGGCATATATGGTGGCAATCTAAAAAATAAATAAAAAATAAATAGTTAATAAAGTTTCTTTTTCTATTTTCTATTTTTTCTATTTACCTTTCATAATCTTTATAATCTGGTAAATTTTTAAAACTAGTTTCCATCATTATTCTAGTTATTGAAAGATTATCTTCATATTGTCTAATTGAATTTTCAAGATTACCTTGTTGAGCTTGTTGTTGTTGTTGTTGTTGTTGAAAATGTAACTGTTGTTGTTGTTGAACTTGTTGAGCTTGATGTAATTGTTGATGTTGCAATTGTTGTTGTTGTTGTTGTTGTAATTGTAATTGTTGTTGTTGTAATAACATTTGTTGATGTAACATTTGATTACTACTGTTATCATTTGTACCAATTCTAGACATGGTAGCAGATGATAATTCAGCCAAAGTACCAGGATAGAAATTTGAACCAGAATCAAAAGTTTCATTGTTTTTGGTATCATCACCGCTACCACCAATAATATTACCACTTTGATCATAGATTGGTGGAGAAGAATGAGGTGGTGAAATGTGTTGTTTACCAAGATTAATTTGTGACATTCCATCTTTTAATTCATTTAAATCATCCATTGAAGATCTTGGTTGTTGTTGATAAGATGGTTGAGATTTTCTCATTCCTCCATATTGTTGTTGTTGTTGTTGTAATTGTTGTTGTTGAATTAATTGTTGCATCATTTGAATTTGTGCATCCTTGTTTTGATGTAATTGTTGTTGTTGTTGTTGTTGTTGCAATTGTTGTTGTTGTAACTGTTGTTGTTGTTGTTGCTGTTGTTGAATTTGAGCTTGTTGTAATCTTTGAGACATTGGAATATTACCCAAAGATGATGGATACATTGTATTTGGTGTCAAAGGTTGTTGTTGCAATTGTTGTTGTTGTTGTTGTTGTTGTTGTTGTTTAACATTTACATTTGATTGTTTAGATTGTACATTATGATTTGATTGTTGTGGAATGGCTACAACAGAAGGATTTGATAATATAGTTGGAGATGGTGAATTTCTAGAAGTTGGTTGTTGTTGTTGTTGTAAAACTGTTGTTGGTGATGGCATTCTAGGATTATTACTACTACTACCAATACTACTACTACTACCAATACTACTACTACTACCAATACTACTATTATTAATTAGAGGAGGAGGAGTAGAAATATTTTGAGGTGGTTTAATATCTTTTACAGAAGAAATATTATAATTTCCATCATCTAAATATAAATAAAAAAGATTAATAAATATTAAAATTCTTTGTTTTTGTTTTCTATTTCTATTTCTATTTTTTTTTTTTTACCTCCAATTAAATTCAAGTTATTATTAATTTCATCATTATCTTCATTTGTAGTTTCATCTGAAGAATCATCAATATCATCATCATCATCGATATCAGATTCAGATTCATCGATAGTGATATCATATTCATCACCATCTTCAGTGATTTTTAGATTAAAACCACCATAGATATCGTCTGGTTCTTCACAATTTTCATCTTCATAGTTTTCGATATAGTATTCTACACTTTCCTTTAGTCGATCGATTTCATCGGCAGCGACACGATCCGATTCCATGACACGGGCCAAATAGTCGAGTGCCCTGTAATGGTGTTTATGACGTTCAAGATGCTTTTGAATGACTTCAAGCTTCCCAGAACTATCAGTCTTTCGCTTGCGTTGTGCATTTTGTATATTGTCAATGTCGGTTTCAAATTGATCAATCTGTGTTTTCAAATTCGATATAGCTTTGCTTGTCCAATATCTAACTTGAATCTTTGTATCACTATCCTTTGCAATGGCACCTCCCAATCCTTCTTTTGAATATGCTTTAGTTTTTGATTCTTTTTCACATACTTTAAATTGTTCCATTTTCTAAAATATAAATAAAAAGAAGAAAATATAGTTAGAGAAATGTAAACATATTATATCTCTTTTTTCTTTTTTCTTTTCTATTTCTTTTTCTATTTCTATTTCTCTTACTTGTTCAACTAATTTTCTACAATCAACAAGAGGAGTTTTATTTTTAACTTCATTGTTACTTATCCAACCTTTGATTTGATCTCTATATCTTTGTAACTTTTTAATCTCCTTTTTCAAATCACCTTCATACTTTTCTCTTTGATTGCTACTAGTTGCTGAATAAACCTTTTTCAATATAGAATCAAATTCTATTACTCCATCTCCTACTTTTTTAATAGTCTTATCAATCTCTCCTAGAAAATGAAAAGATAAAAAGATAAGATAAGATAAGAAAAGGAAGTTCTCTCTCAAAGTTAATCAGTCATCATTTTGTTAAAGGTACCTTGTAATTTCCTAACGTTCATCGTTTTCTTTCCTTTCCTCTCCTCTCTTCTATCTATCTATCTATCTATTTATATATATCTATCTATTAAAATGTTTGTACAAGCGCATATACATTAGTAATCAAAGTGCATCTTCATCAACTCTTTGGAGTTTTTTTTTTTTTTTTTTTTTCTATTTTTTTTTTAATTTTCCAAAACAAAGATGAAACGCGTGAGTATCATTATTATTATCTTCTTTTATTCAATATCTATCTACTCCTATCTGTATTGAAAATGACCACGTAGACAATTGGATGGATAAGGAATGAACCGAAAATATCTCTAGAGGAGGTAAGGGTTGTTTGAACTTTTCTTTTACACTTTCAATGGTTTCAACGTTCACCATTAATCTTTTGTTTTGTTATTAATCATTCATTTCAATCAATCAATCAATATTTATTCATCTAGATAGAAATGAAAAATAATCTATTATTATTATTATTATTATTATTATTATTATTAGTAATCTTTACACTTGGTAGTAATGCTGACACAACCAACTCAAACTCATGGGTATTGATTGAAACTTTTAATGAAGAAGGATGTGATTTGGATAGTTCAAGTATTGGTGGTACAATGTTACTATCAGGTACATGCATCACTGGACAACGAGTGTATTGCAACACTGACAACAATACTGTTACAGTTGAACAATATAAAGATCCCGGATGTCGAACCAACATCACCAACACCACTGAATACACATCTGGTGAATGCAACACAGTCTCTCAAATCTATGGTTTCTACAAGACTTACACTTGTTCGACAAGTGAACCATCAATACCACCTCGTTCATTGTCCTTGACTACCTACACGACATGTGACAGTGCCACCATGCAAATACAAGTGTCACAGTGGGCTCCATGCTACAAGTGTGTGGCTGTCAGAAGAGGTAGCATCCCCAACAAAAGTAGTAGTGGTGGTTCTGCCTCTGCCTCTTCTGGCCATGCTTCTTCTGGTTCTAGTTCCTCTGGTTCTGGTTTTAGTTCTGGATCATCAGTATCAGGTTCTGGATCAGGTTCGGGATCAGGATCAGGATCTAGTTCTGGATCATCAGGAAAAGACAAGATTTCAACTGCCTCGATTGATAGCAACCTCGACAGATACTTTAAATTCTTGGATGAAATTAACTTTGGCAACCCAAGTCTAGTCAATGATGATGATGATGTTGTTGATGACCAAGGAGTAGGAATCATGGTAGACTCTGGAACTGCATATTCAACTGCAAGTGCAAGTGGTGGAAGTGGTTCAGGATCGGGTAGTAGTGGTCCAATCAATATTGTTGTCTTTACTTTTCTCCGTTGCGGCCAAAACTACAGTGAAAATCACAGTTATCACAATGGATACTTCCAAACAGCCGGCGCTGGTAGTGTCATGTCAACGGGCAAGTATTCATCTGGCCAACCATATGGCCAGTGGTCTAGTGGTAGTGGTTCAACAGGAGGTTCTGGTTCTGATGGATCAGGTTCATCTTCACAAAATGGTTGTTCCATCAAGCCCGCTAGTGTTGGTTTCACAAACAATTATCAAGAATGTGACAGTGGTCAATGGTTTGCCGTTACTTGTACTCCACCATATAGTCATGCTTAAACAATTAAAGAAAATAAAACAATTATTTCGATTGAAAATGCAAGATCCAAATTTCCTCATCCTCAAGAAATTTAACTAGATATTTTCAAGAGTTTTCCGAGCTCAATTCAATATGGGTTCGAGAAACCTATCGCTTTGGGATACCAAAAAGCTTCACACTTATAAATCATCATCATCAATTTCAACATTCACTACTATTAAAATAGATAGAAATGAATTATTCATTATTATTAGTATTCGTAGTAGCAATCTTCTTTAATTTTAGTGTTGTTAATGCTACCAACACAAACTCATGGGTGACAATTGAAACTTTTAATGAACCAAAGTGTGATTCGGATAGTTCAAGTATTGGTGGTATTGTTTTAATATCTGGTACATGTATCAATGGACAACAAGTATCTTGCAACACCAACAATAATATCGTCACAGTTGAACAATACAAAGATAAGGAATGTCAAACCACCGTCACCAACACTACTGAACACTCCTCGGGTGTATGTTACACAGTCTCTCAAGACAATGGTTTCTACAAGACTTTTACTTGTTCTGCCACTACTCCATCATACCCAGCTCGTTCATTGGCCATTTCTACCTACAGTACATGTCAACAAACCAACAAACAACTAGAAACCCTGCGTTGGATCCCATCTTACAAGTGTATGGCTATCCTAAGAGGTTCTACTCCTGGTACTGGTACTGAATCTGCGTCTGCCTCTGCCACTATCTCTTCTGGTTCAGGTTCTGGATCTGGATCTGGTTCAAGTTCAGGATCAGTCTTGAGAAATCACCACAATTTCAACTCTAACCAATTCAACAACCAGATTTCAACAGTTGATATCCTAGATAGATACTTTGATTTCTTGGATGAAATTAACTTTCCAACTACTATTGAAGAAGAAGAAGAAGAAGATCTATTCAAGGTATCACATCGTATCGGATCAGGTTCTGGAGGAGTCCAAACAGGTACTGGATATGGAACAGGTACAGGATCATCGGGAGGTGGTCCATTCAACAGTGCAATGTATGGTATCGTCCTTTGTAACCAAACCTACAATTCCTACAACACCTATGCCAATCAAATACCAACAGGTTCAGCTACACATAGTGGTGTCATGTCAACGGGCAAGTATTCAACAGGTGATCCATATGGTTCACAAATGGGCATTCCAACAAAAAGTGGTGGCAGTGGTAGTAGTGGAGGTGGCAGTGGTAGTGGCAGTGGTGGTAGCGGTATATCTTCACCAAATAGTTGTTCTATCCAGGCAGTCGTTACTAGCATAGGTAAGAATACTCAACAATGCTACCAAAATCAATTGATCGCTGTTACTTGTACTCCACCTTACACTCATGCTTAAAATATAATATAATATAATAAAGCATTTTATATTTATAAATAAAGAGTATTATTAAAATGAATGAATGAATGATCGCTTTACTTTGTGTTAGACTTTTCTTTTTTTTTTTGATAAAGATAAACACTCAAGAGAGTTAAATTATTTATTTATTATTATACACATATATAACATTTTCTATCTATCTATCGGTTTCTTGTGGTTGTTGAAAATGACCACGTAGACAATTGGATGGACGTCCTCAAGGTCAGGACTAAAAATATCTAGATTACTAGAACCTTCCTTTTACACTTTCAACGGTTCAATCACCTTCACCTTTCTTGTTGTTGTCATAGTTTTATTTATCAATCAATATTCATCTAGATAGAAATGAAAAGTAATCATTCATTAGTATTAGTATTAGTATTAGTAACAATCTTTACTCTTTCTATTTTTGTAGATGGTAGTAATGCTGATACAACCAACACAAACTCATGGGTATTGATTGAAACTTTTAATGAAGAAGGATGTGATTTGGATAGTTCTAGTATTGGTGGTACTATTGTACTATCGGGTTCATGTGTAATTGGACAACAAGTGTCTTGCAACAACAATATCATCACAGTTGAACAATTCAAAGACAATCAATGTCAAACCACCATCACCAACACTACTGAATACAAATCGGGTGTCTGTAATACTGCCTCTCAAATCTATGGTTTCTACAAGACTTATACTTGTTCGTCAAGTGAGCCATCAATACCACCTCGTTCATTGTCCTACAATACCTACACCACTTGTGACAATACCACCATGCAAATACAAGTCTCAAAATGGGTTCCAACCTACAAGTGTATGGTTGTCGGAAGAGGTAGCATCCCCACCAGTGGTTCTTCCTCTGCCTCTTCTGGTCATTCTTCTTCTGCCTCCTCTGGAAATCCCTTAACTGGTTCTGGTTCTGGTTCTAGTGGATCAGCCTCCTCTGGTTATGCTAGTTATGACAATTTCGATGGCAAGAAATCAACTCTTGATTTCCTCGACAGATACTTTGAATTCTTGGATGAAATTAACTTTGGCAACCCAAGTCTAGTAGTCACTGACGATGATGATGATGTTGATGACCAAGGTGTAGGAGTCATTTTCGATAGTGGAACTGCAACCGATGGAGCTTACAGTGGTTCAGGAAGTGGCACAGGATCAGGTAGTGGTCCAACCAATGTTAATGTTGTTGTCTTTGGTCTCCTCCTTTGCAACGAAAAATACAACGAAAATTACAATTATTACAATGGAAACTTCCAAACAACTTCTGGTCCTGCTGGTAGTGTCATGTCAACAGGCAAGTATTCATCCGGTGATCCATATGGTTCACAAATGCTCACTGGTGGAGGTACTATTTCAGGTTCTGGTGGATCAGGCTCATCTTCACAAAATGGTTGTTCCATCAAACCCTCCAGTTCTGGTTCTGGTCCCAATTTTCAACAATGCACCCAATACAACCAATTGTTTGCCGTTACTTGTACTCCACCTTACAGTCATGCTTAAACGATTAATCATCATCATCATCATTTAAATACAATAAAACTCGAGTATTAAAAATGAAGTCCACATTGTTGATGTATTGTTGTTGTTTTTGTAGATGTTGGTCTATTTTTTTTAATGGGGGCAAGTGAATACCTTTAATTTTATTTATTTAATTAATTTTGATTTGTTTTTTTTTTTTGATTCCCTGTAGAGACTTGATCACTTTCACTAAAAACAACAAACAATGGTAAATCACTTTTTAAAATCTTTTTATCTTAAATAATGTATAATATCAAATCTTTAGTTTCCTTTATATCCAAACATCTACCATCAGTCTTCAAGGAACTAAGAAAAATTGGAAAACAGTTATGGTTAGCATTGGACAACCATCTCACAGACTTTGCAAGCAAGTTAAGAAACATAAGACCCCTCAATTCAAAGTTGACCATCCCCATTGCAATATTAACTGGTACCAAAGAATCTTATCGTTCCATATATCGGGCAATCCAAAATCCAAATGCTAGATATATAATGTTGGCATCAATCACGGTTGGTGGCACCTGTGCTTGTGGGGTGATCATTGCATTACAACTAAATGGTCGTATTAAAAATACTTCTGAACATTTTAGAAATGTTGGTCAAGTCTTAGAAGTTGCTCAAAACTGTATCGACTTTGCCTTTGATTCAAAAAACAAAAAAAAATAGACCTACTCTTGTAAATAATAAATAAATATTAACTGTTTTTTTTTTTTTTTTGAATCAAAAAAGACAATGCCTTAGATATTCCAATCATTGAAGACCAAACCAATGTATATGTTATTTGTCAGAGCTCTAAACATGCAATGCACCAACACTCAAACAACCACTTTTTGATTTATTCCATGATACAGTTGATCAAAAATGATATTTAAATTATTTTTACCAATTTTGGATCAAATAAATAATACTTATTAATAATACTATTGACATTGCCCAACTTTCAACGATTGTTATAGATCTGATCTTTGAAAAAAAGATGTTACACTTTTTACATCTCTTGGTACTAAGAGGACTGTTTTAGTAGATAGTCATGATCATCAAATTTTGGGTCGTGTCAGATATTTCTGTTTGTAAAACAATAGGTCAACTGGTTTCGTATTTCTCGACTTAAGATGGGGGGTTGAATAAGTAGAGTTGGTCGGCTTTATCAAATGAATCAATCATTAATATTATTAGTTAGCAGTTACTAATAAAACAAGAGATAGTATTATATTAGAGATACGACGGTATAAAAGATAAAAATGATAAGATTAGTATTATTGGTTTCAATGATAATGATGATGATGATGATAGCATCATTATCCGATATTGCTGCAGCATACAATGGTGTATTGATCGTTGAAGGAGGACAGAAATTAAATCTTACAACCTTGGATGTTAAAACAGGTGATGTAAACCAATTACTAGTATTCCCTCAAACTGGTGGTTTCGTACTACCACTCACCTACCAAGATGATGTACTTGCTTATATTACATACCCATATCAACCCCAACTAATTTATTTAAATACTGTAAGTTTATATTGATTAAACATCATTTAATATAGTCAATGATTTATTATTAATTTATTATTTTTTGAAAATAGCAAACTGGTACAATCGAAAAATCATTTAATTTACCGCCAGCATCTTCATATGGGTATGGAACATCCATATTGTCAGGTGACGGGTCTCAATTCTATACACTCTTTACAGGATCAAATAATTTCTATTTATATAGATTTAATATGATTGATGGTTCATTAGACAAGTATGTATTACAAACAAAATAATTAATTTATAGTTTATTTGTTTATTTATTTCTCAATTATAATTTTAGATCATTTTCAATTAAATCACCAACATTTATTGATAAGATTAATGGTGTAAATTTACAAATGACATTTGATTTTACTACCAACCGTGCTATTGTTTGGTTCAATGCATTTGGCTTGGTAATTATTTAATTTATATCTGTCTATCTTTTTTTTTTTTGATATTAACTTTATCCTATTTTATTTATCGTTTTTAGAATGATAAGCAACAACACGAACAAGAAGAAGAAGAAGAAGAAGAAAATGTTAATGGAGAAATTATTACCTGTAAAATAACACAAGGATGTAATTATCTATTTGGTTTTGATTTACGTAAACAACAAGTTATCAGTAGTGTTGATCTTGGAGTTGGATTTTCATACAATCAAATAATCGAATTTGGTACACTCTCTGGTGACTATATCATTGGTGTTACTGCCAAGACATCTTATCATCCACTCTCGGCCATGCAATTGGACATTTCAAGTGGCAAAATCACATACACCCAACCTAGCTTTGGTCTCGACACTTACTACACCAACATTGTTTCAGGATTCCAAGATGGCCTTGCTTTTGTCTTGGCTATCAATGCATGGTCTGTCGGTGACCCAACTTATTTCATGGTTTATGATCTTGAAAGTAACCAAGTGCTCTCAAATGTAACTTGTCCACCAAGTTTCTCCGAAACATATAATGTTTTACCATACTAGGTACCTTGTTTGCAAGGAAAATAAATTAAAATATCCAAGCTTGGGTAAAAATCAATGGTTTGCCCTTACTTGTAGTCCTCTATACAATCATAATAATAATATTTCATTTTAACTATATTTGTATTGCTTAAGCATGATTGTAGTATACAAATATAATATCTACAGTCATGTTTTGCAAACAACATAGACCTTACGTCAAATGTATCCATCTCTGCTGCAATATTGACTGGTATCAAATCCTATCATTCCATTGGTCGTGCAATCCAAATGCTAGAAATATAATGCCAGCCTTACTCACTGCTTGTGGGTACCTGTGTTTGCGGCGTGGTCATTTTATTGCTTCTATTTGGTCGTATCAATAATGTTGGAGATTTAAATTCTTCCTTTATCACTCAACCAAACTTTTAAATTAAAAAAAACAAAAAAAAAAAACAATTAAGTGTCATTGATAGATAACTAACCAACTAACAAACTTTAGTTATCAATGAACTAACTAAATGACCGAGTGTAAATAAATAAATTAAAAATATTATTTTTTTTTTTTGAATCTAGATTTCATAAAAACCAAATTACTTTAATCGATCGAAATAGTAAAACAATGATGAGTTTAAATGCAGTACCCCACTTTACGGGAATATGATTTTTTATCCGCAGATCAAATTTGCCAGAGTGCAAATGCCAAAAAAGGAGATGGATGGTTAGTGAGTATAGAAACCATCCAATTCAAGAAATCATATGATGCATTTTGGAAAATTATAAATAGCTCCATGAAATGGAGGAAATTTAATGATTCAATAAACCCAATTTACAACAAACAAACAATCAACAACAAACAAACAAATAATAATTTTTGTAACATTATTGTATATATATATAAATAAATTATTCAAACTTGTACAACAAACAAACACAACAATCTAAAAAGGTACGTAACATTCAATGTTCAAATTATCACTCTCTATCATCGCATCAACCCCTCACATTTGGTGCCCCTTGTTTTCACACTAAAAAAAAAGAATAAATGAAATTTATGATTGATTTACAAACAAACAACATACGTACACACACAAAACATATGCAACACGTTTTACCATTCCTATCACTATCATATTCTCTCTCTCTTTCATTCATTTTCACTCAAACCATCATCAATCATCACATCACAATCTATCTTTTCAATTTCTATCTATATTTTACAATAAAAGATTTTTAAATTAAAATAGTCCTAGGAGTGAGTTATCCATTATCGTTATTCGTCTTCCTATCGTTTGTATCATCCCAATTTATAATAATAATAAATATAATAAATATATATTATTATTTCATCCTCTCTATTTAAATACCAACAACCATTCAATTTCATCTTCAACAACAATTACATTATTCATTAAATTCAAAATTAGACATTGTTGTTATTAACAATACATACAAGTAAAAAAGTATGATTAACAACAACCACTCATCTTGTTTGGATTATTTTTAATTTAATCATATTCTATTTATCCTTCCTTTCAACAGTTGTTTTAACTCCTTTTCCTCCTTTCTCCTTTTTATTTAATTTTCTATTTCTATTTATTTTTTTTTATAGATATGCAATCAAATAATAATAATTCAAAAATGATGGTAAAAGAAATGATTAAAGAACAAGCCAAAGTATTACAAAAGGAATGGGACAGTAATCCAAGATGGAGTGGAGTCCAAAGAGACTATACTGCCGAAGATGTTATCCGTCTCAGAGGTAGTTGTCACGAAGAGTATAGTGTAGCCAAGAGAAACAGTCAACGTCTTTGGACAATGATGAATGACAAGACTAGCTTTGTTCCAGCTTTGGGTGCTCTCACTGGAAACCAAGCCATTCAAATGGTTCGTGGTGGATTAAAGGCTATCTACTTGTCTGGTTGGCAAGTGGCTGCTGATAATAACACCTCGGGTCAAATGTATCCAGATCAATCTCTCTATGCAGTAAACTCTGTTCCAGAGTTGGTTCGTCGTATCAACAATAGTCTTCGTCGTCGTGATCAAATCGAATGGGCTGAAGGTAACCTTGAAAACTCTTATCTCGACACTCCCATCGTCGCCGATGCCGAAGCTGGTTTTGGTGGTCCTCTCAATGCTTTTGAATTAATGAAAGCAATGATTGAAGCTGGTGCTGCTGGTGTTCATTGGGAAGATCAATTAGCTTCAGAAAAGAAATGGTAAATTAGAAAAAAGAAAATAGAAAATAGAAATTAAAAGAATAATATTAATACTAACTTTTTCTTTCATTTCTATTTATAATTAGTGGACATATGGGAGGAAAAGTATGTGTACCAACAAGTCAACATATTAGAACATTGAATTCAGCTCGTTTGGCATCAGATGTAATGGGAGTACCAACATTGATTGTTGCAAGAACCGATTCATTGGGTGCCAGTTTGTTGACATCGGATGTTGATGAACGTGACAAGAAGCATTTGAATGGCAAACGTACTGTTGAAGGTTACTATGAAGTCAATAAGGGAATTCAAGTTGCCATCGACCGTGCACTTGCCTATGCTCCCTATGCCGATGTTCTCTGGATGGAAACTTCCACCCCATCGATCGAATTGGCCAAAAAGTTTGCCGATGCTATCCATGCAAAGTACCCCAACAAGTTGTTGGCCTACAACTGCTCACCATCATTCCATTGGAAGCAACATCTCTCAACCGAGCAGATTGCCACCTTCCAACAACAACTCTCTGCCATGGGCTACAAGTTCCAATTCATCACATTGGCCGGTTTCCATGCATTGAATCTTGCCATGTTTGAATTGGCTCGTGAATACAGTGCCAAGGGAATGCCAGCCTATGTATCTCTCCAAGAACGTGAATTTGATTTGGAAAAGGTTGGATACACTGCCACTCGTCATCAACGTGAAGTTGGTACCGGCTACTTTGACTCGGTCACTCAAGTTGTCTCTGGTGGTAAATCCTCCACCCTCGCTCTTGTCGGTTCAACCGAACAAGAACAATTTGATGAACACATTGAAAAAAAGAAACAAGAACATAATTTATCAAAACAAAAAGGTGCTTCTTCTGCTCAAGTCTAGAAACTAAAATAGAAAACAAAAATAGAAACAAAAAGAAATAGAATAATAATAATATTTAAAATAAAAGATTATATATAACTTTTTTTAAAAATTTTAATTGTTTGTTGTTGTTGTTGTTGTTGTTTAACAACAACCTCCAGATTTTTTTGAATTTGAATTCATATTTACACTACCACTACCATTATTATTATTACTATTATTATTTACATTTCCACCTCCCTGGACTTCATTTGGATATTTCTTTACAAAGTTTTCAGCAATTGTCTGAAGTAATAGATTAATATTCTCTCCAGTTTTTGATGATGTCTCTAATGTAACTGCATTGTATTTGTTTGCAATTTCATCTACTTGTTGTTGTGTTACTTGTCTCTTTTCTCCTTCTTGAATCAAATCCAATTTGTTTCCAACTATATAAATATCGATATTTGGTTCATTGTGTGTCAATTCCTCTACCCAAAATGTTACTTTATCCAATGATGAAAGATTTGTTAAATCATAACAAACAATAGCAGCTCTTGCTCTTCTATAATATGATCTATTTACTGCTTCATATCTTTCAGTTCCAGCCTTAAAAAAATAAAAATATTAATTAATTAAATTTATAATTAATCATTCCATAAACATGAACATACAGTATCCCAAATTCCTAAATATACTTCATTGTTTCCAACTTGGATTCTTTTACATGAATATGCTCCACCTACAGTCTATTTAGACAAAATAAAACAATTAGAGATTTGAATATAATATGTGATCATATCAGGATGACATGATTCTTCTTCTTCTTCTTACCATAACAGTATGTTCAAAATTATTATACATGAACCTCTGAACTAGACAACTTTTTCCTACAGATGTTAATCCTAAAGATATAAGATTATTATATAATATTTATTAGTTTCTTCTTTCTTTCTTTCTTTTCTTCTTCTTTTAAGATTTACCTAAAACTACAACTTTAATATCCTTTGACATTTTTCCTTGTAATATGTATTAAATCTCTATCTATTACCTATTGCTATTGCCTATTGTTGGTTAATATATCTTGTAAAATTACACAAACCTATTGTTGTGTTTTGTTTAAAACTCTCTCTCTTCTCTACACTTATTTATCGTAAAGTTTCTGGTGCAGTGTTTGTTGTGTTGCGTTGTGTGTTTGTGTGTGGTGGACAACGTTATATTAATTGTTGTTGAATTGTGTGTTGGTTTGAATTGTTTGTGTTTGTTTGCTACGTTTGAAACAACAACAAAAGGACAACCTTGTTCGTGTCCTCATCATCACAAACTTAAATATCTAATTTGGTCAATCTAGAGAGAAACGAACAGTTAGAAAGGATAAAAAATTCAAAGATTTCACCAATTTTCACTTAGAGAGACGACAACGACAAACCCTCTTCAAAGAGACTCTCACTCCCACTCTTTCATTCTTTCTTTCTTTCTATATCTATCTTTTTATAGCTTTTAAAACATGTCTGTTGAACAACTTATACCTGTAGTTATTACTGGTCCTTCAGGTGCAGGAAAAGGAACTTGTAAGAAGAAGAAGAAGAAACACATTGGACAATGTTTTGTTTCAATTCTCTTCTTTATTCATTATTAACCTAACCTATCTTCTTTTCTTTTCTTTAGTAATTGATAGATTAAAAAAAGAATTTGAAGGATCATTTGGATTTTGTGTATCACATACAACACGTAAACCAAGAGAAGGAGAGGTAGATGGAGTACACTATTATTTTACAGATAAAGCATCGATTGAAAAAGAGATTGCAGAAGACAAGTTTGTAGAGTCTGCCAATGTACATGGAAACTACTATGGTACTTCAAAGAAAGCACTTCAAAACGTACTCGACAAGGGTAAAATCTGTATTTTAGATATCGATGTTCAAGGTTGCGAATCGGTCAAAAAGGCAAAGATCCCTGCTAAATTCATTTTCATATCACCACCTTCTTATGAGGAATTGGAAAAGAGACTTCGTGGACGTGGTACCGAAAGCGAAGAATCACTTCAAAAGAGATTGACCAATGCTCGCACTGAAATGGGTTATCTCGATAAACCAGGTTTCTTTGATATTGTCATTGTCAATGACAACTTGGAAGATTCCTACACTAAACTCCGTGATATCATTTTACCTTATATTCATTTCCAAAAATCACTTGTTAGAAGCGAATAAAAAGGAGAGAGAAACAAAACAAATTTATTATTTATTAAACATATATTATAATTATTTATATTTATTTATTTATTTATTTTAAATATTTTCTTGTTGTTGTTGTTGAACAAAAGTAGTCATTTCTTGTTTCATTTTATCTAATTGTTTTTCAAGTTGTTCTTGAAGACCACCCATTTCAAGAGAACAAACCTTGGCGTGTATGGCAAGAGATTTTTCGAGGATGATGACTTGTTGAGAGAGAGCCGATTTGAGACGATCGACTGTTTCCTTTTTGTCGGGATTGTCAACAAGATACTCTTTGGAAAAGAAAACTTGTTTGTACATGTTTACACCACCATTGACGGCAGCATCAATGACACCCTTGAGAATCATGGTAAATGGAGAAATGTTGGTATCGTTGCCATTCTCGTGTTTGATTGACATTTCATTGAGTTCAGTGTTTTTACTCATGACTGAATTGACTGCATTGTCGATTGGTGACAATTCAACCTCGTAACGACGTACAATCTCTGAACGTCTATGAATCGTTGGGAAAGAGTCTTGAAGAATATAATAATTGTTGATAATCCAAAGATCTCCAAATTCATTGCCAGTCTTATTTTTTCTAAATGGTTTAGAATATAAAAACGTATTGATATTGTTATGTTGACGATATTTTTGTACTGCTGGTGGTATTGGTTTAGTTGCAACTGGAACGGTTGCTGTTGTTGCTGTTGCACCAGTTGATAAAAGTGCAGGAGACATGCTCCCAGGTGAACCACTTGGAGTTGATGGTTTTGATCTTTGACTTGGTGAAAGATGATTAACATTATTATTATTAATACTATTGGCCAAAACAGTGGTATGTCTAGGATTGGCAGGTAATTGTTGTTGAAGGTCTTGGGATGGTTTGACGGCATAGATTTGAAGATATTGATTTGGACTATTCATAATCTCTGCTGGTGGCAATTCGGTATAGGTCAACAATGATGCCGATGGGAACTTGGCTTGAATTCTTTGAACAAAATCAGACATTCTCTCCAATTCATAGCCCTTGTAGATAAATTCCTTGCCACGAATTGATGGTTCGAATCCCTTGCCATAGTATCCAACTCTAAAGTACTCTGAAAAGAAACGTTCAACACCAATAATCTTTCGGTAAAACGTTGATTCTTGTTGTAAAATATCGGCCAATCTTTGATAGTCAAATTGTACTTCTTCGTATTGGATGATGAGTTTCTTCATCAAGGTGATGGCACGCTCCCATGCCTTACCCTTGTCAAGGTATTCAATTGACAGTTTGTACAATTTCTCCTTTCTTTCACGCATCGATTGTGATTTGAATCCTTCTACAAATTGTAATTCATCTACCACAGTGTCGGACCATTCCAATAGATCGGCATGCAACAACAATGTGTTACCGGCTTCGGTGTAATTGTTATTGGTCAAATGTTGATTACAAAGTAAATGAACATATTTGATATAGGTGTCTTGACGATCCGTTTGCTTTAGATAATTCATCAATTGCATACATGCAATCGTTCTATCATCTTCATACTCTGCTCTATCTGGTAATGTTCGAAGTGCAAACAATAATTCCAAAAACATCTTCATATCTTTTATAAATATTAATCCAGAATCTTTTATAATCATATCATTATTCATTTTTTCTTCCAAACTAAATAGGAAAAAAAAGAATGGTAAGTATATATATAAAAAAAAAGAAATATATATATTTACTTTGAAGAAAAGAAAATTCTAAACTTTTCATCTAAAATATCGGCAGCTTCAGTATTTGTAATTTGATCCAATGTATTAATCGTTTCAGTTTCAACCTTTTTAAATGATTTATGTTCTTTAAATTCACATCTTAATAATTGATAATAAAGTTGAATACCAAGTTGTTTCAAATTTTGTTGATTAATCTAAATAAAAAGAAAAAAAAAGAGTTAAAGGATTGATGATTTTATCTTCTATTTGTTTTTTCTATTTTTCTACTACTTACAAACATTAATTCTAAAAATGGAGCAATAACAGTTGGTAATAATTTGATTTGATATTTTTCCAAAGATTCCCACATTGTTTGAATGGTTGAAATTAAATCATTTCTCATATCACCATATCTTGATTTAATGGTTTTTTGTTTAGCTTCAGAGAAATGTTCAAGTGCTAAACCTTTAAGTTTAACAAATGTAATTGATAATGTAAAGAATATTGACCATAAATCAAAATCAATTTGTTGCCTATAAAAAAAAATAATAAAAAAGTTAATAAATATCCTTTTTCCTTTTCTTTGTTTTGTTTTTTTTTTTTTTACCATTGTTGCATTTGAATTTTAGTTTGTAATTTTCTTAGGAGATATTTTGAAACTTGAATGATAACCTTTTTAACAGTACTATATTGGAACATGGTAAGAGTTAACCAGTTTTCAGGATAAGTGACTGCATTTTCTTGTAAAAGAGAATTGAGGACACGTAAGAGTTTAAAAAGATTACTCCACCATTGTTGTGGTTGTAGTGATTGCATATAACGATCAAACAATGCTTCATCCATTAGATAGAGGATAGAATAGAGGTTGTGTACCATATCCAACTTTGCAATATCAAAATGAAGTGGACATGATTTAATCGATTCAACAATCTCTGGCAACATGTCTACAATATCCCAAATCTTTGAATTGTCCTTTAGTTTGGTTTGAATAGTATCAATCATTACACTAATAATCTCGGCTTGTTTCTTGATATCATCAAATCCATTAGTTGAACTTGCCATGTGTTGTTTTAAATGTTTCTTTACAGTATCCATCAACAATGTACGTGATGAATTTTGTAAAAATAAATCACCTTCTGTTAATTTTAATATTACATTCATTTTTTCCTAAAACAAAAATAAAAAAAGATTAGAATAAATATTTATATTTTCCTTTCTATTTCTTTTTCTATTTACCATATTTAATAAACGTAAAGATTCATCAAATCTAACACTATCAATAAAGTTTTTAGCAATTTCACTTCTTTCTTCGATAGAGAATAATTGACCCAAATCTGAAAACATGGAACTAAAGATTTTCAATGCAATGGTTTGAGCACCAATATATTCTCTTTCAGTCTTTTTCATCAACTGACTAAGTGTTGAAAATACACTTGTCAAATCTTCCTTGAATGTCTTTGAATAGCCAACTGATTTATCAATCAAATCATGATTTCTTTTTGATATTACAATAAATTTTAATATATATTCCATAGACTAAGAAAGAAAAAAAAAATATTAATATTTAGTTGATTGATTTTCTTTTTGTTTTTTTTTTACCTTTAGAGTTGATAATAAAGTTTTTAAATTTGAATTATTTGAAAGAATTCTTTTTAAACTACCAATGAGAAGATTATGAGCAACTGAACTAGTGAAATGATTTTCAATATACATATCCAAAACTGGTTTAAAGTTTGTATATTTTGAAGTTTTTTCATCAACCAAAAGACCAATAATCCAAGTAATCACAGAGAATACCAAATCTGGATCAGATACCTTTTTTGCTTCCAAAATGGCAAATAATGCATTAAATGTTTCTTGCATAAATTTAATAATTTCAATTTGATCTACAAATGTAAATCTATTTAATACTTCTCCTAAATCACCATTATATTGATCCCATTTTAATAATGTTAATAATGATACTAAATAAAAATTAAAAAAAAAAAATTAGATTTTCTTTTTTCTTTTCTTTTCTTTTTTTTTTTTTTTTCTAAATTTATATTTACAATTTTGAGTACAAACAGTTGAACATAATAAAACTTTAACTTTAGTTTGTTCACCTTTTGATCTTGGAACCAATTTGTTTTGTGGATCTTTAAGTGAAGGAATAAATTCTTCAATCGTTTTGGTAGTTTTATAAGAAACAAGTGAATGTGTTTTGTTTCCAATTACAGTTCCATCTTGATTTGTTAATTTTAAATATGACATTCCAAATGGTATTCTTTCTTTTGCTAAAATAAATCAAAAAAGAAATAATTAATATCTTTTTTTCTTCTTTTCTTTTCTTTTCTATTTCTATTTACTTTCACTTGTAGTACAATGTCTAATACTAAAAACCAAATAAATTTGATCCAATAATTGTAATGGTACATTGATTTTGATAGTTTCAGACCAATGAGGTTGATTTGAATGATAAAATACAATTGATTTATACTCTGAACGGTGTTTATCACCAGTGAATAGACAGTCTTTGACGAGATCACCATTTTCAAGTCTTGCTTGAACAATGATTTCTACATTTTTGGCACTTGTCTTTCGATCTTGAGAGTATTCACCACTTTCCAGTGTGATAAAGAGATCATTTCTTTGATCGCCTGGATAGATGACATCGGGGAAGCCAAGTTTGCTGGTTTGTTGTACCTCTTCAAGTACTGGATTCTCCTTGATCACTTGTTTGAGTTCACCTGGTAATAGGGTGAGACCAATACAAATACCCTTGGCTTTGGGTACTTGTTGGAGATTGGTTGCATTCTTGATGATCATTTCATGGAGTATGGGGAATACAGATTCTTGAGTACTGGTATAGATGGGGATGGTATGTACCAACTCTCTACCAACTGTGATATTGTCATCGATACGAAGTACCGAACACCCAAATGGACGACGGTATGGAAGGGGACCAGTCTTTTTACCGTCTACCAACATCTTGCCCTTTCTTACCAACCGACACACCAAGTAGAGATCGGCTTGTAACTCTTTTTTGGAAACATCTACAAAGAGAGTGGAGAGTTTACCAATCTTGTCAACATCGTGTGGCATGCCGAGTGCGGTTAATCCGACTTGATACTCCTCCGTGATGAAGCGTCCCTCGGTACGGTTGTAGATGGAGAAAAAGAGTTGTGTCTCTTCACCGACCGAGCACATGAATACTTTGAGGTCGAAAAAGATGTGGTTGGGTTGTAGCGAGCTGGATGCACTACTGGCGGCAGCTGCAGCGGCGGCCAAATCACCAGTCTCGCGGCGTACCATCATTGACTTTCTCATACCTGCGCGGACTGGACTCGGACTACCACCAGAAGAGGAGCCCGACAATGTATTGGAGGTTGGTTTGCGACCCGGTGACATTGGTGATGTTGAAGAGGGTGATGAACCAGAAGAACTGGAACCACCGGTGGCACCTGCAGCAGCGGCAGTCGCAGCGTTGATAAGACTAGTTGCGGGGATAGGAGATCCAGGTCCCGACGCACCATTGAGCAGATCCTTGGTCGACGACGATGCAAATGTCTGGCTTGTCAATTGTCGTGTATTGTTGTATGCCGATACCTTGGATGTGTCCAACTCTTGATGCATACGATACAACGAGATGATACCTGTATTTGATTCGTGTGCTGGCTCTCCATTGGCCGTTCTAACAATCATGTCTAGTCCCATCAGACGTCTACCTTCCTCAATCTTGCTAATCACCTTTCCCTTTAGCATTTCTCGTACCTCTAGTGTGATGGATGGTGACATGATCTTGGCGTGCCAATCGAGAAGTAATGACAAACGGTCTTTCATGATCTTGTATTCCGACATTTTACGCTCTCTGAAATAGGTGATCAACAATAGACCCCATTCCCTAATCACCTGTGACAACTCATTGGTGACAACATCAAAATCCTGAGTGTTCTTTAATACTACATAGGTAGCGGGGAAGATCCCACTTGCTCCAATAGGTTGTTGTGGTATCGTCGTTGTCGCAGTAACTGCCTGATCTATATTATCCAACAAATAATTTGATGTCAATACCACACCACGATACCATTCCCCATTCTTTTCTTCAACCTTTATTTGGTCTCCAACCTTTAATGTTAATTGATTCTCTCCATTTGCTTGAAATGAATGTATTGCTATAGAAACACAAATATAAAATATAAAATGAAAGAAAGAAAGAAAGAAAGAGTTAACTCTCTAATATCTATCTTTATCTATCTATATGTTTAAATCTAGCTAGCTACATACCAACAGCAACTGTATCATGAACAGGTTTCCACGACCCAGCTGTTACAAATAATCTTGACATTTGATCAAAATGTAATCTTTTGTGTGAATGGATCTATCTTATCTTTTATATATTGTCCACTATCTATATCTTTATATTTAAAATATCTTGACTATATATATATATATATATGTATATATGTTTATATTGTGTGTGTGTGTGTGTGTGTATTGTTGGTTTAATGTTCACAATAATATATAAACGTCAGTACTAATTAGTTGTTTTGAGAGTGATTAATAAAAATCAATATATAGTGGATTATGATTAAAATCTACCTCTCGACACACACCTTTACAACCAAAAAATTGACAACAAAAATTCACTAGATATTGTGTGATCAACCACCCTGATTCTCATAACATGCCCCTCCGAAATGAGATATTTTGCATCAAATTAAATTAAAAAAATTGTGTTTTTTTGGATCTTTGCAACACATTCTAGATGAGCCCAATGCCAAATCGAAACTAAAAATCCGTGACGGTTGACTTTGGACTAACCCCCCCTTTTGCCTCATTGTGCCCCCATCTCCCTTGGTCTAAGCAAAAAGACAATGATAGTATTGTTTGTGTTGACACCACACATAATCTCTCCTTGGAAAATTTGTAGGGCCGATAGTTTTTAAGTTTTATTATTATTATTATACTTTTTTGTTTGTTTGTTTGGTTTTTTTAGAATACCTTTTCCAAAACAGTTTGAATATTCATTTTAAGTGTGCAAGTTGATGATAACTCTTCGCTATCTCTACCACCTGTGATTGGTGTTGATTCATTATCATGTTCACTTTGTAATGCCAATCTCATTAATAAATCTTGTTCTTTTTGATTTTTAATACTCTAAACAAAATAGAAACAAAATGGTTAATAAATATTTTTCTCTTTTTTTCTTTCTTTTTTTTTTTTTCATATTTTCTTTACATTTTCTTCACAAATTGAAACAACATGAAGATAAGTTAAATCTTTTGTTAATAAAGCATTATTAATTGTATGTCTTGATAAATTTGGAGATGATGAATTTGAAGAAGAAGCGGTACCATGAATTTGTGAAGTAGTTCCATTTGTTGTACTATTTCCAATATTGTTGTTGGATTTGATAGAATTTGGTGTTTCATCTTGAGGAAGGACAGCAAATTGTTTAAAAGAATCAAAAGTGAGAATCTTTGGATGAGAGATGATATGGTTGGTACTAATGTTATCATTGCTTCCCAAGAGTGCAATAGTTTTGACTGGTGGTGAAAGTTCCACTCCTTCATCTTGTGGTAATTCCAAGTCATTTCTTGTGATGGTGTTGTATTTCTTTTTCAAAATCTTTGGTAAATCATTAAACTCTTGTGTTAGACTCTTGATTTCACATAGTTTTTCGGCGACCGTATCTTGATTAATCTCTTCACACGAAGAATCCTTATTTTTTCTCTTTCTCTATACTTGTTTTTGTTTTGTTTAACAATTAATTTTAATTGTTGGAAATCAAATGATAAATATTTGCATGATTGTCCATTTTCTTTTCTAATTTTTAAAATCTAAATAAAAAAGAAAAAGAAAAAGAAAAGAAAAGGAATTAATACTTTTTGTTGTTTCTTTTTTTTTTTACTATTTTTTTTTTCTACTTTACATGATCAATATATTGTTCTAAAGAAATGATATCATAAAATTTAGCAATGATATAAAGATAACTTGCAATGGTTAGATGAATAGAACTTGATAATCTAAAGGAAACCTTTTTTTTGAGGAGGATTCTTTGAATTCTAAATATCATTGGTATGGAATGTTGAAGTTCTTTGTTTCTACCACGATACAACATGATGACCAAAGTCTTGAAAAGACATGAAATATTATCTGGATGATTGTTGCTAATCATGAATCCAGTGAATAGTGAATCTCTGATAAAGGTTGCATTCTCCATCAACAACTCGTCGACACCATCAATCGATTGTAATTGCAATTGGTTCAAAGATCTGCCACCAGGCAACAACAAGGAATGTAAAATCTTTTGTACATAGATTCTAACCTCGGACGATGGATGTTCGGCGAGTGGTAAGAGTTTTCGTTGTAGGAAATCATTCAACATGGTGTGTGGAATGACATCGGTCAACGTTTGTGAAACTTGGAGTGTGCATTGTACAATGTCCAAGAGAATGACATTACTCTCGCCGTGTCCGGGTCTGATGTATTCGTCTCTTGCTTGATTCATAATCTGAACCATAATCTCCATTCTATTACGATTGCTCGATAGTTTTTTACAAACCTTTCCAACCGCTTCGATAATGGCCGACTGCAATTTGAACTGTTCGTCAACGTCGGCTGGTGGTGGCTTTTTGTTGGCAATGTCGATCGATTGGATCATGATCTTGATAAAGTGCGATACCACCATGTTGACCGATCCACTATTGTCATTGACAATGGCCACTGCAGTATTGACAATCTCTTTGGTGACTGGAGGTGGGTGTTGTGGCTCCAAATGTCTCAAATAACTAGTCAACAGAATAGTGTATTGTTGTGTCTTGATACTCTCTGCCATGGCAATCATACAACTAGTTGGGAAATGATCGTCTCCCCATTTTTGTTGTTGATCCAAATAGCCAAGAATCGTCTGAACCAATGATGTAACTGTAATATTATCAACTCTTCTTGTTAAATCTCTTAATGAATCTGTTGCTACTTCTTTTACATTATTTTGATGATCAACAATTATAGTTTCTTCTGTAGTAGCGGTAGTTGTAGTAGTCGTTGTTGTAGTAGTTGTAGTTGTAGCTGTAGTTGTTGTAGAAGTTGTTGTAGTTTGATTATTATTACTAGTTGGAATTGGAATATCTTGAATAGTATTTCTTCTTTCAGTTGTTGGTGTTCTAAATAGATAAACATTATTAATAAAAATGTTAAATTTATCTATCAATTTTATAATTAACATACTGAGGAGGAGTAGTAATTAATTGATCTCTATATTGCATATTATCAAGAATAGTTGAAATGATTTCAGGATGTCTAGAGATATAGGCATCCAATTCATCGATTAAATCAAGAATGGTAATATAGGCAGTGACACCTCTTAAACCTTCACATCTGATTCTTCTACGACGATGAGAATCAGTGTTATTATTCTTGCACATATTGATAAAGTATTGAATGAATCCTTCAATATCTTGATAATAGGTTTGTGATGAATCCAATACTGATACAAATTGAATAAACTAAAAATTGAAAAGTAAAAGAGTATAAGCAAACCTATAAAACTATATAGATAGATGATATATCATATGATTGGTCTTACAGTTTCAGTAGCTTCAATTCTAAGATCTTGATTTACATCTTGTTCTAATAACATTTTAATAATCTTTGTTGCATTCTCTGCAAAAAAGATAAGATTCTTTTTGCATCCAACAATCAATTCTCTCATTATAATAACACAACATGTTACAAACCTAAAAGGGGTAAATGATGAGATTAAGAAGATTAGATTGATTAGATCTTTAAGATTATATATATATATATATTTCTAGTTTGTCGTTGCTTACCCAAATCTCTTTCTCTTTATATTCTTTTCAACCTTTTGTTCAATGTATGGACCAACCTTTTGTAATAGTTCAGGGTTCATCTCACAAAAGTAAACAAGTTTACTAATGTTTGATTTGTTCATCTCACCAGTTGGTTGTGCTGGTAAGATGGCCTTTATCACCTTTTTATACTTTGGATTCTTTTTACGTAATGCCATCTTTGTTTGATATCTCTCTCTCGCTCTCTCTCTCTCTCTCTATAGAGGTTATACAACTATCTATCGACTGACTATTGAATAAAAGAAAAGATATAAAAACTAATGAATGGACTACTCTTGCCTCTTTTGATCATCAATTTTTTTTTTAATTTTTTTAAATTTAATTGAGTATACTTTTCAATATTAAAATAGGGTATACCCTGGATAGACTTTATTTCTTGACATCATAGGATTATAATCCAAATTTGATTTTAGTATTACCCACCATCACTATAATACAAAAACAAAAAAAAAATCAAAGCATTCAACTTTGCTTCATTGTTTGTCAGCCCAATTTATTTCACTTTATATTAAATTAAATATTTCATTCTCGTCAGATTAGAATTAATTCATAGTAGTAATAATAATAATAATAATGATGAATGACGATCATTTAGATAAAGATAGTAGTAATAATAGTAGTAGTATATTACATGATGATTTCAAAACAACAAACAAAGAACAACAAAAGAAAGAAAAGATACAAAATGCCCCATTATTAAATGATGATGATGACGACGTATCATTAGAAGTCGATGAAGAAAGTAAAGACTTTGCAAAGAGATTATCATCTGCTTATAATCATGCTGCAACTACCACTACTACTAGTACTACATCTACAAATAATAACAACAATAATAATAATACAACAGGGACATCAACACCAACCATTACAGATGAAGACTATGCAGCAGAACTACAAGCAGAGTATAACAAAGAACCACAACAATCTATTCATATCCCACCAGACGATGATCTACATTTTAATGATTCCTTTGAAATGCCAGAGGTGACCAGTCATTCTGAAGATTATCATAGATTTATTTCATTAAAAAGAACTGGTACAGCTGTTAAAGCTCTTTCAATGTTAATATTTGTAATAATCAAATATAATAATAATATAATTTATAAGATCTTATAACTAATAATAATAATAATAATACATCTATCTCTTTCTATCATTTAGTTTTTCTCTATTATGACATATTTTATTCAAGCATGGTGGTTATTATTTTCTGGAGGGATTGTAATGTGTCCAATTGGTTTCTATGCATCTCATTATTTAAAGAGACGTTTATTCCTATTTGTTTGTATCACTATCCAACAAATATATAATTATTTAAATTATTTAATATTTATCTTTTATCTTTTATCTTTTAGTTTATGGTATATTTGGTAATTGATATAATATTTAGATTTGGATTTTTATTCTCACATTTAAAGGAACTTTCTGGATTTGGTATATTTATATCATTTGTAATTGATGCATTGGAGGGATATGTAGTCTATTTTTGTCTAAACTTTTATAAACGAATGCCAAGTGATGGTACCATTACTTTTAGAGATTTCTATTTACATGATACTGGACTTTGGAGTTTTTAAACAAACAAAATATAACAACAAATCAAATTTAAATTTATTATTATTATTATTGGTTTTCCAAAAAAATTTTTTTTCCATAACATGTAGTCAGTTAGTTATATTACAGGGTGTATATTAAACATTTTTTTGTTTAAGTGTAATAAATCATATATATTTACTTTTTAAAAAAAAGGATTGATTTTATTATTATTTATTTGGATTCGAGTGGTTTATGGTAAATTAATATCAATAACATTTACCCAGAAATTGGCACATTTGATATGAAAGGTATGATGATTAGTACTGTTGGTATGAGTACTAGAGTTATCCAATTGATCAAAATGTTTACCACAAATATGACAATAACTAGACGACGATGACGAGGCCGATGCATTCTTTGTGGTGATGGGTGTGAAGTGGGGTAGATCGCATTCGGCCAAAAGTGGCAACAATACTTTGGACCACTTGTCATTGATGATTGAGGCAACAGGTGATCTGACAGCCATTGATGGTTGTTGTTGTTGCGTTTGGATGATATTATAGGCAACTGAATAAATCTCTGACAGAGACAATAAAAAGTCTTTGAATTTTTGTGATTGTACTATCTTTTGGTAGGTTGCCTTGTCTTGTGATTTGATAAATTCAATGGTCGAAGTTGACTCTTCCAATTCTTGTAAACAATATTCTAATGTAACTTTTGATATATCTGGATTTACACTTGCAGTTATAGGTTTTGTTGTTGTTGTTGGATATTGAGATTTAACTTCTTTTACAATTGGTGTAATATTATTATTTTGATTATTTTGTTGATTTTCATTAATTAATTTTTGTACAAAGTTTTTTGATTTGTTTTGTAATTCAATTGCCACTGATATATCTACATTTGCCATGTTGGAAAGAGATTGATAATCAAATTGTGAGAAAAAGATTTCAATCTTTTCAGTTGGTATTTTTCTGTCTACCAATTGTTTCTTCATCTCTTCAATGGTACGATGAGTCTTGTCAGCAGGTCCTGTCCAATGAGCAATTTGACCTTGTACATCCTCACCAAGTTCCTTTGGATTACTCTTGATAATAGCTTGACATGCCAATGCCTCTTCCAAACGTTCTTGTCCAATCAATGATTTGGAAATATCTTGTAATAATTCAACATTACTATTTGTTTCTTTTTTCACTACTGGTGTCAATGGTTCACCAAAATTAAAATCACTTGGTATGGTTGATTTTGGTGCTGCTTTGTATGATGATGATGTTGTAGCTACTTTAGTTGGTTGTAAAGTTGAAAAACTAAAATCATTAAATAAATCATTATTATTAGTTGTTGTTGTTGGTTTGTTTGTTATTATGTTATTTGTTGGTTGGTTGGGTATAGAGGTCATGGGAGAATCTACAACAAAATTATTAAATCCATCATTTGAATCGACCTCTTGGAAATCAGAGAAATCTTGGAATTCATCTGCCTTTGTTGAAGTTGAAGTGGCAATGGTTGCAGCAGTTGATTTGTCACTAGTCTGTGATGATGGAACCAACATATCTCCAAAGTTTACAGTACTAGATGGACTAGAACTAAAATCAACATCCAAAAGACTCTCAAAATCATTCTTTAAAGGTTTTGTCGTCGATGTAACATTGTTAACATTTGCTGGAACAATGATAGGAGGTGGAATAGATGATTGTTTTCTAAGTGGTGGAGGTGTAAGTGAAACAGATGGTGAAGAAACTGATGGTGGAAGTGGAACAGTAAGTATTGTTTTAGTAACTGTCGATGAAGGTGAAGATGATTGTTGTTGTTGTTTAGTGACAGATGATGAAGGTGAAGAAGATGCACTAAATCCACCAGCTGGTGATGAATTGGTTGATTTCATTAACAATGAGGGAAGACCTGCTCCGCCAGTGGAGGTGGGAGGTTTGAGTCCTGCATTATTTGGAGTGATTGATAATGGAGAAGCAGAGGATGTAGAGACTGTGATTGGGTTGGGTACAAGCTCTTGTGGGTTGAATTGATTGATTGGTGGTGACATGATTTCCTCAAATACATCCTTTTTAGTTGGTGATGGATAGGGAATGTTTTCTTTAAACACGGTTGAAGCAGCTTCATTAAATTGCATACTAAGATTAAGTGTTGATGTAGATGGTTGTTTGGCCAATACTGGTGTTGATGGAAGTGTAAAACTACTAGTACCTGCACTAATTGGTCGTGCAAATGATGAATCTTCAAAATCTCCAAATTCATCGACCTGAGTACTAGAAGAAGAGGGTTGATTAAAATCTCCAAAATTTGCATTGGTTGTTGGAAGAACAGCTGCTGGAAGAACAGCTGGATCAGCTGTTACTTTTGGTGGTTCAGGTACAACAGAGCTTCCAGTTGGTAATGAAAAGAAATCGACTTCCTTTTCAACATTATCAAATATTTGTTTATATTTATCACCTGACCAAATGGTTGAATTTCCTGTTGAATTGTTGTTGTTATTGGTATTTAGTTGTATAGTTGACGATGGTTGACGTTGAATACCAGCAAGTCTTAAAGATTCTTTCATCATTTGTTCTAAATCAATCTTTCCATCATCCTCTTGTTGTTGATCAACTTGTGTCTGTTCTTTTGGTTTTTCGGATAGTGCAGTAGTAATACTAGACAACATATTTGGTTGAACTTGAATTGGTATAGTAATAGTTGGTTTAATTTCGGGTTGTTGTTGTTGTTGATTAATTGATGAATCTTCAAAATCACCAAATTCATCATTTGTAGATGCTTGAGCAGTTTGATTAAAATCTCCAAATTGTTCACCACTAGTTGGTTGATTAGTTTGTGTTTGTTGTTGAACTTGTTGTTGTTGTTGTTGAACTTGTGGAACTTGTGGATGTTGACCAGTTTGTTGTAAATTATACAAATATTGTTGTACAAATTGTTGTTGATGATTCATCATGACCAATTGTTGTTGGAAACCCTTTTGTTGTTGTGGATTCATCTGTTGTTGATTCTTTATCATCATTTGTTGATGTTGATACATCATTTGTTGTAATTGCATCAATCTCTGTTGAATTTCTTGTGGAGATTGAGTTTGTAATTGTTGAAGTAATTGTTGTTGCATATGTTGTAATTGTGGGTTTGATGGTGGAGTTTGTTGTTGTTGTTGAGCAGTAGGCGGTTGAGTAGTAGGTGGTTGAGCAACAGGTTGTTGAGATACTAAATTGGGTGATTCAACACTTGCACCACTACTAGTAGTAGTAGAAGGTTGTTGTGGAGCTCCAGAAGATAATGATTTCTTTTCAACACTATTTGATGATGGAGATTGTAAAATCTCTAATGGTTTATCAACTACTTCATTGTCTTTATCTAGTTCTCTTAGAATATCGTAATTTGGTACACCAGCTCTTGTTGCACCAGTTGTTTGTGAACTACCTGATATTGGTTGCAGTAACCCCTAAAGTTGAAAATAGATAAAAGAATTAGTAAACAAAGAAATAATTGCATGCTGTGCAGGGTCGTGTATTCGTCTTACATTGTCCATAGAAGGAGGAGCTTGTGGTTTAGGTGCAAGTTCAGGAAAATACTGTAACAATGGATTAGCTTGTTGTTGTTGTTGTGGCTGTTGTTGCTGTGGTCTATCAAATGTTCCATATTGCTGTCCTTGTGGTTGCTGTTGCTGTTGCTGTTGATAATATTGTGGTTGATTATAAGGATAGTTTTGTTGTTGTTGACTGTACATCATCTGGTTATAGAATTGTTGTCCATTTTGTTGAGGTTGTTGTTGTTGATTATATTGTTGTTGAGGTTGGTTATAATATTGTTGTTGTTGTTGTTGTTGGGGTTGCTGTTGTTGGTTATAGTATTGCTGTTGGGGTTGCTGGTTATAATATTGTTGTTGATTATAATATTGTTGTTGTTGCTGTTGTTGTTGCTGCTGTAACTGTTGAGCATACTGCTGCTGCTGTTGCTGCTGCTGATTATATTGTTGATTATACATTTCTTTCTTTTTTAGAGAATGAGATATATATCTTTCGAAGTAGTCGTAGTACTCTTAGTTTGTTTGATTATTATTATCTTTTACAACTCACTCACTCACTCACTCACAAACAAACGAGAGCTTGTATTCTTGTTGTAGAGTTGTAGAGTTGTAGTTGAATGATATTTGTATATTATGTATCTTTTCGAAAAGTATTAATATTAATTAAAGATGAAACCAAGTTGAAACTGGGCAACTAGTTGCGAATATCCTCCTCAAAAAATAAAAATAAAAAGAAAGATGTTGTGAAATTCATGATCTGCAAGTACTTCACCTTTCTTCTTTTTTTTTTTGTACAAAAGATAAGAAGAGATACATACATACATACATACATACACATACACATACATAGATATGTCAAGCGATGGAAAAAAGTATGGTCTTCAAGTACCATCATCAAGATTAAAAAATGCATTTAAAGATGAGGATGAAGATCTTGAAAAGGAGGAGGATACTGGACCAGTAGACTATTACAAACAAACAAACATCAAGAGAAACGAGAATACAAAAGCTCAAAAGATGCAAGATGATGCGTTGTTGGAAGACCCAACTGCATTTGATTACGATGCAGTCTATGATTCGATGAAGAGTGATCGTAAAAAGAGTGCCATGTCAAGACAACAACAAACTGGTGATGCGAGACCCAAGTACATTCACAACCTATTGGCACAGGCTGAAAAGAAGAAACTGGAATTTGAACGTACCAAAGAACGTACCATTCAAAAAGAGTATGAAGCAGATGCCGAAAAATATAAAGACAAAGATGTCTATATCACAGCAGGCTATAAAAAGAAACTAGAAGAACGACGTAAAAGAGAGGAATTGGAAAGATTACAAGATGAAAAGGATTCAGCATCTGCAACCGGTGATATTGGTTCATTTCATAGAAATCTATTTAATACATCTTATGGTAAAGTTCAATCAGATGGTAAAGATACAAATAATCAAGAAAATAATAATAATCAACAACAACAACCATTATCCTCAAGTAATGCCAAAGATGATCAACAATCATCTATTAATGATAGTATAAAAGAGAATAGAGGAGGTTTAATTGTTAAAAAGAAAAGAGATGATCAATATTCTTCATCATCTTCATATCAACAAAGAGGTGGTGGTGGTGGATCAAGAAATAATTATAATAACTATAATAATAATAATAATAATAGAGGAGGAGGATACAATAGGAATAATAATAATAATTATAAAAGAGAAGAAGACGAAAAATCAAAAGAAGAATTAAACAAAAAGAAACAACAACAGCAACAACAACAAGATAGATATCAAAGAAGAAATGATGAAAAATCAATAGAACAAGCAAGAATACGTTATCTTGAAAGAAAATTGGAAAGAGAAAAGAAAAGTATCAAATAAATCAAGCTATATATATATGGAATCTGGTCAACCCTTTTGTAAATAGAAATAATGCCTCAAAAAAAATATAATATATTTATATTTATTTATTTAAATTTAAATTTAAATAGTAGATGGATAAGAAGGTTTGTTAAATTGTCTAAGGAATTGATAATATACATAGTTTGGACCATATTTCATGTCAAACCAATAATTAATGGCAATGGTTTTATGTTCTTTATCATCACCACGTTGAGCCACTCTGTGATAGTATAATGAAGGTAGATAAAGTATTTCACCTTCTTTAACCTCTACATGCAATGGATGACATCTTTCAACCATTCCATACCCCTTTGCCCTATTTGCCTCTATTGGATGAGTAGGATCAACTGGTATCCATGGGATTGGTGTTTGATCTTCATCCAACACTGCTTTTAATTCTTGTTTTCCATCAATTGATGAGTCTACTTGTTGATATGTTGCAGGTTTAAATTCCGATTCATAAAGGAATGGGAAATCAGTTGGTGGTAACAATGTAAATATTTTAGTTCCTCTTACGACACTAACACATATAAAAAGAAAGAAAAGAAAGAGAGTTAATCATTTATACTATTTTTATACACATCGCATTGTCTTGTCCAATACCAATAAATATTTTCATAAGGATCTTTATGTAAAGAACTAATGGAACGATCTTCACCCATCCAAAAATTAATTGCATCTATTGTCTCGTCAAATGCTTCCGATGCAAATGATATACAACTGTGATCTATATCATTCCATAGTTGTTGGTATTCCAAATTAAAACTACCATTTTGAAATTGGAGATAGTGTATAGATGAATCGTTGTTTGTCTCGGATTGTTGGGTAGCGTCTAAATAATCTTCAAATTTCATCTTTTTCTCTAACGGTTTGACAAAGTAGAGAGGTGGAGGATGTTCCGAAGAGGTTTCTTGTTTTTCATCAGCGATGGTGTTTATGGGCTTGACGGCATCACCCAGGCCATCGGGTGTGATGGCAACCGTAATCTCAACACCTTTTAATTTGTCGCGCAGATATTGATTATTTGCCCATCTTTTTAATGCCGGCCATGAATCGATTGCATCTGAATATCCGATGGTGATCGGGAATTTAAATTAGATTAATGTGTGTGTTTATAAATAAACCTGTCATGTATATTTATAGATAGATATATATATTTACATACTTTGAATGATAACAGGTTTATTTTGAGCTACATAATCACGATAGAATACAAGTGGTGTAGGTTTATCTATTCTTTCAATATTATGAACTACATAAAAGTCTATGATTATATATAATTGTGTAAATAAACATATATATATATAAGAGTCATATATAATGTATGAGATGATAACAAACCATTTGAATCTCTTGCTAAAGTTGATAGTATATCATTATATTTGTCTTCAATATCATTCTTTACTTCTCCATTATCATCGGAAGAATCATCATTGCTTGTTTCATCATTATTACCATATTTAGTATCTGATGAAGTCATATCATATATAGGGTTCTGTCTGCTGTCTGCTGTCTATTTCTATCTCTCTTTCTGTTTCTCTTTTAAACAGTCAGGATAACAAACGATTCAATTAAAAGAAACGATCCTTGTAATCGTGCATGCGTGACAAACAAACACAATCATTGCTGATCCAAAATGCCGACACGCATAATTCCGGAAGGAAGATGTTTTAATTTAAATTATATAATCATCACATGCAGCACCTCGTTCATATATTCATTATAAAATGATGATGATAATGGTATAGAGCAAACAAACAGATAATCATTCATTCACATCTAAAAAGTTTATTTATTTATTTATTTATTTCATTGTATCATTACTACTACACATTCACACCACCTCACATATACAACACCCACTACTCCCACACTACTCATCATTCATTCATACCTCAAGAAGATAGTTCATATATATCTTCATATCTATATATATATCTTTGAGAGTTTAAATATATTGTATTAGCATTGTATGTATAGTCATTCATCATTATCTTTTCATAACAATAATAATAGAATAGAGATTAACTTTACAAATTTGTAGAATAGTTTTAAAAGAAAAGAAGGGAAGGTTTTCGACCATGACAACAATCATTGAAAAGTCTGTATCATTGGCTCAAAGCTTTATCAATGGTCCAAATAGAAATATAGGTATTATTACCCTATCGTTACTTGTAGGATTGGCTATCACACTATATTCTAGAAAGAGATATCAGGTGAAAGATAAGATTGCTTTGGTTACTGGTGCTTCAAGGTATGTAATGAAAACATGGATAGATATATATATATATATATACCACCGGTTATCTTTTATTAACAACCATCTTTGTGTGTTTAGTGGAATAGGATTATCAATTGCAACAGAATTGGCTAAAAAGGGATGTAAAGTTGGATTGATTGCTAGATCAGAGGATAAACTGAAAAAGGTGAGCGATGCATTAAACAAACAAGGTTACCAAACATTTTATATACCATGTGATATGGGACAACCAGATCAAGTAAAACAACTACCAGACCGATTAAAACAAATCATTGGAGATGCATTTGTTGACATTATCGTCAATAATGCTGGATCAGGTGCTTGGAAATTTATTGAAGATACTTCTTATCAAGAATGTCAAGATATGATGGCATTACCATGTATGTTAAAATCAATTGAAGATAGATAAGATACAAACAACAATTGATGATTCATTTAATTAATTTAATTATTTAATATTTGATTTGTATTGTTTTTTGATTTCTTTCCAGACTTTGCAGCATTTTATTTAACAAAAACATTTATACCAAGAATGTTGGCAGAGAATAGAGGATTAATAGTGAATGTAAACTCACCGGTATCAGTACATCCTTGGCCAGGATCGATTGGATATGCATGTGCAAGATATGCAATGAAGGGATTTTCATGTGCTCTGAGAGAGGAGGTGAGAGGCACCAATATTAGAGTGATGGAAGTGATGGCAGGTGAAACAACCACCAATTATTTTGAAAACAATGGTATCGATAAGAATTCATTCCCATTAATCTCTAGATTCATTCCACACGTACAACCAGAGAAAATAGGATCCGACACGGTCGATGGAATCATTAACAATCGGTCAAGTGTATTGACACCCTTTTTCTTTGCCGTTTGTATCACCTCTGTCAAATACATTCCAGATTGTATCCTATCCATCATCTATAATAGTCCCAGTGCCAAACAACGTGCCAATAAAATAGTTCAACAAGCTCAAAAAGTACACGATTCAAAATCTAATCATACTAATCAAAAAAATAAATAATGACAACAATATTATTTAAATAAATAATATTTGTGTACTACTATATTAATTGTAGTTCGTGAGCGTTCTATATGTTCTCTTGGCACTGCAAATATAGTCTGGTTTTTAATTATCTAGATCATGTCTGAATATCCAACAAACAAACAAACACGCAACCATTTATATCTGATCATGGGTTTCAAAGTTCAAACACCCATGGGTTATGAATAAACGTTCAAGTCATCTAGACAACAAAAGATAGAGAGAGAGAGAGATAATATTCATTCATTGTAGTTTTTAAAAAAATAATGAAGTTTTTAAACTCTGTGTGTTTATCATCATCATCATCAACATCAAAAAATATAAATTGTTTTAATATATTATTATTATTATTATTTATAAATATTAGTAGTGGACAATGGATTTATGAAGTAGATTATGCAAATGCAGGATGTACAGGTGCTGTGAATAGAGTGACAGCATTCTATGACGGTCAATGTTACTTTGGTGGCGCCAAATACTATTGGTATACAACGGCTAGTGGAAGTCCTACCTTGACTATGAGTACAAGCGGTTGTTTTCAAGCAGTATCCTCCTCGTATCCATACACATTTGGTGTGTGTTCTGGAAGCATGATGGTATTGTCACGTACCATACCTCCACTCCCGGCAACAGGGTTCCTCGGGTTCGAAAGCACAGCACTACCCAACTTGGTTGCACCCGATTGTCTAAACTACAAAAATGTACGATATATTGAAAGAGTTGGTGCATGTGTCTTGTTGCCATCGTTTAGATTCGACGGTTTCTATTCAAAGGCTTTTATAACGACCACTATTGGATTTGGTATCCATTTCTCTAACTGTAACAATGCTATGATTGGTACCAACTTTAATAATCCCATGACTTGTTCAAGCTCGTATGGTGAGTTTGTTTGGGGACAGATATTCCTAGTGATGGGTGTATCGTCGGTTACAGTCTCCAATACACTCACCCAAGTCTCACTCACTACATTCACGTCCGATATTAGTGGCTCCATGTTTTACTACACTGCCGTGCTCAGCTGTCCCGCAGGCCAATACACTATGTCTCCCTCGATCGACCCAGCCACGCCAACAGCCTCCCTCACCATCCCCGATGCAACCAGAGGTCAGAGTTGTGTCGTCCAAGTATCAGCCATTGGAGATCAAGTTGTATCAGGTGCTGCCATATCTGGTCAATCTGCTGCTTTTACCATTCCTCTTAGTATGAATTAGTAGATTAAAACAAAATAATAATATTTAATAATAATATTGAAAGTAAATTTACTAACCTATTTTCTACCTACTTGACCCTGACCTCACATAGTTGCGGCAATGTCATCATTGACACCAGGAACTGTAACTACTAGTACTATTTCATTTAGTTATACAACTAGTACTGGAGGTGTTTTTACAGTTAGTGTTGGTAGCAATTACTATCCAGAGTGCTCTGCTACAACTTCTTGTACTGCAACTGGATTAGATTCAAATACACTTTATACTGTCAGTGTCACTGTCACCAATGCTGGTACAGTCTCTTCACCATTGACTTATTCTGCAACCACTATCGATGATATTACCATGCCATCCATAACAGTCACCGACCGTACTAGTACATCCATCTCAGTATCGTATCCAGTAACAGGTGGTTATGGAGCAACAACCTACCAACTCAGACTCAATACAGTCGTCCAACCTTCATGTACAACTTCATCATGCACACTCTCCGGCCTTGTCTATGGTACTATTTATACAGTCTCTGTCACTGCAACCAATGATGGTTATTCTGCAACTTCATTAGATTCAGTTACAAACTTTTGGACTTGTATGTAAAAGACAAAAAAGAAATATATATTATTAAAATAATAATAATAATACTTACCTATTATTTATTTTTATTTTACTAGTACCAACGATGGGAGCAGTAAATATAGTAAATTATGGAACTACATGGGTATCATTTAGTTATTCATCAAATAATGGAAGAGTTCTAGGTGCCAATACTTTTGCAATTCGGGTCAATGGTGTGTTGAGTACCAACACTACTTGTTCATCATCTACTAGTTGTTATGTAGGTGGATTGACAGCAGGTTCAACACCATCGATTAGTATCCTATCTACCAATAATGGAGAAACATCAATCACACCAGGTACAGCAAGTCAAAAACTTTACAACAGTGTCAACACTCTTACAGTGACACCATCACTACAAACAAGTTCATCATTTTCAATCTCTTATTCAAGTTTAGAAGGTATCCCAGGACAAACAACCTATCTAGTTTTACTTGATGATGTTTCCTATCCCAGTTGTCCAACCGTCCAAGGTGATTGTTCATTGTCGCCCCTTTCCCCTAAAACCTACAATGCTACTGTCACTGCAACCAATGATGGTTTGGTACTCGTAAAAACAATTATGGTTCTTGTTACTACTCGTATGTTTAATATATTTATTTATGTACATTAAAAGTTAATTAATTTAATATTTTTTTTAATTATTTTTAGATCCATCAATGAATCCAATTGAAGTAGGAGAATATGGTACAACTTGGGTTGAATTTGATTATTCATCTATTGGTGGTACAGCTGGAGGTAATTCATATACAATTAATGTTGCTGGATCAGATATTACAACAGTATCATGTAAACAAGGTCCATATTGTAAAATAGTTGGATTGACTGCTGGATCATCAGTAGTTATTTCAATCTATGTTACCAATAATGGAGAAGATTCAAGTACTGTATCAACAACTGTTACATTGTACAAACCAACATCACCACCAACCATCACTCTATCAAGAATATCAGCCACAACTCTTAACGTTTCATGGGTCGAGAATGATGGTGTTCCAGGTCAATCATTATTTGATGTTTTAGTAAATGGAACCAATATCTGCACTGATATTACTATTACCAATTGTCAATATAGTCCAGTTAGTGATGGATCATATTACAATATTACAACTATTGTTAAAAATGATGGTTTTGTTTCATCCACCTCAATTACCTATTTTACTTATCCTCGTATGTAAACAAACTAAAATCATTATTACAATCATTACCTTTTTTTAACTTTCTCTCTCTCTCAGCAACAACACCAATTATTGTAACAGCAATTGGAAAAAATGAATCAATTTATATAAATTGGACAGAATCTAGTGGAGGTGTACCAGGTGAAACAAAATACAACGTATTCTTATCTGTTGATAATGATAATTGGGCAAATGTTTGTGTTTCTAGCAATATAAACTTTTCATGTTGATTGAAGATTTGACAGATAATACATTCTATTATGTGATGGTGACTGTTGAAAATACAGACTTTGAACGATTACAAGCATTGGCCAACGCTACAACTCTACCTATTATCAGTAACAATCCTTGTAGATCAAACACAACATCAACTGTAGATTGTTCGGGTCATGGAACTTGTCCAAACCAAGAATGTCTTTGTACTGATGGTTGGGATGGTCAATATTGTGAGGTTCCAACAGGAGACGGTGGCGGTGGAGTGATCATTATACCAAAACCAACAAACCCAGGTATTGATATTGACAAGGAAGGTGTCAAATATTCATTCACAATCAACAAAGTAGTAGAACGTGATTTGGAAATGAATGCAGTCAAGACTTTAGATTTGACATTACTCAAATGGCAACCTATCCAACAAGTCAATGCTACTCTAGTACACCCAACCAACAATGGCTCGGTGATTAGACATTCGTGGCATACACAGCCATCAACGTAACCAACTATGCTTCCATGCTCAACATCACATTTATCCAACTAGAAGCTATCCCCAATGTAACCATTGGTGACTCTTATCCAATGTCATTTGCAGGAGATGAGTTCCTCCTCAAGATAGGATCATTCAAATATGCAATGGAGATTTCAGAATGGAACTGGGATAGTATGTTATCAACACTAGAGTTGTGGACTAGTTTCACCTCTGAACCAGATGAATGTAGTGATAATAATCCAGTTGAAATGATCAATGGAACAACAGCCAACTTTATCAAATAATTAAATAAATAAATAATATATATATATTTGTACATTTCTTAAACGAAAAAAAAATAAAAAATTGCATTTAAAAATATTTATTTATTTAAAATTATAAGTCCATGAATAAAGAATATATCAAATTCGAAAATGAATAAATAAATAAATATTAATATTAAATAAATATTAATATATTTGTGTGCTGCTATAATAATCGTAGTTCGTGACTGTTTTGAAATTTCACCTTGCAAAGTAGCTCGAAAAAAAGATATTTTTGCAAATTCGATAAACGCTATTTTAGTTGTCGAATGTAAAAATGTAAAGTCGAGGGGTGCGTTCTATGTTCTCTTGACACTGCAAATATAGTCGGTTGGTCTTAAATTTCGAATAATTATCTAGATTCATCGCGATCGTGTTAGAATATCCAACAACTTACATGGCCTCCACATTTACATCTGACGTCAAACAGGGTCTGGTGCGTGGGTTTCAAAGTTCAAACAAGGGTTATGCGCAAACGTTCTCAAGTCCTCTCGACAACTGCAACAAACCGATCATAATTATTCATTCATTAAACACACCAAAAAGAGAGATATAGAAATATAGAGATAATAATCATTCATTATTATTTTTTTAAATAATGAAGTCTTTATTTTCAAAATCAAAAAATATATATTGTTTTAATATATTATTATTATTATTAATATTATTTATAAATATTAGTAGTGGACAATGGATATATGAAGTAGAATATGCAACTGCAGGATGTACAGGAGAAATTAATAGAGTGACGGCATTTTATGAAGGAAAATGTTATTTTGGTGGTTCCAAGTACTTTTGGTATACATCGACTGGTGGCAACACGGTCTTTACCATTAGTGCAAACGGGTGTTTTGCAGCAGCAACTTACACGTTTCCATACACATTTGGAGGGTGTTCCGGAAACATGATGGTATTGTCACGTACAGTACCTCCACTTCCGGTGACAGGGTTCATCGGATTCGAACACATTGTACAACCAAACCCATCGGCTCCCGATTGTCTAAACTTTGAAAATGTACGGTACATTGAAAGAATAGGTGCATGTGTCAGTTTACCTTCTTTTAGAGGTGATGGTTTCTTTTCAAAGGCATATAGCGCACCAAAACTCGGATTCGGATACCATTTCTCTGGTTGTAACAATGCTATGCTGGCTACGACATTTGAGCCACCCTCTTCTTGTACAAGCGTCGCTGCGTATGGTGCCTATGCCTGGGGACAATTGTTTCCAGTGATGGAAGTAACATCTATCACTACTTCCAATACCCAGAACCAAGTCTCACTCACCACATTCACGTCCAATATTGGTGGTTCCTTCTTTTACTACTCTGCCGTGCTCGATTGTCCAGGCGGTAAATTCACAATGTCTGCCTCTATCAACCCCGCCACGCCAACAGCCTCCCTCACCATCCCCGATGCTGCTAGAGGTCAGAGTTGTGTCGTCAAGGTATCAGCCAATGGAGACCAAGTTTTATCTGGTGCTCCCATCTCTGGTCAATCTTCTCCTTTTTTCCTTCCTCTTCGTAAGTTTCGTTGATCACTTAAAAAATAATCAAAAATTCATTTTTAATTAATTAAGTTTTTTCTCTACCTACCTTACATAGTTGCGGCAATGTCATCATTGACACCAGGAACTGTAACTACTAGAACTATTTCATTTAGTTATACAACTAGTACTGGAGGTGTTTTTACAGTGACTGTTGGAGGTAACACTATACCAGGCTGTTCAGCTACTACTTCTTGTACTGCAACTGGGTTGACTCCAAATACACTTTATACTGTCAGTGTCACTGTCACCAATGCTGGTGCAACCTCTTCACCATTGACTTATTCTGCAACCACTATCGCTGATATTACAACGCCATCCATTACAGTCACCGACCGTACTAGTACATCCATTTCAGTATCGTATCCAGTAACAGGTGGTTATGGAGCAACAACCTACCAACTCAGACTCAATACAGTCGTCCAACCTTCATGTACAACTTCATCATGCACACTCTCCGGTCTTGTCTATGGTACTATTTACACAGTCTCTGTCACTGCAACCAATGATGGTTATTCTGCAACTTCATTAAATTCTGTTACAAACTTTTGGACTTGTATGTAAAATATAACCAAAAAATATATTTATATATTATTAAAATAATAATAATAATAATACTTACCTTTTATTTATTTTTATTTTACTAGTACCAACGATGGGAGCAGTTAATATCGTAAATTATGGAACTACATGGGTATCATTTAGTTATTCATCAAATAATGGAAGAGTTCTAGGTGCCAATACTTTTGCAATTCGGGTCAATGGAGTGTTAAGCTCCGATGCTGCTTGTTCATCATCTACTAGTTGTTATGTAGGTGGATTGACAGCAGGTTCAACACCATCGATTAGTATCCTCTCTACCAATAACGGAGAAACATCAGCTACACCAGGTACAGCAAGTCAAAAACTTTACAACAGTGTCAACACTCTTACAGTGACACCATCATTACAAACCAGTTCATCATTTAGAGTATCCTATTCAAGTTTAGAAGGTATCCCAGGACAAACAACCTACCAAATTTTAATTGATGGAGCATCCAATCCAAACTGCCCAACTACAACTACTCAAGGTGGTTGTACATTGACATCCATGGCCTCTAAAACCTATAATGCTACTGTCACTGCAACAAATGATGGTCTAGTACTCGTAAAAACTATTATGGTTCTTGTTACTACTTGTATGTACAAAATAATAATTTTAATATATTTTTTGAATTTAATAATTAATTAAATGTTCAATCCATTTTTAGTCCCAACAATGAATCCAATAGTATTGGGGTCAATAGGTACAACATGGGTTGAATTTACTTATTCATCTAATGGTGGTACAGCAGGAGGTAACTCTTATACAATTAATGTTGCTGGATCGAATATCGCAACTGCATCATGTAAACAAGGACCATATTGTAAGGTCATTGGATTGGCACCTGGATCTTCACCAGTCATTTCAATTTATGTTACCAATAATGGAGAGAACTCCAATCCCGCATCGACAGCTGCTTCTTTGTATCAACCAACATCAACACCAACCATCACGCTATCAAGGGTGTCTACATCGACACTTAGTATTTCATGGGTCGAACATAATGGTGTTCCAGGACAATCATTATTTGATGTTTTAGTAAATGGAACCAACATTTGTACCAACATTGCCACCACCACTTGTCAATATAATTCAGTCATCGATGGAGTATATTACAACATTACAACGATTGTTAAAAATGATAACTTTGTATCATCAAATTCAACAACCTATTATTATCCTCGTATGTAATTAGAATTATTAGTAATATGATATATATATTTATTTATCGAATAGTATATTGTATTAACCACCTTTTATTATTATTATTTTCTACCTACTCTACCTACTTTACATAGTTGCGGCAATGATATCATTGACACCAGGAACTGTGACCACTAGAACCATTTCATTTAGTTATTCAAGTACTACCGGTGGTACCTATACAGTGACTGTTGGTGGAAACACTATATCAGGCTGTTCTGCTACAACTACTTGTACTGCAACTGGGTTGACTCCAAACACACTTTATACTGTCAGTGTCCTTGTCACCAATGCTGGTACAGTCTCTTCACCATTGACTTATTCTGCAACCACTGTTAATATTATTACAACGCCATCGGTCTTAGTCACTGACCGTACTAGTACATCCATCTCAGTATCGTACCCCGTAACCCGTGGTTATGGAGCTACAACCTACCAACTCAGACTCAACACAGTTGTTCAAGCCTCTTGCACAACTTCATCATGCACACTCTCCGGTCTTGTCTATGGTACTATTTATACAGTCTCTGTCACTGCAACCAATGATGGTTATTCTGCAACATCATTAGATTCAGTTACAAACTTTTGGACTTGTATGTAATTTAATTATTGGAACAAAAAATAAGAAATATATATACTTACTTTTATTTATTTATTTATTTTAATAGTACCAGCGATGGGAGCAGTTAATATAGTAAATTATGGAACTACATGGGTATCATTTAGTTATTCATCAAATAATGGAAGAGTTCTAGGTGCCAATACTTTTGCAATTCGGGTTAATGGTGTATTGAGTACCAACACTACTTGCTCATCATCTACTAGTTGTTATGTAGGTGGATTGACAGCAGGTTCAACACCATCGATTAGTATCCTATCTACCAATAATGGAGAAACATCAATCACACCAGGTACAGCAAGTCAAAAACTTTACAACAGTGTCAACACTCTTACAGTGACACCATCACTACAAACAAGTTCATCATTTTCAATCTCTTATTCAAGTTTAGAAGGTATTCCAGGACAAACAACCTATCTAGTTTTACTTGATGATGTTTCCTATCCCAGTTGCCCAACCGTCCAAGGTGATTGTTCATTGTCACCCCTTTCCCCTAAAACCTATAATGCTACTGTCACTGCAACCAATGATGGTTTAGTCATTGCAGAATCAATCAGTGTTCTTGTTACTGATCGTATGTTTAATACTATATTTATATATTAAATATTTAATATTTAAATTAATTTACCGATTTTTTAATTATTTTTAGATCCATCAATGAATCCAATTGAAGTTGGAGAATATGGTACAACTTGGGTTGAATTTGATTATTCATCTATTGGTGGTACAGCTGGAGGTAATTCATATACAATTAATGTTGCTGGATCAGATATTACAACAACATCATGTAAACAAGGTCCATATTGTAAAATAGTTGGATTGACTGCTGGATCATCAGTAGTTATTTCAATCTATGTTACCAATAATGGAGAAGATTCAAGTACTGTATCAACAACTGTTACATTGTACAAACCAACATCACCACCAACCATCACTCTATCAAGAATATCAGCCACAACTCTTAACGTTTCATGGGTCGAGAATGATGGTGTTCCAGGTCAATCATTATTTGATGTTTTAGTAAATGGAACCAATATCTGCACTGATATTACTATTACCAATTGTCAATATAGTCCAGTTAGTGATGGAGTATATTACAATATTACAACTATTGTTAAAAATGATAACTTTGTATCATTCGATTCAGCTACCTATTTTACTTATCCTCGTATGTAGAATAATAAGAATATATTATTATATATAATCATTTAATATTTTGAATACCATTTTATTAATTCCTTTTTTATTTATTTTTAGCAACAACACCAATTATTGTAACAGCAATTGGTAAAAATGAATCAATATATTTAAATTGGACAGAATCTAGTGGAGGTGTACCAGGTGAAACAAAATACAATGTATTCATGTCGGTAGATAACAATCATTGGGCAAATGTTTGTGCTTCTAGCAATACAAACTTTTCATGTTTGGTCGAAGATTTGGCAGACAATACATTCTATTATGTGATGGTGACTGTTGAAAATACAGACTTTGAACGATTACAAGCATTGGCCAATGCTACAACTCTACCTATTATCCGTAACAATCCTTGTAGATCAAACACAACATCAACTGTAGATTGTTCGGGTCATGGAACTTGTCCAAACCAAGAATGTCTTTGTGCTGATGGTTGGGATGGTCAATATTGTGAAGTACCAACAGGAGATGGTGGAGGAGATGGTGGAGTGATCATTATCCCCAAGCCAACAAACCCAGGTATTGATATTGACAAAGAAGGTGTAAAGTATTCATTCACAATCAACAAAGTAGTAGAACGTGATTTGGAAATGAATGCAGTCAAGACTTTAGATTTGACATTACTCAAATGGCAACCTATCCAACAAGTCAATGCTACTCTTGTGCATCCAACCAACAATGGATCGGTGATTAGACATTCATGGACATACACAGCCATCAACGTATCCAACCATGCTGCTATGCTCAACATCACCTTTATCCAACTAGAAGCTATCCCCAATGTAACCATTGGTGACTCTTATCCAATGTCATTTGCAGGAGATGAGTTCCTACTCAAGATTGGATCATTCAAATATGCAATGGAGATCTCAGAATGGAACTGGGATAGTATGTTATCAACACTAGAGTTGTGGACTAGTTTCACCTCAGAACCAGATGAGTGCAGTGATAATAATCCAGTTGAAATGATCAATGGAACAACAGCCAACTTTATCAGTATTGGACAGGCCAATGGTAAATTGTTGTATGGTAGACTTGTCAATCGAGTTGTTTTAGATTCAATCCCTCGTACAGTCGGTCACTACCTCTTACAAGAGTCAAACACCAATACAACACTTGTTACAGCCATTCCACACTTTGAAAACCAAGCTGATATTGATCCAAACTTTTCAGTGTTGATTGGTACTCCCAAATCAGATGGTTGCTCCAAAAAATCTGACAGTAAAACGTGGCGTATCGCTGTTGGTGTAGTTGTTGGTGGTGTAGCCCTTGTTGCTGCCACCATCGCAGGAACAATCTATGGTAAAAGTCAACTCCGCGTTCACAGACAAAACAAAAAAGTTGCTCAAAAATTATCATCCATGAACAAAGAATAAAAATAATATTAATATGAATAATAAATAATATAAATAAATAAAAAGTAAAGGCAATTCCTATAAAAATAATAATAATATCCTATGGTTGTGTGTTTGATGCAGTTCCCAAATCTATAGATCTATTTATTTTGTTTATAACCCAATCCCCAAGCATGACGTATTTTTAAATCAAATATCTACAAGATATTTTCAAACTTTTTAAATCCCCTCATTCTTTCGAAGCCTTCAATAATAGATTATGATCACACTCTCGAATCATTCATTCTCATCCATCCATTAGGAGAAGTACTTCTCTCAACATTTAACTATAGTTCATTGTTGTTTGTTAATTAGAGATAAAGAGATAGAGAAAGAGAGAGATGAAATTAATAACATTGTTTGTAATTTTTATTGGATTACTATTATCAATTTTTGTTGTTGATGGTAGAGTCAATACACCACCACCACCAACACCAACACCTGTACCACCAACACCACCTACTACACCAATACCAACATTTTCAATCAAGTTGTTATCAAATGGAGGACAACAATACTCTGTCTATGCAGGTAATGATTCGTCAGCAATCGCACAAGCAGCATTTACCAATCAAATGTCAGCTATTGGATGGGCCTATCTATCGATTACTACCAACCCAAAGTTTGAAGACGACCAACAAGCACGTGCTGCCGGTTTCCTCGAAGGCTATATCTCTGCAGAGATGATTTGGCAAACATGGTACAATATCTATGTCAACGAATACAACAATGCATCAGTACCAGAGGCCATTACTGATTGGGCCGACTCTAACATCTTATACTTTGAACAACAAATCCAAAACAATCCAACCGATGAATACTGGACTCACATTGGACTCGTTTGGACACAATTACTCGGTATGGTCGATGGTTACAATGCTGCCATTGGTGACTCTTCCCGTCAACTCACATACATGGAGTTTACTCTAATCAATATGGATGCCGATCTTGGTGACATTGCTCCAACCCTTAACCTCACCCTCGCCGAGTATCGTCGTACTCGTCATCTTAGTAATCTACCAGACCGTCTCAAAAAAACTGATCATTGTTCAGGTTTAATTAAATTAACTGATGATTTAACTGAATTATATGCTGGTAAACTAAAAGATTTTAAAATCAAAACATATTTATATTTATTTGTATTAATTATTTCTATTTCTTATTTCTTTTTTTCTTTTTTTCTTTATTTAGCACATACATCATGGTCATCATATACAACAATGTTAAGAATATTTAAATCATATAATTTCCAATATTCAAATCCAGCCAAATCAAAATTAACTATTTTCAGTGGCTATCCAGCTACACTTGCCAGTTTAGATGACTTTTATTTGTTGGATACTAGATTGGTGGTACTAGAGACGACCAATGGATTAAACAACAATAATTTGTATCATCTCATTACACCACAGTCCATCTTGACTTGGATGCGTGTCATTGTAGCCAATCGTATGGCTTCGGGTGGACGATCGTGGAGCCAGGTATTTGAAATTGAAAACAGTGGTACCTACAACAACCAATGGATGATTGTCGACTATAACAAGTTTATCCCAGGTGTACGTGTCCAAGACGGTACACTCTATGTGCTCGAACAAGTACCAGGCTACATTGAATATGCCGACGTCACCAATGTACTTCGTACTGGGTACTGGCCAAGTTACAACTTGCCCTACTTTGAAACCATCTTTAACATGTCGGGTTTCAACGACGAGGGATCTTCATCCGACTATGAAGCCTATGAAGAAGATGCACGATCACAAATCTTTAGACGTGATGCCAACAGTGTCTACTCACTCACCGATTTCCAAGCCATCATGCGATACAATGATTTCCAAAACGATCCTCTTTCACATGGTGACGCAGCTAATCAGATTTCAAGTCGTTTTGATCTCAACACTCCCACTTCACAAGACTATGATGCTTTTGGTGGTGTCGACAGTAAGGTCACCTCGTTGGCTCTAGTAAACCAGCTCTTGGTACTCGGTCAGTCTGGCCCTACCCACGACCAAGAACCTCCCTTCCAATGGTCTTCGGCCAACTGGACTGCCATGTACCCAACCATCGGTATGCCCAACCTCTATGACTTTAGCTGGGTTGTTTTTTCAGATTCTTCTTAATCACTTCAATCATCAGACTAAACAACCAACAAAGAAGAAGAAGAAGAAGTTTTAACAAACAAACAGTTTAGTTTGAGAAAACTAAGTGCACAGGTCTAGACTAGCCCACGCGCTAAATTATAATCAAAGAATAAAATTTATCGTTTTTTTTGTATACATTTTTTAAAAAAAAACCAAACCAATGAATGAACAGGGATCGGCAGGTCTCCGCTCTGAAAACACAACGTCACCAATGAGAGGGGGTCGATGGTTTTTTAAGCGGTTATAGTTGTGCGAGCGGTTTAATCTGAACCTTGAGATTAGTCATTTAGCTCTTGGAAGGGGTGAGACCTTGACCATATAATACATTGAATCGCGGGATTTTCAAACAGTTGGGGCTGTTTGCAAGATGGTGGAACTCAAACGTTTAATAAGATCTATATAAAAATCTCCCTTTTTTGTACTATTCGTTATTTTTTTGTTCAAAACCAGGGGTGTACCCCTTTATCGACGGGTTTGTCTATTACATGACTGCTCAATATTCAAGAGAGGCGCGAAGGGAACGTTTTATTGATCAACAAACCAAGCAACTCGTTATCTTCAATCATGCAAATGTATGGTCATGGTTTAAACGAAACGATCAAAGGTTTCAACAATACAAAGAATAATTTAAATTTAAACTAGTTTTTCTCATCATGATAAATAGGAAGAATTGGTGGCGATCGTGATTAGTTTAAAAGAAAGATACCATACACACCATTCGATTCTCTTTTGTTTATCTATATTTATCGATTTATTTCTTTATCTTTTTATTTTTTATTTATATTTATATTATTCAAAAATGAATTCTTTATTTTTAAATGTTATTTTAACAATTGTATTATTACAAATATCATTCTCTACAATAGGTGTTTCTGGATTAAATCAATGTAATCCAGTTTTTCAAGAAACTTGTGTTAGAAATGGTCAAAGTTGGTAAGTTTTAAAAAAAGAGTAGTATAGGAGTATTTTTTATTTACCATTTTTCTTTTCTTTTATTTTTGAAAATAGTGGAATTATAAATGGTACAGATTATCATTGTGTAGATGATTCTACTTGTAACTCTTATAATAAATGTCAAGATAAACGTCCATCTGGGTAAGTTCCAAACCTCCTACTTTTTATCAAAGAGTCAAAGTTTTTCTAATTTTTATTATTAATATTTTAGAGGTACATGTTTTGAAAATATTGATTGTAAAGCATGGATGTTATGTATTGGAGGAACTTGTCTTGAAGCAAATTATGGACAAGTTGGTGTAAGTAGAAAAACTATAAATTTATTCCATCATTGCCTCTTTTTAAAACATACTAACATCCATTTTGTTTTATTTAAATCTTTTTCTTTTTTTTTTTTAGGATAATTGTACACAAGATTGGCAATGTCTTACCAATTTACTTTGTGTAAGTAGAACATGTATAAATACACAATCAACTTGCGCTAATAGTGCTCAATGTTCATATGACACTTATTGCGCAGAGGGTGGTATCTGTCAAGACAGAAGTTTGAATGGACAATCTTGTGAAACAGATTCTACATGTCTTGAGCATTCAAGATGTTATAATGGTAAATGCATTGATGTTTATTCTATCGGTGTAGGCGGTTCATGTAATTCATCAGATGTATGCGATGTATCTATAGGATTAAGTTGTCAATCTGGATCGTGTGCCTATGTCAATTTAACAACTCCATTGTCTCCTGCCACTCTTGACTGTACCACTACCAATTGTATTAGTCCAGATTATGAAAAATGTGTTTGCACTGGCAATCAAACCTCTGGAACTTGTTATCCATCCATTCCAACTACCAAAACTCAAATATTATCATGTGGTGTGGCTCAAAAGACATTTTATCAATGTCTGGTCGATCACAAGTGTCTTTATTCATACACTGCCAAGACCCCTTCATCCTGCTCTCTTTACCATTGTGGAGAAGAGTATTGTACACAAGGTAGTTTATGCGAATGGTCATTTGACTCTAACCGAAGAGGTACTGGATGTGGTGGAGACACTGCACTCAATTTTAATCAACAAACTTGTAAATTCTTGGGTTATGAGATCAATCCATATTACGAGGAATCTCAAACTTCAATTTCTTCACATTTGATTATCCCAACCATGATAATCTCCACCATTATTTTTTCAATCATCTTTTAAATTTAAATAAATCGACAACCACAACTATTATATAGCTTTTTTTCTCTAGTTAATATGTTTATTATTATTATTTATTTTATTGTAAAAAAAATGTATACTTGTATTATAATGAAATAATAAATTACAATATTTGATGCATGCACCTTTTATCTTTGTTTCCGTCTTTTTTAATATATATTTATAAATTGGTTATTATGCTGATTTGTTGTTGTTTGTTGTTTGTTGTTGTTGGTACAATGAAAAAAAAAAGTAAAATACATTATTGTTTTGGTGTGAATTATTATGTTATTTGTCAATATATATTATTATTATTGAGGTTGAGAAGGAGTTACACTTCTAGATACACCCTTTGTCCATGCAAATGTTTTTCTTGGTTGTGCGGGTGGAGATGTTGCAGGAGAAGATGAACCTGGTGTAGTTGAACCACTACTAGCATTCAAAGGAGAAGGTTCTGGTGTTGTTGAATATGCTGGTGGTGTTGTATCAACTGATGTATAAGATGTTGAAATGGGTCTTTGTTGAGGTGGTGGAGTAGTTGATTGTGGTGGTGGATAAATGTCATCTTCATCATAATTTTGACTCGATGAATAAATGATCTGTTGACTATGTCGACTATTAATATTTTGGTCATGAATGATTTCATTATCAGAATCTGGACCACTTTCATCATCGTCCATTTGTAATTCTTCAATATCATCTTCGTCCTTGAGAGCGTCGCTCATGCTGACAGGAAGACCGAGGAAATCGCCAGATTGAGGAAAGTTGGCAAAGAGACTTTCGGCAAATGCCTTTTCATGGTTGACGTTTTGAAGCAAGACGCTTGGATCGTTGGATGGACATCTGAGAATGGTTGGTGCGAAAATCATACCCATGTTGCTGGTACCCATCTTGCTGTGTGCAACAAACTCATACTTTGTAAAGATCTGTACAAAGTGAATGAGGTAGGTCAAGACCTTGAGGTTGATGGGTGGAATCTTTTTGATGAGCTCGAGTGAGCCTGCAGGATTGTCAATAGCACTCTTGTAGAGAGTGTCTGGGATGATGGGTTCGGGGATATCACGAAGCCACTGTTTAAAGAGAGCGGCGGGTGTTCTGACATCGTCTATCGCCGACAAATCAAAATTGCCTTGATCGATACGCAACTTGTATGCCTTGATCGAACTGACAATACCAGGTACTCTGAAAATACCCTCAGAGACGTGTCCCTTGAGACTGGTAATGGATTCGGCCAAAACAACCATTGCTCTTGGTACCTCCAAATTGGGGTGTGTATCTTTTTGTTTGGCCATCAATTCTTCCAAATTTACACCAAATGAAGCTGTTGGTAGAATTGCTTCCTTTACTGCTAATTTTCCACTTGATGTATATGCTGGTGCTCCATTTGGTGTTCCCTAAAAATAAAAAAGAAAAGGAAATTAAATTAATTTATATCTTTCTTTGTTTTTTTTGTTTTTTTTGTGTACATACATCATCTCTCTTTTTAAAGAATTGATCTTTTAATGTATTGAAACCAGCAAATGATGATTTTTTCTTGTCAAGTCTACCTTCTACGTATGGTTCGTATTGGTAGGGTGAAGTGACAACCTTTTTCATTTGATTCTTTTTAATAAATTCTTGAACATCGATTTGACTGTCAATCTGTTCAACAGTACGTCTAACTCCATCATATGATTGTTGGAAAAGTGGTGGTTGTTCTTTTAATATATTTGACCAATTTGTCCAATATGTCTTTGTTAAATGTGTATGTTGTAACATAAATCCTTCAAAATCCTAAAAAATAATTGATTAATATCTCTTTTTTCTATCTTCTCTTTCTTTCATTTTAATTTCTACTTACTGATAATATTTTTGGTAATTTTTCAACATTAAATAAATGTTGAAAATCATTTGTTGCTTTAATTTGTTCTTTATATTCATCATCTGAAGCAGCTTGTTCTTGTTCTAATCTTTCTCTACGTCTTTCGAGTTTTGTGATGGTATCTGGATTGGTGTCTGCAAATTCACGAGCATCTTTGATTTCCAATTTAGTCATTTCCAAATCCTTGCTAACCTTTTCATATTTGGCTTGTGATTTCTTGAGAGCATCAACCATTTCCTTCATGTCTGCACGTAACTTTACACCTTCGTTTACAATCTTTTTGCGTTTGTTTTCCATATCTTTGATCATTGCTTGGAATGGTTGACATACCTTGTTCAACGTGTTGGTGTTGAGTAGTGTATGGTTCTCAGACTCTGTAAACGTCGCATTGACTATCTTTTTCCATCCACTATTGACAGTGTTGATCTCTGGTACTGGCTCATTGATGAGCTTTGATACAAGCTTTTCTAGCTTCTTTGCATGTTGATCTTCCAACTCTGCACGTTTCTTAAAGAATAATAATATGTTTTTCGATGATGATAAATCACTCTCTGTCTTTTTACATAATAAATCAAATCCATCCTAAATGAATAAATGAAGAAAAAAGAAAAAAGAAGAAGAAGAACAAAAAGGGGGATGAGTATATTGTGTGTGTGTGTGTGTAGTATTATTTATATATCTAGATTCTTATATTTATCAATCATACCCAAAGATTATCAGAAAACTTGTACTTTGGAGCTGAATTGTTTACTGCTGTCGCATTATTAGCTGTAGTAGTAGCGGGGGCTGTTGTTGCCATTATATCTTTCTAGATAGATTTTACTTTTACAAAATTAATAGGAGGTGACCAAAACTTTACTAACTTTTCTTCTCCCTCTTCTCTCTCTCTCTTTCTCTCTCTTTGATATGATGTATGATGTTGGTTGTTGTTCTTTTTAAAAATACAAATATATATTATAACACTACAAATTAGATATCTTAAATTTGGGTATAAGTATGTTGAAATCTCTGTCCCCGCTAACCTCCAACCAAGGGAAAAAAAAAAAAAAAAAAAAGAAAAGAAAAAAAAATATTTAATTTAAAAAACATCGATTCAGATCAGAGATGCGGTGCGGGCTTGGATTCAAAAGATGAGTGAGAGTCGTCTTTCAACACCCCGCTTTTCGTATGGATGTGGTGGTTCGGCTCCCAATAGTAATCTAGATTTTAGGACTAAAACAAAAAAGTAGATTTATTATATTATATATTTATAATAAATCTACCCAACACCAACTCACAATAAAAAGAGATAAAAAAAAAGGAAGAAGAAAAATTACAAAGTAAAAGATCGATCTCCTTCCTTCTCTTTGAGTTATTTGTTTTTTTTTATATTATTACAAGTTTGTTTATTTTCTTCTCTCAAGTTCCTTGTCAGCACTTATACGTAGATAGGAAGGTAACTTTGGTTCAATGATCCAGTAGGCACCAAAACCAAGGCAAGTAAAACCAACAAAAGATAGAGATGCTCTACCCTCTGGATGACGGTTTCTGATGAGCAACGAGTACAACCCTGCACCTCCTATTATAGTACCACTGACTGCATGACATACTTGACAGTCTTGTTCTTGTTTCTTATTATATTTGAATTGTAAATCTTCTTCTGACAAGACTTCAGTCGTAGTATTATTATTGTTATCGCTCATATTCTATATAGTCTATAAACAGCAAGAAGTATTTTATACAAAAGTTAGATTGTTCTCATTTTCAAAGTAGAACAACAATCCCAATACTGCAGCAGTAGTATTCGTTGTGTAACTAGCTGGTAGGGTAACAACTTACCTTTTTAAACTTATAATGCAACGAACGACTGAATAGTAGTTTGTGTGTGAGGAAAATATGTGTGTGATTTTTTTTTTTGGTTGGTCGTATTCATTCATGATGACGTATTGGGGAAGAGATATAGTATATCTTATAGTTTTTTTTTCTTTAGATTTATTAATAATAAAATAAAAAGAATATAGGAAAAATGAAAAGGAATAATAATACAATCATTGTAACAATAATAATAATATTAATAGTTTTGGTAATTGTACCAATACAAATGGTTCAAGCCAACAACAACAACTTTAATTCAAAATGTTTGGATCATTATGGAAATAAATGTAATCAAGTTAATTTATGGATCAATTTTAAAGACAAGGCATTAAATATTAATAATAATAATAATAATAATGGAATAACAAATGAATCAATTAAAAGAAGATTAAAAAAGAATTTACCAATTGACAATGCTTTGGATCAAGAGATTGATGAAAATTATATAAAATCAGTTTTGGAAATTGATTCTAGAATCCAAAAGAGATCAATTTCAAGATGGTTAAATGCATTCTCAGTATCAATAGATATTGGAAGTTTGGATGGAATTGAAAACAAGAAACAAGAATTAAATGGATTGATTGAAAAGATTTTATCTCTTTCATCTGTAAGCAATGTAGAAGAAGTTATAAAATTCAATGGAATCAAACAAGAATCAAAATTGGTATTGGATAAATCAAACTTGCAAGTTATTAATTCCAATACCCCAAAAGCATCAACAAAATATGGTGATACTGATTATGGAAATTCATTTACTCAACTAAATCAATTATCAATCCCAAATGTAAATATAATTATAAATTTGTTCAAAATCAAATAATAACTTTATAATTTTTTTTATTTTAGGCACATTCAAAAGGATATACAGGAAAAGGAGTTTCAATTTTAATAATTGACTCTGGTTTTTATAAAGATCATGAATGTTTAAAGAATGTAAATATTGGTGGTGAATATGATTTTATAAACAAGTTGAATAATACTCAGGGTTTAGATGGAGGTAAATAGAAATTTTAAAATCTTTTTCAAATTATTCGTAATTTAATTATTCTTTTTTTTCTATTTTAGATTCACAAAATGTACATGGAACATATGTTTTATCAAATTTAGCAGGAAACTTGCCTGGAAAGATGATTGGGGTAGCCTATGATTCAAAATATTATTTGGCAAAAACAGTTTGTATTTTTTTGGAGATGATCAAGACATTGGAGAAAAGAATTAACAAGATTTAAAAACACATAACATTGATCAATTATTATTATTATTATTATTATTATTATTATTATTATTATTATTTTACTACTATAATGATACCTACCATACCTTCTTTTTATTTTTCATTATTTATGGTTTTATTTTATTTTATTAATTTTTGTTTAGGAAATTGTACAAGATGAATCACCAATTGAAGAAGATTATTTTATTGATGCATTGGAATGGGGTGAAAGAAATGGAGTTGATATAGTTTCAGCATCTTTGGGATACTCTCAATGGTACAAGTATTGGGAACTCAAAGGAAAATCATCAATTTCCAAGGCAGTAGATATTGCAACGGAAAAGGGTGTATTGGTTGTAATTAGTAGTGGAAATGGTGGGTACACTGGTGTGGCACCACCAGCCGATTCAAATGGAGCCATATCAGTTGGAGCAGTAGATGAAACTGGAGAATGGGCATCGTTTAGTTCAGTTGGTCCAACATCGGATGGTATTCTCAAACCAGAGGTAGTAGCACAAGGAGTATTAAATTATGCTGCCAATTCCGAATCACCATCTTCATACAGTTATCCAAGTGGTACATCATTGTCTGCGCCATTGATAGCAGGTGTAGCAGCATTGGTTTTAGAGGCTCATCCAGAGTACACTCCCGAACAAGTAAAACAAGCTTTATTCTCTACAGCTTCTCAAGCCAACAAACCAGATATTTATAAAGGTTATGGTTTGGTAAATGCAATCAAAGCAATCGACTTTAAATTAAATAATCAATTGAATTCAAATAATATTAGTGGTAATAATACTATTCCTTTAGGTATGCTATAAAAATAATAGAAAGAAGTTGAAGTTGTTGAAATGAATGATTAATTCTTTGTATTTATCATAGTTCCATGTGGATATACTTGTGCTCAAAATCAAGGTAAATGTAACGAATACAATTGCTTTGAGTGTCTGGCCCCAGATATCAAACCTCACAAGGTCAAGACACCCATTTCATGTGATGGTCATTCAGTTGCAACAGATCAATGGAATGGTGCATCAACCATATCAACATTCCATTGGGGAGTATCCACTTTGATATTGATCTGTGTCACTCTACTCGTCACAAATTAATTGAAAAAGTATCAATAAAATGTAATAGTAAGATTATTTTTAAATACCTATTTATTGTTTCTATATTCTTGAATTGTTGGTGACAGGGGGAGAGAACAAGACAAAACAAGGAACTGTTCACCCAAATCAGAGGATGGACTACTAATAAAGTGATTAATGGTTCAATCGCCTGATTTGGTTGGGCAATTCCTTATTATTTTGTTTGTCATATCAGGGTAAGGTTTTGTTACTAGGGTGATCGATCCTCCATTATTACTATATAGTTGATACAGAGAAAAAATAATGAGGATTTATAAATACAATATATTATATCAGCCTTTTTCATGATAAACAAATAGTTGTTATTATTGTGATTACAGAGAATTCTATTCTTGATTATTTCAATAAGTATTGTGTTGATGTTTTGGTTGGACAAAAAAAGGGAGAAATATAAAAAAAAATATAAAAAAAAACATTATTAAACTTCGATCGAACTTCACCACTATGTCAATGATCAACCTTTTTAATTTAATTCATTATTGTACAGATAAAATATATATAAAAAATGAGCGTATGTATAAATATTTCATCATTGTATTTGATGATTATCTTGATAATTTGCAAGTTCTACTTACTGACCTTATTTACTCTAATACACATAAATTGCAATAATCAATTCTTCTAGTCATTTGGTAGAAAGAAAAAGATTGATTCAATTGAATTCAAGGCTGGTAAAGCCCAATTAGAGAACAAACAAATTACTAGTCATGGTGAAAAGGGTAGCCTCAAGTTTGAATTGGTATGTTGTTTGTGAAATAGATATGATTGATAGACTTGGGGTTTCAATACTAATCTTTACTATTTCTCTTGTTTTATGTATATATATAGGCTGATGAATTGATTGTTGTTACTTGGACATCTAGAGAGGAAAAGGGAGGAAGCGAAGATCAAGTATGGATAGTGATACAAACAAATGATCAATGTCTAATTAGATTTACTTACTAACATTTTCAAAGCAATTCTATTCAGTCCCAGGTGAATTAGAGTTTATCAAGGTCAAGTCATGTGCAGATGGCAGAATGTATTATTTAAAGTTTACTAGTTCAGATCAAAAGGAATTTTTTTGGTTACAAGAATCCGATCCAGCAGATGATACAAAGTTGGAAGAAACCATTAAACAAATTATTTCCGGTACAAATTAATTTGTAAACTCTCTATCTCTCTATATATATATGTTTCTTTTTTTATATATTTGTTTCATATTGTTCTACATTACCTCTTTCAAAATCATCAATCATATATTGTCCCAACAACAAAAATCATATGAATATATAAATTGTATAAATACCTAGTTACTAGTAACACATCCTATCATACACTACCGTACACATTTATCCATCTATCTCCCATCCCATCCAACAATATATCATAATCACATCCATCTAAACAAATGATATTTTAAAATAATCGTCGATTTAATAATCATAATCAAACAACATTAACATTGATCAATTTACAATGTTAAAATAAAAAAAACAAACAAAAAAATCAATAGAACTTTATTTATTTATTTCCTACCTATATATATATATATCATTTCCAACAATTAATTATTGATTCACTAACTATGAACATTTGATTTAAAATTTTAGGTGAAGATGAAGAAGTTCCTACGACTGCCACAACAGCTACAACTACTGCCACCACTACTACATCTACTGCATCAACCATTCCATCAACTCCAGCACCAACTACATCAAAATCTGCTGGATATCCATCTACTCCATCAACTGTCACATCATCATCAAAGACATCATCTACATCTACTGCAGCCACATCAACTCCATCAAATAATGTAAATTTTGATTTATTCAAAGATATTCTTTCAACAATGAAACCAACAGCTAGAATTAGTTTATCAACCATATTGGCACCAGAGAATTTATCTAAAATTCTGTCAGAAGACAATGCCAAGGAATTGATGGAATTTCTTCCAGAGGGAGGAAGAACTAAATCTGATTTGTTACAAACCCCACATACTCCCCAATTTTCACAAGCTGTCGATCAGCTCAACCATGCCATTGCCGAAGGTCATGGCTTGGAAATTGTACAACAACTTGGCTTTGAGCCAACACCCTCTTCCATGAGAGGTGTCGAAGGTTTCCTTACTTCAATCCAAGATGGTGTTGACAAGAAAAAAAGAAAGAAGATAAAATGGATACAAAGGATAATTAAAAAGAAGAGGAAGCAGAAGAAGAATAAAGTCTCCTCTTTTGTTTTTTATTACATTTTTTTGTAATTATTTTTAAAACCTTTTTTTTTTTTGTTTTATTTATTTTTTAACCAAAAGGAGAGAGATGGGAATATTAATATTATTATTATTATTTGATCTTTTTTATGTTTTTTAAAAATTTTACTATAACTTTTGTGGATTCTACTATAATAATAATTATTATAGTTATTTTTGTATTTAAATAGATGTTTTATGTGTAGGTAGGTATTTTTAATTTTCTAATATGTTTCCGTTTCCTTTTTTTTGTTTGTTTGTTTCCCTCTTGCTTCTTTTTCTTTGTTATTAATTTAATTAACTTTGAGTAGTTCTTTTACTTTGATAATCTTTAAGCGCAGAACGATAATCAATATCTGGCATGGTATCAGAGGGAAGATCGAGATCAACATATTCTCTGATGCCACGTGGGTCTTGTGGAGGCATGTTGGGAGTGCCACGGGGTTGTCCAAGTGCCGGGTATGGACGATATCTGATGCCTTGTGGGGTGGTGACTTGGGCGTTGCCCATGAGATGTGGAGGCATTTGTGGGGCGCCTGGTGTTGGTACAAAGTTTCCACGTCTGATTGGAAGTGGAATGGGTAGTGGGATGGCTCGTCCGCGGCCATGGACCGATGGACTAGCAAACACTGGCGACACGCCGCCATACATGCCCATAGGTTGTCCGGGCTGAACAAGGGTTGGGATCATCTGTGGCATGCCAACGATGGGTTCCCAAACACCCAAGGTAGGGTTCCAACGGCCGCGTGGGGCGCCAACCATTCTGTTGTTTTGGAATCCATAGAGCATCTGTTGGTTTGCTGTTGGTGGTGTCATTTTTCGTGGATCAGAGAAATAATTTAAAAAGAATTGTTCTTCTGTGCCCTTGTCCTCTGAATCTTTTTTGAGTTCTTCAGGATGTTTGAGGTGGATGTGTTTGTTGACATATTCTGATCCCTTGAACAACTTGGCACACAATGAACATCTAAATTTAGCCTCTTCAATCTTGAATGTATTGATTTGAATAAATTCCTCTGCTGCCTTTTCAATTGCATTTCTACCTGTATATTGTTCTTGATTATTGATTTTTGCAATTTTTGATTTTATATTATTATCTAAATTAATTACCCATTGATTATCTAAAAATTAAAAAATAAATTAAAAATTAATTAAAACTCTATTAAAATGAATAAATTGATATTGATAGTTTACCAGAATCTGTAGGCTTTTCAATTTCCATTTGAATATTATTATTATTATTGTTGTTGTTGTTGTCAGTAGTGGTAGATGTGGTGGTGATTGAATCATCTTCCATCTTTGTTTCAGTGTCTTGATCACCAGATTCCAACTTTTCTTTGGTTTCATTTGATTCCTCCTCTGAGGAATCAGATTTTGCTTGTGGTTCATTTGATTTTTCTTCCGCTTTGCTTGACGAGGTAGTTGTGCTACTCGTGATTGAATCGTCGGTCCATGGTCTTCTATAATGTACTGATCCACACTTTCTTTCAATTTCATCTACATCGGCATACTCTTCAGAACAATAATAACAAAACAAATGAACAAATCTTAAATAGTGAATAACTTTATCTAATTTATCAGATTCCTATAGATAATATAAAAGATAAGTTATTTCGATTCTTTGAAGTCAAATAGTGATTATTTTTTTTTTTAACATACAGATAGTGAATCAAAGTTTGAATCATTAAACAATGGATTTTCAGTAATTTCTCTATCTTGATCTAATAATTTACAAACATCAATGGCTTGTGAAAGATCTGAAGTAATTCTTTGTTCTGTTGATGCAATCTTTGGTGTGATTCTAAATTTTTTCTGTGTATCAGATGGAATTTGTTTATTGATTGCCAAATACAAATCAAAATCTCTCATCTAAATAGGAGGATAAAAAAAAAAGTAAATAAAAATTTTCTAGGATTAATTTAATTTCTTTTTCTTTTTGTTTTTACCTTTGTTCCATTTAATTCTTTTAATGCTTTTAATGAATATTCACTTGATTTAAAGGTGACCCACCCTAAACGATAGAAATTTTTGTATTTCATTGGTTCACTCAGAGTCAATTTTGTAACGACTGGTAATTCCTCTTCATTGCCAACGACCACCTTATTGAATACTTCCATTAAATCATCTTTTGTACAAGTTGGTGAAATAGCCTTGATAAACAAGGTTGATAGTTGTTTGTTATTTTGTTGTTCTTTTGTCTTGTCTTCTTGTTCCTTTTCGTCATCTGTTGCGTGGTGTTCATCAGCATCCAATGAATCAAAATGTTCAGATCCATCATGAATTGCTATATCTTTTAAACTATCTTTGGCTGTCAATGAAAAATTATGTGATTCTAAAATTAAAATGAAAAAAAGTTAGAAACAGATAGATAGATAGATATTTTGATTTGATTTGAATTGATTTACCATCTTTTAATAAATTAATAAATGGTTGTACTCTATTTTTGGCAAATTCTATTTTTTCTTTATGTTTTTTGATGAGGAAAGATGGATCATATTTCTCTCTAAACCATTCCTCTGTTTGATGATCCTTGAAAAAGACACGAGATTGTTTCTTTAAAAACTCTGTTCGATATTCATCGTATCTCTTTTCCGCGTCGGTAGGTGTTATCGAATCGTCTTGATAGTCGAGGAATTGCTTGTAGGTTTTACAAGCACCGTCAAAGAGATCGCCACCACGACCTCTGCCTCGTCCCATTCCAGACGGTATGATCGAGGATGGTGATGAGCCGGCGCCGCCCATACGGACGTCCGTATCTAATGGACGGTCATGGGAACTACCACCATTTGTCGATCTGATCGATCGTGGGTCTCTGTAGATACCGCCACCACCACCACCACCGCCAACACCACCTCCATTCTCTGTCCATGATGAATCTTCACGACGTGTGCGTCTATTGTCTCTGTACGAAGGCGAAGGGCTTCTTTCGCCGCGTCTCTTGTCGCCTTGTGGAGAGTGTTCTCGCTTTCTATTTCTGTCGGGTGAGTATCTGTCATAGTCACGTCGAGACGATCCACGTCCTCTGCCTCTGTATTTATAGTCTCTGTCAGAGTCAGAGTCTGAACTCTCCTCACGTCCAGGACGCAATGGTCTGCCCATGTCATCTACGGCATCAACCTCTTCCGATGCTGCGTTGCTTGTTGATGGCTGTGGTGGTGTGGTTGCACCAGCAGCGGTAGAGTTGCTTGTTGTAGTCTTTACATAACGCGATCTATGACCATCATTACTTTCCTCTTCCTCTTCTTCCCATCTAGATTTAACCATCTCTATTTGTTTATAATCTATCGTTTGTGTGTTTGTATTGTCTGTAATAGAATTATATCCTTGTTATTCCTTTTTTTTTTTGATCTGAAAAGAAAGAATAAGAAGAATCCTTTTTTGTAATAGTAATCTTTATCGTAGTATAGTAATAGTGCACAAAAGTATCTATAAATATATATTAAATAGTAAAGAGTAAGTATAATATTCTTGTACAACAATATCTAGAGTTGATCAATCTAACAGTAGCTTTGTACTAGTTCAACACAAACAACAACTGTTATCTTTGAGGACAGACAATCTTTTTACTCTTCTCTCTCCTCCCTCTTCTCTTCTCTCTCTCTCCTTTTCTATCTTCTCCTGATGATAATATGTTGTTTAATTAATCTACTGACCTCCTACTATAATTCTTATTATCTACAAACAACCTAACGATATTAATAATTGAAATTAGCAAATTCAACCTTGTCTGTGTTTGTTGAAGTCACAACACAAATTTTTTTTTATTTTTTTTATTTTTTTTTCGAGTCTTAACCTCTCCATCATCATCAAACATATTGTCTTTACAAATCTCAAACAAAGATATATGTATATACATAATAAACAATTATATTGAAACGAACCAACTAAATAGAATAGTATAAGAGGTATTCTAGAAAGAACCAAATAATGATGATCATCGTATTTTTTAAATTTTTTTTAGTTGCTCTCTCTGTCTGAAAGTTCAACAAAGCAACGATTTTTTATCTTTCTCTCTCTCTCTTTTGTTTTAATATAGATATTTAGTCAATTATCAATAATATGTACATAATGAAACCAATCATTGTATTTGATTCATTTAAAGATTGTATGGGATCAAATGAATTGGGTATGACAGTACTTGATGCATTAAACAAATCGATGATGACCAACTCTACACCGATCAGTATAGACTCTGTTTTAACTATTAGTGATGGTGGAGAAGGATTCATTGATTCACTAGAACGTCCGTTACAGTTACAAAGGAAAAAGGTCGATGTTGTTCATGGACCATTGGGTAACACGATCACTGCGGAGTATGGGTTTAATCAATCAACAGGTTTGGCAATCATAGAAATGGCAAAAGCATCGGGTATAGAATTGGTTCCACCTTGCCAGAGAAATCCATTAAATACTACGACCTATGGAACGGGTCAGCTGATACTAGACGCTCTCTCATCTGGTTACAAGAGAATCCTTATTGGTGCTGGTGGTTCTGCAACCAGTGATGGTGGTATTGGTGCTCTTCAAGCTTTGGGAATGAAATTCACTCTAAGTAGCAGTAGTAGTAGCAGTAGCAGTAGTAGTAGTGCACAGCCATCAACTGATATTGTTTACGGAAGGGATTTGGAAAGAATAATATCAATTGATTATACAGACATACAGAATCGATGGAATGGACAAGCAAGTATTGAATTTTGTACAGATGTTACCAATCCGTTTGTAGGACCACGTGGAGCAGTTTATACATTTGCAGGACAAAAGGGAGCTACTGAAGAAATCAAAGTGACGCTTGAAAATGGAATGAAACAATTGGCTCGATTATTGCCAGTCGATATCTCTAATACTGCTGGAGCTGGAGCAGCTGGTGGACTACCAGGAGGTTTCGTATCGATTCTAAAAGCAACTATTCTCAAAGGAATCGATTATGTATGCCAACTAAATGGTCTAGATGAAAAACTCAAAAAGGACAACAACAACAACAACAGTGTAGACATTATATTTACAGGTGAAGGTTCATTTGACAATAGTTCAATGGATGGTAAAACTGTTTCAAAAATGATATCTTATGGAAAACATTTAAATATACCAGTAGTCATTATATGTGGAAGAAAAGATTTGAAATCATTGTCAATTACTGAAAATGAAATGGTAGAGGTTGCCAAAGGTATAACCAAAATACAAAGCAAGCAAGAAGAAATATTTGGTAACAAGTTGTATATTATAGATTTGGTTTGTAATTTTGGTTTGGATAGAGCTCTAAATGAAACAAAACAATGTATCCAATATATAATAGAAAATATTCTCATTGTTGATAATAAATTCATTATTGATATATAATGATAAAGATAAAGAAGAGGATAGATTTGATGAATGATCATCCACCAATATCTCCTTTTTTTGATTGTTGTATACAATATTTTGATTTGATTTGATTTTTTGTTTGTTTGTCCAATCCTATCAATTCTTTTTACCTGTTTGTTTCTTTTTATTATTACCTGTAACCAATAGACTACTACTAGATTGTTTTTGTTTCTTTTTGTTATGATCTGAATCCACATATCCATCGTAATCTTCTAAAACCTCACTTATAATTCTCTTTTTTGCATCATCTTTTTGTTTGTTTTCATCATCACTATCATCATCTTTTCGATTGTTCTTTTTAGATGATGTTGTTGGTTTTGGTTGAACTCTATCTGAAATATTTGTAATGACTTGATTGGATGGAGTAGTATCAATGACTGCAGGTTTTATCGATTTTCCTTCCATTATATCTTTCTTTTCTTGATTTATTTTCTACAGAGAGACAAAAATAGTAAGTAAAGTAAACTTTGTTTTTATCATATATATCATATTGATGATTATTGATTGATTGATACATTACATCTACATGAGAATTAAAGTTACCAAATGACATTCTTCCCGTTGATTTAAAGCCAATGACTTCACTTGAACTACCGGTTGTTAGAGTTTCACCATCATCGAAAGCACCCTTTGCAACCCAATGTGATTCTTGTATAGACTGATCCAACTCTTTTTGTAACTGTACACGTAAATCTGCTTCCTTTCTTCTTTGCATAAACTTTAATTTCTGTAGATTCTCTGCTAATACTGGTTCTTCTCCTTCTCCTCCTCCTCCTCCTCCAGAGGCAGAGGCATTATTTGATGAAGGTGCATTGGGAGGTAAACTCGAAGACGAAGAATAAGACTTTTTATAGTCTTCTCTCTTTGTATTATTATTATTGTTGTTGTTGTTATTATTATTGTTGTTATTAAAGTTGAATCTATTTGATTTCATTGTTCTTCTTCTTCTTTATATCAATGCGTTGATCCAAATAAATAAATGAATATAAATTAATTAAATCATTCATGCTTGACTCGTTCGTTTTCATCATCTCTTTGTGCAGCAATTTTAATTATTTATTTTTTTCAAAATTAACCAAAAATGGAGTTTAATAAAAAGAAAGATTTAAAAATCTATTTCTATATTTCTATATTTATATATATATATATTTTTATATCGTATACGACCAATAATATTTAAATCATGAATCACGATATATTGAGTAATTTATTGATTGGTTTTTTTTTTTTCCATTCCCAAACGCGTTAACCAAAACAATTGTACAAAGAAATTCCAGTTTGATTGTAATTATTTTTGGTCGAGTTTGTGAAATAAACAAAAAGGAGGGGGAGTTGGATATAATGAACAAGTGGGGGAGGGATTATAAATAGATCTAGAAACAAACTTTTGTCTTGGATCTAATTGAAAGTAAGAATAATAATGGACATGGTGGTATTTAAGCAACCCAACCAGTTGGGAATGTTTTTTGTTCTTTAGAGTGTGGTTGGGATCCTTGGTCACAACTTCCTCTTCTTCTACTTGGTATGCTGACATTGGTAGTTGCATTTGGAACATTATTATTATTATTATTAATATTGTTGGTTGCAGTGGCAGGAACAAGGGTGGTGGTGTTGGTACCAGTGGCAATGGTGGCAGTCGTTGCAGCAGCAGCGGCAGTAGACAGATTGGAAGAGGTCGAAGAATGGCTCATCAAAGAGGCGGTCGACGATGAACTTCTACCATGGTGGTGGTTGTGGTTGTGACTCGATGTAGTTGGGTATGGTTGATGATGTAGATGTTGGTGATTGTTGGTAGATGAGGTGGTATTGGTTGAGTTGGACGGTTGATTATTTACAAATACCAATCGGCTGCTCGTAGATGATGTCGTAGAGGATGAAGATGATGGGTTTGTCGAAGTAGATGTAGTTGATTGATGGTATGATGGTTGAGTGGTACTAAAAGTGTTGGTTGTATTAATTGGTTGTTGGTAAAGATGGTTATAATTGTTATATAACAATTGTTGTTGATGTTGTTGTTGAGTATTGTTGGATGCGTGTTGTTGTGGAACCGCTTGTTGGAAATTATTACTATTATTATTTGGTACTACAGCAGCTGAAGGAGATTGTCCAGGTTGTTTGGATGATGGTGATGGCTGTGAATGTGATGATGACGATGATGATGACGAGGAAGTGGTTGGAATGACAGATGATACAGTTGGTGGGATGGAAGCGGTAGCCGATGCAGCAGAGGCAGCGGCGGCGGCAGCAGCAGCCTGTTGATTGTTGATATCCTCGTATTTTTTCTTTACCTTTTCAACCTCGATCGAGTAGATTTCAAATTCATCGAGCGAACAATTGACAGTATAGCTCATCATGGTGAGGAAAACGACTTCCAATCCGTTCATTTCCCTTAGAGAGATACCGCCAACCTGGCTATAAAATTCGTTGTTGTAAAAGATGTCGTCCAGATACTTGGTACTAATCAACAAGCTCGTAATTACTATACGATGGATATTCATCGAGTTGACTATTAAATCACAGTTTTTAAGGAATCGGTCAATGTACACCAAACTCATGACAAAGCATTCCTTGCTACATGGAGAATATTTCAATAATCTTGCCAAATATGCATCGATTCCAATGGTTGGTGGTTTTCTATTTGGTGGATAAAATTCTCTTCTATCATTTTTTGTCTACAAAACCAAAAAAATAATAATTAATAAAAGTTGAATATAAATAATATATATATGTATATGATTTGTTTTACATACCTTGTCACCATTGGTGATTAATCTATTTACAACGGTACATAATACATCAAGTAGATTATTATCCTTGGTATCTCTTTTTTGTAAAATTGGAGTATATTTTGGTGGATCGGCTCTTAGGATTTCCAAGATTGTTTCCAAAGATGAAGTTCCCATGATTTAAATGTGTATGTGTGTGTGGATGTGGTGTTATGGATGAAGATCGGATAATTGGATGAATGGATGGAGTGGAGTGGATTCGAATCGAGGACACTTGGTAAATGATATATGTCTCTGTTTGGTACTACTACTTGTTGCTACTACAAAGTTAAGTTTTTACTAATATTACAAATGGTTGGTTTTAATTTTAATTTTAAAATTAGTATAAAATATTTTTATAATCAAACTACTAACTACTATAATACAAAAAATATATTTAATAATAAAAACACATTTAAAAAAAAAAAAAAAAAAAAAACACACAAAAAAAAAAAAAAAGAGGTAGACAAGTGAGGTGAGGTTGTTGGATCAATTAATTGGGAAATATTCAAAAAGAAAAGAAATATAGGATTGACAGACTGATTGAATGACTGACTGGTCGAGTGAGTGATTGATTGATTGATTGATTAATGGATGGGATGAATGAACGGAAATTTAAAGTTTTAAAATGCCAACCACCACCACACCAATTCTTTTCAAACACATCTTTTCCTTCCTTTCTTTCTTTTTGCAACCAACAACCAACATTGACAATGTTGACAATATTGACAATAATAATTAGTTAACTACTACTCTCTACTCTACTCTACTCTACTCTTGTTGTATTGCCTTTTGAATGTTGACTACCCACCACCGAATGTTAATTCTATTAAAATTATTCTTTTCCTACCTTGGATTAGATGGTGATGGTTTTAATCATCATCATCATCATCATTCATAAGTAGGTTGGATTGATTGATTGTTTAATGGATATCATTTCAATCAATTACCACTGACGCCGACACGACACGACAAACAACACACCAACACACAAAACGTAGGTAACACACATACACACACAGTAAAACAATCAATCAATCAGTCAATCACTAATTTGACCAATTTAGTTTTCCTGATGAATGTCTGATGATGATGATGATGATGATAGATTACAAATACATATTGACAATGATTATTATTATTATTATTTTGGAGAGGGTGTTTTGCTGGAGAAATGGAAATGGAAATAGAAAACGTTTGATTCTTTAAAGCAGGAACACATGATCATTATGACCATCACACTACACACTGAGTGTCACCCCTTCCTTTATTCTCCTCCTCCTTACTTTATTTTGTTCCGTCCTTTTGGCAATAAAACAAGAGAGAGAGAGAGAAAGAAAGAAAAAAAAAACAACCTTGAACCAAACTAATGAGAAAGTATAGAGTTTGGGTGGTTGGTATTATCGTAATAGCCATCCAGACCATACAACCAACAACCAATAACCAACAACAACAACTACTACTGAACGTTGGAATAATCATCCAATAGGCACCACCTCTACCTCTACCACAACAACAACAACCACCCACAGATAATTATGCTTCTTGCAGCAGGCAGATGCGCATAAATAAAAGTTGACAACAAGTTGTTGTTGTTGTTGTTGTGGCGGTTTTTTTGAATGCAAAGATAATAGATTATAAATAAACAAACTAAATAAAAAATATATTTAACACTATACAGATACAGATACATTTTTGGATTGAAAATTTAAAATCCTCCCAAAAATGTATAAATATTAATATATATATATATATATATATATAATGTGTGGTCTCCCTACCTACTACAGACTACCTACTGCTACCTACAATATAATTGGATGATTTGATTTGGAACCTTTTGCCGGCTTTTTTCCCTCTCTTGCTCTCTTCTCTTTCCCCTCTCTCCCTCTCTCTTTTTTGGTACTTGTCAAAAAATTAAATTGGCAACAAACCAACCAACCAAACAAACAATATTGTTGAATTTAAGAATATAAAAGATAGTAGTAGTGATTCATTCATTGTTTTTTTTGGGGTTGTTGTTTGGTTAAAAAAAGCAGGCTGCTGAATAATAATATCGAATTAAAAACAAACAGACTGCCTGCCATTTGGTCGGAGAATCTCTCTCACGACTATTTTTAAATTTAAATATCATATTTCATGAAGTTGTGGTGGTGGTTTGTGGTGGTGGGTAGTGGTGGATTTAAAACCTCTAAAGCGCAGCTGAAAGAATAGTGGTGGTTGTTGTTGGGTGCAGATGATATTTGTTTGTCATTTTAAATTGAGAGTAGACGTGGTAGACGGTCTCGACAAACAAAGCAAAAATGGAAAAAGTGTGTGTAGATCGAATGAAGGGATCAACAACAGAAACAACACAACACACAAACGAAAGTAAGTACTAACCTTTTTGTTTTTTTTTTAAAATTGGAATGTCAAGAACCCACAAAGATTCTTATTTTTTCGAGGAGGAGGAGGACTTGATAGTTTTCTTTTCTTAAACTGGGATAGAAATGGATGGATGGATTGATTGATTGATTGATTGATTAATTGATTAATTAATTAATATGATATTCTATGTACTACTATCACTTTCTTGTTTCTTTTTTGATTTTGGAGTATAATAATAATACATACCTTTTTTGTTTTTTGTTTTTTGTTTTTTGTTTTTTTCTGGAACAATATTTTTTGGAGGGGAATGAATATTTTAATAATCTAAAAAACACAGTAGGAGGATTGATTGGATTGATTATTACTATTATTATTTTTTATATTTTTTTTAAAAAAAAAAAAAAAAGATATTAATATAAATGAGTATGAATCACAAATTTATAATTAAAATATATATATTTTAAAACAATGATGATGAAACAACCCACACTGTTCTGCTTTTGTTGGTGATTTATAGAAACGCTAGACAATCCCACGCACACACATTACTTTTTACAAATTGGGAGTTAAAACTGACAACAACCTGTAGCAACAGCAAATAAAATATCTCTGACAAAATCAGCTGCAACTATAACTAGGTTGATCTTGAGTCGAGTTGTCAACGTGGTTAAAACACTACATATGCTCCTTTCCCTCTCTCTACCCGCACGACCACCATCACCATCCATCACAAAAGGGATAATTTTGAAAAGAAGATATTTTTTCCAAATAGTCCTTGAGAAAATCAGTCATGATTGACGGACGATGATGGTTGATTTTGATTGACATACAGAGAATGAGTGAATGAGTGAATAAGAGTGATGATGAAACGACAAATGTTTTCATCAAAAGTTGGGAAACTCTTTTCCTTGCTCATAATATCTCTATCTTTATATATATATATATAAATATATTTATGTATGTATTTACCATTTTATTGTTGCTACTGCCAGTCTCATATCTACCCGCGCACGCACACACAGATTGAATTCTTCCACAACAACCCCCCCTATATATCCATACACATGTCTGTCTGCTACTGGAACAAAAAGATAATAATAATAATAATAATAATGGTTGCGGCTGCTGCTGCAAATGGTAATAAATGTCAAAAAAGAATGTTTAATAGCATGACATCATCCAAAACCACTAGAGATAAGTTTTTAACAACAATCTATCTCTTTATCTCTTTGTTGAATCCAAACATACACACAACGCCAACTCTGATCAAAAACAATCATGTCCAAAAAAAACAAAAAAACAGTCAAGCTGACTCTTTGAGTGAACCGACATACAACCAAAGATGGTGATTGATAGTCTTGATGATAATTCTCTGACTGACGTGACCGACTGACTGACTAACTACTGCTAATATTATTTTTTCAATCACCCAACAACAAACACAAAAATTCCAACTTTTTTTTTTAAGTAATCAAAATGTTTTTTTTTTGATTATGTGGTGGATGAGGTGTGAATAAAACAAGAACACACACTCCCTCTCTCTCTTCCTCTCTACCTGTAAGAATAATATAGATTTCTTTCTTTTCCAATCATAAATGGTTATGTGTGTGTGTGAGTGTGTAAAGAGTGAGAGTGAGAGAATTCCGTGTACATTTTTGTGATTGAGATTTTAAAAAAACTACAACTCTCTCCCTCTCACTCTTATTTTCAAAGATAGATTCCTCAAATTTGTGGGAATTAAAAAAAAAAAAAAAAAAGGAGAAACGATCAATAATAATATTGACCTTTTAAAAATGAAACATTGTAAACTGGAAAAAAAAACCTTTCCATAAATTTCCAAATTATTATTTTTTGTAGAGACTGACCGATCCACAACAACAAAACAACAAAAAAATTTTCAATCTTTTTACTTTGGTTTGAAAGCTTAAAACAATCCAACTACACTGCTACACTACAATGATAATTTTAAAATATGGATGTACAAAAAAAAAAAACAAAAACATATTATTTGTTAACTACTTTTTGATTTGTAACTAGTTACTTACATTTATTTTTTTTTTTGTTTTTTCTTTTAAAGTTGAGAAATATTACAACAAAACTGGAAATAAATAAATTAAATAAATAAATAAATAAATAAATAAATAAATAAATTAAATATAAATAAAATATTTTTGTGTAAGGGTGGGGGTATTATTATTATTATTATTATTTTGTGTAGAATGGGAAATTATATTATATTCCCCAATAAATTAAATATATAAAATATTAATTAAAATACAGATATATAGAAATGAATATGTTTAAAATATTAAAACAACTACAAACTACAATAAAAAAAAAAAAAAAAAAAAAGATAGAGGTGATATTTTGTAGTTGGCAAGTATGAAATTAAACAGTTCCAAACGAACCCTCGGCAATGACAATTGACACTAGCCTAAATGTCGTGAAAAAAGTTCCCCACTCTTGTGTTTTAGTGTTTAGAGGGTGGGTGGGAGTGGGAAATGGTTAAAATGACTGGAAAAAATTCGAATGGAAACCAAACACCCCCCAAGTGTTGAAAAAAGTAATGGAACTGTAGAGTCGATGTTCAAAGCTTGGTTTCTTTGATAGGCAATTTCAAATATTCCATAACTTTTTTCCAAACACTCATAATTATATATATATATAGTTCCATCTCTTTTAACAAGGGTGATGAATTGTTTAAAAGTCACCACCCCCTAACCCTAACCCTGACCAAACCAACCACCATTCTACTTTTAATCCAATGAACAAACAAATCACCCTTTGTCTTATCTTATTGTCCGATCTATCTATAATATTATATCTCTACCTATGTCGATCGACCTTTTTTTAATCGTCGGCGGCGGACCAACAACAAAAATGGTGAGGTGATGATGATGATGATGATTCCAATTTTAAACTGGGATCCATCCATTTGAAATGATTGTCCATCCCATTAATTCCATTAATACTCACATTTTAATCAATAAATAAATAAATAAGTTCTTCTTCTTCTTCTTCTTCTTCTTTTATTACTTAAAACTAGAGAAAGAAAGATATAAATAAATATAAAATTAATGATATAAATATAATAATATAATATAATATAAATATATATATATATGGATAGTATAGAGTTATCAAACAAATTTGTTTGTTTGTTTGTTTGTTTAACAATCAAAACGATTAGATTGATATTTAAATCACCAAGACCAACAATACCTTTCTAAATAAAGTTAATGAGTTTGTGGTACCACTGGGGGTGCTCACATCAACACAAACATCATGTTTGTGGTGCTGTTTCGAAGCATTCAATGGCAAAGTTTGATGAGACTACCGAAAGGGCATCATCCCATCTATTGACTCCTCTCTTGTTTAAATCATTTATCATCTACAATCAATCTGATTGTCAGGTAGATCAAAGTCTTCTTCTTGTGGTATATATTAGCTAGCTAGCTAGATGACATATAAGAATCGATGATATCTAATAGAGATTAACAGATAGAGGTGAGAATAGATAAACGTGACATCAATCATATCATCGATTTCTTGCAAGTGTCTGGGTAAAAAAAAAACAGGGGTATCCGAACGAGATCTTTGAGATCACCATAAAAAATATTAATTAAATAATTTTCCCGCGAGGGGGGTCGTGGTACCCTTCTAAAAAACAAACACCTATAATTTGTGTTAGAGATTATACAAAGACAGAGATTTTAAGAGAGTGTAGTGAGAGTAGAGAGAAAGAGAGAGATAGAAGAGAGCATCAACTCTATTATCATCTAAATTTTATTATTATTATTATTTATATTATTATAAAACAGTCTAGCGTCTATTTATATACATATATATATATATATAATATATAAAATAAATCAATTATTAATTTAAAAGCCAACAACGATACTATACTATATCACACACACAATCAATCCCACGAGAGAGATAGATAGAGATAGAGATTTATTAAATAGTTTTATATTAATAATAATAATAATAATAAAAATCGTATACATACCTTTACGAGAATAGTATACTTAGGAGAGTAATAAAAGAGAGAAGATGGATACAAAGGTTCTATATACAAATGGAGGTGAGATGAATAATAATGGGTACAAGAGAAAGAATATGGGTGGCAGCTCACCCATCTCATCGGGTGGTGGATCGGCTGCCGGTAGTATGATGAACTATAACCTAATGCAACAACAACAACAGTACCAACAATACCAACAACAACAATTACACCAACAACAACAACAGCTACAGCAACAACAGCAATTACAATTACAACAACAACAACAACAACAACATGCCGCGGCACAACAAGCTCAATTACAACAACAACAACAACATCATCACCATCAACAACAATTACAACAACAACATATGAATGGATCATCATCATCATCATCTTATGCTCCTCAATACATTCCTATGAATACATCACCAGTTCAAGCTACCAGTGTACCATCAACTACCACCTCATACAATGGTAACTCTATACCAAAATCAAATATCAATAGTAGTGGAGGATGTTCAAAGTGTGGATCAACAAGAAAGAGACATTACAAACATTGTACATACTATAAATCTTCCGATGACGACTTTGTATGTATAAATTAAATAGATATAGTGCTTTAGCAAGAGGAAGGGAGGGTCCCTCGCACCTTTTAATCCTGCTGAAAAACACACCAACTATTTTTTTACTAATTTTAATCCTTTCTTTTTTTTTTTGTTCTATTTTTAGTTATTCAATTCTTCCTCTCCTCAACAATCTAAAGATATTATTCAAAGAGTAAATATAAATATATTTTATTTATACTTTTTAAAAACATTATTGTTTTATAGTAACAAATACTAATAATATTTAAATTTAGCTTGATGTACCAGCATTAAAAAGATACAAGAAACATTATAGATTAAAGACTAAACATAATTCTACAAGAGATGAATTGGTAACTGTTGTTCGTGATCATTTTGAATGCCTACCAGTAAATGAAAATGAAATTATTGGAACATTTCTTCATAAGGCTCAAGTCATAAATTAAATGCAAGATGAAGAAGAAACATCACACCGATTATATCGTATCATATCATATATTACAGTACACCAACCAACCAACCATCAACTACCCTCCCATCCCATATATATATTCCCTTTTTTCCCCACAAAACACATTTAAATTTATTACAATCGTTAATAGATAGATAGCCATCAAACTCCAATCCTCCTCCTTTTTTTTTTTTTCTCCATCCTTCTTCCATATATATATCTTAAAGAATTGGTTTAAAAAAAACAAAACAGAATAATAATATAAAAAATTGACACATGAATAATAACAAAACAAAAGAACAAGAAACATTAATAATAATAACAAAATAATTATAGGCATACTTTAGTAAAAAAAGTATTTTTTTTCCAACCCTCCAAAAAACAACAACAATAACATTAATAAATGAAATTACAATTAATAAGTATATTTATACTCTACCTTTTTTTTATTTTATTTTATTTTATTTAACCAAATAATCATTTGAAGATAATAAAACTTTTTGATTGATTGAATCCCAAATCCATAAGGAATTGAGAATGGGTAAATTGAGATATTCTTTGGCAAGGGTTTTGAGAGTGGGCGTTTTAGATTTGCTCGAAGTGACAATCTGGGTAGTCTTGTCACCACAGATATCAGCAACACTGCCACCAAATGCAATAATATAGCGTTCCAAAGTTTCGCGGTCATTTACATCTCGCAAGAGACAGATATGGTGATTGGCAAATATATCCAACAAGTGACCAACCTTTTTGGGTTTTGTATCTTCGTGATCATAATCGGGGTTATTTTGGTCGTGATAGATATAATGCTCTTCAGAGATGAGACAACCATCTGAAAAACATTCGTCCAACCACTTTCTCTCTACAATGACACCACCAAGACGATCGACGTGTGTGTAGACTTCATTTGGTTTGTTACAGATGAGATGAGTTGTTTTCTTTGCTCCAAACGGAACCCAAACTTTTGACACTGTTCCTCCAAGTGTCTTTACCATGTCTGCCAATTTCTTTTCCTCTTGTTCTGTAAATCCAGTAATAACTGCATTACAATTGTAGAGAATGGGTGTTGCTTTTCCTACTTTGGCAACTAAATCTGCTTCACTTGGATGAATTGATCCATCATCATTATTATCATCATGACTATTACCATTCTTTTTATCCTTTTTGTTTGAGGGTTTGATTGGTTTTTGTGAAATAGAGTGAATATAAAGTTTGATACCCTTGTCACAAACATTCTTTACAAATACAGGTTCAACTTGATCCCAGTCGAGTGACGAAAGGTTTGGTTTGATGGTATGAATAGATGCCTTTTTTAATTTGGCAGCACCTACAACCTGTTGAAGTCCCTCTGTAAATGAATCCATCTTGAAATCATATGATCCATCCTTTTTACTTGGTGCTTTGATACATGCAATGTTACAGACAAAGATTTTCTTGTCTCCAATCTTTTCAACTTTTGTCAAATTAAATTGTCCCATCTTTAATGATTCCTTTTCAAATTCACTTTCGACTACCTTCCATTTCTTTCCAATAACTCCTGATATACCTGATTTTCTCCATTTACCTGAATTATCTGTTAAATTTAATATAAACTAAAAAAAATAAAAAGAAAAAAAGGAAAATTAAAATCAATCCATAAAATAATATTATTATCTCTTGATTTGTTACATACAATTGTATCATGAAGTGAATCAGTTTCAATTGGTTCAGTTAAACTACCTAAAACTGTAAACATTGATAAATGTGGAGTATTATTTGTTGAAGTTGAAGTTGTTGAAGTTGTTGTTGTTGTATCCATTTCATCTTCATCTTCATCTTCCTCTTCATCATCACTATCTTTTAATTTTTTCTTTGTTGATTTTGATTTGTTATTATTATTATTACTACTGTTATTATTTTTATGATGATGAGGAACAAATTTGTTATCAGAATCTCTTTCATCATCAGAATCATAAGTCATCATTTTAACATCGGCAGCAAGATGTTTGAATTCCTTGAATGTGGTAGCTGTATCGTGATCCTTGTCATGACGAATCTTTGTGATTCTAGGGAATCTCATAGAGTATCCAGATGTATGATGCTTGGTACCTGTGATTTCAGCTGCCTCTAATTCAAAGACCATTGCCTTTTTTGGATCCGATACAATGAAATCGGGAGTATATGATTTGATAATATCCAACCATGCTGGCAATTTAGATGAGTCTTTTGATATTTTAATCATATCTTTTTTGACCTTTGGTTGTAGCTTTTCGATAGCCTTGTCGTCCAGACCACCAGATACCTTGCAGACAGTCTTGTAGTTGTTGGCGTCCTTGTCATAGACACACATCAAAAAGACAGTGACCAAGCCACCCGATGAACCTGTTCCATAGTACCCACCAATGGCCAGCAAATCAGCTGAATCGGCCATTCCGTGGAGATAATCCTTTTTAATCTTGATCCAGTGACGACAGCCTGGCTCATACACTGATGTAGAGTCTTTGATGACGAGACCCTCGAGCTTTTCTTTGATGGCACGGCCAAGCAGTTTGGACAGTGTCGACTTGTCCTCTTTACCCTTGACCATGGTTGTCTCGGACAGTTCGATACGATGTTTGACTACGTTGACATTCTTTTCGAGTATTTCACGACGTTTGTGCATTGGAAGATTGATGAGTGATTCACCATTCAAATAGAGAATATCAAATAAAAAGACACAGACTGTCGCATCTGAGAAACCTTGTTTCTTGTGAACACCAAGTGTACCAAATGGCAGTGGTTTCGATGTCTTCGTGTCCATCAATAGGATCTCACCATCCAAAATAATACTGTCGGCTTTGGTTGCCTTGGGGATGAATTCCTGTACATCTACCACCTTCCAAGGCATAATCGGTTTGAGGTTACGTGAATAAAACTTGAAATTCTTTCCATCCTTGTGAATTTGGATACGCTCTCCATCGTACTTGATCTCTGCATAAAACATGGAGCTGCATTGCTTGATGATTTCATCGACCGATTTAACAGCCTTGGGTAGCATTGGCTTGATCGGTGTCATCAACGACAGCGATATATTGAGTGATTTCAACTTGGTCGACTTTTTGCCGTCCTTGTCTTCTGTGAACCCATGTTTCTGCACAGTCTCTATAACTGCCTTTAAATTGTTGGCTTTTTTATAGGCTTCAAATGCTTGTGGATGTAATGCTTCCAAGAAAAACTTTGCTCCTGTATTTACTTTTAAATCACTATCAATCATACGATTTACAAGTCTCCAATCATCTAAAATGAAAAAGAAAATAAAAGGGTTAGCAAATATAATACTTCCCTCTATATGTGTATATATATATATTGCATACTTGGAGTACAATGTTTTAAAAACTTTTTAATGACCACTACTTGATCATCAAATTTAGAGACGGTTGTTAATTTATCCAAAAATTCATCAACTTGCTTTAATGTATAGGTTGACTGATCTGCAAATTTACCAGATTTTATCATAAACTAAATAAAATAGAAAGTGTAATGTAAGAAAAGTGTGTGATTCTATCATCAGTATGTTTGTTTGTTTGTGTGTTTGTAGTTGAATGTACCTTTTTTGCAGTTTCAGTAACATCACCTTTATCAAGATCAGCAGTCATATCATCCAAATCAGCATCCCAAATCTCAGCCAAGATCTTTACCATCTGTTTATCTTTAATTCTAAATACACGTTTATCTTCCTTTACCAAGAATAACTTTGCCAATAAATATAAGTCTCCTCTGTTCATTTTAGATAGGTCGAATAGATAGTTAGTTGTTGTTATTGCATGTCTCATACATATATATATATATATATGTGTGTGAATGAACATTTGAACATACTTGAATTCTTCACAAAAGGCTTGAATGACCTCCATCTTTCCTGAATGAGCAGACTCTTTCTCCAATACTGAACATAGTCCTGTCATTGACTTTAACGACCCTGACTTGTCAGGGGGTGTAGTATTCGTAGACATTATTGCGATATAATATAAATAACAAATGATAAATGAATCAAGATCATCACCATGAGTCTTCGAAATTGTGTCTAAAAAAATCAAATTCTCAGAAAGATGGTTCTTTTTGAAAACAAACAAAAAAAAAATATATACGAGATAGTACTATCAACTTTTTTCTAAATATTTATCTTTATGATACTTACTTGACTTTTTTATATAGGCTTTTAAAAATATTTGTTTTAATTTTAATTATTTTTAGTTTGTTTTAATTAAAAGTTGATTAATTAATTATTGAGTTTGTTTTTAAACCTCTCTTTCTCACCCCTACGGAGTCACTTTTATTTCTTTTTTTTTTTTGCTGCAAACATACATAGAATTCTATAGTCGGATAGGGTATACATTAAAAAGGGTATAGATAGAGACAACAAGAGAAAGAGAAAGAGAAGAGATATACAATGTCTCTCAATTTAAGTGCAGCATATGATTCTTTGTGTGATATGGTGATACGTCCTCCAAGATGTAATCACTATCAACCACATGATATGGGTCCTACCTCATTCTCTATTGCAGGACAATCATTCATTAGAGAGGATTTTGTCGTATGTAGAAATAACAGTAGAAACAACAAAGAAGAATAGAATCAGCAGCAGATCTAATCTAACCAATTTCAATCAATCAATCACATGAACCATAATAACAGTTAGAGAATGATAGAAAATTACAATTACAGTGCAGTCATTTTACACCATCTGATTATCATAAATCTGAAAAGTATGAATAATGAATGGACGATTGATTGTGATCAACAAATAACTAAACGACCGACTATTATTATATTTTATTTATTTTCTGTTTTCATTGTAGACAAATACCATGTGTCATTTATTGTCATGGAAATAGTGGATGTAGATTAGATTCTATTGAATGTTTAAAAGCATTGTTGCCTCATCGTATATCAGTGGTAGCATTTGATTTCTCTGGATCTGGATTGAGTGAAGGCGAGTATGTCTCGCTTGGACATTTTGAAAAGATGGATGTCAAGACAGTTGTCGAACATTTGCGAAAATCTGGAAAGATCTCGACCATTGGTTTATGGGGACGATCAATGGGTGCCGTCACATCGATTCTCTATGCAAAGGAGGATCCGAGTATAGCGGCAATGGTGCTCGACTCTCCATTTTCATGTTTGTACAAGGTTGCAGAGGAATTGGTATTGTCGACAGTCCAAAAAATGCCAAAGTTTATGATCTCTGTTGGTTTGAAAATGGTTAGATCATCAATTAAAAAGAGAGCTCATTTTGATATAAAGTATGTCATAAACTACTAAAAAAAACAAAGAAGAAGAAGAAAAAGAATACTAACAATAATGAATTAATTAATTTGTAGGGAATTAGATATAGTACCAGTTGCAGAAAAAGTATTTATACCATCACTGTTTGCACATGGAAAAGATGATACATTTGTACGACCTCATCATTCAGAAAAAATCTTTGAAAAATACCAAGGAGACAAAAATCGTTTGTTGTTGGATGGCGATCATAATAGTGATCGACCTGAATTCTTTTTCCAATCAGTTTGCATATTTTTTACCAATCATTTAAAACCAGATCCATTACCCGAACCCAGTATGTATAAATATATCTATATACATACATATTATATTCTATTCTTCTTAATTGTTATTTATTTATTTTTTTTTTATTTTGATTTATTTAATTTCCAGAAAATAACAATTTTCTTTTTCATGGTGAATTTTATGATGACACTTCAATAGAGGAACAACAATTAGGACAGGCTATTCTCTTGTCACTTAAAGAAGCACAACAAAATGGTAATGGTAATCATCCAACTACAACAACAACCACCTCTACAACAACCACTACAACTACACCACCCAGAACAACTCCTACTACAAGTCCAACCACTACAAGTCCTCGCACTACTACAACTAGTCCTCGTAGACGCAGTCCTCCTCCAAAAAGAGAGGCTCCTTATAGATTTCGAAAATCAGATTTTGTAGGCGACCCCTATGATAATAGTAATTCCTATGATAATGATGACAACGATTGTAATAATAATGACAACGATTGTAATAATGATGATTAATAACCATTGTCAAATTTAAAAGAAGATAGAATCATCAATGTATATTTATTTTTATTTATAAAACAAAACACTTTCTAGAGAGGTTTACATAAACAAAACAAACTTTAATCATATGTAATATTTCTAATCCAAACCATATCCAAACCCACACACATTTTTTATTAATTGTATCCCCTGGTTGCCTTTCGAACTCATTGGGAATGAAAACATATTTATTCTTGTTGGTGTGTTAATGGTTGATAGCTCGGATGGTTAATTGATTAAATTTTTTAATAGTTTTGCAAAGTTATCATCCCTTCTGATATAAATTCAGGCAATGAGACAAATGTATAACCATTAGTATTATTGTAGTTCCAACCAAGTAATAAAATGGACATATATTCCAAAAAAGTAGTAATAGTAGTATTTATAATAATGATTTTATTATTTGAACCAAAGTTCTTCTTTAGATATTTTCTTATTTGTTTTGTTGAAGATGTTTCTTTTTTTATTTGAAATTTATTGGTGATAATATTGATCTGTTGTGTTATTGTACATAGGGGTGCCTCGGTGTTGTTTGGATTGGAATTAAAAAAAAAAACATAATCGTTAAAGTGTTTTTACTGTTTGATAATATGTTGGGGTTTGGTTTGTTTGTTGTTGTTGATATGTTGGTTTAAATATATGAACTATGATCTTGATAATAGTAACCATACCATTGTTGATCAGCTGCTTCAGTCGATTTTTGTTGGTGTTGTTGATACATATTGTTTGAATTATTATTATTGTTGTTGTTGGCGATATATGGAGGTGGTTGATGACTAGCATATTGTTGATGGCTTCGATTTCTAGTCATATTATTGTTATTATTGTTATTGTTATGGTTGTTGTTGTTAGTATAATTATAATCTACATTCTGGAAAGTTGGGGTGGTTTGTTGTTGTTGTTGGTAATGGCGTCTTTGTTGTGGATAGCCACTATTACTGTTGACATAATGAGTTTGGTTATAATATTGAGTGGTTGGTTGATAAACTTGTGGATAGGTGTGATAATAAACATTGTGAAAAGGCTTTGCTTTATAAACATTTGAAAAACTATTTTGTTGTTGTTGTTGTTGTTGGTATTGATATTGTTGCTGTTGTTGTTGATAAAGTTGAGTTTGTTGAGTTTGTTGCTGTTGTTGTTGTTGATATTGATGATCATTATAAACAATTAATGATTCATCAATATCTTCTTGATTATTCTCTTTTTGATTATCTTGTTGATTAATTGTACAATTATTATCCTCTGATAAATCGACAAGATCTTCTACCATGTCATTGTATTGGTTGTACTGTCCTTCAGTAATGAATAGGTCCCACTTGACGAGGAAGAGGAACTTTAACTCTAATAGGTTCATTTCTTCGATGGAAATGCCACCCACTTGTGCATAATACTTGTTGCCGAGTGTCTTTTCGTAATGGAATTTAGAGGCCACGAGGACACTAGCCATGAGTAAACGATGAATGTTACGGTCGGTTATCATAAACATTGGCTCTAACTCCTTGATTCGGTCGAGATAGATGAGAGAAATGACAAAAATCTCCTTGCCAAACATCGAGTACTTGAAAATTCGATGAAGGTATTGTTGGACAGTAATGTCTGGAACGTTGGGGTCATCAAAAGCATCCTCGGGTAGTTTTTCCAATTCCTCCTTTGTCATTTTATCCATTTCCTCTCTATCCTCTTCGATTCTACCTTTGATCAACTCTGAAGTTACAATTAAAAAACTTTGATGTTGTTTAATAGTTTCCTCATCAATTGCCAATGGATTAATTCCTTCAATTGATTGTGATGATGATGATGAAGTAGATTGAGATTGTTGTTGTGATTGTTGTTGTTGCGATGGTTGTTGCGATGGTTGCGGTTGTTGTGATGGTTGTTGTGATTGACCGTTATTAGGAGTATTAGAATTGGTGTTTACACCACCATTACTACTACTTAATGAAACTGATTCAATCTTTTGTCTAATAAGGTCGATATTACTAATTTCATCTCTACTAGTCCTTTTAGACTTTGAAATGACAATATTGTTATTGTTGTTGTTGTAGGTATTACTAGTACAATTGTTGTTTGAGTTGTTTTGATAACGATTGGTTACAGTTGTTGTTGTTGGATTGCTCCAATAATAGTTGTTTGATTCTTCTAGATGGTTACTGCCACTGCTTTGGTTAAACATTGACTCTGTCATTAGGCTAATGTTGGCCGTTGATGCAGATGACGATGAAGAAGAAGAAGAAGGTACCCATTTTCCTTTTCTTTGATCCTTCTTTGGATTATTATTATATTGTTGTTGTTTTTTCTTATTGTCTCTTGTACCTGTAGCTGAAGCAGCCAAGGCAGCACTACCACCAGCAGCAGCACCACCACTCTTATTAAATGGTTTAAAACATTGTTTCTGTAAACTGAGGAGCGAGGGTGCAGATACAGAAGAAGGTAGTGCTGATGACTGATTGATAGGCTTTGGAGACGACGTTTGTGATTTTGAGTACATATATAAATTATAAATTTATATATGTTATATTATTATTATTATTATTATTATATTGTGACACTATGATGTTGATGTTGATAATGATGTTATGAATTTGTGTTGTTGTTGTTATTGTTGTTGTTGTCTAAATGTATGTTTGTTTCTAATGTTACACATATAAAGAAGAAATAAAATTACAAATATAGTATGCTAAAAAAAATACTATATATATATACTAAAAATATATTATATATTATATATTAAATATATATAACTATCTATCACATGTAACTATAATATATTATTTATATACTAAAAAATATTTGTTGTAGTGATACTGGGACAACAACTTTCACATATGTGTGTGTGGGTTTGGTGGGGGATACTGATACTTTTGTGTCACAAAAACAAAAATTAAAAATAATATTATTGAGAAACGAGCTTGCAAAGCAGATGCCTCTCCAACCAAGACAAGCAAAAATCATCAAAAAAAGGGGGGAGGCGCCACTTTGGAATCTTCCAAAATAAAATTAAAATATATCCTCGCCATCTTGGAAGCATGCACATGTACTCACACTCCCGCAGCTTTGGTTTTTGATGGACTCTCTGGAGATTGCCGCTTTTGACCAATAATCTTGCATTATACGGTAAAACTATAAAAAATCTTTCACACACCCACCCCCCTCCCCCCCCACTATCATCCCTCTCTCTCTCCGGTCAAGCTCCAGTCTACGTGATGAGCTCATCACTTCACAATTCAATCGAGAGAGAGAGCAAGAAAAGAGAAAGAAAGAAAACATCAAGATTCTCTCGATTAGTCATAAAGGCATCCCATCCCAGTTACGGTTCCGAACCATCAACCATGGGCAAAAAAGATCATCGAGATAGTATTAACAGCAGCAACCGCGATGACAATTACGGTAACAACCATCCCAACTTTGCTTCTGATCATGCCCCCAAAGACGATAATATAAACAACACAACAACCGATACCCAAGCGAGGAGACAACACCAACAACAACAACAAAAGATGGGTAGTATTCCTAATAATAATATTCTGATTGAACAATCTTCCTCCCCTCCTCCTCCTTCTCTTTCAACACTCGACAACAACAACAATAGTACAACTCCTTTTCTTCTTCATAATGATGATGATGGTGATGGAGGTAATATGGAAGATCGGTCAATAGCAGATTTAAAAGATAGTACTGAAAGTAGTTCAAGCAGCAGCAGTGGTACTGATACGAGTAGTAGTTCAAGTAATAGTATTAGATGTAGTGTAGATGATAAAAAGGCAGAGGAGGAAGAGCAACACAATGAAGATAGTAATAGTAATGCAACGACACAGATCATATTATCACACAACCACAAGAGTTTATTGAATCTGCCAATCCCTGTAACTACATCAATGGCCAATCTCATTTTAGAATCTAAAGCAACTGCAGCAGCCGCTACAACTACTATCGTACCAACTACTATACAACTTCATCATCAAAGGAATGATAATAATAATAATCAGAATAATAATAATCAGAATGAGTTGATACATAGTAGCAGTTTTAAAAATGAATCGCCATATATTATTTCGAGTACTGTAAACTCATCGATTGCTTCGTCACCTTTTGTTTTCTCATCACCTAATCTGCCTCCGCCATCTGTACCATGTTCACCTGCCAAGTTGACTACTCAAGAAAGAGACTTTCTCAATGCAATGGATACAACTATAGATGATAAAGAATTGACTGTCATTTATCATCAACAACATCAACAAAATGATGAATCATCTTCATCATCGACAACAACAACAACAACAACAAACACTAGTAATCAACAACCATTAAAATCACCAATCATAGTCAAACAAGAGAAAGATACTAATCAACATAATAGTAATAATAATCACAAAAATACATCAAGAAATAGATCGGCAAGTCATGGAGGAGGTAGGACGACTCCAAGTCATAGTTTTAATATTAATAATAATAACAATAATAATAGCCGAACAAAGATTGAAAAGATATCAAGGGAAACATCACCAATACCATTTATTATTCCAGCAGATGTAATGCAAGATACTACTACTTCTACTACTGCAACATTACAAGGTTCGTCCAACCCTGCATCATCATCATCGACGACTAGTACGTCAACTACAACGACTAGTACATCATCATCTTCGTCATCATCATCTTCAACTACAACAAAGGAATGGTCATTTATATCATATTTAAAAGATGAAGTATATGGAGATTATATGCCAACCAATGCAGATGATACACAAAAGAGAGAACAAGTTTATAACTTTGTACATGTTCCATGGGAGTTGGAAAAGTTGGTTCTATTTGGTTTCCTCATTTGCTTTGAAAACTTTTTATATTTATTTACATTCTTACCCATTAGAATATGTATATCTTTCTTTAAATTATTATCAAAACCATTTACTAAAAAGTATGAAATATATTAATAATAATAATAATAATAATAATAATAATAATAATAATAATAATATATAATTTGGAAAATAATTAATTAACTTAATATTTATCTTTTCTTTTTTTTTTAGATATGTTCTAACACCAACACAAGTTTATGATTTATTTAGAACATTGATTTGGTGTGTATCATTTGTATTTATCAATTTTGTGGATTCATCGGTCGTGTATCATCATATTAGGGGACAGGCAGTCATCAAGTTATACATTATATTCAATGTGTTGGAGGTATTGGATAAATTGTGTTGTTCGTTTGGTCAGGATATTTTCGATTCTTTGTATTGGATGTCTGTTAGTTTATCAAGTGGTAGTGGACAGACAACAACGACTGCATCAACTCCACCAGGAACTGGAATGTCTAGACGTGCATTGGTGGTAGATAATAGTCGTCGTATCTTTGCGCCATTCACTCATATGCTAGTATGCACCATCTATGTATGTGTACACAGTCTTGTACTGTTTACACAGGTTATTACACTCAACGTAGCTATCAATTCCTACAACAATGCATTGTTGACGTTAATCATGTCCAACAACTTTGTCGAGCTTAAAGGATCGGTATTTAAACGTTTTGAAAAAGAGAATCTCTTTCAAATATCATGTGCAGATATTGTTGAACGTTTCCAGATCTTTATCTACCTTACTATTATCACATTCCAGAATCTGTCAGATACCGATTGGGACTTGTCGACCGAGTTTGCTATTGAAATGACTTTGGTCATCTTGTGTGTATGGTGTTCAGAGATACTAGTCGATGCCATCAAACATGCCTTTATAACCAAGTTTAACAAGATTACACCAAAGATATATGGCAAGTTCTTTACGATCCTGATCGAGACGATTGTAGATGCGCGCAACAAGAGCTTCACAGAGAGCACGTGGAGCATCACCAGCACGATTGGCTTTGTTCCGTTCCCACTGGCCACTATCGTTGCCCGCTTCTTTTACCCCTTCATCCCCATGTCTGGCGGTAGCACCTTGTTTAGTCTTATCATTCTCTCGCAAATATATCTATGTTTGGTCATGCTCAAAATACTCCTCAAACTCTTCATCCTTGGCATTTGTCTAAGACATCAAAAAGATAATCCTTCAACCTCTACATCAACAATAACTTCTATTGGTGGTTCAGCTATTAAAAAGGAAAAAGAGAAATAATAATAAATAAATAAATAAATACATAAATAAATAAATATATTTATCTTTTCTTTCTTCTCTCTATGTATGTCTATCTCTCTCTTTTTTAGAATTCCAAGAAGAAATGATTTATAAATATAAAATTTTATATTTATAAATATTTGGACCGATCATTGGAATGAGGTCTATTTTTATTTTAAAAAATATTTTTAGATTTAAAATTGTATTTTTTTTTGAGGCAAGACTCTGATGGTATGGTTCACCCACTCTGACTCTGACATTCATTTCATTATTATAGATATATATATATATCTAAAAAAAAAGATAATTTTGGGTAGAGATAATAGTGGCACTTGGTAAAAAAAAAAAGTAAAAGATCAAAATAATTTAAATCTAAAATCGGAGTTTCATCTCCTCCAAATAGTCATCAATCATGTCTAATCAACCACAACAATCAAAATTAAATAAAGATTCTCAACCTTTGGTAAGTGGTACACCAGTTACACCATTTTACCAAAGACATTTTTCAAACCCAACTACTACGCCTTCTTCATCCTCTTCTTTTAATTATTCAACACCACATCAACCTCCACAAACTCAAACCAAAACACCTTCAACCATTTATCGTTTCCAATCACCATATCACCCATACTTGACACCTGACACCGATTCTAGATCTTTATATGATGTGAACACACCCAATCAACTTTCATCAACCAATGACAAAAATGTCCATTCACCACCAAGAGTCACAATTCCAATCTCTGAGCTTAGAAATTTATCTCAAAAGGTTTGTAAAGTTTTAAAAAAAATAAACAAAAAAAAAAACATATTATTTATATTTATTTATTTTTTTATTTTTTTAGTTTTTATTATCAATGACATTGGAAACTATTCAATGTATTGAAAAAGAAACAGAAAAGAAAAAGGTAAAAGTTAGAGAATGGTTCCGTTTTAATGTGTTTTCTGATAATCAAGAAATTCCATGTGTTCAAATACTTCGTACTGTCTATTCTGTTTTTTGTTTATTGACAAAGTCTTCCAAACTCTCACTTGATATCAGTTCCACCTTTCAACAATTTTGGAATTCTCTTACCAGAACTAGATCCGTATGTACCTATTTCATCAAAATCAATTCATCTGATACCAAAACTTTTGGTAAATCAGATACTATTAACTATAAATACTTTTTTATTTCTTTTATTTTAGCACAACAACCAAAACAATACCAAAGTTCAAAATGTACCAATTAAATTAACATTCAATCATCAACAACAAGGAGAATCTTCCAAACCAAAACAACAAGATTGTGGATATGAATCAATCACATCATTATTTATGTAGATCAATTGACTTTAATTTTAGTCAATGATCAAAACCTTTATTTATTTATTATTAACTTTTAAATAATTGACAATAATAAATGAATCAAAATATTTTTTATTTCATTTTTTTAGTGATAGTATAGTATTATTATTTGATAATATTATTAATGTTTCCAAGATCTTTCATTATCATCTTCATCTTCATCTTCGTCATCTGAATCATTATTATTATTATAATTCATATTTGAATCTTCATTATTAGAGGAGGTAGGTTGAGTTGGAATGATTGGTTTTTCAACCCAAGCAATTTGTAATTCCTTTCCCTTGTAAGATTTGGCAACCAAAAATACACGTTGAGCAGACTCTCTCTTTGTAAATTTGATTTCGATAGAGTCTGGATTAATGTCTACAGATTGGATATCGGAGAACAGTTGTTTGAGGAGTTCCTCCTTTTTGAATTCGTTGGGTGGATCTCGAATGACAATAGTGGTCGATCGATTGTCAATGATCATTGAACTATTTTTATGCTTCAAAGCAGCTGCTGATAATGGGGCAAGTGGTTTTGCCATCATTGGTTTCTTTGGGAAAAATGGATAAGGTTTTGGTTTTGCTCCTGCCAAAGAAGAAGGTTTGGCAACTACTGCTCCTGCTCCTCCTGGAGGAATCTCAATGCCAAGACTTTTAGCTTCATTTTCCAAATTCTTTAATATATTTTCCAAGTGATTTGATTTTGGAATTGGTGGTGTACCACTTCCCGTCGTTGCAACTACAATCGATGGTTCAGCCACGATTGATGACGATCCATCATCACCATCATTTGTTGCTATTTGTTGTGTGTTGATGTTTGATTCAGCAGAATCCAATACCATTGATTCCGATGTTGTTGGTAAAGGTAGAGAAGAGGAGGAGGATGGAGTTTGTTTTTTAATTTCCTTTACTATACTTGTATCGGTAGTAATTGACTCTGTAATGATTTTTTCAAGATTTTTGATTGCCTCTTTGATTTTTTGTCTTTCTCCTTCATCTGTACAAGTTTCCAATTTATCGATATATTGTTTCTGGAGTTCGAGTTGTTGTTGACGCAGTTCATCACGACTTTTGATGAGATCTTTTTTCTTTTCCACTACCTCTTTTCTCTTTTCCTCTAGTTTCTTTTGGAGGATTTGTTCTTTGAGATGTAAAGCTTGCTTCTCCTCTTCTTTTTTCTTTTGTTGTTGGAATTTCTCCTGAGTCTCTTCAAACTTGGTTTTCTTTCCATCATAGGAATCGTGCCAAAATAATTTTATAAATCTATTATTCATAATTGCCTCTGGTGATTTCATTGCTTTAACTGCATCTCCATTATTTTCAAATACAACTAAACATTGACTTGCTGATATTTTCTAAAAGTAAAAAAAAATATAATAATAATAAGTCATATGCTCTTCTTTCTCTTTTTAATTTAATTTCTACATACTTCTATATTTTCAATATTACCAAATTTTGAAAAATGAGATCTAACTTCTTCTTCAGTATTGATATTTGATGGAATATTTGTAATGATAAGAGTTGTTGAATTTGGATCTGGACATGAATGATGAGTTTTAACCTTTACAAACTTTTTAAGATGGTGTCCACCTTTGTTGTTGTTGTGTTTGTTTCCATTATTATTTCCATTTTCATCATCATCATTTCCATTTTCATCATCACCATTATTATTGTTATGACTATTATTATTATTATTATTATTATTATTCATTGAAACATCACCATCGTAATAATCAGGATTATAACCTTGTACAGATTCGATTGGATGTTGAACGTCGTATGGCATCATTTGTGGTGGTGGTTGGTTTGCATACATGTTTGTCTGATGCACATTGTGAAAGGGGTATGGAAGTGGAGCCATCATGCTTGGTTGACCCATATTGGGATATCTCCCTGGTGGCCCACCAGCACCTGGTGGTAGTGGTGGTTGGTTGTAAGCATCAACGATTGGTGGATATGGTGGTATCGTTGCATCGGGCATATTATTGGTTGAATGGATAAAGTGACACGAGTTTCCTCTCTCACAGTATCCATTCTCGTCAAAGTTTCTACATCTCTTTGTCTTGTATTTTCCATTGGGTGGTGCAGCTGTAGATGTACCTGTTGGACCATTACCACCGATTGGGTTATATCTTTGCGCCTTGATTCTTTTTCTTTCATAGTCGTCACTATATTTTCTTCGATCATCTGAATCATTGATTGGTTGGTCACTATCTCTTTCACGGTCTCGATAACTTGGACCTCTTCCATTGTATTCATAGTCTCGTTCACGATAAGATCTGTCTCTATCTCTATCTCTGTCTCTATCTCTGTCTCTTGGACTTGAGCTTCTACTTTTGCTTCTGTCTCTTGATTTTCGACTGTCTCGATCTCTGCTTCTACTTCTACTTCTATCTCTTTCGCGTGGTTTGTGGTCTCTATCTCTTTCTCTTTCTCTATAGTCTCTTCCAACATCTTGTTTACTTGAAGATGTTTCTCCTCCTCCAGAAGAAGAAGAAGAAGATGAAGAGGATGTGTGAAAGTTAAAGTAGTTGATAGCAGCCAACTTGTCGGTCAGCTTGTATGTAAACGATTTTGTGTTGTCTTTGAGGAAATCATCTAGATCCTTAAAGCAGACATCTTCTAGTTCCCTCCGACTCGTAAACTTGTTGGTTATCAACGCTATGATGTATTCTGTCAATGAGTTGGTATCCACATCACATATCGGGTCGAGTGTATCTTCTAACCATTTAGGTAGTTCTTTTCTTTTTAGGAATTCTTCCATTATATTATAAAGAATGAAGAATGATGAAGGAAGAGGATAAAGATGAAGGGAGGAAGATGATGTTGATCAACAAATAAACCTTTGACTTGTTGATGAAATACTGTTGTACAAAAAAAGGAAGGATGGTGCTGCTGCGATCCTCTAGACTATTCTGTTGTTATTATATAGTTGTTGCAATATTTATATATATATATACGATAGTTGTCAAAAAAAAGTATCTATCTATCTATCTATCTATATATAACTCTTTTATATATCGCACAGAGTCAAGTAAAAAAGATAGGTGTCTTTCTCTTCTTTCTGACAGCTGAACAAAGAAGAGACAACACGAAAATACAATTTTTGGATGATCAAAACGAAGGTGATTCATTTTATTTTTAATTATTTTAATGAGCAGCTTGTACATGTATTTATCTCTACCTACTGCTACTATTACTACTATACTATAGTATGAACAGAGATCTATTGTCATCCATCTATGGATGTTTGGAGAGACTCAACTTTAGTCAACTTCCAAAACTAATCAAACAAAAACAACAGGTATGTCAGCGCAAGAAGAGGAGGAGAGGGGATTAGAATGAAAGCTAGCTCAGCTGACTAACCATAGTTATATTATGTATTTAAAGGGAGATTCATTAATACCATGGAGTAAATTTATGGCATTATTATTGACACTATCAAATTGTGAGAATATGTATTACAAACATTCATACTTGTCGTTAAAGAATAATAACATTCAAGATCAATATATCCAAGTATCAAATGACATGAGAAGTTTGTTAAAGTTGATATCTTCACCAACAACAACAACAACAACAACTGGTGGAGTACAACAACCAAATCAACAGAACCAACAGAATCAAACTGCTAGTCAGATTGCACTTGGGTATTATGCATCGTCAAAGAAATCATCGGTTGACGATGACCCTGAAATATCCTTCTTTTCATCACTCGTACAACAAACATGTACCATCGTACAGGTTAGAATCGATATGATTGGTGTCTACACTACATTGGTCATGTCAATCAGCCAAGAAACTAATTTTGATCAACTAGTCAATTCACTTGAAACCATTCCAACCATCTATCGTGATAAAATTACTCATCCTCTATTAATGGGTATTAAAACAAATACAAAGTATGCTAAAAAAAGAAGAGAGAGAGAGAGAGAGAGATTTATATTAAATGAACAAACAATAATAATAATAATGACTGACTTTTTTTCTATTTGTAGTTATGAAATACAAATATTAAAGAATTTATTAAAAGTTTATGTATCAATGAATAGACATATATTTAAAGATTCAATACTATTATTGTATCAATCAAGATTGGATTTAGATTTATGGAGAGACTTTGATCAATTAAATCAAAGTAGAGGAACTTATAGCAGCGATCCAAAATGGACATCCAATTCCATCCATCAATGGTTATCGATATTTTTCAATGCTCTCATGTCAAAATCATCTCTTTATTTCCATTTCCCTTTGAGAACTGTCGAAGAAGAGAATGGTGGAACTTATCAATCCTTTAAAGATGCAACTCTTCGTAATAATCCTGATTATGTTTTAATGTATGTCAAAAAAAAAAAGAAAAAGAAAACAAAAACAAAAACAAACAATATGCATATCCATATTAATCTAATCAATTCTATTTATTTATTTATTCTATTTATTTCCATTTAGGATTGAAGCATTTTATCAAAAGAGTAATTCAATATTTTTTGGTATCTTTTTCGAATGTAAAGGTAAACCATACTCAAAGATGGGATATTGTTTTAATAATACAGAAGCACCAACTGGATTGGGGGCCTATCCACCTATATTCTACTTGCCACAAGATAAACCACCCAACCAACATTTACCAAATATCATTAGTATCTATTTAACCAATCAACATGCACTTGAGCGACCACACGATTTATTCTACTACGTCGACTCTCAAAAAGTAGAAACTAATCTCAAAACATCATCACCCATTGCTGGTGGAGGTGGTAGTGGGTCTGGGACAGGAGGAGGACCAACGCATGAAACATCAGATTACACCTACTTTTTAGTTCGTGTAGAAGCACAAATATTTATCAGTGTTGTATATAAAGATATTAAAAAACAAAAAGATCCAATTGTAAATGATTTCCTTAAAGTTTTGGTACATAATCTTAGAAATACCGATCTATTTAATATTCTAAGACAAAAAGAATCAAATAGATAGATAGGATAGGATAGGATAGATAAATATAAACCAATATTAAAAATAAATCAAATATATTATGTACAATTTTAAATTAAACGAAAATGATGACGCAAAAATGACTACCATCATGATTTTTGTGCATATGGTCCATCTCATTTCATTGTTTACACGATTTGTATATAGATAAGAATAAGAATGACAGATAATAATACTTCTAATAATAATAATAATACTAAAAATGAACAACAACAAGAACATCAACAACATCAACATCAACAAAAACCAAAAGGATTTATTAGAAGTTTATTGGATGGTAATTTGAATAATGTAGAGGTTAAAATACCTGTATTCATACAAAAGGATATGCCATTGTCAACATTTATGCTTACTGCTGGAGCAGTCACTGGTATTGGTTTCATGGCTGGTGTATTTCTAGGTTTTAGAAGAAGTAGAAGAGGTAATACTACACGTCAACAAACAATGGCTACTCCTTCTGCTGTAGCATTTTCTCTCAAAGCATTGGCAATGGGTACATTGTTGAGTGTTGGTTCATCTGCCGCAATGGTCTATGCTTTTAAAACATTTTATAATATTAATACTGTATGTGGATTAACAACTACAACAACAACAACAACAACAACAACAACAATCAATCAATCAATCAATGCAATGCAATGCAATGATACCAATCAATCATCATACATTTGAACAACCATTGATTGATGATAGTGAAATATATAATATAACTAACAAAGATTAATGATGGATCTTATAGGTTGATGAATTTGGACAATTTATGAATAGAAAGCTGGGAGCTAAAACAACAGAACAAAAGTTTGAAGAGGCAAACAAAGGTATCGACATGTCACGATACGATGATATTAGTGATGATGAAGATGCAATGGAAGCAGTCACCGCATTTTTTGGTGGTAAAGATATATTTGCTGATATTAAAAAGAATAATAATGAAAATGATAATAACAATAATAATAATGATACCAAAACAACATCGACAACGACGACTACGACGAAACAAACAAGTGGAAATAAAGAAAAGAGTTAACAACGTGGTATAAATGATATTTACAAATAGGGGATCGATTAGTTTATTGGTCTACAACTTTAACAAGGGTATGATCAAATCCACATGATAGATCGATTGGACGTTTAGATGGCCAATCATCAGTATCATCGTATTCTGTTATTTGTGTTGGGATGGTTTCCATTCCATTGATGTTACCTGATCCAAGTTTACCTTTTCGAGCACACCCCCAAGTATAGAACTGTCCGTTGGCTAGGACTGCCGCTGAATGAGCTCTTCCTGCACCTATCAATACTACTCGGTCGGGCATAGAGACTGGTGTGGCTACCAATCGATTCAATGTGTCCCCAACACCCAACTGACCGTTTCCATTCCACCCTAGACTAAACAACTGACCTTGTTGCTCATCTAGCAATAGACTATGTCCAAATCCACATGCAACCTTGTCAATCCTTTGTCCTTGTAATCCTTGGACTATCTGTGGATATGCACTTGCTTCTGTATTGCCTCTTCCCAATTGTCCATGTTCTCCACTACCTACCATATATACATGTCCCTTGTCAGTAATGAATGCCGAGTAATCCGACCCACATATAATGTCTCGTACCACCAACGATGATGAAGACGTTGATGAAAACACTTTGGTTGGACGATGTAAAACTGGGTGTCTTGTTGGATCGACAAATAACTGTCCTTCAGCATTCCATCCCCAACCCCAGATACTACCCTCACTGTCCAATGCCAGTGAGTGTCCCCAACCGGCAGCTACTTTGACCACCTTTACATTACCAATCTCTTCTCGAACGAGTGTAGGGCGTATGCGATGATGGTCGTCTGAGAATCCTAGTTGATACTCACTTCCCACGCCATATGAAAACAGTCTTCCCAAGTTATCGACCACCAGAGTATGTCTTCGACCTCCAACAACACTCTCTACACAAACATCTCTTGATTGCAAGATACTGTCATTATCCAATACATATTCATCGACTAGTCTTGGACTCCATTCATTATAATTTGTTTCTTTATTCTCTTTCTCTCCTCCTGCAAATGAACTCCATCCCCATGTATATAATTCTCCTTTATCTTTTAATTATATTTTTAAAAAAAAAACAATTAGTATCTGTTGTGATTGATCATTCATTATTATTATATGCAATTGATTTAAAACAAACATACTATTAATAATCATACTGTGGTAGTGACCACAATGTAATGATTTAATATCATTCACTCTATTAGATGTATCATCACTACTATTATTATTATTATTATTATTATTATTATTATTATTATTATTATTATTGTAATCACCTAAATCATCAATTTTAAAAGGGTATGCTTCATATCCATCATTTGCACTGTTACCTAGTTTTCCTCCTTTTCCACATCCGAATGAGTAGATGTGTTGTTGTTGATTATTAAATACATTTAAAATAGAGGTAGAGGAAGAAGAAGAAGAGACAGCCCTACGAGTAAAAAGTGGAGTATTACCAGGATGGTGATGGGGGTGACTCGTAAACCATGGTGATAGTTGGTTGGTACCGAGATCTTTCAAATTATTATTTAAAATTGCAGCAGCTTTAAATAGTCTCGCCGAGGACAACATAGTGGTTGTTTAGGGTAGGGTATTGTTTGCTGTTATGTACAGCGTAGATGGATGGCTCAACAACGAATGTGGATGACGGTTTTTCAGCGTATTCGATAATTCTCCCCCCCACTTTTCTTTTTTTTTTTTTTTTTTTTTTGTAACTACGAGAGAGATGGATGACGATTGGTTTGTTAACAAGGGGTAGATATTCGATCAATGATGCATCTGCGACCGTGTTTGATCTTCATTTAATATCTCTCTCCTTTATTGCTACTATAGTATTAGTTTTAATATCTACTACTACTATATTACTATTATTATTTGTTTGTTCTTATTTATTTATTATTTTAAATTAATAAAAAAAAAATTAAAAAGTGAGTTTGTGAGAGAGAAGAGGGAAAACAACTCCCTCCTTATTTTTTATTGAGCTGTGTACACTATAATTATTCTATCACATAATCACCAAATATATTTATATTATTAGTTTTTAAACCAAATTTTATCGATCAACTATGAATAGATCATCATAGAGAGAATAAATAAATACACACAATACTACACAGATACTACATCATACAATAAATATTCACTACTCTTTTATTTATTTATTCAATCACACATACTATTATTATTATCATCGTTCTCTAAAGAGTTCTATAGTCGATCAGATCTAAAGCAAGCTCATCATCATACATACAATTTGTAAGCATTACAAGGAGAGAAGAGAGAAGAGGACGTCTTTTATTTATTAATATATTTATATTGTTTGTCGTCGTCGTCATCATCATTGATTATATAGTGAAAATATATAGATAGACATCATCGTTGTTGGTTGTAGCTACTATGCACAATAATAATATGATGGGGACTCCACCTGTTGACTATAATGCAATGCAACAACAACAGTTTATGAACCCATATATGCAACCACAACAACAGCAGCAGCAAGTTGCACTCCAACAGCAGCAGCAGCAGCCACAGCAACATCCCGAGATGATGCAACAGCAGCAACAGCAGCCGCAGCAGCAGTATACTGGAATGGCAATTGATAATAATAATAATAATAATACTAGTGGAGCAGGAGTAGCAAACAACAATCAGTTTATGAAGCAACCATCAGTAGTGGGTGTTCAACAACAATCCTCTACACAGCAGCAATCATCCTCTCCTCCTATATCATCGCCAATCATGTACGTTTCTACACCTACACAACAGCAACATACACCTCAACAACAACAACAACATACACCTCAACAACCTCAAACCCCTCAGCAACAACAACAACAAGTTCAACAAATGATGAACAAACAAATCACACCAAATAATACATATTATACTCAACAAGGTCAACAGCAGCAGCAGCAGCAACCAATGTATCAGGCACAACAAATGTCTTCTCCACCAATGGTGCCAACTGTACAGAATCAACCACCACCAATGCTTTCCCCTGCTCAACAACAATATCAATACCAACAACAACAAGCTCAACAACAACAACAAATGCTACAACAACATTTGCAACAACAGGCTCAAGCTCAACAACAACAACAACAACAACAAGCTCAAGCTCAACAGCAGGTTCAACAACAGCAGGCTCAGCAACAACAAGCTCAAGCTCAACAACAGGGACAGAACAATCAAATACAACAAGGTCAACAACAAGCTCAAGCTCAAGCTCAACAGCAACAACAACCACAGGGACAGGTTCCACAACAACAACAACAACAGACACAGAGTCAACCTCAACAAGCACCACTTTTAAGTTTCTCAAAAGAAGCTATCCTTGAAATATATACAGTAAGTAGTTTGTGTGATGATTGATATTGATTGATGATGACACCCAAGATCTCTCTCTCTCTAATATTTATTTATTTATCTTTTAGGCAACCGAGAATTTACAAAAGGCACTGTCAGATGTGATGGATCCACAATATCAACAATATGTACAAAGCTTGAGAAGTATTAGTATGAGTGGGTTGTCTTGGAATGCTTCAGAGACCAACCTTTTTAAACGAGTTATTGCTAACCATCGAGTACTAGCAGATGCACAAAAGACGAAACAAGCCAAATCTGAACATCAACAGCTTGTACAACAGCTTGCACAACAACAACAACAACAACAATCCAATCCAATTTATGGTGGTGGCACTATAACAACACCACCAATTCAATCACCTATGATGATTTCTCAAACAACAAATATAGCTACTACACCGACTACAACAACAACTACAATAACAACACCAACACCAACGGCAGCAGCAGCGGTTTTTCAACAACAACAACAGATTATCCAAGGAATGCCAATTGGTAAACCATTGATGACTCCAGAGCAAATCAATTTTGTAAAACTACAAGTCCGCGCGAATCAATATATTGTTAAATGGCTACAAACTGGAGAGCCATTGCCAGCAGGATTTTTCCAACAATTGGTTGCCTATAAAAATGGGGCAATGCCACCTATCATTGCAACTCAAACTCCACCTCAACAACAACCATTATCTATTCAACAACAACAACAGCAACAGCAACAGCAACAACAACAACAACAACAACAACTTGTTAAACAACCATCAATTGTTAGTCCACCTATTCAACTCCCTCAATCTCTACCACAACAACCAGTTTTGGAGAATACAACAACTACAGCAGCCATTGTACAGCAACCGATTGCAGTGGTGGCTGCTGCCGCCACACCTGTTGTAGTTGCACCTCCACCTCCACCAGTTGTAGTTGCACCACCCCCACCACCACCTCCAATGCAATGTCCTGCACAATATATTATACCACCTGTTACAGACAGTATTAAAACTGTTCCATTGGATCACCAATTCCTCAGAGAGGCAAGAGAGATTAGCATAAAAGAGGCAATGAATCAGAGAACAACGTATTTGAAAAAGAGTCTAAAAGAGTTTGATGATCAAGAGGCTTCAGCTGCTGTAACTGCAGCTGCCAGTAGTCCAAACGCCGAACAAAAAGATGGATCATCATCGAGCAGTGTTGGAGCAGTTGCCAATGGAGTTGGTCATACCCAAGTCGAAAAGATTTGTGCCAGTCAAAATGCACAAAGAATTCGTATGGCCATAGAGTACAAACAACTCAGTCTCTTTGAGGTTCAGAAAAAGTTGAGAGCCGAATTACTCGACTCGGTCGACAGTAGTATGTTTGTCAACAACACTACTGCTTTGCTGGGCAGCAAGCATAGTTCATCGTCGTCGTCATCGTCGTCGTCACAAAGTGGTTCAGCTTCTAAAAAGAAAACAAAGTTGGATGGTATTCTAAGCTCACAACGTATCATGCCATACAATGAAACCAACCAAAATACACCAGAGGCAAAGACACGAATGTCGAGCTTCCTCAAACAGATTTTGGATCATGGACGCGAGTTTAAAGAGTTTCACAGCAACCAGATGCAATCGACCAAAAAGGTAGCCAAGCGTGTAACCAGCTACTTTGCCATGCAAGAGAAAAAGGAGCAGCAGCAGCGTGAAAAGGAGGAGCGTGACAGACTTCGTGCACTCAAGAGCAACGATGAAGGCAAGTACCTCAAGTTGCTCGAACAGACCAAGAACAAGCGTCTACGTGAGTTGTTTGACCAGACCAACGAGTTTCTCGACAAGATCTCGCATCTCATTCAAAAGGAAAAGATGCAAGACGAGGAGGAACTGGCCTTGCAACAAGCAGAGGCAGCCGATGCAGCCAGCAACGCCACCACCATCACTGACGAGATATCGACCAACAATAGCAGCACGAGCAGCACTGCACCCGTTAGCAAGCCAGCCGACGCCTCTGCCAAGCGTCCGGCTACCGCACCAGCTCCCGCTCAGACGACACTAGTCAGCAAGGCACATTCATACTATAGCAAGGCCCATTCCATCACGGAAGAGATTCCAGAGCAACCACAGCTTTTGGAGGGCGGTCAGTTGAAACCCTACCAGATGCAAGGTCTGCAATGGATGGTGTCACTGTACAACAACAAGCTCAATGGTATCTTGGCCGACGAGATGGGTCTCGGAAAGACTATCCAGACCATCGCTCTCATCACCTATCTCATGGAAAAGAAGCAAAACAAGGGTCCCTACTTGGTGGTCGTCCCTCTCTCTACACTAGCCAATTGGGGTCAAGAGTTTTCAAAGTGGGCACCAAAGGTACTCAAAGTACTCTATTATGGTAAAAAAGAGGTGAGAAAATCACTCTACGATACCCATATTGCCCCAACAAAGTTTAATGTACTCGTCACCACCTATGAATACATTATCAAGGATAAAAATATGCTCTCCAAGATCAAGTGGAACTATCTCATCATTGATGAAGGTCATCGTATGAAAAACTATAGTTCCAAGCTCTCTATTATCCTTGGTAATGCCTATCACTCGAGATACCGTATTCTCCTAACTGGTACTCCTCTACAAAACAGTTTACCAGAACTTTGGGCACTCCTCAATTTCCTGTTGCCCAACATTTTCGATTCGGTCGATGATTTTGAACAATGGTTCAATGCTCCATTTGCAGGTGAAAAGTTGGAAATGAATGAAGAAGAACAACTACTCATCATTCAACGTCTTCACAAGGTTCTTCGTCCTTTCCTTTTACGTAGACTCAAAACTGAAGTCGAAACTCAACTACCTGATAAAGTTGAAAAGGTTCTTAAATGTGAAATGTCTGCTTTCCAAGCTAAAATGTATCAATTAATTAGATCTAAAAGTGTTAACAAAGTAAGAAAATAGAAAAGATAAAAAAAGATAAAAAAGAAAAGTATATATTTATTTATTCATTTTTCTTTTTATTAGTTGAATCAAGAAGAAGGAGCACCAAGACTTGCAAGAGGATTAAAGAATACATTGGTACAATTAAGAAAAGTTTGTAATCATCCTTATCTATTTTATGATGAAGAATATGCAATCGATGAGTATATGATTAGATCGGCAGGTAAATTTGATCTTTTGGACAAGATTCTTCCAAAGTTAAAGGCATCTGGTCATCGTGTACTCATATTCAGCCAAATGACGCATTTGATTGATATTCTCGAACATTATTTCACCTACAAAGGTTACAAGTACCTTCGTTTGGATGGTTCAACCAAATCGGAAGAGCGTGGTCCCATGTTGAATCTTTTCAACGCACCAGGCAGCGACCTTTTCATTTTTGTACTAAGTACTCGTGCTGGTGGTTTGGGTTTGAATCTCCAAACCGCCGATACTGTCATCATCTTTGACTCTGATTGGAATCCTCAGATGGATCTCCAAGCTCAAGATCGTGCGCATAGAATTGGCCAGAAGCAAACGGTAAAAGTATTACGTTTGGTCACAGTCAACAGCGTGGAAGAAAAGATTTTGGCAAGAGCCATCTTTAAAAAGGAGTTGGACAAGAAGATTATCCAGGCTGGTCAGTTTAACAACAAGAGCAAGTCGTCAGACAGAATGAAAATGCTCGAGTATTTGATGGCACAGGATGAGACTGCAGAGATGGAGCGACAGGGTATTCCAAACGACCAACAAATCAACGAAATGATTGCGCGTACACCTGAAGAGGTCGAGCTCTTTGAACGCATGGACAAGGAGCGTTCAGAGATGGAAAACAAACGTTGGAAGCTAGAAGGAAAGAAGGGCGAGTACAAGCGTCTCTGCCAAGAGGACGAGCTTCCCGCTTGGATCTCCAAGGAGGTTGAGGTCACCGAAGACATGAGCTTTGTGTTTGGTCCAGGTCAGCGACCACGCTCATCCAACGCCAAAGACGTGGACGACCAGGAACTCTTGCGTCTGCTCAACAATGGAGAGAGACGTCGTCGTACCGCCTCCAACGCAGCCGTCTACATCAACGAATACATTGACGACGAGAGCGACGATTCCAGCTCATCGTCGAGTGAAGAGGAGCAGGAGGAGTACCGTCAAAAACCAACTCCAAAGAACCACAAGAGAAAGGAGCTTGATGACGAAGACTATGAAGACAGCTACAGTGGCAGCCAAGTCAGCACGCCTACCAGTAACAGCAAATACCCCACCCCCAAGAAACGTGCCAAAACTGCTGCCAAGGAACGCAAGGCACCTGCCAAGAAAAGAGGGTCTACTGCTGCTCCACCCCAACAGCCGTCCACTCCATCCACTCCATCTGACAATAGAGAACTCCTCACTCCACCACCCACCCCAACCACGTCGTCATCGGGAGCTACGCCCTCACAACCCGCCCCAGCACCCAGAAAGTACAGCGGACGTGGTAGACCAGCCGGCACCATCAAAAAGCGACCAACCACCGAGAATGAGATCAAGTATCTTGACATTTATGATGCGTTCCGATTGGACACGGACGAAGAGGGAAGAAAGCGTTGCGATGTCTTTTTGCGTCTGCCAAGCAAGCGTGACTACCCAGACTACTACAACATCACCAAGGAGCCAATCGACATGAAGATCATCAAGGACCGTATCATTGGCAAGAAATATCATACACCTGCACAGTTTGCTGCTCATGTAAATACTATGTTTTACAATGCCCAAGTATATAACCAATCGGGTTCAGAGATCTTTGAAGATGCCGTTCACCTTCAAAAATTCTTTACCAAACTTTTCAATGAAGCTTTTCCAAACAACCAACTTCCCACTCCAAAACCACCCCTATCACCAACTCAACCTATTCATTTGTCAGCTGACAGCGTCAAAAGAGAGCCAATCCCAATGGCAAGTCTCCAAGCTGCCTCTACCACCACTTCCACCTCTTCCACCAGCAGTACAAGTACTACCTCCACCACCGACAATAGTTTACTCGATGTCGATGAAGATCAAGTATCAAAGAAACAAAAACTTGCAAACAATCACAGTACCCCAAGCAATGGTAAACCTTATGATCCAATGTCTCTATCAAGCATGATTTGCGACGCCAACAATTCCCCAATGTCATCTCCTCCAACTACCTTTTCCAAAACAAACAATTCGAGAGCAAAGTTTAGTAAATTCTCTGATGATGACAACGATGGTATGATGGATGACGATGACGAAGATGACCTATAAAAAAAAAAAGATTTAAAAAAAAATAAAAAGAAACAATTTGTACAAATCATTAAACTAAATATATATGGAAAGAGAGAGACAATAGGTTATAGATTTATTGGATGACTGGTAAATCATGGTAATCAAGATGAGCAGCCGATTCAAAAGTGTTTTCAAAGAGTAATACCATCATCTTGGCAGCTGATTTGAATGGATCAACCAATTTACCTTCTTCTTTCAAATTGACAAAATATTTCTTTGATTCCTCATCAATTGTATTGGCTCTGACTTCTCCTTGCATATCAGTATCCATTGCACCTGGTGAATAATTTAATGTCTTGATATTTGGAATTGATTTGGATTCTTCACTGATTACTCTTAATAACATTTCACGTCTAAATGAAAATGAAAAAGAAAATGTAAGAAAATGGTTATTAAATCAACTATGGCTATATATTATAGACATACGCAGCCTTGGTAGTACAATAAATTCCCCAAGTATCAAATGGTTTAATACCAGCCAAAGATGAAGAGTTGACAAGGAAGAAGGAAGTGTTTGTCAAAAGTGGAGTGTTTTGTTCTCTAATCTTTGACAAGAAAATGCTACTGGTAACAAGGAATGAGGTAATATTCATATCAAGATCCTTTTTAATTTGAATAAAATTGGTTAAACTAAATAGAATCAAAAAAAATGTTAGGGTCAGACAAGACTATGTTGATGGTCAACATTGGTTGACATACCTATCAATTCTTTGAAGGAAACTAAGAGAACCATGATTATTGAAAAAGATAACCTTTTGATATTCACCAAATGAAACCTATCAAATAAAATAAAAAATGTTAGTGATACAAAGAATTCTAATTCTCATTCATTCTAGAGTTACAAACATTTTCTAATGACTTTTTAAAAGTAGCTTCTGATTGTTCAATATCACTAAAATCAATAGCAAAGTTATCGATCTTGTTGCCTTGTGGAAGAAGTTCCTTGATCAATTTCTCTGTTGATTCAAGACTCGAAAGTGATCTTGCATAGAGTTTAAAGTCGATATGAGAAGCTTGTGCCTCTGCAGTTGTCTTTTTGATCAACTCTTTTACGATAGAATAACCAAATCCTCTTGATGCTCCTGTTACTATTGCCAATACCTTCATTTTCTCTATAAAAATATACTATAGTATTTGTCTTTTTGAAAAGAATGAACTTGAAATCACTTGATCGATTGGAAGACACATTCCATCAAAAATATCTCAAAGTTAATTAATTTTAAATGGTCTTCTCGAACCCAAAAAAGAAATATAAAGTTTCATGGGAAACGGAAAGATTGGTTTATTGGGACAATATGATATTATTAATTATTATATAATGTAAAAAAGTAATATAAATAATACTTTACTCTTTTCGTATATTATATAATATATACTAATTTATTAGAGTCCATCTTATTTGTTTCTCCCCTTGTCCATATTTGTATTGAATATTGCATTCGCGAGAGCACATAACCAAGTATTCTCTTCCATTCTTTATCGCCAACTACATCTTTCCTAATCTATAATAGACCAACCACTTTTTTTTTTTTTGATACAATTTTCTATTTTTTTACCTATTAAAAAGGTTTTAATTTAATTGTTTGTTGTTCGTTGTTTCATTATTCTTTTTTTTTTTTCGGATGGAGGAGCTACTGCCTACAACTATGGTATCTGGTACATCACAGATATGGTCCCAGTCCAAGGGTTCTCGACACCAACTGTGTCTCAATCTTGATTACCTCTCCGCGTAAAGACCTGTCAACCTCCTTTCTCAAGAACAGCCCACGACCTACCACCTATTACATGCCACTTTGGTCAAAGACAGAGCTTTTAAAGGCACGATCTCTGTTGCACCCCACAAAATCACAGATGATTTTGTCGAAAAGACCTATTACTATGCTGGTGGATCTGCCAGATTTGCTTTCGGCCAAACGACCGACATTGATATTGTAAAGGATGGATTTGTGTCCTCAACAGACTTTGACCAGTGTTGGAGGGCAATGGGAGATGTTGCAAGCGAAGACACCGTCTCATCAAATGTAATACATAGAGAGGTCAATTCTTCATTTACAAACTTTACCGGTATTTTTGCTTCTGATTGGGTAGCCGCTCAAGTACTCACTCAGAAACTTATCGACACATCTCTTCCATTGGCAAATTATTTCAATTCAACTTCTGAAGCACACAAATTAATGGTCGGGCATCTCTACGAACAATTTGCCATCAAGTCTTTAATGAAGAGGGCCACGTTCAAAATCAAATCCAAAGAAAAGGAACAAACCTTTGAATTCACCTCACCTGGAGGAGCACTCACATTTGGTTCAATCGACAAATGGACCGAACCAAATACTCTCTACATACCCAAGGACAAGTCTTTTCCAGCAATCGATCTCTTACTTACACCCAACTTGCTCTTTCAAATCACCAAGGCCAAAGATCACAAACCCCTTCCATCCGTCAAACAAGGATCTCAAAGTTTACCTCATCTCTGTGGAGGATTCATATGAGCACAACAAACCTCTCAATTATAAAAACTTGACATGTTCATCCCAAGAATTTGAAAAGAATAACAATTTATCTCAGTGGACATTGGCCTTGCCCTATCCAACCATCCAAGACCTCAAAGATCTCCCTCCATGTCCCTAGACAACTCTTATCATTGCTTCTTTAATTATAGATACTTTACTAATATTATTACACATCATAAAATAAACCATTTTTCTTTTAACAACTAAATATATATATAAATCCTGATCTGTACACATGAAAAATGGTTTTTATTTATTGTTTAAAACATTTTATTAAGTACACTCTGTGTAGAGATATCCTTTTTAAAGGTACAAGAAGTTCCATATGTATTTTATCTGCCTTTTTAGTAAACTTTCCTTGTTTGATCATTAAATTAATTAACTCAATTGTTTTCTTTTTCTTTTCTTTTGGTACTAATCTTGGATCGAAAAACATCTTTTCTTCTTGTGATGATTACATGTTCTTCATTTCATTTATTACCATGTTGTCTTCTCCACGATCGTTGGAGGAGTTGAAACAGAGAAAAAAATATAAAGTTTCAAGGGAAAAATGGAAAGATTGATCCATTTATTTATTGGGACATTATGTTATTATTGATTATTATTATATTATTATTTTATTATGACAAGTATTATAAAATACTTTACTCTTTGGTCGAAAATTAAAATTAAAAAGTAAAGTTTAGGGTATCGTGGTTGCTATTATTATTATTATTATTATTGTTGTTGGTGTTGTTGATTGTTGAAGAAGTTGTTGGGATTAGTATAAATAAAAAAAAGTTTAAACAAGGGTTTCCTCTTAAGAGACCCAAGAATTTTTTATGTGTTGTTGAATGTTGGTTGATTATTATTATTATTATTATTATTATTATTAATTGGTTGGATATTTTTTGTTGTTGTGGTTGGAGTTGGGGAGTCGTACTATTTATTATTATTATTAATTAGTTTTATCTTAATTTTAATTCTTTTTATCTTCAAGGTGATAACGTTGATTCAAAATGACTCTCAATTGGTCAGGGAATTGGCTGTAAAATTGTGGCCAATGGGGACCGATGTTTTCTTTAAAGATGTGAAGTATTTTTTGGAATGCATCGTTGAGATCTGGTTCGATTCTTTCACCCCAAGAGGCAATAGCATCGCAAATGTAAACCAATGATTTGAGAGCACCATTTGGATTGGCTAAAATGATCATCCACATGCCACGGAAAGCAGAGTCCTTTTCAGAGTCGTCCATCTTGCTACGCATGGCCATGCACCAGCATTGAATGTACTCGTCGATTCTGTCTGCACACTTTTCTGCATCAACCAAACCCAATCTTCCAATTGTAATGGCTGTGTTTTCGAGGATATTTTTGTTGTTTTTGGTATTTTTCATGATTGGGATCAAAGCTTGCAAGATGTTGGGGACGTATGGCTTGACAATGAGTGGCAATCTGATGGCAATCTCTCCGATGGCCCAACAGGCATTATTACATACTGGAATGCAGTCTGGGAAGAGGTTGTTCATGAGGATTGGGATATACTCTGTGATCTTGTTTTGGAAGTGAACAATACAGATCCTCGAGAGATCACCCAACAAGGCAAATGAACTTTGACGTACATCTGGCTCTCTACTCTTCATACACTCTAATAAAATCTCTGGAAGTTTGCTTGGTTCTACCAAACTTTCGATACTGGTACCAATACCTCCGGCTAAACCACTAATAAGATCCAATGAAGTTACCAAAAATTCTCTATCTGGTGCATCTATAGTTTCTGGTGATTGATCATAAAGCTAAAGTAAAAATAAAAAATGTAAGTATAAAGTTCTATAGAAATAAATCATATGATTGTCGCATACCATTTGATCAGTAATTGTTTTTTTTATAATGTTAATGGCTCTATTGTAGAAAATCAATAACAAGTCCTTGAGACCCATTCCAATAGCTGCACAAATTGGATTCAAACATTGTAGCAATGGTAATAATGCCCTATTTTTAAAAAAAAGAAAAAGAAGGTTAATGATTTTTCATAAACAATTAGTTGATTTTTGTCTTACTTATTATTATCTTCCAAAAGATTGAATCTTTCCAAAAGTGGCGGAATTAAAATTTGAACATATTCTGGTCTATTCAAATCTCTACCGACAACCTTGGCCAAAGTTGAAATGGCATCATATAAAATTAAAAGATTCTTTGCTTGATACTTTTTAAAGGCTTGAACAAAAGTGGTCAAGATATTTGGTAGGAATGGAGCTAAGCTTTGATCAGCATCTTCTTCAATGGTTGCAAATGCACTAAAAAAAAGATAATTTGATTAGATAAAAAATGAATTCATTTAAATCATTTGACTTTCATACCTGCAAGCAGCTTCTTGTACACGTTTGTTATTATCTAAAATTCTATGTAACAAATTAATAATCAAAGGTTGGAGGAGTTGTGGTCCACCTTCATTAACGATCCAACTACTGTATCTGCTGATAGCCCAACAAGTGATACTACGAACAAGTGGTTTTTCATCGTTGAGAGTGTTGATGAGATATGGAACGACATTGTGGAGATGTGGGGCCAATCCCTTGAGACAACCCTCGGCAATGGCGCCAAGTGCAAGAATCGAACTTTCTCTTACGATCCATTCGTTGCTAGCACTCATTTTTTGTTCGATGGTTGGAAGTGCAACCTTGAGGAATTCATCATTGTCAAAGATAAAAGAGAGAGTGTCCAATGCATAGGCTGAGCTCTTTCTGATCGACCATGATTCTTCTTCTCCCCAATCATCGTCATCATCGTCGTAATCCTCTTCAGGGTTTTCACCACCACTGTCACCGCCACCGCTACCACCAGCAGTGCCACCATGTACGTTGCTATTGGCAAAGAATGGTTTGATGTCTTGTGGTCTGTCTGGAACCGATGCATCCTCACCATGGTCGAGCATTTCATACTCTTCTGGAGAATAAACCATACAATTCAATAGCAATGGAACCAAAGTTGGCAAGTATTCTCTCAACAAAGGTCTGCAGTTTTGTGTTTGAGCAATTGATGTCCAAAATTCACAAGCCTCTAATGCAACTTCATCATCTTGATCCTAAATAAAATAGAGAAAGAGATTAATACCAATTGAAACTAATTGTTTGTTTCTACTTTTTCTTTTCTTCTTACTCTTGTAGCATGCAACATAAATTTGATAATATCATGAATATGTGGCATTAAAAAGTCCATTCTAATTTCAACCAAGGATACCAATGATCTGCAAACCTTTACACGAACGTCTGGAGATTCATCGCTTGTGAGTGAAAAGATACCTTGAAGGTATTTGTCCATGTTGATCAAGAGAGCACCTGGCATTCTTGGGATGAAAAAGTAGAGTGAGCTAATGGCCTTTCTACGAAACATTGGGTTTGGTGATGTAAAGAAACCCAACAATTTTGGAATCAATTGGTTGAGTGGTCTACCAATCTCTGAGCTATCCAATTGATCAGTGAAATCTTCACACAACAATGACAATGTATATAAAGCTCCCTCTACAACATGTGGATCTTGACTATCCAATCCTCCAATAAGATCTGGAAGTAAATTTTGCCATTCCTAAAAAAAAAAATTAAAAAAAAAGATTAGATCCTCTATTTTCTATCTATTTTCTTTTCTACTTACAGCAAATGAAGATTTACCAATTAGATTGGTGACAATGTTGGCAACAGTGTGACGAACATTTTGTTTGGGATCAGCCAAAACTGGAAGAACTTCACGCTTAATATAATCCTGAACTGCTCGTGGCATTGCTGGGAAATAAGATTTAATGTTTTGTTTCAACAATAAACCTGCACAATTACGAACATAATCCTCAAGCTGTGGTAGCTTTGCAAATATAAATGTCAAATAATTGTTATAATCTGGAATGCGATGAAAACCATTCAAATCCTAATAAACAAACAATATATGATTAGATTACAACTTTAAATCAAAGGTTATATGTTGTTGTTCTATCTTCTTACATTTCTAACTTTGTTTTGGTCCTCTTGATTTCCTGAATTTGTCTTTTGCAAGATGGCAACAAGTTGTCTCAATCCCTCTTCATTTGGAGCCCATTGATCACCCATTCTTTAATAATAGTAATAAAAATGTTAACAATTTTGATCTAAAAGTCTTCTTCTTCTTCTTCTTCTTCTTCTTTAGTTGGTCGTCTGCTGCTGTTGTTGTAGGTTGTATTGATAAAACTCTTGATCCTTTTTTCTTTTTAAATAACCTTACTCTTCCTACAATTATAAATCTACCCTTTTTAGATAGATAGATAAATGTATTAGGAAATGAATGTAGTGAAGGAATAGTAGAGAGAGAGAGTAGTGATTTGTGATATTAATAAACACAAAACTAGGGTTGATTAGGTGAGGTGTGTAGGGTTGATTGTTGAAAATACTGTGATGGTGAATATACAAAAAAAAAAAAAAAGAATGAATGAATGAATGAGGAACACAGGTGTTGTGCTCTTTGGTCATCTAGATTGATTGACAGGTGTTCTGCTACCCTAAATAGGTATTGTCTCAAAGAGAGACATTATCGTCATATCTACCAATACTAGAGAGTAACAATAAACCAACTACCAACTACCAACTACCACCATCGAATAAACAAACTCCTCATCATCTTTGATAGATTCAGTGTCGTCTTCCAAAATATGTAGTGCTGTATATGTCTGTCATGTGCCTGTTTGTTTGTTTGTTGTGAAGATGACCGCTACTGCAGCGCTGTGAACGTATGATATCATAATCGCATTTAAAATGTATCTCTATCTCTCACTCTCTTTGACCAAATGTGTTGTGTTGTTCTTTCTCTTTCTCCTCGTTGTTGTTGTTGTTGTTGTTGTTGTTGCAGTTGTTGTTGTTCTTACCTGTAATATCTAGTATACTCTGATGAAGTGTATATATATAACGATGGACGTGTCAAAGTAACTTTTTGTGAACAGAACAGAGCCTTTCTTGAACAAACTCCAAAACATAGAAAAAAAAATAAAAAGAGAAAACAAAAAAAAAAAAAAAACTACTCATCCCCGCTCTCGTTACTCGTCTTTTTATCAACTATAAACATTAAATATATTATCTATTTGTAAATACTACTCTACTCACAACCCCTTTGTACATACATCATCACATCCCTCATATCAAATATATAATAATGGCACAATCAGCACTTAAAGTTAATAAAGGAGCAAAGAAGGCTCCAAGAGTACCAAAGAGAGCTTCAAAAAGTTAGTAGTTTGAGTTTACAACAAGTAATCACGCGTGATTAACAGATTACACAGAAAACTGACACATACATTCATCTATCATTGTCATAATAGTTGGAATGCACAAGAAAATAGGAGCAAAAAAGGCACAATCTGAAATTACCAAAAGAAAGATTATGGTTTCAATGGAAACTGGTATCAAGAATAAGATTGAATCTGAAATGCAAATGAGAGTACAAAAGAATAATGGAAATATGTCTGTTCTCAAGATTGACAATAAGGCTGATGGTAAAAAGGGTCCAACTCCAAAACAAAAGAGAAATCATTAAAGCGGATAATAAAATATTTAATAATAATAAGTAATACCAATAATAATAATAATAATAGTAACAGAATGGATAACCATCTATACATTCCTTTAAAAATGTTATGATTTTCTATATTTTTTTGGTTTTAAAAAAAAAAGCTGGAAATAATAATAATAATAATAATTAATTACATTTCCATCCATTATTATTCTAATCCAAAAGGTGGTTTTAACGAATCTTCTTTTTGTTGTCAGAGGAAACAACCTTTCTGGTTGGTACCTTGTTGTTCCAGTAAAGTAAGAATTGAATAACAATGATGGTATTCAAAGTAGCTCCAGTCAAGAAACCAGCCAATACTAAAGTATTAATTTAAAAGAAAGAAAGTGTTATGGTTTGTTAGTTCCACATCAATATAAATATATATATTTCTGAATAATTACCAGAGAAATCATTAACCTCCTTGAGAGTAGTGAAAACACGAGCAAGACTACCACCCAAATTTAAGAAACTGGTGACAAAAGAGAGTTGACCTACACTCTTTAGTTTGTAGACGCTGACGATTTGTGGGATTTTAGAAAAGATAAAGATACCAATGTTGAGGTTTTGGAGGTTTTGTACGAGTTCCTTGTTGTGCAATTGAACAACAGCAACAACACTGATAATATAGACCAATACACCGATAAAGAAGACGGCATTGATCTTTTTAGCATAACTAAAGACCAAATAGACAATGATCAAGTTTTGAATCCAAATAAATACACTTTCACCATAGGTTGAGAATGGATATTGTAATAACCATCCTGCTAACATTGAAATGGTAAATCTATTAGGTAGTTGTATATAGTATAGTATAGTAGTATAAAAGAGAAATGAATGATGATCATATTAGTACAACCATTAGTTAACTATCTGTTTTATATGTTGTGATCGATCATACCCAACAGTTTCAACGACGATTGATAAACGAGAGATACCAGTTGGGTCCTTGCTTGATACAAGCTTTTGAATTTGTGGTACCTTGAGAATAAGAGAAAAGAATACGATGGCATAGCCGATGGCCTTGCTGATCAGTAATCCAATATCCCATTCTGGTCCCAAGTATGATCGAATGATACCGTTTGCTTGATCGATATAAATCTCCATTTTTGTTTCTATTTCTCTATCTAGATATAATGAAATGATATATATATATTAAATATAAATGTTGTATAAGAACATCTACTCAGGTTGAGACATCGAAGATATCTTGTTATTTAATTACATAAAAAAAATCAAAAAATTCATACAAAGGAAGAAATCACACCATCACAAAGTGACTCATCATACAACACACTTATAAGTCTGAATGGTTACCAACTCTAAGCAACTACTCCTCAGGAATACATAATATATTATGTCTTTGAAGAACAACATTTTCTCGAATAGTATAACCTCTGTCTCTGTCTCCCTCTTTCGCTATGTTGTATTCACTCTCTCTTACTCGTAGTGTGAGATAAGATTTTAGATCTATCTATCTATCTAACCTAATTATTTATAGATCTCTAGTCTACTCATTCGACGACGGCATTGTAATGGTGCTTTGACGAAATAGTAGTAGAATGGGGGGTGTGAATTGCTCCTCTCAACAATGCAAGCAATGCATGGTAGGTTGTTTTTTTGGGTTTACCTTCCCACGTTCTTCCTACCAAAGCGAGTTGGAATTTAGATTTGGGAAACCAGGTAGAAAGATGCTCTCTCAGTATACTGGTTTTTTTCGGTTGGCTGCTTTTGGGTTGGGTGATTCTTAAATGACACAATTGTTCATTTTGTAAATCATTATTCATTTATTCATTTATTTATCTATAAATATATACAAATAGGATTAATTATTTCTATCCTTATTTTATCTCTTTCAAGTTTTTTTTTTTTATTTAAATGATTTCATTCAACATCATTTCCTTTGGATCCGGTCACATTGCACTTTTATTCATTGGAGATTAATTTAATCAAATATTATATTGATAATTTGATTGATTGAAACAAACACCTTTAAAGGAAAAAGGAAAAGATAATATACATACTATCATCAAGCCAACCAACCAAACAAACAAATACCAACCAATACTCAAATACCAAAAAAAAACAAAAATGGAATTTTATGCCTCTTATGACTACAGCAACACCTCACGATCATCTTGCTGCCATGCCTGCAAGCGATCAATGCGTACTGCTCTCATCTCTAGAGATTTTGGAAACAAAAAGAAGGATTTTTGTTCAATGAAGTGTTATTCATCGACATCATCATCCTCCTCCTCTCCGTCTTTGCCATTGTCAAACAGCAAACCTCTGATATCAACAACAAGTCCTTTAAAAAATCAACGGAACTTTAATAATAATAACAACAGCAATAATAATAATAATATTATAACTGTTTGACAATTAGTCAAGAGAAAAAGACAATACAATAGAACACTGTAACTAATTTGGAATATTTTTATAGAAATAAAAATAAAAATAAATTATATAAAATTATTTTAATTATTAGACAAAAGACATATAAAATAGTTGGATCTAACTATTTTAATTATCGAATCCGAATCGCAAATAAATGAGTGAGGTGCGAATGATTTATAATTCTAACTTATTCTTTTTTTAAATTATTATTAATTGTCAATTTTTATCACTACCCCTAATCGACCAATGGAGATGGCTCCCCACCCCTCACTGACACAAAAGTATATAATTCCCACCACCCTTCCTTTTGGAAATAATAATAATTTTTTAATAGGATAGAGAAGAGTGGTTGTTTGTTTGTTTGTTTGCTTGATGCTACTGCAACACACATACATATATACCAACAAAACTCCTCAAAATTTGTTGTTGTTTTATTGATTAGTATTATTTATTTATTATTTGTTTAGACTCTCTCTATCTTTTTTACCAATATCTATATAAATTATATTTTAACATCGTTCAACTAGTAGTAGGATTATTTAAATCTTTAATTTAATTAGTAATATACATACATATAATATTCAATACAACAGAGATACATTATTATTATTATGACAGATATATCAAAAAAAAATAATAATAATCTTCCATTAAAGGAGGAAGAGGAAGAGGATGGTGGAAATGAAATTTCATTTGGAGAGATGAGTAGAGCTGATTTGATATCAACCATTAGAGAGATTAGAACAGAATATTTCGACCTCAAGGACAGATACAAAGGCATCAAAGGAAAGATTGGTGACAAGGAAAAGGATATCCAGTTCCAGAGAAAATTGTTGACCGAGCGCGAGGACTTGTTGTTGCAGCTGCAGTGGGAGGAGAACCAAGACATCAACTACCTCCAACAGGTCGGTGCGACCGACGACGACAGCAAGGCACGCCAGGTCAAGATGAAGGCACTGCTCGACCAGATGCGTGTCATGGAGCAGGGTATTTTCGATCGCGACTACAAGATCAAGCAGTTGGAAAAGACCATCGAGAACATCACGCTCAAGCAGATCGACCGTCCCACCGGCAGTCTTGCAGTCGTTGTAGATGGTGCCACCTCTAATCCACAACTACTCCAACAAAAGATGGACGAAGAGAATCCACTAGGACGTTCTCATCTGATTGATCCATCCATCATCACATTGGAAGGCAAGGTTTTAGAGACAGAGATCAAGAGAAGTATCTCAGAGTATCCATTGCCACCGCTCAAGATACCAACTCCTCAACTTGGAAAGATCGTACCGGTCGAAGAAACATACTCTACCGCTACCATTTCGTCACCAGCACCTGCCACCATTTCATCGGCCAGTTCTACACCCGCCACAACACCATCTCTTTGGAGAGGTATTTCTTCATGGTTTAGCACTCCAATTCAATCAAATGGTACTATAACCATTCCTCTTGATCCAAATTCTACTGATGATAACAATACAACCAGCAACAACAATAACAACATTATTATTAATACTACATCTGCTACTACAGTAACATCTGATGCTTCTTCATCCACTTCTTCATCTTCCATTTCTTCATCAAACTCTTAAAAATTAAATAATAATAATAATGACACATCTTTTTATGTATCTTTTACTACAAAACAAACCAAACCTCCTCCTCCTTACTACCATCATCCACCATCAAACAAAACAAATAAAATCTATTTTAAAAATCAAAACAGAACTCTCTCGAAAAGGCGATTGATGGCCTCCTTATTTTATTTCCCGATTTTTTTGAATATAATTTTCGGTGCCGTTTTCAGTGTGTGGAACCAACTGCCCTGTTGTGATGTTAACCTCGCGAGCTCAAAGAGTATTCTTACTCTTTTTATGATATTAGTAATACTTTTCTTGTTTTTGTGACCTCATGATGAAAGGAGGCTTCCTTCTCCATCATCATAAACACACATCATAAATAAGATAGTTATATTTTTTCTTCTTCTTATTATTTATTTTATTTATTCTCTATTCTCTTGTTTTGTTGTTGTTATCATTTATTATTGGTTTCAATCGAATTCAAAACACCCACCCCCACTTACACTAGTATAACACACACACCAACACTATTGACTATAGACGACACTTTGCAATATTACCCACACACTACACTCATTACACTTCAATCTTTAAATAAGTACTTCTTGATTTATATATTTTTTTTAAATACTGTTGTTGTTTAAAACAAAAAGAAGAGTTATTTTTTTTCTCTTTTCTCCTCACAACCAACAAACAAAATATAATATAATCAATTGTTATTTATTACCAAATGAAGATTTGAAATTAATAATTCCAGAAAAGAAAGAAATAGAGAAAAATGAACAAAGGAGTAGAGGGAAATCAAATCCAACATGGTGAAGAAGAGTACTCTTATATCAGTGCTGGTGGAGGAGTAATCATTACATTGGCCATTGTTTTAATACAGTATCTCTCGATTATCATCTATTTGATGATGTGTATATTTATGTCTATAGCCACTTATATGGGTTGTCATCGTGGTCCATTTGGAAAACATCCACATATTGTAAGTAATCAAACTAAAAGTCAATCAATATAATATAATATAATATTTATTATTTACCATCTTTTTACTTTTTTTATTTTTTATTTAATTAGATAAGATTTGGATTTTTACCAGGATTATTGGGATCAGAATTATGTTTACATTTAATAATATTGGTTGGATCAGTATCATTATTACTTTGGAAATTTAATTTATTTATTTATTTTATTCCAAGGGTTGGATTATTGGCACTTTATCTTCCAAGTAGTTTCTTCCTTTTGATAACTTATTTTTCCGGATTCAAAACTAGAAAAGTTGCTCAAAATGTATTAAATACTTTTTGTGGTACTACTTCTTCCTCTTCATCTCCATCTTTATCATCATCTGCATCATCATTGGACATTAAAAAAAAATATGAATATCAACCATCAAACAAATTATCCGCAGTCATCCACATTATTCGAAGTGCTCAAAGAGAGGCATTTTCACTGGTAGAGTCGTTCCTTTTACAATTTAGAAAACACAAGAAAAAAGACGAGGATCATTCAAGTCACGTCCCCAATCCAAATCCATGGTCCATTTCATTTTGGCTCAAGATGTTGATTCCACTACCCCATCCACATTATCCCAACGTTAGTCGTATCCGTCATATTCCATATGGTGAAGAAGCCTACCAAAAGGTTGATGTCTACTTTCACAATACCTTCCCAACCAACAGACCTATTCTTGTACATATTCATGGTGGCGGTTGGAGAGAGGGAGGAGGTAAGAGAAACACTTGCAGTCTGCCACTCATCTACCAAATGGCCAACCAAAAGTGGATAGTTTTCTCGGTTGGCTACCGTCTTGCACCAAACCATCGTTTCCCAACCCACATCAACGACGTCAAGAGAGCCATCACATGGGTGCGTGAAAATGCCGTTCACTATGGAGGTGACATTGACTGTATGTTTCTTGCTGGCGGTAGTGCAGGTGGTCACTTGGCGACTCTAGTTGCCTTGACCGATGGAATTGAATTTAAAGATTTTAAATCTTCAATCCCTTCCAAACCAATGTCTCCCGACCTATTCAACTTTGGTCCAGATGGAGCTGATCTCCCCTCCTCGACAGAGACTACTACTGACCAACAACCAAAACCTCTAGAGGAAGAGTTGGAAGAAAATATAAATATCAATATGAATAGTTTAAATATGGAAGCAAAGACCAAGAAACAGTATCCACCATTTAGAGGATGTGTTTCATTGTATGGTGTATATGATTTTACTAATCGACACAATCAGTGGCCATTTGATTTGGTTACTTATTTGGGCATGATGATTATGCGTAATACCTATGACCAAGAACCACACATCTATTCCATGGGCTCGCCATACGACCAAGTCAAAGAGACCTCCAACACACCATTCTTTTTTATTCATGGTGATATGGATGAATTGGTTCCAATCGAAGAGTCAATACACTTGATGAACAAAATGAAGCAAGTCGTCAACAAACCAAACATCACTTGGATGGAAGTACCCGGTGGTCACCATGCCTTTGATCTCGTCTTTAGTCCTCGTACCATATTTGCAGTTCATGGAGTCTATAGATTCCTAAACAAACTTTATCGTCAACATGTTTCCGACAAACTTTTGGAAAGAAGACAATCCAAACAACGTTCAAAATTATCTGACAACAATAGTAATAATAATGGTCTGCACATCAACAGTATCAACAATAGTAATATTACAACAAATATTTTACCAACTTTAAATTTAAATTCACCAATTGTTTCAAGTCATTTCGAACCACCAATACCACTTCCAATTCCAATTTTGACAAAACAATAAAAAACACAAAAAGTATAATAATAATAATAATATTATTATTACGTATATTTTAAGTTAGCTAATGAATTATCTCTTATTGCTTTAAAAAGATAATTGGAACTAAATAATTATATATTTCAATATGTCTATAATTATTTTTTTTTATTATCACTTGTGTATGTTGTTGATTGATAAAAAGGTATCAAGTTATTTTTTTACATATGTTGTTATTATTATTATCGATTGTTGTTGTTGGTTGTTGGTATCCATATATCTGTGTGTTTTAGTTTGATTGATTGTGTATTTTTTTTTAAAGATTCATAATTGCTGCTGGTTTTTCTTTTTCCATTTCTTTTGTTGTTAAATTTATGATATCAGAATCTAGACTATTTGATAGACTCTTGTTACCCTGAGTACTAATATCGCTAGTACTATAGTTTTTGACCAACTGATCAGTTGTCAAAGAAGATGATGGGAGTGTTAGGTCTTCGGCAGATGAAGAGGGAGGTATTGGTGTCATTTCGATATCCTCTTGCATTTCAATGCCCATGGTTTCCTTGACGAAAAAGTAGGTGAGGACCATACCAGAAAGTGCCAAGCCAGCACACACGATGAGCGTGTTGCCAAGACCATAGGCTTCGAAAAAGGGAGAGATGGCAGCTCCACCAACGACAGCTCCAATTTTGCCGCAGGCAGCCGAGAATCCGTGGCAGGTGGCTCTGATGCGAGTGGGGAACGACTCGGACGGCAGCACAAAGGTGGTGGTGTTGGGACCGGCGTTGGAAAAGAAAAAGGTCAGTCCGTAGAGGATGATAAAGAGCCATTTGATCTTGACGATCCACTGAAAGGTGATTCCCATGATGAGGTAGGTTAGGCCAAGACAAAAGAAACCAGCGAGCTGCAGCGTTCGACGTCCGATACGGTCGATCAGGAAGACGCCGACAAAGTAGCCGGGCAGACCTAAAAGTGCAAGGTAGATAGAGATGGTGACAGTGTTGAGAATCTTGTCGTAGGGTGTGGCCGCATTGTCAAAGTTGAGGACCGACACGATGGTGGCGTTGAACAGACCGTTGGCATAAAAGGTAATGTCAAAGATGAACCAGCCGCCTGCAGTACCGACCAACGTGCGCCAGTGATACTTGATAATATACGCAAATACCTGACGTTTGGAAAGATGCTCGCGATACTGCTTTTGTTTGGCAAACGAATCAGTCTCTTTCATTTTAATTCTAAAGTAGATCATGATCAATCCAGGGACACCTCCAAATCCAACAGCTACACGCCACACAATGTCCAAGTGGTTGGGTCCGCATATATGGAGCAGTGCAATGACGACGAGCGGCGACAGGATGATACCGACACCCTGCATTGAAAAGACCGATGCCACTTGTGCACCTCTCTTCTTTACATCTTCGCAAGTCTCACTCGAGATGGTGGCAGACAAGGGATACTCGCCGCCAATGCCAAAGCCCAAGAGTGCTCTCCAGAGGGCCAGCATGATGAAAATATTAAAACCGTCGCTTACATTAAACGACAGGATCGATCCAAATGCACCGACAATGATAAAGGACAAGGTGATGATAAACCCTGTTCGACGTCCCACACGGTCGGCCACAAACCCAAACACCAACTGTCCAGTCACTGCTCCCCAAAGTGCAGCCGTAGACACTACCGATTTCGAACTCTTGAAATCTCCATACAATGTTTCAAGTATAACAATCACCAAATTAATTACAAATAGATCATATGCATCACATAGAAATCCTAAACAAAAAAGAAAATAATAAATAATTAGTAATATTTCTTTAGTCTATTTAGTTTGTTTACATACCAGTTCCAGCAACCAATGTTCTTTGAACTCTAGTTAGAAATGAAATCTGTTTTTGAAAGAATGATGATGACGATGATGAATGTGAATCGGAAATAATAGGTGAAGATAATAATGAATCGTGGTTTGTTAGTTTGACGTATGAATTGCCTTTGTGTTGTTTAGAGTGGTGTGATGATGATGATGATGTAATAGAGGATATGTTGAGAGGTGATAAAGGTGCACCACTAATGTCACCATTGTTGTTGTCTTGATCCCCTTCCTCTGTCAATGAATAGGTGAGTGTCACAGATGGAGTATTTAAATTAATGTCTGTAATGACATCGTCGTCATGTTCCTCACTTCTTGTCAATAATGATTTTTCATTATCCTCTTCATTATTCATTTTTTTTTGGTGAAGATAAATATATAACTATAATTGATTGATTGATTGTTATATCTTTATCTATCAATCTTTAACTGTATGATTATTATATTAATATTATTATTATTATCCCAATTATCATCCACCATTGGTTTAAATATCTTTGATAGAAGTTATATATATATATTAAAGAAATAAATAATGATTATTTATATATAAATAAACAATGAATGATGTTGATGTGATGGATGACTACAATTATTATTTAATATTGCATTGTATATTTATATTTGTCTACTTTTATAAATAAGTCGTGAGTTGAGTGGGTGAAGGGGGTGTATGAAGAGTGTGTTTCGACGAATGGATTAATATTTGTTTGTAACACTGGACAAGACAATGAGAGCAAGAGAGGGACTGGGGATATCAAAAGCTGTTAATAAATATTTAAAACATAAAATAGGTTGATCAAATAAATATTTAAAGTGGGAAGCGTTAGGTCATGTCTCTGGTCAAAAGGGTCATGCTTATTGTCTTTGACCCCCCTGGCTTATATTCCAACCACCCCCGGTTTTAGAAAGACACAAATTTGCGGGAATATGAGAAACCATTTTTTTTAAATTAATTATTTTACAAAGATGACGATTCTCGATTCCCGATACTATCAGAAAACGACACTTCTGAAAGTCCACTTTACTAAAAACACAAAAATGTGAAGAGCAAAGACCTAAAGACGAAGAGGTCTTACTTAAAACTTACTTTGACAACAGGATATTGAGAGGTAATATCAGTAGGACTTGGATCAGAGATAATATTATGACGGTCTGACTTTGTACTTAGGGTAGCCACCGAAGTATCTTCATTGATCGAACTTTCAGAAGGTGTCGTACAACTACAGCTTCCATCTAGTGGTATGGTATATGGTGTATCTACTTCTTCTTCTTCTTCCTTTAGAATCATCATTGGATCAGATACCCTAGGTGACAATACTCCATCTTCACATATTGATTTCAATTTTGAATGTTGTTTAATATTTACTCCTAGGAAGTTTATATTTTAGAATTAATATTAATGTCTTTGGATGGGTATGGAAAAATATATATATATATTTTTTAAAATATTTACCATCATATTTTATAACATTAAAATTATTATTTTTATGGAAATTAATTGATCCATCTGTATTTATATTTTGTTCGAGGTGGTTGTATTCTTTAGGAGTGCATGGTTGCTCCACTATTTCAATTAGGTCGGTTTTCATGATTGTGTGTTTTTTTTAGAGAGGGACTCTTTGGTTCGGGATATATTCTTTTTAAAAAGAATAGGAAGAGAAAGGAGTTGGTAGGGTAGGTGTTTTGGAAAGGTGGAAGGATTGTTCCAATATTGTTTGTATTTCACACACAAACAATAATGAAGAAAAAAAAAAAAAGAGAATCGATTTTTGTTTTTTTTTTTTTATGGAAATGGGAGAGTTGTCCTAGTTTAATATATACGGAAAAGATATTTTAAAAAATGTTATTCCACTAGGTCTATAAATTGAAAAACATTATTAAAGACTAATTGGATAGGTTGGTGATGGCGGTTTGGATATATATATGTTGACGACAGCACACTTTTATATATATACTTATTTCCTATATTCTCTTTCTTCTTCTTCTTCTTCTCTCTAGTTTGTCTAGACTTTTAAAACACAACAACTATACAACCAACGACAATGACTTTAGCACTACATGCAGTATATGGAAGTGTGCTATTTAAACCATGATAATTATTGGCAACACTGGATAACACTACATCTAATGACCTATCATTGAATAAAAAATATCTATCCTATCTATCTATCTTCACCATCCCCCCTCCCCATCCCCACACCCAACATCACGATTGTCAAAATTAAATTAATTTCAAACACCTGTGTTTGACTGGGTGGGTAGAAAGAAACAAGTAATCTCGTTCAGTCGATCGCCAACATTCAACAATGGTGTAGTAGTTAAATTTAATTCTTGTCGACACTGTAGATGTAGTAAGTATCATCGACAGAAAATGATACTGATACATGTCAGTGAGGGTTGAGGATACTAGTTTTCATTTTATCTATTGTGGGTCAGAAAATCTAAGAAAATGAATCCAATGGATAGTACTTTACAAAAACAATTGGAATGAATCAAAAATAGAATAGATTAGTATATATAAATATGAGTTGGAGGGTATGGGTAATTATATTTTGATATTATTTTTATTCCAACATTTTCTAATTTTTTTTTGTTTTGGATAGATTGCATCATCATCATCAATTCGTATATGATAATAATAATAATTATTGGTTTGAAAAAAGACAATTCTATGGAATGTCAGTTATTATTATTATTATTATTGTCCAACTATTACTATAGATTAGCTATCTCATAAAATGGAATAGTTGGTTGCCATTAATCAAAATTGATTTATTTCTTTCTATTGTTCATGTAGAACGGGAGTTACAAAATCCAAAAAGCAATTGGTTTATAAATAAAGAATAAATTAATATCTCTTCGCCATATTGATCAATTGAAAATATCCCTAAAAACAAAAAAATAAACAATTAAAAAAAATTAATAGTATGGTTGGAGAATGAATGGATCTATTTATCTATCTAGATATACATGATTATCACAGACACACATATAATAAACACACACCACTATTAATATTTTCTTGAATAAATTTAAACAACAATGTAGAGAATAAAATCTAAATAAATATTCTGTGAAGGAATCTCTAAAATTTTACTCAACACACACACCGTTGTTTAAAATTATTCACACCTTTTAATTGGTGAATCGGGACAACACACACACATATATATATAATGGATGCGGGATAGAGGATATATGTATATTTTTAAAAATATGATTTTGTAGATCTTTTATCAAAAACACCCAACCAATAAATATTTCATACTGTATCCATTCGATAGCTGGCTGTTGGTTTGATTAGAGAAACCCAGAGTAGAGTGGATATGTTTCATTATTATTATTATTATATTGTTTGTTGCTATTGCTGACATGTCATTTGTTTTTAAAATGATGATGATGGATTAATAATATTATTAAAATTGGTGTAAAATGGCTTAAAATGTGAATGTGGGAAAACGATCAAAGGTGATGGACAAATCATTTGTTCGTTATGCGCAATCCAATCCAATCCAATCCAATCCAATCCACTCTACCCACCACGATACACAGTAGTTGGTGATCACAATCAATCACCAATAAGATTTGGATTAGATTTTACAATTTACACCTTTATCATTGATTCATATGCATTTGTATAATGGTTAAGCATTGTATACTAGTGACTTGACAAGAGTGTACACAAGCAAGTTGGTCGATGCCAGATAAATGATATGTCACATGTCACATGTCACAGTTGTTGCTGCTGTATGATTGATTTCATTGAATCGAAAAAGAGAGAAGGAAAAAAAAAAAAAGAGTAGGTAGTGAAATAGTAGGAAGAGTGGTGGATAGCGGATGAATCAACCAACCATTTACCGTCACAATCATACCACCCGTTAATTTACAAAGTGTGATGGCGATGGTGAAGAAGAGCACCAAACAAAGAATCTTCCAAAACACCAGCCAGCCAGCACTCGTTTTCCACAACAATTGTTAATTACCTATAAATACCAAACTATTTTAATGTTAATTGTCATCAATCACAATATTAAAAAGCTTTAATATCTACATTATTTTCCTATTCTCTAAAAAATATTCTTACTAAAATGAACAAATTCTTTGTATTTGCCTTGGTCGTCTTGTTTGTCGCCACCATTTCATATGCCAACTGTACCAGTACCGGTCCATCTTCTTCGTGGGCTACCACCACTGGTGTCCCAACTCCACCACCACCTCCAAGAACTACTGCCCAAGTATCAAACAGCGTCAATGCCCAAATCACCGGTGGTAATGGAATTGCCAAAGTAGACACTGAACATGATATCCAAACCCAAACCGAAGATTATGCAACTCACCTCAACACCAAGTCAACTACTAAGCTTTAAAAGTAGTAATAGTAGTAGTCTTGCTTGGCTGTTGTATAAGGTTATGTTTATCAAAATATATCCATCCAGCCACCAACGACAAATTTATATTTATATATGTATTCAAAATAATTGTTGTATCCATAATAATAATAATACTTTCCAAACCAAAATTAAATAAATTCCCAAATTTGTGTAATCTTTGCTTCAAATAATAGTCTTTTAATATATACACATATATGATTTATCTTGGTATATCATATTCCAAACTAATAAAACAAAAGGAGAGAGAGAGTGATTATAATAATTGGAATTCAATCTATTAAAACAAATAAAGGTAAGTTTTTAAACTTGTTGGTTGATTAGATTGATTCTCTCTCCTCTCTCTATAAAAATACGTACGAAACATATATATGTGTTTTCATTTGTTATTTACTAAATCTTTATAAAGATTCTAATATTCAATAATAATAATGCACAATAAGATTATAATCTTTGTCTTTGTATTCTTCTTTTTGGTATTGGCGATGATGACTACCAATCATCATAACCATTATGTATTGGGTAATACTTTAAATGTGGAAGGTGATAATGATGGTACTACTTCTACCACTACTACAACTACATCATCACCTTTGTATTATGACAATGTCTCCAAAAAAGTTGAACAAAGAGCATCTCTAGATAGAGCACGTGCTCATATTCGTGGTGGTCATCAAAGAAGAGGTCACTAGATTAATCTAAATAAATAAACATGTCTATATTTATATCTATATAATTTCAACAACAAAATAAACTATTGAATAGAGAGACAAAACTCAAATATTTAATTATTTTTAAATACTTTTGAGTTTGTGTCGACTCGACACTCTCTGCACCCACCTTTGACAAGAAAGTTATTTTACATTTATAGTTCTTTGGTTCTTTTCTAAGGAGCATAAGGTTATAATGACGGTAACTGAATGACTTTGTGCTATCATTAGAAATATATATTTAATAATTTTTGAACTGTCTCTTTCACTACTTTTGATTAGAGACAGAACCCCAACCCACCCAAACTTTAAATTAAATGAAAATATAATTATACTTGAGAAAAATGAACAATACAATGAATATAGATATCTATCTATAGATATCTATCTATAGATATCTATACATATGTATGATATATATTCTATATGTATGGGTCGATTATGATTGTTGTTGTTTATTTTCAGAAGCTAAAACTAAAGCAAAATGAACACCTAATGAGAGATCGGTGATATGGTGGTCAGATGGGAATGTATAGAGTTTTGGTTGATCGGTGATGGTGGAGAAGAATGAACCTTGGAGTTCACGATCAAGTTGGAATGAACGACTCGGCCAGAGAAGGACGGAACGTGTGGATGGGTTGTCAATGCCTTCGAGGATGACACCAGTGTGCGTGAAACTGGTAGCAACCTTGACGACACGTTTATCGGCAAATTCTTTCATTTCAATGCGCTTGGCATGCGTGTCGACGGTATTCCAAGCGTACAACTCTCCTTGGTTGGTGACTGCAAGCGAGAGGTTGTCACCAGCAGCGATTTGTACAATCTGGGATGACTCAAGGAACCCAGTAATCTCGACGACACGACTCTTGAGCGCGGCAAAGTTGGGTAGTGACGCCAAGGCGTTGTCAGAGAGTGATTGTGGTGTGTAGTGGATATGATCCTTTTTGCTCGATGCAATGGCACCGCACCCCCATTGATAGACACGTCCGCGTCGATCTAATGCGACCGAGTGGAATGGACCGCTGGTGATTGTGGCAATATCGAGGTCGTAGAGCTGCTCTGAGAATGTTGGGATTGGCACAAACGGTTGGTTGTCAGCCATGGCGAGCTGACCGTCGTCGGCCTTGCCACACGACAATACCTTACCCTTACTCGTTAAAAAGTGTGAGTGGTACAACCCACCCGACGACACTTGCACAATATCATACATTGACAACGACGGTACCACCGACGGCATCTGCACATTGTATATCGTGCCAATACCCATCTGACCGTACAAGTTATTGCCCCATGTAAACACCTGTGTCGATCCATCCATCTCACGTGTCACAGCAAAGTTGTGCCATCCACCCAACCCAACATCGATCACCTTGTTTCGTGGGAACGATGGCTTTCTAACTGAATGTGGAATATTCTCAACCACACTTGGTAATATCGATGTCAATGTACCATCCTTGTGTCCAATTTGGAATTGTGCATTTGATCCCCATGTTAACAAATCACTTGTATCTAAAATAAATAAAAGTAGTAGTAGTATAGTTGATTAATATTCATCATTGTCATTGTAACTTTTGTTTGATCAATATAAGTACTTGTCAAGATGGCAGAATGTGAAATAGAGGAACGAAGTGATTTGATAGATTCCTTTGTTAATGTTTCCATAAATATAAATTGTTCTTCTGATACGCAATCACCCAATCCCAATTGACCTTGTGTATTGGTTCCAATTGAATAGACAGCAGTTGGTTTAAAGTTTTGTTGATCTTGCATTTGTTGTTCCAATTGTTCTGGTGATTGAGAGATGGGTGATGAACTGATAAATGATGGTAATCCCAATGTTGCTGATCTATCCATTCCAAGTGGTGGTTTACTCCATTTAAATCCCTTTGTTGATCAACAATGATGATGAATGTTAGTCAAGTTGTTCTATTCTGTCATGTCATTGTGTAATATTACATACCAATTTTGCTTTATCTACATTCAAACCACCCTTTAATGACTTTAATTGTTGGTGTTGTAATTCTCTTATCTTGAGTAACTCTTGTCTCTCTTGTTGAAACTTTTCTTGATCTTGTTTCTCTTTGATTTGACTATCCTCTCTTTTCATTCTTTCAAACAACTTCTTTACAAATGATGAATATGATCTTCCATTACTACAACTACTACTACTACCACCAGTCGTGGTTGTAGACAATATAGATGTAGATGTGCTCAACAACAACCTTTGTTGAAGTTGATTTGTTCCTAATCTATACATCTCTCTTCTCTTCAATACTAAAAATCAAATGTAAAATGATCAAGCAGATAAATTAAATTAAAAAACGACAATGAAATATATATTTATTTTAATTCTTTATTTTGTATTTAATTAATATTAATTAATACAATACTAGTATGTACAGCAGTGTAGAGATTATTTATTTATTTATTATTACTCAAGAATGGAGGTTGATTTCTTTTAAAATGAAGATAGAGTGGTTCATAAGAAGAAGAAGAATAATCAGATTGATGAATATTCTTTTGGAGGGTTGTTGTTGTTGTTGTTATTGTTGGTCTTTTTCTTTGGGTTATAAAACCTCCAATAAGGGATGGTTTATCAATTATCAATACATTAGAGTTGTCCAATCTTCTAATATCCAATAGAGCAGATACTTTATTAAAAACCAAAACTGTCAACTCTTGAACATTGGTTTGATTGATCACTTGGTCTAATCTAATACTGAATTTGTCACTTGGAGAAGCAAATGAAAACTTCCACTTTAATTGTTTGATATTCGGACCAAGTATCGATATCGTAGTATTGTTTGCCGGCGTTCTATTTTTGTTAGCATCATCCACATGTATACAATCTAATAAAGAAATACTTGGAGTTTCCACACCACTACTACTATTACTATTATTATTATTATTAAAGAAATTGGGAGCTAGAATTGATAATGATGTAGTTGATTGTGGAAGTAGTTTTGTATTGATATGATCAGAAGTATTTGGAAAATATTTTAGTTTCTCTAATAGACTAGGAAATATAAATGGGACGCCTGTATAACGGTCTAAATGCAAGTGATATCCTTTCCAAGTCAATTGTTTGATGGTATCTGGGAGTTTGAAAGATTGTACTACCGCTTCTGATGGTCGTTGATTGAATTTAAGAGCCAACTTGACTACAGATGGTGGTATTAAACCAGTGTATCGGTACTTGTGACTCATAGTCATGTCAAGACTGGTTACACCGTGTGGGATATAACTTTGGTCAGAGTGGTCGAGATGTGAAACCATACCTTGGATTTCAAGATGTTTCAAAAATGGTAGAACAACAATGGACGGTCCGTTTGTCAGTGTTGGGATTTGTTGTGATTGTTTAATGAATTTCATATATGTATCCGTTGAAACAACGAGATGTGATAGAGTATTTGGTATGAAATTAATAGTAGAGTACCGAAGCAACTGTAAATGTTTGAGTGTTGATATTGACTGTGAAAGGACAATGTGACTCTTTGCATCCATAATGAGTGTTTCAAGAGATACTAGTGGTTCGAGATCCAAGCAAAGAATTCTGATTTCATAATAACGGATTTGGAGATAGACTAATGAAACTAGTGGTCGGAAAAAGTCAGGCTGAAGAGCACTTATCGATAAAAGTGTGATGGATGTTAAACTGGTCGGCAGCGATCCTTTGGGGATACTCTTGATACCCTCCAACTTGAGAGTAGTAAGCGACAAGAGTGCGAGGAAATTGAATGTCCACTGCTGTTGGTAGGGACCAAATGGTAAAAGTACAAATGTTTTTAGACCCAGTGGTAGTTGTATAGTGTTGTTGGATTCGATCCGCGCTATCAACAACCTCAACGTCTCTATATGGTTACCCAAGAATATCTTTTCACAGTTGATAGCTCTACAAGAAAGTACTAGATCTTTGACCGATGGTGGTATGTACCCGAATGGATGATTGACTGGTTTTGATGGATTACGAATCAACAATACTCTTGGAGTAGATGGTAACTTTGTTATGTGAGTGTCACTAATATCATTATTGTCATTTAGAAGAAGAACAATCTTTTCAATAGACGACAATGACGAAGAGGAGGAAGAGGATTGGTTGGTTTCTTCTTTTTCTTCTTCTTTTTGGTCGATATTGAATCGATGATTATTATTATTTGTTTCCAAAACATAAAAGTTTACTAATCCATTTGCTTGAACATGTTTAGTGTTGTATGTATTATCACTAGTGACAATCATCATTTGATTTGACAATGCATTTGCAAATATATGTTTGAATGATGGTAAACATGACGATGATGATAACCGATCAAGTAGATATTCATTCAAACAATCTTTTGCATTAATATAACCAATATCTTTGAACCGAATATTCTTGTGTTGTCTGATCGAGTAATACAACCTCTTACAAGTCAACAAAAAGCATATCAAATCTACATTATCATCTATCTTTTCAATGATATTCAATAGTATTAGATTAGATAACTTCTTTACTTTTATATTATTATTATTATTATTATTATTATTTTGTTGTTGTTGTTGTTGTTGTTCTATTCTAAATGGTCTGTTGGTGGTTGAGGGTCGCTTCAAGAAGAATACAGTGACAGCTATTGCTATAGTAATAGAGAATAGTACAACAGATATATATGACATTATTCATATTTATATATCTATCAAACTTGGTTTGTACAATGAACTTGGAAAACTACTTTCTCCCGTATGTGTATTTTTTTTTCTTTCCTTTTTTTTTAAAATGATTTATATTTTAAATATTATTATTATATAAAGTAATTACTTCTTTATAACAACTAAGATTAGTATTTATTACATATTATATGGTTCAACAAGAACCTTAACCTTAACCGTTTGTTGAAAAGTAAATTCGACAATTATTATCTTTTGATAGAGTGACAAATACACCAGAGATTGATTGTTTGTCAATGATTAACACTTTGCCAGACTCTCTTTCTAATCGACGAATATCAAATACAACCGATTCATTTTCATATATAATAGTAAGCAATTGAACGTTGGTTTGATTGATAATTTCATTTAAACCAAAATAGGAGGCCCCTCCCTCCTTTTGATTATTATCATAGGGTTTTCTACGAACAGGAGGACTAATCAAACAAGTCAACTGTTTGATATTTGGTGGAAGAATCCAATCGTTACTATTATTATTACAGTTGTTATTATTTTGATTATTATTACTTGATTGAAATTTAATATTGTATGATTGTTTAATAGTATGTGATAATGAATAAATATTTGTATTTGGTATGGTTGTAATTAATGAAATAATCAATGATGTGAGTGATGTTGGAAGTTGACTATATTTTGATTCATCATGCAATGAGGAGGGGGAGAAGGAGATCATGTTTCTAGAAGCATGTTTTATCCAAGACAATTCTTTTAGAGAATTCTTGGGAAGATAATCTAAATTGATTGGACCACCATAATTTCCAAGTGACAATTTTTCAACAGACATTGGAATGGTACCCTCTAAAAGATGATTAGGTTGGTTGACAGATAGGTCAAGACTAGTGACACTATTTGGTATCAAACCAACGGGAACCGGTGAATGACATTGAAAGAGACATAGCTTTTTGAGTGTCAATGGAAGAGTACGACTTGGTTGTGGCACCGACATTAAAACATCAAATGATATACTAAGACTCTCCAAGAACTGTGGTATATGGTCAATGTAAACCCTTCTAGTATTCGGTGCCAAGAATATATGTTTGAGACTTGAGTGATGGGGTAGTTTAAAATCAGATAGATAATATTGTGAGACATCTAATGTTTCGAGATTGACAAGAGACTGGAGATCAATACAATGGGATGGGATGCGTGATGGAGGTGCGAACCATCCAATATAAAGGTAGACGAGTGATGTCAATGACTGGAAGAAATCGAGTGGAGGGGGATCGTATATATCTAGTTTGAGAGATGTCAAACTTGTTGGCAGGGCACCTGTTTCAAGACCAGCTGTTTTAAGTTCCAATGTCCTTAGACACAACAATTGGTTTAATTCTAGGTCTTGCCACGGTATGTATTGTTTTGTCTTGTCACAATCAAATACAAGTGACTCTAATCCTCGTGGAAGATAGACTTGACAATAGATTGATTCTATTTGTAGATACAATGATTTGATGGTACTTGGCAACACACCTTTATCAATATCAACATATTTAAAATAAAGAATCAATCTTGTAACTGATGGTGGTATAAAAGAGAGTTGATAGTCTAGATTACCCTTTACATTATCAATAGCCATTGATGATGATGATAAAGGTAACCTTAACTGATGACCTGGTTGACCAATACCATAATCCTTGTCAAGTGACATTAAAACAGTATCTACTCTATCAAATTCTTTACCATCATATGCATTATTGTCCTTGTCGTAAAGTACATGAATAATTGATTGTTGTTGTTGTTGTTGTTGTTGTTGTTGTTGTTGTTCCTTTAACTCTGAATGAGGAGAGACCAGTACCAGTTGATTTGAAATTGTATTGTCAATCATCTCTTTGAATGATGGTAGACAACCCACGGAACTACCATAGTTGCAAATCTTCTTCTTCTTCTTTGGTGTACACAGTAGACTTTTAGAGTTGACATCAATGTACTTTATATCTTTGAACCGAATATTCTTGTGTTGTCTGATCGAGTAATACAACCTCTTACAAGTCAACAAAAAGCATATCAAATCTACATTATCATCTATCTTTTCAATGATATTCAATAGTGTTAGATTAGATAACTTTACTTCTATATATTCATTATTATTATTACTATGATTGAACATCTTCTGACTATCTATCTATCTATCCATCTTAGTGCGACAGATCATCTTGTCAAAGATATTATTAAATTTTTAAAATTAAACTTTTCCTCATCCATTCTCTGCAACCCCCGTCCCTACTTTTTTTTTTTTTGGTAGTGCATAGTTATAATTTGTACAACATAGAAAGAAATGAAAGTATTAACAATAGTATCAATTGTATTGGTTATATTTACTATTGTAACCTCTGTCTACTCATTTACACCAGTTGAATGTGATTTGTGTAGATTGGCAATAGATGAATTAGAATCCATGGGAACCAAGGATAATATTACCTACGATGATATGTATGGTGCTCTCGAAAGACTATGTAATTCTATTCCTAAATATGGTTCAATGGTATGTAATACATTAAGAGTAAAGATAGAGAGAGAGACATTAACACTTTTTTTTATTAAAGTGTAATACATTTTTAGATTACTCTGGACCATTGATTATTCATCAAATTCTAAATGGAACAAGCAGCCAATCGGTATGTGAAGAGGTACAAATCTGTACTGCTTCTCAACAACAATATCTCGAAAAGAGAGCCAACATCAAGAAGGGTTTGGAACATATGATCACCATTGAAACTGCATCGATTCGTGACACCTCTACCAAGGGACAAGCCGTTTACGAAATGCAAAAGACCAATCGTATCAACAAAAAGTCTAGAACCGTTGCTACCTTTGAGGCAATCAAAGAGGAAGTAACCAAAAATAATATTGTTGTTGGTGCTCCCAATGAATCATTCCGTAATGTCGTTCCAGTTGCTGCACCCATTATCGATGCTGATGAAGAACAACAAGATACAGTAGTCATCAAGAATCATCAAAAAAGAAAGTTGACTACTCTTGACAAGAAAAAGCACATTGAAATGTTAAAGAGCAAACTTAATTTCTAAATCATCCCAAATGGACAAAATCTATAGATTTTAATAGATCAACACAACAATCTAATCTAATCCCAATCCCACTCTAAATTAATAATAATAATAATTAATGTATAATTCTTTATCCACCCATCCGACCAGATCCATATCCATATCCATATCTTTAAATCAACTTTCTTTTACCCGTCGCCATCCATCACACAACATTATTAATATAATAATAAAATGTAATGTAGTTACGATCTATATAATGATGTATAGTTTTAAAGATATCCAACAATGCTAATAAGGAATTGATGTTGATTTGATTATTCTGATTGGTTGGTTTATTCTTATTAATATGTTATGAAAAAAAAAATGATGTGTTGTCTTGTGTTTGTTGTATAAGAGTATATGTTTAATTTATATATATAAAAGTATTATTAAAGTTTTTGGAAGGTAGCTGGAGCACTTGGGTTGTATCTGAATGATCTTCCTCTCATCAAGAAAGCAGTGAAAATACCACCACCCTATAATTTATAATGGTGTTAGTAATCTCTTTCTTTCTCTTTATCTCTCTCTCTCTTTTTTTTTCTATTTCAAACATACATATAAAGCAATAAGAATGATATCCTTGATCATCCACCAACTGAAACCAGATTTAGTAATAAAAGTAATGATGATTGAAATGACAGACAAGATGACGAGACATCCAAGACCGGCCATAAAGAACCAAAGTAAACGGAAACTATTGAATCTTGCACCCATTGCTCCAGCAGCGGCAACCAAAAAGGTAGCAATACAAATAATGATACCAATCAAGAATGTTGATACTGCCGATACAATAGCCATAATACATAACAATATACAGAGCAAGTATATAATCTTGACTCTGTTGTCAGCTCCATCTAGTATACCCATCTTTCTTTTAATATGTTCTTATATATCTATATGTTGGTGGTTGTTGTTGTTTAATATTGAAGTTTAATGATGAATTGTTGTTGCTGTTGTTAATAATGATGATGATGAGATCGGACAGCAGCAATATATATGATATTATGTAATTGGTTGTTGTTAAAGATCTGCTTTGTTATATGTGTAGAATGAGATAATATCTTAGTACTATATACATATATATTATATTAAAAGTTATAACAATGAATGAATGGTGTGTTATTAAAAATTGAAAAAGAAAAGTAAGCAAAAAAATGAGAGGGAAGGGTTCGAATATATATTTGAGTGTGAAAAGGGGGGGTTCACCTGAAAACGCAAGATGATGTAGTCAATACTAGTCTGGACTTTATAAAGGTTATAGAAAAATAGCTATTAATTTATTTATTTATTTATTATTTGTCTTATTGATGAAAAACATCAAGAAGTATATATAATAATACAATTTTTTAAAATTGATTATCCATCCTGGATCATAGATCATGGATTATAGATCATCCTTGGATGATTTGAAGATAGATGATCCATGATCTATGATCCATTATTTTAATGTTATTATATGTTGCAAAGTATATACAATAAATCTATTAAACTAAAAGAATTAGTACAACCAAGACCTTAATGTTAAATTTAATGGGGATGTTACTCGATGATCAGAGGAATGATGACCAGTCAATATTGTTCAATAAATAAGATAGATTAGATTATCTATTATCTCTATCAATATCTCGGCTACTTTATAAAAATAATTATTACAAATAATGTTGTTTTTTTTTTTTCGTTCGGTTTTGCCACTTGCGATGAGTTTGACGAAAGAGATAAAAAAAAATGTGTTGTTTGTAAATTGTTTGTTTGTTTGTTTGTTGTGACGATCATCTACGTCTATATCTCAAACAATATCAATCAATCAATCTATCTATCTATCTACTTGTATCGATTATTTTAATAGAGAAGAAGAAGAAAGAAGAAGATGAACCAACAGCAATTAATTCAATCAACAGTCATTGCTCTTGCACATACCTTTGGGTATGATGATGCTGTTAGACTTCAAGCTGAAGCTGAATTGGAAAAGGTAGGTAGTAGATAGATTATGATATATATATATATACGTAATCTATATTTTGAGTAAGAGGAGAGACTAATACAATCTCTCTTCTACTACTACAACATTAGTTTAAATCAATGGAAGCATATTCACAAGTATTATTAAGAATATTGGCAAGTAATGAAGTCAACAATGATATCAAGAATGCAGCATCAATCTTTTTAAAGAATATGGTTGTTCAAAAATGGAGAGGATCGATTGAAGACGAGGTCGCCAGGATGAGCGATATCGATGCTCAATTCATCAAGGACAATTTGTTGGAGGCATTGGTACAAACAACCGGACCTGTCAAGAGACAGATCCAACACATGATTGAAATCATTGCCAACCGTGATTTCCCCGAGAAATGGCCATTGCTTTTGGAACGTTCCATCGAATACATCAACTCGGGCAACGATCAACTCGTACTAAACGGTATCATTGGTTTGCAATTGGGTATCAAGAAATTCCAATTTGTGCCATCGGGTGAAAAGCGTATTCCTTTGATTGCCATTTGCGAGCGTGTCATCCCATTGATGTTGAATATCTTGGACACACTTGCCAATGCACCATCGGACAATGTAGATGCTGCCGTGATGCAACGCAAGATCTCCAAGATCTTTTTGTACGCCATCAATCTCGACATCCCCCCTATCATCGTGCAAGAGCAAGTATTCCAGAAATGGATGGCTCACTTTTACCGTATTCTAGCTATTCCATTGCCCAGTCTTGGTGACATGGACAAGGTTGTACGTAGTCCATTCTGGTTGCTCAAGAGCACCGTTGCACATGTCTTTCACACACTCTTGATCAAGTCGGCTCGTCCCAGAAAGGACGACCTTGCCACCAAGGTGCAGTTGGCCAAGTTGTACATGTCGGGCGGCTACGCCATCAACACGCTCAAGGTGTACTATGACATTTTGCAGGCACGTAGAGCCACCCCACCCAACACACCCTTCCACCAGCGTTATTTGCAGCGTCTCATCGAGTACTTTAACACAAGTATTGCCTATGGCAAGGTGTTCCCAGCTCTCAAGACTCTGCTGCCCACCTTTATCCCCGAGATTATCTTCCCATTGATCTGCTTTAGCCAAAACGACGCCGAGCTCTGGGAGGAGGATCCCCACGAATACTTGCGTTCCCAATACGACGCATTCAAGGATGTGTACAGTCCCCGTAACGAGGCACACTCTTTTATCCAATTCCTCGTCGAGAAGCGTGGTCGTCAACAGTTTGACAATATGATTGCCCTGTGCATGCAGGTGCTTCACAAGTACTCGTCGACCGCTGACCCCGCCGCCAGAAACGCCGGCGAGAAATACGGCGCTCTCGCCATCCTCGGCCATCTCAGCGACTACTTAAAGGGCATCGCATTCTACCGCGGCAACCTCGAGACCATGCTAGTGTTGCATGTATTCCCCGAGTTACAGTCGCCACTTGGATACATGCGTGGTCAAGCTTGTTGGGCATTTGCACAATTTTACAACATCCCCTTTTCCAACGTCTCCAACTTTTCCAATGCACTCCGTCTCACACTCAACTTGCTCGGCGACGCTGACTTACCAGTCCGTGTTCGTGCCGGTACTTCCATCTGCAACTTGGTGCGTTCCAAGCAAGGTACCGACGAGCTCCGTCCAGTACTCTCGCAGTTGTTGGACCGTCTCTTTGCACTCATGAACGATATTGAGAGCGACGACCTCGTCACGTCAATCGACTCGATCATCCGTCGTTTCAAGTATGAGATTGGCCCATACGCAATCTCGTTGACTCAGCGTTTGTGCGAGACGTTTATGCGTTTGTGCGAGAATGAAGACGACGACTCTGGCATGGCTGCCAACGAGTGCATGTCGGCTCTCCAAACCATCTCGCGTGCCCTCGCAGAAGCCGAGTCACCCGAGTTGTACGCCGCACTCGAGCCCATCGTCGTGCCATTCCTCCAAAAGGTGCTCACACCCGAGCAACTTCTCTTTATCGAGCCTGCCTGCAACATCCTCACCTTTTTCACCTACTACCCCAAGAAGATCAGTCCCCTCATGTGGACGTTGTTCCCTTCGATCATCCATGTCTTTAACGAGGGTGCATTCGACATGATCGACAGCATGGTCGACCCACTCGACAACTTTATCTCGTATGGCACTGAACACTTCCTCACTGGCGGACCCTACCTCGAGTCGATTGTCGACATGTACAAGCGTGTGCTCGGCGACATCAACATGCCAGCATTCGAGGCTGGCGAGGTCTGCAAGATCATGGAATCCGTGTTGCAACGCTGCCGTGGTCGTGTCGACCACATCATCCCACACGTGCTCGAGACTGCCTGTGGCCGTCTCCTCAACACTAGCAAGGAGAATGAAATGTCCAAGGAATTGACCGTCTATTTGCTCGAGCAAGTCTCCAACTGTCTCTTTTACAACGCAGCCATCACTGTCGACTTTTTGATGCGTCACAATCTCGTTCAACCAGTCTTTATCAAATGGTTTGCTTCGATCAAGTTGTTGCAACGTTTCTACGACAAGAAGATTTGTTTGCTCGGTCTCTGCTCGATGCTCGCCATCACACCAACACCCGCCTTTGTCGTGGCCGGCTCCACTCACATCATTGCCAACGTCATGGAAATGATGAAGTATATGTTGACCATTGAAAAGCAAATTGAAAAGGAAGGAGAAAAGAAAGAAGGCGACGATGATTTCATTGAACAAGAAGAAGACGAAGACGACGACGACGATGAAGAACACATGTTTGGCGAAGGCGATGCCGACTTCCAATTCAATGAAAATGCAGATCACGAGGACGTAGACGACCCCGAAGAAAGACATCTCGACCAACTCGAACAATTGACCATGTTTTTGGACGATGGAGGCGAGCTCGAGGGAGATGGCGAAATTGAAGAGGCCGAGTTTGAAGGTGAAGACCTCGACGGCGACAATGAAGACGAAGAAGAAGATGAACTATTTGAAAATGAACAAGGTGGCGGCTTTGAGACACCAATCGACGATGTTGACGAACTCGAATTTTTAATCAACAGTTTCAAGAGTCTCTTTACCAACTCTCCTCAATTGGAAGCCACTCTCACTCCAAAACAACAACAAAAGATCAAGAAATACATAGACCTCATCCCAATCCGTAAGGCCAAGGAAGCTAGACAAAAACAATTAGATGCTGAAGACGATGCTAAAAGATCAGCTGAAGTTCAAGCAAAAAAGAATTTAGGTAAAAATTAAATCAAATAAAAAAATTAATATATAAACAAATAAATGTATTATTTAAAACAACAAAAGTATACTATATGGTTTGGTTTATAATTCATCTTTTGGAAATGATGAACCATGTGTAGTTGATGGTCTATTTAGATTGTCAGGTGCACTATCATCTACAATGTTATCCATTCTCTTAAAGAGTGGTAAATAGAAATCAGATATGGTAATCAAAGATTTGGTGATGAGTTTGGCAACATTCTTACTGGCAATAGTTTCAGTCTCCATTGTTGAAACTGCATGTTCAAATCCATTGATATAATACAATCCTCCTGATTCATCCAATTTAATTGGTGGGAATGAATTCTCTGGTGATAATACTGGATAAGCTTTCCAATTTTTTCTAAAAATAAATTAATAAAATGTTAAGAAGAGTAATAATGAAGGATTTGGAATAATAATTATTATTATTATTATTTATACTTACTGAACATGAGTTTTATGGTCAATAAATACTTGAGAAAAGAGTTTATCGTCCAAATCCAAATGACTGAATATTTTGAATAGTATTTTACCATCCTTGAGCATTCCTCTTGGATTTCTTGATGCAACATAAAATGGAATAGAGGTATTGTGAGAGGTGAGAATATGTTCTGGTGGGACAGAATCGGCTGGTAAACCAAAATAAGTTGGATTTAATGACTTGGCTGCAATCAAATAGGTGTGAACCGTTTTGAACTGACGTTTGGGAATTGAATCAATACCATCTACTCCAATAATATCAACCTTTGAAAGTTCCAATGGTGTTGCAATGATTACAATATCAAAATCATATTCCTTTTGATCAGATGTTTTAACCTTGTATTGATGTTCCCCATCTTGAATCTTTGTAACAGATTTAACCATTGAATGAATTACCTTTGATTTTGATTTCTATTAAAATAATAACAAAAGTTAAAGTATAAATAAATTTTCATTCATTGTTCATCTTATATATATATATAATTTTTGTATACCTCTAGACAACCCTTGGCAACTAAATAATTACCACCCTTTACAGCATATAAATTGGATTCAGCACCAACCAATGCTATGAATGCAGCAAATGCAGCAATCTTGTCATACTCTTGATTATAATTGACTCTGATGGCTGCAGAGAGGATGTCTTCAATAAACTCCTTTCCAATACCAGACTCATCAACCATGAATTGTTTGGCAGTCACTTTAGTGATATTTGGTAATAGTATTCTATCAAAGAATTCTTGAATAGTTTCAAATGGTTCTATAAATCCATAACTTGTTAAAAATTGTTGAACAATCTTGTCTCTTTGAACTATAAATAAACAAGATATATTAATATATAAATTAATGGTAAACTATGTTTGTTGCTTGTGTTGTTTGGTGTTATACCTTGAAATTTAATTGGAGCAAGTCTATAGTTGTAGAGGAGTTTAAATTTATCAATAATGGATAGATATTCATTCTCTTTGAAAATGATTTCCTTGCCATTAAAGATGGCATAGGAACTATTTGATTCTGGGTGATAGGTTTGTAGATCGAGTTGATGAACTAGTCTATTCATATTTTCATTGAGTGGATGAATGATACTGCCACCAATCTCTACAGGTTCATCATCTACATGAACCACATGAGCACGACCTCCAACAATATTCTCTTTTTCAAATACTGTAATATCAACCTTTTCTCCCAATGCTCTCTTTAGATAGTATGCACATGATGCTCCTCCAATTCCAGATCCTAAATAAAGTTAAAAGAGTTTAAATGTTGTTGTTTAGTATCGATCATCTATCTAAATCATCGATCATCAATCAATCAACATACCAATGATTCCAATCTGATTTGATTTCTTTTGAATTCTAATGTTATCACCACGAGTTGATGAAACTACGTTGATTGAGAATACTGCACATAAAACCAGTGCTAGCAATAAAGTTGTTATTAATTTTAATTTTAATTTCATTTCCTAAGAACAATAACAAAGATACTATAATATCTGTCTGTCTTATCTTATCTGTCTATCTTATCTGTAAATTAATATTAATAAAGAAAGAAAACAATGAAAATAATTAACCCCCCACACTCAATCCAATTCTTGATGTTCACACTTTGAAGATAATTAGGAGAAAACTTGGTTTCATTCATAATCCTAAAATAGCAATTGATCTGTACAATGATTCTATTAATCTATTATAACCTAACCTGTTATCTATACTTGGTTTAAATTTATAGTTTTATTATTATTATCTACTAATATATCATCATGAAGAGGGTTTATTTAACCCAAGAAATTGAATACAACAAAGTGGAGAAGGAAATTACAGATGAGGAAATCTGCAAAGGCTCTCTCAAAGGAAATGTTTCTAAAGTGGTTTGATGGGTTTACTTGAACTCTTAAACTAGCTGTAATTGGTTTGATATTATGTATGAATTGAAAAGAAAGTTAGAATGTGATCATCTTTCTTAAATTGTCTTTTGTGACATGTTGATTGATTGATTGATCGATCGACTGATATTGATTGATTTGATTGATTGATTGATTGATTGATTGATTGTTTGTTTGTTTAACATACCAGCTAAAACGAATGAACCAACAGTAGAGATGAAAGCAGCCAAAAAGGCACTGAATGGATGAGTACCAGCTAAACAACAGTATGCAAACACAAGAACACCAGTGATGAAAGTAGTGGTCAAGAAAAGATCGATAAACTTGAGCTTGGCTGGTGTTCTAGCTTTATATGTTTCAAAAAAGTTTGATACAATGTTTCCAAGTGTAAGAGTAGATGATGACATTCTTTATATATATATCTGTATTATTGGTGGAGGAGGCTCTTTTGGTGATATCTACTACTAGTTGATGATTATATACAAACAATGAATGATCGGTATTCGACTTTGTTTGTTGAACTCTTGTTTATTAATTTAGGTTAAAGAAAGAAAGAAAGAAGGGTTAAAGGAACAAAGATTGAGCACATGAGGCTTTGTGGGGGTGGTGAAGTTGATTGTTTGTTTTTTTTTTTTTATTTATTTTTTTCAACTGATCAGTATTTTCAATCAAAGAGAGAAGAAGAAGACCACAAATTATACAATATATTCGTATCGAACAGTCACAGGCCGCAGAGTGACGTACATACGGAGATCTACAACAAAATATTACATAAAGAAATACAGCAGCAGAATCAGCTTGAATATCGTCCAACAAACTTATCTATAGATAGTAGGGAGTTGGAGCAAAGAAGAGATAAAACCTCTGTGAATGTTTGATAAGATGATTAAAAAGGGTACTCAGTAGAGTAGGAAGAAAGTTTGTCAGTAAGTTGAAGAGAAGTTTTTAAATTGAAAGGGATGATGTCCCTGATTCTATTAATGATCAACAGGTTCTTATATTCTCGATATAAATATCACATTGCACAATCGTCATCCCAAGAACAAAGAAACATACAATCGTAGCATCACTCATAGATACAATGCGTACTGGATATCAAAGAGTCACATTCGTTACCCGGGTCATAAATACTAATCGTTACACTGACCATATTGTCGATTATTATTGAATCAACTAGTATTTATGACCCGTGGTCTGTCAATCAAAGTTCCTCTCTCAATGTGTAAGTAGGTAGACGTTAGGTAAGTAGGTCATCGATGACTATAAAAGAAAATTAACGTAAAAGCATGGATCTTGTTCAAGATCTAGTGCAAAGTTTTTAGCTTTAGCATAATAATACTCTTTTCATCAAAGACACACGAGTGTTTCTGTAATATTGATGGTAAAAACGGGCTGGGGTCGGCCACCTTTCAGCGACTTTTCCCTTCACTACGAGTAGAGTCGAGTCGAGTCTAGTCGAGTTTTATAGCACCACACGACAATAATTAATCTATTATATAATATCATGAGAGAAGTCGTGGGAAGTAGTGGAGTGGTGTGGTAGGCTCTACCTAACTTGTTGTTGTCAATACAATAAGTTGCTAGCATAAGCTTATTGTTATTAGACAGATAGATATAGATAAATCAAGACAAAGATAGATTGATAGAAAGAGAATGAAGATTTTGGCATTAGTAACAGGTGCATCAAGGGGATTTGGTTACTCTATAGTCGACCAGTTGATTAAAGAAACTACAAATCGTTTACCAAATGATGATGACGATGGAGCATCATCTGACCAGAATTCAATCGTCATTGATTTATACCTCTATGCAAGATCACTTGGCAATCTAGAATCAACAGAGAAAATGGTCAGGGAACAATTCAATAACAAATCAATCAATGTATTGGTAAACAAGTTTGCAATTGATTTCTGTGATATTCAAGACACTGAAATTGCTTTTAGAAATTCATTAATTAATGTTTGTTGTCATCAATTTAAACTAATATAATTATTTCTATATTAATATTCCCCTTTCTTTTCTTTTTTTTTTTATGTTGTAGATTGAATTCAAGGATTATCAAAAGGTCATATTTTTTAATAATCATGGTGCATTAAGTATTTTGAAAAGAGTTGACAGGTATGTAATATAATAATCATGTTGTGCTATAAATAAATATTAATTATTAATTTCTATAATTTAATAGTTTATCCAATTTTAAACAAATTTCAAATGATATACATTCAAATTTGACTTCATTTGTAGTTACCAATAGTATCTTTATGGAAAAGATCAAAGAACAGAATAATCCAATTTTACCCAACACATCCTTTTTCCTCATCAATGTCTCTTCTTTGGCTGCCATCAAGGCATATGATGCTTGGAGTATTTATTGCTCAGCAAAAGCTGGGTACGTATGAATAGATAAATATCAAATATGATCTTTTTTTTTAAATGTTACTAACATTATTAATTTACACTTTGCCATTGATATTTTACACTTTGCCACTTTGGGTTAAATAGTCGAGAAATGTTTATCCAAGTTTTGAATGAAGAAAGTAAATCAATTTCAAATTTCAAGGCATTAAATTATGCACCTGGTCCAATGGATACAGACATGCAAGCAGAGATTAGAGCAAACACTGTCGACCAAGAATCAAAAAGACATTGGGTTGATATGAAAGACTCTGGTAAATTGGTTTGTCCATTTGATTCAGCCTCCAAGTTGGTGAGATTAATTTTCGATAACAACTTTGAATCAGCTGCTCATATCGATTATTATGATCAAGAATGGTAGATCTTTCCAAAAACAAAAAGAAGAATCAAAATATGTAATAAACAAAAAGACAGAGAAAGATATAAATATTAACACAATTAAAATATATTTGTCAAATAATAATAATAATATTATTATTATTGCAAATTAAGTTTATTTGAATGGATTGATTTATATTTGTTCCACAAATGGATGATATTGTTATACAAATGATCACGTTTCTTGTGTAGACCGTTAAATACCTTTCTCTTGTTGGTAGCATCAAATGTTATAATGACACCAGTGCTAAAGAATGTATCTTCCTTTTTGACTTCTAAAATATCAGACCAAAGATATTTTTGAGTAGAGTATGTTACATTGTTTTGATAACAGAAATAGTGATCAGTAAGTGTAATTTTACCAATAATACCTCTCTTTAAACAATCATAACTTTCATAGACCTTATCATTTTCTGCCAATTTGTACAATGTTGAGAAATAAACATGGTCCTTGTCAATTGATAATGTATCATCTTGTTTGGTTTCCAATTCAACATTATTCTTTATCTAAAATTAAAAGAAATAGCAATGTATAGGATGAGTATTAATAATTGAAATTGATATATTTAATTTAAATATTTTCTTTCTTTACCTTTTGATTAAATTTTGAAGCAACATTTAATAAAGTTGAAAAGAATGAAGCAACCTTGTTTGAACGGAAGCCCCAAAGATCAAAGTTTTGTTCACCAATGACAATATGAATAGTTTCCTTGTGTTCTTTTGTGATTTGTTTGAAAACTTGTGATATCTTTGACCATGGATGTGCAATCTTTGTTTCATTATACGATAATTGTGATGACCAACAAATATTATTACTCATTAAATAGATTACAGTTGGAATTCCAAATGAAGTTTGACATTTACATTCTAAATTTAAATCAAATATTTTTGTTAATATATAATAAAAATTGTTATTATTATTATTATTACATACTTAGAATTAAAGTATCAGATGATGAAATATTAAATTTATCATTGATCATTCTATTTTTAAAGTCATGTTTTGTTTTGGTAACAAACTTTTTGGCATCTGAATCTGTCAATCTAGAAGATAAAGCGGCAATGATGTGTAATTCTTGAAGTGTAGCTGTTGATTTTGAAAATGGTGAGTTTTCATCCAAAGCCAATTTAACAGTTAAAACTGAAGTGTCAATTTTTTGTTGGGTGGTCGTAGAATTGGTCTGTTGGTTGGATGTAATCAACTTTTTATGGATTTCAATCAATTCTGCGGTTGGTGTATAGAATACATTAATGGTACATGTCAAACTTTCGAGTTGGGTGGATCGAAGTTGCTCTACTGTCATACCATCACCATCTGCATTGAAAAAGTCTTCCATAGAGGCATAAATTCCGAGAAACAGTGATATTTTTTGGTTGATGAGTTCTTCTCCTTCCTTTTGGATACCTCCAATTGGAAAGATTCTTCTTTCGAGTTGTACCCATAAAGCGAGCCATACACCCTTGATGAACTTGGAGAATGTGGTTTGGTAGAGATTCGAGCTGAGAGTACTGAGTTCATGTGTTAGATAGGTGGTCATTGGCTCCATAGCCTGGTCTAGTATCTTTTGGTCATAGGTGATGATCGTTTCGAGTTTGGGTGCCGACTTTTTAGAGATGGGTGGTAGCTTGGTGAGCATATTGTCAAATGACACTTCGATCCATTGACCCAGCTTGGCAATAGCCAAATCAATGACATACTCGTATTTCTTTCTCGAGTTGCTAAATGATCGTGCCAAAGCATCGCCAATCTTATCGGCAGAGTCTGGGAACTTGGATTCCATCTCGGTCGATAGGTCGTCTAAGAGTTGTCTCGAAAACTCGATACAATTCAATTTTACACATAATGGTGTCTTGATTGAACTGGTCGATGGAATGACACCTGGTGGTGTACTACTACCAGAAGTGGAGATTGTCTTATTGTTACTCTTGACAATAAGTGAAATCAATTTGGTGAATATCTGTTCATCGACAACTTCGTGGAAGATTTCATTCAAGTCAGTGAGAATAGCTTGCATTACAGCATCGAGATAGTCATTATACACTTCATCAACCACACCTATATAATCTACCAATACATTGTCAACAGCCTTTTCCAATTGCAATCCAACCAAATGATTCTTTCCAATCTCAAAAATTGAAAATAAATCAATGACACTTGATGAATGGAGTACTTTGTTTTTGGCATCCAACGATACCCATTTCTCTTTTTCCAAACTTCTTTTAATCCATGATTTAAATTGTGATTTTGCTTGTTCAATCCATAATCTTAAATATGGTATAAACATTACATCTAAATCCATCTTTATATTCTTTATACTAAAAATAACAAATAACAACATTTGTTAATAAAATAAATATCTTGATTGTTATTATTTACATACTCATCTTGATAAGAACTTAGGATACCATTATGAAGTTTTTGAATTTTCTTTAATAGTGTAAATGTTTCCATACTCACTTCTTTTTCCTTTGACATGATTGAAACAGTTTCCTTTTTCAACATTGTATAATAGGATACGACAGACTTTGTAGCCAAATCAATACCATTACCAAAAAATGGGGAATAAATATCTACATCATTTGTAATTTGTACTTCAATTGCATCATAAATATCTAATAATCCAACAATATTTTCAAATTCATTTGAAGTTTCTATTTTAACCAATGAATTTTCTTTAATCAATGTAAAGAAATAATCAAAATAATCCTAAATAATTAAAAATAATTAATACCAATATTGATTTTTTATAATCTTCTTCTTCTTCTTCTTCTTCTTCTTCTTCTTCTTCTTCTTCTTCTTCTTCTTCTTCTTCTTCTTACCATTAAATATTTATCAATTTTTTTACCAAATAATTGATTTTCAACAGTTGATGAAGCTCTTTTGTTGGTTGGTGATACAACATTTAATTTAATATTACAAATCAATTTGAGAATAGAGATTGAAAGTTGTAATAATTTACCATTCTCTTGACCAAGACCACCAATACCTCCCTTTTCATCAATATTAACTGGGAAACTTAATCCATATCTTGAAATCATCTTTTTAAATAATTGTTTTGATGATTTTAATAAACTTTGAACTTTTGTTTTCTAAATATATTTAGAAAGAAAAAGGTATGAGGAGAAGAAATAATAATTAAAATCAAATAAAGATGAATCTTTTTAAAAAGAGCAATTTCGAAACATACCATATCAATAGTTAAAATCATTTTACCATTATGAATATCATTATATAATTGAGTCAAGATTTGATAAATTGATGAAATAGTATCTAAACTTAATGTAAAGTTTTCTAATATAATTTCTAAAAATCTTGAAAAAAAAGAAATAAAGGAAACATTAATTATTATTATTATTATAATTATAGTTGGTCTGTTTTCATTTTTTGTTTCTATACTTACATTGTTAATCTTGTAAATGAAGAAATACAAAATCTATTTTCAAATTGAATTAAAAGTTGATTGATTTCATTTGGAATAGACATTGTTTCATTTTTGGTTAGGTAACCAATTAGAATAGCCATATTGTGATGATGATCTGCATTGTAAAGTGATAGAATCTCGGTTGATAATGATGAAATATCCTCTGATTTAATAAAATCACGTGATAGATAATAATAGGATAATTTAATATCACCTAAAACTTCTGTAGATGCCGCGTCTCCATTATTATTGTGGTCAGAGTGATGTTTGATACCAAGTATATTAAAAATACTCTTTTTATCCTTTGGATGAAGTTGATATTCCTTGGTGATGTTGGTGATGGGGAGGATTGGTCTTTGAGCATCTTGTAAGTCAATGCTTACAGTCCCGATGAAATCATTCTTTGTAACGATATCGTGATCAAATACCGATGCAATAATATAGTGATCCGAAGGTGTTTCAACTGAAAAGTTAAAGTGTTCGTTCCATACTGGATTTAAATCAGCCTTTTTAACTGATGTTTTGTGTGCGTGTCCAGACGACTTACTAGTATGACATTTGTAATCGTCGTCACCTAAATGTAGACATACGTAGGGGTCTGATGACTTGGTTGCCTTGTCCTTGATTTTTAGGTTCTTGGCCGAATCAACAGTGATGGAGAGTGTACCGCGATGGAGTGGTTCTTTAGAGGCCACTGCCAACTGATCCGATATGCGTTTGGTAGTTGTCTCTTTCCACAACGTGTATTCAGCCGACGATGTAAACTCTGTCTCTTTGTGCACACCATTGCCTTGTTCAAACTTGTCTTTTCGGAATCTCAACTCTGTGAGATAATGCGACACTATTTCATTGGCAGTCGATGCCAAACGATTGTGACTGTCTACATCAATACCAAAAGTCGATGCTAATACTGGAATAACTTGTTGACACTTTTCCAAAGAGTGTTCGAGTAGCAGTTGACTCAAGAGGAATGTGTACATGGTTTGTACTTCTGGCGACAAGTTTGATACCGCTGCAAATGTTTTGGTCTTTGTAACAACCTCAAACGTTGATTTTAGTTGGAGTATAGGTGAGTCTGGCAATGGTGATAAGAGAGCAGTAAGGATAGCAGTAGATTTCTTGGCCGAAGGTGATCCAATCTCTGTAGTAGTTGTAGGTACTACCGTTGGTTGAATAGGTGTGCCAACCTTGGTAGTAGTATCAACACCACGTTTAGATGATACATCCTCTGACTCGTGACACTGAGCACAATCATCTACATGTTGTTGAGCATCACTACTACTACTATCATGATGATGGTGACCACCAAATGAAAGGAATGCAGAAAAGTCATGCTTTTCAAAGACAGATTTGAAATTCTTGTTTACACCTTGTACCAAGTTATCAGGTACCTTTGAAAATACATCTATTCTTTGTAAATGTAACTTTTTCAGTGATGGTAAATACGATGCTTTCCTTTCTCTAGTTTGTTGTTGTTGTTGTTGTTGTTGTTGTGGTTGACTTGATTCCATTATTAATATTATTATGACTAACTTTTAAAAGTGATGAAACATATGTTAAGTTTAAGAAGAAGGGAAGGAAAGGTTATTGACTTGAAGCGATAAATCAATTGATCGATCTTTTGACTCTCCTGTGCTGTTTTTTTGAGGGTGGGTGTGTGAATGAATTTATCTCTTCTTCTTCTTCTACTTGATGAACGTGTATCAAATGAAGGTGAATGTGATGTGATAGTTAACTATGAGGGAAGAAAGTGAGAGGGAGGAGCCACCCAATGACACATTTAAAAATATCTTCTTCTTGTTTGAATCGATCGAAAAAACAAGGGGGCACACCAAGAGGCACATGTCCCAATAAGGAGTTTCAGAGTGTAAGAGTTTTAACACAAACAAAAATAGAAAAGATAATTTTTTTGTTTACAAAATATATTTATAATATTTATTTATTATTATTATTATTATACTTAGTTATAGGAGTTAACTAAACTAGTATACATGGATGGGTGTGTTACAACAGAGGTAGGGTAGGTAGTAGTAATTATTTGTACAATTTGAATCGATACAAAGTTGTTGGGTTTTGGAGAGAGAGGATACATTTTTAGTGACATCCAGAGTGACATCCAGATCCACCCAACAATCCACCTACCAAACCACCAACCAAACCACCAAGGTTGATATTGAGATCAATGTCGGCATTGATCTTGATACCTCCATTGGAGCCACCACCACAACCACCACAAGCAACAGAGTTACCACCTTGGGAAGAGAAGTAACTGGATCCAGCAAATGATGATTTGGTGGATGAACCGAGCTTGGACATGTTCATTGAGGAAAGAGAGGCTAAAGTATAAAAAATAAAATAAAACAAAAACAAAAGAATATTAATATATTATTTATTACATTATATATTATAGTTATAATATTTACCAAGGATAGTCATTTTAGTTTAGTTTAGTAGTTGATTATTGATTAAAAGTTGATTTGATGATTTGAATTGAACAAATGAACCAAATATTTATAGTTTATCATGCCCATACAAAAAAACTGGAAACCGTTGACAGTCCAGTTCAGTTCCATAGAACCTCTAAACTTGGTATGGTAATTACCCATTAATCCATCATATCATCCTTTTAATCCAGTAGTCAGTCTACAAATAAATTAAAAGTCACTACCAAACTAGTAGTACAGAATCATGGAATCAAGTCAATCGGCATTGATGTATGCTATCGACCAATAAACTCTTTAGATGATCCATCATCCATTCTCTATTCTCTTTATCTTTTAGATTAGGTGATATCACATCTCTCTATAGTGTTGTTTAAAACAAGAGAAGTGTGTGAGTGATAGACAGAGACATAGAGAAAGAGACAGTGTCTGTTCACCTGTTTAAACAGGTGTGGTTGGATTGGTTGGTTGGTTTCAGTTGGTTTGGTTGGTTGACGTCTATACAATTATGTATAACTCCTCTTCCTCCCTATTATTATTCGGAACACCATAGATAGACTTTTGTTAACATAACCATCGGGATCGATGTCAGACAGCAGTGTGGTGGTGATGATAATGCAGTAACTGATTCTACTACTACTGGATAGTTTGTGACTGTGTGTGTGTGTGTGTGTGTCGATTTAACACACTCTCTCTCTTTTTAGTTTAACCACACACCTTTCTTGAAAAGAAGAAGAATATATATCACATATCATCTCTTTGGTTATATATAAATGTGATTGTGATTTATCTTCATTTCATTTCTTGAAACAGTTGAAAGAGAGAGAGAAAGAGACAGTTAAGTTCCAAATATGGTGGTTGGTATTACGTCGTACGTATACGTATATCACATATATATCACATTTATGAATATAAAGGTTTTAATGCTGTGTTTGATGTCCAATGATCGTGAGGTGTTCAAATTAAATGATTTTAATTTAGTTTTCAAACTTTTATCTTCTGATTACGCAATCATTGGACAAGCGTGTGGTGTCATTTCAATCTCAGAGAAAGAGAGATAATACTATACTATACTATACTATTATAATATAATATAGTAGTAACGTTAACGCTAAACGATGTCGAGTCAACCAAGAATCCCATTCAAACATTATTTGCACAGTGGATATGCACACCCTGTAACAAGATCATGGCAAGGTGACACTACCATCCTCAAGTCACAGTTAATATACCCAATCTTTGTAACTGACCAACAAAACACAAAGACTGAAATCAAATGTATATATATAAGAGAAGCTAGAAGAGAGAAGAGGTGCGAATGATCACGTGTTGTCAAGAAGAAGAAAGAAGAACAGATCTTGTCAACATTCAACCATTCATCTCAAGATCTAGATAGATATAGTCATTAATAATATATATTTAGCATTACCAGGAAACTATCAAATATCAGTTGATTTGGTTGTAGATTTCTTAAAGCCATTGGTAGAAAAGGGATTAAAGAGTATTATATTGTTTGGTGTTATTATCAATGCTCAAGACAAGAATGGTCATGGAAGCTTGGCCAGTGATGACAAGTCACCGGTGTGTCTGGCCATCCGTCTACTCAAGGTAGCCTTTCCACAACTTTGTATTGCCTGTGACGTGTGTTTATGTGCATACACTCATCATGGGCACTGCGGAGTATTGGTCAGCGACGATGAACCAGTCATTGACAATGAAAAGTCTGTCGAACGTCTTGCTGCAATGTCACTTGCATTTGCCAAGGCTGGTGCACATATTATTGCTCCATCTGATATGATGGATGGTCGTATTGCAGCCATTAAAACTATATTACATGCTGAGGGATATGGAAGTCGCGTTGCTGTCATGGCTTATAGCAGCAAGTTTGCCAGTTGCTTTTACGGGCCATTCCGTGATGCTGCTGGATCCGGTGCCAAGTTTGGCGACCGTTCTGCATACCAATTACCAGCTGCTTCTCGTCAACTTGCCAAACGTGCAGCCATTAGAGACGCTGAAGAGGGTGCTGATTTTGTCATGGTCAAGCCAGCTGGTCCATACCTCGATATTGTCCGTGAGGTCAAAGATGCCGTAGACGTCCCAGTCTGTTGTTACCAAGTCAGTGGCGAGTACGCCATGTTGTACCATGCAGCAGCTGCCGGTGGTATCGATTTAAAACAAGGTGTTTTGGAATCACTCATTTGTCTTCAACGTGCCGGTTGCGATATTTTCATTACCTATTTCACTCCATTATTATTAGATTGGTTACCTCTTTAAACAATCAAAAAATAGAATAGAATAAATCAATCAAATAGAAATAGAAATAGAAATCAATCAATCAAATATGGTATATAATTTTTTGAATATATTTATTAAAAAAAGTATTATTATATTAATAAATTGAATAGAAGGAGGGAGTAGTAGTAGTAGGAGAGAAAATTAAATTAAATAAAGAAGTATTACTTTCTTTACTTTCTTTTCTTTTTTGTTTTTTTTTTCTTTTTTTTTTTCTTTTGGGCATTGGGATTTTCTGGAATAAATAAATTTGGAGTTGTTTATACATGTATATTATTATTATCAAGTTGGTATTATTATTATTATTATTATTATTACTAATTAATTATTAATTATTATTTTTTTGGTTACATATAAGTATAAGTTTGTTCAGAGAAAATATGTTCATAGTAATCGATTAAAACGGTCATGACTTCGAGAGGACAACCGAGGGTTGGAGCAAAAACAATGGAAAGATTGACAGATGACATTTTAGTGGCAGGTTCAAATGAAATGGTGTTGAGGAGAGAGCAGAGATGGTGTAGTATGCATCGGTTGGTTTCTGGAAGTTGTTTGAGAATGGCTGTGCAACCACGAATACGCATATTGATTGCATCGTTTGTATTTCCACCTTCACGCAATGCCTCTAATTCATCGGCAAAGTTTTCGGTAAATACAGTCTCGGGAATGAGACGTAGGTATAGTTTTAGTATACCAGCCACAACGTGTTGATCGAGTTGTAGTGAAAGATCGACATTACCACCTTCATCAAACTCTTGTTTGAGTGCGTTGATGGCCGATGCACTACCACTTAGTCTAAATATACCTTCCTCCTGTATACCCTTTTCTCTTATATATTCAATGGCCTTGTAGATAATATCTGGTAGTAGTGGATGTAGTTTGGCCGATCTCTTGATAGCTACTTCCAAAGGTTGTCCAAATATAGTTGTTGGTTCGCCAGCCCCTCCAGCTGCTGCTCTCTGCTGTTGTTGTTCCGAGGTGGGTTGTGGTGGCTGTGTCGATGGTGGTTGTGTTGATAGACTGTCGGCTGTCTGCTTGTCCATCGTATTATTAATTGATTTCTTTGCTTTGGATGCTACCTCTGACACCTTGTTCTTGGTCAATGTGCTTACAACACCCGCCTTTTTTTTAATGTCTCTTAGTTTACCGGCAAATCTTGAACCTGCAGATTGTTGTTGTGGCAACGTACCTGCCGCCGCATCTCCTCCATCTCCAGGCTCACCCGACACTAACGCCTTGTCATCAGTCTGCTCTGCACCACTGTCAATGATTGCTCCCACTGGTGCTGTCGCCGGTTGATTCTGTCCTCTTGAACCCAACAAATGGTTTCCTCCACCTGTCTGCTTGGGACGATACTCTATAGAACCAGCCTCCCACTCTACATTTGAATCCTTTACCCTAAATCCTCTTGGTCTATTTTTCTCCTTGTATTGCATCGATGACGTCGAGGATTGGTCTTCTGACCCAGATGAAGATGATGACGATGATTCATCTTGATCTTGGTCGTATTGTTCGTCGTTACTATTGTTATTAGCCAATGTTACACCTCTTGACATATCGACTGGCATTGATTTGTTTCTAGCGTGTGTCTTTGCATCTCTCAATGCATTGCCATTTGTCTTGTTTGGTTGGATCGTATTGAAATGCGGTGAATTTGTATTGGAACTATTGTTTGAAATAGTTGTTGAAAAGGATGATGTAGATGTATTGAGTGAAGAAGCTGTCGTAGACGTTGCAGATGACGCAGAACTACTTGATATATTTAATGGAGTTGGATCAATAGTAGTAGAGTAACCTTGATCCATGACAGTCACTGTATTTGTCTGTAATGGCGTGACTGGTGCTGAAATAGAATTGTTGGATTGTATCTCACCATTATCGAGAGAAGTAGTTTTAACACTACCAAGTGACGATGTCATAACCGATCTTCTATAATAAGATGATGGCATATGACCAGCAACTGGAACTTGAAAATTTAATTGATTCAATTTACTTTGAATACTCTTTACTCCTTCCTCTTTTTCATTTGTATTATTATTGATATTATTATTAGTATTTGGTGAATCAGATGTAGATGTTGATGTAGATGTAGATGTAGGGGAATTAAATTTAATAAATGAATTGGATACTGATGGTGGTGTTGATATATTATTATTATTATTATTATTATTATTATTATTATTATTATTATTATTATTATTATTATTATTATTATTATTATTATTATTATTATTTGCTTGTACAATGATGGGAGATGGTTGTGGAGGTAATGGTAACTCTTGAATAGTTTGGGTTAAATCTTGTTGTTGTTGTTGTTGTTGTTGTTGTTGTTGTTGCTGGACAATTGGAGAGGTTGGAACAAGTGGCGTAGTTGGAGTTGATTGAGATAGAGGTTTTTGTTTAAGTGCTCCAAAAGGTTGTCCTCCAACTGGTGGAGGTGTTGTAGCTGTGGCTGTAGCCGAAGTACTATTATTCAATCCATTTTGTTTTCTTTGTACTGGTGGTTGTGCACCAGGTGTATTTTGTTGTTGTAATTGTTGTTGTAATAGTTTGATACTTCCTCCTCCTCCTTCTCCACCAGTATTGTTATTATTATTCTTCTTATTGTTGTTATTACTAATGACAGGAGACCCTTTAAAGTTACTATTATTATTTGCACCAGCCGGTGATGCAGATGGTGGTGGGTATGCATTAGAGTTGAATTGAGCCTTGATAGCTGCTTTGGTAGCTGGTGTAGTAGTCACCACTCCCACTCCCATTCCAGTACTACCACCCAGGGTGGTAGTTGATGAACTACTACTACTACTACTACCCTTTTCCAATGATTTGTTGACAATTGCCGCTGATTTAAGTACACTATTTGTTCCACCACCACCTCCACTTGCTGTTGATGCCTGTTGTTGTTGTTGTTGTTGAGGTTGTGATTTAGATAGATTCAAGTTACTTCCTCCTCCTCCTCCTCCTCCAACTTCAGACTTGTTTCTTAGATCTTTTGATCTCTCTGCACGACCAATCAAATCAGTTCGCTTGTCCAAAGCAGAACACTTGTTTTTGTGTACTGGCCAATGCAAGAGTTGGTGGTTTTCACCACAATAGTAGACAAGTAGACAGCCAGTGCAAATTTGCACGTTGGTCGATCCACATACCTCACAGAATTGTTCAGTTGTCTTGGTTGTATTGCTAGTGGTCGATGAAGGCGGTGGATTCGATGAACCCAATACCTCTGATTGCATTCTTCTCTCTTTTTTCTGTAGTAGTACTAGTACTTTGTTAATAAATACTTTTCATCTAACCAATCAATGAATTTACAACTTACTTAATGTTTACTAGCTGATTGATAAAGTCTAACAGATTATTATTATTATTATTATTATTATCTTTTATCTTCTCTCTACTTCTTATAGATTTACAATGACATATAATAAAAAAGGATGTAGATTTGGTGTTGTGTTGGTACTCTTTATTAAAGTAATACTATTATTATTATTATTATTATTGTTGTTGTTGATAGGTAGGGTAGGTAGGTACTCTTACAGTAATAATGCTACTACTAAATTATTATTATTATTATTGGTGAGATATTTTCTGCACCATGTAATTCACTTTCTTCTGTCTGACACACTTCACACATACACCACTGTTGTTATTGTTGCTCTCTGTTTTTATGTGTTAATACTACTACTATACCAACAATATAATAACCAAAAAAGTAATCTTATCGACTGGACAGGACTAGGTGTTGTTAGGGAGGAAGCCTCAGCAGGCGTCATTTTAAAAGTGAAGGTGTCATCTATTGGCCCATAGAGCTCAAGGTTTTTCAATGAATCATCCAATTGGGAACTTTCACTTTTTCTGTTGTAAACCCTCCCTTTCTGCATCGGCATTATTATCCAAAATGTATACAAGAGTAAATTAGATTATAATACCGTAGACGTGTGTCTTTCATATTTCCTTCCTTCTATTTGATTTTGATTTTTATTATTGTCTGTTTACAATATACTCTAACCATTGTTTTGTGATGATTTGAATACCTTTTTCCGATGGGATACCGCCGTTGTAGTTGTTGGTGTTAATGTAGGAGGAGGAGGAGGCAACATGAGTTTGTTTGGCAAAATGATATTTAGAACCTCTGTTTAGTTTACAGACAAGGTGTGTATTGCCTAGTGATAGGGTTTTAGTGTATTTAGCCCCTATGACTTGAATGAGTGCTTTGATGTGGTCTCGCTCTATCCCATTATAATTGGATATAGATATGAGATAGTGTTTGTACAATTGTTTCTCTTGATCTTTGATCACCCTGATTGGACGATACAATATCTCTTCATAGATATTAATTACTTTGTTCTTTTCTATACAATCTGATATCCAATCTGTAGAAACTGCAATTGATGGTCTCATCAATGCTAATGTTGATGATATTGATGGTTGTTGTTGTGATATAGTTATATAATGGGGATCTGATTGATCTTTACAAATATGAAATACACTCTTTTTACTTTTACTACCAGATTCAGGTGATGGAGAAACCATCCCTGATAATGTTGTCGTTGGTCCAATCATATTATTACCATTAGAGTCGACTAGGGTACCACCAAAAGATTGTATTTTCTGTTGGATGGCCAATTGAGAATCTATGCCAAAATGATTAGACACATAAAACAAGTGTCCTTGGAAGAGTGTTGGACTAGATGGAGGAAGTTGTAATAGATAGGGTCGTTCAGATACAAACAATCCCCTCGATACACATTGATCGAACCAATCGACAGAGACAAACTTGATGTTTCTATTAAAATCAAATTCACCACGAGGAAATGATTTCAAATCATTGTCTCCTCGTTTGACCAGTACATGTGTACATCTCTGTTCAAACGATTGTATATATTTACCACCATGCAACTCGATCCATGCTCTCACTTTGAGTTGTTGGTCTTTTGGTAGTTGATAAACTGCCAATCTACATCCTTTCATAATCATATATTTAGGATCCAATAAATAATATTCTACACTAAGTAGACAAAAAAAGACTAATTAGTCAGTATACAAATATACTATTGTTTGTTTGTCTTTTTCATTCACACAACAACATACGGTAATACTCTTTGATAAGTTAAACAATCCATAAGCCATTTCTTTCTGATGATTACAATCTTTTGAAGAGTATTTAGTTTTAGTATCTCTTTTGGTATGTCGTTTACAAGATCAGTATCATTACTTGCAATCACATGAGTGATTGTATCTGATCTAAATTCATAATAGATAGTACCACCCAAATGTCTTATCACTTGTTCAACCTACAGGGTACACAATAATAAAAGTTAGTCATTTGATATTAATATATATATATCTTCTATCTCTCTCTCTCTCACACAATTCATTACTACCTACTTTACATCTCTTATATTCTTTATTTATATTTGGGTGTATATAGAAATGAAATGATAAGAATTGTTGGATCATATCATAACCGTATGTACACTAAATTAAATTGCTACGAAAACAAACAAAGTGCAAGTTGGTTTGGATTTCCCTCCTTTTTTTCAATTATTTTCAGAGCTTGCATCGACTTCACATTCATAGTTTAGTATTATTGATTTATATTTATATATTTATAGTTTGATAGATATTAATGATTATATTGATATCATCAAAATAGATATATAGATAGATATGGTAACAAAGAAAAAGGTAGTGTCGGAAGACCAACAAGACGACGATAATAATAATAACAATATTAATAGTAGTAGTGGTACACCTGCACCACCAGCCGACATTGATGCCAGTCAACAACAAGCGACTCCATCGAAGAGAAACAAGAAGCAGTCTACACCAGATGTAGCACCTTCAACTACTGCATCTAGACCAAAGAGGAGAACTATAGTACTCAGAAAACAACAACCATCTCCACCATCATCGAGTGACAGTGAACAAGAACAACAAGATAGTGACGTTAGTGCTGCCGAGGAGGAGGAGATTGAAGAAGAAGAAGAGGAAGACTATTCTCCAGAAGAAGACAAGAAAAAGAAAAAGAGGGGCAGAGGAAGACCACCATCATCAACTCCAACAAAGAAAAAGGCTGCTGCTACTGCCAAGACCACTAAGACCACCAAGACTACCACTACTACTGCCAAACAAACACCAAAGAAACAACAACAACAACAACCAACAACTCCTGCAAAGTCACCAAGCAAGAGAAAGAAAAACTTTAATAAGCATCAAGGTTATTCTATCATTGGTATGAAACACAAATACAACAAACACATTAGTTTCTAGTTTATTAATAGACAATTTATTTATTTACAATTTGTAGCAAGTTTATGTAAACCAAAATCAAACTTGACAAAGATAGTAGAGCAATGGATAAAGGATTGGGAATCAGATGCTGAAAAGTCTATATTCTATTTGGTTAATTTGATTGTAGAGGCTGGTGGAGGAGAGGCATCGATCACTCATGAAGAGTTTTCTGAAAAGTCATTTGATGATGCAGCCAAAGACTACAATGACGCTGTTGAAGACTCTTCCACCTTTCCAATTGGAGGTAAAAAGGCCAAGGGTTTGCACAACCTCTTTATCGAGTTCTTTAGAGCCATCTATGCCAAGTGTCAGACATCGATCTTTTTTGAACACGAGGCCTATCTCTTGAATATGGTTATCCCATGGACCAACAAATTGGGAATGTTCAAGGTACGAGGTGTCAGATATGCCTCTACATTGGCTGCCATTCAACTTGCCAACACACTTATCAAACTATGGGCTCAGATCAAACAAGACCTCACACTCACCAGACAGAGATTGGCCAAGGAAAACAAGGAATCAGAATCATTTGAACAATACAAGAAAAATGAACAATTATACCAAAGTAAAAAGAAAGTAGTCGAACAACATCTCAACACCTTGATCCCACTCATCAAGACTAGAATCTCTGACAATTATCCAGAAACTCGTAGTATGTGTATTTCATCGGTTACTGAATGGGCCAAATCAATGCCAATTCAAACACTTTCCCAATTTGCTCTTGTCAAACATAATGATAAACCTCCAACTGGAAAACCAATTCTTCAAGATCTTGGTTATGCTTTAAATGATAGTGTATGTAGAAACAAGGAATAATAGTAGTAGTAAATTATATATTTAGTTACTTTATTCACTTACAAATTATTTTTTTATTTTTAGTCATTTGAGGTTAGATTAACAACAATCAATGCATTAAATGAACTTTATGGTAATGAAAATGCGGAAATGGAAGAATTTACAAGTAAATTCAAAGAGAGAGTGATTGAAATGGCAACATCTGACAAGAATGTAGAAGTTTGTATTCAAGCAATCAATTTGGTATCTACAATGTATGAAAAAGGAGTATTGGAGCAAGAGGAATTGGATGCAGTCTGTCAAAATTATACAGTTGATAATGCTCAATTATCAAGTGCTACTGGTGCCCTTATTTATAAAACTGTATTAAAGAAATCTGAAGATAAATTAACTACAAATAAGAAAAAAGGTAAATATTCAACAAATATAATATATTTATATTTATTAATTTTATTTATTTATTTTTAGATGTTAGATATCCAGTAAGAGAAGAAGAATTAAATGCAATTATTGAATTCCTTTCAACCAAATCAAAGGCTCCAGAAATCCCATACTATCTCGTATCGGCAATGTGGGGTCAAGCAGAAAAGATCTTTACAGATTGGCCATTCTTTGTTAATTTCCTTTCTGATCTCGATGAAAAGGATATCTCCGATAAACAATTAAATTGTATTGCCAAAATCATCAATGCCTCTGTTAAAATATCTTGTGGTGCAAATATTAAATTATTCCATACAGATAAAGATCAACAAAAAGACGACCAAGAAGAAGAAATTGAAGAAGATGTCGTATGTTTTAAATATTATATTTTTTTGGAAAAAGATTAATATTAATTTTTGTATTTCTTCTTCTTTTTATCTATTTAGTATGAAAAACCAAAAAAAGATGTAACAGATAATTTCTTACCAATCATTCCAGACTTGTTGGGAAAATACAAGACCAATTATGAATTTTGTGAGAATATCATAGAAATGACCCAATACTTTAAGTTGGACAAGTTTGAAGACATGAGACAACAGACCAAGTATGAAGAGTTGATTGTATCACTCAAAGACATTTACATGTTGGCTCCACAACAATCATTGCTTGAAACCACTGCATTCTCTCTACAATCATTGTCAAACGTACCAACGCAACTCAAAACCATTTTTAGATTAGAAGTGCAAGCCATCTTTAATAGTTTGGCACAATCTGTCCAAAAACTAGAACAAGACTTTGGAGAACAAAACCCAGATCGTCAAGAATTGGATAGTGGCGAGAGACAATCCATTCTCTACTCTCTCATCCTTCAACTCGAGAGATTGTTTTATATTGGAAGATGGATAAAGATTGATGGTGTAGACATTCATCTCGTCATGCTCCCACTGATGGAGGGTGTTGTCGGTCAACCAATCAGAAATAATCCAGAGTCTAGAGAAAGAATCATTGTCTTGTCAACTCAAATCTTGTCGCAATACATCATGTGGCTCATGACAGAAGTTTCTGCCTCTATCAATCGTGAAAATCCACTCATCGACGAGCTCAATGAAGATATTGTCTTTATCTTTTATCAATTTATTCATAGAATGAATAATATTCTAAACTCTGATAGTATTTCATTTAATCTTAGACATTTTGTATGTATACCACAAAGAACAACAACAAAGAATAACTTTTAATTAATTAATAATTTTTTTTTCCTTTTTAGACATTTAAAACAATGATTGAAGTTTTGATTTTATTTAATCCAAATTTAAGATCAACTCCACTCCATCTTTATTCATTCCATATTCCAGAATCTTCAAGACTATTAGAATTAAATCTAAAGATTTTATTTAAAACTTGTAAGATACAATAATAAGATCAAAGGGAACCCTTTAAACAAATATTAATATATTTATTTATTTTTTCCTATTTAGTGAATACAAAGATTATTGATGAAATTTCAAAGAGATTATCACCATCTGAATCAAATTCTCGTAAATCCACTACAACACCAAAGAAAAAGAATCAAAAGAAAAAGAAAACAACCACATCTGAAGGTGAAGAAAGCGAGGAAGTGTCAGAGGCTGATAATGAAGAGAGTGAAAACTCGGGCAATGAAGAGGAACCAGAAGAAAGCGAACCAGAAGAAGTGAAAACCTTACCAATTCCATTCCACATCACAAAAGATCCATGTGGACTGTTGGATAAAGAGGGAGAAGAACAAATGCTTGAATTGATTGTTTCATCAATTCAAGCCATTCAATGTGGCCTTTTGCATTCAAACAACGTAGGTGATATCATCAAGCAAGTTGCTCTCTCACCTGGCCCAGAATCAATTGCCACCATCACTGAATATCTCAGCGTCCTCAGAGGTAGAATCAAAAGAATGTTGTTGGAATCGGAATTGGTTTTCTCTTGCCTCAAGAACTTTTATTTGGTTTGTATCGAAAACTGTAATCAAGAAATGGATGATGAACAACCACAACAACAAGATGACTCAAAGAAATCAAAGACTCCTAAAAAGGGTAAAAAGACCACCAAAGGCTCTGACGAAGAAGACGAAATCGAGAATGAAAGCGACGAAGAAGAAGGAACCAAAAAGAAAACCAAGCCTCCCAAGTTGACAACCAAGCAATATATGTTTGATAGACTCAAAGAATTTTTGGGATGGTTATGTACACAATTTATCAGAAAAAATTCCCTTGGAAGTGTCTTTGTCAAATCTATGGAATACTTTTTTGGAACTGAATCAAACAATCACGAAGATCCAGAAAATCCAGAATTCCTTAGAGTTGTCAGTTATATCATTCCAAAACTAACTCCAGATGAAGCTCAAGAAATGTATGTAGAATAGAATATAATAATCAATTATTTATATAAGTTAACATATCTTATTCCTTTTCTATAGTTTGAAAAAGAAAAAGAAAAAAGAATTTGAATATGATGAAGAAAATCCTTTATTTATATCATTGAATAATATTTTCAAGATGGTAGAATTGATTGCAGACTCTGACAAGAATGATAAAAAGAAATTGAAATTCCAAAAGAGAAAAAAGGAACAAGAAGAGGAAGAAGATAGTGACAGCGATGAAGAAATGGATGGCGATCAATTGATCAAGAACCTCGTATCAATTGAACCAATAGCTAAACTAGCCTCGCCTTCTCCCAAAAAGAAACAAAAACCTTCAACGCCATCAAAGAAACAACAACCAAAAAAGAAAAAGAAAGAGCAACAAGAAGAAGAAGAGGAACAAGAGGAAGAGGAACAAGGAAACAAGAAAAAGAAAAAGAAATCAAAGAGTTCTCCAGATACAGAGGAACACGACGGTGTCGAAGAAGAGGAACAAGATGTCATGGAAGAATAATTATAAATATTTAAATATAAATAAAGATTAATGCCATTTATTGTACAGTCACCCTTTTTTTTTTGATAAACTATTATTGTTATTGTTAATATTATTATTAAGTTTTAAATTATATTCAGTTATTATTATTAATATTGCTCTTGAAATTCTGTTGTTTAAACGCGTTTCAAACATCCAGCATGCTACCTCTACTACTACTACTATACAATGATCGTATCCAAAAAGTCCTGGAATCTTTCAGCGTATTCATGTGGTGATACAGAAGAGATTTCATGTTTCTAGAGAGAAAAGTAAAAAAAAACATTATTATTATTATTATGTACACCACAACTTTGCCTTCATAGTACTTACAGATTGGGCACCATATTTAATAGTTTTATAAGTATGTTCGAATTTCTTTCGTATGCTGTACAACATCAAGATATCGATGATACCCATAAAATAAATATCTCCATTTGGATTGCCGTCCTCACCAACCGATTTTACACCTCCTTCATCTTGTTGGAAACTACCAATATAAAGTTCTTGAGTATCGAGAAGAGAAGATTGCTCCATTCTAGTCCTACTCATATGAGGTGAGTTTTCAACTGTATCGCTGCTTTCTGCAAGAAGATGATGTCTCGAAAGAGATGGAGAAGGTGGTTCTCGATCTGAACAATGAATTCCAACCAATAATGAGTAATCCATAATATTTAAAGATTCCAATAACTAAATAATAATAATAAAAAAGAATAATTAGAACCAACAAATAATATTATTTCTTTTTTTTTTTTCAACATACTTTGCAATCCTTTTTAATTTGATCAAGAAAAGCAACTCTTTTAGTTTGGCCTATACAAATTTTCTTTCCACTATTTCTAAAATCGATATCCTTGAATGTGACAGTGTCTGATTTCTTTTCGTTATCTGATGCTTCTCTTCCAATGATTGAACCCTTCAAATCATATCTTTGATGTATCTTTTTTTTAGTTGGGAAATTATTACCCATAACAACAAATCTCACTTGTCTTCCTCCGTGTGGTTTGACTCTAAATAATCCAAAAAATCTTGGTAATAAGGTATTTGGATTTTGAGTTAAATGCTAAATAAATAAAAAATAAAAAAAACATTGTTAATAATCTTTTTTCTTTCTTTTTGTTTCTTTTTCTTTTTTTTTCTTTTTTTCTTTCTTCTTACTTCTGTATAAGCAGGTAATAAAGATCTTAATAATTTTGCTTCATCTTTTGGAATTGTTTTGATGATAAACTTCATGTCATGAGAGAAAAAGAATAGTGAACCTGATTTTCCAGGAGTTGGAAGCTCACGAAGTGCATTTTCTCCATTCTTTAATGTGTTGCAAAGCGATACAAGGAAATCGGCTTGATCGATACCAAAACGATAACGAAGATAACGGAATGCCATTGGACAATAATCTTTGAATTTGAAAGGTCCTGTTGAATGTGCCTCTGTTTGAGAGGTACCTGTAGAGTCGAATCTCAACTCTTTTGGTGACAGATAAAACTCTGCCTTATGTTTAAAGTCTTTTGGTTCTCTTAGCGTGTGAAATTGTCCACTACTCGAAGAACCAGCTATATTATTTTTTCCAACTGCATTTCGAATACCAGTTTGAATGTTCATCATCAACGCCCAACTTGGATGTCCCTTGTAAATAATATCTCCAATTAAATTCTTTTTATGTTCCAATTTTATACTTCTTGGTCTAATATGTGATAATCTTCTTTCAGCTAAATATAAATATAAACAAATAATATTATTAATATTGATCAAATTATTGACATTGTATATAGTATTAGAATAGAATACTTACGTTTTGTTTTGGGTTTGAATTTACCGCTTTGTCCCAATTTTGACTAGAGAGTAAAAAAAAATGAAATTTTTATAAAGTTAGAAACGTCGTCAACTCCTATGATCTTTTTTTCTTTTCTTTCTTAGTCTATATAATTTCTATTTACCTTTCCTGGTGAATCTGTGAGTGATTTATCTTGATCTCCTTGTGTCAATTCTATCTTTACAGAATCTGATGAAGAACCCATGCTATTATTCATGAGTTCTAGTGGGATATTATTTAGTTGATTGGTGGATGATCTAAAGTTGGTTGGTTCTCCATTGGCCAAGTTTGGATTGAATAGTACTTGTGGAACATTGATTTCACTCTTGTTAAAAGATGATTCCTCTGGTGCCTCTGGGTTTTCAGCCTTTGGAACTACCTTTTCATTGTCTACAACATCTCCTACACTTCCATCCTTTCTCTTTGTCTCTCCTAATTCATCGACGATGATTTTCGTAGATGGAGTAGAGTCGGTAGAAGTAATAGGTGATGTTTTAATCTCTACAGTGTTGTTGTCTGATGTATCAGAAGTTGTAGTTGATGTGGATGTGGTAGTAGTTGTAGTTGTTGTTGTTGTTGTTGTTGTTGGAACTACTACTACAATTTCCTCATGCTCTTCTTCTTTATCTTTCTTTTCATCAGCTCCATCACCCTTTGGCGATGATTCGATGGTCTGAGAGGTAGGTAACTCCCCAACATGATGATTATCTATTGGTTGTGCCTCTAGTGACATTGGTTGTTGTTCAATTATAATAACGTCTGATACTGTTGTTGAACTACTCATTTAATATCAATATGTGATGATACCTAAATTATTATTATTATTATTACAATGTTAAATAAATTATGATGTGATGATGTGTATGTGGTGGATATTCTTTCTTATTCTTTATCAAACTATTATTGTTATTATTATGATTATTATGTTGATTTCAAGATTTGTACTAAAAGTAATACGGTGATGATGATGATGTTGATGTTGATGTTGTTGTTGATGTTGACTACTATACTATACTACTCTTAATAATTCTACTGCTACTACTAATGTTACAAAAGATATCGAAACGTTTGGGTTGACTCTGTACCTAATAACAAAAAAATAGGTTAGGTTTGGTGCGTTTGGGGGGATTGCTCACAGAGAGTGGTGGGATAATTATGATAATTTTGATCCAAAGGAGTGCTGCTTCGTCAAACTTACTTTTTTTTTTTTTTATCTTTTTCTATTTGTCTTTAAATTCTGTGAATCTTTAATACTAATACTAATAAGCAAGCAAACAAACAAACAACAAAAAACTATATAGAGTCTCTACTTGCTAAGTAAATGTCGGTATAAATCTAATAGTAGCAGGGATGATCAAGTTGGTGCTACCAGCAGACTTTTCACAAAACAAAACTTTTTTTTTTTTTTTTTTTCCACCAGTCGTAAACAATGGCGGTTATTGGAATAGCACATAACGAATGAATGGTGCACGTCATGGATTCTATTGCTGCAACGAAAAAGGTCATCTGACAACACATTCTTTGATTTTTTTTGAAATCCAAAGGTACCTGTCCAAATACAGCAAAATATAAGTTCATACCCTCGTGTACACTTTTAAGTAAATAATATTAATATCTCTCTCTCTTTGCCCAACATAGTAATATGCAACATATGTCGTCGCCGTATATAGTATATAGTATAGACTTGTGTATATCCAACAATTGATTCAATATAAAGTACGTTTCAGTCGATCAATTAAACATCTTCGACATGATAAAAATCGCAGAAAGATGCTGAAATTTTCATAGACAACCTCTTTGAAGATCAAAATGAGCTAGCTATTGCTGTGTCATTTCTTTGTTTAATTTAACTTTTTTTAGATAGATAGATATAGATAGACAGATATTTGTATACAAATATAAAGTCGTTCACAACTATTCAATTCAATTCAAATCATATCATCATCAATCATGTCACTCAATCAAACATTGATAAAAAGATTAACATTACTTAAATATCAGAAACCACAATATGTAAACATTGCAGAGCGTGAAGAGTTTATAGACCTTGTAAAGTTCCTCTTAGGAAAATATGGAGATGATCAACACAGTAAACAAGTCGTTCAAGATACTTCAGATCAATGGGAAGAGTTATTGATAAAGGTACTTTAAACATCATCTGACACATAGGCATAAAATCAAAGTACTAATTACATTAAAACTACATAGTATTTAAAGAATATAAAGTCACCACTTACAATAGTTGATACACAACAACTAAACGATGAAAAAGAAAAAGAAAAGGTTTTAGATTGGTTGACAATGATTTCTGTTAAAGTATTTTATAAATCTAATGGTATGTTTTGTTGAGATAGATTTAAAGATGCAAGGTTCCACCAACTAATAGGTTATTTAATTATTATAGCCGATCAAATACATGAAACTAAATATAAATGTTTACAAAAAATGAAATTAAAGAATTTCGATTGTAAGTTATATATAAGATTGATAGAACATTTATTATTATTATTATATTAATGGATAAATGGATTGATTGATTTATTTTTTAGGTTCACAAGAAGATTTAAAAGAATCTATAACAAAATTGGCAACATTATTTAATATTCCAAGTGGTGGTGATTTGACACAACTTTTACATTCCATCATTAGAATTGCAGAAAGAAAGTTTGTTGGTTTACCAGAATTAAAAGACGATAAAAATATTGAACAAGACAATACCGATAATAATAATAATAATAATACAACCAGTACGACTAGTACAACTAGTACAGCAAAACCCAATCCAATTCCAGCGATTACTGTTGTAACTTCAAAGGGTGGTAAAGTGAATGATGAAGTTTATCCATTGGGTTTTGATTTACATAACGATAAGATGAATACCGTTGCAACCATCCTCCGTTTACTTTATGTTTCAGATTTAAAAGAAGTTCAAAATAAGATTAATGAAGTTTTAGGTTTGTACAAACAAATTTATTATTATTATTATTATTTTTTATAGATTATTAACCTTTTTGTTATTATTATTATTATTATTTTAGCTTTGGTACAAACTTATACAGCAGATCCACAAACAAACTTTAAACTTGGTGTTGTTGGAAGATAATAATAATAAAAAAAGCCAATTTGGAATGGATGATTAATTATTATTATCCTATTTGTAAAACAACAAAAAAAATTTGTGATTGTTATTAATTGTGTAGAGAGTAGTCTTTTTCAACAAATTTGTGTTTGCAAGTGGTACAATTTACAAAAGAGTTCTTTGCAGACTATTCTTGTTTTGAGAATTCTATTTGTATGAGTGGATAAAACCCAAACTATATTCTTTGAAAATCTATATAAAGGGAGTCCAACCTTCATACATGGCAGATAGATTTTCAATGTTTTTTGCCTCTTTGATAACCATTTCAACTTGTTTCTCGACTGATAGTTTTTGATCAGTTCCTTCGAGTTTGAATCGAACCTGGTTTGCAACTGCCAAACCTTGAATACTTCTATTCTCATTGTAATTGGTTTGCTTGTTTGGTACAACTTCTTGTTTGGCGTCACTTTCCATTGTATCATCCATATTCTCCATGTTGAATGCAACAGAGGATGGTTCATCGTCATCACTTGATGGAGATCCATCACTGTCATCTTCATCATTGTCATCATCATTTGCAGCAGCCACAGAGTTTGTTCCAGATCCCTTTAACTTTTGTTGGTCTCCTCCTCCTCCTCCAGCTGCAACTGATGTTCCTCCTCCTCCTCCTCCTACACCTCCATCAGTCACAACATTATCTTCATTTTCTTTTGCAATGATTTCATTTTGTTTAAATTTCCAATCATACAATGGATCATAAATAAATGTTTCCAAAATATTTAATAATGTATGTTTGTTTCTAAATGAATGTAGAGAGATAGATAGATTATTATTATTATTATTAGCAAAAAGATAGTGACCAAATAATTTATGATTCATACTTTCTTAATAAACCTAAAACTTGAATACATGTTTCAGAGAATGTACCATTTACACCAGTTAATCCCAATGCATGTTCAATGATTTGAGTCATTCTAAATGGTACCTTTTCAGGTACTTTAAGTTGTAATCCTTTTTCAAAACAAATATCTGAAAAATTTAGAATTAGTATATTTCCTTTCTTCTTTCTTTTATCTTTCTTTTTTTCATTACTTACTATAATCAATATGAACAACTTCACCAGTTTTTAAATCAATTAAAATATTATCTAAATGTCTATCACCTAGACCAATGACATAACCAACCATTGACATCAATGCAAGAGATCTAGAGAATGATTGTGTTTTGAGGAATAGTTCAGAGGTTGAACAACTGGAATACCACAATTCACGTGATAGCAGCCATTTTGGGGTCTCGTTGACAAGGTCATTGTAGACTTTGATCAATACATCCTTGGGCCATTCGGATCTATGTACTCTGGAAATACCACGTTCGTTGAGAAGAGGAACGAGCTTGTTGTAAAAGAGATCGACGGGTCTGACAGATATACGTGGTGCTTCCTTTGCTTGTTGTTGTTGACTGGCATCACTCTTGTAGGTGATCTCATTACGATACCAATTCTTGTAGAGTGAGAATAGTGGTACGGCACTTTCCACCCACTGGATGATACCCGAGCTCTGGCTGAGAGGTACGACCGCATAACTACGCGTTCTGAGGTTACGCAAACTATTGCACTTTTTGTCAGTGATCAATAACTGATCGACAATGGTCTGGAACTGCATGACACGTTCGTCGAGATGCAAATCTTCCCTACCTTTGAGCAAATAAGAGTAGGACATACCATCGCTACCGAGGAACGATATCTTTTTAGGTTTGGTCTTGGTTGGCAGCAGATAGATGGTCGGTTGGACCGATTGGACACGCACGTCGCTTTGTCCAAGCCCGGGCATTGCTATTTGGGATGGATGGAAATCATAAAGCTGGGGACTGATCGAATAGAGGTCGAGATTGGCCAGACGGTTGAGTGCAAAGTGTTGGATCAACTCTTGTAGCGATACGAATGGGTTGGATGGTTTAGTCTGCTTCTCGATACATCTCACCACCTTGTTGATAATCTCATAGTGAGTGCTTGCAAACCACTTTTCGTGAGGTGTGTTGCACTGTAGGAGCAGAGTGGTTGATAAGAGTCTCTTGATCTTGTCCAAGACGGGTTGCATCAAACTGAGGTTCTTTCGTTTGAGCTTGGAGTTGAGGTTAGGAGTCTTTGCCTTTTTCATTGCGGCATATTCCACATTCCACTCTTTGATGTGCATACATATCCAAACGTGTATTTGTTCCATCAATTGGTGCCAGCTATCGTCCCATAGAATGGTGATATTCTCCAATCCCTTGATCAACACTTCAGTCTCTTGAACAAGTGTAGGACACTTGTCCAACAATTGTTTCTTGATCAACCCAATTGAATAATCTTTTTGTGGATTATAATTTTCAAAAGAGTTTGTTTTCACATTGTTGTTATTGTTATCAGACTGTGATTGTTGTTGTTGTTGTCTTAATAGTAATTGTTGGATTTGGTGTCCAACCATTGTAGAAAAGACAATTCTATTTGGATCGGCCACAGAGATGGCATTGAGAATATCAATGATCACTGATTGACTGTATTTTGAGCAATGTCCAAGTCTGGCAAACATCTGTGGAATAATGTCATAGAAGGGTGTGGCCGACACTGATTTGATGCATCGATCAAAGTTTTCTTGCAATTGGTCGCCATGATTCACCAAGAGGTTGAATATCTTTAATGTTGTTTGGATAGTAGATCGATCTGTATTATACTCTAGGTATTTGAAATAATTGTCGATTGCAATCTTTAGATACTTTGTTTTTTCAATTTCACTACAATGTTGTGATTGTTCAAAAGCCCAATCACCATATGAACTCCACATTTTAACATTTTCAGGTGTTGTCAAAGTTGCCTTTTTATAATATGATTCTAAAATGAATGAATAAAAGTATTAATATATTGTTATGTGGCTTGTATTTGATCAAAATTAACATACCAATATCAGTTAGGTCTGGTGATAAATTTGAAACATAGGATTGGAAAACTTGATTATTCTTATTGGCATTATAATATTTAATCAAGTGTAAATAGGATTTTGTTTTAATGGCAGAACTAATATTCTCTGGGAAAAGTCTAATACTATTTAATAAATCTTGGAATGCTTCAACCTAAATATTAAATATTAAATATAAATATATTGTAAGTATGTTGTATTTCTATTTCTATTTTTTTTATCTGTTTTATCTTTTTTTACCTTTTTATCTTGATGGTATTTTAATTTAATCTTTTCAAGAAAACAAGATGGGGAATGACTTTCTAGAATGGCATTTAATAGACGATGACAGAATCTATGATTCGAAGTTTTTCTAGAGAGTTGAATTAATTTCTCTGTCAGAGGGATATTGTAAAATAGAATATCGTTGCGATGTTGAGTTTGTGAGATGTGGTTTCTAGTACGACGTAGTCTTTCCAAATATCCAATCATTGGTTGTTGATTTGTGCATTCAGGCAATTGTTTAGTTTTCAAAGTAGTATTTAGAGTGGATGTCAAATTTGAATTGACACCATTCTCTAATTCATCGATAACTTTTAGCTGTGAGATGTATTGGAATGCTTGAACATTGGTTTCGAATCCAATTACATCTAAAGAGTCTTGAATAAGTGTTTTTGATCTTTTAATCAATTCTCCAACTTCACCTTGTGCACTACTACTACCACTACCACTACCACCATTTATCGATTGATCTTTTTGTATAATCATAATAGATAAAATTAATTCATCAACTGCCAATAAATTTCCTATCAATCCATTTGGTTCCTTCTACAAAAAATAAATAAATAAAAAGAATAATATAAAATTATGTTTTTTTGTTTCACATACATTTAAATCAGTAGTACATTCAGTTACAAATGGTTGTGAAGATTCTATATCACCTTTGGCAAAAGATGATAAAGTTTTCAAATAAGAATCCTTGTAAACCATTTTAACATTTGATTCTTTAATCTTTTCTTTATACTTTTGAATGAATTGTTCCATTTCTTGAAAATCAGATAATTCTATATATGATTTAATAATCTAGGAATGAAACCATGTGTTAGTAATACTAATTGTGTTTGTTTTGTTTTTTGATTTGATTATATTTACATGTTCAACAATAAAAGGGAATGATAAACTATTTGGATTGGTAGTAGAGATTAAAGGTGTAAGAGATAAAATAGATTCTTCAAAGTGTTGTTTTGAACTTTGAATCGTTCCATTGATCCATGGTGATGATAAAAGTGGTAGTGGTTGAGGTGATTGTGGTTTTTGAGGTGATTGTTCACGTTTGATATTCTCGCTCATCGATAGCATTTGTGCACTATTTGAAAGATTCGTAGTGGTTATAGTTTGATTATATTGATCGATCCATTTCGATAGACCTATTAGCGAATCTGCTTCACCCAATTGTTGGAATGCATTGGCAAGATGAATAATACAAAATTCTAGTTCATAATGTGCATGAGCTGGATCAACAAATCTACCTGCTCTTATATCATTAATTCTCTAAAAAAAAAATATAGATAGTTAATATATATATATATAGGCTTGGGGTATTTTCCAATCTTTTTTTATGATCTATTTACCAATGTAGCATGTCTAATGATATCGGGTGCAGAACTACACAATATACTAGATTTTAATAGATTGGTTCTAATTCTTGAGAACCAATCTTCGCTAACTCTACTATTTAATTTAAAAAATAATATTTCCTTTGATGATGGACCAGGTAGAATGACAGATCCATAGGCCGATGAAAATATTTGTTTTTCGAGTGAATCCATAAACAAAAGCATCAGTTTAATCTTTCCAAAATCCTTTCTCTCTCGAATCAGTTGGAGTATGACCTTTTCAAATATTTCAAATGTCTGTACACCTGATCCAAATGCAGTCTTTAATCTATTGTTAATACAATATCTACCACATTCCCACATGGCCCAATACCAAATTAATACACTTGATGTTGTAATATTTGATTCAACTTTTTCTACAAAAATAATAATATTAAGTATTTTGGGGACAACAACTATTACTTTCTTTCTTCCTATCTTTGTTTGTTTGAAACATACTTTTATCAAGTCTTTGATTCTCATTTGCTAAAATATGAATAATATTAAAACAATAGAATTGATCCAAAAGACTTTTTGTAATATCTTGTTTTGATATTGACATGTTATTACCAGCTCCATAGATCCATTCAAATATTCTTTTAAAAAAATCTGCAAATGGTTGTCCAATGGTACCTTGTGATCTCATCAATAATAACTAAGGATGAATGAATAAATGAATCCAATTAATAATCACAGATATCTGTGTACACTTGATATTATATTTTTACATACTTTATAAGGTAAAGCAATATCATTAACTTTTGAATTCTTTTGATAACCAACATCTATATAGGAAGCAGTTTTTGGTAAAAGATCGAGATAGCTTTGCTTGACAGATTCATCTTTCAACTCTGATAGTTTAAACAATGCCACTGATATTACTCTTCGACAGTGATTTGCATCGAGGAGTTGTTTGGTAACCAGTTGTTGAAAGATTGATGGTAGTCTTGTTTGGATGGATGTACTCTGTACATTGACCAAAGTAATTAGTTTTCTAAAGATGTCTTTGATCAGTGATGCCGATGATTCAATTACAGCGGCATTGTTGTTGACCGATTGCTTTGACAATAGATTTTGTAAAAGATGTAGATTTGCTTCCAAGGCAGCTCTACTCGCTCCCGTTCCAAGTTGTTTCATTTCGTTAACAATCACCTGTCTCAATAATTCTTGATTCATTCCATTGAATTTAACCAAAACAACCATTTGTGAAAGACATGTAATAATAGTTGGAATGATTTGATTATTTATCATTGTTGTTGAAGCAGATGAAGAGTGACTAGTATTATTATTATTATTATTATTATTATTATTATTGTTTAAAATATTCTTACAAGTATCATACAATGTAAAGATATTGGTTTGAATAGAATCACATTGAGATGGTACATGTGTAGCAATCTTTGTCAATAAATGTAGATTATAAAGTATCACTCTTTGATAATATGATTCACTATCTTCAAATGGTAATGTATTTGGTCTTTGATCGACTGTCTTTGTAGTTGTTGATGGTGATGTAGTTGTTGGTGGTGATGTTGCTGTGTTATTTGTGGTGGTGGTAGTTCTCTTTAATATCTTTACCATTGGTGATATTGATTTGATTGATGTTGTAGTATGACGGTGATCATTACCGTTACTAGTATGATTATTATTGCTATTATTATTATTATTTACATCTTTACATAGTTTAAGAATATATTCATTCTCATTATCAATGATTGTAATTATATCTTTTAAAATGGTATTTAATTCTTCTCCATTATTATTATTATTACTATCATTATTACTATTACTATTACTATTACTATTACTATTATTATGGTTTTGTTGTTGATGATGTTGATTGTGTTCTTCAGAAAGGTTGTAAATGATTGAATTAAAGGTCGATACAACAGCTTCACGAATATTATTCTTTGGATGGAACCTATTTGAGAATAGGTATTCTACATTATCCAATGTTATTATCTCTGCTCTTTTAGTTGACGATGCATTTTGTTGTTGTTGTTGTTGATGATGATCTACACTACCAAGGTTTGAAGCTGAATTACTCTTTGATATTAGAGTAGCAGTAGAATGTGGTATATAAGGTTCAGAGAATGGTGATAACTCTTTCTTTAATGTTGTTGGTGTTGTTGATGTTGATGTTGATGTGGATGTGGATGTGGATGATTTATTAGTACTGCTACCAATAATATCATCCATCTAATAGTACTAAATATACAATGGTATGGTTATACTGTTGCAGAAGAAGAATGATTATATTCTATATATAGAGTTGAGCTTCTTCTGTTGCAGCTGTGACACAATAGGTAGGTACTAGTCGTCAACTATATTATAATCTAAAAATGAACTTTTGTCACAAACTTATGAAAATATTTTGAAAATCAAGCCAAACATGGAAGTCAAAGATTATTAAGGTCGAAATAAATAATTTATTAATTTTACTTATTATTGTTGTTATAAATATACAGGGTTGCCTATTAACGAGTCAATGTCATTATATAATTTGGTGCTTGACCATAGTTGGCAGATGCGTAATGATCTAATTCTCTGATGAGACTAGGTGAAGCACATCGAATCACTTTGAGTGTTTCATTGGACTTGTTAAATACGTTGAAATGTTCGGGTGAAGAGGCAGATAGTTGTGAGATGGTTTCCATACAGACAGACTTTAATCTCTTGGCAAGGAATCTATCGGCCACTTGTAAAAGTAGACAAATATTGTCAAAGGCAATCTTGGCATCTTCCAATGTAATGATTTCCTCTTCTTCCTCTTTTGGTGATGGTGGTGTTAATGGTGCATCAATAGAACTTGTTGGAGATGTTGACAATAACAATAATTCAGTTGCCATTTGTTCTTGTCCAGATGCACCAGTTGCAATAGTAGTAGTAGATGGAGTTGGAGATGGAGATTGATTATTATTATTATTATTATTTGATTTTTCTTGTTGTTTTTGTTGACTTATAAATAATTTAATCATTGAATTGTTTGATTGTACAATTTGTCTGAGGTAATGTTCAGTGACCAACTTTAAATCTTGTACCATGAATCGATCGGCAAGACACAATAAATCAACTGCATTGTCTTGATTGACAATACTATCATTACTACCATAAATATATTCAATCATTGTCTTGAATGTCTCTTTATCAATATCATCTCCAACTTTGAAATCAACTTGATCCTTTTCTCTAAATCCACATTCAAACATTCTTCAAATGAAGTAAATAAAAGTAAGTATCTAATTAATTGATTAACTATTTCTATTTGTTTTTATACATACGTTTTAAAATAAGGATTTCTTGAAGCTAAAATACATTTATGAGATGGGATAATATCAGAACTACTGATTAATTGAAAGTTGATGTCGGTGTAGTCGAACGATCCAAGATGTTGAGTAATGTCATGTGAAAAGGTTGATGGTGGGATACCCTCGGCCATACGAAGACGATAGTTGTAACGAAGACAGAGACTGGCAAGTCTGGACACACCCCATTTCACGGCAACGTCTGCCAACTCTTTACGGAGATGTGGTGGGATGACCAAATGATCGGTGTAGAGATAGGTTAGGAACGATGTCCAAACTTGGTATTTGACGTTGGCAATGGTGATTTGACGCATTGGTTTATCTTGTCCACTCAAATCTTGCAACATACCATATCTCTTGTCGAGCAAGATAGTTGAATACAATCTTGGACATCTCGACTTGATAATGAATTTGTTGGCATACACCTTTTTATCTTGTACCAAAAACACAATATCACTATGTTTTTTATCATTCAACAAGTTACGATAGTCAAATGCAAAGGTGGTAGTATCGGTTGATCTCACAACCAACGAGTGTTTTTCACCGGCCGATATAGATGAAACAATTTCACCCGACAATGCTGGTACTCTTTGTGGGACCAATTGGAACTTGCGGTCACCAAACCCAAGACACCCACTTGCACCCCAACCCCAACTATAGACATCGTTGTCCTCGGTGACGACAATAGTATGTAAATGACCACATGTAACTTGTTTGACCTTGACACTAGCCAATGCCTCTACTTGTTGTGGCACAGCGTATTGAAGATGTGCCTCTCTTTCATTGCCATTTCCATTGCCACCTCTATTCCAATCACGGTATTGGTTCTCTTCAGTTGCACCCAATTGACCATACTCTCCATGTCCAAACGACCATAAACGACCATCAACAGTCAAAGCCATTGTAAAATTGGCTCCACATGCAACTTGTCTAACTTTTTGATTTAATTGATCTGCTTCACTAAATGCTAATACTTTTTTTGGATGTAAACATGATTTCAATTTACTAAACAAAATAGAAATAGAAGAGAAATAAATAATGTTAATATATGTATGTATGTTTGTTTTGTCTTTTGTCTTTTTTATTTTGACATACCCATGACCTAATTGACCAAAAACACCTAAACCCCAAGTAAATAGATCACCTTGATCAGAGATGACACCGATATGTTGACGACCACAACTAACAGAGACGATATGTACATTGGTGAAAAACTTTACTTGTTGTGGTAGACCGTGAAACCATCTGTCACCAAGACCAAGTTGTCCTTTTTCATTAAATCCCCATGTGAATACTTTGCCAGATTTGGTGACAGCTGCAGAGTATGCCCAACCTGCAGACATATCAACTACTTGTTGATTCTTGATTGATCCAACCAATAGTGGTGTCAATTGAACGCGATCGACAATCTTTCCAATATGTTTACCTTTTTGTTCGTTTTGACTGTCGTCGCCGCCGCTGCCAGCAGCTGCGTCAAATTCTTCATCCTTGTTGGTTAAATCCTCTGCATCTTCATTTTGTGCGCTTTGTGAATTAACATTACTAATATTCTTTGATGTTGGGTCATATGCTGCCTTGTCTCCACTTAAATATTGTGATAATGATTGTTCTGCAATTCTACTTGCAAATCCAATACCTTTCACTAAAAAGTAAATAAATTAAAAACAGTATTAATATATATACTCTAATTTGTTTGTTGTTTCACATACTTTCAATTAAACCAGATGGAGCTTCAAGACCTTTAGCAGACTTGTCAATCTCATGTAATTGTCCCCATTCATATATCTTGCCAGTATCGGTGAGAGCAAGAGAGTGAAAGTTACCACAAGCAACTCTAGTGATTCTTTCGTGAGCCAATGCAGTGATTACGTTGGGATGAGCGGTATTGTATTTCTCTGGATGTCCAAGTTGTCCTTCACGACCTCTTCCAAAACTATATACATCACCAAACTCTGTCACTGCCAAACTATGTGCTTCACCACACGCCGACATGACTATTCTCATACCACTCAAATTCTGAATGACAGATGGATCAAGATGATCCTTTTCCAATGCATGACCTAATTGTGATTGTTTATTTACTCCAAAACTAATAACTATGAAATAGATAGATAGATAGATAGAAAGATAGAAAGATAGAAATAGATAATAAAAATATAATTAATTATTATATTTTAAATTAAAATTAAATATTTATTGTGTTTCATATGACATGACATACCTGACATTTTGATATTTTATATATGATATAGATAGATATATTTGCTTTGCTTATGTTTGTTTAAAATTACAGTAGATTTGATTTTATCGATATATAGTAGTACTCTTTAAATTAAAAATTAAAAAGTGATATGATATATGTGTGTGAATATTATATTTGCTGCTTTTTGCCAGTGTGATATATATAAATAAATAGTTTGTTGTTGTTGTTGTTTGAGTTGTAGAATTGTATTGAATTGAATAGAATAGAATAGATTCTCTACTTTATAGTAAATATATATTTTGATAATGACCAATCCATTTTATATCAACAATATTCGCGCATTCAAAAAATAAATTAAAAACAAACCCCTCACGCTCAGTTCTTGTCGTGTATGCTGATTATTCTTCTTGTCTTCTTTGAATTTACCTAAAATTGTTAAAAAAACAAAGTTGGAACTTCCAACAAAAAATGCTTCCAAGGCTTTGTTTCCTTTCGTTTGGGTCGTACTATTACCAAATATAGATCTATCTATCAATTATCAAAGACAGATAGATATCTAAACGATATCACATCATATAGACTATACTAAAAACGGTAAAGGGTAAGGGTACACCGGTTCTATGAATTTTTAATAAATAAAAAGGTTGTTTATTATTATTATATATGTTTATTAATTATTGTCGTTATTATTATTTTCGTTGTTGTCAGAGGGAGGAGGAGCAACAATATTGTTGTTGTTGTTGTTGTTGTCAATATTGTTGTTGTCAGTGGGAGGAGCAACAATATTGTTGTTGTTGGTATTTTCAGGTTGTTGGTCTCTTCCTAATTGAGGAGTTGATGGAGTATTTAATAAATCAACATTTAAAGATTTGGTAGCAGCCATTTTACGTAAGAGTGCTGCATTTTGAGCGCCCGTCTCCTCAACCAACCAAGATAACAATGATGATTGATTTTGAAGTAGATTGTGTGGGGTATCCATTTCTTCGATGAGACCAGCATTCATAACCATAATTCGATCAGAATCCATAATAGTATTGAGACGGTGAGCAATGGTCAAAATGGTACAATCACTGAAATTCTCTCTTACAGTCTTTTGAATTAGATAATCTGTATTTGAATCAACCGAGGCAGTTGCTTCATCTAGGACGAGGATCTTTGGTTTACGTAAAAGAGCACGACCAAGACAAATAAGTTGACGTTGTCCAACAGACCAATTATCACCATTCTCTGTAACCTTTGATAAAAGACCACCTTCAATTTCTTGGACAACTTTCTTTAATTGAGTCTTTTCAAGGAGATCCCAAAGTTGTTCATCAGTACTTTCTTGGAATGGATCGAGATTGTCACGAAGAGTACCAGAGAACATGACAGCGTCTTGAGGGATGATACTGAGGTTACGTCTGAGATCTTTGAGACCGTATTGAGCGATGTCTTTGCCGTCGATGAGGATACGACCTTCGGAAGCTTCGATGAGACGGAAGAGAGCGAGTACGATGGAACTCTTGCCGGCACCTGTACGACCGACGATACCGATCTTTTCTTGAGGGAGGATGTTGCAGCTGATGCCCTTGAGGACGGGGTCCAATCCCTCACGATAACGCATGACAAGGTTGTCGAAGGTGATTTGACCGTGTTGAGGCCACTCTTTTTCAGGTCTACATGTTTCAATGACTTGTTGAGCTTCCTCGGGTCCGTTGATATAGTGTACGAGACGTTCTACACTGTTCATCTTGGTTTCGAGATCGGCACCTTGGAGTGTAGCTCTGTTGAGGTTACCCGTGATCGAGAGAGCGTAGGATAGAGAGAGACCAATGTTGGAGAGTGAGATACTGCCACGGTCGACAGTAATAAAGACGGCGGCGAAAAAGATGACAAGGTTACCGAGCACATCTAGACGGAGACCGAGCCACTGGTTCATGGCTTGGAGTGTGAGATAACAGTTGTTGTTGGTGTCTAGCTTGGTCTGGTTCGATACAATGTTGATGTCTTGTTGGCGGTAGGCACGGATGGTCTGCACACCAGACAACGTCTCACCAAAGTGTGCGAAAATGGGTGATCTAGAGATCGACTCGAGACGCTGTAACTCACGACTAGTGAAACGATAGAAATACTGTAAGATGTAGTAGATGATGATGATGGGTGCAAGTGGAACCAAAAGGAACGGTGTGATGATCGAGATGATGATAAGGGTGGCGACGACCGTTGTAAAGAACACCAAGTACTGACTGAGTGCCGGTGCTAGCAAATTGTCGATACCGTCAAGATCACGAGTAAAACGATTGATGATACGACCCAACGGAGTAGTGTCAAAGAACCACATGGGTGCTCTTAACAAAGCTTTAAACAATTGGTTGTGTAGTACAAGACCTGCTTTGACAGTATAGGTAAAGTAAAAGATATTACGTGCACCAGAGATGAGTACCGATCCTACACCAATACCAATGTAAATGTAGAGGTATTGTACATCTGACAGTCCCGAGTCATTGCCTGTTAGCTGTTCGTTTGACCAATGAGACAACCACCAATCGGTAACTGTACGTGTACCAGTATCAAACAAAAAGAGAACAAATACAAATGCAAAAAAGAGTAGTCCACCACTCTCAAAATACTTGAAATAAATTTTGAGTGAAACTGACCCACTCTCACGTTCCTCTTGTGAAATGAGTTTACCATCTTTGTTTTTAAGTTCTGCTTTCTCTTTTGGTTTAGATTTCTCTTCTTCCATTATAACTAATGATGAATCTTGTTTAGTAGAGACAGCAACAGGTGGTACAACTACTGCATTCTTGTCAACACCAACAGTCAACTCTTCAGATTCTGCAGGAGTTGAACTACCACCATTTTGCTCGCGAACAGTATCGTCGATACCGTAAGCTTCAAGTTGTTTAGAGAACTCTTGTTTGCTCTCCATGATTTGTTGGTAGGTTCCACGCTCGCTAATGTAACCGTGGTTCATGACAATGACGTTGTCGGCGAATGGTAGATAGTTGAGTTGGTTGGCTGCCAAGATAACAGTCTTTGACTTTAGTATACCGGTGATAGTCTTGTAAAACAAGTGTTTGCCTACATGTGCATCGACAGCTGACAATGGGTCATCGAGAATATAAATGTCTGCATCGTTGTAGACAGCTCTAGCAATCGAGACACGTTGCTTTTGACCACCACTCAAGTTGACACCACGTTCTCCAATCTCTACCAAATCACCTTGTGGAAAGAGTTCAATGTCACGTTCCAATGCACATGCCTGTAGAACACGTTGATACTTGACTTCATCAAACTCTGATCCAAACACGATATTGTCACGCAGCGATGCATTGATGATCCAGGCTTGTTGTGCGACATACGCAATCTTACCACGCACAGCAACCGACCCATCGATAGAGTTCATCTCTCCGAGCATTGCCTGACACAACGACGACTTGCCACTACCAACACTACCAACCACCATTGTTAAGGTCGGTCCAGTACACGACAATGTAATGTCGCTCAATGTGAATTCCTTTTTCTCTCCATCCGACAAGAATGATCCTCCTGTCACCGTGCTACCGTCTACATCTGGTCCTCCTACTCCAACCATTTGTTGTTGTGGTGTAGTAGATGCGACCTCTCCTCCTGCAGCCTGCTGTTGCTTTTTACCCTTTTTCTTTTTACCACCACGTTTGGCAGGTGCTTGTTCAGCTCCAGTTGCACCACCAGCAGTCTTATCAGCATCCTTTTTACCCCATGTAAATCTACCATTATCAATGTATACACCAACGGGTTTAGTGGGATCTGTTGGTTCTAAAAGTGGAACAATTTCGGGGTTCTGGAGGAACTGACCGATTCTACCAGTTGCAATTTGCAACTGAACGACCAATGCAATGATAATGGGAAGGAAACCAAGTGGCAAACGAAGAATATTTAAATAAGCCAATGCTGAAAAGATCTTGGCCGCATTCAATGTCTTGTTGTATCCATAATAAGTAGAGAATACCAATACACTCACCATTGTAGGTACAGCTGCAACAATAAAAATTAATCCTGCTCTCTAAAATTTAATATTCATTAAAAAAATGGTGGAAAGGTTAATATATATTTTATATGAAAAAGAATGAAAATAGAGTATAGGTATATATATATATATATATATACTTGTTAATGTTTGATACATACAACATAAGAGAATTTATAAAGATATTTAATTTCAAGACCACGTTTTTCTAATACTCTTTTGGCAAAACTGTCTTCCCATGCATACAATTTAATGATTTTAATGGCTTGTAGGATTTCATTGGTTGTTTTGACACGCGCATCGGTATAGGCAATCATAGCACGACGAATCTCTGTCAATTTCTTGGCAGCTACACCATTGAGTGGTGCCATGAAAAGCATGAGTGCCAACCCAATAAATGTAGGCCATCCAATTGCACGATTCATCAATACAATACAAACTATAATTTGGAATGGCGCAAAGACACCATTATTGATCAATAAAAATACTTCTACCATACGTTGAGCATCGTTACTCATAAGATTGACAATTTCTCCTGGTGATGTTGATGCTCTTGCTGAGAAATTTAGAAAATAGAAATAGAAAATAGAAAATAGAAAATAGAAAATAGAAAATAGAAAATAGAAATAGAAAATAGAAAGTGTGTGATTAGAAATAATAATAATAATAATCAATTATTATAATTGTGTATATATGTTTTAAATTTGACTTACCATCATTACTAAGACGAAGTGATTTTCTATAAACATCACAAACAATAGCTGAACGCATCCAATCACCTACACGAGCACTAATCATATTGGATTGGTATAGACAAAATGAACCAATCATAGCAGACCCAAACAAGGCAACTGCATAATAATAACCCATATTAACGTCGACATCTACACCTGGTACACCAGCATCCATCAATCTAACCTCGGTTACATAGATAACCATACGACTGAGTAATTCTGGGCCGACAAATTGTGAAGCTGCATAGATTGCATAGAATATCCAACTAATTGCAAAATATGGTCCAAATGCTCTCACTGCTGCTTTTGTATATGATGGTCTAAAAATATTAAAATAAAAAGGGGAAAAAAGGAGATTGAATTATTAATATTAATATTTGTGGTGATATATTCAGTGTAATAGATAGAACAAATATATAAATGTGTTATGGTCAAACACATACTGTGGTTTCTTTAATTCCAAATTCCATTGTTCTTCCATCTTTTTAACAATGGTAGATGATCTATCAAACGTAGCTAAATCTGGAAGATGGTGAATTTGTAATACATGGCGGAAACAGAACCAAACAAAACTGTCTGCCCACCAATACGTTAATCTAGACAATGGATTAGCTTTCTCCTCCGGGCTTGGACGACCACCAAACCCTGGTACTTCCTTTTCAACCTTTTTGATCTTTTTCTTGGTTGTTTTAGAGTCGAGATTTGCCATCTCGACATCATTTTGTTGTGTCATTTCCTAAATACTATATATATATATATCAATCACTATGATCTCTTTTCTCTGGAAATAATATAAATAAATAAATAATTAATTCTAAAAAAAAATAGAAATCAATTTATAAATAATAAAATAAGTTTATAAAAGAGAGTTAATATAGTTTTTTAAAAATTAATATAAATATTAAAATGGAAGTATATATATGTATGTGTTCGAAATCTGATATGATGCAACGATATTGTCGACAAGTAAATAGTTAAGGTGGTGGAGGCGGTGGTTGGGTAGTGGGTTGGATTAACAAAAGAAGAAGAATCAGAAGAAGGGAAGAAAGAATAAATAAAATAAGAATAACACTGATGATCAATCGCAACACAACATGAAATTTAAACAAAGAAAATGTGGTGGTTTGGTTGTCTTCCACATCAACAACAGCACCCCCCAATTAATATGAGTGGTGAGTGAATACATATGAGTGAGTGAATGGGTGGAGGGGAGGGTTTGGGGGTGATCAGTTGAAACATCATCGATGGCGCTTTTACCCCAAAAAGGAAGGTTAAAGAGGTATTAATGTGTTGTCGATTGATGTTGTTGTTGTTTTACAATGAGTAGTATAGTGATTTTGATTTGATTGATTCGATTGATAGTTGGTGTGTGATATTTTTAAAAAAAACACTCTGTTGCAATGTTGTGGTGCGTCTCTTACGTTTTATTTGTTTAAAAAGAAATGAACGTAATTGTACAACTTTAGTTGCTTTTGTCAACGAGTGATATATGAGAATAAATAAATAAATTTTGAATCTATCTCTCTCTTTGTATGAGTAGTGGGTGAGAATGGGGGATGTAAATAAAACAAACAGCAAAGAATTACCTCTTGTTGGCGTCACCAATGACGCTGCGATGATCTTGATGTCGTTGTGTGTTGAGGTACAAGAAAAGGTAGAAAACTCTAAGCTAAGAGCTACGGGGTTTGAAAATATAAATAACTAATTCTAATTATAATTCATTTATTTATAAGTGAAGGTGTTTCCCTCCTCCTCCTTGTTTATGTTCTCACAGACTCCTCATTGTTGTTTTCTTTCGCGACAGTCGCGTCATGGACGCAATGTCACTAGTTTTACAGACCACGCTCAAAAAAATCTGATCAGAAGCAAAACAAAGTTGCCCGAACTGGACATCCAACCATTCTATTCAAAACACCCAGTTGTAATTCCGATCGGATGTGGCAGCCCCTCGCACACTGAGCCAAATTTATGACTGGGAGTCTAACCAAGGAAATGTTGTCAATTGAATGTGGATGTTTCAATAAACAAACTCTCTTCTTTCGATTCAAGGGGTATTTCATACCTAGGATTATAAGAGTAAGATAGTAAGTACTCTTTTGGAAATTTGGACCGAGACAGACGGCAATTACACCGACACATCCAGTCATATGAGTAGAGAAGTAGTAATTAGTTGGCAATCAATATTGGTACTACTTTGACATTTGGGAATAGGATAGGATATATAGGGGGTTGTCAACACCAAACAAAACACACGTGTATCTGTGAATATTCAACAATACTCGTATCATCATCATCATCATCATTCGTCCTGAATCCTCACTTTTTAACCTATTTCATTGAACTTCAATCCTATTGACATGCCAATGAGATAAACTAATAGGTTCATATGAATACCAATCTTTTAAATTCAAGAGAATATACACTTTAACTAACAAGTCAATCCAACGCATGAATGAATGAACCAATATCATCATTCTTTGAATTTTTGATCAATCATTACAACTCTTCAACACAAAGATAAAAATTTTGATTATGCATCTCCAGCTCAACATGAGTTTTGTGTTACACTCTTTTCTTACCATCAAGCAAAGGAAACAAAGATCTTTGTTGTTCATCCAGAAAAGAAGAAACAAGAAGGGACAACAAACAATATGGATGTATTGATAGAGACTTTAAAAGATGATATACAGCAACAACAGCAAAAGAACAAACAGAATCAGAATCAACAACATCATCATCATCATAACGAAGGGGAAGAAGATGGTAATATAGTAATTGATAATTACAAGGTCGATTTGGATACACTTTATTCAACATTTACAACTCCCTTTGCATCATCGTCTTCATCATCATCGTCGTCTGAAGCATCATCCTATCCTCCTTTAGCTACAAACGGGTTGTTGGAGAATGCTATTGGTAAACTAAACAATCTCTTTCAAAGTGAATTGAATAGTATAAAGTATCAAGTAAGTCATTATCGTCCAACAAGTGGAGTAGCAGGAGGTAACACAACACAAGATAATAATAGTAGTAGTATTGGTAGTAGTAGTGGTAGTGCTATCAAATCATCAACTACATCCTCTTCATCAGACTCTAATCTCAATGTTAGTGCTGCTAGTTCATCAAAGATATCACCAAATAACAACTCATCACATAATAACGCTCTTGACAATGAATCTGAATGGAGATATTTGATCGATGCAGAGATTGCCGATCTCTATGAACTGGTTAAAGAATTAAAGAATAGCTTATACCGAAAAAAGGTGACCGATAGAGAAATTGAATCACCTTCTTCTCCCATTGTATGTATACATATTCCATCATATTAAATATAAAAATATTAATATCCAATACACTACTACTATTATTATTATTATTATAGTTGAGTGGAAAGGTAAATAATGTTGAATTGTACATGCATAGTGCTACATTTACCAATATATTACATCTAAAGAATGATTTGATTCAAATATTACAAGCATTACCATCTACACCTACCATTCCAACTAAACATCAACAACATCATCTTACTGTCAATAATAATAATAATAATAATAATCCTGTCATCAATATCCAAAATAATAATAACGCAACCAGTAATAATAATAATATACCAACACCATCTATTAATATTAATAATAATAATGAGACAATATTTAAAATACCAAAAATTACACCAACTCTAATCATTGATGATAATAATACTGTTCGTCTTCAAGACAATAATACATCACTCAAATCCAATAATCTTGATATAACAGTTAGTAGATCGGCACCAAGTTCACCAAGAACCAGTCGATCGAGATCATCATCAACTCACTCTAGCAGTGCATCCACTTCTCGTGATCATTCTCCATCACCAACCAAACTAAATATAACCAACAGCAACAACAACAATAACAATGGTGTTGTAGGAGACAACAACTCCCAACAATGTAATATATTATCATCACCTCTAAAGAAATCATCAACCATGAAAAATCCAAACTATCAACCTGGTAGTTTTGTAGTACCAAGATCACCAAGTAAAAATAATCTAACCACCAAAGACAATCAATCATCAATATCATTATTAGCGGCAACCAACAGTAAAAAACACCCAATCTCATCATTATCTTCTAGAAAGTCATTAGATGAACAAGAGGAAGAAATGAAAAATTGGATTTCAAGAACTCTTAATTTGGAATTAAAAGATACTAGTCCTCATTTACCAAATGATTGTCCATTATCACATCATCTAAGAAGTGGTGTAGTACTTTGTCAGTAAGTAAAATGTATTATTAATAATAATAATAATAATTTAAACTAACCTATCAACAATTTATTTTGTATAGATTGGTAAATGCACTTGCAAATAAAACATTGATTAAAAAGATTAATCATACCCCATCTGCATTCTTTCAAATTGAAAATATTATAAACTTTTGTCAAGCGTGTAATACTCTTGGTCTACAAGACCAAGACGTACCCAGCCCAATGGATATCCATAGTTCTGTAAACCCAAAGCTGTTTCTCCAAATCTTGTATAATTTGGCAAGAGTTACAAATCAACTTGATTTAATGCATCAATCCAGTAGTAGTAGTAAATAACGCAAACACTAAAGTAATTAAAACTAAAAAGTGTGATCCATAATATATAAAATAAATTGGTATATATTTAAACATTTGTATTTTTAAAAGAAAAAGAAAAAAGAAAAATGGTCCATGTCTATTTGTTTGTTGTAAATGTACACAACTTTGTATTTATTAAATATTATTTTAACATTGTTTTTGGTGCTTTTATATTTTTGTTATTATTATTATCATTGGGGAATTATTAATAGTGTTACTGTGCTTTTAAAAGATTGGAATGAATTGATCAATCTTTGATTTCATGTTTTGACTGATACATTCTGCAATCCAGACAATGTTTCTAATTTCTTGTTCTCTTAATTTAACGTAGGCGAAAAATACACCATAACCATATTGATCTAAAAGAAAATTAAATTAAATAATGTGATTAATAAATAAATATTATTATAAACTGATGAAATTTGTTCTTTCTCTTTCTTACCTTCAAAAGCCATACGATTCAAATGGACTTCATGCTTAAAGAAAGCATCTTCCAAAGATGATTCAGCGTTGACACCTTCGGAAAAGAAAGATTTGTAGGCACTGTATACTTCAAGGATTGATCTGACGTGGTCGACATCTTCAGCCTTGCTGAGCTTGGTTGTACCTTCTGGGTATAACAAACCAATAGATGGGTATAATTTTTCTCTGTCGTCCTTTGTCAATTCAGTAGCACCGAATGAATTGATTGTAATATTAATTGATCTTCTATCGGCTTCAAACTAAAAAAAGAAAAAAATAAATTAAATATTAGATATTAATATCTTGTCCTATCTGTCTATGTATATATATATTATTTACCTTGAGGATATCATTCATAATTAAAGAAGTTTGACCTCCTAATTCATTGCAGTAAGCATAAAAGTCTTCCAAATAGGCTTTGTAGAGGGTATTTCTAATAATTTCAATATTCATTTCATCCAAATCCTCTTCAGAGAGACAGTTTTGAATGTATGGGGCAAGTGGAGTATCAATCAATACGTTGTTGTATAAATCGGCAACGTTGTGTACGACAGACAAGGTAGCCATTGACTTGAACATACCGAGTGGATGACACTTGTCAACCAACTCTGAAACGTCACGTTCGTGAAGGGTACCAGTGATGAGCAACACGACATTATCGATCATGTAGCCATAGGAAATGTAGTCGAGGAAGGTGGAAAGTGGTTCGACCGATTGATTTCTGATTTGCATAAACTCATCAACCAACTTTTGTGTAGCCTTTTCTGCCATGGTTGTAGTGTGAATGGGTGATGGTTCACCTGCAAGGAAATCTCCATAATCTGTCTGAGAGAGATGTAACTTCATATCTAAATAGATAGATATATACAATTGTTGGTGTGGTGAATTAAAGAAAAAAGATATTAATAAATATTCATTCTCTTGTCCAAAAAAAAGAAAAGAAAAACTAAAGAGGTTTCTATGTTGATTTTTTTGTTTTAAATAGTATCTATCACATGTCTGTTTAACCAAAATATACATGTACTATTAAACCTCTTTTTGTCTTTTTGTTCTTGTTCTTGTTCCTGTTGCTGCTGTTGTAATTGTTGTTGTTGTTGTTGTTCTTACCTTCAAGTGAATCACATTGACGAAGATTAGTGTAATCGGCAGCAGACAAGATACCCTTTCTGAAACCACGGAGAAGTGCTTCTAAATAACCATCATCCTTGTTAAAGGTAAAGATGCTACCATGCTTTCTTGAACCGAAAAATACCATCTTGTCGTATATATCTGTTTATATGTATGTATGTATGTATATGTAATAGTTGTAATAGTAGCAAGTTGTATTGATATATAAAAGTACTAAGTGATTAGTTTGATTATTCTTGTATACAAGTCAATGTCGTAGTTGTCGAGTCTTCGAATTGTTTATATATTCTTATTCTACTTGACGCTTACAGTATGTAGTATTTTGAAAGTAAAAATAATTAAATATTTATTTTTCTTTCTCTCCTTCTCCCTCACGCTTTTGAACAAAATTGCTTTTGGGGCAGTTTCGATTTTTAAAAAGTTCGTTTGAATAACTCCCGCTACTTTCATCCTGGTTGCGACACTATCGTCACCTTTGACACTGGTACCTGTTCTGTTGTTGTGGTGGTAGTGTCTTTCAATCAATCTATCTCTGTTTTTAGATAATTATCATTATCTTATCTATCTATTTGTACTCATAAAATAAGGAATTCCTACACCAGTTGATATTTATAGAATAGATAAAGTAACAATAAAGAAGAGGGAAAGACGAACAAGGAATTTAACATCTCTGTATGTCTATCTATAAAACAAATAGATAATGAGTTCATTGGGGGTTATCCTCATCCATCACTATGTATTTATTTATAGATATGTGAGGATCTATCCAGAGATGATGGAACAATTATCACCATTCTCTTGTGGGTATGCGACCAATTTATTGTGAAGCCGGGCATTTTTGCTTTGACTTTTTAAGACTCTCGACAGAGTCGTTGTCGTCACCTTCATTCAGAAAGGGTGTCTTTTGAAAAAAAATGATGATGACCGATGAGGGACGCACCTCTGTGATCTCCTCCTTTTAATTGCACCAGTTGACTTTTGATAATTTGTGTAGTAGTGATAGATATATTATATTATATAAAGATGGTCGTAAAGAAGAAACAACAAACAACAGGTGCTCCTTTTGAGTTAAAGGAAAACATTGCTGGTGTTACTGATGTTCCAGCACCAGTTGTTGCAGATAACAAGAAGAGCAGCAAATCAAAAAAGGATGATAAGAAGACCACTACCGCCACCACTACTACTGCTGCTGCTGCTGCTGCTCCTCCAGTTGTAGCTGCTCCAGCCCCAGTTGTTGTTGCACCAACTCCAGTTGTTGTTGCTACTCCAGCTCCAGTTGCTGCTGCTGCTGCTGCCCCAGCTCCAGTTACTGAAAAGAAGGATAACAAGAAGAAGAACAATAAGAAGGATTCATCGGTTGTTGCTGAATCAACCCCAGCACCAGTTGTTGCCGAAAAGAAGAAACCAGCCTTCAAAAAGGTAGTTCCACCACCAGTTGTTGCCACTCCAAAGATTCAACAAAAGAAACATATCTTGCACTACCTCGACGTCGATGAAGACATGAACAACAGTCACTATGACGACAAATCAACAAGCGTCACTAAAAAGGAGGAAAAGAAGATTCAAAGACAACAACAAGAAAAGGAGAGATTGGAACAAAAGAAGAAGGCCAAGGTCAACTCGGTGGCCTCTGTCAAAAAGGAAAAGAAAAAGGAAGAGGATCAATTACTCGAACAACAACAAAAAATAGTAAAGGAAGAAGGTGGATGGTTAATCGAATTGATGGAATCTTTGGTCAAGCCAGGTGTTCCACAAGCCATCTACAAGATCATTTTCCTTTCCATCTTGGGTATCCTCACACTCTCACTATTTGCACTCTCTGCCAGTGGTCTTCCAAACAAGAACATTTATATGATTGTTTTGGCTGTTTTGGCCATCGGTCTTGGTTTATTGATTGCTTTGTTCATCAGTGAATATGCTAATTCAAGAGGACAAGTCATTCAAAATTTAAAGACAAATAAGAAAAAGAATTAAATCAAAAAAAAAAAAACAAATATAAAACAACAACAAATATAAAATAACAACAAACAACGACAACCATTTGCGACAAATATAATATATAAATCAATATACTAATAATACAGTAAAAAATACAAATTATAAATAATCATTCATATTTTAAGCAATATGCATGATGTAACTACAAATACAAATAGGAAAAAAAAAAGGAAATAATATTTAAGAGAGTAGTTTGTTGTTACAATATCACTTTGAAAAATAACTCGTAGTGAATTCATAGTTGATTCATAAATCCAAGATGATATTCATTGCCAATTTAATATCATTCAACATTATTATTTTTTTGATTATTATAATCGATGGTTGAATTAAGATAATATGTTACTATTCCTAATTGACATTGACTATTATGATTGGATATGAAGATTTCTATTCTTTATTAAATAACATTTATTGTTGGGTTTGTATTTTGATATAATAAAATAAAATTAATAATCACCTGGGGACGGATGGTGGAGGGTGGATGAATGGTGGAGGATGGAGGATGGTGGATAGATGGATGGATGATAGATGGATAGATGGATGGATGGATGGATAGATGGATGGATGGTGGATAGATGGATGGATAGATGGATGGATGGATGGATGGATGGATGGATGGATGATAGATGGATAGATGGATGGATGATGGACGGTGGATGGACGGTGGATGGATATGGATGGATGATAGATGGATGAATGGTGGATGGAATGAGATAGAAATGTTTAAGTCTTATATTTAATTATAATTTAAAAGATCTTTAATTTTATTTATTTCTTTGTATTAAACAATCATTATAACCAAAACCCCAACTACAGTCCATGTCAATAAAATAATATTACGACATTCAAAGTTGGACTTTTGTGATTCTATTTTAATTGGTCCATCATTCCAATGAATATTCATGAACCATCGATCCCAATAAAACATGATATATTCTTGATTTTCTAATTTTTGGCGGGTGGACTATGGATGGTTGATAATGCGCAATGGTGGCTGGGATTGGCGAAGACTTATGATGTCTGACGATAGTGGATGGAAAGACAATAGATGGTACCATGGAAGGTAGACAGATGATCCAATAGTATCTACCATCCACCACAGTCTATCATGTATCAACAAAAGTACATTGCTGATATTCTCTAAAATATCATCATTGCTTTTCTATCCACCTCGAGTACTCAACTAGTATATCTCTATCTATAGATAATATATATATATATATATATTATATGTATATATGTTGATATGGTTGTGAGTAACAAGTGATGATGAATAATTATAAATAAATAAATGGTCTGATCAAAAAGTCAGAGTTGGTGAAGTGGTGTGGTTGCTTTTTTATTTTATTTTTATTATAAAGTTTTTAATTTTAATAAATTAAAGTTACAAACCCATAAACCATCTTTGGATGCACACATTTATAAAGACACATATTGCTACAGTTGTATTGTCACAAATATTTGTTACAAATAATTATTACAATTCTGATGATGAATTAATTAATTTTAAATTCGTCAGAAAAATAATATTGATTTGGCGGGTAAAAGAATTATTAAATAAATAATAAAAAAGAGAGGGAAAAAAGAGAGAAAGAAAGAAATAAATAGAAAGAAATAGAAAAATATAGTTTTGGTTGTTCCCATGGTTGTTTAGACCATGGGAACAGTCCAAAAAAAAAAAAGCCCCCCAATGCGAAGAAAATCGACTTACACGGGGGCGAACCTGGGAAACCCTCTGGGTAAAAGTAATTGAATATCTTTTTGTAAAGGAAACCACTTGGGTAAAAGTAATTGAATATCTTTTTTGGGGTATAAAAGCCTAGGGACGTGGAACATGGATGGACGATGGTGGACTGGACAACGGACACGGACGACGGCAACGGAAAATGTATAAAAAGAAAAGAGTAGGAAGAGAGGGAAACCACTTGGGTAAAAGTAATTGAATATCTTTTTTTTAGAAAAGAAGAGGATTGTAATTGGTTGTTGTTGTAATTATTATTATTATTATTATTATCAGTAAATGTTGTTGGTTGTTGTAATTATTATTAATATTATTGGTTATTGTTATTATTATTATTAGTTAATGTTGTTGTATTATTGTATTGTTAAGATGTTGTTATTACCAAAAGAGTTGAAGAGAATAATGATTAGTGTACCTATAAAATAAAAAGAAAATGAGTCAGTAAGTTTATAATTAATTATCAACATTTGATACAGAGTTAATTATGTTGGTCTAGGAATTATGGTGATTGTTGCTTAGAAACTGGTACTCTTGATCACTGGATTTGGGATAATGGGCAACTGACTAGCGGATTGGTGATGAATGAATGATTGATTGGTGAATGAGGATTGTGGATTGGAGTGATTGGTAAAGATTGTAATGTTATTATTCTTTGTTGGTGAACAAGGAGAGGGTTTCATGTATATCGAAGAGGTAAAAAAGGAGGAGGAAGAGTTGGATTGTGACATATAAAATATATTGTTGTTGTTATTATCAAATGTATTCTTGTTATTATTATTTTTTAAGTTATTTTTTGTATTGTATGAATTATTATTGTTTGGTGGATTATTTTTTGTTGTCTGGATGGATTGGTGAACACGGATTGTGGATGCGTTGAAGTGATCGGCAAAGATTGTAATATTATTATTGTTTGTTGTTCTTGTGTTATTGATGTTGTTATTTGTTTTTGTATTTTTGTTATTGTTATTATTATTGTTGTTATTATTATTAATATTTTTTGATTGATTGTTGGTTGAGATGAATGTTCAACATGGTTGAAGAATGAGAATGATGATGAGTTGTTGGTATAATAAGTATTATTGTTGTTATTTGTATTTTTTAATTTGGTGTTGGTGGGGTTGTTTTTTAATCTTGAAATGTTGGAGTGTCTTGATTTAAATGGACTTGCAATTGATCTTGTTGAATTGAATATATTTGAGATATATGATGTGTTTGATGATGTGTATGAGTTGAAATGATTAGGAGAAATGGATGATGAATGAATTAATGAATAATAATAATCATTATTGTTTGATTGATTACTATTAAAAAGAATTGATTGGTTTTTAACATGGTCTAAACATGTTAATGAATTTGTCAATTGAACAGACCCCTCCTTGTCTAAAAGAATGTGGTTGTTGGTTGTTGAATGAGTTAAAATATCACTAGATTTAAAACATGGAATCGATGGTTGATGGTCATTGAAGAATGAAATATTATTATTATTATTATTATCTATGGGAATTGATTGGTTGAAATATGAAAATGAGATTGTATTGCTGTTGCTGTTCAATTGAACAGACTCTTCCTGATCGAAATTAATATTGTTGGTGGTTGTTGAATGATTTGGTGATTGACAATGAAACAAAACATCGCTAGAGTTTAATGGAATGGGTGACATGGATTGAGACAAAACATTTAAATTAAAAGGAATTGAAACTGTGGATGAATTAAAAGATAAATTATAATTATTATTGTTGTTGTTGTCAACAGGAAAGAATGTATGATTTGATTGACATTGACTTTGATATAATGTATCACTGGAATTATAAAATAAAATGGTTGATTGATGGAAAGAAATATTATTATTATTATTATTATTATTATGAATTGAATGATGTTCAACATGGTTGGACAATGAGATTGTGATTGTGTTTGTGTTGTTGTTGTTGTTCGATTGAACAGTCTTTTCCTTTTCTTCTAAAAGAATGGGGTGGTTGGTTGAGTAATTTGAAATTAATGGTTGTGATTGACATTGGGGCACAATAAAATCTATATTAATTGATAATAATGGGTGAATAAATGAAAAGGAGTTATTATTATTATTTGAGGATGGTGGAGCGATTTGTGAATATTGATTGTGAGTTGAATTGTGAATGTGGATTGTGGCGAGGATTGTATCATGATTGATTGGTGATGATGATGATTGTTGGCTTTGTATTGTTGTATGATTTGAATGATTGGTTCCGAAACAGTTGAGAGAATAAAAATAATTGTTGCCAACTTTGGTATCTATAAAAATAAAAGAGGTATCAGTAAAATGCTTTAAATTGTCAGAGCTTGTTACCGCTTTGTTTTGAGATCTTGAAACGATGGAGTGTGTTGAAAATGGTCTTGTCGTTGATATTGGACACATTGAGATTGTTGTTGTTGGATTGTTTAATGTGAATGTGGGAGAGTTGAAATTGAACAAAGATGGAGTTGGAACAAAATGATTGGTTGTTGAAATGGTTGGAGTAGTGTAATGATTGGATGTTGGATGATTTAATGAAGAATTATTATTATTATTATTTTTTTTTTGTTTGTTGGTTGAAATGAATGTTTCAACATGGTTGAAACATGAGAATGATGATGATGATGATGAGTTGTTGTTGTTATTTGTATTTTTTAATTTAATGTTATTATTGCTGTTATGGTTTGTATTTTTTAATGGCTGTGGATTGAAGTGATTGGCTAAAATTGTAATAATATTACGATTATTATTGGTTGGCGAACAACGAAGGGTTGGTCTGTCTGTGGAAGAGGAATACTTATTATTATTATTATTATTATTATTATTATTATTATTATTATTATTATTATTATTATTATTATTTGTTGTGATGTTATTGTTATTATTATTATTATTAATTGTTGGTCTTTTGTTGTTATTATTTTTTGTATTTGTATTTTTATTTTTGTTGTTGTTATTATTATTATTAGAAGATTGTCCAATGGTTTGAGGATTGTGGGTCGATCGGAGATGAATGTGGAGGGTGGATGGATTGGTGAGGAATGTGAGATTGTTTGATTGGCAATGAGTTAAAATATGACTTGTATTAAAACATGGAATCAATAATGTTGGACATTGAAGAATGAAATATTATTATTATTGATTGGTTGATGATCGAAACATGGGATTGAAGTTGTTCTGTTGCTGTTCGATTGAACATATAAAAGAATGTGGTTGTTGGTTGTTGAGTGATTTAATGGTAATTGAAAATTAAAAGGAATTGACACTGTGGATGAATTAAAAAATAAATAATTATTATTGTTGTCAGGAACTAATGAATGATTGGATTGGCATTGAGTATCACTTGAATTATAAAATAAAATGGTAGATTGATGGAAAGAAATACTATTATTATTATAATTATGAATTGAATGATGTTCAACATGGTTGAACAATAAGATTGTGGTTGTGTTGTTGTTGTTGTTGTTCAATTGAAAAGATACCTCCTTCTGCTCCTCTTCTGCTAAAAGAAAATGGTTGGTTGTTGAATGATTAAAGAGTAATCGTGATGATTGACAATTGATCGAAACATCACTTGAATTAAATGGAATGTATAATGAGTGAATTAAATGGAATGTATAATAAGTGAGGCTGATTCATTGGTATTATTTTTGTTGTTATTATTATTATTATTTGAGGATGGTGGAATGATTTGTGAATGTGGATTGTGAGTTGATTTGTGAGTGTGGATTGTATCATGATTGATTGGTGATGATAATTGTTGTTGTTGTATTGTTGAATGATTTGAATGATTGGTTGCGAAACAGTTGAGAGTATCAAAATAATTGTTGCCAACTTTGGTATCTATAAAAATAAAAGAAGAGGTATCAGTAAAATGCTTTAAATTGTCAGAGCTTGTTACCGCATTGTTGTTTTCTATTCTTGAGATGTTGCTAGAGTATCTTGAAAATGGGCTTGTATTTGATCTTGTTGAATTAATTGTATTTGATAATAAATATAATGTTGATGATGATAATGTGGAAGTGTTTGAAGAGTTAAAATAATCAGATGAAAATGGAATAGGTGAAATTAATGATGATGATTGAAATAACGAAAAATAGTTATTATTATTATTTGATCGATTATTAATAGGAATTGATTGATGTTTAACATGGTCTAAACATGTTAATGAATGTGTGCTGCTGCTGTTGTTCAATTGAACAAACTCCTCCTTGTCTAAAAGAATGTGGTTGTTGGTTGTTGAATGTGTTAAAATACACCTTGCATGGTTGAAACATGAGATTGTGTTGTTGTTGCTGTTGCTGTTCAATTGAACATACTCTTCCTCTTCCTCTTCCTCCTCCTCTTTGTCGTCATAGAAAATAATATGGTTGTTGGTTGAGTGACTTAATGGTAACTGGAAATGGGATTTGGACAAAACATTTAAATTTAAAGGAATTGAAATTGACATTGTTGAATTAAAAGTTAAATTATTATTATTATTAATATTTTTGTTATAGACAGGAATAAAAGTATGGTTTGATGGAAAATGACATTGAGAAACAATATGATTTGAATCAAATTCGGTTTGTGAAATAGATGAATCGATATCGTTATTATTATTATTATTGTTTTTGTGGTTTTTGTTTTTGTTGTTTTTGTTTTTGTTGTTTTTGTTTTTGATAAGAATGATTGGATGTTCAAAATGATTAAAAGATAACAATGAAACGGATGATGGCTGCATCATCATAGACAAAGAAATATTTTTATTTTGGATGATTTTAGATTGTTGTTCAACACGGTTGAACAATGAAAAAGATGATGATGATGACAATGAATTGGTGTCGTTGACAAAGACATATTGGTTGTTGCAAGACATATTGGCAAAAACAGATGATACAAGGATACACAAAATAAAGATGATAATTAATGGGTTCATGATTGGATAATGAATTTAAAATAAATGATTTGATTGTTGATAGGTTGTAGTAATGATTGTGTTGCTGTAAGACTATAGATAGATGGGTAAGTAGATAAGAAAAAAAAAAATAAGAGAAAGAGAAATGGTTAAATTAAAGTTTAAGAGTTTGAGTTGGATTTGTATAGATAGAGTAGGTCAGAGAGATAGAGAGAAAGAGAGAGAGAGATAATAATAGAACACTAATATTATCTGTATATCATACGATTTTTGAAACAAGTTTCATAAAAGAAATAAAATTTGTGATCAGCGGATAAATAGAGTATGAGAGAGAGAGAAGGTTGGTAGGGTATACCAAGAAACACTCTCTGTAATTATTTAAATATTTAAATTTATTTAGTTGGTGTGGGTAGTGGGGTTTATATCTGATGCGAATAAAATTAATTTTCATTGCTGTCGTCTTAAACGAGTTTGACTAAAAAGGGATTACAATCAGCACACTATTAATAATACCCCACCAATTAAATTAAATTCGTCAGCCGGCTGTCTGTCACACACTAGAACGCACACAGCAGAGGAGTTGTAATAATAATATTTTCTTTATATATTCATTATTTATTTATTTAAATTAATAGAATTCTTGATCAATAGATAATAATGTTGATTTTGTTTCGGTATTTGAAAGTTTCTTTTCTTTCCATTGATTTAATAGATTTAATTCATTTGTTGATGATGTTGAAGTGGCAGTGGAAGGTTGTTGAGGAATATTTGTATCAGAGAATAATGATATTTCACCTGGACTTTGAAGACGAGCCAAAAAGTTATCAGTTGTTCTTGGTAGTTTTTGTAACCATAGATCAATAATATTTTGGAAAGAGGTGAGAACTGCTGAATTTGATGATCTAAATTCAAATCTACCTTGAATCTCTTTTCTTTCTCCATCTACTATTTTGTTTACTCCAGATAAAATAAAACAAAATTGATCATTAAACCATGTTGATGATGAAAATGCAAACTAAATTTAAATATAAATAATTAGTAAAATATTATTATTATTCCAAACAATTTGATTGATTGATTGATTGTTACATACTTGGAAATTTGAATCATCAAAATAAGTTGAATGAACATTATGAAGTGGATAGGATAATAAACAGGTGTTGATGAGTTGAGCGTCTAGGTTTTGACCTTCAAAGATGACATCGATGATGAGGGATGCTTCGTAACGTGGCCATTGTTGGAGGAATTGATGTTTGTTGTATTTAAAGGGGATCAGGAATTGGTTCCAGTCAAATACATAGTCGGTGCATCTTGTTTCGATGGGGACCATTGGAGAGAGTGTTGGAGCGGTCGACGAGGAAAGATTGGATGATGCAGCCGAGGAGGCATAGTTGGCAGCAGAGGGAGAGGTTGCTGTTTGTGTAGACGATGAGGAAGGCGATGATTGTGACGACGACGACGATGTAATGGCAATCTGACTGGATGATGGGGTGGTAGAAGGTGATGGTTGATTCGACGACGACGACGACAAGGTAGAGGTGGTAGTAGAGGTCGACGATGATTGCGACAACTGTTGAGGTTGATTAGACGAAGGAGCAAGTCCACCAATTTGGGCGGATTGCTTGTGAGTGATACCTTGGTCAAGTTCGACCATTCCACTAGGATGCGTATATGTTACAGAAAAGGTGACGTAGTTGAGATCGATGCCAGTGACAGAGAGTGGCAACTCAAAGGTGTAGCACTTCTCGGGCAACAGTTTGGGAATACTGTGCTTGGAGTGTGTTTGTGGGTGTGGGAACTCGAGATGGCCCGCCAAGCCAACCAAGACAACCAAGTTCTTGATGGCAAAGTTGATGACGTTGGTGACGGTCACTGACAACGAGATGGTGTGCAGTGTGGGGTGAGCAGTGTGCGACACCTCGATCCAGACTGGGTCGCAGTACCCGCTGACGAGTGTAATGTCGCGGCATGGACGGTCGCGTACCGAAGCACCATAATGTACGCCTGCAAGTCCCGTGATGGCCTTTTTACACTCGTACGCAAAGATATCGGTTGCTGAACGCAGGCTAGACGCGCTGTCCAACATCTCTATTGGGATACAGTAGGAAAAGTCGACACCTGCCAACGTAGCGAGTGTTGGTGATGCAACGAACCCTTGCAACGCGTTTTTAATGAATCGTGCACGTGACACGACGGCCTTGTTGGAGGCATAGGTGGTCAACATGTCGTCCAAAGCACGTCCGACCAATGTCTCAGCCGAGCTGACGTTGGCACCGAGCAAAAAGAGGCATTCAAGTGATCCCAACCAGAACCCAGACATGGGGTGGAGCTGTGCGGGGTGAGCACGTCCATACTGACTGACACCCATCACCATGTCACGCACACTACCATTGTATTGCATAAGCTTGGGTTGGTTATCGAGAAAGAGGAATCTACGACGCAATATATTGACAATCAACGACGTGTCACTCTGTTCATACACCTTGTTGTTGGATGGGTACTTGAGTAGATGTTGACACACCAAAAAGATGGATTGCAAGCAAATATAGTCGGATGGAATCATAGCGATAAAGTCGAGTAGGTCAGTACGTAACAATGACAATAGTTTCTGGCTGTGTGATGACTCGACGTTTGTTGTTGACTCTGCACCAGAATTCTGTTGTTGTTGTTGTTGCTGTTGCAATGTGACACGACACAACCAATCAACAAAGCGAAGACAATACTCGATGGCAGAGATACGCTCTCCCGGCCAGATAACGCATTTGAGACACACCTCGGATATGTTTAGAGCGATTTGGTGTAGATAGTATAGGTTGGTCGCATTGATCTTTCCATTATTCGAGTTTACTTGTGATGATGGTGTCTGGGGTTGCTGGTATTTCGAGAGGATGTTGTGGTGACTGGCAATCATTGACACGACAACCTCTTCACGGAAACTGCTAGTGTCGTCTTGGAACGCCAACACGAGGTAGGCGTCTTGCATGAGTGGGCCGATGAGGTTGCTCTTGCCCGATGTAGCAACATTTCGTTCAATGAGCAGCTCAAAGGTGCGGATGAGGTAGCTGACACGTTGGTTCGAGTCAGAGATGGAGCGAATCGATGGGAAGATCTTGCACAGCGTAGTGAGGAGCAGGTCGTCGGTCAGCATTGGCAAGACGCACATAACCGACAATAGGATGGGTAGAGGGTTGAGAGTAACACCCTCACGACGCAACAACCCGACAAAGGCGGTCAGCACCGGGTTGATCCACGTGTCATTGTGTTGGTTGTGTTGTGTGAGCAATAGGTTGAGGATCGCCTTTCCAACTGCAAACACCAACGCGTCGTTGGCGACACCCAGCAACTGCATAAAGTGTTCTACCAATATCGATACAATGTTTTGTGGTGTTGTTAGATGTTTGTGCTTTTGCGATAGCTTGGGTGCATCGGTCGCAGGCCAGTATGGCACACCTGCAGCACGTGAGATTGTGTCGGCGAGATAGGTCAACGTGTTGACGGCCACGTGGCGGTTGTTTAGGTCGATATGGTCACTACGCTGCAAAAGCAGATCAAAGTGGTCGACTAGACGTGCACACACAAAATCACCATAGATGCCCAACTGCTGACGACGTCCGACACCATTGTCAAACTCATCGCTGTGACTAACCGATCGCGTAATCTCTGAAAACAGCATCGACACTGCATTAAACGCCGACAAGTAGACGGCTGGTTGTTGTTCGTCCAATATTCTATCAATCACCAGTTCCCATCCAGTCGTCACAAATGATTTGTATTGTTGCAACACTGCCTTTCTATAAAACAGCAATGTAGCCAATGTATCCAATGCAGATCTACGAATCGATTGATTTTGATGTCTAACCAATGGTCCAAAATCAGCATTACCCATCATCAACAACTCTGTCAATATCGGTGATATATGTGGCAACGTTTTCAATATACTAATTACAACCTCTACATCATCACTATTTAAATCTTTTACTAATATTGATATTGCTAATGACCTAGAGAGAGAGAGAGAGATAGAAAAAGAAAGAAAGAGGAATAGTTAGATTATAGATTGTACAATGAGTTATTTTTAGATGAGGATGTATTACCAATCATTTTGAGTTCCTTTACAACTCTTTAATACATTATATGCTAATATTCTAGTGGTTTTGTTATCACATTCTTGTAATACCTGTCGATTGATAGTAAAAGTAGTAGTGGGGATCAGTACTCTGCTCATCAATCATTGTGTGATGATCACTCAACAAACATCATATAACATACCCTAAGTATAGATGAAAAGAAGATAGTTGGATCCTTTCCTTGATTGATCCAACACTGATTCAACTTTTGTAGTCCTCCCAACTGCTTGATTGGATCGTTACTATTTATATCATCATGAATTTCATTCTCCATTGGATGATGTTATCGTTTTACGCTGTTGTTATTATATATATTACACTACTTCTTCTTCTTCTTCTTCTTGTTTGACCACTTGATTTGATTATTCTACTACTAGTACACTTGTTATCTCTTATCTCTCTTGTTATATAATACACTCCGGAGTCCTTTTATAAATTAATAACACTTTTAGTAACAGGGACGGGTGATGTCTAGGTGTGTGATTTGTTGAAGCCACTCACAAGATTTTCAAAAAAAAAGGTTGGTTTAAATGAAACTTGTTAACACACTAAAATAATTATTAGAGATAAATCATCAAGTTGGAAAAGCACACAATCATTCAATAATATTTTAATCAACAACTTGGTAAAAAATAAATAAATTCCTATATTTATATCTATAAAACTATTTAAACCTATATAAAACTATATTATTAATTATATTATACACAAAAAAATGATGTGAAAATGAAATTGATTTACTGACCGATTGTTATTCATCTTCTTTATTCTCCTTTAGCTGTTAGTTATCAATATATAATATATATCTATTATATTGAATGATGACGAGTCAACCAACTACCACTGCTCCTGCACCATTCAGAGGATTATACGATGTCGATGTTGATGTTGATATGACCAGCACCAACAACAACAATAACGCGCTACCTCTATCAACATCAGAGGTATCAACTACGACCACATCATCAACTGATGATCAGAAACAACAACAACAAAGTTTATCAACTTCTGATTCTCCACCAAACAACAGTGGTAGTAAAGCAGCACCAACAACTACAACTACAACTACAACTACTTTGGTAAAGTCATCTGGTTTAAAACTACCTCCAAGAATACTTCAATTGGCTGCAACTTTAAAGAAACAACAACCATTATTGGGTAGCAAGAAACCTGCTCCATCCTTTACATCAAATAATACTAGTACTTTTAACACCTCTTCGCCAACATCTTCATCGTCACCATCCTCTTTTGGATTTGGTGGTGGAAGAACAGAATCACCCTCTACATCAATCAATATGTTTAGATACGATGAAGACGATGTAATATTGGATGAATACAATCCTTGGAAACCAAACGACTATGAACAATACGCAAAACAAAAAAGATAAAGATGGAACAGAATAATCAAAATCATCCTCATCCTCCTCCTCCCGCACATCACCATCATCATAGAGGTGGTAGAAACAATCATGGTAATAGAGGTGGAAGAGGTGGGGATAGAGGAGGTGATAGAGGTGGCGATAGAGGAGGCGATAGAGGCGGTGATAGAGGAGGAGACAGAGGTGGCGATAGAGGAGGTGATAGAGGAGGTGATAGAGGAGGAGATAGAGGAGGCGATAGAGGAGGAGATAGAGGTGGTGACAGAGGAGGAGATAGGGGAGGAGACAGAGGAGGAGATGATTATCGCCACCAACAACCTCCACCACTTCCAAATTACCATGATATTTCTGGAGATGAAGCTTATCAAAGACGTGGTAGAATGCAACATAATAATAATAATAACAATAATAATAATCAACAACGTGATTCTCGTGACAATCGTGATTCACGTGACTCTCATCATAACCGTGACTCTCAAATACCGCCCAATTGTAGTTCCCATCCAACAAAAATTATTATGATAACAGTAACTATTTTAAATCTATTACCATTTCCATTTATTTATTACTATTATAACATTATATTATATATATAATATCCTGTCTATCTATCAAAGTATATTAATATACCAATAATTGAATTAAAAAACTAACTTTTTTACATTTTAAGAATATTGCATCAAGAGATGTAAAGGATGATATAGAATATGAATGTAAAAAATATGGAAGAATCAATAATACGATTGTTCATCCCAACCCAAGCAAGAAAAGATCGTTTTCCAATGACAATAATGACGATTCCATAAAGTTATTTGTAGAGTACCTCTCGATAGATGCAGCCATTGATGCTTGTAAAGATCTAAATGACCGATTCTTTGACAAGAGAAAAATAACAGTCCACTTTTTTAATGAAAATCATTATTTTGATAAACAATTTGACTAGACAAAGAGTAGTATAATAATATTCTGTTTGGAAACAATAAATTTTGTATCATAATAATAATAATAATAATATTCAATATGTTATTGTATATACTGTTTTTTTTTATTATTAATCTTTTTTCTTTTTCTTTCCAAAACCTTCTTTTCGATCCAAAATGACAGTCTCATCGTTGCTATTATTATTATTTTCCTTTGGTTTAAAGGTACGACGAGGTTTGTCGTTATCTGAATCATTTTCCCTTGGTTTAAAGGTACGACGAGGTTTGTCGTTGTCTGAATCATTTTGAGGTTGTTGTTGACGGAATAGTTTTGTGAATAATTTTGGAGCGACTGTTTTATCTCTTGATTTGGAAAATGTATTTCTGGAGGCACGTTGATCAGATATCTTTTTACCATAACGTGATTGAGTTGTAAGCTTTGATCTTGCTCTTTGTTGAATCTTTTCGTTTAGTGTGTTGACAATTTCTTGTGCTCGCTCATCGCCTTGGTCAGCTGCCTTTTGGAACCATAGTGCTGCCTTGACTGTGTTCTTTTCAATGCCGTAACCTTCATTGTACGCCTTACCTACGAGATATTGCGAGTCGGCGTTACCTTGGGTGGCAGCACTCAAGTAGAGGTGGAAGGAATAGGGAAGGTTACGGTCGACCGTCAGACCCATCTCGTACATTGATCCGAGACAAAATTGTGATTCGGCGTATCCACCCTCTGCAGCACGCGTCCACAACATAAAACTGTTTCGATAGTCTGGATTCTCGTTAGAGTAATAGTATCTACCGAGATAATGGAGACAGTCAAGATTACCAATACGACAACCAAACGTCCATAAATCCAACGCCAATCGACGTTGAATGTCGTAGAGCAATGATCCCAACGTGGCAAATGCACCCGTGTCACCGAGGATCGCCAACCTTTTGAGATAGAAACATGCCTTTTTTAGATTAAACAATCCTCCAACACGGTTGATGGTCATATAGATGAGTTGTTCAGTAGAGGATCGCAAACCAAGACTAGCGGCAACATCAAAATAAGATCTGGCCTGTGATTCGTTGAGACCCACTGATTGCCCCTTTAGGTACATCTCTCCGACCACACCCATTGCCACTGGGACACGTGCACGCGTAGCCAAGTTAAAGTGATGAAATGCCAATGCCTCGTTCTTGGGCACACCAGCACCTGTGAGATGCATATTGCCAAGGAACACATTTCGCATGCCATGATTGACATCAATCTCGCTAAACAATGCAAATGCCTGATCATAGACACCAAACACATAGAGATCCTTTGCCTTTTCAAACTTTTCAGCATTCTCACTGTTGACACGTTTGATATCCTCCTTGTCAAAGAATGTATCTGTTATCATTTTTATATTCAATTCTTCTTGTTTGCTGTGTATCGATTCTTGACTAATTACAATTCTATCCAATATCTCTTTGGTTGATTGTTCTATATTCTCTGGTCTACTTAAATCCAATGTATCATATAATGAATCTTTAGAAGTTTCTGTTGTTGAAGATGAAGATGAAGGTGGGGGTGGAGGTTCATGCGAAGATGATGGAGGTGGAGGTACGTATGATGTAGAGGATGATGATGATGATGGGGGTGGAGGTATAAATGATGCAGAGGATGATGATGATGGAGGTGGAGGAGGTACAAATGATGATGAAGATGATGATGGAGGTATAAATGATGATGATGATGAAGATCCATCTCGACTACTACTCGAGTTGTTGTTATTTGAAGTTGAATATGATGATAGTAGCGATGATGATTTACAATTAGAGTATAATGATAATGATGATAGTGAAGGGATGGTAGTAGTAGCAGTCATTGTCGTGGTGGTGGTCATCGTGGCTAGACATCTCCACTGCCGACTGCTCTTGTGAAGCATATTCATTGTTCTATTTAACATCATCTTCTTCTTCTTCTTCTTCTTCTTCTTATATCTTTGATTTATATAGATCGTAAAGATAAAGACGAAGATGAAAATGATGATAGTCTGTTCAATTACTCAATCAAGTATTACTCGAACGTCACACCCACTAACACCTCAGCTCCAATGATCAGTGAATGGAACAAAATTTCAAACAAAAATTTTTTAGTGATGGCTTTTTAATCAACATTTTTGTTTGTTGTCTCTTTCATTCATTCATTCATTCATTATCATCCCCCTATTTTAGTAAAGTATCTATATCTGTATACTTTAAAGAGAGAGATTTATATATATATATTTATTGTTACTTACTCGAATCAATCAATTGATTTATTTAGCTGTCATTATCAATATTTAAAAAAAAAAGTCAGAACATACAAACAAAAGCAAAGTTAACAACGCGATTAAAAAAAAAAAATATAGTATTATTATTGTTATTATTATTATTATCATCATGGCATCTACAGACAACTTAAAAGAAGTAACAGCAGGAGTTGCAAAGGTTGCAAGCAACATGTGGATCAAGAGTATTGACTCTGAAGATGGAGCAAACCAAGACAACCCCACTCACCCATACATCATCACCAACGTCGAACAATACCAACCAACAAGAGAAATGATGGAAAAGTTTGAAATACGAAGAAATCAATTGGACAAGTCTATTCCAGCTGGCAAGAAATTGGAAACTTTAAATCTATTCTTTAATCCAACAAGTGAATCACAATTGAAAAAGATCTTACAAGTAAATAGAAAGAATCAAATAGAATCAAAATAGACACAAAAGGGAAATGAAACATAACTAACAATTAATTGATTGATTTAATTTCTCATAGGTTGGATGGCCATCAACATATGATGCAGTAGACGTTTCATTCTTTTCAAACGCAAACAAGGCAATTCTTGATAACCCAATTTCATACTATAAACTATTGATTGTTAGAGTTTGTCTTGGTAGAGAGGGTGTCGATTTTACATTGGCCAATGGAAGATATAGAGTAAGAGATTTGAATGGTGTCATGACATCTTTCCTTATTACCTATCGTAATTCTTTGGCTCCCAACTCTACTCCCCCAGTTTCACCATTTAAATCATCCACCTCTACCCTCTCCCCAGCCTCCCCAATGACCACTTCTACTGCCTCTACCATCAAAACATCTTCATCTGCATCTGTATCACCAGCCAAGCCAAAATTGGCATCCGGTCAATTAATTGGAGATGGTCTCGTATGTCCATCTTGTGGAACCGACAAGAATGCTGGAAACACTCGTTATTGTATTAGATGTGGTGCCTGTTTGTAAATTCTCTCTCCACTTCCAAAAAAATAACATAACCCAACCAAATAATAATAATAATAATAACCTACATACATTACAATATCTAGAAATAATAACAACAATAACAATTTAATAATTTTCCCTATTTATAAAATAATGATAATGATCATCATTACAATAATACCGTCATACCACTAGTTAACTATAACATGTAATGTATGGGGTTTCCATCCCTATCCCCTTTTTTTGAATCAATTGATATATGTGCCGACATTTTAATTAATTAATAATATTTATTATTATAATTATTACAATATAACTTTATTATATATTTTGGAAAGGAAGGAAGGAAATGTTAATTTATATTCATACCAAGAATAAAATAATCGATAGTGTTGTTGTTGTTGTGGATTGTTTGGTTTTAGTTTATAGTATTAAATAAAAAGTTGATGGTGATTTAAGGTATTTGAAATGTAAATTAATATATAGGTTGTAAAAAAAAAAAAGGATATTATTTGTTCCCTTAGTTTTCTTTCTTGTACATTATTATTATTATTATTATTATTATTATTATTATTATTATTATTATTATTATTATTATTTTGATTATTATTAATATTTTGATTAGAAAACGACATCAAGTTCTAAAATTTCTCCATTATGTGTACCGTTTACTGGAGCATCGCTGCTACTAGATTCAGAACTACCACATGATGGGTAACAACTGATACATGTAATTTGTTTTGCCCCAACATCGATTTGATAACATCCCAATGGTTCAGCACATGCAGTCTTGTTATAGTATGGAATGCATGTTTGACTGCTTGTTAAATATAATCCATTACTATAGAAATAAATGAATAAAAGGAATCAATAAATAATATTCATTTGACATTTGTAATATATATATATATATAAAAATGGTATAATAAAATCTAGATAACATACCATACTGGTTGTGGGGGTGGAAGCTTAGCCCAAACTGAAACATTGACGGCAATACCAACCAAAATAGTGCATAAAAGTAATAAAGCAACCAACCACTTAAACTTTGGATTAATCATATCATCAGTGTCTCTGTACCATTTGATTAATAAAGCAGTTGAAAGGAATACAAATATCAATGAAACCACCAACACTAAATATCTTGGAGCTGTCTTTATACCAAAATAAACGCCAACTGCAACTGAAAACTATTCATCAAATATATATATGTTAGCCAAGTCATATTCACATTCATGAATGTATATCTCTTTCTCTCTTTCTCCAATACTAGCTAGTTGTTACATACAATTGTGAAAAAGGTAACACCAAGACCAACAATCCATTCAAAAGCTTTGGTTTGTGTTCTTCTCTCTCCAAATAGTGGTTCCGACTCCATCTTGTTATTGTTTGGTTACTGTACTGTATATATGAGATTTGTAAAAGTAGGGAGGGGGGTGTTTAATCTAATCTAATCTACTCGAATCTAACTAACTATCTATCGTCTGTGTTGATTAAATATCTATCTCTATCTCTCGATTAGTACAATAAATAAATAGTAGTATAGTAAAGAGGTAGGTAATATTACTATATTAATATCTGACAATAAGTAAAAGAGACTCTATTTGATAATGACCTCCCTTCTTGGATGTTTAAGACACACAAACAATGATTTGATTTTTTTCGATTTTGCATTCAATTTTTCCAACACTTCTTGCACACCCTTCTAACGAATGGTATTTGGCCTATTCATTCTCGACCCATTATTTCCGTATATGACATTGTGTTGGTGTATGTTTCCAATTACTTACAACAAGTAATATTATTTAAAACAAAAAAGAATATTTTTAAAGTGGGAAATCAGCCAATTCTAATTTAGTTGGATTAGTTTATCTAACATCTATGCTTCAGTAGCAAAAATTTGTCATCATTCAAATCCCACAGAATCATCTCTTTTGTTGGTCCAAGGTTTATAAAAACGAACGAAAAATGACCCTATTTCTTCTTTATGGGATAAGCAACATAGATCTTTAGATTCTATAATAACTATAAAACTATAAATATACATAAAGTTAACTTTGATGCATATGATATGATAGTACTGGTAGACTCTCTAAAAAACTATGAATGTCTTCCCACCCCCCATTAATCTATTTTTTTTTTCATTATCAGAGAGATATTAGATTGAGTGAGCATCTTGATCGTTTCATTTTCTTTTAATATATATATTTATATTTATATTTATACATACAAACAGATAAAATGGAAAAGAGAGACGAAGGAACTATCGAAGAACCATTAGATCTCATTAGATTGAGTTTAGATGAAAGAATATTTGTAAAGATGAGACAAGATAGAGAATTAAGAGGAAAGTTACATGTATGTTCACTTCTAAGATCATCTTTATTGTGCACTATGTTATATGATCATTAAACTTAACTTAATCATCTTCCCTTTTATCTTTTAGGCATATGATCAACATTTGAATATGATTCTATCAGATGTTGAAGAAACAATTAGAGTAGTTGAAAAGGATGAAGAGACTGATGAAGAAATTGTAAAAGTAAATATACAAATATTATAGTATAATATTACCTACCTAGATTTCAATGACTGACCTATCCATCTCCCTTTTAGAGTATTAAAAGAAAAATAAAGATGTTGTTTGTAAGAGGTGATGGTGTTATTCTTATTTCACCACCACTTAGATCCAATTAAATGACGCAACTCTTAAATCAACCATCGATCAGTACACTCTTTCTTTAACAATTATCATTTCATTGGACCGCACATATATTATTAGAAAGAATTTCATAGGATATTGGTATTATTTTTAGGGTTTATGTAGAGATTTATTTATACAAATATAAATAGTAATGAATTGAAAGAAGAAGATGATGAAAAGTAACAATATTATATAATAAGATTTTTAAAGTAGGTTCTACTCTATTCAAAGTTGACCTTAATCAAACATGTTAAAGGAATCTTTTTTAAATCTTTCCATTTGCTCATGTTCATCGATTGTTTCAACTTGATTAGATGAGTCTAATCCATCTTCAGTGCCTGGGATGGCAGTACCATTCTCTTCGTCATTATTTACATTGGAACGTTGAGATAGACCACTTGTACCAAATCCAAGTGGATGTAAAACAACATCTGCAGAGTCTTCATCATTATCAACGACTTCATTGTATTTGTATCTTTGATTGTTATCATTTGGTTTCCAAATCCATGCCAATACACATAATAATCCAAAATAGAGAACATCCCAAACAGATACACTTAACCAATTAAATTTCCATGTTTGATCTGCTGATTTATAATGATTTACCATACTATATGAAAAGAAAAGGAAATTAATTAATATTAATTATTATTATTCTTATCGATTGAGTTGTGGATAAATTTACATTGAAATGAAAATAATAAGTAAAGTTAGGACTGCAGAAATGACCAATGCAACAAAGAACTTTTGATACATTTCCAATTTAGCCTTTTGTTTCTTGAGTGATAATCTTGAAAAGATCTTCATAAATGATGAAAAGATCCACCAATAGAATACAACATCGAGGATAGATACAGCCAAGTTGAAAAATACCATTGTAACTTGTTCACTGGTAGATGCTGTTGGAATCAACCATAAATAATATTGTATCGATTTAAATATACAATATAGAATGGTAAGTGTTGCTATTTTATATTTTGTTAATTGTGGAATGGTTGGACTATAAAAATATAGAAAGAGATAAAAGATTAAGTACCTATGTTTATATATTAATATATTTTTGATTCATTCTTACATTAAAATACCATAACCCATTGAACAAAGTAAAACGATTAATCTAGAGATACCACCTTTGAGAGTAACAAAGATTGAAATAAAAGCAAGTGAAGCATTTGAAAAGGTACCATTTTTGTTGGCACTTGAATTTGAACCATACTGTACCATGGTTTCAATAAAGCCTAATAATAAAACCAAAGAGATCCAATATTGAAGTGGTAATAGTGTATGTCTATGTTTGAATGATAAAAATGCCCATCCAAAAGAAAGTAAAAGATATGCTACCGCTAAAACTAAATAAAACTAGAGTAAAAGTAAGATCAAATGATTAGATTGGATTTGATATATATATTACTTTCAATATAATAAATTGATTGATAGTTACAGCTAAAAATGGATGTCTTTCACCATTTAAATAACCATATGGATTCATAAAAGTAATCTTTCCACTAAAATGAACTGTAGTTGCATTGAGATTAACTCTACTATTGCAACTTAATAAATAGGCATAATAAACACCTTCTTTTCCAACATTGTATGGCTAAATAAAAAAAAGTAGAACTATTAGTTTGTGTGTCTATCTATGTAGATTGATCTATCTCTATCTATCTATCTATTTATCTAGACATACAAGTAAAATACTTTGAGGAGTTGAATAATCAGTATAATGAATATTGTAATAACTAATAGAATTGAATGTTCCCAATGTTGCAGGAGTTGACATTCCATCAAGTTTGGTGGTAGTGTATACTGCAGTCGATGGTAGAATGACATTGGCGGGTCTACTACATTTGCCTTGTTGATAGAGTTCGCTGTCACAACAAAAGTCACCACTTGAGAATCCAAGATAGCTAGAGTCATCGCTATGAAAGAATACAATATCCAACTCGGCAGGAGAATCTACCAATACATTGTTACTACTAATATTCATGTCTGCCAATCCTTCTATCAATGCATATGACAGTCCATTACCAGGTGATTGATTATAAGCTCCTATTTTATATTGAGCTGATCTCCATCCAAATAATTGTGAGCTCTAAACAACAATGTACAATAATATATGAATATGAATATGAATATGAGTACGATTATAATCGATAAACTATCTATAGATTCAAATATAATATAATACATACAGTTCCATCGAATGGATAAACAAAAGCATCTGATACTTGTAGATGTGTTGTCAATAACAACACCAATAAAGATAAAAAGTAGATTCTTTCTTTCATTCTCTCTCTTTATCTCTTTATCTCTTTATCTCTTTATCTCTTTTGAGAGGAGTAATATGTATATAACAACAATTATGAATGAATGAATGCAGAGTTTTTAAAACTCTATTCTTCTTCAACACCACCCACCTCCACCTTGTTCACACTTTTAACTGTGTGTGGGTCATATTTGTTAATAATTTTAAAATAATTTTATTTTAAGATGATCTCGATTCCAAAGCCGAAATGAGCATTGAAATCAAACGATCGGAGTCTTTCAGTGTCCCTATGTTATAAGGACGACTCTCATCTATACTTTACTATATACTATTTTTTTTTTTTATCTTTTCTTTTTACAATTTATAGGATGGATCTAATTTATCCAACTTTCTAATGAGACAATCCCATTCCTTCATACCAACACCTTCAACGTTGAATTGTGAAGAGATACGGAATGATTTGTCACTAATCTCCTTTGTAGGAATATTGAGTTTGGAGACATCACCTCCACAGGCAGATAGAGCTTGGATTTGTACCTCGCATGATTTGGTCACCTGATACAAATAAAAGAATGCTTCTTGGATGGTGGAACCACACGACACTACACCATGATTACGAAGAATGAGGTTTTTAGAGGTTGGTCCAAGTGCAGCTACAATACGTTTCTGTTCATCAATATCTGTAGAGATACCTTCATAGTCGTGATAGGCAACCTCTCCAAAGAGGAATGAGTTTTGGTGGAAATGTACCAATCCACATTTCAAACTAGACACTGCTACAATCGAAGCATGATGAGTGTGTAGTGTTGCATTGATATCTGGTCTTGCTCTATGAATGGCTCCATGTATTACATAACCAGTTCTATTAAATCCATAGGTTGTACTACCTTCATCAATTAAATTACCATCCAAGTCCAACTATAAGTTTAACAAACAAAGTAAGTTAAATATTATAATAATATAATCCCAAAACAAATCATTATCAATTATCATTATCAATAATCAATCAATCATTTGTAGTATTTTTACCTACTTTAACTAAACTTGAAGCAGTAACTTCATCGAATCTTAAACCAAAGGGATTGAGTAATATATGTTCAGTACCAGGAATACGAATAGTCAAATGATTGTATATAAGCTCGTCCCATCCCATCAATGCCACCATTCTATATGTTGCTGCTAGTTCTATTCTTGCTTTTCTTTCTTCATCACTCCATTTTGTTGCACCAGCGCATGATGAAAAGTGTCCTACTTTCTCTTGTGTTGTCATTCTGTTAATGATATATATGATAGTCAACTATATGTTTTATCAACTAGCAAACAAACAAACAAATAAATAAATAAACAAAAAGGGTTTTAAAGCAAATGAGTCGGACTGACGGATTAATTTTAATTTAACACCCTTCTTCACAAAAATTTAATATTAAAATCTTTTGAAGAATCTAACCATTACTAAAATAATAATAATAATAATATCTAATGAATTGCATGTATCATACACATACATGTTATATTATATTATTTATTTAATTATCACTATTCATAATATATTCAATTTGGTCAACTTCTTTGGGAGCATCAATAGTTAGGTTAATGGGATCGTCTTGAGTGATGGCGACATCGTCTTCAACACGTATATTGATTCCACGCCATTGTTCTGATACTTCATGGTCGTATTCATTGATATATATTCCAGGCTCTATAGTAATGATCATACCTGGTTTGAGTATCTCTCCATAGGGAATAGACATGGTGTCATGTGTATCCATACCCAAGTAATGTCCAATAGAGTGTGGATAGAATTTATGGTATTTACCAAGTCTGACGTGATCTTCAATCTCTTGTTTTGTGATTGGTGCACTTGATGTGGTACCAGGTTCTCTATCGAGAATACCAAGACGCAATAAATGACCAATGATCAACTCGACCGAGTATCTGTGAATAGTGTTGATTGTCTGGCCAGCACGACACATCTCGATACATTTTTTGTTAACGTCCAATACTGCTTCGTACAGATGTTTTTGAGCGTCTGTGAATTTTCCATTGACTGGAAAAGTTCGAGTAATGTCACTTGTGAATCCCCAAAATTCGCAACCTGCATCCATAAGTAGCAAGTCACCACTCTTTAACAACATGTTGTTGGAGATGTAATGGAGTGTGTTTGCATTGTTGCCACCTGCCACAACCGGCGGATACGACATACGTTGTGCACCACGATTCTTTACACTAAATTCAAAGAATGCACTGGCTTGATATTCGTTCATTCCAGGTTTAACAAATTTCATCGTGTCTTTAAACGACTGACCTGCAATCGATCCACTTTCCATCATCATTTTAATTTCCGATTCTGATTTTACTAATCTTGACATTTGCAAGTATGGTTCAACATCATATAATGTTTTATTATTATCTATAAAGGAAATGAAAGAAAGTTATTTAATAAACTATTAATCTCTCTCTCTCTCTTTTTCTTTTTCTTTTTTCTTTTTCTTTTACATACAATCAATTTTTAAATTATCCCAACGTACACTATTAATAAATATACCTCGACTAGAGGATTTACGAATGATATCATTCAATATGTGAAGTTCATCCAATGTATATGCATTGTTGACACCAAATTTAGAGACAGCATTACTTGGTCCGCATCGTGGACCTTCCCATAGTTCCTTTTCAGGTATCTTTTCTCTGACAAACATAGTTTCAGTGTGAAGGTTGTCTGATATCTTTTCCATGACCAATATGCCTTCTGGTTCATTGAATCCAGTATAGTAGAAAAAGTTGGTGTTTTGACGGAATGAAAATGGGATGTCGTACGACATCATTGGTTCGGGTGGTGTAAATAGAATCACTATCGATCCATCTGCAAATGCTGAAATGAATCTCTTTCTACGGTCTTTAAACTCTTGCAATTGTACTCCTTTGATCACTTCACCCTTTGCCAATAGATGTGGATGTGTTTCATGTGTTGGTTGTCCAATTTGAACTGGTGGCGATGATGATGACTTGGAGTATTGACATGATGATAATGATGATGATTGGTGGTTGTTTTGTTGAATGAAATAGGTAGAGAATGGATTCGAATTGTTATAAGTTACATAACTTGATGATTTGGTTGAATTGGTATTACTCTCTTGTAATAACCATGATCTTTGTCTTTTAAATTGGTATTGTTGTCTAGTTGTTGTTGTAGAGTTTATTTGATCATTATTATTGTTCATTGATACATTCTCGTATAATGATCGTTGTTGTTGTGAAGATGAAGATGAAGATGTCAATGCTTTGTTTGCTGATGATAGTATCTTTGAGAGTGCAGTTGATGTGATGTTTTGATGAGAAGAAAGTAATCTTGATGATATCATCTGTGAATATATATATAGATAGATATATGTAATATATATATATGACAGATAGTTATCTAAGTATCCCTTCACAATTAAATTCACAAATCGGCGAATGACGAAGAGTTATAATCATAAAAAATGATAAATTTAATTTATTGATCATTCATTTATTTTAGTACAAATAACAACAAAGAGGGATAGATATACAATGAAATTGGTATTTATATAAATGATTGTGATAATGATGAATGAATGAAGTGTCTAATCTAATATATTTGATTAATGTAGCATTGTTTAGGTCTATCACCTTCAGCATCATGTTACTTGTTGGAATACAAGAATCATAGAATATTATTTGATTGTGGAGTAGAATGGACATCTTTATTATACTTTTTACCAAATACATCTGTATTAAGTTCATCCTCGACTGCAGCTGCACAGTCATCACAACAACAAAACAATAATAACAATGGTACTACTTCTAGCTCGTCAAATGAAATTAAGAATAGTGCATGTTTCAAGAGTATTGGAAATCATATATTTATTGATAGTAATGTAAAGTATCATACACCAATGATATTTGATAACGTTCAACAATTGATTAGTGATATGTCGACCATTGACATTATTGTCATTTCAAATTACAACAATCTTATCAGTCTACCATACATCACTGAACATACTTCATTTAATGGTAAAATATATGCTACTGAACCAACTATTCAAATTGGAAGGTATGTTAAATATATATCAAACTTTGGTCATCTATAACTTCATGGGAACTAACCTTTTTGTTTGATATCTTTTGTTTTTAGATTACTATTACTTGAATTGGTACAATATGATATGAATTCAAATCAAAAGAAGTAATATTAATCAGTATTGGCAAAGTACTGAATTGTTAAAATTGATTGGAGCTGAACAAGCAAATAGTGCATTCAAACATGCAAAGAGTTGGAAGACTCTTTATTCTCGGTTCGATACTGAAAAGTGTTTTGAAAAGATACAAGCTGTTAGATATAATGAATTTATTGTTTGTATTAATTAACTAGATAGATATATACCTTATTCTTATTTTATTTGTTTTTTTAGAATTTATATTCATTTACAATTAGAGCAACAAGTTCTGGATATTGTTTGGGATCTTGTAATTGGGTGATTGAAAGTATGAATGAAAAGATTGTTTATTTATCAGATTCATCAGTTTATGAAAGATACCCAGAACCAATAGACTTGCAATCTATTCAATCACCAGATGTATTTATTTATGCATCCAAGATGAATCATCCGCTTCAACAACCACCTTCTATAAATGGTCAGCAACAACATCAACAGCAATCATTTAATCCATATATGGAAAATATCAACGAACTATTCCATTGTATTGGTAATACTATATCAAATGGAGGAAGTGTTTTAATACCAGTGTATTCGTGTGGTACTGTATTGGATCTTTTTGAATTATTGTATGACTATGTAAACAAACTTGGGTTGGGGTATACCCACATATACTATGTTTCATCGATTGGCAAGGCCGTCCTATCCTATGCCGACATTTATGCAGAGTGGCTCAGTAATTACAAAAAGGAACGATCTCTTATGCCCGAATCACCCTTTCTTCACCAAGAGATGATACGAAACAACCATCTCACACCACTCCAACATCTCAACAATGTATCGTCGCTCAAAGAGCCTTGTATTATATTTGCCGGACATCCATCCTGTCGAATGGGTGATGTTGTCCATCTCATACAACACCAGTTCAAAGACAAACCAAAAAATGCAATCATCCTAGTCGAGTCTGATTACTATCAAGCTCAAAAATTACTAGAACCATTTGGAGAGATGAAATGTAAAACTCAATACATTCCAATCGATCCAAGAATTCATACTCATGATTTAAATACTTTGGTTTCAAAAATATCTCCTTCAACCATTATTTTACCATTTCAATATCAAAGTAAGAAAAAGAAAGAAAAAGAGAAAGAAAAATAGAGATAGACAGAGGAGAATTATTTATATTTCTAAATGTATTAATTAATTAATTTAATCTATAAAGATAAAGTAAATCAAAGTATTGGAAAGACAATGTTTATTAATCCAACAGATGTATTGAATATTAAAATAGTAAAGAATGGTGCAGGAAAGGATGGTAGTACATGTCAATACGAGAGTGCATACCTGGATCAACATCTTGCACAACAAATTCAAACAAAGTCTATAGATGGAAACGGTCAAAGTATAACGGTAGCCCATCTACATGCCTCTCTATCGCTTAAAGATCATCAATTCAATCTATCATTATTAAAGAATAGTAATAATGATCACAACTCTCCAGGTGGTTCACAAAAATTGGCATTCTCCTCATCTCCACCTCAACAATCATCCAATACAATTTGTAATTATCTTTGGGGAAGTTTATCTTTAAAATCAATATTGGAAGAATTATCAAAAGTATGTACCAACTTGTGGATTCGTGTATTAATTAAACTAACAATAATTAATTATTAATTTTTAGAGAGGATTTAATAATATTGATACGATTATAAATGATAATGTGGGCAGTGGAAATGATGTTTTTAGTAGATTAGACAATGTACAAAATGCAACGATTAATATTTACAAGGAAAAGGAAATGGCTACAATCAAACTAAACAATCAAGGTGCAACCATTGAAACTAGCTGTGAGAGAACTAGAAAACTACTCATGGAAGTTATATCAACTGATTGTTTACAATTCTTTAAATAAATAATAATAAACCAATAAAAAGGTAATAACATTATAATTACAGGTAATAATATTAAAATCGATTGATTGTAATAATGTACATATCTATACTTTTATTTTACGGTATACCTGTGAATAATGTGATAAATAAATGATTACCTATCAACTATCTATACATTCATCCATCAATCCATACATACATATGAATCTACTTTTGGTTCACTTTATAACTTTGATTTAATCTTTGGTGGTTGGGTTGGAGATGGAGATGATTGTGTAGACTCTGCTGAAGATTGATGATGATTACCACCACCAGCCTTTTTTAATAGAATCTTTTCAATGAGTGATGGAAAGAATGGTTTCAATAGTGAAGCCATATAATTGCTAAATGGAAAGACAACCTTTTTCTTTCTTGATTCAATCGAATGAATCATTACTGCACAACAATCTTGTAGAGACATTCTCTTTGATTCGTTGAATTGGATTGCTTGTCTCTCTTCTGCAGTACCGAGACCATGATTTCTCATTGGTGTCTCGACCGACGTTGGATTCAACATGGTGATATCTACTTGTGGCACCTCCATACGCAACGATTCAAAGAACCCATTGACTGCAAACTTGGATGCACAGTATCCCGCTCGAAGAGGCAGTCCCAACTCACCAGAGATGGACGAGACGACTGCTATCTGTGCCTTTTTCTTTTCAAAATTATATTGTTCGATGAGATGAGGCAGCGCATAAAACGTAGTATACATGTATCCAAAATAATTAATGTCCATCATTTGTCGATAGACATTCAAATCCTTTGTATCTTTGAATTGGTTATGATAAGATACACCTGCACATAACAATAATATATCAATTCTTGAAAATTCTTTAATTACATTCTCTATTAGTTTTCTAGAAACAAACAAAGAAGATTAGTTTACAATATATCTATCTATCTATCTATCTATATCTATCTATCTATATCTATCTCTATCTATCCTTTCTATCTCTCATATGTTACATACTGACAATCCTTTTCATTTGAAGCATCATATTTAACGACAAGACATTTAGTTGTAGTTGATAATTTAGTTAGTTGGTTTGCCAACTCTGTCAACTTTGAAGTGGTTCTACTGGCTAGTACAAGATTGACATTTCCCTGTTTGGCATATATTGTTGCCAGTGATTCACCAATACCCGAACTTGCACCTGTAATTACAATCGTTCTATTATTACTCATATCTATCTATCTATCAATCTATCTCCTCACAACAATTTATATATATTGCACCTTAAAATGGTGAGTACTGAGTTCACCTTATCTCTCATCTGACCTCATTGCTCAAAAAACGACTCTTTTTTTTTAATTTTTTTTTCACCATCTGCATCCTGTCTCGTTGATCTGATCATAGAGCTATAATTTAAACGACAGCAGAGCAGTCTTCATCATCACTACTTTTGCTAGATAGATAGATCATTACTCTAGCTAGTTAATTCATAACCAATTTGTTGTACACTATTAAAAAAAGTAACAACAAACAAGAAGAGTGTAGTTTTAGTATATATCCAATATATATCGATCAAAACAACAAGAAGAAGATTAGATAGAGATTAGTTTGGTTTCATTCCCCCTCTTCAATATACATAATATAATATATAATATACATTCTCATTTGATAGTATAGGTATGTGTCAACATTATATATATGTTTGATTAAAAAAAAGAGACATATGATAGAGATGGAAGATAGATAGATAGATGAACGAATGAAATATTGGATATATGATATGTGGAATATGTATATTGGTATACTTACATTATCACCACAATCTTATATATATATATAATTCTATATAGAATGAATAATTTAATTATTGGAGGAGGAGAAGCATGGGGTCATAGATTGATCTACCATCGCAAGATTATGCAAGCCGAGATGAGAAAGAATCTAAAGAGACTTTCATTCTTGGCAGAGGAACGTCATATTCAATTCAGACAAGAGTATATCCAAGATCGTAAACAGAGAATCGATAGCAATCACGTCAAGATGGCCAAGGAAAAGGAGCACATTAAAAAGGCTCGTATCGAAAAGAAGAAATCTGTCTTTCTTTTGGACATGGGTTTTGAAAAGGATAGATTGCGTAGAGCCGCTGAAAAGGCTGAGCGCAAGCGCATGGCAAAGCTCAAGCGTGAAAAGATGGACGCTGTCACCACAAAGGCCCGTAGAGAATGGTTGATTGAAATGAACGACAAGTGTATGATGTGGTCGCAGTCGCCAGACGAGCTCAAATACGCGCAGTACAGATTGTTTGACAAGACAATGTTGTCGAGACTGGCCACCAACGAGAACTACATTCTCGACCGTCACGACTCGCCAACCGACCACGTCGAAGACTTTGACGTTGCCACCAACAAAAAGATCGACTATACCAAGATGCTCGGCGAGCTCAAGGAGGAACTCAACATTGTAGAGGCCAAGCAACAGCAACAAGCTGTCCAACAAATTGCCGCCAACGCTGCTGCTGCCGCCGGAGCCCCTGCTCCCGCCGACTCGGCCGACCCCACCCAGATCATGGCCGACCCCGCAATGGTCGAGGCATTCCGCGACATTATAGACACAGAGTACTTGCACATGCAACGTGCGATTGCCCGTGAAAACGAGACAACCGAATACAGCAGCGACAATCTCGACGAATGGGCTGCCAAGCAATTAGAGATTATCGAGCAAGAAGAACAAGCCTTGCGTGGTGAAGCAGAGGTCGAGGAAGACGATGACCTCGAGTTTGACGGACTTCTCGAAGTCAACGACGACGCTGACGATACCGCTGCTGCTGCTGATGCTGATGCTGGTGACATTGACGTCGAGTACAAGGAAGAGATGGACAAGATCGAAAGCAGTTTGTTTGACGCCGACGAAGACATGTTGTTTGAAGATGACTCTCTCACTGCCGAGGAGAGAGCCGAGTTGGAAGAAGCCGAGCACAAGGAGAACATCAAGATGCTCGCACTCGACGACATTGAAATGGACCCAGGTCTCCGTGTCAAGGGTGAAAAAGACAACAACAACAAGGACTTGGAAGACATGGACGAGGACGAGGACGACGATGACGATGTACAAGCCGCCAACGAAGAAGACATGGATGACTCTGAGATTCGTAACTTGCCCGGATACGAAGCTGCTAAAACCGCTCATTTGATGGCATTGGGTGAAGACAATGATATCGTTGGAGAGTTTGATCTCGATGAAGAGGATGAAATCGTACTCGACGAGGAGGATGAAGATGAAGATGACGAAGATGAATACTTGCAAGATGAAGACAAGGACGAAGAAGATGAAGATGAAGATGAAGACCAAGATGAAGATGAAGACGAAGACCAAGACCATGACGACGACGACGACTTTGAAGAGGACGATGAACTTTTGGACCACTACTTTGAGAAAAAGACAGACAAGGCTCAATATTTGGAACAATTGGAATACAACAAGATCATTCGTGGTGAACTCGAGACACGTGAGACCTTTGACGACCTTGTTGGTGACAAGTACTCGGCCGAGGATGTTGCTCAATTTGAAAAGCTCCAAGACGAGATTATCAAGCGTTACTCCAAGCCTGCTCTCTCCAAGGAAGAAATCATTGACTCGATGGCCGAAAAGATTGATCACGAAGCCGATGGTATGGTTGGCGGAGAAGAAAGTGCCGAACAATTGTTAGCTGAAGACGAGGACCAAGACGACGATGATTTGGTATCAGAAGAAGACGACGGATTAGAGATGGACGACGATGATGACTTGGAAGGAGATGATGAAGAAGGAGAGCAAAGAGCCAACAAAGAATTACAAGCACTCGAGGAAATGGCAGAAATTGACGGAGAAATAGAAGATGCAAAGCTCGACATGGATGCCGAACTCGACGATCTCCTTGAAGACGGAGTTGACTATGACAATGAAGCCGAGATTGACAAGACCCTCACTAAGTGGGCCATCGGCAGAGGTCAAATGCAAAAGCCATACCAATTGTCATCAGACGAGATGGACAATGCCCGTGAAAGCCACGCTTTCCTCAGAGAAGATGAAGATCTCGTTGAAGAGTTGGACGACTTTGACGCCGAGTTTATGATTGAAACTGCCGAAGGTATGGACGACCAACTCGAACTCGAGGATGTCTCTGCCGACCAAGACCAAGACGACGAACTCTCTGAAGAAGCCATCAACAAGTACATGGACGAATTGGACGACGACGAAGAAGACCAACCCTCATCACTCAAAAAGGCCCAAGAACAAGAAGAGGTCTCTTTCCTCGAGCAAGGTGAAGAATCTGACGAATTGGACCATCTCATGGACCAAGAATTTAAACGTATGGACGCTGACGATCTCAGTGAAATGGCCTCTCAAACATGGCTCGCCGAACAAGATATGGCTGACAAGTTGTTGGATCGTTCCGGTCAAAATGAACCAGAGTTGTTATTAAACGATATCGATTATTCCAATCCACTCCTCCATTCAATCGATCCACTCAATCAACTTAGTGAAGAAATTGATGAAAATGAATTTGATCCATCACTCCAAACAAAGACAAATGATACTACCACCACATCTCAAGAAGATATTGATATTGATGATCAAGAAATGCAATTATTAGAGAAACAATTCCTTGAACAACTCAATACTTTGCCAACTCGTGAATCCATCAATATGCTCGAAACTCAACTACAAGACAAATTCTCCAAACACAAAAAGTTGGAAGAAGATGCCATTGTCCAAGATATCGTTAAAAAGACTGAAGGCAAGGAATCAACAATCAAGAGTCATTTAAAACGTAAATAATCAATAATATAAAAGTAAATTAAATCATTTTCCCCAATCTTCGAAAAAAAATAAAAAATAATAATTTAAATAATATATAAAGAAAAAGAGAAAGATAGAGAGGAAGAGATTTATTATAGCCGAAAGAGAGAGATTAATACCAAGTTACCACGTCGGAAGAAAGAACCGCAATGGATTTTTCTCTTTTCTTTTTTTTTTTAATTTAAAAAAAATCACAAACAAAACAAAATGATCTTGTTGTCATTAATGAGTACCACTAATACATACTTTTACAAGTAATAATTAATTTAGAGAGAAAGATGTCAACACCAGATGAAATTACACAACAAGCAGATGCACTCCATTTAAATAGAGATTATACACCAATCTTTGAATTGTTAGAAAAGGGATATGGTCAATACCCAGACAATGTAGAGATTGCTTGGAGATTTGCTCGTTGTTGGTACGACAAGAATGAAGATACTACCGACATGGCAAAGAAGAAAGAGTACATTGACAAGTCGTTGGACATTATCAACAAGGCTGCAAAGATTCAAGAGAATCACTGGGCCATCCAAAAGTGGCTTGCTATTCTCATCTCTGCCCTCGGTGATCATGTATCGTCCAAGGAAAAGATTGCCAATGCCTACAAGATCAAAGAACATGCTCTCAAGTCTATTGAAGCAAAACCAGATGATGCTACTACCCTTCATATCCTCGGTCGTTGGAGTTATAGTATTGCCTCTATTAGTTGGATTGGTATGATAGTCGACATATGATAAATCATATCACAATAATATATATATATATATATATTCATATACTAATCATTCCTAAATAATATTTATATTTTCCATTTTACAGAAAGAACAGCTGCCTCTGCACTTTTTGGTACACCACCAACTGCCACCTACCAAGAAGCTTTGGACTACTTTTTAAAGTCATATGCCATTGATCCAACCATTATCCGTAATGCCATCTTTATTGGTGACACTTATGTTCAATTAAAGGATCAAGTCAAGGCCAAGGAGTATTTCAACAAGGCTGCTTCCATTGAAGCCAAGTCTGAATTTGATCGTAAATTGGTTGAAGAAGCCAAGAAGAAGGCCAAGTAAATAGTCATTGAAGAAGACCAAGAACTATTTCTATTGTTTTACCTCTACTGCACATTTGTACAAAAAAAAAAAAAAAGTAAATCTTACCAATACATAAATTAATTAAATAATAAAGTCATTTTTAATTTTATTTTTTTCAAAGAGAGAGAGAGTTGGTGAAAACCGATTGACCACTTTTACTTTATTCTCTTTATTTATTTATTTATTATTAGTACAACTAAAAAGATGAATGCAATTAGAGCACAATTAGATGAATTGTTTGGTAAAGATAGAAATCTTGCAGTATGTATTGTTGTGGGATTGTTTTATTGATAAAAGTAGAAAGTATTACTAATATCTCCCTCCCTCCCTATCCTTCCCAATTATTACTATTATTATTATTAGCCAAGTGAAAGAGCAAAGAGACAACCACATTTCTCTGATGATGAGATTTGTAAGTTCTATATATGCGGTCTTTGTCCAAACGAATTGTTTGTTACTGACCCATGTACTAAACTTCATGATGAAGATTGTCTTAAATTGTATGTAAACACAAAGATTAATATTAATAGAAGAGCACAAAGGTACTAACTTTTATTGATTCACATATTAGATATCAAGATTGCAAGGATAAAGAACAATATGGATATGAAAGAGCATGGGCAAGAGAAATGGATCAAATCATTCTTGATAATGATAAAAAGTAAGATTAAACATACAAATCACACAACAATATGTATAAGATACTAACAATTAAATCAATTTAGAGTAAAAAAGAATAAGGAAAGATTGATTTTGGATGCTGCTAAATTAGAGGCAGAAGAAGGTTTGAATCCATCAGATGCTGCCAAAGAATTTGCAAAGATTATGGCTGAAATTGAAGAGAGAATTCAAGCTTTACTCAAAAAATCAGAAGAACTTGGTGAAGAGGGTCAAATTACAGAGGCTCAAGAATTGATGGCTCAAGCAGAAAAGCTCAAAGAAGAGAAATTAGAACTTGAAAAGGTATGTTGGACTAATATTATCATATATCATATATTGTATTTCTTTAATATTAAATATATATTTTTTTTTTGTTTAGGCTGAAGAACTTAAAGATCATAACAAAAAAATGTCTGTATGTGATATTTGTGGTGCTTTATTGTTTGTTGGAGATAAGGAAAAGAGATCACAAAGCCATTTAGAGGGTAAGAAACATGTAGGTTTTGCAAGATTACGTTCACATATGGAGGAACACTACCAAAGCAAGAAAAGTAATTATCAAGAGAATCGTGGTAATTTTAATAATCATCACCAAAATAATAATAATAATAATAATAATAACTATAACAACAACAACAACAACAACAACGGTCACAATAATAACAACAACTATAACAACAACAACAACAACAGAGATAATTATCAAAGAAGAAACTATAACAATAATAATAACAACAACTATAATAACAATGGAGGTGGTGCCTATAGAAATAATAATGATCGTGGTGACCGTGATACCCGTAGTGGTGGTGGTTATAGCAGAAATGATCATCGTGGCGGAGATTATAACAACAGAAACAATAACAACAATAACAACAATGGTAACTATCACAAAAGAGAAAGAGAGTATAAGGACAGAGATCAACCAAGTGACAGAGAAAGAGATAATTACTCTAGAAGATAGTGTATCCTTTAAATTTCCACTCTCTATTGTTTAAACTACCTTGTAGTATTAATAAAACAACAGGATTCAAAATCATCGTATGTAAAAGTTAATAAAATGTTTAATGGAATTATTAATATTATAGACTAGAATCAAGAATCTTTAGAAATTTCTCTACAAACAAAAAGAAAAAGTATGTTATTGTTTTTATGGTAAAGTATTTTATTGTTTCCTGCTCAAGAATGTATAAATCTCAAAGGGTAAGAATAATTATTATTTCTTTTGTTATGAATGTGTGTTATGGTTTCAAAGGGTTCGTAAATAATTAAAGAAATAAAATAAAGTTGTTGATATAATGCATTAATTTATTGGAAGATCAGCTCTTATAATTTCATCTTTTTCATCGATATGTTTAAACTTTTCTTGCTCTTCTTCTACTACTTCTTCTGGATGGTGATTCATTGAAGTATTACCATCATCGCTGATATGATGAAGCATTGTTTTAAAGAAACCTGGAATTCTCTTGAGATAAAATCCGAGGGCAATTCCAAATAATAGTATGGCCATCAAGGCAATGAGTAAATAAGAGTTGGGAGGTGTTGGAACGTCGGGATAAAAGTTACCAAATAATACAAGAGAAAAGAGTACAGCAGAAAAAATGGGGAGTGCCATGTTGTAGAAGTAACTAAATTGGTCGCGGTGGTTGTTTGTCATGTATGGAATGACTGCAATGTTGGTAATGATAAATACAATGATAAGTGGGATGGTTCCAACATAGGAGAGGTAGGAATAGGCGAGCCAAGAGCCTTCGGTATGGTTACCAAAAATAGCTGCAACAATGCCAATGGATATGATTTGAAAGACGGAAAAACAAACGATCGCCACCACTGGTGTTTTGAATCGTTTGCTTGTGATGCCAAGCTTGTTTGATGTCGTACTAAGTTTTGCCTTTCCAACCGAGTATAAAATTCTATACATATTATTAAAAGCCACTGTTGATACATTAAACGTAGTACTAATACCAGCCAAATCGATAAAAACAGCAAACCATCTACCAACATATTCTCGTGCAAACAAATCGATCGGAGCACTAACACTGTATAAATTATATGCTTGTGAAGGACCACATGCAACAATAATTGCATACATCCCCCATACTATAAAGGAAAAAGAAAAAGAAATAATTAATTATTTAGCGGGGGGAGAAATTAATTGTTTGATGTGTTGACTTACCCAACCAAATAGCAGTGATTAAAACACTACCAACGACGGCTTGAGGAATAATTTTCGTTGGGTTTCGAGTCTCTGCACCAAGAATTGCGGCAGTTTCAAATCCAACAAATACTAGGATTGAGAAAACCAGACCACGTGCCATTCCAGAAACACTTCCTCCAACGGGTGTAAATGCCAATGGGTAGTTTCCTTCTGCTCCCCCTTTGGCCACAATCACTACGGTGAGGACAAAAGTAATGATAGTTTCGCAAAGGACAAGAATCAAACTGATTTTGAGAACTGGATTGATACCAATAAACGCCAATGATGAAATGATGCCAATGGCTACAATACCACATACAATCCACGGTAAATCAAACCCAGTATTGGTCCGTATCACATCACTTGTCCATGATGAAAATTGGATAATTGTTTGAACACTAAGTATTCCATACGCTACCAACATGATCCATCCTGTAATAAATCCAACCAAACCTCCCAAACCTTCAGAGACGTACTGATAGAAAGAGGCAGAACTATATATATATTTTCCAAATGTGCTGATGGTTGATGCCATTGATAAACAACAAATTGCAGCCAGGATAAGAGTAAACGGTACCTGCGGCCCTGCAACCTTTGCTATCTGTGGACAGACCAAAAAAATGCCGCAAGTTGGTCCAACGCCAGAAATGGAACACCCCAGACAGTGCACCAGACCCAATGCATTCTTCTTTAATTGTCCAGGTGCCAATGATGTGGTCGATTTTATCGACACTGGAGTTGAAAGGTTCGAGTTTTGATATATTCCATCTTCTTGTTGTTGTTTATATCCAATTTGATTCTTAAAGTCTATTGATGTTAGAGGTGACAATTGGATAGGTGATTGGGTTTGAACCATTGGTTTAAAAGAATGGGTGGGAAATATAATTTAAATTATCATGTAAATATTTTGTTGTTGATTCAATGGGAAATATAATTGTAAATATGTTGAAAGAAAGATGTTGGTCAACTGAGAGAGAGAGAAAGAAAAAAAAAGAGAGAATAAAACTAAAAAGATATATAGAGGTAGGCGTTTTATGCCATCCATATCATATGAAACATTACCTTGTTTACTGTGGGGATGAGGATGTCTGTTTATAAGCAAAGGTTCATACTCTAACTTGTTATCATCGTGGTGAATAGAATCACCTCCATTGTCTATGCTAGTATTCGTATTGTTGGTGCTGTTATTATTATCATTGTTGTTATTACTGATCATTAATTGGTTGTGTGAGTGTATTAAACCTTGTGCTGTGGATGTTGAATAATATATAATTATTACAAACAACCCAATGCAACAAGTGTGTGTGTTTATGATACAAATATAAATAAAGAAGGAGATACTACAAATACAAATAAAACTTTTAATTACTTGTGAGGAAAATAATTAATGTGTGTGTTTGTGTGTGTTAGCTTGTTGCAATTGTATTGTTGCGATATCTAATAACTAACTTATTTTAAATCTATTAATACATTAAATAAAGAGGAATTGGGACAAAGATAACAATTCTATTGTTCCGATGCATCATTGATTTCCCATTGCATGCAAAGATTCAAACGAATTTATTTAAATTTTTAAGTTGGCAGTATTAGTTGAGAATCACTTGATAGAATGCATATAAACTGGATCACTCAGTTGAAAGGCTCGAGTTTTGATATTTCATCCTGATCTTCTTATTTATATCCAATTTGATGGTAAGTATTGTTGTGCGTGATCTTTTCTGTGGATGAGAATAATATTTATTCCAATGCGCAAAAAAATTATAATTATAATATATATATATACAAGTAGTATTTATTCTTCCTTTCTTTGTTCTTTTTTAAAAATCAATTGATTGATTATCAATTTGATTGTCTTGGAAAAATGATGATCTCTTTCTCTTTGTAGAGAAATAATGTGATTGTTTATCCAAAGATACCCTACACCATAAAAGAGAATGATATGTCAATAAACTTGGTTGTAAATATATTATATTTATATATATTATGTATAGATAGAGATTAACATACCAATGAATACTACTTTCACTTGCCAAATTGTTGATAGTTGTTTTCCAACTAAATCTGATAATATTGTCTGGATACCCAAATACATTGTCACGATGTTCACGTAACCATTTCTTTGTTGATGGATCGCTTGGATACCCAGATCCAAAGTCTCTACTGATTTCAACGCCTTGGTAAGCTGCAAACGACGTGTTTGCAATCAACACATCTCTGAGTACCTTGGCGACAATACTGCCAGCACTAACAATAGGATAGATACTATCGGCCTTGCTCGATACCACAATCTTTCCAATGCTTGGGAAAGCAATTTGAAGTTTTGTTTGGTATTTTAGAGCAGGACCTACCGTATCCAAATACAACTCTTGTACATTATATCCTCTATCCAATACAGTTCTAATCATCTTGAATGCAGAACCATGTGATATAACATCCAAAGATGTTGGCATCTTTGCACACATCTTTTCCGATAGATACTCTGGTGTATTGATATCACTAACAAATCCAATCACATCTGGTGATTTTATAATCTTTATAAATAATTGTTCTCTTTGTTGTTCTGTTAATTTCTTTGAATCTAAAAAGGAAGGTTTGATTAGCATATATGTATGTACAAGTGAGGTGAGTGTAATATATTTGACTCTACTAACCATTAAACTTCATTTTCTTGATTGTCTCTATTTCTTTAAGTGGTGCAAAGCATGCACCATAAACAAGTGGACCCAATACAGGACCTCTACCAGCTTCATCTATACCCATAATATATGATTGCTTCCTATCAATACCATCTTTCAAATCACCTGTTAACGGTGGTCTTCTATGTATATCTATCTGTTCATTATTATTATTATTATTATTACTAATAGTAGTAGTACTCTTCTTATCTGTCATTTTATCTCTTTATAAACAATGAGAGCACAAAATCGAATTAAATTAATGATGGTTGGTCAAAATTTTCCCTCCATTTTTAAAAATTTAAACATAAACAAGTATCTTTCAATTTTAAAGACTATTACTTTAAACTTGAAGTTTGTTAACATTTCTGATAGTTTGTTTATTTCCTTTGAATATTTATATTTATTACTTTTTCATTCCTTGTTTTAGTTCGTGGTTACAATCGGGTGTTTTTTTTTCTTTCACAAACCGTCATGACAGATATTTGTCGATCGATCACCCATTTCAGTGAAAGTTCGTTTGTTAATAATCTTTAGTTTATTAAAATTTCATTAGCCCTTCCCCAACACCATCAGTCACTAGTTGACACATTAAAGTAGTTACAGTTAATTCTTAACATAGATAATATTTATTCAAAAGAATGGGTCAAAGTCAAAGCAAGGGAAAAGATTTTGCTGAAATAGCTCAAAACTCTAGACGTATGCATTGATATAGATCGTGAATATGTGTACACAAACTAACTAATATTATTGGTGGTTGTATATAGTTGATCATAGTGATTTATCATCACTCCTAAAGACATTCCAATCTATATCAAAGAATGGAAAGATATCAAAAGAGTTGTTAAAAAAGACAATTGGTATGATTGAACACAAACAAACCAACTATACATAGTAATTCCCTCTAACCTGTTATTATTATTATTATTATTATTTTTAAAGAGAAAAAGTATGGTGGTCTTGATACAACATTTTCTAGTATTTTGTTTAATCTCTTTGATCGTAATGGTGACAAGTATGTGTATACACAAAAAAAAAAGAAAAAAGAATAATCCTGTACTAATACGTACGTTATTGTTTTTAGGGATATTGATTTTCAAGAATTTTGTTTGGCCTATGGATATTTGGTAAATCGATCACTGGATGACGTCAGCACTGTATCATTTAAATGTTTGGATTTAAATGGAGATGGTGAAGTGTCCAAGAATGAGTTGCGCAGTGTCGTCATGATGAACAAAAAGATGGAAAAGTATGTAAAGATACACAACAAGCAAGTGCCATTGGACAAGATAACCTTGGATCCAAGAGAAACTTCAGATATCTATGACAAGGCTGATAAGCTATTCGCAATGCTAGACAAGAACGGTGATGGAAGGGTTTCAAACGAAGAGTTTATGACCCTCGTCAAGAGCTCTCCACAAATTCAAAAAATCTTTACCGAGTTGTTGGTAAAGGACGAGTCTGTTGATTTCTTTGGTGTAAATAAATAGAAATGGAATGTGAAGGATCCAAGAGGATGTGTATATTTTACAAAAAAAAGTATCTCGCTAATAGGAGACACTCGTGAAATAACTAGTTTTAGTTAACTAGTTTCTATTTGATTTTCATTTTCTGTTGAAGAAGAAGAAGTAGAAGAAGAAGATTGTTGTTGTTGAGTACTAGAGGATTGATCAACATCTTGGAATTGATCAGAAATAAATAACATGTTTCGAAGATTCTTGTTTTCTTCAATGAGTTGAGCAAATTCTAATGGTAATGGGTCATCACTTTGAGCTGCACCTTGTAATAATTCAAACATATCTGCAATCGTCGATTTCAATGTTTCACTTTCTCTTCTCAATTGATGATTCTTTGCTCTTTCTGCTTCCAATTCATGTTGTAATGTTTTGTTTGATTGATTTGATTCATTAAAAAGTTTCTACAAAACGAAAGAAAGAGAGATTAGAGATAAAACTAATTGTATATATCTATCAAAACGACCACATACCATTTGTAATCTTCCTTTATCTACAATGCTTTCAACAGATGATTTTAAATCTGAATAAGCAGCCACATGACTATTATTTTCAATCTCTAATGTTGTTATAACCTTGTGTAATTGTTCTATATCATTCTCCAAGTTTTCAATTTCTTTTTGATGTTTACTTGAAAGTTGTTCTATATCTATATTTATATTTGTAGTTGTTGTTGTCGTCGTCGTCGATTGTTCTGGTTGTTCTATTTGTTCTGATTGTTTTTGTTGTTGTTGTTCAAGTTGTACATTCTTTTCTATATTTTGATTGATTTGATTCTATATATATAGAGAGAGAGTAGTCTGTTAGAACTATAACTAATCATCATTTACATTATACTGTATTAAACATACTTTAAGTATTTGGTCACTCTTTTGAAACAATTTACTAAATCCCAAACTATTTTGTTGATGTTTTGTAACTAAACCCTTCAAATCTCTAAGTATCTGTAAGAATAGTTCACCTTGTCCACCTCCTCCACTACTACCGCTAGTATTTTCACTCATTCCTTCTATCTCTTTTAATCAAAATTGAAGTAAAACAATGAACTTAAGTTACACAAAAAAAAAAAAGTCAGAGTATACTCTGTAAAGTTATTTGTGTTTATAAATATTTATAAATAAGATTTTAATTTAATTTATTACTCTGATGCAGTTGCTTGTTTATGTATTTAAATAAGATTGATTAATTTATTACTCTGATGCAGTTGCTTGTTTATGTACCTCAATATCTACAATGAAAAATTCTGTGGGAGTTGGCATAAGTGGTGAAGGTTTGGTTGACTTGGTTTTGACTGAATATACAACGTTGGCAAGGATACATTCTGGGAGGTTACCATTGCCATAGATCTTTTGGAGGGCAGACATTGAATCGTTGCTGGCAATGACCAGGGTCTCGTTGAGGTGGAATCCATAGTATCTCTCTCTACGTAGGACAAAGAGACCGAGGGTCTTGGTGCCAGTGGGCAGGTCGGCCAACGATACAGGGCATGTTCCGATAAAGTCGGTCAATCTGATGATCTCGTGTGCCTTGACATTGAGTTCGTTTTCGAGGTTCATCAACTCGCGCTTGGTAGAGAGTAACTCTTCCTCGCAGGCCATCCAGTCAGCAAACTTGTCCGAGAAGGATTGTTGGAGTAGATGGGTCAGCTTCTTGCTCTTGCCTTGGTCTTCAGTGCTACCAGTAGAGTTGCCAACAAGATTCTTTTCAATCTCTGAAATCACCATTTCAAATCGGTTGACGGTAATATCACGGCTTGTCCAGTTGAGTGGGTTCATCAACAAGTCACCTCCTGGAGTTGGTTTGAAGTTTTCAAGTACAGTCTCATCACGTTTAGTGTATGATGAGGAGGAGGCAGTTGGCTCACCTGGAGTGATAGAATTTTTGGTTTGTTGTAAATTCAACTTGGCCAATTGTTGGATGAGTTGATCAGCCAATTCGGCTCTAGTTTGTTGTCCGAGTGACAACTTGGCTTGTTGATTTGGTTGTTGTAGTTGTGGTGGTGACAATGTAGAGGTGGTCGAGGTCGAAGTGGTAGAGGTGGTGGTGGTCGAAAGTGATTCGGCCAAGTCACAGGTGGTTTCAGCAAGAATATTTTCTTTCTCTTCTTCTTCAATCTCCTCGACTTCAAGGTCAATCTCTTGTTGTTCGCTGATACTTTGTTCGGCCAACAATTCGACTGGAGTCTTGTTGTGATTGTTGAGGATAAAGGTGTCGCAGTTGGATTCCAACAACAACTTGGTGACTTCCTTGTTGTGGGTGTTGATCGACTTGAACACTGGCGACTCTCCATCACCGTCCAAGAGGTTGGGGTTGGCACCGGCATCGATCAACATTTGGGCAATCGAGTGACGACCCAAGGCAGCAGCCCAGTGGAGAGCAGACATGCCTGAAAAGTCTTGAGTGTCAATGGCGTGTTCAGCAACAAACAAGTAATAGTCAATCAACACGGCGACAATACGTTGGTTACCGTCCATCGTAGCATAGTGGAGTGCATTCAAACCTCTATTGTCCTTTTGGTCTACCAACACTTCAACATTATCACAAAGATATTTAACTAATCTATAATGTCCTCTTTCAGTTGCAATATGTAATCCAGTAGCTCCAACATTATCTTTTTCAAGAATGTCAACTAAAAAAAATAGAAATAAAATAATACATTAATGTCTTGATCTTTTTCTTGTCTTTTTTTTTTTTTTTTGTTTCTATTTACCTTTTTCAATAAGAGCTTCTACTAAATCAACTTTACCAGAGAAACAAGCCATATGGAAAACATTGTGACCAGTCTTGTTCTTGATGGACAAGTCAATGTTTGGTCTAGAGATTAACATGTCAAACATATCGTCTCTACCCTCACGAGCGGCAATCATGACCAAAGTATTACCCATATTGTCTACAATGAGGTTGATCTCTGGACCAGACTCGAGCAACAATTCCAAGTCATCGACTTCACCGTGAACTACACACTTCATATAATTGTAATTATTGAATGGTGAAGATGATGGTGGTGGAGTATGTGGGCTTGGTACACCCAACATTGGACTAAGGCCATCACTCTGCTCCTCAACATTATGATCTCCTCTTGGACCCATACCACCTCCATTTGGATCAATCTCTCTTTTGATTCTCTTGGTTGCTGATGATTCAGGTAATTCTAAAAAAAATAGAAAAAGAAAGAGTAAATATTACGAATCTATATTTTTTGTTTGTTTTTTTTTTTTTGTTTTTACCATTATAAATAAAAATATGAGGTTTTCCAACCTTTGATTTCTTATTTTTATCTTTATCCTTTTTGGTTGTTGTCTTGGTGTAACGAGTAGAGACACTGTAACTACCAGAGGTTGAACGATTTGGTGGAGTAAAGACAAAAGAGAATGAAGTTTGATTTGGCATTCTGAGTTGTTCTTGCTTGACAGTGTGTGGTTGATGATCGAGGGTAACTTGTTCGGGTTCAAAGTCAACGTAGAGGATCTCGGTTCTACCCTTCTTAAAGTAGTATCCATAACAAGTGATATCTGGCTCTTGACCACAGTAGCATTGATTTGGAACTAATCTAACAATATCGGGGGCTGGCAAGAGATCAGTGTGGTAAAAGAGGTTGATCGATGGCGAAATGATATCGGTAAACTTTTGGAAGGAACGACGGTTGAGCAACGAGAACTTGAGACGGAAGTTGGAACATGGGTCATGCTTTTTACGATCGACGTGCATATCGGTAAACTTGAATTCAAAGGTACCGTCGGCACTAGTAACAGCTGGTTGCGAAATGATGATACTGTCATCTGGCTCTGGGTTGGCAACAATCATCAGATCATTGGGGTCACCGGCATAGTTTGAAACCTTGATCACTGGAGCTGGAACCAATACATGAGTCTTTACTGTATAGATTGGGAATGGTTGTTGGTAACTATCAACAATCTCTAAATGTGGTGTTAATGATACAGTATTATTATTATTTTGATTAGAGTTTATGTTGATATTATTATTCATATTATTATTATTATTAATTGTTGGTTGTTGTTGTTGAATTTGTTGTTGTTGTTGTTGTTGAATTGGACTGCTACCCAATTGATGATGTTGTAAGAGTTGCATTTGATGTTGTTGAAGTTGTTGTTGCAATTGTTGTTGTTGAAGTTGAAGTTGTTGGATGGCTTGAGATGATATACGAAGTGCCATGGCGCTGGTAAGAGATTGGATATTGGTTGGCTCATATTGTGGTGTAGATGGTTCAGATGAAGATGGTGATGCAGTATTCATTGGTGGTAATGTAAATGGTGATCCATTAACTTGTTGTTGTTGTGGTTGTTGTTGTGGTGATTGTTGTTGTTGCTGTTGTTGAGGTTGAGTTGGGAATGGTTCAAGATTTCCAAATGGTAATTGTGGTGAATGTGGAACTTGTGAAGTATATACCGTATTATTATTATTATTAACCAAACCATTGTTATTATTATTATTAGTGTTGTTTATATTTACATTATTCATATTATTGTTTTGGTTAATATTATTATTATTTTGATTTTGATGATTGATTTGAGGAGATTGTGGTACTTGAGCCATATTACTTGTATTATTACTATGATTGTTAAAGTCATTGAAATTGTTAAACAATTGAATATTATTTGACTTTTGGAGGAAGTTGCCTTGATTGCCTTGGTTGTTGTTGTTACCACCTGGGAACGAGTTTTGTTGGTTTGTCAATGCATTTAATTGTTGCAATTGTTGTTGTTGTTGTTGTTGAAGTGTCAACAATTGCTGTGAAATGCCCAAGCCCGTAAAACCATTGCCATAGTTGTTACCATTGTTGTTGTTGTTGTTGTTGGCAACAGTTTGGTTTTGTTGGTTTTGTTGTTGTTGTTGTTGCATATGATGGTTGATGTTTTGTTGATTGATCAAACCACCAATACTGGTGTTGAGGTTAAAGTTGCTGTCAATGCCGAGCAGCTCAGTCTCGTTTTCTTGGTTCCAGGGGATGTTGGCAGCGGTCGATGCAGAGAGGGCAAAGTCGATCAGCTTAAAGGTGTCTTGTTGCTGGTTCTTCATGTCTTTGATGACAGAGTCGCCGAGGCCAAAGTCGCCGAGCAACGACTCGTTAAAGTTGATGGTCGACGAGAGCGGGATGTGGCTGCTGCTGCCGCCAATGCCCGAGCCGTTGTGTTGGTTGTTGCCGTTCATGATGGAAGCAGTCGATACGGTGCTCGTGGTACTTGTAGTGCTTGTGGTGTCTTGCGATTTGACGAGAAAATCAGACACTGACGTGGTCAAGAGGTTGCGCGAACTAGTCGTAAGATAACTTCTCTTTGACGATGACGAAAAAGATGAAGATAAGAAGTTGTTGTTGTTGTTGTTGTTGTTGCTAAACGAGGAAAAGGAAGAAGAGTATGGATGAGACGACGCTGATGAAAAATCAAATACGGTCGAACTTGTATCAATGCTCACCCAATTGTTTAGGTCTAGTTGAGGTTGTTGTGGTGATTGAGGTTGTTGTTGTTGTAGTTGCTGTTCCTTCTTTACTGGAAGGTTAAAGAAGTTCTTGAATTTCTCAATTTTTGGTTATGTTGTGAATTGGGTGTTGTATGTTAGGTTGTGCGCGTGACGAACAAAACAAACAAGATAAGAACAACGCGACGACGACAGACGCTACTAGTACTATATTATTACTTGTTATATATTATATATATATATCTATATAAAGAAATATAAATATATAAATATATAAATATATATATATATTATTACTGAGTTGTGTGTGTAAGTGTGCTAGTAGCTTAGTAGTAATTGTACTGTGACTTTTTTTTTTACTACTACTAACAAAACTAACTATAGAATAAAGATGATATGATGAGAGATGTGTGTGAGAGAGAGCACTATAATCTATCTATCTATCTATCTTGTCTTTGATATAACTAAAAACAAATAATATAATATCGTAACAATATGTTTGCGAGTATTGAGAGGAGGATGAGGAAATTTATTGTTGAGACACAACCAACAGCTTAACGTTGCTTGAATGAAAATAAATTAATAAAAAAAAAATTGAATTTTCTTGCGGCTTCAAGAAGTCAGCCATACATCACCTGAATGGACAAGACACATAGCGTTCGAGTTGAGAATGTGCTCATGAAAAGTGTTGGCTTGCTGGGATCACCATCAATTATATTATATTGTGTCGACCTGTTTAATCAATGGTGGATAGTTACATCCCAATCACTTTTCTTTCTTTTTAAGGTTAAATTTTAATGGTGTAAAGGGCAAAGAGTGACATACCCTATCTACCGTATCTTTGCACTAAATCAACCTCTTCCTCCTCCTCGTATTCCTGTGCACCTTGTTGTCAATGATCTCCTTTTCCTTTCGATTTTCTCATTGTCTCACACACACAAATAATTATTTGTAGTTCTTCTCGCTTTCTAGTGAGAGATAAGCATAATATCAATGCATATTATCTCAATCACCATTGATTCGGTCCATTCATCTTTATAAGTACTTGTTGGTGTGTTGTGTACTCAGATTTTTTTATTTTTCTAACTTGTGTGACGTCTTGCTTTGATTGCTCGGTTTCCACAAATATAGAAGTACTTTTGATCATTATATTTGTTTAAAGAGATAGTAGATAAGAGAGAGAGAGAGAAAGAGAGACATGTCATCAGTTAGCGAGATTATTAATTTGATAGTATCAGATACTACAAACTTGTTGGTCGCTCTCATTGCTTTGGGTGTCGTCGTCTATACAATCTATGGTATCATGTCGGTGCCAAAGGAAGAACCAAAGGTTGTAAAGAAGAAATCATCTCGTGTTAGATACGACGGTCCAACTAGATACTTTACTCAAGAAGAAGTAGCTCGTCATGACAAGGAAGATGATCTTTGGTTGATTATCGATGGAAAGGTAAATGAACAATGAATGATAAAGCAGCAGAAAAGACAAGTTATATAACTCAATCACACACAACACAAAGAGACTAATCAAGATCTTCATTTGATAAAACTTACCTACTTACTTACTTGATTATATAGGTATACGATTTAACTACCTATGTTGATCAACATGTTGGTGGTTTGGCAATCATGAGAAACGCTGGAAAGGATTCATCAGAAGGTTTCCATGGTGAACAACATCCAGTAAAGGTTGAACAAATCCTTTTAGAATACTATATTGGTAATTATCGATCAATTAATCAAACAAACAACATAACATAACATAACTAATCATTATTTATATCTATAGGTGAATTTAAGAAATAAACAAACATTGATCTCGAATATATAAGAAGAAGAATAATAATAATAAATCAAACAAAAACTATTCTTTCCATAAATGTATAATGGATGATGGTTGATTTGATTAAAAACAAGAAGAAGAAGATTGGAGAATTTAAATTCTGTAGATTTACAATATTTATACATTTACATTTTTGATTGTAGTATGGAAGAAAAGGATGTGTATGTCCATCACTCCAACGGAATGGAATGATGGTAGTGATGACATGATCATTCATTTAATCAACCTTTTTAGAGATTGAATCACTATTTAACAATGTTCTAAAACAAAATGCAATGGTTAAAATAGTAATGATTCCAATTGATACAACTGATCCTTCACAACTCTTTTTAATGTTTAACAATGTCTATAGATAGAGATAGTGAGTGAGAGTAAATGAAAAAAGATTAGTTTTAAACTCTAGAGTTTCAACCAACTCAACTGACGACTATTATAGTTTAGTTGAACATACGAGATAAGAAATTAAATAATGACAAATAATGACAAAAGCAACTAGATAATATTTCTTTGAACGGAAACCTTGGAAAGCAATGACATTCCATGCAATATGAAGTAATGAAATACAGAGAGCAAGTATAGCTGAAATCATAAATAAACTGACTGTTGGACATGCAGCCGAAAACAAGTTACCAGGTCCTTGAGAATCCCACATAATAGTTCCATACATTACAAATGCATATGTAATTCCACTTCCACATCCAATTGCTTTAAACATAAAATAAAGAAACATTTGTAAGTATAGGTATGTATGTATATTAGATATTTTATATTTTATATTTGTATGTGTATGTATATTTACCAGCTGAAGAAAGTGTATGATTTGGTCTAGCGGATAAAGTTTCTAAACGTGTATTAATATCTTGATGATTTGGTTGTTGAGATGATTGTTGTTGTTGTTGTAATTCAGTTTCTGATTGATCAGAAGAGTTGATTGATTTCTCTTTAAGTTGTTTCTGTAGTTGACTTTGTACTTGACTGAGAGATGGACGATTATTGAAACCCCATGCATAGAGACGATAGAACAAGTATCTAAATGCCTCTTGAATGGCTATTGAGAATGGAATGATGAACCAAAACGATGTCCTCATCGGAGGTATGATATACCACCAAATAGATGCCACCAGCATCGACAATAACCAAAAGAATGATCCTCCAATCGATAGAATGATCAACTGACTATTACGACACACTACCATGGCATAGAATGCCAATATTGGTGAGAAACCAACAAATAAACAACCATAGAATAATAATTGTGTCATCCTCTCTCTCTCTCTATATATATATATATATAATATAATCTATCCCTCTAGTATGTAGGTATTGTATGTTGCAATATAAAATGTTGTTAACACAAAAGATGATGATGATGGTGATGAAAATGTAATAAAGTTAAAAAAAAGATAATGATTGTTTATGACTTTGCAAAGTGTTTTTTAAAAACAAATAAATTAAACTACAACATTTATAACCAACACACTCAATCAATAAAACAAATAATTGTGCATCTGGAAATGATTGTTATTAAAATATCCTAATATACTGATTGGAATAAAATGATGTACCAATATATATAATGTTTTGTTTTTTTTAAAGAGGAAGAAGGATTTATTATTCTACTTTTATTATTATTATTATTATTATTATTTTAAGGTTATTTAAATTCGATTAAATAATTGAGTACAAAATTCATAAGTGTAAAAAGCAATAGCAGAGGTTGGAATAACTTTAATATAATTTATGCTCAATCCCTAGTAAATGATAATAATAAATTGATTGATTGAAGATATTTGTGTTAATAAATGAATGATCATTGAGTTGAGCAAACCTCTGTCTGTTGTGATCAAAATATATATATATATATATATATCTTCTTTCTCTTTTCTTTTTCTTTTTCTACATACTCTATAAAGACTCATAATACCTTCATTACGGAAGATACGATAGACAGACATTAAAGAACCACGCTTTAGATCGATTTCAACCTTTCCATCACCATAACCATGTGTTTGCATTCTTCTTCTGACGACATCGAGTGGATAAGAGACTGTTTGTGCAACACCACCTGCAGCACCACCAGCAAACAATTTGTAGGTGGCTGTAAGTTCTCCATTTTCTTTGTAGGCATTGTATGGTGCCATCGATTTGAGTGATTCAAAAGTCATAAAACTAATACCTCCGTATGGGAGAATACCTATCAATGTTGGTTGAATACCTCTATATATGCCTCTGAATCCTTCGTTTGTAAATGTGCTCCTAAAGAGATCCAATGGTTTTGTATGTTTGGCCGATACTTCGATGGCAAGTCTTGCTCTAAGCAAATCCAATGGATAAGTGGCAATGACAGCAACTCCTCCTGCCGCACTACCTGCTATAAACATATTATATGCTGAAAATTTATCTGATGCTAATTTCTACAACAAAAGAAATGAAATCGTTAGTACATCCTATGTATGTATGTATGTATTTGTATTGTGTTTAAGTACTCTTTTAATTGTATCAAATGTAAGGAATTGAACAGCAGCATATGGGAATACTCTTGCAATGGTAGCAGTATTGCCACGCCACAAACCTTTGACACCTTCATTCTTCCATATCTTGCCGAGTGATCCTGCAATCGAGTCGAGTGAATATACTTGGCTTCTAATTTGATATAAGATCTTGACTCTTTCAAGAGGTGCAACTGCAGACTTTGCTGTCACGCCTGCTATACCTCCTGCTATGAATGAGTTTAAACTACTTGATTTTTCTCCTGTCATTCTATCTATCTATCTATCTATATTTATATTCTATCTTTATTATTCTACCTTTTACTACTAATAATATATATAGTCAGTGTCGACTTTTTAAAATATTACAGTAATGATGATGATGATGATGATGATGATGATGATGATGATGATGATGATGATGATGAATGTGAAGGTGCAGGTAAGAAGTAGGTAAAGCAAGCAAAGTATTACTACTTTTAACTCCAACTCATAATGATGGTGATTTCGTCGTTTTTTTGTTTTTTTTAATTTTTCTTTTTTTTTTTTAAGGACTGTCGATCCCAAAAAGAGATATTTTAAGTTTTAATTAGGCAATATGGAATGTGAATAGCCGACAGACAACCACATATATATACATATTTATATTTAGATCTCTCTAAAATATATTATATCTTTGTTGACGCCCACATACCTTTTAATAATTCTATCATTAATGAAAATACTATTATTTTTTTTTTTTTTTTTAAAGGTCATGACAAAGAGAGAGATATTACAAAGTGTTTTGGCATTGTTGTTTGTGCTACTAATTATATAGAAAAAGATATAATAGTCAAAAGAGCGAGGGACGGAGAAATATGGGGGATGTTTGATATCAGATTAAAAAATACATATTTTTGTTTCATTTGTTAGCTAGTATTTCGTTCTCTCTCTCTTTCTCTCTCCTCTTACTAGTATCTTCTTCTCTATTTCTGCTACTTGTTGGACTTGGGTATTCAAGATGGCCATAACGATTAACAACTGTTGGGGGTAGATAGTTCTTCTTGTTCTTAGAGGCGCCCAACATTACCAACACAACACCCCCCACAACAGAGACTGGACCTACTGATTTTACCTTCTTCCTAAACAAACATAACTCTTTTCTCCAATCACACTGATGAACATCTCATCACTCATCACTTCAATTCTTTGTGCGCTCTTGCTGCAAAGATAATACAATCGATCATGTACAACATTTCATGGATCGACAAATTAGGTAAAAAGAATCATTCCGTGTTTATCATTTCGAGATGCATTTGATCATCACCTACTCTCCTCACCCAGCTAACCGGCTAACTCTACGCCCACAAACCTTTTTGATCGTCAAATAATTGTTCAGGGGGTGCTGATCGAATCAGTTTGCAAGGCACCGACCTTAAAAAGGGGTGTTTTAGAATCATTTGGTGGCCCTTGTTTTGTTGAACAAAATCGAATCTTTGGTTTTGGTTTGCATCAAAGGGGGTCAACACAACAATCTACGCCCGAAAGGAGGTGAACGAAAAGATTTTTGTCTTTTGTTTTTCATTTTTCATTTTCGTGTCTTGATGGTTGGATCATGCAAATGTTGGATCGTTGCAGCAGCAATCCAAACTGTTCCAATCACCAACCAAACAAAACAGCTCACCCGTCGTTTGGTAAGCCGCCCTCTCTGCACTATTCAGATATTTGCTTTGCTTGTTGTGGGTGCTAGTATTGAATCGAGAAATTAGCCACCCCTCTCCCCCTATCCAATCCTCTCGATCCGGTTCATGTGTCCCCATGAATGATGGATGGAACATACCTGCCACCTGGCATGTTCACCGTTCAATATATCTCATAATCGATGATCATCTCCCACCTGCCTCCCAGCCCCCATAGTCTACATCGAAAAAAGAAAAGAATATTATTTATTTAATAATGGAAACAAGCTACAAATCAAAAAAGGAGGGATGGTAGTAGTCCATACCAACTCTAAAGTGTGAATTCATTCAACTCTCCTTCTCCTATTTATTTATATATATACACATAAAGATAGCTTTCTGTCTTTTTATACTTTCACACATATTATATACAATATTTATATATATATATATAATATCCTTATCTCTATTATATTTACATTCATTAATTTATTTATTTACACAGATTAATCTATTCACATTATGAAGAAATATATTATTTCCCAAGTGGTTTCTGATGAAACATTCAGAGGTCTATGCCCGATAGTCTCACTCGATGATACGGTTGGTGCCAATGTGTCGGCAGCAGAGGACCCTTTGACATCGGTAGTTCCAACAGTAAAAAAAGAATGTGACCAGCTTGCCAAGGTAGCCAAAAAAGCCCTTGTCAGATTCCCCGTTCTTGCATATGTAATCTTTGACTTTTTTGAAAAGCAAACTGAAATTGCCCAAAAATACAACATCAAGGGGTCTACCGTCAGCCGCCACTTTAGAAGAATCATTGAAAAGAGACTGTACGCCCGCCTTACCACCGATCCCATTGTCTTGCAGTTCTTTGACGATATCCGAGGGGAAATGCTAGGATCCAAGACCAAGGTCAAGGTGTTTTGGCCATATCGTCGTGGAAAGAAGTTCCTTCTCGACAAGTGGTCAATGACACCACATGACCCAACCAAGAAAACTGATGACACTCTGTTCAGGGAAGAACAACATATCACCTTGGCGGAAATGGATAAGGATCTTAAGGCTAATCCTCCATCAACCAACGACGACGACGGCGTTTGCACTGATCTAATGGCCATCGATTCCTCCTCTCCAACTGTTGCTGCTGCTGCTTTTTCTCGTGTTCCTCTCAAGCTTACCATCAAGATACCAAAGACCAAGACACAGACCAATCGAGCACCAAAAGTAAAAGCACCTCGACCTCCAAGATCATCTTCACCAAGAGCTTCAAGATCTAAAAAATCTTGTTAACCTCCTCCTCATTCCTTTTAATTTTGTATCTCTATGTGATACACTACTGTCTATATAATATTTCACAACTCTTTTATCAACTTGACCATGAAAAATGATGATGAACACCCAATCGATCGTTTCAAAAGATCACCAAAAAAAAAATAAAAAATAATATCAAAAAAAAAAAAAACACACAAGAGAAAGGAAGGAAAGGATCAAGTTTAATTAAATTCAAACAAATGATTTGTGGTTCTCCCCTTGTTGATTAAAGATGTCGTGTCCAAGATTGACTCGACCGACAACTAAATATATATCATCACGATTACTTATTAGACACCCATACAACTATTTATTTGTTGTAATGTTGGAACAGAGAGAAGTAGAGACCCATGGTTGGTGGTACTTGAAGTGATCTATTTCCCAATGACGATTTGTTTGGATACCAGTGATGAGAGTCAGAGAAATATCTGATATCAGAGTTTACTGAAGAGTAGGATTTTTAATCAGAAGAGCCACCACAGAACACTACCCCACACAATAAACCCTTTCAAAAGTGAAAGATTTTTTGGAACGTGATTGTGGAGGGTCGGGTCTTTGAAAACTCCATTGCCTCGATACCATTGTCGCTCAAAGGCTCGATATTTTGTTTGAATAATGCACAGCCAAGTCTCTCGCTTTGGACGACTTTTTTAAGCATAAAAACCAATAAATTTTATTGTTCAGCCGAATCACAACCCAGCCTGGTACCCTACAACAGATATTTCATTGGGAACCTAGGTTCATCCTACAATATTATGCATTACAATGGTAGTTTTCAAAGTTTAGGAGCATCGGGTGGAATCCAAGGGACCTTCAGCTTTACAAAAATTTTTAACTTATCGTTTAATTGTTATTCAATCATTCTCGTCTTTCATACAGATAATTAACTAATCACGCATCCTACCTATCTTTTATTTATTTATTTATTTATTTATATATTCATTAAACATTATCTTCGTATCAATTGTAGTTAACAGCATCGTTATCAGTTTCTATTTCTATATATCATATCATAATACAAATATATTTGTAAATCCATCAAACTATAGTTGTTTATTAAAAAGTACTCAATTTTAATAATTAAAATTTATACTTAAAATTTATACTTTTTAAAAGTATGTATAAATAGAATTATAAAATTTTTAAAAGATATCTTGTCTCGTCTCCTCTTTGTCGCCCTACTACTTTTTTTTTTCGCTCTGTTATTTTTTTTGTTTTTTCAATTTTACATTTTTGGATCTGTTTGTATAAGCTGTCATTCTACCAAAGATCTTCAATAATATTATTATTATTATTATTATTGTTTTTTTGAATAAACTATTTTTTTAATTTTCAATTATTACTTTGGTTTAAAAGTCTAGATTTGTTTTTTGATAGATTTAAAAAAAAAAAAAAAAAGAAAAACAAAATCAAATAGTTTTGAATGTTTTTTTAAAATTAAAATATTCTATGATGTTATCTTGATTATTTAATTTAATTCATCTGCTGTTCCAAAGCAATCTAATAATGGACTACCATTGTTTGCCAGCAAGCAACAGTAAAAAAACAAATTGTGTAATAAATAACAAAATTTTTGTAAACAACAAGGTGTAGAATTCTATTACAATCCAACAACAGCAACAACAAACAAATATAGATAGAGTAATTACAAAACTTCCCCACATACACATCCCAGTAAACACCATCTTACTACTACTACTAAACTATCGGTACCATACCCGGGTCTTTTCATCTTCACCACCACCACTCGGGTCCTTTTACAGAAAACTCAAACCATGGGCGCAGTGTTTTTTTGTTTTTTGACCAGAGTATGCAGACAGACGAACAACAGACTATGGCCACTACTATTTTTAAAAAAGTAAAATCGCATATGTGATCCAGTCTAGGCCAGCATTGTTGTGCGATTGAATTCAATGTCTGGTGGCGGTCAACATGTGTCATGTCTCATAACAGACAGATCTTGCCTGTGTTGTTAAATTATAAATAAGGGCGCTTTACACTTTTTTAAAATTTATTTTATTCTTCTTCTTCCTTTTATTTACAATAAACGTGATACTAATCACTACCACCAAACAACAACAACAACTCATCATCATTTTCAATAATAGTGTACATAAAATATATTTCTTGTGTAGATAGTAATTCAGTGTATTTTTAATGTAATTATAATTAAACATAGATGGGTTTGGAAACTTAAAACTTAATTTTAAGTTTCAAATCTCACGCTATCTTCTATCCTATCTATCTACCTATTTCATGCTCCACATCGTGTTTCATCTTCCTCTATTCTTATTCCAATTCTTTGACCTACTCTTAATTAGCTTACTAATAATAAAATCTTTATTTTTTTTATAAATAAATAACAACAACAAAGTAGTTATCTAAAATCTCTACACAACGACAATAATTGAATATTTTTATTTATTGGTAGGTAATAATAATATTATGCATATTTAAAATTACAACAATGTCAAACGAAGCGATGGTTACAGATCAACAAATTGTTTGAAAAAAAATGAATCATTAGCAATTATGCTACTCCTCACTCTAGGGTAGATTTTATCATTTTCCAAAACCGGATCATTGGATCTGACTTTAAAACAAATTTCCAAACAAACAACAACAACAACAATATATTTTTTGATTCATCATTGTTAAAAGAATATTCAGAGACAATTTTATTTTAAATCATCTCTTTGTTTGTTAGTTTCCACTCACTCACAACAATTGAAAAAATCCTCATCAAAATTCCACCCTTCCACATCCACCCTCCCACCATCTTTAAATGTGGATGGGTGGTGATCACACTCACACTCTTCACTCACATACACACTCAACGACTATATATATCAGCGGATAAATTAAACAGTTTTAAAAACAAACATATATTATTAGTAGTGATATTATTTCATTCCTTTAAAAAAAAGTTGTGATTATTCATCATCATCCACAACCACCACTTTTTATCATCAGTAGTGTTACTGACACTCTCGGCAATGACAGTTCTGGGTTGGAATGCATTGAGAGTATCGTCTACACCATTCAAACAACAACGGACATTAATAGCACAACCATGTCAGTGAACAATTAATCTACACTATTCAAACAATAATCCCATCCACACTCTCTTACTTGTTGCACTGCTGCTGACTGTCTGACTGACAGACTGGCCAACCAGCCGGACATTGGCCGGTAAGCAATTAATAATCCACACCGATTTTAAAATATATTCTAAAAAAATTAAATACATACAACAAGTAGTAATAATAATAATAATCATCATCATCATCATTCATTGGAACAAACAACCAACCAACCAACCCAAACCATTTATATATATTTATAAATTTTATCATTTTATATAAAATTTTAAAGAATAGAATTGTAATTGTAATTTACCCAACAACACAACAACAATTGTTTTTACCATAATCTAAAAATTAATTGTTAGCACCAACAACAACACCAATAACAACAAAAGTATACTACTATATAATATTAACAACATACACACACACCACAACAGGTTCCGACCGCCACTAAAATTCAAGTAAAGTAAATATAACATCACAGGAGGAATCTCAGATTTACTTTCTATATTTGTTGATCAAACCATCAAACAAAGCATTTGCAAGATCTTTGATTGGGAATCAATCATTCTGATCTTAAAACCATTGAAACTATTTAATTTTTAGTGTGATCACACTACCCCAAACTAAAATTAGTTTTGGCACGACACCATCGCCCAGCTGGGTTGGTCTAATTTTAATTGTTTCCAACAACACACTTAAACACACATAAGCACACAAAGACAACAACCCCCATCACTATAAAAAAAAAATAATGATAATTTGATAATACATTTCATTGATTGTTTGATTCCCCCACATCTCAAAAAAAGGGAGAGTTCTCAGCGTCGATCAATCAAATAGCAATCCAAAAAAAAAAAACACACACAACTCTGTTACCACCACCATCACCACGGATGAGTCCGATAAACAAACAATGGTGGCAACACTCTCTGTTGGCTGACAAGAGTTGAGCAATGGTACAACCAATCATTTGCATTTAATCGTTCACCCATCGATGTGTTATGACGGCGACGATTACAATACTTTGCATCAAACAAACAAAATCGAAACGTCAGTCTTTGCTTTTTGGTTGTTTAGTTTGCTTGCACCACCCTGCATCAGTGCCATGTGTAGTCGGCTGTCATGTCATCCGTCCATCACCCTCTTCCATTTTTCCATTTTACAATTTATAGTACCCAACTATTGCTGGCAACACACAACAACAACACACACACATACATTCCAGCAACACGATGATCATTTTATTTAATGATTGATTGATCATGAAACCCTATATTATGAACCACCCACTCACCCACCTACCCATTGATCCCTACACCACTGACCACAAGTGTCTGTTACTACATACTTTACTACTGCACTCATCCATCCATCTATCACCACCCAAGTCATCATATGACATCCAATAACAATGTACCAACAACAAAGGACTCTCTCTTTCTCTTTCTTTTTCTCTTTCTATTACAACAACACAAACCCCCCATCATACCCATCCATACCTCTAAATTAATTCAAACGAAGCACAACAACATGTTACCTGACTATAGAAGAGTCTCTTATCTTGTAATCCATTTTTAATTTCATATATATATTTATATATACATACTTCCAACTAAGAACAAATAACCTACATCAATCATCATATCATATACTCCCCTTTTTATTTTATTTTATTTTACAACTGCAACTTCACCTTTCTTCTTTGTCTCTGGTGAAAAGTGGTTTCGTAGTAATAATAATAATAATATAATCCAGTGTGTTCATTTTATTACGAACAAGCCATATCATCGATTGGTTGGTTGTGTAAAAAGGTAAACAACAAACTAATCATCAACCCCAACTACCAAAAAAAAAAACTATTATTTGGCAGAACCAATATATTTTTATCTATATAAAATATTATTATTTTATTTTTATCATAAAGTAGAGAATAGAAGAGAGAGGAAGTAGAGGATGATGATGATGATGATGAAGGTTATTATCTTCTCCTTCTTCTTCATCTTTTCTTATTTCTCTTTCTTTCATCAAACAATATTTAACACAACATAACCATAATTTACGCTTTTATTCATTCTTGGTTTTTACTATTCGTAGGAGGCAATCAAATCTATCTATGTATGTGTGCGTGTGTATGTGTGGTGGGTGATTACAAATTCGATTGGATTTGTTCAAATCAAATCAAATTCACATCATAATTTTAATTTTTTGTTGTTTATGTATTTGTTGTTTGAACAATCGATTGGGTGGGTGGTTGTGGGTAATAATAATAATAATAATAATAAGAGTAGTTGTAGCAATCACAATAGCCAATACCAATAACAACAACCACCAGAGTAAACGACTATAGTGACAATAGTGTTTGTAGAAGCAAAATATCTTTTCCATCTATTTGACATTCCAAGTCGAAATGATCATTTTTGATAACTTCAATCAATCACGAGTCTATAAATAACTCAAACACTCTCTCTCTCTCTCTCTCTATTGAGTTTATTTTTCTTACTTTGACCACCCAACCAACTCACACTACACACCAAACAATATTTCTTCAACTTCACATGTTTCCATCTTTATGATCATCTAACAAAAAAAAAAAAAAAAAAAAATTATCTAACAAAACAATTATTTTATTTTAAAACAGCAAAGACATATATTTATTAATTGTAGGCCAGTCAGATTCTCATATTAATATTAATACAACACCCCCACCCTAGAATGTAAGTGAAATTATCCTTTTTTATCATTTCAACAAATCTCTAGTCTGAGGGGTGGTGAAGTTGAACACAACAACACCACGGCGTTAAATTTATCCAAAACACTATTATACATCACATACAAATGTGCTAAAATTATCTCATCTTGGATGCCATATCATATATGTGATATGGTTGTTGTTGTTGTTGTTGTGGGTGATTAGCATATGCTGATGTATGATGTGTGATTGCTACAACCATCATCATCATCATCAACTACATCATCACAATCATCATCATCATCGTTGTCAACACCACCAACTACGAGCATCATCACACGCACACCCTCACACATAAATGTAGAGTAATAGGAATATGGGAATGGTGGGAAATATGTCATATTTTACTCGTACTATCACTATTATCCATTAATCACGACAGAAATTTCTGGATGGTTGGATGGATGGATTGATGGATGGATGGATGGATGGTTGTTTGTTTTTTTCCAAATTATTCCACCAACCATCGGAATGCACAACCAACCAACCAACCACTACTCTACTACTGTTTCAATTACCACAGCTGCAACAGTAGTAGCTACTACTACTACTACTACTATAGTGTGGTAAAAAGTTGTCAGTTCATCTTTGGATCTCTGATGAGCATTTACGCTTTTATATCTATTTTAAATAATTTAATTTTCAATTGTTTAAAACAACAATATATATACTCTACACCCATCAGCATCCATTTATGCGGTTGACATAATTCTACATATTTCCACTCTTGTACGTTCCACTACATCTCTTGATGACTGAATCGATTTTCGTCATCAGTGGCCACAACATCAATCAAAACACAACTGAATCACTATTCAGTACATCATCATCATCATCATCATCATTATCATCATAATTTATTCTTTTCCTATTCCGATTCCAAAATTTTATTTGTGTTGTTGAACAACCAACAAAAACAAGTGTGAGTGACAATCAAAACTTTTATTTTTGTATTCAACACTTAAATCAGCGATTATTTAAATTGATCAAAGTGTTTGTTGTTGGTTTGACTAGCAAGACAACACCATAATATTCTATCCCACTACCACTACCAATTACCATCCTTATGCATCCTGTTTCACACCAATATTTATATATATATATATATAACTCCTATACCACTTTTGTTTTTGATGATCACTATCGTTGGAATTATACAAAAACGTATCCTCAACTTCTGATTGTTCACCATCAATATAAATACATCTCACTCTTTAATTATCATTTTTTGTTTAGCGTTGTTCCAAAAGATTAAAATAATAATAATAATAATTATTAACAAACAAAAATATTTTTTAATCATTTCTTTAGATTAAAACAATAATAACCTTTTTACTATAAAACAAAAAAATGAATTCAACATCTTATATGTTTAAACCCATTCCCTCAATGAGTCAAATGCAACAACAACACGATCTAAATAACCTCGCCATCATGGACGATGACCAAGAATATTTATCAGACAATGAAGATCTTTCTCCAAATAATAATGATAAGGTAAATAGTGATAGAAAACAAAAAAATATATTAGATTCAATCTAATATTCTTATTCCCTCTTTTTATTTTTTTTTAATTTTATTTTTTTAGAAAAAAGATAAAGCAAGAGGTACTATACAAAATGGAATTCGTCGTTCACCAAATAAATGGTCCAAAGAAGAAAATAAGAGATTGTTTGAATTGGTACAATTATATGGAGAAAAGAAGTGGAAGCGTATCTCGGCCGAAATGGGCAGCCAAAAGACTGGAGCGCAATGCGCTCAGCACTGGAAGCGTGTACTCAGTCCAGACATTCGCAAGGGTCCATGGGACGAAGATGAGGAAGAGTTGTTGTTGCGTCTGGTACATCAACACGGCTCGAGCTGGAAGAAAATAGCCAAGCGTATCTGTAAGCGTACAGATATCCAATGTCGTTACCAATACCTCAAGGCTTTGCAGTCCCGTGAAGTACCATGGGTCATCAAAGAAGACGAAGCACTCATGAAAAAGGTACAAGAGATGGACATGCAATTATCATGGTTGGAAGTATCAGACTACCTCGCCAAGCTCAAACATACAAACACCCTCCGTACAGCTCTCGAATGCAAAACTCGTTACCAAGAATTAACTGAATGTATGCCAATGGCAACTCAAAATCCAATTTTCCAACAACAACAACAACATCAAATGCAACAACAACAACAACATATGCAACAATATCAACAACAACATATTCAAAATCAGCAAAATAATCAATTTTCTCAACAAATGATTCCAACACGCGCATTACTTACTAGTTCAACATCAACTTCATTTTCCCTTCCATCATCTCCAAGTACATCACTCTCTATGGATGTCAATCTTGACTCACCCAAAAATAACTCCTCGCCATTACTATCACACCACCATCGCTCATTTGATGAAACCAAAACCCAAAGAATCACCATCTCTAACCTCACCAGTCCATCGTCGTCGCCCACTCCATCTCCCCCATCGTCGCCATCATTCAACATTGGAATCAACAATAGCAACAGCCTCAGATACAAACATAGCAATAGTTCCGACTCGATCCCATCGATAAAGTCAATGTCCAACTGGAACAACAATAGCAAGTTGTTTGGCCAGTCAAAATCTGACCAACACGTTGACAAGAAGGTCAAAAACGGAGACATCTTTTTCACACCAATTTCCTTTGCTGACAATAACAAATTGAATCCAATCCTTTCAGACCAAAGCAGTGACGACGACGACTCTATCTGGCAACCAAAACATAAAAATACAAACAACAATCACAACCATAATAATAATAACTACACTTTGAATGGATTCCTTCCAAAATCATTTTCAACCAACAGTATTTTAAATTTCAATAATTTCAGCAACAACAATAGTAACAATAGTAGCAGAAACTCAACTCCAACCAACACCTCATCACCCTACTCTTCACCTATGGCATCACCTGCAACATTTGAAAAGCTCAAAAGCACTTCATTTGACTTTTTTAATTTGGAATCTCTTGCTGCTTTGGCTTCAACTCAACCAAGAACTGAGCAACAACCAAGACCAATTAAATAATAATAATAATAATGGATCCTGTTTTTTTTTCCTAATAATAATAATAATAACCCCCTAATTTACTCTAAAGGAATATTACCAATATAATATCCAACTCCCCCTAATAATACCAAATTCTACCAAAACAACAATCAGTTTGTTCAATTTTAAAAAACTTAATACACAAAGTTAAATCATTATTTTTCCCTAATAGAAAAATAAATTAATAAAACCCCCCCCCCCCCCTCCTCCCTCTTCTAATAGATGTACAATTCTTTAAATCTAAAACATCAAACAATATCTCTTTCCTCTTTTTAAAGTTTCTTTTTTTTTTTTTTGATCAATCATTGAACGATCCCCTTCGAAAAAGGGAAACCCACGAAATGGTTCTTTCGTTTTTTTGTCTTTTGGGACTTGAGGGTTTTTTCGTTTTTTAATCAGTTGGGACCAACAGAAAACTTTGATCGATGCCCAAAAGTTAAGCGGTTTTAAATATCCGCCTCAATCTCGTTCGATTGATATCGAGATTGATTGAATGCAAGCAATGAATAATCAGTACAAGCCTAGTTAGTTGTTTTTTTTTTTAGTGAAAAAAAAGTCGTGTAGTTCTTCACCTCGTTGTTATAACAATAATAATCATTATTAGCGCAACCCAACTTAACTTTATGTTGTTTTTAAACATAAATAGAACAAATAGAGTAGACAACAAAATTATAATAACAACAGATTTAAAAAGAAGAAGACCATTTTTTTGTTTTATGCCAAGATTAATGTACAAAGAGAAGAGAGAGAAATAATATAATATAAAATAATAGTCATCCCTTTAATATATTATATATATATATATATAAAAGTAAGAATAATAGTATAAGGTGTGGTTGGACAGTGTAAACTAGATCCACCACACTAATAATCACACACATACAAACAAAGACAAAAATAAGGGGGGATAGTATAATAATAATGTTGACTATCGGTCGGTCGGTCGGTCAGTTGTGGGGTAATCACAATTGTGATAGATGTTAGATTTGTTATATATATATATCTATATGATAATTGCCGCAGGTGGAAATCGTATTGAATACAAAAGATTGATTGAATGAAGAGACAACACAAAAGAGAGACAGAGAGAGAGAGAGAGAAAGAGAGAATAATAATAATACACACGCACATATATCCAATCAACATCGTATTATAATTGCACAAGAGGAGGTTATGTAAAAGAATAGAACAACAGACTATCTTTTAATCCTCCTGATAGAGAGAGCAAGCATGGCGATTCTACATCGTGGTCATGTGTTTGTACAACCGCCGATTGGTTCATCATTTGATGATGACAAGTTTATTATGATCATACATAACATACTATCTCTGCGCCGTCAAGAAGCACTGTGGGGTGATGATACACTACAATCAATCAATTCAATTCAATTCAATTCACAATTCAATTCAATTCAAATCACAACAATAACTCTCAACTGAATTCAGTTCTGTTATTTAGAATGATGTTGTTGTAGTCTATTGTCGTAATCAACACACGCACAGACACACCGCCGCCTCCTTCCTTTTCTATTCTATTCTACTCTACTCTACTCTAACAATACACAACACAAAAATCAACTACTACTATACAAACTTGATTTTAAATAATTTATTTATCACCATCATTCTAAAATAACAATAATAACAATAATAATAATAGAGACAAACAAAAAGTAGAAAAAAAAAAGTAGAATAATAATAGTAGTCGACAGAAATTAGAGTAGAGTAGAGTAGAAAGTATAATTTAGGAAATTGTTGTTGTTGTTAGTTGTAGCTATTTTAAAATTAATTAATGTATTTATTATATATTATATATTATAATATTATTTGTTGTTTTTATTTTATTTGTTGAACAAGATCCATTCCCATTCCAACAATTAATTGTGATTGATAGAGTTATAACTAATGTTTATATTCAATTTTAAAATTTCTAGATTTAAAGAATCTTCAAAAGACAAGAACGTAACTTTTTCTCCCTTCTCAAAACTCTATTCTTAGAGTTTAGATCATCCAGTTTGTTGGTTGATCAACCAATCCGTTTTCTCCCCCCCTTTTTTTAAACCAGAGATCCCTCTTTCTTTTATTTATTAAAGAATGGAAAGAGTAAAACATTTAAAAGTACCAACTATGGCGAATCGAAGCCGATCGCCATCGATAGATATGATTGTAATGGATGAGGTTTCAAAGATTATATCGTCGCCGCCACAAATCCCGTCGATTGTGGGCGACGACACTAATAGCAACGCGAGCGGCAACGTGGCCAGCACACCCGGGAGCAACATACTCTCGACCACCTCTATCCTCAACTCTCCGGTTGTTTCAACCGTATCGACACCCACATCTTTTTTCCTCTCGACTCCCAACCTTCAACAACAGCAATTTTCTCCACCTCTTTCACCGCGAGGCACCACACTCTCGTTTGCATCGGTGCCCAACTTGTCGCTAGGCGGCAACAACACGCCACCCGCGTCGCCCAAGCCTGGCGACCACCACCACCCATACCATCAACCTCCCTACCACCCACTCCAACACCCACACATATCCATCTCCATCTTGGAAAAGACGACCGGACTCTCGCGAAACTCGAGCTTCAACAGCGTGTCGGGCGCCAACAGCACGCTCGACTCGAGTCCCACCACGCCCACGTCGTCGGGTGTGCCCCCTCCTCCCCCATTTCAACAACTCCAACAACAACTACTGCAGCAGCAGCAGCCACAGCAAGCAGACGACCGCTACTCAATCAACAGCAGCAGCAGTTCGCTCTTTCATAACATCCACAACAACACGCCATCCAAACGTATATCATATCGCGACAGCATCAATCTCAACGGCGCCGACCAACCCTTCCCACCATCATCACCCAGCCGAGCGTCTCTGACGCTACCACCCGTTCAAACCAACGACAGCGAAATCAACAATAGCGGCGGCATTGACAAGAACAAGAATAGCAAGCGAAAGGGTAAACGTCTACTCAAGCGCGTGAGAAAGACGTTGCAGTCGATCGTCGAGAGTTGGTGGTGGATGGCAATCATGATTGCGACGATTCTATATATTATATTTGTTGACGATGTTTTGGGAATGGCGGGGTCGCCCAGCAGCGGCGCGATCGACACGTCGATTATTACCGTCAAGATTTGCATCATGTTGTATTTTATAGTCGATGTGGTATTTTGCATTGTTTTGTATGGCAGGCGGTACTACCCCGGCACCATTGTATTTTGGCTCGACCTTTTTAGTCTGCTGTCGATCGTGCCCGACATTGTCGTGTTTTTCCTCGACGACTCGTTGGCGCACGAGATGATGGTGCTGTCAATTGGCACGGCGGCGCGTATCATTCGCATCTGCGGCAGCTTTGTCCGTATCTCTCTTATCGCAACCATATATAACCGTTTCCTGCGCAAAAAGTATTACCTCGCGCCTATTAGCACTAGCGGGACCACGCCGGGCATCACCACGCCCAACCATTCTGGCGCCAACGACAATACATTAGAGGTTGAGGCCAGTCGGCTGGGCGACAAACTAATCCGACTGACCACCAACAAGATTGTTTTGCTGGTGCTGTTGGTGTTTTTTGCAACACAATTGCTCACCTATCAACCACCACGCGATGTATATATTCACTCTGCACTCTCCACACTCGAATACCAAGCCGATCGATTTGGAACCACTTCGCCAGAATTTCTCGGACTTTACCAACAATTTTTAATCAACAACGCAGACACGATGACCAGTCTCATCGTCAGCTCGCATGTACTCTATATCAACCAGGACCGAATAGACTCGCTCCAACGGTCGGCTGTCTCGTCTTACTATTACGCCAACTCATCCATTTCAATGGATGACTCTGCACTCATCAAAAAATCGTCGGCCTATCATTTTGCACTCACCTGTTTTGTCATCCTCATACTTATTATTGTCAATTTGTTGATTGTCAATGATGCACATTGGTTGGTCATCAACCCGCTCGAGAATGTATTGGCCATTGTCAAACTCTTGTCGCGACAAAACGCATCGATTCAACATTCGCATCATCAGTATGCCATGCACACAGCCAATGGTGTCATCACCTCTGGACACACTTCATTCAGACAGAAACGTCTAGAGTCGGTCGGTAGCAAGAGCGAGGATACCACAAGCAGTAGTGGTGTAGATGGAGACGAGGTTGACGAGACCGACGAAGCAAATTACCTCCTCGGTATGTTGAATGACATTGACGGTAGTTTACAAGCTGCCAAAGAAAAAGTTGAAGAAGAATCATATCAAAATGCAAAATTAAGAAATCATATAGAAGATTTATTCTTGGAGAAATTCATTTTAAATATTCATTTAAATGTAAATATAAAGAGAAGAGAGAAAAGAAAACCAATCATTTAATTTAATTAATTATTTTCTATTCCATTTTAGTCAATAACAAGAAAGATAGAATTTGATGATATATTGGGTAAATCATTAAAAAAGAAACAAGAAATGTTGGCATTGAATATTAAACCATTGGCAGATGGAATCAACTCGGATGAAATTAAATATAAACAAGAGTTGGAATCAACCAATCCAACTATTATTTGTGCCAATTTGGAGAGATTGATTGATCGTTTGTCAAAGGTTGACAATCATGATATCAAGTTTGCCAATGTATTCTTGTTGACATTTAGAAGATTCATTTCACCGATTGAATTGATGGAACGTCTCATCATTCGATTCTGTATCACACCACAATACGACCTGCCAAACAATGTACTGGCACTCAACGAAACCGTCGATGATTGGCGTCGAACCAAACAAGAACATTTCCGTGTCTCGGTGTTTAATGTCATCAAGTTGTGGATTGGCAAATATTATTGGGACTTCCAATCAAACACTACGCTAGTCGAACTATTCAACATGTTGGTACAACAGATCATGCCATCGTGTAGAATGGAGCGTTATGCACTCCACTTGGACACTTTGTTCAAGAGAAAGGTTGCCAGCTATGTGCCACTACTCGACTACCAACCCATCAAACCTCTGACGAGCGAAGAGATTGCCGAGTTGATGGTATTGGAAGACAAGTTTTTATTCAACTTTGATATTATCGATGTGGCCACTCAAATCACACTCATCGAGTTTGAATTGTTCAAGTCGATTCGTCCACAAGAACTCATTGACCTTGCATGGACCAAGTCAAAGACCAAGACCAAGACGAGTCCAAACGTCGTCCGTTTCATCGACCATTTTAACAATGTCAGTTTCTGGATCCAAATGCAGATTGTCAAGTGTGGCAAAATCAAGGATCGTGTCAATGTCATCAAGCGTGTCATTCAGCTCGGTGAATCATTTGTAAATTTGAACAACTTTTATGGTGCCATGGAGGTACTTTCTTCACTCGAATCGGCATCCGTCTCTAGACTCCATCGTACATGGGACTTGGTTCCAGTCAGTTCCAAGGAAACATTCCAACAACTCCAAAAACTACTCTCACCAAAGGGATCTTTCAAAGAGTATAGAGAACGTTTGAAACAGACAACATCGGCCTGTATTCCATACCTTGGTATCTATCTATCCGATCTCACCTTTATCGAAGAAGGTAATCCAGACTACCGTGAAGACACCCTCATCAACTACACCAAGCTTCGTGAAATCGCTGCCACCATCCTCTCGATCCAACAATTCCAAAATACTCTTCACTATTACCAACCTATCAAGGAAAAGATTAGAAGTCAACTTGACCTCAAATGTATTATGGATAATGAAACTATTTGGAAAATGTCTCTAAGTTGTGAAGCTAGAAGAACTTAAAGACAAAAAAACAAAAAGATCCAGAACCAATCCAAAATATTTGGCGCAATATCAATAGTGATTTCACCAAGAAGATTGGTTGGTTTTAAAACATGTATAGATTTTTTTTCTTATTTTTTCTTTAAAAGTTATACAAACAAACAAACAAATTCGTTATACATATATAAATAAAGACAAGTCTGTTTTAAAACTTTTAAATATTATTATTTACATTTGTTGTACGTTTTATTTAATTTATAATTTAGCAAGAACAGCTTCGACAGATGTTTCTCCAAAAGCACCAGCGTCAACAGCAATTGATTTGACGATACCATCATGAATGACGATAGCATAACGTTCAGATCTGATACCCAAACCAAATGCGGTACAATCCTTGGTCAAACCAATCTTCTTGGTGAAATCACCATTGCCATCGCCAAAGAATTGTACCTTATCACCGGCCTTTTGATCAGCAGCCCAATAGCTCATAACAAAGCCATCATTGACTGCAATACAATAGACAGCATCAATACCCTTTGCCTTGATCTCATCAATCTTTTCAACAAAGCCTGGGATATGTTTAACTGAACAGGTCTAAAAGAGAAGAGAAGAGAAGAGAATCATATTTGTTAATGATCACATGAATGATACTCGATAGTTTACAATGTTGAATATAATATATATATATATATATATACATACTGGTGTGAATGCACCTGGTACAGCAACGAGGACAACCTTCTTTCCTTCAAAAAGAGTGTTTGATTGAACCTTGGTTGGGATGGGACAAGCTCCATCTTCTGGGAGTGGTTGAACAGCCTTCCAAAGGGTAATGTCATATGGTACTTTTTCTCCTACTTTAATGCTCATTTTGTATATTGTATGTATGTATATAAATATTATAAATGTATTTGTTGTTGTAATTTAATTTAAATTGAATTGAAACTGTTGATCATGGACCATCCTCTTTTAAACCAAAATTTAAATTAATTTTAGATAATTTTTTTTGATGACGGGATGCAGCGGGGTGGAGGAATGACGTTCCACAAGAAGTCAAGAATATTGTCGTCAACGAAAAAAACCCACGATTCTATTCGATTTAGAGTTTGTCAACACCAGATCGACCTATCAAGCTTACCTTTTATAGATTAATTAGCCATCAAGATAGACTATTTCAACTGTTATATTACGTTATCTAAATTTCAAATAGAATCACTTTTTCCAAGTCAAAAAAAAGAATAAATATATTCCAAATAAACCTAAAATAATAATAATAATAATAATAATAATAATAATAATAATAATAATAATACCCCTACTTTGATATGTATGAATGTATGTATGTCGGTTTATTTCTTTAATTTAAGATTTAAAGACTGGTGGACGAGATTCTTTAATAGCAGTTAAACCTTCGACAATATCTGGATGAGCAAAACATTGTGATTGATTATCGGCTTCGCGTTGAAGTGATACTTCCAATCCTGTATTTTGTTGATTACGTATTGATTTGAGACAACCTTGTACAGAGATGGCCGATTGTTTGGCGATTCTACTAGCCAAAGCGGTGGCTTGTGGAATGAGGTCTTCTTGATTGTAAACATCCAATACCAAACCCAATTGCTTGGCTTCGTCACCTTGTACAACGTCGCCGGTCAATAACATCCGGGTGGCCACTTGATGACTGACAACACGTGGTAAGAAATGGGTAGAGCCCATTCCAGGTGAAATACCCAACGACACAAATGTAAGACCCATCTTGGCCTTGTTTGAAGCCAATCTAATGTCGGTAGCCATTGCCAAACATAATCCAGCACCAATAGCAGGACCATTGATAGCAGAGATGATTGGAACGTTGATATTTCTAATGTAGAGGTAGGTCTTGTAGAATTTCTCCATAATGACTGCATTGTTTTGTGGACTATCTTTGGTACGATCCATCAAAAAGTTTAAATCACCACCTGCAGAAAAGGCCTTGCCAGCACCAGTAAGAATAACACACTTGACAGACTTGTCTTGAGCCAATTGATCAACACAATCTTTGAAATCCTTACCCATATCAAATGTCAGCGCATTGAGATGTGCAGGTTTATTCAACTTTAAGAATGATACACCATTATAAACACCATTTTCTAAATGCTTTTCAATAAATACTAATGGTTCTATAGAAGAGGAAAAGAAAAGAGGTTAATCAAACCAAACCTAACAACAGCAAACTTTGATCAATCAGAGTAGTAATGCATTCTATTTCTATTTACCTACCTTTAGCAGCACCAGCAGTAGCAGCAGCAGTAGTTGAATACAATCTAACAGCAAACTTTGGAATAGATGATTTAACCAAAAACATTCTTATGAGAGAACAAACAAACAAACAAACAGTCTTTCTCTTTTACTAAAAGGTTAAGTAAACTATTTAATTTAAATAAATTTCAAACAAAGTCAGAGGAGGTGATCCGTCACACGAGAAACAGATATTTAAATTTTCTTCATATTTTAATTAATGATTATTAATTTACCAACTAAAATGAAAAGAACAGATACTTCATCCATTTCGTCACCAACGATAAAGAAAAAGAAAGATATGGAGGGAGGTCAAATAACAACCAAAGGAAAAGATAATAATATGAGTGACCAACAACAACAAGTAGTACAAAATATAACTACATCATCACCAACTCATGAAGAGGAAGAAGATTATAGTTCATACAAGACAATTGAAGAGTTTGGATATAGATACAATGATAAAGGACAATTAAGATCAATCAAGGATGATAGTACATTTAAATTTGTAACACAAGAACATTATGATGCATTGGGTGATGTTGTTGCAACGACCATTCAAAAGATGATGACTCAAGAACCATACCACCTCATAGAACTACAAATACCAGAGGATAACATCGAAGGTGTAGATCCTACCAAACCACATACCAATATCTTTTTGAGTGATGATTTCTACGCCAACGAAGAGAGATTGTTAATCATCATTTGTGGTAGTGGAAGAGTTGTTGCTGGTCAATGGGCAAGATCAATTTGTATTAATGATACGTATGTAAATATAAATAAATATTATATATCAATACTAAAACTAACAAACTAAACATGTTATGTTTAGATTGGGAAAAGGAACAATCTTTGAATATTTAGAGCAAGCTAAAAAGAATAACTTTTCATTTATTATTCTTAATCCAAATCAAACAAGAGGAGAGTATATCGGAAAGAATGGTAAACCAAAGATGGGATCAGTTCCAGGAAGTGAAACACCATACAATCACGTTCAATATGTATACGATCATTATATTGTAAAATCAAAGGCCAAGGCAATCACTATTATTGCCCATTCATTTGGTGGACAATTAACAATGCACATCTTGGAAAGTAGACCAAAAATAATGGACAAGTTAAAAGCAATTGGTTTGACAGACAGTGTCCACTCTCATAGTGTTTTGAGAAGATCAAATGTAGAATCTGATTCAGAGGACGACGATGATGACAATGAACAAAACACTCAATACAAATATACAAAGGCACAAAAAGTAGAGAATAACAAAAAGGTTCTTAAATTCATTTCAAACAATTGTATCAATTGGGTAGCTTCAAAACAACCAGTTGGTCAAGACCTTGGTTTCAGTACCTATCAATCTTGTCAACACAGAAGTTCCGGTCATACTAAACATGAATATACTTCTAGTTCATGTAAAGATGATTTATTTAATTATATTCTTTCAAAACAATAAAAAGTAACATATAAACATATACAATGATGTACACAAAAAGTGAAGTTCATTCTTTCATTACCATCACCATTGGTGTTTGTGTGTGTGTTTATGAAATAAATTAATATTTATTGGTTTTTTTGAAAACCAACACTATAGTACACATCATTTTCATTTAGATGTACTACATCTCACAGAGACCCCAATCATATATTTATTTATTTATTCTTTTAAATCTAGATCAAAAAATATGTTATTAGCATTGAGAATTGTTTGCAGCATTTTACCAGCTTTGTTTACATTATTGCTATCAGCATTTATGATAAATTCTTTTGTTTTGGTAGAAAATTTAATTCATATTGTATGTATCATTGAAATTGCCCTAAACTACACAGACCTATTTATTAACCAACAAAATAATGTATGATGTCTAGACAAATCAAAATGTTAAATTCCATCCATGTGTAACAGATTGTTTGAATATAGTTCATGAATACAGTCAAAATATTGGATCAAGTCATTATTTTATTTTTGGTGCATTAATTTCAACAGTTTATCTATTACATAAAACAAACAAATAAATAAATTAATAAATATATAAAAAAACAAACAGATAAATACATAGAAATATATTCTTTTTTTTTTTTTTAGTTTTAAATCAAAATATTCTTTGATTATTATTAATATCTATCTATTCCTATTTTATTTGATTTTATTATTTAATACATTTCATCACCATCTTCATCATATTCATAAGCACCATCTTGATTTTGAAGTCTTTGAATTTCATCTTGTAATTGATTAACCTTTTTCTTTAAAACTGTATTTTCTGAATAAAACTCTTTAAACTTTTCAGTGTATCCTTTGATCTTGAATTCCAGTGAAAGTATGGAATCATCCTTTTCCTTTAATTTTGCTTCCAATTCTTTAATTCTATCATTTACATTTACAGGTGCAGTTACGCCGGGAGAAGTTGATCCTTTTCCACCACTCTTTAGTGTTTCTATTATTTTTGATTTCTCTTCAACGTCTAGTTCCAACTTTGCTATTTTACTCTTTAGCTGTATCTCTTTTTCTTCGATTGCCAAACTATTTTTAATGTGTTCGCTGAGATGGTGTGGATCAATCTCGGCGAGTGGATCGATTGATGAAGGTGACGCTGCCGACGACACATTTTGTATGGTATTGCGAGCCGACATTGAAGAACTCCCCGGACTAGCCATACCAGCCGACTTTTTGGCGTTGCTGATACTGGTCGACACGAGGATGAGCTTGGTAAGATGCTGGATTTTACTTTCGAGAAGGTTCTTATGTTTCTCGGCTTCCATTAGTTTCTTGTTGAGCTCGTCTGCTGCTGACCCGCCCGGAACTATATCCTTGCCACGACGATTGGCCTCTTCGAGCTTGTTCTTGAGCTCGGCAATTTCGTTTCGGTATTGTTTGATCAATGTCTTGTCGTCGACAGTCTCATTGACCTTGGCATTGTTGACAATATTCTTGGCACGCGATGCAAACTTGAGCGTGCTATGTGACTCTTCAAAGTTGTTGTTGGCAAGCGTAATGGTACAGATGATGGCAATCTTGGAGTTGCCACCAAGCGAGTTTTGGAGTATACGTGTGAGTTTGGAATCTCTATAGTTGATGTGACCCTTGGTCTTTTCGCTCAATTTGCTAATGACCGAGCCAAGAGTCAACAAACTCTTGTTAATGTATGCACCCTCTTTGTTACGGATGGATTGCGCACCCTCGCTGGCACGCTCACTTCCAGCCAAATCGATCAGATTGAGACACGATACACGCACGCCTTGGCTCGACGAATCGACGCTGTCGGCCACCGGCTTGGACTCTACCACCAGTCTAAAGATGGTGTGTGAACGCGACGACTGGTCGTTAAAGTTGGTCGACCCGACATGACGATGTGCCTCACCCGACGCAATCACCGAGAGCACGTGATCGTACGACAAGACAATCTCTTCTTTGAGCCCGCCGACAAACACCTCACCCGACTGTGGGTTCTCGTGCACCTTGAGGTTGATGTTCTCGGGTGCCAACAAATCGTTGATCACCTCGTTGTAGATTTCCAAATACGAGATACGCAACAAGAACTCTCTGTTTGGGTCGTTTGCAATGAATGAGAAAACGTCTTGGATGGCCAATGGAATGACACCCGGGTTCTTTCTACCCGTACCCTTCATTGTAAACGTCTTTCCAGATGCAGTCTGTCCATAGGCAAAGATAACACCATTAAATCCTTCCATTGTTGATGTGATGATACCCTTGGCAACGCTTGTATAGACATCTATATTTTCAATGTTGGGCAAGAACAAGTGATCGTAGGTATATTCATTTGGTATAAACTTTCCACTAGGTGTTGATGGGGGAGGATGAGCAGAAGAAGAAGAGTATAATGATGATTTGGCAGGTGTTCTAGGGGGTCCAAGTGAACTGTTTAATGACTTTGCAGGTGTCTTGGGTGCTGCCAATGTCGATGTCGGTGTTGTAGGAGGTGGCAATGATGTGATTGTATTTGACAATGGATCCATCGACCACGCCTCATGACATCCAAGTTTTGTCTCTTCATTGTTGAATGGTCTTGCTCTCACTACAACCGCTATATTTTCATTTAAATTACTACTAATCATCTCGCGCGCGTCGACTACTATTAAACTACTTTAGAGAAAGAGAATAATCGATGAATATATACAATATAAAGAAGAAAGAGGAGGAATGAGGTAGTAGTTTTACAATATATATATATATATATATATATTTAAAAGGGTTGTTGTTATACAAGTAAGCAAAAGAGGAATGATGTGAGTACCTTTAACTGCATTATTAATGAAACCTCCCCACTTCTGCACCTAAACGTCTTTTTTTTTTTTTTTTTTTTTTTTGAATAATCAAAATTTTGGAGGGTTATTCCTATCTATTTAATTTATGTATTCAAAGTTTGAAGTATTTCATTAATAGTACCATTTGATATTTGAGATTGATTAAATAGATTCTGTTTGTTGAATTCTCTATCGACCCATGATTTGATTTGAATGGCAATCATCGAGTCGACGCCATAATCCTTGAGTTTGGTGTCAAGTGATAGTCCATCTCTGCTGATGGATACTACTTCAGAGATATAGTCAATCACAATATCATTGGTGGTACTGCTCGATGTTGTTGTTTTTGTTTGATTCTTGATCTGTTTGACCAGGTGTTGGAATCGATGCTCTTGTCTTGGCACGTGACCGAGTATTCTTTCAAAATCACCATCATATATTTTAATAAAGTTGAACTTTTTGGATGGAGCGGTAGGTAACAATTCTGCACCAATCGATGTTAGATTGACACTTGCTCCTTTTTCATATGATAAATATCCTGCTGATCCTACTGATCCCCATGCAATCGATGTGGCTTGCATTCCAAGATTGTTGCTTCGATATTTAGCCAAGAGATCCAAGACTGTGTTTGATACACCATACGTGGTATTGACACCTTTGAGCATCGTCGATATCGATGAAAACATGTTAAAGTGTGTCAATTGCCATCCGAGTTGAATAAACAGTTCGTGAAGGTTCAATGCTCCGATGGCCTTGGCCGACATGACTTTGTGGTGTTCTTCGTGGTCTATATCATCTGCCAATTTACTCGAATATACATTCGCAGTGAGTATCACAAATTTCACCGGTTTGATCGATGTGTTGCTCGAGTACAACTTGGTGACGCATTCATACAATTGTTGATAATTGCCAACATCACATTGCAATAAATGTATATTAACCAACGCCGATGCCTTGTTGTCGCCTCTTGATCCTCCTTTTTTCCTTCTAATACAATCATTCATTAATAGTTGTATTTCATATTTTGGTTTGGAGTATGAAACAACGATAATATCGTTTAGATGATCGGAATGATTGATAATGTATTGAAGACATTGTGCTGCCAATCCAGTTTGACCTGTGATGAGTAGAGTATCTTGAATACCATCGAGATTATAATTCTTCTTTTCCACTCTCTTGTTGTCTGGTTGTAAGAGTGGTTCCAACAGATCATGTTCAACATTTTCATAATCGATTACAATCTTTCCAATGTGTGTTCTAGCTGTCATTTGGTTGGTTGCTTGTTTGAATTGATGTTATGCGTATGTTGTAATCGGTGGTAGTACCAGTCCATTGTTGATGACTAGTTGTTGGAGTGGTTGCAAGTATGTTGGATAATCCAAACCAATGTTAAGTGCATTGTATGATTTACGATACTTGAAGCTACTCGTATCAATACTCTCCACATTCTTTGGGGGTTCTAGCTAACTTGGGACACTCTGAATCAGGCGACCAAAAAATAAGAGTATTAATTAGAATATTCTTCTTTGATATTCTAAAATTAATTAAAATTATTATTCATTTAATGTTGGAAATAAATAATTATATTATCCAGAGGAGTGAGTATTGGACTTGAGAATATTATTTTTGTGAACTTTTACTTGTGATTGCAAAAGATTCAAAAACATATGATTTTTCATTCATTCTTTAAAAGCTTAAGAGATAGATTGATAGATAGATAGATAGATAGATAGAATGTTATCAAGGACATTATTAAAATCGATTAGATCATCATCATCGACTACTACTTTTAAAGTTACTTCAAGTTCATATGCTGGAGCAAGATCTTCACAAAGTGCTGTGTTGACCAATGGAATATATAACAAAAAATGATGATGATGATAGTGCTTCATTCATATCATTAAATACATTCAAGAGTAACCAACAACTCCTCTTGTCTCGATCAACTATCAATAATCAACATCAACAACTATTTAGATTTTCAACTGTTACTCCTTCTTCTACTTCTACTTCTTCTTCTTCTTCTTCCTCTTCACCATCAACTTTTGTAGTTGATACTAATAATAATAATAATAACAATAGCAATAATGATACTAATAACAACAACAACAACAATGGACAAGATGAATATTATGAAAAGATATACGATGATGTAAATCAACTAAAGTATAGAATGTTTTCAATGTTGGGATTCATTCAAATCGGTGTATTAGTGGGTGGTATAGGTAAGTGTCAACCATTACATTCAACATCTCTATTTAGATCTATTACTTACCCTTACTTTTGATTATTGTTCTTTAAAGATTTATATGCCCAAACATCTGATCATTCGACGATTCAAAATATATTGGTAATGGGAATTGGACCATTGTTTGTTACGGTATCATTTTACTTTATCAGAAGAAATAATCTAAACAATATTGCACAGATGTTTATTAGCAAAGGACGTGTCATTCGTGTGGTCTCCTACTCTACATGGGGCAGTCCAACTGCCGTACGTGAATTTACGATCAACAAATTGGTTCCTGGCAAAAACAAACATATCACAAGCATGGACAGACAAGACAAGGCCTTTTACTTGAAATTGTCATCACAAGTCACTCATCTCATTGGTTCAATGAATGGTAATATCATCAATCCAAATGCACTTTCAAAAATACTTTTTGCCAAATAAAATAGAAATGAAATTATAATTGATGATTTGATTTGATTTGTTATCTTTTAAAAAAAAAAAAGAATTATAAACTATGAAAATCAAAAAACTTGATTCCATACATATCTTTATATAATAAATTAAAACCCTAAACCTAATCTATCCTTTCTAACAACTGCTTGAACTGGTGCAACGATGCCTTGTTCTTGAGCTCCAAGACCACCACCAACCCAACCCATCTTTTTGAGCAATTGGTTTCCAATATTGGATTCTCCGATTGGCTTGCGATCACCGTCTACAACTTCACCATGTAACAATCTTTTAACAGGTGTTTGAGGACCACTGTTTGGACTCTTTGGTGATTTGTTTTTGGGACTTTGTTGTTGTTGCTGTTGATGTTTGTTCTTCTTTTTAGAAAACTTTTCATATACATTTTGTGGTGCTGTCTTTCCTTTTCTACCCATATGAATTGTTTTCTCACCTTTTCTCGGTGTATGTGAAGTTGATCCAAGTGATGGAGATCTTTGGTGTCTACCAATATTATTATTACTATTATTAATATTGATAAATCCATTATTAACACTACCACTACTATTATTGATATGACCATTATTATTGTTATTATTATTATTGTTATTATTATTATTATCGGTATCAGATTCTGAATCACTATCATAATCAAACATTGAATCATTAATTTTAAAGTTGGTAGATTGTTGAGAAGAATCCTCAATATATCTTTCCTTCTTTCTAATCGATGGTTTCTTTGTAGAGTTGTGAATATTTACAAAGATTGTCTTTCTATTCCCTAATGAAAAAAACTGTTAATATAATGTATACATCTTTTTTGCTTTTGCAACTTTATAACTTACTTATTTTCTTGATACAACTAAAAATAGCATAATTTTTAGTTAATAATTGAATTTGATACAAGGATATTTTAGACATTGACCATAATGGGAATTCACTAAAGTAGAGAGGAGGAAGAATGGAGTGATTAGAAAGGTTTCTATCTATTATTAATAATCTTTCTATATACATACTGATAACAAGAATTCATAATTAAAGTATCAAAAAGAGTAGAGATTGAACTTAATTGTTTTGAAGTGTAGGATGTAAAAGTTAATCCTCTATTGTGAAGCAACTCGATATCATTTTTGATGACTTCTGTACAATTATCTCTTAGGCAATCGGAAATGACTTGGTCGAGTGGAGCAGAGGGTGCTGGAGCAACCTTGTCCTTTTTGAAAGGTTCGAAATTATCTACATCTATTAATTCGTTGTTGGCATTTTTGGGTGGGATCTTGATGGTCGATGTTCCATGTACCTTTTTTATCCAATCGGCAAAAGATCCACGACGCTCAGTCTCTGGATCATCAGACTCTGATTCTGATTCACTTTCTTCTGATGAAACATCAATATATTGATTACCATTATTACTATTACGATTATAAAGATTATTATTATTATTATTATTATTACTATTATTACTACAACTATTAATACAATGAAGTTTGTCTATATCTATTGGGTTATGAATATTATTATTATTATTATTATTTAGACTATTGATGGAAAATAATGGATTTGAAAGTGGTGTGAGAGGTGTTGATGGTGTAAGAGGTGTTGATGGTGCTAATGGAGTTGGTGGAGTAGTTGGACAAGTATTGATACCAAATGATGAGAATCCACTACATGATCTTCTAGTAGCTTGAGTATTGAAATTACCAAATGTCGATGATGATGAGTGATTTCCAAATGACGAAATGGAAGAAGATGATCTATTACCACCACCGCCGCCACCACTACAAAGTCTACTAAATGGATTACTAAAATAACTTTCATCACCAGATGGTTCTGAACCATTTGCATAACAGGAAACAATTCTCTCTTCCTCGGTTGATGAATCGTCGTCTTGGTTCATCTTTTCATCGTCGTCATCGGATGGAGGACCTGATCTTTCCATCATGTCTTGAGAAAATAGTGGCGATGGTGTAAATGCTCTTCTTTGTTGCTCGTTGTCCAAGTCGGTATCATAACCATCACTTTCATCTTCATTGTTTACAAAATCACTTTCATCGGCAAATTCAATATCTTGTGATTCATCGTGGTTGAATCTTGGGCTCATTTGTTCGTGTTGTGAACCACTGTTGGCAGATGATGACAAATCAATATTTGGTACAACTTGTTGTTGCTGTTGCAACTGTTGAATATGATGATTATTAAAGTTATTAAAGTTGTGATTATGTTGTAATTGTTGTGGAGTGGTTGTTGGCATGTTTGGACTTTCATCGATATCCTCACTCGACGATGAAAGGACAATTACATCATTTATCAATTGGAATGATACTCTTTTCTCCAATGCTGGTACCTTTTTAGTTGAAGTAGTAGAAGTTGTAGTAGTAGTAGTTGTGCTGGTAGAGGTTGTTGATTGTTGAAGGGAAACACTGTCAGTTGATGTAGTAGTTAATTCGGAATCATCTTCTTCATCATTATTTGTTAGAATACCTCCACTAACAAAATTAACCTTGCCAGCAGTTGCCAATATACTAGTATTATTCTTTTGTTGTGGTGATTTACTTTTGCTATTATTATTATTATTATTTGGTTTTGGTGGAGTAGCAGCCTTTTTTGCTTTGTTTCTACTTTGATTATTTCTTCTCTTGAGTCTACAACTCTTACGATAAGATTCTTCGATGGCCAAGTCAATCTCTTCGTCGTCATCTAGGTCGTCAGAGTCTTCACTGGCCGTAAAAAAGTTGCCAGTTGTGTAGATATCGATAATCTCTGCACCGGGACCGAGTTTGTGCTTCTTTCTGCCTTGTCTACTCTTGACGGCCGAGTAGAGGATATCCATATCCTCTGTAAATGTGAATTGGCTAATGACGCCGTTTTCGTCGGTATCTGACACATTCATGTGCTGGATATAGTCGAGAATGATCTCGTCCATGCTGTCCTCTTGACTGTCATCTCCTCTGACCAGGTGATCTAGACACTCCATAATATCTTGGTCACTGCAGTTGCTATCATCCTCTTCAAAAAAGATGATGTTTTGTTGTTGTCCCTGTGAGTGTGTATTGCTGGCAGGTGATGCTGTCGACGATGTCTTTGCTGCCTTTTTAGTGTTTGATACTTGTTGGTTTCTCTTTAATTTATCCTTCTTTTTAAATCTCTTGAATTTAGGTCCTGCATTCTTTTGTTGTTGTTGTTGCTTTTGTGATTGTGTTTGTTGTTTACCATTATTGCTATTGCTATTGGTACCATTTGTACCATTGCTATTATTATTATTATTATTATCTTTATCTTTATCTTTATCTTTGTTATTATCTCTTTCTAATCTTTGTTGTTGATTATTTAATATAGTATTCATCTTATGTTTTCTAGCATTTTTCATTGGTAATACATATGCTCCATTTATATAAACGTCCATCGAATCTAAATTCTATATTATTATTAATTTAACTGATATAAGATATCTTTCTTTCTTTCTTTCTTTCGTCGTCTGACTTGTCTGACTCTCTTTTATCTCTCTAACTCTTTTAATAAATAAATAAAATAAATATATTGTAATAAATAAATAATTATATGTATAAATATATGTGTGTGTATGTGTATGTGTTTGTAAGGTTGTATATTGAAAAACAAAATAAAATAATAAACTACGTCTATGACGGCGAGGTAGGTGATAGTGAATTGAATCGAATCGAAAAGGAATAATTTAGGATTTGAAAGAATATAGAACTATTAATTTTTCAGCTAATGTCTCTCTCTCTCTGTCTGTCTGTCTGTCTTTATTGAGGTCAAATATATCAAGGTGCCTGCAACCCAGAGTCTGGGCAAATTTGTGCAAAGCAAAGGAATTAGTTTTTTTTTTTTTTTTAATTTAATTTAATTTAATTTAACTGATTTTTTGAGTGTTGTTCTCGAAGAAGAGTAGGGATGTGGGGATAAGAGATGTGCACTCACTATCTGAATGAACTGACTTGTTGTTCTTCTTCTACACCCTATTCTTTATTATTATTATTAATATTACTATTTATCTACTCTAGTATTGATTAACTGAACAATCATATCATATCATGACGACAATTATTAATCATAACCATCTTTGCAGTTAATAGAAGAGAGCGTGTGTGTGTTGACGATCAAGATGCGAGATTGACAACCCCCCCTCAAATAACGATAACGATAATCATAATGACCACGATTGATTGTTCAGTTCAAGATAAATAGAATACGATCGCGTAATATAATATATGTACCATATGATATGATGAAATTCGCAATGATGATTAAAATACTAGTTGTATCAATATAGCGTTTCTTTAGTTCATAATGTAGTTTGACAGGCTCGGCACTACCAAATTTAATTTGGTCATTTGGGTGATGTATCCAATTGGATTTTTGTTGTCCATCCAATGAATCCCTATAGTGATTTTTTATGAAAAGATGTCATGCATACAAAACACCATGTGGGTGAGGTACCACAACCATCTATCTTCCCAACCCCACACATTCCTCACCCACCCTAAATTATGAACCGAGCGGGTCATAGTAGCTGTCTGGACTACTATCTATTCAAAATGTTGGCTTTTTTTTTGAACCATTCATTTGTATCTATTCTATCTAATTTTTTCTATCTATCTCCTCTGACTTATTCTTCTTCTTCTTCAATCTAACAAATGTTTAAAAACTTTATGTATGTTATTCTTCTTATTCTTCTTTTAACAATACCTTTATCACTAATCTCTCTCTTTCTCCGTCGATAGATTAATATTATTAACTCTTGGAGTCATATTATTATCATTTATCAATGCAGAGATTTCACCAATTGGAGAGGATCCAGAAGTACAATGTGACAAAGCATGTCATGGAGGAGTAAACTCAATGATGATGTATTGCCAGGAAATTCCAGCTGTAGGTAGAGTTAGTTGCATGGCCATTGCTAATCAATTGTCCAGTCCCTATGGACCTGCAAATTGTATACAATATTGTGAAACTAATATATAAATATGACCCTTTCACCATGGTATTTTTAAATAAACAATTATACTACTCTTATTCTATAAAATGATTTGAGATGTTGTAGTTGAATGATTACTTTTGGAAATTTTTAAATGTATAACTAACACTGACCATTATCCTTCTGGAATGTGAAGTTGTAATAACTCCCTCAAAAATAGACTGGAAGCTACAAAAAAAGTCGGTTGGATACCAATATTTTTTTTGGTGCCTCCTCCAATGAACTTGACCTGACCCAGATCCAAACAACCATTCTCCTAAAAGAAGGGAAGAAGAAGATTTCTTTATTGCAAACTGACAAAAAAAATTGAATTATTATTAATACTCAATCCTCTTTTCGCAACAAACAATTGTTTGTTTTTTTTTTTTAATTAAATTAAATTGTGGCATTGCGAGTTTGAGTTTGTCAGCTTGTTAACAATATTAAAGTCAACATTGATCAACAACAAAAAAGATAGAAGAAGAAGAAAGAAAAAAGAGAGAGTATAAAAGTAAAGTTTATCATAATAAAAAAGGTAGGTTCCTATATCAATCTTTATGTTTGATGATGTGTGTGCAGTAGATAGATAGATAGATATCTTTAGACTGTTAATTACGCTTTCTCTCTTTTCTTTTTTGTACCACCTACTCCTACTACCATATTTATATAAAATGTTGATGATTATCAGTATTCATCAGAACGAGGTAGCAAAGAGAGAGAGACAAACAGCAGGAAAGAGAGCAAAGTGTGTGGGGGTGGTAAATCGAATCGACAACCACCCTATACAATAATAATAATAGGTGTTTGCTTGTTTCTTTCCCATCAAAACAAAACAAACGAATATTTATTTAGTTTGATAGTAGTCTACTCCTTCTTCTTTCTTGCCAATTGGTTATATTATTATTATATATATTATTGTCCTCTACTAGTATACTTTACAACCCAACTCAACTATAGCTAGCTAGCCAGCCGACAACTAAAACTTCAATTTAAACAATAACAAAATAGAGATAATAATAGTAATAATAATATAATAATATAGGAGACAAACATCTTCCATTTCTTAAATTTCGAAACCAATAATAGAATAGAATTAAATTATATAATTTTATTTTTTTCATTTTTTTTTTTATAATTACGGATGAATGAAGTTGGCACAACAAAGCAAACTAAATTAAACTAGTTTCTTATTTTATCAACTTTTTTAGTTTTATATTTATATTTTGTGATAGATAGTAATAGTAATAATAGCAACAACAACACACACACTATTACCACTTTTATATATTAATCATCATCCATCATTATTATTATTATTATTATTATTATTAAAAAGGTAGAAGATCAAACAAACTAACAAACTAAATCCTCTCTCCCTCATTATTATTATTATTATTATTATATTATCATATAGTATCTTTTTTATATTTATATTTTTAAACATAAACAACAAATAATAATAATACTAAATAATAAGATTTGTTTTGTATATACAACACATTTATATATAATATATATTTTTTTTTAATACACCTCACCTATATATATATTTAATATTTTTAATATCAAATGTCAGAAGACGAAATGTACGATACTTATGATGGAGTTGATGACGACTCTGCAGAAGAATCTGGAAATGAAAGTCAATTAGATATGGACGATGAAGAGGATATGGACTATGAATACAGTACACAAGAAGTTGATTACGACGACATACATTCATCGAATCGATCCAACAGCAAACTGACAAGACAAAGAAGTTTCGAAGTACTCGACAAGGGTGAACTACAAAGTGAATCAAAGAAATTAATCAAAGAAGTTATGGATGTTTTAAGTATTAATTCAGAGTCTGCTGTATCCATTTTACTTAGACATTTAAAGTATGTATAGAAAAGAAAAAGATAAAAAGTATAATTACATATTTATAACTCTTTTCTTTTTAATTTATTTTCTTTTAGATGGAACAAAGAGAAATTAATTGAAAAATATATGGATAATTCAGATAAATTATGTGCCGATGCAGGTATACCATCATTAAAACTTGAAAAACCAGTTAGTACAACGATGCAAAAGTTTAGTTGTTTGATTTGTTTGGACGAGTTGCCACCATCACAGACATTTGCATTGTCGTGCGATCATAGATACTGTCTTCCCTGTTGGAAGGGATATTTAGAGTGCAAGATTGGCGAAGGTCCAGAATGCATTCTTGCTACGTGTCCCGCACCAAAGTGCAAGGTCCGTGTGCACGAAGAGGCAGTAAAGAAGCTTGTCGAGACACCCACCTATGAAAAGTATGCAAACTTTATCCTCAAATCCTTTGTCGACGACAATCCCCAAGTCAAATGGTGCCCTGCACCTGGTTGTATATACAGTGTCCGATGTGATCGCAAAGAGAGAAAAGAAGCAGTCACTTGCAAATGTGGTTTCCAATATTGTTTCAATTGCAATGACTTTGAAATCGGTGATCATATGCCATGTCCTTGTTCTCAAGTTGATAGATGGTTACAAAAGGCTTCCGATGAATCTGAAAATGTTACTTGGATGTTGGCAAATACTAAAAAGTAAACAAAACCAAAAGAAGAAGAAAAAGAAAAAGAAAAAGAAAAAGAATATAATATTTATACTAATTCCTTTATTTATTTTATTTTATTTTTTAGATGCCCAGAATGTAGATCACCAATTGAAAAGAATGGAGGTTGTATGCATATGACTTGTCGTAAAAATGCAGGTGGATGTGGTTTTGAGTTTTGTTGGTTGTGTAGAGGTGCATGGTCAGATCATGGATCTGCCACTGGAGGTTACTACAATTGTAACAAATACGATAAGTCTAAAGCAAAGGAAGACGATGAAAAGGCTGCCGATGCCAAAACTGAATTGGAAGCATATATGTTTTACTATCATAGATATGAATCTCATAAAAATGCCATGGTGCGTAAACAAAAAAAAAAAGAATTATAATTTATACTTATACCTTTATTTGTTTATTTTCATATATATATAGAAAATCGCTGATGAACAAAGAAGAAACGCACATCAAAAGGAACAACAAATCTTATCAAAGTTTGATGTTAGATCTGCCGATACTAAATTCTTAATGGAAGCTACTGAACAATTACTTAGAGTAAATATTAAATATTTTATACAAATGGAAAGATTATAATTAACTAATTGAAATATTTTCTATAGAATCGTAGAGTACTTCAATATTCATATGTTTATGGTTATTATTTGGATAAGAAATCACAAGAGAGAAACTTGTTTGAATACCTCCAAGAAGATCTTGAAAAGCACACCAATCAACTCTCGACCTACTATGAACTCAGTATCGATAAGTTGGAAGACTACCAAGCCTTTATCAAATGGAAAGAACAAGTTACCAACTATACTAGAATTACAAAGAAGTTCTTGGATAACTTTGTCGAAGGTGTAGCTGGTGGCCTAACTACCCAACTAAGCTCTAAAAATAACTAAAACAGAAGAAGAATAGAATAGAACAGAACAACAAGAATAATAAATAACCTATCCAACAAACAAACAAATAATAATAATAATATTAATGAAATAGTAATAATTATTTAACAACAACCATTCATTATATCTTCTTCTACAACATTATATATTTTTTGTTCCCATCCATCCAATCCTGCATGTTATCTTCACATTGTAAAACATTAAACAACAACAACATCCCCTTTCCCAAATAAATCGATTATATAAACCTTTTTTTTCTATATAGTAACATTCATATGTTTTATTTAATGAGTTCATTAATTAATTGCAAAAGGCAAAGTATCAAGTAATTATCAAAGTAACTGTAAGATTATGGAAAAAATAAAGGATTAGTAAATGGGTTGAGAGAGAGATTGAATGAGATGATAAGGAATATAAAGAAAGAATAGTACAATTATAAAATGTATTATCAGCTGGTAAAGGATAATATCCTTTTCTCGTCATGAATTCAGAGAGATTCCCATTAATAAATCATCATTAAAAATACGTTTTATAATATATATCCAAGCCGTCCATGTTATTCTTTCTATCCTATATTCCTTTTACTACTAATTTGGTCTACATACAAGTATCGTGGATTGTTTGTGTGGGATAATAGAATATGACACCTCGTTTTTGGGGTAGTAGGTGGACATCTCTCGAAAATGAATTAAAAAATTAAAAAAAAAATCAATTTTTTGCTTGATTCCTGTTGTGTACTTAGCTTTTTACATTGCAGAGTAAATTTTCTTTCTAGATTCTCAGAACCTCAAAGTGCATTGTTCATCCAAGATTTTTTTTGAGTATTAAACCCATCAGTTCATTCAGCAAATTTCATTTTTATATTCAACTCTCTCTCTCCAACTAACTAGTAATTACTTTGTATCATATTTATATAATTATTCAATCTCATTTGTATCTATCTGTATTTGTACTTTTAAATATCTCTTTTTCACCTTTTTCAATCAATCAATCAATCTATTTGTAAATAATTAAATATATATATATAATACTATCAATCAACCAATCAATCAATCATGGCACCAAAATCTAAAAAACAACAACAACAACCAACAACAGCACCAACAGCAGCAGTAGCAGAAGAAAAAGAATTAACAGTTGATGATGAGGTGAGCGAGGTGAATCGTCAGTTGATGAAAATCAAATTGCAAAAGAAACAAAAGCAAGAGGAGCATGAAAGAGAGATCAAAAGAAAACAACAAGATGAGCAACATGCTGGAAATCATCACGGTTCATCGTCGTCGTCGTCCAAGGGTGGCGACCATGTAGCACCGATTATCCAAGATGGGTTGGTCAGTGGTGTCAAGCGATCCAAGCCATCGGCTCCCATCCCAGCATTCCAGTACTTTAGAGAGGAGAATCCAAAGCGAGCCAATGGATGGTTACTCGAAAAATGGAAAGAAATGGAAGAAGGTGAAAAGCGTCCATACTATACCAAGGCAGAGGAAGACAAACAACGATACAAACTCCAAATGGAAGAGTATGAAAAGATCCATGCCAAGGTGGTTCATCACAAAGTACAAAAAAAGGACAAGAAAAAGTCAGCCAAAAAGAATGATGATAGTGGAGGCAGTGGATCAGAGGACACACCATCTCATCAAGACAAAGAGTCACAAGAAAGTGACGAGGACCATCAACCAGGTAAACGACTCACCAAAAAGGGTAAGAAGAAACTTGCTGCCAAGTTGTCCACCTCTCCCAAACCAGCATCTCACTTGTCCACCAAAAAGAATCAAGTCAATGACACTTCTGGTCAACTTTCACTATTGTCTGCATCTGTAAAGGCACTCTCTAATCAAAATAGAAAGTACAATGAAGAGGATGATGATGATGAAGATGAAGACGACGATGAAGATGATGAAGATGAAGACGACGAAGATGACGACGAAGACGAAGATGATGAAGAAGGAGAGGAAGGTGAAGAGGTTGATTATGGAGTATATGATGATGAAGAAGATGAAGGTTACGCAGAGATGAAGAGAGGTTTCAAACATCAAGCAGGAGGAAATCAAAAGAATAGAGATCATAAATTAAGATCTGGTAAGAGATGGAATTCTTAAAGAAGAAGAAGAAGAACCTTCAACCTCAACACCATATATATATATAAAATAAACCAAAACACACACACAAACAACACATGTATATACAAACAATACTACTACTACTACCACCACTACTACTACTACTTTACATCTTATCTCATGTCGGTGATAGATGGCATATTTTTGTTTAATTTAATTTTTTTGAAACCCATCGATCACGACCAACTCATCATCGGCTTGATTGATGTCTTGATTTTTATTTAATGAACTTGTTTGAGGGAGGGATATACATTTATATAGTTTATTCAATATAATATGTATCTCTTGTCAAAGTCAAATCATTCAAGAAAACTTGTAACATCATCATTTTCGTCGACGTTAAGATCATCATCATTATCATCATCGTTTGATCGAATTTCTAAACAACAATACTATGGTTATAGTAGTGGTAGCACTAACGGGACTAATAATACAAGTCCTCCAACATTAAACAAGATAAATGAATTACATAGTGGAGTAATCAAGAAAACATATAGTCATTATGGGTTGGGATCGTCAGTACTGATGAATGATATCAAACATGTCAACAATAATGATACAACACATACATCGTCATTGGTGATTGATACAGACAATCAACAAAAGTTGACAAAGATGTTTCAAAAACTATTCCTTCCAAAGGGATACCCTCAAAGTGTTACACATGACTACTCACAATATATGAAATGGATGTTTCTTCAGAATACTCTTGGTTCTACAACTTATGTACTCTCAACACATGCACTTTTAACAAGTGTCGGTGTAGGTTTATCTACTTCTTTACCATTTGCAGCTGCCATCTCTTGGGTATTAAAGGTATGAAATATTATGTTTGAGTACACAAACAAAGCTATAATTACAAAACTAACTAACAAACAAACAAACTCTATCAAATTTTTAAAGGATGGTTTGGGAGCATCAGCATTGGTATTATTTGCAAGTAAATATAGTACATCATTGGACTATAATTTAAAGAGTTTTAAATTTAGAGGTGATATATTACACAATGTAGGAGTCATGTTGGAGATGCTTACTCCATTTGTACCTGGATACTTTTTACCATTGGCATCTGTATCGAATCTATCAAAGGGGTTGGCAGGGTTAATATACGGAGCTACAAGAGCTTCCCTCAATCGATCATTTTCACTTCAAGAGAACCTTGGTGATATCACTGCCAAGTATCAGTCACAGAGTATGGCATCCTATCTCACTGGTATGGGTCTCGGGACAACCATTGGTCTATTAATGTCTCCAATGACTACTACCGCCAATTTATGTGCTGTATTTATCATTTCACTTTTACATATGTCTTGTAGTGTAAAGTAAGTAAATAGAGTAAATAGAGTAAAAGTTAAATGTTTATAAATTTTAATTATTAACTAATTAATTATCTATTGTTTCAGATCATTAAAATCTATTTGTTTAAAGACATTAAATTCACAAAGATCAAAAATAATTATTGATCATTGGTTAAGAGAAAAGATTATATTGTCTCCTGAAATTGTAAACAAGAATGAAAAGTATGTACACCCAAAAGGAAAGTATAAAATGATCATTTGTTAACCAACTTTTATTATTATTATCAAGTTTTATGTTTTCTTCATCGACTGATACACCAAAGATTCATTTTGGATCATCAATTGATCAATGTTTTAAAGGACAAGATGAAATTGATTCTGTGATGGAATATATTCAAAATAATAGAATCACTCCATCACAATTACAAAATAATAATAGTAATAATAATCACCAACAAAATGGAAAGTATTCATATGTAATTAAACCAACAACAAATGAAAAGAATGGTGGGACAATTGAATATCATGTACTCATTATAGATTCAAATCCAGATGTTTTGGATAATGCTGGAGATATTTTATCCAAATCAAATGCCAACAAGGAATTGGTTGATAATTTAAATATGGTATTATTACAATCATTTTATCATATTCAAAAATTAGTTTATAATGGTTCCATTGATTCATCAATGGTTGGTCAAGAAGAATTGGTCACAGAATTTATAACATTTACACAACAACTACTTGATAATGATTGGAATCCAACTCATATACTTTTTGAATATAATGATGTAAAATTATCATTACAACAACAATAATAATAAAGAGTATGTAAAATAATAATATAATACAAGTGGTAGAGTTTTAATTTTTAAAATTCTTTTATTTTTAAATATATATAAAGAGAAATAAGATGTATCTAAATTATTGAAAATCAAAATTGATTTTTGAATTTCCAAATTTAATTAGTATTCATGGAAGCGGCCAAGTTGTTAGAGATACCACAATCATGGTTTGGATCAGCTGTAATGCGTGCAAATCCGTTTTCACCCCATTGAGTTCCCCAGTCGTTACGGACAATGTAGTAGTCATGATCCTTGTTGTAACCAACGAGGAGTACAGCATGGTTGGTAGTGTTGGCAGCGAAAGAGTTGTCACAATAGTAAACACCCGAACGATAGTCATAGAGGTTAATGTCGGCATAGACAGCAACACCAACTGGACCATCATTTCTAGCCTTGCTAAGAATGTTTTGCTTTCCAGTATCAGAGAATTCCATGTCTAAAAAAAAAAGAAAATATTAATATTATTATTTTTTAGAGATTATTATTTTTTGTTTATGTGATACATACAACCACCCTTTACGATGAGTTTGTTGGCATCATACTTGCAAACACCGTTGGAGGAGGCACCAGTGTATGGGTAATCGGATTCCTTCATAAGACCAAAGTCACGAATGTAGATGAGAGCATCATGGATGCTACCATTGACACAACCAGATCTGACACCTCCAATGGTGGCAGTGTTGTTGTTCATACAATCGATGATTTGTTGAACAGAGACGGTTGGACGGACATTACGCTTCATGGCAACACGGGTTTGGGCAATAGCAGCGGCAACAAAGGCATAGGCAGCACTACAGTCACGAGAGTCGACTGGAACTGGGACAATTCCATTTTGACGGTAATCAAAATCTGTGCTAGAGACAGCCTTGGTCTTCTTGGAGACAGACTTGGCGGCTTTGGCGGCATCATCTTGGTTGGTCAAGTCCAAGATTCTGTTGACACCAGAGTTGCTATCAAATTCAGTGTAGGTCGAATAGTTTGGATCAGTGTTGAGAAGCGAGGCAGAGGTGTGGCTGACGGCAGTGTATGGCTTGACACCAGCAAATGAACCGGCTGGATTCCAGTTACAAACAACTCTCCATCTTAAACTACCACCTGATGTGTTTGATCCACAATCAACCTTGGCACAACCAACTTGTGATGATTGTTCCCACAACATCTAAATAACAAAAAATTGTAAGTTAATAATTATTTACCATTTTAATTAAATTCTAAACTTACGTTGGTGTAGGCAGCACAATCAACATTATCATAACAAAGGTTATCATCATAATTGTAACCTTCCTTTCCAATTGAAAATGCATTAATAAGCTAGAAAGTAAATAGAAGAAAAAAGAAAAATTATTAATATCATAAAATATTAATTTGTATTTTTTTATAATATATTATTACCATTTCACCATTTGGATCAGAATCAAAAGTTTGAACTGATTCTGAATAGACACCAGATGCACCAGCATCAGACATGTATTGACTACCACAAAGGGTAGCTAAACCGAGAGCATTGGATGCCAAGTCATTATTCCATACTAAATTTTGGATTGGTACTTGGGAAGCTGGTGAAACTCTGGTTCTTAGGGTGTTCATTCCACTGACAATAGAAGATTGATCATCGGAACTGAAATTGGCAAATGCACCTCCTGACATGAGGGCAATCACCAACAATATTGTTGGATGTATTCTCATTTTCGATTAAAAAAAACTATTATTATTATTGTTATTTAGTTGTAGTTGATATAAAAAAAAAACTAAAACTAAAAAAAGGAATACAGAAAAAAAAAAAGATTGATAGATAAATAAATATAATAAATTAAAATAATAAAATTTACAAACTTGTAGAGGAATTTGTTGTTTGGTTTAAAGTTCAATACGGATCGAAGTAATTATCTCCACTAGTGTGAGCACAATCATTTTTGACAACGTAAAAGTGAGAGATTTGGAAAAGCAATGTTCATATCTAGTTGTTACCACAACCCTCAACTCACACACCCACTCTGACTCTTTTTACTTTACTTGTTGATTCGAAAACGTCAAAATCAAACACCCACACACAAACTCAAATGGGATGACCATGACAATAGAGATCTATAGTCAGTCCGTCAGTCAGTCAGTTCACAGCTATCTGTGTGTGTTTTTGTGTGAGTGTTTGAGAGTGTCAACACATTTTTTTTTCTCACTACTATTATACAATTTCCCGACTATTCATTGATTTGGAAGTCAACAATTTGTAAATCAATATTTGACTATGACTGTTCCTTTTGAAATACCATATGGTATGTCAACGATCGCACATTTACCGATTTTCTCTATTCATTTCCCCACTTGGCACACTCACTCTTTTTCCAGGTCTGTTTGTGTTCCAACTTCATTTCCAACTTTATACTCTCTACACTCGTTTGAAACAATTATTTATTTTTAATTATTTATTCCTCTCACAATATTGTTGTTTTTAAAATCTAGACTCTAGTATTCTTCTTCTTTCACCATCCTCTTCTCTTTTAGTAGTTAGTATTTTTAAGAGTTTTTAAAAATATGTTTATACCTCGTTTCCATAAAACGTTGGCAGTTGGTGTGGTAGTAGCAGCATGTGCTACCGTCGCTAGCGGTGTATTAACCAATCAATTACAAAATTCAGCCTATGGTCTATGGAATTCAGCCTATGGAAAGGGTACTTTGTCATCGACTGCACAAAGCAATTTTTTTGCCAGAAATACAAATATCTATAATAATAATATTCTTCGTACTGGAGTTGGTCGTACTACTTATCTAAGTAAGAAATCAAATCAAATTAGATGATAATAATAATAATAATAATTATTATTACATTGCATTTAATTAACCACATTCTTTTTTTTCTTTTTTTTTTAATTTTAGAGGGAACTGGAGCATACAGTGATACATCATATGATGATTTTGCAAGAGGTCATCTTGGTGCATTTGACTGGGCCCCAATCCCAACTGAGAGACATGACAGTGGTCTCCATGGCAGTGCTTTAGCTGGTGTCATTGTTGCCGCAGTCATTGGAGGTCTTCTTGCCCTCGTGGGTATTATTTCCAGTATTTGTGCTTGGAGAAACCATCAACACATGAAGCGTTCCACCCTCTATGCTGACTATCGTTCCAACGTTCGTGTCCTCAACAAGGACCCATACTCTGACTCTGGTGCCCCACGTGAATTCTACCGTGAATCTCACCGTGCTGGTCTCAACTCTGGTTACCATAACGAAGTTCTTGCCTCTGAACGTTTCCACACTGAAAATGGATCCACATTTAGCCGCTTCGGTGATCGTGAACACTTGGTTCCAAGAAACGTTGTTGGTTCTTCCAGTGCTGTCAATGGTGAATCTTTGACATTCCACAACTAAACCAACATTAGTAATTATACATATCCATAAAAAAAAAAAACAATTAAAAAAATAAAATCATTTCATTCAATATTAAATTTATCTCTGTCGTATGTCTCTGATAATCATATTCTTTTTGCCTCTACAATCTATATAGATAGATCTTTAAAATAATTAGTATGAACATCTTTAAAAAAAAAAGATGGAACCATTATAATTATGAAAAAAAAAGGGTGTGATAAGAAAAGAAATTTCTTTTCTTTTCTGGTTGTGGTTTTTAAGGTTTGGTTTGTGGGTTAGGGGGTGGTGAAAAGGATGGGAAGTTCATCCCTGGAACGGATATTATTCCTATTTAAGAAAGAAATGTATATTTCAATAAATTATACATACCATACCAAAAGTCACCACTCTTTTTATCTTTATATTATATTATATCTACCATTCATTGATACTCTACATATTGAATATATATTATTATTATTATTTAATTACATATCCATCCATTCAACCTTTAATAATTATTTGGAATAAGATATATATACTATATACTATAAAAAACCATGGTAGCACCAAATTCGACTCTAGACAATTACGATCTATCTGTACAACAACAAGCAGAATTCCTTGCAACTGGATTAAAGAGAAAAGAAGAGTACAAGAGATGGAGATCGAGTAGCGATCAATTTGAAATGACACTCTTTTTCATATTTGGTTTCTTTTGTCAATACCTTTGGTTGTGTGGACTCTTTTACGTGCGATCAAAGAATTCCAAAGCTAGACTCTTTGCATGTTTGTCACTTGGTTTCCTCATAGTAGGTTTCATTGCTGTTGTTACTATGAGTATGGTTGTCATTTGGTATAATAAATCAATAAACAATTAAACTTCCAATGTAATCTACATTGTACCATTATATTATCTATCTATCTAGAGTCTATAGTTTGTATGTATTTGTTTGTTGTTATTGTTGTATAATTATTTTTTTAAAACAAAAAAATGAACTGAACATCGCGACTACGTTCATATGATCGTCAATTTTTTATTATTTATTTGTTTGTTCGAACCAATTACATACTACATATACTATACTAAATCATGAATAAAGATCCAAGAAGACAAGCAACAGCAGGCTTTGAGATGCATCCACAACTATCTCAACAAGAAAGAGAAGCTCAAAACTTGGATGTTTGGTCTCTTCTTTGTTTCCTTTCAGCTTTTATGGGTATCTTTTTAAAGGTAGATACATAGATACATAGATACATAGATAGATATATATATATATATATATTCAGTAGTACAATCATATGATAGATAGAGTATACTAATCTAGATCAATCATCATTATTAATAGTATAGAGTTTTGGTTTGGGTATCATTAGTATGTTGCTGTGCATCATTGGCAAACATGAAAACTGCAGATAGTGGATTGAGAGCAATGACTTCATCTGTCACTCTCAGTGTAATGGGCTTGTTCATGGCATATCTTGGTCCAAATTCCTACCAATTTCTCTAAGTTATAATAATATATATCATCATAGCAACTACTCGATTCGACAAGCAACATATGAATAATATTGATATTATCGAGTGAGTCAACAATCAACACACCATATGTAAAATTTTATCTCTCTCTCTCTCTTTCTGATGAAGACACAAACAGCAACAACACTTCAACATCTGGTCGTAAATGGCTAGATGAAATAATAATAATACTGTTGGGGTAATCATAAATAATAAACACCTCAAACTCATTAAACAAAAAAAAAAGGTGGAAAGCCAATTAAATAATATAGGCAGTCATCAAATACCATTATTATTGGTTCCAGTCATTGGTGGCAAATCTGATAGTTGTTAACATTTCTATCAACAACAACCTCAACAAACAACCTCAACAAACAAACAGGGTAATACAAATTCAACAAGATGCTGTTATGTGATACAACAAAAATAATATGATTTTATTTCTTATTGTTGGATTGATACACCTTTGGGTGCACGTCATCATCATCAACTAAAGAGTTTATTAAATACATATAATATATTGGATCATCATAGCAACTACCCGATTCAACAGGATTGTTGACTTTGACTCAAATCAACATCTCTTTTCTGACGAAGACACAAACAACACTTCAACTTTCGGTCGTAATTGGATAATAATACGTGTTGGGGGTTTTAAAGAATTATTATCTCCCAAATTCAAACTCTTATAGTTGTATCACTTTTAAAAAAAACAATGGGGTTTTCGACAAGTGTCGGTTGTCGATCATAAAAATCTGAGAGGAGGGTGTAAATCTCGATCTGAAAAGTTGATAATAATATTAATTTTAAAACGATCAATCAATCGTATTTATGTTACCATAGCTTGTCACAACAGCTGTAAAGTCGTCCGTCTTTTGTATCACCACCTCCACCACTTTTTTAAAAATAGTTAAGTTATTCTAACTAAACTATAAGCGCAGTTGTAATAATAATATTAATAGTAATAACAGTGTAGCACTATATTCAGTATCATCATCATCACAAACAACAACGATTGTATCATCACCAACATATAATATTATTATTATTATTAGTATTACTTTAAAAAAAAAAGTGATCCAATTCGAATTCAAGATTAGTTGTAGTTAGTAAGTAAAGATTGATCGATCGAAAGAAGAAAGAAGAACCAACCACCCATCATCCTACATACATTCATACCCCCCATCCGTATCCCCTTTTTGGAGGTTGAGGTGTCAGCTGACAACTCTTTCTCTCTCACCTCACTCTGTGCACATGTTGACAATGATCACCGATCAAAAATCGACAAGAGAGTAGTTTCATTGGATAGAGGAAAGAAGGGTTGATTCAATTCAATTCAATTGGTGGTAGTGTGGGGGGGATGACAGGATTGGGGCGACATTGAGAACACCTAGGTGTAAAAACCACACAAACAAAAACGACAGAACCAGCCAAACAGTAAACTCCCTACACATCCTCAAGCCAAGACAACAAGGAGCCCTTGTTTTTGTCATCAACAACAACAACAACAGATACACAAAGACTTCCTCCTATCTATTTATTTAGATAATGATCAATTTCAAATAACTAACCATATATACCTCCCATTCAATCATAATAGTAATACATACATACATACCAACTATATATCTCTCCATCGATCGATAATCATTGTGGCACAATAATACAAAGAAAAAAGAGTTTAGAGACTAGAGCAGAGTAGCAGTAGTAGGGTAAGAATCAACTATAGTAATTAATATCCCAACATCCCCATCCATCTCAATTAAAATGATCATTTTAAAAAGTTTATGGGCTGTTTTTTTGTTATTTCTTCTATCTTACAACATGCACGATATGTTATCGGACTACGTAGAATGTATCATTTCTTCTTTAAAATCCAACCTATCATATCTCTATCAAATCATCAACAACAACGATACACTACTTCATTGCGACATATCGATAATGGCAATGACTGACATCTACAACAAAATTGTTATCCATTAACATTTGTTTATGGAATAATCCATTGTCATCTCTTCACTATTTGTCTATCTATTGGATCAATCGATTGATCCAAACAACAACCACTGTGTTTAAATTGTTTATATATCATACCCACAGTTATTTATAGTTGTTGATCGATCAACAACAACCTATCTTTTGTTTAAATATGTACAATATATACACATATACACTTCTTGTTGTATTTGTGTGTGTGTTTTGTGTAAGAAAGAGGTGGGTAAGTTTTTCGGTGGCTATAATTGGCAAAGTGGTTGTTGGAAATGCATCGATAGGAGGAGAGTGTAGTTGGAAATAAGCACAACAACACTCAATCAAATATTCATACAATGCATTGACCACACACACAACTTAACTTCATCACACCAATCAGCCAATCAACCAACCAACCAACCGACCGACCACTACCACCATTATGGTGATACAGCTATACAGATACAACCAGCTTTGGTTCATGAATTTGCTTGTTTGCTTGCTATTCATATTTTACTACCTTACATTTTTATTCCTTTGAAAAGAAGGAAACAGATATCCTTTTTAATATTTGTTGTTGTTGTTGTTGCAACTTCAACAACATCAACATCACATCACACACATATATATATATATATATACATATACATTTATATTATATATATAATTATTATGACTTGTTTTTTCTTTTCTTCTGTTATTATTTAATTAATCACATCATATAGAATCAACAACAAGTTGCTCGAATAAGTGTTGATCACACATTTTACCTATTTAAATACATATTTTAAAAGAGGATCATCATTGTTGCAACACTCTCTCTTTCTTTCTTTGTTTTTTTTTGATTTTTGTCAGTCTTTCATTCAGTCAGTCAGCCCGACCACCACCACCACCACCATCAACAACACACTCATCACTTCAACGGTTACGATTTCGATTGAAGTTGGTTAATGATTAATACAGACTTGATCCAATTCGTTTAAACCAAAACTACTACAACAATAACGACCCCCCTCACCTTCCTCTTTGCACCACCAAAAACACGATCGTGTTATCGTTCTCCTCCTCTTCCTCCTTTACTTGTCCCTCATTATCTCTTTGTCCATTTGATCCAATTTATTCATTCATTCATCATTTCTCTATTCCTCTTCATATTGTTATTGACCATTTTTCATTGTGTTGTTATTATCTACCTTCCTCCCTTCCTCTCTTGAAAGTAAATCAACAAGAAGAAGAAGAAGAAGAAGTTCATTCATTCATTCATTCATTCATCCACATTAATAATATTATTATATTTTCATTAATATAATAATAATAATTATCTATCTATTTATCTATTTATATATTTATATTTATAATATATTTATTAAATACACCAATTGATTGATTAATTTGATTGATTGATTGGTTGTTTTATTTGTTGAGTAAATCTTTATCTCCAAACAAATTTAAATTTCACCACTCCCACAACACAACAACAAATATCGTAGTAAATCCCAACAACAATAATAATAATAATAATAACAATCATTCATTTTTCAAAATTGAAACAATTATTTTTAAATCAAATCAAATCAAATAATACTCCAACTTTCCAAAATCACATTTTCCATATGAGTACTAATCAATACATCTTTTAAACTCATCTTCCTCCTAATTTACCCATATATTTAATATATATTTAATATATTTATATAAATAATAATACTTTATATATTTTTCCAAAAAATGAAGATTCATCATAGATCATTTTCATCGTCAGATCGGACATTATCACCAAAATCACCGACACAGCAGCAACAGCATAGTAGCGGTTACCGATCACTTACTACATCAACACCAAACGCCCACACCCTTAGTAGGAATTATCAAAACAATCATCCCAACAGCCAATACTTTTACCAACACCACCAATATATACCAAGCATGGCTCCTCCACCACTCAACAACAACGAGTTGCTAGAAGGAATCAAACAACAGATCAACAAGAGAAACAGTCTAAACTTGAGTTTGTCACCGCCCTTGAGTGGTGGGTCCACTGGCAACTCGCCACTCTCGCTATCAGGCGAGCTTTTCCGTGCCAATCCAAGTTTGGCATTTGTTTCACCACCTCCATCACCACCCAAACAACCCTCCTCTCTAGCGTCGTCTCCTTCCGAATCAAAGAGACGATCGATCCTACTCTCCTTTACAAGCAGCAAAGATAAAGATAGCGGCACCAGTGGAAACTCATCTCCACTCTCACATTCATACGGCAGCGATGATGGCTCGTCATTCACCCCTAGTAGTGGAAGCAACAGCAGCAGCAGCAAAGATAAAAAGAAAGAAAAGGAAAAAGAAAAGGAACGAGAAAAAGAAAGAAAAGAGGAAAAGGAAAAAGAAAGAAAAGAGGAAAAGGAAAGAGAAAAGGAACGTAAAGAGGAAAAAGAAAAGGAAAAGGAAAGAGAAAAGGAAAAGGAGAAATCGAAAAGAGATAGTGTCTGCCTACTAAACTCTTCACAACCAATGTTATTAAAATCAAATGATTTATTAAATGCCAGAAGAAATCTTAAAAGCGCAATCACTGTTACAAATAAGGCTTTAGTTGTACAATCATCAGATGAAGGTATGTTTGAAAATGAAAATGAAAATGAAACAACAAAATATAATTATAATTGGAATCACGTGATTCCAGAAAACATCAAAAATAATTATTATGGTTGGTTGGTTGTGTGTTTGGAAAACAACAGATTTGTTTTTTTATTATTATCTATAATAATAATAATAATTATCAATTATTTTATCTGTGTTTATAATCTATCTTCTTGGTAGCTACGATAAATAATCAACAAAAAAAAATAATTATAATAATAATAATTCAATTTCAACAAACAACAAACAAACAAACAAACAACTATGATGATACATTTTTTAATTTTGTTAAAATATTATTATTCTATTTATTTATTGTTTTACTTACATATATTTTTTATGTAAAATAGGTGAAGGAGGATCGATGGAATCACCAGAAAAGAGAGGTTTCCTATATATCTTAAAAACCGATACCAACTATGCATCATTATCAACAAGTCCTGAAAGTTGGAATTACTGTTATTGTTCGCTAAGAGAAGGATGTATATATGTTTATGGTTCACCAAATGTAAATATCTATATATATATATAATATTATATATATTTATATATTAAATGTTTTTTTTTTTTTTAATTTAGGATTTACAAGAAATTGAAATAATATCATTAAATAAGGGATCAGTAAGAGAAAGAGAGATAAAAGATAATTGTTTCCAATTAAATGCATTTGTACAACAACAATGTGGAGAGATTGAACGTTCAGTTAAAGTGACTAGATATTTGTGTACAGCTCAAAACGAGGAATTTGAATACTTTTCATGGATCGTTTCGATTCGTGGTTCCATCTTTTTCCTTCGCTCTCTTACTACCACTCAAACACTTCGAATCCCCAAAAAGAGACAAACTATGCATTTGTCGACACCACCTATTACTGGCAAGGCAGCTGCTGTACCTAATATCCCAACCGTCACAGTCACAGCACCCGTCACCTCCTCCAAGGATGTCCCATCATCGACCAAAGACGATACCACTGGAAAGGCAGTGGTTACCAAACCAAAGGATACCACTAAAAAGGATAGCGCACCTTCCTCGCCACCACTCTCTTCACCCGACGATCCACTCGATTTCAACGGCGCAAAGAAGGGATTCTTGGGTGTGCAAGGTGGAGGTAAGCTATTGTCCAAGTGGAAGAACCGTTGGGTTGTGCTCAGTGATGCCAATCTGGCCATCTACAAATCACAAGATGCAGAGTTGAAAAAGGATATTAGAAAGTCACTCAACATCATATTCTGTTCGGCGAAGGTCACCAAATCGACCAACGACAAATACACCTTTCAAGTGGTCAGCACCAACAAGACTATCAACTTTAGTTGTCAGAATGGTTCGATGATGCTTGGTTGGATTACCGCTATCCAAGCAGCTCAGTCTTTGGCAATGGAATCTTATCTCCAATACGAGATGGGTGGTGGTAAAGACAGCAGCAGCCATGGCTCCAAACTCAAGGGTGACGACGTCGAAGATGAAATCCAATCAAAGTTGGACAAATCCAAAGAATCACTCAACCGTCTAATAGCAATCGATTGCAATAGAGTATGTGCCGATTGTGGTGCACCCAATGCTATTTGGTCGTCTATCAATATTGGTGTTTTCATTTGTATCAACTGTTCGGGTGTACACCGTAATATGGGTGTACACATTTCAAAGGTACGTTCAGTGACCATGGATATTTGGGAGCAAGATACAATCGAGTTCTTTGAGGGAATGGGCAACGACAAGGCAAACGCAATATGGGAGGGAAAACGTCCTGCAGACATCAAGAAACTATCTCCAACCGACAGCATGGAAGAAAGAGAAAAATATATACGAAACAAATACGAACATAAATTATATTACTCGAATTAATCAATCAACAACAAATAATAACAAATAACAAATAACAACAAATAACAATAATATTAAATAATATATAATATATATAATATAGGATTTCTAGATAAATGTAAAATAGTCTTTTATTGTTGTTGTTGTTATTGTTCCAAAAATTATATACAACATCTTTTTCTCTCATCTTTGGAAATACATAAATAAATATCTATGTAGAACATAATTAGAGCTTGTATACATAATGATTTTCCTTGAAGTCACGAACAACCTCACTTACGATAGTATAGCACTTTTCATCAACTTTCTTTCGATGTAGTCTGTGAGATCACAACCCAAAGTGTCATAGGTCTCAAACATTATTTGGGTCGTTTGTTCACGATTGGCCTTTGGGTTGCGAGGTGAGAAAAACTAGCTGTTCATCTGGGACACACCCAAGTTCAATGTAGAAATTAATAGGTTGACACGATTTTTGAGCACTTGTAAAATGGTTGTAAAATAAATTTATTATTTAAATCGATATATTACGAGCTGTATTATATTCCTTGGTTAAAACACTAACCAAAAGTATTAGAGATGGTGGCGGCTTTTTATATGTTGATTACGATATAATAATTGTTGCCATATGTTATGTTGTAGTTTGTGGGGTGTTTGTTTGTTTGTTTGTTGTGATCACTCAAGTGTATATATACGAGGATGTTTGTTGTTGGGGATATGTACGCGGTTTATGAAAGAATGAATAAATAAATATAATATAATATCCTTTATATCTTGAAAGTTGTTATTAAGATTATTGCTACTAATGGGATTCACAATTATTAAAAATAATTGATGCTAAAGATTGGAGATGATTTGTTGAATAGACCATAATTCTCAGTATACTCATAATTGATTGATTCTTTCTAATAATAACCTTTCCTTCTTTTACTATTATAAATAAATAAATAAATAAATAATGATTAATACCTAGACAGGAACTACTATAATGATTTTCTTTTTTTTACTATTTTACATACTATTTGATAGGTTTCCTAATAGTTTTAAACATATATGTAATAAATCATGAGAAGTGTTTGTATAATTAACAATAATAATTTTAGACAATACATCAAATAATTCCTGTTGAATTAATAATGAATAATTTGATTCTAATGTATAATGAATGAATAATGTTAATATTTTGGAAATATTATTGTAAAATATTGTTTATGTTTAGACATACGAGATAAAGATAAATGATATAAACATGTAGCAGCATGAAAAGGGATTCTATTGTCATGGCTATATGATAAAATATTAATCATTGGTTTAATGCCACCGACTTGACCAATCGACAATTGATTATCAACATTCTCTGACAGACTTGATAAAGCCGACAGAGTATACAATAATATTTTTTCGACTGGTGAGTTTAATAATAATAGTAAAGGAGGTAATGCTCCTCCCTCAACAACCTTTCTTTGATATTTTGCTACAATAATCAAATAATTAGAATTAATTAATCCAGAATTTCTTTCTTTCTTTTCTTTTCTTTTCTTTTCTTTTCTTTTCTTTTCTTTTCTTTTCTTTTCTTTTCTTTTCTTTTCTTTTCTTTTCTTTTCTTTTCTTTTCTTTTCTTTTCTTTTCTTACGATTTGTAGATAAAATAGAAATTGCTTCAGTTGATGCAGATTGTAATGAAATGTCTTCGCATAGTGCCATGGCAATAAAGGCTTGAACACCTCCTTCACGTATGATTAGGTCACGTGTCATTGCATTCTTTGTCAGATTCAACAATACGATCGAGGATGAGTGTCTTAGTTGGTTATTGTAGGATCGAGATAATTCGGCGATAATGTGCAAGCATTTTTCGCCAATGTGTGTTCTAATGAGCGCATTCTCCTCCATCGACAAGTATTCAAATGTGATTGATATATTTAATACAATTTCATTGTCACCTTGTGGATTATAAAGATATTCTGATAATAAACTTAATATATTTGATTCAAGAATATCTATTCTATATATTTCTATAATAAATTTAAATATAATAATAATGTTTGTTAATAATCCATCATCTTCATCATTATTAATTATTAAAAGTGGTCAATGTTATGTAACCACCACTACCACACCAGTATTGTTGTTATATTAATTGAATTAATTATATTCTCTCTCTCTTATATCTCTTACCATTCTCTGATAAATTGGCAATAGCCTTTGTAATATGTTTATATACAGTTACATTAAAATTGTTTAATAGTAAAACAATAATGTCTAAATAGTTTGCAATGATCATCTTTCTTCCCAATGCTAAAAAAAATAGAGGAGGAGTAGATTGCATATCGATTAGTACCGATGTGTTATCTTGGATCTACGATCGATCGATCTATCTATTTATCTTTTGCAAAACATACTATCATGAGTAAGAGTACATAATCCTTTTGCAGATTCAACACGATCACTTGGTGTTAGAGACCCAGCTTGTCTAGAGTAAGTTGCAAGGTCACAACATCTGTTACATATTCTAACAGGTTTATCATAGTGTAGTTGAGGAAGTGGTTGTCTCTTGCTACTACAATTGTTACAAAATATATTTCCACATTGTCTGCAATGATGACGTCTCTGTATCGTATTAAACTGTAGATTACAGTTTAGACAATGTGCCATATCATCATCATTTATCCATATTGGCCTCTAAACACGTTAGAATAATAATAATAATAATAATAATAGTCATAATTAGGAAATGTTTGTTAGTCAACACTATAGTATTATACTGCAGTTGGTCTTACACATACCCAAATCTTTTTGTCAATATTGGACGATGATGAAACTGATGCTGTTGACGACGATGACGTCGATATCATTATGTGTTCTAACTTTGGAGGTTATTAATATATAGATAAAATAATATTGAGAAAGGGGAGGTGAGGGGAGGTGAGGGGAGGGAGAGACTGGGTTGTGGTCGTTGCTTGTACTATACTACTAATACTACTTTTGTTATACTACAAACAAGATATAGAAGATAGATAGATAGATAGAGGAAGGAAGGTAGGTGAAGTGAAGGTGAAGTGTGAAGTGACGCGATGATTAATATTAATAATATAAAGTTGTATAAAACTATTCTATTCTACTCTCTCTTGAACAAGTTGACTCAGTCTCGTGAGATGTCAAGTGCCGGCGATGATGCAGACAGGCTGTTTGCAACAATAAATTCAATGAAAAAAAAATAAAAAAAAAAAAGAACCAACCTTCAAGGACGGGCTTGGTCTCTCGATCTGTCCCATTTTGATTAGTTCCATGATATCTCCACGCTGCTACAACAACATTCCATAGAAGAATCTTCTCGATCATCACCATCACAACAGGTCAAGTTGGCGTACTTTATATGACCCGTTCAGCTCTTACACAATAAAAATAGATTTCTGCAGAATGACATAAGCGAGTGAACTACAGAGTAGTTACTACACAGTAATAGACAGTTCAGTTCCATCATGGATTCAATTCTAATGAAACTTCAAACTACTACTACTATCTTTAAATTAATAGAGAGATGGACAATAATATGATGATTTGTATTCAATCATAGAGATAGATCTAAGAAAGAAACCATTAGAACTTTCCTTTTTTGATTTAACCTAAAAGGTTGAAGGGTGACTTGTTATAGTAGTATAGTGTGTTTGTGACTGATCGATTGATAGAGTACCGCCCACACTCCTAAAAAAAGGAAAATTATATTTATATTTAATTAATTAGGGGTATATATGTGTGACATGACATGATGACTTTTATTAATTTCACCATCATCATCACCTAGCTTCTTCATCAATCTCATCTATTTGTTTTATTTATTTATTTGTTTGTTTGTTATTATTATTATTGTCTCCTCATCACATTAATACATTAATCTTATTTAAAGTGATTAGATAGAGATAGAGAGGGTACACTCAGTCTCTTAAATTCAATAAATGACAAAGAATGATGAGACAACATTAATAAAGAATGCTGCTCTAGTAAATAATAATAATAATAGTAATAGTAATAGTAATAATAGTAATAATAGTAATAGTAGTAATAGTCACGTCAATTCTACTATAAATAATAATAATACTAATACGAGTACTAATAGTAACAATCAAACATCACCTCCTACAATTGCTATTGCCGCTGTTAGTACGAGTAATACATCTCAGATACCAACAACAACAACAACAACAACATCAACGACTACTACTACTACAACTGCTGCTACTACTACAACTACAACTAAACCTCCTATACCATCATACGCATTGGATAAATGTCTTTCACTATTATCAAGTAATACCGATGAAAATAAGTTTGTTGGTTTGTTGTTGATCAAGAATACCATTAAACAAGATGATGTAGATACAATGTATCTAGTCTACAAAAGTTTGGGTTTATCATTCATTGCCAGACTATTACAAACACCTCCTACCAATAAAGGTATGTATTCCGAAAAAGAAGACGAGTCATCAACCAAATCAATCAACATCATTACTAATATAAACAAAGGTGAAGATTCTATATCATATCATACATTGGCAATCAATATTCTATCAACATTTTTAACTTTGGAGTATCCTGAAGACCATGATCCAAAGACATCTATCATTTATCAAATAATCACTCGTCAATCCTCATTACTAGAGTCAATTAGTAAAAGTCTATTCCTCAACATTGAATTCTATGTTGGACAATCGTATGTTTTAAACAAAATATATATATATATATAAATACAAAGTAATCATACTTATCATTTATATAATATATATTTAGGGAAAATATAAATGTTGAATTAATAAGAAATGCAATGAGCATTTTATTTAGTATTCTATCATTTGAATCAAAATTAAAAGAGATTAAAGTATCTGAACAATTGCAACAGTCACAACAACAACAACCACAATCACAGCAAGATAGTATTACATATAAACTGCCAAGTGATATAATACAAAATCAAGAGAATATACAATTATTGGATAAATATTTAATATCACTTGAAAAATCATTTAATATTATAAAAAAGAATAATAATAGTATAAAACAACAAAAAGAAAATAATAATAATAATGATAGTAATTATAATGATAATAATCAATTTTTAGAAATGAAAGATTTATTATCAACAACATTTGTATTCTTACAATTAATAGTTTACAAGATGCATGAAAGAAATGAAAAGAAACAATATATCAAGTGTGGAGAAATGTTGGATCATCTAGCTTGTTTGTTCAAAGACATACCAAATGAAATCAAGTTTCAATTGCTTCCCATATTTATTCTAATGTTCCAATTGGATGGTATTCCAAAACACATTTCGACACAGTCTGCCAAACATCGTCAATCTCTTACCTATATTGGTCAGAGTCTATACGATATATTTACATCGAGAGAGTTTAACAAGGACGAATTCAAGTCTGACGACAACTCTGATAGTTCAGGTTCTAGAGAGTATCACGATCAATCAATTATTCTCTTTTCAATCTTGTTTGATCTTTATGGTGGTGATTGGATTCTTCAATTGCCATCATCATCATCGTCAAATGACACCAACAAGATGGGAGAGAATCTATACTATTTGGCATGTCAACATGTTAGAACAGAGTTACATATACAATTACTTCATTACCCTGTAGAGGATGAAATCGCAGAGGATCGTTTCAGTGTCATTCTGTCGTGCTATAGCATCTTGGAAGATGTGATCGAGCATATGGTTGCCATGTTTGAAAAGATGGAGAGTGGACAGGGGTTCAGTCTCATGTCGGCTGATACTATTCTCAAGGTTCGTAATGTCATCATTGACTGCAATGCTATCATGCTCGAGTACTTAAAGAGTGTAGTAGACGAGATTCCTGAAAAGGAACCAACTCAAATGGTCATTATGACGACTAAACGAGTCGGTCACTTTTTGGCAGAGGAAGCAACACTGGCTGAAGAACTATCACTTTCATTGGTACCCATCATCGAGTACTATCTACAACACAGACGTGACTATGGTCACTTTATCTCATTTTTATTACCAGGCGTCTATAATTATTTACTTGGTGGTGATGATGATGATGATAATGGATATGATTTCGATGGCAAAAACACTGACAATAACATGTCAACACTTGACTCGCAAAGTGCAGAGAACCAAAAATCATTTTTCTATAAACAACATGGCGATGTTGCATTGGCAAGATTCTTGTCATCGTTTTTGGTTACATTTGTCGAATACATCCAAGAACCAGAGCCACAGGCATCCAACCACTCTGTCTACACATCGATGGTGTCTTACGAGATGACACCGTCGACCATTGTAGGTGGTGTTATCCCCATGTCCACAGCGATACTCTGTCGCTACCTGTCAGAGGATATCAGAGCCATGTCAAGTGGTGACTTGGTATCTAGATTCAAAAACAGTTTCCAAGACAACCGACTCACCTATGTCTCGTTGTTTTTATCAGTCTCTGAAGCCATCCATCACCTCTCTATCTTTTCCGAGGCAACCATCACCACGAGTGTCATTGGTGACGACTACCATAATCGTCAACTTGTCATGTCCAACATGACCGTACTCGCTCTCTCCATTCTCCGTCACCTCAACGAAGCAGATAGCTTTTCACTCGATGAAAATCACAATCGTATCCTCACACGAACCATTGAATCCATCGTCAACTTTTATCTCCTACTAGAGTTTCCTCCATCTGATCAAATTAATCTTTTAATTTGGGAATCATTAAAATCAAATTGGTTATATGGTATTGATTGTATGTAATATAATATATGTATCCGGTGAAATATCATGAAAAAGAAGTATTAATATCCATTTTCTTTCATATTTATTTACTATAGTAATGTCCCAATGTGTTGATAGGTATCCAATTTTAAGAGATACATTAACATCTAAAAGATGGCCACCTCCAGATTTTACTTTATCTATTACTAATAATAATAATAATAATACCAATAATAATAATAATAATCCAACCATCACTAATCATAATCCACAGAATAGTTCTACTACTAATAATAATGAATCAAACAACAACAATAATAATAATAATAACAATGTAAATACAGCATCAACAACCAACCGATATAATGAATTTTTAGATTCTATTACAATTAATACAGTTAATAGAAGTATAGGCAATTTGGTTCGAAGATTAATCGAATCAAGAAATTAAAATTTAATTAATTATTTAATATAATATAATTATTTCAATCCACAACACCAAACACACGAACCTTTTGAAAACAACAAAAAAATAACAAACAAAAATAGAAAGAAATAAATAAGTAGTATACTTCTTTTTAAAGAATCTTTTAAATCCAAGTAAAAGTTTTACTCTACTTTTCATCGCTCTTTGGATCGACCATCATTTTTAAAAACCAATATATTCTAAAACAAATAGGGCAAACTGGATATTCTTGTTTGCTCAAGAAAAACCCTATTTATTAAAAAAAAAACTTTGTCCGTCTTTGAACGTCTTTTTATCATTTAATTTATCTTTTTGTTTTATTGTTTTTCTTTTCTTTTATTAAATATATTGTATATTGTATTTATCATCATCATCCTATCTCTATCACACATCGTAATAAAAAGAGTTTAGTACATTGTTACGTTAGTTAGTATCATAATATAAATTGTAAAATAGACACATTCAAAGAGGTAAGAGAACAAAGATAAAGATAGATAGATAGAAACATGTGAATGAGAATAAAGAAAAGGTTACTAATTTGACTTTATACATTATTATTATTATTGTTGTTATTGTTCTATTATTATTATTATTATTAGAACATTAATATATCTTAATTGGTTCAATTTGATACCTAAATATATAATACACATAATATATTAGTTTAGTTAGTAATAATAATATATTAGTTTTGAAAATAGTAAATAGAAAATGGGTGATGTAAACTTTCTACAAAAGGCTATACAAATAGTTCAACAAGCTACAGAAGCCGATAATGCAAAGAACTATGCTGAAGCTCATAGATTATATATCCTTAGTTTGGATTGGTTCACAACTGCTTTGAAATGTAAGTTAGAAAGATAGTATAAATAGATCTATATTAGGTTGTGGTTCGTTTAGATTGACTAAAAGATATATATATTTATCTTTCATCTAGATGAAAAGAGTGAAAGATCAAAAGCAACTATAAAGGCAAAGACGATGGAATACCTTCAAAGAGCAGAACAATTGAAAGAGTATTTGGAAAAGACAAAGAACAAAAAGCCAGTGGCTGCAATGAGTGGATCATCTGCCAAGCCAGGCGCACCTACCACCAAAAAGAATGGAGACGTCGACGACGAAGACATGGACCCTGAGGACAAAAAGAGAAACGAATCTCTCACTGGATCGATCCTTACAGAGAAACCAAATGTTAAATGGGACGATGTTGCTGGTTTGCATCAAGCCAAAGAATATCTCAAGGAAGCTGTCATCTTCCCCATTAAATTCCCACAAATGTTTACTGGTAAAAGAAAACCATGGAAAGGTATTCTTCTTTATGGTGTAAGTAAACTCTAAACAAAACAAACAAATATATATATTTTAAATATATATATATATTTTAAATTATTTAATATTAATATGATTTATTATTTATTTTAATGTTTAGCCACCAGGTACTGGCAAATCATATTTGGCAAAGGCTGTAGCCACAGAAATATCTTCAACCTTCTTTTCAATCTCTCCATCTGATATTGTGACCAAATGGTTAGGTGACAGTGAAAAGTTGGTCAAACAACTATTTGAAATGGCAAGAGAAAAAAAGAACAGTGTAATATTTATTGATGAAATCGATTCTTTGTGTAGCACTCGTAACGATAGCGAAAGTGAATCTGCAAGAAGAATTAAAACTGAATTCCTTATTCAAATGAATGGTAAATAGAAATTGAAAAGGAAAGAAGGAAGGAAAAGAAAGAGATATATCTAACCATTTATTTATTTATTTATTTATTTATTTCAATGTTCAGGTGTCGGAACTGATTCAGATGGTATTTTGGTATTAGCAGCAACCAATATTCCATGGGGTTTAGATCTTGCCATTAGACGTAGATTTGAAAAGAGAATTTATATTCCATTGCCAGATCCACAAGCACGTTCAAAGATGTTCCAAATTCACATTGGTGCCACACCAAACTCATTGTCTCCAGGCGACTACAAGAGACTTGGTGAAATGACCGAAGGTTATTCCGGTTCCGATATTGAATCGGTTTGCAAGGATGCCATTTTCCAACCCATTCGTACCGTCCAAAGTGCCACCCACTTTAAGGAAGTTAGAATGCCAGATAGAGATGATCCAAATGTAATGACTGAATATTTCGTACCATGTTCCCCAGGTGATCCAATGGGTCAAGAACTGACTTGTATGGATATTGAACCATCCAAAGTAAAAGAACCTCCCATTTCACTTGTAAGTTTGAAACAAATTTTAAAACACAATCATTCAACTTTTATTAATTCAATCTTATTTTTTATAGAATGATTGTTTAAAGAGTGCCAGAACGGTTAAACCCTCTGTTAGTTCAAAGGATTTGGAAAAGTATATTGAATTTACCCGTGATTATGGTCAAGATGGTGTATAAATTAGTAATAATAATAATAATAATAATAACAAATAATAATCAAAACAGTTTATAATATTTTTTAAACATTTTAATTATCAAGTGAAGGGTCTTTTTTTTAATAAGAATATAGAATAATAATAAATCAAAATATTTAACAAAAAGTTCAGAGACACAGGATGACTCATCCTTTGTTTTATCCAGACTGGATGGATGGAAAAGGGTAGGAGTAAAAAATAAAAAAAATAAAAAAAAAAATTGAGTTTTTTTGAACTTGCAAGGAGGTGATGAGTCAAGTCAGTGTGTGAGATGTTTATTCTTATCCTAGGTTTGATTAATAGTTAGTAGTTGAAACTCTCATCTTCTCTATTATCATTATTATTGTTTCGATTCATCCCCTTTTTGTTGTTGTATTTTATATATAGATAGATAGATTAAATCTAAGAAACTAAACTATGGCACAAGTCGCATCAAACCCAATCGACACTGCTCATGAAGACATGGTCGTAAGTTATTACTAAAGAGAGATAGATTAATATCAGACAAGAAAGAGTATTAATACAAGTTAATCAATCAATTAAATGATCTATGCTATGATGATCAATCATACTATATTATATTATACCTATATAGCATGATGCTCAATTTGATTATTATGGTAAATACTTGGCAACATGTTCAAGCGATAGATCAATCAAGATTTTCGATGTCAGTGGTGAGAACCATGTTCATCTTACAGACTTAAAGGGGTATGAAGAATAGATAGATATATATATATAGACAGAAAGATAGAAAGATTGATATAAATGAGTCAAAGAAAAGTCAATCAAAAGTTTGATATTAATCAACTTTACTCTATTCATTTTAATTTTAGTCATGAAGGACCAGTATGGCAAGTAGCTTGGGCTCACCCAAAGTTTGGAAAGATCTTGGCATCAGCATCATACGACAGAAAAGTTATCATTTGGAAGGAAACATCTAATAACCAATGGTCAAATATCTACCAATTCTCTGGACATGAGTTGTCTGTCAACTCAATCTCTTGGGCTCCACATGAATTTGGTTTATGTTTGGCATGTGCCTCTTCTGATGGAACTGTTTCTATTTTAAATTATAAAGGTAAACAATAATATATACACACACAAGAATAGAATGAATGATCATATGGTACTAATATTATTTATTTATTTTAATATCTTTAGATAACCAATGGGAACAACAAAAAATCAATGTATCACAAATTGGTGTAAATTCAGTATCATGGGCACCAGCTTCAACACCAGCAGCACTTGTCAACAATATCAATACTATTCCAACTCCAGTCAAGAGAATCGTTACTGGTTCATGCGATAACTTGATTAAGATTTTTAAATACCACGAAGATAAATGGATTCTCGACAAGCAACTCGACGAACACAAGGATTGGGTCAGAGATGTTGCATGGGCACCAAATATTGGTTTGCCAGTTTCAAAGATTGCTAGTTGTTCACAAGACAGAACTGTTGTCGTTTGGAGTCAAGAAGAGTCTGGTCAATGGGCTGGAAAGGCTCTTCCACGTTTCGACGATGTTGTATGGCGTGTAAGTTGGTCTGTCATTGGCCACATCCTCGCCGTCTCTTGCGGTGACAACCAAATTACTCTTTGGAAAGAAGGTTTGGATAATGAATGGAAAATGATCTCTCAAGTTCAACAATAATAAACAAAACATAATAATATAAAAAAGAATGAAACAAAAACAACACAACACCAAAACTTAAACTAAAATCAAAATTATTTTTTTTTATTCTAATTATAGGATGGATGAATCTAAAATCAAGATTAGATTAATAGGTTTCTAATCATTTATCAAAAAAAAAATTATAACTTTTTTTTTTTTTAGTCTAATACCACCCCCCTATTCCTCCTACTTCCATATTATTTCATTCAAATTTCATTTACAAATTCTCTAAGATGTTCAACACTATTCATCCATCTCTTTCATTCATCCAACCACCACACTTTGAATTGTTTACCACACACACTTGAATGGTGGAAATAATTTATTTAATTTTTTTTTTCAATACGAATTCTATCAACATTCCAAATCAAACACATCTTTTTTTGGTTCATCTTGAAATTATCAATTCAATTATTTTCCAAGACAGCAGTGACAAGATATATCCAATCTCTATCGATTCATAGAGAGAGTGAATATACTACTTTTCGAAACACACTATATTTGTCACTCTACCATATACGCGCATATTGCTTTAAAGTAGCACCTTCCTATTTTAAACCTAGTACTACTGAAAATAGTATGGGAAAAGGGTAGCAGAGAATGAGATTTACACCATATCATGAATTCGTAGAGGGTGGTACCGATACCGATAGTGTACACTAATACATATTAATAATTTAAAGTATTCCTTAATTGGCAACCATGCAATGCGTAACCACGCCACCTAGCTAGCATGTTCTGCAGACGACTCTGTCAGTCCAGAGACTATAAAAGACTGTCAATTCGGTTCATTTCAAATATCAAATCAACAAACAAATATCAAGTTAACAATTCAATTAACAACAACATCTTATTTATTTATTTATTTATTTATTTAATTTTAATTAATTAACCAACCCACCAATCAATTCAAAATGTTTATCTGGAAGTATTACTTGTGCTTCGTCGCTATGATGTTAGCTTCTGTACTCCGTATGTACATTACATAGTAATCCAGCTATATTTATATATATTTATTATCTATATACTTATATTTATATATTTTTTTACTTTTCTTTTCTCTTTTTTTTACCATCGTTTCCTAGTCGCCAAGGGAGATGCCGAATTCGGCCGTCCAACCAAGTGTTTCTTGACCAACTATTGTGACCTCAACAAGTCCTGGTATGAAGGAGGAAGAGTCCTTTCCGAATTCAAGTGCAAGTTGACCAACACTGGTCCATTTGCCATCGACCACGCAAGTATTTATCTCACTGGTGACTACATCAAGGAGTTGAATGGTCTCCAAACAAACAACAACGGTTTGTCTTGGGACCTGTTACCAAAGGCCTCTTTGGCCTCTGGTGACCAATACTCTTGGAGTTACAAGATCTTTGGTACCCACCCATTGATCATTGACACCTGTTCCACCCCAATCCCACCAAACCCAACCACCCACCACTCATCATCCTCATCTTCATCTTCATCTTCATCATCGACCACCACTTCATCCACATCGTCATCAACCGGCAGCTCTGGTACCTCTACCACTGGCGGTTGTAACCTCTCCAACGACTGTCAAAAGGACAAGTCATGGACTGATAACGATCGTGTCTACACCCAATACAAGTGTTCCATCACCAACATGGGTAACACTCCAGTATCTCACGCCAACATCAAGATCACCAACAACCAAAACCTCGTCCAAATCTCTGAACTCACTACCAACGATCATGGTGTCTCGTATGTATAAAATAATATTAATATTAATATAAATATATATTAATCAATCTCTTCTCCTTCTTCTTCTTTCTTTAGATGGGACTTCATGAACTGGAGAGAACAAACCCCACTCGCCGCTGGTCAAAAGCATGGTTATAACTACATCGTCTTAGGAACTGAGCCAGTCACCATCTCTGTCTGTCAAGGATCTACCTCTGGTTCATCTACCTCTGGTTCATCTACCACCACCACCACCACTGGATCATCTGGATCATCATCAACTGGTTCATCTGGAGGTTGTCTCTGCCCATGTGCCTGTAACACTGCTGGTATCACTGCCGGTTCAACTTCTGGATCATCTGGATCATCTTCAACCACTGGTGGTAACACCAACTCATCTTGTACTGCTGCCTACACCCAAAAGAAGGATAACACCTGGACTGACGGTGGTAAGAAGTACTCTCAATTCAGCGTCACCATCAAGAACACTGGTACCGCCACCCTCTTCTCTGCCATCACCTACACTGAAGCCCCATTGATCAACTTCTGGGGTGCCGTCAAGGTTGAAAACTTCAACTACGAAATGGGTTCAACTGCCACCACTGCTGGTGTCCTCGCTGGTGCCACTCATACCTGGGGTTACGTCGTCGAAGGAGAAACTGAAGCCCGTCTCAACATCGTCTCCAACGCTTGTTTCAAGAAGAACTAAACAACCGTTTAGTTTTCTAATCCTTTCCCCCTCCCCCTTAATATTTATCTATATATATCAATTAACAAATAAATTATTTATTCACCAATGATTAATTTAGATTAAATTAATTCATTATTTAATTATTTTTTAAATTCAAAATCTCTAAATACATCAATATTGTATTTTATTCTTCTTCCTTCTTCTTCTTCTTCTTCTATCTTTCTCTCTTTAATTTGTTGAACGGATATTTATATACTTGGGTATTTTTTTTTCCAAGTTATAGTTGGTTTAATTTTACTTACTCATTAGAATAGACGCTACTATGACTAGCAATGGCTTCCCCCAGCTGGATCCCGGGGAAATAATAATTGGTAGAGTACCAAGGCTTGTCTAGTATCTACGAGTTGATGTGTTGATTGATAGAACAGCTCTTGTTGCTACTTTCTTGAGTCCGGTTATCGTTTTCTAGTGGAAAATTGGTGAAAGTTTTAACAACAATCCCTCTTTTCACTTTCAATAGTAATTAAATTGAGTGTCTCAACAAGGGATGTTGTATGAGACAGGGTAAGAGTGCCAGTCATTGCCTAACTAAAAATAGAATCAACTGATTCTTACTTATGTACCTGAATAAAATAAACATAATTACTTACTGATTGATGTCTCTTCGCGAGGGCAGTGATTTCTTTGATGAAGTCGAAACAGCAACACTGAAGTTTAACAAGCTGTGCAAGAAGAGTCGACTCTTCTTTGTTCCTTTCGGAGCAAAAGGTCAAAAAAGATTCTTTCAATGCTTTGTCGGCTCCAACTCTCGAACAATAAAAATACTTTTTTTTTTTTTGACGAAAGGAAAGCGGGAATCCACATCCTTATTATTTATTTTTTTTAAATTTTTTTTTCAACTACTTTAACTACTCTCTTTTTTGTTTGGAATAGTTAATATCGAAATAGTTAATATTAGCTATATATAATTATATTTAAAGGTATTGATTGATATGTAGTATATCATCCATCATTAACCAATACAAGTAATAGACAAACAAGAACACAAGACAACAACAACAACAACAACAAAACAAACAGAAAGAATACATACATACATATATTACAAACACAAAGATAGGCATTTTCACATTCATTTAAATGATGTCATCATCATCATCATTATCATTCAACAACAAAAACGTATTGGGAAAGAGTACTACTGGGTTACTCTTTGAAAACTATATAAAAGAACAACAAGCAAAAAAGAATGAAAATATACAAGACCGATTGTTTATAGGTGATCCTTTGATAGAGGACATTAGATCAAAACAACAAGACAAGGATCATGACATATCATTGTCAGAGGCAACCCTCTACTCTATAGAACAAGAGCTGCAAGCCCTAGATTTCAAACGCAACAAATTATTGACTGGATTGTCAACTCTGAAACAAGAAAGATTACAACTTGACAAATCAATGGACAACTGTAAATCAAATATCTTACATAAATGGCATAATCTATCTATAAAGAATGGTTTAACAACTGTAACAACAAATAATCAAAATAATCAAAATAATCAAAATAATCAAAATAATAATCAAAATAATAATAATAATGAAAATAATAATAATAATAATCAACATTCAGATATAACATTTGAAGAATTACCATCAATATCAACAATATTACCAACTGAATTATTATTAAATATATTGGAATATCTTACATTTAATGATATTAATTTCTCTGTGACTAGAGTATGTAAACTATGGCATCATCTATCACTGAGTGATAGTATTTGGAAGAATCTATTCCACATTCGATGGAATACTTTGGATATTCATCACCAAAACGATAGTAAACCATTAAAGGCCATTCCATCGTCATTTTGGTCATCCACTCCTATTCTCCCACCTTCACAAGCACCTCAATCCCTTATCCTCCCCAATAGTCGGTACAATAGTAATAGCAACAATGTTGGAGGTATTGCCTATGACGGTAGAAACGTTAATCGCAAGACACCACAATCTGCCATCTTTCCACCAACCAATCGTAGCAGCAACAGGCAACACCACAACAACAACCAAGAGGCAGTGGACAATACAGCAGTGTCATGTGAAGTTTTCAACTCTCATCTTTCAAACTCTGTCTCTGACGATGATATTATGACAGAGGATGATGATGACTCTTCTGCCACTTGCTCTTACAAATTCATCAAGCGAATTAGAATTGATTGGAGAGAATTGTATCTCAAGAGACAAAAGATCGAACACAACTGGTGGAACAATATATGCAAGCCTAAAAAGTTTATTGGACATGATGATTGGGTTACATGTATGCAGTTTGATGGAAAGATGTTGGTGACTGGGTCGTGGGACTCAAGTCTCAAATTGTGGAATATTGAAACGGGTGAATGTTTGGTATTGTCATCGGCTGACATTCCAAGTGGACACAGTGCAGGTATTACTTGCATGCAATTCCGTGGCACAAAGTTGATTAGTGGTAGCTCAGATTCGACACTGCGTATTTGGGATTTGACAACGGGTGAGTGTCTGCATGTGCTGCGCGGCCATACCGACGGTGTGAGTTGTCTGACCATTGTCGACGACAACACCATTGTCAGTGGTTCGTTGGACAATACTATCAATTTGTGGTCAATAGAGACGGGACGCCTGCTCTACAGCTTCACCAACCACATCTCTTCGATTACTTGTCTCTACTACAACAACAAAAACAACCTATTGATTAGCGGAACAGTAGGTGGCACCCTCAACGTCATAGACTTGCCCTCACGTATCGTATTGCAGACATTGCATGGACACAGCGACCGTATCACCTCGATTCAATGGTGGGATGGTCCAGATGGAGAAAGAATCATCAGTAGTTCGTGGGACTACACACTGCGTGTTTGGAACATTCAAACTGGCAAGGCAGTGCACGTGCTGTCTGGTCACAGCTTCCGTGTTCGTTGTACCCACGTTCGTGGAAATATCTTGGTCAGTGGATCGTGGGACACCACCGTCAGAGTGTGGGATCTCATCACTGGCAAGTGCATTCACACACTCCATGGACACAGCTTCAATGTATGGGGTGTTCAATTTGAAGGAAGACGTCTTGTAACGGCTAGTTGGGATCAAAAGGTTAAAGTTTGGGATATGGAAACTGGGAAACTCCTTTATACCTTGGATGGTCACTCTGATTCTATCATTTGTCTACAATTCAAAGGTAGTAAATTGGTTACTGCTGCCAAAGAAATTATCGTTTATGATTTTGATCTTTAAAATTGAAGATATATATATAAACAGCAACAACACGATCGTGGGATTTCCCATCCAAACACAACCATTCTAATAATAATAATAATAATAATAATAATAATAATAATAATAATAATAATAATAATAATAATAATAATAATAATAATAATAATAAAAGTAAAAATATCATCATTGTACAAAGTTAAAATAGTAGTTGAATTGAAATTTCCATCCAACTGCACACAAGTCCCATTGGTTCCCCCATTGATTTATTCTTAAATTGAACAAGTATGATGACAATTGCAATCTCTCGTTTTCAAGTTCCAATGCCTGACCTCGGGTACATGTACAAACAACCATTTATTTTTATCTTTCTAACTGTTTGCAGACAAACCAGCTATTAGAAATCGACGATGAGGTGTCGAATGTGGTTCGATTGTCTGGTTGATCCATTTCAAAAAGACATTTGTTTGGGATTTACAATTGTTACGATTAATCCAGACAAAGGAAAAGGAAAAACAAACAAACAGGTTGTGTTTTTAAAATATTTATTGCGCAATTTAGATTACTAAAAAAAGCAAACAATGATCATTGGCATTACCTCGTTTTTCAGATGAATCAGTCCTTATTATTCTTTATTTGTGTATCATACCTATAATGATAATAATAATAATGAAAAAGGGAGTTGCGAGCAGTTGTCATCTATCGTCCCTTCAGTTAAAAGCCAATAAATGACGTAAAGGAATATTCTTATTCCCACCACACCCACCACACTACCCATTAGATTAATCTCTCTTCTCTTCTCTCTTTTGATGATAAAAAAGTTTGAGTTCAGATAGTCGTAGAGGTGGTGTTAGTTCAAAATGTCATCATTATTGTATGTTCATCATTCATTAACAAATAAACAACAAATAGATAAATAGATAAATAGATAAATAGATAAATAGATAAATAGATAAATAATAACTAAATTATTTTTATAGAGATAAAAAATATACAAATATGTTAGATAGTGGTAGTTTGTTGGCAGTAGGATTGGTACTAGTTAGCGGTCTACTTGCTTATAGTTGGAAAAGACCTCATCCTTATGGCCAAACAATAGAGGTTGGCGAATCAGTTGAAGGTAGTGGTAGGGCAAGAAGAAATGCTATTTCTCCACACCACCTAGTCAGTGCTGTTGATGAAGATTCTCAACATCCAGTTAAAACACTTTATGATTCAATGATGTATGTTTAAATAGATATCACGTGACATAATAATAATAATAATAATAATACTAAATTAATACTTATTTTCTGTTCTTTTTCTCAGGATATCATGTAAAGAATATAAAGATAGACCATGTTTTGGTAAAAGAAAAGTATTGTCAAATGGAGAATTGGGTGATTGGGAATTTATTTCCTATAATGAATTCAAAAATAGAAGTGAAGCCATCTATCAAGGTTTATGTGAAATTGGTGTTACTCCTGTAATTATTATTATTATTACTATTATTATAAATAATCAATCAATTATATTAATACAATATCTTTTTATTTATTTATTTAATTTTTTCTACTTTAGAAATCAAAAGTTGGAATCTTTAGTCAAAACAGAGTTGAATGGTTAGTTTTACAAGCTGCATGTTTTATGCAATCTGATATCATTGTTTCATTCTATGAAACATTGGGTGTTGAATCATTGGCCTATGTTAGCAGACACGCTGAAATTGAAATTGCCTTTTGTTCAAAGGCCACCATGCAAAAGACCAGGGAAATTGCACTCAGTGTCAATGGACTCAAGACTATTGTCTGCTTTGACGATATCGATGAGCAAGCAAAACAAGAATATGAAAAGGACGGTATCAAGCTACTGTCATTTAGCGAACTCCAAGAAATGGGCAAGGACAAAAAGCACAAGCACACTCCACCCAAACCAGATGATTTGGCCACCATCATGTACACTTCTGGCACAACTGGTGATCCAAAGGGTGTCATGATCACACATTGCAATTTGATTGCTGTCGTCTCCTCTGTCAAGACATTGGCCGAAGTCTTTGAGACTGATTGTCACTACTCTTATTTGCCATATGCTCATATCCTCGAAAGAGTCGTTGTTGCCACTGCCTTCCACTATGGTGCCAAAGTTGGTATCTTTTGTGGTGACACTACCAAAATTCTCACTGAAGTTAAAACTCTCAAACCAACCATCTTTATCGGTGTACCACGTGTCTTTGAAAGAATCAAAACTGGTGTCTTTAAAGAAATCGCTAAAAAGCCTGCCGTCACTCGTGCTCTCTTTTCTTCCTTTTATAAACTTAAACATGTTGCTATTCTTTATGGTATGTAAAAAAAAAAAAAGAATGAAAACAAACTATAATTAATATATTTATTAATTAACATTTCTATTTTATTTTTCTAGGATTTAAATTACCAATTATAGAATCACTTATTAATTTAATTGTTTTCAACAAGTTAAAAGATCAACTTGGTGGAAAGGTTAGAGTGATTCTTAGTGGTGGTGCTCCACTTTCATTGGATACTGAATTATTCTTGAGAGTATGTTTCAGTTGCTCGGTTATTCAAGGTTATGGTTTAACAGAAACCTGTGGTGGTACTGCAGTCAAACTCTTACACGATGAATCATTTGGTAGTTTAGGACCACCTTTAACAGCATGTGAAATTAAACTCGTAGATGTCCCAGAATTAAATTATGTATCCAATGGTAATGGTGATCCAACTGGTGAAGTTTGTATTAGAGGCCCAAGTGTTGCTATTGGTTATTATAAAGATGAAGCAAAAACGTAAGATTAAATAGTATCGTTACGATATAATAATGTTATTAACAATCATTTTTTATTTTGTTTATAGAAAACAAGATTATAAAGATGGATGGTTCCACACTGGAGATATTGGTCGTTGGAACGCAAGTGGCTCACTATCTATCATTGATAGAAAGAAAAATATTTTCAAACTTTCACAAGGAGAATATGTTGCAGTTGAAAAGATTGAAAACAACTTGTCAAAGAGTGAGGAGATTGCTCAAATTTGTGTCTATGGTGACAGTCAAAAGTCATGTTTGATTGCCATTGTTCATCCACACCAAAACAAGGCTGAAGATTGGGCCAAGGCTAATGGTGTTTCAACCAGCAGTTTCAAGGATATCTGTCAGAATCCAAAGTACCATCAATCACTTATCGATGATCTCAACGCCGTTGGACGTAAACAAAAATTGTTTGGCTTTGAAATCCCAAAGAAACTCATTATCATCGATGAAGAGTTTAGTGACAAGAACGACATGATGACTCCATCCTTCAAATTAAAAAGACCTCAAATCAAAGATCGTTACTCTCAAGAAATCAAAAATGCCTACCAAGGATTAGAATAGTTAGTTCTAACACCCCCTATTTTCTTTTATCCTTTTTTTCCATCAACCAATAAATTATTATAATTATTATTATAATTGTTGTTTTAAATAATAATAATAGCTGGTTTCTTCTATTTTGGTTCAATAAATCAATTCCAAACATTAATGTTGGATTGATTTTAACAAATAAGGTATTCCTCTGTCTATTTTATTATCTCTTGACCATAAATTTGATTGATTGATGCCAATATAATCCAATCCCAAACATTATTTATATTTTATATATTCCATTGAACCAAAGAAGAAAGAAGAAGAAATACTATTCCAAAAATAATCTGGAACATGAGAATCTTTTGTTTTCCATATTTACAAAGCGTATTCTTGATGAATTTAAGAGTGTTGGGTATAAAATTCTCTTACTTTGTCATAAAATGATCTATTGTGAGTATTGAATTGTTGTTGTTGATGATTGATCATTAAATTTGCCAATTGATGATAATCAATATCTTGAAGACTAATTGGTTTAAAGGTATTGGAAATATAGGTAGATTGTGGCTGTATAGTACGAAGATAGGAAATCATTAAGCCAGGTGTAACGTTGGGTGGATTTGGTTGTGTAAATTTTCTTAATTTGCCAATATCTTCATTATTGTATAAAGTCCTTTCATTCCATAAACTTAGAATCTATATAGATAACAAAGGAAAAGGGTATTAGTTTATCTTTGTGTTTCAACATTGCCAATGTCTCTTTTCTTTTTTTCTCTTTGTCTCTTTTCTCTTTTTTATCATCATTTTTGTTACACTTGTTCTTGATTGCCTGTACTACTATAGTTGTGCCTTTTGACGATAATATTGATTGATTAATCATACATTTTGAATTTTATCTTTTTGATCCAAATCTAACTTGTAATAAATATTTGAAAGAATTGAAGGAAAGACTTGATAGAATCTCTGTAAATACTCTTCGTTGTTTCCATCCATTTTTCTTATCATACTAAGTAGTAGTAGTAGAAAGGAAGGAGTTAGTCAGAATGACCAACAATAGTTGGGTGATTGGTTTGTTCATCATCATCATACCTGAAATGTAATACATCATTAATTAAATACATGAGGGCTATAATCTTTGATACGGGTATATCAAAAAAGCCAGCAGCTCTCTTTCTTATGAGCTCTACAATCAAATGAGCTTTGTGTTGATTATTCAACATCCAATCTTTTGCTTGCCTTATAGAATCCTCTGATTCATCCAAATTGTGAAGTATATCATTCATTTGACTAATTACTACATTATCATCTTGTAGATTGTAAAGGTTATTATTGTTATTGTTATTATTATTATATTGTTGTTGTTGTTGTTGTAGATCTTGCTGTTGATATTGTTGTTGTTGTTGTAGATCTTGTTGATGATATTGTTGTTGATCTTGTTGATGGTATTGTTGTTGTTGCTGCTGCTGCTGCAGATCTTGCTGCGGGTGATATTGTTGTTGGTTATATTGCTGATCTTGTTGATATTGTTGTTGTTGTTGTTGTTGATTATACATTGAATAATCTATATTAGGTTGTTGTTGTTGTTGTTGTTGATATTGTTGTTGGTTATCATATTGCAGATGTTGATTTTGGTTGTCTCGAGACACCTCCATTGTCGTCATCTCCTGAATAAATTAATACTAAATATTGGCGTAGAGAACAAATGCTATATCATGGTTTTTTTTAAAAAATAATTAAATAATATTACTTTATTTGTTTGAACACCACACTCTACCTTAATAGGGAATAGTATATTTGTAATCATGATTTCACGATTTTTAAAATAAATAATGATATCACTTGTGATGTCACTTGAGTTGGAAATATTGATACGATAATCAATATTAATTTATTTACATATTTTTCTTTTCCTGACCTCTTGGCAATCGGTTTAGTATCCCTTGAGAGTATTCATTAAAATTAAAAGATACCTTGTTATTGGTATTATTATTATTATTATTATTATTATTATTATTATTATTATTATTATTATTGGTGTTGGTTGAATGATCCTTTTTTAAATGCATGTAATCCAATGCAGAATGTCTTGCTTTATAAAGTGCTTCAGTTTCCCTTGTTTCCAACAAACTACCGCTTATAGATGATGATGGAAATTCATCTTCACCTTCCTCTCCATTTATTTCCTCTTCCTCATCGTCACTCGAATATTGGTTTCCAAAACCAAATTCTTCTTCGCCATCTTCCTCCTCTTCATCTTGACCATCTTTCTCCACTTCTTCCTCTCCATCTTCCTCTTCTTGTTGTTGATGCTGATATGAATTAGCATATTTAATCTTTTTTAAATATTTAACCATTTCATATTCAGACATTTCACTATAATCCTCTAATCGATAATCTCTCTTTTTAAATCTTTCTTCATTGTTGGATCATCGTTTAGCTGCTTTGTATTATTGTCATTATTTCCAATCTTGTTAAAGAATGATCTAATATCATTTGGTGATTTGGTTGTTATGATCTTCTTTGACGAAGTTGTAGTAGTCTCCGTAGTAGAGGAAGAAGAGATATTATTATTATTATTATCATTGACAAGAGAATATAAACTCTCATCCAATCTATTTAACTTTGAACATGAATCAAGAATCCAATCTGGATGAACATAGTGTAGGTGTACATCCCTATTACCACCACTATTATTTGTAGAAGAAGAAGAAGTAGTATTATTAATACTTTTCCTTTTCTTCTTTTTTTGTCTATTCTTTTTGATTTGTTGTATCTTTGGCATTGAGAGTATTGAAGCAATGACATGAGTACAAGAACTTGAAAAGTAATGGCTATAGCCACCACCATGCATCAATACCAATCTTCGTAGATGAATCAGTGATACAGAGTCTGTGTGACCGTCGAAATAGACCTTTACGCCATCAAAGATGTCTGAGACTCGTTGCTCTGCCTTTGCATATCGATCTTTTGCAGCAGTCTCACTATTGTAGACTCTTTGTTTAAAGAATTGGTTGGTAGACTGTTTGTCAAAGGGCACTGGCACCTCAACGTCTTCCATTCCTATCCTATCCTATCCTATATATTGAGACTGTGACCGTTAAGAATGAACCACAATAAAAAAAAAATTAACACTATAATAACCAAAATTTAAATTTACTGTCACCAAGGTTGATTTCCGATACCAATTCATCTCTTTTGTTGTTGAAAAATAAATTAAAATACTTTAATTTTAGTTTTAAACCAAAGGAGATATTTTATTGATAAACGTCAGAATATATAAAAATAAAGTGTGTGTACTCTTACTTATCATCATCATCTCATCTGAGATAAGTTTAATTGATGAGATAAAGGTTGTGGGTTGGAAAGTTGGACTATATATCTGAATTGAGGGTGATTGGTAAAGTTTTTATCAAAATGGGGGGATGATACCGGTGGTTGTATGTTTGATTGGTCAATAATAGAAAACGAACTTCAATTTTAAGCTAGTTTTCCATTGCTGACGCAGCTGCTCAAATTTTATTTTTTAATTTTTTTTTGACCACACAGCTTGAGCATCACCATCAAAAGTCTGTACTTTTTTTTTTTTAATCTTTGTTATTTTCTTGTTTATATATAAATACATATAATAATTTACAAAATGAGATTAGCACCATTAATCTTTTTGGTATTGTTCTTGGTTGGATTATCCTCCGCTAAGATTTATTTCAGCGAAACCTTTGACAGTAAGTTTAGAAAGAAAGCAAGCAAGATAGGAGATGAGATCATTACCATGGTCAATCTTCAGATCTGCAATCAATCAAATACAAAACAAAAAAAGAATTAGATTACTAATTGTAAACCTCCACCTCTTTCTTTCATTCTTTCTATTATCTTTTTACTTTTACAGAGGAGTGGGAATCAAGATGGGTTGAATCTAGCTTCAAAAAGGAAGAAGGAAAGGCTGGCAAGTTTATCCAAACCGCTGGTAAGTGGTTCGGTGATGCTGAAGATGGTAAGGGTATCCAAACCTCTGAAGACGCCAAGTTCTACGCTCTCTCTGCCAAGTTCCCACAATCATTCTCCAACAAGGACAAGGAATTAGTCGTCCAATTCACCGTCAAGCACGAGCAACGTATCGACTGTGGTGGTGCTTACATCAAGCTCCTCCCAGACACCCTCGACCAAGCCAACTTTGGTGGTGACAGCCCATACTACATTATGTTTGGCCCAGATATCTGCGGTATGTCCAAGAAGACTCACCTCATCTTTAACTACAACGACAAGAACCACCTCATCAAGAAGGAGTTAAAGGTTGAATCCGACCAATTGTCCCATCAATACACCTTGATCTTGAAGCCAGACAACACCTACTCTGTCTTGATCGACAACAAGGAGATCCAATCTGGTTCCCTCGTCGAAGACTGGGACTTCCTTGCCGCCAAGGAAATCAAGGATCCAAAGCAATCCAAGCCAGTTGACTGGGTCGATGTCAAGGAAATCGACGACCCAGAAGATGTCAAGCCAGCCGACTATGACACCATCCCAGCCACCATTGTCGACCCAGAAGCCACCAAGCCAGAAGATTGGGAAGACGAAGACGACGGAGAATGGGAAGCCCCAACCATCGCCAACCCAGAGTTCCAAGGTGCCTGGAAGGCCAAGAAGATCCCCAACCCAGCCTACAAGGGAGAATGGGTCCACCCATTGATTGCCAACCCAGACTACAAGGAAGACAAGAACATCTACTTGTTTGACAAGATTGGAGCTGCTGGTTTTGAAATCTGGCAAGTAAAGGCCGGTACCATCTTTGACAACATCATCGTCACCGACTCTGTCGAAGAGGCCAAGAAGTTCTCTGAAGAGCACTTTGAAAAGAACGTCGAAGGTGAAAAGAAGATGTTTGACGACGAAGAAGCCAAGCGTCAAGAAGAGGAAAAGAAGAAGATCGAAGAAGCCAAGAAGGCTCAACCAGCTGCTGAAGACGCCCAAGAATCTGAAACTGATGCCGAAGAAGAGCCAGTTGTTGTCACCACCAACACCAACGAAGAAAAGAAGGTCAAAAAGGACGTCCATGACGAACTCTAAAAATGACCATTGGAAACAACAATTTTAGTACCCTTTTTAAAATATATATATATGATTCTTAAATAAATTAAAGAAAAAAAATATATATAAAAATATACATGTTATTATAATCTCAAAAACTAAACAAAACAGAGTTATTATTATTATTATTTTGATTGTACATAATTAATTTTATTTGTTTGTATTTGTTAATTAACCCCAAAAATCGTCTTCATCATTGGAATGATTTGGATTGTCCAAGATCATGCCACCTTCAAAATCATCCAATAAATTATATTTACCATTTCCATTGGAACTACTTGGTTTAGGAAGTATCATTGCTGATGGTCTTGATTTACCTCTGAATGATCCAGATGGTGGTAATGGTAAATCATTATTTGACATTAGAGAAGGAGGTGGACTGGTTGGTAATGGTTTCATAAATGATGATGATGAGGATGAGGATGTGGATGACGGTTCAAGTGGTGATAATGGAGGTGGAACATCAGAAGATGATTTTAATGATTTAGGTGTTGGTGGTTTGTTTAAAGGTAATGGTAGTTGGTAAGGTTGTTGTTGTTGTTGTTGTTGTTGTTGTTGTTGTTGTGGTTGTTGTTGTAGTGGTGGAGAAGTAAACATGACAGTTGATCTTGGTTTGGCTGGTAAAGGTGGTGGTTGTTGATTGTAGGATGTTATCAACATTGACATTCGATTTGATATATTTTTGGGTGGTTTACTAAATGGTTCATTTGATGGTGGTGATGGTGGTGAAGTTGGTGATGGCGATGATGATATTGCAGGTGGAGGAATTTGAGATCCAGAGTTGGAAAGTCTCTTTGGTACTACAGGTGTTGTTGGACTATTACTATTATTATTATTACTATTAATATTGTTTGTGGTCATTGGTGTTAATTTTGATGTTGAATTTGACAATCTATTAGTCTTTGTATTATTATTATTATTATTACTTGAAGAAGGAGATGATGGAGAATTAAAATTTAATACAACTGGTTTGTTTGGTAATGATGGTGGAAGTACAGATTGTCTTGATCCAGGTGTATTGTTGGACAAAATAACAGATATTGGTCTAGGTGTTATTGGTGTGGGAGCTTGGGAAACTGGTTGAGGTGGTGATGATGATACTGATATTGATGAGAGTACTGGAATAACAATTTGAATTTCATCATCATTGAATAATAATTTATAATTTTTGATCATAAAGTCGACAGTTCCATTTGAGTTTGATATTGACCCCATATCCAACTTTTGAGGATAGAGTATATTGGGAGCCAAGACAACTGATAGATTACTAGTTGTCATTCTATTTTCCTTTGAACGTTGAGCAATTTTGTAGAGTAGTTTGATGAGTAGTTTAAATATTTGGAGATTAGTGTTGGGGAGTGTCGAGAGAATAGCCTTTAGCTTGACGGCCGTGGCTTGGATATTGGCCGTTTCCTCCTCTTCGGAGGAGCCAGCCTTGTGGTTAAAGATGACACATTGACAAAGCGGAGCAAATAGCTCGTAGGTGAGCAGTGGAGTTGGCAGCTCTCGAAGGAACGACTTTAAAAAGTTGGTGACAATGTGTGGGTCGTCCACCTCGTCAAATGAGTCGAGTGAGCCGTTGTTGGCGGCCGTCTTGAACTCGTTCAACTCTCTTTGGTTGGCCGACACTCTAAATATGCCTTCAACAGCCAACACCTTGTCGTCCATAAGATACTTGATTGCGTGGAGGATGATGGTGGGGATAGCAACACCGTCACGTGTCGCCAACTTTTCCAAACTCATTCCAAACATCTTTTTGGCACTACCCACGCTGAATCGTGCCACGTTGGGTTGCGCGGATCCCGGTACGCATCGAGCGTCCGCTTCATACTGAGCAATACGTTCGGCTGACGGCGAACTGTTGAATAGTATCTCTTCGCCACGCTTCTTTTTCTTCTCCACAACTTGTTGTCTTAGTTTGGCAGTCGACTGTTTTTGTCGCTCCAAGTTGGGCAAGACAGAGTTTATAATGTCCAATGACTTTTGGAAATACTCTTGGTGACCCTTGACATAGTCGTAGATATGGTCGATACTGTCGATTGTATTCTTGTCGATAATATCCTCCAATATGTTGAGCGAGTCAACTGCCACGTCGGAAAACTCTTGCGTAGCAATATGCAAATCATTCTCTGCGTCTTGTAGTCTCTCGGCCGATATATTTGGTTTCTTTCTCATTGCCTTGTAACTCTCTGATGCAGCGTCAAAAGTCACTCTCGATTTATCATATCTCGACTTGACCATTGTCGATTCCTTTAATTCATTCTTCATAAAATCTTGCCATGGATTTATCAATGTATTATTATTTGATATGTCCTAAATCAAAAAAGTTAAGATTAATAATCATATGTGACTATCACAATCAATAATCATATGATACTACATACCAATCTTGAACGAGATACTTCCAATTGATTTAACATATCTCCAATGATGGTAAATGAAGGTCCGAGGATAGTAGAGGATTGCATGAGTGTCTCTGAATCTTGCATCAACACATTACCAAGCTCTGTAAAGTAGTCTGCCATTGAACTATTGTCATTGATGAATTGTTGGTGATCCTTTGATTGTTTTTGTAGTCGAGCTACAATCTCTTTTAAACTTGTCTTGATATCTGTCAATGACTTGTTCTTGATTCTAAAGTCGGGCAACTCTGTCAAAGGATCTCTCTGACCAAACTTTTCTCGCACCGATACCTTTGCTTCAACAATCGCTTTGTTAAACTTTTTCATCCTCTCTCACTCTCTCTCTCTCTCTCTCTTTCCTTTCTAGTAGTTGAATGATGTATATAAATAGATAGAGGATTGAATGAATGATTTTAAAAAAAACTATAATTATATGATGGTTTAAGACACATTGTTTTACAAAGTGATCGAAATCTTGGTATGTCATGATTCGAATAAAAAAAAATCGTTAGCCACTTTGTAAGTTTGGATAACCAAAATCAATATAATGGGGATCATCGATCATTGAGATTATCAAAGTATCAATCAAAACAAAAGGATGATTTGGACTTGATTGACCACTTGTCCAACTTACTAGGGTCTGTAATTGGTTTCTGAACCGTCCCGTTTCCCGAAAATGAAGAGTTTGAAATAAAATAAAAAGGAAGGGTTTCTAAGATCAGATAGATTGCTTGGACTAGATTAGCCACTCGTCCAAGAAGTGGTTTCTTCTTCGAGGTGAAATTTGAATTTAAGGAGTTAAATTTTACTGGAGTCTGTAATGGTTTCTGAACCGTCCCGTTTCCCGAAAATGTATAGGTTTATCCTAATAATATAACTTGTATTTATTAAAAACTTTTACATCCTTATGGGATGATCAATGAAAATTAATATTTGGTTGGACAAGTTTGGAAACAATAAACGAAATCTACTTGAAAAATCGATTTAAATGGATTGGGAATCTTTAAAGAATAGGGTTGGTGATTTTTATTTTTTTATAATATATCTTTTTTTGGACTCTTGGAAAATATACAATTAATTAATTAATTAATTTATTTTAATAAAAATAAATATATATTTATTATTTATTTTTTTTGCTTGGAGTTGATTGATTTTTTATGCTTTAAAAAGTTTATAATAAATACGAAGGAATTCACGAGAGTAGTGATCTGCAATGTAGGTTGGTTCTGGGAGGTTGTGGGTCTTGGTGGTTTGTTCGTAAACTTGGAGAGCAGTGTAAGCATCGATTTTATGACCGGGTGAAATGTACAAACGTTCATTTTCATTGTTGTATGTACAGTAACCTAAGAGTTCGTTGGTTTGGTCACTTTTCATTTGGACTGCTTCTCCTAGAGTTGCATAGTCAAATTGTTCGTCCAAGTACTCTTCGGTGATACCGTGGCATACTAAGAGGTTTTTGGCAACACCCAAAGTTGGACAATCAATGAGAATACCGAGGTGACAGGCCAACCCCATACCTCTCATATGATTGACTCCATTACCGTCAACCACCATAATATCTGGTGTAAATTGTGGATGTGTTCTCTTTAGACTCTGCCACAATGCAACGAGATGATCCACTTCTCTCATGGCAAGGTAACCTGCAATATATGGTTGAGTGAGTTTGATCATCTTGTAAGACTCGTATACAACTTTGAGAGATGGGTATTCCATGACGACAATGGATGCACAAGCATCAATCTTGTTTCCCTTGGCAAACGAGATATCAGAACCTGCCACATACTTTATATTCAATTGTCCATTTGGTAGTTTTTTTACTCTGTTGGTTTTATCCAATTTTGATAATAATTGTATTTGTTCACTAATCAATTAGAAAATAAAAAGTAATAAGTATAAAGGAACACGATTTGATTTGGTTGACTATATATATTTACTTTTTCCAAATGTTTTTTTGATTTATCATTGCTTGACCAAATAGTTCGGTTGGACGTCCATTGTTATCTCTTTCCTTGGTCCAATTTGATAAATCAACTTGTAAAGTACTATCTGGAGCATTGGCTTTAAATACAATACTCTTTCCATTATTATAAATTGTAGTTGTTTCATAATTTTTTGATACAACAGCAGGCGCAACAACAACTGGTTTTGGTTGAGCAGCTGCTGCTGGTTTTGAATTCATAAACATTGATAAGAATGTTGGTGCTTCAGCTGCAACTGGTTTTGGTTCAGCTGCAACTGGTTTTGGATTGGTAAACATTGATAAGAATGTTGGTGCATTATTATTATTATTATTGGTGGTTGTTGTGGTAGTTGATTTATTATTATTATTATTAGTATTATTATTATTTCTTTTATTATTATTATTATTATTATTATTATTCTTTGGAGCAGTTTTAGCAGCAACTTTAGTATTATAATTATTATTGTTATTGTTATTGTTATTATAATTATCATCTAAATCAAGATTCTTTTCAAAATCATGAGTTAATACTGGAATTTCCTTTTCTTCTTCTTCCATTGGCGTTGGAGTTGGGGTTGGAGTAGAGTAAGTAGAAGGGTTGTAGGTGCTACCACCATAGGTAGTAGATCCATAATAGTTTGAATAATCATCATTGTTGGTGAAACCAGATGGTGCGTTATCGTTAAAGTAACTACTATTACTGTTATTGTAACTGTTATCAACGTTATAGGTACGATTGTCATCGTCTGTAAAGGATACATCATACTCTTCCGATTGGTCATCGTTGGAAGGTTGTTGAGCAGAGTATTTGTTGGTTGGATCAATATTGGCATGATGTTGAGCCAAGATATCCTTCTTTCTTGTATCATATTCATATTGAGAGATGTAACATGCAGCCAACAAAGCATCAATCTTTTGTATTTCTTCGTCAACGATACCAGTCATTTTTCTTTTACTTTAATAAATATTAATATTAAATTAGATTAAAGGTTGGGTTGGGTTTAAGTGTGTGTATAGTTAGTTATATATCTTTAGTGATTATTACTATAACTTTGTTTGGTCAGTAGTTGATTGTATAAACAATCGACTCTACTACATTTTTCACAAGGCAAAAGTCTAAATGATAATTTCATGAGAATCATAAAAAAATGAGAATGCTTGAAATCAGATATTATTATGATTCATTGCTGAAAGTTGTTCAGACGAACTACTAGTATCGAGACGAAGAAGATATACAACAACAACAACAAAGTAGTGGATGATAGATTTACAGGTGACGAGGAGTAGTATAAAGAGTATACTCTTTACTATCCTCGTATTACTTATATTGTCATCATCATCTGCGACGACTACGACAGAGAAGAATGATGATCACGAGTTGTTGTTTATGCAATGGGCGAGACACCATAATCGATACTACTCTAATAAAGAGTTTACATATCGATTCAATACATTTATAGATAACTATCAGTTTGTTAGTAGATGGAATGATGGTGCAGACCACTCTTCATCTTCATCGACTATATTGGCAATCAACCAATTTGCAGATCTATCAAACCAAGAATTCAATCATTTATACGAACAACAAAAAATACCATCATCAACATCACTTCAACTAATTGACACTACTACTCTTGACAACGAAAACGACAACGACAACGACAACAATCTTTATACAACTTTACTAACGCAATCTTTCGTATGGGTTGATGGATCTAAAAGATCATTCCAATTTTACTCGTCTGGTGTATACTATGATACATCTTGTTCTAGTAATCCTAAAGATGCACATTTTATCCTATATCTATTGGATGAAAACAATCAACATCAACTACTAAATGAAAATAATGATAATAATAATATTGATAATAAGAATGATAATAATTCAAATTCATCAGCAGAGACTGGGTCATCTCAATTTTCATCATCGCCAACTTCAACTTCTTCTTCAGGCTCCTCTTCTGCATCTTCTTCATCTGCCACTTCATTACCAATTGGTAGTGGAGAGTCTAGTATAACAAGTGGATCTGGATCGTCTTCATCGACATCTAGTTCAAGTGGATCTGGAACTGCAAGTGAAAGTGGGTTCTCTGGAAAGTCGAGTATTGGAACAAGTACATCAACTGGAGGAAACACTGATACATCATCATCAGCATCCTCTTCTGCATCATCAACTGGGTCTTCATCTGGGTATTCAGGATCATCAAGTGGTGTAACTGGAGCCTTTTCAGGAACACTATCATCAACTGGTGGAAATGATGGAAATTCATCTTCAACTTCAACTCCAACAGGTACACCTAGTGGTAGTGGTAGTGGTGCTGGTGCTAGTAGTAGTGGTAGAAATGCTATTGATATTATAATGTATCATAGAACTCCGCTCTCCAAGTCCTCTTCCTCCTCCCCCTCCTCCTCTTCCACATCTTCATTTGTCCAAAATAATGATCAAAACGATAATAACAAATACTGGATATTAAAAGCAAACTTTGTAAATAGAATAACTAAAAATGATGACACCAATGGATGGGGTATCAACAACAACAATATCAATAATAATAATATAGATATCAATAATAATAATAATAATGGTATAATATATTTATCAAAACAAATTAATATTTATAAATAATAAATATTATTTAATTCATTTCATTTATTACCCTTTTTAAATAGAACCAATGCCGCTGCAGCAATACAAGTTAAACATGTAAATGATATTAAAAGAGTTTGACCAAGATGATGATGATTGTTGAAATAGTCTGTTGATTTTTCCATCATTGTTAATTGTCTATAAGTTTGGTTGAATTCAATTTGTGCAATACGATATATTTCCAACGCCGATTCATTGGTAGATATGAATGGAATAACCAAATAATCACCTCGATGAACAATCATTGGTTGATTCCATCTTGCAGTGATATAAAAACTAGATGGAAATGATGAATCTACTTTGATTGCTTTGACTCTACAAAGTGTTGTTGGTATCCATCCTCGATGATTACTAGAATACCGATACTTTTTGCAAAAGATAGAGTCTGGTACAATATAACTTTCGTGTGCCAGTGTGTCACGGTTGGTCACCACCCAATCAGTATCTGATGTAGCCACATTACTAGTCTCTACGCCATCCATTGTCACAGTCACAACGGTTTCATTTAGTATAGCTCTTCTTGCATGCACGACCATTGATTTCTGATACACCACTCCATCCTCTTGAATCTTTTGGTAATAACTATCCAATAGTTGAGATTGTGATTGAGATGATGATGATTGTAATATTATTACTTGATTGTCTACAGCACCGATACCTCCTCCTCCGACTCCTTTAGATGACATGACATGAGATGAAACCCTCTCGAACGAGCAACCACAGCATTCAAAAGAAGAAGATAAAATATCTTCTATCTATTCCCTTTAAAGAATTTATTCTTTCTTTCTTTCTTTCTTTCTTTTGTGCAAAGGGAGAGGGTGTCTTCTTGTGTATCGAACGTTCGAATGCCGAGTGATCGATAAAAATAAATTAAAGAAGTTTGATAAAAATCAAAGTAGCGGGGATTTGTTATGATGTCCCCCTCCTTCTTGATGTCATCAAGCGACGCGCATGTTTCGACCGCCTCCCAAAGCTTCATCCATCTTGAGGTGATCAACATAATAATAATAATAAAAAAAAACAAAAAAAATTCAAAAAAAAAGAAATAAGGAGGAGGAGGGTGTTTGTTGGAAGCTTGTCCCACTTTACTTTTTGCTAGTATTAGTATAACATAACAACTACTACTATTGTAGATAATACAAAACACATAAACCATCCATTCAATTCAATCAATTCAATATAATTAAATTAATTTATTATTTTAGATCTATCTTACTACTGCTGAAGACGAAATAGCAAAGCATAGCAAATATTTCATTCCATTCATTCGTTTCATAGCATTCAAAACAAACAACATCTTTTATAATTTTAGAATCTATCTTTGAGATATTATTACAACCAAAGCAAAGAAGAATAATCATTTTACAACTCAACTCACTCTTTCTTCTTACAAACAAACAAAACAAAATCAAGATATTATCATATATTCAATTAATTCAAGCAATAGGTTCCATTCATTCATTCTATAAATAACAGACACGTATCTTTATCTATTATATATCTTTTTCAACATATTAAGCAATCGTCTATATATATAGTACTCTAAAAGAAACAATTACTTTTACTTTATATATAAAGAATTACCTTTTTTTTCATCTATTATCAATCTATATAAACTATTTATACATACAATATATATATATACATTAAGAAATGCCGGTTAAACAGAGAAAAATATGTGTTATGGGCTTTAGAGCTGTTGGTAAGTTTAAACAAGATAGACCATGTGATGATATTATGATGGATCATCATAGAATCATTGTAATAATATTTTATTTGTAATTAACTCTTTTAATTGAATCCCTTCAAACACACCACAAATATATATTATAATATATAAATATACAGGCAAATCAACTATAACTATACAATATGTAGATAATCATTGTCCTGAAACTTATAATCCAACAATCGAAAATACTTTTCAAAAGGTCATTAAACATAATGGCAACGAATATTCCACAGAAATTATAGATACTGCGGGTCAAGTAGGTTTATCATATGACATATGACATTGATTGAATCATGTGATTTATATACTTACTCATACATATATATTAACAACATTTTATTTATTACCAAAAGGATGAATATTCAATTCTACAGAAACAATATACAATTGGAATTCATGGATATATTTTAGTGTACAGTGTAACTTCAGCATCATCGCTAGAGGTAGTAAAGGTTCTAAACGATAAGATTTTAAATGCCTTGGGTACAGAAAAGATTCCCAGAGTTTTGGTTGGAAATAAGAGAGATTTAGAAAATGAAAGAGTCATAAGCAAAGAAGGTGGTCAAAGTTTAGCCAATGAATGGGAATGTGCTTTTGTAGAGTGTTCAGGGAAGAATAATAGCAATGTTGGTAAGTAATAGACTAAAGATCTTTATTAGTTTAAAAGGGAGGGGAATCCCCCTTTAAACCACCATATATACAACACTGTTGATATTAATATATATGTCCATCTTTCTCAATATCCATCATTATCTCTATCTATAGATGAAGTATTTAAACAGATTTTAGCAGAAATTGATAAAAGTCAACTCCCAGAACAACCTCAAAAAGAGGGATGTATATTGATGTAAAGAAATCCAAACCAATAAACTTTAAACATCCTCCTCCCCTTTTTTTTTAATAATAATAATATGTAGATCTTTTTTCGTGGTATATATCACCATTATTACTATAATTTATTTAATTTAAGTTTTGTCTTCATGAAGAACTCTTTTAGTTTGACGTATTTTCAGCAGATCTTGTTTTCTTTTCTTTTCTTTTCTTTTCTCAGTTTTACAACGAATAATATCATATATATATATATCATACAACTATAGAAAGAAGAAGAAGAAGAATGAGAGCTAGCTAGAAAAGAGAATCAATCATGATGAATCAACCAAAGAGAAAATATGATACAACTCAACAAGTTATAAACTTGGATGACGACGATGATGATAACAAAGAGTCGATTAATGATAGTGTCAAGCAAGACAGTAATCCCAATCCACCACTTCTTCTTCTTCATACCACCAATAATGTAGAAAAGAGGATGCATTTCAATGTCGATGATGATGATGATGATGACGATAATGAATCAGAACACCAAGGTAACCATAATAATAATGTAAATAAGAATAATAATAATAATCAAACGAAACAAACACAATTAGATGATTGTCATCAACCTCTCAAAAGAGTAAAGTTGGAAACCATAGAAAAACCGCTTGTAAATAATAATAATAATAATAATAATAATGTAAACCAAACCGATCAAACATCAACAACGTCTACATCAACAACATCAACAACATCAACAACATCAACGCCATCAACAACATCAACAAAATCAACGTCACCAACCAAGTCTTCTTCTCTGTTTAAATCGCCACCACTTTTTCCTCCTCTTTTTAAATCACCAAATGTAATCATATCAATCGATTTGGATGATGTTCCAACAACAACATCAATATCACCTTCACCAATATCACCTCCATTGATATCACCAAGAGACGAACAAGAAATCATTATTTTAGATGACTATGACTTCGAAACGAGTTTAAACGATGTTATCGATGTTGAACAGATGATCATTGAAGAGGAAATCCAAAGACAAAAGAGTATCATCGATGCGGATCTTCAAAAAGATAACTCTTTTTCAGAAAGAGATATCGAGGTATGGAAAGGGCTCTTGTACAAAATGATCAAAAAAACCCCTTCATTTAAACGATTGACACATTTATTGGTGGCCTGTCAAAATGCAACTGATATCTATATCAAGAGACGTCATCTTTCCATTTGTTTGTTACGAATGTCATTTATTCGCATGAGACTTCAACGTGTATTTTTGTCAATACCCAAGGTACTGACTATACTGGTTGAAAAGGAAAAGATCAACTTTCGAGTCAATGAAAACCCCATCACCGATCCTATCCAAAGAACAAATAAAAATGTTGGAAAGGTAAATACATATTGGTAGTTTAAATATTAAATATTTGCACAGACGATGACTAACTTGTTCAAATTATAGGATGTTGAAGAATTTATTATTCGAATCATTTCATCTAGTCAACAATTAAAATGTGATTCAATTATTTTATCTGGATATTTGGATGCACCTTTAGATCATGATATCTTTAACAAAATTAACAACAGCAACAACCTCAACAATGGAATTAATAATACCAATAACAACAATAATACTGATAACAATAGGGACAACAATACTAATAAGAGCAACAACAACAATAGTAGTAATAATATTAATAAGAACAATAATAATAATAATAGTAATACCAAAGTTATTAAAACTGCACCTCATCCTTCAAAGTCTCCTGCTAATAATAAGGAAACAAGAACGAGCCAGAATGAAGAGATTAGTAAAAAGTAAAAACAAATTGCTGGCAAAGCAATCAAGCATTAAAACAAAGGGTCGTTTGGATAAAGATAAAAGGCAGACCCTGCGTCAAATGGACACGAGATTGCACGAATTGGAAACAGAGATATCACAAATTAAAAAAAGATTCCAAGAGAACAGAGCAACTTCCAAAATCAACCAACCTTCCAAGAAGAGTGGAGAAAAAGTAATTTTTTGTTTGGACGATGACAGTGACGAATATAATGATGATAAAGATGAAAAAAGTGATCAAGACACAAACTGTTATGTAATCAGCGATCTCAGTGACTCTGACTCTGATACAGATAGCGATTCTGAGAAAGAAATTGACAGTGACAATCCTAATCAAACGTATGAACCTCACATGTCAAAAATTGGTTCCAAAGATTTTACTCTTCCCCTTCCTACACCTCCTTCTCAGTTTCTCCTTCCTCCCCCAACCCACCTTATCCTTCCACCACCTCTTCCTTCTCGCCCACCTCAAGATCCTCCACATCCTCAGGATCCTTTACATCCTCCCACACCTATATCAGAACCCAATCCATTAAAGTATCAAGAGAGAACAGGAAAGGAATTCATATTTGATATTGAAGAAATGATAACGGTGGAATTTGACCGTATTATACAACTCCGAAATATCTTACCATATATCGAAAAAAGAAACTATTTGATCGTACCCAACGATCCATCATTCCCCACAGTTGATTTTTTCATTTGGAAGTGCAAGGAAAAGATATTATACGCCTGCCAGGTTACAACTGGAATCATTCACAGCAACAAGTTTAGCACTTCACCAATCAAGGCAATGATGGAAAGGTTATTCAAGCCAGTGGCACACGAATTTGTTTGGTTTGCCACCTCAAAACTTCACATCAATCATACAATGAATAACCATTATTTTATTGATATTGATAAAACATTTCTTTAAGTAGAAATGATATCACACAAATAAAAACAAATAAATAATGTTTATATCTATGGAAAAGATTTACACCAAGAAATTAACAATCTCTCATGAAAATTATAAAGAGTGGATAATATTCTTTGATTTATTTTATTTGTTTGAAAAAAGTAGAAAGATACATATAATATTTAATTTTTTTTTTTTGTACCATGGTGGGTAGGTTGAATAAACTACAAATAAATCAAAATTGATTGAATAATGTTTACAGTTTATTTGTTGATATATCGTATGTGGATCATTGTACTTTTAATGTACCTACCAACCAACCTACTCTATCGTTTACATAAACAAGATCTGTTGTAGAAAAATATTTGGATGTACGGGATGGATGGATTTGAAATCGGAATGTGTGTGATAAATCTTGAATGGTGATACATGTATCATCATATGGCACTATCTGTGTGGGTGTTTTCAAAACACTAATACTATTTTAAGTTTTCCGTAAAACATATAACCTTTTTTGTATTGATGACAACTCACATGTCGCAGTGTAGTAAATACCAACAGTTGTTGTAATAGTTATAATATAATATAGTTCGGAGAGAGTTGAGAATAAAGGTTATAATATATCTCCGAGAACCAGGATCAATTATCCTATCTTATCCTATCCAATCCAATCCAAAACCTATAAAGCCGACTTGGCCTGGCATTCAAATGAATATCCCAGAGTACACTTGTTTGTTTTTTTTTGGTATTGAATACCAATCCCTCTGTTTTAATTGGTTCAAAATCGAATCTTGGTTTTACCATTATTATAATAATCTAAATAATCCTTTTTCCATTTAAATATATATAACCTATTATAAATAATTAAAAGATGAATTTTAACAAGACTAGTCTTGGCTCAACTATATTAGTATTTTTGTTGTTTGTTGTATTTTCACCAATAATATTTACAAATGGATCCATTGAAATATCTGTAAACAACAAAGATATTCCATCAACTTTGGTGAACCCACCAAACTTTACACCAACAACACCACCACAATTTGTTAAAACCAAAAGACAGTGCAACTTTAGGTTAAAGATTGATATTCCTGATTTGTACAGTCCCAACTTTACCGAGAGAGCCTTGGCCGACTCACATTTTAGAAATGTAACTTGGGAGGATCCCCGTCTCTCAGAGTGGAGTTGTGTGGATGGACGCGCATCGACTGGTAGCCAAGTAGGAACACCCGGAGGAGACAGTGGAGAGTTTTTACTCAACCTCGCTGTTGCCTCGTCTATCTTTCCAGGCCGAATCACCAAGTACAATGTAGAAGATTTGTTGCTGGGATTCCTAGAGACAGAAACAGCACCACTGTACATGCATACTGATTCTGAAGCCGACCAAAACCTACTAGATGGATTGATGCGCAAGTACCCCGACTCTGGATACACCCAATCCAACTTTAACCTGTCTAGTCCAACACTCAGACAACAAAGTGAAATCCTATCGCTCATCACCAACATTTCCAATGTAGGGTGTGGTCACATTCGTTTGATGTTGCAGTACCCAGACATATTCGAAATGCCAATTGAACTGACACAAGCCTATATCCAAGCATTCTTCAAGACAGAGTGGAGCCATTACAATAGCAATCGTACCGAGATCCGTCGACGTCACCATCCTCACAACTATGTTATTCTCCAAGGTCACCATGAAGAAAGAGCAATACTAGTTCTAAAGATTAACCGTGATAGAGTGAGCAAGAGCGACTCATGCTACAAACTAGCACCCAAAATCATTCCAAAGGTAGCAGACAGTTCCATCTTTCTTTCCAATAGTGACGACATTGCCAAAGGTGTACGTAAAAGAATAGCAGAGTACTTGTTGATCAGATTTAGAGCATCCTATCATCAAATACAAGAATACTTTGCCAAACTATCCAATCTAGCAGACAAACAAGGTGCATTTACATTTTCAATCATTGGTCCAACGTTGCCTAGATTTACTTGTTCTATTGATCTATTACCTTCTTCAAACGTTTGATCATCAAAATCAAAAATAAATAACTAATTTTAATAAAATATTTTTTCTCATTGCCTCAGTGGTCGACGAACCAAGAGATTATTGAGTTATTACTAATAACATCAAGATTTATTTATTGTAATAATCTGTACAACTAAAACAATAAATCAGACTATCACATGTTGATTAATTAATTTAGGATACCTATCTAACATCATCCTTGAAGATAGGTCTGCTTGCTACCCATCTAGGTATTTAAAATGAAAGAGTAAGTCAACATTCAAATTCCTATATTTAAATGCGTAGACATACGAATTTATATAAAACCAACCACTAAAGAGTAAGTCAACCCCACCACCCCCAAACAACCAAACATTGGCCAATGTAGTGATAGATATTTTATTATAAATCTGTTGTGTGGAAAATATTTCATATCTTTATCCGTTCATTCTACAAAGAGTTTGATATTTATTAGAATCTACAGTACATCTCTTCAATCTGTCTGTATATCTGTCTTTTATAAACATATAAATAGATGTTTGGTCTGATACCCAGGATTATAATCCAAATCATATATATTAATATTAATATATATTTATTTATTTATTAAAGATGAAATTATCTTTTACTATTGTTGGCATTTTAGTATTTTTTATAGTTAAACTATCATCATCATCTTTTCAATTTATATATTCTATGGAACAGGGTGAAAATAATTGTCATGGAAATCAGTTACTATCAATTGGTCATCATATAGAATCGATGGACACTGCTATTATCCACACCGCCCAATGTTCATTCAAATTGACCGTTGAAATCCCTCCACAATTTAAATCCAACTTTACCATTGAACAATTGGCCAAACACTTTGAAAAAACTAAATGGGTGGATCCTGCAAGTGCAGAATGGAGTTGTGTTGATGGAAGATCAGGTGAAGGGGAATTGGGTACACCAGGTGGAGATTCTGGAGAGTTCTTACTTGCATTGGCAGTGATGAATTCCATTCTTCCAAATAAAATCAAACCAAGTCATGTCGAAGAGCTCCTCACTAAATTCCTCGACAATGAAGATGTTTCCCTCTATCTCCATACAGATGACCATGCCGAGGCAAGATTAATACATGTTCTGCAACAAAAGTTCCCCAACTCTCACTACAATGAAAACTTTAACCTTGAAAAACCAACTGCCAATCAACAAAATGAAATTCTATCCATTTTATTTAATTCTTCTTATGTTGGTTGTGGTCATATTCGTTTAATGATTCAAGTATGTAAAAAATTAAAAAAAAAAATATTTTCTATTTTTATTAATTTGATTTGGTTTGCTTAGAATCCAGAGATTTATGAAACTCCAATTGGATTTACTGAAGCATTTATTAAAGCTTTCTTTACTACAGAGTGGAGTGAAAAATCACACAAGACAGAGTTTAGAAGACATGACTTTGTTATTCTGGAGGGAGATCATGCTGAAAAGGCAATCTTGTCACTCAAAGTAAAGAGAGACAAGATTCCAAAGACAAATATGTGTTATACAAGTGCCCCTTATGTTCAACCAAAAGTTGGTACTGATTCATTTTTCCTTTTGCATGGTGAAGCTGAAATCAATCAAGGTGTTAGAAAGAGAATTGCAGAATTCATATTCCGTCAATTCAATCTCACATCTGACCTAAAGTCAAAGTATTTTGCAAAGTTATCTTCACTGGCAAAGAAACAAGGAGCATATACATTCTCTATACTAGCACCAAAACTTCCAACCATTAAATGTAATATGGAAATGGTTACTCTTCCAAAGACTATTGAAATTAAATTAAATTAATAATTAAATCTAAACTAGGTATTGATGTATCGAAGTTTTTAATAAATCAAATCATTAAAAAAAATAGTAAAAAAATATATAATTATATGATTGTGTGTAATGAATGAGTGGTGAAAATCAATCTTTTAAAACTATTTTAGAATTATCCATATTTCTTTCAATATTTCAAGATAATCTAAATAAAAAAAAACAATATCTTTTTAAACCTAAACTCTAACAATGAATGAATCAATAAAAAAAATAACAAACAGTAGTTACATCTATTTTTTTAAATACAAATAATTTTATTTGTACACACTCTCTCTCAAAACTATTCACTCAAAGAATTGATCAATGGAAATTGTACTTGATATGCCTTATTTTGTTATTATACTCATATTTATTATAGGTAGGAAAAAAAATAAATATATAGATATAATTAATCCATCCATCTTCTATCCCTTCTAATTTTTTTTTCTTTTATTCATAGAATTAATATCTAAAATTGGGTATTCATAAATGAACGAATAAAATATTATTATTTATTTATTTATTTATTTATTAAACAACTAAAACCTATATGTGATAATATATAAATTATATTTAACTACTTGGTGTTACAATATTTTGTTGTTGCTGTTGTTGTTGTAGTATGGTAGCAGCATGTTCTTGTTGTTGTTTTAATAAGATTAGATAATCATCATAATTTAAAAACTTTTTAATCACTTGTTCTAGATCCTTTTGTTTGAGTGGTTTACAAAAGTAATCGTCACAGCCAGCACGAAGACATGCTTCACGTTGTCCACCCATAGCATTTGCAGTCATGGCAACGATGGGGGTATGTTTGATCGATCCCTCTAGTTGACGGATACGATTAGTAGCTTCGTAGCCGTCCATCACTGGCATTTGTATGTCCATGAGGATGAGATCATAGTTGCCATTTGATGCCTTTTCTACACCCTCCACACCGTTAATGGCAGAGTCTGGATTAGTGATTCCAATTTTTTCCAACATTTTAAAAAGGATGATTGCATTTAGTTCATTGTCTTCAATGACTAAAACATTGGGTGCTCTCTTTTTGACGAGGATTGGGAGTTGGATAGTTGGAGACGATGCACCATTGACAAGTGGTGCATTATTAAGTAGATGGTGTTGTGGAGGTTGTTTGATGATTGGTGAAATAGGAGGTGACTTGTTTAGATCCAAAAATGACAATGCTTCCTTTTCCCTGGATCGTAGTGGAGGTGGAGCAAATTGATGACAATTGTTGTCATCAGTTACAATGACCCCTAGTTTGGGACTACTAACCGAACGTTTAATGGTGGGTGAGTTGACCAATTGGCCAATAGGTGAATGGGAACGATTAAAGGAATGATGATGATGTTGGTTGCCGCTGCCGAGATGTTGGTGTATGTTTTGTTGCGAGTAGCTTCGTCCAATAGTTTGTTCGCGTGTTAGGTCTGCCAGTGTTTTGAGAAGGGCATCTCTCTTGATGGGACGGTTGACAAGCAATATTCCACACTCTTGTAGCATCGATTTAGAAGATGTCAATGCCAACTGCGTAATGACAACAAAGTCAACTTTAATATCGAGGTTGTTGGATGCCGACCGCTCCTTTATCAAATTGATATTATCGATTAGATTCATAACATGATCCTCGTTATAGTTCAGTGGCAGTCCAATAATAATGATATTATTGTTTTTGGCAAGTAGGAAATCATCAGACGACGAGAGGTAGAGCGACAGATTGATATTTGAAAAGGTGGAGCTATTGATTTGCTTGATGCCAAACGATGAAATGGCCTCTTCAATCTGACCGCGGATAGTCTTGTTGTCCTCGAGTATAATGATATTGGTATTGTCTCTAAAGAGACTCAGTTCGCCCGATGGTTTGATATGCTCTGAGGGGGGCTTGGCCATCTCGAGTGAAAAGTGGAATATACTGCCTTCACCAATCTTGCTATTGATACCAATCTCTCCATTCATCAATTCAATCAATTGTTTGCAGATACTCAAACCCAAACCACTACCATCGTATGCTCTATTGACACCTGAATCAATCTGTGAAAATCTTTGAAACAATTTATCAAAGTCTCTTTGTTTGATACCAATACCACTATCTCTTACTTCTATAAATATACTATATGATTTGATTTGAGTTGTAGTACTATTGTTGTTGTTGGCAGATCCCAAATAGGGAGAATTGGAATTGGAATTGGAATTGGAATTGGATGAATCTTGATTTACTGATAAAAGGTTAAAAGTGGTGGTTGGTGGAACTTCTGTTGACAATTGCTGTTGTTGTTGATGTTGTTGTTGTTGATGTATTTGTTGTAATTGTTTTTGTTGTGATCGTAGAGTTGGAGTAAGTGACTTTTCATTTAGATTGATTTTGGTCGTATCGATCGTGTTGGGTGTAATGTTGACCTTGACAAACACCTCACCCTTGGAAGTGAATTTAATGGCGTTGGACAACAGATTGACGAGTACTTGGCGAAGAAGGTTCTTGTCGCCAATGACCGGCACTTCACTGGTACATGGGTAGCAGTACATACCAACCATCAAACCCTTTTGGTGTGCATTGTTGGCAATGGCTCCAATATTCTCTTCGAGGAATGATACTAGGTTAAAAGATGTGTAGTTTAGGACAGTCTTTCCTTGCTCAACCTTTGATAGATCCAAAATATTATTCACCATAAACAAGAGTGACTCGGACGATTGTTGGCTAATACTCAGCAACTCCTTTTGATCAGATGATAGGGGGAATGTTTGGAGTAGCTCGAGCGAGCCAATGATATGGTTGAGTGGGGTACGCATCTCGTGCGACATGTTGGAGATAAAGTCGCTCTTTGCCTTGTTGGCACGCTCAGCTTCTTCCTTGGCAAGGAAGGCTTGGTTGGCCAAATGATTAGTTTGCAAAAACAAGCGTGCGTTTTGAAAAGACACGGCAATCTGCGTAGACAAGAGGTTGAGTACTTCCATACGACCGCTTGTAAATGCACCGGTGGTAAAGTTGTTCTCGAGGTAGAGAATTGATACCAATTTACCTTGATGCACAATAGGGAGGACTAGGACGGATTTGGGACGCTGGAACTTGACATAGGGATCGTCGGAAAAGGTTTTATCGTCGGCTGCGTTGGATATCAATAGTGGAGACTGTGTGCGTTGTACATAGTTGATCATTGAAGAGCAGAGATTCCAGTTACCATCGTCTCTGATTGCTTTGTTAAACTCTTCCATTTGTTGTTGTGATTGTGAGAGTGAGAGTGGCTGCTGAGTTGATGAAGAGGACGATGAAGATGAATGTTGTTGGTATTGGTTGGGTGGTTGGATATTGAGGAAACTAAAGCTCTTTAGGACGGGTGAGAGGATGTTGGGACTGGCTTCGAGTGGTTCTAGGTCCTTGTCGGCGACAGTGCCTCGGTTAATGTACACCTCGACGTTGACCTTGTCGCCCGTGACACATGCTGATGCAGCTACATTCATGTCTCCAAACAGACCGGGGTTGGCATGGTCGTTGGGGAATAGCTCGGAACTGACGTCGTCGAGTAGTAACAGGTATCCTCTGCTCGCGCCGGCGTTTCGAATGACCACCTTCATCAAACGTTTGAGGAGACGGTCATAGTAGATTTCTTCGGCGAGAGAGTGTGACACGGTAATGACCGAGCACAGGTCAAATGCATCTACTTGCGGGTACTGGACACTCTGCTTGCTGCTTTGCTGCAGGTTGTTGATGGACTGGATCGATCCAGTTGTTTGTTGAAGGGAGGACTGTCCTCCCTTGTCCGAGTGGTGCGCAAGGCCGGCTTGCGCATCATGTGATTTGCGTCGGATAGACAGACGCGGCTCGACATGCTGGTGTGTGGAGGAGGGTGCGACATCCACCGCGTATCGCGTGTGTCCCATGCCGACCGACAGCGAGTTGGGTGTTCTGCTCGAGATGGGGTTAAAGATGTGCGGGTACTCCATCTCGAGCTGGGCAGCCTTGGCAGTCGCACCCCACATACTATAACACAACTGTGCCTCGAGCAGGTAGGCACGAGCAACGGCATACTTGGTCAACTTGACATACATACGCGCAGCCATCTCGTTGGCAAGTGCTTCATACTGCACATACTTGTTGAGCTGTGCCTCGGAAATAGCCTCACTAAACAGTTCCATCGCTTCGATGTACTTGCCGTGCACATGACACAACTCGGCCTGCACGAGCAAGACCATGACGTAAAAGTTCTGCTTACTATTGCTCGCGTAGATGATAAGACGCGCGACACAGTGTTCGACCATCTCCAGACGCTCCTTTTGCTCGGTATCGTCGATCACGCCAACCGTGAGATCCGCATCGCCGTCGTTGATGGTGCGGTTGCGCTCATCAAACAACTTGAGTATGGTCAGTGACTTGTACATGTAGTATATGCTCATCGGAGAGTGTCCAAAGATACCCGGGATAAACTGCTCTGTCTTGAGTGCCGACTGCCACGCCTTGTCGTATCGACCGAGCATATAACAGTGCTGCATCTTAAAGACATAGTGGAATGCCTTGGGACAGTCAATCTCGATCATCTCGAGGTCTGCTTCAAACCCATACTCGTCCCACTCTCTCCGCGCAATATCGTCGTCGGGCAGTTCCTTGGGACCGATCAATTCAACGACAAACTGTTGGTGCGACTGCAGGATACGCAGCATTGGGATAAAGTTGTACTGTTCCACAAATGCTATATGCTTTTTCGAGCAGTTAAAAACGTCGACCAGCGGAACACCAGCCAACAAGTTGGCAAAGACAAGATGCACACTCGAGTAGCACGCGTATCCCATGTCTCCCGACTCGACCGATTCAAGGAACGACAGCTTGATCAGCGCTGCATTGGTCGACATGTGCTCGCGCCAATGATTGATAAAGTTGCCAAACAACAGTGTCACCTTGCCCTTGGTGCTCGGCTCATTGTGCATCTCTTTGAGTTCCATCGCCAGCTTTCCACACTCGTACCCGGCAGAAAAGTCGTCAAACGTGCCGATACACACCACGGGTGCAAACATGACCAGTCCAACCGACGACCACGGGGTGCACCCGTATGTGATGGATATCTCGGCCAGCTTGATCAACAACGCGCTCAGCAACTTGATATTGGTGAAAAAGAGCGGTGCAATCATGATGCCCATCACCTTGGAGCACACGCGAATACTGTCTGATGCTTGCGGGTTGTTGAGCAGCTCGAGGAACGACCGTTCACCCAGCTGATCCTTGATGTTCTGGTACTCCTTGCGCAAGTCGTCTTCGGACGGATTCCGCAGGATGTGAATACCCATGTCTGCCAGATACGTGATACCGTGCTGCGCGCAGTCGCTGAACCGCGACAACAAAGTGTACTGCTGGATCTTGAGGGCAATCGCTTCACCCCGATCCTCGAGTGTCTTGGACCGCTCAATCACAATCTCGAGCAACCTTTCCGACTCGTTGATATTGCCGCACATGAAATCACACTCGCTCTTTTCGATAAAGATATTGTACGTCGTTTGATAATTCTCTTCCCAAGCGTCGGGAAGGAACAACGTAGCCAATGCACACTCCAAATAGCTGTTGGCGATAGCATACGCTGCCGACGCCTTTGCCTTCTTGCCAGCAATATAGTTTAGGTTGCCGAGGATCAATCTCTCGTCTCGTGTCGTCACCAAGTCCATTCCTACATTGTATTGGTTGACAATGTCAAAGATGGTCGATTGATCCTTATCGATACATCCACCAGCATTGGCATACAACGATCTCCCAATATTCAAATGAATCTCTGGTTTCTCTTTACCCTGCAGTACCAATGAATAAGCAGCCTGTTGTACACGGTCATGCACAAACCGATATTTCCTGTCATCTATATTCAATATCAAATCCTGTGCAATGATCGGTGTCAACAATCGTAATATCTCCTCTGTCGTACACTCTGCAACCACTGACAACATATCCAAATCAAATATATTACCAATACAACTTGCCAATTGCATTACTCTTTGTGATTCTATTGATAATTGTTGTAAGTTACTATTTAAAAATATAGAAAACAAAGGGTCAATAAATATACTCTCTATTTCTATTTCTTCTACTTTTTCTTTGTCATACTAATATTTTTAGTTTACATACCTAACCATAAATTCAACAACATTATCAGTATATTGACGAGTTTGAATATTTGTAATATCCCATTTCCAACTATCACAATTGACATCGAAAAAGACTAGATTCTCGTTGAATAGAGTTTTGAGGAATTGAATGGTAAAGAATGGGTTACCATGTGTTTTTGACAAAACAACCTCTGACAGTACATAGGTTTCATTTGGATGTTTGTGTAGTGACGATGCAACTAGATAATTGACATCCATCAAATCCAATGGTTTCAAACTGATTCGTGTCACTGGAATCGATATTTCCTCGCACAGTGATAACCAATGTTGTTTGTTGGTGTTGGTAAATGCTGTATTATCCTCTCGATATGCACCAATAATGAGTAAATGTCGTAGATTATTATTGTTTTCTAGTATGAGTTTGATGAGACGACATGATCCTTCATCGGCACGTTGTAAATCGTCGAGGAACAAAACGAGTGGGTGTCCTTCCTCTGAAAAGACACGTAAAAAGTCTTTGAATGCTAAATCGAAACGATTCTGACTCTCGGATGGTGGTAATGCTGGTACTGGTGGATACTGTCCAACAATCAATTCGAGCAATGGTATAACATTGACAATGACACCTACATTGGGACCCAAAGATCGATGTAATTTCTCCTTGTAAAATGCCAATTCCACTGGACTGAGTACTAGAATCATATGCATCAATTCGTTCAATGCTTCGATAATTGCACTATATGGCACACCTCTATTATACAAATCAAACTTGCCAGCTATAAATCTTGGTCCCGAAGGTGCCTTTTTCTTGGCAGCATTAATCAAAGATGTCTTTCCAACTCCACTACCACCCGATACAAATATAAATTCCTTATTACCTTTACAAACTCTATTAACTGATTGATACTAAATAAATAAATATAAATATAAATATAAAATATAATTAAATAAATACAATAAAATAAATAAATCTATATTGTTTTCTATACTTACAATGGCATTTAATTCATTCTTTCTTGAATATAATTCAGTTGGAATATGAGGACGATGTAATACATCATAAATACCCAATTCAAAACCATCGGTTGTACAATTTGAACTAATTTGTGATTTACATATTTCTAAATCTCTTCTTAGACCATATGCACTATTATATCTTTCATCTGGTGATTTCTTTAATAATTTATCTATTATTTTTGATAATACTATAAAGTAAAAAAAGTTGATTAATAATGAGAATATATATATAAATATTATTAATTATATTATTTTATATTTTTTACATACTTGGAGGTACATTATAATTTAAATCAGAAACAAAAGGAGCCTTTTTTGCCAAATGAGCATGAATTAATTCAGATAGATCATTTGTTTGGAATGGTAATCTATTGGTTAATAATTCATAAAATGTAACACCGAGTGAATAGAGATCGGATCGATAGTCGACCGTATGTTGAGTACGACCAGTTTCTTCGGGTGATGAATAATAATAAGATGTACTATTATAACGTCCAATCTCTGGAAATGTCTTTAGATAGAGTAATGAATTATCAATCGTTTGACCATTGGAAAGTTTAATGACCGAGAATTGAAAATTGGCCAACTTTACAATACCATTGCTAATATAAATATTCGATGGTCTAATATCACGATGTATACATCCTCTTAGATGAATTTCTTCTAATATTTTTGCCACTACAAATAAATAAATAAATAATATTGTTAATATTGTTAATTATAAATTTAGTTAGTGGTTTATGTTTGTTTGTTTGTACATACATTGAATAGAAATATTGATAAAGGTCATTAAATCCATATCTTGAAATTTGATGGCAGTGGTTGATGTGATGATAGGTGATGATGATTGAGGGGTTGGTAGTTTATTCGATTGTGATGCGGGTGATAAAGAGGATGATTGGGTACTGGCAGTGTCCCCAGAATTTGGTGTTGATCTTGTTTGTGAATTGTTTAGACTGGATTCTCTAGACTCACTTGATTGTTGTGATGAACTAGATGATGTTGTTGTGGTGTTGTTTGTAGATGTTGATGTTGATGTTGATCTATTTCCTTGTAATGATGTTGGAGTTGGTGGACCCATAGATGAAAAGACAGATGTGAGTGGTTTGAATCCACTATCCTCTAGGACAAATGCAAATATCGATCCTACTTCAGTTTGTGCACGCAATACTTTAATGACACCATCTATATTGTTGAGTATGGAGAGAATGGCAAATTCTCTTTGAAACAATGACATTAGATCCATTGAAGGGTACTTGGTATTGATTATTTTAAGGAGTACTTTTTGGTTGGAGAATAATATCTCTGCATGTCGACTGGCCGATGATGGTGTACCACTATTGGCCGATGCTCCAGTATAAGTGATTGGTGGGACTGATAATCCACTCAGTGACGACGATGATGACGATGAACCACCAGATGATACACCATCATAATTTACATTCTCCAATGAAAAATGTTTGGCCAAGTGTGGAGTTTGTGGAGCACCAACTGTAACAGGTTGAGTTTGTGATGACGACGATGATGTTGATTGTTTCGAACTAGTCGTAGTTGAAGTAGTCGAAGTCGTATTAGATGATACAATAGCAGGTGTTGGTTGTAACAATGCTGATGGTGGTGTTGGTATTGATGAAGCAGATGATGCTCCTTTGATATGAGTTTTAATGTATCCATTGTTATTGTTGTTATTATTGATATCAGTTCTTGGACTAACTAGATTAATACTAGTAGCTGAGAGTAGAGTGCTCGTAGTGCTACTAGTACTAGTTGTCGAAACAGTTGGATTGTTTGTTAAAGAGGTAGATTGATCTTGGTCTTTATCCTTATCCTTTTCTTTATCCTTGATTTTGGGAAACTGCTGTTGTTGCTTTAATATTAAAGGTGAGGATGACTGATCCAACTTGAATACATTATTGTTATTGTTATTGTTATTTGTCGTGTTGATACCATTGATAACATTATTATTATTCTTTAATACTAGTTGTTGGTTGATATTATTATTATTATTATTATTGCTTATACTATTGATATTGCTACTGAGACTAATACTATTGTTATTATTGTTGTTGTTATTGTTGTTGTTGCTATTACCATTGCTATGTGAATTAGATGAAGCTGAAGAAGCAGATGAAGCAGATGAAGTCGAAGAAACATAGTTTGGTTGATGTGGTAGTTGTGCATTTGGCTGATTCCACTGATTCAAAAATAAATTATTGTGCGAAAAATAGGTAGCTGTAAAGATGGAGAATATCTTTTCCTCTTGTATCTTTTCACCGATATAAAAGTCTTGTAACCAACTTGCTGAACTCATATTCATTTTTTGTTATATTTTTCTTTGTTTGTTAAATTAAAATCAAAATAAACTTTTTAAAATAGTAGTTGGTTGGATGGATGGAAAATTGATTTTGGATGTTTGGAAAATACTAATAATAATATTATTATGATTATTATTACTAGTTTGTTGAGTGATGATTGGTCTTATGCCTAATTTTGTTGATCTATGTTTAGTTTGATGAATGAACAACTATAAATAAATAATAAACAAATATTAATTAATATTAATATTATTGTTGAAACAAAAGGTTGAAATTCCTCTCCCAAGAATAGAGACTTGTCGAGTTGATATATACTGCTGCTGCTGCTGCTGTTGTGTTTTGATCCTATCCACAAGAGTCGGTTTGGTTAGGGTTTAAATTGTAACTGACAGTCAGTCTCTATAGACTAGTCAAGAGGAGATAAGATGAAAAGGAAGGAATTTTATGATTCGTAACAAAAACCACCGTCCCTCCAAACCTAGTAATTACTTTTTAGAGTTGTCTTTTGTTGATATCAACAACAACAACAACAATAACAGAAAAATTGAAAAAATGAAATTACAATCTTTCGCCAATAATATTACTCTCTTCTCTGTTTGGCTAATTTAAAATCTGATGATCCGTTAATTTTAAATTATTATTCTATTTATTCTAAATTATTATTATTATTACTGTTTGACTGACTGACTGAATTGTATTGTAAAAATAAATAAATAATAATAATAATTATTTCTTTGTTGAATGAGAATAAAAAAATTAAAAATAATAATAATCTAGATTTAACAATAAAACAACAAATGGATTGGTTTTATTGCTAGATAGATTGCTAGATAGAAAGATAGATAGATAGATAGATTATTGTCGACAACGTTGTTTGTTGTTTTATCATTTAAATGACTATAAGTCAAATTGTAATGTAATGTCCCCGTTCAGTTGGAGTTCCTTCTCTTTTTTTTTTTTATCTCTCTCTCTATTCTGTTTTCTCTTTGTGTTGTCACCTATTTTTGATGAAACACACTTCTCTCTCTCTCTCTCTTTCTCTCTTTCTTTCCATTGATTTACTTTATTCATCCATTTATATGGTTCATGATGATCTATGTGTAATTTAGCACAGTCCCCTCCCTACCTCTACTCTTGATCAACAGTAGAGTATTAAATGATTTACCATCCATCCTATTCTATTTCACCCCCCACCAAACACTGAGAGAGTAGAATGGAAATTCGATTTATATTTTCAACTAGCTATTATTGGAGCGTAAAGACATATAAAAAAAAGAGCAATCCAATTTGGTCAATAATGTTGATCAACATAACAATAACAACACAAGCAAGATTGCATAGGTAGGTGGGTAGGAAGGAAGGTAGGGGGTGGATGGTTATCGTAACAGGACGTGTATATATATCGTCGTACACCGGATAGTGGTTAAAAAAAAATCGATCCACATTGTTTGTTGTATGTGTGTGAATGAGTGTGGCATGGTGTTGGTGTAAATAATTCACCTACACTTTTTCCAAGCAGGAATCGATTTTTTTGATGTGATTTCAATCAGATTACATTGCAATGTGATGTAATCAATAACCCAACCAACTATAGTATGATAATGAGATTTCCACCTTTAAAAGGAGAACCAAACCAATTATTATTAATATATCCTAAGATCTTTGAATTGGTACTACTATGATTTCTTTGTGCGTACTACTATGTTCTTCTTTCTTTTTAATTATAATATATTATATTCTTCTATTCTTTTTTCATCCATTTTTTATTATAACATGATTGTTTATTCCAACCTTGGTGTAAGGAATAAACTGTCGCCCAAATAATGTTGATTGATCACACCCATACCATCATTTATCGATTTGCTATAATAATAATAAAAAGGAGGATTGGTAATGATGATTAGTATTACTAAATTTATATGCGACCAAACAACTTGGTACACTTACATATCGCTAGTTGACATTTTAGTAAGACCAACAGCCGAGGCATGAGTCTTGCCCTCGGCCATGATGGCAACGACAGAATTTGCAGGTAAATCAACTTCAATTCTTGCACCAGGTGAAGTTAAACCACGACACATAATATTAGCACCTGACAATACAAATTTAATGGCTCCTCTATCTACCTGTAATATTGGCATCATATCTGGATCTAAATAATTAATATAATTGTTAATCATCATTCAATCCAATATTTGTTCTTGTTTCGTATATCTTGTTGTTGTTGTTGTTGTTATTTTGTAATGTACATTTATGTAAGAATCTTAAGGTTGGGTAATATGGTCCTTCTCTTTCATTAAAGAAAATGATTTCATTATTAATTAAGACAATGTTGATATGATTTTGGCTATATATAGATAGAAAGAGTTAGTGAGTGCATTAATAATATTAATATACTATCTGTGTTGTGTTATAACTATACCATTTAACTTGAACGATTGCAACTTTCTTTGGGAAGATTTCATCTTGGTATTGAGTGAGGTTTGGGTATAATGCAAGGATTGAATTCTTGATGTTTCTTTGCATCGAATTGGCTATTTGAGAGTTGGCTGAAGAGCCTGGTTTCAATGTTAATCTACATTAATTGAAATAGAAGTAGCAAAAGAGAGAAAGGGAGAGAATAGATAGATAGATAGAAAGAGTGTGTGATGATAATGATGGAGAATGAAAGGTTGAGTCAATTCTTTGTAATACATTGGTTGATGGCAATATATCGAGCACGTCATACTTTTTAAACATTTCTCTATTAATCTATATATATATGTATGTAAATGAAGTCGTATGTTATGAAGACGAAACTGATAATGTTCAAAATAGATCGCTTTCTTTTTGAAATTTTACCTCATCATCAAAATTTTTATTGAGGTAGGAACCAACAAGTATGTTTATTTATTCAGACAAGAAATAGGAAAGTTTAATTATTCACTCATTATAATACAACATGTAGATAGATATCTATCAAAAGATAATCAGATCACAATTAGAATTGATCAAATCACATGTGATGATGAATACTCAAGTAAAAGGTACATTAAGCAGATGTCATGATCATCAATTCCCGAGATTTCATTTAGATTGTCAACAACTGCCTTTACTTTACTACTTTCTTTTTTTTTTCTAGATTAGATTGAAGTCTTGTTAACAAGACTCTCCTTTTGTGTGTGTCTATAATTAAATCATAATGATTATATCGTCGTAACATTATGGATTGGTGGATGATCAAGAGCCTTGTCAAGTCAATGCAAACCACCAATGAACCACACACAAATGCAAACAATGGGTGGGGGACTCTCGTCGTTGTGATCCAGATATACATCATTCCTTCAAAAGACACAACAGAGGGGTTTAGCCAACAAAACGTCATCTCCTGACATCGTGCTGGTTGGCAACAAACATTTTAAAGGAAAATTTCGAAGTCAATCTATTTTCGGATCTTACAACGATGCAATGCCTCGTACGAGAGCTCTCTCATCCTACTACAACTTTATCAACTTTAAAGCCAACAACCATCATCATTTTTGATGCTCTTTCAAATATTCATTTTTTGTTGTTGTTGTTGGGATTTCGAATAATAATTATTCTTTCGTTTTGTTTATAGTACTTAACAACTCTAAAAACTAGTCCAAACCCTTCATTTAATTTTTCCCAACCATCCACATCACATTCATTATTCGAATCATCTTTCGTTTTCCAATTGGTCAATAAGGCAAACACGCGATTGATTTGACGAGTTAGTTATATACACCTTTTTTATATCCATTATATAATTTATATCTACATAGTTTGTAAATTTATTTCAAACAACCTTTATTATTTATAGTTGTTTGAAGTTTGTTTTATTCTTTTTTTTTTTTTTAATTCCAAAATGATTAAATATATATACATTTCAATCATACTGGTATTATTTGTTCAATCAAGTTTTATAAATGGACAAACATTATGGACAGGCAATAATCATTATTATGAAAAGTTGACATTAACAGGACAAGACTATAATTCGGTCATGTCTATAGTTAATTCCAAAACTTTTAACAATCATCAAGGGTATGTCAAACTAATAATAATTATTTAAATAATCTCATTTATTAATGTAATTTTTTGATTTTTAATTAATTTAGATATTTGGCAACAATTACAAGTGATCAAGAATATACATTTATAAGTTACACTTATGGTCAGTCATTTGTATTTGGTGCCAGTAGAGTGGGATCACCAGATTTATTCTATTGGAGTGGTGGACCAGAGAAGAATATGCCAATGTATAGACAATCATTGGGAAGGTGCTATGAATATTGTAATTGGGCATTCTTGGAACCAAGATCGTATGGTGGTGATGTTATTCAATCGACAAATGATGGAATGGTAACGACCAACATCACTACAAATGCCACATACACTTTTATTATAGAGTATGGAGGATTGAATGATCCATACTTGCCACCTGCTCTAACACAAGGAGGGTCGGTAGTTGTATCTCAATTGGACAAGGGTACACCTCTATGGAACCTGTCTACTCTTATGATCACCATGGTACCATCTGGATTATTGCCAGCTGTCGCCTTAACCATTACCAATCGTTCACTGACCAATTTCATCGTTGAAATACCCGAAGGTAAACATGAAAGTAGTATTTTGTTTAATGATGGTGTTCGGTCCTTTTCGTTTCCAAAATATAGGTATCAAGTACCGTATATCCGGTATCTCATCCCAGGATCACTTCAATACCAAACTAGAATAACGCTGGTAGGACTCAACTTTGGACCTAGTATATATGACGGTCTGTTTATTCGTGACAGTTCTATGCAAGAATGTACCAATATCGTTGTTATCCAACCACACACAATGGTGTCTTGTATGACACCAAATTATTACAGTGATTTAATAGCCCTCTATCCACTCCAAGTCAAAGTTGGTGTACAATTGATTAGAAGTTATAGAATCCCTTTTTGTATGTACAAATCAATCAAATCACTAACTAATGAATATAGATTGTTAATATTTTATTTTTTATTTTGTTTGTTTTTAGACGAACCAACATCAGTTACAGTGACAAGTGTAAATCAACAATTATCATCATGGGATGATATTAGACAAGGAATTTTAGATGCAAGACCATCAACCGTTGATTATAATGTGGCGTATCCATGTGTGTTTACAACTGCTGTGCAGGAAAACACTGCAAGAAGAATATATCCTTGGCGTACATCTATGGAGTCTTTTTCAGGACTTGTGATGAATGCCAACTTGGAGATTGAAATTGATACGATGGGTGGCCCAAACCATGGAAAGATTGCAGTGTCTGCAGCAGGAGTATTCAACTCATCGGTTATTTGGATGAGTGGAACATTCGCAGCACCGGTCAAACAACAGGGACGTGTCTATGGCTATGACCCATCGCTTCGTACTATCATGGATGTTACTGGTCGTCAGAGAGGCGAGTTGATATGTTTTGGCACTCGTCCATTTGAACTATCAACACAACAACATCTCTACGTCAACACTACAGGTGGAGAAGTATATTATAATGTTGGAGGATCGAGTGGGTTTGAAGTATCGACCAAGACATTTAGAATCGATTTGATTGGAATGATTGGTGATATTCGTCAGACTAGTGATACACAGTTAGGTGTCATTGTGCCAGAAGGTAGTGGTGCAAACCATACCTTCGATGTCAGCATTGAGATATACCGTCTTGGCAACGCTATACTCTCTTATCGACCACCATCTATCGTCTCTGTCGTACCACCTCCCACTATTGGCGGTCCCATCACATTCTATGGGTATAATCTTGGTAAACGTGCAGCCGACCTGGTTGCCACCTTTGGCAGTGGTACGTGCACATCGATTACAATGATTCAAACACACTTTACAGCTAGATGTACCGTTCCTCCAGGTGTCGGCACCAACAAGACGCTCAGCATTACACTCGCCGGCCAGACTGGAACCATCGACGTATCGTACGAACCTCCTACCATCCAATTCACCTCGATCAACCAAGACACCCGTGTTAGCATCGCAGGCAAAAACTTTGGCGCTGGATTCCAAGACATTTACACGGTCCCAGCGGCATTGTCACAAGTATCGTTTACGCAAAATAATCCACTCGTCAACTATATCATTTATCAAGTTACATTCCCACCAACCACTCGAAATGGTTATATATCGGTAGTTGTAGGTGGACAAATGTCCAACGCTGTCTATTACAATTTTACACCGGTTATTACCAGTGCCAGCAGCATGCCACTCACAGGAGGTGACTTGACACTGACAGGCTACTTTTTCAACACACTTCGACAGAATGGTGATCCCACAAACATCGAACTCAAGGTAATTGATGGTGTCACACCATTCTACCCAACTCTAGTGTCAAGTTCCAATGACTCGTCAACCACTCAGTTTATATTTAACGCACCTCCTGGTATTGGAGGTAATATGTTGGCTTATTTAACCATTGATGAAAAGACTTCGGAATCGTGTGTAGTTGGATATCAAGGTCCTGTACTTGGAGAAATCATACAAGATGGAACAACACTTAGTATTACAGGTTCTTATTTTGGATCAAGACCTGATATTGTTACTGTAAGCATTGCAGGTATTTCTACACCCATATCACCACTGTCAATGTCCAACGGAGTTATCGTTATCGCTATACCACCATCTACAACCAACAGCATGCTTAGTGTATCAGTGAGTGATCAAGTCACACCAGAATATCCATTCACACTAGAACCAATTATTACATCGGTGTCATCAATCCCTACAATCGGAGGACCTATCACTATTGATGGATACTTTTTTAATAGTGTTGATGTATTTGGTAATCCAATCACATATAGTTTGACAGTTGATGGTGTATTATGCCAGAATGCATATATTGTTGGTGGAGATAACCGACAGATGGTATGCCAAGTGGGGTCTGGGTCAGGAGCAAATAAAACAGTCACACTCTACATTGGATCAAAACACACCAACTCAACAACCAATTACAAAACACCAATCATTACAGATATTCAACAATCTCAAACCATCCTCACCATCCAAGGAACTAATTTCATTGGTGATATAAACAAGTCAATGATTCTTTTTGGTTCTTCTTCTTTTATCCAACCTCTTACTAGTTTGTTTGATTCTCAGACCAACTTGTGGACTATGACTATTGTCATTCCAGACAATACTACAAATGGAGGTGTTGGTTTGTCTGTTGACGGTCTAGTATCAAATGAAAAAGATTTGAAGTTGATACCATATATTGAAAGTGTTTCAGAACCATCAGTTTTGGGTGGATCAATCACCATTCAAGGAAAATACCTTTCTCTCAAACGTAGAGATGATTCGATCGCCCCTTCACTCGTCTATATCGACACTACATCTAATCCATGTACACTTGTCAATAATACATTGGTTTTAGGTCAGCTATTGTGTAATGCTCCATCTGGATTTGGTTCAGCTCACAATTTGTATGTGTCTATTGACCATGTCATCTCAAATGCTGTATCATTCAAATACAAAGTGCCAACCATAACCGATTTCATTCAAAATGGTACAATGGCCACCATCAAAGGAAGTAGTTTTGGTAGTAATCCTAGTCAAATTCTTGTATTCTTTGGTACCACACTCACCAACTATGCTGTATCAACTTTGTTGCTTGAAGGCTCCCAAGAATCATTCCAAGTAACTATTCCACAATACTCAAAGTCTGGTTCGTTGAATGTATTAGTAGCAGGTATTTCATCGGTTCCTTATTCATACCAACTGAAACCACATTTGATCAATGTTACATCACCCAATCAAGATGACGGATCTATTATCATTTTGGGTGATTATCTAAGTCAAACCAAACAAGATGGTACGGCCACTGTTGTGACAGTGACTATTGATGGTGTACCATGTACCAATATTCAATCACTACCTATTGGTGCTGATGGATACGAAGTACTGAAATGTGTGGCACCTGTAGGTGCAGGATCAGATCTTCCACTTGTCGTCACTATCGATGGATTATTTGATATTATTCCATTCACTTTTAACGGTCCTTCACTCACCTCGGTTACAGTATCACCAATGAATGAAATACAAGTAATTGGAAAGAATTGGGGAAGTGTTGCACAAGATATAAAGTTGTATTATGGTCAAGATCAACAAATCAATCAATTTGAATTCAACTCTACATCCAACACTATTACATTTACAGTATTACCAAATTCACTCAATGAATTGGTTTATGTAGAGTATGTTGGAAGATTATCCAATTCATTACAAGTCTTGTTATATCCCATCATATCGAGTGTCACACCATCAGAAACAAGTGGTTCAATTGTCACTGTCAATGGTCAATTTTTAAATGCCAACAAAGGAAATGGAGATGCAACCGATTTGGTCATTCTATTCAATGGTCAACCAGTCCAATTGCTCCAGGTTGAAACTACAAACTCTAGCTATAAGCTATTTTCAGCACCCAAAGGAACAGGATCCCACTCTACTGTTACCATTTCAATAGAAGGTAGATCACATTCTCTTGAAAATTATACATACCAATCACCTACAATTCAAAGTTTGGTGCAAGACCAGTCCACCCTTTTTATTCAAGGAAATAATTTTGGTGATAGCGTCACTTTGGTAGATTTATCATGGTACCAAAATATGATGGAAATAGTCTCTGTCAATCACACTACTATCATTGTCAATCTTGCATCGGTATGTTTAAATGGTAGATTGTTGGTCCGTGTTGATTCATTACAAGCAAATGAACAAGAGTTTATTGTCAAGCCAATCATAACTGGTATCGTAAACAATGTCGGACCCTATGGTGGCCAAATTAACATTACAGGTCACTATTTAAACGTCAACCGTGTCAATGGTACAACTACCAATACTTTGATCACTGTTGGATCATCGACCTGCCAATTTCTTGTCGCTGGAAGTGCTGGAGAGTACTTTATTTGTAAACTGGTTGCATCTAGTTTATACCAAGCTCCATTGACTGTTTCAATCGATGGTGCAACAAGTGTTTATTCCTCTTACACTTCATTGGCACCTGTTGTGACTGATATCACCTCTACGGTTTACAATGTCTCTTCGTATCTAATTATTACAGGCCAACACTTTTATTCTCCATCGACGGTCACTATTGGATCAACCCAATGTACAAACGCAGTGGTCAGTGCTCAAGGAACAACAATCAATTGTACATTCTCATCAAAGGAGCCACCCTCGATGAATGCAATCCCCGTCACTGTCAAATCTGTCAGTCTTGAATCACTGCCAGTTCCATTATTCTTTTATACAGTCAATCTATGTGGTGTATCATCCAATATTTGCAATGGAAGAGGAACATGTATAGGAGGAAGGTGTCAATGTGCCATTGGATACTCTGGTGATATATGCTCGATTCCAGTCACCACAACACCACTTTTACCAACACTCTCGTCCAATTCACCCAATGCAACCTTTAGTCTTGGTAGAGGTGTTGAAATTGCAACTGGAATCGTCTATGTCCGTGAGCTTGGCCCATCAGGAGCAACAGTTGCAGTGTCTGATCTAACAACATCGACATGGACTGCCCAAACATCGATCAACTCTACAGACTCTATTTCAACAACCTATACAACCATTCTCAACAATACTGCACTGCTTTCAGTGACGGTTGTCGTTTTTAACAAGTCGTCTACAACGCAGTTTGCAGGTGAGACCATACCTCAAACAGCTCGATCCTTTAAACATCTCATCACTGTAAAAGGATGGAGCTTTGTATCACCCAACAACCAACTCGAGGTTATCTATCGAGCAGTGACACCAAAGACATTTGCATTTAATTGTACTACAGCCTCGACGGTCATCTATACAAACAGCAGTAATATTGGTGCACTCAACAACACACTCACAAGCTTTTTAATCGATTCTCCCATTGGACTTGTTCAATCACGATTCACTTCTCGATCGATTATCGACCAAAAAGTAATTGCTATGAGAACTTACCAACTCGCAACCACAGATCCACTTTCTAGATTTACGACCAATACCCAAGGTCTCTATGTTGCCATGACACTTTCTAGTTTCACCTACAATGCCACCTTTGATCCATCATTCTTTGGTTATCAAAAACCAGATCCAACTCCTACTACTTGTGGTACTACCACCAGTTCGACAACGGGTGGGCATTCGACTACAACCACCACAACAGGTGGACACACTACCAAAGGATCAACAACCAAAGGATCAACTACCAAAGGATCAACTACCAAAGGTTCGTCCTCAACTGGTCACTCTTCATCTCCAAGTCAATTCAACAACCTTTCACAATTAATTTTAATCACGACTCTACTATTAAATCTTTTATTCATTTAAATTGGGATTAAATAGTCTAATAAATATAATTAAATAATTTGTAGATTTACTAAATATGTTGGTTTATTTTACTTTTATTTTTTAGTCATGATTTCCAACAATTCCAAACTTGGTCTTGGCTATTGGTTGTACTTTTAGTTCAAGATTTTCCTTGTATTGTGAGATTTCTAACTAGAGTTCCTACCAAGCCTTCACCATTTTGGAATATAAAATTCTGGGCATTTGAATTACATTTAAAAATGTATGAATAACATGCACTCTTTTCCTTATCACTGAAATCGCGTGAATCTTGGATCAATTTGATGGCTTGAATTTGAAAGTCTGACAACCCCATCAGTTTCATATTAATAATCTTGCTAGACATTTTGAACCTTAAACTAATAAACTAAAGTTACCGGACACTCAAAAGGTACTTATTAATATTTTTACTTTTTTATTAATTTTTTTTGATTTAAAGAAAAAAGTTTATTATAAGATGGGAAGGTACAATAAAACAAGAAATTAGTAATATGAGATATATATTATATACGTTATAATTATTTGTTTATTTATTTTTAAATAATATTTTTAGCGAGATCAATGGTGATTTCGAATTCGAGAATGGAACATGGATAAATGATACCATAGTTCTTTAAAACCTCTGGGTTGACGACACCCATAATACCAATCTTGGTTCCATTGTAGAGAATGTCAACACCCATACCTTCGACAAAGATCTTGTCAGAGGACTTGGCGAGTTGATAAGAGGCGATTCCCTTTTCTCTGTCTTGTTTGGTCATCAAGAGTTCTGGCTTGCACTTGAGTGACAACATCAACTTGTCGAGTAAACCATGAACAATTTCCAATTTACTTGAACTGTCAGCAGTGATGGCACCAAACATACGCTTGTTAAGAGCACCAACATCACTATTGTTACTATCTGGATCTGAAAGATTCCTAAAATAAATAAAAAATAAATTTAAATTAATTAATTATTAGTGTATATGTATTTATATCCCCTTTTTGATTTACTACATACTTGTTATTATTGGCACCCTTGATGACAACATCAGAAACTTCATATAATTTAAGTGGAATACCATGAGCACGATTAGAGACAATAGTCTTGAGAAGAGTGCTAATCAAGGTGGTACGAACCTCAGAGAATTCTTCCATCAAGTAATTCTCAATCTTTACACTGGAATTGTCGTCCTTTCTATTGATCAAAGCAAAGTTGTCCTTGTTTGATGACAAAACAAAGGTCATGATTTCAGTGTAACCAGCAAGAGCAGCTTCATTTGAAAGAAGTTCTGACAACTTGTTGATTGGTTGAATACGACCAACAGTGTTTACAACTGGAATCACTCTAGCAATGTTATTGAAACCATATCCAATAGCAACATCTTCCATAATATCACATTGATGAATAATATCTACAAAGATAAAATAAATAAATTTAAATTAGGAGATTAAAAGTACTAAAACAACTTGTTGTTTTTTTTGTTTTACATACCACTTCTAGTACATGGAACTGAAACAGTTAAAGTTGACTTGTCTTGTGACAAGGTAGAGATGAGGGACATTCTCTTGAGCATACCAACCATATTGGCTGGATCAATGTTGGCACCAATAGTCTTGTTAATGTAAGAGGTGGAAGCATCAATAGTCTTTTCATCAATCTTTGGGAATAAATCAGACTTTCCATCAGCATCAACAACTTCAACTTGTTCCATACTATAGAAAGAGAGAGAAAATAAAGAATGAATAATCATTTCAAAAAAGGTTATTCTTCTTTTTCTTTTTGATACTTACGAATATGGAGTCTTTGAATATTCAGAAAACATTGTCAACATGACATTCAATACAATGTTTGCCTTGGTGTAGTCGTTGGCAGTGACTTCGATAAATACATTCTTGGTGTTGAGAGTAATCTTGCTGTGATCACCATTAATAATTGGTGGTAATGAACACAAGACATTGTTTGAATCATAAATAGCTGGATACAATGGTGATTTATCAATGATATGAAGATATTTCTTCAAATGAGAACTTGTTTTCTAAACAAAATAAATAAAAGATTTGAAAATCATTAATACCACCTAATATATAAATAATATATAATTGTATATAAAGTTTGTGACATACTTCATAGAATTCGAAAAGAGATACAGCATCATACTCTTGAGTTTGAGAAAGTGGTACGAATTTAATATCTTTTGGTGGTAAAGCCTTGTATGTGAATGGTCCCTTGATGGTATCTAAATCGTGAGTACCAATTGATACAAGAGTTCTCTTTCTATAAATTTATAGAAATGAATAGAATAGATTTGTTAGATATGCGCGCATGTAACAAGCAAGTGTACCTCACTTTTCGTCTACTACTTACTTGCAAATATTGGCATGTAATTTTTCTTGAAGATCAATGAATGATTGATAAGTGTCTTGATTAAAAGTGACGTTACGCAAGATACCACAAACAACGATTGGACGAACACCCTTTACTTCCTTTGAAACGATCAATTTTTGATGCTTTCCAGAGGCTGGTGGAGTGATAGTGTACTTTGGAATTGGAGTGGCCAAGTCATAGACCTTGAGGGCACGTGATAAACCTTCCAAACACAACAAGTCGTATCTGTTTGCTGGTACATCGATCTTGTAGAGAACGACCGATGAAGCATTTGGATCATCTACACCTGTCTCTTTAAGCTTCATTTCACGTTCTGATGTTTCACCATCCAATTCGATACCATAATCAAAGCATAAATCATCGAATTGCTTGTAAGCTAAAACACAATATTAATATTAAATTGTAATGAAATGAATAAAGATAAGTACTTTAATCTATCGGTGAATCGGTTCCGACGGCCGTTAACTTTCTCTCATTGCACTCGCTATAACTGTTACATACTGTAAGTTTTACCCAAAGACTTGAACAAAAGGTCACGTGATACTTGAACGGTAGGCATTTTAAATTTAAGTAAATACTCTCTATCTTTCTACTTGTGGAGGTAGCTAATTACAAAAGAAATAAAATAAAATGAAATGAGCAAAAGAAGAAGATCTTCGTCGACTCGACAGGAGGATGAAAAAAAAAAACATAGGTAAAAAAAAAGGAAGCACTCTATCTCTCATATTAATAATATGAAGTAATGAAAGATTGTAATAATAATAAAGATAGTAATAATAATAATCAAAGATATATAAACCCTTTGAATGATTATAATCAGGGTACGTTGGAATACTCGTTGCCATGGATTATCATCAAAAGAATCTTGACACTTGCCGATCGGTCGATACGCATTTGTACATGTGTCAATGCACATGAGCTAAGAGATGCTCTTTCTTCACATTACTCGTTGCATACGGTATCGGTATACTCTAAATTGATCAAGAATCATTGGATAGACAAGGAAGACATGTGTCCAATGCATAGAGCCAAAGTTGAAAGGGGACTACTTCCATCATACAATTTCGAACAGGGTCTTAGACCAGAGTACCGAGTATGTCGCTTTATCGTTGACGACAGTAAAAGTTGGAGGAGATCATTGTCACGTGTCTCTAAAAGAGTATTCTCGTTTGTATCAACATCGTTGTACACTGACATTACAATCAGGCCGTCGCGTGACACATGGGAGCATATCAGTAACAACTATTGTCTCTTGAAAAAGGCTACCACTCTTACTGTACTCCCTGCAGTACGTTTGGTATTCTTTCCAGCAGTGACCGATCAAATTCATCATTTGGCTGCCAACAATTTGTACTCTAGTGTCGAAAAGATTCATTTGCTTGAAGAGGTTGCTGATTTGGACAAGATGGCTTGTGCAATGCCTCGTCTCAAGAGTATGGTCCAACACTGTGAATTGAGCGAATTCACAATCACCAAATGGCTCACCAACTTTAAGAACCTTACATCCATCAACCTATTAAATTCCAAGTTGATCGGCTTTGATGTTGATCAACTGCCATCGATGATTAAAGCTGATAGCCAACTGCGTAAAATCTTATTACCCAAATATTTCAATTGGAATACACTGGATGTAGCAGTTAAACAAAGGTTATCAATCATATCAATGAGATCGGAATCTCCATCACACAAATCCACCATTAACTATGCAGAGATCCAACAACAAGACTTTCCAAAACTCAAGCATGTGCACTTGGTACAAATTCTCAGTGATACCAACAGGGTTGTCTGGGACCAATTAGTTTTGCCTGAAAGTGTCGTTAAACTTACACTCTGTACACCTCCACCAAATGTAAACCCATTTACACGCAACAAACATATTAGAACCGTTAGATTTAAAAACTCAAAGACTCCCAATTATTCTGATATCCCCATCATGACCATCCACCTATTGCTTTCGAAAAAAGCATTGTTGTTTGGTCAAACCAATCTATCTAAAATCATCATCGACACTCCAGTTGATGTTGTTGATACTGATATCATTCAATTTAAAGAAATGGGTTACAGATTTATTGGATCAACCCCTTCTAGCAATGATCAATGTAAAAAAATACAATTTAAATCTCTGCACACATACAACAACAACAAATAAATAAAATTGAATAAATAATATATATTTTTTTTGGTAGTTTATTTTATAATTATATTAATATAGATAGATAGATTAAAATAATCTATCTATCTATCTGTCTATCCTATCTGTTTGTTTGTTTGTCTATCTGTTATTATTATATATTTTGTTTTGATTTTTTTAATCATCAACTTCATCACGATCAGATTGATCCTTGTATTTGGAATCATCTTCATTCCAAGATAAAGCTGTTAATTTTGAAGTTGGAGTTGTTGTACTAGTTTGGAGAGTATCTAAATGTTCTGGTACTTTGGCAGCAGCTTTAACATAAAGTGGTGGATCTGCTGATGGTAAATAAGCAAATCTACTTGATGCAGGCTAAAATAAAATCAATGATAATATAAACAGTCAGAGTCCTTGATTATTATACTTTTATATATTTTTTTTTATACTTACAACTTTGTTACGATTTAAAGCTAAATGGAAACGAATTTGTTCAAATAATTTTTCAAGCTGATCACGTTTTTCTGGAATGAGGGGTTGGAGATTGGTGTCACTGGTAAATACTGGTACATGGGCGGCTGGCAATTCAAGTGAAGTGATGGTGGTGTTTCGGTAATAGATGAGTGGGGAGGAAATGGAATGCCAACCAACGGCAGTGAATTTGTTGCCAGCAACCAATATTTTTTGAATGGTTTTGTTGACACGCAGACAATCGGCCAAGAGACAGGCTCCGTGGTCGTTCATTTCATTGCCGGTAATATCTAATGTTACAATCGATTTGTTATTGTACAAGCATTGAATAATGGGGTGAAGTGAATGAGCATAACCTCTAGTTGTTCCAATTCCAAGTTTTGATAAACTAGAATGTTTGTTTATAAAATCTAAAACTCCACCAATAAATACATCATCTGTTGAATTCTAAAAAATAAAATTAATAATTAATTTAAATATTATTTGTTTGTTTGATTTGTTTGTTTGTTTGTTTTTTACATACAATAGGATTATAACCAACATTGAGAGCATTAATATTAATAGATGATAAAGAAGTGAATATATCTAATAGATTTCTAGTGTTGAAACGGTTACCACTAATGTCAAGACCACCCAAAAAGGAACAGTCTGGAAGGAATGGGGTGAGACGGTTGGCAGTCTTGGCAGCAAACGAGTTTTCGGAAATATCCAATGTAAGGGATGCAGGTGCAAGACGTTTGTTCTTGCTCAATGCAATCATGATAATGTGAATAGATTCGCTGTACAGAGCACACGACGACAGATTGAGGTATTTCAAAGCACCAAGACTCTCCAATGCTTCGGTAGCCAACAATCTAGCGGCACCCAAGTTGATCTTGTTCTTTGAAAGGTCGAGACGTTCCACCTCGAGTACACGGAGTGGTGCCGAGATGATGTTAAAGTTGAGTTGGCATTGTGAAAGAGACAACTCGCGCAACTGGTTGTGTCCACGAGACTTGCTGAGCCAAGCGGCAAAGGCACTGCTGCCAGTGTCTTGGAATCGGTTGTTGGAAAGTTTCAAACGCTCCAACGTTAGCGACAGACTAAAGTTTCTCTCAAATGCTTGGAACAACAAATAAATTCCTTTTGGTGGGATATTGCATTTGGAGAGATTAAGCTCGACCAATGAATGCTTAAAATGTGACAACCCGTCGCACAAACTATTGATCGATTCATAAGACATCAAGTTGTCTGACAAATCCAATACTTGAAGTGCCATGTTTTGGTTTTGTGAAAGTGCTACTCCCAGAGGTGCAAACGATTGCTCTGTCAAGAGATTAGATAATCTCAACTCTGAAATGGAACTGTTGCTCAACAACATCTCACCAACCGATGATACTACATTAATATGTGGTACTTTACATATCTTTAATGATTTAATAAATGTATTATGTCTTAAACATAAAATAGCTGTATATAAATTAAATCTAAACAAAAAGAAACAATAAATTAATAAATTAATAATACAATATTGTACATTCTTTTTGATATATCTATATATTTACCCTAAAGAAGATGAAGCATTAACACCAGGAATTTGAGATATATCCAATTCTGGATAATAAGTTAGATAGAGTGTTTCCAAATGACGTAAATAATCCAATGTTGCTTTAGTCTTGTAGTAATGTGAATGTGCAATATATTGTTCGGCAATTCCTTTTCCATCTGATCCCAATTCTAAAAAAAACAAACAAAACAAAAGAAAAGAAAAGAATTAATAAACTTAAACATTCATTTAATAATAACATCATGATGATTACAACATACCATGATTAAATTGGAATGGTTGATATCTATTCTTTGGTAAATTAATCTTTAACAATAAATGACTTGGGAAACCTCTTGAAATGTTAAATGTCATATAGGCAATTGATTTGACAAAAATAGTCTCTGCCTTTCTATCAGGTGCCTTGACATATAATGTTTGAATACTTTTACTATCTTGATCTTTAAATTTAATTTCAATCTAAACCATTTAATATATATCGTCAGTATAAACATGTTGGGTATTGTTGCTTATACTATTGTTACTTTTAACTTACACTGTCTTGTGAAGATACAGGACCTCCAACTTGAGGTTCATTAATCTCTACGAGGTCATAGTGAAAGATTGTTTTCTTTAGTGACTTTGAACCCTTAAACTTTTTGATCAGTATAGTTTTGTATCGACTGACGACAATGATACGTTGTACCAATGACATGTCCTTATCATCCTTGTTGGTTTCAACTACTCCTTGAAAGGCAATCTCCTCTCCAAACAATCCTCCTAGTGGTTCCAACTGTTCATTAATATAAACTGTATGTATATATGGTTTAGTTTAGTTTAGTAAAAAGGTATCAAGGTAGGAAAACAAGAGTCATAACAATCACTCGTCACTAGTGTCATATCAACATCATCATCATTTACATACGTTGGTCAGCCTCTGTGATTTCAATCGATAATGGTGGTGATGAACTCATTGTCTCTCTATCTCTCTCTCTTTCTGTCTCTCTTTGTCAAAGACTGATCAGTCTTTTAGTTTTAGTTTTAGAAAAAAGATATTATGAAATTGAAAGAACAAAAGTTAATTATCTTTCAACACACGAAAGAAAGTATGAATTCAAACAAAAAAAAAATTAAAAAAAAATCGATTGGCGTATTTCAAATAATTTTGTCTGATGGATAGGATCATCGCTAATCGATATATTGATTGCTTGTTACCCTTTGCTCTGCCCTTATTTTGATCAATAAATCTGTTTATTTCTATGTATATATAATATATTATATATGGTTGATATGATACAGGACAAGAATGGGGATCGAATCACAGAGCAAGAAGAAGTACTTCGATATTGGATATTTGGGGTGACCAGAAGTTCGTGTCTTCTTCGAAGATGGTTAGTGAGACAACGGGATTCGATTATTGTTTCATTTTTCTTTTGTTCAACATACAATAAACAAATAATAACTATGACAGATAGCATTGAATCTCGAACCTGTCTTCACCAGAACTGTAACAAAATATCAAACTCTCGCCAAGCGAGACAGTACACCGCACACCTGCCCAAGTTCATGCAAGGCTCCGGTACATGCACCGATCGCTGTGCCAAAAAATTTCTTTTGAACACATTCCAATTGTACTCGTGGTTACGTGCATGACAAGGACCGGAAGAGACACGAGAAGGTTAAGCACAACAATTGCACTTGTGATCAATGCCAAAATACATAGTCGGGTGCCAATCCAACACCTGTTCCAGCAGAAACAAGCATAACTGTCCAAGAGCGCTTCGACCAAATGAACGAAGCTGACAAGGAGTTTTGTATGTTATTATTGGCCAAAGAAGGCATCCATACACCAAGGTTTATGCAAGACACGATTCTCGTTGATTGCTCTAAATATAAGCCCGTTGCAACCAAAAAGCTAAAGAGGAAGCACGGAGAGTTTGTAGATGGTGATTCTGGTGTCTCTACTATTACCTCCCCTGCTGACTCTACTACTTCTACTTCCTCTACTACTTCTACTACTTCTACTGCCTGATACATGGTATAGTTCTATTGTTGACACTGACCCTCAAATCTAGGGCCAGTGAAAACAATGATATTTAATGAAAAGGTAAAGAGAAAATCATTATACAATGCATTGGAAAATATTAAAAAGATGGAATTAGCAAAGAATCTTTTATCTCATAGTCAATTTGATTTAATCGAACAATATTGTATACTGAGTGATGGGCCAAATACAACAAAAGGATAATGACAAGAGGAAAAAACTGGAAAGAAATAATTCGAGTTATTAGATATATATTTCAACAATATAAATAATAACATATACATATATATTTGAAATAAAAATAATTCTTGTATTTTGGAAAAAGAAAAAACAACTACAAATTTATAAAAGAAATAGTCGAGAAAGAACTACCTACCATAGTTGGTAAAAAAAAAGAGATCATATCATATTTAATGATAGGGTATTACCAAATATAGAAATGATGAAGAGGTGGTGTAGGTGTTGTGGGGAAATGAAGCAGTCTTTGACTAAATGAATAGTTTTTGGATTTTAACAAGGATTTTAAGCAAAGAAATGTTTGTTTGAAAACTATAAATTCTTCCTTTTGATCACCCAAATACTCATCAATCAAATATTATTATTATTTTATACATTTAATATTATTATTATTATTCCTTACAACAACAAACAAACTTATAATATTTATTATCTCTTTTTGGTATCTTTAAAAAAAAAAAAAAATTATGTTTTTTAAAGTAATTTCTTTATTATTTTTACTGTCTGTTTTTGTTCAAGGTATGTTTTATCAATCTAGATTGAAATAATTTTAAAAAATTAAAATTAATATATTATATTATTTTATTGTTTCTTACCCCCACAACCCTCTCCTCTCTTTTTTCTTTTTTTTTTACTTCTCATTCTCTTTCTTTCTTTAGCTAATACTGACCAATTAGACGGATGTATTACTTGTGTAAAGGTTACAGTTTGTTCGAAATCAGATGATTCATGTTGTAAATCTCATCTTGATTGTGCTGGTCGTATCAATACCAACAAATGTTCTACTAGTCGTTGCATCAGTAACAAGTGTTCTCCATTGCCAGTAGTCTGCGACACTATCAACAAGTGTGTCAACTCGTACTGTGATGCTGTCAAGGGATGTGTATCAACACCAATCAGTTGTGATGATGGTAACGTCTGCACAGTCGACTCGTGCAACAATTCAACAGGATGCACTCATACTATGATTCCAGGTTGTTGTACAGATAATTCTCAATGCGCTGGTGATCAATGTAATACTGGTTGCTGTACAAACAACAAGTGCTCATCGTCTCCAGTCGTCTGTGACTCGTCTAACAAATGCAAGAACTCGTATTGTGACAAGACCAAGGGTTGTGTCTCCACTCCAGTCGTCTGCGATACCTCCAACAAGTGTCTCAACACCTACTGTGACATCGCCAAGGGATGCGTATCTACTCCAATCAATTGTGATGATGGTGACTATTGTACCATTGACTCGTGTAACAACTCTACTGGTTGTCACAACACTCCAATCAAATGTGACTCGTCTGACAAGTGCAAGAACTCGTACTGTGACAAGACCAAAGGTTGTGTCTCCACCCCAGTCTCTTGTGATGACAACAATCTATGCACTCTAGACTCATGTGACAGTGCTACTGGTTGCACTCACACCAACATTCAAGGTTGTTGTACCAACAATGATCAATGCGACAGCGGCAACGAATGCAATATCGACAGTTGTATGAACAACAAGTGTGTATCGTCTCCAGTCGTCTGTGACTCGTCTGACAAGTGCAAGAATTCGTATTGTGACAAGACTAAAGGATGTGTCTATACTCCAGTCATATGTGATACCACCAACAAATGTTCCAACTCGTACTGTGATGTTGCCAAGGGATGTGTATCAACACCAATCAATTGTGATGACAATAACATTTGCACAGTCGACTCTTGCAACAATTCAACTGGTTGCACTCATACTATGATTCCAGGTTGTTGTACCGACAATTCTCAATGCTCTGGTGACCAATGTAATACTGGCCGTTGTATGAATAACAAGTGTACCGTCTCTCCAGTCGTCTGTGACTCGTCTGACAAATGCAAGAACTCGTATTGTGACAAGACTAAAGGATGTGTCTACACTCCAGTTGTCTGTGATACCTCCAACAAATGTGTCAACTCGTATTGTGACAAGACCAGAGGATGCATCACCAATGCAGTCACTTGTGATGATGGTGACTTTTGCACTACCGACTCGTGCAACAACTCTACCGGATGTTGCCACACTCCCATCCAATGTGACGCCTCTGACAAGTGCAAGAACTCGTACTGTGACAAGACCAAGGGTTGTGTCTCCTCTCCAGTCACTTGTAATGACAACAATGTCTGTACAGTAGACTCTTGTAATCCATCAACTGGATGTTGTTACACTCCTATCCAAGGTTGTTGTACAGATGATTCTCAATGCAACAGCAACAACAAGTGTAATATCGACCGTTGCATCAACAACAAGTGTACCATCTCTCAAGTCGTCTGTGAAGTCTCCACCGACAAGTGCAAGAACAATTATTGTGATCATTCTCAAGGTGGATGTGTGTCGGTTGACCTGCAATGTGAAACAACCGAGGTCGTCGGCGATTGCCAAGATGGTGAATGCTTCCATTACGAATACCATTACAATAATTAAAGCTAGGTCGACCTCGATGATGTGGAACGACGAGCAACAAGCAGTTGTTTTCCGGAACCACATTTATCATCAAATTTATCCATCGAATCCAACAATTTATCCATCGAATCAAGATATTAACATAAAATAAAAAATGGGTACTCTGATATTTAAATTGTCAAAGGACACGAATAAAAGAGGGAATTGAATTCATCATCAATGGGTAGGAAAGTCGTCAACCAAAATATCTTTTTTTAAGCACTAGTTCACTAATTTTCCAGAGAGATATTTCTAAAAAAACCAAAGCAAATCAAATCAACCCATCAATATTTATCTAAACTGTCCGAGGCCATCATAGTCTATTGTTACATCATCATCATACACATACATATAATATATAAATAAATAAATACGCACACACAAAGATGAATAAATTCACAATCATTTCACTTATCTGTATCTTTTCTCTCTTTATCTCTATTGGTCTTGCCCAAGTCGGAACTCCATCACCAACTCCCTCACCAACCCCAGCCCCCCCAGTACCAACTGAAACATGTCTCACTTGTATTTCTAACTTTGAAGCTGCTGCTCCCAATATCATCGAAACCTTGAATGGTACCACAAAGTTTGCTGATTGTGCTGTATGTATAATATATATATATAATCACAATAGGGTCTTGCACCCGATCACATGACATGAACATACATGAATATTTATTAATATCTGTCTTGATCTTTTTTTTTTTTTTTTTTTCTCCATACTTAGGAATTATGTGAAAAAGTTGATACACAATCCTTTACCATTTGTAATACCACATGTTATGCATCTGGTAATATAACAGCATACTCAAAGATTATTGAGAATGCCGATCCAATCCATTTCTGTCTCATCTCTAAATTGTGTCCTGTCAACTCTAGACCATCAGCCTATACCACTCAAGTCAACAATTTCCCAGACAAGCCAAAGTATGGTGACACCATTTTGTTCAAGAATTTAGTTTATATCACCCAAACCCTTGGTGTCGGTGAATACCAATTCAACATTACCGACAAGAATGGTACCGTCGTCGTCACCAACACCACTATTATAGTCAACTGTGAATCCGGTACCTATGTCCCATTCCAAATGGCCATTCCAACCATCGGTTCCAATTTAGTCGGAAACTATACCTATTCCATCTCTTCACAAATCTGTGCCGGCAGTTGCAACTCTGTCAAGTTTTATGAAGGTTCAGCCAACCTCGGAACTATCATTTTCCCTTTCACCATTGCTCCAGCTTCATCTACTATAGACCAAGAACCAGAAGTTGTAGTTGTTCGTAACTATAATAGAAAATATTAAATATAGAGAGAAAGAGGCTTCATTTCATTCATTTTTTCATAAATAAAAGAAAATAAATTAAAAATAAATAAACGGATTTTGTAGTTTCAAAAACTGAGAAATAAAAAGTAAAATCGCGAATTGAAAGAAACCAATAGTTTTCACCTTTTAGTACTTACAACAAAGATAGATAAATATATATTATTTATTTGTTGATTAGATTTAATCAAATCACCCCTATTGTTCAGAATACACCATAGATTCAACGATACAATACATAGATATACCTGTACATATACATATACAAATATAATATTAACATTAAAAATGGAGACGACCAATATTGATAATAGTAATAATAGTAATAGTAATAATAATAAAAACAGAAATATAAATAATAGTAGTAATAGCGATAGCACAGATAATAGTAATAATAATCAAACATGCCCGATTTGTCTAAGTCCAATGACAAATACAACAAGTGTAGTTGGATGTCAACATGCTTATTGGTAATTATATAGGTTTTAATTAGAAGATCAAGCTATTGATACTCACTCTCTCTAGAGAGAGAGGGAACAATGATTGTGATAATGAATACCTTAATTTTTACATTATTCTAATCAACTTTACAAAACCAAAAACAGTTTAGAATGTATAGATAATTGGATAAAGAATAAGGTTGCATGTCCACTTTGTAAAGCTGGTATGAATCAAAGAGACACATGGGAGAATGAACGAAAAAGTATTAATATTAATATCTTACTTGTTTCCTTTGTCTAGATATAAAACAATTATATGTAGAGAATGATAATAGAATTATTGAAGTGACACCTCCGCCAAAACCACATCCATCGACTGTAGAGGTTGACCTTGGGTGTCTTGATCACACCTACTTTTTAGAGGAATTGATAAAGTTGTTTAGATTAAGAGATTCGGTTGGACTGATGATTGAATCGGCACCACCAGTCCGCAACCCAAACAGCAAGGTCTATTTGGCGGGTACCAATCAAAGCGATGCATTGGAACTCTTGACAATAACAGATAATATGACACGACTACGTGACGATCTCAGTCGTTTGGAACCATTCGATCCAGAAGATATATTGTCTCACATTTATACCATTGAAACAGCACTCAACGAGCTAAAAACATTTTACACCAACCATAACAACTTTAAAACAAGTCTTTCACATTCCTCCAACTCTTCGCGGTACAATGACTACTACTATGATGACGATGACGATGAATACGAGGGAGAATATGATGAAGACGAACAAAGATATTTGGATGGAATTGCTGGTGCAAGAAGACACAACAAATCTGCATATGAATCACCTTCTCTAAAAAAGCAAGTTGCTGGTTCAACTGGTGGTGGAACTCCCAAGTCAGATGGAAAAAAGAGATAAATCAAATAGAATAGAAGAATATCACAAAGAACGATTATTAAAGTTGATGGAGAAAAGCAAAAGTTTATTATTTAATTCTAATAAATAATTCCCCACAACAAAAACATATATTATTTAATAGTATTTATTTACAAAAAAAAAAGAAAAGAGTTATCACTAATAATTAATTAAATGATTTATCTTTTAACCTTTTTAACATCTCTATCTGGTTTACTTCTATCTTCAATCATTTTAACACCAAGATCTTCATCATCTTCCCAACCAATATTTTCTTTCAAATCTGCTTTCTTTTTTCCAGTTCTTTCCAATACTGCATCAACAACTTCTTTAAATGTTTTCTTTCTTTTTACCCATTCTCTCTAAAAAAAATTAAATAATTATTAGTATAAATGATTACTATTAAATATATATTATATTATATATTTGCCATACTCTTGCTTTTGCATGATTCTCTTTTAATTGTTTTAATTCAGATTCAGACATGACAACATCCTTTTTCTTTGCATATTGATTAACCTTGTCTTGTAATGCTTTGTTTTCTTCTGTTAATTTTTTAATTTCATCTTCTATTTCCTTGTCTGTTGGTTGTGATTCAAGTTTTCTAGATTCTACTTGAAGTTGTTTATATTCATTGGCCAATGATTCAGCCTCTGCCTTTTTTGAAGTGATTTGACGAGCAATGTCTTCAACCGTAGGCTTGCCACCGTTTATAGGTTGTCCATATTCATCCAACTCTTCCTTTTCTTGTAATTTCCAATAGACCAATGTCTTTCCAAACTCTTTCGATGCAATCTTTCCTTTATCATCCAATGCCTTGAGTATCTTTTGACAAGCAGCCTTTGTAAGTGATGGCATCTTTTGTTCTAAAAGTGCTGCTGTAAATGGTCTATTCTCTTGATTTATATATTGTAATACTTTATCAACTTTAATTGATCAGAATAATATATATAAAGGTTAGTACTAATCATGGTTCTTCATCATCTACAAGGTTATTTATGTTTAACATACGTTCTGCGTTTGCTCCTGGTTTTGCTTTTGGTCCCATTTTAGTATATGTATGTTATATGTATATATATATTTGTTAAAGTATGAAAGACAATGTAATGAATTTGAAGTTGCAATAATAATAGTTTATTGTTTCATAATCGAACTTCTTAGAAAAAATTAATAAATAAAAAAAGAATATTGAATCGTCGACTCCAGGAGAGATAATGAAAATGGGAATGACCGATGATCAAGAGATACTTACTTTGTTTGGGTGTTCACACGATAAATGATGTTGACACAAAAGACAACTACAAATATACTGTCATGGTGTAGGAAAGGTTTGAATAGTGGTAGCTACATCAGACTCATTACAACAACAAATAATACTAGATCAGCTTCATCATCAACATATAATCAATGTTGTCAATATAGCTATCAAAGTCAATCATCTAGGTCGATAGAATTAATCAGTAACATTAAGAATAATAATAATAATAATACTTGTACCAAGAATAATAATAATAAACATAGTCGATATTTTACTACTTCAACTTCAACTGCATTACCGCCATCATCATCTCAGAACACGCAACAACAAGGAAGTTTTGAATTATTCAATAGTGATCAAGAATTTGTAGGGGATGGAGAACCAAGTCATCCAATTTTAGAAAAGTATCCTTCACCTGTTCAATTGACTAGATACCTCTCATCAACATTTGTTGATCCTAAAACAAACAAACTTGATAGTCAAAGGTAACCTCTTTTTACTTCTTTGTACAAACAAAACTTTCCTAATACTAATCTACTCTTTTTATATTTAGTTTAATAAATTCATTAAAGAATGATAATGTATATTATGAAAGTCCAAAATATGTATATTATATTAATCAATGGTTACAAAAGATAGGTTGTAGAGATCTTGAAATCTATCAATCCATATCAGAGATATTATATAAATCACAGAGAAATAAGATGTTGTGGCATATGTCACGTGCACTGACTAGAAAACGATTGGTTAATATCGATTTATTGACATTGTTTCTAAAGTTTGCTTTGGATACAAATGAAGAGACAAAAGCAAAAAATTTCTATGGACTTTTGGTAGAATACAAAGAACAATATAAAAGTAAATTCACAATTGATACATACATACAGGTGGTACGATTAAATAGAATGGAACTACAAAAGGTTAATCGTATAGAGGCAGAGGTCGATTATGAAGGACTGTCTAAATGGGGCCCTTTTAATGCTGCCATTATTCAAGTGTTGGTCAATGAAAATCACAATGTTGGACGTGCCATCAAAATCTATGAAAAGGAGAGACAACACGCACAACTCTCCAATACCAAGGTGGATACTAGTATTTTCGAGGCAATGTTGGTTGGGTTCTCCCGTATCAAGCGATTCGACCTTTACGATCAGTATTGGGCCGAGATGGAGAGACATGGCGTCGAACCAACCATTTTAATGGCATCGTCGGCACTTCTAAAGATCGAGACGGTCGATCAGATCAACTCGTTTTACAAGGTGCTCACTGAAAACTATCCCAAGATTGCCTACAACAATTTCGTGCTCACTGCACTCGTCAATGCCTATATCAGTCGCACACCCGACTACCAGATCGACACGATGAAGAATTTTATCAGTTTTCTCTTTGCAGAGATTATCCGTATACGCGAGCCAGACATGACCAAGGCAGAGTTGCACAAATCCCTCTTTGACCTCTACCACAATGTCATTGGTATATGTATGCATCGCAAAGGGTATGCGACGTGGTGTCTAGAAGAGGTGTTTCATCTCTTTGCATCAGAACACACCAATGTCGAGATACCCCATCATCTCTTGAGCAAGGCACTCTATGTCTCTTGTAGAATACGTAATCACGAACTATTGAAAAAGGCACTCGAGATTACAAGACAAAGGACACCTCGACTCAAATGGTCAATCTATGGAGACACAATCCAATATCTCTTGCTCACTGGCCAACACCAAGAGATTGAAAAGATTATCGAGTTGGCCGAATCCAAAGAGTCGGCAGATGTCGATCTCCGTCTCATCCCCGACCTACTCGCCTTCTTTGAACTCGATCAAGCAAGACTACAAAAGTATGGCACCCTATTCACCAAATACCTTGCCATATTGCGAGCCACCGATCGCTCTTTATACGATCAATCGGTTCATCGAATCATTGAAACCAATCTATTGCTAAGTAGAGAATCACATGCTCTCAAATGGTTTGAAGAAAATGAAATCAATCAATCAACACTCAAAACACTCAGTCTATTTATGGAATACTATAAACTTAAGGGTATATCAAACAAGGAAAAGGCTTGGGCTCATAGAGTCAAGGAAACTGGTTTACGTTTTGATCAAAAGAAACCAATAGATTCATCTTTTGGTGCAAAATGGTATACAAGAAATTTATCAATAGTTGGTGAAAAGAAATAAATAGTAAAGAAATTAAAATTTAATTTTAAAATATTATTATTAATTATTTATTTGTTTATTTATTTAATCGACATAACGTTTCTTTGACATTTGAATAGAATTTAAAGTTTTATGACGAAGTTTTCTTTGTACGAGGAAAGCAGAGAGGAAGACAAGTGCTCCACCAACTACACTGCATACAACGATAACAGGAATACGCCAATTTGAAGTGGAACCACACTCTGTTTTGGTTTCACTCTTGAGAAGTGATGAGAATGTTGGATCGAGGACAGTCGATTCAGTGAAATGTGGTGATTGCATGGCTACTAAAAGATTGTACTCCTTTTCGGTAGTGTTGACCTTGCCATAGAGTTCATCATTGGCATCCAATAAAAGAACCTTGGATGGTACAATTCTAGAATCTACAATCATTCTAGTAGAGAAACGTGCATTCAATACTGATGATCCAGTATCCAATTGGAAAGAGTAGAGTGATTCCGAATCTTGAGTAGAAGTGAGAGCTGTATCCTTTTCCTCACAGTTGAATGTCGATTTTTTATCAGTCTTGGTGTTGTAGATGATTTCGAGTGTGCTTAGAGCTTGGACCCACTCCCAATCGGTGATAGTGACTTCATACTTTACACTGTTGGGTTCGATTGGGATGGTCTCACCGGCAAACACAATCGATCCTGCATCCTTGAAATTGGTAATAGTCACCAAAATAACGGCTGGGTCAGTTGGGAAACGACCAGTGTAGAGTTTTTGGCTATCAGAGACAGTTGATACATTCCATACGAGGTTCTTGGTTGAGAGTGTCTTGAGAATGCTATTGTCCAATAGATTGATTTCTCTTAGATGACTAATGGCAATAGTGAAATTAACCTTGGCTGGGAAGGTGGTATTTCCATTTGGATCGACATTGGGGTCGACTGGTTTAACATTTCCATCATCCTTGGTAGAGCAGTCTGGGCTGGAAAGGTAACCAGCGTCACAGAGACATTTACCAGTGAGTGGTTGGCATATACCGTGCAAAGAGCAGTTGTTTGGACAAGTCAACTCTTTGGTGTAGAGGAAAACGGCACCAGTACCAACAAGACTATGGGCAGTGACTGTTACATTGAGTGTTTGGTTGAGTGGTGTATCTACACTTGCATCAAAATGACATACAATCTTTTGAGGAGAAACTACAGTGGCATCCAACAACTTGGCGTCTGTACATTCGACAGTATCAATAGTGACGGTTAGATTGTCTCCATCACCAAACGATTGTCCATAGATGGTTACATCACCTCCAACATTCTTTTGAACTGGTGTGGCAGATGTCACGATTGGTTCGTGGTATTGAACCAAGATCGAGTTTGATTGGAGATTGGTAGATGGATAATAGGCAGAAACTTCAAATGAATCATGTCCAATGGGAATGGAAAGTTCCAAAGAGTATGGACTATTGATCGATGGTGACAAGTATGAGAATACAATTGATCTATTCTCACCGACGACGGTATAGTTTTGATTGATAATTAATTGTAATGGTTGATCTAGAGAGTCTGTGCTTGAAAGGAAATAACCAGTGACTGTAACCTTGGCACCAGAAGTTAATAACTTGGTGGTGGGTGTGACGGCCAAGAGGACTGGTTGTAGGGCATATTGAATTTCATTAGATACCAAACCAGATACTGTTACTTGAACCAAACCATTTCTAGCACTATCTGGAACAGTGACAATGATTTCAGTATGAGTGACTGATACAAGAACAAGTGATTCACCTCCAATGGTAGCTTGAACAACTTGTGCGTTATCACTAAAATCTGATCCACTAATAGTTAAACTGTTGTAATCAGAAGCATCTAAACGAACGACTGAAACAATTTGTGGATTGTTGTAGGTGAATTTAAAAGTATTCTCTGACAAGAGCGACAATGACGATACTTGGACAATGTGATCGGATCCATAACCAGCTGGCACATCAAGAATCAATGATTGAGCGTTGACCAATGTGACAGAAGACAAGGCATTACCATCGACTAGTACTTGAATAGGTTCCATGGAACCAGTTGATGGGTTGAAATCTTCAAAGAATCTACCTTGGAATGTAATTTGGTCGCCAGATGTCTGGATTGAAACTGGTGTGATGGATGTGAGGATTGGTCTAAAGAGCAACATGACTCGATCAAAGAGTGGACCATTCTTTACAGAGATGTATCCACTGGTCGCAGAGGCTGGTAGAGTGGCGCATTGAATAAATGTATCATTTCCAGTACATCCTGTCACCGACGAGGCATTTCCTACAGATATGGTGAGCTTGGAAACATCACCAAACAAATTACCATGGATTTCAACAGTTTCACCAATTTGTTCGGCCGACGTTATACTGAGACCAAAGTAGGTGAATGCTTGACGCCATCCATTCAAACCATTGACTGTAACCGATACGTTTAATGAACCTTGTGGAACGACAGAAGAGTCATAGGAAACAACCAAAAAGGTGTCATTGACAAACTGGTTGATTGGACAATTGGCTGATTGTATAGATACTACTAGATTAGTATTGGCAAAGTTGGTTCCAGTAATGGTGACAAGACCTGGTGTTTGGTAGTAGGTAGATGACGCAGTAAGGACTGTTGGGGATTGATAGGCAAAGGTGAATGCTGGTGATGAAGTTCCATCAATGGTCATGATGGCTGGTACCTTTCCTGATCCAGCTGGCATTTGACATTGATAGGTGTATGGCGAGGTGTTGGTTGATTCGCCAATGACGGCACATGAAACTGCTTGAGAGTTGACTGTAAATGCTGGAGAGGTAGATTGACCGGCTTGGTTGGTAGTTGCCATTAAATAACCTGTAATGTTATATTGTCCTCCGAGAACAGGTGGGCTTTGTACCGATAGAATAGTTGGTTGGAACTTGAAATTTGTAATAGAAGCAGTCTGACCGTCTACAGTTAGAGTAACCAATCCATTTTGAACGTTGGTTGGTAGAACAATATCCAAAACAGAGTGTGGGGTAGAATAGGCAATCTGGGTCATATCAAGCTCACCAATATTTACTGAAACCAATCCTAGTTGACTACCAAAGTTGGTACCTGTCAATCTCATGTTCAAACCAGACTGAGTGGCAGATAGAGTTGGTGCACCATAACTATACTGTAATGCATTCGATGCTCTAGATCCGACAGAAACGGTCAATGTCTTTTGGACACCAGTTCCCGATTGACTAGTATATAATAATCTTTGGTTGCTGACATATTGTGGTGGAGAAGAAGATGATGCTACTCCATTATCAGAAACACTGATAGTGTTTGATACTCCATTGGATGTTTGTTCAAAGTATCTACCATTAATTGTGATGATTGTATTTCCATTGGTTGGAATGACAGTTGGAGTAATGGATGTCAAGTAGGGGGTGAATGTGAATGTAAAGGTTGGGGCAGTTGGGTATGGACCGGTGATACTGACAACACCACTGACAACAGTAGTAGCAAGATTCTTGCATTGAATCAATGTGTTGGATTGAAGTGTACATGAAGAGGTGATGGTAATCGAACCAATGACAACATTGACAAGAGCTAGATTAGATCCATAGTTGTTGCCGTCGATTTCAATGTAATCTTGGATTTGACGAACATTGGTGATAGTCGGGACAGCATAGGAAAAGAGTACATTGTTGTTGGATACTTGTCCAGATACAGTGACAACCACTGCATAACTAGTACCTTGACCAGCTGGCATTGTACAACTGATTGAAGTGTGTGCAGTGACGATATTGACATTACTACAAACTACTCCACCAACTGTGACCTGAATACGAGTAGCGTCATTGAAGAAATTACTGCCACTGATGGTAATACTACCACCCAATGGAGAAATGTTTTGTGTGACTGTAGAGACAACTGGTGTTTCATACATAACGTTGAAAGAGTTGGATACTTGTGCACCGACCTTTAGAGTGGATGGGTAGATACCTGAACCAGCTGGCATTTGACATCTGACGATGGTGTGAGCAGTGACATAGGACAAGACACCGCATGAATTACCGCCAAGAGTGAGAGCAGAGACTAGGTTGTAGAAACTAGTACCTTGGATGGTGATGAATCCACCAGTTGTGGGGATTTTGTTGACAGTGGCAACATTTGGTGGACTGTATTGGATGTATTGTGTTTTGGTAGGTGTAGCACGACCGTCAATCGACACGGTAATCTCGTATGGACCGTCAATACCGATTGGTACATTGGCAATCAAATAGGATTGGATAAAGTCTCTAAAATAGGGAACAGTAGCACCACGGAATGTAATGACGATACTACTAAACTGAGTACCATAGTTGTCCATCGACATGGATACGTTGCCACCCTGAGTACCAACCATATTGGTAGTGTTTGCACTAAATTGTGGGGTATCACCACCATACTCGACCAACGTAGAGCCGGCTCCAGCGGAAATGGCCAAAGTACCATTCCAGAGGTTGTATAAAAGTTGTGACGAGGCTGTCCAAGTACTAGTGTCGGGAGTCTGGAGTGTATAGATACCACCTGGTACAGTTTGTCCATTAGTGGGACCAGACATATAGGTATAACCTCCAGTGGCTGGGTTAAATGTAGCACCCTGCCATGCAAGCCATACAGCACTACCAAATGGGAATGGAAGAGTATTATTTAAAAACTCGTATAATCCTTGACTATTGATGACAGCTGCATGACCTGGTTGTCCATCAACTCTCAGTTGTGATGAATAATTGGCAATGGTTACTTGGAATGTTGAAGAACTAATAAATCCTGAATAAAACATTCTATTTGCAGCATAATCTAAAAAGAAAGAAAGATAAAAAAGTGGAATTAATTAAATGAATTATTTAAGATATTCTATTTAAACTATTCTCTTTATACATACAAACAGCAGGTTTATAAGCTCTAACAGATAAAGTATCTACAGTCATTATAATTGGAAGTAATTTGTTATTGACTGATAATGAAGCAGAGAGAATACAAGTAAAAGCTTGACTGGTGACGAGGAAATTGATAGAATTGCATGGAGTGAGCAATGAACCGACAGTGACAACAAGTTTACTGGCATCGGAACCGAAATTGGTACCAGTTATAGTCAACAGTGAACCTTGGGTGTATCCTGGGTAAACAGAAGAGACAAATGGACTTTCAAATTGATAGTTGAAGGTTTTTGAAACCTTGTTGGTACCATCCTTGACAACAACTGTGTATTTACCAGTTTGTGCTGGCATTTGACAGGTAACGGCAGTAGAGTTTATAATTTGAATGCCACCACATGTAAAGGTTGTGCTTTCACCCACCTTTGAAAATGTAATGGTTAAAGTAGATAATTGGTATCCTCCCAAATTTGTGACAGTCATTTCACCACCTGCAGTAGAGACGGGTGCCATAATTGGTTCTTCCATACCACCATACTCACAAATAACAGCTGGAATAGCTGCAAGATTATTATTATTATTCCAATATGGATCAAGTTTAGTTCCACTAGTATGTAAATAATGTTCATTTGGAATTAACTAGAAAAGAAAGGTTAATTGTTATTCTTTTTGATATATATAAATTATATATATATATTTTTTTGGGTGTTTACTTACATTTGGCTCAACTGGACCAAATTGACAAGAAGTATAACATTTATCAAAATAAAGGTTGTATAAAGGTTGTCCTCGCTCTGGACCCGAACTATAAAACCAGACACCATCTCTACCCGATGGAGTATCAGTACCTGACATCCAAGAAGCTTCAATGGTAACTATACCAACACTATGTGCCCATAACCATTCTTCATTGGTTGTCCAAGTTACAAGGTATCTATAAAAATATAAGATATATATGAGAGAACAAAAGTTAATTAAATAAATTATTATTTAAATGAACGAATGAATATTTTGTTGTTGTAATATATATATTTATACATACGCTTGAGTACCATTGACAACTGGTAAATCTGAACAAAATTGAGTTGCATTGTATCCTGTTAGGAAAGATCCTGTTGGGAATTGATAACGTTGGTAATAATGATTATTGGTTGGGTTATAGGCTGTAAGAATGAGTTCCGATTGTCCAACCGATACCAACATAAAAAGTAATAGTACAGATAAAAATATTATTTTCATTCTTTTCTTTTTTTTCTCTCTTTAAAAATAGAAAAAAAAATGCCTTATAATTATACAAAAAAAAAGAAAAGAAAAGAATAGATAAATAAAAACAGATATATAGAGATAGATAGAATAGATATGAAAAGGATGAAGAAACAAAAAAAAACAACTCTCTATTGTTTGGTTGGAGGTGGAGGAGGTGTTGTGTTGGTTGGGAAGCCAAGATGCGCCTAAAGAAAATATATATTTTTTCAAACCAAACAGACACACATTGTCAGATCGTGTATATCTTGGTATGCGGTGAGGGATCCCTCCATCTCATGAAAAATCGGGTAGGTACGATTTTTTTTAAAAATCTGATTCAGATCGTAGATGAGTACGGTTGGTGGGCCGTTGAGAAAAAAAAAAATCCACATGGTGCTCTTGCAAGAGAGGATAACTGCAAGGACAACTATGACGCATCCCTCTCTTTCTTGTACCTAGAAATGTTTGTTGTCAAGACATAGTAGTTTTGTTGTTCGAGAATCTTGTAGAGAACCTATAAATAGTTGTTAATCAGAAGGATGGGATTGTTGTTAATAATGTGCTGTGGAAAAAAAAGCAGAGAGGAGAAACAAGTTGGGTTGTTTGGTTGTCTATAGACAATAATGATGATGATGACGAGGAATAGTATCCTAGTTTGCAACAGCGACGGAGTGACATGAGTCGTGGTGGTTTCTCTCTATCTCTGGTGACAGGCGCCTGTTGTCAAAGTTGTTTATTAAAGTACTTTGCATCGATGATATCATCACCCATCATTAAAGATATATAGTATAAAATAAGATAAGATAATATATTTATTTACACTGTGAAGAGAAAGAGGAAGAAAAGAAGATATATCTAGATAAATCTACGCATAGAGAAATTGGTGGAATGAGGGTTGATTGTTGGTTCACTTTTCTTTTTTCTCTCTAGCTACCCCCCAATCATCAAAAATATTAATTAAAAATGTGTGGGAGCTGACGCAGCAGCAGTAACATTATTAAGATTCAAGAGCGCAGAAATCATTGTATTAAAATATATATATAATTAGAGCTCTCTTATCTTATTTGTTTGTGTATCTGTATTTGTAAAAAAAAAAATTATTACATTTATTATTTGTCATTTATTTTCCGAAATGGATGACCTTGACAAAGAAATTCAGGAGCTGATGAGAGCAAGGGAAACAAGAAAATCAGAGACCGATTTGAACAACAACTCTTCAGTCTTTTTTAGAGCTACCTCTGGTACTGTCTCTACTAGTTCACATACCTCTTCTGGTGATACTCATAGTTACAATCGTCCATCTCAATCATCATTATTTGATCGAAATAACCGTGGTGGTCATATCAATAGCCGTGGTGGTCATACCAATAACCGTGGTGGCCATATCAATAATACCCGTGGTGGTCATACCAATAATCGTGGCGGCTTTAACAATAATCGTTACAATAACAACCAACCCCGTCATGATAGTTCATCATCATCAACAACAACACCTACTACTACTACTACAACAAAGAATGAAGATCGTAAATCAAAACCATCAAAAGAAATAGATGAAGCAGCAATATTTGATAGATTCTTTTCGAAAGATCGTCAGAACAGTAGTTCAACATCAACCTCCTCCTCCTCCTCTTCTTCTTCTTCATCTTCTTCCTCGACATCATCGTTGGGTGAAAAAACTCCTTACCAAAGAAGTTACAACAGACAACCATTTACATCTAAAGATGGTACTCACACCTCCTCGTCGGGTTATGTAAAGAAGGATTATGAACCATTTTCTAGTCAAGAGGGCATTAGAATATACCTAAGAAAGCGACTATATGAATTTGAAAGTGATGATCCAGAGTCAAGAAAGAGTCAACGTGACATCACTGACGTGCTTGCAACGAACCAAAGAAAACAGCTAGAAGATATTCTTGGTCAAACAGGGCTATCCGATGAGACCATGGCCCTCATAATGAAGTTCTTTGCTGCTGAGCCAATTAGAGCGAGTATCATCCAACAAAGAACCAATGAGCTATACCAAATGCTACTCAACTCAAATGTAATGGGACATCATTCAAATATGGACAACTATTTGGACCATGCTTTCAAAGCAAACACTCCACCAGAACGTATCTTGGATGTAGCAACGGTGTTCCACCAAATATCTAGCCGTTTTCAAGGAGGTTGTAACAAGATTCCTTTTGAACCATTTAAAAAGGTTGTGATGCTTTATTATTCAAAATCAAGCAATTTAATTGATTGTATCAGAATGATAGAGCTAAAGAAATTAGCAATTATTGATAGTGTACGTAGTATAGAATAATAATAATAATGATCATTTAAAAAAAGATTTGTATTAATTAACTTTTTTTTTAAAAAAAGAAAATATATAAAGATCTTCCAATCAATTATCAAGAATTACCAATCATTCCAACTGTTGAAGAATTACATGGTCCTTTTCCAGGTCTAAGTGGATTAATGGTTGGTGTATACTATTCAAAGGAACACTATATTGACACGCAATTCAAGTTGTTGAGAGAAGACCTTGTACATCCTCTGCGAGAGTCCATCCAAACTTATCTTGCTGGAAATTATTGTAAAAATATCTATGAAGATGTTGAATTTGTTGGTATGTGTATACACATTTAATTACAACAAGTTTATGTTTAATCTAATTTTATTTCTTTTCTCAAAAAGCAAATACATCATGCTTTCAATCATTATCTTTTTCAGTTAAATTTCGTGTAGATAAACGTATAAAATGGAAAAAGACATCAAAATTATTGCATGGTAATTTGGTAGGTTTGACAAATGATGACTTTGAAACAATCTATTGGGCAACGGTGACTACTCGTCCATCTGATGGAGACCTAGCACAAATTGATATTTCATTTTTAGATGATGAAAACACCAAGAATATTGGAATGTTTTATTTATCGTCATGGACAATGGTAGAATCTCCATCGTATTTTGAACAACACAGAAATATTCTGACATCGTTAAAGAATATCGACAAGGTTCCATTCCAAGATTACTTGGTTTCTTGTAACTTGCAAAATATGAAGCCACCAAACTACATTCTTGAAGACTCGCAGTTTGACTTTAGTGAGACATTTTACGAGGACATCAAGGATCCAGAATACTCTAAAAGGAGCTACAAAAATGTCGATGTATTGGTCGAAAGCAGCATTCCCAAGCAACTCGGTACATTGGATGATTCCCAAAAAGAAGCTTTTTTACATAGTCTAAGAAATGAATTAGCTTTAATTCAAGGTCCTCCTGGTACTGGTATGTATAAACAAACAAAAAAAAATATATTATAAATTGTGGTAATAACGCAAATTATTATTATTTTATTTTTTTTAGGTAAATCTTATCTTGGTTTAAAACTATTTGAAAATATATTGAAAAAGCAATCACATCCAATTCTTGTTATCTGCTTTTCAAATCATGCGTAAGTAGTAGTATTTTTAATCATTTTTTAAAATTACAACCTAAATATTTAATCTTTTTTATAGATTGGACCAATTTATCAATAATGTTGCTAAAACTACTCAAAACATTGTGAGAATAGGAAGCCAGTCTAGAGACCCAGGTATGGAACAGTTCAGTCTTGCAAAAAAAGTTCGCCGATCACATGACCATTGGCATATGATAGATGAAAGAAAGGCAACGATAAAATCACTGAACCTGATATTAAGAGGTATGAAATATTTATACTTTTAAAGTTTTTTATGCTTATTACTTATTATATTTATTATTCAACAAAAGAATTATCAACAGGGGCAGTGCCAATTGCATTCCTAACCGAGGGAGGTGGATTGACAGCCCAGCAAAAGAAAATCTTCCAAAAAAAGAAAAAGAAATACAACTCTTTTAAAAAATGGCTCAAACCTTTGGGATTGGAAATTGAGAATCATTTTGTCAAGAAAAAAGGCATTACTATTCAAACTAGTCATTCTGAACCGGTTCCCAATGAAGTGGAGGAGGAGGAGGAGGAGGAGGATGACGACGATGGAGAAGATGAAGACGATGTAATAGACCAAATGAATGCAAGATTTATAAACATCGATGGATTGGATCGACTATCGGAAAAGGAAGTGACTCCAACCGACCTGACAGTGACATTCCAAGCCATGTCTCAAAACTCGGCCAGTTTTGAAGTGGACAATCTATTTGATCTCGATCCTAGCAACCGAGCTCTCTATTGGAGTCATATCCAAAAAAAGTATCTCGAGTCTTTATTAGAGATCTATGGAAATTTAGTGGAGCGACACAAAGTAGAAACAGAAAACATTAAAAACTATGAACACCAATCCTATGTAACCGAGTTGTGTAAAACTGAAGTTATTGGCGTGACAACAACTGGAGCTTCAAGACTCAAGGATGTACTATCAAAATTAAAATCAAAAGTGGTTATCATTGAAGAAGCAGCCGAAGTAATGGAAAGGTTCGTACCAAATATTAAATCGATTATTTAATTTTAAATGTTGGAATTAAAAAAGATTAATTTTTTTTATTATTTTCAGTCATATTCTTTCTGTAGTTCCACCCTCTGCAGAACATTTGATTATGATTGGAGATCACTTTCAACTTCGTCCATCATCATCTGTTTATCAACTCAACAAACATAACATTGATGTTTCGCTCTTTGAAAGAATTACAAAGTTACCAGGATCAACTTTTAAAACACTAAACACTCAACGTCGTATGGCTCCCAATATTTCTTGCTTTATCAAATCAATCTATCCTAAACTTCAAAACCATCAAGATGTCGTGACAAGATCGATCGAGAGCAAGGATAAAATCAGAGGTTTACAAAGCAACGTTCATTTTATTGATCACCGTCATTCCGAACAATTAAATGACAATACTAAATCATCCAAGGTCAACTTATTTGAAATGGACTTTGTGGTGGAATTGGCAAAATATCTGATCAACCAAGGTTATGATAGCTCAGATATTATTATCCTCACACCCTACACTGGACAACTTCTCAAAATCAAGAGTAAAATTTCAAACCTCATAAACTTTTACCCCAAGATGAAAGGGTTGGCGTCGAGAACCGTAGATCAGTACCAGGGTGAAGAGAAGAACATTGTCATTGTCAGTCTTGTCAGATCAAACAATGAAAAAGCTGGTGGGTTTATTAGCATCCAGAATCGTATAAATGTGACATTGTCAAGAGCTAAACTGGCAATGTATATAATTGGAAATGGTGAACTCTTAAAGAGTGCTCATCCATTATGGGAAGAGGTTGCCGAAATTTTAACTGACCGTGGTTGCTATACCTCTTATTTACCAATTGTTTGTGAGAATCATCCCAAAACTATCAACAAAATTACAACGTATGTTCACATATATATAGTCGTAGTGTTTGGTCGTAGTGTTTATAGATTATCAAATTTAATTTATTAATTAATTTTTTTTTTTACTTTTTATAGAGCAAATGACTTTAATCAATGTTCTCCCAATGGTGGATGTTATCTTCAATGTGAAGATAGATTGTTGTGTGGACATCAATGCCATTATAAATGTAAGTTATAATTATAAACATGCTAGTTGCAACTATATCTTTTTGAAATATTATTTTACCAACTTGTAAATATATTTTATTTTTTTTAGGTCATTCGTTTGATAGAGAACACAAACACATCAAATGCACAAAACCATGTGAGTTGGATAATTTGTGTGGTCATAGATGTACTGGTATTTGTTCGGCTGATTGCCCAAAGTGCCCTGTAAAGGTCCAAAAGAAGCTCGGCTGTGGACACACCATCACAGACAAATGTTCAACCACAGACAGTATTTGCATTGAAAAGTGTGAAAAGATACACTCTGGTTGTGAACACAAGTGTGGAAAACTATGCAAAGATAGATGTGGAGAATGTGAAACAATTGTCAACCGTCGTTTGAGTTGTGGTCATGTCAGATCACTTGCATGCCACCAATCGTTAATTGGTTTAAAATGTAATGAAAAGGTAAGAATATATGATTGTGATTGTCTTTTATGGATGTTTAACTCATCTTGTTATTATTATTATTATTATTATTATTATTTTAACTAGGTCAAAACTACACTAATATGTGGTCATTCAACAATGGTTAGATGTTTTATTGAAGACAAGGCTGGAGAGCCATGCTCGTCAAAGTGCCAATCAATCATGACCTGTGGTCATCCATGCACCAACAAATGCTCAGAGCCTTGTCAAGACTCTACCAAATGCACGGCTCCAAAGACAGTCAAACATGAATGTGGTCACGAGATTATTATCAATTGTAATGATACCAAGGAGAAAACGTGCAAGTTGGTTATATCCAAAACAGCATTGTGTGGCCACACGATCAAAGATGTTTGTACTGCACCACTTCCAAATCCCATGTTGTGTGGAGAGAAATGCTTGCATTTACTCCCATGTTCGCATCCATGTCCTGGAAAATGCAGTGAAGAGTGTGACCCTACTTTATGTACATTTGTGTTCATTAAAACAAGACCATGTGGACATCAAGTCAAGGAACGTTGTTCAACCCAATCATTATGCTACAAACACTGCAAGAGTGTCCTGGCATGTGGACATCCATGTCAACTACCATGTACTCCTCACCAATCAAATGTAGCAGGTGAACAAATTCATAATACCGATTGTCAATTGTAAGTGTATCTCAATCTTATAGACGATTTCATATTATACCAATACTAATTAATCTATTATATTATTACATAATATAGTTGCAAGAATAACACTGAGCCATTCCCAATGATGGAAACTATTGAGGTTGAATACATTGAAGGTCCAAAACCAACTGCACCAACCGCCAAAAAACAAATCAATAATAGACATCGCAATAATAATAATAATAAGAATCAAAATCAAAATAATAATAATAATAATAATAATAATAATAATAAGTATCAAAATAAGAAAAAAAAATAGATATTAGGGTAGAGGTGTGGTATGTATACATACTACCACCAATAACGTTACCTTTCTTTTTTAAAACCACTCTCTAGATAAAGAAATGATATGAAATAAATAAATATGTTTTTGGTTGGTCATCATCGTCAACAATTTATTTGAAATTTTTGGAGGGAAGTGGTTTATGGTTTAATTCAATTTTTGTACCCCCACGCCTTTTAAAGCCTGAATCCCACAGTCAGGGGTATCATCTCCCATGGGGTGAATTTTATAATCATCAACCACCTTTTAGACTAAACAGGATTAATTTAATTAAACTCCTTTTTTTTCATTCTTGATCATCTACAGTACTCACCTGCTGTCTTGTCTGATGGATGGTTAGACCACCTACCTACCTATCCTATCTACTACTATCACCTCAACTCATTTATCATCATCATCAACATCTCTCTTTCCAATCAACAACTATATTTACACATTTTTTTTAAATTATACCCAAAAGACAAATTAATTTTCAAGTTCTTTTAATCAATTAATTTATTTATTTATTTATCTATACAAATAATAATAATAATAATTTAAAATCACCAACAATAATAATAATTAATTAATTAAATATGGATCATCCACAAGAAGCAGAAGTTCAAATAGATATTAATGGTGCTGATCAACCAGAGCCACAACAACAACCAGATCTCCTCAAACAAATTGGTGATGAAGTAGACTCACCAAAAGTGGAAGAGATTGACAACCAAGTTGAAGCTCAAGATGAAGGTCAAGAAGCAAATGTAGATGAGTTGGAAGAGTCAATTGTCAATGGTGTTCCATCCATTGAAGAACAACAACAAGATGAAGAACAACAAGAAGAGGAACAACAAGAAGAGCAACAAGAAGAACAACAAGAATCATCTGTACAACCACCATCAAATGTCCAAGTTGAAAATGAAGTCCAACAACAACAACAGCATGAAAATTCCAGCAAATTAAATGAACTTGCAGCCAGTCTATCATCTGAACAAGCTATTGATGAATGTGCCACCTCAAAGAGAACCATTGAAGATGCCCAAGACGACTCTACTGAACAACAAAAGGATCCAAAGAAACGTAAACAACAAGAACTACAACAAACTGAAACCGATCAACAACCACAAGCAATTGATGCCACTTCTCAATAATACTTTAAAAAAAACAAAAACAAAAAAGATAAAGAATAGCAAATAGAGATAGATATACGTATACATAGGTTGTAGGGATTTGGGATAATAAAAACTATATAGTAGAAACCTTACAACCAAAAAAAACAAATCAAATAAAAAAGTGATGGACATACATTATTGTAAATATTATTTTCATATAAACACAAAAAAAGGACTCTTAGAGTCTAAAAGAGAAGTGTTGTTGGATATTTTAAAAGATTTAAATAAATAAATTAAGGAGGAGTGGGTATATAATTTAGTTTTATTTGTTACAAGTTGTTATTCTTACAAATAATGTATATAGTAATTATTATTATGTATTACTACTTTGTTATTATTATTATTATTATTAATTAATTATATATATATAATTTCTTTTTCTTTTTTTTTCTTCTTCTTTCTTTCTTTCTTTTTTAAAGATCATCTTTTCGTTTAAAAATAATGATTTGATTTAAAAAGTTTACAACCTTTGTAGATATAGATAAAGAATCTTGAGGTGATAAATTTAATGGTGACACATACAAATTTGGTGAAATAATAACGGCTAAATTGATTGGAAATAGAAATAGAAATTAAAAAGTAAGTAAATATTATCAATGAGTTTTTTTTTTTGTTTTGGCTATACATACCAAAATTTTTTGAAGACATTTTGTTAATTGATTCATTTTTAGAGATGGTTGCTAATAGATCAATTAACCAAAGGAAAATAGTTTGATTTGGTTCAGGTAGTTGGTTGAGTGTGGAATTGATTTTGGATTCATTTGGTTCTGTTTCGTTGGCTTCGAATTGAAGGAAGGATTCTGGACGTATGGGAGAGAGGATTGGGTTTTTGAGCTCGCGGAACCACAACTTGATGAGAGCGGCAGAGTTGTGGAGATCGTTGGTGTTGGACGAGGTGAGTGGCTGGTTGTTGGTCCAGTCACGCTCTCGTGTCATCATGAGTGTGCGTTCGTCACCCGGTGGCAGTCTGAAAATAGACTCGACATTGAGTCCGCCATTGGCGAGGATATGTCGTTTTAATTGTACCAACACGGATGGCACAGTGGCAAATGCGCCGTCTTGTACCATGTCGCACTTGTTGAGTGGTAGGCCAAAGGGTGTTGGACGCGTCTCGGCGTGCAAGATGATGTAGTGACGTAGACCGCCTTCGACCTCGACTATAATGGCTCGTCTCATGCGGACACTTGTCTTTAGGGTCAATCGAATGGTCATGGAGCACGACTCTTTCTTTTTGAGCACACCTTCGATTGGGTCGACCGATACGGTGTGCGTCTTGCTCGGTGGGCCCATAAGTACTTTAAACTTGACCTTTTTAGAAGATGTAGACGACACTGTAATCGTAGACACCAACTCAATGTTGAGTGGTGCGGGGTGGCACTCGACACTGCCGACACCAATCTTGCTTGCATTGGCTCCATAAGAGATGAGTGTCTTGGAGAGACGGATCGACGGTCGTTCATTGTCGTTTTGCATCAACTTTACGGCCGACACAAATATCGATCGACGCGCCGATGGAGACGATGTTTGTGCGAGTGGGTTGGTTGGAGTAGTGACACACTCGTGACACTTGTCCAAGTACATGGAAAGGAGACCATTCTCTTGTGTCAAGAGGTTGTTGAGCATGATCACATGCTCTTGCGAAGAGGTTGGAAATTCGCATTTATAAGATCGAGCCAATTGTTCAAACAGTGGATCACCATTTGACTCTCCAGCAGTATCACCATTTATACTCAATGGTGGAGGTAATTCTAAATGATTTAAATTAACCTCCCATTCTGGTGAAAGTGGTGGTTGTTTTACTTCGATAGTGTTTAGAGTTGGTGTTGAATGTGATGATGATGATGATGAGGAAGTGGCGGTAGTAGTGACAGTTGATGGATTTACAACACCAATGAATGGTGAGGATGTAGTAGGTGCTTGAGTTGGTGTAGTTGGTGCTGAATTATCCCTTCTCGGACTATTGTTACTTTGTTCGGGTATAATACTACAATTATTGTTGTTGTTGTTGTTTAATGGTTGGAAATCGACAGGCTTGAAATTGATTCCACGAGGAGTCAGACGATAATTTGCCTTTTCGCTAGCATATGATATAGATACTTCTTGATTTGATTTTAGTAATCTTGGTGATGATGATGATATTGTTTCATTTTCTATTTGGATATTGTATTTACTTGGTTGGTTTCCAGTAGTAGCAGCAGCAGTAATTTGATTTGATGATGGAGGGGGAGGCGTCGTAATTACACTTGAACTGTTGTTTTTGGTTGGCGTCGTATTGGCACTATCAGATAAATTTGATAATGGTGGAACCGCTGCTGGACTATTATTATTATTAGTAGTAGTATTATTTATATTATTATTATTGATACTATTTGAAGAATTATGAATTGATTGATCAATAAATTTCAAATCACCAAAACTAGTATTTAAATTGGAGTGACTATTATTGGTTGATCCTCCTCCAAAGCTGGCCATTGATGTAGTTGGAGTCGATGTGACAGATGATGGCACTGAAGACAATGTATTGGAACTCGAGTTGAGGGTAGAGGATGAAGAACCAAATACAGTGTCTCTTCGAGACTTTAGACTTTGTGCAATGGTATGTGTCGGTGGAACGTACGATGGTGGTTGTGGAAAACATGATAAAAGTTGGACAAGATTCATTATTTCTTCATTGTTGAAACTTATACTAGTTTGAAGTGTGTTGTTGGTTTGTTGAGGAATTGGTTGGAAAAAGGGAATAGGTGATAATTTGTTCCCATTATTATTATTATTATTATTATTATGATTGATTCCAGTTTCAAATTGATCCAAACTTGATGTACTTTTTGATAATGAACTATCAGATCTAATAGTTAGATGCTCTTGATTATTATTGTGATGATTGTCATTGTTTAAAAGATCAATTTCCTCATCACTACTATCCATCAAAGATGAGCTAGTTTGATGAATATTCTCCACTTCTGTCATTCTTTATTGTTGTTGGACCACCACAATAACAAAAAAACAACTTCTCTCTCTCTCTATTCTATTCTATGTTTGATAGTACTATTATTATTATTATTATTATTCTTATTGTTGTTTCCCTTCTTCTTCTTTGTTTGTTGCAATGTTTTATATGATTACAATAAAAACTTTCAAAGATAGGGAATGGGGAAGTTGAGTTGAGTTGGTTTGGTGATCTAATAAAACTCTATATATAGATTTAGCTCTGATGTTCTGTTTGGACAATGCTAGCACCAAACTGTTAAAAGCGATTTAAAATTAATTTTTGGACAAAAAGAGAATATTGGTATCTATCTGTTGGTGTTGTATTATTATTATTATTGTTGTTGATTAATTGTTTGGACTATAATTATTATTATTATTATTATTTATATAAATATATATATTATATATATGTGTGTAATAAATTATTATTAATATTAAGAATTCTATTTCTTGATTTGTTTATTACGGGTATCGTATTTAATGATTAAAATCAATCAATCAATCACGATTGATGATGATGATGATGATGATGATGATGATGATGATGATGTTTGTTTCGTATTTAGAATCAACAACAACAATGTGTATCAATCAAAAGCTTTTTTGAAGTTATAGGTATAGGGGGTGGTGGGTGATTCATAAATAGAGTCAATAAACAACTTTCTATATCAATCACTCCTCCTCCTCCTGCTCATATATATATATATATATATATACCACTGCTTGTTGTTGATTGTTTTCCCTCCTTGGAAAAACAGTGTGGTTGATGTTGGATTGTGTGTGTTTAATCAAAACGACTACTAGTAGTACCTGTTGCTAAAGTTGTTGTTTTCTTCTCTTTTGTTTTTTTGTAGTGAGGAGATTGTGAAGAGTTATTTGTGTGTGATATCACTTACTTTGTAGCTCACAAAAGAGGTGGGTGGGTGGAGAGATGGGAGATGCTGTTTGGTTGCTATTAAAAGTTAATAGATTGCAATATAGATAGAGTGAGCTGTACTCCTTTCTTTTAAAATAGTATCTTTATTGTATTGTATGTATGTATGCTGATGATTTGTTTTCTATCCTATCTTTTATCTATTTGCAAACAAAACACACATTGTTTATTTCAATTTGAATACGACGATTTAAAGTCAGATTCGAGAGTCGTAGGTGATGAGCTAACGGACTTTTTTCGCATTGTGCATTGTCCAAAATCGGAAATTTGGCGTAATATCCAGATTTTTAATTAATTAATCCAAGATTGGGACGATCGTGACGATCCCCGATTGATGTTTTAATTTATTTATTAAATATATTTATGTTATCTTTTGTGTTTAATCATTGGAAGCCGAGTTGCGTATGACCCAATCACTAATTAAATTCAATGCAAGACCATCGGTGATTGATGGATCAAGTGTATGTGAATTTGAATTTGATGTGCCGCTTCTACTAGTCTCTTGAATCTTGTTTAAGATACTTGCTAAAAATGATGATACAGGTGAATGTCCATTGGCAATAGACGAGGACAATGCCAATGGGACGTGTGGGTAGAGTTGGGTAGGTCTTTTTTCAATTAATAATTGGACGATTGGTAAATAGCCCTTGGATGAGGCAATTTGGAGACACTTGGGACTCATTTGTTGACATGTTTGTGGATGGTCCAATAAAAAGGCTAGCATATCTAGGCGGTTGTGGGTGACTGCTTCATCGACAATATTGACAAGGTCGCGTGCATGTTTGCCTTCAATGAGTATCTTGGCAATCTCTTGTCTCGAGCCAAGCTTAATCGAGTCGACCAAGAGATTGTCAAAAAAGTGTTGTGACGTCGATTTCTTATAGTACAAATTGGAATAGTAGAGGAGGGTTTTAAATATGGCCGGATGATTATTTTCCAAGGCACCAGAGAATGCTTGGTGACTGTATCCTTCACCTCGATGTTTGAGTAAATAGAGTACAACATCCATGTGGCCGTTTCGTGCAGCTCCATCAATAGCCTCGTGTGTAGCACCTTCATTACGGTGTTGGTGGAGATAGGCCACAACATCAAGTGACCCATTTCGAGCGGCACCATTCATAGCAGCTGTGGTACACCCTTCAATCGCGCGATTGGTGTGTAGAAACTCTACTATATTTAAAAAACCAGATGAAGCAGCACCATCCATTGCCTCTTGATTGCAACCTTCTGTTCGGTTGAAATGCAAAAACATGACAATGTCAATGTGTCCTGCTTTGGCAGCCATGTTCATCGAATAGATATTACAGCCTTCCGATCGGTGGGTGTGCAGGAACTTGACAATTTCGAGTGACCCGTTGCAACAGGCCAAGTGGAGTGCCGATCTAGTGGCCAGTTCATAGTCTGATGTTTTGGCAACTTGATGAAAGAATTTAACCGTGTCTAAATTATTACTCTGTGCAGCAATATCGACAAGATAACAACTTCTTTCAAAGAGATCAGTGTTTGATCGATACAGTATGGTCAATGATGGCAAATCCAAATTTGAAACCAATGGTTTGATCATTGATGCTGATAATTTACCCAATTCTTTCTCCAATAAGTCAGTGTTGTTGTTGTTGTTGTTTTGGTCAATTGTCAAATGTTTAATCTTGTATTTCAAAACATTGTACATATTATTATAAACACACCAAGAAATATTGATTTCATTAAACTTCTTTGCACACACATTGGTTGTACTAATCGGTTTTTGTCTTCCATACATTGGGTTAACATGTACCTCTTTAACACGCACGATTGCATCACTGATCGTTTGTTTGTTCAAATCGACAATATATCTTGTTATAATTCTAAACAAATAGACATTGTTTATAATTAAAGATAATGCTCCATACTTTGAATCATATATATTCTTTTTTACTATTAATTTCTTTTTTTCTTGTTGTTGTTGTTGATTTGTTGTTGTAATAGTTGTACTTATTGAAACCATTATAATTTATATATATTATTATTATGATTATATCTCTTTTATATATTTATCTCTTTCTCTTAATTAATTACATTGTAATTGAAACAATGATTGAGGAGCCAACCATGCGGTTAGAGAGACCAAGGTCTCATTGTGAATCACTGATGAGTTGAGTCATCAACCCACCCAAAAACAAACGTTTGTTTTTTCCGAAAAATTACTTTTAAATACTTTGAAAAGTTAACTAACTATCTATCTAGATGCTAATAATCAAGTTTCTCTCTCTTTCTAGTTTGTAATTCTCTTTCTTTTTTTTTTTTGTTTGTAAAAAAAATAATTGATTTATTAATTTGATTTGGTTAGACTACTTGAACCTCTTATACGTTTGGTTGAAAGGGAAGGTTGGAATTGATTGGTGTGGGTACGTTTGGGACCGATGAGAAGGGCTTTGAGATGGACCGTGAGATCTTGGATGGATATCATTTTGTGATGCTCGAGTCTACTCCAGGTATTGGCATCCATCATGGGACGAATGGCTTTGATGGTACGCTCTTCGTTGGCGAGAGTGATGAGTAGACGTAGTGCATGGTCAGTGACCGAGTAATCGTAGGAATCCAACAACTGGACAATTGGTTGGACAGTGTTGGGTGACTCGAGCAATGCAGACACAATGGCAACTTCACTAACCAGCGCTGTCAAGAGACGACATGCTCTGGCGCGAATAGGCTCATCACCACCAGCAATCAATTTGAGCAACGTGAAAACCAATTGTTGTTCAAGTACTTGTTGAAGGGTGGTTTCATCGACTGCAATGGCTCCGATAAGGTCGATGGCAATCATCTTGGTGCCGAGATGTTCGTTGCGGTTGACTAGAATCTTGTTGATTGGTGCAATGACTTCGTGCATATCATTCTTGTGAATACCCTCACACGACATACTAAGCAGAGTCTGAATGGAAAAGACCCTAAGTCCAGCATCGTTTGATTCGAGGTCGTGACAAAAAGAAGCGACACAATCATTGAGCAAACAATCACCTTTTCTTCCTGCTGTATGTGGTCTACCAACAATAGAGTCTGGGTTGATTGCTGGCAACGTCACATTCATTGGTAGATCTTGTGTTGGAATCTGTTGCAATATTTGTGAGGTACGAAGTGATGCTGCATGACCTGATCCACTTGAACTATTCTCAGACATTACAATATCCAAATTAGTTCCAGATGTTTTAAGATTTGGTAATCCATGATGGATTGTAAGTTGATTTGAATTCTGTACAGAAGATGATGATGATGATAAAGAAGAATTATTATTATTATTATTATTATTATTTTGATGATTATTATTATTATTATTATTATTATGACTGTTATTAAAATGAGTATGATAAGTATGATGAATAGTATTATTATTATTTGATTGTTTTAAAGCAGCGGCCAATTTCTCTTTATATTGTTTATGATTTGGATGAGTTGGATCCATAAAGGGGAATACTACACGGAGTGATTGATTGGTGATGAGAGTTTCAAAGTTTTGACCATTTCTTACTACAAAATCAATGACCATGGCCATTGATTGTTCAATAGTGGATGCTTCATTGAACGATTTGGGATTGAGTTCGACATTGTCACTATCATCTGTCAATAATCTTTTGTGAAGTCTAATGGCCGGATTGGCAGACCAAATCTGTTTGGCAAACTCTAAATTGTCAGCATCGAGATCCATACTATCTGGACCTTTGGAAACGACAGGATTATCGAGCATTTCATTGACTCGAGCCACTTCACCAACATTCAAATTTGAAATAACCTCTTTAGAGTGTGCCATATTGGTTCTCGATGTCAACCTAAATCTAGTTGAACTCATTGGTGTAGTTTCTCCAATTTCAACTTTTGCTGTTGATTCTCCTAAATGTTCAGATTCATTTTGAATATTTAATAATAATCTATAAAAAATAAAAAGAAAATTAAATTAGTATTAATATATTATTTTGATTTGTTGTTTTCTTATTTGTTTATGTTACCCTTTAATTGATTTCAATTTATGATTTAATTCAGCTTTTTTAACATTTACACCTTCACGTAGATGAGTAACAAATTTATAGTTGAGAGGAGAGTGAGAATGATCCCATTGAAGAGAATCACAGAGATGAAGAAAAGCGGATAAATCGTCGAGAATACTTCCACTACGTTTTTCTTTTTTCCTTCGCTCATCATCGTCAACGATATAGTCGATCGACTCTTGGAAGGCTCCTCTGTTGATTGGATCAATGGCAGAGAGTTTTTTCAATACCTTGGTCAACTTCATCTCCAAAAGAGTCTGTTTACTTGCACCTTTGAGTGTTGTCTCTCTCCAATACGAACTAAACGAGTTGGAAATATCCGTTCTATTATTTACAAAATCGACAACATATGCAGCTTTCTTTCCAGGTGCTGTTCTACTTAATCTTCCAATAGTTTGAACTGCATTTGCTCCTCTTAATGCTTTATCAATATACATTACTGCCAACTAAAAAATAAAATAAATAAATAAAATATTAATATTAATATTATTGAATTTAATTTTGATTTGTTTTTTTTTGTTTACTTACACTTGGTTCATCAAAACCAGTTTGTAATTTATCGGCGACAATGATTAATTGTACTTTATGTTTGGTATCATCTTTTAGGATATTTGAAATACCGTCACGAGATTTACAATAGTCTGCATATTTGCCATTGATTGATTTGGTTGATTCTGCCTTGATCACCTTTCTTTGTACAAATGGCGAAAATGAAGCAACCACTTCGAATCGTTTGTCTTTGGGCAATGCTCTGATAAGTTTTTCAATGATTGACTTGTAGACTATGATTTGGTGACGACTGCTCGTAACCAACATGGCCCTACCCTTAAACTCGTCAGTATTGATAACATCTCTGAGCTTGACAAAGTGTTTGACAATGTACTGTGCCTTTTCTTGAAGAATCTTTCGATCGTTTTGACTGTTTTTCAAGAGATGATAACTTGCACGTTTCTTGTCGACCACCTCACTCTTTCCAGTATGATTGATCTTTGTGAGAATAGCCACTGTTGTATAATTGTCAATTGCATTGATAACCAATCCATCTTTTAACGCTTGTTCCAATGAATACGAGTAAAAAGGTGCTTTAGTGTTTCCCTTTTGTTCACCAAACATCTCCAAACATTTTGGAGTTGGTGTACATGTAAAACAAAAGTAGGTGATGTTTGAGTTTTGTCTAGTCTCACCAGACAGCAGACTATGAATACTACGTGTAATTGACTTTCCATGAGTACGATGTGCTTCATCAGATATCAATGCTATCGACTTGTTGGCAAATCTAGATCGATTAAATTCAGTAGAATCTACCAAATGTATAAACTTTTGCATTGTAGTTATAATGATTCTCTTTTTACCTTGATTCAATGTATCCATCAACATTTTACTTGAATTTACTTTAATATATGAATATAAATTATTTTTCTTTAAAAATCTACAAAATAATAAATCAAATATTAGTTAAATTTGAAAAAAAAAATAATATATATCTTTTCTTTTTCTTTTTTTTTTTTTCTTCCTACTTTGTAACAATTCTACCAAGTTGAGTATCTAAATGAAGTCTATCATTTAAAACAACGATGAGATCGTATTTATATCGATCTCCTTCCATTAATCTGTACAAGCATGATGTAAGGCAAGAAATGGTTAAACTTTTGCCTGATCCTGCAGCATGTTGAATTAAATAATTTCTCAATGGTTTTTCTACCAATTCTTGTGGGAATGGGTCTTCAATAACCTCTTTTTCTTCTTCTTCTTCTCCTACTTCTTTTTTAATTTCCAATGCCTTTTCTCCTCCTTCTCCTTCTTCTTTTGTTTCACCACCTTCTGAAGAGGTAGTTGAAGTTGTCGAAGTTGTTGAAGTTGTTGAAGTTGTCGAAGTTGTTGATGTTGTTGAAGTTGATGTTGGTAAGGTTGGTAAAGTTGTTGATTCACTATTATTATTATTATTATTATTTTGATTATATTTCTTTGATTTAAAATTTGATGATTGTTGATAAATATCTTGTAAAATTTTTATACAGGTGTCAGATTGATGATGTCTTGGTGTTTTTGAAACTTTTGACCAAGTTTCCATTACCAAATCTTCGGTTGTTTTGGGGTCTTGGAGACCATCGAATTGGACCATTCTAGTCTTTTCCTTTTCTTGTCTTGATTGTCTTTTGGATGTAGTGGTAGTTGCGATACTAGTGGTAGTTGATGTGGTCGAGGTGGTAGATGTAGTTAAAGCTGCATCCTCTAATGTCTCATCATTGTGACTACCCAAATTGGTGGGGATGATAGGTGATCCACCAAGAGGACTATCATAGTCACCTTCATCGACATCATCCTCATAGATTGAATCTTCGAGTTGGTCTTGAGTCATCCCATTCGCTCCCTCTTCAACATCTTCAACTATATCTATATCATCGTCATCATCATCATTTGTAAACAAGATATCATTGTTATTGTTTGGTGGTGACGTTGTTGATGAAGTTGAAGTGTGTAGACGAGGTGAGATGGGAGAGGTTGGAGCAAGAAAAGTAAACGATGATGACAGTCCTCCAGTAGTACTACTTGTGGTTTGCGTGTTATAGTTCTTTGGTTGCACCTTTGTAAATGAAAGTGTCGGCCCTGTTGGCACTGCAAACCCTCCATTTGTCACATTGGGAGAGACGGGTGCACCCGATGGAGACATTGACATTAGTCCTCCTCCCCCTCCTCTAGGTGAATAGGATGAATTACGTAATCCTTGTTGAAAAGAAGAGGGTGGTGGAGAGGGACGTAAAAGGACGGTTGGAGGGGATGGCTTAAAGAAACTCAGTCCGCTAGTGGCACCGAGGTGACTGCCACCAGGTGACGATGAATGCTTCCAAAACGATCCAGAGGGAGATGTAGAGTAGGAGGATCCCGAAGAGGAAGTGTAGCTGCCACCCATCTTCATACTGCTGCTAGTGTGTTGAAACGATGATGGTTTTCTTGGAGATACGCTGCTGCTACTATTTGTACTCGTGTTGCTACCATGACTATCACTTCGTGCACGGTTCTGAACGGGTATATTAATGGGAGCCGATGAAGATACACGATACTGAGGTTGATTCTTTTTGTTCAACGACGAAGTCTGAAGCGATGCAGGAATATTGATTGGTTTTGAAAACAAAAATGAAGATGTAGATACTGTATTATGTCCAGTATTACTACTAGTAGTAGTAGATGAAGATGAGGAAGAAGAAGAAGAATTCTTTTGTATCTTTGTAGGAGCAAGGAAACTCCTTCCACTTGAAGAGTTGCTACCACTACTTCCTACAGAACTTGGTTTATCATGTTGGTGATGGTATGGTGGTGGTTGTTGTTGCATGATGTTGATGTCTAGTTTGGTTGGTTAGTTGATTAGTTGATATAAGAGGAGGATGATGATGTAGCTGAAGATGAAGATGAAGATATTATAGATTGATTATTATGTGTAAATAGTTCTTGTTGTTGTTTTTGTGGTCGTATAAATGTAATCATTTAAAGGAGGGAGTATATATTTAGAGTCTAAATTAATCAATTAACTAATCGCTCTCTATCTATCTATCTATGATGACGTTGCAACACTCTCTGTTCTGTATCTATCTATCTATATTTTACAAGTAAATGCACACTAACTATTAAAAGAATAATAATAAATATATATATAATAATAATATTTGTACAAAGATCTAATTTTTCCTAAGTAGTTGGAATGAGTTTTTCAATAACTGATTCACAATGTCATTCCCTCCCAAAATTTATAAATTGGCTTTTTGTAGTTTTATTAATTTTGCATACTTCCCTGGGAACAAATACTAAATAACTAAATAAATAAATATAAATTTAGTTTACTCACCAACAACATTCTTCTTTAGAACATTTATTCTTTTTATTTTTATTTTTATTAAATATTTTATTAAATATAGGTGTACACCTAGGTTGGATGATTGATAAATAGATTCAATGAAAAACACTATGATTATTAAATTAAATAATTTACAACTTTTTTGCGACTTGAACATCCGTGATTCATTTCGTATTACTTCATATTGCATAATATACAAATATACAAACATACATACATACATAATAATAAAGAAAGAGATAAAGAAAGATAATAATGGTAGTTGTTTATTTTGAAAAACAAGGTATGTTAAGTGAATCAACCAAAGTAACTAGATTCTAAAGAACTTTAAATATTAATTGATTGATATTTCACTACTACTACTAGTTGGCTCATTGTGTGCACAGCATTGCCTTAATGCATTGTTACAAGGTAGTTATTTCACAGCTGTTGAATTGGCAAATTTAGCACATCAATTGGATGAAGAAGAGAGAGATGTGATGATGCAAGCCGGTGTCGACTCTGCAGAGTTTATTAAATTTGCTGCTGAAGGCAGTAGTAATGTAGCAGACGATGGTTTCTATTCAATTCAAGTGTTGGAGAGAGCTCTCACTCAATTTGGTTTATCTTGTACTTCTATAAATAATTCTGAAAATAAGGATGTTGTTGCTAATCCATTGTATGTTAAAGAAAGAGAGAAAGAAGAAAGAAATGATTGATCAAAAAAAGATACTTATACTTACTTGTATATTTCTAAATTTAAAGAAAAGAGGATGGATTTATTTGTAATCTATCAGAACATTGGTTTACACTTCGAAAGATTCAAGGTAGTTGGTTTGATTTAAATTCCATCAAGAAACCTACATTCTTGTCAGACTTTTATGTCAGTCTCTACTTGGAGACACTCAGACAACAGGGTTGGAATATTTTTGTGGTCAGAGGAAACTATCCACAAGTCGTACCCTATTCACAAGCAGAGGATGGAAAATGGATTGATGTAGATCCATCTGTACAAGCTGCAAATCAAAGTTCATCAAGACCAACAAACAACAACAGAGGAGGAGGTAACTTTGATCCAGAATTGGAAGCTGCTTTAAAGCTAAGTTTACAATATTCAGAGTATGTAACAATAATAATATTATTAATAATTGTGATGAATATTAATTAATATTTGATTGGATTGATTTAGTGAAAATGAAACATATAAACCAAAAGGATCACAAAAAAATGATCCATTTTATGTAGAGGATGATGATGATGAATTGATGAAAGTAATGGAACTTAGTAGACAGGAGGAAAAATCAAGACAAGAAAGAGAACAAAGAGAAACAGAGGAAAAACGTAAACTACAACAACAACAACAAGCGGCAGAACCTCCAAAGAATAGTAATTATAAAAATTGGGGAGGTGGATATAGTGGATATAAAATTGAAATCAATGATGGTACTCCAACATCTACAACACCAAGTTCAATTACATCACCTACAACTGAATCCATTAATAATAATAGTAATAGTAATACTACAACAACTACAACAACTACAACTTCAACTGGTACTGGTTCAATACAAATTCCAATTTCACAAGATGATGGTGATGATGAAGATGTTGAAATGGATGATGATTTGAGAGCAGCCATTGAATTTAGTTTACAAAATAATTAATTAATTAAATAATAATTTGTATATATAAATAATAATAAAAGTAAATATCGATAGACTATTGTAAAAATAAGATATAGAAGAAAGAAAACTAGACTAGTCTAGTTGTTTGTTTGTAATAATAATATTTATTTATTATATTATTATTATTTAACTTAATGTTTATTTTTTTTATGATCATACTTTGATTTTTTCTGAGCTTTAAAACCTTCATCAGGATCTTCACCAACTTCCTTTCTATACCAATCTTCATCGTCATCATCGGAACGATCTTCATTCATTGTAGACTTTAACATTTCCTTATTCTTCTTTTTGTTATTCATCTTTTCGTCGTCATCGCCATCTCTACCCTTTCTCTTGAGATCAGTCTTTACTTCCTTTCCTTCTTTTCTATCCTTTCTTCTTTGATCCTTGTCGGCCTTTTTCTTTTGCTTTCTCTTTTCCTCTTCTTCCTTTGCCTTGAGATTCTCTTCTTGTCTTTCCTTTCTTCTGCTCTTTTCGAGTTTGCTTTCGTCGAGACGTATTTTTTGTTCGTGCAATTGCTCCTCGGTCTTGGTGTAGTACTTGTGGAATAATACTTCACCAGAGTAGAGATTATCTTCGACCTTGATAAGATCCAAAGTGAGACGTGGACCCAACTCTGTCAATCTAATTGATTTTGTGTTGCTCTTGGTACCCTTTCTCAACACGTTGTGGTCGATATCAATCTTTCCATCTTGTGCATCTTCATAATCACTCTCTGTCACCCCAGTTTGTGATAAAATGTATTCACTAATATCATCCAAGTCTCCAAGATCTCCCGTCTTTGCTTGTAATACTCTTTTTATACTTTTACTAATTCCAACTTCTCCCAACCTAAAATTGAAATAGAAAACAAAGTTAATATTTGAAAGTCAAAGTTCTCAAATGTGTCTATGTATGTATACATACTTGATCTTATAATGTCTAAATTCAACAAGATTAGATGTTTTGTTATAATTGAATAAAATAACTCTTTTACATTTACCCAATTGAATCTAAAATAAAAAGAGAAGAAAAAGAGATGATTGGTTAGGGATATTGTATATAATATATGTATATATATATTTATATATTTAGTTTCGACTTACAGTATCAATATTAATAGAAGGGAACATATTTTGAAGGATGGTAGACATGATTTCCATTTGAGGAGTACCTTTTGAGAAACCATTTAAAACGACAAGAGGTGGAACGATAAAGTCTTGGATGGTTGGGATGGATGGTTTGAGCTTTGATCTACCAACATCATTGATGGTTGAGAATTCGTTGATCTTGAATGTGAGCGTTGGACCACGAGGTAACTTGGCCACAGCCATGTATGGTGAGATATCAGTGTTGGTGAATGAAACGAAATGACTGACATGATACATACTTGCAACGTGCAAGTAATCCTTGATGGTATTGGTGTTTGATTCTTCCAAACGAGTGGCAGTATTTGGTTCCATTACTTTTCTAAAGTCGACGATCAATTGTTTGATAGACTTTGATACTTTACCTCTCTTGAAAACCATCGATTTGGTAACTGGTGCCTTTTCAGCGTCTGTTGGTCCTGCTACCTCTTCTTCATTTCCTTTACTCTTTGATGCTGCTTTCTTTTTTACTTGTTTCTCTCTTTCTTTTCTTTTCTTTGGGTCCGACTATAATTTATCATAAATACATATGTATTGAATGTGAATGTATTAGAAACAATACTACTCTATTGTGCAATGTATGATCATAGGTATACTTACAAATATACTTGGTTTAGGCATTTTCTATTATTTATATTATATATATAACCTCTAAAAAAGATTGAGAGATAATAAGATAAACAAAGACGAGTCGTCTTTCACGTCTTTTTTTTTTTTTTTCAATTTAATTTCAGCGGTTCAGTTGAATGAAGGGAAGGTGCAAAGAGTGTTGATATTAATAGTGTAGTAATAGTATTAGTAAAAGGAGGAGGGTTGTGTTTCATGCCATTGATTAATTCAAATCGATTACTTGTCATTGCACTCTTACTACTTTTAACATCGTGTTCATATATACTTTACAGTAGACATTTGTATCTAACAACTTATAGAAAGTTTATTATCGAACCTTCTCCATCTCCATCCTCTTCAGATAATAATACAACCAAAACATACAATTATAAACATAATTGTCAAAGTGATAGTAATACTTTAAATAATAATCCATTACAATCAATATTTGAACAACCAAATAGTTGTGAAATATTAAACGAAAAGGAAGAAGAATCAATGAGATCGTTACGAAACTTGGCAATGGAATTGATGAAGGAGGAGACTCCTTCTCGTACCATTGAAGCACTTAGAAAAGAATATGGAAAATACTATAAACTAAAGCCAGAACGATTAAACATTCAACATCAAAGTTCCTTTCTTCAAACCGAACTCGATCAAGAGACCTACGAATTTGTCATGACTACTCCACGTTGGAACTCTCTCACCAATACTCTCAACTCTTTGTTGAGCTTTTTCTACACTAAAACAGATTGCATGGGTTATTTGGGAATGGGTAACATGTTTATTCTATCAACCGATCAATATGGTCAATTATTTCAATTAAATTATAATAACAAAACAAAACAAAATATAATTAATAATAATAATAATCAAAATAATAATAATATAGATAATAATAATATAGATAATAATAATATAGATACAACATCAGATATACTACAAATGTCAATGAATAGTTGGGAGAATCAATTACCATTGGCAAATATAACAAGTAGTTATATTAAATTTGGAAGTTTATTGGATGTTGGTAGTGGGTGTGGAACTACGACGTTACAATTGAAACCATTGTTTAGAGAGGTGGCTGCTACAGAGGCATCGGTTGGTATGGTTTATAGTCTTAGAAGAAAGGGTATAGATGCTTACTATTGTACAGATTTGGATACGTTGGAAGAGATTCGTGATCGTCAGTTTGACGTCGTGTCGTGTCTCAATGTGCTCGATCGTTGCGAGCGTCCACTTTCACTACTTCGATCAATGAGACGATTTATAAGACCAGATGGCAGACTCTTACTTGCCACTGTCTATCCATTCAAACCATACGTAGAGTTTGGAGGCAACGACAACAAGCCATTCGAACTATTAAACATTACCAACAATTCTGTCGAGGAATTTATCAGTTCCATGGTCACCGAAGTATTGGAACCAGAGGGATTCAAATTACAATCATTCACCAAAGGACCTTATATTTCAGAAGGTGATCAATATTATGCCAACTATGTTCTAGTTGACATTGTTTTTGTCCTTACCCTCGGAGATGACCCTATTATTCGTAGTCAATCATCTCTTGACGCTTCTACTTCTTCTTCTTTACCTCCACCATCAGCATCATCATTAATGACTGAAAGTGATAATATCAAATAAATTCAAAAAAAAAAGTTTAAATATATTAACTATTAATAATTATTCTTACAATCTATAGATCAAATATAAATTTAATTTATTATTATTATTATTATTTGTTTGATAACTATTTCCCATCTTTACAACAAAAAAAAATAAAGAAATTGACAAGAATATAGTTAATTTATTTATTACTGTACTCTAAATGTGACACAGACAAACCATAATAATATTAATACTAATAATAATAATATGAACCCAAATACTAAAAACAACAGTCCTTCTGCCCCCCTTCTCACAACAAACCCCCAACATCCTTCATATGGGATCCCATTTCCAAATTTAATGGCAATGGTTCCTTCTTGCAACAAACCCCAACTCCAGCTATGAGAATCTAGATTGAATGATTTACAAAAGAGAATAGAAGAGTTATATGCTCAACACCAAACTGATATTTCAAAATTACAACAAACTATACACGAGTTGGCAGATCAAGTCAAGAAACTTACAAAGGAGAAGTATATCCAAGTAAAGGAGATGGTAGTATTTCTATCAGAGAGGCAATGATATATTTAGAGTCATGGATAGCAAAAGAAGTTGTCGTATCCAATAGTGCCATCATAAAATGCCACACAGTAAAGAAAATGAGAAAAAATTCCACATACATAGCTTGCAACTATTTTAAATAGTGATGAAGCGGATATGGTCAATTATCTTAAAGAAATTGGCATTGGAGAAGTACACTGTCGTTTATTAAACAAACAAGATATCATCAATGATATTGCACAGGAAAACGACACTGAAGAAGATAAATATTAAAACTGACCTCATTAACAAGTTACAATATTATTGCACTCTTAACAATGTCCCTTTTGGAGCAAATACAAACCCCAAAAAAACAAACATCTTGGTTCTATTTGAAATAATCAGATCATATCTTAAAAATTAGTTATATATATATGTAAATAAATCTTTCACTTAGGACCTTTCTACTGTTTTATTCCCAGAACACATAGGCCTGCAAATAATGGTATAATTGTTAAATTTAATTTTATTTTTTTTAGAAATCTGGGTTCCATGAACTAATTGAAACACTACGTTGATACCATGATCGTTTAGTGGAACCGCGTAAGAATTGAAGATCGAGAAGTGCTGGACAAATCTTTGTAAGATATTTGCAAATCTCTTCAAATACTGCTGATTCATTTTACAACGATTGGAGGAAGTGTTGGTGGGTGGAGGATCGCTGCTTGTTGGTTATTATTATTTATTAATATTGACTATTAATTAATATAACAAACCAACTAATGTCTATATCTACACAATCTATACTATACTATACTACCAACTATATCTATCTCTTTACTTTTAATTAAAAATACAACAAATATATAAATATATAAGAATAAGAGCGAGTGCAGTGTAGAGTAGAGTATTTGTGATTATTACAATGAAGTTATTGTGTTTGTCACATGATTGTTGTTGTTGTTGTTGTTGTTGCTATAAAAATCGATAGTATTGGAAAAACTAGTTCCTTCTTCTTCTTCTTCTTGACTTTCTTCACTACTACTACATTCACTATCGCTTAACAAATAACCAGCATATTTGAAACGATTGATGTATTTTGAAAATCCAAATGTTTGTTTTACTCTTGGACTCGATTGAATATTGTCTACTCCAACATCTATATCTTCGTCTTCTTCATCTTGTATTCCATTATTCTTGTTCTTTTGTTGTTGTTGTTGAAGTTGAAGTTGTTGTTGTTGGTATCCATCCATTAACCATGGAAAATAAGTTAAAGATGCAGCTGAACGATCACCATAATCAAAAAAGACTTCTTCTCCATTTTGGATCGATCGATTGGACACCAAAACAATTTTGGGGTCACCATTGATTGAAATTTTAATTGGATCCAGATTACAATCGATTCGATGATTAATATATCTTCCATGTCCCAAATCTTCTGATGGTATAGTTGGATCAACACTAAATAAATAATAATAATAATAATTAATAATTAATTAATATATAAAGTCACATCTAAATCAATCAATCAATATTATTTAATATTAAAACATACCACATGATTTTGCCTTTGTGTTCAAAATAAAATAAATAACAGTCCATTCTAACGGTAGTACTATTCTTGGCATACTGTTTCTCTCTCTTTAATGCCTCTGATTTGTTGATTAGATCACCTTTGTATTCGGCAACCAATACACCTGCTTCCACATGATGACATACTCTCACTCCATTTCCTCTTCCTTTGGTCATAATTAATTCTGTTTGTGCTATCTGACCATTTATATATTGTTGAACAAGTACTTTAAATAGTAGTAATAAAATAATGATGATGATGAATATTAAACACACTAGTAACGATGAATAGTCTTTTATGTTTTAAACATACATTGTTTCTTTCTATTACTAATTGATGGTCTAACAAGATGTTTCATTTGTGCAGATGGAGATATAGGTGATGGTGTGTTATCGATCGCTTCAAATGACCCATCTTGTATACTACCAATTGTTTTAATTGCTTTTGACTTTGATAATCGTTTCTGTCTAATCATTTTCTATTATTCTTTCTTTCTTTCTTCCTTTTATTCTATTATGATATATACATCCTTCTATATATACTCTCAAATGATGATTACTATTACAACTCTATACGTCGATAATTATATAAAAAAGAAATTATAGTAGTAGTAGGCCGAAAGAAAGAAAGAATGATATTGATAAGAATGTGCTTCCCTCCTTTTTTTTCAAACACAAATTGCCCTATTTTTTTTTTCTTCTAAATCGTTGTTGAGAGAGGATAGATAGATTCTATTCTAAAAGATCGATAACATCTATCTTGGTAGGAGAGGATGTTTCAAACAAAACTTTTATAGTACCACGATTATTACTTGTTGTTTTAAAGGTCTATAAATAAACTAAATAACTTATTCAATTAAATTAAATTGATTTTTAACGACAAACGATGGATGTTTTGAGACACGAACGAAAGAGATGACAAACTCATTTGAGTAGAGTAATAAATATATATATTAAGCAGTAGCTACTAACACAAAGTTATAAAAATGACTGATCAAAAACAACCACAAGAAAATACAAAGAATGAACAACAACAACCAACACAAGAAGAGGTAGCTGCTGCTACTACTACTACCGCTGCTTCTTCTGTCGTCGACGATGGAGTAGTTAGAATGGGAGAGATTGTCAGTGGAGATGAAGATATTCAAATAGAAAGAGATGTTGCCAAATGGATGAAGGATATGTTAAATAGAGAAGTCAAGAAATTAAAAGATCAAGGTGCTAGATGTACACAATTGACTGTATGTGCTTTTTGAGAAAAAGTAGGAGTGCGGATGACTAGATCATAATAGATCAATCTCTAACTATTATTATTATTGTTGTTATATTTTAGGTCAAGAATACAGGTATTCTCATACAAGAAGAAAATAAGATTCTCAATAGAGTAGAAGTAGATACAGCATTTGATTTCGATGAAGTCATCTCTATACTCATTTCAGATTCAACTGAATGTCCAGTTAAAAAAGGTTATAGTTATATCAATGTATGTTGTTGTGACACATTGGAGAATAAAAAATGGAGTAGGAGAAGAGAAGAGATGACTAATCAATCTTATATACAATTAGGTTATTTTAATTACCAAAAAGCCAACACCAATGATTTTACCATACATTTATTTAAAGAGTGATGTCAACAAATTAACAGACTGGGTATTCATCAATAACCAATTTGGAAGAAGTCAACATAAAATTGAAGAATACTCTGAAGTTAAGGCAGAGTAGAGACCAGAGAGAATACATAAACTTAATATCATTTTAGAACAACAACAACCATACCCAACTGGGTAGGAAGACACCTGCCATCTTGGATATGAGGGTAACCCTATAATTTAAAGTCTATGTCTATTTCTCTTCTTTTTATTGGTTGGAACTCTGTCGATTGAACATGTGGTATCTTATACAGCTCAGCTCTAGCTCAGTGTTGAGTTTGTATGGATCAACGCATTGTAACACGGTTTGAAAAAATATACTAAAGTGTGAAGTCACACCCATCTCTCTCCCTCTCTCTCCACATCACTCCTCTCTTTTCTCAACGAGATAGTGTGTGGGTAGTCGTATACTAGTATTTTGGATTGGTATTAATTATTTATGAATAATCATTCTTTTTAAATTAAATGCATGTTTGGGCGATGTTGGTAAAAAATATTAGTATTTAATAAGTTAATATTAGTCTGACTATCCTATCTATCCTATCTATCCTATCTATCTATCTATCTCTATCAAGTTTAGTTTAGAGTTTATAGTTTATAGTTTAATTATTTAATCATGTTAAAATATCTATTATCAATCATTGTTTTTATTATTATTATTTCTTCTCTTGTTGTATCGACAACGTCATTTAAATTGGATGCACAGTATTATGTAGTTAGACCAGACCTTAGATTATGTTCCAAACCAATGTGTGGTGGATTCATCTTGCAGAGATTGAATGGCGAACCAGGTGAAAGAGGTATCTATGTTGCTGAACTACTCTTTGACACTCCCACCACTAGACCCCGAGTCAATCCATCGACCGTCACTCAACTCATCCAAGACGACCCCCTCTCTGTCATTGTAAGGGGATTCTTCCAAAAGAATCAACACAACAATTTGTACAACGACTTGTTTGTCCTCAATTATTACAAGTCTCTCCCTCCACCCGACTCAACCTACTCTCAGTTCGCCGTTGACCAAGCCACTCATTCACGTTACTTTAGAGTGAATCCATGTAAGCAGCAGGAAGGTAGCGTTGGCAGTGACGAAGAAGATCCAATTACAACCTGTACATTTACAGAGGTACATTACAACACTGCACACGAAAACATTGTCTACAAGGATCCATTCAACCAAGGTTTCGCACTCTTTGACCACAAGTGGTACAAATCGAGACTCAACGACGTCAAGGATATCCATACTAGCACCATCATTGAAGCACTCCAAGACGGTACCAATATCACCATTCTCCGTAGTTTTGTTCATCTTCCAGATCCAAGAGAGGAGTGTCCAGCTCTCACAAGAACCAAGTGTGAGTCTGGAGAGGTGTCTACCTACACTCGTGATGAAAATAGATGCTATGTATTCAACAAGTGTACTCGTCAAGGTCCATGTCCACTCTATGTCCCTCATTGTCCTCGTAGATATGTTACAGTCTCTTTTGCATCTACTCCCAATGCTTGTCCAGCTTGGATTTGTGATGCTGAATTTCTTGATGATACCAATCCTTTCAAACCATTTCCACTTAGATAGAAAATGAATGAATATAATATTCCAACAACAAATCAACAACACTAACCAACCAAATAAATAAATATGTTGATCAATCAAAATCTATCTAAATAATAGTTAATTTATTATTAAAAAAAGACTTGACTTTCACAGATTGAATTTAAAATGAAAATCCACCTCTTAAAGGAACGGTTCCTTGAGGTGTTTCATTTGTTGCTGGAACACCGCCAAAAGGAAGTTGGCGTCTAGAGGTGTAATTGCCACTTACTATTAAATTTAAATAAATAAATAAGGTCGTCCAAATAATAATAATAATACTTTTGTTAACTTACATTTAGTATTGTCAAAAGAAAACTCCATTTGTTGTTGTTGTTGTTGTTGTTGTTGATGTTTGAATAAGAATAATATTGTTACAATATATTGTTTTACAAGATTGATGAGGTGGAATGATGATGTGGTGAATGAGTAAAGTATTGCTTCAAAGCCCGGCTACAAAAAAAGAAAAATCAAACAAAAGCAAAGATATCTTTTCAAAAGTATCTAGAGATTTTAATTAAGGATGATCATCATCATTAACGATACTTTATGTATAGTTAAATTTTAATGATTAGGGTTTGGTTGATTGGTTTTAGATAGTGATGATAGAGAGACAGGTTTAAAATGAGAAACTGCTTCCTGATCCTCCAGTTCCAAAACCAGAGTCACCACCTCCACCTGGCACCTTGCCACCACCTCCACCACCAGTTGTGAATGGTCTCTTGGATCCCATGACACTAATTGAAGATTTTTGTGGAACTATATTCAATAGTTGTTTGTTTGAAATTAGTAAGTGAAGTTCTTTGTTTACTTTATCAATGGCTTCACTAATTAATACTTACGAACTAATACCATTTTTTAAAATATAATAAATAAGAGAGAGAGATTAGATAATGTTTAATAGTAGTTGTACAGAAAGATGATAATAATAATGGTTTTAAAATGAGAAAGAGATAATGATACACAGCTGGGTTGAGTTAAAATGTATGTGACTCCGATCTTTGATATCGCAACAGCCAACAACAATTGATGGGGAGGTTTTTTTAAAATTTAAAACAAAAATCCTTACCTCGAATCACTGATATTTATAGCCATTACTGACTTTGGTTTGTTCGGATAACGATCCGAAAGAGTATAAATTGTAGTTTAAAAAAAAAGGAGAGTGATGAATAAAATATTATAATATCACTAATCTGAATCCAATCAACACTGGTTTGAATTTATTTATTTATTCTGCCTGGGTGGGAATGGACAATTAGATTATCATTAATTTTATCATATGGTTTAAATTATTTGTTTGGTGGAGAATCCTTTTTAAAATGAGTAAACTCTTCTTGGGTCAGAAGTTGATGTGGGTTCTGCTGCTGGTGGAGCTCCACCCTTAAAGAAACCTGGTGAGAGAACTATTCTCTTTTGGCCTTGAGATTGGTCTATATATATATATGTATAATATTAAATGAAACTATTAATATTTTTATGACGCGCGCAATATGATATACATTTGTTATAATACAAACTATTGGTATTACGGTAAAAACTCATTTTGAAATTATAAATACAGATATAGTATTACAGAAATATAAAGATAAGATGGGAGGTGATGAAATGAAGTGATATTCGAGGTCAGAAACGATGTATTGTTGGCGATTCAATTTAAAAAAAAAATCTATTAAAAAAAAAAGCAAAGTAAAAGATATTTTAAAATCTGGATATTGTTCGGAACATTTACTTTCTCTGGTTGTAATTAAATTCAAAGAGGTGTACAAATCAAATAAATATTTGTAGAATTAAAGACCAAGTTGTTCAATGATCATGATTCATTTATTTAATTGGTTTTGTCAATTTAGAATGATTCACCTTGGGGAGTACTGTTTGGTGAAAGAGTTCTTGGAGTTGGAATAAAACCTGTTGGTTTTGCGAGTGGCTTGGGCTTTCCACCAGCAGCTAAAAAAATATACATAATTGAATAAATAAAACCTTTCTGTCTTGGACAACTATTTTAACGATTACATACATCTAGGATGTGAAACCTTATCTATGAATGACATTTTATTTGTATTATCGGTTGAAATTATAATTATAATGATGGTGATGACACATCATACAAAGCATTGTCGGGTCACTCCCATCAACTTTTCCAAAACAATTAAATTTTTTTTTTCTAAAATCTAGATATTTTTTTTTTTAAGTAAAAATACAAAATAAACTATTTATTTGATTGAATGTATATATATATTATTGTAACAAGGGGGAATACTTTTTTGTTTTTCTTTTTCTAAAAAGTTGAATCTATTATATTATTTTTGTTTGGTTTTTTTTTTTTTAAACAAGGAGATCAGCATATCTTGCATCATCAAGGACAGGTTGTAAGAGAGCGAGTGGACTGAGACTGTCAGTGTTACCATTTTGGATGATAGCCTTTAAGATGGAAGGGGAGAAACCAGAGACGAGACCGACACCTGGGGTGGAGGCACTGCCGACGGGGGTGGTGGTGTAGGCGCCATTGACGTTCCAGTAGATCATTTGTGGGACGGGGTAACCAGCCTTTTTGTATTGATCGATCATGTTTTGGTGGTTTGACTTGAACTTGTTGTCGGCGGCGTCAAACTGCATATCCGAAATGACAAAGAGCTTCTTTGGCATGGCCTCGGCTGGAAGGTTGTTCTTTTGGGCAGTCTCGAGGATCATTTTGAATACGGCGTTAAAGTTGGTCGATCCACCCCATGGAGAGGCGAGGAGGTCAGCGACACGCTCCTTGAGCGAGTTACCTTGGACGTGGTGGAAGGATGGGGTCTCGTGGAAGGTGATGACAATGTCTTTGAATGGGGCGGCGGTGAGACGCGAGATGAGCAGACCGAGGGCGACAGACACTTGCATGGGTGTACCCGACATGGAGCCCGACACGTCAGAGAGTACGATGCAGTCTGCGAGGCTGCCCAACTTGGCCGTCTCGGCCTCCAACACCTTCCATTGCTCTTCGAGGATGACGTCGTCCTCTTGACGCGAGATAAACTCTTGCACAATCTCGTGTGGGAAGAGTTGCTTGGCGTTGACCTTGGTCTCGCCCTTTACGAGGCTCTCTTGGTACTTTTTGAATCCGGCTTCGTCGTGACGTTCAAAGGCCTTGCGAGACAACTTCATGGCGCGCGAGGGTACCTTGGAGTACTCGATCTTGTCCCACTCGTTCTGGGACATGTTGCGCTCGACAATGGCGAGGTGCTTGCGCAATGGGCTGAGGTATTGCTTACGGTACTCCTTCTTGGCGTTGGTGCGGTTCACGGCCAAGAGGACAGCCAACTTCTTGGCGGCCTTGCTGGCAGTGTCGTTGGCCTTGTGCTCGGATGGGGCCCACTTGGCGCACAACGAGACGGTCTTTCCGTCGGCCATGTTCTTGGCGTCCTCTTGGAGTTGGGCGGCCATGACCTCGAGGGCCTTTGGCTCGAGACCTGTGCCAATCAAGCTGGTGACGTCCTTCCACGAGCCAAAGTGTGGAATGAGCTTAAAGTTCTTGGCAACAGACTCTGGTGATTGTTCGTGCAACCAGACGATCGAGTGGTGGAAGATCTCTCTCTCTCCCTTGCCACCACGACAATCACGGTTGTAAAAGATGATCTTGAGTGTGTCGAGGGGTGACTTGGCCCACGAGGCTGTCAACATCTCACGTAATTGCTCTCTATTAATACCACGAGCAGTGTGATAGAACAAGTCTACACGTGCATCTCCTGTGGTGGTGTATGCTACAGCTCCCTTGGCTGTCTTTGTCTTCTTGGCTTTTAAGTACTTTTTGATAATTGCGGCTTTTGATGTTTGAGTTGACATTGTTGTTAGATTAAAAAAAGAAGTATAGATTAAAAGAGATAGAGATAGAGAAGATGTGAGACTGTAAATATATAAATATATCTATGATATTATTAATTAATCTTCTAAAAATTAACAAATATATAGAGACGATAAGCAAACAAAAAGTTGAAGTGAAGAAAATAGCGTGACCACAGCGCAAATCGATCTGAAAAAAATCGCAAAGAAAAATGGAAATAAAAAATAATGCAACTTTGGAGTTTTCTCAAAATGCACTGGGTGTTCAACAAACACAGGTTCATTGCATAGCAATACAATACTATAGTATAATAATATAGTATACTATAGAAATCAATATATATAACACATTCGAAATATCACATCTAAAAGATTAAAAAATATCTAATAATGAAATGATTCATAATTGTTAGTGAGCGAGTGAGCGAGTAAACAAGTAAATTATCTTATCAAGCAGCACCATTGTCTCATTCATTCATTCATTCATTGGTACCATGTTTGATTAACAATGGAAATGAAAAGAAAGGAGAGAATATGATATGAATCATATATTTAAAGAAAATGGATCTAAACAACATCATCAACATCATCATACCTATAGTAGGAACGAGCACTTATTTTAGTTATACATATAACCAAAAATGAATAGATGACAAACATAGTATAGTGACTATTATTATTATTATTATTATAGTACACTATACTATTATAGTACAGAGTGTTTAAATGGTTTTAGCTATCTCTCTCTCTCTTTATATGGGTAGTGTGGAATGACATCAATTTTAAATATTTACACATTTTGGGTAAAGGTTTGATGAATAATTAGTAATTGTAATAGGTACAGACACTACCTTTATTGTATAAATGTCAACATCACCTTTTTATACACAAACAACAAACTATAAATACATTTCATTTGGTTGTATTTTAAATCATTCAATTCAACAATCTTATCTTTCTCTATTAAAAAACTCTAAATATTAATAATATTATTAACAATTTAAACAATAATGATGAAATTCATTTTATTAATGGTAGTTGCCAGTTTGATGGTATCCACTTCTTTGGCCCACAGATATAGTTGTGCTGGTACTGTTTGTGGTTCTGGTCAAGGTAATCAAATCAAAAAATAATCAATCAAAATAATATAATATAATATATTAACCATATATAATCCATCTTTTCAATTCATTTAGTTTGCAAATATTCACATGAACTCCAAAGACCATATTGCGTATTGGATGATGAATGTGCTAATATTTTAATTGTTCACAACAAGACTGAGACCTGGGTTGAAGCATCTGTCGAGTACTCCAAGTTTGTCGTCTATGTCATCAACTATGGTAATGTTGCCATCAAGAACTTCTGGATCGGTAGTGACGATTGTACATTGCAATTCAGAAACAATAATCCAACTGTCAATGGAGGTGAGCTCTGGTCCATCCAATTCGACTCTTTCCATGATGTCTTTACTCTTCCAACCTATGTCACCTCTATCCCATGTTTTGGTTCACACTCTTTTGGTTACATTATCAAGGGTCATACTACTCCAACCTTGAGAATTCTTGGTGTTCAATATTAAATCAATCAACATTAAATAAATGAATGAGATTATTCTCTTTTTAATTAAAAAAAAAAAAAAAACAAGAAAGACAGATTAGGCTTATGCATCTTCATTTCATTTGATATTTTTAGTATTACTTACTCCTCCTCTCTAGCATTTGCACATGTACAATAACAACAACAATTATTTATTATTATTATTTATATATTGTATTATTATATTTTTAATAGGTGTTCAAACCTCTACAAGTATTAGTACAACACCAGAAGATTTAAAATCATTTCAACAATGGTTATCTAACAAAAACACATATCTTAACCCATCAATAGATATTGTTGATTTGGGACCACCATTTGGTCGTTCAATGGTTGCAAATACAAATATAAAGGTAGATATATATATATAAGATATCTTATATGTGATAGATAATATAATGTACATTCTAACTATTATTTATTTTCTTTTAGAAAGATGAAATATTAGTTGAAATACCAAAAGGAATAATGATGACACCAAAGTCTATGATCAAGAATCTACCTAGGTTTATTATTGATTGGATGGATGAAATGAAGATATCTAGAACTGATCAGCAAGCAATTGCAATCATTTACTCTATTTTACACGAGGATAGTTATTGGTATGAATATGTATCGATACTACCAAAACAATTCACAACCACTGTCTATTTCACGAGAGAAGAGATGACTCAATTACAAGCATCTCCTGTTCATAGATTCACTGAAATGAGATTAAATGGTGTACATCGTCATTATGATACAACTATTTCACGTTTAAGATTTGGATATGAAGGAGGAGAGGATGACTCTACCAAGACAAAGACAAAATCTCAACTAGATGCAATGAAAGAATTTAAAGATGATAGATATACATTGGATCAATTTAAATGGGCTCTTGGATGTGTATGGAGTAGAGCATTTAGTTTGAGTGAAGAGGATGGTGGTATGGTACCGTTGGCAGATATGTTTAATGCAGATACTGTCATTTCACGTTCCAAAGTACATCCAAAGATATCTGCATCGTCACCTTCACTTGTATACACTGCTTCACAAGATATAGAGGCCGGTGAACAAATATTCACACCATATGGTGTCTATAAAACACTTGGTAGTGGTCAAATGCTAATGGATTACGGGTTCATCCATGAGGATGGGTCTAGTGCAGACTCGACCATTGTCACCGTTGCACCCATCCCTCCCTCTGAACCACTCTATGATCTCAAAAGACATTTGATGCAATCAAATGGAATTGAAAGTGAAGAATTCACAATCACCAAGAACAAGTTGGCCAAAGAATTATTTCTATTTGCCAGGATCAAAAGTATCAACAAAAAAGAATCGGATCAAGCATCTGCACATTTCATGTCAACTCAAAGACACTCAATGTTAAACCCAAGAAATGAAAAGGCAGCTCTTAGATTATTATCAAATCTAATATCAAGACATTTAGATGCATATCAAACAACAATAGATCAAGATAATCAAATTCTAAAGGAAATTGAAAAAGACAAGACAAACACAAATCATTCTTCCGTCACTTTCAACACAATCAATGCCATTAAACTAAGATTAATGGAAAAGAATATTTTAAATTCATTTTTAAAATCTATAAACTCTATTAGAGATATTGGAGGTAATTAAAAATCAAAACAATATTATATATAATATAAATATAAATAATATTACTTTTTCTTTTTTCTTTTTTCTTTTTTCTTTTTATTTATTTTGTGTGTTAGATGGTGATGAAATAATATATATCTTTTTCTGTCTGATGGTTAATGTCAGATTGATTATTGATCATATTATCATATGATATGATTGTAAACAAAGTACATTACATTCCTAAAAACAATGATTGAATTGTGAATTAAGAATTGGTTAATATCAATTGATCAACTTTTCAAAACCAAGTATAAAAAGATTTGAAGAGATGTTACATTTTTAATTAAGGATCAAAGAATGATTGACGACTGCTGCTACTATCAGTTTTGGTAGAGGTAGAAGTCATTGGTTTTGGTCCAGATGTTATCGATGGCTTGCCATTGTTCTTGGATGGTGGTAGATTACGAATTTTCTCTCCCATTTCTTATTCTTCTTTTACTATTATTATTACTATTTATTAATACAATTATAATTTTACAATGATCTGCTCACTCCACAGCTTACTTTTATAACAATGTGCATACGGATTTGCAACTCTTTTGTTTGCGATAAAATTAAAATCGATTCGAAAAATATCAAAGATATCTTTGCAATTCCTCCAAACCACGCCAAAATGAGCGAAGAATCAACGAAAGGATATGAATTCAGGAGGAGACAAACAACAAACAGAGAAACTTCAAGCTTGGCAGCTGAGTGATGATATCCCCTCGCTCTCTTCTCTTTATTTTGAATGAATAAATGATGTGGATGGAGGATATAGATGTGGTGGAAAGTAAGGTCAACCAACTAACAAATGTTCCTGATTATGCTTGGAATGGACCTTCAAGAAAAGAAAGAAAATAATAATAATATTGTAAATGATTGGTGATTTGTCAAAACATTGAATCATTCATATATATATATTCATTCATTCATTCATTCATTCATACCTCCTGTAGATGAACCTCCAGTAGATGGATCAAAAAAGTTTCCTCTTCCTGTTGGATTTGAAGTAGGTGGAGTGCCTGTTGGGGAACCGCCTCCAGTTAATCCACCCTTACGATTGCCTCTTCCATTGTTTTCGAAACCCATTGTGTTGTTTTTTGATGATTAATTTATGTATTGATACAAATAATAGTAATGTTTTTTGTTAAAAGTAAGTAATAAAAGTGATCGCTTTAAAGATCAGTTAGCTTAGGTTCAGGTTGGTTAAAGTTGGGATTCACCTCGCTGTTGATCAGATTTTTTACCCTCCGAGATATTTATCCTTTTCCGTCACTCTGAATTGGCTTCTTTAAAGTTTCTATTTTTTAAAAGTAGAGGACAAGATCTTGTACACACATTTTTGGTTTAAACACTTATCATGTGATTGATACATGATACTTTATTTCTTTCATTGGAAAAGAAGAAAATACACATTTGTATTTATATATATTTAAATGAGTGGCACACCTTTAAAATAACTACTAGTGATTTACTGTATTTTGTTTGAAGCGAAATACCCATTTTCGGAGAGCTCTTTTTTTTTCAAATAAAATCAAGCCTGTTTGAAAGATTTTTGTTGTAGTGCTAGTGACCGACCTCAGCTCAGAGTCTCACTTTTACAACTTCATTATTATTTATTATTATTTTAGTTTAGTTTTATTTATTTATTTTGTATTATATAGTATTGTAGTTTTAAAAAGTTTAAGGGATGAAGATAAAATTACCAGAATATAAAGAAATTAGGAATATTAATGAATTACCATTGGAAACATTGATATTATTATTTGGCTATGTGAATCGTATGAATACTGCTAGTTATTGGTTGGTGAATCATTCGTTGGTCTGTCATTTATGGACTGACAAGGTGATACCTGCTGCATGGAGCGAGTTGTCATTGTCGACCAATCAACCACCTGACCCCCTCGTACAATACAATGAACGTCGTATCATTGCACATAGTGCAGGAGGAGACCGTGTGTTGTTTAGAAAGTTGATTATGCGTATTGGAAAGTCGGTCGATTACATCTCTGCGTTGATGACCGTGACATCGGTCGACCTGCGTAACAACCCATCGACCAACAATGTGATTGATCGATTGGCCGACGCACTAAAGAGTAATACCAATATCACAAGTATCTCTTTTTACAACAACCGTCTCATGCAAAAGGGTGGTACTACCATTTGCAATGCTTTGCAGAAAAACACGACCCTGACACACTTGGATCTCGGTCTCAACATGTTGGGTGCAAATGGTGGCAATGCAGTGGGTGAGTTGCTCAAGCGTAACAACACACTCGTGCATCTCGACCTTAGCGGTAATCAACTGGGCATGCGTGGCGCATTGCCAGTGGTCGACGCACTCAAGATTAACAAGTCGATCAAGTACCTTGTTTTGCACGCCAATCAGCTGCGCGATGAAACCGCGTTGCCGCTGGCCGACATTCTCCGCCAAAACATTGGCTTTGTCGTGTTGGGACTCAACGACAATGAGATTGGCGCCAAGTCTGCCATGGCATTGGCACGCATGTTGCGCGGCTCCAAGACACTGACACAGCTCGATTTCAACAAGAATGATTTGGGTGAAGACGGTGGGTTGGCCATGGCCGACACGATCAAGAACAACAAGCTCATCAAGAGCGTGTGTTTGAACTGGAACAAGCTCGGAGTCAAGGCAATCAAGGCGATTGCCGAGGCTATCAAGGTGAACCCCTCCGTCACATACCTCGATCTTGCCTTTAACAAGTTTGGCGACGAGGGTATAGTCGCGCTGTCCGATGCACTCAAGGTGAACCGCTCCATCACACACTTGGACCTGTCGCGTGTCGAGTCGGGCGCCGACGGCCACATTGCGCTGTCCAACGCGATTGCTCAAAGCTCGAGCATCCGTTTCTTGGACTTGACCAACTGCAAACTTGCCGATCAAGGTGGTGTCGCGTTTGCCAAAGCACTATCGGCCAACCGCGCACTCAACACGCTTGTCCTCAACAACAACACCTTTTCCAAAGAGACATTGGTTGCTCTCGGTGACATGTTGGCCAGCAACTCGTCATTGACTGATCTCGGACTTGCCAACAACTCTATCACAGCAGACAGTGCATCTGCCCTATTCGAACGTCTTGCAGCATCCAACAATCGTAGTCTAATCCGTATCGATCTATCCAACAATCTTGTTGGTGTCGAAGGAGGTGAGTCTATTGCCTCCAACATTTCACGTTGTAATATTTGTGAACTCCTCCTATCCAACAATCAACTATCAACCACTGGATCAATGTCCATTCTCAAGTCACTACCCTCATCCATCCAAACCATCGATGTCTCCAACAATGCCATCACCCCAACCCAATTGGCCAGCGACACTTTGGTAACCCTTCTCCAAAAGAATGACACTCTCACCAAACTCAACATCTCCTCCAACAAACTCGACGACGATGTTGTCCAACCACTCATCCAATCCATTCAATCAAACAAATCACTCATTCACATTCAAATTGGTAGTAATCAATTTTCTAAACAATCAAATAACAAATTGGTTGATTGTTTTAGAAATAATAAATCAATTTTCTTTTATGATCTTCAAGAAGAATATTAAATTAATAAAAATAATAAATAAAGAATATAAATATTATTATTAAATAAATATATATACAAATCATTTTTATTATTTTGTTTATAATGGTATTTCAATTGTTTCATCTTCATTATTATTATTATTAATATCAATTAAACAACTACCATTATTATTTTTTGTTTGATCAAATGATATCATTGGAGGTATATCTTCATCAATTGGATTAGTATTTTGTTCTTGTTGATCTTGTTGTTGTTCTTGTTGTTGTTTATATTGTTGAATTTCTTGAATTTGCTGATTCATATTTTGATTATCCATTATTGATTGATTTTGATCAAATTGAACGATTGGATTTAATTGTTTTAATTGTATACCACCATAATTATATTCTTCCATTGATGTTGAACCAACAGTAGTACAAGTTGGGTTAATACCATCATGCGGCACTGCTCCATTTGGTGATTTTGGTTCATTTGATACAGACATGGCGGTAACTGGTTTCCTAAGTAACAGAACCATAATACCAACACAAATCAATATGAAAAAGTAATAATCTAGCAATGATATTGTATAGTCTCCATAAGGCCCGAATAAATCATCATTTAAATCAAGTGATGTAGTTACAAATATTGAAAAGAATCCCAATATTATTGTTGCCATTAATAATGATAATATTAATATCTAGAATAAAAAAAGTACAAGTTAATAAATCTTAATCTAATTTCTCCTTTTCTTTTTCTTTTGTTTTTATAATTACTCTATTATTTGGAGAAGCACGACAATTTTTTTTAGTAATTGATCTTGTAGTTTTCCAAATCAAGACACCATAGATTATAAATCCAACGGCAATTAAAAAAGAAGTACCATATAAAACAATGAGGAATATATAAAACATAGTATGACCAAAATCGTAAATTGTAGGTGAAAGATCACGTAGATAGGATAGGACTCCAGTAGTGATTCCGATACACATAAATACACAGGTATGAACAATGAATATTTGTTTGGAGACGCCAACAAAGATACTTCTTCTGGTTTTGAAAACATTGTGATACAACCCAATCCAGAATACCAACAATGTAGTATAGGATGCCAACATTAACACCAAACTAATATGACTGGTTGAATTTTCAAAAGAAATAGTTGCTCTTCTATTTGGATCAGCTACAAATAACGCTGCATTTGCACTTGAATTTAATTCCAATACAAACCATTGTCCTACCAGTGATCTATATTTAACTAAAATATTTAAAAATAAACAAATAAATATTGATATTTGATATTTGAGATTTTGATTTGACTTACAATAAATACTAAGAGTAAGGAAATAATTTGATAATAATTTCAAAGTTAGAAACCTTTTCTCTTGAATGACAATACTAACTATTCTATAGATTATATAGAAAAACATTACAATATAAATTGGAAATAATGATACATAGATATTAAAAAATTGTTGTGGATAAAGTTCACTTGGGTGATGAAATGTAGTTTGGATGTGTGATGTTGATGAAGATGATGTATGGTTTACACCTTTTTCATCTACGGTTGACATTGTTTTTTTTTAGATTAGAGATTTTAGATAGATATATGTGATGATGATTGGGAATTAATTAATTTCTAAATCGAAATCACAATAATTGGGATAGACACGATCATCATTAACAAACAGGAGAGGTAGATTGTCAAAAGAAAGAAAGAAAGAAGTCGTTGATTTTAAATTTTAAATGAATGAAACTAAACCCAAATTTATCTCTACCACTCTCTTTGAATCAACATTGTCACCACTACAAAAGGTGGAATGACAGTATTGGCAATAACAGTAGATAAACATATAAATATATATGTCATTATTATTATTATTGTTATTATTAGTAAAAAAAAAAGTAGGTAGGTTAAGGAGTATTAATCATTCCAACCACCTCAACCACGAAATGAATCAAATTGCACGAAAAATGATGATCATGTATGTAGATGTGGTGATTGATCCGATTGATTTGACTGACTGACTGAGTGGTACCATTAATGTGGTTGTGTGGTTGATGACAGTGGATATATTTGGGGGTTAGTGATGATGACCTAATATATTTAAAATATCCACACATGGATCGATACATGGATAAGAAGGAATAAATTTAATTTATCCACTCTTCTTCCCCCAAAAGAGATAGATGATATATATATATATATTAATTAATCAATGCTGTTCTTTATCTTTAGTATCTTTAGTATCGTTGTTATTGTTAATCGTTGACGTAGTGGTAGTAGTGGTATTGTTGTTATTTTGATCATCATTGTTATTTCCATTTTTGTTTTCTTCTATATTATTATTATCATTACTATTATTATTTTGGTTTCCAACAATATTATTGTTAAATGATAGTGATGTAATTACAGGAGCCTTTTTCGAAACCAAACAAGATACGATATGCTTCATTGGGATGATGACAACACCCAACTCTTTTCTCTTTTGAAACTTGATTGATTCCATTTCCTCTGAGAGATAAATATATGTGAATATCATCATTCATTTGTTGATATTAGATTATCTATATCTATCTTATCCTATCCTATCTTAATCTAATGTGATCTCTTACCTATTTCAATTTGTGAAGGAGATGTTCCATTTTCTTTATGTTTTTGATCTATAAACTCTTTATAACGTTGTTCGCCAAACATGAGTTCATGGGCGTTTGATAATAATACATTCTGTTGTTGATCAAAGCATGATAGCTTTCCTCTAAACTTTCGACCACCGTGTGTTTCAATCTTGACGTCTCTATCCATCCACTTTAATACTTGTTTCATTGATTCTGTCAATGATTCCTCTTCATCTTGTTGTTTCTTTATATCTTGTTCAACTATTGTTGTCATGATTAAATTCTTTATCTACTAACCAATTTAGATTGATTGACCTAATACACGAATGAGTGCACTCTCAAAGGGAAAGCATGATGAATGAATGAAAGGGGAACTTCGATTTTTTCAAAAACTAAATAGAGAGGTGAATGTCGGTGGTGTAAAATACAGCTTTTGCGAGGGAGATAGCTATAATAATTATTATTCTACTTTGTACTATATAACTATATAAATATATAAATCACTTTTATTACATACATTCATCAACACAACCAATTTGTTGTTCATATCATATCATATTCTTTCTACTCTACTCTTTGTTGCTTGCTTGCTTGATGTTGTTGCTATTCAAGGTCATTGAATAAACAAAACTACAACCAATGGTTTCGTACGATACCAAAAGTAAAAGTAAAGGAAACCTCGGTGATACCAACAAAAGTAAGAAGTATTAGTAGTAGTAGTAGTGGTAGTAGAAGTGGAAGTAGTAGTAGTGGTGGTAGTCATCATTCATCCTCATCTTCTTCTTCATCTTCATCATCTTCTTTAAAGAATAATAATAATAATAATAATAATAATAATAATAATAATAATAATAATAATAAAACATCTACGACATCTACAACATCTACTACATCAACAACATCTACTACATCGACCAAATCAAGATTAGAAGATGCTACAAAAGAGTATCAAAGAGAGACGTATCGTGTCAACAATTTGACCAATGAAGAAAGAGAAAAAGAGTTGGATAGGTTTCTAAGTCTTCCACCAAAGAAACCTCCTACCTCTAGACAATCGTCAGAGCCACCAAGTTATGATAGTCTACAAAAACATTTACAATCTGTAGATATGGATAGTTTAATGGATGAACTAGATAAAATGTACAAAGAAGCATTAAACAAAAAGGTTGCCAAATTCTATACAGATTTGACTAAAAAACAACAACAACAATCACAATCACAATCACAATCATCTTTATCTTCCTCTTCCTCTTCTCCTCCTCTTCAAAATAATAATAATAACAAATCTTTACCAACAATACAAAAATCAACAACAGATCAATCATCAAAAGTTCAAAAACCAGAATTGGTTAAAGTATCAAGTGAATTTACATTCTCTCGTATAAAGGTATTATCAGAGGATGAATTACTAAAGATTAATATTGATGAATTGGAAAAGAAGAAATCGGTTGCCATTCAACGTTTGACACAAGAAATTATGGATGCCGATATGGTCATTGAAAAAAGAAAGGGTTTGGAACTAAAGACTAAAAGAAAATTGGAAAAGGATCGATTACCACAAGAAAAGGAAAATGAAAAGGAAAAGGAAAAGGAAAAGGTAGTGTCACAATCTCTACCGGAAAAGAAGGTAGTGCCACAAACACCTCTAGATGAAAAGACTACATCACTAGGACCATCTCCATTATTAATACCAAGACAAGTTTTGGTACAACAACAAAAGGAAAAGGAAAAAGAAAAAGAAAAAGAAAAGGAAGATGTTATTGATATGGATGTTTCAGCAGATGTAGAAGAAAATCCAAAGAAAAGAAAAGCTGGAAATGAAAAGAAAACGGCAAGAAAGAAAACAATCAAAAAATCAATACCAATCCCAGTCGAAGATGAAAAACCTCTTTCTTTTTCAGCTCCATCATCATCTTCTTCTCCTGCTTTGTCTTTTGAAGATCAACCACCACCAATTACCAGTACCACCACCAATACCAATAATAATCCAATACCGATTAATATTGATGAAAAACCAAATATAGTGTATATTTCTCAAAATGATAGAGAAATTTCACTAAAGATGATTGAAAATCACTTTGTTCAAACTGTAGAATCTACACGCGTATCACCCGAAAGTATCAAAGAAGCATGTGCACAATTGGAGAGAAAGGCATTCCAAGAATCATCTTGTCAAAAAGAGTATATTGAGCATTTATCAACACTCTATGAACAACTAAGGAAATCTCTACTCCAAAGTTTGGGTCAAGATCCTTCTCAAGTATCATCAACAGAAACAACAAATCAACCAACAAATCAACCAAATGCAATTGACCCTACTACCAATACAAATACAACAAATGATCAACCTATTCCTCCTCCTCCTCCTCTTCCACCACAAGCACAACCACCACTTCCTCCTCCTCCTCCATCTCTTTCAAATGAACAAAAAGATGGAATTGATAGTATATTATCAAATTTAAAACATCAAACTGAAAATATGGTAATGTTGGACAATGAAACAATCAAATCAGTTCCAATCAACAAGACGATGAAGAAACCAACCAGTTTGGTGACACAATTTACATTTGTTGTAGATTCTGTCAAATCAAAGTCATTGGTTACAGAGTTACGCAAAGATTATGACGATTCTTCATGGGTAGCGATTCGAAGGGAACGATTGATTTCAAATACACCGGCGACAGTAACCAACAAGAGAATATTCAAAAAATACTATGACATGATCAAGGACCCAAAAGAATTGGATTACTTTTTGTTCCTTTCACTTTCATTTATCACTGGTTGTTCATTCGACAATGTATATAATGAATTTTGGATTCTCCACAACAAGAAACCATTGCCATTTTCTCTGGAAGAGCTCCAAGAAACTTTGGCATTTACAGGTGACATGAAGAAATCCAAACTGCTTACCATTCGAAATCATGTTTCAAAACTCATTACAAACAAATTAAATGGTATTACTTTTAAAAGAAGTGATGATAGTGATAGTGACAGTGACAGTGACTCTGATGATGACGATGAACAAAATGAAAATTCAAAATCAAAATCAAAATCAAAAAAACCTGTTCTTTGGAGAGATGAAGATGTTGCAAGAGGAAAATTATCTTTTCCTCTTTGTGCTACAAATTCTTTTGATATTAATGGTTTAATTTTAGATGTAAGAAGAAGAAGAAGAAGAAAGAAAAAAAAAAGAAGTATCTTCTTTTTTATTTATTTATTCATTTTCTATTTTTTTTTTTTTATTTAGGGATTTACATGGATTGATAAAAGTTTTCATCATGAATCTGTAAATACAATGATTAATAATAATATTACAGATTTTTCTGCACCTTGTCAATGTATTGGAGATTGTCATAGCCCAGAGAATAGACAAAAATGTAAATGTCTTAGTGACTCTCAAGCAGGTGCCTATTACGATGAACATGGTCAGTTGATGATGGATTATTATATAAACAACAAATCCATTTATGAATGTACAGATTTGTGTAAATGCACTGGATGTAAAAACAAGGTCGTTCAAGACAGCAATCGTTATGTTTTGGAACTATTCAAAACAAAGAAAAAGGGTTGGGGTGTTCGTTCAACATCTGACATTCCTGCAAATACCTTTGTTTGCGAATATGTTGGTGAAATTGTCTCAAATTCAGAAGCTGAAATTCGTGGTCAAAAGTATGACAAGAAAAAGGCTTCTTATTTATTTGATCTTGATGTTCCAACTATGGATGGTGAAGAATATTTTTGGTATGAAAAGATTAGAAAAAAAAGAATAGAAAAAAAAAAATTGAAAAGAACATTAATTAATTTTATATTTTTCTCTTATAGTATTGATGGAACTTGTTATGGTAATGAATCTAGATTTTTAAATCATTCTTGTAATCCAAACCTTGAAAACTTTGTATGTAAAAAAGAATATTAATATATTCTTTAATGAATTGTTTTCCTAATATCCTTTCTTTTATTATTTATTATTAGATGGTTCATGATACAGCAGATTATAGATTACCAAGGATTGCATTTTTTAGTAAAAGATGCATACCCAAAGGTGAAGAGTTGACATTTAATTATGGCTATGAGATTCCTCATGCTTCGGGATCTAAAAGTGCTAAAAGAAGAGGTACCAGTGATGTTGATATCCCTTGCCATTGCAAAGCCCCGAATTGTCGTCAATGGTTATGGCGTGTTGAATAACAATAAATTATTAATCTTTTTTTTTCGACATGGGGTTTTTTTATTTTTGTGAATTAGGAGATACTTGAAATTTTTTATTGCTTGCTCAAAACATGAAGAAACAATGGAGACCGCCAGAAAAATCTTCAACAGTAGCACCAATGGTTCAATGGTAGAATGGATCCCTGCCACGGATTCGATCAATATAAACATCGCTCGCTTCTGATTTGTTCTCCATATCCATCCAGTGTTAAAAATTATTATTTGTTTTTAATAAACTCTGACTTGTTGAATAAAAAAATCGCGCGCCTACGGACGGAGGCAGGCTCAGAAAATAGAAAAATCTTCAACAGTAGCACCAATGGTTCAATGGTAGAATGGATCCCTGCCACGGATTCGATCCGAGTTCGATTCTCGGTTGGTGCACTCTTTTTTGTTTTCCCACTTTTTTCCCCCTTTCTGCAATTTTTTTGCTGAATATTCGTGTTCTCCTAATCATCTCCCATCGATTGAGCTAGGTTTCATTCACTTCCATCAAATCCTCAAAGAGAAAACCTAAAATTCAATACTGGAATCAAAACTATAAAATTGGGTCCCACCAATTTCAACTATCGTGACCCTGACAAACATAATCTCTGGCTGGTCTGACAAATTACAGAGCTCTACTGGTCAACGATTCATAAAACAAGACAATAAGAAAACGCTTTTAATCAAACCAACATGTTGAGATTTAACTTTCTATTTAATTTTTATTTAAAAGATGAACCAATTTAACAAGAGGAACATTTGATAATTTACATTCATCTATTAAAAGAGAATAATAAAATGATTTGACAAGAGGATAGTTGGAACAAAGGAATTTTAATACACAGGCTCGATCATTTTTCAACAATGATTTGATTGTATTTCTTTGCAACAAGTGATAATCCTTTTGATGATCCTGGACCATTTGTAAATTGGATTCATCTTGCAATATATTTGTTTTTAGATCTGCAGAAAAGCGATCCAAAAAGTAACCAATAAAATAAATGGGTGCATATTCTAGAGTAATATCCAACAGAGTTTGTATAGAGTCAATATTATGTGACCAATACCAATCAAACCATTGTACCAATCCTCCTTGTGCAATAGAATAGTATCCATAGTTGTTTATAGTATAAGAGAATTGATGTCGATCCAAAAAATTCAAACGACCAAAATAATTGTATTTGAATAGGCAATAGTAAAGGTCTGGAACATAGGATGGTTGAAATGTACCTTGGGCATTTAGAATATTGTACTGTTGAACCAGATAATCTGTACCTTTTTCATAAAATGTAGGACTTTCCAAATTGGTTGTGATTGAATAATAAATGGTTGCAATTTTTTCCAATAACATTTCATCTGGAAATTGTGCAAGATAATAATCTATACAATCAATGTCATTTGTGAGAATTAATGGACAAGTATCCTCTAGTGACCACGCAGATGGTATTGGGAAATGACCCAACTCTTGTACAAGTAATTTTGCATTCTCCAATGACAATGGTAATGCTGAGCCTTGCATGTTTAAATCTAGTTGATTGTAATCTTTAATACCTGTCAACAAAAGTTGAGGTATTTTTGAATTGTTACAATATCTTAGACATTCCAAGAAAAGTCTATCCATCCCTTCTTCTTTTGTCTCTTGCTCTTTATCCTTTTCCAACCAATCGACCAAAATTTGAAAAACCAATTCTTGATTATATCCAGCTTTAATCATTGATACTATTAAATAATATCTTTGATTGGTGGGTTTTGTATTTCGGAATAAAATATCAACCAATTGAACAATTTCTTGATCTGTATAAGTTTCTTTGACCATTTTCATATTATCTGTTGATTTAAAAAATTCAGAGTCTAATGACCAATCTACCAATTTGAATGCTTTCAATTCTACCAATCTTGTTTGCAAAAATTCAATGAGACACTTTTGATGACTGTTTGGTACAGTGATGGGAGGTAAAATGTATTTCATCATTTCTAAAATCTCTGCAATCCTTGTAATCTCTTTTAAATCTTTAGATTCACTATACTCGCTGACCTTTTCTAGAGTATTTTTTTTAATTCCTTCTTGTCCAGGCCAACTATTAAATTCTATAGGTATTTCTTTTGATGGAATATAATATTGAACTTTTCCAATTAAAAAGTAAATTACATCTATTGATGATTGAGTAATATTTGCCTTTATAAAATAGGAAATTAAATTCTTGATCATCCCAAACAACAGTGTCAGACTAGATGGTTTAAATCTATCAAAATATTCTTCCATCAAGTTTATGTCCACTGTTCTTGCAAGTGGTGATATTGGATTTTGATACCATTTGCATAGATATTGATCGTCGAGTATGTATCTAATAAACTCTACATCATCAATATAGTCATAATAGATCTTTTGTTTGATTGTTTCTATAATCTCTTTACCACTAATACCCAAATCTTGAATGATATACTTTAGTACTGGTAGATTTGATCTTTCTAGTACCATTGCAAACAATCTTGAGCCACTTGCCATGACAGTCTCTCTTTCTTTGCCTTTATAGAAATGATTTAAATACATTTCAAATTTCTCTTTTGATACATCTTTATATGATGACAATTTCATTGTTGTGTTGTAAGGAGAATGGGGACGTTTTGAAACATCTTTGATGGTTGTATAAAGATGGTTAAGAATCTTTTTCTCGAAACATTCTTGTGGTACCCATCGTATGACTTTGGTAAAGAGATCTAGTCGATCGGTAGACATTGACCTATAGAAATGAAAGTCTTCAAACTTGAAAGAGCATTCAACATAGGACACTCCAGAGTCTATCAACCTCTCTACAATAGCCATACTGTAGCATGAACTGTAACCATGAGTTTCATTGATAAACATCTGTTCATGATAGTCACCCGAGTAATCTTGTCCATCTCTTACATAAACTCCTTGAAATTTGATTCTATCGTTTCTTAGTATCTTTAATAATAAGTATTTATTTCTAAATACATTAAATATTATCTCTTCTTTCATTTAAAAAACAAATAAAAATATTTTTAAACTGATCACATTTTTTTAGAACCTTCTTTTTCTTTTATATGTTTTTCCTAGGATAATGATTAAATGGAAATTATTAAAAAAAATAATATAAAATTGTTAGCTGGAGATATAAAGATAAACATGTTTAAACATATTTAAAATCAATAAAAAAGGGTTTGCAGGGTTGCCTCCAAAACGACTCTTTTTGATGTCCCTCTTACCTATTTGGGTGTTTTCTCGGTGAGGATTTAGTGGAAATGAATGAAACCAGGTGCAATCGATAGGGAATGAAGAGGAGAACACGGGGATATCAAAAAGCGTCTGTTTGGAGACAGCCTTGCAGGAAAAAAAAAGGATTTTCGACATCTGCAGGGTTCGAACCTGCGCCTCCGAAGAGAATTGATTTCTAGTCAATCGGCTTAGACCACTCACCCAAGATGCCTTGGTTGAAAGTTTTTTGGACCTATGCCTTTTTATAGGAAAATTTTCTTCTCCTTTTTGATCAACGTCCATATAACATGTATCATAGACATGGACAACCCCCAGAACAAATTAACTTTAATTCTTCTCGAGATAATCTTTATTTCTTGCTGGTCAATTAAAATGTATAATTAATAAAACTTTGTAACTTCTGAGTACTACTCTTCCCGATAGGAGAGAACAGGAAAAGAATTACTTTAAAAAAAAAATTCTTCTCCTTTTTGTATTATCGACGACCCTATTGTCTATACAAAAGGTATCTAGTTATTATTTAGAGTAGAGAGGAGAGAAAGTTTTTCGGCGAAATTTTCAACATAATAATAACGATACTTCATTGTTATTTCTCTGTCAATATATAGACAAGTGATATACTACATACATATATGTTTGTTTGTTTGTTTGTTTGATAAAAGAGAGGAATTTAAAACAAATCCACCAAGATTTATTTTAAAAAGTAAGGTTTATAATATATATTTTAGTTTGTTATTATTATTGTTATTATTGTTGTTATTGTTATTGTTGGTTGTATTATATGATTAAAAGTACTTTAACTTTTAATCACATGTATTTGGGGGAGTTTGGGGGGGTGATTGATTGATTGATTGTTGTGTGATAGTATAATTAATTAATGCTCTATCTATTCTGTCTATCTAGGGAGATAAAAGACATTCAGAAAAGCCCTTATTAAAGAGATGTTGAATACTACATAGTTGGATTCTGCTACACACAGAATCGCAAGGGTGTGTTGGATAAGAGACACTGTTGAAAAAGTGATACATGTTGAGCATATCATTGTCTTGGCTCATGAGCAAGAATGCTTCATACATGGACACTGGATCGAGTGCAGCAACATGATAAAACTCGGTTGCACGATACTCTAGCATCCAATCAATCGACTCTGTCTCTATATTGGCAGTTAAATTACTCCAATATTGATAATAATCGGTTAAACCAAAGCTACTAGTATTATAAGTATAATATCTAATCGATGGATTATTTGGTACTAAAATAATTAATAATAGAGTTTGTTAATGAATTTTGTTTTTGTTGTTTTGTTTTGTTTTAATTTTTTATATTTATGATACAATACAAGCAGGAACCCAAGGATCCATCCAAGGAGTAATAGATGGACTAAGGAACATGACACCGTTGGGTACCCAGTTGGCACCATGGTCAAAGATGGAATGTGGTTCGTTGTAGTAGAGTCTATAGGTATCGGAATGTTCGTGGCCGTAGATATGGGCTACAATGACATCGCTGTAGTTGCTAAAGGCATAGAGATACTGATCGTTGAATTGACTGTGAAAGTTGGCAACATTGTACTTTTCATTGTGGCCAGGTGGCACGTGACCAAGAATCAATACTTGTTCATTGTCTTGACGTGCTTGGTAGAGTGTTTGGTTGAGCCAAGATATTTGGTTGGCTGGATCGGTAAGATTCAAGCATTGCTTGTCTTGTGCATAGTAGAATACAGTGTTTAGCGAAACGATACGGAACCCTGGCATAATTGGCTCACTATAATACCCACCAATACGAATAGTATCCAATGAATCATTGGTCAACCATCTTGACCACATATCAGCTACACCATCAAATAACCAATTTGGTCCAACTGATATTTGATGTTCTGGGAATCTAAAAAAAAAAAAAAAACATAATTAATTAATGATTTGTTTGTTTGTTTGTTTGTTTGTTTGTTTGTTTGTTTGTTTGTTTGTTTGTTTGTTGGGTTATTTTTTTTTAAAACACGACATACGAATCATGATTACCAATAGCAGGATAAACAGGAATACCAGGGAAATATTCAGATATTAAATCAGTCATATTTAAAATAGATTGTAATACCAATGATTGATTTAATTGATTTGTTGATACATGTGGTACATCATCTCCACTCCATAAAATAAAATCTAAATTAAATTAAATTAATATATTATTGTTTAAATGATTGATTAATTAAATTAATTAAATTACCTGGTTCAGATTCAATATCAACCATCTTTTTAAAAGCACTTTGGACAAGTAGTAAAGGTGAATCACAACGATAGTTTCCAACTGGTGATGCTCCAGTTGAATCTACTGCATAGTCGTATTCATCGTCGTCTTGGTTGTCATATTCATGGTCATCTTGTAAAATATCGATCCATTCCAACTTTTCATTTGTATTTCTATTGTCTATAATCTTTTTTTGTTGTCTTGCATGTGTTTCTTTCTTTTTATTACTACCTGAATGACACATATTCTTTGTGTTTCCTCCACTCTAGAGAGAGAGAAAAGATATAAATAATGACAATGTTAGTTATCCAAATTATGGTTGATCGGATTGAATGAATGAATGATATTTACAACATAGGCCCAATCTAAATGAGAGTCTGTAATGTGCCATATTTTTCCATTCAATACAGATGATATAGACTGCACTCTATCAACATGTTGAAACAATACAACGACCGATAATAATAGAACAGAAATGATGTTTATGAATGATAGTTTCATCGTTATTATAGTATAGTCTTCTTTTTAAAAAACCAGCTAGCTCCGACTCTCTCAAACTATATAAATATATAAATACTAATACTACTACTACTACTACTACTACTACTACTACTACTACTACTACTACTACTACTACTACTACTACTACTATAACTTTCTTTCTTTCTTTATCTTGTTATATGATTATATATTTGTATTTGTAGTATAATTGATTATTTGTAGTTTGAATTGATAAAAAAAAAGGTTGTAAAGTTGGCACTCCACACACAGCAACTCAATTGGATCGCTCTTTGTTGATCTTGACACATCGTGTTCTTGGCACTTCGTTCGGACGACAAAATTATTATTTTTTGGTATTGATAAAACTCCCTTCGAAGCTTGGATATTTGGTTTGGATTTTTGGCTCTCTTTTTATATCTTTTATCCCAAAACAACAAGACAGAAATTAAATTCATAATATTTAATGAATGAATGAATGACAACAATGGGTTGAAATGAATAGAGGTAAATATAAAATTTGTAAATCGAATTATCCGTCCGTCTTGTGTGTGTGTGTTTGTGTGAGTGTGTGAGATTTGTGTGAGTCGAATTCGTTTGAAGGTATCAGTTAGTAGATGCAAGAGATAATAGTAGTAGTAGAACTGAGTGGTATGCTCTGAACGAACTTTTTTGAGTTGAGTGAGAGTGCGTGATGTTTCGCAAAAATTCATTTTTAAAAAACAGGTCAAGTTCTGCGGTTCGTTAAAAAACAGACAGATAATTTTAATTTGCAGGTGACTTGCACGACGTACTTAATTACTTTGCGCAGAGTAGTCGAATAACCAATTAAAATAACAGTTGTACAACCCAAAACACACAATAAGAAAGAAGAATATAGATAGAGATATACAAGTTTAGAGATCTCTCTCTTCACACATACACAACTACTACCACTTATTTATTTATTAGATAATCAAACTTATAAAATGAAATTACAACAGTAATAGCATACATAGCACACACACACACAAGATAACAATGGATCACATACAACCACAACAACAACAACAACAACAACAACAACAACAACAACAACAACAACAACAACAACAACAACAACAACAACCACAACAACAACAACAACAACAACAACAACAACAACAACAACAACACCCTCCTCATACTACTACATCTACTACATCTACTACATCTACACAATCTCAACAATCTCAACAACAAAAGATGCAATCACCTGCTAGTACTAATAATACTACTACTACTACAGATGGGCCTACATTTTCAATACCAACTGTACCATACTTTCATAATAGACCAACAGAATCTCTGTCGGATTTGTTACCTAGTATGTTTGGTATTATTGATTTTATACAGTTGGTTGACAATCCTCCACTACGAGAAGATTTGTATGAAATCATAGCGAGTAATAGTACAAACAATAGAAATGTCATTATCAATAGTATCTATGACTATACAACCACCAAAGAACCTCTGGACAAATACTTTGACTTTCGATTCGTCATGACCAACAAGGCAACACAAGAAACATTGGGAAAGTTTAGTTCATGGCAAAACCCTACACCTGCAATGAGAGCACTCGATGGTTTCACAGCTGGTAGTGATTTAAAACTACCTCCTTACTTTCTTGCATTATGGATTACAAATATATTAAAATGTTTACATAAAAAGAAAAAAGTTAAAGTATGTTAAAAAAAAAAGTAAAAAAGTAAGGAAAAAAAGATAGATATTAATATCAATCTTACTTTTCTTTTTAGTTTTCATATCCAAGATATATACAATCAGGAATATTACCAAAACAAGAAGATTTATTTTCATTGGATAGGATCATGTGGAAACGTGGATCGATATGTCACATGAAAGAGTGTTCATCAGAGACACCTAATCGATTCTGGTTTACAATCGATGAAGTGACCAAAGAAGAGATGAAAAAGATAAAAACGTTGGAAAGTGAACGAGAGGTTAGGAGTCGACTAGAACACCTTGAAAACAAGATTGACGAACGTGTCGACCAGGTTACAGAGCTACGGCTCAAATATGTACTCGAATCGATCCCTCAAATGGTTTTTGTGACCAATAATAGGGGTCGGTTGGAATTTGTAAATAGACAATGGCTCCAATACTTTGGCATTGACCATGCCGGACAACAATTGGATTGGGCATTGATCACACACTCTGAAATGGGCTCCAATGTAAACAAACTTTGGAAAGATTCTATTTCGTCGGCAAAGAAATTCGAGGCAGAGGTACGACTCAAGAGTTGGACGGGTGAATACCGTTGGTTCTTGATTCGTGCCGAACCCTATGTGGAACCCTCGCAATTAATCACCTCCTCGTCGTCACCATCGAGCAGCAGTGGCAGCTTCTCCTCCTCGAGTAGTGGAAGCGCCTCGAGCAGCCCTTCGACTACAAACGGCTCTGGATTTTTCTCAGTCTCTACCCCAGGCGTCCTCGTCAAATGGATCGGTAGTTGTACCGACACCAACGACCAAAAAACAGCTCAAGCTCGCATCGAAAGAGCTGAAAAGGCAAAAGCTATCTTTTTACAAACAATGTCTCATGAAATGCGTACCCCCCTTGCCGGTATTCTTGGTATGAATAATTGTTTAATTAATATTATTCAACAACAATCAATTCAACCAGTTCATCAAAGTCAAAGTCAAAGTCAACAACAACAACCAATTCAACCATTTCAACCAGTAGTTGATATTAATAGTAATAATAATATTAATAATAATAATAATAGTACTCAAGATATACCTTCGTCATCTTCATCATCATCATCTACACAACCTCCACAACCATTTATTGGATCACCAACATTAAATGGAAATAATTATCCAACTATAATAGCAGATCAATTAGATTGTTGCAAGACTATAAATATATGTGGAGAAGCATTATTGGTATTGATAAATAATATATTGGATTTGAGTAAATTGGAAGAAGACAAGATTGAATTGGAAGAGGCAGAATTTTCACCTTTGGGTCTTGTAGAAGATGCAGTCGATATTTTAACAACCATTGCCGAGCAAAAGAATATAGATATTGTATATCAGTTGGACAAGGAGGCAGTTCCTTGTGTGATTGGTGATTTCTATCGTATTCGTCAAGTCCTCACCAACCTATTATCAAATGCAATGAAGTTTACACCTGAAAAGGGTAGGGTTGTGGTTGGATGCTCGGCCGAAAAGAACGAGGTTGCTCAACAACCAACTTGTATCAACCGAATATTCAACGAAAAGACGATTGGTGGCAATTATGGTAAACTCAAGTTTTGGGTAAAAGACACTGGTATTGGTATACCCGAAGAGGGCAGAGAACGTCTCTTTAAAGAGTTTAGTCAATATGATGTGTCAATCACAAGAAATTATGGGGGTAGCGGTCTGGGACTGGCCATCTCCAAGAAATTGACGCGACTATTAGGAGGTGACATTTGGTTTGACTCCAAGGTCAATCATGGCAGCACGTTTTACTTTTCGGTACAGGTGTTTTTGCCAAGCGATTGTACTAATCGTCGGTACATTAGGAATGTGGTCGAGCGAAACATTAGCACCTATTCATACCCATGTCCGAGCAAGGTGTTTTTGTTGACCAAGCAAGAGCTGTTGGGTCAGATGATCGTGTCTTGGACACGTGAATGGGGTGTTGAAACACTCGTCTATTCGTCGTTTCAAGAGATGAACCAACGTATCAATAATTTTAGAAAAGGTCAAATCATTGGAAAGAAATATAAACATGTGAAAAGGATGAAAAGGCTGATACTGCTGCTGCTGCTGGCGAAGACGCCAAGCTTAATGCGATCATACTGATGGAAGAGACGTGCATCTCCAACGGCGCAGCACTTGACGACAAGTCGGCGGTTGCTCGACGCGACTCTATCCAACAGGCACTTGACGACTATAGCCAAGACACGGTCAACAGCATCAAGACGATTGTCATTGGATACTCAAATTCACCCATCAACAACAACATACCTCTGCTCAAGAAACCTGTCAAATACAGTATGTTGCGAGAGTGTCTGTACAGTCATCTCAAACATTTCAGTAAATTCAATCCTCCACACATCCAACTTAGCACACCTCCACTCCACCTCAACGACGTCAACGCCACACCATCCAGTCTCTACTACCAAATCAACAATAATTCTCAAACCGCGCCAACCAACCAACAAATTAGAAATACCATCAATGACAATCAAATTTCACTTTCACTTCCTCCTTCACTCAACTCTTCGTCGAGTGGGATAATGTCACCGTCATCATCATATAATAACAATCAGAAACGATTGAGTGCATCGTCGGCGTCAATGGGAGTGTCGGCATTGGATCACCAACAACATCATCTTCAAGAACAACAGGCACAACAAAAAAGAATCATCAATCAACTCATCGCATCCAATAGTAATGTAAGGATTCCAATTACCATTACTCCTCCACTCTCTATCCCACCACTATCAATAGAGTCATCGAATACTACAGTCTCTATTTCAAATACCACTTGTACAGGTGGCAATGGATATTGTCATTGCCAAACATCCCCTCCTCCTCCCTCTGACCTAATCACTCTTCCAAATATGTTTAAAAGTCATCAACAACAACAACAACAACAACCACAACAACAAACATCATCAACTTCACCAATGTCGACATTATTGTCTCCTTTATCTTCACAATTAATTCAAAATAATCAAAATATTAATAACTCAAATTCATCTTCAACAAATGTTTCACTTTTACCAAATCCAATTTCACAATCTTTAATGTCAGCTTCACCACCATTAAATTCTGTATTAAAAAGAAGAGGATCAATTGCCAATGATACAGATATACCAATGGAAATGGTTGCCAAACGATATCCATTAAAGATTTTAATTGCAGAGGATAGTGTCATTAACCAAAAGGTGGCCGGACGTTATCTTACTCGTCTTGGATACCCAGCCGAAAACTTAATATTTGTGGTCAATGGTCAACAAGCAATCGATTATCTCCAAAGTGGTAGAATGGTCGATGTCATCTTGATGGATATGCACATGCCACTTTTAGATGGTTGTGAAGCTACCATTCGAATTCGTCAACTCTATCAACAAGACTCGGGACCTCATATTATCGGATTGACAGCAAACGCCTACAGTGAAGACAAAGAGAAATGTTTACATAGTGGTATGTGTCAATACCTTGCTAAACCTGTTAAAATGGAAGACCTTGCCTTGGAATTAAAAAGGGCATACCTCACTAGAATCGCTAACCTTCGAGTTTGTATTTGTAAAGTTTCCACAAACTAAAAAAAAACTAAAACAAAACAAATAAATCCAGTAAATGCACATAATGGAGAAAAGTCAACATATATATATAAATATAGATAGATAAATATATATATATGTATCTCCTATTTTTTCACACAAACAAAAAAATCTGCAAAGGAATAATTAAAAGGATCCTTTTAGCCTCACGACAAAATTAGATCTTTTTTTTTTTTTAGACTCTGCATACTCTTAAATTAGATTTGTTTGATGGTTTGAGAAAAATCAAGCTTTAATTAGAACATTTTACATAGATAGAATACTTTAAAAATAAATGTCACAACAAGAAGAATTGTATCACACATGAATTGGTCTATATCTATATGTTGGTAAAATTAGAAGTCAAGAGGAAGGGGTGTATACTCCCTCCTATCATGAAATTAAAAGAGAGAGAGAAAGATCTTTTAAAATATGGTGTACCATCTGACCTTTCTTGCCAATCAATCAAAAAAATAAAAGAGGTTCTCAAACAGTTCTTTTGTGGATGAGGCTCATCCATCATTGATTTGATTCTTTTAAATTAACAATCGAGACCCCCACCACAAGATGATGGAGGGCATGAAAAAAATTGAAAAAGGAAATGAGTTGAACCATGAGGTTTTCAAAGTGTGGGGGTGTGCTCTATGTGATGTTCAAACAAGAAAGACGACAAGCTAAACACACACTCAAGATCATCAATCATCATTCATAGCTTTTTAAAATCTCTTGCATTATCTCCAAACTTTCAACAGATGCAAAAGGGGCACCAATGGTATGACAGGACAAGTGGTAGTTTGTTGCAACTGTAGATGGATGATGAAAACCCCTTAACCTATTGTTGTCTAGGCAATCTCATCCGATCAGCTTAGACAAACAAAGTGTCCATCACACAAGATGCCTCTCATGACATTGTGTGACTGGCTGCATGTGCTGCGGCGGTTGTTCATTGGTACTGCATGGTGACACCTAATTGGTCAGTTTGGAACCCCCCCTCCTCATCAAGAATCTCTGGACCTGTTGGGTTATAGGCGGTTGTATCGACGGGGGTTGACTTGAGCAGACACGCTGAATGAATGCCGTCATACACCTACCACTGACAAGCAGGGGCACCAGCAGCAGCAGCATCATCAGGAAGTTTCAATGAAGTTGTTGCAGGAGGAGGTTTCAAGGCTAATCTAAATATTGATTAAAAATAATAATTCGATAGTTTCAAGGAGCAAGGAGCAAGAAGAACAAAGGAAAGAGGAGAAAGATTAAAAGAAAGAATTCAATTCGTATTCATTTATTCCAATCTATTCTATCTACCTACACAACATAATACATCAATCGGTTTTCCCAACAACCTAATAATAATAATAATAATAATAATAATAATAATCGTAATATTGTCTTGAGAATATCTCAATCTTTTTAGAACCCAACAAACTAAGTAAGTAACCCCAAACTCTCTCTTCGAACCTCACTCCCACACAATCGTACAATCACATTGTCAATCACAATTAATTAATTATCCATCATCATTGCGCATTAATTAAAAATCAAATCCATATTCGATTGTGATTATTATTATTGTTATTATCATTACCCAATAGTTGTAAGTTTGTCGTCTCGTCTTATAGAATCAATTAATTAATCAATCATCTTCATCATCTTTGTTTGATTGATTCCATTTCCATTTCATTTGGATTGGATTCATCTCTGCTGTCACACCCACTAAATCACATCCAACGTTGGATTGTTTTTCAGACCCAACACCACCAATCCAATCAATATGTTAAACACACCCCCCATTAAAACTGCAACGCACTGCAACACACACTCATAATTGGTAATAAGCATCCACATATCTTGCACAAACAGGGTTGGTTGAACGACTCGTCAGACAGATCAACAGCAGACTGACCAGTCCAAATCCAAACACGAGTGGACAAAACAATAACCCATTTGCCCGTTGTTGCATTATTTGCTTGGCACAGTTCAATTGACCAAACTCCCCCCACCCGACTCTATTGTAGGGGGGGGGGTTGGCAAATTTGCAGAGGAACCCATCGATCCTCTTGATCAAACAATTCAAGTAGTAGTAAAAGGAAAGGTAGGTGATGAGTAGTACAGTACTACTGTGCATTCTAGAAAACCATGGTAATGGTAATCATGATCATAGCACAAGAAAAAGTCAACCTGATCACCAATTTCCCCTACCTCACCATTTTTGTTGGCACGTCGACGTCGATTCGATTGATATGATAAATATTGTGTAGAAACATAGTCATCATCAACATCATCAGCCCCCTCCACAACTCATCATCATCATCTTCACATCACACTCTAGAGTAACCAATTTTAAACACCATACAACCGCCCCTTCCATTCTAGCCAGCCACAGATTTCGATTCTTCTTTTCGCAGCAGTAGCAGCAGCATCAGCAGAATCAAAAAGACACACATTTGTTATTGCTTGATTGTCAAAAAATTGTTATTTTAATTTGTTCAAACAAAAACCTTATCCGATTTAATTACCAACAAACACCAAAAAAGCAACAATAACAACATAGAAAGAAAAGAAGGAAGGAAGGACAATATAATAATATTAATAATAATAATAATAATAGGAGGTACCAACCATTCAATTCTTTTAAATAAAACAACAACAACAACAACAAACGTTTTTTTTTTTATTATCCAACCCATCTTCCATTACCATCATCCAATACCAACCAAAACAATTCATACCACTACCACTACCACTACCAGTGTTTGTTTACGATTTATACCATTTATCATTTAATCTTATTGTTGCCCATTTTTTTGCAACCCCACGCACTCAACCCTAACCAAACCCTAAACCTGGACGTTTATCATCAACATCATCATCATCATCGATTGCATGATCCTGTTGTTGATATTGTATTGCTTTCCAACACACTGATTACTCTCTCTCGGCATTACCCACACTGTTTAGTCGTCGTCGACTTGCCATTCTCTTCTACTCTCTTGTTATATTATACCCCATTTTCTCATTGTTTTATTTATATATATTTATATATTTCATACCCTCCTCTACACACTGATTGATTATTATAACAATAGTAGTAGTAGTAGGAATTGTTGTTGTTGTTGTTGTTGTCGTTGTTCATCATCATCTTGTCGATCATCATATATTGCATTATTTGATTGACAACAAATCAATACTACGCTTGCTATACTATACACCTACCTCCTTACACGAGAGTTTAGTTTTGATTGTAGGGGTTTATCAATTCCATCCAATCCTATCCTTTTAGTACTACTCTTTTGTTTTTTTTTTTTTTTTGTCTCATCCTGTTATTTTTGCTTTTAATTTCCTTAATTTTTTAAAATTGCCACCATCAATCAATTGGTTGCCATTCTTTCCAAATTTTAAAGCACCACAACACGAGCAATTGCCGGTGCATCACCCGGTTAACTAGTCGTCATCTTTTTTACTCCCAAAAACACCAAGGAGTAGAATAGCCGCCCCAAAACCGACCTACCCCTACTTTTCATTCCTTTCTTTATCATTGAATTTAATTTATCCTGCTCTGCTGCAGGGCGGTCGTTTCATAAGAATAGAATATAGTAAAGAGTAATTGATTTGATTGATGGATTGATTGATTGATTGATTGTTTGATCAATATAATCCAACAACAATACCACGATTTAAAATCCCCCAACACCATCCTCCTCTTCTTGTTCCCACTCTAATATATTATATATATATATTTATTTATTACACCCTCACTCACACACTCTCACCCATAGCTAGCTAGCTCTGATAATCACTATATATATATTATTAATAATAATAATAATAATAATAATATAATAATAATAATAATAATAATAATAATAATAATAATAATAATAATAATAATAATAATATTTCACTTTTTTGATAATTAATTAATCATACTACCTTACCTTACATACTACGCACGCACGCACCTACCATTCTTTTTTTTATTTATTCTATTCTATTCTTTGTTTAAAAAGTCCTACCAAGAATTGCAGCAAAATCGATTGCTCCATCCACACCACCACTTTTTAAACTGACATCCATCCACATCCATCCTATTCATATTTTGAACAGTCATCCATCCAACCATCCAACCAACCAACCAAACCAACCAATCAACCAACTGACTTGCTCGAGCAACTAGATTATAAATATATTGGCAACAAAAAATATTAATACCAACATTTTTCCAAAGGAGAAACAAAAAAAAAATTCCAAAAATGAATTTTATGTTTGATAGTGATTTTATAGACGTTGTACATCATCAAAAGCAATCATCATCATCATCATCGTCGTCGTCATCGTCGTCATCGGATGATCAACAACAACAAGAACAACAGGAAGATATAATAATTGGTGGATACCCAATTAATAAATATTTTAATTCACCATTCTTTAAATACCCACCACAGAAAATGAGTAAGTTAACAACAACCAACAACAATCAAAGAATAATAATAATAATAATAATGCAGAAACTATTACTATTGTCAAAATACAAATTCATTGAACTAACATTATCGTCATCATCATCATCATACTATAATTTAATCAATTTTAGCATGTTTACCACACAAAGATCATTATATTGTTAATAGACAATTAAAATTAGAGAAAAAGGTAAATACATACAACTTTACCACGAGCAACAAGATTTTTGGCCACGAGGACAAGACAATCCCAAATTTACCTCCATCATTTAAATTGATGGCACCACTCTACCAATTACCAAAAGAAGAACAATTAGGTCAAACTTCTCTAATCCCACATGGTTTAAGTTTATTTAGTTCAAATGTAAATAGAAAGAAATATTTTTTTTGAAGAACATTGTATTAATTTTTTTTTTTTTTTTATAATATTATAGTTACAAGGATTAATTAATCAAAAAATAATGAGTAGAAAAAATATTGAATTAGATTCTGTTGAAAAATACAAGGATTTAATAGTTGTACAGAATGAACCAAGAATCTTGGAGAGATTCAAAACTGTAGAGGAGATTAATAATTTTGCATGGTTAAATGATGAGGAATTTGGTAGACAGAGACTGCAGGGAATTAATGGTGGACAATTGTGCAAGTTGACACGTAGCATGTGGAATGAAAGATCGTACGACAAGATATTCGATATTAGCAAGTCTAGACCTATCATGGACGACATTACACGCAACCCAACTGGATTCAGTTTCAATGAACTGTTGGACAAGGGCTACTTGTTTGTCATTGACTATGGTATGTTGGGTGACCAAGAGTACTTTGACAATGCCCTAAAGTTTGATAGATACGTGTCGTCGCCAGTCGCCATATTCTTTGTCGACGAGCATCGTGCTGGAAAGTTGTATCCGTTGGCCATCAAGATACTCAAGAATGACCCAGAGTCGCCTGTATTTACCCCTAGCAATACCGAGTGGGAATGGTTGTTTGCCAAGATTTGGTTCCAGTCTGCCGACGGCCAACACATGGAGTTTATCACACACCTCTACGAATGCCATCTTTTGGGCGAGGTGTTTTGCATTGCTACCCATCGCACGCTCTCTGACTCGCATCCTATCTACCAGCTACTCCATCCACACTTTCATCTATTGTTGGATATTAACTGGCGTGCTCGTGGCCATTTGCTTGGCAAGGACGGTCCCATCGACACGCTCCTCGGCGGTGGTAGTATCGGCGCACTCACCTTTATCGGCAAGTTCAACACCACTTACCAGTGGACCGACAATACCTTTATCAACCGTCTCAAGCGCAACAACATGCTCGACAGTGACTCGGTCTCTGACGGTGCCGCTGCCTATTCGTCCTATTCACCACTCGCCAACTACCATTTCAGAGACGATGGTTTGCGTGTCTACAACGCCATCTACCAACTCGTGCACAATGTACTGTCGGTGTTTTACCAAGTCGAGCAAGACGTTGACAAGGACTTTGAGCTACACGCTTGGATCAAGGAACTGACCAGCGAACGTGGCGGTCAAATCAAAGGCCTGTTTAGTGCCACCGTCCTTGAAAGTGGCGGCTACAAGTTCAAGGACATTGTCGAGTTGGTGACCGACATTATGTTTCGTTTAACCGTAGAGCATTCCATTGGCAACCATGGCCAATGGGACATGTATGGCTTTACACCCAACGTACCCGGTGCCCTTTACATGGACCCACGTAAAATCCGATTGCCCGGTACCCACATTTCACTTGAAACCATTGTCGGCGCACTGCCACCCGTCCACGAGTCACTCAGCCAAATCACCATCACCCATCTCCTCTCCAACACCGACACTGGTCTTCCATCACTAGCCGATGTCTCGTACCAATTCGAACGACTACACGATGCCAAACTCAATCGTGCCATCTCCTCCTTCCGATCACAATTACAATCCATCTCGAATGACATTGAAATTCGAAACTCTTCCGTTTTCACACCCTACAGTTATATTGATCCAAAGAAAGTTTGTAGTAGTATTTTTATTTAATTTATTTTATTTATTTCAAAAAAAAATCAAAATCAAAATCAAAATATATTGTATATATTATATTTATACACACACACACACACAAAATACTAATAATAATAATAATAATAATCAATCAACCAATCAACCATTTTACTAATAACACATGATAATAATAATAATAATAATAATAATAACATTCAATGTTTAATAAATACTAATAATAATCAAAAGAAGAAATGATAAACATTTTGTTCGAACAAAGTAAATCATTTCATTTTTCAAAATAATACCTATATCTAATACAAAGTTGTTTTGTTTATTTATTTGATTTAAATTCTATTTTTAAAAAAAGATAGATAGTATCTGTCTAATTATCTATCTATCTTGCATTGTGGTCGTGGTGAGCCACACGATGAGAATTGGTCGGCAATCACGATCGCAAAAATAATTTCATTTTTTCAAAGCTTTTTTTTTGTGTTTGTGAGGAGAAAGTTACACTAAAAACTACTTACTTACTGTCCCTCATATATATATATATTTATATTTGTATAATATTTAATTTTACTATCAATCATCTTTCTTTTTCATTTTATTTACACCTCAATCAGTTACAGTAGCAAAGAAGAGTAAAACATACATTACTATTACTATTACATTACAACTATTACATCATATTAGATTTAGACAACAATGTCATTAAATGCAGATATATCACAAGAAGATCCTGAACAATTGTTTAGGGTTTTAGAAGTGATAGGACAAGGATCATTTGGAGTTGTATGCACATGTGTCAATACAGTCACCAACAATATTGTAGCTATAAAGTTTCTAGAGATGGAGCCCGATGAAAACAATCAGAGTTTGAAAAGAGAAATCACCATTCTAAAGGAGACGTCAGAGTGTCCATGCATTGTACAGTACCACGGTTGCTATCTCAAGGACAGCAATCTGATGATCGTCATGGAGTATTGTGACGGTGGCTCCGTCCTCGATATCATGCAAATGTGTCAAAGAAAATTAACAGAGAACCAAATAGCAGCCATTCTACACAACGTCATAGAGGGTTTGATCTACCTCCACTCCAACAAAATATTACATCGAGATGTAAAGGCTGGTAACGTCTTGTTGACTCGAAAAGGAAAGGGAAAGTTAAGTGATTTTGGTGTCTCTGCTATTCTTGTAAATACTGGTATGAAACAAAAAACAGTAGTTGGTTCACCGTATGTTAAAGAAAAAATATAATATAATAGACAGAAAGAGTAAAATAAGAATATATAAACTAATTCACTCTTTCTTTTCTTTTTTTTCCTCAATTTTAGATATTGGATGAGTCCAGAAGTAATTTCAACACCAAAGGGATCGTCTGGATACGATTTCAAAGCAGATATATGGTCATTGGGTATTACAGCCATTGAGATGGCAGATGGCAAGCCCCCACATTTTAATATGAACCCAATTAAAGTCATTTTTGTAATTCCTCTTCGTAATCCACCAACATTTGAAAAGCCAAGCGATTGGTCACCCGAGTTTAACGATTTTATCTCGGTATGTCTCAACAAGGAGGCCGACAAGAGACCAACGGCCACCGAACTTCTCAACCATCCATTCATCCAGAGAGGCAAAAATAACACAACCCAAATCATTTCAGAGTTGGTCGAGGAATGTATTCCCGTCATGGAAGAGTATAGAAGAAAAAAAGCAGAAGAAGAAGAGGCTGATGACGGCGACACTTCCAACTCGGCCGGTGTCAAGCAAGGCACTCTTTTGCGTATCAACACAATTACCAACCGTGCAACCGTCGAAAACGATGAAGAAGATGGTGGCAATGGTGGAACTTTTATTCACCACTCGGACGACGAAGACAATGGCAATGGTGGAACCGTCATCTTTTCCGATACTGTCAAGGGCGGTTCCGTTGTATTTAGAGGTTCATTAGCAGATAAATTTTCAAAAGCAAATATAAATAGTGATGATTATGATGAAGAGGATGAAGAGGAGGATGAAGAAGAAGAGGATGAAGATGAAGAAGGAAGTTATGATACAGGTTCAGTTATTTATACAAAAGAACAATTGGACTCCCTAAGACAACAATAAAAATTGGTTAAACAAAGAAAAGAAAAGAAATAGAAAAGAAATAGATATATATATATATATATTTAGGTTTGATGATTTAATTTTTATTATCATTATTACTATCACTATTATAATTTGGAATATTTTTTTCCAACCATTTTGTTTTAATATAATCATTAAACATTTTTTCCATTGCAATAATGTCTTCTTTGGTTTCTCTAATCTCTCTATCAACTTTTTCATCTGGTGTTTCCTTTTTCTTTTTCTTTCTCTCTGGCATTGTAAATGGATCCGATTTTCTTTTTTCAAATTCACCAGAGTTCTTGTATCGTTCCAATTGTCCTGGTGATAATTTATCTTCAATTGATTTGGCATTAAATAAATCTCTTACTGCCATTTCCCATTTATAAATAATTGGTCTAACTGGATATCCTAACCATTCTGATAATATTCTATCATGAAATTCTTTAATCTACAAAGAAAAGAGAATGATTATTATTAGGTTATGGTCAATAATATTATTATTACTATTGATTATCTATTATACATACTGGTGTTGCAGCAGTTTCAGTATCTGCATCTCCATAATCCATAATTAAACAAAGATAGGTTGATATTGTACATGTTACAGTGAATAGTATATTACCAGTTCTCCTACTCATCAATGGTTTCGCCAATTTATGTTCCATCCATTCACTATTTATAGCGATAGGTGCTCCTCTTGATTCTAACTTTGGCATTTCTGGTTTGGTTTGTGTAGTAGCTCCAACTTGATTTTTAGGGGTTTGTATATTTGGTTGTGAAGAGGAAGAGGAAGAGGAAGAAGATTGTTGTGAAGATGAATTAGTTGTACAATATGATAAATAGGATTGTGAAGAGGATTGTGAAGAGGTCGCAGATGTTAGGAAAGATACATTATCGATATCAACAAATGTACGAGTTATATTCTGTAGGTTCAATCTTGTAGTCGATCGACTGAATTGATCATTGTTAATCAATGATGAATAGTTCATTGAGTTTTATAAATGTATATATCCCTTTAACTGGTAGAGAGAGATAGGTTGTGAAATAGAATGATACTCGATCGAAGAAGAATTTTGAAAACAACTAATGATGATTCGTCCAAGTCATTATTCAAATTCAAATTTGCTTAACGATAAAGTAACAACAACAACACATCTGAATTAATTAATTAGTTGTTTAGATAATAGACCAGTAGTAGTATTAGTATTAGTTAAAATATACATACATACAACAATCAATGCTAAGACAATCATTTAAATTGTCTAATTTAGTTAGATCAGCAGCAACCCACACACCCAACGTCAGTGCATCCAACAACAGGGTCATTCAACAAAACATCATTACAAACAAGACATCTACATCCTTTTCTTATTATCCTTTATCATCTCTATCTCTCCATCAACATCAATTATCTTTTAATGATTTCTTATCCTCCTCCTCCTCATCCTCTTCTGTAAAATATTATTCCTCCTCCTCTTCTTCTTCTATACCAAAACTTGAAAGCGATACAAATGAATACGAGATTCAAATTACCGAACGATGTTCAAATGTAATGTTTACAATCGATTCATCAACAGAATATACAATAACTGACATTTGATATTATTTAAAGGAATTAAATAGAGTTAAAAATGAAATTAAAGATGAAGAAACCAGACTTAGAGTGATGGTAGATACTGGTGGTTGTAGTGGTTTCCAATATATCATTAAAGTTGATAAAAATCTTCAAGAAGATGATGTGTAAGTACAATTTAAACATTCTATAAATAATAATATATTGGTCCATTCAATTCAAGTTTCTCACTGGATCCATTTATCTTTTTTTTCTTTTTCATAGAGTATTTATTAAAGATGGAGCAGAAGTAATTATCGATAAGATATCATTGGATATGATGAAGGGTTCGGTCATTGATTATGAATCTGAATTGATGAGAAGTAGCTTTTGTGTTGCAAGTAATCCAAATACCATAAAATCATGCGGTTGTAAAATATCATTTGATTTAAAGAAAAAATAAACATTTACCATATATTGTTTATTTAAAATAATCTTCGGCACTAACAATATTTAAAGTTGGTTTACCATTTTCACCATTAAAATTGTCAACGATGGCTTGAATATTGGAAATATCAGAAGATACCAATGAAAAGTATGATTTGGTATCGTCAAACAAATCGACCAAGTATTTGGACATGGATTCCTTCATGTCTTGTTCATTTACCTGAGGTATCAAGGAAAGGATTCCATGGAATCCATTTGGTCCCCATTTTCTTAAAGTGTTGAGAACCGATTGTTGATAGGTTTTGAAAATCGTACTAAATCTTGATGATTGATCGTAAACGGTTTGACTTCTTGCCCCAATTACCCATTGTGCATCCAATTCATTCTTTAGAGCATTTGAAACAATATCCTTTGATATCTTGAATGCCATATTTGGATCTGAGCTTCTGTGACATTTAAAAATTAAAAATCCTTCTTCAACCTCTACACTGAGATCTGGTGAGTAACAATAACCAGAACCTCTTAGCAATTTCCAAATGGGACCTTCCATTTGAGTAAAATAGTTGGTGGCAACTACCAAAGAGGCGTATTCTTTGGTAATAACTTGACTATAGTCTAGGGCAAGTGGAACAACACGATAGAAATGAGATGATCCTGTTCCAGGGATGAACAACACATCGGCTTGTGCTTTTGTCATTGCTTGTAAATCACGTACTTCATATTGGAAGAATGGTTCTGGACGGACAGCAGCAGCAGATGTAGACTCTTCTTCTTTTTCAAATATAATTTCCCATGGTTTCTTTGGGTTGTCCAAACTGTAGATGTTACCAGCTACTTGAATGGTGATGTTTGCTGGATCGTTGAGAAGTTGTTTGATGGTTTCAAGTGCGTCAATGTGCTTTTGGATCATTTCCTTGTCTTGATTTTCAAAGTCTTGTAGAATCTTGGTCAAGAGGACAAATTGTTTTTGGAAGTTTTGTTGGACCAAGTTTGAGGACTCCTTGTCAAAGTTGTGGTGTTCATGCAATTTACGAGCAACTTCTGGAGCATCATTTCTCTCTGATGGGATTTCATCCAAACATTGTTGAACTATAACCTTTATACGTGATTCATCAAATATAATATCCTTGAAAATCGATCCAATCAAATCAATGCCATCTTCATAATTCTCCTTGACCAAAATGAACTTTCCACTCATATACTGTTCAAAGCAAAAAGAGAAACCATTTTTGAAATCATTTTCAATAAAATGATCCAATAATAACATTTCAACTTCTTCATGACTAATAATTTCTTCTTCTTCATCTGTTTCTCCTTTAATTGGTGACTAAAAAAATAAATAAATACAATGTTAGAAACAAATCTTAATATTTAAAAATATTTTTTTCTTTTTCTTTTTTTTTACATACAAGGAAGAATAATTGAGAAAATAATTCCAAATAGGGACGAATATGATTTGGAAGATTACGAGTATTAAAAAACATTAAGATTTGAATGAATAGGGTCTTTTCAAAATGACTGAATTGCATTTGGAATGGTAATGTTTTTGAACTATCAGAAGTGATATAGTCGACCAGCTTCTTGTGATCTTGATCGTCAACGAGTGGTTTATCATCGCAAACAGTGACAAGTTGGTGGAAACGAATAGAGTTTGGTGATGGAGACTCTATTTGGTACTTTGACCAATCATCAATGGGTGTGTCATTGAATGTCTTGGCGTCTTGAATTTGTTGACCAAGTTCTTTTAGTTTAGTTTCGCCGAGATCTTGAATTTGTTTTTCTAATCTCTTCTTTTCCGTCTCTAATATCTTTACCGATTCCTCTTTTGATGGTTTGGCCATAAAAAAGGCAGATGGAGACTTTAGGTAGATACGATCGATAATATCCAACCAATATTGTTCGTCTTTTTCCAAAAACAAATCAAAATGGAAACTTAAAAGGTTTCCAAACTCTGTTGGTCCTTTTGAATAAACAAAATCAATTGCTACATTATCAGATATTAAATTTTCTGGTGATTTTTCTAATGAAAATAATGTCTAAAAAGAATTTTAAAATGAATATAATTATATTGGTTTTATAATATTTTTCCTTACCTTTTGTTTACTTTGTTCAATGATTGATCTCATTCTTTCAATATCAAATTCCTTTTCTTCAACTAATCTTTTCATAATTTCTAAAAATTTATCTTTAATTTGATCCATTCTATCAACTGAACAATTTGAAAAATAAATACTCTAAGAAAAGAAAAAGATTATTAATATATATTCATATTTTGTTATTTGTTATTTGTTATTGTTTTTAGTTACATACATGAATAATTTTATGACGTTCTTGATCATATCCAACAACATCTGATGCATATGGTTCTTCGATATCAACCATTTCACCTCCAACTGGACTAGTTACACCATCAGTTAAGTAATCCTTTTTTTAATAAAACAATTAATAGTTAATATAGTTATAGCTTGATGATCAATATTAACTAATTATTATTATTAATATTTTTTACATACATTTAAAACAGAAATAGCAGCAATTAATTCATGTTGATCATAATTGATATCACCATTAAAACAAAGATAACAATCACCAACGGTTTCATCCTCTGATGGGAAATTGACAGTCTTTACAATGTCTTGACTAAAAAGAGTAGGTTGAACGGAGAATGGACGAGGTGCTGGTGGTAAAGTACCACGTGATAAGATCTTTGCTTCCATTTTCTCGATGGATTTGAAAACATCTTGACTATTGACAGCTCCAACAATCAAAATGGCAACATTATCTGGTCTGTAAAAGGTTTTGTGGAATTGTCTTACAGTCTCTGACTTTAAAGATCTAAGATCTTCCAATTTTCCACCAGTTTCATATTTAAATCCACAATCTGATGTATAAATATATTTGGTAGCTTCATTAATCAACATATTTCCTTTTTTTGTTTCAACTTCTTGCTAACAAAAATAAAGAATAAAAGGGTTAAGATTAATGACAGGCACGAGAGATATATATATATATATATATATATATACATATACTTTACCATTTCACTATAAACTACACCAGAATTTTTACCTTCACCATTGATATGATGTACTTCAGTAAGGAAACCTTGATCAGTAAGTGTTGGATACAAAACATGATCCAAAAAGATTGGTAATGCAGTCAAGAAACCTTCAGTTCCTGCCTGAGAGAGAGAGAGAGGTGTTAGAGATATATAGATTTATATCATTGTCATATATAGTTGGTCTTACAGTTTTTAAAGTATATGCAGTATGATCTACATCAGTCCAAGCATTGGTTCCATTGGCAAAACACTTGGTCGAGGTGATATCCAAGAAACCTTTGACCGGGTAGTCTTCTGATCCAAGAAAGATAAGATGTTCGAGAGTGTGTGGACATCCATCATGAGAACTTGCTTCAGTTGGAATAAAGATGTAGCCATTTGTAAAAGGGTTGACCGAGTTGGCAAGGTAAATGGTCAAACCACTAGATGACTTGTATTTCTCAACATCGATTAAATTTGATACTGTTAATGATTCTAATAATTTATATTCTGCTTTCATCTCTCTATATATATAAATGTATAAATGTATAAGAGTGTTTGAAATGAAATGAATGAACCGAAATGAACTACACTTACTTATTTAACTCGAAAATTCGAAATAATTCAAAATTAATCAAAAGCTTTCATTCATTGATCTTTTAATACTAGTATCATTATTATCTCTATCTAAGAAGTATAGAAAGTATAAAAGAATGAGTAATCAACCATCATCAAATGATGGTCATCATCATCATCATCAACAACAACATCAACATGGACAACAAAATATATCAACAACATTTCTAAGTGCACAACCAAGTATGCATCAACCACAAGGAGTAATGTCAGCTCCACCAACAACTACATCATCACCGATTGGTGGATTTGCTAGTACTGCATCACCCAATTCATCTACTGTCAATGTTGCACCATCATCACAATCAACACCCGCAACACCCATCTCTACCAATACACCATCTACCATCATGCCATCTCATACATCAACAACAGCGACAACAACAACACAAATACCTCAAAAAGAAGTTTCAACAAGTTCATTTGAATTTCTCTATATAGAATTGGTTGATTATATCATCAAATCAAGTAATGATAAAACACAAACCTTTAAAAAGTTGGAAAAGATGGGTTTCAAAGTTGGTTATAAAATGGTTGAAAGGTATTGAATGAAATGAATTGAAATAGAATATACTCTATCTCTCTCTCTCTCTTATTCTCTCTCTTACTTACTTTATTCAATTTCTATCTATATATAGATTATGTTTAGATTTACCATTATTCCCAGAGGTATTGGAAATTGTAAAATTTATTTGTAGATCATTTTGGACGGCAGTATTTAAGAAATCGATTGATGGTCTCAAAGCAAATAGAAAGGGTGTATTTGTCATGACTGATCAAAAATTCCAATGGTTATTACATCTTTCCTATGATCCAACATCAACAAACAAAGATTGTTCAGAGTATGTTCAATTTGCTGTTGGTCTAATTAAAGGTGCAATGTCAAATTTTGGTTATAAATGTATGGTTACTTTTGAAATTCAACAAATGCACGCTGTTGTGTTTACTATAAAATTGGAATCTTAAAAAAATAATAATCAAATAAATAAAAAGATTGATTGTAAAGTATTATATTTAGAAAAAAGGTATTATATATTATGGGGTATTTCGATTTTATTTGATTTGTACTATATTTACATTGGATTGGAAAAATAAATAATTAATTATTATTATTTGTTTGAACTATTATTATTATATACTATTATATATATATTATTATTATTATTTAATATTGTTTAACTAAGAATCATCATTTGATGTATCCTTTTGGAAAAATAAAGATTGTGGAATTAATTGATGTGAATAAATATTGGATGACATGATGAGTGATGGATGGAGATGATGAGATGGGGAGGTGGCAGAGATGAATTGATGTTTTGGTGAACTGGCAGAAATGGGTTGATAACGTGCTGAAAGATAGTCTACTGGATACTTGACCGAGCAGACATTGTATTGATACTGATTAGTGCTGTTAAAGATGGGTGAACAGTAGAGATAGGACTGGGCCAAATTCTCCTTTTCTTCTGGTAATTGTTGCCAATAGTCTTTGAGAGACAAAGACGACACGGATCTAATATCGATTGGTAACCCAGTGTCACAGTCCCACTTGGTCAAGAGGATGACGGATCTGGTGGGCATGAGCATACGTCCGATTGGTTGAATGTCCCATCGGTAGACTTTGACACGGTCAAGTGTGGTGAGTACCTGCTTATTGTCAATCGTGTCGGTCTGGAGTATTCTGCTGTGGACGCGACCCACAAATGGACGTGGGGCACGCTTAATGAGCTTGATCTCGCGTTCGAGCTGGAGGTAGTTTCCAAATGCCTCAAAGATGGCTTGTAGCTGGTCGTCGTCCTGTTGGTTGAACCAGAACGGTAGGCTGGTACTGCCATTCTTGCCGCTGTTGAGCGAGTTTCGTAGTGCGTCGTGGATCTCTTGGTTGATGCGGTCTTGGAAGCCGACCGACCCCTTGAGTGGGCTGTCCTCGTCGTCAGTCTCGATGTAAAAGTGGTTGACTGGTGACGTGGGTGGTGTGATGGGTGTCTTGCTGCGTTGTGGACTCTTAAACTCAAACGAGTAGTTGAGGGGAGGCAAGAAATCACTGAAATCCTCGCAATTGGAAAAGTCGTGGATATCATTTCGATCGTCAAAATCGTCAAATGCAGAGTCGGATGAATCTGAATCTGATTGATCGTCTGAATATGAATCTGATTCTTCTTGATCGTCGTCGTCATCAGAGGCAGTCAACATGAATCTCTTGTGAAGTATGGCACCACTACTCTTTCTAAGATTGATTCTTTCTGATTCTTCTTCATCACTTTCACTTTCATCATCGTAATCTTCTTCAGACTCATCGTCTGTAGAGTCGTCAAGATCACTAAACTCTTCATCGGACGAATCACTTTGATCCGACTCTGTCATGGAATCCTCAGAGTCGGACAGACATTGATTACTGCTACTATAAATGTGACTAGTTGCAACTCCACTACTTTCACTGATTTGTTCTTGACTACTAATAATGCAATCTTGTTCTGTTTGTTGATCTGGTTGTTGTTGTTGATCTGGTTGTTGATGTTGATGATCCATATCATCTTTTTGTTGTTGTTGTTGTAGTTGTTGAGATTTCTTTAACATTTCAGTACTACGATTGATAGGTGTAGCAATAGCAACAGCTGGTACTACGATATCATCATCGTTTAATGAAAGGATTTCTAATCCCTCGACGAGAGATTGAATTTGATGTGGAGACATTTTGGCTACTGCTGCTGCTTGATCTTGTAAAGTTTGTGGTGGTGACTGATACAATACAGATTGCATATTCTTCCTTGCAATAGGAGGACGGGGTATGGTTGTGGTTGTTGTTGTTGTGGTGGGATAATATCTTGTTTAAGCTATTGAGGCTATCTTTTTGATTCTACCAAAATGGAGTAGATTTATAGTTATCGGGCTGATCGTCGGTACAATTGCACCAGTGATGTTGAACAAATGAATAGTTGTTGTTGATGATTAATAATTCCTTTGCTTCAACTGATGTACTGGCCATTATAAATATTAGATATAAAAATAGTCTGTTGTTGTTTTGGATAAAGAGTGTCTTTTATAAAGGTTGTTTGCTTTGCTTGAAAATTATTGTATTGATTTTGACTGAGATCTATATGCTTGTCTTTATCAATATAATATTATTAAAATATATAGTAGTAGTTTTTAAAATGAATGGATGTTTAAAAAAAATTTAAAATATAGTATGTTTGTTTGTTTGTTTGTTTGCTTTAGGTTTATACAAGTGTTTTAAAAAAAGTGAAGCAGTTGTATAAATAAATTTAAAGTGATTATTATTATTATTATTATACTACTGCTAGTTCTGTGTTTTGTGCTCTTCTTCTCTTCTTAGTTTTTTGTAACTCTCTCTCTCTCTCAATACTATCTAATGTGTCGTATTATTATTATATATTGAGCTTGGGGTGTATGTGTTCAACTTCTTCTTCTTCTTCTTATTCTTAGTTTGGTTGTATTGCTGTCTACTTGATTTCTTCTAATAGATAAATCTGTTGTATCTGTGTGTGATGTGTTTATATATATAAATTAATTGTTTGTTTGTTTGGTTTTGTACAAGATTTAAAATAATGAGAATAAAAAATTGTCTTTTGTCATATGATTGTTTGTGGAGGTGAAAAAAAAATGAAAATTTGTTGGGAATGGGTTTTTTGCTTTGTTTTCATCGAACATGCTTGGCAGTTGTGTTATGATGATGGTGATTGTGATTGAATGATTGTTGTACTTTTGTTTTCAAGATTGGGTGTACTAACTACCCGCCCGTTCGTCCATGGCATTTGATATCAAATTGGGTATGGAACCAAGTAAGTACACACAAACATAAAAAATCAAGATAAAAGGTAGCTATCGGTTTGGGCTTCTTCTCTCTTGTTCTTTAAAGAATACGATTCTCTCTCAATTCCAGATCAAGATATAAAAAAAAAGATATTTTATTTTTTATTGATGGATTAATTTAAATTAAAATTCTAAGCAAATATAAATATAAATAATAAGTAATAATACTTATACTTATTCCAAGGAACAAGGAGGAGATTGAAAAGTTGGGTTGCGCATATATATATTTTTGAAAAAAAAAAAATTAGAAAAAAAAAAAAAATAGTTTTCTCATCAATGAGAGCTAGTGAGAAAACTTGTACTTCCTTTATTTCTTTATCCGAAGTTCTTCTTCCTTTTATCTTTTAACGAACTTCAAGATTTATATAATCACTATCCATACCTCGATCGAGTATTAACCGTTCTACTTGTACATACACAACAAGCCAACCAACACCGACTATATCGTTCATGATACAAGATCTGTGACTTGTAATATAAGATAAGAATATTAGAAAGATAACAGGTGACACTATATCTATCTGATAACAATATATTTATAAATGGAACAGAGTCAATACATTCAAAGTATGTTGGCATAGTAGACTGTAAACCTTGACATCTTAACATCTTCACTAGTGACTAACATTCATTCGCATTCATTCATTGTTACCATAGGGTTGTTGACTAAAAAGCCAACAGATTTTATAGAGTTTTCAAATACCAAGAGAATACCAAAACCAGTGTTGGTCAGTACAGTGCCAAACTGTGTTCAACCTGGGTCGCCTATGGTGATTCGAGGTGATGGATTAAAACCCTTTCCTGGCATGTCACACTTTTTACATGTCGAGTTGATTCCCAGTGAGAACATTGCCATCAAGGAGCCGATCCATGTGCCATCATACGACATCAATCCATGTTGCGATAAATGCATATTTATTGCTACGCCAGAGGATTTGGCTCCAGGTACCTACAATCTTCGTATTGGCCTTCAAGTTAAAAAGATGGATCATTATCTACAACACGATCGTGTATTTCAAACATTAAGTGTTGATCCATTTGAAGAAATTAAAAAACAACAAAGCCAACAACAACAAAGTCAACAACAACATCAACCTCTACAAAATATTGATACCCAAAATACTAATATCGAGTTTAATCAACAACAACAACAACAACAATCTCAACCTCAACAACAAATTGAATCACAACCACCACAACTACAACCTGAAGAACAACCTAATATTACCAATGATAATAATAATACTAAAGAAGATGATGAAATGGTTATTGATGAACACCAACCAATGTTGGAAGTTGACGATTCTTCCATGGTAGAGACAACAACATCTACAACCAATACAACATTAAGTCAACAACAACAACAAATGGGTGAGGAAAATAATGATGATTCACATTTACAAGTTATTTGGAGTAATTGTTTGGTTATTGTAGTTGATCCATTGACAGGAGATGCAAAGTCTAGACAATCACAACAATTAACGGGAAAGAGATCGCCGCTGGTCTCGAGTACAAAGAGAACTACTAAAAAGTCGAAATCATCGGCGTTGGGTACTGGTAGCAGTTCACAACAAAGTGGTGAAGAAGAGGAACTGTATAATCAAATCATTCATGGTGATACAGAGACTGTTAGACAGTTTATCGAACAGAAAATATCTGAAGGAAAGGTATTTGATTTTAACAAAAAGGATATCGACGGCTTCACAGTAATGCATTATGCGTGCGCATACAAGTGGAATGGGTTGGTAGAGTATTTCATTGGTTGTGGTGCCGATCCAAACCCACAAGACTCTGATGGATGGACACCTCTTCATTGGGCAATCAAAGCTGACAATATGGGTGCCATTCACATCCTCTTGGATAATGCTGCCGATCAATCGGTTCCCAACTATGACAGAATTTACCCAGTCGAAATGGCATATAATAGCGGCTACACCCATATAGCACATGTTTTACATGGAGAGAATCCAATAGATTTAAATCAACAACAACAATTACAAAATAATAATAATAATATAGGTAATAATAGAAAGACCACTGAAATATTTGATCTTTTATCAAATCAACCACCTATTCAACAACAACAACAAAATGTAGATATTAATAATAATAATCAAAATAATCAAAATAATACAAGTACAACAAATAATTTTAATAATAATAATAATAATAGTAATCAACAACAAATGGTACTGGTTGATGATAAAGTATTGGAACCATTTATACCTGTAGATATGACATTGAAACATGGAATCATTGAAAAACATAACAATCCAAAGTTTTTATCATCGGCCGAGAAATTGGGATTGACATCGGCACATAGATCGGCATTAATGGAAGCATTCAAATCTTTGCGTACACTTAGATATAGATTGTTTTGGATCATGTTGAGTAATCCACTCTTTAAAAACTTTTGTCAATGGGATTCGGAAGGCATCCATTTCATCGTTTACAACTCTAGAAACCTGCTCGATGTCTTGGGGTTGTACTTTGGATTGCGTGGATCCAACTCTGCAGTCGACTGGATGAGTCATCTTGCACGTCGCAAGAGTCCACTTAAAAAGGAGATTGCTGCCAGTGGCACCCAGCCAGCCGGTGATTTGTGGACCAATTTGAGACCAGATACATTCAATTCTCAAACCAATCTCGAAAAACTTAAAGATATCACATCGACAGATAAAAAGGACAAGACTACAGGCACTACTCCCAGAGGAAGAGGTAAAAAGAATGGTAATGCTGATCTCAACACTAGTACATCGAGTACCGCTTTGGATGAATCGATGGATTCTAGTTCGATGGATATTTCAACGCCAGGTCCTACACAAGAAATGATGGACGTTTTGACAAAATCAGGTCAACAACAACCTATACCCAATATGTCCAATACTACTCAAATGATGATTGATCAAGCAGCAGCTGCACCAGTGGCCACTACAACCTCTGGAGTAGTATTACCACAACACCAACAAATCAAACTTGAAGCCATTCAACAACATATTCAACAACAAATTCACCAACACCAACAACATCTACAACAACAGCAACATCATGAACAACAACATCAACATCAACAACAACATCATCAACAGCAGCAGCAACAACAACATCACCAACATGAACAACAACAACAAACTTTGGCACCAGTTATTCCAAATGTAGTGCCCGCAAACAACCCAATGATGAATATTATTGATATCAATCATCAACACCAACAACATCAACAACAGCAACCATCACAGTCTCACCACCCGCAGCAGGTACAGCAACAACAACAAGAGGTACAACCTCAACAACAGCAACAGGTACAACAACCTCAACAACAAGAGGTACAACAATCTCAACAACAAGAATCCCATCAATCACACCAAGAACATATCGAACATTCAGAGGTACCAACGACTTTACCATCGAGTCAAGTAGTAAACAATGACAATATTGTAGATCCAAGACAAATTGAAATAGCTTCGGTTGAACAACCAACAATGACCGACAATTCAACCATTCAACCAACACATTTAAATTCTCAACAACAACAACCAACAACACAAAACCCTTTGGTTTTTGAATCCAATTCCACTTTACAAACACTTCAACCACCACAATCTGATGACTGCATACCGCCAGCAAACACTACTACCACTACCACCACTACAGTAGTGGCTCAAGATGAACAGGGAATTCATATTCCAATTTTGGATAATTCCGAACAACCAGTGCCAGAAGAACTTTCAAGTAGTGCTGAACACCAACACCAACAGCAGCAGCAACAACAACAACTACAACAATCCTAACTTCTATATATATACACATAAAACATATCCTTTTTAATATATCTTTTACCAACAGTGGTTAAAAATAGGGGGTTATTTTTCCTCACCAATTGTTTTTTTTTTGGTTATCCATCAGATTTTAAATGAATCCACTCATATCTGGTTGGTTCAATTTATTACTATGCTTTTTTAATTTAGCGAGCTCGTTCATTAATTAATTATGAAATTAAGAATGACATAAATAGGATTTAAAAAGAGCTGACCACAAAGCATATACAATATTTAAAAAAAAATAATGTTTAGTTTAATATCAACAATACTTTTTTATAGTTTTTTAGTATATTGTGTTTTATCTTTTGTAAGTTCTAAATTAGATACAAACTGTACTTTAAGTTATTATTTTTATTAATGTTTTCTTTTTAAAATATTATTATGTTTAGATCAAAAAGAATAAAAAAAGAACTAAAAATGATCCTCCCATGCCAAGTTTTAATCTTCCATTCTTGGGATCAACCTATAGGTTTGAATCTTCAGTTGTTCAATCTTTGTTAAAGTTTACTAAACAGGTATGTTTTTTTTTTAAAAGATATTTAATAGGCTCTAATTAATTTTTTGTATTTATATAGTATGGAAAAGTAAATGCACTTTGGGTTGGTGATTTATATACATTGAATGTTGCCGATGCTGTTTATATCAAGGAAATATGGACCAAACATATCGATAACTTTATTGATAGACCAAATACTAAAATCCTTGCTGCATTGTCTGATGATCATACTGGACTGATTGGATCGGGAGGTAAAGAGTGGAATAGAAACAAGGAATTGATTGGAGGTTACTTTTCAAGTTTGAAATTAAAATCACAACTACCAAGAATATCAGAACTTTGTATGCAAACCATCGATAAATTGACCAAACAACCAAACACTCCAATCAATCCAAGAGGAGTATTTAGAGAATATTCAATGGATGTGAATACCGGACTCATCCTCTCTTTGGAACCAAGCCAAATGAACAAACAGTACAGAGAAATGGAAGGTAGATTTGACAGATTCCTTCATGGAAATAGTCCTGCCTCTCTCTTTTATTGTATTGATATTCTGAGTATCCTATTTTCTTACAAATTTACAGATGCTCGTAAACAAAGACAATATCTTATTGATTATGTTAAATCAATTTATGATGATCATGTTTCAACTTTAGATCCTGAAAAGTATGTAAATTAAATGAAAAATAAGTTCAAACAATATTAACAACTTTATATTTTAATAATATTATTATTTAGACCAAGAGATTTAATGGATAAAATGATTATGGAGGAAGGCGATGAAATGTCAATTATCAATACTGTTATTGACTTTTATCTTGGTGGTGTTGATACTACTGCACTGGTACTTCAACTTTTCTTCTTGTCTGTTACAAACAATGAAGGTGTACAAGACAAGGTGTATGAAGAACTAAAGTCACTTGCCAGTAAAAGACAATCTGAACTTGGTCTTGACTCTACCACTGAACCATACCAATTTACATTTGCTGATCGTTTAGAAACACCCTATTTGAATGCAGTTATCAAGGAATCACTTCGTATCTACCCACCTACTCCAAACTCTATCCTAAGAGAATGCAACCAAGATATAATGGTGGGAGACTATTTTATCCGTAAGGGTGCAATGGTGATCCAGAATATTTGGGCAGTTCATCACGATGAAGATTATTATCCAGAGCCTAATAAATTCATCCCAGAAAGATTCCTAGAGGATAACCATGCCTCTCACTATTTCCCATTTGGTATTGGTGGTAGAAGTTGTCCAGGTTCCAATGTAGCTGATATCACTCTCTTCCTTTTATGTGCCAACCTGCTATCAAGATTTAAAATCAAATCTGAAGATGGTGGTTCCAACATTAAATGTGATATCAAAGATGGTATCATGCTTCATCTTAGTCCTTTTAAAGTTTTATTTGATCAAAGATAAAAATAAATAAACATATAATGTTTGGTTTTAATAATCATTATTTTATTTTATCGTCTTTGTCGTCGTCGTCGTTATTATTATTATTATTATTATATTAAAAAGAAGAAATAATATTAATAATATTAATAATATTAATTCTTCTTTGTATTTCTGTTGGCAATAGATTTTGATTTTGAAATTAAAACTGGATTTCTTCCTTGTTTCCATTGTTCAACCCAATGGAGAATCCATCTTCTATTTCTAACTGGTACTTGCTTCTCCTTGAGGAATTTACCATTGGTGTTCATGAGGTCTTCCCAAGTTGGGAATACTTCAATATGAGCATCACAACCACGACCAATCTTCTTTAAGAATGTTTCAACATTGTATCCATCTAAATATATATAAAGAAATGGTCAATAAATCAAGTGATTTGTTTGTCATCTTTTTTCTTTTCTTTTTTTTTGAAGTCATACCTCTTTGTTCAGTGAATCTATAGTATGGTAAGGTAGCAATCTTTGGAGCCTTGTCATACTCTGAAAAGGGGATGACCAACTCTTCAATTGATTTTGGACGAGTTTCATCAGTTGCATCTGGGAATACTTTGCCCATGATCTCGGTGGTAGTGATAAAGTTGTTGACGGTTGGGATTTCAAATATTAAGTTTTGTATCAATTGATTTCTTTGTTGTTGTAATAATTGGAAATGTTCCTCTGCATTTTGAAGAGTAACTTGTTGATCTTGTGGTTCGGTGGCAACTGTAGTTTCTTCTTGTGGTGTTTGTTGTTCTTGTTGTTCTGATGATTGATTATTTTCTCCTTCCTTGCCTGTTGTTGATTCAGCAGCAACATCGGTGCTATAATATCTATATGTGTTGTATTGTGATGATTTATAAAATGGTGATGATGATGATGATGATGATGATGAAGTAGTTGTTGATGGTACAAATGTGGCAGTGGTGGTAGATGAAGAAGCATTGTTTACAATGATCACTGATCTTAAACCAATTCCATTTTTAACTATATATCTTAACATTCTCTTGTTGTTCTTGTCACTCTATCTATCTATCTATCTATCTATGAGTATATATCGAATCGATAAAGAAACTATATCTTTCTCTTTTGAATAAAGTGTGACTCGTTATTGCATAGAATCTGCTTGCTGATCATTCAACATGATTCGTCCAAAATTCAATTTTTTCTTTTTTTTTCTTTTTATTTTTATTATACACTCTTTACTCTCTAAACTTATGACTCTCTTTATTATTCTCTCTTATTTAAAGAACAAAAAACGTAATACCTACAACCTCTGAAGAAAAGAAGAAAAAGAAAGCAAAACCCCTTTTTAAGGGGCTAGTTAGTAACTATTTATTTTTTTTAGAGTAAAAGTACAAATAAGTTAATAGGATTATTTATTGATGGTTTAATTTTTGTTTAACAAGAAGCACCACCACTTTCCAAAGATGAAGCATCGTCAGAAGGTTTTTCAAAGATCAAAGAGTAATAATGGTTTGGAATACAACCCTGTGAAGGATTCTCTGAAAAATACTTTACAAACAGGCCATGATATTTGTCCCACACCATGTTGCGATGTTCGCGAGTGCCCTTGAGATTGCTCTTCCAGGTTGGTTCGGTAAAGGCACAGAAACCACGGAACAATCTCTCGGCAAAGTCGGCACTGTCGGATCGGTACTGCTTGTATGGACAGCTCGTGCTTCGTTGTTCGATGAATTTTATGCGTAGTCCATACTCTTGCACAATCGGGTGACTGACTGCGTTTTGGATGTCGTCGTAGCTATAGTAACGGAATGGATACACCATATTATCAGCCTCGCTAGCTGTGATCGTTCCATCTGCTGCCAATTGTTCCCAACAGTTTTTAATTTGTCGATAAAACATTCTACTCTCTTCAAACGCATCATTATCATTTGTCAAAAGGTTGGTAATCAATAATCCACCAGTTGATAATTCTTTTGCCTAGAAATTAAAAATAATGATAGATAAATTAAAAAAAGTTAGAAAAACAAAAGTTTTGAATATTTTAATCTTCATCTTCTTCTTACTCTATTTGATAGAATAGAAACTAAATCATTAACAGTATCCTTTTTCCAAATCTTTTTCAAGTGTTCGTCATTGGTATGACCATAAAAGATCGATTGTTTGTGTGGAGTGGTCAAGGAGGAAGACCAATGGAAACAATTAAAGGCGATGGAAATGTCGATGCAGTTGGATGCGCATATTTGTTTGTAAAAACTCTTTCCTACTGCCACTGGAAAGGCGTTTGTGAATTGCTTGGTGTAGCTTTGTGGATTTTTGTACAATTCTAAAAAAAGTTGTGAGAAATCGTTTTGGGGAAGGTCGTTATGGTACACTACAATGTCGTTGGTTTCATTTGCTTTTCGGTATTGTGAAATGATTGCGGACAGTGGTCCGAGGGAATTTCTTCCATGTGAACATCCAAAGTCGCCAATATTAAATGGTTTGGATGTAGCGTGACTGCCATACGCCGAGGAAGCAGTGATTTCGGATCTGCTGATCCAATGTTCGATGGCCATTCTTACGATATCCATATTATTGTTGATGCTTAATTGTTGAATGGTACTATGATCAGCATAATCGGATGTCATTGGTTCCATTTTTTTTTTTGTAAAATAAATATATAAAAAAATGTATATAGGTTTCCCTGACTTCCCAAAGGGTGGTTTTAAGATTCTTTGGGAAGGGAAAATCGGAGAGTTAAAAAGGGTTGGATTATAAATAAATATAAATATGGATTGTTAAATATAAATATTATTATTATTATTATTATTCTTTAACCAACTATATAATGATGACTAGGAATGATAGTGATAAAGTTGTCATAAAAAAAAAAAATTTTTTTCTATTTTTAAATTATAGGTTTTTTAAAACCCCATAGAGATAAATTATAAAGTGTAAAATAATAATAATAATAATGGTACTTCTATTTTACTTTAAAGTAAAAATAAAAAAATATTATAGTTTCAAATAAAGATGGTGAAGAGAAGAGGATGTGTTAAAAATAATTTCTAGATTTAATGGGGAGGGGTTGGTTGGGAAATGAACAGTTGATGGTTGGTTGATAGATTTATCTGTTGCCAAGAGAGCGATCAAAAAAATATTATTATTATTATTATAGTCAATATGAAAGGGTGGGAACTGTTGGTTGTATGAAAAATTGTTGTTGTTGTTATTGTTGTATGATGTATCTTTTTAATGCTGCTGAGCTGTTGCTTTGAAATTTAAATAAATAAAAGAAATAAATAGACAATAAATAGGTTGGTAAATAAAGCAACAACGACAGCAACAGATCCACAGGCACCTTTTAAACCAATAGTCAATGTAGTCAGTGTTTATATATTATTTATTTGTCATCGACGATTGTGACCGCCGGCATAATGTAGATTTGTTATAGTGACAGAGATATATATAGAGAGAGAAATGGAAACAGTAGATTTGGAGAGAATTGATAATATCCCCCTCCCTTGTCCAATGGTTTTAGGAAATGTGAGGTGACAGCTCGAGAGAGCGAGAGGGATGGATATTGTTGGAATTGATTGCTACAATGTGGCAGTGACATCCATTATACACGATATGGCACGAAGAATTGGTGGGTAGATTACCACTAATCTGACTCTGGCCAGACTGATAGTAGTAAATATCCGCTCACTGGTTGTGACACGAAAAATAGGGAAACATTGGTTTCGCGCTTGGGGTTAACCCACAATACAGATAAAGAGAAGACTGTTGTTGTGGGAGTGTGGGTGGGTTTGCAAACACACTGTTGTTGGTGGGGAATGTCAGTGGTGGAGTGGGGTGGGGGTGATGGAACCGTGGTAAATCCGTGGATGCGTAACCAAGATGGTGTATCTAAAACAAAAAACTACTAACAAACAAAAAATTTTTTTTAATCATTGTGGAATTATTGTCGTGGGAAATAGTGAGAAGGGGGGGGGGGGGGGGGGATAGGATAGATAATAGTTTTATATTGCCTGGGAATTTATATTATTTTCCAATGGACAAACAGACAGCTATGCTATTCATATGTTCGATCCAAAACAAATGGAACGGATTTGTTCAACCGATTCCTTCTCCAAAAACAACAACAACAACAACAATAATAATTGTACAACTAGTAAGGTTGCATGCATGTCTAATGTCTTTTTGTAATTATTACAATCACTGACGACGACTAGTGAACAGTGCAGCTGCCAACACACGCTGGGGATGAGGATTATTATTAATTGATACGATGCTGCGACGTTTGGGTTTGGAATAAACACTTTTGTCGTGGGATCCAAGTGGTTGGACTATAGTCCGATTGATATTTTAGTGGATCGAAACCAAATGCGTGAGATGTTTTGAATTGTCATAAGCTTGTTCTTTACAAACACCCACACACATCAACTGTGAATAGCAGCAGTGTTGCGATTAGTTCATTGCCAAACATAGATTTGAGGAGTGAAAGATGTATTGTCAATAATTATTATTATTATTATTATTATTATTATTATTATTATTATTATTATTATTGGAACCACAAGTGTTGTTCCAACATTGGTAAAAATAGAAATAAAAGACACAGTGAATATATATATATATATTGGTGAATGGAATAAATACCGTTTGATTTTGTACCAGTAAATAATCTAAAGAGAGAATGGAATAAATAATAAATGGTCATTAGAAATTTTGATGGTAGAATAAAAAGAGCGAAGCGAGGTTGATGTTTGGCGGACGGACATGTTAAGGGTGTCAAATCTTTCCAATAATGAATTTGTGATAAATATGAGGTTGTTGGGAATAATCCATAGAGATATTAATAATAATTACCTTATCTATTCCTTGTTAAAAAAAAAAAGAGTTTGGTTTATGATGATCAATCAGTACTGTACCCTGCGCAGTTGTACATGTTGTTCACATGACAAATTTGTCAAAATTTATAGCCACCTGGGGATGAATGGATGGATGGAAGAGTAGTTCCAATTACCAATATTAGATACACACATGAAAAAGAGAGGAGTGTAGGTTTATACAACTAACCACTACTTTGGATTTTAAGAAAAATAGATATAAAACAGTAGCACACGAATTTAATGATGGTTGGTTGGTCACCATCATGTGAGTGGGTGTTGATGATGAAGAGAGGTGAGTGGTGAAATTCATCATCCCTCCCTAACCAACCACACTTTATTGATCAAGAAGAACGATGATCAAGTTGTTGTTGTTGAGTGTCGAGACCAATCAAATATATATATTTAAATCTAGTTGAAATTCATTCTTTTTTTCCAAGAGTGGCTCTATAGATTCATCATTCATCATTCTATTCGTATCACCTTTGAATAAATATACTAAATACGATTGATGGTGGCGTCAACCAAGTGAGAGAGAGAGATAAAATAATACAATTAACTTACAAAAGTACTTGATTTATTTTTTGATTCAATAAATCCCAATCAATTCTTTTCCTTTTTCTCTCCTTCTTTTTGTTATTACTCGTTGGCTTGAAGAATATTGTTGTTGTTGGTGGTGGGAGGGGTGGCTTCTGTTGATGCATTATGTGATTGATTTTGTTCCAAGTATTTATAAATATGTTTAAATTTTCGACTCTTTGAGTACATAAAAGCCAACGACGAACATCCTTCCGTACGATTATCATTTAAGAATTCTACAATATTTAATTTTCCAGAAAACACAGCTCCATCCATAGCTGCCTTGCTACAACCCTCATTCCGGTTGAAATGTAAGAACTTAACAATTTCCATTTGACCATTATAACTTGCCGTATCCTAAAAAGTAGTAGTAAAAGAATAAATAAATAAATAAATTAAAAAATTATTATTTCATTTCCACCTTTTTTTTCTAGATATATATATTTCATACCATAGCAGCAACAGTACAACCTTCAGTTCTATTGTAATGTAAAAAGTGAACAATATTAATGTGACCATTTCCACTGGCATCATCCATGGCAGCTGTTGTACATCCTTGCGTTGTGTTTTCATTTAGGTAAAAGACAATGTCTCCATGGCCATGCTTTGCAGCTTCGTCCATCGCATTGGCCGACGACGAGTAATTATTTTCGACGAGGTACCTAATGATTGCAAGTTGCATCTCTTTGGTATTGGCGCCACCAGCGGCAGTGTTGGCCGCCGTCGTTTCACATCCCTTGCATGCATTGTGTATGGCATTGGGTGCATTCTGTGGAGAACACTCTCTTCTCTTTTGGTGCAAGTATTTTACACAATCAATGTGACCACCACGTGCAGCACCTTCAATCGCGGCAACCGTGCATTCATATCCATGTTCATGCAAGAATGTGACGACAGAAAGATGTCCGTTTGTTGACGCCTCGTCAATAGCAGCGGCAGTGCAGCAGTTGGGTTCGGTTCTCGACTCGTGCAAGAATTTGACTGCTTCAAAGTTACCCATGCCCGCCAACGAGTCCAAACATGCACGTGTAAACAAGTGAGGGAGGTCAGGTGCCGCACGGAGAATCTTTAATACCTCGACGGTTGTCGTTACATTTTCAAGTGCCTCTGGTCCACATCTCTCTGTACGATTTTCAAGCAAGTACTGTACAATATCGGCTCTACCTATTCTAATGGCCGCCTCCATCGCACCATTACAACAATGATGACCGTTTTCATGTAAATATTTGACTATATCAAATCTACCCAATCCAGCTGCAAACCCAATTGCACTGTCATGTTCTGCCGAACAATCCATTCTTAAATGTTGATTTAAATATTTAATCACTTTAAATTGTCCTTTTTTTGCTGCTCCATCCTAAAGTAAAGTAGAAATAAAAACATAAGTAAACAAAAAGAGATATATATATCTATATTTTTTGATGGTTACTTACCAATGCTTTTCTTGTACAACCTTGAGTAGAATTTTGATGTAAAAATTCAACTATAGATAAATGACCATATGTTGCAGCATTGTCGATAGCAGATGGACTACCTTCAATCTTCTTTTTTGTTAGGTATTTTACTATTGATAGATACCCACATTTGGCGGCATTGTCCATTAGAATGGTTGACCATTTCTCCTTTGACCGATGTTCTAAAAGATAGACAATCATATCTAATCTTTGTTTCTCTAGTTCCTTGTCAACGAGGTATATTGGATCTTCATAATCCTCTCCATCCAATGGAGCAGTGGCAGCTGTGATTGATGTATTCTCTCCATGTGGGAATAGGGTATGTTCAATTTCAAGTGCATCACGGAATAGTACAAGATCCAATGTCTTGACATCAGATGATGACGACAATGATGATGAAGAATGAGATGATCCAGCTTGGTCAAGGGACGCCCTATTCTCCACATGTAAGAATTGAACGATATCCAAGAACCCTTCACGAATAGCATTGTTTAAACTGAGAGTTCCACCTTCTGTACGATTATAATGTAAGAATTTTACAGCTTCCAATCTACCATGAGAACATGCATTGTCCATAGCCAATGTAGTGCATCTAGCACCTTGTTCATGTAGGTATTTAAGTATTTCAATGTTTGGAGAACCACTACAAAAGTCCATACACCCAATACCATTAAACTCTTCCTTGTGTGTAGTGTAGACATATTTGAATAGTTCCAAGTCGCCGTTAAACGTACAAAACGATACAAACGAGTTGAATCCACCAAATACAAAGTATGGTTTACCATGATCCAACTTGTCCTTGAGTAATGAGAAATACTTGAACCGACAGATCCAAGAAGCAGCATCCAACATGTTGTATCGGTACGCTTTTAAATCCATCTGTCTATGAATCTCTGGTATGTATGACAATATGTGATTGATGAGTATCTTGTTTTTAAATACTCTAAAGAATGTACTAGTGAATTGTTCATCTCCAATAAATAGATTATTAATCTTTGATGTCAATTCAGTTAAACTACCGGTACCACTAGCACTACTACTACCACCTCTATCATTCTTTTTATTCTTTGATTTAATATTACTACTACTACTACTTGATAACTTTTTTCTAAAAAAGTTATTCATTTTTATCTCTATCTATCTTTCTTATAATTATAACTATACAAATATTTTATACAATGATCATTGAAAGAAAGAGTAGTCTTGATCTTTTGACCATCGATTTTTTTCTACACTATTTTTACCATCAACCTAACAAACCACCACTTTTGTTCCAAAAATGAATTCCATGAACTTTTTTCTTTGCTGATCTTTGTGAGTATAGCATCTATGAGTATTTAACTAACAATAAGGTCATGTTGTCGGTATCATCTGATCATGGGCAATATCGATCAAATTCATTTATGAGTGACTTCTGATTGCTGAAATGAAAGTAAACTTTATCGATCATTTTTGAAAAAGAGATAAAGATATAGATAGATAAACTATTGGTTTTTCAAGACTAAAACTATTTGCTCTTCATAATAAACTATTTGCTATATATTGTCTTTTTTTTGAAAACCACCCTTTTTCATCAATTATTTTTTTTATTCTAATGCTGAGTGAAGTGAGTTCACAACCGTGTTAATGTTTTATTACTTTTTGCATTTTACATACATACACATACAAACACAACAACACACATATATATATATTCAAACAAACAAACAAAGAGATATATATATATAGTTTAAATTATATTATATTGTATTATAGTTGGCTTGGCTAGTTATTACAGACTTGTCATTGTGTTTAAATACAACAAAAGACAAGACAGACAAGACAAGATATTATATATAGAGTACTATAGATAGATAGATATATATAGATAGTCAATCGAGTCAATTCAATTTTGTATCAAACCAAAAATAATGAACGAAGAAGAAGACATTTGCAGAGTTTGTCGAAATGGATCAACACCAGATAACCAACTATCGTATCCCTGCAAATGTAGTGGATCCATAAAATTCATACACCAAGATTGTCTCTTGGAATGGATCAAACATTCAAAGAGTTCTTCATGTGAACTATGTGGATACCCTTTTAGATTTACTCCTAGTATGTTTATAAATATATAGATAAATCTACAAACAACAATATCAATCTCTTTATAATCTATAATCTATATACTAATATTCTTTCATTTTTATAAAGTTTATTCTGATAATACACCAGATATATTACCATTTAAAGAATTATCAGTAGAAGTATTAAAGAGATCATTTAAATTTCTAAAGAGATTTGCTAGAATTAGCTTTTCATTTATGTGTTTTCTCGTTATGATCCCAGCATTGACATGCATCACATTTCATCTCTTTTTTGGGATGTCTACTAAAAAGATGTTGCCCTATACAATCTTTAACTCGTTTTTGATTGGTGTAACATTGTACTTTTTCATCATTGCAACATCATTCCTCAGTTATATATTCCTAACCTTTTTAAATGGAAAATTGATTGAATTGGAAATCGAAGAACCTACAACTACAGAACAAGAACAACAAGTACAAGATGATGATGAAGAAGATGAAGAAGAGGATGACGATGACGATGATGACACTGAAGAAGATATATTATATGATCAAGATCATATTTTTGATAATGGATTGGAACAACAAATGAATCAACAACCTGCCATTCCTGCTCATATTCCTCCTCCTCCTCCACCTGCTCCACAACAACAACAACAAGGAGAAGTAAGACATATATTTAGAATACCAGGTGTTATTGAAATCCTTGGTGTTCAACAACAAGACATTCCTCTAAATCCAGAGGCAGTACTAGAAAATAATAATATTGTAGTCAATGAACATGATGATGGAGATGATATAGAAACTTTAAGTAAATTTTAAAAAAAAAACAAAAAAACAAAAAAACATTATTAATCGAATATTTTTCTTTTTTCTTTTCAATAGTTGGATTAAGAGGACCAATATCAGATGTTATCCTACGCACCGCATCATTTGCGATTTACAACTTTATATTTTTGTTAATATTTTTATATCTCCCCTTCCAAATTGGCAAACAAGCAATATTAGTAATCTCACAAATAGATACTGGTATTGGTGGATTCAAACTAAGTCAACTAACTGAAGGAATAATTAATTTATTCATTGGTTATTCTAGTCTTGCTTTAGTATCTTTATACATTTTGGTAACTATAAAACAACAATAATACATATATAATAATCATAAATATGAATATTAATATTTCTCTCTGTATTTAGTCTGAATGTATTAAACACAAGATTGCATACAAGATATCAAGATTATTATATTCATTTATTAAAATTTCAATGATTTTCTTTATCGAATTGGGAATTATTCCATTCCTTTTTGGTGTTGCATTAGATTTATTAACTTTACCATTATTTGGTGGAAATTTGGAATCAAGGTTAGTACAAAGATTGAATCATATCATTGGATCATTAATATTAATTTTTTTATTGATTTTAGAATGAATTCATTTACAAATAACAAGATACAATATATATTAACAAGATTGGCATTTGGATTGTTTTCAATCATTGGTATTTCATCGTCATCCAGGGTTTTACATCAAATATTTAGACCAGAGGTTATTTGGTTCCTCAAGGATTCTGCCGATCCCGATTTCTCATTGGTCAAGTTCCTCATCAAGGCAAAACTACATCATATATTCTTTAACATTTCCATGGCATTTTTAACCTATGTCATTATTGGATTTTTAATCATCTTTTTACCTTTAAAAGTCCTAAGTTTTGTTCCTGATCTATTACCAATGGATTTTGGTGATATATTTAATAAGTTGGGTACTGATATTTGTTGTAAGTAAAAAAAAAAGAGATAGATAAACAAAATTTTATTTAGTTTTTTAATTAATTTATTTTAATTTTTATAGTAATCGTATCAACAAGTTATTTCCCAAGATTCCATCCACAATTTACTTTTAATTCTTTTATTAAAACAACATTTACCTTTTTTGTTACCAAATTAGGTTTAGATGATTACATGTTGATACGAAAACCTACAACAACCAATACAACAAACAATACAACTGAACCAGTACAACAACCAGAATATAATTATCAACCACCCGATCAACAACCTGAACAACAACAACAACCTGAACAACCGCAACCACAACAACAACAACAACAATCTCAACCAGAATATATTAAACCAAATAATTATGGGTACAAAGTAATCATATTTATGGTATTTTGTTGGTTTGAATTGTTTTGTGCATCACTTTTGGCATTAAGTATACCAGTTAGTATTGGAAGATATCTATTTAGCCTTGTACAATTTACCTATCATAATGACACTGTATCACTATTTGTTGGTTTGGCAGTGTTGTGGCTTGTAACCAAGGGTATCAGCACCATCTTTTCAGGAAGAACATCGGTCGATCATTTCTTTTCAAAGATTCCAAATGTATTGAAACTAGTCTTGATGATTGCCATCTTTACAGTAGCCCTCCCTCTTCTTATTGGTCTAGTATTTGAATTGGTCGTCATTATACCATTAATTGCAAATTATGATGAATCATATTATATTTTTGTTATAGATTTATTTAATGTATGTAAAAAAAAAAAAAAAAAAGACAAAGCAAAGAGATATCTTATTTATTTTCTCTTTTTTTAATTTTTAGATTTGGGGAATTGGAGTTTTATTATTAAACTTTTGGTATCAATGGATTACATCGAGGGCACCAATGAATAATATTAGAAATCGTAGACCACCTGAAGATGAATTGATTCCACACCAAAATGGGGAACAAGATCAACAGGGTGATGGTGATAGATGGATGGACAGATTCAACCAACTCAAACGAAATGGATTTATGGGTATCGACCTTTGGTTTAGTTTACAAAAGATTGTATTCCCAATCGTTTACTTTTTATTGAAGCTCCTCACAGTTCCCTACTTTATATCAAAGGGCGTTGTTCCATTCTTTGGAGGAAGTCCCATTCTAGAAAACATTACGTTTATCTATGGCTACCCAGTATTTGTTTTCCTTCTCGCCTCGGAAATACTCTACTTTAAACTCAAGAAATCAGTTATACACTTTCACAATATCATCAGAGATGACAGATATCTTATTGGAAAACATTTACATAATTTGGAACAACAGCGTCAACAACATCATTAAATTTGGTTGGTTATAACAACAAAAATATAAAATAAAAGGGTAAAACAAACAAAAGAAAAAAAAAAAAAGCAAAATAATCTTTTTGCTTCTTTTTTAAAATATTTATTAATTAATTATATATATATTGGGAGAATAGATTGACAATTGTAACATACAACGTTAGGTCCATCTCCAACAAACAACAAAACCAACCAAAGTAGTGGCACTTTTTTTTTTTTGTTTGCTTGTTTTTTTTTGAGGGAGGTCAATCAATCCACCCCCACCAATGATGATCATTGTTGTGTTTTATTAATTCATTTATACCCAGATCTGGAATAATAATAATACACAACCAACAATGTCGTTGTCTCGGTCATCATAATCATCATCATCGTCTCTCTCTGCAACAATGCATGCTTGATGGTAACAAAATATATAAGAATCGCTATGTCGATTCCCCAATATTTCAGTGAGTGGAGGAGTAAGTTAAGTTAAGTTCAAAACACTAGTCATTCAATGATCAGTCAGACTCCTCATGTGAGGAGGTAAAGCGATCACTACAACCACCTCCAACCCTATCCCCCCTCCATTCACCCACACATTGGCAACACCCACCCACCCACCAACCAACAAAACAACAACAACACAACATGTGTTTGATTAAATCTTGCCAAGATGTGGAATTAATATTATCGTGTGCACACTATCTTAATCTTTTTTTTTTTTTGTTAGTGTTAGTCATTAATGATCACTACAAAATAATAATAATCAACAACCAACAGAATAACAAATAATAATAATTTGTTGGTGATTGTAAATGAATGATCATCAAATTTATCTTCAAGTACTAGTACTAGATTTTATTTACTAAATAATAACAAAATAGCTCATACATACATACATATATACATACAACTACAAATATAATAACATATACATCAATCAATCCAACTTTAACAAAAAAATCATAACACCCCATCATACAAGTTTTTTTTTTTGGTATATATCATACGAGAGAGAGTTGGTGGTAGAAGGATTGACCGACTGACTTGACTGATTAAAGATAGGCAGACAGACGATCAATAGGGTTAATTTATTGTTTTATCAATGTGAGTTGATGTTCTCCCAATATTTTATTACTATTTCCATTTCCTGTTGTTAATGGACTGATTGGTTGGATCGATTGATTGATTGATTGACTGAAATACCATCCATCAACATCACCAGCCCGTATAATCATCATCCTTTTTATTATTATTATTATTAACATCATCCATTTTTAATTTCTATAATCAACTTAGGGGATAGGATATTATTAGAGACGGATAGGTATTATTTTTTTTTCTTTATTTAATATTGGTATTCAGGACTGCTAAATATATATCATTGGTTCACTCCTCACATTAATTTATCAAATTAATCACAAATCAATCAAATCAACCTATCTATTGATTCATCAGTCCATAGCAAGCAAGATTCATCATCATCATCATCAAACAGGATTTCGTAATCGCCTTTTGAAACATATTACATTGCAATCAATCCTATCATTCAATATTTATTTATTATTTATTTATTCAAAGAGACAAAGAATAGTATTATTTGTTGTTGTATTATATTAGAAATTCATATTTAAATATGACCAAACCAACCTCTGTCATAAAAGGAATAATATTATTATTATATTTTTCTATTTTATCAAATCAATTTGTAAATGGTATGTTAAAAAGTTGTAGTTGTTGTTGATTGATTCACAGGACTAATAATAATAATAATTATTTTTTAGCAAAAAGTGGAACAGAATATTTTGAAGAAAAATATGGAGCTCATTTAGGATTCAATGTAACAGCAGGTGTAATCATTGTATCAGTCTTTTTAGGCACACCATTATTTTTTATAGTTAATTTCTTTGTTACAAGATATGAAAGTAAGAAATCAAAACAAAATCAAAAATATAATATCAAAAATATTTATAAATATTCCTTTTATTTATTTTAAATTTACTTTTAGAGAGTAAAAAAGATGAATTAGAATTACAAGAAATTAAACAAAAGAGTTATAATAGAAGAAAAATGAATTTAGAAAGTTCAAATGGAGCAGGTGGTGGTGGAGGTGGTGGAGGAGACAAGAGACAAAGTGATTTCTATGGAACCAATAAAATATTGAGGGAATGTATCAGTCGAAATAATTCAGTGTCACAATTATTTGTGAGCTCAAGTCCATCGATTAGCGGTCAAAGTGGAAATTCCACCTCGGTCAATGCAGTCAATATTTCACCACTAAACCAAAGTCAAAATTCAATTAGCACTGGAAACACTCCATCCAACAACACGTCCAACAATAACATTAGTAGTGGAAATGTGGCAGGAGTACTCAAATCAAACTCGATTGGATATCTTCCTCCCATTGCTTCGTACAACTCGTCCAATTCGGCGGGATCCGCCAACAATAGTCCGAGAAGATTTAACGAGAGATTGATTACACCACCCTCTCCCATACTCTCAACCTTTGGTGGTAAAAAAGAGGATTTGCCTCCTATTGACAATGATAATACTCCATCGTCATCGACTAATCTAAAGAGAACTATATCAGCCGATTCTGGAAAAGTGTTGTGTTCATCTATATCTACACCACAACCAATACGTCCCAAATCACTTAGTAACGTGCAAGACACTGAACACAGCAAAAATGCAACACTCATTAATCTGCTGAGTAGTAACACCGTACCAAAAGACCACTGGCACTGCATTGTATATAGAATCCAAGAACTGGCCATGTCATATTGGTCACCACCAAAATATGACCTACAAGCACCATTGACTGCACTGACTCAAATTGAACTTTCACTACAAGGATTTTCAGAGCAGGAACAACTCAAGAAATGTATCATCACCATTGAAGATCAAAAATATTACAGTCCTATCATTTTCGAACTGTACAGTAAACTATTGCCACTCCATGAATTCACTAGATCTAAACCATCAAAAGGTGAAAAGGACCTGACAGGTGTATACGGAGTATTCCTCATCATCCTACCTAGTCTATACAACTCTTTTATCAATTGGACAAATGAAACAAGTGAAGGATGTCGTCGGAAATTCCTAACAGTCTGTCAAGAAAACCTTGTAGATACTCTATCTTCAAATGATATTCTTGATAAAACTTATATTCATAAAACTTCAATTCATTATTTAACTCAGGTAAGTAAGAAAAAAAAGAAAATGGAAATGGAAATATTAACCTTTTTCTATTTTATTTATTTAGTATATAAGACATTTATTATTTTATTCATCAAAAGGATATAATGGATCAACACTTTATAAAATAGTTGATTTGTATCATGGAATAGCCGATGATATTGACAAGCTGTTATTTGATAATGAGTCGTACGAGGATTTTGAAGAGTTGCAAAAAGTGACCAACTCTTCTTCGTTTGGAGGTGCCGATGAGAATCCATTTAAAATTGATGTGCAAAACCAGGATTGTAGTCTTCTGAATATAGTCACTTCGGTGGCCAACAGGTTCTCTCATATTGACAATTATTTGGAACAGGTGCCACAGGAACACCCACCCATCAACGGGTCGCTGCTAACACTACAACAACAAAAATCAATTATTTCATCGTGTTACAATCACCTTCAAACTTCGTTGTCGATACTCTCGGCAACCGATATCTTTTCGGCCAAGTTCAAAGTTGATACTATCCCCATACTCAAGATGATGTTGGTCGCATTAAATACACTCGAGGAACAAGTCGATGCTGGTGTATCGGTTGGTGAAATGGATGCCGGTGAATTGCTCGAATGGACCAACAACTTTACTCGTATTGCCACCACTCTCAATAATGCTATCCTCAAAAACAGCTCGATTCTAATGGCTAGTCAAATCGTCGATAATATCAATAACCCAGGCGTTCATGGCGGTGGCGGTGGCGTGGGTCCAACCTCCACGCTCACCATCGAGTCCCCTCCCAACAGCTCGTCACCCTCTCCCTCGCCGTCAACCAACCACTTGATCCGTAAATCGGCCAAAATCAAACCCCCATCCTCTCCCTTTGGGTCACCAGCCATCATGTCATTCCTCATGAACGAGACAAGCCTGCACTCTTCCATGGGCGAAATAACCACCACGTCTGCCAACACCACCAACGCCAATGGCAACACGAATGGCGCCGACCCGTCACATCCATCCATCCATCTGCCCGGAACCAGAGAACGATGTGCCCAAATTGTCCAGTTGTCCCAAGACTCGATCATGCTCACCGTCATGTCTGGATTCTCCATGTCATCGCGTGACCTTCGTAGTCCACCCCCTCCATACCCCAACTCCGACAGCAGTGACCCTACCACCAACAACAATACCACCGCTACCAACAGTCATCTTCTTCACCACCATCTCCATTATCATCCACTATCACAGTCTCAAAAACAATCACTTCAATACCAACAGCAACAACAACAACAAATCAACCAAGTAGTCGACTTTTTCAACGATGGGTTGGGTGTCTTTTTCTCGTCTATACGTACCAATATCTTTTGTACTTACATTCTTCTCAACCCCATCTATGAGTTACAACAGAGTTGATCAATCCAATAAAATGAAATTTAATTCAACCCTCTCCATCATATCAATTAAGGAATCCTTCGCTTTTGTTTGATGATCGCAAATTTGTTAATTTTTTTTGAATTTTTTTGCCAAAAAAACGATTGTCTATTTTTTGAAGGTAGCACCTCAATACAAAGTCAGACGCAGACTATAATAGTTTATATCAAGTTAGATTGAATTATATATAATGGTTAGTATTAATTATTCTAAAACAATATATAACAGAGATAGATCATACAACTAATACAATACATCATTCATTACAATACGATATCTATCTCTTCAATTATATATTCATATGATCACTACTATTATTACTCGAATCTTAAACATTTCTCAACTCAACAATTATAAATAATAATATAGAGACCATTACATCTTCGTTTACACGAAAGACCAATTACCCACGTTCAATTCAACCGTGAAGGTGACCTTTTATTTGTTGCCGGAAAGGATAAGTTGGTATCATTGTGGTACACTTCAACTGGTGAAAGAGTCGGAACCTATCCACACGGTGCCGTAGTATATTCATTAGATGTTTGCCGTAAAGTATCAAAATATAGATAGATAGATAGATAGATAGATAGATAGATAGATAGATAGATAGATAGATAGATAGATAGATATAGACAGAGATACAGATACAGTGATTGATTCAACAGAGACAGACAGACAGCAGGAGAGAACAAGTTAATTAATACAAGTTTATATATCATCAAATCTATATAGAAAATACCAAATACTTGATCACTGCTTCAGCCGATTCAAAGGTCAAGGTATGGGAAGTAAAGAGTGGTAGAGAGATGGAGACCCTCAGTTTTGAGGTTCCAGCTCGTTGGATCGAGTTTGCTCAAGGTGGTAGACAAATCCTCGTTGTTACTGATCAAATTATGGGTGCTCAAGCTGCTATTCATGTATATAATTTCGACCCAGAAAGTGTAAAGAAGTGTATGAAATCAATCAATCAAACTTTGACAAAGAAAAGATGACAAGTATATATAGCATGATATTAATATTGATTTTGATTTGTTTAGTGTCATACGCTTACACTTTACCATCACCAAACTGCAAGATTACTCAAGCTTCATGGGGACCATTGAACAAGCAAATCTTTGCTGCTTGTGAAGATGGTGTTGTTAGAATCTACGATATTGAAAAAGAGACTGTCAAGAACATCACTGATAATACCAAGATGGTTACAAAGATTGCTTGGATGAAGCACAGACTTATGTTTTTGACTTGTTCAAAGGATGGTACTGCTAGAGTATGTCAAATATATATATCATTAATGGAAACAAGATTGACGATCATTTATATTTATATTTACTCCCTTTTCTCAATTTTCTTTTATTTATTTATTTATAGTTATATGATACTAAAACACTCCAACCATTAAAGACTTTTGATACTGGTCGTCCAGTCAATGCTGGTGCCATCTCTCCACTCAAGCCACATGTCGTACTTGGTGGTGGTCAATCTGCCGATTCTGTAACAACCACTTTGGTCGATTCCACTCAATTCAAGGTCAAATTTTTCCATATTGCCTTTGGTGATGAAATGGGCGGTTTGCTCGGTCACATTGGTCCAGTTCACTCTATAGCTTTTACTCCAGATGGAAAAACGTAAGACAAACTATATATATATATATATTTGATCAAGACAATAATACAATAGAATTAATTATTAACTAATTATTATTATTATTATTATTATTATTTTAGATTTGCAACTGGTGGAGAAGAAGGTCTTGTCATTCTTAACCATTTCGATCCATCATATTTCGAATTTGACCAAGATTTGGTTTATGATCAACCAGAAGAAGAGGAAGCCTCAACCACCACCTCTGCCTAAATTATTAATTAATTAAAAAAAATATATATAATTTTTAAAATATAATAATAATAATTAATTAATGTTCCCGTCTTTTATTATAACCCTAACCTCAAAGCACAGACAGATAAATTGATAGATATCTATTCGATTTCTTTTTTTTAAACTGTTCCATCCACAAAATCTAAAAAATAAATAAGATGTAATAGTAAAACTTTTTGAAAATCTTATATATATATAAAACCTATCATATGTATATCTTCAACAAGAAGAGTATTAGTATCGTGTCGAGTGATTCGTGGGCATTTCAGACTCGTAAATTAAAAGAAAAACGGGACAAAACTCCCAAAAAAACCTTAAGATGGTGATGACTCAGGTTTAATTAAAAAATAATAAAAAGGGGTTGTTGGTATTCCAATGCTACTTAGTATTTAACACTTCAAGTTTATTGTACATTTCTTTTTATATATTTACATATACAGATACAAAAGAGATAGATATAGATATAAAAAAAGTATTCTTATATAGTAAAAAAGATAGACATATACGAGTATGGAAGAACCAATAAGCATTCATCAATATGATGAACAACAACAACAACAACAAATAGAATCACAAAGTGTAGGATTACCATGGAAAATGTTAGGATTATTTTTAATGGTATTGATGCTGGTATTGGTGATTATAAACAATACAACTAGAAAAACAATGTATGCTCTACTGAGAGCAATGGGTGTCGGTGTGAAAAGGATTCCTAAAGTCATCAAAGAACTAAAAAGAAAAGGATTTCACTTTAGTGGATTGATCATCCCCATCATATATCTTCTCGGACTCAATTATACTACTTTTATAACAAGACAATTCGCATATACTCTGATGGGTATCATCACTATACTCTTTTTCATTTGGGAATGTTTGCGATTATATATACCCGCCGTCAAAAAGTTTTATGTGGATCGTTTTAGTGGAATCATGAGAGAAAAGGAACGTGATTCATTTAATGGTGTACTCTTTTATTTAATGGGTACTACCATTTCAATTTATTATTTTAGGTAAAATATATAAATATAAATATATAAAACAAAAAAAAAAGAATATTATAAAACTAATATTATTATTATTATTTTTATTTATTTATTTAGTCCAATTATTGCAATTGCAAGTACATTATTCCTTATATTGGGTGATTTTACAGCTGCATTGGTTGGTATTAGTTATGGAAGAACTAAAATATTTGGAAAAAAATCATTGGAAGGAACACTTGCCATGTTTGGTGTATGTCTTTTAATTAGTTTGGCTTTGTTTTGGAGATCAAACCTTGGTGAACAATTGGCATTTTGGGGTGCTCTATCTGCCACCTTGGTTGAATTACTCAATCCTTCCTTTATTGACGATAACTTGACAATTCCATGTTTAAGTGGTCTTGCCATTCATTTAATTTCTATTCGTTTGGGTGCAATCATTCCTGATCATTCATTATATTAACTATAATAATAATAATAGACGTAGACGATCCATATATGTGGATAATTTGTAAAACAGAAAAAACAACAAGAAACAAGACAAGAAACAAAACAAGAAAGAAAATAAAACCAATTTGTACATTATTTAGGCATATAATATACTATATATATTATTAAATATTAATTTTTAAAGTTTATTATTATTATAAAAGAATAAGAAGGAATTTAAGAGTTGGTAGAGAATTTATGTCTATTTTTTAAAATAATGGATGTATGTGATTAGTAAAGAAAAAGGAGTAATAAATATAAATAGTATTATTATGGATACATACGAGCACTTCATACAATCATAGAAAATAGTTTGACCTTCATCAGCAGATCTAGTTTGAGCAGTCTTAAAGTACATCTTTCCATGACCACATTCTGGACATTTTTCATCAATCTTTAGATCAGAAAAGAAATCCAAATTAATAATCATAAATAAATCCAGAAACAATCAATATATATGGAATACTTACAACTGCACCACGATCAGCTTCTTCTTCATCCAATGCTTTTGGTTTCTTAAATAGATTACTAACTGATGTTGTTTTTTGTCCTTTTAAAACTACAATTGATAATAAAATTTTGATTAATTAGAATTGACGGATTAATTTGAATATTTGTTTGTTTGTCTGTTGTCCAACTTACTTGATTTATCAGCAGTATATGAACAAGTTGGACAATCGATTCTAGTAGCAAACTCGCTGACATAACTCAACAATGAATTGCAAGTTGGACAAAAATTGGCTTTGGTTTGTTGATTGTTGGTAACTTTACTCCAAGGTGAATTGGAAGAGGTGGTTGTCGATGTAGTAGAGGTAGATGTAGTAGATGTCTTTTGTTTCTTTGTTGATTTACTTTCTTGTTCCGATTCTTCCTCCTCATCAGACGACGATGATTTATTTTTCTTATTATCTTTCTTTGATGATTTCTTCTTCTTTTCGTCTTCACTTTCCTCTTCTTCTTGTTCAGATTCAGAAGAAGATTCTACCTTTTTCTTTTTACTATCTTTCTTTTTATCCTTCTTATTATCTTTCTTTGATGATGATTTCTTTTTAGTCTTTTCATCTTGGCTATCTTCTTCTTGTTCTGATTCAGAAGAGTCTACCTTTTTCTTTTTAATATCTTTCTTTTTATCTTTGTTCTTCTTTGAACTCTTCTTTGTTGTTTCTTGTTCACTGTTGTCACTGTCCATAACAGTATCTTCTTCTTCTTTACGTTTTGCCATTGTCTTTATATATAGTGTTAGATATATTTATAATATATTATCTAAAGTACTTTAGAAGGACGATGATGACCCTAGTCGACAAACAAAGCAATAATGAAAAAAAAAAACAATTTTTTAAAAACGAACGAAAGATTTGATCTATCTCTCTCATTTTGCTCTCCTTTTGAAATTACCGACAGACTTATCACTCACTCACTATCTTATCCCCTATACTATATATATAGTTCTGTTTATATCTATATAGAGAGAGAGAATGGGACAAAAGAATAGAAAGACAAGTCAACCATCATTGGATTTCACAAGAAAGAAACCAAAGTTGGGAAAGAAACCACCTCTTAATCCAAATTTAACAGTTACTACCTTTAAATCGAAAAGTATGTAAAGATAGAGATAGAGAAAGAGATGATAGATGAGATGTATGTTCTAACTCTTTAATTCTTTTGTTTTTAGCATTACATGTACCAGGACAATCATTAGGAGATAATAAAGAGAATGAATTAACAAATCATCGTAATTTGACGTTAAAGGATTTGTTGACCAAGATGAAACATTACAGTGACACTGTGAGAAAGGAGGCAGTGACAGGTTTAAGAGATTTGATTCGTCAACATCCAGTGATTGTATCGATGCATACTGCAGCCATTATGAATCGTGTGGTCGAGGTGGTCAATGATACCGACCGAAACGTTAGAACTGCAGTACACAACCTCATCCCTCATTTATTGCCATTGGTCGATTCGGTCATGATGACACCTTTTATCCCATTGTTTACCATTTATATCAGTGCAGGTATGACACATCTTCGTACCACTATTCGTATGGATGCTCTACATCTCTTTGAAATGTTGATGGACCACTATCCACAACAAATCACTCAACAATGCATTCAAATGCTTCCCAACTATATGGATCTCTTGAAACGTGTCACTATCTCTAATTCAATGACAATGACACTCTTACAAGCCAACAAAGCCCCCAACAAGGCAGTCTCTGTAAAGACACTGGCTCTCAACTCTCGTCTCCTTATTCTTCGTTCCATGTTCAAGTTGATTCAACTCTTGGTGCCAACAGTCGACCATTCCTATGCCAACCTTATGAACCGTATCGAATCGTCTGCTTCACGTGCCCAACAATGGACTCCAGGCACCACCGCCGTTGCCATCCCACCCGATTTTTCATCCTACATTCAACATCTCTCCATCCCAGATCTCTTTACCAAAAACAATATTACAGAAGGTCGTGTATCCACCACCCTCACAACTACCTCATCATCTGGTGGTATCAAGTTGTTAAAGAGAGGTACTGAAGATCTTAATCAACAACAAAAGTCTGATGGTGGTTCAACCCAAGCAGACTCTTCCTCTTCTCTACCAGAAGTTGCAGATATCGTACAACTTAAACCAACATTACTAAGATCGTTTGAAGAGAGATTATTGATGTTGCAAGTAATCATGCCAGTTTTAGTAGATTGTTGGGTAGAAATGGCACCAACCAACATGACAATCAGTTATTCAATCTTGGAAGACCAACAATTACTCTTGAATATTCTTGTACGTCTCTTGGCTAGTTTGGAAGACTATGAAAAGTTGATGGCACATCACAAAGAGATTGCAAATATTCGTCGTGACTTTGAAAAGTACTTTGTTCCAAGATTCCCATTCGTCGTTGGGTCTCCATCAAACCCAGACTCTCGTGAATGGATCATGTCTGCCTCACTCAACAGTTCAATCACCCAAATCATGACCTATTTTGTCAGCAAACAACCAGCATTTATAAACTACCAATCATCGGCACGTGTCCCTCCACCACCCCTCCCAGAATGGTTCAACAGTTATTTGGATTATATCGAAGATGCTTTGGAAGGTGGATTGGTTGCCGAAGATAAACGTATGCAACAAGGTCAATTGGTTCGTAGTCACATTTCTTCGATGTTGTGGGTTGTCATTTTGACACTTCCAGCCATGTCAAAGGATAGAATGTCTAGTATTCTTGGTTCATTTATCAAGTTTGATGAAGCTTGTCATCCAAACTCTACCAGTAAAAAGTCTTGTGTCTACTTTATCAAACAATTAATCGATATGAATTCAATACTCCACTTTAAAGACAAGGTTTTAAAAGATATCGTTCAATGGGGTCTTGCTTCTTTACCAAAATTATTATGGAAACTTGGTAATAATGATCCTTCAACTAGTTTAGTAAGAAAAGAAAAAAATAGAAAAAAAAAATATAAAAGAAAAAAGTTAATTAATTGTTTCTTTTTCTTTTTTAGATGATTATAAATATTTTAGCATCATTTGGTAAAGATAAAACAAAAAAGACACAATTTGAATCTATTCAAACAGCATTGGTACCATTCTTTTTCACAATTACCAAACCTAATGAAAAATTCCCTCAAGGACGTCAAATATTTGGACCATTTGTTACTCTACCAAAGAATGTTCAAATTGAAGCTATCAATTTATTATATTATTTCCATCAAATGGGAATGTTAATGATTAGATCTTTAATTGCAATTTGTAGATGTAAGTCTAAAAACAATTATAATTAGATTGGTTGATATTAATTTTTTCTTTTTTATTTTAGCTGAAAAGGTTTCAAATGATGTTTTAGATATATTATTTGATATTGTTCATTGCAAGAGAGATGAAATTGGTTTGGGTAATTATCTTGCATTTAGTATTGCAATTGTTTTATCAACAACTGAACAAGAAAAAGAAGAAGAAAAACCACAAGAAGATGAAGAGGAACAAGACAAAATGGATGTTGTTGAAATTAAACCAACAACACTGAAAAAATCACCAAAAGAAAAGGAAATGATCATGGAAAGAATTTGTAGAAATACAAATAATCTTAGACCCTCCATAACCATTATCGATCTTTTAAATCCAATTTCAACTACTCTTGTAAATCAATTAGTAAGCAAAAAGACGAAATCTTATGTATTATTATTACTATTTTACTAACTTCTTTCTTCTTCTTCCTCTTCTTCTTTTTAGACATCATCATTAGAAAATATTAAAAATAATTTATTATCATTAAATTATTTATTGAAATTCATTTATTCAACATTTGACAATAGAAGAAACGACGAATGGGAAGAATTACCAAGTGAACTAAGTGAAAAGAAGGCTTTACCATTGGTACTTTCTCATTATCTTTATCAAACTATAAACTCTGAACCAGAATATTTTGGTCTTGGTTTGAAATTTATTCACTTAAATGGAAATGGAAAATTATTATTGGAAATTATTTCAATTCTTAAAGGTAAATATAAAAATATAAAAAGATAATATATATTGTTTCTTTATTTCTAACATTTATATTTTTTAGAAATAATGAAAAAAGAAAAGAATATTGTTGGTATTACAAGTATTTGTATTGAAATATTTAAATCAAAGGAATTATTACCAGTTTTACAAGTAGTTCAAAAGTCAATGGTCGAGTTTGTAAAATCCATAAAGTCACAAACTTTGGCACCATCTGAAAAGTCAATCGTTGATCGCTTGGTATCAGAGTGCAATATTATTTATAATATTAATTTATAAAAAAAATAAATAAAAACTATAAAACATATTTTAGATTTGTGTTTTTGATTAAAAAAGTATCACACAGTTTTTGTTATATATTTATATAAATATGTTTGCTAAAGGGTCGTTGTTGTAGGATATTAATTAATTAATTTGGTGCCAAATTTGCAATCTTGTTTCTTCTTGCTATTCTTTGCCTTATTTGTTTTTCTTCTAAAGCCATATCCCTAAGTGCTTTTGTCTAAAAGAGAGAGAGAAATATTAATATAAATATAAATAAATTAATAAATCTTTGGTATTTGTTTTTTTTTTTATGACATACATAAATATTTTGTTTCTTTAAAAATGATTCTCTTTCCCGTTTTTCCCAATTTTGATGTTCTGTACAATTTAAAATTCCACATATGCCTGTAGAAGATTCCTTATTTGGATAACTACAAGGCAGTGTATTAGGAGCACTTCCATTACTATTGTGATTATTTTGATTGTTTTGTTGTTGTTGATTATTATCATTACTATTATTATTATTATTATACAATGCTTCATTATTTAAAAAGGTGGTTGATTGAATCTTAAACTTTGTCATTTGAACAGTTTTCTCAAATTCGGTACTTTTCATTTCCAATCGCTTCAGTTTCTGCTCAATCTCGGCCCTCTTGGTGGTGATGTGTTGAAGTCTTGAAAAATCATCGCCATTAGAGGTTGATAAGAGTTGCTGTGTGCTGTCATTTGTTGGAGGAGTAACAGCTGCAGAGGCAACCGCGGCAGAAGCAGTAGGAGGTGGAGCTGTTGGTATAGAGGGAGTAGTTATTTTGGAAGGAGTTGTTGGTTGTGTTGGCTGGGTAGAAGGTGGTGAATTGGGTGATTGTATGATTGATTTTTGAAGGACCGATGGATTATTTTTGAGAACTTCCTTGGCATTTCCAAGTCCACATTCTCTGCTACAATACTTGGATGAACCCAAAGTAACGGTATTGTTGCATTTACTGTAAGCACATTTAAGTGTCGAAGAGGGGGAGGAGGAGGATTTGGTTATTGGTGACTTGCTAGAATTGAGAATGGATGAAGTCATAATGATTGTGGTGGTGGTGGTGGTTGATGAGAAAGAGGCGGCAGTGCTAGCAGTTGGACCAGCAACAGTGGTGGTATTTAATTCAGCTTTAGATGTGCTATCTAAAACAGGTGAAGAGGGTTTTGGTGATTTTGGTGATAATCTTGGTGATTGAGGTTGAATTGGTAAATCTTTTAATAAAATTTGAATTGGTTTGATATTATTGTTGATATTATTGTTGTTGATTGTTGACAATGGTGGTAGACTTGAAGAGGAGGATGATGATATTGAAGCCTTTAATTCTTTTTCCTTTTTAAGACAACATTTTGCACAAACATACTTGTCTATTCTTTTTGCATCCTTTTCTGAAACATTGACACATGCTCCATGATACCATTCATCGCACTTGTCGCATGCAATCATAAAAGAATTAGAGTCGTACTTTTTTCTACAGATACAATAGAGTTTGTTGTCATAGTCTGAGGCATCATCATTGTCAGACTCACTACTACTTGCTTCATCCATTGAACTGTGGAATATTTCTTCTCCACTACTATCAGTATGGTGACTCTTTTGTTTCTTTTCAATGTGACCATGATCCTTTTTGTGTGTCTTGGATCTCTTTTTCTCCAATTTCATTGCTGAATGTCGATGTTTTGGGTGTTTGATATCTTCATCATCCATAATATCAATTTCTACTTCTTGATCACTTTCTACTTTAACTAAAGGCTCTTTAAAGTATATTTCAACTTTTTCTTTTTCCTTTTCTCTCTCCTTTTCTCTTTCTTTACTTTCTCTCTCTCTACTTTCTCTTTCTTTTTCTTTTTCTCTTTCTCTTTCTCTTTCTCTACTTTCTCTTTCTCTTTCTTTTTCTCTCTCCTTTTCTCTTTCTCTACTTTCTCTTTCTCTTTCCCTTTCTCTTTCTCTACTATCTCTTTCTTTTTCCTTTTCTCTTTCTTTATCCTTTTCTTTCTTTTCATGATCATGATGATGGTGATGATGATGATGATGATGTTTATGAACCTTGTGACTATTATTATGAGTAGTACTAATAGTTGTCGTAGTAGTAGTAGAAGTGGAAGAGGAAGTATTCGAAACAACAGTTGGTGTTGTTATTGTATTATTGATATTATTATTTATATCATTGTTGTTATTATTATTTGTAGATGATTGTTCTTCATCAATTCCTCCAACATCAACATCATCTTCTTCTGTTGTAGATTTTTGAACAGGAGCAGAAGATGAATTGCTTCTGTTTGGTGAAGGAACACGTTGTTCAGAATAATTATCTGAAACCTCTAGTTTAAGTGAAGAATTTGAGCTGAATAGAGATGGTGACTGTTTGGGTGTTGGAGGTGATTGAGGAGATGCAAGACATTGGTGAATATTATAATATGCACTGTCTGGTACCAAATGTCTCTTTCTCAATGGTAACTTTGATATCTCATAATCTTTTAATGAATTATTATTTGGGTGTAGGTGATGAAGATGATGATGATTATGATGATTGTGATGTTTTTTATCTAAAAAGGATAAATATAATAAATAATTAAATGATTATAATAGATTAGTACTCTATTCTTTTCTCTTCTCTTCTCTTTTTACACTAGTAACTTACTCTCCAAATGTAAAATGCTATTATTATTATTTATATCGAATTGAGTCAATGCTATATTGAGTGGAACGGTATTACTATTATTATTATTATTATTACTAGTATTTTCTAGATTGTTGTTCTCTGTATCCTTCTTGTCCTTGTTATTATTATTATTATTATTGTTGTTGCTATTGTTTTCACGATTTGTATTGTTTCCGTTATTATTATTATTATTATCGTCGTTATTATTATTATTATTGTTGTTGTTATTACTAGTATGATCCATTCTGTCTTGTTGTGTAGAGATTGCGTCGATAAGTATTGAAAGGTTTGTAGGTAATAGTTCGCAATCGTTAAAGTTCATATCTATATATATTTATTATAGTATTATATGTATATGATCTGTGATTAGTTATCCTGTGTCTATTTTATCTATTTTATCTTTGTTTGTTTGCTATAATTACCCTCATAAGGATTGTTTGCTAAAGGGACACACTCTCCCTCCAGCTTCGAAAGCTGTACCATTAGACTAACGAGAATACTATAACTTTGTGTTTTATCTCCACAATACTACGTTGTTAACTTTGTTTTTAAATATAAAACAACTATTATAATCAAACTCTACTTTATCGTTTATCTCTGTCTCTTGATTTATCTATTTATAATATGATGTGTTATTGTTGATACTGTATATGAATACTAGTGAATTTTGTTTACTCTTTGTTGTTTGACCTGCTATTATGTATCATAAGAGAATGTAGAAATTGACCTTTATTATGACTTTAAAACTAAAAAATAACAGCAAAAAAATTAATATGGTGGAGTTTTGAAAAAAATGTTTTTTATTTATTTTTTTCCTCGCAAATTTTTTTGTCTGTGCCAAACAACTTTCAAACGCGTTGTTGGTTTTTTGTTGCCTCTGTCTTTGTTGACTTTTCATTCAATTTAAATCTAAATGAGGGAATAAGGAATTATGATTAGAAAAAGAGAACATTACATTATAAACTATGATTAATCTAGATACATACATATTTACATCAATATTAGTAGTGGAAGGGAAAAATATATATTTCTAAAAGAAAAAAGAAGTAAAGTAATTTCTCTCTTGTTTTTTTTAGAATATATAGGTGTATATAAGTTATATAGGATGAGTATTAAATATGTTGTGATGATGATGATTAATTTCCAAATGAACCATTTTCAAGTTTCTTTTTCTTGTCCAATTGTTTGGTTACTTTGGCGTCATAGATAATCAATGGTAATGCCAAACCACCGGTGGCAATGGTCAACATGGCATAGTACGAGTAGGAATAGACCTTCCAAAACTTTTCATTTCTAGCTTTCTTCTCGGCATGTTGTTGATCAGTATCCAACAATGATTGATCTTCTTCACCTTGAATGTTAAGCTTTTGGTATTCAGCATGGTGTCTTGACGAAAAGTGTTGTTGTTGTTGTTGTGATTCCATCATTTTTAAAATTAAAATATTATTTGTATATTATAAAAAAAAAGATAATTAATTATTATTATTATTTATGTGTATTTGGTAAATGGAGGAGAGTTGAACAGGAAGGAGTAGTAGTAATTTTTAATGAAAAATAATTATTATTATGATATTATGAAATAATGATGATCGTGTGTTATGTGTGTGGGGTGCGTATAATAAATAATTTAATGGTATTGGATAAAAGATGGTTTGTGTGTGTGAATCTTATTTTTTATTGGTTGATTTCTCTTTCATCAGATGAGAGTGGGTATTTATATTTGTTAACTTAAGCCCTCAAGTCTTTTTTTTGTTATTTTATTTTTTATCTACTCTTACTCACGAACACATCATCATCACAAAACCAAGAATAAGAATAGTTGTGATGAGCTGACGATCATGATGATTATGATTGTGTCCGAAAATGGAAACATTAAACGCTGCAGGTTGACCAGGCGTCATTTGAGACGAATTTTTTACGATTTGGGAAGGGGCATGGCGAGCACAAAACCAAACCTTTCCACATTTTTATTCTATTATTAATAATCAACCGTGACGTTTGCGAGGTATCCCTCAACACTCTTTGTCATTTTAGACGATGTCTATTCTCATTATCACAACATGTTGTTCAAAGAGAGGAGTCTAGTCTAGTCTGATAGTCATCTCTTCAATATGCAACATCTCCTCCCTATTGGTATCATATTGATCGTCACGACATCACCTACGACCTCAACCTCTTGAACATTCATTCAAATAAGATAAAGATAGATAGATTAGATAGATTTAATATATCAACTACGTACTACTTAATACTACTACTACTACTACACAACATACTTCAAAATTGGATCAGATCTTCTTTAGGGTAGTTTAAATTTATTTCTTTTGTTGTTGTTTTATTTATTTGTACAATATTATTATTATTATTATTAATTAATCTATTTCTATTTATATTTCTATATTTCTATATTATCTACGCATTTCAATATCTCTTTGAGATTTACCTCTACTAACAAATCTAAAAGTATTTCCTGAACGTGAAAAGTAGAATTTCTTTTTGGCAAGAGCAAAGGCAATGATGGAACCGGCAACGACGACACATGGAACGACGACGGCAACTGGGATAACCCAGCTTCTCGATTTGTCTGAATCGTCTCCTCCGCTGGAACAAGCGTCACTTGGTTGTTGGTCCTGTTTGATGAGGATGGAAAAATCGGGGTCGAGAACACATGATTCGCAATGTGGTAGATCGACGGTAAGGAAGGCTAACGAGTCAGTGTTGTTGAGCAGTTTGACGGGCGAGTAGACGGGACGACCATCCGAGAGGACACGATCGTAGAAACGACCGTAATAGGTGACGGTACCAATTGTCTGCATGAGGTAGTCGAGCGAGTCAAAGCTGTCGTAACCAGCCTCGACCGACTGCTTAAGTGTGTGACACTCGTTAAATGTTTGACCCGATGCAGATGTGTTGGTTTTGATGGTAAGTTGGAGTGTGTTGGTCGACGATATAAACGGCCATCCATAGACACCAAATTGGATCTTGAGCGAGCCTGTCGCATATGAAATGTTGGCACCGGCAAACTCAATCACAGCGTCTTGTTTAAAGACGATGAGGTGTGCGTCGATACTGGCATTGGTACCAATCGACGAGTAATAGTAGTATGTAGTGTTGCCTGGGTGTTCGGTGGCCGTGCCATTGTCCCAGTCGGCGTCCAAGTTGAGCGCAGTCACCTCATTGCCATCGAGATCAATCTCTGAGATGGTCACAATCTGCAGCGACAAGTGAGTGCCCAGCGAGGTGGACATGGATGTATTTGGCTTGGTTTGAGAGGTCGATTCTGACATGTTGGATGGTTTGACGGTCTCCATGGGCGCACATGTTGGCCCGGCGTACCCGACGTTGCATGTACACTTGCCTTCTTGGCACACAGAGTTACTTGGACAAGTTGGACAGGTCACGGGGTCAAACATACCCATGAAAAAGAGGTTCTTGGTCGAAAAGGTGTAGCCGTCGATGGCGACTGTGATTTCCTTGGGTCCGCGGGTATCGGCGGCCAGGGTGCAGTTGAGAACGGTCGCGTTGAAGAGGATGTTGGTGCATGGCTTGCCGCCGACCGTGACGGTTGGTGTGTTGACGGTGAGGGTGCTGAGAGCGAGCAGGCTGAGTGTGCCGAGCTGCAATTCAGCAAGGTTGGACGTGTCTGGCGTGATGACTGGCCCGCCCGTAGGCTCCATGGTGATATCTGGCAGGTCGACGATAAACTTGGACCGAGTACCACGCTGGAATTTGCCAAACAGAGTGAGTATACCACCTGCCGAGGGGACATCACTGGTCGACGATACCATTGGATAGGAACGGAGGAAATAGACCATCAAGGCACCGTTGCCATAGAGTGGACCACCTCCAACAATAGTCTGTTGACCTTCCTTTAATCCTTGGGTAAGAGTACATATAAACGAGGTATCATTACCATCGATCAAACCTTGAACAGTCACTGGACAATTGACACCGTCCAATGAAAAGGTTGGTTGTTCAAAGAATGTACCGTTGACTGTCACATTGACAATACCGTCACCTTGTACAAATTGGACGGCTGTCAAAATAGGAGACAAGTATCTAACGGTAATAGTCTTGGTGATACTAGCAGACAATGCCAAATCAATATTGATTGGGTTGCTTTGTTGTCCGGCAACTTGATATTGCAAGAATTTGTTGGGAGTGATAGCAATCAACTTGGGTGTGACGCCCGTTCCAATACCCCAACCCAAACCTGTACCAGTAAGATTCAATACTTGACCAAATGGATGTGAATAATAGACTGGTTTATCAAATGTAATATAACCAGCACAATTGGCAGATGACAAGAGTGATGATGGATTAATATCAAACCATCCACTCATATCAAATTGATTAGCATAACAAATAAAACATTTATCAATCGTTGTTGCTGATACCATTGTTCCTTTAACATTGACTGATGTAGCTGTACATAATGATGCTGTACTTGATGGATTAAATTGTGCATTTCCATTTAAATTACTAAAGTAAATAAAAAAAAAAAAAAGAGTTAGTTTAAATATGTATTTTAACTATTTAATAATAATATTATTATTATTATTATTATTATTATTTGTTTTTTTGTTGTTTCTACATACATTGTTTTAATATTACCAATTGATGATGGTAAATTGGTAACTTGACCTTTTTCTTCGGTATAATAAATAAGGGATGATGGGAACCCAGTTAAATAAAATGGGGTGTTGGTATGACTGACACCAGATAGAATGACAGAGATTAGGTTTTGAGAGGATGGTTGATTTAAAAGAGTGGTATTGGTAGCTGTCAAATATTTCAAAGCATTCACTTGGACACTATTAAAAGTAAATGATGCTTGATTTGATAAAACTACAAGATTGGATACTTGTGCAGTAGTAAGTGTCAACTGAGAGTTGATCACTAAATCAAGACTCTCGAGGTATGGCATCATGGTGGATAGATCTACGGTTGGTTTGTTTGGAGATAATCCAATTTCAAGATTCTTTAATGAATTGGAAACAGTTCCACCATTATTATCAAAGATTATAAAATTATTCTTCAACTTTAAAGTATTTAATAATGGCAGAGCTAAAAAGTTACTTGGGAATCCAGATGAAATATTTAATCCTTTTAAATCACTAAAAAAAAATTAAAAAGTAAAGTACATTAGTTTTCGTTTCTGTTTCTTTTACTTTTTCTTTTTCTTTTTACATACCAAGTGGTTAATTGAGTTAAATTAGTTGATGGGAAACCAAGAAAAGAGTTGAAATATTTTTGGTCATTGATAATGAGTGTCTTGAGATTTGGCATGTTTGCACCTGTTGTATAGGTGAAAAGGTTGGCATTTTCAACAGCTGGTTGGATACTACCAAGAATGGTCAAACTTTCCAAATAGGGGAATGTAAGTTCTTGACTAAGTGCTGGTAGATCATAGGTTGTAATTGGTTGAATGGGGATTGGAAGATTAGAAGTTTGAGAGGAGGATTGTAATAATAATGGTCCACCAATACCTCCAGAGGTTGAAGTGGTTGTTGAATAACTTTCATATACACTTGCTGGTGAGACTGGTCCCGATGATGTTGCAGTCGTTGATGTTAATGCTGGCATAGAGGTAACTGGTCCAGAAGTGATTGCTGCCGGTGTGGTAGTCAATGACGTACTAGTTGTTCCAAGAGCTCCTCCAATTGCCATTGGTAATGAAGTTGTTAGAGGTGTTCCTGTTGTTAGAGGTGTTCCTGTTGATGTTGATGAGGTTAAACTTGAACCAGTTGCTGTTGTTGTTGTATTGGTTGTTGCTGTTGTAGCTGATGTTGTAGTTGGAATTCCAATGGCATTGGAATCAAGAAAACTAAAAAATCAATCAATTAGTTAATATATCACCAGATTAATATTTGTAATATTCATTCATTCATTCTACACATACATTGATTTAATATTTCCATTTGGGGCAGTACATGTAATACCAATGGCTCCATTTGTACAAACATTGGCAAAATCAGTCCATGATGTTTGATAAAATGAATGTAACCACTCTATCGATTCAACTAAGTAGAATAAAAAAGATACAAGATAAAGAAATAAAGGGATTAATAAAAAATAAATATATATTCAAGATAGATAGATAGATAGATGGACAGTAGTACATACTTTCTAGGGTTGTTAAAGCTGCATTGGAAAATGATGATAAATATGATAATAAAATAATGGATGAAAATAATATAGTTGATAAGTAATAATTTCGATTATTATTATTCACAACCATTTTTTTTATCTATTTATAAAACAGTAGTTGTAGTTTATCTCTTCTCTCTCTATGTTTCGGGTTTATATAATATACAATAATACAACAATGCAGGTGCTGTTGACAGAACAACGTTGTTTAAAGGTGTTTTAAAAGGTGAATGGTGCTTTCCTTTCCTTTCAAAAAGTGATCGATACGAATATAAAGCATTGGTTGCTTGGCTTTATTGTTGGGTGAGAGACCCACCCCTACCCCATAGGCGCCATCAACTTATCGTTTTTTTTCGATTGTGTGATTGATCAACGGTTCAATGAAAGTTTTTGGTGAAACCTATTTGGTGTGTTTTTGTGCGCAAAGGTAAAGTTTGCTTGATAATCTCTCAAGAAAACAGATATTTTTGATGTCAACAAGTGTAATTAGTGTGGTCTCTTTGAAAAGCAAAGAGCAATAACCGAACTTTTGTTGCAGGGTCGCAAGCTACTTGATCCCAAATGCGACATTTTGACCTACCTTTTATTCGTGGCAAGTCCCCGATGAGAAATTTCTAAATTCATACATTTAAGTAACAAATAAGATAAGAAAGATAAAAATAAACTAACTAAACTCTTTATGATAATTATTTATTTGTATGAGTAGCAATGATGGTTGTTCAAACATGTAGATATGATACCTAACATGTTGTATGGCACAATAAAGAGAGGAGGGGACTCAGATATTTGAAAGTCTAAAATGCCCAACGGCAAAAAAAAACAAACAGTGGTTTATTATGCGTAAATCTGTTGATCTCAAAGCAGCAAACAATAATTGAATTATTATTGATCAATCATAAACAAAACAAAACAAATAATATATCTATATAAATAATAATTTTTTTTTTTAAAGGGAGAGACAAAACAAACAGATTTGATTATTAGTAGATAGAATCATCATAATATTACAGACAGTCGCATATAGATAGATAGAAAGATAGATTATAAATCATTATCAATGTCTCTATCAAATAATCAGAAACAATTGATTGGTTCAGCTGCAAGATCATGGATCACTAGAAAGAGATATGCTAGATTATGTAAGTTGTAGAGCGAGCGGTTGGGTGGTCTTACACCAAAAAAAAGAAGAGAAGAGAAAAGAAAAAAAAGGGAAAATAAAGAATAATTATCTAACTAAACTATTTAAATTAAAGTAATTAATCATGAGAATAGAGACAAGGTAGCAAAAGAGATATTTGAAACAGAACAATTATATGTTAGAAATCTAGAAATCATTGTTCAATACTATTTGAAACCATTGAAAACAATACAACCACCACTATTATCACCCAAATCAATTCAATGTATCTTTGGACACATTGAAGATCTATTGACTGTCAATCGTGAACTATTATGCAATATTCAAGATCGTATGACAACTTGGAAAGATAACAAAAAACTTGGTGATATCTTTTTAAAATTGGCTCCATTCTTGAAAATGTATACTGTATGTGTAGTATATTTGAAATTAATTAAATAATAATAATAATAATAATAATAATTAATAATAATAACTCTATCTATCTATTTTATTTTTTAGGAATATTGTTCAAATTATGATAAAGCTGTAACAAAATTAAAACAAAAAGCTGATTTATCAAAAGATCTTGCTTTATTTTTAAAGGTAACCCAAATAGATTTCAATCATTTGATTTATTTCCCTTTTTACTTATATATTTATTATTTACCTTCTTTCTATAGAAAATTAATAGTGAATCAGCATTTGGATTAGATTTAACATCATTATTAATTATGCCAGTTCAGAGAATACCAAGATACAAAATGCTTTTACAATCATTGATTCAATTGACACCAAAAGAATTTTCAGATTACAAAGTGATTGAAGAGGCGTTGCATATAGTGTCGGGTGTAGCCGATCATGTAAACGAAGGTATTAGAGAGAAACAAAACTCTGAAAAGATACTTTCCATTCAACGTCGATTCACAGGTTACGTACCACCACTTTTGGCACCACTACGTACTTTTATTCGTGAAGGCTATCTCACCAAAGTCTGTAGAAAGGAACCTAAAAAACGTTGGTTTATTCTATTCAGTGATGCCATTCTCTATGGCAACAAAATTGAAACTACAGTTGCCAATCCAATCTATAAATTTCATAGATTATTAGAACTTTCAAAAACTAAAATCGTTCATCTTGATGATAAAGATGCTAGTAAGTCTAAAAAATAGAAACAAAAAAAAGATAAATTAATTAATTATTTACTTTTATTATTTTTCTTTAGAACATAAGAATTCATTTCAAATTATACATACAAGTAAATCATTTACAGTATTTGCAGATAATGATAAAGAAAAGGCAACATGGTTGATGGCATTGGATACACAAATTAAATTCCTTTCCCAAAATGAGGGAATTTCAGTTGCAAGAATGAACAGACAATATAGTAATATTAAAATACTCAAAGCAGAGACGGACGAGTCAACAACTCAACAAGCATCAGCTCCCGTTTGGATACCTGATAGTGATGCAAATCAATGTATGGAATGTGGTATTAAATTTACTGCCATAAGAAGAAGAGTAAGAAAAGAAAAGAAAAGAAAAGAAACTCAAAAATAATACCATTTTGTTTCTAACTTGTTTTTTTTTTTGTTTAGCATCATTGTCGTAGATGTGGTATATTGGTTTGTGGAAAATGTTCAGATCAAAGTTGGAAATTGGATAATGCAGGTAAACCTGTACGTGTGTGTCGTTCATGTTACTCTTATCTATCAATGACAACTTCTAGAAGAAATGAGGCAGCTGCATCTACCTCGTCGTCGACACCTGGTTCATTGGAGACATCGAGTTCTACAGATAATTTATCTAGTATTCCATTGGTTGGCGACACAACTAGTACAATCAATGAAGAGAGTGGAATCGTTTCATCGGATAGTGATTATGATGACTATCAAGATCAGGCATCTGCTACAAGTGATTCATTAACCGAAATCCCATCCATCACTCTACCTCCATTACCATCATCTTCAACGACCACCACTCAAAGATCACTGTCACCATTTTCATCACCAATGGTTGTTGGTAGTAATAGTATGACTCAACTCCCATCCATTAATAATACCAATAATAATAATAATAATAATAATTATCAATCGAGTCATAGTATGAGTGCACTTCCACCATTACCATCGTCAGTCAATTTACCTCCACCTGTTGTATTACCAACTATTCCATCAACTCTTAGAGAATCATCTCCTCCTCCACAAACACAAACTCAAACACAAACAACAACACCACCAACACAATCACCAGCCATACCAACCACTCCACCTCCAACACTTTATAAACAAAATTCTTTGTTGTCTTTTTGTAACCTTGTTATCACTCAAAATCCAAATGTTGAAGCTGCTGGTTTCAAAAAGAAACCTTCCACGTCTGGTTCAAGCTCCCCTGCTACATCCCCAATAGTTGATAGAAAAAATACATCCACCTCCTCTACAATTGTTGATCCATCATCCATTTCATTACCAGGAATTAAAACTATTCATTCACCAGATACTAATAATCAAAATAATCAAAATAATCAAAATCAAAATACTAATAATCAACAACCAATTGTAATTAATAATAATAACCAAAATAACCAAAATAATAATAATAATAATACAGTTGAAAATAACAAACCATCAACAAAACCAAATGTAAATTCAATTCAAGTTTTACCCAATTCTTTATCATCATCATCAACGCCAGTTGTTTTAAAACCAACTAGTCAACAACCTCCACCATCCATATCAAAGTTACCTCCATCCCCATCTCCAATTGTTTTGAAACCAACTCCTCAACAACCACCTCCACCTACTCCTACTACCACACAAAAACCAACAACACCTTTACCAACTACACCTTTACCATCAACACCAAAAGAATTACCAACTAAATCTTTACCTCCCATTCCACCAGTTCCAAAAAAATCACTACCTCCTCTTCCACCACCAACCAGTACTACCATAAATAATAATAGTAATATTAGTAATAATAATAATGTCATTACCAAAACAACATCAGCATTTAATTTAATTCCAACAAATACCTCTACAACAACATCATCACCTCCACCTATTCCACCAAAAAGAGCTAAATCCTCACTTCAGTTGGGTCCAACTCCACCTATTCCTACCACTCCCACTCCAACTACTACAACTACTACAAATACTACAAATACTACAACTACACCTCCACCTCCAGTTGGACAACATTCAACTGAAAATCCACCACCTCTTCCACCTAGAAGAACTGTCAAGTAGAAGTAGTAATCGTAAAAAAACACTTTTTTCCCCAACCAAATAAATGCATTCACATATATAAATATATATATGTGTATACCTCTTTTTTTTTATATCTTATATATACAAGGGTTTATTTTTGATTTCTTTTCTTATTTCTATTTTCTATTTCTATTTTTTTTAATATTTATAATGAAAATAAACTAATGATTGATTTCTTTCTTGGTGGATTGATTACTGGTGATGGACTCATTGAAATATTTACACCACTACTTATACCATCGGTGACACATGATACAATGGTAGGAGAAATGGGAGGTTTGGAAGATTTATGAAATGGTGATCTACTACTAACAGTAGTATGAGAAGTTGGAGTATTTGGTTGATGATGGGAAGAAGAAGAAGATTGATCACGATCTCCTCTATCTCTTGATGAAGGTGATGGTAAATCATCATCTCTTGGTGATAAATTATTATTGTGACCAACACTGTTATTACTATTGCTTGGAATGGAAACTGACAATGGAGTAACATTATGATTACAATTATTATTCATATTTGAAATCAATGTACTACTTGTTAGACTACCACTAGCACTATTACTACTATTTACATTTATATTAATGTTTGAATTGAATGAATTGGATAAAGATGATGATGGACTAGGATAACTTCTACCAGTAAATAAATACATATCATTTCCAGTATTTCCACCACCACCACCATTTCCATTATTATTTCGATGATGACTATTATCAATGGTTGATGTACTTATACTTGGAATCATACCATGACCACCATTATTACTATTATTTAAACCATAATTATTTTGATTATTATTATTATTTAATCCACCCATTGATTTTAATTGTTGTCTCAATTCCAATATTTCTTCTTCCAAATGTGCATGTCTTCTTTCATGTTGCTAACAAAAAAAAAAGTAAATATATAAACTCTTCTTGTTCTTTTTCTTTTTGTTTCTTCTTTTATCATACTTGATTTTCAAGTTCATATTCTTGAAGAGATCTTTTTAGATTATTAATTTCTTTATCTTGAGATTCTATTTGATGTCTTAGTTCAAGATTCTCTTTTTCTAGTCCGTAGACTGTCACTTCTAGACCACGCATTTTAAACACTGGAGAGTGCAGTGTTTTATTGTGATCATTACTATTATTCAGTCCATTGTTTATACTATTACTATGTTGTAATGAATTTAAATTGATAGATGTTGATGATGTCGATGGTGTAATCGATTGATTATGATTATTGTCTTTGGTTGTAGTTGTAGTCGACATATTATATTTTTAATTTACAAAAAAAAATGGAACTGATTGATTGTTTGTTGTTTTTACTAAAATTAATTAAACCAAAACTGTAGGTTTTGTAATAATAATAATAGTTTTTGTTTTATTATTCTTTCTTTTTTTTTTATCTCTTTTTGTTTGTTTGAATGTTGTTTGTTTGTTAGTCTCAACTAACTACCTACCACTACAACAACAAACAACAAACAACAAAAAAATAAAATAAAAAAAAATTTCAACACACAACCACAAAGTGTTATTCATTCATTCATTCATCACACCCCGCCCCACACAATAATTTAAATTGATCTGGTTTCGTTGGATTCCACTTTTTTAAACAAACCATCACCCAACAACACAAACTTAATCTCTAATACAATCCAATCTATAAATCTATTCATTATCTATTTATCTATATATATATTTACAATCGATTTTTCTACTTTTATATATTATATTATTATTATTATTACTTGGTTTAGTTTGTTTGTTTTGTTTGTTTCGGTCTAGAGTGTAAAAGCAGGATTTGAAGAATTATTTGAATCATCGGCATCTTGTTGAGAGAGTGGTTGAGCCTTGTCTCCATGTGGAATGAATTCACCAAATATTGGTGTTGGTGGAGATTGTTGTGAAAATGCTCCCAATCCAACACTGGCAATGGCAAATAAAAAGAATAATAAACTAACAATCGTTGTGAAATAACTGTTTTCATTACTTCCCCATACTAATAATCCAATTCTAAAAAGAGAAAGAAAACAAAAGAAAGAAATTGATGATCATTATTATGTACATATTTCCTTATTATCTTTCTACTTTTTTTTGTTTCATTGCAAACATACAATCCATATAGAATACCTCTTCCAGAGTATGTATAGAAAAAGTAATATTGATCATAATATTTATATCCATGTAGTGCTGCTGCTATCATCCATATACTCATCAACCTAATACATATAAAGTGTTAATGAATCTACAATATCATTCGTCTCTTCTCTTTCTTCTCTTACATGACAAGAATACCATTAAAATGTATTGCATTGGTAAAGATGATGATACTTGAAATGAACAATAACAGTGACAAGATGAAGTGTACACCTGTCATTAACAATGCCATATTAAATTTTGGCATTTTTTAATCTATCTATATAATCTATATCTCTATATCTAATCTATCTATCTATGATATCAATGTGTATTTATCTATCTAATCTAAACCTAAACGAAAAACCTCTTGTCCTCCCAGCAAACAAACATATGACAAGATCTGAACTTTCATAGACAATATAAATTTAAAAACAAAAAAAAAAAATAACAACAAATTAATTTAATCACATAGTTGATTGATTACTCGATAAAGGAGGAATGATTAAAAAGTTTATTTGTTACAACCATTATTAAAAAAAAAAAGATTATTGTTCTACCTATAATACCAAGTCAACTTGAATTTCTAAAAAGAAAAGACAATAAAAGCAACTAGTTCTCTCGACAATTGTTGTTGTTGTTGTTTTTTTTCTCACTTCATTATTATTAAATTTTTATTATTTGTATTTATTTATTTATTCGTAAGCAGAGTAGAGCGTGAAGTTCAACGTGGAAATATGATACATGACCTGAGAATCTAAAACATTTTCGTTGTAATTTTTATCCTGGGTGAGCTCGGAGATTAACCCCCTCTTAAACTCAAAAAAATGAGAGTGGTGGATAGGAATCAAAAAACTGATGACCATTAATTTTTTGATGTACCACGTACTTGATCGCTCTCTCTCTCTTTGAAGAACATCACTCAACATTCGATTTGAACAAACCATCTCATTGCTTATTTATAAATAACTATATTTATATCTCCTTCTCTCTCTCTCTCTCCTAAAAAACAAAAATGTCAACTGATATTGATGCTAGTCAACAAGTACAACAATTGCAACAACAATTGCAACAACAATTGCAATTATTACAACAACTCCAACATAACCAACAACAACAACAACTACAACTACAACTACAACTCCAACAACAACCAATACAACAACAACAACAACAACAACAAGAACAACAACAACAACAACAACTCCAACAACAACAACAACAACAACCAATTCAAAATGTTTATACACAACATTTTATGACAAACAATCCAACTTTAATTGGATGTTTGTTCCCTTGTAGTAGTACTATCAACACCCAAAGTGATCTCAGTCTAAGAAACTTTAGTCACAATTTATTAAATTATCAAACACCAACAACACCAACTCTTTCTTCTTCTTCTTCTTCTTTTATTTCACAACAAAAAGAACAACAAGATGTTATTCAATTTTTTTCAAGCCAAGGGTTGACTTCACTTCTTCCAATGGACTTTAATAATTGTTATTCTTTGGATGTTGTTGGAAAGTCGTCATTGTCGTCATCGCAATCATCAGTCCAGTCATCTCCTTGGTCCTCTTCCTCGGTGGCTTCCTCACCAATGTTGGTTGCACCAATCTCTATGCCTGTTCCATCTGACAACATTTCTGTTCCATCTGACAACATGTTGTTAAGTGTTTGCTCCCAACAACAACAAGAAGAAGACATTTTGATTGCAGACTATGCAAACACTCAACCAAACACTGTTACAGTCTTTGAAGCTCTTGTAGATGCCAATGCCAATGCTTTTGGTCAACAACATCCATTGCTACCAATGGAGTTATTGCCATCATCACCAAAGTCACCCGCTGGATCAGACTATTCTTCTTCTCCCTTTTCTTCTTTTTCATCTGAAAATGAAGAATCTGAAAGTGAAGACATTGTTCCAGTATCACCTAGAGTTACTAAAAAGAGTGTACCAAAAAAGGTGGTTTCTCCAAAACAACAACAACAACAAAAGAAAAAACCAGTCGCCAAGTCAACACCCAAATTTGTTGCTGCTGCCAACCAATCACAAGGAATGATTATGACCCTTTTATCAAGTGCCAATGTTGCAGTAGAGAATGGAAACATGAATCCTTGGAGATTAAAGTTATCTGGTTCGTTTGTTCGTAAGGACGGGTCACCTATCAAATGGCAACATATTGTTGTGAATGCATCGGTGCATCCTGATCACAGCGAGACTTACAACATTGAAAACCAATCTGCTAATGTTATGGATGACGGGTCTGTCAACATCAAGGGTATCAAGGTGACCAAGGCAGTACGTAGTCGTAGCCGTGCCTCTCAAGGTAGTCCAAATGTTCAAACGTTCAGGTTGTGCCTTGCAGCCTATGACAAGTTCAACGGACTCTACGTTCCCATTCCCAACTGCTTCATCGAGTCTGATGACATTACCTACTTGGCCAACACCAAAAACATGTTACCACCCACCATTGTCTCTATCGAGAGGGTATCTGCCGACCAGTTGCCAAGCAATTTTATCACTCATGACTCTATCACTTACAAATTCAACTGCAACCGTATCAAGTGGGGCAAGTCCAACAACTTTTCCATGGCTTTGAGAAATAGAAAAACTGGCAAGATTGATTTCTGGGTCACCGAGGTTGAAAAGACTCGTCTCACCCCAACCCTTAGTAAAAAGCTTTCTGGTTATCTCTCTGTTCCAAATCAATACAAAAATCATAGCTTGGTGACTGGTTATTATTCTCAAAGGGATGGATCTCAAACTTGGTCTGAATCTTCTTTTGATTTTTAAAATTAATAATTCATAAATAATTAAATAAATAAATGTTTAACAAAGTAAATAACTACATTGTTGTATTTATATTATTCTCATCTAAAAGTATGAGGTGTTCAAAAATATCTTATAAATCACTGATAATATATTTGATATTGATGGGATTACATTTGATTTTGAATTGGCATCAGAAGAATTAAATATCGATGGAAATGTATTAAAAGAGTTGCTTACTAGTAATTAGACTTTTAATCTATCAAAGAGTGATGATTTGACGCTTGCAGTCTATACATTACAGCAGACTGATAATTTCCAAGGTGTACAAGTGGTTGCCAACATTTCATTTTCAAGTCAAGCAAGAGAAGTTCCATTTCGTACACAAATACTCCAAATTATTATGAATTAATTAATTATATTATTGACTATTATTTGTTTCAATTAATTATTGTAATGGTACTCGTAACCGTAATAATAATAATAATAATAATAATAATAATAATAATAATAATAATAATAATAATAATAATAATAATAATAATAATAATAATAATAATAATAATAATAATAATATTATTATTATTAATAAAAATGACAATAGTAGATTTCCAAATTCCAATACCTTGGGCAAAAACAATTTTCGTTGAAAACGAGCCAATGGAAGATATTTGTTTCTTTGCCTACAAAGTCTTTTCCTTCACTTTTCCAAACAAAGAAATGTACCCAGGCATGCAAAGGGTTCGATATAGGGTAATAGTGGTATTAAAATATGGACGACAAATGACCCTATGCAAACCAGACCATTTGAAAGATACTCTTTTGCAATCTATTCTGAACAACTACTTTGGAGTATCTACAGATCCAAAGCCAGTTAGCGCTGGCAAATCGGATAAATGTGCTCACTGCGCCAAGCATGCCATATCAAATCAATGTTGGGTACCCTAAATGGGTGTTGGTTCCGACCATTAAACATCAGCGATACTTTTGACTACAAATATCATTTTTGTTCATACTCGTGCCTCATTTCACTCTCAACCAAATCATGGAAAGATGTTGCAGAAAGTAAGTAATATATAGTATATTTATAGTACATTCAATCCATTCTAATAATTCTATAAACAGTCAAATTTAAATTGGCCAAACCCTCTACTCCTATTCCAAAGAGATCATTAAAGAAACAAAAAACAAAAGGTGATGATGATGAAGATGAAGAAGAGGCAGAGGAAGAAGATGAAGAAGAGGCAGAGGAAGAAGAAGCACAAGAAGAAGAAGAAGAGGAAGATCCTGTTTTGAAAAAAGCAAGCAAAAGACTCATAAGCATTAGGATCATCATCGAGAATGTTTTTTCTCACATCAAAAGATTTGAAGTGACAAGGGTACAATTACGATTTAAATCGTCAAATGGTAATCTTAAAACCCACAACCAAATTTGGCATGTTGTTGGTCAAACAAAAAAAAATTTGCCAAACCCAAAAAAAAAAGGCTTAAATAAAATGGCTTGATTATTATGAGGGGGACATCATTTCAAATTGATTCAAATCAAATTTTTTTTTATTTTACAAAGTTGAACAACACAATCTCATCCAAGTTCAATTGATTAAATTTCAAACCAAAAAATCGTTACTTATATTTTTATATACCACTACAAATAATAAATCTCAATCATCACTTATTTATATATTTATATATATCATCGCTACAATTGCTTTTTATAAATCAATCTTTAATCTTTTTAATATTTTTCAAAAATGTCACAAGATCTTATGGATGTTATTATGAATATGGATGCTCGTCAAGTAATAGAGTTAATTGAACAAACAGAGCAATTGAAACAACAAGAACAACAAGAACAACAACAACAACAACAACAACTCAACAACCTAACATGTGATGTTAAAAGTCAATTTAGTCTTTCAATATCAACAGCTCTGATTTCGCATTTGGCATTAAGAAATTCTTTCTATAAGGGTTTTCAATCATCGTTGGTGTCATCGTCCCAGTCATCAGCTCTGTCGTCAAGTCCTTGTAACTCGTATTCTGATGCTTTGTCACAATTGTTGGAGAATTCATTAATCGGCAAGAGTTTACCATCTGACAATATTCTGTTGGTTCAAGACAATTGTAATATTGAAAGCAGAGTGGTACCAAAAAAGAATCCTGCTGTTAGATCCAAGTCAAAAAAGAGGGCTGCTTCTCTTAAGGTTGTTGTCTCTTACGAGTTTACCGACGACGAATTGCAAGGAATGAAAATGGTCCTTCTTTCAGGTCCAGATGTTGTCACTGAGAATGGAATTAGGACTTTATGGAAATTAAAGTTGTCTGGTACTCTGGTTCGTGATGATACGTCACCCATCAAATGGGAACACACCACTGTTGTGATTGCATCAGTGTATCGTGATCAAAGCGAGACATACAACATTGAAAGTCAATCTGCCAATGATGGTATCAAGTTGAACAAGGTAGTAGGCAACAACAACAACAACAACTATCCTATCAACGGCCAAACGTTCAAAATGATCCTGCTCGCATTTGATAAGCTTAAAGGAGGTCTAGATCTCACTCATATTCCAAACTGTATCGTAGAATCAAATGACATTGTCTACTCTACCAAAACAGAATACTTGCCACCAAGACATTTTATCAGCCACAATCGTGGCAGTATTACCCGCAAGATCAAATGTGACCGTTTCAAGTGGGGGGTTAATTCAAACTTTTCAATTGGTTTTAGACACTCAAAAACACTCTAGTTGATCAAACTAGCACCAACCAAAACCAAAAAGATTTATATTTACTGGTTTAATAAATAAATATTTTATCTTCTTTTATTTATTGGTTGTTGTTGTTGTCTTACTGGGATTCTACCTCTATTTGATGATTGAGATGATTGAGATGATTGTTGTTGTGAATTTCCTCCTCTAGTTTGAGTTGATCTTCTTGTTGTTGGTTGTGATTCTTCTTCACTTGATGATTCATCAGTTACATCTGAATCTTCTTCACTTGATGATTCTTGTTTTCTTGTTTGTTGTCTTGTTTGAATTCTATTATTTGTTGTTGATGTACCATTATTATTTTGATTATTTCTATTATTATTATTATTATTATTATTATTATTATTATTATTATTATTATTTTGATTATTATTATTATTTCTATTTTGATTTTCATTTTCACTTTCATCATCATCATCAAGATCAATTGATTTTAATAAGATTGGATCAATTTCACCTTCATTTCCATAGACATCAGAAATGACACGTAATATTTTTCTTTTTGATGTTTCAATCGATGAACGAGGTCCAAAACGATAGACAGCTATTTTATCACCATCTTTGGTGGTTTCTTGTTTTCTCGTCAAATAAACCTCTTTGACTAGTTTATCCAAAACCTTTTCCCATTCACCAAAGATGGGATGTTGTTTACCAACTTCGAATCCCAAACGAGCAATTTTTTCATATAGAATGTTGGACTCTAAAAACTTTCCATTCTCTAGTAGGATGACTGCCAATACGATAATCAATAGACTCTTTTCCATGTTTGACAATTCAACCACTTCATTTACCACTGGATCAATTGATTTGATTTCATTCAATAAATCCAATGGCAATGTATTACAAAGAATAAAAAATGATGGCTCTTTTTCATTGTTTACGCCTCCCATATCTTTCTTTGTTTCTTTTAATTCATATCCAAATACTGATTTTAATTTATATTTTCCCTTTAAAAGAAAAATAAAAAATAAATAGATTAATAAATAAATAGATAGATCAAATGATTTCTTTCTATATTTACATTTTGAAAAACTTTAGAAACTAAATTTCTATCTCTATAGTTTGGTAATACTTTTGAAACAATTTCAGCACGAGTGATTGGTGTTCTCTTTCTATCCAAAAACAATACATATCTTACAAATTCATCAATCAACTTTTCAATCTCTTCTGCTGTAAGTTTTGATGCAATCTCTGCTTGTGATCCTGATTTTGCCTTTTTCTTTGCTTGTGATGATCTTGATGATTGTGTTGATGTTGTTGATGTTTTACCTCCTCCTAAAGGGAAAATAAATCAAAATCAGTCAATCTTGAAATAAAAGTTATCTATCTATCTATCTACTCTTCATACTTGTAGGTGCTGATCTCTTTCTTTTCTTTTGATCTTGATCTGAATCTTCACTATCATAATCATCATCTGATGATTCTTCATAAGATGATGATGAAGAGTCATCGTCGTCTTCAATGACAATGTTTCTTCCTCTTCCTCCTCCTCCTCTTTGTGGTGTAGATGTTACACCACCTCTCCCTCTTTGTGATGCTGCAGGTTTTCCTCCTCCTCTTTGTGATGCCAATCTTTGTGACATTACTTTACTATATACATATATAAATAAATAAATAAATAAAAAGATATCTTCTTTTTCGAGTATGTCACTGACTCTTTACAAAAAAGCCCGCGTTTTTTTTTTGTTCTATTATTTTTGAAATAATCATATAAACTATTATCTATCTATGCGTATTTTATTTTATTTTTAGTTTTATTTTAACAAGGAATACATTTTTTACAATAGAAATGTTAGATTCAGATTGTAAATTAAAGTACAGTTCAATGATTAGTCAATGATATTTCATCTAATTATCAACATACTTAATCCTGGTGCCAAATATAGAAAGTATGCTGGATAAAATACTAACGACTAAACTATTGTCGGTTAGTCGTCTCGAACAACAAACTATAAAAGACCAATGAAATCAATAAACATTAATTCATCTTTTATTATTATAATTAAATAATCATTTACAATCTAATCTAAAGACATTATTACTATCTATATATTCATATATCTATATATTATTATTATTATATACCTCTCAACTAATTATATATTTACCAAGTATCTATATAGTTATTACAAGAAACCATTTGGACCCATCGTTGGGAAATCAAAATTTTGAGTAGATGTGTGATTACACATGACACAACGGAAAGCGATTGGTTTTAGGTTAAGTTTTTCAAAGTTGTATTCGTTGGTGGCACCATGAATATACGTGGCTTCGGTCGTTGGTGGCTCCCTTTTTGCATACTTGACAATCTTGCCATTTGCCAGTGTGTTTATAGGTACTGCATATAGTATGACGATCGTGATTACGCGAGCAACTGATACTCACCTTCTTTTTTGTTATAGTTGGTTTTGGGTGGTGTTGGTGTTGTTGTAGTACTGGTTGACTCTACTGCTGCTGTATTGACAACATCAACAGCAGGTGTTGTAGTAGTAGCAATACTACTAGTACTACATGTTTGTTTTTGTTGTGGAGATACTGGTTTTTTCTTTACTGATTTCTTTTTTCTTGCATGAGATTACATGATTATAAATACTCTTTACGAGCAGTTTTAATAACATGTACCATTAAACTTTTTTGTTTTTTTTTTTTGAATAAATTGAACTTTTTCTCAACTCTCGACAGAGAATTTGCTAAAGTTTGCGATCAGTTTGAGATATTCAAGATAGATTATAGTTTTGAATCGTTGGGTAACGATTGCTACTTCATTTGGTACCAAAGAGAACCTCTATCTCCCTTTGAACAACGGTCTTTTGGTTGTCCTTTGGTAGTCTGGTTGGAGAGCAGAGTAGATTTTTTTTAATTCGATTGGTGTATTTGGTTGGTCTGGTCCCTCCTTGGAAGAGATGTGCTTTGGAAGGTAGGGCAAACTCGGTGAATGCATTGTCGTGCGTGGAACGGTACAGTTGAAACCATGCTTCCCAACATGTTTGGAAGTATGAAGAACTGTTGGAGAGGGTGCCTGGGCGTAGGTACTCGACGAGTATATGGTTGGTCTACACCCTGCGGAATTGGGATTGTTGGAAGGGTCGATGAGGAAATGATGGACGATTCATCATTGGAGCCTTTTGCGCAACATGTCTGACGTTCATGTCCCAGAGTCCGATGCCTCGCTTTGTCCAATGGAGTGCACTCCGCTCTTGGGCGAGATATGCAAAATTCTGACAATAGGGTTTTAGATTAAAAAGGTTCTGTGGGGGAAAATCGTTTTTTTTTAAAGTAATTCTTTTCCTGTTCTCTCCTATCGGGAAGAGTAGTAGTGTGGGAAAATCGCGTGAAAACGCGAAAAATGAATATCAACATCATCGAAAAATTGCTCGTTTAGCTCAGTCGGTAGAGCACGGTGCTAATAACGCCGCGGTCGCAGGTTCGATCCCTGCAATGAGCAATTGTATTGCTGTTATCTATGCTGCCTCCGAGGTTTTTTTCTTTGGCTTTTATTTAGCCATCTCTGCATTCTCCACGCCAAGGGCTACATTTCTATCCAAGTTTCATCAATTTCCATCAAATTCTGATCATCAAAACATGCCTAATGGTTGGTCGAAAAAAACAACCAGTTTTTTTTTTGTTTTGAAATCTTTTGCCCTTTCCATGTTCAGGTTTTGTTCTTTGGCTTTTTTTTAGATATCTCTGCATTCTTAACTTCAGGCGTTACATTTTAATTACATTTCATAAAATTCTATATCAAATTGTGATCAAAAACAAACCAAATGATTTGACCAATAAAAACCATAAAAATCACATCAAATGTTTTATTCAAATTAGTGGTTCCAATTCCATTAAAATCATGTCATTAGCACCAAAAACTCGAGAGTTTTAAAATGTATTCTTGATTTCTATTTTTATCCATGTTTTGAATCAAATAAAATTTTGGCACTTCATTCATGACTTTTGGAATGTTTCAAAGGTTAAACTTTATTGATTTCTTTGTTGTATAAAAATAAATAAATAGAATTGTATTTAGTTTGGTTAATAGTTGGATTGTTGTTTGTCTAAAAATAAATCTACTATTTTTTTTTTGTTTTTCTCGTGGAGTTTATTTTGTATTTTTTATTCAATGTTGTTATTTTTATTTAGTTGATTATTATATTATTATTATTGATAGATATAGAGAGAATGGAAGAGGATGAAGGTGGTGAGGAGGATGAGAAGTGGATCTTGTAAACAGTAGATGATAGTTTGAATTCGTTGTAATTGTATTACTGATTCATCGGTTTGGTTCATTAGAGCCAAATGCCATCGATTACATAATTCTAACGTCTTGTCCCAATTTACTTTTATTATATGTCACAAATCATTTAGCAATCTAGCTCGCAGGTATTGTTCAGTGAATGGTTCATCTCTTTGGTGACGTAGATCATTACGTCGCGGAACCATATTCGTTCGAGTGTTGCAGCGATCAAGTTGATAGTCATTGGAGTTTGTTGGAGGTTGAGGAGTGTGATGTCCCAAACTGGTGGTGGAATGTTGTTGGCAGCAGTAACCTCTTTCAGTGTCTTCACTGGTAAGCGTGGTCTACTTGCATTGAAAGAACAAATGCTTGGAAGATTCATCTTTGCCTCACGACACACCGATGGCGGCGACAGAGTCACCCCTAACGAGCGGGAGACATTTGGTTACATACTTCCAACCAGATCTCGACCCTTTGGTAGCAACTAGTGCATTCATTGGTAGATTCCAAGTGCAGTCAAGGTGGTTCTTGATTCCAATAGATTGAACTAAAACGTTTTAGTTCAATCTATTGGAATCAAGAACCACCTTGAATAGTGATATCTATTCTTTTCTCTCAAGTGTTGGTAATAACTCATTGTCTGCGTAGAGTTTGCATCAAAAATAATACTAATTCATTGGTTGTATCAAGTAGCAAATAATAATAATAACAATCAAAAATATAATAATCATGCAAGCAATTAAATGTGTAGTAGTTGGTGGCTGTGCAGTTGGCAAGACTTGTCTGGTGATATCATATACTACTATAAGAGCTTCTCATCAGACTATGTGCCTACAGTATTCGATAACTACTGTAGCATATGTGTATTAGATCAAGTTAAAGTTGAATAGTTTATTTATTTATTTATTTAACAATCAGTCGGCCAACAACAAAACAAGATGTGGTACCAAACCAAACCGAGGTATCGTTTTTGGCAAATGTCAGCCAACTGGAGTAGCTTTATCCAGTTCAGATGGACAAGAGCTTTTGCTGTTTGGATTCCAAAAGCTGGCCATGGGAGCACAGAGAGACTGGAGTCTTTGCCATCGATTGTATAACCCGACGTCGTCATTAATTTTCCTTCTCTCCAATGGCTCGGCGATGAGGGAAAATAGCTTCGGTGACATTGGATCGCCTTGCATACCACTCTGGATACTCGCAAACTTTGACGATCAATTCATGTTCTCTCCTATCGGGGGGTATAAAAATTTTTTTTTAAAGTAATTCTTTTCCTGTTCTCTCCTATCGGGAAGAGTAGTACTCAGAAGTTACAAAGTTTTATTAATTATACTTTTTAATTGACCAGCAAGAAATAAAGATTATCTCGAGAAGAATTAAAGTTAATTTGTTCTGGGGGGTTGTCCATGTCTATGATACATGTTGTATGGACGTTGATCATGTATCTTTTTTTGTATAGTATCAAGCATGTTGGATTGTTTTGGATTGTTGCTTGTTCTAAAAATAAATTGGTTAAAGATATCGCTATTTTTTTTTTTTTTTTTTTTTTTTTTTTTTCTCAGCACTTTAGGCTGTAATATTGTGTTATATAATTATTCAGCGCAAAAGGCTGTAATTTTGTGTAAAATAATTATTCAATGTTATTATTATTATTTAGTAAATTATTATATTATTAATATTATTATTGATAGATGAAGAGAGAATAGAAGAAGATGAAGGTGTTGAGGAGGATGAGAAGAATGAGGTTGAGGTGATCGATTATAGATGAAGGGTACACAGATTGAAGCGACTGGGTCGCCCCTGACGAGCGGGAGACATTTGGTTACATACTTCCAAACCAGATCTCGACCCTTTGGTAGTACGATGATAGAGAGAGCAGCTAGTGCATTCATTGGATACACTCTGTCGTCGGTTGCTAAGATCTTTTGGCCTGGGGTCGGGTCGTACACATTCCACTTTTCGTTGGCTATGGTCAGCCTTTGGAGGTACACTTGTTTGAGAGGTAATCTTCCTCTTTTGTCTGGTTCCATTGCTGGCTTGGGTACAGCCTCTCTGCTGACGTCGTAGGGTTGGGTAAGCTTTTCCCACTCGCTGCGGCAGAGGCGGACAAAATCGTTTGGTTTGTCTTGGTTGAGTTGGTCCATCCATGATTGGGCAAATGAAACCTTTGCAACTCGGTCGTTCTTTACCTCGTGGAGGAACCTTTCGAACATCCATGCCTTTTGGGCACGGAATCTAGCGTTGAGGTCCCAGAGATTGAGACCACCTTGGTCGATCGTTTCTTGGACATGGTTCTTTTGGTTGGCTTGGTTGGGTCGTACTGACGGTCGTTGCTGAACATGAACCAATCAATAACCTTTTCCAATCTGGTGATTGCCTCGTGACTAGGTGATTCAAGGTACGTAAAATAATTTAATTGTGACAGACCATATGTTTTGAGCAAAGCTAATTTACCTCTATAGTTATTGTTGTGTTTAGGTTTCCATCTAATCAAATCGTTGATTACCTTGTCAATACGCTCTGGAAGGTGTGGTACCAAACCAAACTGGTTAAAGTAATAGCCGAGGTATCGTTCTTTACTTTCCTTGTCCATCAGTGGGTACGGTAAATTGGTTGGACTGCCAGGTGACATGATCACACATTTGTCAGTGTTGACTTTGGATGATGTAGCTTTACAGAACAGCTGAATCCATTCGTCCATTAGTTTAAATTCTTGGATGTTTTTGGCAAATGTAGACGTGTCGTCGGCAAACTGGAGTAGCTTTACCCAGTTGAGGTGGACAAGAGGCGGTGGCTTTCTCTGTTTGGTTCCGAAAGCTGGCGGTGGGAGCATAGAGAGAGAGACTGGTGGCTTTGCAGTTGTGGTGTCGATTGGCAAACCTTGTATGCGACCGTCGTTGATGATGCTTCTCGCCAATGGCTCGGCGATGAGGGCGAATAGCGTCGGTGATATTGGATCACCTTGCTTTGTGCCTCTGACGGTGTGGAATGGTTCAGACAGCGAGTCTCCTACTCGTACACGGACTGAAGAGTCTGCTAGCATGGACATAACAGCGTTGACTATCAGTGGTGGAGCACCCATCTTGGTCAAGGTTCGTTGGATGGCAAGGTGGGAGACAGAATCGAATGCCTTGGAAAAGTCGTAGAGAGTGGTGATGGCCTCTTTGTTGTCCTTGTTTGTCTCGAGTGCTTGGTTCATGACGATCAGATTGTCGTGGATCAGACGTCCTGGGACAAAGCCCGTTTGGTAGGGGCTGATGACCTTTGGAAGGACTGCCGATTGTTGATAACTTTAGATGGGGTACAGCGTATAAATACGCCAAAAACATATCCAAAAACACAAGAGTCAGTGGATGTTTAGCTCAGTTGGAAGAGCGATTGGCTACGAACCAATAGGTCGCAGGTTCAACCCCTGCATCATTCAAAATCTTTTGTTTGTTGTTCTTTTGTTTGTTGTTCTTTTGTTTGTTGTTCTTTTGTTTGTTGTTCTTTTGTTTGTTGTTCTTTTGTTTGTTGTTCTTTTGTTTGTTGTTCTTTTGTTTGTTGTTCTTTTGTTTGTTGTTCTTTTGTTTGTTGTTCTTTTGTTTGTTGTTCTTTTGTTTGTTGTTCTTTTGTTTGTTGTTCTTTTGTTTGTTGTTCTTTTGTTTGTTGTTCTTTTGTTTGTTGTTCTTTTGTTTGTTGTTCTTTTGTTTGTTGTTCTTTTGTTTGTTGTTCTTTTGTTGTTCTTTTGTTGTTCTTTTCGATTCATTTCAGCTTACCAAAACTGGCAAAGAAAGGGGCTTTTTTGATTCATAAATATATTAATTCATAGTGAAATTCTCTGACATCTTCCCTATAAAGTCTAATCGATTTATTATCATCTATCCTTTTGTCAACCCAATTGCCTGTTCTCCCATCCAACCATTCCAACTATTAAATAAACTAGGGAACCAATTGGATAGAAAGAATAAATTAACAATATTTTTTGGTCCTAGTCGTAATTCTGATGCCATCTATTACTTTTCAATATCATATCTTTATCAAGTTCACTTAAACTAAACAAAATATCCCAGCAAGCCTGCTCCAACATGTATATCCATCCTCTCAAACCAAAAAAAAATTTGGTTACAACCACATACCAGAACCACAAAGTTGGCGCACCCAGGTACAATCAAATTATATATGCGGACGCGAAGTCAAGTAACATACTAGATAAACAACAAGGACTGTGACGATCTACAAGTAAATCTGCATACATAATATAAATTATAAAATATTCCTCATTTTTTTTATCTTTCATGTCTTGTTCTGATTCAAACTTGCTGGACCTTATGTGGAAAAAAAAAAATGAATTTTCATTCATTACTAGTACTAGAAAGCTGCTACGACAAATATACTGCTAGTAGGGTCTATCATATAAGGGTTAGTATAGGGGACTCTGAATCCCTTCATCTGAGTTCGATAGCGAAAAAACCTTAAAAATGCTCTATCATATAAGGGTTAGTATAGGGGACTCTGAATCCCTTCATCTGAGTTCGAATCTCAGTAGAGCAAAGCAATAATGCAACTTTTTTATTACCTCGCAATAGTAGAAGCTTCTTGATCGAAAAAAAGTGCTTCGGGTTTATAGTTGGTGACTATGTGTAGAATAGATGTGTCTGGTCTTATCCTCCATATGAAGAATCCTATTCTCGATAGGGAATAAGATATCACCATCCATTACATTCATTATTTAACTATCGTATCTAACCTAATAAATCGAGCATTAGTACCTGGGAACTAACCGCCACGAGGTCGCCATCCGTCTCGTGATGGCTATATAAGAGCCTAAAACACTTTTATTGTTATTCTGTGCTTGTTCTGTACTTATCATATATACATATAATATCTCTTTCCCTCCATATCTGTATCTATTCACTGTTATCTTCCTCTCATTCTATTCTAATACTCTTCTCAATTAAAAAAACGAAGCAATAGTCGAAAAGATTGCTCGATGAAAAAAAAAAAAAATTCAAAAAAAATCCTTGTCCCAAAATATCTTCTTGCTGGGCTGATCAATGAAGCCATGTGACCACTATTAAATATCATCGGTCAGTCAGATGGCATAGGTTCAAATCGTTCAGTCATGGTCGAAACCAATGCCTATTTAAACCATGTTTCAACATCATTTCATCATTCAACTACAGCAACTTCAACAACTACAAATGTCTTCAGACAAGACAAGTTTCAAATTAAATCAACATCATAGCAAATCTTTAACAAGTTCAAGTGTCCCTAAAAAAGTCGTCAAGAGGTTACCATCTATACCAAAGACCCAAATAAATAATAGAATGAGTAGTTTTACTTTTAGACCAAATAGTCAAAGAAAATTTGATTGGCCAATAGATCCAATTTCTTTCTTTTACAAATCTAAAAATGTGTAAGTTAATCAAAAAGTCCTCCTTCTTTCTTTTCAATTTATTAATTCATGACATTTATTTCTTTTTTAGACCATCAGAAATAATAGAATTTAAAGAATTTCAAAATCATTATTCATTTGATTATTTAAATCAAATGGTAATTGATAAAAAAAGAAAAGAGTCATTTTCTACTACTATATAAATAAATTATTTTTCTTTTTCTTTTTCTTTATTTTTAATTTTTCAATTTAATACTAATCCAATTAAAAGTATCCAAATCCAATCTAAATATTTGATGTTTTGCTCTTTCATAGTAGAGTATGATATAATCACCACTCAGAGTAGCGTTGAGAGCATCTTGAGAAGAGGGAGGAATGTCACCTGTACAATTACGCATTGTCCATTCCAATTTTGAAAGTGACAACATATAGATTTGATTCAAATTACGTGATCCATCAAACCAACCACCAAGTACCACTAGATTATCTTTCCAAAGCAAACTAGAGTGACCAACAGTAGGTGGAGGAGTAAACTTGCTCTTTGCACATTGTAGTATTTGCCAACCATTCTTGGCAGTCGATGTATTATTGGCAGGAGAATTAAATTTAAATCGATGAAAACTATCCTCTAGCGATGATAAAATATATCCCATTGTATCATTAAATATATTAACTGAAATAATATTTGTAATACCAATAATACTTGGTGATAATTGTCCATTTCCTTGTTGTTGTTGTCCATTTCCTCCTTGTAATAATAATTGTTGTTCAATTTGTTGATATTCTGAAATACTTTTTTTCAAATCTTGTTTGAGAGCAAAAGGTAGATTGATTTCTTTGGGAGCGTTTTCACCAATAAATACATTATAGATTTTAATGGCAGTATTTCGAATGACTTCTCGGTCTTGGGTGGTGGCATCGGGCAAGTGTCTAAAATTACGAATGGCTTCATAAAATAGTAGATTCTCTTCGTTAAATTCCGATTGCATGTGTTTTTGGAAGGCATTATAGGTTGGATCTTGTTTGTTGGCCAAGACGACCGATAGCTTTTCCTCGAGAATCATAGACTTTAGATTCAATACATAGACGTTGGAATGTGGCTTTGAACTACCACCCATCCAACCACCATAGTGATAGAGACTGTCTCCATACATGACTGATCCTCCACTTGGTAGTGGAAGATTTGAATAGATATTATTGTCTGATGAAAGTGATCCATAATTATTTTCTTTACTCTCCAATTCCTTTTTAATCAATACCAATCGATTCATAATATCCAAAAAAGTTGGTCTATTTAATGGATCCCCATTCCAACAATCTTTAATTAAATCTCCATATGATGGTAAACAATCTGTTGGTATTGTTGGTCTTTGTCCATTTATTACTAAATTCTAAAAATAAAAAAATAAAAATAAAAAAGAAAAAAAAAGAGAAAATTAATATTTTTGTTTTTTTGTTTTTGTTTTTTAGAGATAGGATAGGTTACAGAAAATCTTTCTTGATCTTGAAAAGCAATTGATCTTGTTAATAATTCATAAAGAATAATACCAAATGAATAAACATCTGTTAATTCATGATAATCTGTTCTTAATAAAATTTCAGGTGCTTGCCATGATTTTGGTGACGTATCAATTGGAAATAATGATGGTAAAATTGATAGATTTGATAAATCTGATAATTTTGCAATTATTCCTTCTGATTCTATATTATCTGATTTTTCCAACTTTTAAAAAAAATAAAAATGATTAATATTCTTTTTTCTTTTTCTTTTTTTTTATCTATTTACATACAATAATATTAAAACAAGAAAGATTAGTTAAAATAAAAGGAGGAGATTGACAAGAAAGATAATTCATAGCTTGAGCAATATCTAGAGAGATTTTAAGTTTTAATCTCCAAGGAATTTCTGGAAAACGTTGACGATCCAAAATAAATTCAGACAATAATGTACTAGCCTTGTTACCAAATGTAGGGTTTTCAGTAATAATAGCCAAAGGATTTAAAGAATAACCAATGATTGATAGGATATTTGGATGTCTAAATGTATACAATGAAAGAGCTTCATGTCTAAAATAATGATTAATCTTGTTGCACCAAATATTTGAAGAATGTTGTTGTTGTTGTTGTTGTTGATGTAAAAGTGGAGGAATTAAAATAGAAGGAGTATTAAAAGTTTTAACATTGATACATGTTGAACTTCCAAGCATTCCCATTTTACTACTAGTTGAAAGTATTGTATTTCCAATTACATATTGATCATTTTGACTATTACCACCGTTACTGTTGCCGCTACCGCTACCGCTACTACTACTATTACTACCATCTTCCAATTCTTGAATAAATTCAATAGATTTAAAATCAATTTCTTTTAATAAATCAATTACCATTGAATGATCCAATAATAGAGATTTAATTGGTACTGGCATTGACATGTCTGATGTCCTTCTTTGTAGTAATTGTTGTTGTTGAAATTGATCTTTTGATTCTTTACGTTCAATTACTATTAAATCTTTACTTTCTCTTCTAAATAATGATGATTTTGAATCTTTTCGAGAAATTGTTGTTGGTAATGATGAAGACGAAGTATTATTTTGATTATTATTATTTTGATTAATATTATTATTTGAAATACTAGTTTTTAAAGTTGCCTTTATATGATGTTGACAATAGACAATGTTATCACCTTTGATTAAACTTGATTCACATTCTTCTAATCTAAATAGATAGGGGGTGGTAACTTGATTGGCAGTACAATGACTACAAACAATCATGGTATGATAACCAACCTTGTAATATTTTGAAACCAAAGATTCCATAATATCAAAGATTTGATAGGAAAGTGATGATAGTTGAACAAATCTTGTAGTGATTTGAATAGTGTTGCAATCGACTTGAACCAATATTCTTTCATTTTGTTGTTCATAGGAAAAAATGGCAATATTTTTCCAACATTTGACCAAGTTGCAAATTTGCATCAATCTTGATATCAACCGACCAAACAGACCATTTGGTATAAAATCCAATACATAATGTCTTGAAAATTGAATGACACCAGAATCCTTTTTTGGGAATGATTCCCAAATACCTTCATGTTCAAATGGTACTGGTAGTGGAGTGGTAGGATAAACCAACATATGACTTGAAATTAAAATCCATCCCAATCTTGCATTAAATGAATTTGATCTACCATTTCTAACCTTCAAATCTGATGTAAATTTCATTATTGTACTTAATCTTCTTGAATCTGAGGAAATATTATTACTGTTACTATTAATATTATTAATTTGACTTTGATCAAATTGATAGATATTAATTAATAAATCCGATGCTTCCAAAATACTAAGGAGAAAAGAAAAGAATCTTTCTGGTACAGGATAAAGAGAATTTTGATTCCAAATAAATCTTAAAACTCTATGAGATAAAATACCATGAATTAAATTTCCAATTTTTTCTTCAGATTGTAAAACCATTTGTTGATTGTTTTTAAAAGATAATAAAAGGTGAATAGATTTTGAAAGCCAAATTGGATTTAGACAAATAATTTCGGTACGAGTTGGAGAGACACCAGGTTCTAGACGAATGAATTGTTCAAAACTTGTAATTGAACCCAAACTATTAAAGAGTGATTTGAGTTGAGTGAAATGAGGTTCTGTATCTAGATCCATGGTTTTGGCCATTGCAATTAAATTCTTTCTAGTGACCAATGGTGGTTGCATAATATTGGCTTCTTCCAATAGATAGTCTTGGAAAAACATAAACGATGTTGGATAGGTTTGTTTTAGGATTGGATTTTTTGAAATGACCGATTTGATTTCACGTCTCAATCGACTAATACCATCACCATCTGGTTTGGTAGGACAAACTGGATGGATACTAATGACCAGAGTTGGAAAGAAACATTTAAGATCAAATAAAAGTCTATCGACAGACTTTTCCATTACCTTTTTAGAGTGACATTGATCAATGTGTGTTGCAGCTATAAACACTTGAGCCTTTCTATCTTTTAGATAGATTCGATTTAAAAAGGTAATGACTTGATTAAAATGACTGTTGAATTGAGTTGTATGGTCGATGGGTTGGTGATTGGTTGGGTTGATAAAATGACCAATATTAATGACAATGGTATAGAGAATGTTGGGAACAAAGAAAATGTGTGAAATATCGTGTGTCAATCCTTCAAATTCCCAAAAATGAATCGTCACCATTTTCTTTTTCTTTCCATTGTCGTGGTCGATAGCAATGGGACACTGCCAATCGTGAATATCCAATACGTTGGTGGGAGTGATTGCTTGCACCTGACTCTTGGGTTGTTTTCGTAGACATTTGACAAGACTCGTCTTACCACTCGACTTGCTGCCAACCATGACAATACGCGTCTTGTAACATGGAACATTGGCTCTCATCGTCTCTGAAAAGTAACTAAATATACCTTCCTTGCCACGAATAATATAACGTTCAGGTATATTATCCTTTAGTGGACGATTACCTGCCAACTCTAGTGAAACCAATTTCTTTAGTGCAACAATACCCGGTGGAAGTCTTGCAATATTATTATTAGACAGACGCAACTCTGTAAGAGATTGCATACGATGAATGGCAGATGATATCAATGACAATTGATTATTATCGAGATAAAGTTTTTTGAGGTTGGTCAACAATAGTATTTGTGGTGGAAGTGTTTGAATTTGATTATTATTCAAATTCAATTCCAATAGATTAAATAGTTTTTGTATACTAGATGGAAGCTCTACAATTTGATTGTCTTGCAGTGTCAATATTTGTAATTCTACCAAATTAACTATACCATCGGTTATAGTCTTTAATCTATTTCCCCTCAAATCCAATGATCTTAATTTTGAACTTGATAATACTTTTGGTATACCTTCATCTTCAATTAAATTATTTGATGCTCTTAATACTTCAATATTTGGTAATCTAAAAAATTAAAAAAAATAAGTATTTCTAATTTGTTTGTTATGTTTCTTTTTTGCTTACTGAAAAATATCGATTGGTAAAGATTTTAAACGATTATTTGAAATATTTAAAGTTTTTAATTTCTTCCAAGTTTGTAATGATGGTATTGATTGTAAAAGATTATTACTAAAACTAACATTTTCCAATGATATCATATGATTGCCTAAAAATTCCGACATTTCAGATGTAATTTCTACCAAATTATTTTCTTCCATACTTATTGTTTTTAAATTAATTAATCTTGCCAAATCTCCTGGTAATTGTTTAAATTTATTCCTATTTAAATTTAATTCCTAAAATAATTAAATAAAAAATGATTAATATATATATTCTTTTTTTCTTTTTCTTTTTCTTTTTTTTTTTTTGTTTTTTTTTACATACTTGAAGATTTTTTGATAATTGTTTAATTTCAATTGGTAAATTATCAAGATCTAATTGATACATGTCCAATTTTGTAGAGATTTTTTGTTGATTATTGGTAATGGTTAAATTTTTTGTAATATTATTTACAAAACAATAAACCAATTTACAGGTTGATATATTTTGAAAACCAAAAGTAATGATTGATTTGATATCACTTGTACAATAGATGGTAAAAGTTGGTAGCATTCTGGAATTGAGTGGTAGAGGGGAGGTATTACCACTAATACTACCACCACTAGTACTAATACCACTACCACTACTATTCAATGATGGATGCGTTTGTTGTTGACCACCACTGAGTTGAATTTTCAAGATATTATTAAATGGCAGTACCAAATCTTGATCACCATTTGGACTAGTCTTTGGACGCCAAACCATTTGTTTTTGAAATATCCACATGTTTCCAGCACTGGTAGAGGACATTTTTTGATTGGCAGTCACCTCTTCAACATAGAGGATCAACGATTCCTCTGATATTGAACGTTCTTCGGGTGTTTGGAATAGCGTGTCTGCCTGTTGAATAAACAAGAGAACAATATCCTTTATAATGTTTCGGTGTGCATCGGTAATCGTAGACAATGTCTGTGACAATGTTCCCAATGCCGGTCTTAGAATAAATAAATGGAATCTTGATACTATCATTTCCAATGTCGTTTCGTTAAAATTACTATATACCAATACATCTTTTAAATATTTTATCAATCTAAATAATATAAACTTATTTGGTGCATTCATTTTTCTTATCATTAAATGTAATAATGTTTCTAGAAAATTAAAATTAAAAATAGATTAGAAAATGATTATCTATTTTCTATTCTATTTTTTCCTTACCAGTTTGATAATAATTTAAAAGAGTTTCATAAAATTCTATACCAATAATTGGTTCTGGAGCACGATAAAAAAATTCCAATAATAATTCTGTAATCATGTGGACATCGTATGCTTTGAGATTGACTTCTTGATTTTGATTAAAAAGTAGTACGACATTATCCAATTCTTTCTTGTCAACTTCAAAACTAAATAGTTTTGGTGTTGATAGAGAAGTACTAGTCTCTAAAATATTAAATAGGTTACATAGTATTGATGGTATTTGATTACCAACTTCATTTTGATATCTTAAAATTACACGATATGGTATTCCAAATATACCTTCAAATGGTACATTAATTTGTTGATTTGATTGTTGATTTTGAATACTAAAAAAAAATAGAAATAAAAATAAATAAATAAATATCCTTCCTTTTTTTTTTTTTTTTTTTTTTTCCTTACTTTGAATGTTTATAATTTTCTTTTGATTGTTGAACCAATTTACCCATTCTTTCTTTTGAAAGAGACATTTTACCAAGAAAATTCATAACCTTTTCACCTGTTGAACCCTGCTTTTCTTGGGTTGATCCATCTTTTGATTTTTCCTTTTCCTTGTCTTTTAATTGTTGTTGAAAACTTGAAAGGATGGGTGATCGTAATGGCTTTTTAGTAGTGGATGAGCCACTGGTAAGATTTTGTGGATCCATAAATTGTTTGTTGTTGTTATGTACAGATAGTGAGCCTTTTCTTCTTGATACATCGGGTGAATTGTTTAATGAAAATGCAGCCAATGTTGGTGATTTGTTGAATGGATGATTTACGGGTGGTGAAACTGACAATCCAATAGAGTTTGGTGATGTCATGACTGAAATGGACGATGAAGATAATTTGTGTTGATGATTGTTGCCATTGCTCGTTGATGGCAAAAAAGGTGAAGTTGGAGTATTTGTATTGGGTGCAGACAATGATAAACCATCGGTTGTCAATCCTGAATGATGCATCTTTTGTAAAAGTGGTGTATCTATAGATCCAATCTGTTGATTATATGATTTCCCAGATGGTGACATTGGTTCACCATTCATCATCATCATCATTGAAGTAGTTGTCATTGTTGATGATGACGTCGATGACGTTGGTATTGAAATTGGAATGGATGAAGAATCGGCAAGTGGCATTTGATTTGCATTTGATACTTTACGACCCATAACAATCGTTTTAGATTTGGGATTAAGAATTGGTATTGATGCCATTGAATAAATAGATGGTGATGAACATGTTGATGATACATCACTATTACTACTACTTATACTAATACTATTATTATTATTACTGTGTGTCATTGATTTTGTTAATTCACTTGTTGTTGTTGTAGGTATCTGATTAGTAGTTGCAGTACTATTAATGATAGTATCAGCGGTATCTGACATTTGTATTTGTTGAATTGGTGGTGTTATTGAACTAGTCATGGTTGTAGTCGTAGTGGTCGTCGTTGTCGTAGTTGTAGAAGAGGATGTATCTATCAATATATCATTGTCATCCATGGCATTTATGACAAAGATGTTATTGTGGCCATGACCATTGGCAGTATCAGATGAATGATGTGATAGAGCAGTTGTACTGACCGCAGTAGTAGTCGCAATAAAACTATCATCACCTGATTGTATCAATTCATCTTCATCATCTAATAATGATGCCATTCTCCAAAGTTCCACAAACTATACAGTATTCTAAAAAAAGAAATAAATAATATATATATATAATAGAAAGAAAAAGAGAAAAGAAATCAATAATTGAATAGAAAGATATACAAAAAAAAAAAAAAAAAGATGGATAGTGTAGATAGATGGGTGATGGTGGTAGGTGGTGGTGTAAGTCAATATTAGATTTAATTTAAAATTAAATAATATAAAAAAGGGTGTGTGTTAGTACTTACACTATAAGCTAGCTAGTTGTCAAAAAAACGTGTTTGTTTGTTTGTTTGTTTGTTTGTTTGTTTGTTTGTTTGTTTGTTTGTTTGTTTGTTTGTTTGTTTGTTTGTTTGTGGTCTGGGTGCTTGAGTGAATGGATAAAAAAAGAGAGAGAGAGAATGGGTAGAGCTATCTTATCTATCTTATCTTATCTATATATATATATATGTTAACCCTCTAATATATAAATATTGGATTTTGTAATGACTATGTTATGTGTTGTTTTTACTACTAGTAAGTAGATAGACTACTGTGATCTGATGACAGTTAGCGCGCTTAGCTAAATTTAAAAATAAAGAGACAAAAGAGACTGGACTGATGCCGCAGTATTATACTTTAACAAGCATAGGGCAAACTGACAAGTTTTTGTTGACGCGTTAAAAAATCTGCTTTCAAAAAAAGCGATCAAGATTGCTTTCTTTCCAAAAACGTTGGGAAGGCTCAATCCCTTCAAAAAAAAAAACCAACAAAAAGGAAGAGAGATTCACACCACAACCCTAACCCTACAAATTTATTTGTGATAACAAAAGAGATCAGAACCAACAGTTGCAATGTTTTTGATGATGCGAACTTGTCATGGTTTGAACCAACCAACACATCACTCTTTTGACTTTTAGATTATTTGCTATGAACAAACTATTGATACAGATATAGATATAGATAGATATATATAGTTTATACTTACGGATGGAAAAGAATAATATAAATCAAATATCAAGAGAATTCTTGGCATCATTAATGTCATTCTCTGATAGAGATGCAAGAAGAAGAACAAGAAATCAAATCATTGATCAGTATCATAACAAACTGTCACATAATTATAACCCAGTTCCAATTAATATTGAAATTAAAGTGATTAAAACAACATTTAAAGAACCTTTATACTACCATTTATTGATTGATGTTTTACAATCAAATACAGTACCACAACAATCAGATAGTAAACAATATAGTTTTGAAACTTTTTGGGATGAAGATTTATCTTTTAAATTGTAAATATTATAAATAGTAATAATAATCAAAAGTTATTTATTTATTTATTTATCTATTTTTCTTCTTTATATTTTAGTTTAAAAGAAAATATATTAGTAAAAGAAAGAGGAATTAATATAGAAATTAAAGTTATAAATGAAAAGATACCTTCATTATTTTGTGATACACTTAGGACTTGTTCAAGTACAAATGTATTGATCAAATCAGAAGATATTAAATCAAAAGGATTGGAAGCATGTTCATTCTATTTTGAAAAGGATTTGATGAATTTTGAAGAGACCCAACAATTGGGATCAATTCAATTTCAAGTCAACCTATCACCAATCGATCATTTTGGTGTAAAATATTGGAAAAGATTACCTGTTTTTGATCCAGACGTTAAAATTCCAAATTATATAATGGTAGGTAAATCATAAAAAAGATATGATATCTCTTATTTATTTTTCAATATTAATTTTTTATTTTATTTTCTCTTAGCCAAGTCCAAGTTTTGTATTTCATGATGAATTTAATGAAATCATTGTAGCATTTGTAATTATTTATTGGTTGGCAAGAGGAGAGAAACATGCATGGGATATGATACCACCAAATGTACAAACTAGAGAAACGGATCATAAAAACTCTGATCAATTCTTTGTACAACGTCGTTTGAGTGGTTGTAATCGTCCATACAATCATTTTGAAAAAGTCCTAAACAAACCATGGACCCATGAATTACCACTGTCATTTGGAGATTATGAAATTAAACCAGATGTATGGTTACCAAGAAGAACTAATCTAAGATTCAGTCTTGATCAAGAAACCAATGTATTAAAAATAGTTGGTGCAACTTATCAAATGGAATTGGATCAACCTCTAGTAACTATATATTCTGATGAATTATCAGATGCTGATCGATCAAGATTACAAAGTTTTGATCAATCTTTGGATTCAAACCTTCTGAGTTCAATTTCAACACTTGGTTGGAAAGAATTTAAAGATCGTTATATGATGATTGAATTTAATTATAATATAACATGGGCACATGTTGGAGTACATTTTATAGTAGAGTCTTATGGTATGGCATTTTATAGAAACATTGTAAACAATCCAATTAGAGAGTTGTTGTGGCCACATCTAGATGGTGTAGTCTTTAACAATTGGTTGGTGGTACGTCCCATGCCAAAGGGTGTCGTTACAATGGCTGCTGCTCTCACCTATGAGGGTCAAGTTCAAATGTTGGAGGAAAAGTTTAGACATCTCTCGTATCGTTGGACACCTCGACCAGAAGACGAGATTTCAAAGGTTCAAGACAATACTTATGATCGTGCAGACAATGCCATCTGGAATGCACTCAAAGAGTATGTCGAAGAGTTTTTTGTCACGCATCAAGATAAAATATTGTTCCATTGGAAAGAGATTGAATTAGTCTCTGACGATTTGGTATCACATTCACTCAACAAGGATGCATCGGCCAACAATATTGGATCTATCGACGATCTATGTCATCTTGCCACCTATTTAATATACCAAGCTGTTTTTAGACATGCTTGGATTCATTGGAAGGCATGGGATGATGAAGCAACCGCCGTTGTCTTTAATCGAAATGGCTCTACTTCTCTCAAGGACATACTGTACTATGAAAACCTTGGTAATGCTATTGAAGCAGGCGTACAATATCCATCACCCTATGTTCGTCACTACCCCATTCTTGACCATGAATTCCCAGGTCCTCCAAGCCTTCAACAAAAACTTTGGCAAGTTTCAAATGAAATTAATCCTGGTATTTCAATCTCTTCTTTAGTAATGTCTCCAAATATTTAAATAGAAAGAAAGAAAGAAAGAAAGAAAGAAAATAATGTGTTTGTAGAAATAAATAATAAAATATATATATATATATATATGTTTTTTTTCATAAAGTACAAAAAAATCTTTGGATAGTGTTGATTTTATATTAATATATATTGGTTGGTTTAATGTTTGATTGACTTTTCAGCTCTCTCTCCTCCGTATAATTGTTTCCTATTAAGTCATAAAGTAAAAAGAAAAACAGTGTTAATATATAAGTTGATCATTCTACTCTTTGCTTTGTTTTGTGCTATAGATGTTTACTTTGAATCATATTCTTGTCTTAAAACTTCAGTATCTTGTTGGAATACTCTTTCACGAAGTTCCTTTAAATCTACAACAGAGTCTGATGGTGGGACGATGAGTTTAGACCCACGACGTTGTTCCAATTCAGTGACATCGTTGACATAATCTGAATCAGTCTCCCAATCATCATCATCGGCGGCTGCTGATTGTTGGTTGGCTGTTGATGCAACACCGTGAGCAACTGGTTTATTATAGATTGACATGTATGATTATTATTATTGAAATATATATATATATATATAAATATAAAGTTGGTAAAAAAGATTTAAGAGAATGTTTGCTCGCAAATGAGTAAATCTACTTTATGCAAACAGTGCGCGAAGATATTTTTTTGTGTTTTGAAAATACAACTGAAAACAAAAAGGGGGAGAGGGTATCATTCTTGTTTTTATTTTTATTTTTTTGTTTAAGAATATGTACATATATTTTGTTTGACCTGTGACTCGTGCAAAGGTGATCCCTTTACTTACCATGGGTTATATCTAATCTAGTTTAGGATATACTTTTCCGGAGTGATAATAATGTCATTGGTGCCTCCAAACAACTTCAAAACCTTCCAAACAATGCTTTGAAGGTGCACTGGTTATCGATACCTGCTACATCAAATTTCAGAGACGATGCACAGATTTGGAACAAAAAGTAAACGTGTATAGATAAAAAGATTATATCATATAATTCTTCTTTTTATCCCGTTTTCTTTTTGTTCCAATCGATTCATTCTGTTCCCCCATATCATCTCAATGATATCTTTTAGGTATGTAATATTCTAAAAGAAATTAATTAATTTGGGAGGATTTAGACTTTGACAAAAAGATACTCTTTTAATGAAATCTATTTATTTTATTCTTTCTTTAATAATACTTTTAGAGATACTTGAAGTTTAAGAATTTCATCAAATTTAAATTGTGAACTAGTTTCAATACTAACCAAATCTCTAGTATTATTAAAATAGAATCTATTCCATAAATCAAATAATTCCAATATTCGATCGACAAAATCTTCTTGTCCCATTACCTTCAACTCTGCTATATAATCATTTAATTGTCCTTTTCTTTGTGCTACAACTAAAAATAATAAAAATGTATTTAAACAACATAAATCTAAGAGAGAGAGAGAAATTGATTAATTTTTGATCAATTGTTGTTGTAGTCTCTCTCTTTCTATTTTAAAACATACTATCAACAGAAATTTTATCCAATGTCAAGCTATCAATTAAAAGTTTCATAACTTTAAATATATTTTCCTCCAAGAAACGGTTAAAGAGACAATTTTCAAAATCGTATTCAATATTGGGTTGCGTACTAAAATGGTATAGGGAAAGTGAAAGATACCTAACAAATACATTGGTTTCTATAATATTTGCCATAACATTTTCCATCAAAACTTGAAATTCTTGTGGATTGGCTCGCAGTCGATTGTTGAGGTAGATAAATGCAGGTAATTTAAATTTGATCATTTCTCCAAGGACATCAAAATTCATTTGATAAAAAGCTTTATATTGATCCAATGGACTCGATACTTCATTAACCAAACCTTTCAATAATCCTTTCTTTTCAAAATATGCATTTAAATTTAAATTTGGTGATTTTAATACAGTTTGTATACAACAAGTTAAAAATGATCTAAATTAAAAGAAAATAAAATTAGAATAATTATTGAATTTTAGATTTCTTTTTCTTTTTCTTTTTTTTACCTTTCTTTTTCAATTCCTTTTGCTCTTTCATAAGATTCCCAAAGAGTTGAAATGATTGATGTCTTTTCCTTTAAACATTGAGAATCTTGACATCTTTCAACTCCATTGATTAAATGCTCTTCATGTCTTGAAATAATTGAACAACTACTTGCAAAAGGTGCTCTTGTGGCTTCCATATCGAAAAATAATAATATGATTCTTAATAATTGTATTTTTCTAATAAAGAATGGATTTACTTCTTCTTCATATTCCTAAAAAACAAAAAGGTTAATAAAATAAATATTAATTACTTTTTTTCTTTTTCTTTTTTACTTTTTTTTTATTAAACATACAGAAACATTCCATTTAAGAGATTTAATCATATCTTCAGCCAATTTAGCGAATCCCAATTGTTTTAATTTTTTTAATACATGATATCTTCTATTTCCATTTGCCAAACTATAAATGAAAACAATAAGATCTGCCTGATAGGTTGCTCTAGAATATTCTTTTAAAAATTCAACAGCATCACCTCTATATTCTAAATTTAATTGTTCTAATATCATTCTAGCATGTGCTTGTGAAAGAGGTGGTTCACCTGTATGTGGTGGTTCATCTAAAAAAAATAATTAAATAAATAACATTAACAATTACTTTTCTTTTTCTTTTTCTTTTTCTTTTTCTTACCCCAATCATAAACATCACTTCTAGGAGATGTGATAAGGGATGGTGAGAAAAAGTTTGGTCTCATGGAATATTCCAAAAGATGGTATGCCTTGTCCAAGATTGATGGTACTGCTAAAATGATCGAATGATTGATTGTATATATCGGTAGTTGGTTTGCTTTTAGTGTAATTGAATCACTAAGTTTTGGTGCCTCGTTTGAATCTGGTTGAAATAATGTTGATGTCAACACTTTAATAAACATGAAAAAAGTTAATCTATTTAACTTTTCAACAATTTTAAATAATTCTAATAAATCAAAGATAATTATTAATAAATCATAGTAATAGTTATTAATTAATTAAATGATCCCATACTAATTTTTCTTAGGTCAAATTCTGTTAAAAATAATATATTCTAAATAATTGGTTAATCCATATAATCCTATTTTGTTTTGTTTTGTTTGTTATTATCATTACATACATGAAATAAAACAAATACAGAATCAACAGATTTAACATCATTAAATAAAGTAAATAATTTGTTCATCATTGGTATATCATTTTGAATCCAATCTGCTATATCGTCTCTCTAATGTAGTATATTGATGACTTGTTAATAAATAATGATACATTCATTTCATACAATACAATATATTTGTTCCACTTTCCAATTTACATACATTTGCAATCATTGCAAGATTATCAACAACAACTTCATAAAGAGTTGTATAATAAGGTGAACCTACACCTCTTTGTGGTAGGTTCATCAGTAGTGATCGTAAGAGTGGGTAGATATTCAACTCTACCAGTGAAACTGCTTCATTGTCTGATCGAAACTCTCTCTTAAAATCAGCCAGCTTTGTTACTATTTTGGTGATACATTGTTTCTTGATATCCTTTGAATCGGTTTGATGATATCTTGCATAGGCTACCTCCATTTGAAGAACATTTCTTGCTATCTTTTTCGTTTTACTATCTTCATTGTCAAATGTTGCAAGTAATGATTCATGTGATATTGATGGTATCTAAGAAATCAAAAGAATCAATATCTATATCTAATCTGTCTATCTATATATTACAATATTACATACATTTGACAAGTATTTAAATGATGATCTAGATCCTAGAAACTGACTATTCATTATACATTTGTTGAAACTTGATTTAGATCTACCTACAGGTCTCCCAGGTATATGTTGATAATGACTAGTTGAAATATTCATCTCTCTTATCTCTCACCCCTCTCTCTCTCTCTCTCTCTCTAAACTTATCAAGAAGAAGATTATGCTAAAGTGGACAAGACAAAGTTTTAGTGATAAGCCGACCATACTAGTAGTTTTTAATAATCCAAGAACACCACTTTTATCAAAAAACAAAAAAAGATAACAAAAACCAATACAGGCTCATTTGCACAGATCATCAATATATATATTAATACAACACACATCATACATACATATATACATATATATATATATAATATTTAGGTAGTATTCAAGGATGGGTAATGTAGTAGGAGCACCTATTACATCAGACTATCTTGAAGATGAAATAGGACCTATAGTATCACAATTCTCAATGGGTAATGGTAGATTCTTAAAGACGTTAAAGGCAATACACGATCTTGAAGGTCACGTTATTGTAAAGATCTACAAAAAGAGGCACAACAAAGAATCATTAATAGACTATAAAAGAGCATTAGAAGGTAAAGATATATAGTATATATAGATATAAAGAGAAATATATTTTGAACCAAAGTTGTTAATATATATCTATCTATTTGTTTGTTTAGAGATTAAAGGAAACTTTGAAACATTGGTAAACTTGATGCCATATCAAAACTTTTTAGAGACTGATCGATCAGGATACTTGATCAGACAATACTTTAGCAACAATTTGTACGATCGGTTGAGCACGAGACCATTCCTTTCGACGATTGAAAAGAAGTTTATCACCTTTCAAATGTTGAGTGCCCTCATACAGGCATTCTTTAAGGGTGTGTCTCACGGCGACATCAAGTGCGAAAACATCATGGTGACAACCACCAATTGGATCTATTTGGCTGATTTTGCATCCTACAAACCAACCTTTATCCCCGAAGACAACCCTGCCGATTTCTCGTACTACTTTGATACGAGTGGACGTCGTACATGCTACATTGCACCCGAACGATTCTACGAGACCAACAAGGGCGAGCCCAAAGGACAGCTCACCCCCCAGATGGACGTCTTTTCACTGGGTTGCGTCATTGGCGAGTTGTTTACCGACGGTACACCCCTATTTGACTTTTCTCAGATGTTGTCGTATCGCAAGGGTGACTACAACCCAGAACCTGTCATTCGAAAGATCAACGACATTCACATCCAATCTCTCATCATTCACATGATCCAACGTGACCCCAAGCTACGTTATCTCCCCGAGCGTTATGTTGCCGACTGGGCAGGCAAAGCATTCCCAAAATACTTTTCTTTTGTTCATAGCTTTATTCGTTCACTTTCAAACTTGGATCATGATGATCGAATTCAATGTATTATAGATAAATTTGATGAATTATTAAATATCTTTCAAAATCTACCAAAACCATCACAACCACAACCATCTCAACCTCTACAACAACAACAACAACCAAATCAATTTAATATTGGTCAACAAATTAAACAACAACAACAACAACAACAAAGTAGTGGCAGTAGTAGTGGTAGTAATAATACTATAGATAGTGGAGATTTACAAAGTAATATAACCAATATATTATGGGAATCTGAAAAGTTTATCAATGAATGTGATAAATTAAATCAACAATCTCAATTACATGGAAAAACCAACTTGTCTAGTAGTGGTAGTGGCAATCAAACGACACCAATAATATCAAGTAAAGAGAAATCATTTATTGATGATGTAAAGATTTTACCAACTACTGGAATGAATATTTTAAAACAAGCATCATTGGAAAGAAAACCAGTAGAACAATATCCAGTGGTTGAAGGATTGGATTTATTATTATCAGTCATCTATCCATCACTACGTCATTGTCAATACCCTCAAACCAAAGTTAAATGTATTGGTGATTTACTTGTAAAATTTGCTCAACATTTATCCGATGAATGTAGACTTCAAAAAATTATCCCTTACATTATTTCAATGATCTCTCAAGATCAACCAACTTTGGTTCGTGTTGAAGCTTTAAGAAGTTTATCAAAAGTTGTATGTATAAAATAGAAACAAAAAAAAAAAAGAAATATATATATATTTATTTAATTATTTTTCTAATCTTTTTATTTTTTATTTTATTTTTTAGATTGAAATGATTGAATCATTTCCACCAAGTGATTCAATGATATTTTCACAATATATATTCCCATCATTATCACAAATTACAGAGGGATCAGATGAATTGGTTAGAATAGCATTTGCAGAGATTCTACCAAACTTGGCAATGACAGCAAAAAGATTTTTAGAGATTGCACAAGATCAACATCTTTCAAGAGACCAACACCTAGACTCTGAGAGAAAGGATATACAAAAGTACAAGGTTTACGATGCTGATCTTAGCGACCTTCAAGAACTATTCTTTAACAAGGTGAGCGATCTCTTGACCAAAGATTCGTGCAATACTGTCAAACGTGTCATCTTGTCTGACATTTATCGATTGTGTCTCTTTTTTGGCCGTGCCAAAACAAACGATTTGGTTCTACCTCTTATCACTACCTTTTTAAACGACAAGGATTGGCAGTTGCGTAGTTCATTTTTCGAGAATATTGTGGCAGTTTGCACCATTGTTGGATCGGGTAGTTTGGAATCGTTTATCTATCCCATGACATTGGAGGCATTGACCGACGAGGAAGAGAATGTGACTGAGCGTGCCATTGCTGCGCTCTGTGAACTGACCGATCTCGGTCTCTTTAGAAAGGCCATTCTACTCGAGATACTCAGTCGTTCCTCTCCCCTCCTACTCCATCCAAACGATTGGATTCGCTATGGAACCATCTCACTCATCAGCAAGATTGCAACCAAGTTGTCAAAGACTGATATCTATTGCTACCTCAAGCCACGTATCCAACCCTATCTCATTACCGACTCATCGTCTGATAATATCGCCGAATCGAATCTCTTCCAACTGTTGATCCCACCCATCTCGCGTGAATCATTCAACACCATCATCAATCATGTCCATCGTAATCCTCATCAAAAGGAAATGAATTATAATAACCAAGGAAGTTATAGAAAGATTAAAGATGTCGTTGGATCCTCTGCCGCCAACGTAGCTGAACAAATAAAACAAATGTCAGTCGATCAAATCGAAGAGATTCCAGAGGATTTCCAATTCCTCAAGCAGTTGGCTATCCCAGATATGGATCAAATTAAAATCATCAAGATATTTGACTATATCCGTTCGAAAAAGATATTCTCCAAGTTGGAAGATATGAACAATGACACTTTTGTCGTCGATACCAACTACCAACCAATGAGTAGTAAACGAAACCAAACTCAAGAAAAGATTGTCAGAGTTGCAAAACTCAGAAATGATACACCAAATATCAATAGTGCGGTATCTACTAGTACCGCCAATCTCGGTAGTACTATAGGGTCAACTGGAATTGGAAGTAGTACACCCATCAATATTAATAATCAATTACCCAATACAAACCCACTATCCAATTCACTTCCAACTAGTGGCAATAATATGGTTAACAACTCGTCACCATCCAATACAAATCTATTGATTAATAGTGGTCCGTCATCATTACCAGCGTCTACAGCTATTCCTTCTCCCATGCCAAGTACTACTCCGACTGCCAGTATTCCCACAACTTCCTCCAACAATACACCATCATCCAACCAACAACAAGAAATTGTTGGCATTCAAGAATTGAGTATTGTAAACAAAAAGTTTACTCTTAATCCTAGTGCAGGTGAGAATGTATTGTCTGTAGAGACGACCAATGACTGTTACCTGCGAGCACCACCTTCTATCCCCGATCTTGGTGGATACTCTGAATATGGTGTGTCGGGTGCACCTGGTCAGCTAACCACTTGGAAACCAGCTGGTATCTTGGTCAGTCACTTTATCGAGCACAAAGATTCTGTCAATGAAATACAGGTCAGCAGTGACAACCTCTTCTTTGCAAGTTGTTCAAACGATGGGACTGTCAAGATTTGGGATTGTTTGCGTATGGAAAAGGGTGTGACAAACCGCGCTCGTCAGACATACAACAGTCAAGAAGGACGTATCACATCCATCTCTATATGCGAAAAGTCACATACCATCGCATCGGCTTCAGACAAGGGATCGATCCACATTTTCCGTGTCGGTATTGGAGGCAAGCAAAAGAATGGAAACATCAAGTATCCTGGTTTGTCAACAGTCAAGAATATTCTCGATTGCGAGGGCAACATCATCTCGGTCGACCACTTTAACACCAACTCTAGCTCGATTGTCACCTATGCCACTAGCAAGGGTGGGATTCATGGTTGGGATCTGCGATCACAGCAAGAGGCTTTCCATCTATCCAACCAGATGAGTTTGGGTCTCATTCAGTCGTTCCTTATAGACCCTAACCGCAACTGGCTTGTTACTGCCACAAGCCGTGGATTCCTTACCTGTTGGGATCTCAGATTCGAGATTCCACTCTACAGCGAGCGTGTTACCAATGGACGTATCTACAAAATGTCACCATACTATGGTCCAAGATTCTCATCAGACAGCTGGATATTTGTCGCGTCAGAGTCAAAGGACAATGTAGTCGTATGGGATCTGTCATCCAAAACAACCACCAAGATATTCCGTCGAGGATATATCGATGGTGACCAAATACAACAGTCACAACAACCATCACAACCATCACAGCAACCGTCACAACAACCACAACCAGTTGCGCAATCACAAGGCTCCGCCATTTTCAACCCAGTAGGAGGTATTATCAATCAAATGACATCGTTTATGATTAATCCTCTTACCTCTTCGTCGATTTTTGGTGCTATTGGTGGCAACAACAATAGTCAGAGCAACCTTGCAACCTCTTCGCTCTCTGAATATGACTTTGGCATTGATTCGATTAAACCTAGTCAAATGTCTTCCAACACATCATCACCTGTTCTCAATAGAAACAACTCTGGACATTTCCTTTCAAACTCTGTTATACTAAGTAGTAATACAATGACTACACCATCTTCATCATCATCTACATCTTCATCATTGACTGGTACACCAATCAATAATAGTGGTAATAATAATGTTGTAATAGGAGGTGGAACAGGAACAGCAGCAGGAACAGCAGGATCTACAACAACAACAACAATTGACCGAAAGACACCATCTATTAGAGCGATACTTAGTCCTCCACAATGTACCTATTTAATTACAGCTGGCGACGATAAACGTATTAAATATTGGGATTGGGATAATCCAACCACCAACTCTTATTACATCTCACCTGGAAGAGACCCACTACCACCCTTCACAAACAAAGTTAGTTTCAAGACCAATGGTACTCAAATTCAAGAGGAATTGTGGTCATCTACCGATCAATACTCTTCTGCCAATAACCCTGTATATTCTAGACCATCAACCATTTCATCGATCACTTCTTCCTCGTCCTCTACTGGCGCCACATCATCTTCAAAACCAAAAACACCAACTACACCAACCATTCATCATCAAGAAACTATTCTCGATCTTAAAGTTATGGAAGTACCTCAACCAATGTTGATTTCCGCTTCTGCTGATGGTATTATTAAAGTTTGGAAATAAATTAAATTAAATATTACAATAAATAAAAAAACACCAATGTAATTCATTGTAAAGGATTAAAAGTTTATAGTTTTTTGAAATTTAGTATACATTTCAATTCAAATGGACCTGATCCCGCTACTTTAAAATGTAAATAAATGGGGTCATATTGTTGATTGTAATTTGTTTTTCTTTGTGTGATTATTCCACCTGAAATTGACTTTGTTTCCAATACCAATACTTTGTGTTTGCCCGTGTCCAATCTTTGAATTGAAAAATGTAATATTGTATCGGAAATGATAAGACATAAATGTCTCACGTTGGTGTGATTGATCACTTGATCCAATCTAAAGGCCCCCTGTTGTAGAGTAATCTCTAGTTGGCAAGTTAGATGTGTAGTATTGTATGGTAGCCATTGTATTTGGGAGATATTGGACAACCTAGAATTAATTGAAAAGATTGGAGGATATTTTTGTGACCTGTCATTGTTGGTATTGTTCAATAGTATTGATAGATATTTAATGGTTGGTGGTAAGTTGTCAATGGTATAATTTGATTTGATTTGAATGAGATTGAGTGTTTCGAGATTAGGTGGATAGTCAGCAGCAGCAACAGCAGCAGTAGAGGTGGATGGGAGAACAAATTGGATGTCGTTGTTGTTTGGTTGATCAGTTGTATAGATGAGTTTTTTCAAATATTGAAGATTGATCAGGCCTCCTTGGTTGTTGTTGTTGTTGTCGATTGGCATCTTTAACTTGATGAGTGACTCTGGGAGCTGTACAGGTTCATACTCTCCTGAGATGGTTAGATGAGTGACTGATGGTGGGAATACTAATCCTTCAAGTATAGGTTCTCTTGTGAATTTTTCTATTCTAATCTTTTCAACACTAGTTGGTATGATATTGGCAGGCATGATTTCTTCATATATCGAGTATTTTGATGAATGGTGATGACAAGAGATTGGTTTTTCCACCAATCAATCTACTTTGCATTAAATGTAATCTTTCCAACAATGGCATTGTACAACGAGGTGCGATGTGCGCACTCTGACATTAGATAAAGAATCTTTAGTGAAGGAGGGACACTAACCTCTATACAATACTGTCTGTCATCTGTTGGGTAGTGGCCATCACCAAGAGTTAGTGTCTTGAGTGCGCATAGACCCTGGAGATCGAGGTATAATTGTTGATCCAGCATCTCTCCATCTAATGCAAGCTTTTGCAAAAAGATATGGGGGTTGACAAGTGACGTTAATGAAATAAAGTATTTCGTGGAGGTATCTCTCTTGGTCTAAGGGTGAGAGATTTCAAACTACTTGGTAAGAGTCCCGGTCCTATACCAGTCAAAATAATTGTTAAAGGTCAACTCTGTCAGCGATACGAATTGCAAGAGACCCAACTCGGCGAGGGTGTACTTGGAGTCTATGACCTCTAGTGTTAGAGACACTAGTGATGTGTGGTGACCAAAGATTCAACTCTAATGCACCAACTGATAGACTTGATAGACGAGGCAAGAGGGCAATAGAACCAAGATCCAGTGGAACGATATCCCTTTGAATTGAACCGATCTTCGTAATCCTTTGTTTTGATACAAATGTTTACAAGTTAACAATAAACTAATTATGTCTCCGTTATCATCAATCTTTGATATAATATGTAATAATAATAAATTTGATAATTTAATCATTCAATAGAAAGAAACAAAGACACACAATGATTATATTGTTTTTTTTTTTTTTTGAAGTTGAGCAATTTTATTTATATAAGCTTCCATCAACTAGGCAAACAATTAATTTTTAAAAAACTAAAAGGATAACCCTAGAAGTTGGTGTTTTAAACAAACAATAGAAACTATCGATAGTAAAACAGATAGTTTAGTAGATTCTGTGAGATGGACCCATGGTGGACTTGATGTAGAGGGTCTTGACGTTTTGCCATTGCTTCTTGAGGAGGGAGACCAAGAAATTGATGGCTTGGATGACGTTGGTGGCGATTTCTCTTTCGGTGAGGTTGACGTGACCGACGGCGACGGCCAAACAGAGGACCTTCTTCAATTGGAACTTGATGGTGGACTTGACTTCGTTGATCTTGGTGGCCATGTCTTCGTTGTGAGTAAGGAGGGTTGGGAACTTACCGACCTTGTTGAGACCTGGACCCAACAACTTTGGGACTTGACGGAGGATGGTTTCAGAGGCAAGGAAAGCATCGTAGCTCTTGGCGAGTTGCTTGATACCCTTCTTGTTCTTTGGACCGATCTTCTTGAGAGCTTCGATATCCATGAATTCAGCACCGATCTTGGTGGCTTCATCACAATGTTGTTGATCGGCAAAGATGCAGATTCTGAGCTTTGGCTTGGTGACGGTGGCAAGCTTGATTTGTCCAGAGAAACGCTTGTCCTTCTTGGTGTCGTAGTTCTTGAGATTGATTTGGAGTTCAATGGTCTCAGTGAAGTTACGCTTGGCTTCGACGGATTCCTTAAGGATGTTACCTACGGTTTGTCTGACTTGTTCGCTTGAAATTTTGCTACAAAAATAGATAGAAAAAAAATTCAAATAATATTAATATCAATCAAATCAACTAATGTAAAAAGAATAGATAGTAGTTTAACGAAAAAAAAAAAAAAAAAAAAGTGATCATATGACGCAATGAAAGGAAAGATATCTACCCCTAACTTGCTATCCTGTCCTATCCTATTGTTGTCATAGTTGATCGTATACTTTCATCGTTTGTTAAACTACTGATTGATGATAGATAGAGAAAAAGAGATAGATAAAAAAAACTTACCTCATTTTTAGTGGATCGTTAAACTAACTTGAAAAAATGTTTGGTGCGTCTTTTTGTTGGCAGCGAGCAAGTCGAGTTTGAGAAAAAAAAATGAAAAAAATTGACCATCATTTATTTTTAATTTTTTCGTATTTATTTTGTGCTCGAGTTTCTAAACCGGTGACTATGAAAAGGACCTTGACAAGAGTTTCTATTCATCACTTTTACTAAACCAAAAGTAAGTTAACTTCAAACAAACTATACAATAATAATAATCGATTGGTTTGTGCATATGCAACCTTTGCAGGAATATAGATAGATAATGATAATGGTTATAAGGGTTTTGGTTGGTGGCTTTAGTGATGACCTTTTATTACCCAGCTCATATTGATAAAGCAATGAAAATAACACATCCATAATGTGCACGTCTGATAATCTACCAACCATACCATACCATAATATTCATCTATCTACTATATTACCTCTGCCAACTACACAACAACTCTCTTCAACCCAAAACATTTATACTAATCTAATCTTTACTTTCTTTCTTTTTTTAATAGTTTACTCAAATTTAAATTTTAAACTACCTTGATAACCTCCATTGCCTCCCACACCTGATATTTATACTACTGCTGCTTACTCTGATGAACGAATTACCAACCATGATACAAAATAAACAATCATTATTATTGTCCTATAAATCTATTATTTCTTTTCGTTTTCTTTAGTTTCGTCTTTTTGGTCAATTTTTTTTTGTGCTTTTGAGTTCCCGCCCTTTTTCAAAAACATCTGTAAACCCAAGCTTCATGTGAAACCCATTTTAATAAATTTGTATCCATAGATATAATTAGTAGTAGTACAGGCATCAAATGAGTTCACAACCAATTGTAGATGAAGCAGGAGATAAACAAATGATGGATGATAACAATAATAGTAATAATAACAACGATAATAACAATAACAATAATAATGAACAAGTAGATGATGATTTTCAATTTGACTTTGATGATACAACAAATACAAATAAACTTTATGCAGATAAAGTAAAATATAGAGCTTATTTAGGTAATGAGAGAGATAGATAGATAGATAGATATAAAAGAGGAGAATAACATATGTTAACATTTCATCTTTTATCATTTTGTTAGATACAATATTTCCATGGGATATATTGTATGAATGGTTAACAGCAAGTCATTCAAGTAGAGGAGAAGATGAAGTTGTATACTTTAGCAAGAGAGAGTTTTCAGTTTCGTCAAAGGGTATCAATTACAAGACGGGCAAGGAACAAGAGTTTTGGAACCGTCACAAATCATTTACAAACATCGAAGAGTTGAAACCATTTGCAATGGGTCGAATCGATGAGGTTCGTCAAAAAGCAGATGTACCCGAGAAACTGGATATTGGTGCTGTGTATAATCACGAGCCATCACGTATGGGTGCATTTATGGATTACCGTCCAGTGTGTCGTGAGTTGGTGTTTGATATAGACAGTAACGACTATGACGAGGTGCGTACCTGTTGCAAGGGTAACACTCTGTGTCCTAAATGCTGGCGTCTACTAGCAGCAGCTATCCGTATGTTGCAAGTTGGTTTACGTGACTCTTTTGGTTTCGAACACTTTATGCCTATCTTTTCGGGTGGTCGTGGTGTCCATCTTTGGGTGTGTGACCCCAACGCTATGATGATGACCGAGGACATGCGTCGAGCTGTACTCGGCTACTTTAGGTTGTCGGATCAGTCACCTGTGTCACCCGACGACATGCACCCCATCGCCAAAGACCTCTTTGACAATATCTTTTTGCCGCTCTTCCAAGACCACCTGCTCGAAGACCAACAGATCCTGTCCGACGACAAGCAGATCGAAGCAATCCGCTCCATCATGCCAGCCACTTTCAAAATCAAGACAGGCGACGCTAAAAAAAAGGTAGAGTTTTCTCCACGCGACATTATCAACCAGATCTTGGACAAGTCATCACTCACGGTCCAAGAGAAATGGAAATCAATCTACGATACCTTTGATAAAAATAGTGCATTTGAATTGATCTACAAGATTGTCATCCATTTCTCTGCTCCAAGATTAGATGAAGCTGTCACTGTTGGTGTTAATCATCTTTTAAAATCCCCTTTTTGTATTCATCCAAGAACTCGTATTGTATCAAAAAAAAAATAGAAAAACAAAACAAAAATAGAAAAAAGAATAACAAATTATTTTGTTAACCAACCTTTACTTTTTCTTTCTTTTTCTTTTATTTATTTTAGAGAGATTATGTGTACCAATTTCATTAAAGGAAATCGAAACATTTAATCCAGATACCGTTCCAACACTCGAACAATTGACAGAAAATCCAACCATCATCAACAAGTTTAGATCAATCTTTAAGAATTTTGTAAATAATTTACGTAATCAACAAAAAATGGATACTGATGCTTTTTAATTAAATACATCAACAAAGTACTAAAAGATTAATAAATCTCTTGGCTGAAAAAAAAAAAAAATAATAATCGAAAATAGGAGTCGTTCGTTTTTTTTGGTTTCATCGTTCTTGCATGCACACACTTTGTACCCGCCAACCTCACAAAAACTTTGTATTGTTTAAAGTACTTTCTTTCTTTCTTCTTTTCTCTATTTAGATTTGTTGAAGTGTTTGTTTAATCATTATTATTATTAGTAGAGTATTCAAAGTATTATTATTGGAGGGTAATATACTTTAGCTTAATACATTCACACACGCACGCACATTTCATACATAATAATCATATACACTTTTCATATATAAATAGATAGATATATAATTTAGTTTAAGAGATAGATAGATAGAGATAGATTTGTGTAATAAGAAAAGATGGATCAAGATCAACATTTACAAAAATTACAAGAAAAGAGAAAGAATAGAGAGACGAATGGCAGAAAGGGAGCCAAGTTTGGACCAAAGAAACGGTCTGAACTCGATCGTCAATTAGAGGTTATCAAATACAATGCACGTGTCATTGGTAATCTGAACAAACGTGAGACGGTATTGTTTGGCGATGCCAACACTGCAGGTACCGTAGACTATGACTCTATCTTGGATCTCGGAAAGGAAGGTCTCAGAGAGTTGACTAAACTCGACTCTCGTTTCAAATCGTTTGAAAAGAACCTCTTTGCCAACAGTTCACGTGACGAGAATCGTATGATGATGACAAAGGATCAAACCAAGGTACTCGACGAGAGTATCGACAGTTTCTTGCGTCTCCTCTCTGCCTACTACCTCTTGATGCCAGCTCAACAATGTCTCGAATGGCTCATTCGTCGTTACCGTATCAACGAGTTTAACCTCGACCAACTTTTAATGTGTACTCTTCCATACCATCAATCAAATGCTTTTGCTCAATTATTAAGTATTTTACGTTATGAGTAAGTTATATAAATATAAATACAAAACAAAAACAAAAAGAAAACAAAAAGAAAGGAAAAGATTATTAACTTTTAATTTATTTCTATTTAATTACTTTTACTTTCTTTAGGAGTGATAAGAAATGGAGATTTTTAATTGTATTTAGACATAACAAGGTTACTATTACAAGAGATTATTTGGTTGGATTGTTACACAAGAATGCATTCTTTTTGGATTTGGTGTGTTCGACCATTCTCAAATACGAAAAAACCAACACTCTCAACAAGACAATGATTTCATTCTTTACAGCTTTAATGGTCGATGCCGTTTCAGTTGGTACTTTGACCGATCAATTTATTCGTACTGTTTTACCATGTCTAAACTTTTCTCTTAAAAGTAAAAATTTAGATTTACAAGTATGTAGTAAAAACAATCAAACAATCAAAAACAAACAAACAAATAATAATAATAATATGTTTATTAATATTTATTTATTTTCTTTATATTTCTTTTTAGCTTGGATCATTTATGATTCTTAGTAATATTGCATCAAAAGTTCAATTTTCCAAAGATGTTTTGGAGTTATTAATTCGTAATACTTTACTTAACCATAGTACATCTATTACTGCATCATTTACATTTTTATTGGTATTATTCCAAAGACAAAACTTTAAATCATTATCAAATTCAAACCTTGAATTATTAGTTTCAATTCCGTAAGTTTAAACAAAAAAAAGTATTTATTTATTTATTTAATAATTAATTTTAATTTCCTTTTCTTTTTTGTAGAGCATTAAAAGAAATAATGTTAGATTTACATTCACAAAACAAATCATTGGATAGAATGATTACATTGATGGTAGTTTATTTATGTGATTCATTTGATATTAATGAAAATAGTAGATCATTGTTGGAATTGTTTGTCAAGGATTTACCAACAAGCGAAAAGATTCATCAAATTATTGTATCTAGACTTTTGAATAGATATATTAATAATTTCCAAAAAATAGATTTACAAGACAACCAAAATGAAAATGAAACAACTGAAGAGAAAAAACAATCGTCAACTGATTCTTCTTCTGCTTCTGTTGATTCGATGGAAATTGATGTAGAAGAAAAGGAATCTAAAATGTCAGAGATTATTCATTTTATTGAACCAAGATTGGTACAAGAGATTATCAACTCTACCCTTTCAACAAACATGTCAAACCAACAACAAGACAAACAAAACCTTGTTTTATCGTTCCAAGAAAAGGTGTTTGCCCAAAGAGTCGTATCTTCTAGCTCGGCCACCACACTCTATCTCAAGTTGCAATCGCCAGTCATTGAAAACCGTCTCTCTGGTCTTGCCATTCTCAAGGAGCAGATTGAAAAGGGTGCTTCCGATGTCACCTCTTTTGCCAATGTTCTTGGGGACCGTCTCTCTGACGAAGACGACAATGTCACCTTGGCAGCCTGGGGTCTTCCCAACCTCGTCCAATTGTTTGGAGGTAATGGAAGTACCTTGGTCAACGCTGCCGGCGAGTGCTTTGCCATGGGATCTCTGTCCACCTCGACCAAGGTATTTGTCCTCGACACTTTGATCAAGATCCAAAGCACCCATCCATTTGGCCAAGACACTTCCAACCGTCTCTGTCAAATTCTTTTGGAAAACTTGGTGTTTGGTAACAAAAAGGATCAAGATGAAATCAAGTTGCGTACCACCATTCTCAAGTCATTCAATGATATTAAAGAATGTTCACCTTATTTCCGTATCTCTTCCACTCCTACCTCACCCATCACCAGTAACCTATTACTCGTCAAATCTCTATCTGCCAACATTACCAAGCAATCAAGTAATCAAGATAACATCCAATTATTCAAATCCATTTTCATTCAATCATCTGAAAATTATCTTTCAAATGATAAATTAATTATTCTCTTATCAATTTCAAATTCAATTTTTAATTTAAAGAGCAAAGGTAAGAAAAGAAGAAGAAGAAGAGAGAAACAAACAAATCATTAATATATTTTATTTATTTATTTAATTATAGAGGAAAAGATTGAATTTACAAATATTATAATTGAATTTTTAAAGATTTATTTAAAGGAATGTTTGGAAGATTGTAATACTGATGGTATTATTGAAAATGATATTACATTGGAACAAATTTGTAATGAAATGACATTGTATGAAGAGGAACAACAAGACAATGATTACTATGTCCACGCATTGTTTTATTGTATCGATGTTGTGATTAACAGTTTTACACCAATCGAATCGTCGGAATTGTTTATCAAGGAGCTTCAAAACTTGAATGCTGGCATGTCATTTACCAGTGCCACCACCAAATCAAATAATGTTACCAATCATCTCATCCATATCCTCATTTCATTATTTAATTTATTGTTCGAATCAATGACAACTCTAACTCAACACTCTGATAATTTAGAATCTTTCCTTCAACAAATTATCAAACGTTATTTACCAAATCATATTGTTTTATTAAAATTCTTATCAATCTTTTGGTCTGATAAATGTAAGAAACAAAAATATAAAAAAAATAGAAATATTTATAATTTATTAATATTCCTTTTCCTTTTTAGTATTTAATTCAACAATTCAAGAAACAGCATTATCATTATGTAATTGTTTCCTTGAATCAAAATCATTTAAGAAATATTCAATGAATCAATCGATTTTATGTTTATTCCTTTTACCATTGGTATCAAGTCATAGAAATGTTAGAGAAGCTGCTGGACAATGCATAAAGTCTATTGAAAAGAGTGTTAATAACGCTGCCAACAATACTCCCCAACAAACATCGGTCGTTACATTGTTTGAGGAGGAGAAATCACTTTTATTAATGTCTGGTAAACTTTATGGAAATTTACTTGGTACATTGGTAGATTATATGAATGAATTGGTTATGGATAATACTTTCATGTGTACATTGGTACCAAGTATTATCATGTCTACTGACAATAGTGAATTGACCAAGGAACAAAGTGACTCTGTTTGCTCGTATCTCATCACTGTTCCATTGCTCTATGAAAACAATGCCAATCGTTCGGCTCTTTGGAGTGCATTGTCTACCATCAATGATCCAATCTTCTTGTCGACCCTCTCAACCTACACTCACAGTCTCCTCAAACTCTACGAACAAGAAAACCTCACCTCTGAACAATCGTCCATTTTGAATGTACTCTTGCTTCAATTGGTTCAAGACTATTCATTGGAATCTAAAAAGAATAATCATCTTGCTCTTCTTTACAAGGTTTTGTCTTATTCCAATGGTATTACTCTGGTTGGTGCAACCGACAATCAAAAGTACCGTATTCTCGATATTGTATTACCAAGATTGACATCGACACTACTCAACGCCCTCCCAACCAAGGAGCAAACCAAGATTGTCGAGGCTGTATTGGACCTTTTACACTCGAGTACCGATATTGAGTGCAGACAATTGGCAGCCGAATCATTGCATTCTATCATGATTGATAGTACTTGCATCCTCACCATTCTCTCCAACATTCAAGTTTCTCAAACTTCTATCCCACGTATCACAGCCATCATGGAAACCATCAAAGAGAATGCATCATCGATTAAAAAGATTGCAGTCTTGTTGAAACCAACTCTTTCCATTCTCAAACAATTGAATCAAGTCAAGTCAATTGGCGCCGCATCGACCGAATATTGTAAACAAGTTTTAATTACAACTATCTTGTCCATCTCTGAATCATTCTTTAAGAGTGATATTGAATTGTTCTCGGAGCTGTTTGACATTTCAATTATTCTAAAGTGTGTAGAGTCGTCTGGTGACTTGCAAACACGTAATTGTGCGTTGGCCCTTTTGAGCCGTGTCGCTCATCACGCACCCAAACACTTGTTTGAAGAGTTTGGCAATATTTTAGAGATGATCAAGTCGGCCTTGGTCAAGCAAGACGCACCCACCTTTAGAATCCTCTGCGGGTTCCTTGGCGGTGTCGTCCCATCGATTGTCAACAACAAAGACTTGTCATCGTCGAGCAAGATCAACATCAACTCTATTTTCGGTCTCTTTTTGGAACACTTTAAACAAATTTCCAACGACTATTGCGTACCACTGTTCTTGACCATGATCCAAAGTATCGATTATCAAAAGTTGGATCTCCTATTTGTTCAAATGTTGGTCAAGCGTATCAACCTCTTGCGCACCATCAACGAGGTTGAATCCAAGCCCAAGACAGCTGCCGACCTTGAAAAGGAAAAGCAAATGGAAAAGGAGCAGTTGGGAGACTACATCCAACAGGCCAACCCAACCTCTTCACAACAACAACAACTCGAATCATTCAACAAGTTTATCGAACAACTTTGTGATTGCATCCCAGCCGCCAAGATTTCCCGTGCCCTTTCCGTCTTGGCCAAGATCTCTAGTCTCATCTCTCTTGAAAAGGCCGAGTTTATCGAAGACAATAACGATCTTGGTTTCAATGACAAGGAGGTCATCTCTTTACTCCACTCTAAAAAGGATAACCGTTTGTTGCAAACTATGATTTTAGAGTTTATCGAAGAACGTTTGTCAAGCAACAGTTACCTCGAAAACTTGACCTTTAAATCAAACAAACAAGAAAAGGAACAAATTGAACAATGCTACCTTAAATCATTTGCCAATTTACTCATTCTTTTACGTCAAACTACAGAGTTTTCAGAACGTATCAAATCGACAACCGACCAATCATCCAAAGGAAAGGAGAAATTCCTTAAAAAGATTCTTGCATCAATTCACAAATGTATGGACAAGTTGAATCAATTAATGTCGGTTGATGGATTTGTTGATACCGTCTCAGAGTTGCTTAATCATGCTGACCCACAAGTACGTCGTCGTTCACTTGTCATTTTCAACGACAAGATTACTGCTCTCAAGAGTCAATTGAGTGCCGAGCAAATTGTCCGTTTCCTCTCACTCTTGGATAGTTTCTCAAAGGTCATCGAGTCGAGTCAAGAAACCGATACCAACAAGCAAACTGCACTTCTCAGCTTTGAGATTTTAGCACGAAACTTTGCCCAAACTCACAGTGCCACCTTTTTACAACAAATGCCCATTATTATCCGTGCCATTGGACATGCCAACCATCAAGTCGTTTCCAGTTCACTCATTTGTGTTGCCACCTTGTGTGCTGAACTTCAAGCCAAGATTGTCCCATACATTCCACAATTCTTCCCAGTCTTGCTATCTACATTGACTGGCAGTTATGCATCAAGTGTTGATAGTGAAACAAGAGCCCTCCTCCAACTCTCTTGTGTCTCTTCGATTGAAATGATGCTCAAAAAGATTAGCAAGTTTTTGTCACCATATCTCCCCAAGTTGCTCAATGCACTCTTGCATCCACGTCTTACACTTGGTGCCTCGTCCAAGCTCATGTCACAAGTACGTCGTGTCCTTTCACTCATTACCCGTAATATCGAGTTCCGTCTTTTGTTGCCAGCCATGACATCAGCCTATGAGTTTGCCGTCGTCTCTGAGAATGATTCCTCTATCATTTGTCTCTTTGACTTTGTCGGTGAAATCTCGGCCAATCTCTCGCCCAAGGACGTCGGTCTCCACCACCGCTCCATCTTCAAGTTTTACCTCCAAGGTTTTGAGTTTAGACGTCGTTACCAAGCCAAGGTCTCCAACATTGACCTCATCGAAGAACACATCATCAGCAGCTTTATGACTTTGGTTCTCAAACTCAACGAAAACCTTTTCAAACCAATCTTTTTAAAGACTATTGAATGGGGTATTGGTCAATTACAACAACAACAAAATCAACAACAAACAACAAAAAAGACCACGAATCAACAATCAACAAAACAAAAAGAATCATCGGACAGTGCTGCTGTCGATTTGGATAATGTTATATTCTTTTATAAATTGATGAATTCTTTGGTAACCAATTTGAAAACAATCTTTGTACCATACATGGCATACTTTTTGGATAATTCAGTCTATCATTTGACAGAGTTGATTGTCACTACACCTACCTCTACTGCTGTAGACGCTCAATCTGGTAGCAAACGTAAGAAGGGATCTGGATTGGTTGCCAACAAATCATCGGCTCAAGAAAGTACTCAAGAAAAGCTTCTATGCCTCGTCACATCTACCCTCCAAAAATGCATGTTTTATGATCGTGACCGTTTCATTGACAAGCAACGTTTTGAAGTATTGATGCCTGCCCTCGTCGGTCAACTCGAAAATCAAATGGGATCCAATGGTGGCAATGCCCCATTGACCGCCGATCAACTCGACACTTTTGCCAAACGTATCGAAAACTATCTCGCTCCATGTATCACTCAATTGGCTGTCACTATCAACCAAGATCTCCTCTGGAAACCATTAAACCATGCCGTTCTCCTCAAGACTCGTTCCCCTTTTGCCAACGTTCGTTATGGTGCCCTCCAAGTACTCGACACTCTCCACAAACGTATGGGTGACAGATTATTGGTCTTTTTACCAGAAACCATACCCTTTATCTCTGAACTTTTGGATGACTCGGTACCACAAGTAGAAAAAATGACTCAACGTTTTATTAAAACAATTGAAACTCATCTTGGTAGTGAAGAATCAATTAGTTCTTATTTATAAAAATACAAAATCAAAAATAATATATAATATATAAAATCAATAAACTATAAAAATATAAAAAAAAATAGATTTAATTTTTATACAAAGAACTAATATACATTCCATGGTTGAAAGATGTATCTAGTTCATAGATACTATTTTCTTTGTGTTGGAGGACAAGAGACTTGTAGGTTTCACGTGGTGTTGGTAATTGATCTATTGGTAAAAGTTGGCTTTTATCAATACCACGATCTTTCAAGAGTGAATCATAATCTATTGATCGAAATAATGATGATTTTGGATGAGATAGAGTTGGTTTGGTAATTAAATAGTCTCCAGTAAGAAAATCAAACTTTAGATTTAATTTCATACTGGCATCTAAACCAAATAGAGCTGGTTGGTGTGGTGCTACTTTGTAAATCATTGGAATTTCAATATCATCAAAGAATAGATTTCCTTGACATAAATAATCATACTTTATATCTCCATTGGTCATGGTTGATTTACCTAAAAGTAAAGGATGTGATTTAAATCCTACACAAGATGCATGATGAGTTGAAATTTGACTAAAAGAAAATTTTAATTAATAAAGTGGTTGAAAGAATGAATATAAACATAAGTGTACGATGTACCAGGATCAAATCTAAAGGAATGTGGGAATGATCCATTGATTTTTCCTTGTAATAGATAGTGGGTTTCGTGGAATGAGAGTTTACCAGTTATGGTACAAATCGATCTACCAGAATGATTGATTGAATGATGATTGAATAATCTTGATAACATATTTTATTTGTATCAACAAAACAAAGAAAGAAAGAAAGAGTAAGGGTATTTGTATTTTATGAAATAATAAATACTTTTCTCAAAGAGAATTTTAATGTTAAAATTAATCTAATATTAGTTTTATATTTATATTTAATTTTATTAAAATAATTAATAAAAAAAAAAGGATTTGGTGATGTTCATTAATTAATTTGTTTTGTTGAAGCAGATATTGATATGAAAACTTTTGGTTTAAGAATTGGACAAATGTGGAATAGTGGAGATTATAATGGTGCCTTCAAGTATACAATTAAATGTCTAGATGATAGTGTCTCTATTCAATTTGATACTATCCAAAGTAAATATTATTTCAAAATATTCCTTCAAACAGTTGACATAGTAGAATCAAAGGCAAAAAAGGTAGAACTCCTCTTGGGTGTATCTAAATGCCTTCGTCTTTTTACAGTATCGATAGAACTAGCATTGCAAGGACTGAAGAAAGCTTATGACATCATCAAGAAAGATCTTCAACCAGACCTAGAACAAGGCTACCCACTCGACAGCCCGCTAGTGGAAGTACTTATCGAACTTATAGAGACCATATCCCTCAAAATCCAGAACCAAAAAGGCACCATGAATGACGCTGATATATCCCTTCTTCACAGCCAAATGTCGCAGTACCATAAAGAGATGGCAGATGTCTTGTGTTGGTCAACACATCCAAAACTACATTTCTATCATTTACGAAAGTCGACTCTAAAGAATGGGAAACATCGATCAATCTGGCACTTGGCCTATTCCAAGAGATTGATAGAAATGAATCACCTCTGGACCAATATGAAATAGATGTATTGATTATTCGCTCTCCTTACTACTCTCGAATGACTATACCCGATGAAAGAATGGAGAGACTATATGGTTATCTCAAGGAATTGGTTCCCAAACATTCCGCCTTTCCGAGTTGGCATTTTCACAGTCAAGAGGCTCTATACTATTTACATTCGAAACAATATGAAAAGGCAATGAAATGTGCCCAAGCAATAATTGACAATTCCCAAGACCGTGAGCAACTAGTAGAATCCTAAATTTTCTTATCTGATATTATCATTTGATGAAAGAAGATCTATGACTCTGTGTACCACCCTTACAAATCGATTTAATCTCAACCCAGACAACAACAAACAACTCCTTCTCTCTATTGATGAAATGAAAAACTATCATCAACAAAAAACTATACATTCATCATCTACATTGCAGACCGTTGTTTGGTTATTGATAATGAAACAATCATTGTCAAACAATTACAAATCAAATTTAATATCATTTCTGATTTCTCACGTACCTTTTTTGGACAAAACAAAGTATCAAATAATAATAATAATAATAATAATAATAATAATAATAATAATAATAATAATAATAATAATAATAATAATAATAATAATAACAATATCCAACCAAGAAGAATATGACGAAGAATATGAAGAATATGAGGAAAATGAAGAGGACGAGGAAAATGAAGAAGACCAAGAAAAGGAAGAAGATAAAGAAGAGGAAGAAGACAACGAAGAAAATGAAATTCAAGAATATTATGATATAGATCTACATCGGATCAATCAACAAAAAATGAAGAAGAATTGGTTGAAAAATTAAAACAATGGTACCGTGAATTAATCGAGCCAATAGATGAGTATTTACCATCTACCACAAGTGACAAAACGTTGGTATTTGTGCCCAATGAAAACTTGGCTAACGTCCCATTCTCTGCTTTGATCAATAACAAGGACGAGTATCTTGTAGAAAGATATGCAGTATCAACCACCCCCTCGTTATCATTATTAAATACCCTATCTAAATTACAACATTCAAATAACAATAGAGATAATAATAATAATAATAATAATAATAATAATAATAATAATAATAATAATAATTGTAATAATGTATTGAATGTATTATTAGTTGGTAATCCAATTGGAAGTGGATTAAAATGTACAGAGAAAGAGGTAGAAAATTGTAAACAACTATTCGAAAATTCTCAATACACATGTCACACGTTGTTACGCTCGAATGCAAATCGACCAAAGGTTTTAAATATTTTAAAAAATACAAGGTTACAACACATCCACTTTGCATGTCATGGTGGATTCAATGGAAAGAATAATTTTTCATTGTTTAAGGGATCATTGGAATTGTCTAAACGAAAGCAAAACCCTGGAAACACTCGAACCCCTAAACTATTCTCAGAAGACATCATTCAACTTGCCAATGGAATCCAATCTGATACAGTATTTCTAAGTTGTTGTCACTCTGGCAAAGGAAATAACAAACAACAAGGTCTCATTGGATTGGTTTGGTCGTTTCATTGTGCAGGTGCTCTGTCGGTTGTAGCCAGTCATTGGGAGCTACCAGACAACGATCTAACAGTGGATAGGGTAGAACGTTTCTACCACTGCTTGATCAACAAGAAATTAAACAAAGCACAATCACTCAGAGAAGCACAATTACTTGCAATCAAAAAGGATCAAGACCCTCGATTTTGGGCACCTTTGTTTTTATCTGGTTTATATTAATAAAGCAAATAATATCAATACCAAACAAGTACATTATAATGAAACTGTCGGTAATTAGGGTTTTGCAATTGTGAACCATTTTTTTCACAATACTCAATGAATTTTTCCCACACGATTTTTCAGTCAACGAATGTGCATCTTTTAAAGAGGAAAACTTTTAAATAGGCCAAAACCCTCATAAGGGACACAGTACAATCCATAGTTTGTGTCGTCGGTAATACTTAGTACCTTTCACCCTGACACTCAAGGGGCAAACTTTTTTTTTTTTTTTTTTTTTTTTTTAAGTTCTGTACTCCCAGCCCAACGGCCTATAAATAGGTCCAAAGGGGTCATGGCAACACAACAACTCATTCCTTTGTGGTGTAGTCGGTAACACTTTAGTCTTTCACACTGACACCCCGGGTTCGATTCCCGGCAAGGGAGTACTTTTTGGTCTTTCCTTTGGATTTTTTTTTTTGCCTCGAAACCATTGCCATCGTGTTCTCAACTCCTTTTAGCAAAATTCCATTAATTTTGATCAAAACCACATATAAAAAACCTAGTTTTTACTTTGGGAACCAAAAAAAAAAAAACAAAAAGGCCCAGCGAAATAATAAAGATTGAAATATTACAAATACCATGTCTATAAATGTTTTTTTTATATCATCTTGATTTTTTTTTTATAATTTTTTTATTTATTTATTTATTTTTTTTAAAGTCTCAAAGTAACATTAAAACCACAAGTATGAGTTTGATCGGTAGGTTGTTTCTTGAGAACGGTTGACAAATAAATATCAACCAAACCAGGACCCATTTCACAACGAACACCAGCACCAACACTATGACGATACAAAGATGGAGAAAAGAGATTCTTGAAATTATCCTTGACATTGTTGTAACTGAGAATTGAGTTACCAACAGAGTAAAAAGCAAATAAATGTACTCCTTTTTCATTTAAATATTTTGATACACTAAAACTTGTTGTATGATATAAATCACCACCAAAATATGTTTCTAAAATAGAAAAAAGAAATGTTAATTTTTTTGTTGTATTTTTAAATGTCTATTATCTATCTATCTATCTATATTTTACTTTTGTTTTTACTAGTTGCTAAACCTTTAAAATTAAAACCCTTTAAATGATAAGATTGTCCATTATAGAATCTATCGACAAAAGGTGTAAGACCATTTGTAAAGTTGTAAATACCACCAAGTCCAATGGTAGTTTCAAATTTCCAATCTTGAGACAATTCAACAGCAGAATGAAGAAGTGATTCACATTTAAGAAAAGGTGATTTTCCAGTTGCAATTTCTGTAGATAGTCTTCCCCAAACCGATCGATCAATACTTTGTCTATTGAAATAGTATTTATGGGTAAGACTAAACTTTTGACTAATACCTGTATGATTTCTTAATTCCTCATCTCTATCTTGTCCAACTGCCGACGTTCTTCTTTCACCTGCATAAATGGTAAAGAAATGATTTCCTATTTTTTTTGGTTGCAATACTAAACTTGATTCAACTGTTCTAATTTGATGATTACTTAAAAAAGTAAAATACAAAAAAAAATAAGTAATTTGGTATAAAAATATCTTTTGTTTTTGATTTGTTTCATACTATTCAGAAGGAGATTCTTGTCTTTTTGATAATTCTATTCTATTTTGAAATCTATCTTTATAAAAAACACCACCAAGTAAAGATTTATAAACACCGATTGAAGTTTCACAACCAATTTCACCACCTTGACCAAATGGATTACTAAGAGTAAGAGTACCCTTTTGAGTGAGATCAGATGCAAATGTAGAACCAAGAGCAATACCCAAACGAGGTGAAGATACAGTTACACGATCACCTGCATTGTTGATAGAAAAGCTTGCTTCTGGGACAATTTGATCCTCTGTCATCAAGTTGATTGCTTCTGATACATAGTTTCTAAGACTTCTTGGTTTTCCAGCATACTTTTCTATATCTTTAAAGTATGTTTCCTTTAGAAATTGAGGATTCGATCTAATATTATCAAATTCTAATTGAATCTAAAAAAATAGATATGAAAATTAGAATCTAAGTAGAAGATTTGTAAACACATAAAGGTTTTAAATGTTACATTTGAATTATCTGTCATTTATGTACAAAAAGAGGTAGGTATGATTAATGACAATAATAAAAGATGATGATCAAATTTATTATTCATTTGATCTTTTTTTTTTTTACTTTCATATTCGTTTTTTTTTTTTTTTAAATTTAATTTTAGTATTCGTCTGATAATCTGATCATAGAGAGTATTAAAAACTTTTTATATTAGTATAAAGAACTTCTTTTGTATCATTTTTTTTAAAAATGTTAACAGCATTAAAAAGAACTAGTATATTATCAAATAGATATATCGGTTTTAGTAGTAGTAGTAGTTTGATACGTAACTTTTCTACTACTACAACTACTTTTACTACTTCTACTACAAATGTAATTGATACATTAAAATCAAGAGGATTTATTTATCAAATGACAGCAAATGATGAAGAGATGAAAAAGTTGACAAGTAAACCTGTATCATTGTATGCTGGTTTTGATCCAACTGCAAATAGTTTACATATTGGTAATCTTATTCAATTGATGGTACTATTACAATTCAAAAGACATGGTCATAATCCTATTGCATTGTTGGGTGGTGCAACTGCTCTTATTGGTGATCCAAGTGGAAAATCAACCGATAGACCACAATTGGATCAAACTTTTATTACTGATAATTCTAAAATTATTAGGTAAAAAAGAAATAGAAATAGAAGTAGATAAATATAAAAGAGTATTTTTTATTGACATTTAAATCTTTTATTAGAGAAAATATAGAAACTATATTAGGAAAAGATAATTTAATAGTTGATAATTATGATTGGAATAAAGATATATCGATTATATCATTTTTTAGAGACATTGGAAAATATTTTAGAATTGGTTCAATGTTGAGAAAAGATTTTATTCAAAATAGAATTGGTCAAGTTATGGAAATACCAAAGGGCAATGGAGAGACGACTGAAAAATGTGTAGTTTTAAATAATACTTCAGATTCTACTGGAATTTCATTACCAGAATTTTGTTATTCACTCTTTCAATCAAACGACTATGTACATTTACACTCGACACACAATTGTGTCATTCAAATTGGTGGTTCCGATCAATGGGGCAATATAACAGATGGATGCGATTTGATAAAGAAAAAGTTAAACAAGACGGCACATGGTATCACCATCCCATTGCTCACCAACTCTCAAGGCAAGAAATTGGGCAAATCTGAAGGTAATTCAATCTGGCTTTCAGCTTCACGTACTAGTCCATTCAACTTTTTCCAATATTGGATTCAAATTGCAGATGATGATGTTGAAAAGTTACTCAATCTCTTTACTTTTATACCTTTGCAAGAGATTAAAGAAGTGATGGAAAAACATCGTGCCGAACCACATCTTCGTCATGCTCAACGTGTATTGGCAGAGCATGTAACACGTATTGTTCACGGTGATCAAGGTGTTGAAGAGGCCATCAATACTACCAAATTACTCTTTTCAGAAGACTCTCTTTCCATTCTCGATAGTTATAGAAACGATCCAGTACGTGCAGACAGTCTATTTAGTAAATTGAATTTCAAAGAAATTGAAATCTCTCAATACCCAATTCAAGGTGAAAAGTCTGCCACCGTCGCATCCATTTTCCAATCAGCATCTTCTGCCTCTAGAAATCAAGTCAAACAATTAATAGAATCAAAATCTATACAAATCAATGGCACCACTGTTACACCAGGTCAAAAGATCCAACAATCTGACCTAATTGGTAATCATTATATAATATTACGTCAAGGTAAAAAAGCTTATTATATTTTAAAGTTTATCTAAAACTGACTGAAAAAAGATAGATAAAAAGTTTACCTATTGGTTTAATAAATGATTTACGATGGATACAATTTTATCTACTTGTTCCATTGCACCTTTACCAGTGTCACCACAAATCAAAGTTTTTGTTATTGGTTCAATGATGGTTACATTTTTTGATAGTTGACCAATCGTTTCCAAATGTCTAGATGTAAATATATTCTCCCACATTAATGTATTCATTGCAGGTGCTATAATTAAATACTTTTTACTTGATTCTTTAAAATCCCATGCTCTAATTACTGATGTCTAAAAAAAATAAAGAACATTAATAAATAAACAAAAAAGATATATTTGGTTTATATATGTTATTTTACCAATAAATTATCAGCCATTCCATTTGCAATTTTAGCCAATGTATTTGCAGATAGAGGTGCGATTAATATAGCATCTGCCCATTTACGTAGTTCAATATGTAAAACGGGATCATCTCTTTTAGACCAACTATCCCATTCATCTTGATCTTGGAATATTTCAATACTATCATTCTTTACACATTCCAATTCTTCTAAATCTTTACAAAAATGATATGAATTCTTTGTTACAATTATATTAATCTAAAATAAAAAGAAAAGAAAGAAAGAGATTAGAAAAAGAAAAAGAAAAAAAAGATAATAATAATAATTTGTTTACATTATAATCATTTTTTAAAGATTCTATTAATTGAGTTGCTTTAATTGATGCAACACTACCTGTAAATCCTATTATTAAATTCTTCCTTTTATTATTATTGTCATCTTTTTCGTTGTTATGATTTGTTAATTTAAATCTATTTGAATACATATTTGTTCAAATACAATATTTGCAATTGAAGCAAATTTATTAAATTAAAAAAAGATCAAAACAAAAGAAAAAACGACAAACAAAGCAAAGTTTTAAATTAAAAAATACTACTTTTACTTTTATATTTATTAATTTATATCTATCTATCTATCATGTCAGAAGAATCAAGTTTAGAACAATTAAGAGAAGAGATTATTCAAAAGAGTAAAGAAAAGCAACAAGATCAATTTAAAGAGAAACCATCATCATACAATGCAGTTGCACATGACTATACAGAAGAGAATGAAAGAGCAACTGCAAGAGTAAAGAAAGCAAACTATGTCAATGTAAATGATAACCCAAGTATAACAAATAAAACACCTCAACAATTGAAATTAATAGAATTAAGAAAGAAATTGGTAAGTAAACAAATAAACATGATTTAAACAACAACAATATGATTATTTTAACATTTCTTTTGTTCTTTTGTATTTTTTAAGAATAATACAAAAAAAGATATATATCAAACAGTAATTGATGAACATGATAGAATACATAATAAAGGTAAAGATGAATTGGAAGAAAAGAAAAGATTGTTTTTGGAAAAGAAGGAAATGATGGAAAGAGAGATTAAAGCAGATGGAGGAGACCCTGAAAGAGAAAAATTAAAGATGGTATTGGCATCGGATATCAATATGAATGCAATAGAAAAAAAGAACAAACAAAAAAAGGAAAACAAAAATGATGGTGCCAAAAACATCGATGCTCATATCCATACTTCCTACAAAAAGAGAGTAAAGAGTATGCAAACATTCAAAGAATCTGATCATTTTAAACATGCCGCCAAAGATGATAAAATTATTGGTGATTTGGATCATGGAAAAGATTCATTTGTACCAAAAGAAAATATTAATGCAATGAAACAAGAATTACTTAAAACGTAAGAAAGAAAAAACAAATTAAAAATCAAAATAATAATAATAATAATAATAATATTAACTTTCTTTTGTTCTATATAGTCAATTTGAAAAGAGTCAAAAATTCAAAAAGCGTGGAGTTAATCCAGATGATGATATTGATTATATCAATACAAAGAATAGAGATCATAATAGAAAATTAAAATCTGCCTATGATAAATATACTTTGGAAACAAGACAAAATTTGGAAAGAGGTACTGCATTGTAATAAAATTAAATTTATAAATATTATTCTTTATTTATTTTTAATCCTCTTGATTAAATTGTAAATCATTATTATTATTATTATTATTTTCATTGGATGGTAATTTTTCTTCCAAAATAACAACATCTTCAAAGTTTTCCGCCGTATTATTCTTATCAATTGAATTTGACAAGGTTGGAGATGATGATTGAGATTTAATAGGACTTTGTAAACTTGGTGATGGTGATGAAGATTGTTCTACTCCTCCACCATTATTATTATTGACAAATGGTTTAATTAAAAATTCACCACTAACCTTTAAATTATCAACCATTTTTGTTAATCCACTAAATACTCCTCCTCCATTATTATTATTATTATTATCAATATTTTCTTGACTATTTAAAGAAGGAGATTTAGAAGGTGAAGAAGTAGGGAAAATGGGTGGGATAAAAGATAATAATGGTGATTTGTTTGATGGTGATGGAGTATCTGGTGGTGATCGGTGGTTTAATGCTTTTGATGGACGATTAGGGACTGGAGGTGGTTGGAAGTTAATGGTAGCAGCCATTTCAACCATTTTGGAGATTTCAGATTTTGAAAACACTTGAATGTCTCCTTGGAGTACACAACTTTGCTCGTCGTGCATGGTTAGAGTGATCTTGAAATGGAATGGAGAGTGTCCACATGCTTCACGAAGAGGAATACTACCCTTTCCAATCAAAGAGTCATTGACCAACACATCCTTGTCAAAGAGAGCCACTTGGATAAATTGTGTTTTGAGATAGTCTTTGTCATCGATAAAGGATTTCAACTCGATTACATCGTTCCATCCAATCGCAGGGACACCTCCACGCACCGTTGATGTGCGGATACTGTTGATGCTACCTTCAAGTTGGATAGAGTTGACGCTATTTGGATCTTTGGCCTGTGCAACCGCCGCTGCGGCGCTGTCGCCACGTGTGGCAGTGCTAGATGGGGCAGCTGCATTGGCAATCGTAGAGTCGTCGATTAAAAGATGGTAAGAGTTGAATTCGAGGTGTGCATCAATCTTGGAGTTGGTTGACAATAGTTCAAACTGATCGACCATCAGATTCTTGACTACCACAAAGCTTGGAACGTCCAGTGTCGACAACCAAGAGTAGGGAGTGAGTACTGGAATAGAGGTGATCGAAGATACTGGTGGGAAAAGACAGCCGGTACTTGTGGTTGGCGATACCTTGTTCTCGGGTGCCAATACCAACGAGTCGACCAATGGCAACGAACGCCAATACATCACACCACGACCAGCCATCTCATCCTCTGACGAAAGTGGAACAAATTCATTCCATCCACTGAGCTTGAGTGTTGAATAGTCAAAATCACCGGCCCAAAACACATATCTATTCGATCCATTAATATGTTGTTTGTTTTTGAGGAATAAAACAGCTGGATCATCGTGCATTGTGGAACAGTCCATCGTCCCAGTTATATGATTATTACAATAGTTTAGGAAACAAACCGATGTTTCCTTTACATAGAATGAAATACATGTACCATATTGAATGTCTTTGTATTTATCCTTAAACATATAATCTGTAGTCTTACTTCCACTATCCAATAATTTAATTAATTTACTACCAAAAAATGATTTAGAAGAAGAAGATGAAGAAGAAGAAGAACTACTACTAGATACATTGACTACCTCATCTCGATCTTCTCTTGGTGGTCTTGGTGGTGGTGTTGGATTGGGAGAGAATGAAGTGGTTATACCAGATGAAGAGTTGGTTGGAGTTGTTCCAGTTGGACTGGTAGATGCCTGAGTGGTACGACGGAATGCAGATCTCTTGTTCAAATGAGTGACACTGATATTTGAGATTGTGTTGGACAGAGACTTTTTAATCAATACAATAGAGGCTGTATTGGTAGAGACTGCAGTAGCCACACATATATACTCTAGTCCCAAGTATTGTCTGATCAAATAAAACCAATATTGTTTATAGTTCATTACAAAACCTGGTGATGGACGATCACCTGCAATTCGTTGAGCAGAGATGGAATACATCTCTCTACCCTTTGGAATCCACTCTGCCAAAATAGTACTATTAATGGTTATATTTTCCATATTCCAAGATCCAATAAAACAATCCAATGAACCAAATAATCTTCTCTTTCTTGGTGGTAATAATGGCGCCATAGTTGATGATAATGATTCATTTGAAACAGCAGGTGGCAATGTTGGTGAAATTGCTGACAATGGATCATCTGCTCCTTCTTGATCAACTTCAACTGTAGTAGTATTATTAATGTCAGTCTCTTTTGTTTCAGTCTTTGTAGAGGTGGTCGGTGAGACAATCATACTTGGGGGAAGAGTTGGAGGATAACATTTTGGTAAATTTTGACGATACAATATTTGAAGGAATTGTTCACGTAGTAGGGATGAAGAGAATTGGATACACTCTGGTGCTGGACTATCTTGCGTGTAGATATTTAAATGACGATGATGTAGTCGAGACTTTTCCAACAATGTGATGGCGTCGAATCGGAATTCTTTTCGTCTGCCACCAAACTTGCTCACAATGATGAATGAACTGTTGTTGGTGACATGTAGGTAGCAATTAATGCCAACCTTGGTTAGGTCGCCGTCTGGAATGACGATAATGTCATAGTCGAGTAATTGGGCAATACCACCTTCGCTCGACGTGTCATCCGACGGCTGCAAGAGATCGTCGTTGAGAGCTAGGGGATCCCACTTTTCAACCAAGTACTTGCCAAGCATCAAATCAATAGACGCCTGCTTATCATCATCCTTGTAGTTTTTGTTGAGATAACGACGCACTGAATTGACACCGTCTGTCATTGTACCCTTGACCGACCGTTTTCCAAAACGTGTGTAATCAGTCTTGAGTGCGACAGTGCCCGTGTATTGCTCGCTCATCACGTCTGCATTGTCTGCCCAAACATGCTTGAATTGTGATTCAAATGCTGCGTGTGATTCAATCTTTTCAGAGGCGCTAATAATTCCCATACGCGTCAATTGCGAGTGAAGAATGTAGTGTGCAAACAGCGACTGCACCACATTGGTACGGTCCAGACAATCGATGCAATTAGTTCGCACCGATCCCGTCTGCACAAGTGTCGGTGCGCTGTTGGTGCTCTTGAACAGATAGCCATAGTTGTCGAGCCATGCCTTGACCTTTGACAATAGTTCCGACAAGTTTTCATACTTGTTGTTTTTACACTTTTCGTGAAAGTCAAAGGCAACATATTTTACACGTTGATCACTATAAAACAAATGAGAGTAGGTTTCAAATCGATCTCCAATAGCCAACTCTCCTCCATTTTGATCTATCAATGATACTATCACTTGTGGTCCATAAAGTAATAATAATTCATTTAAATGATTTTGAAATGCTTCATCCTAAAAATTAAAAAAAAAACAAAATTAATAAAATATATTCTTTTCTTTTTGATTTGTTTTGTTTTCTTACAGAATAAACATTATTATCAACAATTGGTTTTGGTTTAATTTCTTTTCCTTTTTTGTTGCCAAATCAATGGAATGGAGCCACGAGTTTGTACAAACGATGTAAGTACTTCATCAAACACAACGATTTGTTCAGTCTCTACGAAATTAGCAACATTTCCAAAAGGGTCAGCACCTCTCATATGATAACGTGCTCCAGTACGTTTACAACTTCTTCTTGAAATAAATATATATTTAAATTTGTTTGAATTGATATCACATTCTATTATTCTTATAACTAAAAAAAAGAAATAGGTATTACATGTTTAATATATATTATTATTATTATTATTAAGTATTTTAATATTTGATTTTGTTAAACTTACAACCATCCATCATTGGTAAGATGTATTGATCGAAACCATTTTCAATAAAAACTTGCATCATATGATGATTCCAAAAGAATCTTCGATCGGCACGTTTCCACAATGGCAATAATGCACGATCTGGATTAGAGTCCATATCGGAAGCTCTTTGTTCTGAATGAGTGACATCGAAATCATATGAATAATAGAAATCAAATGATTCCAACAACTCGGTCAACATTGATAAATAATTCTTTTCTTCTTTTTTCTAGAGGTAATAGTTAAAAGTTAATATATTTATATATATTATAAACACAATATATTAATCATGTGATCTCTCTCATACCTCTTCATCATTTAATGAAATTGGTACTCTTGCAATGGGAGTGATAATTGTTTTTGTAACCTTGTGAATGATTTGATTTGGTCTGATGGAACCAATCTTTGCCTTTTCCAATATACATATGAGATGAGGTCCAGACAATAAATTAATAATACCTAAACATCCATATACTCTTGTACTTGATCTAACCGTCCCTGTAAAATGTGATTTCTCTAATGCTAAAAAACAACAAGAATTAATCATCATTCTCTCTCTTATGATCAATAAATATATATATATAGATGTATTCTCTTTTTGTTTTACAACATACGTCTAGATTCAATCTTTAGAGTAGTTCTATCGATAAATATTGAATGAGGATCTTTTACATCATAATCTGGTTGCAATATTACAAAAGAATCGAGTATAATCAAATGAAAACTTGTATAAAGTACATTACTAATTTTAGTTGTATTATTGTTATTATTAACTTCTGCTGCTGATGCAGTTGTTGTTGTTGTTGTTGTAGTAGGTGCTGCAGATTGAGGTTGTGTAGTATTACTAGTTGACATTGTGTTGTTGCTGTTTAAACAGGATCCACCAATCAATGGGCAAGCAAGTCGACTTGTCAGGTGAATAAGATGATTTAAATTGTTGTTGTATACTAGTATCTGTTTAGTTGTTACTTTGTGACAATACTATATCTTTGTTATTACAAATATTAATAATAAATAAATAAAACGATGTGTTGCAAATTATCAAATGTTGTGTAATGAATGAAAGAGATTCATTCATCTTCACAACAGCCAATTTATTTGAATTTCGAACACCTCTTTATTTTTAGTTTGATCACCTCTGACCTGGCTAGTACTGTAACGAAGGATTTTTCTGAAGATAACCGAGAGAGAGATCCACTCCTCTTTTTTTCGATACCACAACCAAATGAATGATACACTATCCTACAATTACACAGATTCTTACAAATATTATTACTACTATTCTTGATACACGTTTATTGATCAATCTTTATAATTCTTTCTCATCAAGATGAATGGTGGTGTATAGGAGGTGGTTGAGAAAGATGTTGATCCCCAGGCTGAAAGGTTGGAGGAGGGTAATATTCCTGGTAACTTCCTTGTGGAGGTGTTGCTGACACTTGGTAGGGATGCTGTTGTTGGTAAGGTGGATGATAAACAATAACTGGTGTTTGTTGTGATGGTGATGGATATCCTACTCCAACCATCACTGGAACTGCTCTTTGAAGTTGATAAGGAACATTCATCATCGTAGGATTATTATTGGAATGTTGTTGATAATTTGTTTGATTCGTAGTATTGTGATTTTGATTATTTTGATTAGGATCAACTAATTGAGTTGATGAAATAGACGCTGAAGAAGTTGTATAAATAACTTGAATTGGAATTTGTGGGTATTCAATTTCCAACTATAGATTTAAACAAAAAAATAATAATTAGTTAATCAAATATATTATCTTTTCTATTTCTTATTTCTTATTTCTAAATATTTACATATAATTTTGATTTTTTGTTTGAAGTTTTTGATTTATGTTTAATTCTAACATTGAATGTAATTGATCTTGGACCCAAAGTATTATTGATTTCTTTGATGATGAGATAGAGTTTACGAAGATAGGTTTGGTGAAAAGAGTGTTGGATGAGTGCCATCACTATGATGGATGCAATGGCCAAACCAAAACCAATACCAACCAAGAACCAATAGAATTTAGATATACCAACAAATACGAGTACAATGCCTACCACCATCAGAACCAAAAACAATATAATGATCTTTGGTATCTCTGTAAATGTATAGGTATTGATTTTAGATAGGATTTGACAGTATTCCTCTTGAGACAATACACCTGTCAATTGTCCAGGATAATCTCTCCTAAATCCATAAAATACTCTATGATGTGATCTATAATCTGTTTTTACTTTACATTTATTCATTTTTGAATAAAAAAAGACTAGTAGAGAGATAGTTTAAATAAATAAATAATAATTAAAAAAAAAAAGAGATAGATAGAAATGATTCAACAATATATACCCCAAACAGTATATATACTCTGTCTATTCCATATATATATGAATTTAAATATATTTTATATTTTTTAAAGGAAGTAGCTAGCAGGTAGGCGGTTCCGCCCTACCACTACCATGCACACATTCCAACTCACCCACCCACGCTATACCTCGTTTAGTCTCGTTTATTGTTACAGGTTTGTGGGTGGATGATTAAGATAGGTTAGACCAGACCATTATGTCAATCAAAAATTTGATTGTCTTGTCTATATATTATTAATATCACCCCCTTCCCATCCCACTCACCAATATTGATCAATTTATACCCCCATTGCTAAATGGTTGATGTTAACCATGTGTGGGTGGTTGTCCAATAAAATTAAACCAAACCTGTATTCTGATTTATATATATATATATATATATCGATTTGATTGTGTTGGTGTAACAACAACAACAACAACAAATAATATTTAATAAATTCTAATTCTCTCTTTCTTTTTTTTGTATTTGTTTAGAATATATATATTTTTTAATTATCATAATGATGAATAATAATTATTGTTGTTTGTTGTGTTAATAATAATATGGAAGGAACTGATGGTTTATCGTTCTAGTTGTTTGGAGGATGGAAAAGAAAGCAGGGTCTCAAGATGAGAGAAGCTTTTAAAAAAACAAAAAAAGCTGTCCACTCGTTCACCTAAGATGGAGGCGATCCTCACATCATCGTCATCATTCATCAAATAACAATGAATGAACCGTGTGGTGGGGAAGATAATAACAATAAGGCTTCAAACCTTCATATGAATGCCCCGCAGCAAACATGTTAAGCTTTTGGAAGAGGGGCTTATTTTTCCATTTACAAACACATTTGTTTGTTATTTTTTTGTAAAACAAAACCCCCCATAATATTTATAATAGCTCTCCCTTGGACTATTTCATTATCATTCATATTTATCTTATTATCTTTAGCTTGTACAAATATCTTCTATTGTAAGTTTAAAATTCAATTCTTGTTGGATGGTTTTTTCATTTAGATTTATTAATTATCTTTATCTTATTACCCACCCCCAGACCAGACTAGTTAGTTGTTGTCCAGTAGCCAGTTCCTTTGAAGAACTACGAATGAATGACCGACCATTTTAGATTAATGATGAACCCAAACACCACTACTTGTCTATAGGGTGAACCGATATACTCTAGATCATTCCCATTGTCACCCAAATCATCATTATTTATTTATTTATGTCTCTCATCAGTGTGTCGACACAGTATATATACATATATATATATGTTTACACCTCGGCAGTGTGGATAACGATCATGATTTAAGTGATGATGGTAATGATCTTGTTTTAACTTTGGTTCCAATCTTTGGATCAATTTGATAAATGTATCAAATTATCCATTCTCTATAGGTTCAACACTAAATAAATTACTACTACTACAAGTATGCATACGTGTCAGTGGATTACCTTGATCTTAATTGTAACGGTTTTTTTTTTTAAAGGCATTCACCGAATCTTGAAAAAGATCCAGGATACTTTTTGGTGTTTATTAATGATGTTAACCATTGATATACACCCGATTATCCTTTTCCAATCTTTTAATTCCCAAGTCGATTAATGACTCCAATATGGTAAATAATTATTTTCTTTTCTGATATGAAGATAAATAGGGGTATATTCATTACTATTATTGTTTGATGGATCTCTTGATTGACTGATGATACCACCAATCAAAGATTTGTTGTCAACTATTAATACTCTTGAATTATCTTTATCTAATCTTTTAATTGTTGCTTTTAACCATCTCTTTCCATATCGACTAATTGATAGTTTTTCAATATTTGTTTGATTGATTACTTGATCCAATCTAAAACTAAACTTTGAATTTCCAAAAATAGCTCTTGTTTCTATAGATTTTTAGTTTACGTAGATTCAATGGTAACAATAGATTGTTATTGTGTTGTTGTTGTTGTTGTTGTTGTTGTTGTTGTTGTTGTTGTTGTTGTTGTATGTTGAATTAATTTCACATGATAGACTTGTGAGTGAAGGTGGAAGAGGGAATGTGATGATACCAGGGTATTCAATATGTTGAATGGTTGATGGAAACACACAAGAGTGATAGATTGGATTAACAGAGATATATATATATCTGCAATACAATGTCTCCAATTTCGATGGGAGTGTTTGAGTGTCGGTCTCTCTATTCCAAACCAACTCTTTAATAGAGTCTGGTAGATACTCAGATGTTGTCGGTCCGTTATACAATGGTAGACTAAGAATCTCTACTGACGATGGTATTGACAATGGTAATATTTCAATTGTTCTTGGATCGTGTGACGATTTGATTGTTAGTTTCTTTACACTATTTGGAATAAATCCAACTGGCATTGCGTCTTGATATTTGACGAGGGCTAGTTCGATGAGAGAACTTGGTAATTTGACTGTTCCATAATCTATCTTTGAGCAATTCATATCCAGGCTCGTCAAAGTGGTTGGAAAGACGTAATATCTATAGATGTTGTTGTTGATGGTAGTGGTACTATGATATCACCTAGCATGTGTATTGATAAATGTATTGATATGTTATCAGGTGGTGGTGTCAAGCAGTTGTTGTTGTCATTATTATTGTTGTTGTTTACAAGATGACTATTGAAATACTCTTTATTTTGATCATCAAACACTATTTGATTTGATAGTGCATTGTTGAATAGATGCTTAAATGAGTGTAGATTAAAACTCTTGATTGACTTGATCAACCATTCATTTATTTGATGGTATTCTAAAAGATATTTAATAAGTCTGAATTGTAGAGTACTTCTATACTGTTGTCTAATGTTATAATGATAATATTATGACAAGATAATGATAGAACAACTTCCAAACATTATTATATTAAAGATCATTAAAGAGGTTCATAATAATGTAGATTTAATATGTCTATTGCTGACTTGTAAAAGGTTATACTATAACATATCATTATCTTATCTCTCCTCTTTTTCTTGAAAAAGAATTTTAACAAGGTTTTCATCCAAGAGAGAGCCTTGTTTAATATTTATTATTTATTTTTCCAAAACATTAAAACTATTTCTTTTAATTCCCAAGTGTATGACTCCAAGATGGTATATTATTATTATTATTATTATTTTCTTTTCTGATATGAAGATAAATAGGAGCATATTCATTATTGTTTGATTGTCTTGATTGACTGATGATACCACCAAATAAAGATTTGTTGTCAACTATTAATACTCTTGAATTATCTTTATCTAATCTTTTAATAGTTGCTTTAAACAATATACCTCTATAAAAAGTGAATGTTAGTTTTTCAATATTTGTTTGATTGATTACTTGATCCAATCTAAAACTAAACTTTCCAGAAATATCTCTTGTTTCCATTTTTAGTTTACGTAGATTTAATGGTAGTAGTAGGTTGTCTTGTTGTTGTTGTTGTTGTTTATAGTTGAATTTTGAAATTGAATAGTATGAATTATCGACTAGGTAGGTTGAATTAATTTCACATGATAGACTTGTGAGTGAAGGTGGAAGAGGGAATGTGATGATACCAGGGTATTCAATATGTTGAATGGTTGATGGAAACACACAAGAGTGATAGATTGGATTAACAGAGATATATATATATCTGCAATACAATGTCTCCAATTTCGATGGGAGTGTTTGAGTGTCGGTCTCTCTATTCCAAACCAACTCTTTAATAGAGTCTGGTAGATACTCTGATGTTGTCGGTCCGTCGTATCCGTATAGGGTAAGAGTCTCTACTGATGATGGTATTGACAATGGTATTATTTCAAGGTCTCTTTCGTGCGATGGGATTAATAATGTCTTTACACTACTTGGAATAAATCCAACTGGTATTGGATCTTCATCTTGATATTTTACGAGGGTTAGTTCGATGAGAGAATTTGGTAATTCGATTGTCTCATAATCTATCTGTGCGCAATTCATATCTAGACTTGTCAAAGTGGTTGGGAAGAATTGTGTTGAAAGGTTGGTCAGCTTGGAGACATAGAGAGTTTTGAGAGACGATGATAGAGGTAGTTTGATTAAAGAGGCGTCAAATAATCTACTGGGAAACAATTTTAAAGAATTGAGCACATAGAGGTTGGTGAGATCCAATGTGGTCACCTTGGGGGTTTGATCATAATCATCATCATCATCTTCTTCTAGACGCATGGTGATACTTTCAAGAGACACTAGTGATTGAAAAAAGTTGGAAGGGACTGTACATTCAAATACAATGTCAAGTGATGTCAATGAAATTGGTAAAAAGCAAGAGGAGGATGAAGAGGATGGAGGTGGGGGCAGGTGAGGGAACTCTGTGATGACTACAGGTGCTAATTCTAATGATTTGAGTGACTTTAGTTTCTCGAGACCAAAAGAGCTGAGTGTTATCGGTACACGATCACCCTCATATCCATTGAGAGATGATATCGAAAGTGTCTCTAGTCCCAATGGAAACACATCATCTCCTTCAATACAACTCGGCCATGTGTAATACAGTTCAAATGATTTGAGTGTATCTGGTAACTTGCATAGTCTCTGTGGTGATGTATAATCAGAAATGGATAGATGTCCAAGGTTCTCAATACCTTGCAATAGAGTTGAAGGTAGTGGTGTGTCGATTTTAGAGGTTATATCTATAGATGTTGTTGTTGATGGTAGTGGTACTATGATATCACTGAGCATGTGTATTGATAAATGTATTGATATGTTATCAGGTGGCGGTGTCAAGTTGTTGTCATTATTGTTGTTATTTATAAGATGACTATTGAGTGACTGTTTATATGGATCATCAACATCATCATCAAACACTACTATTTGATTTGATAGTGCATTATTGAATAGATGCTTAAATGAGTGTAGATTAAAACTCTTGGTTGACTTGACCAACCATTGATGGTAAAATACACGATATTTAATATGTCTGAATTGTAGAGTACTACTATACAGTTGTCTAATGTTATAGTACAACCTTTTACAAGTCAACAATAGACATATTAAATCTACATTATTATTAACCTCTTTAATGATCTTTAATATAGTAATGTTTGGAAGTTGTTCTATCATTATCTTGTCATAATATTATTAATACAACTGAAGTCACCCTTTTTTGTACTTTATTTAATTAAACATTTTATTTTACACTTTTCCAAAATTAATTTAAATAAACTTTTAATTTAATTAATTGACAGGTAGAGTAGTATGACTCCAATATGGTATATCAATTTCTTTACTTTTGTAAAGATAAATAGGAGAATATTGATTATTATTATTATTATTTGATTGTCTTGATTGATGAATGATACCACCAAACAAAGATTTGTTGTCAACTATTAATACTCTTGAATTATCTTTATCTAATCTTTTAATAGTTGCTTTTAACCATCCCTTTCCACGAAGAGCAATAGATAATTCTTCAATATTTGTTTGATTGATTACTTCGTCCAATCTAAAATTATTTGTACCTTTTTTGTTTGATCTTATTTTGATTTTTAGTTTTCTTAAATTTAATGGTAGTAGTAATTGACCATCTTTTTGTTGTTGTTTATAGTTAAACTTTGAAATTGAATAGTATGATTGGTCTATTAGGTTGACGAGACAAGTTTGATCAAATTGACATGATAGACTGGTCAGTGATGGAGGGAGTGGGAAAAAGGAGACATCAGAGTAATCAAGATGTTGAATGGTTGATGGAAATACACAAGATATATTCTTAGGTATATGTCCCCAACGCAATGTCTCCAATTTTGGTGGGAGTGTTGTAGTATCGATCTGTCTATTCCAATCCAACTCTTTAATCGAGTCTGGTAGATACTCTGATGTTGTCGGTCCCTCGTATCCAAAGAGTGTAAGAGTTTCTACTGACGATGGTATAGACAATGGTAGTATTTCAATGTCCATGGAAGCAGTAGATGTCATTGATAGTGTCTTTACACTATCTGGAATAAATCCAGAGGGTGCTGGTACTTTACATTGGAGGTGGAGGTAAGTGAGAGACATTGGTAATTTGATGGTCTCATAGTCAGTCGGTCCAAAAAACATACTAAGACTTGTCAAAGTGGTTGGGAAGAATTGTGTTGAAAGGTTGGGCTTTTGGTAGTACCCAGAGATGAGGATAGTTTTGAGAGACGATGATAGAGGTAAATTGATGAACGAGACATCAAGTAATTTAATACGTCCAGGAAACAATACAAAAGTGTTGAGACGATGGAGGTTGGTGAGGTCCAAGGCCAAACTTTTATCATTTCCATATTGACTCAAGTGGAGGTATCTAAGAGACACTAGTGATTGGAATAGGTCAGAGGGGATATCACCTCTAAATTCAATGTCAAGTGATGTCAATGAACTTGGTAAAATGGATGATGGAGAGGATGGAGAGGTTAGGACTGGTCCAATAATCAATTCTTTGAGTGATTTGAGTTTCTCGAGACCAAGAGAGTTGAGTGATGTTGTTGGTAAATCATCTTCTCCAGCCTTGGATGGTATTGATAGTGTCTCTAATCCCAATGGAAACATGTCATCTCCTTCAATACAACCTGGATTGTTGTAATACATTGTAAATGATTTGAGTGTATCTGGTAACTTGCATATTCTCTCTCTCGATGTGTATTCCGACGACAACGTTAAATGTTGAAGATTATCAATACCCTCTAATAGTGTTGATGGTATTGGTCGTGATGTTCTTGCTTTAGACGTAATATCTATAGATGTTGTTGTTGATGGCGCTATTATATCATTAAAATTGTTTGTTGTTATAAATAGTGATATGTTATCAGGTAGTGGTGTTGACTTGTCATTATTGTTGTTGTTATTGTTTAAAAGATGACTATTAAATGATTTTAGTTTAGTTTGATTATCATCAGACACTACTATTTGATTTGATAGAGCATTGTTGAATAGATGCTTAAACGAGTGTAAACTAAAACTGATCAATGATTCATTTGTTTGATTTCCTTTGGCTCGAAAGCATTTAATATGTTTAAATTGTAGAGTACTACTATACTGTTGTCTAATGTTATAGTATAACCTTTTACAAGTCAGCAATAGACATATTAAATCTACATTGCTATCAACCTCTTTAATAATATTTAATATTATAATATTGGGAAGTTCTATCATTATCCTCTTATCTCTCTCTCTCTCTCTCTCTACTCCTTATTACACCCCTCCTACTCCTACTTTTAAAGGAATGAATATATAATCCATCCACCTTTATCATTGTTATTTTGAGAAAGAAAGTTGAAAAGATATTCTACAAGATGTTTTTTCAGGTTCGGGCCCTATTAATATATTTATTTTCCAAAACATTCCCAAGTGTCATATGGAGTATGACTCCAAAAAGGAATATTATTTAATTTACTGTAATGAAGATAAATAGGAGTATATTCATTATTATTATTATTGTCATTATTTGATTGACTAATGATACCACCAAACAAAGATTTGTTGTCAACTATTAATACTTTTGAATTATCTTTATCTAATCTTTTAATAGTTGCTTTAAACCATCTCCTTCCATTTATATCAATCGATAGTTTTTCAACATTTGTTTGATTGATTACTTCATCCAATCTAAAACTAAACTTTGAATTATGACCATATCTTTCATTGAATTTGATTTTTAGTTTTCTTAGATTTAATGGTAATAGTAATAGGTTGTTGTTGTTATTGTCTTGTTGTTGTTGTTGATAGTTAAACTTTGAAATTGAATAATATGAATTATCAATGAGACAAGTTGTATCAAATTGACATGATAGACTAGTGAGTGAAGGTGGGAGGGGGTACAATGAGATATTAGTACATTCAATATGTTGAATGGTCGGTGGAAACACTAAAGGTAGATCCATTGGATCAGAGACTTGTCTCCAATGTAATTTCTCCAATTTCGATGGGAGTGTTTGAGTTTTACCCCGTCTATCCCAAGCCAACGATTTGATAGAGCCTGGTAGATAATCTGATGTTGTCGGTCCGTCATACCCTGATAGTGTAAGAGTCTCTACTGACACTGGTATTAATCCTGGTAGTATTTCAATGTCTCTTTCATCGTGCGATGAGATTGATAATATCTTTACACTATCTGGAATGAATCCAACTGACAATGGACATTTTACGAGGGATAGTTTGGTGAGTGACTTTGGTAGTTGGATGGTTTCATAGTCGGTCGGTCCAAAGAACATATCTAGACTTGTTAGAGTGGTTGGGAAGAATTGTGTAGAGAGGTTGGAGAATTTATAAAACTCGGGGACATAGAGAGTTTTGAGAGACGAAGATAGAGGTAACTTGATTAACGAGGCGTCAACCTGCTCACCAATTCCCGGGAAGAATACAAAAGTTTCGAGACAATGGAGATGGGTTAGATCCAAGGTCAATACAACACTATTGTTTCCAGGTTGGTACATATTGAGGGAGAGGGTTCGAAGGGATAAAAGTGATTGGAAAAAGTCCAAAGGCAAGACACCTTGAATTCCAATATCAAGTGATGTTAATGAACTTGGTAAAATGGAAGATGGAGAGGATGGAGAGGGTAAAAATAGTGGAAGAGATTCAGTGATGATTACAGGTGTTATGTCCAATGATTTGAGTGATTTGAGTTTCTCGAGACCAAGAGAGTAGAGTGGTATTGGTATATGATCATCTCCAATGGCTGTTGATAATAATAGTCGCTCTAATCCCAATGGAAACACATCATCCCCTTTGAGACAAGATGGATTGTCGATATACATTGTAAATGATTTGAGTGTATCTGGTAACTTGCACAGTCTCTCTAGTGATGTGTATTCCGTTGAAATGTATAGATTTTGAAGATTATCAATACCCTCCAATAATGTTGGTGGCAGTGGTGCATTTACTTGAGATGTAATATCAATAGATGTTGTTGTTGATGGTAGTGGTACTTTGATGTCATCTAATTCGATTGTTGATATAAATATTGATATGTTATCAGTTGATGGTGTTGACTTGTCATTATTATTTACAAGATGACTATTAAATGATGGTAGTATTTTTTGATTAATAATATCAGACAATACCATTTGATTTGATAGAGCATTATTGAATAGATGCTTAAATGAGTGTAGACTAAATCTCTTTAATGACTTGAGCAACGGTTCATTTGTTAAAAAGAGTGAACTACATTCTTTAAAGTATCTAATATGTTTAAAGTGTAGAGTACTACTATACTGCTGTCTAATGTTATAGTACAACCTTTTACAAGTCAGCAACAGACATATTAAATCTACATTATTGTCAACCTCTTTAATAATATTTAATATAATAGTATTGGGAAGTTGTTCTATCATTACCTATCTCTCTCTCTACTCTTATCTATCTTGTTTGACAAACAAATAATATAAATATGGTTGGTTGTTGTCTAACATTTTTATTTAAATCTATGATTAATTAAAAATCAATTAAACTTTTCCTAGTACCACCTAAAAAGTAAAGAAATAATAAAATTATTTAATCTTGTAATTTTATAATATAATATTATTTTTTAATGATCATGGAGTATGACTCCAATATGGTAAGTTCAAGGGATAAATAAATAAATATGTATTCATACATATTGGTTGTCTTTTTTTTTTTAAATATTCTTGACCTCTGTCTCTCTTTTAAGATTAACATCATGGCATAGTTAAAGAGGACAAGATAATGATAGAACAACTTCCAAACATTATTATATTAAATATCATCAAATCAGTTGACAACAATGTAGATTTAATATGTCTATTGCTGACTTGTAAAAGGTTATACTATAACATTAGACAGCAGTATAGTGGTACTCTACAATTCAGACATATAAGATATCTTTTAGAATACCATCAACCAAATGAATGGTTGATCAAGTCAATCAAGACTTTTAATCTACAATCATTCAAAAGTCTATTCAACAATGCACTATCAAATCAAATATTAGTGTCTGATAATAAAAATAAACAATCATTTAATAGTCATCTTGTAAACAATAATAATGACAACAACAACTTGACAATACCGCCACCTGATAACATATCACTGACTATATATTTATCAACCAAACTGGATGATATAATAGCACCATCAACAACAACATCCATTGATATTAACTCTCAAGTAAACACACCACTACCTTCAACTCTATTACAAGGTATTGATAACCTTAGACATCTATCCATTTCAACTGAATACACATCGGCAGAAAGAATATGCAAGTTACCAGATACACTCAAATCATTTACAATATATTACGACAAGCCATCTTGTGTAGAAGGAGGTGATGTATTTCCATTGGGATTAGAGACACTTTCATTATCATCCAATTTTGAACCAATAACGCTCAACTCTCTTGGTCTTGGGAAACTAAAGTCACTCAAATCATTGGACATAGCACCTGTAATCATCACTGAATCTCTTCCACTATTTTTATCCTCTCCATCTTCCTCTTCCCCATCCTCCTCTTACTTTTTACCAATTTCATTGACATCACTTTACATTGTATTTGAATGTACAGTCCCTTCCAACTTTTTTCAATCACTAGTGTCTCTTGAAAGCATTACCATGCGTCTAACTTGTTCTGAAATAATGATCATGATCGCCGAGCCCCCATGGCCTTGGATCTCACCCACCTCCATCTTCTCAATACCTTTAAATTGTTTTCACGTCAATTACCCGACATCTCTTTAATCAAACTACCTCTATCATCGTCTCTTAAAACTCTACGTCTCTCCAAGTCGACCAACTTTTCAACACAATTCTTCCCAACCACTCTGACAAGTCTCAATATGCCATTTGAGCTAGTCGATTATGAAACAGTCAAATTACCAAAGTCACTCACCTACCTCCACCTCGTAAAAGTACCAATACCAGTTGGATTTATTCCAGATAGAGTAAAGATATTATCAATCATATCACACAACTCTGGAGATTTTGAAATACTCCCAGGATCTATACCATCGTCAGTAGAGACTCTTACCCTACGCGGATATGAAGGACCGACAACAACAGAGTATCTACCAGATTCCATTAAAGAGTTGGATTGGAATAGACAGACCAACACTCAAACACTCTCATCAACATTGGAGACATTGAGTTGGGGGTATATGGGCCCTGCCAATGATAATCCAATGAATCTACCTTTCATGTTTCCATCAACCATTCAACATATTAAATGCACTACCATCACATTCCCTCTCCCACCTTCACTCATTAGTCTAGAATGTCAATTTGATACAACTTGTCTCATTGATAATTCATATTATTCAATTTCAAAGTTTAACTATCAACAACAACAAGACAATAACAACAACAACCTATTACTATTACCATTAAATCTAAGAAAACTAAAAATCCAAGCAAATGAAATTTTTGGTGAAGGTATTAGCAAGTTTAGTTTTAGATTGGACGAGGTAATCAATCAAACAAATGTTGAAACTTTATCTATTGTAATGAGTAGAAGGATTTTATTTAAAGCAACTATTAAAAGATTGGAAAAGGATAATTCAAGAGTATTAATAGTTGACAACAAATCTTTATTTGGTGGTATTATTCATCAATCGAGACAATCAAACAATGAATATGCTCCTATTTATCTTCATAACAGTAAAAAAGTAAATAATAATTATATACCATATTGGAGTCATTAATATATAGAGTAGTCAAATAAAATAAATAATTATTAATTTAATTTATGTCTAACACCAACTATTAATATTGCTCCATCAAATAATAATAATAATAATATTTATTTAAATATATTAACTTTTAATTTAATTAATTGATAGGTAGAGTATGACTCCAAGATGGTAAATGATTTAATTTACTGTTGTAAAGATAAATAGGAGCATATTCATTATTATTATTATTGTCATTATTTGAATCTCTTGATTGATAAATGATACCACCAAACAAAGATTTGTTATCTACAATTAATACTTTTGAATTATCCTTTTCCAATCTTTTAATTGTAACTTTAAACCATATCATTCCATATCGAATAATTGATAATTTTTCAATATTTGTTTGATTGATTACTTGATCCAATCTAAAATTAAACTTTGAACCTCTTCCATTGATTTTTAGTTTTCTTAAATTTGATGGTAGTAATATTAGACCTTCCTTTTCTTTTTCTTGATAGTTGAATTTTGAAATTGAATAATATGAATTATCTACTAGGTAAGTTTGATCAAATTGACATGATAGACTGATGAGTGAAGGTGGGAGTGGGAATGTGATGATACCAGCGCATTTAATATGTTGAATGGTTGGTGGAAACACACAAGATATATTTTTAGGTATATTACTCCAAACCAATTTCTCCAAATTCGACGGGAGTGTTGTAGTTGTATTTTTGCTCAGTCTATCCCAGGTCAATGATTTAATGGAATCTGGTAGATACTCTGATGTTGTTGGTCCATCGAATCCGAAAAGAGATAAAGTCTCTACTGACAATGGTATTGATCCTGGTAGTATTTCAATGAATCATACGACGAGATTGTTAATGTCTTTACACTATTTGGAATCCATCCAACTGGTATCGCAGCTTGACATTGGACGTTGAGTTGTGTGAGTGACTTTGGTAATTTGACTGTTTCATAATCGGTTGGACCAATGAACATATCTAGGCTTGTCAGAGTAGTTGGGAAGAATTCTGTTGAAAGGTTGGATATTTGGTAATGGTTGGAGATATTGATATGTTGAAGAGACGATGATAGAGGTAATTTGATAAAGGAAATATCAAATAAATGACTGGTTTGTGGAGCGAGTGAAAAGGTATTGAGACGATGGAGATGGGTGAGATCCAAGGCCATGGGAGATGGACTCTCATTTTCATGTTGACTCAAGTAAAGATATTCAAGAGACACTAGTGATTGGAATAGGTTGGAAGGGACAACACCTAGAAATCCAATATCAAGTGATGTTAATGAATTTGGTAAAAAGAAAGAAGAGGATGGAGATAGGGAAGGGCTTTCGATGACTGAAATAGTTAATGATTTGAGTGATTTGAGTTTCTCGAGACCAAGAGAGTCTAGTGATATTGGTAAAGGATTTAAGACCCTGGATGTTAATGATAGTGTCTCTAATCCTAATGGAAACGCATCATCACCTTCTTCTTCAATACAACATGGCCATTTGTAATAAATCGAAAATGATTTGAGTGTATCTGGTAGTTTGCATATTCTCTCTAGTGATGAGTATTGAGACGAGAAGGTCAAATGTTGAAGATTATCAATACCTTCTAATAGTGTTGATGGTATTGGTTGTTCTACATGAGATTTAATATCAATAGATGTTGTTGTTGATGGTAGTATGATATCATTAAACTTGTTTGTTGTTATAAATATTGTTATGTTATCAGGTAGTGGTGTTGACTTGTTGTTGTTGTTATCGTTGTTGTTATTGAATGATGGTTTATTTTGATTATCAGACACTACTATTTGATTTGATAGAGCATTGTTGAATAGATGCTTAAATGAGTGTAAACTAAAACTGAACAACGATTGAATTGGTTGATTGTTTCCTTTGGATCGATAGTATCTTATATGTTTAAAGTGTAGAGTACTACTATACTGTTGTCTAATGTTATAGTATAACCTTTTACAAGTCAGCAATAGACATATTAAATCTACATTGTTTTCAACCTCTTTAATAACATTTAATATGATAGTATTGGGAAGTTGTTCTATCATTATCTCTTTTAAATTTTAATTTAATTTATTTTATTGCCTTTCATACCGTATGACTCCAATAGGGTATATTATTTTCTTTACTATTATGAAGATAAATAGGAGCATATTTGTAATTATTATTTGAATCTTTTGTTTGATAAATGATACCACCAAACAAAGATTTGTTGTCCACTAGTAATACCGATGAATTATCCTTTTCCAATTTTAAAATAGTTGCTATAAACCATAACCTTCCATTTAAAACAATCGATAGTTTTTCAATATTTGTTTGATTGATCACTTGATCCAATCTAAAACTAAACTTACTATTATTTTGATCTTTAATACCATCGATATTAATTTTTAGTTTTCTTAAATTCAACGGTAGTAGTAATAGACTGTCTTCTTTTCCTTGTTGTTGTTGTTGTTGATAGTTAAACTTTGAAATTGAATAATATAAATTATCAATGAGACAAGTTTGATCAAATTGACATGATAGACTGGTGAGTGAAGGTGGGAGAGGGAATGTGACGATACCAGCGTAATCAATATTTTGAATGGTTGATGGAAACACACAAGATATATTTGGACTATATTTATCAAGCAAAACATCCCAACACAATTTCTCCAATGTTGATGGAAGTGTTTGAGTATCAGTCTTTCGATCCCAAGTCAACGATTTGATGGAATCTGGTAGATACTCTGTTGTTGTTGGTCCTTCATATCCGCGTAGGGTAAGAGTCTCTACTGACGATGGTATAGATCCCGGCAATATTTCAACCAGAGAATCATAAGATACGATTGATAATGTCTTTACACTATTTGGAATATATCCAACTGGTATTGGGACTTGACAACGCAAGAGACTGAGTATGGTGAGAGATTTTGGTAACTCTACCGTCTTATAATCGGTTGGTCCAAAATACATATCAAGATCCTGTAAAGTTGTTGGGAAAGATTGTGTTGAAAGATTCGACAACTTGAAATTAGTTTCGATATAGATGGATGTGAGAGACGACGATAGAGGAAACTGGATGGTAGCATCTAGTCCAAGCAATTGTGTTGATATCGATCTTGAAAACATTGAAAATGACTCGAGTACACAGAGATGTGCGAGATCCAAATACAACATGTCTCCATTTTCATAAAGGCTGATAGTGAGGTATTTAAGTGATACGAGTGATTGGCAAAGGTTGGAAGGGACATTACCTCTAATTGCAATATCAAGTGATGTCAATGAACTTGGTAAAATGGATGAGGAGGAGAAAGGGGAGGAAGTGATGACAACATGTTTAATAGACAGATATGTAAGTACCTTTAGTTTCTCTAGACCAAGAGAGTCTAGTGATGTTGATAAATCATCTTCATTTCCACGTAATTGCAATATCCTTAATCCCAATGGAAACACATCACCTCCTTCAATACAACTTGGATACTTGTAATCCATTGCAAATGATTTGAGTGTATCTGGTAACTTGGAACATACTCTCTCTTCAGATTCGTATTCAGTTGAAATGGATAGGTTTTGAAGATTATCAATACCTTGAAATAGAGTTGATGGTAGTGGTGTATCTAGCCGTGTTGAAATATTTATAGAGGTTGTTGTTGATGGTGGTGGAACTATTATACCATGTAATTTTCGGGGATCGGTTGATCGTGCATTCTTGAATAGACTTTTAAATGATTGTAGATTAAAACTCTTGATTGACTTGACCAACCATTCATTTGGAATAGAGATTGAACCTTCATAAAAGTATATAATATTCTTAAAGTCGAATTGTAGAGTACTACTATACTGCTGTCTAATGTTATAGAATAACTTTTTACAAGTCAGCAATAGACATATTAAATCTACATTGTTGTCAACTGATTTGATGATATGTAATATAATAGTATTGGGAAATTGTTCTATCATTATCCTTCTTTCTTCTTCCTCTAACTATCTTTTGTTGAAAATAATAATAATAATAATAATTATTATTTTTAACACTACTACTATTTCATCAATGGGTTATACAATGATAGTTTCTTTTAAATTTATAAAGAATGCATTTCTGGAGAATAAAAGTATGTACATGTTCATTTATAAAAAATGATTTATGAACAAGAACAAGTTCTGACTCGAGTGATCGACCGAACAACAAAAATATGTTTTCTTATATTTATTTTTTTTTGAGAATAGATTATACAATTAGAGAATAACTCCAACAAGGTACATGATTTACTTTACTGTTTTGAAGATAAATAGGAGCATAGTTTTTGTTTATCGATTGATGAATGATACCACCAAATAAAGATTTGTTGTCAACTATTAATACTCTTGAATTATCCTTTTCCAATCTTTTAATAGTTGCTTTAAACCATGGCACTGAAAATCGACTAATTGATAGTTTTTGTACATTTGTTTGATTGATTACTTCATCCAATCTAAAACTAAACTTTGTATCCATTGTATGGGTTACCGAATATTCCATTGTAATGTTTAATTTTACCAAACTAGCTGGGAATATTCTAAGAGGAGTATTATTATTATTATTTTTGATATTTTTGGTAATATGTAAAATCGAGAAAATATGAATGCCTAGAATAGTAGTACTATTTTGTAGATTGACATCAAGACGAGTAAGAGTTGATGGGATACTGGTCAATTGGTACCCAGCACGGACTCTAGAATAATCAATCATTTGAATGGTTGGTGGATAGACTATGGGATGAACAAAAGGTGTAATTGTTTGTAACCAAACCAATTTCTCTAATTTCGTTGGTAACACTGTATTTGCACCAGTTTCTCTATCCCACAGCAAATGTTTGATAGAATCTGGTAAATGTCTAGCTGTGATGGATCCAATGAAATTGAGTAATACTAGCTTCTCGACAGACCCAGGTATCGATCCTTCCAACAATTCAACATCTCGATTTTGCAATGAACAAGAGAGTTCTAGGGTGTGTACATTCCCGGGAATACAGCCAACGGGGATTGGACTCTCACATTGATGAAGAGTCAGGGTTTGTAAAGACTGTGGTAATACAACTTTACCGAAATCAATGAATCTTGCCGATACGACTAAATTGGTGAGAGTTGTTGGAAAGAACCTTGTTGTTACATTGGTTATACCGAGTTGATTCCAAATATGAAGTGTCTTTAATGATGATGTCATTGGTAGTTTAAAGAGTGAGCTACTTAGTATAACCTCACCTGCCGGTGAAAAGGTGAATGTCTCTAGAGCATGTAGATTGGTGAGATCGAGTGTACAGTTGTCAGGATCATCAATATTGGCAGTGAGAGTGAGATCGACCAACGATACCAATGGCTCGAACAAGGTGTTGGGTGGTTCTTGGAATATATCAATATTTAGAGAGGTCAATGAACTTGGTAAAAAGGGGCCTCGTGGCGACTGACTGAAAATGACAGAGAGTGCATGCAACTCCTTTAATGACTCTAGTTTTTCAAGACCAAGAGTATCTAATGGCCACGGCGCATTAAATGATGTACCATACAGTCTCAAAGACTCGAGTCGTGATGGTAACGACCCAAAGACAGATGGGTCTCTACAAAATAGATACAAAGATAAAAGAGTATCTGGTAGTTTGAATTTTGTCTGTGACTGACTCTCACTCTCTTCTTCTTCTTCTTCTGGTGGTACCAAATAATCCCTTATTGAGAGATGTTGAAGGTTATCAACACCTTGTAATAGTGTTGATGGTATTGGTGATTGAATAGGTGATGGAAGAATTAGTGTTGTTGTATTTGATGGTATACATTTTAATTGATTTACATTATCTAATAGAGATAATTGTGTTGGTGTTGAGTTGTTGTTGTTGTTGTCATTATTATTATTATTATTATTATTATTATTATTATTATTATTATTATTATTATTTATAAGATGAGTATTGAGTGATGGTAATTTATCTTGATCGTTAGACAATACTATTTGATTTGATAGTGAGTTGTTGAATAGACTTTTGAATGAGCGTAGATTAAAACTCTTGATTGACTTGATCAATGATTTGTCCACGGTGACGTGTTTGAATAGGTATCTTATATGTCTGAATTGTAGAGTATTACTATACTGCTGTCTAATGTTATAGTATAACCTTTTACAAGTCAGCAATAGACATATTAAATCTACATTGTTGTCAATCGATTGAATGATCTTTAATAAGATCAAGTTTGGTAACTTTTCGGGCAAATAACATTCTCCTCCTCCAACCACTACAGTGCCATCATCATCATCGTCATAAACAACTAATTGGTTTGTCTCTGTAATAGTTGTAAAGTAACTTAATATTTTGTTGTACATTTTATTATTATTATTAAATTTAATATTTGTGATTTTCAAAAAAAAGGGAAAAAAGGTTCATCTTCACACCAAATCTTTTTTTCTTGTACTTTGTTTTGTGTTTAGAAAAATCATAGAATCAATATAATATCTTGTTTATAATCAATATATATTCTTATATTAAAGTAATACTTATCTATCATTTAAAGATTTATTTAATGTTTCATCGTTTATGAGGAGTAACAGGAGCAACCCAATATCGTTGGTATGAATTCTTTCAAGATTAACATTTGAACGAATCAAAAGAAAGAAAAGTGAATAGTAAGTAAGACACCTATCTCAACATTGACAAGGAAGATGACAAATAAATTCATGAATTGGATGACTATTTTAAATTGGAGATAGAGGAAGAAATTGTGGAAAAAATTCCCCTATTGTGTGGTTATGAAATGGATACAAATTTTGCTGAAATAATTTAAATTTATTTGATTTATCGGGTGACAAACAACGAAATATAAATAGTAATAACTGATTCTTGTCATCTACAGATTTTTTTCTGGGTGATATTCTCCGTCCTCGTCCAGTTGTGAGACGACTGATCCCACACCATAGTTTGAAGCATCTGTATGGATGACAAAATCTTTGTTACCATCCAATAACTTCATCACTGGTTTGCTGACCAGTATCTCTTTGCAATCTACCACTGCTTTTCTCCATCCGTTCTCGGGCAACTCTCCCGCTTTGGTTTTCTCCTTTATAGCAATTGCCTCCCTAATTGGCTCTACTAGTTCTGTGACGCATTACTGAAGCAGGTTGTGGACAGTAAGAAATTGATTCAAGACAAGATTGGTCCATTCAAGATTATAAAGAAGATTGGAGAGAATAAGGAAGAAGATATTTTTGTTATATGTTATATCGATGACATATTGGTTTTCTCGAAGAATGAGGAAGACCACAAGAGACATTTGGAAATAGTACTAAAAAAGATGGAACAACATTTGGTTTGTCCTTTGATGAATCTCTGATAAAAGGACATCATTCCCAGAAACCTTCGTAGTTGTTTAACATTCTCTGGCATCGGAAGCTCCACAATCGGTTTCGTTTTCTCTTCATTCATTGTGAGTCCATCTCCATTTACTTTATAGCCCACAAATGCTACTTCATCTTTGAATAGGTTGCACTCAGCAACATACTTAGAAAATTATAATCCTAACAACCTTCTCCCTGGGCATCGAATAGGCATGTCCACCACGTCAACTGCTTGTGACCTTTGCATATGCATTCGAATGCGGTAGTTGACGTGGTGGATCTGCTCCAACATATCGCAATATATATAAGCAACGAGTAAGTAAAGTAAGTAGTACTAGTATCATTTCTTTAAGAGACAAAAATAATCTTTTATTATCTTTTATTTATTTAAATTAGGACTTTTAAAATAAATTAAATTGGATTAAAACTCCAACAAATAGTACCATTATCTTTAGCGTGAATATAAATCGGCCTATATATATCTTTGGTTGAACTGTCGTTGTTTGGTTGTCTTGATTGATGAATGATACCACCAAACAAAGATTTGTTGTCTACAATTAATACCGATGCATTATCTTTATCTAATCTTTTAATAGTTGCTTTAAACCATGCATCTTCATTTGAGAATCCACAAAGTGACAACTTTTCAACATTTGTTTGATTGATTACTTGGTCCAATCTAAAACTACCTCTTTGTTCAAGTTTGAGTACAAGTTTTCTGAGAAGAATGGTGGAGAATTTAAATGGACCGTCTTGTAATTGTCGTAATGATGAAATTGAATAGATTGGAGTAGCTGCTGCTGTGTCATTGGGTTGACCGTTGTCTTGTATTGGAGCAATAGAACAGTTGAGCTTGGTGAGTGAAGACGGATAAGAGATGGGTGGATGGATTGATGGGAACCCTGAAAACTCCAACTCTAGCAGTGTCGATGGATACGATGGATGGGTGAATCCTGGATCGACATCTATATGAGTCATCCATTTAAACTTTTCCAATTGATTGGGGAGAGTCGTTTCAACGGTATTGACGCTATTGACTCTATTCCAAGTAAGCTTTTTAATAGAGTTTGGGAAATTGTTGGGTGTCACTGCACCTTCGTATCCAAACATTGTCAACTCTTCAACCGACGATGGAATGGCTCCATCCAACAATCCAGCACCGCCATACAATACAATGAATAGATTCTTGACACTGTTTGGAATGTATCCGGGTGGGACTGCAATTTGACTTGGAGGTTGTAGTCTAAGAGTAACGAGCGATGTTGGTAGAGCGACTGTATCAAAGTTTAGACTACTCGTATCAATATCCAAACTGGTCAAAGATGACTGTGGGAAAAACTGTGTAGTGAGGTTCCTCAAATGCGCAGAGATACGCAAATGCCTAAGACTAGAAGCGAACGGTAGTTGGATGGCCGAGCTTTCAATTGACGCAGTGTTGACGTACAATTCAAATGATTCGAGTGCGTGTAGAGTGGTGAGATCGAGTGCATAGTCCATATCGACGTGTTCAGAATGAACAGAGAGTGTGAGTGATTCGAGTGATACTAGTGAACGGAAAAGGTCGGCTGGTGGAGTATGGCTCATTTCAATATTGAGTGATACCAATGACGTTGGGAAAAGAGGGACCGGGGAAGATGGACCAGTCATGATTGAATCGATTTTGAGTGTCTTTAGATACTGCAATTTGGCCAGTCCCAGACTGCCTAGTTGGACGGGATCGTTTGGTCCCATCAACTCGAGTGTCTCTAGTTGCGACGGAAACATGTCTCCACCATCCAAAGACGATTGCTCCATTCGCAGTATATGCAACGATCTGATTGACTCGGGTAGTTTACACATCTTTTGTCTTGGTGCATACTGTGATATGAACAATTGTTCAAGGTTCTTGACTCCCTTAAACAATGTCATTGGCAGTAGAGGTGTTTTCATATGTTTAATAATATGAACGGTCTTTGTATTGATTGGTAAAACCATATCATTTAATTGAGTTGAGTCTTGATGAATCAGTACATATAATCTATCATCATCACTGTCATCAGATGGTGTAGTATTTGTCATCAACGAGTTATTGAGTATTGGTATAGACTCTTGATCATCAGACAATACGATTTGATTTGCCAAAGAGTTGTTGAATAGACTAGTAAACGATCGTAGATTAAAGTGTTTCATCGATCTTACAAACTGTAGATTCATAGGAAAGGTTGAAAGAGTCGACACTTTGGTATCAATGTACTCTAGATGTTTGAATCTAATCTTGCCACCATGTTGTTGTCCAATGTTAAAGTATAACCTTTTACAAGTCAACAAGAAGCATATTAAATCTGCATTGTTGTCAATCTTTTCAGCAATATTTAACAATATCAAGTTTGATACTTTGCTACTGATTAAATAACATTCCTCTTCTTTCATTATTCCTCTAATTCTATTCTATTCTATACATATATAATTAAAGAGTGATGATCATAATGATGATGATGATGATGATGATGCAAAGTCATTCTTCTTGAGATCTCCTTCGAGTTGACTTGAAAGCTCGAAACTTCCCAGAGTTCTTTCGGCTTTGAAAATGTGATGATCATTGTACGAATTTCTTTATAAACTGAACTTCAAACTCTAATTAAATTTTATTTAATTTTAATTTTTTCTAATAAATTACAGAACTTGAGCAGCTGATAAATATTGTAAATACGTCATCGACATTGTCATTTTATTATTATCAAAATATTATTTGTATACAAATACAATTATTTGTATGTTTATTAGAATTCCCAAAATCCATCACTTTTAATTAATATTAATTATTATTATGACTATTTTCTTTAGTCTTATGGTTTATTATTATTCTTTGTTCTAAAAGAGGCCTCCCTTTCAAATGAACAACCATCAATCATAATAATCTCATCATTGGTGAACCGATATACTCTAGATCATTCCCATTGTCACCGAAATCATTATTTAATGAATCACAAACCATGCCATTGTCAAGAAGAAACCCAACCAATCAATCAACTGGCTCTTTTAAATAATCGCTTCATCTCATTCATTTTATAATGACTTAAGTGATGATGGTAATGATCTTGTTTTAACTTTGGTTCTAATCTAATCTTTAGATAGGATGAATCATAAAAAAAAAATAAACAAAATATTCATTGCAAATAATAATGTTACAAAAAGAATACTTTAGTTTCTTGATCCTCTTTTGAAAAGTAAAGAAAGGAAGGTGAAGAAATTCTTTTCTTTGTTGTTTGAGATATGTTCAAAACATGTGTCAATACGGTTAACCACGTGTCAAGCAACCTTGTTCCCAAATAAGGGAATATTTTTTTTTGGTGTCAATCAACCTATTGTTCACCGAACCAGATTCAAGATGAATCAAATGATCTGCTACTACAGCTGCAGTTTTGTTTTTAAAATAAAGTATAGTTGATCTACGTAATACTAGTGTAGTTTTATTACCATTTCTTTTTTGATTTACTCTTTTCAAGATCCAAGGTAGCTCTTGCGTTCTTTTTGTTTGTCCATTCTTCAATACCTGCTCCATATCTCCTTGATACACCAGATGGCATTAATGGTTGAGCCAACACAGCATCCAAAGTCATCTTTAATTGATTTAATCTTGACTTTTCTCTATATTGTTTATCCTTTTCATCTTCAGAATCTGATTGATAACTATAAATAATAAATAAATAATAAATAATAAATAATATATTAGATTAATATTTTTCTCTTTTGTGACTTGATTTTTTTTTACATACAAAACATCATCTAATTGCATATCAATAGCCTTTGCATTACGAAGATACCAATTCTTTTCATCGGATACCTTTTTCTTTTCAAAAGATTGTTTGTCAATGTCATAGGCCATTCCGATACGTTCACGAACAGCTGGCATAAACTTGAAGTCGATTGGGAAGTCGAGGATTTCGTGTTCAAGTTTGTCGGTAAAGGCGGCGTAGGTCTTTTGTTCGCTTGGATCGACAAAGAGGACACTGATACCTTCACGATTGGAACGGGCGGTACGACCACTACGATGGACATACAATTCAATGGTACGAGGCATTTGGTAATGGACGACATGTTCAACACCTGGGATATCGAGACCACGAGCAGCGACATCGGTAGCAATCAAAATGACATTCTTTTCACGTTTGAAATGATCGAGGTTACGAAGACGTTGACGTTGTTCCATTTGAGCGTGCAACGGGAAGGCAACGACCTTTAGCAATTTGAGAATGGCCAAGAGACGACGAATACAATCGACACTGTTAACAAAGACCAATGTCTTGCCTGGATAACGATCGATAAAGTAGTAGAGGTATTGATCCTTTTCGTCGAGGTTACACAGAATCTTGGATTCCTTGAGGCTGTGAGCCGTCAATTTTTTAAGTGTACAATCGATCAATTTATATTTACGATGGAAATTGATTTTAGAGATGAGTGTTTGCAATGGTGTCAATTCCTTGTTGGCATATTTCTTTTTCTTTTTGGCATCCTTTTGTTGTTCGTCATGCACACCAACAATAGTAGCCGAAAAGATAAATGTTTGTCTCTTTACACTTGTGAATTTTTCAAATCCAACCTCCTCTGCTTGGAAATCATCTGGATCAATTTCTCCTTCTTGGAAATCAATTATTTCCTCATCATCTCCATCAATCTCTTCTAATTCTTCCATCCCTTGAATATCTTCAATATCTTCAATATCTTCAATATCCTTAATATCTTCCATCTCTTCTTCTTCTTCTTGGTCTTCATCAACTTGTTCTTCTTCTTCTTCTTCTCCATCTTCTTCTTGTTGTTCTTCTTCCTCTGCATCTTCTTGTTCCTCTTGATCTTCATCTTCATCTTGTTCTACTTCTTCTTGTTCTTCATCATTTTGACCCTTTTTATAATGAAGTTGATATTGTGGTAATCTTTCAAGAATTGAATCAATTTCTCTAAAGACACCTTTTTCAACCATACGATCGGCTTCATCGATACCAAAACAAAGAAGGTTTGTGAAATCACCCAAATACTTGTCACCTTCATCGATTAGCTCCCAGAGACGACCAGGGGTAGCAACTACAATCTCTGGCTTGGAATTCAACTCTCTGTCTTGTTTCTTTTGCGATAGACCACCAACCACTGAAATGATTCTAAGCGATGTCTCCAAGGCAACGGTTCTAAGATGGTTGGTTACTTGAATAGCCAACTCTCTAGTTGGACAGAGTACAAGTGCCAACAACTTCTTGTGACTATTATCCTTTTTCAAAAGACCTACTTGTGGCAGAGTACTTCTAGTAACATCTTCTCCTTGAGCTCTTAAATATTTTAAAATTGTATTAACCATTGGAATACCAAATGCCAATGTTTTACCTGATCCCTAAATCAAAACAAAATCAAAACAACAAACAATAATAATATTAATATAAATAATGTTATTAATTATTATTATTATTATTATAATTGAACATACAGTTTCAGCAGCACCAATAATATCATTTCCACTTTGAATTGAGGCAGGAATTACTTGAGATTGAATTTCAGTTGGTCTTTCGTAACCGAGTGCACGTAAACCCTTGATAATGAGTGGATCGAGGTTATAAGATTCCCAAACAGTCATGTCCAAAGTATCAGCAGCTTCTGGAGCAATTCTATCTTGAAGTTGGAATTCTTTCTTTTTTTGTTCTCTTGCAACACGTTGTTCCTTTCTAAACTCTTCAAAATCCTTTTTCTTTTGTTTAAACTCTTCACTATTTCTATTCTTGTTGTCTTCTTGTTGTTGTTGTTGTTGTTGATTTCCCTTTTTAGCCTTTTTGTTCTTGTGTTTAGCGTCTACAATAGCTCCTTCCTTTTCTTCCTTTTCTCTTTCATGGAGTACAATTCCTTGTTTGTTATTCTTTTTTGACGAAGAAGACGATTTCTTTTCAGATTCAGTGTCGCTTGTAGTTTCTTCAACAACCTCTGCAACTACAGACTTTCTCTTTCCTTTACCACCACCAGATTCATAAGTATTGTATGAACCAGCATCGATAACTTCCAAACCAACCAAACCACTAGCAGCAAAATGATTGAAGCTATTGGTATCGATTTCAACCTTTTCCCAATTCTTGATAACCTTTTCCTTTGGTTTCTGTGCAGCAGCGGCGGCGGCGGCAGTAGCACTCTTTGTCTTTTTCTTTCTTAATCCTCTTTGTCTCTTTTCAATCTGTTCTCCATTGGGACCTGTAGTAATGACAACATTCTTTTTAACGAATGGTTTCTTTGGTCCTCCCTTTCCTTTGAATCCTTTACCCTTTCCCTTTCTACCTCCTCTTGCTCCTCCTCCTGCAACTGGTTTCTTTTTAGTTTCTTCTCCTCCTGTCATTCTTCTTGATATATATATATAAATAAATAAATAGATTAGATAGATAGAGATAAACAAATAATACTATACTCCTCGCTCGTTAATTCATTGACCTCTCACATTTAATTTTGTATTTTTTTTTAATTTTTGGACAAAAAACGAACGAAACTATAGATATATTTCAAACCTCATACATTTTGGTATTTTAATACATTTAATATCAATATTACACCTACATATATGTTGGGGACTATAAATATAAATGTTGACATAAACTTTGAGTAACAATGAGATTTATTCAGAAAGTTCTACCCAAGTTTTATCTTTGTCTTTGAATGTTGTAATTGGTGTTTGAGTTTTTTCGCGAAAAGACGAATGATCTGATCATCCATCCTTGCTTGTTTGAAAGCATTTTAGTATTATTACATATATATTATCTTAATTATATATATTTAGATTTAGAAGAAATGAACTGTGGATCAGCGATTAGAGGTTTAATGAGAGTCTCATCAAAGGCATCTCGATCAACTTCATCATTTACCAATGGATTTGGATCAATGGGCTCATCTTCGACATCATATAGTTTACCATCATCGACATTAAAGTCTTCTTCATTTTCAAGTGTATCATCTTCTTCTTCTTCATCTCCACTATCTTTAATCAATAGGTAGGTGATCAATCAATCTTGATTGAAACAAAAAGAGTCAATCAACAACAATACAGATACATTGATGAATGACTACTAATCAGCATATGACAAACTCTCTTTATTCATTGTAGAACTAATAGAGCTAATTTTAACCCATTGGAATTAATATCAATGTGTTCGGGTGTAGATGACGATGGCGTATAATCTTGGCTTCATTGCCCCAACTTATAAACACGAAACTTTAGAGACACTCGAAAAATAAACCCAACCTTAAAATATACTATATAATAATACACTCTCTCAAATATTGGATATTTGGAACAACAATGGAATGGAAAACAACTATAGTGATATTGGTTAATTTTTAAATGGTTTTATTGTTATACGTCAAAAGTTTGGATAAAGTTTAATTTACAGTAGTGAAAGGTTGGGAAAAAGAAAAATGGGTTGATGGATGGAAAAGGGATATATATATATCTAGATTATATGTATAATATATTGCACTGTATCTTTTGGTGTCGGTTGTAGTTGTCTTGTTGTCTTGTTGTTGTTATTTGTTAATATTATTTTTGGTTTTACTTTTTTTCTTTTGTTTTTTCTTTTTTTTTTTTCTCTATATATTTCTTTTCTTTTGTGTTGAGTTGTAATAATTATTGTTGATTTCTATATATATATTAATTATTTAATACTAATTTTACTTTGCTTATGGCTAAGCTGGAGGACCACCATAAAGTGGATTTGTACCTTGATTTGGATTTGGAGTGTAGAGTGGATTGGAGGCGGTGACTGACATTTTAGCGGCTCTATTTTGTTTCCAGAGATCGTAACCCTTCTTGCCACCAAATGCAGCGAGACCGACGGCGGCGGCGGCACCAATTACAATACCGGCGATGGCAGCGGCACCAACGGCGACACCAGCCTTGACAGCGGCCGATTGACACTTGAATGGGAGAGGGTCGTAGTTTCTCGACTCGCATTTCTGGTTCTCTCTGTTACAGGTGGTGTTTTGACAGTCTCTGTTTTCAGCGTTACAAGTACGATTGTATGAGATACATCCACCGGCATTGGCATCGCAGGTGGCGACATCACAAAAGTTGTTGGTTGGACATTTGACGGGGGTGTAGACACATCCAGACGTGGGGAGACAAGCGACCTCCATACATGGCTTGTGTGGACATACAACTGGGGTATGAACACATTTGTTGAGTTCGGTGGTCGTACTATTCATTGAGACACAGGCATCCATTGTACAGGCATTTTTATCGTCGCAAGGGTCTGGCTTGTGTGTACACGATTTGCCAACTGGCAGACTGGGGTCGCAATCGTCAACAGTACAAACGTTTAGATCGTCGCAGTTACGCTGTTGATAGACACACTCGCCACCTGTGGTCTCGACGTCACACGAGGCATATTGACAACTGTTGGACAGACACTTGGGAGAGTTGACACAGGTGCCGTTGAGACATGTATCGATTGTACATGGGTTGCCGTCGTTACAGTTGAGGTCTTTGGTGACACACCCAGTGGCATCTTGGTTGCATTCCTGTGGCTTGCATAGATCTACGGTCTTGCAAACAAGACCCTTGGTAGAACAAGAAACGCAGTTGGGGATCTTGGTGTGCACGCACCCAGTGCTGTTGTTGCACGTGTCAACGGTACACGAGTCGAGATCGTCACAAATCTTTGGCGAGTAGACACATCCGACACCTTCCTTGCACGAGTTGACGGTACACTCATTCGAGTCATCGCATTTAATGGGTACATAGATACAGGTGCTGTTGTCACATCTACCTTTTTGACACGACCTGTTCTCATCACAAGCCATGTCTTGGTATTGACAACCGGCATTTGGAGCACACGACACAATCTTGCAATCTTGTGGAAAACAAGACAAATTATCTCCTTTCTTGCATTCACCGGTGGTGGGGTCGCACTTGGACTCGGAGCAGACATCAGTGTTGTCGCAAATCTTGTATTCGTGTGTACAGTACTTGGAAATCTGGTCCTTGCTGATTTGCGATCTGGGTGGAGGACACTTGTCAACTGTACACTTGTCCTTATCATCACAGTGTACTTCTGGATGACAACACGACGATCCATCACCTTCGCAGACACCACAATAGTCAATGTAACCACACTTTAACTGGATCGAGGTGGACAGTTCAATGTGCGACTCGACCGAGTGACGCTCACAGTAGAAAAAGTCAAATGGATAGTCCTTGCCCTTTTGAAGACCCAAGGTATCCAATGTCAATTCTCTATAGGCTTGTCCATCCTTGATTTCATGTGGTGCTCCCAAATCAACAACCAATAGATTATTGATGAAAACAAATACATCATCATCTCCTTGGAATTTAAATACTTCTCCTCCCTAAAATCAAAAAAAAATTAATAAATAAATAAATGTCTTTTTTCTTTTTTTCTTTTTTTCTCTTTCAACATACAAGATAAGTAAATCTAGCATGCATTTCTAAACAAAAATGAAAGTTGCGAGCGTATTTTTTTTTGTTTGGCATAGTATCTACACCAGGGGCTTCCCAACCCTTGCCATCGATTGGGAAAAATTGATCGTTCTTGTAGGAATATACATTTGGATTGTCGGTTCTGTTGTTGGTTAGAGTAAACACAACATTAATGGGAATGTTGACATTTTCCACATCGTTGAACCATGAATAAAAGGTTGTTTGATTGTGCACTACAAATTGTGATTTGCTGGGGTATGGTTGATCTTCACAACAGTAAACTGGCTTTCTATCTTGACCAAGATTCTTTCTAACGATTCCTGTAATTACTTTATTGGGGCTATCAATTTCAAAATCTGGATTTCTTTCTGGTGTTAAATCTCTTATAGTACAAACAAAATTGATTTGATCTAAATAGATAGATAGATAGATAGATAAAAATCAAATTGATTATGTTAAGAGATTGGATTGAAGATTTAAAATCAAAAATATTTTTTGATAGAATAAATAAATAAATAATTACCTTGAGCTCTAACAATAATAAAAGTTAGAGTATATAATACTAAAATGATACAAATCAATTTAATTTTCACCATGGTTGGGTATTATATTTTTTTTTGACTGATTTTTAAAAACAAAAATAGTCCCTAAGTTTGAGAAAAATAAAAAATAAAGTAAATAAGATTGATTGATGGATTGATTGATTGATTTTTATATTCTTCTTTCTTTTTTTTGAAATGTGTAATATTATTATTATTTTTGGATAAAAAAAAAATATTAAATTTTAAAATAATAATTATAAAACAATAGAGAATAATAGGTATTCGAAAATTTGATTGTTTGTTGGTTATTGTATTTCCCAAATCAACCCAACCGCCGCCGGATAGTTGTTGTTGTAACATTAATATATCACTGTGATCAACTTGTGTTGAATACAACAACAACAACAACTCACTTCCAAACGACAACTTACACCTATTATCTTTTATACAACCTCTTGTTGTTGTTGCTCCTCTTTGTCCTCGTTTCAGACCTTTGTATTTAGATTAATCAGCCGATGTGTATTTATGATTAGATATAGTATAGGAAAAGATTGGACAGATTCAAAAGTCGTTAAATATATATTGTTTGTTGAGACAGACACAAGTGGGATTGATGGGTGGATAAGAGTGAGAACACTAGATGGAAATTTTGTGGGGTAAAAGATGATGATGGAAATATTATTTGTTCACATATATATATTATAATATGATTATATATACATACAAAATGTGTATAATATATTTATATTTTTTTATAATCAAAATTGTGTCGATGGTGTTATCGATTTGATGGTTGTGATAAAGATAAAGATAATTTTTTTTTTGTCCAATAATATTATTAAATTATGTTGATCATTATTATTTTTGTTACATACACGCACGTCTTTGGGGAAAAAAACAATTAAATGGAGGGAAAAAAAAAATAGGAGTGGAGAGTAAAAAGTAAATATTAGATTTAAAGCTGGGGATGGGTTAGTTGAATGAATAAATAAAACAATATCAAAAATTGATGATCCACAAAAAAAACAAAACAAATATAATACAACAAAGGAGCGCAAATTGGAACGTTTCACAATCACGTGATGGCTACTATCGTCGTGATGTATATTATATGTGTGTGGGTGTATCCAACTATCTAACCAACCAACCAACCAACTAACCTGGCAGGCAATGTTGGCTGCGGGATGGTTAAAATAAAAGAAGAAAATGAAGAAAAGGAAGAAGAAGAGGAAGTTGGAATGTGTGTTTGTTGTTGTTGTTGGATATGTTGTACACATAATTTAAATAAATGTGATGTCGATGTTGTGATCGAGCATAAATGGTGTGCGATATAACAAGGGGGTATAGGATCCACCCCAATAACATCAAATTGATGGAAGAAAAGTAAATATTTGTTGTATGTTATCGATCTGAGATAATTATTTCACTCACCCACACATACATAAATATAAATTTATATTATTGTAAGTTTACTTACTCTTTGTCGAGTATGGGTGGGGAAGAGCAACGATCCAGGAAAAAAGATAATGAATAAATAGGTAATGATGATTATTACTAAAATAATTAAATTTTGATGGAACAAGCAAGTTGGATACTGTTTGTTTGTTTGTTTGTTGAAGATAATTAAGGTGTTGATAGGGTTAAATGGAAAATGAATTATATCATTATTATTATCATTCATCATTATTATTTATGCATAATATTGATGCGCGATGGTGGTTTGTAGTGCTGGTGGTGGTTTAATAATATATGTTAATCGTTGATTCACATCCCCTCTTCTGTATAAAGAGAGAGAGGTGTGTGACTGTAGATCTATCTTGGTGAACAGTCTTTTATTGAATATCCAAAAAAAAAAAAAACACACCAGCTACTGTGAAAGTGATTGATTGGGTGAGTGAAATGAGTGTGGGGTGAAGTGTTGAGAATGGTGGTTTGAGAAGATGAGTAGAAGAGGGATGGTTGTTTGAAATATATATCGCGACCTAAAATCATGTGATGATTTGGCTATACAAACCATAGCTTTTTTCGTTTCTTAAACTGGTTGTTCGACCCTTCGCTCCCATCAAACACATGAAACAAAGGGATAATTAAAGATTGTGGATTCCCCTTTTTCCACCTTTTCTAATTATACCTACCTGTTATTTTAAACATGTGTACGCACGCGTATGTATGAGAATCGCCACCCCCCCAGCAGCATGCCGATCCTTACAACCAAGTATGAAATGGTTGGAATCGATTCACATTATTGGATGAATATAATGATGATGATCCTAAAGATAAAGTGTAAACCATGCATGGTTGGTGGTTCATTGGATTCTAGATAAAGATGCTTTTTTGATTGATTTTAAAAAATGAGGAGGAACCGCCACTTTCTATTACTTTATTGTTTTCCCCTCTTCACCTGTGTGAAGTGAATTGATGGACGTGTAGGGGGTATTATCAAGAAGATTAGTGGTGTCATTCATAAGAAAGGGTGTGCCCCTCCCTCCATTGCTCTATTTTCTTAATCTGTAACGATCGATTTGATTTGATTTGATTTCGATTTTGGAAAGAACATCCACATATGTTCTTTCCAATATAATAATAATAATAATAATAATAATAATAATAATAATAATAATAATAATAATAATAATAATAATAATAATAATAATAATAATAATAATAATAATAAGGTGCCATCTGGAGAGGTGAAGTTGTGGAACAGTTTGCATAAAAAGAAAAAAAGATCTATAGTTTATTATTATTATTAAATATTTTGGGGATACAAAGATTTATAACCATTATTATTATAGTTATTATTATTATTATTTGTAGGTGGTTGTTGAGAATAATTGGAATAAACTGATGGTTGATTTTGTAAAAGAGATGTTTTATCATTATTTTGATGTTGATTTTGGTCTAGTTGTATTTGTTTATGACGATTGTTTTTCTTTTTCTTGTGAATGATATAGGCAGTTACGCCACCCAAAATACAACAAAATAATATACAAGAAATTGGAACAATGACAAAGAATAAAACTATAAAGCCATCGAGTGTATAGTCGGTCATACATGAAACGACACATTCATAAATTCCTGTTTCGTTTCCATAAAAATTATATCCTACACATCTTGCCTCTTTAAAGTAATTTGTTCCTGTATAGTTTTATTAATAGTAGTAGTATTTGTAAGTAAACAGGGCTTCATCCTTTCTTTATATATATTTGTTGTTTATAAATCATACTTTTTATTGAACCATCACAACGACTTGTATTGGTTGCTGAATCCCATACTGCATCACAACAAGGGCTAGATGGAGGATAGGGATCATCACCATATGCATATACACAATTTACAAGGAATAGTGAAACGATAGCTATATAAAATATTGTTGAAATTGATGATGATATTCTGAACATGTTTGTTTGTTATGAGGTAGTAGATATTGTTGTTGTTCTTGAAATGAACAGGGACAGGGTTTCTATTTAATGCATTCTACTTTCATTTATTACAATGATCGCCCATTCGATCTTGAATAATAGAGTAGCTTCGGTTTCTCTTTGGTTCTAAAGAACTTAAATATCGTTAAAATCGTGAATAAAAAATCTTTTTTGGGCCGCTCATCCCCCCTAGAAATAGAGGGGATCTATTGACCGCGGTGATTAATATAACAATGGTGATCGGATAGTCGGTTGATTTTAAAAAAGAAGTACAAGTTGTGTGTGTATTATTTTATAATATATTAGGGGTTCTAAATTCTATATTCTATATTCTATATTTCCATATTCCATCCATAATTATTAAGATATTCTCTTTAATCTATTGCAAACATAATCAAATAATATATATCCTATTATACAAACAAACAAAAGTATAATCATAATAATTAGAGTTGGTTGGTTTCAAGAATACATATATTTATCGACGCGCGATCAAACATACCAACACTTAAACCAAAAGAACCAGACAACCCAATTAAAAATGGCCTTAGAACATAGATTTGAAGAGAATGTAAAAGAGAGTTCTTGCATCCATTATAATAACTTTGGTCCTTTTCACCCAAATAACTGTACACTCCAATAGCACTATTTGATCGTCTCATCCCTCCATTATATTCATATTGTTGTTGTTGCTGATGTTGCTGATGTTGTTGCTGTACATTACTATTACTCTTATTTAAACTATACAATAATCCTGAAAAGCTATTATATGCATTACTATTTTTATTATTATTAATATTTTGTTGTTGTTGTTGTTGTTGTGAATTGTTATTGTTATTACTATTAGAACTACTTGATGCTGGTGATGAAGGTGCAGAATCACCTGATTGATTTAATGACATTATCTATCTTTATTATTAACAACTCTCAAACAAGTATGATGTAATAATACTACTCGAGTTGTACTGCAGATAGGTTTGTTTGCAGAGGGGGTGAACTCTCTCTTGTTTTTTTTTACTTTTTTGAAAAAGGAAACCCTTGACTTTGATGATCATCACTTTGAAAGCCTAATTTAGATTGATCCTCCTTTCTCTTTAGATATCATATATATATACTTACTTTAGATAAGCATGGCAAAGTTTGGTATGTTTAGAATAATTAAACAGACATTAGATAGATAGATAGATGATTACTGACACCCACTACTATTCCCTCTCATCAATACTCTTACTTTTCTACAGAACACCCATCAACAGGCAACACTCTTGCATTTTCAGCACTTTCATTCATTATTGTATTGGGTGCACTCCAACTCAACGCTTCATTCTTTCAATCAACCAATAATAGAACTGTAGTTGGTGGTCTTGTTGGATCATCTTTATTCTTTTTCTTGTTGACTGTATGATAGATAGATTAGATTAGATTAGATTGATGACTAACACATATTACTTTTGTCTCGTATGACATATATATATAGTTCCTTGGAGCAGTTAAAAAGGAACTTAAATGGGTTGAAGTTCTACTTTCATTATTTATCACCTTTACCATTTCATCATCGGTTCACAGAGTATCGGGAACCACCAGTGTCTTGTTCTCATTTGCCATTTTATACTATGTAAACACAATGTCAAAGAAGTTGTTAAAAGAAGATTCTACTCCTGTTGCCACAACTACAAAGAGTAAAAAGAATTAAAATGTAAAGAAGGAAGGAAAGAAAGAAAGAGTGAGAGATGGATACAAAGAGATAGATGTCTCTCACCCCTTTTTTTTTTTGTTATTATAATATAGTAATCAAACGTTTAAATAATGGTTATACTCATATGTAAAGAGATATATATAGCATATTATGATACTCAAAAATAAATAACCCATGTAAACTCTAACACAAACAAACAAAAACACAAAAGGACAAATGATGGAAATAATGTAATGGAAAGGAAGAAGAAGTTTGGAACTATAATAGGATTGATTATTTAATAATGTACATATATTTTATTCTTTTATTTGGTACCAGTAGTCTAGACTACTGTTGCAGTGGCAGTAGGTTTAGATTGCATTTGTAAATGTGGTGGTGGAGGTGGAGGAGAGGATGGCAATGGTGGGACGGTTGGCAACCGACATTTATAGGCAGTATCTAATGCATCGGCAAGTGAGTCAAGGGTGATTTGGGATGACTCTAGATGGGGACGACCTAAAGCCAACAATTTAATACCGTCTACAAGTGCTTGAGAATCCTCCTTTTCACGAGCATTTAAAGAAAAGTTGGTTTCTTTGGTAGTGATGGAAAAGGTAAAAGAATAATGAGTCGATGAATTCATACCACCAAGGCTAAATGAACTACCTGCAGGTGAAGATGAAAGTGATCCACCTCCACTACCACCAGCCGAAGACCCAAGTGACAAAGAGAGTGGTGATGAAGTAGATGGTGACATGGAGATGGGTGCACTACCACCACCACCCATACTCATTGCAAGTGGTGATGTTGGTATTGAAGTTGGACTACTAGACTTATCCTCTCTAGAATTATCTCTTAATAGATTATTACTGGCTGAACGTGCAAGTAGACCAAACTTTGGTGAATTAGACATGGACGATCCAAGCAAACTATTCTTTTTGTTGGGTTGTGGTGTTTGTGGGCCACTACCCGAAGACGAGTCTGAATCAAGACCCAATAATTGAGCAGCCTTGCTGTTGCCCGGTGGTGCCTGGTGTGGTAGTGATGACTGTGGTGCAGGGCCATCCAGTCCAAGTAAAGCAGCCGCTTTGGAAGAATTGGATGACGGTGATGATGATCCCGATACAAGTCCAAGTCCAAGTCCATTAGACGATGTACTTCTAGCGAGTAGTGGTGAAGATGGTGGTGTCAAACTACCAACTGATGACCCTAACGATCCATGACTACCACTCAAACTTAGATTACTATTACTATTACTATTATTTACAATTTCAACATTTTGTATTGATGATATTTTAACTATTTAAATCAAACCAAAAGTAACAATATTATAGTTAATAATCCATCAAACATGGGACTTGTTATCTTTTTGATTTACACATACTTTTCTCGAGTGTTACATGATTTTTATCTAATAATTCCAATTCGTTGAAATTAGAAGATAGACGGATATATTCTACATTGATATTAAATGGTTCGGATAGATGAACAGGAATTGCATTTGGTTGCAGGAAAAGTGCACAAAGAATTTGTTTATACATTAGAAATGATTCGATTCTAGAGTCAAATGGGTCTTGTTGTTGTTGGCCTGTACTCTTTCTATCTGTTGGTCTTGGAGAGATTGCTGTTGTTGATAAAAATGATGACATTTTCTTTTTCTTTCTCTCTTTATATATGTATCTGTTTTTGCTTTGCTTTGCTGTTGTTGATCTGTTTGATTTTATCTTTCGGTTGGTTTTAAGTAAGTGGGTTTGAGTTGTGATTGTGTGTGGTGGGTGGTTTCAGTGATTTACTTTGAAGTTGAAGTATGTGTGTTGTGAAGTTGTTATTATACAAAAGGGTTGAATAAATATGTGTTGTTTAAGAGAGTAATAATACAAAAGAAGAAGAAGATAGATAATGAGTACAAGTACACTTAAGATGAAAGATGCGATGCAAAACAATAGTGTTTCATGATCAACCCAACGCCCACCATTCATTCTTCAATCGGGATTTGCCCCCCAAAAAAAAAAAAAAGAAACAGAAAAAAGTATCTCGAATGGGATATTTTCCAACGTATCTCGAGACTCCTTATATAATATAATATATTTTTTGTACAACAATTAATTAATTTATTATTATTAAATTTATTTATTTATTTATTTAAAAATACATGTATTTATTATTGTGGTTTATTATGAACTGAGACCACAAATATTAATTTGATGAAGTGAATGAATTAGACCATATTCACAAGCAATGGTTTTTAAAATATTAAGATTGGATGAACTAGAGTAACTGGGTGACCCAAAATAATTACATAGGATGGTGATGATTTCTGGTTGACGGTGAATCCAAAGTGACACAAATACACCCATACGATGGGGACTGAAATCTTGAACTGTCAACTTTCTATAGCCTTGTTGGTTTGGTTGGTGTTGGTAACGGTCTAATATAAATTGTAGCATTTCTAAATTGATTGATAATATTTCAGTATCCATTGTTAAATAGATACTTTTAAGTGCTACCTTTTTGGTGAGTGCTACTATGTTGTGGCTGAGGAGATACTCTAGTACATGGATATGACCCACTCTAACAGACTCGTACCATAGTGATAATAGACGTCTTGTATTTCTGATAGAGTAATGGTTGATGAGATAAATGATGAGGTCAAGGTTACCACTGGTAGCTGCATTTTGGATAGCCACTTCTGAACATCTTTTGACAAACCCTGATAATGCAACTATACGGTTGAAATCACCATCCATTGCCTCCAATTGGAATGACCTGGTAGTTGGTAGAATAGACATATGAGCTTGTCTACATGGTTTGTAAACAAAGCAGTTGTAGATGCCACCACCTGACAGTCCCGCAGTATACAGATACAAAGTATCGTGTGGTTTGGGTACCTTCATATTGATGTATGTTGATCTAAAGTTTGAAGGATTGACAGTAACCGATCGGATCTTGTCTAATTCCGACTGACTGATATAGGGTGTATGGAATTTAACTTGTTCGATAAATTGGTCCAATTTAAAGTCTGCAGACTTTTCTTCCATATCCATCAATACCCAACATTTGAGTATATGGATTACAAACATAATGTGACTTGGCCAAGTCTTGAAATAAAGGTTCATCATCTCGACCGTTGCTTCATCCCACACTTTTGATTCAGGTGACACTCTGAAATTGTCACCCAAGTGTACACGTAGTTTGTTGGATGGCAGCAATGACTTCATGACATGTAAAGCAGCCACAGCGTTGCCATGGGCCAATGCAGACGCCAACAAACCCGAACAAGGTTGATACTGACTCTTGAACATGTCAAAGTATTCGATAAACATATCTGTCTGTTTCATCCGCAGCATTGTTACCAACGATCCATCCAACACTATATTGATCCATCCCAATTGTTCATAAACACATCTTGATAAATATTTATTCTCTATTAATACATTTCTAACTGTTCTATCTAAAAAACTTGTAGCAGTTGTATTATCTTGTTTTTTATCATTATTCTTCATCATTATTTCTTCTCCTATTCTTCTTTGTTTGCATTGATATCGACCTATATCTCTATCATTGAACACCCACAACCCCATTGTATTAATATGCACCCCCATTGTTTGTTTTTTTTAAATCTAAAATTAATTTTAATTAAAAATTGAAATCTCTTGTTTATTTCTTATTTATTTGGTTTTTAAAAATGATTTAATTTTTAATATATTTAATATTTGATTATTTGTTTAAATATTGATTTAATTTATCTTTAATATTTGATAACCAAATATTATTATATTCAACGATTTCAAGGGATTGATGAATTTGTCTGTTGACGATGGGGATAGAGTGAGTGTCCAAGAGGAATGTTTTGTAGGTGTCGAGTTGAGTGGAGAGGATGGGGATTGACTTTTGAACGATAATGTAATAGTTGATTTGTTGATTGAATATGCTATCGATTTGATTAAAATGTTTGGTAAAGTAGTCCCATACCACCTCTCCGTGTTGACTACCGATACCTTGGTAGACATTCATAATGTTGGTGTCACGGATGGCGGGTGAATAGGCAAGGTCGAGGATTTTGATAATTCCCTCTGCCAATGGTGTTGATCCTATTGCCGAGAGATAGACTAATGTCTCTGACGTGTCTTTTGATTGTTTGAGATTCTCCAATACAATATCCAATGTCTCCATATTGCCATTGGCAACGATAGTTGATAGGATGACAGGTTTAATATTATTATCGATATGATTGGTGGTGTTTGATTTGATTTGGTCCCAGTACTTTTGTGATTCCAAGACGACTGGTTGATACGATAACTGTCCGAGTAAAGTATTGACACGTTGTCTAATCAAGATATTACCAATGGATTCGTCAGAGGTGGTTGGATGGAACCCTAGTCGAGTGTAGGTTGGTTCGAGGATAGACACGACAAATGAAACCAACTTGCTATAATAGGGTTGTTTATAATTGACAGATAATAGATTGGAAAGACTACCAACTAAAAGGAACCAAATAGAATACTCGGTCTCTGTCTTGTACGACTCAAACAATTGCATCAATAATGTGACGTCTAGTTTACCGGCCTTGCACAATGCAATACTGTCAGACAGTAATCCCAATCGATCGACTGGTGGTAATTCCTTTGACCGTACTCTTTCAATTAATGTCTCCAATACATCCTTTTCATAACATATCGTAAAATAGCCAGTCTCTCCAAAATTTAATTTAAACCATCTACCACTACCATCTTTTCCAGCAGCTGGTACCAAATCAACCAATTGTTTCTTTTCTTTTAAATAAACATCTTTATGATTATTAATCTTGATATTACAATTCCAAAGTACCGATGAATCATTTTCGTCCTCTTTTTCATCTTTTTTAAATTTAAATTTAGATTGTTCAATAGTGTATCTATGATTTTGACTATTATCTTTGGTAAGAGAAATGGTTGGATACCCAGGATGAATGATAAACGATTGAATAAAATCTTTAACATTATCATTTGCTTTGAGTGAGATTGAATTCCATAAATCATCAGATGTTGTATTTTTGTAGGCGTGTTGTGATAGGTAATGATTTACACCTTGACGGAATGCATCACCATAACGAGCCTCTAACATTTGAATGACACATGCACTCTTGTCATAGGAGATTGAATCGAAAATCTCTGCTATTTGACTAGAGTCTCGAGCAACACATTCAATGGGATGAGTAGCAATTAACGAGTCAAAATCAAATGCTCCCTGTCGATAGGTGTACGAGAAATCCAACCAATAGCTCCATTCTGGGAACAAGGCGTTTGTACAGGCCGACCCCATAAAAGTGGCAAACCCTTCATTCAACCAGAGTTGTGACCACCAATCCATCGTCACCAAATTACCAAACCATTGGTGTGCCAATTCATGACATATCAAATACGCCAATCTTTGTTTGTTATATAATGTTGAATGTTTTGAAGTTAAAACATATTCTTCTGCATATGTTGTTAATCCCCCTAAAAAAATAGAATAAATAAATATTAATATAATATACGTTAATTTAATTATTTTTTTTTGATTTGATTGAATGATATTTACAATTTTCCATTGCATAAAAAGCAAATTCAGGAACAGCCAATAAATCACATTTCTTTAATGGATAGGGTATTTCAAAGTAAGAAGAAAAGAATGATAGAGCTCTACTGGCAACATCCAAACCAAAGATACCATTCTCATCCTTGTCCTTTCCAATGACTTGGTAGACACGTACCAATACACCTTCCTTTGTCGTCGTTTCGATATGATCAAACTCTCCAATGGCAAAAGCTAGCAGGTATGAGCTCATAAGTGGGGTGGTCTCGAATCGGTAGGTGGTGTTGGCAGTAGTCACACCATCCTTGTCCTTTTGCACTTTGGGGTAACCTTCGATGAGTGGTTGATTGGACAATGCCATGAGATCACCTTGCACGGTAATAGTCACATCAAACGTTGCTTTGAGAGCAGGTTCATCCCAACCAGGAACACATAATCTAAAATAGGTTGCTTCAAATTGAGTTGATGCCATCCAACATTCCTTTCCATTGACTGTATACTTTGACCGATAGAATCCACTCATCTTGTCATTAATCACTCCACTATATTCCATTGACAAGATGACTTGTTGGTCTTTTTCATTATTTGATTGAACAACGACAATTGGTTGATCCAATACTAATAAAGCTGTTTCATTCTCTTTGTTGTATCGTATTGATGTTGCTTGACAAAATAGTTTTTGTTTAGTTGTTGAATTTGTCCGTCTAACCTCTGCCTTGTGAATGACTAGATCAGCAGAGTGTAGTAGAATGGTCGAGATGATATCTTTACTATTCAATCGTAGAGTAATCTCTACCGATCCCTTGAATGTAAATGCCTCAAGGTCAGGTTCAACATGCAAGTTGTAATGAATGGGTAACAGAACATCTGGTAATACCAATCGATCTACTTTATCTATCAACATCTGTTGTTGATGATGATGACCACTACTACATCGTTGTTGTTGTTGTTGCTCCATTATCTACTATATTAACTAATTTCTATGTTGTATTATATATATAGTATAGCACAGTGCACTTGTTAACTTGTGTACACCCCCTCATCTCAAAGTGGTTCGATGTGTGTAACCTTAAAAATTAAATTAAATTTGAAGTTCAAATTTGTAGCCAATAATACACAACTTCCATAGTTGTTCGTTCTCTCTTTCCTATTTCCATCCATCATCTCTTTTTTATATTTGTTGTTGGTGTTGTTGTTGTTGTTGGAGATTCAAATAATGGATAGGTGAAACGGGAAGAGAACTATCAAAGCCCAATATGGATATAATGTGGGGTTGGAACACCTATCGAGGAGATGTTCCCTTGAGAATTGATCCTGGCCGTAGGTAAAGTTTGGATTGTATGGGATGAACATGATCTTGTTGGGGATTGATGCTTCAAATACCCATCATGATACCAACAAATTTCGATGTCGTAGGCTAATCAAGGGAGGGTATCCTCTAATTTTAATCAAAAGGGTGATCGAGCCGATACCTCAACATCGCTCATCTACAGTCCCTTCAATTGAATTGCCCAAAAAGTTACATCAAGCTTGAATAGGGAAACAAAACTCTAGATTTCATTCATTTCAAAGAGTTTGATTCAGTGTTGTCGTCTACACAAAACAACTTCCTTTTCTCTCTCTCTCTTTATTTTTGAATGAGAGGTGTCGTTTGGTACCCATTAAAAAAAAACTAGCCCATTAAGGATTTCGGGCTGAAAATGGCAGACCCCCCTCCAACCCCCTATTTGAGGGGATCTCGAGCACTTTGATTGGTTTTTTTTGAAACCAAACTACCCAATCAGAGTGTGGGTTGTCGTGGACACACACGTTTCGAAAGGCAGGTAGATAAATACAAACGCAAACACTGTGTGTGATGATGGATTGGTAGCACACAAAGTGTAACCATTCGTACGATAATAGATTTATTAAAAGAAAGAAAGATAATATACAGATAGACAGACAGAGATAGATATATATATATATTATAAATAAATAAAAGAGACACTATAAATTAATCAATTATTCTCTCAAAGAGAGATAAGATAAAGTTAGGAATCGATTGAAAAACAAGTAGCACAAGTGTTGTTCCTCCTCTGATCAAAAAAAAAAAAAAAATGGATAAGACAACCTTTTTATTGATTTCACTGTTGTTATCATTGTTATTGGTTTGTTGTCAGCTGTCTCAACAATGTAATGGTGCAACCATTGAAATTAGAGATCAACAATATTTATTTAAAGATACGACCATCACACTCTACAACAGTGATGAATTCATAGTCTCCAACTCGACCGTCTACTTTGACAATGTCACCTTTGTATTTGGATCAAATGTAACATTCTCCTTCTTTTCCGATTGTCATCTATCCAGTGTAACACCAATCCTCATTGAACCCAATCGAGTCAATGCAACTTCACTTGACATGATTTCAACTTTAAAATTAACAAAGTATGTATATGTAATAAAGTATCATGATACATACATACTTTTGTTGTGCATTTTACTTACTCTTTTTATATTTCTTTTCTTTTTATTATATTAGTATAACACTGTCAATGACAACGACAGGTAACTTTTATGATTTCATAATTGATATGAAAGATGGAAAGAGTCAATTAATGTCAAACAAGGCGGTTGTAGTATTTACCTATGCATCGCTGATTGATGGCGATGATATTATGCAAGGTGGAACAGTGGTGATTGTGGCACCAGAGACTTCCGCTACGCTATCGAGTATTTCCATCTTTCCACCTGGATTCAACTCTATTTTCTCACCCATTCCATCATACTATCTACCAACGATTACCATCACGGCCACTATCATCAATCAACGAACATTTACTTGTTTCTTTCCCATCAAGATTGAGCCAAGTTTGATGAGAGGTAATAGCGCCAGTTGCAGATACTTCTTTTCCGATATTACAACGGCCTCTGAGATGGGTCACATCAACTTTACTCGATGCAGTGCCATCTTGTTCAAGGTCAATACCCGAGGTGGGCGACTATCGTTTCAGTATAGTGCTTGGGATCTTGGATACAATATTAGTGCCGTGGCCAACACGACTGTACACTTTTTAGAGAATGCTACCCTCGTAGCCAATATGATTAGTATCAACAACCCTCGGTCGCCATTTGGTATGATACAATTGGACAGGGACAGTAATTTTGTGTTTACCGACCCGCTGACAACGATCATCAACCCCAACGTATACAACAATGTCTTTAGCTCCAATAATCCATACATTGCTCTGCAAATCACACTCATAACGTCTGAATATGCCAACATCGATTGTAATGGGAGTACAGTGTCTCGAGTCTTGGGTAATCATCCGGCGCGACAACGACTCAACCCCTTTATTCAGGTCCTGTCATCACCCACTATCTCGTCTAGAGCAGACGGTATCTTGACGTGCTCGCGACAAACGCTCTCTATCCGTATGTTTACCGAAGATATGTTGTTGGAGCCAATGATCTGGCTGCCAACATGCGAGGTACCCCTATTCCGTTGTTTCTCGGCTGGCAATGACTGTATCACCATGGCCGATTGCTACGGAGACTCTATCTATTGTAACAGTCAGGTCCCACCATCCAACGAAGCCGAACTATATCCCAACAATGCTGTCGCCGCCTCTCTTGGCACTCTCGACACTGAAATCTACCAGCCTTTTATTTGTTGGAATGGAAAGTGTTCAACTGTCCCTGAAAAATGCATGCCATTCCCTGCCTGTCCTAGAAACCAACCTGTCAGATGCTCTGGTTTCTGTCTACCCGCCAACTCTACTTGTCCCTACTGCGCCAACCCATGTCCATTTGGATGTCTCAATTCAACACAGCTATGCAACCAACCGTGGTTTGGATGTGGTATTGGCCAATACCAATGTCCCAACAATCTTGCATGTGTCTTGGACCCTGCCGACTGTGACACCTATGGAATGACAGATGTTCCAAGTTCCAATAGACTATTGACAAGTACCACAGATGTATACACTGGATTAAAATCAGTGGCAGCAATGTGGTTTGGTATTGCAAGTGACGCATTAAACTTTACGGCCAAAGGTCAAATTGTATTCACTGGTTCAGCACTTCCAGAAACTTCAAACTTTACAAGAGCCGCTCCCATCGGTGATTCATATGCTAGATTAGCAACTGGTAAAAACATCTCTCCATCATTTGATTATTTTAAAAATCTTCTGACTGCTCCTTTTGAATTATATTTATTATTTCGTAAGATTAAATGATAGATAATATAAATTTTTCCAAAAACTAATCATTATTATTATTTATTTATATTTAGATGATAACTATACATTTTCAGAACCAATATCAATCTTTTTAGAAAATGAACATGTTCAACATTATGTATGTAGTATTAGATGAATATTTATATATTTATACACAAATCTTATTAATTAATTATTTATTTTTAAAAGGGATTGGATGATATGTGTTTAGGATTTATAAATTTAAATTATGAATGGGAGTGTACTCCATATCCTTTGGAATATAGATTTAACAAATCAATTATCATGGCTCAAACCATTCAATTTAGTAATTTTGCTTTATTGTTAAAATACAACAAGGCTGGCAATAGTTCATCAACTGATTCATCCAAACAAGAAATATCAACAAAGACTATGATTATTATCGCCACAACAGTCTGTACGGGTGTAGTTATACTAACAGCCTTGGGTGCTGTAGTCTTGAACGTTGGATTGAAAAAACTTTCACCTTTTAGAAGATACAAAGTTGAAATTACAGATGAAGAAAAAGAAAAATATCAAAAACAAAGAATTTAGAGCTAAATAAGAGAGAGAGAGAGAGAGAGAGAAATAAGAAAAAAACAAATTACAACAAATTACAACATGTACATAATCACCTTTATAAATCAAAAACTTGAACAATTAATTAACAAATAATAATATTTGAAGTAATATTACTAATAATAATAATAATAACTATCCACCTTCATAACCAAGGTCATCCTTGGTTTTATTCCCATCCATATTTAATTATTTAAATAAATACAATTCACTTTTTTTTTTTTTTTTTTAAATTATAGTCTATTTTGGAAATCAAATAATTTAGTACATCCAGGACATATCTTGTATCCTATCCTATCTTTCAATGTTGTTTAAATGTTTTAAAATTTTTTAATTTTTTTTTGTAATTTTTATTTATTTCTTTACGGGGATATTATTACTATTTAAATATTATATTATTATATTATTTACTCATCAGAATCTGAATCTTCTATAAGAGTACCTAATACATGACTGTTATTATTATTATTATTATTATTGGAATTTTCTGAATTAATATTAATTGAATTTGGAACTTGTTGTTGTGGAATGGTAATTGGTGGTGGTGCAGTAGTTGTTCCAGTACTGGAAGATTGATGATGACGAGGAGAATGATTTGTCGTTGAACTAGTATGTTTCTTTGGAGTATGTGGAGGAGAGTTTGAAGAATCGCTAGTAAAATCTTCCAATTCATTTTCATTATTGGCTCCGCTTTGATTGTCCTTTTGATTATTATTGTTGTTGTTGTTGTTGCGACCACGACGTGATGGGATACATTGGTCAACGTAACCTCTGACCCTTTCCTTGCCATAAAAGAAGGTGACGAGCACCAAAATGATAAAGGCCCAACCGACGAGCAAGAGGATGAGTGGGAGGACCTTGGTCTTGTCGATCTTTCCGTCGCCATAGTATATGCTGTGTGCAATGACCAATACGATGGATGCCCAGAAACTGAGCGAGAAAAAGACTGTACGCAAACGGTTGACCCATGGCAAAAGACATGGCTGGAAGATGACATTGAGTGCCAAAAAGAAAAAGTTGATCAAGACGACCGTCGTCAAATACACCTCGTACTTGCTCTTTCCAAACGACACGCACACTGCACCCATCAAGAACTTGCCTTGCAACATGACAAACACCACCTTTGGTTTGAACTTGATGTCTGAGATGTTTTGAGTCTGCGACTGAGCAAATGAGGCGGCGGGGTAGTAGATGATGAGCGCAATCATGGTACACACGAGCAATGCAATGTGCTTGCCCTCGAGACACACGATGCTGCTGTTGGCGTCGAGCAGCGGAACTTCCTTGTCGGCAAACGTGCAACTGGTGCCGGTCAACATCATTGTGATGACGGGAAAGTAGAGAGTGTTGACGAGGAACCACAGCACCGAGTAGATGTTGTCTTGGTAGCGCTCGACGACGCTGGCGGCGCTGTCCTCGCCACGACGAATGCCGTACATGTAGATGAGGATTCTGATGGCAATGACAAAGATGTATGGAGAAAAGGCGACGACAAACATGACCCAGTAGGCGACCTCGAATTTCTCGCCCGAGGGGTATGGGGTCGCGACATAGTTAAAGAAACGGAAGATGTACGATCCGAGGTACGGACCAAAACTCTCGTTGAAGCTAAATGAGCAGATCTGAATAAACTCGACAAAAAGACCGGCCATGGCTACAATGTTTGTAAAGTTCCAACGGACACCTGTGAATGTTGGTGTCTCCCAGGCCTCTCGTGAGGCTCCCAAATAGTATGTGCAGCATAGACAAAAGAAGAGAAGCAATATAAAGGTTGCAAACGTTGCGAAAAAGATAACTCCACGTGTAGGCGTGCTGATTCCATTGATCAATGTACTGACAAGACAACATATGATCGCTGCTATAATCGCCATAATAAAACAAAATGCTCCAAGTAAATGAAAGGGACTTGATCTTGTCGGTCCCTTTACTGATTCTATTTCATCGTCTTCATCTTCTACTACTACTACTGGTTGTTGTTTTTCTTTTTTCATCTTTTCTATATATATATATTATATTATTATTATTATTACAAATTATTCTATTATTCTATTATTCTATTATTAAGTAAGTTTAAGTTGATTATTATTAGTACTAAAGATTGAAACGTTTACGTTTTTTGTTGATGATGAAGAGTTGTTGTTTGGTTGTTTGTTTAAATGATACAGTGGTGTTGTAATGTTAATAGCTGTTTGATGGTTTATAGTAGTTGAGGTTGGTTGGTTGGTGATATGATATCCTTCCTCCTCAAACAAAAAGTTATTTTTAAAAAAATAAATATAGATAGAAAAAAGTTGATAATGTGAAGAAGTAAAGTAGTACTACACTTTTAACAAATAAATAAAAAAGTGTTGCAAATATATATGTTGTTGCTGATGGCTGATGAACGACAGAGATCTCTGTGCTGATGAAAAAAAGGTGATACAGTTACTGGCTCTCTCTCTCTTCCGATGTGTGCCTGCTTCTGCTACTGCTGCTGCTATTGTTGGTGTTGTGATTGCTTGCTTGATTGGAATTGTTTGGTAGGCGATTGTTTTGTTGTTGTTGTTGTTGGTCGGAGCAGGTGAGGTGGTGGTGGAGGTGGAGGTGGGGGCTGGTTGGTTTGAGAGGGAGGGTAGTTAATTTAGTTTTAGTTTTCTGTGTCGATAAAAAAAACAGTCCTCTCTTCCGTGTCAAGTTTTTTTTTTTGAAACTGTTTGTTGTTTGGGTAAAAAATAGAATATTGAACCAGTGGTGTAAAAATAATCCTTCTCTAAACTAAACTAAACTGAACTATAGAATCTAAATAAATATAGTTATCTAAAAATAAATAATGTATTTATATATAAATATGTGTGATACATCAACAAGAGGAAAGGATGTTGTTGGTAAGATGATGTGAATCAAGAAAAAGTAGTAGTTAGTATAAATGTGATTGTTTTTGGTTTGTATTTGTATTTGATTAATATGGTAGTAAATTGTGATTGATTTGATTTGTGATTTGTGATTTGATTGATTGATTGATGTTGGATGTGATGATGATAATGATGATGGTGATGATGATGATGATGATGATAAATAAGAGTGAGAGAAGCAAGAAAACAAGAACGAGCGAACTTGCTAGACAGGACAGGTTAGGGTGTAGGTAGGGAGTGGTATCTACAATTTGTTTTGTTAAAAAGGGGGGGTACTCTTTCATTAATGAATGATGGTTTGGATTGATTGGACACCAATGCGAATCCATCCAACATGTCAAGTGTAGAATGCTGCGATTGGTGTGGGAGTGTATGTGTATGTGGTGTGGTGATGGGGGAAACCATCCATCCATCCATCCAAACAAATCACTCAAAGTGTGTGTGTTTAGTGGGGAGGGGTTATAATAATAGAGTAGTAATTACATTTTTGTAAAAAGAGCGAGTAAGTTTGGTTTAGTTATCTGTTTGTTTGTTGGGTTTGGAAAAAGAAGAAGAGCCTTTCTAGCCTTAATGATAATATATATATATATGTATATGCCTCTGTTGTTGTTGTTGATGAACAAAAAATGATGTCAATGATTTGTTGTGTTTGTCAACTCGTTGTTCTATGCGACTTGTCCAACAAAATATTTAATAATAAATCTAATTGATCGTGTAGTCCCCTAATCACTACATCTGCGAATAAACCATGTAATAATAATTATTATTATTCCCCGGTCATTCACTCGAGAGAGTTAGGCCAACGCCCCACCCACAAATAAACTATTGGCAGCGTAGACACCTTCGTATTTTCTGTGTGATTAAACGAAAGGGTGTCTCACACGTTTGGTATGCGTGACAAGGCCACCGAGGGAGGGCAGACAGTAATGTTCAGGAATGTCGTGATCAAAACAAACGTGTGCAAAAATAGATCTTTGAATAAAAAACGACAAAACAGACCGACTTGGTGTAGTCTCCGGACCAAAATACCTAAAAACTGTTTTTAGATCTGTGTTGTTGGGTCTATGACCCTATGCAATGCCGCTGCTCTAAGAACTGTCCAATCAAACAGTGTATAGGTGTCTCTCTCTCTCTGGTTATTGTCTTGGGACCGACCGTGTCTCTTAATTAATTAATGAATGAATGAATAACTAGTAATTGGTGTCGTGACAGTGCTGCTGTTAATGAATTGATGGTGGACGCGAAACTCCAAGGTTTTAAAAGTTGCAAACACTTGGAGGCAACAAACCATTCTTATTACCAATAAATATATACTGAGCGCGTTAGAGAAGAAGAAGAAAGCGACAACAAACAAACAAACAAACAAACAACAAGAACAACAAACTTTGTTGTTGATACAAAGAAAAGGAAGAAGAAAAAGGTACAACAAAATCCAAACTCTGCATGCAATTGCAGAAATGGTGTTACATGAATACAAGCATGGGTAAACATAAGCGCAATGTGCGTTTGGTTCGTGACAGACCAACCAAATAGGCAGATGATAGATAGATAAAAGATAGATATATACAAACTACTTTGTGGGTTGATGATGTACAACCACTATGCTACACACTAACCACTGTGATGATGAATTTATTAGAGGGAGTTTGAGAAATTACTATTTCTTCTCTGTCTTTAATTCTTTTTACCTTTGTACTCTACTTAACCAACTACTATAACTATATTAGTTGTTGTATATTGAACACATATGGATAATAATAATGCTACACCCCCTACTACCAAGCCGGCCAAGCTGCTTAATAGTAGTAGTAGTTCAGTCAGCTGAGTCGCCCAGCTAGCTACCAATAATAATAATAATAAAATGACGGATCATCAACCAATCATTACAACTCTACATGATAGAGTTGTGATACGACTTTTTTAAGATATTGTTGGATGTTAAAGTGGGTGATGGTGTGGTGGTGGGTTGGGGTTGGGTGAGGTGGTGATCAAACAACCCATGTCACTTTTATGGAAACGATAGAAGAGATAGATTCAGATTGGGTCAATCCTTGTAATATGATTGATTGATCGATTGATTGATTGAACAAGCTAATTTCTTGTCTTGTCTAAACAATATATATAATAATAATAATAACCACCATACATAACATATTATTATTATTATTCATAAACTACTGTTCAAGGAACATCACATAAAATGGATTGTGATGGGTAATAATAACAATAATAATAATGTTGTACGACGATATTATAACGTTTTGTGATTGGACAGATGATGATTGTCAATTTATCTGATCTTTGCTTCCTTTTTACCTTTTTGATAATGTAGTTCTGTCTGACCCTTTTTGTAAATAAATAAATAAAAATACAAAAAAAAAAGATGTTTCTCTTCTTTTATCTGATGTGCGCACTAACTAAACCATTTGAAGGCGATGATCATAGGCTTTTGATTTACAGAGCAACCACTTCTGTTCAGCTGAACAAACACAGAGAGGGTAATTAATTTAAAATGGTTTGGATATTTTTGTAACAAAAATCTTGGTGTTGTTGTTATCCATCCACTCAACTTTGTTTGTTTATTCGCCGATCAATGAATATACGTACGTGCGGGCGCGAAACCTTTGCCTCTCTGGTCTGTTCGAGGGCAACAAAGAGGTTTCATTGCACCACCATACACCAAATAAAAAAGAAAATCGAAAGATCAGAATTGATGGGCAACCCGCCGACGAGAGGGCTGATTTTTCTCAAAAAGGAAAAATCCAAAATGGGAAATGCACATTTTCGACCAAAGACTTGTCCTCCACAAGAACCTTGTCTATGAAACATGGACATTGTATTATGCACGGATCAGCGGTTCATATAAAACTTGGAAATAAACAGACAGAAGCGAATGTGTTCTAGATTCGAGCCAAATTTAGGCAAGAGATATAATAACAATGTGGTGGATGAATCTAAATGGTTTGGTGTATTACTAATTATTGTTCCATGGCATTATTATCTGAAGATTCAGATGAACCAAAACTAATATCTTGATTTGGGAACTCTGCTTTTCTAATTCTTATGCTACAACAAACTAATTTGAATGAAATCAAAGGTGTTATTATTATTATTATTGATATTATATGTATTGTATGTATATTTACTCTTTTCAATCTTTTCTAAATTTTGCATCGTAACATTGAGCTTACTCTCCAAACTTGGACTGAGGTGAAAGTATTTGAAACCAGTTTGAATGGTGGTTACAAACTGATGGATTTTGAAACACTCTGAATAACATTGCTTACTGATATAGTTTGTACAAAGTCTCATCAACTCTCCAGTTAGATCAGATACACCTAAATAATAATCTTCATTTGAAATGATAAAATTACCAAGATTTTCCTAAATAAATTAAATAAATAAATAAATTAATAAAAGTACATGATGTACAATTTTGACTCGAATGTATATATTTACTCTTTTCAAAGTAGTTGATATTCTATGATTAATTTCTTTTAATGTGATCAATCCATCGTCTTGGTGATCTTCCAAAAAGTATAAATAAGTGATTGATTCAATGTATTCTTGGATACCCATTGTAAAGTTTCTCTGGTAGATCCAGTACTCTTGACCTTCCAACTCGTTGATAATGTTTCCAATCATAACATGAATCTTGTCCAAATCTTCATATGCCTGTTTCATAATAGTCGATCGATCCTCCCAACATGATCTATGAAGCAAAGAGATCAATCTCTTGCTGTGAATGGTAACATCTCTACTAACCTTTACAATTCTTTCTCTTCTATCATTCTAGAAATATATATAAAATGGATGTATAAGTTATTTGTCTAGATATAATCAATATAGTTGATTGATTGATTGATTGATTGATATAGAGATAGTTACGACTTCATCCAATGATTTTGAGAAACCTCTAAATAATGATACGATCTCTGTGTCTTTTGATGTATCAACTACAACTTCCTTTTTGATATTATTGTCTCGTCTATTATTGTATCCTTCTGTTCGATTATTATTGTTATTGTTATTATCTTTTCTTTGGTATTTAAATGGTTGTTTTGGTTTATCATCGGCTGTTGCTTCAGAGGAAGCAGCTGCCACAGTAGGTGCTGCAGTAGCAGTAGTGGTGGTAGTATCTTGATTTTCTTCTTCAGCTTCTCTTTTCATTCTCTTTATATTGTATCTCTTGAAAGATAGATAGATAAAAAATAGTAATACTAGTTTGGGTTGGGGAAGTTCAAAATGAGCTGAATGTGTTGTCAAATTTTGAAACCCATAAATTGGGTATTTTTTAAAATTTGAACAAAACACCCTTTGACAACTACACTCTATTTGTTCCCATTCATTTTTTAAACTGTTGTTGTAGAGATTATTAATATCTCTCTCTTTTAATAGTACATTTATAATACATTACCTTTCTTCGATCAACAAGACAGATTACATTACATTATTTTATTTTTTATTTATTATTATTATAAATTAACAATCTCATTCATTCACAAAGAAGTAGAACTTCACCATTTAACTATATTTATATAAATACATAAATATCATGTCTGGAGCAACATCATCAGTCTATCGTCACATCATCGACGATGTAATTAGATGTATTCGTGTAGAGTTTTTAAATGAGGGTTTGGATGATTCGATTATCATGGAACTTCAAAATGTATGTTATGCTATGCTACTTTGAAAGGGGGGAACGAATGAATGAAAGATATATGATGTTAACGAATACTCTCTCTATTCTTTATTTGTTTCAGATGTGGGAGACTAGATTAAATCAAGCAGAACCACAACAAGCACCTCCTCAACCACAAGATGCCATTTCCACTACTGCTACGACAACATCCACTTCTTCAACCAATCATATCCAAAGTGCTGTATGTATAATCATCTGATACTTGCTAATTGACTAGAATATATTATTTATTAACAATTTGATCTATATATATTTATAGCCTGAACAAGTAAGACAAAGTTTAAATTCACTCAGACAAATTAATTCATCTCCACAATCATTTGGAAAACCACAACAATTTATGCCCAAGAATGATATAGTTGCCACTACATTGGCTGGTTTGAGTAATAATGGAAATACTTCTACTACATCAACAACATCATCAACAACAACGACCACTTCTGCTTCTTCCTCTACTGGAACAACCTCTCCAAATCAACAACAACAACAACAACTTCCCTCTGCTCATTCTTTGAGATCAATTATGAATATTCCACAAAATGATGGTTCATTTGAATCGGTAAATACATCATCATTGAATATATTATTGATTCAATTGATTTACTAACTATTAAATAATATTTTAGAAAGAAGAAATGGATCAATATATAATCGATAAACTTTCCAAAAACCAAAATCAATCATGTAGTTTTAGTATCACAATTCCTCAATTAGATGGTAATGGAGGAGATGAAGTTGGTGAAGAAGATGTAGGTTAAAATAATATTAGTTAGTCGGGTATATAAATATTTATATTTATATTCTTTTTTTATAGATGGAGGAACATAGACCAGATGCATCAGTTGATCCACAAGATTCATTAAATAGTGATTTAGATGACGATGAAGAGGATGATCAAGGTCAAGAAATTGAACATTTTGTATTGTGTCAGTACGAAAAGGTTTCTAGAATCAAAAACAAGAGAAAATGTGTTTTAAAGGATGGTGTTATGCATTTAAATGGAAGAGACTATCTCTTTAACAAAGCAAATGGTGAATTAGTTTGGAAATAAACCAACAAACATTAATTTGAAATCGATTTCAAAAAACCAAACAACAAACAAAAAAGAAAAAGAAATTGAAAATGATTTAAAAAAGATGTAAATAATAATAATATTTATAAATACCAACAAATATTTGTATAAAAAAAAACAAAAACAACAACAAAATAGAATCGAGAAATACTTTATCCTTTTTTTTTTAATGAAAGGCAATCCATTTGATTGATAAACAACAAAAATACAGGCAAAAAGAGAGAGAGAAATAAATAAATATAGCAAGACTAGTAGTATTCTTTTATTAATTTATCTATCTTTTTTTTCTTTAAAATTTCAAGATACAAATCGATTGATGGAATGCCCAATTCTTAATTTGACATTCTTTTGAACAATAAAATACTTGTTTGCATCTACCACATTTTTTGAGATTGGTTGATTTGAAACAGGTTTGACATCGTTTGTCCAATGAACTGCCAATTGGAGTGGCAGTAGTTGTTGATTTTTTGGTTGGACTGTTTCCATTTTGTTTATCAAATGTTGTCGACGACGATGATTGATCTTCTTCTTCATCAATTAATTTATCTCGATCCTCTTCTTGTTCTTCTATTATTTCTTGTACTTTGTTGTTGTTATTTACACTATGATTGTTATTATTATTAGATTGATTAAATGATTGATTCCTTTTAACTTGTTTATGAAGATTTCTGAGAAAAGAAGGAGGTGGAGTATAAGGTTGAATTGCGTTTTCATTTGATGGCATTGAGTATTCTCCATGTGATTTTTGTTTTTTTGTCTTGTTTTGTCTAGTTGGGTCATTGTGGTCACCATTTGATTGATTGTTTGATTGGTCTTCTCCCCCAGCCATGTTGTTTCCACCATCGTCCTCTAGATTCTTGATAGAGAATGAAAAGAAATACAATTCTATCATCAAAACAAAAGAGTATCCAAGAGAGATTGATCCAAGGAAATGCCAATGTTCTGTAGAAAAGTCGAGCATGTACTGAATGGCAAATAGAATGACACCCATGATAATCTGATTGACACCCTTTTGAAAGAGATACTTTTTCTTTTCCTGAAGTGACGATGCCTTTTCCACAATGGCAATATTGAATTTATAAACCAACATGTGAGAAAGTGCATGCACAATATAATTGTTTAAAAAGTGATAAATCCAAGATGGAACCAAATAATATGCAATAGCTGATGATAATAACATTGGTAAAAAGATTTTAAGTTTACCACTAAATAAGAATAACTAGAATATAGAAATAGAAAATAGAGTATGAGAAAGGGATGATCGTGAATATTATTAATTATCTATGTTTTTTACCTTTATCAAAAATATAGTTGGAACAATTAACCATTCAATTCTTCTATTAAAAAAGAAATCTAATAACCAAACGGGTCCCCAAAATAATGAAAATACTAAAGTCATAACATCCAAATTTGTAATTGATGAGAATAATATTTCAAATAACCCTGAATAAATTGCTGGCTATAAAAAAAAAGAGAGAGAAAAAGTTAAAATTATTTATATATTCTTTGTTGATCACATTGATTTCTTTCTTTTTTTTTATCAAGTTTATACATACACCAGTTTCAGGTTTTTTTAAAACATAAATACCCATCAACATTAATATAATACTACCAAAAATGATAATATTGATACTTAATATACTCCATATCCAGTGATTAAGAGTGATACCACGCCAAAGATCGAAAACAATGATGAGGATCCAAATGCTAACTGTGAGTGAAGAGTTCTTTCTTGTGATATTTGGCCACAATAAAACGATACCATAAATAATGGTATTTGTGATGGTTGGTAATATTTTTGTCGGTAAAATAAAGTAGAGTACAAGATTGAGAACAATGATAAATAGACAAAACGATATATCTGGTGACTTTTTTGTTAAATAAATAAAGTATAATGTAAATATTGATGCAAATATCCTAAAAACATAAAAAATAGATGGATGATTAGTCAAAAGAGAAAGAGAGTCAATGATTAGATATATATATATTATGATGATAATTTTTACCATTCACTATAAATTCCTAAAAAGTAATCCAATACAATTGAGAATAGACAAAATGACATTGATATTAACCATTCAGTAAAGTTCTTATCACCTTTGGAGTTTAGCTTTTCATTGAGTATTAAACCTTCATAACCAAATGAATCAAAGAATAACTTTGAATCTTCATTTGCCAGAATTTGATATGCTTTACTAATTTCTTGAAACTATGCAAGTAGAAACATAGAAATGATTAGTTTTGACTTATGCTTTGTAAACATGTATTTGATTGTTGTTGTTGTATGTATTTACCTTATCACCAGAGTTTGGGTTCTTGTCTGGATGATATTTCAATGCCATGTATTTATATGCCTGTTTGATCGCTATAGGATCATCTGTTTTTTCAATACCAAGTATTTCATAAGGTGATGGTAAGTCATCCATTCTCTTCTCTTCTCTCTCCTCTTCTCTCCTCTCTATTAGAGTTTATATCTTTTTTGAATGATCCCTGTAGTAGTTTTGATGATCGATATATCTATTGTTGTTATATATATATAGTCACTCCTATTACTACTACTTAAAGTCAATTTGTAAATGAATGAATGATCTTTAAAAAGATATAGGTTTGATAATGATGACTGTGCAGTGATGATGATGATATCTTTCAATGAGAGAAAAGGGGGAAAAACTGACTTGTGTGACTTGAAATTCCTGTAGCGATGGTTAACAGTATTCCTTTTAATCTGCTCTACTACTCTGCTCTATTTAAAAGATGTGTCTATATGATAAATAATTGATAGATAATGAAATGAATGAATGATTTGAACAAGAGGTTAGCTTTTAAGGAAGGTTATTTTTATTTTTTTTGGGATCAGCGCAATTTAGAGGAACGACGGGATGGGTTCAAACACCGAACGATTTGCATTACCACTCGTTTGTTAACAACAATATTTGTTTGTTGTAACTAAATAATATTATAGTAGGGAATAATGAGTAATAATAGTAATGCATTAAATAGATTAAAAGCAATCGCTCAACAACAAGCCAATAAATCATCACATTTATATGGTGACTCTATCGTCAAAAGAGAGTCTCTTCAATCAAATGACTCTAAATTAATAACACAATCATTAAACAAATTAATCGATTGGATTAATAATAATAGTAATACAAGTATGTAGTAGAGTAAATAGTATAGTTTAGTTTACAATCACAATTTACTTACCTTTCTTTTCTTTTCTTTTCTTTTAGAGAGCGCATTAAAAGATTTAGATTCAAGAGGTATTTATCCATCTATGTTTCAATTATTTAATCATTATGATTTGGAGATTGTTAGATTGGTGGTGAGAGCAATCAAGATTGTAGCGTTAAAGGATGCTGCAACCAATGAGATTCTCAGATCGTTGGACGGTGTACATTTGTTGGAACAGTTGTTGGAGCAGTATTACGATGCCGAGATTCTCAACGATGCAGCTACTGCCATTGAGTGTCTGCGTAGATGTGCACCATACTCGGTGAGAGGTGTCGGATTTGGAAAGTACTCTGAACAAACTGGAACCTTTCAATGGTACTTGGAATTCTATCAATTACACTTTGACGATGTAGGTGTCGCCTGGAGAGTATGGGATGGGGGTATTGGATTGGCCAAGTGGGTGTTGGACAACCCATCGATCTTTGAAGGCAAGGATGTATTGGAACTTGGTAGTGGTGTTGGTGTATGTGGTATTGCAGCCGGTCTCATTAGCAAGAATGTATTGGTCACCGATTACACTGACAAAATCATTCAAGCACTCCAAGACAATGTAAAGAGAAACATGAGATTGACATCTCAACTCAAGAATGTAACTGTACAAGCTTTGGATTGGGTCAACGATGATGTACCCTCTCCATTTGGCTATGAAGTCATTATTGGCAGTGAAGTCATATACGATGTTAAATTGGTCGAAGCGCTAGCCAATGTTATCTACCTATCACTCACTCCCAATGGAACATTCTACACTACTTGCGCCACTGTCAGAGAAGGTATTCCAGAGTTTATCAAAGCCATGCAAGACAGAGATTTTAACGTAGAACAAACAAATTTCCCAAGTCATTATATCCCCGATACAAAATTTGATGTTTATTTCTTTAAATGTACTAAAAAGAATACTCTACTTAAACTTCAACAACAAAAAGAATAAATAAATAATATCTTGTAAATAATAATAATAATAATAATAATATTTCCATATTTTATAAATAATTAATTGCCTTTTTTTTTGTCGTTTATTTCTATTCCATTCTATTCCTTTTCCTTTTCCTTTTAGAATAAACCACCCAACATATAAGTAATACCTTTACCACCATTTTCTTCAAAAACAGACATATTAATATTAATGATTTTGTCAACGGTTGATTCCAATTCTTCGATTTGAGTATCTGAAAGATTGGAAAGTGAACCTTCAGTCATGAGAAGAGTGGTTTTGGTGTGATCAGTGTTGGATACTTCTGAAAGCATGGTGCAGTGTTTGGACATTTGAGAGGCATTGACGAGGATGACTCGCTTGCCACTGTTGATCAAATGGTCATAGATAGTTTGTGCCTCGTCAACGTCGAATGCTTCCTTGCACAAGACGGCAAACTTGTGACCAATAAAAACAGATTGTGAAAGAGAGGTGTTGGTCTTGACATTGACCTTGACGAGCTTATAGTCGAGTGACATGGCCCACAAATCGGCTACACTCTCGTTGGAGGCCTTTTCACCAGACAAGTTGACAAAGGCTACCTTGTTGACACGATCCAAAACAAGGTTGGGGAATTCCAAATGCTTTGAGAGACTGTTGGCAGTGGCTGTTGCAGCAGCTGCTGCTGCAGAGGTGGCGTTGGTGGTATGATTGTTTGAATTGCCACCTTGTTGAGGAGAGGTTGGGGTGGATGGAGCAATCTCTGGATAAGTTGATCCGCTATAATAATATCCATTCTCGCCGAGGGTTGGGATAGTGGCGAGGATATCGGCAATGGTGGTTTCACGAGCTGTGATTTGACCTTGTTCGCAGGCAGTGAGATCAATGACACGTGTGTAGTGGGAGAGTCCATGTTCGATAATCTCGCGACGGCGCTGGCGCTGCTTTTCGATGGTTGAGAGGGGGTAGAGGACGAGTGTGTCGTGCTTGGCACCAAGCTCGGCTGCTGAATGTGTCGAGAACCATTGACCGACAAACACGGCAGATGGGGTCTTTTGGTAGGGTTCATGACAAAAGAGGTGGACCTCGACACCCTGTGAACGGAGGTGTTGGTGGAGTAGGGCGTACTCTTCAAGTACACGTTGTCTAGTCTCACGCACGACACTGGCGTTGATAAGGTCGCTACCAATCTTTGCATTGACAAAGTAGGTTGGTGCAACCATCAACACGCGATTGGCTGTTTGCACGGGGACAATATTGGATGTGTATTTGTAAGGTTGGCTGACATGGTGGACTGCAGCCTCGGGGTTGGGAAGTTGTTGGGTACCGTGCAAGTTTGGTGTATGGGCAACCGACAAGGGTGGGGAGATAAAAGTTTGTGGTGTGCGACGACTGACCACTTGCGAGCAACAGTGCACCGACCCATACATCTTGGTGACGGTTCTAAAATCGACATAGAGGAGCTTGACCGTCGATTTAAGGGCACGTGCAATCGTCTTGGCGGTCGCCTGATCGACCACAATGAATTTACCCTTACCAATGTTGAGTCCGTTGCAGCCATAGTCCTTTTGATTCTGGTCGGTGGCAAAGACCAACTCGTAGCCATTCTCCCGAAGATAGCGCGAGTATTCAATGTCGTGGCGCGACAATGTGTAGACACCAGTGTGTGGGTCGCGTGTGTACTCGTCGACCAAACGACGAATGGGTGATTGCTCACCACAAATATCTTCCAAAATCAACATGACACGTTCGTTGATGATATTGCACACTGTATCGAGATGCATACGTTGTTGATTGAGATCAAAGTAGTCTTTGACCACTGCGACACGTGTAGTACCCAATAAATCATTACGCATAAGATAGTCGACAGCGTGGAAATTACTACGCAATCCAACACCAATAAAACAAAGTCCACGTCCACTTGGATAGAAATCACCACCCTCCAACTTGCCAGGTGCGGGAATCTCACCCAACACTGGCAGATCGAGTAACTTGAAACAAAGTTTCATCAACTCTACCTCTGGTGATCTAATTGGTGAACTTAAACTTGCCATAACTATTCCCTTTGCTGTTGTAATTTGTTGATCTCTTTGGAATACTAAATTTACTAATGGGTGGCTAAAAAAACAAAACAAACAAATAAAATAATTAATATATATGTGTATATATATCTTTGTATACTTTGTATTTGTAACATACAATGAATATTCAGTAGCAAGTAATTCAGTATCTCTTTCAGATTTACGAAGTTTAATAGTTGGACGAGTGAGAATAACCTCTACCAATTGTTCTACACTCATTGAATCGATACAACTCTTTTTATATTCATCTGACAATAATTCCTTGTCTTTGAGTCCCAATTCATCCAATCTTTGTTCAGCTGCCAATTCATATTTCATACATTTGAATGCAAAATCCTCCAATAATACTCTTTTGGCAATATCTCCAGTTCCCTGGGAAAAATAAATAAATCAAATCAGAAACTATACTCTCTAACTATTCTATTTTTAACTATCATTCTACTATATATTCTACTTACAGAAGTTAAGATATCTCTAACAGTCTTTACAATACATCCTTCCTTTTCAAGTAAACGACGGAATTGTTGATGTTCATCTTGAGCTTTTGAAAGATCTAATGGTTCTTCATAGAGTGATCCATTTGGATGAATTGATCCCATCCATTGTGCCAATGATGGTTCATTTAACTAAACAAACCAAACAAACAAACAAATTACAAACAATATATGATTAGTGATCAGATCAGTTATTATATAATATTGTCTGTTGTGTCAATCAATACATACAATAACAATAGCAGCTTCATCATTTTCATGAATTTGAGAGAAACTGTAACTTGAATTGTTAATCTCTGTATCCTTTTGATCGAGGTGATATAGTTGGCCGTTATTATGATTGATACTATAGTTTACACTATTCGATAGATGCACTGGTGATTGATGTATATTACTATTGAAATTCATCTCTCTTTCTCTCTTTCTATTTATATTTATTTATATATTTGATAATGATGATGATGATGATGTGGGACTGATCAGTTAGTTAGAGTATCTGTTTTTTTTAATATCACAGCAGCACTGCAAAAGTATAAAAAAAATTAAATTAATTTAAGTGTGTATCGAGCGAAGTTGAGTTGGAACGAGTAAAATCCCTTCACTCAGAAAACTCCATCTTTCTTTCCTTCATTTTTTGTGTAGAGACTACAAACTCGAAAAAACCATTTCCAACTACAAAGATGACGACTTGAGCTTAAAAAGAGAGATGTAGAGATATATGTTTTTTTAAATTAATATTTATAAATATTTATATAGATACATTTAATTTAATATATTTGTTTACACTATTATTATTATTATGATATTATTGACTATTATTATTTGTTTCAATTAATTATTGTAATGGTACTCGTAACCGTAATGGAAGCATTCGTCACCTTGACAATCATCGTTGTCATTGTCGACTACTTGGACAGTATCACATTGAATGTCGATAGAGACACATCCTTGGGACTGGTCACAGTAGGTGTTCTTGCACTTGTCGGTAGATGGAGCACAGATGACTGGTGAGACGGTACACTTGTTGTTGATGCAACGATCGATATTGCACTTGTTGTTGCTGTTGCATTGAGAGTCATCGGTACAACAACCTTGGATAGGAGTGTAACAACATCCGGTAGATGGGTTACAAGAGTCGACTGTGCAGACATTGTTGTCATTACAAGTGACTGGAGAGGAGACACATCCCTTGGTCTTGTCACAGTAGGAGTTCTTGCACTTGTCAGAGGCATCACGTTGGATGGGAGTGTAACAACATCCAGTTGAATTGTTGCAAGAGTCTGTAGTGCAAAAGTCACCGTCGTCACAAGTGACTGCGTTGGTGATACATCCTCTGGTCTTGTCACAGTACGAGTTGACACACTTGTTGTTGGAGGTATCACAGACGACTGGAGTGTAGACACAACCTTTGGTCTTATCACAATACGAGTTCTTGCACTTGTCAGAAGTGTCACAGATGACTGGAGACGATACACACTTGTTGTTCATACAACGACCTGTGTTACATTGGTCACTGGCGCATTGAGAATTGTCGGTACAACAACCTGGAATCATGGTATGAGTGCAACCAGTTGAATTGTTGCAAGAGTCGATTGTACACACGTTATTGTCATCACAATTGATTGGAGTAGAGACACATCCCTTGGCAGCATCACAGTACGAGTTGACACACTTGTTGGAAGAGTCTGCGCAGACGACTGGAGTGTAGACACAACCCTTGGTCTTGTCACAATACGAATACTTGCACTTGTCAGAGGTGTCGCAGACGACTGGAGACGATACACACTTGTTGTTCATACAACTGTCGATATTGCATTCGTTGTCGCTATCGCATTGAGCATTGTTGGTACAACATCCTTGGATGTTGGTGTGAGTGCAGCCGGTAGCGCTGTCACATGCATCTAGAGTACAGACATTGTTGTCATCACATGAGACTGGGGTGGAGACACATCCCTTGGTCTTGTCACAGTAGGAGTTCTTGCACTTGTCAGACGAGTCACATTGGATTGGAGTGTAACAGCATCCGGTAGAATTGTTGCACGAGTCAATGGTACAATAGTCACCATCATCACATTTGATTGGAGTGGATACACATCCCTTGGTAGCATCACAGTACGAGTTGACACACTTGTTGTTGGAAGAGTCACATACAACTGGAGTGGAGACACATCCTTTGGACTTATCACAAAACGAGTTCTTGCATTTGTCAGACGAGTCACAAACGACTGGAGACAACGAGCACTTGTTGTTGATACAACGACCTGTGTTACATTGGTCACCAGAATTGGAACATTGAGAATTGTCGGTACAACAACCTGGAATCATGGTATGACAACATCCAGTTGAATTGTTACAAGAGTCGACTGTACACACATTGTTGTCGTCGCAATTGATTGGATTGGATACACATCCCTTGACAGCATCACAATACGAGTTGACACACTTGTTGACAGTGTCACAGACGACAGGTGATGGAGAACACTTGTTACTAATGCAACGACTAGTAGAGCATTTGTTGGTATTAATGTTGGAAGCACAATCAAGATGGGATTTACAACATGAATCATCTGATTCTGAACAAACTGTAATCTTGCAAGTAATACATCCGTCCAATTGGTCGGTATTAGAACTAAAAAAAAAAAAAAAAAAAAAAAAAGGAGAGAAAAGAAAAGAGGAACAAAGTTTGGGTAAGTAACAAATAATAATTATTATTATTTATATATATATTGAAATGATATACCTTTAACTAAAACAGACAGTAATAATAATAAGGTAATAATTTTAAAATACATGATTGATTGTGTGAACAATTACGAAAAGAGATAGTTGATTATTTGTTAAATGTACGTATATATATAGATAATATTAAATATTAATATTTGATGATTATTTGGACTGCCAAAAGGATGAATTTATAGTTGGTTCAACAATCATTTCATAGATAAAATCCTTAGAAAAATCCAGAAAACTATTTTACCACTCAAGAGTGCTATCCACATTAGGTATAGTCTTTTAATTAATCATTCATATTCCACCCCACCACCACCACCATTCATCATCACTACTACTAAACTTGATTGTGAACCAATCATATGAAGCAATAACAATCAATAAAAATATTACTACTAAAAGAGGATCCCAAACCCTTTCTACTCAAATAGAGTTGTCAATGCATACGAAACCTTGGATCAGATGATTTAAACATTAAAAAGTTCTAAAGTCATACATAGGAATTAAATTTAAATTAAAATATAGAGTGTTGTAAACATATCATAAAAACCATCATCTTTTAAAAAGGATTTAAAAAGAAAGACTTTTTATAATCTTTTTAAAGAATGATTTATCTAGATATGTACAAAGGGGTTTTTTATTTATTTAATTTGATTCATTATTATATAATAAAATTAAATAATATTGTTTGGAATGATTGAGTCGATTTTGATTTGATTTAAACCAAAAAAAAATGGGAAAAAAATAAACTATTCTATTCTATAAAGTTGGATGAGATGGTATCGGTTCTTTTTCTATGGTTTACAATGGATGGATGGATGTTCGGTCTTATAGACAGAGAGTGAGAGAATGGAGTATGGTTACAATAAATGTGGTCTATGATGGGAATAGTTTAAAATGGAAAGGGTGGGGACTACAACTCGATCAAAAGGTATCCAATTGAATTAGGATGGTGATGGGTTGAATGAGGGATCACCCTGACCGACACCAACTTCCTCAATCAATCTTTCTTCAATTCTATGAGTATTGAAACATTCTTGATGGACTGCTACCAATCTAAATAAATAAAAGAGAAATAAATTAAATTAATATCAAAATTATATAAATTGTTGAGATAATCTTTTATAATATTTACCTTTGATTTTTCTCACTAAGAGGATGACGAGTAGTCATGAAACCAGAGGCATTCTTTGGGATTTGGTTGAGGGCTGAAACTCTGGAAGAGGATCTAAAGACACTTAATAAACTGTTGCTAACGCTATTCATGTTGTTTAATTAAAGGTTGTATTTTAAAGGGTTGGGTATAGGAAAATCTTTGTGGGTTGGTTGGGATATTGATACTTTTTTCTGAAGCCAGTTGTTAATTAAACAATTATATATTTTTAATATATATGTCAAAAAACAAACTATATTTATATTTGACGGATACGGAGAGAAGAGAGAAGAGAAAAAGAAGAGGAATATTAGAATTATTAAATTATATGTTGTTATCATATGTTGTTGCAATGAACACAATGTCGTCTCTTAAAACACAATAGATAATATTTCAGGTTGGAACAGATGGTGAAATTGAAAATACAATTTTAAATCAACACCATCCCTCACCGTCCATGGTATCCATCCATCCACATACAAATATTAATATTTTAAGAATTATTATTATTGAGTTATTATTTTATACATACAAATGAGGGGGTTTAGAAAAAAAAAAAAAAGAGGAAGGATTTGAGTAGAAGTTTTAGTATTACTAACTAGTTATTATTTGTACAAAGCTTAATGTTGTGATTTATAAAATAAAATACCAAATAGAGGATGTGTATTTAAAGCTTTGGGGATCAAAAAAGAAAATAATATATTTTAATTATTTTTTTTTGTGATTTATTTATATTTTTGTTTTTTTTTGTAGTCATTGTAGTGTGGTGAGATGGATGAGGTGCATTGAAGTGTAGTAAAACACTTCTCTCCTCATTAATGTTGTTATCATTATGATAACCGTGGTACGATTCAACAATCATTCAACCCTCCCCCTCTCTCTGTCTGTCTTGTTTTGCCTCTCATACCCCCTTGTCTACGCCTGCTCAGTTGTTTTGTTAATGTGGTTGTGAATCAAGTCAAAAAAACACACAAACACTAATATTGATTTTTTGTTTTTCTCTATAAACTCTTCCAAAGATTATTATGATAATGAGTGATCTAAACCGAGTACAAGGTGTCGCGATTAGATTTGATACGCACTGTCAGTTCTATTCAAGATCTTGCAGATAAAGATAGAAATAATTAAAAGCGGTCAAAAAATGCGCAGTTGTTTTTTTGTTTTTTTTGGTCACTTCGTTACAACGAATTCAGATGAGACAAAGTAGTAGGTTAAGGTCAGGCAGTAGGAGGGTGACGACGAAGCAGGCGCGACCCTGTACGGAATCATTTTTTTTTCTAATTTTGGATCGATGAACAGTTAAGTTGAGTTGAGTTGTTGTTATTTTAACAAGGTGAAAGATGGTATCATCTCTTTCCAAAGCTTTTTCAATGACCAGGATAGGTGTAAGAGGAGAAGAGAAGTAGGAAGGGGGATGCCCCCCCTTCTGATTCTTTATCGTATTTCCAGTTGATCAATCCCCACACATCCTTGGAATTTAAAGGCATCCAAGCATATCTTGCCAAGGTGAGGAGAGTGAGGAGTGATCAAAGTAGATATTATTACCTAGGTGAGAGAAAGAGAGAGAATATTATTAAATCTTTCACAAGATGCATGATTATAATAATAATCGATCCAAAAATATCAATTACCACAATATTTATCATCTCGGCAAAACTTTGAGCTTCACTGAATGGTATAATGACCAATGAAAAAAAAGGGAGGGAGAAAAAAAAAAAGATAATATATCCAAAGATTATCTGAATAATTATAAATATATGTAATATATCAATACAAACAAATAATAAACAATTATAATAATAATAAACCATTATTAAAAAATGAGTTGTTACAAATTACTCAAGTAAAAAATAATAAAATAAATAAAAAATAAATAAATTTTACCAAAAGCAACCACATTTACACCCACCTACATGAATGGTTTGGTTTACTTCCTCATATTCCAACGCGATATTTCGTTTCAAAAGATCTTTTTGATTAAACTCTCATTAATCATACTCATTATTAATCATACTTTAAAGTGATCTTCACCTCTATTGGATTAGGAAAAAACAAAATATATTATAAAAATGACAGTGTTACTCTTCGAGACTATATAGTTAAATCCAGTGACAAATGAAATGTTTTGTTTCTTCTCCATTCACCAAAGAAATTCAAAGATTGAAAAATACAAAGAAGAATAAATAATAATAACAAATGAATGGACATCTACTACAACTACTCTTTACATTTTGATATATTATTTTAGAATCTTTTAATTTATCAATTTCATCTTTAGTGTGACCCTATTGTTGACATATTTCAATGGTATGTTGACCAAGTGTTGGAGGTGGAGTATTTTGTTTATCATCTGTATGTAAACCCTTTGAGTCTGATCATCGATAGTGGCACCACTACTTTGTTCCACAATATGATAGGTCATGATGGGTTTGATTTATTATTTACTTGGACAAAATTAATAATAAAATAATCACATTATATATTTATACTTTGTACTTGGACAAAAATTTGAAAAGAATGAACTTCCCAATCAAATCACTCTCATAAGATTTTTATCAAAGGATCATCATTCATTCATTCATCACAGATAGAGATAGAGAGGAGAATGACAGCACAGGTAGAAGATATACATACAGCATTAACATTTACAGATCTTACAACGGTTCATTATCTACATACTGATCCTTATGGATTGGTAAATGCCTATATTACATTGATACCGATTGCTATTGCCGTCGGTGCAATCACCCTATTCATCTTTAGAAGAGATCTAAGAACTGCTGCTGTATTTGCTGGTCTAGTGTTTAGTGAATCTGTCAATTATGTTTTAAAAAAGACAATCAAAGAAAATAGACCTGATGCCTATGGTATGTGAAATAACAATTGATCTGATCACATCAATCAATCAATCAATGAATCAATCAATACGATCGATGGTACTAAATACTCTCATTTCTATTCTACTCTCTAGATGGATTAATCAAAGGTAAACATAGTTATGGAATGCCATCAAGTCACTCTCAATTTATGTTCTTCTTTTCAACTCTTGTAACTCTATTCATCATCAAGAATAGAATTAATTTTAAACATTCAACTTCATTGTTGACCATTCCATTCCTTTATACTGTTTCTGCAATGGTTGCATATTCAAGGTAATAATAATAATAATCAATTAATTAATCATCATTTAAATATTAATACTACTTTACACCAATGACCAACCACCTTACTTCTTTTTCTATTTAGATATCATTTATATTATCATACATTAAAACAAGTATTATTTGGATCATTGGTTGGTATTTCATTGGGACCTATTTGGTATTTTGTGATTGAGTTTATTTTGGTACCATATATCTTCCCAATTGTCATTAACAACCCAATTGGTAGATACTTTTATTTGCGTGATACTTCATCTATTCACAATCTCATGGAATTCGAGTACACCAATGCTACCAAAGAAATTCAAAGATTGAAAAATACAAAAAAGAATAAATAGTAATAACAAATGAATGGACAACTACTACAACTACTATTACAAAAAAGGAATATGGTTTTTATTACAAGTATCGATGGATAATGGATTGATGGATGGGTATATATATATGCATCTAAAAGATAATTTTAGAATCTTTTAATTTATCAATTTCATCTTTAGTGTAACCCAATTGTTGACATATTTCAATGGTATGTTGACCAAGTGTTGGAGGTGGAGTATTTTGTTTATCATCTGTATGTAAATTAGTTTCACTAAAATGAATTGGTGATCCAACTGTACGTAGTGTATCAAGATTATAATATTTTCCATCATTTGTAACAATCTTTTCTTTTTCTTGTTTCTCGACGTTATTGTTTCCTCCTTCTCCTTCTTCTTCTTTTTTGAGAGGAATATCCCAAACTAAACCTCTTGATACTATTTGAGGATGTGAATAAACTTGTGATAATTTGTTGACTGGTGAACAAGGAACATTAGCCTTGCCAAGTGAAACGACTAATTGGTCGGTGGTCCAGAGCTGACTCTTTTCGGTGATAAGGTGTAATAGTTGTGGTCTATTGGCAACACGATCAGAGTTGGAAAGGAATAGAGGTGATTCAAAAGAGACACTGGGTTCCAAACCAAGTGTCAAACAAAGTGATTTGAATTGGGAGTCATTGCCAACTGCCAGAACAATAAACCCATCACTTGTCTTGACAGAGTCGTATGGAGATATACTTGGATGTGAATTACCAATACGTTTTGGATCGTTTCCAGTTACGAGATGACTCGATGCTATATTTGCCAAAAATGCAGCTTGTACTTCCAACAAACTGATATCAATGTGTTGACCACGACCAGTTTGATTGCGATGATGCAGTGCTGCTTGAATCGCCACATTTGCATACATACCAGTCATCAAATCAACCACTGCCACACCAACCTTGTACGGTTGATCCTCTGACCCCGTAATACTCATCAATCCACCCATCGCCTGTATCGCAAAATCATACCCAGGTAAATCTTTTAATGGTCCAGTCAATCCAAATCCTGTAATTGAACAATATACAATCTCTAAAAATAAAGTATATTATTAATACTATACTCATCTTTTCACTCTTTCTTTCTGTCTATTATTAACATACTTGGATTAATATGAGACAATGATTGATAATCCAGGTTATACTTTTTCAATGATCCACTTTTAAAATTCTCAATGACAACATCACATTCTTTTGCTAAATTATGAATGACCTAATAAATAATAGTAATGTAAAAGAGGTAAGTATTATTAGATTAAAGTATTGTACAAATATATGTGTAAATATGTAATACCTTTTGACCTTGATCTTTTGAGATATCGATAGCAATTGATCTCTTATTTCTATTTGTACAGGCAAAGTAGGCAGTTTGAATGTTTCCATTGGGATCCTTATAGAAGGGAGGTCCCCATTGTCTAGTGTCATCGCCATGGGGATGTTCTATTTTAATGACATCGGCACCCAAATCACCCAATGTTTGTGTACACCATGGACCTGCCAACACTCTACTCATATCAAGTATTTTAAATCCATTCAATGGTTTAATTATATTCATTTTACTAGTAGTACAAAACGATCTATATTGATTACAAATACTGCTGCTGCTGCTGCTGCTGCTGCTGCTGGTGTATGACGACGATAAAGAAGATGATAACCATTGAAGTTGACGTTGTTGTTGTTGAACTATTATACTTTTAAATAATTGCATCTCTTCTTCTTCTTCTTCTTCTTCTTCTTCTTCTTCTTCCTCTTCTTCTATCCTATCCTATCCTCCTTCTCCTTTATATATTACTTTAAAACAAACAAACAAACAAACAAACAAATAAACAAATAAATAAATGACAAAAATAAATTAAGATAATATCTTTCTTGTTCGTTCATTCACAACATCATATTCACTCGTTTTTAAAGATATTTACACACCAATATTTAATATAATAGATATAAAAGTAGTGCGGTGTGTATATCTTGTCTTGCTTTTACCAGTGATACTGTTAACTTGTTGTTGTTTGCGGTGTCGTACGACAATCCGATTATCCCCAAACCAACAATATTGAAAAAGAATGACGATTTTAATTAAATTTTATTCGGCAAAATAATGTGTAAATCAGAAGTAAATTTCGATTATTATGGTTGCATGCATTTTTACCTCACTCACACCAACTTTATTATCATTCTTTTTTTTATAATACACATACTTAGATATAAACATATACAAAGATATATATATATATATACAAATAAGAAAAGTTTAAAGTAAAAAATGATGTCAGGATGGAATATTCAAGCATCAGTAGCAGCCAAATCGACTACAAATCCAATCAGAGCTATTGTTGATACGGGAAAGTATAAACCAAACCCTGAAAAGGCTCTTATTCCCCTTTCTATTGGTGACCCATGTGTATTTGGTAATCTCTCGGTTACACAATACGTTAATCAACAATTAGTTAATAGTATCAACTCTGACAAGTATAATGGTTATCCTCCTTCTATTGTAAGTTCACAACACGCTTATCATCAATCAATCAAAACTTCTTGTCGCGACAAGCAATTACGTTGTCTCATCAAGTCACTTGCGTGTGCAACGAGTGATCGTTCGTGTACTCGACAAGAGATAGATAGAAAAAAAAACGACAAAAAAAGATAAAATTTATTGTTGAATCAAAGAAAGATCTAGATCAATTCAGATTGCTCATATATAACAAGCAGTTTGACAGACATTAACCAAAATTTTGTTTATATTCTTTTTAGGGATATCCATCAGCAAGAGCAGCAGTTGCTAAATTTGTTCAAACCCCATCATCCCCATTATCAGCAGACGACATTATTCTTGCATCAGGTGCATCTGGAGCAATTGAAATTGCTTTGACTGCTCTTTTAAATCAAGGTGACAATGTTTTGGTTCCACAACCTGGTTTCTCTCTCTATGAATGTATTTGCAAGAGTAAAGGTTTTGACCTTAAACATTATAATCTAATTGTATGTATATATATATTTATATAAATTATCCAAACCTTTTTTTTTTTTTGATAGATATATTAATCATTATAATTATTTATATTTTAGCCAAGTAGATCATGGGAAATTGATATTGATCATTTAAGATCATTAATTGATACCAAAACCAAAGCCATTTTAATTAATAATCCATCAAATCCATGTGGTAGTGTTTATTCAAAGGAACATTTACAACAAGTAAGATAGATGATAGATAGATAGAAAGAGGATAGGAGAAGAGAATGATATATTAATATATTATTTAATTATTTTATAGATATTACAAGTCGCAGAAGAATATCATTTACCAATTATTTCAGATGAAATTTATGCTGGTATGACTTGGGGAGGAGCAGAATTTATTCCAATTGCAAGTTTGACTACTGTAGTACCAGTACTTTCGATTGGTGGTATTGCAAAGAGATTTTTAGTTCCAGGATGGAGAGTTGGTTGGATTGCCATTCACGATAGAAACAATGTATTTGATCAAATTAGAAAGGCAATCGTTTCACTTTCTCAACTCATTTTGGGTCCAAATTCATTGATTCAATCCGTGTTGCCAGAGATTTTAAATACCGAAAACCCAGAAATCGCCCGTTTCTTTAATGAAACCAATCAAACTCTTGAAAAACATTCTCGTCTAACAGTTGAATCACTCTCTAAAATTGATGGTCTTAACCCAATTAGTTCAAGTGGTACAATGTATCAAATGGTAAAAAGAAAATAGAGAAAAAGAAAAAGACAATGAAAGTAGAAGAAAGAATCAAATTATATTTACAATTATTATTTTTTAAATTAGATTGGATTTGATACAAGTAAATTTAATGGAATTGAAGATGATGTAGTATTTATGGGTAAACTATTAGAAGAAGAGAGTGTATTTGTTTTACCAGGAACAGTATTTGGAATGAAAAACTATTTCCGTATTGTATTTTGTGCTCCAAATGAAAAGTTGCAAGAAGCCTATACAAGAATCGAATCTTTCTGTAATCGTCATAGAAAGAATTAAAATCATTTAATATAAATAATAATAATAGAAGTAATATTTAAATATATAAAATACTAATTAATTAATTATAATATATATATACAACCTTTTTTTTTTGATTTGTTTGTTTTTTATTTTGTTTTGAGAATTGCATTCTATTTACAATTTCACACCTCTCTATCTTGTAGTTGTGGTTATAAAATCATTGTGATGTTCATCATTCATTCCATTCATTCATTCATTATGTAATCATACAAAGAATAGAAAAGAAAAAAGATGAATAGATTCTTACAATTAGTAAGAGTAAAGTATCCAATTATTCAAGCACCAATGTTGGGTGTAACAACACCCGAGATGGTAGCTGCAGCTGTCAAGTCTGGGTCATTGGGTTCATTGCCTTTAGGTGGTGTATCACCAACAGATTCATTAAAGTTGATTCAACAAACAAAGCAATTGATTAATCAAAATAATAATAATAATGAACATCAACAACCTCAACCATTCGCAGTCAATCTATTCACCTATACACCTTCAAAATATGAATCAATTGATCCCCATAGAATCGATCAAATGAAGAATCATATTATTACAAATACTATAAAGATTGAAAAGAAGGAAATTAAAACAACAGAACAACTAATCAATAATAATACAAAATATTATGTTGGAGAAGATCTTGTTGATGTTATTATAGATCAAGGTATCAAGATTGTTAGTTTTACATTTGGTGTATTATCTCTACAATCGATCAAGAGACTTCGGGATGATGGATGTGTATTGATTGGTACTGCCACTTCGGTTCAAGAAGCACTCTATTTGGAGAGATATGGAGGTGTAGATATCATTTGTGCGCAGGGGTATGAGGCTGGAGGACATCGTGGTTCATTTCTATCAGTTTCTAATCCAAACAATATTATTCAAGGTGGAGACTTTGAATACAAGGATTTACCAAAGGTTGGATTAATGTCACTCCTTGCACAAATAGTAGATAATGTGTCACCTGATATTCCAGTGATTGCCGCTGGTGGTTTGGTTGATGGTCGGTCATGTTCTGCTGCATTTACCTTGGGTGCGTCGGCTGTTCAACTAGGTACAGTATTATTAACATCCAAAGAATCGAGTGCACAATACAAATCGAGTATCATCAAGTGTCACCACAAAGAGACTACTACCTCGTTGACAAGATCATTTTCGGGAAGATATGCACGTGGCATTCCAAATAGATTTATGGAGGAAATGGATAAACCATCGTCCCCCTCTCCTCTTCCCTACCCATTCCAACTTAAACTAGTGTCATCTATCCGATCACTTGCCGCCGACAAGACAACCGACAATACCGATTATATTTCACAATGGGCTGGTCAAAACATGTCTAAATGTGGAACGAATAATAATCATTCAACCTATGATATATTAACAAATATCATTACCGATTTAAATCTAAATAATAATAATAATAATAATTCCAAACAAACAACAACAAAAGATTCGAATAACCTTGTATATTAAATAAAATAAAGATATATTAATTTAAAAATCAATTTTGTGTGCAAAAAGAGACGAAAGGAGTAGGGAAGTTTCCCATTTCACACACGATTGTGTTTCAATTTCATTTCATTTTCAAACTACAATTTCATTTAAAGAGAGATAGCAGCTCAATATAACTATATATTGTTTATTTTTATAAATAAGCAATGTCTGTAACACCAACAACAACAACAACACAATCAATCAATGATGTTATACAACAACAACAACCTACATCACCAACAAAGTTCAAGTTGTTTTCAGGATTTGCATCTGGTAGTTTAGCATCAATTACTGCAACAACTTGTATGTAATCTATATAGATTATTTGTATATACAAACTGTAACTACAGAGTTGTTATTTACACTGTTCATTTTACTTTACTTTTACTTTTACTTTTAAAGTTACAAATCCAATTGAATTAGTAAAGACAAGATTACAGTTACAAGGAGAATTACAAGTATCAGCTAGAATTTATAATGGTATAGGAGATGCATTTTTTAAAATATGGAAAACAGAAGGATTGATTGGATTTCAAAGAGGATTGTTCCCAGCCTATTTGTCACAAGGAACACTCAATGGATGTCGGCTGGGATCATATGATATAATCAAAAAGTTTGTTGGTATTACCGATGAGAGAACGGCTACTTTTTGGCAAAATTTGGCGGCTGGTGCTGCTGCCGGTGCCTTTGGAGCATCGATGGGATCACCATTTGATTTGGTCAAGGTCAGAATGCAAGCTGCTAGAATGTTCCCAAACGACCCACAATTTAAAGATTACAACTCTACCTCGAATGCATTTAAAAGTATCATTCGAAATGAAGGTTATAGAGGTTTGGTTCGTGGTATGGCAACCTCTGCGCAGAGAACCGCAGTCGGTTCATCCATCCAGCTCAGCACCTACTTTGAATCAAAGCGTATGGTCATGAGTACTGGACTCTTCACCAAAGACGGCATCGACGCACAATTCATGGCATCGTTAATTGCAGGTCTCTTTGTAACAATAGGAATGAATCCATTCGATGTAGCACGTACTAGACTTTATTACCAAGGTAAAGGTAATACCCATGGTGAAAAATATAAAAGTTTAGTTGATTGTATTTATAAAGTATGAAAGGAAAAACAAAAAAAAAGATATATAATAACGTTAATTAATATTTCTTTTCTTTTCTTTTCTTTTATTTTTTAGACTGTAAAATATGAAGGATTTTTCGCATTGTATAAGGGATTCCTTGCACATTATTTAAGATTGGCACCACATACATGTCTGACATTGGTATTTTGGGAACAATTTAAAGATATGTTTGACAAGGTTGAAAAGAAATATATATAAATTCAATCAATGTTGGAAATATTAAAGACAATGATAGAGATAGAGAGAGAAAACCCTTCTTTATTTTATTTTATTTTTAATTATATTTAGTAGAGATAGGGAAGATTCCATTCTTGTTGATCAGAATCGCAAGATGAAACTTTAATGTCATGTGTGTTGGCATGGGTGATACAGTAACCACTATATTGACTCTTTAATCGATATCCATCTATTTTCCATTTCTGATTGGTACCATCATGACATGGATAAGCAATAACAGATGCATTCTGAGCAAGACTACCTCCACCAATATCCAAACAATAATCATTGTTGGATCTAATACTTCCATCGGCAGACATTACCCATTGTTGTTGGATATTGGATGTACAACTTGTTACCAATACTTGACCATCATTTGTCATCCCCAAACAAGTATCTGATTTTTTTGGATAACCTGCATGTGGAGTTATAATCGATCGGACAGAATTACCAGTACCCAACAAATGTTTAACTATATTATCCAATCCGATAATGGTAACTGCTACATTTTGACAATTTGGATTGTAATCTGTACTTGAAAATACTCCCATATGTTGTGACCCATTTGAATATCCTCTTGGTAAATCAAAACTTGCAGATGAATATGGTTGATTTTCACAATTTGCATTTTCTCCATTCTATAGAAATCAAATTAGATATAAGAACTTATTCTTCTTCTTTCAAATCGTAATACATACATCAAAATAACCAACCATTGCCAACATGTTTTCAGTTGATATAAAATTGGATGTAGATTTAATTGAACCCAATTGATATGTTTTGTTTTCATTTATATCAATGACTGATGCATTCAATAGATTGTTGGGGGATTGTGATATTGTAAATTTGTAAGGGTGTCCAACTTGCCAATTCCATTCAACTACACAATGATGTCCCTTTTCTCCCTCGCCACCATTAAAAGTACTACATTTAGTGTTTGATGAATTTGAAAAGCTATCTATTGCATCCCAAACTGAAAAGATAAATTGTCTTGTCGTCCCTCCATTTGATCGAATGCCAATATGTCCTGATGACGATCCACCAAACAAATCAAATTGAAAAGACCAAAAAATATTTGAATAAAATCCTAAATATAATATTTATTAGTATCAAAAGTAAAAGGGATTATAAATGAATATTACCTGGGTCTGTATTAATAGTAATTTGAAATTCTACTGATGATAACTTCTTATTTAATACTGTTGGAAATTTAAAAAAAGAATAAGAATAAGGTGTTTTAATTTGAAAGTCTCCATTACAAATTAAAATATTAGCTAATACGATTGTTATTATTATAAATGTTGTTGACTTCATTCTATCGAAGATTTTATACTAACATTCAAAAAAGAAAATGAGCACTCATTCATCATGATCCCCACCATCTAACAATGGTTATAGAAGAAAAGAATGATTTTTTTTTTTGACTGTTCATTTATTTTTTTATAATGGTGGTACAGTCGTGAGTCATGATATTAAGGGAAAACTGGTAGGTTCCATTCTTGACCTTTTTCCAAATCACAAGATTAACCAGTTAGAGGCATTATTTTATTATTACATTTTTTTATTTTTTTCTTGATTGTCAAGATGAAATTATGGTGAAGATGGTAGATTCCATTCTTGACCTTCTGTCATATTACATGGTAGAACAGTGAGTCCTTGATCCTTTTTCAAATAGGTTAAACAAAATCCACTTGCACTTTTAATTTTCTTTCCAAGGACAGACCATAATTGATTGTGCTGAGCATGGCACGGATATGAAATGACTGGTGCTGCAGATGAAGAATCACCTCCCTTGATATCAAAACAAAAGTTTTCTCTCATTCGAATAGTGCCGTCCATACTGACAACCCATTGTTGAGATGTTTGGCTTGGTTTACAATTGGATACAATGAGACTTGACTCTTCTGGCTTACCACTTGCAGTGTCGATACATAAATCACCAAACGTCTTGAAAGGTGTGATGTGATCACGAACCGAATTACCAATTGACAAACGATGGGTAATTTGATTACCAACTGTGGTAATAGTATTTGATGTACAATTCTTTGATGATTTAGTGTATGATAGAATTGCTTCATAGTTTACACCTTTAGCAGTACCCTTTGGTAACATAAAACTAGCCGATGAGAATGGTTGATTAAAACAATTACTATAATTTTGATTCCATTCATAATATTCTACCCATGATTGAAGATCTGATGTAATTCCAGTTGCATTTGTTTTAATAGATCCTATATTCTAAAAATAAAAAATATAAATAAATAATTAATATCTTTGAATGAATAAATTAATTTTTTTTTTTAAACATACATAAGTAACATTATCAGTTAAATCAACAACAGTTCCAGTAACCCAACCATTAGAAACTGATAGACGGAATGAAAAGGTATGACCCCATTGCCAATTCTCTTGTAAACTACATGAATGACCAATACCCTTTTCAGAAAAGGTTCCACATCTTGCATTTGGGTTGGTAGTGGTACTATTGAAACCATCCCATATTGAAAATTGGAAACGTCTCTTTTGGCCTCCATTTGATTGCATACCAATATAACCAACCGAGCCTTTAGATTGATAGAATTGGTTACTCCAAAATGTCTTGTGGAAGAATCCTGGGTCAGTATGAACGGTTACTTGAAATTCAACAGTTTCCAATGGAGTTGTGGTAGGAAAATGATAATATGAATAGGTTCCTGGAGTAATACCAAGACCACATGATAACAAAACCATAAAGGTTGTAGCAAAAAATAATGTAATTAAAATCTTCATTTTATGTTTATGATTTGATTTATTATGTTGTTGTTGAAATGAATAAACATATAAATACCTATCTATTCTGATCGCATGATTGATCTTGCTCAGTTGTGCACAACCATTGTGATGATTTACTTTTTTTTGTAATAATTGATTTTGTAATATCCATGGTATTTCGGGATTGATGTTCTACTCTTTTCATCATCATCATCATCATTGTCTAATATATAAGGTGAACAATGTTGGAAACAACAAACTTGGATGGTGTGGGATGAACAATTGCATTTAAAAAACACAAGTAAATAAAATGATTTACACAATAGTGTTAAAAAAATTATCGAATCCTCTAAAATACTTTAACCAAAACACAATATTTGAATATTTTATTTATTCTAAAAATAAATGCACCTATTCTATTGATATAAATATTAACTATATGGATGTATGTATGGTTTTTTACAAACTAAATTTAGTTTTAAACTTTTTTGTTTTTTTTTATATTTTGTAGGATAGATAGATAAATAATTATTAAAAAATATTGATCAACATTGAACCAATTGAGGGGTATTAAAGAATTGAGAGAATGATGCCATATTACATGGTTTCATTATCAATCCCAATTTTGGTCCAAGTGATGTCAGACATAAGCCATTGAGTTTGGAAACGATTCTGTTTCCCTCTACACGCCAAAGTTGGTTGGCAGATGGTGGATTGTAGCATGGATACATAATAACTGGTGTATTCTCCTTTGGACTCCCACCAAAGATATCGAGACAATAGTTTTCAGCCAAACTGACTGAGCCTGATGGGTTAAACTTCCATTGTTGACCTGGAGTTCCGCAATTTTGGAGAACCACCTCTTTAAACTCTACTCTTAGTGTAGCTGGTCCGACACAATAGGTTTGATTAGAGTAATATGCTGTAATAACATCTCTAGTAGTATCAGGTGGTCTATATGGTGGAAGAGTATGGCCTCCTGCAAAATGTGCCATCAATCCATTAATCATCCATAATGATAAGATTAAAATGATCCCTAAATAAAAAATAATGGAGGTGGGTAGGTTTTGGAAAAGGATGTTTGATAAATAAATAGTATTTAGTATTGTTATTATATTATATTATATATTTTTTCCCTTACCTTTAATCATATTTATTTAATACAGTCTTGTTATTGATGATGATTAAGAAAATTCTTTCAAACTAAATGGTATGGTTGGTTATCAATATGATTGAAATGAATACATACATAAATGAAGAATAAATAATATTAAATATTGTTGATGATGATGAAAGATGAAGATGATTACCATCATATGATCTTGTTGCTAGAGAATAGTGATCATATCGTCATTGTCGTCAAGATTTTTCATTACCACCCATTGCTGCAATGTGGGTTCTCAATCAACAGTACTTGTATGGAGCCAGTATGAGCGTAGTGTGATTGAATTTTTGAGTACTTTTGTATTCTTTAACACATCCCACTACTCTATCCTATAGCTCTGTGGTGTTGTTGTTGTGTGTTGAAGTTAACATTGATGTGAATTGGACAGACTAATAACTATTCATTCAGTCTATTCATCAAATATGCAATGCATGCCTGAAAATTAAAATTAAATGCATCAAAGGGGTTTCATTGTCATAGTTTCACTCGGTTTAATTAATGATAACGTTGTATGATCAATCATACAAGATAGATAGATAGATTAGACTATGGTCAGAATCAAACAAAGATATTTATTAATAGAACTAATATGGCATATGAAAGAAAGTGAAGAGCAAAAGAGCTCACTTGTTTCAACAGGCTCTTTAAATGATCCACGCTTTGATGTCAATGAACTAATATCACATATAAGAGCTGAATCAAAGAGGCTATTAGGTTCAATAGCAGATTGTTTTGTTATAAGGCGTATGTACATACTAGTAAATCTAAAATCATCTTTACTCTCTAATGATACTAATGTTGTTCATTTTTCAAGATGTTGCTGGAGTAACAGACAAGTTTATAATACAAACCAATTTTAATTATTTCAAACAAATATGGATGTCGATAACGATGATCACTCACTTTAAAGAACATCCTCTCTACATTCGAGTATTACACATTGCAGGTTCGATTAAATCTGCACAAAAGGCATCACTACGACTATTAAACGAAGAGTTGCGAGTGGCAATTGAAAGAAAAGCAGATGCAAGACAAATCAAACAAAAGCAAGAACAATATAAACAACAAGACAAGGATAAAAAACAACAACAAAAGAACAATCAACAAAATAGTGGAATTCAAGTACTTGGAGCAAAGGATATTATTATAAATCCAGATGATAATATTGTAACAATTCAAGAGGATTTTAGTGATGACCAAGATGATGATGATGATGAAGAAGAGGAAGAAGAAGATGATGACGATGAAGATATCATGAATATGGGATAGAAATAATAATAATAATAATAAACAATATAATATTCCTTTTTTTTTTTTTGATTGTACAGTAATTTCATCCATGGGAATATAGATGTAGGAAGGAATATCCTATCCTTTCTAAAACAACAACAAATTATATATTTAAATTTGTTTGTGGTTGAATTATAATTTATTTGAATCAAAGTAAGAATCCAATTCACCTCCAATACCACCTAGACCACCTCCAATTGACATGTTTAAATTTACAGCAGACTTTCTCAACATTCCATTATCCTCGATACCTCCTTTCGACTGTCCTCCACCCATCGATGGATTTTTAAGACCATCAGCCAAAGAAAAAGAAAATGAAGCAGTAAGAGGTATCTGTGAAAAGTCGATTGAACCAAAGTCAGAATGTTCAAATCCACCATGAGTCGTACCAGAAGTACAATTTATAACTCCCAAATCTTGTCCATTTCCTCCACCAGTTAAATTAAATCCTCCTGAAGTTGTTGAAACTAAAATAAAATAAATAAGCAATTAAACAATTAGTAATCAATAATAATAGGATGGATCCTTTTTTTTTGACTTACGATTATTACTTGATTGTAAAAGAGCTAAAACATCGGTTGATTGGTCTATTATATTTCTACGCATGATATTATTTACAATTGATTTGTTATTCTCTTCTAGCATACTATTAACATCAATATTGTTTGGAAGTGATGGAGATGATGATGTTTGAATGTCACCCGTCGTATCATTCATCATTGATAATTGAGCTGCTGAAGTAACCATTGGTTGTTGTTGATGTTGTTGTAGTTGTTGTTGTTGATGGTGGTCGAGTGGATTATATAATCCACCTCCACCGCCTCCCCCTCCACCTCCACCATCATTATTGTCTTGAGTTGGGATCATCAAGTTGTGGTGTTGAGCCGGTAGTGGTGTTTGAGCCAACGATTGTTTCTTTTGTTTTCCTTCCAACATTGATTGTAATTGCAACCGAGAAAGGAAGTTAAACTCTATGATTTGTTCTTTAATCTTTAATCGTTTGTAATATATCTTGAAAAAGTCTGGATTACTTGCTTCTAAATTTGCCAACACTAAAGTAAAGTAAAAAGAAGAAAAGAAAAGCCTGACTGTTAATATATATTTATAGACTGTACAGTAGTATAAGCAACCCAATGCAATTAATACATACTTGTTTCAGAGAATGAAGGGGAAACATTTCTTTGATTCTGTAAGGTTAGTATAATCTCTGTCTTTGTCATATACAATGAAAAACATTTCTCTATACACTGTAAAATCTATTAATAGGAGAGAGAGCAAATAAGGAAAGGATCTAGTTAATTATCAATCCTGAATAGGAAGGGCTCAGGTTATTGGGATCAAACCAACACCCAAGAAGATATTATGATGGACATTCATTCACCTATGCTATAGTATAGGGGTGCATCATACTTACATTTGCAGCCTCCTCTTTGGAGATTTCGATTTGTTGTTGTTGATCCATCATTATTTTGGTAATATGTTTATAAATAATATATTATCTACTGTTCTTGTAGTTTTAGCAACTACGTATATAGGTATTAATAAAGTAGAATTAAAATTGTACGTATGTATTCAAAATTTCTTGCCAAGAAAATTTTCTGAGTTTAATCATTTTTTTTGGGCAGACTCAAGAAATCATCGAGAATCACGTGAAAGTGTAAGTGGGAATTTGGAAATAATACACTATTTTGGTTTAAAGACAAGTTGATCAATTATCAAATCGATCAAAGTGGAAATTGAATGGGGGAATCTAGATATATATATGATATTGATTTTTAAATAGCTGTATGGGTTTTATTTTAAAAGATGTTTTACAAAAAAACGTGAGGGTGAGGAAAGGGAGCATATCTCAAAGCTCAATGATTTCGAACAATTGATCTTTGTTTGGTCAAATGGTTTGGTTGGTTGGTGAGTGGGGTTTGGTTTGGTTGGTTGGTTTATATATGATTGATTTATATTTAACAAATATATATATTTTAAGATAGAAAAAAAAAATGATTCGATTTGAAATTGGATAATCTTGATTTAATATGTCTCTCCAATGTTTACAAAGCATCGATATCTAAAATAATTAATTAAATAAAAAGAAGGTTAATACATAAATTAATTATCCATATGCCTGTGTTTTTTTTTTTGTTTGTTTCTTACCAATATTGTCATCAGCAACGAATTCGAATGGAATATCATTGTTATCATCATCAAAGGTATCATTTTCATTGATACGAGCAGTCTCTGGCAATTCACCGAGGGTCTTGAGACTACGAGCTTCGTCGATGGTATAACGCATGATAACATCGGCCTTTTCTTCTTGGTAATCTCTGAGTTGGAGGAGGATGATATCACCACAGTTGATCCATTCCTTCTTTCTCAAACGACCACTAATGTGACAAAGACGCTTTGGACCGTCAAAACATTGAGCTTCGATACGTCCATTACCCAACATCTTCAATACTTGAGCATATTCTTGACCGTCCTCCTTGAATTGGAGTTCTCTCTTTTGCTCGTTCTCGTTCTTTCCTCTTCTACGATTCTTTCCTCCTTTTCCTTTATTCTTGGGCATTTTCTACTCTATAAAAATTGAAAAGTAAGTAAGTTATTTAATAATTTGATTTCTCTATATTCTATTTATAAACAAAAAAGATTAAACAAAATGAACAACAAATTTAAAAAGTAAAGGTTAAGGTACTTTTTGTTTTGAAAAGATGTAATTAACTAAACTAAATTAAACTAAACTAAACTGTCGTCTGCTGCTGTGTTTTGTAACCTTGCCTCTCTCCTCTACAATGTATTATCAATTCCTAATGTTTTCTCTACTATTTTTTTTCGAGTCGAGAGTTTGATTGGTCACCAATTGGAATTGTGTTTGTTCACTCGACCTTTTTTTTCTTTGTTCTATAGAACTATAATATTACTTTATAAAGAGTTTTGCTGTGCAAAAAGCGAATAATAATATATATAATACAAATTACTTGTTGTTGTTGAACTTTGTTGTCTTGCTACAACACGAATAATAATCGATTCATGATTTCTTATAATAATACGGTGAAGTGTATTATTATGTACATTCTACTAGTATATCGCTCGCTAGCATTTTGTTGTTTTGTTTTGTTGGTGGGGGTGTGTGTGGTAGTGTTTAAGGTGTGTTACACACAAATACATGTGTATTGTCGTCGTTATATTATTACTATTGGTTTGTTGTTGTTTAATTTATCTACCTTTGTCTTTTTCTTAACGACCTAAAAGAGTATGATGTTACTTCAAATTTTTCTATCACATCCCGTTCGTGCACCAAAGCTCATCAACAAAAATTAAAAAAAAAGGAAAACAAAAAAAACAAACTTTTTCGAACTTCCAACTTGATCAAGTTGGACAAAGAAAATAAATTAATAATTTATTTATTTATTTCTTTTTATTATTTTTCTTTTTAGTAATATTTTTTGGTTTGGTATCTGATACCTTTTGAGCAGATGCAGTATTGGTAGTTGTACTAGTGGTAGAGGTGGTACTAGTACTGGTGGCAGCAGCGGCAGCAGCTTTACTAATCTTTTCAGCAACATTGTATTGATTGGTTGCCGATGAATTGGTGGTGACACCTTGAGATCCACGCATGAGGTTGGCGTTGGTATTGCTGTTTTTGCCCTTGTTGGCAGCAGCCATACGTTTGTTTTTGGCACGTTGCCATTTTGGCAACCATCTCTCGGGGTCTGGGGCACGAGCAGGGTCATAGTTTTTGGGCAAGAATCTTGGTTTCTTTTTGGTGAGGGCAGCAGCTGCAGCGGCGGCGTCTCTGGCCTTTCTGCTCTTGAGTACCTCGGCGACAGCCTTGGGGGCGACCTTCTTTTCCTTGCCATAGGACAAACCCAATGTCTCGATCTTGTCAACGTCGACACTGCTGTTGGTAAGCTTGATGATTGGCAACTTGCCTTGATATTTCTGAGAGAGTGTTGGGTCATAGTGAGAGGTGGCAATAATGTATGATGGCAAAGCAAACAAATCGTTTGGATTAACCTTTAGAATCTTTTCATAAGTCTCTGCTGCATCCTTGTATTTTTGATGTTTCATCTTTAAATTGGCACTTAATTTTAATAAATCCACAAAAGAATCAATTTCTTTTTCATCCTTGTTATTCTAAACAAACGTAAAAAATATAAATGGTTTGTTAACATTCTATTCCTTTTTTTGTTTGTTTGTTTTGTTTGTTTACCTTTGATTCTAAATTATTAATTTGAATATCTAAACTAGAGATTGCCTTTTCATAATCACCTAATTTTTCATAGAGAGCAAAACAAGTAGCAATGATACCTGGTTTGGTCTTTGTTGAAGAGTCTAAAGATTGTAAAACAGTTAGGGTCTTTTCTGGATGACCTTCAGTGAGATGAAGTTGAGCAAGAGTTAATTGAGCCTTGAGTGACTTGTATTTCTTGAGGATTTCTTCGGCTTCTCTCCATTTCTTTTCACGCATCAAGAGGAATGCGACAATGAGGTCGAGATCTTCAACGTATTCCTTAAAGTTGGCGCTGTCCTTGTTCTTGGTCTTGAGTGACTTTACCAATTCCTCGCATTGTGATACCTTTTTCAAATGGAGCAAGAGGATGCAGTGGTTGAGATTGACAGCCTTTTTCTGTGAAGAGTTGAGTTTGGATTCAGATGATTCGGCAAATACACCCTTGAGTTGTTCGAGCAACTCACTCTTTGTCTTTTGTTCATTACGACCATTGACAGAGATTACATTGTTTTGAGCAACAATCGATGCACTGTCACCATAACTCTTTCCAAGTACATTTTGATAACTTTCAAGTGCACTCTCTAATTGACCATTCATCTGTTGACAATAACCCAATTGAACATGAATTGCTGATAATTCTTCATCAATATCTTCTTGTTCATATCCATCTTTTGTTAATGTATCAATACATATTTCTAAAAGAAAATAAAAAGGAATGGAAATTAATAAAATCAATTAATCAATGGTTTGTTTTCTCTCTTTCTCTTTCTCTTTCTTACTTTTAGCCAATTTTAATTGAGTTTCAGCAGCTTTAATATCATTTCTTGAAAGTAAAAGACAAGCAGAATTGTAAGCAAGTTCATAGGTCTTGGTCATGATTGATTTATGTTTGGCAAGTAGGTCTTGACATTCCTTGAATTTACCAGCATCAATATAAACTGCACAAAGATTGGTAATCAATTCAGATGATTGTGAATAACCAGATTGTGATAACAATTGTTCATAAATTTCAATTGTCTTTTCATAGTTTTCAAGTTTATAATACTAAATAGAAATATTAAGTATTAATAAATATTTTCTTTCTTTCTTTTATCTTTTCTCTCTTACAATTTGAGCTTCCAATTCTAAAACATTGTTTGGTTTTGATTGAATTGAAGTTGTTTCCTTTAAAGCATCTGTATACTTTGCACTGCTGTAAAGACAATATGCCTTTTCAAATACAAAACTATCTTTTAATGGTCCTGATTTGTTGATGGTATCAACTGCATCTTGGAAACTACCTAAATACATATAACAAAGTACTTTACATTGTGTTGCTTCAACATCATTTACACTTTGTGATAATACTAATAAAAGATAAGAGAGAGACAGAGAGTTAGTAAGTACGTTCATAAGGCTCTTATATATTCTTTTTGTCTATGTTTTACCTTTATTACAAACACGAATAGCTTTCTTGTATTGTTGTTCTTGGATTGCTTCATCCAATTCTTTAAATAGAATGTCTAAAGGTTGTTGTTGTTCCTTTGACATGTTTTTTGTTAAACTATTACTACTACTTTCTATTTAATTAAAGAAATAAATAAATAAGTGATGATCAACAGAGACTGGAGTGTGGATGAAAGGTTAGTTGAAAAATTGATGATTAAAAACTACAAAGTTTGACCTTTTTATGACCGAATCATCAATCATTACAAACACAAATAGTAATATTAAAATCATTCATAAGAAGAGGATATTTATTATATTATATATAACTATACTATCAATGTCAAATACAAATACATCATCACCACCATTGACAGCATCAACAGCAACATGTTCATTACCAAGAATGATAGATACTGATTGGAGAATGGATGTAAAGACATCATCAGATGTAATGAATAGAATGGCTGTACCAACTGTATTATTCAAGATTGAGGTTTGTTATTGTTTCATCATAAGAATATCAGCTATCACACATATGTTTCAAGTACTTACACATTCATTGATTGATTCATTCATTCAGGTTGAGGATTCACAAAAAATCAATGACCCATCATCAGTAGATGAAAAGAAGACAAAGACTGTTATATTTGAATTAAACAAACAAACTATTAATACAATGTTGGATGGTTTACATTTTGTACAAAATCAATTGGATTCAATTAAATAATGGAGTTCTATACTCGTATACGAGACCGATCGTATAGGGAGGGATGGATAATTTGTATATTTTTTAAAAGTTTAATATGGCTACATACATGGATGTCAAATAATGGATCATTCGAATAAATCAATAATAAGATATGTATTGAGAGAGGGAGATATAAAGGAAGTATTCCTAATCTCTCTCTCTTTTTTTTTTTTGTTATAATCAATCGTATACAAACTTTGTAATGGTTCATTCTTCTTTTGTTTATTATATTATTTTAGATACCATAAATCTTTTTAGTATTTTCACGACATTGTTTTAAAACAGCTTCGACTGAAGTACCTTTAATTTGAGCGATAAGATTGGCAACATGTGGGATATGACCGGAGTGAGCTATTTGACCACGGAATGGTTCTGGAGTCATGTAGGGTGCATCGGTCTCTAATAAAAGACGATCCAATGGAATGATTGCCAAAGAGTCACGGATAGGATCACTAGATTTGAATGTGATACATCCAGTGAACCCAATACATAGATTTGAAAAGTGTTCTAGTAGTTGGAGGATATAGGGTTGATTGGATGATGTGAGACAGTGAATATGAATCTTGTAGTCCTTTGGCACCAACTCTTTGAGTATGGCAATTGTGTCTTCTTCGGCATCACGTGAATGGATGACCAATGGTTTACCCAATGGCACAGCCACACCCAACTGACGACGGAATGCTATTTTCTGTTGATCGTGTGTAGAATTCTTGTAGTAATAGTCTAATCCCATTTCACCCCATGCAACAGTCTTGGGATGACTCATACGTTCAATCAACTTGCTCTCTACAGTGTCAGTGTAGTCTTTGGCATTGTGTGGATGTACACCATAGGCAGCATAAATCTGTGGATATTGAACTAAAAAGTCGGTATATTCCATCGACACTGGATCACAACATACTTGTACACACGCCTCAAATTGTGGTGGATAGTTATCCTTTACAAATTGTGGAAAGTCTGGTAACATCTTGTTTAATCTTTGTAATGTTTGATCCTATTAAAAACCAAAAGTATAAACATAATTAGATTAGACAAACAAAGATATATACTGATTCTATATACATACTACATGACAATGAGAATCAATGTATTTAGCATCATCTGGCATATCGATAACAGCAGGTGTAAATACAACATATTTTGAAGGTGGTGTTACTTTCTTTTCACCTTTCTTCTTTCCTCCTCCTTGTTGTGGTTGTGGTTTCCTTGCTTCTGGATCACAACATCCTTTATTATTATTATTATTATTATTTGTATTTGAAGTTGACATTGTTCTTTTAATTATATTTGTTGTTGTAGTAGTAGTATTAGAGTAAGAGTAATAACTTGTTGAATATGATGATGATGATAGATATGATGATGTATTTAATCTAGAGATAGTAGTAATAACTGTTCTATTTATTGATCGTGATAAAATCGAGTTGATCATTGTAAACTATCAAATCAGCCCATCATCCAAACTTTTTGTTGTTTGGTGAGAAAAATGAATGAAAGAGAATTTAATAATAATATACTATTTAAAATAATAATAGTATTATAGTATTAATCTTGAGAATAAAGTATGTAGATATAGTAGTATAGTATAGTACTATGGTATAGTATGAAATGGATTATATTTGATTTGGTTTGGTTTATTACAATTATTTTTACAGAATTTATTTATTTATTTGTTTGATAGAGTTAACAATAAATTTTAATAAATGGTAAGATTAAACGTCTAATTTCAGGTAATGATTCTTTGCCAGCGTGATGAAGCATTCTTTGGATTAGTTTAGTTTGACTGTGATTGGCAAATAATAACATGGTACCGGCGTGGCAGAGTGCTGATTTGATGACATCGGCGTTGGGACTATAGAATGTGGCCGAATAATATTGAACGATTCTATCAGATATCGATTTGGTGGGAGAACTCAATAACAGTTCTCTCAGCAATGTATAGGCTGACAGTCGTACTCTGTCACGATTACAGTTGATCAATTGTGCCAAAACATCTAGGAATGTATCTGCCAACAACCCAGATATCCCTGGAATCGTTCTTTTCATCCTACAAATATCATCAACCAATTTGATAATATATCTTTCTTGTTGTCCAACATTGATTTGTTCTTGTAAATCTATTTTCAATTTTTCAATATCTTGATTTAATTGTAATTGATGTTGAATTAACCAATTATTATTATTTGTATTTTGTTGTTGTTGTTGTTGATTATTAATATTTGGAATATTAGTATCTAATACATGAAAACAACAAATATTAAGTTGAATTTTAATAAATGATTGTTTTGATATTGGATAAATATTTGATATTAATCTAAAATAGAAATTGGAAAGAAAATATTAGTACTTTGTTATAATGATAATGTTGTTGTTATTTATGATTTTTATACATACTCTAGATGATCAATATTTTTGATGATGATATCATTATCAATTTTAAATTTTTGATAGGTTGGTAGAAATTCCATAAATTTACAGACTAGGGCAATTAATTCATCGACGTGTATACGGACATTGGATAGGAATAAAAAGTATTCTTGGACGATTTGGTCTAGATGGGGACTAGAGAATACACAGTGTCCGAGGAGATTGATAATATCTAGTATGTCGCAATAGAGAATATGATAGCGTTTGATGATGAATTGGTCCAATGCAATATAACTACGTCCTGCAAATAGAGCCAACACTGATGGCAGATGAATGGTGATCAACTCTGGATGATCATAGGCAAGCTTTTGAAATAGTATAAATGCATCTCTACGTTGTTCTGGTTCATAGATCTTTAATATCACTCTATGTATAGGTATATCTAATTGTGTGGTTGGCATGTTTACATTATTATTATTATTATTGACATCGTTGTTGTTGTTATTGTTATTGATCATCATGATTGGTGGTGAATATTCTGGTAATAATGATTTAATTGTACTTGGAAAACTATAATACAATTGTAGTAGGATATTACTATTACTATTACTATTACTAGCTGATGAACAGTTATTTCTTTGCCAAAGGTAATGAACAAGAGTTGATAGATGGTTTGGGGAAATATGAGCAGCCGATGTTAATAGTACTATACTACGTTTGATGGTTGGTGGTGATGATGATGATGATGGACACAAACTAGTTTGTTGTTGAGCTTTGGCAATATGATTGGCAAACAGACAAATGGAAGAGGTTGTAAAGTGGTAAAGCAACGAGTCAACCAACTGTGATGGATTGGCGGAATAGTAGGGTGCACTTGACCTTGGATGACAATGATAGGCGTTGATAAATGTTAGGATTGATTGTTGATCTGACAATGAATCCTCTTTGTTATAGTTATTATTGTCGCGTAATAGATATTGAACAAAAGCAGATAGAGTACTCCAAGATGATTTATGGATAAAATGGGATAGTAGAAAGGTTGAAAATGGTCTGCGTGGGAGACCAAACATCAAATTATATACAAGTACAATCGATTGATCAGGTTGCATCTGATTGACCAACACTGACAACCAATCCAATAACAATCCAATCGATGGATGATCATTTGGTAGATTTTCAATTGATTCTATCAATGATTGAATCAAATTGTTTAAAACTGGTACCGTCGATGATGATGATCCAACTCCTCCAACTCTGTTAGTGAAGAATAGATTTCCAAATAATTTACCCAATATTTCTTCTAATAAATCTATTGGTGTATCTCTAATGATTTCTTTTAGATTTAAATGATTTGTTCTTGATGAGGAGGATGAAGATGAGACATGTTGACCAACTACACTTGTCTTTGTTGTTGTTGTTGATGGTTGATTAATTGATTTCTTTTCCTTGATTAATTCAATGTCTTGTTGCTGTTCTTGTTGTTTGATTGAATTTCCAAAAGTTGATAATATTGATGATTTCTTTTTCTTTTTTGGTTCATCACCATTTAAACCTTTTCTCTCAGATTTACTGTTGTTTGTAATTAATTTAATTGATTGACGAGCTTTACTTGATATGGTAAGAGAGTCTAAACTATAGTTGATCAATGTTGATTCATCTAATTGTTCAATTGCCATGTCAACCAACACTTGATTATTTGATTGAAGAGCTTCCATTACAACATCTTGACTATACAGTATCTTTTGACTATACGATTTGTTTGATTCCAATAAATTGGTTGTTATTCTTTTAATTGATTTCTCTTGACTATCAATACTGTCACCACTACCAACACTGTCACCACTACCACTACTACTACCACTACTATCACCAACATTACAAATTGAATAAATAATAGCATCAATCAATATTTTTGGAATATTAATTATTTTTCCATCCTTTTTTGTAATTGTCACCTTTTCCTCTTGTTCCATTTCCTCATCTTCTTCTTTTACTTTTTCATCCTTTTCATCCTTTTCATTTACTTCTTCTTGATCATGATAAAGTTGAGAAGAAATAGCAAATAAATCAAGAATGATTGGTTTTGTAATTGGGTCGTTTAAAAGGAATCGAGAGATGATTTTACGATTGATAATGATTTTGGCAATGTGAAGGGATAGGGAAGATTGTTGTTGATTGTTTGATTTGAGACTATAGTCATAGAGGTATTGGAGGTGTGATCGAATGGCCAATGTGTCAGTCTCGACCAACAGTGCTTTCAAAAGTGCGTGATAGATGGTATCAGCAACTTGATCAAACCAAGGTAATTGAGTTGGTATACGACCAATCGATCCAATCAAATCAATACCAAACATATTTGTCATTGTCGTTGTTGTTGTTGTAGTTGTTGCTGGAGACTTTAGATGAGGTAAAGAAGCAATAGCAACACGAGTAGAATGACGTATTTGATGAGATGGAGATGAAAGATTGGTGAAAAAGAATTTAATAAATTCAAGTGTCGATGTGGCGCTATTGGTAATGAGTGTACCTATACGATTGACAATCTTGGCTGCTATGGGTGCAACTGATGAGTGGTCGGCCATTAAAAGTACTTCAGCAAGACACATGGGTGGTAGAATATCGAGTGTGCGAGGGTCAGTATGAATGATTTGTACCAACCATTGCAAAGAAGTTCTGCTCTCTTGAGAGGCCATAATTTCAAGCAAGAAGTCTGGTTGTCTACTTTGACAGAGCAGATAGGACATGTGAAGATCATTGTCTAGTCGTACGAGACGCTCTACTACTTCGTTGGGTGGTTGTCTTGCACATCCGGGGATATCGAGTATGATGATGGGTCCACCGGTAGATTGTTGGTGTTCAGCCAACACGGCCAAGATCTCTTGTTCCTTGGCATGTGCAGCTTGGTCAAGAGCCTGGATTTGAGCAGGCGAGATGGACTTGGCTGCGTAGGGAGGGAATCTCCATAGCCGGGTGACAATCATCTCGAGAACGGTACGGATGGTTGGACAGGCCTGCCAAAACACCTTTCCGACAGTAGAAGGGCTCAAACAAACGATAAAGCAGACTATAATGACAGCCTGCCAGAATAGCTGAGCATTGGACACACGCACCTGGCCAATAGCACCAATCTCTGACAATACCAACACATCACCACCAACATTGGCACTACTAAACTGTACACCAACACCAAACTTGATATTGACAATAATAGACCGACGCAGCAATAAATCCAATAATTCCAATATCCCCTTTTTATCGACTCTATTTTCTTTGGATATCGACAATATATTATTAATTACATTCTCTTGTATTTGAATTTCATTTGATAATATTCTATATGATACTCTATCTGAATCAATTATTGTTATTGTTGTTGGAAACTAAATGGAAATAGAAAATAGAAATATTAAAATTAATATTTTTGTTTGTTTGATTTGTTTTTTTTTTTTTAATAACATACATAAGTATTAATTGGTTCTAAAAATAATATACGTTTAATCATATCAATAATATCAGTTGGTGATGATATAAATAGATTAAATAAATTGGCACACCAGGTTGTTGTGGTGTCTGTGATGGTTGATATTTGTGATCGAATGATTGACATGTCACGTTCAGTTTGTTGAGTTGTTGTTGTTGCTGCTGCTTGATTTGGGGTAGGTGTGTTGGTGGTATTGGGATTGGTGGTTTGTGATCCAGGAATAGTTGTTGATGGAATGAGTAATAATACTTGACACATTGCATGTACTAGATTATGAGCCCATCTTTCTTTGACCATTGGATCACGACCAAGATACTGCTCATCTTTGGAGATGTCGGTCAACTGGTTACAGAAATGTGGCATATTGATGGCTGGAAATTGTTTGATAATCTTTCGAATGATCATTCTCGACACTACTTTGACGGCATAGTCTTCACGAACACACAATTCTTTAATGATCGATGCCAACTCTTCTTCGGCACGCAACGGTAACATATGCTTGAATATAATGGATAGACGGGACTTGCCACCCACTGTACTTGCCGCACTGGCACCTTTGGCACCTGCACCGGCTCCCGTACCTGGCATTTCCAGCTCCAACTCGACAGCTTGTCTCAGTGCAATGCTTGCATAGGCACTGTTGTTTCCGAGTAGTGTTGGGATGATATCAGTCGACACGCTGCTATGTACTTGAACACGCATCAAGATTTGCACAGCCCTAATATCCTCTGGTGAATTCTCACAACAATTGTGTAACAATGCCTGCAAGTATTCTTTGGCCGCCCTGAATACATTTTGGTTGGTCAATAGTTGCTCGATGAGTTGTGCACCCTCTGCACGTGACTCTTTAAATCCAACGGTCAATAACAATAACCTAAGTAATCCACGAGGATTAAATGCAGCATTGAATGATTTAATAGTTTGTATAATATATCTTACAATTTCCAAATGACAATGTTGAAATTTTGATCTTGGAACTGATGACGTTGATGTTGGTGTTGAAGATTGAATCATTACAGTTGTCGATGATGATATAATCTCTTCTTCAATCTCTTCATCTGAATCTACCATATTATTATTATTATTTGTATTTGTATTTGTATTATTCGAATTGTTTGGAATAGTTGGTAATACTGGTGGAGGTGATGGTTTAAATGATGTTGTTGTTGTAGTTGGTTGACTAGTTTGTTGTTGATTACTTTGGTTTGATTGTCTATTTGGTAAAGATGATTGAATGGATTGACAAAATGGTTTACAATTGATATCATCAACCCAAAGACGATCACCAATAGCATCGTCTGAATAGATGTAGAAAAAGGTGGCAGGCCAGTCTGGCACATGTTCATAGGCGGCAAACAAGACAACACTTGCAAACACCTGGACCAGAATATTCTTTTTTGCCTGTGGTTGTGCCATTTGAGTTGGATCGCGTCTATACAGTCCAAGGAGCATGTCCAAAACATCTGGTATTTGAAAGATGGATGTGTTGCGTTTGACCATTTGCAAAAACAATACATAGGGTGATTTGTCGGCATCACCACTAAACAAATGTGACGAAGGTATACTACTAGTCAACAAATGTGATTTCATTGCTACCAATATTGACTTTACAATCTTTGTTGCTTTAACTCCATCTTTTTCATTTTCAATTGATTGAATTAGTTCAATTAATGATGATGATGAATCCATATCATGATTATGATTATTATTTTGATTATTTTGATTATGATTGTGATTATTATTATTATTATTATTATGGTTATTTTGTCTTTGTTGAATTTGTTGTTGTAATAGGTGTGGTGGTATTGGTGGGGTTCTTATTGGTATTGATGGTGGTTGTTGAGATTGTTGTTGTTGTTGAGATGAATGATTCGGTGATGGACTACTACTAGCCTGTTGTAATGATGGAACCAATAAAGGTGGAGGAACAGTTGTACCACCACCACCACCAAAGATAGGTGGTTGAACAACAACATCACCAACCTTTTGTTTCTTTAGTATAGAGTCGGGTGTATTTGATCCAGAAGAAGGAGTATTTATCTTTTCATCATATTCCATCAATTTACCAGCACTACTTAAATTACTAGTATTTATCAATGGAACTGGTTTCTTTCTATTACCCAATGCTACTACTTCTAATTCTGGTACATCTACAAAACAAAAACAAAAATAATTAATTAATATTTTCCATCGTTTATTTATTTTCCAAATTTATACATACTTGAATTTTTTGATCTTTTCCCTAATACTTTATTTTGAGTTCCTGACATGTTTGTCTTCTCTTTTTTTTTCTATATATTTATATTTAATTTATACCAAATGGGTATGTATACATTGTATTATGGGTTTGTTGCTATTACTATAAATATATGATAGATATATAGTGGTTGGTTGGTGCTTATTCTACAATTTTGTTCGATTGATCAATCTTTTTAATTTGATGTTTTTTTTTTGATTTTAAAAAAAAAACTGTGAAATATCTAAAAGAGGGAGGGAGGGGTACTGTGATGGTTGATGAAAATGGGGTGTGTGGTTAAAATTAGTTGATGTGCAGCATCAGATTTTCAAAAATTAAAAAAAAAAATTATCTGTTTGACAGCAACTCTCATTCAAAAAAAAAAGGTCACTTAATGCATAATTGGCTAATTTTGATGAAGTTGTTTGAATTTTTGAGTGATTTTTGTTTATGGGATTTGAGTGTTAGTTTATTACACACACTTTCAAATCAACCTTTATTTTGTTGTTGTGGTTTATCAGTGTATGTGTTGTTATCTCTCAAAAAGAGATATTATAATTTTATTTATTTATTTGTTTGTTTGTTTGTTGGATGAGAATTTTAAATATCAATGAGGAGATATTTTTTAACCAAATTGGTTGTTTTGATTTCGATAAACCATCCATCATTGATTGTTTGTTTGTTTTATTGATTGTCAATCAAGAAGAAGTAGTGTTAGTAATATACAAATTTATATATATATATATAAAGTAACAATTAGAAGACCACCATGGGATCATCATCATCAAAAGGAGGAGGAGGAGGTCCACCAGCTGTAGGTATGAATCAATCAAGATTGATGAAACTCTATAAATAGATAAATGTCTTCAGACTCTAACTAATCTATCTCTCTTACTCTATATTATAGTACCAGAAACACCAACAATAGAAAAAGGAGGAGAACATAAAGTAACATTTAATAATACAACCAAAGATGATGGTATCTATGTATTTATACATATCGATGTGAATCTATCACAAATGAAACAAGCAAATTTGAATCTTTCACCTTCGATTGCTGGAGCTTCGTTGGGAGCGGGCGTAGAGTTTGCTACAAAAGTCGATACACATGATCAAGTATTTAAACTCGATGCAAACAAATCAACCGAACGTTATATAGATGGAGACTATTGTTATGTATCTGTTGTTAAAAAGGTTGATGAAAATCAGTATGCCGTCATCATATCCAACAATCGTATGAAAAAGAATGCAAAAATCAATATTAAAGATAAACACTTAAAAATACAAATTAAATTGATTGATGGAACTGGTAAAAATATAATCTCTACAAATCATAATAATAATAATCAAAATAATCAAAATCAAAATAGCTCAACAACAAATACAACAAATACAACAACCATTTTAACAACAAATAATATACCAGTAAATATAATACCATCTATAACAACACCATAAAAATATATTTAAATAATAATAATAAAGTTTTTTTTGTATATTTTATATATCTATCTCTTTTATTTTGATTTATAATTGAAATTTCCAATTTAAAGGTATTGAAGATAAAGATAATTGAGATAGATGTTTATGTTGATCGTTTTGTTGTTTTTCAAAACGTTCTTTGACGCGATATGTAAAACTATTGTATGATAGATCGAGGACTTGAAGGTATTTGTTGTGTTGTAAAGAGTTGGCAAGTGCCAGTCCACCTTGATCTTGTATTTGATTTTCAGATAGATTGAGTTTGATGAGTGGTAGAGGTTGAGATGCCAATGATACAGCACCTTCTGTTCCCAGTCCGACATAGGATAACTCCAATTGTGTAAGTGTAGAGTTGTGGATAAGAGTACTTGCAATGACTTGACCAATCTTGCTAGACAATGGGTTTTGTGAGAGGTTGAGAAGACGTAGTGCATGGTTGGACAAGAGACCAGACATTAATTGTCGGCCACAGTCATAGTCGAGTTGGTTATTTGATAGATCGAGCATTAAAAGTGTTTGATTGCAAACAAGTGCCTCTGACAACTCGCTTGCAAACAGGGCGCCCAATCGATTGAGTGATAGTGACAGAGAGGTAATGGCAGTATTGTCTCGCAACGCTTTTGCAAGATGTGATCCCATTTCATCGGGGATTCTATTGTCTGCCAGCGACAGTCTTGTAATCGTTTGATTCAACGCAATCGATTTGAATAAATGGTCGTCCAACGTACCGCCATTTGACGGTATATCAATCTGCGCACAACCAATGAGGTTGCATCGGAATATGGCATCGGCAAGCCGACATGTTGGTGTAGATATAGCACGTGACAATGCCTGTGCCGTTTGTAGAGACAATTTTGAATCGGTTAATAATAACTCGTTTAGAGCAAGTGGATGCGATGCATCGCATAGACTTTCGAGGATAGCAGCACCGCCAGCATCGCCAAGACGATCGAGTGCAAGTGATTCGAGTGCACACTCGTGATTGCTTTGCATGGCCTGTGCCATGACAATGGCAGTCTGTGTGTCGGTCTGATTACAATTCATCGACAGTTTTCTGAGTGTTTTGTTGTGTCGCAGCGAGTTGGCAATGGCAACACCACCCTCTGGTCCCACCAAATTATAGGTAATGTCGAGATGTGTAATGGCACGGTTCTTGATGAGCGCACCCGCCAATGAAATGGCCGTACCATTGCCAAGATGATTGTGTCGCAGATCAAGTGCGACAATGGTCGAGTTGTGACGCAGCGCAGCAATCACCTCGGTCAAAATACCGTCTTCAAGTCGACTGTTTCGGAATGACAGGTGTGTGACGGTTGTATTGTTTGCCAGTGCCGTCCCAATCGCTGCATAGTTGTCTGCCGATGTCCACTTTTGATAGAATCTAAAGTACTCGACCGACGTACATACATCAAACACGGTGCTAAACAGCTGACTTGGGATATTGCTCAACATGGGTTTGCTAGTCGCCCGAACAAACTTTTCAGGCAACTTGTTTGTATGTTTGAGGATACTGATAAACTTTTGAAACTTGCTACTCTTGTCGAGAATCATTGCAATGTATCGGAAATGGAATGGCTTGCCTCCCTCTATAATACCACGTGTCGACAGTTGAATCAATGCCTTTAAATGTTTATGTGACTTTACTACAAAATGTTGAAATACTTGTGGTGTTATCACTTTTCCCCATAATTTACAAACCATTGATAATGTCTCTAATTCTAAATTTGGTATTGATCCAATATTATTATTATTATTGGTACTTGATGTTAGATCTAAAGAGTTGTTGGAAGTGGTTGAAGAAACAAGAGGAGGAGAAGAATTGGTTGATGTTGATAATGTTGGTAAATCAGGTCTTGATCGATCCAATTTAATTTCATTATTCTTTTCATCCATTTTCAAGTTTGCCAAATACCCTATAATCTTTAATATTATAGTATGTGGTAATTGATTGATATTGATCGATGAGGATGAAGACAAAGAGGAGAAAGAAGAAATTAAAGTAAATGCAGAAGTTTCAAGTGTTGGTGAAAATGATGTCGTTGATGATGAAGATGATGATGATGTTGATGAATTTCTTCTATGTGATGAAGAAGAAGAAGAAGAAGAAGAACGATGTTTTGGTGATAATGATATTGGTTGAAATGATTGTTGTTGTTGTTGTTGTACATTATTATTATTATTTACATTGTTATTTGGTAAAGATGATGAAGTGTTATTATTATTATTATTATTATTTCCATTCATATCTTTACTATATTGTTGAAGTATATATAAATCAACTGGAGAATTTGATGGTGTTGGTGGACTATTTGGATCGGATTTTGAGTGTTGATGATGATGTTGATGATCTTCCAAACAACCATTTGTTGTTTTCTTTCGACCAAACTTCTTTGACAAGAAAGCAAGTGGAGAGGATGACCTCCTTGGTCTGGTTATTTGTTCTTTGGTTGGTGATAGGTTACTATTATTTGTAGTTGTCATTGTATTTGTTGTATCGATATGTAGATCATCTATAGATTCTATAAATATCTTTGGTACTAATTGTTCATTGTTGTTGTTTTGTTGATTATTGTTGCTATCGATACTAGTAGACGAGGTAGATTCAATTCCCTTTACTCTATTTTCATTCTTGGTCATTATTATCAAAATTGAGAGAATGAATGAATGAAAACAATAAACAAAGCAAAGCTAGATGTCTTGTCTTGTCTGTGTTTGTCTTTTCTCTCTTTAGTAATAACAAAACAAAAAAATCTTTCTTTCTTTTTCTCTTTCTTTTTTGTTGAAAGGTTTGGTTTGGGTTTCTTTTTTCAAAATATTTATTTTTATCACATTTCGATCATTAGCTGAAAGTTTCTCGTCTCGATCCAACCTCAGCTTGCAAGGCTTGCACAAAACAATGATGACAAATATATTATAAGGGTCCTATGCATAGTTATAGTTATAGTTTACAGTTGTTTACAAGTTTTTATTTTATTTACAATATTATTATTATTATTATTATTATTATTATTTATATTATCTTTTAATTTTATATTCTAATTCTTTGGTCATGGGAGTGAATGGTGAATCGTTGATATATCTAAAGTTGAATGATTGTTTAATATCATAGAATCTTGATATAGGTGATCGATAATATATCCATGCCAATGTCGTTAATAGAAATAATCCCAACATTCCAGTTAATAATATAAATGCTACTTGGATCTATTATTAAAAGATGGAAAACAAAATAAAGAAATATATTAATATCTCTGTCTTACTAAGAATGATATTCCTCCTCCACCACCTTGATTATAAGCAACATACTTGAACAGCTTCATTTACTTGAGTATAAAGTATTTCATTGTTTATATGTGCCCATTCTTCAAAATGTATTGATGATGATGTTATTTGATGATTTATTGACATGATCTCTATCTCTCTATCTATTTCTTTCTAATTTATTATTATTATTCTGTGTTATATTACAATCATCTATCTATCTTTCTATCTATCTATATATATTATAAAACCAAGTCGACTTATTTCATATGTTGAATTGAGAATGAAAAAGTGAGTTTTCAATGTATTGTATATTAATCGAATCGGTTCTGTAAGTGTGTGTGTGTGGTATATATATGTATATATGTGTGTGTAATTTGGTTTTGGGTAGTAATTGGATTAATTCTGAACCAATCACCCTCTATAGAGTTTACTCTCTCTATTTCTATAGAGTGAGACATGGACCTTAAATTTTAAATCTGTTTGTTGACTTCTTTTTTTTGGCCCCAGGAAGTTTCAAAGAACCATTGGCATGTCCAGTGATTTTCATTCGTTCGTTTCAATTAATTAAACAACAACGACATTATAATCAACTAATAGTAGTTCATTAAAGTAGATATTTTGATTATAATATCGTTGTTGTTGTTGTTAAATATTATTAATAAAAATATTATTATTTGATCTATTATTCTATTATTATTCTATTATTATTATTCTATTATTATTATATATATATTTTGTCGTTTTCTGCAGAGTTTTGCAAAAGATCTACCCTATTCAAAAACTAATTGTTTTCACTTATCATAAATCTACCACTACAACTGGGATATACACATGAAATGATATATACACATATTAATATATTTAAAAGATATTAGCCATTGTGTAGTCTACTACTACATACCGACAAGGATAATAATATTCATTGGTATCTTGTTGATAGTCCATATCATCCAAATCAATCTCGTCGGTGATTGAATACTTTTGTCTTGATGCCTCTAATATTGAATGATCATATAGTTTACGTTGTTTATCATCTCTTAGACATTCCCATGCCTTTTGTATTACTGTAAATTTATCATCTATTGTATGTTGTTGTTGCTGTTGTTGTTGCTGTTGTAATAATTTATCGGGATGATATAAAAGTACTAATTGATTATATGATCTCTTTATTTCTTTTATATCTGCTGATTTATCAACTTGTAATATTTCATAATAGTCTGGTTGTTGCATTTAACTTTAACACACGTTTATGTATGTATGTATGTATCTTTTATAACAGCTTGTTTTGCTCTTCAGCAAGGAAGGTTTCATGGTCATCATCAAGAGAGAGTCAACCGAAAGTTTCTTACCTTCGTTTCGTTCGGTTTTTTTTCATAGTTGTTTGGAATAGGACTACTGACCCATAACAACCGAGTCGTAGTTAACATGGTACATTTATATTCCGAGCTAACGCTATACTCTAGTAGACCATACTTTAAGGATCTCTTAACAGTGTGCGACAAACTATCAAGTCGAAAACTTGAATCATATTTAAGTAAGGATGATGAATTGAAATCGCTTGACCTGAGCGTGAAACGGTTAGTATGACAGATGTTCAATCTTCATAGCTAACGATGATGATCGCCAGGAAATGAGTAGGGCTCACTTCCACCGGTCATGCGATAGGCAAACTTACTCTTTTTTATCTGGAGCTGGTATTGTTGATGGCCCATTTGATCTCTTCGCAGGTAATGGGACGATCGAGGTCGTTGATGGTAGCCTTTACTGGTTTCCATTTACTTAACATTTCTCTGTGCGCGACAGGGTCGTCGGTCTTGTCAGCAAAGAGGTCTTGGTAGAATTTCTTTGCGATGTCGCACAGCTCATCTGGGTCAAGGGATAGGCAAACTTACTCTTTTTTATCTTTTTTGCAACTCTAGAGAACCACCCAAGCCATGGCCATCACTACTGATCAGGTGATAGCCAAACTTACTCTTTTTATCAACTCTTTTTTTATCTTTTTGCAACTCTGGAGAGAATCACCCAAGCCATGTCTACTGATCAGGTGACAGCCAAACTTACTCATTTTTTGTTTCCCAACTCTAGAGAATCACCCAAGACATGGCTATCGCTAATCAATTGATCAACCAACTTTCTTGAATGGTGAAAGTAAAATTATTCTGGAGAATTCCAGCCCATTGTTACATTACAACTATAGCTACAGCTTTATTAATATTTACAAGAAATCAGGAAAAGGTTACCAATCACATGATGAAGTTTAGGTGAGGGTGTGACGATCACCTGATCGCCTGATAGTTATTTTCATGTCCAACATCATCTGACTGACATGTCACCTGATTATTAATCTAATAAAAATTTGGTTACAACAAGTTCCAGCGTACCAAACTCCAAACTAACCACTAGACATGGGTGTCTTTTTAGTAAATGATAATGCATTTTGGTTGATTTCAGTGACACTGTTATTGATTCCATCCAACGCTTGAAATGAACCTCTCAACAAGTTGATTTGTGAACTTAATTCTTTCGATAGTGAACTCATTTGATGTATCATCTATTGTTTTGATCAGAGAGATATAGTCATAAGTAAAACATTCATTCATATCAAAAGATGTACGACAATACATACATCATCAGTTTGTGTAACATTTAGTTCATGTGCAGAGAATGTCTTTGATATTGTCATTAAATTCTATAATAATAATAATAATTAATAAAAGTATTATTAGAATACTGTTATAATACATATCAACGTTGTTTAATACTACTACTAGTGTGATAACATACATCATGTACATTTGAATGTTTGATCAAAGATCTAATTGCTTTACCCAACTCTGAAACAATCGCTTCTCCCTCCTCTGTCAATTCCTTTTTAATAGCTATTGAGGGATCTTCAATAGGTAGTGTTGGATGTAATCCTATATTTGATTGACTCATCCTTATCTCTTTCTCTCTCTTCTGAATGAATATACTAATGTTGTGGTGAGCACTCCTTACATATAATTCACTTGAATGATGAGTTGAATGAGATGACCATAAAACATTAATTTCATAATTTTTGAATAGTTTGGTGAAGAACAAAAAGGGTTATTATTGTCTTTGACTTCACTTTGTCTCTTTATTAAAAGACGGTCTCTGGAAGAAGAAGAGATTATAAATATAACTGATATCATATGATAGACAGCAATATAGAATACCCATATGAGGAAGCAGGTACAATAGTCAGATGGTGTGTTTCACAGGGTGAAAAGATCGATCAAGGTAAACCATTGGTCATCATTCAACTATCACTAAATCATCAACTAGATTTAGAATCATCAAATGATACAACAACCGATGTATCTACAGGTACAACTACAACTACAACGACTACTTCAACTACTACTTCAACTACACCACAACAAATTAAAAAGAAACCAAAAAGAGAGAAAAAGGATACAGGTGAAAGAGTTGTATTGGCAAGACACGATGGAACGATGAGAACTATATCAATGCCTGCAGGTTCTATTATAGATACCACAAAGGTTAAACCAAATTTGGGACGTATAGAGTATTGTACACACGATATGCAATTTCATGGTATGTGTGCAACGTGTGGAAGAGATGTAGCCGAGCAGAGAAAACAACAGGCACTTGAAAACCAGGTGAGTGGTAGAAAGCGATCACCAAACCAAGACTCGTCGCAACCAATCCACTCGATTCTACATGGTCAGCCACACATCACCGTTTCACACAAGATGGCACAACAAATTGAAGAAAAGAATGCAAAGCGACTGTTGGACAATAAAAAGTTGTCATTGGTACTGGATTTGGATCATACCATCATTCATGCCATCATGGAACAACATTTTATGGAGGTTCCCTATTGGCGTACCATCGATAGAAAGAAATCAAATATTCATGAAATCATTTTAAATGGTAATCAAAGATATTTTATTAAATTAAGGTAAACAAGATAAAGAAAAGAAGAAAAAAAGAAAAAAGAAAAAGATGGAAAAAGAAAATTAATTTAATATTTATTATAGACCACATTTATATGAATTTTTAAGAGAAGTAAATAGATTATTCGAATTACATATTTATACAATGGGTACAAGAAATTATGCACAAAAGATTGCCAGTTTGGTAGATCCAAAACAAAGAGTTTTCAAGGAGAGAGTATTGTCTCGAGACGATACACCAAATGATATGAATCATAAAACATTGAAAAGATTGTTTCCATGTGATGATTCAATGGTTTTAATTGTTGATGATAGATCGGATGTTTGGAAAAAATCAAAAAATTTAATTCAAATTGTTCCTTGTAAGAAAGGAAAAAAAAGAAAAAGAAAAAGATAATATACATTTATTAATTAATTAATTATTTATTTATTTATTTAATTTAGATTTATATTTTGTTGGATGTAAAGATATGGTAAATTTATTACCAACAGATAAACAATCACCTCATCAACAATTAATGAATGATGAGCCAGCAGCAGCAACAGCAGCGGCAGTTAATACACCAACACCTCCATCACCTGGGTCTCCAAATGTATCATCACCAAAACAAAAAGTTGATCAACAAGAAGAAGATGATGAAAATAGTATCTATAATGAAAATGATGAAAGTGAAGGTGATCATCATTTGCGTGTTATCCTATCAAAATTGACTGAAATTCATACTGAATTTTATAAACAAGTTTCAAATAATCAAAAACCTCATGTTACTGTAAGAGATGGAAATATAGAATCAAATCAAAACAAAACAATGATAATGATTAAATCATTAATTAATTTATTTTTAATTTTTTTTAGAATATAGTTGATGATATAAAGAAAAAAATATTAAAAGATGTATATATTGTTCTAAGTGGAATATATCCAATTAATTCATCACAACCTCAACCATTAAGAATATTGGCAGAAGAAATGGGTGCAACCGTTCAAAATGAAATCACTCCAAAAACTACTCATGTTATGGCTGCTCGCGTAAGAAGAAAAAGAAAAAGAGTAAAATAGAATGGAATAATTTTATTTATTTATCTATTTATTTATTTTTATAGAAAGGAACATCAAAAGTTAATCAAGCAATATCAATGGGATTACATGTAGTAAATTCATCATGGTTGGAATCAACTGCCATGCATTGGACTAAATTGGATGAAAATGATTTCCCAATAAAGGATTCAGATTCACCACCACCTAGAGATAATGGTAATGGAAGTAAACATAAATCATCTTCATCTTCATCTTCAACTTTATCCTCATCATCGGCACCAGCAGCAGCTGCTTCATCATCATCAAGTATAAATGAGGACAATACAAGTAAATTTGAAGAAATTGTTCGAACACATGATATGGTAGCTGCTTTTGATCAAGCAGATAAAGAATTGGAAGAATTTTTAGCAGATGGTGATGAGTCTGATGGTAGTTCGAGTGGTGCAAGTTCAAATGGTGGCGATAGTGATTCTGAAAATCAAGAAAATGATTATAATGATAATGGCAAAAAGGATGAAGAACAAGGAGAGGAAGAAGAAGAAGATCAAGAGGAAAATTCACATAAAAGAAAAAGGATAAAACATGAACAAGAAAAGGATATAAAAGATGGTGAAGAAGAAGAAGATATAAAAGAAGAAGAAGAAGAAAATAATAATGATATCATGTTGGATAATGATTTGGATTTAGTAAGTTTTAAAAAAAAATAATAATAATGGAAAAAGGTCAAATTAATTAATATAAATTAATTTTCTTTAAAGTTATTAGAAGAAGAATTGGAAAAATCATTTAAAGAAATTGAACAAGAAGATGAAGATGAAGATGAAGATGAAGACAATTAATTAAATAAATAAATAGAAGAAATCTTGAAATTTCGATATCAAATGATTAGTTGTTGATTTTAAGGATGGACGGGTGCAAACCGAAAAAAAAAATTAAAAAAAATTAAATAAAAAAACGAGTGTTTTCGAAGCTCTCCTTTTCATTGCAGAGGCCTCTTTAAACAACTAGCACTTTACTATCTTTTACAGACAGACAGAGACAGAGAAGAACAACTCATTTTGTAGTAGAGAGAATCATCATTATGGCTACTCTTCCAAATGAATCAACCACCAATGGTCCAACCATTGAGGATATTCCAGATGCACAAGATGCTGCTCTCAATGACAACACCATTGATACAAAACAAACTGTATCAGAGGAAATACCTTTAGATCAACAAACAGGTAAATTAACAACAATCAAAAGATAAATACAAAAAAAGAGTACACAACACTAACTCTATCTATTACTACTACTATTATGTATTTAGTTGAAGTATTCAAGATTGGTATAAAGACACCGGTTGAACTTGGTACAATCAATGTTCAGGTGACAAAGTTTGATTTAATTTCAGATATTCACAAGTACTTGCAAGAAACTACTGAGACTTGTTTACATACTTCATACAACTTGGTCTTAAATGGTCAAAAGTTGAATGAATTTAGTGAAATGGGTAGTATCCAAGGTATTAAAGATGGTGCTATCATTGATATGGTTCCAGGTAAACTATCACAAATCTTTAACAAAACAACAAATACATTAAACTAGTTTTAACTCTTTCTTTTCTCTTTCTTTCCTTGTAGCAACATATAATGAAAGAACATCAAGATTACATATTAAAAGATTAAGTGAAATTATTGAAACTGCACAAGAAGAATCAACATTGAACAATCCATCGTTGTTTAGTTGTTTTTCATGGACCGGTGAAAATGAAATCGATCAAAAGAGAATAGAAGATGAAGATTTAGAACAAGAAGCACAACAAGAGGAACAAGAAAAACCAAAAAAGGAACCAAAAGCTTCAAAGACTACTACTACTTCTTCTGTTAAATCATCGTCATCTAAATTAAGTAAAAAAGAGGAAAAACAAAAAGAAAAGGAAAATGAACAAGAAGAACGTAGAATGATTATAACCAATGTAGAGGGATACAAGAAACCAGAATTAAAGGATTTCTATCCAGAGACTATGAGAAAATCGATTCAATGTATTCGTTCTATATCCATGTCTGGCTGGAACCCAGTACCAGGTTTGAGAAAGTTGTCTGGCGACCTTTTCTACTTGGAGATTGGTGTACTCGACAGTCAAGAGATTGTACATGTCACTGCCAACTCGAACGGGTTCTTTGTCAATAGCAGCACCTCTACCACCTTTAACCCTGCTCCATCCACCACCCGTGCCATCCATACTCACAACCTCCACGAACTCCTCCAACAAATCAGTCCACTCTTCCAGCGTGGTCTGAGTCATATCCTCCAATCCATCACCAGACGTCATCCATTTGAGTTGGTGCCACCCGTCGTCCCATCCAACAGCTGGATCTGTCGTCCTCAAGTCAACAAGTACACTGCTAGCCGTGCCAATGAGTCTAACCTCAATTTGCCAGACCCCGAGTTACGTGCTCAACCACGTGACTGGAACGAAGAGTTACAAAGCCTCAAGGAACTCGGCAAGGATAGTGTACAGGAGCGTGTACTCCGTGACCGTGCCCTCGTCAAGGTCAATGCCGACTTTGTCGACGCTGCTACCCGTGGCGCACAACTCGTCGTCAACAAGTCGATTCCACCCATCAATCCACTCGAAAACGAACGTGCTCACATGTTTGTCTACAACAATATCTTTTTCAGTTTCTCGTTGGACACTCGTGACACTTATGCCGAGTGTGGAGGTGACCGTGCTGCCCGTGCTGCCGCCAACAATGATCTCCGTGGTGTAAAGCTTTTCAACTTGGTCGATGTCGAAGGTATCTCGACCATCAACACTGCCATCATTGACTATCGTGGTCACCGTGTCATTGCCCAAAGTTTGGTGCCAGGTATCCTCTCCAATGAAAAGACATCTGTCGTGCACTATGGTTCGATGGACTCTGGCAAGTCGATTGTCGCCGACGCCGAGTTCCACACTCGTCTCCAAAAGATTGCCAGCATGTTGCATTTGGCCGAGCGTGAAGTCTGCCCAAGCGACCTCTCCAAGCCACCCGTCAAGATTTGCACCTCGTTTGAAAGCAAGGGTATCATTGGTACCGACGGTCGTCGTTATATCCTCGATATCCTCCGTGCCACCCCACGTGATCCAAACTACCCCGACGCCAAGCACCAAATGTACGTCTTGCGTCCAGAATTGATTGCCAACTATACCGAATACCTAAAGATTGAATTTGAAGAAAAGAAAAAGGCTGCCGCCCAACGCAAGGCTGAAGCAGGCGAGCAACAAAAGGAAACCACCGAACCATTTGAATTTAACCAAGAAGAACCACACGTTCGTTTCAATCCAAATCTCTTGTCTTCAGTTGTTTTGGGTGGTACCGAAGAGGAAAAGCAAACCGACAAGGAGGAGCTCGAAAAGATTGGAGAGTTTCTCAAGGAAAAGATGATCAATCGTTTGGTGCAAGATTTTACAGTTTTCAACTCTACTCCAGTCGATGGTCAAACACTCACTGCCATTATGCATAGTCGTGGTATCAACATTCGTTACTTGGGTCTCATCTCCCAACTCTGTAGCAAGATTCCATTTGTCAAGGAATTGTGCTTCAACGAAATGGTCAGTCGTGCTGCCAAACACATTTTCAACGAAACTCTTCGTCAAACCGATTCCTCTGAAATGGCAATCACCATTTGTCATTTCTTAAATTGTTTCCTTGGTACTGATACTGGTTCAGGAATCTTAAATAATGATAATAATAACGGTAATGGAAATGGAAATGGAAACGGTAATACTACTACTTCCGCCTCTACTACCACCACCACTTCCAACATAAAGGAAACCAAAAAACAACGTCAACAAAGATTATTAAATCAACAATACCTAGACCAAATGAAACAACATTCAGCAAAGAATAGAATGTCTCAAAAGGGATTGTGGGAGCAAATTGCTCAAGCCGTAAAAGAAAAGTATGGTTCTGAAATCACTACACACTCTGTACCAATTGAAAGCCGTATCAGTGTACTCCGTTCACTGTGTCTAAAGACTGGTCTCCAAATTGCATCGTCCAACTATGACTTTACAAAGGACGAGCCATTCATCCTCGGTGACATTGTCGAGTTGGCCTGCGTCGTCAAGCACCTCAACCCACGTTCACCAGACGGAATCGACATGCTCGAGGCTGGCAAGGCTGCCCTCGCCAACAAGCGTATCGACGAGGCCCGTGAGCTCCTCACCGAGGCACTCACAGTCTGCCACCAAGTACACGGTGCCATCCACTCTGACACTGCCATTTGCTACAACAACTTGGCCATGGCTGCCTTTTACGCCGAGCAATACGACCAAGCCGTCGAATTCCAAAAGAACGCCCTCATCATCACCGAAAAGACAATGGGTGTTGACCATCACGACACCATCCACTCTTACAATAACTTGGCCTTGTTTTGCCAACGTGCTCACCACCCTACCGAAGCTATGGGCTACCTCAAGCGTGTGCTCTACCTCACCGACCTCTTGGGCAGCGAGTTTAGCCCGGAACGTCCATCCATCTACACTAGTGTCGCCATTATCCTCCAAGAGTTTAGAAAGTTCCAATTGTCTATCGAGTTCCTCCTCGAGGCCATCAAGCACCAACGTCGTCTCTTTGGCGAAGAAAATATCATCTCTACACCATGTCTCCACTCGATCGCCTTGGTATACGCTCAACTCAAGGACTGGAAGATGGCCATCCAATACGAACGTGAAACTAAAAAGATTTTGGATAAGTACCTCCAACCAGAACACCCACGTGTCAAGGACAGTGAAAACTACCTAAGACACTTTGAAGCAGAATTTGCCATGGAACATCAAGCCAAGCTCTCTGAATTGCATCGTCAACAACAATTGGACATCCAACGTATTCAACAACAACAACAACAACAACTCTTACAAGTTGCACGTAAACAAAAAAAGGAAAATCAACAAAAAAAGGAAACCAAGGAACCAAAGGAAAATCAACAAAGAGAAAGAGACAATAATAATAATAACAATGCCATGAATGATAATATTAATGAAATTCTTAGTTTTGTTAATGGTAAAAAGAAATCATCAAAAAAATCAAATAAATAAAAAAACTAATATAGAAATAGTTTTATTTTAAAAGTAATTTATAATACATTTTATTTATTTTCAAAATATTTAATTAAATGATATTGATTTAATTCTTTTGATTGTTTAATACATTCTAATTTATCAATTGGAATATTTAAAGTGTCAAATAGGTATTTACAAATATTTAAACTACCATTATCTATAATGTTGATGTAGAGTGGTGGTTCACGAGCAAGTAAACTACTGGAATTTAATGATTTTGGAAATGGTTCATCATTAAATAGTGATGGTAGTTTGATTAAAATATCTATTAGTCCTTTTGAAGCAGCAACACAAAATATATCTAGGTATAATGATTCTTTTGGAGGACTTGAAAGTGATACCAAAAATTCAATCAATTCAAATGAACCTTTTGCAACACAGTTTAATAGATCATTGTGATCGACAATAGATTCGTGGTCAAGTTGTAAGTCTTGAAAATAAAATTTTGCCATTTCAAATGAAATACCATTCATCCAATTTACATTACGTCCTGAATGACGGAATACTTCTTTTATCACTTTGTTGTCCAGTCCATGAATAAACTTTAATTCCTCCAATCTACCATTTGATATCATTTCCGTAATTCCTTTTAAACTTGGTAATTTGGTAAATGAACTTTCTTTTTTATATAATAATTTTAACATTTTAATATTATTTATTCCTCCTGTATCCTAAATATAAAAAAAAAAAAAGTTAGAGAAAAAACTATAATTATAATTATCTTTTTTTTTTTTATTTCTTACAAGAGAAAAATTTGAAAATGTATCAATTGATTTTTCAAATAAGAAATAATGGACCATATCATAATGATTATTAGCTATAGCAAAGTCTATTGGGTTTGGACCAAAAGATCTAGTTGGAAATAAACTATAAATATATTTTACAATTTCCATGTGGTTATTGGCACTTGCAAGTTCCATCGAGCATTGAATATCAGCAGAATAAATAGTTCTACAGTTATTAGAGTGTAAAAGGTATTTAACTATATTTAAATGACCATTGCTGGCAGCCGATGAGATGCAAGGACCATCACATCTAAATTTGAAATTTCTTTCCAATTCTTTTAGCAATAAAAGATTACCAACACTTGAAACTGATTTTAGTGTCATTCTATCCACTTTAACATTGTACAGTGGTTGAATGAGTTGAGAGAATAGTTTAAAAAACTTCTTTTCTATAAATCTAATGGAGATTTGATACAATTCATCACCTTTGATTGGGTATCTTGACATTAACAGTTGAAACATTTCCAAATTGTCATTGTTTATCCATCTCCACAAGTCTTGATATGAATCCACTTTACAAAATCCTATCTCTTCTAATAATAGTTTGACCAATTGTACCCGGTTTCCATAGATCGAGACACCCAAACAACTAGAGCTTACCATCCAAGGTTCTGGTTCATTTACATCAAGAACCAATCCACCACCATCTTTTGTAAAGCGGTTATAGCACAATAGCCTTCTTTCCTTTGTTATATGTTTTATAATTGCAATGATATCTTGTTCATCTTGACATCGACGGCCAGCACACAATCGTTCAATGTAAAACGGTGCTTTATAGACAAACGAATCGATGACTTGTTTTGAAGGTATATACAACTTCATAAAGAAATCATAATTTGGCATATACTCAAACAGTGACTGTATCTCTTTCATTGTCGATAGTGGTGGTAAATCTCCATTCTTTATCTTTTCCTCTACCATTTTATAATAACCATTGGCAAGATACCATTCAGTCGTACCATCGTAATAGTTTCTTGGTTGATATATCTTTGGTCTTGATAAATAAACATGTATCTCTCTTGTTTGATTCTTTATTACTTTCCATAAATAACTATTATGAATTATATTAAAGAATAAATGATCCATAATTAATTGGATATATATATGTGTAGTGTTTGAAATTAAAAGAAGTATTTTTTTTTGTACCTTTTTCTTTAAAATATCTCAAAAAAATAAATAAATAAATATTATTATTAATAACAATATTGATTTAAATGATACAAGTTTGTTTTGTCTTTTTATTTATATATAATTTGATTAAAAAAAAGGGTAATATCTTTTCTTTTTTTGTTGTTTTTTTTCTGTTTCTCTCTTTTTGTTTTGAGTTTAAAAAGTGGTAGTATCCAACATTACAGTTAAAACTCTAACAACATTGGAGGCCATTAAAGAATGAACATCGGCAACTAAATGTTTCTTGGCGTCTAATTTACCAACCAATTGAACTTCCTTCTTTTCTGGATCAACAATTTTATCTTCGTCTTGAATTGATTTATGATATGATTTGGTAAGTTCCAATATATCCTACAAAAAAATAATAATAAAAAAAGGTAATTAATAAAACAAACAATTATAAACATTCTTTTGTTTCTTTGTTTCTTTTTCTTTTTCTTTTTCTTTTTTTAAACGTACACTTAATTTCTTTTCATTTGATTGAGAATAAGTATCAAATTTCTCAAGGGTAAGGGCATCGGTCCATTTTTTCTTGTGTAAATTGAGTAACATCTTTTGTTCCAATTCATTCTTTCTATAGTTGATGGCGATAGAGTAGTAGTTTCTGTTGAGACCATGGATAAGAGCTTGAATAGAAGCATCTTGAAGATGTCCCAAATTCGATGTAATTTGTCTTGGTTCGGCAGTTGGTGATGTTTTAATGGTTCTAAATGCATCAATAACAACCTTTCCTCTAACACTTTGTAATGGATCAACTACAACTGCAACTGCTCTTGCTTGTAATTGTTCAAAACTCTAAAATAATAAAATAAAATAAAAAAAAAGAGAACAACAGTCTTTTTGATTAGTATATGATATATTGCTGTATGAGTATTCTTCTTCTTCTTATTCTTCTTCTTATTCTTTCTTACCTGTTGAGTGTTTACATCAACACTTGATAACCAACAACCAAAACCTGGATGACTGTGATACCAACCAATAACAATTTCGTTTCTACCAGTTTGCTTTAGCATTTCCAACATCTTTGTTTGAAAGACTGGATCGATAGCTTCAACAGATACACTTGTACCACTTTGAGGCATAGCAAATACATCAATCACTCTAATAGTATATTCATCAATCAACTCTCCCAACATTAACCCCATAACTTCTAATGGTACACCTGCTCTTGCTATAATACAATACATATATAACCAAAAAGATAAGTAAATCATATTGATTAGTTGTTGTTACTCTTTCTTTTATCTTTCTTTCTCTTTCTTTTTTAACATACCATGTTGTAACATCTTTAATAATGCCAATGATGATATATGAATGGTTTCAGCTGTATCTGGTAATGGAGTAGCATCTGTGATCTTTTCCATTGGATCACGTCCTCCTAGTAATTGTCTCATAAGTTCTCTATTCATTTCTCTCTCTTTCTCTATATATCTATATTATTCTTTGTAATAAAAAAAGAAACTAAATTGTGTGAAGATCATCATAAAGTTTTGGTGAGATGAACATGACAAAAATTAAAAAAAAAGAATTTAATAAAGCTTTCTCTCTTTTTTTAATATAACAAATAAACTTTTTTTTTGATGATAGATAGTGTTTGTTTATTCAAGTTTATATTAAATAATAAACCTCTAAGAATAGTAATATTCCAACATGTAACTAGTATACATCAACAACTAGGTATAAAGATTGTTAAATCAAATGATTTAGAATCATTGTATGATTATATCAAATTTAATCAAACCGATCTTTTCATCAAACACTTTGATCGTTTATATCAATTGATTCTTTTGGTTGATAATCAATCAAAAAGATATAAAAGAAACAAGAGTCTTGACCTTTCTTTTTTAAATGTATGTATTGATCAATCAACTCATCTCTCTGGTCCACATATCATTCTGTCTTTACTCATTTCATTCATTACTTTTTCTTTTTCTCTAGAATAATTATATTGAAAGATTATATTGGCTATTTGATATCATATTTGAAAAGAATAATCATGTTGCAATGAAATATTTAATTGATCGACTTGCGATAGCAAAACAACACTTTCAATCATATAAACCATACTTTGCAATCAGTCACTACCAAATCACAACCGAGATGTTCAATGTATTGAGAGATGCGAACTTTTCAACAACCGTACCATTCCTTCAACATGAAATGATCAATGTATTGGTTAGACTTGGTGATTATGATCAATTGGAATCATATCTATCTAAATTGGATAATCCAACTCTATCATCTTCGTCATCATCGTCATCGTCATCACGTCATCCATTTAAAAAGTCATTTTCATATTTACTTGCCAACAATATTAACAACAACAACAACAATAACAACAACAACGACAACAAGGACTATATTCTTAGGATAATAGATATATTTAAAAGATATTCAATCAATGTTATTGAAGATGTATTAATTGGAGCATTGGAGAGTAATCATTTGGGAATGATAAAGTGGGTAATCGAAAATGTACCTGAAAAGAAACTAATTGTATATTGTCAAGATCATGTTATATTCGGTGTATTAGAGACACATTGTAAAAAGGAGGTGTTGGAGATGTTACCAATACAACTGATTCCTCCCTATGCTTGCTTTGATTGGCGTATGGGCAGAGAGGCAGTTAAACAAGGAAATTTTGATTTCCTAGAGTATTTTATTTCACCTCATCATGACAATAGTCATGAGTTTGAACTGTTGATAGATACTCTTGCATATGGTAGATTGGATTGCTTTGAATTGATTCTATCAAAATATCAGCAGAAAAATATACAGATGGACCAGACGATCATCGACAAGATTCATCCAACCCTTTTTTCAATAGAGTTTGTCTCAAGACTAATTGGCTTGGGTTTCAATGTACACCTTTTCAATGGTACACTACAGGCAGCCATACAATCCAATCAACTAGATACCTTGATCGAATTGGGTCCACCACAACTACGGTCTGAAAACTTTACCAAACTACTCGGTTGCGCAATAGAATGTAATAGTCTATCATCAATCGACGTCCTACTACACCATCCACGATTCCAAGGGTTTCTTCTTCCACATCCAACCATCAACATTAATTGTATAACACCACAAACTATACCAACCATTGAATATTTATTCTCAAAGTCAACAACAATACCCATCATTACACTCGATTGGGATTTCTCCTCCTCTTCTCCCATCGATTATGTGTCAGTTTCAAAGGTGATTCGGTTGGTTTATAGACCCAACATTATTGGTCACTGTCAATTAATTGGTATCTTTTTATTTGCAAATGATACAAAATGGTTGTTTGAACAATATATCATCAAAAAGGATCCTGGTTCGGTATCGGCACTGTTTTACAGCGATCGGGGTGGTATATTGACCCATCTATTCGACATTGCATGCCACAATGAACACTATCAAGCTTTGGATTTTCTTTTTGACCGTTGTTCACCAGGACAAACCGTCACTCATTTATTGTTGACTAGTTTGGTACGTATACCAAATGACCAACAGTTTGAACGATTTTGGACAAAGATAGTATCCATCACAGACCAGAGAATTGTTACTTCCATTGTTAGTATTATTTTTAATATTATCTTGTGTCCAAGAGATCCTCTTCAAACAAAAAGATTAAAGTTTATTGTTGATATGTATGGTACTTTATATAGTCGTCATAATAATAATAATAAGGTGCCACCAATAGGGTTTCCTTCAATGGTAGTCCTTGATCACAATCCTTATGCTAACTATCCAACTCTAATGGAGGTGTTTTGTTATCAAAAAGTACCTTGGATTATTAATTATTCGGTTAAAGATGAATTGAAAATCTTTCAAAAGGCAATCAGTGTTGGTTATATCCTTCCTATTCCAAAGTTTTTAGATAATGATAATAATAATAATAATAATAATCAACTAGACCAAAAATCTAAATGTATTTTAATGTAAAATTTAATAAAGGAAAAAAACACTCACTTCATTGCCCTAACCCAGATATACAGATAATATTATATTATACTTTTTTTGATGATAGATAGTGTTTGTTTATTCAAGTTTATATTAAATAATAAACATCTAAGAATAGTAATATTCCAACATGTAACTAGTATACATCAACAACTAGGTATAAAGATTGTTAAATCAAATGATTTAGAATCATTGTATGATTATATCAAATATGGTCAAACTGATCTTTTCATCAAACACTTTGATCATCTACATCAATTGATTCTATTAGTTGATAAACAATCAAAAGAATATAAAAGGATAAACAAGAGTCTTGACCTTTCTTTTTTAAAGGTATGTATCCATCATAACATCTGTTATATGCATTCTTTACTCATTTCATTGTCCGTTTTCTTTTCTATTTCTTTTAGAATAATTATATTGAAAGATTATATTGGCTATTTGATATTATATTTGAAAAGAATAATCATGTTGCAATGAAACATTTAATTGATAGACTTGCTTTGACAAAACATCACTTTCGATCATATAATCCATACTTTACACCAATCAGTCACTATCAAATCACACCAGAAATGCTAAATGTATTGAGAGATGCAAACTTTTCAACAACTGTACCATTCCTTCAACATGAAATGATCAATGTATTGGTTAGACTTGGTGATTGTGATCAATTGGAATCATATCTATCTAAATTGGATAATCCAACTCTATCATCTTCATCGTCATCACATCATCCTTTGAAAAGTTCATTTTCATATTTACTTGCCAACAACAAGGAAAACAACAACAGTGAAATGATCAATATTCTTAAGATGATAGATATATTTAAAAGATATTCAGTAGATGTTATTGGAGATGTATTAATTGGAGCATTGGAGAGTAATCATTTGGGAATGATAAAGTGGGTAATCGAAAATGTACCTGAAAAGAAACTAATTGTATATTGTCAAGATCATGCTGTATTTGGTGTATTAGAGGCACATTGTAAAAAAGAGGTGTTGGAGATGTTACCAATACAACTGATTCCTTCCTTTGCTATATGTGGCTCAAATGCTATTAGACGAGGAAATTTGGATTTCCTAGAGTATATTTTAATATTAAAGACGTCAACACCACCACATCTTCAAAATGCTTATGTGAAAAGAATGTTGACCCAAAGTATTGAATATGGTAGAATGGATTGCTTTGAATTGATTCTATCAAAATATCAAGCGGATCAATTACAACCAAACCATACCACAATCACCAAGATCCATCCAAGCTGTTTTTCAATAGGTTTGGTCGTAAGACTAATTGGTTTGGGTTTCGGTGTACACCTTTTGGATGGTATAATAGAGACTGCTATACACGCCAATCAACTAGATATATTGGATGAATGCAATTCCATCGACATTTTAAAGCATCCACGACTCCAAGAGTTTCGTCTTCCACACCCAACCATAAACATTAATTGTATAACACCACAAACTATACCAACCATTGAATATTTATTCTCAAAGTCAACAACAACACCCATTCAATTCAGTTGGGATTGCACCTCTACTTCTTTTGGCATCATCGATTTCGTGTCAGTTTCAAAGATGATTCGGTTGGTTTATAGACCCGATATTATTGGTCATTGTCAGTTAATTGGTATCTTTTTATTGGCAAATGATATAGAATGGTTGTTTGACCAAAAGATCATTACAAAAGATGATCCTGGTTCAATATCGGATCTATTTAAGACCAACACGACTGTATTAAAATCTATCATCGATATTGCCTGTAGGAATGGACGCTACCAAGCTTTGGATTTTATTTTTGACCATTGTCTACCCACCCAAATCAACGGTCGAAGGCCATTAGCTAGTTTGGTACGTATACCAGATGACCAACAGTTTGAACGATTTTGGAAAAAGATAGTCATAACAGAGTCGAGAGTTGCCGTCGCCATTGTTCTTACCATCATTGATATTATATTGTGTCCAAGATATTTTGGCAACAACCCAAAAAGAGCAAAGATTATGCTTGATATTTATGGTACTTTATATAGTAGTAGTCAGAATAAGATTAATCATTTGGTGCCTCCAATAGGGTCTCCTTCAATCAATGATATGCATCAGAACTATCTCTTTGCTCATTATCCAACTCTATTAGAAGTGTTTTGTTATCAAAATGTACCTTGGATTATTAATTATTCAATTGCAGATGAATTGAAAATCTTTCAAAAGGCAATCAGTTTTGGTTATATCCTTCCTATTCCAAAGTTTTTAGATAATGATAATAATAATAATAATAATAATAATAATCAAATAGACCAAAAATCTAAATGTATTTTAATGTAAAATTTAATAAAGGGAAAAACAACACTCTATTTTTGACATACCTCTCTTTGAACACAGACAGATAGAGAGATAAACTTGATGATCGATAGCGTTTGTTTATTCAAGTTTATTTTAAATAATAAACATCTAAGAGCAATAATATTCCAACATGTAACTAGTATACATCAACAACTAGGTATAAAGACTGTTAAATCAATAGATTTAGAACCATTGTATGATTATATCAAATTTAATCAAACCGATCTTTTCATCAAACACTTTGATCGTTTATATCAATTGATTCTATTAGTTGATAAACAATCAAAAGAATATAAAAAGGTAAACAAGAATAATCTTGACCTTTCTTTTTTAAAGGTATGTAAAGATAATTATATTATAATATGTCTATGTCTTTATATCTCATTACTTTTTCTTTTTTTGTCTAATAGAATAATTATATTGAAAGATTGTATTATCTATTTCATATCATATTTGAAAAGAATAATCATGTTGCAATGAAATATTTAATTGATAGACTTGCTTTGACAAAACATCACTTTCGATCGTTTAAACCATACTTTACAACCAGTCGTCATTTTAAAGCCGACCACTATCAATTCACAACCGAGATGTTCAATGTATTGAGAGATGCAAACTTTTCAACAACTGTACCATTCCTTCAACATGAAATGATCAATGTATTGGTTAGACTTGGTGATTATGATCAATTGGAATCATATCTATCTAAATTGGATAATCCAACTCTATCATCTTCGTTATCATCGTCATCGTCATCACGTCATCCATTTAAAAAATCATTTTCTTATTTACTTGCCAACAACAACAATAATAATAATAATAATAACAAGGACAAAGAAATGATCAATATTCTTAGGATGATAGATATATTTAAAAGATATTCAATCAATGTTATTGGAGATGTATTAATTGGAGCATTGAAGAGTAATCATTTGGGAATGATAAAGTGGGTAATCGAAAATGTACCTGAAAAGAAACTAATTGCCTATTGTCAAGATCTTGTTATATTCGGTGTATTAGAGATACATGGTAAAAAGGAGGCGTTGGAGATGTTACCAATACCACCGAATCCATCAGACTGCTCATATGCTATTATGCACGGGAATTTTGATTTCCTAGAGTATTTTTTACTTTCACCTCGTCGAAATGGTCATGTCATTAGACTGTTGGTCGTCACTCTTACATATGGTAGAATGAATTGCTTTGAATTGATTCTATCAATATACCAGGCCCATTTACGACCAGATCTTACGATCATCGACAGGATTCATCCAAGCTGTTTTTCAACAGGTTTGGTCGCAAGACTAATTGCTTTGGGGTTCAAAGTAAAAGTTTTCCCTGGTATACTACTGACTGCCATACAAGCCAATCAACTAGATACCTTGATCGAATTGGATGCTCTCAAAATAACACTACGAGTTGAAAGGCTTACCACACTACTCGGTTACGCAATACAGTGTAACAGTGTATCATCCATCGACGTTCTACTACACCATCCACGATTCCAATGGTCTCTTCTTCCGGATTCCACCACCACCACCATTGACATTGGTTATATCACACCAAAAACCATCCAAACAATCGAATATTTACTTGACAAGTCAACAACAACAACAACAACAATACCCATCATTAAATTCAAATGGGATTTCACCTCCTCTTCTCCCATCAATTATGAGTTGGTTTCAAAGGTGATTCGGTTGGTTTATAGACCCGACATTATTGATCATTGTCAGTTAATTGGAATCTTTTTATTGGCAAATGATATAGAATGGTTGTTTGCCCAAAAGATCATTACAAAAGATGATCCTGGTTCAATATCGGATCTATTTGGTGATGGGAGTGGTATATTGACAAATATAATCGATATTGCCTGTCGGAATGGATACTATCAAGCTTTGGATTTTATTTTTGACCATTGTCCACCCACCCAAATCAACAATCAAATGGTATTGATGAGTTTGGTACGTATACCAGATGACCAACAATTTGAAAGATTTTGGAAAAAGATAGTCATAACAGAGACAAAAGTTGTGTCTTTTATTTCTCAAAATATTATTATTAATAATATTTTGAAGAGAGACGATATTTTCAATTTAAAACCAAAAAGAGCAAAGTTTATAGTCATCGACATTTATGGTACTTTATATCGTAGTCGTCTTAGAATTAATAATAATAATAATAATATAATGATAGTGAACCCAATACAATGCCCTTTGGTCACAGATTCAGTTCAGAACTATCCTTTTATACTCTACCCAACTCTAATGGAGGTGTTTTGTTATCAAAATGTACCTTGGATCATCAATTATTCAATTCAAGATGAATTGAAACTCTTTCAAAAGGCAATCAGTGTTGGTTATATCCTTCCTATCCCAAAGTTTTTAGATAATATTAATATTAATAATAATGATAATAATAATCAACTAGACCAAAAATCTAAATGTATTTTAATGTAAAATAAAAAAAAGGCAATTAAAAAAAAGTATACCAACATTGCAACACTTTATTTTTAACTTACCTTTGAACACAGATAGAGATAATATAAACTATTGATGATAGATAATTTAATAAAGTTTATATTAAATAATAAACCTCTAAGAATAGTAATATTCCAACATGTAACTAGTATACATCAACAACTAGGTATAAAGACTGTTAAATTAACAGATATAACAACATTGTATGATTATATCAAGTATGGTCAAACCGATCTTTTCATCAAACACTTTGATCATTTACATCAATTGATTCTATTGGTTGATAAACAATCAAAAAGATATAAAATGGTTATAAATGTATGCAATCTAAAAATAGAACATTTATAGGATACTTTACTCATTTCAATCATCGCTTTTTCTTTCTTTCTATTTCTTTTAGAATAATTATATTGAAAGATTATATTGGGTATTTCATATGATATTTCTAAAGAATAATCATGTTGCAATGAAACATTTAATTGATAGACTAGTTATAACAAAGCTAGACTTTCTATCATACAAATCACATTTTATGACCTATTGTTATCAATTCACAACAGAAATGTTCTACGTATTACGCGATGCAAACTTTTCAACAACTGTGCCATTCCTTCAACATGAAATGATCAATGTATTGGTTAGACTTGGTGATTGTGATCAATTGGAATCATATCTATCTAAATTGGATGATGCAACCCATTCACCACCCTCTCCTCATCCATTTAAAAGTTCATTTTCATATTTACTCAACAGCACCAACAAAACAACAATGTACACTATAGACAATATAATATATAAATTTAAAAGATATGCAATCAATGTTATTGGAGATGTATTAATTGGAGCATTGGAGAATAATCATTTGGAGATGATAAAGTGGATTGTTGAAAATGTACCTGAAAAGAAACTAATTGCATATTGTCAAGATCAAGTTATATTCAATGTATTCGAGACACATTGTAAAAAAGATGTGTTGGAGATGTTACCAATACCACTTAATCCTCCCTATGCTCAGGGAGGTAATGAAGCCATTAGAATTGGGAATTTGGATTTCCTAGAGTATTTTTTAAAGACACCTCGTGAAAATGGTCGTGTCATTAGAATGTTGAATGAATGTCTTGCATTTGGTAGATTGGATTGCTTTGAATTGATTCTATCAAAAAATCCAGACCTACAAATACAAAAGACTGTGACCAACAAGATTCATCCAAACTGTTTTTCAACAAGTTTTGTATCAAGGTTGATTGGGATGGGGTTCTACGTACACCTTATGGATGGTATTATAGAGACTGCTATCCGATCCAATCAACTAGATACATTGGTTCAATTGGAATCTCCACAACTACCACTACGAGTTGAAAAGTTTACCAAACTACTCGGCTATGCAATAGAATGTAACAGTCTGTCATCCATCGACGTCCTACTCCACCATCCACGATTCCAAGGGTTTCTATCTCCAACCATCAACCTTCATTGTATTACACTACAAAGTCACATACCAACCATTGAATATGTACTCTCAAAGTCTCCATTGCCATTCAATTTCAAATGGGATTTTGCATCTCCCATCGACTACGTATTAGCTTCAAAGGTGATTCGGTTGGTTTATAAACCCCATATACTTGGTCATTGTCAATTAATTGGTATATTTTTATTTGCAAATGATACGGAATGGTTGTATGAACAAAAGATCATTACCAAAAGTCCAGACTCTGTCTCTGCATTATTTGACGACGATAGGAGTGGTGCTTTGGCAAGTCTATTTGACATTGCATGCCAAAAAGGATATTACAAAGCTTTGGATTTTCTTTTTGATAATTGTCTACCTCACCAAATCAACAATCATCTATTGTTGACTAGTTTGGTACGTCTACCAGATGACCAACAGTTTGAACGATTTTGGACAAAGAGATTCGTAACAGAGTCGGCTGTTGTATCTTCCATTGTTCATACTATTATTCTACGTCCAAAAGACCATAATTCAAAAAGAGCAAAGTCAATCGTTGACATTTATGGTACTTTTTACAAGATTAATAGTATCATGACACCAATAGAATATCCCTCAATGGAAACCCTTGGCAGTCATCCCTTTGCGCATTATTCAACTTTAATGGAGGTGTTTTGTTGTCAAAATGTACCTTGGATTATTAATTATTCGGTTCAAGATGAATTGAAAATCTTTCAAAAGGCGATCACCCTCGGTTATATCCCTCCTACTTCATCATCATCAGAGTTGGTCAATGAAATCAACAAAAAATCTAAATGTAATTTAATGTAAATATTTATTAAATAAAATGTAATTTATAAAGACTATTAGTTGGTTGGTTTTTTTTTTAAGTAAGTTTGGCTATCACGTGATCAGTAGACATGGCTTGGGTGATTCTCTCTAGAGTCGCAAAAAGATAAAAAGAGTAAGTTTGGCTATCACGTGATCAGTAGACATGGCTTGGGTGATTCTCTCTAGAGTCGCAAAAAGATAAAAAAGAGTAAGTTTGCCTATCGCATGACCGGTGGAAGTGAGCCCTACTCATTTCCTGGCGATCATCATCGTTAGCTATGAAGATTGAACATCTGTCATACTAACCGTTTCACGCTCAGGTCAAGCGATTTCAATTCATCATCCTTACTTAAATATGATTCAAGTTTTCGACTTGATAGTTTGTCGCACACTGTTAAGAGATCCTTAAAGTATGGTCTAGTAAGTACATATGTCTAGCGCGACATATCTCGATCGCAGAACGACACTGATTCGTTTCTTATGGGTTCGGACATCAAAATTTGTTCGTTCGTTTTTTTTTTATTTGTACATACGATAATTGAGATAGATAATATCCCAGCTGCTGGCAGAGGTTCGTTCGTACTTGCAGTTCACCCTTGTCATAGAGTTTACAAATCTACCCATGCCCAACGGAGTGAGTGTACTGTAAGTACGAAGTCCTATCCAATGCTCTAAACATATTCTACTAAGCTTTTGAAAAGATGGCCATAGCTGCTCTTCGTCTATTACGGTCTGGTATGATCATAGTTGCAATTTGATTCTTGAGGAATGTGCATGATACAATCAATTGATTTATATATATTATGTTAAATGCCTTGAGTATTGATCTTGTCTTTTGAAGTGAATCTTTCTGATCTTTCGATTCTCGTAGTTTTTATATCTTTGTTGTATTTTCTCGGTTTGCTTATCCTTTGTATTTCCTTTGGAGTTGTTGCAACATGCCTTACCCCGTTTCTGTCTTTCTTTGTCTACATACAGTTAATATATACAACCTCTTTATCATCAACCCATCTCTGAAGAGTGCATTTCAAAGCAAGAAGAAGTTCAAAAAAATTTAAAAAAATAAATACTTGGTTAATTTTTCCCTCCTTTTTTGCACTTTGGGCTCTAGACATACATAATATTTACCTTAAAAAGAGTAGAACTCAAACTTTATCTACATTTGGTAAGATAGAGAATGTCGAATAAATCAAAAGGAGCAGGAGGAGCAGGAGTAGGATTCATCGACTCACAACCTTTAAATACAAATGCATCAATCTTTTATCATCCGCTAAACAAGTATGTTGTAATTTAGATTTGTTTGAGTTTAAAGAGTAAACTCATTTCTTTCTATCCTTTTACTCCACTTTAGTAAATATGTAATAACATCATCAAATGGTAGCAATGAAATAAACATTCATGACTCTAGTACAAAGTCAATGATCATGAAATTAGCAAATCATCCAACCACATCATCACCATTGACTCATATCGCATTGTCGCCCAATGGCAACGCTTTGGTTAGTTCATCGAGTGATGATGACAATGGATCGATAAAGATGTGCAAGATTGAAGAGTATCTAAAGAATTTTAATTCATCCTCGACGACAGCCATTCAAAGCAATGCACAATCATTATTATCATTTTCAAATGCACCAACCTATATGGCATTTACAGCCACTGGATCGTATTTGGCAGTTTGTTCAAAAGACATTATCAAGATTATTAGTATGATTGATCCATCACTCATCATTACTCTTCGTGCTCACCCCGATGCCATGGTTCGTACAATTGCATACAGTCCCGATGGAAACTATCTTGCTTCTTGTGCAACCGATGGAACTATCAAGATTTGGTCAACATCTACATTCAATGATGATAAAATTGAACCAATCTTTGTAAAACAATTGTTTTCTCCTTCACCTTTTTTGTAAGAAGAAAAACAAAAAGGAAATCAAATCAAATCAAATATCAAAATAATAATTATTCTTTTTTTTTTTTATTTATTTTTAGGAGTAAAACAAATATTAAAATGGATTGGCATCCAAATAGTAAGATTATATCAATTCCAGTTGGTAATGGAGTGATTTGTTTACAAAAACAAGAGGATGGAGATAATGATCAAGATGAATTGTGGAAAGAAATCTTTACCTTTGAAAATGATGGTCATACCAAAACCATTCTTTCTGTTCAATGGTCACCAAATGGTGAGTATTTGGCCAGTTGTTCATTGGATAAACATTTATTGATTTGGTCAAAAGCCAATCCAAATGATGGTCCCATTGGTCAATTAATTAAAAATGATCATATCATTTATGATCTTGCTTGGAAACCACTTTCAAATACAATTTCTTTTGTAAGATAGAAAAAAAGAAGAAAATTAAAATTATTTTTTATTAATTTTATTTATATATAGATAGATTCAAAAGGTAGAATTGGTACATTTATAAATGTAATACCAAAAAATATGATACATCCATCAAAAGGTGCTACTTTATCAAGTCATCAAGCTTTATCTCAATTATTACAAGATGATGAAATGGATCAAGAAGAAGAAGAGGAAGAAGAAGTAGAGGAACAAGAAGAAACACAAGAAAAAGAAAAAAAAGTAGTTGGAGGAAGATTAAAAAAGATAAAATCTTCATCATCTTCAACAACAACAAAACAAAACAAAAATGATGATAGTTTTGATTTCCTAGATGATGATAAAAAGAAAAAAAAACCTTCTTCTTCTTCTTCATCTTATATGGATGATGAAGCTATGGATGATGAAGATATGGATGATGATTTTGGTGATTTTGTAGATGATGACGATGAAGATTTGGACCGTGATACCAATTTTGATGAAAATGGAATGGAATATAGTGCTAAAAAGAAAAAGTCAATCCAACCTCAAAAATCATATTCAAAACCTACAACCAAATCAAACGCTTCATCAGCTCCAATAGATTATGAAATACTTCTAAAGACAGTTGCCAAACAAAACAAATTGGCATCTTTTCAACCAGGATCAACATTGTTTTTAAACAACAAAAAGAGATATTTTATGGCATACAATATGATTGGTTGTATTGTAAAACGTGAAGAGGAGGATGAAAAGCTACCAGGTTCAATTGAAATTGAATTCAATGAAGCTAGTGTACACCGAAAGGTTACCATTACCGATAATAACATGTTGGATATGGGAGCTCTTGGTGAAAAGGGTGCCATATTTGCATCATCTCGCAAGAACCTCTTACATTTTAATGCATTTGATAGCTTGGGTGCCAGTAGTAGCTGGACCTATACCATTGCTGCCAACGATCCAATCGTAGGTGTTGCCATTGGCAGTAAATACATTGCAGCTTGTTCACACCACAGAACGGTTCGTATTTTTACACTTGGTGGTGTTCAATTCACACAGCTTAGCATTGGAGGTGATTTTGTTACCATGTCAATCTCTTGCAAGGACGTTCTTGCATTGGTCTATGGTACGGCTGACCAAATGACACTTGTCTGTCAAGACCTAAACACTGGTAACATTATCTACCAAGGACCAATCTGCATCTCTACCAATGCAACATTAAAGTGGATTGGTTTCTCCAACAATAGTGACACGACCCTCACCACTGTCGACTCCAACTCTGTCGTTCGAACACTTACTCGTGGGTGGCCAACCAAACAGGCACCACTTCAATGGTCACCGCTCATGGACTTTAAACAAATGGCAACCAAACTATCATCAACAACTTGTTGGGTTGTAGGTCTCAATGATTCTCATATCCATTGTATCGTTTGTACTGATTTCCCTCAAACCTTACCACGTCCAATCCTTACTCCCATTCAAATTAATTTACCACTTTTATTAAATGATCAAATTATTAATCAAAATCTTCAAGAAAAGTAAAAAAAAATAGAAAAAAGAAAAAGAAAAGAAAAGAAATAATATATTAACCATATTTATTTATTTATTTTAGATATTTAAAACAAAAGATTGGATTTAATAAATTATCTTTTGAAGGTAATTTAACAACTAAAGATCAAGCAGATTTTGATGCAGTTTTAATTAGAATGATTAATGTATGTTGGTAATTATAAAAAAAAAAGTAAATATAAATATTTATACTTACTTTGTTTTTTTTTTTAGGATTCCCTTGATCATAATAGAGCTCAAATATGTTATGATTTATTCCAACAACTTCAACTAAAGAAATCACAAGAAATTGTAATTACCATTGCCAATCAAAAGAAATTAAGTTTTGTTACTAAAAAGCTTTACGAGTTGATTGAATCTATTCAATTACAATCAATCCCAAACAAGACTATTGAAAAACCAACAGTTGTTCAACCTGTAGTTACAGAGGCCACCCCAGCAACTACAACAACAACAAAAAAATCATCAAATACTTTAATAGTTGATGATGACGATGCTGATATTACAACCAATGAAGATAGTGATGAGTATGTTATCCTTAACGACAATAATTTTTCCATTTATTAATTATTTAATTATTTATTTTTAGTGATAGTAAAAAAAAGAAATCAACAAATGTAAAGAGTAATACTCCACCAAAAAAATTAATACCATCAAAACCTGATATTAAACAAGATACTGTTGTTACCAAACCAACAACAACTACTGTTAAAAAACCATTACCATTTGCCAAACTAGACACATCAGTAGATTTAAAACGTAAACAATTGGAACAAAGTTCACCAGTGGTTACAAGTACGTCTGAAAGACCAGTAAAACAAACTAAAAAATAATCTTAATAATATTATAAATAATACATTTTATTCACTATTTACTATAGTACTAGTAGTTATAATAGAATTAATTGAAACTATTATTTTATCATTTTGTTTTTCATCATCGCCATTTAAAAATTGAAGATGTTGACCAAAAACAATTTTACCTTGACTTCTACGGTATGTTGCCAGAGTAGCCAAAGGTTCTCTTTCTTCCACGCCAATGGCTTGGTTGATACATATCATTTTACAACGATTACAATGACCAATCGATCGGAATGACAATGATCCAATCTTGAAATCGGTTAGATTACTTTCTTGGTATGGCTTGCCACCAGTCACTACAAAGTTTGCTCTAAAACTTTCATTTGTAATCCATGCCCAATCCGATCTTGAACTAGTTTCCTTGTTTCTTTCAACAACTCGTTCTCTTAGGTCATCTACAGATACTTGACTAATCAACAAGAATGGTGATTCATTTGAAAATGATATTTCCTCATTCTTGTTGTTACTAGTTTTACATGTCTGAGGTTGCGATTGTTGTTGTTGTTGATTACTACTACTACTACTATTACTATTATTACTTTGTTGTTGCTGTTGATTTGATAAAAAAGCTAATCTTGAGATACGATGACTATCGGGACTTTTTCTAACAAGATGACAAGATTTACAAGTGAATTTATACATCCATTCACTAATATTGATACCAAGTTTATCAAAATCCTCTTTTCCATATAATAGTCCGCTGATACTATCACCACAAACCTGTACAAGATCCATTGATGAAACTGGGTAATAGTCGAGTGGAATCTCTAGAGTACTCATCTCTGGTGCCTCTAGAACCAACATTCTTGTTTGTAAATCGATTCTTGTTGTAATGAGTGATAGGATTGGTAGCTTTTTCTGATTTATATACACTCCATTTTGATCTACCAATGTCCATTCACGATCAAACAATAATCCTGATGGTCCAATTTCCCAACTATCAACTTTACATGGTCCAAATGATTTAACTGGATATAAATTAATTTCACTCAATATCATAACGTCTGAGACATTAGATTGATTAATTGGTTTTAATAATGTATAATCATTATTTAAAAATGTGTCTTTTAAAAATTTTAAAAATTTCTATAAAAAAATATATATATGTTAATACTTTATACTTTCTTTTATATTTTTTTAGACATACATAAATATCATTAAAATTAGACATATAACCAACAGAAACTCTAAGTGAACCAGTTAATTTACCATCAATAATATCTTTATCATCCCAACAAACATGTCCACTATCAAGATGATTTATAATATCCTTTTTTGATAAACCAAGATATCCATGACATGCTCCAGGATTACAAAAACATCCAGTCTATAAAATAAATTAATTAAATTAATTATTTGTTTTTCTTTTCTTTTCTTTTCCTTTCTTTTTGTTTTTCTTTTTTTTGTCTTACACGAATAAAAATATTACGTAGAGATGCCAATTTCTCAACTTCATTAAAACCCAATAATTGACCAGAAGGACCAGAAATATTAAAATTAATGATACCACCTTGTTCCAGAGATGATTGATAATGATTATCTGTATAGATTGTAACTAGAGGGATACCACTAGCATGAACCATTTCAGACATTTGTTCTTTTGCGTATTGAATCAATGAAAAGGTATGTTTTGATATATTATCCATTCCAAGATTCTCCAAGATATCAAATCCATGTTTTAATGAGACTATACCCAAATAATCGACAGTTCCATCTTCAAATTTTTGTGAATTATTTTCTCTAAATGCATGGAATCTTTCGCTTGCCAATGATGCATTGACAGTTCCTCCACTAAAATACACCTTTTCCAAGATATCAAAACAATCATTCCTAACAATCAATGCTCCCAACCCAGTTGGATACCCAAATAATTTATAAAATGATAAACTTGCAAAATCTACTGGATACTCTGTTAAATCAAATGTAGATGTACCAACAAAACTTGCAATATCTAATAATATTTTTACATTTCTAAAATAAAATAAAATTAAATGAATTAATAAATAATAATAATAAAGAATATATTTTTTCTCTACACATACTTTAATTGTTTTTTAACTTTTAAAATTAAATCTAAATTATATTTTGAACCATTATGATTACATTGAGCTGGGAATGCTAATAAATCAAATGTATTTGGTTGTTGGTTATTCTTTTCTTGACCATTTTTAATTGCAGAGATTATATTATCAGAATTTCCAGATTTCTTAAAATAAGAAGATGGAATGGCTTGAAATGATGAACCCTTTTCAGATGCATACTCTCTAATACCAACAAGTGAATTATGAGAATCGAGTGAATAATAAAAGGTAGATGATGATTTCCATGGAAAGTATTCACCAACCTTTTTTAGACCATCGGTACATCCAGATGTGAATATCACCGAATATTGTTTATAAGGTGCATTGAAATATTTTAATATTCTTCCTCTTGCCAATTCAATTTGTTCTGTTGTATTTAATCCAATTGGATTTTGTGAATCTAAATAATCGATAAGGAATTAAAAAGTGTTAAAGAAGAAGAAGAAGAAGAAGACCAAGGCACTTTAACAAATATCATAATATGTTTGGTTACATACGAGGATTTGAAAACATTGATTTTTGAAGCTCTTCCATTACTCTTTGTAATTGAGTTTTTGAATATAATGTTGATGCTGTATGATCTAAATATACACAATCTACAAATAATAATAAAAGTAAAAGGTTAACAAAAAGTACAAATATTGATTACCTCCTAAATGGTCGGTCGGTACGGTACCATTTAATTGAGAAAACTGTTCATTTCTGATTGTATCAATGGTGTTATCATAACCATAACTATTTGAATATCTATCTATAAACTCTTGTTTTGCTTGTATCATCTCTATTGGTTCATTTTCGTTGTTGGTTTGTTTGTTTAAAGTAGAACGGTCATCTCTTTGTTGTTGTCTTTGTTGTTTCTTTCTATAAAGATATGTAATAGAAAGTACAACTATTATCGCTATTATATTCTCTATTAATTGCATCACTATCTATCTCTATAACTATACAAGAAAGAGACTATTATAAATCTTTTTCAGACTGGTATGCAATTGTAATTGTCGTGTCTTTTTTAAATCATGATTTTTTTAAAAGGAAATTTAAAAAGGCAACCCCCCCTTTTTTTATTAATATATTAATTGGTCAGTCGTCTGAAACAATTAATTGGTTGGTTCTCATTTTCACAAAAGAATAAATAAATAATTAAAGAATAATATTAATATTTAAAAAATAGAGGAAACTTGAAAGTTAACAGAAATTATTTAAAAATAGTTTTAATATTGTTGTTAAGATTTATCCATGATTGATGGGATCAACAACCAACCAAGACAATAAAAAGTGTGAATATTGTTAAATCATTAATAATATCATAGCAATAATAATGAGAATCGGCTGGGAAAATTTAATTATTTGTGTGTTCGTGTTTTTGAAAAACGATGAACATTACCACTTTGTCAACAAACTTTTAATTTATTTCATTATTTATATATATTTATATATTATTATTATCTCTCTAGAATGAGTATTTTCACACCTGTAAATAACAAGACACTAACTAATATAGCTGTAGTTAGATTTAAAAAAGGAGGAGCTAGATTTGAAATTGCTTGCTATCCATCTAAAGTAACTTCATGGAGAACAAAGATGTATGTTATCTTGTTGATGATCGACACAATCTAATATATATATACTATCATCTGATATCATGTGTACTAACTTTATGTCTGTAAACTACACCACTTCTTAGTGAAAAAGATTTAAATGAAGTTATACAAATTCATCGTATCTTTACCAATGTATCGAAAGGAGTAGTAGCTAAAAAGGAGGAATTGTTAAAGGCATTCAATACAGACAAGGAAGATGAGATTATTTTGACGATCTTGGAGAAAGGAGAGTTGCAAGTATCTAGTAAAGAGCGAGAGAATCATGCCGATCAAACCTTTAGAGATATAGCCAATCTGGTGGCTGAAAAGTGTGTCAATACAGAGACACAAAGACCCATACCAGTTGGTATCATAGAAAAGGCAATGAGAGATGTCCACTATTCCATCCATCCAACTAAAAGCTCGAAACAACAATCATTAGAGGTGATCAAGCAGATTGGTGCCATCATCCCCATCCAACGTGCACAGATGCGTCTCAACATCACACTCACCCTAAAAGATCCAAAAGCATTGCGTGACAAGATTGCCACACAAGTATTCAAGATTGAAGAAGAGGATAATGAAAATGGTTTGTCTATGGTTTGTCTAGTAGATCCTGGAAGCTTCAGAAAATTGGATGATCTCGTCAAACAGGAATCAAAAGGTAAAGGTTTTATTGAAATTATGAATTTAGCTGTTGCTAAAGAAGGTGAACAAAAGATCTAAAAAAATAAATCAAACAACCAAACAACCAATCAAATATTTGTATACTCAACAACAACACAGTAAATATAAATATATTTTATTATTATTGTTATAATTATTATTATTAGTTGACCATAATCATGACGAAAACAGATCATCCCGACGATCATTGCAATGTGTTTGTGTTTTTTTAAAAATGTGAATCTTTGAAAATCAATTAGATAGAAGTTTAGATATAGATAACAATAGATAGATAGATAGATATGACTACAACATCATCAACAACAACAACAAAATCATCACATAAATTGATTCAATCTGGAATAGAGATTGAAGGATGGAGAATAGCAACATCAAAGAAACCAATATTAAACTCTGCAGAAAAAGATCAATGGGAGAGAGAATTGACGATCAACTCATTGCCAGAGATGATCTTTGGTCACAACTTTGTCAGTCTTTCAAAGATTGATGGTTCAATATCGATGGTATACAATGCCTACGACGCATTGTCATTGGTGCAAAAAACAACAGATCATTCGATCAAGGTATCGTCTGCAAAGTTTTGGGAAGAGGTAAACAAAGGTTTTGGAGGATCAATTGAAAAGGAATATGATTGGACTTATAACACCCCCTATATTGGTTCAATCTTAAAAGATGGTCATAATTATGTAAATAGAGAAGATAAACCATCTGTATGTGTCAAGAAAAGACAAAAGAAACAACCTTTAAACTCTAACCCCTAACCCCCTATCTTATAATATATGATTAATTTATTTATTTATTTAGCATCTTTTTGAAAATACAACTGAACAAATTGATGTTGAAAAATTAAAGAGACCAGATCCCATTCTATTCTATGATGAAGTTACATTGTTTGAAGATGAATTGGCAGATAATGGAATTTCAATCTTATCAATTAAAATTGTATGTGTCTAACCATATATTATTGGAAATTAAGATGATTATTAATTATTTAATTATTAATTAATTTATATTTATTTCAGAGAGTAATGCAAGATTCAGTATTCCTATTACAAAGATTCTTTTTAAGAGTTGATGATGTTATTATTAGATGCTTGGATACACGTGTCTATCATGAATTTGATAAAAACTATTGTCTTAGAGAAGTGACTTTTAAAGAGTGCAACTATGACCTACTCAAACATTATTTTGAAAAGGATCCAACTACTATCACCAATACCAATTTTATTGTATCTCAATTACCAATTAAAGATGTTCACATGGAAAAGATTTTTCTTCAAAATAAATAGATAATAATAATTAATTAATTCTTTGGGTCAGCTGTTTCAAATTTGGGTGTAATAATTTCATTTGAAGTTCGAATATTTTTGTGTTGTTGGTTTTGAAAAAATTGGAATTGGCGCCAAAGAACTGAAAATAAGAATAAAGAGGATGATGGCTGTGTGTGTGAAAGAGCAACCATCATTAAATTGAGAGGACTGTGTTTATTTTCATTGTTTTCTAGAATATTACCATCTATCCTTTTTTATATTATACATTTATATATAAAACATTAAAACAAAGAGAAAGAGAGAGTATATATATATATATATAACTATAACCACCAATTGTAAAGTAAGTGTTTGTTTATGATGAATTTATGTGTGTCATGTGATCACATGACATATGATGATGACAGTGATAGAGAGTGACAGAGATTAGATGAGATGATCTAACATACATTTTATATTATGATAGTATCATTTAAAAAACACACAAGGTTATTGTAATAATATATAAAAGAAGAGAGAGATAGATATATAGAGAGATGGAATCATTAGATGGAGGATTATCAAGATACCATAAATTAGAAAAGCTTGGTGAAGGTACCTATGGAAAGGTATACAAAGCCAAGGAAAAGACAACAGGAAGAATCGTTGCTCTCAAAAAGATTAGATTGGAAGATGACGGTGTTCCATCAACTGCGTTGAGAGAAATCTCAATCTTGAAAGATCTACCTCATCAAAATGTCGTTGCGTATGTTAGACTAAACTAAATGTATAATTGTCAATTTAGTACTAATTCTATCTTATCTATCTTATCTTATTTCTTAGATTATATGATGTATTACATTGTACAAATAGATTATATTTGGTATTTGAATTCCTTGATCAAGATTTAAAGAAATATATGGATTCTGTGCAATCGATGAATCCACAATTGGTAAAGAGTTATTTGTATCAGATTCTCAAGGGTTTGGCATACAGTCACAGCCATCGTATTCTTCATCGTGATCTCAAACCACAGAATCTGTTGATTGATCGTCTCGGTTCGATCAAGTTGGCCGATTTCGGTTTGGCTCGTGCCATTAGTATCCCCGTGCGTGTCTATACTCACGAAATCGTCACCTTGTGGTATCGTGCTCCCGAGGTGTTGTTGGGCAGTCGCTCCTACTCGGTGCCAGTCGATATTTGGTCAGTCGGTTGCATCTTTGGTGAAATGTTAAACAAGAAGCCATTGTTTGCTGGCGATTGTGAAATCGATCAGATCTATCGCATCTTCCGTATCCTCGGTACTCCCAATGATACCGTATGGCCAGGTTTCAATCAATTACCAGACGTTCAAACTGCCTTTCCAGAATGGCCAGGTCAACCTTTATCTAAAACTTTCCCAACTGCTGATCCACTTGCTCTTGATTTAATTTCTGTATGTGTCAAAAAAATAACAAAAACAAACAAGTAAATTATTGTTCTCTAATTATTTATTATTTAATATTTCACAGAGTATGCTTCAATTTGAACCATCAAGAAGAATTTCTGCAAAGGCTGCACTTTCACATCCATACTTTAACGATTTGGATAAATCTTCTTTCTAATCAATCAACCAACAAACCAACAAATCCAACCAAACCTTTATTTTCTTTAAAACAACAACAACAACAAACTGAATACTCTAACAAATCAAGAACAAATTTTTTGTAACCTTCAAAATCCAATCCAAATTATCAACAACAAACAAAAAACCTGGAAAAACAATCAACAACACAATCAATCAATAATTCTTTTAATTAAGTATTACCAAATAGTTTGTGTGATGATTTGTTTTTTTTTTTACATTATATACTCTTTTTTCTTCTTCTTCTTCTTCTTCTTTTTTATCCAATCCTCCATCACCCCAATAGTAATAATATAAGAAATACGAAACACATAAAATCATTATTGTTTAAATTAAAGTTTTTAAACATTTTCAAAAAAAAAATAAATAATTATAAATCATATCAATTTATCTATTTTTATAAATTCAAAAGTACTAAGTAGTAATAAATAAGTCATAGTAATATTTCTAAAGTGACGTAAATATTGATTATTGATAGTTTGATTCATGAATACAATCAAGACCCAATCGAACAAGGTTCCAAAAAAAAAAGAAAAGAAAAGAATCTTTTCAAAAAAATAAAAAAAGAATCTTTGTGCAAGCAAGATCACTTTAATTGCTTTAATTTACACAATCAATGATTAAAAGTAGTTTAGAAGGATTATTTAAAAGAACATTATTGATTGTTAATCCTTTATCTATTTCTTCTTCTTCTATTTATCAATCAAATAAACAACAACAACAACAACAACAACAACAACAATTCAAGTATAGATATTTTACTTCAACAACAATGTCAGATAATAATCATTTTCAATATTTAGTATTAGGAGGAGGTAGTGGAGGTGTATCATCAGCAAGAAGAGCAGCCAAATATGGAGTAAAGACAGCTATTGTAGAGGCTGGTAGAATAGGAGGTACATGTGTCAATGTAGGTTGTGTGCCAAAGAAGGTGATGTGGAACACTGCCAACTTGGCCGAACAATTACATAGTGCCCCTTCCTATGGTTTCAAGGGAGCCGATTCGATCAAACATGATTGGGCAACCATCAAGCAGTCGCGTGACGCCTACATCTTGCGTCTCAACACCATCTATCAAAACATGTTGAACAATAGTGGTGTCACTTCGATTAGAGGTTGGGGCAAGTTGGTAGGCAAGAATGCCGTTGAAGTCGACGGCAAGGTGTACACTGCCGATCACATTTTGATTGCTACTGGTGGACGTCCGGAAATCCCCAATGTGCCAGGTGCCAATCTCGGTCTGACAAGCGACGGATTCTTTGACATTGGCGAGTTGCCAGAGACCGCTGTGATTGTCGGTGCCGGCTACATTGCCGTCGAACTAGCCGGTATCTTGCACGCACTCGGGTGCAAGACCAAACTCGTTATTCGTCACGACCACTTTTTGCGTACATTTGATGACATGTTGTCACGCGAGTTGATGGCACAAATGCGTGCTACTGGACTTGAGATTGTCACCGATTCGACTATCTCCAAGGTCGAAAAGAACGACGCCGGCAAGATTGTCGTCACGACCAACCACACTGCCCTCGAACCAGTCGACACACTCATCTGGGCGATTGGCAGAGAACCTATTGTCAAAGACATTGGTTTGGAGGCTGCTGGCGTCGAGCTAGACACACGTGGCTACATCAAAGTTGACGATTTCCAAAACACAACCACTCAAGGTGTCTATGCGATCGGTGATGTCATTGGTCACCTCTTATTGACACCCGTTGCCATCCAGGCTGGTCGTCGTCTTGCCGAACGTCTTTTCAACGGCAAGACCAATCTCAAGTTTGACTATGATACCGTACCCACCGTCATTTTCTCGCATCCACCCATCGGTACAGTCGGACTCACTGAAAAAGAGGCCATCGATAAATACGGCAAAGATAATGTCAAAGTGTACAATAGTAGTTTCACCAACATGTTTTACGCCGTCAATGACACGTACAAGCCAAAGACCTTTATGAAACTCATTGTCACTGGCCCCGAAGAAAAGGTGCTCGGTATCCACTCGATCGGTATCGGCAGTGATGAAATGATTCAAGGTTTTGCAGTTGCCATTAAAATGGGTGCAACAAAAGAAGATTTAGATAATACTTGCGCTATTCATCCAACTGCTAGTGAAGAATTAGTTTTATTTACATAAACATAAATTAAATAAATTAAATAATTAAATAATTAAATAATTAAAAAAAAAAAAAGAAAAGAAGAGGATGGAGTATAAGGATGGAAGGGGAGGGGATGGGATGGGAGTTAGAAACAACAAAAAAAAAAAAGATTATTTATCTTTTTTTTGTTTTGTTTTGTTTGTTTTTGAAAACACATCAAATAAATCTATGTTGATATATATTTGATTTGAATTGATTATATACGTAGTTGTAAGTAAGTAGTATGATACCAATTGATTGAAATTAATTTCCAAAAGAGTGAAAAATACAAAATGGATTAAAATGTTTGTAGTTGAGTTGATTATTTGGTATCCATTTCTATTTCCATCATTGTACTCATATTTAAAGGTTCTAAAGATTGACTTGAATGAATGATATTTTGTTGTTGTGAAGAAGAAGAATCTAAAATGATTGGTTGTAATGATGATGTTGATGATGAAGGTTGAGATCCATGTTGATGATGAGGTTGAGGTTGAGCAAAATCTTGTGATTGTTTTAATACAGCTTCCATTGGATATTTAATATGAAGAACATAATAGATTCTATGATCCTTTAAACGTTTATGAGTTTCTAATGATATTCCTTTTGCTTTTACTGAATCTTGATCATTAAAAGATTTATCATGTTTTTTTAATAATTGGTATGCCTAAGACACAGTGAGAAAGATAAAAATAGATTGATATAGTTAGTTATTTTTAGAATAAAGGTTGTTGTTAACACCTTTTTGATTGTGGGCATACATACATTTTCACGTCTATGAAAGACAAGAACTAAAATGACTAGTACGAGGAACCCAGCTATACCAATGAGAATGTAGAGTACTGTTTTATTGACATTGTCAATGGCAAAGGTGACTACAAACAGTGCCACACAAATCATGAAAAGTACGAATCCAGGGATAAGGTATTGATGATTACTAATGATTCTATTGTAACTCTTGATCACCGCTGCATACTCTTGTTCCGTAAACAAATGTTTCATCACTTCGGCCGGATAGTCACTGACCAATGGCCTCATCGCAAATACCCATCTCGCGGGTTTAGCTGGAACTTTGTAACACCCTGGTACTGATAGTGATACTGCTGACATATATGATGATTCGTTTATCTATCTATCTCTATCTATCTATATTTATATTATTTAAACTAAACTAAACTTTTTCAAACAGTTTGTGTGCATGGCATAGACCTTAGTTAACTTTTTGTGTATTGCTGTTTTCAAGATGCACACACCCACACATCACAACAACACTCATGTGATTACGAAACAATCCACGCGGATTCAAACATAAATTAATTAATTGAGAGTTTTTTTTAAAATCGGTTCCCCCGATGCTCTTGTTGTGGGTGTCCTTTTAGAGTCTTTGCCTTTTTGTTTTTGTAAAAGTACATAAGCCAAGTACGTGCACACAAAAGACGTGCGCGATTTCGAATTCGAACGTCCTGTCCTTTGTTTTTATTGTATGGTACAGCCCTATAGGACAAGGAAGGGGTCTGATCAAGAGGATGCAGGACTAGAGTTGTTGTTGTTGTTGCTATTATTATTGTTGTTGTTGTTGGTCGAAAAGTCAACTACTAAATAGGGAAACTGTAAAAGTGGATCCTCTGTTTGAGAGTATCGTCTTTCATTTTCAGATGAAACGTTGTCTACTGTTCTACCGATACCACTACTATCTTCCTCTTGTTGGTTCTTTGAATTTATATCAATTTTGTGATCGTTGATAGGAATTGCAGTAGTAGTTTCAAGTTGACTGTCTTGATTTGATTTTTTTGATCTCTTCTTTTTGTTCTTGTCCTTTGATTTGGTTGATTTCACAGCTGCTGGTGCAACTGGATAAATTATATTGAGGGCATAGTATCGATGTTGATTTTCAGTTTCTTTACGTGTTTTAAATGATAGATTCTTGGTCCTATAAATTTCATTATAATATGTATCCAATTGTTTTAATTTCCTTAATGACTATATTATTAATTAAAGAATATTAATATTCATTATTTATATATTATTTATATTTTAATTTACATACATTTCCACGTTTAAATATTGAATATAAAGCAACAGAGACTATAATAAAACTAGCAATGGAAACTAAAATGTATAGAGCTAGTCTGTCGAAATTGGGTATAGAAAATACAAGTACAAAGACGATACAACAGATGATGATGAGGATGACAACTGGGGCCAATACCTTTTTCATGTGTTGATTGTACGATTCAATGATTCGAGTGTACTCGTCTTTTGAGAGTACGTGTTCCAGACGCCTTGGGTAATCCAAGAATAACTTTTTATTCTCAAAGAACCATTTGGTAGTATTTGGTGTTACTTTGATACGTCCATACTTTTCTTTTGGTTTGTTTGGGTCAAGAGCAATGGTTGATGATGATGATGACAATGATAATGATGATACATCACCATCTATTGGAATAGCAATATCATCATCATCATTATTATTATTATTATTATTAGTTGTATTGACTAACAATAATGATGGAGTATTTAAAAGTGTGTGGGAAGAAGGAGGAGGAGATGTTGATGATGACATTATATATCCCAACCTTACTACTTTTTTTTAAATATTATTATTATTATTTGTGTATATATTGATGAAATTGAAATTGAATGTTGTTGTTTCAATATACACCTGGTGATCTATCTACTGTTGTTGCTCTTTTTTTCAATACTCTTTATAAAGTATTTCCTCATGGTGATGGTTTCGGGCGTGTGATACATACCGCCCACCCGTTGCTCGAGAGCATAAAGCTAGAGAGACAGCTATCACACACAACATAATAATAATAAAAGAAATTAATTTAAACTGTTTTGTTGTTGTGATTACATCTAATCTTTCGTTTGATTGGAGATCTCTCTCTTTGTTTTGTTTTCATACGCTTCAGCTAACAGAGGATTTCACACACAAGCTTTGAGCAATCTATTTTTCATCGTCATGGGTGTGACAAGGTTTTTGACTTTGTATCTCTAGGATGTGGAGATTCAAAAATTGATAGATCTTTTAAAGTCTATAAATAGAGTATACAATACTTGTTTTATAAACACTCATCGACATTATGTCGCTGGTTGGAATTGAGCCGAATGGTTGGTTAATAAGGTCCATTCGGCTCAATTCCAACCAGGCCGTTTGATGGTACGGGTAGATGATATTTAATTTTACAAAGGATGGGTTGTTGGGGAAGATGGAATTGGTTGGTTTAGGGTAGGGCCCTCTTTACCAAATAAGGTCCATTCGGCTCAATTCTACAATACACCTTGGTCAATCATCAATCTGATTGGTGCCGTTGTTGGGTGGGTGTGGACAAGAGATGCGTGTCTCATGGTATGGTCTTCATGGTCATGGTTTAAAAGGATGGATTGGTCAAGCCGTAAATAGATTACATTAAAAGGGAGGGGGTTTTGATTTATTACATTACAATTGTTTAACGTTACGCAAACAGTTTTGGTGTGTTATTGTGTTTTTGGTGATCTACTCTATATTACAATAACCAACCAACCAAAAAGTACAACTTTAGTACTAAAGTGTTATTGTTTGATTTAGATATTATTATGGTCAATGGAAATTTCCAAGTTGGAGGATGGTGGTAATGGAGTATCATGAAGACGGTTATTGTTGTTATTATTATTATTATTATTATTGTTGTGACCAAGTAATGAGTAAGTTTCAGGTACACCTTGACCACTACCATTACCTTGATAGTATTGTGGAGTAAATACACTTCCTCCACCAATACCACCACCATATGATGGTTGTTGTTGTTGTTGTATTGTGTTGTAGACAGCATAGCCCATTTGATTGGGTGGTAATGCAATCATTGCATAAACAGGGTATCTAATACGTAGAGTAAATCTATACTTTCCATACTTTAAATTTTTAGTCATCTCGAATGATACACCTCTTGGTGCAAACGTCATATTGAAATCGTCAGATAACCTACTTAGACCACTTCTCATCTATAAAACAATAAATACATTTGTTTTTTTTGTTAATACAATGTATCTATCTATTGATGATTGTATTGTAAAGAGTTTACATACTTGGAAGAATTTAACAAGCAAGTATACGACAGTGATAACTGAACAAAATAGAATGATTCCAATACTAGCATAAGTAAAACTAACGTTGATCCGAGGAAAGATGATTAAACCAATTACAAATATCATCTGAACACCCAAGAGACCTAGAATAGGTCCCATTCTAACCCTTAATAGGTGATTGTAAGAGTCTATTATTCTACTGTACTCTTGTGTATTCAAGACGTGACCGAGATCCGATGGGAAGATCTCTGGTAGACACCTATAGTCTTTTGAACATTGTGTAGTGTTGCTTTTAACCTTTTTAGTGCAAAAGGAAAGTGGTGGTGATATTGATGCCATCCTATATATCCTCTACTACTGCTTGATACTATATATTTATATATTTATAGATATTCTATTCTAAGATGTGTGATATAAATAATTATTACGTAAACCCAAAACACTCAACAACTACAGCGAGTTTGGGCAAAGTAAATTTCTTTCAAAATTCTTAAGTATTGGGGTCAAACTCGATAATTTGTACCCTGCCTGGGTTGTCATCGATATTAATACAGTCGGATCACCTATTTTGGATGTTAAAATGATGGTTGGATGGCCTGGTTGAGTACTACTACCGACCAATCAATTTTTATTTAATGACATCATCTTACATAGATGAAGTACTTTTTGTTGTTTAAAAAATGTACATATAAATTAATTAATTATCGATTGCCATACTCCAAGGATTCTGTTTTGAAATTTCAATGGCTGTATAATCTTGATTATTATTATTGTTCTTGTCGGAATAAGGAGCTGTAGGATAATGAATGGAAAGAATATATCTATCCAAATCAAAATCATAGTCTACTGTAAATGATACTCTATTGGGTGCATATCTTTCATTTAATTTTTTGGTTACAAAATCTAAATTGGATTTTAACTATAGATAGATGATTGGAAATTAGTTGGAATATTCTAAGCTTACAACAATCAATTAAACCTAAATGTTTGTTTATACTCGTACAATTAAATATCTTTTAATATAAAATAAAGCAACTAGAATCATTCCAATGATTTCAACAGATAGAGTAAGATAAAAATAAAAGGTTGGCCAAGAGTAATAGACAATGATACCGAATATACCAAAACCCAACACAAACCCAACAGGCTGAGCAATGTGGAAAGACAACCAAAAGTTATACTTTTTGACGATGTATAAATACTCGTCATTGGTCAATACATGTGTAAGTTGAATCGATGGGTATTTAAGTGTAAAACATCTATTATATTGACCTCTTTCATCCAATGCTGTAATTTTATAAACTGATGTCATTCTCTTTCTCTCTCTCTTTGAAATTATTAATTAAATGATTTGTAATTACTAAATCATATGCTACTTGTTGTTGTTTGATTAAACAACTGATGTATTTATATACACAAATGGAACCCAATACCGAAGGACTCATTTCCAAAATTTCGCCTGGGGAAAAAAAAATATCTATTTTTCCTTGGTTTTTCGAGGGTGATCTTGACCTTCCATTTTGTTCGATGGAACTATATATCACAACGATATTTAGGTGTGTGGGTTGGGCGTTGTATCGCTGATTCCATCACTATTTTGGGTTATCAAAAAAAAAAAAAAAAAAAAGGGTGTGGTAGGATTGTTTGAAACAAAGAATATCAGTACCCTTAAAACCATTGACAATGTTTTCTATTATCTTACGACATCTCTTTTAATCATACATGTATAATGCCAAGACAACATCAGAAATTGCATTCCTTGGCGATTTCAAGCGATGGCCAGCAAAACAAGTAAAAGAATGGGCTACAAAAGAAGTTCAAGTAAGAGAAGAATATGCCCAGATGCTTCTTGATAATGATGTAGATGGAGAGTATCGCAGTGTTTACAGAGGCTGATTTTGGTAATGTGGCATAGTCGTCGCACCTGCAAAGAAGCTCTATCTGGCTGCTCAACAACTTTTAATTAAACAACAACAATCGCTATCACATCAGCACAGCAGTGGTAAGTAGTTATGCATCTATCTATCTATTTCTATTTCATTTGTCACAGTCATATTCGTCATTCCCTCACGACCCCATCATTATGCTCGTTGCTCGTCATCTATTAATCACACCATCAACCTTTAAAGTGTTGTCGTTCACCCATTAGACATTTTATTTTCTAAAATAAAATCACATTTATTATTATTTTAATAAATATGCTTTTTTCTTGGAGTTTGATGATAAAAAGCACCCATACCGGTCAGCAGTTCACTATGTATTCTTTCTGATACATTTTTGTTCTTATTTCATTATCTATTCATCATCATCATCATCATCATCATCATCATCACATCATCTTGTTTCATTCAGTTATTTATTCTTTGTAGTTTATATCCCTTTCTATCTTAATTTGCAACCATATTCCAACTGTCTTTTTTATCATTTATTTGTTTCATCTCTTCATTTTTCTATTTTGTAAATAATTTTCTTTCAGAGTCCTTACAAGTTCCTCCGCATTTTAAAATTTAATTATTACATTCTATTATTGTCACCATTATTAACCACCATCATTATTTCGTTCTATCCTAAAGGCACCACCTCTAACGTAATGTCAAGTAGGTTGAACTAACAATTGACGTGATAATATCAACCTAACCCCCATTCTCTCATTTTTTTTTTCTAGCACAACAGAAAGCTCGGGAATTGGTCAAGGGAACTGATTTCACTGTTGCTCAAAAGAGCGCATGTTCCACGTTTATTGATGAAAATGAAGCCAATGCTAATATTATTATTATTGGACAACATGGAATGGGTTTAGATGTATTACAATTTTTCGCTCAAAAACTCGTAGAAAGAAATACATCTATTCCCTCTACTGCTCCTCCCCAAGGTAAGGCACATCCTTTTTATCAAAGCATCATTCCCTTCCATTTCTTCATTATATTATCAACATATCCATCTCAAACAACCCTTGTTGATTATCTTTTGTTTTATCTCATCAATGCACTACCCATCTCTTTTAACCAAACACAATCATTCAACATCTTGTCATTTTGTTTGTTCATCTTTCATGTTATTGACCTCTTGTGTTCATTCATATTTATAATCCTTTGGTCCAAATCAAATACCATTGTTCATTCGCCAAGCTACACCACTCTTTATCACTCGACACCCTTTTATTTTTATCACCCATCTCTTTTCCACTAATTGGTGGATCAACCGATCACCATCATTCAAATCTAGTCATTTTGTTTTGCTATGTTTGTTCCTCACATTACAGGCCCTTCACTTGCCTCATTGTTGTTGGTCAATCCATCTCCAACCATTCCTAATATTATCAACCACCATTAATATCACTGGACACTCAAAACCTCTTCCTTTTGTTAGTTTGTTTCACTCACCTATCCGGTTAACAACATCAGATAATAAAAAATCACTATCATTGCTCCTCTCGTTAATCCTACAACGGGTTCCAAAAAAAAGCCGGATTGGACTGTCACACAGAAAGGGGAGCCACTCGATCCTTTTTGGGTCGCCGCAGTTGGTGACACCAAGACACACGATAATTTCACTGGAAAGGATATAGGCCAGGTTATTAGTTATGCTGAAATTGTTCTGATGCACTCGTCTACAGACAAGCTCTTTGTCGATGCTTTTCTGACAAATGGAGAGTGCATACAATTTTGGAGAGTGTCTCGAGTGAGTATACATAATCATCATTAGGCGTACCAAAAGACTAATATCTTTCGTAATTCTTATTGGAAGACGCAAAGTAAGGAATTCAATTACGATGCCACAAAGCCGATGTATTTGAATGTTGCTACCTGTTCCAAAGGGTTTCACCAACTCCTTGGCCTCCTCTCCTCTGCTCCTTGTTCAATCCCACAGAGTTTGCAAAAATTTTCTAATGGCACCATCCGTAACCTTGGATTTGGGATCTCCAGTCATGTCTTCGCTGTCACCAACAATGATGACAACAACGTTTATGCAGTCAAAGTTTTCCGCAACCAAGAGGCCAAGACGTGCGAGCTTGCAATGATGAAGGCGATCGAAAAAGTAGACAACGTCCCAAAATTCATTCACCATGATGCAGATTGGATCGCGATTGACCCTGTTGGTGTACCATTCACCATCAAAAACTATACTCATTTACATTTCTCAACTGTAGATAAAAGTTCTGTGATAAAGACATCTTTATGAATACTAACCTTTCGGTTTAATCACTCAGATCATGGACACTCTCGAAAAAGTACACAGTATGGGTATCAATCACAGAGACGTCCGAGCCTCGAATATTATTATCGGTCCCTCAGGGAACGCAATTCTCATTGATTGGAGCTCGGCAGTATTCGAGCAGGACGACCAAAAAGCGTACACCGGAACATATTACACCGCGTCCGACAGAATTCTGGATCTCATGTCACACAAAAACCAAATTATAGCAACACCATTCGACGACATGGAGTCTATGGTGAAGACATTCATTATGATCACGTGTCCAACAATCCAAGCAAAAATACGTTCAATCCCGCTGGGTCAACCAGGCCTTTTGTTGGAGTGTTGGAGTGACATCGCAGACAAAAATAATAAAATACAATAAAAATAAATATTTCTAAAAATAAATTAACTATTTTAACTTATTTAATATAATGAGCCCTGCAAGGGCGAATGCTTGTAAACTTTTTTGGGAGCGTCAGCGATCCAACGCCCACACATTTAGACTTTTATTATTTCTTTCTTTTTAATTATTTAGAACTTCCATTTTTTTTGTTTTTGTTTCTTCTTCAAGTTTTCTTTGTTGAGCTAGACGATCAAGATTAAATGGAATTGCCCAAATTTGGTGATGTGATGAATAGGATAGGAATTCGGGGTCATTGGTTTGTTGACATAGTTGGAGCGTGAGGATGGGTGGTTCGGCACGGTCATAGGGGTTTCTGGGGGTGAGTGGAGAGACTGCGGTGAGACAGAGAGACGCGTTCATGGCCGACTGGAGACGAGTGTGGGTGTAGTTGAGAGGAAGGAGCTTCCATTGTTGGGTGAGTGGAGTGCTGGCAGGATCGACATTACTCTCACATCGATTCATACAACACGGTCCACCTCGGGTAACACGAGTGATGTTGCAAATGGAGACACACAGGTTACTGGTGGTTCTAATCGAGTTGTCCATCGATGACATGACATAGTGTTGTGTTCGTCTGTCTGAGCATTCGACGAGATAGGCATAGTCTGGTTTACCGGGCAATCCAGCAAGTGTGTCGAGACATGCCATCCCCTGACTAGAGATCTTGTTGATGAGTGGCAGGATGATGGCGGTCATGTTGATGGTACCGCGCACCGAGTTGTCTTTGGCGAGTAGATGGGACGTGCCGTTACCCTTGGCACTGACCACCGTCTGCTCGGGACATATGCCCTTGTCAAACTGCGCCGTCGCACCCTCGATCACGACACCCGACGGCGTGGTGCATATCGGCGGGCCCAAGTAGACCTCGGACAGCGGCTGATTGAAGCAGTTGGCGTTGGGCGAAACAACCTCATAGTACTGTACCCAGGCATACGCAGTGTACGGCGAGATAAAGTCTGCGTTGTGGAAGATCTGACCCATGAACATTGATCGCTCATCCGAATTCAAGTCCTTGACAAACGTCGACAACATCGAGTTGGGCAACATACGCAAAGTGAAGCTGTACGTGTGGTTTTGAATCCAGTTTCTGACGACTGCGCACTGGCTTGTCACCTCGGACTTGTTGGTTCCGCCGTGTGTAAAGGCGATGCCCTCGATGGTGCCGTTGGTCGCACGACAAACACCGCCGTCTCCAGGGTCGCCATACTCGGACGCAAACAGACCAAACATGAACCGATTCTTGGCGCCGCCATTGGTCTGCAGACCCACCACACCAAGTGATGGTCGAGCACCAACAAGATAGAACTGATAACTATAAAACACACTTGAAAACTGGCCAGGGTCGATACCAATATTCATGTCAAAACGAAGATACGTGCATTTATAGTCTTGTTTGGTCATACCAGGTGTCACTGGAAAGCTGTATCGAATGTCAGATGATGGAGCACTACCCAATATATTGGTCTCTGTTTTTGATACTCCAGGATGCAGGAATGATTGTGCACTGCCAGCACCCTCCATTGGTACCAACAATGTATTTGCCTCTTCTATATTATAATCATCTTTTTCCACCACTACACTACCATGACAACATGTTCCACCACATGATGATCCCCCATCATCATCATTTATAATCAAAAAAATAAATATCAACAATATTAAATAACTACTACAACTATTTAAATCTAAATAAATTATATATATTTGTTAATATATCAAAACCAAGACTCATTTTCTCTCTTTCTCTCTTTCTCTCTTTCTCTCTTTATAACTTACATTTCCTATTCATCTTTTTTACAAACTTTTAAATATAAATGAATTTTAGAAAGAATTATTATTATTATTATTATTATCTAATCATTCATTTCATTGCAATATATGATATTCATAAATGAAATTGATCAAACACACATGATACGATGTGATGTGTGCACACAGTTCGTTCCTCTTTACTGCGCATATCTTAAGATATGCTTGTAAGCAGCACAGGTGTAGGTGATGGTGATATTCGACTAGTACTTGAATACCACTCCCACACACAATGATCATTGTGGTTGTTTGATCGATTGATTGATTGAATGTTGATATCAACACACAGCCAGCAGCAGCAGATATACTTTCATTTGATTCGTGTGAGAGCAAGTAAGTAAGTATTGGAGTAGGTAGATTATTGATTTGATTTAGATTAATCTCTTTTAGTAGTCATCTGCACACGCGCAAGCAGAGATCAAAGGTCGACGAACATTCCTTCCTGGCTTTGGTTCTTGGGAAGATATTTTTCTCTTTTTGGGAAACCCTCATTTTTTATTTTTTATTAATAAAGTTATTTATATCAACTTTTGTCCTTGTCTGCAGAGTTCCACACGTTTCGATTTGATCTTTCTTTTTCCTTCACACTATTAATAATAATAATAATAATAATAATAATAATAATAATAATTTAAATGTTGTTTGTTCAACCTAAAAGATCATTATTATTATAAACACACACAAACTTTAGTTTCTAGGCAGATTTGAGGGTTAACTTTTTACTCATCCCCCTTACCCCTTACCTACCTACCTACACTACTCTTTGTGTTATTGTTATTATTTCATTAGTTTAATTATCTAAATTGTTGTATATATAAATATAAATATAAATATAAATATAAATATAAATATAAATATAAATATAAATATAAATATAAATATAAATATAAATATAAATCATCACCATCATCATCATCGTTAGCAAATACAAATACAAATACAAATACAATCATCATCATACAACAATACAAATACAAAATATAATATTATTATTATAATTTATAATTTAAATAATGGTATTTGAAGGAATTGTATCAGATGTACTTTCAAGAGTACTAGGAGAATATGTAAAGAATCTTAACAAGGATCAATTAAAGATTGGAGTGTTGGGAGGTAATGTAGTATTGACCAACCTAGAGCTCAAAGAAGATGCACTGGCCAATCTTCCGATCAACCTGCCGATCACCGTCAAGAAGGGGTTTCTAGGTCGGCTCGAGTTGCGAGTGCCGTGGAAGGACTTGAAATCAAAGCCTGTCATTGTCAACATTGACAATATCTATGCATTGGCAGTACCCCAAACACAATCATTCAAGTATGACGAACAAGCAGAAAAGAAACGTGAACTAGAATCAAAGAAAAAACGTATAGAAAACTATGAATGGATGAAATCAATTCAAGAATCTGATGGTGGTTCTGGTGCTACTGGAGACGATAAAAAGGATGATTCATTCACTACTAGATTGGTTACAAAGATTATTGATAATCTTCAAATCGTTGTAAACAAGGTTCATATTAGATTTGAAAATAGAAATGAAATTGGCAAAGTATGTAAATAGAAAATAGAATAGAAAATAGAGCCTCTATTTATTGACTTTTCCAATTTAGTTATATGCAGTTGGTATAACATTGGATAGAATTTCAGCACAATCAACAGATGAAAAATGGATACCATCATTTATTGATTCAAGTAAAACAAATCATATTAGAAAATTGGCAGAAATGAATGCATTGGGTGTTTATATCGATGATTCAGCTACATCACTTCAAAACCTATCGGCTCAAGAATTTAGTGAAGCTTTCACCAAATTAATTCCAACCAAGCTAACTGATATCTCTACTGTTAAAAAGTTTATTATTAAACCAATTTCTTCTCAATTAAAGGTAATACAAAAAAATATTAACAAATAATCAAAATAATCATAAATCTAACTTTTCTTTTTTATTTTGTTTCTTTTTTAATTTTCTTAGGTATCAATTAATAAGAGTGATTTAATTGATAAGAATATACCAAAGATTTTAGCAGATTGTATATTTTCAGATATTGTTTGTGCATTGTCATCTGCACAATATCATACTATATTCAATATTCTCAACTTTACCAATGAATATTTGCGTGATATTAAATATCTAAAGTTCCGTCCACATGTAAAGGTGTCGGATAGTCCTAAATTGTGGTGGAAGTATGCAGGACAGGTTATTTTGGAACAAGTTCGTCACAAGCGTTATACTCGTTCTTGGGACTACTTGTTGGGTAGAAGAACCGATAGAAAGGCATACATTTCACTCTTTAAACGTTCATTGCCCAATGTTAAATGGTTGACCCCACTCTCCAAACAAGAGATTGGCCAATTGCAAGCACTCGAAGATCGTCTCTCATTTGAGGATATCGTATTCTATAGATCGTTGGCCTATGCAGAGATCAAGCAAGAGGCTATCAAGGACAGAGAGAGAAAGGAGTTTTTGGCAGGCAAAAAGAATGAAAGAGGTTTCTTTCAAAATCTCTTTAGCAGCAAGCAGGTCAAGATGGACGACGAAAAGGCTGCTCCCATCGTCAACCTCACCACCAATGAGCGTGAAGAGCTCTATCGTACTATCGAGTACTCTGACGTGGTGCAGTCGGTGCAAGAACCGCCCGATTGGGTCAAAGTGGCTGCCAACCTCGAAGTGCGATCCGTTTCGTTGCAACTGGTCGAGCCATCGTCACTCGGTCTCGAACACTCGTTTATTGACGCCGTCTATAGTTCGTTGAGCGTCAAGTTTGAGCAACGTCCAGAAGGTGTCAAAGTCATAGCAGGTATCAAGCAGTTTGAAGTGTACGATCAGTCGACCAAGGGTACACTATACCCCAAGATCGTGTCGTCGTCCTATACTTCAGGCAATGCCACGTTCTGTAGTGCGATTGTTGACACTGCGCCACCTGAAAAGGGTATCGATCTGTTTGTTGAACTCAACATGAATCCTCTTCAAGTCGTTTTAACCAAACCACTGCTCTTGCGTGTCGCTTCCTTTTTCTCGACTCAAAACACATCCGAGCAACTCGATCTTACCAACATCTCGAATCGTGCCGGTGACATGCTCGTCAACTGGACCGAACGTACAAAATCACAGTTGCAAGAAGCAATCGATTCACACAAGACATTGGCGCTGTCAGTCAATATCCAAGCACCCGTCATCATTGTCCCAGAGAATGTCCTCTCCAAGACATCCTGCGCGTTGGTACTGGATCTTGGTAACTTTAAGATCCGATCCGACATGAACCAATCGATAAAGGGTATGGTTGTCGGCAACAGTCTCAGCGAAAATGATTTCTATGACAAGTTTAATCTTTCACTCGAATCGATTCAACTGCTTCTCACCAATGACATTTCGTCGTGGAACGATAAACATGCACAACAAGAGAACAAAACACATCTCATCAATCAATTTGATGTTCATCTCAAACTATACTCTTGCATTCAACAAGACAACCTTTCACTCACCAACATCAAGATATTTGGTGATCTTCCCAAACTCAGTCTTCACCTTTCCGAAAGAAAATGTAAACAATTATTGGCTCTTGTTCATAGTTTAACAGCTGATATCCCTACCTCCCCTACTATTCAATCTGTTCAACAACAACATGGTCCAGAAACTACTCATTTCAAATCAACCAATGTTCCAAAACCTTTATTAGATTTATATACGTAAGTAAAAAAAAATAGAAAAAAGAAAACGAAAAAGAAAAAGAAAAAAATATATTTACTTACTTATTTTATTTATTTAATTATTTTTTAGTAATTCAAAAGATAATAATCAAAATCAATCAATGGAATTATTAATTAATCATAAGAAATTAAATATTGATTTTAAGGTTCAATCTATTGCAGTGACGATTTCAAGAGACAATGCAGATTTGATTAGATTGTCGGTTGATGGATTGGGAGTACAATTTTCACAGAGAACTTTTGATATGATTGGTTCGGTAGAGTTGAATTCATTGGATATTGATGATTTGTTTACTCATAGCAATCTCAAGAAACTTGCCACTTCAAATCCAATTCGCGATTTACAAGGAAAGACAGAATCGAGTTCATTGGTTTCTATCAACTTTAAACAATTCCAACCCAATTCACCAGAGTACAAAAAGGTTGATATGACATTGGATGTTAAATTTGAATCATTCTACTTGGTTTGTAATCCGCCAACCATTCATCAATTGTTGGTACTCGTCAATTCATTTGCCGATCAACCAGCCGTCACCATCAAAAAGCATACTGTACAAACAGTCGAGAATAGAAAGAGAGTGGTTCGAACATTACGAGCTGGTAGTGCATCGCCATCACCCATCAACACGTCGCCACCATTAGAGGGACAGACAGTGATTGGACCAAACGGACACAAGACTATCATCAAAAAGGTGATTATCAAGAAAAAGAAGCGTGTACCATCAGACAATGTATCCATCTTGGTCACTGCTACCATCAACAGTTTGGGTTTGGTTCTCAACCAGGAAAACAACAAAAAGGTTGGTATCTTTTCAATCAACCAAATTAAAAACCAAGTTGTCATGTACAAGGACTCTAGAATGTCAGTCAATGGATCATTGGGATCGATTGTATTGGAGGATCTCACCGACAAGCGTGGTGACTATTACCATCAGGTTATCACACCCCATTCCAAGGATTCCAACATGTTGACCTTTTCCTTTAACACCCATCCACATATTCTCAGCAACTATCCAGGTTATGACAGTTCGGTCAATGCCAATATCAAGTCGATTGTCGTCAATGCACAGATTGCATTCTTGTTGCAGGTTCAAAACTATTTCCTCGGAGGTATGTTGGATCCTATCCTCAACCGTCCTATTGCAGTCATTCCTCAGGCCGATCCAACCAAACTGGCTACCGTCCAACTGCCACCAGTCTCTCGTACCAAGATCGACGTTGTCATGGAGACACCCATGTTTAACGTGCCATGCTCAATCGACTCGCACGACAAGCTTCGTCTTGAACTCGGCAAGATCATCGTCTCTAATAGCTTTGGCGAGTTTGAACATAATGGTGCTCGTCTGCCAACCGATTTGATGAAGATCCGTATGGAAAACACCTGCATTGTCATTGAAAAGGAGGCAACCACCTCTCATTTCCTCAAGCAACTCGATATCGATATCAACCTCACTCGCTTCCTTGTGCCCAACCACAACATTGACTTGGAGGATCTCTTGATTGATATCACCATCTCTCATCTCTCGTTTTACTTGGATCAGCAACAATACCGCTTCTTCCTCGAGTTGGCCGACAATGCCACCAAGGAAATGGCCGAGCTTACAGCCAACAATGCCATCACCAAGCCACCTCCCCCATCGGCCGACATCCCCTACTTTTCCGAGCAAGAAGTCATCCAAGACATGGGCAAGATATTGATGGTGCTCAAAGTACATCTACCATTGTTTAGTTTCAACATTACAGGTGCCAATGATAACTTTGCAGCTTTTGATATGCGTGGACTACACTTTGACCTCATTAGCACTGAGCGCAAGAAATCAAAGATTCAAATCATCCTCGAAGCGATCGTCTTGACCGATGCACGTAAAAACAGTGACAATATATTCAAGAATCTACTCGAGAGTCAACCCGACAAAAAGAATCCACTCCAACCATTCCTCAATGTTGGGTACATTCGTGACAATGTTTTAGGTGACCAATACATTAACATCAATGTTAATAATGTTTGTCTCTTTTTGTCTCCCACTCCTCTATTGATTATTACAGACTTTTTCCTCAAACCTTTACAAACTCAGTCTGTTCCAACATCGGCTGTACCGCCTCCAACAACTCTTAACAAGTCATCTGGATCACCAAAGTTCTTGGCACAAACAAGAGCATACGATCCATTCAAGATTCGTACTCCATCCATTACACTTGTCTGCTCGGCTTCATCCGAGGTGACGTTGGTCGAGAATGAGACACAACCAAACACACGATGCATTCTTGGAAAAGCATTGCTCCACGTCTATTTCAAACGTGATCCACGTGGTATTGAAAGAGCAACAGTGTCGGTTAGAAAGGTAAAGGTCAACATCTACCGTCCCACCATCCAATCGGACGAATTCAAACAATCTCAAGGATCACGTCCCATCCAAATTCTAAAGCCAATCGACCATATCAAGATCTCATACATTAAAGAGAATGAAACCACCGACTATTGGAAACAATTGGTTACTCTTGATTGTAGTACCATCAAGTTGTTCTTTTCATACGACGATGTAAACACGATTGTAAAGATTGTCAATAATCTTAATTTCAAACAACATCTTGCTGCATCCAATCAACACTTGTCTCCAACCAACAACACCAATAGAGAACTCAGTCTTGGAAGTAGTACTGGTAGTACATCGAGTAGTTTCTCTTCAACCACCACTGGTACCACCAGTCAATTAAACAAGAGTGTTGATCCTGAAGACCTTGATCCACCCACCAATAGTATGATGGATGATGACCAACTCTTTATCATCAATGAAAAGATGTCATTAAAGTGTCCATCGATTAGTGTATTGTTGATCAATGAATCGATGGATTTGAATCTACCAGTTGCCGAACTCTACTTGGCCGAGATTGAAGCCAGTGCCACCAACTGGTCAACCGACATTGAACTCAAGAGTTCAATGACATTCAAGGCTGACTACTTTAACGAGGCCAATATGAAGTTTGAACCATTTGTAGAAGACTGGACATACAACTTTGACGTTAAAAAGGCCAATGGTATTATGAAGGCCAAGTTTATGGCAACCAAGGAAATATTAAATATCAATGTATCACATGCCCTCCTTCAAACTCTAAACTCTACATTGTTATTGGTCAAACAAAAGGATCGTGAAAGTAGTTCACCACTTTCAAGTCGTTTTAATCAAGCTAATCCAATTTTATCAAAATACCTTGCTGAAAAGGAACCAACTAGTACTTCTACAACCAATACCAATAATGCTTCATCGATTACAACATCGACAAGTTCATTGACAAATTCACTAACAAAGTCAAAATTCCATTCTCATTGGATTTCAAATCAAACTGGTGTCAGTATAGAGTACCGTATTCAACACAAGAATCTTATCATTCAAAAGGATTCAGAGGATCCAATGAATGTCGTCAAAGAGATCAATGTAGAGGAACATGAGCACGTTGTCAAGATTGACAATCAAGAAATGTCAGCGGTCAATATGAAAAAGGAAAAGGGATCAAGAGACTCTGGTATGGGTGCACATGAAACCGTTGATCTTTTGATCATGGGTGGTACCATTCCAAAGGTGTCATTGGACGCGCTAGGTCATAGAATTTATAACTTTACAACAAGTCAAAACATTTCAATCGATGTCGATGTTGAAGTTAAACTAAAGAGTGATGGTAGCAAGATCATTTACATTCGTTCATTGATTCAATTTGCTAATAATACAACATGTCCCATCGAGATCAAGACCTACGAGGACAGAAAAGACATTCAACGGTTGGAACCTGGAGCTTCGTTCTCTTTGCCACTCGAACATGTCAAAGACTATAAGAAATTGTGGTTTAGAGTGGCCGACACTCCTCAATGGTCAGATGTCGTTGTACCCGATGAAATCGTGGCACAAGGAATAAAGGAACGTGAAAAGCAAGAGTCAAAGAGAGATGCAGCTGGAAGAGTCAACAACACTCCATTCAGTCGTGTATTCAAGGCTGTTGGTATGGACAAGTCGTTTACTTATTTTGCTCTGTCGGTTCAAAACACTGAGTACCGTACCACAACATACACATCTGCTCGAACCCAATCAATTGGATTCAACGCACCTGTACGTATCGAGAATCTTCTCCCAACCAGCTTCCAAATCACAGTCAATGGACACAAGTCGGTGCTAGAGTGTGGTCGCAAGTTGGATGTACTCAACTATGCACCGGGTAGCGGTCACTTGGAAGCGTATATTTCCGGTATTCCAGGACTCTCTGAAACCAAGATCAATCTCATGTCGGGTGATGCATCGTCACCAACTATTGCCAAGAGTATCAAGTTTAGTGGTTCCAAGGAGCAGAGAGACATGGTACTCAATATTGAAAGAACCGAGGAGATTAAAGGTATCCGCGTACTCTCAATCTATTGTCAATACTGGCTGGTCAACAACACTCTCTTGCCATTGGTTATCCGTGGTAGCGATAATGACGAGACACAGATGGTGTCCAACGACCAAAACCATCACATTCCACCTGTACTCTACGCCCAAAACAATCTGCGACTCAAGGTCAATGAAAAGGACACCAAGTTTACATCGTCAACACCCATCTGTACAGTGGGTAATGTCAGCACGCTCCAATTGCAAGGTGCCGACAAGTTGTATGAGATATCGTGTGCTGTCGACTTTTGTAGCAATACACGATTCGGTTTGAGCAAGGTTGTCAACTTTGCACCACGTTATGTCATTCAGAATCGTTTGAACTCGACAGTGTCGATTGGTCAGTACATTCATAGCAACTCGAATGGAAAGGGTTCCACCCCAGAGATCCGCGAGATTTTGCATTTGAAGCCAAACGACTATGCTCCATTCCATTGGGCCGTCAACACTGAAAACAAGGCCATCAGCATCAAGGTTGACGGTCAAGATTACTGGTGGTCCGGTGCCTTTGAAATCGATACTAGTGGCGACTTTGTCGTACGTATCAGACCCAGTGCACCAGAGAAACCAAGTATATTGGCACATGTCACTATCAAGGAGGATAGAGGAACGTTGTACATTATCATCCCACGTTGCAATCCTGATCATCCCCCCTACCTCATCAAGAATGACACACCGTACAAGATCTCGTTTACACAAAAGAGTGCACGTGCTGAGAAGTTGTTTGACCATCTCGAGTCGGATCAAAGCGAAGCGTTTGGATGGGACGAGCCAAATGGCGACTACCGTCTACACGTCTATCTCGAGGGCAAGGAAATGTCAAAGACCATCAACTTGAAAAAGATTACTGGATACAAGTTTGAAGGATCGACTCCTCTTACAGTCTATTGCACCATCACGATTGAAAAGTCTAGTCGTTACATTTTGTTTAGTACACATTCCAAGATGTTTAAAAACATCACCAACTGGAAGACCAACAAAAAGAATCAGCACAGCAGTAGTTCACAACCATCGGAGAGCAAGTCACCCGAAGTACAATTCTTTGTACGTCTCTCTGGTATGGGTATATCAATCATTGACTCTACTCCAATGGAATTGGCCTACGTCTCGGTAAAGGATGTATTCTTGCAAGTACAACAAAGTGAGTATGAAAATTCACTTGAATTAAAGCTTGGTGATGTTCAAATTGACAATCAATCGGTCAAGACTCAATTCCCAGTTTTGATGCATTCAGTAATCAAACCAAACTCAAACAAGGACTTTGTTCACATCTCGCTTGTAAAGTCAACATTTGAAAATATCGATCACTTTAGATACTTTTCAACACTGATTCAAGAGTTGACAATCGAAATTGAAGATCACTGGCTCCGTCTCATGTTAGAGTTTGCACAGTCCTTACCAGACATTGGTGCTACCATGTCGGGTATCACTCCTCACTCTGACGAAAACATGACACCTACCGAACTCTCCGACTCTCTCATCCCAGACTTTAACATTACTCCACCACCAATGGACGGATCGATTCTAAAGATGGTCTACTTTGCATTGTTGGTACTCAATCCGTTCAAGGCCAACATCACCCTTGTACTGCAACCAGACGGTCTCTTTAGAACCAATCACAAGGTCTTGTCGGCTATTGAAGGTCTCGGTTTCACATTGACCAAACTCGATCGTGCACCAATCACCTTGCAAGGTTTGATCATGGAGCATCCATTCTCATCGTGGGCTACTATGATTGACAAGCTCAAAAAGACGTACACTTCGCAAGCACTCTTCCAATTTTACAATATCCTCGGTTCGATCGATATCATTGGTAATCCAGTCGGTCTCTTTAGAAACTTTGGTACTGGTGTCAAAGACTTTTTCGTCGAACCTGCCAACGGTATTATCAAGTCGCCAGCTGATTTTGGTAAGGGTCTCGCCAAGGGAACATCGTCGCTCGTCAAAAACTCGGTCTATGGTACGTTCAACACCATCTCCAAGATTACGGGTACAATCGGCTCGGGTGTAGCCAATCTATCGTTTGACGATGACTATTTGCACGATCGAAAGGTGCATCAGTCACGTAAACCAAAACACATTGGTGAAGGTCTTGCTATGGGTGGTATTGGACTTGGCAGAGGTCTCTTTGAAGGTATCACTGGTATCGTCACCAAGCCAGTTGAAGGTGCTAAAAAGGGTGGATTCGCTGGATTTGCCAAGGGTTTGGCTCAAGGTGTCGTCGGTGTTGCTATCAAGCCAACAGCCGCCGTCATTGACGCCACCACAAAGGCAACTGAAGGTATTAGAAACACCACCAATCTACAAGAGGACAAGGAACGTGTACGTCCTCCACGAAGCTTTGGTGTTGACAATGTACTCCGTCCATTTGAAGAACGTGAAAGTGAAGGTTGGTACCTCCTCAAGATTGTCCACAAGGGCAAGCACTCACAAGACAACTATATTTGGCATTATGCAGTCAACTCTAATTTCACCTGTCTACTCTCTGATCAACGTCTCATCTACTCGAGAAACAAAAAGAATCTCCTTCACAGTTCGTTCATGTGGCAAATTCCACACAGCTGCATCAAGAATGTCAAGTTTGTCCCAGGTAATGGATTGATGCTCAGTTTGGATCCTCCACAAGACCTCGGACTCTTGGATAAATCAGTCAAAACCATCACCGTCCCCTTTGACGACGATAATATTTGTATGGCCTTTAATATGAAACTTGATCATACTCTTAGATTATACAATGAAAAACTTGGTCATCATTATAAAAAAATCTAAAAATAATAATTAAATCTAAAATCTAAATAAATAAATAATTATATATATATATTAAAAATAATAATAATAATAATAATAATAATAATATTGTTATTGTTATAGTTTAGTTTTATTTATTTATTTGTTTGTTTATTTAAATAAAGTTTAAAAATTAATTTGTTTTTGACTTTGTTGTTTGTCTTCTTTTGTGAATAGCAAAATAATAAAAAGAAGATAATGTGAAAAGGGTAGTACCAATGATCCATGGATACTTTACAAATGGAGGAGTTGGAATTTGCCAAAACTCGGCACCACCATATTTGATGCAAAGAAGTACCTCGGCAATGAGTGAGGCAACACAAATCCAAGCCATAGTACCGAGCTTCTTGACTGAACGATCGGCAGCAAATTGATAGTACTCTCTAATACCCGGAGTACCAATAAAACACCATAAAAAGAGTCTCCAAATATTAATTGGATGTGGTGGTGGAATCCATAATAATGTCTTTAAAAAGAATGCATTTAATTCAATTACTGAAATCTAAAAAGAAAATAAATAAAAATAAAAAGTTAATAAATTATTATTATTGAATTATTAATTTGATTTACTGACCATTATAACTAAAACAACAACTGAAAGGAATCTCTTCCAAGATGATAAAATATCCCATTGATATTCATCATAATAGATTGGAGTAAATTGTTTAAGAGCTCTGAAAACGATTGATCTCTTTTCGGCCTTCTTTTCGGCACCTGTCCAATTATATTCTTTCATCTTTAGGTATTTAATGGTAAGTACTCCCATTAATATACCAAGAGCATTACAAACTAAAATATCTAATATTACCTAAAAAGTATAAAAGATTAGTATTTGAATAAATTGTAACTTAATTCTCATTTGTACATACATGATCCCACCAACATTCATGGAAGTTTGGTAAAAGATGAGCCAATGAAAGTTCGAGAACTTCAAATGTAAGAGAAAGTACCCAACACAAGATAGAGTCACGTAGCAAAAGAGTCTTGCCCCACCATCCGAAAAAGTGAGCCCAAATAAACTCATCGTTGATGGTGTTCATGAGATTTCTAAAGTTTGATGTTGGATCCTCTGGTGTATAGAGTTGACAATCATCGGCATAAGAACGTTCTGGTAATGGTAATCCTAATTTTGGATCAATATGTTTCATAATTAAACGTGCATCATCTGCTGACTAAAAAAAATAAAATAAAAAGGAATATTATTAATTATTAAAATTATTAATTATTAATTATTATTTTGTTTTGTTTTTTTTGTACATACTTGGAATAATAAGAATACCAAGGCACAAAGATAAATAACACCCATACCCATGATGACACGCCAAAAAGCAGGATGTGGACGGACAAAGAGACCATCTCTCATTTGAACCATTGAAAATAATAAAAAGGTTGCGCATACTCCCAAGAGACCAGACTTGACACTGCCTCTTGTAGATTGTTCGTTTGTGAATGCAAAGTAGATGACAAAGATAATGGCAATTCCCAATACCAATAGAGTATGAGGTTTGTAGAAAAAGGTAAGAGCCTCATCGGTTTCGTCATAGTCTTCATTTTGTTCCTTGTTCTTCTTGTTGCTAGTCTTTCTATTTGAAGAAGAAGAAGAAGAAGAAGCCTTTTTAACAATATTACTTGTTGGGTTGTATTCCGATTGATCGGCACCTCCTCCAACAACACAACCACTGTCTTCTCGTAAAGGTTCTTCTTTTGTTGTTTGTTTTTTTGTCATGATGATGATGATAGATATCTATCTCCTATATATATATATATATATATAATATATGCTCTAAATAATATTTGTTAAATCTCTATAATTATTATCAACCTCTTCTTTATAAATAATAATAATACTGACTTATATTTATAGAAAACCGAATAACAATAAGGAATGCATACCCCCACTCTCTTTTTAACTCCTAAAACCGACCATTAGTTTTTTTTTTAATTAAATTTTGATTTTTCCCTTCTAGGGAGGTGCTTTTATCCCTACGCACACAATACGCATACACTGGTTGTATGATTACTTCACTTACATTATAATTATTACTGCCACACAATAATTATTATTAAAGTTATAGTTAGTTAGTTAGTTGGTCGCAGCTGTAGCTATTGTGATGGATAATCTTAAAGTAGTACACTTTAACTCTCTCTCTCTCTCTCTCTCTCTCTGTGTGTGTCACCATCCATTTTGGTTCTACCACACCATCACCCATTTTCTCCCATTTGCACCACTCATATAAATAATATATTATTCATATTTGTGTGATCGATGGTTTGTATGTTTCTCTCTTAACAAACCAAATATTTAAGAAAGAAGAATAACTGCAAAGTGAGGAGGTGCTTGTTGTGATCAAAGGGAAATGAATCAAATGGTGATGTTGCAATGATGGTGTGACAAACCCCGCAATTGAGGGGGAGATGGGATCCCCAATCGAATCGGTTTCTCCTTCATCCTTTTTTCTCTTTTTTTTAATGAGATCAACCGTCAATATTAAGAGTTGTACAAAAAAGAGAGAGATTAGAATGCGATTCTACTGCTCTACGGGATTCCCTTTAATTAAACGACATGTCTTTGAACATTACTTTTACTCTCTCTACTTTAAACACAAATAATATTATATCAAGTTCAAGTTCCCGAAATTTCATTGTTGCCCAAAGAAGAAAACAGAGAGGGTTGTGTTCCAGAACAACGGAAAAAAAATTTTCTCCTTTTTTTTTTTTATGAACACCAGAGTCAAGAAGAAATAATTAATTAATTGCACCCCCTCTTCTATTCCAAGACTAGTAATCATCTAATCGGAACTTGTTGTTCTGAATATTAAAAGAGAGAGCAATCAATATCATTTCATCATCATCACCGTCACATTATTTCATCATCATCAACGACAACAACAACCAGAACTCAAAGGAAACAAGAGCTAGAAGGTCATAGGAACCATAACCAAACTCAGCATAGCAAATTAAATTTTGTTAGTGTCGTTTTTTTTTTTTTCATAAAAAACACAGTAATATATATTATACAATTACTTCTCTTGTTTGTTTTATCAGAAGGAAACTAAGACTAGAAGACTAGAAGACTCTGTAGAAAATAGATCGTCAACCTCTATCACCATTATTATCATCATCATACCTCTTTATTTATAAATCAACCATTTTCAACAACACGATTAAAATAGTACCATTATCGTCTTCATCATACAATTTAAAGACAATAAGAGAAATAAATATCGAGATTGATTATAAAGCAGCAGCAGCAACAGCAGTAGTAGTACCAAACAAGATAAAGATACTGTATTCAAAGATAGGAAAGAAACGTTCACCATCATAAACAACAACAACAACAACAACATATCTAGAAAGAAAAAGAGAAATAATAATAATTATAATTATAATATAATATCAAAAGTAGAGAATGGATGATATCAGTGTATTTGATATTAAGCCATCTAATTTAAGAGATCACATTAACAAGTTTGTCTATAACCATGGTGTAGAAAAGGAATTCAGTGTATGTAGAAATTATAATTATCGTTGGTCAATCGATTCAACAACCAAAATTAAGATCTACCTATTAAAAATATAAATATTCTTTATATTCTTCTTCTTCTTCTTCTTCTTCATCATTTATTACTTTAATTTAGTATATTGAAAAGAAAACGGAAAAGGACATATTACATGGTGATTTCAAGACAGCTTTAAAAGATGAGAATAAATTAAAGAATCGATATAGTAATGTTTTACCTCGTAAGTCTTTCAAGTCACCCAAATAATAGTTTAGTTTACTAAATATTTGATATACCTACTTGTTGCATTGATTAACCTCTATTATTTAATTTTCTTTTTTTTAATTCTAGCTGAACAATATAGAGTACCATTAGTATTAGAACCAGATGATCATGATTCAGATTATATAAATGCCAGCTATATAAATGATCCAGCTGGCAAACAAAGATATATTTGTACGCAGGGACCACTCGAGAATACGTTTAATGATTTTTGGAGAATGGTTTGGGAGTGCAAGAGCAACGTCATAGTCATGTTGACCAGAGAAGAGGAGAATTCGAAAAAGAAATGCGACAGATACTGGGTCGACCAAGATTCACATGACTATGGCCACATTCGATTAATTTATGAGACACACATTGCATTGCAGGATATGATTCAAAGAATTTTCACCCTTGTAAATCTAAAGACAAACGAAAAAAGAAAATTGGTCCACTTTCAATACATTTCATGGCCAGATCACGGTACTCCAGTCTCTATCAAAGGTTTTTTAAATTTAATACAAGCCGTTGAAAAAGAAGATAAAACTGGTCCAATCATTGTTCATTGTTCGTATGTATATCAAGTGTAGCAAAAAGAAGAAAGGTTTCTCTAAAATCATCATCATTAACACCAAAATTGTCAATATTACTACTACTATTTAGAGCTGGAATTGGAAGATCAGGAACTTTTTGTGTTATTCATTCTGTTGTTACCAATTATAAAAATGAATTGAAAAATGAGCAGTACACCCTTAATATCCCAAAAATAATTACAAACTTTAGAACTCAGAGACCTGGAATGGTTCAAACCAAAGAACAGTACAGATTTTGTTACTCTGCCATTGCTGAGGGTACCAGTATGGAACAATTAAGAAAGGGTAGAAAGGAAAGATCACTTTCATATTCAATAAATTAATAATAATAATAATAATAATAGTCAGTAGTCAGTAGTAGAGGTAAAAGTGGATAAAGTAATAATAATAATGATGGAATAACATGTTATATAATGGAAATGCAAACACAAACCTAGGACTGCTGGTATTTTTTTAACTAAACGCAATATTTAAATATTACCAACCTTCCATCATCATCTTCTTCTTCCTCTTCTTCTTGTTTACACAATTGGGAAATTTATCAAGATCATTGGACCCAGAATTAATTAATTCTCCATTGGAAATATTTAGATTATTCACAAATTCTCCATCCTTTTTTTTTCTTTTTTTTAAAATTGGATGAACAGAATAATGTTATTATTATTATGATTTATTGAACCTCCATTTCCAAATTTACATTTTGAACAATATTGCACTGGTTCAAACTACGATGTTACATCTTTCTCCCTACCCTTTTTACAATTGTAATACTTTTTTTTTAATTCTCACAATTCGCATTTTGTGTTTGAAGGAAGGAAGGAATAATAAAAAAATAATTGTTGGAGGGGGGAGATGTATGGGGTTGACAATTCATCTTTCCCACACACTGTTTTGATACTATTGTTCAGATAATTATCAATGAAAAGGAGGAAATGCGACAATTTTTTAATTTAGACAGGTTTAAACATCTTGATCTGGAACTCTGGTCAAGCCAACATCTGTTTTGTTTCCTTTACAGTACATCCCAATATCTGAGAGTAAAAGAATTCTCAAACTAGTACAACTATATAGAAAATCATCACCCAACATATACTCTGTCCCCAAAAACATTGTCACTCAAAATAGAATAAGAATAAGAATTATTCTTTTTTAAAAATTTAAATTATTATTACTTTCAAAAAAAAACAAATTTAAAACCTTTATTATTTAAACATTACATTCCAATTTCATTTCATTCCAATTATTATTATATACTTTTAAAAATGGATTTACTATTGGAAATCCCTCAATATAGAAATAATCATCAAATGGAAGATATATTTTTAAAAAAGAATGGTGATGAACAAGTTACACCATGTATGGAATTTGACAGTTCCCTTAAATTAAATTCACCCAATTTCCTTTCATCTTCACCATCTCACATGCTGGCCAACGGTTGTGAGTTGCCCCATATTAATTCCTTGTCACATGAACTTTCATCTCATTCAACATCCGATAATCAACATCATCATTCACATTCACACAATCCAAATGTTTCCATTAATGGATCATTATTATCTATCCTGATTCATGGAAACAAAGGTTCGCATTCAGCCACACCAGATTTAACTCATGTTTCTCCAGAACCACCAATGATGGAAAACAACAATATTGTTAAATCAAATACCAATTCACCATCCAATCAAAATTGTAAAAAATCTCCAAGTGATCAACAACAACCCCCACAACCTCAACCTCAAAAGATTAATAAAAAAATTAAAGTATGTATTAAAAAAAAAAAAAAGAAAAGAAAAAATATATAGATATTAATTAATTTTACTTTTAGAAATTAAAAAGAGAGATTAAAATGAAACAAAAACTATTAGTAAAAGTACAAAAGAAAAAGGAATTGAATAATTCAAGTGAAGGAATTCCACCTCCACCTCAATCACAAGCATTCCAACAACAAGAAATCCAAAGAAATTCATTATCATATTCTGCACCATCATTTTATTATTCATCACCAAACCTTGTAAATCCAATGTTTATTGAACAATCTCCATCACCAGGTGCCAACGGCAATAAGATGACTGCCCATTTATCACACTTGTCGATCCAGTCACCACATGTTGGCTCACCATTATTACCAGATTGTACAAGAATACAAAATAATAGTACCGTCAATAGTCCTCTTAACACTAGCAACTGTAACGCTGTCAATAACAATAACACCAATAATAATAGTAACACTACACCACCTGTAAAGAAGGGATTGCTACCAAATCCATATGTTCTTCCACAACAACCATCAATGTACTACAACCCAAATCAATTTTGGAATGGACAAGGAGGTAGACCTCCAGCAGCTGCCGGACACTTTCCAGCAAGTGTAAGATCACATCCATACATGTACTATGGTAGCACAGGTGGAGGTTCCTATGTTGGTGCTTCACCACCATCATCACAATTTTATCATAAATAAAATAAAGAAATTGTAATTTATAAATATTATATATTCCATCTTTTATATTCCATATTTTTTTCTTTCTTTTGTACAGGCGCGGTGAATGGGAAATAGTTGTTCTATTCTATTCTTGTCGTTGACTTAAACAATAATCATTTTGTACCAATTCAATTGAATTTGTTTTTCCCTCCAAACTCTTTTCAATATTTAAATATTTTGATTGATTCAAATTGTTTAAAGTTAAACATAATACATTATCGGCATTCTAGAAAAATAAATAAATAAATGAATTAGTAAATAATAAATATTATTTTGATATTTCTAGATTTATGTATGATACAATACAGATGTAAAAGGGATATCGGATAAAGTTAAATTTGAAGTTGAAGATGTTGTTGGTTTGACAGTAAGAGTGATATAAATATTTTTGGATGATGCAAATAATCGAAGTTTTTGGACAATATCATTTTGTAGATTATCACCACCTAGTCCTAGTGCTTTGTATCCTAGTAGATCTTGTAAGTTTTCCAAAACAACATGTTTGACATTGTTTACATCGACTGCATATGTCATTGCTTCCAATAGTTGTTCCCAAGTGGTTGGTGGTTTATAATCCAAAAAGAATAATGGTAATTGATTAAATTCAGTTGTTGATTTTTGTTGTTGTTGAAGTTGATTAAATTGAGATGACAAGATATTGACTATTCTTTTGTTTGAAAGTTCAAAACTTGCCCACAATGTTGAAACACCTTGCATTAAATAATCCAATGACAATTGACAAGAAAGAGTTGTTTTACCAATTCCACTGCTACCAGATATAATAGTTAATCTTCCTCTTTTCTTTAAACCCAAAGATTCATCCAACTTTGGTAAAAATGTATTTTTAAATCCATCACTATCAGCATTATTATTTTGCTCTACTTCTACTTGAGCTGTAAAATCTGCCAAAGTTGTAATATGTTGATGTGGGATTGAAGTGGATGATTCCAAGATTGCATTTAAATCGGCGCCCATCAATAGAGCATCATTTGCATCTTTGGGACCATCAATTTTGCCTTGTCTAGTGTGAACTATTTTTGTTTTACTAATACCCAAGATACTTGCAAACTTTTTAGCACCTTCTTGTCCCGGTACATCATCGTCCATCCATAGATAGATGGTTTCAAATCGATCGAGTTGTGGAACAAGTGCTGGTGGGAGAGACGCACATCCATTTGGAAGTGAGATGGTTGGTCGTTTGGTAGCTTGGTATACTGCCATTGCATCATACTCTCCCTCGGTGATGATAATCTCTTTGGCGTCGGCTGGAATCGTGTGCCAACCAAAGAAACCAAACTTTCCACCCTTGGGTTCAATACGTTGGTGTACTTTGGAGCGAGCAGATCTCAACTTGCATCTAAACGTTTGAATACTGCCTTTGCTATCGACAGATGTCCATGGGAATGTAATACACTTATGTTCTTCCCATTTATCATCAACAAAGAATGCTTGATTGGTTACACCTACTTGATAGTATTTCAATACATCCAAATCTAATCCTCTTTCTCCTTGTTCTTTACCTGTTAATTTTGTTCTAACATCCAAATAAAATAAATATAAATAAATATTTAAATATATATTTGTTTAAACAATAACTTATTAACTACATACAATACATCTTGATGATTTGATAATTCTGTAGCATAGGATGCCATTTTTTTCATTGTTGCATAGTTGATGGCATTTTCACTTGGTTGTGTTGGAATAGGGTCACCAATATTCAATCTAAAATCATACCATGATCCCTTGTTTGCACATCGATGACAGAAATAGGTACATGCTTCTCTTGATAGATACAACTTCCACATATTATCAGTCTTTCCCTTGGTGTCTGGACAGAATGGACATTCCTTTACAACAATTTCACCACCACTAACTCGATGTTCAATATTCTTTTGTTCAAAATAATTTAAAACATCTTCTTCTGTTGTTTGTTTCTTTGTTTGATTATTACTATTAGATTGTTGTTGTTGATTATTGAAATAAGGATTCACCCATCCCATCTTGATTGGTTTTGTTTCATTTTCAATGTATTATTATTATTATTATTATTATTATTGTTGTTGTTGGAAGTTGTAGTTGTTGTTATTGGTTTAGATGTAATGACTGTTGGCTTTGTTATTGGAGTAGTCGTAGTAGATGATGAAGAAGGGGTACTTGGTTTTGTTGATGAAGTAGTATTTGATGCACGAGTTGGTATCTTTACTTTAAATGATGATGGAATGTTGGGAGTAGTAGTAGTAGCAGTAGTAGTAGTGCTATGTGATTTTTGATGTTGATGTTGATGATTCTTTGTATTTGCATTTGAACAATAGTAGTTTAATGCTCCTCCAATGGATGGTGAAGATGTGGTGGCAGCAAGAAACGATGATGATCTACTCGTATATTGTTGTCGTAGTTGTTGTATTCTAAAACACCATTGGACTGATGCTTTTGGTATTCTATTCATTTCTTTTATCTAGAATGAGTAGAAGTACAAGTAAAGTACTAGTTGGGATGATGATGATGATTAAAGGGTTGGGTTTGCAGTATCTTCACCTATGTTTCTTGATTTTTTTTTTCTTCACATTAATTATGCAAAAAGTTTAAGTAGTTGGAGGATCGCAAATCGTCAGTCGTTCATTCATTAACACACAACAGATAGATAGATAGATAGATAGTACAGATAGTAGATTATAAATATATATAAATATAAATAGTTTCAAGAAAGAAAAGAAAGAAAAGTACAAAAACAAACAATATTGTTTATTGGTACTACTACTACTTTTTAACTATATAAATATATAAATATATATAACAAATACGATAAAACTTATATTTATATATATTAAAAGTTATCTAATAATAATAATAATAATAATAATAATAATAATAATAATAATAAAAGATGACAAATAGTGAATCATTGTTTCCTTGTGATCCTAAACAAACTACAGGGATTAGATGGACACAATCGTATGTTAGTATACTCAACAATGGACAACCGTTTGCCGTCAGTAATGTAATCACTGATCGCAAGTTGAATATGCGATGGAAGATATTGATCATTCCCTCGTTGGAAGACACTGTTCAAAAGGACCCAAACGTTCCAGCTAAAAGGCTTTACTACAAAGACAATGACTATGTATCTCTATACCTCATCTCTGTCGACTCTCAACACGATCGTACTGTAAAGTGTGACTTTACATTTGATCTTGAAGGTGCCGATAGTTCAATCCCTACAGCAAAGAGAAGTAAATAGATACATACATAAATACATACATCTTTTGATTAAAACAAACACTAACCATCTATCTACTTTAATTTTTAGTGTCATCATTTGAATTTACAAGTACACAACAATATTGTGGATGGCAAAAGTTTATGCCAATCAAACAATTCCTTCGAGACTATGTAGATCAAACTGGTGAATTCAAGGTGTCGGTATCTGTAGATGTTGTGGTTGAAAAGGGTGTAGCCCAGCCTAACCATATGGTATCGATTATTGATAAACTCAACAAATTGATTACTACAAAGGACCGATCTTTTATTTCACTCATTCAATCGTTCTACCTGATCCCAAGTCTTCGTAGAAGTTACCTCGAACTACCAACTGGAAAAGAGGACAATCAAACCATTGCATTCGAACTACAACGTATCTTTTATCATCTCTCCAAGAATAGAGTTGCCACCGCAAACAGACTCTCGCAAGCCATTAAATATTATACCTATTTCCACAGTATCAATCCTCAAGATTTGGGTAAAATCATTAGTGAAACCTTGAGTCAAGCCATTGAATCATCTCCAGAAGAGGGTAAAACAAAATTAACTTATTATTTCTTGGATGAAAATGAAAATTCAGTAAATGGTAAATATATCAAATTAGAAAACAAATATATATACATACATATATATATTTATATATTCTTTACTCATTTACTTTTTTTGTATTTTTAGTTATTAGGGTTGATTCTAATCCACAATCAAAAGATTTGATTGAATATTTGAAATTATATTCACCTCAAATTAGAGAATTGGATATCTTCCCTCCTATTCTTTTTATTAGTCTTCCCAAAACCAAACAAAAGGAAGGAGCTGGCGCACCTAAATTAAATCAAATAAGAACTGATGAAATATCTTTCCCAGAGGATTTCTATATTGATCAAATTTGTCAAGATTCTGATGATTGTGATGATAGATCAAATGAAAGTCATTATGTTCTTTATAGGTAAGAGAAAAGAAAAGAAAAAAGATAGATAGATAATAATCATTTAAATCTAACCTTTTATTTTTTTTCTTTTTTTTAGTGTTTGGGTTCATGAACATTCATTTGATAATACCAAGGGAAATTATTATACCTATACAAGACCATTAAATCAACCACATTGGATTAAAATGCAACATGATGGTGTTGAAGAGGTTACATTCAATAGTCTTTTATTAACATCTGCTGGACCATCTGATAACAGATTACCATTTAAATTAAATTCTCAAACTGAATTAAGAAATGATGTTTCTTATGCTCGTAAGTTGGATCTAATAGAAAGAAACAAATAATATAATATTTGGTTAAATTTATTTATTTATTTATTTATTTATTTTCAATCTCTACACTTAGATATGCTGATTTATATTTTGGAATCTGAAATCCCAAGTTTATTTAATGATGAAGATGATAAATTCCAACTTACTACAGATACATCAGCGTAAGTACAGAAACTATCCTATTCTGACTAAAAAAGACAGCTGTCTAATTTTCTTTTATCTTTTTTAGATTCCAACACATGTTTGATGATGAACCAACAGATCCAAATGATATTATGGATGCAAATGTTCCACCACTTGTTGATGATGATAGTAATGAAGAAAACGATGACGATGGGAACAAAAAAAGAAAGAAAAAGCCAGGTACTACTAATAACAACAAATCGGGAGGAAAAACAGTCGTTATCGATGAAGATAGATCACTTGAAAATCTCTACACTAATATGGCACACAAGGTAAATGAAGCTTTTAAAAAAGATCAAAAGACAAAGGAAAAGGAACAAAAAGACGTAAAGAATTCTTCTTCAACTCCTCCTTTATCTTCTTCAAAACCAGCTGCCTCAACCAATAATAATAACAATAACACTAACAACAACAAAACTACTACACCAACTACAACTTCACCAACAACCTCAACACCAAGAACAACAACACCAGAAACTAATAACAATAACAATAACAATCACAATAATAATAATAACAACAATCAAAATAATCACCATGATAATGTTGAAATTGAAAAGAAAATGGCAACTTTGGAATCAAAGATTGTAAAGTTGCAAGAAAAATACAATCAACAAATGGAAGAATACAAAAAGATGGTCGAAAATGAAGCCGAAACTAGAAACCTAAACCAAAAGTTAAAAAAGGATACAGAACAACTTCAAAAGACCATTGAAAAGCACCAAAAGGCCATCGACGAACTCAACAAGAGTAATGAGACTGCTAAAAAGTCACTTGAAGAGTCAAAGAAAAAGTCGGAAAACCAAAAAAAGGAGCTAGAGATTATGAGAAAGTCGGCCGAACAACACAACAGAAACATGGAATCGTTGAAAAAGGAAAACGCTACCACCAAGAAACAAAAGGAACAACTTCAAAAAGATTTGGATATGGTCAAAAAGAAGGGTGGTGTAGACGAACTCAAAGAAGAGATGCTCACTCTACGAAAAACACTCGAAGACAAGGAAGCACTCTTGAGGAAGTACACCTGCGACAAGGATCTCTTGGGATCACTCAACCTCACCGAATTGTTTGAAATCAATAATTTGGTCACCACATCGTTGCAAAAGATTGGAGATGTCATGAGTCAACAAACCAACTGTGTTGTTTGCATGGAATTCCATCGTGAAATATTGTTTGTTCCATGTGGACATCATGTAGTTTGCACAAATTGTTCAAACTATCTCAATACTTGTCCAATTTGTAGAAAATTAATTGAACAAAGAATTAAAGTTATTTCAAATTAAATCAAAACAATAGTAAACAAAGTAATCAAGTAAACAACAAACAATCAATATTAAATATATAATATCATCATATTTTTAAATCAAAACAAAAAACAAAACAAATCAAATCAAATATTACTTTTTAAAAAAGATATAAAATATTAAATAAATAAAATTGTCTACTAGTTTATTTACAAATGAATAATGGAGTGTTGTATTGTATGTATGATATATTGATATATTGGTATGATAATATGATTGTGACTTTGGAGATGATGGGTGAATATTTATTCATCATCAGATTCATCATCATCTTCGGAATCGTCACTATCATCAGACATTTCATCATCTTCATCTTTAGATGATTTCTTTGGTGTTTCTTTTTTGGCCTTTGGAGTAGTAGTAGTGGAGGTGGTGGAGGTACCTGTTGGTGCTGCAGTGGTTGAAATGGTAGAAGCTCCAGTTGGCATAGCAAACCAACTATCAATAAGGGCGATATTTTGTTTCACTAAATTCCACTCTTCCAGTGAGAATGAAATACCTTTTTTTTTTTTTTGATCAAATTAAATAAAGAAAGAAAGATATTGATTAGAAACAAGTTGTTGATAGATTAGATGATCTTTCTTTCTTTCTTTCTTTCTTTCTTTCTTTCTTTCTTTCTTTCTTTCTTTCTTTCTTTCTTTCTTTCATTATATACATACCCTTTTGTGTTGGGGCTATGGCACCTTCTTTATTTTCATAGACGGTACGTAAATCAACTCTATTGACACCACCAAATACACTTCTTGATGCTACCTTGAGCTTTGATATCATAAACTTGTCTGCGTTGTCTTGAAAACTGGGACCTTCTTGAGGAGCAGCAGCACCACCCTTGTACTTCTTGAATGGTGTTTTCTTGACACCATCCCCTCCCTTTCTCGCATGTTGTTTTGTTCTTGCCATTATTATATTATACCTATGAAAGTAAAAATGATTGTCTACTCGTGCATATAAATGAGTACCCTCAAAAAAGGCAAAAAATTAAACTTCCTCGAAATAGTAGTATTGGAAACGCCCCCTCATATAGTTTATTGATAAAAAAGTTAAAAGATAGATTGATGTGGGTATGAAATGAGTTTCTTTTATCTAAAATATCGAATCTTAATAAATATATTATTATAATTTTAATATTAATTTGTCCATCCTGATGATCATCATCATGATGTTCATTCATTTCAACAAGAGACAACTGTCTTTTTTTAGTAGAGATAAACACACGGATATATATTAATATGATACCATATCTGACAGCTGTGCCAGGTAACCGATATTGATGATTTTAAAATCACCAACCGCAGGACAGACAACGAACTTTTAAAATCTTTGTCTTGTGGAGGATGAGTCTCCTCTTTTTTTTTTTTTTTTTTTTCCATCGTTGTGACAAAACATAGTGATACCTGTTCGTGACTAAAATAGTTTTTTATCACATTGTTATAAACAACCAAGTAGTAACATTATATTTGTACAATAGTAGTTAGTTAGTTAGTAGTGGTATATATACACAAAGCCTCGAGCTCAAGCAACAACAACAACAAACTACACTAAAAAGTAAATATTTACACAACCTAGGTACAGACAGATATGACAGACATGTGTGTGTTTGTGTTGTAAACGTACATTTTCACAGTGTGGGAATGTGAGACACATACAAACATACATATGATAGATGGTAGATAGTAGCAGATAGATAGAGTAATTCTACTAGCAACAACAACAACGACGAGACAATAGACAGAGACGGAATAATCGATTGCTATTAATAGCTTTTACAATGTTGTTAAAATTTGTGGTGGGTGGTCGTGGTCGTGATGTTGTTTGTCGCAAAAAACAAAGCTTATAGAGTTGCAGAAAGAGACACAGAGAGGGAGACAACACTTTCTTCTTCTTTTTAGTGCACTCTCTTTACACAAATAATAATAATAATTGTTTATTAATACAGAAAACAACCAACGAGCAACAAATAAAACTAAAAGTGTAATTACTAGACAGACACATATGACAAACACCCTCCTCACGAGTCGATCACTACAATGGAAACAACCATCACCAAAAGAAAGAGGGAGGGAAGGAAGGAAGATCAATCAATCAATCAACCACTGCCTAACCTCCATCAAAGGGATTAATCCTAACTGATGGTTGTTGCTTGTTTGTTTGTTTTGTTTGTTTGGATGGATTGACAATGTGATGATCGTTGATCGAATCAGATCATATCACATATTAATTATATAATATATTCCTATTCCTATTCCTTTCCCTCTTGCACTTCCACAATCATCCCTCTCCACATTCTTTTTGCATCGTTATTGTCATTTTCAACCATTCCTTCAATCAATCAATCATATAGTCACCACCATCATATCAACCTCCCTGTAAATATATAATTGTGTAGTAGCGGTCAAACAAAAAATAGTGTCGTAGTATCAACTATCACTCGCTCAACCACTCCTCTCCTCAACTCACTCACTCACTCACCACTACTACTCTTACTACCACTATCATCACCCCCCCCCCCAACCATCTTCTTATTAATGAGCCAGCCAGCAACAACAACAATTATATTATATTGATCTTAGTACTTATACATTTTTCAAGAATCATCACTATCCATCCTCATCCTCATCATTATCATCATTATTCTTTTTAAATTTCTAGTTTGAATCACTATAGTTTTAAAATCATCAAAAAACCAAAAAGCATACCTTTACAATCTGACTTTCAAAAGTAATAATAGAATAGAATAGATACAAGATAAATAGATAGATAGAAAGATAGATAGAGTAAAATACCTATTTATTTAAAAATGGAACCTTCAAGTATGGACAATGTCGTTGTTGAACATAAAAAGGAACAACAAGAAGAACAACCATTACAAGCAACAACAACAACGACAACGACAATAGAAGAACAAGATACTACTAATAATAATGGAAATAATGTAACAATAGAAGGGGGAGAAGGAGAAGAAGAAGAACCAAAGTCATCATCTACTTCAACTAGTACAATAGTTGTATCATCGTCACCTCAAGTTGAAAGATCACACAACGTTGACGATTCATCTTCGTCAAAGACATCATCTTTTATTACCATTGCATCTGTATCATCATCGGTCTCTACTGAACCTTCATCGCCTTGCCCAGTATCCAAAAATATCAATGACGACAATGAAAACAACAACAAACCGACGACGGTAGATGTGGATGCGGCCGAAGTTGTTGTTATAGTTGAAACATCACCGACTGAACCAACAATAACTACACCTTCTGTTCCACTCACCGTTGTAGTAGATGGACTACAAAATAATACAACGACAGCCACATCTACCGATGTATCACCATCGACCAATGTATTTGATATACCATTCCCTCACGAACCAGGAAAGTTCCCAATTCACGAGGCTGTTTATCGAAATGATATGTCTGTATTAATAGGTTACTTTGGTGAAATTAGTGAACAAGAACAACAACAAGAACAACAAAATGAACAACAACAACAAGAATCAACAACAAAAGAAAATAATAATAATAATTCAAATTTAGAATTAACACCAACTCAAAAGACAAGATTTGGAGGACGTGGTGCAAGTAGAATGATGTTAAATACAAATAATAATGAAAAAGAACTTGAGGAAGAAGAAGAAGAGGAAGAAGATTTAGGAGAATCTGGAGCGATATCAATTAATAGTAGAGATTCATTTGGTAGAACACCATTAATGTATGCCAATCGTCAATCAACGGTTAGATATTTAATATCAAAGGGTACACGTGTCAATCTCAGAGACCATGATCGTCAAACAGCCATGCACAAGGCTGCAGGAGGGTATCCTGACATTCTATCACTCTTGTTGGATTCTGGCGCACACATTAAAAGAGATATGGAGGGATGTACAGCACTACATCTCTGTTGTTACTATGGAAATATTCAATGTGTATCTACTATGATGTCAAAGGGACCTCGTCGTGTAAAGGCTGAAGCACGTGATAAAAAGGGAAGAACTGCTTTACACTATGCTTTGGAATCTTCATCTTCTGATGATATTACTTCTCAAATTGTTGCCATTTTAATTGAAGGTGGTTCTTTATTAGATCCAAAAGATAGAGTAAGAAAAGAAAAAGAAAAAGATAGAAATAGAAATGAAAAGATTATTAACCTTTTTTTTATTTTACTTTTAGGAAAAGAAAACACCATTGCATTATTCAGCGATATTGGGTAAATTTAAATGTTTGGCAATATTATTGGAAAAGGGAGCCAATCCTGATTGTACAGATATATATGGTGCAATGACATTGCATTATGCAGTGGCACACCAGATGGGAAACAAGGCAGTCAAGCAGTTGGTTGCCAAGGGCTGCAAGGTCAACACACCCGACAATACAGGTCAGACACCCATCTTTTACGCATCACGATCGGGATATCCAAAGAATGTCAAGGCACTGTTGCGTGTGGGTGCGTTGGCAGGGTTAAAGGACTTTCAAAACAAGACACCTTTACATTTTTCACTGGATATTGCCAACCCTACAATCAGCTCGATGCTCGTCTCTGCAGGTGCCGATGTAACATTACGATATAAATATGGACAGCGCGGCGAAAGATTGCAGCGTGGAAAGGTCAACTCGAGTTGGTCGTTGACCGCTGGAAGTGGAAGTGGCAGTGCGTCTGGATCGTCGATGCAACTGACCGACAATACTGCTACTGCTACGAGTGGTACTGGTAGTCTTTTACACAATATGTCGCAGCAGTCGCTAACATTAAACTTGTCGGGTGACGCATACGAGACAACTGCTACGGGGTCAGAGGAGCGTGACTTGCATGCCGACATGTTTGGATTCTTGCCCGATGTGTCTAGCTCGACCGTGCAGGTCAAGCGTTGGGTCGACAACAAAGAATATTACTCGAATCTGCACCGATCAAAGGCAGAGTCGGACAAGCTACGCGAGAAAAAGTGGATCAAGATACTTGGTAATTGGAAGCGATATTCGGCCAAGAAGCAGCAAAAGGTGCAGTCCATGTCGTGGAAGTCGGTCCCCGAGTCGATTAGAGGTGAGTTGTGGCGGTTGGTGTTGACACCGCTGGCCGAGGAGGCACGCGGAAAGGGTGTGCAGTTCCACGACCTTTTGACCAACGACAGCGAGTTTGTCAAGCAGATCGATCTCGACATTGATCGTACGTACCGCAACCACATTTACTTTAGAGAGAGATTCTCGACCGGGCAGCAAGCACTCTTTAACGTGCTCAAAGCGTACAGTATCTACGACCCCGAGGTTGGGTACTGCCAGGGTATGTCTGGTATCGCGTCGATCCTTCTCATGTACATGACCGAAGAGGAGGCGTTCTGGGCACTAGTCGGTCTGATGGAAGGTGACCGTTACCAGTTGCGCGGGTTGTTTTTACCATCGTTCCCTCTACTCTACCGTCACTATGCTATACACGAGTCACTACTACACGAGCATCTACCCAAGGTACAAGCACACTTTGGTGTTGAGGGTATAACCACCAGCATGTATGCAACCAAATGGTTCCTCACTGTCTTTTCAGGCAACGTTCCATTCCCCATGTTGATCCGTTTCTGGGATTTGGTTTTACTCAACGGCTACTTTGTCATTCATACCCTCGTCATTCATCTATTACGTGTCAACCAAGATGTCCTCTCTGCGCAACCCTTTGAAAAGATCCTCCAATTCTTTTCCAGTCTCGAATCCAACGGTGTCGACACTTACTCATTTACCAAAGGTGCCAAGAAACACAAAATATCAGAGAAAAAGATTCAAAAATTATTAAAGAAACATGACCTCCATCAAGCTCAACTTCATATTCATCCAGGTGTACCAATTAATTCCTAAAAAAACAATCACAAAAAGTGATAAAAGATAATAATAACAAATAGTAATAATAATTATTTATAATTAATAAAAGAAAAGCTTAAATAATATATTATATTTATATTATATATATAATATTAATATTAAATATCGCGGGTTTAAAAAAGAAATACGAACTACTTTTCTTTTGTTTTCTTGTATGTCTGGGAAATTTAAATTGTTCTGATTTGCAGCGTCTTTTTTAACCGTCATCCAAAATTTAAATTACCCGGGTTTAGCCGGCTGGGTTTCTTAAACTAACGAAATTAAAGTGATGATGTTAAATTCTGGGGTGTTAAACACTTTACTTTTTTGTTTTATTGTACACTTTTATATATCACACACACACACACACATTCAACACATCAATCAATCTTTACATTATTTCTATATCTGTATTTGTGTTTTTTTTTTAATTCTATTTTTAATCACAACAAACAAACAAACAACCTATTTGTTTAGTATATATATATATTTATTTATTTATTGTACATACACACACACGCACACACACTATATAGACATAGACATTGACAAATTCAGTTAATCCTGGTCGGTCGTTATCATAACTACTAGTAGCTAACAAGAAGAAGCAGAGGATGAGCACAAGTCCCACACTAATGAATGAAGAGACAAATGAAGAAGGATTTAGTCGCTTTCTGTTAGAGAGTGAATTCACAACCAGGTAAATATCATCGTCGTGTGCACGAATCAGAAGTGAACAATTCATCATCATCATACCAATAAGATGCAAAATAACTCTCTACTGCGTACTGCTACTGATACCGCTGCAGCTGTGCGGTGTTAATCACAATAACAATAACAATAATATAAATAATAATAGTATCATGATTTATCCAAATTAGCCAACCACTAAATAGTAGTAGTAGTAGTTGATGATCGATTTAGAAACCATTATTATCTTCTTTATCATCAACCAATATAAATATATAAATAATATAGTTATTATAATAATTAAAAATCAACAACAATTATTATTATAATACTTTGAATTAATTAATTATTGGAGCTATAGCCAAGAGGAAAAACAACGGCTATATATTTATATTTTAAAAAAGAGATAATAGATAGATAGATAGATAGATAATTAAAATCCAACCAAACCACCATCATGAATCCAATTGATGATAGTAATAATAATAATAATAATATTAAAAAAGAAGAACCACAATTAAAAAATGATATAGAATTGTATAGGATCAATACACATGATGATATTAACGAATCATTCTACAATAGTCAGAAAAAAGAAGGAAGATTCTCTGGGAGAAGCAAAAGAGTGTTTTATCTCTTGGCTGCTATTGCCGTCATTGTCACTGTAGTATTACTCATTGTATTTTTAATACCAAGAGATAAAGATATACTTCAACCAAAAAGAAATATTATCTTATTAATTGGTGATGGTGTATGTAAATGAAAAAAATAATCCAGCCTGGAATCCATGAAAAACAAAACATATACTAATCTATTATTTTTGATTTATATTTAGTTTGGACCAGCAAGTGCAACGATGGCACGTATAGCAAAGAATGGAAAGACTGGGGTACTTAATATGGATAGTCATTTGGTTGGAACATTAAAGACATTTTCATCGTCGAGTGATGTGACTGATTCTGCGGCTGGTGCAACAGCCTATGCGGCAGGAGTACATACTTATAATGGTGCTATTAGTGTTGATCCGGATACACAGAAACCAGTGGGTGCTATCATTGATGCGACTACTACACAGGGTCTTAGATCGGGTCTGGTGGTGACGACAAGACTGTCAGATGCAACACCTGCCTGTTTCTATGCACATTCATCACAAAGACAATACGAAGAGTTTATCATATCACAGGTTATGAACAGCGATATTAGTGTGTTGATGGGTGGAGGATTGTCAAAATGGAGTAATGCAACGTTGGATACTGCCAAATCGCGAAACTATACCATTGCATCGACTCGTGATGAAATGTGGGCCTCTAAAAACACGTCCAAGATTTTGGGGTTGTTTGCAGCTGACAACCTGCCCTATGAAATCGATCGTGTCACGTTTGGCATGACACATATCCCAACACTTGCAGAAATGACGACCAAAGCACTACAGATCCTCTCCGAGGACAATGACAGCGGCTTCTTTTTGATGGTTGAGGGGTCGCAGATTGATATTGCCGGACACAGCAACGACGCGGCCACACAAATCAGAGAGACGCTGGCTCTGGACGCTGCATTCCAGGTGGTTCTCGAGTATGCCAAGAACGACCCAAACACAATCGTCTTGATGACTGCTGACCACGAGACGGGCGGTCTGACACTGGGCTACCAGCCAGTTGACTCGTATGCCGGCGAGGCACTCTACCAATGGGACCCATACACTTTGATGAGCATCAATGCATCATCTCAAACCATGGCCGGCTTTATTCAAGGCAACATTACCGCTGCCGGACCGACTGCCGATATTGCAACCATCATCCGTACCACCGTCGGTCACTATACACCAAGTGGCAATGTTACCATTACTGATGCTGACATTGCCTTTCTCGCACCACTAGCCAACACCACCAGCATGTGGGTGTTTGGTCGTGCCCTTGGCCGTGTCATTTCCTCTAAAGCCAATGTTGGCTTTACCACCACTGGTCACACTGGTGTCGATGTCAATCTCTACGCCTTTCACGCCAACGATCAAGACTTGATCGAAGAGTTGCGCGGAAACCATGAAAATATTTATCTTGGTCAATTTATAGCATCCAATCTTAAACTTGATCTTGCTGCTCAAACAACTCGACTTGCAAACTTTTCAACTACTCCTTCTCCTCAACAACAGAAATAATAATAATAATAATAATACAATAAATTAATTGATCCAATATTGTAGTTTTGTACATTTTAAAAAAAAAAAGAGATTATCTATCCATTCCATTCATTCCATTACATTGTATACATCATTTATTATTATTATTGTTGTTGTCTTGATTGAACAAATTGTTTAGTCCAATCTGAAATTATTTGTTGGTTATTTTCATTGTCTTCGATCGTTGAAGATTGTAATTCCATAATGATTTCCTCTTTATATGATGAAAATGCTTCTTGTAAGATTAATTGCATAATCTCACAATCTATATTATTATCAATCTTTAATTGATTATATTTTCTATATATTCGGAAACAAACAGATAGAGATATGTAAATACATTGGTGGTCTTTTTGTTTTGTAATATTATATTATATTATATTATTATTATTTACCTCTTGATCATTCTATCAGTCAATTCCTTAGTATCAGTTCTCAATACAATGACTAAATCAAACCAACGTTCAGGGAACCATTCGCAACTATGATGATCGACGACAACACCTCCGTTGGTCATTTGATCCTCCATTTCATCGCAAACCTTGTCTTCATCTAGAACCCAACATTGAAACTCTTCATCAAAACCATCATGCAAGTCCTTTTCTTTGACCAATGATGATACATCTATATGTTTATAACCAAATGTTTGTGCAATCGATTCGGCTAATGTTGTCTTGCCTGTACCTGGTGTACCTGTGATCTTTTGATTTGAATGAAGGAATGAATAGAGTCAATAAACAACGACGTCAAAGTATATGAAATGTAGATTAATATACATACTAAAATATTTGGGTTTCTTCTAGTAGACATCTCTCTCTTTATCTTTAAATATATATCAAAAATAGATTAAAGAGTTTTGTACAACAAAAAGACGAACGAAAGCTTTTTTTAATTTTTTTTTTAATAATTTATAAACAAATATTGCTCGATAGATACAAGTCAATACTGAATAAATACAGTATTGAAAATAGATGTAGATATGGAGATGAAAACAGTCAGATGGAAGTCAACAACCAAACAATTAGAAAAGGTCCAGACAAGCTACATTATTGGCCTAGCCTCACCTTTTTCTGATAGTATACGACCATTTGTTATGATAGGATTTTGGTTCAACAGCTTAACGAAACCAATGTCCAATTGTAACAAATCCCCTCGACACCACCACCGTTGGCCGTCCTACGACAAAACAGTTTGTTTATTCAATTGAAACCTATGAATAGTTGGAGAAATAATTCTTTTTGATCATATTTACACATATAACTTTACAATAGTTGTTTAAACTTTTTTATTTTTTTTATTTATTTTTGTATAGGTAAAAAATGAAACAAACATAAGTGTGCCTAGAGTCTAGGCCTTATTATTTTTTTTTTTAAAAACTAGGATACAATTTGTTACAAAATGCACATTATTGCAATTGTAATTTTTCTTTCACTATAATAATAATTATTGGATGGTAATATAATATTTTAGGATAAAATTATAACTAGGATTTACTTTAGTTATCTTTATCAATGTCAGTGTAAAAGTATGATGATGACAATAAACCTGGTGGTGGAGCAACGAGCATGCCATGGGGAATTGTTTCAGATGGATCTTTGCCAGCAGTGTAGAAACCCCAGTATTTCTTTTTGGTCTCTGCCTTGATTTCATTTTGGCCGGCCAACTTCCATTCAGTGTTTGCGTTTTGGCTATAGTATACCTTGAGGCCAGATTGAATTGCCTTGGTGAGGTTGATAGTGATCTTGTGTTCATATTCAACTTCAAACTGCTTCAAATTGACATTTAATGGAATCTCATTCCAAAAGAAATGAATACCCATTTGACCATCGACACAGTTTTGGAATAGTTTGGAATTCTTCCAAACAAAGAAACTGTACAATTCCAAATCCGATGGTGTTGGAACTCCCAAATGAGCCGATGCTTCATTTAACAATTTGAAATAAATTTTTCTCCATGGATGATTAAATCTTGTTGATACTTCTGTCTTTATATAATCTTCAAAAATTGCATCTAAAGAAAAGAAAAGAAAAGGATTCCATGATTGGGATGTTAGAATATAAATATATAATTTTGTTTGTGAGTGATCTATATTTTCTTTCTACTTACGAATTGATCTCATATTCTTTCTAAGATCGATTAATTTGAGTGTTGCTGTATTTACATAGGCGTAGACCTTGATATCTGGCGTTGGTAATAGCGCAGCTTGGGCACTGGCAACTTGGACATGATTCACCAACTTTTCAGCTACTCTAGCATAAAATCTCATTCTAGATGACTATAAAAAAGGAATAGAAATAATGTGTTTAGTATAAAAAATAATAATAATAATAATCTGTTTTGATTCTTTTCTTACATTTTGAATTAATGGATTATTCTTTGCATCGATAAGATGTTGAAGTGTAATGATTTTAATTTCACGTAGAAAAGCTTCATCTTCTTTGGTATATCCATTTAATGCTAAAATAATAAAAAATAGAAATAAATTAGTAAACCATAATAATTCAAAACTATCTATTGCATATATAACTGCTTACACATAATGGTTGCATGTCTATCTAAAGTTTCCATTGGGAAACCTTCACAAAGTAAACCATCTACACCATATTGATCCATGACAATTTTACGGCACTCATCTTGAAGTACTTCCAATAGTGGATCATCAAAGACACCTTCAATATAAATGAAATCCTCCATAATGGCCAATTGTCCAATCTTTGTAATACCTTGTTGGTTTAAGAATTCCAAAGAATTGAAATAATGTTTTTTGAATTCTAGAAAAAAAATGGAAATAATTATAATTATTAATAATTAATGGCAACTTATATATCTAACAATAATATAGTAAGTATACTTACGAGGTGACAAAGTGGTATGAAAGTTTGGACCATTGACATTCTTTTGAGAATTGAGTTCAGAAACACTATAGTTTACATTTTTATAATCATTGTAGTTATGATTAAACTGATTATTACTAAGGTTATTATTATTGTAGTTGTTGTTGTGTATTATTATTATTATTATTATTATTATTATTATTTTGATTATTTTGATTATTATTATTATTATTGCTCTGATTATCCTCGTTTATAGGATGATTCTTTTGAGCTTCAACACGAGAATAATATTCATCATCTTCATCGTCATCAGCTGGTTCTTCAAAATCATCGTCTTCATCTTCATCGTCATCGTAATCATATCCATAATCGTCGGCCACTGAATCTTCTACCAATAGTGGCTTGTTAAACATTCCTTCATCCTTTTTGGTTGCTGGTGTGCTGACTGTAGTCTCATCATTATCACCGTCACCAACTACAAAGTCCATCATATCATTTGATGACATTATACTTCTATCAGCCATCTTTTCTCTCTTTTGGTGGTGTAATATAACTATCTCTATCTATCTATCTATTTAAATCTATAATCTTCTTGCTATATTTATATCTCTATCTATCTTGTATACAAATAAACCTTCAACGCACACACAATCAACTGCTACCCAAAATTCACTTTATATTAGTACTCATCAAAACTAGTTTCAAGAAAAAATGTGGAAGAGGCAGTATGATAATTTTAAAAGAGGAAAACCACATCATTTGTCTCAAAGTACCAAGAGAGTCTACTATGACTCATTTGAACTTGATGAGACGAGAGAAAGATAGATAGTTATTTTGAAAACCTATAAACTAGACTTGCTAGTCACCTCTTAATTTAAATCTACTTAGATCGGGAGATGACTCTCATCTTCATTTGCACTTTTGCAAGGTTGGCTCTGTACTTTCCCGAGCTCAACTCGGAATTCGGTTTGAAAAAAAATGCTTGTAGGGTGATCAACCCCCATCAACTCACACTCTACTCAATAATAATTTGAAGTAGTGTGTGCGAGAGATGATGATGAGGAGGAGAGGGATGAAAGGAAAAAACAAGCTTTACTATATCATTAAAATACATAGATAGATAGATAAAACTAGAGATATATTAGTGTATTATGAAATATTTGATATTATTATCAATTATTGTAGTATTACTACTTTCTGTCACTGATGCAAGAGACAGCAGTCATAGTAGTAGTAGCGGTAGCAAATCAAAAACTAAAGTAAAAGTACATGAAGTAGAGAAATTGGTAGAGAATCAACTGAGAGTAGCTACCACTTGTAATTGTACAGATAATGGTTTGTACTGTGGGTCGGCAGTACCAAGCTCTGTCGGTGGTATGTGTGGAGGTTTATTGGCAAACGGTCTCTACAGTTGTGTTACAAGAGGACAAGCACCGCTTCTCAAAGAGACGTGTACCAATGGATGTCAGATCAATCCCGATGGTATCCTAGACACTTGTGTGGCACAAGATAAATCGTGCGTCTGTCCCGACAATGCTGATCACTGTGGTTCAACACTCAAGGCCAGCAATAACGATTGCTTTTACCTGGCAGACGACGCTCTGTACCAATGTCAGGCTGGATACTACCCCATCCACCGTTGGCAATGTCCCAACGGATGCAAGATCAACGGAGCCAAGCTCAACGACACTTGCGACCGTGGAGAATCAAATGTTGTCGGTCTCACCAAGGTCAAACACATTATCATCTTTATGCAAGAGAATCGTGCCTTTGATCATTATTTTGGTACCATGAAGGGTGTCTGTGGTTACAATGATCCATCACCTCTAAAGACCAGTGTCGGTAATTCAATCTTTTACCAACCTGATCCAAATTCACCAGACTCCAAAAATGGTCAAACCTATACTCTTCCATTTGAAATTACTGGTCCAAAAGCTGGTTGTACTCTTGTAAGAAAGAAATATAAATACAAACACAGAACAACATATATAGTATTATTTATTAATTTAATTTTAATTTAATTTTTTAGGGAGGATCAAATACATGGGGACCAAATCATGATGGATGGAATAATGGTACAATGGATAATTGGCCACTTGGAAATACACCAGCATCGATGGGTTATTTAACAAGAAAGCAATTACCATTTTATTTTGAATTGGCCGACCAATTTACTATTTTGGATCAATACTTTTCGACTGTTATGACTTCGACCAATCCAAATCGATTGGTTTTGTGGACAGGATCAATTGATGCCCGTCATGAGACCTCACCAGGTCCAGTTATTGATAACACTGAAACTGTTCCATTCACATGGTTGACCTATCCAGAGGTACTTGAAAAGGCTGGTATCACATGGCGTGTCTACCAAGGTGTTGACAATTTCGATGACAATGCTTTGGAATGGTTTAAACAATTCCAAAACCTCTCCAAGGATGACCCAATGTACATCAATGGTGTATCAAATTGGGGTATTGAAGCTTTCCTTAAAGATGCTCTTGATGGAAACTTACCACAAGTCACTTGGGTTGTTGGTCCACAAGAATTATCTGAACATCCAGAGTATGTACAAAACAAACAAACAAAAACAAACAAAAAGATTATTATATATTAATATTGTTTATTTTTACTTTTAGTAACGGACCAATGGCAGGACAATGGTTATCACAACAAATCATTCAAGCAGTAGTTAATTCAAGTCATTGGGAAGAGACGGTATTGATTATGGATTATGATGAACCAGGAGGTTTCTTTGATCATTTTGCTCCACCAGTTGCTCCATTTGGCACGTTGGATGAATGGGTCAACCTCAATGGTACTGTAGCACCTGTAGGATCAGGTCTTCGTGTGCCATCGTTTATGATCTCGCCATGGTCGACTGGTGGCCACGTCTACTCGGAGCCAACCGATCACACCTCTGTCATTATGTTTGTCGAGCAATGGGCTATTGCCAATGGTTTCGAGCCAGAGGATGTCATGCATCCACTCATCTCAACCTACCGTCGTAACTTCTTTTCCGACTATACCAGATCACTCGACTTTTCGTGGGCCAACAGCTCCGTCCCCGACCTTCCAGCTATCCCCGTGCCATCGCGTAACGTCAATGGTACATGGGACCCCACTCAAGAGTGCGAGGGTATTCCAGGCGCATTCCCAGTCGTCCCATACGGCAACCAGACCTATCCACCCGTCGAGACTGGGTTCAGACCAGTACGTGGATCTAATCCAGGTCAAGGCCGTATCTATGTCTTTGAGATGAAGAGTCAGACTGGATGGGCCATCGAAGCATTGTCGAGTCAAATATTTATGTCTCAAATGCCACCAACCCTCAACCAACAGTCACAATACTTTTTGCAAGTTCCATCTACCAGCAAGCAAGGTTACGACATTATGACCTATCCCAAACAACTCATGTACCAAATGTGTCTTACCGGCAAGGGTGTATTGGTTGATTGCACCCAAGGGTCTCACAACACCTGGTACATTATCGATCAAACCAATGGCCAAGGTTCCGTCTTGTACAATATCCAAAATCAAAAATATCTCACCTATACTCTTCGTAATGGATTCGATTTGGTTGCTCAACCACAAGTTTCCTTTAACATTTTCTCTGTTACCGTTTAAAACAAAAAAAATTAAAAAGTAATAATAATTAAAACATACATAATACAATAATACCCGAGGTATTAAATAAATCAATGGAACTAGTTCCATCACTCACTAAAAAAAGGTAGTGATTTATTTAATTTAATATATTAATTTAATTTCTTATCACCATTTTTAATTAAATGATAATAGAAATCAACCAATTGTTTATAATTTGAAGTTGAAATTCTTTCATCTACTCCATGGAATCTTGCATGATCAGTTTTTGAAACTAATTGTGGACAAAATCTATAAATATTTGGTCTATAAAAAAAAAAAAGAAAAGAAAAGTAATGGTTAATAAAGTTGATTGATTTTTATGATTATTATTTCTTTTCTTCTTTATCTTACGTTAAATTCCAATACCATCTAGTATCAGTATTGGCGATCATAATGGCAGGTGCAACAATTACATCTGGTGAAAATTCTTGGATAATGGTTGATTGAATTAATTTAAAGGATGGAGTATGTGGAGATGTTACAGGTGCAGGTTCAATAGAATCAGAAACTGACAATGTAATTCTATCATCGTCAATGGTAGTTCTAATATGATCAATCACTCTTTGAATCGAATCTGATGGTGCAATTCTAAAATTAATAGTTGCATTTGCAAATGCTGGTAAAACATTTGGTTTATTACCACCATTAAATACTGTTACTGCTGTTGTTGTTCTAAATAATAAAATAAAAAGTATAAACAATATTATTTCTTTTTTTCTTTTTCTTTTTTCTTTTTTTTTTTACCTTTGAAGAGCATCCAAAGCAGGAGTTTTTGATAATACTTTTGAAACGATTGGTTCGAATAACCACATATTGGCAAATACCAATTTCATTGGGAGGGTTGCTTCACGACCGACATAATCAAAAACAAGACGAGCTTGTTGGAGTGATAGAGGCATTGGATTTTCTTCGATTTTGGTAATGGCAGCCGAGAGGATACCGATGGCAGTGTGTTTGGGAGGCATGGATGAATGACCTCCCATAGAAGCGACAGAGAGGTGTAGGTTAAGACCACCCTTTTCAGCCATACCAAGGGTGGCAATAGGACGGGTGATACCGGGAAAGACGGGTGGTAAAAGGATGGGAAGACCCTCATCTAGGATATATTCAAATGTGACACCCTTTTCTTCGAGGTATGCAGCCATTTTAGAAGCACCTCTGTAACCACCAACCTCTTCGTCATGACCAAATGCCAAGTAGATTGATCGCTGTAGAGTTGCGTGATGACCACTTGCCAATTGATCCTCGATCGCTTCGAGGAGTGCCATGACCACCAATTTGTCGTCCATTGAGCCACGTCCCCATACATAGCCATCCGCCACCTTTCCGCTGAATGGTGGGTAGCTCCATTTGTCCTCGTTGACAATAGGTACCACGTCCATGTGTGCGGCAAACATGATTGGCTTTAATGTCGGGTCTTGACCCTTCCAATGATACAATAGAGAATAATCACCAATCACCTGACAATCCAAATAACTGTGTACCAAAGGGAACGTCTTTTTCAAAAAAGCATGTAACTTTATAAACTCTTCATAATCATTTTGATATTCTTCTGCATGTGATATTGTTTTAAATTGTATTGACTAAACAACAACAACAACAACAACAACAACAACAACAAAAGATTAAATGATTTAGTAACAATATAGCATACATATACATTGATTCCTTTTTTTTTTTTTTGTTGTCTCCTCTTACCTGGCCTAATCTTTTTGCCAATTGATCTTCAGATAATGAATTATAACTATCCTGATGACCTTTTTCAAGTGTCTCTACATTTGGTTGTTTGCTAGTAAATGTTACAGTATTGTAAATCAAAATGATGACCAGCAATAGTAATGATTTGGCCAATACACCCAAGATTGAAAACTTTTTACTATTGATACTTGGTTTCCTTCTTGATTGCATATTTAGGTGATAGAGAGAGATAGAGAGATGGATGTGACAAGAGTGAAGTGGTTCCTTTACTTTTAAAATATATGTATCTTTTACAAAAAAAAAAAAAAAAAAATATTTTAAATTGCAATATTGGCTAATTCTCTTGGTTGGATTTTTTTGTTAAAGTTTTAAAATTATTCTAGATTCTTTTCTTTCTTCAAGTCATCAACCTAGCCTAGCTCAGATGAGATCATATAGCACTTTTATAGCAATTGAAAGGTATAGGTCTGTGCAAAGAAAATCAACAAAAAGTTTTTAAAATGAACAATCATGATGATGATGCTTGGGCAACGAACAATCTATGCTCAAGTCAATATTGGTAGTCAAGTATTACTTCACGATGGAGAACAAGTACAATATACTAACACCTCTATTCATTATAACATTGTAAAAGAATTTTAGATTATACATATCATTGGAAAAAAAACATCAACGATCAACTGTTCTACAGGTTTAAATATACGGTTCTTTGGGATTCTCTACTTTTGATTCTTTTAAAAAAAATCGTATATTTAAACTTGTAGGACAGCAGTATGATCATGGAACATGTCAATCAATTACTGACTGGATCCAGTCTAAAATAATCTGAGGTTTGTATTTTAAATAGGTTATTATTTATTTACATTGATGTTTTGGTTCCTATAGATATGATGATGACGACCAGTAATAATATTCCTCTGAATCATAATCATCAAAGATAGTATTATTATTATTATTATTATTATTATTACTATTATTATTATTATTATTATTGTTTTGTGTTTGTTTGTTTGTATTTGTTCCCATTAGTGCAACATATTATATATGACCATATATTTGACTATTACATATGTCATTTATGCATGAAATATTATATATGTATTCGATTATCCCACCAGTATTATATTATTATTATTATGATTCATATATATCTATATCTAATCATCATCTTGTTCTTTTTGTTGTCTGATTAAATTGGCTTGTCTTGATTTAACTTCCATAAATTCATCAACTTCCTTTTGTTGTTGTACTTGTCTTGCCTATAGGAGAAACAAGTATACGCACACGTATGTTAGTAAAGATCTGTGTATATCATCTTTCACCTCTTCGCATGCACCAAGTTGTATTAACTTAACCTACCTTTCTACGTTGAAGTAAATCATAAGATCCTACACCAATGTAAGCACAACCTACAATGGTAACAGCAAACAATGTACCTGTAACTGTCTTGTGTAAAATATCAGCTAATGCCATTCTATCTTATCTATCTACTATCTATCTATCCTTTAATAATGATGATCTTTGTGAATCTTGAACAATGACCCTCGTTTTTTTGAAAAAATTGTATGATTAAAATTTCAAAGCAACAATCTTTAACATCTTCAACATCACCATCATAATTTGTTGTATTTATATTTTCATCTTCTTTGATTAAATATCAAATATCTATATTACTATAGAGAAGATGGATTTCTCAGATTTATCAGATAAATCACAACAACTACTCAATAGAGTATCAAGAGTATCTAATCAATACAATGGTGTTGGTAGTATAAATAGAAGTCTTGTCGATATCGGCAGTGCATCAAAAGAGTTGAGTGAAACAACTTCATCAAAAGCAAATGCTCAATATGATGTTCAAATGTAAGTATACTATACTATATACTGATCAGATGATAGATATCATATTAACTTGTTGTTATACTTCTTTTACTTTTCTTTCTTTTTTTGTTTGTTTATTTTTTTTTCTTTTACAGAAAAGCAATTAATAAATATCAAATAGATCCAAAGACAATGTCTGATAATTTAATCAATTTATCGGCATCGTCATTTACGACAGAGGTACAACCATCGTTTACCGATGTCAATGGATACTTGAACTCGACATTTGAAGCCATCACAATGCAAGCTATCCAAGACGTGCAAAAGATGACGCGAAAGGAGTTTCGTAGCAACATGGAACGTAGCACTCAAAATGAATGGGTGGTAGACAAGAAAAGACTCGAGGAAACACTTGGACAGAAGATGGTCAAGGTCCCAAGAGCTCAATCTTCATTGGAACAATCATTGTTATTAACTTCTACTCAACATAATAATCAACATCAACAACAACAACTATTGTTATCTCAAAGAGGTGCATTTGCAAGTGGATCAAACAACTCATCTTCTTCTTCTACTGGAATGGGAGGATTATTGGGATATGAAGAACGTACAAGATTATCAAACAAGATGAGATCATATGCATCGGTCATTCACAGATACTTGGATCAAAGATCTAAAAAAGAAGAATTTGATTTAGTTGGTGAATTGATGGGAGCACATCTCTCTGAAACAACACAATATAGACAAGTGATTGAAGATGCATGGGTATTGATATCGACAGTCAAGGAAGCGGCCGAGTCTGGACAACAAGTCATTTCACACTTGATTCGCTTTTTAGAGAATCAATTCTACAATACACTCAGATCCAAGCTGCCCGCCCATTCCATCATATCAACACCAACCGAGGAAATCATTTCCTATGTCTCTTTTAACATTCAAAAACCACTCGACACTGAAGAATATCGTGGGTGTTCTATTTGGTCACTCATCTACTATTCTCTCAGAGCCGGTCATCCAAAAGTTGCCAAAGAACTTTCAAATCATCTAACTGATCGTCACAAATCTTTAATTAATTCAATTATAACTTTTAAATCAAATAATGAATCTTGGTATGAGAAAGATGAAAACAATCAAAATGAATGATATCTAATCTAATATTTTCTTTACTTTTAGTCCAAATGATTTAAAGATAAAATTAGGTCAAGAATATAGAAATATTAGAAATGAAACAAAGGATTATTTCAAGATTGCAGTATTTAATTTACTGTCAACCTCAGAGGCATTAAATGTACATTCAAACAAGCTGTTGTTCCCATTTATTCAAGATTTAATATGGTGGCGTTTATGTTTTGTTAGAGATTCATCAAAGACTGGTGCGTCTACTGGTAACGAATCATCTTATACATTATCAATGCTACAAGCATCAATCAATGAAACATTGGATCAAACACCATTTGATCCATTTGTATTGGTTCAACTTAGATTGTTGTCTTGTCAATTTGAATTGGCAATTGTCGGGTTGTACGATGGATCGAATGGATTGTACACTGCCGATGCCTTGCACATGGCCATTGCACTTGACCAATTTGGTATGTTGAGATTGCCCGCCCCCGAAAATACCATTGTCGACGGTTCGTTGTCCGATCTCTACAATGTGCGTACCAACACGTTGAACTTGGTCGCCATGATTCGTCGCTACATCAAATCGTTTGCGTCCGAGACTGACACAAATGAAGCACTCGACTACTACCTCTTGATTGACGACACGGGTATCCGATGCCAGTGTATCGCCGATCTCATCGTCACATCGACCCGTGACACCAAGTTTGCTCGTCACCTCAGCGAATATATCGACGAAAAGGAGTGGCGTGCCATCATGGAGCACTCTGCGCTCTCGTACGAGTCCAAGAACAATGTGCAGGCTGCTATCGAATATTGGTTGTTGTTGGAGCAGTACCCACGCGTCTTGGAACTATTCAACAGCTACTTTGCCACCGTCTTTGCCAACGTGTCTGATGTGCAACGTCAACTCTACCAATTTGGCGTGCAATTGTACCGTGCCGACACGATCAAACAAAAGTTGGTGCTCGACGGCCACAGCGACCGTCTCGCCTACAAAACATTTGAGCAGTTGCTCTTGCTCTCTGAATTTTTCGAGCATTTCCATCTAGAGAGCTACCAAAAGGCATTGGATGCCCTCGACTCAATTTCAATCATCCCAGTGCGATCATCCGACGTTGACCAGATGGCTCACAACTTCCGTTTCCTCTCGCCACACATTGCCAAAAACTTTTCAGTCATTGTCCAAGCACTCCTCGACACGATTGCCCGTCTTGTCCAAATCCACTACAGCACCCTGCCCATCTCCCAGTCGTCTTTTGGCTCGTCTGTACTCCCCCCAGCCCAACAAAATGTATTCTCTAGCGTCCGTCTAGCTCTTGACGAGTTACAATCTCGTGGTCAAACTCTTGTCGATTTTGTAGCCAAAATTGATTTCCCTCAAACTGGAAACATCAATTCAAATTTAATTAAATTTGCTGTTGATATTAAATCAATTTAAAAAAAAAGGAAATAATAAATTAAATTAAATAATAATAATTATATCAGAGATTTATATATATTTGTACAAAGTTGATTTATGTCTTTCTCTTTTTAAAATAGTGGCCATAATGATCCAATTACTTTACCATTGATAAAACCTATTGGATGTGGACCAGATGCAGATACTTGTTGGAATACACCTCCTTCCTTTTCATCTCTAATATTTAAAGTTGTAAATGAAGTTTGATCCGATTTTAATGATTTAAACATAAAATGACCTCTTGGTATACGAGGTGCAAGTGAAGTAAAAAGTGAATCGTGATCAGTCATTACTATCTTTCGTATTATATTTTCATTGATTTTACTTGGATTACTAAAAGTAAAAGGTAGGTGTTAGTCTTGACTATCATCTATTCACAAAACTCTTTCTCATACATTATAGATACTAAATCACCAGAGTTGAATTGCTTTGTGAACTTGTCAACTAATAGCAACTCTGTAAATGAAGGGTGCTTGGTCAAGGAACTGTCGTCGTTGTTGTACTCTTCCACTCTATTTAGTTGAACTGATACGATTTCATTGTTTATGAATATTGGTATGGGTATTAATAAAAGATAATTTAGAATTTTAGAACGAAACATAATAATGCAATGAAGATAATTGAGCTCATTCCTCTCTTTAATTTAATAATTGATTTTTTTTATGTTCAACGAACTAAACTACGATGATCACATTTCATTGTGATTAGGTCGACATATCAAACATATCAGTAATATATCAAAACAACAACAACAACAACAACTTGAAGTTGTTGGATGATCACTCAATACTGCCTTCATCGTAATGCAACATTGGATACACTTGAACATCTATTGGAATGGTCAACTGATGTTGTTGCACCATGAGACTACGATATATGGCTCAAAAATAATGGATTATAAATAGATACTGGAACGAAGCATACAACAACAGATACACCGCACCCTACGCAAGAGCTTGGCTAAAGCGAATTACAGAAGGGAGATGCACCTCACAGTATCTAGCTCAACTTTCACAAACATCATTTACAAAATGAAAGGTGAAGCTCTTACCATCAGGTCAAAACCAATGCTCTCCAAACGGCCAATTCTCCTTGGGTGAAATATACCAAGTACTATTAGACAACAAATACCAATCGACAACACATCTGACAGATGGCAAAAACAAGCAAGGCTGGCAAACAAGCGGCAGCAACAAGCGACAGCAACAAGCGACAGCAACAAGCGACAGCAACAAGCGACAGCAACAAGCGACAGCAACAAGCGACAGCAACAAGCGACAGCAACAAGCGACAACAAAACAAAAATTTGCTCTACTGAGATTCGAACTCAGATGACTGGATTCAAAGTCCAGGATACTAACCCTTATATGATAGAGCATTTGTGCTTCAGATTTTTAATTTTACAATCTTCACGGGGTCCCTTCCCGTTTTTTAAGCCCGGCTTAAAATGTATAATTAATAAAACTTTGTAACTTCTGAGTACTACTCTTCCCGATAGGAGAGAACAGGAAAAGAATTACTTAAAAAAACAACAATAGATTTTCCTTATTCCTTATGTTGTGGCAATTAGTTCACTTGTTCTATCTTCTCTATTTATTTCGTCATGTTATGTTACTTTAATTGAAATATCAGCTGTTTCAAATTGTCTCGGGGCTGTCAGATTCGGTGTTTCAATATCGTCAAATATATGCAAACAAATTGATCTTAAAAATTACACGAAACTACATGAATATCTCTTTTGAGCAATATATTCAAAGAAAGTTAGCGCAGGTTGAAACATTTGTATGTCCATCGAATCCTCCCTATAAATTTCTAGTCCTATTAAAAAAGGAAGAGATATCAGATAACCTGAATTGGAAAGATAGGGAAGGACCTTCCAAATTATCTTAAAAAAAAAAAAAAAAAACAATCGAAAAAAAATCTCTTTTGGTTCCATAAAAAATGACCTTTGATTTGGTTCCATATAAAAAAGATATTTTTTTAAAGGGGATATTAATTATTTATTCATTGTTGTTTGGTGATCTCCTCATCTTCATTTTCAAAACTGTAACAATCACTAAACAATGAAATTATTATTATCTCTTGTCATTTTATTCTTGGTTGGTTTAATTGTAAATATTTTATAAATCAATCAAAACATTCTTCATTTGTAATGTCTCTAATATCTCTTTCTCTCCTATTTTCTCTAAATAGAACTGCCAACCAGAAACCTTTCAATTCTTTAGTCAAATAAAAGAAGAAACATACTATGGTGTCTATTCATTATCAAATGGTAATATTACACTGTCTACGACCAATGCCGCACCTGATCTTCAAGTGCTTGGCTTTTTACCAAAGAATGGATCAAGTAATGATATCATGACTGTTTGTCAGAATCCAAGTAATCTCCAAATCAATACCTATAGTACATCGGTATGTAAATTCTCGCTCATTCTAATCTGACCAATCAATTTCGTTAAAACTCAACTTTTGTTTCTATAATTATAGGATAATTCATTCACTACCGAACTTACATTCTCACCAAACTATAAATACAATTTTGTGAAACAAGAATATGTATTCGACTCTGCATACAGAATTCTATATATTCCAGGCTCCGTTCCTTTAAATGGAGAAAACTATTTGGCATTATTACAATGGCGTTTTGGTCCTAGTGTTAGACCATTGTAAGTATAAACACAAGATTAGAGTATTTGCAAAAGAAAATATTCTAAAATCCACATATCTCTATCTCTATCTCTATCTATTTAGACCACCAATTATTTTAGGACAAGGATATATACCAAATAGTAATGTTCCAATTAATCCAGTTGGTGCTTATGATGCACCCAACCAAGATTATTACATTTACTATACCATTGGAACCAGTGCCGCCATCTTAAAGTTCAATTTTGTTCTCGATAACTATGCCATCCTGCCACTAGACATAGAACCAACACCTTTAAATGGAGTCGAACAAATCTTTTTCTACCAAGGTCAACTCATATACTGTCGTATTGACAAGGGTGTTGGTGTGACAATTGCTCAAATCGAATTGAGTGGACCTGTCACCAATGTCTACAAAGACACCGACACTGACAAACAATTCAACATTGACATTCAACCATTTGTATTTGATCAAACTACTGGAACCATCACAATCCTCAATTCTGCTGATGACACTCTCTATTTAGATGTATTTTATATTACCACACTCAAAGTTACATCATTCACAAATCCAAATTCAATTCCATCTGGAACTTTTGTTATTACTGCATTATACAATTAAATTATATTTAAAAGTCTATATTGAAAATCCCAAATTAATAATGAAACTAATAACACCTAAACTATATGAAAACATATTGTTTATTCTATGTAATACTTTTTAAAGAACAAAATGGGTTCATTGTTTGCACCACTACAAAAATTCCTGTCCCTGGATACTGATTCCATTGCTTCATTCAATGAGATCCTTTGATACGCTGGGATAGGTAACGGTTCTTTCTTTGAGGATGTCCACTGCTTGTATGATTGAATTGGTAAAGGTTTTTTTAATTGAATCTCTGATAGGTCCCAGCAGGGGAAGGAATTTTCGGATGGCTTCGATTGTTTGGTTCCTTTCAAATTCTGTTCAATCTTGGAATCCATTCTATCTAATTTTTGGATAATATTCTCATAGCCAGACTTGTCTGATTTTTCTATGTTAAACAATATTAATTAATAAATTGGAAAACTTTCTCTTTTGATTCTTGATGCCTTACCTTATTCTAAAAGATCTATAAAATCATTTACCCCACCATCCATCTTGAAAGCACAGATGACTTGTAATGCAATCACACTATTGTTCGTTCTTGATATTGCTGCCCTTTTGAGGGAGTCACTTTCAAATTTTGAATTGTTGATAATGTCTAAAGCATGCTCAAGATGTTTTAAGGCAGCTTCTGTGAGACATGATGAATAGGTAGCATGTTAAATAGCTTGTAATAAACTCTGATAGAAGCAGGTACCTGAATATTAGTAAATATTCAAAAGAATTGATTTTTCAATAAATTAAATAAATAAATTAATACTCCTCCCATGCTTAATACTCATATGAAAGACGCATCAGACTTTTTGATTAAATTTAATAGTGTTATTGTATTTTAAATTGTTGTTATTAATATAATATACGGGTTAGCATGAGCACCCATTTTGTGGTTTGTTGGAGGCATTGGCAGTAAAGTCAATATGTTCTCCAGGGGTTGGTGTATGATCTTCACCACCAGACTGGCCACCTGAAATGCTTGGTTGACGGTTCATAGAGTGACAGATTTGAGTCAAAATGGTTTGGAAGGCGATTTCTACATTGCTAGAGTCCAAAGCTAAAAATAAATAAATAATAATTAATTAATATCACCACTTTTTTCTTCCTTTTCTTCTTTCTTCTTTTTTGGATATATACCAGAGGTTTCAATAAATGAGAGTTTATGTTTCTCGGCAAAATCCTTTGCTTCATCAGTGCTAACTTCACGCAAGTGTCTCAAATCGTTCTTGTTACCAACCAACATAATTTCAATATTACGATCGGCATTTTCACGCAATTCAGTCAACCATCTTTCGACACTCTTATAAGTAGCTTGCTTTGCGATATCATAAACCAACAAAGCACCAACAGCACCACGGTAATATGCAGATGTAATAGCTCTATATCTTTCTTGACCAGCAGTATCCCACTTGAATTAAATAATAAAAAAAAGGTTAGAATCCAAACATATATATTGTCTACAACTATATCTATCTATCTATCTGTATGTCTGTCTGTCTGTCTATTATTTATCTATTTATCTAATGATCATACAATTTGGGCCTTGATAATCTTTCCTTCGGTTTCTATAGATCTGGTAGCAAACTCTACACCAATAGTCGACTTGGTTTCAAGGTTGAATTCATTTCTTGTGAATCTAGATAACAAATTACTCTTTCCTACACCACTGTCTCCAATGAGTACGACTAAATTGTTTAGAAAAATACAAATAGTTGTTAGTTGATTGATTGTTCATTGCTACATATTATTATTATTTAAGAGTCGACCTACTTTTATACAAGTAATCATATTCTTCTTGACCTGTTAATCTTGACATGTCTATCTATTTATATAATGTGATTTTATTCGGCGGTAAACTAATTAACTATTAGAGTTGAATGAATGTTTGTTTCTTCTTGTTGTTTTTTTTTTTTGTTTTAAAAAAGGTGAATCTAATTTATAATAATAATAATAATAATGCTACTACTATAATATTGGTTTTGATTGATAAATTACAGAGTTAGTTGTTGTTTGTCTATGTAACAAAAAAAAAAGGTATGATGATGATTAAGATGGCGATGGTGATGATAATGTGATGATGGTGTGTTGAGTGCTCGAGAATAAGATATATAGTCGTCGTCGATTATTATTATTATTATTATTAATATTATTTGTTATTATTATTATTATTATTGACAAGAATAAATTTGAATGATAGTAGTAGTAGTAATACTATTATTTGTCAAATAATTATCACCATTATTATTAATTGAAAAAAAAAAAATTAATTTTTCTTCAGGTTACGAGGATGGTGTTGTTGGAGGGTTGGAACGAAGTATTAAACACGACATCTCCTCCTCCTCCTCCCTTGTCTTTCTTTCTTTACCAACACTTGCTCCTCCTTAATTATTATTATTGTATTAATTAATGTGGGTGGGTTGAGAGTTGCAAAGGACGAGGACGGAGTTCGTATTGATAATATCTATGGATGGATTGAGTGTGTCATAATAATAATAATAATAATATTATAATAATGTTGTTGTACTATCTCTCTCTCTCTCTTTTACGATATTACTATCAACTTTTGTTTATTTATCACATGTGTTTTGATCGATTGTTGTCACTATGATTTTTTTGTTCTATTCTGTTCTATTTCTATTGTTTCTCACTTACAGTTGTGATGTGGATGAAAATGCGTTTGATCACTTAGTTGTTGACTACTACTATTGCAAATAATAATAATATTGAATGATAATTTGGTACAGGTGGAGGGAAAGTAATATATAAATAATAAATTGCGTAATATATGTGTAATAATAATAAATAATCGACCAGTTTTGTATGGAGGTGTGTGCAAAAGTGGGGACAGAGAGAATTGCTTTCAAAAAAAAAAAAAAAAAAAAACGTAGTCACCAAAGAGAATCACAGAGAATGAATTCGGATGTTGTCGGTTATGAAATTCATAAGTCATTTATCTTTATTTCTAAGTTTTGGAAAGTTTGAAAGGAGGTCTTTTTTTTTATGAGAGTCAAACATATAAGTAAGTATATTGTTGTTTGGTTGGTTGTTTGGTTGGTTGGTTAGAGTAGTAGTTTTAGTATTTTAAATTAATAAATGAATATTAATTATTGTTTTTTCTTCTTTTTTGTTTTTTTTTGTTTGGCGCCTTGTCATTGTTGGTGGTGTGCATTGGGTGGTGATCGTTTTCTTTTCTCCACTGGTCAGATTTTTTGAAACACACATGTTTCCCTTCTGTGAAATGGGGTCATAGATTGTTGTAACGTTGCCCCCCCCCCCCCCCCCCCCCACTAATGAACGAATATGCCTGTGTAGTCATTGGCCTACTAGTAATGCAAATATTTTTGCACTGGTATTTCCAGTTGGATTATTATTGCTCAGCAGAGCAAGGTTGTCCATTATGATTGCTGGAATGTTCGTGTGAGTGGTGATGACCATTGTCATGGTCACTCTTCTTCTTTTCATCATCGCCATGTTCATGTCCATCTTCACCATGTTCATGTTCATGTTCTTCAGTATGACTACAACTACAATCTAAACAACATCCAAGATCTATATTAATATTTATATTCCAACATCATAATATATTATTCATCATGATAATGCTACTAGTATTACCTTTTTCTGTTACTTCTTTTCTTTCATCTCCACTACTTTCATCACTACTCTCATCAAATGGTTTCTTTTTATGAAATATACAACATTCTAGAATTAGATAGAGATAGAGAGTGTTAATAATAATGAAAATTGATATACTTTTACAACACTATAACTATAATACTATACTATAGCTTGCTTTGTATCAAGAATGTACTTGTTGTTCTTCTTAAAGTATCAGCTGCTGCTGTGTTGTTGTTCAACATACTCTTTGATTTCTTTTTACTCATATTTTCATTGTCTACAGTGTCTTCACTCCATTGAACTCTCTTTTTCTTCTTTGTTTTGAGTGTTAATCTTAATTGTCTTGCTGTTGGTGGTGTTGATATTGTAGTTGTAGTCGTAGTTGTAGTAGTTGTAGGTACAACTACTGTTGCTATAGTTGTAGTATTCATCTCTATTTATAAAAATATATCTATGTATCTCTCTCTCTCTAGAGCTTTACAAATTAATACTAAATTGTATTTTGAATGAATCGATTGGCAAAGTGTGATGTTGACGACTCCTCGAGAACTTGTTTTTTTTAATATTAATTAAATTGGTATAGGAGGAAAAAGGATTCCAAAGTCATGAGACACCCCCAACTCTAGGATAATAAATAAAATATTCGATTCCTTTAAATCTGTTGCAAATATGGTAATTATCTTGAATTTATTTTTAATTTTCTATTTTTTTTATTAATAAAAATATATTTTCCATAGATTGTAGGATAGTATGAAATGGGAATAATAATAATAATACTAGTCCTATAATCTATAATAATAATAGTATAATAGTTATACATATTTAAAAAAGAAAAAAAGAGATGATGATGAATAGAAGAAAAACAGATATCACGTCAATAGGTCAAGAGGAGGAAAAGAATAAAAAATCGAGTGGAGAACAACCATTACAAATCAGTCAAGAGAGGAAAGTGGAGTTAGTGTCGAGCATAGAAAATGTAGGAATAATCGAGAAAAAAGATAATAATTATTACTATCAAGAATTGAAAACATCGAGATGGTATGATTTAATGTATGGTAGGAAGATTAGAGATATTATAAATGAAAAGAAATTTATAAATAGAAGTGGAGGTCAATTTAATAATAATAATAATAATAATAATAATAATGAACAATTACAAGGAAAATTATTGGTATCATTTTCAGCACATTTGACAAATGTTGGTGATGCACTTAGAATGTTAAAAGAGAATGGGCTGTATGCAGCACCTGTATTTGATGAAACTTTGGGTACTGGTGAAAAGAATGCAAATGTTTGTAATTATTTGGGAATGGTTGGTGTTTATGAAATATTGGCATATCTATTGGCATTCTTTAAAGATCCTAAAATGGTTGATACAATAGTTGGAAAGATTAAAATTTCAACTTGGAATGATAGTGTTGATAAGACCAAAAATCAAGATAATGACCCAGTGGATAAATGGAGTCAATTTTTCAAACATACTCCTATTATCGACGTTTTGGATGCTCTGTCTAGTAAAAGATACAAACCATATAGAGTCTATCTAAATGATTCTATGGCATTTCTATGCAAAATTCTTGACCAAACCAATTATAGTAGGGTTCCAGTGATTGACCACGATCAAATCATTAGCATGGTATCTACGAGTGACCTCATTCGTAGTATAGTCTATCATCGTGAAAAGTTGCCATCACTATTTTTTACGGAATTGGGTGCTTTTGAACACGAGTTGATCGATACAGACTATATCACTGCCACCGATGACATTAAAACTGCCTATGTATTCGATCAACTAGAATCCAAAGGAAAACAGTCAGCTGCCATTGTCGATAGTAAAACTGGTTCCATTCATGCTAATTTTAGTATCACCGATATCAAAGGTATTGTAGATACCAATATCCACGATCTTCAATTATCAATTAAAGAGTTTTTATCTATTCATAGATCAATTGTAAGTAAACTTATAAAGTATAACTTAAAATTAATTTAATACTTTTATTAATTATTTCTTTTTTAGAGTAAAATTGGACCAATAACAGTTACAAAGGAGACAGCATTAATTGATATGTTCAAATTAATGGTAGATAATCAAATACATGGTATTTGGGTAACAAGTGTTGATGATCCAATTATTAAAACAGTTGGTTTTGTTTCATATCCATCAATTATAAAATTCATCTATCATTTAATTCAATTATCTTCACAATCCAATATCTAGTAGCTTTTGTCTATTGTGGAAAAACAATTAATATAGTAATAATAAAACGATTACAAAAAGGACAATGAAATTGTGAATAATATTGTTATTTTTTCTATTCCTAAAAAACAATAAGTTTATTTCAATGGTTGTAAGAGCGATCGATCGACAGCTCATTGATTAGTTTGTGATTCGGCTATGTATCCATTCTTCTTTTTGATCAATTGGAAATTTACTTGATTCCCAATTGTAATACTAGTAAGATGAACCAGAGGTAGAGGTTTGGCCAGCAGTTGAACCAGTGGCTGAACCAGATCCAGAGGTGGAAGAGGATCCAGTGCTGGAAGAAGTTCCAGTGCTAGAGTGAGATCCAGAGGTTATGATGACAGTAGTAGGAGAGAACCCAGCAAAATAGTTCAAATCAACATTGACACCGCATTGTTGAGTGTTACCTAAACGAGAGATCAATAGAAAAAAGAATAATAACATTAGATATCGGTACGAAGGCGGTTTAGTTGAAATAGTCAGCGTGTGTGATGTATTTTATACATACCAATATATTGCTTCATAGTTGGCTTTGTCCAACCACCATAAGAGTAGTACTCGGTGTCATTGAAAGAGGGGACACCATCATAGTGAGCATACCATTGTTTGAGGGCTGAATAATCGTCGAATGAACCGACGGTTTGAGCCCATTCATCAACAGAAGAGTAGATACCGATGGTGATTTGGAGAGAAATGGCAGCTTTGACGGTTTGGACAACAAATTGAGCGTTTTCTGAAACTGATCCTGACCAACATCCATCGCATTGTTCAACTTCAATCCAAAGGGTACCAAAGTTGATATCATTTTCCATGAAATAAGATTTCAAGGTCTTTATTGGATTAGATACTGGATTATTTCCATCACATTTGCTACAGAAAAATGCATACTATAAAACATATAGATTTGTTCAAAAATAATAAGTAAGAAAGAAAGATGATATTATATTTGTCACTTGCAATTGATGTTTAAATACTTACTAGATCAACTTGTAATTTAGCGGCGGTGGCACGTTGATAAGCAGCAGCCACTATTAATATAAAATAATAATAATTAATTAATTTAAATTAGAAAAAAATTGTTCATTTCGATTATTTGATACGCAAGCAGGTCGAGAGAGATACATACAATTTTTATTGAGACCAATACCACCAGACCAAGCTTCGATGATGATCTTTTCGTTTTGTTGAGCTAAACATTGGAATTGTGATAATGTAATGGTCCCAGAGGTATCGGCGTCGACGTCGACAACGTTGTATGCGTTGACAACAACCGATGAAATTGAGAGTGCTACAATTGCTAGAGTAAAGATAATAGCTTTGGACATTGTAATATAATAATAATATAATATAATATATATATAATTAATAAGAACAATAAGAACAATAAAAACAATAAGAACAATAAGAATAATAAGAATAATAAGAATAATAAGAACTCTGGCTAATAATTTAAGAAGGTCTAAGAAGATTGGTTTCACGAAAATTTTTACCGAATAAAATCGTTGTAGAGATATCCCTGATGGTTATAACCATCCCGAAAAAAAATGTTAAAAATGTCGAAAACATCTAAACATTTTTAACATTTTTAACATTTTAAACATTACAAGTACTACCTTAATTTAAACGTATAACTTTAGTATATATCAATCAGCAGTGCTAGTTACAGGAGTTCAATATAATGGATGATGTTTTAACTGTTATTTGTAAGATTTGTGCGAAAATTATCCCTCTTTGTGATGTCAAAGCACATTTACTTGACACATGCATCCCTTCTCTTCTCTTTCGTTATGGATGCGGTGGTACTCTCCCAACATCACAAGAGTTCGAGAAGCTAACACAATCAGATAAAGAACATCAAATATTAAAAGTTAAACATGCAACCTTGCAAGAAAAATATAAGCAACGCAAAGCAACAACAATTGTTACAACATCTCAACCACCTCCTCCAGTATTTAGATATGATTCACCAACAAATTCTATCTTCTCCTCTCCACCACCAACACCAAGTAATTCCTCAATTGCAATGGATAATAGTTTTATGGAAGAGACTTTTCATGTCAAGAAAGAGTTTTTAAAGCAAGCAGATATTCATACATATAACAACAGTAGCAACTTAATTAATCTAGATATTCCTGATGGAGACCAAGGAGTGTGCACACTTGGTAACCAATTTAAGGTGCAGCAGAAAGATGTGATATTTTGTACCAACTCAGTGAGAGGCAGCAACAGAATAGAAATCACTTGTTTCGACAAACAAATTACATTGTGTAAACCTGCACACATTACGGATGAATATTGTCAAACTCATCTCGTTAGACCTCTTCTGGCAAGACCTATATCATTAGATGATGTAAAAGAATCAATATCAAACCGCCCAAAAGAAGAGTTGGTTAAATGTGCATCATGTCCAAACAAATGCACGATGAGCATAAGATGCAAAGCGTCCTCACTCACTCCAATCAAGGATAATTATCTGTACTTTTGCACATATTCTTGTTTCCAAAAATACTTTGGTTCATCATCAGGTAAAACCTGGTCTGCTTATATCGAATCTAGTATGTATTATAATTTTTATTACTACTTATAAAGTACATACAACTGATACCTTATTCTAGAACAACCTAAAAAAGACAAAAAGGAAAAGAAGGAAACGAATAAGGAAAAAGGAAAAGATGATGATTCAGACGAGGAATCCAGCCATGAAGAAGATGAAGAGGGATATGTAGTAGAAGATGAAGAACAACATACAGATAAGAAAAGAAAAGCATCTACACCACCAAAGCCGACAACTAAAAAGGCTCCAGCTAAAAAGGCTGCAGCACCCAAAGACAAAGATAAAAGTAAAAGTTCTGGCAAGAAATAAACTAACAACTATTAATTATTGACACATATCTTCTTCTCTAGAAATTAACAAGATTATAGAGTACTTGGAAGATGAAATAGTATCGTTCATTGGACTTAAATTTGAAGATTTCCAAGATTTATATCAAAACACTATATGATTGCAAAAGACAAAAACAGAAACCAGAGGCACTAAATCAAAGTATTCAATCAGGGGCCAGTTGTTTATTACACTTTGTTGGCTCCGTCACTACCCAAAGAGAATTGTTCTATCTGCATTTTTTAAAATATCGCAAACTACTGTAGAAGAATACACGTCTAACACTTTGGATTTGTTATATCCTCTCTGCCAAGAGAATTTCGATTACTATTTTTCAAAAAGAATGGACAAAGAGCACTATTCAATTTATGTTAAAGACACCAATGAATCTTGCATGGTTACATCAGTGGCAGATGGATCAGAACAAAGAATTTCAGTTCCCATGGATTCCGAAATTGCAATGAATTTTTATAGTGGAAAGAAAGGATATTTCTCAATAACCAAACTTGTCTTTTGTACTCCCACTGGAAAGATTATTTTCATGTCTAAATCAAGACCTGGATCAAGAAATGATATTAACCTCGCCAATGAATCAAGAGCTTTCTATTCTAAACTAGACGAAGTTCTCGAGTTTATTTTGGGAGACAAAGGATTCATAGGTTGTCATGGCATGTATAAACACTTTTTGGTTAACGATAGAAATCCTAAAGCTAGTTTTAATAGAGGTGAGGCTGACAAAAGATTTAAAGCCATTAGAATTATCATAGAAAATGTGTTTGCCCATATGAAAAAGTGGGAAGCATGCAAAGCGACTTTGAGGATCAAATTTTCCGATCCTTCAAAAATTCTTCAACAACATGATCAAATATGGTCAGTTGTAGGATATCTCACAAATAAATACAAAAACATTAGAGGATTATAGTAATAAACTTCTTGTTAAATATGTTTAAAAATGTTAAAAATGTTTTGGTTTTTTCGACATTTTTAACATTTTTTTTCGGGATGATTGTCAACGAAACGAGCTGAGGAAGTTATACACTGTGAATAAACTCAAATGGTCGCAACTCGACTTGTTCACCTTGCCTTTCCATCCAATTATCTTCTTCCTCTTCCGATACAAAATTGAAGATAGTGTATAATATAAAAGGTATAATATATTTATTGTTTCAAAGTTTATTTACTAGTAACATTACTATGCTTTCCATATTGCTAAATATAAATAAAACAGTTAATCAATGTCCTAGGATTTAATAATATTTTTTGTTGATTTAAACATACAATAATAATTGGTTTGTTTTTTAAATTATAACCTTGAACTTGATTTAAGGCATCATTGGCAATAGATTGTGATGAAAATACGACAAAAGCTTGGTTCTTTAATCTACCACTATTGAAATGTGTAATTTGACAATTATCATTCATTTCCTTTTTAGATGCAAAGTATCTTCCAAAGATATATTCCAAGTCTGCCAGTACTACATCTTTTGATAGGTTCTTTAGATACAATCTTTTTGATTCTTGTCCAATTTCCAATTTCTTTTTCAATACATTCTTTTCCAATTCATCCAAAGGTATTTGATTTCTTGTCAATTCTTCCAAACTAATTACATTCTCTCTACTATAATATTTATCTCCATTATTATTATTATCATTGGTAGTAGGTGAATGATGTGATTGTTTAGCTTTCTTTTTTGAATTCTCTATTTTCTTTTCTCCTTGTTTTTCATCACTCATTATTATTATTATATTTGGTTGTTCAGGTATTGGTATTTCTTCTTCCATTCTTTCTTGTTTTTGGTTTAAACTACTACTAGTATCATCTTCATCTTCCTCTTTTTCAATCATCATTTGATTACTATTATTACTATTATTACTATTATTACTATTATTACTATTTGTATTTGTTTTTCTTTTTCTTTCAGTTTGTAATGATGATGATGATACTATACTGGAAGGTGATTCACCTGGAAAAGGATGGGTAAAAGGAGGAGGTAGATTCATTCTATTCATTAGATGTAGTATGTTGGTATAGAATTCTGGTACGGCCAACATGGTCTTGTTGATATTATCAATGATCAATTGATTTGGTGGAGGATATAAAAAGTGGTCTGGTTGATTACCGGTACCTGCCAATGTCGTCGTTTTCATCAGTTCTCTGTCATTGCCAAACAATGCATTGGCCACATTTAACTTTTTCAATGATTCAATGCCTCCTCCTCCTCCCAATGATTCACTTGCCATGATTGCATTCATTTGATTACTATCATCACTATTGATAGATTCAATACATTTCAATGCTCTATCTAAATGATCAAATGTTAAAAATACAGTTCCTACCTAAACAAATAAATAAACAAACAAATAATTAGTTTAACAAATTAATCATCTCTATCTATCTATCTATCTATCTATCAAAGTTACCATTGTATTATCACATATTGATATGTTGATGGGTTGGTATTTATTAAACATATTATGAATCATTTCTTGATTATTTGTTTTACAATCAACCTTTTTAATTCTAACTCTGAATAATGATATTAGACATGACGTCGTAGATGAAGATGAAGAAGAAGAGTAGGTTGATGTTGTTGTTGTTGTTGTCGTTGATGGTTGATCCATTTTACTTTATGTATCTATCTACTATCTATTTTGAGAGATGTTGATGAGCCAAATGAAATTCATTATTGTTGTTCATCAGATGATGGTGTGGTTGTTGTTTGAAAATATTAATATTATTTGCAATAATAATGATTACAAAGTCTGATCATAAGAAGGATCGATACTACTATATTAATAACTGTGCAGAGAGAGATGTATCTGTAATTATTAAATGGAATAAAAAAAATAAAGTTCAAATTCACGAGGACGAACGACTTGCATTATTTCTTACAAGTCGATTCATTCTTCTTTTGAATAAACATACCGACTACGCCGACTATAAATTTATCTATCTATCTATCTTTTAGTTTTAGAATTGGGTAGATAAAAGGAATGGCACCACCAAATAAGAAACCTTCTCCTACACCTACTACTAGTAATACACCTCAACAACAACAAAATGGAAAGAAGAAATTCACACCAAATCTAATAGTTAAGAAACAAGCACAACAACAACAACCAAAGATTAATAATAACAAAGATGCAGCATCAACAACATCAACAACTTCAACAACAACAAAATATAAACCAGTTAGTCAAGAAATACTTGAACAAAAGATACATTTACCAGTATATAGTGCACGTGAAGCATTGATAGAGAATATTAAAAACCATCCTTCAGTTATTATCATCTCTGAAACTGGTACTGGCAAAACTACACGTATGTTCTATTGATTGATTACAATATATTATGTACCAAGGTTATCAATACTAGAGTTTACTTTGTTCTATAGAGATACCACAATACCTAAGAGAGAGTGGATTCACAAAAGATGGAATAGTAGCAATTACTCAACCAAGAAGAGTTGCTGCCATATCGATTGCAAAGAGAGTTTCAGAGGAAATTGGTTGCGAGTTGGGAACCGAAGTTGGTTATTGTGTTAGATTTGATGACAAGACATCACCTGAAACACGTCTAAAGTACATGACCGATGGTATGTTGGTGCGTGAGGCAATGATTGACCCCAAACTATCAAAATACAGTGCAATCATATTGGATGAAGCTCATGAACGTACTCTCAACACTGATATATTATTCGCACTCTTAAAATCAATTCAAAGTCAACGTTCTTCTCTAAAGATTATTGTAATGTCTGCTACTCTTGATGCTGAATTATTTAGTAATTATTTTAACAAGTATGAAAAAGAAACAAAAAGAAAGAAAGAGAGAAGAAGAAAAGGAGACATCACGATATACTTATTTGTTTGTTATTTATTTATTTTTAGAGCACCAATATTATATATTGAAGGTAGACAATTCCCTGTTAGAGTTTATTATACAGAAGAGACACAAAAGGATTATGTTGATGCTGCATTGGTGACGGTATTACAAATACACGTAAATGAAAAGAACGATGATCAGGATGGAAATGGAGGTGATATATTGGTGTTTCTGACGGGTCGTGAAGAGATTGAAGCATTGGAGAGATTGATGGTTGAGAGAATCCCAAGATTGCCACCTGATTCAAGACAGCTTATCGTGTGTCCAATCTATTCAGCGTTGCCACAGGAACAACAAATGAAGGTGTTTGAACGTACACCAGCAGGTTCTAGAAAGGTGGTCATTGCCACTAATATTGCTGAAACCTCGCTTACCATTAATGGTATTCGGTATGTTGTAGACACCGGTGTTGCAAAGACACGTATTTACAATTCAAAGATTGGTTTGGATACATTGACAGTACGACCCATCTCACAGGCATCGGCCAAACAACGTAGTGGTCGTGCTGGTCGTGAGTTTGCTGGCAAATGCTATCGTCTCTACACAGAAGATCTCTATGAACAATTGGATATGAGTTCGATTGCAGAGATTCGTAGATCAAGTATTGCAATGTTGATTCTACAACTAAAAACAATTGGAATCGATGATGTATTGTCATTTGATTTCCTCGAGCGTCCCCCTCTCGAAACCGTTCAACAATCACTCGAACTATTGTATTGTCTCGATGCTCTAGATTCAGATGGTAATCTTTCACCTCTTGGTAAGAAAATGTCTTCATTTCCTCTTGAACCAATGTATAGTAAAACTTTAATAATGTCCGAGGTAAAGAATAGAAAAAGAAACAAAAAAAAAAAAAGAAATATATATTAATTTTTGATTTAGAAATTTGAATGTATGGAAGAAGTATTAATTATAATTAGTATGTTATCAGTTGAATCTATATTCTTTTCACCAAAAGAGAAACAAAAAGAGTTGGAGATTGTCAAACGACTGTTCTTTTCACCCGAGGGTGACCATTTGACACTGTTGAACGTGTTTAGAGAGTACCAAAAGGTCAATGGTAACCAGCAGTGGTGTTACGACCACTTTATCAATGCCAAATCGATGGTCAAGGTGGTCAGCGTGTTTGAGCAGTTGCTCGAGTACTGCACCAACTCTAGAATGAAAATAAGCTCGTGTGGTGAAGAGACAGAGCGTATCCGTAGATGTTTTATCACTGGATTCTTCCTCAACATCGCATCGTTGCAACCAGACGGCAAATACAAGACCATGGCAGACCACAGAGAAATCTTTGTTCATCCAACCTCTTTTATGTTTGGTATGACACCAAGTCACATCCTCTACAACGAACTATCCATCACATCCAAACCATTCATCAGAAACATCACAGTCATCGAACCAACTTGGCTTCCCGAATTAGTTCCAAAATATTATGCAAACAAAGAAAATCAAGAAGAAAATGAAGTAGTAAAAGAAGAGATTAATAATAATAATACAAACAATGATGATATAAAATTAACAGTTAATAAGAATAAGAAATCACAATTATTACAACAACCAAATAATATTAATAATAGGAACACTAATACTACTGCGCCAACACCAAATAATAATAATAATAATAATAAAAAGAAGTAAAAATCTATCTATCTTTATAAACAAAAGGTATGGGATCCAAGTGGTGCACTAAAGTGGGGAGGGCGTGTCCGAGACCCCGACTCGCACTCTTACCCAAAACCCAAAAAGAAGTATCGAGAAGTCAGGTTTTCCTTTTTTGAACTGGGTCTCGAACTTTTGTCGCGACAATCTCACCACCCAACGACAACGACATGATTCATTCTGATAATGAAATTTTATTACAAACATTAATGACATCACCCCCCTTTCTATGTAACTCTCTTAAACCATACCTATTTTCGAAAATAGAGAGATAGAGAGAGAGAGTTACAGATAGATAGATAGGTTGATCAATCAACTATTATAATTAGATATATATACACATCATCCATCATCACTCATATATATATATTTACATTAATGGTTTAATACTCTAGAGTTAGTTAGTTTTATTTATTTATTTTATTTTATTTATAATAGTGTAATAATAGTTTAATACTCTTCAAGTATTAGAAGAATCGTTGTAGCGATAATAATGGTATTTGAAGGAGTAATAGCAGAAGTAATCGATAGATTCTTGGGGAGTTTTCTTCAAGAGGTCACAAAGAAACAATTAAAGATTGGGTTGTTTGGCGGCAATGTAGTTTTAAAGAACATAGAGGTCAAGCCGGAAGCGTTCCGCGCTTTTGATCTACCCATACAGGTCAATAGAGGTGTTGTAGGACGGCTCATTGTCAAAGTGCCGTGGACATCGTTAAAGTCAGAATCGGTCGTCATCCAACTCGAGGACATCTATATATTCGCATCGGCTGCTCAACAATCCTCTGCATTCTCTTCATCTTCTTCTTCATCTTTTTCAACAACTTCTAATAGTAATAATAATAATAATGACGACGGTGATGTTGGGGGAGACGAATCAGAGGAAAATGACAGTAGCGTACAATTCTTAAAGTTTCTAAAATTGGACAAAAAGAAAAAGAAAAGGAAAAAGAAAAGGATAGTAGTATTGATAGTAGTGCATCTAGTATAGATGATGCACAATTACAAGATGGAACAAATGGTATTGTCGATCCAAACGCACCACCAACAAAAAAGAAAAAAGATTCATTTAAAGAGAAATTGATTTCAAAGATTATAAACAACTTGCAAATTGTTGTTGAAAAGTTACATATTCGATATGAACATCCAATTAGTGATAATCAATTGGTTGCAGTTGGTGTATGTCTTGACAAGATATTTGTACAATCTGCAGATGATAAATGGGTACCTACTTTTATTGCAGACGGCAGTAATGACCAATCATCTGCTACTGCCAACGCTGCCGCTGCTGCCGCCGCCGCTGCACAATCTACCCCATCAACAAGTACATCAATGAACAAATTAGCAGAGGTATCCAATATATCAATCTATGTAGATCATCTACAACCTTTGCAATCACTATCGAAATTGGCAACCAAGGAACTATCAAGTCATCTTCGAGAGAGTATTCCAAGTGCCAAAGACAATAAAGGTCACCACATGTTACTCGATCCACTATGTGCCAGTCTCAAACTACAACTTCATCAATCGTCCAACGCATCCATTCTCCAAAACAATATTACAAAGATTGATATAGTCACTGTCATTGAAGAAATTGGTCTATCTCTTGAACCAAAACAATATTCATCACTATTATCATTATTAGAATCTCTTAGTGAATTTGTAAATGAATTTAAAGTATGAAGTAAAAAAAAAAAAAAAAAAGAGGAAATCAAATATCATTTATTAATATTTCTATTCTATTCTATTTTATTTTTGTAGGAAGAACAAAATCAATCATCAAAATCAGCATTTGAAACATTGATTAAAAAGACTGTAGCATTGAAGGATTTGAAAAAGAAAAAGATGATGGATCCAGAGAGTGAAAAGAAAAAAGAGGATTTAAAGAAAAAGAAACAAGAGAAGCGCGATAAAAAGGAAAAGGAGAAAAAGGAAAAGGAAGAAGCCAAAAAGAAAAAGAAAAAAGAGTTAAAGGACAAGAAATCAACAAGCAAGTCTAGTTCGTTGGTAGTATCACCTGTATTGTCTGCAGGTGGTGGTGACTCACCATCGATCAGTCGTAGCAATAGTAACAACAATTTAACCAATCTCACAAACATGAGTGATACATCTGAAACTGATGATGATGAAGATGAAACAATTATGGATAGTTTGGAAGATGATGATCATCATACTAGTATTAAACCAGGTTTAGTATTTGATGTTGAAACCTCAACAATGACATCATTGTCATCACCATCAGATATTACTTCACCAATTTTTGAAAAACCTTCATCTGAAATATTAAAACAACAATTATATGATACTATTGGATATACTTCACCTCCCCCTCCATCAACAACCTTGTCACCCTTAACAACATCAGATCAACCATCAAATACTTTACCAAAACAAGGAAAAGAAATATGTTTAGATGTTATTATAAATACTATACATATACAATTAAAATCGGATAATGGTAATGAAGGACCTTTGATATATGGCGATATATCAGGTATTAAAGTAAAGTTGATCAAACGACAAGATATTATGCAATTGAAAGCTGATCTTGGATCAATTCGATTGTCTGGGCTATGGATTCAAAACGAACACTTTCCAGATATGATCTCGTCTGGCATGTCCAAGAATTTCTTGTCATTTCAAATGCAAATGATGAATCTTGTTCAATCTCCAACAGTGATCAGTACGACTGCAACACCACCCAAAAGAAAGATTACGATTGGTATTCAAGTGGAGCCAATGTATTTTGTATTAAATACAATGGCTATCCTTAGATACATGCAATTGTTGGCACCGTCACATCAAATTGATTTGTCTGGCTTTTCACATGGTGGTTCATCAAAGAAAAAGTCAAAGTCTAAAGGAGACAAGATTGTCGAATTGGATATTTCAGCAGCCTCCCCCACCCTCATCATCCCAATTCAACATGATGACATTCAAACTGAAAGTTCCATTTTCATCATTGATCTTGGTAAAGTTACAATGAATAGTCGTGATTCCGATAGTTATCAATTTCAACTAGATAATATGACTTCAATCCTAACAAAATCACCAATGCAATCAAACAACAAGGGCAACAACAAGGAACAAGTTATACCATTCAATTTAGAACCAGAATTGGATAAAGAGGATGAGTCAGAGGAAGAAAAGAAAATGATAAACAAGACTCAATTATGGTGTTTAAAACAACAAGAAATAGGATTGCCAGTTTTTAATACTTGTATAGATGTAGTTTTACATAAACGTAATGCAGATCAAGATCCAATGAAAGTACCTCGTATTCATATGACAGCTCTCATTCAAGATATGACTGTCTACTTCTCACCATTTACATTTTATCAAATTAGAATGTTTTCTCATCTATTGACAATTGAAATTGAACGTGTAGAACAAGCTGTTCAACATTCTTTTCAATTTAAATTACAACAATCAATCAATAATAATAGTAATAATAATAATAATAGTAATGTAAAATCACAATCGACAACACCCATTTCTTCACCAAATTTAATTATTAATAATAATAATGGATCACCAGATAATCAAACAAGACCACCAGTTGATTTTAAATTTTCAGCAACTGTAAATAATGCAAAGGTGATCATTACCAATTTAATCAATCAACAAAACAATAATGATAAACCACAAGATGTAATACTACAAGGTCATTTTAGAGATTTATGGGTTACTATTGAAAAATCAAAATCAAGATTGGATGGTGATTTTGGTGCTGGTTCTCTTCAAGTTTATCAAGAAGAATATTATGATCAAGATCCTTATCTTGTCCTAACTTCTATTACTGGTGGTCCAAATAATAATCAATCTTTTGTTCATGGTATTTTATTGGCTAAAATTTCGGTATGTCAAAAAAAAAAAAAAAAAAAAAATTATATCGTTTATTAATTATTATTTATTTTTATTTTTTTTAGGAACCAAAACAAGATGAAATTTTAGGACCAAAATTAACAGAATTAACTTTAGATACTTCAGCCATTTATGGTAATGTTCATCCTCAAGTTTTAGGTAATCTAATTGAATTAATTCAAATGATGTATGTAAAACAAATATAAATATATGAAAGTTATTGATTAAACTAATATTTTTTATTTTATAGTGTACTGGTTAATAAAAAAGTAATTAATACAGTAATTGATAAAGTACCAAAATCAAAAAAGAGTGGTAGATTAAATCAATTAAATTTACAAATACCATGTAAAGGAGTAACGGTTGATATTAGACCGACAGAGAGTGATAGAAGATTGTTGGCAAGTTTTTCAGTAACCGATCCAATTGTTAATTTGGTCAAAAAGAATGTAAACAGTTTTATGGAATTGTGGTTCACTGTCAATTCATTTTCAATGCAAGACATGTCATTGACAGATCCCATCCGTTACAAGGAAGAATATAAACGAGTCATTAGTACTGTTCGTGACAATCAACCAAATGAACCTTGGGTAAAGTTTAAATATTCTGTCAACAAGGTAGAAAGAGCCATAGAAGCACATATGCAAAAGATAACCATCATTGCATTACCATGTTTTATGACAATGGCCAAAGACTATCTATTGGATTTGTTCCAGTATCTCCCCATGCTATTTAGTAAGGGTGCAGGTAAAATCGAAAGAGTCAAGAGTGGCAAACCAAGAAAGTTTTTAAAACTCACAATCAATGTTCAAGTACCAACGATCTTACTGCCCAAAGACGAGTCATCTAATCATCAACTATGTATTCAATTGGGTACTTTGGAAATGTCAAATCAATCAATCAAGAAAAAGGTTTCAAAATCAAAACAAGAGGTTAAAGAATTGCAAATGGAAAAGTTGACCATTCAAATGAGAGGATTCAACATTTCACAGAAATACTTTGATAGTAGTTCAGTGATTGATATTATGGAACCATTCTCTGTCAATTTGTCACTTGCCAATATCGTCGACCCAGCCTTTCACACTAGTACCAATATTGATTGCTCTAAATTGGATATCAACATTGGTCTCAGTCCAATAGTATTCAATTTAAATGGTCAACAAGATATTATAGATCAAATGACAACTGTCTTTTGTTTATTGCCATTGATCAAGGATTTTAAAACTGAAATGAAATGTCTAAGGAATAGTTTTAAGCCGGCAGCTATAGTCTCTTCAACATCACCTGTTTTATTAAAACAACAACTCAATCAATCCATTAAAATGATTGCTTCAACTAGTTCACCACTTCGGTTCTCTGCATCATCTCCATTACGATTTTTACCATCACTTGCCAATCAATCAAATAGTTTACAAAAGTTATCATTGAATCAACAATTATCCAACAACAACAACAACATTTCACCAACACTATCGTCAGTCTATACCAAACTTTCACTTTCAATACATATTGGAGCATTTAGAATTGATATGCCATCGATATCAATGTCATTTACGATTAGTGACACTAATCTCAATCTCTCTGTACAATCTAATCAACAACTATCATCTAATCTTGGTATTGGAAAGTTACACATGGATTATTATCATCAGGATCAACAAGCTCCTCGTCAAATCATCTCTATGAAAGATTCATCAGTCTTGAATACATTGGAAATGACTTTTAATAATAATACCCAACAAATTAATAGTCAATTAAATAATAGTGGTGGTGGAGGAAAGAATAATATTCCATTTGATAGTGAATTATGTTTAAAATTACAACAAATTCAAATCATTTTAGATTATGATTTCCTAAACATTTTGTTTGGTTTTATTACACCAATTTTGGATTTGGTATTTCAAAATTCAAATCAACAACAACAACAAAAACTCTTACTTCAACAACAACAACAACAAAATTCTTCATCATCTTTACAATCAAGTAATAGTTTTTTATTAAATTCAAGTATGAATGGAATTTTTAAATCATCAACAGAATTATTAAATTCATCATTGTCATCATCAAGTTCATCAGTTGGTGGTAGAAATAGAACATTGAAAAGAGATAAATCAATGGTAATGCAATTTATTGATACAAATTCACCAACAATGAAAAGAAAAATGTCATTGAAACAACCAAATACAAAATCTTCTTCATCCTCTTCGTCGACGAGAATTAAATTATCAATTCAATTACAAAGTCCAAAAGTTATCATTACATTGAATCAAATGGATATATTAATGATTGATTTTGGAAAGATCAACCTTGATAATCTTTATTACTCTAAATACTATAGTCAGCTGTCAAGTAGTAATGAAGTAATGTTAAATTATGAAAGTATGGAGATTGAACTGTCACAACTCAATATTCAATCGGTTCATCTTGCTAGTCATACCAACAATCAAATATTGTCAGATGTAAATGTTGTACTATCAATTGATCTATTGGTTGAATCGCCACCAGAAGGATCCAACCTACCACTACAACATTTAAATCTTCTTTGCAAGAGTATTCAAATCATGGTTACTCATCAAGATTATCAATTCCTATTGGAAACATCAATGAAATACTTGTTGCTTTACAAATCAATATTGGATCCAGTACTTGTCAAACAAAAGGAAATGAAAAAACTTTTAAAACAACAAAAATCTCAACAAAAAGTACAATCAATGACAAGAAGAACAGAAGTATCAATATTTTTAAATGAATTAAGATTTTCGTTGAATCAAACTGAAACTAGTCCATTACTATCATTAATTATAAATGATGTAAAGGGTAATGTTTTGGTAGATGGACAAGATGTAACATTGGATACATTGATTCGATCACTTCGTATCATGGATACTGCAACTGATACTAGTAAAACACAGTTTGCAGATTTGGTGTGTAGCAAGAATATTACTACATTTGGTGGATCACTCAAAGAATCATTACATCTATCTACCAATCAATTCAAACCCCCTCAACATCAACAACAAATGTTGGATCTACCAGTCATCTCGTTGCACATGACCATTGACAAACAAAATAATAGTTTGGATATACAATCTACACTTGATAGATTACGTATCTATATTGCTCCAGTCATTGTATTCCAAATGATGGATTTTATAATGCAACCTCAACAAACCATCCTAGCACCATATAAAAAACAATTAACAGATTTAAAAAATCAACATAAAAAAACAACAATCAAATCGTCGTCGTCGTCGTCGAAAAGATCAATCAATGTAGATGCCAATATTAGTAAATTAAAGATATTATTGGTAGAGAATCCACAATCTATAGATTCAAATTTGGTAATTGCCAAGCTAAGTGCAACGATGACATTTTCTGACAAGTTGGGATGTAATCGTTCCATTTCATCTCAACTATCACAATTTCAAGCATTTTCATTTAGACATTCGATTGCTGGCGTTTCATCATCTAGAGTTGCATCACTTATTGATCCAGTCAACATTCAGGCCAACATTAACATGTTGACAGCAAAAAGTCAAGACCCCAGCCAAAAGAGTTCTCAAGTCATTGAAATCAAATTAATTCTAGATCCTCTAAATTTCTTTATTTCTTATCATGACATTATTCTTTTAACTTCTATTGCTGGTCAATTAGTTACTTCAATTAATTTAAATGATCATTTAATTAAAAAGAAGAAAAAAAATAATAATAATAATAATAATAACGATCCAACTCCATCTTCTTCATCCTCTACTACTTCTTCATCAAAAATAATTTATTTAATGATTCAATCACCACAATTGGGAATAACATTAATTAATGATTATATGGATCAAAATATACCATTGTTGGATTTATCATTATATCATTTACATGTAGAGATGCAAGAGATACAAAAAGTAATGACCATTTCAATACGATCCAACATTTTGGCAGATTATTTTAATAATAATCGTATGGCGTTTGAACCATTGATTGAAAGTTGGAATTTCTCTTGTGCCATTACCAAAGCCAAGAATCCAAAATTATCACTCATATTCAAATCAACTCAAACTCTAAATCTAAACCTTGGTTATGGTTTTGCTCATAGTTTTCTCACCAATTTTAATAGTATTCAATCTGATCTATTAAATACTATTCCTTTTATTAAATCTTTATTTAAAAAGAAAAAGAAAAAAGAAGAAAAGGAAAATGAAGATTTATCAATTAGCTCAAGTTTGGTATCAATGGATGATTTACCAAAGATTAATATTTCTTCTTCTTCACCAACACTTGGAGAAACTGCAAATAATATTATTAGAACCAATTCTTCATCAAATCTTAAAAAGACAACTTTTTTGGAACCAGAGACCTCTACGTCGTCTACATCTAAAAAAGCATCACCATTATTACAAACTATTAGTATTAGAAAGTTGACATCATCATTTCACCCATATTGGATTGTAAACAAAACTGGTATAGATATTGAATATCAAGTAGTTGAAAAGGTACCATCTACACCACCAACCTCACCAGTACTACTCAATCAATCAAGATTATTTGATGAACTTGGTTCTTCGACGACATCTTCATCATTTCAACATGACCACCTAAATAGATCAACATCAATTCCCATTTTATTGGAAAATGAATCCAAACAACCAGTTCAATTGGATCCAAGATTATTATTGGCTGTCAAGAGTAGTCGTGATTTTAGAGGTTTTAAACAAGAAGCAAGTGGATCACTTGACAATGGACCATTTATTGCCATCAAACTAAGCCATCGTTCACCCTTTTCCATACCAATCCCTGTTGGTAAAGTTGGTATCACTACCATTCAAATCAATAATCGAAAAATACTCTTTGAAGTTGGTTGGAATGAAGATGGTAGTAAATTGGTTACTATTCGTTCAAATATTATAATTAAAAATTCAACTACCCTAAACTTGGAATTGAAATTTATTAATAATATTAAATCACAAAATGGTTCATCTCAACAATCAAATGGTGGATCATTATTACCAAAAATAATCTTTCCAAATGAAGAATATATTGTACCATTACAATATATAAATAGTAATAAGAAACTATCAATTCTACCAAATATGGATCAAGGTGTAGAATATCGTCATAGTAATTTAAATAATGATATTATTAATCTTGAAGAAGAAAATTTATCAAATCTTTACAAAATTTCAACTTGTCACCTAATCAATCAAAGAAATAATAATAGTAATAATAACTCTTCTTCATCTTCTTCATCATTTAATATTTATCCATCAATAACATTAGTAATGACAACAAATTTAAATTCAAAACCAATTGAAGTAAAGGAAGAGATTGTAAATGAACAAATTGATGAAATGATTCAAGATCATGTTTTCAAGAATATCAACAATATAAAGAATAATATTCAAAATATTAATCAAAATATACGTGGAAAAAAGTCAACAACCAAATCACCAACAACCAATCAAGATGATGAAGTTCAAATAGAAGAGTCGTCATCTCCATTGTCACAGTCTTTGGAATATATTTTGGATGAAGAAAGTAATATAGTTGTAAATATATTACCACCAATTCAATTTGAAAATCTTTTACCATGTCCACTTGGTTTAATATTTCCAACATCTATACCAAAAAGAAATATGGTATTTAAAGTAGAAAGTCAAAAGTCGCTATCTGTCTATTGTCAAGATCCAAGAAATAGTGTACAATTGATGATGACTGATGTACCAGGATTTAATGCACAATATTTCTTGTTGGTAGATTGCTCCAAGAATTCAGAACCAGTAGTTCGTTCATCGATTCGTTTCCAAGACGAACAAGAACAAATGAAACCTCTGAATATTATGATTGGAAACAAAGAAATGATTGAAAATGTTAGAATACTCTCATTTTATGTTCCCTATTGGGTCATTAATCGTACTGGTCTCCCAATTGCCTTTCAAAAAACCAAAAACCATTCCAATCATTGGTAAAGAGGCAAAGATCCCACAAGTATTGACAAATGTAGTAGAGGAACATTTACCGGCCGCTGCCAACTTGAAATCAAAACATCAACCAAAATTAGATAAAAAGAAGAATTGTCATATCGATGCTGCCATGGTTCTCTATCACAGTAGTAAATTAATGTTAAAGTTGCCAAATCATAAATGGTCAAATAGTATTTCGCTGGAAAGAGGTGGTACTGGTGGCAACGTTACAACACTCTATTGTGAAGATGAACTCTCTACAGGTGAATTAAACTTTAGAGCCAATATTACACTTGGTAAAGGAAATCTACAAAGAACTAAAATGGTCACTATTGATTATCAATACATTTTTGTAAATTGTACTCCTTTTCCAATTTTAATTCGTCAAATTGATAATAATCAAAATAATCAAAATAATCAAAATCAAAATAATAATAATCTAAATAGTTCATATAGAATTGAATCTGGATCAAAGGTACCATTTAATTGGTCAAACAAATATGAAACAAGATATGTTCAAATTAAATTTGATGATGATCAATATAGTTGGAGTGGTAGTTTTTCAATTGACGAGGTTGTTACAATGACTATCAAGATTCGTAATTGGACCAATTCAATGGCACCTTATTTGGCACGAGTAGATATCAATGTTGGTACTGGTCTAGTAATGATTGGAGAAGAAAATACAAGTCATCCACCATTTAGAATTGAAAATAATACTCCTCGGACGATAAAGTATTATCAAAGTGGATATAGTATTCAAGATGTACTTGGTCCTTATCAATCGACTGCCTATAGTTGGGATGAAACCATGTCTACTAGAATTTTGGTGGTTGACCTTGGAGAACAACAACAACAACAAGTGGTTAAATTTAACATTATGAAAATCAAATCATTTAAACCAATTAAAATTGGTTCCAATACAATTTATTCTCATGTAAATGTTGATGGTCCAACTAGAGTATTGTATCTAACCTATGAAGATCCAAATAGTAATAATAATAGTAATGAACAATCTGGTGATTTGGAAATTGGTCAATTGGATTTATCATTGGAATTGGCTGGTATTGGTATATCAGTCATTGATCATCATCCAAAAGAGTTACTTTACATTTCACTAAAGAATGGTATATCGATGGAATTTTCACAATCCAATTTCTATAGTAAATTGGAATTGATTGTTTCACATTTTCAAATTGACAATCAATTAATCAATGCTGATCAACCAGTACTATTTTATGCAACACCAAACGTTTTCAACAATTCTCTCAACAATCAAATATCAAAACCATTTTTACATTTTAGTTTTGTTAAAAATCAACAAAACAAAGGTTTAATGTATTTTGAAATCATTACCCTACTCATTCAAGAATCAAATTTATTATTGGAAGATGGAATTTTAAGTTCAATCATTGAAATGTTGACAAAATTTTTAGATTTAAAAAAAAATTATTTAAAAAGGATAAAGATCAAAATGAAATGGATGATAATAATCAAAATCAAAACTATGATAATAATTTTATTCATTTAAAAGAAATCAAAAGATTTAAAACAAGTTTAAAATCATCAAAAATGATTTATACAAAATTACTGTTGCTTCATCCAATCAAAGTATTACTGTCATTTTCATTTGTAAGAGATGGATTTATTGGACAATCACAATCAGAAGTAGTTGGTATTCTTTTAGAAGTACTTGGTATTAGTTTTAGTTTGGAAAGAACTGCTATCTGTCTAAACTCGTTGATGTTGGAGCACCCATTCCTTAGTAAAAAATCACTCATTAGTCGTATCAAAAAACATTACACTATGCAATCACTCAATCAATTGTACAAGGTAATTGGATCATCTGATACATTGGGTAATCCGGTTGGTCTATTTAATCACTTGTCAACTGGTGTCAAAGACTTTTTCTATGAACCTGCAATGGGTCTTGTTACTTCACCCAAGGATTTTGGTAAAGGTCTTGCAAAGGGTTCAATATCATTGGTCAAAAATTCTGTCTATGGTTTGTTTAATACTTTGACAAAGGTTTCAGGTGCAGTTGGAAAAGGTGTCAGCCTACTATCATTTGATGAACAATACCTTAGAAATAGACAAAGACTATCACAAAAAAAGGCAAGACATGCACTTGAAGGAATGGCATATGGATTTAAAGGACTTGGAAAGGGTGTGTTGGATGGTGTCACTGGTCTAGTCATTAAACCAGTTGAAGGTGCCCAACAACAGGGTGTTGAAGGATTTGCAAAGGGTATGGTCAAGGGTATCGTAGGACTGCCCATCAAACCAGTGGTCGGTGCATTTGACCTCGCCACACGTACCACTGAAGGTATCCGAAACACCACCAATCTCTTTCAAGAAGCGTATCGTGTACGTCCTCCTAGATTCTTTGGCAAGGAACATATATTGGTAGAATATAATTTCGATCAGAGTGAAGGTGGCTTCATACTCTTGTCAACGTACAAGGGTACCTACAAGAGTGATCGTTATATTGCTCATTTCCGTCTCTCCAAGTTTATCGCCGTCGTCACCAATCAACGTCTCTTGTGTGTCAGACCTACTCGCTCTAGATACTCTTTTAGATGGCAAGTCCCCCTAGAAAATATTAAATCAGTCTCTAGTGTCATCGACCAAGGTCTGCTCCTAACATTTGACCATCTTCAGAAAATATCAATGGTCGTCGATTATCGCTCGCAATTTTTGGTTCCCATTGCCAATGATAATGATCAATTGGTTCAATTGGAATTATTATTAAAAGATACTATTAAAAATTTTAAATAAATCGTAAACTAAATTTAAGTAATCTGAGAGAGAATTTTTTTCGGTTTTTTTTTTTTCTTTGTAGTTTTGCTCGTTCGTTTTTTTTTTCGTTCTCCTCTCTCCCATCATCTTTGTCTACGAGATCAACCTATAAACAAGAGGTGGTTGGACTGTAAAAATCAGTTTTTTTTTCCTGTCTGAATTACCTCACAACTATCCTGGTAATCCAATCAATTGGCTATTGGAATGCCGAGAAACCCAGACTAGAGGAATCGGTGCGCAGTATTTATTGGTGACTAGTGAATCAATGAAGAGCCTGTATACCTACAACTTTTAAAAATTAAATTACAGATAATAATAATAATAATTGAGCTAAACTAAGGAGTCTATCATTGATTTATTCTTCAAACAGATATCAAAATAGGTTCTTATTCTTCTTTGATTTCATCCTATAAACAAGAGGTGGTTGAACTGTAAAAATCGGTTTTTCCTGTATGAAATACCTCACAACTGTAATCCGTGGTGGCAGAATTTGGACAAATCAATCGGATTAAAGATAGAAATACAAACAGAATTAATTGAACAAATTGTTTAGTCTAATCGGAAATTATTTGTTGATTATTTTCATTGTCTTTGATCGTTGAAGATTGTAGTTTCATGATGATTTACTCTTTATATGATGAAAATGCCTCCGGAAAGATTAATTGCCTAATCTCACAATCTATATTATTATTGATTATATTTTCTTTATAGCCAGTTTAGTTGTTATTATCGTTGAGGAACTGATGTAAATTGGTATCTTTAAAAAATGGGTCTAAAAATCGGGGCAAATTCCCACATTCGAAAAGTGACTTCAACAAAGGCTCCATAGTTGAATGGTACAATACTACCTTTGGGTGGTAGTGGTCTGGGTTCGATTCCCGGTGGAGCCCTTTTCTTTTTTTATTTCGCTGTGTGCCGCCCAAAAAAAAAAAAAAAAAATACCAAAAAAATACAAAAAAACAACATCATTCTTACTTTTTTTGGTAATTGATCATATTAAATTAAAAGATTAGTTATTTTTAATCACACCATTTAAAAACAAAAAAAAACAAAAAAGATAATAAACAAAATACATTTAAATTGTTTAATAAAAAAAAAAAGAAAAGGAAGAGATATGATGGCACAAAATCTGAAAAGGTAATCGTCGTGTCTCACTCTAGTCTCCAAAGGTCATCAATTCATAATATGGCCTCATTTCTCACCTTAAACTAAAAAGAGCAAGCTTGTAGTAGTTGTAGTTGTTTATTTCAGGAACCATTTAAAATACAACAACTTTCAAAAAGATAGTACCTTCTAGTTGCAAACCATCTCAAAAAGTCATATAATCCATTGTCAATGCTGCCAAATCATTTGCCTTTTTAACCGCAGATTCCTATGAATGGATATTCAAGAGGTAATAAATGGTTCTTTATGGCAATTCAAATCTTGTTATCCTGGTAAGAGATAAAAAAAAAGATATAAAAAAATATAAATAATTATTTTTATTAATTGTTGTTTGTTTTTTTAGCTTGATAGGGATATTGCACATTCACTCGATCCAAATTATCCACCACATGTACATTTAAGGATTGAAAAGGATGAAGGTCAAGCAAAATTATCAACAGATATTATGATCAAACCTTTTATTGAACCAAATCTTGGTAGTTATTTTAAAAAATAATAATCAATTTTATTTATTTTAGATCTAAATATGCAGATGTATTCTTTTGTAAATTATTCAAGAAGTATTATGGACAAAATGATCATACAATGAGTGCATCTCATATCCAACCATATGATCCATTCAATTTCCATGAATATTTGGCATTACAACCACATTACTCTGGACAAAACTACGATATAAAAATCTTTATCAATGTCAATGATAATAGTTGATAAAATGAGATAATAGTGGTCATCAATAGTTTTAAAATTGAAACTGCTTGGATCAATTGCAATGGTAAAAAAAAAAAAATCAAAATTTAATCTAATTCATTTGTTTTTTTTCTTTCTTTTGTAAAACATAACATATCATGTTTTTATTCACTTAAAAATAAAAGATCTTTTTGATCTTGTTTGTAAGATCGAGCTGCTTGATCCATTGTAAACCCGTTGGTTGGTGTATAATTTGAGAGGTAAAGGACAGAGAGACTGGATTGATAAACGCATTGCTTGGAAGCACCGAGCAGTTGTGGCATTCCCAAAAAGTAATGGGTAATATCTTCATCTTTATACTTTCCATCTGGGTACAAACGTTTAATAGAGGCAGTGTCATTATTGGTGATTTTTGGGAAAACATTTAGATTCGCATCAATGCCAAGACAGTGTGACTTGAAATTGTTGACATGATGGACACATGTCTTTTGATACTCTAAAAAGGTTCCTTCACATACTCGATGGTAAAGGTTTTGAGAGACCTTAAACTTTTCGACGATATAGCCCTGTGCCGATACATTAAAGCAAACCATTGCAAGACACAAAAGTATAAAGACATTTGCTCCAACCACACACCACATAATAATCTTGAACATGCCAACTTGTTTGGAACTCTTCTTTTGCTGATACTTTAGAAATCTCTGGTATTCTCCTGGTTTCATTTTAACTTGTTCTTCTTTTTCTTCTTCCTCCTTTGGTAGAAGATCGTATTCTATTTACAGTTTTTTGTTATTCACCTTATTGAATGGTACAGTAAGGCATAAGAATAGGTTGCACTATTATTATTGTCACTGTTGGTGGGTGCAGTATTTGTGCTACTTTCTTGTGATACCATGTTGTTTGTTGTTGTTTCATCTTTTTGTTGTTCGATTGGTTGTTCCGATTCTTCTCCTTCTTCTTCTTGATCACCAACTTGTTTTCCTTCATCATTGGTAGTTTGGAATTTTGGTAAAACAAAAAAATACAATTTATTTTAACCTTTTTTTATTTATTTCATGAATAGCTCCAATTCATCACATTTACAGTTCAATTATGATGATGAGGATTATTATGAGTGATATTTACCAATAGTTAAAACCAAGTGCGTCATAATGGTAAGAAAACCAATGGTGTGACATGAGCTTGACCACATCAGCCGATGACAACTTCCACTTTGTCCTTGGGTATCAACCTTTATCCTTCTTCATAATCTCTACTATGTTAATTATTCTTTCACGTTTACTATTTAATGGTTGTATTTGTTGCATGATTTAATTAATTATTACTGATTATGCTTATTACTGATTAACTAATTCTTAAGATCTAATGTTTCCTTTGTTGGGACCGAATTTGATATTTCATATCGTCCACATTCATCATCTCTCTGTTTTAATCGCTGTTGCCGATCACACCATTCCTGGTAGCAACCGTACGAACATTCTCCTCTTGTTCCTAGACATTTCATTTGGGATCGGCTATATATCATCTACACTTTCTAATTGCCGGTCTTGCCTCTAGTGTAGAATGATTCTTGTTGATAATGCGATTATTATTATTCTTGGTGTTGTAGTTGTTATTATGTTCTTGTTAATTTGTTGTAACTGAGATTACGTGTTATCATTGTTGCACTGCCTTTTTACCAATAACAACCTTTTCCTCTTTCTTGAGTAAAGTAGTATTACCCAAAACATATCCTTCTCCTCCTCTCAAGTAAGATAGTATTACTCAAGAGATACCTTTCTATCGAATAGTATCATTTCCTTTCCTCCTTCTGAATAAGGTAGTATTTCCCAAAACCTATCCTTCCTTCCAAACGAATTTCGTTTATCCAAAATTTAAGCTACTTGGATTCCTGGTTACCTTTATCTGTCTCGAACTACTGCCTGTCATATTTATAATCCTGGTTCTTCCTCTTGACTGGTTTTAATGGTTGGTTCGCCCAGCATACGCTGCTTGATTACCGCTATCCATTATTCCAGTCGTTAGAGTCGATCCTTGCGATAGTCATGTCAGATAACCAAGTATCTATGCTGATAGAGTAGAACCACCAAGCCTGCGACGCTTGTACGTGTATTTTCTTATCCGATTCGTATCCACTCTATCTCTATCCAAATGATCCAGTAATTTGACAGTATTGTGTAGGAACGAGTTGCTCTTGGACGAGTGCACTCGCTACCATTACCATCTCCTTCTTTGACAAAACCAATGATGAATAGATGCATGTTTTGCGATTGTCCTCTCGTTGTTGTCTAGCACATGTTGCTGCAATCTTTTACTAATCTTTCCCTCTACTGCAATGATGATACTAATCATTCGTAAATCTTATAATGATGCCTATGCAATCTTTTACTCTCTACTACTCTACTGACTAATGTATAAATATAACAACTATGTATATACTGATATAATATATATATTGACGTTCGTATATAAAATGACGTTCGTATGCTTGTTCTAAAGTATGAAAACAACATTAAAATAATATTTTCGTATTTTTCTTGTCCACCATCTTAAAGTTAGCGAGTTAACTTAATAAATAACTATATAAAGATATAAACATGAATGTTCTTAGAGTAAGATTGTAGTTATAAAGATACATATATACATCGCATAATCAGATTGTCACTTCATTGACAATCTAGTACTATCTTTCTCTAACATGGTTGGTCTACATTGCCACAAGTTAATCTATTTTTATAAAAATGGTGGATCTGCTTTTTTGTCTGACCAAGTAATGTCAATTTTAAAATCTCTCTTGTTTACGACTTTTACATCCAATATTTTTGAAATAAAAGAGTACTTTATAGTCCCCAAAGTTAATCGACACCAACTATCATTTCAAATTAAACAAAATAAAGATTTTAGGAAAAATGTATTCTGAAATTCATACACAACAAAATAGCTCAAACAATTGAAAAATATAATCTATTGTGTGGAACTGTAGAACTATAATATTGTAAAACAATGAGAAAAGGAAGATCATAATAATGTGTATTTGATAAGTTCTTTAAACTTTTTTTTTTATTAATAAATCTGGACTAATAGTCGTCGGACAATAGAGTAATTATGGTTTATTTGTTTTAATTTTAATTAAAATAGTTAGAGAATCTGTTAGTATAGGGGCTCTTTTTTTTTAAAGTAATTCTTTTCCTGTTCTCTCCTATCGGGAAGAGTAGTACTCAGAAGTTACAAAGTTTTATTAATTATACATTTTAATTGACCAGCAAGAAATAAAGATTATCTCGAGAAGAATTAAAGTTAATTTGTTCTGGGGGTTGTCCATGTCTATGATACATGTTATATGGACGTTGATCATGTATCTTATTGTATAGTGTCAAGCATGTTGGATTGTTTTGGGTTGTTGCTTGTTCTAAAAATAAATTGGTTAAAGATATCGCTTTTTTTTTTTTTTTTTTTTTTTTTTTTTTCTCAGCACTATAGGCTGTAATATTGTGTTATATAATTATTCTATGTTATTATTATTTAGTAAATTATTATATTATTAATATTATTATTGATAGATGAAGAGAGAATAGAAGAAGATGAAGGTGTTGAGGAGGATGTGAAGAATGAGGTTGAGGTGATCGATTATAGATGTAGTGTACGCAGAGTCTTGTACCTCTCCAAATGACTAGGTAGTGCGATCTTGTAGACAGTAGGATGGTTGTAGTTGGAGGAGAATCGAAGGATGATAGTTTGTATTCGTTCTGTAATCGTATGTATTACTGATTCATCGGTTTGGTTCATTAGAGCCAAGTGCCATCGATTACACAATTCTAACGTCTTGTCCCAGTTTACTTTTATAATATGTCGCATATCACTTATCAATCTAGCTCGCAGGTATTGTTCAGTGAAAGGTTCATCTCTTTGGTGACGTAGATCATTACGTCGGAACCATATTCGTTCTAGTGTTGCAGCGACCAAGTTTATAGTCATTGGAGTTTGTTTGAGGTTGAGGAGGGTGATGTCCCAAACTGGTGGTGTAATGTTGTTGGCAGCAGTAACCTCTTTCAGTAACTTTACTGGTAGTGTGGTCTCCTTGCATTGAAAGAACAAATGCTTGGAAGATTCATCTTTGCCACACGATACACTAGTATAGGGGCTCTCGTTTAAACGGGACAAATTCCCACATTCAAAAAATGACTACAACAACGGCTCCATAGTTGAATGGTACAATACTACCTTTGGGTGGTAGTGGTCTGGGTTCGATTCCCGGTGGAGCCCTTTTCTTTTTTAATTTGCTCTGCCGCGGCCAAAAAAAAAATCAAATAATGTGAGCATAGTGTCATACTACTCTGCTCCCAGCGAGTATTTAAACCCAAACATATTCAATAAACATTCATTATCTTATTATATTATCTAATCCTCATATATAGATATCACATAGTTATATAGTAGTTACAAATAATCATAACAATTAATTTATTTAAAAAAAAACATTCTTACTTTTTTTTGGTAATTGATCATATTAAATTAAAAGATTAGTTTAATTATTAAATAGGTTGTTAGGTATAACAAATCAAAGAGATGTCTTGTACCATTAACATAGTGTGTGGTACAATATATATTGATCATTTACCTAATTTTTTTGATTTTGTTTTATTCCCTTTCATATTTGGGTTTAACCTAAATATTTAAATTAAATATTTATGCTATAGTCCAGAGGATATTAATATTGGCATTGCAATATATTCCAACAGACATGATGTCTCTCTGTCTGACTGTCTGTCTGTTTACTCTTTCAAAGTTTATTTAATTTAGCCTAACAACATTTGGTTTATGTTTAAAAGTGAAAATACTACCATCATCATCATCATCATCACTAGTTGGACTGTTATTATTAATATTATTATTATCATTGACGATTTGTTTTTTTTCCAATAATTTTGAAGCAACTTGATTTCCAGTACTGACACTATCCACCAACTCGACAATGGTAGTATTACAATTAAAGAAAGTGCCCTTGTTGCAATGACCACACAAAACGACTTGAGAGACTATTTCATTTTGGCAATCTTGATCGGTGTACGATACGACAATGACCAATCCATTTAAATAAGAGGCAATGAAATAGTCTTTAAAGCTATTGGTACCACAAGAATTTTGATCCATCAAACAATTATTTTCTGCTACTGAAAAGCATGAATATTGTCCAACTCCACATTCACCACTATTGCAATAGCGACATATTTCTATATTACTTGTAAATACTCCAACTACCAAAAACAATATTGATATAAATAAAATGGATTTATCTAACATTTCCAAACAATTTCAATTGTTTCTTTCTTTCAATTTATCTTTTGTATATATCGAAAATGAAATGAATTGAAATAATAATGATGATCATAACTACATATATAGAGAAAATTGTGTAAAATTAAATAACACAATTGTCTTGTGGTGTGTGTTTAAGTGCACTCTTAAAAGAGAGAGGGTGAACCACAAATTAAACATATTATAATTATGTGTTGGCAAATTAGATTTAATTTAATTTGCTTTTTTGTATCATTTAATCATTAAGATTTGAGGATGAAGAGCTCAAAGATGGGTGACACTCTTTGTATCATTTATTCTCTCCGAGTCCAGATACATTGAAATCACATAAACAAGATAGTTGGTCGAAATATAGAGTTGCAACTATATCTTTTTTTACAAGAAATGAATCACAGTTTATTTGCAACCTGGAATCACTATTAGCAGCTAGTTGGTTAGTTTTTGTTTTGTTTACAAGTGTATCAAAAAATTTATTATTATTTATCAATACACACACAAAAGAATATACTACTGTGACATGATGTTATTGTTGTGTTGGTTGGTTGGTTGGTTTAAGAGCTCCAACTTTGTTCGACAATTTCCTTTACCTTGCGATTGTATTCTCTCTTGTTTTCACGGAATAAACGCGCAGATTCACTATTGGCTGGAGAGTTTGGATTTGGATCACATAAAAGAGACTAGAAATAAAAAAACAAAAGTATAAATAAATAAATTGATAATCAATCAACCATGTTCTTTTTTCTTTTCATTTTCATCGTACTTGAATAGAAGTTAAAATAGCAGCAATATCATAAATTGGACTCCATTGATTTTGTAAAATATCGAGACAGATTGCACCGTCAGTGTATACGTTTGGATGAAACATCTTTGAAAGGAATCTAACTTGTGGAGGATCATTTGGATATTCCTCTGAAAATTGTAATGATAATTTAAATGTTCCACCTTCCCATGGAGTATCCTCTGGTCTAAAATATATAGAAAAATGAGGAAATTAATAACAGAGGACAAAAAGAAAAAAAAAGGATGGAGATTATCTGATCTGTCTTACCCAAATATGACTGCTTGCCATTGTAATATATTATTATCCATTGGAGCTCCACTAATACCTGCTGGTGGATCATTTTGGAGTCTCTTAAAGTCTCTCATCAATCTTCTTCTTGCTGGAGTTGACATGATGTTATGTTAAATAATAATAATAATAATCAAATTCTAGAAAAAGATAATAAAAAAGATAATAGGTATTAATAATCTATATATATGTTGTTATGTAAGTTTGAAAGATTAACAGTAAACTAAAATTTTAAAACACAAAAGAGAGAGAGAGAGAGAGGAGTAGTAGGTGTGTTCAAAAGTGTGTGAGTGGTAAAAGTAAGTAAGTTGAAACAACCAACTCGAGTCGACTCTTTTATGTCCAATCACTACTACTCTGATTATATACATATATAAACCAAAAGACATCATCTATATAGATGTTCCTTTATATGTAAATCACAAGTGCTAGAGTTTTGTGACTTGCATAGTACTCTTCTCTTTATCTACAATCTCCCTCTATCTCTCTGTCTCTCTGTTGTTTAGATAGATCTAGTTTGTCATTGTTTTCAAGATACCTTTTTTGTAAATAAATAAATAAAAATTAAACTATATGTACAGACTTTAATATAACAAAAGAATTAAAACTTTGAACGTTCTTTGTCTTTAGCGTGCGAAAAAATAATTGGTAAAAAAAAAAAAAAAAAAACAAAACAAGATCTACTCCAAATTTCAACCTAAAAATTAATAAAAATACTATATTGGTTTTTTACTCTTTACATGTTAGACATTCATCAATACAAAAACAAAGGTTTATATAATTTCATCTTTATCCTCACACAAGAGAGAGTAAAAAAAAATTGTTGTTTATTTTTAATTTTATTCGTTTTTTTTTTTTTTGACGAACGAAAGTTTTGGGTTGTTGAAAAAAAAGACGACAATGAGAATTGATTCAAAAACATACACAAACCCGAATTCATTCATTCAAAGGTCTTGTCGTTTATTCTTCTTTATCTATACTATCCTTTTAAAAACTATTTAGAGAAAGAAAGAGAGAGAAAGTAAAGATGGAAACCTCTTCTTCTTCATCATCTTCTTATTCATTTAAATTCAATTTATTTGAAGCTTTAAAAGTATTAAAACAACATATCGACAATAACAATGACAACAAAGATAATGGAGATTCATATGAATCAATTCAATCGATATTACAAAACAAGACAGAGTCGGCTGATCAGTTTACAGACCACGATCGCACCTATGTATTGACACAACTGTCCAACATTATGATGACCAAATCATCACAAACCATTACCATTACACATATATTCCGACCGATTGTCATTGACCTCGTATCAAGATACCTAGCAACTCCAGCAGCTTCACAATCTGTAGAGACTAGTAGTTTTATTTTTTCTCAACTTTTACCTATTACTCCTCAACTTGAAGGGTATGTAAGAAACGACGACAAGTCTTATGCATACTTTATAATTATTAATTTTTAATTTTTTTTCTATTTTCAATTTTGTCTAGAATCATAGTACAATATTATCAAAGAGTACCATCAATATTTGATCGTATTTCATTAATTACCGATATTACAAAAGAGAACCATGAAAGATGGTTACAATTAGCGCAAACTTGTTATCGTCTATTGAGTTACAATAGCAAGTTATTTTCAAACATTTGGAATTGGGCTCCATTCTTTACTCTACTAGAGATTGATAATGCTCGTCTCAGATGGTATATCATCAAATCTATTTGCATACTACTAAGTATGCCCGAAAAGAAATCTGAACATCTTGTTCAATTTTATCAACAATATAATCATCAAATTATGTAAGAAATAGGAGAAAGAAATAGAAAGAAATGTATTATATCTTACTTACTTTTTCTATCTTAGTGAACTAGAACAAGAAATTAAAAGTTATGAAAGTTCATTACTTTTTTTAAATGATAATAATCAATTACATTTAATTAATAATAATAATAATAATACAATCAATGTTGATTCTTCATCATCCTCCTCAAACTCTAAATGTTTAATTGAAAAGAAAGATTTATGTAATTCAATAGTAGATATTTGTGGAGTATTATTATTTAAAAAATTCAACCTTACCACTACTACTACAACATCTACCATTTCTACTACACCATTAGTATATACTGAAACGGCATGTCAAAATTTAAAAAGTTTGGCAACAGCAGTTGGATTGGGAAGACCTATTTTAATGGAGGGATCTACGGGTTCGGGCAAGACAACATTGGTAAATGAATTGGCACGTGCTACTGGTAACCATGACATTATAAAGATTCATTTGGGTGATCAGACCGATGCCAAGGTACTACTTGGTACATACGTGACATCGGATATTCCGGGCGAGTTCAAGTGGCAGCCAGGTGCTTTGACACAGGCAGTCTCCCAAGGTCGCTGGATCGTCGTGGAAGATATTGATTTGGCACCTATCGAGGTCTTGTCAGTCCTCATTCCACTGCTAGAGAGTAGAACCTTGTTTATTCCAGGTCGTGGTGAGGCTATTGCCGCGGCCAATGGTTTCCAATTATTTGCTACGCAGACCTTGTTTGGAGGTGGTCATTCACGTGCTCAAAACGTAAACATTCTCTCTCATCTTTGGACACGTGTCGTCATTGAGAGTTTGTCCAATGCCGAATTGTCGCATGTTCTCATCACCCGTTTCCCATCGCTTGCACCCATCGTCCCCAAGTTTATCGATACTTTTAGCACGTTGCAACGTGCACTGACCAGTCATTCGGGTGCACATTCCGAGTTGGCGTCTGCCTCTAGTAGACCCATCTCGTTGCGTGATGTCTTGAAATGGGTGTGGCGTGCATCCAAGCGTCTGGCCACCACCAAGCTCAACCACATTACATCGACCATCAACGAACTCATCTTTGTCGAAGCATTGGATTGCTTTTGTTCACTTGTCGCCAAACGTGTCCTACGTGACCGTCTCGCTGAAATCATTGGAAAGTGTTGGGATATTCCAGAGGATCGTGTAAACTATTACTCTAATCTCTACAAACCTTCAATTGAAATTGTTCCAAATGTTGGTATGCAAATTGGTCGTTCTCAACTTGTTAATCAACATCATAATAACTCTACTAGTCAACAACAACAATCAACTTCATCCAATTTTGCACATACAATGGCATCACTTAGAATGATTGAAAAGATATCAATTGCAATTGAATCAAATGAACCTGTTTTATTGGTTGGTGAGACTGGTACGGGCAAGACAACGGTCGTACAGTACATTGCCGATCAGTTGGGTCAAAAGTTGATTGTACTCAATCTCAATCAACAGAGTGATAGTGCCGATTTGATTGGTGGTTTCAAACCAGTTGAAATGCGTCTCCTATGTACTCCTCTCAAAAATAGATTTGAAACACTCTTTAAAAGAACCTTTTCAGAATCTTCCAATGCCGAATTCCTCGAACGTATCAATACAAGTTATGCAAACAAAAATTGGAAACAATTTGTTACTCTACTTGGTAAAGCTGTTAAATTGGTTGAAAACAAATTTAATAACAAAGATGATGAAAATAATAACACTACAAGTGGTGGAAAGAAAAAGAAACAAAGTGATACTAGTACCACTACTTCTACTTCAAAGAAATCAATTAAACCAGAATTAAGAGAACAATGGAAACAATTGGCAAATGAAGCAACAAGATTACAAACACAGTTACAAAAATCACAATCAGCATTTGCATTTTCATTTGTTGAAGGTGCATTGGTAAGTGCACTACGTCAAGGTCATTGGGTACTTTTGGATGAAATGAATTTGGCTTCATCAGAGACACTCGAGTCGCTTAGTGGTCTGTTTGACGGTGGATCGTTGACATTGACTGAAAAGGGTGATGTTGAACCAGTACCACGTCATGCCAATTTCAAGGTGTTTGCTTGTATGAATCCACCTACCGATATTGGTAAACGTGACCTTCCACCAGGCATTAGAAACAGATTCACAGAGTTTTACATTGACGAGTTGGAAGCAAAGGCTGATCTAGCTCTTGTAGTCCGTACCCTCATGACTGGTATCGTAGCTCAACCTCCAGTCGATGACATTGTCGAATTCTACTTGGCCATTAAAAAGGAAGCTCAAAACAAACTATTGGATGGATCCAACCAAAAACCTCACTTTTCTCTACGTACTCTCTCCCGTGCCCTTCACTATGTTCGTCAAGCTACCCCTCATTTTGGTCTTGCTAGAGCTCTCTATGAAGGTATCAACATGTCCTTCCTTACTCAATTAAATCGTAACTCAATTCCTCTTGTTGAACAAGTTATTCGTCAATTTATTAGAAAAGGGTAAAGTAGAAAAATAGAAATAGAAAGTAGAAAAAAAGAAAAGTAGAAATATTAATTAATTATTTTCTTTTTTTTAGGGAACAATCAAAATTTAATCAACCATTAAAACAACCAACAAATAAGCATATTCAAATTGAACAATTTTGGGTAGAGACTGGAGACTTACAACCACAACAACCTGCACATTATATTTTGACACCATCGATCAAGGCCAATTTAAATAATCTTGCACGTATTTTGGTTAGTCGTAAACATCCTATCCTTTTGCAGGGACCTACCTCTAGTGGAAAGACTAGTATGGTAGAGTATTTGGCACAGAGAACAGGTCATAGATTTATTCGTATCAACAATCATGAACACACTGATCTCCAAGAATACCTCGGTCAATACATATCGGATGAACGTGGTCGTTTGGTGTTCCAAGAGGGTATCTTGGTCGAGGCTGTCCGCAAGGGGTATTGGGTAGTATTGGACGAGTTGAATTTGGCACCCTCTGAAGTACTCGAAGCTCTCAATCGTCTGTTGGACGATAATCGTGAGTTGTATATCCCAGAGACTCAAGAGACTGTCAAACCACATCCATCATTCATGTTGTTTGCCACACAGAATCCACCCGGTCTCTATGGTGGTCGTAAGATCCTTTCACGTGCCTTCCGTAACCGTTTCCTCGAGCTCCATATCGACGATATTCCCGAACACGAACTCGAAGAGATTCTCTCCAAGCGTTGCAGTCTCCCCCCAAGCTACTGCAAAAAGTTGGTTGCTATTATGCGCGAGCTCCAAACCAACCGTCAAGGCGCTAGCCAAGTTTTTGCCGGCAAGCACGGCTACATCACGTTCCGTGACTTGTTCCGTTGGGCCGAGCGTAACCCAAGCTCATACGACGAGCTCGGTCGTGCCGGTTACATGTTGCTCGCCGAACGTCTCCGCAAGGAAGAGGAGAAAGCCGTCATCCGTGCCGTCATTGAAAAACACCTCAAGATCAAACTCGACCCCGAAGAGATGTATGGCTGTGGCGACAATGACACCGAGTTTCAACAAATGCTGGGTATTGTGGCCAAGGAGATTGACAGTGGCAACGGACACGGTCTCGAAAAGATTGTGTGGACGCGTGCCATGAAGAGACTCTTTTCCCTCGTCGGTCACTGTCTCAAACATCGTGAACCAATCCTTTTGGTCGGTGAAACAGGTTGTTCCAAGACAACCATTTGCCAAATCTACTCGTTGCTCAACAAACAACACCTCAATATTCTCAATTGTCATCAACACACTGAAACGGCCGATTTCCTCGGTGGTCTACGTCCAGTTCGTGGTCGTGAACAAATCCTATCAACCATTGAAACTCTTATTCACAATTATGAACAATTGGTCAATTTAGAAAGAGATTCACTTTCCTCCTCAAATAATATTGAAGAATCTATTAAAAAATTAATTGATTCTTGGTCAATTAAAAAATTAGAATTACAACCAAAACAACAAGAAGAAGTACAAGTACAACCACAACCAAAGAAAAATAATAAGAAAAACAAACAACAACAAAAGATGGATATTGATTCTTCTTCTTCTTCAAATGATGGTAATCATTCTAAATTAATAGAGGAGATTGAAAAAATAATATCAATGATTGAAAAGAATTATCAACAATATTGTTCATTATTTTTATGGGTTGATGGCCCATTGGTAGAATCAATGAAACAAGGTAGTTATTTCTTGATTGATGAAATATCATTGGCCGAGGATGCTGTTTTGGAACGTTTGAATTCAGTGTTGGAACCTTCAAGATTGTTGGTACTTGCCGAAAAGGGTGGTGTCGAAATTGAAGAACTTCGTGGTCACCAAGAATTCCGTATCATGGCAACTATGAATCCAGGTGGTGATTTTGGTAAAAAGGAGTTGTCACCAGCCATGCGTAATCGTTTTACAGAGATTTGGGTGCCTGCTATCACTGCTCGTGATGATTTGGAACAAATTGTTCGTGAGCGTTTTGAAGAACCAGTTCTCACAGCCCTTCCAACCTCCCCTTCCAAGATGCTCGACTTTTTAGAGTACTTGGCAATGGTACAAAAGAATAAGCGTGTCATCTCGTTGCGTGACATTCTCTCTTGGGTCTCTTTTATGAATATGTGTGCCAAGAAACAACTTTTATCGCCATGGGACAGTTATGTACACGGTGCTTGTCTTGTATTGTTGGATGGGTTTGGTATGGGTTCCAACTCTTCTTCGGAAGCTGATGGTGTCCGACTACGTACTCTTTGCATCGACCGTATTCTCAGTCAAATCGAAGATGATGCAGCACGTCAGTCGTTGACCAGTTACTTTAACGCTGGCGGTGCAGGTGACTCACGTCCAGTTGCTGGATTGGCTGCCAATCAATCAACCTCTACTTCATCAACATTTATCCAAGCCGACTCGTTTGGTATCCATCCATTCTACATTCACCGTCGTGAAAGTACCGACACTGTCACCCCATTCTCTTTGGGTGCACCAACTACATCGCGTAATGCTCTGCGTGTACTTCGTGGTATGCAGTTACCCCGTGCCATCTTGATTGAAGGTTCACCCGGTGTCGGCAAGACCTCTTTGATCACAGCTATTGCCCAAGCATCTGGTCATCGTGTCGTCCGTATCAATCTCTCTGAACAGACCGATATCATGGATCTCCTCGGCTCTGATCTCCCCGTTGAAGGTGGTAAAGGTGGTCAGTTTGAATGGCGTGATGGTATCTTCCTCAAAGCACTTCGTGAAGGTGACTGGGTTCTTTTGGATGAACTCAATCTTGCTTCACAAACCGTACTCGAAGGTTTGAATGCTTGTCTCGATCACAGATCCGAAGTATTCATTCCAGAGTTGGGTCGTACCTTTACATGCCATCCCGGGTTCCGTGTGTTTGCCTGTCAAAATCCATTGCATCAAGGTGGTGGTCGTAAAGGTCTGCCCAAATCATTCCTCAATCGTTTCACCCAGGTCTTTATCGACCAGCTCGATCACCAAGATCTCTTGTTTATCTCGTCTGCCATGTACCCCCTCATCTCTCAAGACACCCTCACCAAAATGATCCAATTCAATCATCTCCTATACCAACATTCAATGGTTGAATCAAAGTTTGGTCGTCGTGGTGCTCCTTGGGAATTCAATCTTCGTGATATCTTTAGATGGTGTGATCTTGTCGTTAAAGATTCAAAAGCATATTTTGAACAAGATAACAACAATCAAATGGAATTGGATACGAACAAAAAGAATAAGAAACAAGTTAAAGTTCCAACCAAGGTTACTCCATTGGTAGTAAAAAACAATCCATCAAGATTTATAGATTTAATTTATCTTAGAAGAATGAGAAGTGAAGAAGATAGAAAATATATTCAAGCACTTTATAGACAAGTATTTGGTACAATGGATGAAGAGATTGATTTCGAGTCTGATCAACATCCAAACTTTTCAATTACAAGTCAATACCTTCAAATTGGAAAGACTATATTACCACGTCGTCAAGATGGCTCTCCCAAGTTGGATTCGAGCTCTTCTTCTGATATACTTTTACTCCAACGTATGCTCAACCCAATGGAATCACTTATGAAGTGTGTCGAGTTGAATTGGATGTCTATTCTCATTGGTCCATCATCGTCGTCCAAGACATCGTCTATTCGTTTACTTGCTCAACTCACTGGGAATCAATTGTTTGAATTCTCAATGAACTCTGCTGTTGATACGACCGAGCTACTTGGTGGATTTGAACAAGTCGATTTGGTACGTCATCAAAAGGCTGCCGTCGATGCTACCCATACACTCATTCGTCAGATGAGTTGTGATATCCTTGCCATTAGCAATGACAATGGAACATTGTCTCAATGCTCTGCTGCTCTTCAAGACATTCATGCTGCATGGGGTATCTTTACCACACGCGCCAAGTTTTCATCCGATGCTATTGTCTCACAAAAAGTACAGGCTATCGATATGGAGCAATTCAACATCCTCTCGCAAATCCTTACTGCATTGGACCGTGTAGTTGACAAGTTTAGAGTCAACTTTGCCGCTGCCAACGACTCGGACACCAGATACACACAAGCAATCGGATCTATCCGCAACCAAATCACTCGTCTCCAGACCATTGAAAAGGAGTCGGTTACAGGTTGCTTTGAATGGATTGACGGTCTTTTAGTACGTGCACTCGAGACGGGTGCTTGGATTGTAATTGACAATGCCAATTTCTGTAACCCAACCGTGCTCGATCGTCTCAACCCTCTGCTCGAGCAGGGTGGTGTACTCGTACTTAACGAGCGTGGTATGGTCGATGGCGCCGTCAAGGTTGTCAAACCACACCCCAACTTTAGAATCTTTTTGACCATGGATGAGCGCAAGGGTGAGATCTCGCGTGCTATGCGTAACCGTGGTATTGAAATCTACATGGATGAACCACCCGTCAACTCTATCGACACACTCAGACTGTTAGCCAGTATCGGTATCCCATCGTATGCCTTGGCATCCAAGATGATTGCATTCCAACAACAAGTACAAAAGCAATTTGGTACGTCGGTTGAAAACCCACTCACCATCTCTCATATCCTCTATTGGGGTCGTCTCTTACTCGATCAATTACAACGTGGTCAAGGTCTAGTCAACGCACTCTATTCTTCAATGGACCAAATCTACGTTCGTCCACGTCGTCTTGCTTCTCAACGTTCTTCCATTCAATCTGTCTATCTTAACCTATTCCAACAACAGAATAGTGATAATGGAACTAGCAATCTCCTCTTGGATGATAATGTTAATTTCCGTCATGCCAATTATTTCCCAGATATTATTTATCATTTGGATTCTGATCTTTCTCATTTATTCCATTATCAATTGGATCAGTTCGACATTAATGATGAAAAGAAACAATCTCAACCACAACCTCAACAAACAAATGGTAAAAAAGGAAAGAAACAACAACAACCTCAACAAACATTACCACAATCAATCAACTCGAATGATTTGATTAGAGATAATTTCCTTACACTGCCATCATTATTGGTATCAAGAATGGTTTATCATTCTGAAAAGATAACTTTGGAAGAAATCAAACAATCACAAACCATAGAACACTCTGAAAAACTTTCAAGATATACAAAGGTATCAGGAGAATATGTAATTGAAACTACAAGTCGTGACAATTTTGATCTTCGTAGACAATGGTTATTGGATAACAAGGGAGAAGATTATGTAATGGTGATGAAACAATTATTTGCAATGCCATTATTTATAAACTTTGAAGAAAAGATGAACAGTCTCTTGGAATCGATTTCATTACCAACCTATTTGTCACAATACCAAGGAAACCAATGGACAAATAACCAATCACTCTTTGAACTCGTCCAAGAACGTTCGAAGTGTGTTCCACAACTCTACCAACGTTGGCAAGAGATTTGTGCTGCCATGTCACTACTCAAGACCTCGATTGCCCATACTCTTGAAGTTTGTAGTGAGACTCGTGCCTGTGAGTCGATCCTTGCCAGCCTAACCACTCAATCAACTGCCATCTCTGCCATGTCTCCATTTGCTCAATCCTATCTATTTGCCAGTAAAAAGATTACTCGTGATGCAATGGATTTTGAAATAGTAGCCTATATCTATCCATTCTTTAAATCAATTCATGATCAAGTACAACTTTGGATTTCAAATATTGGTGAATCAATCTTTGACTCTCAAAACAACACTACTACTGTTTCCGCTGCTTCAGTTGAACCAAGATTACAACATTTAATTAGTTTATTGACAGCATTTAGACGTAGTTTAGTTGAACCATCAATTACATTTGATCAAGGTCAATTTACTATTAGATGGAGATGGATTGTTAAAGAGTTGCGTCAACTTGTATCATTATTCAACGTTCAATTGGCTGGATCATTGACTGCCGTCATGTCTCGTATCGAACAGATCATATCGAGTGACGCAGAGACACACGCCAGCAACAACCGTCTTTGGAAGATGGGTGGTCACCCAATCGCCAGCAAGACCGAGGAGATTGCAGCTCTAGAAGACACCTTTTACCAAATCCAACGATCCATCGACTTTAACCACAACCAATTGATGGTTGACGCTCCCTCTGGTCATCGATCTTCGCGTTTGGACAATGAATGGAAACACACATTTGTTGAAGCCATGTCTACCCTCTATTGGATCAACGAACAATACTATATCAAGGACAAACAAAGAAACCTATTAAAGCAACAACAATTTGATGATGCCAAATCATTGATTCCATCAATTGCCAAGATGCGTGATGTTCTCGATGCCAAAGTCAAAGAACTCGTAGCACAAGACGACAAAAAGAAACAAGACACCGATACCGATGCTGAAAAGGAACACTTTGAAATTGCAATGGTTCGTCACTCACGTGAAGGTATGTGGCCTGTCTATGCCCACTATTTGGCTCGTCTCGAATCAAAGATTGTTTCCGAACTCATCTCTCTATTTGCTCCCGACAATATGGATCGTGAACAAGGATCGATGATCACCGCTCGTATCCTCCCCATTCTCACCCATGTTCGTCCAACCATCTCTGAATACATCAATCATTCCATTGAATTGGTTCCAACTCGTTCCCCTGCCGACTATGTCCCACTTCAAAAACTTTTATGGATGATTGATGCTCTTGTAATGACTCATCAACAAGAACAACAAGAGATATTAGATCAACAAGAGAAACAATCAAAGAATAACAAGAACAATATCACTACTACAACTAATTCAGTTTCAGTTTCAATTGGAATTGAAGAATTACAATCAACTATACATAATATAGTTTATTCATTCAATTCTGGATTATGGAATAATAGTTATAATGATATATCGTATGTTGAACGTCCATCTCAACCATCATACATTTATCGTCTAAAGTTGATGCCATCATCATCGATGGACACTAGTGACGAGCATATGGACACTACTGACCCACTCAAGGTGTCGTATGGTCCTCCACGTCTACTCCAAAACATTCAGAGTACATTCTCATTCTATTTGGCCACCGACTGGAAGAATGCATCCGTTCTTGAAATCCCAGGCAAGATTGGTCAGTTGGAGAGTTTGATTGCTCACATTTCCCAAGTCAAACCAATTCCAACATTTTCAAATGAATGGCGTACCGCTATCATCTCATTGGTCACCACTATATCTCAATTTGGAAAGTCATACGACCAAGTCATTTGGTCAACCATTTCAACTCAGTTGACTATACTTTTGACCTATATTTTGGCCAATGATATTACTATCCGTAAGTCCAACAATCAACAACAAGTAGAACAAACATTTGTTGATAATCTTGCTGGTTTACTCAAACAATCAAGTGACACTTATTTGGTTGATCGTATCAACCGACTTGTCCTACCATGTCTCACTTTGGTGGTACGTGTTACCAAGACATCTGCATCGCTGTCTGCCTCTGACCAACAGCTCATTCTCGGTCAGTTCAACTTGTTACTCGGTTGTTTCCGTCTTTTAATGTTGGTACCTGCCCATGCAGTTGATCCAACACTCAAATACACCATCGTGTCACAATACTCTCGTGAACATGGTGACGAGTTGGCCGACCAGCTCCATGTCCGTCGTTCCATTGAAAAGGAGCATAGTGGACGTGACTCTAATATCACCATAAAGTCACTCGAGCAACGCAAGCAACATGCCGACCACCAACACCAACAACAACAGAAAAAGATTACACTCCGTCCCACTCCATCTCAATTCCCAGCCATCCACAGAGACTTGGCTCAATTCTCTCAACAATTTGCCAATATCGATAGAATCATTGATTTGGTTGTTAGATTTGGAAAGATTGTTCAAAAGGATGAAAAGGATGAAAGTAATAATAATGCATCGGACAAGGTAACAGGATTCCGTGAACGTAGTTTGGATGAATTTACAATGTTATTGTCAACTGAAAGAATGTGGCAAGAAAAGGCATCCAACTTTACATTGCTTTTGGAACGCAAGTATGTTGTTGCCTACAAGGATATTGTGGTGCCAGTGTTGACAGCCGTCTACAATATGCGATATGGTTTACGTGTAATGTGTGATGCTGCAGTTGACAAACGTTCGTTTGACACTTCGACGACCACCAACAATAGCAACTCACACGTACAACATTTGCAAAAGGTCTTGTCGTCACTTGCAACCTACCCAACCACCACGAATGCCAGTCCACTTGAAACATGTCATTTGCTAGTTGGTAGTGACACTATCACTGGTATCCGATCAATGGTTGCACAACAAGCTGTCACCAACAAGGACGCCGCTGCCAACTACAAGGTCATCTCCTTGTTGCTCCGTTCTGCACTCTGCCAACTTTTTAGCCATATTGCCACAACCAGCCATCTCACCTACGAGACTGTATCTTATATCGACGAGATCTTCCGTGTCTTTATCGACGAGTACAAACACCAAGAAGAAGAACGTGTGCGTCGTGAAGCTGAAGCTGCCTCAACCGTCAAGTTCCGCACCAAGTGCCACAAGGTCGAGACCAAGGAAGAAAAAGAAGAAAAGATCTTCATGTCATCGTTCCCAAGCTTTTACAAGGACTTTGCCGACCTTGAAGACATTGAACATGTTCAAGAAGATGATGACGAAGCCGACCAAGATCAAGCTGGCGCTGCAGCAGATGAAGGTGAAGGATACTTTTACCAAACTATCAAGAGTGAGGAAATCCAACAGATATGTTTGTTGCATCGCATGATCTTCCATCATTTGGATGGTATTGCTTTGCCAAAACATACACAAGGACAAGACCAACACCCACTGTCATTGGACGAATCGGACCGTGTAGAGTTGTTTAAATTGTTTTACGAGTGTGCCAGTGTCATGATGAAGGTACTCAGACAACGTGCTCCACTCGAGTTTGATATCGAGTCGTCGGGTGCCCATTTGTTGGCTGCCAGTGCACTCCGTGACACTCTCAACTACCGTGCTCCATCACTCATCACCTACTCCAAGCTCGACAAGAACTTTAAGTTTATCCGTCAAGCATCGTCGTTGGCACCAACCACCTCATCCGAGTCATTTGTCACAACGCATCAACACCGTATCTACAATATCTACCGTGACCCTAATCTCTCGGAAATTGTTATTATTCGTGAACCCATGCTCTCGATGAAGGGTCGTGTCAATGAGCTCTTGGTCGAGTTCCCCGAACACCCCATCCTCATGTTGCTCGTCAAGTTGATCGAACGTATCCTCGGCTACCCATCGAGTGACCCACTCATCAAGATTGTCACTGGTCTCGAACTACTAGTACGTAAGGCTCAGGAATGGGAGACATTTGCACACAAGGGTATCAAGCTCCAAGAACCACATCTCAACAACATCCATCGTATCATTACAAGATGGAGAAAGATTGAAATCGAGAGTTGGCCAACCGTATTCCAAGCTCAAGAAAAGGAATGTGAATCCAAATCACTCCGTGAATGGTTTACCCTCTACCCAATCATCAACGATGCTCCATCCGACTCGGTTCTTGAATCGGGTGAATCCATGAAAATCAGACTCGACGAGATCTTTAAACTCCTTCAAGATTTCATGTTCACATCTACCTATGGTGATATCATGACCAGATTATCATTATTAAAATCATTCTCTCAACAATTATTTGCTTCCATTCAATTATCAAATCCAAATGAACAAATAATTGAAAGTGAAGAAAAGGAAGAAGATCAAAAGGAAAAGAATCTTTTATATTACAATCAAAGATTATTCTTTGTAATTCAAAATGTTTACAAATATTTCTTTAATTTCTTACCTCAGTATGTAAAATAGAAAAATAGAAAAAAAAAGGAATAGAGAAATACAAATTATTTACTTTTTTTATTTATTTTTAGATATGAAAAGAAATTAACACAATTAATTCAACCAATTGAAGAAAAGGCAATTGAATTTATTAGATTAGCAAGATGGGAAGATAATAGATTATTAACTCAATATGAAAGATTAAAACAACATATTGAAAAATCTCATAAAACTTTGGCTAAAATTACAATTAAATATAGAGTATGTTGGAAATGATGAAATAGATAGATTTGATTATTAATATTTCTTTTTTTTTTATTTCTTATTTAGAATTTATTATCATTATCATGTAATTCAATATTTAATGAAATTGATACAAATCAATTGGATAATGTTGTAAATGTATCACAGGCAGTTTCAACAAGAAAGACAAAGAATATAAAGAAGAAGGGTAACAAGAGACAAGTGACCAATCAAATCAATAATAATATAGAGACTATTCAAGATTGGACAAGTGTTAATCCAAAACGTTATATTCTATCTGCTGAACAATTGGCATCAAACTCTGCCTGCTCGATGACCTCGATTGTTGAATCCATCAAGCACAACGATCAAGTATTAAAGGCATTTAGTTTGGACAACCAGGAATTGTATCAGAACAAATTGGATTTGCTCAACAAGAGAATGACCAAGATTGTCGAAGAAGGTCTATTAAAGAGTGGTGCCTTTGCCGCTGTACGTGACGGTGTTGAAGAATTGGATGATATTGCAAACACCATCATCCAAGAATCACAAAGTCTTGCAAATAGCACCGACGCTACTACCAAGGAGAAACAATTTGCTCTTCATTCGTTGATGACTCGTTTCATTGATCTCGGTCTCACCTACCGTGTCTCTCACTATAGTCAGGAGCAACTCCAAATTGCATTCCTCTTTGGTACCCCATGTGTCAGCGAAGAGACCAACAAGTCACTCCAATCACGTTTCTTGGTCGATCAAGCCGACGCCTATTACTACCGTCTCATTGCTCGTATTCATGTCATGCGTGCCAAGTCACTCGAATACAGCTCTGATCTATCGGCTCGTGAAGTTCAAAAGATGAGCGGGTTTGTCGAAGTCCTACTCGACATGATTCTCAAGCAACGTTCAGAACTCATCTCTCTTGCTCCACATTGCTCTACTCTTGAATCATTCATCTCTCTATTTAAACAATTCTCTACAGATGATAATGTTGAAGGAGAAGAAGAAGAATCAACAACAGAAAATGGTGATATCCAACAACAACAATCGTCAATGTTTATGCCAAATCAAGAATTCCTTATTAAATGGTTATCAGAAAACCAAAACCTATTTAATCATCTAAAGGAAACAATGGAACAAATTGAATTACTTGTTCTAAAGTCATTGGCAAGCTCTATGAATGGTCATGCCAAGAGTACCATCTTTGAAGCCAAGAAATCAGTCTCCCAAGTCAAGGAATCTATAGATAAGCACCTTTCAGATCGTCGTGCTCTCTATCATACACTTGGACAATCACTTCCAATCCTTGGACGTTCAACCTTTGCTCTACTCCAATCCAACGTTGAAACACTCACATTGGCCATCTCTCAATTGGAGAATAATCCCGATTTAGAATGTCATACTGCTCTCCAAAGATGTCTGTCAATCTTTATCTCTTCATCCAAATCATTTGTCGAGAAATGGAATGTTGACATTACAGCTGCCAAGACCACAATCCAACCACTCAACAATATGGAACCAATTCAATTATTCTCTCAACAATATGAATCAATTGTTAAACATATTCTTTTATCAATTCAAAACAAAAAATCTTTATCTGATACTATTCAATATAAAGAAAAGATTGATGAAGATAAGGAACAAGAAGAATCGTCAGAAGAAAAGAAAGAAGAATCAGAGGAAAAGGAAATAATTTATGAAATTCAAGATGGACATATTGGAAAAATGTATACACTTTTGTCAAAACATACATATTTGTTACATTTGGAAGAATTAATTCCAATGCTTATTAGAATTCATGATTTACTTTCAAGTGATTCTATTTCCCCGGAATCATTAATTGTTGGCAAGAGAATGATGATTCGTCTTGTACCACTTTTGGAACAAATGCAACTTGTTGTAGACCAATCGGTTACTGACCTGTCTGCCATGCACAAGACCATCTCCAAGCTCGAATACATCATGTCAGGTGTATTCACTCAACTCTTTACCAAAGGTTTCTGTAAAAAGGAGGATGGCGATGGCGAGGGTGAAGGTGGCGACGACAATGGCAAGTTTGAAGACGATGTCGAGGGTACCGGTATGGGTGAAGGTGAAGGAAAGAAGGACGTGTCTGATCGTATCGAAGACAAGGAACAACTCATGGGCCTTGAAAGCGACAAACAAGAAGAAAAGGACGAAGACAAGGAAGAAAAGGACGAAGACGAAGGCTTTGATATGGGTGAAGACGAATTCGAAGGCGATATGCACGATATCAAGGAAAAGGACCAAAAGGAGGACGAGTTGGACAAGGACAAGGAGGAAAAGGAACACGACAAGGAAATGGGCGAGCTCGAACAACCAGAAGACAACGTAGTTGATGAAAAACTCTGGGGTGAAGAGGACGTCCAAGATGAAGAAGAGCAAAAGGAAGAAGGAAAGGGTGACGACACCAACTCGGACGAAATGATGGGCAAGGAAGAAGACGATGACAAGAAGAAGAAAAAGGACAAGGAGGAGGAAAAGAAGGAGGAAAAGAAGGAAAAGAACAAGGAAAAGCAGGATACTGAAGAGACCCAAGAACAAGAAGAAGAAGATGAAGAAGAGGAAGACGAAGAAATGGGTCAGGAAGACGGCGAAAATGTAACCAATGAAGAACAAGAAGCTGAACAAAATCATATGGATACTAGAACCGAAGATCAGTTTGAATTGCCCGAGGAAATGGAATTTGACGAAGAGGAAGAAGAAGGTGAAGCTGAAGAAGGTGAGGATGGAGAAGAAGAAGAAGATCCATTGGACAAGGACGGAGAAGTTGGTGAATCTGGCGATGATGAATCGGCCGATGAAAAGGACCAACAATCCGACGATGAAAACGATCCAGAAAAGCAAGAAGATGATCAAGAACCACAACAAGATGATCTCAACGTCCCACCCAATGCTGCCGATGTCGAATCTATCGAACCTGAAAAACCAGAAGAGGAGGAAGAAGAAAAGAAACAAGATGAAGAAGGAACCTCGCTCACATCAAACGAACAACAAAAAGAAGAGAATGAACAGCAAGCCGAACAACCACTAGGAGTCAAGGACAAGTCTGGTACCAAATCCGATGTTTCCAACATGGAAGACGAGATGAAGGAAGACCAATCCAACAATGCCAACGATGACAAGGGTCAAACCTTGCCAACTGCCCAAGACGACAACAAAAACTCATCCATGGAAAACATGAGCAACGACGGTGGTGAACAACAAATCCAAAAGAAACAAAACAAGCGTGTCGATCCAAACCCATACCGTTCATTGGGTGATGTCAAAAAGGAATGGAAGAAACGTCTAAACATGTTTGATGACCAGCAACAACAACAGGAACAAAAGAACAAGGAAAAGGCTCCAAAACAAGATGACAGCGCCAAGGAAAACAAAGATCAAGAATACAAATTCCTCAACAAGGATGATGATAATCAAGACGCCGATCAAGCTTTGGGTGCCGCTGAAGACAATCAAATTCAAGATCTTCCCAAAGAAGCAAACAAACCATCTGATGGATTGGAAGAAGAAGATCAAATGGACCTTGACGATGACCAACAAGAACCTGAACAAGAAGAAGTCCAACATGAAGATGATGCCAAGGAAGATGAAGATAAACCAAAGATCTCTGGCATGTCAAAGATGAACATGATGGAAAAGAAAATGAAACAAGAGGCTGAAAAGAAGGAAATGAAGGAATTGGACAAGGACCAACAAGATCCAGATAGTCTCAATGCTAAAGATATTGAAGTTGCCGACAAGGACAAAGAATCTTTAGCAATGAATGGTAGTCTCAAGGAAAATGAAGATGAAGATGAAGATCAAGATGAGGACGCCGAAATGAAGGAACCAGTTGATAGAAAGAAAATGTCTCGTGAAGATTTTGAACAAATGAGACAAGATTTGGAAAAATGGAAGTTGGACAATCAAGGAAAACTTGATTATGGATCAGGGTTGTGGCAGAAATATGAACAACTCACCAGCGACCTTTCACAAGAACTCTGTGAACAACTTCGTCTTATTCTCGAACCAACACTAGCCACCAAGCTCCAAGGTGACTACAAATCTGGCAAGCGTATCAATATGAAAAAGGTTATCCCCTACATTGCATCACAATTCAAAAAGGACAAGATTTGGTTACGTCGTACCAAGCCAAACAAGAGAACCTACCAAGTATTGGTCGCTATCGATGATTCAGAGTCTATGGCTCTCTACCACAGCGGTCAATTTGCCCTCGAAGCCCTTACCATGATTTCCCGTGCCATGTCTCGTTTGGAGGTTGGTCAATTGGGTATCATGAAGTTTGGTGAAGACGTTAACCTTGTTCATCCATTCGATCAACCATTCTCTGACCAATGCGGTCCTCAAGTCATCACTCAATTCGAATTCAAGCAACCAAAGACCGACTTGGTTACTTTCCTCGCAAAGAGTACTCAAATCCTAGAAATCAACAAACTAGCTCAATCATCTTCCTCTGGAGATGCCGTTCAACTCATGTTTATCATTTCCGATGGTTGGAGTCTTCGTGATCCAGAAAATACAAAGAAACTCCTCCGTGAAGCAAGAAACAAAAATATCTTTATTGTTTTCATCGTAATTGATAATCCAACAAATAATAATAGTATTCTAAATTTCCAAGTATGTAAAATTAAAAAAAGAATAAGAAAATCAAAATATATATTAACTTTAATTTCCTTTTTTCTTTTTCTTTTTTTAGTCTGTATCATATGTAAATGGAAAGATTCAAACAACAAATTATTTGAATGAATTCCCATTCCCCTATTATATCATTTTACGTTCACTTGATAATTTACCTCAAATTCTTGGCGATACCCTAAGACAATGGTTTGATCTTATTAAACAAATTTAAATCAAAAAATTAAAAAACAACAAAAATAATAATAATTAATATAAATAAATAAAAATAAATACAAACAAATAATTTTAAAATAATTTATATATCTTTTCCTTTTTCTTTTTTATTTATGATTTTCTAAAATTGATTGTAATTCTAATAATAATTTAAATGGTTCGGTGTTGCTATAAGTAAATTCAACCTTTTTAAGTAAAGATTTAATTTTAAGGGTTGAGGAATAAATATTTTCACTGACGATTGGGTCTTGTTTGAGATAGAGATTGACGAGTACTTGTTGATGTTTGACGACACGTTCAAAACTATCTTTACTGTTTTCCCATTGTTCACTTTCGGCGGTACGACAGGCACGTTGTTGAAGATCGATGGCTCTGTCCAAATGACCAAGACGGAAATGATAGTCAGAGCAGAGTGCCCAGAGATCGGGGCTATTGGTGAGTTTGGCGGTCAGTTTGTCACACATGTCTGTGACAACAGATTCAAAACGACGACCATTGAATCCAGAACGATCGACAGAATCTTCAATGACAAAGTTGGCAATGGTTTGAACAATGTGAAGGTTGATACGCTTCTCTGCCAAATCAAAAATACTGAGTGTGGCCAAACAGGCGTTTTGGTAGTCTTTGAGACCCATGCATACGTGCAAATAGTTTTCCCACATCTTCCAATTCTCGCGACGATGTTTGATACCTTCTTGGAGAGCGGCAAATGCCTTGTCCAACTTTCCTTGACGCATATAGATTGATGCCAAATTACCATAGGCTTCTCCTTCCTCTGGTTCGAGGGCAATGGTACGAGAGAATGCATTGACTGACACGTCCCACTTTTCTACACGCATACTTGCACAACCAAGTGAGAACCAACTGCCTGGGAAGAGAGGGTTGATGGCAAGGGCTAGGGTATAGGCATCGATTGCTTCGTCCCACTTTTCCTTTCGAATATAGTAGTGTCCCAATGAACGTTGTGCACGAGAGTATCTACGCTTGGACAACTCCCAGGCAGTGATGTAGTGTTCGGGTTGGTCTCGAACGTCGGCGAGGACACACCACAACTCGGGGGTTGGTTCGATTTCGAGACGCTGGAGAATCAACTCTTCAGAACGAGCATGTTTGCCCATAAATGTGAGACATCTGATAGCGTCGGACCACATTTCAAGACGCTCGAAAATGTCAAAGGCAGTGGCAGCAGCACCAATCGAAACAAAACGTTCTCCAACCTCTTTTTCCAAGTCCCATCTAGATGGGTAGTCTGTTGCATAGATGTAACGGAGACGCTCGGCAGCGGTACTGGTTGGATCGTCGTATTGATCGACCAAAGCCTGTACTTGGAGTGCTGCACGCTCAACAGTCTTGCTACTAATCGTTTCCAAACGAGACTTTATCAACAAACCTTGTGAATGAACCATCCAATTGTTGGAACGTTGGAGAACCTTGTGCATGTATGGCATCATCTCTTCGGTGGTCAAACCAATGTTTGGATTTTGATTTTTAATGTTGAGACAAAGAGTGTTGAGAATGGCTTGATCGATGGTTCTCAAACTACGCATATCATGCTCGGCATCTTTAAGCTTTGGACGTGACAATAGAGTGATATCATCGTTGGTCACTTCACCTTGGAATTTATGATTCTCGTCAAATACTCCGGCCGATGAATCCTTTTCCTTTTGATCTACTTGCATCTTGTCGTTATCTTGTTCGGTACGTTCACGTGCACTCTTGATATCTAGAATCAATTGAGCAGTATCAAATGTTTGATAACGTGTTCTACGTCCGAGTGCACCGGTCAATGAAACCGAGAGACCCGAGATGTCACATGCTTCGGCAAGTGAATCCTTGGTCTTGTTGAGTTGACGGTAGTAGTGGTAGCAGAGTGACTGCTCGAGTTTTGCCTGTACAGCCATATCAATCACATTTTGGTTCTTTTCATTGTCGGCGACATTGGCAAACGACCGAGACACAAATTGGAATCTTTCGTTGACCAATGTCTTGATGGTTGGTGTTGGGTTGGACAATGAACGTTGATGAATCATCATGCAACGTGATGACCACCAACATGCCGATCGCACATCAGCCAAATAAGAGTATTGCTCCACCAAACAGATACGTGCCAACACCAAAAGGAATGGGTGTTTAACCTTTGTATAGACTGGTTCACCATCCACTTCCAAAATCGATTTGACAGCCTTGAACAATCTATTGTCAAGATCCAATCCCGACTTTATCGATACTGTCGGTCCAGTCCAATTGATTTGTACAAACAAATTCAATAGTGTAACACCCGTCAATAATACAGCCAATGGGTGTCCATCCAATGTTAAATTATCAATCTTACTTTCAACTTTAAAGAAATATTCTAAAAATATAAAAAGAGAACGGAACGGGTATGAGACGATATGAGATATAAATCAAACAAGAATGATTATTATTATTCTTACCCTCAGCAGTCAAGTTTGGATTAGATTGAAACTCTTCCAACCCGATCAAACTCTTGATAAAAGGAGACGATGTAATTGATTTATATAGATCGGCATGTAATATTCTATGTGCCATTCGGATGATATCATTCTTTAGATCAATGTCTTGCAAGTCATCCGATGATTGATCTTTACAATATTTGTTGTACAACTCGTCTATTTTATCTATATTGTTATCAATCACCCATTGATCTACATCTTCTATATTATATGCTACCATTATTATCTATTTATTCTCTTTAATATATTTGATAATATAATAATAATGAAAAAAGGTATTTGATTAAAATGTACAGAAGAATCATTCATTCACCCATCGATCGTCTCACTCGTTTTTTGAGTAAAAAAGAATAATTGTTTTTTTTTTTTTCATTATAAACTTTAAGAACATGTTTCTCGTCCTTGCTCACATGTTGTGTTTTAGAAACAACAACAAAAACCTTGATGATATTTCGCTTAGATTTTAACTTAACTTTACTTTCTTTTTCAGTGTGACACTTGAGACAAGACACAAATAAACTTTGAAAACTTTCATCTAGTAGTAATTGAATGAGAGACGTGGAAATGCCACCTTTTCACGGATCTGTGAAAAAATCGTGTCTTTCATCTTACCTGTGTGTTTGACAGATAGAGAGAGAAAAACACCACCGCATGCCAAAGAAAGATCCCGATGATCGGAAGAAAAGATAGTTTCTGTACATCAACAATCAACAATCCTCCAATCATCGGAACGGATACACAACCATACCATTCAATTACCCCCCAGCCCCTCTATGATGCCGAGACAAAAACAAAATTAATCAAAATAACTTTAATAATAATTAATTTAATTTTTTAAACAGAGCAGACACTCAACTGCGGTGAAAGTTTAAAAAATCTTAATTTCTTTTTTTTTTAATTTTAATTTATTGTTGGTGTTTGCAACACGCACCTCATTCACCCAAGAAAACATCAATCGTTTATTTTCAGATATATAAATATAGCCACATAAAACAAAAGAAGAGAGAAATAGAGACAAAGACACAGCACAGAGCCAGTTCAGTTTCATAGCTACTACTACTACAGCAGCAGCATAAAAATAAAGGTGGGTTTATGAACAAATATACATTAAATTAAATTAAACCGTACCGTTGACCGGTCCGGCATTTGAACAAATTTAGTACCTTCTCCTCTTTTTCTTTTCCTCTTTTTCTTCCTCTCTCTATTTTCGGTATTCGTATATATATATATATATATCGGTTGAAGTCATCATTATAATCATCCTCATCCTCATCATCATCATCATAGCAAGTAGTAATAGTAATAGTAAATAATAATAGTAGTAAAATTGGTTCGCAACACACACAACACAGGACAATAGGTGTCTGTCGCATACTATTTATCTATCGATCGATTGATTGATTGATTGATTCAACCCCCCCTTCCTCTTCCTCCTGCAGTCAATTTCTATTTTTGTATCTGTGGGGGTTTGGGTTTGGTTTGGTTTGGATTTGGGTTTGGGTTTGACTGTCAAACATACATAGAACATGCTGACTTGACTGTAGTCCCATCCTACTTCAATTTGAACAATCAACTCTTCTCATTCTTTTGATTTTAGTAGCACACTCTCTCGATGAATGAATCCACAAATCTGATACTGTTGATTGATTTTTTCAACACCACCACCACCACCTTTCCACAACCAGCACTCTCTATCAATATGATCCCGTCACCACTACTACTACTACTATTACTACTACCACCACGATTCGATTATAATTATGTAGCAGGCTAGATATGTATGTGAATCAACTACTACTATATTTAAATCATTCATTCACATTCACCATTCATTCATAACAACAGAATAGAAAAACAACAACAACAATAATAATAATAATAATAATAATAATAATAATAATAATAATAATAATAATAATAATAACTACTGGGATTATTATTATTATTATTTGAATCCAACCGTTAATATTCTCTTGTACAACAGCAACAATCAAAAGTAGTAGTCGAACAAAGAGAGGTAAGGGTAATTAGATACTAAAAAGGTGTAGGGTTCAATAGCAGTGTGGGAGTAATAGAGTTTGAGGATGGGATAGGAAAGGAAAAGAAAAGAGGACTGTTAAGGAAATATCAATATCACAACAGCAACAACAACAGCAACAATTAATCAATCAATCAACCAATCAATCACTTGTTTCATATTTACCATCATCTTTAATAACTACTATCAAACCAAACTGTTCATTCATTCAGTTCAAGTTAGTTCAAGTTAGTTCATTGGAATAAATTACTAATAACTTATTCGTTACTGTATATATTATATATAAATAGCAAGAAGCAACAACAACTAGTTATATTAATATTACTATAACTTTGTAAATACTCATCGTCCCCAAAACCAAACCGACCAATTAAAAAAAGTTTGATTTGCATCGGACGGTTCTTGGCGCTCTTTACAAAAAACAGTGTAGGAGCTCTCTCTTGGATATATACGTTATAGTAATAATAATCAATCAATTCAAATAACATCGACTTGATCAAAGCATTCAAGTAGTTTGGTCATTAACAACTGACCTTCAGTTTTGTGGATAGATAAACATAGATTCATCAACTATTGATTCCGTTGCAGACAGATAGAAATATATAGGATAGAATAACAACATACAAAATGGGGTAAGTCTACAGTGATATCTATCATCAGTTTTTTTTTAAACACTTTATGTGCTTTAAAGTAGGAGTATAGTAGTCATCAGTTTGAACAAACACCCAACCAACAACAACAACAACAACAGGTTATATATCGACTACGATGAAATAGTTCATCGTCGCAACCAATGGTGTGCATGTGTGTGTGTGTGTGTATGTGTGTCAGTCATCACAAACACTTTCAAGAGAGCGAGAGAGAGAGGAGAGTAGATATAAAACAAAAAGTCAACCACCACCCATCTTCACCAATTTATCATCTCCTACATACCCTTGGAATTGATAGATATTCTCATTGCATTCAACCAACCAACACACCCATAACAAAAACAAACACCGACTCACCAAATTGCTAATCACCCACCATCCCTAAGGAAGGAAGGATAAAGAATGGTGTTTGTATCGTCGACGCCACTAGTGTACCTACTACACCCCATATATATAACAAATTACGGTGATTCGGAACCTTTCTAACAACTAAACCAACCTAGCCATCAATCAATCAATGAGACCAACCTGGCAGAAAAGGGTTATGGTGGTCGTGGTAAAAAGGAAGGAAGGAAGGAGAAGATGACAATATATCTATATAGATCACACACACCTCTTGACTTCAAACAACAACAAAGAGCGAGAGGTTTTTTGTTTTAAAGTCACCATGGTGGTAATGATCAAAAACACCCCCACACACTCACTCACACACACGCACTCTACTCTCTCTCTCTTTTTCTCTAGCTCCCTCTCACTGTACAAACAAACAAACAATCAATCAATTTTTGATCAAACAGCAAGCAAGGGTTCAACACAAAGATTGTTTAAAAATTAAAAAGATATATAAAATAGTCTTTTTGTTTTGTACTCTCTCTCTTTGATCTCAATCAAATCAAAGCTTTTATTTTAAAATCCCAATATTCTCATAATCCAAGTCATCACAACGACTCTCATCTCCTCTCTCGCTCTCACACAATCCATAGACAAGCAGGCACACAATCAATCAATCACGTGTTGTTGTTTGGCTTTTTGTTGAAAATTAATATAGCAATATTATTGTATTCATGATTTAATTGGTTGTTTGGGAAATAGGATCCTTTTCATCTATTAATACATCACCTTTTGTACATCTACAATACTACTACTACTACTACACACATTTCATCATCATCATAATTATTATAATCTACCAATCAAAAGTAATATTAATAATTTCTATTTCTTTTCATAATCTATATAATCTAATAATAATCTATAATAATAATAATAATGGTATTATTCCATTTACAACGATCAACTTCACAAAATACATTTAGCGAGGTATCATTGGTTGGTATAACAGCGACGTTGTTCCAACGCGATGAGAAACAAAAATGGATTCCTTTCGATAATGCAATGTGTCGATTAGAGATTTTAAAGAGCGACAAGGAATTGAGATATAGAATGGTCGCCATTTCAAATGATAATAGAGTATGTAGAATAGAATCTATCATTTTTGTAGATTGATTTCCCCCCTTGACTCACTCTTTCCCTCTTTTCCCTTATTCCATTTTTTTTTTTGTAGTGTATTTATAATAAATGGGTACGAACCAATAGTAGTATTGCAAAATGTAGCGATGTCTTTTTAGAGACAAAACAAACTTCATCACAAACCAACAAGACAGAATCCATAGGATTAAATTGCGCATACAAAGATGAAGTTGGAAAATTTATGGAAGTTTTTAACGAATGTATAAATAGTCTACAAAATGCTAGATCATCTTTACCATCTGGTGGTGGTGGTGGTGGTGGTCTACCTTCATCTGCTTCTATATGTGAAGGTAAAAAGAAATACTAAAAAGGAAATGAGATCAAAACTTTAGTTTAATTATTAACCTTTTTTTTTTTAATTTTTCAATTTTCTAGATTTATCAGGACTAACAATATCAATATCATCAAATTCTGTAAATTCACCACCAACATCATCATCACCAACAACAACAACAGCCGGTGCCGAAACGGCAGGAACGATTCCAAATTTCCTTGATCTTCCACTTCCTCCTCCACCTCCAACCACCCAAACCGGTGGTTATTCAGCCGATCAAGGTGCATGTCACAATGCCAATGTGATTGCAGCCATGTCACTTCCACCTCCACCATCTGCCAATCTATTGACTATTAGTGGTGGATTTTTCAGTATGCCAGCCACCCCACAACCATCGCCTCCACTATTCTCATCACTTCCATCGTCACTCACAAAATCCAACTCTTTTATTCAACCTTCTGATCGATCGTCAGGCAGCAGTGGCACCAATACGCCACCATCTCTTGATATTTTCAACCCAACCAAAACCATTACAACCACCACCACCACTACCACCACGACGGTCACTCGTATCGGAGCCGCCACCGAATCAGTCATGAAAACAGCAAGTGGAAGAAAATCACTACGTGCTCGTTCAACTGGCAAAACTCTATCGAAAAAGGAAGGATTAGCAATCTCTGCTCAAAATGTCGAAGGTATTCAAAATATTGGTGAAAATATCGAAGAAGAATCTCTAAATCTTTTAGATTTAGTAAATGAACAAGTTGTTAATCCAACTCAAAGTAAGAAACAAAAAAAAAAAAAAAAAGAAAAAGATAATATTTATTAATTAATTTATTTTTATTTTTCATTTAGGTGTACAATTAATTAATCAATCAATAACAAAACTATATGAACATTTACAAATTTTATTTATTTTATGTCAAGGAGAATCGACCAAAGATCATCATGGATTGAAATTGATTAAACAGGCAACCGATAGAATTTCGCGTGGACCACCAACATTGCCAGAGATTCAAGGCATGATTGGATACAACTGGTACAACAATGAAGAGATTAGTTCTACAGTCTCTGGATTCACCAATCTTTTGTATGCAAAGAAATATCTAGTGCCAACGATTGCCCATCTCTCCACATCGGTTCGTGTCTTGGGTTTGCAGGCATCGCTCGAGGCAGAGTGGATGTCGAGAAACCAAGCAGCCGAGCCTGAAAAGGTGGTGGTTCAATTGGCTGCCATTTCTCGTGAGCTTTTAAATGCTATTGCTCGACTTCAAACTGCCACACAGGCCTTTTGTTCAGTGTGCAACAACATTAAAATCAATGCCGCCGAACAAAATATGCACCCATCTCTACGTGGTCGTAGTCCATCTACTGCCGATTTCATCAATGTCTGGGATGAACAAAAACAACTTAAAGATCAAATACCAAATATTTCAACTACAACTGGTTTAAAAGCTACTCTTAATCAATTGGTCATTTTATTAACTTCTGATTCAAATTATGGTAAATTGAAAGAAATTAGAAAAGAAAAAGGAAAAGAAAAGAATAATAATAATTTATATTAATACTTACTTTTTTTTACTTTTTATTTTTAGATTCAAAATTCTTAAAAACATTTATAACTACATATCAATCATTTGCGTCACCAAATTTATTATTTACAAAGTTGGTTGAAAGATATACAGTTCCAGAATGGTATACTACCAACAAACAAAAGATTACAACCATTCAACAAAGAGTGATTGTAGTTTTGAAATATTGGATCGTCAATCAATCATCGGATTTTGATCAAGAATTGGTTGATCAAATCTATTATTTCATTGATAATACTCTAATCTCTGATGGTTATGCTGAATTAAGTAAAGCACTTCGTGAAATGTTAAGCAAATTGGTATGAAAACAAAATAATCATGTATAATTTATATATATATATAATTTATTAACATTTCCTTTCCTTGCTCTTTTATTTATTTAGTTGGAAGATAGAGATGTAAAATTAGAATTATTATTCCAAATGCCACCAAGAATACAATTCCAAGAGGATAGTATTTTATCACCAATAGAATTATTTTTCGAATGTAGTCCTCAATCGATTGCTCAACAATTATCATTGATTGATTTTGAAATATTCAAAGATATCGAAGCTCGTGAACTTTTAAATCAAAACTTTAACAAACCAAAAATGAAATATAAAGCTCCAAATGTTATGAGAATGATTAATAGATCAACTCAAGTATGTATAGAAAACAAAACAAAACAAAATAATAATAATAATATATATACTAATTATTGTTTATTTATTATTTTAGTTTTCATTTTGGGTAGCATCATTAATTGTAATGGAAGGTAAAAAAGAAAAGAGAATTAAGATTTTTGAAAAGATTTTGGATATTGCAAAATATTTATTGAAATATAATAATTACAACACTTTGATGAGTCTTGTAGCAGGTCTTGCTCTTACGCCAGTTCACAGATTGAAAAAGACTAAAAAGAAACTATCATCTTCTGCCATTTCAATGATGGCCGAATGTGAAAGAATATTCTCGTCAAAGAAATCATTCAAAAATTATCGTGAAGTAATTAGTACTGTTACTGCTCCTTGTATTCCTTATATGTATGTCTAAAACAAAAACAAAAACAAAACAAAACAAAACAAAATATTAATTTGATTTATTTATTTATTTTTAGTGGTATTAATCTTACAGACCTTGTATTTATTGAAGAAGGTAATCCTGATTTGGTTCAACAAGATGGAGCTAGTTCATCATCGCTTGGACCAGTTCTCAATTTCAAAAAGAGAGAATTGTTCTATCAAGCTTGGAGCGATATTTCACGTTTCCAAGAACAAGGATATACTTTCCAAACTGAAGAACCACTCAACACATTCTTACTTCATCTTCCAGTATTAGATGAAAAGGATTTATATGATTTATCAATACTTGTTGAACCAAGATAGATAAAGAAAAAAAAATAGATATATAGAAAAAAAACAAAAACAAAAAAAAAAAAGAGGAAATGAACAAGTCCTCACACAATCATTAATAACAATTAATAATTAATAACAAACAATAATTAATAATAATTAATAATAATAATAATAATCTATTTTCCGATGCATAATCCCCGAATTTAAAAGTATTTATATACTTTGTATTTTTTTTACTAATAATAATAATATTTATTCATCATCACAACAAGATGTCTTGATCGACTCTCCCACTCTCTAACACCTAAAAAATAACCAATAATAATCAACCAATAATCCATAATAACAACAATAAATATACCTTACTACCATTGTACAACAGTATACCTTTAAATACCAAACTTTGTCGATAATAATTATTTTATGTTTATCATGACCTACCGCCAAAACTTTTGAAGTTCACACAAACACTGGGTGAAAATTGAAACTGAGAACCAACCTCCTCCTGATCAAATTTGATAAGTTGTGTATCTATTAATATTGAAAGAGAGAGACTTAAACAACATGTCAGATATAAAGAAAAGAAGATCAAAGAAAAAGGTAGAGGAAGAGGATGATGTCGATGAGATTGTAGCAGAGATTGAAAAACCATCTCCACCAACTAAAATGAGAACGAGAAGAGATACTGCAGCAGCTGCTACTACTACAACAAAGGTTGTAGAGACTCCTACCAAGGCATCAAGTAAAAAGGCTGCTGCAAAGACAAAGAAACAAACAGAAGAGGAATCATCTACTGCTGAAAAGAAGAAAAAGACACCAACTAAAACTACAAAGAAGATCAAAGATAAAGATTCTGATGATGAATTGGAATTGGATCATGAAGAAGAACCTGCTTCTTCTTCATCAACATCAAAATCAAAGGTTACTTCCAAACCAACTTCAACTACATCTACTCCAAGAGGAAAATTATCTGAAGCTGAATTAGCGCAAATGTATATATCTCATATGATAGATTTAAGATCAAAGATGAGAAAAGTACTAACATTATTTATATTTATATTTATAGTCAACAAGAAAATAGAGTTGTTGTTATTAAATTCCTTATATTCTCGGTATTGATGTTTTTGGTACCTCTATCTCTATACTATGGATTTGTAGATTATATGGGTGATTGGTTTGGCGTCGCTAGAATCGATAGACCTACTTATGGAGGTGTCATTGCTATTTTAGGAATGTTTGGTGTTATGGCTTCATATAGTGTAATGGCATATTATGAAAAATAATCAAACATAATAATATAATATTCTCCAATACATAGCATAATAATTATTTTAGAACATATATATATATATATCTATCTCTTTCCTTCTTTTTCTTTTCCCTCCCAAACGCATATAATATAATATGCATATATAAACAAACAAACCAAAACAAACAAAACAAACAAAACATTATTAAATTAATTAATTTTCGAAATACTAATAATAATAATAATAATAATAATTAATAACAAACCAAAATTTCCTGCGATAACCAAAAATAATAATAATAATAATAAAATTGATTCCAAACAATAATATTGATCCCAACAAAATTAAAAGCCCATATATGTATGTCGGTCGATCCATCATTTTTCTTGAGCTGATCTGATCAACTTCACTTGAAACCTTGTTTACTAGTAAAATCTAGATTTAAATTATTATGAAATTTCTAGTTCTTGTTTTCTCAAAATTTTCCTCAGTTTTGATATGCAACCTTTTTTCTCTGTTTTAGCACTATATATATCTTCAATGGGACAGCATTGTTTAAATAACGAATCAATTGCAATAAGCAACAACACAAACAAGTAACTTTACTTTACTTTAGAAAACACAACATTTATTTATTTAAACATTATTTATTGACTTTGCAAAGTACAATAAAACACTATATATATCATATAATATCATGGAGAACCAACAACCAGAACAACAAGAACAACAAGAACAACCACAACAACAAGAGAGAAGAATTAAATCAGTATTGGATCAACCATTACCAGAGATTAATAATCAATTGTCAGGATCATCTGGAGATGAAAGTGAATATTCCTCATCAGAAGAATCGAGGGGCAACAAGAAAAAGAGAGTACCAAGAAAGAAAAACACAGTAAAGAGTGAAAATGAAGTAGTACTCGAAGAGAAGAAGGCTCGTTTACCATCGGCAGAAGAAATATACAATAGAATCAAATGGGATGTCAGCATGGTGGAAAATGTTGACAACTTTCAAATCGGATATGAAGACCGGTTCGATGGAATCAAGTTTGTCATCTTTTCAGAGTTTGAAATTGGTGTCATCCCACTTCACCGTGTCAAACAATTCAAACACAATGAAAAGTTGGTTTGGGATAGAGCTTCAAGATTATATGATTTCCCAGAGTTTCAACAACCAGAATCATCAATCAATGCCGCCGCTGAACAACAACAACAACAAGTGGTCGTTTAAAATAGGGTGATTTCATTCATTCTTTTTTTTAAATGATTAAAAGGAATCTGGACATGTGGACCAGCGTTATATGGTCTTCCATTTTTGGAAGACAACTATTGACAGTCAATGTCTTTCTTTATCAATCAAGTTTTTCATCCTCTCTACTTTTGATATCGATCGATTGATTGTTTTATAGTTCCCACAAGCCACTGACCGATCCATATACCCAACCCTCAAGCCCATCCATCCACCCTCCATCCATCTATCCACCTGCCACGTAAATTAATTTTATTTATAGTTTATATTACATTTATCAAAAAATGACAATATATAATAAAAAACAATAAATATATGATTTATTCAACAAAGAAAAGACTAAAAAAAGAATATTAATTTTTTGATTTATGTGATGGATGGTCCATCTCCCAAGCAAGCACACTGTTTTTCAAATGATCATTTATTTTTTGAAAACAGATAAGAATGAATGATATCATTCATTGAGAATAGAATAGAATAGAAAGAAAGAGAGATGGAATGAATGAATGAAAATAATCAACTTTTTCAAACAGAAGAAACATTCATTATTATGTTTACTCTCTCTTAAACCAAACATATCATATATAATGGCAGCGGATATTCAATCAATCAATCAATCAATCATACAATCAAATCATTGACCCCCCGCCGATAGAAATCACAACAGTCGTCGGTCGAGTGGTATTGTGGGGGTGGGAATGTGGTGGTGTTGATGGACAATGTAATGTTGACTTTTATGGATATTTTTAAATGGATCGACGACAGAGAGAGAGAGAGAGAGAGAGAGAAAGAGAAGTAGGAACAGTTTAAAATACTGGGTGAACGGATACTCTCTCATTCTCTCTCACTCACTCTCTCAATCAATCTATTAATTACTCTTTATATAAATGAATTCAAACAATTTTAAATTAATCGATTTATATAAAAGGAGTAGGCAGGTAGGTTGGTTGGTATCACCATCATCATCATCACTATAATCATATGATATATCATTTCAATCTTACCTCCAACAACGGGTAAAAGTGATATAAAGAGTTTGGATTCCAGAGAGAGATTTCCCATCATCATATGAATATGTGACCGATCATTTTTAATTTTCCATTGTTGGTAATAATAATAATAATAATAATAATAATTAAAATAGAATAATAATAATAATAATATTAAGAATAAGGAAAACAATCAATATATCACACATATATATATATATAGTCAGTAAGAATCATATATTTTCTTAAAATCTCCCATGAAAAAATAATATTAATTATATATTTTTTTATAATAGATATTATTGTTATTGTATAAAGTCATTGAACATTATTAATATTATACTACTATTACTATTGTTGTTATTCATTTATTTATTTTAAATGATAAACCAATATTATTATTATTATTTATTTATTTAATTTAAATTACACATTTTAATAATTTACCAATATATTCAACTCTACTTCTTCTTCTTCTTCTTTTTCATTTTTAAATGTCAACTCTTTCTTCACCGGTTGTAATTTCAACCAAATCCACCACCACCACCAAATTAGAGCCAGAATTCAACTTTAATCATGGTCATCATTATCCACCACTTTCTCCTGATATTCGAGTCAACAACGATAACCAAGACGATAATGATAATACAGAGTTTGATGATATTCAGTTGGAACCAATTGATACGACACCACCATCAACCATACCAGCAGTGACTGGTACAATACGATACCAACCATCCATTGAAATGGTTGATGAAGATTTTGGAACACGTGATTACAACCATAACAACAGCAACAACAATATTCGAATTGAAGAAAGATATTTAAATTCTCCACTTCCAAATCATCCAAATCATCAAAATAATAATCAAAATACAACAACAATAGATATTCCACAATTAAATATAAATACTACTACAACTATAGTTCCAACTACAACAACAACAACAACAACGAATCAAATAGATGAACAACAACAATTAGAATTAAATTATGAATTTCAAAGAGAATTAATTGATAGTACAAGTATATGTTCGAATTTTACCAATTGGAATATACTCTATCTTTTATTTGGATGTGTTGTCATTGTCAACACTGTCATATTGTTTTCAGTTGGATTCCTATCAGAGAATCAATCCATTATATTTAGTGGTATCATTCTATGTCCCATTGGATTCCTAGCTATCAATCACTCGATTCATCTAGCCTATCGAAGATCAAGACGAGTTTATAATCGGTTGTTGACTGAACACCGAAGACGTCAAAGGGAAGCTGCTGAGGGACAAGCCCCACCAGTCGATCCATCAACACTCCCATCCAAACTTGAAGTCCTCACTATAGGTATTCAATGTTCTCCAACTCCATTCCCAAGTATATCTCATCATCATCATCATCATAATGAAGATGATGATAATAATAATACCCATCATCAATATCAATATCATCATCATCGATTATCAATAGACATGGATAAATATGATATCACTAGTTTCCAAAATAATAACAACAACAACAACAAGAAAAAAAAGACGACAATGAATGAAATATCAACAAACAATAATAATAATAATATAAATAATAATAATCGAGATAATAATAATAATAATAACGATGATACAACTAGTACAGGAAGTGTAATTATAAATAATAATCGAGATAATAATCATAGTTCAATGGATTGGACAGTGTAAATCTAACACAAATAAACCAACCATTCTTGATTAATTATCAACAATCTCCATTTAAATTATAAATATAAACATGTAATCTGAATACTACAAAAATTTTAAGTCTTCTTCTTCTTTGATCTGAGATTGATTGTTTGCACCGCTGTTGTGTTGGTAGGTGAGGTGTGTTTAATTTACCTCGCTTTTTTAAGAACCTTTTTAAAACACAACTGTTGTGAGCTCCGACTGATCCCCTTTATTTATTATTTATTATTATTCGCGATTATTATTATTATTATTGTATTATTTATTATTATTCAGTTATTATTATTATTATTATTATTATAATTCAGTTAGTTAGGTGATGACACTACCAACAAGCAGCATCCATTCACTCGATGGTTACTTTAACTATTTAATACAATTGTATAGAGAAAAGTGTAAGATTGATTGATGCTATACAGTAGCATGATAGCAATTTAGTTATAGTATAATGTAACATAGTCATAGTAATTAACAAGAAGAACTTGTGTCATTATTATTATTATAATTAGTTTTAAAAGATCAAGTAATATTTAATTGGGATGAAAGAATCAATGATTCTACATATAATCAATCTTTGAATACGTTGGATGGATACATTAAAGTACAAGACTATCGATCATTCACTAGACATTGCACTGCATTTATTCAATCTGCAACCTATTGCAACTCACTCTTGGTCGACCTATTGATGAGAACTCCCGACCCAATTGTACCAAAGGATCAAAAATCACTTTGGATTTATTCTTTTCGTAAGCAACATACAATATGGTTGGTTTATTATTTACACATACTAACCATTAATGATTGATCTATAGACGATGACAATAATATAGAACTATTGGCTGATCGAATTGCAGTGTTGCCAATGGCCAACATGGATATACTAATTAGACTATTTGGATTATTACACGATATTAGTACTAATCAAAGTCAATCAAATAATAATAATATTAATAATAATAGTAATGGATTGTCGCCAACCACTACTACGAATACTACAACGATAATTGATGCAAAGATTATTGGTGATGTATATGGAGCTACATTATTGAGATCAGAGTCTACACCCAATTCATCACCATCAGCTTCACTACAAGGTAGTGGTGAATTCTTCTTTGTAGATGGTGTCAATGCATACACTGTCATTGGGACTCAAATAGCAACTCTATTTATCGAACAATATAATCAAATATTTCCAGTATGTTTTTTGGGCAAAGGAATAATATATCAAGTTTAATTAATTAATTATTTATTTATCTTTTTAGACATTAAATAATGAATTAAAACAAAGAGAAGAAAGAGTAAACAAAGCAGTACAAGCATTAAAAGAAAATGTAGAGAGTCATTATTGCAAATTACAAGAGAATATCTATTTGACGATTAAAAAGATTAAACCATCACGGTTTGATACGAGGATATCAATCATTAGGAAAATACATAAAGACACGGAATACCAATCGTTTGTAGATGCTTTGAAACAATACAAGGTTGGACAAAATGGTAGAGTCTCTTTAAAAAAGGATGAAAATAAGAAAAGAACTGCAATCGATCCATTATTATTTTCGACTGGCTAAATCCAACAAAAAAATAAACCCCATTTTGTATATAATAAGTTTGGTGTATAATGATTAATAGTAATTAATAGTAATTAATAGTAATATATATATATTACTATTTTAATTTAAAATTATACAAAAAAAAAAAAAAAAGGATATATATTTATATATTTCTTTTTCTTTTCTTTTTAACCATTAACTTGATGTTTTGAAGCAAGTCCAGTTGCAGTTGTAGAGGTTGGAGCATCTACAAGTTGAGAAGCCAAATCAATACCGATTTCATCCAATACTTGATTCAAAATTTCTTGTGACTCCTCTTCTTCTCCATCTTGTTGCATGACATCGTCCATAGTATCGTTCATCATCTCTTCCTTCATGTCCATCTTGTCTGATTGTTGTTCAAATTCCATCATAATCTTTGTAAATTGTGGAAGGTTCATTTGTCTATTCATAACAGTCATTGCCTTTGTTACTCCCTTCATTGCTTCTGCCATTGATTGTGTTGATTGTAATGTCTACAAATTAAAAAAAAAAAATTAAATTGATTAATTTTTACATTTCTATCTCTCTCTCTTTCTACTCTATTTGTTTGTGCATCGTTTGGTTGTTCATACTTGAATTCTTAAACTAACAGCTTGTAATTGTGTTTTCATTTCATAAAACTTTTGAATATGATATCTTGTTCTTACAAGATCCTTTGCCATGATCTTTGCAGAATTCATCTGTCCTTGCTTGGCCATCTTTTTAATGTCCAATATAATCTTTTTCTCTTGGTTTTGAAGACTAACTCTTTCTCTATCCAATTCTCTCATTGATTTATTTAATGATCTTTGATTCTCTCTTAGAATCTCTAAATGAATGAATGTTGTTGTTAATATCATCATTTATAAACAACTCTCAGTTCATATCTCTCTACTATATACCTTTAGGTGTCTTTTGCTTTCCAAATAGAAACATTCTTTCTTTATATCTTCTTTTAATTAAATAGTTTACTACACAAATAAAGTATCTTTTATAGATGTGAATGTTGATGTTGATGATATAGATAGATAGATAATAATAATAATATACAAATAAATAATAATAACTGCACTTTACTAATGAAACTTTGTGAAAGTACTACTTTCAACTCGACCAATTTATTTTATTAATTTATTTTTTCACTCACCTTTCCTCAATTTTGAAGAGTTATAGAGCTCAAGTTTTCAGCACCTTGTCAAGACTCAAAGATACACAAACTTTTCTTTTAAAAGAAAGATAGAGTACAAAGAGGGAAGGTTGGTTTGGTTTATTATTGTTCAAACTGATGGATATTGTCCCTTTTTAAATTTAAATTATTTATTTTTAATTTTAAAAGATATTTTTATACACAAAACAAATTAATACTCTTGCTTTGCTAGTTCGAACCATGATCATGATAATAATAGTTTACTTTTACTTTGTTTTTTAACAAATATTTGTATAATATAAATAATTAGAGATAGATAATTAATATATATGTCACCTATTACTCCAACTATTAGAGTAACATTACCACATAGTGTTGAACATTTAATTGTTGATTATCTATTGGAAGATGGTCAACACCAAATGAATGGTACTACTAGTAGTGTATTGTATGTAGATTTACAATATGATTTGGTTTGCAAGAGATGGTTTAATCGTGTATCGATGCATATGGATAATAGGTTAAAGGCTAAACTGATACGAACAGACAACACCATCTACTCATTCCTCTCACATATTATCAACCCGTCGTGCGTGTGGAAGAATATCAAGTTGTTGGATTCGTCATCGTATGATGACTACTTTGTCGGCTGCAGTATGCTTCCCGAGACGAGTGAGCTGAACCGTCAGCTCAACGCCGCGCTGGTGCGCATGCTGACAGTCACGTTGGAACGTTTGATTGGAGACGTGGCTATTGACCAAATTACAAAGTCGGTGGCTTACCAATACTTGCAAATGCGTGAAATGCCGTTGGAATATGAATTGAATATAGAGTATCTCCAACACCAACTTGGAAGAGACGCGGCCGCCAAACAGGCATACGAAACAACCATCAAAAAGTTAACTCGTCCACGTCAGATATCACTCTATACAGCAACTCCAATACCATCTTTTAGTCGCCAGCGGCAGGCTCCAGTAGCTTTAAAACATCCCGAATCATCTCGTGATATAATACAAGACAATATTGACGGTCTAAAAATACTGGCATTGACCGTTAGTACGCTGCTTCAACTTGACACACTGCAACTACCCGACAACCGTATTGAAAAGTTGTCGTTGGGATTACAGTGTCGACAAACTATCAATGAAGTGGATACGAGCAGGATACTTGCGTTTATCGACTCGTTACAACACCTAAAGTCGCTGACCCTTGTCGTTCCGGCAGATGGTGGGTTCCACGGATTCAATAGTGCTGCTTCCAACACATTGCTCATCACTCTGTTACGGTACTTGGTGTCGACCAAGAGACACTTGGGTTATTTAGGATTACAATTTACAGGTGAAGTTCCATCAACTCTGTTGGTTGAATTCAACCAAGTGATACGGGATATTTCGTGTAGTACACTATTCATGCCAAACACTAGTGCCGACTATGCCGGCAATACAGCTATTCGTCATCTCGTTATTGACCATAGCAGTAACACTAAACCACTCTTTGACCCATCTCGTCTACCACCTCTCAACCTCCAATCTCTAACAGTTCAATGCGGAGACCATACCATTAAAATGTTAGAGAATGCCTATCCAACCGATGAAGATGCACCACTATTAGAGACTGTCAATGTCAATTTTACAATGGGACAAAGACACCAAATGCAACCATTCCACTGGCTCTTGACAAACAATGTCATCAAGAATCTAACAGTCACTGGAATGGACACTCCATACGCACTCAAGTTACTCACAGCACTTTACCATCGAGCGTTGTCCTCTAAACCAACTCTTCCCAATCTCGAGTTTGTTCATTTGGTCTATATTAATTTGAACATTGATTCCCCTCAACCACCAACTCTTCGTCTCCTTTTAGATAATCATAACTATCGACTCTCTACCCAAAGGATTGGTGTCATGACTCATTTATATCTTTTTAACAAATCATCAATTTAAAATGAATTCTTCTCTTGTGTAAATAATAATAATTATAAATATTAGATAAATATTAAAGTTAATAATAATAGCCTAGCCAACACATGTTGTCGTGAATAGCCACCACTACATTTCCATTTGTTTGTTTTTTTTTGTACATTTTATAATTATAACAATAATGACAAAAAGAAAAAGAATAATTATGGACAATATACAGCTGCAGATGGCTTGGTCTCATTTGTAAAGACCATCGTGATGGTATACTTTCGACCATGTCTTGTGAGCGATGTGATTCGCAAAATACCTCTACTCGCCTACCTTGAGATATCTCCCAAACAATAATAAATTATCGTGTAATTGACACAATTTTATAATATAATTAAATACAAATACACAAGTATTACTACACATTTATCTCTTTGTATCGATTTATCGTGCGACTCGGTTTGTTTTTAATTTTTTTTAATTTTTTTTCTTGTCGTTTTTTTCGGTTTTGCTTGAAAAAGTATGCCATCGTCGCTGGTGTACCTTTCGTGCGTTTGTTTGTTGAATAGTATTCAGTAGTAGTAGATAGAGGTAGGAGAGTGAGAGTATTACACATATTTTAACAATGTCAGGTATGCATCAAGATAGATTAAATAAAGATATCGAGAAAGAAAGAATAAAGTTAACTAACATTCATTCATCCATTCATCCATCATTGCTATAATTATAATTCTTCATCAATCAAATCGAAAACAAACAAACAAATAATTAATTGTATAATATACAATTATTACAATTAAATAACTATATCAATCAAATCAATCAATCGATCATATTATATTACTATTAAATATCATATGATGAAACCATCATCATCATCGTCAATAATAATAGATAAGAAAAAATCATCAACCAAAGGAGAGGAGACCAATGGATCATTTGCCATCCAACCAAGCAAGACTCCACAATTGGACACTTCACAATGGCCATTATTGTTAAAGAACTACGACCAATTGTTGGTTCGTACTGGTCACTTTACTCCAATCCCAACTGGACACTCACCACTCAAGCGTCCAATTGCCGAATACGTCAAGTACGGTATCATCAATCTCGACAAACCATCCAACCCATCCTCTCACGAGGTTGTCTCTTGGATCAAGAAGATCCTCAAGGTCAACAAGACTGGTCACAGCGGTACCTTGGATCCAAAGGTCACTGGATGTCTCATCGTCTGTATTGAACGTGCCACCCGTCTCGTAAAGTCACAACAAGGTGCCGGTAAGGAGTACATGGGTATCGTCAGACTTCACAATGCCATTGAAGATGTTTCTGATTTACAAAGAGTAAGAGATGAAAAGATAGAAAAGATAGATAATATATAATATATATATAATAGATATACTAACTGGATTTCTTTTTACAACATTAGGCTGTTGAAACATTAACTGGAGCATTATTCCAACGTCCACCAGAAAAATCAGCTGTCAAGAAGAGACTTAGAGTTCGTACCATTCGTGAGAGTTCATTGGTTGAATATGACAAGGAACGTAATCTTGGTTTGATTTGGGTTGATTGTGAAGCCGGTACTTACATCCGTACATTGTGTGTACACATTGGTTTGTTGATGGGTGTTGGAGGACACATGCAAGAGTTGCGTCGTGTTCGTTCAGGTATCATGTCTGAGAAGGTCGGTATGGTCACCATGCACGACGTCAAGGACGCTCAACACGAGTTTGAGAACCTCAAGGACGAGACATACCTCCGTCGTGTCATCCAGCCCCTCGAAGCCGTCCTCACCAACTACCCACGTATCGTCGTCAAAGACAGCGCCATCAACGCTATCTGCTACGGTGCCAAGTTGATGGTACCAGGTTTGTTGAGATACGAAAAGGACATTGAAGCCGGCGACGAAGTCGTCCTCATCACCACCAAGGGTGAGGCCATCGCCATCGGTATTGCCCAAATGACCACCGCCACCATGGCCACCTGCGACCACGGTGTCGTTGCCACCATCAAGCGTGTCATCATGGACAGAGACGTCTACCCTGTCAAATGGGGTCTCGGTCCAAACGCCAAGACCAAAAAGACCATGATCAAGGACGGCAAGCTCGACAAGTTTGGTCAACCCAACGAAGCCACCCCATCCAACTGGTCCAACTCGTACGTCTACTACGACAAGCAAGAAACCATCAAGGAGTCAAAGGGTCCAGAGCCAACCAAGGCCGCTGCCCCAGCTACCCCAGCTGCCGCCGAAGACAAGATGGTCGAATCAAGCGACAGTGAAAGTGAAGAGGAACAACCAAAGAAGAAGGAGGAGCCAAAGAAGGAATCAAAGAAATCCGAAGAAAAGGAAGACAAGAAGGAATCAAAGAAATCCGATAAAAAGGAAAAGAAATCTGAAGAAAAGGAATCATCAAAGAAGAAATCATCGTCGTCAAAGGACAAGGAAGAGAAAAAGGAAAAGGAGTCGTCATCAAAGAAGAAATCATCTTCCAAGGACAAGGAAGACAAAAAGGAAAAGAAAGAAAAGAAGGAAAAGAAGGAAAAGAAACGTTCAGCTGATGATGATGAACCAGTACCAAAAGATAAAAAGAAAAAGAAATCTGAATAATAAATTAAATAAATAAATTAAATACATCTTGTTTTTTAAAAATTAAAACTAAAGAGATAAAGATAAATAATATTATTTATCTCTCTCTATCTATTCAAGAAAAAAAAAAAACGAAAATTATAAAAAAAATCATTGAGATTTCAAGTTTGAACAAACAAAAAAAAAAAAGGCGAAATTCTAACACCCCTTGTTTTTGAGTCTTTGAAACTTATATTAATACCCTTTTTTAAAAGTTAAATAAAAGATAGAGAGAATAGAGAATGTCAGACGTAAGTAGTAGTTTATAAGATATATAATGATTATAGTTTTGTAGCTAATATTTGTATTGATTAATATAGTCGGCAGTAGAATTAAAGAATAAAGGTAATGCAGCCTTTAGTGCAAAGAATTATGAAGAAGCAGTGAAATACTTTACAGAGGCTATTGCTTTGCAACCAAATGAACATACATTCTATAGTAATAGATCAGCTTGTTATTCGGCTTTGGATCAATACGCATTGGCATTGGAAGATGGTCGCAAGACGATTCAACTCAAACCCGATTGGTCAAAGGGTTACTTGCGTGAGGCTACTGCACTCTTGAACTTGAACAATGCAAAGGATGCTTTGGTAGCCGTCAACAAGGGTCTTGAATTGGAACCATCCAACAAACAATTACAAGATTTAAAGGAGGACATTCAAGATGACTTGAATCCACCAAAGGGTTTGTTTGGACCAGACACGCTCGTTAAATTGGCAATGGATCCACGTACCAGAGACTTTGTCTCTCAACCAGACTTTGTAAAGGCTATCCAGGAGATTCAAGCTGATCCAAAGAACTTGGGCAAACACATTTCAGACAAACGTATTACCGCCGCCATGGGTGTCGTCCTTGGCATCAACCTTAGTACTGCCGGTGATGGTGACTTTGGTTTCGATCAACAACAACCTGGTCAACAATCGTCTTATCAAGAACCACCAAAACCAAAACCAGCTGAACCAAAGCCAAAACCTGCACCAGTCGTCGTAGAGGTGACTGAAGGTCAAAAGGAACGTGAAAAGGGTAACGCATGCTACAAGGACAAGAAGTTTGAGCAGGCTATCTCTCACTATGACAAGGCATACGAGCTCGACGACAAGGACTTGTTGTCACTCAATAACAAGGCCGCCGTCTATTTGGAGATGGGTCGTGTCCAAGACTGCATTGATTTGTGTAAAAAGGCTACTGAGCGTGCATCCGAGTTGCGTGCAGACTACAAGATCAAGGCCAAGATTCTCACACGTCTTGGTAACGCCTACATGCGTAGCACACCACCCCAATTGGACGACGCTCTCAAAGCATACAAGAGTGCCATCATCGAAGACAAGAACGCCGAGACAATGGCCAACGTCAGCAAATGCGAGAAACTCAAGAGAGAACGTGACGAACGTGAATATATCAACCCAGAAAAGTCGGCCGAAGCCAAGAACCAAGGTAACGAGCACTTTAAAAAGGGTGAGTACCCAGAAGCCATCAAATGCTTCGAAGAGGCCATCAAGCGTAACCCATCAGACCACACCATCTACAGCAACCGTTCAGCCTGTTACTCCAAGCTCGGTGAGTACCCTCTTGCCGTCAAAGACGCTGAAAAGGTCATCGAACTCGCTCCAACCTTTATCAAGGGTTACATTCGTAAGGGTAGCGCTCTCTTTGCCATGGGCGAATACCAAAACACCCTCGAAATGTGCGACCAAGGTCTTAGAATCGAAGAGGATAACAAGGAATTGACCGATCTCTCTCAACGTGCCATCTTTGCCATCAACAGAAAGCAAAGTGAAATGTCTGACGAAGAACGTCTCCAAGACGCTCTCAAGAATCCAGAAATCGCTGAAATCCTTCAAGATCCAATCATGAACCAAATATTAAAAGATATGCAAGGTAATCCTGCTGCTGTTCAAGAGTATGTATAAAAAAAAAGAAAGATAAATGAAAGATAAAAAGAAAAGAAAACAAACAAATATTTATTAATATTCCTTTTTTTTAATCTAGACATTTGAAGAATCCAGGTGTTAGAGCCAAGTTTGAAAAATTGGTAAAGGCTGGTGTTGTTAGATTGGGTAGATAAGAAATAATATAAATAATAAATCTTAAAATATATAATTTTAAAATTAAGTATTAATATCCATAATGATGATGGTGTACAAAATATCATGATTGTTGAAATCCAATCCATTTCGAGGACCTCATTGTTTTTTTGAAAAATTAAATTAAATCCATCTTGTGATGAAAAGTTTGAGTAAAGTTTTAAAACTGTGTCATTCTTGGGTTTTAGAAACACAATCTATAGTAGTTGTATTTCAAGGGTTGGTCATAGTATAAGATAATATAGATAGAGATAGAGATATCTTATCTTGACATAGCACAACAGATAGATAGATAGATCAGATATATTACAGATTTAAATTGGATATTATTAATTAATACCAACTATCATATCACACATAACCTCTACCTTGTCTAGTTTAGTCTAGTCAAGTCTATAGTTGAAAAAAATGAAAGGTAAAGGAAAGAGTAATAATACATCATCACAAAAATATAGGCATAGATTAAATTTAAATAGTAGTAGTAGTGATGACCTTGGATCAATTCAAGATGATTATGATGATAGTTACAATGATGATGTAGATAGTAGATTAATACATAATAATAGTAGTAATAGTATTAATAGTAATAATAGTAATAATAGTAGTAATAATGGTAATAGTAATCATACCAGTAATAATAATAGAAAACCTTATAAATATGAAGATATTAGTGGAAAGAATAAACCAAGATGGGATAGATTTATGGTTTGGTTAAGATCGACATTATACTTTATGAAACATGTAGCTATTCATACGGTCAATAATAATCGTCGAAACAAGTTGTCCTACTTTCTTGGTTTCTCTGCTTGCTTTTTGGTGGTGTTTGTCGTGTCGTTGTGCGTATCCATTATATCCAACACGCCCGTTGTCTTTCTCAATCTCTCTGAAGTGAGTGTTGGTGAGATGGACATGGTGCTGTCGAGCAACAGTGGCTCGTCGGCACAGACATCACTCAACTACACACTCGCATCGTCACTATTGCAAGACGACTCGAGTGACACTTACCACAGCCCGCGTATTCTAGCGTCGTCAGTCACCGTTGTATCTGGTATCTGTGGTTACAACGATCCCAACAATCTTGGATGGAAGTATGGTGTACAACCAGATGGCACTAAAATGGATTGTATACCAAACTGTTTCACCGACGTATGTTTGAGTGCACCTGCCAATTTTGGTGATCTCTATGTCATTGATACCAAACGAGAGGATCGTATGGGACTGGGTAGAGCGTGGACTATGCCATCCGTCCCATATGGTCAAGTATACCTCCAAAGTGATTTGGCGTCTAGTATCCATGTCGCCAAGGGTGACTCTGTCTACATTGAACTCAATGTTCAAAGTATGATATCTAATCTCTTTTGGAATGCCAATCTCACCATGTTTATGGTCAATGGAACCTATCCACCAATCATCTTGACCATGAAGGTTGCCGATACATTCTCGAGTGGTGGTGGTAAATTTGGTAAAGATGAATCAACTGCAATAATCATCGAATATGATCAATTCTTACCATTCATCTATACTCAATTAAATCCTTTATATCCTCAATCTTCTTTTTCGTAAGTAAACAAACATAATTTAATCATTATAGTGATTCTAAATATTTTTTTTTCTTTTCTATTTTTTTTAGATATATAAATTCATCAAATCTTTATGATTATGCAGATAATATAGTAGTTAATTTACCACCATCAAGATTAGAACCATATATTAATAGTAATCAAGATACTATATTACAAAATTTGATAAAGTTTTCATCAAAGATTCTTTACAAACTTGGATTCAATGAAATCAGTTCACAACTACCAGTCATGAAGGAATTGTCAAAGAATAGATATGTTGCATTGTTCCTTGGTCTCATTCTCAATGTCATCATCTTTATCCTATTGTTCCTCTCCATTTTGCTTATTTACTCGTTATTAATGATCGATGTAGAGACTAGAACCTTTGAAATGGGTGTCATGAGAATGATTGGTACGACACGAAATGGAATCATTCAGTTGATGCTGTGCAAGGCATTTTCATATAGTTTGCCATCATGGGTATTTGGTTTGCTGTTTGCTCAGTTGTTTGGTGTGGTCGTGTCCAAGTGGTTTGCATCGATTACCGGTGTACCCATCCCACCACGTCTCACTACCGAGGGTGTGTTGTTGGCTACATTACTCGGGATGATTATCCCTATCGCTGCATCCATCTTCCCCATCAAGAATGCACTTGGAAAGAATCTACACGACTCTCTCGACTCTAAACACTCCAAAACTATGGCCGTACAAATTTCGATTGAAAGATCTGAAGACAACAGCTTTTCAACCTCAGTCGCTGTCATTGGTCTTATTCTGGCTGTGTTTGGTTTTGGTATCTACTATATCTTCCCGTTGTCCCTACTTTCGTTTAATTTGACCTTGCTTCTCAACATGTTCTTTTTACTGCTCATTAGTATGTTGCTCGGGCTTGTGTTGCTGGCACTCAATGTCGAGCATCTACTCGAACGTCTCATCGTGTTTGCATTTTTGTTTTGGGAGAAGAAGGCAATTCCAGCAATCGTACGTAAGAACTTGGTCGCTCACAAACTGCGTAATAGAAAGACGGCCATCATGTATGCCGTATCGCTGGCATTTATCATCTTTGTCAACGTGTCCTACTCGACGCAACAAGCATCTCTCAACTACCAAGTGTTGCAACGTAGTGGGTCGTACCTGCGTGTCAACGGGCGTGCCAACTTTAGCCCGTCCGATGCCCAGGGGCTCGAGAACTTTGTCAGGGGGCTCGGCGACAGCGTCGAGTCGTTCTCGTGGATCAGCTCATCATTCCCCACATTTGCTGGTGTGTCATGGTCGCCTGTAGTCATCTCTACAGTCGGTCACATCTACTGGGACACGAACCATGTGTATGCCATCTCTCCCAACTACTTTGAGACTGGTCTCAGTCAATTCCTCAAAGTGGGTGATGTGTCAAGCGACCCCGACTACACACTCGACCCACTCAACCTCGGTCTCTCACAACAAATGTACAGTACCAAGTCATCCAACGGTCTGCTCATTGGAGCTCTCTACCAATCCTGGTTTGATGCACAGGTTGATGCCAACATCCTCTTCAAGACAACCATCCCTGCATCCTACGCAACTCGCACTGCTATCCCCGGGTCACCAAACATTACCACCAGTCTTGCACACCCAATCGCCATGATAAAGTCTGCTCCCGGACTTGGATTCTCCGAGTTCCCCTCTGTCACTAACCAAGACGCTGCCATCTCCATTCCATCGGCCGTAGCATTTGCCATCCGCGGTGGAGCACCCATCGACTCTGTCCGTAACATGATGACAGCCTCTTTACTCATCAAAGCCAGAGATGGTGACACATCGAATGTCCGATCCCAACTAGAAACCTATATCTCAACCATGACAGCGTCTGCTTCACTTTTTGATTATGACAAGGAGATTGCACCCAACAAGACAGCATCTGACATTATCCAATACTTTTTCAGTTTCACCACCGTCATTGCCATGGTTATCTCATTCTTTTCGCTCATGTCATCCATGTTTACCAACATCTATGAACAAACCAAAGAGATTGGTGTACTTCGGGCCATTGGTATACCCAAGTCTTGGATGGTCCGCATCTATATCTACGAATCGTTTGTACTAGTCTTTTCCAGTTCCCTCCTCGGTGTCTTTATTGGATCACTCGTCGGATGGACCATGATTCTCCAAAGAGTACTCTTTACCCAACTTCCCATTCCATTCATATTCCCTTGGGTCCTTCTCATCGTAATATTTATTTGTTCTGTAATATTTTCATTCATCTCTGCTTTTGGTCCAATTAGAAAGGTATTAAATCAACAAGTTGTTGTTATTATGAGACTTGTCTCCTAATAATAAATAAAAAATAAATAATAATAATAATAATTAAATAATATAATAATATAATGTTTTAATTAGGTTTGTTGTACTTTTTTACATGTTTATATATTTTATTATTATTATTTAAAGAAGAATGTATTATAATTTAGAGTTAATAGTTTAACCTCTATTATCACTTCTCCTTCTATTATTATTTCCACCACCAGATTCTCTTCTTCTTGATCTTCCACCATTTTGATCACCACCTCTTTCTCTATTTATTGATCTATTTGTTCTAAAATGAATGACACCAGTAGCACTTGTAGGTTTGCCGCCAACAAATGTCCAATTGACAGTGAGATCTTTGCCAGCTAGTTGTATTTTTCCACTTTGTTTGACGGCTTCTTCAGCCTCTTGATGTTTCTCGTATTCAATCAAAGCATAACCTTTACTAAAACCAGTACGTCTGTCATAGTTTAGGTGTATATTTCTGATGGGTCCATATTCTGCAAAGAGATCGCGCAAATCGCTTTCTTGAGCCTCTTCGTGTATGTTGTCAATGATGACGATCCATCCTTCTATTGATTTGATTGGTTCACCCGGTGTGATATCTACTTCTTGTTTATCCAATACTTGAAACACACCATCTGAACCTGCATATCTACTATCGGTATCTCTTTCCTCCGAGTCGTCATGACCACGACCTTTTTGTCGTGATGGCAATACACCCTTTCTAATATCCTCTGTATATAATCTTTCCTTTCCATCTTCACCAATGACTCTATCAACTGGTTTATCTTCTTTATCAACTTCCATTTCTAATATTATTTGATTGTTTGGCTAGTAGAAACTAATAAACTTCAAAGAGTTTAATAAAATAATTCGGTCTATCTAATTTTCAAACACACAGATTAATTTTTTTTTTAATTTTTTGTTTTTTTTGATCTCCACTTTGTGGTTTTTTTTTGTTGATATAAACTTGTGTGATTGTATTTTTATAGTATTGTTATACTACCTTTATAAATCGAAAGAAAAAGATAAATAGATAGAGTAATAAAATGTTCAAGGGAATATTGTATGTTTTAGAGAAGATTAGATCGATCAAGCAAGTTGAAATAGAGAACAATTGAAAGAAACTAATTCATATGATAAATATTATTGTATAACATCTAGTGATAAGAATAAAACATTTAAACCAAAAAAGGGATTTAGCAAAGGTACAAAGAGACATGATCTCCATAGACACGCAAAGGCTACTTTAGGAAGTGGTAACTTGAGATTAGCTGTTTCTTTACCTGAAAGAGAAGATCTTAACGAATGGTTGGCTGTAAATAGTAAGAAGAGAAGAACAAAGAAAAAAAGATAAAGAAGTAAGGAAAGGAGGAAACAAGTGTGATTAACAAAAGTTTTGCTTCTTTTAGCTGTTGATTTCTTTAATCAAATCAATTTATTGTATGGTAGCATTACAGAGTTTTGTACACCAAAGACTTGCGAAGTTATGAGTGCAGGTCCAAAATACGAATACTTGTGGGCTGATGGAGACACTGTCAAGAAACCAATCAAGGTCTCTGCACCAGAATACGTCGAATATCTTATGACTTGGGTTCAAAACATTTTGGACGATGAGAATATTTTCCCATCAAGAGTTGGTAAGGCGATAAAATTTAAATAATCATTTATTTATTTATTATCCCATCCTAATTAATTATCTTTATTTAATTTTCTAGACGTACAATTCCCAAAGAATTTCCAAACAATTGTAAAGAATATTTTCAAGAGATTGTTTAGAGTTTATGGACATATCTATTACTCTCATTTCCCAAAGATTGTTTCACTTGGAGAGGAGGCTCATTTGAATACTTGTTTCAAACACTTTTACTTTTTCATTATTGAATTTAATTTGGTAGACAAGAAGGAAATGTTACCATTGCAAGACTTGATCGATAACTTGACAAAGAGCAATAGTTAAACAACAACCTCTTTTAGTTCCCAACAACTTTTTGCGATAAATCTCCCTCCTCCTCTTCCTCCACCACGAAGCTTTTTTTTAAATCATCATCACACCAACAAGAGTTCACCCTTTAATATTTATAAATAACCAACAACAACAAGAAAGAAAAAAGAGGAATGGGAATGGGAAAAATACAGAAAAAAAAAAAACATTTAATTCTATTATTTGTTGTGTTTGTAGTATAAATAAAAATAATTATAATAATAATATTGTAAAATTAAAACATTTTGATCTGTTATTTGTATAGTACATCAATGATTATATAATCATATTTTATTAGTTTTTTTTTTATATTCTATATATTAATGCGTATTATTAAATTTTAATTATTTGATTGGTTATTTTGTTGAAGTTTGTAATGATGTTGTTGAAGTATTGACTGGAGAATTATTTAAGAGATTATTTGAGAATATTGAAATAATATTCATAATATCCTTTACCCATAATTGTCTTTCTTCAACACTGCTGGCAGTTAATTCGATTGAATAGAGGTCTGGAATAATGGTAGTCCACTTTCCATTATCTGAACTATCTTCAACGATTTTTACTCTTCCATCAAGCATAATCTTGGAGAGGAATTTGAATGAGATGATTTCAGTGAGATCTTCTTTTGGTGATGGTGGTGCTGTGGAGGTGGAGAGAGTAGATTGGACAGATGCTGTAGAGGAAGAGCTGTTGGAAGAGGCTGATGCAGCCAACTGATTAGTAACCACCGAGTTGGAACGAACCTTTGTCTTTTTGATGGTTGGATGACAGATGAGGATCATGTCATTGAGTAGGAACGCGTATTCATAGTTCTTTTTAAAACGAATGGGACCTTCACGAATGAGATATTTGCTGCCCAGCTTGGCCGACAATTCCTCTTTGAGTCCACTGATTCTGTCGTCGAGATGGATGGCGCGGCTACGCATAGCCTTTCTTTCATTGACACCATCGGCAAACTTTTTGAATGCATCTGATGCCTTGGTGAGAGGGACATAGTCGGGGTGGTCGTGAGAGGTGTATTTGCGTACTTGTTGGATAAGCATAATGTAACGTGGGATACGTTGGACTGGCATGATCAAGAGATCGGCAATATCCAAGTCGCCAAGCTCGACATTGTGCTCGGCATTCTTGACAAATTGCGAAAACGATGGGATGGTCATGGCACGCTTGAGGGCTTGGTGCGAGTACTCATAGTTGACGATATAGTCAATATAGCATTCGAAAAGTGGCAATTGTTCAAGCATTCTCGAACCAATCACAGACCATCTGTTAAAGTGTTTGAAAATGTCTTCTGTCTGCTTGAGGAAGATTGAATTACTCATCACAATCGTATTGAGTGTCGAGAAGATACGTTCCACCTCGGTAACGCTCATTTGGATCTCTCCAGATTGAATCTTTTGTTTTAATGGATTAACAAATATTCTAATTAAATTGGTCAAATGTTGTACATAGGTTATTTCAGTTTCAAATAATTCATTTACTGCTAATCTTTTTGTTTCTATAAAAAAAATAAAATAACAGAAATTAATAAATAAATAAATTAAATAATATTTAATATTTTAATATTTTTTTTTTACATACTTAAACGTTTAAATCTCTTTTGAACTAAATATCTACGAACAAATGATTGAACTTTGATAATTTTTTGAATGTCTAGGATATTTTCACTTGATGATTTGGTAAGTGCATCTCTTGCTTGACCAGAGAGTAATTGTTGTGAGGATTGTTGTGATTGTTGTTGAAGTTGGTTGAGGAATTCATCACCCAAAGATCCATTGAGTGGTGTACTACTACCATTGAGAACAATGGAACTGTCAACATCTTGGAATGATTTTAATTTGGTCAATAGTGCATCTGCATTTTCACCAATCTTGTTTGCAAATGTGCTGTCGTGAGAATCCATGTTTTCAATGTTTTGGAGATCCTTGAGAATGGTAGAAAGGTCATTGTTGCCCTTTGATGCATTCAACAATCTGACAGTACCAGTTCTAATCGTTCCAAATGTCTTTACAAGTCTCTTTTTATCATTATCGACACGACTCTCTAACAAACGAATACGTTCGTTGAGTAGTCTCTTTTCTTGTTCCAACTCTTCCACTTTGGTCTCCATCAATTCCGTCTTTTTCTTTTCCATCTTGAATTCCCTTTGAATGATCATATACATTTCTCTCCAATCTGGCTCTTCATCAGTCACAACTCTTTCTTTAATAGAGTTTACATTATTTGATATATTGTTTACTATTTGATAAATTGATTCTAAATTTATATTATTACATTGTTGTGTTTGTTGCGTTTGTTGAGTTGTTTCTTTTTCTTCTTCTTCTTTCTTGACTATTGTTATTGTTGGTACATGTGATGATTCATTGTCAAGTGATACCGATGATTGTTGTTGTTGGTCACTTGTGTCGCCCTCAGAGGAAGGTGTAGTTGATTGTTGTGGTACATCAGAAAATGAGAATGAGTCATTTCCTTCATTATCATCTTGTTGTAGACTAATGCTTGTAGTAGTAGTAGTAGTAGTGACACTAGATGTTTCATCGTCCTTTGATGTTGACAAATCACCTGACGATGTTATAGATGTCTTTAAATTATTTTTACTAGTATTATTATTATTATTGTTATTTGGCTTTTTATTTCTTTTCTTTTGTGGTGCCATTTCTTCTATTCTTCCTCTTCTTTATATCGATATTAAAAAGATATACAAGATAACAAAAAAACAAGAATGAGTTGAATACTGACTAAGATATCTTCTTTGCAGCGAAATAATCAGTTGCCACAAAAATCAGTGTCGAGAAAAAAAAATAGAAAAAATAGAATTAATTTGATTAAATTGTATTGTTGAAGCATCCAAAGTAATACTATTTATACTTATTATATATACATATATCATATATATAACCGAATCGATGATTATTGATTTAAAAATAAACCGTTTATGGATTGTCAATTTTGGGATTGGATGATTAATGAAGAGACATTTTTTCTATCTTTATGTGTATCAACTTGAGTATGTATGCCATGGCATAAATCAATTCAATCCATTTTGTTTGTTTGATCGATTTAGATTTGGGTTGGTTGGAAATGACTCTTGGTGTTGTGTTGGATGTGCCATTGGAGTGAGTCCCTTCAAAATTACTTTTTTTTTTTTCAGAGAGGTTGTTTGATGAGTCGCATCATTGTCATCAGATGCATTAATTTAACTTTGTACAAGATAGATAGATATATAGAGAATGAGTGATACTTCATCTTCATCATCATCAACATCACAAGGAGGTGTATTTAGACCTGCCGCAAGAGCAATCCTTTCGTTCTTTAATGAGGCAAAGAGTGCAGTACCAGTATGTTATTGTAGTAGTAGATCTGCATACTTAGATCACCTTTAGTGTACTTACATACATCTCTCTCTCTCTATTCTGATATATATCTATATTAGACCAATGTTGGTAGTGCAGAGAGTACTATAGATAATTCATTCAAGACTGCCTCAAAGGCTATTGTCAACAGTGTCGATATTGTTGGTATCAGAGATAACTATAGAAAGGCTACCAAGGTTGTAAAGGAAGCTCCACCTGCTCTTGTCGTAGCTTCTGCTACTCTTCTCCCAATTCTATTATTTAAAAAGGGTAATAATCATTGATTGATTCATTCATTCATACATAACACTTACTTACTCTTTTTTGAATATACTAGTACCATCAGTAAAGGATCCAGCACTTGGAGCTATTGGTTTCTGTGTATCTATGTATTATTGTTATCCTGAATTAATTAGCAGAGGTTCTAAAAAGGTATTGGAAGTATACAAGGAAAAAAGAGATCAATATCAACAACAATCAATCAAAAAGGTTGAAACACCATCACTCCCAACTACTACCAATAACAAATCGACTCCTCCACCCTCTACCTCTAACAAATAAATAATATATATATATCAACCCGAAAATAGATAGGAACAATAACAAAAGAAGAATAAGAATAAGAAGATATATATACAGACAGAAACAAAGTTACTTTTTTTTGGTTTATTGTTAATTTTCATCAAAACCTTTAACAACAACTTTACCTTTGTTTAGATTTGAATCAACATAACGATGTGCTTCTTGGATATCATTGACACTGAAAACCTTGTCAATCATTGGTTTCAAGGTACCATTTTCAAAGAGTGGATCACATGTTTTGTGGAAACGTTGGATGAGGTCTTGTTTGTATTCGATGGAACGTGATCTGAGGGTAGATCCGAGGATACGTAGACGCTTGGTGAGGATGTTGGCAATGTTGGCATTCTCCTTGACGATACCACCCGACATGGAACCTTGAAACACCATGGTACCGTCCATGGCCAGACTCTTGAGATTGTCGTTCCAATAGTTGGCACCAACATAGTCAAACACCATATTGACACCCTTCTTTTGAGTGATCTTTTCAACCTCTCCGGCAAACGACGGTGTGTTTTTGTAGTTGATCGTGTGTGTGCAACCGAGTTCGCTACACCATTGAGTCTTTTCATCTGATCCAGCCGTGCCGATGATGGCAGCTGCACCACCAGCTTTGGCCAACTGAATCAACGCACTACCAACACCCGACGCAGCAGCATGGATGAGGACAGTGTGATTCTTTTGGAAATCACCAACTAGATACATTGCCTGGTAGGCAGTAAGCCATGCCTCTGGTATAGCAGCAGCCGTTTCAAATGTAAAGTGTGCAGGTATATGAAGAGCATTTCTAGCATCGATCGTACAATACTCTCCATAGCCACCACCACTTACCAAACCATAGACACGATCACCAACTTTGAATCCTGCAGCTGATTGTGGTGGAGCACTCTCTACGACACCACTCATCTCCAAACCCAAAATTTCAGAGTCACCTGCTGGTGGAGGATACTTTCCTTGACGTTGTAATAGATCAGCTCTGTTGATTGCAAATGCTTTGACTCTAACCAATAGTTCGTTTGCCTTTGGTACAGGTTTTGCTATTGATCCTATTATCAAATTCTCTATACCTCCAAATTGTTTAATTAATACTGATTTCATCATTTTCTACTTTTCTTCTTTTTCTTTTTTTATCTCTTTAAATTCTCTTCTCTCTCTCTCTCTCTCTCTCTCTCTATCAATATCTATTGCTATAATTATGAAGGAATGAAAATTAAATGGGTTGTGATTCGAAATGCAAAGAAGCAGAAATAAGCACACATCCAATTTAAAATTTCATTCAAATTTCTGTTTGAACTTCAAATGGACGTTCCACGTGATTCCATCATTATGTTCGGTTGTTGTGTTGGTTGCCTATGCCTGGGTAATAATAATACATATTGTATTATTATTATTTAATTTAATTATCGGTCTGCAAGATATGATTATTAGTTGTGCGCGTTTGGTGGATCTTATCTGTTTAATTTATTGATTTGGTAGATTATTATTATTAATTAGCCATGCCGGCGCCCGTCGTCGTCTTCACCTATTTAAATGAATCAATGAATAAATACGAATAATTAGTAAATCATCAAGGTTATGGAATGAATCTGCAATGTGACACATACCGTCAGATAGTGCTTTTAACAATTCCATGGCTGCTGCTGTATTTCCGGTACTGTAATAATTAATAGTTGTTTAAAAAAGAGGATAGGTAAGCAATCAATCATTCCTGCCACTTATAGAGTGTTGTTATTATTATTGTACATACGATATACGAATGAGACCACCATTATTATTTATAGAGGTTGATGTGTATGTTGTTGGTATATATGATTTAGAGTTACTACTATTTATATTGGGTGATGATGTAGAATAGGAAGAAGACGAAGGGGAAGAAGAAGATGAAGATGATGATGGTGAAAAGGTAGATGCCGCAAATGACTTTGATGACGACGAAGCAACTCGTTGTACAAAAGATGACTTTTGAAAGAATCGATTCATTCTTTCTTTTAGATTTATATATATAACTACTACTATCACTACTCCTCTATACTATACTATACAAACTACACTCTCTCTTTCAGCTGAATAGTAAGAATTCAGAATAACTATTGATCTATATGTTTGTTTGATTCTCGTTTAAGAACTTGATCAGAATCTGATGATGACTTTTTTTGTTTGATCATCAAAATTTCACTCATTATTTACGTTTTAATAGTAGTTAGTACTTCTATCTATCTAGAATGAATTCATTGTTACCACATCACATAATTGATTATATTATCAATTTATCGTGGAATAGTTATATATGTACGTGTTGGGTAGAGTCTAGCATTGTTGATGATTTCAACTATGGAAGGGTCAAGAGAGAACAAGTGGTCAATGCAATCGAGCAAACAAAGAGACAATGTATATTACACAGAGATTGCAAGATCTCTATAGAATATGATATAGCAAAGGACTATAGTCCTGTCATGTTGGAGATTAATCGTCGTAGATTGATGTTGTCATTGGTGTCTAAACGTATCTTTGGAGTTGTCAAAAGGTTGTTCAAGACGTTTGGACTGTCGATTGAACCCGAATACGATACTCAAACATTTAAAGTAATCAGTACAGAGGTTAGAGAGTTGGAGGATATCTCTAATCATCTAGACAATGGCGGGGGTCAACAACAACAACAACAACAACAATACAATCTATTGTCAAATGGAAATATTAAGACATTGGTATCATTTATTGGAGTGGCTAAAATAGATGCAATCGATATCACACCATTTTCAAATATAAAGAAACTAGTGATAAAAGAGAGTGCAATGGTTGATACCTATATTGATTATACAGTATTTCCAACACTCTCCTTTCTCACGACATCATTGACATCACTAGATTTATCTAGTTGTGATTTGTCACATGGACACAAGGAAATCGTTAAAGTATTGCCAACACTATCACTACGCAAACTTTATTTTGATTATCATCTTGGTGATTTTCCATTTGATACAGTAGCAGTAGAGTCATCTCCACCAAACCAACCACTCTACCAATCACTAGAATCAATATCAGTACAAAGCACTCAACATATTTCAAAGATTGGAAGTTGGTTCCCTCGAATGAGACATTTACGAATGATATGTAATGAAATTGGAAATGATCTGGCTGAATGTGCTAGACAGACCATTCTACCAATTGGCATTCGGAAAATATCTTTTAGTGATTGTAAAGTATCGGTTATTGCTCAAACCAACAAACAAGTCAGCTCTTTAAAGCTATTGGTTGAAGAGTATAGCTTGTTTGCAGAGTCTGACCCAAATGACCTGTTTTACATGCACCAAGATCAAGACCACATTACCACCATCACCATTGTATCGGATCAAAACTCAATTGCCCAACAAGCCACTTCAACCAATTTCAAATTCATTGGGAAACAATTAAAATATTCAATCTTTAAAGAAGAACGTCAAAGAGAAACTACTAAATTGATTTATCAAAAAGGAAATAACAATTAAAAAAAGATTATATATAATTATAATAATAATAATAATCATATATTTAGTTATTATTATAGTTTATTATTATTATTTAAATTCCAAAGAGTTTTGAAACCTTTTGTAGTTTTGAATCATCAATTCCAATTGATTTCAAGTATTCATCACCAAAAACTTGTCGGATGAATTGATTAGTCCGAATTAAAATGATTAACACCAAAAGTGAAATAAGAACCATTATTTCTAACAACTATATATATATAGAAAAAGAAAAGGAAAAAGAGAAAGAGAAAGAGGGTTAATTTAATTTCTTTTTTCTTTTTGTTTACTTTTCTCTCCAAAAAAGTAAGTACACTACTTACACTTTCATATTGTTTAACAAACAAATAACAGTCTCCAAAGTCAGATTTATCCATACATTTCAGTGCCCTTATTGCTTGTTGATGGTCTTTAAAGGTTACAAGAAAATATGTACCAAGCTTGAATTTACCTATAAAAACAATATTGATATTAATATCAATATCGTAGTGATCAAAGAATATTTCCATCATTCTTTTTTTTATTTTAGTTTTACTTACCAAAAGATGGAATATCTATTCTTTTCATTTTCTTTATAATACCACATGTACCGAGTAAATTGTGTATATCTCCATCATGGGCAGAACCTACACATTTGACAAACAGAGTTTTGGAGGTGTTGATTTTGTAATGGCTAGTTTCCATCGCCCCACTTACCACAGAACAATAGAACCGAAGGTTGTACAAGTAAGCATTGCCAATAATACACATCATTACATCTTTAAATGTCAGACTCTTGTGATATTTCAAGGTAATATAAGCACCTCTACTTAATGGCATCATGGTAAGACTTTCAATTGATACTTCTTTGGGAAGAATATTTTGAATTCTCGATACCAAACTCTTTAAAGGTGTGCCCGTCAAGAATACTTTTAAATCAAATTTAACATTTCTTACATCATCAATCCATAGTTTTTTGATTATAAAGTCAGGATCCTATAACATATAAAAAAAGAACAAGTATTAATACTATAGTTAGTTTACATGGGATGGGTTATGATTATGATATCAATAATAATATTGAATAGAACCATACATCTTTAGAGTACTCGTTTAAATCAGGCTTTTCTTCTTCTTGTTGTTGTTGTTGTTGGTGTGGACTACCACTGGATACATCTTCAGAGCTTGGAATCATTGTACTACGTTTTGGGAGCAATAGAATCTTTTCAACACGTGAGTTTGAGGACTGACAGCGGCAGACATTTCATTCACTTTTTGATATATGGTTGATTGAAACAACGATGATGACGATACAGCAGCAGCAGAGGCAAAGGACTGTTGGTATAACTTTAACTTTGGCAGAGATACGGCTATAGACTGAGAGACCGGTGAAGAAGAACTTTGTTTTAGGACAGCACCACCACGGTGGTGAAAGCAAAGAGGACTACTTGGGAGCACAGAGAGCTTTCCAACAGATACAACTTTTTTGAGCATGGCAGAGATAACAGAGAAGAGAGAGAGGAGGAGGAGGAGGAGAGAGTTATTATATTGTTGATAGTAGTAGATTAAATTATGATTAAAACTCTCCTCTCTCTCTCTTTTATAGCTTATTGTCACCTCTCTTTCATCGTTCAGTCATAGATAACTTGTTCTAAAACTATGTGTAGATAAAATCGTTCAGTCATCTTTTGTGTTCCGACTTGTGAACAAGAACAAGCACGCAAATTTTAATCAGAGAGATTTTTTTTTTTGAAGAGCTCCGCCAACAAACATTTCAACTCGATAAACAAATTATCAGATATACATTATTTGATTGTTTGGATAGAGATATGATTCCAATAGTCTATTTTAAATGGATTTATATTCCAAAATAATAATAATAATAATGGGAAAGAAATAAATACATAAATAATAATAATTAATTTTTCAAGGCAAACAAACACTTTGAAGTGAACGAGCTTTCGGTTTTAGTATTACAGTTTAGTTGTTCAGATGGTATCTTTCTATTGCGATGAAACAAAGAAGAAATACCTTCCAGTTTCTAAATAAACAAACAACTACAACAACAACAACAACAACAACTGATGTAATAGAGGAGAGGGAAGAAGAAGATAACTACAATCATGAAAATAATATTATTCACAAACAACGAGACTTTATCGTAGTTGAGGATGATGAGGACGAAGACGATGATGATCAGTATATACCAATCTCTACTACTAGTATTACTACAGCTACTACTCAACCACCACAAATCAAATATAACAGTATGACCAACAACAAAAAGTCAGTGGGATATAGAGGAGTATATAGAGGAGTATATCAAGAAGAATGTATGTAGTTATTATGATTGATGATTATTATTATAATTATTTTTGACTAATAAACTTTATATATCAATAGTTAAACCAACAATAGAATTTCAATTGACGTATACAGAAGAACAATTAAAAAAGATTGAATGTTGTAAAAGACTTGAAAAAGATATGTGAAGAGATGTTTATATTTCGTTTAACCAAAAAAGATGAAATGGTTCAAGCTATCATCAAGAAACAAAATAATCTCAGAGCACTCAAACAACAGATGTTTGTCAGCAATCCATTGGTCAATTATAGTAAATATACATTTGACTATACTCTACCGTGGTCGATCATTTGCAAGATACTCGATCAAGTATGGTACGATTCATCAGTTTGTACTTGTTACTATAGTGATTACTTGCTTAAAAAGAGAAAGGAAAGTACTCTTTTGGGTCATGTTAACGAATGGGAAGTAGAACTATTAAATGTACACAAACAAGCTAGATCACAGTGTCCAATGCATACCTTTCACTATGCCAACAACATAATACCATCCATCGCCATCGACATCAACAACCCACCCAAGAGTAATCAAAATCTATGGAGATACCAACTACTCCTCGTATCAAAGAGAATCAATCAATTCATTTCATACAATTATTTTACAAAGTTGAAATGCCCATCCAAGGAATTAGGTGATTGGTGTAATTATATGACATGTGCCAATTCGCAAACTGCCAAAATCTGGCAACATATCAAAAACCCATATTGTCCATTCAAGAAACCAAAGTCACTTACTCTTAGACACCCATTCAGGCATGTTTCCTATTGTGCTGGTTTGGTCAGTCACTCGATGTTTGATTCACTTGAAAAGCTCAAACTAGATCGATTCTATTACGTACCGAAACTCCAAACTACTTTACAAGTGACTTTAAAAGTATTAAATCCCTCACGCTCGTTGCATGCCACCGATATCATTTTGATCATCTTGAAAAGACACTCAGGAATTGTACATCGCTCAATATGGTGTATCACGAGGATCTTTTCATCGAACGTTTTGTACGGTGCCTACCTCGACAGGGTGTATTCAAGCTTTTAGTTCCTCCAGCTAAAACTCTCAATGACCGACTACTGCCAGATAATTTTAATACAAGTACCATGCAAATCACCAATATATATGATCGATTGAATGAAATGACAAACTTGCATACATTCCATTTGTCAAGCTGGCACAACTCATTTTTTTTCAACCTACCACCATCGGTCACTACGCTAGTCATCTATCCCGCCCTTCATCCCCCTCTTACCAACATATTGAATCAACATTATCATCTACCAGCAAGTATCACAACTCTAAAGATAAGGTTATACCAGTCAGTAAAGCTCATAGATTTTTTAAGTAGAGAAAGGAAAGAATATCACTTGGATGGTCCTGAATTGATAGAGTATACACGATTTGGTATCAACACGCTTCTCATCACATATCAGAATGAAATCACAGAAAATCAAATCAACCAATTTAAAAGAAAGGGATATGAATATCATGGATCAACATTTAAACCATCGGATCCTCATAAAAGACAATTAAGATTTATTAAATCAACAAACATAACACCAGAGATTGAATATTATCATCCATCAACACACCAACAACCAAATAATCCAACACTTCCATTTTATATTATTGAAAAAATAGTAAAATACTCTTGGAATAGTTATTGGTGTAATTGTCAAACAGAGGTAGAGACAAAGACAAAGATAATGTGTCCAGTACACTCTTGGCACAAAAAAGAAAAAGATCTCCTTACAACTATTAATCGACTTCGATTTGGGTTGACTTTGGTATGCAAACAATTATTTGCACTCGTATCACAATGTCTAATCACAAGAACTGGGTTTGTTGATGGTGGACCAGCTCTCCAACTCATTTACGACAACCAATATTGTGTCATGGCCAAATCAATCCAATCGCTTTTGGTTTCAACTGAAGACATTTCATTCTTGCAACATGAAATGTACTCACAATTAAAGACCTTACAAGTGATACATAATCCAGGACGCCAAGAAGAAGACGAAGAAACACTCCTTCCTATTCCAGACAGTCGTTATTTGTCTAGTCTCGGTGGTTCACTCAGATCATTAGAGGTAGATTGGATTTCACGTGACCTAAATAATGTAATCCTAGACCTACCACTCAAGAAACTTTATGCCAGAGGTATCTACCTCTTTCCATTGGATGAATGGACCAAAGATAACATATTATCACAATCTTTAGAGGCAATGTCAATCAACCATTTGGATCAACTCTCGTGTTTGGGTATATTTCCAAATCTAAGACACCTCAGATTTGATTTAAATGAGCCATTCGAGATTGGCCTTGATGAAGAACCAGTTACACTTCCAACTAGAATCACCAAAATATCATTTGAAGATTCTGAACTTGGTGCTTATGTTGTCAAATACAACCCTCAAATAACTCGACTTACCATGTTACACCCTTATGCAAATAACGATTACCATCATCTTTTGACGATCCACAGTAACAATGTCAAAAAGATCACCAAAGTCCACTCAAAGTTCATTCAAGATATTATACAGAATCACCTCAACCTCTTCCCCAAACACTCAAAGAACATAATGTTAATGCCCCACAAACATTTCTACTCTCTAAACAAATCATTAGATATGCATTCTTTGATCATCTAAATCAAGAAGCTCCAATTTTATTTTTTAAATGGATTTATTTACCAAAACAAAAATAATATTGGAAAAAGAAATAAATTAATAAAAGAGTCTCCATCCATTAATAGGTTGAAATGAGACAAAGAAGAAATACCTTTCAATTTCTAAACAAACAAACAGATACAGATAATATTACTGATGATATAGAAGTAGTAGAAGAACAAGAAGAAAAGGAAGGTCATGATTATATAGTAATTGAAGATGATGATCAGTATACACCAGTCTCTACAACTACAACAACTACTAGATCACAACCTCAACCACAACCAGCACCACCAACCAATCAATCAAAGTAGTATCAATATGAACACCAACAACAAGTCAGTGGGATATAGAGGAGTATACCAAGAAGAATGTATGTGTTGACTATTATTATTATTATTATTATTATTATTTTTATTATGTTTGACTAATAAACTCTAAAAAGTTAAATCAAATATAGAATTTCAAACAATTGATACAGTTGAACAATTAACAAGGAATGTTGTAAAAGACTTGAAAAAGATATGTGAAGAGATGAATATATATAGTGTAACTAATGGCAAAAAAGATGAAATAGTACAGGGTATCATCAAGAGACAAACTGATGTGAGAGCACTCAAACAACAGATGTTTGTCAGCAATCCATTGGTCAATTATAGTAAATATACATTTGACTATACTCTACCTTGGTCGATCATTTGCAAGATACTCGATCAAGTATGGTACGATTCATCAGTTTGTACTTGCTATTATAGTGATTACTTGCTTAAAAAGAGAAAGGAAATTATAAATATTGGTAAAGGTCATTTCTATGAATGGGAAGTAGAACTGTCATTTGTACACAAACAAGCTAGATCACAATGTCCAATGCATACATTCCACTATGCCAACAACATAATACCATCCATCGCCATTGATAATCCACTCAAGAAATATGTTTGTAATCAAAACCTTTGGAGATACCAACTACTCCTCGTATCAAAGAGAATCAATCAATTCATTTCATACAATTACTTTACAAAGTTGAAATGTCCATTCATGTATACTAGTCGTTCAAGTAGTTCCGAAATCTGGCATCATATCAACAATCCATATTGTCCATTCAAGAAACCAAAATCACTTACTCTTCGAAATGGGATTGTAGGTATTGACGCTTGTGTAGAACATGTTAGTCATTCAATGTTTGATACACTCGAGAAGCTCAAACTTGATAGATTCTGTTTACCTCAGAGACACGGAAACTATTATATCAGATATTTTAAAGGTATCAAATCGTTGACACTCATAGAAGGCAATTTTCATATGGTTCCTCTATTAGAGGTACTGAAATCTTGTACATCGCTCAATATGGCGTACCAAAAGGATGACACAGAAACCAGAGGGTATATCAATCATCTGCCTGTAGGTGCGGTGGTCAAACTATTACTCCCACCAACCAACACTATCAACCCTACTCTTCCAACCAACTTTAATCCAAGTACCATCCAAATCACCAATATTCATAAACGACTTGATGAAATGACAAACTTGCATACACTCCATTTAACAAGTTGGCACGAGTCATTTCCTCTCAACTTGCCTCCATCGGTCACTACACTAGTCGTCTATCCAACTCTTGTAACTCTTAACAACCCTGAATTTCAACTTCCGACAAACATCACAACTTTAAAGATATGCCTATCAAAATTGAAATACGAATTGCCACTATATGACTTGGATAGTCCGGAATTGATAGAATATACACGATTTGGTATCAACACACTTCTCATCACCTACAAGAATGAAATCACAGAAAATCAAATCAACCAATTTAAAAGAAAAGGATATGAATATCATGGATCAACATTTAAACCATCAGATCTACACAAAAGACAATTAAGATTTATTAAAACAAATATAACACCAGAGATTGAATATTATACTCCTCTACCAACACAACAACCAAATAATCCAACACTTCCATTTTATATTATTGCAAAAATAGTAAAATACTCTTGGAATAGTTATTGGTGTAATTGTCATCAGATTCAAGGTGGACCATTTAAATGGTCAAGTTTGAAACATATCGAGAAACCACCATGTCATGTACACTCTTGGCATAAAAATGAAGGAGAACTTCTCGCAACTATTAATCGACTTCGATTTGGGTTGACATTGGTATGCAAGAAATTATTTGTACTAGTGTCACAACATTTGCTCACAAAAATTGGGTTTATAGGAAATAATAATAATAATATCTCATCGATTCATGCCAACCCATATTGTGTCATGGCTAAATCAATCCAACACCTATCGATTTTAACCGATAGCATGATAATCTTGCCACAAGAAATGTATTCCCAAGTAAAGATTTTAAAAATTGTGGTGGCCCAAAGACAACCAAACCCTCTTTTAGTTCCAGATTTTCATTTTTTGCTTGGTCTTGGTTCACTCACATCATTGGATATAAACAAGGCTTCAAGTGATCTGTTTAGAATACTTAAAGATTTACCACTCAAGAAACTATATACTTTAGGTATTACCCTTCCATTTGGAAAATGGAATGATGATAATATATTATCACAATCTTTAGAGGCAGTGTCAATCAACAAATTGGATGAGCTCCCAATGTTGACAATCTTTCCCAATCTAAGACATCTCAGATTTGCTACCCTTAATTCCAACGATAAAAGACAACCGATTACTCTTCCAACTAGGGTCGTTAAAATATCATTTGACGATCCCTCTGGTGCTTTTATAGCCAAATGCAACCCTCAAGTAACTCGACTTACATTATTGTACCCTTGGAATAATAACGACAATTATCTCTCTTTTTTAACAATGAAATGTGAGAATGTTGAAATGATCACTATTCATTCAAGATATGATACAACACACTCTCCTCAACCTCAATCTTCCGATCACGCTTTCTCACAAATATATCTCCTCCAAAAACAAATAATCAGATATACCATGGGTTCAACTGTCTATTTTAAATGGACTTATCTTTCAAAACAATTAATATTGGCAAAAAATAAAGTTGACTAGTGATTGGTCTATCTCAGAGAATAGATGTTTTTAATGTTCATTTTTGGTAGAAGGGATTTCGATCCCTTTAAATAGATTGCACAGAGGCAGGAGTCAATGATGAGATGATGTGTCATATATTGACTCGTCTACAACTTGGATGATGGGATTGGCACAATAGTAGCCTCGATGGAAGTGAGTTGGATGTCATCTGCGTTCAATGAGAAACTGAGGAATGGTGCATAACTACAGTTGACAGATGGACTCGTGAAAGCTAGTGAAACCTTTTTTTGAGAATCACTAGCATATGGAAAATAAGGATAGCTAGCTCTGAAAATGGAACCATTGTTTTGGTCACTTGAATCAAATGTTGTTGTGAAACCTGGTGAATTGCAATCGATCGTGATATGAAAGTCGTAATAGCTATAGGTAGCTAGTTTGATTGATACAATACCAAAAAAGGTTCCTTGAGGAACCAGTGTAAAGTATGCTGGTTGTTTTTTTTCATCTATCAATTAAACAAATAAAAAAAATAGGATTAATATCTTTTGAATACTTTCAAAGTATCAAATTAATTAGAATATATTTTACATCCATCTAGGAATAAACCAGCTTGATTTCCTGAAACGGTATCATGATGAGGATTAACTGCACAGAATGAATTTGATGAACTTCCTCCCGTAAAGTTTAGTTTAAAGGTTTTTGGTGTGCCATCATATGGTACTAAAAATATTGATGATGTACTATCAACTCTCTCCACTACATTTGGATATTCAATGAAATCAAGTTCATTCATCATTCCATATAATTTGTATGCATTATCTGGATAATCTATAAAAAAAAAAAGCAAAAGAAAGAATGGTTTAATTTTTAAAAACTAGAGTTGGTAGAGTTTTTAATATACTTACCATGAATTGGCGAAGAATAAGAGATATGGTTCAATTGATCACTGTATTGAGCTGAACCGTTGGCAATACTATCGTGGAACGATTGGGTCTGGTCGTGAAGAATCTGCTTTAAACTCTTGACAGAACCTCCGTCACCGTCGACATACTTGTCAGGGAGTCCCCATGCCTTTCCTTGGAGACAAGCATCTCTCATTAGAACCGAGTAGAGGAGGAAGGTCATGGACAGAACATTGCCCAAGATTTTGATATAGTTTGTATCGGACATGTTGATGATGGCGCCTTCAAGAGAGTCACGATAGTCCATAAACTCGGATCGGATCATTTGCAATAGATTGTCGTCGTCGAGGTTTTGTAATTTGGCTGGTGGTTCGACACGATGTTTGGCCGATCTATCAATTTTTAAACCTTGTTTCATTTGTTGTCTGTCGGTAAAGAGAGTGAGCAAATCGTTAAAGTTGTTTCCACGATTGCGACAATCCTTAAACATCAAACTGCATCTGTCTACTTCGGCCTTCTCCAACTCTTCCTCTATCAGTTCTTCTATCTTTTCATAGAGTGCAGACATTTCATCTTCAAACTTTTGTTCAGTGACATAGTTGTTGTTATCCTTGAAAAAATGGAACCCCAAAGAAACCCGAATCCAGTCTTGGCAAGGCCACCAATTACAGGTGTAAATCCAATCACCATTCCAATGATTTGCCCCCAATCATTGGTAAAGAGATCACCATCGGCCTTTACTTTTGGTTTGATCGTTCTCTTTCTTACAAATGGGTGATTTGGTTTGACGATTGGTTTAGAATTCTTGCTACGTGCAATAACTTTTTTGGTTGTTGACATTTTTAAATAAATAATAAATTTATAAACAAATAATTGATTAAATATTTATGTGTATGTGTGTAAACTAGAAGAAATAAATAATGTTTCTATCCCTCACATTTACCTCTCTTTTAAACTTTTCCTTATTACACGTGACCAAACACAAAAAGTAGGGTGATTGATTTTAAAGACACAAAAAAATCCAACTCCAAATCTTATTGATGATCAAAAACAAAAAGATCATTCGGGGAACAGCCTCTCCACAAGTGTCAGCCCCTTTTGATGTACAAGCCACGTGTCATTGTATTTTTTTCAAGAGACACCGAGGTTGATGAAAATATCTTTGGTATCGGGGTTACAACCTATCGTACCTCCTCTACTTTGAAGAATGGTGGTGCAGTGGGTATTGAAAGAACAGGGAAATATTACAATCCAGTACTCTATACCCACAAGCGGAATACAGGTATAAGAAGAAGATATCTAAAATATCTTTTTTAGTTTTAACGAACGATGAAAATTAATTTTGGTGGTTGAATTGATCAAATAGTCTATTTTATAAGTATTATTATTATTATTATTATGTGTGACAAATATGAATATGTATTACCATGGATTATCATACGTCAAATAGTAGAACAAGCATGGCATAGATCATCAATATGTACTTGTTATTATAGTGAAGAGGCTGTAAACAAGATGATTAAAATGTCTAATCACCAAGATGCAAAGAACAAGAATACATTTCAGTACACTCAAATGTGGTCACTGTATCAACAACTATTAGACGTACACAAAGAAGATAGGAGGAATTGTCCGATGCACTCATACCACTATATCAACAACTTGGAGGTATCAACTACCATCACCGAGCCATTCATGTCTACCCGTAACGACAAGAACAAGTGGAGACTAAAACTATTACTTCTATCAAAGAGAATCAATCAATTCATATCGTTTAATCTCCTGTGTCGTATCAGAGTACCATTTACAAACTCGACGTGGAGCCATCTAAACAATAATGAACATTGTCCAATTAAAAGACCGACTCATGTAAACGTGTTTATGGAGAGTCAAAGAAAGAATCGTACAATGTTTCCCGAAACTAGATCGTTCTTTAGTTCAACCGAGAAACTCACCATTGAGAGAATGAACTATTCTCCTAGACTCCAAGAACTAGTAAAAGTCATATCAATCTTTGCTGATGTAAAGTCTTTGACGGTTAAGAAATCAGTGTTTGGTGTACAACGATTATCAGCATTCAATAATATCACTAGTATTAATTTATTGGAAATGTCAGAGACACTTGGATCCATTTCAGGTCAGCATATTTTGGATAACATACCTGCTGGAGTGACCAAACTCTTAATACCATTCAAATTAAATACTGTTCAAGTGAATCAACATCAAGCTGAAACTATTTTAGTCACCAACATTGATCCTCCCAATCAACTATTCAATATTCATACACTCTATACCGATAAGTTGGATCATCCACCAAACTATACTCTTCCAACTGTTAGATCGGTAGTTGCATTTCCACAGACCCACATTGACAACCAGTTCTTTACCAGTACACCAAATATCAAGGCACTCAAAATAGCAAGGTATCACGTACTCCCTCATAGTCACCAGATATCGGACTTTTATAAACTTGGAATTAAAAAGTTAGTCTTTTCTAATCCCCTCGAAATAACCTATGAAACTATCACTAGATTTAATATCTCTGGTTACAATTATCAAGGTTCAACTTTTAATGGTCAATCAAATCAAAGAAAATATCATTTCACCTATAATAATAATAATAATAATAATAATAATAATAATAATAATAATAATAATAATAACATAATCTCGTCATCCACAACTGATGATAATAACATTAATTATCATCGTAATGTTGAAATCATACAACCTTCTTCCTCACAACCAACTCTACCGTTTTATATAATTGAAAAGATTGTTAAATTATCTTGGACTAGTTATAGGTGTATTTGTACATTTAGAAAAGAAGATGAAACAAAACAAAAACACATGATAACAAGAGAAATGGGAAATAATTTAAAAGAATCAAAGTTTAATTGTCCAGTTCATCGGGATAGGAATGCAAACACCCTAAAAGAGACATATTCAATTTCAAATCTACATGTTGATATTAATCAAAGAAGATATGGATTGTCAATGGTATGCAAGAGACTATTCTCATTTATCTCTATACATATCCCATCTTCTGTTGTAATCTCGATAACAGAAGGAACTACAACATCACAACAACAAGAATTAAAGGAAACTCATGACCATTTTTCCAATCAGTTCTGTTTGTTGGGAAAATCAATCGAGAATCTTGTTATTATATCACCGCTCAGGTGTATTGATCTTTTCAACAACAATCCACACTACTCCAATGTAAAGAAATTGACAATACTCAAACAATTAAATACCGGCTCACTACACCCACAAGTAAACTTTGGTCAACATCCTATACTCGCCAATACCTATTTACAATCACTTCAGAGTGTAGATATTTCAAAATGGAATCTTGCCTATCCCGATGTAATGGAGACTCTTAAAAAGATTCCTCTTAAAAAGTTTTACTATTACTGTGGTAAAGTAGACTTTATATTCTCCAATGACTCTTCCACTCGACCATGTATACTATTCTCTACATTAGAGTCAGTATCGATTGGTAGCCTAAGCTTTATCAACAAGTTGGAAGGACTCAAAAAGTTGAGACACCTTCGAATTGTTTTAAACCCAGATTGCCAAATACCTCATGTCTATGAAGATGATCCACTTGCCATCCAACTTCCACCAAGTATCACAAAGATTTCATTCCAAGAGAGTAAATTTGCAAGACTATGTACTTTTAATCCACAGATACAATATATCACACAACTATATCCACACAGCTATGAAGAAAGACTTGGCAAGAGTAGAAATGAGATGATGTATTTTGTAGAACAATATCAAATCAAAAAAGTTGTCATTCATTACAACTATAAAACAACTTCCCAACTTCCCATCCCCACTCCTCTTTTACCAACAACCGACAGTCATTATCAATATTATGGTGCCTTTTTAAGATCCTCTAGAAAATTATCTCAATCTGATATATTGGATTCAGATAAAGATCATAAAAATCTATTTATAAAATGGGTATTTCTTTGTGAAAAAGAAGGAAGAAATAAATAAATAAATAAATAATATTAATTTTTTTTTTGAAAGGATAAAATTAAAAGTATACTTTTAATTTAAATTTTCTTTGTTCTTCTCTTTGTTGCAGTTGATTTTTCCTTTTCCTCTTTTTTATCTTCTACCTTTTCTTCTTCCTCTGATTCTTCCTCTGATTCTTCCGATTCTTCCGATTCTTCTTTAATTTCTTCAATTTTAGCTTTAATCTTTTCATCCTTTTTAGAAGATTCAATGGCAGGAGTAGTGGTTGTACTACTAGATTCCTTTTCCTTTTCTTCTTCACCATCTTCAGTACCATATTGAGATCTATTTGGATCGACTGGATAAATCCAACGTTGATAGACATAGATAATGAAAACAATATCGTCACGAAGACAACTGAGTCTGTGCATGAGTGGCATCTTGATGATAAAGGCAAAGAGATCGTCGATAAAAGTGTTGAGTGCACGGTACATGAATACCTTGAATGGTAATCTAGAGACAGACTTTAACTTGTAGTTGATGAACAATTGTGGGGTCATCATGATGAATTCAAACGTGTAGACAGTCTTTACCAAACTGGAAATGATCCAACTGTACCAACTCTTGTGAGTGTCATAGTAGAGAGAGTAGATACTGGTACCAATAACCAATGGCACCAAAACCCATGACAAATACTTCATGGCCATATCGTCGTATTGCTTGGTCTTGGAGACGTAGGATTGCTTGTCTTGGATGAGTAAACGTGGGATACCGTCACGGACCTCGTATGTCACGTTCATAGCCTTGCCAATCTTCCAGAGTTCGATCAAGAGACCAAAACCAACACTAACGAGAATCATGGTACTAGTCTCGTTATCCAAAAGATAGAGGAACACAATAAATTGGCAAATGGTGTGTAAAATGATGGTACGTACTGATAAACCTTCCATCGACTTGTTGTTCTTCCAAAAGGCAATGTCATTCTTGAATGCCAACATTTCAAATACCGTATGTAAAAGAGTAACAACCACTGTCACACCCATCAAATATGGATTAGTGTCAGTCAACATACGTTTAAAATCATCTCCACTCTCTTCACCTGCTCCAAAGGTTTGTTGCATATCAAGTGATTTTTGCATTTGATTATACATTTGCCACTAAAATAGAAAAATAAAAAAGAAAGAAAAAAAAGAAAAGTTAATTATTATTATTATTATTATTTATAGGTTTGGTTTAGTTTGTTTACCTTGAAAGTACCAAGTGGATAAATTGACATTGTAAGATTTAAATCTTCTACAGTTTCATTCAACATGGTTAAATGTTCACGATATAACCAAAATTCATTGACAAAGACGATTGGACTGTATTTATCACCAGTGATATTAAATTGAGCCATAACTTCGGCTGGAAGTGAATTTGGTCCATATTTTTGATCGTCAACAACAAAGGTAACGGTCAATGTTGGTTTCCAATGTCCAACCAATTCCTTTGGATCGTATTCCTCAATTTCCTTTAATTTATTCTCATCCTTTTTATCCATTAAATTGATTCCTGCTGGTTTTGGTTTTTTAAAGAATGATACCATTGCTACAGAAATAAATAATAATATAATATTAATACTCTGATGATAGACTATTGATATCTAATTGAAATTACATACGATGTACTTGTTTTAAAGACCAAGTAGAATCTCTTTCATTGTTTGCTAAAATATGTGCGTATAATGTACCATTATTTTTTTTCAAACTCTCTGGACATTTAAAAGAAACATTTGTTTCACGTGTATTACTGTCTTCCCAATTATATCTAAAACCTTGTTCTTCCCAAACTAACCAATTACCTATTTCATTGTTTGATTCTGAAAGATAAATTTGAAGGTTCTACAAAAATAATGTATAATAGAAAGTAAGTAGATGTTATTGTATTCTTTTCTATCTTTCTATCTTTCTTACCCATGGAGTATTGGTTGACCAAGTATTTGAAAGTGTTGATTGTCTTGTAACAGTAGTTCCATTTGTAAGTGTAACGTTGACTGGTTGAGTAGGTGCTGCTGGTCCAGATGTTCCCAATAACTTGCCAAAGATCATTGACCCGATATAATAGAATGCAACGAATCTAAGTATCGATTGTAACCATGATGGTATCAACCCTCCTCCTGCTGCTGCTGGTGCTGCTGGTGCTGCTGCTTGCATTATATTATAACTAAACTAAATATATATAGATATATATATATAAATATAAATAAATAGATAGATTTGAAACGAACCGAAAACAAGTTCAAAATGAAGTCAACTTTATTCATTTCTTTCGTTTTTCTTTTTTTGGTTTGCATGTCGTAATCATTTTGATTATGAATGACTCACCAATTAATTGTTTATTTAATTTAAAATTAATTATTCTATTTATTTAATATACACGTATATGAATGGATGGATGGATGGATTAGATTATTGTTGAGGACCTGAAGGTTTTAATTTTGGTGAATTAAAATGATCAAGAGTAACGTATTCAGAGTCGATGGGATACTTTGATCCAATTGAAAAGCTGGGTGTTTGTAATGGAGAGGAAACTGGTGTTGGTGCAAATGATGGTGATGATCCTCTTAGAGTTGGTGTGGATGGCGCAGATGAATCACCTGTGGTCGATGACGATGCATTTGGTGCAGACGATGTATTGCCAATCGAAGAGTTGATAATCTTTTTCCAGCTGTCCTCTTTTTCCTTGATTTGGTTGAGATAGTTGCGACTGAAAAAGTCGATATAATAATTGGCACCGTTCCACAATGTGACAACCAACATTGCAAAGACAAAGCATAGATGAACGGTAGGATTATTATAAAATATCTTACAAGGCATCATTGTGAGGATAGTGTATAGGAGTTGCGAGATGATAAATACATAGAGTTTCTTGGTGGGAAGGATATTGAGTATTTTGGTCATGATACTCTTTCCACCACGATTGGTTAGGAAACTTAGCGAAGTGATGTAATTGCGTTCCTTGATGGTATTCTTTTTTAGGTCTAGCATGACATAGAGATAGATGGTCTGCCATGCCAAGTAGAATGCCAGTGGGATGCCCAGAGACTCTGTCCAAGTCCCGAAAAACGCCTCGTCGTCTCCAACCTGTGTCATCTGTTGACGAATGCTCGATGTGACAATTGCAGGAAACAAGTGTATTAGGACACTCGTTGCTTTGTCTAGTGAATGGAAAACCAACGAGTTTCTCCAAGCTACGGTCGCCCAAATCAACGGACCGTTACTAAAACTAAAACAAATCTTGAATAACAAATGAGACTTGGGTAGGACGTACAGATAAACCAACAAAAATGCGTTGGCATAGTAACAGAAATCAAACAAAAAGTAGTGTTGTTTCTTCTTTCTATAACAATATAATCGAGCAACCATTAAAAATAAAAACTCTACCGTAAATACCTTTGGTATTGCCCATGGATATCTACCAAATAAAAATAATATTAAACATAAATTACTTGTTCCTAAAAATTAAAATATAAATTAAATATTAATAACATTAATAAATGTATTATTATTAATTAATTATTAATTATTATTTTCTTTAAATTTACCTAAAACAAAAGCCAATTTATCTTTTGCTCTAATGATTTGAGAAGCTCCACCTTGTGATAATATTTTCTTTTCAAATTCGTCTCTCTTGTCATTGACATATTCTAGTACTTTTAATTTCTTGATGATCTTGTTGTCTGCCACCCTTGCTCTAAACTTTAGTGTATTATTATCGACTGAATACCTTCTCAACATTTCCATTGGTGAACTTGGTGCAATCTTTTCAAATAAATAACTATAGTCTTCGTCTTGTTGATGTTTTCTTCTACTATTATTATTATTACTATTATTATCACTACTATCACTGCTACTAGTACTACTATATGAACTACTAAATTCACTATCAGATTCTGTTCCACTACTAATAGTATTTGTATTATTATTATTATTATCTTCCATTTTTGTTGTTGTCATTATTTTTATTAAAGATAGATAATATTTAAATTGTGTATAATATCATCATTCCATTATGAAATCTAGTAGTGAGATGCTGTCTCTTATATATATATTATATCCCTCCTCCAAATAGTACTTTTACTTTTACTTTTTTTAAATTAATATTTTAATTAATTCATTTCATTGGAAAAACAGAATAGTTTTATAAATTGCCAAAATTGGAAAAGAGAGATCATTCACACTTTAAACTTGGAGGAGTTGTCCCGTTCCCAACCTCGTTTGGTTTTTCTTTTCTCGTCTGTTACATCGCGATGTGATGTTTGTTTACTACTACAATTTATCAACCGTCATACACACACATATATATATATATTACTGCTCTTCCTTGAATCAATAATCTAATCTTTCTTTACTATCTTATCTTCTCTCTTCTCTATACTTTCTGTTTGCTATAATAATTTGTTTTTTCATTGTCATATTAATTTTTTAAATAGTGTGTGTGTGAGAGAGACAAATTTGTCTAACTTGAAAAGATAAACTAACCACTATAGAGGCAGTCTGTAACATCAGATCGATCTGTTAAAGATAACTATACGCTTGTATTGTCTTTGTTTGAACGAAACAGGTTGGTGCGACAAAGTGAGGCAATTATTTTTTGTTCGATTTTTTGTATTTTGGATTAAAATTTGATTTTTCAATTTTTTTTGTGACGAGCGAATCCTTGGCAGCTGACAGAGAGAGTGGTGACATGAACAAGGACTCATCGTTGTAAATTACCTAGTACCTCCGCAGAATCGTATGTTGAAGAGATATCATAAAAGAGAACAGCGTGCATCAATGTATTGAGAGAAAGAGGATAGATAGATTGATCTCATGCATTGATAAAGAGTAAAAGAGAACACAGGTTTTAACATATCCATTCCCTACCTACTACATTATACAAAATATCTACACACCCCACACACAAATATACATTTCATTCTATATATTCAGTAAGATGGCCATCAAGAACCCATTTATCGCTAAGGGTGTTAAGCGTTTCTCTAAGCGTACCCTCGCTAAGTTGACTCGTACCCACGTCGCCAAGAAGAACAAAGTTGTCACCGCCAAGACTGTCAACAAGGTCGAATCAGTCAAGCCAACTGAAGTCAAGAACAAGAAGGGTCAAACTGTCCTTGTCAAGAAGGGTGTCAAGGGTACCGACCGTTTCTACCCATCTGATATTGCTCAAATCAGAACCGCCAAGAAGGCTCATCCAAAGCCAATTGCTCACCTCCGTAAGAGTATCACCCCAGGTACCGTCGTCATCCTCCTCGCTGGTAAGTACGCCGGTAAGAGAGTCGTCTTCTTGAAGCAATTAGAAAACTCTGGTCTCCTTTTGGTCTCTGGTATGTATAAATATAAATATAAAACAAAACAAACAAACAATTCTCTCTCCATATCAGTAGTAGCATAGATCAATCAAGCAAATCAATATTTTTTGGAGTCATCAATACAAAATGGAATACATATTTGGATCACATTATCTTATCAAACTACTTGACTACTACTACTACTGCTAATAATATTTGGATGGAGAGAATGTGATAATATTATCTTTTGTGACAATCATATTAATTATTTTTTAAATTTCAAATTTTAGGTCCATACAAGGTCAATGGTGTCCCATTGAAGCGTGTTGATCAACGTTTCGTCGTTGCCACCACCACCAAGGTCGATATCTCCAAGGTTAAGGTTGATGCCAGAATCAACGACGAATACTTTGTTGAGGAACGTAAGAAGATCGCCAAGGTCCCAGAAGCTACTTTCTTTGACAAGAAGAACAAGACCGTCAAGACCAAGAAGCACTCTGAAGTCCGTGTTGCTGACCAAAAGGCCGTCGACGCTGCTCTCCTCGAAGCCCTCAAGAGCCAAAAGGCCCTCACCCTCTACCTTAAGACCAAGTTCTACTTAAAGAAGGGCCAATACCCACACGAAATGAAGTTCTAAATTGTTTATTAAAATAAATATAGGGGATTCTGTTTAAACAAAAATCAAAATTATAAATTAAATCTAAAACTCTAAAATATATCAATCAATTTTATTTTATATTGTTCAAAGTATTATTAATATTTATTACAACTATTTGGTTTTAGTTCCAATTCATATGGATAAAGAAAATGGTAAAGATAGGACGAAAGGCAATTCTATGAAATGAATTATCCAAGCATCTAGGTTTTCACTATCCCCAGCTCAAACAAACAAGTAAGAACCAGGATCCAGGATAGATCTATGTATCATTTTCAAAACTGAATGCTCCATTCATTTACTCAAACATTCAATTCCACTCAGTATAATGCTTTCATGTTATGGTCTTGGCTTACTATTTATCTTATTATAGATTTCAACATTTCTACAAGGAAAATGAATTTAAAAAGAATTGGCATTTAAATTTCAATAATAATTATTTAAATAATGGTAATATTCCTTTCCTCTCCACATTTCTCTATCAGATAGAAATAATAATTAAAACTTTAATTAAATTCATTCTTTAATAAAATTAATTAATTGATTTATCTCATATTCCTCTCAATTCGAAAATATTAATTTAAGATGTATATTTAATTCAAAACAATACGAAAAAAAAAATCCAGGATTAAAATTCAATTTTGGTTGGTGGAAAAAAAAAAAAAAAAAAAGGTTGACAGTCAAAAAACAATGAAAATTGAAAAATGATCCGGTTATGATTTCCCACATGCACCCCCTATCCGTTGGCAACTGACAATAGATTGGATGCCTTAAAAAAATGATTATTTAAAAAATACGAAATCACTAAAGGTAATAACCATTTTAAAAGAATTAAATGTCAATAACTGACAAGTGAGAGAGGGAGGGTTGATAGTGAGTTGAACAATGGTGGTGACCCATGGGGCCACCTATCCAGTTAAGACTAGAAGTTAAAGAAAAAGAAAAAGAAGGAACATGCTAACCAACAACATGTCAACATCATTGTCATCCATAGATAGATAGATTAAATATTTAATTTAAATTATTTGCAACTTGCACCTTCCAAAGACTCTCTCTTCTCCGAACAACTCCTCTCTGGTATTTTAAATATAAGGAGATTGTTTTATTTTCGAAAAAGGGACTCTCTTAATATCTTTTATTAATTAATTATATATATATATATACACTTTATTTCTTTTTTTAAATATATATATTTCCTAAATCTATTTTATCTATTTCACTAATTATTTTAATTAAATAACTTTTAAACAAACGATGAGATTTTTAATCACATTATTCATACTATTAATATCATATACCGAGTTGTCTCGGGCTCAATGTGGCGCATCCCCTACATTTGATGCATCTAACCTCCCAGCATCATTTGACTCTCGTCAGAAATGGTCAGATTGTTTTTCACCCGTTAGAGACCAAGGCCAAAAATGTTCAAGGTAAATTAAATATATATAATTAAATATAGAATTATCAATTCTAATCCATTTCTATCTAAATTTTCTTTACATGCAGTTGTTGGGCAATGACAGCAACAGGTGTATTAGCCGATAGATTATGTGTTGCATCTGGTGGAAAAGTAAAAAAGGTATTATCACCACAAGAGTTGATAGATTGTGACCGTAATGGTAATTTAGGATGTGGAGGTGGTCGTCTGGATACTCCACTTGCCTACTTTAGAGATAATGGTGTTGTTACTGAAAAGTGTGAATCGTACAAGGCCACTCAAGCAAGTTCATGTTCGAATACCTGTGACGATGGCACTTCATTCTCCAATACCACCAAGTACCATTCCAAGGATTGTTACCGTCTATCCTCTATTGAACAAGCCAAAGCTGACATTTATCTCAACGGTCCCATCATTGCTGTCTTTGATCTCTACACTGATATTTACAACTACAAGAGTGGTGTCTACATCAAATCTGACAGTGCCACTTACAAAGAGACGCATGCTGGTCGTGTCATTGGTTGGGGTGTAGAGGATGGAGTACAATACTGGTTAGCAGCCAATAGTTGGGGAACTGGATGGGGCCAACAAGGACTATTCAAAATTCGATCTGGTACCAATGAAGTAGGCTTTGAGGCCAACTTTTTCTCTACCACTGCCGATTTTGATGCCGTTCCAAGCTCTGAATACGGTGGAAGTTGGGTCTCTGTCGACGATGGAAATGTCGATGATCTCAGTGCCGGTATTCCTCTATCCATTCCAATCATCAAGATTTCAGTTGGTGTAATCTTATTATTAGTATTTCTATCTGGTAAATATGCTATCGTAGTTTAAACAAACAAAGATAGTACATCGTCGTACATAAAATAAATAAATAAATGTATATTTTCACAACAACTTATCTATTTACTCCTTTTCCTCTTTGATTTTAATTGTTATAACAAGTTGAGCAACGATAGATATATACATATTAATATCTATATATATATCTGTATGTGGATGATTCAACTTTTTGAACAATGAAAAAGAAAAGAGAGTGAATGAAACTTTTGGACACTCGTTTAAATTAGTATTTACAAAACAAACAAAAGATGTTTAGATTAAATAACTTTATTAGATATAATAGTAGTTGTAGCATTAGAGGATTCTTTACTCACTCTAGTATAACAACAATAACAACAACTAGATGTACTTTAAAGTTATCAACAACTAGTAATAGTACCATTAATACTACTACTACTAGTTATTTTGGTCAAATCAATAATAATAATAGTTTAATTACAACATCAAGCAAGATTATTGTAGCTAGAGAATATTCTTCTTCCTCCAAGTCTAAACTACCAATTAAAGATGAATTTGAAGATCAAGATGATTATGGTATTGATACAATTGGTTTAACATCACCATCGTTAAAAGAAGCATGTGATTTGATAGATCAAGTTAGAAATGGAATGGATGATATTACACCAGAGACAATGGAAGATGCACATCAAGATATTGACAAGGCATTTGATTTATTGGAAAGTGCAATTGAAAAGGATGAAGATGGTGCTGCAGAGGATGCAGTTGGACTATTGTTGGAGGCTAATCTTGTCAAAGCGATGTTATTGCAAGGTGAAGGTAAACAAGAGGCTATTCACTTTTACGAGAATACTGTTGCATTGTTGGATCAATATGGTGAACCTTATGAAGGATTCAGAGACGAGTGTGTACTTGGAAAGGCTGTTTGTCATCTAGATCTCGGTCAATTACAAGAGGCCGGTCAAACAGTCGATATCCTTCTCAAAGAAGACCCAAATAATGTCAGTGCTCTAGTCATCAAGGGTCGTGTCACTGGTGACATTCGATATTTGGAAAAGGCCGGCCAAATCGATCCGACCGACATACAAACACCATTGACCGCAGGTCATCTATACGAAATCAAAGGCAATAAGGCTAAAGCTGCCGAATGCTACGACAAGGCAATCGATCTACACACTGCCGACAGCGACCCCAATCCAATGTTGGCTGCATGCCACTGGCTTACAACCTACCACTTGGCATTAAAGAATTACAATGCAGTCTACCAAGTCAACCAACGTGCCAACAAATTATATTCATGTGCTCCACTCCTCAAATCAATGGCCGACGCCAAATATTTCCTTGGTGACTATAACTCTTCACTTGATCTTGTTAATCAAGCTATTAAATTAAATGTAAGAAATAGATAGAAAGATAGAATAGAGGTAAAGAAAGAAAAGATTGGATTATTTAATTAACTTTACCTTTTTGTAGCCAGAAGATATTCAAGATTATGAATTATTAAAAGGACAAATATCAATTAAACTTGGATTGGCAAATCAAGAACCAAATGGAGTATTGGCAAATTATTTGGAAAAGACACTTCAAGGTTTAAACAAGGCAATCATTGAATCAAAACCAAGATTCATTGTTGGGAAGAATGAAAGTTTGGTTCAATTGGTTAATGATAGCAAGAGTATGGATCTTCAATTTGAAGAGATTAGAAAATTATCTCAACAATGGGAACAATTCTTCAAGACACAATCACCAGAACAAACCAAACAACTTAGTGCAGCAATGGATCATATCAGTTCATCAGTACAATTAATCAACCAATTTAAACAATTGGCAATTAAAGAAGGTAATCAATCAACAACCAACAATCAAGAATTTAATCAATTATTAATTTCTTGTAGAAATATTATTAATAATCTACCAAAATATATTAAATTTACCTAAACATTAAAATAAATTAAAAATAGAAACATAGAGTTTGTTGTTTGATTCCATTTACTATATTATTATTATTTGATTGTTTTTGTTTTGATTGTTTTTGTTTGATTGGTTTTTTTTTAAAAGTTATTTAATTTATTTAAACACTCTGCTCTTTTGACACGAGTAAATATATATTTGATAATTTACTTGAGTGGGATGAAACGGGAAGAGTGAGTAGCACCAATACCTGGACGACCGTGAGACACAGTCTTGTAAGAAAGGGAGAATTCACCAGTCATGTGACCAACCATTTCTGGCTTGACTTCAAGTTGGTTGTATTGCTTTCCGTTGTAAACGGCAATGACAGAGCCGATCATTTCTGGGACGATCAACATGGTACGGCAATGGGTCTTGACGGTCTTTGGCTTTTCACCGACTTCAGTGACGGCAGCTTTCTATAAATCGAGTATGTAGTAGATAGTGAGGTTGTATGTTAGAATCGATGCTACCTGTATTAATTATTAATCTCTTTCTTATTGATCACATACGGTCTTACGGCACTTCTTGATGACGTTGAGGTGCTTAATTGGTGTTTGACGTCTGATCTTTCTACGGGCGTTAGATCTGAGGATCTTTGACAATTGGTCTTCCTTGAGATCCAATAAGGATTCGAGGGTGATACCACCGTAGGTGAACTTCTTGAAGGTTCTCTTCTTAACCTATTTAGTAGTAAGTTGTAAGGTAGTAGTATATGATGAGATGTTTGATATGTTAGTCTCTTGCTTATAATAGGGAGATGCTCACTCACATGTGAGTGAATCTCTCCGTGACATGTTTGATGATATATACTTCAGCCATTGTTATCTCTCTGTGCGTGGAAAAGGAAGAGGCAAATGCTAGCAATCTCTTTATGAGCTACACTGTCTGAGTGACTTGGCGAAAAAAAAGAAAAAATTCAAACAAATCATGAATCTCGTTTTTTGGGCGATTATTTTCGTTTTTCATTTTTTTTTACACTTTACAGCTGATCAAAAAGACGACAAAGGGGGAGGATAAATCAAATCAAATTGAACATACCAGAGTAGAGAAATACTTTAGAACAAATCAAATGTGTGGATCCATACATATGTGGTTGAGAAGTACATAAGAATAACCAAGTAATAATTGAACCTAATTGACCAATCAATATTGATCGAAAAAAAAAAAGAGTGTTTATTTTTTATTTTATTTTATTTTGTTTGTTGATTAAGAACCAACTTTTGAAAGTGACCATCTACCATCCATTGAAATGATTTTATCTGTATATACAAAAGATGTTTTTCGTTTGGCAATGTGTTGACGTGATTTGATGAGTGCAAGTACACCTTCTCCATCGATATGGTTGTTGGAGAGATTGAGTTTGATTTCTCTTTTGGTTTTCTTTTTTCTTGGTTGTTGGTTGTGGCTGACTGGTGGTGATGGTGGACTACTACTACTGATATTACTACTGCTATGACTAATGATGATTGGAGTACTTAATCCAGTTGACCCAGATAATGAAGGAGTTGAACAATTAGAGTTGGGTGGACTGTTGGCACGACTAGTGCTACTATTTGCAAACACTTGACCAATTGCAAATGCACCTTTATTACCAATTTCATTATACGATAAGTCCAAATTAGTAATACTACGATTATTTTCGAGTACTTTGGCTATTTCCAAACCTCCAATTGGACCAATTTTGTTGTGTGAAAAGTCTAAAGTTAAAATAGACGAAGATGCCAATCCTTCGGCAATTTCAATGGCAGCGTCATCATTGATACAACAATTTTGACAGATTAAAACTCTTAGACTATTATTTTCTTTGAGTCCTCGAGATATAATCATGGCACGGTACTTGTCAATTTCGCTGTTTGAAAGATCGAGCATTTGGACTGTTGTAGATTGTGAGAGAAGGTTTGAAATGGATTCTAGTCCAAAATCAAGTACCATTGGTTTGTATGGACACAATAAATGTTGTAGTCGTTCTGGTACTATTTGGATACGATGTATACAATGAAATGCATACTGTCTCCACAACTTGCATACCAACGATGCTGATGTGAATTCCGGGCATGGCAACTGTCCGCCAAACCAATGATAAAAGATAATCATCACAACCCTAGACGGTACAAAATTGATCGTCAATGATTGTGAATTGATCAATTCTCCACCTAGTTGTGAATTTTTTGTTTGTTTAATTCCCATTGAAAAAAAAAAAAGATCAAACTATTATTATTACAAATTTGTTGTTGTTGATAAATAAATATGAATATTATTACTGTCTGGGAATTGATTGTACTTGGTTGTATGTAAATATTTTACAATTTTAAAAATTAATAAATAAATAAATTATGATGATTTAAAATTTATAATGAAATGTATATTATATATTATATATTATTATGATTTACTATTTTGTTGGTTAATGAATCATGACATTCATTATGAGTGTTTGATGTGATTGTTAATGAGATAATTTTCCTCCCACTGGTAAATGACGCCAATGATGATCTATATGTAGTTGGTATGATCAAGTGTGATGGATGATGGGTACAGGTGCTACTGAGTTACTCGTGTTATTCAATTTTGTTTGTTGTTGGATTTTAATGAATTATATATAAAATTAAATTTGGATATATGATCAACGTTTATACTGTTTCCTAAAAAAATTAAACAACAACAATACTCAGAGTATTGTATTATTATGTTTGGGTTTCAAAAAATGGATTAATACAGACATAGAGAAGGAGAGGAGAGGAGAGGGAAGATGGGGGGGTAATAGTAGAGTGTAGTGGTATTGAATATGATATGAGAACATCATTCAATGTATGAGATTGATTCATATGAAACAAATTTGTAAAAGAAATTGGGGAGGGTATGATATGGAGAAGTTCAACATTGACTGTACAGATTTATCAATATTGTATAGTGCACATATGATTCATTAATTCTCTTTTTTGCTATAATTATCCGTTAAGAGTGTGTGGTAGTGTTGGAGTGAATAGTGTGTCTCTATCACTATCACATATCACATATCATTGCCAATGTAAATGATCATATGACTGATGATTTTGAACACCACCAAAAAAAAAGTAGTCTGATGTGACCATGGGGTTGAATTTCGGTGTTGTTTGAATTGGGTGTGTGTGAATTGTTTGTTGTTGTTGTTGGTGTGTTTTGATTCAAAACAGTGACTGTAGTGATTATTGATGCGTTCTATCTATCTATTTGTAATCTATCCACATTTATTCATCCATTTTTTTTTAAATTTGTTGTTGTTTACAAACCTAACCTTGATTGAGGTGGTTTTCTTGGAGTTGCACCACCAGGAAGGGTTGTTTGTTTTGAACCTGGCGTTGCAATATTGGAAGATTTACTAGAGCTAGAAGAAGAAGACGATAGGACAGTACTCTTTTTCTGATTTAATGATTTCCTTCCAGTGATTTGATCCAACAGCTCTTTGGTGGATAATTCTTGATCCTCTTCTTCATCATCCCATTCACCTTTTTCACCTTTTACAGAGGCAGACTCTTTTTCTTTTTTGATTCGGTCATTTCTTTGTTTGTAGGTTTCTTTGACTGTAAAGAACATGGGTCCTAGTTCGGCAAGCCATTTTGGATCGACTGCTGTAACGACTTGCATGTACTCTTTGGATGTCATGACGAGCTCGTGATAGACGATATAATCGGGTGCATAACCAAGCCCGTAGAGAGCACTGGTAGGATGGAGAAAACAGGGCATACCGTTACGCATGTTTACGTATTCACCAATACCCTTGATCTTGGCCGAGTGATGGAAATAGGCAGCACAGATGGATTTTCTGACAACATCCCAGTTGGAGCCACACGTAGACACGTCCATTTTCTGTTGTTCCATAATCTCTAGGATTTGGTCGCGCACTTCTTTGACCTTTCTCATGGCCTTTGCATGGATAAAGTGTGATGAGCACCATGTACCGCTGTAGTTGTGTTGCGCCCATTGCTGGTAGATAAAGAGTAATGTGAGATGGTCGCTCTCTGGGATAAAGAATTTTTCACGCGATGCGTCACTCTCTTCTTCAGCACCTTTGGGACGGAAAAAGACCGATGGGATGGATAACATGGCTACAACTGTCGCAACCTCTTTTGCACATCCTAGTGCAACGGCGACGACCAACATCTTGGCAAGTGGCGGGTCAAGAGGGAATGCCACCATTGTCTTGCCGAGTTCAGTAATACCACCATCATCACCAAGTGCACCAAGTACCCAAAGTTGGTACATGGCATTGAGTAAAGTGTCAAATGGAGGAGGATCCATAAAATCAAACTCTAAAATATTCTTTACACCAATTGCTTTGAGATTGAGAACTACATTACCAAGATTGGTACGTTGAATTTCTGGTATATTATTATCGAGCATTTCATACTTGAATGCAGACTCTGTATACATTCTATAGCAACGTCCTGGACCTGTACGTCCAGCACGACCAGATCGTTGGTTGGCATTGGCCTTTGATATTGGTGTTACCTGTAGTGCATCCATACCAACACGAGGATTATACACCTTTAATTTACTATAACCACTGTCTATAACATATTTGATACCTTCGACTGTCAAAGAAGTCTCTGCAATATTTGTAGCAACTATACACTTTCTTGCACCATCTTGAGCACGATCGAAAATCTTTGCCTGTAAATCAGATGGCAGTTGAGAGTAGATGGGTAATAGCAAGAGAGGTGGTGCGTCCTTTCCAAGTGCTTTCATACGTTCGTCTATAGTCGCACATGTAGCTTCGATATCCTCTTGACCAGTCATGAAAATGAGAATATCACCTGGTGGATGAGTCAAGTGAATCGAGAGCGCCTGTTTGACTGCTGCCTCTACATAATCTTCACATGGTGTCTTGCTCCACATTACATCTACTGGGAATGTACGTCCAGGGATCGTAAAGACTGGTACACCACCGAAAAACATTGAAAACTTGGTACTGTCCATGGTGGCAGACGTGACAATAAGCTTGAGATCGTGACGTCTTTGCAACACCTTTTTCAAAATACCAAACAACACATCAGTGTTTAGAGAACGTTCGTGTGCTTCATCCATGATAATAGCACTATACTTGTTTAGATAGTCATCGTTGAGTGACTCTCTGAGAAGGATACCATCGGTCATGTACTTGATGGTTGTTTCTTTTGAAGTACAATCTTCAAAACGAATCGAATAACCAACATCTTGACCAAGACCAACACCCATTTCCTCTGAAACACGTTTAGCAACCGATACGGCGGCAACACGACGTGGCTGAGTACACCCAATCGTTCCAAATTTTGTATACCCATCTTCGTGCAAGTATTGAACCAACTGTGTTGTCTTTCCAGAACCAGTTTCACCAACAATGACAACGACATTATTTTCAGCAATGATTTTCATCAAATCATTTCTACACCCAAATATTGGCAAAAACTCTCTTTGTTGTTTGATTGTTTTACTCTTTGCAAAGTCGCTAATTGGGTCTGTCTTTTTTAAATGACTAGAGTATTGTGAGCTAGTTGGACCACCCTCTACCGCATTGGTTGTTAATTTATCTCCATCATCACCTTCCTCTTCTTTTGCTTTTATACCCATTGCATTACCCATACTCGATCCACCAAGTTCCCAAAACTTCTTTTGTCCTTTGGCTCTGTCCTTTTTCTCTCTATAGTCTCGTACCATTTGACTACCAGTTCTAGAGATGACAGCCATATCAGAAGTGACATCTCTTACCGTTTGAACTTGTTTTTGTTGTTTACCAATTGACTCTTTTTCATTTTCCAAAAATTGAGGTACAGTATTGGACACTATCAAATTGATACGATCCTCATCCTCGTCTTGAAAGTCTAGATCCAATTCTGTCTGAGTCATGATACCACTTTGCATCATTCTATTGGCTTCCCAACGTGCATTATCTTCATTGATTTGATTTTGTTTGGCACTCATCTTTTTCTTTTGTCTCTTTTTAAATTCCTCTTCCATCTTTTTGAATTTTGCTTCGTCTCCAAGGAATGGTTCTTGGTGTTGATCATGAACTTGTCCTTCACCTTCATCTGCATCATAAAAATCTCTATCAAAATCTTCTTGATTTTCAATTGGTTCATCCTCTTTTCCATTATCTTTATCAAATCTATTATTATTATATTTATGAAAATTATTATTATTATTATTATTATTATTATTATTATTATTATTATTTGGATTTGGTCTTGGTGTTTCATTTGGTCTATTTGATCTATATGATGATGATGATGATGGTGTATCTCTTTGTTGATATCTTGATGGAGTAGAAGAAGAATAGTTATTATTATTATTATTTCCTTGTCTATAATCACGATTATCTCTATCTCTATTGTCATCATAACGTCTATAATCTCTATCTCTATCTCTATCATCATATCTTCTTGAAGGGGTTGTTGATGATGGATGATGATCATTTCTTCTTGACGGAGTTGAAGAGGAAGAAGAATATCCATCTCTTCTTTCATATCTATCTCTATCTCTATTGTCATCATAACGTCTATCTCTATCATATGATCTATCTCTATCTCTATCTCTATCTCTATCATCATATGATCTATCTCTATTATCTCTATTATCTCTATTTTGAATTGATATTCCACCATCACGATATTTTCTTTCACGATCTCTATTTCTTTCTTGAATTCTATCCAATGTTTCAGTATCAACACCACCAGAATGACTTGGAGTTTGCATTTTCATTTCTCTATATTGCTTTTGTTTTCCTCTATCAGCTTCTTCTTGTTCTTGTTCTTGTAACTTTTGCTTTTTAATCTTTTCCTCTCTTTCTCTTTCCTCTTTTTTTTTCTTTTGCCAATTTATCTAGACCCAATACAGAACCTTGAGGTGTTGTGAACGTATGTTGAGGTGCATCCTTTCTCTTTAAAACCAATCCTCCTTTTTGATTGTTTGGTATTGGTTCCATTGATTTATGTTCATTTGACTTTACAACAAATGTTAATGGTTTACGGAATGATTCTTCATCATCTTCTTCTTGTTCATCAACTTGTTGTTTCATTTTCTTTTTCTTTTCAATTGATACTTTATTATAAATATCATTAATAATAGTATTATCTGTTATTCCATATTCTTTACATTCTAGAGAGAAAGAAGAGAGTTAGATGAATGTAAAAGATATATAATATATATATATATATATATTGGTCTGTACTTACGATCTTTAAATTGATCAAGACTCTTTGAAGAAAGGGCAGTATTGAGAATGATGTTTCCCAACTTTACATTTCTATTCTCTAGTTTTAATGCATTTGATACTTGTCCTACTATCTCTCCAAGTAATTCCACATTTGTTGACATTTATTTGTGTATATATATATCAAACAATAGAAGAAATAAACGAAGGAAAATGAAAATTGTGTGAATTTCATCAATGAAACAAACCAAAAGAATCTACTTTTTACTTTAGTTTAATTATCATTTCTTTTCAAATCAAAAGTTATATAAATAGATGGATAAAGATACAAAGATATGGTTATCAGATAAAGTATTTGATATACTTGAATATAGAGAAGCTAATTTGGTAGATTACATCTATGCACTATCTAAAAAGTCAAATGGTGATGTTACAAAATTGATGGACAAGTTAAAGGATAATGACTTTCCAATCAATGATAAAACAAGATCACTTGCTCAAGAATTGATTAAACGTACAACTCCTACTTCTAGTTCAACATCATCTTCCTCGTCATCATCTGCAACTGGAAAGGTTACAATGTTTGGAACAGCTGGTATTACATTACAATCAACTAAAAACATTGTATCATCAACATCAAAAGAAAAAGAAGCAATGGATTATCTTAGAAAGAATAAAACTTTTAAATTGGTACAAAATAATAATAACAATGATGATCAAAGTAGTAGTAGTAGTAGTGATGAAGAGGAAAGAAAAAGAAAAAAGAAAGAGAAAAAAGAAAAAAAGGAAAAGGAAAAGGAAAGAGAAAAGGAACATACTACTACTACTTCTACTTCTTCTTCAAAGAGTAAAGAAAAAATAACAAGAAAGAGTTCTTCTACTGGATGGGAAGATGATGATAATGATGATGATTCGACGACGACGACGACGGTCAATGTACAAAAACAAAAAGATATAACATCATCATCAAAATCAAAAAAAGAAGAAGAACTAGAACGAGAAGAGGAAGATGAATATGAAAGAGAACAAAGAGAAATTCAAGAATATAATGAAAGATTAAGAAAACGTGATGAACGTAATACAAAGAAAATTGAACCAAAAGAATCAAAAGAATCAGAGCGACGAAAACGTTTAGAACAAGAACAAGATACTTTGGATAAAGAACGTATTCAATCAAGAAGAAAGTATGTAAATCAAACAAAAACAAACAAACAAAATATTATTTAATTTAATTTATTAATCTTTTTTAATTTTTTTTTAAGATTTTTAGTTGGAGAAGAACAAAAAAGATTAATATTATTAAAAAGAGAATTGGAAGATGAATATGAATTATTCAAGAATGAAAAATTGACTAAAAAAGAGATTGAAGATTTTGAAAGAAAGAAAAAATTGTATGAAATTGCAAGTCAGCGAATCAACGATGTAGTGGTAGACGACTATTATCGAATGCCATCATCAGAGTTTAATCAAGATGGAAAGATTGATAGAAAGAATAGAGAAATGGATTTATTAAAACCTCGTTGGGAAACTGATAAACAAGGATCTTCGACATCTTATAATCCAGAACAAAAAGAATGGGAAGCAAATAGATTGGCAATGGCAATGGAAGAACCACGTGGAAGTAGAAAACAACCACAAGAAGAGGAATATGAATATGTATTTGAAGATCAAATACAGTTTATTAAAGAGTCGGTTATCACTGGTAAAGATGATGCTGCCAATTTATTGGGTGTTTTACCTGGTTCTGCTGCTGCAGACCCACAAGTAACTAAAAAAATGTCTATCGCAGAGACACGTAAATCACTGCCAGTATTTCCATATCGAGAGGATTTATTGGCTGCAGTGGAAGAATACCAAATCCTTATTATAGTCGGTGAGACTGGGTCTGGAAAGACTACACAAATCCCACAATATTTACACGAAGCTGGATACACTAAACGTGGTAAAGTTGGATGTACACAACCTCGTCGTGTTGCTGCTATGAGTGTGGCAGCACGTGTTGCAGAAGAGATTGGATGTAAATTGGGTCACGAGGTTGGTTATTCCATCCGTTTCGAAGATTGTACATCTGACAAGACCAAGTTACAGTACATGACTGATGGTATGTTGGTAAGAGAGTTTCTCACTTCACCTGACCTCGCCAGTTACAGTTGTCTCATTATCGATGAAGCTCACGAACGTACTCTACACACTGACATTTTATTCGGTCTCATCAAGGATATTGCAAGGTTTAGACCCGACCTCAAACTATTGATTAGTAGTGCTACTCTGGATGCTGATCGTTTTTCAGAATACTTTGACGATGCTCCTATTTTCAATATACCAGGACGTCGTTTTGAAGTAGTACCTCATTATACGCAGGCACCAGAGGCAGATTATCTAGAGGCAAGTGTTGTCACTGTTCTCCAGATTCACGTCACTGAACCATTGGGAGACATTTTAGTCTTTTTAACTGGTCAAGAAGAGGTTGATGCAGCTGCCGAACTATTACAACAACGTACAAGAGGACTTGGATCGAAAATCAAAGAATTGGTTATTACTAGAATCTATTCTACACTGCCAACCGATTTACAGGCAAAGATTTTCGAACCAACTCCACCTGGTGCTAGAAAGGTCGTGTTGGCAACTAATATTGCAGAGACGTCGCTGACGATTGATGGTATTGTCTATGTCATTGATCCAGGGTTTTGTAAACAAAAAAATTACAATCCTAGAACCGGTATGGAGTCACTTGTCATTACGCCAGTCTCGAAAGCATCAGCCAACCAGAGAAAGGGACGTGCTGGACGTGTCGCACCAGGTAAATGCTTCCGTCTATTTACAGCATGGGCATACGAGAATGAACTAGAGGAAAATACAATACCAGAGATTCAACGAACCAACCTTGGTAACGTAGTACTGATGTTAAAGTCAATGGGAATTAACGATCTCGTCAACTTTGATTTTATGGATCCTCCACCTCCCGAAACTCTCATCAAGGCGTTGGAGCAGCTCTATGCACTCGGTGCACTCAATGACCGTGGACAATTGACCAAACTCGGTCGTCGTATGGCAGAGTTTCCACTTGACCCTCAACTAAGCAAGATGATCCTCGCATCTGAAAAGTATAAAGTGACAGAGGAGATTTTGACAGTGGCTGCCATGTTGTCGGTCAACAATACCATTTTCTATCGTCCCAAGGATAAAGCATTCCAAGCCGATGCCGCCAGAAAGAACTTTTCACATCCTCAGGGTGACCATCTCACCCTACTCAACGTCTACAACCAGTGGCGTGAAGCCGGCTACTCTGTACAATGGTGCTACGAAAATTTTATCCAAAACAGATCAATGAAACGTGCACAAGACGTCAGAGAACAACTCGTAGGACTCATGGAACGAGTAGAGATTAACGTTGAATCGAATCCAGACGACTCTGAATCTATTAGAAAATCAATTGCATCTGGATTCTTTTATCACACTGCCAAACTCGATAGAACTGGTCTCTATCGTACCACCAAATACAATCAAAGCGTCCAAATCCATCCATCGAGCTCAATGTTTCAAACTACACCCAAATGGGTCATCTACCATGAACTCGTACAAACGACAAAGGAATTTATGCGCCAGGTCATTGAAATTCAACCTCAATGGCTCGTTGAAATTGCTCCTCATTTCTACAAGGAAAAGGATATTATAGAAAATCAAAAACTTCCAAAATCTATTGGTAGATCTCAAATTAATAAATAAATAAAAGTGTAATTATTTAAAGGATATATTTATATATCTTTTGTTTTTTTTTTGTTTTTTTTTTTTTTTTTTTTGGCGTGGCACAGCAAAAAAAAGAAAAAATGGGCTCCACCGGGAATCGAACCCAGACCACTACCACCCAAAGGTAGTATTGTACCATTCAACTATGGAGCCTTTGTTGAAGTCATTTTTCAAAATCGGCCTTATACCCAAAACATTTTAGCCCCTTTTTAGCAGTTTGGAATTTTTCTGTAATAGAGAGAAAGAGATAGAAACAGAGAATTACGTATAGAGTACTATAGAACTTCACTCAATCATCAACTATCTTCAACTATCTTTTATCAACATTACTATTTCTTTTCACACTCACTAAAAGCCACAACTAATTGCCCGTAACTTTATTTATTTCTGCATTATTTTTTGAATTACAAAGAGTAAAAGAGAGAAAAATAGAAAGTAAAGAGTAAAAAAGAAAAAGAAAAAGAAAAACAATATTAATGGAGTTGAAGAGATTAAATGTAAAAGATAGTGGTCGTAGAATAGTTTTATTGTTTAGAGCAAGATGGTTTGAGTGCTGGTGGGTGCGAACAAGAAAGGAGATCCCATAGATTGGTGAGAGTTAGTGTTGTGATGTGAAGAACAAATATGTCCTAATAAAAGATCCACATTACTCACTTTGGAAACATGGACATCTATCACTGTGTTGGTGACAAATTAATATTTGTTTTTTTACTACCAAGTATTGTTATTTAAAAGTCAGTCAAAGTAATAATCATAATAATAATAATAATTAAAAGATAGAATAGTTATATATAGTTTAATAGAGTCAAAGAATATTTTAATTCTAGTATATTCATTCTTTCTATTTAAATCCAATCGATTGATTGTAATTGTTTTATTTAAAATATAAATATTGATTGATAATAGGCCAAAAACAATGTATGTATAGAATCTTCTTTTAAAAGATTTTAAAATTGAGCAACCCATAACTAATGATAAACAAAAAAAATAAATGGAATTTAAGTTTAGTATTTGTTTATATAATGTTTTTTTTTTTTTTTATACATACTTGATCATCAAAATCACCACACCAAAAAGCAAATTCACCATTTTTATAAAATAGATTATTATAACCTTGTGACAATGTTGACCAATCGTCAACAAGACTCTTTATGAGAAAACCAGAATGGTTTCCACCAATTTGAAACTCCCATTTGTTTGCAAATGCATAATAACCTCCAGGAACAAATTGTTTGTCACGATTGGCACCCAAATAATATTTATATCCCTGATAGTAGGAAATAATGAATTGATTTGGAACAATGTCATAGTTGTTGGCTGCCTTTGCTGGCTCAATATAAAACCACATTTGGTCATTATTGACAGTTCCCTCTACCAATGTCATCTTTTCATTTAAAGCAGAAAGAAACATACCAGTCTTTGCATGCATGATTCTAATTCTTCTATTTGTTGGAATTTTATGCATATCAACTGTATAAGTCTCTACATTCCTAAAAAAAAAAAAAAAAAGGTTAATATTAATATTACATTTGATTTTGTTTTTTTTGTTTACCATTGTTGATCCAAAGCAGTATCAATTTTAGGATAAAGGAATGGGGCCTTGTTATTGTCAGAACCAACCAATTGATAACCACCTTGAGAAAGTCTGACAGTTGGAGGGTTATCATGTAACAAGGCAACCGTGAAAACTTGGTCACTGGATTCAGATTCACCAGTGACACCAATACCACCAGAGGTCTTGACATAACGAGATATCTGACCACTATTACCATTGACAGTGCTAAAGATTTTAATCTCATAGCTTTGTCCAGAGTGATGTGGTTGTACAGCAAAGTATTCATGGAAATTGAATGGATCGTATGGTTGGATATGAGATGCACTCATTGTAAGATCATTTTGTCCATAATTCTTGGCCGATAAATAATTCTTGTGTTGAACATTTAATAATTTACAAAAGAATACATCTGCATATTTATCTAAAATTAAAATAAAGAGATATTAGTATAAAAAATATATATATTTGTTTTTTTTTAAAATAATTACCAAGATTTGGTTCAATATAAGAAGGTTTGGTCATAAAATCGGTTGGTAATTTTCCTTGACCTTCATCCTTTTCAATTCTTAAATGTACCCATGGTGGATAATTTGGATCAAGTGAATGTGCAATATCCATATCAGCTAAAAAAAAAAACAATTAATAAATATTTATATTAATTTTGTATTATTTTTTTTTTGTTTTTTACATACCAAGGATAACAAGATCTGAAGTACCATAGACACCTTCCTTTTTTGCTCCAAAGAACCATTCATTACCTCTTGCAGTTGGTACAGTGGTGTTGGGGATCTTGAATACCCATTCAAAGGCATCTTTTTCTAAAAAGACAAATGATTTGGCAGCCTTGCCAAGTTCAACTGGATTGTATGACTTTTTGAGATGGTTTGCATAATCGGTACTATCCTTTTGAAAGTTGTTTGTATTTGAAATGGTTCCTGGTCCAGCAACTCGTGTTGAAAACCAAATAAGACATGCACTCTCTGTTTTGGTTTCATATGGTCCAAGTTCAAATCTAAATAGAAAAAGTAGAAAACATTGAAATAATAAAAGGGGTTAGATCTTGATGATCATAGGAATCATTCCTTTTCTTTTTGTTATTTACTTTGGACCAGCAAGACAATAGAAAACTACACTAAATGGACAACCATTTCGAACCTATTAAATAAAAAGATAAAAGATTAATATTACACCTATTGAATAAGATGTGATGCATACATACTGTCATTTTACCAACTGCCATGATTTTGTATTTGTATTATTGTGTTTTATATATATAACCTCTACAACTATGAGAATGGCTCGAATGCGAGAGTGTACACTCTGTATTTATAGTTTGTTGAAAGATGTGGAACGGGGTTTGATCTTCGCTCTCTCTGAAATTGTGACCATTGGGGAGAATAGCTGTTTCAATGAATGATACACGAGCATTACCTTTTCGGGGTGTGATCAGATTCTTCGATGCCATCTTACAAATGATCACATGTCGCAGTTCACGTGCGCATCCGCCTCTTTTGCACAAGATTTTTGATAGAGAGAAAGAACAAGACCTTGTGCCAAAGTTCAAGAACTTTTTTTTGAACAAGTTATTTTTTATATTCAATAGGAATAATACAAATTAATAAGGCGATATTTTTTTGATCTATAATATCTTTTTTTTTTTTCTACAAGGAAAAGGATATTATAGAAAATCAAAAACTTCCAAAATCTATTGGTAGATCTCAAATTAATAAATAAATAAAAGTGTAATTATTTAAAGGATATATTTATATATCTTGTGTTTTTTTTTTGTTTGTTTTTTTTTTTTTTTTGGTCGCGACACAGCATAAAAAAAGCAAAAGGGCTCCACCGGGAATCGAACCCAGACCACTACCACCCAAAGGTAGTATTGTACCATTCAACTATGGAGCCTTTGTTGAAGTCATTTTTCAAAATTGGCACTATACCCAAAAAATTGGGTCTTTTTTAATCTTTTTAAACTCGTATGTCTACCATAAAGAAGATCTATTTTAATTAAAATATATTAAAACATCTATTAATATGTGATATTCGCTAAACTCTGATCGAGTTTCATTTTTTTTTTTACTCCAAAGATAAAAGAAAAATTTTCGAACTGTTTCTATCATCATTTTCTTACCAAACTTTAGAACTATTGTTATTTGTTTATTCACAAAAACTACCATTGTTTATTTTAAAAAATATTCCAAATAAACTATCAATGAATTTATAAATAAATGGTAAGGCTAAAATATCATCATTATCACCATAATAATAAATAATCTAAAGAATTATTTTTTCATTTCAATATGATTCTCTAGGGTTTCAATTATAATTGTTGCTGTAGTTGTTGTTGAATCATAGGAATCTTGTCGATCAGGCATCATATATTTGGTTAAAACTATATTGTTGTTCTTATCAAGATTGGACACGTAGAAAGAGTGGTCATCATTTAGGACTTTGAGCGACGCTTGAGTGTTTTTATTAAATTTGTATACAAGTAGTTGTTTTAAACTTTAGACCAAAAACAACAAAATGATTTATGATTTCTTGTCTGATCACTCTTCATGACTAGTGACTCAAGTATCTATATTCCCACATTATCTTTAAATCGATTACCTCCTAAAGATAGATAGTTATAGAGTAGTTGAGTTGATTTCAAAAGATGAAAGAAATAGAACCATTCAACATGTTGTACAATCCTTATCAATAGTATAGATTCCGATGGTGTAACTTTGATCTATCAATGCATAGACGAAAGAATATATGTATATATATTTCTTAGGGGTTGTCATGATGTGATCAAAATAGATCGATGGAAAAAAAAAAAGGTCTATACACACAAAAAAACAAAATAGGGGTGTGAATCAATCAATCAGCCAGCACTGATAACCACCACACAATAAAAAGTTAACTTTTTTTTTCTAATGATAGGTTGGTCAAGACTTATCGACTCGAGCCTCCCCCCACACACTGCAATGAAAAAAAATCAAGTTTCAAAGAAATTTTATTGGACAAAGCATTCATGCCACTCGTCTAGTCGTCGGCGCAGCTACCATCGATGTCAAAGCCATTCAAAAAATTTGTTGCAAAAAAAAAATTCAAATAATTTTTTTTTTTAAACCCTCCTCCTCTCATCACAGTTCATGCAAGAACCAAGTCACCCCTTTGGTCAGATTGATCAACCATTATCTCACCCACCATTATTTATTTATTCAATCACACACACCCACCATTATTTATTTATTTATTTATTTATTTATTTAAAAAACACACCTGCGCATTGTACTATATTGACATATTTATATAACTCTATTTATTTATTTATTTATTTATTTAAAAAACCACAGACAGAAAGAAGAATATTAATAATTTAAAGCATCAATCTCAAAAAGACAAAATAACTTTATATATCAAAAGAAAGAAAAGAAAGAAAATGGATGAAGTATTGGAAATGATTGCTGATGCAGTCTCATCTCTTGTAGTTGCTATTACAGAGAGTGAGGAAAAGAATACCTTGTTTGGTGTAAGTTCATCTCTTATCTTTTATCTCTTACTTTGTCTTTGTGTGTTGTTTAGAGGAAGAAGTGGAGAAAAGTTTAGATATTTAGCTCGCGACGACCTATATACAGCCGTTAACTTGAACTCCCCTCAACAATCATGCGATCGTCGCCCAATAACATCAAATCACTTTTTTTTTTCCTTTTTTTTTTTCCACATCCTCCTCGAGACAAAGACAAATCTATCCATCCATCTCATCTCATCTCTATTACCAAAAATAGAAACTAACTTTTAATTTCTTTTTTCCTTTTATTTTTTTTATTTTTAGGACATGGTACCAGGAGTAGAATTAATTCAACAAGCAGTAAATGGAATGGTAGAAGCATCAATTGAATCAGAACCACTGATTGATGAAGAATTTGTACCACAATTAAAGGAAACATCGTCGTCGTTGAAAAATGCTGCCGGACAATTATACGCACATGCTGTGCGTGCAAGAGAGGACCCATGGAATCGTGTCCCACAAAAAGATGCCATCAAGGCGGCCAAGTTGATTTTACAAAAGGTAGTCTTGTTGGTGTTGATCGAGGAGCAGTCAAATATCAAGGTTCTCGTAAACATTGCCAAAAAGGTGGCCGAAGGTGTCAGACGTATCGACGAGATTGAGAATTTGAACCAACTCAACATTATGGTGGCCGACGTTGTTGCATTGGAACAAGAACTTGTCAAACGTTCTCAACGTAGATCAGAGGGTAGTCACAGCCCAGAGTTTCGTCAAAAACTCGAAGATCTCTCATACATTGTCAACGATCTCTCTGAAAAACATCAACAAGCCGCTCGTCAAGTATGCACCAATCCACAAGACCAATCAATCCGTTCAGCTCGTAACACTGTCAGTCATAAATTATTATCTGCTATTGATGATATGATTGAAACTATTAAACAAATCTTTTCTGCAAATACTAAATTTGTTGATCTTGCCTTCAAAGTATGAAAAAATAATAATAATATTATTTTGATTCATTTATTAACTTTTCTTCTATTAGTGGAAACCAGTTAGAACAATGGCAGAAGATGAAGTAGTAAGTGCATCAGCACAATTAATAGGACAACTTCATTCATTACCAAAACAAATTGAAATGGGAAATGGACCAACAGCAGCAAGAGAGATTGTCAATTCGGCCAACCTTCAAATATCCAATGCTATTATTGTTGCTGAAAAGTGTGATGATCCAGTCAAGAAAAAGATGATTCTAAAGAGCATAGAGGAACTCAAAAAGTTGACACCACAATTGATTGCCGCCATCAAGCCGGTACTCGAGAATCCAAACGACGAGGCTGCCAAGAGACACTTGGACAATTTGATCTACTCTACACAAAAGGCATCGGAAAACTTGGCAGTGGCAGTTGTATCGACACCCGCCGAGATTGTCGCCGCCTCTGGTGTCAGTTTGGCCCGCGATCTCGATGACCTCGAGGCCGCCCTCAACCGTGGTGATGTCAAGCGTGCCGAGATTATCGCCAACAATTTGGGTGCCGCCATTGACCGTCACATTGAAATGTCGACTGCCTATCTCGACTCTATCAAGGATCCAGCACTCCGTCACCAAGTTCAAAAGGCCATTGAAAAGTTGGTTCAACTCAAACCACGTCTTTTAGAGTCTGCTCAACGTTGCGTCAGAGAGCCACAAAACCAAGAGGCCCGCAAGCAACTCCAAACCGTCGTCAAGGAGACCAAGCAAGCAATCTCTCAAATCTCGGGATCCCATGAAATGGTGTCGGCCATCAATTCCAAGCTCCACAATGATCTCGACAATTTACTCAAATGTATTGATGAGCGTGGTCCAGACATGCAATTCAAGGGTGTTCAACATGCCAAAGATATTGCTGCAGACATTAAAAAGCAATTGGAAGAGGCCGAGAACTACATGAATTCAATCACAGACCCTGAACGCAAGCGTCAAATCCAAGAGGCCATCGACCGTCTCAAACACCTCACTCCACAACTACTCGAAGCCATCAAGGATGTTTTGGCCAATCCCGACGACAAGGCAGCTCGTGCACGTCTCGAATCACTCATTCGTCAAGTCAAAGACGCCTCTTCCAACCTTGCAGCCGTTACCCAACCCACGCCAGAAGAGCTCAAGGCCCAAAAGGCAGCCCGTGATGCCGCCTATGCCAAGAGTCAAGTCCAAGTCCCACCACCCAAACCAGAACCCAAGCCAGAGCCCAAGCCCGTCCCACCCAAATTCATCGTCCCCGAAGGACCAGTCAACAAGGCCGTCTACAGTGCTGCTGCCGATGTCGCCAACGCCCTCGAAAACAAGACTCGTGACGACACTCCACTCGGTCAATTGGTCACCCTCGGTGATGATATTGCCCGTCAAATGGCCATGCTCTCGAGCTTTGCCGCAAAGGGAGATGTCAAGGGCATGATTGGTGCCGCCAGAAAGATTGCCGATTCCATCCGTCAAATCCAAACCACCGCCAAGGGTATCGCCGCCAACTGTACAGATCCACGTCTCAAACAGGCCGTCCTCAACTATGTCGATTGTGGTGGCAACTTTTCAACTCAACTCAAGATTCTTTGTGCCGTCAAATCAGACATTGAAGATGATTCAACAAGTGAGGAACAATTGGTTACTTGTGCAAAGGGTCTTTCTTCTGCAGTTATTAATATTGTAAAATCTGCTGAATCTGCTAGTTTAAAATTAGCAAAAAAATAGAAAAATAAATAAATAAAAAAATAATAATTGTACAAATTAAATAATATTATTTCTATTTATTTCTATTTCTATTTATTTTCTTGAAAAAAAAGGATTTTAAATTTAAAAGAAATTCTTGTTTTTCTTCTATTGATTCTAATAGTGAGGGATGAAGAATTGGTTTACATAATTCTAATTTTGGTTTTGGGTGAACGTTGAAAACTGGCGTCGATGCAATATATGATCTAATCTTGTGAATGTCTTGAGGATTATCTTGTTCCAACAATTCTTTATCCTCTGGTGAAATGATAATACTTCGATGCGTTCGAACCAAAGTCTTGAAATACATGGTTCTTTGTTGTGAATCCTCTCCAAATGCATTTAAACAAAGTGAAGAAAATTCTAGATTAAATGATTGTTTGGTGGCCAAATGAATGTTGGTTATCAACGTACTCTTGATAAATGGATTTACAATATGTGTAGTTTTAGGTGATGATGTTAAATCTTGTATAATATCCAACCATTGAGGTATCGGAATCTCTGCTACGATCATTTCATTATCAAATCCAAAGAATTGTATAAAATGATTCAAATCTTGATCAATATCACCAGTGGTCGCTTTAAATTGAGCCAAAAATAATGCCATACCATTTACAATTGTATGTTTTGATCCAATTCCATTTTTTGTTATTGGTAGTAATAATTGTCTATCCTTTTCTGTCAATTCAATCATTTGACTTGCCAATTTTTGTTTTAATAATAAATCAAAATAAATTGATTTAGTGTTGACTGGTAGATCATCGGATAAATCAAAGATGGACAGTAATTTTGGAATATGATGATATAAATTGTGAGCCAATACACTCTCAGAGATGAGAGCTAAAAGATTGTGTGATGGTGGATAACTCTTGTTCAAAGCCGATGTTTCCATGATTTCCAATAAAATGTCAAACTCTGAATTGTTGGTGAGACCAAAGAGAACAATGTTGTAGTTTGAAAAGGTTGGTGCCACCATTTCCATCCAATGCAATCCAATCTGGTAGTTTTTTTGAAATATCAATCCAAGTGTTGCATACGACACAAAGAATGGTTTGTATATTTTTGGTACCGTTTCAACCAAAAAGCGATAGTATGTGGCTCGATCTGCCTGGTTGTCGAGAAAACTAATGGCCCTTAAAAAGAGGTTTCTCGATGGGAGAGTGCCTAGTTTGAAATAGCTCTCGAGAATACCCATCACTACCTGTGGTTTACCATCTGGCATGGTAATCTCTTTTTCCAAGAGAAAACATTCCCTCGACTCTGGTATTACATATCCATCGAATCGAGTCAAAAGGTTGGTGGGTAGTGTCTCGAGGGTTGGTTGTGGAAGCTTTCGAATCTCTCTAAAATATGTCCAGTAGCCTCTTGAAGTCGGGTCAAAAGAATAGCAAAATGGACGATACAATTGCTCGATTGGATGATCTTTTGCATGATTGGCAAGAAGGTTGAGAGCAATATGTTCCTGTCTGATAAAAATCAATCGGTTATAGATGGAAAGGAGTTTGGGAATTGGCAAGGTATCATCGTTTGCACTGAAAATATCAAACAACGCCTTGTGTGGAAATGGTGTTGTTGGTTGTTCCAATGAAGCCAACAAGTTGTGTGAATACAGAGCCGAGAATTGATACGCCGATAGATATCTAATGTTTAACAGTAGTCCATTGTCCTCTTGTCCTATGATATCATTGGATCCCACTTTGATCATCCTTTCAAACAATCTCTGTAATAATCTAGTATCGACCATACTCGAAAACAGTTTCTTGATAAATCCAACATTCTTTTTCGTTGCAATATATTGATACAACAATTCAAATGTCGACAAGTTCATCCAAGAGAATCGATATTTCTCCACTTTTATATCATATGATGTATAAGGTATATATCTGATCAACATCCACATTATCATCTCTACATTGTCAGTATTGATAAAATGTGTCAACCATGTACTTTCACAACCAAAATAAATACGAGGTTTTCTTGTTATAGCTTGAAGGAAACTTCTAAAAAAATGAATAGAGATAAGATATTAGATACAAGTTTTAAAAACAAAAAGAGGTATTGTATGGTTGTTGTAGAACTACATACTTTTTATCAAAGATAACATCTTTGGTTGCTTGTATATCGCTTTGTATTGCTTGTTGTTGTTGTTCAACCTTTGAAAATACTTGTTTGGTGTTTCTCTGGTAGTAACTATTGTTGTTGTTGCTATAGTTGTTGTTGTTGCTACTACTGTATTGTGATACTATTGATGTGGTTTGACTGGTCAATAGTGGTGTAGACGACGATGATATTATTGATCTAATACTTAAACTACTACTATTGTTTGCGATGGTAAGTGCACGTCTTGTAATGTTTAAACTATGGTTAATCATCTTTTACCCATATGTGAATAGGTTTTAGTTGTAGTTGTTGTTGTCGTAATGATGATTGTTTAACAAAAAAGAGTTAATTGATCAGATTTCTTGATACATATTTTTTTTTAAAAACGAATGAATGGTCAGTAATCTGCAGAATCATTCAGAGAGTAGTAAAGATCTGCACATCTACATATTTGTATATAAGTATACATACATATATTAAATAACAATGAAGAAGTGGGGTGGTTTAGAATACTTTAAATTCGCAGTCTACATATTGATGCCAATTACTTGTTCGTTATACATATTGGATGATGATAGATTAAATAATTTAATTAAAAGAGTAAGAGAGAAAGAGAGAGAAAAGAAGAAGGATAGAATGGATCAATATCGATACTAACCAACTATTTTGTTATATTAGTATCATTTTGTAGTTTATCCACCTGAACAATACGATCAATCAGATATTCAGGAAATGATTAGAGTAGCAGCTGAAAAGAGAGAGAAACGTTTAGATGCTAATCTATCAATCGAAGAGAAAATGCTCTCTGAAAGAGAAGACAAGAGAGAGGAATACTATGAAAAGAGAAGCAAGAGACATCAATTTGGTATTCAACCAAGATCTAAATCTTCACAAGATCAAGATCAAGAATAGAATAAGTGACACAAATAATTATAAACTACGACTACTATTACTATTCTTTTTAAATAAATTTACAACCACATGTATATATAATGAATGAATGACAATATAGATAGTAATATCTTTTGTTTATGTATGTTTGCAGATAGATAATTAAATTAAATTGGTTTCAAAACAACTAGTTGTTTGTTGGTCGAATCATTTTTATCATTTTATTTGTGCAAACATTAGTATCTTGTTTGTGTTGTCTCTCTTGTTTTATCTATTTATTTGTTTATATTCTTTATTATTATTATTATTCTTCTTAATATATATACCCTTATAGAAATGTCAACGAATAATAATACTACAACTACTACAACTACAAGTACAACAACAACTACTGCTACTTCTACAACTTTATCAGCAGTTAACAATATGACTGGTTTAAATGGTATAATAAGAAGAGCAGATATAGATACCAATGAAATCAACTATGAATATGAAGATGGTATACCTCATGATGAAAGATTTAGAGGTTTTGTAAATCAAGGTAAGAGAGAGAAACAAAGAAAGAAAGAAAGAAACTAGTTTGTTTGATATTAATTATCTATTTATTAAAAGGATATGACCATTGGAAGAAAATGAATGATGAATGGAGAAGTGGTGTTTACAACAAACAACCAGAGGAGAAGGAGAACATTAGAAGATCTCCTCCAGAACCACAACCATTACAACTAAAATCGATCGATGCTATGAAAGTAACAGACGAACTCATCAACAAGAATGGAGTATTTTCAAGTAGAGTACCTCTTGCCGATCTCATTTCAATTTTGGTTGAAGAATGGGAAACTGAAGAAATGATGGATGCTCATTAAATCTCTTTCTCTCTCTTCATCATTTCAACCTTCTCCTCCTCCTCCTCCTCCTCATCCTCTTCACTCCTACTCTACCATATCTCATACAATGTATGCACAAACTTTGTAGGATGGTTGACAGGTGTCACGATTCATGGTCAACAATAGATCTATCTTTTATGAATAGATTTTTGTCTATATAGAGTGATAATAATAATAATAATAATATTATTATTATCCAATCATTATGATCCATTTAAAATGATTGGTTAATACGATAGATACCTCTTTTACCTTTTATCATGTTAATTGGAAAAATAAATAAAAGGTTTATTTATATAAACCTCCACCTCCTTTAATTTACAACTATTTAAATATTATTTATATTCTATTTATTTATTCTTTTTTAGTTGGTAACACCTAAAAGTACCAAAAGTGAAGGTGATTTGGAACCTTCTTCGATCCATTCCTTCTTGGTAATCGTTTTGCTGTGATCCTTGTCAATCTTTTCGAGTAGCTTTTCAATAAAGACACCAACATCCTTTTCGCTCTTACCCATAGCCTTTCCAACGCTGACCATGAGATCAGTCATCTTTTTGATTTCGGTTGACTCTAATGTTCCACTCTTGTCTTGATCGTAGGTTTCGAAAATGATAGCCAACTTATCCTCTGGAGTACCCTTACCAATGATTGACAATGCTACAACCAACTCTTTAAACTCCAATGTACCACTCTTATCAGTATCAAATGCTTCAAATAGATCTGTTAACTTTTCATGTGGGAAACTTGGAAGCTTTGGTTTAAAGAATGCAATGAATTCTAAATTTATAAAAAACAAATCAAATATAATATTAGTATCGATTGATAAGTATTCTCTTTGAGTAGTTAGTATTTACCATTTCTATCAAATGATCCGTTGCCATCCTTATCATGAAGTTTAAACTCTTCATAGATTTTAGAAATTTCATTCTTTGAGAAACTAGATGAAGAAGAGATTGAATCCATCTCTGCCTTTGATAATTTACTATTTGCGTGACCCATTCTAATCTAATCTATTTATCTCTTTTTTTTAATATTATCTATCTTCTTGAAAGCTAATGAAATGAAATGAAATGGGACCTTGCATGAGACCTTGAAATTAGAGGGTTAGGAATAGCCCACTGGTTCGCACAACCATTTGAGAAAAAATAAAAACAATCTCGATTTGGAATTCCCTGAACATCGGAAGGAAAGAAAACAAAATAGTTTTTATCCTTTTATATCCATTATAATTATTTCATACATACACACATATAATATTTATTTATATATTTATTTATTTATATATTTATTTATTAATAATTAAATTAAATTATTTTTTTAGATAAACAAATTTCTTTAATGGGTTATTTAAAGTATTGGTTGTTTTCATAAATATACCTTTTAATTGAAAATGATTATTCTTTCCAAGAGGATAATAGTTTTGTTGTGTAATGATTACTATTTTTTGAATGTTGTTGGTTTCAAAGGACGATATGTTTGAAAGGAAATGTTGACAAGGGGGATCGATTGTGTCATTAATATTGAGTTGTGTGATTTGAGGATACGACTTGGCAAAGAAAACCGCTATTTTTGGTTGTCTAAATGAAATCTTTTTGATATTGATTGGGATACTAATCAAACTGGTTCTTACCTCGTGTTTCTCGTATCGGCTGAGAATGAGTCTGATAGATCTTAATTTTGGAAATTGGTCCAGATACGAAATGAATTTCAGTTGATTGACTGAAATGGACTCCAATGACTGTACCGATACAAGAGTTTTAAAAAGAACTTCTTCTAGATTTTGAGATGTAAAACCGGGAGAGGAGAATTCAGACCAATAGAGTTTTACAATAGACATTGTTTTTAATTGAGATATAAATAGATCCGGAAGTTGATGTATATATATCTTTCCGAAATCCAAAGAGGTGAGTGATTTGAAATCGAGCAATATATTTGAAAATGGGGTCTTGCCATTGATTCCATCTAGTTTGAGAGTGTTAATGTTGGCATATGGTTTCCGGTAATGCAGAGGTCCTTTTACCAAAAGAATATCCAAGCTGTCGCGATCAATAAAAATCTTTTTAATTGACTTTCCCAAAAGACAATGTTGGTTGATAAAGTGTTTATGTATTGTATCAAGTGAGGAGGTGGAAATCGAAAGTATAGCAACCTTGCTAGTAACTAGACTTGAAGTGAATGATAGCAGTCTTTTGCATACCTGTGCCAAACCAAATCTTGCTCTATTGATTTGAACATGTAGTTTATCAAAGTCGTAAGAGTTATGATAGTACCAAAGTCGTTTGTGTATAGGACAGTTTGATTTGGTTTCCAGGTATTCATCTGCCACTAGTGTATTGATTGATCCATTTTTCATAGATTGTGAAAAATCTACTTGGCAAGTACACATGTATCCAGTCCAAGAGTATCTTATGATTTTTTCAATAATATACCATTGAAGTGTTTGATTTGTTGATGATATGATTTCTTTTGTTGGATATTTTAAAAATAATAAAGAGGTTATTTCATCTTTTGTTTTTTCTTGTGGCATAATATTGTTATTATTATTATCAATTGTTTTAATAAACATATAATCTCTTGTATTGGTTTGATCTTTGAATGTTGAACCTTGATATTGATAACCATTTAATGCAAATGTATTTATCATGGTGTCTGTTATATCTGTTGATTGGTTTGATACAATCAATCGATTGATAGTATGATTGCAAAATGGTATAAAATCATTTGCAATGTGTGATTTAAACTTTAGAGTTTTGATGTTTGGGAATCCTTTGAATGAGAGGCTACTAGCATTTGACATGTATCGATGCATGATAACTTTGGTGACTGTTGGCATGTTAAATACGTTGAAGCCGTGACCTTGAGTGACATGATAGGTTCGAAGGTTTTTAAAGAGATTGGTGTTTACCCTAATGTTGGTGGCTTGAAGAGTATCGAGTAGACGAGGACCACAAGAAATACATTCGCCACCAGGGGGTGTAAGGAATTTAACAAGTGTTGTAGGTAAACTCTCTTGAATCAATTTGAAATTAGAACTAAACGTCGATTGGGTACCCAATGAATCCATTAAATTGAGAGAGGTAAGATTCTTAAATACCAATATAGCCTTGTAATCAGTCCACATTGTCTTTGATTTAAATGATTTAATATTTTGAAATGCCTTTGCAATATGTTGTTCATGTTGTTGTTGTTGTTGATTTGGTATTTTCAATTCAAGTACCAACTTTTCAATCTTACTACTCCACCACGACGACTTGCTATATTGGGTATCGAGTGATGATGTCCCATCCAAAGTAACATTTCGAGGGTTTGCAATCGTACGACAATATGGACTATCATGGAATAGACTTGAAAGAGACTGGTTTGGTAGGAATACTTTTACACTTGCACGACGATTGTTAGAGATAATAAACTGATTGATTCTCTTTGATAGATGTAGCAATTGGAACCTCCACGAATTTGAATCGTTACGAGTCGATTCAAAGGGGTGACACAAGTTGATTGACACTTGTAATTGATCTTTCATATACGATTGATATGCATGCATAGGACACTTTAATCTTTCTTCCTCGTGTACTTGTAACAATACTTTAAAGAGTGGCCATAATCTAAGAGTATCATATTTTGAATGAATATCTTTACTCAATTCCTTTATCTTCTCTACTGATTCTCCGCTATAGTAACATGTACAAATAGATGATCCATTCCACAAATCATCAACTATCTTATAAATGATAGGTAATGGTAATAAATATGAATGAAGAATTGAATCTTCTTCTTCTTTATCCATGGATATCTTTGTTTGATGAAGATAAACAAACACTCTCAAAGTTGAAGAATGAAGATATTTTACTCCCAACAATTGGGTATTAAACTTTTGTTGTTATTTGTTGTTTTTTTGGTTTGGGAAAAATATACATATTTTAAATTTATTAAAGGTTATAAATGATCATCTTATCATCTATTTTCATTTTATCTTTAAAGTCTTTGTTGAACGATCGTTTCATCAGATCTATTAATTAAAATCTCCAATTCAGGTGGAGGAATGACCGATCTTGAGATTAAATGCTTACGCATCAAGACCAAGAGTGAATGATTTGGATTGTTGTGTGGAGAGGATTTGAGTTGCTCGATGTATTCGTTGATGACCATGAGTTGGAGGGGTGATCCCGAGTAGATGATGTTGGTGATAAGCATCTCGGCCATTCCGTAGCTGTGTTGTTGGAGGTAACCGACGGCCAAGGCATTGCGATAGTCTGGTTGGGCCAAGAGCTCTTCTTTGGCTTGACTTGCTACATGTCTGAGACCCTTTTCGAGGTTGGCACTGATCAAGAAGGAATAGTATTTCTCGTCGAGGTAGGCTGGCTTGATGTCACGTGGAATGTCGGCGATAAAGGAGAGCGTGCCACTTTCATTGGTCAGCTTAAAGAGCTTAAAGATAGTGGGCATCGGTGCCTTGTACTGCTTGCGCAACATCTTGATAAAGACTTCACGAGAGTCTGCTTCGCGACCTGCCTTGATGAGATAGGTGAGAAGCGAGATATAGACAAACTCGCCGACAAACTGACCGGCCTCTTCACGCTCCCATGTCTCTGACAAGGCGACGTCGAGCATGTCTTGGTTGATGAGATAGGTAATACGCGATGCAAAGTCGATGTGCACATATGTCTGGTTATTGATGTTGGTGGCACTGAGTTCGACGACACGACCGTTCATCTTGGTCGACAAGGTAGTGTTGGTGGCAATCTGGCCAACGTGACGTGGAGTAGGTGGTACGACCATACCTTCGGCTTCCTTTTCACGAAGAATCTTTTCGTATGTCTTGGTTGGTTCATAGTAACCTTCAATGTCAATGTTGCCGGCAACATAGTCGTCTTCAGGTTTGGCTTGACGGGTATTGGTCTCACCAAACACCTCTTTGACACGGTTGTCGAGATGGAGTGAGTGTGGGTGGTTGATGTACTTGTAGACGTCTTCGAATTCCTTGCCTTCACTGTGCTCCTTCCACGAGACGAATGTTCCGTCGCGACGTAGGTTGAGTTTAAAGTAGGTCTCAAAGTGTTGGGGGACCGACTCGAGTTTGGCACCGTGGTTATCGGCCTTTTGGAGCCAGTACTTGCACAAGTCATACTCACCACGCAGTTTGTGGAAATAATAGAATGGAAGGATGGCAAACTCGTCAATAGGTAGACCAAAACGTTCCTGACGCAATGCAAGCCAGTTGAGTGCAGCTGGATAGTTGCCAATAACCAGTAGCAGTTGGATAGTCTTTGTAATATGAATCGAGATAAAGGATGGTTCACACTCGCTCATCTTGCACTTGATATAATCCAACAACGCTTCGTTCTTTTCTACTTCATAGTGTACGAGGATATGGTTGATGCCGTTGGGTACCATGTTACCTGCCTTGAAACAATAGTCAATCGTGTCATCGAGTGCTTCAAAGTCACCCATGGTATGATAAAACTTGATAATGTCACGGAACAATCCTACCTTAAAGTCGGACAACTCACCGAGAATTTGTTGTTCCAAGATCTTGCAACCTTGGACGTCTTCAGATTTCATGGCGACACTAATCAACGACTTGAAAGTGTGAAATGATGGACGGATGGTTTGGATCATACGACAGTACACTTCGAGGTACTGTTCCTTTGACTTGTGTTGAGCGACGTGACGCAACACTGTATTGTAGGGTGAGAGGGTTAAGAGACCGTTATCTTCGAGTCGCTTCAAGAGGATCTCAAATTCTTTGTCCATGCCACGCGAGAGGAGAGCGTGACAGAGAATGCCGAGGGGGAGGGGACGGATAATATCGACACGTGTGTAGTTGATGAGCTTGGACACATAACGCAGCGCACGACCAATCAAATTGTGATCGATATACGACTTGATCAGTGCAGACTGCAACAGATCCTTGGAGGCAAAGAAATAGGGCACACGATTAATAACGTTGCTGGCAGTCTCAAACTTGCCGAGACGTCCAAACATGGATACGAGGAGATGGTATGTTTCGATGTTGGCCAACACTCCATTCTCGGTCATCTTGCGGTACAACTGCTTCACCTCGGACGTGTCATTATTGGCGATCGAGTTGGCGATAAACAAATTGTAGATTTCCGGTGTCTTGAGATGCGAGTACTTTTGGAAATATCCTTGTACCTTTTCAATGACGATTGGGTTGGCACCGAATCCACGCACCAACAACCGAATCACCTCGACTGTAGGCACCAACTTGGACTTTAACAACGCCGAGAATATCTGTTCGCACTGTTCCATTCGATTGCCCTTGATGGCGAATCGCATCTGGATGTGGACAGTCTCGATGTTTTGCTCCACCTTTTTCTTTTTCATCACTTTGAGCACACTGTCAAACTCCTTTTCTTGGTTTTGTGACTCGTACGATTCCAAAAAGAGATTATAAGCATCGGCATCATCAATATTGTTTTCCAATATCCATTCATATATATCAGACATGATTGGTTGTGCTCCAAATTTAATTTCATTTAAATATAATTTTAAACTAAAAGAAATAGAAAATAGAAATAGAAATAGAAAGAAAGAGATTATTAGTATATACTATTATATTTTTTCTTTGTTGTTGTTTCAAATTACATACAATCTAGTTGAATCATTACTTAATTCACGATTCATAGTTTCAAATAATTCACTGTGATTATATTTCTCGAAATCCTTGTATTCACTAGTTTGAGTGGTTGGTTCTGAAAGTGTTAGACTATTCTCGCGGTGAACCTCTGCCAATTGTAAACGAGTTTCCAATTCTTCTTGTCGTTCTTGTTGTACTGGTAACAAAACTTCTTCTGTCACTAATTTTCTTGGTCTTCCTCTTCCTCGTGGAATGGCTATGGTTGGAGTGGCAGCAGTAGTAGAAGTAGTAGTAGTGGTAGTGGTAGTAGAAGTAGAATCACTGTTCATACCAGGAATGATGACTTCATCTTGACTTCTTTGTTGTTGTTTTTGTAGTTTGATTTTTTGTTGAATATTATTGATTTGTGTTTGTTGTTGTGTAAGTAAATCCAATGTAGATGATGATGTCTGAGTAGTATTGTCTTCAAAACCAAATTTCTTCTTTCTACCTCTTTTGCTTAGTACTTTGGAAGAAGATGATTCAATCTCGTCAATCAGATGATCCTCTTTTGGTGTTGTTGTTGGCGTTGTTGAAGTTGCTGACATTGCTTTACTATGACGGATATTGATCATTGGATGAGAGTTTAATCTGACATTGGTGTTGGAGTCGATTGGAAGTGGTGACAAGAGCCAACTTGAGATGTCTTCTACGACCTCGCCATTCTTGGCAACCATCTTGTTACTCAAGATACGGTTGATGGCATTGAATGGTGATTGCGACGATGAAGTAGGATCATTTACATTCAAATGAATATGATCAATATTAAAAGTTGATGATTTATAACTGACTCTAGATGATGTAAAATAACTTCTCCATCTTTGACTATTATTATTATTATTATTATTGATTAATACTGATTGTGATTTATTATTAATATTACTATTATTATTGTTATTAATATTATGACTGCGATCAATGGAATTTGATCTTATAGAATTTAAAGAAGATGAAATAAAAGTCAAAGAGTAGTATGGAGAATGATGTAAATCTAATCTTTCAATAGTTTTTAAACTATTGAGAGACTTGTTCATTCTTTGTCTTTATATGTATGTATGTATGACTAAAACTACTAAACGAAAAGTAAAAGCAATGAAACTTTATATAAAGTGAGTGGAGTGTTGGTTGTTGAGATGAAAAATAAATACTAGTTTTAAAAAAAAAGTAAACAAGTTAAACTTGTTAGTTCGGGTTTAAATGCCTATATATAAATATATATAATGAATGAATGAAAAGAGAGAGATACGATTACAGTATCTTTTGAACGACAAAAGTGATGGTTGTTAATTTGGCAATGAATAAAACGAACGACATTGCGCTCTCCTCCCTCGTTTGCAAAAATTCATTTTTTTTTATTTTTTTATTTTTTTTTTTTGGAAACATCAAGGTTGGATCAGAAGATGAACTCTAACAAAAAAATATATAAAGTACAAAGAGACTATCAACTCTTGGTGAAGTATCGTATATCAACTTTATTCAGTTTCGAAATTTCACAAAAAATAATTGCATGGCACAATATATATACAACGAAAAATATTTTTAATATAATTTATATAATATTTATTTTGATTATAACAATCCTACCTATATATTACATGCATTCACACACTCTCTACTTTTGAAAGAACAAATAGATGATATCATCATAGATGAATGGATCGATAAATAACTTAATAAATAAGATCTTATCTTTTTTGTTGTGATCAAACTACAATTTTTTAAAAAGTGTAGGACAAGCTGAAAGAAGTAAGTGATCCTTTGATTTTAAAACAAAACTCCAAATCCAACCCGAATAACAATATTATTAATTTTTTAATCCTGTATCCTTCACTTTCCATTTAATTCGATTTTAAAACATCCTCCCTATCCATGATATTAATTCTATCGATTTTAGACATAGATTGTCTACTATTTGTGTGAGTGTGCGAAAAAACGAATTGAATCTTGGAACAAAAATCTATACATCAATTTCCCCACACCCAGTCAGTCAATCAGTGTCCACACACACTAACAACCCAATATAATCGAGTGACTGAAAATTGTTGATTACACTTTATGTCTCCATCTCACATACTAAACGACAGACTATTCAATCAATCAATCCCTTTTTTCTTTACACTGCGTACTTTTTTTTAAAATATTTGTAAAATCATCTTAGTTTTTAAAACATCATCATCGGTGTAGGTAGGAAGGGAGGGTACAACAATACGAATTGATATGATGAAATTGATGATGATGATGATGTTTTGGTTAATAGTTGTTTTTATTTGTATCATATCAATTTTAATTTTACCCATTTTTCTTTATTCTAATTATTAAAATTTAAATTTGTTAATTCCTTTTTTTATTTTATCCTTTCTCCACAATTATCTTTTTTTTTCATCGTCCCTCATTTTCAATCAAATCATTTTAAAATAATATAGTTTTTTTTTCCATTTCCCATTTTCACAATCAATCAAACAATGAAATTTTACTATCCATTCATTTTATTGATAGTTTCGATAGTTTTATCATGCTCTTTGATTTCTACAGTTTCTGGCAATCAATTAGTTGAAGCTAAAACATGTTCACTTTCATCAAATACAACCAATGTCAATACCAATTCATTATTCAAGAATATGACGGTCCAAATTAGTTGTGGAACTAATAATTGTCCGTATAAAGGAGTTGGGTTTGATGAAGTTTTCCAACCAGGTAATCTCCACAGTGTACCAGAAATATCGGCCGAACAAAATGTAACTGTTTTTTACGATGGAAATACAATTTGCATATCGTTTCCCAAAGTATCCAAAGTCGATTGTGGAGCCGAATCCAAATCTGTTGAATGTGTTGAAACCTGTTTCAATGTGACTGCTGACACTCAAGACCACTACTTTATCACTGAACAATCATCTGATTGCAAAGGTTCTACCACCGTCGTTGGACATCACCTATTAACCTATCCAACTACCAACAATTCAAATAGAATAATGGTTCCATCATGTATAATATTATTATTCCTCTTTATCTTTACATCATTATAATATAATTAAATTTATAAATAAATATGTCTTTTTTTTTCTGTTGTATTATAATTATTATTATTATATTATTATTTATTTACATTTTTTCTTCCATTCCATTTTCTATTATATATATTTGTTTAATACATTGGAGTAGTTTTTGTTAAAGAAGGAGGATTATAGAAATCAAATACTCTAACTCTTTCTTGACGACCTGGAGGAACTGATTTGTTTTCCATTTCCAAACGAACCTTGTGGAGTGCTGCTTCCTCTTCTTCTTTGGTGAGATGACCGACTGCGTCTTCTTCGAAAAAGGAGGTAAAGTCGTGCAACTTGACAATATTGGACATGGAAGAGTTGACGGTGTTTTTGAGGACGGGATCATCCGACTTGTCAATGAGCTCTTGGACACCGACAGTATCTTGCTCTAAAGAATTGGTGGTAGTGTCCATGATGTTGGCTGGGACGGCCGACGGCGTGCGTTTGGGCGCCTCACGGTCAATGGTACGCTTGGCCAACTGTTGTTTGGAGATGAGACGCGGGTACATGTTTTCTTCAAGTGTGGCAGCCGTGATGATGGTGTACACATAGACTGGTTTGGTCTGACCGATACGGAAGCACCGGAACACTGCTTGACGCTCATGCACAGGGTTCCACATGAGGTCAAAGAGGATGACACGTGTACCACCTGTTAGGTTGGTACCCAGACTGCCGGCCTTGGTCGAGATGAGAAAGAGCTTGATCGAGTTGGTCAGATCGTTGTACTTGTGGATCATGATCTGACGGTCCTGGGGACGGGTCGTGCCATCCAGACGAAAGTAGTCAACACCTTGGCGCCACTTGAACCCCTCACGCAGCTGCAAAAAGTACTCGAGCAGGTTGAGTGTGGCGATTGACGATGTAAAGAGCACGACTCGCTCGTTTAGAGCCACGCATTGCTCGAGCAACTTGAAAAGGATGACCATCTTGGTGCTGTGTTCAATCACTCCCTTTCGGTAGACTGTCGAATCGAGTTCACCGATAAACGGCGAGTCTACTGCAAGGAAACGACACTCATTGACATAGAGTACACGTTTCACCAACTCGTCCTTTTCTGTGCAATCGTGTGATGGCAAGTGATGATTTCTCAACAAATCACGCAACTCTCTAACCGATTTCTTGTTAATATCCTTTACAGACAACGGTTTTCGCTCCAATAGTGTATCTGGATGATTACAAATCAAACTTCCCAATTCTTGACTTTCAATAATTCTCTTTCCCAACTTTGTTAAAATATCCAATAATTTATATTGAATCTCTGTTCCTTTAACTGAAATAATAGTTCTAAAAAAGAAGAAAAAAGAAAATATAGATTAATATACAAATAGAAATTAATTTGATTCAAATTTTACTTACTCTATTTTTTTTGGTAATTCTTTTTCTAAAACTTGTGGACCTAATCTAAAAATAAAATCTTTTGTTAAACTTGATAATGCTGATAATCTTCTTCTCATTTCACTATAAAAGGAAAGAATAATTATGAAAGTTAGTTACTATTATAATTATTTGTGTTTTTTTTATATATTTACTCATATTCAAATTTTGTAGCATTTTCTTTTGAACCATTTTCAACTGGTTTTATGAATCGATCTCTAAACTCTACAGTTGAACCAAGATAATTTTCTCTAATGAAATTAATCATTGTATAATATTCCTTGAGATTGTTTTGTAAAGGATAACCAGTGAGAATGACACGTTTGTCAGTCTTGATCTTGGATATTGATATATAGGATTTGGTAGATTGTGATTTGATTTTATGACCTTCATCGATAAAGACCATGTCACAATGTATCAACTTTTGGAAATCAGATGTGGTAGACTTTTGCGACTCTTGATCGCTGTAAAAGTACATAAAGTACTCGTATGTGAGCAACATGACACCGCCATTGCTGTGCCAGTTGTTGATGTCTTTGGTGACCTCACGCTTCTTGGACTCGGTGGAACGTGGCATGTAAATGGTGACTTTGACATCGTTGGCGTCTTGTGGCAACCATTTACTAAACTCGTTCTTCCAATTGTAGAGAGTGTTGGCTGGCACGATCAGCAGGTACTTGGCTTTGGTTTTCGCGTATTGAACGTGAGTGTGAATGAGTGTGATGACCTGCAGAGTCTTGCCGAGCCCCATTGAATGTGCTAAAATGCAACCCTTCTCCTTGGCAATGATATTCTCCCACATGAACCGCACACCGAGGATCTGGTGCGGCTTGAGTAGGGTGCTGAGCTGTCGGTGGATGAGAATATCGTCTGACGGCGTCTTGCCGGCATAGACCAACGACTTGTCACGACTATAACTATCTTCTCTCTCTTTGCGCAGCTTTTGAATCTTGATTGCCTCTTCCTCTTCTTTTCGTCGGATGCGCAGTGTGTCTTCGTTGACATCCTCTACCTTTTTGGTCGATAGTTTGCGCACCACCCCTGTACTCTTGGGAGAGATGGGTCTGACCTTGGACGACTGCTTGCTGAGCAGTTTGGCCGGTCTGGCCGGCTGCTTTGTAGACGGGTCTTTTCGCTGGGTGTTTTCTGCGCCACTCTCGTCCGAGCTGCTGTCTGTGTAACTGTCGCTACTATCGTCGTCAAAGAAGCTACTCGAATCAAATCCAGAGTCTGACGACGAATACTCTGAAGACGACGACGAGTCGGAATCATCGGAATCATCATAGTCATCGTCGGTTGTATATTTTTTAGTGGCAGGTTTCTTGAGACCACCGGCTGCAGGTTTCTTTGGTGGAGGGAATAGTTCAATGTCTGACTCGTCTGTCGAACTATTCTCGGTCGCAGTGGTGTTTGTATCTTCTATATCGGTAGACTTGTGTTTTTTATGTACAATTAATTCTTCATCTTCGTCTTGATCCACTTGCATATCATCTGCTTGTTGTTGTTGTGGTGGTTGTTCACTATTGTTGTCTTTATCGGTTTTTCTTTTCTTTGGTAATTGTTTTGATGGATTATATAATGTTTCATTGAGATTAAAACGATCTTTAATATTACCGCTACCAGTAGTTGTGGTAGTGCTAGTGCTAGTAGTAGATGTTGTTGATTTGTTTAACGATATATCTTGATCTTCATCCCAATTTTCATTTTCACTTAGACTATCTTCGTCTTCGAGAATGACTGCTCTATTTGTTTGTTTTTTTGGTGACTTTGTATCCACCTGCTCTGCAGCCTCTCCAAAAGAGGGTGGCTCATCTCGACCGGCAAGTGTAAAGTGCCACTCGAGCTCCCAGTACTCTTGGAACTGATGTTCGACAAGCTTCCATCCTTCCTTTTTAAACTTGGAGACATCGTCTTGAACAAGCGACGACAATGCTCTCATGGTACGATTATTCATATTGGAAAGATCTGTACGATACGATAGCATATTCTTGTGAATCTTGTTGTATTTGGCCAATGCATCTTTCTTCAATCGACCAAGATTCTTGTCCAACCATTCCTGTCTCTTTTCACCAACAAACTCTATGATTCCTTCCAACTCGACTCCAGATACATCTCCTCTTGTTGATGATTGAGGTCGTGCAGTAGCTGCAGATGGAGCTGAAACTGGTGGTGTCGATGCAGATCTAAAAGTAGGTTGTGCTCCCAATGCATCGGCCACATTAACCGGTCCCTTCATTCCATCAATCTTTTTTCTATACTCTTCAGTCATGATTTCATCTTCTGTTATTCTTGACGTTTTCTTTGGTGATGTTTGTGGTGCTGGTGGTTGATGATATTGATGATCTCCCATCACTTCATCACCATCTCTATCTTTTGATCCTCTTCCTTCAAATTGATTAGGATAATTATTATTATTAATATTGTTATTAATATTATTATTATTATTATTATTATTATTATTATTATTATTGTTATTAATATTATTATTATTATTATTTCTTCTTGGATCTCTATTATTATCATAATATCGATTTCTTTCATCCCTATTATTAAAATGTGGAGTATCGTCTCTTGAACCTCTAAAGTTGTTACCATCTCTCGAATTTCTAAAATCTATTCCTCTATCATCTCTATCTCTAGATGACCTAGATGGTTGTTGTTGTTGTTGTTGTGGATCATCTCTATCACGAGAGTTTCTAAAATTAATATTATTATTATTATTTAGATCATTTGCCAATGTTTCTCTAGTGATACGTTCAGCAGTTTCTCTTGCAGCTCTTATTTTTTCATCACGAATGATTCTATCTTCCTCTGCTTTCTTTTCTCTTGCAATTCTCTCATTCTCTAATCTCTCCTTTTCCACTCTTTCATCTTCCAATCGTTTGCGCTCCTTTTCCTCTCTTCCTTTGACGATTCTCTCCTCTTCAGCCTTCTTTTCATTGGCAATTCTTTCATTTTCCAATCGTTCTTTTTCAAGTTGTTCTAATCTTTCTTTTTCTAATCGTTCTTTTTCAAGTCTTTCCAACTTTTCCTTTTCCAACCTCTCATTTTCTATTCGTTCTTTTTCAAGTTGTTCTAATCTTTCTTTTTCGAGTTGTTCCAACCTCTCTTTTTCCAATCGTTCTTTTTCGAGTTGTTCTAATCTTTCTTTTTCAAGTCTCTCCTTTTCCAATCGTTCCTTTTCTAATCTCTCTTGTTCTAATTTCTCTTTTTCAAGTTGTTCTAATCTTTCCTTTTCCAATCTTTCCTTTTCAAGTTGATCATGTTTCTCTTTTTCCAATTTTGCTTCATTTTCTCTTGCTTCTTGTTCTTCTTTTTCACTTGTCGTTGTATCAAATCCACCCAAATCTTCATGGGTTAGAGGTGAATCAAAGCTTGTATCAATCTGTGATCTACTTAGAGAAGGTGAAATGGGTGATTGTAAAGGTGGAGTTGGTTGTAAAGGTGAGGTTTGAGGAGGTGGTTGATGTTGAGGAGGTTGTGATTGTGGAGGTTGAGGTGGAGTTTGTTGTGGTTGAGGTTGAGGTTGTTGTTGTTGTTGTTGTTGTTGCTGTGAATAAGAACTAAACATATTCTGAAAAGAAGAGAATAAGTTTACAGGACTTGTTTGTTGTTGAACCGAACTTTGAACCAAAGTTTGGAACATTTGCATCAAGAAATCAGGACTTGGCTGAGGTGAAACGACTGGTGGTACCACTACTGGTGCTGGAACTGGTGTAGTATTTGGTGAATCTTTAACTATAAACAAAAAGAAAGAAAGATAGAAAGAAAGAAAGAGTAAGTAAGTTTAATATAGAATATATAATATTATACTATTATTATTAATTAATAATTACCTTTAGATTTAATTAAAAGTGAATGACCAAAGGGGATTCCCAATTGTTTTAAATCTTGTACTGTGCAAATCTTTAATACATCCCAAGTCATACATTCATTTGCCAAAATGTCTTGGTACTCTAATAGATCAATCTCTCCTAAAAGTTGATGGACCCTCGGATCAATCGGTTTGGGTCTGTTTGGTTGATGAGTTTTCTGCAATGTTGTTGTCGTAATGGTAGATCCAGATGTTGATATATCATTGGTTGTTGATATTGGAGGTGGAGGACTAGATATAGGTGAATCAACATTCATACTAGAATTGTTATTATTACTATTATTACTACTGCTATTAAGGTTGTTGTTGTTGTTGTTGTTGTTGGTACTGTTATTGTTAATGTTGCTACCTCCCCCTCCTTTACCAATGCTTGAAAATAATATGGGATTGATATTACTTGGATTATTATTATTTGGTTTATCATCATTTGGTTTATCATTATTATTATTATTATTATTATTGTTATTGTTGGTATCATTACTAATATCATTTAAAATAACATCGTTGTCATTAAATGTAATATCATTGGTATCATTATTATTATTATTATTATCATTACTATCATTATCAATTGCAACAGAGGAGTTTGGTTGAGATGAGGGGATGGATGCTGAGGATGTTGATGTCGATGGTGTCGTTGCAGATCCTTGTGAAATGGTTGTCGTTGATGTCGATGTCGATGTAGATTGTTTGTTGTTCTTATTATTATTATTATTATTATTATTATTATTATTATTATCACCACCGAGGATAGTACTCGATTGTCTTGGTACTAGTATATTCTTGCCAGTGTGTAAAAGATGAGATGATAATCCGGGACTTGATACCCGCATGAATGAATCACTCTCTGAGGGCGATGGTATAATAAGAGGTTTCTTCTTGGGTGCAGTTTCTTTTTCTGCAGTTGAGGTTTCTCCAACCAACTCTGTCTTTTCTACTTTATTCTTATTGGTTGTTGATGTTGATTCAGTTGATGTATTTGATGTCTTGTTGGTATTTGTATTTGTATTTGATGTATTTGGTGTCTTGTTTTCTTTCTTTTGATCTTTTGTTGATGATGTAGAAGTTGATGTTGATGTTGTACTGCTACTGCTACTGCTACTACTATTGCTATTGCTACCGCTACTACCAACAAAAGTTCTTTGACGAGATGGTTTACGTGCTACGACATTACCACCACCTTGAAGCATAACATCATCGTCGTCATCGTCAGTGTCCAAGTCAATGATCTCTGGCTTTGACTTTGCTGTTGCTGCTGCCGGTACTGTTGCAGATGACTTTCTGATACCGGCGCCGCCATTACCGCTACTCCAATAACCACTGCTCATTTCATTATCACTAACCTACTACTGCTATGCTCAATGATATATATATGTTATCTCTTGGTTGGTAAACACAAAGATGAGTAGTAGAAAGAGTATATGTGTTTGTTGGTTAAAGTAGAGTAGTGACTATAATAGATATACAGTGAGTGTAGGTGTAGATAGATGAGGAATATGAAACCTAGGTAAACTTTGAATCTGGTAATCTGACAGCTTCGATCGAGTTTTTGCAAGAAAAAAAGAAAAACGACTGTAATAAATGTAAATAATTATTTTAATAATAATACGAAAATTGATCAATATTACTATACAATGAAAATATCTTTAAAGTGTATAATCATCATTATTTATGGGAGGGGAGAGTTATTAATAAATTATTTATTATTTTCAAAAAAAAAATGAATTCTTTTCTTTTCTTTTTTTTTCTTTTCTTTTTCTAGTCTATTCTATTATATTCTATTATCTTTTCTTTTCTTTCTTTTGTTTCCATTATTAATTAATTATATTATTATTATTATTATTATTATTATTATTATTATTACTATATTTCCATCATCATAATTATTTATGTCTTGGTACCAATTTTTTAACCAGACGAATAAGAAACCTTTTTACTATCTATTCCTAAAAGATTTTTCATGAGTTCATATACACAAAAGCTGATACTGATGGCTGGGATGACCTTGAGATAACATGGGATCATACCCTTGTATAGACCCTTGACACCCTCTTCTTGAACTATTTTTTTGCATGCGTCAAAAGGACCAGAGTAGACTGCTGGCTTGCCTCCAATACCCTGGACCTGCAAACGTCGACGCAGCAAGTCGATTGGATAGGTGAATGTTTGTGCGGTGGCTCCAGAGACGGCTCCATATAAAAGAGATTGTGGTACAGATAAATGTTCTCCTTCGGGTGTGAAAAAATATTTTAATGATTCGTATGTTGTAAAATTAATGGCTACATATGGTGCTACACCCTAAAAAATAAAACAAATAGATTAAAAGTAAGTAAATCAAATAATATAATATATATATATATATATATTTGTATTATTTGTTTGTTTGTTTGTTGACATACCAATGCAGAGGTAAATAAACCTTTATATAAACCTGCATAACCTTCTTCTTTGACAACCGTTCTGTAGGTATTGAGAATTCCATTGTATTTTTGTTCGTTGATTTGTACTGTAAGTCTAGCTCTAATGAGATCGAGTGGATAAGTAAATAATAATGATGTTACACCAGCTGCACCACCAACAATTAGATTTTGTGCAGTTGTTAAATGTTTTTTTCCATCTTCCATTAAAAACTAATCAATAGATAGTTGTTATTTAGGTTAGTAATCATAATATTAATCAGAGAGAGAGAGAGTCTATCTAATCACTAGTCCATTCATACCTCTTTGTATTTTTCGTATGCTAAAAATTGAATGGCCGAATAAGGGGCGATTCTAATGACATTGGTTCCATTTCCCTTGAATAGACCCATGAGTCCCTCTGTACGGTACATTGTTCTGAGTGACGTAAAGACACTACCATATTGTGGAGCACCGCTCTCGAGATTCATCGATGACACTTGACGAAGGATCTTGAGACGTTCAAGTGGTGAAGTGCAAGTACGTGAGACTGCACCTGCAAAGCCACCGGCTATAAGTAACTTCCATGATGGTGTCTCTTGTGGTGCATGTATAATAGGCTTGCTACTAAATTGTAACCAATGCTCTGCGATATCTGATACTTCTTGTGATTTCGATGCTTGAAGAATATGATAGAATTCGTCCCATTCAATTGTATGATTCTTATTGCTATCTGCAATATCCATCATCTTATGAATTTGATCCTACAAATATATAATATTATATATCGATATGTTAGAGAATATGTTGTTGCCGTTGTTCTCTATATATAATAGTGATTTTTCAAACTTACATCTGAAACGTCTAATCCAAAGTCTTTGAAACCTTTCTTTAGTTCAGTCTTGTTGATCGACCCATCCTTGTCATGATCAAACTTGTCAAACATTTGTCTGAGCGTATTTCTACTCTTCTCTCTATCTGATGACATTCTCTCTCTCTCTTTGCTTTACTGTAATGTTTACTACTACCGACTACTATACTAACTATATATACTATTATTATTATTATTATTATGATTATACAGAATGAATTGTGTTATTACTGAATGTGTTTAGGTTAAAAGGTTAAATATATATATATATATATCTCTCAATCTAATGTTATTATTATTATTATGTAAGTGTGAGTAATGAATGAAAGAAAGAATATATCTAAAATTAATAATGACAAAGTGTGATGATGATGTGGGTGAAGGGTAAAAAAAGATAATAATGATGATGATCGGTTTTGTTGATGTTCACAAAAGAGTTATGAATGAGTGAATGAAGTTATCTTTTAATTTATCTCCTCTCTCTTTATCAGTCTCTCTTCTATGTATTATTATTAGATGACGATCGGACGGATGAAGAATAGTTATAAAATAATGAGAAACGATGATGATGGGTGATGTGATAATGACACTTCAGAGTTGGTCGATCTTGTTTCCCTCTTTTTAGTGGCTACCTTTTTTTTTTTTTTTTTTAATTTTCAAACGAGGATGTTTGTTTAATATTAATCGAACTCAAGCGCATGTTCCATGACAGGTCTTGCCACGGAACATATAAATGTGTTACCCCCCCCATATGTCCAATAAATTCAAAGACACATATCTTTTGATCTCATCCTAACCAACAACAATTCCAACCAAATAGGCAGAGTTAAGGAAGTAAAATTAAGAAACTAAATAAAGTATATGTAAGTATATTTATGGTCGTATCTTGACTCAATATGAAAAGATATATGTTCAAAACTTTAAAGAATCAAATCAAAACAATGAACTTGTTACTTTGAGGTTGGCCTCACTAAAAGTTGAGGTGGGCATTTTTTTTTACAAAACTCGTTACACGAGAATGTAAAAAAAAAATAGAATTTTTTTAATTTTTAAAAAAGCCGACTGCATCAAAAGTCAGCTAGTGACTTTTTTTACGCTCTTTTGCCTTTGTTGTTATCATACAAGAATTAGAATGGTAAGAGAGAGACACCGTCATATTCGATCAGATTAATCACAGCAGCGGGCAGCGGCAGCGGCAGACAGAAACATCAGTAGCATACATTATACATAGACACACACACACAGCATATATGTACAGAATGACAATCATTATTATTATTATTATACAGATAATCAAACATCATACAGATATTTAAATTTTAAACACTCGTCTCTTTTGGAAAAATATAAGAGTGAGGGTTGTGAACTTATATATATATTTAATATATTATATTATTCTATACTATATACATATATGTTGTATTCACATGCATGTATATGGAATGTAATAATAATAATAATAATAATGTCATCAAATAATAATAATAATAATAATCGTCATATGATAGTAGTCATGAATATTTGATAATATATAATATATGCTGCTGTTGTTACTATCTGCTACTACTGCTGTTGTTGTTTTAAAAAGATCAATATAGATAGATATATTTAAATTATTTTGATGAACCTCAATCACTTACATTTCAATCTATTATATAAATATACTTTATACTTATAATTACTATATTAACAGAGTACTCCAGCCCCAGCTACTACTGCCCCAGCCGCCGCTGCCGCCGCCGCCCCAACTGAAAAGATCCAATTGGCTAAGGTCACCGAAGTTCTCTGCAGAACCGGTTCCCGTGGTGCTGTCACCCAAGTCCGTGTTGATTTCTTGAACACCGATAAGCCACGTTCCCTCCTCCGTAACGTCAAGGGTGCCGTCCGTGTTAACGATATCCTCTGTTTGCTCGTATGTCTTTATTCTTTTTAAAAAGTCTTTCTATTTCTTTTTCAAATCACTAATCACTCTTTTTCTTTCTTTTTTTCATCACCACCATCTTAGGAAACCGAACGTGAAGCCAGAAGACTCAGATAAAGGGTACTTGGTTATATTCAATAGTATAATTAAAAACCTATGGCATTATAAATAATACAATCTTTCAAATCGTCTTTTTTTCTTTATTTATTTCTATTTTGTTTGTTTGTTTGTTTGTTGTTGTTTACCAGTGAAAATATAAGATTTGTTATCTTTGGAGCGTGGTTTGATTCATTATATATTTATTTATTACATATTACATTGTGTATATTTAAAAAATAATAATAAATTAGATTTTTGTATTTTATTTAGATTTTGAAAAAGATGGCTTGTTTATGTTTTTTTTTCTTCTCGAGTTTACTATACTTGTTGATTGATCAATCATCTCTTTCTCAAAGGTTGTAGTAGTATTGAATGATTGAATACTACTACTACTACTACTGCCACCCACGATCATCAACAACCTAGGCATCACATCACGTCTTCTCTTTGGCATCAACAAGCAATCAATCAATAATCAATCAATCATGACAGCACACTCTCTCCTGCTGTGTACGTGTCAGTGTCTGACAGACAGCCAACGAACTTAATTTAATTGGTGGGGTGGTGTGTTAATTGCATTCCCTTTTTAGTCAAACTCGTTTAAGACGACAGCTGCAATGAAAATTATTTATGCGCATCAGATATATAAACCCCACACTACCCACTCTAATAACAATATTATTTTGTTGATTAAAATATTTAAATAATTTTGGAGAAGCACTCTTTATATCAGAGTGATCATTCTATTTATTTCTTTTATGAAACTTGTTTCAAAAATCGTATGATATACAGATAATAATATTGGTCTACTATTATCTCTCTCTCTCTCTCTCTCTCTCTCTACTATATCCAACTCAATCTCTAAACTTAATTAACCATTTCTCTTTATCTTTTTTTATTTTTTATTTTTTTCTTTCTACTTACCATCTATCTATAGTCTTACAACAACACAATCATTACTATTACCTATCAAACAATCAAAAATCAAATCATTTATTTTAAATTCATTATCCAATCATGAACCCATTAATTATCATCTTTATTTTGCGTCTCATTGTATCATCGGTTTTTGCCAATATGTCTTGCAACAACCAAAATGTCTTTGTCAACGACACCAATTCATTGTCATCATCTTTTTCATTGTTCAACCATGTTGAACAACAACAATCAAATATCATCCAAAATAAAAATATTTCTTTGTCTATGATGCATCAATCATCCGTTTCATTGTCATCTTTTAATCATTTTGAACATCCAATCATTCTTATCAAAAACAAAAACAACAAAAACAACAACAACAACAACAACAATAATAATAATAACGATATCCATTCATCTATTTCACAAACTCAATTTAATTCAAATCAATGTCATTTACCATCAAACCATACTTTTATTCCTTTCTATAACAAAAAAATATTAACAAAAATAATAATAATAATAATAGTTTATCTTTTAATTCATCAATGTCAATTCCTTTAAATTTAAATGTTTTGTCCCAATTACATTTCCAGTTACCATTTAATCACTCAACCAACAACCATATTATTTTCTATGGCGACGACGAGGAGGAGGAGAAAGAGTATGTTCAATTGAACAGCAACACCACAATCTCATGTTTTAACCATGTTGGACATCAATTAATTTCCATCAACAATCCATTACCAATTAGTGGTTTTCCATCGTTTTCACACAATATTCACTTTAACTCAAGCCATGTTTTGTTTATCTCTAATCATTCAACAACCAAAAACCATATTATTTTAGAGGAAGAGGAGGACTTCAACAGCAGTCCAATTTCATTCTCGTGTTTCAATGTTAACCATCAATCAAATCTCATCTTAGAGGAGGAGGAGGTGGAGGAGGAGGAGGAGTCTGTTCAATTGAACAGCAGAAGCAATACTATCCCAGTTTCATATTTCAACCAATCAATTCCCATAGATAATAATAATATTTCATTCTTCGATGACCATCAACCATCGATTCCATGTTTTAAATCTAGTGATATTTTAACTCATTCAACAACCAACAACCACATTCTTGTAGAGGAAGAGTTTGTTCAATTGAACAACGGCAGCAAAAGCACACATTCATTAACATGTTTAGACCATGTTAAACATCAATCATCAAATAATAATAATTCATCATCATTGATTTCACCTATTCCATTTTCATCTGATTATTTTAACTCTTCAAAAACATCCACATTATATTTATTATCAAATACAATCAATTCAACAAGATCAAAGACAAGCCCATTTTCAAGATACTCCAGCAACATCTCAAGAATAGAAAACAACAACGCGGTAACAAGCTCTGACAATTTAAACCATTTTACTGATACCTCTTCTTTTATTTTTATAGATACAAAAGTTGACAACTGTTTCGGAACCAACCATTCAAATCATACAACAATTCAACAACAACAATCATCATCATTATCACCAATCAATCATAATACAATCCTCACCACAATCCATATTCTCAATTCAACTCACAGTCAATATTCACAAATCAATCCCCCATCTTCAAATAATAATAATAATAATAATACCAATGAATCAGCCTCACCTATTCACTCATTTCAATTGAACAACACCAACAATTCAATCTCATTGTTCAACCATGTTGAACATCAATCAATTACTATTAATAATAATAATAATAATAATTCTTTCCATCAATCAACCATTTTATTTTATAATTCAAGTGATATTCAATGTCAATCCAATCATTCATTCGTTCCTAACAACAATAATTATTTATTTTTTAATTCATCCATGCCAACTCCTTTTAATTTTCAATTACCATTAAATCACTCGACAATCAACAACCACATTCTTTTATATGTTCAATCGAACAACAACAAAACAACAAATTCAATCCCATGTTTCGATCATCAACCAATCATTTCCATCAATAATAATAATAATAATAATATTTCATTCTACAATGTCCATCAATCATCGATTCCATGTTTTAATTCAAGTGATATTTTAACTCATTGCCAATCAAACAATCTCCTCACCAATCCATCCACCCTCCACATTCATCTCCAATCGACCCACAATCGTCAAACCATTGGACAATCTTCTATTAATAATAATAACAACAATAATAACAATAACAAAAATACAAATACAAATAATAACAACACAAGACCAACAAATAATAATAATAATAACATCACAACAAATAATAATAATAATAATAACAACAATTATTCCTCTTACAATAACAGCAATAATAACATTAAATTAAAAAATACAAATAACAACAACTCATCATCATCATTCTCATGTTTCGACCATGTTGAAACATTCATCTCAGCCAACCAACAAACAAAAAATATTAATAATAATTATAATTATAACAACAATAATAACAATAACAATAATAATAACAACAACAATAATAATAATAATATTAACAACAATAACATTAAATTAAAAAAAACAAAAAACAACAACAACAACAACTCATCATCATCGTTCTCATGTTTCAACCATGTTGAATCATTCATCTCAACCAACAAACAAACAAAAAATATTAATAATAATAACAGCAATAACAATAACAATAATAACAACAATAATAACATTAAATTAAAAAATACAAATAACAACAACAACAACAAAGCCAACTCATCATCATCATTCTCATGTTTTAACCATGTTGAAACATTCATTTCAACCAACAAACAATCAAAAAATATTAATAATAACAGCAATAACAATAACAATAATAATTACAAAAATACAAATACAAACAACATCAGTAACACAAGACCAACAAATAATAATAACAACAATTATTCCTCGAGATCTTACATAGACAGACAACCCCTTCATTGTTCACCAACCAATAATAATCGTGATAATATTACAATATTTGCCGATCACTTCAGCCCATCCCCAATCCATATTCACCAATCCATCCACAATTCATATTCACCAATCAATCCAATCACCACACTCATTAATCAATCATATATTCCTCACCAATCAATCCACAATCCTCAATCACAAATCACTCAACAATCTTCAAATACTAAAAATACAAAAAATAATTATACAACAAACAATAATACAAATAATAATAATAGTCCAACAAAAAATAATACAAACAACAATCCAAATAATAATAATAATAATAATAACAATTTATTATATATACCACAATCCAACTCTTCCTACTCCTTTTTTACCTCTTCAATGCACATGCAACCTCCTCATTGTTCACCAACTTATAATAACATTCCAATTACAACAAAGAATAATCATAACAACATTACAATCTTTACCAATCACTCCAATCCACAATCCTCATTCACCAATCAATCATTCATTCGTCACCAATCCGCTAGTCAGTCGCCCGTCCCAAATCCTGTGATCAAGAGTTTCCAACCAACTATCACCACCATTCGTAGACCAACATAATTTACACTGTATCAAATGTTGATAATTTAATATAAATTTACTGACTCTTTTTCTTTTTATTTTATAGGTATACTAATCATTATTCTCTTCAACTCTTTTGGTATTAACAACATCTTAATAATACAATAATAATAATAATAATATAATAATAATAATATAACAACAATAACTAATAATAATAATAATATTAATAATACACAATAACTAATAATATTAATAATTACAAAAACCAACAACACTAACTAATAATAATAATATTAATTACAACCAACAACAATAACTAATAATTATAATATTAATAGTAATTACTACAACAACCAATTACAATCCTCTTCTTTTCTAAAAAGATATTAAATTACTTTTACCCAAGTGGTTTCCCTCTATTCCTACTCTTTACTTTTTATACATTTTCTGTTGCCATCGTCCATGTCCAGTCCATCATCGTCCATCCATGTTCCACGTCCCTAGGCTTTTATACCCCAAAAAAGATATTCAATTACTTTTACCCAAGTGGTTTCCTTTTAAAAAGATATTCAATTACTTTTACCCAGTGGTTTCCCAGGTTCGCCCCCGTGTAAGTCGATTTTCTTCGCATTGGGGGGCTTTTTTTTTTTTTTGGACTGTTCCCATGGTCTAAACAACCATGGGAACAACCAAAACTATAGTTTTTCTATTTATTTCTTTCTCTCTTTTTCCCTCTCTTTTTTATTTATTATTTATTTATTTATTAATAATACCCGCAAAATCAATATTATTTTTCTGACAAATTTAAAATTAATTAATTCATCAGAATTTGTAATAATTATTTGTAACAAATATTTGTGACACTTCAACTGTAGCAATATGTGTCATTATAAAGGTGTGCACCCAAAGATGGTTTATGGGTTTGTAACTTTAATTTATTAAAATTAAAACTTTAAAATAAAAATAAAATAAAAAAGCAACCACACCACTTCACCAACTCTGACTTTTTGATCAGACCATTTATTATTTTATTATTCTTGTATTTATAATTATAATTAAACTTGTTACTCACAACCAAATCAATATATATTCATACATATTATTATATATATACAGATAGATATATACTAGGTTGAGTACTCGAGGTGTATAGAAAAGCTATGATGATATTTTAGAGTATCAGGAATGTACTATTGCTGATACATGATAGAGTATGGTGGATGGTAGATACTATTGGATCATCTGCCTTCCATCCTCCACCATCCCTCTACCATCTATCAATCATCCATCTATTGTCTTTCCATCCACTATCCATCCTCTACCATCGATGCAGTCGCCAGTGTCATGATTTTCATGGTACCATCAAGGAATTAATCCCTTCTTCTCTTAAATATATTCATGTTAATGTATGTAAACAAAAAAAAAGAAATAAATTTAAACATGAATATATTAATGAATGATTTATTATTATTATTATTAGTATTGTCATTATTATTAGTTTAGGGAGCAACCATTTCAAACTTTGTTGGTATGTTTGAAATCTTTTTAAGTATCTATTATTGACATGGAATGTTACCACATGATCTTTCTGAAGGTGATGGAGGTCATGGACATTGTAATGGTGGTACTCCATCTACCATTCTCTATCCACCATCCACCCTCTATACACTGGTAGGCTATCGTCAAACATTATTCGATTTCCAGCCACAATTGCGCATAATCAACCATCTTCCATTGTCCGCTCGCCACTGAAAATCAAGAATGCATCATATTTTATTGGGATTGATGGATAATGAATATTCATAGTAATGATGGACCAATTAAAATAGAATCACAAAGGTCCAACTTTGAATATCGTAATATTATTTTATTGGCATGGGCAATGGACAATAATTACGGTTTTGATTATAATGATTGTTTAATACAAAGAAACCAATAAAATTAAATATCTTTTATATTATAATTAAATCTAAGACTTATTTATCTCTATCCATCCTCTCCATCCATCCATCATCCATCCTCTACCATCCTCTATCCATCCCTCTATCATCCACCATCCAACATCCATCCTCTATCATCCATCCTCTATCATCCATCCTCTCCATCCATCCTCTCCATCCATCCTCTCCATCCATCCTCTCCATTCATCCTCTCCATTCATCCTCTCCATCCATCCTATATCATCCTTCCTCTATCATCCATCCTCTCTATCCATCCCTCTACCATCCATCCTCTCCATCCATCCTCTCCATCCATCCTCTCCATCCATCCTCTCCATTCATCCTCTCCATTCATCCTCTCCATCCATCCTATATCATCCTTCCTCTATCATCCATCCTCTATCATCCATCCTCCATCCACCCTCTCCCATCCATCCTCTCCATCCATCCTCTACCATCCACCCTCTCTCATCCATCCTCTATCATCCATCCTCTACCATCCATCCTCTCCATCCATCCACTATCATCCACCCTCTCCCATTCATCCTCTATCCACTATCCACCCTCTACCATCCTCTATCCATCCTCCATGATATAGGACACTAGTTTGTATATATGGTCAGCCGATCAACAAATAATATGTTCGATTAGATAATATTTAGCGTTTAATGTACAAATATTTGTATAATTATATTTATTAATTATTATTATTATTAGTTTTTAGTATTTTGATTTATTTTGTTCTTCTAATTCTAAGGCCTTTTCATATTCAATTACCTTTTCCAATGATTCGTGATGGAACTTTGCAGAAAAGGTTCTACGTTGATCGATAGAGTCGGATGGATGGTTGAGAGCTAATTTATCTTCTTTGGTCAATTCACATTCCACCTCTACGTCGGCGTTTATTTCCTTTTTGAGAGCAGCCAATATCCATTTGGCACCACCGTGTTGCTTGATTTGGGCATCGTATTGGTCGATAAATGATTGGAATTCTTGGGTGGTGACAAATTCAACGTGTTCGAGACCGTCTACTTGTGGCTTGGATGGCTTGGGTGATGGCAGTTCGACCAATGGGATTTGTCTTGTTTGTTGTTGACCGGCGGCATTGGTGTAGTTCCAAACGATTGGTTGTTGCAACTTGAACGTACAAATGGGACGACCATTGATGACGGCCTCTGACAATAGTTCATGTCCATCTTTGAGGAATGCTTCTTTCTTGGTATCATAGTTTTCTTGTGATGACACTCTATAGCAAATATGATCAGATTCGAGTTGATCAACTGGTAATCCACACTTGTACAAATGTTTGAATAATATTGGTAAGAATACATCATAATCTCCAATAAGTGTTTTAAGTGTTTCAGTGTATGTCATTGTTGTTAAATATATATATGTTGTTATATAAATATAGATTTATATGTGTGTATGAATGGTCGGTGTGTATGAAATACAATTGTTGGTGGAAACTAAAACAGCGTGTTTAAATAGTTGATCTGTTGTACAATACAAATGACGAGGTCAAGATATATCTATAAATATAAAATAAGAACAATAAGAATCAGAATAATAAGAACTCTAGCTAAGAATTAAGAAGGTTTAAGAAGATTTCAAACAAAAGAGATCTTTTTTTTTTTTAAGAACGAGCCCATTGTTTTATTCGGTAGACTCGTCTGTATATTTATACAGCTTGTGACGATGAATGAAATTTCACCAACCAGGCATGTTGTACAAAGAGTATATATTATATATATATGTATTAGAAGAAGAATAAGACTAATAATAATAATAATCTATTGTTTATTTTTTAAAAAAGAAAGATAGACATAGAAGGATGATGATGATTTGATCTTTTAATCATTTTAATGATTAAAATATGAAGTGTAGTGTTGTTCCATCAAAGGATGAGAGGATTCAGATTTACTAATGACAAAGACATGACAGGCATCATTTGGTATTTCATTCTTGTGACGTAGACTTGCCAAAGCTGGATCCATTTGGATTTGTGCCATACAGAGATTCATCGATTGCCATGATGAGAAGAGGTAAGCCTCTCCGTTGTTATGAAGATCAGTACCACCGTAGCTAAGGACCAACGAGTGAAGGATAGCTTTGAGAGTGGCTGGTGTCTGCTCGGCAGTGGCTCTACTGGCCATTCCTGGATCATTCCACTGAAAGTAGAGTACCGATCGATCATCAGAACCAATGATAAACAAGTGAGTCGTAATCTCTTCGGCATACTTGTGTATATTCGGACCTACTCTATTCTTTTTACAATCCTCTTCAAGTAAAGAATGAAACTTTCCTAAAACATCAACATAGATATCGATAGATATGGGTAAATATTATTAGAGATTTCTAACAGATAAATCTATTCACACAAATTTTTAGAGATATAGAGAGAGATACAAACTTTTTTTGGGAGCAATTAAAACCATGGTATTATTTGTATCAAATTATTTATATTGGAAATCAATATCGAATGTATATGATATGTATTAATGGATGGACGTATGTATGTATGTATGTTGTCATGACATATTTTAATTTTCCATGGTTGATAAACCCTTATCTAAAACCAACTATTATTTCTTTTCAAAAATGAATGATGATGACACATTACGATAATATTATATTATATTATATTGTACCTTCTTCCTCTTTCTTTTCATTCCCTTTCCTTTCATGATCCTCAAACAAACAACCTTGTAAAGTTTTTATTTATTAGAATAGGAATTCCTATCTCTCTCTCTCTCTCTCTCTCTATTCTATTCAAAAGTTGGAAATTCAAAAAAGCTTTGCTATTTGTTTATTAAACAATTAATCGTATGTAGATTTAATATTTTATAAATATTTAATATTAATATTAATAATACTATTATTATTATTTTATTATTGTTATTGTTATTTTATAGGATTTAATATTAAAAGAAAACTAAAAAGGTGAATGTTTCATTATTTAATGTTTATAATGAATTGTTTTGGTAAATTAAAACTATTTAAATAGACTATTTATAAATAGGATTACCAAAAATGACAGTTCAGTCTGAAGCAGAAGAAGACCAAGGTTTTGACAACCAATTAAACTCTAGAGAAGAGGAGGAAATGGATTTATTATTATTCGAGACAAAACAATGTATGGTTAGAGTTTAAAATTAACATTTCCCCCCTCCATGGATATTAATATTAATTAATCTATTTTTATTTTAGACAAGAAGAAATGGAATTATGAAAGACCAATTGTAAACGATGAGTATTACCAAATTCCATTTGTTCAACTTGACGATATTATTAAAAGAGCTACATATGGTGCTAGAACATTGGTACAAGGACCACATAAAAGTGGAAAGACTACTATATTGAATACTCTCAATCAATCAATCAATGATAAATATTTTACAATTGTGTATGTTGAAAAAAACAAAACAAACAAACATAATAATGATTAAATCATTTTGAAAAAAAGAAATTATTAATAATATTTATTAAATTACTTTTAGAATAACATTTGATAGTACTATTGATTTATGGAATCAAATATATTTATGTTTAAAAAAGAGGTGTCCTGAGATACCAGTGATTGAAAGAGACATTGAATTTATCGAATTATTTCATCAAAAGAATTTGGATAAATACTTTGATGGTAAACCAGTTGCTATTCTATTTGATGATTTTCAATTTATTCAAGGTGCAGATTTAGAAGGAGAGATATTGACTATATTGAAAAGATCGGTAGAGGAACACACATGTTTACATACAGTATTTGCATTTGGCACACCTAAATTGATTGGGACAGGTACTAATACCAAACCATTGGATGAAATGAAACAGAATCTATTCACCTTTTATGATAATATATTACATGTTATCAATATTGACCCATTAGCCTATTACCAGGTAGAACCACTCCTTTTAAAATGGGCCAAGGATAGAGGATTACAAATGGACAGTGATGTGTGTATGGAGATTTACAATAGTACTGGTGGTTATGCAAGTTTGATTGGAATGGTTGGTCAAGAGTTGGATAATTCACTACCAGTCATTAGAATTGACAATCAAGGATATATAGATGATCAGATCTGGTATGATATCCGATCAAATGTAGTCAATCGATTGTCCAAGACACCACTATTTATCAAATTATATCAAGATGTTTGTAATAGACAATCATTGGGTGATCTAGTCAATTACCTTTTATCTGCTGATCGATCAAATTGTCCTTGGGGTTTAAATTGTATGTAGTTAACTACAAACTATAATAATATTAAAACAAACTATATTTTAATACTGACTCTATGCCCATCCAATTAGATTATAAATACATAGATGAATCATTAATACTTTACAGCTATGGAGTGTTGTGGAGAGAGAGTTATTTGGGTGATAAGTTCTATTGGACATGTCCAATCATTCGAGAGATTGTATTTAAAAAATTAAAACATTTATTTAATACTATTAGATTTAGTCATAGATATTAGAATGATAATTAATAGATAGAAAGATGTATCTCTTCACCAAAACTGGTGGATGTAGAGATAAACATGGTGAATAAACTCTGCCCTATGACTTTTTTGGCTTTTCACTTTTTTTTTATTCTATTTTATTTCAATGACTAGTAGGTAAAACCTGCTACACTCGTAATATTACCACTTTTATTTTAGAAAATATTTTATGTTTTTATTATAGACTCTGATACCTTTAATTATTTATATTGTAATAAAAATCCAGTGATGAGCATTCAATAGGACCATAAATGTAAATATTAAATCATTCATTTAGTTTGTACAAGTAATCATGACTGACACATGTTTGAAGTTAGAACAAAGAATAGAAGATTCAAAAGTTATGAGAAACAAGATCAAGGATAAATGCCAATCCTTACAAGAGGAGATGATGGATATGGAATCAGAAAAATCATCTCTTCTTGTAGAGATGATGCTCATGGAGGACAGATTGAAAAAGGAGATGAAAGGGCAGAATATAAGAGTACAAAAAAGTATAAACCAAACCCACAACAGTATTAATAGTACAAATACTAAAGTTGATTAAAAGTTTCAGGTACAAGCAGATGAATTCAAAAACTTGGAAAGTGAAGTGGCACAGTACAAAAAGGAAACGAAAGAGCACAAAAAGGAAGTGGAAAAGTTGATCAAGAATTCAGTAATGATTGAAGCATCCAAAATTCTCTGGTTCTATTTAGAGTCAATTTTATATCCACTGACTAGTAAGTCCATCGGCTTCCAAGAATTTTCAGTCAATTATGTTACATATGGTCTGGACTTGGCAATGAAACACCACAAAGTCGATCTCAACGAGGTTCGATCTTTTTTACATTTACGAAACTCAATTGTCCACTCACATGACACCAACGTGGATGGGTTGTTAAAAATGATGGAAAGTTACAAACTTAAAAGTGAACACCATGAAATGGTATTAAAAGTTTGTAAAGAGGTGACAAAGTACGAAAATGCACAAGATTCCTCCTCCATCTCCATCTCCATCTCCACCTCCACCTCCACCTCCACCTCCACCTCCACCTCCACCTCCACCTCCACCTCCACCTCCACCTCCACCTCCACCTCCACCTCCACCTCCACCTCCACCTAGTTCTTTTCCTCATACATACTATTTATTATCCTTGTTGATTTTGTTAAATTATTATATTTGGATTTGATTTCCTCTAAAATCTAGAGCATCAAAATGTTTATTTTTTATAAAATAAGACTGTGTATTTGAAAAAACATCCTTTTGCCTTTATTACCAATTGATGGTAATATCCCGATCTAGATCAATTTAAAAAAATGTTGCAACATAATGACCAAGCTTCGTTGGACCACAAGCAATAAAATTTCAACATTTAAAACCATTATTGTTAAGATATCTAATGATTGCAATTCTACCTCTTTCTTTTAGTTGCTGGATATCATATTCGTTAATGTCAAATGGTTTACGATCCAAACAATTCTCGAAAAGGAATCGGGCAATGGTCAAGTAACCATCGAGAATAGCGTTTTCAAATGATTTTTGAAATGCAATGTTGATGGGGCTTGAACCAGCATTGCCTGGTGTTTTCCACCAGTTTACCAACAATTCTACGATTGGGAGGAACCCAAACTCTGATGCTCTTTCCAAAACACTAAAGAATTCCCATTCTTTACAACATTGGTTTTGTAATAGATAGTCGAGCACTTTGATATGTCCATTCAAACAAGCACCTTGAATTGCACCACTACTACACCCAATGAATCTTTTAGTCTCGTAAAGAAACTGGACAATATCCAAATACCCATCAAATGCAGCTTGATCCATATCATGATAGGTGAATTTTGCCTCTGATACATTATCATGAATGAATTTAACTATTTCCAATTTCCCACTGTTTACTGCTAATTTCATCTCTAAAAAGTTCCATTTATCAGTTACACTACGGTGTTTAAACAAAAGCGATAGGATGCCCAAGTGACCGTTCTTGGTTGCATATTTGACAGCACTTTCAGAGAATCCCTCACTTCTATTCTCTAGCAAGTACTTTACAATGTCAAAGAATCCATTTTCAGCGGCACTATCTATAGCTCTCTTTGTGCATCCCTCTTTTCTATGCTTATCCAAATAAACAACAATATCCAAATGGCCTTGAGCAGCTGCCTCATCCATTGCAGCACTACTACACCCTTCTTTTCTATTTCCATCTAAATACTTTAAATAATTAATTAATAGTACGGTTAGTAAGTATTATATTCTCTTGTATAATAAATAATCATTCATTACATACCTTGACAATATCAAAGTGACCACTACCAGATGAAGCAATCATTGCTTTTATAGTACACCCTTCAGTCCTGTATTTGTCAAGAAATGTGACTAGCTCCAAACTACCGTAACCTGCGGCATAGTCCATTGCAAGTGACGTACATCCGTCGGTTGGACGGTTGACATGCAGGAATTTGGCAAGTTGAATGTTTTGTGGACAGTATTGAGCTACTAGATCGATAGAGTTGGGACACTTTAACCCGGGTATACTCTGGTGAAGAAGAGTTGCCATCTCCAAGTTACCTGACTCTATCACTGACTTTAAAGTGTTTGGAGAGCAACCATGGTTGCTTTTGGTTTTGGTCGGTTGTAATAGATACCGAACAATATCGATTTTACCTGCCATTGCAGCACCTGTAATTGTATTCTTTGAGGGTATGATACGTTTGGCTAGGTATTGTAAAATGTTCATATGTCCTTTGGTCGCAGCACGATCGATTGCTTCACTACCTGGTTTGACGAGTACCGTCTCGACAAGATATTGGACGACGTCAAAATGTCCGTTGAATGATGCTGAAATGAGAGCCTTTTTGGTGCATCCTTCACTGCGACTCGAATGTAGGTATTGAACGACACTGAGATGGCCACCAGCCGACGCATCGTCCATCGCATCAGTAGTGCACCCTTCGGTACGGCTAGAATGTAGGTATTGAACGACACTGAGATGACCACCAGCCGACGCATAGTCCATAGCACTGACATTACACCCACTGTCAAGTTGGTGTTGGTCAAGATACTTGACAACGTCCAAGTGTCCATTTTTGCATGCTAATATGATTGCACCTGGATTGATAGTCTCTTGTTGATTGTAACGCTCGTGTATGAGTCGTAGTACATTGAGATGTCCCTTTTTAGCGGCACCCTCCATTGCCAGACAACTACCAGCTTGTCCTTCTCTATGCTCAAAGATGTATTGTAGTACCTCCAAATGCCCGTTATAACTTGCGCGATCGACTGCATCGCATGAAGCGACTAGATTATGGTACCGATTGTTCAAGTACTTGAGTATATCCAAATGTCCGCGCTCTGCAACTCGATCAAACAATGTCGAATCATCTGGTACAAAGTCAGGAGACCAATCCAACAGATGTATGAGTGTATCGAGTGTAGCATTTGGATGTCGACAATATGCATTGATGACATGTGATCTTTCAATAACATCAACACGATCAAACAGCGATCGAGTCAAGTAGTGTTTGAGGAATGACCATGGCAGCGCATACCGACTAACCATCCATAGTTCCGGTTGTACTCGAGACAGCAATACAATCAAGTTAGCACCGCTCGAGTATGATGGTACTTTCTTTTTCAATTTGTAAAATGCACCAGTACTTGATTTAGATTGTATTGCATGAAGATCAGCTTTGTGTGCCAAGCTGCTCAACACGGAACAATATGATAGTATGTTTGCTCGAATGACAACATTTTTGAAACACCTATGAAATGGTATTGATAATGTCTCTACCATTACTGATGTCAGTCTTGATATCTATCTATCTATCTATCTATCTATCTGTTCGCAGTTTACAGATAATAGTACCAGCAATAATCAAGAAAAAAAAAATTAGATTTTTTGTAGTGCAACCCAATGAAAATTAAACAAAAAAATAAATAATTATTTATCAACTACAAATAAAAGTTGTTTAACTACTATTACTACTATTACTACTACTGCTACTACTACTATTATATATTAATTCATTCAATTGTCTCTGGTATCTATACCAATGGAATGATTGATACACGATCACCATATTATAGAGCATATCTTTGATTAGGAACATACATTGGTCTGGCAACTTTATAGTATCATTGTTAAGCCATTGATGACAAAGGTTTATATCTCAGTACTCTTTCTATCATCTCCTGGACAGTTCGAACACATTGGAAAATCATTTCGGACTATCGAGGATATCCCATACTTTCAATACATAGTAAATGTTTTCTGGCGTTCTATGCGATGATAATGAACTTTGGATTCATTTAAACTAGAGAAAATTGTATTCTTTGGATATGGTATTTAATGCAGACTATGTCTTCAAATGTTTATACATATCTCGTCTATATTATCAAAAGTTTACTAACCCACCAACCCTCAACTACCCAAACCATTCTCTATATTCCAATATCTAGACACATGTCAAAAACATATTTCCTGGCTGATATCTTTTTGAGCTGGATATTCTTCTACTACCATCAATTATTATCAATCTACAGTGAATGGAAGTAGGAGATAATATCAAGCTGAAAATCAATCAATCAATGGATGCAATCCAATCCAAAAAAAAAAAAAACGAAATTAAAAGAACCTATGTTATGATAAACTAACTATTGGTCTACTAATAAATTATTTATTTATTTATTTATATTTATTTATATTTATTTATTTATTTATTTATCTAATCTTCACTATTTGCAAAATCACAGATTAACTTTTGAACTTCAAAATACAAAGAATTCTCTTGTTGTATGTATTTCTTGATTTGATTCTTTGTGATTAGTTTTTGGTCAAAGAGGTATTGGATGGTTTCACAAACTGGTACATCGTCTTGATGACAAATCAAGGCACTGGTAGTACAACGCTCGGTACGATTGTGGTGTAACCATTTCAATACCTCTAAATTGCCTCTAGATGTTGCTAGATTCATGGCTTCGGTAGAACAGCCCTCTGTACGATTCTCGTGCAACCATTTAACCATTTCCAAGTCACCCCTCCACGCAGCATTGTCCATTGCCAAGGCAGAGCAGCCCTCGGTACGATTCTCGTGCAAATACTTTGTGATTTCAAAATTGCCACTGTATCCAGCAGCTCTATCCAAAGCATTGATTGTCCAAACATCATTTGAAAGTGTACAGTGTTGATCAAAGTATTCAATAATATCCAATCTCCCGTGTTCACAGGCATAGTTGATTGCATTTTTAGAGACAGTTGCACCAAGACGACTACACAAATATTTAATCATCTCCAAATCACCATTTTGATTATATGTAATATTTTCAATTGCTGCACTTGAACATCCTTCACTTCTATTTTCTCCTAAATACTAAAAACCAAAAGGAAATAAATAAATAAATAGTCTATATTTCTTTTTTCTTCTTTTTTTTTTTTTTTTTTATATAATTAATTGTTTACCTTTACAACATTAAAATGATTGTTTGAAGCAGCCCAGTCAATAGCCTTTTGAGTGCAACCTTCAGTTCTATTATCATTTAAAAATGTGATAATATCTAATCGACCTTTGATCGCAGCTTGGACGATTGCATGCTCTGTACAACCTTCTGTGCGATTGTAATGAAGGAATTTAGTAATTTCCAAAGTGGCGGCGTGATCCATTGCTTTGGTACTGCAACCTTCACTACGATTTTCATGTAACCATTTAACTATTTCAAAGTGTCCTCCAAGTGCAGCATCATCCATGGCAGCGGTTGTGCAACCCTCTGTATGATTTTGATGTAGGTATTGTACAATATCCAAAAACCCTGCACCAGCAGCACGGTTCATTGCATCTGCATTGGTTGGATCTTGTCGATTGGCATCGATATACTTGATGACATCCAAATGTCCGTTTGTCGCAGCCGATGTAATCGATCTTTTACATTGTCCTTTAAAATGTAAATCTAAAAACTATAATTTCAAATTTGATTAGTTATTATTATTTTAAGTGTATTTGATCTATATATATATATATATATCTTTATAGTTACTTTGAGAATATCTAAATATCCACCAAAAGAAGCAGAATTGATTGCTTTATCGGAAATCTTTGCACCTTTTTGTTCAACGAGGTACTTTACGATTTCAAGATGACCATTCTTTGCGGCATTGTTCAGAGCATCGGCAGAGTAGGTGGCACCAGGTTGAGTAAATAGGAATTGAACCAATGAAAGGTGTCCTTGTTGAGCAGCCACATCAATAGTCTTGAGTAGTGGTATTTGGTCTGGAAAGAGGGTGAGGAGATGTTTAACGATATCTTCATGTCCACTTCTAATGATAGCAATGAAACATCCGGCGTAATGGTCGAGTTGAAGAGGATCATAATCAGGTGACCATTCCAACAACTGTTTAAATGTTTCATAGGTTGCATTACGATGTTCACAGTATCTATTGATCACTTGTACTCTTCTCTTTAACAATAGTTGATCACTACTTGGTGGCAAGTAGTGTTTGATAAAGTCCCATGGCAATGCAAATGTAGATATCATCTCTAGATGAAGCAACTTGATAATATCTCTACCTTTTCTAGATGTTCTGTATCCTTTACTAATGTGTATTTGTTTTGATATGTTTTCTACATTTCTAAATACTTGTTGTCTAAGATAAACATCTTTAAATATTGTTAAAAATGTTGGTGGTGCCATGATGATGATGATGATGAGATTATTACAAAAAATTATATGTGTGTACTAGTTTTAAAACCTCGCCTCAATAGTCAATCATCATTACATAGAGCAGACTCTGTGACTAGACGCAACAATTTAAATATCAAAGTAGAACTTTGTGACACGTCAAATCATCGTGATTTGGATCAAGGTCATTTTCGGGTTGTAATAATTTAATGCATACAGTATTCTTGTTTGTTTCTTAACATATAAACATATGTAATGTACAAGCATAAAACAACAACGATCGACAGTGATTGTGGATAAATACAGTCACTTGTATTTATCTATAGATAGATAGATAGATACCTTTTTATTCTTCCATCTTATTTCTGTAAACTATTTTAAAAGATAAATAAATAAAAGAAAGAAAAGATGTATGTATTTTTTTGGTCTCTTATGCTTATACTTTTCACACCACCACCAATTATTTATTTAATATTAAATAAATTATTTAATATTTGATGGTGGTCGATTCTCTCTCTTTATCATCACCCTCAGATTCATTCATCGATTTGATTGCAAATCTAGCAAGAGAAAGAGAAAGAGATGACAGGCAGTCTATGATTAGTAGCGATAGTTCGGTGGTGGTGAATGAATTTGAACAAAAGTACCAAGATGATTACATCAATAAACAAAGGGACCAAACATTATCATGGTTATATTATCTCTCTTTGGACCCAACAACTAGTTTAATGGTTCGTATATACATCCAATATCAATTGATAACAACAACGATATTAATATTTTAGTTTTAATATATTTAGATTAGAGATGAATCAATCTATTTACTTGACCAAGAATTGATTCACCAAATAGAAAGAAAACTAGCTAATAGGAGCCAAGTCATTGCTAATACCATATCACTGGTTGATCTATTCAATCTTGCTCTTGGGATAACCAATAATACCAAAGTAACTGATGCTCTCATCTCTATCATTCATTCAATCATTTCATTGGGTAATTATACATGCAAACATACATATATAACTAAAACATTATAACTTATCACTAACATCTTTTCATTTATTTATCTCTCTCTAACATCTTTTCATTTTTAATTTTTAATTTGAATATACTATTGATTTAGGTACCCGATTTGGTAATTTATATCCAGAGATGAAGAAAGCAACTACTGAAAGTGATTTAGATTCATTTCAAAGAGATACTGCATTAAGGATATTTGAAAGATGTTGGCAACCTTTTTTGGACATGTATGATAGGAAATTTCTACATCTATTGTCTGGTTATCTGACAGAGACAAGTTTGTCTGAATTCAAACAACGAATTGTTAATCTGATCGACCAAATTGTCAAATGCCAAAATGAACAATACTCGTCATCACCATTTAACTCCTTTTTCCAGATTATCTCAGAGATATGGGATCATAATTATAATCGTCTACATCCCGATCCAAAAGTGTTGGTAAATCGAATGGTATCGGATCTTGGATCAGTTGGTCCAATATTTGATAAAGAAAAAGAGGTTCCCAATTCACTCGATGTCATAAAGTTGATGCATCCAACCACACACCCATATCTATCCGAGAGAGTATTCCCAATCTTGTTGAATCTATTCTCAACGATTGGGTTTACATCCATGGCCCGATTGTACAACTATTTTAGTAGTATTGGTAAATGTGTTGGTTGGAGATACTTTAAAAAGTATTTCATTCAATTTATACATTATTTTAAGAGATTAAGTGTCCCATCGGTCCAAAGAGTAGAATTGGTTCCATTGATACTCGAGACCATCATGGATATGGGTGTTTCGAATACATCTATTTTCATACCAATCATCTTAAAGACAACCTGTCGAGACAATGATTTCAGTGTGATTGACAAGATACCATCAACCTTGTTCAAGCACATCGTTCCCTACTTGGACGGTCTACTCGATGGATTGTTGAAGAGGTTCACGATAACCGACCGACCAACACCTACAACACTGGCCAGCATATTAGAGGTAGTTGTTGCTAAACAAGGAGCTACACTACGCAACCAAGATATATTCCATCGATGCACAGTACAAGAGTTGAAGTTTTGCGAACGAGTTGGTTTGCAAGGTCGTGGCAAGTTTAAAATGATCAAAGATATGATCAAAGCTATCAAGGTGGTACCACTACCAATCGCACGGGAATTGATTGCCATCTGTGACCGAATCGATCAAAAGATGTATACAAAGTGGATTGACATGTATGAATTGCCACTCGACTCTTTTAACGAAAACTTTGGAGACCCAAGTTACTTTAATGAATATGGAATTGAACCGGTCAGAGATACAATGACTGAAAATCAACAAATCACTTTGGATATAATTGCATCGGTCGATTGTCAAAAAGAGCTGTCTGTGCAATTACAAGTACTACTGTCAAATGCACATTCCAAGTTGGAATATATTTTAAGAGCCGATATCACCACTGCCAGTGTCGTCAAAGTCACTCACTCACTCCCATTGGCAGTTGCTCAATGGTACATTTTATGTGATTACCACGGAGCCGCAAAAGGGGAAGGAGTAAGAGGAGAAACAGAAGCAACCAAAATGTATTATAAACAACTTATACCTGCCTATGCCAAATACTTTTTTGGGTTACTCTTAAAACCTCCAAAAGTAGATTCACCAGAGCTTGCCTATCCATTTTGGAAAATTGTAATATTAATATACAACGAATCGATTGAAAAGAATAACAACCAACAACAACAACAACAACATCTCAAAGAATTGTATCAATTAATCGACCACCATATCATGCGATCAAATAGATTATTCAATATCACAGAATCAATGACAAATAGATTTACCAAACTAATGACATCTTCTTTGGACACTATCATATCCATTCAAAGTAATCAACCTATCAATATGAATAGTGATAATAGATTCCAAAATATCCAAATTAATCCAAACTTTAAAGAAGATATTAAAATTCAATTTCCATTATTATTAAATGATACATAATAAATAAATAAGATCAATTATTATAATTTGTTTCTTTTTTTTTGGTTCGCTCATCATAATAAAAGTTTTCACACAATACCCAAATTAAATTGTTTGTGATGGTGGTCGATTCTCTCTCTATATTATCACCCTCGGATTCATTCATCGATTTGATTGCAAATCTAGCAAGAGAAAGAGAAAGAGATGACAGGCAGTCTACGAGTACTCGTAGCGATAGTAGTAGTTCAGTGGTGGTGTTGAATGAATTTGAACAAAAGTACCAAGATGATTATATCCACAAACAAAGGGACCAAACATTATCATGGTTATATCATCTCTCTTTGGACCCAACAACTAGTTTAATGGTTCGTTCGTATACATGCAATTAATAACAACAACAACATATTAATCCTCTATTTATATTTAGATTAGAAATGAATCAATCTATTTACTTGACCAAGAATTGATTCACCAAATAGAAAGAAAACTAGCTAATAGGAGCCAAGTCATTGCTAATACCATATCACTTGTTGATCTATTCAATCTTGCTCTTGGGATAACCAATAATACCAAAGTAACTGATGCTCTCATCTCTATCATTCATTCAATCATTTCATTGGGTAATTATACATGCAAACATACATATATAAGCATACATTTATTTATCTCTCTCTAACATCTTTTCATTTTAATTTTTAATTTTAATAATACTATTTAGATAAATTTGGTAAATTATATCCAGAAATGAAGAAAGCAACTGAAAGCGATGATCCATTTCAAAGAGATCTAACATTAAAGGTACTTGAAAAATGTTGGCAACCTTTTTTGGAGAATGTGAATTATAAGAAATTTCTCCGTCTATTGTATGTTTATCTGACAGAGACAAGCACACCTGCATTTAAACAACGAATCGTCAATCTAATCGACCATATTGCCAAAAGTCAAACTGAAGTATACTTGGTATCACCGTTTAAATTCTTTTTCCAGATTATCTTGGAGATGTGGGATCATAATCATGATCGACATCCCGATACAAAAGTGTTGGTCAATCGATTAGTATCGGATCTTGGATCAGTTGGTAAAATATTTGATGAAAAAATGGTCCCCAATTCACTCGATGTCATAAGGTTGATGCATCCAACCACTCATCCATATCTATCCGAGAGAGTATTCCCAATCTTGATGAATCTATTCTCAAAGGTTGAGTTTACATCTTTGGCCCCATCATACAGCTATTTTAGTAGTATTGGTAAATGTGTTGGTTGGAGATACTTTAAAAAGTATTTCATTCAATTTATACATTATTTTAAGAGATTAATTGTTCCATTGGTCCAAAGAGTAGAATTGGTTCCATTGATACTCGAGACCATCATGGATATGGATGTTTCGAATACATCTATTTTCATACCAATCATCTTGAAGACAACCTGTCGAGACAATGATTTCAGTGTGGTTGACAAGATACCACCAACCTTGTTCAAGCACATCGTCCCCTACTTGGACGGTCTACTCGATGGATTGTTGAAGAGGTTCACGATAACCGACCGACCAACACCGACAACACTGGCCAACATATTAGAGATAGTTGTTGCCAAACAAGGAGCTACACTACGCAACCAAGATATATTCCACCGATACACAGTACAAGAGTTGACGTTTTGCGAACGAGTTGGTGTGCAAGGTCGTGGCAGGTTTAAAATGATCAAAGATATGATCAAAGCTATCAAGGTGGTACCACTACCAATCGCACAGGAATTGATTGCCATCTGTGGCCGAATCGATCAAAAGATGTATACAAAGTGGATTGACATGTATGAATTGCCACTCGACTCTTTTAACGAAAATTTTGGGGAGCCAGGTTACTTTAACGAATATAGAATTGAACCGGTCAGAGATACAATGATCGAAAATCAACAAACAATGTACATAGTTGCATCGGTCGCTGCTGGCGATCGCCAAAAAGAGCTGTCTGTGCAATGGCAAGTACTACTGTCAAATGCACATTCAAAGTTGGAATATATTTTAAGAGCCGATATCACCACTGCCAGTGTCGTCAAAGTCGCTCATTCACTCCGATTGGCACTCGTTCAATGGTACATTTTATGTGATTACCACGGAGCCGCAAAAGGGGAAGGAGTAAGAGGAGAAACAGAAGCAACCAAAATGTATTATAAACAACTTATACCTGCCTATGCCAAATTCTTTTCTTGTTTGCTCATAAAGTCTCAAGCTGAATTGTCACCAGAGCTTGCCTGCCCATTTTGGAAAATTGTAATATTAATATACAACGAATCGATTGAAAAGAATAACAACCAACAACAACAACATCTCAAGGAATTGTATCAATTAATCGACCACCATATCATGCGATCAAATAGATTATTCAATATCACAGAATCAATGACAAATAGATTTACCAAACTAATGACATCTTCTTTGGACACTATCATATCCATTCAAAGTAATCGACCTATCAATATTAATAGCGATAATAGATTCCAAAATATCCAAATTAATCCAAACTTTAAAGAAGATATTAAAACTCAATTTCCATTATTATTAAATGATAATAAATAATAAATAAATATGTAATAATTTAAATCAGTCAATATATATATTGATTGACCTTGTTGGTCGCGTTGACTTTTGATCCAAGAAAAAAAGATGAATAAAAATAAAATGAAAAGTGAGAAAAACAACATTCTTGTTCTATCTTCTCTTTATAGTGTGTGTTTGAAATCGATTTGTTTAACTAGTTTGCTCATCAACAACAACAACGAAACAACAATCATACTAACAACAATAATATATATACATATACATATATAAATCATCAATATCTTTTAACATATAATAATAATAATGTCTACCACTACCACATCTACATCTACTACTTCTACCTCTACTTCTACTACTGCTGCACCCGCTGCAGCGGCGGCAGAGAATAAACTACCTGCACCAGAAGGTGGAGAGAAAAAGAATAACAACAACAACAATAGAAGAAACAATAATAATAATAGAAAGCCAGCAGGTGAAAAGAAAGAAGGAGCAGCAGCAGGAGGTGAAAAGAAAGAGGGAGGAGGAGGAAGAGGATCACCCAACAACAATGGAAATGGTGAAAAGAAGAATAATACTCCAAGAGAAAAGAAACCAAATACAAGACCACCAAAGAAAGCCTCTACCACTTCAACAACAACAACTACTAGTACATCATCAACTACAACAACAGCAGCTGAAGGAGGAGACTCTAAACCAAAAGAGGAAGGGTCTAGAAGAGGTCATGGACATGGTCACGGTGGACATCGTGCTCATGGTCATGATCATGGTCATGGTGGTCACGGTCACAGTCACAGTAACGGTCCACGTGGAGGTGCTAGAGAAAAGACCAACAAATCAGCAGCACCACCAGGATTCTCTGAAAAGATTCCAATGATTCAAGATACAGCATTAAATACCTATTTGGAGACATCTCGGTTTGAAGCAACCGGTGTAGATTGTATTCTATGTATTGAACCAGTTGTCTTTTTTGCTATTGGTGAATGTGATCACAATGAAGCTTGTTCTATTTGTGTTCTTAGACAACGTGAATTATATAAAGAATACAAGTGTTGTATGTGCAAGGTATGTAAAATCAATCCAACAACAAAACTACCAACTCTAATACAAATATTAATCAAAATCTATCAAATATCTACATAGACTGAAATGGAAAAGGTTATCTTTACACAAGATGCAAACAAGAAATTCAAAGATTATGACCTATCTAAACTAATCTTTAATAGACATTTAAATATCTATTTTACCAGTGAAGTGTACGAACAAGGTATCTCTTCACTTTGGCATTTCCAATGTCGTTCCTGTGACCATGAACCATTCAATACTATGAAACAATTAGAGTTCCATTTAAAGACTACTCACAAGAGAGTTTATTGGTATGATGAAGAATAATAAGAAAAAGATGAAGAACAAGAATAAGACTTTAAAACTAACCACCTCTATATCTTTTTCAATTAGTGAAATTTGTTTAAAGGATAGAAAAGCATTTTTACCAGAACAAGAAGTATATGATCCAAAATACATTCCACTTCATTTGATTGAATGGAATGGAGGAGCTGGAGAAGTGAGAAAGGGTAAAAAGGGACATCCAGTGTGCAAGTTTTGTACGCAATACTTTTACGGCGACGACCATCTCTATGACCATTTGCAAAACAACCATTTCACTTGTTTCATCTGTGAGAAGCAGGGTATCCAGTACCAATACTACAGAGACTATGCCAAGCTCAGAGTTCACTTTATCGACGAGCATTTCCCATGTAACCATCCAACCTGTATGGAAGAAAAGTTTATCGTCTTTGTCGATGAAGTTGCTCTCAAGCAACATGAAATATCGACACATCTCAATACCTCGGGTATGTCCAAACTCCAAATTAGACAAGCTACCCAGATTAGTATGAATTTCACTCGTGGTTCTGGTACTAGTAATAGTAATAGTAATCAATCACAATCATCATCCTCTTCATCATCATCAACTATTCCAACTACCTCTACTACTTCTACAACATCGACAACTTCGACAAGTTCTTCTTCATCTTCTACTTCTTCAATTCCAGCAGTTAATATGGATGAAGAATTCCCAGTTATGCCAGGATTACAATCAACTACTAGATATCCAGCTCGTGCACCTGCTCCAAAGGCATTTAATCCAGACTTTAAACAAGAAAAGCAAAAGCAATTGTCGCAAGAAGAGATTGATGAAAAGAATCGACAACTCGTCCAAAGAATCCAGGGTATCTTGGATGAAAAGAGTTATGGCATCTTTAAGCAAATGTCACAAGAGTTTAGACAAGGTACACTGGGTGCCAACGAATACTATACTAGCTTTATGAAGATCTTTGGCAAGGAAAAGGCATTTGCCATCTTTGACGATCTCGTCTCTCTCTTGCCAGACGAGGGCAAGCGTACCTCACTCTTGCAATTGCACTACTACATGAAGAACATGGAGCAACAATATCCATCACTTCCAACCGCCTCTAAAAAGAAACAAGACCAAAAGAAGGGTTCTGGCTGGAACAGCCATTCCAATGTAATGGAACAAGTTAAAAAGGGTCCAACTGGTACAGTTGTATCACGTCCCTATGTTTTAACAGCTCATCCAGCACCAAGTAATAATAACAATAATAATAATAATAATAATAATAATAATAATAACAAAAACTCTATGGCATCAAAGATTACAACTCATAAACCACAACAACAAACTCATTTCACATTGAGTGGTAATACATCGAGAAGAACTACTTCTGCTGCTCATCACGACGATGATTCTGATGATGATTATCCATCACTTCCAACTACCTATGTACCAGGTGTTGGTGCATTCTACAATACTGGTCCAACCTCTACAACCAACTTTTCAAAACTTGTTGTTGAGAATAATACTTCGTCCTCATCCTCTTCATCGTCCTCATCATCGACTCCAGCTCCATTACGTTCAAATGTTAAACCAACCAATGATGACTTCCCATCACTTCCAATGGCACCAAAGAAAAAGACTGCTGCCAAGACATCTTCTGCTTCTGTCCCCGCAGCTGTTGTCGAGCCACCCAAAGGATACGGAGTTGTCAAACAAGGCAAAAAAGAAAGAATTATCTTGGGATATAACAAGAATTAAAGAAATAATTAAATCAAATTAAAAAGAAAGAAATTAAAAGTTATCTATCTCTATCTAATTTAATTTAATTTATTAAAAATAAAGGTTTAATAGTTTCCCATTCAATTTCCCAAGTATTATTTGGTCTTGCGTCGATTAGATTTTGACGTAATCTATTGAGATGATGTGGATTGGGATAATCTGTGAGGGTTTTTGCAAACAATCCTTCCAATTCTTTATAATCTTTAAAGGTGAAACCATTGACATTGTCCTTTACCAATTCATGTATACACTTGAATTCAAGTGCCAATGCAGGTACACAACAACCAAACATATCAACCACCTTCATTGGTAAATCAATACCAGACGATGATTTGTGCAAAGATACACCCACATCGGCACATGCCAACAATTTGGGATAGTCTTCAGAGTCTAACCAAACCATGCATACGTTGGTATTGATGAGTTTGAGTTTCTTGAGCACTTCAATGTACATTTGTTGATCTGGTCCCTTTCCAGTGATGAAAAAGAGTAGTTTTGGTAATGTCACCTTTACACCTGGTAGTGGTGTTGTCTTTAGATCGTAGCTATGAAGTGCACTCAATAAAATACCAAAGTCTTCATCGGGTGTATAACTAGTTGATGATATACCAATAGCTGCCTTTCCTTCTCTTGCAAGTCTCAAAAACTTGCTAGTTTCCGATGATATACTTGATGCATATTTACTTTCAAAGTGTCCCAAAAATGATAATCTTTCTTCCTTTTCCAATGCTTTAAATATTGGTGCTGGTTTATCATGTAATACAAATTTTTGTCCTCTAAAACAAACATAACAAATATAATGTAAATAATTAAGTTCTCTTTGTTTGTCACTCTTTTCTTATTATTATTATTATTTACTCTAATTTCCAATCCTTTGATAATTCATCTTTCATTGTTTCAGTTACAAATAAATGAGCATATGCTTTTCTACCAAAATATCTTTCAATACTGCAGTAAATATAGTATTAGTTATATGTCTTCTTTATCATTTCTCTTTTGATACAAACAATTTAGCCAATTTAATGATAGGATGAGTAACAGGTTTTCTAGTTGAAAGTTGAAGGATTGTGTAACCGAGGTTATGCCAATCGATGATTAGTTTGGCACCACGCAGCCAACATACAATCTGAAGAACAAATGTAGTTGGGATGGCAGGTGGTGATTGTACGAGCACTGTATTGAGTGGCTTTGGTACGAGGAATAAGAGTACATATAAGAGTTGAAAGATTTGAAAGAGAACCTTGCACACTGCTAGGATAGGCCACAGCAACTTGCTGTTACGGATGGCTGGGAACGGTTTGAGTGGTCTGATGGTGATGTTTGATTGTTGACGCACTAGAGGGTGTGGAATAGACTCGTTGTAACCGATAAAAGATACACGGTTTCTAGTCTCATCAGCCTTTGCAATCGATAGTGCATGATATTGCATTCTAGGACTACGTCCTATATCTCCCAATACAACTACTGCTACTCCATTGATTGATGATTTACTATCTTTTCCTTTCTTTATATTCTTATTCTTATTATTATTCTTATTATTATTATCTTTCATTCTTCAATACTTCATCACTCACTAGCTACCAACTAAAAATGATAATAATAAATATGTGATTTGGTTTTAATATATTTTTAAATTAAAAACGGACCACCAACATCAAAAATGTGTTTGAAAATAACTTTCGTTCATTTTTTTATTTGTTTGTTTACAATTATCTTGTTATATTTGTTTACTTGTATTTATCTTGACTTTTATAAAATCTTTAAACTGTATCGATTGTGTGAATATCTAGATGGTTAGATATAGATAGTTTATTTCATTCAGGCTACAATAATCAAAAAGTAGAGTGGAAGGAATGATAATTACCAAAAAAGAAAATAACAAGGGTTTGATTCAAGTATTCATCGCGATGTTAATCGAAGGTTCAACGATTAAAAAATTATTCTTTGTTGTGTGATTGCCAAAGGAAAAAAACGTCGTTCGAAGGAATCACCTCAAAAGATCACAATCGGATCAGCTGTCTCAAAAAATATCTATGCACTCAAAAGGAAAGCCTGTTTTTTATGGGGAGGACCTCTGCAAAAATCCCTCTCTTCAAACCACGAATGGTGTATGGGGAAGTTTGTTTATTGTTGTTATTGACAGCAAAGAAAGAAAGAGAGAGAACATAGAGAGAGATAGAAAAAATAATAGATAGGAATAATAATAACAATTGAATAGAATAAAATAATAATAAATATAACAACAACTAGTTTCTCATCCCTCACCATCTATCTCAAGTTCCCCTTTCTCTCAACAAACTCCACACAATATCACAAAAATAGATTGAAGAGTAGAGAGATAATATAATATCAAAAAGTTAGATAATAATAATAATTTAAAAGTAGAGTGGGTGGTATTGGTATCGAGATCGATCGATCATCATTCAATCAACCGATATATATACCAATCAATCAAAGTGATACATATTATTTTATTTTTTTCGACGACGACGATTGTCTAATTGATATCAACAAACAAACAACATGGGATTGAAACAACCTCAACATCAAGAAGAAAAGAAAAAGTCAGAGTTGGATGTTGGTCTCTTTGATCAAGTTGGTAAGCTTGTCACTAGCAGTGGTGGTGGGTCTCCATCCTCTTCCAAAGAGAATGTAGTCATGTCTCCCTCAAAGACGACGAGCAGTTCATCTTCTAAAACATTCTCGTCGGCTACTGATTTCCTCGATGATCTAATTGACCATTCACGTCATTACTCATCTCTGGATTTGAGACAATCAAACATTCCAACAGCTGCTATCGATGATTACACAGCCCGTCAATCAAATATAAAAAAATCAATCAACAACAACAATAATAATAATAGTGGTAGTAGTAGTGGTGGTAATGCTCAAGATAAAGAGTTGGATTCACTTTTATCAGATATTGACTCTTTGGTAGTTGACCTAAGAGGCATTGAAGATGGAATTAGAAAATCAATGATGCTCGAGCATCCAATAGACCCACCCAAGTCTCCTCAATTGAGTATATCATCGTACCGACCAACCATTGTCAAACAAACTCCTCTGTCACCACAGTCCAACAACAACAACAACAAGTTAATGTCATTCTCTGATCCATTGGCAACTCAAAAAGCGGGACAAGATAATATCCAATTGGTTGATTCTACATCAATCTCTCCTGGAAAAAGATTGTTGGTTTCAAGAGATAGGTTGGTTATTAGCGAGGATCCTGAAATCGTTCCAATCAGTCAAGAAGAGGATCATCGTGACAGGTTGGACGAGTTGACAGAACTAGATCAACTGATTAAAAAGGACAAGGAGGAAGATGCTCAACAAGGAGAGAGACTATCTAGAAAACAAAAGTTGGAGAAGTCCAAGCTATTCCACATGGAACAATTTGAAGAACTGGAAAAATTACAACGTCAACGTCTATCGATGAGTGTTCAACATCAAGAACAAGAACTACAACAATCTCAACAACAAGAAGACAAGGAAATTGAAGAACTTAGACAGGAACTTCAAGATGTACAGAATATTACAAATAATAATAATAATAATGATAATAATGATAATCAAGCAGAGATTCAAGATACAAATAGTGACAACAACAATGATATAGAGGAGGAGGAAGAGCAAACAACGACAACACCAAGATCATTGGAACAAGATGAAGAGGAGGAAGATCTTACAACAAACAGTAGTGGTAATTCATCATCACATTCATCAACCACTACAACTCCATCGACATCACCATTAATAACTCCATCCCAAACACCGGATCATTGTCCAGGTTCACCAAGTCTGACATCAAGAGGTGGATTGAGTTCATCGGCATCTGGATGGAGAGTTGGTTCAGTGACAAGAATGTCAAATATTTCACCCAAAACATCACCTGTATCATCTGGACAAACTTCACCAACCGGGACACTCAAAAATAGTAGTGAACTAAAAGAAAAGGCTTGGAGAAAATCAAACGCATGGGGACTCCACTCTCACAATAGTACTGGCCAACATAATCATCATCAACAACCACAACATCCACGTTCATCAACCGATCCATCATCCTATTTCAATAGACAATCGGTTGTCAATATCAAACCAGTAGATCCAAATTCGGATATATCTGGTCAAAAACACAGATCCACATTTCCTGGAGTTGTGTCATTGCCATCAACCTCGCCACCACCAAACGTCGTCGGAGGTACATTTGCCACTGAAAAGATTGTCATTTCTAGTCCAATACTAACATCAAAGACCCCATCAAACAGTGGTCATCGTACTACTGTTGTATTTGGAGAGCGAGGTTTAGAATATTTAAATCATCAAGAATTAACAAGATCAAAATCAAATTATCAAAAACATCAAATTCATTTAGATAATCCTTTAAAAATTAAAAAGGTAAGAGAAATTAACAAAGAAAGAAAAGAGAAATACCCGTTTAGACTAATCTCTTTTCTTTTCTTTTTATTATAGTTGAGGGATTTATTAAAAAATTATAATTCAAAAATTATTGCATTAATTAACAAGATATCAAAGGAGAGGGATGATTGGGAGGATTTAAAATCATCATTCCTTTCAAAGTATGAAAGAAGGTGTAGATTCTTTAGAGAGGATTGTCAAATCGATGTATTAAAGTCATTCAGAGACTATTACTCGATTAAAATATTTATAATCGATCTTCAAATCTCAATATCTGACGATAGAATGAGTAATTTGAAACAAAAGTTGGTAGATATTAGTTATTTGGCTCGTTTAGTAGATGATGATGTTGCAAGAAAAGCTTCTGTCATTTATTCAACCTTTTTCGCAAAAACTCTAGATTTATTAAATAATGGAAATGTTTCTTTAAAATTAATTAAATTAAAGGTAAATATAAAAAAAGAAAGAGAAAAAAAGAAAAGATTATATATATTTATATTGATCCTTCTTTTTATTTTTAGAAATTGACAGAATATGAAAAAAAGGTTAGAAATAATTATAAAAATGCACATTTGAACTATACAAGTGAAAATGTTGAAAAGAGAGAACGAAAACTACGAGAGATATTTAGTAATGCCAAACAGAGTCTAGACTTTAAATCTTATTATCCATGGGATGATAATTTGACCATACAAAGCGACTATGATAAATGGTTGATGGATAGTCGTTTCATGGAGGGACGACAAGTCAATCAACTTATCAATGTCATTTCAGAGGACTGTGCCACCATTCGAAAGATTAAACCAATCGATATCGAAGACTTTATCGTCCAATTTTGTGACAATCTCATCAAATCCTATAACCTTCCACCAACCCATTCCATTTTTGAAGTTCCAACCACTCACCTCATCCACCAACTCACCAAACGTACCGTATACCCACGCATATACTCTCTTGTCAAGATTGTTCTCAGTAAATGTGGAACCATCATCAAATTTGATTCGGAATTTTCAAACAAAGTATCTCAACTTGGTAACAAATCAATTCAAGAACTTTCTTTAGTTCCAACTGTATGTATAAACAAAAAAAAAACAAATTAGATAGAAATATATAGATAGATAGAGAAGAGATTGTTTATTAATAATATAATGTGTTTTATTTTTTAGAATTTCCCTGAAGAATATAATTGGGAAAATAATAATCCATTTGAAGAGGCAGTTGCAATTATTAATGATTTAATGTTCCATGTTGTACCAACCGATATTGTTAGTACGATTCAACGATGCATTGCATCACTTCACAAGGTATCTATTGGAATCATGGAAAGTTGTAAAGTTCAACCAAAAGACAACGCCTTTTCAAGAGCCGTTCGTAATGGAACCTTTTTAAAGGTTGCTCCTTCATTCCTATCGGCCACCACTGGGAGTCAGTTCCGATCATCACCAGATATTGTCGACGAAGATGGCGCCAGTGTTGATACTTTAGCTAGTAGCTCAACCATGAGCGCCGACGACTTATTCCCACTCTTTATCTATGTCCTCATCAAATCCGATATTGTCGGTTACTCTTCTCTCATCATCTCTATCCTAGAAAACTTTTCATCAGAGTTGGAAACCACCGGTGAATATGGTTGGTGTGCAGTCTCTTTCCAAGCCGCCATTTCTCATTTAACAAATAATTATTAACTAATTCAACACCCTATCATACCATCGTCATCATCTTTTTTTAAAAAAACAATTGTTGTTATACTACCAACCCCAATATTATATTATTATCTTTTTTTAAATAAAAAAAAAAAAGTGATATACCATTTTATTTATTTAATTCATGGATGGTGTCAAGTAGGAGGAGTGTAGTGATTTGATTTGATTTGATTTAATTTGATTTATTTATTTTCTTGCATAAACTTTTTCAAAAATTCAAGTAATATTTCAACACCTTGGATATTCATTGCATTGTACAATGATACTCTTACACCACCAACTGATCTGTGTCCACGAATATCAGTGATGCCATTTTGTTGTGCCTCTTTGAATAATTTCTCTTCCAATGCCTCATCGCCTGTTTTAATTCTAAAACATGCATTCATTTTTGATCTAAAATCCTTTTCAATATTACATCTAATAAAAATAGAAATAGATTAATATAACTATACTATATAGTATAATTGTTATTTTGTTTTTGGTTTGTTTTTAGCATACACATAGAAACCATTTGAATTATCAAGAAATTCATAAAGTTTTTTTGATTTGATATCATTTCTTCTACCCATCTCTTCCAAACCACCATTTGTAATGATCCATTTTAATACCAACCCAGTAATATATAAATTAAAAGTTGGTGGAGTATTATCAACTGAATTTTGTTGACTCTTTTTCTAAAAGAATAAATAATAAATAATGAATGTCAATAACATATATTCGTTCATTCTATAAAGTCTTTCCAATTACAAACCAAAAAATTAAAAACATTTGGAACATGAGGTTTAGTACGATCAAGTAGATCCTTTCTAATGATGACAATGGTAATACCGGCAATACCAGCATTCTTTTGTGCACCAGCAAAAATAACACCATATTTGGAGACGTCGATTGGTTTGGAGAGAAAGTTGGACGAGACATCGCATACAATTGGTACACCCTCTGGAACATGATTGTACACTTGTTCGTGGAGTTCAACACCATGTACAGTTTCATTGTCACAGTAGTAGACGTATGCAGCATCCTTTGAGAATTTCCATTCACCAACACCCGGTACCTTTTTAAACTTGAGACTCTCTGAATCTACGACTGCATGTGGTTTACAATAATGTTTGGCTTCATTAAAGGCTGATTTCGACCACGATCCAGTGACAATGTAATCAGCAACCGAATTTGAATCCTTGCAAAGATTAATTGGAATACCTGCAAACAAACTTGTTGCACCTCCTTGTAAAAATAATACATCATAATTATCTGGTATTTTCCTTGATAGATCAAAAGTGATATGATAATTCATTCATTAATTAATACCCATTCTCTTATATAGATCATCATCCTCTTCTTCTTCTTCACATTTTTACAACAATCAATAATACCTACATGATTGATATTAAGTTTGCTTTAAGATCATCTAAAACCTTTGAGAATTCTTTACCTCTATGTGACATCTAGATGTTAATCGTCTAGTTAGTATCATATACCCACTTTGATAGTATTGCTATATGCTACATACTTCCATAATACTCTTTCCACTACCTTGATAATTCATTAGTTCTTTTTGAGCTACTAATAGTACTTCTTCAGGCAATACACCCGGACCAGCACCAAAGTTGAGTACTCTCCCATTTGATAGTCCATTATTATAATCTTTGTATTCACTTGTCATACTTGTTTTGTATGTATATATATATATAAATAAATATCTTCTCAAAGAAATGATTGCAGCATATACACAAGGTAAGGAAGGTGGATGAATTGATGAATCACTATCCCCTCTCAAAAACTAAATTAATGTAATTTGGGAAAGTGGTGAATCCGATCGGTGAACTTCCTATTCGTTTTGACACCCCTTTCGTTTTTTCGAGTGATATCCTTCATTCCCTATCTATTTTTAATCGAGTTAAAATAAACAAAGAATATATCGTCTATCATCTTCTCATTCTTTTATCTTATCTACTAACATGTATATTATCTCCTTTAAGGTAGCTCGCTACTATGCTCGTGTCACAACAAGAAGCCAAACAAAAGGCGAAGATCTGCAACGTTGCACAATTTATTTTTTTTGATTTTTTATTTTGTTTGATGCGTCAGCATCGTCACCTCTACCCAACACCCTACGATGAGCTCATGGTTTGTTATGTACTTTTTTTTAGTTAGTTAGTTTAGTTAATAATAACAATATATATATAACAACATGACCTCCAAGTCAAGATTATCATTACTTATGGTAATGTTGGTCTGTCTCATTACCATGTTGGCAATCCCAAAGGGTATGGCCAATGAAGGGTATGTATCAAATTTATCAACATATGATATCACTATCATATGTATCAAATTTATCAACATATGATATCACTATCATCTATCTAACCTTCTTAATATACAATATACAATACACTATTACTATATACATCATATAATTTAGTATTTCAGCAGAAGACCAATCAATTATCAAGAGTCAAGGTGAAACTCACGAATTCCAAGCTGAAGTCAACAAGTTGATGAACATCATTATCAACTCTTTGTATTCAAAGAAGGAGATTTTCCTTCGTGAATTGATTTCCAATTCTGCCGATGCTTTGGATAAGATTAGATTCCTTGCTCTCACCAACCCAGCTTTATTGGGTGAAGGTGAACAAGCCAATTTAGATATCAAGGTATGTGTATAGGATAACACAACAACAAACTAGCTCCATTTGACTTACTGTTCATCTTTTGTTTTAGATCCAAGTTGACAAGGAAAACCATTTCCTCCATATTACCGATAAGGGTATTGGTATGACCAAGGCTGATTTGATCAAGAACTTGGGTACTATTGCTCAATCTGGAACCAAGGAATTCATCCAAAAGCTCACTGAATCTGCCGATTCAAAGGGTTCATCAAACTTGATTGGTCAATTTGGTGTTGGTTTCTATTCACTCTTTTTGGTTGCCGACTATGTAGTCGTCACTTCAAAGAACAATGAAGATGATCAGTATGTATAATAATATTCAATAGAACATATATTCTATTTCATTTTAACTTATACATTCATTTTTTCTTTTTAAAGATATGTTTGGACTTCAACATCTGATAGTTCATTCTCTATTATGAAGGATCCAAAGGGTAACACTCTTGGTAGAGGTACTAGAATCTCACTTCATATCAAGGATGATTCACTTGAATTCTTGGAACAAAGCACTATTGAAGAATTGGTTAAAAAGTACTCCCAATTTATCAATTTCCCAATCTATTTGTACTCTTCAAAGGAAGTTGATGCTCCAGAAGAAGAACAAGTAGAAACTCCAATTGAAGAACAAGAGGATGATGAAGTAAAGGTTGGAGAAGAAGAAGAAGAAGAAGACGAACAAGAAGATGAACAAGAAGAAGAGAAACCAAAGGAAAAGAAAAAGATTACCGAATGGACATGGGAAAAGTTAAATAATAACAAGCCACTCTGGATGCGTTCACCAAAGGAAGTTGAAAAGGAAGAGTATACTGAATTCTACCAAGCCCTCAACAAGCGTACCGACTCGCCACTCGCCTACTCTCACTTTGTCGCCGAAGGAGATACCGAGTTCCGTGCCATGCTCTTTATTCCAAAGGACCCACCACAAAACATGTTTGACCCAGAGGCTGTCCTCAACGGTGTCAAGTTGTTTGTCCGTCGTGTCTTTATCACCGACAATATCCGTGAGCTCCTCCCCGCCTGGTTGCGTTTCCTCCAGGGTGTCATTGACTCGGACGACCTCCCATTGAACGTGTCGCGTGAGATTCTCCAACAACACAAGCTCATCGGCACCATCCGTAAGCGTGTCATCAAGAAGTTTATCCAAATGGTGCAAGAGATCTCGAACCGTGAAGACAAGGCTGAATACCACGACTTTTTCAAAAAGTACGGCACCGCCCTCAAGTTTGGCATCATCGAAGAGACTGGCGAGAACAAGAACCGTCTCATCAAGCTCCTCCAATTCGCCTCATCCAAGGACGACCACACCACCTTTGAAGACTATGTATCGCGTATGAAGGAGGGTCAAGACCAAATCTACTACCTCGGTGGCAAGGACAAGGAGCAACTCGCCCAGTCTCCACTCGCCGAACAAGCCCTCAAGCAAGGCTACGAGGTGCTCTACTTGGTCGACCCAGTCGACGAATACTTGTTCTCACAAATCAACAAGTACGGCGAGCTCCAACTCACCAATCTTGCCCGTGAAGGTGTCAAGTTCAACAAGGAGACCAACGCCGAAGAAGCCGACTCTGAAAAGGCCGTCACCGAAGAGTACAAGCCACTCACAGACTTCCTCCAAAAGCAACTCGGAAAGCGTGTCCAAAAGGTCGTCATCTCCAAGCTCCTCTCTGACTCGCCATGCATCCTCTTGTCCAACACCTGGGGTGTCACTGCCAACATGGAGCGTATCATGAAGGCCCAATCCAATGCCGGCCAACAACAAGAAATGGCTCCATTCATGAAGGCCAAGGTCATGGAAATCAACCCAACCCACAGTCTCATCCGTGCCCTCCTCGCCCGTGTCAACGAGTTTGGCAACACTGATGAAGCCGCCAAGGTCCAAGCCAACGTCCTCTACGAAACCGCCGCCATCTCCTCTGGCTACACCATTGAAAACCCAACTAGCTTCACCAACTGGATCTACAAGCTCATGGAGTTGTCCAGTGACAAATTATCCGAAACCAAGTACGAAACTCCAACAAAGGAGGACGATGTCGATTTCTCTGAACCAACTCTTCCAACTACCAATGAAGAAGAACCAGTTGATCCAATCTATGAAGAATTTGTTAATAATAATCAAGGTGGTCATGATGAACTCTAAACGAAAAGAAAGAGAGAGAAAAAGAAATAATAAAATAATAATAATAAATAATATTATATTGTGTAATAGTCAAAAAAAAACAAAACCGATCTTTTTATTCGTTACACTAACAATGACCACTCGGAATCATTATTACATATGTTCTCCATTGTCTTTCCACAAGGTTTACTGAATCGCAACTTACTAGTATCTAAACAAATTGGTGGCACCCTAACAATGACAATTTGGAATGATTATTACTGATGTTCTTGATTGGGTTTCCATTCTGGTTCATTGAATCGCAACTTTCTAGTATGGCAATGAACAATCGGCTCGTTCCTTATCTGGCAACAGTTCTCCCACTCACATAATACAAAGAGTGGTCATGCATCTTCCACTATGTGACATCAAGAAGGTAATCATTCAACATCTTTTCTTGACTGGCGAAAGATGCATGACCATTTCTATCGATATCTACAAACAAACAACAAACAAATAAATAAATAAATACAAATGGTAATGTATTAATTAATTTTTGTTATCCATTTCATTCGTCGTCAATTCGCAACAAAAACGAATCACTTTCATTTCATTTCTTTCTTGTAATTTATTATTGTGTACACAACCAACATAGATCAAGATTGAAAAAGATGTATGAAGTTGAAGAAGATACAACAGCAACAACAACAACAGAAACAACAACCAAGACTGCATCAAAAGATGGTGGTTCTAAACAACAACAACAAGAAAAGAAACCATCAGAGTTTATGAGAGTGCAAAGATTATTTAGACAACAAACAAAGAATGCAAGAGGAAAGGTATTACCAAAAGACAAGAGACCTCCTGTAGACTATTCAATTGTATTGGACTTTTCAAACTTGGACAAGAATACAGAAGAAAACAAGGCATTGGTGATAGATTATACAGATTTGGTTGACAAGAGTGATGCAGGTGCTTCAGAGTACTATGCTCATCCTTCAACGTGGCGTGTATATGGTATTAAAGATTACCCAGGCTTTTACTTTATTCCTTCTCCTTTTACATCCTCTCAACAAAAGAAATGGGTAAAAGATTCACTCGAACAATATGCCAATGTACCAAACAACACAAATATCAATCTATTCTATGGTCCCGTCAAAGATCTTTGGCAACACGGTCAACAAGAAATGATCACTGAACATCAACAACTTTCAAATCAATTGTTATCAGATGACGATGACAATCAAGAGACATCTACAACCTCAAGACCATTAGATAAAGATGGTAAAGAGTTACCACCATACAGAGAATTATTAGATAAATTGGCATGGGCTACACTTGGATATCAATTTCAATGGACTCCTCGTATTTATTCAAGAGATTTTTATGAAACCTTTCCTGATGGTAAGAAAGAAGAGTTGAAAGATATATATATATATATATATGTATTTTCTTTTCTATTTATTTACTCTCTTTTCTATTTTTAGATTTACAAGATTTAGTTCAAAAGATTGCAATGGCAACTAAATATGATCCATATATCGCAGAGGCAGGTACAGTTAACTTTTATTCAGAGGATTCAGTTATGGGTGGACATTTGGATGATGCAGAGGAAGAGATGGAGAAACCAATCATTTCACTTTCTTTTGGAGCTTCGGCTGTATTTCTTTTAGGTGCCGAAACAAGGGATATTGCACCAATCCCATTATTTATTCGCAGTGGTGATATTGTCATCATGGGTGGTCGTTCAAGATACTGTTATCACGGTGTCGCAAAGATTGTAGAAAATTCATTCAACGTTGATTTGGTAGATGAAGCCGATGAAACATTTAAATATCATATTCAATGGTTACGTGAAAAAAATAGACGTATTAATGTTAATACAAGACAAGTATTTAAAAAGAAAGAGGAAAATAACAATAGTACTTGTACAACTACCAGTAGTACACAATAATAATAAACAAAATTTGTAAATTAAATTAATTAAAAAATGGAAAATGATTTATTTATTTATTTTTGATTTAATCTAAATCATCATCATCATCTTCTCATTGACCTTGAGATTGTTTTCTGTTTTTAAAATAAGTATCGGAATCGATGATAGCCAAGACATGAGCCGAACCATCTGGATCAACACGAGACTCTATATTTAAATTATCGACGAAAAAGCCCCATCTTTCGTGAGTCTTTTTCTTTCTTCTATACACTGATCTAGGTTCATTGATGAGGATCTCTCGAATCACTGTTTTCACTCTTGTCACTTCATCTTGAAGTTTCTTTTCATTCATTGCTACTATATCTTGATTACTTGTGTTGATATTGTCACTGTTATTATCATTATTATTATTTATATTATTTAGTGTCTTTAATCCAATACGTTGAATAGATTGTTTTAAACCTTGTAATGAATCTTCTGTGAATATGACAGATTTAATGTCACTTGGTGAATCGATCCAATCTGGTGTGATGGCTTCTGGTACTGAATCGTATTTTGGAATATATGGTTTGATGTCAATGACTGGGGTTTGGTCGATAAGATCTACTCCGCTGAGATAGACCGTGTCATAGTCGATTCGTTCCAATTTACACATTGTCAATCCGATGGGGATGAGACGATGTGGTGATCTGCTTGCGTAAATGCCAACTTTCTTTCCATTGAGTCTTGGCGGTCTGATAACAACGTGTTGAGGAGGATTTCTAAACTCCTTGGTGAATACATATGGATTGGGTACTTTACGTTCTCTTGGTTCCCTCTCTCTTCTTTCTCTTCTTAATCTTTTTCTTCTTTCTTTTGCTGTTTCTTCAGTTGAGGAAGAAACAATATTATCCTCCTTTGTTTGTTGTGACTCTTCACCATCATCTTCTCCATCTTCATTCTCTTCATCTTCCTCTATATCATTTTCCTCTTGTTCTTGTTCTTGGTCTATTTGTTGTTCTTGTTGATTATTATTATTTAATAGTTGATCCTTTGCAATCTTGTTTTCTAGTTGTTTTTGTTTTTGTTTGTTTATTCTATCTTCATCGGGAGGAGTGATAACATCGGTATTCTTGTCAATACGATAGTTGTTGTGAAACCAAAACAATACCCATACGTGACTGTACTGATCCAATCCTTTGAGCATGTGATTGGCATGTCTACAATCAATCTTGAGTTTTCCTTGTGATGTAGGTGTTAATCTACCTTGTCTAGGTGTACCATTCTTGCGAGGAAAACATGATTCAAAGTAACCTATTGGATCGAATTGTATAGTTGGTCGTTCTAATTGATCTTGTTGATGGTCATTTGTATTTGATGATGTTGACGTCGACGAGTTTAATCTATTGTTGATGAAATTTCTCGAACTGTTGTTGACAGTCAACAAATGTGTAATACTATAACTATTGAGTTTACTAATAGTAGTACTAGTACTAGTAGTACAAGTAAACTTCCTTATCAGATGATTCATCGCAATGAAAAAACGGATCAAAAAAGCATCTTTAATTTCGAATGGCTCGCTCGTATAATATATCAAAAAAATTAAATAATTTTAATGAATACAAGATATCTTTAAAGAACGGGAAGATTACAAATATTATTTGTTTATGAACATGTTTCATCCCAACACCAAAAAGAGATAGGGTAGTTGTAAAAAGGTCATTTTAAAACCGCTCAATTGTAAATTGTCCAAACAACCCACAAGATAGAAAATGTAATTTGGAACTTGATCCTGGATTATATATAAGAGCATGCTAACTTTTATTTTATTCAATTCAAACAATTATTTAACAATAAATATGGAAGATAAAGTTGAAACAAAGAATATTGTTCATAAAGAAGATAAAAGTAAAGATCTTTTGCAAAAGAAAAAACAACTTGCAGCAATCCAACAATCGCCTGATGGATTCTTGGTTGACCACAATGTCTTGCAAAAGTTTTACCATTCTTACTCGGTAGCCAACAAGTTCAATTTGGACAATTCATTACTTTGTACCAGTAATTTTGATGTGGATAGAGCCCTTGCTATGAAAGATCCCATCGATCCAGCTGCTTTAATCGGAGTGCCCTTTAGTATCACCACCTCTCTCAAACTCCATTTAGATGGCGTATGGCTGGATGAAGTAGTTGAAACCAAACCAATTGCTGTCTTTTCTAAGTACATTGATATGATCGAGTCTACCGGTGGAAACTACAATCTTGCCAAGAAACAAGGATTCGAGAAAAAAGAAGCAAGTCCAACCACTATGGCAACCTATTTCCCTGGGTTAAAGGGGTATGTACAATGTATAATTAATAATTAATAATAATATATAGATTTTAATTCTTATTTTTGTTTATTTTAATAATAGGTGTGATGACAACCTTGATGTGACTACCAAGTTTTCATACACATCCTCGAGTTTGGCTCACCCAGCTACTACTACTCAACAAAGTGTTGCTCTAGGTGCTGGTACATATGTCTACTATCAACCTGCAGTGGTGTATGTCTGTCGTATGAAATGGATTGATACCCATCCAAACCCAGAGAGTTATCTCAAATTCCTTGAAGAATCTTTCAGAGATGTACCACAAAATGAAGGAATTCGCTACAAAATTGGTCCAAATAGACATATGTACGTCATATTTACAGTATTTAGAGATCAGTTGATTGTAAAACCCTACAGCGCAGAACTAGTATCCCCAGTACCATATGAAGAGTTATTGGACTATTGTTTTAACAGAGGTTTTACTAGATGGGCCAATATTAAATAAATAGATATAATCTTGGTTTTCCATTTTGATTAAATTGTATACAATTATTGTTATTAATATCTAAAGTTTATAAAAGATACAGAAAGGGGTAGGGATTACTTTCGTTTTTCCTTTTTTACTTGCTTCAAACAATGCCGAGACACAAAAGCCTATAAAACCAAAAGTAATTAGACATCCCCAAGGTGTTTCCGGTTTTCCTTTGCCTTTAGCTGCTGACAATCGACAGTATAACCAAGAATCTGTAGTATCTTTTGAAACTTTTCGTGTTGACTTGGCACAACTCTCAATCTCCCATCTATAATAAAGGAGACAAGATATTCACCTAAAGGGAAACAAGTTAAAAATAAGCATATGTTAATATACACTAGGCAGTGTCTATAAAATTCGAATATTTGTTTGATTGAATATATTATCTATCTCTTCTGGGTTCTATATATTTTACCATTTTTAGTATCCAGACCACTAATAATTGATCATTTGTTTAAATAGGATTTGATCAATCTCTTCATATTGTAAGTAGATGCTGTAACTTGATATCCATATTCTTTTGGGTCTCCGAGAGATGATAATGGTCTATCCATCCCTCAAAATTCGATATCGACAACAAAGCTTCCATTGTGATATAGTCTAACTCCATAAACTGCACTGCATTCTATGCTAAATAAAGAATAAAAATCTTTTTCTAACGATAGGTCGCATTGAAAATCGATTGCAATCAGATTCTGTGATCATCCCATTCTTCTTTTCATAAACATCTAATAGATTTCTGAATTGGGAATTTGAAAAAAGGTAACAATATAGAAACGATAATATTAATAACCAAATCAACCAAGTAGGTATTACTGACAGGATATTCCAACCCATTCTAAATAGATAAAAAACATTAAATAGTTAATTGATTAAATGATCACCTAAATATTCTCAATACAAATAATAATATTGGCTTGGAATTTCAAGACAAAGATGAGGAATATTATAAAAAACCCCCTTTGAGAGAAGATTGAAACCAACTAATTTAATTTCTGGACTAGTAAATTTAGAATCTATGGGTCTCTGGTCCAGGGGACTGAGTATAAAACAAGTTCTTGTTGGTATAAATAAATAAATAAATAAATAAATAAATAAATAAATAAGGACATAGGGCGAAATTAAAAATCCAATTTACACGCATGATAATGGAAAAGATCAAAACAATGAGAACTGATGGAACGGCAAGGTTATAGCCAGCCGATGTACCTTCTTCATCATCAGTTGTCAAACCAGATGTAGAAGTAGAGGATTCATTTTCTGTGGAATCACCTGATGATGTTGGAGGTAGTTTCATTTCCAGTTGATGATGTTGTTTGTGATGAGGTCTGGCTTGTAGTTTGTGAGGTAGTAGAACTTGAAGAAGTGGCAGAGTTGGTAGATGAAGCCATAGTTATTATTCGATAAAGATATATCTGAATTAACAGTAAATTCATTTATTATAAGAATCTTCTTGATTACTTTTTTTTTTTTATTTAACATATACAAAGCGAGAGAGGGATTACCTTTTTCCAAAAATAGCAGTCAACCCTATAAAACAAAGAGCAATTATTTTTACCCAAGATATATCTGAACAATTGTTGTCCCCCTTAACCTTGATCTCCTTACAATCAACTGTATAACCAAGAATCTGTAGTATCTGTTCAAACTTTTGGTGTTGACTTGGGGCAACTCCCAATCTTCCATCTATTACAAAGGAAACAAGATGTTCACCTAAACAAACAAACAAAAAAAAGGATTATTAGAAGCAGTTTGAAAATGGTACATGTCAATTGCAGAAGAATATTTGATTTAATATGTTTGATATTTTGTGTAGATAGCTTACTATCACTATTATCCAGATGATAAATAATTGTGGGTTTGTTTAAATAGGCTTTGATTAGTCTATTCATATTTTTGACAGATGCTGAACGTAGTAATTGATTTCCATAGGTCTTTGGTGATCTGAAATAGGGATGATAGTATAATCTCTTTCCAATGCCTTCAAGAGTGATCGATATTTTATCCCAACGTTGAAGAGGAGATGGTATTGGTTCCTCCCTTCCTTCGAATTCTATATCGACAACAAAGAAACCATCGTAATAAAGTCTAACTCCGTATACTTGAATGTATTGATACATAGAACCTATTTTAGTTCTAATGATAGGTTCCATTGAGAATCTATTGCAATCATTTTCTCTTATCGTCCCTTTCCGCTTTTCATATACATCTAGTAGGTCTTTGAATTGATGATTAGAAAAAAGGTCCAACCTTTTAAGATATATAAATATTGATATCCATATCAACCAAGGTGGTATGAATGATAAGATAAATGAAATCATTATATATATCTGTATATGTATTTTGTATATGTATGTATGTATGTATTATTTGTTGTAGAATAATTTTTGAAAAATGATTAAGAATTCTTTTTGGGGTAATACTTTAAATTACCCCCTAAATTGATTGACCTGGATTTTCAAGATATTATTCGATTCGATTCGATTTGTTTTTGTTGCAAAAGACCAAGTAAATTTGTTTGAATAAACAATTTATTGATTATTTTCTTGTATTTTAGTTGGTTGTCAATTATTAGATTGGTTGAAGTGGGAATATTATATAAATATTTAATTGAATAGTGTTAGTGACCGAGGTAGTCTTCTAGAGCCCTTGGAATATTGAGTTGACCGAAATGAGGAAAGAATATTTTACAAAGTAATAGAATATATCTATATGTCTATTATTGTGACAGTAGATACTGGTGATGATCTATGCAGTTGATTTAATAGATTTCTTTTTTTCCTCTTCTTCCTCCTTTTTACCTCCAACAGCACCAGTAATCGTCTGGTAAGCTACAAAGGTTGCAGCAATAGCACCAAGTACTCCCAAAATGAGTCCCTTATTATCTGCTATGGTGTGACCAAGAATCTTTAGAATCAATTTAAACTTTTCATCTGCTTGATTACTCTCCCATCTACCATCTACAATAAAAGAGGCAAGATGTTCACCTAAACAAATAAAAGGATTAATTAATTAATTAATATTTACAATTGTGATAATAATAGAAAATGATAGGGGAGGGGTAGACTTACAATTTCTACAAAGTAAATGATAAATGATTTGTTCCCTTTCCTTGTAGGTTTTAATCAATCTATTCATACTGTCTGCAGATGATACACGATTACCTCTGACCTGAATCTCTTCAACGGGGGATGGCTTTGAAAATTCATAGTTTGCACCAACCATCAAGACGGTAGCACCTACCTTGCTTTGCAAACTCATGTCATCCGACATTCCATTAAAGTGTATGATGGTAAAGAAATTGTCTTCGTAAAAGAGTCTAACTCCGTGATGTGTATAGAAACCTCCATAGGGTAAGTTTCTTTTGATATAGATATGTTCCATTTCGAATCCACGACAATCGGATTCGGTCAAACAACCATCCCTCTCTAAATAAAGGTCAAATAGATCGGTGAATTGACTTGATCTCATGATGATGATTCTAACTTTTCTTGTTATAAAATATATATACAAATAAAACTATACAAATAAATAAATAAAACTATTGCTACGAGTGAGAGTTGGATTTGATGAGATGCAAAAAAAATAAAATCAAAAATTAATTTTTGACTTCAACTTGAAAAAATGGTAATAATTAAACAATAATAATAAAATTACTTGGTTTCACAAGACACTGAGATAAAATTTAAAAATAGAATAAAAGTGTTTCAAACATGTGATATATTTTAGCTATAGTATCTTGTTCCTGGTTTTGAAATTATTAAATTTATTTTTAATATTAATTTTTGTCTTTATTAAAATAGTGGTGACAACTTGTCATTCACTTTTTTACACATTTTACATTTATTTGTTAATATTTATTTATTATATCAATGTTGTACGATTACTTATAAACAAAGAGAGGAGAAGAGATATAGATATAGATATTAGATATATATGTAGATGATCGATACACGATGGCCAACTATCTCGTATTTGGTGTATCAGTCTTTTTGATGTTTGCTTTCACGAGGTAGGCATGTAGTGAGAGAGTTGGTTTGGTGACTGTTAGATCTATGTGTTCACTTACATTATTATTGATTCATTTTAATATATTAGCCAATATCTACTAGTATTTGAACCATTAGGTTTCATAGGGAATAGAGCCGGACAGATATATATCGGATTGTATATAGTTTTATATTATTTATTATGTTATAGTTATTATAGATCGGTGGTGACTCATCCAGGATTCGCACCACTCGAATACGTGCCCGAGGGCAAGAGTAGAAAAGAGTTGGATGAAATCATAGAGATATACAGAGGACGACATAGCAACAACAGCAGCGAAGCGGCTGCAAACAAACCACCTTCTATACGTTACTGTACAACTTGTAATATATTCAAACCACCTAGAACACATCATTGTCGAAAGTGTAAGCGATGTATTGTTAAACAAGATCACCATTGTCCTTGGATTGCCAACTGCGTAGGATTCAAGAATCAAAAGCCATTTCTCTTGTTTCTCTTTTACGTCTTGTTGGTAGGCACCATCTCCATCTTTTTACTCGTCGTCAGTGGCTTTATCATCCTAAATCACTCTCTAACCAATGTAAGTGAATGGGCAACAGATCTAAGCAACCAATATAATAAAACTCAACAACATCAACAACGAGGAAGTGTAGGTGTCAACGAAATGAATGAATCAATCAATCAACAAACAAACTAACCACCTATAATATATTTATTCAATTTAGAGCGATAATGAAATAGTTGGTAAAGAGACACAAGAACCTCTTCATTTCTCTGTTGATGGTCTAGTTGTAACAGTACTGTTTATCGTTAATTTATCGATACTCATACCCGTGTTGTTGGGAGTATCTGGATTATTTTATTTCCAGTTTAGTTATGTTTTGGATAATATCACATCGGTAGAACGATTCGAAAGAAAGACAGAGATCAAAGCTGCAAAGCGTGCAGGACTACGAGATCAATACAGATGGCGATATGATCGTGGAACAACATTGAATTTTAAAGAAGTATTTGGCGATCGTTTCAAAGATTGGATTTGGCCAATCGGTATACCAAAAGGCGATGGAATTAATTGGAAAATGAATCCACCAGATACTCTTTTCAAAAATAATCATAATAGTAATAATACTAATAATAATATAGGCGAAGAAGATTCTCTAATTGGTAAGATAGATAGATAGAAATCAAAAAAGATTATTTAAATTATTTACTAATCTTTTTATTTTTAATTTTAGTTGGAGAAGATAATAACGTGTAATGCGGCGACACAACTCTAGGATTGATTCAATGAATTTAATCAATTTAATTTAATTTAATTTAAATGGTCTCAAAAATAATAATAAAGGATCGAATTTTTATTCTCTCTTTTTGTATGTGATCTACCTTTTTGAAAAAAAAAAACAAATTATTATTATTATTTGTGTTACAATAATAGTAATAGTAATTCAAAACCTAACCCACACCCTTAAATTTATCAATGAGAGAGACGGATACGATGTTCATTTCACCACACTTTCAACCTATTATGTCATTATTTTATAACGTAAATAGATAGATCGATAAAAGTAGAAAGAAATATAGTATTGTCATTACAATACTCTGCCTGTAATGTCACAATCGCATAATAGATTTCATGTCTTTAGATTCTTGTTTAATATAGTATTCTTGTTTAGTTGTTTGTTGCTATTTGACATTATTTCAACTACTGTCATGGGTAGAGAAGTAGAGATATACTATGACGATGAACCTCCAGTCACAATACCACCTGAAAAAGTTAAAGGAAATCATGGTAAAGATAAAGACAGATAATTATCAATCTATATTACTACTAACCATTTGCGATCTTTCCTATTCAGATTTTAATTTAAAGATTGAAATGATAGCTGGCACTCTAGCAGGTGTTACATCATGTTTAGTATTTTACCCATTGGAATGTATAGAAGCAAAGATGCAAGTTGCTGGAAAGAAAAAAGATGGTGGATTATTAAAAGTTGGATCCAACGCAGGTGGCGGTGGAATGATCCAACAATTTAAACATATATTAAGAGTAGAAGGAGTAAAAGGATTATATCAAGGTGTAACACCTACTGCAATTGGTAATGCTGTCAATTGGGGTGTATACTTTACGATTTATAGGTATACCAATCATTGGTTCTCTCAACAATTCCCAGACCGTCATGCTACTCTAGGACATTCAATATCAGCCATTCATGCAGGCATTATAACGACGGCAGTGGTCAACCCATTTTGGGTATTAAAAATAAGACTGGCTACATCTGACAAATACAAGGGTATGGTAGATGCATTCCAATCGATTTTAAAAAATGAAGGTGTTGGTGGATTTTGGAAAGGTGTTGGACCATCTTTTATTGGAGTATCAGAAGGTTTGGTTCAATTTGTAACTTATGAAAAATTATTAGAGGCTGCAAGACATAATAATGGAGGTAATCCTCTCTCTATTTCAGCCTATCTAGTATCTGGTGGTTTAGCAAGATTAACTGCTGGTTTAATTACCTATCCCTATCTCTTACTTAGATCAAAACTTCAAGTTGATAATTGTCAATATAAATCTATTGGTGATGCTTGTAAAATGGTAAATATAAAAAGTTTGTATTCTTCTTTTGTTTTCTAACTCTTTCTTTTTTTTGTTTTAGATTTATAGAGATGAAGGAATACATGGATTTTATAAAGGAATTGGACCAAATTTAATTAGATCAGTACCTCCAGCTGCAATGATGTTATACATTGTAGAATTCTTTAGATCGTCATTATTAAATTTAACCAATCAACATTAACTAATAGTAGTAGGTAGTACTACTATTATTATTATTATTTTCATAGATAGATATTAGATAATCGGTTTTATTTTATTTGAATCTATATTGTATTTTGAAATATTTGTTGGTTTTGTTGTAAAAAGTCTCTTCTTAGAGTTCCAACTTTTTTAGGATTAGCAGGTTTAAATGTTTTGTTGTTGTTGATATTCTTTTGCATTTGACGATGGAATGATGGATAGTTGTGGAGACCAGCACGTCCCTTGTCGGGTTTGTTTTGCTCCCAAGATCGTTGTAGGTGGAGGTCATTGAGATTGATACGCACCGATTGTCTAGTGGGATCGAATCGTTGATGGAAGAGCACCGACGATTGAGGTGGCGAATCAATTGGTGGTGATGACGATCTGCTAGGTGATGTTGATAGACTATGTACAGAGTTTCGAATGCCAATCATTTGCATTTGGATTTGTGTCTTTCTCTTTAAAATATCAGTGTGTCTACAATCCTCACAAAATACGCATTCTCCTTTACTAAAATATCTTCCACCCTCTAATATAATACTACAATTTGTACATTTAAAACAATGTGAATGTAATTGTTTGGTTCCAACTTTTAAAAATGTACCAACAATCAATAATTGACATTCATCACATTTTGTTCCAAACATTTCTTCATAATGTTCTTTACAATAAATAAATCCATTATTGTCTCCAAATGGACCATCAATCTGGCATTTGCAAACAACGCACACCAAACAATGTACATGCCATTTTTCTCCCAATGCTTCCATCATTTCATCTTTAATTTGTAATTTACAAGAACAACAAAAATATTCTTGTTGTGACGCCTAAAGAAATAAATAAATAAATTATTAGTTTCCAAACAATCTTGATTTTGATTTGATATCTATTTAATATTTATATTGTACATACTCTATCCTTTTTATCACATTCACAACAAATTGGTTTTTCATCTTTGATAAAGTAAATTGAAGTATCGATAAGGTTATCGCAAAGTGAACATGAGAAACAATGTTTGTGCCATACACCAATATCTAAAATAATGGGACGTAATCCAACACTTTGTAAACATTTTTGGCACTTGATGATTGAACTTCTACGTTCTTCCATTGAACTGGTATGTACTTTGGTAATTACAAAATCTTTGGTTTCATCATCATCTTCATCATCATCATCTTCATCCTCATCATTATCAGAGGATGGGGAAATGTCTGGTGATACTGGTGACAATGTTTCTGCTGCTGCCACCACCACTACCTCTGATGGCTTTTCTTCTTGTTCTTCTTCTTCTTTTTGTTTAATTGGTTCTTTTTCTTCTTCTTCTTTTAGAGAAATCTTTTTAGTAGCTTGATGAATATGCCTATTCTTTTCAAGACACTTTGTGCATTCTAATCTCTTGTCTGGTTTGATAATAAATTTGTTACCAGAGAGGAATGCATCACAAAGATGACAAAGGAAGCATGATTGATGGAATAAAACCTCTCCAACCTCTTCAAAATCAGATGTTTTAATAACTTGATTACAAGCTGCGCACATATTAAAGAATCCTCCTTTATCTCCACTACTACATTCAATACATAACATTTCTCCACCTTGTTGGAATAAACAATCTAAATAGAGTAAAATAAGAATGGTTAATAAATAAATAAATATTTGTGATTTCCTTTTTCTTTTTTTTTTTTTGATACAATACGAGATTCTTTATCCAATGATTTACTACAATTATTACATTTCAAGCATTTCCAATGGTAGTTGAATTTACCGTCGTTGATAGAGGCATCTTCTGCCGAAATTAATAGATGACATTTTGGACAAGTCAATAGTTGTTGGCTTGCTGATACTTTTCTTTCCTGTTGTTGTTGTTGTTGTTGTTGTTGTTGTTGTTGTTGTTGTTGTTGATTATTACTGGATCTTAGAGTTCCTCTTTTAGGTGAATCGGGTTGAGTTTCTGAAGATGATCCTGTATGATTCTTATTGAATAAATCTGATTTGGGTGCGCCAGAATATAATTTAGCCAAACCAGTTGAAAATGTAGTTGTTGCTACAGGTGTTGAATTTGGTTCATAATGATTATTATTATTATGATGATGATGATTAGTATTATTATTATTATTATTATTATTTTCTTTTGTTTGATTATTATTATTGCTATTTGATGAAGTTAATGAATTGGTTGAAATATTATCATCTGAAATAAATTCATCCTCATCGACTAGGTCATCTAAATCCTCACAAAATACCAATTCAATGGTAAAGTTTTGATGGAAATGTTTGTGTGTGGCATCCTTGTGAGCCTTGTCAATCTCGAGTCTGCGAATCAGCATGCTGCTGCCATCGACAAATGCCGTATGGAAACAAAATGAAAACATGTGTCCTTTGGAATTACGATTATAAAATTGTATCTTTACATCACTCGTCAATATAATATTTCCGCAATCAATTTCTACTATTTGTGTTCCTTTTTTAAGTTTCTATAAAGAAATAAATATAAATATAAATATTATAATTATCATTATTATTATTATTCTATTATTATTTGTTTTTCTTTACATACCATTGGTTTAGTATAAAATACACTTTTATCTTTTTGACCAATACTAATGAATGGTTCACATCCACCGGAAATGTTAAAGTTTGGAAGTGGATTTAAACGGATAGATGATAATATTTTTGTGATGTTGTTGGGTGCTTGTTGGACGGGTCGTCCGTACTGCAACAATGCTTCAAAGTATCTAACGTAGCGAGCTTGTGATGGGATGGTGATACCCTTACCATTATGTGTTCTCTTGTTACCAAACATTCTGATTGCCTCTGATCCAGTCTGACATGTTCTACTGTACAACAGCCAACATGCAATCATTGTACCCCTATAAATCAACAATGAATTTATAGTAAGTATCTCTTTGACCCAAAAAGAAAGAAACAACATTGTTCCATCATCCATAGATCTACTTACGTGCGTCCCTTTCCAGCTTTGCAATGTATAGCAACAACATTCTCTGGATCTCTTTCTAACCAATCTTCCTATAAATCATCAAATGCAAATAATTAATTTAAGTATCTCTTTTACCAAACTCATTCATCCATCTATAGATACATACAACATCCATACAGAATTTAGAAATGACATCCAATGGTGGTGGATTATGATCATCGAAGGGATACTCGCTAACATTATTTTCAAATTTGTCGTGTGTATAGGTTCTTTCGCTACATCTATTTTTGTTTCAATTGTGGATAATGAATTATATTAATAACATTGTTGTTAACAATCTCTCTCTCTCTCTCTCTCTATATCGGAGTTTGGTACATACAAATTAATAACTTTATAATGACTAGGATGAAGAGTATTAAAGAATCTTTGGACATCTTTCATATTGTTTCGGTATAAACCCTCTATGGACTCTGACGGGAACCCCATAGCAATGATTCTATCGGTGATATAAGTTAGATCCAAATCAAAGTTTCCCCATTCGAATCTCCTCTTCTTCTTTGACACCATCTTTCTAACGAAATCCATCTTTGTTATATATCTTAAATGACTCTACTAATATGTACTCTTTATCTTCTCCTCCCTCTATATATCTATATCTAAAACTATATCTATGTTTGTGTGCTTGTCTTCTCCTTATCGTTCACCCAACTGATGTTTGTTGATGAGGTGATCACCCTTTTCAAGAAGCTGAGCAAAGAAGATTTCATTTTTTATAGGGAAACTAACTAAAAAATCAAAACAAAAAAAATCTTCTTTTTTTTTAACTCCGAGTTGTGCAGTGATAAGATGGATCTAGGTTTTAATGACTTTTTCGGGTGTATTATTTATTTATTTGATAATTTATTGTTATTTTAGAGAACGATGATAATTGTTCCAAATTTTGAAAATCATTGCAAGAAGAATTCTTTAAACATTAACCATATGAAGCCATTCGGAAATGCCATAACTTGTATTCTCTTTTCATTTGCTGTGGTTCTTTTCTGTCTAAATTGATAGATACTGTCGAAAGATCAACTTGCCGTGGCTGATTGCTCGATAAATGAACCGCCCTCTATTCCTCCGTGATACTCAACCACCTCTTTGATATCAGAGATTGATGGTAAATGTTTTAGCTTGTCGTCCGAACAGTGCACTGTTTCAAATTGTTGCCAAAAGTCGGTTGGGGATAATGAACCAAATAGAGTCACCTTTTGTACATGTGTAGAAACAGATATTTGAAATACCTTTAATTTGGTCAGCACATCGACAAGCTCGGGAAGAAGGGCGTCTCGAATAAGTAGACTTTGAAGTATTATTGGTTTTTTATCCTTGATTGTCAGTTTTGCCATAGACTCGTCAAGAGATTGATCTGTGAAATACCTCCGCAACAATGCAATATATCTTCGTGCATCTTCTCGGTCTTTGTCTACTATATATTTTAGCTTGGATGGGCTTTGTTTAAATGTGCTAACGAGTTCGTGTGCTCTTGAGGTTGTTAGATCTTGATTTTCAACCTTGTCCTCACTCAATGACAGAATCACTAGATCCAAATGCTTTACAACAATTTGGCGACTTCTAGTACTGATATAGTCATTTCTTAGGTCATTCTGTAATTGTTCGATACTAGAAGATGAGGTGTTGGAGAGAATATTGCTAACACTAAAAAAAGTTACAGAAACTTTATAAATATTATGGCAGGAACTTTGACAGTTTGAACATACAAAGATGTAGAACCCTCCATTCTTGAATGTGGTATCTTATTTATATATAATATATGTGTGTATATAAAAATAAAAAGAAAAAGAACATTCTCTTGTAGGGGTGCACCATGTAGATGCAAAAACTAATTTGTGTTAAATCGACCTTCCAACACCTTTCTGAAGTTCACTTTTACAACCTTCTTTTCGGGATGTGAAAAGACATCAATTGTGAAATCTGTAAGCTTGTTATGAGACATTTTTTTTATCAATAATCGATTCAATCTTTGGTAATAAATGACTCTTTAATATTTTATCTGAAATCTTTGCTGATGTTGCTATATGTTTCTAAAATAAATAAAAAAAGAAAAGAGAAAAGAAGCAACAAAAGATTATTTTTTTTTATTTGGATTGTAAATTTTAAGAGAACAGTGAGTCCCGATTTTGACGGAGAATGACCCCAATTTGTACATGTTGGCAAGTGTTTTAAACCGTTGAATGATGAACCATAAGCCATTCAATTTTTGTGATTTCTTCGTTTTTTGCCATCCACCAATCAATCGCGACGCGAAGATTAGATCCATACGATACATGTCCAAGCTGGAAATTTGAAGTTTCCTCCTTTTTGCTTACTGGAGAGATATATGACAATTTTACTGGTGGCACTAAAATTGTGGGACATAAAGAGACCCCACAGTGTATGGCTATGGGATAACTCATACAACCTTGGGTGGCATAGTAAACTGAGCCCGAATCTCCATTGCGAGTAAAGTGCTGATTTGGCATTCCCCGAACAGCTACCATCCGATTGCGTAATTTGGGGTGCTGTGTATCCATCCATGTGGTTTGCACATCTACCAGACTACCTTTGGTAAAACCACTGGTAAGCCCTATCTTGGTAATGTCCGTTCCTGGTGGAAAGCTATTTGATGGTCGGTACCAGTTCTCATCTAATTGAGAAAATGATGTTAGAAGGTCTTATTAACTTAACTTGGCTTTTAACTTACCATGAGTTTCTTTGACATATTCTTGCCAGTAGTCGGAGAGTGCATCATTAGAATAATCAGAAGCCAAAGGATTCATAAAAGATAGATTTTGATCTTTAACAGGTAAAAATGCTACGTCAATATAAGTGTCTTCATATTGTCCTCTGAAAAGATTATTACTTTGAAAGGCATCTGGGTCAGGTGCCTTTATACAATCAGGACATTGACATCCTACAATTTTCAAATTGCATACGACATGACATGCTGTGATAATATAAGTCTTTTCATTGGCACGAATAAATCCGCCGATAGTTCTACCATTAAAATCCGTCTTAGTTCGGAACTCTATAGGGATAGAGTCTAGATCGATATCACAACTGTTGAAAGATCCGCCTGCCGTGGCTGATTGCTCGATAAATGAACCGCCCTCTAATCCCCCATGATACTCAACCACCTCTTTGATATCAGAGATTGATGGTAATTGTTTTAGCTTGTCGTCCGAAGAGTACGCTGTTTCAAATTGTTGCCAAAAGTCGGTTGGGGATAATGAACCAAATAGAGTCACCTTTTGTACATGTGTAGAAACAGATATTTGAAATACCTTTAATTTGGTCAGCACATCGACAAGCTCGGGAAGAAGGGCGTCTCGAATAAGTAGACTTTGAAGTATTATTGGTTTTTTATCCTTGATTGTCAGTTTTGCCATAGACTCGTCAAGAGATTGATCTGTGAAATACCTCCGCAACAATGCAATATATCTTCGTGCATCTTCTCGGTCTTTGACTATGATATATTTGAGTTTGGATGGGCTTTGTTTAAATGTGCTAACGAGTTCGTGTGCTCTTGAGGTTGTTGGATTTTCAACCTTGTCCTCACTCAACGACAGAATCACTAGATCCAAATGCTTTACAACAATTTGGCGACTTCTAGTACTGATATAGTCATTTCTTAGGTCATTCTGTAGTTGAGTAATACTAGACAACGAGGTGGTGAAGCAAATTTGTAAAGCTCTGTAAGAGAGTAAGTATGAATATTAGTAAGTGTGAATATTAAGGCAAGAATGTAGAATCCACCACTCTGTTATCTTCTTATTATATAATGAGGAAGTTTGAACATACAAAGATGTAGAACCCATTCCTGAACTGTGTTATCTTCTTAAAAATATGTATAAAAAATAAAAAGAACATTCTCTTGTAGGGGCACAAGAGAATGTTCTTCTTCAAAAAAACCAATTTTTAAAAAAAAGGTACCAACAGATATTTTTTTCTTTTAATATTTTTGATTGGCGAGTCGATATACTTAAAAAGAATGACCGTGGCACTAATAAATCATCGAATCTTTGGTTTACCCTTGTAAATTTTGGACCTGATACCGGACATTTATTTTTTGTTTTATTAATTGTGAAAGTATTTGATCTACTTCCAATTTAATGACTATGAGGAGAGCGAAGCAGTATTGTTGTTGATTGTTGGTGGAATATTTTGTGCAAGTAATCCATACTTTGTTGAAAATTCAAGCAACTTGATACTGATATTAAAAATACACAATGTGAAATAATACTTGATCGATGAAATGATACTATCGGGTTGATGGATACCCTTGATACATGATTTGGCCATTAAAAGGAATCCATTTTCGATTCTAAAATGTGTTGTGATTTGTCTTATTAAATTACTAAAAAATAATAATAGAAAATTTGATATTAATTACTATATATTATTTCTTTTGAATAAAACTACATACTTTGTTTTTAAAACCAAAAGAATTTCTTTTGGCAAACTTTTTAAAATATCTGTTACGGCGGTAAGAGTTTGTTCACCCAATTCCTTGACCATATTTCTCAAGTTTTCTCTTGATTTCTCTGGTCTGAGATTTAAAAGGACACCCAAATGTTTAGCATACTCTCCTGCACCCAACTCTCTGGCATAGTGTTCGCTAGCCTTTAGGTCTTGTAGACAAACAGATTTCCAGAGATGACAGAAATTAAGTCGTACCTTTTCATCAATCTTTTTATATAATCCATGATCGAGTAACACCATTTCAGGTTTTCCATTCTTTTTTCTAATTAAAATATTACCTGGGTGTGGATCACTGTGTAAAAATCCATGTACAAATATCTAAAACAGAGAGAGAGAGAGAGAGATTAAAATAAATAATAAATTAATACCCAACATATATAATAATTGATTGATTGATTGGTTGATTGACACATACTTGCTCAGCAAATACTTCTGAAAATAAATAATAAAGTTGTTTAAAGTCAATTCCCATCTCTGTCAATGCCTTTTTGTTGTCAATTCTGACACCATGAATAAACTCCATAGTTAGAATACGTCTGGTGGTGTGATCCCAATAAACCTTTGGAATGTAGAGTTGTGGGTTATCGTGGAATAGAGATGCAATCTTTTCAGAATTCTTTCCCTCGTTGACGAAATCCAATTCTTGATTCAAACAACTTGTTGCCTCTGGTAATATCCAACTAAATTGAAACTTTGGGAAAAACTAAAAAAAACAAATATTTTAATTAGTATCTATCTCGTATCGATTAATAATAATAATAATAATCTATTTACCCAATTAATATAAATCATTGTATTATAAATAGATTCAATATCCTTTTCAAATCTTTCAGTTAGATCTGGATATTGAACCTTTACGGCTACTTCTCTAACCTCTCCGTTTGGAAGACGAAGATTAGCCTTGTGTACTTGTGCAAGTGATGCACTGGCAATTGGTGTACGTTCAAAATCCTCGAAAAAGTCATCTGGATGTTTACCAGTCTCTTCCATAAATAATCTTACAACCTCTTCAAATGGTTCATATGGTGCCTAAAGTTATAAAAAATATTAATACTATTACATTATTTGTGAAGAACTATATATATAATATATGTATAGTTAAGCTACTTACATGATCTTGGAAAACAGTTAAAGCACTTGTATATTCAACTGGAAGTAAATGATCCAAAGATGAAAGGATTTGAGCAAATTTAATAAATATTCCTTTGTTTTTTTGACACAATTCAACTAATGCCTCTGCAGCCAATTTGTTTGCAATCTTGGCTTGCTCTGGAAACTCTTTATCACCTCTCTCTAAACCATAGAGATAGTATTTGTAGTAAAAAGTGACAGATAGACCAGCCAACAATACTCTTATATTTCGAATATAACTACTGTCGGCGATATTCTTTTGTAAATCATCACCATACAACAAGTTGTAGGTTGCCATACCAGTACCAGATACCAATGAAACCAATAAAATTACACTTCTTAATTCTTTAAATCCTGGTTTAAATTTTCCTTGTTGTTCTTGTCCTTTTTCTTCTTGTTCTTGTTTTTGTTCTTCTTGTTGTTCATTCTTTTCATTATTGTTAGAATTGTTATTGTTGTTGTTAATATTATTATTATTGTTTAAAGTTGAATATAATCTATTTGAAGTTGTAATGGTAGTATAAGGGTTACTTCCAAATGAAGATACATAGAAACTACCATTCTTCTTATTGCTGGATTCTGACAATACCGAAGAAAACTTGTGAGAATATCCAAATTGGTTTGTCTTTGTCTTTTTGAATGAAGAGGATAATAGAGAAGAGGAGGAAGACTGAGGAAGAGGAGGTAATTGACAAGTCGATGTTGCAACAACCAAAGGTTTAACCAACTTTGAAGCTAGTTGGCGGATATTTCTTGATGCAAAGGTAGTCCCTCCTTTAATACCACTACCAAGTGTAGCTGCTGCTGCTGTTGTTGTTGATGTTGTCCAATGCATCATTTTAAACTTGTCTATGTGAATATATAAATAAAACAAATATCTAACTATCTAACTAAATAACTACAAACTAATTGTAATGAAATGTATATATAAATAAATATATATATATATATATATATATATCTTCAAGTAACTTATCAACAGAGACAGCGATATCTATCTGTTCTATGTTTGTGTAGAGGTGTAGCTGTGTTGATGAAATTGAATTGAATGCTTAAGATTTAAAGAAATAAGAGGAGGAGAATGATAAACACGTGATAGGTAGATGACGTTAACGTCGACGCATAAAGGGGATGCAATTCGTTAAAATTGGCTGTTGGTTGTTGGATTTTTATTTTTAATATTAATTAATTTTAATTTTATTTCGGGATACCCACTACTTCATAGATAGTACTACACTTGTTACCCACTACTCAAGAGTAAGAATAAAGGTCCCATCTTCATCACTAATATAATATAATAATAATAACCATCTTGGATATTCCAAACAATTTTAAAAGATGAACAGTATTATTTTATTTAAATATGCACAGTTGTAATAATATATTACTGAGAAGATTGAAATAGAATGAATAATACTTCTTGAGACCAAAAAGAGAGAGGGAGATACATAAAAAGTAATTACTCGAGTAAAATCGAATTTACCGACAATGAGATTCTCAAACCAACTTTCGTTTTCTATGTTTGTGTTCAGATCATACGATTGATAATAATAATAATACAGAGATAAAATGGCACAAGGAGGAGCTAAAAAGAAGGTTGTTACAAATACAAAGCCAATATTGAATAAGAATACAAATAATGGTGACGGTAGTACTACTACTACTAAGCCAAAACTACCAAAACAACCAAAACCACAACCACCTAAACAACAACAAATAACAAAGAAACCAAAGCAAGATGATAACAAGGCTACTAGTAATGCAAAGGTCGCAGTTGCAAAGAAACCATCTACATCTACATCTCAATCACAACCACCAGTAGCAACTAAAAAACAACAAATCGTTCAAGAAGAAGAGATTCAAGAAGAAAACGAACAAGATGATGATAATGTTGAACAAGATGGAGAAGAAGATCCTTTAGCAGGATTAGAAAAACATGGTAAAGAATTATCAGATTTACAACTTGCTATTGATGATTTAGAGACTAAACAAATTAAAGAAACTTTGAAACTTGAAATAGAAGCTGATCGTAAACTTGCTCCATCCTACCAAGCAAGAGAAAAGTTAATCGAGAAATTACCATTGTTTTGGGTTACTGCTGTATGTTCCACACACAATCTTTTAGACACCATCTACTCTATCAAACTAACCAATTCTAATATAGTTCCAAGGTCATCCAACACTCCAAAGTGTATTTATTGAAAAGGATATCGATTTATTATCAAATTTGACAACATTCAAGGTTGAAACAAGTAGCGTTGGTACATGTTCCATTACAAAGTTGACTTTTGTATGTATTGCCAATGAATGATGAGTCATTCATTTATATTTCTTTATTAATGATTTTAATTTGATTTTTAGATATTTGGAAATAATAGTTATTTAAAGAATAAAATGATTCAAAAGGAATACAAGATTAGAGAAGATGGTGAAATTGATGTTAGTTGTACAAAAATAAACTGGAAAAATGGAAATGTAAGAAAGATAATATTGAAACAAAATAGAAAGAAAAGAAAGAAATAATGGAATCATTTAATTAATTGATTTGTTTAAATATAGGATATTACATTAGTAAAGAATGAAGAAGATGCAAGTTTCTTTTCATGGTTTGATTCAGAGGAAGATGAAACTGAACTACTTAGTATCCTTAAAGATGAAATATGGCCAAACCCAATGCCATACTACAATGGTCAATTTTTAGGTGGAGAGGATGATGAAGAAGAAGAAGAAGAAGAAGTAGATGAAGAATAAATAAGTAAATCAAGTAATCAATAAAATAATAATAATAAATAGTATTCAAAAAAAAAAAAAATCTCTCTTTTTTGTCGATCAATTAAACAATCACAACATAGATTAATTAATTAGTAGTAGAATGAAATATGCAAATATAGCAAGATACTTTACATTAGGAGCATACGGAACACAATTATTAACAGCTCCAATATGGGGTATAGGTGAGTAATCAATAAATACATTGATAGTGGCATTATTATTATGTACATCTCGTATTGACTTTTTTTGAACTTGTCTACTTGTTAGCAACATATGGATGGATTATTATATTACAAGGTGATGATGGGCCGAATAGAGATATACCAATTAAATTGTGTGATGTTACAAGTCTTACATCGCTGTTTACTATGCCGTTTACTTCTATGTTTGCCTTTGGTTATACGTATCGAAAAGGTTTCAATGCTCGTGTTGCTGCAGTACCACTCATTCCACTTGCAACATTGGTCACCTCATTATCTATAGTTCGTCCTTATCTTGAAACACGTTACTCTTCTAAAAATGTACAATAACATAAACTAAACTAATTAATTAAATATTATCACACATCACATGACAGTGTACACTCACTCTCTTGCTTGCAAAAGGGACTTGTAGCTTATTGACAAGAGCAGGCAATTTTTTCGCTCGGGTTGAAAGAATTTTTATTTTTTTTATGATTTTTACAGTGGACGAGTCAGCTGTTGCTCTCACGGCAGTATGCTGCCTCACACCCTCTTCATCAGCCTGTCATACGATACTGTCACTAGTTAGTCGCATAGTGTAATCATCCGAAAATGGTATGATACTTTACTTTTTATCTCTCTTTCTACTCTATCACGTTCTATATACGTTCTCTAGCAGCATCTTACAATGTAGCAGTTATATCTAACAATATTATATCTCCTATCCCTATCCAAATCCTCCATATTATCAACTTATAGACCAAGGGTACATTCAGTTTTGGTCGTAGACACACCAAGTCTCACACCATTTGCAGAAGATGTGGAAACAGAAGCTATCACATCCAAAAGAAGACTTGCTCTGGTTGTGGATATCCAGCTGCCAAGATCAGAAAATACAACTGGTCCGTTAAGGCCATCAGAAGAAAGACCACCGGTACTGGTAGATGCGCTCATCTCCGTGAAGTCCAAAAGAGATTCAACAGTGGTTTCAAGCAAGGTATGTAGAAACAATCAAAACTATTCATTCATTCTCGGCAGTTCTTTCACTCTCTCCTCTTCCTTGTGATACTAATCAATTCTTACCTCCTCATTCATATTCAATATAGCTCCATTTGTCAAGAAGAACTAAATTAATGGTTTAAGAAATAAATTGACACTTTGCAAAACACTTCAACGCTTCATGTAACTCAAACTATCTGTTTATTTATTGTGACAACACAAAGTGATTCTCAAAACTAAAAAAGGAAAGAGAGTAACTCATTTTTATTGTTGTCTTTCTCTATCTATCTATCCATCCATCTCTAAACTCTAAACTCTTCGTCATTTCATTCACATCGTTTTTTTTACTCGTTTTTTTGGTTACGAATTTATTTATTTATTTCTATCATTTTCAAAGCAAAGCGCATTCTTGTTTCCTCCTATCCATGGTCCATTTCTTTATTTCTTGTTCATTCTCTCTCTCTTTATGTCTATCCTTTATGTCTATCTTATCTGTCTCAGTCACTCATTTTTTTTTTTAAGGTGGGTAAGCTCCACATGACAGGAACAAAAGTCAACATGTGTTGAAAAGTTTGGGGTGGCTATCCATCCATAGAGGTGGAGTATAACTCATGGTAGGATAGAATGTCAGGTGGTTATCTTTTGTTTCAATGGTAATTACCATAAACGAGAAGGTAGTTCAAGCTTGTTTTTTTTGAAAAATTTAAAGAAATTACCATTTATGGATCCAGCCAATCCAAATAGTCGGTTCCGATAAAACCAAAGTATTTTCCATTCAACCGTAAAAAAATATCAAGATGAAATGTAAAGAACAGATTGTGCGTGGAGTAAAACACAAAGGTTTCTGTAGATGAGATTCCCCATCTCAACAGAAGAGCCGAAAGAGAGTCTTCTGTGAATCTTGAACTGATGCACATTGGTTATTATTTCCACCTAGGTTTATACTCTTTTTAAAATAAAAAATAAAGTTTAAAAAACAGAAACAGAAACAGAAATAGAAACAACTAGAATAATAAAAATACAAAGAAGAATCAAAACATCCTTTTTTATCAATCATCCCATTGACTATAAATTAACCAAATTTAGCATTTTGATTGTTCTCCCAAAATATATCATATCATTTCTAAATATAGATAGAATTATTTATTTATTTATTTATATGATTTATATTATATATTTTATTTTATAATATTTTATAATTTATATTATATTACCTTTTAGTTCTTCAATCCCTACCTACCTAAAGTTGGAAATAAATCGTAAAGGTATGATGATATAATTTAAATTATAATAACTGCTCTTTGTTCCATGTGTTTTCATTCTTACAATTATTATTCTTGTTACTATTAATAATATTAATAATATTACTAAAAAAAGTAATAATAATCATCACACCTTTTGGTGTTTGTTTGTTAATATTGTCCAATACATCAATCTTTACTCTACCCCACACTATCCTATCCTATCTGTAATTTCATTGTTATTTATTTCCTAATTTATATAAAATTAATTTCCGAGTATGATTTAAATAATATTGTTATCTATTTCCACTGGTTTTTAAAAAAACAAAACTCTCCAAAACCATTTTTATTCATAATAATAGTACAATGATGATTACACCAATTCTATCTCATCTTATGATACTACATTTCTCTCTGTTCATATCTGGCTAGAAGGAATGGGAGATGGTAGCAAGGTTTAAAAATAATATTATGATTGCCAAACAGTCTATTCTATTCTATTTTCCCTCGCCAACTCTATATATGTTCATATCCAGCCCAACTCTCATAATTGTCGTACCCTTTAACAATGGGTAAGAGAGAGAGTGAACAACAATATTCATTATGTTTGTTTTTTGGGGTTGATGTAATCTATTTTGATCGATTATGGTGATGTTGATCACCCAATCCAATCCAATACTCCAACCTTATCCAATCAAAAAAATTAAATTAATTATCTTAACGATGATCGTCTCAACCATCGCACACATATATACATATATACCATCGTACTACCTGTACCTTTCCTTGTTTGATTTGATTTAATTTTTTTTTTTTTTGAACCTACCCACCACCCTCACTCCCACCTTTGCATTGCATGTGAACTGCAAACACTAAACTAAACTACACTACACTCCCACCCACCAAGCCAAGATGTATTTTCACCATGGGGTGGGGTGGGTATAGGTGGTATACATGCAGGGTTGGATTAATCAATTAATTTGACCACCAAACAGTATCTCATCCATCGATCATTCAAGGTTTATATCAGCTAGATAGCCTTTGTAATGTAGGTTAATCGATGGTTGTGATATCAATCAAATGGGTGCAACATGACTCTCTATCGATTTAATGTTTACTCTCTCTCTCTCTCTGTCTCTCTCTCTCTGAAAATCATTTTCCAATCGAGAATTTCTACCGCTGATGCTACAATTGTCTATTATTATCCTCCCCATCGATTTTGGATACAAAAACATTAAATTAGAGTATTTGTTTTAGCGTTTATTCCCTCTTTTTTTTTTTTTTTTTATTTCCTGTCTCCAATGAATGGAAAACAACATCAACAATGTATGACTATTCAAAATCATCAATCTTTTTATTGCGATCCTTCCATCAATGTCGAGTCACCCATTCTTTGACCCAAATCGATAATAAATACCTTTTCATTGGTGAGCGCATAATCACTATCACAGAAACACAACATCGACACTAGTAGTAGGAATAGTAGTAGTAATATTTAGACTAAATAATAATACCTCCCCACTTTATTCATTCTCCCAACAACAAACAACGATTAGATTGTGTGTATCAGATCTCATCAAATCGTAAGAGCGAGAGAGACTCTTTCTTTTGTTTTTTTTTTTTTTTTATATTTGTTTGTCCTGTCCTTGTTAATAATAATAATATTAATAGTCTAAAATAAATCATTTTATTTGGTTATTTTATTTTATTTGTTTTTGTTGTTGTTGTTGGTTCGCCATCATAGCAAATAATATTTAAATTAATATAACTAATAGATTACATTTTCAATATTACCATTATTTTATTATTATTACCATCATACTCTAAAAGAATAATAACAGTACAGCATTATAGCATAGCATCAGATTTATGCAAAATAGGTAAGCTCTGAATATTCGTATTCCCAAGCCAACTCTACCATACCATACCAATAATAATAATTATGATAATTGTTTTGATCGATCGAAAGATCCAGATCCTCATGCGCACCCAAAAACCACTCAACAACCCGCCTCGCCCTCACTCCACACCACCCACTCTTTTGGACATCACAGTATTAATAGTAGTCATCCAACCATCCATCTAACCATCTATAATCACACGATCATTGGAAAGTCTCTTTGTTTTGTTTGTCTGACAGATATGATAATGGGATGGCCTCCCCATTGGTACCCATCCCATCTCATTTTTACCTTTTGACAAGAAAGATCTTTGTCTTTAGTTTTGTTACGTTTCATATTTTGTGTAATGTTGTTGTTGTTGTTTTTACGCATTATCCATCGATACCACCATCGACACAACAATCGGCACTATCAGTGCCTATAAATAATCAATTATCATAATTGACCATCCAGAAACCCAACATCATGTTGTTGTCGTCGTTTGGTTTTTACAATTCGTTCATCGATCCCTCCCCATATTTTTCATTTCGAGGCCACAATCGAATAATGCGGTATCAAGATTCTAAAAGAGCAAATCCATCATCATCATCATTGTTGAGTGCGCTCTCTCTCAAGTTTGTTGTTTATAAGGTGAGGTGACTATCACATCGAAAAACGAGGTGTTGGCGCATTCGACCCCCAAGACCATGCAAACGGCACCAATCGAAAAACAAAAACTTTTTAAAAGAGTTTTGGAGATTTTTTTCACAAATCACAACAACATTTTTGTTTTTTTTTTTTTTGATTTGGTTCCATCAACAACCAACCTCCTCCTCTCACAAACAGCAAGAAGGAAATCACCAACTTGTTTCGTATCCCTTACCCAAACATCATTCATTAATTAATTTAATAATTTACAAAAAAAAAGAAAAGAGAAAAAGAGAAAAAGTAAAAGTAAATAATTTTTTTAGAAACCCTCTCTACTATTGTACAATAATTTTTACTTTACTTTTTTTTTTGTTGTCATACGATTCGTATTTATTTATTATTTAGTCTCAAAAAAACAGTGAGTGATCTATCCATCCATTCTTATTGTCGCCCCATAAAATTCACCCAAAAAAAAACATTGAATTTGTGTCCAAGAAAGACACACCCTCGACAGCAGCAAAGCATCACTTTTGGAGGGCCATTCCCATTCCATTCCATTCCAACCAACAGACACATCATTAATCGAGATTATATAGCTTTATTTTTATTTTTGTTTTTTTTTTCACTTAGTCCACACAGAAAGGAGGAGGGTCCGTACTCAACTCGAGAGAGTCTTACAAAGTTACACTTACATACCTTCTTTCCACAACTTATCGCCATCATCAAACAACAAACACAAACACCAAACACATTCAAACAAACCTTACTTACTTACTTATTTATTCCTATTTATTTATTTATTCTATTTATTTATTCACAGCTCAAAGAGTAGTACTACTATAATATTATTTATTTATTTATTTAATTTATTTAATTTATTTATTCAAGAAACAAAGAAACTATACTATACATCAAGCAAGACAAGGTTAGTATTTTAAAACTATAGTTAGACAAGACAACAAATAACAACCACAGCAGCAGCATCAGTTGACCAATCAACCAAACAAACAAACAACCAATCCCTTGCGATAAAAGGAAGAGAAGACATCATCATCATCATCATTGGACACGCAATAGAAAGAAAAAGGGATTAGCAGACAGAGAGGAAGCAACGGCAGCAGGCAGACAGGCAGTTTGGTGGAGTGTGGGTTGGTTGGTTAATTTATATATTTTATAAATCTACCCTGACCGACACATATCAACTTGGAGATAAGTGAACTACCCTCCTCCTCCTCCTCCTCGTTGCTTACTTTTAATATTAATATTATTATTATTATTAAATTTAATTCATGGTTGCTGCTCTGCTTCTTTCTTTTTCCTTTTCTTCTTCTTCTTCTCCCTCCTCTTGCTTCACGATCGTGATCATCACACAACCATTTTTAAAACAATCAATAATCATTATTATTTCATTCACATTTTTAGTGTACAGTACTCAAGTTTTATTTGTCTCACGATCAAAGAGAGAGAATGTGTGAGTCAACTCACTTTTTCTGTCTTTACATTTATTTAACCACTACACAAACACAACAATAACAAACAAACACCATACCACCTACCCGCTACCAACAACATCAACAACAATCAACACACATCTTTTATTTTCTTTACCACCAAACAAAACAAGAGGTCACATGTTATCAAAAACAAAAACATCAATCAAAATCACCACTCACCCCAACCCCCTTAACCCTAACCACACAACACACACACACACAACACAGTCTATCAATCAAAACAATTACTATTGTTAGCAATATTATCATAATAATATCGACGATAGTTTTGTTTGTTTGTTTGTAATGGTCTATTGTCACAGACAACAACATTTCAGTTGATTCCTGAAGTGTTGGTTTGTTGTTAGTTGGGTGGAAAGAGTATACTGTATTGCAATTGTCCACTTGATGGATCCCATTCCTTCTTTCTCCACCCACCCCCCCTATCCTATCCTACCCTACCCCCTACTATACTGTTTGCAATTCACCAATCGATCATTTATTGCAAACATAACAACAACACTGATTGATTGATTGATATCTTTCTTTTATTTGTTTTCTTATTTTTTTGTTTGTTTGTTTATGTGCATGTTGTTTTGGTTGGTTGTGTTCAATTGACATCTAAATAATAATCAAATCAAATCAAATATTAAAGAGACACTAACCTAATTAATTCTTTTCCCTCTCTTTCTTCCTTCCTACTCTACTACTATGCATACTACTACTTTATAACCATCATCATCTCCATCTTCATCTGATCGACTATTATTATTATAATATATATACAATCCTGCCTGTATTATTATTATTATTATTATTATACACACACATATAGTTGGTAAACTATTGTAATATTTATAATTAACCCAAGCAAGCAAGCCATAATATCAACCAACCAACAACAACAAAATCAAGCAACCATTATATAATATATTTATACCATGTAAGTAAAACCTCACTCACCCGTCATGTGATAACAGTAGTCAGCATTCAACAACAGCGGTCAGCATTAGTGCTAGTGGCAGCAGATAGCCGACCAACCCATTTCCATATATGGATAAGCAGCAGTCATCGGTTCAAAGACAAATGATTGGATGTGGTGGTGGGTGGTGTAAACGCGATAGCAACATGGATGGAATAGAGTACTCTTGTACCAAAACAGGCAAAGGGACGAATTTAGATTAGTTAGATATCACAAACAAGCAAGCAGACAAACAAGAGTAGTTTAAAGACTGGTGGGTAGTGGTAGGGTGTGGATAAAAATAGGAACAACACAAACAACGGTATTAGTTTGGGTAATTCGATTCAACCAATTCAAATATATATGTGTGATATTTGTTTGTTTGTTTGTTTGTTGTTGAGATATACTATACCTGCAAGCATCTTTTAAATTGCTACACATACTATTCTAAAAGGTTTACCTTTACTTTAAAGTTGGTTGCATACAACAAAGTTGCTTCGCAAGCAGATAGATATCGGCCTGTTGGTTACCCTACTCTATCCTCCTACTCGACATACACTAGACTTGTTAATTAACTGACTGACTGGCTGGCTGTGACTGCTGACTAGTGACCGACACACAACACACACAAAATATTTATAAATCTAAGAACACCAACAACTAATTAATTTATTCTTTTCCTTTTTATTTTCCTACCCTCCCCTCTCTCCTCTTTGTCCCTACTATTCCCTCTTTCACTACACTATTCCGCTCTCTTCCAACTCTTACTACTCTTATTATTATTATCCTGCGGCATTGTAATTGTTTTAAAAACTATGTTTGGATATTTTACATAATTAACAACAACAACAACAACCAACATATTCAACTCTATTCTATTTGTAATCCACCTCCTTTATTCTCCTTTCCTTACTTATCCTATCCTCTATCCTATTGTTTGTTTATTTTACTTTTGTGTATTAGTAGTGTTATGTTTATTTAAATCATCAGCATCATCTCTATTTATTTAATTTATTTATTTATTTATTTATTTAATTATTATAATTATTAATCCTATTTTACCCATCCATCCATCCAACAAACAACAACACCAACAACCACTGCCACCATTTAGAAGTAGCAATAGCAACTAGAAGAATATCCTCCTCCTCTACTAAGCAGCAGCAGCAGTCATCATCACTTTCGCGCACTTTTACTATTATTTTATTATTATTATCATCCCTCTTTATTCACAATTGTGTTGTATTATTTTTCCATTTATATACATCATCAACTAAACTAAACTAAACTATACCTACCCCCTACTCAACTTAAACAAAAAAAAAAACAACATCACATTTTTAGATTTTACTTTATTTATTTTCTATTTATTTAAATTTTCCCATCCATCCATCCAATCCAATCCAAATTGTCAATTTGATATTTAGGATCCAACCAATAACAATAATAACTTATTATTTCCATCATTATTTGTTTTTTTTTTTTTCCAACTAAAACTACAACACAATGACTGATTTCCAGCAATTGAATCAACACTCTTTCTTTGGTAGTGTCATGAGCAGCAATGAAATCAATTGGATTCATCCCCAGAGCAACAGCGGTCTTTGGGAACAACCACAACAATCTTCTCCACCACAACAACCCTCCAACAACAACAATGTACAAAACAGCTCGGCCGCCAACACCCCAGTCACACAGGTACCATTGGCCGTCAAAAACTCGCACTTTATCAACATCTCGAGCGGCGGTCTGACCAGCGACCCCTGGATGACTCCATCCGTCTCGGCCCCCGGCTCGAGTTTATCGGCCTCGACTGCCCTCATGGGCAAGAAGTCGCCCCTTCCAAACCTCAAGCCAATCTCCAAGAGCGAGGACATCCCCCCACCCTCCCACAACCTCACTCTGCAATACAATCAACAACAACTACAACTACAACAACAACAAGACCAACAACAAGAAGAGTTGGAAGACGATGTCAATGGTCAGAGTAGATACAAGACCGAGTTGTGCAGATCGTACCAAGAGACTGGTTCGTGCAGATATGGTTTCAAGTGTCAGTTTGCGCATGGTGGTAATGAGTTACGTCATGTTAGCAGACACCCCAAATACAAGACAGAGACATGTAAGACATTCCACACTGTAGGCAGTTGTCCATACGGCTCACGTTGTAGATTTATTCATGAAAAGCCTGATGGATCGATCCTGCAAACCAGCCATATCATGTCGCATGCCCACGGTCTCCCACACCCACCCGTTCCAATGCAACAACAAATAGTATCGCCATCATCGTCCACCTCCACCTCACCATCCAACTCCAAGCCCGGCTCGCCCACCAGCAGCAGTGTCAACCAATTTGTCAACTTTTCAGCTGGCAGTAGTGGTGCTGGATCGCCTGGTAGCAGCGTGTCCAAGTCTCCACAACTCATCAAGTCACAATCGGAAAAGAATATCAACTGGACATCATCATGGAATTCTTCAGACGAATCATCTGTCATCACCCTTGGCAAACTACCATCTCCACCACTTAAACAAAAGGATATGTCTCCACCTTCAAGTTCCCTACAAACTACTCAACAACAACAACAACAAGCTCAAGTTGATGATAGTAAGAGAAGATTAGCAATCTTTAGAACTATTTGTTCAAATTCATGGACTGATTAAAATCAACTACATACCAATCGGAACCATACATCTCTTCTCTTCTCTCTAATCAACCACACATACACAACATACATATATAATTTCTTTTTTGTTTTATAATCTATAAATAGTACTAAATCACATCACATCACACACATCACATAATCCCTAACATTACCCATATATTTTCTATTACTTTTCATCCGACTAAACAATCCATCTCTTTCAATCAAATCAAATCAAATCAAAACAAACAATATTTTTTCCCTCAACCCAATAATAATAATAATTTATAATTATTATTAGAGTTTAGAAAATCCAAAAAAAAGATCCCAAAAATATAATAACTATAATAATAATAATAATAATAATAACAATAATAATAATACTCCACCCCCTTATTTATTCAACATCACATTTATTGCCAACAACAGAAACAACCTTAAGGAACTTCTATTGGAATAGGATAGATACACCCCAAAATCAACAACCCCCTCTTGAACAATTACTCCAATCTCTGCACCTCTAATCATCTCTCTCTCTCTCTGGTGACAACTACTTTTATATGTAGGTTGTTTACCCAGAACAAGATAGATAGTATGTTGTGGAATTGGTTAATAATAATTGTTTGTACTTGTAAAATCTTTATTAATTTAAAAAATAATAAAAATTTATTTATTTCTTACTCTAAAATATAAATATTATCTTTTCTTTAAATTGAATGATTGAATAATAATGATGGTGGTGGTTCATCCATCTCTTTCTCTTAGAGGGTAAAGATTGTTATCCCAAAGAATAAATTAAAAAATAATAATCTTGTTGTTTTAATAAAATTTAATTTAAAAAAAATCAGACTGACCCTTCTTTATTGGGGTGTGCATTGAATTTTACTTTGATCTATCTAACTTTGCAACAACAACAACAACAACAATCATAGATAGATATAACATAGATAGATATAACATACATAGATAGATAGATAGATAGATAGATAGATAGATAGATAGATAGATAGATAGATAGATAGATAGATAGATAGATAGATAGATAGATAGATAGATAGATAGATAGATAGATAGATAGATAGATAGATAGATAGATAGATAGATAGATAGATAGATAGATAGATAGATAGATAGATAGATAGATAGATAGGATAGTTTAGTTTAATAATGTCAATATTACAATTTAAAGAGTTTAGTAGTTTTATAAATATATCATTCTGGAATGAACTAGCACAAAAGAAGTTGAATATATTCAAGTTGAGTGATGCACCAGTCAACATATCTGCATTCTACACTTACTCTTCGTCTGCTCAACTAGACCCATTCCTTTCAATAGAGTACAACTCTTTTCTACCTCTAACAAGCTCCAACGAAGGTGACTCTTTGTACAAGTTACCACCAAAATCATATCTTTCAAATGGTATCATTTACAATTACAACACCAAAGAAGATTTTAAACAAGCTCCAAAACAAAAAATCTTTGAAGATGTTTCTTTAAATGTTTGTTATCAACAAAATGATATATATATATCACTCTATGTTATATTATAATATAATAATATATATTTACTCTTTTTAATTATTCATTATTCTTTTTTAGATTTGGAATGATATTAAAAATGGAAATGTTGAAAGAGATTCATCATTGTTATCAAGATTCTTGATACTTACATTTGCAGATATTAAGAACCATCAATTCTACTATTTGGTTGGTGTACCTGCTTTATCGTTCGAGTCACCAATTACACTTCGATCACCTGTACAACCAATCAATGAATACTTTACATCAAACCAAGTGGCTTCGTTAAAAGGTCAACTTGTTGGTTCTCAACAACAATTCTTTTTGATTCGTAAAGAGGGACAAGATAGTGTAGAGGTTGCATCACTTGACAAATGGTCATCGTTTGTTGACGAGGCCAAGAATGGTACTCTTATCGTTGGATTTAGTGATCCCTGTTCGTTACCATCTAACCCAGGTTGGCCACTCCGTAACTTTTTGTATTATATTGGGTTCAAACAAATCAAGGATGTTGATGTTGTCTGTATAAGAGATGTCAAGGGACAATCTATCGATACTTCCATTGTATTGCAATTGGCTTTACCTGAAACACCAACAGAATGGAGTAAAAAGAGTGTTGGTTGGGAAAAAGATCCAAATGGTAAAATATTACCAAGATTGATTTCTTTAGCTTCAACTATGGATCCTTTAAAGTATGACTGACTCAAGCAATCAAACAACCATATATATATTTACATATATATATTTACATATTGACTTACACTCTATTCCTTTCCCTTTAGGTTGGCAACTCAATCTGTAGATTTGAATTTAAAGTTGATGAGATGGCGTATCATGCCATCACTTGATTTGGAATTAATTCAAAATACCAAATGTTTATTATTGGGCTCTGGTACTTTAGGTTGTAATGTTGCAAGATGTTTATTGGTATGCATGCAAAATCATCACAAATATTAACTATTGTAATTTAGGTTACTAATCAATTTTGTCTATATATAGTCATGGGGAGTTAGAAATATAACATTTGTAGATAGTGGAAAGGTATCTTATAGTAATCCAGTTCGTCAATCTTTATTTAATTTTGAAGATTGTACAGGTGCAAAGGGTAAAGATAAAGCACCAGCCGCCGCAGAGAATTTAAAGAAAGTATTCCCAGCCGTTGTAAGTATCAAATAATAATAATAGTAATATTAAATCAAAGAAAGTGATATTAATTAATTATCTTTTAGAATGCAAATAGTGAAATATTATCAATTCCAATGCCAGGTCATAGTGTTGCAGAAGGATTAAAAGATGAAGTGAAAGCAGTTTATGATAAATTGGTTGATTTGATTCAACAACATGATGTTATCTTTTTGTTGACTGATTCGAGAGAGAGCAGATGGTTACCAACGGTTCTTGGTAGATTACACAACAAATTGGTGATCAACTCTGCACTTGGCTTTGACACCTTTTTAGTTGGCAGACATGGATCTCGTGTACCAAATGCCAATGAAAAGGAAGGGTCTGAAGGTGTCGACTTGGGATGCTATTTCTGTAACGATGTCATTGCACCAACCGACACACTCAAGGACAGAACACTCGATCAACAATGCACCGTCACTAGACCCGGTCTGTCATTTGTTGCCTCTTCAATGGCCGTCGAGTTGATGGTGTCTGTTTTACATCACCCACTTCAAGGCCGTGCACCAGCCGAAACCGACCAAGACATTCATAGCGGTTCGTCCACCCCTCTGGGTATCCTCCCACACCAATTGCGTGGGTTCCTTAGTCACTTTTCAGCTCTACCAGTGTACAGCACCGCTTACAAGAACTGCACTGCCTGTTCCAATGGCGTTGTCGACGAATTGGAGAAACGTGGCTTTGATTTTGTTCACGAGGTTCTCAATGACTCATCATGTCTCACCAAATATGCTGGCATTGATCAATATGAAGATGCTGGAGTTACCATTGAATGGGATGAGGATTTCAGTGGTGATGACGAGGATCTCTAGAAAAAGAAAAAGAAACCAAAAAAATTAATAAATCAATAAATCAAGTTTCAATCATTTCTTACATGATATTTAGATATATATATATATATATATATTATTGGTCTATGAATATAAGGATTTTCCCTCTCTTATCTTCTCATTGACACGTGGATCACCCAACAACAAAAACGAACCAATCAATATTAAATTTTTATGTTGCACTGTCACACAATTGTAATATTAAATTATAAAATTTTTGTTTAATTTAATATCAATTAATTAAGTTTAATAGAGAGGAGGGTAATAGGATAGATCGATAGAAAGATATATATTATTATTATATATATAGATGATAGTAGTCTATCTATTAGGAGGATGAAAACATCAACTATAATAATAGCTAGTGTAGTGTTGACACTTTGTATTCATTTATCAAACAGACTATCAACCAATAACGCACCTAGAAAGACATCAATAGAGTTCCCTTCATTATTACTATTTTCACCATCAAATAATATTGATATTCATCACCAACATCATCATCATCATCAATATCATCATAAAGGTGACCCTGGATTAGAATCTAGAATTAAATTATATATTTCTGAAAGCATGAAAATCACTCAGTCAATGAATGGTGGAATAGGAAGAGGAATTCCTCGTGACAGATTGTATGTACATACTCTAATGGAATAATAATTCATTATGGATACCCTAACAATCAAATCAATTAATAAATATAGAGAACAAAATGATACATGTCTTTCATCAATTAGTAATATTACACTTAGTGTTGACTGGTGTGTCAAGAAACATGAATCATTGTTTAACCAACTCATACCACGTTGGGAATTGGAAGATTATTGTTTCGAGTATATTGGAAGAGATGAGTACTATCTGGTTGTCGAACAGATGGAACAGACAAGAGAAGAGAGAGAAGAGATTTTGGTTAAGATGAAAGAGGCATTACTTTGGGTATCAGACAAAGTGTTGTCGGAAGAGATAGATATAGAGGCTAGGCCAAAACACATCTATTCAATGTGGAGCAAGATGAAGAGAAAGAATCACCCATTGGACCAAATACACGATCAGTATGGCATACGATTCATTGTTCCCACGATACAACAATGCTACGACCTGTTAGATGCCATTCACGCCTATTACGGACATCTGCCAGGTGAGTTTGACGACTATATAAAGAATCCAAAAGAGTCTGGGTACCAGTCACTCCACACCATCATTAATTTCAATTGCATCAACGTGACAACCGACGCTGGCGATGGGAGCACAAGACAAGAGTGTGATACAAGCCGACAACCACTCTATGCAGAAGTACAAATTAGAACAAAAGATATGCACTATTTTGCCACGTATGGTCCTGCATCCCATCAAAATTATAAATTAGCAACCAAGAATTGTAATTATAATTTTGAATACTTGTAAATAATTAAATAAATCTATATTCACGCCAAAAAACCACTATCATCTATTTTGTATCTATATCTATATCATGTTGTATTTCTATTGTATATCTATTTCCCCGCCCAATCCAGTTTATTTTGAAATGACTGGTGCCATATTATCAATGATCCAATCACCTTCTGGATCACGTATCCATCTAACCATTGTAAGTAACTCACCAAGTTCTTTTCCTTTGTTCAATGATGATGATCTACTATTATTATGACTGCTACTAGTATTGTTTAGGTCTAATTTGTTGATACCTGTGAATCGATAAGATGCAATGATAGCTGGAGGTGGATAGGAAGGTAAAATAACAACGTCATGGAATTGATCAACCTCTAGTGTATGAGTGATAGAGTATTTCTTGAGTGTTGCCAATTGACTCATCATTTTCTTTACAGTTGGTTTAAATCTTTTTGATACCATTCTATAGACTGATTTATCATTGTTTGATAGTTTTGAAAAGAAATATTGTAATCCAATTTTAGAGTCTAAAAACAAAATCAAAGAGACAAAATAATGGATTAAGTTGATTGATCAATACAAATGATTGGTTATAATAGCACATACTAGCAATAAACTCTGAATGTTCAATACCATAAACTTCAGGGATTGATTGAAACTTTGGAGCTAGGAAGCTGACAAGTTTAAATGCTTGTGGGAGAAGAAAACGAAAGAAGCTTGATGATTTGTTGTACTCTAGTGTGAGTCCTTCGGTTGGGTTTGGATGTGTTCCAGACAATATACGAGTGTAGAGAGCTGTTGATTTCTTGATAATGTACTTTTCAAGAGAGTTTATATACAATGATTTCCTCCATGTAGACATTGACTTGTCTGATGGTACCAATACCACTTTGGGATCATTGAAACCCAACTCATTCTTTTCTGCAACTGCTAATTTATCAAGTATATACTTTCTATCTATATCTCCTATATTATTATTGTCTTGTTGTACATTATTATTGTTATCTATTTGTTGTTGTTGTAATCTTCTTTTATGTGCATTGGCAGCATGTCTCAATAACTCTGATTTAGTGATTGCTTTTTTTATTATACCCATATTCTACTACTACTACTACTGCTACTACTACTGCTACTACTACTAACTACTACCTATATCTATCCTCTTCCTTCTACTTATCTGTACAAGACTACAATGATCTGCAATCCATCGTTTTTTGTCGTATAATGTATTTTTTAGCTTTTAATTTAAGGTAACAATTAATTGTCATCATAATTACCTTTAAAGTAGAAGATAGTCTTCACTTTGTTGTTGTTGATTGTTGTTGAAATACAAGAGACAGGGAAGAAGGAGAATAGCAGAGTTTAGTGGTAGTGAACATGATAATCCTGGTTTTCTTCTTCTTCCTTGTCTCTATCAATGTGCTAGGTAATTTCTTAGACGGACCCATTATACTGTGATGAATCTAAATTACTTGTACCTGTACTTATAAAACTCTTATGATAGTATATATATATATATAAAAGGTAAAGAAAAAGTTTAAATTATAGAGAAGATACTCTCAGCCAACCATAGTTAGTCATCCACCCTAAACTAGTCCCATGTTAACAAACCGCATCGACGATATGATGTATTGCAATATTTAAATAACTATAGTTTAATAATATTATAATTTATAGTTATTAACGAAGATGAAAACAATATCAATTAAATAGAGTATTATTACTTTTACAACGACTATTCGAGCCAGTGTCAGCTCTGAATTTAGATTAATCTTTTTATAAAACACATATACACCCACAAACAGCAGCATTATATATATTATATTGTTATTATTACTACTCTCATTTTTTTAATACTTTACATAATCATCATCATCATCATCATCATCATCATCATCATCATCATCATCATCATCATCATCATCATCATCATCATCATCATCATCATCATCATCATCATCATCATCATCATCATCATCATCATCATCATTCAGATCATCCCTCTTATTCATTATTCATTATTGATCTGTTTACTTTATATCACTACTCCTCCTCCTCATCCTCTTAGTTTACATTTTGTGTGCGGTGTATACGAATCTATTGATAAGATTAGATTAGATTAGATCATTGTCAATAAGAAGAAGAAGAAGAAGAAGAAGAAGATGTTAAAATTTACAAGAGCATTTAGTTTAGAACATGATATCATACCTCATATACCGGTAGAACAACTACCACCAGAGGCAAAGACATTTATTGAACACAATGCAACCGTCATTGGTATGGCAATGGGTGTTCCCAAACTACACAATTCATCGGCAGAGTTGAACTCATTGCCCACCTTTACATCCAATCCAATGCTACAAACACTACCTCCCAACTTTAATACACCACCTGCTAGAACCTCGTACAGATCCAACTTTCGTTTGGGGTCGTCATACAGCGGTCTCAACTCACCGGGTAGCAACCAAAACAGCCCACACTCTTCGATAAGATACAGTCACCAACCAAGCAATGGTCATCACGACGATGACGATGACAATGACTATGGCAACAATAGTGGACTCTTGGAAGACGACGATGACGCAGAAGGTTCCAACAACGACATGAACAACTTTCTAAACAGCTATAACAATCAAAGAACTATTGCTCATATGATTAATCTTCGTATCATTGGTCGTGATAGTAAATCTGGTATCCTAGTCATTGCAAGAAATGCTAGAATTAATGTATGTAAAATGAAAAAAGAGAGAAAGAAGAGTATTTATTAATATTTATGTTTGTTTGTTTGTTTGTATGTTTTTAGGATATTCAAAAAACATGTATAGATTTATTTGATATCAACTCAAAGAAATATACAAATGTATTGGATTACAGTGGATTGATTATTAGTGCAACTTTGAGTAGTGATGCAAAGAAATCATTTTTAATATTTACTGTTCAATTACCTGATTCCTCCCCTGACCCAAATGTTAATAGATGTACGTGAATGAAACATACAATAACAATTTAATATTTATATATTGACCTTTCTTTTCTTTCTATTTTCTTTTAGTATACTCATCATTTATTTATGAAATGAATAAAAGAAATAATATCTTTCATTCATTGGAGAAATCATCAACACATATTCCAGTCTATCATTGCCTACACGTAGAACAGAAATATTTGCACCTATTATCAATTCAAAATGATGAATGTTCTACTATTAGAGTACCCATTCAAGACGAAAAGTCCAATGGTTATTCATTGCCTCCCAAATTCTCGTTAAAAAAGAATAGCTTTACCAAAAAGTTCTTTTGGTATCAATACGATGACATTAATCACGTTCTCTATGTTTTGCAATACCTCAAACTACGTTCACTCAATGCACCATCAGAGAATCTATTAAAGAAATGGGTGTTTAGAGAAGGAAAGATTCATCAAAGTGGAGAGTTTCCAATCTTTTTAAATAATACCACTGATAGAGTATCATCCAATTTCCCCTATCCTTTTACTCTACCATCACCAAAATCAGATCAAGTAGTTCAAAATATTCATATTGTACAATTAGATGTAAATAGATAGATATTAAAAAACAAACAACAAATATAATATAATTATATTAATACTTATTATTTCTTTATTTTATTTATTTTTTAGTAGTGGAGCATGTTTATGTCATCAAGAAGAATCAACTAATACATCAATTAGAATTAGTGTTTATTTTCTATTTTTAAAACAGAAATTAAAATTCTCAATTCCTCTTGCCTCTATTGATGGAGGTGTATTGTCGATTCAAGTGACAAGAGTATTGTTTGATAGTATGGGCAACTACTTGTTAATCTTTGTTCCAGGTCATTTCCTTCAACTGATAGATTGTTCATCACCAGAACATGATCCATCTATCGGTATCACTCTGTACAATCTTCCAACACATATCAAAGAAATGACATCTCACGATTCTTCAGACCTCGTTTCAATTAGGACTAGACCCTACCCAACAAAAATTAGTACCTCCATCTTACCTTTTTATGTTTTTAGTAAATCTGGTAAGTAAAAGAAAAGAAAAAGAAAAAGAAAAAGAAAGAACAAATATATATTAATCCCTTTTATTTTCTAGAACAAAATTTATTATTTGATTATCATCATGGTATATTGTATAGATATTTATTTGATAGAAAATCAATATCAAATTTATTCCAAAAAGAAACTATTGCAAAATATGGATTGGATAATGGAGCAGATTTGAGAGCTTTGCATTTGGTTATGATGCATATGCAGGATAGTGAATTGGTGTTAAAGATATTGGTCAATGTGTCGAATGAACCACAACTCATATCGTCAGATCTACTCAAAGAGTATATACTTGGACAGACGTATCTAGAGATGAAGGGTAGCAAGTTGGATCCACTCTATCTACAGGCCCTGCCAATGACCTGTTCAGATACAATGGACATCTCTCTATTGAGAAGCAAGTTAAAAGATATTGAATTGACCAATATCAATTGGCAAGCAATCCACCAAATTTTCCTTGGAAATAGTAATAGCAACAACAAGATGATTGACCCTAAAAAGAGATTACGTTCATTTGAAGTGGTCAAACAAGAGGGATGGCAAAAAGAGTCTGGTTCAGTTGTAACTAGCTTTATCAAGAGTTTCTTTGGTGTTGACGATAATAGACCTGATGAGATTAGTAGTTATCGTCGCTATGAATCAGGTCCATTGTCACCGACCAAGACACAAGCCAACTCTAAAATACCCATAAAGTATGCACTCGATGACTATGAGGAGGACCCATTGTTTGACATTACCAACTATGCGTCCAACCTCGCCGACCACTGGCACCAAATCTCGCAGAAAGAGTCAAAGGAGAAGCTGATCGACTGGGCCAACAACTATCGCAACGTGCAGATCAACACGATCAACGCGCTCTACCAGACACTTGTCATGCACATTGGCGGGCTCGACCACCAAGGTCCGATCAGTCGCCATCCCAAAAAGTCACAGCTCTTTAGAGTGTTGGAAAAGTTGTATATTGCCATTGAAGAGCTCAGTTGTCCGTTCCCCAAGGACTTTTACTCGACCTTTACCATCCTCGGCTTTTACTGTCTCCCTCGTAAAGTCTTTTTACAGTACCTCCAAAAGGGACTGTTTGTAGTGACCAGCTCGTTTATCGCAGAGTTGCGCAAATACTATATCGACGAACTCACCGTAGAAGACCGTCATTTCATCAACCAGGTCATTCTCCACCTACGTGACAAGAGCAAGATGATCAGCCACATGCATAACTGGACACTCAATACCGGAGTCATCAACGATCACCTCATCTCCAATCTCATCCAAAAGGGTGATGATCCAAAAGGTGATTTTGATCAGACTGGACCCGACTTTTCAAACTCTAACTTTATTCCACTCACCTCTTTGTTTATGCATCTCGATCGTTGTGTAGCACTCTCTGCAACACAACTTGCTCGTGCAGGTGCCCCTGTCACATCACCCAACAAGACAGCCCCCATTTCAGTCTCACCATCCTCTTCATCACCTCCACCCGCCAATATCAATATCAATGCTACAAATAATGGTATCGGAGTGGGTCTTGGTGGCAATGGTAGCGGTAGTGGTAATGGTGGTAGTGGATCATTTTCAAACTATAATATTGCAAATGGAGGTAGTATATCGTCTGCAACACTCTTTTCTTCAGATTATCATAACCTCAATTTCGTCAAACATCATTATGAAGCAGAGATGGCCATTATCTTGCAACAAAGTGCATCTACCAATAATAACAATAATAATAAAAAATAATCAATCAACATTAATATTAATATTTATTCTCTATCTCACAAAACAACTACGACTCGTAGTACTCAAGATATTTCATTGTGGTGTGTACAAATCGATTTTTTTGATCCTTTTCCTGTGAAGTTCTTGCATCGCGATGAAAAAAACAAAAAAAACTAAAAAGATTTTGGGCTAATATCTCGATGATGGGGTGGATGGTTGAGGATGTCAGACCGACTGACCGACGGACTACCCTGTTATGACTGACCGATTGATAGACTCTCTCAAACCTAGAAACATAACCTATAAAATGATAGAGTTTGGATCATTATAATCATCATTTCTAGAACAAAAAGTAATAATAATAACTACTACTACTACTACAACTATACAACTACATACATACCTTATCTCTAGATATACTTCACTTCGCACTTCACAATAATAATAATTATATTATAACAATGTCTTCATTCACTTCACAATCATCTACTTCTTCTTCTTCTTCTTCTTCATCATCTGAAGGAAAGTCGATGTTATCTTTTATCATCAACGATGATAACACTTCACCAATGGACTATATGCCAGTCTCTAGTGGCTTTGTGATCAAGTCTACTCCCTCTGCTGTTGCTGCTTCTGTTTCTACTGTTGCTGCCGCTGCTGTACCTGCCTTGCCAGTCAAGAGAGATTTAAAGAGAAGACCTGGAGAACAACTACAACGTCGTAGTGTTAACAAGGTGTCTCTTGTAAAGACCAAACAATCTGAAGTTGCTGATTCCCCCTCCTCCAGTGCCTCTGCCTCCATTTTTGAGTTTGTTCAAGTGAAAAAAGAAATCATCGAAATTGAAGACGACGATGATACTCTTGTTATCGCTACAACTGCCTCTCCCACTACTGCTGCCACTGCTACTGCCACTGCCACTGCTACCGCCTCTGCCACTACTGCTGCCACTGCTACTGCCACTACCATTCCTACTGCCTCTCTCACTGCCGCTGCTGCTCTCACTGCCACTGCCACCACTGCCACATCCACTCCTACTGCAGGTACCAAGATCTTGGGCAAACAATTACCATTCCCATTCGATCAACTTCAATCGTTGATGATGTCTGCCATTGCTGTATTTAACGAGACTTGGGGGATCATCCAACAAATCAGAACCAAGAAGGTACCTTCCACCACACAATCAGTTATATCATCGGTCCTCAATCGTTTTACCATTGTAGGCAACTACTTTACCCGTCTCGACACGTTGATTACTGACCACAATTCAATCTTTGCCAAGGACAAGAACTTTGTCGAACATCAAAAGCAATACCAAAACTTCCAAAAGCAATACCAGAATGCCAAGACGTTGTTTACTACCATCGTCGCCGACAAGGTAGAAGAACTTAAATGTCAATTGAATCAAGTTCAACAAGTTTTAAATACTAAAACTAAATAATTAAATAAAATAATACCACCACCTTGTAAATCTGTCATTGTAATCCTATATAATATAATATTATTTCTTTTTATTTAATTTTAATCTTAATCGAGATGTAATCTACAATCGTTTTATCTATTATCTTAACACTACTGTTGTCAATGCAAAGAGAGATGTGTACAAGATTTATACACCTCTGCGCTATGTCAAAGAAATAAGACAAAATCATTGAATTCATCAAAGAATATATAACCCTCTTTGGTGGAAAGTGTCTTTTCATTCATCATGATGACAATCAAATTGGAGGGCATAGAGGGGCTGGGGGGCACCCAAGATTTCGAATTTTTTTTGGTACCCATCAATTCTATTTTAAAATCCAATGTTCGAACAACGGTTGCATGAAATCGGTGTTGGGGCTGAGTGTGTAGCACACAATCTGGGGCATCAATGTTTATTAATCTTTTACCTCTCCTTCTATTATTATTTATATCTTTATCCCACTGTTAGTTTTAGATTCAATACGCATTACATTATTTTATTTGTACATATATAATACTTTATTTATTTTTAGATTTTTAAAAGAAAAGAGAGAGAGATCACGATTCGATCACTGTTTTATCGGAGTAATTTGTTTTTTTTTTTTATCGCGATTCAAACACTATCTCACAACACACTACACACAATTATTATTATATCTATCATTACTACTACTCTAATCTTTTAGATGATTAAAAACAGAGTAATAACAACTTCAACATTGATCAATGTTGTTGGATTGTTAACAACTCTTTTAATTTTATTATCCTCTCCTAGTGCATCGTTGGCACAATCATGTGGAGGTGAGATCACTCCATTAGAGTATACTTTGAGAGTACCTGATTCATGCTCACCGGGTAGAATCAGCCCCTACTATCTCCAAATTGACACTGCTCATTTGTACTCGGTGCTCTATACATCACCTGCACTCTACTTGAAGTGGGCGACCGATAGCAGAGTCACCATCGATTTGCCACTCGACCATGCATTGAACCTTACCATTTATTATGGCAATCAAACTTGTAAAGAGTCGATTGACTTTCAACACACATCCTACTTTAAGGTCGATACTCCTCAATGCCAACATTCACTCGTCACCGTCGTCAACAACTTCCCTACATGTATGACACCCACTCTCAACAACATCCCTTTTGACTCGATTGGCAAAACACAACAAATCTCGGTCAACACTGGTGACTATGCTCTCAACTGTAGAATCGATGGTCAGTCTTGTAGCATGGCTCTCAATATTCAATCACCAATCCAAAAGGATCCAAAGCTTAGAGTAGTCCCAACGAGATGCAATGACGGTGGTTCTATCCTCGTACTCAACCCAACCGACTACACTTCGATCAGATTGTACAAGGGTAACACCAACTACACCATGGTTGGAAATGATTTCTTCCCAGACCTCCCATACGGTGGGTACAGTCTCGAAGTCATTTCTGGCACATGTGGAAACCAAACCATCCCAGTATCAATCGTCCAAGACATTCCATCCATCAAAGTAACTGCCAACGAAAAGATGGAGTGTCCAGACAACCTTAATTACACCGTCTCCTTTAGAAACTACAATGTCACTGATCCAGAATTCAGTTTCGGTCAAGATAGATTCTCTGGTGAAATTGCCGTAAACTATGATCAATGTGAAGCTTCTTATAGTTTTGATTATCATTATTATCGTACGTCTCAAACAAACAAACAAACAAACAAACAAACAAACAAACAAACAAACAAAAACAAAGTATTCTAATATTCTATTTTCTTTTTTCTTTTTTTTTTAGCATTCCCATATGAACATTCAATTGATTATGAATCAATTTGTTCAAATAGTTTTAATGAATCACTGTTGGTTACATTTAGTGGTTATTATGAATCATTGATGGTACAGAATCCAAATTACCAGAGTATGGATATTTTGAATAATAATACATTCTGGGCCAACATTGGTGATCAATATCGTGCCTCTATTCAATCGTGTAATAGACAAGAGTATGGTATCCAAGTGAACCTCCCCAAACCAGTTTTGGTAGAGTATCCAGAGCCAGAGGAGAGCAAACTTTCATGTCTTTACAATACCACATTGTACATTCCAAACCATCTCGATTTCGATCCTGAAACACTCGTTCTTTTCTTCTCTAGTAGAATGACCGAATACACTTTATTGATCAAGGCAGAGAATGGTGTTTTCAAGAATATCCCACGTCTACCATACACACTCTCCTACGATTATCTCAATCCAACCAATGGAAGCAAGTGTTTGTCTGGTTCAATTAGTATTAATTTGGAACAAACTGCTCTTGCCAAAGAAGAGTATACTGTCAAACCTCTAAACTATTCAGGTACCTGTGTACCAGAGAATAGCATTGAACTCGAATTCACCTTTCCCAATGGATACTCGGTCACTACTGCCAACCAGTACAATGACAACGTCCTCTTTTGGGTGCAAGCCTATCCATACTGTATCGACTTTTTGATGTTTGATTCGGCCAAGTATCCAAACACCACCCTTCCAGCCAACATTGATATTCAAGCCGTCGACGCACAATGCCAATACGATCCCAGAGTCGGAATTACCGTCTCCTATCCAGGCAGTCAAGAAACAGTCCAAGGAGTGTATATTAACGGTGTCCGTCAACAATACACACAATCTTTCTACAACGTTGCACCTGGAACATACGATGTGTCGGTCGTTACCAGTTTCTACAGAACCACCGATATTTATTGTAGCAAAAATGCAACTGTCACTGTTCGTAACTTAGACACTTCTGGATTTGCTGTCAACTGCGTTGCCGTCCCTGTCACCTCTTGTTTGACTGGTGGCTCCATTGTATGTGATACCCAGAATGGAACAGTTTCATATTTGACGACCAGTACCTCTCCCTCTATTGATGGTCCAAATGCAGTCTTTGCCGACCTTCCTTCAGGCTACTACAATGTCCTCATCACCAATCCAGCATGTCCAGCATATGGAAGTTCAGGTGATTTTGGAGGTATCATGCGTGTCCTTGTCCCAACCGACCCAACCAACTATACCATCACACACACCATCAGACGTCCAAGCACGTGTCCAGCCGGAGATGCCTTTGTCTCGTTTGACATTTTTGACAATGCCTTGCAAGAACCAATTACCATCGAGAATGTCATGTATAATGAACGTTCAGTGAATGGTGACTATGTCTCTTTTGTAAGAGGAGGAAATAATGTTGAATTTGGTCTAAGAAGTTCATATTGCAATTTCTCTTACATTGTCCCCAAGGTCGAAGAATTGCCAGTCTCATCACTGTTTGATTTCACTTTGTCCCCAGAAACCTGTGCTGCACCAAGTAGTGTAAAGGTTATTCCCAAGTCAGTGTATGCGTCAGTCACATCCTTTACCTCAAATTATTGTAGTTTTAGTACCAATTTTGTAGACCAAGTATATGACTGTAACTCGGGCGATATTACTGTCAAACTTGCCTGGAACAGTAATTGTTATGCCGAGTTCCCAATCACCGTCCCACAACCATTGACCGCCATCAAACCACAATTCACCTACACACCACCCGCCACATGCGGAACACTCGAGGGTTACCTGACCATCACCAACATCGACCAATACAGAACCATTGGTTTCTACGATGCCACCGCCGACCCAGTCACTGGCATCATGTACGCATTGCAATCCGACGATACAAGAGAGCTTGACTATGTCGACATTAACGGATGCAGCGCCCAATACGAGTTGAGTGTCAAGGATTTCTACCCTGAAACCAATCTCACCACAGCCGGTATTATCATCCAACCAGAGTCATGCACTGGTGGTTGGGATGGTTCAGTCACAGTGCCCACTGGAAACGGAAAGAAATACCAACTTTTAATTCAATCATTGGTTGGTAATGGCGAAAAGGTTACACTGACATACACCAACTCCATGGCGCGTCTTGAAAACGGTGTCTTTTCCAATTTGTCATCTGGCAAGTACCTCTTGATTGAGAGTGATCAAGACGACTGGCACTGTCAAACATCTTCATACTTTGAGATGATCAGTGGTGAGCCAACTCTTTCTCTTTCAGCTCCAGAATGTTCAGACTCGTTGTACAATGTTTTGGTCGGATCAGATTTTGCCGGCAACTCATCTACCGCCTTTGGCAATTTCACATTGTCTCTTGTAAACACAACCGGTTCCTATGAATACAATGCCAACAATCAACCAATCCCATTCAACCAAGATGAAACCTACTTTGTCACTGTCAACAATGCCAATCAAAAGTGTCGTCGTATTTTCAATGCCACTATTGTCAAACAAGAGGATACCGTCACTGCCAACATTACCCGTACCATCCAACCAGACCTAGTCACCTATAGTCCACCAGCCGAATGTATCGATGATGGCGGAGACAGCAAAAAGAATCTTGCTTGGATTGCAGCTGTAGTCATTGGAGCTCTCTTGGTCGCTTTAGGTGTTGGTTTCCTTGTCTATAGATTAAAAAGAAGACCAGCGACAACCTCTATCGATATGCCAAAAGACGATAAAATTGAAATGAAGACAGTACCAGTCTACACTGCTGGAAAGATTCAAAATATTGATGAATTCTAAAACTAAACAAAACAAAACACATCCAAACATCATTAATTAACATTATTAATAAAATCTTAAACATATTGAATTATTCTATATCTATCAATCTCAATTAATATTGTTTATTTTTCTTTTTCTTTTTTCGATTGTATCCACCATTATTATTGTTATCATTATTTTGGTATATTGGTGGTGTAGATGAAGATGAAAGAGATACATCTAATAATGGTAAAGAATGAAGATGTCCATTACTTTCTTTATGATGAAAATGATCACCACTACCATTGGACATTATAGGTGGAGAGGTAATTGAATTTGACAATGATGATGATGATGATTGTACTCCATTTTGTTGATGTTGTTGATAGGTTTGATTTACATTTAAAGAATTTCGACGATTATGTTTTAATGAAAATTTGGGAGACAAGACATGTTCGTAGGCTTGACTAAGAACAGCACTACTAGTTCCAATTGTTGTGGCTACAATATTGTTTGATTTACTAATCATATACGACAAGAATACTGTTCCAATGACAGTGGCCAACAAAAGCATAAGATAATAATTTTTGTCATCTTCATTCTTTTGTTCCATTCTAATAATTCTCTCACGGAGATAATTGATTTCCTTTGAAAAATCCCTGGCAATCTTTACCTCTACTTCTTCCTTTTCCCTTGCTATTCTCTTTTCCAAATCTGCACCAAGGTATGCCATTTTTTCAAAAAATTCAGATAACCTATTAAAGTCATCTCTAATTGATTGAATGGTTTCAGAATAAAATGCCTCTAATTTTTCCAAATATCTATTTGAAATTGATTGATTAATTTCCAATGATTTAACTAAAAAATAAATAAAAAATAAATTAATAAATATATATTTACAAAAATATATTTTTTGTTTGTTTGTTTGTTTGTTTGTTTGTTTGTTTGTTTGTTTGTTTGTTTGTTTGTTTTGACTTACCTCTATTTGCTAAAGTTTTAAAAATACTTTCAGGATTCTTTTGAGATTGTTGTTCATACATTTCTGTAATTTGAGATATTTGGTCTTCTTCTTCAGTTGCACTGGTAGTTGTTTGAGGAGGTGGATGATAAAATACAGGTTGTTGTTTTTGTGTCTTTTTAAATATATCGATAAGATTCTTTAACATGCCAGCAGTTGTTTCAAAGTTTTGATTGGTAGAATCACCTTTGTTTGATATTGATGCTGAACCACCTACTGTACCAGGTGTTCCATGATAATGTAATTTTCCATGTAATTGTTCTTCAATAATTTTCTGCATATTTATATCATTCTCCATACCCGCCTTTAAATCTTCAACCATCGTCGAACCATAAACTTTAATATCTGAAATTGGACAATAAACTTGATTACCATAATGTGTCAAAAATTTAATTTTAATATATCTACAAAAAGAAAGGAATATTAATATCCAGCTAGTTGACATGTAATATATATATATATTATATATTTGATTTCTATTTTTTTTTTTTCTTTACATACTTGTACCAATATTTTTCTTTAAGTGCAAAATATTGTGGTTTTCTAACGTTGTTGGCAGTGAAATTACCAAGACTATCCCATTGCATACTCGGGTATTGTTGTGAACCATAGACTGTAAAAGTTTTAAACATGGATGAAAAGAATTCATAGTTAGCCAATTCGATGATTTGGATTCCAATTTCTTCACACAATTCAATGACAAACCATTGATCTGTACCACATTCATTCAACATGTATCGATCCTTTGATGAATGTAGAATGCTACTAACTTCTCTTGCTTCTCTGTTTGTTGCCAATACTGTTGCTCCACATTCTGCCGATGCATAGTTGAATTGATTTGGTAAATCTTCAGGTTTCTTTGGTAATGGTGTTGTTGGATAGGTATCATTTATAATTGGATTATGTTGGTCTTCTTCTTCATCATCTTTATCAGATATTGTTAATATTTGTTGTTGTGCTAATTGTTCTGCTTCTAAGAAGAAAAAGATTAATAAATAAAGGTTAATAAATGTGTATATAGTATTTAAAAGGGTGAGTGGGACTTTGACATACTTTGAGCTTTTCTTTCTTTTAATTCATTTTCCAATCTTTCTCTTTCTATTTGTTTATGAACTTCTTCAATGACTGTAGTAATATTTGTCATTGGTCTACCAGTATTTTGATCTTGTTCATTTTTGTTGTTGGTTGTTGGTTCCTCTTCATTTTCCCCGATGATTGGTTCTTTCTTTTCGACTGTATTATTATCGGTGATTGGTTGAGATGTAGTAGTAGTACCGTCCTTTTCATTCCCTTTAGGCGTAGTATCATCAATGATTGGTTTATCTTTTTCTTCTTTTTCCAATAGTTCTTTGGTTGATGTAATTTCCTCTTTGTTCTTTTCTATTTGGTCATCGTTAATTTTTGTTGTTGTTTGTTCTTCCTCTTTCTTTTTATCCAGCTCCTTATTATTTGTTGTTGGTTCTATCGTCTTGGTTGGTTTCTTTTCTTCTTCAAGTTGATTGATATCATTATTATTATCATTATCATTATTATTATTTGTAGATTCTTTTTCTTGTTGTTCGGGTTGGGTTGTAACTTCATCTTGAATTATGCCAGTAGTATCAGTGTTTAGTTCTATCTCTCCCTCTTCCTCCTCTTCTTCTTCTTCTTCGTATGTAATATCATCTATTATTTTGTCTTTTTGTTCTTCTTCTTTCTTTGTTGGTGGTGGAGGAGGAGGAGGGTCTTGTTGTTGTTGTTGTTTCCGGTGAGACTCGTCATCGGGATTCAATGGTGCTATCGTCTCTGGTGTGTCATCAATTTGTTGTTGTTGTTGTTGTATAGGGTTGTTGTTGTTGTTGTTGTCTTGTATGATTGAAGTATCAGATAGTTCAGAATCTGAGAGTGGAGTAGTGCTAGCATCAACAAATGGATGCCACTGTGAAGTGTATGCAACAAAGAGCAGTCCTACCACTAAAACCAACAACAATGATAATCTTGACGATCCAAGTTGTCTATGTTGTTTCTGTCTATGTGTCATATTGTTGTCTTGTAATATTACTTTCTATCTATTATTATTTATGTACATTTATTAATGAATGAATAAATAAATGAATGAATGGTTAATTTAATATTGCAATGCCTAAAAAAAGAAAGAACCTCGTCACCACCAACTTTGCACCAACATCTTTTTTTTCATTATTGGTTCATATGAATCAAAGATTGTTATTATAACAATGCTTCATAGGATCTTTGTGAATCATCACGCAGTATCAACAACAACATCATCATATGTAACAAAGGCAGTAGCTTCAGCATCAGCATCGTCATCATCATCAAAGATATTTCATTATTGTACTTCAACGAGTAATTCTAAATCGACAGATGAATTGGTCAAACAATTAGATGGAGCAAAGAGATACAATCTATTACAATCATTGGTGATTGTTAAGCCGAGAGAACAATATCTTCCACACCTTGTACCTCAAATACGGTTTAATATCAGCAAGTGTGGATGGAATATTGCAAAGGCATCGTCGATGCCGTTGGCAGAGGGTAACTTGCCTCTTTCCAAGCTGAAAGAGTACATGGTGCTACCACAAGTTGCAAAGGGACGTGAGGCACCGTACGTGGGTATGGCCAAGCAAGTGTACCCCAATGCAGTACACATTAACAAGCAATCGGATAAGCTGTGGGTCGAGACAACATGCAATCGTCTCATTGACCTGTACAAGGCACATTTAGAGACGGAAGACGCATTTGTCAGATGGAGAGTACATATTGGAGGTCGTTCAGAACACCATTTACAATCATTGGTTAGTGCTATCACCAATATGGTATCGACAAGATGCAAACCATTACACCAACTATTTTGTAGTTCACCCACCGAGACTACACCATACACCAAGGGAGATGTACTCGTCCAATTATTATTCACAGGCAAGGATACTGGATACGTGTCTATTGCAACACCACCTCTCATGACATACTTTCAAAAGACTATATCTAGATTACCTAGTGGTGCTATCCCAGAGTTCTCGGATCGACTAAAAGAACGTATTCTCAAACACCAAGGTACAGTCAATCAAGGTGGAGGTAAAGATGGAATCATATCACAGAACCTACCGTCTCGTTCCTATCTAAAGTTGGCAGAGTTGGCAGAACGGTTCCCAGACTATTCAATGGAGTCTCCAGCGGGAGGCGTAGCTATTGATTTGGGAGCATCTCCTGGAGGATGGTCATTGTTTGCGTTGGAGCAAGGGTGTCGTGTGGTGTCTATCGACAAGGCACAAGTATTTGACAAGAGGCTGGATAGATACAAAGATCGTTCCATCACGATACAAGGTGATGCGTTAGAATATGAGCCTCCCAAGGCTGTCGACTGGTTACTGTGCGACATGAAAGTACCAGCACGAACCAGTATCGAACTACTCTCCAAATGGCTCCAACAAGGTTGGTGTGACAGATTCATAGTGACACTCAAATTTGAAGGCACCATGTTGATCACTAGCGACATTGAAAAGCTCATCAAAGACACTATCCTACCTCACACTCAATATTTTAATGCTCATAGTTTAGATAATGGTGGAAAAGAAGTTAATTTATTTGGTACTAGAAAGATTAATAAAGTACTTGGTATATTTTAAAAAAATATAATAATAATAATAATATTTATTTATTTATTTAATTATTTAATTATAATTATTATTATTTAATTTACAATTTGAGCATTAAAATAATTATCATCAGCATGTAAAGTTGCAACAAAATTAATTCTCTTTTTGAATTGGTATACTTCATCTTTAAGTGTTTTTTGTATATCCCATTTGAAATGATTATTTAATTTGTGTACACTTTTTTTTGGAATGATTATTATTCCTGATGATGTTGTCAATTGTGAGACTGTAGTCTTGTCCCAAAGAGATAGACATTTGTCTATTTTAATGACAGATAGTTTTGATTTTGGTCCAACACTTGATTGAAGAGAGGTGAGTAATGCTAGAGACACTAGATCACCGCCGTCGATGATACTACTTGGGTCGGCAATATCTTGCTTTTGAGTGCAACAATGGTATGGTTCAAGTGTAGAGCCAATAGACAGTTGTTGAATGGTTTCAGAGTTTCTAACCAATGATTCAAGTGCCTGTTTAATTTGACCAATCTTTGTTGAGAGATGAGCAAGTTCCTCCAATGCATAGGTAGCATTATAAAACTTGACAGATGTAGATTGATTATTGTGTCCAGCTGAATTATATACAGTTTCGGATGGTTCCCATGCATTTAATTCATGTTGAAGTGTATATGAAAAGTGTTTGATTGTTTGATTGGTTTCAAGGTATTTCAAAAGTGAAATTGAAATGGATGGTGTAACTGATGAGATCTTGCCGCCAACCGTTCCACTACTATCAAACTTTGGTGAGATTGAGAATTTGAATCTAGTCAAGAGTGGTAGAGAGTCGAGACAAGATGTGAGATCCAATGGTTCAATATTCTTGATTTCCTTGAGTGTGAGAGTATGGAGTGATTTGAGGGTCGAGATTTGTTCAAGTAGTCGGTGTACTTGAATGTCTGGTTTGAACTTGTCCACCTGTTCATTGAGTCTGTCGATAGTGAGCGATGTCAAGTTGGTAAAGAGTGTGATTCCAGGTGTAGCTTCCTCGACACTGATTGCTAGAGCATCGCAACTCTCGTTCATGTAGGGCGCGTAGCAGTTGATGAGACGCAAACGTGTCAACTTGTCCTTGTTTTGAAGTGACCGTGCCCAAGTGTTAGGTTCACGTGTCATGTTCTCATTCGAACCGTTCAGGTGGACTTTGAGGTCACGTAGGTTGGTCATTGACTCGTAGCACACTTGAGACGTCATGAATCCATTGTACGAACGGATACTGCCAATCCAAACATACTTTTCGAGGTTGGCTAGCGGTGCAGGGCTCATTTGGTAGGGGATGGCTGCCGACATGTCAGAACCGTTGCTCTTGACGGCCAACTCCCTAATAGAAGGAGTTGCATCCAGTATTCTGAGCAAGACACCGTTATGGTGTTGTTGCCAAGCACCTCCTCGATTAATCGGGTAGATGTAAAGTCGCTCCAATTGCTTGCACTCGGATACACCCAAAAGTGTATCGTTGACCTCTACACTATATAATGTCAGACGACGTAGTGTTGCAGATACCAAGGTAATCGATGCAAACACTGATGCGTTGAGACCTGGAGGTAGTTCTCGACCAAATTGTTCTATGAATACTTTGAGTGTTCGAACTTTGTTGGGTTTGATCGGTTGATCGTCGTCATTCTTTCCACTACCCAATATAGCAAGTGATTGGTATAGTCTATTCAAAGGCATCGTCGTTTGTTTGGCACTTGATCGATCGACAATCGAAGAGGGTAAGACATTCTTCAAGAACGATTTGATTCCTTGGATGACTGGTGCCGCCTCCTTTTGTGGTTTGCCAACTTGATAAGGCACCATAAACTGATACTCCAACATTGCATGAGGGACGATACGTCTAGCCCAATACGTGCAAACGAGGAACAAACCGACAATATTTGATTGGTAATTAACAAGAGGTGCATCGATATCACCGTCGATTGATTTATCTTGATTGTAGTTTCTTTCTACTCCATTGCCCAAGTGACATGAATAGCCTTGTTGCACTAATCTTAATATATCAATCACTAATCTATCAGGTAATCCAACTTGATTATTATCTATTTGTTTATTATTCATATTGTATATTATCTTTAAATATATATATATATCTCTTTATTATCTAGTTGAATAATAATCAATATTATGAATGATAGGTATGTAACATTTGTGTACTCGATCACATGATTGAAGATATATTGGTGTAAGATAATGTTACTTAAAAAATCGAGTGATAAAAAACTTTGAACCAAGGGAGTAGTTTTAGGTATCCAAGCTTTTTCATAGCTATTTTCGCACCCACAACCCCGAATAAAATTTTTGTGTAATGAGTGAGGCCATCATTACCGAGGGTCGTAGACAAAATGAGGTCGCCAAATCCCAGTAAAGAGATATTTTTTTAAACAAGCAATCAAATGAAATTTCTTTTCATATCTAATAATAAATAAATAAATGATTTTAGTGGGATATTCTCAAGATTTTTAAATCTTGTGTCTTTATTTCTTTATTTATTTAATTAAACTAATATTGTTGTACAAAGGGGGAGCAAAGATTGTACAGTAGAAGAAACTAATTGTTTGTCTAAATGAATGAATGTGTTGGGAGGAATAGTAGCAGTTTGTTCCAATTCCATTTGCTGGTATCCAACAACATAATTCTTTTGTGTGTTCAGTTCAGAGTTGAACTTCAAAAATATAAAACCAATTTACCTGCTGCCAAGGTTTCAAAGAAGAAGCCAGCTGCTGAATCGACTCGTCGTCCGCGTGGAACTACCGTGTGGACTGTGCGATTGGGGCACATCAAAAGGTGTAAAGTTGATCAAGACAGAGTGTTACCGGTAATTGGGTGTGTCAAAAGAGAAACTATGACAAGTACGAGTGTCAACATGGTCACGAACGCTACACTCTCTGTGCATTCCACCACAACGAGGGTCACGACAAGACAGTATCATGGATGGATTGTAAAGAATGCGAAGAATTCTCCCCTGTCGACTACCGTGACTTTGCCACTGGCAAATTCAACTTTACCAAAATGTCTAAAGAGGTACTTGCAACCAAGAATCCTGGAAGAAAACTACAACCACCACAACCACCAGAAGTTGTACAACAATAAATTTGGTTCATCGCCAAGAGAGACATGTAAATAGTTTATTTCATTAACAATACTTTCCACTTTAAATGCTTATTCGAATTCGAGATAATAATAATAATACCCAAACATTTCAATCATCGAGCAATGTGGACTATCTTCAATTTTAAATTATATTATTACAATAACTCTCTTTCTTTATTTATTCCTAGGAATTCTTCCATTGTTCAAGAGAACCCAATCTCTGTTCTACAAGTTGAGTGAGGTTATATTTGATGTGCTGATAACGATCAAGAATCGATTGGAATCCGTCTCTTTTGAGAATGAGAAGATGGGTGTGATTTTCTGCAGCCTTGGCAGTACATGATCTAGTGGTACCAAGGAGCAATGAGATTTCGCCAAAGCATTCACCCTTGGAGAGTGTCTTGAATTCGACGTCACCCTTTGAGAGTGTGACTTTACCTTTTCTAATAATGTAGAGTGAGTTGTCATTATCATTCTCTCGGATGATAACCGAACCTTGTTGGAATACTACTTCGCTGTCGATTGCTGCTGCAAAATAGTCAATCTGCTCCTTGGTCAATTGTAGCTGAGAGAATGGGAATGCCTTGGAGAGGACGAAAAAGAGAAAGGGCGAGTAGGTTTTAATCTTTTCAAGGTCATTGGTCAACAGGTCCATGACTTGTTCATCACGATGTTCCTTTTGAATACGAAGGAAATCGTCATTGGTGATGGAAAGCAGCTTCATGTCTGAACTGGCAATCACGGTCGCTGCTCTCCTCGACTGTTGTTTCCAAAGTGCATTTTCACCAAATGTATCACCAGGTATAAACTGTCCAATCACTTTAGAATCACCTCTTGTATTGGATTGATCGACAGCTTCATGATTTGGTTGATGTTCATCTGATGAATGACTTTCCCCTTTTTGTTGTTGTTGTTGTTGTTGTTGTTGCTGTTGTTTTTCTACTTTAATTTCCAATTCTTTAATTTGTTGTAGATCACCTCCAACACTATCCAATGTCGGACTATCGAAATAATGCAAATGATGCTTGTGGAGTATATCCTTGTCGCTCGGGAGCAATACGTCTGCACATCCACTTTCGATCAAGTAGCATCTGTCACATGACTCTCCAGCTTGAATGACAGTGGTCGCCGCCGGTACATTCACCTCTGACATGGCATTGAATATTTTAAACAACATGGATGGTGGAACATGTCTAAAGTAGAAGCTATTTGACATTAATTTGAATCGGCTGACTGCTCGCGAGTAACCTTCGTAATAGTCACCAACAGGAATGGCAATGGTATTCTCCAAACCGACATTGGGGATTCTCAACCCCTCAACCTTGATTGAAACCTGCTGACCATTGACCACCTTTTCGATTCTATCTGGAATACGTGAAGTGTGGACAACCAACAAACGAGATTTGATAGACTCTGTCAAATTGTTTAATGCTTCGATCGATGTATGAATAGGTGGCACACCACACTCGTGTATCATAACATCTGCATCGAAAACAAACATTCTAAGACTTGATTCTCTACGTTCATTGATGACTCCTTTTCTAACCAAATCACTCAAACTCTCTGGACAATATTTTGTATCCGATGAATAGGCAATTGATTTTCCACAAAATGATACTTTAAATCTTATAGTTGGAATTGTATGATATGAATAATCAAACTAAAAATTAAATAAATTAAAAAGTTTAGAAACTAATTTAATTCTCTTTCATTTTTTCTTTTCTTTTTACATACTTCAAATTCAGCACCTTGAATTCTAATTTTTTCACCAATAGGGACAGGAGCCCAATTATAATAATCTGAAATGGATTCTATACCAGTTAGAGCTTTAGCCTTTCGTTTGTAACTTTCATTGATTGTTTTGGTTGTAAAGATGGTGATCTTTTCACTCTCGACAATCTTTTGCAATATTCCACTGTCGTGATCCGAGTGACAATGCGTCAAGATGACTTGATCGACTAATTTATGAGAGATGCCTTTTGATTTGAGGTATGTGGTTGTTCCAATAGGTGGATCGACCAGGATACCATTACCGTTGATCCAAATAATAAAGCCGGTTGTGTGACCGTACGGATCAAACCCATGACTCGTCCCAAGGAACGACAGACCAAATGTGGGTGGACGGAATTTAGAAGATGTGACAACAACGTGTGGCTCTGTGTTGCCCAGCTCTACGTTGTTGTTGTTGTTGTTGGTTTGGTGATGGAACAGCGGACTTCCATAGTTGAGGTGGGGAGTGGATGAAGGTTGAATCGTTGAATCTACCAATCCTTTGAGTGCACCTTGCTCGTAAAAGCAAACGAGGCCAGACTTGTTGACAATTGTGACGGATGTGTTTTGGGAGGGGTCGGCAACCGATGGCAACGAGATCTCTGCCTTGCCTTGCTGGTCGTATGGTGAGAAGACTAAAAAGTCGTCTATAGTAGTCTCACCCTTTCCCTCGCGATGAAAAGCAAGTGACTGACGCTCGGCTGGAAAGTCAATCGCGTAACCAGACGCTTTCTTGGCATCGCATATTTCATCGTTGATGTAGATTGTGTCTGGACCAAACATACTCTCTTTAAAGATGGTTCGGATGCGCTCCAACTGCTCGGCCGCTCCAACCATGACCACACGTCGAAGTGGGTTGGTTGCAGCCTTGTTGATGAAAAAGTTGAAAAAGATGGGAAACTCCACCTCAGAGTAGGACACACCGTGCGACGAGAGAATATGTGGCAGCACGTACACCTGTGGTACCTGCTCTTGTTTCTTGAGTGATGTTTTGATGGTCTCGGGAGGCACGCCAATTTGGATGGGTCCGAGTGAGCTGTTGTACAAGTAGGCACCCTCCTCCTTTTGTCGTACCGTGTCGTGGCTATAGTAGGCAGGTAGTATCGAGTCCTTTTCAACACGTGCCACACACTGCTTCAAGAAAAGGTTGAGTTCTGGGAAGAGGTCATATGTGCGCGTATGACTGGCCTGAAACACCGACACCGAGTTGAACGACGGGATGCTTGGCGACACCATTTTGTCGGTCGATGTATTGGCCTCGATGAATTTACTCGGCACCAATGACTTCCAATTCTTGAGTGACGAGTATTCATTATACAATGTTTGCAATAACAATGATCCAATGTGAATGGCACCATAGACACTCGAAAATAATCCAGGGTTATTGATTGATGTAATGGCTTCAACATTTGCAAATGAACTAACCATTAAATGTTCATCAATTGATATTTTTATATTTAAATTATTACTATTATTACTATTATTACTATTATTGTTGTTGTTATCAGTTACAACATTATTGAATTTAACATTTGAAGAAATCATTGATGCTACAGTTTCAATGATTGAAGGTGAATAGATTCCGATTACTTTAGTTCTAAATACAATGAGAGCAATGATAAACTTTGCCAATTCTACATCAAACTGTACAGATAATGATGAATGAGGATCGAGCACATGTGTATCATCCCAATAAAACAATCTACCAAAATAGATTGGGTATCCAAATTTATGAAAGAATGTATGTAATCTAAAGAGTAGAGTAGAGTAGGTATTAACTGTCAATACAACACCCTAAAGTATAAATAAATGAATGAATGAATGAATGAAACCTACTCTTCAATGAATTGAAATGAAGTGCGTGGTGAAGAAGGTAATGATGATGATTTTGTTGTCGCTTTATCGATGACTGTATCTTCAAGTGAATCCTTTTCTTTCATTGTTATGATGATGTTTATATTATATTATATATATATTGTTACAGAGAGAGAGATACTATGAACTATAGTTGTAAGATGTTTGAATGAATGAAAGAAAAAAATCTAATCTTGGTGCGATAGATTTAAATAAAAAAAATTAAAAGAAAATATTAAATTATTTTCGATTCTTATTTTCATCGAAGACCTGTCGTTTGCACAAAAGCTTGTGAAGAGACAGTCCGTTCTTCTCCTTTTAACAAATATATGTTACGTGTAGTTGAGTACCAAACAAACATGTTTACATAAACATACTTGTGTTATAATACACAAAAACAATAATCACTCTCTATTTGGTTAACAAAAGGAGGAGATGACAACCAGTTCTTCATCTACATCTTCATCATCTACTTTACCAACAACTATTTATTTATCACATTATATACATAAACTTATTGTTAATCTATTTATTAAAGATGAATGTTCAATCAAAGCAAATAGATTAAAAGAGTGTACATCCAAACCATCTCTATTGCAAAAGAAAAAGTACTCTAATCCAATCGTAGAGGAAAAGGCATTCGTCACCAACAATGAGTGTCTATTGTTCTACATGGGTACCAATGATAGGAGATACAACTGCAACGAGGTAGACGAGTCAAAAGAGTTTGAGAGATTGTACAATCAGTCAGTGTGGAGGCAGTTGGCATTGGTGTCAAAGAGTTGGTTTCAAATCGTTCAGCAAGCAGTCACAACTTGGTACATGAAGGATTTAGATCATTCATTTATCCAACCAATAGAATCAAACCACTCAATATACAGTAAACAATACATTCAAACAATCATGTGGAAACCAAAACAACAAGAGATAAAAGTATACACTCAACAACAAATTGAATTATTGGACTCTTTTACAAGTCTCAGAAGATTGGTTATTCAAACAAAACTAGACAAGTCATTATTGGCAACATTGAAATCAATCTACAATAGGTATCCATCAATTACAATAGTAGATGTGGATATGACATTAGTATATGATGACGACGACGAGGAAGAAGAGGAAGAGGAAAAGGATCAATTAATTGACAAAGGTAGAAATGATATTGTATGGGATGAAGATACAGACAGAACAATCAATTTCAACCTGTCATTAAATACATTCTATGATGGAAGATTGGAAACAATCGATCTACTAGCTCAATTAAAACCAATTTATTTTAATTGTACTGCCAAGTCATCAATGTCATTTCAACCGTTGTTTGAAAGAATCAGGTCCCTCCAACATGTACAAATACAAAACTGTAACATATCTTTGAAAGATCTCAGTAGTGTACTGCTTACAAATCCAAATATCAAGTCTCTTCATATTCAATTGCTACTGTGCCACGTCCAATATGACTATTCCGATTATCATCATCATGTGTGTCGTTCATCCCCACCCGCCGTAAAGGAAGGGAATCGTTTAAAGGATTGGGAAGCATTTTGTAGTACACTTGCCAACAATAACACACTAAAGACCCTGTGTATTGGGAATACATGTAAAACATTCTCTGCCAATGCTGTGCTTTCGACACAGTTTCAATCGGTCTGGACCAACCCCAATAACCAAGTAGATATGTTGGCACTCTATTCTTTACCAGTCCTCATTTGCCATGGGTTATTCGTATCACTCTCTCAAAATACAATGGTAACCAAATTGTTTTTGGAACGTGGGACCTTGCGTCAAGTCTACTTGGAAGATTTAAATGTATTGTTAGAGACCAACACTAGTATACGTGTATTATCGATAGCAAACAATCAAATCAGAGCATCAAAGGCATTGTCGAGTGGGCTACTCGCCAACAAGTACATCACCAGTTTAAATATTGCAGGCAATAGATTCATTAGTGGTGGAACTGATATGTTTACTGCCATGTTGGCCAATGATACTGTGGAATACTTGGTTGTCGATGACGATATGGTTGTATACAACCCACAATACTTTATTCAATCAAAATCATTGATCAAATTTACAGTTGCTAGTAATATGGTTGGCAGATTTTCATTCAATCGTTATACAATTGATCGTTTTTTCAGTTAAACGTACTTTTGACGCCAACTACAACTTTCAAGTATCCAAGCAAGTCATCATCTAAAACCTATGAACGACCCATAGCTCAGAACCTATGCCCGTGTCATCCATCGCCTGGAACCTATGACCTATAGCCCCGAACCTATGAATGATCCATCATCTGGGATATTGCCTTTTCTCATGGGTCCTTGGGTCATCAATCATCTAGAACCTGACCTTATTTTCATACGTCGTCCTATGGCTCAGAACCCCACCTTATTTTCTTCCTTCTTTACACAAGGCGAAAGGTTGAATCTCATTAATCAGATTAAGTTTACTAAAAAAAAAAACTTATATATACAAATTTATTATTATGGTTAATCTTCTTCCTCGTTATTGTGAATTAAATTATCATCAGATAGTTGAGTTTGGAGGGAGGGATTATTATTATTATTAATTGATGATGCTTCATCGGCCATTGAAGATTGGGAAGTTGATTTCTGAAGATTTGCTTTGGGAGAGATGAATTGCAAAAGGTATTTACTATTTTTAATATTCTCTTTCTGGAACAAATCTACCAGATACAACTCAAACATGATTCTACGTGACTCTACCGTGTTTGTACCAAGGTTATTTAAAAGATGTTTCTTTGGCAATTCTTTCAAATTGGAATCTGAAAATTTCTTTTTCAACTTGTTATTTAAACTATCAAAATCACTATAACGTTTTTCTATTGTATATTGTTCTCCTGTACTTTCATTTAATATATCAATATAATATACCTAATAAAAAATAAAAATATATATTAGATTATTATTATTATTAAATTATTTTTGTTTGTATACAATACAGTAAAAGGTTTCTTTCCTTGAATTTTTTTACTTTCAGTTTTCTTGATTTGAACTGTGAACCAAGCAGCATTATTTGCCATGTTTGTGATAGTGGATGCATCGGAAATATCAACGGTGAGTCTACTTGATCTTGGTTTTGATTTATCGATAAACTGGATCATTGCTTTTTTCAACTCTGGGGTGTGGAGTGATACAAAGGCAGTGGTTCCATTGTAGATGAGATGGATAGCGTTTTGGATGACAGCACTGTCCTCAACGTCTTTGACACGGAGATGTGCAGTTTCGAAAAAGAATTTGAGTTGATACTTGTCGGCCTTTTTCTCGGTCAACAAAATGGCATCGTTAAAGTAAAAGCAGACAAGCTCCTCCTTGTCCTTTTGGAATCGCTGATCGAGCTGGCACTGATAGACCAACCCTTGTTTGATAAAGTGACGTGATGGACGAACCAATTCGGCCTCTTCATCCCATCCAATCAGAGATCTCTGGATCTCCAACACCTTGCTCTGCGACTCGGCCATCTTGATGGATGAATTGACCTCGTCGGCAACCTGTTGCACATTCTTGAGTGCCAATGCCAAACTGTCATAGTCACAATGATCTTTCCAAGTATTACGATAGAAATCTTGCAACAAGAGAATGTATCTTGGGATTCTCTGCACGACCGTAATGAGCAGCGACTCGAGACTCTGCTTCATATTGTTTTCGGGGTGGTCTAGACAAGCCTTGATAAACAACTTGAATGTCTCGTTTTTCTTGGCTTGTTGGAGACATTCAATGGCAGTGTCATAGTTTAGACAATAGGTCTTGTACAGTTTGAGGTATGGAGCAAGTGTCACAAAAATATCACCAATCTTTTGACGATGATCCCAGTTTTTTGAACGTTCACGTAGTCGGGTAATCAACTCTCTGTTGAAAGAATATATTTCCTTGACTGTTGAAAAGATAGTGTTTATCTGGTCTTGGGTCAAGTATGGAGTTGGTGACACCTTATTATTCCAAACAACTTGTTGATAAAACACATTTACAATCATTTCAATTCCTCCCATATAATTCTCTTCTGATGATAATATTTCTTTAAATACTCTATTTCTATGATTATGGAATTTAACTAAAAAAAGATCAAAGTATTAATATCTTTTTCTTTTCAATTCTTTTTTTTTGACATACTTCTTTTTTTAACAATTCTAGTTGCAATCCAAGTTCTAACAATACATTGACAACGAATAATGGTTGGTAATAGTTCAGGATCACTATATCTTTCAGTATCGATAATTTGTTTTAAATATACTTTTCTTCTAACCAATTTATCGGTACTACCTGCTTTGGTTGAGAACCATGCCGATTGCTTTTGTTGTTGAATCGTTGGAGTGATTGTGCTAGATGAGAGACTACTGTCAGCTTGTTCCAACTCTTGAGCCAAACTCTTTCTAAAATCATGAGAGTTGCCTGATTTCATATCGATAAAACTGGTTCTAGATCCAGCAAGATTAAATCCAGTACCAGATTGTGGTCTATCTTTTTGATTGATTGTTCTCCATCTCTTTATACTCGAATCCTTTTCAGGTGAACTGGATGGTGACAATGAATTGATTGATGGTGATTTCTTGATTTCATTGGATGATGAAGAATCAAGTGATTGAATAGAAGGTGGACGCGAGAGAGGTCTTGGAGGTATTGTCGTTGTATTGCTATTATTATATGGGATAGCGGGTGATAAGTTTGGTTTGTTTGATGAATATTGTTTAAAATCACTTGATGTTGATCTTGGAATTGGTGTAGTGGATGTGGATGATATTGGGGATGAGGTTGAAGAAGAAGAAGAAGCTCCCATCGATGACATTGACAGTTCTTGTTGTTGATCACGACTACCAGCAACCGTTGCAACCACTGCACCAGTATTATTATTATTATTACCGTTACTATTATTATTGAGAGTATTAATAATAGAATTAATACTATTGAGGATAGGTTCAAAACCCAAACTATCTGTTGATTCTGAATGAATCATTCCTCTACTGTTGACTGGTGTATTATTAATATGTCTACTACCAGTACTGGTAGTAGGTTGCTGCTGCTTTGTAGTATAGAATAATGCAGAACTTGTCTTTCCCGTTGACAATAGGTAGAGTCTGTAGATGATACTTTGAATACTCTTTTCATTGCCATCGACAAAGTCTTGTGGTGAGCACTTGGGAAGCATCAATGCAGACGACTCCATAAAGGCAAAAGAAATGTTGATGTTCTCAATCGACTGAATTCTGCTTCTTGGGTTGGGGTACCCCTTTGACGGCAGTTTCTTTGCCGTTATAATCTCTAATATGTTTAGCAACAACACTCCATTCTTCCAATCATCAAACGATTCAAAACTTAATTGTTTACGATCTAATAATAGTTTCTTTGCCCATTGTATCTCCTGTACATATAAATAGTATTAATATTCTATATATATATATATCCATATCTTTAAAGATAGATACTATCTTGTTTAAATAAACACACCTTAGAATCCATTTTTTTTAATATATTATAGTCCCTTTTTCTCTCTCTCTTTCTTTCTCTAAATTAGATAAAATAGTTTATAGGAACGATGATGATGATGATGATGATAATGCAAAGAGCAATGAGTGAGAATGAATGACTATTGTTATTGAATTGTCTGTCTGTCTCTTGTTGTTTGATTGAGATTAAAGATACCGAGGACGGGGAAATTTTAAAAGGGAGGAGCGCACCCCTTTGTTTTTTTTAAAAATGAATTAAAAATCAGGCTGATCTTTTTAAGGTGTTCTGATTGGTGACCCCCCCACTCAATCCCAACCCATCTCCATGGATCTTTGATGTAAATTAAATTAATTGCATTTATATGTATTGTGGTATGGTAGGCATATCTATGGATGATACAATAAGAGAGAATGTGATCTACATTGAATTTTATTGGTTTGTATAATTGGGTTTTTGATTGATTGGTTGATTGATTGCTAGCTGGCTATTCTATTATGATAATCTTGCAAATGATGATGATGATGATGATGATACTATTAATTCATATGACTGATTACTTGATTATAGGTGGTGAGGACGAGGGAGATTACACTAATTACGAGAATAGTAATGTAAAACTCTGGTTTTGAAAACACAGATTTATATGGGTTGCTAATATTGTAGTCTCTCTCCAACATCTTGTTTGAGTAGTATGAAATCAGACAGGGCATGATAAACATGATACCCAAACCACCATAGCCTCCGGTAATGCTGACGAGGAAATCTACATTTCTAGTGATGAATGCTATGCCAATTGGAACAAGAGATGATACCACTGAAAAGATAGCTCCACGCAGGAACTGTCTAGATGTATCCTCTTTGTATTTAATCAATTGCATTAAATTATTTCTAAGGGTAATTGAAATTAAAATATAATTGGTTGATAATGTAAATACAGGGAATAATGCTAAAAAGTCTGCAAATATTTTAATATCTAAAAAATAAATTAAAATTAAAAGGAATAATAAATAAATATAGTATAGATTGGAGGTTGATTTGATTTGGTTTGGTTTAACACTTACTATAAGAAGAAAAATTAAAAATATAAAGTGATTGAATAGTACATGGAATAAATGTATGAATATTATTTGGAGTACATGTTGGATTGGTTACATTTCCAAAAGCATACATAGCAGTAATACACAATGTAGCATAGGCAATGAAAATAGCAATGAAATCAAATCCTAAAAGATATGGTAATCTATTCTTTTTTTCAATTGGTGTAATAATTGATGGCAACTGAAAAATAAAAAAATATATATATATTAATACACTACTCTATATATATATATATTTATATAAATATTGGAGATTACATACAGAATGATGACACATAAAAGCATAAATTGAAACACCAAACATTTTTGGTAGATGAGTTATATCAAACATTGGAAGTTCACTTGATTTGGCACCATTACCTTGGGCAATATAGATGATGGCTAGGATAATCATTAAAAAGAATGCCAAGTTACGAGTAAAGAGTGTAGCAATTTGGAGGTATTTTGTCTTTTGAAAGTTAAACATTGAAAATGGTACGACAAACATTGCAAAGAGTACAAGATAAAAGTAATAAACAGAATCATCGGTAAAATGAATTGATCCAATCGAAAATCCACCAGTAACAGTTGCCAAACTAGTTGGTACTGTTGCTGCATAAATAGCTAAATCACCAAATAAATAAATCTAGAAAAAATAACAATCAAAATCAAATTATTAATAAATATAATATAATATAATAAATTTGTTTCTTTGATTTCATACAATTAAAATAACATAGAATATCTTATGACCTATATCACCGAGAAATAGCTTTGCCATGAAACCTACTTCGGTACGTTGAACAATTTCAAAATCATTTGCTACGTTGGGTGGTGATGATTCGTGATTGATTAGAACTTGATTCTCATCTTCTTTAGTCTTTAAGATAAAGTTGGCTGCTGCTTGTGCTTCTATAATCCATTGTGTTGTTACATATCTATTATATTATAGAACATAGATAGTCATTGATTAGATCATCTGATCATCTATCATCTTCCTCTCTCCCCTCTCCTCTTTCTATCTATATAGTCAATATACATACGCCAAGAAACCAGAGAATGCTAGAAACAAAGTACCTAGTACAATACCTGCTTGTCTTACACCCAAAGGGAGACCAAGTGCACCAATACCAACAACCAAGTTGAATATATAAATGAATGCTGTCTTTTTACTATAACTTGCTCCTGGATCTACTGCTCCTCCCATCTTCTTATTTTATCTATCTTTATGAAATAATTATATCTATCTATCTATCTATCTATCTATATAATCTTGAATGATAATAACAACACCAAGACAAATTGAAAGATTACAACCCACACTTGTATTTTGATTCCTACACCCAATGTTTTTCGGCGGGATAATAGGAGACGAGTAAAAAAAATCTATCATCGGTGTCCCAATGAATCCCGACCGAATGGTCACCTGGGCGATGGGTGGTATTGGTGTTATTATTTACTTGATTTGGTATTGTTTGATTTACTTTACTTTTTAACTTTGAATTTGTAATAAATTTATTAGATTGTTTAAAAGATAATAAAGATGATTTTGAAATTAATGAGTTTAGTTGAATTGTAATTGATTGTTTGGATTCCAGGTTTTGGTTTGGTTACTTTTACTTTCTCTTTCTCTTTTGTTCACTTTCTCTGCTGCTGCTACCACCACCACTGCTACTACCACCACCGGTAGCACCACCTGGTGCATTGACATCATAATTCTTTCTCTTGTCTTCAGCTGCAGCCTTGGAATTGAGTGTATCCCAATCCTCACCTTCACTTTCACCTGAATCTTCTGATTCATCAGATGCTGATGATTGAGATGATAACTAGTAAATTAAATTAATAAATGAAATGAGGTTAGTATTTTTGTTATGTTTCCTATTTTTTTATCAATCAATCTACATACAGAATCAGATTCTGGTTCATAATCAGAAGGTTCATAATCATCATCACCTTCATCTTCTTCTTCTTCTTCATCACCTTCTGGATCGAGGAAAGACCAACCACCATCTTCCTTGAATTGTTTCAAATCTTGTTTGATTGAATCCATAATCTTCTTCCATACAAGATTTCTTTCGGACAAATAGAATTTAATGTTGATTTGATCCAACCATTCCTTGATAGTTTCAAAATATTGACGTGGAATGATACTTATACGAGTTGGAACCTTGTTGTAATCTTTGTAGACAAAGACGAGATCAAAGTTGTTGAGGGCACGACTGACACGTTCAAAACAAGCAATTTCAACTTCGTCGAGGGTGAGGACAAAGAATGGGACTTCATGGATACTGACCAAACAATGAACAGTTGGTTGAAGGAGGGTAGTGGTGACATTGGACACACCGTAAAAGGCAAGATCACGATATGGAATATCAAACTCCATGCCTCCTGGAACAATCTCTTCGACACGCTTGACAAATTGAGCATACTCGCCATTCAACTTGCCCTTGATTTGGTGTTCACGTTGTTCTTCCATTTCTTCATCACGGAACGATCTGCTGCCAACATCCAACGATTGAGACATTTCAGAGATTTCTGTAAAGAATTGAATGTCCTTGGCCTTTTTCTTACCGATCATCAAAGCATCGTGCAAGTTGAAATGGATGAGTACAATCGATTCTTGCTCGGCTTGTTGAAAGAGAGCGTGTTTTATGTTCTTGTAGAGAACGTCGATTGGAGTCTTATCCTTGATACCAGTTGGATTGAATCTGAAACCATTCTCGTGTGCTTCGAGATTACCAAGTGTACGACGACCGGCAATAGTTGGACGGATCGAGACATCGTTCAACTTGGGGAATCTGCCACGTGTCAAGATGAGTTTCTCTTGTGCGATCAAACTCGACTTTTCACGGTTCTCTGTCTCTCTGGTGGTGACACGTTTACGCAACTCTTTGATGAGACGTACCGTGTTGGTGAGTGACTTGGGGTCTTGGATACGGAAGGTCAACTCACGAATGTAAAAGAGTGACTGTGGCACACTGATAGACTCGATCTGTTCCTCGGTCAATGTATTTGGCACGTTGAAATTAATACGTAAATAGTCTTCAGTCTTGCTGGCATTCTTGATGGTTGAAATGTGGAATGGCACAATGTACCCATAGATTGGTAAAAGAACTGCTTCCTTGTTTGAATCAATGGTAATTTTGTTCTTTACAACATCGGTTGGATAGTTTCCAACGGAATTGTAAAGTCTTAGATTCTCATTATAACTGCTATAATCCAATTCAACTGCAGACTTTTGATCCTTTTCTCCTGTACCATTCTTATTTTCCATCATTCTAATCTTATTTTCAGTTTCTTCTAAATTTTTTTGTGCCAACATGTTCTAAACAAAATTAAATAAATAATAAATAATAATTAGTAAAGTAATATTTACTTTCTTTTCCTTTTCCTTTACATACTTGATGATCTCTTCTTTTTTCTTCAATAGTTCTTGATTTTTGTTTTGTTTGTCTTGTTTTACCTGCAACAGCTTTAAGTTCATCGGTCATTTCCAAGAGATCTTCCTTTTCTTCGTCATCTTGAGCTTCATCATTCATTGTGTAGAATACTTCACTTGGTTTCTTTTGACTCTCTTGTGTAAACACATTGACCTTGCCATCCTCTTCAATGGCAACAGTATCGGCAATCATCATTGAATATAATTTACACTTTTCATCCTTGGCATCTGGATTTTCAAGATTTTGGAAACCAACCATAATATTAAATGCCATACCTGATTTAATCACTCTTTGATTGGTTGATGAAATAACTGAATATAATTCTTGAAATTCTAATCCAATCTAAAAGAAAATAAAAATGTATGAATAAATTGATTAATATATATATATTGATTCATTTTCTTTTGCCTCTTGATCTTTTGATCTTTTGATCTTTTACTTACACCATAACCACAATTTTTAAGGAAAAACTTTGACATGCCAGGTTTTTGTTCTTCAATGAATTTAACTACATTATCATAGACTGTATTTAATTTGGCACCAGCCTTGAGATTCTTGATCAATACGCTTTGAGCGTTGAGCAAAAGAATGTAATTTTGTTTTTGTTCTTTGGTTGGGTCGACAAAGTAGGTACGAGCAATATTGGAACAGTAACTCTTGAAACGTGAACCAAGTGACACAATCATGGTGCCAAAGTGCAAGTCATCATCGTTACTGGTTGCACTGAGCTTGAGCTCATATTTTCCACCACTTTGAATAAATGGTGTGTAGGCATAGTCGACAGTATCTGTCGATAACTTGGCATTGATCTTTTCGGGATGTGAAAAGACATCAATTGTGAAATCTGTAAGCTTGTTATGAGACATTTTTTCCTCCTTATCAATAATCGATTCAATCTTTGGTAATAAATGACTCTTTAATATTTTATCTGAAATCTTTGCTGATGTTGCTATATGTTTCTAAAATAAATAAAAAAAGAAAAGAGAAAAGAGAAAAGAATAAGTAAATGAGATATAGATGTCTTTCTGTCTCATGTATTATTTATAACATACCAATTCTTGTGCATCTTTAATAGCCAATAATGATGCCAATCCCATTGTAACATCTATCTTGGTCAATCCTGATTGTTCGAGTGCTTCACTCCATGCTTTACCAAAATCACCAATAAACTTTTCCTTTATAATGACACCAACGTTTTTCTATATAATATAAAAAGTAAGTAAACTTCACCATCGATGTCCCTCATTAATGTACATACACCAGTCTTTGATTTCTTAATTTCTTCAAATATTAAATCAAAGTTTTTCTTGTTATTATCTGCATTGTTGACAGTATGATACTGGAATTGAACGTTGAATACTACATCGGTTGGCTTGGTAGTAGATTCAAATAATTGAACTGAAAGTAAAGATAATATGAATGTTAGTATCTCATTCTCTTATCGTCATTGTGGTCGTCGTCTTGTTGTTGTTGTGTCGTCTTGTTTGTTGTTGTGTATTCCTTCCTTTCTTATTCTACATACTCTTTTTTGGACTTGAAATGATATGAATAGTCTTTTTTAAAAAGACAATGACACTTTCTTTGAGTTCATAACCACACAACCAAGTTTGAAGGGTAGTAGTCTTTTGGTATGGGTTGTTGTCGTCTGCATTGCCGAGAGCCAACACTACAGCATCACATGATTTCCACAATGGTTCATTCTCTGTATTCTCCCATGAATCATACAACAAACGCAGTCTCTTAAACATCTGTGCACCGTTAAATGTTGTAGATGAATTCGTTGTTGTAGTTGATGTTGTAGATGTCTCCATGTTGATGATGATGATATTTGTTATCTATCCTATCTATTAATCTTTTTTTATCTCTATCTATAATATATAATATAATACTATTACTTTTAGTCAATCTATACAAATAAATAACAAGAGTGACTATAATAGATATAGATATAAATATATAATTATTAAAGAGTTGAACAAACAACGAATGAATGAATTTGCGCGCCAAGTTCGAACATCTACCAAGAATCCAATTTTTTTTTTAATTTAATTTTTTTTTTTTTATTTACTCTATTTCTTCAGAGAGCTCTCTCCTTAATTAATTTAATTATGATGGTGATAATCTTGCAGCTCAATACCGTCAGCACCATCTTGACCGTAATCATTATCATTATTATTATAGTCACCATCTCTTTGTTGTTGTTGTTGTTGTTGTTGTTGTTTAGTTATTGATCTTTTAGTTGAAAAGTTGCTATTGTTATTATTGTTTGATTTAGTAGGAATCACTTTCTTTGTCTTTTTGGTTACCCAACGACCAAGACTCTTCCACTCCTTTGCATTGGGTAGTAGAGATCGAGACAGCGAGTAGACAATGTACAATGCAACCAGCAAGAAGATGATAAAGATAAATAGAGTTGTTGGGTCGATAGCATATTTGAATTGATCCCACGACGAGTAGGTCCATTCACCTTTTATACACATCTTGCCGTCGGTATTGTCAACCGATCCCTCGAGACATACTTGGCAACGGTGACTGTAACAATGTAGACCTGGTCCACACCATCCAAGCGTTGGATTGTTATTGTCGGTCTCTTGGGGACACATACTATCGAGTAGAGGATGTGACTGCAGTGAAGTGCACACTCCATTATCGTTACAATACTCGTTCATTCCGCACATACCAGGTGACTCTATTCCCGATGTACCAGGTACACATTCTCCACACTAAAGAAGTAAGTAGTAAGTAGAAAGTAGATAGTAGATAGTAGATAGTAGAGTAGTTTTATAAAAATGTAAATAATATAAACTTTAGTTACAAAGATGTCACATGATAAATTTAACTATTGTTTGGTTGTCACCACACATACCATTGCTCTAGATTCATCACCGTCAATATTGAATCGAACTTGATTGGGAGGACATTCTTGGTTTGTGCTAGAACTCGATAATCTAACAACCGCTCTTTGTAATGGACCAAGACATGCACCTGATGCTGGAAGCATACCATTGTTAATTAGACATGTTTGTGCATTTATATGACCGATCGTCATTATCATTGCAACTACAACCAATATCGTAATTTGAAGATTCATTTTGTACATCTTTATCTCTCTCTATATATATCTCTCTCTCTTCTCTCTATATATAAGATAGAGAGTTGTGTTGATCATCATCATCATCATAGCTACAATAATCGTATTATTTTTAATACTTGTAGTTGAACTGAAACCTCAGGACCACCTACATGTAAAGTTCGGTTCTTGTCGTTAAAGTAAAATTAATTAATATATTTTGGTATGATACATAAAACGAGAATGTCGAAATTGGGACATTCATTCATTTATTCGATATTTATCTAAATAGATAGAACAAAATATTTGTTTGTTGATAGTCATGTCTGAATCAACTTCTTCTACTGCTGGTATGTTTCAATGTACATACATACATAGATTACTCAATAATTAATTATTAATTACCTATCCTTCTATTCTATATCAATTCTGAACAAAAGTGCCTCAAAAACCAGAACGCACTAAAGTTCCTAAACAAAGAACATTTAATCTTGTTCAAATTAGTACTCAAAAGATCAACGAACCAGATACCAAAAAAATTGACATTGAAAAGGTTGGGAAATGTTTGGATGGTAAAGAACTTGGCAATATCAAAGATTTTCCATTCTTGTATCAAGATCACGCATTAATTACAATTTATGACAATAAAGCAACTGTATGTATAGAATTTTATTTTTATTTATATGCAAACTAACAAAGTTTCTTTCTATCTATCTATCGATAGGAACCCAAAAGCATGCATTCACATGAAGTGACGCACTTGAAAGAGGACGATGTAAGGGTTAAATTCACTCCAAAGTATTCTGTTTCATCATCGCAATCAAACATTCCCCAAGACATGAACGGTACTATTCAAATGACGACTGGTGAATTATTCAAATATGTGGAGCAGGTGAATTTGGTAGAGTTTCTCCACTTTGCCGAACGTATAATCAACGCAAGATTGGGTATTATGGGAGCAAACAAAACAGTCAAGGGCATTAACCTTGGTTCATGTAATCTCAACGCTCTCAAACAACACTTTAAAAATCAATTGGCAGTTCAAACCCTCGTTTATCATGTATGGGCTGAAAAGGGAGTATACCATATCAATGAAAATCGATTGAACCAAGAAATCACCAATTTCAGATTTCTTTTAAAAGATGCAGAGGGATACGTAGGTGAAATGCCAAGATTGATTAACTGTGACTGGGACAAGTACGACTGGATTGATCCTCCATCTAGAGACTCGATGATTACCAGAACATCAAGAATCAATGAAATTACATTTTCTCATCAATCATTTACAAATCAAGTGACTGTTGGTTTTGAATATGCCAACTATCTCTGCCAAGTCACTAGTGGCAGTGGCGAGAGCATGATTAGTAAATTATTATGTATGACTTCTTAAGAATAAGAATAAATAAATAAATAAATGTGTAAAAATAATAATTACAAAAAAAAAGGTGTAGGGTAGGTACCCTATTTGAAAGAATAAAAATGATAATTTTATTCTTGTGTTTTTGATTCTCTGGTTTGTTGTTATATAAACTAGAGTTTAAAAGTATGACATCCATTTATTATTATTTAATATTATTATTTTAAATGTTGAATGTTTGTTGCATACCCAAAAAATAAATAAATTGGGGGGGGAAAAAGAAAGAAGAATTATTGATTGATTGATTGACTCTTTTCTTCTCTCTCTCTCTCTCTCTTTCTCTTTCTTTTGTCTGTTGTTAGTTTGTGTTAGTTAGTTGTAACCAATAAATTAAATTGATTATTTTTATAAAATCGATTGTTTGTATTGTTTGATTCGAGTATCCAATACACATGCCAAATATTTGTAGAATTTTGGAGCCAAGAGTGGTTTGGATTTTAGGATAATGTTGAGGAAATAGCCTTCGAGTGTATAGACTTCCAAAACATCACTGCTGACAATAACGGAAATGGGCGAACCTCCTTGTAGCAAGAAACTCATCTCGCCAAAGATGCTGCCCGTCGACAACTTGGTGAGGACTGTCAATCCCTTGCTAGAACTCGAAGAGAATGAAATAGACTTCATCGGTGATGTAACTGGTGTTGTTAATGTGGTGGTGGTGGTAGCAGTAGAGGTGGTCGAGGTAGTTGTATTGTCACTACCCAAACTATCATTTACCAATCCTTTGACAATGGTACATTCACCCTTTGCAATTTGAAAGATCTTGTGAAACTCTACACCTTCGACAATGATAACCTCTCCTTTTTTAAATTGGACAGTCTTGGCACCTTTGAGAATAGCACTCCATTCGTCTTTGGTCGGGAGATCTGTTATTCCTGAAAATGACTCACCGCGTCCAACCTTGGGGGAACGGGGTGGCGTGGGTGGGGTCGTGGACGCAGAGACCGACTTGGCCGGCGACCGAACATTGTTAAAGTGGTTCTTCCAGATCTTGGTCATGATGCTGTAGGCCTCGGTCACTTCATCTTGGTTTTTAAAAGAGTACTTTTTGACCTTGCCATTTGTGGTCAGCGAGAGACCGCCCTTTTCCGGCAGGATCTTGGAGATCTTGTCAAAGGGGTTGGTCTTTTGTTTGTGGATGCCAAACAACTTGCCCTCAAAGCACAGGTGATGCTTGGTGATGTAGAGTGTGCCAGTGATACCATTATGCTTGCACGTGTAGCTCTTGACAATGACCTCTTCGGGCGACAGACGGAACGTCGTGATGAAGCGACTGTCGTTGCCCAAACGGAGCAGGTCCATTGAGCTCGGCTCGATGGCGATGGAGCGGCGCTTGTTCTCGTTGAGTGACATGGACGACTGCGACGACTGCAGCTTGGGTGATGCGGAGGTTGGTGTGCCCGAGCCGGTGCTGTTTGAGTCGCTGGGTGTCGTGCAGGCGGGTGGCTGGCCGTAGCAGTGGCTGTTGCTTGGGCTGTGGTTGGGACTGCTATGCGTGGAGCTGCTCGCGCTGCCGACGCTGCTGCTACCCCCGACATTGGCATTGCGGATGATGTTGTTGATCGAGATGATGGGTGCAAACGAGCCGTTGTAGCGGTTGCCGCCAACAAAGCTGCTGGCGCTGGTCAACGTCGTCTCATTGTTTAATACAAATAGCAGACGCTCAGCCATCAACACTGCAATATGTTTGTAGTAGGTGGCCGCGAGGATAGGCTCGCTCGTAAACAGCTGCAGGATGAATGTCTTTTCAATCTCGATCAGCTCGCAGTCGTCGCTGTCGGCCAGCACGTTGCACGGCATCGGACGCTCGTACAGGAACGACTCCTCGCCAAAGATCTCGCCCATCTCTATGTACCGCACATCCTCGGGCGACGCTGCGTTCTCAAACTTGACGCGACCCGCCTCCACACGGTACAAGCTGCTGTTGACCTCGCCAATCGACAATATCTTCTTTCCCTTTTTACACTTTATCGTCTTGGCATTGGTCGTCAAAATCTTCCAGTCTCTTTCCGACAGCGTCGGCGAAATGCTGGGTGGAGGGTCGTTGCCCGTAAACGACATGCGGTACTTGGTGACAAAGTTTTTGCGCTTCTTCTCGCCCGCCAACGACGATGCCAGGTTGAGACTGCTGCCGCTGCTCGACCCCGCCACCGTGCTGCCGCTCAGCGCCGACGAGTCGCCGCCCTTTCCGCCAACACCACTCCCTTTTCCATCTGCGCCTGCCCCACCGCCACCAACACCGCCGACACTGTTTGCTATCGAGTGCTGCTCCTCGCGTATTTTCGACAGTCTAAAGATCTCGTTTTCCTCCCACACCTTTTCGGTGAGGATCGCCTCTCTGATCTGTGGCATCGATGTGAATCCATAGCTGCAGTTGGTAAACAACTGGAAGAACTCTTGTATACGCGCACTAATTAAATAAATACGCTCGACGTTGACCATCGAGCCATCGGCGCCAATCATCGGCGGGTTGCTCTCCACCAAATAGGTGTAATCTGTCAAAAATAATCCCAAATATGGAATGCATGGTTCGCTTGGTAAAACGGCTCCCAAATTTTTTCTGTACAATCTAAAATTAATATCCGGGCTCATCGTTGTATTTAATGTTTGAAACATATCATTTGCTTTTTGTGATATTAACTAAATAAAAATTAAATATATATTATTAGTATCAATAGATATAATTATCTATCTATCTATCTATACATACAGCCCAACTATTTTTTAATCTACTGATCGATGAATTATGTAAACTACCAAGAATTTCCATAACACAATTATAATTTTTTAATTCCTTTGCATAATTTGCTATATTAATAAATGCCTCTATAATAACCGCCCTTTCTTCTGGTGTTTCTTTTGAAATAATTTTTGTTGATACCCACGAACTAATCTAAAAAAATAAACTCATAATATTAATACACATCACACAATACAATGTATTATTATTGTATTTTTTTAAAAAATCACACATACTCTATTAAACCAAGTAATTAAATTTTGAATATTAATAGCTTGATTTTCCTTGTTCCATTGTCTTTGTGAAAATTCATTTAATGTTAATGCTGATATTAATTCAAATTCCATAACTGTTAATTCTCTTGCAATATATTCTGGTGCAAATGCTGTTTTCTCTGGGTCTAAATAATAATATATAGTATGATTAATATATTATTGATTTTAAAATATATATATTCATATCACTTACAAGGATTATCTTCATCAATATTTTGACCATTAATACCATGATAATTATTATAAAGATTCGTAGATGATGCTGATGAGGAATTGGATATACTAGAACTACCTCCACTACTACTATTGTTACTGCTGCTGTTACTTATGCTGCTGTTGTTGCTACTGTTATCTTTACTACCATTCACATTGATATTTGGGTTACTGGTATTGGCATAGGACATTAAATTGGTGCTACTACCAGAGGGCAGTATTTTCGACATGAAACCCTTTGGTAACTTTACACTGCTTCTTGGATTGTCCAATGATGTCGATGGTTGAAGATGTGTACTATTGGTCGGACTATTACCTCCACTATTACTAGGACTATTCACACTTAATAATCCTTGTAATACATTTGATGTTGAATTGGGTGATTGAGTTTTCTAAAAGTAAAAAAAAGAGTCAATATAGTTCACTGGATATTATTAATATTCTCATAGCTCTACTCTATACATACAGGACTAACTGAATAGGAGAATCTCATGGTCGATGATGCCGATGAAATATTATTAGGTTTTGGTGGTGGAGTAACTATGGTTTGAGAAGATGGTGACTTTGTCAATTTCTTGGCTTTGTAATAAATTAAAAACATTTCATTCTTTACATCCTCTGGCAATGAATTCATAAATTCAGTGGCAGAATTGGAAAATGGTTTATCTTCAAAATCCTTTTCAACAAGTGTTCCAATTAATTGTCTAAACATATTGATTACACTATGAAAGATTCAGAATATTAATAATTGTACAACATTAATACATATAGATTGACTCCAACAAATAACATACTTTGTTTGAACAATTTCAATTTCAATTTCAAATCTTCTAAGATGATCTTTACAAGATCCAGGTGGTGGGCCAGCATATCTTGATGCAAGCAATTGTAATACCTCCATTGGTCGAGTATAATCTTTATATGTTAAAAAAAATGCAGACACTGAATAATTATCTATAAAATAGAATTATATTGTTAAGTTTGTGATCACTGTTGATTTCGTTGGGTTGTTGACTGACTTACCATAATTAATGGATTGTGACAATTTCTCTATAAGTTTTGCAAGAGTGCAACATTTGATGGCACTGCAACCATCTTTTCTATTTACATTTGTTAAGTATACAATATAGCTTTCTTCATCTGGCAGGTAGAATGGAAAAGATGGAGCTGATACTACTCCTCCTCCCTCCATTTTTATATAATATTCCTATTATTGTTGTTGTCTTTTGTATATCTTTTTTTGTTTGTTGTTGTAATCTTATTATTATTATTATTATTATTATTAGTATTGCTGCTTGTTATAGTAGTAGGTAAGTAGTGGATGTGATTGATGGAGTTTTAAGATTACTTTGCAGCCTGCTTGTAATACCCCAATTGTGAAACTAAAATATCTTTTTTTGTTGTAGTTGTTGTTGTTGTGGATGTCTAACCAAAGTAAGGTGCCGTTAATCGCGATTACCCTTCTTTTTTTTTTTTTTTGATTTCTATTTCCGATGATGGGTTGTTGTGTGCCGAATGCTAATAATACCCTCTGCTGCAGAATAAATGTTAACTACTAAATTTGTGTGTATACAAGTAAATAAATAAATAAATAAATAAATAAATAGATAGATAGATAGGTATTAATATTAAATATATTAAATTATAAATAAATAAATAAGAAAAATGTCGATGCTGATATTGCTGTCTGCTGTGTGATGCTGCGTTGTTTTAAAAAGTGTGATTATTATTATAACAATTGAATGAACGAATGAATGAATGAATGAATCAATTAAATAATCATATATATATATATATATATATACAAATACAATTGATATCAATTATTTAGTGAGAATAGAGAAACAAGTAGAAGAAGAAGAAGAAGAATAATAGGAAGAAGAAGAAAAAGTGGTGGGAACGATAATTATATAATTGATTGTCTGTTGTTTGTTTGTTTGATAGAGTGTGTTGTGGAATGATAGTCGATTGGGTAGATTATTAAATATGAATGAAAAGTCTGTGGCTGACCAATCACACCATTTAGCAATCAATCAATCAATCAATCAATTCTTCATCGGCACACCCACCCTACCCACTTCTTATTGTCTGTCTCTCCCAAAGTTGGTATGGAGGAGGAATGAGGACGTAATAATTTGATTTGATTCTTTAATATAACCAAGTAAGTAGTAGTAGTACTGCTGACCTGACTGACTGCGATACCATGGTATATGTGAATGAAACGACGACGACGACGAACCAACTACACAATACTGCTGCAGCACACTCTCTCTCTCTCTCTCTCTCTATCCTGACCACACACCCTCACATCAATATTTACACCACACACAGCACATACACTACACCTTTTTTTTCGTCTGTCTCTCTCTAACACCTTATTATCAATCTATCTATCTCTTATTATCTGTTGTTGAATGATTGTTCTATTATTATTATTAATATGTTATATTTATATATATTATATTCTATCTATAGTAGTAGTAGTAAGGGTTATCTGTCTATTGTTGGTTGATTGATTGATTGATTGATTGGTTATCTGTCTATTTCCTCTGGAGGTCTCTACGATGACTGCGACAATATGTTATGATGTTTGTTGTTGTTGTTGTTGTTGTTGTTTGGGATTAGTTTGTTAAATGTACAATTGTTGTATGTTTGCTTTGTGATTGATATGTTTTGTTTTGTTTGTTTTAACATTAACAAAGTGCGATCCCATGCAGCTGATAATAAAAATCGACGTTGTTTAAAAATGTGTGTATGTATTACCCCCACTCACCCAACCAAACAGCCAGATCGAGATTAGTGCGTGTGTGGTATGTGGGTGTCATCAATCAGTTTTCAACAACCAACCCCCCAAACCAGCCACCTAGGTGGTGATGCATGAATGCATGTATTATTATTATTATTGTTTTGTGGTTGTGGTTAAGGCTATAAATACTAGTTATATTACAGCCATCTAAACTTTATTGGAGGAAGAGAGACTAAACATCACATGATCATCATCATCATCATCACCACTCTACACAAACAACAACAACAACAACAACCAGTCTCCGACGATACGTATCGTCGATGCTAATCATTGATTGATTTAAAGAGAGAGAGAGAGACCATGCATGGTTTTAGCCCTACACACTTTGAAGTTGACGATGACCTGTCACAATATAGTTGGGTGGTGGTGGTGGTGGTGGTGTGAAGGTGAAGTGAAAGGGACGGGGGTTTAGGGGATAGGAAACCAACATAACACATTACCTTTTATATCTTATTTCAAATAATCAACTATGACTTGTACACTATTCTTTTTCTTTCTTTTGACTCTTTACTTTCTACTTCTCTCTTTCTCTGTCTCTGTTTCAAATAAATAATGTTGTAATAAATAAATAAATAAATAATAAATAAATAAATAATTGTATGTTATATATCAAATATAATAATAAACGACGAAGGTAATCAAACGTTGTGTGTTGTTGTGAATGAATGAAAGAATGAATGAATGAATCGAAACATCTAATAAGGCTCTTTTCCTTATCTTTCTTTTTTGTGGGGAGGGAGGTGGCGATTGGGAAACAACATGTCGATAAAGAGAGAACTGGTTGGAGGGTCTCCATACCCGTGGTACCAGTGATCCACCCTATTCATCAATCACAGCGTTGTTGTGTCGATCCGAAAACAACTTGTTCCGATTTGTTATTTTTTTCACCAACACTTCAACGAATCGACTTTGCAACTCAGAAATCAATCTCGACTTTGATGAGTCGGCCGCGATTGTTCGATGACCAAAACTACACACAACAGATAGGGGTCATCAGTTAACTTCTATCATTGTTCTCCCCCTTTTCCTCCTCAACCACTTTGTTTATATTTGCGGATACAATTCATGTGCCCATTCTTGGGCAAAATCGATCAGTTCATTCATCCTTCAAAAGTTAAAGGCTCTTGCCAACAGTTACGAGCTTCTCTGAAGTTCTACTTTTCTTCCTTCTAGCTATTATCCAATCATCCAACCTTAAAGGATAGATAGATATTGGGCAATCCATTGCCGAAACAACCATTCAAATGAACAATGATCAATGCAACCCAATATAGACAAACTACAATCAATATTGATGAAGAATAGAACTTCAATTTGATCTGTATAGATCGGTATATATAACTCTTCTGTTTTCAAGTTTGACATAATCACCATACCATACCATCCATCCCTCTCTCTTTCTCTCTCTTTCCAACCAACTACAAATTAGAATATTTAATTAAAGTGGATTGGATGTCGGGCATATGTATTTGTGTGATCTGAATTGTTTGATATCAAAGTGATTTATCAAACAATTCAACCAATCGATCAATTAAACAAATCAACCACCATGATATCATGCATGATATTCCCACCAACAAACTATCACCCAACCCATGGTTACAATCACTAGTGATCAAATATAAACAACAACAACAACATCAACACTCCAACCATCCATCATGATGGATATTTAATGAGATATCTATCGTGGCCGCCCACCCACCCACAAGAATTAATTGATCACAGCAGCTAGCAATGCAACGTGGTCATTCTAGGGTAAAAAAGATAACTTCTAATTGATTCCACATCCTCCCTCCCTCTTTGGTCTTTATTTATAATAATACAAAATGTTAAAAATGGATGTATAGATTTTTGAAAGGAAGGAATAGTATGGCATACCATCACATCACACTACTACTGACTGGAATTAATTATAATGATTATTAATTATTATTTTTTCCAAGATTCCTTACAAGGAAAAATAGGTTGCCTCCCTCCCTCCCTCCCTCCCTACCTCTTCACTTACAAGTGATTTATAAATCGGATTGACACCCCCTACCCCTGATAAAATCACAAACCGTCCTAATCATCATCATGGCATTGTCAGTCAATCAGCCATACCAATACCCTCCTCTTTCTCTTCTTTTGTATTAGAACAAGCAAGGAGGATCACTAACTAACTAACTTATTTAAACACCACCCACACGCTACTGTGTTTTTGTTATTGATCATCTGTGGTGTATTTAAATAATAATAATAATAATAATAATAATAAATTTGACCAATTTGCTCATTGCCTTTTTTAAAATCTTTACTGGATCACACCACCCCACCCAAGCTTTACCATCCCCTCTCTCTCTCTCTCTCCATCATCGATTCATATCCATCTCATCATCTTCATCATCATCATCATCATCCATCATACTATATGATTGTCTGTCCTGCGAAATGATGCAAACTCAAATCCAATTCGTTGGGTTTGGTTATATACAAATATATATATATATATATATAATAATCACACACACACACACACACACACATATATATATATTTACACATACACATTAATATCATTATTCACTGCATGAATTCTCCCTCAATTTGTGTAGTAATATCATCCTCTATCCGATTTCGATTTGATCGTATCAACAACCAACCTGGCATTTCCATGAGATTGCTGGCAATATCCAAAAAATAATAATCAATCCACACCTTTACACACATTGACACACTCACACAACAGTTGTCATCGCATCGCATAGTGTTTTGCCATTCTACTCTTACACTGCAGTGCAAGTACAAAACAACAACAGACTGCTGACTGTGAGGGATGCAGCACAGCATCCCTCCTCATTATTCATTTAATGTATTTAATCATCCATCCATCCATCCATCCATTCAAAACATACCTCCCACCATCCACCAGTCAAACACATACACACACGCTCGACAATGGCAATAGATAATAACAACAGCTAGCAAAAACACCACCACCATCAATCAAAAAATAAAACAAATAGGACTGTACTGCTGTGCATAGATAGCTGATCCCACATATTAGTATATAAATCATATCTCACCCCCTTCCTCTCCATGGGAGAGAGAGAGAGAAGGAGATAACAATTTGTTCCAAAAAGTTTAAGTTTGATTCAATAGAATGAACATATGGTATTTTTGAATTGATTCACCTAACCTTTTTTGAATTTACTGTTGTTGCAAATCGCAATTCAATTCCATCATCCATCCATCCATATCAGCCAGAAGAGGATGGGAGAGGTAGAGCGAGGGTATCGTACGACGATTGCAAAAACATCAAACAAAACAATATTTGATTTATTAATATAGTGATTTAATTAATTCTCTCTCTCTTTCCTTTGACAAAAAACACCACCTACTCTTATTCTCTCTCTCTATATCGTCGTGTGCTCTGCTCTGCTCTACACTCAGCTCATATCCCACTCCTTTTTATTTTTGAATTCCCCATGCTATCTATTGAGGTGTATCACTAAAGGCGTCTCTGACCACCCATTAATTGTTGTTTATCGACAGACAGTTGTTGTTGATGATTATATTTTTAATAACTAACTTTCATCTCTTGAATTGTTAGTAGACAATTGTTGTTGTTGGGTCATTTCCAATATCAAAATAGAAAGAAGAACTTTCCTAAATTCTCGCGTTCATCGCCTGTATTTCCCCACCTTACCATCATCACTCTTTCTCTTTCCCCATCATCAACACAACACAACAATAACGCCACCACTACTACTACTACTACTACTACCAACCCAAACCCATTGTCATTAGATTATTAGGTTTTCAAAAGAAAAAGATAGATTATTAATTATTTAATAACTATCCAAAAAGGACCTGGTCTTTTTTTTTTTTTTTTTTCCAAACAATACCATCTTTTTTTTTTTATTTAACCAGATATCTGTTTGATATCAATTCTAGTTGTGGTTCCACTTTAAATAATAACTAAAATAATATAATAACTAAAATAATAATAATAATAATTGTAAAATAATCAAATAACAAATTTAGAAAACCCAACTTTTTTCATATAATTATTGTTAAATAACTTTCTTTAATAATTATAGGATATTTCCCCCAAACTTTATTTTTTGTTACACGCAATCAATCCCATCCATTTCCATCCATCCATTCCTTTTTACTTTTTTTTTTTTTCTATTGGAATATTGTGATTACCCACCGAAACAATCAATATTGTTTCCAAGTATCAATCCAAATCAATCCATTAAAACAATTTAACCTTTTATGGTATTTTTCATTTTTAAAATAGATTATATTTTTTAATTATTTTCTTGTCTCTATCTACCCATTTTTAAAAAGATTGCTTTACTTTTTTTTTTTAATTCTTTTCTAAAAGTTTGGATTTGACAATGAATATTAAAACTCTACAATCTATGGCACCTATTGACGGCGGGGACAACCACCCGCCATGCCAAAACGACTATGCATGCATATTGGCATCTATGATGACAAAACCCGAATCACCAGATGCCTCTGGAGACCTGATTGACAGACAATTGTCGGTGGAAAACACCCCAAAACTATTGGCTAAAATGGTTCATCATCCACAACACCCATCACGACAAGACCACCACCAACAATCCCCAATGACAAAGTCTGTCACCACCGCCACCACCACCATCATTCCATCTCCAACATCTGTTTTCCAACCTACGACCTCCACCTCCTCCTCCACCTCGACTTTGACCTCTAACTCTTCCAATCACTCATCATTCAACAACCTCACCGTCCTAGTCAACGAATCCTCCCCATCAACCAAAATCACCACCACTAGTTCATCCTCTCCCGTAACGACCAGTGCCGCCCCGAATACCTGTACCTCTGCCGACTCGACAAGCGACTCTTATAGTTCGCCGACCATCTGTGAGAACCAACCGACCGTTCCATCCATGGATTCGTTCAAATGTGACCGTCCTCAATGCATGTTATGCCTTCGGGGATGCCCGACACTGGTCATCAGAAACCCAACTTGGTCTACCATCATGAGAGTCGTGTTTTATACACTCTCTAGAAGTTATCCCCATCAGCCCTATTTTAATCTACGAGCTGATGTCTATAATTGGATGGATGAACATTGGAACTATCTCTGTAAGCCTTCCCACAAAGACCGTATGTATAAAGTAAAGTAGTAACACAATTAGAGTATATGGTTATATTAATTAATTCCTATTCTTTTTTTTAAAAAAGGTGACAACAACTGGAGAAAGCAAGTTCAGGATATGCTCAGCCACAGCAAAAATCTATTCGAGTCTGGAACAGAACATTTCCGACAAAATGGATTTTGGAGACTGAAACCATCGATTGACATTGACCCCTGGACCATCAAAAAGCCTCCCCGCGACAAATCCAAGATCCCACTAAAGAAGAGATCACTCTCTGAGAATGATCTTGGAAATCACCTCAAAAGAAAATCAAAATCAGAATCTGACGATGAATCTGAACCTGATTTACCCATTGGTATGTACAAACAATGAATGAAACCAAGGTTGATTCCATTAACAAATTTATTTTTCATTTTAGACGAGCTCAATATTAGGGATTTCTTGGTTAAAAATGATGAGGATGTAAAGAGAGAGCTGGATATGGTGACCGAGGAGATTAGAAAGGCCAAGAACAAGATGAAGGCTCTGTGGCAACATATGGGTGGAACGTCATCACCAATCTTTGAGGAAAATGAAATGGTTGAAGAGGATGAGGATGAAGGTTACTCTTCACCACCTTCACATCCCAAGAAAAGAATGTTGATGGTGTCACCTCCAACATTCTCCTCTTTGCGCAACAGTGACCAAGTCGCCCCTCAAATGATGTCACCCAAATCATTCCACGCACCTCCACCACCACCACCTCCATCCCCATCGTCCTACTCTATCCAAAACATTATGAACCCCTGTCCACCATCACCCACCTCACCACCTCCATCACCATCGCATTATGTATCTCCATCGTCCAATCAAAACCAAAGACTCAGACTCACCAAATCCCTCCCTTCCCTTGCCACATGTATCCCTCATTCCCCGTCCATGACCATCACCAATTCCCTTGTACAAATACTCCCATCTCCATCACCATCTCCATCTCACTCATCATCATCATCATATCCAAACGCTCCACCAGTACCAATATTCCTTCATCAAAAACAACAACCACCACCACAATATCAACAACAACAAGCCAATGGTTTCATTTTAAACCAACATCCCCATCATCCTCAACACCTCCATCAAATGCAACTTCAACAACTACACATTCAACAACAACAACAACAACAACAACAACAGTACCATCAATACGCTCACCAACTCCAACTAAACGGCCAAAACTATTGTGCATCTGTCCCAATTAATGCCCCACAACAACAACAACAACAATCCAACAACAACAGCAGTTGTAATCCAACTCCAACCAGTACTCCACTTTTAGTCCCAAATAAATTGGAACCAAAATCTCAGTCATCAATTACATATATAATTGATATTAACAATTAAATCCAAACAAACAAAATAACAAATAACAAATAACAAACAACAAAAAAGGTAAGTTTAATAATCAAATAATAATCAATTACTAATAAAATAAATAATAATAATAATAATAATAATCCAATAAATAATAATAATAATAAATGATCAAAATAATAATAATTAAAATCAAGCTACTCTAATTATTCGATTTGTTTGTATATTATATAAATTTGTTTGTGTGAATGATCTGTATTATTATGTGTTTAGTATAATATATATATATATATATAGTACTGTTAATCATATTTTGTAGAATAAAATGAAGGTCGTTCAATTGCCAAAGATCTTTTGTCAACTTTGTATTTGGAGGGAGTTGTGACTGAGGTTGGATTAGATGTTGTTTTTGTTGCAGATCCAGGTCCATTGGTCACAGAAGGGAAAATATCCATATAATTTGCTACCAACATGATGACAAATATGATTATGGATGAATGGAATGTTGGAATATTAATATATTTTATCAATGGATTGGTTTCAAACGTATTTGAACACAAATGATAATATACACATAAAATAGCTACCGTTTTAAATGGTCTAAAAAAGAAGAAAAGAAAAGAAAAGAGGATAATTATAATTATTAATATTTTAATAATATTATTTATAATTGTTTTGGATACAAACAATGAAGGTTTTGATAAAGAGGTTGGATAGGAAGGATTGGCTATTTTAAATAGACATGTTTTAATAAATTCGCCAGCACATGCAGAAATGAGTGCAAATATGAGTGGGGAGAAGTAGGTTTTAGGGAGTACAACGTATTGGTATCCGGTAGGATTATCCATATAGGATGATGATAATACTTGATGGTTATTACTAAATGGATTGGCTTGAAACATTCTCATTTGATAGACACTTACAATATCGTTGGTCGCCAACAACGACAGTCCTACCACTTGAAGTATCTTGACCAGTGTCTGAGAGAATAGTATCGAGCAAACGTTGGTTGTGAATATCACCCATTGAAAGATGACCAACATCAATGTTATATCGTTGTATAGCCAATACGGAGAATGTCCCAATAAAAGATGAGTCAGAGTCGATCCAAAGAATATATGCACCAAATAGCATGCAAACGACAAAAAGATTGGATGATTGGCTCGAACATTTCTAAATGCATTACACGATGATATACATTTAGTAGTTAATAGTATATATCTTAGATGTGGTATATATGATAACATGTTCCCAAGCAGAGGAGTGAGAGTGAGGAGGGAATCTTTCTTTCTTTCTTTCTTTCTTCTTCTACTCTCCTAACTACTAACTACTACGAATGATTGTTATGTTACTACTTGCTACAACTACTTTAATATTAATAAATAAATATGTAAATCGATATAACAACTTGATTTAATAGTACATCACTACTACTACTACTACTTCTACTACTTTGTTGTGTGGTTTGGTTGCAAAGATTGTGGGGAGGGTGAAATTGGGAAGTGGTGAGTCACCTCATAAAAGGGGAGATCGCTCTTGACTTTTCGTTTGGGGAAAAAAGAGGGAGACATCCATCACGCGATCTTTTCAATATTTTGGCATTGCATGCGTCATTGGTGCATGTTGTTGATCTGAACTCCGACTGCATGCTTGTTAATTATTACAACAACTCTAATTGTTGTGTTGTTGTTAATAAACTATGATGATTAGATCAACATTACAGAGTGTACTTAGAGTATCATCAACATCAACAACATCTAATCAAAGATGTTTGACAAGTTTAACTGTATTACAATCACCATCATCCTCCTTTAGTTATTGTTATAGTACATCATCGTTTGTATGTATACATATACATATTTATAATTGGTGGATATGATGATTAACTTTGATCTTTAGAATACTACTACTACTGAAGAAAAGAAGAAAAGAAATGTATTACCAACCAATCTATTTCAAAAGGTGTTACTTGGAGTTGGATCAAGTTTGATTGCAATGTATAATCCTGGTAGAACTGATATGGTGGCAGCATTGGGTGAAGTGTCTGGTGGATGTGTACTGCCACATCTAAAGACAAAGATGATGAATGATAGTGATGGAAGATGGTTGTTGGAACACAAACCACGTATTCGTATTGAAACGTTGCCAGAGCAATTGTCATCGTTGGCACCTGATACATTTGGTGGTGCCTATTATAAATTCCTAACAGATAATGGGTTCTCGCCAGACGACAGAGCAGAGGTTAGAATGGTAGAGGATGACGATGAAGCATATGTCTTGCAACGATACAGAGAAGTACATGATTTCTGGCACGTTCTAGCTGATATTCCACCCAACGTTCCAGGTGAACTTGCCATCAAGTGGTTGGAAATGGTACAAACCGGTCAACCAATGTGTGCACTCAGTGCATTGGTCGGTCCCCTCCGACTACCATTCCAGCAGCAACGACAACTCATCCAACACACTGCTCCATGGGCCGTCAGGTGTGGTCGCAACAGCAAGTTCCTTCTCAACGTCATCTATGAGAATCATTGGAATGACAATCTAATAGAATTAAGAAAGAAATTAAATTTCGAACCTTATTCAGGTCCAACCATCATCGACAAATAATTAAATAAATACACACAACCAACTTGTAAATACAAATAAATATAATATATATATATATATATAAACCCATCAATCAATATATACAATTGACAATTGTTGTAGTATTGATTTGTTTTTTTTTTTGTTTCTTTTAAATTTAAACCAAAGATATTGGTTGAGTAAGTGATGGTGGTGGTTTATTACATAACAATTTACAAGCTAAAGGCGAGGTCAATGCAGGCGACTTCTTGGCTGTTTTGGTCAGTAACAACAACATTACCAGAGTACTTGCCAGATGGAGCTAAAAAATAGGAAAGAAAAAAGAAAAGGTTAATAAACAAGTACCAATTATTTAAATAATTTATCATCAGGGTTATATATATATATATATATTAATAGAGACATACCATTGGATGGGATTTGAGCAGTGATGGTGTGGTTGTAAGCACCTGGTTGGAGTGGACATGGGATTGGGTTCTTGGCTTGGCAGAGATCTTCGTTTTGGTTGAGGATGGTGATGAAACCAAACTTGACCAAGAGCTTTACGTTACCAGAGGTGATTTCTTCATCTGTAATAATAGTAGTAGTAGTGGAAGGATGAGAAAGAAAGGAAAAGTAATATGAAAAATAGGATTGTTAGAGATTGGGCAAAACAATTTGAATAATTGACTCTGAATTTCGGGTCGGTTCGCAATATCATCCGACCGACAGACTGTTTGTTGTTTCATTCTTTGAAGGGAATGATGTCGGAGATGAATGAAACGAATGAATGATTATACATACTGAGGTTACCGTTAGCAGTGACGGTGATATCTTGACCCTTGACTGGGGGATCTGGAGTGATGGTGACAGAGCCAATTTGGAAGTGGTCAGATGAAGATCCACAGTTGGTCCAGATATCAGCAGTAGCTAAAGCAAAGACGCAGAATAAGACGAAAATCTTGGTAAGGAATGACATGATTCTTTATATGTCTATATATATATGTTTGTTGTGAATAAAAAGATAATTATTTAATTAAAGAAGAGTGAAGCAAAAATTAGATAGATAAATAGTGGAGAGAGCAGAGGAGAGGAGTGACTGCAGAGAGAGAGTGAAAGGAAGGGAAACAAAACCAATTAAAAAAAATGAATTTCTTTTTTTTTTATTCAAAACCGTAGGGGGTGATGATAGGTGGGATGGGGGTGAACGTAGACCAGCAATAGAATCCTTTTTCGACGACGGGAATATAAAAAAGCGCTTTGGATATTTTCGCAAATAACAACAGGTGATCCTGTTGACAACACGCCTTTAACCCAAACAATATTGCCCAGGGCACCCACTCGAAAACATCTTATCACCTGCGACGCCGATCCGAATATCATTGGAGGAATCTTCGTTGCAAGATATCTCTGAGCATTTTAAGCAAAGATTCTTTACTCTCAAAGCAACTTTCAGCGTATTCCCTTCATTTTCGTGCATTGTAATCGCGGCAAAGAAAACCCCAACTCTTAAAGGTGATCCCCTTTACTTTTAGATTTGTAATCTGAACAATCCATAACCTTTTCCTTTCATCCCTATGATTATTCATTACGAGTATTGACCAGCTCGCAACCAATTTATCTTGTAGGGTAACCACCCGACCATGGTTTGTTGTAGGAGATAGTTGAGTTTACTTCGATTGTCAAGGTTGCAAACCCACAGGCAACGGTTAAAAAAGATATTCTACCTAGGTCTCTACTCTACTCTTTTCATTTTTGATTGGTTTTGATTGCCTCGGGTTTATTATTATTATTATTTGATTATTATTTGATTATTATTTGATTATTATTTCTTTTCTTCTTCCTTTTCTTTTTCAACTTGATTAAAATAATCAAGGTTTAATTTATCCAATTCATCGTCGGTGACTGCCATGATACCACGTACTTCACTAATCCAATGCATCAACATTCTTTCAATACCACCTTTTAGTGTGGCTTGTGAACTGCTACAAGATGAGCAGGTACCTTGCAATTTGACCAATACAATGCCATCCTTGAATCCCAAATATTGAATATTACCACCATCGTCGAGGAGGGTTGGTCTGATTCTAGTTTCAATCAACTCTTTAATCATTGCAACAACCTCATCATCCTCTGGTAGAATAAGTGTATCATTGTTTTCTGCTGATGGTTTCTCCAATAACAATGGTTGTCCAGAATGATAGAAATTAATAATTGCTCCATATACCTCTGTAGGTATGAATAAAAAACAATAAAGTTAATATAAAGTATAGGTTTTGTATGACATATTAATTGTAGAGACATACGAGGTTTTAAAATAGACCATTCAGTCTCTGTAAATTTGTTGACAGAAATAAAGGATGGACCAAAGAATACACGATTAACACCATCCAACTTAAAGATTGCATTGGCCAATGGTGATATTTGAGATGATTTGAAATCGGGAAAGTCGACAGTTCCTTGTTCCATCACTTCAACACCTGGGAGAAACTTTAAACTGTCTGGATTTGGTGTTGTCTCGGTTTGAATAAAGATTCTATTTTGTTTGGTTGTTGGGTCTGATTCTGGACTATTATCTGCGCATGAATATAAATAAATGTAATTAATATCAATAATACTTATCATTCATCATATCATAGTACATACCCTTTTGAAACAACTCTTTTAATAACTCGCTTTCTTCTTTTTCGGTTGTGCTTGTCGTCGATGAATAGTATCTTGTTTGATTATTATTGTTAATGTAGTTGAATGTATTGAATGTTGTAAACTTGTTGGTAGCAACAGCAGTATTACTACACTTGTTATTGTTATTGTTATGATTATATGATACAGTAGATGAGGTATTTAGAGCACCACATGATGCTTGATTGCCTATGATTCGTCGGCTCGATACTATTGCTCTTCTAAACATCATCTTTGTTGAACGAATGAGTGTAAATATGTGTATATATATATGTGTATATTAAATGTGCAAGAGTCTTGTAATTAATTGATTAGTCAATTAATTAATTAATTAAAGATAAGATGTTTGTTTCAAACAGTCGAATAATGAAAAATCGAAACGAAAGAAGACATGATTAATCAACCTAATTTATTTATTTATTTTCGATTCTTTGCATCGTACTAATGATGTGGATTTTGGTAGATGGATGGATAGATAGATAGATGGATTGGATAAATACTTATAGTTCACGTATAATTGAATATTGGGTTTGAAATTTCCATCAAGTGATTTTTAATAGATATCTTATGATCTTTAAATTCAGACATAGAAGAGGAACCTTGCATTTCAAAACATTCTCCAGGTGGAGAGATGCGATTGGCAAACAATTTAATGTTTGTCTCATACATGAAACTATTTTGTTGCAATACTATTAAAATTGATTGCTCAACATGAACTGACCAACCACTTTACAACTTCAAAAAAAATTACTACTAATTTCAAGTAAAATGCTGCTTACTTCTTTGCCTGCAGGCTACTTTACTCAGCTGATTATTAAACCAATCGTTCATAAACTAATTTATGAATACAAATACGCATATACAAAATGACAACAATCAATAGTAGTGATAATAATAATAATAATAATAATATAGATGATGATTTATCATTAACAATCACATCAACAACATCAACCAATGATTATGGTCGCATTCATCTTGAAAGAGATGAACAATCAATCTACAGATCGGTATTTAGAGATAAATATCTATTGAGGATGATATTACATCAGGTACCACACATCCATCATCGATTGCAACTCAAGACCTTCAAATACAGACTATTACAATCAGAATGGATCGCATTCAACAAGTACTATGCTGTCTTGTCTGACAAGTTGCAACACGACCCTCTCTTTACATTTGATGAGATGTCACTTCGATACTTTTGCTTTGCCAACAACAAGCTTGATCTACTCATCAGGCTCATTGCAAAGTACCCCAACTTGTTGGCTAATCAACGTGGAGGGTCCAAACCAACCAGTTCCATTGCTCTCTTTAATCGTCCCTCATTCTACATGCTCGACGATTGTTGTGTGGCCGGTCACATACACATTGTCAAATACCTCACTGAACAAAACTACAAAGCATCTGCCGATGCAATCAATAATTGTGCTAGATATGGTCATTTGGAATTGGTATGTGTAAACTGACAATATTGAAGAGTACTCTGTCAACTCTATCTTTTACTAACTATGTTCATTTACTAGTTGAATTATTTGGATCAAAATCGATCAGAAGGATGCTCAAAGATGGCTATGGATTCTGCATGCGAGATGGGTAGAATGGATACATTGTTGTATCTACATCAACATCGAAAGGAAGGGTGTACGAGAAAGGCAATGGACACATCATCAGCGATGGGATACTTTGAGATTGTAAAGTTTTTGCACGAGCATCGAAAGGAAGGGAGTAGTAAGGCAGCTCTGGATGGTGCGGCTGCTGGTGGATTCATCGATATTGTAAAGTTCCTGCATAATGAACGCAAGGAAGGGTGTAGTCGAGCGGCTCTGGACGGCGCTGCCGGCGGAGGGTTTTTGGATGTCGTCCAGTTTCTTCACTTGTCTCGGTCTGAGGGATGCACAACACTTGCCATCGACTCGGCTTCGGCGGGTGGCCACCTCGAAGTAGTTAGGTATTTGCATTTAAATCGTACCGAGGGTGCGACCATCAAAGCTATCGAAAGTGCTTGCCTAGGAGGACACTTGCAAGTAGTACAATACCTGTACGAGAATGTATTGATGCGGTGCACACGAGAGGCACTCGACGATGCCATTGGCAACGGACATCTCGACGTGGCACTGTATTTGGCGACCATCATGCCATTATCCGAACCCACTTCAAGAAGTATCGATCTGTGTTGCAAGGCTGGATACTTGGACATGATAGAGTATGTCTCTATCCGGTACCAGACCATCCCCTTTTCAGACGACTCGTTCTTTTACTGCGTAGCATTTAATCGGTTTGAAATACTCGACTTTATCTACAAGCGTATCCAATTTGCCGACTATTACAGCCACAAAAAGTACCAGAGTACCTATGGGTTCCTCAACATCCCCGACATACTCGAGGCACACAAAACGCATCTACAACAACTCGAAATGGAACGGGAACAATTACAAAAGCGATTGTTTAGCAACAAATATGTAAACAAAGAATTTAAAAAGCAACAAGAAGATAATCAACATCAACAACTTTTATCTCTTTCAAACGATGGACCAAGTCAATGACATTCGAATTCCGTTGAATAAAACAACAACCAACATAGATAGAGCCGTACTTTAATTAACAGATATTTACAAAAATATCCCATCCACCAAAAGATTTTTGCCAAAATTTTTTTCCATCGATCAAACTTTGTATCAGGTTCACAAACCATCTTTGTTGTCCTCTTCTCTCCTCTCTTTTGCAACCATCGATCAAATACAACAAATACAGAATACATAGAATGAATATAAAAGTGGTAGTTCAGATTATAGTCATCGGACTCATCTTTTGCATTCAAACTTTGAATGCTCAGATACCACAAGAAGAACGTATGTGTGATTTAAAACTATTTTTAGAAAGGATTCATAAACACAAATATCTAATATTAATATTAATATCTATTTTATTTATTTATTTATTCTAGTTGATGCAGCAATATGGATCATTCGTCAATATGGTAGTAATATTGTACAAGATATACCAAGTATATGCGCATCAGCTGCATTCAAATGTGAAAATGGTCACTTGACTCGAGTGTGAGTAGAATACAACAATTTCAAATTTGGTTATCTAGATCTAGTTACTAATATCCGACCATTTAAATGAATATTAGATCATTGGTTCAATCAACCAATACATTTTTGGGTACTGGATTAATTCCAGATCCGTCGTTGACAGCTCTATCACTACCAGAGTGTGTCCAATTCGATATCCACCCAATCGGTCCCTACAGAGGCGATCCTAATCAATCAATATTGACCAAATTAACTATCGTCTCAAAGGTCATAACCATGACGTAAGTTTTGATAATATATATATATATTTTATATTTAATTGATTACTGAATAACCCTACTACCTACAATATATATATATTTATATAGCTTGTATGATGATGTCATTTCAAATATTCCAATTGGATTTCTCAACCCTTTTATCGGATTGTCAAGTATGATATTAAGCTTTGGTAATATTACAGTGTTACAAGAAGGTTCATTCGAGGTGACCTCTGCATCAATAACAAATGTTGATTTCGAGTTCACTGCATTGAAAAGTTATCCATCGTTTAGCAATAGTTCTTCGTCGTTGTTGTGGAGATCATTGACTCAGTTGAGTATGAATATTAATTCTAGTGCTGCCGACTCTCCCATTTCTCTCACCTTTTCTCCAACCATTTTCCCAAACTTAGTATTACTACAACTTTTCAACTTGGATGTGGCAACCATCACTATTTCTATAAGTTGCATAAATATGTAAGTATTGTTATTATTAGGTAATAAGCAGACTGCCTGCTGCTTAGAAATATATCGATATTAATTAATTAATTTATTTATTTAGATATCTTTTAGGACAAGCTACCAATGGCTTTGCATTAACCGTTCCAAATCCAAGCAAAGTAGTTAATTTGTAAGCTGAATCTATTTTTTTTTGTTGTGATTTTTGAATAATGCTACCTTTTTTTTATACTAACAATCGTTTATATTATAGGAGGATTGATGGTCAAACAACCGTTTCACCTCCATTAGAACAATTTGTAAATTTAATAACGTTGACTACTGGCTTTTCAAATAGTGATGTCTACCCTTTTTCAAAATTCCCTCCCAAGTTGGAAAAATTGTATGTTATCGTCTATTAATATTACCAAAACTGTTAGGTTTCGATCGATCATCGTTATTAATTATATATATATGATTTGATTGATATAGTTCAACAGTATCCTCAGCGATGACAACATTTCCAACATCTCCAACTCCACCAGTATCATTTAAAGGGTGGTCATATACATCGATAATAGGATTTGTAGTAATTCCATGGGCATTGTTGACACCAGATAATACATCAAGATTACTTGATATTAGTAACAACCCAATACTTACTGGATCAGTTCCTGATAGTTTTTGTATCAACAAACTCATTATCACAGATACCAATATTTTAACTATTCCATGTAAGTTAAAAAAAAAAAAAAAAAAAGAGAAAAATAGAATAATTCTTTTATTAATTAAAAATTGATTTATTTTGTTTGTATATAGATTGTTATTGGTGTTATTATAATGACCCATCTGTTATTCAAACAAGTTTAGCATATCCAACTCCATTTACATGTCAACCATCAATTGATAATAGTACTATTTTCACTAAAGGTTTCCGTGGACTTTTGTTTGGCTCTTATCTAGGGTGGGGTAATACTGCTCTTCACGCCACCCAAGGATATTATACTCTTACTCCCATAGTCCCACATAAAATATTAGAGTAACTATAACTATATTTTTATATTTATTTATTATTTTTGTATCCTATTAGTATTAATCACAATTTATATTTACTATTAGATTATATTATCGTACAATTGGATCACAACAATCAGTTTCGATTAAATTAAATGAAAAAGAATCATATATAGTTGATTTAGATCTTTTAGAGGTTGGCATTATATTGACATCGGTCAATGTCACTCAAATACCAACCGATAAATTATTGTTTACTTGGATGTTTTTATTCTACAATGATCATCTTCAACACGAGTTTCAACTACTCCCTCTTCAATTGGGTCGTGAATGTCAACGTACAACAACAAACTACAACTCTACATCTGGAAGCTCGATGGTCATTTGTGAATTGGATAACAGCCAATTAAATATGCCATCCTACACTTTTAGAGTATCAAATCCTTTTAATCAAGAAACATTCACCGTTCCTTTTAAATGTAAATATATATATAAACATGAAAAGAGTATGATTGTAAAATTATAATTATATTTATTCATTCTTTTATTTATTTATTATAGACTATCCTCGATTAGTATCAGGACAAGTTGATTCAACAAATCAAAGATTAATTTATTTGTTTGGTGATTTTGGTCAAAATCATTCGCTAGCAATTATTACAATTAATCATAAAATAGCGTGTAGTATTGTATCATCGGCTGCGGATGCTATTAATTGTACATTGTCAGGGAGTGCTAGTTATGGTCCTGCTAATGTTAGTATCGTAGTTGATGGGAAACCATTTGAAGCAAATGACTTTTTGTTTTTTAAAAATAATAATAATGGTTCAACTACTACGACTACTGGATCAACAACTACAACAGGAGGAGGAACAACACCACAAACACAATGTCAAGAATCAACATCAAATTGTTTTGGACATGGATCTTGTGATGTTAATGGCCGTTGTCAATGTGATAGTGGTTATAATCCAATTGATAATTGTTTGACTAAATGTATGTGTAGAGAGAAAAAAGAAATATTTAATTTAAAATTAATATATTAATTTATTTTTCCAATTTTAGTCACCAACTCAACACCTATTACAAATACAACAGCACCAACATCATCATTTGAAGTGGATGGAACAAGATTTGATTTTGAATTGGTTGCTATTCAAGAATTGGATAATGAAGGTATTGTCGTTGGAGAATTACTGACAAACAGTTGGAATGCAACTATCAACAATGATACTACAACAACTCTAGTCACCTATCAACTTGTCAATATTAGTAATGCACTATACATTGATACGATAGTTCAAGCAATGATATCATTCTCAACACAACCAAGAGATATCCAATTTGGAGATCAACTACTTCACATCAATCCAAACTCAATCAAACTGGCATTGAATATCACCAACTGGCAATACAATAATCTTATATCAACACTTCGAGTTGTATTTAGAACCGATGTCAATATGAACCAAACGATTGAATATGATTGCAAACAACAATCGATATCAACATTCTCATACGATCAACTATCATCAACCATCCAATATCTCAGAGTAATCAAAGATAACGTCCAATACAACGGTCGATTCATTGATTATGTATTATCAGATGGAAGACCAACATTCTCCAAAACAACACTGATCAACCAAACAACCAGTCAATCATCATCAACACCAACAACAATCATGTCAACATTGATTGGAGTATCATTACCTCAATGTCAATCATGTTTACTTGACCCAGATTTCACACCACTTTTAATTGACTACTCTCAAAGTGATTGTGATTCAACCAACAGTAAAACATGGAAGATTATTGTTGGAGTTGTCGTTGGTGGATTCGCTGCCATTGCCATTGCTGCGGGCACTGTAATATATATGAAAAAAAAGAAAACTATGAACCGTCATAACAAATCAATGCAAAACAAATTAAAGAATATGTCCAAGTAGGTTATCAGTAGCACTATAGTTAGCAATCAAATCGCAATCATTTGATTTGTAAATAAATAAGATTATAAAAAAAAAAAAATAAGAAAAGAAAGATCTGAAATTTCATTGAATGTCCATGCATCACGACGACATGTCGTAGCAAAGATTTTTTCGTTAGTTTTGTTGTCAATCTCCGTTCTTTGTAGGTTTTCTATTATTAACATAATAATAGATATCAGATCTTAAGAATATGAAGATAGTTCAGATTATAATCATTGCACTCATCTTTTGTATTCAAAGTTTGAATGTTGAACTGACCATTTCAAATCTAATATTAGATTATTAAGCCCAGCGACCTCTCCTTTTATTATTAACACTGGATTAGTTCCAGATCCGTCGTTGACAGCTCTATCGCTACCAGAGTGTGCCCAATTGGATATCCACCCAATCGGTAATTTTAGAGGCGATCCTAATCAATCAATATTGACCAAATTAACGATCGTCTCAAAGGTTAAATCTTTATCGTAAGTTTAAACTATTCATAATACACAATAGGATATTCACTACTCAATACTTACGACTACTACTACCAACAATATATATATTTATATAGCATGTATGAGGATGTCATTTCAAATATTCCAATTGGATTTCTCAAACCTTTTACATCATTGATAAGCCTGACATTAGATCTTGGTAACATTACAGTGTTACAAGAAGGCTCATTCGAGGTGACCTCTGCAACAACAATAATTGCTGGTTTCGAGTTCATTGCATTGAAAAGCTATCCATCGTTTAGCAATAGATCTTCATCGTTGTTGTGGAGATCATTGACTCAGTTGAGTATGAATATTAATTCAAGTGCCTCTGACTCTCCCATTTCTCTCACCTTTTCACCAACCGTTTTCCCAAACTTGGTATACCTACAACTTTCCAACTTGGATATGGCAACCATCACAGTTTCTATAAGTTGCATAAATATGTAAGTAGAGTATTATTATTATTGGTGAAAAGCAGACTACAGATGTTGCTGAACAAGAATATATTTCAAACTCTATATCTATTTTTTATTTATCATTCATTATCTTATTCATTTCTAGATATCTTTTAGGACAAGCTACCAATGGCTTTGCATTAACTGTTCCAAATCCAAGCAAAGTAGTTAATTTGTAAGCTGAAGAATCTATTTTTTTTGTTGTGATTTTTGAATAATGCTACCTTTTTTTTTTATACTGACAATCATTTATATTATAGGAGGATTGATGGTCAAACAACCGTTTCACCTCCATTAGAACAATTCTTAAATTTAAAAACGTTGACTACTGGGTTTTCAAACAGTGATGTCTACCCTTTTTCAAAGTTTCCTCCCAAGTTGGAAAAATTGTATGTTATCGTCCATTCATATATATTAATATCATTACTAATTATATATATATGATTGATTTAGTTTAACAGTATACTCAGCAATGACAACATTTCCAACATCTCCAACTCCACCAGTATCATTTAAAGAGTGGAAATACTCATCTATAATAGGATTTGTAGTAATTCCATGGGCATTGTTGACACCAGATAATACATCAAGATTACTTGATATTAGTAACAATACAACACTTGATGGATTAGTTTCCGATAGTTTTTGTATCACATAAAATCACCTCACTGTGGAGATGACACTTTCGTATATGTGGAACTATAGGGGTAAGAGTATATGATCCTTGGGTAATACCCCATCCTAGATTAGAGCCTGTGATTAAACCACGGAAACCCTTTCACATAAAATATTAGAGTAACTAAAACTATACAAAATATATATTTATTTTTAATATTAATCACAATCAATACATTTGATTAAAATCAATTTAGATTATATTATCCTACAAGTGGAACTGTGCAAATCAATACCTTTAAATTAAATGTATATCAATCTTATACAATTTCCCTCTAGATACAAGAGGTTGGCATTATATTGGCGTCGGTCAATGTCACTCAAATACCAAACGACAAATTACGGTTTACTTGGTCATTTTTATTCTTCAATGATCATCTTCATTCAACACCAGTTCCAACTACTCCCTGTTGAATTGGGTAGATATTGTGTAATTGTTTCGACCAATTACAACTCTACATCTGGTAGTTCAATAGTTGGTTGTGAATTGGATAACAGTCAATTAAATACTGCAACCTATACTTTTAGAGTATCAAATCCTTTTAATCAAGAAACATTTATTGTTCCTTTTAAATGTATGTAAATATAGTTTGTTTGTAAATGATGAGGATGATGAAATGTACATTGATTGTTAAATGACTCATTATTTTATTTATTTATCAAATATTAGATTATCCTCGAATATTATTTATTATAGATTATCCTCGATTAGTATCAGGACAAGTTGATTCAACAAATCAAAGATTAATTTATTTGTTTGGTGATTTTGGTCAAAATCATTCTTTGGCAACTATTACAATCAACGATAAAATAGCATGTAGCGTTACATCATCAACTGTCGATGCTATTAATTGTACATTGTCAGAGAGTGCTAGTTATGGTCCTGCTAATGTTAGTATCGTAGTTGATGGTAAGCCATTTATGGCTAAAGAGTTTTTATATTTCATATCTCCACCAAATAATAATGGTTCAACTACAACAACGACAGGTGGAGGAGGAACAACACCACAAACACAATGTCAAGAATCAACATCAAATTGTTTTGGACATGGATTATGTGATGTTAATGGCCGTTGTCAATGTGATAGTGATTATAATCCAATTGATAATTGTTTGACTAAATGTATGTGTAGAGAGAAAAAAGAAATATTTAATTTAAAATTAATATATTAATTTATTTTTCCAATTTTAGTCACCAACTCAACACCTATTACAAATACAACAGCACCAACATCATCATTTGAAGTGGATGGAACAAGATTTGATTTTGAATTGGTTGCTATTCAAGAATTGGATAATGAAGGTATTGTCATTGCAGAATTACTGACAAACAGTTGGAATGCAACTATCAACAATGATACTACAACAACTCTAGTCAACTATCAACTTGTCAATATTAGTAATGCACTATACATTGATACGATAGTTCAAGCAATGATATCATTCTCAACACAACCAAGAGATATCCAATTTGGAGATCAACTACTTCACATCGATCCAAACTCAATCAAACTGGCATTGAATATCACCAATTGGCAATACAGCAATCTAATATCAACACTTCGAGTTGTATTTAGAACCGATGTCAATATGAACCAAACGATTGAATATGATTGCAAACAACAACCGATATCAACATTCTCATACGATCAACTATCATCAACCATTCAATATCTCAGAGTAATCAAAGATAATATCCAATACAACGGTCGATTCATCGATTATGTATTATCAGATGGAAGACCAACATTCTCCAAAACAACATTGATCAACCAAACAACCAGTCAATCATCACCATCACCAACAACAATCATGTCAACATTGATTGGAGTATCACTACCTCAATGTCAATCATGTTTACTCGACCCAGATTTCACACCACTTTTAATCGACAATACTGAATCACAATACTGTAAGTGATTGTGATTCAACCAACAGTAAAACATGGAAGATTATTGTTGGTGTAGTTGTTGGTGGTACTGCCTTGGTAGCAGTCATAGTTGGATTAGCGATCTATCTCAAAAAATCCAACTTTAAATACTCTAAACCAATGATATTTATGAAAGCTCTTAAAAACAAGGTATAATTCCATTATACAAATGTACATAACATTTTGTACTTTCATGTATACTCTATCTACAATAAATATCATAATCTGATGTCCTTTATTTATTCATCACATCCCTCATTCTTTTCTTCTTTTATGCATCCTATTGAGTCCAAATAATAATAATACATAAAAATGAAATGGGGACAAATCTGTGGTTAGTTTTATTGATCGTTTTCCCATTGATGATACTTTGATCCCAAGAAGAAGATTATAAATATCTTTATAATCATTGGGAATCGGTGAATAGATATTTGGTAAATATTATTTATAATATCTGTAAGTACAAGCAAGCAAGATCTTACAACAATTGCAACAGCACATCATGAGTATCTAGAAACGCAACTTGTTGACCATCATTATTATCACCATCATCAAACACAATGAAATATAGAGATACAATCAAACATATAACGTTTGTTGTTCTATTTTATGTAGTTTACATTAGTCATTATATAACAACAGCTCAGCTAATTCCACAGGTAGAAAGTGAGTTAAAACTAATTATTATTGATAGAGAGATAAGAGAGAGATCATATTTTAAAAAAGAATAGTGCCAGTTCTAATTTCAAAGACAATTTATTTATTCTATTCTATAATAGTTGATTCAGCAATATGGATCATTCGTCAATACGGTAGCGAGCTTGCACAAGATGTATCGAGTATATGTTCATCAGCAGTGTTTACGTGCGAAAATGGTCATATTGTAACTGTGTGAGTTATTATTATTATGCATATGATAGGAGTTTTTGGATGGATACACAAGTACTGACATGTTTCTTTATCTATCTATCTATCTTAGTCAATTGTCAATGACAACTACTACATTTAATATAAATGGAACTGGTGCTCCTGACCCATCTTTGACAGCTATCGATTTCCCTGAATGTCTTTTATTAGATGTTCAACCATTCCCCAATGCCAAGTATGTCGGTGATCCAAACCAATCAATTCTTGATAAATTAACAAATCTTCCAAAAGTAACTTCTATATTGTATGTATAATGATAGATAGATAGATAGATAGAAACAATTAATTAAGTTCCTTTTTTTTTTTTTTTTTGTCAAACAGAATTCATGACCTAGTATCACCAAGTATACCAGTAGGTTTTTTAAAGAACTTCCCTGTACTGACATCCATTACATTAACCCTATTCAACATGACAGTATTCAATGAACAGTCATTTGAAATAGCAACCAATTCAATCGCATCTGCCTATCTCCAATTCAACATTTTGAAAAAGTATCCTACCTTTACCAATACTTCCACATCATTGATGTGGAGGCAATTGAGGTTTTTCTCATTCCTTACCAATTCTACTGCAGCCGATGAACCCATTTCACTCGTCTTTCCACAATCTGTATTCCCATACTTGGAAATCCTTCAAATTGGGTCATACGCAGATGGATTAGTTTCAGTTACTGCAAGTGTTGAATATATGTAAGTATACTTAGTGATTGGGATGATCATTTTAAATATAAATATTAAATTAATTATAATTAATTTTAATTTTACTGTCTCTAGGTTTTTCTTTGGATATTTAGCCAATGGATTTAATGTTACTGTTCCAAACCCAGACATTGTTGAATACATGTATGAAGTGGAGTGTTGAAATTAAATTTAGTACGTTTTCAATCAATTACTAATCACAAATATAATTATATAGGACATTAAATGGTATTTCTACAGTTTCACCTCCATTACACCTTTTTACAAATTTATTGACTTTGGAAACTAGTCATGCAAATACTACTACTTACCCTTTTTCAACATTCCCTCCAAAGTTACAAAAATTGTATGTTATGATGCACGATATTAAAATATATATTTATTATATTTATATATATTTATGATTATTCCCATTATTAATAATTTTTTATAGTATCAAATATGACACAGCGATTACAACACTTCCATATTCTCCATTGCCAACAACTACATTTAAATCTTGGGAATATCGTTCGCTGGGCAAGGATGTCGTAATCCCATGGGAAGCATTGGCACCTGATAACACATCAAGATTACTCGATGTCCAATTCAACCCTCAACTTTCTGGATCGGTTCCAGATAGTTTTTGTGTCAACAAACTCTATATATCATCAACCAATATATCTAGTGTTCCAGGTAAGAAGGCTTATTCATTAATATTTAATTCTAATATATTAATTAAGAATCTTTCTTATATTATTTGTATAGATTGTTTTTGGTGCTATCGAAATGATTCAACTGTTTTCCGAACCACTTTGCCGCTCCCCCCTGGATTTACATGTCAACCATCAATTGATAATAGTACTATTTACACTAAAGGTTTCCGTGGTTTAATCATAGGCTCTAATCTAGGGTGGGGGAATACTGCTTCTCACCCAACTCAAGGAAATTATACTCTTACTCCTATAGTCCCACATAAAATATTAGAGTAACTATAAATATATAATATTTTTATTTTTATTTATTTATTATTTAATATTAACTCATTCAACCAACTATGGTCTTTTAGATTATATTATAAAACCGATGGAACTCAAATCAATACTGTTATTACATTAAATGAATTTCAATCTTATTCATTTCCTTTAACAATTTTAGAGGTTGGAATTATATTGTCAAAGGTCAATGTCACTCAACTACCAAATCATATCTTGGAGTTTACTTGGGTTTTTCCATTTATCAATACCAAGCTTATTCACAATTTCAAACCACTGTCGGATTCATTGATTGGAATTTGTGACATTTATTCAGCTCAGCTCAACTTATCTTCCATTCAAGCCATATATACTTGTCTAATAGCGTTAAATCAATCGTTTACAACTGTTGGTACATCATTCAAGTTTGAAATATCAAATGATTATAATAAGGAAACTTACACTGTTCCTTTTAAATGTATGTGTTTTGATAAATAATATTAATTATTAAAAATCATATATTAATATATTCATTCTTTTTAAATATTATAGATTATCCTCGATTATTATCAGGACAAGTTGATTCGAATAATCAAAGTTTGATTTATTTGTTTGGTGATTTTGGTCAAAATCATTCTTTAGCAAACATTACAATTAATCATAAAACATCTTGTAGTGTTGTATCATCAACTATCGATGCAATTAACTGTACATTGTCAGAGAATTCAAGAGCAATTTTTGGTCTTGCTAATGTTAGTATCACGGTCGATGGATATCCATTTGAAGCAAACAACTTTTTATTTTTTAAAAATAATAATAATAATAATAATGGTTCAACAACTACTGGATCAACAACAAGCAGTTCAACAACAGGAGGAGGAACAACACCACAAACACAATGTCAAGAATCAACATCAAATTGTTTTGGACATGGATCTTGTGATGTTAATGGTCGTTGTCAATGTGATAGTGGTTATAATCCAATTGATAATTGTTTGACTAAATGTATGTAGAAAATTATTTAATTTAAAATTACATCAATTAATTAATTTAAAAATCAATAATATTAATATTTAATTCTATTTCTTAATTTTATAGTCACCAACTCTACACCTATTACAAATACAACAGCACCAACATCATCATTTAAGGTCAATGGAACAAGATTTGATTTTGAATTGGTTGCTATTCAAGAAATTGATAATGATGGGAATGTAGTTGGAGAATTGATGACAAACAGTTGGAATGCAACTATCAACAATGATACTACAACAACTCTTGTCAACTATCAACTTGTCAATATTAGTAATGCACTGTACATTGATACTATAGTTCAAGCAATGATATCATTCTCAACACAACCAAGAGATATTCAATTTGGAGATCAACTACTTCACATCAATCCAAATTCAATCAAACTGGCATTGAATATCACCAACTGGCAATATAGCAATCTTATATCAACACTTCGAGTTGTATTTAGAACCGATGTCAATATGAACCAAACGATTGAATATGATTGCAAACAACAATCGATATCAACATTCTCATACGATCAACTATCATCAACCATTCAATACCTCAGAGTAATCAAAGATAATATCCAATACAACGGTCGATTCATCGATTATGTATTATCAGATGGAAGACCAACATTCTCCAAAACAACATTGATCAACCAAACAACCAGTCAATCATCATCAACACCAACAACGACAATCATGTCAACATTGATTGGAGTATCACTACCTCAATGTCAATCATGTTTACTTGACCCAGATTTCACACCACTTTTAATCGATAAATCCGAAAGTGATTGTGATTCAACCAACAGTAAAACATGGAAGATTATTGTTGGAGTTGTCGTTGGTGGATTCGCTGCCATTGCCATCACTGTTGGTGCTGTAATGTTATTGAAAAAGAATAGAACTGTGAACCGCCAAAACAAAAAAATGAACAACAAATTGCAGAATATGGAAAGTGAAAAATAACCAATCCAATCTATATAATCACCAATCATCATCTCAATCTTATCTTATAAATTTATTCATTGAACCTATAGATATTTCTAATGATTAATTATAAAAATAAAGATATTTATGAATTTTCTTTCGCGTACCCCCTTATCAACCGATCACCAAAATTCATCTTTGACTATCATTATTTAATCCTCAAACAAATAAGAAAAGAAAGAAAATGAAATTATTCATTCAAATATTAACATACTTGTTCATTTATTGCTTTTTTGTTATTCCATCAACAAGAGCTCAGATATTGCCACAGGTAGAAGGTGAGTGAGCTTGGGTGTGAACTTCGGACTGCTTTTATTTGGATTTTTTTTTTTATTGTCCAAGAGAGGTACCACATTTAAATTCTAACGCATTCCCCTCAACCAATATAATTATATTCTATAGTTGATTCTATTGTTTGGATCATTCGACAATATGGTAGTAACATTGGACAAGATGCAGCGAGTATATGTGCAGCAATTGGAGCTTTCACATGCGCAAATGGTCATATAACAGGAGTGTAGGTATTCATTCATCGTTGATCGCGATCAGACTGCATAGAAAACTCATACATCTAACATCTATTATTATTATTATTGTTATTAAAGTAACTTTGGTTCACAGTCGTCTGCTTTTACAGCTACAGCTGGTATACCTAATGCATTGTTACCTTCAATCAATCTACCAGAGTGCATTCAATTCGCTCTCAGACCTATCGTTGAAACATTCAGAGGTGATCCTAATCAATCGATTCTCGATAAACTAACTGGTTTACCTAAAGTAGGAAATCTCATGTATGTGTCGTCAACCTACTAGTACTACTCAATACTCTACGATCATATATTCTAACCTATTCTTTGTCTTTATAAAGTATGACAGAAGACTCAATACCAAACATTCCAATTGGATTTCTCAAACCTTTTACATCATTGGTTGAACTAAATTTGAATCTTGGCAATGTTACATCGTTGCAAGAGAGTTCATTTGAAGTGAGCCCAAACCCTACAATTACACGTGTCTACTTTAAATTCTATGCATTGAAAAGTTATCCGCCGTTTAGTAACAGTTCAACGACACTGCTATGGAATTCAGTGCAGGAACTTACTATTAGAATCAACGAATCAAATGCGATTGCTCCTATTTCACTCGAGTTTTCATCGACCATTTTCCCAAATCTACAACTATTGATGTTGCAAAGTGCTAATACTGCAACGATTAAAGTTAAAGCAAACTTTCCCAAAATGTTTGTATTATTCACAGAAACAAATAGCTCGACTACCCTTAATATCTAACTTGATGATTCATTTAAATAATTATAGGGGTATCTTGGGATCGAGCGAATATGGATTCGATTTGACTGCTCCTAATCCTCAAGTATTACAAGAATTGTAGGTAGCAGTGATAAGACTGTTTATGTTTCTTTAATTAAAAATCTAATCAAATATTATATCTAGAACTTTAAATGGTAAATCAACAATCTCACCTCCTTTGGGTGGCCTATATACAGGTTTGATAAAATTGGGCGTTGATCTTTTACAGAGTGAGGGTTATCCATTCACTGAAGTGTTTCCACCAAACTTGGCTTTATTGTAAGATTACATTAACAATAGTTTTAGAATATATATTGTATATTTATTGTATTGACCCAATTATTATTATTATTATTAATAATAATAATTATTCTATTTAGTACTAAATCATTTACAAACACATCAACAACTCTTCCAACATTTCCACTACCAACCCCAAACTTTAAGGCGTGGAGATATTATTACTTGTACCCGTCAATGGTAATTCCATGGGAAGGATTGACACCAGACTCCACATCGAGATTCCTTGATGTCTCTGGTAATACAGGACTTACCGGTTCAGTTCCAGATAGTTTCTGTATCAACAGACTCGATATCACTAATACTGCTATCACTAGTATTCCAAGTATGTTTAAGCTTTTTAAAAAGTAATACATATGACTGACTCATTTATTTATATTTAGGTTGTTATTGGTGTTATCATAATGATACAACTGTTATAAAAACTAGTTTGGCCATGCCCCCTGGATTTACATGTCAACCGACATTTGATCAAACCATTCTTTATACAAAGGGGTTCCGAGCCAACCTGACTGGCACTTTACTAGGATATGGGAATACTGCTTCTCACCCAACCCAAGGAAATTATACTCTTACTCCTGTACTCCCACATATAATTTTAACGTAACTATATCAATCAATCTATTTATTAAATACCATATTTTTTTGTTCAGCTTCAATTCATTAAATTCCTTTTTGTTAATCGATTATTATAGATTATATTATCAAACAAATGGACAACAACAAAATGTTAGAATTTTATTGAATGAACTATCATCCTATTCAGTGGATCTGACACTTTTAGAAGTTGGCATTATTTTAACATCGGTCAATGCTACACAACAATTAAACCAAAAAGTATGGTTCACCTGGACGTTTTTATTCTACAATAAAAATCTTCAACACCAATTCAAATTACTTCCAGCTTTGGATGGCCGTAATTGTACGATAGTACTGATACAATACAACTTTGGCACTGGAAGTTCAATAGTTAGTTGTGAATTGGATATGAGCAAATTAATAACTACCATCTATACATTCTCGGTATCAAATGCTTATAATCAAGAAACCTTCACCGTTCCTTTTAAATGTATGTTACGTATTCAATTAATAATTTAAATCTTACAGAATATCAAACTAACACACAAATATTATCAAATATTAGATTATCCTCGATTATTATCAGGACAAGTTGATCAGAATAATCAAAGATTAGTTTATTTGTTTGGTGATTTTAGACAAAATCATTCATCAGCAAATATTACTGTTAATGATAAAATATCATGTAGTGTTGTATCATCAGCTGTTGATGCAATTAATTGTACATTATCAGGGAGTGCTAGTTATGGTCCTGCCAATGTTAGTATCGTAGTTGATGGATATCCATTTGAAGCAAACAACTTTTTATTTTTTAAAAATAATAATAATGGTTCAACTACTACAACTACTGGATCAACAACTACAAGTGGAGGAGGAACAACACCACAAACACAATGTCAAGAATCAACATCAAATTGTTTTGGACATGGATCTTGTGATGTTAGTGGTCATTGTCAATGTGATAGTGGTTATAATCCAATCGATAATTGTTTGACTAAATGTACGTGTCAATTTAATTATTTAAATTAAAACAATTAATTAATTAATTATTTTTCCAATTTAGATACCAACTCAACACCTATTGCAAATACAACAGCACCAACATCATCATTTGAGGTCAATGGAACAAGATTTGATTTTGAATTGGTTGCTATTCAAGAAATTGATAATGAAGGTATTGTCATTGCAGAGTTACTGACAAACAGTTGGAATGCAACTATCAACAATGATACTACAACAACTCTTGTCACCTATCAACTTGTCAATATTAGTAATGCACTATACATTGATACGATAGTTCAAGCAATGATATCATTCTCAACACAACCAAGAGATATCCAATTTGGAGATCAACTACTTCACATCAACCCAAACTCAATCAAACTAGCATTGAATATCACCAATTGGCAATACAATAATCTAATATCAACACTTCGAGTTGTATTTAGAACCGATGTCAATATGAACCAAACGATTGAATATGACTGCAAACAACAACCGATATCAACATTTTCATACGATCAACTATCATCAACCATCCAATATCTCAGAGTAATCAAAGATAATATCCAATACAACGGTCGATTCATTGATTATGTATTATCAGATGGAAGACCAACATTCTCCAAAACAACACTGATCAACCAAACAACCAGTCAATCATCACCATCACCAACAACAATCATGTCAACATTGATTGGAGTATCATTACCTCAATGTCAATCATGTTTACTCGACCCAGATTTCACACCACTTTTAATCGACAACTCTCAAAGTGATTGTGATTCAACCAACAGTAAAACATGGAAGATTATTGTTGGTGTTGTTGTTGGTGGATTTGTCGCTCTTGCCATTGCCACCGGCACTGTAATATATATTAAAAAGAAGAAAACTAGTTCCCACCAAAACAAAAAAATGCAGAACAAATTAAAGAATATGTCCTAGTCTAGACACTGATCCAAATTGATAATAATTGGTTATCCAATACACCAAACACAACGTCCATCACCAACAACATCATTTTATGGATGTATTGTTTAAATTGTTAAAAATAAAATTTGATGATAAAATTTTTATAATAAAAATTCGATTATACCAATTATAGAAAGCTAATATTATGTAAATACTATTCATTTGTTAATTCCAGTACTAGTACTAATCATGTATGAATGTCCAAAGTGTAACGAGTTCGATAAACTCTTAACAGAAACAATAACGATGAAAGAAAATTACAAGAAGGCATTGCATAGACAACACGTGTTGGAAAAGGATTTACTCAATAAGAAGGACAAAGAAATCAAAGAACTTCCCGGTTCACTTGAACATTTGTTGGTGGAGAGCAACAATAAACATAGAAACCATCCAATCAAAGATTATTAAAAAGTTACAACTATTACAAGAAGAACTAGAAGAATTAAAGAAATCGAATAGCTTGCACCAAGAAGTCTCGAATCAGAACATTTACCCACCCAATTTACAAATATTTATTTAAAAAAAAAAACATTTTCTTTTCAACATCATCATTCTCGTACAACGTGAGTCGTTTATAACAAATTATTTGTTAGAAATAAATGATGGTAGGCTAATTCCAAAACAAAATTTATTTCTATGGCAATGATTCACCCAACAACTATTTGTCCAAATGCATAATTGATTCAGGAAAATAATTGGGTCATTCTTTATTTGTGTGATGTCATCAATAGTATGACCTCGATCTTCCTCGGCTCATCAAACAAACGACAAAATCCAGCACTGGTTTGATGATATTTTAAAAATCGATCCGTTTGTTGCAAGATATTTATTCGACTTCATGAGAAGGTTCTGATAATGGGGGGTTGTGTACCATAGATCATCATAAAATTTAGATCATCTAGAACAAACAACAACTCTAATACTTTTCGTTTCTAAACACCCCCCAACAAATAAGATAAAATGATGTGTGTTATCAAACAGATAGTAGTGGTATTTGTTTTACTCATCCATTGCAGTAGTTTTATTCAGTTTTCGGGTGCACAAACATTACTTCCAGCTGATCGTATGTATATTTCAACTCTCTGTTCTCTCTCTCGTCGATCGAAAGGATCTAACAAAACATCATTGATTCATTTCATTTATATATTAAAGTTAGTTCTATTAGATGGATCATTCGTCAATATGGTAGCAACATAGTTGAAGATTCAGTGAGTATATGTGCATCAGGTGCATTTGTTTGTACAAATAACCGTATCACAGCAGTGTATGTTTAACATGATGATAAATATATTGATCAAATGTGATATATCATAATAATCATTCACACCTTTCTTTATTTCTTTACTTTACTTTATAAATTTATAGCAATCTTAGACCCGGGACATCTGGGTTTATAGCTTCTGGTGGTCAGCCACCTTCTCCAACAACCAACATTGACCTACAGCTATGTACTCAATTTGTTATTCAACCTCCCCAATCAAATAATTATAGAGGCGACCCAAGTCAAAATATACTTTTAAAGATAGGAACAGGTCTTCCAATAGTAAACATTTTTTGGTATGTACATAAGAGTAACAGTTTCCATCCATGATGATTGATGATGACTAACGACAAAGTTGTGATTATAATATATTATAGGATTTTTGATAAATTAATCACTATATTGCCAGCTGGATTCTTTACACAGCTCCCAAGACTTGGGCTTCTTTCCATGGAGCTTGGTATCACCACTTTGCAAGACAACCAGCTGACCCTTGCACCATCGACACCGATATCACAGATATCACTAGAACTCTACTCTTTGAAATCCTTTCCAGCGTTTCAAACTGCCGGCAATAGTTTGATGACTTCAGTCGGTACATTTACCATGTACTTTAACACCAGTGTCTCTGATAACCCGGTTACATTCAACATTAGCAGCTCTATTTTCAAAAACCTAGGTGTATTGGAATTGAAAAACATTAGTCCTAATCCAGGCACTGTATCTGTCATTGCAAGTTGTGAAGACATGTTTGTATTTAACAAAATTATATATATTGCTAAAATGAAATCTTTATCTAACCATTCCACCTATTATTATTTCTTTTTGTGTATGAGTAGAAAACTATTAACTGAAAATGATCCTAAAACCTCTATCGACTTGGTTTCTTTGAATCCAGATGCTGTCAAACAGCTGTAAGTATTAACAACAATTCAAAAAAAAAAAAAAAAAAAAAAAACAGAAAAATGAAGAACAAATTGATATTTATTTATTTATTTAAACTTTAAATTAATTTAGTAAAGTTAGAGGAAGGTTAACGAGTACACCTCCATTACACCAATTTAACAATTTATATAAACTTATTTTCGAGTATTCTGATATTGGAAATGGTTACCCTTTCACAAGTTTTCCCCCAAGTCTAACACAATAGTATGTTGAAATATAGATAGATAGATAGATTGATAGATATAAATCAGATTGGGAAATAATAATAATTAATAATTACATATTTTCTACTACTTTCACTAGTGTAAGACAATATTCAAATATTACAACGTTTCCATCTACTCCAAAACCAACAACTACCTTTAATACATGGGTTTATCATCACTTGAGTGGCATTGCAACTGTGCCATGGGCATCATTGATACCAGACAACACATCAAGATTACTCGATTTAGATAGCGGTAATCCAGGTATTGTGGGAACCGTTCCAGAGTATTTCTGTATCAACAAACTCTTTATCACAACTACTAGTATCACCAAAGTACCTGGTAAGAAAGATAAATATATATCGAACATCATTTTTATTTTGCAGACATTATATTTATTTTTATCTTTATTTATTATTTAATTAATTGTATAGATTGTTATTGGTGCAATTATAATGATCAAACCATTTTTAAAACTAGTATGCCATTGCCCATTGGATTTACATGTCAACCAACTTTGGACCTTTCAACGATTCATACAATTGGTTATCGTGCCAATTTGACCGGATCGCTTTTAGGGTGGGGTAACAATGGACTACATCCAACTCAAGGCAATTATACTCTTACTCCAATTGTTCCAAACAAAATATTAGAGTAACTATTAATTTAATGTTAATTTTGATATATTTATATTAATTTTTCTTTTTTTTCTTTTTTTTTTATAGATTATATTATAAAACTAATAATGGTAGTGAGGAAACTGTTTCGATTAAATTAAATGATAAAGAGGCACACACTGTTGGGTTTACAATTCAAGAAGTTGGCATTATATTCACATCTGTCAATGTAACCCAAAACCCCAATCAAATCATTTCATTCAATTGGTCATTTTTATTCTTTAATCCCACTCTACTACACAATTTCACACTGCTTCCTTTATCACTTGGACGTAGCTGCAAAAATTTGGCAACGATTTACAACAATAAATATGGAAATGCAACTGTACGATGTGATTTAGATGTCAGCCAATTAAACATCATGTCATTCAATTTTTTGGTCGCAAATGCTTATAACCAACAAACATACAATGTTCCTTTTAAGTGTAAGTATTAGATTAATATTAATTAAAACAAAGAGTTTGAAATTAATATTAAAGGTATATTATATTAATAATTCAATACCTTTCGACAAACAATAGATTATCCAAGATTAGTATCAGGACAAGTTGACTCAACAAATCAAAGTTTGGTTTATTTGTTTGGTGATTTTAGACAAAATCATTCTTTGGCAAATATTACAATTAACGATAAAATAGCATGTAGTGTTGTATCATCGACACCAGATTCAATTAATTGTACTTTATCAGAGAGTGCAAGTTATGGTCCTGCAAGTGTCTATATTGTAGTTGATGGATATTCATTTATTTCCAAAGACTTTTTATATTTCACAGCTCCACCAAATAATAATGGTTCAACAACAACTACTGGTGGATCAACCACAACAACTACCAGTTCAACAACAGGAGGAGGAACAACACCACAAACACAATGTCAAGAATCAACATCAAATTGTTTTGGACATGGATCTTGTGATGTTAATGGCCGTTGTCAATGTGATAATGGTTATAATCCACTTGATAATTGTTTGACTAAATGTATGTAGAAAATTATTAATTAATTATTAAAAATCAATTAATATTAATATTAATATTTAATTCATTTTATAGTCACCAACTCGACACCTATTACAAATACAACAGCACCAACATCATCATTTGAAATTGATGGAACTAAATTTGATTTTGAATTGGTTGCTATTCAAGAATTGGATAATGAAGGTATTGTCATTGCAGAGTTACTGACAAACAGTTGGAATGCAACTATTACCAACAGTGATGGTTTAACCCTTGTAGACTATCAACTTGTCAATATTAGTAATGCACTGTACATTGATACAATAGTTCAAGCAATGATATCATTCTCAACACAACCAAGAGATATCCAATTTGGAGATCAACTACTTCACATCAATCCAAACTCAATCAAACTAGCATTGAATATCACCAATTGGCAATACAATAATCTAATATCAACACTTCGAGTTGTATTTAGAACCGATGTCAATATGAACCAAACGATTGAATATGATTGCAAACAACAATCGATATCAACATTCTCATACGATCAACTATCATCAACCATTCAATATCTCAGAGTAATCAAAGATAATATCCAATACAACGGTCGATTCATTGATTATGTATTATCAGATGGAAGACCAACATTCTCCAAAACAACATTGATCAACCAAACAACCAGTCAATCATCATCAACACCAACAACCATGTCAACATTGATTGGAGTATCATTACCTCAATGTCAATCATGTTTACTTGACCCAGATTTCACACCACTTTTAATCGACAATACTGTAAGTGACTGTGGTGACTCAGCCAACAGTAAAACATGGAAGATTATTGTTGGAGTTGTCGTTGGTGGATTCGCTGCCATTGCCATCACTGTTGGTGCTGTAATGTTATTGAAAAAGAATGTTACAGTGAACAAACAAAAGAAAGCAATGCAACAAAAACTACAAAATATGCAATAACATAAAAATAAATAGAATATTAGATATTTTTCAAAATCAAAGATTCTATTTATTTGAATGACATCAAAGATATTAATATTTATCGCGATTATTTCATGCGCCTTCTTTTCCTTTAAAGCATACAAGTATCAAGAGTATTGACGCCCAATATTGTAACGACAAACTATCCACAAGATGATGAAGTATATCATACTAGGGTGGGCGCCCTTTGTTGAATGATCACCACCTCTTGAAAAACAAATACTACCACAATGAAACAGATAGTATTTTTTATTCTACTACTTCAATGTTTTATACAGTTTACGAGTTGTCAAGTATTACCTCAAAATGAAAGTATGTTAATATCTCTCACCTCAAAGAATCATCATCACTTCTAACATATTTCCACCTAACCTAATTCTATAGTTGATTCAGCAGTATGGATCATTCGTCAATATGGTAGCACCATCGCTGAAGATTCAAATAGTATATGTGGATCTGCAGTATTTGAATGTTCAGCTGGCAATGCTCATATTACACATGTGTATGTTGTGGTGATCAAGTGGAAACTTTAGCAAAGATAGAAAACTAATTATTATTATTTATTTATTTATTTATTTATTTCTTAGGTATTTACGACCTGTATATACAACATTTATCACCAATGGATTAGCACCAAATACATTTACTACTATTTCTCTACCAGAGTGTCTTGCCTTTGAAATTCAACCACCCGGAGTATTTTTAAGAGACCCCAATCAAAGTGTATACACCAAGTTGACAGGAGGATTACCAAAAGTAGTCTCTATAATGTATGACTCCCTTTTAAGCTTAGTCAATTAAATAGACAAAGGCATAACATAATCATTTATTTATTTATTTATTTAGGATATTTGATGATAGAACATCAATATTTCCAAGTGGATTATTAGAGTTTTTCCCATCACTAACAGGAGCTACTCTGTCATTTGGAAATGTTACCGTTTTAAATGACAATATGTTGACTGTTAAAAGACCTCTGGCCACAGCCTCGTTTGTTTTCAATTCTTTAAAAACCTATCCATTGTTTGAGAATGGTACAAATAGCTTTATGACCAGCTTGGGTGCCTTTTCATATTATATTAATGTCTCTGCTACCGACGCTCCACTATCAATCAATTTAAAGAATTCACTTTTCAAACAATTAGCTAGTCTGACAATTGGAAACAATGCAAAAGTTAATTCTGGAACTATTACTGTCACTGCTAGTTTTCAATCCATGTATGTAATTAAAATCAACGGTCACCTATATTATTATTATTAAATCCAAGATTTTTCCTCTTTTTAACCATTTCATTTTTAGTTCTTTACTTGCAATCAGTCCAACTGGTCTATACAACTTGATCTCACCATCACCTGAAATAAGTACACAATTGTAAGTACAATATATTTCAATACCCCCTCTTCATTCAATTCTAACAACAACAACAATATTTTTTACAGGAGATTTGAAGGAAAATTCACTTCAGTGCCTACATTGGATAAATTTGTCAATTTAGTGTATCTTGTATCAGACTATGCTAACCCGGGTGATCAATACCCATTCACTGTATTCCCCCCAAAATTACAACATATGTATGTGTTTTTTATTTAATCAACAGTATTTAAATAATAATATATTTATTTATTTTCTTTAATACTAAAGGATAAGACAATTTACAACAACTACAACACTTCCAACCCTTCCAGCACCAACCGCCAACTTTCAGAAATGGCAGTATCACAGATTGACCGGAATCACTACTGTCCCATGGGCATTGATGACTCCAGACAACACATCAAGATTACTCGATATTAGTAATAATCCTACCATTGCTGGTACTGTTCCACCAAGTTCTTGTATCAACAAGCTCGATATAACCGGAACTCTTATCTCTAGTCTTCCTGGTAAGAAATAGATTTAAAATTACAATATTATATAATATAACCATTATATTAATCAACATTCTCATCTAAATCATTTATAGATTGTTATTGGTGCTATTTCAATGATAAAAGTATTATTAAAACTGATCTAACCTTACTACCTGGATTTACATGTCAACCTACAATCGATCAAACTCTGGTTTATACAAAGGGTTTTAGAGGAGTCCTCACAGGAAATCTACTAGGGTGGGGTAATGAGGCACTACATCCAACTCAAGGAGGTTATACTCTTGTTCCTGTAGTTCCACAGAAAATGTTAACGTAAATATTAAAAAAAAAAATCTCCAGGCAATTTATAATTAATTAATTATTTAATTTCCATCCCTTCAATTATTATAGATTATATTATCAAACAAATGGACTTGAACAAGCTGTATCAATTAAATTGAATGAAAATGAAGCTTATACTATAAGCTTTAGAATTCAAGAAGTTGGCATTATTTTAACATCGGTCAATGCCACTCAACAATTAAACCAAAAAGTATGGTTCACTTGGACGTTTTTATTCTATAATAATAATCTCCAACACCAATTCACGGTGTCTCCATCTTCAAGAAATTGTACTATATTCCAGACCCAATACAACCAAGCCCTTGGAAGTTCAATAGTTAGTTGTGAATTGGACATTAATCAATTAAATACTGCAACCTATACTTTTAGAGTATCAAATGCTTATAATCTAGAAACATTTATTGTTCCTTTTAAATGTATTTTGATGAATAATTAAAATTAACAACCATATCCTAATTAATTAAATTAATATATTTATTTTCAAATATTATAGATTACCCTCGATTATTATCAGGACAAGTTGATTCAACAAATCAAAGATTAATTTATTTGTTTGGTGATTTTAGACAAAACCATTCTCTGGCAAACATTACAATCAATGATAAAATACTATGTAGTGTAGTATCATCAGCTGTTGATGCAATTAATTGTACATTGTCAGAGAGTGCTAGTTATGGTCCTGCTAATGTTAGTATCTTTGTTGATGGATATCCATATATATCAAATGACTTTTTATATTTCACAGCTCCACCAAATAATAATGGTTCAACAACTACTTCTGGTGGTTCAACTACAACAACCACTGGATCAACAACAGGTGGAGGAGGAACAACACCACAAACACAATGTCAAGAATCAACATCAAATTGTTTTGGACATGGATCTTGTGATGTTAATGGCCGTTGTCAATGTGATAGTGGTTATAATCCAATTGATAATTGTTTGACTAAATGTATGTGTAGAGAAAAGAATTAATTATTTTAATTAAGGATAAATATGCTAATAATCTATTTAATGTATTTTAGATACCAATACAACACCGTCTGCAAATACAACAGCACCAACATCATCATTTGAAATTGATGGAACTAAATGTGATTTTGAATTGGTTGCTATTCAAGAAATTGATCCAGATGGAAAGGTAGTTGGTGAATTGATGACAAACAGTTGGAATGCAAGCATCAACAATGATAATTCAACAACTTTGGTTAATTATCAACTTGTCAATATTACTAACCGAATTTACACTGGCACCATAGTCAAGGCAATGATATCATTCTCAACACAACCAAGAGATATCCAATTTGGAGATCAACTACTTCACATCAATCCAAACTCAATCAAACTGGCATTGAATATCACCAACTGGCAATACAGCAATCTAATATCAACACTTCGAGTTGTATTTAGAACCGATGTCAATATGAACCAAACGATTGAATATGAGTGCAAACAACAACCGATATCAACATTTTCATACGATCAACTATCATCAACCATCCAATATCTCAGAGTAATCAAAGATAATATCCAATACAACGGTCGATTCATTGATTATGTATTATCAGATGGAAGACCAACATTCTCCAAAACAACACTGATCAACCAAACAACCAGTCAATCATCACCATCACCAACAACAATCATGTCAACATTGATTGGAGTATCATTACCTCAATGTCAATCATGTTTACTCGACCCAGATTTCACACCACTTTTAATCGACAACTCTCAAAGTGATTGTGATTCAACCAACAGTAAAACATGGAAGATTATTGTTGGTGTTGTAGTTGGTGGATTCGCTGCCATTGCCATCTCTGTTGGCACTGTAATATTATATCAAAAGAAAGCAATTTTTGCCAAACATAACAAAATGATGAGCAATAGATTAGCTCAAATGAACAATAAATAAATAAATAAATAAATAAATGAAACTTTAAATAAATTAACACCCAACCGAGATTGATTGATTGTCTTTAATTTTTGACATCAATTATTTTTTATTCTCTAGATTGATTTGAAGTGGTATAGAGCAGAGGAAAGAAAGAAACCACACCATCGACATATGTGGCCGATAGTAAAGACCCTTTAGAATAGTTTGGTACGAATTGAATGCTTTGAAGTGATTGATCTAGTTTACGGATGAAACCTCTTGGTGTGATGATAAGAGTTGGATGAGTCTTTATACGGTAGATGGCAATCAATCTATCGTTATCAGTCTCACTTCTATTTTTGAGAAAGATTACTGCCATTCTAGTGCCATCGGGACTGATTGCAATCTGTCTTATATGTCCTCCAACATGATAATCATTTCCATTTTGTGTAATTTTAAAAGTTGTTGTTTTCTCTACATGAACTAAATTGCCTCCGACTTTTTTTTAAATTAAATTAAATTAATTAATCGATTAATTAATTAATATGATTCTCTTCTCCTTCCTTTGAAGGTATTTATATTATATTAATCGATACTTACAAGTATCTAAAGCTTTGTTCTTGTATTGAATAAAATTGATTTGGTCACCAGATGCCAAAGCCAAGTAGTCGCCAAGAGGAGTCCACCCAGATGAAATGTAGTTACTGTTGAATGCCCATTGTTTGTTGTTGTAGTCCCATTTGGAAGTCTCGAATATTCTTGTATTTTCGTTTGAGGCCGAGAGGAGTAGATCGTCCATTGGCGAGAATGATACGACTGCATTGCCTCCATAACGTGGCACAAGGCTCGGTACTCTTGATGCAACGTCCCACACCACTATCGAATTCAACGATCTCGACCCCGATGCCAACAATAATCCATCTGATCGCCAACTCATTGTTGTTGGTATAAAACAAGGATAGTTTAATATAGTTGCATTGGTCATTGACGGTTGAGTCATTTTGTTTATATTATTCTTTGCAACCAAACTATTAAAATCATTTAAATCAATTTCCCATAAAATAATTCCATTTCTACAAAATTAATAAATTAAATCAATATTAATATTAATGATCGATAAATAATAATATTTATCCTAGGATTCAACACATACTTGCAAGAAACAGCCAAAGTGAGAGGATTATGTGTTTTCCATTGCATGTCAATGACACTGGATTGAAATTCCATCCAAAGTGCTAAAGGTTTATATTCATGTGATACGACACCATTGGATGGGAAAGAATAGATCAAAACCACGTCGTTTCTATTGCAAATGGCAAGTAGTCGTTGTTTTGGATGCCAACAAATCGATTTAACATCACAATCATTGAATCCTATACTATCATATACAACTTCATCTTTTTTGGTTAACCATTGATTCAATTGATTCGTAACTGTTGAAAGTACTGATCTATAGATTAAAAAGTTTATAATTATTATTAGGTCTGTGAAAGATTGATACATCATATGATTTGAACATACTGTATATTTCTGATTGGTTCAATGTATGGTGGTTGAGATCTAGTAGGTGTCATCATGACTGATGTTGAATCTTTGTGTTCAACCATTGGTATTGTTAAATCTGTAAAATAATGTCTCTATAGAAGGAAATGTTGATTGGGTTGTTAGTGAACCAATCATCAAAGTAGACTATTAACAAAGTTTGACATACCTCTAACTGAAGATCATATGGTAATTGTTGAATATTTGTAAGAGGATTATTGTTATCTAGATTGATACCACGTGGATATGCAGTCAGCTTTGATAGATATTCACCATAGACAATCGAGCCATGATCTGGTACTGACTTGATATATTGTTCGAAACAATGTGACTGTGCTAACATTCTATATATCTATTTATCTACTCTCTCTCTCTCTCTGCTTTATGACTCAATGAAGTTCATAAGCTTTGGCAAAGTACTATTTGTTCAAATGAAATATATAAATATAAATTAAACGATCATAGTTTGAGAGCGACCCTTTTTGTCCTCCTCGAAAATCGATTTAATCAACATCTTCTCTTCTTGCAGAGATTTATAGATATACCAATTGAATTATACATTTAATATTCTTTGGTTGGTATGGTATACACTATGATCATCCTTATTGATTGGACGATCATTACCATGTTGTTGTTGTTGTTGTTGGAAAGACATTAATAATAAACAATTTGTATGTTTGTTGGGACTATAAGGATTTTGATGGTTAGTGTAAAGAATGATGTGTATCTCTATAATTAACATAGATTATATACATTGATGATCAAGCATCCCTCGCCAATCAATCATTGATTAGTTTAGTAAATATATATATATATTAATAAAGTATTGATAAAAAACTTTGTGTTTCTCAACGTGTTTATATATATTGTTGTCTGAGAGTTTTAATCATCAGTCAAGTCAGGTGATATATACATTAGGAGAGGCTAGAGAACAGAAGGAAAGAGACATACAACCATCCATCCAATCCAACACCAACAAAGCAAGACTCGACCAATACAATAGATAGATAGACACTCTACCACCTTTCTGAATAATATTATTGCCAAGATATATATATATTATTATAGTTAGAGTTGTCGTTGTTGTTGTATTATCGGGATTAATACTATACTTTGCAGCCTGACCTTATAGTATTCATTTCATTGTACAATCAATATATATAGGAGATATAGAGAGAGATATATAGTAAGTCTGCCAATCAAGGAGTATCGGTACGACAACTAATCAAGATATATATAAATTATCAGACATAGACTTATAGAGAGAGAGAGTCATTAATAATTGTGTGTCGATATATAAGAAATGTCGACAACACTACTACCCAACAACAATGCCAATCTAGATACTAGTAGTAGTAGTAGTATGGCAATAGACCAACAAGATGAAACAACAACAACTACAACAAGCAATGATACCGCAAATACATGGAAGTCAATTGGAGAACTACTCAATAATGCATTGTTGAGTCGATCGAAACCAACTACTCCAACACCACCAACCACCATCAATGTCAATAGCAGCGATACTATTGCAACAGATGTTGACATTGAAGATGAAGCTGGAAGTGTATTCCCTTATATTAACGAAAATTGTAAGAATTCATCACATCATCGTCTGACAAAGAAAGATAACAACAATAATAATGAATACCGATGATACTAATCAGTCAATCAAATGAATTTAGATATGGATATATTTGGTATGTTACCATCAAAGGAACATCTAGTATTGGTTGTTTGTAATAAATGCTCAAGAACAGTAAAACAATCAAGATTTGCTAAACATTATGGTAAGATTATATAATTGAATATTGATACATATGAATAATCAATAACATTGAATGTTCTCTCTCTCTCTCTCTCTCTCTCTCTCTCTTTTGTTTAAATAGAAAATTGTTTATTGGATATTGAAGATCCAACTAAACAAAAGAGATCTTCCATTATATCACCACAAGATGGTAAAGTATTATATTATATCAAATTAATATTTTGATTCTTCTTTACTTACTCTCTTGATTAATCAATGTTTTACAGCAAAGAAAAAGGCAAATGAATTAAAATTAAATGGTACTGGTGGAAATGGAAATAATAATACTAATAATAATAATAATGGTACTGCCGTTGTAAATGCAGCAAATGCGTCAGCTGCTAATACTACGACAACAAACCAACAACAATCTCACCATCACCAAGGAAGGGGAAGACCAAAGAAAAAGGTTGATCCTGTTCCTACTACCACACAAGACAGTGTCGTACCAACTGCAGGATCAGCTGCTCCTCCCGCCAACACCACTTTGGCTACTACATCGGCTGCCGCTGCTGCTGCTGCCGCCACGGCCGCCGCTAATCTTTCAAAGAAATTCTCTCTATCTTCACGAAAGAGAACCAATGATGGTATGATGTGAATCGATACACTAGATAAATATTTGTAATCCATTGATATTAATATTCGTTTATTCCTAATCTAGGTAATAATAAAACACACAAATCTACAGACGATGACGAAGAGGAACAATTGGACGATCAACAAGTAGCCAATGGTTCACAAGTCGATAAGACGACACTGGTAGATAGCAGTAATGGTATCCATGTAAATGGAAACGGTTCAGAAGCAGGTGGAGGTGCAGAGCACGCATCCACATCCAACAATAACAATCCTCCCTCCTCTTCTTCCTCTTCTTCTTCATCATCATCCTCTGCCTCTACTTTGATCCCGATTGCGACGAGAAACTATCTACGTTGCAACAAGCTCAGAAGAATCATTATTAGTCTTGACCCATTCAAAAACGCATCGTCGGCATCCAATCATCACCAACCTGTTTTTACAAACGAGGATGAGTATTCGCAAAGCAGTGATGAAGAAGAGGACATCCTCATGTCGTCAAACTCGATTAATCTACACTACTCGGCGAATAGTATTGGACAGATCCAAAGCAGCAGCAACAACAAACATAACAACGAATTACTAGACCCTGCATCATCGATGAAACTCAATCTTCATTATCATAATGGTGGTGGGGCCTCTGGTTTAGGCAATCCCGCACATATATCAAATACAGCATCTGCATCCTCATCGTCATTGGGAGGTGGTGCTGCTCCAACCAATAACATAGTTGGTGGCGTTTCATTCAAACCTTCTTCAAGTATTCCAACACCTGCGTTGTATAATCAGACTCTATCAACATTGCATCAACACCAACAACAACAGGCACAACAACAACAACAACAACAACAACAACAACAGCAACAACAACAACATATGAATAATATGAATATTCAACAACAACACATTACATCGCCCATGGTCATTAGTAATAATATGACTATTATGGGCACTGCCAATCCACCAACACCATTACTATCACCTCAACAACAACATTCCATTCATTCATCGCCACAAATCGTACCGGCAACATCGTCGACAACAGGCACAGCTTCAACAACGCCACTGCTCCATCCCAATATTGCAGCTCGCCAATCCATCCCAGCCCAACCAATTGCCCCTCAATCGGTGCCAGCCCTTGCCACCTCCATGACCTCGGCCATTGCCGAACAACATCCTCCAACCACCACCATCAACACTGCACCATCCACACCATCTGTGGCATCCACCTCCAACCCCACCTCACCATCACTATCACTCTCCTCTTCAACCACCTCGACCTCTACTACTACCACCACTAGTAAAAAGAAATCATCGTCGAGCAAGAAAAAATCAACCGCCAAGAAATTATCAGAACCAGAACCATCAACCACCGAATCATCTGACTCTATAGACACCACCACGCTCACAACTTCCACAGACTCTACTGCAACAACCACAACAACCAAAACATCCAAGAAAAAATCAACAACTACCAAAAAAGAACCGAAAGAAAAACCAACAACAACAAAGAAATCGACTGCAAAGAAATCATCTTCGTCGTCTTCATTGGCAAAGAGTACTGCGGCCACCACGACGCCAACAAGTACTTTGACAACAGCGGCATCACCACTTAATCTTCATGCACCACCACCCCTTGTACAGCCAATATCCTCACAACTTCAACCAGTACAACCAGCGATCGCGAATCAAACTCCACAAACTAATGCAACAACAATTGTTGTTCCAACTCCCATTACCACCACATCCAATACTGCCGCACCAAACTTGACGCAACCTAATCCATTGGGTATTCAACCACAACAACAACAACAAAATGCAGCATTGTTACAACAACAACAATTGTTCCAGCAACAACAATTATTCCAACAACAACAACAATTACAAAACTTTTACCAACAACAACAACAGCAACAACAGCAACAACAATTGTACAATCAACAACAACAACTTTTGAAACAACAACAACAACAACAACAACAATATGTATATAATCTTCAACAACAACAACAACAACAACAACAACCTCAACAAAATGCCAATGCTGGTAATTTTGCACAACCAAATCAATTTAATGGTGTACAATACCAAAATATGATCAATCCACAACAACAACAATTATTTAACTCGGTGTCTCAACAATTCCATCTCCAACAACAACAACAACAATTGGGTAAAGCTCAACAATCACCACCCCTATCTACAGCCGCAACCAATGCTTTACTCCTTCAGCAAAAGCAACAGTTGAATAACCAAATGTTTGTCAATAATTTCAATTTACAACAACAACAGCAACAACAACAGCCAAATATAGTTGGTGTTAGTAACATCACTCCAAATTTAAATATGGCTACCTATCGATAGAAAATGATAAAAAGAAAGAAAGAATAAGAAACTTTCTTGATTTATAAAGAAAATATATATAAAAGAATAATAAACAAAACTACTACTGCTACTACTATTATGTTATTATTAATTTCTATAAAAAAATATCCTTTTTTCTTCCTTTTGTTTTATTATTTATTTTGTAAAGAAGAAGAAGAAGAAGTTTTCTTGATGTTATCATGAATTTCTTCTAAAGCCTTGACAATGGTAGGGAAAGAAGGACGGGATTGAGGGTTTTCATTCCAACATTTTGTAATCAATGAAGAATACATTGCGTTGCATTGAGGGTTGATGGTTGGACGGAGACCAGAGATGATACTGTCTTCGAGGGTAGACATAAATTTAATGCCAAACTCTTCAAATGGTAGCTGCATGTGGTACAACTCCCAGAGGATGATACCCAAACTGTAAATATCTCCCTTTTCGTTGTATTCTCGTTGGCTGATCACCTCGGGGGCGAGCCACGTTGGATTGTCGACAACCTTTGAAACAAAACTTTGGACGACCGTTCTAGAGAGGCCAAAGTCTGATATCTTGGCAACGATGAATGGTTCGGTGGGAGTGGTGGCCAACAAGATGTTTGGCGACTTGAGGTCTCTATGTACAAGTGGAGGTGAAATGTTGTGTAAAAAGGCCATGCCCTTGGCAATGTCTTTGGCAATCTTGAGGATAATTTCCCATGGTAGTGTCTCGCCCAACTCTCGCTTTTGACGGAGATACGATGACAATGATCCGAGATCCATATACTCCATGACGATCGAGTAAGGGTCCAAACTGTATCCCTTCATGTGAACAATATTTTGGTGAACGAGATCTGACATGAGCCAAACCTCTCTTCTAAACTCGTTGATGGCTGTCAGCTTGCCTTGCAACTGGTTGGCTTCGTCGGCTGATGATGCCGATGATAGCGAGCTGCTGGATGGTGCACGGGTAAAGTGGTGTCCCGATGAGTTGGGAGTGGGTGAGCCTGACCCGCCGACCAAAGGGTGTGCGTCGGGCAAGTCCATACGGTCCAAACTAAACTGCTTGACGGCGACGGTTTGTGCGCCACGCAGGGTCGCTCTAAACACCTTGGCTGACGCGCCGTGGCCAATCTCGACAAAACCGGCCAGCTCCTCAGTGCCAATCTTGGTGGTCGACGGACATGCGAGGGCAATATCTGGCGAGAGCGTCTCGATCGACACGAGCTTTTGCGACTTGGGGCACTTGATGTAGGCCTCACCCTTGCCAAAGGCAGACTCAACCATTTCAATGGGGTAGGTGGGTGTCTGCTTGTCGAGCTGGCAATCCAACGAACACGAGCATGTCACCAGTGTCTTGGAGGGTGTGATGCCGAGATCCTTGAGAAGAGTGTCGACATTTTCGAGCACGAGCTGGAACATCTTGGACGTGGACTCGTAGTCGTGACCACGCACACGCACTTGGATTTGTTGAGCTTGGTGATCAAACTCGACGAGTGTTCCGCAAGACGACATACTACTCTTGACCGAGTCTTTCATGTTTTGAGGTTTACGGAAGAGAATACCCGAACCATAGTAGACGATTGGTTCCATGGTGTAGAGGAAACGAACCATGAGACGGTCAAAACAACTCTTGGGAGCGTTGAGGAAGGTGTAGTAACGACCGACTTGGTGCATGTCTTCGCCACCCCAAGTGTCCCACATGGATGCAAGATGTGATGGTTTGGCAGCTGGCAGTAGACAGGGGACGATGATCTTGGTGCCCTGGATAAACTGCGCAATGTTTTCATGTGATGACGATGACGAGATGTTGCCCGACGTGCTGGCTGAGCTGCCGCCCGACGACATGCCCGCGGCGGCTGCAGCGGCGGTGGTGGCCGGCTTGAGCAGCTTCATGGAGCTGCGCAACATCGACGGCGAGCTATTGACAATCGACGTCATAAACGAGGACGTAGACGACGTTGAAATGAACGAACTGGATGTGAGAACGGGCTCAGGTGACAGAGTGGGGAGCGGCGACGACACGGACCGGTTGGCCTCGGACAATGGCAGCGACAAATCCTGCAGTGACGTGTTTTGGCCGTTGCTCTTGAGTGTAAAGAGGATGTTGAAACGCTCAAGCATACGGATGAGTTTCATGTGGAGGAAGCCGGGGATCGCAGGGTCCTTCCAAATGTGGTGTAGCTTTTTGAGCGACAGGATTGAGTCGGATTGGATATGCGTGTTTTTCGACATGACAATGGCGGCAAAGCAGTCGCTCAACCACTGCGGCGACAGGATGACCAGGTCGTTGAGCCCGTGCTTCTCCTCGTCAAACCACATGATCGACCCCCATCGATGTAGGGTGTTGGTTGCACGCACCAGCTTCTCGTGTGTCGTGATGTTGGCCAATTTGGCGATATTTACATACTCGTCCCATGCAATGACGGGCGGTGAGCGACGACGTGCTTCCTCCTCGAGCTGCTTCTCGAGCTGTACGTAAACGGCGGGCGTCTGCTCTGAGAACCAGTGGTTGCATTGGTTGGCCAGCGTCGTGATGATCTCTTGGCGCAAGAGGTCAATATTGCGCGACGTGTTGGTGGCGACTCCAATGACACCTGTCACCTCAAGCATACGTTCGTTGAGGAACCCTTCGATCTGATGTAGTGCCTTCATAATGTCGCCGGCATAGTGGTCAATGTGGGTGGCGACAATGTAGATGGGTGCCGTCGGCGCCTTGGCCTTGACCGAGTTGACCCACAGGTCAAGCTGTGACAGCGGCTCTTTGGTAATATCAACCGTGATCAAATAGAATGCACGCTCTGACAAAAAGAACGAATGCGTACTCGTGTAGACAGCACTACCGATAAACTTAAAGTCGAGTGCCATCAACTTGACCGCACGTTTGGACAACTTGGAGCTGCGCATTGTCTTGGGAGACGCGTCAGGCATAGTCTGGACGGGCACGGACAACGTCTGTTGTGGCTGTTGCTGCTGTTGCTGGCTGACGGGCAGCTCGATCTTCCATTCGGTCTGCTCGACCGACTCACCCAACTGCGGCGTATCAAGACGCGGATTTATAATAGTCGTGCCAGCCGATGATATCGAGACTGACCCGCTGTGACGACGCATGCTACCCATCTTGATGGTCTTGTTGGACGACGACTTGGTGAGTGAACGCACCAACTGTGTCTTGCCACTCTTTTCCGGGCCGAGAAAGATGAGCTTGACGTCGGTCAGTTGGACGGTACCGTCAATCATGTCACGCAGGTGACCCATGATATGACTAAAGCCCTTGGAGGTGACCGAGCGAGGTGGCACCTTGACGCTGTCGGGGAACTCGAGTTTCTCGAGCATGGGCAACGTAGCGAGGTAGGCGGGCAACTCAACAATCTTGTTGTAGCCCGACACGTCCAAAGTGTGCAGCTTGGCCAAGAGCCCAACCTCTTTGGGCAGCTTGGTGATCTTGTTGTTGCGCAGGTCGAGATGCGCAAGCGACTTGTACAGGTGCTGGATCGACTCGGGGATGGACACGATGACGTTGCCCGACATGTTGAGCTTCTCCAACGAAAAGAGTTGAAAGATACAGGTTGGAATATTTACAAAATTGTTGTTACTGAGGTTGAGTTTGGTGAGTTTTTCCAGTCGACTAAGTGAAGCTGGTATGTCTGATAATGCATTATATGATAAATTGAGTGATTCCAATCCATACAATGTTGATACTGACTCTAATGATGAATGATCTTGTAATGCATTATATGAAAAGTCTAATACCTAAAATAGAAATAGAAATAAGTAAGTAAAATTGAATAGTTTGTTTTGTTTTGATTTGATTATTATCTCTCTTTCTTATCTTACCTTTAGATAATTTAAAGTATTGATAATAGTAGTTGGAATGGATTGTAAAGTTTTATGGGCAAGATGGAGTTCACTTAGTCGCTTCATCGAGACGTGGCTGATAATGGCCTCTGGTTTGGTTAGAAACTCGTAATATACATCGGGATTGTCTTCGACCGGAAGTCTAAAACCGTTGCTACTCATACTGTTGTGGTTATTGGGATTGGAAAAAGATGTCGATGAGGAGGATTTGAGTGGAGATGATGGTGGTGGCATAAAAGATGAAGTCGACGTCTTTAGTGACGACGACAATAATGATGTTGATGTTGTTGATGATGATGGAGGTGGCATTAAAGAGGTTGAGCCTCTAATTCCACTATGCGCTGAGGTTGATGGTTGAGGAGTATGATGATGATGAGGGAGTGAAAATGCGACTGCGCTTGGTGTAGTTGATAACATGGCGCCAAATGACGCTGATAACGATGATGTTGATGATGTATCTATATTATTGCCGCTTCCCCCTCCTCGAATATTAATATTTGTTGTTGTTGTTGTTGATGTGTTATTATTACTATAAGATATTGAAGTAGAACTACCAGTAGGACTACTACCTGCACTATTGTTGCCACCAGAACCAGAATCCAGATTATTAATATTATTATTTGGGTTGATTCCAGTTTCAAAGAATATATTTAAATTGACCAATTTATAGGCTACCACTAGACTCTCCTTTCGTGAGATACACAAATTCTCAGAGAGCCAATCTATGATTTGTTGGCCACTAAAACAACTGGTTGGTGCTGCTAAAAAGTTCTTCTTTCTCTTTTGTAATTTTAATCCTTTTTCACTATGCATTAAATCTAGTCCAAGTTGAAATAACTAAAAGTAAATTAAATTTTAAAAAATGTATATTAATATTATTTTAAAATCCATCAACCAACCGACAAGTTGTTGTTGTTGCTATTTTCAAATCAAATATTATTTTTGAAGGTTGTTGCAAGAGAATATTAATCACATTCACATATATCTTTGTTTTTATGTGATTGGTCCACAAAACAAACTTCACTCCCACCTACCCACCACGATTTTCAAACCTCGCCTCCCTCCAATCCGTCTCTTTGTTCTATGCAGGCCGATATTTATCAAAAATAAATCTTTATCCGTCTGTCTGTCAGTTTTTTCATTTTGATGAACATCATCAACTCCCTCCCCCCCCGACCTTTGGGTGAGATGGGGTAGGTTGATGATGGTTATTTATGGAATGGGCAAAGAGAGTATGTGTGGGTGTGGGAGTATGACGTTTGTTTTGTGGGTGTCTTTCAATTTGATTGATTTGATTTTACTAGCTTTTTAATATTTTACTACATACCTCGTCTTTGTTTAAATTGGCACCTCCTCTTTTAGAGTATTTGTTGTGATTGGCAGAGGAAGAGTTGACAAACACGCTACTTGGCGTGACTAAAAGTTGAGTTTCGAGACTATTACTCATACTATTATTATTATTATTATTTGTGCCTGCTCCAATCGGTATACTGCCACCAAGTGGATTGTTGTTGGTATTATTATTATTATTGTTACTATTATTATCTGTAAAAGCATAAAATGATCCATCATCCTTAAAATGATGACCTGATGCTTTGAGTGGTGAATCCATTGCTGTTGTTGTTGTTTCTATTATTGTTTCTAAATTATTAGTACTACTATTATTATGATTATGATTATGATTATTATTATTATTATTATTATTAGTTTGATTTTGATTACAATCTACATATGATATGAAACCCTTTGAATTTTGATTAAAAGATAAACAAGTAAATTAATATATTATTATTATTATTATTATTTTGGAATGGATATTAAAACTTTTGAGAGGTTAGTTGGTTGGATAGATGGATGGATGGATGGATGAATGAAGGAATGAAGGATTTAGTCAAATGCGATTGATTGACTAATTAACAACAAGAGAAGATGAAGATATCTCTCTAATAATAAATAAATGAGGCGCTTTTAAAAAAAAAATCAAACAAACAGATATGATGATTGATGATTGAAGTGGTGGTGGTTGATGGTTTGATTTATCTTCTTTTGCGTGTGGTAAAAAATTAAAGCATAACAACGACGATCGTCTTTTTGTTGTTGATTTTAAAGATCAGATAAATTTATCTGAGTTGTGTGTGAGTTGATTGTGAAGTGAAGGTGGTATAAACAACTTGATGTTTATAGCAATCGTCTTTTCTCTCTCTCTCTTTTGTTTAAGTGTTGTTGAACAGATAGATAGATAGATAAAAAAAAGAGAGTGCGCGAGTGAGCCAACAGATAAGTAGTAGAGAGGAGGAAATTTGTATCGATAGAGAAGGATCAACTTGATGATGAAGAGGACTCTCCGCTTGACGAAAAAACACCCCACCCACAACACTTATTGCACCGTCAACCAAAAAAAAAAAGAAATTAGACTTTTTGGGCCAAGTTAACTTGAAAGTTGATAAATCCATTTGCTTTGCTGATGTTCACTCTCCTCCAAACAAACTTTTTTTTTTTTTGTTTTCGTTTGAAAAGCCAAATTCCATTCTTTTCTTTGCCGCTTGTTATTCGAAAAGAATTGGCCCCTCCCACGAAATGATTCATTTGATGTGGTGGTGGACTTCCCTTTTCAGGCATAATTCATCTTATCCTCGAGCGGCGTATCTTTGCACCTGTCTGTCAGGTGAAGCCCCGTCTCCCGAACAAACCTTTGTTTTGTTACAAAGAACCCATTATTGTGGGGCAGCCACATTTCATCGATCTTTGCATAAAGTTCCACTCGAAAAATCTAAAACACAACAATCAAACAATAGAACCCCCCACCACAAAACGAATAAATGAAAGATTCTCCTTTCTCTTCTTGTTTCGTCTAGACGAACGAACATTGTGGGTGGTGTGGGTTGGTTGATCAGGGTCACCATCAACCACTGCTGTGCTTACAAAACGACAAACATTACTACTGTCACTCGGTTGCGTACTGAGAATGCAATCTCAAGATACTACTACCTACCATGTTCCACCAACCAGTGTACTCGGCCAACTTGAATCTATCTATCTATTAAATAACAAAAACTAAACTACACTATTCTCTAATCTTACCTGTTTAAGTAATTGTGATAGGTATTGTTTAACCTCGTCTCTTGTTTTAAATTCCTTGTGATGATCGATTAACCAGCTGACAGCTTCTCTTCCAACAAAACAAGTTTCAATGTATACTCCTGTTGCTGCTGCTGCCGCTGCTTCTGCTTTATCTACTTGAACTATAACTTTTCTTTCTTTACCCAATACTATTAATTCCTTTATAATCTTGGTTTTAAATATCTGAGAAAACAGAATTAATACTATTTATCTACCTATCTACCTACTATCTATACCTACTTCTTTATGTAATTGATGTTTCAAGTCTTTTTTCATCTATCTATAAATTCAATCTCCTATATATAAATAATAAATATAATAAGGTATATTTATAAGTATACTTTATACTTTATAAACAAGATTGATTCAATCAACTAAAAGAGTTGTTGACTTGACTACTGGTTTCTGTTCGTTTGTGTGATATATATCTCTCTCCTCTCTCTCTTTTGATTTAAGTTATTATTATTATTATTATCTAGATGGTGTATTGTTTGTTGTTGTTGTTGTTGTGTATGTTCGACACACAATGGAAGGATCCTCTAGCTATATCAAGAAGAACAGCGATGCACCTTGTCAGAGTCAGAGGGGGGGTTGCAAAGAGAGAGGTCTTGTATAATTTTTCGGAGACAACCGATTTTTTTTTAAAAGTTTCGAATATTTGGTGAGGCCGATTCGAAGAGCGATCACACAACTCGATGTACAAAGAAACGGAATGATGGGGGGTTCGAGATGGTAACACCATCCTTGTTTGGTACATACCTTTTTACAAAAAAGAGGAGTCGCACGGGTGACACTGATTTAATAATCAAAGTGAATTTTAAGATTCGAAAGGTCGCCAAGCGAATTGGTGTTTGTCGAGATATTATAAATGATAGTGGTTAGTGGATTTTGATGTTAGTGTTTCCAATCCAATCAACCAAATTATGAATGACTATGAACTAATATTGTACTTTAAATATAATAATAATAATGTTAAGAGTAAGTTAATGAATGAATGAATTGGAAAGAAAAAATAAGTGTTATGATGACTTGGCTGGATGAAGAGAAATGAAAGGGAGGTGATTGTAGGTAAGCGATTGCTTAGAGGTAGATTTAGATGATGGTGATGAATTGAATGACCCTTTGGTTGGGTGTTTTATTTTTTTGGGTGATAGCGATGGAAATGGAATTTTAAATTTGACTAGTTGGGTTGGTTCAAGAGTCAAAAGGTATGAATGGAATGGAATGGAAAATAAACTATCTACCAATCTAAAAGTTTGTCTCTATTAATTGTTGTTTATACTGACTTGGTTATTTTATTTAAAATTAATAATTATTATTTTTAATAATATTTTTACAATTATTTATTTGTTATAGCAATAAAGAATGAATGAACCATCATCAATCCGTCCCATCCATCAATCCAATCCAATGTATATTTAATATTTATAACAACAAATCTTTTGTCTGTCATGTCCACTCCACACCCTCCATTTTACATCTCTATGCTCTTTCCTTTTTATTCATTCATTCATTCTTTCTTTACTCTCCTAAAATACAACATCCAACAATGATTGGCATTGATCACACCCACCTTATATACGTTAACGTGAACACTAGTACTAGTAGTACTATCACCCAAACCATCATCATTATTAAAATAGAGATTCATTCCATTCTAGCTTAAAAATTATTTTTGATTATTCATCACCACAACTCACACACGTTATTATCCATTACTACCACCCACCCCAACAATATTTGCATGACTGTTGTGACCCAGGCGATCGTACGATCGTACATGCAAACAGTAAGAAGGGGAGGAAGGGAATGGATATAGCAATTGTTGCAGTGGGGTTGGATTAAAGGTTAAAGTTAAGTTAAGTTTTCCTTACTTTTTGTTTTTTTTATCCTCTTTTTCTAAAAGTTAACTATTATTATTATTATTATTGGGTTATTAATATTATTTATTACTTTACTTTACTTGTTTAAAAGAATAATTTATAAATTAAAGCCAATAATAAAACTATTATTGTTAATACCATAATTAACTTGTAATCCAAATCTAAATAAAAAAAAAAAGTAAATTAGGAAATCAAATTAATATTATTCTTTTTTTGATTGTTTTGTTTTGTTTACCTTTTGGACCAGTACCAATTTTATGAGCAGTGATTGTATAATCGGCAGAGACAGAGACTACGTTTTGACTGTCTGGAGAAAAGGCGATACCTGTGATGACAAATTCGTGGGGTTCCCAACGATCGACACGTTTGAGCGAGTCGGTGTCGACGACTGTGATGAAGCTGTCGCCTGTTCCAATGGCCAAGTACTTTCCATTGGGAGACAACTCAAAGCAGGTGTTGTGAACAGTGTGTACTTGGCGAGTCTGTTCCTCCCTGCCAGTGGCCAGGTTGTACTGCGACACAATAGCAATACCAGCCGTGTTTTTGCCACGTGGTGTAGACAAGACGACAAAGATGGAGAGTCCGTCGACAGAGAATCGACAACCTCTGAATCCAAGATCGACACCGTTATGCTTGCGACGGAACGTATGCTCCACCTTGCCAGACACGAGATTCCATACTCTACAAGTCTTGTCCTTGGAAGTGGTGACAATGTGTGAGCCGTGGGGGTGAATGTCGACATCTGTAATCTCGTCACTATGCTCTCCTCTAAGAGTATTGAGTAACTTGCATTCAGGCATCTTCCAAACACGCACCGAGTTGTCGCTACCACCTGTGATCAACCGGTTACCATCTCTGTTGTATCTACATGTTTGTTGGAGTAGTGGTTCCTCTCTTTTGCCACTGCTCTCTTCAACCTTTTTAGATTCTTTGGGAGGAATGGACTCGAATGTTTGTTTGACCTCAAAGCTGGTGAGTTTGTTGTTAAAGTTGACAATGTGACAGTTTGATCGTGTGCCATAGGCAAACTGATCGAGACTTGGATGAAAAGCAATGTTTGATACGCAATCGTCGGCAGTCAACGTCTCGAGCTGTTGCAGCATACCTTCAACCCATCTAAACACCGTCACACCGTTAGGAACGCCCGTCTTGGACACTCCTCCACCTCCACCAACTGCCACCAAATCTGTATTACCTCCACTTGCACAACTAAATAACGGATACTTTAAAGTTGCTCGATTTATCAATGTACTCTTATCTATGATTGGTTTAGTAGTCTTTGTCGAAACATTAGATGATGATGATGACTTGTTATCTTTGCTATGATCTTGTTCAACAACACCAGCATCATTTGAAGATGATGGCGATGTAGTAGTATTAGTCTCTTTTGACTTTTTCTTATTATCTTTTGCCATTCCTCTTTCTAAAAATAAAGTAGTACACTACTACAAAGATATCTAATTACAACAATCCATTCACCCCAAGAGACACAATATCTTTTCTTGAATTTGTTTGTTTCAAAAAAAAAAAAACCAAACATATATCTTCTCAAGCGAAGTTCACTTTTTGACAACAGATATTTCAAAGTAGATAAGTATAGTAGTATTGTATATTATCTTTGTGTCTATGTCTACCCTATTTGTGAAATATCATCGGATTGATTAATAGAATGATTGGGGGAATGATTGATGGAATGATCATTCAAGAAGTGAATCCACTAATACATAAATCAAATGATAATTATAATGGCCAAAGAAGAAGAAGTTCATCACTCCCAGGGATAAATGATATTATCTGTCTGTCTATATATTTTGGATAGTTTTGGTTCTGGAATAAAAAATGATATTATTTTAATGGATAATGGGTTCGACAATGAGAAGCAAAGATATTTAGGTCAATTGTGCGGAGAGATAGATATTGAAGGGGCGGTTCTAAAATTGAACAAAAGACGAAGTGCAAAGGGTATCCTCACGTGATAAGGTGCAAGAACGACAAATTTTTGGGTTTCAATTTCAAGCAATTGGATGAAGATATTAGCTTGCTCATCTCGAAAAAGACTGGGGAGGGGACACGGTGAAAGGGGGGCTTGGTTTTTGTGAAAATAAAAAGTGAATAAAAATATCCTAGGCTTTTCACTCGACATTGCATTGCTTAAAAAAGAACTAAAAGCTGTCATCGTCAGAATTGTTCAACTCAAAAAGAACCATGCAGCAGGAGCCAAAGCTTGAGTTTTCGCAGGAGGAGGAAGAAAACCTTTTTTTTTTTTTGTGTCCTTTTGATTATTCAATTTCACCTCTTCTCTTTGCACACTCGTGATTGCATGTTAAAGAGAGAGCAAGCTCGTTCATTATTGATTTCCTTTTCTTATTTTATTTATCACCTCACCCCCCTTATTTATTTATTATTATTATCTCTAGAGACATTGCACTATATTCATTACATTCATTTACTGCAGAATTTGATTGTAATAATATCCTATCCCCATTTGATTTATACTATACTATAATTATTATACATATTTTTTTTTTTTTTTTTTCTTAAAGAGAATAATAATAATACCCATCAATTAATCTCCCATTATTATTACTATCAAATCTTATTTGTACAAACCCCCTTTTTCACCTCCACCACGGCAGCGCATTCTATTATTTTCTTTTTCTGTTATTTACCAGTTTACACTCTTTTCTCTCTCTCTAACCACAACACATTCATTATTCCGTTCCGCCTGTATAATAATAATAACAATAATAATAATAATAAACATTATCGTAAATAAATATATTATTATTATCTATCGACTGACTGAGACGGACCGAGTGAGTTGTGACGTTTGATTTTAAATTTCCCAGTCAATTTCCCATTCATATTAAATTTCCACTTTTCTGTTAAGGAATTAATTCCAACCCACTCCTTGCACGAGATAGATTCCACTCCATCACTGTGCCACACTACACTACACTACAATACACTACACTCTCTGTTCTTTTCTGGTCGTAGTACACCGTTACAGTTACTAGCTAGCAGTAGCAGCTGCCGCTGATCCCTCTTTTCTTTTTCAATCCCAACCCACAACACGCACACCAGTTCAGTTTTCCAATCCAATCCCCACAACAGGATAGTAGATAAGAAAAAAGATATCTGGCTGCCAAACAAACACACCCACACAACGCACGAAATCACTTCCATTCAACATTCAATTCCACCAACAATTCAATTTTAAATTTCAATATATTCAAGTCAAAAGTACACTATTTAAAATATATTTGACAAAAAGAACACAAGAACAAGAAGAACAGATATCCTAGGATTATAGATTGACTCCTCCTCCTGGTAAGTACAACAAAACAAAATCATTTTTGGGATTTATCCCCCCCATCCATGTGATCATATACTAGTTTGAGTTTATATTTATATATATATATATATATATATATATATATATATATATATATTTGGTCAGATATATTTATATATTTCCATCATCATTCAACAACATCATCATCATCACTACCCATAAATAATCCAATCATACCATATTATTATCGGCGCCAACCAACCTATCATATATCATCGATCACCTTCTGATAGATATTGAGTTGTTGTTGTTGTACTACAACCAGGCTGGTTGTTGAATATTTGCTTCCACTACTACTACTACTACTACTACTACTATTTCCATATGTTGTTTGTGACGGGATGTACTGATGATATGATATATATCCTATCCAGTCCTCTGGAATTGAGAAGAATGGGTGGTTGTTGAAATAAATTAATTTCTTCTCATCACCACCACTAGGATATCCCCCCTACTATACTCACCACCACCACCACCACCATTCACACCCCTTCCACATACACACCCACACAATATATTATGGTGATAGGAGAGTCGTTCTTCATGGGTGTGTTTAAATTATTATTTTTTTTGTTGAATTTATCTTTCTTGCCTGCTTGCTTGTTTGCTCTAGAGAGAATAACCCACTAGCAGTAGCAGCAGTAGCAGCAAAGATGACAGTATTCATCACACGACATCGTTCCCCTCTCCCGCGCGCTCTCCTCTCTCTCTCTCTCTCTCTCTCTCTCTGTGTTATTATTATTATTATTCCTTCAACAACAACTATTTGTACAATTAAAAAAATAATAATAATAAATTCACAATAGACAGACAGACAGACAGACAGACAGAGTGAATCGTCGATACCAACATCAACAACAAACAACAAGCTTGCTTCTCTATTTTTTGTTGTTTTGTTAAATATATATATTTTATATTATATTATATTATATTATATTAGCTAGTAGCAACGATATACCTATTGATAGCTAGAGTAATCGTTGTAGTAGAGTAGTAGAAAACAAACAAACAAATAATAATAGTCAACAACCAACTCTATTTGCAAACTATAGAGAGAGCAGATATATTTATATTTAGTTATATAATCATTAGTTCCAATATATTTAATTAATTAAAGAATAGAAAGAATAATAATAATAATAACAAAAGAAAAAAAAAAAAAAATAGATAGATAGAGATAATATTTATTAAATTATTGAATATTGGGTTCCCAATACCAAAATTAAACAAATAATATCTTGATCGTTCTTTTCATTCTAAAAAAGAAATCCTTATTCGTATCATCATCGTTTGCCCTATCTTCTTTTTTTTTTTTTTTTTTAATTTTTTTTTTTAACGGTAAATGGGATGGTGAAGTAAAGAGAAGAAGGTTTCGACAACACACACACATATATTCACCATTGTTTTCACATCTACCATCACATCAATCCCCATCTTTGCGCGCAACTGCAGTTAACAATAACAACAATAAGTAGTACTTTGTTTATCTGTTGTTAGTTAGCTTCTTTTATTTTTCACATCTTTTTTTTTTTTTTTTTTTTTTTTTAAACAAGTAGTAGTAAAATAGTAGTAGTTGTAACTAGTAATAATAACAAAGACAGAGAACAACAACATGTTTTGATAAGAGATAATATAATCACACGTATTATCTTTTCATCACTACATCTATCTCCTCCTTTCCTTCTCCCTCTCCTTGAGCACTTGTGCTCTTTGAGCATACTACATACATACAAAAAAAAAAAAAACAATCTCTATTTTTAATTATTTATTTATACATACACTAAACTAGTACTTGATCATTGGCTGGTTACTCTTTTTGTACATAATATTTATTATCTTTTATATATATTAATCTTATCATATCATCATTTTGTTAGATTTTTTCATCGATTTACATTATATATATATATACATACATACATAGCCGAAAATGCAAAAGATATCTCAACCCATATCGATACCCAACTTTAAGCCATCATACAACATAAATAGTATATTACTTGCGGCTCCACCAACATCAACAACAACAATATCTATAGGCTATCAATCTACTTCACCTTCATCTTCTCCAGTGCCAATCAACAATAATAACAATAATAATAATAACAACGCAAGCACTACTAATCATATTATCAAAAAGCAAAGAATCGAATTATCATCATCCTCTTCATCACCATCATCATCCTCATTGTTACTTAATAACCCATACCAAAGCTATTTACCGATTATCGCCAACATCAATAAGGATCAATTACAACAACAACAACAAGATGGATACAATGGACAATTATTAAATATTTTGAATCCCGTTCAATCGGAATGTTTAATTGACGATGACAGCGACTCTGACAATGACCACTCTTTACCAACCTTTAAACAATTTGAGTCACGATTGTCTACTACCACGTCCACCGGTACCAAACCATCGCCATTGTCATCATCTGCTTCACCATCTTTTATCTTCAAGAGCCACGATTCTTCGCCATGTTCATCACCCTCTCTTCCAGTCGTCGTTGATAATAGCCAACAACAACATCAATCATTGTCACCTTCACCAAACAACAAGCAACAAATCTATCAATGGATGCAAGAGTTGGTTGACCTCAAGAGAAGAGAATCCATCCTACTTGACAATATCAAAAACTTTACTCAACACTCTACCTCTTCCCCCTCCTCCTCCTCTTCATCGCCATCATCCTCAACTGCCTCTGTTGCTGCATCACCAACTGTCACCACTGCCACCAATATGATTATTGAAGACCATAGTTCAGATGACCATCAAGTTGAATACCATAACCACCGTTTATTAACTCCAAGAGACAAGTATGTTAAAATCAAATCAAATCTTAATCTTTTACATATTCTAATTTCTTTTTTCTTTTCTTTTTTTTCTTTTTAGATTAACTATTCAACATCAACCATCAGATTCAGTAGTATGCCATAGATATATTCATCCATCACCAACATTGATGGTTGACCAAGAGTTGATCAACAATCGTACTGTTGGCAGCGCATTGGTTGTCCAGGTATCTTTGGTTTACAACTCTACCTACAAGCAAGTCAGTGCCAAGCAATCGGATGGCAAACAAGAGGTACTCCAGGGCATCAAGTCGTTGATGGTCGATCGCACCGGTCTCGTCGTCTTTAACAAGCTCAAGGTCAGTGAAGTCAGCTCCAAGCATCTCCACCAATCCTTCTGCCTTGTCTTTGCCTTGTGTGAGGTGTTTAACGACGGTCGTGCCAACCAAGAAGTATCGTCGGTCACCTCAAGCTCGTTCCACGTCCTCTCTAGAAACAATACCAACAACAAGCGTAAAAAGGACGACCAAGACAACTCTTCTGATCTATCTGACGGCGGCAACGACCACACCTCGTCACCTTCATCACCATCACAACCCATCCATCTTGCCTCACTCTCTCCAATGAGTTCATCAGGTGCCTCTCAAAGTACCTCATCCTTTTCATTGATGGCTAGTAACGATGAAATGAACTCGTCCTCTTCCTCCTCCCCATCTCCACAACAACCATCAGTCTCATTACAACACTCTTTATCAGAAACAACTACTCCATCACAACAACAACAACAACAACCATCAAACAATGATCCAAACTATATTGATATTACCGAACTGTTGGTACTTCCACAAAAGGAGGCAGCTTCACGTCTTGGTATTTCAGAGTCAATGTTGTGCAAGCGTTTCAAGGAATGCACTCGTCGTAAATGGCCATACCGTTACTTGAGAAAGATTGACAAGGTCATCAAGATCATCACCTACCAACACGGTACCGATATCCCCAAGGAGGAAAAGGACAAGTTTGACAAGTTGATGGCCGAACGTGAAGAATGTCTCCGTCCCGTCAAGATTAGAATCACCGGTTGTCTCGAAAAGGAAGACGAGACGGGCTCACCCATCTATGTCAAGGCTCTCTCCTCTTCTGCCTTTTCTCACATCCACCCCAATCTTGTTGTTTCAAGTGGCGGTCTATCCACTGCCACTGCTACCGTCGCCACCACCACCACCAATGTCAAGTCACAAATCCACAGCATCATCAACTCGGATGATGACGATGATCAAGACATGTCAGACGACAACACACCCATCAAGAACCAACAACCCTTTAAAAACTCTGTGTTTGCCTCTGCTGCTGGAGGAGACGGCAATCACGGACTCGAAAACATCCTAGAGACGTTAGAGATGCTCAAGCACCATGCCCGTCAATAAGCTCCCTCGCATTGCGCGCAGGGACTTGTGTTGACCATCTGGTATCGGCTGCAACAAGCATTATAACTCTATTTCCTCTATCTATATTATTCGTACGTAGTTTGTGTTTAACTTACTACTACACACAAACCACTCGAACACCACCCTCATTGTAGCGCTGAAAATCAGCTCTGCAACATTTGTTATACTTTGACGAAGTTGAATCCAATGGAAGAACAGGTTAATGGATGATCTATTTGTCTGAATTCTGCCATATAGTTTCAATTGATTCCTAGTCGAGATTTGTGCGGTATACGTATATACCATACAAATCATTTGTTTATTTATTTATATCTCTCAACCCACACGAACATCACTTTTTAAATTTACCTCCAACCACAAACAAAACCCCAAAATCTTTTTTCTTTTTTTTCCCATTTTATCATTCTATTTATATATATCTATACATTTTTACTTTAATGACATTTTGTTTATATTATCCACATAGTACTGTAAAGGAGATATCCATATATTAATTCCTCTCTCACCACCCCCCTTTGTAATATTAATCATCAAATAACGAACCCCCCCCCCCCCCCCCCTCTCAAACAACCAAACAACAACAACAATTACCCGAACTTTTTTCTTCTCACCTTACAACACCACCCCCCCCAGACTCTTTTTTTTCAACAACCTTACAACAACCTACAAACAAACCTATATACTTTTCATATTTTTTCAAACAATTCGCCATATCTATCTTTAAAAGTTAGATATCCCACTTGGTAGAATCTCTGTTGATTTTGTTATAACGAAACTACAACCAGCGACTCTATTTGTTTTGTCACAGAGTTTAGAAAACTCGCTTAATCTTTACACTTTATCCGCGGAATCTCAATTAATAATAACTAAATAATAATAACTTAAATAATAATAATAACTTTACAACCAATAATAATAATAATAATTAAGAGATTACTCGACCATTAAATAATTAATTGTCAACAAAGATTGACGATGAATTGCTTAATTGGATCGAACTTGGTACAAGTAGCCGATATAGATGATGGAAGCAGCGCCAATCAACGCTCATACTTTACATTGTGTTTTATTGCCATCCAGAAAAATAGTATGGATTCCAATAATTTCGCATCAAGTGATCCACTAAAACCCCGTTAATTTATGAACCATCCCCCCTTTAAATTACTACGTTGGAACTATCTTTATATAACTGTCAAAAGTAAATGTATCACCTCCCTTTTTTTTTTTTTTTTTAAAACAAACAAATCTTTTTAAAAAAACTAAAACTAAAAAAAAAAAACAATCAAATACATTTTAAATCAATTATAAAAATAAAGACCCCCCTAATTTCAAAAAATATATATCCACGAATAGTATTATATTATTCGATACTGATTTGTTTGATTGATATTATTAAAAATACAGTATTAAATAATTTATTGTTGATTAATTTGCCAATAAATGAACAGCGAAATTAACTCCAGTTGTTTTTGATCCTAGACTTTGTTCTATCATTTGGGAAAATTTCTCATAGGCTTGGTCACTTGTTAGTTCCAATGCCAGTGAATCTCGTAGATATAATATATCATCTTGGTGATTTAATTCTGGCATACCTGTAGACACCATCTAAAAAAATAAATAGAAAGAAAAAGTAAATTTATATATTTCTCGGGTGATTTGTTTCTTTTTCTATTTTACCATTAAGAATAAATTTAAAAAGATATGAGCCTTTTTTCTAATGATATTATAAGCACGACCACATAATTCTTCAAAGTGTTTGTAGTGTTCACCAATGATGAGATTAAAGGATGGCGGAAAGACAAATGGTGCTCTTTCTCGTTTAATTCCTTGCCATGTTTGGACGTTGCCCAAGAATCTACCGAAATCAATGTGGAAGAGGTGTCCGGCTTTAGTAAGCATGATGTTGTCATTATGTCTGTCACCAATACCCAAGATAAAAGTATAGACACAACATCCAGCACAGCTTCTGACAAAGTTTTCCACTGCAGAGTTGTATTCAAATTCTGATGGATTGACCTGCTTGAGCCAACTAGCGATGGCAGTTTCTGAAAAGGCAGCAACAGCTGCATTCTTTCCAGTCAGTTTTTGGATATCTGCAATTGTTTTTGATTCTCCAACCACCTCGATCATTCCTTCATTCAGTCCTGTTGCAACACATCGATAGCTAATAGTTTGTAAATCAATACCTTCAGCTAACCACATTCTATCCATTAAATCAATCATTTGAAGTGTCAATTGATCCTGTCTAAGATCATCTCCACATTTAAAAATGGCCAATATATTATCTCCCATTGGATCATAATTATAAAATGATAACCATAATGGTAAAGTTTTACTTTCTTTTACTTTACATGATTCAATATCAATTCCTTTTGCTTTATATCTTAAAAAGAAAAAATTAATACATAAATTAATATTGATATATTATTTTTTTCTACATACTCTTGATTAAATAATAAATTAAAATCGTTTGGGAATTTAATAGTTGAAAATTGTGATAATAGATAATCCTTTCTCTTGTTATTTGTTACATTCTTTACACCAAGTGCCACTGATTTTAATTTTAGGTACATATCATATTGTTTAGAGAGTTCTGATATCTTTGGATTACCTCTTAGGAATGCTTCTAAAATTAATTGGTATCTTTCGATCCATTGAGAGTGCAAATGAACGTTCAAGTTTGAAATCTCTACTTTGAGATACCAAAAGAATTGATAGGGCATTTGTTGACGATTCAATTGTACTCGGCGGAGAAGGAATTTGGCCAATGAGCTGTAATGGTTTGGTTCATGTTTGAGTGCCTGGACAAGTTGTGGGAGATAGAGACCAAGTTCCTCGTCGTTCATTCTTTGGAGTGTTGTGATGGCAAACTTTCTAATATCCCGATCCAAAAATTTAGAGCTTAGCAATTCCAATGTATCAACTGGTTCTAGTGGTGACCAACTCTTGCTGTGCAACAATTGGTACAATTCCTTGATACTATCTGGGTTGTTCCAAGGTACAGAGAGAATGACCTTGCTCGTCGACCTAGGAATAAATTTACAATAGTGTCTGTGTTTCCAACACAATTCTCTTTCTTCTACTGTCAAACCTGTTAATGGATCCTTTTCAATGATACTTGTCAATCTTTGCATCTCGCTAAATGACAATTCCTCATCTTCAAAAGAGTCTTCGGGGATTTCCTCCAATTTCTCGTGTTGATAGATGATTGCAGGACTTGACAATTCTATTTCGAAACTAATGGCTGGTGGTTCATTGGCCTCGTTTCCATCTGACGACGACAATAAATGTTGTTTGTTTTCATAAAGTGTACCGATATGATCGGGTGTATCGTCCATCCAGAGGCATAGTTGATGGAACCCAGAATTGATTCTTCCACGATAGTCCCACATTTTGAAATTGACCCAACCAACTGTAGTATTGGATGGATGGTATCTAACTTGAATACATAAAATGGCATTGCTAGGGATATGGTTATAAGCAGGCCCTTCCATCCATTTGAGCCATGATGGATTGGTAACAAGAACGATTGGTGCAGTACAAAATTCCTCCCCAATCTTTATACCACATTGATAAACTTGACATGCAACATAGATTGATTTATCCTTTGATGGGGAGGTTCTAGTATCAAAGTTTTTTAAACTTCCCAATCTTAATTTAAATGGTTTGTTTATCATATATGATAAACTTAGATTATTAACTTTTTCTTCTTTATCTATTTTACTATTCATATTTTTTATAACCTACAAAAAATAAAAAAGAAAGAAAGAGTTAATATATGATATCTAATCGAAGTTCTCTCTATATATATATTTGTACATACATCAAAATGATTAAAATTAATAGAAGAATCAAGAATTTCTTTTGAAATGGTTGATTTATCAATTAAAATTAAATCTACTTTTTTCTGTCTTCTTGATTTGGTGTTTATAAAATCGATTGATGATAGTGGGATGGTAGGATTGACCAAATAGATTTCCAAACCTCTAATTTTAACAACATATTTTGATTTCATTTCAGCCATTGGCATAAGTTTTCCCTTGTCTTGATTCTTTTCAGACATGTTTATAAACTTTGAAAACTTTATAAATAAATTATCAATTAATTCTCCTACCAATGTTTGTACTATTTAAATTAAATGAAAAGAATCAAGGGAGTGATTAGTATACAAAGAGTTCTTTAAAATTGATTATATTTCCATTTGTATAATTACCATGACAAACAAAAGTTTTAATTATATCTTTTGTAATAAATACTCTAATTGTACAATTTTGACCAACAACTAATTGTTGTTGTGGTTGTTGTTGTGGATCCTTTCCATTGATAAATCCAGCTATTGGTGAACCTCTAGAAGGTGAACATGATTTCCATGAACTTGGACTTGTTGAGCCCGATAGACCAAGATGATTATTATTGTTATTATTGATTTCAGATGATTTTGAAATTAAAGGTAAAAATACAGGTGATGATGGTCTATTTAGGAAAGAGGAAGAAGATGATAATGATTGATTTGGAGGAGATGAAGATGGAGTAGTAGATGATGAAAAGGCCATTGATTTTACACGCATAAATCTTGATTGTGGATTTCTTAAACATTTAGTATCATCCAATCTATTTCTTTCCTTTTGAATATTATCTAAAAAGGTTATCATTTTTGTTCTAAAGTATACTGATTCTTGATTTGCATTTTGGTAGAAATCTAAATACCCATCAATCATTTGAGATAATTTAGATGTAAATTCAGTTTCTTCAAGACTATTGACAACATAAATAATTGGTTGATCATTTCCATCATCTTGATTATTATTATTATTGGATCCAGTTTTTTTAACTCTATCGGAAAAGTATAATATATATTTTCTAAAAAAAAAAAAAAAGAAATGATTAGGAGCGAAAATAAATAATAATGATAATAAAGAATAAATGATTAATTACAAATAAACTTTTGAATCTGATGCAAAGAATGTGTTGGATAGAGTTTTTAAAGATAGATTATGGGGAGAGCTGATTTCCATATTCCAAAGGGATGAAGGTGATTCAATTAAAAGATAGTCATAGATACGTTGTTTTAAAGTCGATATAGTATCCAATTCCAAAGTATAGGTTATACCACTAATAAAGGTATTGCTTTGTGTTTTGATGGTAAGAGGATACTGATTAATTGTTTTGGATGCGTCTGGGGACATGGGAGGTGGTGGTATTGTCAATGATGCATTCAAGTTTAATGCTGATGCACTGGTAGCAGTTCCCCTAGTCAATGCTCTACCTACAACTGGTGGTGTATTTGATCGTGTTGGTGTACTACCACCAGTACCACTACCATTATTAGCGGTAGCAGCAGCAGTAGCTCCAATACCAATACTACTACCACTTCCACTACCACTTCCATTACCAATTATACCACTTCCACTATTACTACTACAACTTTTGTTATCCTTTTCCTTTTCCTTTTCAATTGAATTTATAAATGAATCAATTGAATATCCAGAAGATACTTGATCTTTATCTTTATCTTTTGTTTCAACACTGGATCCTCCCTTTTTGTTATCTTTAATTAAAAGTCCATCAATGATTGATTCCAAATCCTTTAGATTCTTTCTATTCTTTTCCTTTTCCTCTAGTTTTTTCTATTTTGTTTTGTTATTAATAAATATTATAATACATCAAGTATGGTCTAATTTCTGTCTCTCTATTTCTACATACATTTAAAGATAAGATATGATCACTTTTTTCTTGAATCAAGTGATTTAGGAGAGATCGCTTACTATCCCAAGTAGATTGTAATTGTTGATATTCCAATTCAACCTTTTCAATTTCTAGTTGAAGGTCTCTGATTTCAGTTAATAGTTGGTGACTTGTAAGAGGACCATTTACAGAGGATGAGATGTTTCGAGGAGACACTGCGTTGATGTTGTAGGCGACCTCGGACAATTGGTCTTGGAGGACAGACTGTCGCTTGGTTTCTTCTTCAATCATCATGATGAGGTCTACCTTTTCATTGACATAGTACAGTGACATACTGTCCATAGACTTTTCAGAGATTTCTATAGCACTGCCATACTCTCTTTGCTTCTTTTCAATCTCTGACAGTTCTAGTTGTCGTTTGGTATTGTCTCCTTTGACTGCATTGTACAACTTGAATATATTCTTGTCTAGTTCATCGAATCTCTTGATTGCATTTAATTTTCTGTCTACTGCTACTTTATAAACTTGTTTGTCATTTATATCAATAACAATCGGTGATGATGGCGATGATGATGATGGTTGATCAAGATCTCCACTCTCCATATTATCTCTGTTTGTTGTATCTATCTATCTATTTATCTTTTATGGCATTAAAGAAGAAGAAGGAGAGCGTGTGTGTTGTTTACAATAAAGGACAACCAAACTCCGTTGCGGGTATTGATGCCATCACGTCATGAGTGATGAGGAATCGGGGAAGATTTGAGCCCAATAGTGCAACCAAATAAATATCTATGCAGCTTTTTTAGCAATGGTTTTTTTGAACTCCGATCCGGGCATTTTTATTGATCATGAAAAATATTCAAGAATTGGAAGATATAGTACTCAAAGAGATTTATCAAGAAGAATTACACAAAATATTGAAAATTGTAAGTAAATTAAAAAAATGATCAACGAGGAAGAAAGAAACTGAAACAAATATTCTTTACTTGATGTACCTAGGATCATTTAAATGTTTGCACTGGGTATCAGTCAAAAATTGATTACGTTGCAGTTGATAGTACGCTTGGACCATCTATCTGGCATCATGTAAAAGTGACCAATCTAAACACAATCCGATACATTTATTAGCCAATTGGTTGAATTATTTAATAGAGAAAACCAAGCCATTTAATTTAAAATCAATGATATCTCATTTGATCAATACCATTACCAATTTTTATTTGTCTCTCCTACATTTGATAATTCTAGTACACATTTAAATCCTGAAAAATCATTTCCAGAGTTTTCTCAATATCTCACCACCATAGAGAGTCTTATTGAACACCCTGATGATATGATGTTTCCTTTTCAAAGTCCAAAACCATTGACAAAAAAAGAAGTTAAAATATTAATCATATCATTGGAAACAGTACTCATCAAAAACTATAGACATTAGTTTTGTAAATTTTAATAAATATATTTTATTATATTAAATTAATAATAATTGGAAAGGGGAGCCATTTGTTTGGGATCGGGTGTTTATACGAGAGCAGCAAAGAGGGCAACAACGATAGCAAAGACCATTGAGGCGGCGATTGAAGCAGCAGATGAAACACATTCGGCATAGATACCTCTGTTGACTCCTGGGGAACAAGTTCCACAGGTGGTGCTGGCATCAGTGAAGTTACCAGAGCAGTTTAATGAAGCCGAGTATGTACGGAAAGTGTAGGTATTGTTGGTGATTGAAATTTGACCAGATCCAATTGTTACACCTGTTGAGCAAGCATTGGTGAAATTGAAACACTATTTCAAACATACAAAAGAAGAAATTGGTGAGTATAAAGAATAATATAAAATAATAATGATTAATCTATTTTTATAGTTAACTATACATACAGTTGAAGGACCATCGAATTCAAGACATTTACGATCTCCAGTACATTGTTCTACAATGTTTGCTCCATCACAATGGAAACAAACGTTGATTTTACCATAGACGACGGCGGTCATAACGGCCAATAAGAATGTGATTTTAACGATAGAAGATACCATTTTTTTATAAATACTATTTGTGTAGTTGTTGTTGTTGATATTGAAGTAAATAAACTAAACTAATGAGTTGTGATATTGGAACAGATGACAAGTTAATTAAATACTGTTGTGCAGTGCAGTTGCTGAACAATGGTAGGCGGACAAAAAATGAGCGCGCAGGATGAATATGGAAATCAAAATTGAATATTACATTATCTAAAATTGGAACGTTATTCATTGGTAAATGGATACGTACATAGAGGAAGAGGGAGGGTGTTTTTCGGAATAATAACTCATCCCTTTACAATTAAATCTGCTTGAGTGTGTGTAATAAATGTATCGATATTTGCTGTTTTAGGATGAAATTATGTGTGTTTGTACGAGTTGTGGTGTAATTTTGCTGCTATCAATGAGAGTGAGAGAGAGAAAACACTCCTTACACAACAAGAATCGAGAGTGTATGTATGGGGATGAACGATAATTCCATTTGGAATTTCAATAGAATTTAGGGGGGTTTGAGATGATGAATATACTACTACTATCCGATTCCATCTTTTTGTTTAATATAATATATATAATAATTATTTTATTAGTAGTATTGTGATAGGTTAGGTGTAATGTAGGTGTATGTTGTATTGTGTAAAAAAAATTGGGTTTGATGTGTTGATTGGGGTTGGTGATGATGAGATGTGTGTGTGTGAGGTTGGTGAAGTTGACTATGGCTAGGATATCATATGTGACGGTTAGGGATGTATGTATCTAATCCTCCTATCCAATCAAATCAAATCATATCATATTTAATCACCTTTGAAAAAGATTCTAGCACCAGAGAATGAATATTTGAATAATTCAAATTCGGTTTGAAGAGATCTGACCTTTTTAACAGACAATTGATTTTGATCTTCCTTCATGCCTCTGGCTTGTGACTCTGCCAAGATATTTCTTTGATCGTCTTCGTACTTCTTTTGGATACGTTCGAACCAGTGCAACGAGTCAAACTGCTTGTTTTGATCGAGTAGCTTGAGGATGTATGCCAAACCAATGGCAAAACCGTCGTCGGTAAACTGGAGACTCTCGGCACCGATTGCCTTGCTCTTTTTAAAGAGCTTGTCCTTGGCGTTGATGATGTGGTCGATGTAGTTGATGGTGAGGGGTGGTACGATGGCATAAAAGTTGTTGAGATGTTGGTTGTTGACACTACGCAACGCCGTCGAAAAGACGTCGACGAGCAACTTAAAGTACTCGGTACCATCCGACACGTTGGATGCGAGGTTTTGGATGACATTGTCGAGGTTCTTGCTCGACTCCATTGTCTCGGCAGAGAGCGGATGCATCTTGATCAACTCTTCAAAGTTGGGGATCTTTTTGAGATCGGGTACAAATCGAATGGCATTACTGCAGTATTGTTGACCACCAGATCTAACAAGACGAATGTAACCCATGGCATTACCAATATGAGTAATTAAAATTCTAAATTGATCCAAGAAACTGAGACCTGCTTCAGTAAGACCCAATTGACGAATATCCTTTTCAAATTCAACTGCCAAATCAAATGGATACATATTATCTAATTTTTCTTTGTTTTCTCTAAAGTACCTAAAGAAATTTAAATTAAATGAAATGAGAGATTAGATATATATATTCTTCTTTTTCTTTCTTTCTTTCTTTTTTTTTTTCTTTTTCTTTTTACATACTTTAAATTTTTATATAATCTTGATTTAATTTGATCATCAAACAAGAATTCTGAAAAGATTGAAAACTTTTGCTTTAAAAATTGGAAAGCAAAGTTGACGGTTGTGTCCATAATACCAGCACCATGAGTACGGATTGAATTGGCAACATGTGTAATATTGATAGTATTGAGTGTTTTACTATTCGATGATCTTTGAATGAAAATTTGATTATTTAAATTATAATTGTATCTTGCTACAAAAATATGAATATTTCTCATAATTTCTAAAACATCTAAACCCTAAAAAAAAAGAATAAAAAGTTATTAATATATATAAATATACATTTGTGTTATATCTCTTTTTTTTTGTTTTTTTTTTGTTTGTTTTTTCTCTTACTTGTTCAAGAGTAGCACCAGGTAAATGAACTTCTAAAAGATTTAAACCATATTTGTAGAAAGCCATATTTCTCATTTCAGAGTAAGTCTTCCAATCAAATAGAGCTACAGTATTCAAGTTGTAAAAGGTGGAATCGAGGTAATGAGCAATACGTGCTTTGATATCGATAGTCTTGTCAAAGAAACGTAGTGGCTTGAGTTCGAGGAATTTACCAAACTCTTTGATACCACTCTTGAATGGATCCTTTTCAGCGACATTGAGGAAACTATGAATACGAAGACGAAGATCGGTTTCAATGTCTTTTCCTAATGGTTGGATAATAAACTTTTCCATTAAATCTTCCAATTCAATTCTATAAAGTTCAATTAATTTGTTTGGATCTTCAACATGAATTGCTTTTTCTAAAATTGATACAACATCCTTCATACCAGTTAATGCATACTTAAAAAAAGAGGAAAATAAAATAAGAAAATGTAAATAATAATAATCTTCTTTTTTGTTTTTGTTTTTTAGTTTACATACTTGAATACTTGAAGCTTGATTTGGATTTTCATAAATAAATTGAAGATAAGTTGGGAAAAGATCACGAGCCCAAAATAATAATGAACAATCACAAACTTTTCTAATTTGATTGTGAATATCTGAAATAAATTCAAGTCTTTTAATATGAAGTCTAAGATCTTCAATATCTTGATCCTTTAAATAATTCTAGAATAAAATAAAATAAAGGTTAGAACCCCAATCCAATATATATTTGTATATCTTGTTACATACAGCTTGATAAATAACATTTAAACATAATTTCATGATTAGGATACGTTCTGGAGTTGCAACACCACAAAGTAAATCAGATGTTAAAGTGAGAGCCATGATAACATCCAACTCGGTGTCGGAATAACTTGATTTACCAGTATATCTATTACGGACGATATCCAATTTGTTGTTGATGATGGTTGTCAAGTGTTGAGTCATGAGTGAGATGTGAGCAGAGATCATAGAAGAACGACGATGGAATGTTCCTTGGATGGCTTTGAGCATCTCGGCACACTGGAAGAGACGACGTACATCTGATGGTTTGAGTGGTGCAGTAAGGTTCATGTGCAATCCAATCATGGTCTTGAAGAGATGACTAATGTGGTAGGAGAGGAGAACACCTTGGATAATCTGACCGATACGTGATAGATTGGCATCCCAAAAGGTGGTACCGCGGTTGAGGTTGCTTGACTCCATACGTACCATCCAGCGACTGACTTGAAGATAGTAGGATTTGACACGACCGGCAAACTCACGATCTACAACCTTGAGGTACTCGCGACGAATACCGACAACGTCGACGGTACCGATAATCTTCATCATACCGGGCATAAGCTTGAAAATAAAGTCAGCGGGGTACCAAAAGACATTGTTGTAGATGGAGATCATTGGCACCTTTTTAATGAGCTCCCAGATCTGCTTAAAGAATGACTTGTCGGTAATATCTTTAAAGATGGACACGTAGAATGTGTAGAGACCCATCATGCCGGGGAAACGCTCGCGCAGGTACAGTTCGGACGGGTCCATCATCTTGGCTTGGAGCATGCCAAAGATGGCCTTGAGGTTGTGCACAAACTCGGCCTTGAGCGGCTTGTTTTGACGTACATCGACGACACCTGGGAAGTCAAACTCTTGTTGCACGCAAGTCTGGAAGATATAACCTTCCAACAACTGTCCCTTGAGTGAGAGGAGGAGCTTCTCGAGCTGCCAAAGCTTCTCTTCTTCGGCAACGCCGTATTTGCCCGGCTCGGCACGCACACTCTTGACCATACGTTGGTAACGTCCCCATGCAGAGTCAAGTGCCTGGTTGTTGACAATGATCTGGTCCAATGTGATCAGAACGGCAAACAAGTCGGCCATTGAATAAAACACAGTTTGGAGATGCGTGTTTTTAAAGAACTTGGTGTAGGTGGTTGGCGACGACTGATAGATCGACGCCAATTGTGACACAAAGTTACGTGCAATGCTGTAGCATCGGTTGACCAGTGCCGACAGATCAATCATGAATGGTAGCAGACGAGCCACCTCTTCTTGCACGTCACCCTCACTTGCCTCACCAGTAATCTCGCCAAACACAATGAGTGGCTGGTAGAAACGCAGTTCAGCCGTCTCCTTGACGATACGCACCTGATTGCACAACGATGCAAAGACGAGCATCACCTTGTTAAAGATCTTGTGCTCGGTCTTGATCAACTCTATAATGTCTTGTTGCTCGTATGGTCGAATGTACAATGACACGGGATCCACATTAAAATCAGACGATTCATTGATCGATTCATCCAATGCTTCTTCAATCTTCCAAATCTGTTGTGCATAATCAACAGCAAATTGATTTAATTTTGTTAATTGTTGTTCTCCAACCAATTCTAATAAAAATAGAAAAGTAATAATAGAATCAATGAAAAGTTAGAACTAAAAGTATACTCTTCTAACAAACAAACAAACAAACAAACAACATACTTGAAGAACCATCTTCGAATGCATCAAATTGGTATTCATCATTTGTAGTAAATGAAGTTGACATGTTTCTCTTTATGTCTACTAAACTATTAACTACCAACTACTCTATATAACTATATTTTATCAACTACCAACTATCCTCCAAACTATCTTCGGTTTGTTTCTCGTTCTGTTAACCTTTACTGTGAAGATATTATTGATATAACTCTGTATCTGTATTGTATTGTATTGAACAAAGATAGAGATAAGATAGATATAAACAGACAGACAGATAGATAAATTGAATGAAAAGCTTTTTGAGCCAAAGTCCTCAAAATGAACAAGAAAAATCTTTTGCTCTTTCACTGGTGCGAAGGGTCTGTCCTTGTTGACTAAGTCATACTTTGTACTAAATACTCTTAAGGTTACCAATAATTAAACTTCAATATTGATATTATTATATTATAGTATCACCAACACTCTCTCATATATGAATGATATTGTCTGTGAGTTTGAGTAGATAGATATTATTATTATTTCTTTTTTATTTATTTTTTTAACTAGTTTCACTGACAATGATCATTAATCATCCGATAGATTATTTATTATTATTATTGTATATATACGAAAAATGAAGATCATTATCTTTATAACAGCATTACTTTTATTGTTATTGGGTGTTGTCAATGGTGACACATTACAAGTCGAGGTAGACGAGTCATACCAACCACTCACAGCACCAGATACATTTGTCGTAGCATTCACCACTACCAAGGGTAGTTTTAGTGCCACCTTTAATAGATCATGGGCTCCTTATGGAGTTGATCATTTCTATACTCTTATTCAAGCTGGTTATTACAATGACAATGCATTCTTCCGTGTCATTGATCAACCAAGACCATTCGTTGCACAATGGGGTATTGCAAGTGACCCTGCTGTATCACAAAAGTGGAACATCACCATCCCAGAAGACTCGATTGTCGGCATATCAAATGTAGCTGCAACAATCACCTATGCCGCTGAAATGAACAGTCAAGGTGTATGTATATATAGTTTTGCAAAGAAGAAGGAAGTAGTAGACAATGAATGAAATTAATTTAATACCCTTTATCCATTCATTCATATAACACAGTTGGCATGTTGCAGAACCACCCAACTCTTTATCAACTATGGTGACAATAGTTTCTTGGATCCAGAAGGGTTCATTCCAATTGGTATGATTACCTCTGGCTTTAACAATGTCTTACAATTCTACTCTGGCTATGGCGAGAACGTCGACCAAGGATTACTATACAGTCAAGGTGCTGCCTATCTCAAGAACTTCCCAAGTCTTGATTATCTCCAATCTGCTACTCTATCAAACTAATCTCTATTAAATAAACTAATGTACCCTTATTATCTCTGTAGTCATATGATTGACGACTTTTCGATTATTAAAAATGTCATCAAGTATTATACTTTGTGAAAATGCGATGGTGATCACCGTATGAACCTTTTTTTTTTGATTATATTTATATCTTATATCTATCTTTTTCATTTATATATATACAATATCAAAACTATGGTATTCGGAAAGCCACAAGACCCTGATCTTACAAAGTATGTACATATATAGATATGTGACAATGATAATTATGATGACTAACTTGTTTATTACTTTTAGGTTGTTAGATCGTAAGATGAATGGTAAGTTATAAGAAGAAGAAGTGAGAAGAGGATAGAAGGATGAGATTACTAACAATCATACTCACATACACGTATATATAGTCAGACTCAATGGCAATAGAACAGTTGTTGGAGTATTAAGAGGTTTCGATACTTTTATGAATATAGTTTTAAAAGATACAGTAGAGATTATTTCACCGACCGAATCACATAACATTGGAATGGTGGTATGTACACATTCATACATATATATCAGGGGAGAGAGATAGAGAGAGACAACTAATTTATTGTTTTTGTTTAATTATAGGTTATTAGAGGCAATTCAATTACGATGATGGAACCTTTGGAATTTGTATCAGCTAAATAAATAACTTATAATATTGTATAAAAGAATATATATATAGATAAGGTAGGACAGTTTCAATACTCAAGTCGTCAGGTGACAGTTCATATATTTGATTACAGTTGGGATGGTGCGCTCTCTTTCAATGATGGCATCATTTCTTATTCACTTCACTTCCTTCAATTAAAAACATCTACTCAAATTCAAACCAACACAACATCCAAGAACAATGAGCGTCTAGAAGTTCGTCAACTTTGAATTGGGATTTGGTTTACTTGAATTTCATTTCATACAACTCACGAGTTTATCGTTGTCAACATGGTGGAGGTGGGCAGTGACAATTTAAGGATTATTAGATCTGTCAACTTTTTAGCCAACAACATCAAACCACCAAGTTGCCAACTACAACTACAACTACAATGACAGTAGAGGAGGAGGACACAATCATTCTATGAACAAACGAACAAACGAAATATATTTTGGTGTGGGTAGTTGATACCCCATTTTCACCAAGATGATGATGTATTTTCACACAATTGCACTTATCATTTTACAAAACACGAGGCAACGCAATAGGGATGTAGGCTCTTATTCAAGCTTGTAATTCCTTGAACACAGTACTGTAATTAATTAATATATGTGAAACCCCCGCTGTGCACCCTGTTGTTTTTTCAAACTAAACTGGGAAAAAAGAAGAAGCTTGACAAAAAGTGGCGACGAGGAAACACAAGCCATGGCTAGTACTAGATGTCGGGTATGGACAATATTATCCCTATTATTTTAAGTTCTCGAACCGGGTTGGTATTCAAAACTATACTCTCCTACTCTTTTTGGTAGAGGAATTTCAAGATTTTTTTTTTTTTTTCTTTTTTAAAATAATTTTTAATTAATTAATTATGGTGAGGAATTGCGATGCTATGATAAAACTTAAACAGAGGCAGCACAGTTCACTTTCCAGGTATCTGTCGAATATAGACATACATTGTGATCACAGAATTTCATTGCAGAAGAATTTGTCTTAACACACTCCTACTCTCCATGTTGTTTCGGGTATAGTTTTTTCTCTTAACCAAAAAAACAGTTAGTTGGAGTCTCCCTAACCCCCCACACTCACACACACACATGACCAACCTATTAATTCATCATCCCAACTTCCAGATCACATCATTTTAAATTAATTTATTTATTTATTTATTTATATTTACTTATTGTCAAGAGAGACAGACACACAAATTTAAAATAGAAAAAAGCAGATAAGTTTGACGAAGACATTGTAACGAACAAAGAAGACGACTCTTATAATTTCGTTTCAACCAACATAGGTAGGTAGTTAGTTAGTTAGTATAGTCTACACATGACTTGCATGCATGAATATGTTATTCAGATCTTCCAAAAAATTTATTTATTGTTTGTTCTGGAACACAGCCAGCCAACATGTTGCTCGTTTACCTGATGCCATAAAGAAAAAAAGATTAGATTGAACCCCCCACGCATCCTGCCCCAACACCATTCAATCTTTTCAATATTTCCACACACACGACCCGACCAAAATGCGATGGTTGTGGAGTGTTGTTGTTTTAACACTTTTTAAAGGTGGTGTGATTCAATAGAAAAGCATCACCATTTTCCCACCTCATTATCTTATCTGTTCACAACATTATCTACAACACAAAGTGATAACCGAGAGAAAGCTACTACACATAGCATGTTCATCTTCTATGTGTAGTATTAATTAATTTAATTGTTATTATCTATCGTTATTATTAATATTAAGAGTGTGTAGCAAGGAGGGAAGGAAAGGAAAGGAAGGATTAACAGTCGCAACCAACAAGAAAGAAAGAGAAGATAAAAAAATATACATTGTATGCATTATATATTATATGTAAATATATGGTGGTGTTGGGTAGTGTACGTTACGTTGTGTGTGTGTGTTGTGAATATTGCAACATATGAGGCATGGCAATGTGGCATGGATGGCATGGCAGAGTTAGTTTGGGCGGTGTCGGTAATACAAAGTAGTATTTAAACTATTCAAATTGAATTGTTGATTGGATAGAAGAGAGAAAAAAAAAGAGTCCTCCAAATATTATTATCAAACCACTCACATCTACACCTCCATCAACTCGTACTGTACATTGTTGTTGTTGTTGTTGTTTACTCGAGTAAAAAAAACTATAACTATATTTCTTTAAGGGTTATTTTTAAATTTTGGTTTTTACCTTTTAAAGAATATTCGAATTGTTGTTGGAGTAAGTTCAATTCAATTGTAGCTTTATTCTCTTTTTCAATTCAATTTTAAAAAACCAATTCCAATTCCAATTCCAATTCTATAAACAATCGTCTCCATTCGATGGATACAGAAACAACAACAATAATACGACCAATTTAGCCATTTATTAATATGTTATCTTGAACATCATCGCGATACCATTAACATTTTTCATCTATATTGTTATTTTTTTCAATCTTTTCATTAAAATCAAAAAAAAACTTATTTAATCGTTTTTATAGTAGAAGAAGTAGTAGTAGTAGTAGTAGTAGTAGTTGTAGTTGTCAACTTCAAAAATAATAATAATAATAATAATAATAATAATAATAATAATAATAATAATAATAATAATAATAATAATATTAAAAATAATAATACCAAAATATCAACTTCTTTTTTTTGTTATTTTTTACTTTTTGTAGAATATATCACTCACTCTAATAATATAATATTAACAATTGTATAATTTAAAACTAATCAACTTTATCCATATATATATATATTTATTTATTTATGTGATCCAATTATAAATCAATATTTAATAATAATAATAATAATAATAATAATAATAATAATAATAATAATAATAATAATAATAAATGATTACAATGGAATTAGGTTTAATAATAATTCTATTATCATTTTTGCCACCTTCAAGCGGTTCATCATTTTCAGTAACAGTAGCAACAAGAGGATTGGCAGAGGAGGTAATAATAGATCAAACAAAATCATATTCCCTGCCTTCTTTTGTTGTTTTTGAACATGCTAGCCAAATTCAAATCGATACTAGTACGATGGATAGTAGTATTTCTTCCGGTGGCGACTTTTTTTTGGCAACACCTTCAATAGACAGCGCTGATGGGTCTGGAGGAGGAGTGATGGAGATCAACACATATTGGTCTAAAGAATTAATCGTGTTATCCTACTTGGTCTCAGTTCTCGGGTCCTATACATCACTCCAATGTCTTGCTCAATTGACAAGTACCAGCAACAAAATATTTAGACAACTTTTCCTAACAATTGGTTCAGTTTCACTTGGTGGTGTTACTATTTGGTATGAAACTATTAAATACATACATACTTTGTTACAAATATATAAATATAAATATTAATTTTGGATTTGTTTCATTTTTTAGGAGTATGCATTTCATTGGAATGATGGCATGTCATTTTAATGTACCTGTTTCATATGATAAATGGTTAACTTTTCTTTCGGGTGCAGTGGCAGTGTTATCATGTCGATTGGGATTACTATTGTTGACGGTCGAGATACCACAAGTCATTGTGAATTACCTCAATCGAAGAAAATCAAAACAATACAATACTATAGAGGAATCAATGATCATTGATATGGATCATAATCATCAACAACACTGTCAACAACAACAACAAATAGGCAATGTATTTTCATTGGATGGTAATACGGTACTACAGTCAGATCATCAATCATATTGCATAGAGATGACAATGTTGAATCATCAATCGACATCGATCACGAGCTCACCAATTATCAATAGACGGTTAGTGTCTGGTGACACTGCCAATAGCAATAGTAATAGTAGTAGTAATAGTAATAGTAATTCACCCTTTCATTCATCCTCACCATTGTTTGAATGTAATTTGAATAATATTAATTTAAATGATCATAATAATAATAATAATAATAATAATCATAATAATGGTAATAATCATAACAACAACAATAATAATAACAATCATAATAACAATAATCATAATAATAACAATCATAATAATAATAATAATAATGGTAATAATGGAAATAATAAGAAAAAGATACCAAAAAAAGGAATTATACCATTAAGTCAAAGTGATATTCAACACATTGTAAATATAAATGAGCTCATTGACATTAAACAACAACAGCAAAGAAAAGATAGTCAGAGTGGGAAATACTCGCCTTTGATTGGAAGTTCTTTGTTTGAACTAGATGACAACAATGACAACAACACACTCAAACGAGAATTAAAATCACAGAAACGAATGTCATCGATGTTGGACCCATCACAATACAACCAAAATGTAGTGATACGGTTGATATTGGCAAGTTTCTTTACATCATGTGGTATTTTTAGTATGCATTATTTGGGTATGGCCGGTATGCAAATGAATGCAATGATGTCTTATAACAGAGGACTGGTGTTTCTCTCGTTTATCATTGCATGGATATCATCAATAGTGTCTCTCAACATTGCCACATTCTCCTTTTCACATCTTCAGCATCTAGTGTCTGGATTGTTTATGGGATTGGGTGTATGTGGAATGCATTATGTTGGCATGTTGTCAGTCAGCTACACATTTGTAGACAAGGGACTCATTATAGCCGACGACAAGGATAGCATTGCTCTAACCGTTTCCATTCTATCGCTATTTACCTGTTTTCTCATCATTGGAGTCACTTCATTTGCCAATCAAAGAATAAGAGATAAATTAATTCTTTTGGCTTCTGAATTGGATATTGAAAGAAAGAAATCAGATGTATTATTAAATTCAATTTTACCAATCCGTATGTCCAACTTTTAGATCAAATAGATCATTCCTTGAATTATTAATCCATAACTTAACTTTCTTCTTTTAAAATATTAAATTATAGCAATAAGTAACAAAATGAAAGAAGGAGAATTATATGTAGCAGAAGAATGTTCAGGAGTATCGATTATATTTGCAGACATTGTTAATTTCACAAAGATTTCATCTACCTATTCCCCCAAGGATTTGGTATTGATGTTGAATCGTTTATACTCGACATTTGACGATATCTCTGAATCGATGGGCTTGGAGAAAATCAAAACAATTGGCGATTCCTACATGGTGGTTTGCGGACTTCCATGGCACGAAGTGGAAGGCTTTTCACCAGACATGAGAAAAAGTAATAGTAGTGATGGAATCAATTTCTATCTGAGGGATCGAACTGTATATCATGCAAACAAAGCTTTAAATTTTGCTTTAAATATTTTAGAAAGTGTTAAAAGGTAAGAAAATAGATAATAGAAACAGTTGGTTGTAAATATATACATTAGAGAATATAAATATTAATATTTAATTTAAATTTTAGGGTAAATCAAAAATATGGCTATGACCTTCATTTAAGAGTTGGAATAAATACTGGTGATGTTGTAATAGGAGTAATAGGAAAAAAGAAGTTCACCTTTGATTTATGGGGTGATGCAGTTAATTTAGCGAGTAGAATGGAATCACTTGGTATCCCTGATAGGGTTAGTGTCAGTGAAACCACCTATAACCTAGTATCTGATAAATATGATTTCGAAAAACAAGTTATAGATGTTAAAGGAAAAGGTGATATGGGTTTATTCGTACATAGACCATCAGTCGACAATGGTTGTACTAGTACATCCACCAATCAACAAGAAAAAGAAAAAGAAAATGGAAATGGAAATGGAAATGATCAACCAGATAAACAACATTATAATGATCAACACAATAATAATAATAATAATCAAAACGATGATTCACCTCCAATATTTTTCAATGGTGGTGGAGGACATTTATAATTATAATTTATAATTATGTACAAACCATACAATAACAAAAGATATAATCCATCTAAAAGATTTATCTTTTCTAAAAATATTTATTAATAATAATGTTTGCCTAAAAACTCTAAGAAGAAAGAGAGGAATGTAAAGGTTCCTAGCTAAATTTTATATAATATATTATAATATATACAGGTAATAATAAAAAAATTAAATGTAAATTTTTGTACAATAGTATTAAAATAATTGACACTTACCTATATATTGATTTAATGAGCTGCATTTAAAATTTTGGGTAAAACACTTGATGGTTTAATAAAGACATTGATGAGGACTGGATCTTCAAGTTGGATTTCATTGGTTTGTTTGTTTCTAGGGAGTTTGGAGAGAATGTCTTGGAGTTGGTCAGTGGTGGATACAGAGTGGCCTTGACCGCCAAATGATTGCATCATGACATCGTATCTGATCTTGGGGGTGAGAGCAGTGGGTGGGATGGCGGTGGGAGAGTGGTCTTGGATAGTGTCCAATCCTTCATAGATACCGTTATTGTTGATGATGATGAATAGGATGGGTTGGCGATAACGAACGGCTACCTCAATCTCCATGCCACTGAATCCAAATGCACTGTCTCCTTGGACGGCATAGACGGTTCTCTTGTTGTTATAGACTGCCGATGCGGCGATAGCATAGCCTACGCCAACACCCATGGTCGATAGAGAACCACAGTCTAGACGACAACGAGGGTCGGTGTGCTGGATACAGACACGTCCGATATCCATCGTGTTGGCACCTTCATTGACAAATGGTGCGTTCTTGGGAATATGTCTTGCGAGTACATTGTATACTTGGTGGTAGGTCAATTGCTGGCCGTCTTGTTGTGGCTCTTCCATTTGCTTTTTGAGTGATGATGCGTTGGCGCCAGCCTTGTCGGTCAACTCCTTCATCCAGCTCTGTCTATCTTGACCGGATCCATTGTGGACGGCCGCCTTGAACGCAGTCTCGCAGACCGAGTTCATTTCCTCGAGTGTCGCACGGATATCACCGAGAAGGAATAAAGAGTTGGCTGGAATATGGGACTGATGCTCTGCAAAGATATCGACGACAATAAACTTGACATCTGACGCGAATCCATTGACACCATACCCAAACATCCAGTTTAGTCGTGCACCCAACACGAGAATATAGTCGGCACGTTTCAACGCGACCGAACGTGCACTGGCAACGCTGTACTCGTCTTCGTCCGACACAATACCCTTGCCCATCGGTGATGGCAAAAAGGGGATCTTGGTGGCATCGACTAGTCTGCGCAACTCTTTCTCAGCACCGCTGTAGGCTGCACCCTTTCCACCAATGATAAGAGGACGCTTGGCACGACTGATCAACATTTGCAATGCCTCTTCAATCTGACCTCTTTGTGGAACGGGGCGTGGGATCTCGTCGTACTCGATGATACCATATGTATCGATGTTTTCAATCAATGATTTGTTTGCATCGTTGATTTGAGCCGTTCCTTGCATCAACACGGATGGCACTTGTATGTAGACAGGACCGGGACGACCCGACACACTCTCACGCACCGCTCTGATAAAGTAGGTTGCAAACTGCTCGATCGTTGGTGGATAGTAGCATGTCTTGAAGCATGGTACGGCGGCAGCAAACTGAGGACACTCTTGAAAGCTGCCCTTGTTGAGGTCGGCAGGGTTGGGAGACGACGACATCACAACCAATGGGAAGCTGTTTGCTTGTGCATTGATAGCACCAGGCAACGCATGAATCAGACCCGGACCAGACACTGTAAAGCAGAGGGCAGGCTTTCTAGTCAAATAACCAACGATACTAGCTGCATACGATGCAGCCTGTTCATTTCTAAAGCCGTAGAATGGTAATCCATCCTTTTGCATTTGATATACTACATTGGTGATCGGTACACCTACCACTCCAAATGTTTGTTCAATACCTGAATTCTTTATAATCTTTGATATTATCTTTATATTCTCCATATTTGAAAGTACTTGATAAATAAAATAAATAAATAAATAAATAAATAAATATATGTATATTTAATTCAATGAACTTTTCTTCAACTCTTTAATTAATATAAAATATCTCTTTTGCTGAAAAATATGACAAATGCAAAGGTGTGAGGTGAACTTGATGAAAGTTTGTTGTTATTATTTATAATTATAATTATTTTTGTGTTTAAAAGAATGAAATGACAAGAATAAGGGAGAGTATCGTAATTCCTGTGAAGAGGGAGAAAGACACAGACATACAGGTACAAGGTATATTAATGCAGTAGGATGTTTAATCAAAAAAGGTAAAAGACACTTCACTATCAGACCCTAATCCGGTCGGATTTACTCAAAACAAGACTCTCACATAGAGAATCCCACCCAACTCAACTCTGACCTCAAACACTTTATTCTCTACTAAAACTATAGATCAGTTCACAGTTTCAAATACTCACAATTCAATAGATTCAACTTTTACTCTTTTAATTCATAAGTAGGTTTATTTCAAGACAATTCTCAATTCGAATCACGGAAAACTCTCAGCCCATACAAAGAAGAAAGATGAAGCTAAGCTCCATTCAATGGATTTGCAATATATAGTCGATTGAAAGTTTGTCTTCATCTTTCTTTCCTCCGGACAATTGATTGATCAATCCTTTGATCAATCCCCATTTAAGGTATGTATAAACATATATTAATATATTCCATTTTATTTATTTATTTATTTATTTATTGTGATTTCATAGATTCATAAATAAATTCATTATCATTTAATGGATCTATTCTAAAATTAATATTCTTTATAATGTCTTTGCTGTCGAGTTGTTGTTGTTGTTGTTGTTGATTATTATTATTATTATTATTATTATTATGATCTTTAGATTTTTTGTTGTTGTTCAATGCATTATTGTTATTGTTATTGTTTAATAGAATATTAAAACCATTTGTGAAATCATGTGTATGGATTTTACATGTGTAGCCTTGTTGGTGGGTAATGGGTGTGAGGAGTCCACCTCGACACAGTGCCGCCAGATTATCTGGTAGGATGGGTCCGTCCAATTCAAGACGATAGGTTTTGTTGTCGTTGGTGCCATTGCTCGATTCAAAGATTGACTTTTTGGTGGTGACCATTGCATTGCTGATGATTCTTGTGCATTTTATTGTGCCACCTGTAAATGGTTGCTTGGCAATGAGAACAGGGACATCACGACACAGGATCATCGAGTTGTAGTACTCTCCTCCACTACCACCGGTGGCCTGATCTTCCTCTAGATCATCCATCAATTTGGCCTGTCTTTGGTAATCAGATGACTGAATCTTTTTTGGAGTGTACAGTGTCTGTATTTCATTTGATCGAGACAATGATGACGCTGCCACGTCGTTACTGTTGGCTGATGCACTCTTGGAGATGGTCGCTACTCCAATATTGGCACGATTCTGGTGATATTGGTTGATCCAGATAAGACGACGCACAAAAAAGTGGTACATCTTGTCGACGCTCTCGGCATCTTCGACGAGTGCCAACGCACTCGACGCAGTTTGTTGTTGAAAGAGCGACACATCCATTGTCTTTCTCAGTGGACGTAGTGAATCGCCACCCATCGACTTCCTCGCTTTACCCAACTCTTTCAACTCTTTTTTCATTTGTTTCTCCTCTTCTGTCGTAATGACAACCTCTTCCTTTTTGGCGACTTTAACCGATTGGAATGGAAAAGTGTATTTAATTCCTTCTCCATCCAATAATGTTTTAATCTTGTAATTACATGGATTAATTGCTACTTTAATGCCAGCAGATGTAGGTGTGGATGTAGATGTAGAAGTATTTGCATCACGATAAAACATACAACACCATTCAGAATGCATTAAATAGAAATAATTTAAATTATTTAATTGTAAATTACGATATAATGATTCGTAACTTTGATACCTATAAATTTATAATAATACAATACAATCAAAATATTAATATTAATAAATGTTTTATATGTATGATTTGTTATGGTGTTGATTATATCATACCAATCCTCCCAACGACACTCCATCCATCTTAATTTTAGGGGATCGTTGATGACTGTATCATTTTGGACATCCCAAGGAATGGATGATGCTGGTGATAAATGATAGGTACATGCATCACGGAATTCTTTTTGTTGTTGTGTAGATGGGCACTTGAGAGCATCTGTACACCACGAAAAGCTTACTCCATTGGTTGAAAATGTTAATTGTGTCTTTAGACTAAGATCATTTGGTATGTGGTTACTTGTAATCGTTGATAATCTTTCCAATTCCTTTTGTTTCTTTTCCAATTCTTCTTTTTTCTTTGTTTCTTCATCTTGACCATCATCATTTACTTGATTCGATGATGATGTTGATGAAGTGGGTGAATCAACTTGCATTTTACTATTATCAGATGATGATTCCAAAAACATTGATAATAACTTGTTACTCTTGCCAGAGGAAGAAGAGGAGGAGGCTGACTTTTTAGCACCTCTATGATTATTGTCATTTGCAAATGGATTAGACATTGCAGGTGAAGATGTTGACAGCAGTGGTTTCTTTTTCCCAGATTTTGCATCTTCTTGTTGTTGTGTTGCATCTTGAGTAATTGATTCCAATGATGTCTTTAGCAATCTAATCTTCTTTACACTATGAGGTGTTTGAGGTATTTTACCAATATTAAACTTTAAAGTATCTCCAACACCATTATTATTATTCGTTGTTGTCGTCGTAGCCGTAGATGATATTGGTGAAGTTGTATTAACCAAGATATTTGATTTTGAAGGAGTATACTTTGTAAAACTAAATGTAGGTTTCTGAGGTGTCTTTGTCAATTCACCAATAGTAGGTGTAGTAGTAGTAGTAGTAGTAGATTGTTTCTCTTTCTCTTTTTCTTTCTCTTGATCCATCATAGTCGTAGTACTACTACTCTTACTACTACCATTTGAATTGATAGTGATTTCAGTATTAATTGTAACCTTTTTTCTCTTTATTGGATTATCATCCTTTTCTTTATCTATATCTTTGTCACCACCATTACCATCTTGTTGTTCTTCTTCCTCTTCCTCTACTAATTTATGTTTAGTTGCTTTTCTCATTTATTATTATTATTTGTATTCGTCGCGTTCGAGTACTTGAACTGAACTTATTCAAAAAAAAAAATCCAAAAAAGGGAGGGAGGGTGACGATCATCCATCTTTCATTATTTTTGAAAAGATTATTATTATTGTTATTAAATATATATTTTAAAAGATAATACACTATATTATACATTATTATTATTATTTGTTATAAAGAATATTTATTTATTTATAAACCTTTTTTTTTGTAAAAGAAGAGGAAAAAAACATATACACACTGTATACTAGTTGGTTTGTATTGTTGTTGTATACTACAGTTGTTGGTTGATTGGTTAGAGTTAACTTAACTTAACACATGTGGACAGCCTTGCAAACATGGTTGGCATCACCGTGCTTCTTGATTTCGTCGATGATGTGGTTCATGGTGGAGTGAACGATGCTCTTGCAGACCTTGACGGCTTCGTGGATACCGAGGTGGTTGCATTCTCCGTCCATGGCGGCTTCGATTTCATGGGCTGGACGACCGGCAACAACGTACTTTTCAGCCTTGCTGGCAATCATCTTGCAGGCCTTGCACTTTAAGTGCTTGAGTGGGTTCTTTGGGTGCCACTTGTGGTGCTTCTTTTCGAGTTGTTCGACGGCTTGGAGGTTGAAGAGTTCATAGTCAGAGTCATCAGAGTCAGAGTCAGAGTCGGATTCAACTTCAAAGAGATCTTGGAGGAGTGGCTCTTCACCAAACATGGACTTGCACATGTGAATTTGCTTGCAGACCTTGTCTGGGGTTTCGTGGGCGACCAACTTCTTGATGATGGTGACGGCGTTGGCAGAGACAATGTGTTCGCATTGCTTGGCCCACTTGTGTGGGAGACGGTGGCAGGCGCTCTCCAAGTGGTTGACGATTTGACGTTGGGTGTAGTTTCTCGAGACGAGGTCTTCAGTGGCCTTGACTACGTAGTGGCAGACATCGCATTTCAATTGGTTGTTGATGTGTGGCTTTCTCTCGAGCATGTCGTCTTGGAGATCCATACGGTCGGCACTGACAGTGGCCAACAAAGCGGCGAAAATTAAAAAGACAACTAATAAGAATTTCATTGTTGTTGTGATTAATGCACTTGGAATTTGGTGAAAATTGAATATGCAAAAGGTATATATATAAAAAAGGTAAGTTGATTTAGATTTGGATTGGATAAAGAAAAGAAAAAAACTAAACTAAAATATTTTTGATAAAATATAAAGATAGTTGATTAGATAGATGTTTGGATGATGATTTGATGGTGGTGTAAATGACATGATTAAATAGCAGTCGGTTACTCTACTCTAGAGCGAGAGAGCAAAGAAAAGAGTAAATTACGAAAAATAATTTAAATTGAACCCAGGAATTACATGTACCAAGGATGAGGACAAGGAGAAAAGAGAATTCATATTGCTCCATTGAAATTAAAAAATTATATGAGCTGTGTTGCCAGAGTAATTCAACAACGTAAATATCTAGAGTATCTAGTGAAGAGTTTTTTTTTTTAAACAGCTCCCTCCCAAATACGACAAGATCGGTGTATGGCCAGGCAAGCATCCGCAAACGCGAGGTTGCATTGACGACCTCGTCTAGTATGAAATCTTAAAGGGTGGGCTCCCACCACCACCACCATCATCATCGTCGACCATTGCAGTACTGTACCGACGGTCTGAAACTTTAGTTTTTCGTAAAAACTATGATCAACGGAACCTGCCCTAAACATAGTCTGGTATCGATCAGTTTTTTCAATTCGTAAAATATATTTTTTTGCGCCTGGTTAATAATAATAATAATTATAAGGGCAATTATTTGTATTTATTTATTTATTAAAAATAATATTATTAATTTTTATTATTATTAATATTTTCCGACGAAATATCGGAAATGGATAATCTCTTTTCAAGTTTGATAAATTTCCAACTTCACAACAAATTCTCGTAATCACTACTTGCTTGGTTAACTTTAGAATTTAAGTTTTGTATCTATTTTTTTATGAGTCAGTAAAAGATAAACAATTATTAATGATAATAAAGGTTCTGGTTGATGAACAAGACCTATTAGTTGTCTACTACACATTCTACTACATTGAAAATCCAAGCGATTTAGATTTTAATTAATAGTGCATGGAAAATCAAAGACTGGAACTTCAAAACTTTTTTTTCCTTTTATTTATTATTTTTGTTTATTTTCATTCCTTGTTTCTGCTGATTCTTCTTTTATCATGAATCAAATAAAATCTTTGAAGAAATAAAAGATTATTATTATTTTTTTAAAAATAATTGAAATTCGTGCACTCCTAGTTTGATGTTCATTCAAACTAATATTGCATCGCAAATTATAATAATCAAAAATGAAGTTGAAGTATTGAAAACCCACAGTACTCCTCCTCTCTCTTATACCCCTCCCCTTCCACAAGCATGTTGGTTGATCGCAGCATCAGCACTCACACACGCCGTCTATCAAAATGCGTGGTAAAAGAGCTGAGATAGACAGCGAACGATTGTAATAATATTATTATTATCAGCAGCATGCATCCATGATGATAATCATCGGTTCAATAAACCAATTGAAATTCAACCAGTCTCCTCTCCAAATTTAATAATAATACAATAATAAATAATATAATAATTGAACAACAAACATTCAAGTTAACTTTAAAGATTAAATCAACAAAAAGAAGAAAGATAATATAAATAGAAATTATAATCAAATAATAATAATAGTATAGTATAGAGGGATACATATGGCAGCAAATATATCACCTCTGATCGCAGGATCATCACAACAACAACAACAACAACAACAACCACCACTCAATGGAAGTAGTAATAATGCATTGAATCGTAGTACACCATCGATATTGGGTAACAGTACTATATCATTGGATATGTCAGGTAATGGCTATGAAGTGAGTCCATTGACATCATCGTCTGAAGAGTTGTTTGATTACTCACAACACGAACACTCTGAAGAATCAGTGTCATCCAATACACTATGGTACAAAGAGGCTATCTTTTATGAAGTCTATGTACGTGCCTTTTGTGATGTCGAAGGTACTGGAAATGGAGGTATATCAGGTATCACTGCAAAACTTGATTATCTTCATTCCCTAGGTGTTGATTGTATCTGGTTATTACCAATTTATCCTTCTCCTTTAAAAGTTTGTTAATCATAAATAATAACATATAACATATTAATTAATTAAATACTTACTTTCTTTTCTTTTTTTTTTTACTACCTCTTTTTAGGATGACGGATATGATGTAGCAGATTATTGTGATATACATCCAGATTATGGAACATTGAACGATTTCAAGGTATTGGTAAAAGCAGTACACGAAAGAAATATGAAGATTATAGCCGACTTTATTCCAAACCATTGTTCGGAACAACACAAATGGTTTCAAGAGGCTAGAAAAGACAGGAATTCACCTTTTAGAGATTACTTTGTTTGGAGTGACACTCCTACAAAATACAAAGAAGCTAGAATTATCTTTTTAGATGTTGAAACTTCAAATTGGGTAAGACAGTTAAGAAAAAGAAATAGAAAAAGAATGTTTAGATTATTAATAATCTTGTTTGTTTGTTTGTTTTAGACATTTGATCCAGTAGCAGGACAATATTATTGGCATAGATTTTATAAAGAACAACCAGATTTAAATTTTGATAATCCAAAGGTACAGCAAGAGATGCTAAACATTATGAAGTTTTGGTTGGATTTGGGTATCGATGGATTCAGAGTGGATGCAGTACCATATTTGTTTGAACGTGATGGAACGAGTTGCGAGAATCTACAAGAGACGCATGATTTCCTAAAAGAGATGAGAAAGTTTATCGACAATCAGTACCCGGGACGTGTCATCTTGGCCGAAGCTTGTCAAATGCCAAACGAGGTGAGAAAGTATTTTGGCGAGGGTGAAGGAGACGAATTCAACATGGGATTCCATTTCCCAGTGATGCCACGTGTCTACATGTCCATCATGAGAGGTGATGGTCAATGTCTCAAAGAAATCATGGAACTGACACCACCTATCCCCGCCACCTGTCAATGGGTCACATTCCTTCGTAACCATGATGAACTCACCCTTGAAATGGTCACTCCCGACGAAAGAAAGGAAATGTGGGCTCATTATGCTCCCATCCCAAGAATGAAAATTAATCTTGGTATTAGAAGAAGATTGGCTCCTCTTGTATGTACAAATTTACATATACAATACTATATACAAACATTTATATTTATTTTTATTTACATTTATTTTTCATTTTAGTTGGACAATGATCAAAGAAAGATTGAATTGGCATATTCATTATTGTTTACATTGCCGGGGTCACCTATTATTTATTATGGCGATGAGATTGGGATGGGTGATAATATATGGTTGGAGGATAGACATGGAGTTAGAACACCGATGCAGTGGGATGACTCGTACCCTAATGGAGGGTTCTCAACGTCGAGACACCCCTATTCACAGGTGATAGACGATCCCATCTATGGATACCAACGTGTCAATGTCAAGGAAGCTGAGAAGGATCCGTCTAGTCTATTCCACATCATTCGTCAGATGATCCAACGTCGTCGCAAACACATGTCGTTTGGTCACGGCTCCTTTACATGGGTCCCTACCAACAACCGACACGTTACAGCCTACCTACGTGTATTTGGTATTGATCGAATGTTAATTATCCATAACCTTACCAATGAGCCACAATCATGTACTCTCAAGATACACAAAGACATGCAAACTCAATGGAGGACTCCAACTCCCACAAGAAGAAAAGATGGTGCTCAACAACAACCAACTCAACCACAACAACCAGCTCAACAACCAGCTCAACCACATATAGTAGGACCAACAACATTATCAGCACACGATGTATTTGGAACATCGGCTTCATTTAGCACACAAAAAGATTTAGCTAGAAAGTTGTTATCAACGATTGACGATGATCCTCAATCCCATTATTTGGTTGATATCCTGACCGACCATCAATGCATGATTGATACCAACGGTGTAGTTAAAATCGATCTTGACCCATACCAATTCTATTGGTTCTCAATGGGTGAACTCAGTACCCTCGGAGGTGGAACTGCATCAAGAGACCTAAGAAGAAAAAGTATTGTTTGTCATCAATAAATCAAAACAAAAAACAAAACCAAAAACAAACAAAACAAACCAAACAAACCAAACAAACCAAATTATTATAATATTAATATTAATAATAATATCAAGGAATACAATAAATATATTTTACCTTTTTTAAAAGAATGAGGTTGGTTTGGAAGAGGAGTGTAATGTAATGATTATGCTAAAACAAAAGGGGATGAATCCAAAAGAGTCATAGGGATGGATGGAAACAGCACAATTCAACTGACCGTTGTCTTGCAAGAGTTATAGTGAGTCATGCCACGCATAGGACATGCAAAGATGATGGTGGCATTGTTTTTGAAAACAACCCAAACCTTTAAAAACCAAATTCTCCATGAGATTCCAAACAAACATTTGTTAAAAAAAATAAATAAAATTAAATAAAAATAATTCACGACACCCACCTACCTACAGTGTATTGAAAAAAGAACTTCACAAAGATGCAATTTAACAACACACCCAACATTGAATTTAGTAGTAGTAATAATAATATAGATAATAATAGTATAGATAATAATAATAATAATTTATTGATAAATCATAATCATCATCATTTATATCGTCGTCATCATATTAATAATAATATGACTAATAATAATATTAACAATAATGGTAATGGTAATGGTAATCAGCAACAACAACAACAACACAAAGATGATATCATAAAGACACATAGTTACCGAATTATGAAACAAGGAGATGATCAAATGATCTCTTCTGAAGAATCGACGACAAAGACAGAAAGTGTTATCTCTACCATTACTACCACATCTACTACATCTAATAATAATAATAATAATAACTCAAGATTAATATCATGTTATTCTGTATATAAACAATACGAACCAAAGGAATGTCTCAAAGATGATGCATCACAAGAAAGAGACTTTCAAAAAAGAATCGATACGTTGTACCCACCCGACTACAAGGACAACATCCGCCAAGAACAGATTCAGTTGCTCGAGCAATGTAAAAAGGGTCTAGAATGGAGCATTGTCATTTCAGATTGTGCAGGCATCGAATTGGCATTACAACAACTTAAAAAGTACATCAACTTGAAATATCCTCTCTCAAAGGCCGACTATGAATACTATATCATCACTCTATTCAATTTATTATACGATGGTAAAGTTAATTCAATCGATAATAGTATCATGGCTTTTTTAATTATTCTTTTAATGTATGTTACAACAAATATATAAAAGATACAAATCATTTAAAATCACACTTTATATTAATAATATTCATTTGTTTGTTTGTTTGTTTGTATGTTTGTAGTCATGGAAAGAAATTAATTGATATTGTAATTGATTGGGTACCTTTATTTAATATGTTTAGAAAATATTATAATTATAATATTGTTCCTCAAACCATGTTGAATGAACATGTTAGTAATGATATAAAGTATGTTATTCGTATTTATTTATTTATTTATTTATTTAATTTATTTCTAATTTCTCTTTCTTTTTTTTCTTTCTATTTAGTAAATATAAAAGAAATATTCATTCATTGATTATTGCAAGTAGACCATTTTTCAGTATCAATGCATTTGAAGAGATTATGGAACAAGTTAAACCATTACTTTGTCCACACTCAAATACTGTGTTTGTTGGATTGTTTACAATGACTGTTATGTTGCCAACACATCATTTGGCAAGTCACACCTCGATTCCATCATTTGCCTATGAATTTCTATCGTATTGGGAGTGGATTGAAAACAACAACGATTGGGATGAACGTTGGCTCATGTTGTTGAGTCGTGTCATCAAGCATTCGATCAATGTCAATTGGACCGAGTTGGCACCACGTCTCTACACTCACTTTATCCGTGTCGTCGACTTGTCCATTGGTAATCCAAAGTTTGCTCATTTGAAACCACTCAAAAACAACATCCCAGTGGCCATCAAGATTACAAGAGATGAAAACATTGAATTCACTACAATGGGTCGTACCATTGCCTCGTTGATCAACTATCAAGGTGATACATTGGATTTGGTGAATCGTTTCTTTTCTTCCATCTCTTCTTATTTCCATCCAAGTAATCATGGTGAATGGTCCATCTCTCTTTTAGAATTAATTATTTCAACTTGTCATAGTTTTACTAAAAAACATCTTAAACGTAAGCAAATAGATTGTTAAAACTGACATTGTACAATATTAATATTAATATTTTTTACTTTTCTTTTTTTAGAACCATTTAATCAAGAAATTATAAAGAGATTTTATGCAGATATATTCCCTCATGTTGAAATTACATTATATTCAAAAAAGAAAAATAATATTTTAAATACTTGTAAAATTGTAAAAGAATTATGTTGTATGTATAGAATTAGAAAAAAAAAGTACAAAGTATCATTATTATTAACCTAAATATACTTTGTTTTTAGATATTGCACCACAAATCATTTTACCAAATTTATTGGAAAAATTGTATGGATCGATTGATAAGGAAGAAGTAAATAGAATTGTTAGTGAATTGGAGGTTATTTCAACTTGCTTCCATCCTTTAATTGTTCAACCAGAACTATTCCCAGAAGGGAAATCCCATGTATATAATTTAATGGTACTAGCCTTGAATAATATGGATCCTATTCATCCAAACAAAGCTTCTGCTGCTTTTAAATTCTTTAATAGTATGTATAAATATAAATATATGTAAATATCAACTAGTCAATTTATTTATTAATTTATCTTTTCTTTTTTTTTTTTTTTTTTAGGAATATTTTCATGTGTTTTATTAAATGATGAAACGATTTATTTAACTGATACAAATAATTCAAATGAATTTGATACTAGTGCAACTTTGGCAACTTCATCATTCCTCGATTGGTCTTTATTATTTTTAGATTCTGTTTTAAATTTTGTAAGTCATTTAAGTTAAAAGATAATCAAGTCAAGTTTGACCAAATACTTACAAATTCTTCTATTTATTTTTATTTAGATTCGAAATGCATCAACAAAAAAAGAATTTGCAGAACATAAAAGAGTTACACCACCAGGAGTATTTTTACATGAAACAATTGGATTATTCTTTTGTCAAATGTCTGATGAAGTGTACAATGCGGTATTGGAAAAATTGGTACATTTCTTTAAAAAGACATTTGAACCAGACTATTACAAACAATATAGTGCCTTTTTATGTGCTGCTACACTTCGTAACCCGACCAAGTCATTGGCCACTCTATTGCCAGTGTTTATAAGCAAACTGTTTACCAAGCAACAGGATGCTCAGGGTAGCAACAAATACCAAATCAGAGACTTGTCGGACGAAGAATACAAATGGTACATTCAATTGATGGGATACACAGTCTTTAAGAGTGGTGCTGCTCTCTTGAATCATCAAGACGAATTTATCAAGATTTGCAATGTATTGTTTGAATCCAACAACAAGGTCATCATCAAACAAGTAAGCAAGGTTGTAAGAAAGTCCATCTTTTCTCTTACTCGTTACTATCCATCAAATAATCGATCGATTCCAACTCCACTCTTTGTTGAAAAGGTCAATCATACCAAATATTGGGGTATCACTGATGAATCTATTATTTATCCTATTGAATGGTTCCAACCTGTATGTCAAAACAAATTAAATAGAGAATTATATGTATATTAATATATATTTTTTTAATTTTTTTTTATAGACCAAAGAAACAACAGAATTTTCAAAAAGATTAATTGAATTATATTTAATTGAAAGAGTTGATAGATTGGATAAATATATTGACGAGATTGTAAATACTCCAGTAGCATTTGATAGAATGAAATCATTTAATTATTTAAAGTCGACGCATAGTATTCTTCGTACTGCCGTGTTTTTGATGAATGATGACGATCTCAAACCTGCCAAGATCGATGACTCTTGCAAGTATATCTATCCAAGAATGGTCCCATCTCATGGAAGAATCACAATTGAAAGTATAAAGAATGAACCACAACACATCTACCGTGTCATTCGCCGGTTACTCGATTTTGTGCAATCACAAAAGAACGAAGAGATTAGTGTACTCAAGGGTATCTCTAAATGCTTGCTCTCACTCAACTATGGGTTCTTAGATATTCAAGATCGTACGAGTGAAGCGCTCTTTTCCAAATGGAAGAATCTCAAACGTTACAAGACGAGAAATGCAATCATCTTTAAGGGATACAAGGCACATCTGCTCCGTCAAACCATTGCCTCTGAAAAATTGCCTCTTACCAATACCACCCAAAGCTCCTTGTTTGACCTTCTCGGTCTGTCGGTTCATCGATACAAACAACTTCGTGCCGTCGCTCAAGATGCATTGACACGTGTCGCTCAACATCACGTCGGAGGTGTCTCTTCAATCCTACCAAAATTGGTTGAAAACTTTACACAACAACGTTCCGATGAGGAAATCAAAGGCAGTATCTATCTAATGTGTAACAAGAATGTCTTAAAGAAACTTAAAACAAATTGGAAATGGATTCAATCTCTATCAAATACTTTTATTAATAGTTTTGATAGTAAATTCAAGGTAAATTAAAAAAAAAAAGAAAAGATAAAAAAAGTATTATATATCTAACTTTTTATTCTCTCTATAGACAACAACTAGGGAAACATTTGTTAAATTTAAACATCAATTTATTTTATCAAAATATGAACCAGTATTGATTTACCATTCATCAAATCAAATGATGGATTTGGATCATTATTCTCCAACTTCTTCAATGCCATCAAAAGATATACTATCCAAACAAAAATCTTGGTTTGAAAAGAAGAATCTTGCAAATATTGAATACTTACGTCAAATTGTATGTATAAACAAAACAAATAATATAGTCAAAAAAAAAGAGTAGTGATTAATTATCTTTTTTTTATTTTAGGTTGAAAATATTATTGATAGATTAAAAGTTCATGAAAAGAAGGACAATTTAACATGGAAAGATTTAATATTCCTTCAAACCTTTATGATTTATTTAATTGCAACATTTATTAAATCCATTTCATCATCTGATCAAGATCAATTAAAATCTGCCTTGTTGGGTTCAATCGTCATTACTCCACAACAACAAGCAAACAACAATGGTGGTGGTGGTATTGGTGTTTTTGGTGAAGTTTTGGTTAAAAACATTAGTATGATTAAAGATTCTATTATTAGTATCTTTAAAAATATGAATAGTGATTATCCAATCACCAGAATTTTATCGTATGTAGAAAAAAATGATAATTATTATCTTTTTTTAACAATTAGAAACAAAATAATTAACTATTTTCTATTTTATAGAATTAATTTAATATCACAAATATTATTTGAACAGAAAAAGGGTACTAGAGAAATTTGTTTTGAACATTTTTGGAATAATGATGAAACAGCTGTTGCTGCAGATGAAAAGATGGATATTGATCGTAATGGAAATGATGGAGATCAAGAAATGGAACAAGCTCGTGATGACAACAACAACGAATACTCTGTATTACTATGCGATGAAGAAGATAACTTGATCATGAAATCTCTATCAAGTATTATTGTACCATCTATTCAATCAGTGTTTGACGATCAATTCCTTGATAAATTGGTATCCTACATTATACAAGATCATGATGTTGAAAGTCAAAGTCATAACATTGGTTGTGCCATCTCTGCTAAAAACTTATCATTACTATGGCCAAACTCTAGACATCCAGTTGGTGTATGTTTAAAATATTATTTCAACAAATCAAAGAACATACTTATTTAATCTATCTTTTATATATTTTAGGCAAAATTATTTAAATTACAAAATGCAAAATTATTTTATAGCTTCTTTGCATGGAATGAACAATTTTATCCAAGACTTGTCAAGCAAATTGAAGCATTGAAATTAAAGAATGATAAAGAAGATCAATCAATGTTGGCAGAAATGGTTGCCGGCTTGGGAAGATATGTCACAAGTGGTAAACATTCTGATCATTTCAATAAGCAAGATGCCATCAACTACTTGACAGACCTTTTACTCACCTGTTTGAATAATTGTTCAAATGAATTAAATGAAACTTGGATTTTGGTTATTAGATTCATTTCCTATAATACTAAAATTGCCGATTTGAATTGGTTAGTTGGTATGTTAACATAATAATATTAATAATTGAAACAATTTGGTTATATATTAATAATAACCTTTCTACTTTTCTAGAAATATTATTTAAATTATATAATAATCCATTAAATATATTTTCACAAGCAAAATCGATTAGATTCTTTAAGGCATTGGTATTTGAAATCACCTATAAATCTACTGATTTGTTGGATAAATTTATGAAGATTTGTCTCAAAGAGTTTTCAAATCCTCATAAACAAGTTCGTGATGAAGTATATAAATTATTTGTAAATGTATGTGAAAATCAAATCAATCAATATCTATATATATATATTTGAAATATAACCAACTCCTAACCTAACCTATTTAATTATTTATTTTAGGTATTAATTTATCAAAGTAAATTTTTAAATCAAGACAATACAAGAGTATTGATTTTGGAACCACCCATTCTACCAAATGAATCAATACAAACGTTTTCTAGTATTGTTGCTGAATGTACAAACCAATCATTGACCACTGAAGTTAGAAACAGTGTCAAGGAGACGTTTATTGCCATGGTATCGAGTGCATTCTCAAAGGGTTTCTCCAACATCATGATGAGAATCACTCCAAGCATGTTGCCGACACTCTTTTCGTTTACGTCAGACACGAACCAGGACATCTCCAAATCAGCCATGATGTGCATTGCTTCGATGGCACAAGGATTTTATTTGGACCAACAAGTCTTGTCCCAGCTCATTCAACAACTTCAAACCATTGCCCAATCCTCATTCTGGAGAGTCAGACGCTCCATTCTCCCATTTGTTCAAATCATGTACTTTAATCACGCACTCTTTTTATCGTCTGAACAAAGTGATGCCTTTTTCGATCTCGTCCTCGCCCTCATCAGAGACACCCAAATCGAAGTTAGAGAATTGGGTAAAGATACCTTAGCTTCCATGTTGGTATCTAGTAAAACAAATCTAACAAGAATCTCAAAGTTTATTGTATGTATAAATTAAATATAATATAATATATTATATTATAATATATAATTTAGTTGCAATAACTAATAATAATAATAATATTTTTTCAATAATAATAGGAAACAAGTATTAAAGGATTAAAGAATTCAAAGATTACAAATGAAAATGTTACTCAAAAACATCAATACATTTTAATTCTAAGTTCCATCATTCTTTCATCACCATATCAGATCCCAAGCTACTTCCCACCGATTATGGAGTGTCTGTCTGGATATTCCAGTGCTATGCCTCCCATTAGAGATACAGTTCAATCAACGTTATCAGAATTTTGGAGAACACACAAGAGTACTTGGGAAGAAGAGAAACTTCTTTTCAATGAAGAACAGAGAGAAATGATTAGAGGTACTGTAGCTTATCCTAGCTATTATGCTTAAATAATAAATAAATAAAATAAAATCCAAAAATATTTAAATTAAATTAATTAACAAACGAATCTAACCTCCCTAAAACAAATAGCTGCCAATCTCCAACCTTTCCATGGTTTTATTAATCAAAATTAAATGTGTTTAATTCATTTTGTTGCGATAAAAATCTCCCGACTTTTGATCAGTAATTGTTAAACAATTCAATAAATAATTAAACATTTTAGAAAGAGAAAGAGATAGAAAGAAGAAATGGGAAGTTTATTTAAAGCAGGAGCAAACAGAAACAAAAAAGAACCTGTATACTTAAATGTATACGATCTTCATACTGGTAATGTCATTATAGGAGGATTAAAGTGATCCAACCAACAACATTATTCTAACTCATCATTATCATTCAATCAACAGTAAACAGCTACTTTTATCCAATAGGACTTGGTGCATTCCATTCAGGTGTTGAAATATTTGGTGTTGGTAAGTGTAGAAGCAAAGGATGACTGATATGATATTACTTTTATACTCATTTATTCATCATCACATTAAAACAGAATATTCTTTTGGAGGACATGAATTTTCTTTTAGTGGAGTATTTGAAGTAGAACCAAAGAGCATAGAGAACTTTAGAGAATCTATATTACTTGGAGAGACATCTAAATCAAAAAGTCAAATCAAAGCAATCGTTGATGAAATTGCTGAAGAGTTTCCTGGTTTATCTTATCATCCACTTCAAAAGTAAGTTTTAAAATATATTAAATAGTCTATTACATAATTACTTACTTATTATTTCTATTCATTTATGTATTAGAAATTGTAATTCATTCTCACAAGCATTTGCAAAGAGAATATTAAATGTTGATATACCCAACTATATCAATCGGTTGGCATATATTGGAAATATGTTTTCTTGTTTTATACCAACTGGTGCTTTGGCAACTCCAACAGGACAACCACAACAACAAACTGGTTCATCAAATAACAATAATAGAGGAGGTGGAAGAGCAAGTGAATTGATCAATTCACCAGTATCATATAAATCAAACAATGGCAGCAACAATGAATATAATGATAGATCACGACTATTTCCAGGTGATGGATATTCTTTACAATCACCTACCACTACGAGTTATGGATCTACCAATAGTGGTGTGATATCATCATCGTCATCATCCAACGCCACAACCATGTCATCACCTCCACTCATACTCACCTCGGATTCAGATTCAGACAATTCTCAACCAAATTCACCATCTTTATCATCTCAACATCTGACAGCAGAAGCAAGTGACAGAAGAAGAAAAATGTTAGAAGCTCTTGGAAAAAGATTAATCATTTCTGTCAATCAAGAGGAAATGGAATCTCAAAAACAAAAGGATGACAAAGAAGAGGAAGAAGAAGATGAAGATGAAGATGAAGAGGAACCAAACTCCACAATTGAAAATCAAAGTTTAGTTCAATAATAATAATAATAATAATAATAATAATAATAATAATAATAATAATAATAATAATAATAATAATAATAATAATAATAATAATAATAATACAAAAAATATAAATATATATATACTAACAATGTAAATAATTAAAACAATTAAAAAGATACTATCTTTATTTCAAACCTAAACTAAATTTGGAATAATATATTTAATAGTGTCTTCATTAATGAGACTGCATATTCAAAATAGCCCTCTTGGATCTTCTTGACATAGCCAAGATCAATGATTACAACACAAAGTGTGGGATGCTTCTTTGTTTGGTCAATGAACTTTCCAACATGTCGGCGACTCAAATATGATAAAAACCAGTTTTAGAGAAACGCTCAATCTCCTTGGAAACCAAACCAATAAAGTCCTGATTGTGCCAATCAGAGTCTACCGCCACACTAAAATATGGAACTAGTAATGCTGGATCCCTAATAAGAGTTATTATCTATTACCAACAACCAATTAATTATATTGTCTTTTGAAAAAAGTAGAGTTTTGCATACAAAATTGCATTTTACGTACAGGTGTAGTGATGTTATAGGCTATTTTCCAGATATTGGCCTCTTTAGCTAGAACTTTTTTTGGGTCTGGAATGTCTTTATCCTGTCTGACATACTTGATGACAAAGACCGATCCATTCTCTGTTGATGCCATCCACAATCTGCAGCGTGATTGAACCATTCTACTTCTAAGGTCTTTGATCAATATAGCAGATGACAAAGATTCGTTTGGACAAACCCCTTCATAGGAGAGTGTCATATCTTTGAGTTTGACCCAATTCCAAGATTCCTTTGTTACTCGGATGTAGGATCTAGTCGGGCTGATCAAAAGGACTGGTTCACGAGGTGAGTAATACATCTTTAGAATGGTGGAACATAGAATAGGAACTAGAGAGCTAGAATCATATCGAATTAAATTGGTTCCGTAGACCATCCCGGGGGTATTGGGAATCTCTTGGACTTGTATGTTTGATGATCCCTTTGGAGATGAGGATCGAACAGGAACAGTGTCTTGATCAACTAGTTGATGTGGTGAGAATTGGGATGGAGTGTATGGTGAGCTAGCAGAGTGATCCGAATCTGGAAGCCAATAGACCCTCCACTGTTCATAACATGTAACTATTCCAAATACATTTTTTTGTCCAGTGTAACTACGTAATCTCTCCATATAATTAAATATTTGATCATGAACCTCTTCATTGGCCATATTATTATTCTTTGGCTCCTTGATTCCAACCACACCAATAGGAAGCCCAGACATTGTTACAATAACCCATACATCTGGTTGAAGTCCCGTTATAGACGAATCATTGGTACACCAGAGATGTTGTCTTAGACCCACGTTGTCAATGAGCTCAATCAAGATATGCCTGAAATGATAGTAAATGCAGGCAAAGTTGTACCATACTAGACTTTCATTCTCGGAAGATATCCAGATTGTTGAAGTGCTCAACGTATCCTGATCAGGAGGATAATTGATGTTGGTGAAATCTCTCACTACTAGTTTACTATTTATGTTTGTTGGTGTTGGTTGGTTCCATAATAAAGGACTATTGTACTTTGGTTCTAATTTTGGGAGACCATCAATCGAGATACGGCGAACTAAATTGAATTGGTTAGAATGATTGCTGAGGAGTCGAATGAATCACTAGTGAACTTACCATTAAAATTTAACATTGTACCTTTAGAAATTCTAACAATGAATAATAAAGTGGACCATAAGCGTCTCTATTTATGATATTTCACTTTGAATATAGTTGACCATGTTGTTATAGTAATAGGCCTTTAAAAGAATAAATAAAAAAAGTTGTCGTGTTAGATCATAGGTATACCCTTCTTGTGATAAAAGCCTTTACTCACCAATTAAAACATCCGCCTTTAGATGCACAAGGCTTGTTGGAAGGAAAAAGAAAAAGATTCTTTTCTTTTTTTTTTGGTTTATTTAATTTATATATTTACACTTTTGTGTTTGTTTATCAAGTTTGGTTTGTTGGAAGAAAGAAAAAAAGAAAATTAATATTATTATTATTATTATTGTTGCAGTTAGTGTTAATTAATTATTATTATTATTATATAATATATTATTATTATTTTTGTTTTTTGTTTTTGTTTTTGTTTAGAAATCAGCATTTAAATCAAAAGTTCTAGAATTATTTCCTGAATTTGATGAAGATGAAGAAGTTTGTTTGGCAACACCAGCCTTTGCATATTCAGATACCTTTCCTTCGAAAAAGTTTGCCTTTCGCATGAGTGAAATCATTTCCATCCAATCAAATGGATTGGCAGAATTGTAGATTTTCTTGTAGCCAAGCGAGACGAGGAGACGATCGGCACAGAATTCAATGTATTTGGACATTTCACGACTGTTCATGCCAATGAGATCGACGGGCAACGAGTCAGTGACAAATTCCTTTTCACATTCGACGGCGTCACGAATGATGGATTCGATGGTCTTGACGTCGAGCTTATTGTTGAGCTTGTTATAGAGAAGACAGGCAAAGTCGCAATGGAGACCTTCGTCACGACTGATCAACTCGTTGGAAAAGGTGAGACCTGGCATGAGACCACGCTTCTTGAGCCAAAAGATCGAACAGAAACTACCACTGAAAAAGATACCTTCAACGGCGGCAAAAGCTACCAAACGTTCGGCAAACGACTTGGAGTTGGTAATCCATCTCAAAGCCCAGTCAGCTTTTTTCTTTACACATGGAATAGTTTCAATTGCATTAAATAATACCTTTTTTTCATCTGGATTTTTAATATATGTATCAATTAATAAACTAAAAAAAAAAAGAAATAAATAAATAAATAAATAATAATTAATATATATTATCCTCTTCTCTCTCTACTTTGATTCTTATATTTACCTATAAGTTTCAGAATGAATATTTTCAATGGCAATTTGAAAACCATAGAAACATCTTGCTTCAGGTATTTGAACTTCAGACATGAACTTGGTGGCAAGGTTTTCGTTGACAATACCATCAGAGGCAGCGAAAAAGGCCAATACATTCTTGATAAAGTGACGTTCATTGTCATTCAATTTATTCTCCCATTCGTTGACATCACTTGCCAAATCAATCTCTTCGGCTGTCCAAAAGCTTGCCTCTGCCTTTTTATACATATTCCAAATATCGGTATATTTAATTGGGAATAGAACAAATCTATCCTTGTTCTCTTTTAATAATGGTTCTTCCATGATTGCTTGCATATTATATTATTATTATTATTAAACTTTAATGATGTTGTAAACTTGTTAAATGAATGTAATATATAATGACTTCTTCTTGCGCTTAAAGATGTCTATTGTTTTTTTTTTTTTGATTGAGACTGACAACTAATGATTAGATGAGTTGTTTATGATATGATTGTTTGTTGTAACTGTTATTGATTATTATTAGTTGTCTTATTATTACCCCACAATGCGATTTACTAGAATTCTGCCCTTGCTATGGGAACTCATTAGAAAAAAATTTAAATTTAATTTTATTGATTCATTTTGGCGGGAACTTGCTTTTGCGGTTAAAAAACCCAAGCACTTCACAAGACACCAGCACGATACCGCTACCGAGGGTATACGATACGATATGCACACACATTCTTCTTCTTCTTCTTTTCATCATATTCCGGAACATGAAACAAAACAATAACATTATATTATAATTAGTGTTTGTTTCGTCACTATGATGATTGATTGATTGATTGTACAATTATAAATAATTTATTTGTTTTATTATTATTTTTTGTCAAGATAGACAATTGGACTATTACTGCTACTACTATTATTATTATTATTACTGCCATTTGAAGAATTTGTAGTTTCTCTACTAATACTACTGTTTCCACTTGTACTACCACTATAATCTCTTGTACTTGTTGAATTGTGGTGTCTTCCACGAGCAACACTTTCACGTAGATGAATACCGCTGTTACCACTGTTACCGCTACCACCAGAAGTGAATTGAGAGGTGGTACCTGATATCTTGATGGTCTTTGAAACGAATTTAGGCATTGACAGTGGGATTTGATTGTAGGTGATAAAGAGAGTGGCAACTGGAACCAACTCTGTGATCAAGAGACCGGCAAAACTGAAATTAATGTTGGAAGGACTGACACTTACCAGTACAATGATAAAGATACAATGTAGTACAAAGCCAATCGAACAGATGGCAGCCATTGTAAATGTCTTGGCCTTTTGAGTACTTTGTTGTGAGTCTTTGGCATGAATGGCTGAGAATTGACGATAGATCTTTAGACCAAAGTAGATAAATGCAATACCAATGACTAGTGACAATAGTGCTTGAATAACTGCATACAAGATCGATACTACATTTTGAGGTGTAGTATTTGAGAATGAAGTCACCTTTCTACCACCACAAGTTGGTGGATCATTTTCATTGGTGAAATTAAACACCAATACAATGATGACAAAGAAGAGGTAGAGTACAGAATTAGAGACTAGAATTAATTTGTTGATCACCTTGAATACGTTTTGGTACATTGTGATATTGGTGTTACTAAGAATATACCAAATCGTAATGACTATAGTAAACGATGTAAAGTATAAAAAGGTTGGTAATACTACAAGAATATATTCTCCTACATTTGGTCCACTTGGTAATTGATTACTTGGTAATATAAAGAAATATATACATCTAACTATAATTATTAAGATAAAAAAAAGAAAAAAAGAATAATAATATATTAATATTAATATTAATAATATTTATACATTCCATTTGTTTGATTTGTTTTTTTTTTAACATACTTAGAGAAAAACAAAATAAAAAGAAAAATAATAAATAAACTACTTTATAAGGTTCCTTTTTAATAAAGAAACAATAAGAGAAATGAAGGAGTTGAGCGAATCCAAAGACTGTTAGGATGAGGAAAAGTGCTGCAAGGGTATGGATCATTCGAGTGTCGCTGTCAGAGAATGGTTGGAAGGGAGCTGTTTCCCAATCGTCGGTACGAGCAATCATGATATAGTCATTGGTGCCAATTGATTCTGGTTTGGGAACACGACAACATTTTTGGTTATTATTGTTTTTGTCACCGGTTGGGTTGGTTGTTTCGGATGGGTCTATGGGTGGGACGATAGATCCATTAAACGTACATCCAAACGCGGTGATACTGCCAGAGTCGGGATCGATGAGTGCAAAGTCGATGGTTGGGTATTGGTCGACATCGTATTTGAGGGTTTGTGTGATACAAATGTCGATCGATTGGACACCCTCGTCAAAGATACGCAGTGAGACACCGTCGGATATGACACGACCGACGACGGCACCGGCACCGTTATAGACCGAGTAATCTTCGGGTGGAATATATGTGACAAACGAAGAGGCGAGAGCAAAGACACGTTTGGCGATAAACTGGTCCGAGTAGAGATCGGCAATACCCACCAAGACACAAGTGTCTGGTGCAATAGAGTCGGCGACAAACTGGACAGTCGCATGGTTATTGAGAAAGTTGGTTGTGGTGATACCATTGCATGGGTTGAGAATGGTGTTGGACGACGACTCGATCGAATCAAAGCATCTGTCATTCGACTCATCGTTGAAACACGAGCATGTCAATGACTCGAGTGCATTCTTGCTGGTCGATACACGACAGAGTAGTTGTGACTTGTAGACGATCGATTGGAGACGCTCGGTGGCCGTCTCAAAGATACCAAAGAACTTTTCAAACGAGAGTGCCGACGAGTAGTTGGTGTAGGGCACGATACCACGGGTAGTCTGCCAGCTGAGCTGCGACGCCTTGGCGGGTGTCCACACAGCGGGTGTCCAGTCGAATTTAGGGATCCATTGGTCACCCTCGGCCGTGCACTGGGATTCATCCTTTTCGTTGAACCGAAGTGTCGATGGGAGGATGGCGTTTTGGGAACGGTCGTACCCCTTGCAGCCGTACCCGTACGCTGTGCATTGGGCTTGTGTCGTGGCCATGTTCCAGACGGACCCGCCGTGGCCTTGGCAATAGGCGGCGGCCGTGTCGGCGAGGTTGCCCGAGTAGCAGCCCATGGGACTGTCTTGCTGGTCGGGCTCGGTGCATTGGGGTGTCGCGGCAAGGATGTCTGACTTGCCGTATGGCACGAGACACTTGGGGTAGACAGCTGGATAGGCAGCGATCTTGGTCTCGAAATAGTACGAGTCTGAGCACTTGCCCTTTTGCGCAAGACATTGGGCTTGGGTGGCGCACTCGACTGGTGTAACAGTACACCCGCACACAGGGAACGATGCGTCGCCGCAAGTCGTGCATTGGGATGCAGAGAGTGACCCGCAGGTCTGGAAACGCTGTGTCAGGTTGCCGGCCGACTGCGTGCATTGAGCGGCGGTAAATGCGCCTGAAAAGACACAGTATATGGACGAGCCGTAGTTGACCGATGTGACAGCATCAAATGGCCCGTTAAACTGGGGACACTGGAGCTCGTCGGGTGCAAGCTGGATGACACACGAGTTGGGAGTGGCGCATTCGTACCCGCATGGCACACTGCAGCTGCCATACTGCTGCGCGCATTGGTTGGGGTCTGTGACGATGGGGTAGTAGTTGGCAGGGTCGTGGAAGAGTGCAGGGTTGAATGTTTCAAAGTAGCATACGTGGTTGGTGGCACAGTTGGATTGGGTGGCGCCGGGAGCAACGATACAGTTACGCGTGGGGTCGGTCGAACAGTCGCCGCAAAAGCCGGTGGGACGCGAGGGTGAGTCTTGGCACTCGGCGACGAGGTCGTTGTAGGTGGTCGTGTCGAGGGTGCCGTCAGCGCCGAGCCAGTCACACTTTACGTAGCGACTGCAGAGGTCTTTCGAGGAGAACCACGAGATCCACTTGTAAATGAAACCGCCACGCATCGTAGCATCATAGTGTGTGATGCCGGCGGAACGGTCGAGTCCGTAGACACTGGGGAACGCGCTGCCCTGTGCAAACTGATCGACCGTGTACTCGTAGACGTATCTCGACCAATAGTTGACGCCATAATAGGAGACGCAGTCGTTTGCCTGGTTCTGGGTATGCAAAAACTCTGCAATCGCGTCCTTGTCCGACCGAATGTCGTCGAGTTCAAACATAGTAACCACTTCATTCATAATCGAGATGGGCATAGCTTCAACGATGCATCCGACAAAGCTACGCTCGATATAGTTGGCAGGTACATTACACTCACCGCGACGATAGTTGCAGTAGGAGCCTGTGCCAAATGATGTGCAGTCACTATCCTGCGTGCAGTTGGCTGCTGGGATGACGCTAGCGTGACAGGCACGGAACACTGTATACAACTCATCCTCGATCGAGTCTTGTTGCTCTTGTGCAAAGTCGCATGGGTTTTGCTCGGCCGTCTGAAGTGTCTGTGCATAGTTGGCAAGCACCGAGTTGGCACACGACGCAAACGTGCATGTGTCGTTGACGCGCTGCGAATCAATCGACTGCAGTGTCAAGAGTGACAGTGTCGTGTTGTGCGGCTCGCATGTCCCGCTAAACGACGCGTAAATGCTGCAGCAAGGGTCGGCGAGATACGTCGCCATATCGCTGGTCGCCGCGCATCTCGACGAGTTTTCAAGAGTGTATTGCGACGTTGCAAAGGTGATCATCGACATGACATCCTGTTGACAGTAGTAATAGGGGTCGGAGTAGATCAACAAATCATACTCGTACCTTAGGCTCGTCGTTATATCAGTCTCTTCGAGAATAACATTCTGCAGCGCATCGATCTTTTTAAACTCGTCGTACACGCAGACTGGGTCTGTACGACGCGTCACTTTGTACGGGCCTGTCAGCGGACGACCCTGCGAGTCGACCAGTCTTCCCAAAAACACGATGGTCAACTCGCCAATCTCGTCGGGCACTCTAAACTGCATCGTGAATCCATTATAAGACAAACTGATCATCAAACCAAACTGGAATGCGTTCTTGAGTGGCAGCGATGCGTTCTCATAGAGAACGATATCGTTGAATTGTCTGAGACCGAGACCCTGCTCGGTAAAGACCGATGGCACCGGGTAGAATGGGTTGATGTAGGTACGTGGTGCAGTTGGCAGATACTCTGTACAATCGAGATCGTAATTGTCGCATCGCAGCGTTATATTGTTCGAGTCGACCAAATACGACGACCCACCCAACATCCACGACCCGGCCAATGTCGGTAAACTCGACAACTCAACCGCCTTTATAATCGCATTCGACTTGATAACCGCATTGATTTGCATTTGACCATTATCAGGTTGCAAGAATCTAATAAACAATGTCTTGTTTGTCTTTCCTTCATCTGGACATAATGATAATGTAAATGTTTCATCAACTAAAGTAAATGAAAAGTACAAAGTAAATGAAAATTTAAAAAAAAAGAAAAAGTATGTTAATATTTTTGAATATTGTCATTTTTCTTTTCTTTTGTTTCTTTTGTTTGTTTTGTAAGATACATACCAGAATAAGAACTATCAAAATAATAACCAGTTGTTTCACCTGATACTGGAGGTGGTTGGTCGATCCAGATATAGACGTCAACGTCGACATTGACAGAGAGGATGTTGGCAGACACGTTTTGACAGTTGTATATAGTGTATGAAAAGTCGAGGGTGGGCTCGACAGAGTAACCTTCGATGAGACGACCGTCGCGAACACACGGGATGGTCGGGTCGGCACGGACACAGGCAGGTATGTCGGTGTCTGGCAGACGAGGGTCGATAGGAATAGGCTCGATGATAATATCATAGGTAGAGTTGAGGTTACCTTCATTGATGACGATGAAAAAGATGGTGCCAAATGGGTAATGTGTCTGATAACTGTATTGGTAGATGACTTCATCGGTAGGACAGAATGTAATGGTCATTTCAGACTCTCGAGACAGACGTACACGACTAGGTGTATCGATTCTGGTGAATGGCTCGTAATTGGCCAATACATAGACAGTCGATTGGTTTTGATTGATTCGCATACGGTATCCGGTACATGAATCGGGTGACGCATAGAAACGGTAGTATGTGGGGAGGTTGGACGACTCGAGTGAGGGTTGCGACACACCCGTCATCTTTGTGTTGAGTGGTAGGTTGATCCAGTGGCTTGTGGGTGTACACACCTTGGCCTTGCCGTCGTCACACACGCTCTGGTTGCAGCCTGGCTTGACATTACCACAGCCGTATGGATTAAAGTCTGTAAAGTCGCATGGTGGACATGCTGGTGGTGCTTCACAAGTAAAGTTTGCACACACATACGTGTCCAAATAATATACACTGTCGTCGAACAATATCTCTCCACTCACCGCCGACACCTCTCCTCCTACCAATTCAATTTGTTTGATTGAATATTCTGATGATATTACATTGATTGATTTTGTTCCTAATAACAGAATAAATATTAAAGTAAATATACATATATATCGTTATTAACAATCAACATAAACATAATTCTTGTTTCGATTCATTGTTGGATCGACTTTTGACCTCTGATTCATCATATCATATCATATGATTGATCTACTACTATAATACAATATATATGAACATACCTGTGATATACAATGATGATATCGATAGTACAATAAATAAGATTATTACATTGATTCGATGTTGTTGGTTATATTTACACCCCATTGTCAATGGCAGTGTGGTGATGTGTGATTGTAAAAGTATCTAAAAAAAAGTACTGTTTCTGATACTTAAGTATACTTCGTATTTATCAATCGATCAATCACTGACGATGATATTATACTACTACTACTTTTACTTTTACTTTTGTTCGACTACTACTCTAACTGTAACTGAATGCGTAGTGATACTTTTTTTGCAAAGTATTTTTATCTTTTTTGAATGATGCAAAAAATAAAACTACTATCAAGGTGTCGCGAATCGTTTAACTGGTGTTGGGGAGGCAACCCAATTCAATTCGACCTGACCTTGAGTTGAGAGGAGGAGGAACACAATCAGAAGTGGTGTTGTTTTTACACCCATGAATTAATTATACAACTGTTGGGAAAACAGAGATATTTGTCAGTTTTCTAGATATTTATTATCGTTGAATTCAATTCGTACCAACACACTTCAACTAGTACTCGCACCCCATTGCCAATGCAAGATACGAAAATAGATAATAGTTGGTTGATGTCATGACTTGAATTGGATGAGGTCATCCCGATGCAATAACCAGGATATTATTATTATTATTTGGAATAATAACATGTAACCCCCCCTTAGATTTATTATTTATTTGATTTATTTGATTTATGACTGATTATTATTATTGATGGATGATAATTTTTTAGCTAGGGTCTTTTGTTGTTGATGATTTCTTAGCTTTCTCTTGTAAAAGAGTGTTCCTGCAAATGTGATGGCTGCAAGTGCAGCAACTCCAACTACTACACCTACAATGATACGCCAGGTATTGTCGGGTTTGGAGCAACCGTCATTGGATGATTTGGAGGTGTCGAGCAAGAGGGAAAAGTTGGGATCAATGTCGACTTGGTTTTCAAAGTATGGAATGGCTGTGACGACAGTTGTGTTGGTTTCGGATTCTTGTACGAGGTAGTGATTGACTGAACGAGGGATAGAGTCGAGAACGACGCGTTTGACAAGTCTACCGTACAGTAGTTTGCCGTTGGCTTGACCAATATTGATAAAGTTGGATGTTGTACCATTGACCATTGCAATGGGATTGGAATCATCACTGGCACATTCTTCAGGTTGAGCATTGATACTAGTCCATAACTCTAGTGTTGATAACTGGCTATCCCAATTCCATTGAGATATTTCCATTGCATATTTGAACGACCCGATCTTGAGAAGGAACTCATCACCTGCAAATGACATTGGGTAAGAGTCTCCAACTGTCACATTAGGGATTGCTTCCAGTTGGATAAAGGTGATATTGATGACAGCGGCATACGAGGTTACATTGATAGCTGTGTATGTCCACGAACGTCTAATCACCGATCCATTGTTGGTTGGGTGTACCAGAGTATCATTGACTTGTTGGACGGGTTGCCATTTAATCGATGTCAACTCTAACACTTTGGCAACATTCATATCCAAATCACGTTCCAATAGTTTGTTAATTGTGAATGAGTATTTTACACCTCCTTTATCAATATCAATGCCTGGGTTTGATGGATTAGGTGTAATGATCACACCACCTCCACCATCTCCACCATCTCCACCACCGTCAGTTGGTACCTCACAATATTGACCATCCCAACCGTCTGCACACAGACATTCATGATTTGGACATGTACCATTACCTGAACAGTCCACTTCTGATCCAGCTGGTCTGCAACTATTGGTACCGTTAAAAGGTAGAGTAGTAGCATTACTAATGGTTCTTAAAACTTCAAAATCTGTGTTTTCAACAGTCACCATTACATAATAGAATGTATTGTCTGTCAAGTCATCAACCAAACATGAAAGGTTCAAACTATTACTAGCAGCGCCACCCAAACAAACTCTAGCCCAATGATCATTATCAATAGACAAGAATACATGGTATTTAGTTTCATCTGGCACACCTCCACTTGACTCTGTCCAATTTACATAAATTGATCCTGTCTTTCCAATTGCTGTTACTAAAACTGGTGTTGTTGCTAATAATAAATAATAATAATAATTATGTTAATATTTATATATATATTTATATGTCTATATTTTAATTTAAATGTTTTAACATACGAGGATAAGAGAAATAAGATTTTGAATTTGATGAAACAAAGTTATCATTTTTAACAATGATTGTAAAGTTGTAATATAATCCATCGGTAATTGAATTATATAAACAATTGTTAATAGCAATATTGGGACAAATATTGGTTCCATTTAATAACACGTCAAATAGAGATAGGCCTGGAACACCATCATTTTCGGTCCATGAAATATTAAGAGTGGTTGGTGATACTCTTGAAAACGAGATGATTGGTGGCGAGGTTGGTTGATACAATGAAGGAGTTGAAGATACAGTATTGGAAACTTCACCATTATTGGTTACAAAGATTGAAATAACTGGTGATGATCCAGAAGTTAAACCAGAAACTCTACAGAATGGTCCTTGTTTACATGATGCAGTTGCAATATCTGATCCAGCAACATTAATTGTAAAACTATTACCTCCTGCTGTACCACCAATAGATGAATAAGTAAATTCAACCCAAGTTGTACCAATATCTCCTACTACAATTGGATTCATTGTTGGGACTAAAAAAATAAATTAAATATTAAATAATTAAAATCCAAAATATATATTAATTCAATATATTTATACATACAATTTGTAACAAGAACATTGATTGATTTTGAAATTAATAAACCGTCGTTGGTTGCAGTGACTGTAACATTGTAGGTTTTTGGTGGAAGGGATATAATAGTACATGCACCTTCGGTGGCTGGACAGCTAGGGGCGGAAATACTGTCAACTAAAACTTGGTAGATTGTTTTTAAAGGGATACCATTCGAACTTGAATACGTTACTCTAAATGATGAACTTGTTTGTAGGGATGGTGTAACAACAAGGGTGCTGACACTATCATATAGTTTTTGATTTGCTGTACCTTGTGTAGCAGATGTTTCACCACTGTTGGAAGATGTGATGCTAATGGCTGGTGTTGAACCTGCAGTCAATCCACCAACATAACAATTGGTAGATCCTGAACAAGTAGAGTTTGTACTCAATATTCCATTGACTCGAATAGCAAATGTATTGGCACCAATCACTCTACCATCATTTGATGAATAGCTAAATGTTAACCATGTAGTTCCATAATTTACAATATTTACTGGTCCCATTGTTGGTACTATAAAGAAAGAAAAAAAATAGAAATAGAAATAAAAGTAATTATAAATATAAATATTGATAGATTTGGATTATTATTTTTTTGTTTTGTTTCATACAAGTCCAAAAGTTTTTAACAAAATTGGGTGAAGTTGCAGTATACCCATCATTGGTTGCAGATGCTGAAAAAGTATAAACAGTTCCATAGACAAGACCGGGAATTGTACATGATGAAGTTATGCATGAAGCTTGAACGACGTTGTTGAGTCTGAGTTGGTAGATGGTAGCTCCATAACCACCAGTCACTGCATACGATACGGTAAGAGATGTGCTGGTTTGAGCGTTGATTGAAACGGATGGGGTGTCAATAATATTGGCAGTGGTAGTGGTGAAACTCAATGGTGCAGAGGTCGTACCGGCATTGGTGACGGTCACACTGACAGTGTATTGTGTATTTGGATTTAATCCAGTGGCAGTACATGTAGTCACACCCGAACAAGTTGGATATTGTGTTCCACCAACAGTCACTGTATAAGTACCTCCAGTACTACTAGAATAAGTAAATGCTATGGTTTTAGTTGTTACAGTTCCTGGTGTTAATGTTGACATTGTTGCAACTAAATAAAATAAAATAAATAGTTAGTGTCATGTTGAAATATTAAATATATTATATTTTATAAGTTGAGGGGACATACGAAGTGGAAGGGTAAAGGCACCTGATTGACCTGTTATAGGACCGCCAGATACGATAGTGTCTCCGTTGGCTGACACGACGATTGTGCAACTCTGACCTCTAGCTGCGGATGGAATGGCGAGGGTGGCAGTTGGTGTGGCTGGGTTAATCGAAGTGGCCATTGGGTATTGACCAGCTGGACAGCTGAGCGTGGCAGTGTAGTAAAAGATGGAACCACCGATATTCGACGAAAAGGTAGTGAGCGATACATCGTTTAGGGTGTTGGTTGCACCGACCGATGATATACCTAGTGCTGGGAACACTTGTCCCCATGTATACCCACCATCGACACTTGAACATGTAGATGGAGATGTAAATACATTGGTACCCATTACAGTACCACATCCGGCATAATAATATCCAAACCCGATTTGAGTGGTTTGATAGGCCCTGATATAGATACCAGCACCTCTGTTTGATGGTAACATGACACATGCATTGATTCTATCAATACTTCTTTCATTTTCGTAGTTTAAACAATCACTTGATGGGTTTGGCGACCTAATACGTTCGAATCCAAGGAATCCGGTGGCTGGTAGTGGAGGTACTGTACGTGTGATGACCTGCATAGATCCAGTACATCCAGAGTCGGCAGGGTAATTATAAGCGTAGTCTGGTGCTGCAAAACAACCTCCTTGACTGATTGCAAACGAAGCAGTACCACCAGACACAGTGTACCACCAATAGTCTGAACCACCGGCATAACACTGTCCTGCATAAAATGCATTTACTCTATTAATTGCTCCTGTACATCCTGCATTTGCATACTCTACTTCATAAATCCATTGACCTCTACAACTAACTATAAATAATAATAATAATACAAATAATTTTACAAAGTACATTGATAAAATAAACTAATTAATTTTTTTCTTGTTTAAAAAAAATAAATTATCTCCAAATTCTCTGTATCTCTCTTTTTTCTTTTCTTTCTATTTGTCTTTTAGATAATGAAACAATAAATTGTGGGGAGGTTGAGGGTTGAACAAGTTGCTTTCCACTACACGGTTTTACATGATGGAAAACAACCATCTTCCTTTTGATATCCTTGTTTGTTGTGTGATTGACTATAAATGCGCCAAAATAACTTGATCGTTATAATCATCTAGATAATTCAATGATTCAGACCACAATCCAACAAAAGACTCCTTCCAACTGACGCCAAGAGAACATAGAACCCTTGTCCTGTGACTTGAAAATTGGCAAAAACGAGAACTTAGAAACGCGCAAACATTAAACTTTAACGTTAAAAACCAAATATCTATTTTTTGCGAGCTTAAAATGTCTTGGCAAAATACAACCAACGTCAGTCGATAGGGTTACAATTTCTTATTGGCGGATTGATGTTTCGGATACCGCGTGACGAGAAATTCATGAGACGTAAAGACGTGACGACAAATTTAAAAGGTGCGAAGATTATTATTATTATTATTTTTTTAAAAAAAGAAATAATTAAATTATTTTTGTTTGTTTTGTTATAATAACTCTAACTTTACTTGCTTTATAATTTACTTTGTATTATATTTCTTCCTATGTTGATTTGTTTGATGGATAAAAATATTCTTGGTTATTTAAAAATGGTCTGAGTATTTTTGGGATCAATACAGATCCATCCTTTTGTTGATTGTTTTCGAGGATGGCTAGGATGATACGTGGGATGGCAATGGCAGTACCATTGAGTGTGTGAACAAAGTGAGAGTCGGCGTCTGCGTGAAGATGGTGTTTGATGTTGAGACGACGGCTCTGGTAGTCGGTGCAGTTGCTGGTGCTAGAGATCTCGCCATATCCATTGCGACTGGGTATCCATACTTCAATGTCAAACTTTCGGTAGGCGGGTGCTCCCAAGTCGCCCGTAGGCATATCGAGCACGCGGAAGGGGAGTTCGAGCTCATTAAACATTTCGATTTGCGTGTCGAGGAGCTCGCGGTGGATACGGTCGCTGTCCTGTTCGTTGGCAAGGACAAACATCTCGACTTTGGAGAACTGGTGTACACGGTAGATACCGCGGTTGTTGGTGCCACCACCCACCTCACTACGGAAACAGTGTGAGAATCCCACTTGTTTGATGGGAAGTTTCGAGGTGGGTAGTGTCTGGTGTGCATACATACCCGCGAGTGGAATCTCGGCGGTCGCGGTCAAACACAGGTCGTGGTCGCGGAACCAGTACAATTGGGAGGCCGCACTTCTAGGCTGGAACCCGCACGCCTCTGCCAGAGACGGATGGATCACATCGGGTGTGATAACAGGCTCGAATCCAAGCTTATAATGCACCCTCTGGAACGCCCAGAATGACAGTGCCATCTCGAGCAACGCGCCCGGACCCGTCATATAGTAGAATCGGTTTCCGGCCGTATGGTTGGCCGACTCGAGCGCACCAATCATCTTGGCAATCTCCAAATGATCGCGTATGGGAAAGTCAAACTGTCTGATATGTCCATGGTGTCCGAGCAACACGGCACTCTCATCTTCGGCGCCAACCGGCACCTCTGGATGTGTCGCATTGGGGATACGCAGCGCTTCAGATGTCATCGACGACAACAAATCGTCATGTGTCTTTTCCATATCTGCCAATCGTGTCTTGATCGACTTGCCTTGCTCGACCAGCTGATCACGCTCTTCTCTTGTCAGCTTCTTATCTTTCATCTTGGTCGATGTCTCGTTTCTCTGCTTTCTAACACTATCAATGTCACGTTTGACCACTCTATATCGTTCGTACATATCTACCACATTATGTACATCTACATCTGACTTTCTATCAATCGCATTCTTTTGCAGATACTCTGCATTATCTCTAATGTATTGAAAGTTGAGTGTTGGTTTGAACTGAAACACCTGTGACTCTATCTCTTGATCTGATATATTATTACTTAAATTATTATTGATTGCTTTGTTATGACTATAGTATCTAACATTAACATTAGCATATTGTTGTGTCGTAGTAGTAATCGTTTCATTTATATTTGATGATTTGAAATGATTGTACAATGATGACTTGTTGTTGTTGCTGTTACAAGTAACAACATTCTTATTACTATTGGCAATATGTACTAATCTTCTCAACATCATCTTTCTCTCTCTTATCCTCTTCTATCTATCTTTCATTCATCGGAAATTGAAAGCGAAATGAAATGAATGATCATTATCATCTCATCAAACTTCACGATTTTGAACAAACACCCAAAATTTAATTTGTCTCAGAGAGACACCTCTCCACCCAGGTCCAGTACTCAATTTATTTATAGTGAAGCAATCCCCCGAATGAATCAGCGTCATCATTATTCTGCTTGGGTTTGGAATGTTCCACTCTAGTCTAGTTCATGTTTTATTAAAAATCGGGAACTGCATTATTACCAAAAAGGTGAAAACTAGCGATACACACATAAATAATATCAGGAATGTGTGGGTGGGTGTGCAATTGGGTAGGGTTTAGAATCATTCGCTTGGTTTCACCTTTCTCACACACACAGTCGGTTATTTATTTGGAAAGAAAAAAGTGTAGGACAACCAACAGATACAGTGAGATATACTGCCATACCATAGTACTACTATACTATACTATATACTACTCACTCATTTTTATAACAAACAATAAACTATTCTAACTAAATCAAAATAATTAATAGTTTCATGTAAGATTCATTTATCATAATCACAATAATAATAATAATAATAATATATAATAATAATCATATTTAATATAAATAACTTGATGTTTCTCTCTTTTCATCCTTCATCTTCATCTTCATCTTCATCTTCCTCTTTGACTTTAGTTAAATTAAAAACCATATATACATATATTTTTGCTAAAACCATAGCTATTAACAACCCGACAGACACGATATTTTATTGATAAAAATTTAATTTATATCTTTCTTCCTCTTTTTGTCTAATCTATCTAACTTATCTTTCTCATTCATTCATTCATTCATTCATCTTTCCTTTTTTAATGTATACAAATAATAATAATAATAATAATAATATAAAATCATTTGAAAGTTACTTACAAAGTAATTCCTCTCTCATAGTCATAATAATATAATATACTTTATATTTATATATATCTAGAGAATGATGATATTTGGTACACCAAATAGCACCTTTTTAGATAACGCAATGTCACAATTAAGGGTGACAGGTAGTTCTTCAGCATCACCTCTATCCTTTTCATCTTCGATACCTGCACCTACAGCTATCCCACAACAAGCATCTACTGAAGTGGCACTGTTTGATATCAGTTGGGAAGTTTGTAAAAAGGTTGGTGGTATCTATACCGTATTGAAATCTAAAGCTCCAGTATGTTTAAACATATAAATACAAATGACTGATCAATCGATTCACTTATTAACTTAATTAATTTACCTATTTAAGATTACAGTTGAAGAATATAAAAGTAGATATGCATTAATTGGACCATATAATTCAGAGACTGCAGCAACTGAATTCGAACCATTGACACCTGGACCATTGACACAACCGGTCATTGACAATATGATGAAAAAGTATGGCATTCAAGTACACTTTGGCAAATGGTTGATAGAGTCTTATCCAAAGGTATTCTTGATTGATTTGAAGAGTTCACATCATAAATTGGGCGAATGGAGATGGGACCTGATGAGCGGGTTCGAGCAACCAGGCGACACTGAGGCCAACGACTGCATCATCTTTGGATACCAGACGGCACTGTTGTTGAAAGAGTTTGCAGAGTTGGCACCAGACGAGAAGTTTATCGCCCACTTTCACGAGTGGCAGGCGGCCATTGGGCTGATCCTACTGCGCAAGTGGCGTGTGCAACCTGTAGCGACCATATTCACGACACATGCAACTCTGCTCGGACGGTATTTGAGTGCGGGTGGTGTCGACCTCTACAACCAGATGCAGCAGCTAAATATGGACTATGAAGCGAGCAAGCGTGGTATATACCACCGTCACTGGATCGAGAAGCGAGCAGCTGCCGACGCACACGTGTTTACGACGGTGAGCGAGATTACAGCATACGAGTCAGAGGCAGTGTTACAGCGCAAGGCAGATGTGATCCTACCCAACGGACTCAAACTGGACAAGTTTACAGCATTGCACGAGTTTCAAAACTTGCATGCCAAGCACAAGAATGTATTGCACGAGTTTGTAAGAGGACACTTTTACGGACACCAAGACTTTGATCTCGACAATACATTGTACTTTTTCACTGCTGGTCGGTCAGAGTATGTCAATAAAGGTGTTGATATGTATTTGGACGCGTTGAATGGACTCAACAAGATGCTGCAACAGGCCGGCTCGTCAACGACGGTCGTCTCCTTTATCATCATGCCATCCAAGACCAACAACTTTAACGTCGAGTCGCTCAAGGGTCAGTCGCACATTAGAGACATGCGTCGTACTTGCAATGCCGTTGTCGAGAGTATGGGAGACCGTCTGTTTGACGCAACATCACGTGGCAAAAACATCACCTTTGAAGAGTTGCTCACACAGGAAGACTTGATCATGCTCAAGCGTCGTATCTTTGCACTCAAGCAACGTCCCACTCTACCACCCATCGTCACTCACAACATGGTCGATGATCTCAACGACCCTATTCTCAACCATCTCCGTCGTATCAAGATGTTTAACGCACCACAAGACCGTGTCAAGATTATCTACCACCCCGAGTTTCTCAACTCCACCAATCCACTCATTCCCCTCGACTATACTGATTTTGTGCGTGCTTGCCATCTCGGTATCTTTGTGTCGTACTATGAGCCATGGGGATACACACCAAGCGAATGCACAGTACTAGGTGTGCCATCTGTCACATCCAATCTCACCGGTTTTGCCAACTATATGCGTCGTGGACTATCGGATCCAGACAGCAAGGGTATCTACATTGTCGACCGTCGTTTCAAGTCGCCTGAAGAGTCAGTCGACCAACTCACCCAATACCTATTCAACTTTTGTCAACTCGATCGTCGTCAACGTATCGAATTGAGAAACCGTACAGAGAAACTATCGGAATTGTTGGATTGGAGAACTTTGGGTAAATATTATGTTCAAGCAAGATCAATGGCTTTTGATCGTGCTTTCCCATCTCTATCAACAACAATTGATACGACCAGTACGACTACAACTACAACTACAACTAGTACAATTTCACCAACTACAACATTATTATCAACGACTCCATCATTATCAAATATGAGACCATCTTCTCCTTTGAATATTCCAACCATTACAACTACTCAACCAGCAGTAGTAGTTCAACCAACAGCAGTAGTTCAGCCAGTAGTCACTCAATCACAACCAATTGCCATTTCAACAACTGCTTCTGCTCCAAAGTCGACAACAAAACCAGAACCTGAAAAGGAAAAGGAAAAGATTGTTGTTGGATCATCACCAAAACAAATTCCATCAAATCCAACACCATCTTCAACTCCAACAAAGTCTGTCACTATTAATAATAATAATAACAGTAATAATAATAATAATAATAGTAGTAATAATGTACCCATTAAACCAACTGTAGTTACTTCCTCTTTTTCAACTCCATCTTCCACAACCACTTCTGTCACTGAATCAGCATCACCAGATATCACTGCTAAAAAGCCAACTACTACGAGTGCTGCGCCACCTGCTGCAGCTAATACCACTACTACCACTAAACCATCTACATCCTTGTTAACTGCCAGTTTATTGAGTCTTGGAAATAAACAACCCGTACAAGACCAATCAACCACTACAAAGCCACCGGTTTATCCAGCTACAACCGTCGTACAACCAACTGTAGTTCCTACCATCCTGAAAAAGGAGGAACCACAAGTCACACCATCATCTCCAATTAAATCTTCACCAGCTAAACCAATCATTAAAAAATAATTAATAATTAATAATTTAATGAATTACTCTTATAGTTTCGATTATATAATATTATTATCTATCAATTGTACCAACCCCCTAAACTATCCTTTTAGCGAAAAGGAAGTCCAAACATTCATTATTACTATTTTTATTAAATAAATAAATAATCATTTCCATCCTTGGAAACCAAAAAAAAAAAAATACTCGTACTGAGGATTAAAAGAATTATAAATATATTATATATTTCTTTATTTTATATTTATTATTTATTGTTTTGTTTAAAAAGAATCACCACCACCATTTGATACCATTGGAGGAGGACGTTTAATGATAAAGAAAACCAAAAAGACAGTTACGGACATCATGGTTGTACAAACCAAAGCAATGGGACCGTATGGATCGTAAAATGGGCCTTTTCCTTTGTTTAAGATTGCTTTACGACGAAGTCTAAAGATGACATAGGAATAGAGAAGGAATCCCAAGGCAATAACCCAAAGTGAAACACCAGTAAAGAGTGCCACGTTTTGAGTTCCAAAAAAGGTAATGATCGAAGTTCCAATAGCACCCAATGAAAATGTCAGTCCAACCCAACTCATCCAAGTTCTTTCATTTGAGAATAGCTTAGAGTCATCACTCAAGACCTTTCTCCATACTTGAATCTTTTGGGGTTTTCTGTCAATGTCTATTGATACATTGGCATTGTTATTAAATGGTTTGGGAAGTGAATAGGGAGGGGCAAGAGGATCGGTTTGAAGATCATTATTGTTGATTGACCCTTTGTGAAGTATGGCAAGTGGATTGTTTCGTTTGGTTAATCCTTCTTTCTTTTCGTGCTCTTTTACTTTTTTCTTTTTCTTTTTAATGATTTTAGTTGGCGGAGGTGGTAATAATGGTGGATTATCATTATTGGTTGTTCCCGTTCCACCAACAACTGTAGTTGTAGTTGTATTTGGATCAAAGTCAAATAATTGTCCATGAATATTACTATTATTATTATTATTATTGTTTGGAGTAACACCAATATTTTGATTATTACTTGTTGTTGATGATGATATGAATGGTTCAGGGGATGACCTTTGATTGGTTATTTGAGCTCCAGATTGTGTAGGTGATGGTATAAAGATTGGTTGTTGTAATTGCATTTGTCTTTGATCTTCCAGTAATTGTTGTTTCTTTAGTTTCTTTTCTTCTTTTTTCTTTTTCTTTTTTTCCTTTTTCTCTTTTTTCAATCTCTTTCTTTCTTCTTGATCCAGCATGTTGTGTTGGTCGTCATCTTCATCATCGTCGTCTTCATCGGTGGTTGTGGCAGTTCCCCCACTATCTTGTTGTTGCTGTTGACTCTTTCCTACATCTTCTCTGGCTTGTTGTTTCTTTTTCTTTTCCTTTTTGTTCTTTTTGTCTTTTTTCTTCTTTCCAGGGGTGCCACCACCGCTGTCATTGTGATCACTTTCACCGCCACTACTACTTGAATGTTCATGATCACTTTTGGAATGATGACCAATATTTGGACTATTAGAATAGGATAAATTCATGGGAGAAACTGGAGTACTATATGAATGATGAGGAGGTGACGTTGACCGACTAGTTTTATTGGAAAGAGGTGAGGAAATAGGAAGAGGAGGATGAGTACTAGACGTTGACTCTGTATAAATTTCACGATCGTCATTTTCCTCTTTTACATCCTGTTCTTCCTCTTTTGTTTTTCCCTCCTCCTCCTCATTTATTTCAGACATCTCACCCTCTTCTTCTTCTTCTTCTTTTGTTGGCAGGTGATGATCATCTTGATCGTCTTCATCATCTTCATCGTCAATAGATATGAAAGGAAAGGAAGGTGGTGATGATTTTTCAGTCATCTCTTCTTCCTCCTCATTATCCTCTATTTGCTCGTTCTTTTGCAATTTACCATCATCCTCCATTATTTATGATTTATTATTATTTGTTTTGGAGGAGGGGGTGTTGTCTCTACGAGTAGTAGTATAATAGATGTAACGTTCTAGAGTTGTAAGATGATGAGTTGTTTGATTGCTTGCTTTGGACAAGTGGTTGAATTTAAGACTTCCTTTCCTTTTGTATGAATATAGGCAATCTATTATTATTATTATTATTCTACACACTTATTCTTCTTATTCTTCTCCCCTCTATCTCTCTCTCTCTCTCTGTCTTTGTTGTGTATTTACTTCTATTTCTATATTTATGATTATCTGTTTGTTGTTGTTTTCCCACACTACAATAAATGTATTCAGTATGGGTGTGAGTAAGTGTGTTTAATAATTCGCTCTTCTTTTGATGAAGAACCCCTAATATTAAATTAATTTAATTTAATTTATTGCAGCAGCCAGCAGTTTCCAAAAAAAGAAATATATAAAAAAAATGAATACTTTTTGGTAGAAACATAAATGAGTGAATGAATGTCTTTTATCTACCTCTATAACATAATAATAAAAAGAAATCTTGCTTTGTTATCTTGTCACAAAAGACAAATAAGACAGATATCTTTCTTTCTTTCTTTCACAATGAGTGAGAGATGTGTGGTGACGAGATATACAGATAATAATGATAATAATAATATATCTCCATTCTAAATATAAATAATTATGATACTATATTGTATTCGTTCATGTTTAAAGGGTAATATCTCTCTTTTATAAACAATAAATAATTATATATCATTATCTGAACATTCTTTCGTTGTTTGTAATGAACTTGAAAGAGTCGAGAGACGAATAATTGTTTTTTTTGAATTTTTGTAGTTTTTTTTTCGTTTGATCATTGTGCTTTGATAATATGAGAGAGTGTCAGATTAGCAACACTCTAAACTAGTATAGATCTTTATAGTGATTGATTATTGGATAGTATAGTAGCACGAGTACAATACAACACAATCAACCACAAACACTAGTAGATAGATATGAACAGTTTAATATCAAGAGTCAAGTTACTCAACGTAGCTTGCAACAATGCAAATATCATAGCCTCTGGTAGAATGGGCAAAGGGTTTGCAGGTACTACATATATTCCTAAACCAGCTTTTGGTCAAAAGCCACCCGAACCACCCTTCCTCAAGGACCCAACCAACGGTTGGAACTATAGAACACACAGAGTAGGAGCAATTGGCAAGAAGTTGGGTATGACCACCGTCTATGTCGACCATGTTGCTATCCCTGTCACAGTTATAGAGGTAAAGAATGAAAGAAAGAAGAAGAAGATGATAATAGAAGAACATACAACTTATTATTATTATGTTTATTATGTTTATTATTTTGTTATATATATATTTTAGTTACCTGATAATCAAGTAGTACAAGTAAAGAGAAAAGTAAATGATGGTAGTAACGCAGTACAGGTTGGAGCAGGAGAGATTAAATTGAAAAATATTGGAGGTACGTTGAAAGGCCACTTTGCAAAGGCCGACGTCCCACCCAAACGTGTAGTGATGGAGTTTAAGGTGACCAAGGGTGGATTCATGGATGTTGGCACATCGATCGATGCACGTCACTTTGTACCGGGACAACTTGTCAAGGTACAGGGCACTAGCACCGGTAAGGGATTTGCTGGTGGCATGAAGAGATGGAATTTCAGTGGTTTGTTGGCCACTCATGGTGTCTCCAAGACTCATCGTTCAATTGGTTCAACCGGTTGTCGTCAGACCCCCGGTCGTGTGTTCAAGGGCAAGAAGATGCCCGGTCGTCTCGGTGGCCAAAGCAGCACCGTCAACAACCTCCAAGTGGTCAAGATCAACTCGGAGCTCAACGTCATCATGGTCAAGGGTGCCGTGCCGGGCAAGAACGGCGGCTACCTCCGTGTCACCGACTCACGTTCCAACGTCTGGAAGCAATCACCACCCTTCCCAACCTACATTGCACAACCAGGTGAACTCGACGTCGAACTCACCATCGAGAAACCAAACATCAAGCACCCACAAGTTGTACAGACCGCTCTCCCAGTATCCCTCGATCCCCTTTTACTCAAAATCAACCGCGAATCAAATGAAGTCGTTTTCCCACAACTCTAAAATACAGATATATATATAAATTAAACATTAATAAAACAAAATCTTAAAAATAATAATAGATACATTCACAATCCTCTTCTTTCTTTTTTTTTTTTGATCCAACGTGCCATCGACGGGTCTCTGGGTGTGGCATCCAAATGCAGCAGCACGTCAATCCCTTTTATTCGCGTGTACTTCAAATCAAGAGAGTCAAAGAAAAAATTGTGAAAAAAAGAAAAGAAAAGTTAATATCAAAAAGGAGGTGCCAACTTGTTTTTCAACAACTAACAAACAAACAAACAAATACAACAACAACAACAAACAAATACTATACTTTTAACCTTTACATACATACATAACTCAACATACATAACACATTTAGAATACTATCTATCTATTATTACCATCACTTCACCTCTACCCCCCCCCTCATTTAAATATATTAAATATTAATAACACATTTAGATTAGATAGTACCAACGATAACTACTATAACAATACTGACAACATGGACCAATTTACAACCACTTCATCATCTGACAATGAACTAGACAACACTTCGGCATTCCATCTTCATGAATTATCAAAAGATGTAGATGAGAGTGACGGAGAGGATAACATTAGTGACGACGAAGACGATAAGAACAATATTAACCATTCTTTAAAGAATAAAGGTATATAGAAAAAGAGATAGATAGATGGAGATAGATAGAGATAGAGAGAGAGAGATATATTAAAAAAAAGAATATATGAATCTAACCACAAATATCTTTTCCCTATTTGATATCTATATCTATAGTAAATTCAACTTCAAATAATAATGCAAAGTCACAATTATCATCATCTTCATCATCGACTACAACCCTAGCTAGTAATGATGTACCATTCTCTAGAATATTTGTTATCTGTGGAAAAGATGTGACAGAGAATCAATTGGCAGTTGCTTTCCAACCATTTGGAACAACTGAAATCAAGATTGTAGTTGACAAGGATACCCGTGAATCAAAGGGCTATGCCTATATCAAATATCAAAAGGCATCATCTGCTGCACTTGCAATTGAAAAAATGAATGGAACCATCTTATCTATCTCTAACAATAATGGAACCAATAGTACTACTACTTCTACTACTAGCACTACAACCACAACAAACAACAACAATACTACTACTACCACTGATGACAAATCACCTACTGCTGCTGGAGTACCTTTAAAGGTTATGATTGCAGAGGTTAAGGGACAAAAGTCAAAGGTACCACCTTCGACCGATCCAGAAGATTCTCCACCAAACTCTAGACTCTTTGTCATTTGTAAAAAGGACGTTAGTGAAGCTGACCTTACCAACAGATTCAAGGAATTTGGAAACCTTGAACATGTAAAGATTGTTCGTGAAAGAGATACTCACGAATCAAAAGGTTATGCTTTTGTAAAGTTTTCTAAAAGTTCAACTGCTGCTTTGGCAATGGAAACAATTAATGAATCTGATGGTAAAAAAAAAAACAAATAATTATGAAACACTTTGGATTACTAATCAAACATCCTTATTATTAAATTTAGATAAATCATTAAAAATTATTATTGCTTTACCAAAAGGTAAAACCAATAATACAAAGCCAGAAGCAACAGCAACACCATTAGCTCAACCATTCCCAATGATTGGAAATCCATATCAATTCCAAAACGAATTCCCAAATCCATATTTCCCAACCATCTCTAGACAAAGATTATTTGTTGTTTGTCACAAATCTGTAACTCAAGAAAATCTTTATAAACTATTTTCCAGATACCCTGGCATGGAATATTGTGATCTTAAAAAGGATAAAACTACCAACAAATCAAAAGGTTTTGCATATGTTAATTATAGTACTCCTCAAGCCGCTTTACTTGTAAGATCAGAAAAAAAACAAAAAGGAGATTATAATATAGTTCTATTCTAACTATTCAATCTTTTTTTTTAGGCTAAAAATGAGTTGAATGGTATTAAATATCCATCAGGATATTCCTTAAAGGTTGTATTTGCTGAACCATTAGGTATTAAACAAGCTCCACAATCTATTGATCCAACCATTTCATCAGTATGTGTTTAAAACAAATAATATAGATATCTATTTCAACACTACTTGGAAATACTTATTCTTTTTTTTTTTTTTCTTTTTTTCTTTTCTAGATTCAAAATAGTTTTGCTCAAATGCCATTTACTAGAAGAAATTCAAATAATGACAATAGAAAGCGACAAAAGATTTAAAGATCTCCTGTATTATTATTATTATTTTATTGGAGCGTTTCTTTTTTTTTTCAAACGTAAACAGGAACACTTTCAACCCAAACCATCATTCAAATACGACGATCGCCTCCACCTCTAAACCATAAACATAAACACAAACAAACAAAACCAACCTATTGCCATAGTACTTTACCAACAACAATAACAATAACAATAACAATAACAAAAACAACAAACAAAAAAACAAAACAAAACAAAACATCACAATTCCATTTTTTTCCACATACATACACAAAACTCAACATCACATAGTCAACAACATTAACTCTTCTCCCTCTATCTCTCTTTTATCCATAAACACAAATAAAAAAAAAAATGTATATAGATATCTCTTAATATAAAGTAACCATAATACCATTATGGTAACCTTTTTTTTTTATTCATAGGATGACGATGATGGTGGAGGGGTGATGATACTGTGCCATAGTTGATTATAACACATTACATTATTATTATTATAACCAACCAGATCTTTTAAATAAAAATGCTACGGTGATACCGAAAAGTAGCATGAATAACATAATGGCAATAAAAGAGTAATAATTGTCGACATCCATACCTGGCAGCTTTACATTCATACCAAAGATTCCAGCCAAAAAGGTAAGTGGAACAAAAATGGTCGATACAGCTGTAAACTTTCTCATCGATCTATTTACAGAGTTGGAGGCATCGCTTACCTCTAATGATACACGTGCCATATAAATATTGTTAAGATTGCCAAGTAGTCTTTGTGAAAGTGTCAACTTTTGTAACATTCTCACAACATGATCTTGAACATTACGAAGATATCTAAGTAAACTTTGAGGAATTAATTTTTCATCTCTTAATAATACAGAAATAATTTCACTAAACCAAAACAAGATAATAAATATATTATTAATAACAATAAATAAATAAATAAATATTTTTGTTTTTACCTTTTACCAAAAACTCCACTATGTAAATTGGTAACTCTTCTACCAGCCAAACCAATACGTGTAAACAATTCATCTTGTTTCATTCCACTCAACACTAATACCAATTCATCGAGAGATTGAGTTTCCATCATGATCTTGTCAACCAGATCGATATATAAATCTACAATGCCATCAAGATAGGCATAGATGACCCATGCTGCCGATGGCAATGTTCCAGTCATTGAGTATTTAAGCATTCTCATGACTTGGGATGTAGAGATGAGTGATGCCGAATGAAAAGTAAAAACAAATCGATCGAAAAGTAATATATTTAAACTATCAGATACAAGATTATTTGATCCTTCTTCATAATGTATTTCATTGACCACTACAAATATATGATTTGAAAAGAATTCACATTTTTCTCTTGTTTCTAATAGAAATGAAATGATTATTAATATTGACAGTCGGTCTGTTTGTTTTCAATATGATTCGATCATACCTTGTTTTATAATATCTTTTTTGGTTAAAGCATGAATGCCAAGTAAATCACAAACATCTGAAATATCACTCTCTGATAGTGATTGAAGATCGATCCAATAGTTTGTAGTATCTTTTTTGGCATTATCAGCTGGTTGATGCATTTTATCTTTAATTAATTGTACCAATTCATTGGTTGTTATTCTTGTTGAAGTCGAGTTTAATTGAGAAGTTAATACAATTTGCTATAAACAACAAAAGAACAAAATAAGATTAATCATATGAATAAACTAAGAAATAAATGTGTTCGTTTCACATACCTTTTCTCGAGAAAACATAATATCCTTCTCCATCGTTCTGGTGGATAGGTTTATAAGATCAATTGAGTTGTTATCCATCTTTTTCTTCTTCTTTTTCTTCTTCTTTCTATGTTTTCTTTTTGTACTTGATTTCTTCCTCTTTCAAAATATAAAGTAGTTGGATGTAAATAAATGATTATTATCTTGTCCTGAAACTATAGTGCTATGATATTATAGATAAGGTGTTTTGTTAGTATCTCTCTCTCTCAAGACATATAATAATCAATATTACTACTACAAAACATACCAACCAAAAAATGAACACCTTTTGTTAAGTTAATGTAAAGATAAATAGATTAGAGAGATAGAGATAGATTAGATAGATAAGCTGCTGATTTGAGTGTGTCTATCCCATCGGTATAAATATAGAAATTGTGATGTGATATTGATCGGAGCAATAAAGTGAGGAAATATTGATAAAGACACCTCGGGTGCACTCACTGATGTTTCATCATATTGATTAAAAAAATTAAAGAGAAAAAACCACCACCCTTTCAGGTTTTAATACTTTTCTTTTTAAAAGATAGTTTGAAGTTAGAGTTATTTATTTATATCTGTATTTTGTAAACAACAAGTTGTACAAATGATAAGATAGATAGATAAAGATAATGTCAACAGATAGCAAATTTACATTTTATTTACATTCTCATAGACCTCTAATCGATGTGATTGATTTGCAATGGTCTCAAGATAAACTTCCTAATGAATGTATGTGTTGTTGTTGTTGTTGTTGTTGTTGTTGTTGTTGTTGTTGTTGTTGTAACTTACTTTACACAAGTTGTTTATATTAATATGTTCTTCTTTCTTTCTTTTTAAAGCAATTGGACAATCACTTTCGATTGATACTTTAGTTTCAATATCAGATGAATTTGACGAGTTATTAAGTATGTACATCTAGAATATTAAGAGTGATTCAAATGACACTCAGGACCATAGTAACACTATTTCTTCTTTCTTTAGAAAATAGACCAGAAAGAAACTGGGGAGAACTTGGATTGAATGATTTAAGTTGATATGGTTTCAAACATTCTCTAGAGGTCATGACTTTGGTATTCATTTGAAAATCAATAAGTCAATTTATTATCTTTGTTTGAAATCATTTAGGATAATGGTGAATAAATAATTGTTACTTATTTATTTGACCTTTATTTAATTTAATTTATGGATGAATGAACGGTGGTTGGATTCCACATTTTAACTTGGAATTTCCATTTCATTGGAATTATTATTATCATTATTATTTCCATTGGTAGGCAATTCGTAACCCAAAAATGTATACATACCACGTTGATCATAGTGGTATTGAATATAGAGAGGTCTATACTTTTGGTTTGGTAGATTTCCAGGTTGTTGTTGAATGAAACCACCCAAGATTGAATTATTTTCAACAATCATGACATTAGAGTTATCATTATCCAATCTTTTAATGACCAACTGTACCCAATGACTTACTGGAAAGGATAGTGTTAACTCTTGAACATTGGTACGATTGATGATTTCATCCAATCTAAAACATAACAAATATTCAAACCAAAGTGGAATATTACATGTCAATTGTGTAACATGTGGTGGTAATATTAATTGATTACAATCATCATTATTATCATCATCATCATCACCATCATTAGTTTTTGATTTAATATTATCCAATAGTGAATAGACACGAATTTGGTCATTGTTTAATGATTCGAAATTTGGTAATTGTATGGCCAACGATGTGAGTGTTGTTGGTAGTTGACTAATGATAGGTGCAAAATTATGTGAATAATCGTATGCTTTATCTGCCCAACGTAATAGATTGCAAGTCCATTCTAAAGTCTCTAATTGTTTGGGTAGAGGTACTGAAACTTCACTTTTCCATGATAGGTGTTTGATGGTATCGGGAAGTGTTACATTTTCTGTCATACTCTCACCAACCTTTAAAGTTTCTACCGACGCTGGAATAGATCCTTCTACCAATGTACATGCTTCAATTTGAAGATACTTGATAGTGTTTGGTATAAGACCAGGAGGTATTAATCGTGGAATATATGTATTGAGTTTAAGTTTGGTTAACGATGTTGGTAGTTTGTGCATTTCAGATTCCAACATATGGACCATTGTTTCCAAACTAATGTTCAAGCTGGTTAGTGATTCGGGTATACTGTCAATTTTGGTAAAAGAGTCAATGGTCAAGTGTTGGAGTGATTCCTGAGGCAACATAAACTGCATGGCTGGTCCAAACTGTGTTTTAAAACTTTTGAGAGAGACGAGTGGTTGTAGGTCGACAGGTTGGTCTTGTTTGCCCAACCTTTTAGCAATAATAGAAAGTGATTCGAGTCGTGTCAATGATTTGAACAAGTCTTGTGGAATGGAAGTATTAAATGACAGAGTGAGACGTGTCAAACTTGTTGGCAAGATACCTGGTGGCAAGTCAGTTGTATACAGTTCCAAAGTAGTCAACGACGACGACATTTTGTTAAACGGGATATCTTGAAATGGAATGGGAGCAGTGTTTCTTCCAAACCGAAATACAAGTGATTCCAATCCATGTGGTAGACCAGATAATAGTTCTTTGGTCGGTCCAGACGATACCTTTAAGTCCAATGATTTAATGGTTTGTGGAAAGCTTCCTCCTCCTTCTCCTCCAAGACTAATCTGTGAACATTCTACAACCATTCTTTTGATTAATGGTAAATGATGAAAGTAGTCGGTTGGAAACTCGATGGGTGTTTGACCATGATGGATGAGTATAGTTGTTGTGGATGTTGGTAACTTTAGTTTTGACCAGTCTCCAATGGTGTTCACATTCACATTTGACAATAAAGCAGTCTCTACTTTGGTGTTGTAATATGTTGAATTGGCCGACATTACATCATTATTATCAAGTATATGATAATTGTTGAATCGTTTTGATATTGAAGCATATTCATTTTGTTGGTCTGCTATGACTAGTTGATTGGATAAGGTGTTTTGAAGGATATTGTAAAACGATGGCATACAACTACCCATTTTATCAACAAACCTATCCCAAATATAGTTGTATGCTTTTTCATCAACCAACCTTATATCTTTGAATCGAATGGTATTATTGCATTGTTGTCTAATATTAAAGTACAACTTTTTACAAGTTAACAACATGCATATAAGATCTACATTATCCAAGTGGTTGAGTATCTCTAATACAATAGTTGTTGGTATCTTTGTTGTTATATAGTCCTCTATATCTATCTCTGTTGTGGTTGCCATTATTTGAGATGTAATGTACTACATGTTAAGCGAGTGACCTATGATGGTGATGAACATGTTCATCTTCTTTAAAATTTCTGATAATCATCCCGAAAAAAAATGTTAAAAATGTACGAAAAAACCAAAACATTTTTAACATTTTTAAACATATTTAACAAGAAGTTTATTACTATAATCCTCTAATGTTTTTGTATTTATTTGTGAGATATCCTACAACTGACCATATTTGATCATGTTGTTGAAGAATTTTTGAAGGATCGGAAAATTTGATCCTCAAAGTCGCTTTGCATGCTTCCCACTTTTTCATATGGGCAAACACATTTTCTATGATAATTCTAATGGCTTTAAATCTTTTGTCAGCCTCACCTCTATTAAAACTAGCTTTAGGATTTCTATCGTTAACCAAAAAGTGTTTATACATGCCATGACAACCTATGAATCCTTTGTCTCCCAAAATAAACTCGAGAACTTCGTCTAGTTTAGAATAGAAAGCTCTTGATTCATTGGCGAGGTTAATATCATTTCTTGATCCAGGTCTTGATTTAGACATGAAAATAATCTTTCCAGTGGGAGTACAAAAGACAAGTTTGGTTATTGAGAAATATCCTTTCTTTCCACTATAAAAATTCATTGCAATTTCGGAATCCATGGGAACTGAAATTCTTTGTTCTGATCCATCTGCCACTGATGTAACCATGCAAGATTCATTGGTGTCTTTAACATAAATTGAATAGTGCTCTTTGTCCATTCTTTTTGAAAAATAGTAATCGAAATTCTCTTGGCAGAGAGGATATAACAAATCCAAAGTGTTAGACGTGTATTCTTCTACAGTAGTTTGCGATATTTTAAAAAATGCAGATAGAACAATTCTCTTTGGGTAGTGACGGAGCCAACAAAGTGTAATAAACAACTGGCCCCTGATTGAATACTTTGATTTAGTGCCTCTGGTTTCTGTTTTTGTCTTTTGCAATCGTATAGTGTTTTGATATAAATCTTGGAAATCTTCAAATTTAAGTCCAATGAACGATACTATTTCATCTTCCAAGTACTCTATAATCTTGTTAATTTCTAGAGAAGAAGATATGTGTCAATAATTAATAGTTGTTAGTTTATTTCTTGCCAGAACTTTTACTTTTATCTTTGTCTTTGGCTGCAGCCTTTTTAGCTGGAGCCTTTTTAGTTGTCGGCTTTGGTGGTGTAGATGCTTTTCTTTTCTTATCTGTATGTTGTTCTTCATCTTCTACTACATATCCCTCTTCATCTTCTTCATGGCTGGATTCCTCGTCTGAATCATCATCTTTTCCTTTTTCCTTATTCGTTTCCTTCTTTTCCTTTTTGTCTTTTTTAGGTTGTTCTAGAATAAGGTATCAGTTGTATGTACTTTATAAGTAGTAATAAAAATTATAATACATACTAGATTCGATATAAGCAGACCAGGTTTTACCTGATGATGAACCAAAGTATTTTTGGAAACAAGAATATGTGCAAAAGTACAGATAATTATCCTTGATTGGAGTGAGTGAGGACGCTTTGCATCTTATGCTCATCGTGCATTTGTTTGGACATGATGCACATTTAACCAACTCTTCTTTTGGGCGGTTTGATATTGATTCTTTTACATCATCTAATGATATAGGTCTTGCCAGAAGAGGTCTAACGAGATGAGTTTGACAATATTCATCCGTAATGTGTGCAGGTTTACACAATGTAATTTGTTTGTCGAAACAAGTGATTTCTATTCTGTTGCTGCCTCTCACTGAGTTGGTACAAAATATCACATCTTTCTGCTGCACCTTAAATTGGTTACCAAGTGTGCACACTCCTTGGTCTCCATCAGGAATATCTAGATTAATTAAGTTGCTACTGTTGTTATATGTATGAATATCTGCTTGCTTTAAAAACTCTTTCTTGACATGAAAAGTCTCTTCCATAAAACTATTATCCATTGCAATTGAGGAATTACTTGGTGTTGGTGGTGGAGAGGAGAAGATAGAATTTGTTGGTGAATCATATCTAAATACTGGAGGAGGTGGTTGAGATGTTGTAACAATTGTTGTTGCTTTGCGTTGCTTATATTTTTCTTGCAAGGTTGCATGTTTAACTTTTAATATTTGATGTTCTTTATCTGATTGTGTTAGCTTCTCGAACTCTTGTGATGTTGGGAGAGTACCACCGCATCCATAACGAAAGAGAAGAGAAGGGATGCATGTGTCAAGTAAATGTGCTTTGACATCACAAAGAGGGATAATTTTCGCACAAATCTTACAAATAACAGTTAAAACATCATCCATTATATTGAACTCCTGTAACTAGCACTGCTGATTGATATATACTAAAGTTATACGTTTAAATTAAGGTAGTACTTGTAATGTTTAAAATGTTAAAAATGTTAAAAATGTTTAGATGTTTTCGACATTTTTAACATTTTTTTTCGGGATGGTTATCAGAAATTCATCTAGATTTTAATTTTATTTTTATTAATATTTATTTAATAAAACATTATAATAAAAAAAGACAGTCTTTTAATCAATCTTGGTTATCCAATGATCATGTTTTAAATTAAATTTAAAAACCCAATAAATATTATTTTTCTTCTTTTCTAAATATTTGTATCTATCTCTCTTAAATTATTCTTTATTTATTTTAGTAGTAGGTATTTCATAACTAAAATAAGTAGATTCTTTACCATCTTTGTGATAAACAAGATATAATGGACCATATTTACCATCCTCCATTCTTTTTTGTTTAAAGAATCCACCAAATATAGATTGGTTATCAACCATCATAACATTTGAATTGTCATTATCCAATCTTTGAATAGCTAATTGTACCCAAACTTGTGATGATGATGAAAGGGTCAAGTTTAGTTCTTGAACTTTGGTATGATTAATAATATCATCCAATCTAAAACAAAATAATTTTGTTGTGTGACCTGGTTCTATCCTACAACTCAATCGTTTGATATGGTTTGGTAGTAGTAGTAGGATTGGTTGGTCAATATTATTATTATTTTGATTATTTTTGATATTGTCTGTCATAGAGTATACTCGAGTTTGATTGATAGTTTGAAATTCGGGTACTTGTATTGACAATGAAACGAGAGAAGGTGGCATGTTATCTGTTGACATTATAAACTTATCGGGGGCGCCGAAGGATAATATCATGAGTGGTTTCCAAGTCAATGTTTCCAAGTTCTTTGGCAACGACTCGGTGCGTGCTATGCCTCTACGCCATGTTAGGTGTTTGATAGAGTCGGGTAGAAAAGATGGAGAGGTAGGACCATTGTACCGACCAAGACCCAACTTTTCGACAGATGATGGTATAGACCCTTCGACTATCAAAGCTGTCGATATAGATGCAAAGGAAAGTACTTTGACACTATTGGGTATAACGCCAACTGGTACACCATGAGGACAATTTTGGATTTGCAATTTGTGTAGCGATGTTGGAAGGGGTGTCGTCTGAACGAGAGCCATTAACCTTTCATAAGATATATCACAGATCTCTAGAGATTTTGGTAGATGACTGATTTTGGTCGAGTTGAATGGTAGAGATAGACATATAAGTGACTCTGAAACAGGCAGGTTGATATCAACTTTTTGGCTTGTACTAAACTTTAAACTCTCAAGATACTGGAGTGATTCAAGGTCCATTATAAACGAGTCACGACGAATGAAGAATATTTGGACATGAAGTGTTACTAGATTGGGCAATGGTTTGAAAAAGTCTGTTGGAGGTGGGTTCTCTAGATTGATTTTAAGACTTGTTAAACTAGTTGGTAGTACGCCTGTCGTCACTGTTTTGGATGTGAATTCTAGAGTTGTGAGTGACAATAGATGGTTGAATGGTAGTTGGTTGAATGGTATAGTCCTGCCAAACCTGAGTGTAAGAGATTCAAGTCCACTTGGCAAACAGATTTCATTTTCATAGTCACCGATTTGATCGATAGAGTCATCTAGATGAATAACCAATGATTTGATCGTGTTTGGTATTACTTGGTTACTTGTACTTGAAAGATCGAGGCATTCACAATCAATTTCCAAGTGTTCCACTGTCGATGGAATAAATGACTCCAAATTTTTAAAGGTTGATAGGTCTCCATTACTTTGTTCAATGATCAGTTGTCTTGTTGATGATGGTAATGTGATGTAGTCCAAAGGGTCGTATCTAGACACTAACAATACCTTTGAGACTTGATTATTATATTGTTGTTGATTGTCAAAATTGAATGACATTGATTGTTGACTCGATTGACCATTGGTCGACTCGTCGTCGTGCAGCACACCATCTATAACATAAAAGTTGTTTAACCTTTTAGATATATCAGATACTGCGTTGAGGAGTTCAGGACTCTTCTTTGCAATGACCAATTGATTGGATAGAGTGTTTTGAAGGATACCTCGAAACGATGGCATACACCTCCCCATCTTGTAGACGAGTGGTGTGAAATAATCTAAACTATGATCATCGTCTGATGATGTATAGTCTTTTCTTTTACCAATGTACTGTAACCCTTTGAATCGAATAGAATGGCTGTATTGCAGTCTAATCTTTTCATATAACTTTTTACAAGTCAACAAACAACTAATTAGATCTACATTGTCTTCAATCCTATTGATTATATCTAATAATATAATGGTTGGTATCTTTGTTGTTATATAATCAATTTCTTGTTGTTGTTGTTGTTGATCATCATTATCATTATCATTATTATCTATATTCATTATCTACATATATAAATATAAATCTAAAAACATGGTTAATGTTTAAAACATATATATACAGCTGTAATAATTTTGGAATCAGAAACAAACAAGATGTTTTTTAAAAATATAATTAGAAATCAAAAAGAGTTTAATTTATAATATAAACTCGAATAATCATCTTTCTTTGTTTTTCCCATACGTCCATTTAAGGTAGGTATGTTGAATGGATTTATTATTATTATTATTATTATTATTATTATTAATTAATTATTATTATAAGTTGTTCAAAATAAAATGTACATTTAATATTATTGGAGGATAGTTGTGTGTTTTTGTTTGTAACCTTTAGGCCATGCTTAAATCGCCAGTTGGTTTATCACTTCCACCATTTGTTTCTACTCGTACTAGTTCTAGTAAAGATGGATCACCTTGTTTAATACCAATACACCAACATCCTTTAAATGTAAATGTTTGAGTATCACCTGCTCCCAATATGCATTCTCCTCCCAATTCATCACTCATTCTTCTATGTGATTCCAATACCAAGTCACTAAGTCCTGTATTCTTTAAAACCTAAAAATAAATAGATAAAAATAATGATTAGATTTCCGTTTAATATCTTTTTTTTTGTTTCTTTAAATGTGAACATACAACAAAACCAATTGTTTTAATCATTAGGAATTGATCAGATGCTGGTAGTAATAGATAAAATCTATCTTCGAGATAGTGTTGGTCATCATCGATTTGATTCAAATCTGCTCCTTTGATCATTCCATTGGTTGTGACGGTTTGTTTGTCAATCTTGGTCGATCCAGCCTTGTCAAATATACCAGCAGTCAAGAATCTAATAGCTGTGTTTTTAATTGATCCCATACCATAGGGTCTCTCTCCAAAACTACTTGCATTTTGTCCATTAATTATAAAATTATATCTTTCACCTTCAAATAAATAACTAATATTATAAATTGGCATATAAATAGTTCTATATGTAATATTATCTAGAAAATATAAATAAATATTAAATATTAATAAATGAATAATAATTATTTTTTGAGATCTCTCATACCAAAAGTTGTAGTAGTTTCAGTATCAGCTACAGTATGTGCCAAATGATCTCTTTTTAATTTTTGGTCATTTCCATAACACTCATTTCTTTTAATCTTTGTTTCAGCATATTTCCAAGCTTCTTCCCATGAAATCTTTTCCAATGGTTTTGCAATTTTAAATAAATTTGGATCCTTTTTTAAATAGCTTTGTTGTTGTTGATTTGGTTGTTGTTGATTATTTTGATTTGGTTGTTGAGGATAAGATAATAAATTTTGATTACCACCATTTAATTGTGGAGAAACTGGTAAGATATCAGTGATGGGGAAATTTAATTGTGGATGTTGTGAATGGAATGGTTCAGTAAATTCAATTTTCCAATTGGCTATTTCCTTTGTATCGACATAGGGTGGTGGGTTATCTGTTGATATATGATTGCTGTTTTGTTGTTGTAGTATTTGTAGTTGTTGGTGTTGTTCATTCATATTTGAACCAATAGGAGAATATACCAAAACATCATTATGAGATTGAGTATATGGATGAGATGTAGCTCTACTCCATTCAATCTCTTCAGTTTCACTAAGAGATCTTCCACTATTACCATCGACAACCAACGCTTGTTGTTGGTTGTTTCTGAGATGACCAACACGACCTCTATGAGTCGATGTTACAAGGGCAGTAAAAGCATAGTATGGCACAAAGAGATAGGATATCTCTAGTGTCTTTTCAAGTTGTTCTCTGAAATTGGTTGGTGCAAACCATAGTGACTTGTACCACTCTTGGAATATATTGACTGCTTTTGTAGGTGACACTACATATGGTAGAATAGCCACTCCATTTGGTTGGTTGTGTGGATACATCATATGTTGGGGTATTTGTACACTATTTCGATTATTGCTATATTGTAATAGGTTTGGTGTTGATTGATAATATTGTGGTGGTGATGGTTGATATTGTTGTTGTTGTTGATAATAATGTTGTGATTGACGATGCATCATCAAATGATGTGGATGAGGTTGTTGTGATTGTATTGGTAATGGAGGTGATTTATAAACAATTGGTTCTTGTTCTTGTATTTGCTCCACCTCTTGTTGTTGTTGTTGTTGTTGTTGTTGTTGTTGTTGTTGTTGTTGTTGTTGTTGTTCCTCTTGTTGCAAAGGTTGAACATTCTCTACATAAAGTTGTTGAGTTTGTGATAATCTTGTTGTTGTATGGCTACCACCATATGATTGATCTTGACCAATTGTATAATGTTGTTCTTGTGTTTGATTAGACATCATTAAATAACTATTATCAGTTTCATATGTAATATTATTATTATTATTATTTGAATATGAACTAGTACTGGTAGTAGTGGTAGTATCCATTTGATCATTGTTGTTATTGACACCAGTATTTTCAGTAGAGTAGTAATGTATATCTGTTGATTTTTCAAGACTGACAAATGCAGATGACGATGATGTTGATATTGGCATTGACGATGCAGAGGTTGTAGTAACGGTTGTTGTATCCTCCATTGCGTTGGTTGAACTTGCAATTGTAGTAGATATACTAGTTGAAATGGATGATGCCGATGGCAAGAGGTTGAGCAATGATGAGAACCAACGTGATTTTCTATTATTCTTCTTTTCACTCTCTTCTATTGCCATTGCTTCCTTTGCTCTTTCTTCAGCTTCAGCTGCTGCTGCCGCTGCATTTTGGTTATCCAATTGAATTTGATCGTAAATAGCTTGCTGTTCAAGTATAAGATTTTCTTCTTTTTCTATTTGGTCTTGTTGTTGGTTGTCAACTTGCTCTTGATCTTGTTCCACTTGATCTTGTTCTTCATATTGTTGTTCATCTTCTTCCATTTGGTAACTTTCAGTGTTGTTGTTGTGAAGATGGTATTCATCAACATCCAATATCTCTTCTTCACTTGGTTGTCCATCTTCTCCTCCATCATTATCATCTCCTTCCTCTTCTTCTTCTTGTTCATCAAGTACAATAAACTCTGATACAACTCTATCAAACTCTGGTGACAATGAAGAACTATCTTCGCTTGATGCAGTTGAGCTTGTTGATAGAGTAAGATCAATCACTGGTGTCACCGATGCAGCTGCTTGTTGTTGTTGTTGTTGTTGTTTTTGTGACTCAACACTTGTTGTTCTACTCGTACCTATAGGGGTTTGTTTCTGTGCTGTTAATCTTGCAGAAGAGGTAGTTGTTCTCGTTGAAGATGATGTCAACGTAGGTCTTGACGTGGTAGTCGTAGTTGTTCTACTACTTGGTATAGTTCTACCCGACGATGATGATGTTGTTGTTGTTGTTGTTGTTCTTGTTGAAGTCGGAGATGTTGAAGAAGTTGATGTGGTAGACAATGGTTTTCTTACAACTCTTGTAGTTGATGTACCGGTTGTAGTACTACTACTAGTTATAGGAGGTGTTCTACCAGTTGTTAAGTTTGGTAACGATGCATGTTTAGAAGTGACAGGAGCTCTAGGTACCGATGTAATAGATGACAATGGTTTTGTCTTTAATGTTGATGTTAATGTTGGTGACGATGTAGATGATGTAGTCGTCGTCGTCGTCGTAGGTACTCTTTTACCTACAACTGCACCACTACCTGTTGTTGACCTACTCGTACCAGTTCCTGTAGTTGTTGCAGAGGAGGATGAAGAAGAGGAAGATGATGAAGAAGAAGTAGTTGAGGATGGTTTGGAGGAGGATGATACCTTTCGATCCATCTCTCTATCTATCTCTATCTATCTCTATTTCTCTATTTCTAATATCAATATTGACTGAAACTGAATTTGAATGATAATGATGATTTATTATTATTTATTGCAGTAGCAATAATATGAAAGCAAATGTCTTTTTTGCTTCTTTGCTGTCTCTATTGAATTTTCGTTGAATAAAATTGGTGTAACAAAAACAAATATTTGTTTGGTCCCACTTAATTATTTGATACTATGCAACCAACAAAGAATTTAGATAAAAAGAACAGTAAAGTGTGGGGGTGTGTATGAGTCACCATCAATCAATCATTGTAACCCTTTTTTGGTAATTGATCATTCACTTCAATGCATTATTGAAGTTCTTGTATTGGTGATTGTAATCATCACTTTCAAGCAATCAATATCGATTGATAGGATATGAAAGGTTCCCCCCAACATAATATAGTTACTCGCATGCATACACCTATCCTCTTTGGGCAATCAAATTCAGACAACCTTGTATCCAAAGGTAAGTTCACATACACTCTTTAACAATCAGCAAAGCAGCTAATATTTTGCTCCCTTCTATTTTAGTCAATAGACGGCTACACAGTAGTATTCATTGGTCTAGCAACAGTTATATCGTAAATTATTAATAATTTTATATTAGAAATTGATATTAATTATAATCATTTATATTAATAACAATATATAATATTATTTATATTTATAGAAACCATTTCAAAATAGACAAAGTGATTCAATAGACAAACCAATCAGAAATCCATCCACCGTCTTTACGCATTGGAATTTGTAAAGCTAATTGAAAGACGTATTGCTCAATTGTGAGGCCTCACAAATCAAACTCTTCAGAAAGGAGCCAAAGTTTGGGAGGAAGATGGTCATTCCAGCACCGGATGCTGAGACAGCATATTAATTTAACATTCAGTTAGAGGAGAAACATTTATATCCTTCTCATCTTTCACTATTCTTTGGGGTTAGATGATTTTGTTTTAGGTTGTCATTAAATTTGAAGAGACTAAATTGTTTGACGATGAAACATGGTCTTTTAACTTTACAACAATTCAAACCCCAATCTGTAAATATGCTGGCATGGTGAAGTATCTTAAAAGACCATGTTTCAATCTAATCATTACTTGTGCCACCATCGTCAAAGTATGTAATTATTATTATTTTGTATTTTCCATCCAAAAATCAACGAAATTCAAAATAATTTTAGACAAACACAAAAGAAAAGACGAACGAAGCGAAATTGCTCTGCTCTCTCACATCCTTTGAAATCTTGTTTTATTGTTTCTACATTTACAAATATATATATAGTACAGTAGATTAGTTGTTATCATGTCGAATAACGATACAGTACCTTCATCATCATCATCTACAACAGAAAATACAGCAGCAGCAGCTACAGATGTCGTTGTTGGTACACATCAGGTTACGATGGGTTTCACAGAACCAGTGTACGAGCTTAGAGAGTTGACATCTGACTTTTTCCCAAACAAGATAGGAGGTAATCCTGTATGTTGTCGTAAACTAGTAGAATACTACTATACTATTCTATACTATACTACTATCATTTCAATAAAGAGAATGTTTATTAATATTAATGTATATTGATTTCCTTTCCTTTTTGTATTCAATCAATGAACAGGCATGGTTAGATTTAGAACATATCCCAACAAGAGATCAGATGATGTGTTCGAGATGTGACTCTCAATTCTCTTTTTTGTTACAGGTGCGATAATATATTATACAACATTAGATATATATAAGAGATAAATATATACTAATTATGATTATTGTCTCTTTATAGTTTTATGCACCATGGAGTGATTTTGAATATACATATCATCGTACTATTTATTTGTTTTGTTGCAAGAGTGCACAATGCAATAATTACAAGGTATTTAGACAACAATTGCCGCTTGACAATCAAGTATATGAGATTGATCAAGAAGAGAGACGTTATGACGACGATTTCAAGGTAGACGAGAAAAAGATGAGCAAGAGACAGGTGACATGCGAGTTTTGCGGTTTACACGCCACCAACAAGTGTGGCAAGTGCAAGCAAGTCAACTATTGCTCCAGAGACCATCAATCGATCGATTGGGAATTGCATCACCGTGAACACTGTGGCAAGGCAACCACCTTGTTGCATAGAAAGAAACATCAACATCATTTTAAACAATTCCTCATTATCTGCGAAGACGATGAATTTGAAAACTATGATCCACTCACTGCCAAACAATATATCAACGAGGATGACGAAGACGAAGACGATTATGATCTCGAAGAAGGAGAAAATGAACAACCAAAATCAGCAACTGGTAATGAATTGGTACCTATTTCATCCAATGTACAAACGGGAGAGGTCGATACACATGCTCCAGGTATGGAAGATTACCAAGATTATCTTGGTGAAACTGGACTCAAAGATGAATTCTCTGAAAGAACATTTACCAATATGAAAGATAGAGAATTATATCAATTTAAACTTACTACTAAACCTGATCAATCTCAAGTTTTAAGGTTTGTAAAGAGAGAGACAGAAAGGAGTATTAAAAAATTATTTTATTAATATTTATTTATATGTTTGTAGATATTGTAGAGAAGATAAATATAGAGTTTTATGGGTAGCAGAGGAAAATAAACCAAAGGATTTAACAACAGATATTCCAAAATGTTCAAATTGCAAGAGTGAAAGAAAGTTTGAAATGCAAATTCTACCACAACTCTTACATTTCATCGAAGTCGATAGTGACAAGTTGGCATCATTCAATGACATTGATTTTGGTGTTTTAAATATTTATACTTGTTCAAGTTCATGTCAATTCTCAAATGAATCTGGTGTAATTGAAGAATTTTTATGGAGACAAAATTTTTCAAAATAAATAATATAAATAATATAATAATAATAATAGTTTATTCTTTTGATTGGTTTATTTTAATTTAATATCTAAATTTGAAATTTCTCTTTGTCTTTTTAATTTTTTCCTTATTGTTACAAAACTTGCAATGGCAACGGCAGAAGCACCGATAATTGAGAATACTACAATAATTGCTATCTTCCATGCTGCTAAAGATTCACAATCATCTTTAGTGTCTGGTTGTACGAGTGCTGAAAATGATGGATCAATGATGACACTATTTTCAAAATGAGGACAATTGACAGCTGCCAATAAATTGTATTCGTCATTTGATGTGGCTACATCGAGGTAGAGTGGGTCATTTGAATCGAGGAGTGTAATACTAGTTCTAATGACACGTTGATCTGATAATAGACGGTCGGCAAAATTGGCATTCATCACTGATCCACCATTCTTTAATTGGAAAAAGTAGATTGATTCACCCGATGTGGTGGTGGTAGTAAGGGTAGCCTCACTCTCTTGACAATTATAAGTAGAGTATTTAGGTGATTTGGTATTGAATATGGCTTGTATAGTGTTGGTATTGGATGTCCAAGTCCAATTTGAAATAGCTAGTTCATATTTGACAGAATCGCTTGGCATTGAGATTGTCTGGCCCGCAAATACAATATCTTGTGATTGATTGTAATAAGTGACCGTGACTTGCAAAACTGCAGTGTCATTTGGGAACATTCCTTGATACAGTTTGACATTTGAATCACCACCATAGTTGTTGGTTACATTCCATTTGGTAGTACTTGTTTTGAGGATTTTAACAGTGGTCTGTCCGTCGATATCTAGCTCTCTGAGGTGACTAACCGCCACTGTAAAATTGACTTTAGATGGTAATGTAGTGTTTCCATTACCGTCGGTTGAGGGTGGGGTACCACTGCCACCACCACTGACAGAGCAATCTTGTGATGATTGGTATCCAACTTCACAAGTACACTTTCCAGTTGTATTGGAGCATGTACCATGACCTGAACAATTGTTTGGACATGCTAGAGGTTGTGCATAGAGGAATGCATAATTACTACCTGTTAGGTTATGAGCAGTCACTGTAACGAGGAGTGTTTCATTTAGTGGACTATCAACACTACCATCATAATGACACACCAAATGAGTTGTATCCAACAAGTAAGGAGAACCACATTCCACAGAAGCAATGGAAACTGTCAAATTATGTCCATCTCCAAATGACACACCTCTAATGGTCACATTGCCACCAACTCTTTTAAATACAGGTGAAGCATCTAGAATGACAGGTTCAGCATATTGATAGTTGATAATACCAGTTGTTTGATTGGTTGATTTAATTTCAAAGTCAAAATAGTCATAACCATTGGGAACATTACATTCTATTATAGTCTTGTTTAAATCTATGTATCTATATTCCATTGAAATGTTGGTTTGATTATTATTATTATTACTATAGTACATAATATCAAATGGTATGGATTGACCAGATGAATCAGAGTTGACTAGGTAGAGACCAGTGATAGTCATTTTACCATTGGTTGTGTATGGTATTGGTTGAACAGACTTTATAAATGGACGTATATTTAAATCCAAGTCATTTGATTGTAATCCATCAATTACCAATTTGATTTGACTGTTTTTAGAATTGTCTTGTATCTTTATGACAAGTAACTGAGGAATATTCTCTAACCACGATGGTTGGATAGTGGCATTTTGATAATCCAAATAGATATTGTCTGGTTTCTGACCAAATTCATTACCCAAAATAGTAATAATATTGTAATTACTAATGGTTGCATTTGGGTCAATTGAAATGGCAGTAATAATTGGACTAGCACAAGTATACAGTAATCCATTTGACATTGGTCTCTCACCAATTTGAACTGACAATTGATTCATACCAGTACCACCAATCTCTGTAAAATAGGTAATAGTTTGAGTATTATTGACGATAACCGGTTTGTTTAAATAATAATCGTTGGTATGACTATTGTAAATTTGTGGTGCTGGTAAGGAGGTCTGGTTGACTGGATCCCAAGTTTCGAAAAATCTACCTGAAATGGTAATGTATTGACCCCAAGTTGTAATGTTTTGGTTGGGTGTGATCGAGGTGATGTATGGAGTGAATGCAAATTCAATTGAATCGGCTGGATAGTTTTGTGCTTTGATTGATATGTTTCCACTGGACGCTTGGAGAGGTAGTGGATTGCATACAATGAACGTATCGTTTCCTTGACAAGCTATATTCGATGCATTACCAGCTGATATGATCAAGTTGGAGACTACACCAAAATTATTTCCATAAATCTCGATATAGTCTTGTACTTGGTTTACTCTCTGCATGTACGGTGTCTTGAAGGTCAGGGATACATTCGAGTTGGATGGTTGACCTGATACAGTCACCACAACAGGCTGTCTTCCACTTCCAGCAGATACTGTACACGCTATACTCGAGTGATTCACCAATACACGTACAGAGGTGCATGGGATTGACCCGACCGAAACCTGAATCAAAGATGCATCAGTGTAGAAATTGGTACCATTGATTTCAATCTCTCCACCAAAGGGAGACAGTTCTTGGGTGACTGCAGTTACGAGTGGAGCTGCATAGTAGTAGTTGTACACGTTGGATAGCTGCTTGCCAACAGTCAGCTGCATTGCAAACGGACCACCCGAGCCTGGTGGAACAACACACGCAAACTGGCGATGTCCAACAACTATAACCAACTGGCTGCAAGTCAATCCACCGCCAACCGACAGAGACACGTTTGCCAACTGATTCCAAAGACTGCTACCATAGATATTGATAGTGGAACCTGCAGTTAATCCTCCTGGAATCGAATCAATCTTTGGCGCATTGTATTGGATGAATTGGGTGTTGGCAGTGGTAGACACTCCATCGATGCTGACTGATATCGCGTATGGTCCATCAATGCCGATTGGAACATTGGCACTCAGAGAACTAGCAATAAAGTCACGCGTATAGGTAAGAGTCGATCCTCGGTAGGTAACCACCGTCGCACTAAACTGGGTGCCATAATTGTCCATCAGCAACGCGACAGCTCCACCACTCGAGTCTACCAAGTTGGTAATATTGCTGATAAACTTTGGTTGACTCCCACCATACTCTGTCAGGGTCGAACCAATTGTCGTGAGGACTGAAGTGCCAACTATCTTGGTTGAATACATCGACCATGTGATATGAGTGGTTGTAGTCCACCCAGTTTTATTTGGTGCAATCGGAGCATACAACCCTCCGACAACTTCTTGACCCACTCGAGGAGCATCCAAATAATAGTATTTTTGATTGGTTGGTTGATAGTATGCACCTTGCCAAGTATCCCATGAATGTCCCGGTATTGGAAGTGGCAAAGTCCTATTTAAAAATACATGTAAATCCACATTATTGACTACTCCACGATGTCCAACCTGACCATCAACCCTCAACTTTGTTGCATATATTTCATTATCATCCCATGTAGTATCACTAATAAATCCAGAATAAAATAATTTATTCTTTGCAAAGTCTAAAATAATAAACAAAAAAAAAAGATTAATATATTATTATTTATAATTATTTTAATATTATAATTTACATACATAAAGAAGCTTTAAAAGATTGAAATGAAATAGAGTCAACAGTGATTGTAAGAGGTAATATTTTGTTTTGACCTAGAGCACTAGCTAGTACACATTTAATGGCCTGACTAGGTACGATAAAGGTGACAGTATTACACTTGATGGTTCCATTACTGACCGAGACTGATATCTTGGAGGGATCATTTCCAAGGTTATTTCCAGTCACTGTGATAGTATCACCTGCATTGTATGCAGGATAGATGGTTGAAATGAATGGACTTTGGTATTGATAGAGAACAGTGTCATTCTTTCCACCACTAGTGGTAGAGGAGTCGTAGAAAAAGACAGAATACGATCCTGTTTGTGGAGGTAATGTGCAAATGACCGATGTAGAGTTGATAATCGATGTTACAGGACACTGAAATTTGGTAGAAGGGGTTGATTTCTTTGTAAAGTTGATTTGAAGCGTTGAAAGTTGATAACCAACCAGATTAGTGATGACTATTGGTCCTCCCGACGTTTCAGCCTGTTGCATTGCCGGTTGACTCAACCCACCATACTCACAAATCCATGTGGTAATACTTGCAGTATTTGCATTATTATTCCAATATGATATATTATAACTTGATGATGTATGAAGAAAATTCTCTCCTCTTCTTAACTATATATATATAATTAAGATAATGTTAATGTATGTTATAATATATATATACTGTAAAGTACTTACATTAGGTTCTAAAATACCAAAATGACAACAACGATAACATTTATCAAAGAATAGATTATACATTGGTTGACCTTTGAGTGGACCTTCGTTGTAGTACCATAGACCGACCTTTGAAGGTGCAGGGTCATCTCTTCCACCGATCCAAGATGCGGTATTGTTGACTAGGTTCGATGAGAGTGCCCATGCCCACTCTTCGTCACTTGACCATTGTACAATGTATCCTTTGTAACCTTGATAGGTACGATTAGAGCAATCCCACGTAGCATTGATCGCTGTGACTGGTCCAGCTGGCAACCAAAACTTTTGATACCATCTACCTGTAATCGGACTCTTTATACTAACTTGTGTAGTTGCACCTTGAATAATTGCACCTACAAACTGATCGTAATCTATACATAGACATAAAATCAATAATACAATGGTTTTCGAAAATACCAAATGAGTTTGTGAAAAGCGAGGGTTGGAGATGAACATCCTCCACACTCTTTTTTTCCTAAGTATCGAAATTTAAATATGATTATACCAAGGTAACTGTAAGATAGGTATAATACTATTAATAGATTTTATAACTAAAATTTTAAAAAAGATGATAAATATGAACTAAACTAAAACCCATTCATCTTATAACCTCATCGTATCATGAAAACAAGATTTGTTGTTGTTTCGGAGTATCTTGAATGGGTACGGGTATGCGTGGTTCCCAACCAGTGCGACTTCGGAGTTTGAAGAACAAAAATTTGACGAGGTATTTTGAAAGATACCCGATACTTATTCGGATTTCTGAGCACTGAAAAAATCATTCATCTGTGGAGGTTGAGAAGGAGATATTTTTTCTGAACTCGATTTGTCTAGAAAACTTTCTCTAACTTCTAACTTTCTTTATTTCTTTTCTTTTCGCTACTCTTCAAGGTATCGAGTTTTTTGAAAAGTTAAGTAATTTTAAAAAAAAAATATTTACTTTATTTTTTTTTTGAATCTGTTTTATTGAACCCTAAAAGAAGGCTTGTTGGACCAAATTTGGAAGGCTTTTTTTGAGTTTTGAGGTGAAGTTGAGGATTTAATTTAATTTTAATTTTTTTATTTGAATGGTTACATCCTTTAACGGATCATGGTGCATGGATGCTGGCTTGCTCCGACAAAACAAACTACTCTTGGTACTTTGAATTCTTCAGTACTTGACAAGGTTAAATACATATCAAAATATATAGAAATATAGAATAATAATAATATTGTTGAAACACCAACAAATACAAGCTCAATGAATTTAATAGTTTACAAATACAGTCATTTTACTGATATTTATCATACTTAATAATAATAATAAACATATAAAATTGAATTTATAAAAGTACCCTTTTAAATAATATATAATATATCATTAATTCATAAAGACAAGATAAAAACAAAAAAAAAAGTAATAATAAGATTTTAAAATTATAATAATTATAAAGATATAAAAGTAGGAATCAAGGAATAATACAATCATACATTTAAACAATAATAATAATAATAATAGTAATAATAAGATAGTAGGATTTTTAATTTTTTATTTTCCCATTTCCATTTATTTAATTATTTATTTATTTATTTGTTCTATCAATTATCTCAAACATTCTCAAAACCCAATATTATTCAATGTCCAAACCCAATATTATTTTTGGTAACTACAACGACATCTAATCCAACTAGAATATTATCTGATTGTATCGGATGGATAACCAACCACTCGTTAAACGATCGAGATATTCATTCCCTTTCTAGAAATACACCCATTCCATTCCATTTAATTTCATTTTCCCATTCCCTTTCTCCTTCCTCCTCATCCGATCAAAGAATAATAATAATAATAATATTTGATCCATATATCAAGAACGACCAACAACCCTAAACCTTAACCTCCCCCTCCTCTATCATTGCAATCTTGTCAAGATTAAAGTGCCGCGATAAATTTGGAACACCCCACTCCCAATCACACACTCCCTCGTTTGTGTATCCATCATCACACTGATTCAACCAACTGATTCAATTTCAAAAATTTAAGCTTCTCACCACCCACCCACACTCATACCCAATCACCACCAATATCAGACCCTAACCACTGATCCGTGTTTTCAATCAATCAATCATTATCACTGTGCTATTCCAAAGTTGATCCACTACAGATCAAACGAACATTTTTCCGTTCCACCATTCCTCATTCTTTAATTCATTCATTCACATTCTAGTTTAACAGACTTTTTAAATCTATTTATCAATATCAATATATTTATTTCTTTGTATTTTTATTTCGTTCTTAATTAATTAATAGAATTATTTATTTATTTATTTTTTCATCAAATCTAGATAATACAATATAGATCAAATATAATTTAAAAAATGTTGGCAAAAGTATGTTTATATTTATAACCCTTCCACCCACTTGAGTTTATTAATATGCCATTCAATTAAACTTTAGGGAGCAAGTCATTTAGTATCAGAAGTTATTGCAACTTCAACAAGATTAACACAAAGAAGAGCTTCTATTGAATTACAAAAATCAATTCAAGAGGGATCCAATACACATATCAGAAGAAATTCAATTTGTGGGCCATGTTCTGATGGTCCCGCTGATCTTCATCCTCCCACCAACGGTGTAATTGGTGGTAGTGGTCATTCAACTGCATTTACAAGTTTATATCATACATCTAAACCAATTCTACCTGATATCCCTGCAAATGATTCATTTATGATTCCAACTATTTTGGAAAATGGAAATCCAATTTGTATGTCATACAAACAAAGTACAAACAAAAGAAAAGAATCTTTTATATCTAATTTATTTAATTTATTTAATTATTTTTAGTGAGAAATCCTATTAAAGAAGAAGAATCATTATTTAAACAAATACAAAGTCGAAGAAGAGCATCACTTGATGATTTTGTTGGTAATGGTACCAAAACACATCGTAGAAGATACTCATATGATGGTAAATTAGATTTATTATACGGTACACATTATAAAATCAATTTGAATATTTAACCCTTAAACATTGTTCATATAATATTAATTTAATTATTATTTTAGGTCTACCATCGAAAAGAATGGAAAACATATCTGAAATTAGTATTGGTGATATTTCAAAACTCAATCTAAATAGTACTTTGAAACAACAAATCAAAGAGAATAATGTAGTTGATATCGATGCCAAGAGAACTTTTGATCAAGCTTGGGGTAATTTGGTTAGAAAATATGGTGTTCAAAACTTGAATCTTCCAAAAGATGTAACTTGGTTGTTGGGTGGTCCAGGTGCTGGAAAAGGTACAAATACTGCCATTCTACAAAGTGCACTTGGTATAGAATCTAAACCAATTGTAATGAGTTCACTTTTAAATAGTGATGGTATGTTTTACAGATAAATAACTAATTTTAGAAAACAAATACTTACTTTTAAATTTTTGTTTCCTTTTAGAATGTCAGGCACTAAAAAAATCAGGAAAATTAGTAAATGATACAGTTGTATTGGAAATGTTATTAAAGGAAATAACCAAACCTGATATAATGGGAGTACGATCAAATGGAATCATTATAGATGGGTTCCCAAGAAACGCCAAACAAACCAGATTCGTAGAGATGTTGTATGACAAGATTGTAGAGTTGAGACAACGTATCAACCCCAATGCATCGTTACCAAAGTTTAGAATCACAGTTTTACACGTTTCTGAAAAGGAGAGTGTCAGTCGTCAACTTGGAAGAGGATTAAAAGCACTCCAAGAAAATGAAAAGAGAAAGACCGACAGCCTCCCTCCCATCGAGGTCCGTGCCACCGATATCGATCCACAAGCTTGTAAAGGTCGTTACGATACCTATCTCGCTGAATACCAAAATGTTCAAAGACTTGGTAAAAGATTTGATTACACTGAAATCGATGCCAACGGTTCCAAAGATCAAGTTGAAAAAATAATCGAATCAAAGTATTCCCAACTATCTATTTATAATTAAAATCGAATCGACTCCGACCATGGTCTATGGACTACCCCCCCCTCCCCATCTACCTAATATTCAATCAATTGAATATTTTTTTCACATATTTAAATAATATTAATATTATACCTCATCCAATTCCAAAAAAATGATTAATAATAAAATAGTTTTAAAAATCAATAATAATACTTTGTTTGTACAATATATTTTAATGTGAATAATATTTAGGTCGTTTATTTAATTCCCTAAACTTTTGTTTAATAAATATATATTTTGATTTGAATTGAATTGATTTCTCTTTTCAAGCACCAACACTCCAACATTCAACTACGATTGGATTGAAATCACTTGCATAAGAGAGACATTGATTTTTAAATGTTTCGCAAACTCCACTTGACCCATGAAGGAAATCAGTATCCATCCAAAGACCAAATGATGAACCTCCACCAACCACAAAATATTCAAACGTAGAATAAATGAAAAAGTCATTTTCTTTGGACCACTTCCAAACATTAAATTCTGGATATATTTTAAATAAAAAGGTTTCACCATCTCCATAAAATTTGGCATCCTTTGTTCTAATTTCATCTGATAAAAATGCTCCAAATACATGACCACCATTATCTTTAACCAAGAGGATTGAAAACTTGATACCTTTCATTTTTCTGAAAAAAGTTTGAAAAGAGACACCATCATTGGTAGAATTATATTTCAACTCTACGTCATTGCCTTGGAGTCGAATGGGGAGATAATGACGAAGTCTCTTGAATATTTCAGAGGTTAGCAGAGCATCTTCCAATGGTTTTTCATACTTTGTAAATGTTTGAATGAGTTTTGGTGAATAACTGTGTTCTTCAAATGACCCTCCACCAAGTGATGCAAGAGTTGGTGGTAATGCAATTGGAATGGGTGGTGGTAATTTAACCAATGGTATTGTTGTTGCTGTATTGTTGATTGGTGTTGATCCAAGAACAGGTGAAACTGCCATTGGTGAAGATTCTTTACGATCAACAATCAATTTTTTTAAAAATGAGAAACTCTTTTGTACACTAAAAAAAAAAAGATATGTAAGTATAAAAGTCTATATATATATTCATTTTGTTTGTGGTTGGTTTGTTTTCTTACCTATTTTCATCAATACCTCTCAAGAATAAAGTTTGAATATATTTATCCTTGTAAATCAATAGGTAGATACAAGGGAAAACCAATACTTTTTTATCCTTTCCATTGATTGATATGGTATTTTCCTCTTCCAATTCATTTAATTTTGAAATTTCACTTTGGATAAATACATCATATTCATGATTATCTTGATTCTTTTTTTTAATTAAACTTTGTTCTTTATTCCAATCCCTAAAAATTAAAAATAAAATATAAAAGTATATATTAGTATCAATATAATATAATTTAACAATTATTTGTTTTTTTTTTTAATATTACCTTGATAAATGAGCAATCCATTCAGTTTTGTTTGGGAAATATTTACAAGAAATGATTTGAATGTAATCGGCAAATATTTGATCGGTATTGTAATGTGATTGAAAAATAAATTGATAAGGTGTCAATGTTAGAGTACCATAGATTCTTTTGTTTTTTGTAAAGCAAATTAATTGTTCCTTGTGAATGCTTTCTTTGGGGATTTGAGTAAATCTAGTTCTATGACTACCCCAACTATATTTATCACTTGCCGTATCAAATGAATTTTGACTAGTTGATTTTGTGATTAGAGCTGATCCACGAGATGTCAGAGCTTGTTCAACATGAATGGTTGGTATAGTACCATCCATTTTACCATTTCCACTTGATGCTATAAAATTTGGATCCAAAGTTTGAAATGCCATTTGCACTTCCTCTTTGACTGGTTTGAAAAGGTCATTTATGTTTATATTGGATGAATTGCTACTTCTACTTCTTGGTCTATTTCCAGTGAATGGTGATTGTTGTTGTGATTGTTGTTGTGGTGATAATATAGCAATAGTTGGAACAATCAATGGGGATGCGAGTGGAGTCAATGAAATTGAATCTTCAGATGATACACTTGTATTTAAATCGCCGTTGATTGATAAATTATTCAGATCTAATGGTATCTTTTCCAAATCTTGTCCCTGTTGTTGTTGTTGTTGTTGAAATCTATCCTTTTTTTTAAATACCCATAATATCTAAATAGAAATAAAATATTAGTATTCTATCTCAATAATCATTCTTAATATTTAATATTGTTTAACATACTTGACCAGGAATAACCATATCAGATAATAAACGATTTGTTTGAATGATTACATTTCTTGGCATATTAAATTGTAATGCGATTCCAGTAAGAGTATCGGTTGGTTTAACTTCATACATTTCAAATAAAACAGATTGATTACTATTATAGTATGGTGCATTTGGAGGTAATGGTGCAAAAGATGATCCAATCGATCCAGCTCGATGTCTATACCCAGATGATGATGTATCTTGCTGTGATTGTAATATTGGTGTTGCACTATTACTTCGACTACGGAGTTGTTCTCCATCTAAATCTCTTTCATGATCAAAACTATTATTACCATTAGTATATTCACCAATCGAAGTCAAAACAACAGGTGAAGTTGGAGGTATTATTGTTGTTGTTGTAGTTGATGTTGTCGATGTCAATGTATTTGGTTGAGTTGTATTATTATTATTATTGGAATCTGTTGGTGAAGGGTATTGTCTTTGATAATCAGACAATCTAAATGGTTGCATTGTCAAACTAGTTCTCTTGCTAATCTGTGGCGAATCAACAAAATCTGTAATGTTTTGGTAGCATGTAGGTTCCTTTTCAATCTCTTGTGAATAAAACTCTGAAAACTTTTTCAATAGTTGATATAAAAATGGTTTCTTTGTTTCAATAAATTCTAATGATAATCTATCAAGTTCCTAAAGAAATACAAAAAAATAGAAGTGAATATAAACTAATTTACTTAATATATTTAATTTTGTTTGTTTCTTACCTTTTTTAATTGAACCTTTATATTATTTGTAGTTGGTGAAGATTTAATTAATATTTCAAAAGATGGAGCTGCAGAGGGATACAATGAAGGAAATGAAATAATGAGGATGATTTTACGATTGTCAATATTGACGACACATATTCTTTCTGTCATGTTTGTTTTCTCGATGGTTAGATTGCTAAATTTCTCTTGGACAATTCTTAATAATTCTTGGCTTAAATCTAATGGGTAATTTCTTTTTCCTCCTATCCCTATTGATTTTGATTCTGGTGATAATAAACTATCAACATTTACAATATTCTAAAAGAAATTGTTGAAAATATTAATATTTCAATCTTTCATTTAATTGTGTGTATCTACTACTATTGTACTTACACCAATCATTTCATCTGTAAATTTCCACATTTTAATAAAATTATCCTTTCCAAGTGAAACTAGATAATATTTTCTATCGGTAGGATCACTTGGAGTTGCACCATCAACTATTCTCCAATCAAATGATAAAACTGGACTTTGATGACCAACTAAATTCATCACTGATGAATCATTTGAACCTGACCAAAATGATATTTCATTATCTCCTTTTTGTTGAATCGTTGCTACTACTTTTTGACTTGTAAATGGCTAAAAATATAAATACAAATACAAAAGTTATTAATAAATGATGATACAAATAAAGATTTAATGTTTTGTTTCGTTTTTGACATACAACAAATTTTGAAAGACTACATGGTGAACCAATTTTATAAGATCTTAATAATTTTGAAGGTGGTGATGCATCCCAAATTTTGATGGATCGATCAGTTCCACATGTCAATATGGTACTTTTATCTTTATGATGCCATTCAATAGATGGAATTCCACCAATATGTGCTGTAAATGATGTTAATGGTGATCCAAATTTCTAGAAAATAAGAGAGAAATAAAATAATGATGTTAATAAATATAATATATATATGGTTCCCCATTTTTAGCATACTCTAATATCCCAAATTTTAATTTCACCACAATGAGAAGAAGCAATCATAGTTGAAGAATGTGGATTCCATTCGATTTGATTAAGACTTGATTGAGCATTGATCAATGTAGATGCATTCTTTTGATCTCTTAAATCCCAAATCTTGATGAATGAATCACCCGATGCACTAGCCAATATATTTGAATCTGCCATATTCCAAGACAATGAAGAAATGTGTCTTGAATGTGCCTTGTTAAATGAATATACATATTTCTCTTCATTTGTATCATATACAAATAAATTGGTTCCATTCTAGAAAAGAATAAATAACAAAATAATCATAATATTATTAATAAGTCAGATTCATTAATGATGTATATTTATATATTTATATTTATATATTTATATACATACAGAAGTAGAAATTAGATTTGATTTTAATTTATCATGACACCAACTTAGGACTACATTGCCGGTACTACTACTATCCTTGGTTGGATACAATGTCTTTCTAAGAGTTATTTGTTCTTCAGTGTCACCACCATCTTGTGTCAATAAAAGGATATATAGGTTTCTCTCACTTCCAAGTGCAATCTTTTGTCCAGTTGCATCGGTTGCCAAAGACGATATTCTATACTTTTGTCCTTGTGTCATTTGATAACTAAGTATTGGTTGGTAATCATTTGATGATGTTGTTGATATTGATGACGACGAAGGTGCTATCATTGTTGTTGTTGTTGTCTCTCTTGTTTAGTTTTGAAAGAAGGAAGGAACAAAGGGAAAGAAAGGGTATGAATTTGATATTCTGATAATTTGTCTTGTCTCTTTCCTCTCTATGATAAGAAGAAGTATTTATAAATGAACTGGTCTGTCTAGTCTAGACTAGTCTGGTCTGGTCACTCCACTGTTACTAACTAATATGATTCAAATATTACAACAATAAATAACTATTGCATTATCTCTATCTGTTGTTTTGTTTTGTTTTGTTTTGTTTGTTGTAGTTGTAGGTAACGGTTACTGCCTGTTGTTGTTGTTGTTATTTGTTGGTATGTATATATATATATATATATATATATATCTGAAGAGAAGAGAAGAGATATCTAATAATAATAAAATGAATAGAGTAATTATACAGCAGGAGATGTGAAAGAGTGAGGTGAAGAATGAAAACTAATATCAAAGACACACACAACACACAGTCAGTCTAGTCTTGTGAGCAAACACATACACACAATTCGAATTGTGTGCCTGGAATGATGATAGTCTTTACTACTGCCCAGTACTACTATTAATTAATGCAATACTTTTTCAAAGTGGGCGAGAGTAGCAACGATGTGTTGTGGAGTGGTGAGTGACTGATGTTGTGGAATGATCAAATGACCAAGAAGAGGAATAATAATAAATATAAAAGTAAGTATATCTCTTTTCTTCTAACTATTAATAATAAATATCTTTTTTGATGCTTATAATGGAAATGAAGTCGACCAGACTTGTCGGGTTGCAACGAATGAGAGAAGTCGCTTAAACTTGGGAATTTCATTTCAACTGGGGCATATTTATATAAATTGGGTTTTGATTCAAATAGACAGACAGACACGATACGATATATATATAAATAGTTTACATGTATAATAATAACCGTTTGGTTGTTTTGGTTATTATAGAGTTTATTATGCTTAATAAATAGTGAGTGTGATGAAAAGAGATGGAAATGAATATTATTATTATTATTATTATTACTATTATTATTATTGTCGGTATTAACTAATTTTTACAATGAGATGTTGATACAAAAATACTTTTGTAGATTTTTGTTGTTGTTGTTGTTGTTCGCAATGGATAGGATTGGTGATTATAAATAATTATTATTATAATTATTTAACAATCGATTATTATTATTATTATTATTATTATTAATTTAAATGGTTTAAGGTTTAAGCCATTTCATTACCACTATGTTGTTGAGTTGCTTTCTTGTTGAAACGTTTTTGACCAAGTACACCAACAACACCAACACCAATGAGGAGGATGGCAAAGAGGGCGGTAGGGGCAATAAGGAGTGTCAAGGCATTAACCTCATCGACACAGACAATACCGTGGATGTCTTCAATAAATGGCATCAAGTTGGAGCACGAGATGAGTGGAATAACCGATTCGTTATAGATACCCTGGAACGAGATGAGTGCCCAGTAACCATCGATTACGACGTCGGACACATTTCGAAGTAGACCGTTGGCACACGTTGTATTGCATACGGTGACGTTGGCAACGGTGGTCACATTGTATGTGACGAGATGGTCGGGAAGGACACAGTCGGCGGGGTTGGTGATGGTGGTGTTGATGGCGCCGTCGGCGACTATATAGCAGCCAACGAGGAAATCAACGATGGGAGAGTCGAGGTAGTCGGGGAGCGTCTCATTATTACATGGCTCGTTGGGACACTGGACGATGATGGCAAAGCTGTCGTTGGGAAGGTTGTAGTTGGGCGGCTCGGTCCAGACGGGGATGGCTTGGCCACAGACAGCTCCGTAACCTCGATCACCGCATGTTTGGTTGTACACCGAGTCAAACATTTCATAGACCAACTCATTGAGATCGGCAAACACTGGGATGATGTTGGTGTCGTTTTCACAACCCGCGAAAATCTCGTTGACGATGGGGTTTGTAAAGTTGGAGAGACCAGACACACCGGTGGTATTATATGCAAGACACACATCCGAGAGCAACGAGTTGATTGGGTAATGTGCCGAAAAGACAATCCACATGAATGGCAATACAATGACGAGCGACAATGCACCCACACAACTGAGTAATGGGATGTTGCATAGACCTGCGACAGCCACGACAATACATACAACCAAACCAACAATCAAACCAGCCAACACGACACTATTACGATATCCACTGTACTTTTTAGACTGTTCGTTGATTTCGAGACCTTGGTCACGCACCTCTTTACCGTGTACCACAATATCATCCAAACGATTAATCATGTCATTAATGTATTCATTGAATCCAGTGACACGACTGGCTTGCGTAGCAGTAATATTCTGACTAATCACTTCAATCGATGCAATAGTGTCATTACCCTTTTGAAGAACAGTGTCACCAAAATCACCAACACCCTTTGTACTAGCACTATTACCAGTCATCGCTGTAATAAACAATGGTACTGCAGCAATAGCAAATCCAATTGCCAAGAATTTTAATACCAATACTTGACACTTTGTATATCCTTCTCCTGGTACCTAAAATATATATAAATAAATAAATTAAGATTAGTCAACATACATACATACATACATACATACATCTACTCATTCCTTTCTTTCTATATATACATACTTCTGGATCCAACTTTGGACCTGGACACATTAAACCATGAGTTGGATTACATCCACCGAAAAAGAAGCTACGACCCATCCAAAAGAGTACACTGAATACAAGACATACTAGGGCAATGATAAGAGTGACACCTGAGAGCAAAACAACGGCTTCACCGTACTTGGCCCAATCACAGTTATCCAATGGAGTGCCTCCACACAGTCCAGGTGGATATTCGGTCAGTTTCTGACCAGTTGTAAAGTATGTGTATCTATCAATACCAGAGTACTCTTTGATGATGTCTAATGCTCGTGATTGACTATCTGCCATTGCAACTCCACCACTCATCAATGCGATGAATAGTACAGTTGCACTAATCAATAAAATTCGATTCATCCTATAAATATTATTACAACTACTTCTATATTTATATGTATTATAAATAAATACTACTATTAATAAATAAATAAATAAATAAATAAATAAATATTACAACTTTTTTGTTTTCAAGATATAAAGATATAAAATTAATTGATTATTTGTTTGATTGATTGATTGATGATTGATTGTACAAAGTGTAGCTACCTTACAGAGTCAGTCTGTGATAGGTGTGGTGTGTGTATTTTAAATGAAAAGGGGAGGGAAAGGAGAGGGTAGTTTTAAAACTAAACTTTGAAGTTGTTCGTTTTTTTTTTATCTCTAACTACCACTAAATTTTAAGACTTGCTGATGAATGATTCGAAAATAATAATAATAATAATAACACTCACTCTACTCTTGATGCTAATGACTTGAGACCTACGAATGTATGTATTTATAAATATTATGATGATTAATAATAAACTACAAAGTTTTTTTGTCAAGGGTACCGCCAACCAACCACCTCCACTCCACCTGCTTAGACTTTCACCAACCAACCAAGTAATTTTTTCACCATGTGTTGTTGCAAAAAAAAAGAGATCGTACCATGCGACTCTATGTCCGATCGGTTGGCAACAATCAATCTAGATCATTGTTAATGTGTGGTTGGGGACTAATACCTACCTCTCGTCGTTTATTTTTAAACACATGATTCAAGGAACCTGCAACACCTCATTCAAATAATAGTAATCGTACACCCTCATATCTATGTATTAGATATCTCTGTTGTGTGTTCCTTTAAACCCAAGAACTATGTATGTATGTATGCAATGAACATACAGTACAGTTGTACAGCTTATTTATTTATTTAAAAGTTTAATCCAAGTTTGCAAGTTTGATTTGGTGTTTTGATGTTGATTTACTTCCTCCTCCTCCTCCTCCTCTTTGAAATATTTCACGTAGTCTAAGTCTCATTCGATTACTATCACGAATATAGTAGACTAGTGCAATGGTGAAAGCTATAAATACAACTCCACCGACACAGGCACCGACAATTATCTTCCACGGCACCGATGACGATGTGGGACATTCGACTTCCAATTGTTTGTTGTTGACTACCAATGCACTGAAATCAGGGTCAAGTAGACACAAATCACATTGTGCAAAATGTATACCAATCTTTGCAAGTGATAGTCCTCCATCTGTGGTACCAGTACTACCATTAATAGGAGTCTTACTAATCAATTCATTCTTGGAATAAGTCTTTCTACCATCTGAATAAGAGTAGGATAAGAATCGACCATAGAATTGTGTATTGTTTTTAATGACTCTTAGATAACTATTACCTCCAAATACCTCTTCAAATGTTGGAATGGTTCCATCACTGTCATCGTCATCACAAGTTGGTGTTACTGATTGTTGGTCATCATTATTGACTACTGTCGCAAATACTACTCTCAAATGTGATAGAATCGAGTCGTATTGCCATCCACTTATATTCACCGCAACTTTTATACTATTGGCACTAACCGATAACACTGAATCGCCAAATGCAACCTCTCTGTCCTTGGTAGAATACTCAATCGACGTAGAGACATTGGTGGATGCCGACAATCCCGGATGCAACGTTGCATTAATATCCAAGTGATAGTAGAGTGATGTCAAATCTCCATTGGAACGATCAGTCACATTCCATTGATCCACTACCAATTCCTTTACTATTTCATTCTCTGTATCAATTTCTTGAATCGATACCAATGTAAAAAAGAATTGATATCCATCCAATTCAAATGTTGCAACTGGTTTTGTATTATTTTGTATAAATGTTACATTTGGATTCTCTACAAAAAAAAAAAAAAAAAGAATAAATAGATTAATATTAATAATTAAGATTATTATTATTAATTTTTTGATTTGTTTCTGTACATACTAAAATATCTACAACTATCATAATAATTTGGTTCACATAAACAAATGCCTTGGTCACTACATTGTCCGTGACCATAGCAATGATAGGTATCATCGATACATTTTTGTTTTAAATTGGTGGTTGGTGGGTAGGGGATACTTAGCATATCGCTGAATGAAACGGTGAAGTCTTGAACCGACACTTGAATGGTGGCAGGTCCGGGCGATGGAATCGATGCAAGTGAGCATTCAACAAGCCCACTATTCTTTGATACAATAGTACATGCCATACTATTATTTAGTGTAACTGAAACTGTCAATGTAGACGGTCCAAAATTACCTTGCAATATTAATAATAATTGTTGTTGTTGTATATCTAATAATTGAACATTATTTAATACTGGGTATGAATAGGTTACTATAAATTAAATTAAATAATTAGTATATTTCATTCATTCATTTAATATTGTAAATATATTAATATTTTAGATTAGGATATACAAACAATTTAAATCCATTGAATAATAATTAAATTGATTTGTAATATTTAAAATATAATCACCGATGATGGCTCTTGGTGTAACACATGATACACCCGAGGCAGTGAGTGGTGAAGACAAGGAGCATGGGATCTGGAGACCACTTGTTTTAGAGGTGAGGGTGATTTGATGGTCAATAAAATGATTGTATGCAAGTGAGAAATAAAAGTTGGTTGGAGTAGAGAATTGAAGGTCAAGCACCTTAATATCAGCCACCACAACTTTAGGTCGAATAATAGTTCCAAATATATTAATATCAACTGTTTGTGGAGTTCCAATCGTCAAATAAGTTATCCTACATAAATAAAGAAAGATAAATAAAACATTGTTAATTTAATATTATTATATATTAGTATATAGTTAGTTGGTTAGTTATTTAGTTATAATTATAATATATTTACGCAATTTTTGAATTAGAAACAATTAATCTATAGTTTACATTTTCAGTATAAAAACCAAAGTTTCTACCTGTAATATTGGCAGTTCCATTCATTGAAAAATAAATATCCTTGTCCAATGTAATGGCTATTTTAGTAGTTGTAAGTAGAAGTAAGTAAGAAATAATATTAATTAGTATTAAAAATATTAATAATCATTCTTTTTTTTTTTTTTAATATTTGATCAATTGTACATACCACAATCAATACTAGAAGGTTTAGTTAAAGTTGAAGGTAAAGATATTACATTGGAACTTTGATAACACCAAAAACAATCTATATAGAATAATAAAAATAAATGTTAATAAATAATAATAATAATAATGATAAATGATGATTATAAATATATATTACCTGGTACATATGAAATAGAGGTATTAGATAATAATAATCTTTTATCACACCAAGATTCAGGTACACTGCCCATTAAATCTGGATTATTCTTCACGTCTAGTGTTCCTCCAATCACATTATCCCAGAGATGGAATGGAATTGAACCGGTCAACTTATTATTTGCTAAACCTAAAAAGAAGTTATCTTTGATAATTGGAATAGGTGGGATTTCTGTAAACTCTGATAATGTTGATGCACTAGAGAGAAAAAGAAGAATAATTTCTTATTAATAATTGTGTCTAAATTGATTAATACAAGTATATATATATATACTTACAAATTTAAAAGTGATGAAGGAAATGATGTAAATGGATATGTGGATATACTAGAGTTTGTCAATATAACAAATTGTAAATTTGGATATTCATTGTAATCTGATGGCGTCAAAGTTGATTGTTTTCCATCCAGTCCCCTTTAATTTTAAATGAAATTATTAAATATTAATATTAATATAATATACTATAAATATTATATATGTTATATTTGATGACATACAATTGAGTAATTGCAGAAGTATTAACCATTTCTAAATTATATCCTCCACTATTTGATGAAAGTAAAAATCTATATATTTATGTTAGAATTTTGGATAGAATCATTTTATGATTAGATATTTAAGTTTACTGTTGTGAATACTTACATCTCTTTAATAATTGAAGAATCAACTTTTAGATTACATAATGCAGTACCATCAGAATTGAAACCAACAGCATATACTTTTGGGAATGAATTTTGTGTAATGTACCATGACTGTGGTTGACTGGGTGTAATCTCAAGTTGGATAAAACTAAGATTGGGAAGTCTTAATGAATCGTCCAACCTTAATTTTTCAATTGATCTTCCCCATTGAACGAATGTGTCAATTCCTGTATTATTGAAAAAGTTATCAACCGTTGTCAATGGACTGTATAGTATACTTAGTTTTTTAAGCTTTTAAAAAGAGAGAAAGATTAATATTAATCAATAAAATTGATGATTGGAACATACACTTGGTAAAGTTTGACCAAAATCCATTGGAATGTCGTTAATAGTGAGATCATTGGTTGTTCTAAATATCAGGTGAATAGTAAAGTAGGGTCAAAAAAGATGTACGATATCGATATTTGATTTGATGATAGTTACTGAATTGAAGTTAGATTTGGCATGTTCTTTAGCAATGTCAATAGATTCAATGTTGGAATAGCAGGTACCCCAGTAATACTACACATTATAAAGAATTGTTGTAATCCGGGAAAGTAGAGCGATCTTAAATTTGGATCTGGTGACCCAACTGGACTTGCCTTTCCAGCTGCCCTTCTATAAAAAGAAGAAGAAGAAGAAGAAGAAGAAGATTGAGTCAATACCAACTGTTGTAGTTAAAGGGGGTGATGGATAGAGAGAGTGTGTGAGAGAGAGAGAGACTTACATTTGTGTAATATGATATTCATTTGGAGCAGTATAATTACAAATGACTGCTGCTGATTGGACATTACAGACTGTTTGGTCCTGAGGAAGATCAAGTCTATATTGTCTAATTAGGAATATAATAGATTCCACTAGTAGTAGTAGTAGTAGTAGCAACAGACAGAAATAAAGATTAGTTTACGTTTGTTTGGTTGTATGTATATACTCATACATTCTGGTGGGGGTAATACTTGTGCTTCATTGAAGTTGAAACAAACAAACAAAAAAAACAACCCCAATATGAATGCAATCGACCGATTCATTGTTGGTGTTGTAAATACAAATATAGATAATGATATAGATAGATATACAAAATAATAAACAAATGATCGAGGATCACCTTGGGTATGGATATTCTGGGTTGATCATTTTTGTGGGTAGATAGATGTTTTGTCTGTCTTGTTCTTGAGATATAAATATCTTTTCTCGAATAAATATCTTGTTAAAATGGCATACGTGAAATGCACGACTCGAGAATAAAGAAGCAAAGATTGCCTTACCTTTCCTTTCCTTTACCTTTTCATTGTCATTGTCAAAAGAATGATCATTCTATACTTTACTCTACTTTTACTCTCTCTTGTTTATTTTGTTAAAATTAAAGTTCCATTTGGAACAAGACCAGCAGCTTCTAAAGTGGTAGTCTTTAATTCGTCGGAAGTGTAAATCTTGCGAGGATAGGAAGTAGAGAGTTTAAAGTGGCTTCCCTGGTCACCCTTTTCAACAATGTATTGGTAGACTACTTGGAGTGTATCCGATGGTTTGAATACTCCTCTGATGGCAGACCCAGTTGGAAGACGAATTTGAATAGTTACCTCTGAGTAATTGGCTGGTGTAGTGGTAGCAACAACTGGTGTAACAGCAACTGGAGCAGCAGCTACAACAGCTGGTGTAGTTCCAGAACTAGCATTCTTTTTAGCCAATCTTTCCAATCTATCTTGTTCAATCTTTTCTTTGATACGTTTCTTGGCTCTCAACTCATCCTCTTTTTCCTTTTTGATCTTTTCTTGTTCCTTTTTCATTTGGTCGTCTTGCCACTTTTGGAGTGATTGTTGTTGTTCCTTGCCACTTGATCTTCTGCTAATTTCACGTTCAATCTCGCGTTTGGCTTCGTCTTCAGCCTTGATACGACGTAATTCCATCACCTTTTCATCCAACTTTTTCTTTTGCAATGCTCTCTCTTCTGGTGTCATCACATAGTTTTCAATGTTTTTGTCATGAGCGACACACTCGTGGTCGGCTGGATGCTTGCCACCTTCCTTGCAGTCTTGACACAAGTCATAGTTTGGACAAACCTTGCATTTATATCTAATGCCAATGATTTGTTTATGACAAATATCACAAAGTGCATCATGAACAACTGGTGCTGTTGATGTCGAAGATGTAGTAGAAGAATTATTATTATTGTTGTTATTATTATTGTTATTATTATTATTTGTAATTGGATCATCAATATCAGGTTTTTCCATATTTTCAAAGATCCAATCCATAGCAGCTTGAGAAGATGAATTCTTTACAATGATGAGAGCCTTTTTAGCTCTGTTTTCTGGGAACCCCATTTCAATCAACTCACGTACCAAAGCTGGATTGGCTTCGTTGGATGAAAGTACAAGTTTTGGTTGTTGGGTGGGAGCTGGACCGTGACCAAGTGCTTGGCCACTCGATGCAAAAGATGGTTTGGTTTGGTGTTGCTCAATGTAACTCTTGAGCTTGTTTGGGTCTGCTCCACTAAACTCTGCAATCTTTTTACTATTAATATAGAAATGGAATGTTGGCATTGCTGATACTCCACAACTTTGTGCTGTACTCTATATATAGATTAAAAAAGAAAAAAAAAAGAAAATAAAAGAAAAGAGTTAGTTATCATATATTATATTTAAAAGTTATATATTATCATCTTTACTACTAATATCACCAACCCTTCTTCTTCTTCTTTCTCTTTTCACTTTTCACTTTTGTTATTTTCTTATCTTGTACATACTCTACATTTATCAACATCAACCTTTAAAAATACAACATTTGGATATTCATTTGAAAGGTCAACGAAACGAGGAGAAATGGCCTTACACGGAGGGCACCAAGCGGCCGTAAAGTCAACTACAACCAACTTTGAACCTGCAGCAGACAACTCTGAGAATAATTCACCATCTCCTAATTCTAAATATACATATATCATGTGATTGATTGTGATAGTAGGTCGATAGTTATAAATCCATGTTAATACATTATGTCATTTTATTAATAATATAAATATTATTGCTTACCCTTTACTCTTCCATGTGACATGTTATAATCTATCTAACTATTTATTTATTTATATTTGTATTACTTAATTAAAATTATAGTGCTTGCAACCCAGTTTTTGAACCTCAAAATTTGATGACAAAAATGAGGAAATTATTAAAAAATATAATATAATATAATATTTTTTATTGATGACACATCACATCGCGTTCATCTTGGCTTGGGTGTCAGTAGTATCTGCGATCAACAAACAAATAAATAAATAAATAAATGTATTGCAATACACATTGTATATATATTACAATTAATTAGTGTAGCAATTAATAGAAAGTACTTACATCCTGTGATGTCATCATCATCATAATAATGATCAACGAATTTAACTAATTAATTCTTTTTTCTTTTCAATGAACTCCGTTGTTGTAGTAGCTACAACTCGTAACTCGTAACGCACTACATTAACCCCAACCGAGATATTTAGTTCTCTGTGAATCTGCTTCATCCATTGAATTTTATCACAAGGCAAATATCATAGAGCAAAGGTGGAGATCTCTACCCTTTTGGTTGTATCTTTGCACAAAGTATTTCGACCCAATTTTTTTTTTTCTTTACAAAAATATCTTTCGTCGGAGGTCGGCCCTGGTCTCAAGACACATCATCAACTTTGCCTTTCAGCATTAGTCTATTTATTCACTCCAATTCAATTGTACAATTACTATCTGTATACTCTCAAAGCAACCAACAAACAAACAAAGTTTATTTGTTGCACTCTTAACACCAACCTTTAAATAATCAATCAACCAACTAAACTCAATCACTCCAAGCAATAATGTTCAGCCGAGGAAACGGACCAAAAATCGCAAACGGCACCAAGCCAAGACCCAACAATGGAAGACCAAGTATGTAGTATATTCAATCTCATTTATATCCAAATCATCATCAAACAATCATCTAACAAACTCAATTTAAATCAGCTGCATCTACTGGATCCAGAAATAGTTTCTATAACTAAAGAGATGATGATGATGTCTGTCCTTGCATTCTCATCTGATCAGAAACTAACATTATCTAATTAGATACCAAAAAAAAAAAAAAATTAATAAACTTGTTAATGATCACATCGATCATCACCATCTTTATTGATCAAAGACCCATTCAACTCAATTGATGAGGATGTTATTTATTTATAATACTATTTAATAATACTTTGAAACCATTGACACTTCAAAAAATACAAACTAATATCACACACCTGCAGGTGTCATTGCATTTCATTTGTTTGTATTTGTATTTGTGTATTTTTGTATTTGTATTAATGTATGTTATGTAATAGATAGTCTATCACTATATCCTGTACTTTAAAGTATACTAATATCTACTTTTGCTTTCTCTCTAGGAACAAATCATTATTCCTTCAAGTAGTATATCAAAATAGATATCTTTCATTTGAAATAAAGAAATGGTGCAAGAGAGAAATATATAGAAAGTATACTGATCTACCGAGGATACATAGGTATGATCACTATTATACTGCTGGTCAGATACTGAGTGCAGGATTGGTATCATTGCTGATTGACAAGATGGATAGAGGATTTGACGTACCTTTTACAGACGCCAAATCAGTTACATTGGCATGCACAGTCATCAAAGATGTAGAGGTGTTTAGAAAAGTGTATACTCGGTACCAGAATATGTTTGTGTCTCCTAGTTTGTTGAGAGAGGTGGTGAGGGATCCGGCTGGTGCCTCGATCGAGGTGATTCGCATCTTGTTGGAGCAGACCGAGCCGATCAAACTGTCTACGGCCGGTGTGTACCAGGCTGCAATGGACACGTCGCGATACGATGTACTCGAACTGCTCATCCAAAGCAAGGTACCCTACACTAACGAGTTTTCATGGTACTTGTTTAATTCGGGGACTCCGACGGTCGTACAATGGATGCTCGCTCACAAAGACCTCGAGGAAAAGGATTTGTTGAGACACTCGAGTATCACATCCAAGGTCGAAGCAATACAAGCCAAGGTAGCAAACTTTTTGACGAGACATCCAATGCAGGCGAATAACGCAGCACTCATCGACCGAGCAATCGTAAATTGGGGTGTGGATTCAATCGCCGCTGAATTGGACGACCCACATGCCGACATTCATCAGATACTCGACTTTATACACTCGTCGTTTTATCGGTACTTTAGAAAGAGCATTCAAAGATACATATACAAACATGCACTGGTACAACACATACCTGCTATTTTGGAGCGGTACAGTGGGAGCAATGCGTACAAGTATGCCATGCATTGCGCGCTCAATCGTCCTGGTCGCGAGGCATACGAGGTGGTCAAGTTGATGTTGGACAAGGGATTCAAGTTTCTGCCATGTCCTCTACTCAAGGTACAAGTCGTGTCGGAGGAATGCTACGCGCTTTTGATTGACAAGGTCAGCCCAGAACACCGACACCGATTGGCTAATCGTCCCATCATCAACAAGAGTGTCAAACAACTTTGGGAATTCCTCCAACTCATTGCTCGTACCTCTTCAATCGACTTGTACAAAGAGTATTGTCAATCGAGCAAGTTGAGGACACGTGTACAAAATTTTTGTATGGAGTATGGCAACTTGGAGTTTCTCAAACTTATCCACAGCATCTCCAAGCCATCGTTAAACTTGGACAGTGCCATCAAAGCAGGGAGGATTAATATTGTAGAGTACATGCTCGAGACATTTCCCAATGAGACAACACTCGAAAAGTGGTTATCCTTTATCGTTGTAAACGGTCCTCCACACTTGTTGGACCATTTCCTCCAAAAGGATGCATCCCTCCTCCAACAAGTTCAATTACAATCTCAACGACCTGGATTCTCTAGACCAATATTTATCTCCAACAACTATCAAATGTTTCAATACCTTGTTTCAAGTCAAGTAGGGTATGAATTAAACAGAGATGGTGAAAGAATACTCCAAACATTGGGACTTGATGTTGAGAATGTTTTTTTGGATTTATACAATTCTTGTATTGAAAAAAAATACAACTATTAAAAAAAGAAGTAGGATCTCCCACTTGTATATTATAAAAAATATTAGGATAAATTATTATTTTATTTGATTTATTAATTTTGAAAACTTTTCTTATTAATATCCCAATGTTCATTTAAATGCTTTGGACTGGTAACTTGAACAAAATGTTGTCTCCATTTGACGATAAACTTTTCAATTTCTTGATCTCCCTTTGAAATGACCGTGTCCATTACTCTTTTCTCGTGAGGGATATAGTCTGGTCGTTTGTTTCTGGGGTTTTGATTGGCAAGATTCGTCAAGTCTTCCAGAGTCAATTCCTCCTTGTTGAGATGTTGACAAACATTTTTCTTGAATTCTTCAAACTTGTTGGCTGGGAGTTGAACCGATTTCTTTGAGGAGGTTGGGTACATGGCATGCATCAAAACAGCAGCTTGTTTTGTGAGCTTTAATATTTGCATATCAATTTCCATGCTATCGGCTCCAGTATCATACTCTATTCCATATTCATTGGCAATCATCATTCTCATTAAATGAATTCTTCTATTTACATGTAAATGACAATCACAACATAATAATACTACATCATGTGAACTATGACTAAATAGAAAAAATACAAATTAGTACATCAAAAACAATATATATATTTTTATCTCTCTTGTTACCTTTTAACTCTGACTGGTAAATATTGACGATAAGAATGAGGTACAATTGAGTGTCTCATTAATTGTTTTCCAGACCCACAAACACAACAATTGTTTGTTTTGTTGGAGAGATAGTATTTATCTTCGGCATGACCATTGCCTTTTGGGGTAAAGGTTAATTTAATCTTGATTGGATCGTCACAAAACTTGGTGGCCAAGTTACGAGAGAGATACCATTCAACCTTTTTCTTACTAATGTTGCACAGCAACGTTTCACCATCCTGTGCAAACATGAGACAATTGTCATACAACACTCTACCATCGGGTATCAATGTTGCAAAACTACTCTTTTTCTTGGCATTGATTGGAGAGTCGGCAGATGATCCTGATTTAGCACCGCCACCGCCATTCTTGTTTTTGATCTTGAAAGTAGATGTAATAAATGGTGAAACAAACTCGGTTGGTGTGATTTCAGTCTTGTGCGTATCGACATGCTTGTCATACATGACATTAAAGATTTCACGACCAATCCAAGCATCGCAGGCTGCATAGTGGATTTGATCGGGTGTCAATTGTTCACTCTCCCAATGACCACATCGAATATGGTGTGACTTGTCAATAGTGACACCCATTGTAGACTTTGCCAAGGCGGCGAGACCGCAGCCGTCGAATCCAGTCATGTTGCCAAGTGGCACCAAATCAACGCATCCCTTGACTTCGATACCAAGATGCTTGATGATGGTGGTGGCGTCTTGTGCAATCGACACACCAACCTTGAGAATGCGATGATCGGCCATCAACAATTGCAACGACTTTGGAATCGCCTTTAATCGCAGACATTGAATGAGAAACACCTCGTCTTTGAATGCGATTTGGATCAATGCCACTTTATCATTTGTTTTGATTCCATTGCTTTCGCGTAGGCTTGCTTCAGCCATTGACTTGGAGTTTCCCCATTCAGCATCCAATCCAAGAACGCGTTCCAACATCTTTTCACGTTTTTCCTTCTTTTTATCGATTTGGTGTTGTTCTAAATGTTTCATATCAACTTTACATTGTTCAGGTGATATGATCTTGATTGTTGATGACGACGAAGAAGATTCATCATCCTCTTGACTACCATTCATTAGTTTTTCAAGTTCCTTTTCTTGTTGTTCTTCAAAATCTAATTGCTCGATGTTTCTAATCACATCTTCGTACAACTTTAACAATAATCGATCACATTGATCGACATCATTAATGATATGTATCTTTAGGTTGGTTGGTAACTTGTAATAATCCTTTTTAATTCTTTCCAATGTATTACTATTACTACTATCACTAATATTACTACTACTTTCTTTGTTTGACTTGTTTTCGAGATACTTTAAGTATAATGAGAGTGCTATCATACCCCCAAATACATAAGTAGAAGGTCGTTTTGGTAATAATTCCATCAATCGATATAAATCCTTTTTACAATATAAATAATACAACTATATATATAAAATATACAAACAAATATAACTATTATAAACAACGATGAAAACTTTTTCTTTTATCGCCTAAATTTCAGTTGAATTGGAATTGAGATAAATAACGGAAATACAAAGGTGACGATGCAAATACTACTGAGTACCCAATCAATTAAATCTTGATGAAAACTCAATACAATTACTACTTTGATTCTTTGAACCTTGTGTTGGATTATTATTATTATCTTTGATTATTATGAATCATTTACAATGCTTGTTGTTGATTTATTAGTTTTAAAATTTTTTGTCTGGAGTCATGATCTTTGACAAAATGGATTCTCTTTCAAATGACTCTTTCATGCTGGCATTGCTAAGAGACACAAATGCGTATTGGAATGCAGCCTTTACACGTCCAAAATTAAATGATCCTGCTGCTACATTTCTACCTGGTGCAAATGGATCACTAACATATAAAAAAAAATCGCGTGGTGCTCCTGTAGTTGTTGATGACGTAGTAGAGGAGGAAGATGTAAAAGTTGTTGATGTTGTTGTTGTACTGGTGGGTTGATTATCCAATTCATCAAGAGGAAAAGTATAACGAGATTCATCAATGGAAATGCCTGTTGTTGCATAATTGAAATTGACTCCATAATATTCTAAAAATCGCATCAATGCACATCCAATATTCAAACCTGAAATTTGATCTACATAATCACATTTACAAGGTTTTGCACTTAATGTTGGATTATTATTATTATTATTATTATTATTATTATTATTATTATTATTATTATTCAGGTTATTATTATTATTATTTTGATTATTATTTTGATTGTTATTATTTTGATTATCTTTTTGATTATTTTGTTTTGAATGTTTTGGACAATGTTCATTATTTTTCAAGAAACTGATCAACATTAATACTAAACAATATGAACTTAATCCACCGCTATAAGTATTATTTAAACCTCGATCTCTTAAAAACCATTTTAAAACAATTGCCAGCGGATACAATCCAATTACTTTTTTAACATTATCTGCAACCAAATCTCTTGCAGCTATACCTGTATGTGGTGATGTTGGTGATTCTCTAAATGATATATCTACAGCTATATTTTCTTTTGTTACCAATTTTATAACAGGTATTCTAAAATAAAAAACAAAACAAAATAAATAAATAAATATTCAAAAAAAAGATTATAATATATTTTTTTCCTTTTTACATACTTGGCAGAAGGTATACATAACATTGTAAGAATAAAACTATTTAAATCATGACGAATTTGTTTTTCCAAAACCTCTAATAGAAATTGAGCATTTTTAGGACGAATAGCCATGTTTTTGTTATAGTCTACGACGATGTCAATGTCACTTGAGGGAAGCCAGAGACCAGTCATGAATGAGCCATAGATATCAATCTCTGCATTTGGCCATAGACGTTTTACCACTCCTTTGATGAGTGCAATCACATGATGACACGATTGAACATGTGGATAGGTACGATCACCAACATCTGATACAAAGTCCAAGATCTCTTGATGAAGTTTGATTGAAAACAGTGGATGTGGATATGGCAATGGTGGGTCATACCATGGTTGCAAATAAACTTGTAATGGTGATGAGTTTGATTGTTTGAAAAGTTGTATTTGATTAAATAGTTTGTTGTGTCTCCAATCCTTGTATTTATCTTCTTCCTCTTGGTCAGTGGTACTGATATGTTGACCAACAGTATTTGTAGTAGTAGAAGACATTGCCATGATAGAGAGTCCATCATTGTGTTGGTTGAATTGATCTTGTATACTTTCAAATTCAGAATTGTCATTGACAATTTCATTATTTTGTTCTTGTTGTTGTATCTTTTGTTGTTGTTGTTGTTGTTGTTCATCTTCATCATCTTCTTCTTCCTGTTGATTGTTTGGTTTTGAAGAATCTGAATCACCATTGGATGGTGATGAACCATAATGAGTTTTAACTTTTAATTTTGGTGGTATATTATTTGTTTGATTTTGGTGTTGTTGATGTTGTGGAGTAAGATTACCATGTGTACTAGTACTGTTAATATTATTATTATTATTCATTGAACCAATTACCATTTGAGAAAAAGATGATGATTGTCCATAAATAAAAGGTTTCTTGAAATTAAAAATAGCGGTTGGATTTGAGGCACCTATAGGTGGAAGAGAAGAGGATGGTGATGACGATTTATGTGATTGATGATGATGATGATGTGAAGCAGGTTGTTTTGGTTGTGGATTGCTATGAACAAAGAGTGCAGGTTTATGTCCTGGTTTGGAAGTTGCAGTTGATTGTGTACTGGAGCTGGTGGTGGATCCAGCAGCTGCAACACTCTTGTAGTGTTGCCCATAGGTAGTATTGACTCCAAGTTTGGGTGATGAGGAGGAAGGTAATTTTGCATCGGGTGTTGATGAAGATTTGAGTAATGGTTTACCAGAGGGTGTAGTAGATGTCGTGGTTGGATTTGACGTTGTACTCTCACTCGATGATGATGATGACGAGGAAGATGACGACGATGACAAAGATGAAATAGAACTATTTACAGATTGCGTTGAAAGACCTTCAAAGCTACGGGAAAGTGTCTTTACAATTCCTGTATTACCTTGAATGGATAATGGAGGATGAGGAGGTTTTGCAATGGATGGTGTAGAAATAAATGATAATTGATCTTTCATTATACCATGATCTTCTTGTCCTTTATCCTCTTCTACCTCCTCCTCCTCTTCCTCTTGCTCTTGTTCATTTTGTTCTTCTTCATCTTCATCTTCATCTTTTTCATCTTTTAATTCATTTTCTTGTTTCTGACTTGTTGTTGTTGTTGTTGTTGCTGCTGTTGTTGTTGTTGATGATGATGATTGTCGTTGTTGTTGTTGTTGTTGTTCATCTTGATCATCTTCACCACCGCATTCCATTTCATCGTCATCATCTTCAATTGATATTTCATAATCTACTGAATCATCGTCATATTTTATAGCCATCATATTGGTTTCCTCTTCATTCTCTGCATTGGATTGATGATGATGATGATGATTCTTTTGTTGGTGACTAGACTGTAATTCCAAAGTTGAAAGAGGTGTCTTTTTGGGGGTGGTACCTTTGGTGATGATTCTGTCGTTACTGGTGCTGCTTATGTTCCGACTCATTTGATCGATAATGTTGGTAGACGGTGTTGAAAAGTATTCAAAGTCCAAGTCACCCTCGGACTGGTGGTAGATGCTGTCTTCGTCTTCGGTCGTGCTCATGATCGGTGCACCCGTACCCTTGATTGACTCCACTTCCATGGGCAGTGAATGTCTTCTCGGACGTGTCTGGATGGTCTCTATATCGGGCTCCTCTGACATGTTGTCTTCGACAGTCGACGATTTTATCTTTGTCTTTTTCTCCTTTTTCTTTTTTTTCTTTCGTGCCGTCTGTTGTTTGGACTCTGATTGACCGCCAATCATGACACCACTCACTCCTCCAATACCAATACCAATACCAGCGCCATCCTTTTGTATGCTGCTTCCACTACTGATGCTGTCTTTGCTCGACGACAGCGATGTGTGTGACATCAACTTTTTTTTCTTTTTCTTGACTGGTGTGCTGCCGGCTGATCCACCGCCACCGCCGCTGCTGCTCTTTCCACTGGCTCTGTTGGTTGGACTGATCAAATCGATCGAGAGCTTGTTGGTGTAGTATTCCTGCAACTCTCGGCCTATACGTCGCATGGTGTTGTCAATGATAGAGCCAGCTCGATCCAAAGGAGAAAAAAATAAAAACTCGACAAAGCGAACTGGATGCCGTATCAATGCCTCTTCAATAAGTGACTTGATTTGTGAAATGGATGGTGTTGTTGTGGGTGTCGTAGTGGTCGATGATGTCGACGACGATGATGATGGAGGATACTGTAAATTACCCGTACTCGTACTGGCAATTGAATTGGCAAGAAACAATGAACTTTTACTACTACTAGCACCCGAATCCTTTGTCTTCTTTTTTGTAATAACATGATTATTTGCTGATGATGATAATGATGATGTTGTTGTTGTTGTTGTTGTAGACGTAGTTGAAATTACATTTGGTGATGAGTTATTATTATCATTATTATTTTCATCAAGTATTTCATTATCATTATCATTATTATTATTATTATTATTATCCTTTTTGTTATTTTTTAATATACTACTAGTAGGTGATGGCGTTGTATTTACTGATGAGTTATTATTATTATTATTATTATTATTGTTATTATTATTATTATTGGTAGTAATATTATTCGATTGAAAATCAAATGTAGATTTTAACATTTGAACCAGTTTATCAAGTTGTTCATGATAATGACTTTCAGTTTTTGATTCCTCTTTGAGAGATTGCAAGAGGATGTTTCCCAATTTACCAGAAGCATATCTTTCACGTTCAATAATCGATAGATGTTCCCAAAAGTATTTCAAAGCCTTTTTTCTTGGATCTAAAATTCGAAGAGTACCTCCACGATCCTTTTTAAATGTATTGGTTGATGACAATGATGATGATCGGCTGCGTCCACCCGAACCACTTGTTGTTGTTGTTGTTGTTGTCGATGTTGTAGATGTTGTTGATGTTGTTGATGGAACTGATGCTGCCGCTGCTGTAGTAGTAGTAGTAGTAGTAGAAGTTGTTTGTTGAGCATTCAACAAAGCATTTCCAAGTAAAGATGATATATTACCAATTGAACCACACCCAATCATCCCATTATGATTTGTATTTAAATTTGTCAACGATGATGATGAGGAGGTAATTAAAGGAGGAGGAATAACCAAATTGGTTAAAGGAGAAGGATTGGTTGTTGTAGTTGACGAGGAAGAAGATGGAGGATCAACATGTTGTTCTTTACAATACCTCGTCCAAATAAGTTTTTCAAACAAGACGGCGATATAATCGCCAAGGGAAAAGTAGCCTTTGGATGTAAACCATCCTGGTGTCTCACTGCGAAACTCTTTCACAGAAGACTCCCATACGAGATGGCAAACCACCGAAAGGAATGATTTTTGTGTCAATATCGATAATGTTTCCAATAGTTGTTTGGTCGTTATTGGATTTGTTTCAATTGTATATGTATCATAATCCAATGTTGATCTACAGAATCTAATTAAATTTAATATTCTAAAAAGAAAAGAGAAAAGGTTAAAGTTTAGTCACGACTATTCTATTTGTTTCTTTCTCTGCGGTCTTTTTAATTAATTAAATTACCTTTGTTCAGCTTCATCAACTTCTTTAATAGGTTGAATAATATCAACAAAAGATGTTCTTGGTCTGTATTCCAAATGTTTGATTTGTGTTTTGTTGTTCTTGCTACTACTGCCGCTCGAGTACTTTGGGAAACCATTACTCTCTGTGTTGGAGTTTGGTCCAAAACTATCGTCCATCGGCAAAAACAGACATAGTCCATGGTTCTTGTACTTTGTATACATTGCACGCAGCTTATCACATTCATCTTGATTATAGTCGGTCAGCACTTGACATAGATCATCTTGACTGAGTGAATGTAACCATGAAATGACTAGTTTTGTATGATCCATCTTTAAATGTTTGTTTACTCTTAAATGTATATATATATATGACTATCTATATACCTCTATGTAAATGATACAAGCAAGTAAAGTAGTGGGGTTGATGGATGATGGATGATGAGAGTGTGAGGGTGTTTTAAAAGGGAAAAAAAAAAGAAGAAGAAGGAAGTAGTAGAAGAAGTTGATAAGTTATCTATGTAAAAAAAAAAGATCAACTCTACTCTCTACTTTATCTCTTTTCTCTCTCTCTCTCTTTTGTTGTTGTTGTTGTTTCTGTTGCTGTTGTTGTATATCAACACTGATTATAGTAGCAATCTATTGTTATATGTTTGTGTTTGTTGTTAATGATGATTGATGTTGTTTCTTGATAAAGACAGATGTTCATTACGATCTATTTACTAGCTACTCTATACTACTATATATGTGATTGACTGATTGATTGATTAATTGACTATATAGATATATATCTCTCAGAGATATATATTTCCTCAAAAGTTGATTCTCTAAATTGAATTGAATAATAAACTAAACTAGTTTTGTGATGGGTGAGAACTGACTGGGTCAGCAACGTGAAGTGAGAAAGATTAAAAATAACTCTTTTGATAATATGATGAACTTTTAAAAAAAAAAGACATCTATGTTGCTCATTTCTAGTCCTCATTTCATTTTCTAGAATGAATGATCATATGAAATAATAATAAATAATCATATTCTTTATTTATTTCTTTATTAATGGAAAGAAACTATGATCAACCAAAATAATTAATAACTTCCCCATGTTTTTTTAGTAATCATAAATTATTCCTTTTCAACATTTTAAATGATAGTTGAACTTAAACTATTCCATGGAATAGTAGATAAGATAGAAAGATAGATAGATCAAGTTCATTCTCCCACCCCAATACTCTGATAATTTATTCCATCTTTCATATATACCTCTGGATTTTAATTTAAAATTCTTATAAAATTGGATAATCTCTTTTTGGCATTGTGATGATTCTCAAACACAATTAATTATCATTTATTATTTATTTTTATCAATCCTACAGGTAAGATACATTGTCAATGAACGTAAATCAAAATAATTATTATAAATTCTAAAAATTCCTACCAACCACTCTATTAGTATTCTAATATATATTGGAAATCGTACCGTACCATATCCATCCATTATTACTCACACACTTTTTTTTGGTGATGGTATGACCAACTAGATATATACCCACAAAAAATTAAATATTGAAATGATATGTGGGGGTAAAATTCTATGTATATATATATGAAGGGAAGGGAGGGGGATTATTTGTTTGTTTGCATCCCGATTCTTATTTTGGATATCTTTTTCATTTTCATTTACCCAATGCCGCCAATATCAGTTGTGTGGGTGGTGGTGTGAGTATTCGTTCATCATTGATAATTATCAATTTTAATTTGATGATGATGATGGATGTTTCAAATTTGGATGTGATGATGATGATGTTCTTCCTTCCTTTGTCCGGTTTCGAGTTGGTTGACTGATTGATAGATAGATTTGAATGTAGTATATTTTTAAGCTTTCATCATTACACTCTTGTCGACAAGGAAGAAAGAAGAATAATAATATTAATAATAATAATAATAATAATCATCCATCATAAAATCTAAACACCTAAAATTGGAAATAATAATAATCTTTTTTGAAAACGAATCCTGGAAATTAAAATAATAATAATATTAATACAGACAAACTAGATAGAGATTTTAAAAGTAACCATACATACATACATACATACATACATACATACATACATACATACTTATAGATATAGATATAGATAATCCATCATGGACAATAGTAATAGTGGCAGTATTACTGGAGGAGGATCGTCGTGGTCGTCGTTGTCATCATCCACAACAATGTTAGAACCCAAAAACTATGACGATGAAAGATTATTGTCAACACAACTATTACTCGCTTTTCACTCGGTTGTATTTCTACTTTCAGCCATCAGAACTATTGTCGTCATCCTTAGAGAGAAGACTCTTTGTAAATTAAATCAAATCACCCATATAATATGTTGTGCCGGTATTCTACGTAAATATCCATCAATCCATCCCTATAATTTATATTCCATTTAATTAATTTGTATCTTTATATATACCATACCTATAGTAATTGTTATTAGTTTGATAGCAACATTGAACCAAGTTCAATACGTACCATATATATTTGAAAAGTATGGAGAGTTGACCATTCTCTTATCCTTTTTAATGATTCTTTTGTTTTGGTATGTTCCTCACCAAGAATAAATAGATAGAATGAACCAATCATTAACTAATAATTACTATATGTATATATATATATATATATATTAGGATCAATTCACTTTATGAAGGTGATCCCATTTACAAGATTATCAAACATCCAAAATTCTTTGCAGGAGTTGTTATTTTGTCAGTGTCTATTGAGACGGTGTGTATGGTGGTTGACCTCTACTGCGCCTATAATCCAAACAATACAATTATCACTGCCGAACAAAATGCGACACTCATTAGATTGTACAGTTCGTATAGGTCAATCATGCTTGTACTCATGTGTTTTGGATTTAGTTTTGTTGGCTATCTAATCCATCGAAAAGCCAAAAGACTTTCCTCTAGAAATGTAAATAGAGTAAGTTATTGAAATTAATTAACTTTAATTTACTTTAATTATTATTATTGAATGAATGTACTTACTTAGTTGTTTGTTTGTTTTCATTTAGTTTAGAAGAACTGGATTGATTATTGGAATGACATTCTTGACTACTTCATTGTTGAATGTGTTGTTTGATATTGTTGATTCGTCGTATCCAACCGATTCAAGGGTACCTATTATTTTCTTGGTGTTGGGGTCGTCGTGTTATGGTATTATGGTGTTGGAGAATCTCTTCTTTATCTTTAGGTTTGCTCGTCACCAAGAATCGAATTTGAGCAAGTCTACATCACATATTTCACTAGGTAGTATACGTACGATTAGAAAAGATGGTAGTGCTGGTGAACTAAGTATTAGTGTCAATTCCCAACAACAACAGCAACAACAACAACAACAAGTACCAACATTGACATCTAGTCAAAGTACAGTCACTAGATCATTCTCTTCTTTGAGCTCGGTTGCCAACATCTCTGATTCTAATCTTGCACACTTTGTAACTGCCGACCATGATCTACGACGAGGAGGAGTGTTTGATATACCCCATAACAACAGCAACAACAACAAGGACACCATTGTTAACCAAGCAGTCGGAGAAGTCATCCAAGACACCATTCACATTGCATCTACTCCACTGCAGTCTCCCATCACTTCATCCTCTCTTGACTCGAGTGTCAGTGATGACCACAGTCACATTGAACAAGTCTAGTATAGTGTAGAACTATACACAACAACCATCAGATTCTCTTGAATAAATCGAACATCAACTAATTATTTATTTATTTTATTAAAAAAAAAAGAAAAGTGAAAAGACGAGGAAAATTTTAGATCGGGCCAAGGGAGAGACCAATGATGAATGAATATCTTGTTGTTTTATTTTTCAATTATTTATTTATTTATTTGTTTTGCAAAGATGGAAAAAGATAATCAAAGATTGAATCAAGCATTCTTTGCAGTATTATGTAACATCTATACCAGAAATGCAATCTTTTCATATCTTCCGTTGTTTGTGTTGACAACTAAATCAGTCAACATGATCAGTGCTCACTTTGAGACTGTCGATGAAGCAAAAGAGGTCAAAATGAGATCTGTTCGTGGTAGATATGACACTGTTCCATCGTTTAGATTGACATCTCAAGAACAACTACAAACTGGTACTATTTGGAGTAAGAAGAAGATCAGAGTGTTAAGTGGATTCACTGCTACCTTTAGATTCCAAGTCACTCCTGTCAACGGTGCAAGTGGTGATGGACTTGCTTTTGTCATTCAAAATGCTCCTAATGGTAACCGAACCTATCACAAGTCTGATGGTTCGTCAATGGGGTATGCTGGTATTCCCAATAGTGTTGCTATTGAGTTTGATACGTATGTCTACTACTACATTATTATTATTATTAATATTATTGTAATTATAATTGACTCTCGCTATCTATCTTTTTTTTTCAAGATATGAATATGGAGGAGATCCAAATAATAATCATATATCAATTCAAACCAAAGGAAAACAACCAAATGATTGGCGACACCAATATTCAATTGGATGGGGAACACCATCGACTAGAATAGACAATGGAGCCATCCACGAAAGTATCATAACTTATGACACCAAATCACATCCACAACCAACTATAACTGTATCTATGAATGGTGAGATTATCATCAACAACCTAAAATATGATCTTGGTAGTATTGGTCTTGATAATGGAACTGCATTTATCGGGTTCAGTGCTGCTACTGGCTACTCTGCTCAATTCCATAGAGTTTTATCTTGTGAAATCTTAAACTAATAAATAATAATAAATAATAATATTAATATTTGTATTTATTCAATTATCTTAATCTTTTTTAATAATTTTAGGTTTAGTGAATGATTCCCAAGAATCGCTTCTAAATAATTTGATGGCAGCATTTTGAGAGACAAGATTGTTATAGTCAGATTCAGACATCCAAAATGATACCATGTTCTCATCAAACAAGATGGTGGTGATAATGGTAATTTGGTTGCGAGCCGGGTCAAGGAGTTGGAATCTAAGATCATCTACAATCGACCCTGAATCGAAAAGGTGTGAGGGGATACCGACTTTATATGGTGGATATTCAATAGACATCATGGTGACTGTTGAAAATACTGGACCAGAGTAAGAGACAAATACCAAGAGATAACTGTGAATGGTATCATCGAATGATTTCCACAATGTAGTGTTGGAGAAGAATGTTGCAACCAATGTAAGAGTGTTTGACTGGTTTGAGCATTTCAATAGTATCTGCAAACAAACCCAAGTAACCAGTGTAATCGGGTACGTTGCTGAGGTAAATACCGTCGTATTCAACCGCCATTCCACTTGCCTTTCTTTCCTCCTTGTTGTGACGCACATTATCCAAGACTGATTGGAAATCACCTACACACATTTCAATCGTCAATGCATTGCTTGATGACAATCTGACTAGACCACGTGCAGTTTGATAGAATGCATGAATAAAATAGTCAAACGACGATGTCTTGTTGCGCTGCTTTGGCTCACCCATCCAAACATATTGATAAAAGTCTGCCACAACATCGAGTGGTTTATGGCCAAAATCCGATATCGTGTCACCATGATTTGATTTGCGAGAATATACGACATCGAAAAGAGTTGGATTGACCTTGATCATGTCATCTTTTCCAAATGTTTTCAAAAGATCCGTTTTGTCATTGTTGTTGTTGTTCTTTTTTGCAAGCAATCCATCCAAACACTGATTTGCCTTGGCTGGTGTCATGTGTTTGTCATAGTCGGCATTGACCGTTGGGAGGAGAGGGTATCCAAAGGATCGGAGCCAACCTAGCTCCCTAGACAACCGCAAATTCGAATTTTGATCTTGTTGCAGAGCATCATTGTTGGAAAAGCTTGCCATTAAATTTTTCATTATTTCCTGCTTCTTTGCTTCATCGTTGGGGTTGACGCCAAACTGCTTTAGAAACTGTGGGTCATTCAAATTTTTCCTTATCCCTTCCAAGATTTGGGTTTGGTTCGTGTTGATTCCTCCATTATTTGATGATTCTTGGTCACAAGAGAGACCGCCTTCAGACACTGCTTTCTTTTTAACTTCTGACCATGTAAGTTCTGGCTTGTCACTGATCCAATATTCGAATGCATCTTTGATACCTGGCCAATTGGCTGCCATGTCGATCGACATCCATTTGGGGAGTTGGCCACTGTCCCCGAGTGAGATGAGCTTTTCAAGTCGAGCTATCAACATGGCGTGTACAGCCTTTGGCATACCATGACCAAGATAGGTATAGTAGAGAATAACTGCTGCGTTGGCTGCTTCTCGCTCGTCATACACTTTTTCAATCGATTTACATCTTCCAATATCTTCCAACAATGTAAAGAATAAGACGTCTCTAGCAATGGCAGACGATACGATATCGTTGAGTGTAAAGTGAATCTTGATGTTGGGTGGGACTGGACTCCCATCTCCAGCGAGTCGCCGATTTAAATCGGCGAGTGTGATAAATGGATGGCGACAATCTCCAACTCCACCGTAAAAGAATGATAGTGAGAGATGATCGCGTAGGCGGATACGTTCCGTTTCAATCTCTTTTAATCTCGGCGTGGTTAATGGATTATCTTTGCCGGGATTGACCTTGTTTCCGTCGAGGTGTGGACTCAATGCACTTTTTGCAACATCGTGACCGACAATATAGTATTCTCCTGCATCGGATAGTCTTGCGGGCAGAATAATTGGCAATGTAGAAGCATTCACATGACCAGAACCATTCTTTTTAGTCCAATCTTCTTGATCCAAACTATCCAACGATTTCTTGATCTTTTCAAAATCAAATGTCTTGTCTTGAAGATCATTGTCTGTGAATTGATTGACCAACTGCTCCAACTCTTGTTTTGATTTCTTTAAATGTACGATTCTTGCGATACGAGCAAGATTCTTTTTAGTGAGTTGTTTGGGATCATCCCCTCCTCCTTGCACGTTGATCATCTCGATCACCTTTTTAGACAACTTTATTGCTTCTTCATAGTCACCCAATTCAAAGCAACATGCTGACATGTTTGATGGGAATGTTGCATCATCCTTTGATAATTCAATAGCTTGTTTATAGATTGATATTGCTTCTTTATATCTCTTTTCACTATATTTCTTTAAAAAAAGAAAAAAGAATTTGTAATGTGTAAGTAATCATAATTATTATAGAACAAATACTAGACGAGTATATATACAAACATACTTTATTACCTGATGCTCTCAGTTGTTCAATTGAACTGCTGGTACTTGACATTGATTTTTTATTAAATCAAGAGGGAAACAAGATGGTGCAGATGAAGTAAAATTGAAAAATTAAATTAAATTAAAATTTAAATTGTATAAATAGTCTAATGATGGTATACAGGGATAAAAACTATATGTTTATTATTATTTTTATTATTACAAACACCCTCTAGTGGGTGTAAACTATATATTAGGGGTTCTGACAGTTCATCTAATTGTACTTTTTAATATTTATTTATTTGTTTGCAAAGATAATCAAAGATAATTGACAATGGAGTATCATAAATCTTTAGAAACTAATATAATAATAATTGTATGAAAAAGATATTAATTTAGTTTGTCATCTTTTTCTAAAAGACGAACCTATATATGAATATGTGGTGCCAACCATGCAAGGCCATTTCTCCCCGTTTCGTTGACCTTTCAAATGAATATCCAAATGTTGTATTTTTAATATATACAAAAAGTTGTTGAATCTATGCAAGATCGCTCGCGACAAAGGGTATGATCGAGTGGATTGGAAATGCTTGGCTTCAAACACAAAAGATGTATCAAAGCATAGGTGCTGAATTGTTTACAATTCTGTTTAGAAGGAAAACAATTAGAAAAATATGCAAATGACACCATGTTCATTCAATCAAAAAATTAAATTAAATTAAATGTATGAATAAAAATAGAATAGAATAGAAATAATAAAACAATAATAACAACATTTGTATCTATTTATAATATAGAAATAATATTAATATTTAAATTAATTATTTAATTTGGAAAATAGATATTTTTTGGAATAGACCAAACAAGGGTTTCTATTGATCATTTATTTTATTAAAGTCATTTCTATAGAGATAACTATAGAAATAATGACATCATCATCGTCTATTGGTATCATTACATTTATAAATGTATTTAGGGATATAACGATTCAAAGAAGAATCTTTCAAGAGATTGCAAACATTTCAAGTATTGATAATCGAATTGCAGAAGAAAAAGACTATGTGTATCAGCTGGCTGGAGAGTTCTCTATGATGCGAGATATTGATTTGTTTATCAAAGGTAAACAGATTGTCAGATTGAAAAACTATGGAATGATTGGAAGATTCGCAATGCCATGGTGCTTTGTTAAACATTATATTAGTATACTACCTCAGCAGACCAACATGTTGTCTACTGCAGTAGACGACACCACCAACAAGAGAATATCTAGTATACATGCATATTGTTATCACCCCAATGCGACATTAGATACACTCCAACACCTCATACAGGAATGGTCACCAGATTACACACCAAATACAACAGTGATGGATCGAATTGCCAAACAAGGCAACACGACAATATACAACTACTTGCACACTCGATACTTTTCACCTACTTTAAAACTCTCTTCCAAGATGTAAATAATAAATAAAAGAAATGATATATTAAAAGAACCTCTTCAACTCGAGATATCTATCTATTATTACATACATACATACATAGAGGCGGTGGTGTGTGTGTAGCTAGGATAGATTGGTCATCCTTTTACAACATCAGTTAATTGAATCAATGGTATTCATTTAGTAGTATGAGACACCATCATTGCAATTCAATTAGCTGATGTTGCAACAAGGACACCCTGTTTTAGAGGTTGGTTTTCATCCAAGAAGCTCTTCTAGGCTTGTCTATAGAGTTAAAGTTTTGTATCTTGCTACCCCTACTCTTTTTACTCTTACTACTGTTTTTATTACTCTTACTACTCTTAATACTATTTTTTTTTGGAGCTGAGTGTTTTTTTCTCTGACCCATTATCAATAACGAAATGAAGAGCGAGTTTGTTTTTAGCATATAACACTTTTTACGTTTGGTAGTTTTGCAAGTAAGTAGTTTAACATTATTTTGATAATTTTAATGTATGTTGGTTTAGACATCCTCCAATTGTTCTTTCCGTTGAGCAAAACGGGGGTATTCTTTTAAACAATTTAGAAAAAGTAAAAAAATCTGGCAGTGTGACGAAACAAATTGAAACTTCTTTGCATAGATCCTCAAGAAGAATGAGTCAAGAAGAAGATAACACTCTAATATATACTCTGATATTTCCAAAAAAATATTTTTTTTGGCGCTATAATATTTGCGAATCTAAATTTACCGACTTGTTGCATCTGATCTCGTTGGCATCCACAATGTAAGTAATCTTGTCCAATACTGTATTCCCCCAACTATATTTATCTTCAATCCTATCTTCTATATCAAACAAAATCAATATATGAATAAAAGTAGTGATAAATGAATAAAAAGATTACTGAGAACTACTGGGAAGGGTTAGTACCTTTGGTATCTGTAAGTACGTTCGAGGTGACCTATCTCGAACAATATTCAATCACCACAAATATTATGAGGTTATCTGCAAGCTCATCAACGTTGGTATGAAAAATGGTTGGCCTCTGTGCAAATAATTAAATACCAATAAAAGACCATTTTTTTTTTAGAGAATATGAAAGAAAGGCGCCAGAGATGTTTCAATTTTATTGTTTTAAAAATCCAACGTTGGGTTTGAAGGCAATTTAGGTTAAGAATATTTATTGATGGTTGTTACATTTATAGATATATTTAGACAATCAATTCTTGATCTATCATATTTGGACATATTGGATAAAACTCTGTTAAAGTGTGGCAAGAAGGTCTTGACATGAAATAATGAAAATAAATCGAGTTGATTCAAAGGATAGCCGGATAAAGCCAAGTTTAAGGCTGGAATATGTTTATTATTATTATTATTATTATTATGCCAAAGTTTGTTTCATTCCTTCTTTTTTCGTACCTGTCACAGATCCTCTCTCTTTTAAAAAGTTTTTATATCTAGAAATGTAAATAATAATAATATATTAATACTACTAACTAATACAAACACTAATTATATAATAATTTGATGATACAAACATTTTTTCATAACGTGTTCTTTCAGATGGAGGAACCGATGGAGATGATTGTTTAAAAGATTCTTCAAAATGAATTTTCTTGATTATTGGTTGTTCATTATTTCCATTACTATTATTATTATTATTTCTATTATTATTTTCATCATCTATTTGTTGACCAAATGTTGTTTTAATTTCATCAATCTTTTGAATTAATTTGTTTCTTTGTTCATTTGTCATTCTACTATTATTATTATTATTATTTTCAATATTTTCAAAAATAACTATATTATTTCCTAAAATACTTTCTCCTCCAACTCCTGCTACTCCACCTCCAAGTTGTTTATCATTTTCCTCTTTTTCTCTTTTTTCTTTCTTTTCTTGTTCTTTTTTATGCATTAATTCATGAATTGATTTCAATTGAGAGTTGTACATGATGGCTCTGAGATCGGCACCAGTGTACCCTTCAGAGGTGTCTGCCAACTCGGCCAAAGAGTTTTGTGACTCTTCGTCAATACGCATTTTGTTGGCGAGGATGGTGATGATCTCTAGACGCTCATCTCGTTCTGGAATGTTGCAGTAGAGTGACTTGTCGAGTCTACCCGGTCTGAGGAGAGCGGGGTCGATGAGGTCGGGACGACTGGTAGCCGCCAAGACATAGACACCTGCCAATCCCTCTACACCATCGAGTTCAGTGAGAAACTGGTTGACAACACGATCGGTCACACCGGTGCTATCGTGTCCACGACGCGGCGCAATCGAGTCAAACTCGTCAAAAAAGAGTACACAAGGCGATGCAGACGACGCACGTGAAAAGATGTCTCGTACACCCTGTTCACTAGACCCAATATACTTGTTAAGCAACTCTGGACCCTTGACACTGATAAAATTGAGTCCGCACTCACCCGCAATACTCGACGCTAGCATCGTCTTGCCTGTACCCGGTGGGCCGTACAACAACAATCCACTACGCATACGGATAGGTGCCGACGCAAAGAGAAGGGGGTATTTACTAGGCCACCCAATCGTCTCTTTCATCATGGACCTTACATCTTTTAATCCACCAATATCATTCCATTTGCCTGCATCTGATTGATGTAATTTAACACCTTTGAGTGAAATGGGTGTATATCCTTCTTTGGCCAAATGCATTCCTTTTAATGTCACTGTCGATTGTTGTGGATTATTATTATTATTACTATTACTACGATTAAGATAAATGACACGCTCTATTAATCTTTCAATATCACATCCAAGATAACCCTCTAGAGATGAAGCAAATCGTCCAAGTGCCACTTTTTCATTGTCATCTTCGACTTGTAAATCCAACCTCTTTAACAATTTAAAGAAAATGTCTGCACGGTCATCTCTTGATGGTGGTTGGATTTCAAGTGTCAACCCCATTACATCGGGGGTTTGGAAATCCTTGTACAATGATTGTATAGATTGACTCGTGGCAATCAATACAATTGGTGCATTTCGATCTCTACAAACTCCAATCAATTTTTTAATATAATTTGATATTTGTAAACATCTAATTTTTGATCCAGGCTAAGAAAAATAGAATAAAATATTGATCAATATAAATAATATTTTAATATTTTAATTTAATATTTACATCTTGTTCATTTGGATTTGGAAGTATAATATCTAAATCTTCTAAAATGATAATAGAAGGTTTTGAAAGATATGCTCTTGTAAAGATTGGAGTTAGAGTTTGTCTAATACGTTCGACCTTTGTTTCTTTGAGTAATTGACAATTTAAACGAACGACAAATGTTAATGATTCGTCAAGGTGAACATAGTAACCTGCCAAAGCACTAGCCAACATTGATTTACCAGATCCGTGTGATCCAGTGATCAACACACCACCATTTCCAGGTGCATTGAGTTGGTTACGTAACATTCCATAATCCTTTCTAACGAGTAACGATAAATAGTCTTTGGCTTGATCAATCAATTTATCCATACCACCAATTCTATCAAACAATCTATCACTAATATCTACATAATCTTCCAATGGTTCCAATTTACTACCATCATTCTTTTCAAATGATATAATCATTCTATCTTGATTAAATATTTCATCATTTATCATAAATACTCCATGAATTAATTGATATTGATTTTGTTGAGATGACTGAGATGATTGTTGTTGTTGTTGTTGTTGAGGATTAGGTTGATCAACTAAATTATCAATTTGATTACTAAGTACATTTCCAATTACATTTAATAATTCTTGATTATTTTGTCTTTGTTGTGGATGCATTTGTCTATTACCACCTCCCTGTTGTTGTTGTTGAGATGACATTTGTTGTTGTTGTTGTTGTTGATTAAAATGAAATTGAATATCAATTGAATTGGTTGAATAATTTTTAATTGGTGGAATAGTTATAATTGATCCATTTACTAATGGAACCATCGCTTTAGGTTGTTGTTGATTGTCTTTGTTGTTTTCTTTTAAATAAATATGTGACCATTCTTTGACGACTTGGTGTAATAGTTGTGGAGGGAGTAGTGAGATTCTAGGAGGTTTTGGTGCAAATTCAAGAGGACTGTTACGCCACACCACCTGTTTGATTTGTACTCCACTGATTGGACAAATTGGAATAGAATGAGATGGCAATATTCTAACTTTGATCTGTGTATTAACATTTAATTGTAAAAGATATCTAAGATTCTTTCCAACAATTATATGTTGATCACTTTTTACTATCAATTTTCCAACAACCTCTTGGGAACTATAAACTCTAGCATAAATACATTTTCTTTTAATTATTGGTTGTTGTTGTTGTTGTCCTTGTTGTTGTTGTTGTTGTTGATTATCTTCAGCATCTGTTGATTCACTTGATGATTGTAGTATTGAGGGTAATTGATCTTTTGATTTGATTTGACTGATTTCAACTATATCACCTTGATTCCATTCATATTCTTTCATTGCATTTAATGATATGTATACTGTTGTTGAAGACAATAGTCCATTGTTGTCTGAGTCAACTAAAGATGATTCTTGTTGAATATAAAGGTGACGTGGAAGTAATGAATTATAAGACCGAGATGATGAGGATGAAGAGGATGATGGAATATTACGAGGTTTAGGTGCAACTATAATCTCTGAATCATTTGACAATTTGACAGCCGATGGTTGATTAGATGATGATGATGACGATGATTTCGGTGTAACATCAATTACACGTAAATGAATTACAATCTTTTGGTGTATCCAAATTGGAATGATCTGACCACTTGATACAACGTTGATTTGATTCAACAATTGTTCCTCTAGATACTCGGCATGTACCTCTAAGATCTCCCAATCGTCGCTAGTCACTGGTTCCACCTCTACAGTAGTTGCTTTCTGTACTGCACTCGCCGAAGCAGCCTTTAAACGAATCATCTGACCTTCTACCAATCCCAAGCACTGTGCCATCTCTTGACTCATCTCTAATGAATCATTGTGATGATGATGATGGTTATTACCCATGCTACTACTACTACCACCAGACCATCCAACAAAAGCATATTTATCCTCTTTATTTGCTTTATCATACCATTTCAATTCTAATATTAATTGGGTTGATTCATTTCTCTAAGATATATATATATATAACAAATTAGTCAAATAAAAGGAAGGGTATTATATGTATATGTATATGTATACATACTTGAGCAAGAGTATGAGCAATCTTTAAAGGTAGATTGACAAAACAATTAGGACTATGTCTCAATGTAACATATAAATCCATTTCTGTATGTCTGTCTCTATATCTTATCTGTCTGTTATCTATTTGACAAATGAAGTATAAAATAGATTAAAAGTTTGAAATGAACTAGACGATCATGAAAGTACAGTAGTCTAAAGTTTTCAATTTTCATTACACTCGTCTTTCTCTTCTCTACTTTTAGATAATCAATACATGTATAGCAGTATTAGTAGTAGTAGTAAGACACTGTCAGCATCATGATAATAGAATGGATAATAGAATGGATAAAATAGAAGATTTATTGAGATGTCCAATATGCTATGACTTGTATACCACTTGCATGATGATTCCATTGTGTTCTCATAATTGTATGTTAATTGATAGATATATAGATAGACGGATGTATTTATTTATACTATTATTGTTGTTTGTAGTCTGTTCGCTATGTATAAGACAACACTTTCAACAACAAAAGTTGCATTGCCCGGTATGCAGAAAAGCAGCAACATCAATCGACATTAAGAATAATAGGTTGTTGGATGACTTGGTACACGAGTATAAGAAAGTACAATCGGTACAACCAACTCAACCTCTACTACTTTTAACAAATACAAATAATAATCAACAACAACAACAACAAAATGCTGACAATGACGACGATGATTTATTTGGAAGTAATAATAATAATAATAATACTACTTCCACTTCCACTTCCACATCGACAACTAATACTTTAACACCAACACCATTTACAAAGAGAAAGAAAAGATTGTCAGCATCTCCAGATACTACTCAAAATCAATCTCAACCAATTGCATCTACAAGAAGAATGACAACACGGTCAATGTCTGCATCTGCATCATTGTCTACAACAACAGCTCCCACTACTCTATCAGATGATGATGATGATGATGATATATTTGATTCAAAAAAGAAAAAGAGTCCAAAGAAGAAAAGAAAATCAATTAGTGAGAGTGACGATGAATTAACTTTGGGTGACTTGGGCAACAACAACAATAATAATAATAACTCTGACCAAGTTGTTACATTGTCATTACCGACACCTGACAAGATTTCATGTCCATTTTGTAAAGCAATGATTGTATCAAGATTCCTTGAAAAACATATGGATTCTTGTATTGATAGTCCAACTCCAAATAATAATAATAATAATATTAATAATAATAATAATAATCAACAATTAGTTTGTGTAAAACTAACACCATTACCAAAACTATGTTATCATTTAATGAAAACCAAACAAGTAAAGGAATTGTTGAAAAAGGTGAATATGAAAATGACAGGTGACAGACAGACACTTGTCAATCGTCATCGTGAATACACGACAAGACGCAATGCAGAATGTGACAGTCTTTGTCCAAAAACACACGAAGAAATTGTAGAATTGATCTATCAAAACGAACAATTAACAGCAAAACCAAAGCCTGCTGGAGGAAGAAGATCTAAATCTCTACCTGCTGTACTTGCTCTACCTGCTCCTCCTCTTCCCATTTCCCCTTCATTACCCTCTCCTCCTATTTCATCATCTTCTTCTTCTCAAGGTTTATCTTTATCTCAAAATTCAATATCATCTCCTCCAATCTTTTCAACTCAAAATAATAATAATAATAGTAGTAATGATTTATTTGAAATATTGAAATTACAAATCTTGAATCGTAAAAAGTAATCAGTCATTGACAGTACCCATTTCAGTTAAACTAATCTATTGACCAACACAACAACATCTGCATCGAACAACCAAAGTGTAATGGGCTCATCTGGAAACTCTTCTTTTTGATGATGTAGTGACAAAACAACCACCATGGTAGATCTTTCGAAAATTGTTGTTGTTGTATCGTCGAAATTCAAAGGAGGGGTGAGACTATGAATGATCGTCTGGTGATTGGTCAAATCATTTTACACGAATCGGTGCAAACTCTTTTCAAGAAGAAACCCTCCTATCGCTTCAAAAACCCTCACATTTTTTTTGCAAATCTGGACTGCCCGATAAGCCAAACAGAAAATCATCCATTAATACATGAAAAAGATATTTAAACAACAAACCCCCCAGCCCCCATCATAATAAAGGTGTACATTTTTTTAAATGTCTCTTTGCGCCAAAAGGAAGGAGGATTACAAACATTGTCGATGACCATTTTCTTTTTTTTTTTTTTTCTTTCTATCTATCCTGTTTGTTCATTGCATCATACGTAAACCTAATCTTCTTTGATGATTAATCATTTATATATAAAAGCAAAAGAGAGAAAGAAAAGAAGCCGAGAGAAAATAGAAAGAGAGAGAGGAAAAGTTTAGTTTAGTTTAAATTCAAGCGATCAAACGAACAAACCTCGAGGCGGTTCAACTTTTTTACCAAATTAGGCACCAATCTAGAAAAGGTATGATTTTTTTGTTTTTTTTATCTTTTGTTCAGGGTATCGTTTGTCCTTTCTCCTATTTGAAACGAGCTTTTGCGATCATCAACCAACTCTGTCTGTAAATTCAATTGGTTCATCTTTGAAATCATAAAAACTAAAACAAGTACATGGATGGTGAGAGCTCTTAAAGTGGCTATTCTCTCTCTGTTGGATGGGCTTTGTTGATAACAGTAGTTGGCGAGGTTGGATGACCAAAATAAGTAACTGTTTTCGCGGTCCTATTTAGGAAAAAAACGATCATGATCGTTTAAAGCCTCTCTTATGGCAAGCTCGATTATGTAGATATGCGAATAGATATTAAATAGTTCTGTTTCATGGGGGGGGGGCTTCAACCAGCGAGTTGCCTCTTCAAAACATTGTCATCATCATCAACCCAGCATTGCATATTTAACATGTCAGCGATGAGGGAGAGGAGAGACCTTTATCTTTGTCTATCTACCAAAAGAAACAACAAAGTTTTTTTTCTACATATGAGAAAGAGAGAGAGAGACAAACAGACATACAGGACAACAACAAACACAGAAGAATATTTGATAGATAATTATCTACTGGAAAAAAAACAATTGTAAGCAAATTAATAAGCGAGCGACTGTGTTGTTTGTGTGTGTGTAAAAAGAGAGAAAATACAAACATAATAGTCAGAGTTATAATCAATCAATCATTCATTCATTCATTCAGTTGTTGTAGTTGTACACATCAGAGTTAAAAAAGAGTTAACTATGACATATTAAATATATCAAGAGAGATAGATAGAGAAAAGAGAGAGATAGGAGAGAGATAGATATATATATTTATATATTTAGTATAGATAAAAAGAGTTGTTATTGTTGTTGATGTCATAATACTACTTTTTTACTTTTCATCACCAAACCTAAAGATAAAAAGACAAATTAACTTGACTGTTCACTCCAATACCTTTAGTAATAAAAATAATAATAATACTAATAATTAATTAAGCGTCGACATTTAAATTCAACACCACCAGCCAATCACACTAGCAACATTGCTACAGAATTCCGAATTCCCTAATTTAAATTCATTTTAACATTTTTAAAAAGGTATGGTTTCTATTTTATCATCTCTTTTTTTTTATTGATCGACTATAGTTTTTTAATCTCCCGACCAATCAGATCTAATGATCTCATCCCACATTATACTAATATGAATATATATATCTCTATCTAATATTTATATAAAATATATATTTATTAAAATGTAGTAGAGTAGTAGAGTGATATAATATATTATTACACTACACCTCTTCGAATATTATAATAATAATAATAATCAATCATACCAACCATACCATATTCATACAGTTAACAATTTTGTTTAACCATTCCCTTTTATTTTTTCCCAATTGGATGATCCATCATTAATTTGACTCTCTCCCCCCAAAAAAAAAAAAGTATGTATATTCATTCATCATCATCATTGAGCCTCATTCATTCAATCCAATGGCATTGGATTGGATTGGATTGGATTGGATCCAATTCACACATTGACAACAATAACAATAACAAAAAAGGATCTGTATGATCTAATCAATTCCTCATCCTCCACATTTTTTTTTGTTTCCCTCTTTTAAACATGTTTACACAATTATATGATATGAAGGATCCTTACCTTAAATGGAAATAATCACTATGGTAGTAGTAGTAGTGAGTGTTCTAAACAATAATGTTGTAAAGATAGCGAGTCACACAAACACACACACATTCATTTAAAGTAAAAGTGTTTGGCAGTCAGTCAGTCTACCGATCGATACTACAATTCATTGGAATTAAACACACCCACATCATTCAAACACATTTCCATTTTAGATTAATCTAATCATCACTATATATCACCACACTCATTCACTCACACACACTTATTTCCATCATCATCATCATCATCAACATCATCACAGTCAATGGAAACATTGAACTCGATGTGAGTTTTTCAATCAACAGTTTTTTTTTTTTTTTTTTTTTTTATATTCAGGGTTTTGTCGTTGGTTGGTGGGATGGTTCGTTGTTGTTGGTGGTGGTTGTGGTTGAAGAGATGGATGGTCATGACCAAAATATCGATCCCCCCCTCTCTCTATTTGCCTTGCCTACCTACCTCGATTGCTGATTTAAATCATTCGAAGCGGACGGTTCAAACAAAACACTGATGATTTAAATGAAATGTGTGTTACCGGTAATTTATTCCCTTTTAAATATCTATATGAGTTTTTAAGCATCCATCAAATCGTTAGACTACTCCCCACCACCACTACTCACCGTCATCCATTATAGTGTGTGTGTGTGTGTGTGTATGTATGTAACTTTCTGTGTTTATGTGTTCAGAAAGTGATAATTCTTATTATTATTATTATTATTATTATTATTGATAGTAGTGGATAGTAATAGGATAGCAGGGACAGAGACAAAAAGGTGAATAATATAACAATATCAATATAGTAGTATAAGAAGAAGATAGTAACAGTGCCAACATCAATCAATCAATCAATCATTTAAAAAAAGTTGTTGATCATCACAATTGTTAACCAACCACCAAAGTTGATCACCCCCCTTTATTAAATCTATTTCATAGAGGAGAGTGCTTGTGCAATCATAATAATAATATTAATAATATTAATAATAATAACGAGAACTAGTTAGCAGCAACAATCATCAAATCAATTTAATTTATTTCCAATATTTGGACTACCCCCCCCCCCCTTTATATCGTTGTTCCCATTCATATCAGCAATATATATTTAAATCAATTATATATATTTCTTTAATGGTTACAACTAGTAACTAACTATAAAATTAATTTAAACAACAAAAAAAAACAAAAGTAGTTGGAAACCACAAATAATAATAACAATAATTATAATTGTTCATCATCCAGATCTATCTACTATTAGTTTTTGTCAGATAATATACCAAATTAATTTCCAATTTCCAATTTCCAAATTCCAATTTCCGATATTACAAATATTCTAAAAAAGACCCTTACCCATTAGTGATCATCACCACCTCAACTACAAAATATAATATATATTTTAGTCGTCATCTTTGTGATTTTACATTTTCATATTTCCCTTTTAAAAAAAAAAAAAAAAACTAGTTTCCTTTTTTGTAAAAAAAAAAAAGCCGCCTTTTGAAAATCAATAATCAATATTCATTGTCAAATCATATTAATTCCATATCTCAATCTATATCTATAGAAAACAAAATATAATTTATTATATATTATATAATAATTTATTTAAATATCTAATAACAGTTTAGAACCCGAATATATAATATATTTTTTTTCGAGAAAAATGGAATCAATCAACAACGGTTATGATTACCTTTTTTTCAATATATTTTGGACAATTGTTTTAATTGGTTTATCAACCAAACATTTTAGTGTTTGGATGAGAAGATTATCTCATCCAAATAAATTAAATATTAATAATAATCAAAATATAAATAATATAAATAATACAAATAATAATAATAATATAGTAGATGATCAACAATTAAATTTACAATCAATTCAACAACAAATATTATTACAAGAAGACAAACATCAACAACCATCATTGTCATCAAATGAATACCATGAAAATAATTTAATTGATGAAGCTCATTTTGAACATCAAGATTCCACTCTTCCAATATCATCATCGTCATCGTCATCTGGATCAAGTACATCACTTGATCTTGGATCATTAAAAGTTGGAAATAATGGAACGATATCATTACAACAACTTTATTCATCACCATTATTTTCACCATCTTCTTCTTCATCTACACCAAGTCAAAATTTATCACCAACATCAAACAGTAGTAGTAGTAGTAGTAGTTCAGATTCAAATCCAAACTCTTCTTCTTCTTCTTCTTCTTCATCATCATCATCATCAATATCAACTATTTCACCATCAACTTCACAATCATCTGGAACAACCAATGTTTTTCAAACCATTGATTCGCTAAGTTATATTTCACATGAGATTCGAACACCACTTCATCATATACTTTATCAGATTGATGAAATCAAAACCGAACTTGACAAGTCTGATATTAAAAAGGCAAAGATGAAAGGAAAGGTTAGAGACATTGAAGAATCGGTCAAACAACTTCATGGTTTGTTAAACTCTGTTTTGGACATGTCCAAATGTGTCGATGGTAAAGTCGTCCTCAATCAAATAGACTTTAGTCTTCCCGTACTAATCGAAGAGATTTGTTCCTTTGTCTCTCCATTTGCCAAAGAAAAAGGTATTCAAATTGCTTCTTATATTTATCCTCATTGTCCAATTAGTATTTATGGTGATCCTGGTAGATTAAGACAAGTACTTTGTATGCAAAAAAAAACAAAAAATAGAAAATATAAATATATTTGTATTAATATTTTCTATTTTCTATTTTCTACTTAGTTAATTTAATAACAAATGGAGTAAAATATACAGAAAAAGGACAAGTTATCATTAGAGTAGAGAGTGAACCATCAATATCACAACAATTAAATTTAAAGTTTGAAATTATTGATTCTGGTATTGGTATTAAGGAAGAGGATATACCTAGACTGTTTAAATCATTTTCACAGTTGCATGAGGGTAAACATCCGTCAGAGAAAACTGGTCATGGACTGGGACTGGCCATTGCCAAGGGTTTGGTTGAAATCATGGATGGCACACTAGAGTGTACGAGCAAGGAGGGTGAAGGCACGACGTTTACCGTGACACTGTCGTTTGAACAACAACAGCAACAACTGCATTGCACCAGCACCATCAACAATTTCAAGGGGTTGCCCGTGTTGGTCGTCGATTCCAACGATGTCATCCGCTCGATTGTTTGTAAATATTTAAAGGATTGGAATTGTGAAGTGTTTGATTGTGCTACGATTGAAGAAGCGTCATACTATCTAGAAGACCATAAGGACGTGTCGGTCATCTATGTAGATACTCATCTCAGTAATCAGTATGAAGTAAAACGTCTCAAACGACGTATTGAAAAGGGTAATTATGGTGATGACCTAAAGTTGGTACTCGTCTCAAGTGACAGGAACTTTATCAAGGGATTGCAACTCACCAACACTGCTGCCATTTACAAACCCATCCAACAACTCTATATTTACGCGTCACTACTCCTCTCACTACCACAAAAACCAATGCGTACCATCTCTGCGCCATCTGCTCTTTGTAGTCCTTCCTCCATGTCTCCTTGTGCCACCCCTTCGATCTCTGTATCACTACCAGCCCTATCATCTGCCAATTCTAACTCTAACAACAACAACATCAACAACAAACCAACATTATCATCTGGTCAATATCAACTTTGGAAATCTCAAAATACTCTTCCAAATATTATGATTAATGAAAATGATAATAATAACAATAATAATAATGATAATGGAATGATTCAACAACAACAACAACAACAACAAATATTTAATGAAATTTCATCACCTGATCCACAACAATTATTACAAATGATGTCTGGTGGTGGTAATGGTGCACCTCTAACACCATTGATTGAAACTTCACCTGTATTTTCACCAGACCACCAATACAACAACAACAGTACAGTTGAACAACCAACATCTCTTTCAATTTATACGCCGGGACCACCACCTCCATCATCATTTCATACACCAATGCGCAACCGAAGTACTTCGGGACCAATACTATCCTACAAGAGTACCACTAGAAGACATTCTATTGATATTGTTACACTGGAAACACCAACCTTTTCCTTTTTAGACACTCGTCCAACCTATAATGTAAATAGGCCATCCAATTTAAACCCTCCTTGTACCAAAGAGGTTGATGAAGAAAGTTCTAGTCCTCAACATACACAATCTTCTTCTCCACCCTTATCCTCTTCAACAGTACCAACTCCAACTACAAATAGTCCAAGTATTAATTTATTGGACAAACAAAATTTAGATTTAAATCAAATATCAACCAAAATATTAGTAATTGATGATAATCCAACCAATTTAAAGATATTTAAAAATATTATATCATCAAAAGGTTACTTTTGTGAAACTGCAGCTTCTGGTGGTATTGGATTGGAAATGATGGGAAAGATGGATTATTCTTTGGTGTTTGTTGACTTTCAAATGCCCATAATGGATGGTCCAACCTTTTCTAGTATCGTCAGAAAGGAAAATCATTCGGTTCCCATCATCGCTGTCACTGCTCATTCTCCATCCGACATTCGTGATCTTTGTCTTGGTTCTGGAATGAATGACGTTTACTCTAAACCAATTAAAAAAGAAGAAGTTTATACATTGATTAACAAATACCTTTCAATCAATTAAAAAATAATTATATATAACAATAAATCCTTTTTCTAAAAATCGATCGATATAATATAAAAAAAATAATAGTTTAGATTTTAATGAATAGAATTAATTATAGGTAGGAGGTATTTTGATTGAATAAGATCCTTGTTGATGTGTTGTTATCCATCCACTAATTGGAATTACATTATAATTAAAAGTAATATTTAAAGCAAGGTTTCTAATAAGATAAGAGAGAAAATTTAGTAAAGAGGGGTGTTGAATAGTGTTATGGATCTAAAACATACTTATAGTTTACACGTTGATCACCACCTAGATAATATTTGGCAATATTCTTTTCATTAATAACTGCCATATCTTTATCAGTGACAATCTTGTCCCAAATAACAACTTGATTTACAACCTATATAATAGACACAAAAATTAATATTATATAGTTAGAGAGAACTATAGAGAGATATATAGTTTCTTCTTATTTTCTTTTCTTACATTGGTTGGAGTTACATATTCTGCTGTTATATACAAGAACAATTGCTTTGTATTCCAATTAAATAAAGGAGTGAGATCTGTTGTCAAGTCTGTCGTAACGATTGAATAGTCTAATCCCCATCTTTCAATTCTAAATGAAGAAATGATTTAGTTTAATATCTATATATATATTTATATATGTTCTTTCTTTTTGTGGTTGAGTAGTACTAATACTAATACTATTACTATTATTACTACTACTAGTATTCTCTTACAATTGTACACGATTAGATTTCATATCAATATCTATTTGATTTGGAAAGAATGATCTACTAAGTATATTGAGTACGAGCATACCAAATAATACTACGCCTCCAAAGCATACTATCAAGTTGCCTCTCTGTGATGCTGTGTGCATTCTATCTATCTATATATAACCTTTAAATACTACTTCTGAGAGAGCAAGATGAAATTAAAATACTGATGATGGTGGCTTTGTCATCAGTTTTTTTGTGAAGTTCCACTTTTTTTTTCATTAATTAATTGGTTTTTTATATTATTAATATCAATATGGATCCGATGGTGATATAGGGAAAATATTTTTATTATTATTAATAATAGTAAAGTTATGATAGTAGTCTGATTAATTGGAATTGGTATGAATGTCTTAATGGTTCTTGATGACCGATTGTAGAATCCCTGTAGAGCTGATAGTCTTGAAGATTATGTATCATATATAATGTTATCAATATTCTTTCAGTATATATCAACCTATTCCAGGAGATTTAAAATATATCATAGAGATGGTAAAAAAAAATAATAATTTTGGAATAAAGTAAAATACGCATTTACAATATGTGGTTTCGACCAAAATCGATGAAACCTAGATAAAATGATAGATAAAAACAAGGAGAATACGAGGGTAGTAGAGAAAAGCCCCAAAAAAAAAAAACATGGGACCAAGAAACAAAAAGTATCTCCCTTGCCGGGAATCGAACCCGGGGTGTCAGTGTGAAAGACTAAAGTGTTACCGACTACACCACAAAGGAATTGACTTGTTGTGTTGTTTGGTCGACTTTGGCCCTATTTATAGAGCATGATAGGACGGGCATGGCGTGGCAAGTGAGTCGGGAGTGTGCTACCCCGGGAACGTAAAGGTCATAGGTTCGAATCCTGCCCTCGAACTTTACTTTTGGCGCCAACGTTTAACTTGACCACAATTGGGGGATTGAGGAGAAAAACCATCCGACTCTAGGGATCTAGAGACAGGACACCCCCACGGAAGGATGACCGGGTTAGTTTCCCCTTCTCAGTAGGAGATTGGGTAGCCAGACTGCAACAAGTAACGGGAAGGTAGTGGAGGACCTACTGGGCCGTCGCGATAGAAAGCCATCTGACATCTCAAATACAATATGCAACACGTAAAGACGAGTGTCCACAATGGGGAGTAAATCGGCGTGAGAGTTGAGAGCGGCAGTCGGTCTTGGACGCACCCAAGGCTTAAGGTTTCACCGCAAGTATGGTACTAAAATTAGAAGAAGATGGGTGCCATATTTGCGTCAACACCTTCATCTTCTTCTATTCTCTCTTCATCTATCAATAATAATATTAATAATATAATAATTTACTAAATAATAATAACATAGAATAATTATATAACACAATATTACAGCCTATAGTGCTGAGAAAAAAAAAAAAAAAAAAAAAAAAAAAAAAGCGATATCTTTAACCAATTTATTTTTAGAACAAGCAACAACCCAAAACAATCCAACATGCTTGACACTATACAATAAGATACATGATCAACGTCCATATAACATGTATCATAGACATGGACAACCCCCAGAACAAATTAACTTTAATTCTTCTCGAGATAATCTTTATTTCTTGCTGGTCAATTAAAAAGTATAATTAATAAAACTTTGTAACTTCTGAGTACTACTCTTCCCGATAGGAGAGAACAGGAAAAGAATTACTTTAAAAAAAAAAAAAGCATGATAGGATGACAGTTTGGAATTTTTCTGTAATAGAGAGAAAGAGATAGAAACAGAGAATTACGTATAGAGTACTATAGAACTTCACTCAATCATCAACGATCTTCAACTATCTTTTATCAACATTACTATTTCTTTTCACACTCAATAAAAGCCACAACTAATTGCCCTAGTGTGCCCCCTTGTTCAATTATTTATATCATTATCATTATTTTAAATAAGGGGTGCGAGCGAGCACAACCACTGCCTATATCAAAGAATTCTTCTTTGCATCACAGACTGCATATATTTGATCTAATTTTATTAATTTATTTTTGATGATAAAAAAAAGATAAATCATCCCTTTTATCTAAAGGAATAGTTTCCCAATTTGATTTAAAAGAATCTTTGATAAATGACCAGAGTTGATTGAGCCATTTGCTCTCTTGATTGAGTTTTCTATAGTGAGAGATGATTTTATAAAATTGTGCAACGTGTTGGTAGTCTTGACCCAAACATTCATTAGTATAGAGACGGACGATAGCAAAAAGGTTGGTATAGACGGTGACTTCTTCCATATGATTGTTTGGAAAATGCTTTAACCATTTTGGAATGATGACACTGGCACTGTTGACAACCTGTGGAACATGTTCGATGATTCTACCAATAGCCAAGACGGCATTTTCTGTTGCATCTTTATATTTGCTAAAATATGCGTCTTGTGCAGATACCATGGTATCCAATGCTTGTAACGCCATTGCCAGCCATGGGGAGAACCTATCTTTGGCAAGTCTGGCAGCCTCACCCAGAGCCATGGAGGCATTTCGACGCACCTTGTCTCCAGAGAGTGGTAAACACTCAACAATGGTAGGTATGATGCGTCCAAATGCATTGATAGCAACCTCACCCCCAAACTCACAGTACTGCATCAATAGGTAGAGAGCACTCTCTTTGGTAATATCACCCTCGGCTCTGTCACGCAACTTTTGGCAGATCCTGTCCAAGAGATCAGAGGCAGAGGTAATAAGAGGTACTGTCAAGGTACCGTTTTCTATGATCATCTGACCGACCATCTGATAGGTGCTTGCTAAAGCATGTTCTCTTAAATAGAGCGTTTGCATGCTGTGGTTGTAAGCCACTACATCTGGGTCACCTTGTAGCATCTCCTCTGTAATGTCGTGCATCTTTTTTTCTACCTTGTAAAATGTGTCGAGCACTGAGCTCACTTGAGTCAATGTCATTGCATCTTTTCCCATCACTTGGATGAGGTTAGATCCAATATCGGCACGTTTCGCCAAGACCTTAAGACTAGGCTCGGCCAAACACGATATCACCACCGAATCGAGCATCTTTTCAAATATCTGATGTGTCTCTTGGGTATGCTCACCAAAACGAACCTGTACCAGCATGAGACAAGCGGGTAAACTGGCAAGGGATTGGATTTGAATATTGGTGTCGAATCCATACTTGAGCAAGTTGCAAAGAGGATTTACCAAGTGATGTACAAATGGTGCAAATGGGTCATAAACCTTGTCGTAAATTGTGTGAAATTCAGTGTCATTTGATTTAAACATGATTCCATTCAGGGCTAGTAGTGCTGATAGAATTCCCTTTTCGGCTTTTTGGCGCGACGATAAAGTAGTTTGGTTTTCTTGATTGGTTTCTACTAATGTATTGACAATCTTTTTTATAATCGTTGGTAAATAAATTGAAAATGATGATGAATGGTCTATTTTAATTACACTAGATGCTTTGAAAACATCCATCATCTGACCAAAAGACTTTATATTCTTTATGACAAAATGAAAAAATTGGTACAAGTCTCTGGAAAATGTAGTCCTGTTCATCACTAAACCACATGCTGAAAATGTCTTGATGACAAGAATGCATAATGACCTTGATTCTTTTTTGTCTTGATGTTTTTCAAACAATGAAAATAAAATTGAAATAATATTTTTATAATACTTTACGGTCGGTTTGGAAAAATAATAATAAATATTTATATATTAATAAAAATATTGAATATATATTGAATTTAATCATTTTACTTACAAGTCTAGTTTGAATTTTTCCAGTTTTTACAAATGCTGTCAATGATTGTAATGCATTTCCAACGACATTTAATTTTGGTGATTGAAGAAATTTCAGAATCCAACAAGATAATCTATCAAAAACATTATCAACAATCATGTCTGTAGACAAATTATTGGTCATTACTCTAATCAATACACAACAATAACTTTGGATACGTTGGTTGGTATCACAAATTGGTTTCGATCCTAAAACCAAAAATATCTCTTCTCTAGATTGAACCATTAATTCATTAAAATGACCAGCAAATTGAATTAAACAATGAATAGATGCCCATACAACTCTAATATTTTTATCGTTTATACATTTTAATATTGACCTTTTTAAAAAATAAAATAAAAAAAAAAATTAATATAAATTATATTTTAATTTTAATACTTTTTACATACTTTAAAATAAATGGGAAACGTCTACGAGTAATATTACTGAGAGAATTGGATAAAATGATCAAGGCTGAATATCTTTCATTCCACTGTTGAGAATTTAAAAGGATGTTGGATTGATTGTAGATGGGTGCTGCTACACATTCGTGGCCAATTGTATCCACGAATCGACGATACGATGAAACAACATTTAAAAGGTATGGGTCTTGTTTGTAATCTGGATCGCTGACTTGCATTTGATCGTTGAAAAAGTCTCCAACTCTGCTATCCAAGGTCACGTTTCTGCCATCTGTCCACTTTTCCAACGACACATCCCCGACTTGGGCTAGGCATGAGTAAAAATATGCCATGATGCACTCAATGTGGCTATCAGAGAAGAGGTAGGAATTATCCCTTGCAATGACCAATAAACAGGTAAAGACAATACTTTTACCTGGGGGCACGTTTCGATTTCTTGTGAATATCTCGATCAAAGTGTCAATGATTTGTACGGAGAATTTCTCCATCCATGGTGGTAGAGTATCTCTGTTGAGGACACATGTCATATACTCTACAATCTTTTTGAGAAAGCTTTCATTTGTACTAGCATCCAACCCTTTAAAGATTGATACCAACAAGGGGATTGATGATCTATGTTCCTCTGTCAAGTCAAAAGGATCAATTCTAATAAAATCAAAAGAATCTATCATCTCGGCCATCAACTCTTTTTTCTCCTTTTTAAAGTCATTTCTAGATAATTGATTTTGTAATCTTTTTGTATTTTCTTTTAATATTGATAATGATGATGATGATGATGATGATGATGATGATGATGATGATGATGATGATCCTTTTTCTTCCTTTTCTTCTTCTTCTTGTTGTTCAATGATTCTATTCAATGATGGTTGTAATTCATCCCAAATACCTAAAAATAAAATCATATATGTTAATATTATTATTATTTGATTGTTGTTTGTCTTTTTATCATACATCTAGGTATTAAATAAATTGCAAGGTATTCAATGATACCAAATAAATGTTGTCTAAAGCTATCTGTAAGAGTTGTACCGAGTAGCTCTATTGGTTGTTTCTTGACAGCTTCCAATACTGGTCGAGACAATGATTTGATAAACTGTTGTCCTTCTTTGATAAATAGTACATAAAGTAATTGTACTGATTTCTCTTTAATCTTTTAAATAAAAGAATTTTAGTAAATTTATCAATCAATCACTTTGTTTTTTAATTCATTTTATGTATATACATACAGTTGGATAGGTTCCCTTTACCATCAAAAAGAGTAACCATGATACTACCTCATCATCATATAATAAATAGTCTTTGAATTGTTGTTTTGTTTCTGTTGATCTGCTTTTGCTAAAGTGACAACTAATTCTATAAATTCTTTGGGTACAACATCCTCATAGTTGATTTCTTCTTCTTCTTCTTCTTCTTTTACTTCCATTTCATTTTGTTTTTTTACAATGAGAAAGGGGATAATAATGAAAATCAAACCCAAGCTTCTTGAATGACAAAAAAACAAATATTATTCTTTTTTAAAAGCTGGATAATTTTAAAAAATAGAAAAAAAAAAAAAAAATTAATAATAAAGTAAGTAGCAAAAATAAAAGTTTCGATTAACAGAAAGATTTAATCATGTTACTACGATATGCAAGCAGCAATGGATTCTACATTCTAAAGAGATATCATAACAGATTTTAATTTGGGCCAAGTCCTTTTTTTTTGCAACATTTTCAAAAGTCATGAAAGGCTCTCTGCTTGCGTATTCATATAATAGAGATAACTATGATTTTTTACCAACAATTAAAATTTATAAAACAATGGTTAATTAATAATATTTTTTTTTTAAGCATCTCATTTCGTGGCATCCACCTGTAGGGTGGAGCACTACTCTTTCGATTGCGAAGTTTTATTGATTGAAGTCTTTGTTTGACCAGCAATGGGAACTGAGTTTCCAAAGAAGAAACAAGTCCAATCTGTTTTTTTGGGGTGCCAAAGGTCTGTTCTATTTCCATCCAAGCAAAAATGGCAAGTCTTGGTGGGAGCTATTAGTTCTATTTGTTCATCAATACGACGGGAAGCTTCTTTACCTGTTGAATCGAGGGGGGCTGAACGGTTCTGTGAGTTACGATCCATAGTTCTTTTGTCAGGTTAGTGACCAGATCGTGACTGTTGGAGGGAGTGCCCAGTGTCACCATCCATATGTATGTGTGTGTCGAGTAATGGTTGGTGGTTGTGTCTACACCATGATTATCTATCTTATATCGTTCTGTTGTTCGTATTGTTATGTTGTTGATTGATGTTTTTATGGGATGTTGATGATGTTCATTTCCAATTGTAATAGTAATATGAATACTGTTTTCAAACTGTATTGACTTGTTGTAATGATAATTAAATTCCACCTAAATTATTATTCCTATTGTTTCGATACTGTTTTACTATTGTATTGTGTTGATAAGAGAAGGAGATGGAGGAAGGAGCGAGATATTTTTTTTTGTTATTTTTTGTTTTTTTTCTTGTTGGTGATCTTTGATATAGGCAGTGCTTGTGCTCGCTCGCGCCCCTTATTTATAATAATGATAATGATTTTAATAATTGAACAAGGGGGCACACTAGGGCAATTAGTTGTGGCTTTTAGTGAGTGTGAAAAGAAATAGTAATGTTGATAAAAGATAGTTGAAGATAGTTGATGATTGAGTGAAGTTCTATAGTACTCTATACGTAATTCTCTGTTTCTATCTCTTTCTCTCTATTACAGAAAAATTCCAAACTCGGTTAATTAATAATAGTGATATCCGTCTTAGTGGACCTTTTTTTTTAAAGTAATTCTTTTCCTGTTCTCTCCTATCGGGAAGAGTAGTACTCAGAAGTTACAAAGTTTTATTAATTATACATTTTAATTGACCAGCAAGAAATAAAGATTATCTCGAGAAGAATTAAAGTTAATTTGTTCTGGGGGTTGTCCATGTCTATGATACATGTTATATGGACGTTGATCATGTATCTTATTGTATAGTGTCAAGCATGTTGGATTGTTTTGGGTTGTTGCTTGTTCTAAAAATAAATTGGTTAAAGATATCGCTTTTTTTTTTTTTTTTTTTTTTTTTTTTTTCTCAGCACTATAGGCTGTAATATTGTGTTATATAATTATTCTATGTTATTATTATTTAGTAAATTATTATATTATTAATATTATTATTGATAGATGAAGAGAGAATAGAAGAAGATGAAGGTGTTGACGCAAATATGGCACCCATCTTCTTCTAATTTTAGTACCATACTTGCGGTGAAACCTTAAGCCTTGGGTGCGTCCAAGACCGACTGCCGCTCTCAACTCTCACGCCGATTTACTCCCCATTGTGGACACTCGTCTTTACGTGTTGCATATTGTATTTGAGATGTCAGATGGCTTTCTATCGCGACGGCCCAGTAGGTCCTCCACTACCTTCCCGTTACTTGTTGCAGTCTGGCTACCCAATCTCCTACTGAGAAGGGGAAACTAACCCGGTCATCCTTCCGTGGGGGTGTCCTGTCTCTAGATCCCTAGAGTCGGATGGTTTTTCTCCTCAATCCCCCCAATTGTGGTCAAGTTAAACGTTGGCGCCAAAAGTAAAGTTCGAGGGCAGGATTCGAACCTATGACCTTTACGTTCCCGGGATCGCACACTCCACAACAAGTCAATTCCTTTGTGGTGTAGTCGGTAACACTTTAGTCTTTCACACTGACACCCCGGGTTCGATTCCCGGCAAGGGAGATACTTTTTGTTTCTTAGTCCCATGTTTTTTTTTTTGGGGCTTTTCTCTGCTACCCTCGTATTCTCCTTGTTTTTATCTATCATTTTATCTAGGTTTCATCGATTTTGGTCGAAACTACATATTGTAAATGCGTATTTTACTTTTTTTCCAATATTTCCAAGACCTGGCATATTAATTCCTGAGTTTTTTTTTTGGATATAGAAATCCAGTTTGATATTTATTCGAGATTAAAATCTAAACAACCCCCATTCCTATTTAAAAAAAAACTTTAAATTAAAAGTAAAAAGAACACCTTTTTTTTTGTTTTTTACATTTTTTTTATATATTTATTTTTCATTCAAATCAATCGATGTTAGACATTATTAAATTATATTTAGGGTCATGTAGAATATCAATCTCGCCTACTATACCACTTTTCATAGGAACATCATTGGCTATCGCATACAGTCAAGACAAGACACCCAACTTTCCCTTCTTTCACTATGATCATGGTCACTTGATGTTTCTCATCTTGAACGTCGTATCGTTTTTCGGACACTGTACAAGCTACATGATCAACTCTTACGTCGACTATGTCACAGGAGTTGATGATCCTAAAACTTCATCGGATCGTACACTATTTGAAAGAGTATCAGTGTCGACACTTGTCAAATTCATAGTGTTTTCTGTATTGGTCATGTCCATCCTAACACATCTCTTGACACGTCTGTGTAGTGGAGAGACGGAATGGCTTGGTCGAATGTTTGTAATGTCAACACTTGCATCGTTTTTTACATCGTTTGCCTATACACATTTCAAGTACATTGCAATGGGTCAAATCATCTACAGCTTTGGTATCTATGGTATCATGAGTATCTACTATTGTCTCTTTGCCAATCAACCACCCGATCTATTATTCTTCCAACTATCAACACCCGTCGTTCTTCAATTGACTACTTGTCTATTGGCAGGTTATCATAGAGATATAGATGAAGATAAAAAAGCTGGTATCAAAACAATTTGTACTATACTTGGTAAAAGTAACAGTATCTATTTTATTGGTTTTTTATTTTTTTGGTAAAAAAAGAAAAAAGAAAAAAAGAAAAAATATTTGTATAAATATATTAATATTAATTATCTCTTTCTTTTTATTTAGTTATTATTTAATGTTAATATTTATATCATTGTATTTTAAAAATTATTTAATGTTGATTACTTTGATATCAGTGGTAGATGTTTATCGATTATTAAAAAGAGGTTTAAATGGATCAACACAAAGGTTTAATTTTGAAGCTTTTAGAGCTTCTGGTCCATCTTATTTTTTATATATCCTTTCTATTTTAATTCATGGAAAGATTAATTAATCAAAATAATTAAATCAGAATAAATTGTATTTTTTTTTTTTGATTGAAAAATCTAAAACACTAAAACAATTTGATCATTAATAATTAGAAATGAAATTTGATAAAGAACCAAAGATAATAAATAGTAATAATGAAAAAGAAGATAGATTAAAATATGATGCAACGGTATCAACATTAAAGATGTGGTTTGAATCATCAGAACAATTTGAAAAGATTATTATGAAATCTGTTCAATTAGTTACTGTTGATTTTACTAAAAAGTAAAGTATACTTTTAAAGTGATCAACCTATCTATACATATTAATTTATTTCATTTTAAAAGAACGATAACATGTTCAATGGTAGTAGAACAAGAACTTTCAAATATAATGAGTAGTTTACATGGTGGTGTAATTGCAACACTTGTAGAGTATGTAAACAAAACAAACCACTAGACATATATAAATATCCTAATGGTTTCTTTTATTTTAGTATTATTAGTTCAATGGCAATTATGATGTTTAGTGGTAAAGGGACACCAAGTGTAAGTGTTGATTTGGTGATCAATTATGCCAATGCAGCAACGGTTGGTCAAACTCTTTACATTGAATCTTGTGCATACAAGATTGGTCGTAATTTAGCATTCACAGATACCATCATCAAAGGTGACAAAGGTATCATTGCAAAAGGTTCACATAATAAATTTATTTTAGAGCCAAAGATCTAAGATAAAAAGATGGCTGGAAATAAACATTATTAATAATATCAAATCATTTTTTTATTATTAATTGTTTGAAAGATAAATTCTACCATGACCAGTCATACCAGATTGTAAAACCAATTTTTCATCCTTTCTATAGAGTCTTGGCATTACAAGATCAAATAATTCGGTTGATTTTAAAGAGACGATATACTCTATACCACGTTTACCAATAGAGATGTATTTGAATCGTTCACATACCAATCTGAGAAAGATATTTGCTCCACGACGATAAATTGGGATGTGACATCTTTGTTGTTTTGGGAATCGAGAGAATAGGTATTCCAATAGTGAACGATCGTACAATTGTGACAATCCAACAATTAATTTGGCAGAGATATGAGTGATTCCCTTGTTTTCTATTAAAAAGTCGATAAGGTCACGATCAAAGACAATGTTTGATTTACTAATGGAACAATTATCTAGAAACATACTCCAACTTTTAAATAGACCTGATTTGGTGAGTGCTAGTTTGAACATTTCGGTTGTATACACACGTATATATGTAAATCTACAGGTTCTTAAAAACTTGTACAAATCGGTAGTATCCAATAGTGATTGTTGATCGAGGTAATTGAATACACTTGATGCCTCGGCATCTGTTCTTCCAATGACAACTAGAAAAGTGTGTAGTTTATAGATTGGTAAATTGATCCAATAAGTGTCCATCAAAGAGGTGGCAAATTTAACTTGTTCAAGAGTACCAACCGAAACAATTGCATGATAAATGGTTGGTGTAAAGTACAACTTGGCCGATCGAGTATGAAATTGATTTCTTTTACAGACAGCATCCAATATCTCGACCGATGAATAAGGTGGCGCATGTGTATTTCTTTTACCAGTCTCGGTCTGTATGTTTAATAGTTGACGAATCGTCTCATTTACATCACCTCCCAAATTACTAGCAGTTTCCATTTCAAATCGTATAATGTCTTGGAATCTTTTCATATTTTCTATTTGACCAAATTGTAATTCCATTTGATTGTAGGTTAATGTTTCTAATCTATCATTGTCAGTGAGCCATGGATACCTCTTTTCAACTTCTTCTCTGACCTTGACATGTGCAGTCTTTAATACCTCGTATTCTAAACGAATGGCATTTGACTGACCCACCAAATAACGTTTGTTGTACATTGGCACCTGAAAGTCGGTTGCTGGTCGTATATAGGCTTGTATCACCTCAAGGTCACCCGTTTCATAGATACCTCCAAGTCGATATGTAATTGGATGCGAAATAGCCTTGTGACTAGCAACAGCATCTGGATAATGAATCATAATCCATCGCAATATCTTGGTTCTATTGTTGATGATTGGTTGCTTTAGAGATGCATTGATCATTGCAAACACCACATCTTGTCCAATAGGTTGTTGTGGTTGTACGACAAACAAGTATTCTAGAATCCAAAACTGCAGTTGATTGATACTCTCGACAGCAATATCCAAAAGATATCTATTCCAAATAGGTCCAATGATTGCCATAGGTACGGCATTTTGATCCAATGTCAGTTTGATCAAACTTAATGACTCGGCCGATCGACTGTTGATAAGCACCGACAATGATGATGTCCCAGACAGAATACTATTTGGAGTGTTACCATTAGTTTGAAGATGTTTGACTATTGCTTCTGTCAAGATCTTGGTCACTGCCTTTTTGACCAATTCAACGTCACCAATACAAGCAATCATCACTCTAACCAAGACCACCGGCTCTACATTGATCAACGTTTCATCATCTTGCTTGATTCTATCTGCCAATACTTTCCATTGTCTTGTTCTAGCCAATACTACTGCATCATCTCTACCCTTTAACGATGCTGCCAAATCATAGTAATTAAAACTATTATTTTCAACCTTTATAAAACTTTGAATCCCTTGATACAAATATACATTTCTATAAACATTCCAAAAATATTTATCCATCTAAATATATATATATAATTGTATAGATATAATTAAATATAAAACAAATAAAAGAGTTCATAATAACAACAAAAGTGTGAACATTAAATAATGATGGTTTAAATAATCTAGATTTTATTATTAATCTTTTTTTTTTGTTCACAGGGCTGAGATTACTCCCAATTTAAAAAGAAGTTCTTCTTGCAAGTGCACTAGTTATTTTCGTCAGTTCTCAAAGATTACAGAATAGAATAGAATAAAACATAGAATAGAATAAGAAATGGTTTGCAGAGTATACTTTGATATAAAGATTGGTAATGAAAATGGTATGTGTTTTTGATGTTTATCTAAAGAAAGATGTGATGATCATCTATCATATGATCGACACACTTGATATTAATAATAACATGTAACTTCTTTGTATTTTCAGCTGGTAGAATTGTAATGGAATTATATACTGATAAGGTACCAAGAACAGCAGAGAACTTTAGAGCATTGTGTACAGGTGAAAAAGGTAACACTAAATCGGGTGTACCATTACATTACAAGGGATCAATCTTTCATCGTGTCATCCCACAATTCATGATACAAGGTGGTGACTTTACCAATTTTAACGGTACTGGAGGTGAATCAATCTATGGTGAAAAGTTTGAAGATGAGAACTTTAAGGACAAGCACACCTCTCCAGGTCTATTGTCAATGGCCAATGCTGGTCCAGGTACCAATGGAAGTCAATTCTTTATTACAACTGTCCCAACTCCACATCTCGACGGGTAAACTTATAACCAAACAATCAATCAATACTACGACTACTAAAAGTATTAACTTTTTCTCTTTTCGATTTGTTAGAAAACATGTAGTATTTGGTAAAGTTATTAAAGGAATGAATGTAGTTAGAAAGATTGAAAATATAGAGACACAACAAGACAAACCATTGGTTGATGTTGTCATTGCTGATTGTGGAGAGTTGAAAGAAGGAGAGGATGATGGTGTACCATCCAAGGTATCAACCGACGGTGATAACTGGGAAGACTATACTGCCGATGAAAACTCGGTCAATGGAGACGAGGAATATGTAAAGGTTGCCACCGCCATCAAAGAGGTTGGCAATCAATACTTTAAAATCAATCAAAACCAACAAGCCATTGAAAAGTATCAAAAGGCTCTTAGATACTTGGATGCTGTTGGTAGTGCCGATGGTCTCAAGGCACAACAAGCATCATGCTACCTAAACATGGCATTGTGCTACAACAAGTTGAATCGTCCCAACGAGTCGATCGACGTCTGCAACAAGGCCCTTGCTATCCTCCCCAATGATGCACGTGCCATCTTTAGAAGAGCCAAGGCTCACGTCATCTCCAAGGACTACCAAGAGGCCATTGCCGACCTCCAAGCTCTCCTATTGATCGATTCCAACAACAGGGATGCTCAAGTTGAATTGGATCGCGTCAAAAAGTTACAAGCTCAACTCGATAAAAAACAAGCTTCAATCTATTCTAAAATGTTTGAAGATGAAAATTAAAACAACATTTATAATTATAAATAAAATTAGAATCGTTTACAAATCCAATTAATTCATCCAAACAATTTAGATCCAATTATAAATAAATAAAAAAAAGAGTTGGTAGATATTTTTTAAGGAAAGCGTGCCGTTTTTCGGCCTCTATGTCGATTGGGGCAACACCCCAAAACTGCGTAAATTTGCAAAAATGATCGAAAAAAGAACAAGCCAATAGCCAGAAGAAATCACTCTCTTTTTTTTTTGTATTGTTGTAGAACATCTAATATATTAGTAGTAATAAGTAGTATCTCTTATAGTATATCAGATTATATATATAATATTCAAGATGCAATACGTTAAATCATTATCTAGACCAGAAGAATTCATTTCACTCTTAAAGATTGGTTACACTGAATCATTCAAACCAAAGGCTCAACTTAAAGAGAACTTGGACAACAAGGAATGGTGTTACGAATTATTAAACAAGACATCTAGATCTTTTGCTTTTGTCATTAGTGAATTGGAACCACAATTACGTGATGCTGTAAGTTAATCGAATAACTCAACTCAACATCACTTTCGTCTTTCGGTACTTAAAGATTGTTTCGTTGTTGTTGTTATAATTAGCTCCTTTTATATATACATATATGTTCCCTCATCAATCATCAACAACAACGAAACAATCTTTAAATAGACTACTACTTTTTTTTTCGAAACACCAATCAAATCAAATATACACAACACACAACACTCTCACACAGTAAAAAAACAAATACTAACGTTTCATTTTATTTCATTTATTTTTATAATGCTTATATAGATTTGCATTTTCTATTTAGTTCTTAGAGGTTTAGATACTGTTGAAGATGATACTACAGTGCCATTAGATGTCAAGTTACCAGTTATGCACAAGTTTGCTGAAGGACTTTATCAACCAGGTTTCAAAGCAAGTGGATGTATGTATCAGACAGATAATAATAATAACAATTATGATCAATTATTTTAACATTTATTAATTCTATTATTTCTTTACATTTAGATGGTACAAATAATGATGAAAGACATTTAGTTGAAAACTTTGACAAGGTAGTAGATGTTTTCTTGAGTTTGAATGAAGGATTCTGTCCAATCATTCAGGATATTACCAAGCGTATGGCCTATGGTATGTCTGAATTCCTTCAAAAGGAGGTTGTCACCATGCCAGAGTGGGATCTCTACTGTCACTATGTCGCAGGTCTCGTTGGTATCGGTCTCTCCAAGATCTTCCATGCATCTGGTCTCGAAGGCGAATGGTTTGCCACTGCCGACAAGGAATCAAATGAAATGGGTCTCCTCCTTCAAAAGACTAATATCATTCGTGACTATCTTGAAGATATCAATGAAAATAGAATCTTTTGGCCACGTGAAATTTGGAGTAAATACACTGTCAAATTGGATAACTTTAAGAATCCACAATATGCTTCATCTGTAAGAAAAAAATAGAAATAGAAATTAACAATAACATTTATTAATTACCCTACTTTTTTTATTTATTTATTTAGGCATTACATTGTTTAAATGATTTAATTACCAATGCATTGTCACATACTATTGTTTGTTTAGATTATATGGGACGTTTAAAGAATCCAAAGGTTATTGGATTCTGTGCTATTCCACAAGTTATGGCTATTGCAACTCTCAATGCTTGTTATAATAATCATGGTGTATTCACTGGTGTTGTAAAGATTAGAAAGGGTGAAAGAGCTTTGGTATGTTATTAAAAAAGAAAATAATAATAATAATAATAATAATAATCTCATGTTCTATCCTCTAATATTTCTCTCTCTCTCTCTATCTCTATTTACTTTTTAGATTGTTGATGCCATTCAAAGTAAGGGAATTCAAGGAACCTTTGAATTGTTTTTCAAGTATGCTCATGAAATGTCGACCAAGGTACCAGCCTCTGATCCAAATGCCAAAAAGACTTTGGAATACCTCAACGAAATCCAATCGATTTGTGTACAAAAGCTCGGTTACAAACCATCTGGTTTCAATGATTTCGGTGGTTATGATATCATGGCTTCTTTGAGTATTGCCGCCTCCTCTGCTTTCCTCATTGCTCGTCATGGTCCAAACTTTTTCTCTAAACTTTAAATAGAACCGACCACACAAACTATTTAAATTTACATTTCCTTCTTTTATTTACCCATTACATGTATCCCTCCCCCCCTCCTCCTCCTCCTTTGTTATTTTCATTTGATGATTCATAAGACCCAACCAATTATAATTACAACACAGCAATTACAAATCAATTCATTTATCAACAATCCTATTATTATTACTATTCAATCCCTTTGATCAAATCGATTTGATCAAAGAACTATTAAAAAAAATCTATCAGGATGATGGAATATATATTCACTTTTGTTTATAAATAAATTCATCACTTTCGATCATCATAAAAAAAGTATTCAACAACAAAAAAAAGACTCAATCAATTTAAATTTATATTATCAAGAAGAATATCATATCACCATCTCTTGTTGATTTATTTCATCTCGATGACATATTCGAAAACAATTTATCCAACTCATAGAGAGATAAAAAAAGGTTGGTCAATTACATTTCTAAACAAAGAAAATGTAGGAGATCAAGGAGATATCAATTATCAAATTATACTAGGTCCAAACCCAAGAACCATCCAAATATCAATCATCAATGGAACCCTAAATCCTCCCATTCCAATCAATTTCATTCCACTTGATGGTCATTTATCATTCATAGTTTTATTTGTAAACCAGCTGATCAATTATTCATAAGGTACTCTTTAAAAAAGTAATAAATAAATATTCTATTCTTATTCTATACTTTAATTTATTGTCTTTTGTAATGATAATAATTTTTCAAATCTTTGATTTTGATCAATCTTTGAATCATTTACAGATAATTCTTTAATTTGTTGAATAATTTGTTTAAATTGATTATTTGAGTCGTTGTTGAATATCTTTTTGGTGATTGATTGTTTGAGTTCATTTGATTTGAGTGTAGCCGATTGGATGACAGGTTGTGGTAGGTTGGCAAGTGTGGCAACATTGATACCGTAACTGTTTTTAGCGGCACCTCTTACCACCTTGTATAGGAATATAACCTTTGGTTGTTGTTGGTATTGTCCATTGTCTGGATTGTTTTGTTGCTCCTCTAGGAATGACATGTGATAATTTGATACGTTTTGAGGATACATGTTTTCGATTTGTGACAGCAATGGATAATGAGTGACAAAGAGACAAAAGCATTTCAATTGCTCTACGATATAGAGTAGTGATGAATAGGCAATAGCTACACCATCATGTGTGCTAGTGCCACGACCCAACTCGTCTAGAATGACCAATGTTCTTGGTGTCGCCTCGGCCAAGATCTGCGACGTCTCTTGTAGCTCTACAAAGAATGTACTGCTACCGTGCTCGATATTGTCACGTGCTCCCATTCTAGTGTAGATGGCATCGAATACACCCATTGTACAGCTTTCGGCTGGCACGTACGATCCCATCTGTGCCATAATAACAATCAACGATGTTTGTCTAATAAAAGATGACTTGCCACCCATGTTTGGACCAGTGATAATCATGGCTCTTTCCTCGGCCGACGACAACTTGATCGAGTTGGGAACATACGATCCTCCCTTTTGACCAAGTGTCATTTCTACAATTGGGTGTCTTCCCTCTACTACGTTGATACCTGGCTCTGACGATAGCTCTGGTAAAACATAACCTGCAGACATACCCAACTTGGCCAAAGACATTAAACAATCCAATAATGCCAACTTGGTGATCATTGAACTATACAATGTATAGTCATTTCCAACCTTGCCCAAGAAATCCAACCAAGCTTCATTTGCCAAAAGAGTCAATCTTTCACGATGTTGAGCCAACAATTTAACATTCTCTATGATATAGGGTGTATGATAACGTGAAAGCTTCTGTGTAGCATTAATCTTTAACCAATCCTTTGGAACTTGTTTGAAAGCAACTGGCAACTCTATCAAATACTCCAAATGAAGTCTTGGTTGATGTAAATATTCCAGTGTAGGTTTACCAACCTCTTTTCTTACTTTTTTCAAATATTGGTCGAGTTTATCTTGTATCTCCTTGATATGTGCCTTTGTCTCGACTAGTTTAGGGTATCTTGTTTCATCGGTCCAAATATTTTCTTTGCAATTTGATGTTGCTTCATCGTGTGAAATGGCCTTTAGAGTAGTGTCAACCTTGACTCTAAACTTTTCAACTCTTTCACCAGCCCATTCATCATTGATACCAAACAACTCTTTTAGTACCTTTGATTTAAACTCTCCAAGACGAGAAACATCAGACAATAGAGTTGAAAGTCTTTGGAATGATTTCATAGTCGAAAGGAAATCCTTTGGTTTACATTGACTCTTGTAAAATACCTTTGATAGATTTCTTTGTAAATCTGGTATACTCGATTTTAAAAATGATCCAATCAATTCAATCGATTTAACTCTTTCCACTATACAATTTAATAATTCTTTTACAGATTCTTGTCTTAATTTAATTAATCTAAAAAAAATAAATAAATAAAATTAATAAATTAATAAATAGAAAGATCTCTTCTTCTTTTTTCTATATCTATTTACTCTAAATCAATTAAAGGTTTACAAATCCAATTTAAAAATAATCTTTTACCAGCAATAGTTTGAGTACGATTCATTACCCAATATAATGAACCTTTTTCACTCTTTGTATCTTCATTTTGAAGTATTTCTAAATTATCAATAGTTGATCGTGGTAAAATTAAATGATTTGATATTTTAAATGCTTTAAAATTTGATGCTACTTTTAATATCTGAGAAAAAATAATTAATAAGTTTAATATAGATATCTATCTTGACTTTAGATTTATCATACAGAATTAAATTGATTAAAATCCTTCAAATAAGTAGTCAATACAGAAAGACAAACTATTTGACTAGAATCTAGGGTCAATGCAGCTGATAGAGCAGTTTGGGTTTCTTGATTATTTTCAAATTGGTCATATAAATCTGTTATATTTGAAACTGATAAATCCTTATCATATAAACTTTCTTTCATTAATTGAACTCTAACATTATTTGTTTTACAATATTGTTTAATTGTCTAAAAAAAAAAAAAAAAAAAAAAAGAGATAATTAATTAATTATTCTATTCTTTAATTTCTTTACTTCTTTTTCTTACCTTTGAAGTTAAACGAGTAAATTTTGAATAAATAAAATGATCTGTACCATCATCTTGTTTTTGTTTGTATTCTGGTGGTAAGAGAATTTCAGTTGGTTTGAGATGAGTTAGACGAGTTTCAAGATGACTACGTAGTAGATCATCATCAAATGAATCATAGATGATCTCACCGGTACTAACTGAAATGGCAACAAATGATATTCTGGTGGTTGGTGAGTCAATCTTTTTGATTTGAGTGTCTTCATAAAATGCTACAAGATAATTGGGTGATATGTTGCTAAAATCCAAGGTATTGTTGCTTTCATCTACTTGGTCATCGATAAATGTAGATGTTGTGTAGAGTCGAGTGAGTTTTCTTTCAAATGGTCCACCTTTTGAATCACTGACAGCTTTGAGAGCAGCGGTTTCAATCTGTTCGACCACACCAACCTTGTATCCAGCTTGCACAAGACGACGTAGATGATGGTACAGACGCACAGTTGGAATACTTGCATTGAGAAAGTTCTTTACGACATAGGAATAGATGTTGAGTACCTTGTTGGCAACCTCTGCATCATTTCCAAAAAACTTGTATTTGTATCCACACTCTACCATTAGTACAGTGTCTGGATACTGTTTCTTAATATCTACATATTGTTGTTCCAATGGTGTATATTTTACTTTGGCTGCTGCTTTTGATGTTGATGATTTTCCCTTTCCAGCAGCAGCAGGTTTCTTTTTTGTTTTTTCTTCTTCTTCTTCATCTCCACCCTCATCATCACCTTCTGGTGCACCTTCCAATTCCTTTTGAGCAGCTGCTCTTGCATCCAATCTAATCTTTTCCATTGTATCTAGACCCTTTAGTAACTTTTTCTTGGCAGCTTCATCACGAGTAAATGTTGGTGTTCCAGCTGGTAAACTAACACGTTCCGATATTATAATTCTTTGTCCTTCACCAAATGACATTGTAATTGGTGGTTGTATCTTGATTACATTGGTAGTTGTAGTAGTTGTAGTAGTAGTTGAGGTTGTATCAAATGATGTCATAATATCATCATCGTCATCTTGTTTGTTTCCAATATCCACATCACTATCCTCTTCTTGATGTACAATGAAACCATCATCCTCTGATAAGCTCTCATCTTCATCATCTTTACCATCAGGATTGTAATCATCATCAGAATCTGGTCTCTTTTTTCTCTTTTTCAAAAATACTTCATCCTCTGAATCACTATCCAACATTGAACCAATATTTACATTAGTTGAAACTATTCTTCTTCCACTTGTTGATGTTGTTGTAGTTGCTGGTGTATCTTGTTTCTTTGTTGCCTTTGAAGAACTCTTTCTTTTTGGCTTCACTTCTTCTTCTTCTTCTTCTTCTTCCTCTTCAATGTTTACATTTGGACTTTGTTTCTTTGTTCTTGGTGATGATGATTTCTTTGCAACGACAACAGGTGCTTTATCTTCATCCATTTCATCCTTTTTCTTGTTGTTTGTTGTTGTTGTTGTTGATGTCGTCGATGTTGTAGGTGTAAAGAAACTTGTCAAGCTTGATTGCTTTAGGTTTGAAGATGATGTTTGTCTTTTACTCATCTCCTATTCTTTATTTGTACCACATATATCTGTGTGTTTACCAAATGATGATGAAAAGAAAAATGAACTCTTTCTCTCTCATTGCAACTAAAGCACCTCAGTCTCATCATACACTCTGTAACTAATTCCAAGAACAACTTTAATTAAATACATTGACAAGATAGATAGAGTGCTATACGACTTCTACTAGGTACATCTTTTTTTGATTATATTTATAAGTTTTTTTTTTTTGATTTATTTTATTGATTTTTAGAAAACATTATTATTATTATTATTATTAATTGTTTGATATATTATTATTTAATTTATCATTTGCTTTTTTAAAAGGCCAGTTGCAACTGTTTATTGAGCAGCTGGTGGAGCAAGTGGGGTACCTGGACAGTAGTCATCCTTGACACCGGAAAGCAAAATACCAATAATGAGACCGTAGAGACCAAGAGCTTCAGAGAAAATGAGAATAAGCATCATAATAACGTAGAGCTTGGCTTGTTGACCGAAAGCACGGACACCAGAGTCACCAACAATACCGATGGCCATACCGGCGGCAAGACCACAGAGACCGACAGTTAAACCGGCAGCGAGATCAGTGAAAGACTTGTAGAGAGTGTAGTTGGCAGTGGTCTTACCCAAGTTACCGACGATAATGACACAAATAATGAGACCATAGATAGCAATAACACCAGCAAAAATGACTGGAATGAAAGCACGAATGACGAGATCTGGCTTCATGACACCCATAGTTGAAATACCAACACTGGACTTGGCAGTACCGTAAGCGGCACCCATGACTATAAAAAAAGTAAAATAGAAAAAGTAAAGTAGAAAAGGTTAGATTATATGTATATAGATCAAATTATTAATTATTATTATTATTATTATATCTATAGATCCCTTCTCAACCAAAGTTGTATATACTATTAATAGTAGGATTATTATATATACAAGATCTCTTATTATTATTATTTGTTGTAGTTGTTATTGTTGCATGGTACTGATAGTAGTAGGTGTGGTGTTAAAATGATTATTTTTCAATGCAAGCCTGAAATTATTTGTTTGTTTGTTGTAACGAAGAATACTATTGGTTGATTACTTGTTTGTTTGTTTGTTGTCGTTGTTGTTAAAGATGATCTGTTTTGTATGATATTATTGTCGTTCTACTATTTGTTATCAACTTGATTGAGATGACCTCGGGATAGATAATAATAATACTAATACTAATTACTGTTATTAAATTTAATACAAACCAGTAAAGACGAGGGCAGAGGTAACACCCATAGCTCCAAAGAATGGAGCATAGATTGGGCAAGCTTCAGTGATTAATCTACCAGCAGCGGCAGCGAGAAGAGCGAATAATTGAATCATTCTATTATTGTTTTGATGTTATATAAATATATGTGAGAGAGAACAAGAGTAAGTTCAATGATACTATCCTATACACACTAGAAAAAATTGTGTTTTGATCAAAAAAAAAAAAGAAAGAGGTGACGCTGAGGGTGAAAAAAAAATTTAAAAAAATGAAAATTGAAAAAAATTGTTAAAAAAAGCTCTCCTGATACTTCTGTTGACCTGGTGTCATCGATGTTTTTCCAAAACGCGAATATTAATATAAGACGGCGCCGCAACGCTCATATTAAAAAACCGGATAGAATAAGATAAGATATTTGTCGTCCGTCAAACGTTCCAGATAATAAATAAATAACTATCTAACTATCCCCCTTCTTTCACTAGACAAATGGATGGTCGGGGAAGAATAGAATAGGATTGAATAGAATAGGTGTCATCCATGTATTGGAAAGAATGAATGTATAAAAAAATGGAGGGAAACTTTTGTTGGTGTATGTGGTGCAGGTGGGGAACAGTAATCCTGGTAAAGAGAGAGAGGAGAGATCATTATCGTGATGGTTGGATGTTGTAGAGTAGTAGGAACGAGACATGAATAGAGGAGATGTTTGGATTGAGGTTGATTTGATGATTTGAATTGTATTGAATTTACCTTATATATTATATGTATTTGAGGGTTATGTGAAAAAAAGATAGAGAGAAAGGGATTAAATAATGGCGTGGATCCTTGTTGTTGGAAATAGTACAAATAACGACGTTGTTGTTATTAAAAGACGATAGAAGTAGTATATATTTAAACACAAACAGGGATGTGAAAGGTAGCTGTTTAAAGCCTGTTTGGTGAATCGCGAATAAATCCAAAATAAATCAAAAAAATGAAAGCAAAACACTGGGCTCTTCATTCGATGATCAGGCTGCGGACTATTCCACCTCCACCTCCTTTTGCACGACGATACTGGGTGACAAGAACAATTTTTTTTTGTTTTTCTAACGAGACTTGGAAGAGACTTTGTTGCCCTGGACACTTCCTTCCTCCTTTCGCCATCCCTTGTTTCACCAACTCTCTCTTTTGAGCAACGCGTACAACAAAGGAAAGATTTTTTTTCTCCTCCAAAGTTATTAAAAGTTATAAACAACACAACCAAACTAGAGATCGATCCCTTTTTTTGTTTTGAGTAGAAATAGAAAGAGTAGTAGTAAAAGAAGACGCAATATAGACATCTCTAAGGTAAGAAGAATAACAGTAACAGGATGAATAAAAGAGAAAGAGAGAATGAAACAAACTAGAGTTGGTGAAAACAAGCAAAGCAATACAATACAGATATCTTCTTCCTTCTACTATCTCTATCTCTTATCTATCTTTATGATTGTTGTGTAGTGTGTTGTGTGTGTCTATGTATACATTACATGTATTATAAAGTAGTTTCCGAATAGAAGTATATATCTAATTATATATATATATATATATGAGGAGGATAGATAGATAGAATATGGGGTAAAGAGGAAACTTCACAATACTTCGTCTTTTTTCTAGTGTCTCCACAAAATTTAAATTATTTTTAATTTTTTTCTTTCTGTTTGTTGTTTTTCCCTCTTTTTGCTTTTGTTGTTTGTTTTAATCAAATCTCTTAGCACAAGACTAGTCAAATATCAACTCTCTCTCTCTCTTCTTATTTAATATTGTTTGCTTGCTTTCGATTCGTAGTGTACTAGTTAAAGAGTAAAGAGAATCTTTCGATTAACTAACATAAACTCTTTTCTCTCTATTATCTATTCTCTCTCTCTCTTTTATATAGATTAAATAACAAACAACAACTAAATAACATATAATATATATATACATATAGAATGAGCAGTTTTACACCAGCCCAATACTATAATCCAACTGGATTCTTCATTGCAAATATTGCTCCACCAACCTGGGCTGCCTTGGGTTGTGGTTTGGCTATTGCCTTATCTGTCGTCGGTTCATCATGGTAAATTGAAACAATAACAAATAGCAAACAACAACAACAACAACAACAGACGAGTTTAAATGAATGATTGATGATGGTTCATAAAAGTGGATTGAATAGGTATTGACGATGATGATGATAATGATGATAATGATATCAAATGAACAAAAACCAAGATACGATATTGTGGATATATAATATATAAATTATTTTGGATAAATTTCTTTGTTTGGTTTAGATACTACAACATTTCACCGGTCTAACAACAATCATCAATGTTGGATATTCGATTAACAAACAAAAGACAAAACAAACTATCAAGATATTTGGAAACAATCGATTGTCAATTACAACAACAACAAAATAATATTTATCATTGTCATCATCATCGATCAATTGGTCAATCAATTTTTATGAACCTATCTTATCTTACTCGCTCGTCAACTTGAATTATTAATCAAGTTACTAATACTATTATTATTTATTTTATTAAAATCATTTTTAGGGGTATTTGGATCACCGGTTCATCATTGTTTGGTGCTGCCGTCAAGGAACCAAGAATTAGATCAAAGAATATTATTTCTATTATTTTCTGTGAAGCCGTCGCTATTTATGGTATTATTACTGCCATTATTCTCCAAGGTCGTATGAAGGGTAAAGGTTTGAATCTTGCCGATCCAGCTGCTGATTACAATGCTGGTTATCTCATGTTTGCTGCTGGTACCGCCGTTGGTTTTTGTAATGTTTTCTCTGGGTATGTCTTAAATGAAACAAATTATTTGTATCAACAAAAATAATATAACTAACCTTTCTTTCCTCCTTCTCATTTCTTTTGAAAAGTGTATGTGTTGGTATTGCTGGTAGTGGTTGCGCTTTAGGTGATGCTCAAAACCCATCATTGTTTGTAAAGATGCTTATCGTTGAAATTTTCGCTGGTGCTCTTGGTTTATATGGTGTCATTGTCGGTATTTTGATGACTTCAAACGTTACTCTTGGTGCCAAGTAAAATCTTTAGATCCCAATAGTAATAATAATATTTAAAGAATCCAATAATAATCAATTCATAATTAATAATAATAATAATTTTTGCCAAAATAAACAATTTATAAAAAAAAAACTTTAAAGATAAACAAAAAGGATACAAACACACATTTTGGTATTATTGTTATGTCTTTGTTTAGTTTACAATTATATAATAATATTTAATATCATTATTTTTTTTATTTATCTATTTTTTAAAAAAAGTAAAAAAACATGTCTAGTTTTAATATTATTAATGAGTGAAAGTAATAGATTAAATTATTCACCTTGCTATTATTGTTGTGTTGTTGGTATCTAGATTAGATTCTATTATTAATATTTTTGGATTTGATTTTTGGATTTGATTTGGTTTGTGTTTACATTCATCGATTCTAATCTTTATCTGATGATTTGGAAGTTTTTGGTGATTTTTCTTTCTTGTTTGGAGTTGTAGAGGCTGATGATGATTTGTTGTCAGACTTTGGTGTTGTAGACTTTTCTTTGGCCGATGATTTGGCAGGAGTTGATGGTTTATCAGACTTTGCTGGTGTTGACTTTTCCTTTGATTCTTTCTTGCCTGGAGTTGTTGGAGTTGAAGGTTTATCATTCTCCTTGTTGGAAGATTTGGAAGGAGTCGACGATGATGCAGATGATTTCTTTTTATCATTAAAAGAAATGGTAAAGTTATCGGTAGGTTGAATAGAATATTCAGCAATGGATTCATAGAGCCATCTATCGTCAACAATAGGTTTACCAGATCCAGGTTCATTTTCAGTGCTGGAATCACCAGAAAAGAGACAGATATCACAGTTTTCAAAGGTCTTTGAGATGGTTCCACCCAATTGTGTGATAAGTTGTTTCTTTTTCTGTTTGTTGAGATGGACATCTTTGACCTTGCCATCGAGATAAAACGACTTGCCAGATAGAAGGAGCTCACCAGTTTCATGTGCCACACGAGCTGCATTGATGCCTGGAAGTGCTGTACTTTCATAGTCAGACTCTTCCAACCATTCACCTTTTGTCGATGATTCAGTGATCCAGGATGACGTGAGAATCCAAGTGCCAGCAGCCATTGCATTGAGTACCTTGACGGTTCGTTTAGAGTCGCCGAGAATCAGATGGGTGAATATGGTCTCGTCATCAGTGTATGTTGCTTCCAATGAACGGATATGTCCCTTTAGCATGTCCTTGGCTGTGTCTGGTACCAATGTCATGGCGATAATCTTTTCGTCTTCTTCAGAGTGTTCATCTTCCTCTTCAATTGATTCTTCCATTGGCTCATCTTCATCACCTACCACAGCAGATTGTTCCTTTTTAGATGATTTACCTGTCTTGGTTTTCTTTTCATCTTGTTTCTTTTTACTATCTGGTTTCTTTTCTTTCTTTTCATCTTGTTTTTTCTTTGTTGTAGTTGATTCTTTTTTTGTTGTGGTTGTACTACTACTGCTACTACTATCTTTTTTGATTGTTGGTGATTCAAATTTCTTTGACTTTTCATCTTTTTTCTTTGTTGATACAATCTCTGGTGATTCCTTTGCTGGCGATTGTTTCTTTTTTGGTTGAACAATTGGTTTCTCTTCTTCTTCTTCTTCCTTGGTTTCCTCTTGTTCTTCTTCATCTTTTTTTCTTTTACCATTTGATTTGTTTGGTGTTGTGACTTGTTCTTTTGTTGTTGATTTGGAAGATGCTGCTGGTTTTTTTGATGATGTTGTTGTCGGTTCCTCCTCCTTTTTAGTTGATGACTTTTTCTTTTTATCTTTTTCATCATCGCTATCATGTTGAGGTTGTTCTTCTTCTTCCTCTTCTTCTACTATTAGATCTTTCTTTTTCTTGTTGGTAGCAGTAGTGGTGGTAGGTGATGAAGTTGATCTAATAGTAGTTGTAGTCTTTTTATCCTTCTCAGTGGTTGTTGGTTTCTTTGGAGTTGGTTTTTTTGGCTTTTCCTTTTCTTCTTCTTCACTTGCAAATGGATCATCATCATCATGGTCATCCTTTTCCTCTTGTTTCTCTTCTTCTTCTACTTCTTTCTTTTTCTTATTACCAGTGGATGGTGAAGTTGATTTTTCCTTGGCAGCAGTCTTTTTATCCTTGTCGATAGTTGTTGGTTTCTTTGGCTTTTCCTTTTCTCCATCACTTTCAAATACCATCTCTTCATCTTCATCTTGTTCTACATCTTTCTTTTTCTTTGAAGAGGAAGTCTTTTCTTTTTTGGTTTCCTCCTTTTTCTTTTTCTCCATTTCCTTTTCCTCTTTCTTTTTTTGAGTTTCTTCCTTTTTCTTTTGAGCTTCTTCCTTTTTCTTGGCTTCCCTCTCTTTTTTATCTCTTTCCTTGTCTTCCTCTGACTTTTTAGGACGACCTCTTTTCTTTTCAGTTTGAGCAGAAGAAGAGGAGGAATCCTCCTTGTCCGATGAAGAAGCAGGGGATGAAGTGGAAGCAACAGCAGCAGTAGTTGTAGTAGTAGTGTTATTGTTGACAATAGGAGGAGTACTGTTATTTACAACAGCATCAGTTTCATCCTCCATTTCAAGATCACTACCATCTCCACCTAGACAATAATAATGATCAAAAGTTTGTTAATTTGATGTTTCTTACTTATAGTAAGACATGTAGCATGTCAACCAAGTTTTCTTCCATTTATTACTTACAATTAAGAGAATAACTCTTGGTGGGTTCGTGATTCAAATTAGTGAATTGATCAACAACATCTTCTGGTGGAGTTGGTGTGGCTACAGTCTTTGACTTGTTCTTTTGAAATCTTTTGTTGTTTACTCCATCATCAGTATCAGAATCCATCTTTTAATCTTGTATGTATGTTGCTAAAGAAGAAGAAAGAGATAATAATCACACTATAAAAAAATATATATATTTAAAATGAACACTGAACTGAACTCAAAAGCTAAATTAAAAATGAATAATACCTAGAAATGGAGTTTTCACTGTCAGTGCCAATTTTTTTTTGGTCACCCGATTTTATTATTATTCAAAGATCGATGAGATAGGAGAACTAAAGTATTTATTCCTTTATGTGTTAAAACATACTTATCTCTTATCTCGCTTGTCAATAATGATATTCAATCTCATACATCAATCAATCAATCAATCAATCGATCGATCGACGATGAAAGTGATTGATTTGTTGTTGTGGATAGATGGTAGATAGTAGATAGGAATTCCCCATTAACCGTATTTGTGGAAGGATAAGGTGGACACAATCGATTTCAAAGAGGTCAATTCTTAGGAAGATGGAGTCGTTGAAAAATTATTTGAATTTTGGTTGGCTTCAAACAATTCATGAGCAATTTTTTTTTGAAAAAAATAAACATCTCTTGGTGGCCGTCATTATCATTGTTGTTAAAAGTACTGTTCTGTTTTCATTACTTATTATATACCCTATTTATTTATTTATTTATTTATTATATATATCAACTTGTATTTTTAATTTTGTAGGTAGAAGAAGCAAACAAAACAAACAAAACAAACTCAACAAACAAACAAACAATCGTTTGAAAAATCATATGAACATTTAAAACAACAGAACTTAGAGAAAGAACATTAGTTATAGATGACATCTATCAAGAAATGAATGAATGAATGAATTCTTCTTCTTTTAGCTGGGTGAACCAATATAAACAACAATACATTCAACCAACCAACCAAATTAAACTAAACCAAACCCAAACCCAAACACAAACCAAACCAGTATTTTACGAACTCGATCGATAACAATACAATTGTTGACATTCAAAACAACAACAAAACAACAATAGAATATGTTTATTTATTGCCACAACAATCCAATGGTTGATGTTATCGATCAACATCGAATCATAAATTAATTTGTGGTGTTGGTGTTGGTGGGATGGTATGGTGGGCGGTTTTGGGGGTGGAATTTTGTGAGACTCCCTTAGAGTTATACCCAACCCCACCACTCCACCATCAATGTGCCATTAGATTAGACTAATGTGTGTTGGTTGTTTGTATGTGTGTCTGTCACATAACATATGAAATTCAACAATTTTAGAGAGTATGGTTGTTTAAATTAAATATTGGCTTGTTGTTATTGTTTTTTTTTTTTTTTTAATTTCTTTTAAAAATTATAACAATCATCCTCATATCCATCCTCCTCTTCTCCTCACACAAGATAAAAAAGGACAAGGATTTATATATCATAAATAGATAGATAGATAGATAGATTACACAAGACAGACAGACAGATAGATAGATAGATATATATTATTCCAAAATATTTATAATATTTTTCAAATTCCATTCATTTCATTTCCCTTTTTCTCATCCAACTCAAACCATTCTATTATATTATAATATAATTTAATATTAATTAACATTTTTCTCTCTATTAAAAAATGAGTAAAGTTGAAGGATTACAAATGGATGATTTAGACGCATTATTAGCCGATTTGGGCAGACCAAAGAGTGGAAAGCCAGCTGTACAAGTTGCACCAACTACTACCACCACCACGGTCAAACCCTTGGACACATCCTCCAAGGTACAATTGAGTGAAATAGAGAGCCTTATGGGCGACTTGCAGGCCTCGGTCGAGACCAAGCCCACCCTCTCATCCTCCTCATCCAACTCTTATAACAACACTAGCTCAAACAATTTGTCAAGCAACAAGGCAAACACTTCACAGCAGGCGATCGATACATCTGATGATTTGGACGCATTGATGGAGTCACTCAACAGTTCCATCTCATCTGCCATCAAGGCCAGCAACTCTCCTCCAGTACCCGCACCAGCACCAGCACCTGTTCAACAACAACAACAACAAAACACCTATACATCATCGGCCTCGGCCGCTCCACAAGCTGGCCAGCCAATGAAATTCACATCGACTGCCACTGTCACCTCTAAAAAGGCACCACTTCAAGTCAGCAAGGCTGTCCTCGAGGTTGCACCACCAAAATCTACTCCAGCCACTGCAACCCCCACCCCAGCACCAATCGTTGCCAAGCCCGCCCCAACTCCAGCTCCAGCACCAGTTACTGCTCAACCATCATTGTCTACCGAAGATTTGGACGAATTGCTCAAGAATTTGAGTCCAGCTGCCACCGTCACCCCAACCGTCGCTGTCTCCAAGCCTGCTCCATCCGTTGCCACATCTAGTCGTCCATCTGTTGCTTCATCTTACCCAGCTTCAGCCAGTGTCAGTGTATCAAATAACAACAACAACCAAAACAACATCAACCAACAACAACAAAATAATGGTGCAGTACGTCCAAAGGTAGTTCAAGGTGATGATTTGGACAAGTTATTATCCAACCTTACCAGTCAAATGAATGATATTGATTCGACCGGACCAACATCACGTGGTACTTGTGCTGGTTGTCGTAAACCAATTCTCGGTGAAACCATCCAAGCCATGGGCAAGATGTTCCATCCCGAGCATTTCTCGTGCAGCAACTGTCACAACCCCATTGGCACCAAGAACTTCTACGAACAAGAGGGAGTTCCCCACTGCGAAAAGTGTTACCAAGAGTTGTTTTGTGCCCGTTGTGCTCACTGCGACGACCCCATCACCGATCGTTGCATCACTGCTCTCGGCCGTCGTTTCCACGTCCACCACTTTGTTTGCACACAATGTCTCAAACCATTCGAGGGAGGCAACTTCTTTGAACGTGACGGTCGTCCCTATTGCGAGACTGACTTTTACGCCACCTTTGCTGCCCGTTGTGGAGGTTGCAACCAACCAATCCGTGGCGAATGCATCAATGCCCTCGGCACCCAATGGCATCCAGAGCACTTTGTCTGCCAATATTGTCAAAAGTCATTTGCCAGTGGCACCTTTTTCGAATTTGGAGGCAAGCCATACTGCGATATTCACTACCATCTCCAAGCCGGTTCCGTTTGTGCAGGTTGTGGTAAAGCCATCTCTGGACGTTGTGTCGATGCTCTCGACAAGAAATACCATCCAGAACATTTCGTTTGCGCTTTTTGTATGAACCCATTGGCCGGTGGATCTTACACTGCCAACAATGGTAAACCATATTGCAAGGGTTGTCATACTAAATTATTCTCTTAAAGAGATAAAAAAGAAAGAAAAAGAGATATAACTATATAAATTAAAAATATATATTTCAAAAAAAAAAAAAAAAAAAAGAGAAAAGGGTAAAGAGAAGCAAAAGAAGGTGGAGAGAAAGAGAGAGAGAGAGAGAAAGTAGTTCAAAAAATACTATTTGTAAAATCATATTAATAAATTTAAAATAAATAAATAAAAAAACTAAAAAAATATAAACATTTTATAATTAAAAATCATTGGTAATTATTATTATTATTATTATTAGATAGAAGGTAGGGGGTTACCGAAAGGAAATGGAATTCCTAACTAAAAAGCGGCGCCATCAACCATCACCGCGATATTTGTCTCAAAAACGACAACAATAATAAAAAAATATTTTTTTGTGAATAAAAACAAAAACACTTTAACAAGAAAGACACAATCCGATTAATCATTGTCAATAAACATACATATTTCAATCACATAGATAGATAGATAGATAGATAGATAGATAGTGAATCTTTTTTGAGGAAAATAGATCCACACAGACAGAGAAGAAGGAAGAAGGAAGAAGAAAATTTATTGTACAGATATCGCGACGAAATTAATACATCATCATCATCTTCATTTAAATCTTTTATTATACTTTATTGATGAATGTATGTAGTAGTAGTAGTAGTAGTGATTGATAGATAGATGTATAGATAGATATATAGATAGATAGAGTATAGATATTTATATTTATATATATATAGATATATGGATTATGATTAAATCATTATTAAATGAAAACTTTGTATTAACTATGATTACTATTTTTCTAGATATATTGTAATACTATTAAATAACTCTTTGGATCTCTTTCTCATGCAATCTATATTACAACAAATATTAGAGAATCAATTCATTAATGAATTGATTCATAACTATAGCGTAGCACATTTGGTACTTCATGGCTTGATGTTATTCTTTATCATATACCTCTTGTCGATGAGACCGTTTAAACCACGTCCCAACGACACATTGAATCCACGCGAAGAGGAGGAATTGATCAAAGAATGGAAGCCAGTGCCATTGGCACCCAAGATGTCGCGTAACGAACTCCGTAACGCTGCCAACCCCATCACCATCACCAAATCCAACTCTACCAACAACGTCGTCTCTGTCAATGGCAAGGACAATGTCTTGTGCATGTCGCGCACCAACTATTTGGGTCTCTTGTCGGACCCACGTCTCAACGAGGTTGCTGAACGCACCATCCGCAAGTACGGTGTCGGTTCGTGTGGCCCACGTGGCTTTTACGGCTCGATCGACGTGCATCTCTCGCTCGAAAAGCGTTTGACACAGTTTATGCGTGCACCACAGACCATTGTCTACTCGTCGGGCTATGCTACCATCACATCGGCCATCCCAGCCTTTTCCAAGATTGGTGACATTATCATTGCCGATGCTGGTCTCTCCCATCCTGTCCAAGTCGGTATCACATTGTCGAGATCACGTGTGCACTACTTTAAGCACAACGATGTGTCAGACTTGGCCCGCATCCTCGAACAAATTGCACAAAAGGAGGAAGAAGACCTAAAGAATGGCAAGGGCAAGTTGGTCCGTAAGTTTGTCGTCCTCGAAGGTATCTACTTTAACAGCGGTGATATCGCTCCACTTCCACAAGTCATGGCTCTCAAGGAGCGTTACAAGTTCCGTGTGATGCTCGAAGAGTCTCATTCGATCGGTGTCATTGGTCGTACGGGCCGTGGTATCTGCGAGCACTATGGTATCGACGTGAACGACATTGAAGTCATCTGCGCTAGTCTTGGTCACGCCTTTGCCGCCGGTGGAGGGTTCTGTTGTGGAGCTGATGCCGTCGTCAATCACCAACGTCTCAACGCACTCGGTTTTGTCTTTTCCGCTTCGCTTCCTCCATTCCACGCTACCACTGCCGAGACTGCTGTCAACATTCTCGACCAAGATCCCAAGCTCCTCTCCAAACTCTCCAACAATTGCGCAATGGCCTACGAAGCCTTCAACAACCTCCCCGGATTCCGTGTTATTGGCTCTCCCATCTCCCCCATCCTCCATCTCCGTCTCGAAAAGACAACTGGTACCCGTGACGACGACGATGATCTCCTTGAAATGATTGTCATGAAGTCGCTCGATCGTGGTCTCCTCATTTCTCGCTCCAAATATGTCGACGGCGAGAAATACCTCCCCGAACCTTCCATCCGTCTCTGTATTAATTCAACAATGACCGAAAGAGACATTCAATTTACTCTTGAAACCATTAAAGATGTTAGTTTAAATTTATTACAAAATTAAATAGAAAGAGAAAAAATAAATAAATAGGTATTTTTTTTTTTCTATATATTCTATTTTCAAAATCAATAAGATTTATAGGTTTATTGATATCGTATCCATTTAAAGGATATTGTGTAGGTGTGACAAATTATTATTCTATTTATAATATATTTTCAAATTTATCAAATAGTAAAGTTGTGTTATCTTGTGTGTTATCTTGTGTTTAATAAATAAATATAATGTGGAAATTTTGGTTTGTGTTTAGGATGTTCGAGAGAGGAGGAATAAGTATTGTATTCTAAGTTTTAAAAAGAATCGTCGGTACTATTAATTAATTTGTTGTTATTCGGTACAATATATATATATGTTATTATTATTATTATTTAAATATTAATTGGACAAGATATGGAAGGGGATTTAATAAATTGAGTGGAAGGATTATTTTTGATTCTAGTTGATAGTTTTGCAAGTCCAGAGATGATGGCATCTGGAGACTCCCATGGGATAAAGTGAGAGGTTGCAATGACAAAGCTTTCAGAGTTGGTCGAGTAGTTGGACATGTTTACTTGACGTTGTTCCCATTCAATGCCATTGAGCGACTCGTAGAGGACGACCATGGGAAGATCTTTGTATGGTGTGGCAGTGTTGAGCGAGGCGATGGTGTCGTTGAGCATGACGGTCGATGGCACCATAATGTTGAGCTCTTGGATGGCAGTGTTTAAAAAGTTGTTGGTGAAAAAGTATTGTTGGGCAATCTTGAGAGCATTGGTTGGGAACTTGATGCTGTCGGCGTCATTGTAGTATCCGTAACCGAGTTGGATACGATTGTTGACGGCGGCATCTTGCAACTGGTCGAGTTGCTTCATGACGATAAAGTTTTCCATACCGGCTGTTAAAATGTCAACGTTGATCTGGTTGCCTTCAAAACCCCAGATTGGATCGGTCCCATCTACGGTAAATAGTCCTACAACCTCGGATGGGTAGCGGAGAGCAAAGATTTGCATGTCGATCGATCCCCACGACCAACCAGTGAGAGCATATGGTGGGTTTACTTGAGCGGCTTGCAACGAACCGTGAAGACGACGGACAAACTCTTGGGCGGTGAATGGGAATGGAGCTGGATCAGAGAAGCCATAGCCGTAACGGTCGATAAGACATGCTTGGCTATAGTTGAGGGCGGGCATTTCAATAAGCAATGGCTCTAGGATGGTGGCCCATGCAGTGGAAAAGAATGGGAGACCGGCATCCAACAAGATCGTTGGTCCATTGATATTTGCAGATGTTTGGTTGCGGTAACATCTTACATGTAGTTTTAATCCTTCGAAAACTGGGAAAAAACTGGTTCCAGGTTCATTTGGTGTATCCAAATATCTAATATCAATTGCAATTGTTGTTGAAATGAAAATTATTAAAATGATTGAAAATATTTTTGAAATCATTTTTTTTGGAACTAAAATATTAATTATTATTATTATTGGTTGATTATTGGTTGATTGATTATTATTATTTACAAATGGGTGTGGGTTTTTTTTTCTAATATTAAATTATATTAAAATGTTAAAATGATTGAATTCAATCCAAAGATGATGATGATGTATATAAATCTTTTAATAATAATAATAATAATAATAATAAGAGTTGGTGATGATGATTTAGTTGGCTACTGTTTTTTTGGTTGTTGTTTGATGGTAAGACAATATTGCTGATTTTGTAGTTAAAATTAGCTTCTCAATTGATGGATTACTGTTGTTGTTGTTGTTGATGTTGCTCTGATGATTTAAGGTCTAAACAATAGGATTACTAATAGAGTAGGATATGGGATCGAAAGAGAGGTTAGTAAAATGGAAAAGGAAGAAAGTGGAGGTACTGCTGGATGATTTCTTAGATTATTTGGACTGCATATAGGTTGGTTGGTTGGTGCTGGATATCCAGGTTGTGATGGATGGTTAATCACCCGTATTTGGTGAAATAGTCCGATGAATTGATGGAAACGGGATGGTGAGTAGAGATCCATCACCATAGTTGTGTATGGCTGCTGATTCGCAACACCAAACAATTAAATGTGATATAAACACACACACACACACACACTGGAATTACAGTACTACTCTCACTCCACACAAACACCCCCTGTTCAAGGGAGCGATGTTTTGGTTTGTGGTGAGTGGGGAAGTAGGGTAGTAGTGCAAGTGACCACCACCACCACCACAACTAACCGATAGATACTTTTTAAGGAGTTCTTTTCGGTGGTGCATTTAAATCATTAATCATAATAATAATGATGATGATGTTTGTTGCTGCTGTTATTGCTGTTATTGCTGTTATTGCTGTTATTGCTGTTATTGTTGATGTTGATATTGATGTTGATGTTATCTTGATCTCGTTCATCCCTCTCTCTCGTCGAGTCACATTCACACCAACATCAACAACAATTCCCACCCCACGGTTGTTAACTTTTTAGTTCATATGCAAGGACAGACATTGAAAGAAAAGGAAAGGAAAGGAAATGAAACGACAAATGCAAGTAAAATGTATATGGGTATCCATGTATCTGATGTAGTGCGAAGAGAAAAGATGATTGGACGAGGTGCACAGATCAATAATATTTTGATTATTATAATTTAATATCAACGATCAACCTTGCCAAACATTTAATAAAAGGAAAAAAAACTATTGGATCAAATCGATAAATGTGGAGGGAGGATGATCGATCGGTGGATCAAGTGCGATGAATAGATGGATGGATCATTGGATCAATCAATTAATCCAATGATGAATTTGGAAATGTGGAGTTGAGAGAGTGAGTTGAGTTTAGGAAAAAAGTAGTAGTAGACAAAAAAACAACAAAGTTTTTGGTTGGTCATTACATTTTTAAAAAAATATTATTTGTTTTTTTTGTATTTCCCTCTCTCTCTTAGATTTTTGTTGTGAATATGATTGATATTATTATTATTATTATTATTATTATTATTATTATTATTAAAATTTTTGGCGTATGTGAAGGTTGGTAAAAAAGAAGAGTAAGAGAATGCAACGTTGGAAGAAATTAAAAAAAAAAAAAAAAGTAGTATTGTCTCTGGCGTGATTGGCAGAATAACAAACATGGAAACAATTAAAAAAAATTAAATGATTGTTTCCAAATATAGATTTAATTGATCCATACTTGTTTTTGTGGCGTAATTATGTTGTTGTGAATTTGTGTTTGAGAGAGAGAGAGAGAGAGATTGTTTGTGTGTGTTGTGTTATTGGTGAGTACAACAATTGTTACTGTTCTGGTCAAGTAATAAAATGCCGACGAAATGCGTGTTTTCTTTACAACTATATTGGTATCGACCCCTAAACCAACCCCACACTCACTCATTCACACAACTCCCACCCACCCATGCACCCACAAACACACGACATCCGATTGATTATGATCATTCGCATAATGGCTAAAGTGGGTGTGAATTAATGAATGAATGTGATGGTCATACCAATAATTGATAAATTTATGGGGGCAACAAAAGAAAATGGAAAAAGAGAATAGAAAAAAAAAATAGAAAAAAAAGAAAACTAAACTATAATTATCATTTACCTACAAAAAATAAATAAATGAATAATGATTATAGAGTGTGTTTAGCATTTAAATACTACTACCACCACCACCACATCCAGCTGCACCGACAATAAATGCATGCATTTGCAATGAACGGATAATTAATTAATTAATTGAACCAATCAAACAATCATTCATTCGTGTTCATTGTATTTATAGATCACATGTGATTGGTTGATAATCAATGGTGGGTGGTTGTGGTAGTTGTGTGATCAATCTGGATCATGATCACTATATGATTTCAAGAGGAGGAGGAGCGGGGGTGGTTGTATAGATGATGTGGGCGCTGATGGGCTCGAGATTTACTATTAAAAGGTAAAAAAAAAAACTTGGAGGTGGATTTCGAATTTGTTGTTCACACCATGGTGTGTGTATGTATGTGTGTGTGGGTATGTGTTTCGTTTTCAACAACACAATCGATAGATTATCACCGTGAAGTTGTTCAGCTGTTGTGTTGGCGATTGGTATTTGTTGAGAATTGATGATTGGTTGTACCAATGAAAAGAAATAAAATAAAATAAAAACATGGCAATTCCAAATCTATTGATTATTGTTGTTGCTATTGACTAGTCATTTTTTTGATTTACTTACATAAATGGGGAACTTTGGTTTTATATATATATTCTATTTTAGGATTATAATAATAATAAATATATGGATTTGGTTGTATTTATATATAAACTCTTGTCGGGTCTGGTCGGGTCGGGTCGAGTCGGTTGACAATTGACTAATTGTGAAGTTGAGCAGTACTGTTATTCCCAAAGGGATATTTTACTAATATTACAAATTATTATTATTTACTCTTAAAGTAGTTGTTGACTATTATAAGTACAGGTGTTGCTGGCGATTCTAAATTATTATTATTATTATTTGTTGTTGTTGTTATCGGCCGGAAATTATTGTTATTGTATCACTGTTGTTGATGTTATTATTATCGTGGTTGAATATTTAGTATTAGTACAATTTAGTTTTTAAATAGAGGGTGTAGTATATTTATATGTGTGTTTTGTATAGATATAAAGTATAATATATATTAATAGTACAATGGAGGAGAGTGGGTGTTGGAAATTATGTGGATGATGAGTTGGTGGTGGTGGTAATATGACAATTGGTTTTTCCGGTTGTTTAGATGTAGTGATAGTAATAATAATTAATTAGATTTTAGATTAAAAGAAATAAATATTGGTATTGGTATTGGTAATGATACGAATGAATGTTCATGAAGGTGTGTTGGTAGTAATGATACAATGGTAATGGTACAAGTGGTGGTGGTGATAAGATAAGATTAGAGATGGACTATAATATATATTTATGTTCTGTCTCTATGTCTCTCGCTCTACTATAATAAATTAAAAGATTATCTGTTGGGAAGGAATGAATATTTATATATAATATAATATATTTATAAATATAACAATACAACAACAATAAATATAAATATTGGTACAAAGGATGAAGGTTTTATATATTTGTTATAATGTAACTAGTTAGTGGATGATGATGATGATGGTGTTATGGTGATGATGAGGTTTCCTATTGTTGAATCTAAATAGCTAAAAACAACATCAGTCAATCCAGCCTGTTGAACAATAACAGAATGGGAGGGTTGGTTTATATTGTATTATGTTATTATGTTAACGTGAGACTAGCAGAGCCTGCTAGAGAGAGAAGGAGGAGGAGAATCAATGCTAACAATACCACCGAGACGAGGATGGTGGTGATATCAAGTTGTGTGATTATAAATATAGTTGTTGTGTTTGGTGTTGGTGTTGTTGCATTTTGGCAATCATATACTCCCTCCTCACTCCTGATGTTGGCTCGCTTTCTCTGCTCTGCTGACACACATGATCATGTTGTGTTGTCACATATGTGTTGTCGTTGAACATGATCATGATCATCGTTTTATTGTTGTCAACGGTTCCTTCATCACCACACCCAACTCCAAAACAACCACCATCCATCCAAATTCCATCTCTCTCTCTTTGTTTTCCCACTTTTTACAAACCCCTCACAAACCTTTTTTCCTGGATTTGTTTTGTTTTGTTGACAAGCAATCAGGATGTTTCCATTTCCAGTTGCCCTATGCCAACAAAGGAAAGGAAGGAGTAAAGAAAGAGCTAAAACAAAGACTAGTAGCCACCCTATCTATGTGTAGTACGCTATGCTACCCCACCTACATGCCGCCAAAGAGAGAGTTTGTGTATGCTGCCCTTGCACTAATTAAAAGATTTCATCACATCCATGGGTTTTAAGTTGAATAATCTCTCGATCAGGTCTTGCATGATTGAGATTATAAGACCAATATGATGATGATGATGAGAGGGATGCATGGAGAGGGGATGGTGGTGGATACACTACTAGATATTGAGCATATTGAAAGCGAGATTGGAAGATCATGCAAAGATCCCTATCCCAAGATTTCGGGGTTAAAGTGTTATTTATAGACTCACACCCACACAGTCTTGGTTTTTGTGTGTGTGTGTGTGTGTGTGATACAATGATAATAGTATCGGATAGACAAGTCGATGGATAGGAATAACATAATTGATAATGGAAAGAACGGTTTGGTTTAATTTAAACCTGATCTAGAGTAAGAGGTTGTCTCTAGATGCATTATAATAATCCCATTGTGTTTATAAAAATTGATTGATTGATTGGATAAAAGTTTGTGGGTGGGGGGTTGTTTTTGTTTTGTTTTGATTTGATTTGATTGGTTGGTTGATAGATAGAAAGAGACAACAACAACAACATAAAGATATGACGACTGTGACAATAACTTAATTCGCACTACTCACCCACTATTATACATCAAGATTAGATTAGGAATTGAACTTGCTTACTTGATGTAGTAGTGTGTTTGACAAATCTGGTGACTTCCAAAGTAAGTTGAAGTTGATTGTGTGTGTGCCGTTTCTTTGTGTTTGTTTGTATACACTAATTCGTTTTGTTTGGTTGGTTGGTTGTGTTAATAATAATCATAATCATAATCATTATGACGATCAACCATATCAATCCAAATGAATTTAAAGATCTTCTATACCAACCAACCAACCGTCACACTACAAATTTACAATGAGATGGTTATTCCTTCCACGTTTACTTCATCTTACACTTTGTACAATTTACAATTAAAGCTTGTTGCACCGCGCGATACAATGACGATGGCGATGTAGATTGATTGTGCGGGTGTATGCATGTATGATTTACAACTCACCTTCTTCTTCTTCTTTATACTTCTTTCCTTATCGATCAACTAACTAACTATTACAATCGATCAATTATAATAATGTTAGCACTCCTTTATATAAATATATATATAATAATATCTTGTTTGTTGTGTGTATGTATGTATGTGTACTATTAATTAATATATATATTAAAACTAACTATATATTGATAGCTCCTACCATCTCTTTCTTTTGTATGTTCGTTGCTCACTCACCTCTGCCAGAGCTGATAGACAGCTGCCTGTATACAGCCATTGGCCGGCAAGTAGTTTGTGATTGCCATAAGATGTTGATTGTGGATGATGGTTGTTTAGAATCAAATTTAGTTGTTGTCTATCGTGTGAGAGGTTATTGTCGTCACGTCGACGGAGGGGGGGTGGCGGTAGTGAGAGAGTGTTGTCCTTAAAGTTAACATGGTCATGAGGGGTTTACTTTATCACAATCAAGGAGATTGTGTGTCAAAAAAGCAAAAACAGATAATAAGATGCCAAAAGTGTCATCATACCTTTGCTGAACTTCTGATAAAAATCTTGATCCCGATAGAGGATGAAAGTGAAACGACGTTTGTCGTCAATCCAAAGCGACAAACGAGCAATGTCTTTCTTGTCTTGGTTCTACTTTAAAGTAAAAGCATAGTACATAGTTTTGAGAACGGTAAATGAAGAGGGAATGGAATGGAGGGAATGGTAAATAAATAGATTATTACCAATCACTATTTGTCTTGTTCCTTTCTCTCCTTCCTCCTCTCTTTTATTAATATTAATATTTGTTTGATTATGAATAATAAAAAGAAAACAACTTGATACTATCTATCTCTATCTATGTCTTTGTCTTTGTCTTGGATGACTACTTGTTGTTAATGTTAATTATTTTATCGATTTCCTGACTTAGACAACTGTTTGGGGTATGTACAAGAGGATATTTTTTGATTTCGCAACCATAGGCAGTTGGTCTTAGTGAAATGACAGTGTGTAATGGGATGTCGATATATGGGATATTCTCTATGGATTCACCTGTAATATACCCATATAAACATCTAAGAGGTGCAGGATGACTAACTATCAATGATGCATTTCGTGCTAAAATTAATTAAATAAATTTAAAAGATTAATCTCTCTTTGATCCATCTATATTTTTCTTTTTTTTTTTATTTTATTTTTTTATACATACTTCTTTCTAATTCTAAAAATACAGATTCTAATCTTTGAATAACATCAAGATAACATTCACCACGAGGAATACGATAACTTAATTTATCGTTGAGATGAGCACCAAATTCTTCGGGTGTTTTACGTAGGATTTCTTCGCGTGTCAAACCCTCCCATTCTCCGCGTTCGATATCGTCGAGTCCGCGGACATGTACCTTTGGATAAGAGATGTATTGGGCAGTACGAATAGCACGTTTAAACGTACTTGTCCAAACGGTAATCTCTTGGTTCTTGGCATGCTCTGTCACCCAACTGGCAAGAGTATGCGAAAAGAGCTCACCGTCGTGGTTGAGATCCGGGTCACCACCCTTTTTTCTGAGAACCTCCCATTCAGAGGCACCGGCACGACACAACCAAATGGGACGCGAGTGCAAATGAAGGTTCATCAATAGGTACATGATACGACTTGGCAAGTATCCAGTAATACGATTAGCTATAATCTTTTTACCAACATCAAACAATTTAATGTATTGTAAATCATCGTTATCAATCTCATTGTATTCCTTGTCATAATAACTTATTCTTTCTCTAAATGATTTAACTGCTTCTTCTTGACTTTGATGTGAATAACTAAAATAGAGTAAGTAAGTAAGTATAATTATTCTCTTTTCTTTTGTTTTGACATTTGATATATATATACTCTGGAGAAGATTTCCAATTTTCAATCATATTAGCTTCCAGTTTTGAACTATCATTAAATATTGATTCAACAAAAATAACTTTACTAATACCTTCTCTTGTACATCTTGTAAGGATGAGTTGACGTCTTTCATTGGTTAAATTGGTTGCATCAAATATACCAACTTGTGAACCTGAATTTAACCATTGCATCATATCATCAATTGCCGCTACTGCCATATGTAATCTTACTCGTCTAAATGAAATAAAGAATAAGGTTAATATCTATATATTTATATATTATAGTTATTATTTCTCTCTTTCTAACTTACGCTCCATCAAGATTACCAGGATCAAAGAATTCAGCAGGTTGACCAGCACCAACACGATTTCTACGATACTCTCCGACAGTAAACACCTTTGCCGATATACCCATGATATTTAATAGATTTCTAATCTTTCTTGCGATAAATGTCTTTCCACTTGCTGGTAATCCAACCATTACAATTACAATCTTGTCTGATTCAAATCCTGTATAAACATAGTTTCTTCTTTTACCTTCATTTATAGCTAAAATAGAAAGAAAGATAAAAAAAAAAGTATTAATATATAAAGGTGTATGAATGGATTATATAATTTGATTTGTTGTTGTTTTACTTACCATCACTTGAATTCTTTCTCATTTCTAATATACAACCAGGATACAAGTCTTGAATATCATCCAATTCATAGACAATCTTTGTTTCACGATGTTTGATGGTAAAGGGTCTAAGAGACTCTTTAGAAAACTCTGGAAAGAGGTTGATGAATACATCGTTGAGGTCTTCAAGTGATGAGCCTATAAAGTTGGAGTATTTCATCTTGCCTCTCACCTTGAAAAAGATAACCATCGTATGTGCCAACGAAGAGGTAGATGATGACGGTGACGGTGATGCAGATCTCTGGTGTTGCTGTTGTTGCTGATGATGATGATCCAATATATACAAGTTACCAACCGATGCCGATGTGATCATCTTTGTTGTGGTTGGTACCAATATAGATGATGTTATAGGTGTTGCTGGTTTTGATGGTGATGATTGACTCATATTTATATAAAAGAATAGTAATAGTAGCTACACTTAATAAATATAAATATAATATCTCTATTATTTGATGTTTGTTTATCAAAAAAATAAAAGAAAAAAGCGCACTCGGAATTGAATGACCCTTTTGCTCAAGTACACCATTCAATTTCAAAAATTTCAAAATTATTTATTTATTTGTATATTTGTATATTTGTAGACATAATAGTAGCTACTATTATGTCTACAAATATATAACTATGAATTCATATAGTTGACAATAGTAAGTAAAGTAGTTTGTTTCTCCACAACAAACTATACGCACACACAAAAGAATATATATATATATCTTGACTATTTCTTGTGGAATAGTTTGTGGTAGCTACAAAGAGACAGAACAGAACATGGATTCATTCTTTGTTCTGAGTTGGTTCGATCGAAGTAAGTATAGGTCAGCGTAGAGTATTAATCAGTCTGTGGATATTATAGTGTCGGGACACCCCAAAAATTAATTAATTAAAAAATGAAAAAGAAGCATTTGGATCGACCAGGAGGAAAAGGTTTAGGAGATTACTTTTTTGTTGTTAAAAACTGTTAAATTTTTTGGATTGAGGAACCAGCCCCAACCAATACTTATTAATAAAAATATCCTCCCATTCAATTCAGTGTAGTTTAATATATTTTTTGTTGTTTTAAAAAGATTATTTGTTGTATCATTATCTTTTGTTTTATCTCTTTTATTTTATCTTTATATCAATACGATTGTATCATTTTAACTTTTAAGTTAGTTAGTCGTTGTATCATATTATTATCAATATCAATATTAAAATGGAACCAGCAGAACAAGTAGGATATTTTGGAGGTGAATATGGAGGTGCTTTCGTACCCGAAGAGTTAAAGACAAAGGTACTTGATAGACTATGGACAGAGTTTTTAAAATATAAAGAAGACCCAGAGTTTATCAAAGAGTTGGATTATTACTTTAAGGATTTCGTCGGTAGAGAATCTCCTCTTTACTTTGCTCAAAATTTGACTGCTAAACTTGGTGGTGCAAAGATTTATCTTAAACGTGAAGGTAAAATTAAATATAACATAGATAGACAGAGACTATTTTGGTAGATACTAACAATTACTTTACTTGTGCATATTATTTATTAGATTTAAATCATACTGGTTCACACAAGATTAATAATGCAATTGGACAGATTCTATTGGCCAAGAGAATGGGTGTCAAGAGAGTGATTGCAGAGACTGGAGCTGGACAACACGGTGTTGCTACTGCAACTGCATGCTCGCTTTTAGGAGTAGAGTGTGTTATTTATATGGGCAAGTTGGATACTGAGAGACAAGCTTTGAATGTCTTTAGAATGGAGTTGCTCGGTGCTAGAGTGGTGTCGGTCGACCAGGGACAGGGACGTCTCAAGGATGCTGTCGACGCTGCTTTGGGCGACCTCCTTGCCAACTTTGACAATACATTCTATCTCTTGGGATCGGCTGTTGGACCACACCCATACCCAACCATCGTTCAACACTTCCAATCTATCATCTCTAAAGAGTCAAAGAGACAGATTTTAGAGAAAGAGGGTAAGCTTCCAACGGCTGTGGTTGCATGCTGCGGTGGGGGTTCCAATGCTATTGGTGCCATGTACGAGTATTTGGCAGATCCATCCGTTCGGTTGATCGGTGTTGAACCTACAGAGTCTGCATCGCTCACCTACGGTGTACCATTTGTGTTGCATGGATTCAAGTCGATCTGTTTGGTCGATGAGAATGGACAACCCAAACCAACCTTTTCGATTGCCTCTGGACTCGACTATCCCTCAGTGTCACCCATCCACGCACATCTCAAGACTAGCGGACGTGGAGAGTATGTCACCGTGTCTGGTGAGGAAGCTCTCGAGGCCTTCCAAGTACTCTCCAAGTCCGAGGGCATCATCCCAGCTTTAGAGTCATCCCACGCAGTTGCCCATATCATCAAATTGGCTCCACAACTCAGCAAGGACGACATTATCATCGTCAATCTAAGTGGTAGAGGCGACAAGGATTGCGAGCAAGTTAGTGTCATGTTGGCCAATAAGAAACAACAACAACAACAATCATAGTCCAATTGATAATAATAATATCATACACATATATAACATTATTTGTTATTAAAATAAAATAATAATTGTAACATTTCATCACTCATCCTTCCTTTTCCACCATCTATTGCTTCGATGCAGGTTGACTAGTACATAAAGAAGAAATTAATTAATTAAATTAAGATAGGGTCTTGAGTAAAAAAAAAAAAAAAAAAGGTTTCATTCAAAACAATTGCATTCATATCTCTTTTAATAATAATAGAGCACAGAATGAATTTCAACATGAACTGTAGGTACACATTCACAATGCTTAAAACTATCATAGTATCTTACACTGCTGGAACACTAATTACTAACTACCAAGTGGTTTAATGATCGTACAAGTTTATGGATCACCAGTAGCTTATTTTGGGTCAAAAGCAGCTTTGAAGAAAGCAAAGAAACTTTACTATAACAATGTATTGCGTTTTTTGCAGAACCCCAATTTGGAACCAGAAGGAAAAGTAGACACAGATGACGATGCAACATGGGAAATAAATATGCAACTTGATCAATTGGTTGACGATGCTCTATGTGAAATCACTGGTGGGGATAACCTGTTCAACATGGATTTACATATGAGAATGTATGCTGCAAGAACAAAAGCACAAAAAATTAATTACCGGCTTGAAGAAGATAATCAAAAACAACAACCTAAACCACAACCGAGACGACAACAACAACAACCAAAAGTAAATCAACAACAACAACAACAACAACAACAACAACAACAACAACAACAACAACAACAACAACAACAACAAGAAAAACAACAAGAACCTCAAAATCCACCATCAGTCGATAATCAAATTTCAAAATTGGATGTAGGACGACGATCTTTGGTACAACCACCACCTTTTGTTTTTGGATCTAATACCGGCGGAGATAGTGGAACTACCTCATCTTTGATCGGTAGTAGTGCAAACTATACTATTGCCAAATCACAACCAAAAAAGAATCCATCAACTATATTCCAACCAATGACAATCACGCCATTATTGTCACCTCCTCTTGAATTAGACCTAGACTTCAATTTTCACTCTTCCACTTCTTCCACCACCTCCTCCTCCTCCTCTTCTTCTTCTATGGCTAAACAACATTATGACAAATCACCTCGGACGAATGGGAATTCTAATCATCATCACACCATTAAAAAAGAAGACTATGTAGATGACAATGTACAAAATAGCAACAGCAACAACTCTCAAAATCATCAATCCAAATCATCAACCACAAATAATAATAATAATAATAATAAGAAGAAGAAGAAGAATAATCCATCACCAAAACAAGTACAAGTAAAAACAAAAGGAGAAGAACAAAAAAAAGAAGAGTTGGAACAAAAGATTGAAGCTTTCGAAAAGCAAAATGCAAATCTCTTACTATTGAATGATCAACAAAAACAAACTATTCAACAACAAAAGGATCAGATAAAGAAAGATGGTGACGATATCCATGACTACCTCATCCAACGAAATGAGCACGTCAAAGAGATAGAATCATTAAAAGAACAAACGACAGTGTTACAATCACAATTTAAATCACTCGAAAAAGAGTATCAACACTTACAAGGTGACAATTTGGAAGCATTGGACTATAAAGAATTACAAGTACTCGTAGAGACTAATCAAAAGAGTCTCCCAAAACTATACCAACAATACAATCAACAATTGATGAACAAGGTAGAGACTCTCCAAAAAGAGAAAAGAAATTTGGAAGAACAAAAACTCTGCTCAATCTGTCTTGAGAATCCAATCAAAGTTGTTCTTACACCATGTGGTCATAGTTGTTTATGTCTACCTTGCTCAAAGAAAGCAAACTTAAAAAATTGCCCCATCTGTCGTCGACACATTCAATCTAACATTGAAACTTTTTAAGTTATGTATATAAATATTATAGGTTTAGAGATTAATTTTGTCTAAACTTATTACCTGTATTTAATATAGAAGAAATAAAATAACAACAGCAACATATAGCAACAGCAACATATAGCAACAGCAACAAGACAGAAAAATGGGTATTAAAGGTTCTCAAAAATACTTAACAAAAAACAAGCTAAGCAAAGATTTGAAATATCTCGGTACAATCGAAAACAAAACAATTCATTGTGATGGTGCGCCATTTCTCGCACTTAGTATCAACAAATATTCAACAAGCAATTCAATCTATCAAACATTAGTTCAAAATGCTATAGATCGTATTCAACAATTCATTGATCTTCGTTTTGAGAATATTTATTTCTATTTAGATGGTTTTGGAAACAGTGATGATAATGGCAGTGATATTAAAGAGCGTGAGGACCCACGCAAGAGTGATTTGGATAACTTTATGTCCACAGGTGGTGATTATCATTTGCATGTATGGGCGTTCGAGGCACTATTCCACAAATTGGTTGCATATGGCGAAAAGCTAAATGTGAACATTGAATTCAAACGTTCAATCTCCGAGGCTGATGAAGATGTTATGGACCATTCAAACAAATTTCAAGTTGACGGCACTCACAAGTACGTCTTTGGTGATGTCGACTATGCTTTCATGGGTGACTTGAGTCAAAAACTCATCGTCATCTACTATGATCAGAAAGACAAACGTCTGAAATGGTTCGATCGATTCGAATTATTTAAGAAAATGTTTGGAGACAAATATAAAGAAAAGACGATATTATCATTTATCCAAATCACAAAGAACGATTATGTATGTTAGTAAAAAATCAAAAGAAAAATAATTTTAATGGGAATATTAATATAATCAAATTTTTGTAGAATCGAGGAACAGGTATAGATATGAATGAGGCCATCAAATTAGCGAAATCGAACAGTGGTACGGATTCTGATATCTATAGCAAGATCAAAGATATCTATTCATTAACGTCTTTAGAAGAAAAGGTAGTTCGCTTCAAAGATAACGGGATGGCCAAGTGTTACACTGATTACACCGATTATCTCTATCCTGACTTTTTGATCAATAGAACAAAGTTCCTCTCCGATGCTAAAAAAGGTTATTGTTATAAAACCTTAGTCGACAAGCTCGGAGATAATAGCTTCACAGACCAAGAGGTTAAAACTTTTTTTAAAGCTATTTTCTATCAACACAATGGAGTTGTGTCACTGGTAGCCGAGAGTACTTTTTTAGATCAGGCCAACGAAGACATAAAGGAAACGGTCACAGCTTTGTTCGCAGACAAGACTACTACTAAAATTAAATTATCTTGTTTCAAAATCATTAAGGACTATTACTACCATCTCTACCTGGTCTGGCAATTGGCTCAATATATATATGAAACGCGAATTGAGTTGATGGAAGAAGATTTCCTTCAATGGTCATTTCAATTATCTAGTGACGACAACTAGAGTTTCCCCTGCCATTGGGGGGGGGGAAGAATATAATACCAGTTCCAAACATTAAAAAATAAATACCCTCTGTTTATTTAGTATCACTTCAGTCATACACTTTGAATACCTTTAAAAGTTACTCTTGTAATTATGTTGGATAATAATTCAACAACTTTGAAAAAACTATTAATAGTGTGTGGATGGTTTTTTTTTTTATAGAAATTCTATAAAAGGAAAAAATTAGTTTTGGAAAATCAAATCTCGAAATGGAAAATAAATATTTTTAATTTTTTTGATATTAGAAAAGTTGATTGGGTATTTTCATTATTCATATTCTATAAGAAAGAAAAGAGAAAGATAGATAAAAATGGTAAAGAAAGGACAAAAACATAATAGAGAAGAAAATGACTATGACACATTTATTTTGGGATTGACCAAGACAAGTCTAAGCGAATTTGAGAATACCTTTCAACACAAAAAGAAAAAGTGCGAGAAAAAGAACATCATTACAGCTGCAAGAAATGAAACTTTACCTATCATATTTAATGTAAGTTGTTCTCTCTAAAGAACTCTCAAAACTAATCTTGTCCAACTAATCAATCCAATATGCTTTTTCGACCACAAAATACTCACCACAGAGACTACTAAATAATAATATTTTATCATGTCCAGTAATTAAACAAGATGGTTCATTTTATGGTGTTATTGAATTATTGGATGTCTTGAAATATATGGTAGATGAATTTGGAAAGAGTATGTTTAAATAAGAATATTCTTAGTCTTCTTTACATTTACCCAAACAAGATATATTAATTAATTAATTAATAATTATTTTCCTCCATTTAAAAAAGAAAAATTAAACAATGCCAAATCATTATTTGAAATTGAAGAATTTAAGAATGAAACTGTCAATGAAATGATGCGTAAGTTTGATTATAATTGTACATCCAACCCAATCAAATCCAATCCAATACTATTCTTATAACAAATCTTTTTTTTTTTTTAGAATATCCATATGGAAAAAATGTAAAGTTTGTAAAGTTGACACCAAGTTCAACTCTGTTTACAGCATTTGAAAGTTTGTCCAAGCAAAATGTCAACAGAATCATTGTGATTGATGAACAAGATGAGATTGTCGATATTATCACTCAGTTTGATCTGATCCGTTGGGTACATGATAATCTTGGCAAACTCGGAACGAGAAAGAACAAGTTGGTGAGGGAACTGTCGGCAGCCAACCAATACGTCATGTCAGTGACAGATGACGAGCAGGCAATTGACGCATTCCGTCTCATTGAAATCATGGGTGTTGGTGGAGTTGCTGTCATCCAACCCGATGGCAAGTTGACCGGCAATCTGTCGGCACGTGACATTAAGCGTATTGGAAGTAAAGGAGAGCATTGGAAACGATTGCTCGGGCCTGTTTACGAGCTGGTCGGTCGCGAACCAGTCACGTGTCGCGAGACTGACACTGTTGGTGATCTCGTCAACCTGTTTGTCAGTAAGAGTGTCCACCGTGTCTATGTCGTCGACGATACCTTTTCGACACTTGGAGTGATCACCCTTCGAGACCTCATCTCTGAAGTTCTCCCTTTGACACAGTCTCTTTCAATCTCTGATATCTTAACAAAGGTCGATCTACCAAACAAGCCTGAAGCTATCATGACTACCACCTCCACAACCACAACCAGCAACTCTACCACTTCTGACAAGAAGAAAGAACAACATGAACAACAACCAAATGTTGGTGAAACTGGTTCAGCTACATTGTAAATAACTATTTGTTTGTTATAAGATATATAAGTATAACAACTATAAATAAAATAAATAACTCTATTTTTAATCACGACCAAACCTTGGAGTGAAGATCGTATAGTCGTTTCATTTGTAAAAACAATCATTCTTTAAATTAATTAAAAACATTTTTGTAAAAAGAGATAATACACTTAGAATAGATAGAAACATAAAGGTAGAGATAGATTCATGTAAATGATCAACCAACAACATCAACAACAAAGCGATACTAACAAAAACAAAGAGAATATAAAAAGAGATTGAACATGGCTGCAAACTTTTGGGAATCAACTCATTGGTACATATAATAGATATTGAAGAATCAGATGATACTTTGAATCTATTTATTAACTTTATTCATTCAATCACCTGATCATCATTACAGTAAATCATGGTTACTTTCTAAAACAGAAATAGAGAAATCAAATACAAAGGATCTAACTAGAATAACACCTACCGATTTAAAAAGGTTGAGGATATTCTATTGTAATCGTATGTACATATATATGTTTACTATTATAGCATATAACAAATGTTGTAACTAATTAATTCAATTTCATATTTGATAGTGATACAAAATTTTGGTCATACAAAGTTGGTATTAAAGCAAAGAGCGATTTCAACTGCAATTGTATATTTTAAAAGATTTTATTTAAAGTAATTACACAACCAAATCAATCAATCCTAGCTAGATCTATGATTTTAATCATTTATATTTGTTTATTAATATTTGTGATTATTTATTTTTAGAAATAATTTTATAGATTGCGAACCAAGATTAATATCAATAACATGTTTATATTTAGCGAGTAAGGTAGAAGAATGTATTACTCAGGCTAAAAAATGTGCATTAAAAATGAAGGAACAAGGTATAAATTAAATTAAAAAATAACAAATGAATATATATATTAGATTCTAATTATTCTTTATTCTCTATTCTTCTTTTTCTTTTTAGATCCATCATTTAATTATACGATGAGCGATATTTTGGAATGTGAATTTTATGTATTGGAGGAATTGGGATTCGATTTGATTATATTCCATCCATACAAGAGTTTACCTACCTATTTGGGTAACAGTGGGTTGGACAAGGAGTGCTTAGAGGTGGCATGGGGTGTGGTCAATGATTCGTACAAGACTGATCTATGTCTACAATACCCTCCCTATATCATTGCACTGGGGTGTATATATTTGGCGGGATTTATAAAGAAACGTGATCTCAAACAATGGTTTTCAAATCTAAACGTCGACATGAAAGAGATTTGGGATGTATCTAGAGAATTATTGGAATTTTATGAATTTGATAGGAAACCAATCACTAGTACTGAAACACATGAATATATTTATAACAAACTTACAAAAGCAATACCAGTAGTTCAAATACAAGGACAAGGACAACAACAACAACAACAACAACAGAATCATCCATCAAATCATCATCATCATCCACCACATCATCAATCTCATATGATGCCAATTGGTAAAAAATAAATAATATTTATTATTAATAATAATAATAATTTAGAGATTAGATAAACAATCACAATCAAAAAAAAAAATACAATCTATTATGTTTTTATTTTCTATTATTTTGGAGTTGGGGATTGTTGAGCTAATTGTTGTCTTTGAGCGATAACATGATTTCTATATTTCGTTGCCATGGTAGGTGTTAATGATAAATAGTGTTGAACATTGAAATTGGGTGGTAATGGAGGAAATTTGACCGCTTGTTTTTGCATAGCTGATAATTTTTGTTGAGCCGTAAATGGAAAGATCATAGAGAAATGATTCAAAAGTATGGTTGCATCAATCTTGTTGTAGTGGTGCATGAAAAGGAGTATCTTTAAATGATTCGATACCTCTGTCAACTCTGGAACTGAACTCATAGATACTTTTGTCTGAGGTTGACTAGGTTGAACTGGTGGTGATGATTGACCTGCTGCTGCTGGTTGAATTAGAGGTGGTGATGATTGTGGGGATGATTGACTTGCTGCTGGTTGAATTAGAGGTGGTGATGATACTCTTTGAAGTGGTGATGATTGTGGGGATGATTGACCTGCTGGTCTTCCAATGTGAAATGATGGTGATGATGGTGGAGTAGTTGAAGTTGATGTTGATGTTAATGGTGTAACTGTTAATGGTGTAATAGCTACTGGTTTGGCAACTGTTGTGGCTACTGGTTTGGCAACTATTGTAGCCGATGGTTTAGCAACTGGTTTGGCTCCTGGTTTAGCCAAAGGTTTGGCTGTAGGTGCCAATTTTTTTAAAGGTTGTTGTCCAACAACTGGATCTTGTGCAGGTAATTTTGTTTTACCATAAATTCTCAACAATGAAACAAACTTTGAGATGTAATATTTTCTCTCCAATGCTTGGCTTACATCCAATTGAGATGGAGGTGAACATCTACTTGATGGATAGGCACTGATAACTCTCATGTAATATTTTACGACATCAGTGTCGTAGCCAAAGATTTCTTCCAAATGCTCGGTCAGTGTCATTCTTGTCACGAGGTTATGAACAAGTCCATGTGCGAGTAAATTGATATGTCTAATAACCGAATCTTCGTACATTTCGAGATCTACCGCTGTCGTCTTTTCAATATAGTTGGGTATACCCGAGACGAGTGGTTCAAAGTACAATTCCTTGATTGGCTCTTGTTGCTTGAACTTGTTGTTTAACAAGTCTCTAAAACGAGGTGTGTTGGATAAAGTAGGCTGCACGTCCTTGGCAGTGACCTCTGCGCCAGCCTTGTCACGAGCGACACCAGTCGTTAAGATGTTGGCGTGCATGCGTCCCTTGTCTTCGCCAAACAACATGACCAAGTGCTCGGTCAACTTTGGCTTGCCAATCAACAACGATGTGTACAACTGTCCAAGCTTGCGACAGTGATTGGCGAGCTGTTGGTGTTGGATAGCTGCCATAATGAGACGTCTATAGTGTGGTGTTCGTGCCAATACATATTCTATGGGTCCGTTTTCATACGTCACGACTGGAATACTGCTCATAGGAGCTGCAACAACCGTGTCGTAGTATTTGGTGGCTTGTGTCGACCCATACAACATTGTCAAATGCTTGATAAACAGTTCCTTTGAAAGTTTACCCTTCTTGTGTGCATATGAGAGTAGTTGGACGTGATACACTATCTGCTTGTTTCTGTCACCCAATATATCCTTGATCGATGTGGTAGCTGGTATGGTTGAAGGGTCGATCGTAATAGTCTTGGGACGACTATGATTGAGAGGATCCAAAATGGCAGTGACCAATTTAACGATTCTGCTTGCCATCTCGTACTTGCTGTATCCCAACACTTCGAGAATATCCTCTGCAGCGGGTGGTGTAGATGACGATGCAACCTTGTCTTGATATATTTTGTAAAAGGGGAGTGTTGGATCACTCATAATCTCTTGGTACGATGCATATCCATGTTTGGCCAATCCCCTAAGCAATGCAATGTCATTCTCACCCGGTGTCCACAAATTACTGTACGCTCTACTCACACCCATTGCAATGACAACATTATTCTCTACCTTTAAACATTTATAAAGATCTTTGAAAAAGCCTACACGTACTACAAACTTTTTTGCACTTGCCAATGTAATAGGTATATCATTTGCATTTGACGATGAGGCTACTATTATTGAAGTAGTTGCAGTAGAAGTATTAGTTGTAGTTGTTGTTGTTGTAGTTGTTGTTGTTGATGTAGTTGTAGTAGCATCTTTTGGTTTTAGTTTAGTATTATTCATATCACCCAAATAATGATTACATCTTGCCAAGTAATGAATAAAGTATGCTTGTAGTTGTTGTTCAGTCTTTAACTTTAAACTCTTTGTCTTGGTCAATACTACTTTCCAACCATCTGTTGGTACACCATACTTTGTAACATATTGATAGAATTCAGTATGTTCTTTCTTTGTCCATACTCCTGTACCAGTACTACTATTATTATTATTGCTAGTATTATTATTGTTATTTATAGTCTTTAAATCAAATAACATTGAAGTCATTTCATACTACTATCAATCTTAACTATCTCTAGAGCTAGTAGTAGTAGTTTTATCTCTTTCAATAGTAAAAATGGGGCAGAGTACATTAAAAAATTTTGATTAATGCAACTTTCTAAATATAGAGCATAGAGTAGTTAGTTTATAAATTAAATATACAAAGTTTTATTTTAAATATTTAGGTAAAAGATGAAGAGTATTCATAAATAGATTATGATGGATTGTGTAAATAGAGTTGTAGATGGTTGAAATGAATACAAGGTGGGTGGAATGGTTTGGTTTGGATTGGATTGGTTGATTGATTGATTGATCCCATTCATTTACTTGAAAGATGGAAGTGGAAGTTCAACAACATGATTCTTCTTCTTTGGAGTATCCTCCTCTGCAGAGATGACCGATTGCGATTGGAATGAAGCAATATTGGTCTTGTTGATTGGAATGGTTTCAAGAGTGAATACAACTTGAGTTTCATTCAATGGTACACTATAAGGTGTATGAGTACCACATTCGGCTGAACACATCACTATGATAGAATAGAAAATAGAATAGAGAATAGAACAATAATTAGTTAATCAAATATAAATATAATATATCTCTATCTATCTATCTATCTATCTATATATATTTATACATACTTAATGCAACTGGATAATCACCTAATGGGAAAGTAGCATTATTCTTTGTTGAAAAGGTAAAGTTTTGATTGTAAGAGCCTGGAGGGTAGCTGTCAAAAGTCAGGCTGTACATGTACTTGCTCTGTGTGGCAACATAGTAGACGATATAACTAAACTGTCCGACACCGGTTGCATTGACAACGGTAAAGTTGAGTGAGATGGTAAACGTGTCACCTGGCACTCCAACGGTTGGTGTCATTGTGACACTGTCAAAATTGGCTGCTGGACTCTTTGGTGTAACACATGCGGTGACCATCTGACATGCATAAATTGGATTGATATCATCACTAGAATATAAAAATAATAACATTAATATAAGATGAAGAAGAATGTATATAGGTGTATATTATATTATATATTATATATTGTATAGGTGTTTATGAGTATACATACAGTAAAAAGATCTTCCAAAATTCATTTACACCAACTAGATCACATAGACCAGTACATACATCAGCCTCGACAGTACTATTCAAGTAACCACAAATCTTTGAACATGATTCAATGACACCATAGTCTGTTACAATCTTGATGATTGTTGGTAGATAAGAGTTGAAGAAATCTACACATGGTAGACATATATCTGTCCTTACATTGCTACCATTGTTTGGGATTGGGTTGTTGTTGTCGTTGATATTATTTACATTATTATTGTTATTATTATTATTATTCTTTACTATTCTAGTTGCAATTGTCGATGGTGTAACAGTAGATTTATCATGTAACTGTGTTCTATATTCATTATTCTTGTTATTATTATTTTGATTATTATTTTGATTATTATTATGATTAGCACGGATGATAGTAGATTGAACTACACCACCATTACTATTATAAATAGTTAATAATACTAGTAGCACTAGTATTATCATTGACAATGATCTACTACTACTATTATTGTTGCTCATTGTCGATAAAGAATATTGTCGTTAAAGATTTAATCTCTCTCCTATCTTTCTATTTCTATTTGATGTGTTTGCTATATTGTACAATACAAGTTGTTGTTGTTGTTATTACTGTTTGATCAAATGAATAAATAAACGCGATGAATAATAATAATAATGGATAATGATGAAAATAGTGATCCTCCTTTCAAAGCTTTGTGCCTCTTTCTATGTTTGTGTGAAGTTTGTGTGAAAGGAGTTTGTCAACCCCTCCCACTTTACAAGCTCTCGTAAAAAACTTGCCAAACTCTGTAAAAATCTCCTTTTGCCCTTAAGATTCTTGAATCCAACCCGACTGCAGCAGGAATTATGAAAAGCTTCGGTATTATTGTTGTTTGTTTATCAATCAAAAAGGAAGTCACGGGAGTTCACTGGTTGCCACCCCCCAGTATTGGTTTGTTGTTGTTTTGTATATCATCGGGGTTATATTATAATATCTAATCTCATCAACAAACAACGATCTAATAATTATTAATCTAAATAAATTTTGTATAGACACATCCATTCTAGTCATATTCAATATCAACAAAAGAGAGAGAGAAAAAGAGAAGAGTGCATTTGGGAGAACCGTATCTCTTGAAGAAATAAAAGTACACACAAAGTCTTTGTTTGGTTTTGAAGTTCAAAAAAAAAAAAATAATAATAAAAAAAATTAAATTTAATTAATGTTGTCCGTTGTCGATTAAGAGCCAAGATGGGATTTTAAATCATAGTTTTATATATCTATATTTAAAGTAAAGAGAGAAATAGAGATGAGCAAGAAGAAAGTATCATATTTCTATGATTGTAAGTTTGTAAAAGATAGATTGTTAGATAGATTAGATAGAGAAGAGATTGAAGGGGAGACAAGACATGACCTCTAATACTACTCGAGTAGTGTGATGATATAGATGAGATGACTAACAACATACACATACATACATATTACATATTACAGCTGAAGTAGGTAATCACTACTATGGTCAGAATCATCCAATGAAACCACACAGAATTAGAATGACACATAACTTGATCTTAAATTATGGCATATACAAAAAGTTACAAATCTTTGTATGTAGATAAGATAGATAGATAGATAGAAAAGACCCTCTCGTAGTTGCATTTGTATTTATACTTACTTTTTTTGTTTTAACAATATATAGAGACCTAAAAAAGCAACTGAAGCTGATCTTTCAAACTTTCATTCAGATGACTATGTTAACTTTTTAAGATTGATCACTCCTGATAACATGCATGAATACTCTAAACAATTGATGAAGTGTACGTTATCAATACAACACAATATATTCTTTTTTTTTTAAAAGTAGTATTCATACCTTTAATTCTATTTATTTTTAGATAATGTTAGATATGATTGCCCAGTATTTGATGGAATGTATAATTTATGTCAAATCTCTTCGGGTGGTTCGATTGGATGTGCAGTAAAGTTAAACAACAAAGATTCTGATATTGCTGTCAATTGGGCCGGAGGTTTACATCATGCAAAGAAATCAGAATCTTCTGGTTTTTGTTATACCAATGATATTGTATTATGTATTCTTGAATTATTAAAGTATGTCTATATACACTCACACAAACACATACATAGTCATATAATTAATTTGTATTCATTTATTTATTAATTTAATTTTTCTTTTTTTTTGTCTAGACATCATAAAAGAGTATTATATATTGATATTGATATTCATCATGGTGATGGTGTAGAGGAAGCTTTTTATACAACAGACAGAGTCATGACTGTTTCCTTTCACAAATATGGTGATTATTTCCCTGGTACTGGCGATGTAAGAGATGTTGGTGCTAGTAAGGGTAAATACTATGCTTTGAATTTCCCTCTAAAGGATGGTATTGATGATCAAAGTTATCAAAGTGTTTTCAGACCTGTAAGTAAACACAGTTAATACAAACAAATATTATCCCTCTTTTTTTTTTTATATTCATTTCATTTTCATCTCTCTTTTATTTTAGGTAATTCAATCAGTTATGGATTCATATAGACCAGAAGCAGTTGTATTACAATGTGGTGCAGATTCATTGACTGGAGATCGTTTGGGATGTTTCAATCTTTCGTTAAAGGGTCATGCCCAATGTGTAGAATTTATGAAGTCATTTAATCTTCCTCTTGTCATTCTCGGTGGTGGAGGTTATACTATCAAGAATGTTGCTAGATGTTGGACTTATGAAACTTCAATTTTAGTTGATCATGAATTACCTGATGGTAGGAAACAAAACAAACAAACAAACAAAATAAGATATATAGGATTATTAACAATTATTTGTTTGTTTTTAGAATTACCATATAATGATTATTTAGAATATTATGGACCAGATTATAGATTACATATTACACCAAATAATATGGAGAATCAAAATTCAAAGGATTATCTTGAAAAATTAAAGTATTTATACAAATAACTAAACTAATCGATATTATTTTTTATTTATTAACCTCTTTCTCTTTCTTTTTTTAAGGATTCAAATTTTAGAGAATCTAAGACATTTACAACATGCACCAAGTATTGCTCATACTGAAATCCCACCTGACAGTTATAGTTACTCTGATGATGAAGATGATGAAGATCCCGACGTTCGTATCAGTGAGTCGGACCGTGATAGACGTGTTACAAATCCAGGTGAATTGTCAGACTCGGATGAAGAAGATGGAAGAAGACATGAAATGAATGGTTTGGATTCAACACCATCCTCTCGTAGAAGAAATCAAGTACCAATCACTGCCTATGATAAAGAAGCAACCAATTATAAATCATATGGTAGAAATAACCAAATGGATGATGAAATGATGGAATAAGGAAAAAAAAAAAAAGAAAAAGAATGAATGTTTACATAAAAAGTATGTGAAAAATAATAATAATAATTAAAATGAATATATTTTATTTTGATCATTTATTTATTAATTAAATTAATTTTGATTTTTAGTAAAAGAAAAAAATAGATTATTATTTGTTTTAATTTACAAAAATGGATTTTAACATTTATTTTAAAGTTGGTGGTCGAGATTAGTATTGTATATATATTTTAGGGGGAGAAAAGTATGAATGGTTGTTATTACCATTCATAAATTTCATTTCCTTCATGATCAACCAAACCACCAGTGGCAGAGGTATGACCAGCAGAGGTTGGAAGACCAGTTCCAGAGGCAGTGGAAATGGAACCACTAGAAATTGGTGCATTGGTTGTAGTACCAGTAGAAATGGTAGTCGAACCACCAGTAGTAGTAGAGGTAGTGGAGTCACCAGTGGCGGTGGTGGTAGTAGTGGTAGTAGAGTCACCAGTAGTAGTAGTCGAGGGTAAAGTGGTGGTAGAGGTGGTGGTGGCAGTAGTAGATGGTTCATCGGATGATGAAGAGTCATCACAACATAATTTAATATCCTTGCATACTTGTTCTGGAGTGATCTTGTCAGTGACCATATCGATCAAGTCATTACCAAACTTGTTGACGATAGCTTGACAGACACTGATGAATGGTTGAGTCTCTAAAAGGACACATTGAGTTGATACGGTAGAGACAATGGTAGCTTGGTTCTGGTCGAGGCATTGTTCAATCTCCTTGACGATCCATATGCAGGCGTCGCAGATAACGCCAGTTTCTTCATTGGTTAGATCCTTGCCAAAAAAGGCAAGACCGTCACGAATGGGTGCTGAGGCTGGTGATGATTGTTTCTCTTGTTGTTTGATGAGTATGCTGTTTGGCTGATCGGCCTTTTTAAATGGGTGGAAGTTGAGTATATCTCTAATATTGAATGCATCTACTGCTACTGAATTAATCAAAAAAATGATTAATAAAATATTAATTAATTTTATCATGTCTTGAAAGTAAAGTGTAAGTCTAAATTATATTATAATAAATAAATAATAGAAATAGATATAAGTGAAGTGAACAAATAAATAGTTATGTTTAATTTGATAATGATATTAAATTGTTGTTGTTGTGAGTGAGCAAGAGGATAATCATCGTCGCAATAATGTATCTACCCGCCTGCTTACATTCGATTGAGCAGTGTAATCTTCACAACGCTGTTACCTATCAAAGCCAGATTTTTTGGCTTTTTGATGCACTGGAAAATTTTCCAACATTTTGCCTTTTGGTTTTTGTTGTGTGTGACGACGACGATTCACTTCATGGTGAGCCCCCAATCAACCCCGATCCCGATTTGATTGACTTCAAAAAAAAAAATTAATTTTATTTGTTTGTTTGCGATCACATTGTTTACTTTGTGTGTATCATCACAATTGATCGATTATTTCATCGAATAGAGATAGAAAAAATAGCAATGAGAGGAGGTGATCAAAAATTGAGAAATAATTCAATTGAATTGAATTGAACAACTCTTCACAAAAGTAGCTCGTTTTTTATCTGGATAGAAATAAATATCTGTCGGAATGTCTCCTCGATTTTTAATGGGATCATACCTTAGAATCCAACTTTAAAAGGAACTGATATTAAATTATAGAACAATACAAGAATAGAATAGACAGACTTTTGGTGGTTCGATGGTTATTATTATCATTCTTGTAACATTACATACATACATTACCTTTGTATAAATATATATATTAAATTAAACACATAAATTTAACTCACCATCATCATCATAATCATGGACGGATTCGATAGTAGTACTCCAACTCCAAAAGCAGAAAGAAAAAGAATGTGTATGAATTCATTGCAAAGATAAATCTAGAACAAACAAACAATTTGAACTAACTTCTTCTTTTTGATGAATCTATCTATCTATTTACAGTTATAGGAAAAATGAAACCATTTGCTAGTGCCATGATATCAACTGCTATTGCTTCTCCTGCTACCAGTAAATAGAGATATTTATAGATATCAATTATATTAATATTAATATTGACATTCATTTTTGTTTTGTTTTAATATTAGATTCAGGAGGAGACAGAGCAAATTTCTTTGGTGGATAAGAGATAGTTGAGATCTCAACTATTGTAATACAACCCTATGTTTGTTTTTTTTTTTAAAATCAAAACAATCATCAACCAACCAACAAACAACCATATAAAAGTAGAAATGAATTTCAATGTTTTACAAAAAGGGAAAGTGATTGGAGAGTGGACTTTATCTACTTTCCGCTGGCAGCGACTATACAAAAATTTGATCTCAAGAGTTTGTGAAACTAGATCTAGTCTTTCTTTACAATACCATGGAGAACCTTCACTATAACGAGGGCAACTGTATGATGATAAAGTGATATCCGATAAATTAATTAATTGGTAAGTAGTAGTTACCAATCCAAACGTTTGGATAAAATATACTTTTAATCATTCATAATGAGCCGACTTTTCTTTGTTGAAAAAAGGGTGTAACATTAGTCGACCACTCTCACCCTTTAGATCCCTTCACATTTATCAATTAAAATATTGTGGATAACTTGCATAACTAGCTAGACCACATTGATCATTGATATTCCTGGCAATCTTGAAATAGCCTTTGTCTCCCCACCCGACTGTAAGGTAAAAATGAATGAATGAATAGAGTGGATGAGTTATAATAAATCTTGATTGATTATGATTTGTTGTTGAATTTTATAGGGATATTATATATTTATACATACCACCCCAAGAATTTTTAATCAACCAAGCATCTGGTTCAAAACCAACAACGAGTACTGCATGTGATGGCGACTGTTTGTTACAATTTGGAGAATAAAATATTCCGCCACCGTACATTTGGAACTCTCTGTTGAAATGGTTACCAAATTTAATTAAATTGATTGATTGATTGATTGATAAGATTAATAGAGGAAATAGAGTGAGATTGTTAATTTGATATATTACATACCTTGAAGTTGCATCAAATGCAGCTGAAATAGGATTGAGTCGTATTGCCTGTGTCAGGCCTTCCTCAGTCCTTGTCACCATTGTGTAGTATGAGATTTTGGTCGATTTGGATTCATTGTTGCAGTATGGCATACTATTATATTGTTTCCCTACATAAGGGGTTTGACTTTCCAATGATATTCCACCATTAAGTTTGATTTGTTGAAAAGAGTTGTGCATCCAACCCCCATTACATCCGTGATTATAATAATCCAGGCAATCAACCAATTCTTGTTCAGAGAGATCAAGATACCTACCCCTTTGCAGGTACAATGATTCAATTGCGCCAATCGCAGAGAACGCATAACATGAACCACATGATCCTTGATTTTTAACTGAACTTACTTGCGCGTAATTCCTCCAATCAAATCTTGATTGATCTGTTGTTGATAGAATCTGTCTTGAAGTTGCACTTTGCAATGACATTGGTGGTGCTGATGATGATGAAGATGAAGATGATGTTTGATTATCTGTTGGTTGTGGTTGATTATTGTTGAACAATTCATCAGTGATTTCAGACATGTTGAATTTAGTCAATCTTGTATCAATGAATTCTTGAAGTGATAGATCTGCAAACTCATTGGTTTCAAGTACCATCTGACTGTTGGGGTTTGATGTTGCATAGCTGTTGATAAACACGAGATTACTAACAAACAACTTGTATCTTTTTTGATATTCTGCATTTGAATATGTCTTGTTGTATTTATGTGTCCAATCCAAGAATAGATTTCTATTTGCTTGATCACCAATTGCCAAATACAACTCTAAACTAATTGGTCCAAGATCAATATCAATAATAGGTCCTGATCCACCAGTAGATGACGATGTTGACGAAGAAGAAGATGATGATGAAGAGGATGATGAGGATGATGATGAGGATGAACCACCAAGCAATCCACCCAACAAACCAGTGATCGATAACAACTCACTTGATACCACAAAACTTGATACAATCACACAAAGAATGATGATCGTTGTTGTTGTTGTTGATATTATCTTCATGATTGATTGTAATAATAATAATAATAATAATAAATGATCACAAGCTTGTGATCGATGTGAGAACCCATACACTATTAACAACCCACGGAAGTAAAATTAATTAAATCACAAGTTGGCTGTTCAAAAATGTTGAACAGACAAACAAGACAATGAAATTTTCATTACACAGATTTAAATAGATATATAGATAGATAGATAGATAGATATAATATATATGTATATATATTACATAAAAAAAGAAAAAAGATGATGGATAGAAAACAGAGACTTGAAGGTATCAACATAATCGAAAGGTTAACCAAATCAAAGATGTTTAGTGTTGATATCGATGAAGGATCAAAAGATATTTCACTACCTTTTATCGAACAAGAAAAGAAGGGTGACTTTATACACTACTCGCTACACGATTACAGAGCAGGTGATGAATTTGTACACAAGTACAACTATTCCGATAGGAAAGATTCACGCAAACAACATGCCAAGGGTCTGTTTGAGAAAACACAAAAAGATACAGAAGAATATATCCTCAATGCCATTCGTGCTTTACCAAAGGATGGATCGACACCCTCTTCTTCAATTGACACTTTATTATTAATGTGTTCAAGTCTAAATCTTACAGATACATTGAATGAAAATGAATTTAAAACAATTTATAAATTGTAAGTAGTACTAGGAAAGACAGACTATCAGATAACTATTAGAATCACCACTAACTAGCATTTCTACTTCTTCTTCTTCTTCTTCTTTTTAGAGAAGAAAAACATTTTAGAGATAATGTAAAATTGATTATGGATTTGGGTCAAGTGACACTGTTTGAAATCATATTGTCTCACATACTGAGACGTAGTACAACATTGTTAAAGTTTATTTCAGTGTTTTATCACTGTATCGAAGCACAAACTTTATTTTATATCGTGACAAGCCTATATCTAATGCCAGCAACCGGCCCGTCACCTAGATTCACCCAGGAGGAAGATAAAGAATATCGTATAGAATTCATGGAAATACTGGTTCGGTTACGTCATATGAACACATATCATTTTATAGTATGTTATACTATAAGCACCGCTGTCCTTCTTTATATAAATATACTAACCTATTTATATTTTTTTGATTAGGTTCATCAGACATATGAAGAGAGTGGCGTATTTATGTATGCAGAGGATTATATGAATAAAGATGCCATTTTTTCTGGAGGTGTATGGGGTTCATACAACTCTGTTTCAAAGATTCCAGTGACCACGACAAGAGAGTTTGAACTGTGTCAGTCAATTCTCCCACGAGTGGCTTTGGAGCACGCACATTGTGCTATGACCAAAATGCTGGGGGTCTATTTCCAACCTATAGATATGGCCGTTCGCAACAGCGGCCCCGCCGACTTGGAGCTCTTGAAGGATATATGCCTTACCAAACCAGACCTATTGACGACAACAGGTCATGTCATCCTATCTTGTATTTTATTCAACCAACCAGAGACACTTGCGCTGCTGCTCAAGCACTGTCCACAACTCGCCAAAAACCCAAGACGTGGGTTAGAAGGTCCAGGAGATATGTCCATCGAAGAGCTGTGTGTTGCTCTGAAAAGGGGCGAAATGCTACGAATGCTCTATCATTGTGGTCTCGAGGTGGAAACTCTACGACGAAAGTTACATTCTTGCGCAACAAAACAATACCGTGACGTAAAGATTGATTGTGGTCTAACATCGGCGGCTATATTCAATCGTGACATTTTAACAATGGAAGTTTTATTTCAACGTCCAACCCCAGAACTATTTCACATTTGCACTCATGTCCTCCATGAGCTCATCTATGACCCATCGGTTACCGCCTATCAGATGCTCATGCACTTGCATACTGTTCGAAGAATGTATATTCCCCCTTTGCTATACAACTGTGACCTTGAAGGACAAGTACCCATTGCCGCTTTTGCGACATCCCCTCTCATGCTTGGCTTCTTGCTCAACCTTTTTCCTGAACATGCAAAGTCCACCTTCCTTTCTAGTTATTGGGACGAGCATTATAATAACATAGCACACAAATCTGTAGATTCTCTAGGAAAATACGGTGGTTTGTTTATTCCATACTCTCCTAAAAACAAATCTAATAGGATGGATCCGCTCGGATATGGTCCCACTCTCAATATTGTTGGACTCTTTTTAATTCTTAATAGAGTGGATCTTGCAAAATATATTTTAAGCAAATACCCAGAGACAACCTTTTTGGATGATCTTACTTGTCAAATATTAGAGACAAAGTTTGAAAGAAAACAAGAGTTGTCTCAATGGACAAAAATTGCCAAAGATAAAACAAGTGCTTTAATTTCTGAATTGGCTAAAGATTTAGGAACAGGTTTAGGAAAAGAAGCAACAAAGAAGAAAAAAAAGAAAAAATCAAAACCAAAGAATGATAAAAAAGAAGAAAAAATAGATGATAAAATAGAAGAAGAAAAAGAAAAAGAAAAAGAGGAGGAAGAAGAAAAAGAAAAAGAATTGTTAAATTTATTAAAGAATATTAATAACTCAACTTTACCGACAACAAATTTAAAAAATTCCTCAACAACAACTACAACTACAAAAACTAATCAAAATAATAATAATGAAAAGAAAAAACAACAACCAACAAAAAAAATAATTAAAAATCAATCTTCTAAACCTACTCCTACTCCTCCTCCTCTTCAAATTAAAACTGATCAACTTGTAATACCAAAGACAACAACAACAACAACACCTACATCATCTGAATCAACAAAACAAATTAATTTAAACAAAGTTAAAATTGATAAAAAACAACAACAAGAAGAATTACTATCTCGATATAATATAGTAGAAGTCGAGTTGGATAAAACAGTTGGAAAATTTAGATTTAGTAGAGCGCCAAAATATATTATCGGTAGAGGAAGTAATGGTACATTGGTATTCATGGGATTGTGGAGTGAATTCAAGGTTCCAGTTGCCATCAAACAAATGAACAAGGCATTTAACGAAACGAGTCGAGTTGCAGAGGAAATTGATTTGATGATTAAGCTTTCAAATGAAGCTGCGGGATCATCAAATATGGTACGATACATTGACAAGGAAGAGGATGATATGTTCTTTTATCTCGGTGTCAGTCTGTGCGACTGTTCGTTGCAAGAAATGTATGAAAACGAAGCAGTACCAGCACAAATAATCCAACAGAAAAAAAATCTAGATAAAATGACAGCCATCAAGGATATGATTAGCGGCGTCACATTCCTCCATCAACACAATGTTGTCCACAACGATTTAAACCCTCGAAATATTCTCATCAAAGATGGTCGTCTGTTGATATCAGATATGGGTCTGAGCAAGATGTTGACTGTCGACAGCTCATTCTCACTCACCCATTCACCAACTGGAACTGGTGGTTATCACCCCGCCGAAACCATCACTGGACAACGTAAAACAAAGTCGGTTGACATCTTTTCACTTGGATGTCTCATTTGCTACATTCTCAGCGACGGTCAAGGTCACCCATTTGGCACTGATAAATGGCAACGTATTTCACGAATCATGTGCGACCGACCAGATGTGGCCGAATCTCTGCCACAAGCCAACAAGGAATCAATTGATTTAATCACTCAAATGGTACTCAAAGATGCCGACAGCAGACCATCGATTGCTGCCGTTTCCAAACACCCATTCTTTTGGACGGTCCAACAAAAAATGTCATTCCTCGACACGAGCTATCAAGCATCCAAATCGTCTTCATGGAACACTCTTCCAGTCGTATCACTCCAAGAAATTGGAAGCTCGACTGTCAAGTCATGGGACACTGTCATTGACAAGAATCTCCTATCACTATTGGTCCAAAACGTCAATGTTACCTACAACTTTGAAAATGTCAAAGATCTCATTCGATGCATTCGTAATTGTATTCAACATTTCAAAGACATTAAACTCAACAACAACAGCAAACAATTTTTCGACAGCCCAGAGGCAGCATTCCAATATTTTGATACACTCTTCCCTCAATTGGTTATCAATCTATATGTTACATTTAGATCAAATCCAAATTTTATTAAATCAAATGCTACCATTTTATCTTTATTTTTTAATTAAAAAAAATAAAGATTATAATTAAATAACAATTTTAAAGGTTTTATTCATTTTAATTTGTAGTTAAAGGAGGAGTGGCTTTTGAAAGTAATAACTTGTTAATTGTTTCAAGTGCATAATATTTATCTGAAACAATACTATTTCCAGTAGAATAAATAAATGTAACTGTTTCATCAACAATTCTATTTGATTGAATAGCGACTGGTGGAGAATTCTCACCAAACAACCAAATACCCAATACAATCTTACAGTTTGGGTACTGTTTTTTGATGAGATTGATTGCTGGTTCATGTTCATCCATCATAATTCTAGCAGTTGGGAAATTTGCCATATAAAGACATACTCCATTGATATTGTTTGGTGGTTGGTCTCCATCATTAACATTATAAATGTTAATTTGGAGTTCCTCATGATGATTGAGATGTTTGGGAGGCAGATGTGACACCAAAAAAGATTTAATTGATGTGAAAGTCTTTGAATCTATTCCAACTTGTCCTCTAACTATAATCAAGTTGAGTTGATGAAGGGGTTTCTTTGGTTGTGAAATTACAACATTTTGTTGTTGTTGTTGTTGTTGAGTTTGAAAAGGTAGATGCTGTGGTTGTTGGAATGGTGAGGGAGTGGTAGGGTTGAAATAGGTGTTTGAAAATGAAATGGATGGTGCTATTGGACTGGTTTGATCGAGTATATAGGGTTGGGTTGGAATAGAAGTTGCAAAATCGATATTCTTTAAATAAAGGTTGATAGGTCTTGATGATACGTTTTTTATGGTTTCTTGTAAAAAAACATTCTTATCTAATAATTTTTGTATTTCCTCTTCCTTTTTAACCATCCCCCTCTTTAAAAAGGCAATTTCCTCATCCTTTTTTACAATTTCACACTTTAAACTAGCAATTTCTTTTGAGGAGTTCCACATCTTTTGAAAATTATATAAATGTATATATGTAATTATTTGTTAATCATATGATGATGGTGATGAGAGATTCTTTTTGCAAAAAGTAAGTAAAAAATAAAAACCCAAAACCATAAATTCAAGTCCAAACTATTTAATAGATTTATTTTCTTTTCAAAAATTTGAGTCTGTCTGATCATTAAGAGCTCCAAAACTCATAATTTTAGGTATTCCAATTTTTGAGTCATAAATAGAAGAACTTTCTTTTAGATGATCATCTTATTAAGTCATCTTAACAAATAATTATCTATCACCAATATTTCAATTCTTTTATTACAATGACAGCAACTCAAGATATGTCCAATGTGGTACAATGTTTCACATCGATTATGAACAAACTTCCATCCCAAGTTATTTTGGCAATTGATACCTCTACAACTGAAACCACCGATGCCATCCTTCTTGAACATCTTCGTGCCTGTCATCTTATTGTAGATATGGCTCCATCTGGAGTCTACTTTAGTATTGTCGTATTTGGAACAACCCCTTTTGTAGTTACCGACTTTAAAAATGACAAAGTTCAAATTAAACAAGAATTGGGTGTAGATATTACAAGTATTTATAAATTTCAAACGGATACCTAACTTTTTGAGTGTATCTCTAATGTTTATCTTTTTTTTATATTTTTACTTTCTTTTAGAATTAAAGACATTTGCAGTAGGAACTGAACCAGTGATTAGTAATGTTTTGACATTTTGTAGAAACTCTATTATCAAACCAAAATTGTCACCACAACAAGGTAGTCCAATTGTTGTTCTCTTTTCATCTGCTCTTCCACCAGTTACAGACACTGCCATTTTAAACACGGTTGCATCACTTCGTGACCAACATATTTCATTGATGGCTGTTTCAAACAACCCAGCTATTGATATCCAATCATTGTCTGGTGCTCTTGGCAATACCAAGACTCTATCAAGAGCAGAGATTCCAGATATTCCAAGAATCCTATTCACCGAATACAATGAAGAAAGAGAATTTGCTGTTGGTGTTTGTTTGGATCCAACTGCCGTTGCCCAAACTTTGAATGATGCCGTCTTGGTCAACTTTTTACTCATGCCACTAAAGTCTGATCTCCCAGCCAACTACAGAATTGAAGTTCAAAATAGTCGTTTCTATCAACCTTGGACTCAAGTCTTATCCCAACCAATGAAGCATCACCAAAAGGTCGTCATTCCATGTACTTTGGCCAAATCATTCGATGCTACTCTCAATCCTCCACCACGTATCTTTTTCAATATCCTTGATCCATCAGGCAGAGTAGTTACAAGTGGCTACTTTAGTATTCCTACTGGTATGTAAATTTAAAATAATAATAATAATATTTTTTTTAGTTTATATTAATCTTTTTCTTTTCTTTTTTTTTAAGCATTATTTGCAGGAGAGTTTTATGAACCATTTTCAGTTGTAGTTGATGGAGTTGTAGGAAGTGGAAAGTCTTCTTTGAATAATGGATTGCTTAATGTATTTACATGTGGAAATGTTTCCTATCCATTCTTTACCTCCAAGAGTACCGATTCTCATGGTACAGAGTTTTTCCACTTTTATCCAATCTGTGTCTATGTCAACAAATATGCAATCTTTAAAACCGCTCTTGCAATTGATATTATCAAAAAGCTCAAGTTGGTGCTTATCGACAAGAAGGGTATTACCGCCACTGACAACAGAGTGGGCTATTTGGATATCTTTGAAGGTAGATATCGTCCAAATGATATCAAACGTTACTCTGAACAAGACGCAAGATACTCCGCTCAAGTTTGTATCTATGTAGCCACTGCTAGATCCTTTTTAGATGCATCTGTTTTAGGAATTATCCAATCAAAATTGAGAGAATTGGTTTCTATTAGTATGTATAAATATAAATATAATTCTATTAATAGATGTTCAATAACTAACAACAAACATTTTTTTTTTTTTTAGAAGCACAACCAATTCTTGCAGTTACTACATGTGATACTTTGACTGCTGCCGAAGTAGAACGTATCAAGGCTATTATCTTGTCCATGGGAATTGTTAGTGAACATAATATTATGTACATGAGCAACTATATTGACGAAAACCCAGAACGTGATATTGATAGAGATTACAATAATCTTGCTCTTTTGCTTCGTGCCAAGAGTGTTGCCAAGAATGGTAACTCTTCCGTTGAAGATGATGCCAATGATTATTTTGCCAATCTCTAAGTAGTAGTAGTAGTAGTAGTAACCAATAATAATAATATTATTATTATTCTTTCTGTCTCTCTCTTTTGTAAATATAATAAATGATTAATAGTTGATACATTATGTCCACAATAACAGTGATTGATATCAGATTAGTTGAATTGATTATTATTTATTCTTTTCCAATTCCAATTGTTTTAATAGATCCAAAGGTTCCAACCAAACTGTAGATGGAATATTATCTTCACTTGTATTTAAATATCGCATTGCATCTTGTAAAGTACAATCTACCATCATCATCATCTTTGATGGTGAATCATCCTTATCCAATACTGCTGCTGTATCATTATTATTATTATTATTGGATAAAAGTAGATTGGTCATTGCATCAATGATCAATTGTGAAATGGTGTTGTGTGAATCATAACGATCCTTTAATTTGACCAGGAAGCTATTGTGTTCTCTATTTTCTCTATAGGTTGGTATCTTTTCTGGTTGTTTGAGTGTTGCCATTCTATCGGTTTCATAGTCGAATAGAAATGAAGTATGATGTGCAAACCGTGTTCTCGAACATGCTTGAGCATTACCACCAAACTTTCTATTACCAAATGCATAATCGTGTTCTTGTAGACTGAAATCATTATAATCTATAAATACATTCTTGTAATATCCTTCACTCCATTTCATTATATCTTTTGGATATAAATAACTTTGACTATTATTATTATTACTATTATTACTATTATGATTATTATTACTAGATTGTTGAATAAAATCATTATTCATAATGAATGAAGTGAATAGAGTATTATGATCTACAATGACTGTACCACCACCAGTGTATCGTTTGATGATTGGTATGTTTAATGAAGCTGCCTTTTCCAAATGAACTAGTTTATCGGGTCGACCGCTGATACCCATGATGATCATTGGGTCGGGTGTCCCTTCATTAATGATCAACCAATTGCCTGCATCTTTGCGTCGATACAATGATTCCTCCAACAATAATTGTTTATAGATACTAAAGTTTCTTAATCTTAATACCTGTACAACTCCATTCTTTATCATCTCTTTTTCTAAAAGTAAGTATCTATCTCTTTGTCGACGAAAATGATTAATCAGTCGAATACGTAGTTTTCTAAATTACAATATTTTTATTTATTTTACTATTATTATTATTATTTTGGAAATATGGTTTATATATTTATATTTAGTTTATGGTAAATGAGTAAGTAATAATTGTTTGAGAGCATTTGAGATTACAGCAGATTGAGAACGGATGGTGAGACGACACATGCTTGCCTGTTGATTGGCTTCGATTCTGACGAGTACTTGGATTGGATTTTGAGCGTATGGGAAGAGAGCTGATGAAACAGAGTTGTTTGGGTTGGGATCTACACCCTTGAGAACAGTCATACGTAATCCTTCTGACATGATCTTGTTGAATCCTTCAATATCAATCTTGGCACACTTGAACACTTCTTGGATCTCGACTGGTTTACCGGGGAGGATCTTCCATTTGGAAAAGAATTCTCCACTGTTCATCTTGAGTGGTTCAAAGAACTTGGAGACGACAAGAGGAAGTTTGAGGTGGATGGTGATGGGCTTGCCTGGTGTCAAAAAGTTGATGGTGGCGATAGGTGACTCGCTAAACTCGCCAGTACACACAAACGAGAGAGATTGTTGGATTTGTGCCTTGGGTTGGATGACAGGTGCGATTGACTGTGGTGTGAGTTGAATACCGTTTGAAGGTGATTCGAATTGAACGTTGAAACTAGACAATGGGAATGCAGAGTTGTTGCCATAGTAGAGCATGAAACGTCCACCGGAACCGCTAATATCACTCTTGATACCAACCTGGATATTGCCATCTTCATACAACACACCTTCATTCACCAAACATAAACGTTTGTATGCATTGGCAATCTTGATTTGTAATGGATCCAACGGTGAACCTGACGACCCTGTATTGGGAGAGTTGGTCGTTGGTGAGAATCCAAATGGTGATCCTGTCGACCCAGTATCTGCTTGTGCAATCACCTGCTGTTGTTGGACTACAAGTTGTTGTTGTTGTTGCTGTTGTTGTTGTTGATGTAACATTTGTTGTTGTAACATTTGTTGTTGTAGCATTTGTTGTTGTTGCGCCATTTGTTGTTGTATTTGTTGGTTGTGTTGGGTTGTGGTGGGACTGCTAAGAGCAAATGGATCGAGTAGATCAAGTCCGTTGTTTCTTGGTGGTGTTGCGTTCTCTGGATTCTGACTACCACTGTTACTATTGTATCCATTGTTACCCGAGTGCATGGTGTTGCCCGAGTCGGTAGTAGATGGAGCCGAGTGGCCAGCATGGCTGCTGTTGCTACTTGTGCTCTTGTGTGAGTTGTCGACAAACGCGGGGATCACATCCAACACAGTCTGCATCAACTCTTCGTTCAACGATGTCAAATGCAAATACTCGCAAGCACGTTGTTGAATCTCGGCATCGATAAACGATGCGTGTTGTTTAAACACTTCTTGGGTCTGGTTGGTCAACTCTGGGAAGAGATTGACAAACTTGGCATAGGTAGAGAGCAACAATGCCTTGGTGGCAGGTGAACATGTTCCAAACTTGCTATTGAGAATGTTGAACTGGTTCAAAGGGGTCGATTGGGGATTGTCGGCAATGAGATGACCAAACTCACCCAAAATGTAGCCACCAACCTTGACGAGTGTCTCGTGGGCATTACGCGACTGCAAAGCATTGAATACAGTCGATGCGGCGTATGCTTGGATATCCTCGTGGTTGGTGACAATCTTGACGACACGGTACCAGATGGCATCGCTGACAAAGTCGCCAGCCGATGTAATCAACTGCAAGATAACATCGACGTACCAACTATAGTTGCTAGCAAACTTCTCGGCCAAATTGGCAATCTTGATAACCAACTCTTCACGAATGGCATAGTCGGCCGTCTGCAAGTATTGCAACAATTCTGCTACAATAGTCTGACATGTATTCTTATCACACATTCCATATAATAAATCCAATGCTCTTCTTCTAATACTAATATCTGCATCTTTTAATGATACTAAAAAATAATAAATAAAATAAATTAATAAATATTAATATATATTGATTCAATGATATGCTAAATTTGTTTTTGTTTTGTACATACATAAAACAGTATCTTGATATTTCTTAATCATAATTGAAGTTTCATTTGATAATGAAGCAAAATGACCCATTGCTTCTAAACCCAAATATCTAATATTTGTTTCCTTGGCTGTAATGAATTTACCCAATAATGTTGAAGTTTGTTTTAATAATGTTGGGTCACTAAAAGTAAAAATAAATTAAATGTTAATATCATTTCTATTATATAAAGATATATTATATTATCTTTTCATACTTGTCATGATGAATAATTAAATTGATAGCTTCAAAGAGGATTGCATTTAAAGCATTCTTGTTATTGATGGTACCAGCCTTGGCAGATTCAGAGATGGAAAAGATTTGATTGAGAATTTCAGTAAGACGACGTCCAACTGAATCATCTGGAGGTGAAAAGTAACGAAGGAATCTTAGAATTTTAACTTGAAGCCATGGACATGCAATCTGATAATAAATATATTCTTTGGGTGTTTCCTTTGAAATGACAATCTTGTGTAGAATATGAATCACCTTTGGTACTGCTGATTCCCATCCAGTTGCATTTTCTGATACCAAATCAATTAATAAACTTAATAATGAATTTAATACTCCAAAATCAGGTTCTAAAAATTAAAAATAGAAAAATATCAATTAATATTAATCAATCATTTCCTTTTTTTTCTTTTTCTTTTTGATTTACCATCTAAAACAGAAACTAAACGTTCTTCCCATGAATCTGGTGTTACTAGACCAACATTTTTACGATTCATTCTAAGAATAGCCAAAGCTGCTCTCTTTTTAACCATTGCTGATGATGTACTAAAATAGATAGATAGAAAAAAGAAAAGAAAAGGTTAGAAAAGATTGATCTATCTATCTATCTATCTATTCTTTTTTTTTTTTGTATTGCATACTTTGCAATTAATAGTTTTTGAATGATTGGGGCAAGAAACTCGGCTATTTCTTTACCACCAATATTACAAATGGCAGCAAGAGCTAATGATTGGAAATAATCACTTCTTGCCATCAAATCCTCTTTAAATGAATTAATAATCAATGGTAACATTTCATGTGATTCATTTAATAATACTCCCAATGAAATATATCCCTAATAATAAATAGATTAATAAGTATCATTGATTGTTGTTCTTGTCTTTTTGTTTTAAAACATACGATTTGTTTTTCAGAGAATTTAGTGCTTGATAACAAGGTTACAGCTTCCATGTGACCAAAATCCAATTCATAACCTAGCATGTACATATAAATCAATTTACAAACATATTTTCTTCTTTGGTAACCATCGATATTCTTGTTTTCTTTAAACTCCTTTCTAATATGTGCCATTTCTTTGGTCACTCTTTTTTCTTCTACTTCTTTTGATGGAGCTAAATAAAAAAGAAAAGAAAAGAAATTGATTCATTAATCTAATCTAATCTATTTAATCTATCTAATCTATCTAATATAATCTATCTAATCTATCTAATATATCATTCATTCTTTGTTGTGATTCATTCATACCATTTCTCAAATCTGAAATAAAGTTTGTTAAACCTCTCATAGAGGTTTTTGCTATATTTGGATTTGTACTCATGACTGTACTACTATCTATCTATCTATGTGTTGTGCTTTACAAAACTAAGCTCTATATCTATATCTATCCAATCTATCTATTGTATATCCAATATCTCCTCTCCTCTTTTGTCTATAATACTGTCGACTATGATAGTATAAATATATCTATTTATCTATGATGATAAAATATATATTCGTGGTGTGTGTGTGTGTTGTTGTTATGGTTGTTGTTGTAATGAAAGAAAAGAGTTAATCAAGCTAGAGAGATTAATGTGTTTTTGGTGTTGTTCAAATTATTTTTTTTATTAATTTAATTTTTTGATGGCTTTTTAGAAGGTCGTCCGTCACACTCTGAATAGGCTACTATTCACGGTTCATCATTGACAGTTCATCATCCATTGCTATTAATTAAAACATACATACATACATACTACATACATCATATTATCTATTAGCAGGACGAGAGTATTTGAGTTTGATCAAACTTTTTGAAGTTCATTTTTTGATATATTAAATCGATTCAATCAATTGATTCCTATTCATTCACATGTTTTATAAAGTTAAAGATACCCAAATATAATGAACAATAATGTTGAAGAATCATTGAATCATCACCTTACAACTACAACAAGTAAAGATAATAATAATAATAATAGTAAAGATGGGTGTTGTTCGACCAATCAATCATCTGGAAAGGTATCAATACCATGGTACGTTCAAGCAAAGATAATAGGGTATTGTTGGAGTGATGTAACGTCATCGTATGGATGGAGAATAGAGCTTAATCTGGTTTGCAAAAAGTACTTTACTTTTGTATCGTCGTTGTTGTCGACGCTAAGACATTCTCATTTGTTGGATGTTCGAATCTTTCAGCACCTCGACTCACAGTACTGTGCTTTAAAGACGATAACAACCTTTTACGAGGCGTTAGAGTATGTCGAGAGAATCACTACATCGTCTTCATTGTTGTCGTCGTCTTCGTCGTCGCTGTCACATGGTAGAGGTCTGTTGGTGTCATCCGCAACGTCGTTGGCGTCATCGACAAGCTCATCTCTGTCATCCATGTCGTCTACATCTACTGCATTTTCACCATCACCGTGTATGCGTCAGAGAATGGGAGACATCTTTGCCAATGTACGTAGGTTCCATCTTTACAGCTTCATCATGTTAAAGGATGCAGAGGTGGTGATTGAGTTTCTACTTGGTCAATCCGCTCGAAATGGGTCGCTTGAGAAACTAGACATTCAAATTACCCAGGCTTCTATTCTCCCCATTCTCCACAAACATCTCTCCATGTGCACATCTCTTCTCTCATTACATATATTCACAACCATTCCACTGGCAACTGCCTTCTATGCCAATAATGGACATTTGTTGCAGTCGTCGCCGACATGCTTCTCATCAACCATCATCTTTAACCAAATTGTCTTGCAACCGTCATCTCAATACCTCATCCCACTCGATACACTCACCTCATTGAATCACTTTAAAATAGTTAGATCTAATCATCTCACATGCAATCAATACAACCTTAATAACAACTCCAACTCCAACTCAGATATACCAAGTAATAAAGAGATGACTACACGGTTAAATATTGATGATACTTGGAGTATGGTGAATCATACACTTACAAATGGACCGATGGCGAATCTGACCAAGTTGGTGTTGGAGAGTGTCAAGATACACGAGTTCTCGGCACAGACATTCTTTCGCAAGTTGGTGGAGGGGTTGCCGCAGTTGGTGTGTCTCAAGCTCATCAATATATCGGTGCCGCCGTCCATCACAGTGCAGTACTTTAACCAAGCACTCGGAAACTATGTGACAATGGCACCGAACCTCGTGCATCTGTACTGTCCGTTTCCAGCGTCACAAGAGCTGCTTGACCAGATCAACGAACACTCCAACATCACCACACTCAGCGTGTGTCCGGTCGAGGGGTACAAGATGTCTACGTTGTTCAAGATACGACACTTTCTCTTTAGCATTGCCAGCAGCAGTAGCGCACAAACCTATATCACCTTTTTCCAGGCATTCAAACATCACGAAAATGCACCCAACATGGTCGAGTTGGAATTGTTGGACGGTTCACAATTTGACAATGGTCAAGTCATTGATAGTCTGTGCTCGTTTATCTCGACGAATCATATTCTCAGGTGTATCTATTTGGATCAGGTTCCCATTCGATTTGCCAATAAGATTTTCAGAGCCGTTGCGACGAGTCGGTCGTTAGTAACACTCGATATTGACTTTGCACCCATCAGAAAACCACGGCGATCCAATACCATCAAACTGCTCAACAACATGTTGTCAGTGTTGTCGTTGAGTCAGTCGGTCGAGAATATCACCGTGTGGTCTGATAACCTCGTCAACATCTCCACCATCTCGGATAACCTCAATCTTTGTGCTTTCCAGTTGGGGTATCACTCACCCCAATCCTTTTCAATCGTTCGGTACCTCGACTCTATAAACCCTGCCAGTCACGATCCAAAGGATATTTTAGACCGAATCAACAAGATGAGAGCATTGGCTCCAGAAGATGAAGATTGTCTATTTTCATCAATGGATTTAAACAAAGAAGATATAGATCAAGTTGAAGATGAAGATGAAAATTCAGTTGACTCTTATCAAAGTATTTATGATGATTCAAGTCAAGATGAATTGGAACAAAATGGAAATGAAAATGGAGAAGAAGATAGTGATAGTAATAATGATAATGATTTATCATTTTAAAAACAAATAAATTGAATAGAGATTATATATATATTCTTTAATTCTTTTTTTTGGAATAATCTCTTTCACCAAATATTAAACTACCAACTCTAACATTGGTACTACCAAATTGAATAGCTTCAATATAATCATGACTCATTCCCATACTAAGTCCAATTGATTCTTTATCAATTCCAAGTTCTTTTGATATATTTTCTTTACATTCTACCAATTTCTAAAAAGAGTAATAGAAACAAAATTAATATTATCTATAATTATTATTTGTTTTTATATTATTATTATTTACTTTAAAATCAGGTTGATCAGGAGATGCATTTGGACTTCCAATAGTCATTAATCCAATTACTTTTAATTTTTGTTTACATTTTTCATCAGTTATTAAATGTTTGACAATGTTTACAATTTCTCCAGGTTCACATCCACTCTTTGCTAAAAAGAAAGAAAATCAAACAATCCAATTAATTGTTAATCTATTTTGTTGCTGTTGTTGTTTCTACATACAATCTTCACCACTTGTATTAACTTGAACCATTATATTGATTGGAGTTTGGTGTGGCCATGATTTAGCTAGTTTATCAGCTGTTGATTGTTTTTCAATGGTTTCGATGACATGTAAACTCTTTACAGTCTCCAATAATTTTAATTTATTTGATTGTATACTACCAATAAAATGCCATTTAATATCAACTAGATCAGATAACTAAAAATAGAAAATAATTAAATAATTAATTAAATAATTAAATTGTTTCCCTTTTTTGTTTTAGGATGATCCAAGTAATGATCAAAGTGTTTACACACATACTTCATCTGATTTTGTTTGTAATTCTTGAATCTAAATTATTATTACATTTAAATATTAGTATCTTTATTTATAAATTGTATATATATAAGAATGTTTACATACATAATTTTCACCAAAATGTCTTTGACCATGTTCATATAAAGCTCTAATCATAAATGAAGGTTTAGTCTTGCTAACAGCTACCAATGTGACATTGGGATTAGTTATCTTTGATTTGATTGCATCGTATCTTGTTACTAGATCCTTTTTCATTTCATTGTATTCTTCATTGCTTAGATGTTGATGTGTTGATGACAATGACGACGATGATGAAGATGCTGTTGACATTGTTCTATTGATTGATGATATGATATGAGTATTATGAATGAAATGACTCGTCTTTGATGATTTGATTACTAATCTATTGATCGATTGTATCATCAGAATTCTGATCTGTTGAAGTGTTGACGAATCGTTGAAATCAAATGAAATTAAAGCATGCTCAAACTAATAATTTATCATTAGTTTTTTTCTGAAGCATTCATTTATTTTTTCGAAACAAAACACTAATATCATTGTATATAATCAAATAGTTAGTAGAAGTTTACTGTTTATTTATTATTATTAGCAACTTTGGAAAATTAATTAAATAAAACTTATGATTGTTTTTTTGTATATTTAACAGCGTAAAAAATATTCCAAAGATATTTGAAAATTCATATCCTTTATCTACACTTGACGGTGGTCGTTTCGTTTGAAAGGATCTGTTCTTTTGAAACGTACAAGCAAAGATCGTCATCCCTTTTCTACCAAAAAAAATATCTTGCAAAACAATAAAGATATATTTCGAATATGAATTTGGGCAACCAGGGAAAAGTAGTGCTTTTCCACAACAAGGTTCCCATATAGCAAAGTATAAGGATTTTATCAACAAAGACAACTCTCATAATCAAAATCTACCCCAAATTACTTATTCTGGCGACCATTATTTATCTTCTGTCAATGGAGTTTCAAAACCCTTGCTTTGTGGTTTTGCTACATGCACAAATCATGCAGTTCACGGAGCACATATAGCCTTCCCCGAACGTACAAATGGAACCAACATGATATATGGAGTAGTTCCATCTTGTTCGGGTCACAACGTTAAAAGTAGTGATGAATCAAGAAAGCTAAAGAGTAATTATAAGATAATGGTAGTTAACCCATCTGAGGATGCCCAGCTATCCACCAAAGGTAATCCCTACTATGAAGAAAGTAAAGATATTTTTTTCGACAATCAAATGAAGAAACCTGCCAAATAAAATAATATATCATCTATCTTGGATGCTTGTAATCTATTTTCTATTCACCCAGTAACAATAAATTTAAATACAATACTGTACTGCTTTCATCCTATATAGATACAATGTTATTTGCGCGATAGGGTTTATTTATAAAACTATTACATATTTAATAAAATAATAAGAGATAAAATACCCTCTGCTTATAAATTTGTTATTTTGAATTCGGTTTGAGTGACAAGCAGATCTAGGTGATGGGCCAAGGTCAATAGGTAGGGTCATAGGTTCGGAGCTATAGCAGAGGTGACAGTAGTTCAGGAGCCAAGGTCAATATTGTCAACTTGGAAAATAAAAACTCATGATCGTTTTTTTTTTTGGAAATAAATAATTGTTTCCTTTTTTTATTTTATTATTTTATATCTTTTTTGATTATTTGGTTTTTTGGTATTAAAAAAAAAATTACTTGGTTGTTAACAATATTAAATATTTAATAAACAATGACAATGGTGACCTGGGTCTACTCGGATTTAATCGGCAATGAGACGATCGACAATTTCGTTGAGTTGGTAGTTATACTTCTTGACAATCTCGGCGAGGTTAGGGTGTGAACCAAAGCCCATGGCAATCAATTGTGCAATACATTCGCGTTTACTATCATCGACGATTGGTGCAACTTCTGGGAGTGGAGCGGCGACTGGTTCTGGGACAACGACAACTGGTTCTGGGACGACGGCAACAAGTGGTTCTGGGGCAGCTGGTGGAGCAGATGGAACTTGTGGGAAGAGGAGTGGAGCTGGTACTTGAGAGACGAGTGGAATTGGAGATCCAATGGCTACAAAGTCATACAATGGCTTTTCACTCTCATCAATTTCTTCAATTGATGGTTGGTCTACTGCAGCATCAGCATTGACTACTGGTTCTACCTTTTCGACTACCTTTTTCTCTTCTACTACTGCTGGCTTGACTTGTTCAACTGCAACCTCTTCCTTTTTACCTTCAACATAGACGTCGGCAAAAAGACGTTGGCCGTATGCGTTTCCTTCTGGAGTAAAGAGCTTCCAGTAACCAATGTAACGACCTGGGGTAGATGGGGCGACAAGGTTGATGGCGACATCGACGTCGTTGCCTGGAAGGGCTGGTTCGACAGTCACACCGTCTGGCGATGACATACGGTCACCAGAAACAAAGGAAAGAGTGGTATTCTCTGGCCATTGTTGGTTACCGTCGTTACGAAGACGCCAGATTTTGGTGAATCCTTGACCTGGGGTCAAAAGAGATCCATCCTTGGTGGCCATATCCGATACATAACGAGAGAGGTATCTATTCTTGTTTTGACATCCCCAACGTCCACGACCATTCCATCCACCACCACCAAATCCACCATAGTATCCACCATGATGTGGTGGTTGTTGTTGTTGTTGTTGATCAGTGTTGTTGTTGTTGTTGTTATGGTGGAATTGACGCCATCCATATTGGAATCTTGGACAACCACCACTGGTAGAGGTACCAATGGGAGTGGTAATGGAATACATTTGATGATAGGTTGGATGAATGGCATCTCCCTTCTCCTTGCATGATTCACAGAGGTCATAGTTTGGACAAACAGCACACTTGTGTCTGATACCAAAGATTCCCATATTACATCCATCACAAACTACTCCTGGATGTTCAACCTTGTTGTTATTGTTGTTAACATCTTGAGTTGCTGGTGAAGCAGGGGCAGCAGCAGCTGGTTGAGCAGAAGCAGAGGTGGTATCAGTTGGATTGGTATTCAATCCCTTGAGAGAATCAAGAGTTGATTGAACCAAAGAATTGATCCAAGTTGGGTCACTGAGATTTTGGAATACTGATGAAATGTCGGATTGGAGTTTGGTGGAATCGACATTGTTTGCAGCAGCAACACCTGCATTGTTCAAATTCTTGAAAAGTTCTGGTCCGATGATAGATGAGACCAAATGATGCAAGTTTGGTTGTTGACATGATGCATTGTCAGTAGCTGAGGCTGGAGCAGATGGTTCAGCAGAAGCAGCAGCAGGTTTGGTGACAGCCAAACGCAAGAGACGTGGTTTGTTGGCAGAGATCATAGAGATGGCCTCTTTCATTTCCATCTCTGACGACAAGGTGATTTGGTCACCATCTTCATCAGTATAGGTAATATTGAATGGATCAATCTTGAATAAATTCTTTAATGTACCATACAATTCTTCAAATGTTGGGTCTCTTTCAAATGATCTAAAAGAAATAAAAAAAAAAGAGAGGTTAATAAATATTATGAATAATTTCTTAAAAAAAATAAAAGAATTGTAATTATAATTATATTTCTTTGTACATACACTCTTCTGTTATCGCCTTGATGGGTTGCTTTAATAATTAAATTGTTACTCATTTTCTTTAAGATCTATTTTTACTCTATTTGAAAATGATATTGAATGAATGAATGAATGTTGAATGATTTATCTACAAATATCTTTAAAAACTACTGCTACTACTATATTAAAACAATCTTTACAAAAATTATACTATTATTATTATTAAACTCTTTTTTTTTTTATATTGGTTATCTTTTTAATTATCTAATCTATAAGTTCTATTTATCACTATTCGAATTAGGTTATCTATCTATCTATATTATTATTATTAATTATGAAAGTAAATTATTGTTTTTTACTCTCTTCAAGTGGTCACCAATTTATTAATTTCATGTAAAAAAACAAAAATTAATTTAAATCAAAATTTGCAGGTCATAATGTGTAATCATTACACTTCTATGAAACCATACTTGTTTTGCTGAGTCAGTTGGAGTCATAATACAAAGTACTGATGAATTTCGATGATATTCAGTCGAATTACACACAATACAAATACATCATCTTCCATCAACGAGAATTATAATTATCTAGATCGTAGTAATCACATGACTTGATAATACAATAGTTTACATTAAAGAAGCAGGAGGTGTCTGTCAGCTGACTGACCACCTTTCTTTAGATAGTTTACAAGATAGGTTTATTATCTACGCATGTTGATTGTATGTACTATATATCATAGTGTGTTTGTGATTGTTTATTATTTAAGTACATCCATTATTTAATTAAAAGATTGTTGTGATTGGCTTGCAAGTAAAGTAAAAGTAACAACTTTCAAAGACGTATATCAGTGTCGAAAAGCAACAACAATAATAATAATAATAATAATAGCGATTCTTTGATTATTATATTATCAAAGTGTTGCATAGCCAAATTTGTAGAGCTCTATTCTTTGTTTCTCAAAGTGTTAACATAACACATGACATGTTTCTTTTCTCTCGTTTATCGACAACGGAACGGGTCAAAGATAGATTGTTACGCAAGGCATACCTCCTCCAAAGGTCAATATAACATCCTCGACAGCGGTAGTATCAATATGCTAATAATACATATTGGGAGATTGCAGGCCGACTAGCCAAACCATTGGGAATCAATCAATATTAGTATCATCATCATCATTGCTATTCTCTTTTATAATGTTTAGAGATCAGTAAAATCAATCATTATTGATAACATGTTGGAATAATCAGATGATGTTGGGATGATGGGTAAAACAACATTGTTAGCAATGAAGAGGTGGCGAGTTCTCCTAGTTCCCCCAATATCATTTTGATTTAGTAAAATCATGCATCTGAACCGAATCACCCGCGTCCAAATCAAAACACCACCACAAAGATGTCAATCTGCCATTTAAAAGATCCTCTACTAATTCCATTGTCATTGCCCCCATCATGTAGCTATTACCAAATATATCCATACCTCCTCCTCTGGACATACGGATTGTCAAACATACTAAAAATGCGTTGGGAGTATACTCTTTGACTGATCATCAGCTGATAGGATGTACACAACCGAAAAAGGGAAAAAGGCAAAAAGATATCAAATCGAATGGGATCAACTCTCTCCAATCTCTCTCGCCATATTGACCAATATCATACTCGTCAGCCGATTGTATTGAATCCAAAAACTATAAATAAGTACAAGAATGGAGTCTTCAAATCATCAAATCAAAATCAAAATCAACTAATAATCAAATCAACAAATAATATTAAATTATAACAACCAACAAATAATTCAACCATACAAAATATTTATTTATTTATTTTAAAATCATGAAATTATTATTATCAATTTTATTCATTGCATTATGTCTATCGATTGCAAAGGCAAGTGTACCAGATGTTTCAAATTCATATTTGGGAGCTGGTGATCCTGGTGTTTCTCATTTCCCATCGTATCTGGGTCTAAAGATGCATATTCGTTGCTATGCCAATGTGACCACTGCCAATCAAAACGGACCTATTGCCTTATTTGACGCCGGTCTTCCATTCTTTTCGACTGCTTGGGTTTCCATCATTCCATCGGTTCTCCAAAACATGCCAGCCTGGAACATTAGCAAAGCCTGCTTTATGGACCGTTACGGATACGGTTGGAGTGACGTTTCGCCAATTCCAGTTATTACTCAAGACTATGTCATGCGTCTCCATGGTTCTCTCGCAGTTGCCGGTCTCACTGGAAAATACATCCTCGTTGGTTGGTCTTGGGGATCGATCTTTGTCCAAACCTTCTCGCTCACCTATCCCAAAGAAGTAGTCGGAATTTTGACAGTAGATGGAACTGACAGTAAATGGGGATTGATTCCATCCAACCAACAAGCTGTACTAGTCTACACTGATGTGATGCGTGGATACATCAATATGAACAATATGGGTACTCTTGAACCATTGGCTAGATCTGGATTAGTATATTCCTACTATGGATGGTTACCAAATGAATTGGTCTCTTCTGGATACACTCCATGTTCTCTCAACGCCTCTCAAGAAGTTCTACTTGACACTACCAACAAATTCCTCAAGACCGCTCTCCAAGAGTACAACATCATGGTCATCTCTTCTGCACTTCTCAACTTTACCTATGCCATCAAAGGTCCAAACCCACTCAAGGATTTGCCATACGTCAATGTCTACAGTTCCTACGACACTGATCCCGAATGGACCACCCGTCAAACATTCATGGCTTCTCTCTCTTCCAACTCATTGGCTGTTCAATTCACAACTGGCCATTTCTTTGTTTTCCATAACCCAACTGCCATTGTCTCTGGTCTAACTGCTCTTACCAACAAAATTGCTACCAACCCTGCTCAACAATGGGGTCAAGGTAATGGTTTCTTTTACAACTAAAATCAATATCATAAATCCATCCACCAATGAATAATTTGTTTGTTAAATAAATATATTTTCTTTTTTAAAAGTTTATAGAATCTATAATATCATAATATCCAGTTTGTTTGTTTGTTGATCCAATTCTCATTAATTGTAAACTATTAAATTGTTGAATTCCAAAATCTTGATCTTTAAATCTTTCACTCTCCTAAATTAAATGAATTAATAATCATTGATCAATCAATTACATTTGTTCAATCTAAATCTATTTCATACCTTTGTAGCACGTAACATTGCACCATCTTTTTGACCCTTTGCAAGGGTGATATGAGGAGACCAACGATCTTCAACTTGAATATTATTATCTTGGAATAATTTAAGTAGTTTACCATAGAATACAGTTAATTTAGACTTATCATCTTCTTTAAGACCTGCCCAAATTACTCTATCATTAAATGATCCAATTCCTCTAAAAATAGATAATTAATTAATTATTGATTCACGTGATCATGTTTCATTACTCTCTCTTCTATTTCATTTCTACATACACAATAGAAGAAGATGGTATAACATTATCAAATGTTTCATTCATTAATGTCTTTGCTTGTGGTAAAAGAGTCTTGATGAGTGCTAGTTGAGTTGGTACATCATCCAATGTCATAACAAATAGAGTTAGATGTAACTTTTCAATTGCAATTATACTCTTTTTAGCATCTGGTACTCTTCCACCAATATGATTTTGTATTTGTTTCAATTGATCTATAATCGCTTGATTATCAATTTGTAAACCCAAGAAATAATTTGGTCTTGGTCCTCTGTTGACGTTATTATTATTGTATTTTACTCCTGACATTCTTGTTGTTGATGATCGTTGTTTAGTTGTAGAAGTAGTATATGATCTAGATGTTTGATTAATAATACAATGTCGAAGTGCTCTTGAAATCATTCGTTATCAGTTGATAATGATCACATCGTGTTTGTGTAAAGTGAGATGAAGACAAGAAAAATTAAAGATATAAATTTTATAATTCTTCAATCAATATATTTTTTAGATATTTTTTTAATATTTATTTCTAGAATGGATATTATTATTATTATTATTATTATTAATGGATATTTCTCTCTATTTCTCTATCTTTTCTATCTTTTTTTTGTTTTTAAAAAGTAGTTAAATAAGACATTGAAGATAAATTTGTTAAAGGACCAGAAGTTAATAATAAATTTCTTCTAGAGAATGTTACATTAAATATAGGAGTTTGTCTGGTTGGATAGGTTTCGATTAATTCTGGTGATACTCTTTTTTGTTTGAGTCTGGATTTTTTGTTGGCTGCATTTTGTTGAGATGATCCACCCATTGATTTGCTGGTTGGTGTTTCGATAATCGGTTGTCCATTGACACTGAGACTGCTTGTAAGTGCTTTGTTTACATCCCAAAGACGTACCGTTGAATCGGTCGATGCCGACGCCAAAAGATTTCCATCCATTGAAAAGTCAAGACTATGAACAGTCTTGGCGTGACCCTCTAGCGTTTTCATTTTTCTTCCAGTTGATAAATCCCACAAGATGACACTACTATCCTCACCGCCGGTTGCCAAGAATCGTCCATCTGGTGAGAATGCCAAACTGTATACAGGTGCTCTATGTCCCATCATAATACGTACACACTTTCCAGTATGTGCTTCAAAAAGTCTTACAGACTTGTCACTTGATACAGTTGCCAAATAATTTATATTTGGATGAAATTTAACACTCTAAAAGGTAAATAAATAAAAGTAATAAGTAAAATAAATAATAATTATTATTTCTATTTTCTATACATACATTTACATCAGATAAATGACCAGTAAAAATTCTTAAAGGTGAAAGATAATTGGTTGACCAAAGACGAGCTGTTTTATCGTGACTGGCGGTTGCAAAGTAATATCCATAGGGTGAGAATTGTACATCCCAAACTGGGTAATTGTGACCCTTGTAACACACTAAATTGGACATGGTCTCTAATGACCAAAGTCTAGTGGTACAATCCTCTGAACATGATAAAATAAATTGATTGTCTGGACTAATCGAAGTTCCATAAACTGGTCCACTATGTCCAACAAATGTTTTAAAATGACTATCAATATTTGATGTAGATGAAGATGAAGAAGTAGAATTAGAAGTAGATGAAGTTGAAGTTGTAGTAGTTGTAGTAGTTGAAGTAGTTGATGATGAAATTGTTTTTCTTTTGTTTGATGAACTATTTGATTGTTCCAATGATGATAAATCTGTATTTACGACGTTACTCGACGATCCACCACCTTCAGCCAATTCCTTTAAATTCCACAATTTTACAGATGAATCTGAAAATCCACCAACTACCATACTAGCATCTCTAGCAATATCAATACTATTTAATCCTTGATAGGTATTGAAAAATGTAAAACAACAAATCGATGGTAATGAAGATGCTGATAAAGATACACATTTTGATATATCATTATTTAATTCTGCTTCAAATGCATCAGTACTAAAGAGAAAAAGTTAATAACCATCCATATTAATATTTTCTTTTGTTTCTCTCTTACAATTTTGGTAAAGGAACATTTGATTTTGATCTACATAATCTATCATCTTCTTTGGTTGGTTTCTTTTTCTTTAATTTTTTTGATTTTTCTTCATCCTCCTCTTCATCATCTGGTTTGAACAATCCACTATAAATGGGAACTGAATTTACATTACTTGTATCAATTTCACTTTGTCCAGATATTAAATTTTCATCATCTAATATTCCTGGTCTTGTATTTATAACTAAATGGAAAAAAAGGTATTAATAATTAGATTTAATCTATTTTTCTTTTTCTATTTACCTTTAATATTAAAATATTGATTTATAATACTAATGATTGGAATAAATTTAGATTCATGTAAAAATGCCATTAAAAGTTCAAATGAATAGGCACACATCTTTAAGTTCCATCTATTGTTTCTAAATGTATATGCCAATTCGTTTTCCTTTAAATGATCACTATTTCTAATACCTCGTAACAACTTTAAATCATCACCATAAAATTCTTCATGTTCAGGTCCAAGTTTTTCCATCAATTCTATTGCTACAAAAATAGAGAATATTAATAAATAAATAAATAAATAAATAAAAATAGTCTTGATTTGTTTTTGTTTTTGATTTGACATACCTTCTTCAGAATAACCTTTTGAAATTAAATCAATATAACAATGAACAAATACAGGATATAAAAGTGATAGGAATTCGTATTTATAGATATCCAAAGATTGATGAATCCAATTTCTCAACTTTACATAACTATCCATATATTTTTGTGGATTCAAATACTCTTTTTGATTGTAAAATAAGAGGTATTGAGATATATTACTGACATCCAATTCACTATTTGAAGATGATGATGCACCACTTGCTCCAGTAGTACCATTTGTATGACTATTTGATGATGTTGCAGTAGTTGTATTACTACTACCACTACCACTACCACCTTCTGATATTGCAGGATCATCCAAATTTGATTCTTGTTTAAATACACTCTCGGCATTAGAGTAGCCTCGCTTTCTTAGATACTCTAGTACTGCCAAATCAATCTCTTTTTCTCTTGCTGTTGATGGTGTTGGTGATGATGTTGATGATGATGATGATAGAATCGTTGTAATTGTTGTTGTTGTTGGAGCAGTAGTAGTATTAGTTGTAGTTGTGGTTGTAGGAGAAGGAGTAGGAGTAGTTTGAGAAGCAGCAGCTAAACTATTAGTCATTGTTGTTGGAGTTCCAATGATATTAGCCATTGAATTAGGTGAAGGTGTTGAAACGGTTACATTATTTCCGGGTGTTGATGGTGATGTCACTGATGATGTAGTTGTAGGTACTATAGGATTTGTTGTTGATGATGTTGATGATGATGGTGAAGTTACTACCGTCGTAGTATTACTATTAGTACTAGATGATGCTACTACAGGTACAGCAACAGCAACGTTGGTTGAAGGAGGTGCAGTAGTAGTATTAGTTGTCGTAGTCGTAGTTGATGATGATGATGATGATGACGATGATGGTGTAGTCGGTGTCGTATTTTGAGGAGGAGTAGAGGTATTCATCTTTGTCGTCTTCCTTCTTCTTCTCTTTCTATATCGATTAAACTATATAAATAGCTAGCTCTATATACCAACAAACTAACTACTATCAATCTATATATATATCTATCTATCTATCTATCTCTTTTCTAAAATGAATTCTTCATTTCAAAATTCAGTACAAGATTAAAAAAAACAAAAAAAGAGAGGGAGACAAAGTCACATGGTATTATTTGATTTTCAGTAGAAGACCAATTATTTGTTTATGTATTTATTTGTTTATTTATTTGTTTATTAATATATTGATTCAATAGTCCTTCATCTTAATCACAGTGTGAAGGACGTACCGAGAAGGTATTTATTTACAGATGTAAGTTATCATTCTAATATCATTCATTGTATCCATCATCTTTACACTAGTGTTCAATAAATATTAATATTAACTAATTTATTGATTGGATTTTAGTGACATGATCAAAATGATGATGATGATCTGAATCGGAATCTGAAGATGATACATTTTCAATATCGTTTTGATTCTTGCCTATATTAATGTCATCTCGAGAATCTTCTTCTTCTTCTTCTCTTTGATCTTCTGATAGGAGGAGGACCAATTCTAATTTATTGCCATTCTCTTCTTGACATCCTAAAGGATACACTCGCAATAGAATAAAAGACAAGCCAAATGAAATAAACATAACACCACCATCGATGATGAAATGCATGCCTGGAAAGTAAATGGGCGACCTGCTGGAAATGAAATAAGAAAATATATTCTCCGATGCTAGAGCTCCACAGAATGCAGATGCTGATGAGAGTGCCACTACACCAGACAAGACAGTTGCCTGCATGTCACTTGGTGCTGCCTTTGATAGCGTCGATTGCACAACATTCAATATAAACATACTAAATGATCCGAAACAAATCGATGCTGAAAACATCCATTCATTTACTGATAGCGCATAAAGAATATGGCATATTGATGATACTAAAAATGCCAAACAATAAACTACTCTTTCAGCTTTAAATAATTAAATTAAAGTAAGTAATTAATAAATAATTAGGAATAATAAATAATTTGTTAATAATACAATACATTTATATTTTAAAATCCAAGAGAGAAAACTCCAAATCAATAGAGAAACACCTATTAAACTGGTGAGTATATTGTTTGGATCGGGACCCCATCCAAACCGAATATTGGAATAGTTGTATTGAGTAGATGTACTATCCATAAAGGAGAAACTAAACGTAAAGTATACGATGGAATAGAGACCGATAAACTTGCTTATTTTGAATAGATTGATGATTGAGCGTACTGGATTCTTTGATCCTCCTTTTTTGTCCTCTAAATTCTTTGATGCATCTTGTTTGTTTTTTTTTGAGGGAGAAGAATTCGAATGTTGGCATTCATCATCGCCATCAGCATGCTGATCCTCTGATCCTCTACCGACTCTTATACCATTCCTAAAATGATATGATTCTTTTAGAGGGACTAAAATGGATATGGCTAGGACAAGTAATACACAACCAAAGTATTTCAAGTAGATAGGTTCCCAATTCATAAATCCCATGCCAATCATCGGGCCACATATTGTACCTATACCAAGCGTTGTACCGAGAAGTGAATAAATACGAGGGCGCTCTTCTTGCGAGGTAATGTCGGCAAAGTAGGCGTAGAATAATGGTGTCGTGGCAATACAAAGACCTCGAATAAAACTTGAACAAAACATTGGCCACACTACCCAATACTTGACAGAGACGATAGTTACGATGGCATCAATCAACGAACTGGATATCGCCAACATGGCCAACTTCTTTCTACCCTTTTGGTCGGCGATCATACCAATCAAAGGACAAAAGAAAAAGCCCGATGCAAACGGCAACGCATCAACAATCGATTGTAAATGTGATGCTTGTGAATCAATTTGGGATTGTGAATAATTTGGATTATAATGTCTAACATATCCTTCATACATCCACCTAAAAAATAAATAAATCATTAATGTATATAAGTATCAGTATAATTTAATCTATAGCTATATGGATTAGACCCCCCTAGTCTATAGGGTTGGTTACATACGGTGTAAAGGAAGTTTGCGAAAAGTATTGAACTTGTAGTAAAATCATACATAGAGAAACACCCAATTTTTCTTTCAATAAAGATTCTTTATCTTTCAGTGGATAGGAATAGTTAACTTGCTCTTTAACTATCAATGTGCATTGTTCCTCTTCTTTTTTCTCTTCACGTGTCATATTATTCTTTTTTTACAATGCTGTTATTCTCTATCTATTATTTTGGGTCATATGGGGTGGATGGTAGACCTTCACACTTTTGATTCATCCCAATTTGATTTTTATTAAATATCTAAAGTTCTTCTCTTCACTATTTAAATAGTTTATATTTATTATTAAAACTCAGTTTGAGTAGGGTAGGTACTTTGAATAAATGATCGAATCAACTCGGTTTTGAATTCTGTTTCGATTTTGTCATCTATGGTAGTGAGGAGTGTTACTGTAGATAAAAAACGTTTCGATTCGCGAAATACCTTCTTCGCAACTCATCAATTATGATAACAATCTGTTAATAATAGTTGTAATAGTGGTTTCCATTATCTTTTTGTGTAAAATTTGGATTATAATGTCCAACAACATAACTTTCATATTTATTTTTATAAGATTACTAGAGCATTTTTAACCATTCTTTGATGGAATTGTAATGTAGAACCTGGATCGATTGATGATGGTTTTGGGACAAGATCTAAAAACTTTAAGTCAATCAACTCGGTTTTGAATTCTCTTTCGAATTTGTCTTGGTCATGTGATATGATGGTGTGGAGTGTGTCACAGTAGAGCATAAACGTTTCGATTGTAGATACGACGGGATAGAGAGTGATGAAAAACGTGAGGAATCCTTGTTCCACAATCTCAGCCATTTCATCTGGTGTCATTGACTGTACCGTTTGGAATAGAACCCATAGGATTCTCGTGGCTGACGAATCATTGATACTGAACTTGGTGTCAATAACATCTAGTAATCCAGCCGAGGAGTTGGTCGTGTCATCAACTTGGAATCTTCCAGAGACCACCATGTCTTGAATCGTCTGGATGAGTTTACTGGCAATGATGACACGCTTTGGTGCGATACTTGCCAAAATGGAAAAGATGAATAGGATCGTATCAATGAGTTGATTGTTATCCAACAATGTCAACAATTTAATAAAGACTGTCGACAATGATTCAAAGGTAAACAAAATATCGGTGGAGGGGTCAATACGCACATCCAAGATACCGGAAATGAGTTGCGTACAGCTATCCAACAAAAAGTACCAGTCGTCTGTAAAGGTGCCATCGTAACGATTGAGAGTGTCAATGACAAACTGGTCCAATGCATACTGCTTCAAGACGGCCGTGTCTAATGCTGGGTGTGGCAACAATTGTCTGAGGATATTGACAATATATCTGGCGATGGATTGGTCAGCGACCAATGTTTGACCCAATGTTGGCAAGATATGGTTGGCTATTTCACTCCATTCGAGTGGTTGCGATTCAAAGGTACTGCCAGTCAAGTGCGTAAAGATGGTTACAATTTCATTTGAAAATCTGAGAGCATCTTTTCCCATGCCGGCAATGAGCTTGAGCAATCCAAGATTGGTCACTACATAATGTCCCCATTGCAAACTTGTTTCAACAATCTTTTCAAAGATGTAAAATGTCGATCTGACAGGTTGAACCAATTCCACATCACTATAATGACTCAATACATTATAAAAGATTGGTAATGTACTTTCTTTAACCAAATATTCAAATCCAACTGTTGAATCTGTAAAGTTTAATAATAATCTATATGATTCATTCTAAATGTTCAAAAAAAAGAATATAGAATATTAATATAATTTTACTTATTATTGTACCTGTCTATCTATGTATACATACACAAACAAGTTGAACATATTCTTTAGATGATTGATCAGTCAACCTGAATTGATTCAATTGTAAGTTTAACTTGGCCAATTCATCAGCAGCAGAAGCATTCTTGTTAGAGTTAAGGGACAATACATCAAATGAATCTTTGGCGATAGATAGAATACTTGAAACGGCATCAGACTTGACAACCTGATCGACCACATCCCATTCAGCCTCTGGTAACCCAGTATAAACCAATGATCTTAAAGCCATCAATGCAAACAATACATTCTTTCCATTCTTTAAATCATCAATTATTTTTGATAATGTTAATAATCTCTAGATATACAGAAATTATATTAAATTAATATTTATACAATTAATTTAATTGTATTTAATATTTATAATTAATTACATACTCTTTGTTTTACATTTGAAAGTACTTGATTTGATAAATCTTGTTGATCGATATTTGGGAATGCAAATGCCAAGTCATTAACACCACGACATGAACTAAACTTGATGAATGCAGAAGATAGTGGTGCGATACGTTGTCTCCACAGATCGGCAGCCTCTACAGAGGTAGTAGGGGCCAACAGGTTGTTGAGAATGATTGAACAGGCAACCCATCCAATCACATAGAGACGGTAATCTTCCGTTTTGGTAGCATCAATCGTACGGACCAAATCCAAGATCAATGACAAGTCCGAGTCACCACTCCCAGAGACTGCTGTGGTTTCCAGCCCGACGAGTGAAACAACCAACTCCTCCAGTATGTTTTTCAAGCCATCAAGTCCTGGACCTAATTCTTTTAATTTCTGATATTAATAATAATAATACAACAATCTATTAGTACTAATTATAAATAATGAATGTGTAACTTCATCATAGACTAGACTACTTACACCTAAATCACTCGTGAATCTGTTAATAATAGTTGTAGTTGCAGTTGTATCCATTTTTCAACCCGGTTATTATCTGTTAATGTAATTGTTATATTTGATTTAATGATGATGAGTTGACGAATGATGAATGATGATGATTGAAGCTTTGCTATTTCTACATTTCTAAATTGTCTTAAACCGTAATCAAAATTAATATGCGACAAGTGACCTTCTAAAAAGATAGTTTGTTAATCCCGGGAAATTAAAAGAGATATTATTTGATATTTGATGTTGTGTATGGACACAATTTTTCGTGAGTACATATAAATGGTAAAGTCCAAGAAGAAGTCAGAATATGGATGTGGCAAACAATCAATATCGATTACTATTAGTCAGATAGTTTGGTAGTATGATAAATGATTCGTTAATAATTCTAATTTATGAAATAAACAACTTGACGATGTCTTTAATCCTTGAGAACCTTAAACCAACACACAAAATTGCTAAACTTATATCTAGCTCTATCTAACTAACTAACTATACCAACTTTACTAGTATCTTTCTATCAATCGATCTATCTACTCTTATTTAAAATGATTATCTTCAATTCAAAAAAAAAAAAACAAAAAAGAGAGAGAGATAGAATGACACACATGCAAGATGTGTAAATTTAATATTATTAGTATTAATATTAATATTATACTATTAAAAAATATGTATTACATTTGGTACCGTTTATTGAATCGGTAAATAAATAAAGGAAGGAATGTGTGTGTGGACTGGATCGACTACATTTGTCTTGATAGAGATTCTATGTTTTTGTCCATGTCAGCGATAGTTCCATCAACCCAAGCATCTCTCCATTGTATGGCTACACTTTTGATTGCCTTTCTAGCAGCCACTTCCACATCCTTTTGTATAGGTGTACACTTATGAAACTCTATCACATTGCAATTAAACCAATTCTTTTTGGTAAAGACTACTGCAAACCACTTGACATTGTCACCTCCAACCGATCGATTCAAACAAATTCCCTTTGACGTACCTGGTTTGATCTCACCCAATCCTCGATCAGAACCCATCCATTGTCGATAGTGTGAGTTGTAATAGACCGCTCCATAATGAATCATCATCTCTTCATTGGTATTATTGTTGATATAGATGATCGATGATCTCTCCCCAACATATTGTACTCGGTCAATACAATTATCAGACCGTGGTGATAATATCAAACCATTGATAGGTAATGGTTTTGTTATAAACTCTCCTCCTCCCTTTGTACTTGTACTTGTATTTGATGTTGATGATGATGAAGAAGTAGGATTTGAATTAGCTAATTTTAAAAGTCTTGATTCAGTTGATTGATCTTTAAAATATTGTAGGGGAGTATAACCATCTTTGTTACGTTGATTGATGTTGGCACCACTAGTGATGAGCAACTCTGATACGTTGACATGTTGGTTTCCAGCTGCATAGTGTAATGGTGATCTAGAGTCCCATGACAATGCATTAATGTCAGAGCCACTCGATATGAGCTCCTTGGCAACATCATAGTGGCCGTGCCAAGCAGCACAATGCAAAGGGATCCCCAATGCACCCGTTTTATGTGCATTGACATCTGCTCCCTTTGCAATAGAAAGATAGAACAAAGATGCAAAGAGATCAAGCATTTGATGCTATTAGAAGAGGTGATTTAAATGGACTTTGTAGAATACTAGATTCTTCACGATTATCTCCCAACATCCGAGAGGCACAGGGTGAGCAATGGACATTACTTCATATGGCATCGGAACTAGGCATGCTTTCGATTGTAAAGTATCTCATTGCAATCAATCTATCTAAAATGATTATCTCTTTATGCTATTAAAAAAAAAAAACAAAAAAGAAAGAGTGGGAGACAGAATGCATGAACAACATGCATGTCAATGTGTATATTAAATTTATTAATATTTAATTTATTGATTGATTATTTGATTTATTATTGATTTACAATGGAAGACCAACAACATCTAAACCCTTGAAATTCTCAAAATAGGTGTCTTGTTGAGATTCCATTTCTTCGAGGTTGGAATTACAGTTTGAAAAGACGTAGTATTGGGTGCCACCTGGATAGTATGGGTTTGAATTGCTAGCATAGACGGCAACCAAACTGAATGGGTTGAGGAGTTGACCCTTGACATTGGTGTATCCAGAGATGGAGAAGGTGCCTGGGGTGTAGAGTGTTCCCAATCCGGTAAAGGTGTTGTCGGCTGGGTTGACGGTACAGTTGACAAGGAAGGTGTTTGAGAGACCACCAACTCCATAACTTTGGAAAGTGTTGCCAGTGCTGGTAACATTGGTATAGGTTAATTGACCACATGGTTTAGCTGCTGTTTGCCAAATCCATCTTCCTGAAAGTACAGCTAGAATATAATAAAAAATTGATTGAAATAAATAAATATATTACTTCTTTCTCTATGTTTCAAACATATATCTATCTATCTATCTATCTATCTATCTATCTATCTATCTATCTATCTATCTATCTATCTATCTGTTTGTTTAGTAAAACATAACATACAAGCAGCATTTGAGATTGCAATAATAGCAAAGAGCAAAGAGATAACAGTAATGATTTTGTACATTATTTATGTGTGCTTATTAACAAGTAATGAGTGATTATTGTGAAACGATGATAATGAGGAAGTAGTAACTCGGTTGAGCTCTTTGGAACCAGAAAACTTGTCATTACAACCACACTTTTCGAATGCTCTGAAGATCAGATATTTATTCAAAAATCGCGTCGACCTGACCATAGACGTCAATGTTAAGATCTCTGTTATTTTTTCCATGTGGCTTCGTAACATTTAAAAACAAAACAATCCCTTTTACTCGAGGATGGTTGTTGGAACAATATTGCATCATTGAAACAAATAATATATAATCAAATATTTAATAATACATCCCTGGAATAGTCATAGCTGTTGGTTTTTTTTTTGATACCCAAGTGGAATCATTTGTGAAAGCTTTGATATAAAGAATTATTGTATTTTATTTATATAGTTTATTTAATTGTTTGTGTTGGTTGATCAAGATCAATCAATATATATATATGTATATAAGTTGATGATGGAAATGTACATTAATATTATGCGTGATTAACCATGAGGTTAAGCATAGAACGCGGTTTTGTTACCAGGAGACGTATCTACTATAAATTCAATATCGTGTCAGTATGTTAGGGGCAGGGGTAGGAATATAGGGTCGGGGGGAACATACCAGGTTGGCCACCTCCAACAAGTTGGGGTTTTTTTATTAATTGCTTGATAATTTTCATTGTTAGTAAATAAATATGTGTCTCTTTAAAGATGAGGAAGAAAGAGAAAGAATTCATGTAATAATATGAACGTCGATTTTATTTAAATAGATGGTTGTTGTTGTTGGTTGGTTGTCGGGGTATCCCACCAATATTTTCAAGCCCTTCCCTCAAAAGATTGGATCTTTTGAATTAAAGAAACATTGGGCGAAATATCTTTTTCCAATGATTAATAACAATAACGTGTTTATTATAAACGGGATCAACAGTTGATGATTATTGATCAAATATCCAATTCCTCTCCTCTATCTCTCCGATGATGAGATTTTCTTGATCTCAAAATCTCAAGTTTAACAACAATCCACTGTTATAACTTTTGTGTACCAATATCCAAAGATCATCCCTTGGTTAAGTATACCAACTTTCAAATACTATTACTATGGGGGAGATTAATTGATTGATTTTACATATAATAATAATAAAGATGATTTTGATAGATTTGATTTATTTTTTTGTTTAGAACCAACCCTTCTTTTGTTGTGGTTTGGCTTGTTCTTGTTGTTGTGCAGCAGATGCAGCAGCGATAGCACCAGCATTCATCTTTGAGTGTACTTTTTTAAAGGTTTCCATCCACTTTTCAGTGCATCTCTCGGCACACAATGATTCACCAACAGCCAATTCACTGTCACTATATTTCATAACACACTTTGATGCACATGCTTTTTGTAAACTATATATATATATAGATACAAATATATATTGATTAATACTTTCTTCTTCTTCTTCTTCTTGTTGTTATATCTATCATCACTTGACTCGACTCGATCTCTCTCTCTCTCTTCATCTATCCTCGTCTGTCATGAGTGTTGATTGATTGATTGTGTAAATGATCTCTAACCTTTCAAACAAGTTGGCATAAAACTTGATTTCAATTACTCTAGCTTCAAAATCATCCATCTCTTTATGAAATATGTATATATATAGATATAATGAATAAGTATAATACTTGTATTGACCAATATATCTAATCGATTGTGTGATCATTCATTCCCTGTCGTGTTTCGCTTTTTTTTTTTTTTTTTCCCCTCAAGTATGCATGTAAATTCGTCGTCATCATGAAGATTAATCAATCTTGGTTATATAATTATTTGTTATTATTAATATTATTTGTTTGTTTATTTTATTTTATTTATTTAACAAGAACAGACCAATCACTTTCAATTTCACCATATTGAATACCCATGATAGTGTCTGCGATACGAGAGGTGAGCGGACCGGCACCCTTGGCGGCGTCGATTGGGATGGGGTATTCTTCACCCTTGTATGAAATGCTCTTGATGGGTGAGACGATGGCAGCGGTACCGGCGCCAAAGGCCTCCTTGACACGACCCTCTTTGATGGCACGAGCCAACTCTGACATGGTGAATGCGCGTTCCGACACCTTGAACTCACCCCATTTGGCAGCCAATTGGAGGATAGAGTCACGGGTGACACCAGGCAAGATGGTGCCGTCGGTGAGGGGTGGGGTGATGAGCTCGAGCTCGCCTTGGTTGTTCTTCCAAAACACAAACATGTTCATGGTGCCAACTTCGGTGATTTGGTCGTTCAACAACCACAATACCTGTTGATAGCCCTTTTTGGCGGCATCCAATTGTGGGAAGATGGTGGGGGCATAGTTGCTGCCCAACTTGTAGGCTCCGCTACCGCCAATCCATGCTCTAATGTAACGGTCGTCGGCCAACAATCTGACGGGCTTGAATCCCTCGGGGTAGTATGGACCGACCGGTGAAGCAATCACAAACATGAGTGCAGAGCTGCTAGCGCCAACACCCAAACTCTTTTGTGTGGCAATCATCGTTGGACGTAAATATAATGAGAATCCCTTACCCTCTGGAATCCAATCCTTGTCAATTAATACCAACTTTTTAATTAATTCAATGACTGCTTCTTTATCAAATGCCTAAAAAAACAAACAAAATAAAAAGAGTAAAAGAGTTAGAACAATGAATGAATGAATGAATGAATGATCAATCATAAAGATAAATCATCATTTCCTCTCATACTGGTAAACAGAGTCTTTCAGCAGATCTTTGGAATCTTTCCATGTTGGCCATTGGTCTAAACAAACGAACGTTTCCTTGTGCATCTTTGTATGCTTTCATACCTTCAAAACACTATAGAAAGAATATAAATAATGATTAGTCTATGTATACATATATTTCTTCCTTTTTCATTTCGTTTCATACTTCGATAGCATAATGGAATACAGAGGCAGAGGGAGGTAATGAAAGGTTGTGATATGCAGAGATCTTTGGAGTACTCCAACCCTTTTCAGAGTCCCATTCAACCTCGGCCATATGATCGGAAAACTCTTTACCAAAGACCAACTTGCTCTTGTCGGCTGGCTTTGCCAATGGTGCCTTTGTCTTTTCAACAATCAATTTACCAATCTATACACAATATAAATATAATATAATATATATATTGAAAACATATTCATTAGTAAATACTCTTTGTTATTGTTGCTATTGTTGTTGTTGTTGTTGTTGTTGTTGTTTAATGACTCTCTTTGCTAATAATCTGTGCACACATACATCAATCTTGAATTTGTCAGCAACCGATGATGAAGTTGAATATGATGGTTTGAATGATACAGAGGCAGCATTCTTTACCAGTGAACTAATAATTCTCTTTGATCCTATCATTTTTGTTGTTTATGTTTTTATATATATATTTATGAGAAATAAGACAAAGCTAGAATATTTTGTTTGATGATCAAAGCAAGCAAAAAATAATTTGATAAATTAATTTTTTTTTTTTTGATGAATGTCCTGGGAAGAGTTGATGATTCAATTTCAAACAAGTCGAAATTGACAGAGAGTAAACGAGTACATACTATCTTAGTTTAATATCGCTCACCCACCACCCACCAAATTTGTAAATAAAATAAATAAAACAAAAAGAAGCTGCTTCTCTTGTTTCTCTCACCTCACATGATTTTTTTTTTTCTAAACTTGCAAAACTATTTATTTATCTTTATCTTTTCTTATATCTCTTTTCAAATCATATGATTATTTGGCAAATAATAATAATTATATAGTAAACCTTTAGAAACTCAAAATAGATACATCATCATCTTTTTTACCACCAGGTACGATGTTACATGCTCTCTATCTCTAGGTTTCTTTCTTTCAAAAAAATGGAGATTGTAAGTAAGCTTGTGAGCAGGTGATTTGAGATCTCCAATATTGCCACCCATCCAATGACCTCGAGGTCAGCTGATCCTTTAGTTCTTAGTAAAAGAATCCTCTGTATTTTTTTTTTTTTTGTCAGGTCTGACACCCTCTGATGGTGATCAATCCGTTGCAATCTAAATGGTTTCGTTTCTCCGCGCGGAAAAACCCAAAAGAGGGACAATCTAGAAAGGCAAAGATTTTTTGGCAAGAGGGCTTTCGAAGAAACCGACCCATAGACCACGTCTTTTAAAAAAAAAAAAAAAAAATTAATTTTTTTGATAAAGTTATCCGTCGGATGGATGCCACCAACATCGTTGTTGTTTTAGATCATAAAGTCTCTCACTTGCATTTAAGAATATTATTCTATTTGTTTATATACATACATAATGCATAACGTAATGAATCATTTATTAGTCATTATTGGCACTTGTTTTTTGCTACTCGTGTCTCAATTGGCCACTGCTCAAGATACTTGCTACCAAAGATATAACGACTTTTGTGTCACTGAAGGTGAAGCTTGGTATGTATCTATCTATCACACACAAACAGACATATCAATAATTATAATTATCCAAAATTATTAATTTGTTTTTTTTTTCTTTTTGATTTCTAAAGCAAGACAGTCTATGGTGGAGACACTTATCATTGCGTAGATGGAACTTATTGTAATCAATTAAACTATAAATGCGAACAATCAAGTGACGTAGGGTATGTATACATACTCATAAATAGGTAGACATTACATTGTTAATAATAATAATAATATTGTATTTTCTTTTTTTATTTTATTTCCAAAAACAATAGTCAAAACTGTACTACTACTGGTAACATTATTCCTTGTAAAGAATGGCTCTCTTGTATTAGTGGAGTTTGTGTTGAAGCTGAGTACGCTGATGTTGGTGTAAGTAGTATGATACAATTAATTTAAAAATAAATAATTAATATTAATCTTTTTATTTTCTCTATATAATATTTTTTTATGTATTTATAATATATCTATAGGAATCATGTTCAGAAAACTACCAATGTAATAGTAATAGTCTAACATGTTCAAATGGAAAGTGTCAAAATATTGACACCAAGTGTGCTGATGATAGCGAATGCTCTTATTTCAACTATTGCCGTGGTTCCATTTGCACTGCAAGAGCAGATGATGGAGAAATTTGCTCTGCTGATTGTTTACCACATTCTTTATGTAACAGAGGTATGTATTACCATAGATGGAAAGAGAGAGAGAGTGTGGCCGGAGAACTTCTCGACTTATTATTAATCAATAATGTTGTCTTTCTTACAATATATATATATATTTATATAAATAGGTATGTGTATTCCAAAGTATTCACTTCAATTTGGTGCCAATTGTTCATCTTCCAGTGCTTGTGATGTATCCCAAGGACTTGAATGTGATAGTGATACCGATAAATGTGCCTACGCCAACTTTACCAAGACATTGACACCAGCTACTCAAAATTGTACTGCTATCAGTTGTGAGAATGAAGAGTTTTGTGTGTGCTCAGAGAATGAATACACTGGATTCTGTGCCCCATACGACCCAATCACCGAGTCCCAAATCAAGTCGTGTGGAAGTTCAACCAAAGAATTTTATGATTGTTTGGCCGCCCACGAATGTCTCTATTCATTCACTGATAATACACCATCGTCATGCCAGTTGAAGCACTGTGGGTCCTCTTTCTGTTCAATGAACCGCGATTGTGAGTGGAAATATACCACTCAAGCATATGGAAAGGGTTGTTCCGATGTTGCCTTTCTTGAATACCAACAAACCTGTCAATACCTTGGTTATTCGGCCACCGCTTCATCATCATCTCTATCTATTCCATCATCATTGATCTCAATGTTGGTGTTATTAACCGTCACCATTTTATCAATTTACTTTGTTTAAAAAATAATTATAAATAAATTTGAAAAAAAAAAAATCACAATTCATCAAATATCACCCAATGTCTGACCAATAGGATCCTTTAGATTTTGATCATTCCCGCCAAAAGATCAAACCCTGTTAGGGGAAAAAACCCCTCCCCTTTTTTTTTTTCAGGGGGGTACCCTATGAAAGCCTCAAAGAGGCACCTCAATTAAATAAAAAGATGACCTCAACCAAGAGTGACAATCTAGATTTTTATAAAAGGGTTTTTGATGAAGCCAACCATACATAGATCGCATGTCTTTTTGAAAGAAAGAACACCAATAATTATTTTTTTGATAAAGTTATCCGTCGGTCGGCTGATGGATTCCATTGCTAGCAACATCGTTGTGTTTTAAAGATCAAAAAGTCTCATAGTCCGTATGATATTTATTTATTTCTTTTATACATACATATTTATTTAGAAATAACACTTTAAAATGGGAATGAATCATTTATTTCCCTTTTGATTTTTATAGCAAGACAAATGGTACAGCCATTTATAATTGCGTGGATGGAACCTATTGCAACCAACTCACCTACAAGTGTGAGCAGTAGGGTAATGAAGGGTTGGTATACAGATCGATCTGTAGATAGATCCCACCTATTAGTATTATTTTTATGTATATATTAACCAACAACTTTCTGTTTTTTATTTAATATAAATAGTGAAAGCTGTACTGTTGGCGGCGATCCCCCTTGCAAGGAATGGCTCACTTGTCGAGCTGGAGTTTGTGTTGAACAAAATATGCTGATGTTGGTGTAAGTAATTATTATTTATTTAAAAATGATGGAAATAATATTAATAATAATAATAATTTCTTTTCTATTTTTTTTTCATTCTTTTTTATAAATTATTGATGTGTCTATCTATCTATCTATAGGAATCATGTACTCAAGACTACCAATGTAATAGTGACCGTTTAACATGTACTAATGGTTATTGTCAAAATATTGACGCTACCTGCACTTCAAACAGAGAATGCTCCTATTCCAACTATTGTTCCACTAACATTTGCAAGGCTAGATCAGATGATGGGGAATCTTGTTCCTCTAATGTTTGTTTACCACACTCTACGTGTAACAGTGGTATGTAGACTGACCTGCCCTACCAGCTCACCTGACTATATTAATTATTTATTAATTATTAATTAATTCTTTTTCTTCTCTACCATTTATATATTAAGGTGTATGTATTCCAAACTACTCACTATCTGAACGAGAGAGTTGTTCATCTGATGATGCTTGTGATATTTCCCAGGGTCTCGAATGTATGGCTGGTATGTGCCTCAATCTCACCAGGATATTGATCCCTTCCTCTCAAATTTGTAGTTCCAAGAGGTGTATAGATTCCGATGAAATATGCGTGTGTAACTTGGAATCGGATCATTCCACTGGATTCTGTCTGGCCGATTACCCCATTACAGGTGACCAAATCCGTCAATGTGGAAGTTCAACCAAAGACTTTTATGACTGTCTCGCCGATCACGAGTGTATCTATAGATACACAGAGGATAAACCATCGTCATGCCAGTTGAAGTACTGTGCATCAGATTTCAGTGCCATGAACCGTGATTGTAAATGGAATTTTGCTTCTGCTCCATACGGTCAGGGGTGTTTTTTCACTCCAAGAAACCTGTCAATACCTTGGTTATGCAATCAGTTCTTCATCATCTCTCTCTATTCCATCTTCAATGTTATTGTTATTTACAGTATTAATAATTCAATTTACTTCTTAAAGTGAAGAACTATCAATCAATCAATCACACTTTTTATCGAATTAATTTATGTTTTTGGAAAACAGATAAATAAATAAATATTTAAAAGTTTTGAATTTAAAAAAATGAAATTCATTTTTGGAGATTGGATAGGATCCTTCAATTCAATTCAATTGATTGTATTTCCAAGAAATCCCAGTGGATTCAAGAAGATATTTTCAATGCATACCATAGACAATACAATATCTTAGGTGATCACCCTCAATTCAATTTGTTTTTTTTTTTTGATTGATTGAGGAAAATCTGTAATGTGAGAGGAGAGCAGAAAGTGCATGCTATTGCCAACAACACCAATGTGTCACTTTCTATTCATTCCATTCTATAACTCTCTTATTTATTTATTTATTTTAGATAGATAGATAGACACTTTTTTTAAAAATGAAATTTAATACTTTATTTATTATAGTTGTTGGAACTTGTTTCTTACTACTTGTTTCTCAATCGACAGTAGTTGCTCAAAATTTTTGTCAGGAAAGATATGATGATTATTGTGTCAGACAAGGTGAAAGTTGGTATGTTATCATATGGTTCATTCCAAATAGAAATATTTGTAAACAATGAATGATTCTAATTGCAAACATGTATTTTATTTTTATTGATTTCTTTCTTTATTAGCAAAGCTGTTTTAGCAGGAGAAACTTTTTATTGTGTCGATGGTACCTACTGTAGTCAAAATGGTACATGTCAACAAACAAGTAGTGAAGGGTTTGTATACATACAGATAGATAGATAGAATGATCATCTCAAAATCCATTATTATTAATTGATTTCAATCCTTTTTAAAAAAAAATAATAAATAGTCAAGCCTGTGGTGTTGCTCCTTGTAAAGAATGGCTCAATTGTGTTAGTGGAACTTGTGTTGAAACTGGATACGCCACAGTTGGTGTAAGTATTATTAATATTACTTACTATTTGTAAATAAATTAATTAATATCTTTTTTTTTTCTTCCTATCTATATTTCCTAGGAAGCCTGTACAGAGGACTATCAATGTAGTACATTTGGTAACTTGGCTTGTACCAATGGAATATGTCAAGACGTTCAACCAGCCACCTGCATATCATCTGGTGACTGTTCCTACTTTGAAATTTGTAATGGAACGGTTTGTGTGCCAAGAATTCTAGATGGACAGGCTTGCAAGGACGGCACTCTCAATTCTCGTTGCCTCCCATTCTCCAAATGTTATAATGGTATCTGTACTAGAATGTATAGTCTTGGTCTTGGTGCTTTGTGTGATGAAGATAGGATGTGTGACATATCCCAGGGACTCGAATACGATGGTTATTCATGTGTCGACGCAAACTTGAACCAAACATCTGCTTCAAATGTCAACTGTACTGCCACTGAATGCCTAGATGTGTACGAAAACTGTATATGTACCAACGATCCTTACACGGGTGTATGTTTCTATGCACAACCATCGTCCAAGTCACAAGTACTTGCTTGTAACGGTGCCAAGAAACAATTAACTGATTGTCTTGCCGACAATGAGTGCTATTCAACTCAAAGTAAGGCAACACCAAGCAGCTGTCAGTTAAAACATTGCGCAGCCTCTTTCTGTGAGATGAACCGTTTGTGTGAATGGAAATACGATAGTGCCTCGACTGCACACAATTGTGATGGTGCAGCCAATATACATTACCAAGCAACTTGTCAATACCTTGGTTTCTCGATTAGTACTTCATCATCATCATCACCATCTCTTCTTTCTATTCCATCATTGATTTCAATGTTGTTGTTTACAACTACCATTACTTTATCATTCTTGTTTATTTAATTCAAAAATTAATTAAATAAAATGAACTAACCCTGAGTTTGCAGAATGGGTGATCATCAAAATAAATATTATTATTATTATTTTTGTTAATACAATCAATCAACCAAACTATACCTATTGGATCCTATTGGTTCATTGGGAGGTTATATAGGAATGCGGCAACAACTACAGTGATCATAATCATCATCATGTGATCAATATTGTTTCGAAACAACTTAAGCTTATTAATAACCGAATACATTGGTACAATAATGCAATGGTACGCTACAGTGTTACCAGCTAGCTTGATATGTAGAGAGAGAGAGAGAGACATAGATCAACATGTTAAACAAGAAGTCAACATGTTGCAACACATAGATCTCCTCTTCCTCATTCCCCTCTATTGACCATACACATGACCAATTAACCCAAGTAAACAATACCAATACCAACAACAACAATACACCCTCATCTGATCATACGCTAATAATAATAATAATAGAATGAAGTAATAATTCTCGATAAATCATGAATCGAAGAACGATACAACAAGATACAAGAACATCACTAGTATGACCGGCAAGACTGACAAAGATAGATAGACAGATCACCTTTAACCATCAAAAGAGGGTGCACCATGGTAAAGTAATATTGATGCTAACACATTGGTTGATTTCAATGGTTGATCACTATTGTGATTTTAAATCTCTATTTTAACTCTCTCTTTTATTCTTTTAATCTTAATTTACAGATACATGGTTTGTTGTCCGCGGTAAAACCAAATGAGGGATGTCTCCCTATATTTAGATTGGGTGTTAAAGGTTAACACCCACAATCTTTTTTTTTTTTGGATCTTCAAAGGGGTTTTTCAACGAAAAAAAAAAGTTTCATTATTCATTTCAAATATATACTTTGTACAATTTCATGGCAATTATTAATCATTTAAATATATTGGTCATTGGTGGATGTTTTTTACTACTACTTCAATTTGCCACTGCTCAAGAAACTTGCGTCAATAGATTTCAACGTTTTTGTGTCACTGAAGGTGATAGTTGGTATGTATCCCCAACAAACATACATATACATTAACTCCATTATTATTATTAATTAATTAATTAATTAATTAATTTGTTCTATATATATATAGCAAGCCAGTTTATGGTGAATCCACTTATTATTGTGTAGATGGAACCTATTGTAATGAGTTAAACTATAAGTGTGAAAAATCAAGTGATGAAGGGTTTGTATAAATAAATACTCGCAGATGGATAGATATATGATTAAATATTAATCTACTTTTGTTTTTTTTTCTTTCTAAAACCAATATAGTGAAGTTTGTTCAAGTACTGGTACTATTATTCCTTGTAAAGAATGGCTTAATTGTTTGGATGGAATTTGTGTTGAAACTGGTTATGCAAACGTTGGTGTAAGTACAAGTATAATTAAATAGATAAATAGTATCAAAGGTTATCCATATAATTTATAAATTAATATAATAATCTTTTTCTTTTATTTATTTATTTTATGTAGGAAAAATGTACTGAAGACTATCAGTGTAATGATGTTAAACTACGTTGTGCTAGTAATGGTCAATGTCAAAACATCGATACTGAGTGTTCGTCATCCAAAGAATGCTCCTATTTCAACTATTGTGGTGGATCAGTTTGCAAACCAAGAGTAGAAAATGGACAACCTTGTGCTTCACTTTTAGGTTTAGATGCTCCCTGTTTACCCAACTCTATTTGTAACAAGGGTATGTATAGTCTATATATATATATATATATATGGACAGTCAGTCCTCACAGCGGATCACTTTTTGGTTCATTCATAAATATATTAATACTGATATTGTTTTTTCTTCTTCTTCTTCTTCTTCTTCTTCTTCTTCTTCTTCTTGTACAATAGATATAGGCATATGTATTCCAAATTACTCACTTCAATTAGATGCTAATTGTTCAACTTCCATTGCTTGCGATGTTTCACAAGGTCTGGAATGTGATGGTGACTCTGATTCATGTGGCTATGCCAACTTTACCAAGACATTGACTCCATCAAATATTAACTGTACTTTTGAGGACTGCGGCGAAATAGAAGAGATGTGTTTATGCACAGAAGACCGATACACGGGATTCTGCCATCCAAAAGATCCACTCACCGAGTCCCAAATCAAGAAGTGTGGAAGTTCAACCAAAGAATTTTCTGATTGTGTCGCCAAACATGAATGTGCTTACGAGCACGCTGATACCACACCATCTTCATGTCATTTGACCCACTGTGCTTCATCTTTCTGTGCAATGAAACTTAATTGTGATTGGGACTTTAACTCTCAAACATTTGGTAAAGGTTGTTCCGGTGCTGCCCTTCTTGAATACCAAGCAACCTGTCAACACCTTGGTTATTCAACTGGAGGTTCACCATCTCTCACTATTCCATCTTTATTGATGTTGTTGTTATTTATTGCCACTACTACTACTACTACTACTACTACTATTTTATCATTTTAATTTGTTCAATGTATATTATAATACCATCAATCAATCAATCAATCAATCAATCAATCAATCATAAATTAAAGAGTATACTCTTTTATCATTCCAAAAATAAATAAATATTATTAATTGAAACAAAAACCATCCCTATTTCAAGGTATTAATTTAATAAACAATAATATTAACTTGGTTTCACATTCATTTTTTGTACATAGGAGGAGGACCCTTGACAGAACAGATCAAGACAATATAAATGATGTATCAATTTAAATTCATTGTACTGTCTTGATCAATCTGTTTGTTCTTGTATCAATATTAGTTGAGGGAAAATAGCTGGGGTAAAACCTTTGGCAAAAGATCATAAAACACAGAATTGTGACAAGATGACATCTCCAAAGATCTTAAAAAATTCCCGTGAAAATCCATTGTTGTTGACCACGTCTGCATGGATATTTTTTTAATTCAACCAAGCCCATGGACCACGTCTAGAAATGGTTTCTGATTTTAAAAAAAAGAGATGCTCCTTCATTGTCGAAAACTCTTGGTTTCTCTTTGTTTGTTGTTGTTAGTTTTTTCATTCATTTCTATTTCTACACTTATTTTTATTATTATAGATTTAAAAAATGAAATTTATTTGTTCTAGTTGTTGTTGTGATTGGTAGTTTTCTACTAGTTGATCAATCGGTCACTGCTCAAAGCTGTAGTACTAAAGATGTCTGTGTGCAAGAAGGACAAAATTGGTATGTAACGTTACGTTCATATGATACCAAAAATTTAATCACATACCAACAAAATCCTTTTGTTAAAAATATTTTACCAATTGTAGCGCAACTGTCAGTGGAATCTATTTTCAATGTGTTGATAATACATTTTGTATTAATAGTACCTGCCAACCCTCAAAACCCGCAAAATATGTATACATACAAACGGAAAGAAAGAAAGAAAGAAAGAAAGACACAGTATAGTTGGTAGAATATATATATATATATTAACCCATTTTATTTTTCTTTAATTATTTGTTTTAAAAAGTTCACTTTGTGATAGCAATAAAGAATGCCAATCTTGGCTCGATTGTACAGATGGAGTTTGTAAAGAATCAGATTATGCTGATGTTGGTGTAAGTAATAAATGAATTTATTTAAAAATGATGGAAATAATAATAATATTAAAAATAATTTCTTTTCTATTTTTTTATTTATTTAGGAAGCCTGTACTTTTGATTACCAATGTACTAATGATTTGGTTTGTTCAAATGGAATATGCAAAGCTAGTTTAACTACATGTCAATCACCATCAGATTGTTCATTTTCAAATTACTGTAGTAGCACGTCTAAAGTTTGTATACCAAGACTAAACAATGGAGACCTTTGTACCGATGACGAATCATGTCCTGCCCACTCTCTCTGTAACATCAAGTGTATCGCCAAATTCAGTTTGGAACACGGTGCCTTGTGCAATGATGACCTTTTGTGTGATATTTCACAGGGACTCGAATGTGACAATGGTGCATGCGCCTATACCAATTTGACCAAGACTCTTACTCCCTCGTCGAGAAATTGTAGTAATAGTAATACTGATTGCTATAATGGTCAAGAGACATGTATTTGTTCCACCGGTGTGGATGAATACACAGGTTTTTGTTTCGCTACAAGTCCACTCACCAAGTCCCAAATCCTCTCATGCGGCAGCTCAAAGAAAAATTTCTATGATTGTCTAACAGACAAATCTTGCCTATACTATTACAATCAAGATGTACCAAAATCCTGTCAACTTCAAAAATGTGGTGCCCTGTTCTGTGATTGCAAACGTCAGTGCTCTTGGGAATACGATACCGACTCGCAAGGAAAGAATTGTGGTGGACAATCTGTTTCATCGCACCAAGGAACTTGTCAATACCTTGGTTACTCAATCTCATCTTCTCTCTCTTCTAATTCATTGATTTCAATGGTATTTATTATTACCATCGTTATATCGATCTTGTTTATTTAAAAAAAAAAACATTGATTAATTAAATAATTAAATAAACAAAGATGATCATATGTAGTACGTGCGATCGATGATTATTTATTTGAAAACACAAGCAAACCCATATGACTCGATTTAGAAGTATTTTCTTCCCTCCTACTACCACTACTACTACTACATGTTCCATCACAATCAAAATAATCAGTAAAACAATGTAGGTGTGGTTGTCAGTCAATGGATTATTTATTTTAGCGTCAAAAAAAAAACGACAATGATAATACGAATGGTGTGAGTGTGAGTGTGTAGTCAGTCAGTCACACCAACCAAATCAGGTTCGACTTTATTTGATTGATCTAAATTTATGCGATGACACAATCAATGATATTATCATTGTTTGATGAGATATATATAAATAGACAAATAAATATGGGTGTTTGAACTAATAATACCATCTCTGATTCTATTTGGACTAATTCAATGGATTGATTGGATTAGGTAATATCATCTACTATATTGAGTCAATCAAATCATGGTTGATTGAACGATAAATATATATATATATATTTATTGATTGTTTAATTGATTGATGTACAAAAGTTTTATATCAATTGTTCATTGTTTTATCCATTTAATTATTTCAAAAAAAAATGCTATTGTTTAAAAATAATTTATTTATTATAGTTTTTGTCATTAGTTTTTTCCTAATCTATCATTCTGTTGATGGCGAAGGTTGTGAAAGTACTAGTCAAAGAATATGCTCCAGAAATGGAGAAACTTGGTATGTATATAAAGACATGATTATTTTTAGTTTGGTCTTTTAATTTATTTTACATTTCAATATTTATAGCAATTCAGTTTATGGAGAATCTTCTTTTAAATGCGTGGATGGTTCATTTTGTAATAAATTAAAGATTTGTGAAGCTCAAAAAAAGGAAGGGTTTGTATTTTCTAAAGAAATAGAGAGAGAGAGATAGAGAAATTAAGTAAACAGTTTTGTAGGTATTTTATTAACATGTATCAATTTTGATTAATTATGAATAGTGAATCTTGTGATAAATATCAAGATCGTCAATGTTTAGATTGGCTTTCTTGTGTCAATGGAACTTGTATTGAAGAACATTATGCTGCATTGGGTGTATGTATTTAGAAAAACTATTAACAAAAAAATAACTATCTATATTTATATTAATATTTCAATTTAAAGGAATCATGCAAGACATCTGAACAATGTTATAGAGGAACTTGTTTTAATGGAAAATGTCTCAAACCCAATTGTAATGTAAATGATGATTGTGATTATTTTAGTTATTGTAGCTATAAAAATGACGAGGATATTTGTAGACCAAGATTAGAGGATGGAACTACCTGCAACCAAAAACATGACATTTGTATGCCCCATTCTATCTGTGGTTTCGATTCCAAGTGTATCCCTAAATACTCGCTTGGTTTGAATAGAAATTGCACTGACCAAGAAGAGTGCGATGTCTCTCAAGGACTTAGATGTTCTAGTTTAGATGGTGCTTGCGTCTACCGTAACCTTACCTTCACTCCTACTTCCCCCTCTTTCAACTGTTCCGCATCTCATTGCGATAATCAGGAAGAAGATTGCGTATGTTCAGAAAGAGGAGATACTGGTCATTGTTTGCCAAGATATGAATTTACCAAGGCTCAAATCCTATCATGTGGTAGTCAAACCAAATCACTGTACAAATGTCTTACCGATCATGAATGCCTATTCAATTCGGACAACACCCCAAATTCCTGTCAATTAAAGCACTGTGGTCGTCAATTTTGTGGCTATTATAGAGAGTGCAAATGGAAATACAATAGAAATTATATTGGCACCAACTGTGCCAACGCGGCCATTGATTATTACCAAGGTGTATGCAAACATCTTGGCTATTCTATTCAAAGTTCATCCTCCTCTCTCTCTATTCCATCAATATTCATTACAATCTTCATTTTATCATCCTTGTTTCTTTAAAAAGTAAATTAAATAATAAAATAATAAATAAATGAATAGAGTAAAGATTTATTCATTGAAAATTGAAAAGAACCACTCGGTGTATGTCGATTCTGACCATAATCAAAAAATCTACTTGTGTGGTGTCTTTTTTTTGTTTATTGAATAAAGCCCTTGTCGAGGACCCTCCCTCATCATGTGATTATTTTTAAAGACATACAGAATGAATCATAGAATATTATTATATATCTGTCTAACTATTATATTTTTATCAACCTCTACTACTTGTGTTTATTCACAATTGACACAGTGTACCTCTTCAAATCAAAAATGTATCGAAGTGGGACAGAGTTGGTACGTAGGTCACGCGAATATTATTATTAATATTATTAGATAGATTAGATGAATCATTCAAATCATTTACTAATTCAATTTTTTAAAAAGTAAACTAATCCCTGGTACAGTGGTAACATGTATAAATGGATCATTTTGTAATTCTAGTAGTTTATGTCAACCTGCTATTACATCTGGTGGATCATGTTCAACTACCAATGAATGTCAAGGTTGGCTTGAATGTTTAGGTGGAATTTGTGTTGAAGCTGATTATGGACAATTTCAAGTATGTATTGATACATACAACAGAATACCTCATGTGTGTTTAATATATTAAACCTCTCTCTTTCTTTCTTTTTTCTAGGATAATTGTACTGAAGATTATCAATGTACAGGAAATTTAGCATGTATGCATGGAAAATGTGGTAATCCAAATCCAACTTGTACATCTGATTATCAATGTCAATACTCTGATTATTGTGTCAATGGAACATGTATTTCACGTATCAAAGATGGAGAAAGTTGTGTTACCGATAACTCTTGTCTCGAACAATCGACATGTAACTTTAAAACCTGTATACCACGTTACTCTGTCGCCCTGAACCAACCATGTTATCATCTTAGCTACTCTTGTGATGTTTCAAAGGGACTCGTTTGTAGTAATAGTGTTTGTGTCCTCTCCAACTTGACAAAAACATTAACTCCTTCAAATATCAACTGCTCGTCTACTCAATGCTTCAATTCACTCGATAATTATGAACAATGTGTTTGTAAAGAGGGTACTACCAATACTGGTGAATGCTATCCAAGATACCCAACTACCAAACATCAAATACTTTTATGTGGATCACGTCAAAAAGCATTGTACAAGTGTCTTGCCGATAACCAATGTTATTTTGGTACTGCCGATACCATTTCATCATGTCAAATGAAATATTGTTCAAAGGAATATTGTGAATCTAAATCTACCTGTTTATGGGGATATGATGTTGGTAGAGTTGATCCTGGGTGTGGTGGAAACACTGCCTTTGATAGTCTCCAACAAACTTGTCAATATCTTGGTTATTCCGTCATTCCAAATGATCTATCTTCATCCGATTCTTCTTCTTTAGACTCTTCTGATTCATCAACTTCTACTCCATCTCATTCACATATTATTTCCATTTCATTGATTCCAACTTTCATTTTCACTATTTTATTAGTAGTAGTATCCATCTTTCAAAAGTAATAAATAAAATATTAATAAAAATAATGGTATATATAATGGTCATTGTGTTTGATCATTCCCTCATAAGGAAGCAATAGTTGGGTTTGTAGGTACAAGTTGATGGTATGTCTCTTCAACAATATTAAGGTTATTTATTGAAGAGAGATGTTAATCACTGCTATGGTAGACTATCTGGCTTACTTTTTAGCTGGAGTAATTCCTCGACGCAAAATGGTTGTTGTGTGAAAAAAAAATTTTTTTTTTGGGGGGAAAATTTTCAAAAGTATTCATTACCATTTATCTCTACTACTTTATCTACAGATAATAGTAATAAATAATAGTTATAACAACAATATTAAGGTTATTTATTGAAGAGAGATGTTAATCACTGCTATGGTAGACCATCTGGCTTACTTTTTAGCTGGAGTAATTCCTAAGATTTGTTTTAAGCCATCGTAAATGAAAAATTGTCCGGCGGTAAGAGTACCGACCATAAAGCATCTTGTACCGACTCCGAGGAACAAACCAGAGACACCGAGACGTCTCATGATGTTACCAATAGCCTTGGTGACACCACCGTCGGTCTTTTCTTTGTTGATTAGGGAGAGGACGGTATCGGCTGGTTGAGAGACGATAGCGGCAACAACACCAGATACGATACCAGAACCAAGAGAGACGGTCAACTTTTGGCTGTCAGTCATGGATTCCTTTGGAGTTCCGTTCTTGGCCAAATAAGTGTAGACAGATTCGGCAGTGAATTCAAAGACGGCAAACTTGGCCATGGTGTATGGAACTTGCTTCAAAAGAATAGGTGGGAGACCCTTGTAGAGACCCATGACACCTTCACTCTTGACAATCTTTCCAAGAGCTTCGACTGGAGTCTTGGCAAATGATGGTTCAGCTACCAAACGAATTCTAACAGCTTCATTTGGGCAAAGTGCAAGATCTGCAATAGTCTATAAAAAATAGAAATAGTAAAGTAAATTAATATTAATCCTTTGTTGTATATATCTATATGCATATATATTTCATCATCATCATCATCATCCATAAATTAAACCATCCATCCATCCATCCATCATATATCTTGTTGAAAAATCAGAGTTTGTCACAGTGCTTGTTGTGTTCTCGATTTTTTTTTTTTTCTTTGTCAGATCATCCTCTTGTTTTTTTTTTCGCTCAAACAAGAGTGAGTGATCTCATCTGATGATGAAATATAGATATACTGTATGCTTCCTTCTTTCTATATACATACTTCAGCAGTAGCAGAAGCAGCCAACCAAATTGGGATTCTGAATTGAATGGCATTTTCTGGACCGACGGCTTCAGCGTACTTCTTCTTGAAGAGTTCGTAGAAACCAAACTTGAGGAAACCTTGGAGGGCATAACCAACGGCAGTTGGACCAAGACCTTGGAGCAACATCATTGGACCTTCCTTGGAGGCGATGGTGGAGAAGGCGTTGAACATACCAGTGTAGGCACCTGGGTTGGTTTGGAGACGAGTCTTGACGACATCGAGTGGTACTACAGCACTATGAGTGATGGAGCAACCCAAAGCACCAGCAACTCCGTACTTGAAAAAGAGACCCATGCTGAGTGGTGGGGATTGAGCAGAAGCGTCACCGGCCATTTCTATATATATCTGTTGATAGTTACTAAACTAAATGTATAATTATACAAAAAATAATGTAATATATCACAAGTGATAAAAGACTATAAAAAAGGTAGGGAAAAAACTCTTCCCAATATCCATCGAATGCACCTGCAGCACAGCACCAACGGTGTGAACGAGGAGAGAAAAAAAAAATACTAAAAAAAAAAAAAAAAAAAAAACAAATCTATCTCATCATGACGATTTTCTTCACCTGGTTTGGGTTCCACATGAATTACCTTTTATTGATCTGCAGTACCAATCAATAACGATCATTCGTACACAGTCTACTTATTTTCATTAATTAATTTTTTAATATACGGAAATGATAATACACCTTTAAAATTTTAAGTGATAAGATGTACAGATATAAGAGTAGAGAGCACTATAAAGTGCGATAGAACAGGTGAGCGATCATTATTATTACTTTTTTTTTTACATTCACTTAAAAAAAAAATCTTTTCAAGAACTTGAGTTCCGACCACAAGATATTTGTTTGTACGATTGAAGGTACATTTGACGGGCTCGGCGGTACTTGGCAAAGATAGAAAAAGGAGATAATCAATGGTTTTTGGGGTCAAAACGCTATCCTTCCCACCTCTTTATCTCTATTTTTCTTTTTTTTTCTTTCAATGGAGAAACCATTCATAAAAAGGAGTAGTTCCAAGCTTGGCAGTTGTTATTATTATTTCAATTTAAAAAAAAGAGATAGATAGAGAAATGAATATTTCAAAAACCATTTTATTATCAATTATATTTGCCATTTTATTATTCAATGCTGGTAATAATGTTTTGGCCAACAACAATGATAGACAAGTAGTAGCAAGATTTGGAGCTGATACAGTAGATGTAAAATCTGAAGGTGCTCCATTTACCACTTGTAACGATTGTGTTAGTATTATGACTGATACAATTGATGATCTTATTGGTATCCTTATGAGTATGTATAATAATAATAATAATAATAATACACATGGAAATACAAATACCAATTTTGGAAATATTAATTATTTCCTTTTTTTTTTCAAATTTCTTTTTTCTAATCTAATTTTAGATTCAGGAGTAATGGCATCATGTAATGATTTATGTTCAAGATTATCAAATCATTATGAAAATATTGCATGTATGTTGACATGTGTATATTTTGGACTGGAAGAGTTTAGCAATTTGGTACTAGATGCAGATCCTGATCCCATTTTCATGTGTGAAGTTATTGATGTCTGTCCAGTTAAAATGACCGCCGCTGGAAACATTACAAACTTTGATATCGTTCCATCTAGTGGACCAGTCGGAACCACCTTTTACGCCAACATCAACTATACCATCACCAGTGAGATTGGTACCGGTCAAATCGTAGCCAACCTCTACGACACTAACAATTTGGGCTTTGGTTTCTACAATCTCTTGGTCGACACTGCACCAGGTGACTATTATGTCTCTTTTCCATTCCAATCTCAACCATCCGAGATGGAACCATTCAACCCTGGTAGTTTTTTGATCAGTGTAGGTCTCTGTGAAGGTTTCTGTGGTAGTATTCATAAATACACTATCATCCTTTCAGTTGTCAACGATAATTTTACCATCTCTTCAAATACTACAACAAATCAAATTGGTCATACAATCTATGATCTTTCAATGTAAAAGAGTAAAAGAGTAAAATAAAATAAAATAAATAGTATATATTAAAAAAAAATCTCAAAGTCATTCAAAGAGAGGAACGAATAGTTTACGTCATCTATACAGTCGTCGGGGGTGGGTGTAGGGTTTTTAAAATATAAATTGTCTCACTCCAAAAAAAACATTTATTATAGTAACATTTATTTATTTCATTCATTCATTTTCGTTTTATCTCTATTCTACAAATATATATATAAATAAATTAAAACATGTCAAGAGCAATTGTTATAGGTAATCTATCTATCTATCTATCTATCTATCATCTATTCGAATCAATTCATTCATACTTATTTACATTTATTGTAGGAGGAACAGGAGCAACTGGTAAAGAATTGATTAAAGAATTAATCAAATCATCAAAGATATCACATATTACATCATTGGTTAGAAGAAAAGATGAATCTGTTGAAAGTGATAAACTCGATCAGGTGGTCATTGATTTTGAAAGAATGAGTGATCATCAAGATTCATTCAAAGGTAATAATGTTGCTTTTTGTTGTCTTGGTACAACTAGAAAACAAGCTGGTTCTGCTGTATGTACAAACATAAAAACATAAAAGAATAATATATATATATTAATACTTTTTTTACTCTTCTTTTTCTTTTTAGGAAAACTTTGAACATATAGAATTAGGATATTCATCAGAATTTAGTAAATTGGCAAAACAAGAAAATGTAGATTCAATGCATTTACTTACATCTGGTGGTGCCAATGCAAATAGTTGGTTTTTGTATATGAGAGTAAAAGGACAAATTGAAGAAGCAATGAAAAAGGATCAATTCAATCACCTATCTGTCTATCGTCCAGGAATGTTGGATCGTGGTCAATCTGATCGTATGGTTGAAAAGATTTTAGTTCATATTTTACCAACGATTCATGTCAATGTAGTTGCAAAAGGAATGTTGAAAAATTATTTAAATCAATTAGATAATCCTCCAACACCAATCCCTTCATTTAATATTATTGGTCATCGTGATTTATTTAATCTTGCCAAACAACTTTAAAAAAAAAAAAAAAATTGTAAATAAATAAATATAATATAAAATATACAAAAACCTCTACTCTCTCTCTCTCTCTCTCTTTTGTCCATCATTTATTGAGATTTAAAAATATCTATAGTAGTTTCCAAACAACTTTTAAAATCCAAATCATGATTACCTATACAAAACTTTGTTAGAGGTTTTTGATAGATATCCAAACCTCTACCCAATTTAATTGTAATTCCATTATTCACAATATCAATCGATCTATCATGAATTGTATTTGAAAAATTATATTCAAAAAATATATTATGATTTATCAAACTTTCCTTTAACTAAGATATAGAACAAAAATATAAGTAATTATAATTATATCTATCAAATTTTTTGTTTTGTCTCTTTCTCTCTCTTACAGATTTAAAATTTGAAATAACTTCTTGTTCATGTTGAGAAGATTCCAATGAAGTAATTAATTTAATTTGAATTGGTTTTCCTTGATGATTTTGATTTCTCTTTAGAATTAATTCACATAGTCTGACAAAATTATCACATTGATGACGTGCTCTAATATATGGATCTTGAATAATAAATCTTGTTCCACCAACTAAATATCTACCAAATAATGTATCATATGAACAATTTGTTTGTCCATATTGAATTGTTATTGATTCCATGTGAATCTTATTATTATTTGGTTGTTTTACCATCGTTGGTGAAGAAGTAGTAGGAGGTATAGGTAATTGAGGTGCATTTGGAAAATATGGTGTTTCTCTTTATAAAAAATAAAAAGATAGATATTAATATTAATTCAACTTGTATTAAAATATATATGATTTATATTGATTTCATACATAAAAGGAGCAGAGGGTTTAATAGGAGATATTTTATCACCTGGTAAAGATGTTGGTACACTTGGTAATATTAAACTTGCATCATTATTATTGATTGGTGGAAATGGTGAATTGATTGGTACACTTGGTAAAGATAATCCTCCACCACCGCCACCAGCAGCAGTTGATATACACCCATTATTACAAGATTCACCAATAGTACCACCTTTCTTATTTGCAATCAACATTTTAAGTTGTTCACATCTATCCATATATTCATTCATTTTAAGTTTCAAAGGTCCTCTAATCTTTTCATTCTTTTCAACTAAAAGCAAACAACTATGTTAGTATATAATATAATATATGACTGTACTACAGGACTCTAAATATCTTTATACTTTTTAAAGCAGAAACAAAACCTTCTAAACCTGTTAGATAAAGTCTTAGAGCTTCTTGATAATTGCCATTTCGATCGTTCAATGTTGCTTGTTGAACCAATTGATATGATTGTCTAAGTAAGTTTGATGCGTCTCCCATCTCTCTCCTTTATCTCCTTTATCTCTAATCTAATCTATCTCTAACAATGTATTGAATAACAATGAAAAAAAAGAAAAGAAATGGGATATACTCAAAGACGTCTCTCTCAAAATAATGAGTACAAAAAAGAATCCTATCTTTTAAAGAAAATTTGTCCTTGTGGTAAACAAACCTAAATTAAATACTTTTAATTTACTTTCTTTTATTTCCTATCTATCTATTTATTTACTTTCTACATCTATAGATCAACATCAGAAGGATAAACAGGATGAGGTAAAGGTATGATTGATTTCTTTTCAACATCTCTTTTTAGTGCCTTTCTCATGTCTAGAGCATCTTCTTGACCTGAATAATAACCAATGACAGTCCTATAGACTGTATAACCAAACTTTTTGTACATATTGATTGCAAGGGTATTTGATTTTCTAACAAACAAATCGACAAAGTAACCATCGTAGATTGATTCCGATACCTCTTCCAATACCTTCATCAATTTATCGGCTAGACCTATTCTTCTATATTCTGGTGCAACTGTCACTGCTGTAACATGTCCATGCCAATTCTCTCCTTTACCTTCTGCTTTTCCTAACACTGAGAAAGTAAAAGTAAAGTAAGAGTTAGTAGAGAGATCAATGAATACTTTGAAACTCTAGTTGTTTTGTATTGTACATACTATATCCCATTGGTCTACCATTTACATCTTCAGCTATTGATAACATTGATGGCCAATGTGATATATATTGAAAGTAAAATGGTAAATAATACTAAAAGATAATAATAAGAGTAATCAGTATTGGTGTCAGTATCTGTAGAATCATAGTTGTCTGTCTCTCTCTCTCTCTTACAGTCTCTGTTAAATAATCTAAATTTATATTATTAAATCTAAATAAATCATCACATTCAAATCTTCTAACTGATGTCATTCTTCTCTTCTTGAAAGTATAAGTATATAAGTATATATAGTTTATAGTATAATCTATATACTTTTCAAAAGATCTTTTGAACCTCAATCATATGACATGATTTTTAAAAAATCAAATAAATAAAGTAATATATTTTTAAGTGTACATGATCGAGATCATGTAGTGTAACTCGTATCTTTCTTTCAATAAATATCATCACTACAACTACTATAACAAAGATTTTGTTGATCTTTATAACTTGCTGCTGCTCTTTTTGTTCAATCATTGAAGAGACAGTAAAAAAATTCGATGAATTCTCAAGATTCTCATTTATTAATAAATACCAATTTCTTTTTTAGAGTAACCATCAGGCCAACCCCCACCCTTTTGGTTCATTTCATATTATTTCAGTAGAGAGATAATTTATTGAATGAAAAAAGTAAATAACATTAATAGTAATAATAATAAGATGAGATCATTATTTAAATGTAAAGCACCAAATGGATATGGAGAAGAAGAATCATACTATTCAGAGAATACATGGGGTGAAGCTTTAAATAGACAACAAACTATAACAACTTCTGTAGCAACCAAACCAAATGATATCTTTTTAAATGCTGTTGATCAAAAGTCAAGTATGTAAAAAAAGAAAGAGATTATAAAGATATATGTATATCTATCTATTCTATTCTATTCTATTATCATCATACTTATTCTTATTTACTTTTTATAGAGGAAAAATTACAAGTGAAATTATCAATTAAAGAATGGAATGATTTAATTAAAGAGAAGGCAAAATTGGCAGAATCATTGTATTCTATAAACTCGGCAAGTTATGTTGGATTTGCAGAGTTTTCATGTATAGAGTTACAATGTCAATTTGATATATTTGTATTTCAACATAATCAAACTGTACCTTTACTCCCATCATCGATGGCATTAAAGAGTAGTAGTATAATGTATACTGAACACATTAAAGATCAACCAAGTAAATTGGATCAAATGTCAAGTGTCGGTGTAGAGAATAGTGCACTCCAATTCTTCCCAGAACGTCCAGGACGTTATCAAGTTAATTTGGATGTATTCTCTAATTATTTGACACCTAAAAAGAATGGTTTTGGTTTCTCTACTCCAAAATCTACTACAAACAACCTAACCATCAATGTACCAAAAGAAGTCCAAATTAAAATTGATCCATCATCCAACCAAGAAGAAGAGATATTCAATGATAGTGGTAGTCGTGTAACAAAAGCAATTTCAAATTTCCCTCCAACCAATTATGTTAAAATTCAATGGACCGATTTAGAATCAAAAATTGATGAAAGTAGTAGCGGTAGTAATGTATCTCCTCCACCTCTTCTTTCTTCTTCATCTGCTCAACCCGTTGCATCCCAAAAACCAATCATTGAAGCAACAAAAGCAACAGTACAACAATATACACTTTGTTCAGTTGGTGAAGGTGTCGTCATTGTAACCAATAGTATCAAATATTCAATGGTATCTGGTAGTTTATCAAGTTTTGAAGTGGTAGTTGGTAACATTCTACGAGTACAATCGGTCGATGGAAATAATATAAAGAAATGGGATTGTACTCCTATTGGTCCATCCTCTACATCGACCGAGAATCTTTTAAAGATTCTATTAAATAGTCCAGTTGAAAGTGATTACATTTTAACAGTGGTATCTGAAATCCCAATGGATAGAACTAGTGGTCAAATCACTCTACCAAGTGTACGTTGTAGAGGTAGTGAAATTAGTCGTGAAAAGGGGTTCCTTGTAGTTGAATCTACTGCCAATGTAGAGGTTGAACAAACTACTCGTGAATCACTCACTCTGATTGACAAGTCTGAAATCCCAGGTGCTCTTACCGATATGACTTCTGGTCCAATCCTACTCGCATACAAGTTCTTGGATCCACACTATCGACTATGTATGACGATTACCAAACATTCAGATCTTCAAGTATTGGTTGCTTTTTGTGAAAGTGCTCATTTCATTGCTACCCTTTCCTCTGAAGGTTCTCTATTAAAGAAATTAATCTTTAAAATTAGAAATACTCAACAACAATATATTAGAATTTCTATAGATCATGAATTTGAAATTTGGTCAACTAGTAAGTCAAAAAAAAAAAAAAGAAACAAAGAAAAAAAGAAAAATACTAATCTATTTATTTATTTCTATTTATTTTTTTAGTTGTTGGAACAAATGCAGTAAAACCAGCATTGGATGAAAATGGTACAATTATGATTCCATTGAATAAATCAAGAGGTAGTGAAAAAGGAGTACAAAAAGCATTTACAGTTGAATTGGTTTATAAACATCGTCGTGATTTGGAATTACATGGTACTGGTGGAAATGTACAAGTTTGTTTTCCACAGATTGATATTCCAATCAGTAATCTTTGTGTGTCTCTTTATCTACCAAAGACATTTAAATATGGTCAATGTAAAGGTAATATTAAAGAGGTTGGTTATTATCCACAAGGTCAACCAATCAAAGAAGACTCTAAAAACGAACAAACCGCCAAACCAAGAAGAGCCATGCCACAAATGCAAATTCAACAACAACAAACCCAATTCATGTCAAATGCTATGCCACTTTTCGATGGTGGTCTTACTTTGGGTGGCGGTGGTGGTGGAGCAGAGAGGGAAAAGGAAACGGCTGGATTAAAACCAGTTATTGTGAATATCCCAACTACAGGTATTTTACTTAGATTCCATCAACTCTTGGTATTGTCTACTCCTATCGATATTACTACTAAATATTCTCCAAACAAGGGTGGTTGTTTGTGTTGGGGTGCTAAACAATAATCATAAATATTAAAGATAAAAATAAATTACATTTTTTAAAAAAAAACAAGGAAAAAAAAGCTGAAGTTTCGTATCTCTGAGTTGGGATCATGAATTTATTATTATTTAAAAATCTTTGTAGAAATAATAATAATAATAATAATAATAAATAAATAAAAAGTGTAAAATAAAATTATATATTAAATTAGAATATATATTTATATATGATTTTATTTGACAAAGTTTCTAACCCATTCTTTTTTCTCTTTTTTAAAATTAATGATGATTGGAGTTGAATTGGAGAACTTGTGACCAAAGGATTTGCAGTCCTCTACTCTACCACAGAGCTAATAGTCCATTTCGAGCTGTGTCAAAAATACTAAAATTGAGCTGTGCCAAAAATACCAAATTTTTTTCCTGTTCTCTCTTAATAAAGAGAAAAAAGAATGGGTTAGAAACTTTCTTCTGGGGCCCAATCAAATTTTTTTTTTTTTTTTAAAGTAATTCTTTTCCTGTTCTCTCCTAGAATAGTACTCAGAAGTTACAAAGTTTTATTAATTATACATTTTAATTGAATTCAAGAAGAATTAAAGTTAATTTGTTCTGGGGGTTTGTCCATGTCTATGATACATGTTTTATGGACATTGATCATGTATCTTATTGTATAGTGTCAAGCATGTTGGATTGTTTTGGATTGTTGCTTGTTCTAAAAATAAATTGGTTAAAGATATCGCTATTTTTTTTTTTTTTTTTTTTTTTCTCAGCACTATTGGCTGTAATATTGTGTTATATAATTATTCAATGTTATTATTATCTAGTAAATTATTATTAATATTATTATTGATAGATGAAGAGAGAGTAGAAGAAGATGAAGGTGTTGACGCAAATATGGCACCCATCTACTTCTAATTTTAGTACCATACTTGCGTTGAAACCTTAAGCCTTGGGTGCATCCAAGACCGACTGCCGCTCTCAACTCTCGCGCCGATTTACTCCCCATTGTGGACACTCGTCTTAACGTGTTGCATATTGTATTTGAGATGTCAGATGGCTTTCTATCGCGACGGCCCAGTAGGTCCTCAACTAACTTCCCGTTACTTGTTGCAGTCTGGCTACCTAGTTGTGGAAATTTTTTTTTTAAAGTAATTCTTTTCCTGTTCTCTCCTATCGGGAAGAGTAGTCTCAGAAGTTACAAAGTTTTATTAATTATACTTTTTAATTGACCAGCAAGAAATAAAGATTATCTCAAGAAGAATTAAAGTTAATTTGTTCTGGGGGTTTGTCCATGTCTATGATACATGTTTTATGGACATTGATCATGTATCTTATTGTATAGTGTCAAGCATGTTGGATTGTTTTGGATTGTTGCTTGTTCTAAAGATAAATTGGTTAAGATATCGCTTTTTTTTTTTTTTTTTTTTTTTTCCTCAGCACTATAGGCTGTAATATTGTGTTATATAATTATTCTATGTTATTATTATTATTTAGTAAATTATTATATTATTAATATTCTTATTGATAGATGAAGAGAGAGAAAAAGATGATGAAGGTGTTGAGGAGGATGAAAAGAATGAGGTTGAGGTGATCGATTATAGATGTAGTGTACGCAGAGTCTTGTACCTCTCTAAATGACTAGGTAGTGCGATCTTGTAGACAGTAGGATGGTTGTAGTTGGAGGAGAATCGAAGGATGATAGTTTGTATTCGTTCTGTAATCGTATGTATTACTGATTCATCGGTAGTTGTGGAAAATTTTGCTGAAATATGCAATTTTAGAATTTTTGACACAGTTCAAAATGGACTATTAGCTCAGTGGTAGAGTAGAGGACTGCAAATCCTTTGGTCACAAGTTCAATCCTTGTATAGTCCTTTTTGATGTTTTTTTGCATGAGGTGACGGGCATTTCCCTGAATCTCTACGTCCATGGCTACCAGTATATCCAAGTTTCATCGATTTTGTTCAAATCCTCATAGGCAAAACCCCATCATCAATGTACCTGACCCTTTTCATGAGGCGGAGCGCTGAGGGCTTTTTTTTTTTGCATTCCTGAATCTCTGCGCCTGTGGCTACCAATATCTCCAAAGCTTCACCAATTTCTCATAGGCAAAACCCTATCATCAAGTTCTTTTTGTGGTTTTGTGAGTTCAATCATATTGATAATTTTTATTTCTTATCTGTGTAAAACCCAAACAGAACAAAATATTTTTATGTTCTATCAGAGATTGATGTTATTCCTGTTGTCTACAATCAATTTCAAGCTCATTCTTGATCAAAAAGTTTCCCCAAAAGGATACCAACTATGAATATAAATGCCAAACTTCCTCTTTTTTTTTTAAGCTGAGACTAGATCAAAACAATGAAACAACACTGGATAAAATTATAAATATCAAAGGATAATTTATCCTAGAGACCCTAACCAGGGTCATTATTCTATTTTTTTACCTTTAAATTCAAGGAAAAACTGAAATACCAGTGAAGATAACCCTCACAAGGTCTTATTCATCTTTGCCAATGGAATAGTGAAGATTGAATGGAATGAAATATCATCATCAGCTGAAAAAAAAAATCCTCCGACTTGGAACAATCTTTAGATTTCTTTCAACGCCTGTCGATTAAAAGGTATCCAGTTGTTTTAGTGTTAAAAAACTAATAGAGCGCCGAGCTGCATCCATCGAACCCTTCGACCATTCCATGACGTCCTCTTAAAACCCATCAACGTTTTGCGCTAGATATTTGTAAAAACTTTTCAATCCATAGAGTGCCTAGATATTTTTTTTTTATTCCATTCGTTTGTCGTTTTTTTCACGTCAAACAAACAAATTTCTGTTAATTTTAATCATTCTTGTCAAGTTTTGTATATATATATGTAGAGATAAATCAGTTTTTTAGTATAATTCATTAAATAATAATAATAATAGAGATAAATATATATATAGATACAAATATATTTACTTTTTCACGCACAAAAAAAAATGTATAAACAAATTTTAATTTTAATTTCAATCATCCTAACTATAACATACGGACAAAAAGTAATCCATTTCAATACAGCATCAGATTGTTTCCAAGGATGTGATTTTAATGATGGATCAGTATGGATTGGAGGAGTATCACCAAACAATAACAACTATCAATACATTGCATCGATCGATTACTCCAAGTCTAAAAACAAGTACTCTCAAAAGATTGATAGTTTTGTTAATTTGCAACTTGGCGGTTTGATCATTATTGGTAGTCCAGCCACCTCTGTCTATTTCACCTTGTTTGCCGATAGTGATATCAGTGGTTCCACTTTGATTGGTGGTAATGTCACTTTTACCGTTTCCGACGGTGGAGGTTTTGGTGCCGACAATTTGACCCTTGCCAACCAAGCCACTCTCGCTCTCGATTCAGACTGTAATGCTTTGATCAGTACTGGTGTCTTTGAAGCTGGTTCTCTCTACACTCAAGACATTTTGGGTAGTTTTGACTCTCAACTCGGATCCTCCTTTGAAGGTACCTTCCAAGTCGCCAATCAAACCACCGTCTACTTGTATGGTAAAAACTACATTGGTGGTACTTTTAGTGTACTCGGTGAAACCAAGATTGAAAATGCCGATATCTACACTCAAGCCTATTTCTATGACCTCGAAGTCACCAGCCTCGTCCAAGTCACCCCCAACAGTGGTCTCTTTGTCACCTATGACTTGATTGCTCAAAACATCTATGTCGACAGTCAAGGTCTCCTCGCCACCAACCAATACCAAACCTTCCCAGAAGATGGTTCACCCATCGTTGTCAATGTCGGTTTCATCTGGAATAATCAAGGTAGTACCGTCACTTTTGGTCAAGCCGATGTCATCACCATCAATCAAATCAACTCTCTTGGTTCAGTTCAATTCCTTGGTGACTCTGTTGTTACCGTTCAATCTCAATCAAACTTTACCCTCTTTTATTTAAATACTGTCAATAACGCCGATGGTACAACTGCCATTTTCAACCTCAACAACACTTCCATCGAAACCATCGTACCATACACTTCATCATCTGCTGAAACTTTGGTTCTCATTAGTTATACTGGTGAAAACAATCAATTGGGTTCTACTGGTATTAATTCATTGGTCAATACTACTGTTGTCGTCAATCCCGACTCTGTCTTGACTCTTAACAATTCTCAAGTTAGTTTTGCTCAAAATTCCACCATTTCTCTTTTACCAGTTTCAACTGTCATTATCGCTGGTTCACAAGTTACCGTTGAAAACATTACCGTTGAAGAAGCTACCCTTAACGTTGCCGACAGTAATTTAGATGGTACCGTTTCCATTGTTGATGGAGGTCGTCTCCTTTTCAATGTTTCCACAACCACCTCTTCAGTTTATCTTTCTGGTGAATCCAAAGCCTATTTAGCCGCTCCATTTACCATTAATGGTGGTCTCTACCTCGTAGACTCTTCATCTGCCGATATTTACATCGATCAATTGTCACTCATCACTAGCACCGTTTCCGTTCAAATCCAAGGTCTCATTAGTCTCGACACATACTCTCAATTGACCGTCACCGTTCCAAATGCCAACGACCTTGTCCTTGGAAAGACCTATTACCTCGCACTCAGTCATTCACCAATCACCATCGACGTCAACAATCAAGTCACCCTTACCAACTCTCTCCCAAGTAAAATCGTTCCACAATTTGCTACCACTACTATTGATTATGTCAATTATTTAACTCTTACAGTTATTTATATTCAAAATTAAATATATAAATAAATTAAATTAAAAATAAATATATAATATATAAATATAATTCGACTCTAAAACCACAAAAAAACAAATATCTAAAAAAAAAGATCCAAAGACAAGTCAAGTCCCCTGCAAAGGGCATCATCCTCATCTTTTTTTTTTTTTTGTGATCATTTCATTTTCAAACAGAGATATATCTGTAGATAGAGATAACAGAGAGAGAGAGAGATGGATAATCAACAAAAAAAGAAGAAAACAAAACTAAAAATATTACTATCATTGGATGGTGGAGGAATAAGAGGATTGATAACAATCTATTTTATGAGATATTTAGAAAAGGTATTGGGTATTGATATTACAACCAAAGCATCAATGATTTGTGGTACTAGTACAGGAGGAATCATAGCCTTTGGTAAATTGGAAAGACTAACAAATCAACAATTGGAAGATTTATATGTTGGTATGGGTAAAGAAATTATGAAAGTAAGAATAAATATAAAAAGATAAAAGACTCTTTCCTCTTTACTTTACTTTTACTTTTACTTATTTCTTTTTTTATATCTTTTTTTTTAGTTTTCATGTCAAAATTTAATTAAAGATCAATCAGTATGTAATACAACGGAATATACAAAACAATTGGGAAAATATTTCAAGGCTGGTACAAGTATACTGCAATTTCACAATCAAGAGACAATGGCATTTGTGACGACTAGTATCAAAGAAGACGAGTCATCATCAAACTATGAACCTTTTATTCTTAGTAATTATTGTAACCCCAAGAGAAAGATTGCACCAAAAGGCAAGTTTGATATCAATGTGGTGGATGCTCTTCGTGCCACATCGGCCATTCCAATGCTCTTTCAACTACCACGTTCAAACGGCTACGAGTTTTTCGATGGTGGACTCAGTCATAATAATCCAACCGAATTATTATACAAAGAAGCTAATCAAATGTTTGAACAAGATAATGATACTCTTTATTTAATTATTTCTTTTGGTACTGGATACATTAAAAAGAAAAAAACAAATAATATTAAAAAGGATGGTGCAGATTCATCATCAACAATGACTTCATCTACTTCATCAACTGAATCATCAACATCTGAAAATCAACAATTGGATCAAATGTTGAATCAATTAGAAATTGATGAATCGGCAATTGTAGAACAAGAACAGGAACAGACGGTAAAGAAATTAAAGCCAGGAGAAAAGATTAAAAATTTCTTTCAAAAGATTGATAATGTGATTGAAGAGTATGCACGTACAGCCAAATCATTTGTTTCCATTGTAAAGACACTTAGTCGTGTAAGTGACTCTCATAGAGCACACAAAAGAAACAAAGAAATGTTGGCTGATCGTGACAATGTACTCTATCTTCGTTTCAACCCTCAAATTTCAAATCAAATCTTGTTAAATGATTGTTCAGAACCTGCTCTCAAACAAATGCAAGGTGATGTACAAACATATATCGAATTGGAAAAAACAAAACAAAAAATAGATCTTTTATTATCTACTTTAAAAGATTTTAATATAATTGAATCAAATTAAAAATAAATTAATCAATTAATAATAATTTATTATTAAATTAGTAATAATTTGTAATACACATACATAATAATACATACATACATTGGGAGAGGGGTTGATTTTTGATTTTTTTTTTAATTATTTGTTAGTTTGAAAATGGAAATAATGATGAATTGGATCATAGTCTATTTCAAGAAATACAATCAATAGGTTGTCCATTAGAATACTATATTCATGAAAATAATCAAGATCATTTATTAGCAAAAACTAACCTTGAAAAGCGCGTTAAAGAAAACTTTGGTCATGTTAATATTGGAATCCTTAGATATCAATTATACAACATTCTATTAAAATATTTAGAGAAATATAATATTCAAATTGTATTTGATAAATCAATGATTGATATTCAACAACAACATCAACAAAAAGGCTTAAACAATAATAATAATAATATGTTATGTGTAAAATTTACATGGTAGATTGGTAATTGGAGCGGATGGAGTATTTTCAAAAACTAGAGAGAGGAGGTCCTAGTAAAGCAAATTATTTACAATATTCTCAGGATTATTGGGTGTGGTAAGAGATGAAAATATTAAAAAGTTATGGACTACTCCAGAATTGTTGGATCAATATTTTGATCAATTATATAAATAAATAAAAAGATATCATTTTATTTTAATGATTTAATGCTTTTAATTTTTGATTAAATGCTTTTTGTTGTCTATTGAATAATTTCTTTTTCTTGAAATGCATAATTGATGCCACTGATATAGCAATCAAAGCAACACCACCAATAACAACACCAACAATTATTTTCCATGTATTTGATTTCTTGTCACATCCACCATCATTACTCTTATCGATTAATAATGGTGTAAAATCTGGATCTAAAATACATGATTGACATTGAGGCATACCAATTCCAATGATTATATTTGATTGTTTTGAATTATCAATATCATTGGTTTGATTGATTAAATATGTTTTAGATAATGCATCTCTTCCATTTGATAATACATAATCTACAAATCTACCTGTAAATTGAATATTATCTTTTATCACCCTGAGGTATTGAATAGAGTCTGAAATTTGATCAAATGTTAAGCTTTGAATCTCTTCTTCTTGACAATCATATTCTACACTTTGATTATTATTGATTGTTGGTTTAAATAAAACTCTTAGTGTTGATAAAGCTGATTGATAATCCATTGACTAATATAACTGCCAATTTAATTGAATTGGCTTTGATTTGAGTGATTGTGATCCAATGGAATATTCTTGGTTTTGTTGAAAATGAAATCGTTGATGTGATGGTTGTAGTATTATTATTATTATTATTATTATTAATTATTGGTTTTCGAAGGTTTGTTAATTGATAATTGACAATAGTTGTATCAGTATTATTTGTAATAATTGGAAATCCAATTATTTGTCAATAAATTCAAATACTATTTGATTATCAATATCTATTTCTTGAATAGCAATCATTTCAAATTGGAATGATAAACCATCAATATTAAATGAAGGTGTTGGTGCTGTTGTATTTGGTTGATTGGTATTATTAATTATTTTTGTTAAACAATTATCATCCATTTGATAATCAGGATAACATTGACATACTCCATTATCATCACAAATACCATGACCATGACAATTAAATGTATCCTTTTCACATTGTTCTTTTGTACTATTACCTCCAGTATTATTATTATTTCTAGTTGGATAAATATAAATTAAATCCTTTACCAAAACTGTAATAGAATCCAAATGAACTGTAAATGATAATAATCCAACCGATGGAATAGATGGTAAAGTACAATTGATAGATTGTTGTGATTTAAAAGTAACCAAACAATTTAAAGTATTATTTGCCAATAATGATAAATCGGTTTGATTATTTGGTCCAAAATCACCAAATAAACTAATTAATCTTGTATCATTCAAATCAACTGATCCAGATGAAATAATTGGATATGCTAAATAATAAATAAATATTAATATTATAGTTTATATTTGTTTGTTTGTTTTTTTTAATACATTACATAATAATGAACAATCGGTTGAAAAATAACCAGGATTACAATCACATTGACCATTATCTAAATTACAAATACCATGACCCGAACAATTTGAATAGATTTGTTGACATTGTTGATAGGGAGTATTTAAAGTGACAAATAAAGGTTCACTTGTAAACCCATTATCTGTCAATATTGTAATATTTGATTGTGGTCCACCTTTGATATTTTGCAGTATCGTACATTCAATTTGACCTGAATTAGTTACACTAACATTACAAACTGTTGAATTGCCATCAATAATAACAACTAGTTTTGGAATTTCAATTGCAAACTTTCCATAAAATGAAAGAATTGATCCGGCTGTAATAAAATCACCAATTTCATGACTTAAAATGACTGGATAAACTAAATAAATAAATAAATAAAAAAAGGTTAGTAATAAATCAAAATGGAGATCATTTGTTTTTGTTTTTCATACTGCTAATGGGAACATAAAGAAAAGGGTTATTTTCATAACCATTTGAAAAATCAAACCACACTTGTGATAAGGGATATAGTCTATCTGTAATATTACATCTAATAGAATTACCTGCAATAGAGTCTATTTTACATTCTTTTGATTGGTTGTAAGTGACTCGATAGGTTAGATCGACCAAGGTATTTTCAAGAGTTTGAATAAAATAAAAGTTAAATTGATAGACTCCATTTGAAACTTGATTCATTTCATGATATGAATAAGTAAATACGGTCTCCAAATAGGTAAAAACAAAACTATAACTTGAATGATAAGAATCTGTTTCTATAGTTATAGGTGTTTTAATACCATAAATAAATGGTGAAATCATTAAACTAGAAAAATAGAAAAAAAAAAAGTTAATAAATAAACCCATTATTATTATTCTTTTGATTATTGTTATTATTTAACATACTCTAACTTTTTGTTACCAATTATACTGGTTAGCATATAGCTTGGTCCACTATTTCCAAACCCGATATTATTTCCATTCAGTTGTGTTATACCATTATTTGTAACCAAATCCATTGTTTCAAAGGTAATATTACAACTAAATGTTGGTGAAATCGTAAGTGATGTTTGAAATATACTTGGATTAAAAACATAGCACCAAAAACAATCTAAAATAAAAAAAAAAAAAGTTAATAAATAAAAGTATACTTTTGTTTGTGTTAATATCACTTTACCAGGAACACTAGAAATACCAGAATTTTGAATAAATAATTTGTTTGAACAAAATGATTCGGAAACAGAGCCAACAATTCCCTCGCTCTCTTGAAGATTTAATTCAAAATTGGATTTATTGGCAAAAATCCCCCAAGGTACTTGTCCATTTAAATTACTATTCTGTAAAGTCCTAAAAAAAAAAAAAGAAGAAATAGAAATGAATAAATTAAAATTCTTATTATTATTAATAATATTTTGTTTAGTTTCTACTTACATTTGTTTCAAGTTTGAACCAAGAGGAATACTTGGGAATGATGTAAAGTGATCATCATTAAAAATGATTGAAGTCAATAAAGGAGGATATGATGCAAATGGAATAACGATAGTTGATACATTTCTCATATATCTAAAATGATAGAATTGAACAAATAATTAGATTAGAGAAATAAAGAAAAGGTTTAAATAAATAAAGAACAAGATTACTTACAAATATTTTAAAGAGATAAATTGATCAAAAGTTGGAGATACTGTAGAATCATACCCTCCAAAATCAACTAAAAAAAAAAAAAAAAAAGAATAATTATTAATAATTAAACCAATAAATATATTATATTTTCACTACTTACATTGCAGTGATAGAAGAAGGGTAATAACAATTTAAATGAGTATTGATCAATACCAAGTTAGATGTGGTAATGGATTTCAAAGCAAGAGTCAACATGTAACCACTATTTTTTAATGTACTAAAAATAAATAAAAAAAACAAAAAGAGATTGTTATTAATTAATTTTACTTTATATTTTTGTTTTTTGATACATACATTGTATATAGTTTTGGAAAAGAGGAAGATTCAAAAGTAAATATTTTACCTGGAGCCAAAAGATCAGTGACAATGGTAAGTGAAACCAAATCGGGTAGATAGAGTGAAGAATCGAAATTGACAGAGTTGACATAGTCAATGGATATGGTATTAAGGGCAGAGTTGTTAAAGAATAATCCGTCTATAGATCTGTATGGACATCCTGAGGAATGAAAAATTTTCAAAGCTGGAAGAGTGCTTCCAAAACTGATTGGCATACTAATTGCACTTTGATCTGCTGTAATTCTAAAAAAAAAAATAGAAATAATAGTAAATATATTGATGAGCTTAATATTTAAATATTATTATTATTATTATTTGTTTTACATACTCTAGGTAATTAAGTTTTGGAAGATTATTAATCTTTGTCAAGATATTCTGTGTGGGGTCTGAAATGGAAGCGGGTCCATTAATGATAAACGAGGTTAGTTCAGAAAGATCTAAACTTGCTAATGGTCCAGGTTGATTAGCTGTATTTGTTCCTAATGGAATAGATCTGAATATATATTAATAATATTAATAGATTGGATTAGTTTGTTTTATTGTCTCTATTTAAGATTTGTTTTATATGACTTACATTCGTGTGATATGATAGTCTGTCGGAGCAGTACCACCAACCAATTCACAAGTGAATATTGGTGTTGCTGCACATATCGATGTTTCATCCTGTAGTATTGACAAACAGTATTGTTTAATTAACCAATTTGCCGAAAGAACTAGAGAGATAATAATAAAAATAGTTAGAAAAGTGTAAAATTGTTTTGAGTATCGTTATACATACGCTCATTTGCGGGAAGTGGTTGTGATCCAACAGTACTGATTGAACTGCAAAAGAATATTAATATTGTTATGGTAACAAGACCAAATAATTGATGTGTATACCTCCTAGACATAATATTAATCATATGATTTATTTGATGATGAAAGTTTAAAGAAGAACGAATGATGATCAGTGTAGTACAAAAAAATTAACAAGATCGGAGATATCCATTGTAAAATATCTGTTTTTTTTTATTTTGAAAAATCGTCTAGATAAAACTTACCTGCTCGCAGAGAAATGGCAAAAATATCTTCTGACGTATAGTAGACTGATTCAGTCGTTACAAGGATGAGTTTGATTTGTGAATTAGTAATTGTAAAGATCTGTTTGTAATCTTTTGGGTATCTCTAAATAAATAAATTGATTTTGAAAAATGATTGATAGTGCCTACTCACAACCGTTCTTTTATTTCCAGATACCTTTTCCATTCTTTCAAAAAGGTTTCTGGACTTGTCCTTGCGATCAAGAAATTTTCCTCTGGTATATATATGTGTGTACTAGTACTCTGTAATACTTCTATTTTTTTAAAAGAGAAAGGGTTTTAATAAATGAAAGAAAAAACATCACCATTTTTTAGTGGTGGCCAATTTGATCATCATAAAATTAGTATTCTTTTATTATTTGGGGGTGACCTGATGTTTGAATCAATTTTGGTTATCATTTTTTACCTTTGCACTTATCATAAATAATTTTATATAATAAATAAGAGGGTAGAGACCTCAACATATCAAAAATCTTTCTCAAAAGATTATAGAAAAAGAAAAGAGGAAGAAATGTACATGACTACCACTATACAAAATAATTGGTGACCATACAACCATAGAACAGTTGACGGTATGCATCTAACAAAGAAAATGACTGGGAAAAGAAAGAACCCAACAGGTTTAGATTTCAATATTACACCATGAAATTGAGGTTGATTTGATGGTGCCACAATTTGCTCGATTCTGGTGAAACATCACCAAATCAACCTCAATGGAGCTGGCAAGTTAATAGAATTTTTGAAACAAGTTCAATCAAGTTTGTTTAAATCAATAAAATATATTATAAAATTCTTTTTTATTATTTCATTGCTTTTAGTGTAGCGCTCATTGCTTTTTGTTGTCTATTGAATAATTTCTTTTTCTTGAAATGCATAATTGATGCCACTGATATAGCAATCAAAGCAACACCACCAATAACAACACCAACAATTATTTTCCATGTATTTGATTTCTTGTCACATCCACCATCATTACTCTTATCGATTAATAATGGTGTAAAATCTGGATCTAATATACATGATTGACATTGAGGCATACCAATTCCAATGATTATATTTGATTGTTTTGAATTATCAATATCATTGGTTTGATTGATTAGGTATGTTTTAGAGAATGCATCTCTTCCATTTGATAATACATAATCTACAAATCTACCTGTAAATTGAATATTATCTTTGACAACTCTGAGATATTGAATAGAGTCTGATATTTGATCAAATGTTAAACTTTGAATCTCTTCTTCTTGACAATCATATTCTACACTTTGATTATTATTGATTGTTGTTTTAAATAAAACTCTTAGTGTTGATAAAGCTGATTGATAATTCCATTGACTAATATTAACTGCCAATTTAATTGAATTGGCTTTGATTTGAAGTGATTGTGATCCAAATGGAATATTTCTTGGTTTTGTTGAAAATGATATAGTTGATGTGATGGTTGTAGCATTATTATTGTTGTTGTCGAGTGTTTTGTTTAATTGATAATTGACAATAGTTGTATCAGTATTATTTGTAATATTTGAAATCCAATTATTTGTCAATAATTCAAATACTATTTGATTATCAATATCTATTTGGTGAATTGCAATCATTTCAAATTGAAATGATAAACCATCAATATTAAATGAGGGTGTTGGCGCAGTATTGTTTGGTTGATTGGTATTGTTGATTATTTTTGTTAAACAATTATCATCAACTTGATAATCAGGATAACATTGACATACTCCATTATCATCACAAACACCATGACCATGACAATTGAAAGTTTCCTTTTCACATTGTTCTTTGCTGTTACCTCCAGTATTATTATTATTATTATTTGGATAAATATAAATTAAATCCTTTGCAATGGTTGGAGTAATAGAATCTACTTGAACTGTAAATGATAATAATCCAACCGATGGAATAGATGGCAAAGTACAATTAATAGATTGTTGTGATTTAAAAGTAACCAAACAATTTAAAGTATTATTTGCAAATACTGTTGCATTTGTTTGACCAAATGGTCCAAAATCACCAAATAAACTAATTAATCTTGTATCATTCAAATCAACTGATCCAGATGAAATAATTGGATATCCTAAAATAAAAATAAAAAGATTAATATTATTTCTTTTTTTTTTGTCTATTTTTTTTTTACATACTATTTGTACAATCATTTAAATAATAACCATTATTACAATCACATTGACCATTAATATTACAAACGCCATTACCAGAACAATTAGAGGTAGTTTGTTGACAGTTGGTTCTTGGAGATTGATAATTTGGTGTAAATGTGGGACTTGCAAAACCATCTATTGTCCAAATGGTCACATTTGTAGGTCCACCATTAATATTACTTGTTGTACGACAAGTAATATGTCCACTTGTAGATACACCAGAGTTGATACAATTGGTAGCATTGCCATCAATGTAGATGAGTGCCGATTCGGCAGCTGGACCAAATACTCCGGAAAAGGCAAGCTCTGTTCCGACTTGCACCATGATTTCAAAAGTTGATTGAATGTATGGATAGGTGGTAGTAGGTAGAGGATAATTATTTGAAAGATTAAAAAAACCATTTGACAAGAATACATCATTTGTTTTTGAACGATAAAGTGGAGCTGCAAGATCACATTCAATCGTACTGCCTACAATATTTACAATATTACATGACCCAGTCTTGTTGTTGAATAGGATCGAATGTGTTAGATATGGAATAGATTGTTGCATATCTTGTAAAAATGTAATAGAGAATCTATAGATTCCCATTGGCACCTGTATCATTGTATAGGTTGATACTTGGAATTGTACCTCTAGATAGGTAAAATTATTAAAAATATATTGTGAATAATACGGATTTAATTGTAAGGTTATTGGTGTTTTAACTCCATAAGCTGCTGAATTCTTTGTAAATCTAAAAAATAAAATTAAAATAAATATCGATTCCTATTTAATGTTTTAAAACTATACATACAATAACTCTTTGTTTGCAATTTTAGGACTTAGAACATAACCACTACCAATGTTACCCCAACCTATCAAATTACCTTTCAAAATACCATTTCCTCCTACTGTAATTATATCAAAATTATCAATTGTCATGTCTATTTAGAGTAAAAAAAAGAAATATAAAGTTATTATATTATTTTTTTTTTTTTTGTTCTTTCTTTACATACTACAACTAAAAGTTGGCGAAATGGTAAGTGATGTTTGGAATACAGTTGGATCTTTAACAAAACACCAATAACAATCTGGTACACTTGAGATACTAGTACCCTTGATGAGCAATTTGTTTGAACAAAATGACTCTGGAACAACTCCACTGATTCCTTTACTTTGATCAAGAAGTACAACAAGATTATCGAAACCGGAAAATAAGTTCCAAGGTACTTCTCCTACATAGTTACTAAATTGTAAACCACTAAAAAAAGAGATTAATAAATAAATAAATCTATAGATGAGAACGACGACAAATAAACTTACAAAGTGGTTGTTTTAGATCCTAGTGGAGTAGTTGGAAAAGTTGTAAACTTGTCAATTGGGTAGATCATACTTTTTAAATTGGGAGGGTAATATGTCAAAGGTGATGTATCTGAAGAATCTATAATTGTCCTAAAAATAAATGATTATTAGTTTAGAATTCCACATTTATATATATCTATCTTTAATCTTACAAAGATTCCAACCCAACATATTGATTTAAATTTTCAGTTATAGTTGATTGTTGACTTAATATTCTAAAATGAATTAAATTAGTATTAAATTCTATTATATTTTGTTGATTGATTAAAACTTACTATGCTCTAACATTGGATGGGAAATAATTTGTTACAATTGTATTCTTTACAGAGATGAGAGTTAAGGATGTATTTATAATGATGGTTGGGATTTGACCATCATTTACTATGTCACTATTATAAAAACAAATAATAATAATAATAATATTAGTCATAATTCCTCTAATAATAATAATGTGGTCGAATCAACTTACAGATAATTTAATTGTGGAAATGATGACGATTCAAAAGTGAATGTCTCTGGAGCTGGGAGGGTGAGATCAACAGACAATTGTCGTAACATTGGTAAATAAAGTGATGAATCAATTGCAAGATGTTCCAATCGGTAAATATCCACCAGATCAACAGTAGATCCGTTAAAGAATGGGACAACTGATGTATAGGGACACCCAACAGAGTTGAAGTTTTGTAAAGATTTAAGATTATTTGAAAAATCTGCAGGCATACTTGTTGCACTCTCTTCACTGATTAATCTATTAATAGTGGTCACAAAATAAAATGATATTAGAAATCATCGTCCAGTATATATATGTAAATCATCGTCCAGTATATAGGTTCAACTTACCGAATATTTTTAACAGCTGTAAGATTTCTCATCATTTCCAAGATGTTCTGAGTTGGGTCTGCCAATGGATACACTTTTTGAAGTGTGATATCGGTCAACCCTGGTAAATAGAATAATGGATATGTCCCAGGGTTCACAATAGGTTCTTGTCCACTTGCTAAGTTTCTATAATAATATAATAATAAATGAATATATTAATATATATATATTTAGTCAACTTTTCAATCATGATGATCATGATGATGATCTCAATCGAGAGAGATTTACATACATCTTTGTAATATGGTAGTTATCAACAGGACCCTGACAAGTAAACATGCTTGTAGCTCCACATATCGCAGATTGTGTGAGTGCAAGTGTTAATCGATACTGTGTAACTAACCATTTTGCTGAATTAACTAATAGTAGTAGTAGTAGATAGATAGAAAGATACACATTAATTAATTAATTAGATTCTAAAAGTGAAGTGGTGATGATTAAAATAAAAATAACAAACATAAGTTCTTCAGGTTCTAATAATTGCGCTGAAACTAAAAAGGTCGATAATAAAAATATGAGTGACCCCAATACCAACACCTTTGTCAACATAACATTGAATAAATATTTATTACTCTTCATTATTTTAGTGATACATATATATAGATATATACAGATATAAATAAATAAGATTATCTTAATCTAAAAGTTTAAAAAGAACTGATTCAGACTTGTTATCTTGTCGAGCTATTGTTGCAGTGAGAACTTTGAGATTCACCAGTGGAAAAGAAAGTCGTAAAAATCTGATTAAAAGTCGATTTTTTGTTTGAGAACCACGGAAAATGGAGATATGCGGGACACGCCCTTACGATTACGACCTCATATCATAGATGGGTATTGATCACTGTTAACAGTAACCAACAATAAGAAAAAGAATACCAAACTCTGTGGATAGATATACATAACAATAACTATATTCTATCACAAATAGTATTATGTAATTTTGAAAGAGCAATAGAGTAGATTTCGAGGAAATTTTCATTGGATGATGAGCGATAATAATAATGAAAAATGTACACAAACTCAACATTCATTTTCTTTTCGATTTAATTTAACTTATTTAGAGACAGATAGAGAGAGAACTCTGTAGATAAAGATATCAATGTCATTTGAAACTTGTAAGTTATAGATAGATAGTTAGTTAACATTACTCTTTGCTTTGTATTTGTATTCTAACCAAGGTTTATTATTACTTTTCTTTTTAGCTGTTCAAAGTACAGTTAAATTTCAAAGTGAAAAGGATGGAGAGTTGGATGTTACCAATGCAAAATATATTGCAAAGATGATAGACTCGCATATGGGGAGTTACAACATACCAAAGGAAAAGATAGTTGACAAGATCATCAAGTTGTTTGAGACTAGTCTATTGCCAACTTGTGGAAAGAACTTTTTGTTCTTGATGCTTGGCTACTTGAAACCAGACAATGCACTTGCGCTGAAAGAGATATTCATGACACGAGCCAATCTCAAACCATACGTACCGGTTCTATTCAACAATTTGTTGTTTCATCAAATCAATCTACGTCACTTGTCATCACTCAAACATCGATTTGTATCACTCTTTGAAAATAATCATAGTATTGATAGTAATAATAATAATAATAATAATAATAATCAACAAGATGATGATAATGCTTTTAATTACAGACTTGGTGGACCTTACCTTGCAAAACCAAAAGATGAACATTCAGATGATGATGATGAAGTGTATGATAGTAACAATTGTCGTATCCCATCAAATCATCGTGACTTGGATTATTCAAGTGACCCAGATGAATTGTGTCCGTTACTAGATGTATTCCAAGCGGTGGATGGTAGTCGATCGCTTAGATTCAAGGACGAGTTGATCGATGATGCCGAGTATGCTCAAGTATACTATCCCGCCAAACACCGTGTCACTAATCGTGTGTCGGTACCGTCATACCCCATCTTTAAAGACACTTTTGATGTATTTACAATGGGTATGTTAAAGAGTGTCGATTGGGATGACGGACAAGGTTGCAAGGTTGTAGTGGCTGGTGGTGCAGTGATTAGTGGATTGTTTCCCGTGCCACAAGACTGTCTCGATGCTTGGCAACAGTTGCAATGGGCCAGACGCGCCATCTCATCGCTGCCACTGTATCCTCGTAACTTGATCCTACAGTACTTGGCGCTGGAAGACGACACTAGCTATCACGCAATGACCTACAACCGTTTCTTTAAGAATCGTCATTGGGCAACTGGTGACATTGACCTGTTTATCATTGCCAAGTCTGCCAAAGACGCCAAGAAACGTGTCATGTCATTGATTGATGAGGTGACAGCTAATATCCCCGTGCAGTACCGTATTATCAAGACTGACCGCTCTGTCACGATCCTCCCGTTATTCCCATACCGTCCCGTGCAGATCATCACAACCATCTTGTCGTGTCCACAAGACTACTTGGTCTATTGTGACTTGGATATCGCTACCTTTATCTATGACCCACCAACCAAAAACATTGTCACGATGGACAGAGGGTTCTGGGCATTCAACAATCGATACAATGTGATTGGACCAGCCGAATGGAAGATATCGGCACATCGTTGTGAAAAGTACTATGCCAGAGGGATCGGTACTCTCATATTCGAGGTGTGCAAGCATGTCCCACGATGTGACGGCATCAAAGAAATGCCATTCCACTATGATGAATCGAATCTGCCATACGGTCAACACATTGCCACTCTTGAAACACTCGACTATATTCTATTGGCTTCCGAACCGGCTGTAACCGTCATCTCGTCGTCTGACCCACCACCACTATACAATAGTCCCCTATCGATCGGGTATCGTGCCGATATCCTAGATGAAATGATAGAGATTAGTTGGAAGTACAATTACGATGACAAACATTTTAGAAAGGAAAAGTGTTATCAATGTGGTATTGAAATTAAAATGAATATTGATGGTGATCAAAAAATAATAGATGAACAGAAAGATACAACAACAAAAGATACAAGACAACAACAACCAGACCCACTTGTTTGTACAAAATGTAGAAAAACAAATAATAAGAAATGGAATCAATGGGATAAAATCAAAGTTGATAATAGTTGTGCTAGTGGAAAGAGATATGCATTGGTAACTGGTGGTCGTATTAAAATTGGATATGAAGCAGCTGTTAGATTGTTGTGTAGTGGGTTTACGGTCATGGTAACAACTAGATTCCCTTACAATGCAGCCAAGAGTTTTTCAGAGGAATCTACTTATGAACAATGGAAGGATAGATTACATGTCTATGGTATCGATCTACGTCATTTATTAGATGTTGACAGATTGACTGAATATGTCAAAAAGACATTCCCAAGATTAGACATTCTCATCAACAATGCTGCACAAACTATTCGTAGACCACGTGCCTATTATCATAGTCTATGTAACTCTGAAACAACTCTATCAGCACTACCCAACTCTAATTTACAAAAACTTATTGTTAATAATACTCATTCAATTAATTTAACGAATAATAATAATAATATTGATAATAATAATAATATGGGAGCAGTATCTGAAGCTGGTAACAAATTACTGTCAATCATTCCATTAACACCAAATAATTCAAAAATATCTGCACAAATGACACAATTGGTATTACATGAACAAGATGTAGATGAAGAAAACACTGCACTGTTCCCAACCGATTTGACTGATGAACATGGTGAACAGTTGGATTTACGTACCAAAACAAGTTGGAATATGAAGATTGAAGAGATATCACCACTTGAAATGTTAGAGGTTCAAGTTGTCAATGCATCGGTTCCCTTTGTATTGGTACGTAATTTGTCTGCTTTGATGGGTGCCAATTGTAAACATGAAAAGGATGGTAAAGGAGAAAAAAGAAGAGGAGGACCTACTACTCCATTGGTACCAATCCACGAGAATGGTATGGGATGGGGTTTCATCATCAATGTGTCGTCTCCAGAAGGAGCATTCTCTGGTAAAGAGTCTGGGTTCCATGTTCACACCAATATGGCAAAGTCAGCACTCAACATGATGACCAAATCAATTGCAACTCAATACATCAAAGAACAAATCTACGTCGTTGCAGTCGATCCTGGATGGGTCACTAAAATGCAACCATTTGGCTCTGAGGTCGCTATCAACGAAGCACCCCTAACAGTCCAAGATGGTGCATCAAGAATATTAGATCCAATCTATCAAAAACTTCTAGGTTCAAATAATATTATTCAAGATGCTGTCAAAGATCCTCATTATCTACCATCAGATGACAATGACCAAAAGGTTATAGGAGTAAGAGCACAACTTGTCAATTCTTTCATGTCACAAAATCATGGTTGCATTTATAAACATTTTGGTCCAAATCCTTGGTAACCCATTCACTCGTTTCACAATTCAAATGTTTTGTTTTGTTCAAAAAAATAACATAAAATATTTTTAAGTATTTATTAAATTATTATAAAAAACAATAAAATTAATCTCACAATTACTACATGTAAATTAAATTAAAATAATATTGTTGTTGTTGTTTTGGTGGTTGTTGTTTTGGTTGTTGGGATTGTTATTATTAATAGAATTGATTGCTTCTTCATCATTTGGGAAATAATCTGGTTTGATGGTTGAATATCTACCTACGTTGACACGATAAGTTGGTGTCAATGCAGGTTTGGGTGGCATCTTTCTAAATAATATAATTACAAATATGGATGGTATAATTTCACTAACACCATAATAAATTGAAATTGATATATCATTTACCTAAACAAATATAAAAATAAAATTAAAATTAATAAATAAATCTTTTTTACCATTGTTTTTTTTGTTGTTGATTGTTTAAGGGTTACCTTGAAATTTTTAAAATAACTAATAATAACAAATAATATTGATCTACTAAGGAAACAAAATGTACATAAAATAGTAAAAGATACAACTTCGATTAATTTTCTCTTTTTTCCAGGTGAATTGATTGGATTCTTTTTCAATTTGATCGATAATTTAACTCCATAATATAAAAATCCAACAGCAGCAATAAAGGAAATGACAGCATAATAAGTGTTATCGACATTATCCATAGTGTCACGATTGATTGGTGCTACTCCAATAATAATCCAAATTACAATTTGAATGATATAAATCAATGCTACCGAAGCGAAAAATACTGGTTTGATCACTTTCTTATAGAAATCCAACTTGTTTCTTGCATGATAAACAATTTCAATCCTAAATTTAAATAAATAAAATAATTAATATATATATACTTATATTATAAGGATATGTTTCATGTTTTTGATTAACTTACCAAAATAATATTAATAAACAAAATGTAAAGAAAAATGTAATACAACCAACATCATCGAGAATGGTAAAGTATTCATTGGAGAATTTACCAAGATCAAATGTTGTCTTTGTAGAATTTGATACTACCAATGAAGTAAAGAATGTTGTTCGGACTAAAGAAAAAAAAGGTTAGTACAAAAATCATTATGTGTATCTTTTTTGTTTTAAATACATACATGTACACGTAATAAACAATAATATAAGGAATGTCTTTTGAGTTGTGACTCTTTTAATTGGGAATCCAGCTCTATAAATTCGAACCAGTTGAATCAGTGGTACAAGTGCAAGTATACTATAAGCAAATACCAAAACAATGAATATTCTAGACAATGATGATATATCGGCTTGAGATGAATGTCCCATTTTCGAGAGATATCCTCTTATCTACTCTATCTCTATCGATACTCTCTATATGTTGTTGAGGTTCTAAACCCTTGCAGTCGGTGGTGTTTTAGTACAACTGCTGTTGTCTGCAATCCAGCTGTCTCCTTCTCTCTTTTTCTTTTCTCTTTCTCTCTCTTTCTCTCTCTCTCCTCTCTTTTTAATTTCTAAATAAGGGATGATATTTGTTTATTATTATATAAGTATCTCTTTGTTACTACTATCTGTAGTTGTAACTCTCTCATCCGCGGATGGACTCTCTCTCGAAAAATAAAATCGCTTTGAATGACCAAGAAAACTCGAATGAAGATTAATAAAATTAATAAACATTTTTCACTATCAAGGAGGGTCAACTTGTGTTTAATAATATTGTATTGTATATATTACACATATCTCTCTCACTCTCATTTATAATATATTATAATTCATTATCTTTTATACAACATTCATTTCATATGTGATTATTATTATATATATATCATATATGATTGATAGTAGTAATAATAGCAATAGTAATATAGCGACCAACAACACTAGTGTTAAATGATAGATCAATTTTATATATCAACTAATAGTCATAGTAATAGTAATAGTTCAAATGGTACATCATCATCATCAACGGCGACGACAACAACAACAACAACTACAACAACAGAACAATTCACAGATGAACAAATAGCATCATTGGACAAGATAGTTTATGTGACAAGTTCACTTGGATGTGCAGGCGCATTGTTTATCATTGTATCATATCTACTATTTAAAGACATTCGATCGTTTGCGACAAAGTTGATATTCTATCTTTCTCTTTCCGATTTAATGTCTGCGCTGTCGTATCTACCGTTTGGACGTCGAAGCAATGTATTGTGTGATATGCAAGGTATGGGATTACTCTTCTTTTTGACGTCATCCTACTTTTGGACCATGTGTATCTCTATATCGTTGTTTTTGGTCTTTTTCACCAACCGTTACGAACTAAACTATCTCCTCCGCTACTATCACTATGTATGCTGGGGTATTCCTCTCTTTTCAACATCGGTCTCTTTGATTTTTGGCGCATATGGTCGGACGGGCTCATGGTGCTTTATCGCAGACCCAACCAGTTTCTTTAGGCTCTTTTATTATCTTCCTCTTATTGTAGTTTTCTTTGTTAATCTTGTAGTTTTTATTTGTATTAGGTAAGTAATAGATTAGATAGATAGATAATCAATCAAATCATTTAATTAATTTATTTATTTATTTATTTATATTTTAGATGGAAAGTATCACAACATTCAAATTCATTAGTTTCCAAAGTTAATATTATAGTATCATTTTATTTGTTGGCATTTGCATTGTCACAGTTGCCAACGATCATCAATAGTATTCAGAATTTTTCGGATCCTCAGCGTCCCATGTACAGTTTATTTGCCTTTCAACTATTATTACAGCCACTTCAGGGGTTCCTCAATTGTATAGTCTATGGATTCAATGAAGGATTTGTCAGTCACTATGTAGAGTTTTTCGAGCGACATGTCTTTAGATGTCGCAAATCAAGAGAGATGAGACAAATCGAAGTCGACACTACCAGTCTCTTGGTGGATTATGAAAACAGTGATGAAGAATCAAGTACTACAAATATGGATCGTTTCATCATTGACGATTATTCTTCTCATCTTTAAATAGATGAAAAATCAAACCAAAACCTCTAAAAGTAATATTACAACAACAACAACAATCTATTAACAACAATCTATTAACAACAAATAACAAATAATAATAATAATAGTAATAATAGTAATAGTAATAGTAATAGTATAATGAATGACTTGGTAGTGTACGTTTTGATCAAACCCATATCACAGTTTCAAACCATCCAACAAATATATAAATCAATATTTAAATATATTATCCTTCAGTCAAGAATATTGGAAATACTTTTTAAATATCATATCGATCGATGATCATCGTCAATCAACTTCATCATGATATGAAATATATATTTCCATTGGATACTCTCATATAAATACAAATATATTATGTTTTATATTATATGTATGTATCTTTATTTATTATTATTATTGTTATTTATAAACCCTGACTATTTCGATTCAACCACCAATTTCCTCTTTTCGTCCAACTGGATTTCAGGAATCGTGGTGTGAAGAGAGGGTTGTGGGTAGGGTGGATTGTAGGGGTTTGCACAAAAATATCGATCCATACACATTAAAATGAGGCATACTGTCTGGATTGGAATTGGTACCCACAGTGTTATATGTTTTAGGCTGACCCCTACACACACACCATATATTCATTAAACACACACACTGTTTTTAAATAAATAATAATAATTAATTTTTATTCTCCATGCTGTTGTGTCTGTTTGGAGTGAGTAAAGTGAGTGAGTGAGTGAGTGACGATGTATTTCTTAACTATTTATTTTATTGACATATAATAATAATCCAAGCAAGCAAGAAAGACATTTATTTATTTATAAAAGTTTAGCTTGCAACAACACAGTGACAGACAGACAAAAAGACAGGAAGAAAAGGAACAAGGAAACAGTGATTATTACGAATCAACCATCCCATCCATCCCATCCAATCAAATATAGTGGTCAAAACAAAGAATATTAAAACAAATAATAATAATAATAATAATATAAATAGCTGATGAATACTGATACCAATAGATGTTTTTAAAGACACATTAAAAAAAAAAAATAATTCTCATTGATTATTATTCCATTCCTAAAATCAACCAACAACAACTGCGCAAAACACTAATATACATATTCAAATCGATTCACTATCTATATTCCCATCATACATATATTGATTTTTATTCCATTCATTTGGTTTATTTATTTATTATTATTTATTCGTTAATATTTACACTTTTTATATAATATTCTGGTAAGATTGATCAATCATTAAATATTATATACACCATTATTATTATTATTTCTAACCAATTCCATTTACCTACATATATATATATTATATATATAACAGTATCATTATTAAAACTACTCTAAATATTTCACCGTAGAAAATGATGCACGCTGTCGAAATGTTAAAGCCTGATGATCCTCCTTTAAAACGATCAAAGGAACCATGCGGGCTATGGTGTTGTTGTGTATTCACCATTGCTTTATGTATGTTAATTATTATTATTATTATTATTGGAGAAACATATTAATATTTCAATATTAATTAATATATTTTAGTAATTAGATTATTATGTTTGGTAGCTGGAGGTGTCCAAACAGCTATGGGAGGATATACATTTTTCATGATAGTAGGAACTAAAGATAAAAGTGCTGTAAATATACTTCAACTTACCGTTATTGGTATTTTTGGTCTGTATGTTATCAACCATCGAATCAACCTTCATTTCATTTCCATTCCATTATTCACTAATCAATCTTTTTATAGTATGACAGGAGTTATGATACTTTATGCAGAATTGAGAAATAGATGGACAAGAAAATCATTAAAAGTATTTATCTTTTTGTGTAATGGTTTGGCTAGAGGTTTAGTTTATATTTTGTATGTATCATCCACATCCATCCATCTATTTTTTTTCCTTCCCTAACCTAAACATTATTTTTAATTTCATTTTTTTAGAGTTGGATGTATCAATATTCCAATTCCATTCAAAGTTAAATTAGGAATTGAGATTACAGCAATGTATATTGGATTTTTCATTATTGGAGCTGGATTCCTTTCACTCATATTCTGGGCATTCACCTGGAGAAGAAAGAGACTTATGCATCGTAACGATATCGCTGCACACCAAATCTCTGAGCACAAGACTCAAATCTACGAATTGTTTGAACAAAAACAAACCGCTGATCCCAAACAACAAAAAGGTGATGTTGAAATGAAACCTGTCCAAGAAGCCTAAAAAAAACAAATCAAATCAAAATATTAATAATATAATAATAATATAATATCTTCTTCCTTTGCAATACTAAAATAATATAGTAGTAATAATAACTAATTAATTAATAATTAATTAATAGTAATAATTAATATATCTCCTCCAAAAAATAATAATAATAATAATATCTATAAACATATATATATATATATTGTAACTTTACCCATTCTTTTTCTTTTTTAATCTATTCTTGTTTCTTTATATTTTTATAATAATTTATACAATATTGATTTAATTGTTTGATACATTGTGAAACTATTTGATCTATTCCAATTATACTATCGGTATCGATTGTAATTACATCTGGTTCATTATTATTTAATGGTTCTTCCAAAGCAGAGAATTGTGATGTGAGAAGAGTAGCACCGAAATAGTGATTGGAACGTGCGGTTAGACGTGCGAGGATAGAGTCATATGAACCTTTGAGATAGATAAATACCATACCTCTATTATCACGTCTAATATCGTCACGATACCTTGATTTTAGAGCTGAACTGACCACTATACCCAACTCATTCTTGCTTGCTAGACTGTATGCTACATCGTTGATTCTAGCCAACCACGGTGCACGATCATCATCGTTTAGAGCTTGTCCACTCTTCATTTTTATGATATTATTTCTTGGATGTAAATCATCTCCATCTATAAATTTACATTGTTTGGCTTGTTTGTTGATTTCTAACCTTTCTTGAACATCATCTCCTCTATCACCTCCATCACCTGCAACAGCAAGCAAGTCTGTTAATCTTTTTGAAAGTAATGATGCAATAGTTGATTTACCACTTCCACTAACACCCATGATAATGATTGAGTGTATTACATGACCATCTATATCGCTACCATCATTTGTATTATTATTTGTATTTGTAGTTGACATTATCTATCTATCTCTCAAAAAAAATAGAAACAAAGTAGTTCGAAAAACTGTACCTCTGCACACCCAACTTCAAAGCTGATACCCACTAGTTGTGAATTTCAGAATCAGAAAAGATATTCGATTCATTACATACATACATATATAAATAGATAGATAGATAGTTATAATTCAATTCATATATTAATATAGTTGTAGAAGAAAAGAGATTGATTGATAGATCGAGTGTGTGTGTATATTTAGAAAGATAACTTTAGAGAAAGAGGATGAGTTTAAATCCGTCAACTTTATTAGAGAATTATTATGTATCACTTGTCAAAGCAGTAGCAGATGGTGCAAAGAGTAACAACTTGTTACTCAAGTTTGACGTGCTGTCCAATGTGGGAGTGTTACTCGACCGCATGAACAAGACAGAGATTGACAGTATCGCTTCGAAATGGATTCAAACGCTAAGCAATTGTTTGGCTCAGTCTACGGGGTCGTCACTCGCCAACATCATCGGATCGATCCTTGCAAGATTATTCGAGTATCCACAAGGTTCAAAAGTATCAACTTCAATCGTTAAAGTCATCCTTACCAACATTCGTGCTAAAACAACTACTGTACCAGTTAAATCGTAAGAAGCATTAAAGATAAATGAATATATTTTATAATATATTAATATTAATATTAATATTTGTTTGTTTGTTTGTTTGTTTTATAGATCATTAATTGAAGTATTAGGAATTATATGTAAGAATAGTAAAACGTTTGCTATTCTATTTCAACCAGATATATTTGATTTGTTGAGTAAACATATCAAGAGTGGTGAATTAAGATGTCAATCGATTCGTGCACTTTCTATGGCAGTAGAGAGTGTACAGGCTGCTGGCAACTCTATACATCTTGAAGTATTTAGATTGATCAAGAGTTGTTACAGTGTGTCGTCGAGTGCCAGTCTATTGACCTCGAACCCGACCACCTCCCCACACCTCCTCATTCAGGATTTCAAGGTTGAAAGTCTCAATACTCTCATCCCAGTATTAAAGTATTATAATAGTAGTGATTCTAAATTTCATCTTGATGCATTTGATCAAAAAATACTTAGTTTTATTTTAAAAGTAAGAAAGAAACAAAAAAAGAAAGATGAAACATCCAAAAGATTGTTTATTTATTTTCTTTTTGTTTTAGGGATTTGAAGATGAAAATCAAGTATGTTCAAAGAAATCAGCTGAAACATTGGGATTGGCATTATCTATTCTATTATATAAAGATGCTCAACAATCACAGGTATTTGCACCGACAAGTGCCGCCAAAACAAATCAACAACAACAAAATCATTGGACTTTTGAATCTTGTTTAAATTATTTGGGTAGTCAATATGGTACATACAGAATACACATACAAAACAAAACAATATTTTAAGATTATTATATTAATACTTTTTTCCTTTTTTTATTTTCTAGTTTCATCAAACAAAAAAGAATTCAAGATTAATATGGCTATTTCAATTACATCATTTTTACAGAATCTTAAATTATTGGATTTAGAGAAATCAGTTGATATGGTATTAACATTGTTGGTTAAATTATTGAGTAATAATAAGAGTTTGGCACTTGTAAACGATCAAATTTATGCACGTACATGTATTTCACATATACTTAGACATGGGTTAGGCGAAAAGGTATCTGAAAATGGTCAACAACTCATGTTAAAATTCTTTATCAATATTCTTTCTCAATCTGAAACATTAAATGAATTAACTGTTTTAGTTTCTCTAAGAGAATTAAGGTAATTTGATAAATTTTAAACAAATCTATCGTTTATTAATTAATTTTATACTCTTTAGTTATTTATTATTTGATTTAGGGGAAGGTGGAATATTACAAGCAGAAGATTTATCAAATCATTTATTTGGGTTGTTGGTAGACAAGAATCAATCGATTAGACAATGGTCAGCTATATGTTTGCGTGCATTGGTGACCAATATTCCCAAACAAACTTCAAAGTATCTGTCACAATGTCTACAAAACTTGAATCAGACGTTGGGAGAGTTTGATAAACCAAATGTACAACCAGAACCTCTTAAAAAGATTACCAACTCTGTCAAGGGTCACGCATATGGTATTAGCGGACTCATCTCATCACTCAAAAAATCAGATCTTGGTGTACCAACTTCATTAATGAATGAAATTACAAAGACTGCTTCATCACTTTTATCAAATCCTGATTTCTTAAATCCAGCTAGTATGCAAAGAAAAATTAAATCATCCCATCATAAAGTATTAATCTTTTTTATTTTTATTTTTTAGTTACATTATCAAAATTAGAAGCAGGATGGATTATAATGAATTCATTGATTAAATATATGAGTGTCAATTTTATTGAATCGATATTACCAAATTTATTTGGATTTTGGAAATCATGTTTTAATATTACTACGATTCATCCAACTGCTGAACGTGACATTGTTATTTTTGCAAAGACACGTGCTGATGCATTGATGCCATTGCACTCGTTTATCGTCAATCATCAGAAATTGTTGGGTTCCAAGATTGTAGCATCGATCGTTTCATTCTTGGGCAACACTCTAAAGACAGTCTCTGAGCTGCCAGCCATCAGTTCATCATTCCAACCATCAACCAATGAACTCACACAACTATTGGAAGCCAATTTAATCAAGGCTTTCTTGGCACTACCTCCATCCTCTTATGCAACTCATCACACCACTTTAATGACTGTTGTCACTTCCCTCCTATTAGATGGTTGTCAAAATACAATGATTCCCTATTTATTGTCCAAAGATGATGAAGATGTCATTCAACCAGATTTTACTTCAATTCATTATAAATTTGATTCAATGGTAAAAAAAAAAAAATATATTTACAACAATCATAAATAATATTTCTAATATTCTCTTTTATTTTAATTTTAGTTTTTAGTACCATTAGCAACTCAAGATTCATCTATTACATCATTATTAAATTTTAATGATTGTTTCCTACCTAAATTTGTAAGTAAAATGAAAAAAGAATTAAAATCCTTTCATTAATTAATTTTATTTATTTTTCGTTTAGACTCAAAACCTTGAAATTAGAGTAGTAAATAATTCAATTGAACAATTTACAGCATTGTTTATTGCACAACCAGATCGACATAGAACTAAATTATTGGATCATTTGGCAAATTGTATAAAGGAATGTCCAAATGCACAACAAAGATTGATTATGCAAATCAATTCATTGACTGTTATTTTCTATATTTTGAAGAGTATGGTATCGACTGGAAGCAATTTTGGAAAGAGTGATGTTGGAAGTAGTATTCAACGATTTGTTCAGAAATATGTCAGCGAACCATCATCCGCATTGCTTAGAAGAATCGCTGCTGAGAGTCTTGGATTACTGTGTCGTATCGAAGGTGATAATATCACTGCAGCCATTCTCAAGACATTGACAGAGATTGTTCGTAAACCAGCCAAAGAAGTAGCAACTGAAATGAGATCTGCTGCCGGATTTGTAATGGGTTGTATTCAACGTAGTGTTGGTGCTATGATGTCACAGAAATACCTACCAGCAACTATTGGAAACTTGCATGTATTGGCACAAGATAATAGTTCTTGGGAAGTCAGATCATACGCATTACACGCACTCTATGTCACTATTCAATCGTGTAGTGGGTTTGCATTCAACTCGTTTGCATCTCCCACCCTTTTACTTTTACAAACATTGTTGGTGAGTGATACTGGGTGTCCTCCATACCAGCAGTTGGGTCGTATCGTCAACTCGATTGTCGTAGCACTCGGTCCAGAGCTCGAGCACAACAAGGACGTACTCAGCAAGTGTACCACCACATGTGCCGTCATTGAAAAGAACGAAACACCCTCTACACGAGTCGAATCAATCTACTATAAACAAAAACTCATCCTGTTTGCTCCCGCAACCGTCAATGAATCCATTGTCCCCTATCTCACATCACAATTCAAAAGTCCATATCTAATGCTACGTATTGCTTCCATCACATGTCTTCGTCAATTACTTCAAAAGAAATCAACCATTGAAATTGGTATTAAAATTGTTGATGAATTATTTTTAATGGTAAATATTATAACAATAATAATAATATATGATTATTTATTTATTAATGTATTTATTTTATAGCTTGATATTGAAAATGATACACAATTACAAAAAGAATTAAAATTATTATTAAATGCAGTGATTGATAATATTTCAAACAATTCAAATCCATCACAATGGTTGAATTTATGTTTGAATATTATCTTGTCAAGTAAACAAATGACAAAGGATACAGTGTCACCAACCAATATAGAAATGTCTGGATCGACATCATCTGCAACTGCTCCTGGTAAAACAGTATCACCAGACGAGGAAAAGGATGAAGAGGAAGAGGATGTGCAAGTAGTTGCCGATCAAACCAAGGAACAAAAGATTGAATATGTTTATAGATGGTCAACCAAGGTGTTTGCGATTGAATGTGTTCGTAGAATTTTATCGGTTGTTTGTGGAGGAACTGGTGCCAACTCGATCAATGTTACTGCCAACACATTGTCACTGGTCAATCACTTGCACGAGTTGATTGGAATTGCCTTTAAATCGGCTACATCTCAAATTGACTCGATGCGTCCAGTCGGTATTCTCTTGCTGCGTGACATTCTCGAATACTTTGGCAAGTTGCCTGACCCAGACTATGAGGGACATCTCTTGCTCGAGCTCTACCAAGCACAAATTATGTCGTCTCTCAGACCGGCCTTTTCGACTGATGCGCCACCCACACTCCTCTCGATTGGATGTCAGGTGTTTGTCAGCTTTGTTGAAAACTCTGTCCACTATGACGAGGCAGCACTCAAGAAAACAACCAATCTATTGACATCGAGTGTCAAAGAGCTACGTCAACTCAACTTCCCGCTCTACAATGAAAAGGCAACCACTCTAGTCCAACTGTCCATTCTCAAGACATTTGCACAGCTCTATCTGCTGTGTCTTGCCAAGCCGCCACTCATGGCCATTCTCAGCAGCGTGTTTGAGCCCATTCTCCCACACCTTCGCGCACATTGGGTCACATTCCTCAAAGAGTACTCGTTGTTGGTCAGTCAGCCGCCAAGCATCTATGCGCTCTACAACCCAATGTTCTTCTCGCCACTCACCTACACAGAGTCGGTCGATTATTTTAAAGAGGCATATCCATTCATCACCAAGGCACTAGCCTCTCTAATTCATACTCCATTTTGGCTCAAGGGAAGAGATGGCAAGGACAGTTCAACGGAAATCCTTCTCAAGGAAACTACTCCCATCGATGATTTGTATGTTATCCTCGGTCTTTCCATCATTCCTCAAGAAAAGTTCTTGTCAGATCCAACTGAAAGAAACTTGAATCTTGAAAATATGATCATCACTTTGGATACCATCTCTCTTGTTTTCCAACAACCAGCAACAGAGTCCAACAATAACAATCATTTACGTTTGGAAGATTTCCCAATTGAAAGAATTGATGAAATTTGTCAAATCCTACTTCGTTCAAATGCTTTTGAAAATTGGAAAATTCATAAACACATTATAGATATCATTCATAATTTATTCCAAAGTTTTGGTGAAAAATTAATTAAAGAGTAAATAGAATAGAATAGAAATGAAAAGAGACAAACAAAAGAAAGTATATATATTAATATTTTGTATTTTTAATTTTTAGAGAATCAATATTTAGTTTATTATTAAAGATTATATTTAAACCAATTTATATTTATGCAGAAAATATAACAAACAAAAAATATTATCAAAAACTTTACAATTGTTGTAATTATATTTGTAAATATATGAATGATGAACAATCTACATTGTACAGTCCACTTTTCCTTTTGGCAATATTAAATGGTTTATCAAAATCAACCGATCCAAATCTAATGTCTGTTGCCATTCAATTTGCAATTTCAATCTTTAAAAATAATATCAAGGATAAACCTGCAATTCAAAAAGCATCTTTGGAAACAACTATTGAATATTTACAATCGTATGTAATCTTAGAATACTTTATAATATTATTATATCTTTTATTAATATTTGTCTTTTTTATTTTTTATTAGGAATGAAACATCACAAGGATTATTATTATTATTATCAACATTGATAACAAACAAGAGTCAAATTGAAAAGGAAGAAATTCAATTGATTGTAAAATATTTTAATGATTCCATTACTAGTCCAAGTAAAAGTACAAAGGAAAAATTATATCATCTTCAAGTCATTCGAAATATTTTATCTTCTTCATCCTCTCATACTTTATCGCAAGATGGAAAACCAACACCAGTCTATCAAGTAACATCTCATCTAATTAATGGAATATTTGGTAGTCTTCACAATGTACTCTATTTACCACCAAATCTTGTCAATTCAAAACAATCAGAGGAAATTGATATCAATAATGAAATTATTAAAATCTATACCCTATCATTATCATTTATTCAACCAGAAAACAGTATGTTCAAAAAACTAAAAAAACAAGTACAAAAGAATCACTTATTTATTATAACTTTTTTTTAGAAATTTTAATATTATTACCAATCATTCAATTATTAATATTATATTTAAATCCAACATTGATTTCTTCATCAACATCTGCAATGGTATCACCAATGATAACTATGCATCATTCAGCTCTTCAAACTTTAATTTCATTTGCTACTAGTCAACCTCAATTCAAGGAGATTGTTTCCAATCATCTGCCACTCGATCAAAAGCAGCTATTGGAACAATCGATCAGACAAAGTGTCGAAAACGCAAACAAAAAAGAGGTTGGTCTTAAATTACCATCAAAACCACCTCAAATTCAATTGGCTATGGATTTTTCAAAAATTGGAAATCAATAAAACCATATTAAACATTTAATTATAAAAAAAGTAAAGTATATATTGTTGTTTATATTTTATTATTTCTTGTATTTCTTTAATTCAAACTTTAAAGCCTCTCTTTCGTCTTCCATTTCAGCCAAAGACATTTTAGTTTGAATAAACTTGCTTTCCAAAGACATGTACTCTTGCTTCATTTGTAATAGTTCTTTGGATTGTTGTTGTTTGACAGATTCTAATTGTTGTTCCAATTCGTTGATACGTTCATTGTAATCATCCTTTTCCATTTCAGATTTGGCAGAATCCAATGTCTTTTTGAGAAGTTCTTGTTCGATATCCTTGTAGGCTCTGGCATTGATCTTTCTATTGGTATCTGTAATACGAATAGTACCCTTTGGGAAATAAACATCTTTATCCTTTGATTTATTTCCCATTAAAATTTCACAATTACCAAGTTCAACTCCCCAAACAATATCTAAAATAAAATAAAATAAATAATTATAATAAATATTAATATTATATAAATATTATTAGTTTTCTTTTCCTTTACTTACCAAGTTTAACTTTTTGAATACCCTTTTTAATATTATGAATATCATCCTTTTTAGATTGCCAAGTAGAAACCAATTTAGTGATGAAATTTTGAAGGTCAGGTATCTTTAGACCCTTTGGTTTCTTTTCAACTGGTAATCCAGAAACACTCTTTTTGATGACCTTTACTTGCATACCTTGGAGACGAACATTGACCTCGGTGAGCCAGTCGGCCATTTCATTGTCAATGAGTATCAATTGTGAATTGAGAGCCTTTGGTCTACGTTTGTAGGTGACCAACAAGTTGGTGGCATCACTTTGTCTCGATGGAATAACCTCATCATCGGGAACTGGCAATGGACAAAGTGAGGTAGAAGTGGTCAGTTTTGGATGTTCGATACCATTGGCTTCGAATCTGCCAACCTTGAAAACTACATTTTGACCATCATTCTTGTTTTGAAGAGCCATACCAAGCATTTCAACCTTGAATTCACATAAATCTTCAGAAATACCTGCTTGTGCACCACCCAATGTCAATTCTGAAAGTAATGCTTCAGTTCTTGATTTCTTTGGTTCTAATAAATGTTGAAGTGGTAAATAAAATACACCTTTTTGAACATTAATATATACACTCCAATAATATCTAAAAGAAAATCAAATAAATAAATGTATTAATAATCTTATTTATAATTATTATTCTTTCTTAACTTACTGTTGTAAAGTTTTTTCAACTTTGTTCTTTATGGTAAGAGTTCTATCCAATTTTTGATTCTTCATAATTTGTAAACGTTTCTTGGCAAGAGATTTGATAGACTTCATTCTACTATTCATTAGACTCTTCATCTTTTGTGGTGAGAAATACTTTTTGGCTACATAATCCAAATAATTGGATTGGTATCTAGTCAATCTAAAGTTGAAATCTGATGATATAAATGAAATATCAATCTTTGGTATTCTCTTTTCGTGGTAAAGATTATTTGATCTTGAAACTCTTAAATATAATGAAACAGATGCCGGTTGAATAATTGTAATTGTATTGTTTGATTCAACTATATTCATTGTAAAATTATCCATTTTAAACTAAACAAATAAAAAAAAAAGATTAATATAAAGATAAACTTGATTGTTTTGTTTTTTGTTTTGACTTACAGAAAATCTATGATCTAAACCAGAAACAGTAATTGGATCAGGATTACTATTACTATCGATTAATTGTAAACCTTCATAGAGATGAGGAACTGATTTCCAATCGGAATGATTTCTCATTGCAAAAGTACCCAATAAGATTTTGGTACTTGAACCCTTGAATGGGTTGATTGAATCTTGTTTCTCTTCTTCCTCTGGAATGACAACAAGTGTTTCCGATGCCTTTAATATAATCTTGATTTGATTCTTCCAATTCTCTCCAAGTTTAAATTTACGTTTAAATGTTGATACTTTTTTCTTTCCTTTGGCAACCAAACTCTTTTTAATTGCAAATGGATTTTGTGGTGATGTTGATCCATCACCACCAACACCATTTGTATTACCATTCAAATTATTATTATTATTATTATTAATATCATTTTCTGTTGTTGCATTTACATTTGTGACAGTTGGATCAATAATACTTGAATCAGATTCTGAATCAGTTTCAAGATCAGGATCTGGTGGGATAATAAAAGCAATGAATCTTTTCCATGCACGACGATCTCCAATCAATTTGAAATGACTAAGATGAAGATTGAGCTCCAAACCAATGAGGGGAGGTAATGGTTTACCATCAACTGAAACAAGTCGTTTGAGAGGATCAGGGTCAGCATCGGTAATGATTGGCTTTCTCAGGATCAAATTACCCTTGAGTAGATATGGACCGTGATAATGATGAATTTGGATACGCTCCGAGATACCATCCGACGAGATTGAAGTGATGGACGGATCGTACTTTTTGTTGACTGGTTTCTGACTCTGGTCATTGTGTCCACACAAATCACCCTTGATAATCTTTTTCGAGAATGATTCGACCTCTTGGATGAGAATGTCGTTCAAGACGACCGACACGATCATTTCACGGATCGGCAACGAGTAGTAGACCTCTCCAAACTCATTGGTCGGTTTGAAATTGACGTTATTCGAGGTGAGACCAAAGTGGAGACCGTCGCCATTAAACAAGAATCCACTGTCGTTGATATCGCTCGTCGAGTTGGTCAAATTGTCAATCAACTCGAGTCGGTATCGTTCAATGTGGAAGTCATAGGTCACATCCGAGTGTTTGGGTAGTGGCGCATCCTCCATTGGTATGCCAGTACTGTTGCCAATGGTGGGTGTGTTGTTCACACTGGGTGTGGATTGTAGACTCGACGACACTGACGAATAGTTGCTGTCGACACTGACGGCCGGACTGACAGGTGGAGTCGATCGGTGGACAGCCATTGGCGATCCTCCCTCTCCGCTGCTACCACTCGGAGGTGAAAGCTTGTGCTTTTTATCCTTTTTCTTTTTCTTTTTATTATCTTCCAATGCCAATGGAGCAGGTACAGCACGTGCTAAAATAGATTGGAATTGTGAAAAAAGATCGGCCAAGAAATGCCATTGTGATAGATTCCATCTTAAATTCATAAATCCAAGTAAAAATTCAACCTTTGCATTTAATTGAATCCAATCTTTAATTCTTCTTTTTGTTGAATACTAGAGAAAAGAGAAAGTTAATAAAATATTAATAATATTAATATTAATTATTAATATTTTCCTTTGTCTACATACTAAAACTTTTAATGGCATTTGTTCAATAATATTATAAGACATTCCACCACAATCTTGAACTCTAATTGAAATTGATTTTGCAGTAATTAATTTATGTAATGATTCTACTCCTTGATCTTTATCAATTGTTTTAATTTGTGATAATTCAACAACCTAAATGAAATATAGAAATATTATAATAAATATTAATATTTTATAAATTCCAAAGAATATATATATTTATATTAAATTTAATAATACTACATACTTGGAAATTTGAATTAGTTGATTGAACAAATACATCTTCAATTTCAATAATTAAAGAGTCACCATGCATAGTCGACAATGATAATTTAATATTCTTTGCTTCAACTTGTAAATTCTCTGTTACTTCATTTCTTTTATTCTTATTTTTCTTTTTGAATCTAAATAAATTGATCATAATATAATGTTAGTTTGTGGTTGATGTATATTCAATAGTATTATATTCTCTATATAATTAAATATATACTTTTTAAATTGTGGTTGTAAAGCAGTAATTACTTCTGGTTCTTTGAGATCAATTTGAATTTTGTTTAGGGAGATTGTGATAGGTTCCTTTTTATAAGATGTCCACGGTACTTTTGCTGTCAATACATCACAAGATGCTTGTGTGACTCGAAGTTGAGCTGGAATCAACAACAACTCTTGCAATACATTTTCATTGAGTTCCAAGTCGACCAATTGTCCTTCACCTTTGAGCAATGATAATGAAAAGTTATCTGCTGTAAAATTCTTGATAAACAACTTTAAGTACTTTTTTAGTACTTTAAGTACAATTGCTTCCATCGACTCGACAAACTAATTTGTACTATTACTACTACTATAATACTAACTATTATACTATACTATACTACAAATAATTAAAAAATATAAAAAAAGATAATTCCCTGTCTTTTTCTCTCTCTCTGCAAAAAAAAAAAAAGATCTTGATTAAATTTGCAGTCTTCTCTCTCTTCTCCAATGACGCTTGTTAATATCCGACTACCACCCGTCTGTTATTAATCCACTGATCTGATGACTATGATGATGATGGTTGCTAATGCTAATGCTATATTGTATTATTACACAGTATGTTGGTAGTGGATAGATAGACAGAAAAAAATACAAAAGAGAGTGTATTAATCAGTAACAAGACAGAAAGGAAAGACAAGCAGCACTTCACTTCACTTCAAACCCCACTTGAAAATCCAAAAAAAAAAATTAATTAATTTTACTTTTCAGTGCACAGAGAAAGAGATAAAGAGCGAAGAGAGAATGTTAATCACATTACATGTACAAGCTCAAAGGAAATATTTTTTCGATATACAAGTTGATGATGAAATTACAGTGTCTGAATTAGAAAGTAATAGATTGACAAATGGAAGATTAGTAGAAGCTGGAGGTGGAAGAGGTAGTAGTGGATCGATAGACATCACTATCGTCCATATGGACATACCACTAGCCAACAACAAAAGGAGAACTCTTAAAGAGTGTGGTATCAAAGATCAAGATCATATATATCTTCATGAAGGTTCATTTGATATAAATTCAAACCAAGACCTCATACCAATCTTTATTAAAGATTATAGAGATGCTACAGTTGTATTTCCAATGGACGTCAACATATTAATTACAGGTAGAGCACTATCTAAACTAGTAGCCAATAAAATGAATATTGACACTACAACCAGCACAGTTCAACTATTCTTTGGTAGCAAGTTATTAGATGAACATCGAACACTACAAAACTCATCCATCTCTACTCAAACAACTCTAACCGTGATTATTAGACCAAAAGTGTAATGTAATATAATTATTTTATTTTATTATCTTCACTCTCAACTATAATAATCATGTATAATATTAATAATATAATAAAATAATAAAATGACCAACCAACCAACCAGACGATCTTTTAAAAATTTTATTATCTTTCCAATGAAACGATCAAACAAGGGTTTCATTGAAAAACTTTGATTATTTCCCTTTTTTGTCGACACACATAACCAGTTGATCAGTTTTATTATCGTCCAATCATGGATGAGGAGATGTGCGATTCCACAAAGAAGTTGTCCACTCTCATGTGAGGTAATAGATAGATTAATAATATTGTTAAATCTAATATATATTTATATTTATAGTTATAAAAATTTAAATCAGACAAGATAAGAGATGTCTACAACTACCACTTCACCTACTCCACAATCTCCACAACTATTAACAAAGAGTGGGTTATTTCTAGACTCTGAAGTATCATTTACAGGTAGTACTATTAGTATAGGTCAAGATCAGCATGAATTGACTGCTTCATTAACAACTACACCAGATCATAGTAATATTAGTATTAGCCAACAACAACAACATGATATTACAATTGACAAGGTATTAGAGATGATCTATGCCATCGCTGATATTGGGTCACCTTCAATCAAAATTTATCTATTTAGATTAAATAAATATTTACAGGTAAGCTATAGAATAGAAATATATGAAAAAAGGGAAATAAAGGAAATGAAATGAAATGATATTAACTTGTTTTATCTATCTATCTATCTATCTATCAATTTGTTTGTTTTAGGATCAACAAGTATTAACATTATTTGTTGAAAGAAATGGTATTGATCAATTGGAAAAATGTATAAAGGAATTAAGGGGAAATGCACTTACCTATGCATACTCTTGTTTGAGAACGATGTCTTTAAATGCCAATACATTAAAATCATTTCCAACTCGTATCATTGATGTCATTATACAAAGATTTTCAATTGATGGTAAGTCTAAAAATAATATTATATTAGATATTATTTATTATTTACTTTGCAATATTAATTTATTTATTTTAAACTTGTTACAGATACATTAAAAGAAAATACATTAAAATCAATGTTAATGATTATAAAGAGATGTTTGGGAGAATTTCAAGATAAAACATTTAAAGCGATTGGAGTGATAAACAAGGAGAACAAAGTATTGGCTAAACTAGTTAAATTGTTAAAGTCTACCGATGTCGATCTACAAGTAAATACTATATCGCTCATCAATGCAATCATGTCAAGTGCATCGGATGCACAACATTTGGATACAATGCTTGGATGTTTTGAGTATTTGGATATCTTTGTAGCTCTTAAAAAATTAAATCATGGTGTACTTGGTTCTCAAAAAGATGGTTTATTATCATACCAAGTATGTATTCTATAAACATTTGTAGAGTTTATATTATTATAAAAAGCATTATAATAACTTTCTTTTTTGTTTATTTAGAAATCAATTATGAGATCAATTAATCACCAAAGATTAACATTATTTGAAAAGGATCCAACATCTTTTATTAATATGTATAATAGATATAAACAATCATTGTTACCACCTGGTCATTCAACTGAAGAATGGAAACATTTAGGGTTCCATACTGAAGAACCTTATCAAGAATTTAAAACAGTTGGTATTTTAGGTTTAACTAATTTATTATACTTTTTTGATACTTATCCTTGTATGTAATTTACAAAAATATAAGAAAAAAAGAAATAAGAACAAATAACTAATTCAAATATTATTTATTTATTATTTTGAAGCTATTATCAAAAAAATATATACAGCCAATCAAAAGAGACGTGATAATCAATGTTACCCATTCTCTGCTATTGCAATCACTCTAACTCATTTGGTTAATCAATCACTTTTAATTGGTGAAGATCCAAAGAATTTAAAATTTGTACCATTACTATTCTCTCATTATCATGCAGTTCAAGAATTATTTTGTTTTATTTTTCAAGTGTTTGAGAATTCATGGTTGGATGTAAACGCTGATATTAACAAAATATTGGCACTTGTAAAAAAACAATTAACCAATGTATTGGATACCAAGAAAACAATATTCGATGCAATGAATATGTTGACTCAAAGAAATAGAGATATTTCATTACTAGAACAACCAGTAATGATGACAAAATCTCCAGATATGATTGTCAACAATACTAGTATGAATAATTTAGGTCAAAGTATTCCAACTACCGCCGCCTCTTCTATGGCCCTCAGTCAAAAAGATGTAAATGACTCAATTGGATCAATTAGTAAATTGAATCATACCGATATTTATAAATCAATCAATCAAATAGTTAAAAATAATATTATTGGTTTGTATTAATTTAATAATATAAATAATATTTATTTTCAATATACTTATTTATTTTTCTTTTCCTTTTTTTAGAATCATTTAAAAATAACAAAACAAATATATTATTAAAAGGATTATTTTTCAAGGTTGAAAAAAATTATAAACTTAAAGGAGGAGTATCTGGAGGTTCATTTATATTTATTAGATTATCAAATGATCTTAAACAATTTAGTTATACATTTACAAATGATACTCTTACAGTTCCAACAAAAGATTTTATTGGTACTATGAATCTACAAGATATTCAAATTTCAACAAATATATCAAATTTGGTTGAATCTTCACCATCACAGTCATCGAATCAACCATCAAGAAAGAACAAAGGAAAGGTTGACAATTCATCAACACTTTTATATTTATCAAATGTTGAAAAAGAATCTGATTCTTCAACATGGTTGGAATTAAGTTCTACTTCAAGAGAGTCATTGGTTGATTTGGTAGATGGACATAAAGTTTTAAATCGACAGTCTTTGGTTTGTTCAGAGTCAATTGAAGAGTTGGCAGCACTAGAAGAAATTGAAATGAAAGTCAATATGTTGGACTTTGTTGGAGTCGATAGCTTCATAAGTGACACTGCACCACCCATTCCAACCCTACCAAGTGATTTTGATTTCTTTGAATTGAAATTAAAAGATTATCATAGTCAATTTACCAACCATGGTAAACAATCCTCTTCCATCAACAATAACAACAACAACAACAACAATACTTCTGCTGCAACAACTACCACTAGAAAGAAATTGGTTCATAGATCAGTTCGTCAATCAATGTATTTAATGCAAGGTATTAAAGATGAAATTCAACAAGAATGATGTAACTATTTGTTATGATCAATAAAATTAAATGTATTATTTATTTATTTATTTATTAAACTTTGGTGAATGATTTTATTTGAGTTAACTTGATCTGATTGGCAGGCTAGTACTCTTTGAAAAGGACAGAAGTGGAGAAAGAGAGGACCTCACATGCTGAATGATTAGAAAAGAGAGAGTTTGGTGATAAGTTAGGAACTCTAACTTATCTCATCTTTCAGCACGAGAATTCCTTACTCTATGACAAAGTACCTATCCAACGAATCTTATTCCACTGTTGGAAATGGGAATGGTGTCAGAGAATGGTTGTTCCATTTAGCAGGATTGTTGAATATTGACTAGCTCCACAAATACACGGAATGTTGACAAGACACTTTAACATTGTTAACTAAAGGATGGGCTTCTCTGTTAAATAGGAATAAACTCTATTAATAGAATAACATTGTAAATACTTCTAATTACAACAATAAAATAAACAGTAGACCAAATGAATTGAATGTGTAAAATGCATTGTAATAATGATGATGATTATGTAGAAAAGAATACAAACGAATTAAAAAAGAACCAACCTTTTGTTTAATTTTTTTTTTTGATCATTATATAGAATTAATTCGAATTTATTAATTATACTCATCAAGATGATCAGTTACACATTGTACAATAATATTATTGTTGTCAACAATGAATAATAATAATAATACAATTGAAATCATTTTAAGAAATAAGTACTTGTTTTCACAAGTAAAGTATTGGATTAGAAGATTGGATGAAGAAGATCATAACAAAAGAACAGACTTGCCAAGAATCTATCATTATGATCATTGGAGTAGAGTTAGTGATATGCTAAGAAATGGTCATGTTGGTTTATTGATGGATAAACTCAAGAGAAATATCAATGTTTCTTTATCAAATGATAGTGTAGAGTTGATATGCTTAAAAGTTAAAGATCTGAACAACTTTAAGATACTCTATACACTCTATCAAAAATCATTTGTTGGAGAGAATCTAGTTGGTTGTGCGTGTCGCGCAGGTAACCCTGAAATTGTAGAGATTCTATTAGTGCAAGAGTATCCTACTCCACTCCCACCAGGTGCATGCTTTCAACAAGCCATGTCAAAAGGAAGATACCAAGTATTGCCACTACTGCTGGCTCGAGGATTAAAGTATAATAATCGATATGATACTTCTCGATTTGGTACATTTAAATTCATTCAATCATTGGATTGGTTAAGAGAGAAAGAGAAAGAGAAAGATATGGAGGATCCCTTAAAAATGGTTGGACATAGATTAAGAAAAGAAGTGACCGACAAGATAACGATGATTCAAAAGTTTAAAGAATCATTCCCACATGTTGATATTGCCAACTCGGAACAATGCAAAAGATTCTTAAATGAAGTGACACTTGGTCCATGGACAATAGGATCGAAACGACTGACACTTCAGTTATCCGATCCTTATGAGGATATCGGAACTGCTGCACTTTGTCCATTTTTAGACTTAGTGGTTGGGATTCCCCCATCGACGGTCATAAGAAACATGTCTTTACATCATGCTCGAGGTGTAATAGACTATTTGACAAAGAGTCATCCATTTTTAATGCTAAAGGAAATGTTATCATACATATTATCAAGACAAGATCGAGATGCATTACCAATACTCAAAATTGTTTTGGAGCTTGGTTTCAAGAAATTTCCAAAAGATTATCGTAACGTGCGAAAAGATTGTTATGAATATATGGTTAAAGTAGTTCCAGGGTTTAAAGATATTGGAGATAATAAGTATGCTGATGATGGAAAACAAGAACAACTACAAAATTTGATAGCTCGAACTTCATCATTTGACCTTTACGTCCAACACTGTAAAGATGCTGATATTAGTAGAGACATACAACAAAGATCAATGGTTCATGGAACACTAGATTTTCTTAAACTCATTCATAAGAAACACCCAGAGTGGATTTGGAAGAATCAATATGCCTATGCCAGTGCAATGGATAGTGGAAGAACAGATATTCTAGATTATATAATTGGTTTAATAGTTTCAGATGGTCCACAAACCACCACATATGAAGAAACATTTGAATCAGTAGTAGGATTTACAGAATCACTCACCAATTCAGGTAACATTGGTCAGTTGGAGCATCTTGTGAAACGATACCCAACATTTATCAAAACTAGGTTACTTCAACACCCATCATCCAAATCACTCTTTAGAGGCGTCATATTTAACAAAAACTTCCCAATGTTAATGTACCTACTCTCTGACATTGGATGTAATTGGTCAAGGCACCAAGCACAACAACACAAGGACAAAAATAATAGTAATTTATCTTTTATCGACAAGGATTATTTATTGGTCATTTATGATCATGCAATTAAAAATAAAAAATAACATCCAACTAGTTAGGGTAATTTAATGAGATTCTGGCCAAGTCGGCATAAGTAATGGGTCTCTCATAGGAGGACTTTCAAAAAAGTATGGGTGTTGTAAAGCTTCTGATGCACTTATTCTCTTTTCTGGATCATATGTTAATAATCTTGATAATAAATCATATGCATTGTCTGTAATATGTGGAAACCTTGATTTTAAATTATTATACCTAAAAAATATAAAAAGTATTATTATCAAGATGAATGACACCTTTAAATCAAATATCTATTTCTATATTAGTTTAACATACGGTTGAGGAACAATATTTAATTTTTTAACAAGTGGTAATTTAGAGAAACCAGGCCATATTTGTTCATTTGGAGTACCAAGTAGATTAAATATTTTTTGTAATTGGTCAATTTCTGATGTTCCAGGTAACAATATTTCTCTTGATATGATTTCTGCAAATATACAACCAACTGACCAAATATCGATAGGTGTCGAATAGATTGTAGCCTCTAATAAAAGTTCTGGCGCACGATACCAAAGTGTAACGACACCCTCTGAGAATGGTTTTAAAGGACTACCATATTCTCTTGCCAACCCGAGATCTGCAATCTTTAGCACACCCTTGTTGGTATAGAGCAAATTGGCAGTCTTTAAATCACGATGAATCACCCAATTACTATGAAGAAATTCAACTCCCGACAATAGTTGATGAATCAATGTTTTGATCTCTGATTGCAAGAATGGCTTTTTAATTACATCCATCAATCCTTTTAATTCATGTTCAATAAATTCCATTACCATAAATATACTAATAAAATATAAATAAAAAAAAGATAGATTAGTAGAGAAAATAAAATTAAAGATATATATACATACTTGTTATGATTACCAATTACAATTTCTTTAACATCAACAAGGTTAGGATGTTTAAGTTCCATCATTACTTTAATCTCTCTAACTGATGTAATTGGGAAACCTTGTGATTCTCTTTCAATAATCTTTATCTTTTTCAATGCTACTCTTTCACCTGTTTCTTTACAATCTGCAGCATCTACATAACATAATCAATCAATCAATCAATTTTAAATCAAAACAATGTAAGTCATTCATCATCATACTGATCTATTCTATATATTATCGATTGTCTTTGTTTACTTACATACAATACCAAAGGTACCTTCATTGATAGTCTTTATTTTCTTGTAACAATCTACACTTCTACATGGTTGATATCTTGGGAACTCTTTTTTCTTTATCTTTTGTTCATTTTGATTCTGATTATCTACTTCTTTATTCATCTGAGACGACTGATTATAATCTGTATAAATATGAATGAACAAGAAGATAGATTAGTGGATAGGAACATCGTGATGATGAACACACCAACAAAAAAAAGAAAAAAATTAATTTTATCAAACTTGGATAGTGTAATTATTCAGAAGTTGTATCTTCTTTTCAATTTGTTCAATTTATACATGTAATAATATTGGTCACCGATGATGGATCACATGATATAGTAAATTAAAACAATAAAGAAGAATAAATATTTATTTAAGGAGCTTTTTTGACAATGAATGCCTTGCTCTTATACCTCTTCTTGGTGCGGCTAATGGGATGAAGAGTGGTGTCTCTTCACCAAAAAAGGGTCCTCGGACCAAGTAGGGGGCTCCCCATTTCTCGCCATTAGGTGCAATACCAACAGCGACGAATCCTTCTCTTTTATTATATCCAAATGCTTCAACTGCTTTCTTATAGTTCAAAAGCCTGTGATCCATGACGTGAGAAAGGGCTTGTACCCGTTGCCATTGGTGACTGTGCCGGGTTCGCAGGCGGGAATGCCAAAGTAATGGGTTTTTTGGTTATTTGGTTCAAAAAACTGGCCCGCATCACAAGAATTGATAATGATAGTAGTGTTGATTTTTGGATCGAGTTTGAGAACTTTATGAATATCTCGTGTTGTTACGGGCTTATCGATTGCTTGGAAATTGTATTCGCCATCATCTATTTCACCATGTCCAGACAAATAAAGGTAGAAAGAATCCCCAGGTTCGAGACTCTGGCATATTTCAGAGATGCAGTCGGTTATATTTTCCCAAGTTGGTTGTGGATTCTCGGATTGTTGGTCATTGGTTTCCACAAGAGAGTAAACTTGTACGGCCACCTCTAGATTTTCATATTGACTTTGCAGGTACAATGCCAACCGATGCATGTAATCATAAGTAGAGTTGTAATGTTGTGTATTTAGTATAAATTCCGGTCGAGTGGAATCTTCCACTCCATCAAGAGAAATCAATAGATCTACACCGACAATAAGCGCATTCAAACAGCAATATAGTGATTCGTCAGAGGTTCTTACGCGGTTTGCAGCTCCATTCACGACATTGAGGTCTGTATCCGAGAATAATCCTGATTCTTCTTCTTCTCCTCCACCGGCTCGATTACCTGAAAAGTAAAAGGAGAGGTCATTCCAAAATTGTTATCATTGGTGGCTTCAGAAGAGGACAGTGTGTCTGTTGGATAGGTTCTATTTGGATTTGAACTAAATGTCTCAGTGACCGAACCCTGAGAAAATCCGCGTCTGCCAATGATAGAATAATGAATGGCTCCATCTTGAATGGCTTTGTACGTAAAAAAGCCCAGCCCCTATCATTTTCAATGCCATGAAATAGTCATCAGGTAGTGTGCCAATACTTTGATCGATGATTACTGCCACAACTGTTCCAATCGGGAGAGACATTATTCTTTGAAGAAGGGAGCCTGGACGTTGGTTAATATAGAACATGGCATGTGAGTCAAGCTAAAGAAAGTAAAATATAATAGACTCGACAGATTACAATTTTATGGTTATAAATATACTTACTCCTCCTTTACTAACAGCTTGGATCTCTATAAAGGGTTTCACTGAAAAGAAAGGTCCTTTTAGATACGAAAAGAGTGACCTGTAAGTTGTGTAGCTCCGGAACTGAACCAGGGGCACATCCCTTTTGCCCAATGAGTGCATATGAGCTGCTAGAATTGAGTCTGACAGATTGGCCCCGAGCATTCGAAGACCGCGGTGGCGGGACACACCACCATAGCGTCGACAAAGTACGATGGTGGACAAAATACTTGATTTGAATGTCAGATGAACAAATGATGACCATTGAACCTACTGAAACTTGAGATTGGATAAGGTTCGATGCTTGTCGCATCGTCAGTTGAGTTGGTGATGGAATTTGTCTGTCTTGAAACTATTTGGTATGAACCCAACCTATGTCCCAATGCTTCGTCAAATACGACCATACTAAACAAATAGGTCCCGATCAGTGGATCTTGAATGATTGGGCTGCCATTGACAACAATACCAGAGCTACCTCCACCCCATATCTGATTACAAGATCCAACCAAAACCTCTGGGGCATGTTTCCTTCTTGTTTAAAATTGGCTCCCCAACTTCTTGTTAATTGTCTCTATTGACAGTCCCAAGTTTCCAATAGTGCTTCCTTTGTATCCCACAATATTAAAGTAGTCGGTGGTAGGTGAGGGCAGGTTAAAGATCATGGTACTTCCAATAGACATAAGACTTGTACGACAGTTTTGGAGAGGATTGATGATCGTTTGATTCTAATGGCAACCATTGCGCAGATTGGAACCGATACCAATCTACTAGATAAGACAACATCATCTCCCTGGTTTTTAATGAGTACGAGGCATATTCTAAAGGAGGTTCGGAACCAGATGAGTGCACGTCCAACTGCGATGCGTAGTTCCAGTGATATCCATTATAGACGATTCCATTGTCGCGCATTAACAAAGTGCTACTGTTATTCATTTTATAATAAAGTTTGTTGATCAATTAAAACAGTAAACTGAGAAGACAGATGTTTTAATGGAGACCAGCCGTAAAAAAAATTAATTTTTTTGATATCTTGTTCGTCGGTTTTCTGCAAGATATTAACAACCCTGTAGTATCTATCTCTATAAATTTATTTACATGTAATTATCTTTCTCATTTAAATGATTGATTAGATTAAATATTTATTGTAATCTCTCTCTCTCTCTCTCTCTCTCTCTTTAGAAATTAAATTCATGCCATCGGTAACACGTATCAAGATCGTTTCTAGGACCCCTTCAACATCTACTATTCATTACTATGGGCGCTATTATAGTCACCCAGATAAAGGTGAAGGGTTCAACATCTGGGTACCTTCTTTATCTCCCTTTGATATTCGGTTAACCTTTTCACATTTCTCATTTCAGGAAATCGAAGGCTTAATCCAACATATCAAGGAAGTACCCAGTGGCAAACATGTAGCTGTAATGAGCATCGGCTTACTACCATCTCAGCCTAGCGCAGCTCTTTGTAGAGCATTCTCTTCATTGGGTGCGGCAAAGATATTTATGGTTGGAACGACCAATCCAAACTATTGTTTGGTTGGGTACAAGGGTTTATCTCCAGGGATGGCCAGCGAAGCTTTCGGTGACTCAACCATCAATGAAGTTTGGGCAGAGGGTGAAGCGAGAGTCAACCTAAAGATTGCAAAAAGGAGGATCACCACTTTATTTAATTCCAAAATTGGAGCCCCATACATTTTTTTTGACGGTTATACGGCAAACGATTTTCTTGAAGGTCTTGGCAATGGAATCAATGTTCTCGTTTTCAGTCAAAAAGGAGCTGTATCAGTTAGAAGCCCACCACAAGTGTATAACTTTCCTACTTCCAATCTCTACTCGAATTCCTCGGAATCTTTATCAAGATTCATCGATTCCCTTGCCAACCATACTTTTATCATGGTGTTTGCTCAAGGACTCGATTTGGCCAAGAATAACTTGCATCAAAACGCCATCTCAAGCCTGAGAAAGATTGGAAGCAAATTCATTTCTCAATACTCTACCATCTCGTCAAACGATTGTTGGTTTATGATCAAAAGAATAGGTTCTGATTCTATTTTCACAGAAATGACCTACAATCATAATTCACCATCTACATCTTCTTTTATTCAAACCGTAGAAAGAAAGATATACAATGACGATACCTATCAAGTTGATGATGACATTAATATTTCAGTTATGTCATCAAACCAAAGTAACACACCTGTTGGAATGGAATCATTGTTTTACATTTATGTTGGTGGTGTATCAATAACTCTGGAAGGTCCATTGACCAATGGTTTGGTGATGTGTGCTATCAGTGAAATCGATGGTCACATTTACTTTATCAAAAACTATAATATTGGTACCGATGATGGATCGCATGATATGGTAAAGGACATTGTTGACAAAATCTCAGTTGGCTCGCTGGTTGTTGTGTGTTCAGTGCTCAACTCTGCTGGATCAAACATCACAATGTCAGCAGATTTATTGACGTCACTTGAAAGACTTGGAGCAGAATTTGGTTATGATATCACATCATCAAGCTCCTATGCTTTAATAGGAAGAAAAGGAGCAGCCGTTGCAACGGCAAGCGAGCTGATATCCAACACTGGACCAGTCACTCTTTTTTCTAACTTTCCAAAAAGCTTAAAGCCAATCAAGCCATTCATCGAAATTGATAACCTGTCAGTCAGTGTAAGTATTATTTGTTTTTTTATCAGCATTCTCTATTTCCAGTTTACTGACCTTTTTTTATTAATAGGCTTTACCAGGTGGAGGATATGGATACTCATCATTTATGATCAATAAACAGATTGTAGATGGCACCAATATTTTTTCATCTGGACTCAACGTCCTGACAATCAGCCCATTGAACGGCACAATTACAAGTGCTAAAAACTACGATACTACAACTGACTCGTTTAACTCTAGCAAGTTCGTAGCCGATATCCAAGCCCTACCAACAGGGACCATCGTTGCTCTATCGACAGTTGGTCCAGCCGGACAATACCTTGGAAATGGTGTTGATACTATTGTCAACTACCTTGGAGGTATGCTCATTAAATCATTTTCATCACAGTCATATTGTATCATATCTACTGTTGGCCAACAACTGACCGGAGACAAAAGAGTCATTAGTGAGTGTATGTCTGAAAACATTTATGTGCCAACCACTTGCAATACTCGATTCCCCATTAAATCGCTGTTTACCGGATCTGGACTTTCATTCTGTGTTACATCAATGGCCCAATCAAGCACTGCCTCTCGTATTATGGTAAACGGCCAATCTCAACTATCATCACCATCAAGTGGACTCAATGTCGTTACAGTTGACCATATTACTGGAGCCACACAAGAATATCATTTTGATACAGCCAATGATGATAAGCAATGGGTACTTTTCCTAAATTTCATTCAAGGTCTTACAATGGGTACTTTTGTACTCATATCGGTGCAACAGTCTTTTGGAATTCCTGGTCCAGAATTCAAGGATATCATCAAAATTTCTCTCTCGTTGATTGGTGCATCCAAGTTTGTGAATGTAGGTCCATCAACTTCATATTCAGTAATTGGTACAAAAGGCGCAACTCCTGGATCAGCTTATGAATCATTTCATGAAAATGTACAGGTTTGTGTGGCATCCTGGGAACCAAGAATCCAACCCTCGTCCCTTATCAAGGCACCAATGGTTTATGGTCAACTCTCAGAAGAACCATTAATGCTCACTATTCCATTGCTCAGCAACTACCACCAGCTTGCAACCCCAATGCCACAACTTGCCCCATCCAAACCTTAGGGAATGTATTTATGAACGAGCCAGCTTATTGGAAAACGAATCGTCTTTCCTCTGGAAACATCGTCAAGGCCCTGTTGATTGGTGTATCGTACAATGACAATCCAGCTGGTCCCATCAAAGGCGTAGACCTCTCTATCCAAGAACACTGCAGAGCCCTTGTCGAATGCGGATACAAGCAAACATACATGTCCTGACCGAAAATACATCTCAAGTTTCACCCAATGGGACTTATGTTTGCCATCCCACCACCATTTGCATCAAAGACCAAATCAACAATTGGCTATCTAAGGATATCGTAGAAGATGATGTTTTATACATAGTCTTTTCTGGTAGATCATTTGTCAACACTGTCAATGGAGTTAGCACATATGGTCTGTGCACTTTGATTCAAGATCCACAAACTTATCAATATCGTACCGATTATTCTCTCACATCCAATGAACTCCAAAAACTATTTGTCAATATTCCATTTGGAAAATATTACCCTCTTCAAGTCCAATTGCTGGTGTCCCCCTCTACCAATTCACAAGCCACAAACTCGGAATGGTCAAAATGACGCCCCTTTGCTCTACTTTTTGTCAGTAAATCCAAATATTGGCGATGGTTGGACAAATACTACCCATCGGAAAAGTATTCGCCTCCCCTCTCTCTAATGGGTTACCCATCCGACAATTCCGTTCTTCTCACCACAAGATGTCGATGATCCACAAAGAGGAGCAATATTCTCACAGATTGGAATGGTTTCGGTTCCTCACATCCCAGCACACAACTTTGGAACAAATGATTTCTCTATTTCTGTTTCCTTCAAAACATCGGCCTCTGGTTCTATTGTATGTTGTAAGGGAATGGTGGAGTTGGAACAAAGATGTCTGTCGCGTGTATTCGTAAGAACAATCAGATGATTTACTTTGACACAACTCTTGTTGCCAGTGTTTCTGGTCCCGCTATGAAGATTAACAATTCTGCCCCCCTGCGGTTTGGACAATGTTTGCAACTTGGACCAACAGCTCAATATCTTGGAAAGATATCGCGTGTTACTTTTTGGAATATCGCAATTGATGCTGTTATGATGGACAAGGCATATAGAGGAACCCTTTCGAATGAAATTGGATTAATTGGGAACTGGATGTTGCAATCTGATGCCTTAGATTCATCGGCTATAAAAAATAATAGTATGACAACATTGATCAACACTTCGTTTGCCAGTTATAATTTAACGCTCCCAAGCGACACAACAACCCCATCCCATGAAGAACCAATCTCTGACTTGGAAGTCATTTTATCACGTCATAAAAAAATAAGACCTTTTAATCAATAATAATAATATTAATATTAATAAATAAAGATACATACATACACATAATCACTTCCATTCCAATCATATTTGTCAACAACAAAAAAACTCTTTTAAATTTGATAATGTTTGATTTGGTGCAAAAGATCTTTTATTTGAAAGAACTAATTAAATGTATGTGATCTAGAAATCAGGTTTCCATGAGCTAATTGAAACACTACGTTGATACCATGATTGTTTGGTAGTAGTTTGTAAGAATTGGAGATCGAGTGAGAAGAGTAATTCAGTACGGGTATCATTGAGGTAGACTGGTACGGTGAGCTTGGTGGCAGGTGAGGCAAAGATTGGATCATCCTTGTCGCGCCATGAAAGTGTAGTGGTTGCAATTGGTGTAGAGAGATCCTTGGTAGGGGTGAGGATCGAGTTGTTCCAGGTGGCACCTTCAAGTGAAAGACCCCTGACTGTGAAACCATCGCCAGCCTTGGTTTCACCGAGACCGTCGACATGGAGTCTGAGGTTTTCAAGTGACCATCCGTTGAGTTGAGCAGATGATTGTCTAGTGGCAGTAATGTAGGCTTCAGGGTTCAAAAGACCGCCCAACCAAACTTGAATGTTTCTAAATTCAGTGGCTTCAGAGATCTCGGTCAATTGTTGCATTCTCTTGAAAAAGTCGACAATCCAAATGGTCAAGGATACAGACTCTGGACATGAATACCATTTCCATTCCTTTGGTACCATACCCTTGGTAATGCTACCAGTCAATGAACGGAGATAATTGGTTTGCTTGATGGTACCGGCCAACAATTCATTGATACTATTCAAATCGGTCGTAATCTTTTTAATCAATTTAGTACCAATTGTAATTTCTCTTTCAAAACATCTAAATAATGGATCCTTAATATTTTGTGCTGTTCTCTTTGGTTGTTTCATTGGCTAAACAAAAATAAATTAATAAATTAAATAAATAAATATTTTCAACTCTTCTTTTTACATACCTTTGGAATAGTCTTTATCCAATCATTAATAAGATTCTTAAGTTTAAGTTTTGATTTATCTTCTTGTTGTTGTTCTTTACCAGATTCAGAGCCGGTGGGTTCAATGGCATCTTCTTCAGAGAGTTGCATCTTTTGAAGATCATTGACAACCTTTTTAGCCTTGTTGGTGAGAAGGAGCGATTCGGCATTGTCAGAGAGACCCAACCAGATTGGAGTGGATACGTCTGGCAAGTTGTCAATCCATTGGACAAAGTTGGCACGGTTGGTGCCATCTGGGACGGTGAGACCAATTGATTGAACCAATGGGAAGTCGGCATTGAAAGCAGCGGGGGTAAAGAGTTGCTCGAGGAACGAGTTGAGGAGACGCATATCAAACTCATTGTCGACACGACCACCATAGATGGTTTGACCGAGAATGGTACGGACGGCAACCCAAGGGATCTTGTCTGGATCGATATTGGAACGACCCTTGGAATAGAGATCAATCCAATAGTCGATAGAGTCGATGGCACCACGAAGATCGGCGTCATTGTACTCGAATACCTTGGTCCAACCGAGTGGAATATAACGAAGACGCTCTTGGATGATGGCGTGGAACCAAGCCAACAAGAAATAGAGACGTGAGCGTTCGACAGGTTGACGATCCATACGTGCGGGGGTAATGTTGGCAAAGGTGTGTAAGAGGTTGGCCTTGACACCGGGTGGATTCTCGTAAGAGAAGACATTGGACATACGCAAGAGATTGGCTGGTAGACCTGGATGGATTTCACTAGTCATAAACAATCTAAAGTTGGGGTGTGGAGTGAGCGAGTGCAACTTCTTTTCCAATTGAACCAACCATTGTGGAGCCAAATGGATGTTTTTGAGGAGTACCCAGGAACCGCTCTTGGAAGCATCGTAGATGGACTTTTCAGCCGACTGGAATCCTTCTGGCGAACCAATAGCCCAGCTCTTGTATGGTTTACGCAACTCGGCGGCAAGATCGTCAACGACAGAGGATGCGTCGTAACCTGGGACAGAACAGAGCAAGAGAGGAGACATTGCCTTGGATTCCTTCTCAATGACCTTGACCATGTCGAGTGCTTGTACAGTCAAAAAGTCTTGACCAAAGGTGGCAGTGACAAATGCGTGACCGGCTTGGAGAATACGATCGGTTTGGAATGCCTTCATCAAGAGCATCTTTCTGAATTGGAGTGTCTTGTCGGTTTGCTTGGCCGATGAGAGCAAAGCTTGTTGTACTTGGACATAGCTGTCTGGAATATGGTCGGTTGTCTTGGCAAGGAATTCCTTCCAGTCGCCAGAGTTGTTTTGGATGTGTTCGATGAGCTTGCTGGCAGCAAAAGTGGGTAATGTGCGGAGAGCAACAAGCCACTTTTGTTGGGTGGCACTGGCGACACCTTGGAGTGCTGCGATTTGCTCCTTGGACGTGCTGAGGTTGTCACCACCCTTGAGCAAGAACTCCCACTCGGCGTCACTAATCTCGTCGGCGGTAGACTTTAATGAAATGTGAGCGAGTTGGATGGCAAAGGTGATCTTGTCGTCGTTGAGGAGTGTACGCGATACACGGGAGAATACTAACCAAAAGATATCCTTTTGGAGGACTGCCAAACGTTCATTGGGGTCTTTGAGTGATTCAAGGTTAGCATTGTTGTAGAGCAAAGCATAAAAGATATCCAAAAAGAATCTAAGTGAGAATTGGTAGAGATGGTGGATTTGTGACAATTGTTCCATGGCAAAGTAGACACGACTGCATGACAAGGCAACGTGGTTGTAGATAGCAGATACAGCACTGATCTCGGCCATAATCAAATCAGTCTCATCGACCTTGAGAGCAATCTCGGCAGCGTCACGCTTGAGTGATTCGAGTGTACCAATGATAGCATCGTCGTCGAGGATATTTCCTTGGGCTTGCGAGAGAGCGTTGAGGAGCGACTTTTCGAGTGTTCTAAGTTTGACCTTGAACTCTCCTTGCACCTTGAGAAGATCGGAACGCTTCTTGTGAGTGTCTGGACGCTCGCTCTTGAGAGCTTCGTGGAGACATTGTGATTGCAATGAGGATGGTGTGACGGTGAAATTGACAAACGTGACACGAGAGCAGAGATCCGGTGTAAAGTGAGCAGTTGGATCACGTGTAAAGAGGAAGATCATGAAAGATGGCGAGAAATCAACGTCTTGGTCACCGAGACGGATGAGGATACGACCACCCTTTTTACGGATTTCCTTGTTGAGTACTGGATTGAGGACGGGATCAATGTTTTCAACGTCTTGTACGAGAAGAGGACAACCGAAACGAAGGGCACTTTCGAGATTCTTCATAAACGATGAGTCCAAGAAAGAAGTCTTTGTGATCTTTTTGTCTTGGTATTGGTTGAGCAAGAATTCCATGGCTTGACCAGATGGATCGATGACCAATGGATAACGGTTGAAACGTTTCAACATGATAGCATTCTCGACACAGAGATCGTCGGCTGGCAACGAGTTGGCTTGCCATTGGAGACGTTCCTCTGGACGCGACAAAAAGTCTGGTACCGATAATTCTGGCTTAAACTTGATGCCGACCATTTCAAGACGGTCCATCCATTTGCGCATCAATTCGGCTCTAAAGTGTTGATCAAAGAAACCAATGTAAGCTAAAAAGGCTGATGCTAGGACAACATCTCCTACAACAGTGGCCATTTGTACTTGGAAGTTTTCAGATTGTGACTCCCAACGTCCACGTTCAGAATTGAGGTTCTCCAAAAGTGCAATGGAACGATCAACCTTTGTCTTGACCTTGATCATTTCAACCTTGATCGATTCAGTGTCACGGATGAGTGTAGCGTATTCATCCTTGTACGTATTGATGGAGCTGTTGAGAGAGTCGATTGTGTTGACGAGTTCTTCTTGCTTGGTCTTGAGAGAGTTGGCAGCAACCTCGAGTTGCTCAACCTCTTCACGCAATGGTTTGACACGGTCGAGAATCTCGGAATAGGTGGCTTGGGCAGACACCCACTTGACGAGTGGTCCACAGGCCTTGGAAGCTCTGTTGACAGCTTCATAGTTAAAGTTTGGATCTTGCACGTACTGCTTCATGACAGCATCACGAATCTTGTTGGTCAACTGCTTCTTGGTGTCATAGTCGACAATCGATGCAATAAAGGTGGTTTCCATAATCTTTTTACGGATGTCTCCCCATTCCAACTTCTTGCCCGTCAACATGAGACAGACAGCTTCCATGGCCAACTTGACGGCTGTGGGAGGGTTGGGAAGGGCCTTGATTTCGTCGAGGTGCTTCTTTTTGATGGTAGACACCGACTCTTGTGCTTCAATGATGGCAGGCTCGGCCTTTTCGAGGTCGGCGTATGCCTTTTGCTTTTGGATGTGGATCTCCTTGTTACGAACGTCGAGTTGGGCTTGCAATTCGACAGCCTCTTTTTGCTTTTGCTCGGCGATCTGTTGGTCTTGCACCATTTGCTTGAGCTTTTGGTTGGCCTGGTCGTTCTTGACTTCGAGCTCTCTGTTCTTTTGTGCCAAACTGATTTGGAGGTCCTTGACCTGTTGCTCAGTGTCCCTTAGCTTCTTGAGACCAATGTTGAGATGCAATTGCTCCTCTTCGAGTTGCTCGCGCTTCTCGTTGATCAGCAACACCACCTGGTTGATAAAGTCGAGGTAGTGACGAGGGGTGACGTAGTTTTGACGTCCTTGACGCTTGAGCAGACGGATGTTGGCTTCGCCAATCGTCTGGTGAATGTACACCAAACTCGAGACAACGGCGTCACGGTGCGAGGGTGGCTTGGCAATCATCGAGTGGTTCTCAACCTCGTCGACAAATTGTCCTGGTGCCAAGTACTGTGGATTCTCGAGATCGAGGTTACGTGTAAACTCTGAGCCGACCTGGAACAATGCTTCGTCGGACCATTCACCAAACCAATCGAGTACGCAACGATTGAAAAGAGCGGGAGAGGTGGCAGAACGGTTGTGGAAATCTGGTGATGCTGGATTCATTGTAAAGACAACATGCAAGTTACGACGGACGAGTTGAGTAAAGAACTTGTACAACTCTTCCTCGGATTCCATAATCATACCGTTACGTTGAGCAGTTTCCTTGCATTGATGCATCAAAGCGGTGTATTCTTCACCTTCAAAGAGACCTGGTACTTCACCACCGGCCAAGAGGGTATTCATACGCTCGAGGAAAGATGATTCGAGGACATTGGACTCATCGAAAATAAAGCAAATCTTTTCCTCTTTGCAACCGGCACGTTTCAACAACATACGAAGATCGTCATCAAAGTCGGTTGCCTTGTAGTTGTTGTTTACCTTGATAGTGTAGATAGAGAGACCGTTCATCCATGCAACAAAACGTGACAACACAGACTTACCTCCACCAGACACACCAATGAGCAATGCGTGACCTTGTGGTTGACGGAAGACACGGTCGATACGGAGGATGTGGTCGAGTACTTCATTGAACAAGACGAGTGGGACATCGAGTTCTTCTTCGTAAAAGACTTTGAGACGAGCCTTGACGTATTCACGGAGAGCGGCACGTTCGACTGGGACGTAGTCCTTGGACAACCAGTTCGAGTAGAGAATGGGACGTTTGAGAGCGTCGTGAGCGAGGTTGGGGAAGTACTTGTAGGCAGTCTCGTCGATCTTTTTGTCGGTCCAGTCGCGTTCTTCGGCTTCGACCAAACGATCCTGGAAGAGACGGAGACCTTCGTGTGCCCAGAGACGGACAAGTCCGTCCAAAGTACATCCTTCCATGGTTTGGATGGCTTCGAGGAGTGCACGTACCCAACGCGACAGTTCTCTTGGAGAGTAGATGTAATGTGCGTGCATATCGGGTGTGAATCGCTTCTGTGACATGCTGTAAAACTCGACCATTGCATCGGTCAAGTTCTCGGCAAACGCACGCAAGTTGGGAAGCAACTTCATCAAACTACGATTGAATGTACCGTAAATCTGAGTCAACGACGATGTCGACGGGAAATCGACGAGGAGCAGTGGAGCGTGACGCAAGAAACGATGGGAGAGTGGGACACGACCAGCGTCGGTTGGTGGATTACAAGCACCGACAAATTGGATCTTGTCGAGCTTGATCCAAGTGTGATCAGATGTTCTCCAGAACCCACCCTTTTCAACGAGCTGACGGATGAACGTGATGACACGTTGAGTGCCGTATTTGTCGGCCGATGGCAAATTGATTTCATCGCAAAAGACGACCAACCACTTGCCTATGGCAACGGGACGGAGCACAGTGTCGCCCGATGGCGTACGCTTGTACTCGCAGTGGTGGTCGAATGTCTTGAGGATGAGTTCGGGGGTAGTAGCCGACGAAAAGTTGAGTGATACAACTTCATAGTCTGGGAATGCACGCAGGGTACTGGTGAGGGTCATAGTCTTACCCGAACCTGGTGGACCGCACAAAATGAGTGGACGATGCTCAGACAACCAAGCGTGCAACACGTCTACGTGACGGGTCGTGTCGACGGTTGGAATGACAACATCGGGTGAAGCAACCTTGTGTGTCTCGACTTCGACAACTGGCACCTTGTTCTTCCACAATGACCATTGAGCATCATCGAGGTTGACGGCATAGTCGAGAAGAGGGATAGTGGTAGCGGGGACAGGTGTGATAGCAACCGTTTGGATAAACTTGGAGAACGATTCTCTCTCGGCGAGACCCATCGAACCTCCCAAACCCCACATCAACGAGTAAAGAAGACGGTTGGTAGTGTAGGTAGACACATTCTCTGGCGACATTGGGAAATCGCTGTGCAACTGGTTATACTCGATGATGTTCTGAATCGAACGGTTGAGCAACGAAAAGAATGAGTTTAATGCACGCAAACGTGTAAAGTCCATAATATGTGGACGTTGGGCAGCGTCGTCCATAACCTTGTGCACCAAACCACCAGCTTCAAAGTATGGTGCGATGATGGCAACACAATCCTTTTGGACGGCGAGACCGGGTGTGATGGTGATTGGTTGAGCGGCGGCACCTCCGGTCTGTTGATTCTCGTTACGCAACTGTCTCTCCTTTTCTTGCTCGTCAAATGGTTCATTGTCGATTGTCTTGAGATAGTTGTCAAAGATCATTTGGGTGGTCAATGTCTCTTCCGAGAACCAGACCATACCGCAACGAGAGATGGTAGCAAGGGTAGCATACTTGAGGTCTTGTACTTCGAATACGATACGCACGTTATTTGGCAATGCTAAACGCTCACCGTTGGGGAGTGTGAGCAGCTTGTTGTCATCGAGGAGAGAGTTGAGATTCTCAACCCACTCGGGATCAACGTCACCGTCGAAAATGATCCAGTGACGCTTGGAACTCTCACCACGGACATTATCGATAATACGACGGAGGGTGGCGGTAAAGAGACCGTCGGTCCACTCACGGGTGGTTGTGTCGAGCGAGCCAAACAACTGGTCCTTGGTGATAGCCTTGGGATCGAGTACATGAGCCTCTGACTTGACGTGATCAAGTGCTTCAATGGCCTCGAGGTATACATTCCAAGCACACGACTTGCCGCTGCCGCTTGGACCGACCATCATGAGACCGTGATTAATGTTTTGGATTTGATGCAACTGCAAGATCTTTTCAACCCATTCTGTACGGTTGACAAGGTGACGCTTATCGCAACTAATCTTGATTTGTTCGTGCAAACCTTCAATGTGGATAGGTGACAATTCGCTGCCTGGGAAGACGTCGAGTAACAACGACTGGATCAATGGAATATCGTCGGCCACCAACTTGGGGATCATAGTGTCGGTGATAGAGTTGAGTAGGACACGAATTTCATAGGCATTGTAGATGGCGGCAAACTTATCGTCATCGACACCTGATTCGCGGCGTGGTGCAATCATCTTTCTCTTTAATCCACCGGCACTCACCAACACGGACTTCAAGGCACGAAGACCAAAGTCGTAATGGCTCTGTGACGAGAGCTGTTCTTGGCAGAGCTTGAACAATGGGACGATCTTGCCGGCCAACACTTCGGCGGTCTTGAAACCCTGCGAGTAGAGCATGACCTGGGCAATCATCTCTCTGTCGGGCTTGATCATGGCCATCGAACGGAACAACTGTTTGAGATTGTCTGGCAAGTTGGAACGGCCAGCATAACCGGGATTCATTGTCACAAAGATACCCATGTCTGGATGGATCTGTACGTGCTTGTCGATCAACTCGACCTCCTTGGCCTTTTCCTTGAGTGCCACTTGGATGGTCTGGATCTGTTGTGAGACGGCCGACAAGATACGTTCTTCCAAACGATTGAACTCGTCGAAACAACCCCATGCACCGCATTGACAGAGACCGACAAAGATACGTGACATGGCTTGGAAATCAAAACCTTCGTCGCAACAAAATACGAGTACAAAACGTCCGAGCTGGTTACCAAGTGCCTTGACAGTCTCGGTTTTACCGGTACCGGCAGGACCGAATGGATTACCACCCATACGCGACTCGAGTGCCTGTGTTAGGGTCAAGTAGCAACGATCGGTAAGTGGGGTCTGTACCAAACGTTCGCCAATACCGAGGTATTCGTAACCATAGTAAAACTGGGCGTTGGCCATGAGGATAGTGAGCTTGTGCAAGACATTCTCTTGCTTGTCGTCATAGTAGAAACGCATGTTGTACAACCAGTCAAAGTCCTTGTTGGATACAACCTTGTTTCGCGACAATTGACGGACAACGTCACGTTGGTGGACAAGTTCGGTGATGAGATGTTCGAATTTCTTTCTCTTTTGTGCTTGCAAGTCGAGTAACACCTGGTCGGCAAGATTACCGAGAATGTTTTGGATGTGTTTCTCGAGTTGGTCGAGTTGTTGAGTTGCGTTGTTCTCTGTGAGGATACGATCGACGTTTTGAGACCAGATAGTTTGGATGGTGAGGATAACGAGTTGAGTGGGGAAGAGATCGACCCATTTGGAGAATGCTTCGACATCGGTCTCTGAGATCGACTGGTAGTGCTTGAGAGACTCGCCCAACAATACAGCCAAAGTATTACGCATTTCATTTTCGACGGCTGTCAACCATTCGTGGATCTTTGGTCCGTTGGCAATGCTGACGGGACGCTTAAACATGACAGTCTCTCCTTCACCAGAGGCCATACCCAAAATAGTTGTCTTTTCATCGTCGAGGATGAGGTTGGCAAGACCGGCAAACATCTTTCTAAAGTGTTTCTGGATCTTGATGATATCTTTACTGTTACCGATGATTTCAAGCAAATCTTCATCACCGACAAAGTAGAAACGGGCAAATGCGGCACGTTGGCGCTCGAGGTAGGCACCCAAAGCCTTTTGAATCTTGCCGAGGAGTTCAGCGAGACGTTCCATGGTAAACTGGATACGTTCAATGTTGAGCACCTCGAGGACGAGTGGAGCAGTACTGACCTTTTTCATGAGATTGATAAACTCGCTATTGATCGATTTGAAACGGCTGGATTCGGCTGGCAACAATTGGTTGATTTCACCGGAACCTGAAAAGATACCTTCAAGGTATACCCAACGACGTTGGACGTCGATCCAGACATCCAAGAGTGCACGAAGACGGTTGAGCTTGTCGTCCCAGGCAGTAGCCTCTTCTTCAAAGACCTTGTAGAATGGCGACATCTTCATGGCAGCAATCGAGTTGAGATGCTCGGCCAACTTGCTAAAGAGGTCGTCCCAACCACGGATAAGCTTGCACTTGCGTTGGTAGTTGACAAGGTCGAGTTCGAGGGCAGTCCAATACTCGCGCACCTGCTTGAGGAACTCTTCGAGTGCAATTTCACCCTGAGCGGCGGTAATCACCTCACGATAGATATGTTCGTTACGCACAATATCCGAGTCCCAGATGGAGCCGAGTGTCATCTCGGTGAGGATCCAGTTCGAGTTGAGACGTTTCTTGAGAATCTTCCAATGACGTTCTTTAATGGCTTCACTGTGGAGATCAGTGATGATGGCGTTACCCTTGAGCAGACCCTTGAGTGTGAGCTGTGCATGGTCAAATGCAGAGTATTGACGGATACGATTGGGCAAGTTCTTGAGTTTGGTGAGTGTGTCTTCGAGCGACTTTCTCACCTTACGTGGCACGACGGCCGACCAGGCAGTCTCACGCAATGTGTCAATCTCGCCCCATGTAGCGGCAAGCTCGGACCATACAGCCTTGAGATCTTGCATCTCTTCCTCGACTGGTTGGAGACGCTCTTCGTCGGACGACCCGCCGGTCTGGTCGACCAGGTCGAGTGCCTGCTTGGCCTTTTGCAAACGGTTGTTCTCGTCTCTGAGACGAATCATACGGCTCTCAAAGACACGGATGGTTTCGAGTGCTTGAGCGTGCTTGAGCGAACCAGCCAACGGCTTGTTGTTGGACCAGTCTTCGGCAAACTCGCGGATACGGTCAGAAATGGACTTGCTCTCGGCAAGGATCTTGGCCTGGAGTTGTGGAATCGAGTCGGCCATGGAAGCATTCTTACGGTTGAGAATGTCGTTAAAGGCAGACCACTCGGCTTCCACCATATCGCAATCCAACCAATCGTTGGGGAATTGGAAACGTTGACGTTGGAGTAAATCCTGACCGGCACGGTAATACTTGAGGTCAGCCTCCCATCCAATTAAACGACGTTTCATCTCTTGAATCTGGATGATAAATGATACTGCTTCTTCGGTTGAAACAGACTCGACTGACAACTTTTCAAGTTCAGTACGACTGGCAGCGATCGTGTCGTAAAAGGCACGCATCTTTTCAGCCAACTTTTGACCAAAGTGAGAGAGAATATCTTTGTGCCAAAAGTCGTACTTGTTGTTGACAGAAGCTTGTACTTGAGCATAGTCAATGATTAATGGACCAAAAGCCTTGTCAGTATCACTATTGTCAAAGGTGGTACGCGACTTTTTGATCTGACCAAGGAGGTTTTGCCAGCGACTGAGGTCGTCACCGAGCTTGTTGTACACGTACGACGACTCCATGTCCCAGAGTGCTTGGTACTGCAACCAGATCTGCACGTAGCGGTGTACCTCGTCCAACTTGGATTGAATGGTTGCGTAGGCCTTGTCGAGTGTTTCTCGTGGCAACTTGGCCAACATATCACGGAATGTCTTTTTCGACTTGTTTTCAAGCTCGCGGTGGGTAATACCCTCGTCATAACGAGATGCTTGGATACGTGGAAGATCACATACAATGTTGAGCCATTGGTGCAACTGTTGGATCCAGTTGACACGAGCAAACTCGAGGGGTGGGTCGAGGGACAATACTTGGTTACGAATGACAACCTCGTGAATCGATGTCTCTAACTTTGGTTTGATGGTAGAGATGACGACCGAGTCTGATGTACCGTCTTGTTTGTCTTCGCCAGAGGTGTTCTTGTCGGCAGCCTTGTTTTGACGGACACGAGAAGCATATTGGAGACGTGACGAAGAGGTGGTCGATCCAGTCTTGTCAGCACCACCTTGTTGTTCTTCGCGACCTTCAATGAGGAGAATCCAGCTGTTGATGGCATCGTGCAAACGTTCAGTGAGGACGTGCTCGACCATCTGATCCAACTGACCAACCCACAACGACAAATTACTGTACGAAGCAAGATTGAGCTCATCGACCAGTTTTTGAATGTCGGCCAAGATCTCTTCAAAAGTCTCGTGCTTGAATGGACAGCTACGAAGACGATCGAGTAGCTTGGTAATCTCACCATACTTGATAATGAGGTCATCAACCTTGTCACGGAACGCATTGACAAAGGTAGACAACTTGCGTACATATGGGTCGAGTTGAGGTAACGACTCCCACTTTAACTTGAATCCCTCAGTCAACGATTGCTGCACATCACGCTTGTAAGCGGCAATCAATGGAGCAATCTCGTGAGTGATCTTGGCCGATGTCTGAGTATAAGTTCTCAACGTCTCTTTGAGTGACACTGCAAATGGATACACTTGCTTGGCAGTCGATGAAATAAAACTAATGTTGAGTGGTACACGGAATCCAAGACTCTGCAAATTTCTAACCTCCTTGAACAACATGATAATATGTGAATCGAAATTAATGTCCAACGACAACTTGCTACCCTTCTTGTTGACGGTCAAGATCTTGCCACTCACTTCAAACGAACGACTGTAAGTGTCTTGCACCCATTTGTTAAAGATGTGTTCGGCATTTAGCTTGGAACGGAATTGGTCACCTTCTGCCTTTAGCTTTTGTCCTTCGGCATCCGACTCCCAACTCTCACCCAATACATCCTCTACACGACGCATATAAGTGTCCAACTGACGTTCGATTTGACGTGCCCAAATAATGGCTCCAGATACCGGTGGCAAATCTCTCAACTGTGACATGTACGATGCTTCAGATTGACTATACTGTTGTTTAAACTTTTCATGCAACACTTTAATATCATCCTTTACTCTTTCAATTAATTGTGTTTGATATTCTTGAATTGCTTCTCTAATCTAAAAAAAAATTAAATAGATAGATTAAAATATTAATATTAAACTTGGTTGGTTGATTTAATAACTTTACATACTCTTGGTCTAAAGAATAAAACATTAAATTTGGAGAATACTCTAAACATTTCATTTGCATTTTTGGCAGTGGCAAGACGATCACGAAGTTTGGTGGTAATGTAAGATTCAACACGATCGATACGGTTGTTGTACTTTTTCTGGGCACTGACCCAGAGATCATCACCTTCTTGGGTGAGGAGGAGTACGTCAATGTCTTTGATGTCTTCGTAGGCTTCATTGATCTCTTTGATGGCATTGATCTCACCGGCGTGTTGTTGCGAGGGGAGGACGGTCGAGATGACAGTCTTGAGCTCATCATGTTGACGACGGAACTTGCGCAACTTGAGCACACGATCAATCAAACGACGGTTGTCGACGTTGACGAGTAGTGGTACACGATCGCTACCACGCTTTCTGGCAATCTCTCTGAGGATTTCACGGAACTGAACAAACTGGTCGTCCCAGAGCGAAAAGAGGGCACGGAACGAGGCGGTGGCCTTTTCAAACTCGGTGTAGTCAATGTGCATGAGTTGACGTTGCTTGAGGATCGACAACACCTTTTGGCACATGTCACGACCGACAGCTTCCAAAAGTGCCAAGTAACGCTCGATTGGGTAGTACGAGTTCTTTGACTTTTTAAGATGCGAAAAGATACCAGTCACAGCAGTGGAGACAGACTCAATGTCGGTGGCAGTCAAAAGAGGAGTGATTGGGAAATCCTTGATCAATGTCTTGTAGTTGACAACCTTTTCCATTGCTTTCTTCAAACCGATGGTATCAGTGTCAAAGGAGACGGTAGCCAAGAAACGTTTGGCTTGTTTCAAGACAGACAACGATGTCTCGGCTTCAGGCGACTTTAACTGCTCGTTGATATGGTTGAGTGATTGCTCGAGTTGTTGCCAAAAGTTGATCTCTTGCGAGGTGCTGGTCGAGCTGTCGACGATAAACTCCTCGATCGATTTGAGCTTGGTCACCTTTTGGATGTCTTTGACCCACTGGCTGACACCGGCTTGCAAGCTGTTGAGGAACTCCTGACTCTGAGCCAAATCACTCATGTCCTCGGCCTTGATAGCACGTCCCTGTGTATCCTTGACCTTTTTGGCAACGGCTCTAATATCTGGATGAATATTAAGAATCACCTCTGGAATTTGTACTTGTTGTTTACAATTATACAATGATAATTCTAATTCTGCAATCTTTTGATTGACTGCTCCAATTCCTAAAAAAATTAAATCAAAACAAACAAATTGAATGAAAGGAAATGATTAGTATATATATATTTCTTTCTTTCTACTTTGTCTTCTCTCTTACCTAATTTAACATCCTTTTCAACGGTATTTGTATTCTTTTGAGTTTGAGATTTCAAAGCAAATGAACGAATGAATGGAGCGACAGAGTTGTGAATGAAATTGTGAAGAGTATCAAATGGAGCACCTTCACCAAGATTGATGACTTGGAGTTGTGATGATACCGATTTAATGCTATCAATCACAGATTCTGGGACTCTCTTTACAATGGTCAATGAATTGACTCTTTCACCTTCAAATTTTACTTGATTTTCAAATGTAAAGTATTCTAAATATAAAAATGTACAGTAATAAAGGTTAATAAATGTTTAGTCTAAACTAAAGATGATATTGTTGACATACCTTTTAATGGAGTTGATGGTGATGTAGTTGTTGATGTTGATGATGATGAAGATGTTTCTTCATCATTGCCACCATGCTTTTGAATCAATAGTACTGGGATCTTTGAATCACCAGCAAACTTTTTAATGATGGATTGAGATTCTACTTGATTGAGGTTGTTTTGAAAGACAGAGGCATCACCATCTAAAAGTGGCGGACAAATCTTTACAAGATATTTACAAATCTCTTCAAACAATGCTTCATTCACTACGATGGGTGCAAGTGTTGGTGATGGAGGATCGCTATTTGATTGACCCTCCATTTTTGTTGCTATATTATCGATCTATCTATCTATCGATCTCTTTTATATAGATGATTTGATGATGATTATTAACAATACACTAACTAAACTATACTACTATCTTCTTTTTTTTATATAAATACAACAATGAATAGATAGATAGACAGTGCAAATGTGTGTTAGTGAGTACTATAGCACAATGATTTTTTTATGATCAGCTGAGCACTCTCAGAACCGTCAAAAAATTTCAAATAAAAAATAAAATCCTCCCTCGCTTTGAACTTCAACTACACAAAATATAATGGTTGCCAATCATAATACTTAATTGATAGATGAAAAAAAAATCTAGATGAACTTGTTTGTTGTTCATTTCAGTTGATTATTCTCTTCCTTTATGTTTGATGATCATCAGTACCGTACATGTCGTTTCTCAGTTTGGTGAGCTGGAAGATCCGGAAGTACTCTCCAATGGAGGTAGCCGCCCATCTTTAAATATTGTCTTGGTCATACATAATTACAAATCTAAAATTGGAAATGAACTAAATGTCTTGTGAAAATATACACCTCATTTACATGGTTCAGTAAATTTGTCAGTTATTATAAAATATTAATCAAAAAAGAAATAAATAAATTAATGAATAATAAAGTTGTTGTAATTAAAATCAATTACAAATAAAATGATTTATTAAATGGTGAAATAATAATGATGATTAATAAGATTAAGCAACAACAGTGCAGTTGAATGGGAAAAGCATTGAAGTTGTTCCAATTCCAATTCCATTAATACCAACAAGACGAATGGTATCACATGCTAAAATTAAAAAAATATCAATATAATTTCAAGAAAGATTAATATTTATCTATTTAGTATTTACCTGGAACTGATGGAAGATTGCAAAACATTGGAGATGATCCATCTTGGGTACAGTATGACATAATATTGGTGGTCATACCCTTGTTTCTTGTTTGTTGAGCTGTCCAAATCATATTGTTTGGTGTAAATTCGATAACAAATGACTTGTCTACTTGGGTTACATTGGTGACTAGTAAAAGAAGAAAAATATTTTTATATTAATGAAATCAAAAAATTTCTTTCTAATATATCTATATTTTACTTACTTCCTGCATCAACAGTTGAAAAAAGAATCGAGGAAACGAAAATTACTAAAAGTACTGATGAGATAATCTTGAACATTTTTGAAGTAAATTTGGTTAAGATAAGATAAGATAAGATAATAGAATTAATTAGGTGTTTAATTAATTTGATGATTTGAGTTGAATTGATGATTTGAAAATGGTAGGTTATATAAAAATATTTATATCCAATTTTAGGGGCGGTAACCTGTGTAGGCCACATTTCTACTGTTATAGTTTCGTTTGATGTTGGTCGGCTGACCCGTCTACGGATCACCCGATTGCCATATTTGAACACCTACCCCAACCACTACTCTACTTTTCGAAGATAGGATATATTGATAGATAGATAGATACCTCACGAAAAAACAAAAACTAAATCTGGAAACATCACAAAGTCATGAAGCGTGGGGTGATAGGATTGAAACCAAACAAGACAAGACAATATGTCTATTTTTTGGAACTACTTTTGTACAATAATTTTGTTGTTTTGTTAATATTATTTATACATATATATTATTTATATATATATTATTTATTTTGTTTTGTTTATTTAATATACTTTTTAATATTTATTAATTTATTTGTTAATAACTCTTGAACTGGTACCAGAATTGGAAGAGATGGTTTTGGTGACAGAGTCGGCAGTGACTTCGGAGGCTTGGGAGGCTTGGAAATCAACGTGGAATGGAGCAAAGGTTTCCTTGACGACACCAGAGTGGGTGCCAAGCTTGGCACGGAACATACGTGGGATATCTTCACCGACGAAATTTAAAAATACAAATTTAACAGTGTCACTAAGATCGAATCTTTCAACCTCTCTGACGAGACCATAGGCAACGATGGAAGAGGAGAGATGGGGAGCCAACTCGTCGACGGACCCGCTGCCGGTGGCGATGACGGTGAGGGTCGAGTTGTCGGGCTTGTACCCAATCAACGCCCAGGTGGTGGCGGTTTGGTCGTTACGGACGTCCTTGATGGCGGCACGAACTTCGTCGTCAACCTTGACGGGGGCGCCGGTCGAGGTGGGGACCGACGAGGGACCCTTGTAACTGCCACCCGACGAGGTGCCCGAGACGGAGCTGCCAAATTGTCTGAAACCGCCGCCGGTCGAGGCCGAGGTGGTCGAACGGGGTTGGTCGGCGAGGACACGCGATTGGGTGCCCGAGTTTTTGGTGATCGTGTCGACAATGATATCCTCTGAGATTTCAGACTTGGAAGACGCCTTGATGTCGACGTGGTAGGGTGTGACGAGCTGCTTGACGACGCCAGAGTGTGTGCCGAGACGAGCACGGAGCATACGTGGGATATTGTCGCCGGTCCATTGGATAAAGGCAAATTTGACAGTGTTGCTATTATCAATCTTTTCAACGACACGGACAAGACCGTAGCCGACGGTGCTGTCGTCGAGGTGCGAGATGAGCTCGGTTGGTCCGCCCGACCCACTGCCCAACAACACAATAGTGTTGCTATTGCCACCCTCGTACCCAAAGAGTACCCAGTTGATACCACTATTGTCGGCACGGAACTCCTTCAATGCAGCGCGGATAGCTGGCTCGTCACCCAAGGCAACCGCATCCTTTCCGGCCGATGATGGAGCAGATCCGATAAACGAACGACGTGCGCCAGAGGGAGAGTTGGTCGAGCCGCTGCCGGCAGCACCAAGCTTTTGACCACTCTCGTCCAAAACACGCGAGCCCGATCCCGAGGTCTCTCTGATCTTTTGGAGCACAACCTCGTCCGAGATTTCAGATGGGTTGGTAATGTTAAAGTCGGATTGGTATGGAGCGATCAATGGCTTGATCGAGCCAGTGGCAATCGAGACAAAAGCCTTTTGCATGATACCAACCTTTTCACCAATAAAGCTGATGAATGCAAACTTGACAGTCTCACTCTCGTCGATACGGTCAATCTTGCGAACCAAACCCCATCCAACAGTCGTGTCTTCCAAGTGTTGCACCAACTCGGCAACACCTCCACTACCGCTACCAGCCAACTTTATCTTTTTCGATTTGTTGTCTTCAAATGACAACAATACCCAGTCGGTTGGAGTCTTGTCGGTTCTAACATCAGCAATTGCTGATTTGATTTCACTTTCATTAATAAATTGTACTGACATCTTATATTATATTCTTTTTAATTAATTATTTGTTGTATATGTATGAATTAAATATCCTATAAATATATAAATATATAAATTGAAATGAATGAAATTTGAATGTTAACATTAGGTTTGGGACAATACATCAATAATAATAATAACACATTTAATTTAATCAAAAATCAATCAATATCTCTCTCTCTCTCATCCTCTTCTAGTGTATGCATTGTGTGGGTATGTGTGTGAAGTTGTGGTAATTAGAGTACAGTGTGTGTTTGTTCAACTTCACACAACAAACCAAAAAGACAAGTAGATATGAATAAAAATGAACTTACTCTTTTTGAAAATATCTATTTTATATTATTTATATTACAATTGTTTGTTGTTGTTGTGTTTTAGTGTGGGTTGTTGTTGATATGAAGAGATAATAGATACAGATATCTGAACACAATGAACTAACTGAATGAATGAATAAAACTAATAAAACCCAACTAGATAGATGGGCAAGGAGGGGAATGTTGCGTGACTTTGGTTTTTTTTTTGTTTTTGTTGAATTTCAAATAAACTTCAAACTTGCATCGAGGTAAAAAACAGTGTGTCCACTAAAGATATAGATACGATATGTGATATATTTATATATATATATTGTTAGTTATCATTTATTTATATTATTATTATAATAAAATATTTTTAATCTAAAGCAATAATTCTAGCAATGAATTGTAAATCTTCATTACCATTGTCGTGACCTTGATTCCATCTGATTTCAATACCATTGCTTGTATCAACTACAATGTATTGAATAGTGTCAGGAATAGATTTAGTGTCATTTGGGAAATCACGAGCTAGAATAGGTAGATCAACTTGGACTTTGATAAACTTTTGGAGTTGTTCTGGTGTTAGTCTTCCTCTCTCCTTTTTGTTTGCAACTGTTCCTGTTAATAAATTGATAAGAATTTGTCTTCTTTCTCCTGTTGCTGCATTATCTGATACTATAATCAATGATCCCTTGTTTAAACAAAATATTAATAAATATATATCAATATATATATATATAGCTAATAAATAATATAATTTATTACAAATATACTACATACTAGAATAGGAGTTACAATTAAATAAATTAAAAATATACAACTTAAAATTTTAAAATTCATATCTTTCTTTCTTTGTTAGTCAATCAATAAATAATAAATATAAATATAGAAAATACTATATAAACTAACTGGACGACAAAGTGATTGATTGATTTGTTGATGTTGATGATGGAGGATGGAAAATGGATAGAGTGTAGCAGCGAACTAAACTAAACTAAAGAGTTATTCATTCATGATCATGACTGATGATGGTTTGGATCTATGTATATAGCAACAGCAGCATGCTATGCTACCATCATATGATGGTTTCATTTCTTGATGACCCCCTCCCCAAAATTTGATCATATTCACCACCATTGTAGTGAAAAATGGTGTGATTAATGGTTCATAAATCTCGGTGTCATTGCTTGCTGAGTAGCTTCATATGAATAATAACTGATTTGTTTTTTTGGCTGGCGACAGTGCGGATGTCGCCCGCTTTTTTTTAAAAATGACAATATAAGTAAACATGTTCAATCAAATATTAATCATAATCATTATTTAGCAATGAGCAAAAATTTAAAAGATATATTAAGGCATACCAAGGAGAGTAGTCCATTAGCCTCCAAAAATGTTACAAAAAAGAAGAGAATTGAAGATTATATTAGAAGAGAAAGAAATGATGATAGACCAAGGGCAGTTGTAAGGTTTATAGGTTTAAATTGATTCCAAATAGATTATTAATGTTATATCTTTGTTAGATCTACGAGGAACTGATTGTGACAGAAAGTACTACAGTAAAATCAAGCGATCCATGGAAAAAGGGACCAAGCCAAAGTCGCGTGAATTATTGGATGAGGAGGGTAAGAGAAAAGCAAGAGAACTCATCAAAGAGAAACAAAAATCAAAGACTCCACTTACTATAACTGGTTTCAGAGTAGAGGTAAGAGTTTGGAAACAATTGGAATGTCTGTAGCCAATAATATTAAAAACCATTTATTTTAGGTTGCCAAGCTGACAAAGAACCCAAAAAAAGTTCCATCCAAGTCATGGTTCTATCAAAACTTCAAGGAAGATCCAGACAATAAGGATATTGTCCTCAGAAGTGGTATAATAACAAATCAGTAAATCATTAAATAAATATTATTTTTGATTATTGTCCAAAATAACCTTCTTTTTGTTGTTAGTTACCAAAAAATAGAATGCCTTGCTTGTGTTTATAGGGAATTATTAATCTTTTCCAAAAGGTTGATAATGATGGTTACTATTTGTTTTTCCAATTGCAATTGTTGTTGTTGTTGTTGAATATTGTTATTATCGGATTGTTTTGGTTGTTGATCCATTTCAAATAAATTTAATAATTGTTGTTTTTGTTTTAATTCATCAATGATGATGGTTGCAATTGATATTTGTAAAGTATCTTGAAGTTCGAGATATTGTACCAACATATCACCGTCTAGAATATTTTTTACCATTGATACTTCGGATCGATAGCATTGGTGGTCATTACCAGTCAGAGACTTTGTCAAGTCGAATTGACAGAGAATCGATTGGAGTGTCTCGAGTATTTGGTATTCTTCCTTGCCAAGTCGAGCAAATAGGTACAGTCCACCACTAGACCCACTCGCCAAAATATTGTTGCTCTGTTCCATTCGTTGTAGACCTAGACACCCTTCTTTGATGCTGTAGTTTGATACTGGGTCGCGCACCTCGTATCGATCGACATCTGCATCCAACAATTCATCGTATTCGAGTACCAAGAAATTACCAAATCGATCAATACCAGCAAACAACTCGTCTGTTATAAATACACATTGTGCAGTGGCAAGTGGCATATTTTGTCCAATCTTTTTTCTCAGCGAATTGTTGGACGAGTTGTAATTGTACAAAAACATTCCATCTTTAAGTGTTCCAAACAACACCCGATTGGTAATAGGTTGATATGATATACATTGAATCGATGATGTTGTTATAATAGCATTCATCAATGATGTATTTGTTCTATTTGCAATATCAAGTATAGTTGTTTCATTTGATGTTGATACAATTATATTTCTAGAAAAAATAATTAAATAATTAAATAATTAAATAAATAAATATTATTATTTCCATCTCTTTCTTCTTCTTCTTCTTTCTTTCTTTCTTACCCATCACTTAATGGTACAATTGAATTAATTGGAATTGGTTGTTGTAATGTTTTAAATTCAGTAATACCAATATCAACTTCTTGAAGATGAATATTCAAGAAATAGGCAATACCTCTATTATTTCTAGTTGAACTATTTTGATTTGATTCACCTCCATAAATAATTAAATTTTTTGTATTCCAATCTAAAAAAGATTAAATAAATAAATTAATAAATTAAATAAATGATTATTATTATTTCTATTCAATTCTTACAATTTAAGAATAAAGGTTTATCCATATTATGTTCACGTTGATATAATATTTTATAGTTTGAATCACGAATAAAAATATGTTTATCATAAATTAATACTAGAATATGAAATTCTTTAATAAATAATAATTTTTTTGGTCCCTAATGATTAATTAAAAAAAGATAATAAATTATCATTATTATTATTATTATTAGTATTTTCAACACAATTGTGTTTGATTCCTTTTTTTTGATTATGATTTAACATACTTGATCTAAAGGTTTAATATCTCTTGAAGGTATTTTTGTAATATTATTTTTAGAGAAATCAACCGAGGCAATATAGAGACCAGTTAAATTCTCGTGTCCACCAACTGTAATAAATGAAAACTTTGTTATTTTACCATTGGTACTGTGAATAGCACCACCAGAGGCATTATTAAAAGGTATGGTAGCAAGTGAAAGATGACCTTTACTACCAGTAACATAATATGATCTATCTGTAATAATCAAAGCTCCCTTTTCTTCATTTGCTATAATTTCAACATGTGATCTAAAGATTGAAAAGAATAATAAGTAAAGTATTCATCGTACTCTTTGTTTGTTTGTTTTTGTTGTACATACTTTGAAAGTTGAGAAGTAAAAATAATGGATTGAGTAAATGGATTAGAGGTTATGTCATTCCATTCAAATTTGACCAAACATCCATCTCTCATACCAACAATGATTTTTAGATTATGATTGATATCACCCAACGGACTTACAACTATTGAATGTGGAATAGCTTGTAATTGACAGTATGAATAGATAGTCGATAATAATTTGTCATCATCCATTGAGAGTATATGAATTTCATTGGTATAAGTACCAACAAATAAATATTTTGATAGGATCTGACTTTGACTAGTACTCCTACTAAAACTTGAAACAACAAATGAATTTGGTAGATGAATAGTTGAAATATCAGAATCAAACAATCTAATTGATTTTTGGATAAATTGTCCATTGATATATTCGAGGTGGACAAGAGTATTTTGTCGAGAGAGAGAGACGATGATATCCGATTCACGATTAGTGCATTGTACAATCGATCCATATTCGGGTGCTGGGAACCAATCGACATGTGTGTCAAATGCACACGATACAGCTCGAATTCTGTCTGGAGTGGCTTGAAGATAATGTTTGGCGTTGGTCATGACACCACTGTACAGTGTGGTTTGATCAGTCACGAAATTACAGTTGGATGTAATATCAGATGCATCATTGTTACTGTAGAATTGAAAGATGATAGTTTCATTGGACAATAGTGATACCATTGTAATGATATCTGATTGATAGGAATAACTCCAAATACCAGTTGCCAAACATCGAATCTTTAAAATAATATCCATCGCTGCACAATTCTCTAGCATTCTCACTCCACCAAAAGATGGTCCACCTCCACAAATCATAAATACCTTTGTTTGTAAATGATTTGGATATTGATTATTAAATAACCAATTATTATTATTATCTGTTATTGTAGTACTATAATTTGTATCAGATGATGCTAATAAAGGATTACTTGAATTTAAATTATTATTGCTGTTTGTTGGAGAAGATTGAAGTAATAATTGTTGTTGAGAGAATGATAAGGGATTAGCAGATGAAGTAGATGTGGGTGGTAAGAGTGCAGGTGGAATTTGTTGATCTATACAAAAATCAATAATAGGTGAGTTGTTTTGAATGAATCCACCAATTCTGTCCTTGGCAACTGATTTAAATTCATTGTCGAGTCGAATGATTTCACTATCTGCAAGATCACCAACCACCAAAAATGTTCTATTATCACCTGGAAGTAGTAATATTGATTTGATAGGGTTGAGGTCATGTGTAATGACTTGAGCTGTAAAACTCTTGAGTGTCTTTAAATCCAACTCTATTCTATACAATGATCCCTGATCACTAGTCAATAATAATATTTGTCGTTTCTTCTCATCATCTGTCCAACAAAATGATGATATCATTTCCTTTGATCGATCAACATTTTCATCAAAATCCAAATAAATAGTACTGAAATTAATCTTATAACATGAATGTAAATCCCTATTAAATAAAATTAATGATGAATCCTAAATGATGAAATAACTAATTAATACTTAATTCTATACAAAATAAAATGTTATCTTATTGTCTTACATAAACCAAAAAGAATAAATTTGGTTGATTTGGAATTGAAATAAATTGGTATGGAACGAGTTGTTGGTCTTTAAGTGTATGTGTTTTACGTATTGAATATTCATTTGTATATAAATTAAATTCAATCATATGTATTCTATAAAACAAAACAAAAAAGAATTAATTAATTAACAAAAATAATTTATATCTATCTCCTCCCTGTACCTCTACCTCTACCTTTAACATACTCTGTATTAGTTGAAACTTGTAAATAAATTAAATGATGATTATTATTGTCAGGTGATGAAGATGCCAAGAATCCCATACAAATGATTGGACCTTTGATTTTAAGATCTATTCGTTTTGATACAATCGTTGTTGTGGTTGTCCTAGTTGCTCTATTTGTATTGACTGGTAACAACATTATATTATCTTTAATTGCACAAACTGCAATTAATCTTTGACTATAATACATATAGATAATAGACATAAATATCATATTTCAATTATCTTGACTTTTACTTTCTTTCTTTCTTACCAAGATGATATTCTAATTTTAGAACCTAATGATTTAGTATCAAATTTAGCATTGGCACCTGATATTTTGTATTGTTGAATGGAGATGAATTGCATAAGAGTATTGGACCATGACATGAATGAAAGATAACAAGAATCTGATGTAACTACCAATATATCTCGGTCTCTGAAATCACTATCAATATACTTTTCCTTTTTTACCAACTTTTTAATCCTACTTGATAATGAATCTCCTCCACTTGATGATGAGTTTGACTGTGTCTCATCTTGACGTCTTCCATAATAGAATTGTTCATCTGCTTCTGACATGGTTTCAGTAGTTGATGTTGCAGTTGTTGGTGCCATGGTATTTGCATTGATATAGTTTGTTGAAATCGGTGAGAGAATGACAGCTTGTCTCACAATAGAGAATAAAGGAATTGAATATAATGGTTCAAGTGGTGATATATCATCATTGTACATTGATGAATCTTCTTGACTAGTTTCACTTTCTTCTTGAGGTTGTTGTTGTAGTGGTTGTTGTGATAATTGAGAAGAAGGTACAACAAATGAATTCTGGTTACTAGTATCATTATATCTTGTAACATCAATCATTGTTTCTTTAACCAAAAGTATACTATCACCACAATTATTATTACTATCCTTAAAGAATCTACCTCTAAGTGTCTCTAGTATACATGATGGTTGAACAACATTCTTGCAATAAAAGGTTGGAGGATGAGGAAGAGGTGGTGTCATTGTCGATGGTGTCGGCGACATTGATACACCACCAACACCAATCATAGGACTTGTACTACTATTGTTATTATGACTCATAACTATCCTATCTATCTATCTATCTATCTATCTATCTATCTATCTATCTATCTATCTATCTATCTATCTATCTATCTATCTAATATATAATATAATATAACATATATTAGCCTATCTTTGTTGCAAAAAAGTAAATTAAAAATGAGACATGTAACTTCACCAAATTTCGGTCATATTAATATGCATTATTGTTATTATTATTTTTAAATTTATTTTTAATTTATTTTACGGTTTACTTGAATAAATTAGAGATTTGACTTTGATCGATTGATTTTAAAATTTCTTGAACCTTTGCAACGAGTTGACTACGTTCGACGACTTCTTGTTGCTTGGTGGCCATGTTTTTGACGGCGACAGAGTTGGTTTCAAGCTCGGTCTTGCCAATGAGTACCATGACGGGGACTTGGGCGTCAGAGGCGGCTTCGATTTGTTTCTTGGGTTGGGGGGTGGCTCTGTACATGTACTCGGTGTTGATACCGGCCTTCCAAAGCTCGGCGATGATCTTGAGACGCTCGGTAATGTTGATGTCACGATCCATCTGGCAGACATAGACCTCGGTCTGGTTCTGACGGATCTTGATCTTCTTTTTGGCGGCCTCTTCTTCGAGGATTGAGAAGAGACGCTCGACGCCAATGCTAAAGCCGACCGATGGCACCTCGGTGTTTCCGTACATACCGACGAGACCGTCGTAACGACCGCCTGCAGCGACACTGCCTCTGTCCGACTCGGTAATGATGGCCTCGTAAATGATACCAGTGTAATAATCGAGTCCACGAGCAAGACTGAGATCAAAGCTGACACGATCGAGACATCCCATAGCCTCGAGATAGGTAAAGAGGACGTCGAGTTGGTCGAGTGTGGCAATAGCGTCCTTGTGACCGTCACATAGCTTTTCAGCACGGATTTGGGCCATCAAAGTACGTGGGTGTCCATTCAACTTGACAAACTTTTCAATGCGGTCGGCTACCTCGCCGTCCAAACCCTTCTCTTCGACCATCTCCTTGCGGACCAACTCCCATGACATCTTGTCGAGTTTGTCGACTGCCGAGCAGATCGTTCTAAACTTGTCGGCTGGTACACCGCAGATGGCAAAGATGGCATCGAGCAGCTTGCGGTGGTTCAACTTGATGACAAAGTTGCCGACCTTGACCGACTCGAGAATCTCGCACATCAACATGACACACTCGGCGTCTGGCACCATCAAATCGTACTCGCCGGCAATATCAAAGTCGCATTGATAAAACTCTCTAAAACGACCCTTGGTCATAACAGGGTTATCACGACGATAGACACGTGCAATGTGATATCTCTTGATCGAACGAATACCATGCATTGCTACATATCTTGCAAATGGTACAGTCAAATCATAACGCAATGAACAAATCTCTCCTCCTTGATCTTGTAAATCATAAATCAACTTTGAATCTTCTCCATATTTTCCTGTTAATGTATCCTAAAAATATATATAAATAGCCTAATATTAGTATATACTAATACTACTACCATACTCTACTATATTTTTTATACCTTTAATTCAAAGACGGGAGTTTCGATAGTGACAGCACCATGTTTCTTGAAACATGATTTAATGTTATTAAACAACTCTTCACGAATAGCCATTTGTGGAGGAGTGTAATCTTGTGTTCCCTTTGGTGTCTTTAATACAAACTTCTTCTTTGACTCTTTCTTTTCTTTGTGTTTCTTTTCTGGTACTGCTGCAGCTGCTGGCTTGGCAGTAGCAGTAGTAGTAGTGGTTGTTAACCCTTCTAATTGTTGGGTTGTATCCTCAACACTCTTGTTATCTGTAGTACTAGTCGACATATCTCTCTATCTCTCTCTCTTTAATTAAAACAAATCTAAAGATCATTACCCACTCGGGTATAGTTTTTGCGAAAAAGGGAAAAAACGAATAATAATAATAATTTAAAATTTAATAAAGTAGTATCTTAATAAATGGATGATTAGAAAAGAGGAGTACTTTATAATAAAAATTTAAATTTATTTAAAAAAGCGTGATAGTCTAGATGACAATGATTGTTGTTTCTTTTTTTCATTATCATTGTTATTATTTTTACTTTTGTTATTTGTTTGACTATTATTATTATTATTTGTATTTATATTTATATTTATATTTTTATCATCAATGGTTTGTATATCATTAATTAGTAGTAGAGAAGGATTACATTCTGGACGATTATGGTAGAGATAGTAAGCAACATTTAAATACCCATTGTTGATGGAATCTTTTAGAGCTTTGATAGTACATCCTTCGGTACGATGCTTGGAAAGATATTTAACGACTTTTAATTTACCATTCATGGCAGCTTGATCCATGATACATTCAGACATACGATCCTCCATTTTATGGTTGGCTGTGAGATACTTTACAATATCTAAGTGTCCATTTCGAGAAGCTCTCATCAAACCATATGTTGAGAATCTCTGACTTGTTGTATTTTCCAATAGGTATTGAACTACCTTTTCGTGACCGTTATCAGCTGCAAAGTCACATGCAGTATAAGGATGACCTGAAGAGGTAATTTGATCTGCATAGTGGGTAAAAAGATACTTTACCACTTCAAGATGTCCATTTTCAGCGGCTCTTATCAAACTTGCTGATGTTGGACATAGGCGGTCTGGGTACCTATCCAACAACCAAATAATAATCTCGAGATGATTATTTCTTGCTGCTACTTCGAGAGCACGGCGCGAACATCCTTCACTTCGATTGGTCGATAAATATTTAATGACTTGGAGGTGCCCATTTTCTGCGGCATAATCGATAGCGAGGTCTGTGCATGCTCCAATACCATTTTCGTGCAGTAGTTGAACCATTTCCAAATCACCTCGCATGGATGCCATATTCATCGCGGCAACCGAACAATTCAAATGTATGTTTTGGTGTATCCACAAGAGATTTGGAACGTTTCCTGAAAGCGATGCAGAGTCTAGGCAAAATGGTGTGAATGCTGTGGCAGGATGTTTGTTTAATAATTGTAGCATTTCAGGTGTTGCATGTCGTGATGCTAGTGGAATGACAGCGTCTGAGAATTCTTGCACGTTGGTGTTTGCCAGTAGCCAATGCATTATCTCCAACTGGTTGTTCTTGGCAGCCCATTCAAATGATTTGTGTGTTGCCAAATCAATCGAGCAAGAATGTAGATACTTGATCATCTCTAGGTTGTTGGTCTCGACTGCCTTGTCAATCGTCCCTTTTGCCGACTCGAGGGGACGGTTGTCGTGCAGCCATTGAACAATGTCCATTCGCCCCATCGATACAGCTTTGATGAATGGATCCGATTCCCATTGACTGTATGGATAAAACTTTAAGTGAATTTGAAATGATGGACCGCATTCTTTAGGATACTTTTCAACAAGGTATTGACCAATTTCTAAATGTCCATTTACAACGCTTTGCATTCCAATAATTGAACATCCTTCTGTTCTATTCTCATTTAAAAACTAGATAAAATAGTGAATAAGTTTAATATTCATGACATTAATCTATTATTATTATAAGAACATACTTTGACAATATTAAAATGACCATTCAATGCAGCTTTATCCATAGCAGAGACCGTGCATCCATCTGTTTTGTTGTTGTGTAGCCATTGTACAACGTCTAATCTACCGTGTTCTGCGGCAGAGTCCATGACGTGCTTGCCAAGGGCACCATGAGTTGGACGGGAACTCCTTAACCAATCGAGAATTTCAAACCGTCCATTCTTTGTAACTATTTCGATTATGTAGTAGAGATTAAATATAATCGGTTCGGTGTATCTTTGATATAGTTCCTCGAGGATTTCAACGTTAGGAATATTGATTTGGGTCAGTTTAAAATCAGGTGACCAATCTAGTAGCTGTCTAAGAGTGTCGACAGTTGCATTGGGATGAGCAATATAGTTGTGGATCATTGACGATCTTGCTGCAACATCGATTTTTCCCAATGTCTTGGGAGGAAGGAATCTAACTACAAACGACCATGGCATACCATACTTGCCAACCAACTCGACCACTGATAATTTTGATAGTTCTCTTCCCTTTATATATGTTTTCTTCTTATCGTCTATAGTCTTTGGCAACTCTTCAATCATTTGAAATATTTTGTTTCTTATTACAACTGATCTAAATATAATTATGAATGACATGATTGCATATGTAAAGACGCTGTTTTATCTCTATCACTTTAACTGTAAAAGTTTAAACTACATTGTATAAAGGTTTATCAACTGAAAATGAAATAGAGAAGATCTTTGAATAATCAAGATTTTTTTGTTGTAGTTTTAAAAATAAGAAATAATTAATAATAAAATAAATAATTAAAATATAAATTAATGATTGATATGTATTCTCTATGTATATATATATAATTTAAATTTATTTACAATAATTTACTTTTGGGTTTGGATGATTTTTATACAAAACCCCAAATCTCTATATCCAAACATAAAAAGTCTTCATTTGGAGATAGAGGTTCATTGTCATAGGTTTCACAACGCTGCGAAGTTCCTTGTTCAAAGTTATCATCCAACCATAATCCGTATTTGCCTTTGTTTCCTCCACCCATCGACAGGTATTTCTCTGTTGTCTGAATAAAACAGTCATTCTCTTTAGACCAATGATAGGAACTATAGAATGGTTTCATTCTAAATAGGAAACACTCGCCATCGCCGTAATAGTTTTTCGATGGATGTATCGAATCGGAAAGGAATCCACCAAATATATTTTTGTTGGAATCTTGAATCACTAAAAGACATCCTCCCTTTTCTTTACATTTGCTATACATTGTGTTGATTGATATACCATGTTTTTCTGCTTTATACAATAATGTCCAATTTCTTAATTTATAAAATATTGGTAAATCTACAATTAACTAAATAGATAAAATAAATATTAGTTTTCTTTTTCTTTTTTCTATTTCTTTTTTTTACATACTTGAGAGATATCACTCATTGATAACATTGTTGAAGTACCATTTAATAAATCTGGAACAAAACTATCAACTTGAGGATCTGAAAATGGAATTTCACCTTCAATATTATAGGTTGATGTTGCCGATGATCTTTCAAGATATCTATCTACCATACTAGTAGACAACATCAATACACTTTGATATAGATTTGATTTTGATGGTTCTTTTGTCAATCTTGGAGGTGGTGATAAGGTATCATTTGGTCCAACATTATCAATAATAATTGATGATTCTATAGTTTTTTCTTTTAAATCTCCCATCCATAATCTAATTTGATTACAAATAAATTGTGATCTAAATAAAATAAATAAAATAAATAAATTATTAGAAACAATCTTTCTATATATAAATAATAAGTACATACTTTTCATCTTCACATTCAATTAAAATATCCTTTTCTACTAATGGCGTAATTTGTAAAACAACATGAACACTTGACATTTCTTGTGAATTTGAATTGGTTGTTGATGGAATGGTTTGACTATTACTATTATTATTATTAGTTATAGTGGTAGGTTGTGATAATGGTGATGGTGATGGAGATGGTGGTGGTATAATACTGTTACTAGTATTAATTGTAGATGATGTTGATGCTTGAGAATTACTATTACCACTACTAGTGGTAGTTTCATCATCCATTCCAAATTGAAGGGGATCATCAATAGTTGGTGATAAAAATGTTTTTGGAACCATACCACAAGACATTACTTGATTCATTGTATAGTTGAGTTGGAATTTAATACTACCCAACTTTTTGACCAATGGATGGTTTGGATCGGCTTGGAAAATAAGCCAATGTGGCATCAAGGTCAATGTACCACTCACTTTACCATACTCGAAAACACAATTAACCTTTTCTTTGATTAATTCATTTTCATTGATTTTTGATGAAGGTAATACTTGTGCTACCATTGTTGTTGTTAATTGATCAATAAATGATGTTGAAGTTGGTGGTATATTATTATTAGTAGATGTTGATATTTCATTGTTAGTATTGTTGTTATTATTATTAATATGATTATTATTTTCTGATAAAAGTAATGAATTTAAATATGATGGTGGTGAATATGATGGTAGTAATTTACTATTATTATTTAAAATTAATGGTGACATTGGTGTATTTTGTGGCGCAGATGGTGATGTAAAAATTAATATATCCTCTTCTAAATTGACAGGTTTACCCAATATTTCTATCAATTTAATTTCATTTTCATTATTTATCCTAATAAATAGAAAAAAGAACAAAATTAATACCTAAACTATTGGCGAGTTATGTTTGTTTGTATGATTATTTACTCTGATTTCTCTAAAATAAAAGATAATTCATGAAAAGTATCTTTATCCCAATTAAAATCTTGATCGGTTGATGATATCTCGCCTTTGTGTAAATTTGCAATGATTGATTCCTTGCTATTTGGATTTGTTTTAAGCCATAGTTTGAGTGTTGTAAGATCACTAGTCTCTGTAATAATCTTTTTATCAATATAACTATCCAATTTCCATCCTGTAATATCACAAATTTCAATGTCTACTCTATCAAATGAAGCTAATGAAGTTTGAGGTGAAAATACCAAATAATGTCTATTTATATGAATTGTACCTGTGCACATCTAATAGAAAGAGAGAGATATGAAATATTAATTAATTTGATACATATATATATCATATGATATTTTATGTCTATATACATACAAGATCCATATTTTCATTTACACTCATAACATTTTCAAAACGTATGATTGGATCAGTGACGGGAGATACATGTAACGATGAAAGAGAACTTTGAAGATCAATGTTGTGTCCCTCTGTAGTACTAGTACACTCACATTTACCAATCACCCAATCGTAACGCTCACGTAAATGAGGTAAAAACGATGACTGATAAGATTGAATCAATTGAAGTGGATCTTTACCAACAATGGTAGATTCCATCTGTTTAACCAAATACTCTTGTTCCTTTACAACAGATGGATTCAATTCAATCATTGTTGTTGTAGTAGTAGTTTCATTTCTTAATTCAGCTATATCCACAGCCACCACTGATGAAGATGATAACTCTGGTGACATTTGTCCACTAGGTGACGGCATTGTTGATGTAGGTAAATGACAACATTTAAAATTAAGACAAACCATTAACATCTAATTTTATTCATATGAAAGAGAGAGAATTATTAATATTAATTACAAAAAAGAATATAACAAAACACAACAATTTGTTTTTGCTTACTTGTCCCTGATAAATTGATTTAGAGTCTAATCTATTGACAATCATTAAATCTTCTTCAGTCATGTTGTATTTTCTAGCAATAGACATTAATGAATCTGTATTTTGAACTTGTACAAACTTGAATACTGGTTCTTTTCTACGACGATGTTTCTTTTTCTTTCTTTGTGTCGACGACGATGGTATAAATTGGTTGTTGTTGTCCTCTGTATTTACATTATTATTACTATTTTGTGTTGTTGAGGATGAAGAATTTGTTATAGAAGATAAAGGTGAATTGATTGCATTGTTGGTTGTCTCTATAATCTTATTCTTTATATTGCTTAGTTTTTCTTTAAATCGATTCATTCTGTATTTATAAAGATATAGAAATAATTCTATAAATAAAACAAACTAAACGAATGTAATCGTCTCTTTTCTCTATTTCTCTATTTCTCTACTCTCTCTTGATGTGATTGATATGATTGGTAATCCTTAGGGTGGATATTTAGATTCTTTCATCAAGTTTAATAATGAGTATATTGATTTGAATGGTACAACTCTTTCTTGCTTCTTAACAAATAAATAAATATTAATGATGAGTGATGATTGATGATTATGTTATAGATAGATAGATAGATAAGATAGATATATTATAACAATGAATGAGTTGAGGGATAACACTATAGTGGATAAAGATAAATTTTTAAATTGATTTTAAAAGGGACAGACTGAGGAGTTGGCTTGAAAAAGGGAAATTCTCAAACTGTCCTTGAAAAATCTCCCCCTTTAAAACTCCAGGACATCAGTATGCGTTTTGGTTCTCTGGTTTTAGTCACTCGTTTGGTCAAGCCTTGCTATTGACCTTCACCTTTTTGTGTTGATTTTTCAATTATCCAAGTGATCAGATCAGGTGATATAGACGTCAAGAATAATTTATATATATATATATATGGACAGGGAAGTTTGATTTATTTATTTGATCAATTTGTTAAAGTTCAATGACAGAGTCAATATTAATTTTATGTAGTCGTGGGTTGGGTTTCATCGGTTCGGATAGTGAAACATTTACAGATAATCCAATCGATGGAATAAAGAACCCTTGAACGAGTTCATTGTTGACATCTACAGGTAACATGTATCCTTCTATTGGTTTGTTGGATAGTTTCAAATTATCTGTTAATATTTTATAATTTCTAGAAAAGCAAAACAAATTAGAATTAATATATAACCTTTTGGATTGAATTAGTCTTCTTGTACATACATTTTGTCAATATAATCTCTAATTCTTTTCATTGAGTTATCAAGATTTAAAGTTAAAGATTCAAGTGCTTGATGATCCTGGGAAAGGACCATTTCTTGAGGGTCGATTTGAAATGCAGCTATTTGTTTTTGAACGAAAATGTCGAGATAGTAGGAAGAGGGTGATGCAAACCCAGTGTATGTAAATAGGTTGTATGTGAAGTGGCGTTGGTTTGGAAAGTGTGATTTTATCAGGACGATAGATTTTAGAGTACTCGTGTAAAACGGATGTCTGGTTGTAAACACGTCCGAGTGTTTCAATTGGAAAGTTTGATGCGTTTGGATTGGGTTGACCAATATGTGGTATCGATAGTTTGTTTTGAAGACAATAGACCGATGCCAGATGATTGGCTGTAATAGTAGCTTCAGTCGCCATAAAACTAGCCAAACACGAAGCTACAAACTCGTGACTATCAGTCTCTCTATTATAGACGTATCTGCCACGATAATGAGGCGATGAAAAGAGTGATTGTGTACGATTACCATTTCTCATCTTTAAAATACCAAATATCTTTTGTAGTTGTTTTGGTTGTGGCATGTCTGCCAATACGATGTTTTTAGCTTTGATTGGTGGTCTCTTGGGATCAATCTCTTCAATATCTTGTGTGTTAGAGTCTACCATCACTATATTATCCACTTTGGATGGGTATAGTTTGAAATGCGATATTTCCATAGTCTCTGCATCCATCTTGATTCCACCGGTACTCTTGTCCAATTCAATTTGGAATGTCCAACAATCCGATGTTTTATTTGGTTTCATTCTAAGATACTCTGTTAACCCAAATGGTATCATTGGAACGATTGATTTTGATAATTCTACAGCTTGTCCTCTAAACATATAAAAAATCAAAGTAAATATACAAATAATTAATTCTATTACTTTTTTCTATTTACCTTTTAGCAGCCCAATTATCAATAAAATGACTATTTTCAATAATATGAGCAATATTTGGAACATGAATTAAAAGATAATCGGTATCATTTTCTTGGTATAGTCCAAGTGCTATATCATCCTTGGATTGTGTCAACGGTGACTTAATTCTAAATGAAGGGGTGGTATAATGTTTGGAAATTGGGTCTAATCGATTATCAGGGAATTTTGGTATTTCTGGTAATCCAAATTGTTGAAATGGTGGATGCATTCCATAATTGGTTGTCGCAAGTAATCTACCTTCATATTTGTTATCTGTCTTTGGTGTTTTGTTACATCGCTGTAGATTATTCTCCAAATGCTTTGCCAACTTTAAAATTAATTCTGGTATATCTTTTTCATTCCTACAAACAAACAAATAAAAATAAATTATATAATTAATAAATATGTATTGTACTTTTTCTTTTTTTTCTTTCGTTTCATTCTTTTTGCATACTTGATTTGAAGTGGTCTAACTAAAAATGAAATGAATTGTTTGTGAATTTCTTGAGGAGATTTATAAAAGTAGTAGACTTCTCGATAGATGTCTACGACCGTCCACATGAATGTAGTGAACCATGGGGTTTTTGACGACGGGTTCGCCGGTCTTGTCTTGAAAGGTGTTTAGGTCGACCATGAGACGGGTGGCGGACTTGGATTTGAGGTCGACCATTTTGTCGGGCACCGTGTCGAGGAGGTGTTGACGACAGTACCGTAGGATGACCTTTCGATGGTACTTGTTTTCAACCATGGTGGCGATGTTGCTCATGACCGCGAGACTGGATGTACGGTGATGTGAGAGTGATGCAAAGGTTTTGTTGCCTACGAGGAGTGTGCCAATATTGATGTTTGCGAGATAGTGATATGTACAGGCAAAGGCAAGCAACTCGACAAACGGGTCGGGTGTAACTTGCAAATGTTTGGTCAACGGGCCAAAGAGCCATATGGCGGCCTGTCTAATATAGTGATAGTCGTGGTGTATCTGCTCCTGTGCCAACACAGGTGCAATGTTTAACATTGTAGTTTCTCTGTGATTGGTACGTGTAAACACATTTTCAAATTCGTAATGGTCAACCTTTTCCCCAACACGTTGAGAAATCCGTGAGACAAAGTTAACCAACGCGTTTGGATACGATGTCTTTGGATCAATGTCAGTTTTCATTCCCAAGAATGATTCTAAACGATCGATTGCGCCACGTAACTCCTTTTGCACGTCGAGGTAGTGAAATGGCACAACAATAGCAACGGTTGTCTTTTTCACCTTGACTAGTGGGCCGGGCGGATCAGTTGGTTTAACCAAATAATGGTATGTATCAACCGACATCACCTTGCCATGTGATATACCACCTGTAGTCTCCCCATGATAAAAGAGGTAGTCGCCATTCCGTGCCTCCAAGTATGGTAGGTCAAATACCCCTCTTGTCGGCACTATCACAGGGTCAGCCTCTACTCCATCAAGTGCCGCTTTCCGAACATGCTGCTTTCTCCATGCCTCTTCAAACAGATATTGTAATGCACCAATACCATTATGTTTTCCTTTTGGTTCGTATCCCTCTACCGAAGTTACAATATCTTTGTTATTGTATTCCACCTCCTTGTTGTCGTTGTTGTTATATTCTTTATCATCTTCTTTTGATCTTGCATGATTCAAATGATCTTCTTGTGATCTTGCTTGATTCAAATGATCTTTGAATTTACCATACGATATTCTCTTTCGACCTCTTTTATCCAATGTTATTGTTGGGTTGCTATTATTATTATTATTGCTATTACTCATCATATCTATGACTTGATGTTGCTGAGGAGTATCTACTACCAAATTAGATCTAGTTGTTGAGCATAGATATCTCGGACCATAGTTGCCTATCCCTCCACTACCGATGAGTATTCTAGTTGCTGTCGTTGTCGGCGTACAACCACCACTATTGTGGTTGAACCTACCAACAACATGAGCAAAAGACATTGAATGTAATCGTAACATTCCCTTTTCTCTCTCTCTCTCTAACTAACTATTGCTCTCTCTAAATGTCACAATGAAATCGAATACTTCAAACAATCTAAAACGAAAAAAAAAAAGGGGCGTGTCATCATGATTACATTATTGATTAATATTTTAAAATTAATTAATTAATTGATCCGTTCATTTATTCAATGATAGAATCAATATTAATTTTATGTAGTCGTCGGCTGGGTTTCATCGGTTCAGATAATGAAACATTTACAGATAATCCAATCGATGGGATAAAGAACCCTTGAACGAGTTCATTGTTGACATCTACAGGTAACATGTATCCTTCTATTGGTTTGTTGGATAGTTTCAAATTATCTGTTAATATTTTATATTTACTACAAACAAAAGCAAAACAAATTAGAATATTAATATATAAAAGGTTGTGTGGTTGGATTGATTGACTAATTTTAGTCTTTTGGTAACTCTTCTTGTACTTACATTTTATCATTATAATCTCTAATTCTTTTCATTGAGTTATCAAGATGTAAGGTTAAAGATTCAAGTGCTTGATGATCCTGGGAAAGGACCATTTCTTGAGGGTCGATTTGAAATGCAGCTATTTGTTTTTGAACGAAAATGTCGAGATAGTAGGAAGAGGGTGATGCAAACCCAGTGTATGTAGATAGGTTGTATGTGAAGTGGCGTTGGTTGGAAAGTGTGATTTTATCTGGACGATAGAGTTTAGAGTACTCGTGTAAAACGGCTTTCTGGTTGTAAACACGTCCGAGTGTTTCAATGCGAAACTGAGATGGATTTGGATTGGGTTGACCAATATGTGGAATGGATAGTTTGTTTTGAAGACAATAGACAGATGCCAGATGATTGGCTGTAATAGTAGCTTCAGTGACCATAAAACTAGCCAAACACGAAGCTACAAACTCGTGACTATCAGTCTCGCTATTATAGACATATCGACCACGATAGTCTGGTGATGAAAAGAGTGATTGTGTACGACTACCATTTCTCATCTTTAAAATGCGATGTATCTGTTGTAGTTGTTGGGGTGGCATGTCTGTAGGGGAGTCTACCATCACTATATTATCCACTTTGGATGGGTATAGTTTGAAATGCGATATTTCCATAGTCTCGGGATCAGTCTTGATTCCACGGGTTTTCTTGTCCAATTCAATTTGGAATGTCCAACATTTCGATGATATATTTGGTTTCATTCTAATATAATCCGTTAATACAAATGGTATCATTGGAACTATTGATTTTGACAGTTCTACAGCTTGTCCTCTAAACAAAAAATAAAAAATCATCAAGTAAATATACAAACAATAGTTATTTCTATTTCTATTTTATATTCTAATTACCTTTTAGCAGCCCAACCATTAATAAAATCATTCGTTTCCATAATGTTTGAAATATTTGGAACATGAATTAAAAGATACTCCTTATTATTTTCTTGGTATAGTCCAAGTGCTATATCATCCTTGGATGGTGTTAAAGGTGACCTAATTCTATATGAAGGGGTGGTGTGATGTTTAGAGATTGGACCAAATCGATTTGGTTTTGAAGGTGGTACAAATTGTTCAAATGGTGGATGCATTCCATAATTGGTTGTCGCAAGTAATCTACCTTCATATTTGTTTTCTGTCTTTGGTGTTTTGATACTTCGCTGTAGATTATTCTCCAAGTGTTTTATCAACTTTAAAATTAATTCTGGTATATCTTTTTCATTCCTACAAACAAACAAATAAAAATAAATTATATAATTAATAAATATGTATTGTACTTTTTCATTCTTTTTGCATACTTGATTTGAAGTGGTCTAACGAAAGAGGAAATGAATTGTTTGTGGATTTCTTGAGGAGATTTATAAAAGTAGTAGACTTCTCGATAGATGTCTACGACCGTCCACATGAATGTAGTGAACCATGGGGTTTTTGACGACGGGTTCGCCGGTCTTGTCTTGAAAGGTGTTTAGGTCGACCATGAGACGGGTGGCGGACTTGGATTTGAGGTCGACCATTTTGTCGGGCACCGTGTCGAGGAGGTGTTGACGACAGTACCGTAGGATGACCTTTCGATGGTACTTGTTTTCAACCATGGTGGCGATGTTGCTCATGACCGCGAGACTGGATGTACGGTGATGTGAGAGTGATGCAAAGGTTTTGTTGCCTACGAGGAGTGTGCCAATATTGATGTTTGCGAGATAGTGATATGTACAGGCAAAGGCAAGCAACTCGACAAACGGGTCGGGTGTAACTTGCAAATGTTTGGTCAACGGGCCAAAGAGCCATATGGCGGCCTGTCTAATATAGTGATAGTCGTGGTGTATCTGCTCCTGTGCCAACATGGGTACAATGTTGAGCATCGACGTTTCCCTGAGATGGTTACGTGAAAACTCTTTTCGGAATTCGTAATGGTCGACCTTATCCCCAACACGTTTAGAAATCCGTGAGACAAAGTTAACCAACGTGTCTGGATGCGATGCCGTTGGATCAATATAGGTATTCATACCCAAGAATGATTCTAAACGATCGATCGCTCCACGCAGCTCCTTTTGCACGTCGAGGTAGTGAAATGGCACAACAATAGCAACGGTTGTCTTTTTCACCTTGACCAAAGGGCCGAGCAGGTCGGTTGGTTCAACCAAATAATGGTATGTCTCAACCGACATCACCTTGCCATGTGATATACCACCTGTAGTCTCCCCATGATAAAAGAGGTAGTCGCCATTCCGTGCCTCCAAGTATGGTAGGTCAAATATCTTTCGAGTCGGTACCACAGGGTCAGCCTCTACTCCATCAAGTGCCGCTTTCCGCACATGTTGCTTTCTCCAAGCCTCTTCAAACAGATATTGTAATGCACCAATACCATTATGTTTTCCTTTTGGTTCGTATCCCTCTACTGAAATTTCAATATCTTTGTTATTGTATTCCATCTCGTCTTTGTTTTTATATTCCTCGTTATTGTCGTTGTTGTTTGTATTGTTGTTGGTGTTGTTGTATTCTTCGTCATGTTCTTTTGATCTTGCTTGATTCAAATGATCTTTGAATTTACGATATGATATTCTCTTTCTACTTCTTTTATCCAATGTTTTTGATGGGTTGTTATTATTATTACTATTATCATCATTATTATTATTATTATTCATCATATCTATGACGAGTTGCTGCAGTTTTTGATGATGTAGTTGATGATGTGGTTGATCTACTACCAAATTAGATCTAGTTGTTGAGCATAGATATCTCGGACCATAGTTGCCTATCCCTCCACTACCGACGAGTATTCTAGTTGCTGTCGTTGTCGGCGTACAACCACCACTATTGTAGTTGAACCTTCCAACAACATGAGCAAAAGACATTGAATGTAATCGTAACATTCCCTTTTCTCTCTTTCTCTCTCTCTACCAACAAACTATCGCTCTCTCTTCAAAGATTGTTAATATTAAAAATAATAAAAATAATAAATAAAAAAGCGAAAATCAATGATCAGAGAGAAGATCATATTCCCAATACCTTTTTTAGAATTAGTAGCTTATTGTAGTACCAGAGAGAGAGAGATATATATATATAGAATGACGACACTAGGATCAGCAGGTGGAGGTTCATCTTTGTTTGGTGGAGGTGGTTCGACAGGTGGATCATCGTTGTTTGGAGGAGGTGGTGCTGCCGCAGTACCATCATTGTCTTTGGGATCGACAGCTGGAGGTTCATTATTTGGTGGAGCTGCTGGAGGTGCAGGAACAGGAGGAGGAGGATTGTTTGGTGGAGGAGGAGGAGCAGCTCCTACACCAACTATACCATCACTATCATTAGGATCATTGTCAGGTGGGGGAGGAGGAGGAGGAGGAGGTTTGTTTGGAACATCTTCTACTACTCAACAACAACAACAACCTGCTCAACAAACATCTTCGTTAGGTGGAGGGTTAGGAGGAGGAGGACTATTTGGTGCACCAACCTCTTCATCCTCTCTATTTCCTTCAGCGCAACCGCAGCAACAACAACCCACTCAACAAACATCATCATTATTCGCAGGTGCTGCTTCTTCGTTGGCAGGTCCACCATCATCAACCTCTTTGTTTGGTCAACCTCAACAACAACAACAACAATCATCATTATTTCAACAACCTCAACAAACACAACAATTACAACAATCATCTTTATTCGCGACACCACAACAACAACAACAATTACAACAACAACAACTTTTACAACAACAACAACAACAACAAACTGGAGTTAGAACAGTTGAAACTAAAATAGCTGAATTAATACAATCTATAAATCCTGAAAGTCCTAATTGCAAATTTTTAGTATGTAACAAATCTCTGATCAGAATCAATCAATTCTTTATCTCTAATATCCCTAACTATCTTCTTTTAGTATTGGTTTTTCAATTATGCTGGACAAAAGTTAGATCCAAGTAAAATACCTAAACCAACCTATTTAAGTGATGAACAATGGACATATATCAATTCACAGAACCCCGATCCAACCATGTTTGTTGCAGTTGCCGCTCGATCATTTGATGATCTAATTAAAAGAAAAACAGTACAAAAATTGAATATCGATAAATTACATGAATCAACTATTGTATGTTATTTATTATATTTCATAAAGAGAGATATATATATTTATTTATTTATTTATTTATTTATTTATTTATTTATTTATTTATTTATTTATTTATATTATTTATTTTATTTTACCTTTATAGGATACATTAAAACATATTAAAGAATTACAAAATTATTTAAATTTACAAATTCAATCACAATTGGAAACAATGAGAAAAAAGAATATCGAATTATTACATAAATATATTGAAGTGTGGAGCAAGGTGGAATGTTACAATGGTAAGGCCAAGTCGGTTACATCTGCCGAAGAACAATTATTGCGTCGTGTCAAGATGATTGGTGAGGCATTGTCACAACCATCGACCAACTCGATCAAGAATCGTGTCGAAGAACTCAGTAACCAATTGATCATTCGAAATATGGCACAACGTGACAACGTAAACTTCCAACTCGATACTAATTCATTGGAATCCCTCTACACTGTATTTAAAAACATGACTGCTGCCATTGAAAATATGTCTTCAGATTTGGAAAATTCTTTACAAGATGCTGAAATATTAAAGAATGAATTGGCAAAATTACGTCAATAAAATAAAAGATATAGGAATATAGGAAATAGAAATAGAAATAGAATTAATATTAATTGGAAATAATAAAATAAATTATTTATATTTATTAAATTATTATTTGTGTCTTTGTTTCATTTTTTTATCTACGTCCACCTCTTCTACTTGGAGTAGTATCCCTTTGAAATGATGTTGGGAGTGGATTACTACTACTAGTATAATGACGTGTTCGAGGTGGTGAACGATCACGACCACTATTATTATTATTACGATCACTACTACTATCTCCAAATCCACTTCTGTCATTTTCACTGTTGTTGGATCCAGAATTAAAATCTCTTTCTCTTGATCTAAATGATAAAGTTCTGCTACTACTACTAGTACCATCTCGGTCTCTGTCACGATCTCTTTCTCTATCTCTATCTCTGTCCCTGTCTCTGTCTCTATCGCGATCTCTATCACGATCTCTCTCTCTGTCTCTATCTCTATCTCTATCACCATCCTTTTCACGAGAGTCTCTATCTCTTTCTCTATCTCTGTCTCTATCTCTATCTCTATCCCTATCTCTATCTCTATCTCTTTCATTTGAATCATACTTGGATGATGACAATGTTGGAGATGTTGGTAAATTGGCAGAAATCGATCGATTTGTGTCAAAGTAAACACCTTCTACTACTAATGCTGGATTGTTTGTTTTCTTTGCTAGATATGATGATGTGAATAATTCCAATCTCTGTGGTGGTTCTTTTGATTGTAGTTGTTGTAAATTGTTGTTGTTGTTGTTGTTGTTGTTGGGATTATAATCACCTAATATAGCTGGAGGAAGTGGAGGAAGTTTTGATATTGGTATTGGTTTAATTCCAATTTGTCCAGGTATACCATTATTACCATTGTTATTATTATTATTTCCACTACTATTACTACTACCAACTGGAGTTGCCAATTCTAAAGTTTTAGGTTTTGATGTTGGATTTGATGATTGAATGATGACTTGAGTATTACTATTTTGATGGTCCCAATTACTATTACTACTACTACTTATACTACTACTACTATTCAAAGAATTGTTAATAATAGGTTTGGGAAGAGATATATTAGAACTGACAACAGTTGTAGTTGTCGGTTCATCTGATACTTTTTCCTCTTTTACTATAATAGGTTGATGAATTGTACTTCCTGCAAATATTGAAGACGTCACACTTGATGATTTGAATTTCTTTAAAGGTTGTTCGATTTTAACTGGTGGAGTGGACAATGAATAGTTTGATGGTAAATCTTCCAGCGACGATGATGGAGGGTGCTTATTCTTTTTACTTTCTTCCGATCTCAAAGGTGGTGTTTTTGGTGGTGATACATTCGTCGGAGTAGTTGTAGTTGGAGATGTCGTTGTTCTTGGTGGTGATATACTAGGAGGAGTCGGGAGAAGACCTTGCTTTTTAGGTTTAGGTGTCGATGTAGTAGGTGTGGGTGTAGGAACCGTCGTGACAGTTGCAGTTTTTGTAGGAGTAGTAGTTGGAGTGAGATTGAGTTTGGGAGGCACAGTCGCAGTGGTGGTGGTCGTCGCACTGGTGGTGGTCGTCGTAGTCGTAGGAGTAGTAGGAGATGTTGTTTTTCTTGGTGGTGATGCAGTACTACTACTACTGGTACCAGAAGTTAAAGGTGACGATGATTTTGTTTTATAATTCTCCAATAATGGCAATAACATGGTTCCAATCGAGGATGGTTGTGAGGATGTCGTACTTGCTGCTGCTGGTTGTGAAGTTGTTTTTGTATCTTTTTCTGGTTCTTTTGGTTTGCTAGCATTCTCCTTTGTATTCTCCTTATTATTATTATTATTATTATTTGTTGAGGTCAATGATTCTTTAGTCGTACTTGATAATTGATCAGATGATGATTTTAATGTACTGGTCATCGTAGGATCTGATTTAGATGGAGATGGACTGTCTTGTGAATTGGCTTTTGGTTTATGGGCTGTTTGAGTCGAAGGAGGTTTTGGTGTGGGTGTGGGTGCAGGTGTAGTTGTAGAGGTTGCTGGAGCAGATGGTGGTGGAGGTGGATTAGTTGTAGTTGATGGTAGTGTTGTCGTTGCTGGAGTATTAGCCGACTCCTTTGCTTTTACTTTTTTAGATGGGACTGGTGGTGGTACTATTGTTGTATTTGTCGTCGTTGTTGATGATGATGTTGGTGTTGTTGTTGTTGGTGGAATAGCCAATGTATGTTTGTTCTTATCAAATTCCAATGTTCTCTCGACGAATTGATTATAATAACTTAAAACCAAACGAAAAGGTTGAACGAAATAATCTGCATTGGGTGGCAGCACTATCAAGTTGCCAAGGGGACCACCCACCTGTTCCAAAGTTGGACATTCTTCCAAAGGAATACAAACTGTCACAAATTCATAGTTTTGATAGCATCTTTGAGTTTGACTAGATTTCTCCCACGAATCCAATACAGAATTATTTCTAATCTTTTCTGCCTCTAAATTTAGATTCTGTTTAAATTGAAATCCAAATAATATCTTTTTCTTTTCAATTATTTCTCCATTTCCACCATTATTACTACTACTACTATTATTATTACTACAATTATTCGTATTATTACTACCACTATTATTATTACTACTATTATTTGTATTATTGTTTTTGTCATTATTATTTTTAATATAATTATTATTATTAAAAACAGTTACAAACCTATAATATGAATGAGAATCTTCATCGTTGATGGTGATGGTTGGAGTTGCATGAAATTGAATCAATTGATTTGTCTTTTCATCGGTGACTGGTGAAAAGAGGAATGCCTCTGGTATCTTGTGTGAAGATAGTGCGATTGGTTTGTTGAGCACATTGTCAAAGTCCAAAGTGATTTGTCGTATTGGATGAATCCCTCCCTTTTTCTTGTTGTTGTTGTTGGTGTTGGTTTCCGTTGCATATACGGGATCAATCATTGCACCTTTAAAGAAAACATTTAAAGGTACTTGTTTGAACCCCATATACAGAAACATTGATTCTCTTACCTTTTCATAAGTGGCCATCATCACACCGACACCGACGTGTCTCTTGTCGGCCCAAATGTGGGTGACTAGATCCTTGAGAGGCTGGAAATGCGGGTTGCCCTGATACATCATACAGTTTCGCATGTAGAGTAGTGGCAGAATGACAGACGTCTGTTCCTGTGTCATCCACGACGACACTTGTCGTCCAACAATACCCATGTACTCGAGCTGTTCAAATGTGGCAGACTGGGCGTACGGTCGCTCCAACGTCCAGTTGCCAACGTGTGCATTGGTCAATGCGTACGAAATGATCGGTTCCCAATACTGAACCTTGCAGTGGACATGGTACGGCAACACGTGATCAAGCACGAGCTTGCCAAGGTCCTGTGCACTGGGCAGTGGTGTCTGCTCGGAATTGTACCTCGAACAGCACTCGACCAGTGCCGCAATCAGCGATGGCCATCCGCTCGTCTCGCACAGCACCTGCACAAAAGTAGGGTTTCGCACAACAAACGGCTCGATCAACCGGTCGCTACGGTCGACGAGTTTACGTACTTGTCCAGGTGTCAATGGTGATAATGTGAAATGATGGAATTGCAAGTTGGACGAAGTAGCCGTCAAATTCTGAATGATCGATACAATCTTTGTAGAAAGGAGTGGGATGATGACAATGCCCGTTGGTGGATTCACAAGTGTAGAATATACTTGATCCAAAATTTGTTTTAAAATTTTCCTATTATCAAAATTATTATAATGATTAAAATGATCATTATTAATTCCATTTTGATTTGCGTGATTATTATTATTATTATTATTATTGCCTGAGGTTGTAACCAATGGTGATTGGTTTTGATCAAAATATTGATCGAAAAATGTATGAATATCATCAAAAGAAAAATAAATGACTAATTTGTTGTTACTGTTATTGTTTAGTGAAGCGTTGGTATTGGTGTTTGCGTTGACATTAGTCTGTTGTTGTTTTAATTTTTGAATGATTTGAAAAGATGTAAAAAGAGAGATTCTCCATCTCTTTAATTGAATGGATTCAATCCAAGTTGAAAAAGATATACCTGTTGTATTTGAGAATAGGAAATGGTATAATACCCTAAGTCCTAGGAAATAGTTTGGATGTTGTAATTCATAATCTTGTAGGGGTGTGTCTTTGCAATAGGTAATATAACAATTGACTGATGACTCTATAGAGTGTCCAATCTTTTCTTTGGCTAGTTTGGCCATACTCTTGACACCATACTCTTCCAACAACCGTGTCTTTCCAAGTCCACTTGCTCCAGACACTACAAACATCTTGATACCACTATTCTTTGTGGTTGTGGTTGTCCTACTACTACCACATCTATCTAATACATATTGATTAATGGTCTTTATAATATCACCTCTTCCTTGGAATGGTAGTTGTGTCGGTTTATCAGCCGAACTTGTCGCCTTTACTTGTCCTTGATTACTATCCATCAATTGTTTTTTCAAAGTTGCAACCATTTCTACATATGTATATAATATTTAAATAAATAATTAAATGATCATATGTCATATGTCATGCATGTATATAATCTTACCAAATGTTGGAACAATGAAATGAAATGACGACTGGAAATCGTCATACCCAGTCACCTCTATATTTGGTTGTTGTTTCGTCATTGTTTCTTCAATTATATTTGTATTATTAATATTATTATGATTGGATTCCTCTTGTAGTATCGTTGGTTCTTCTTGTTCCATTTCTTTATCATTTATATAATTATTATTATTATCATTGTCATTTGAATTTGAATTTGATGCTTGCTCAGGTTGGTGTACAGTCGTCGTAGTAGGAGGTGATGTATTAATATTATTAGTTGTCGTTGTAGTTGTGGTCGTAATACTAATAGGTTGTTCAATTTGTGGAGTTGGTATTGATGACTGGGGTTGTGGTTGGAATTGAGGAGGAGACTGTTCAAAATGTTGTTGTTGAGGAATGATTGAAGAAAAGTTGGTTGGACTTGCATGAAATACTGCCTGTTGTTGTTGCTGATTAACAGGCAATAGATTCATAAATGGATTGTATGATAGTGATGAAAAATGGTGTTGATGATGTGGATTTAGAAACACTGATTGATGTCCATATGCTGGATGGTGGTGACTGAGTTGTTGCGGTTGTGGTTGTTGAGATGGATAGAGTGGATTGAATATAGGAGGATAGAGTGATGAGTTGCGACTGACAAACTCACGTATTCTAGTGATATGACCGATACGTAGACCAAATGAAAGAAATAGTTGGTAGGTGGTTGAATCTTGTGGTGCAATGATCGAAGAGATCGTATCAAACCCCAAATACATCAGCGAGTCGGCAATCGAGCGATAGTTGATAGATTCATCAACCATTCCACCACAAGAGATTGCTTCACTTAGAAATGCAGACAGTGACTCTGCATCTGTAAATCGTCCACTTTCTTTGACATTGTTTGTGGCAGCAGTGGTAGTGGCAGTGGCTGTGGTTTGTTGTTGTGGAGGTGGTGTAGAAGGGTTTCCTCCTACATTGATTGTAGGTTGTCCTGTCGCAATCATTGGTTGTTGTTGCTGCTGCTGCTGTATCAGATGATGTTGTTGTTGTTGAGGTGTCAATACACTATTCACAATGTTACCAACAATCTTTGGTATATTATATTGATGGTGTTGTTGTTGCAACTGTCTTTGAAGGAGTAGTTGTTGGTGCAATAATTGTTGTTGTTGTTGTAGATGATCTGACATGTCGTTGTAGGTGCAATGATTGTCGTCGTCGTCTCTGATCAGTAAGTATATCGGCGATTTATTCAGATGATGATTGATAATATGATAGATAGATTGATTGATAGAATATTAATATTATATGTGATGCGTCAAAAGATGCTGCATCTCCTCCTTTCCTTCTCTTTCGTCGATGTCTAATATTTAAATGAATGACATGTGAAGAAACAACGATCTGCTATGCACGAAAATTGGAAACGAGACACCCCCCCACTAAAAATAAATTCATTTAATGATGGGTAATGAAGTCACAATCTTATCTTCAAGATATCAACACATACGATATACCAACAACAATAATATTATTATTATGTAAATGTAAATGGAAGGAACGATATTTATTTTATCCATTGTCAGCAGACTGAACGATTTATGTGAGATGTGTGAAATAGTAATAGATTATTAATAATACAAATAATAAAATACAAATATAGACAAAAGGTGACCCTTGGTTTTGGTCATCCTCATAATCGTCCAATGGCAAAGGATCAACTGTGCCAGATATCATAACCGATTTCATAATATCAACCTGACTGGTTGCAAGATTGTTTTGATATGCCACCTCCCAAGGAAACCATAAAAAGAATATCTAAATATATTGAATTAAATTATGTACATATGGTTAACAAGATAAGGAGGGATTTGTTGATTGAGAAAATATACAAACATTTGCAATTGACCACCAAAAAGTATTGATATACCAAGGTATTGAATTTTTGTTCAAGTAAAATAGTTTACTCGATTCTTTGGGTGAAAATCCATCGATATGTAGATCGACAACAATGTCAAAATGGTAATCTCTTTTCTTGTTTCGTTTAAACATATTGTCTTTGACCGATTTGATCACCCTTTCTGATTTTACGTCCATAAAGACCCACTCTAGTGAAAAATAAACTTGGACTATCTCCTCTGCAGCATCATCCAAGTTTCGGATCGTTGTAATGTCAAGAGGAGGTGATGTGTCTTCCCATCCAGAGACTACCATTTCATTTGTTTCTCTGTGTGTCACCACTCTTTTACAATAAGAGGAGTGGGTGGTTGTAGTACGCCTCTTGCCTGTCCTCTCAGTTGTAGAGAAATGACTTTTCTCCCAATGATAACTTTCACATCTAATTTGAACGGTTGGTTTAGTGGTACGAAGCGACTCGACATATGGCACTAGACGTCGAACCGACTTCATTTCATCTATTCCATTAAACCGAGTTTCAAAAAATGGATATCTACCAACCCAAAATAAAACAAACATGATTACCAAAAAGATACCTCCAAAGAATATACTCCCCTATAAATATAAATAAATACACATTAATAATGTTTATTCCAAAGAGTAGAATTTAATGTGTTCAAGAGTCAGTCAGTCCACATTAATAAAGTATGTATATTTACCTTTTCAGCATAAAAAGGTCTTTTGTAGTATTGAAATCGATTCCAATACTCTTCTTGGTATCGGACAATGCAAACTGCTATGCCAACAAACAAGCAGATTGAAAATAACCAAACGATACATTGCCACAAGGAATCAAATTCTACTTTTCCTTTTCCAAACTGTTTAGCTAATCTTCTTTCACTATGATTTCTAGTTGGTTGAATCACATGAAATACCATTCTCCTAAACTAGTTCTCTACTCTAGTATAGAATAGAATAGAATAGATAAATATTTATCTCCAACTTTTGTTTGTTGATTGACTAACTATGTGTGCAATGATAAATTTTTTTAATTACTTGCGTTCAAGAAGGAGAGTTGGTTGTTTTTCATAATAATAATTAGAATAAAATTAGTTTTTTATTATTTTTAATCATCATGATGCCTGATGATACTACTCATTAATTTTGTTTCTTTCCTAGTTTCAATAAAAATAAATTAAAAATAATTAATTAATACTCTCAAGTTCATTCTATGTAGTATTCTCAAGTTATTTTCAAAGTTATAACAACGCGTTGAACCAAAAGGTGATCTCATAGCGCATCGCGATGTCGTGCTTGGTCAAGGGCAAGATATTTTTATTTTTGATGAGCTTTCATCGACAGATAAAAACAACTTAAGCTCATTGAAGCCTCATCATTCATTCATTTCATTGTATTATTATCTATCTATCTATTATTTGTATTATATATATATATACACTATCTGTATTTATTGATCGAAAAGATGAATCCAAATCAATTATATGTAGAATTATCATTCAGTTGCAAGCATCTTGCAAACAAGGACATCATGTCAAAGTCTGGTAAGTGTCATATGATCATATGATCACATGATTACATGTAATCATTTAGCAGTGCCAGTGCAGTGTTGACTAACAAACATACATTTGATTCTGTGTGTATACCTATATAATATTATAGATCCACAAGTATTGGTATATCAATCAATTGGAGCACCTGACAACTTCCAATTGATTGGAGCCTCTGAAAAGATCAAGAACAACCTAAACCCAACCTTTAAGACTACTGTCAAGGTTGACTATCACTTTGAAGCTTTACAACCATTGCAATTTGTAGTTGTCGATGTCGATGGTCCATCCAAGACCTCTTACAAGGATCTCTCCAAACACGATATCATCGGTACCACTATCGTCCCACTCAGTGAAATCGTATCAGCACCAGGCCGTAGAGTAGAGAGAAACCTCAACACTCCAGCCGGCAGCTTCAGTGGTATGATTGACATCAAAGCTGAGTTCTTCCAAAGATCAGGTCAAAAGATTCAATTCCAACTTGGCTGTAAACATGTAAGTAATTAAAAAAAGATAATAATATCAATATTCACATGATGACTAATACATACTTTATTTATTTGTTCATTTAGTTGGACAAGAAAGATTTATTTGGAAAGAGTGATCCATACTTTAAGATTTTTAGAAAGAATGAAGATAATGTATCATGGACTGAAATCTATCAATCCAAGGTGATCATGAATACCTTGGATCCAGTCTACGAAGCCAACAAGTTTTCAATGGATGTATTCTGTGGAGGTAATCCAGACCGTCCCATCAAATTTGAATTCTTTGATTGGGATAAGCATAGTGCTCATGATTTAATTGGTATCTTTGAGGTAATTAAATATAATCATACATACATACATACATACATACATACATACATACATACATACATACATACATACATACATACATACATACATACATACATACATACATACACAAACAAATAATAATAATATTAATATTTATTTATTTAAATTTATTTATTTAATTTATTTTTAGACAACATTAAGACAATTAAATGAAGGTAATCATGCAACTATGGAAATACCAATTATTAATGCAAAGAAGATTAGTAAGTCTGGATACAAGAATAGTGGAGTTTGTTACTTTAAGAGTTTTAGTATCAAGACTGGATACCCATACACTATTTTAGATTTCATTGCCGGTGGTATCGAGATTGGATTGATGGTTGCTATCGATTGCACAGCCTCTAACGGATCATTACACGATATTGGCAAGAACTTGAATGAATACGAACAATCCATTTTGGGTATTGGACGTGTCTTGGAGCCATATGACACTGATCGTATGATTCCAGTCTATGGGTATGGTGGTAGTGTCAACGGTGTCACCTCTCATTGTTTCCCATTCGATGTAATCGGTGGCAAGGAAGAAGCTGCAGGTATCGACGACGTCCAAAGAGTGTACCGTGAAAACATGTCAAAGATTAGTTTGTCTGCACCCACTCTGATGGAACAAGTTCTTAAAAAGGCTGTTGCTGCTGCCGAGGCTGGTAAAGTCTCACCTATTCCAAAATACACCATTCTCTTGATTATCACTGATGGTGATATTTGTGATATGACTGAAACTAAAGCTCAAGTTGTTAAAGGTTCCCATTTACCATTATCAATTGTTATGTAAGTCAATCAAAAACAAACAAACAATATCTCTGCAAAGATAAATATGTTTATTAATATTAATACTCTTTATATTTAATTAGTGTCGGTGTTGGTAGTGCTTCATTCTATTCAATGAACGAGCTTGATGGTGACACTAATCCATTAAAGGGAGCGGTCAGAGATATTGTCCAATTTGTGCCATTTGCTGAAGTCAGCAAGAGTGGAAACATTGCCAAGGAAACACTAAAGGAGATTCCAAAGCAATTCACACGTTACTTTAAGAAAAATAACATTGCTCCACCTCCACCAAGAGCTTACATCGCTCCACCTGCTCAACCCATTATCCCTCCACAATAAATCAATCAACTTTTAAATGTTGTAGCAGGTTATCAAAAGTGTTATACACAAATGAGAGATAAAGATAGAGTACTCTGGTTAATAATATCTTTTATTATTATTATGAATGAATTAATTAAATTTGGTTTAATTTTACACGATTGAATTAAAAATAGATGATCCATTTTCATTATATTGTTCTTTAGAAATACACATACTCTGTTGAAAGGTTGATAGTTGTGAGATGATACTACCACCTATCCAAGCAGAGTATTTTCGGTTGGCTGGTGCAATTACTCGTACGGGTGAGCTGGACATGTTGGACAACTCTTTTGTCAAACGGTCGGTCATGCCAGCCACCAAAGTATTGCCACCACTCAATACTATATTATCGAAGAGTAGTCGTCGAGTATCAACATTGCATCGCATAATTGAATTATAAATAATATCTTGAATACCGTCACTCTCTATTGCAGCCAACGATGGTTGAAATATTGGTTCAAAACATCTGAATCGTTCTTGTCCAACTGTTATTGTTTGGTCGTCTGGTAGTTGGTATACTCTTTCTTGTTCGGTAGTGTCCATCTCTCTTTCCTTTTCATAGTGTAGTGCAATATACCCTATTTCAGTCTTGATAGAATTGATCACACCGTCGAATGAACTTGTGTACCGACGATACCCTCTTTCCTTTTTCAACATATCTTCCAATAGATCAGTCGCTTGTGAACCTCCAAAATCTAGCTTTTCATACGACGACACTTTGTTTGATTCATTGACGACAGTCACATGACTAGTAGTGTAACCACAGTCTAGTACAACACCACTAGTCAAGTTGTGAGCATGTAGTGTCAGTAACGATGGATTCTGAATACTCAGCAATGGAGTCTCCAACGTTTCAAATAGTATTTGTAACATCTTGTCACGATTCACTTTCTGAGTGTTGGGTGTCTCTGTAATGAGTAGTGGATGTTCATCTGGTGAAACACGTAGTTCTTGATAGAATATATGATGCATCATCTTTTCCATTGATTCCCAGTTGACTACCATCCCCTTTTCAATCGGTCTAGAAACACCTCTTAATATACCTCTCTTTCTAACTGCCTCTTCACCAACATAGAATTCTTTGAATCCCATTCCTTTCATTCCTGATCGACTACATCTACATATGAAGAACAACATTAGTATATATATATATATATATATATTATCTATTACTCTCTCTCTCTCTATATCAAACTATACATACCCAGCACAACAACGACCAACAATCGAAGGAATTGGATCAAGAGGTAATTCATCTCCACTAAATCCTGCTTTGACTTCGTATGTCCCTATATCTACAACTACTGTTCTATTTTCATCATCCATTCAATATATATATCTCGATCGATTCCAATCAATGAATCTATCATACAACATGTATTGATTTCAAAAAATGACCAATGAGCTCTATTAAATTAATGATTGATAATGTCCTGAAGGGTTGGCTCTCGTGAGATGAAAAATTACTGTATTATTTTTAATTAATTATTGTTCTAAGAACATACATTTATACATATACATATTCATAGATTCATTCTGAATCTTTAAAGATAATAGAGAGGAATGAGGATAACAGATCTATCAGTGTCCACTATGGGCATAGGAAAAGTGTTTAAAGATGATAATGTATGTAGTATACTATGCTCCCTAAACAACATACTCATCCACTGATTGATTGATTGATCAATGATCATTATACTTACTACTATTCTTTCTTGCTCTTTACTGATCTAATCTAATAATGTTTATAGACAGCACCAATCAATTCGATGGACTTTTGTGGAGATGGAACATTATTGATAACAGCATCCGATGATGAATCGATTCATTTGTATAATATAAACTCGGGAGAGTATGTATATCAGATCAGACTCATTACAGATATAACAAATATACTTACTTACCATCTCTATTAATAGTTCACAAAAACAATTGTATAGTAAAAAATATGGTGTAGATTTGATTAGATTTACACATCACAATGATGCTATTATATGTGCATCTAAAAATCAATGGGATGGTAAGAAGAGAGAGAGAGAGAGAGAGAGAGAGAGAGAGAGAGAGAAACAAATAGATCGATAGATCAATCAATTGAATATTATACTAATTACATATTAATATTAATCTATAGAGTCACTAAGATATTTGTCATTACATGATAATAGATACTTGAGATATTTTAAAGGACATAGAAATAAGTATGTAATATACATTTATATTGATTGATTGATTGATTCATTTATTTAATTAATTTAATTTATTTAGAGTTGTATCATTGTCAATGTCACCTGTAAATGATACATTCATGTCTGGATCATTGGATGATACTATAAGATTGTGGGATTTAAGAACGAATGTATGTCAAGGTATAATTAGACGAAATGGACGACCATCATTGTCGTATGACCCCGAAGGTATTATTTTGGCCACAGCCGTATCAGGCAATTCGATTAAACTATACGACGTTAGAAACTTTGACAAGGGTCCCTTTTCCAACTTTATAGTACACCATCCACAACCGGTTGAATGGACCGGCATGAAATTCAGCAACGATGGCAAATACATATTATTGTCTACGACAGAGAACACCATCTTTTTAATCGACTCGTTTACAGGTGAAAAGGTGCAACAGTACAACTCGTTTACCAATAAACAAGGGGTCGTCACTCGAAGCGTCGTTCACCCCCGACGCACAATTTGTCATCTCGGGCAGTGAAGATGGGTCTGTCCACGTATGGCGCACCCTCACAGGAGAGGAAATAGCAGTATGGGGAGGTCACCACTCCAAAGTAGGTTGTGTACAATGGAATCCAAAATTAATGATGGCTGCAAGTGCATGTTCAACTCTTTCATTTTGGATACCTTCAATTAATGAATCATAGATATAAAACAATCAAACACTATTTAACGTTAAAATATAAGATTAATTTATTATTAATTTAATTATTTCTTTTTTAAAGTTTTCTTTGGTTCTGTTGTTGTTTTCTTTACTACTTTTTTGGCAGTAGTAGTAGTTGGAGTCTTTTTGTTGTTAGTAGTAGTAGTCAAAGTGGATGGAGTAGTAGTTGTAGTAGTCGCAGTAGTAGTTGATTGTTGTTGTTGTTGTTGTCTTTGAGCAGCTTTTTGAGCAGCTTCATTTTCCTTTCTTTGGAATTCCTCCAATTCCTTTTGTTCATCTTCTAGTCTCTTCTTTTCTTGTTCTCTATTGGCCATAATCTCAGCAATTGGGTCGCCATAACAACCAATAAATTTGTTACATCCATTCTCTACCTCTTTGGCAGTTCTTTGTAAATAATTTAATTTGATATCCATTTTCATTTTCTACAAGAAACAATAACAATGATTAATATCCCAATATCAATTATCTAATCTATTATACTATATTCTATTCTATTCTATTCTATTCATACCTCATAATCGACACCATATTTCAAAATTAAATCTCTATAGTAATGTTGATCTCTGAAATTTAATCCCTTCTCTGAACGAATTCTTGGTTCTGGTACAGGTATATCTAGATATATATATATATAATGAACATAATAATAATAATAATAATAATAATGAATGAGTATTGAATGAATCATTTTATCGACAATGGTCTGAAATGATTGTTCGACCCGACCGACAACCATCATCTGCATGCTAATGCTCTGACTTTAGAACTATCTATCTGTATCTATATATGATATACATACCAATCAATTTAGGAGGAGTCTTTTTCTCTACAAATGGACGATTCGATATGATCTTTCTGTCTTTGCCCAACTTGTTATTCATGCTGATACCCATATTTGTATAATTGGTCAATGGAGTAGCGAGCTTGTTCCATCTTCTCGATACCTCTTCTTTACCTGCAAGATTGAACTTGACACTTGACTTTTTATTATATTTCTTCATCTTCTCTATTTATATACTATATACACACAATCACAACAAAAAGATAAAACGAATGCGAAGTATGGAGGTAATATTAAATTTCGGTCGTTTTTGGTTTTGTCGTTTTTTTAATCTTTTTTTTTTTTTTTTTTTTAATTATTTATTTATTTATTTATTTCTTAAATAATAATAATCAATCATAAATAAATATGTTGATTATTGTGATATGTTTGCACATTTATAATTAGTATTATTAATAATTTATAACAATCTTTTAAAAATTAATTTTTTTAATTTTATAGCATGATCAAATTGAGAGCCGATATAGGTGAACCCAGCTGTTTGAAAATGGGTAGTGTCGGTGTCTGTGATTTCGGTATTAGTGTATAATATAATATTGAGTAATTCAGTTTGTTCAAATGTTAAACGACGGATTGAAATTGGCGGAAGGGGATGGTCAAACTTGCCATGTTTGGGTATTGGTACAATCCTGAATCGTAACGTTTCAACATGTGGATTGAGAACAAAGGGTGACACTGAATCTGGAACTTCATTCAATGTAACCTTTCTCACAGTCTCTGGCATTTGGAATCCATTCCATTTCAACGAGTTGTGACCATAAATACGTTTATAGTTGGTGACGTAGACATGTCTCAGTCTTGGGAACTGTGATTCGGCTTGTTTGAATGGTTTGAAAGTGATTACTTCGTATTGAGGATGAAGTGATATAACCTCTAGATTGTTTTTAATGTTTTGTGGTAATACAGTCCAATCATAGTAACACGGTAGAATAATCTTTGTGAATGGTACAGATCGGTCTTTAAGCATGTCACCAAGATCGTGTAGATACTTTAAATTAATACTGGCGTGGAGTAGGTTGATGGCGGTGAGATTGGTGAAACCTGTAAACAAGGTTTTCATGACGGGTTTGGACAGGTCAAAGTAACAGACCATACTTTGGCAACCCGACAGTATGTTGGCGAGCAATCTTGTCGTATCGACCTTTTCAACGAGGAATGGCGCTTTAATATACATCTTTTCGACGCCACCCAATACTAGTCGACTCGTATCAGTGTCGCGATGAAACATTTTGGTCTTGTTCTTTGACTCTGGGTGTGGCATGACGACCAACCGACGCAGTCTCTTGACCAAACAATACTCATTGTCAACCACACGACTCCACCAATCTATAGTAGGTTCCATCACAACATCATCAAACAATGTAGTTGAAACCAATTGAAATACACGTCTTGATACCAATGCCAATGATGATTTCTTCCAATATTCAATATACCTCCCATTACATTGTTGTTTTCTTATCTCTTCCACTTTCTTTTCTTCTTCTTCTTTCTTTTCTTTCTTTTCAACTTCTACCTCTTGTCCTTGTATAAAGGTTGCATCAAAGTTATAACTTTGAAGATACTGATTGGTATATTGATATTTGTGAAGATCACACATTGTATCGGGAGAGATGGTCGGTAAGCAGACAGCATACCTTTCATCAAACATACCCGGTCGACGTTTATGTGCGATATGTACACATGTACATAGTAGACTTTGAGTATCGTGACACGCTAATCCAATGATACGAGCAATTAACAACCAAGGCAACGAACCATACAACTGACCAATAGGAATTGCTTCTCTCTCGACCCGTTCCTTTTCCTCCTTTACCATTGTTGCTTGTTCATCTACGACTCTCTTTCTTTTCAAAGCTAATATTCTATAGATCATCTTTGACTTTGACTCTTTTCCATTATTTGTAAATACACATAGTTGATTACATATCTCCTCTACATCTAGTCTCAACATTCCTTCCAACTTTTGTTTAGTTAGATTATTTAAATCGACGGTTGTTGTGTTTGTACAACTACTATCATCATTATTCTCCATCCTCTATCTATCTATTATTATTATAAATATACTAATCATACTAAGTAGTAACTACATTTGTGCAATGAAGAGAAACTCCAACTCAATAATAAACCAATTCCTAGAACCATGATTTTAATATTAATATTTTTATTACCAAAATTGATGGTGTGCTGATCTCATCCTTCCGACTGACAGACGTCTTTCTCGTCAAACCCAACAACAACTTTATCAAGTCAACTTTTAGTTCAGTCGAGAACGTTTGTCATATTGTTGTTGAGAGAATGGTGATGGGTTGATTAATTACACAGTTAACCTCACGCAAGCATCACAATCATTCATTCATTCATTCACTACTCTCTATCTCTATCCAACATAAATAACATAACAACTGTGTACATATACATACATACATACAACAACAACAACAGATAAAGAATAGTTATACTCTCTCACATACACTTCACTCAATATATTATATTATATATTGTACACTATCTATCCTAATAATAAATTAAGTTTTACAGTATTAGAGACAAAGACAACGATGATGATAATGATGGAGAGCGGAGGGGAAGAGAATATTGATGATAATGACCGTATAGGTGTTGGAATGGAGACTAGTAGATCGGTCAGTCCAATGTCTGTATCGGAAGGGGAGGAAGAAGAAGAGGAAGAGGATGGAGAGTTGGACCAACCATTAAACTTTGAAGAATTGATGAAAAGGATAAATGGTGATGGTGACAATATTCATGAACACTTCTTTGCTCCTCCTCTTCCTTGCAACAAGTCAACTTCACCAACAACAAATAAAAAGAAGAAGAGTCGAAATGGATATACTCATAAACGCAGCTCTTCATTACAACTTGATCATCAGCCATATCAACTTCAACTAGAACAAGAACAACCTACTTCACCAACAACAACATCTTTAGAAGATTCAACTACATCTACAACATCTACTTGTACAACTTCAACATCTACATCTACATCTACAACATATTCAAAAATTGAAACTCCCAACGGTGATGATGAACCATTACCTTCATTTATTAGTGATAAAAATGAAACTAGAACAGAAACATTTGCAAAGGAATATAAAATACTATTAGAGAAAGGGGAAAGGTTTAGTTATTGTGTCAATTGTAAGGTACCGTTTGTACCATTGTCAGACCTATGTTTCTTTAAAGAGGCCAATGGAGGAGTACACCTTATCTTGACCAACACCAATCACTCTGATATCATTTGGTATGCCGTTCCAAATCCCGTCACTTCTGCATTCGTTCCCTACAAGATCAATTGTTGTCGTTGCAAATTCTCTGTTGGATCGTTGACAAAGAGAACGGTCGTCACAGCTGGCTACTTGATATGTCTTGATCCTACATCGATATCGCTGGAAAAGGCATTGACAACCACCAAGAAATGGAAGACTGTCATGGAAAAGTATAATGGTATCATTCCAATCGAAGATATCTACTCAATCAATGGAATGGTTCGACCTGAAAGAGCCAACTTTATCTACAAACCAACTGTATTCCCTGTCAACCCAACTCCTGCAGACATGGGTCTATCATCTCAAGTCACTCCTTATGAACATCAAGTTGAATCATTTTATCAAGCTTGCAAATTTAATTCTATTATTGTTATTCCAACTGGTAAATATAAATATCCAAATCAATTTAATTTAATATTTGTATATTAATTAATTTATGATTTATTTTGATTTAATTTTCTTTAGGATATGGTAAAACATTAATTTCTATCATGTTGATTAATGCAATGCATGAATTAAATGGAAAGAAGAGTGCTGACCCAAAGGTAGCAAAGAGAATGTCATTGTTTTTAGTTACAAAGATTCCATTGGTTGCACAACAGGCCAAAGCAATCGAGTTTTATTCACCTCATTTAAATTTGGCTGTTGCTAGTGGTGGTGGTGGAGGTGGTGGTGTAGGTAGTAATGGTAATAGTACGTCGCTCAACTTTGATATGCTAAGACCTGATGTAGTGGTGTGTACGGTGGACTGTGCAGTCAATTGGCTTGGAAACATGAAGATTGCCGTAGAGGACTTTCACACGATCATTTTCGACGAGGCTCATCATGCCACGGGCGACCATTCGTACTGTACTATGGTGCGTCGTGTTCAACTGGCTGATCGTGCCAATCAGCCCCGTATCCTCGGGTTGACAGCATCACCATGCGTCATTGGAAAGGATAGTAAAGCGATGCGTGCAGAGATGGAGGATATCCAAAAGAACTTGAATGCACGTATCTTTAGACCAAAGACACTCGACTTGTTTGAAAAGGAGATGTGCAAGATGGAGGCGATCGTGTACCGACAGACACAGACCGAGACACGTGTGTTGCAAGCTCTCAGCCGCACCATCAACAGTATTCTCAAGGCCATCCAACGAGAGTTGGCATGGCCCACCTCATTTTCATTCAAAGAGGAAAAGATTGCAAACTTTCAATCAAATATTCGAGAGATGGAGAGATACTCGTATGACGCGAAAAGAAAACATCGTATCCCGTCAGTGTCTGTCTCACCCTCAGTTTGCTCGTTGTCAAGGTGCAGGTCGAGGGTATAGTTGCCTGCCAACGTTACCTCTCACAAGAAAAAGACAGCCATATCAATAGACACGCCGAATCAGATGTAGAACATAAACTCATGGTTGGTTTATACTTACAAATTCAAAAAGTTTTAATGGAATCTGAAAATGAAAAAGATATCAACAAACAAGTCAACAACAATAATAATGGTGAAGATAATAATCAACAACAACAAAGTCAAATGGTGACATTGAAAAGAAATCCATTGACAGAGGAATTTGATTTGTTTGCAGTTGATAGATCATGTTTGGAATCATCAAAATATATTGCATTGGTGGATTTGTTGAAAAAGAAACATTCTTCAGATATAGAGTTTCGTGGTATTATATTTGTACAGATGCGGTCGACTGCAATGCAATTGACCAAAATGCTTCAAAAGGAAAGTTTTCACAAAGACTATAATATCAACTTTCTGATTGGACATAATGCTGGTGTGGGTATGGATACAATCGATCAACACCGAATCATTGAACAATTCAAGTTGGGACATTGTAAACTGTTGGTCGCGACAAATGTGCTAGAGGAGGGTTTGGACGTCAGTGAATGCAATCTAGTGATCTGCTTTGAATCAGATTTTAGTATGCGTTCAATGATCCAACGTCGTGGTCGTGCACGTTCAGAGAATGGAAACTTTATGTATTTGCGTGAGGAAAAGCAACTCGATATACAACAAGACTTTGCTAAACGTGAAGCCGAGATGTACAAGGTCATCAATGCACTCTCGGGTACCATGACACGTCAAATGTCACACGAAGAGACAACTCTGAAAAAGGATTTCCTAGCAGCATGGCGTGAAAAGAATAATCTACAACTACAAGAGGATCTGCAGGAAGAGGAGGATGAGAGGAGACGGGCAGTTGGTCAAGTCAAGTGCTACCTCCAATTCTATCATTCGAATGATTCGTTTAATGATTTGGTGTTTCAATCGAGTCACACTCAAATCGACAATATCATTGGTTTTGAACAGATCAATCATACCAATGAACCACGTCGGTATATGGCTAGCTCGAAACTTCTCTCTATTCGCTTGGTCAACCAGTCCATCCCAGACTACCTCACCTCTATCACTCAATTGGATAGTACCAAGTATTGGTGGTGTACAGTCAATGATCAACAACAACAGCAACAACAACAACAACAACAGCAACAACAACAGATTCCAGTCGGTGAATTTTCTGCACCTATTCTTTTGGGAATGGGTAATTTAAAAACACCAACTTGTTATCAAGAAAGATGTTATATTCCAGAGTGTTGGTTGGTCTATCAAAATCATGATCGTCGTATTTTGATTCGTCAAGAAAAGGATGGCATCATTCAAGATATCATCATCTATCTACAAGATCTCGAACACTTTGTATTGTATGATATTTCAACATCGTATTTTTATTTTGTTCTCAAGAGACCACCTCGTTTTATCAGCAAGCAACTTCAAGGCAAAGATCTTGTCACGATTGGTCGTATATCGGGGTCAGAGATTGCCCATTTCTGCAACAACTTTACTTATCGTTTTAGATTGTGTCAAGAACAACTCAAACTATTTGAAAAGATTGTATCTTTACAAATGCGTATTCCAATCTATTATTGTAATCTTCAAGTTACTCCAATGGAAAATGAACCACAAATTCACTTTGATTTCTCTCAAGATAAAAGAATTTCTTATTTATTATCTGTTCTTCAAAGGTAAATAGAAAAAAACAAAAGAAAACAAAAAAAAGGAAAAAAAAAAAAAAAGAATAATTAATTAATTTCTATTTATTTTTTGTAGTAATGATGGATTTGGTAAAACATGGATACCGCAAACATTTTATGATACGATAAATCAATTTTTAATAGAAGATAAAAAACATTTTGCAGAATACTTGATTTATAGTGCAATGGAAGCATCACCATTTAGTAAATTGGTTTTAAAGTCAAAGTTTGATATGGAACAATTCCCAGATGAATCGATACTAAAACCACCACCTACCAACTATGTGTATATTAAGAAAGTGTTTGTCACACCAACACGTATCATCTTTCAAAAACCAGAGATTATGCAATGCAATCGTTCCATTCGTCTGTTTGGTGCAGACAGATTCATGCAAGTCCAATTTGTCGAAGAGAATCTTGACCATCGAATCGAACTACAACAGTCATTGGCAAGTTATACAAACTCTATGATGAAAAAAGGTATTCATGTACCTGGTTTTGGTACATTTCATTATCTTGGAAATAGTAGTAGTCAAGCAAGAAAGAATATGTCTTGGTTTTATTGTCAAGACAAGATGGAGAATGCAAAAGCGGATGGTGGTGAGGAACAAGTTTATTCACTCGATCATGTACGTGATACATTATTGGGAGAGTTTACAAACTTTGAAAACCCACGTAAATATCTTCGTGCCATTAATTTGGTGTTTGCATCGACCATGCCATCAATCGTGATTGCTGAAGAGGATTATCACGAGGATATTCCAGATGTCATTGTCAATGGATACAACTTTACCGAAGGTATTGGGTATATTGGTTGGAAGACCGCTCAAAAGGTCAATGAAGCATGTGAATACATTCAATCGACTTGTGCCTTCCAGATCCGTATCGGTGGCAACAAGGGTGTGGTTGTGGTACGACCAGACATTCAAAATGGAGTGTATTTACGAAAAAGTATGAAAAAGTTTTCGACTACTAGCAATGAATGGTCGCGAACACTCGAGATTGTATCGATCCCAGCTTACAAGCCATGCACTCTCAATCGTCAGGTCATCAACCTCTTATCTGGGTTGGGTGTACCCGACCGCTGCTTCCTCACACTTTTGTCACAGTCACTGAATGAATTGGCATCGCTGTTGCATCTGCCAAAGGTTGCCAAACGTGCATTGTCATCGGATCTATTTGACGATGTTTCAGACGGAGAGATTCTATCTGATCCCATGATCAGAGGTACATTGCATAGAATCTACTGTAAACGGTTGGTAGAGTATAGAGACAAGTGCTTTATCCCAATTGACACGGCTCGTACTTTGCTCGGTGTCACCGATGACACTGCGTCATTAAAAGAAGGACAGGTGTTTTTACAGGTGTCTGACGAGAATGGTGAATTGCAGATTGTTACAGGTCCAGTTGCAGTTGCCAAGAATCCGTGTCTACACGCTGGTGATGTGCGTATCGTGCAGGCTGTTGATATACCCGCGTTGCATCATCTGGTCGATGTAGTATGTTTCTCACAAAATGGCTCGGTTCCGACATTCCAGGAGTGTTCGGGATCAGATCTCGACGGTGATCGTTACTTTGTGTTGTTTGATCGCGAGATGATCGGTGAAATCAAACAACACGATGCGTTCTTGGGAGAGGATGCAGTTGCTGCAGACAGCGACCCGACAATCACTCAGAGCTCGTTGATTGCACAGTATATTACCAATATCCAAAAGGGTACGCTTGGCATGATCGCACTTGCTCATTTGGCCGTTTGTGATGTACATTCACCTAAACACCCATTGGCGATTGCATTGGCAATCGAACATTTTAAAGAGGTGGATCGCGTAAAGACGGGTGTTGGCGGTGAGATCCCAACTGACGTGTTTCAAATCTTGGGAGAGCAGTTTGACAAGTTTCCCAACTTTATGGAAAAGAGTCTGCCTCAAAAGTCGTACTGGGAGTCGGACAAGATTCTTGGACGGTTGTATGCGCAGTGCGTGTCTCTGCAAAATGTCATTAGGTTCATGCCAGAGGTTAAAGTCGATCCACACCTACTGACACCTGGCTGGGAGACATATCAGGCCGATGCGATCGAGACGTACCGTAGATACCGCCACCAAGTCGGCTCACTACTCAAGAGATACGACATTGAAAACGAAGAGGACGTGTTGATCCAATACGTTGACGAGACCATGTCGGGACACACGCTCGACAAGGTAGTAGTTATGGAGATATTCAACCATTACACTGTCATCCAAAACACGTTCCGCGAGCAGTTCTTGCGACCCTTTCAAAGAGCCGGCGAGACGATCGATCAGACCATCACGACACACCAACACGAAATCGAGAAAAAGGTGTCGGCGTGGTACCACACGGCCTACTCTGACAACAAGAAACTGACCAAGTTTCTGTCGTTCTATTGGATTGTCCGCAAGTGGCGTCGCTCACTCAACAAGATCGTCAACCAACACAGCTCCAAGTTGTCGGGTGATATTCTAGGTTTCTTTACAAAACAAACGGAGGAGTTGGTGTCTGGATACTCGAAGCGTCTACAAGTGACACAGTCGATTGAACAAACGTTGCATACTATCCATCCGATGTTTCGTAATTGCAAGATACTAATGTATGGTAGTACTAGTTTGTTTTTGTTTAATCCACTCACCTCTGATCTCGATCTATACATCAAATTGCATTCGGAAGATGATAGTGTTCCAGGATCAGGACCTCTGTCTGAAGACAAGGTAAAAATATACAAAGCACTTGAAACATCGCTCAAGTACAATGATGTCAACATTCAGAGTATAGAGTTTGTCGAGACTGCCAAATTCCCCATTGTCCGCTTTGTCATTAACCATCTCGACTGTGACATTCAACTCGACGAGAATGGGTTCTCCAAGACTGTATTGTTGTGTGCCTACTTTGAAAAGTATCCGTTCCTACTCCCTCTCATCTACGCGATTGTCGGGTGGGGCAGAGAGTCTGGTTTGCTCGTACACCAAGATACGCCGACCAGCCGTAACCGCACGCTCAAGACATGGTCACTGGTCTGGATGGTGTTCCATTACATGATCGAGTGCAATATCGTCCAACCGGTCGACCACACTTTTATTCAGGACCAGTTCAAGGTTGCCGACAACAATGCATTCATTCTCGAGAACCTGACGGTTGACTGGTGGTCAACTATCATCTCCAAGTCGCAAAATGAGGTTGATAAGCTGTCTCTTCACCTTGTCGGCTTTTTCCGATACTATACTGCACAGTTTGCCGAGCTCATCTCGTCGCGTCGTACCTACACGATCATGTGTCCACTAGACCACGCAGTAATGCCATCTCTTCATTTGCAGCCTGAAATCAATCTTCAACAGACTGCTTTCTTTCATGAAGCTTTCCAACTTGCCTATCACTCTCTTTCGTCGATGGATAGTTTCCTCAAACATTCATTGATGACAAACAACAAACTTGTCATGCTCGATCGTATCGTTAGTAAACATATCGACGGTTCAGAAGACTACTTTGAACAGCGTCTGTCCCTTAAAACAGGTGCCAATGTTAAGATTACCCGTATCAAGAAATCACGTTTCCAAGTCAAGTTGAGTGGTGATCCTTATGCCATCCAATTTGCCTTGACCGAGATATCAAACATTACACGAAATATCACCACTGCACCCCAACATTTTACACGTTCAATGGTCAGTGGAGGTGGTACTACACTGTTGTTTGAAGGTTCAAAAAACAAATACGACACTATCAAGTTTATCGATTGTAATCGTCGAACCAACTCTACACATGGACAACGTCGTCCCTTTTCACCGATGCTCAAAAACATCTCGGTTGAAAATGTAGAGTTTGGAAACTACAACAATATTGCAGATGATACTGGTGACGACTATCTCGAGTACACTAGAGTGTTTTATTCACAACTAGGTAAATGGACACAGTTTGGATCAGAGGAAGAGTTTGGAGAGACACATGCATATCTTCGATTTGGTCAAATCTACTTTATCAATGTCCCCTATTCTGGTTTTGAAAAATTAATCATTGATACTAGAAAAGGATTATCGTCAACTAAAAAGCATAGTGTTAAATTTAATAATCATAGTGATCTTAAATTTAATAACAATACTGATGAAGATAATAATAATAATATTATTGATCAAGGTGAAGGAAATAGAGGTGGTAGAGGTAGTAGAGGTAATGGTAGTAGAGTAGCAGATTTGAAAAAAGAACATACTCTATCATCGACAAACCCTATAAAAGTAGAACCACCAGCATCAACACTAGGACTACAACAACCAAAGAATGATATTAGAAAAGTGTATGGTATAGAAGATGCCAAACCTTCACCAATGGTATTGAAACAATTATTGGAAAAGAAAAAAGAATTGGAACATTTGGCATCACTCAATCCACTTCAAAAGAAACTTAAGATGGGTACTGAACGAGATGCTGAAAGTAGCGAACTCAAAAATGTAGATAATCAAATTGAAAAGTTGTTGTCAACCAACCCAAAGTCATCCTTTTTACCAACCACTCTTGGCATCGATCCCATCCATGAAATGCTCATCAAGGATGGGTGGGCAATCAACAAATACGAACAAGAATGGTATGCCATCACCCTAGATATTGGTAAAAAGACGTACAAGGTGGAAATGAATCATGACCTATCCAAGGCGATTGTTAAACTAGCCAATTTAAATTGGTTCACTGCCGATTTAAAGTCACTCGAAGAATCTGCCTATGACATTCGTTTCTCTGTCCAATCGAAAAAGAATATCACCGCTCACGATGACGATGACAGTGTCGCACAGTTATTGACCAATCCCCCATTACTACCTAGAATTGATCAAGATTCTGATATGGATACTGGTCAAAATAATAACAACAACAACAACAACAACAGTGACAACAATATGTTAAAGATGCCATTTACAATCAATCCAATTTACAAGGCTAATTTGACGGTTGTTAGACAACACAAAAACGAACGATGGTACATTCCACCAGCCACCCATCCACTTAGCTTTTTCAATCCTCGTGCCGTCTTATCAACGGTCAACGAATTCACATCTGGTGGATTCTATGCATCCAAACCAGAGTTGGAGATTAAAATCGATCTTCCCAAACACGAGGAAATTTCACACTTTACCAAACCATTTTGGGAAACTGGTAGAGATTTTAAAAACAAAATCAATATTTTGAAAAAGGAGGCTGGTGATTTGGATCCAACCATTACCGGTAATAGTAAAGCTAGCGATGCAGTCGCTGCATCTGCCACCAGATTAGTATCGTCAATTCAAAATGATTACATGTTGACTGATCTTTTACAAAAACGTCAAGAACAACAACATCAACAACAAATCAAAGAACAATTGCTAGATACAAATATTATTGGAATTGGAGCAGGAACTGGTACCACACCAAGACCAAAACCAGACAAGTTTAAGAAATTTAATAACACTCCATACAATAGAAAGGATAATTTCAGGGATACTAGAAACACTCGTGATAGAAGTAGATCAAGAAGTAGAGATGGTGATAGAAGAACAACAAGAGACAGAAGTAGATCAAGATCAAGAGAAAGAGAACGCCTACCAAAAAGAGATAGATCAAGAGAAAGATTTCAAAGAGATGTATATGATAATAGTAATAGATATCCAACAGGAGATAGAAACTTTAATCAAAGAGATCAAAGAGATAGAAGTAGATCAAGAGAAAGATACCAACAAACCAACAGATATAATAATAACCGAAGATAAATAATATATAATTTCACATTTATTAATAAATAATTAATATTAAATATAACACCAAAAAAATAATGACACCTCGGTATGAATTCTTAAAACTCCCTCCTTTTCTTGCAAGTTATTTTTTTTGTAATGAACGAGCCACACTCTTTGGCTAAAAGACGAAACTTGATAATTATCAAGTATATATTAACTGATCAATGGACGAGAACAACTCACAACCACATCAAACCTCTGAATATTCATCTGAGGTCAACATCAGTCCAATATTAACATCATTTACCTTTGGTGAAGACTATAATCAAGCAATATCAGTTGGAGAAATACCATCATCAATACTATTATTGGAGTTTGGTGATAGATATAATCAACCTCTATCAGTTGGAGTATTACCATCATCATTACAATCATTGAAGTTTGGTTATTTCTTTAACCAACCTCTATCAGATGGGGTATTGCCAACATCATTATTATCATTGCAGTTTGGGTTGGAATTTAATCAACCTCTATCAGTTGGAGTACTACCATCATCATTGCAATCATTGAAGTTTGGTTGGTACTATAATCAATCAATATCAGTTGGAGTATTACCATCATCATTACAATCATTGAAGTTTGGTAATCACTATAATCAACCAATACCAGTTGGAGTACTACCATCATCATTGCAATCATTGAAGTTTGGCGACCACTATAATCAAAGAATATCAGTTAGAGTATTACCATCATCATTACAATCATTGAAGTTTGGTTATAACTATAATCACTCAATATCAGTTGGGGCATTACCAACATCATTACAATCATTGACATTTAGTAAAAGATACAACCGACGCTTATCAGTTGGAGTACTACCATCATCATTACAATCGTTAGAGTTTGGTAGATTCTATAATCAGTCAATAGCAGTTAGAGTACTACCATCATCATTACAATCATTGACATTTGGTAATGGATATAATCAACCTCTATCAGTTGGAGTATTGCCATCATCATTACAATCATTGAAGTTTGGCAATGACTTTAATCAACCTCTATCAGTTGGAGTACTACCATCATCACTACAGTCATTAAAGATTGGTGATGGCTATAATCAACCTCTATCATTTGGGGTACTACCAGAATCATTACAATCATTGGTTTTTGGTGATAGATATAATCAAGCACTATCAGTTGGATTATTACCATCATCATTACAATCATTGGTGTTTGGTTATTACTATAATAAATCAATACCAGTTGGAGTATTACCATCATTGCTATCAATGAAGTTTGGTATTAGATATAATCAATCGATACCAGTTGGAGTACTACCATCATCATTACAATCATTGAAGTTTGGTAATCATTATAATCAACCTCTATCAGTAGGAGTATTACCATCATCATTGCAATCATTGGAGTTTGGTAATGGTTATAATCAAGCATTATCAAATGGAGTATTACCATCATCATTACTATCATTGAAGTTTGGTGGGGATTCGATAGTTCCCATAAGATTTTTTGTTGACTTCAAGAAATCCATTAGTTTAAGTAGAAAATTTCTTAAAACAAAATCATCAGTAATCAAACTTCCCAGTATCAAAGCTCCTCTTATTCTTTCAACAACGATATCATCCCCATCCCTACATCATCTTGATATGATTTCTGAACACCCAGAATCTTTGAATCAAAATCCCAACTCAATCAATTGCGACCCCAACTATTTAATGACTTATCATATCACTTCCACAGACTTCTTTTTAGTCAACCAGCATAAATATTTCAAATTACACACTTTCCCCTACTCTGCCAACAAAGTATTTTTAGTAATGTGCCAGTCTTCGGGAGAATTGGTATGTAAATCAACTGAAATCTAAACTCTATAATTGCTTGCTAACTACCTTTTAGTATGTTTACAAAGAAATAGATTACTCTATCAATCCAAAGATCTACTCCAAAGTACAATTTGAAATCTCAACGATGCAACTATTCATTGGTGACGATATGTTTGTGCAATTCAAAGATCACCAAGATGACAGTGATTCAAAAGATATATCTTTTGACACATTATTGTGAAGGTGGTGATTTAGAACAATTATTTCAATCAATGAGTAAATGGTATGGTCTTCACATTGGACAAACAACTATTCACACTTACATTCTCTTTTTTAGGAATGAATCTCAAAAACAACAACCTAAACCAGAATATAAATATATTCCAGAACCAGAAATATGGGCCTACATTCGTCGATTATTCCTCATACTTGAAAAACTTTCTCGATTCAACATTGCACATCTCGATATCAAACCACTCAATATCTTTATACGACATGATGGTGAGATAGTTCTTGGTGATTTTGGTTGTTGTCACTATTACGTTAATCAAAATAATGGTGATAATATCAATGGAGCCACAAACAATAATCATAATCAAATTAATAATGTTGACAATCAAACAAATATGATAGAAACGACTGTCGTTTCTCGTGGAACAAATGGATATTACTCACCTGTATGTTACTTAATAACATATCTTTAATGTCTGGAAAACTGACTGATGAAAAAAATCAACAAATATTGTTTATAGGAATCAAAACAAAAGAAATACTACTCTACAAGTGATATATATTCAGTTGGTTCAACTATTTTACATTTACTTTCATGGTAAATAGATTTTATTATTCGAATTGATTTTGTTAACTAATTAGTCATTTAGTCATCCAGATGATATTGCCAATAGAATTGAATTTGTCAAGAACCACAAAAATAACAACTTTTTTAATGCTGATGATATTAAAATATCAACAAAAAGATACTCTGAACATTTAATTAAATTTGTCAAGAATCTATTAATCGCAACTCCTCATAATCGACTTTCATTGGATGATTTGACAGGGGAAATAATCAACCAACACACACAGAGAATCACATCATTTTTAATCGACCAACGACAAATTCTAGCAACAACAACAACATTAATATTGGATGGTGAATTCAACAGTCCTCTAAAAGGATTACTTCCAGAGACACTTTTAAAATTAAAGTTATTGGGAAAGTTTAATCAACCAATAGAATGGGGAGATATTCCTGATAGTGTTGAAACATTAATATTTGGATCTTCATTTAATCGTAAAATCGAATCATTTCCAAGGTCGCACAGACTAAATCATTTTGTTTTAGGAAAATCATTCAAAGGTTGGAATCATATAATACAAATGCGACAATACACATAACCACAAACAATTGGAACGAAACTCAGTCCAATGTATTTCAATATTGGAGAGGATATGAATTGAAACGTGTAATTAGCTACCGCTGTGAAGACTCGGGAAACGCCATCATCAATTCATTTATAAAAAACAACATTAGAGAATTTAATTTCATCCTAACAATCGGTGAAGAGTGTTATGGAATTGGTGATATCAAGCGGTATGTAATCTCCTAACAAAACAATTACGCTACATTATTAATAACCTTTTTTTCAACTAGTAAAAATAATATGCTCGAGTGGAAGAATTCTAACACCAAGCTTTCTCTCAATCTAGAGGATGTCAAAGTGATAGCACATGTTCAAGCAACAATCTATGCACATTTATTTTGTCAAATAGATAAATCAAAATTTGAATCAATCAATCAACACTTTGGAGAATACCAACCAGAGTCAGAATACCCCCTAAAAGAAATGGAGAAATTATTCGAATTGGATGAAGACAATATTCATGAAGAGTTTGAACACAACAATCAATATCTAAATATTAGATTGATTTACATTAAATCTTCTGGGCTATCAAAATTGAAAAAAAAGCTAGCTGTATTATTTAAAAAGAGCGAGCAATAAAACAAATATCTTGCAAATTAGTTTCAAACCAATTAAGGAGAAAGATAATTGGAACACATTTAATTAAAATTTCATTGTCATAGTAAAACATTGTGTTTAAGCAATCTATTTAATTCTTTTCTTTAAAAAAGGGTAATAAAAAAGGATTTCATGCTCTCAAAACATTGACACATTCCTTTCCACATTTTGGCTGACCATGTTTCTTGTGCGGCTTGGAATTGCTCTTGAGAAAAATCCATTCCTTTTCTGGCTGCCCCTGCCTTGGCGGCTTCTGCAGCCAACACATTTGGAACAAGAACTCTTTCAGGATTGCACTCTTCCAATTTGTTCATTAAAAGGTGAAAAGAAAACTCCCTTTTACGACGATATTCTTGTTCCAAGAGTTGTTCATTTGGCGTTTGAATTTCCTTTTTGCTGATAGGTGGAAAATCAACCAATAGAGTGACCAAGTTGACAATTTTCCAATAAATGTTGAAGGGACTTGGAATCATCTTCGTTTTCTTTGACCCAGTTTTGATCATCACAATTTGTAATACATAATAACAAATTTGGTTTTATTCTACCTCCAAAGAACTGGACAAAAAATATTATTTTAAAAGTTATAAAAAAATTAATTAATTTAATTTTAATTTTTAAAATACAGACAATTTCTTGAATAATTTTAAAGATTGTCATTACTTCATCAGACATTCTACCCATCCCAACAACGAAAATAACCACATCTAGATTGCGATGAAATGACTCGAGGGCTTTGTCCATCATTTGAATGATAGGTTTTGGTGTGAAATCTGGATCTCCAAAACCTACACTATCCATTACTTCAAAGTTTGGATTTTCACGTTTATCAAACAAGGTAGTAATCCTTGCAGCACCATTTCCACAAGCAAATGGGGTTGTCAATAAGTGTGGAGAATTGTTGAAAATAATGTTTCCAATAGTAGATTTTCCACAACCAGTCTTTCCAACTATTAAGATGTTCTTTTTAATCCTTTAATAATATTCTTAAATATTAATAATGATATTTAAATTGACTAAAATCCAATATATTATTTATACATACACTTGAACCATCTCTGAAATATCTGTATACAATTTTGAATCAAAAAATATAACAATAATGAATAACTTTTGGTCCATCCTTTTAAATTGAAACAACCATCACAGAATTATTATTACGATAAAATACTAATCTTAAAGATTCAGGTACATAGTCGATTATTAGTATTTGGGGACAACCCTCTAGTTATATCTTTCTTTTTTTAGTCCACTGATTCGTCAATTAATCATTTATCTGAAAGGCAGTATCTTGAAATTTTTAATAATCTCCAATGATCAATTCATTATTCCTTCTTTTTTTTAAAAAATTTCAGCTACATAAAGAATGAATATTGTATTTTTTTTGATATATTCATATTTGTATTACCAAAATATATATATATTTGCAATGGATAAGTAATGAATCAATAAAACCATTAAAAATAATGGAATGATCAATTTTTTTTAACGTTGTTATTTTTTTAAGTAGGAAAACAATGTTGATACTCGGAGAGGTAGGAAAAGGCAAATCTACAGTTAGTAATGTTCTATACAACCTAGATTCACAAAACCATACAGCACCCTTCCCACTTGGTTCAAAGAGTAATGATCTTTCATTTAATTGTCATTTCAACAACAAATTTAAAATTATTGATGGAATTGGATTTGGGGATCCTGTAATGCCAAACAAAGAAATTATAAATCAGCTCAAAAAAGATTTCAAGGGTGAAGAAATTGATATAATCATGTTTGTAATTAAAATGGGTAGAATATCTCAAGAAACATTGGATATTTTTAACTTGATCGAACAAACAGTTTGTATAAGAATATTTTATAAATTTTCTTGAATTATAACTAATATACTTATTTATCTGTTAATAGATTTATCCAAATGGTAGTGCCTCATCCAACTTCCTCCTTTGTTCTACACATTCAAATGATGAAAGTTGGTTTGAAGAAAATATCCATAGCCAAGTTCTAAAACCTATTTTATCAAAATGTAATCTTGGATACATTGGTGTAGATTTCCCACCTTTTAACCTGAATCCAATAATTGAGGGTATGCAAAAAAACTAATGTAATTCTGACTATTGATCAAAATTTAATAACCTTTTTATCGTGATCTTAAAAGAGAACAACAAAGATGATAGATTAAAATCATATGAAAATCTTATTGGCAAACTGATTACTTGTAATCCAACCTCCAAAGTTTTTGTATCTCGTCCACCAAAGAAAGAAAAGATTTTTAGAAAGTGCACCCAATTATTAAATCTTTTTGATAGATTATTCAACTATCTCATTCATTATATAATAATTAGAGATAATTTTCTTGTCTAGAAAAATAAGGTTTCTCAAGTCTATCTTAAAATATTCTTTCAAAGAATCAAGAATAGGATAATCAAATAATTTATTAATTAAATAAAATCATTCCAGTTTTAGAAATTTGAACACATGTTGCATGCAAAAATTAATAAAGGGTTGTTTTCTGAGTCTGATTGTTTAAACAAATACAAAAGATGATCAAAAGAACAATTCAGAGTATTGCAACGACGACAAGTAATCAACACTCTTTGTTGTTTAATCGAGTAGGAGGAAGAGGATGGTTGAGAACATCACAACATCAACAACATAGAACATACAGTACAACAAGTAGTGATGGTAATACTGAAGTGTCTGATGGATATATAACCAACAAATCAAATACTTCATCTAGTATAATGATTAAACCTCAATCATTTAATCTTTCTCAAAATGTATATTCAAAGTATAAATCAACATATCTCTCTTAAATATCATTCTATCTATGATCATATATCTAACTTTTTTTCTATCTTTAGACCATTAAGAAGAGTTATATTTAATGTACCTGGTAATGATCAAAGAAAGGTAGCAAAAGCAGTTCAATTATCTGGTATTATAGATACTATAGTATTGGATATTGAAGATGGTGTCGCTGCAAACATGAAACAAGCAGCACGTGAAGAGATTGCAAGATCGGTGCAAAAAGACTCTTATTCCAAATCAGAGTTATTGGTTCGTGTTAATTCGGTGGACAGTGGATTGTTGGAAGACGATATAAAGGCAATGTCAAAGATTGCAAATTATATTGACGGTTTTCTCATCCCAAAGGTCGAGTCACCTGCTCATCTCCAATACGTCACTCATTTGATGCGATACAATGGTATCACAGATCGAAAGAAACTATTGGCCTCTATAGAATCTGCAATAGGATTGATTAATTTAAAGGATATTTGTCAATACCATACCAAAGCATTTCCAGGCGAACAATCAATGCTCGAAGCATTGGTATTTGCATCAGAGGATTATTGTGCCGACACTGGTATCACTCGTACACCCGAAGCATCTGAATTGTCGTATGCTCGTAGTGCAGTAGTCAATCATGCTATTGCATTTGGATTGCAAGCAATCGATATGGTTTGTATCAATTTCAAGGACCTAGATGTCCTAAGAAAGGAGGCTAAAGAAGGTGTTCAAATGGGATTCCACGGTAAACAAGCTATTCATCCCGGTCAGATTGAAGTCATCTGTGATGCATTCCGACCAACCCTCAAACAAGTCCAATTCGCATCACGTATCATCGATCAAAATGAAATCAACCAATCAATGGGTAAAGGTGCTTTCGAAGTCGATGGTAAAATGATTGATTTACCAATGGTTAAATGGGCTCAAAATATTCAACATTTAGAATCAAATTATCCTCCAAGAGAATCATATGATTAATAAATAAATGAAATAAAATATAATTAAATAAATAAAATAAAACTAAACTAACCTAGGGTTTGTATGTATAATAATAATAACAATAATAATAATAACATTTTTTTTAATTATAAATAATTAGGATTTGGACTATAATAATTAAACAAAAAAAAATTGACACAGTTAGACTGTTGTTGTAGTAGAGATGGATGGAGCAGCTTCAATATGTTGGTTTTGTTGATGTTGTTGGTCCAATTCATTTGATTCTTGATATTCAACAATGGCAACTTGATTATTATCATATTCCATTCCTACATTTTGTGTTTTGTAATATGGTTGTTGATAATGTTGGTACTTTGTTTTTGGTCCCTTCTTTGATGGATCCCAGTTTTTGTTGTATTTTGGTTTTCTACCTTCAACATTGTTTGTTTGATATCTATTATTATTATGTACATTTGGTGGTGGTTGTTGTTGCTGTTGTTGTTGTTGTTGTGGTGGGGATGATGGTTGTTGATAATGATTTGAATATGATTGTGGTGATTGTGGTTGTTGCATTGAATAAAGATGACGATTGTCTTGTTGTTGTGGATAATAATTATTATAATTATAGTGTTGTGGAACCATGTAATATTGTTGTTGCTGTTGTTGTTGATGGTGATGGTTTTGGTTTTGGTTTTGGTTTGGAGACAATGACTGATGTTGATGACGTTGTTGCTGTTGAGATGGTTGTTGGTGTTGGTGTTGTTGATACTTTTGATATGGATCACTGTAATATGGATTGTAATACATAGTTGGATAGGGAGAGTAATAATTGCCATTTGATGGGTCTGGGTATTGGTAATATACAGGTTGATAATAGTGTTGTTGTTGGTGTGGTTGTTGATGTTGTGGATAATATGTATAAGATGATTGTTGGTGTTGGTGTTGAGTAGTTTGATGTTCATGTTGGTACTGTTGTGATTGTTGAGTAGTTTGTTGTTGTTGAGCTTGTTGTTTTTGTTGATGTTGTTGTTTTTTATTCAACTTTTGACCTTTTCTAGTTGATGTTGGAGAATGTGGTGGAGACAAGTTTTGAGTGTTGTCATTGACAACAACTTCACCAGAAGAAGAAATAATATTCATTTCAGAAGAGGGAGAAGTTGTTATTGTTGTATTACCATCACCACCCAAATTCAAAAGACAATTTGAACTATCAGACTTTGAAACTGCATGATACATTTGTCCATCGGCACAATCCTCAAGCATTTCTACAATTGAAGGTGGAGTTGAAATGGATGAAGAGAGGGGTGATGGTGAGGTGGCAGTGGTGGTTGCACTATTGGTACTACTGACAAGGTTCAAAGCAGACATGGATGATGTTGGGACTGACTGATCAAGATTCGAATCATTTGGTTCTTCATCCAATAATATTGGTGTTTGTGATTGATCTTGAGTTGGTGATCCACCCTCTGAATATTCATACGATGATTTTGGAATATAAGCATATTGATTATCTTGGAGTTGAATGGGTTGTTGTTGTTGAGATTGATAGTTTTGTTGTTGGTATTGGTTGTGGTGTTGGTGGTGTTGGTGGTGTTGGTGTTGGTGATGATGGTATTTGTTGTTTTGATATTGTTTACGGTTTGGATCATACATATTATTACTAGTAAAAAAATAATTAATTAATAAATAATTGTTGAATTAAATAATTAATTAATTATTCTAGATTATACATACTTTAAATTATCATGATGTTTTCTATTCATATTTTGATTGTTGGGATTGTTGTTGTTGTTGTTGTTATGATAATTATTATTATTATTTCTCTTCTTTTGGAAATTTGGATTGTTGTTGTTATGTTGTTTACCAATTTGATAATTGTCCATGGATCCAGTTGGAATTGGTAATGGTAAGGGTGGTGGTGGAGATAAAGTTGATGAAGATGATGACGACGACGACGACAATGATGACGATTCACCTGTTGCATACTGGGAAGAAGGAGTAGTACTCGAAGCAACTACAGATGCATAGGATTGACCTTGGCTTGTTCCTGTGGTGGTTGTTGTCATTGTTTGAACTGATTCTTCAATCTTTGTCAACGTTTTTGGATTTGGAGTGGTTGGAGAATGAGCACCTGGACCAGCTCTTCTTCTTGCACCTCCTCCTAATCCACGGTCTCTATCTCTTGTTGTTGTTGTTGTTGATGGAATAGTAGTACCATTACCAGCAGCAGCAGCAACAATAGTGGTTGGTGGAACAGTAGTAGTATGGGTCTGAGGGATGTCTACAACACCAAAAGAGGTATGACTTGAGATGGAATCATTAATGATCGGAGCAGTAGCATAAACACCCAGGTCAACTTGTCCCCTTTGCATTGGAACCAAAGATGGAGAAGCCGACTTTTTTTTGTTTTGGTTGTATGATGGTCTTGTCGCAGTGGAAGAGTTTGAGTTATTATTAGCATTATTATTATTGTTGTTGTTGTTTGGTTGTTGACCATAGTTCATCTTGTTATTATTATTATTATTATTTGATTTGTTATTTTTAAAACTATTATTATTATTACTACGTTGTTGTTGTTGTTGTTGATTGCGAGAGTAATTTAATTCTCCTCCTACTCCTCCATCTTTATTGGTAGTGGATGATGAATTTTCAACATTTGACAGTTGATCAACGACTGGTGGAGGTGGTGATGTTGATGATGGTTGATGTTGCAAAGTTGTTGATGATGATGATGATGATACTACTTTTGACATTATCTATCTTTCTATCTGTCTATCTTTTTATTATTAAACTTCAATCTCTATCTCTATCTATCTAATCTATCTTATGTAATATAATAATACTACTACTTCTACTACCTTGTGTGAGAGTGAGTAAGAGTACACACAATCAATATATATATATATTAAAATATGCTTTTCCATCTGCCTATGTTGGTGTTTGTTGTTTTATGATTAATAATTTAATTTTAATTAATGGGGGGTTGTCATTGCCCCAAATAAGCCTTTTTTTCTTCTTCTTCTTGCTCACACTCATCCATTCTTATTAACTTTGTGGTTGTGGTGGGGAATGAAATGAACGCGTATGGTCTCTCAAAACTCAGCCGGCTGAGTATGGTGAGTGCAGAGTGAGTGAATGAAGAAAGAATGAATTTTTCAGAAGGATGGATAGATACCATTTTAGTTTTATTTTTTATTATTAAAAATATATATATATATTCAATTGAATACTTTTCCCTTCCAGTCTATTGTAAAATTCATAGCACTATGATTTGTAGTGATGGTGGTGGTAGGGGGATGAGAGATACCTGGAATTTGATCAGGTGGATGATTGATAATATTTTATTATTATTATTATTAATATTATTATTTTATTATTTTTATTTTCTACTTTCTGTTCGGGTTGATGAAATGAAATGAACTCTCGCCTGCGAGAATGTTCGTATTTATGGTACTTTGGAATAAAGTATAAAAGTAAGGTGGATCGATTTTTAACCTCCAAATCTCGTCGTTGATCCACACCTTTTTTTAAAATTTTTGTTGTTTTAAAAACTGATCATAAAGTCAAAACCTGCTACCCGCTATTATTATTGTCGTCCACCCTATTATTATCAGTACCCAATATTTGTAACAGTATTCAATCACAATCACAATCAACCAACCAACCAACCAACCGACTCTTTATTTATTTGTGTAGTATATAGTAACTCAAAGAGAAAGAGAAAGAGAAAGAGAAAGCGAGAGAGAGAGACAATACGTACAATCCTCATACTTCCTTCTACTTCATCCTTTTCTTCTACTTCTTGTTGTACAATAGATTAGTTTAGTTTTATATATATACTTTGATATATATATATATAATCGAATATATAAAGAAGAGAAGATGAGCGAAGATTGGTCAACCGATCTTCAAAAGAAAGTGTAAGTGGTTCGCCGGCGATCATATGATGATATATATGTCAACAACATTCTCTAACTTTATTTCATTTGGTATATCTATATATCTATATATATATATATATTATATTGTTCTATGTAGATATACTATATGGGCAAACAATATATTAAAACAAAGACAGATGGTGTTTGTAGACATGATTGAGGATTTTGTCGATGGAGTATACTTGATAAATATCTTGGAAGTGTTGACGAGCGATACGATCAACCACATTAACAAACCAAAGAACAGGTTTCAGCAGCTGTCCAACGTGCAGCTGGCGTTGAACCTGGTCGACCGATACGGCATCAACCTCGTCAACTTTCGACCAGAGAATCTTGTCGACAAACACACCAAGATGACGTTGGCACTAGTATGGCGTATCATCTCCAAGTTCCACATCCACCAGTATCTGTGTGACGATGACTTTGAGCAGGTGGTAGTGTCGGCTGGATCAGACTGGATCGAGTCGGCTGCTGCTGCATCATCAGACGGTGCACCACTGTCAATGAGCAGTCGTCGGGCATCGTCCAACGTCGATATTTACAAATCATCGCAACGCAGCAACATGCTGACGGTTCGTGAGGCACTGCTACGGTGGTGTCGTCGCGAGCTCGAACAGTACCAGTTTGCACCAACCATCACCAACTTTACAAAGTCGTTCCAGAACGTGCAAGTGTTTGCATCGCTCGTGCACAAGCAGGTGCCGCAGCACATCGACCTCGACGAAATCGCGCGTATGGATGAGGTCGGCGCACTGAAACGTGTGTTTGAGACGGCCGAGCGTCAGCTAGGCATCCCGCAGCTCCTCACACCCCAAAACATCGTCGACGGCATGTTGGACGAGTCGTGCACAATGATGTATGTCGCTTACTTTTTGAACCATCAAAAGGCTGCCAGTATACTTGGTAATAGTGGAGTCAGTGTCTCATCACATCATCGCGGACATACCCGTACCTCGTCAACGGGTAGTAACACGTCGACCTCATCGGTTGATGGGATGTTACCTCGTGGTGGAGGTAATGTACCAGTTCCACCAAATAGCACGATCCTTAACAGTAGCAGCGAACGTCATATCAAGCGTGCACCTGCTAAACGCACGTCCGAGTCGACTACCAGTACGCCCGACAAGGCTGCCAACAATGTGATCATCACACCAACCTCGTCACCAATGGTACATGACCGTCACCAACACATCACCAACAACAACAACAACAAACAAAACAACGCTACACCTGACAATAGCAACCTAATTGACAAGGCCGCCTTAATGGAGATACTACAAAACTTTACGACCGAACTCAAACGCATTACGACCGAGCATGAAGAGATGCTCAACAAGACCGCCGCCAAGCTAGACGAGCGTGTCAACCGACTCGGTGACAAACTCGATCAACTCGAGATTAAAATCGGTGTCATCAAAAATGTAGTTGTATCTGTATCATCAAATGAAAATAGTAATCTTATTGGAGGAGTAGTAGTAAGTGGTGGAGGAGGGGTAACAGTCATCACAGACACGACAGACGACCAACCAACCTCTACATCTACTACCACAACATCATCACCAGCACTTGTTTCTACTACATCTACAACATCAACCACATCATTGGCAACAGTTTTGGAACAAGAGGGAGGATCTAAAAAAGATAAACGTAAATCAAAAAAACAAGAATCAAGAGAAGAAAGAGATGAAAGAAGAGAAAAGAGACGTAGTCGTAGAAAGGAACGTGAAGATAAGAAACGTGTGATGCATGGAACGATTGATAGTAGTGCAGCATCGACTATGACGCTGTCATCGAGTTCGTGCTCGTTGGCCGATGATGCGCAGGTTGACCGTGACGATCTTAAAAAGATTATCAAGGTGCAGTCGCTGGCGAGAGCATTCTTGGCACGCAAGGCATACCGACGTATAAAGACACGTCGTGGTGTCGCACAAGAGATGTTGAATAGTGAAAAGACATACATTCACAATTTGCATATTCTTTTGCACGACTATCTCGTGCCACTGCGCAAGATGTGCGAGGGAAACAGCGCCATCAACCCCGACAATGTAAAGTCGTTGTACAACAATATCGAGGTCATTCTCAACATTAACAATAGTCTGCTCAAGCGTGTGCAAGAGCGTATGTCGACGCCATGGCACTATGAGCAGCTGTTTGGTGACATCTTTTTCAAGATGTGTGACCTTTTGAAATGCTACATTGCCTATGTCAACCTGTACAACCGCTCGCTGACCACCGTCAACGAGTTTGGCAAGACATCGACGTTTGCCGACTTTTTAAACAGCACCTTCCAGCGCACCAACCAGCAACTGCGTGATCTCATCATTATCCCCGTGCAGCGTATCCCACGTTACGTATTGTTGCTCGAGGAGATGGTCAAAGTCACGCCAGCATCACATCCCGATCACTCGCAGCTAGTTGGCTCACTTGCCAAGATGCACACGATCGCCGACCACGTCAACGAGAAGCGTAGAGAGTTTGAGAATGTGTCGCAAGTTGCCCTACTCCAAGACTCGATCATTGGCTTTAATATCATGGAATACCCATCACTACGTTACATTATGGAGGGTGATCTACAACTGCACATGTCGTCGAGTGGTAGTGGGTTTGGTGTGGTCACGGGCACGCTCTCCAATGCCGTCACGGGTAGCTCGTCGGACCTCAAGAGCACTGGCGGTGTCATGGCACTCCAAAATCTCCACGTCTTCCTCTTCAACCAGATGCTGGTTGTGTGTAAATACAAAAAGGGCAAAGAGTCCTACTTTTCGAAATTTGGTTCGTCGTCGTCTTCGTCGGACCGTAAATCAAAACAACCCAAATACAAATTCATCTTTTGCTACAATCTCACCTCTGAGACCAAGCTATCGCACAACAAGTCAGAGTCGTGGTTTGGTGTCGACAACTCGTCCGAGTACAAACGTTTCATTGCTCAAGGTGTCACTACAAAGGATATGTGGATCCAACACATCCAAAGTTGTATCACTAAAATGGCTGAAAATAAGAAATCTAAAAATATTCAAACTTAATCAAAAAATAAATAATAAATAATAATAATAATAATAATAATAATAATAATTAATTAATTAATCATTCAATCATTTACAAATTCATCTATCTACACCCATTTAATATTTATTCTTTATGGAACATTAGAATCTTATCTTTGAGATCATTATGATAATATTAGATCTTATTGTATGAATGAATGCTACGTGATATCACTCTCAGTATCATTTCGGCTTATCAAGAGAGTGGGGTTAGTTATGATCAGTGTTATGCTAGAAATATGGCAGCTACACAACCCTGGGAAAAGACTTTGAATAAGGAACAGAAAAGGCAATTGGATACTATCAGATACATCTATACCGATAATATACAGTTAGTATGGAAAACAACACAAGAAAGGGGTGAAAATACAACAAACATTGATGGAGAAACAGTTAAATTGTGTATAAGAATAGGTAAAGATGGAATGATGGAAAGGTCAATAATGCAAGTGGAAGAGGATATCATTTGCGACACAAAGGTTAGGGAATATGAATCGAGAATATCATTAAACATCTATGAACATGATATGTTGTGGATAACATTGTACAAAAATGGTAATTTTATTCAACATATGAATAGATATGTAGACGTGTTAAATGGTATGCTGGTATTGAATGCAACTAGAAATAATTTGGTTAATATCAATTAAAGAAACCCTAATCTTCCCCAGCTCTTCACAAACATCTCCCAAGCTTAACCAATTCGCTCCCAACATATCCTAATTTTATCCAAAGCATGCCTTAATATAGTAAAAATCATTAATAAACATTAAAAATCATTAAAATCACTAAAAATCATTAAAAAAACTAATTTCCCTAGTTTTCTCTCTGTTTTCACACACTAAGAACAAGTTGCCCTTGTAGTGATTGGAAAATCGATCACCCAAGAAATAGAATCTATTTGTAGATTTGGTCCTATTTTTAGGGTCCAAGATCTGGTATTGTTTTTAGTACCTATTCAAAAAATATTTTTTTGGTTGGCGGTTATTCATTCCAAAGTGCTGATGGCTCGCAGTCGTTGACAATCAACCTTACTTTTACTCATTCTGGCTGAAGGAAGGAAGGAAGGAAGCACCCACCACATGAGTGTCATTGATTGGGAGAGGAGAGATTATTGTTATTATTGTTATTAATGTATTCACACACCCAATCTTGATACATCATAGCCGAAGCGATCGATAGATAGAAGATATAGAACTATCATTGCAATAATAATAATAATAATAATCATCGTCTCATCTTCAAATACAAAGGAGTATATTCTACTACTCTAACTCTATATAACTATTAAATTCAAAAAAGTTAAGATTGTAACAACCTTACCACTACAGAACCAACCAAACAAGCAAAGAAAAGGAAAGTAGGTGGTGAGTTAGGTAGAGTTTGTCCCCCCCCCCCCCCTACCCCCTCCAACTACAATAATAGTGTAGTAGTACATACTCTTTTTTTAAACAACAAACAATCAATCAATCAATCAATCGAACAGCAACCTCAACCAACCAACCTAAACTCAACCTCACTAATAATTTATATATATTTATATTTTATATATTACAACAAAGAGAGAGAGAGAGACAAGAGACAACCAGATATTATTTATTTATTTATTCTATTTATTCTATTTATATATAACATCAATATAATGATGAATAATGATTATAGTAGAGGGTCATCATTATCATCTTTATCATCATCATCATCGTTCAACAATAACAAAATGAATATGAATGAAGAGATATCAAAATTAGAGAATGGAATGAAATCATTATTAAAGGATTTGAATCAATTGAAAAGTCAAGTATTCTCTATATCCAACAACACCAACAATGGAAATATAAATGGACATTATCATCATCATAGTAATAATAATGGTATTGGTGGCGGCGTACATCATTTATGTAATAATTGTAAACAACAAATATCAACTATGACAATGACAACTGTATCTCCATCTATATCTACTATATCACCATCTTCATCAATGACATCAATTGTATCTAATAATAATAATAATAATAATAATAAGACATTTTTAAATTCATCAACACCTCCATCAACCATTACTTCACCTAGCTTGTTGGAACAACAAGATATTCTCAGTTTGACTAGTATCAATGGATCACCAATCTTGTCGTCGAGTGGAAAAGCACATAGCAGTTTGATATTGGGTAGTAGTCGAATGTCACGGAGCAACAGTAATTCAAATGTACCCAAACTACAACTCAAACAATTTCGGTCACAGTCAACTTGCTATCACGACAATACACTCATAAAGAAATGGATCGATGAGACTGTCGTCAACAAAGACAAACCAATCCCATCATCTATATCATCAACATCATTGTCTTCGATTGTTGGTGGAGCAGGAGCAATCAATTCCAATCATTCTACTTCTCCTGCTGGAATGGGATTGTCATCATCAGTATCATCGTCAACAACTTCATTTTCATCAAGTAACTCTTCTAAAAAGATAAAGTTGGATGTTGGAGGTAAATACTTTTCAACGACTGTTTCAACGCTGACTAAACACGCAGACTCGATGTTGGGTGCCATGTTTTCGAGTCGCTTTGAGTTGCCAGTCGATGATGATGGACGCATCTTTATTGATCGCGATGGCAAGTTATTTGCACATATCTTGTCGTATTTGCGTGACGGACCTGTGTGGCAGCCGCCCGAGAACGCAGATGTGCGTCGTAGGTTAGAGAATGAGTTTTGCTACTATGGCTTGAACAAGGCGTTTGGCGGGTCGCCCAACTCTGGCTTGACGAGCCCGAGTGCGACACCGCGGTGCGTGTGTCCGCTGCGCAACAGTGGTACCAACAGCGAGGTGCAGCTCGGCAACCTGTCCGAGACGTACAACATGGAGCATGTGGGCATCTGGCGTGCACTGGACGACTTTTCACCGAATATACGGTCGTTCCGCATGCTCGTGGCGATGAATGCGCACTTGTACGCCATCACGGAGCGTGTGGGCACTGCGCCGGGTGCACCACCAACCTTCCAGTTTGAAGAGTACTCGCCCACCCTCAACAACTGGAGTATACGCGCGCCGATCCTCGACAGCATGTTGTCGACGTTTTACATGGTGTCTGTGGTGGTCGGCGACTCAATCTACGCGATCCCTGACGCCGGCCTGCACCAGCCAGTCTTTAGATACGACCAAGCCGACGAAAAATGGCATACCACAGAGACGGCACTACCCACCAAACGCACGTCCTTTGCCATGACCGTCGTCGACGACTATATCTATGTGATGGGTGGGTATAAAGGGTCGTCTCCAACCGACATTGTCGAACGCTACCATCCCAAGAGTAACAGTTGGTGTAGTGTTGCCAGCATGTCGAGCAAGCGTGCCGAGTTTTCCGCCGCCGTCATTGACGACCACATCTACGCGATTGGCGGGTCTATCCCCAACTCGACTGTCGAGAAATTCAACCCTCATGCCAACCAATGGACGCTTGTCTGCAACCTGGCCAACAGCAACTCCAAATTTACAGTGTCGTCATCGGCCGTTCTCAACGCAAAGATATATGCCATTGGCTCGGAAAATGAATGCGAAGATCTCAACATTGTACTCCAATACACTCCAGAAACCAATCAATGGCGTCGTGTTGCTCCCATCCTCGGTAATTCTTATTATACAAATTCGGCTCTCGTCATTGACAGATTTATTTATTTTGTACCATGGAATTCATTAAATGTAAATAGATATGAATCTTGTTTAGAAATTGAAGAAGATTAAAAACAAACAAACAAATCAAAAGTAAAATAATAATAATTAGTAAATAGTAAATTTAATAGTAAAATAATAATAGATAGATAGATAAATAGTACAAGACAAACAGATAATATTTAGAGTTAGAAAATAACTCTAAAACAAAAGAATTCTTTTGGCAAAGAGAGAATAATATTATTTTTCCCCATCCCTCTCTCAACTCTCCATAAATTCTCAAGAGAATTCTTTTATAAAAAGATTAATAGAAGAATAAATTGATAAAAATTGTAATAATATCATACACCATATATATATGACAATAATCCATAATTAAATGAATCATAATTTATTATTATTTATTATTATTTCTTTGTTTATATAAAGATTTACTTTACTTTTTACTTTAATATTCCACGACGTCTTTCAGTGAATGGTGTAGTAGTATGATCACGATCACTAATATTATTATTATTATATCTATTGTCATTGACAACACTATTATTATTATTTCCAGCATTGTTAATACTACTACTGCCACCACTACCAATACTACTACCACCGCTACTACTACTGCTTCCAGTATCATATTGATATTTACCCATCATTTTTTGAAAAGAGTTATTTCCTTCTTCATGATTAGCTGATGGATTTAAAAAGATTCTCCATCCTGCTGGAGTTGCCACCTTTTGTTTCTTGGTTTCCAACTGTGCAAGAAAATCTTGTGCTGATTGATCTAGTTGCATATCTTCAGATTCATCCAAGTTGATCGTTGATTGATGATATTTTGATTTTGGTGTCATTATTGGTGGTTGTTGTTGATTGTGATTATTATTATTATTATAATTGGTATTTACATGTTGGTTATTAGTAGTAGCAAAAGAGGTGGTTTTATAATTCATTGTTGATGATTCATGATGATGATTCATTTTTGGTGTTGTGGGTTGTGCGGGTTGTTGATTTTGATTATGATTATAGTGATGATAAATTGGCGCTGGTTTTGAAGTTGGTATAGTAGGAGGAAGTGGTTGAATTTGAGTAGGTTGAGTAGGTTGAGTAGGTTGAGTAGGTTGAGGATTATATTGGTAATTATATTGGAAACCAGTTGGTTGTTGTTGTGGTTGTTGGGATGGATAATTTCTATTTTGATTATAATTAAAATTTAAATGACCGTTTGCACCTGTACTACCGTTACCATTAGCCTTTGAATAATAGTATGATGATGGTGGTGGTATATGATGATGATGATAGTTGTATGTTCCATGTTCATTGGATCCAGTACCAACTTTTTTGGCCAATTCAGCCAACTTTTTCTCGACTTGTTCAATCTTTGTTTCAACTGATAGTGCCAATGGATAAGTACTAAATGATTCACCCTCGACATCTCCCATTATACTATTACCACCGTTAAAATGTTTACCGCCATTAATACCATTACCATTACCAATAATTGAACTTGAATATTTATCCCTTTTCTCTGTTGGTTTTTGTTTATATTGTTGTTGTTGTTGTTTGTATTGTTGTTGATGTTGTTGATGTTGTTGATGATGACGTTGATAATCAAAATCATCAGAGTCTTGACTATCATCCTCTGTTGTATCTTGACTTGGATCGACTGATTTCTCTGATACATGTGCATTCCAACTAACCTTTTTCTTTACTGATGATGGTGGTGTTTGGTTGATTGGTTTTCCCAAACTAGTTGGTTGTGATTGTTGTTGTTGATGTGTTGGTTGGGATGGATAATCCTTTGAAAATATTAATCGATTTGGATTGATTGGGTCACCACCAACACCACCACCATTCGTGCCATTACCTCTAACTAAATCCTCGTCGATGAATAGTGGAGATGATATATTGGGTGTGGATGATGCCGATGAAGAGGAGGAAGAGGATGAGGAGGAAGTAGGAGTTGAATGCAATGATGCTGATGAATAAGAGTAGCCACCATTCTCAGAGCCGCCGTGTTTGGTGATAGTACTCCCACCGACGGGATTAGCAACCTCGTCAATCACCAGCGGCGATAGATTGTCGGCATAGATGATCTGAGTTGGTGCAGTTGGAAAGTCACCCTCTCCATGCAATGAGATCTGCTGGATTCTCGGGGTTGGATAGTCATCCGAGCAGATGGAAAGCAGTGCTGTAAACCATCCACCAGTTGGTGGTGTGAATGAAATGTGTCCTTCAAACTCTTCTCCAGGTCTTATAATTAATGGTAACTTGGGGACTGATGTAATTGAAAATGGTTGTATTGATAATGTTGATGATGACGAAGATGATGATGATGATGAGGAGGAATGTTGATGTTCTTGATTCAAATTTCTTGGTTGTTGTAAGAATAAATTTGTAATTATAAATTGTTTGTCGTCTGTATTGGCCACTATATGTGATGTGATGACAATCAACATGATTAATACTAATACTAATATAATATACTATAATACCTATTATCAGACATAACAACACATATATACTTACATCTAAATCGGACGGTTCTCTTTCGACCTACATGAATTCGATGGAAATCGATTCCTCCAATGATGACGACACCAGAGTTTGATGATCGTAGCATATAGCGACTTGCATCAACCAGTTGCTTACTACTACCGCTACCACTGCCACTACTACTACTCGTAGTACTTGCAGTTGTCGTCGATGAGGATGTCGATGACGATGATTTATGATGATGAGGATGATGATGATTCATTTGAGGATGATGATGATCATGAATGTCAATCATTCTCTCCTCTCATATATACTATACTATACTATTAATATATTGTATTATATGTATATATATATGTATATATATATATATATATATATGTACGATTGACTTTGACTATTCCACTATTAATTGAAGGATCCATTCATGAAGTTCTATATGTCTTCCCGCTCTTTTTTTTGTTTTTTTTTTTTCAAATTGTTATTCATGTGCACGTGCTTGAGTCTGGACCATTCATATTGTTTTATAATTATAATACCATAATATCCTTGCAAGATATGTTTGCAGTAATATTATTTCTTTAGCGATCTTGAGTAGGAAACTATACAACAAAAAGACAGGAATGAACAATTCAAGCATATCAGTTGATACAGGTAACAATGACGTCCGACCGAGTGAATTAGGAACCATTTAGTCAATCTAGAAAGCGCAGGATGGATACAAAGAATATGGCATGAATGATGCTACAGTCAACCCCATGGGAAATGACCATTTTCAATATTGGTCGTACACTAGGTGAAATGATAGAACTTGGAGTATGGTTTAGTGTCCACAATACCCTCGGAATCGACGACAATGTCAGATGATTTAAACCTTTAATTGGTTGCTCTGGGCCAATATAGATACTATCACAATACATTGGCCACCTCAAATTAAAGGTTTAAATCATACCGCGGTGGTAGATTAAAAGAAAGCTAAGATTTACTGTCCGACCTCCTCCTCCTCCTCTTCTTGCAATATTAATATCATTTTCAAGAAAAATTCTCGATCTTGAGGACAAGCAAGCAAGTCATTTTACAACAAATTTCATTTCATAATAATTATGTATAGGTACACATAGGATATATAGATAGATAGACAGACAGACAAACATTGTCGATCAGTAGAGATAGGATGTTGTCAAATTTAATATTATTACAAATAATCGATGGAATAGAGAGCAATGTCGATTTGATGTGTTTGTTGATGACATGTAAAGTTGTTTCAAGAGTTTCCAATCAACTATCAAGATAGATTGTACTTTAGAAACGTGACGATTGCCGACGAAAATGACCACCTCTTTATCAACCATCAACTCGTTCAAGCATCTGAATGCTTTCACCTCGGTTCGTTTCGTGCCATGTTTGACACACCCTTTCAAAATGATAATCATCTTGCCTACACTAGACAAACGTATTATGATCCTATTGGAACCGGTAGTACCGGCTTACAAAATGTTTCAACTCGTCTATTGAATCATCATAATCAACATGATCATGATAATGTACATCAACAACAACAACAACAACATTCTTCTCTCAACACAAATAATAATAATAGAATTAAAACATTTATATTGTTGACAGCAACAACTGATGTTTGTTTAGTACCAATATCCAACCCAAAGAATGTTAGTCATTTATACTCATCCGATTAGGAATCATAATTGGTTCTCTGATTACCAATTTCCAAAAGGGTTGAAACGATGGACAACCAATGCTTTAAACAACTTGAATCGTAATCAACCATCACCTACTATTGAACAATTGCGAGTCATCAATCCAGAGGTATCATCATCACTTGAAGGTGAAGAGGTTGAAGAGCCTGGAATGACAATTATCAACGCTTCACATCTATGTATTCCACAAGCACCCCTCCACACCATCTACACCGATGATCTAGTGTTGACGAGACTACACGAGCTTGTAGTTTGGCCACCAACACTCACATCGCTCACCATACACACGTATGAAGTCAAGTACCCTCTGCCAGTGTCACTCTCTCACTTGGATATCACCTTTTTTCAAGCTTATGCCCCCTTTCAATTGAATCTAGAGTATCTTTGTAACCTTAGCAGTTTATCGGTCGTTTGCATGTATGACTCTTACAATCTTGTAGGGAGTGACCTGACACTACCATTTTCACTGACCAAGTTGTCGATTGGAGAGTTGGGATCACAAGTCAACAAACACTGGTTTCCTCCGGGTCTACTTTACCTCGACATCAAAGACACCTACCTATCTCCAAGTCTTGGTTCAATGCTACCACCAAAATTACAATACATTAGAGCAAGATGTGACACACCACTTTTACCCAGTCTCATACCAATGTCTACTCTTTTACATGTAGATATCTCCTTTTACGATGATGGTTTGTTAGTACCAGACTCGTTATCACATCTTCTTCAACTAGAAACTCTAAGTTTGACTTATTGTAGCAACACACTATCACAAATCAACCTACCAACAACTATAAAGCAACTTTATCTTCATAGTCATCAAGACACCAGTATGATGATGGAATCATTCTATTTACCACCAATAGTAGAATCATTTACTTGGACACCACTCAACCTTGATTGTATTTCACCAACACATTTCCCAACAACTCTAACAACTATTGATTATAGTGGAATGCATAAACAAACACCAATCAATTCATTTAATCTTCCAGAATGGTTAGTGTCATTTAGTTATTCATCTCTTCAATCGAGACCGCTCGATGATGATCCAGACTCAACAATAATATTATCACTTCCCCAAAATATTAATATCATCCCAACACCAACAGATAATAGTAAAAGTATGACTAGTCAAACATGTACATACCCATTCTTACAATTAAAAAGATTAAAAAGGTTGGAATTAGTATTAAACAATGGAACATTTAATCGTAAATATGGAAGGTTTAGTATTAGAATCGATCATATTATCAATCAAAGTCATTGTCGACAATTTATAGTTTCAAGAGGATCGACCACTCTATTACAATTTGAAATTAGAAGATTAGATCCAAAGAATGCAAGTGTAATGATCATTATAGATAATTCATTACTTGGTGGTATTATAACACAAAAGATAATTAATAACAACATCGACGACATTGTATCACCTGACTACAATGATGAAATGATACCATTATACCAACCTTTATATATCAACTATGAAGATTCTACAAATTCATCAAAGAATGTTAAACTATGTGATACTCCACATAATGATAATAATAATAATAATATATCTAATGAATAAGATGAAAGGATAGATCGATAAATAATAATAACTATAAAGTTTTGAAGACATATGTGCATGGACCAGGACAAACCAACTGCACATTTGTCGTGGACACGACAGTGCAGACGAAAACTTGAAAATTAATAATAATAATAATAATAATTCAAAGATCTTTTTTTTATATATGCGCACCAGTCTTTGGTTTTAAAGACACCCAAAAAGGACAGAGAATCTCAAAGTTATTAATAAAGCAACTCAAAGTTGAAAACATCACATGATGCCATCGATGACAACAGTTCATACAATGTCTCAAAACCGTATCACATCAGAGAGTTTTGGTTTTTTTTAGAAGGTCGGATGAACTACTTTGAAAAGAAGGGGCAATTCTCGATGACAACACCTCAGTTTTAAATTCAACAACCCCCACAAATATAAATACAAATAAATGAATGATGTTGTCTTAAACCAACACTACACAAACAAATACAAATACAAACCAATCAATTCACTAAAAAATATAAAGAGAGATAAAAAAAATATTTATATATAAATATTTATAGAAATAAATGTCCACAACAACATCTATAGCAGATCAAAGATATTACCTTGATATAAATCATATCAATGGATTTGAAGAGGAACAACCAGATGGATTAAAAGGATTGATTGAATCGTTTGATTATCAATTACTCATGTTTAAACTAAATCATGTCATCAAAGCATATAAACAACAATGTATACAATTACTTGCTGGAACGGTCATTGCAATCATTCCATTTGTCATATTTTTAATCATCCAAAATAGAACTCAAATGATTATTGCATCAGCAGGTCTAACTTTAAATTTTGTTGGTGGTATTGGAATGATCATTTATAAAAATAAGCAAGTATGTAGAAAGTATTTGGAATGATATAAATTTTGGAATGGAAATATTAATATTTATCTAAATAAATTAAATTTAGATTAGAAAATCAGTTGAAGATGATTTACTAAAATTTACAAATAGATATTTGGCACAGGGAATATCATTTACATTGGAAAAATACCCAGAACCTAAAAGTTTGTTTTGGGAAACTGTCATTCATATCCATTCCACTAGAATCAATATTACTGTACAAAAACAATCAAATTCTTTAAGATCTTCATTATCATTATCATCATCGTCGGGAATTAAAAGGAGTGGTGGAAACAATAGTGGAAATGAAGCGATTATTGATGTTCATGAATTATCATCACCATATACTTCTATACAAACTTCAAATGATAAATTATCTCTATTATCATAATATATATATTATTATTATTCTTTTTCTTTTTACTCTTTTCCATTTATTTTGAAAAAGTTGGTTTTTGAATATTCCACTTATTAAATAATAATTCATCTTCTAATTTGTCTTGTACCATAAATACTGATGATGTCTCTGGTGAAGAATAGGTATTGGCTATTTGCAAGGCCTCTAATTTGTCTTGTTCACCAAGTTGGATATTAAGAATTTCAAAGTAAAATTCCTTCATTCCCAAAGATAGATCAGTCTCGCTATACTTTAATCCACTAATATTATTATTTATACTATTTAAATTATTTTGCCATTGTTCATAATTTACACTATGAAATTCTTGTATTCTTTCTTGAATTGACATTTCAATTTGCTAACAATTTAAGACAAACAAACAAACAAATATTAGTAAAACTAATCATAATCTATATAGTAATATATAATATTTAATAAATACCTGAGTTGTTTCAGTTGATGGTAAATCATTTTGAGGTGTTAACCAAATATCATTAATTCGAAGTGGTACCTCTAAATAAATATCAGTAATGATTCGCATATTATTCATTCTCCATTTCTTTGCCAACCATGGAATTAAATTTTTAATCAGTTTCAAACTATACAATCTTATCGATATTTGATTAATATGTGTCCATTTCTTTAATATATTCTAAAAATAATAATAATAATAATTATTAATAAAGGATTATAATTATATTTGTTTTTGTTTTACATACAACAGATTTAGTAGGAGCAATAGAACAAATTCTAGAAGGTAAATTTTTCGATAATTTTTGAAGGATTCTTAAAATACATATAATAGAGAAATAATTTCTCCAACACTCTGCTGTGATTAGACTTGGATCAATTGGATAAAACTCATCACTTGCCATAAAATTATGAGCCGATAAGAATTTCTCTGGTGATTCTTGATTTAAATATTTAAATAATAAAATTAATCCATTTCCATCAATCATAATTGATGATAAATTATCAAATTGAATTAAATCTAAAGATAAATAAATTAATTATTAATAAATATATAGTTTTTCTTTTTCTTTTTTCTTTTTTTTGTTACATACGATTAAATTTTGAATGTTTTAAAAGTAATAATAAAATACCAACTATATTTTTCATTATAATTTCTTTGTGACGTAATAAATCTACAGTTGATTGCATTGTTTCAACGAGTGATGCAGAACTTCCGGGTGATGAATCTATAATAATCTCGGCCATCAAGTTTATATTACCATTATAATTTTGTTCACATGCCAATAATATCTTTTGAAGTAAAAATATTATAATATGCATTTCATTTAAATTTAAACTCTAAACAAACAAACAAATTTAAATTAATAATAATACTAAATAGTTGTCTCTTTTAAAAACATACATAAAACTTTTCAAATGGTAATAATGTATCTCTTTCTTTTTCTTGTTCCTTTTCTTTTTCTTCTTTTTCTTCTTCTTGTTGAAGTAGAATTCTTGGTTTAAAATGATCATCATCAATTCTATTCATTGAAGGATATCCAATCTCTAATTCAACTTGTAGAGGTGGATACATATTTTTTTCCAATACATTTAATGAGTCGGATAGTGCACTTGGTAATCTAAATAGTTCGTATTTCTTTGTTGTATCTTTAGAGTTTACATTTAATAAATGTGTTTCTACTCGATGTAATTTAGAATGTTCCATATGTAAATGATGGAATCTAGTCGTTCCCTTTATAAAATTTGATATATCTTTACTACTCGTTTTCGGTGTATCTAGATCATAATTTAATTTCTTTAATCTATCTTTTTTTAATTTATCCAATTCTTTAAAACCTCCCAATGAAATAGTTAATGATTTTCTAAGTACCATTAATATCTAAAATAATAATAAATATTAATATTCATTTATGTATGTTATGTTATGTTTAGTTTACCTTTTTAATTGGATGAATATTTGGAGTAATATGACCAAACTCTTGAACTAAATCCAACATGATTGATATGATAGTTTGTGAAGATTGTATATCGATATTTTCATTAATGTCGCCAATGAATGATTTATCATCTTGATGTGCAACAATCATTAGATAGATTGTATTTAACAATGAGTTCATTAATGCATCAGCCTTTTTACTATTGTTTAATTGTTGTTTTAATGTGTTTCCTCCTCCTCCTGCACCACCTCCACCTCTTTGATGTTGAGATTGTTGTTGTTGTTTTGGTACTGATAAAAGGTTACTTGTATCTTGTTGAGGAGGTGATTGATTTTTTTGAATATGTGATAATGACATTCTAGAAAAACATAAATCAACTTTTGTAAATATAAAATATCATATTATATCATTTTATATCATGTGTGTTTATTGTAACATACTTTGAAGCCATTAATAAAGATTTTAAAAGAATAGGGAGTGCATTTGAAGCTCTGAGTAATTTACAATTGTTATATGATGCTTGAAGAGATGATTGAACGGTTTGAATAGTGATTTGAGAGTAATCGATTGCTCCTTGAGCTATAAACATGAGTAATCTTGATTTCAATAGATATCTCTGATACGGTTCATCAGTCTTGTTTGATCCAGCTGACAATTCCAATTGACTCAACAGACCTTGAATATAATCCAATTTATCATTCTCTTTTAATTGATTCCATTTCATTTCATTCTTGTTACCTAGAAACATAATAATAACATTAGATATCGATCTCCAATCACAACTAATCTTTATCTTTCATCTATACATACATGAATAAAGATCATTATTTAATAGATTGAATAAATCTAGTTTCTTGTATAACAGTAGTTCTGTGTAAGAATATAATTCATTGATTTCATTGGTTGTAAGATCATTATCATTGAATGTGAATCCGCAACCATCATCATTGTCTCCTTCACCTACTTGATGACTACTTGACTGATGATGATGATGATGATCTTCTCGAGTTGACAGAGTTGGTGATATTGTCGACATCACTTCCTTTATCTACACTACTCTATATATCTATCTACTGACTACTCTATCTGTAATTCAATGAAAAAATGATGATCTTCGCAAAGATGCACTTGTGTGTGGTTTGCTGTGATGATGTAAAGTTTTTTTTTTTTTGTTTGTTTTATTTGTTTTGTTTGGGTTTAAAGAATATATCTACAATAATCAAATTCGATGGAATGAGTTATGGGTAAGTGATGGGGGGAACTAGACTATACTAAATAGTAGTGTAATACTAAATACACAATTTACAAAAGATTTGGTTGGGTGGGTGGATGGAATATATTATTTGTTTTTTGGTTGTTGTTGGTAGAGTTGAATTGTTGAGTTGGTTGAGTTGACATATATACATCAAAGTGATTGGATTTGAGTGAATCTAATTTAATAACCAGAAGCCAAGATTTCTTGTAATCTTCTGTTGTAGGTTCTGCAGGTAGAGAAGAATCCAAGGTTGTTAGAGATACACTTTTTACTGCCAGTTTGTTGACAGTCTTGGAGTCTGTTGACAAAGACCGAGAGACAAGACTCATTTCTAAACTTGAGTAATGAGATTTGCTTCAAACGGTTGCATTCCTTATCACCATCGGCACACTTGACAGCTTGCATACATGGGGCCAACAAAGCAATCGAATTATCATTCTCAAGAATAGCTAATAAAAGTAAAGTAAAAAAAAAAAAAAAAAAAGAAAAGAAAAGAAGGGGAAAGTATTAATATTCATATCATTGATCAAGTTTATAGTTATATTTAAATTTAAATGTCTATGTCTTACCCTTTGTATCATTAATAACCTTTTGAGTTAGGAAAGTTTCATTCTTGTCTTTTTTGTCCTTTTTATCTTGTTTGTTCTTCTTTTTATCTTCTTTGTCCTTGGATTTGGTTTCTTGCTTTTCCTTGTTCTTGAGTTCCTTGTCCTTGTTTTTGAGTTCCTTCTTTTCCTTTTTCTCCTTTTTCTTTTCTTCCTTGGTCTTTTGTGGCTCTGACTTGTCCTTGTTCTTTTTGTCCTTTTTGTCTTTCTTGTCCTTCTTGTCCTTCTTGTCACCCTTGCCATTCTTCTTTTCCTCCTTGTCCTTGTTCTTTTTGTCCTTTTTATCCTTTTTCTTTTCCTCCTTGCCCTTGGTCTTTTCCTCCTTGGTCTTGTTCTTTTGCTCCTTCTTTTCCTCCTTTTCCTTCTTTTTGTCCTTTTCCTCTTCACCCTTGAGGAAACGGAGTTCGGTGGCGGCTTGCTTCTTGGACAATTCAGCAGGCTCAAAGCTGACGCCGGCCAACGAGATCATCATCTTGGCAAACAACGAGCATTGCGAGATGGCATCACCCTTAAAGTTTTGGATGTACTTTGTGAATGCTGATGCTGGTGGCAATGATGCAGCGACTGGTGCAGCTGGTGTAGCAGCAGCAGCTTGAGTTGATGATGAAGATGATGATTGATTATTTGATTCGTTAGTCATTCTAGATTATAGATTCTCTTTCTCTCTTTTTTTTTTAAATAAATAAATAAATAAATAAATAAATAGATAGTTATAAACTTTGAAATGAAAGTGATGATGAAATGAACTTTGAAGTAGGAAATAGCTTGCAATTGTGTAAAAAAATTAAATTTGATTTTATAAATATTTTTATTTTTGGTAAGCCCCAGTTTGGTGAACCTCACACACACAGGCATGTTTTCATCATTCATTATTTTATTTGAACAAAATATCTTTCATGGCATCCATTTTTCGCAAGTAGAAGTACTTCAGATGAAATACATATAATTTTTAAATATTTTTATTTTTTATAACATTTATGAAAAAGAGGAGGAGCGAGGTGACGAACTTTGACGATGTGTGAAATGTGAAGAGGGATGTATGTGTAGTTATTTGTTTGTTTGTTTGGGTTTGGGTTTGGTTAGATTTTAAAGACCAGATAGTACTGATCAATGTATCAAAGATTATCTATCTATCTATCTATCTATTTCCATGACCACAATATGGAACACAATGTTTTCGTAGTATGTCTGAAATGGAAGAGGACTGAAATGTAAATGTAGCTGTAATGGTTGAATCGTATTTACTGATGATTAAAACATAAACTTGTTTTTTCTTGTCAAATAGTCTAATTTGTAGTATGGTTTTGGAATGTCGACATTGCCTAAGTACTCCCAAACGATTGCTTGCAAGTAATGCCTTTTCAAAAGATATTACATTTCTTTTGTTTCTGGCAGAGGATAGTGGAAGTTCCAAGTAGAAATCATACCAAGGTATAATTGGATTGTATATACCAACCGTCTGTAGATTACTATTATTTGGTAGTTGACTAAAAAAATGTTTGTTGTTGTGGTGGTAGTGTCGGGTTGACTCGGTGGCAGCGTTGGCGATACTATTAAATATTTGAGGTATTCCAATATGACGTAGATTTGGTAATTGATTAAAAGGTATTGAAATAGTACTACTACTACTACTAAAAAGTTTGATATTTAATATTTCCAATGATGATGATGATATAGATGGTAATTGATCAATTGTATCTTGATCATAATATTTTAGAAATACTTTTTTTAATCTTGATTGGCTTGGTGGTGGTGGTGGCAATTGTCCATCATCATCATCTTGTTGTGCATTATTGTCTGCAACAATAATATTTAATTTAAAAGTACTGTGACAATATAGATGCTCCAAATGATTGGGTAGTGGTTGAGGAGTAAAACATCCTTCCAATGTTTTGAGGGATACAGGTAATGTAGAGTACATGTCTACGATGACAGGTGGAGCCATTCCACGGAATTGCAACTTGCGTAATCCTTCTGGCAACCAACCATGAGGTATGGTTTTGGAGGGTCTTGAAAAGTTGTTTGAATAGTATGATCCATCACCAATAGTGAGTGCAATGAGTGACGGTGGTAATCGTATCTCTGAGATATCTATCTGGTCGGCAATACCCTCTATATACAAGTATCGCAATGACTTGAAAACCGTCAAATCACACGATGAAATGATCTTGGTGAGAACTAATCTTGGCAATGAATTGAAATAATAGTCTCTGTCCCCTAACGATATTAGGTTAAAATCATTGGTTGCAAGATATAAACAATCAGCATTAGCTGTCGTTGAAGCAGTAGTAGAAGTAGTAGCAGCAGTAGGTGTAGTACCGACTACTACATGACTAATTAAACTTCTTCTTAGGTCAAAGAGACGATGACATGTAGCATGCAAACATATTCTTTCAATATCCAAATCAATCTGTTGAATGATGTATCTAATTACTACATTTGGTAATTGCAATAAATTGAATTGTACAACTAATTCTTCTTCTTCTTCTATGTCTTCTTCTTTTTGTTCTACAGTAGCTATAGTACCACCAAGACGATTTAAAATAGAATCAAATATACGTCTAAACATTCTGTCTATTCTATTCTATTCTAACTAATTATATATATTTTTATTTTTTAATAACTTTTGAAAAAATGACTATCTTTGAAGATTTGTGAAATGAAGATAAAGTATGTTGTAGTTATTTGTTTGTTTGGTTTGGTTTGGGTTTGGGTTTGGTTAGATTTTTTAAAGACCTTGATCCATATCATCTACATGACCAGATAGAACTTGACGTAGATGAGTGATTTCAGTACGTTGGTCAGAGATGATATGTTTGACAATATCACCGATTGAAACGATACCAACCAACTTATCACCATCGATCACGGGAAGATGACGGAATCTACGTTGTGACATAATCTTCATGCACTTTGCAGTCGACGTGTCCAATCTAACAGTGACAACTGGTGTGGTCATGACATCTTTGACATAGGTATCCTTTGACTTGAGGTCACGTACTGCCAACGAGTTTAGGTAATCTCGTTCACTAAAGATACCGGTCATCTTGTTTTGTGAATCTACAACAATGACAGCACCGACCTTGTTGGTATGCATCTGTTTGATGGCGGTTAATACGGTATCATTCTCTCGCACTCTAATGATATTGGGAGCTTGTTGACCTTTGAGAGGAAGACCCTTTTGTGCTAGCAACGATGATATCTTGCTGTCTACAAACCCACTAGTATGCTTTTTATGCGTCTTGTCCAATTGCATCTCCTTGACAGATGAAAGAATCTCCAAATCCGATGGTGTCACTCGGATCATAGTTCTTGTAGATCCAATTTCAAAATCTGGAATTCTCTCCTATAAAATATATAAGAAATGATTATTAATATATATATTTGTATGTTATATATTTAATACTAACCATTAATCTTGTATTGGATTGAGTAAAAGATGGCTTAAAACATTGTGGTGAAGATGTTATTAAACCTTGTTGTTTGCTAATATATGGATAAAATCTAAAGAAATTGTTTGGTTTCATTTCTCTCTATCTCTATCTCTATCTCTAAATAGAATAGAATTAAAATAAATATAAATACAAAGAAAATACTAATAATAATAATAATAATAATAATATTGAAGGGAATTAATAATAATATTAATAATAATAATGAACAAGAGGGTCGAATTATATTAGTAATAGTACTACTTCATATTGGGTTTTATAAATTAATTTTCTTGATAGGTACAATTCGAATTGCATGTGTGTTCATTCAATACCAAAAAGAGAAGAAGGTGGGGTGTTGAAGTTGAACATAACAGTTTCATTTTTGAATCTTATGAACTCTCTCTAATAGATAATTAATTATCTGTTTCCATCCATCCATCCAGAATCTTTCTTTCTACTTTGAATTAATTATTATTTATTGATTTGATTGTTGGGATAATGGGAAATTAATTATTATGTTCAAAAGGGTCGCAAAAAATGTGGATCATCGGGATTCTCAGTTTTATCTCTCTCTTTTAAGGTCAAGTTATTCATTCATTCATTCAGTTATATATTGTCACAAATAAAGATAATATGAATATATCGTGAATGGAAAGCAACTCCTCCTCCCCATCAAATACTAGTACGAGTACAACCACGACAACTACGACAACTACTACTTCGACTACACAGACATCTCCGTCATCGACATCATCATGTTGTAAGAACAGTAGTAGTAGACAACCACATCAACATGTATCTGCACAACACAGTCTTAGAGTGATGGCAGATATCAAAGATATAGATGAAATTGAAAAGCATTCTAAATATATGAGACTTGCAATTGAACAAGTAAGTATAGTTATACAGTATACATTTGATCGAAAAACAAAGATATTGATATTCATTCATTTTGTAGGGATACATAGCTTTAAATGAAGGAGAAGTACCTGTTGGTTGTGTTATTGTTCATCGTAATGGTACCGTTATTGCAAGAGGGTTCAACAAAACTAATATTAAAAAGAATGCAACAAGACATGCTGAAATTGAAGCTTTGGATAGTATTTACCTAGACAATGTTAATAATTATAATAATAATAATAATAATAATAATAATAATAATAATAATAATAATAATAATAATAATAATAATAATAATAATAATAATAATGGTCATCATCAACATGTTGATTTAAATGGAATAGATATTCATAGTGAAGATTTATTATCTGAATGTACATTGTATGTTACAGTTGAACCTTGTATCATGTGTGCTGCTATACTTCAATTGTCAAAGATTGGAATGGTTTATTTTGGATGTTATAATGATAAATTTGGAGGCAATGGATCTATCCTCCCTATACACAATGCTACCTGTGTCGAGAATGGACACCCTTACAACTGTGTATCAGGGTTACTCAAAGATGAAGCTGTTTATCTATTACAAAAATTCTATTTTCAAGAAAACAAAAAAGGTATGAAAAGCAAATCATAGTCTATTATCTAAACCTGTGATATAAATACTAATCATTTATTAATAAATATAGCTCCAACACCAAACAAAAGAAAAAAGGTTGATCCAGACACTGTCAAAAATAATGAAAAGTTTAATGTAAATAATAATAATAGTAATAATACCTCGACAACAACGACAACAACAACCAACCAATAAATTAGTTGTTGATTCCAAAACCAAAATGGACTAGACTGGATATGAAGGAAGATCTGGATATTGTAAAACAAGTAAAGATAATCAAGGGAGGAAAAGAACAAAAACAAGGTCAGGTCTACTCTTGGATTCTTTTTTAAAAATTGTAAATATATATAATATTATTATTATTGGGTGTGTTTAAACAAAGTATACTTCTTTGTGGAAGCGAACGAATGGAATTAATTATAATTATTGATTATTTGTTATTATAACTAGTTGAAATTTCAAAGCTGGCAATAATTGATTTTTTCAATTCCATGGAACGAAATCCCATCCAGATCTAAAATCAAGATCTTAAAGATAATCATTGTTGTGTTGACGTGGACAATTGGTTTACTCCTATTTAGAGTATTGGTGTACTGTACAATAATATTTTAATTTAATTATTTTTTTGTCGTACAATTGTACCCATTTACGTCCGAAAAGACAAAAGGGTAAATAGTATTGGGGCGAATTCGTCAGAGAATCTTCATGACATCAAGATTGATTCATGTAAAAAAAATCTTTGGAAGCAATTGATTTTTTCGCAAGTTTAAAAATATCCTAATAGGAATGAGGCCAAACTAAACCACCCAATCAGTTTTATGCTTAAACAAGAAGGCCACATCATCATCAACTTCACCTTGGTGATAATCTATCTCATTTATTGAGGAAAAAAAAAAATAGATAGATAAAAATATGAATAGTATTGTATTGCTATTACTGTCACTGATTTTTACTTGGTGTCAGCCATCACAGTCACTCTTACAATCAGAAAGTATGTGTTATATCATAGTATATATTTAAACAACCATTATTAATAACTATTTATATTTATTATTATTATTATTATTATAATTATTATTAGTTGACTCTGTTATTTTTATACTTAGACAGTATGGGTCTACAATAGGACAAACTGAACAAGACATATGTAACAGTACACAAATACAATGCATTGGGGATTATGTTAATTCAATGTATGTATGGTGATGATGAATGTTAGATGTTGACTACATTCACTCTATTTTTTTTATTTTTTTGATCAATATCTATCTTTGCAGTGTGCAAAATCTTCTAAAGATATTAATACCCTCCACTATTATTGTCTTTTTTTTTTAGATCATTGAAAATAGATCAATATCAAGATGTTGGACCTGTTAATTCATCAATTCAATCATTAGATCTATTCTTGATAAGATCAATAGAGATTTATTCAAGTGGACAAGTTAACGACCGATCAATCAATCTTTTTACAATTCTAAATTTAGGAGTTGGCTTTACTACATCAATTCTGTAAGTTCTTTCACTATTAATAATAATAAGATCATACGATTACTAATCAATCAAAATTATTTATTATTTTTTTTAATTTTATTGATAGAATCAAGAATGATCCAAGTTTTACAACAATTCCAAGTATATGGGCACGATTAAATAATTTTGTACTTGTTGATATCTTGGATTGTCCACTGACTGATTACTCACCATTGTTTAAACTCGCTAGGATTACGTATATCACTATTCAAGTACCAGACTCTGTCTCTGGCTTGACATTTTGGACTGGACCCTTACTATCGTACTCTTTGACAACGATCACCATTAGTGCTCTGAATCTACCAAACAATTTAAACATCACGACAGAAAAGTTTGCCTCATTGGGAAGTGTCACTCTCAAATCCTCAACCAATTCTATCATCACTGTCTACATGACTGGATTCGGTCAAGTAACATGTACCAATTCAGCAAATGGAGGTTATAATTTAATAATTCAAAATCAAAGTATACCTTTTAATTTGTAAGTACCAAACTAAAAATATATATGTCCATTTATATATATATATATATATATATATATATATATATATATATATATATATAACACTATACATTACAATTAGGTTAATTATTTTATTTTTTATTTGTTATTTTTAGGGCTATTTCAGGAAAATCAACTATTGAACCTCCCATTTCAAGATATTATACAAACTTGTTTGGATTAAATATGGAGAATGTGACTGGTGGTACTTATCCATTATTCGAGTTCCCGCCATCATTGAAATATCTTCGTCTTGTCAATAGTCTCTTTGGTATTTGGAATTTGACTGTTCCCGATTATGTTGAGAGTTTGTATGTTTGTAACATTTCATTAAAGATCTTTGATTATCAAACATCATTCTAACTAAATATAATGATACAATTATTTTAGAGTATTAACAAAAAATGGTTTGACAAGTTTAGATTGGTCATTATTCGATCAAGCAGTAAAATTAAATCTTGATGTTTCCAACAATCCATTATTAGGAGGACCTTTACCAGAAAGCATGTGTTACAAACGACAACTTATCATCAATAATACATTGTTTACTCAATCAGATGTTCCAATGTGTTATTGGTGTTATATAAAGGATACAATTAAATCACCTCTTACAACTGATCTTATACCCCCAACAACAAATTTAACATATTGTAGTAAGTATAGCTCATAGACAGAATAATAGATAGATAGAATGAACAATAGTTAACTATTTCTTTTAATTAGAACCAAAAGTAGATACTCCAGTGATCATTACTCGAAATGGAGGTGGAAGAATAATTGGGAGATCTCTTGGGTTTGGAATGTTTTATGAAAAATTAAATGCTTCTATAAGATATAGTCTAGATACATTCATTCCAACAATACAATTAAAGTAAGTTAAACTAAATAGTAGATAGATAGATAGATATGATTCATTGAAGGGGATGAAGAATTAATTATATCAACTATGATTATTTTTTTTAATTTATAGTTTACAATTTATATCACCACAATTAAAATTTTATGGACCTCCTCAACCTATCAATTTGATGTTTTCACCATTTTATCCAGAGTATAATCAAACAGTCATGGTAATGGAAGCAGGGATTATTATTTCTAGTTCATTTGTAACTAAAATCGGTCAGAATGCTGTAAGGATCAATTCATCCATGTCAATATTCAACGACTACTTGCCACATACAATCATGTTAAACTCTACCATTCCATGTCCAGTTACCATCCAAACCAGTAAATATATAGTTTGTCAAACTTCTTCCTTTTTACAAGAAGGTGCACTCAATTTTACCCTTTCAAATCAATACTCTTCCAATTCAATTTCAATTTATAATAATAATAGTATGTAATAGTTTAAAAAAAAAAATAGATAGAAAAAAAAGAAACTTTAAAGTTGATTAATTAATTTTTAATTTTATTAGGTGTACCATTAATAACATCGGTAGCATATAACCCAAATAATAGAAAGAATGTTACGATATATGGTGAATTTGGTAAAAGTGTGTTCCAACCACCAACAGCCAAAATCAATGATTCAATACCATGTTATGTAATCACTTTTGAAGAAAGAAGAATCAATTGTTTGATGGCAAGTGAACCAACCAGTGGTGTAGCAAATATTTCAGTCACTGCAGATTATGTAGAATATATTGGTGTGTCAATGCTTTATTTCTCTCCACCACCTCGGTCACAGAGTCAATGTCAAGCACAAACTTTGAATTGTCACGGTCACGGTCAATGTAATATAAATGGTCTATGTGAATGTGAACCAACTTATAATCAAAATGATGATTGTAAAACTAGATGTAAGAAATACTACAATATATATTTGAATAATTCATATATTAACAGTTGTTTGTTTGTTTATATTTTATTTTATTTTAGTTACAAATGGTACCATTTTTAATGCAAATTCAACATCACCAAAGAGTTCATTTGATATTGATGGGATTACATTTGCTTTTGAATTGGCATCAATTCAAGAATTAAATATCGATGGAAATGTATTAAAAGAGTTGCTTACTAGTAATTGGACTTTTAATCTATCAAAGAGTGATGATTTGACGCTTGCAGTCTATACATTACAGCAGACTGACAATTTCCAAGGTGTAGAAGTGGTTGCCAACATTTCATTTTCAAGTCAAGCAAGAGAAGTTCCATTTGGTACACAAATACTCCAAATTAATCCCAATTCAATCAAGATTGCAGTGAGTGTAAGCAATTGGAATTACACCTATGTTTTATCGACTCTACAAGTTGTATTCAGATCGGTCATTGATAACAGTCAATTGGGTGATGGGTGTGGTGATAATGGAAATGAATTTACCTATGATCAGTATGGATCGACACTACAGTATCTCCGAGTTGTCAAAGACAATGTACAATTTAGTGGTCGGTTCATTGACTTTGCATTGTCTGATGGTAGACCAACCTTTTCAAGAACCAAAGTAATTAATCAAACTTCTGTAGTCTCCGACTCCTCGAGTGATGATGGTCAAGACCTATCGATTATTATGATTGGTATTGGGTTACCTCAATGTAGACAATGTGTTCTTGATCCAGACTTTACACCATTATTAATCGATCAGTCACAACAATGCAACACCCAATCAAAAGAGAAATGGGGTGTCATTGTAGGCTCTGTAGTCGGTGCAGTTGCAGGCGCAGCACTTTTAGTTGCAGTATTTGTAGTAATCAAAAAAACAATCAACTCTCATCAATTCCTTCAAAATGTAAATATTAAACTTGGTGCTGCAAAACAAAATGGATCTTTGTAATTTAATCAATAGATAGAAATAAATAAATAAATTAAAACTCTTGTATATTATTATTATATATTTTTTTTATATCTTCTTTCCTTCTTCTACTTCTACTTGTTCTTGTTCTTTGTCCTTATGATTTAATTCAAATAGATTTTCATAATATTTAAAGATGGTATTACATTCAACATCAGCTTGTAATTTGGAACAAACCAAGAAACAACCAGATAGTTTACGGTGAAGTGAATAGGTTTCCTCGGGAGGTGGTTTCAAACGATTCTTTAGCATCACTGGAATGAGCTCTGTGATTCTATTCGATATACGTTTGGGCATGAATGGGTATGGTTCTTTAGAGGCAAATGGTTCAGACAGAATCATCACTGCCTTGGCCTGTGCATCTCGCATCGCTTCATTCTCATCACCCGTAAAATACCCAACTTTAAATGAATAATCCAGTATCTTTTTCTTATCCATTTCCACTCCACCCTGAATACACTTGAAATAATTATAAATAAATGGATTACCATATGATCTACATGCTCCAAAATCAAGTAAGTTAATCTAAAATGTAAACAAACAAGAAATAGATAATTTAATATTAATATTAATAAATAAATAAATGAATGATATATTTACTCTTTTCTTTTCAAAATCTAAAATAAAGTTACTCCAATTTGGATCAGTTTGCATGAATTGGAATTGAAATAATTCGGCGAGACAGAGGGATAGGAGATTACGTGATACCCAATCTCTAGTCTTTTGGTTATAGTTTACAGTATCGATTTGGTCGATTGATACACCATTGATAAATTCAGTGGTGAGGATACGTTTGGTACTTAGATGATCAATAATATCTGGTACGTAGAAATGTCTTAAATGTGGGTTATTACTTGTTTCCAATTGGTGTTTCATTCGTCTCTGATTATCAGCTTCGTGATGGTAATCTGTCTCTTTGAGTAACTCTTGTCTAGCCGATTCAAGTGAATACTCGATGTAGCCAGTTTCCGGTGCAACCATTTTCAACATGGACAATAGTGTTTTAATATCACTTGTGATACTATCCGCTACACCTGGGTATTGCACCTTTACAGCTACTTCTCTACCGTCTGTTGTAACTGCTCGATGTACTTGTCCAATTGATGCAGCTGCAATTGGTTGTTCTTCAAATGTTTGAAATAATGATCTCCAATCCACACCCAACTCTTTCTCCAACGTTGTGTAAAGTTGGTCAAGTGGCATTGGATTAGCATTCTTTCTAACATCTTCCAACATCTTTACAAAATTGGCAGGTAGAACTGATTCATCTTGTATACTAAGTACTTGACCTATTTTCAATGCAGTTCCTCTCATTCTTGAAAATGTCTCTGATAATCTACTTGCATTAGATTCATTAAATAATGGATGTGATTGTTTGTTATTGTTGTTTCCATCCGTTCCACCACCCATCTTTCTTTTTGTAACTTCTGATACTAATCCTGCTCCCATTCCAATTGCCAATTCTATATTCAAATCAACTATTAATATTCATAATACATATATCTGAATAATGAATACATACTCGTGAATTCCCAAAATCTAGCAGGTCTTGTATGAGGTACGCTTGTCTTTTCTCTTGACAATTCGATATACTTGATTTTAGGGTTTGTAGCTGTCAAGAATGTTGATTCATCTTCTTGTACTTTACTATTATTATTATTATTACTATTTGTATTGGTTGTATTGGTAGAAGTAGGTGGTGGGTAACTTCTAGGGATATAAGGTGTTGAAGATGATATTGTCAACATGCCTTGTACAACTCTCTTTCCTCCACCTAGTACTGCTACTAGATCACGCAACCTAGATGTCATACCTTCCTATCTTATTTATCTGTATATATACACAATGTAATAAGAATAATGACAATGATATTATAACTAACTCCGGAGACACTTAAAATTATTTAATTAAAATCAGAGACAGAGTGATGATCAGATCTTTGTTGGTGATGAAAAACGAGTCACTTAATCATTGTTCATTTTTGATTGATTATTATATAGATATAGATATATTTATGTACATAGAGAATGCTTAAATCAGTTAGTAAATTAAATATAAATAGATTGGTTACTGCTACTACTACTACTTTGTGTAGTATATCTACAAGTTATAACATCAATAGATACAGCAGTAGTACTACAACAACATCTTCTTCAAATAATAACACTACACTATTCACCAATAATACCAGCACTACTACTACTAAATACTTTAATAATAACAATACTAAATATACACCAACATCAAGATCATACTCTTCAAAGAAAAAGGAAGCAACATCTATTGACTCACCTAAAACATTGACATTGAGTACTTATTTCAAGTATGTTTCAAAAAGAAACAAGATATGAAGAAGATAATGAAGATAATAGAAACTAATATATATCTATATCAATCAATATGAAGATTCCCAGAGTTTGGTGTTCATGAATGGGCCAATTTAAATAGAGGAACAGCATTTATTGTAAAGACACCAAAACAATTCTTTGTTGAACCAAACCGATCGGTTTACATTATTAGTTGTGGTCATATTACTCATCCATTCAACTTTCCACATCTCTATAAAGATGAAACTCATCAATGGATATTTGCACTAGGTGAACAAAATATTAAAGCTCAATTGGAATATCGTGATGTATGTTGACAAGAACAAGAAACAACAACAACAACAACAAGATTGTATTGATCAATATTAATATGAATATAATTGATTTAGGCAAGCACTGGTAAAGTAACACATATTGTACCAATTGATAAACCATTCCATTTACATCCAACTGAAGATCTTGTTTGTATAGAAGCAAACTTGGATGATTTCAAGAGATCTAATCTTCCATTCACTCCATCTGTTTTGGAGTTAGAAGTTTATGAAGAACCTAGAAAAGGTCATGTATGTATTGATCATGATAATTAATATTAATCCAACAATGATATTTATATTCTATCATTTTTTAGACAGGTAAATTATTTGGATACCAATTAGTTAATGAAAAGGATGATATTATGGAACCAGTTACAATGGATTTCATTTATAATACTGGTGATGCTAATAGACACTTTGTAAGCACCAAGTCACCTGCACCAATGGGTGTTTGTGGTGGTCCAGTTATCAACTTTGACAATGAGGTGGTTGGTATGATTGAAGGTTTGGTTAAATTAAATGTCAACGATATCGATAAACAAGATGAAACTCAAAGAAGGTTCCTTCATGGTATTAATTCCAATGCTGTATTCCTTCCATCTAAAATCATTAATAACTTTATCAAAGTATGTTATGTCAAAAATATACTTATATAAATATATAAAAGTTATTAACCATCATCCATTCATTGTTTGTATAAATATATAGGAGGTAGATATTCATATCAATGATAATTAAGCAAAGAAAGAAAAGGAATAAATAAGAAACAAGTAACAAGTAACATTTGATTTGCGTTACAACAAAAGAATTGAATATTTATCGATAAACATACATTATTTAATTAATTTACAATTGAATGGGTGGAATAGAGCAGAGATAGAATAGAGAGAGATTATAATTTAGATTTTGATGATGGAATAATTTCGGCAATACCACCAGTTAATGGATAGGCACCAGGTCTTTCAAGAACAAGTGAATTGAATATGACCTTGTTGGGTGCTTGTGGTATGGTCCACATTTGAGTTTGAATGGTTTCACCTGGGAATACATGTTTGGAGAAACGAACACGCATACTCTTGAAACGGCTTGGATCATTGTCACAATATTGAGCAAGTATACTACGACAGGCAATACCAAATGTACAGAGACCGTGAAGAATGGGTACATCGAATCCACCCAATTTAGACATTTCTGGATCAACATGCAATGGATTTAAATCACCTCCTGCCAATCTATAAAGTATTGCTTGATCTGTTGATGTCTTGTAATTAAACTTTGCATCACATTCTTTTTTTGGTGGAGTTGATAAGTCGACAGTAGTAGTAGTAGCAGTCTTTGCAGTCGATGATCTATTCTGATCGAAACCACCCATACCACGAATAAATAATGAGAATTGATTGAATACGATATCTTTACCAGTTTCCTTGTCACTGGTGATTGCGTCGACCACTAGTAATGCACCGCTACCCTTGTCAAGTAGATTGTTAACTTTGGCACGTGTAACCAATTTAGCACGGGTTGGGATAGGTGACAAGATCTCCATGTACTGTTCACCGTGCAATAACATCATAGGATCAAACTCTAATCCTTCAAAACCATCCAATGTCTGTAACAATATATCGTAGGGAAATACGACACCCATCGAAGGAATAGCACAAAACTGTTCATTTTGTTCATACACAAACTTCAAGTTACTCTTGTCTGCTCCAATACTAATTGCATATAATGCTACATCCTTTCTATAAACAAAATTGACATACATTACATTAGTATCATTCACATGTTTATCAATCTATCTTATAAACTTATAGAATATTACATACTCTGTCAAGTTGTATTCTACATCTCTGAATACATGTTTCTTTACTTTTTGTGCATCAACTGTCATTTTTGTGTTGTTTGCTGTTTGTTGAAGTTATTGAAGTTATGAACAAGATAAGATTAAAGTTTTATATTTTATTATAAATTATAATAATAATAATAAATCTGATTTTTTGTGTAATAGACAGAACTACTAATGAGAAATTTTCTTTTTTTTTGGGAGTTGAAGTAATAAATATAATTTACTTGTTATGATCAAAGAAGTAATTAATTAATTAATGTATCAGTATGCAAAATATAAACCAACAAGAAGTGAAACATGGATCATTGGTGATGGATTTGAAGAAGAGGAAGATGAAGATACAACCATTATCAAAAAGTTAAAAGAAGAGTTGGAAGAAAAGGACAACACTTTTTGCCGAGAACATTAGCCTTAGACAAGAACTTGATTTGGAAAAGAATAAAACTTTATCGCGTGACAAGAACCGTGTCATAGAACAAGAACGATCAGAACGCCGTCTCATGCAACGTCGACACCAAGAAGATATTGACAGACTGCAGACAATCGTCAACTCTCACGAGATAAAACACCTTGAAACAGACATCCAAATATATATCAACCTCAAACGAAAAGTTATCTAAAGAAGTAAACATATTAAAGGACCAAGTATCAACCCTTAGCATAGAACTCAAAACAGCCACTCACACAATCATCACCAACAAGGAAACAACAAACCAAGCTATCAAACAAATTGAATTGGAATTTGAAAAGAAACTGGCTATCCAAGAGAAACAAACTTCCCAACTTATAGATGAATTTAGATCCTTTCGCAAGGAAAAACAACAACTCGATGCTGATTTATTATTGATATCTAAAATGTACAAATGATTATGATATGTTGATGTACACTTCAAACCCAACCAACTCATAGCTACAAGAGGCTTAAATAAACTATTTATTAATTTTTTATTTTTTGATGGATTTTTTTTTTTTGTGAAGTTCTCATCACATTCATTTTTCACGCTTATCAGTAGTACAAAAACAACTTAAGTTTTAGTAATAGTAGTATGATGAAAAGAAATATTAATAATAATAGTATCATACGATTATTGATCGTAAGTTGTTTGTTGTTGTTAGTATCATTACCTACATTTGTAGTAGTTGGTGAAAAGACAGCAGATGATGATCATCTCATAAGTTGTGGTGGGTTTGTAAAGGTATCAAAGAATCTACCCAAATCAAAGATCACCTATGACGACATCAAGATTAGGTTACTTTCAAAGGCTGATATGCGTGTTAGAGAAGAGACTGAATGTGCTCCAAACGGATACTACTTTCTACCCATCTATGAACGTGGTGTTTATATTCTTCAAATCCAAGGTCCTCAAGGTTGGACATTTGGTATGTACAATAACAACAACAACAAACAACAAAGAGAGTGATTACAATAACATAACTAACCTTTACTTTCTTTCTTTTTACTTTTAAAGCAAAGAATGAAATAGAAATTAATGCACAAAATGTTGATGACTTTAAAGAGGATATTAACTTTGAATTAACTGGATTTCAATTAAGTGGAATGGTTTCAAGTCAAGATTGTGAAGAATCTTTACATCGATTGGTTTCGTTGGAGGGTGTCAAAGTATCGCTTAAATCATCTAGTTTGGGGGTTGTTGCCGAGACAACCACTCGAGTCAGTGGACAATACGTGTTTGAAGATATTGTTCCTGCCAAAGACTACATTGTAGTAGCTCAACACGATCGTTGGACATTTTCAAAGAACAGTATCTCTGTCGATTTTGCATGGGACAATTACAAAGTAACTCCTGATATTGTTATTAGAGGTTTCGATGTCACTGGTTCAATCACTTTTGACAATGATCCAATGAAAGATGTAAACTTTCACCTACTTTCATCTTCATTAGATTCTATTGTTGGTTGTAAATCAACTTTTAAACCTTCTGGTATGTAAACTTTAAATAACAAAAAAAAAACAAAGAATATTAATATTAATATTAATATTATTTGTATCTTTTAGAGGCAGGATATAAATCAATATGTTCAGTTAAAAGTGGAAATGATGGTAGATTTGTATTCTCAAATGTACCATGTGGAAAGTATAAATTGGTGGCACAGTATCAAGGTGCAGACACCAAATATGATATTGAACCATCTGGTTATGAATTTTCAGTCAGAGGTGGAGATACTAGAACCGATCAAGTATTTGAAATCAAAGGTTTCTCTGTCTCTGGTAGAGTTGTCAATCATTTAAAAGAAGGAATTTCAAATGCAAACATATTAGTAAATGGTAAAAAATTGACCAATACTGATGATAATGGGTAAATATAAAAAGAAATATTATATTATTTATTTATTTATTTATTTATTTATTTACTATTATTTACTTTTTAGATATTATACATTGGAACAAATTAAAACTGGAACATATAAGATTCAAGTTGAAAAGGATCATTTAACATTTGAACAATTGGATCAAAAGATGACACCAACTAAACCGGTATTACCAGATATCATTGTAAAGACATATGATGTTTGTGGACAAGTATCAGTGCCAACACCACCAACAGGTGTAAAGGTCAATCCAAGAGAGATTACATTGCAACAAGGTAAATCCAATGAAAAGAGTGAAAAGAAATTGACCGAAGCAAATGGAAAGTTTTGTTTCCAAGTTGCACCTGGTACCTACACTGTTTCCATTGGTTTATCGGCACAAGAGAAATCAAAGGGATTACACTTTGTATCGCAATCAATTACCACTACCATCACCAACAAACCACAATTAGAGTTGGTATTTTCACAGACTCGTGCCACCGTATCTGGTCGTATCAAACCAATCACCCCATTACAAGAATTACCACAGTCATTGATTGTAACTCTTCAACCAACCTCTAGAACTGGTGAAAAGACAAATGCAGTCCTATCACTCTCAAAGAATGGTGGTAATGACATTACCTTTACTTTCCGTGACCTATTACCAGGTACCTATAAAATTATTGCTCAAAATTCTCAATGGTGTTGGTCTAATAATGAAAAATTAATTGAATTAATTGTATGTAAAGAACAAACAAAGAAGGAATAGATATTAATTATTAATTTTATTTTATTTTTTAATTTTTAGGATACAGAAGAAAAGAATGATATTGAATTTAATCAAAATGGATATAGATTTGAAATTAATTCACCACATGAACAAGTATCATTGACTCATCAATTTGAAGATCAAAAACAACAGACGGTTGCATTGAAAAAAGGAGACAATGAAATTTGTTTACAAGCTGGTAAACATCAATTCAATGTTAAATCATGTTTCCAATTTGAAAAGAATTCTTTTACCGTTCATGCTAGAGGTGATAAACCACCAATTCAAAAGATGGTATTAAAGATTGAAAAGATGCAATTGGATGGAACTATTAAAGTTGAAAAGGTTGAAAAGGACTTATTACCATCAAGTATTGATGTTAATGTTTACAAGTCTGCTGGTGGTGAACATACTTCTCGTACACTTTTAACTACTGTCAAGGCTGTTTATGACTCTTTGTCATCATTGTACAAGTTTACTTTTATGTCTAGTTTTGGTGACCAAATCGAGTTTGAACCAGTTGACTCCAAGTCATCTACAACCTCTAAACTATTGTTTTATCCACAATCAAGACTAGTCTTGATCGATTCAAACAATTGTCTTCCAGAGATTGAAACGATTGTAGCTAGACCAGGTTTGTTTATTCGTGGCAAGGTCAATCCTCAAACAGCCAACGTCGATATCACCACTTACAAGGGTAATGACGAGGTTGCCGAAGTAACTGTACAAACCAATGAAAAGGGTGAATATGTAGTTGGTCCATTAAAGGATGACGCCGAATACACTCTCAAGGCATCGAAACCAGGTTTCCATTTCAAAAAGGAAAGTGATTCCAACAACTTTAATGCTATTCAATTGGGTAGTTTGGTTGTTAATATCATCGATTCTGTCACCAAACAACCTATTCAAGGTGTATTGTTGTCGGTCAGTGGCGAAGGATACCGTTCCAATTTGAGATCACCAGTCAATGGTTCGATTGGATTCTTTGGTTTGTTCCCAGGCCAATACTTTGCCAAATCTTTGCTCAAAGAGTACACTATCAGCCCATCTTCATTGACGATTGATATTGAACAAGGAAAGCAAAAGACTATCGAGTTGGTAGCCACACGTGTCGCATTTAGTGTGTTTGGATCTGTTAAATCGTTGAATGGCGATCCACAGCAAAAGGTGGCTGTTCAAGCCCTTGAAGGCGACAGTTTGATCATCGTCGAAGAGACTACTACCGATCCCTCTGGCAGCTACCGTCTACGTGGTTTAATGCCAGGTCGTTCATACACTGTCCGTATAGCATCATCTGATGCAGAACATCAAGGTACAGCCATCCCATCAAGTCACACTGTCACTGTTGCCAAGGACGATGTTGAAAACACAGACTTTATCATTGTTGCTCATCCCTCTTTAGCATCATTCTTTTTGTCTGGTGATGTGGTTGGTGTCGAACGTTCACAATTAGCCAATCTACGTGCCAACTTGTATTTACAAAAAGACCATTCACTCTACCGTCAATTGGATCTTGGATTTGCAACCTTTTTCGATTTTGGTTCGATTCCACTCACCAACAACTATCTATTACGTATCGAGCACACCAAGATTGGAGTTATCTCTAAAGAAATTCCTGTTGGTGGTCAAGGTGAAAAGTCGGTTCGTCATGTCACTGTCAATGTACAAATGCCACAAAAGCAGCAGTCCTCCTCCTCTAGTCATTCGTCATCTCATATTGATTCAACAGCCGATCATTCAGTTCCAATTGCAGGTCTTTCCTTTTTCGTATTTGTAGTATTGTCTGTACTCTATCCAACCAAGGTATGGGAAACACTCAAATCCATCAAAAATGGAACCATCCTTAAAAAGATCAAAGCTCAAGTACGTGGTAATCATTCTGGTCAACAAAACTCTGAAAATTATCTTTCCTCTAAAGATATGTATAAACCAAACAAAGATAAAGCTAAAATTAAAAGAAAATAAAAAAGAAATAAATAAAGATAATATCTTTATCTTTTTAATTCTATCCTATTTTTGGATCAACTTTAACTAAATTAAATATTTATTTAATTGTTTATATACATTTCTTTTCTTTATTCTTTTTTGTTTTTAGACAAGATAGAAAACATTTGAATGACCAGATTGATTGATAGCTTGAGCAGGCCATCTGTATGGATTGGTTGGTTGAGCTACCATTTCATCCCAAACCTTTTTCTTTGATTCTCCTTTCATAAAGAATAATTTGTTACGAGAGCTAGTTAAAAAGTTTAGATTGGTAGTGATACGATCAAAGATGGCAAAGCGAGTGGTAGTGGTATGGTAGACGAGGTCGGTTGGAAGATCGATATGTTTGTCTGGTGTACTATCCATTTGTGGAAAGATCGAGGCAATATGACCATCCTCACCCATACCAAGAATAGATAGATCGGGTGCACCATCAGACTTGGTTTGAACAAGTTGTGAGAGATCACTTTTATACTTGTTGATACATTCTGGTAGTGCGAGTGATGTATCTGGTGTGGTAAAGTGTTTGTCGATCAGTCCGCTGACGGGTGTAGAGTCTGCAAAGATGGTGTGACGCACCAAATGATAGAGTGAATCAGGTGACTCCTTGCCAATGTATCTCTCATCGACACTGTAAAAGAATACTCTAGTCCAATCGATAGTCTGATTCTTTTCACTAGGTACAGTCAATGCTGCATAGATTGCCTTTGGTGATGTACCACCACTCAAACCAATCACGGCATTACCTCTTACAGCAATTGCATTCTTGATGATATCGTATATGAATTCACAAGATCCTTCAATAAACTCTTTTTCATTTGTAAATTGATGTAATTTATATTGTTGCGACATTATTTAATATATTAACTAATACAATGTATGTGCAAGTGTTTATAAAAAAAAGTGTTGGACTGTGAATATTTATTTTTTTTGCCTCAGAATCTATTTATTTGTAGAAATATGTTTCTCTATGTTCTTCTTTATTTTTAATTATTCCTTTACCAATCGATACTTTTTAAAAATAATAATATATAATTATATAATTATTTTATTTGGATTGCTCTTTTATTCTTTATTTATTTACCGAAATTCCTTAGTTTATTTTGAATGTTTTTGTTAAATCTATCATTTGCTCTTTTCTTTTTGTAGTAGAGAATAGAGGCAACTGTGATAGCGATAGCACCAACGACACCAAGAGATACACCAACAGCTATCTTCCATGCGTTACTTGATGAATCACATCCTTGATCATGACTCTTGTCGATTAAGAGTGGTGTAAAATCAGGATCCAACACACATTGCTGGCATTGAGGTAATCTGATACCAATCATTGCAACTGCTTGTTCACTATTATCCAACAATGGTGTGAATGATACCAATTCAGTTTTAGAGTATACTACTCTTCCATCTGAAAGTGCAAAGTCAATGAATCTACCACTGAATTGTATATTATCACGAACAACTCTGAGATATTGGAGTGATGACATTGAGTCAAATGAGAGTGTTCCAATCTCGGTTTCTTGACAATTGAATTGTATTGATTGATTATTATTTACGATCGATGTAAATATCAATCTTAGTGTCGCAACATTTGAACTAAATTGCCATCCACTCACATTCACTGCCAATTTGATAGAGTTGGGATTGATTTGAAGTATCTGATCTCCAAATTGCACATCTCTTGCAAATGATGCAAATGATATGGTTGATGTTACTTGAAGTGATTGGAATGGGTTGAATTCATTGTTGAATGATAAAGTGGAAGAAGTAGTATTGAGTTGATAGTTGGCAATTGTGATTAAATTATTTGTTGATACATTGACATTCCATGAATAATCATCAATATTCAATTGATTCAACACATTGTCATCAATATCCAATTCTTGAATTGATTTAAACTCAAATTGGAAATCAATTCCATCAATATCAAATGATACAGTTGGTGATGTTGAATTGGCAATAATCGTTGTATTTATAACTTGTAAAAATTTAAATAAATTAATAAATAATTAATTAAATAAATAATACTAAATAAAGTTAACTTTACATACATTTTGTAAAACAATTATCAATTGGATTATAATCAGTGTTACATTGACATTTTCCATTTGTATCACATTTACCATTTCCATAACAATTAAATGTCAATCTTGAACATTTTTGTTGTGATGTTTCATTTTCTTCACCACTACCAGGTTCACCGCTACTATTACCATTGTTGGGATCGATATTATTACGAATAATATTTAACACAGTCATATTGAAAAGTGGATTATTATCACTAATAACTTGAACCGATGATAATCCAAAAGGTGCTGCTGTTGAAAGTGTACATTTGATAAATGATGTTGATATATTGCTTGGTGTACATGTTATCGAGTTGTTTAGAGTTATTGTTGCCGATAATGGTGATGATGGTCCGAAATCTCCATAAAGTGTAACACGTGATGTATCATTTGAATCATATTCTCCTGCACTAACACGTGGATAACCTAAATTAAATTAAAATAAAATAATTAGTAAAAGTAGTATTATTATTTCCAACCCCTAATATTTAATTGACATACTCTTTTGACAATCTTGATAAAAGTTTTGTTGTTTACATAAACAAGTACCATCGATTTGACATTGTCCGTTTCCATGACAATAATTTGTTGTTTGTTGACAGTTTTCTTGTTTGGAATTAAATGGTATATATTTCAATTCAGTGAATCCGTTAATGTTGACAAGAACACTTGTGTTTACATAGACACCAGTATCTCCAATTGCAATCGCACATACTATAGCAGTGGAATCTTGATACAAAACAGCACAATCTGTTTCTTTTGAAGTTCCAACCCCAATAGTCACGGCTATATGTTCGATGACATCTCCGAAATATCCTTTGATTGTGATATTGGTTCCAGGTGAAGCTATGAGAGTGGAGTTGAATATTTTTGGAAATACTTGAGTAAATGTTGCGATATGGGAAAGATTGTAGTGTCCGTTTCCAATGAAAACAGGAGTAGGCCCAGACTGCATTGGTGGCATTAAACATGAAACAAAGGATTCGTTTAAACTAGTCAGGTTACAGTCGATATTGTGTATTTTGACGATTGGTGTAAAGTATGTGTTGTACTTGGACAAAACCATAGAGACTTGAACCTGAGAGGCTAATTGCACGAATTCAGCCATTTCGGCATGGACCCAACCTTCAACAAGTGTAACATTTACCAATACATCCTCGCCGGTGGTTTGTAAAGTGAGTGTATAATTTACGGGTGGACCCAATTGATCGTAAACTTCAAATTTGGTAATCACCATTAACTTGTTTGGCACGATGGCTCTTACATCTACGCCATTACCCCAACCTACAAGCTGCCCAGTTACAGTTACAACACCCATTCTAGTTACAAGCATACTTGCATTTTCAATTGATGGTTCTGTGTAATAAAATAAAAATAAATATATAAATAAATGGTTAATTTAAAATACTACCTAATAAAACATACGACATGTAAATCCCAATGGCTTTGTTAATGAGGTTGACAATATATAAAGGTCTTCACCGTAACACCAAAAACAGTCTGGTACAGAGGTAATACTAGTTCCTACGATTGCAAGTCGATTATTACAAAAACTATCGGGGACTGTACCAGTGACGAGATTGCTATCCAAAGATAATTTCATATTGTTTGTATTGACAAAGGGTGTAACAAAATCAATCGCTCCTGTAATTGGATTATTCAAAAAGGATAACTCTCGTAAAATTGATGATGGTGGTAATACAACATTTGGTATTGATGTATATTGATTATTATCTAGTTTCCTAAAAAGAAAAATAAACAAAAAAAAAAAGACAATGAATTTAATTCATAAATTTAGCGATTCAGTTGATTTTAGTAATACATACAATTCTAACAAATTTGGTGGAAATGATTGTATTGGATAGATAGTATGGAGATTACCATATCCATAAGTACTATAGAAATAATTAAATTAAGGAATTGATTGATTGATTGATTGTCAGCGATGAAATAAAAAATAATTATAATTCGATAGATAGATAGATACATACTAGTAAGCTAGACGGTAATAGGATGAACTCACAGGTGGATTAAGAGTAGTATTTGCTACAGCATTTAAAAAGGTAATTCTGGATGGATCCAGTAAATTAATATCGCAAGTTGCTACAAGACCCATGGGTCCCATGTTTGATTTACAACCTCTAAATATGATATGATATATATTATATGTTAGTTATCCAAAGGTGTTGAAATATTTTACAAATGTCGTATATTAGTATGTTTACGTACACGGATCCAAGAGGAATGTCAGTTGTTAAATGAACTTCATTTCCATTACTACTAAAAAAAATGGAACTTTAGGTAAAAAAAAAGATAAAGATGGCCAATACAATTAATTTAAATTTAAATTATAAATTGATAATATTATTAATAATAATATTATTATTACTGGATAAACATACAATGTATCTAAAACAGGTAGATTTTGTTTTGAAAGGAAAAAGGTATCGTTGTTTGGTGAATAGACATTACTGATGGTATTTAGTTTTGGGTAGACACTATCTGGAGCAAATTGTGGAAACTTTGTCCACAAGGGTGCGTCGATAGATACATATTCCAGTACTGGTAAATTGAGAAAGAATGTATCAAACGATGTGAGTGATCCAAGAGTCATCTGCAGTATAGTGAGTTCTGGCATATTGCTACCAAATCCCGATGACAATGTCGTTGTATAGTCGTAATAAATATCTATCTGTTTGAGCACTGGAAAAGTGTTACCCATAAACATGGCCACTATGTCTATCGATTGATTTCTCGGTTGCACCCTCAATCGAATGTTTGTCAAGTTTGGGAAAGTGAATGATGTCAACGTGTAATCTGGTTCACCTGCATCAATCTCTAGTGTAGATGCAATTTCACTAGTTTAAAAAAGAAAGATCGTTAAGTTATTATTCATATTAAGTGATAGGTATATTATTTATCTTGAGAGTGATTACATACATTTCAGTTATATGTGTGATCCCATCGATTGCATCTGTTGCACATTTGAAGGATACTATATCTATTCCTGTAACTTGATTACATAGTAATTGATCTTGTGAACTAACCAACTTGAACTGTTTAATTAAAAAGATTGCAGAGTTTACTATAAGCGTATAAAGAATAACAATGAGATATAATATTATATTAGTGTGTGTTTTTATTTATTTATCATCACGATCATACATTCATCGAGTGGCAGTAATGCATCAACCCTAATATTAATAAAAACTAATAATAATTTTTTATCGTGAAGGTACATTATTATTATTATTAATATTTTCTGTTTGTCTATATCTATCCTATCTATCAATCTATCTATCTATCTTTTGTTGAACGAATAAAGGTAGGGGAACATCCCATCATATAATATTGTAGATATTCAAGTGTAGGATATTTCGATCGGTAAAATATCTGTGATATATAAAATATCTGTGATACGAATCGGTCGAGAAAGTAATGCGTGCTACAGAAAGTAAATGGGTTATATGTTTATATTATTAATAATGTATTTTATTAACATACATTTATTTTATTTATTTATTTATCGATATTCTTTAGTTTGTTTTCAATGCTTTGGTTAAATCTACCAGCAGCTATTTTCTTTTTATACAATATGATTGTTGTAGTTGCAATGGCAATAGCACCAACGACACCAACAGATACACCAACACCTATTCTCCATGCTTTACTCGATGATGAATCACATCCTTGATCATGACTCTTGTCGATTAAGAGTGGTGTGAAATCAGGATCCAACACACATTGCTGGCATTGAGGTAATCTGATACCAATCATTGCTAGTGATTCATCGTCATTAACTGGTGTGAATGATACCAATTCAGTTTTAGAGTATACTACTCTTCCGTCTGAAAGTGCAAAGTCAATGAATCTACCATTGAATTGAAGATCATCTTTGACAACTTTGAGGTATTGTAGTGATGACAACGAGTCATACACTGTTGGCTCGATTTCATTCTCTTTGCAGTTGAATTCGACTGATTGGTTGGTGTTGATGATTGATGTAAATATTATTCTGAGTGTTGCAACATTTGAACTGTATTGCCATCCACTCACATTCACTGCCAATTTGATAGAGTTGGGATTGATTTGAAGTATCTGATCTCCGAATTGCACATCTCTTGCAAATGATGCAAATGATATGGTTGATGTTACTTGAAGTGATTGGAATGGGTTGAATTCATTGTTGAATGATAAAGTGGAAGAAGTAGTGTTGAGTTGATAGTTGGCAATTGTGATTAAATTATTTGTTGATACATTGACATTCCATGAATAATCATCAATATTCAATTGATTCAACACATTGTCATCAATATCCAATTCTTGAATTGATTTAAACTCAAATTGGAAATCAATTCCATCAATATCAAATGATACAGTTGGTGATGTTGAATTGGCAATAATCGTTGTATTTATAACTTGTAAAAATTTAATAAATTAATAAATAATTAATTAAATAAATAATACTAAATAAAGTTAACTTTACATACATTTTGTAAAACAATTATCAATTGGATTATAATCAGTGTTACATTGACATTTTCCATTTGTATCACATTTACCATTTCCATAACAATTAAATGTCAATCTTGAACATTTTTGTTGTGATGTTTCATTTTCTTCACCACTACCACTACCAGGTTCACCGCTACTATTACCATTGTTGGGATCAATATTATTCATACGAATAATATTTGGTACTGTTGTATTAAATCCATTGATTGTTATTTGAACTGATGATAATCCCAATGGTGCTGCTGTTGAAAGTGTACATTTGATAAATGATGTTGATATATTGCTTGATGTACATGTTATCGAGTTGTTTAGAGTTATTGTTGCCGATAATGGTGATAATGGTCCGAAATCACCATAAAGTGTAACACGTGATGTATCATTTGAATCATATTCTCCTGCATTGATAATTGGATAACCTTAAATTAAATTAAATTTAAATAAAATAAATGAGTAAAAGTATAATTATTATTATTATCTCCTTAATTTGCATATGTACATACTCTTTTGACAATTTTGATAAAAGTTTTGTTGTTTACATAAACAAGTACCGTCTATTTGACATTGTCCATTTCCATGACAATAATTTGTTGTTATTATACAAATTTCTTGTGCAGAAAGGAATGTTGTATTTATCAAATCAGTGAATCCGTTAATGTTGACAAGAACACTGGTATTTCCATAGACACCAGTATCTCCAATTGCAATTGCACATACTATTCTAAAATAGTCATGGTACAAAACTGCACAATCTGTTTCTTGTGAAGTTCCAGCGCCGAAAAGTACGGCTATATGTTGGGTTGCATTTCCATAGTTTCCAAAGATTGTGATATTGGTTCCAGGTGAAGCTCTCTGAGTGACCCTGAATAGTATTGGGAATGTTTGTATAAATTGTGCGATATGGGACCTAGAGTAGTGTCCGTTTCCAATGACAACTGGGGTAGGCCCAGACTGCATTGGTGGCATTAAACAGCCAATCAAGGTTTCGTTGTAAATAGTAATGGTACAGTCGATATCGTGTATTCTGACGATCGGTGTGAAATACGTGTTGTATTTAATCATATTCATTGTGACGTACACCTGAGAGGCCAATTGAAAGAATTGGGCCATGTTGTTCCGGATAGAACCTTCAACAAGTGTAACATTTGCCAATACATCGGCACCCTCTCTTTGTAAAGTGAGTGTATAATTTACGGGTGGACCCAATTGATTGTAAACCTCCATTTTGGTAATCTCCATTATTTTGTTTGGTACGATGGCCTTTACATCTTCGCCATTACCCCAACCTACAAACTGTCCAACTGCAGTTACAACACCCATATTAGTTACAAGCATACTTGCATTTACAAATGATGGTTCTGTCAGTAAAATAAAAATAAATATAAATAAACCGGTTCATTTAACCATTTAAAAATGTTACTAAAATATGTTATAAAACATACGACATGTAAATCCTGGTGGCTTTGGCAGGGTGGTAATAAGTGAATAGGTTTGACTGTAGCACCAAAAACAGTCTGGTACGGCCGCGATACTAGTCCCAACAATGTCAAGTCGATTATTACAAAAACTATCGGGGACTGTACCAGTGACGAGACTACTATCCAACACTAATTTCATATTGTTTGTATTGACAAAGGGTCCAACATAATCAATTGTTCCTGTAATTGGATTATTCAGAAAGTTTATCTCTTTTACAGATGCTGGTAATACAATATCTGGTATTGATGTATATAGATTTTGCGAAAATGATCTATAAAAAAAAAAAAAATAAAATAAAAATTTATAAAATAAATAAATAAATTGTTTTGATTGATTTTAAAAAAAATACATACAATGTTGACATCTTTGGAGGAAATGTTTGTATAGGATAAAAATCCTTAAACTTACCATATTGATAAGAACTATAGATAGAATAAATTAATTAAATTAATGAAAGAAAAATAAATTAATAAATAAATATATTGAAAATAAATATTTTAGAAAGATACATACAAGTGAGTTAGTTCGGGATAGGGAGATGATGCACTCACAGGTGGATTAATAGTAGTATTTGATACAGCATACAAAATGGTAGTTTTAGATGTATCCAGTAAATTAATATCACAAGTTGCTACAACATCACCACCAAGAGACACACAACCTCTAAATATGATATGATATGGTATATGTTAGTTATATATATATATATATAGTGTATAATACTTCTGTATAGGTACATACGCGGATCCAAGAGGAAGATCAGTTTTAAAATGAACTTCATTTCCATTACTTACATAAAACAAACTATAATTTAATAAAATTTAAAATGGTCAGAAATATTTCTATATATTAATTAATGATAATAATAGTATTATTATTATTAAACATACAGTGCTCTTAAAATAGGGAAATGTTGTTTTGGAATGAAGAAGGTATCGTTATTTGGCGAATAGACAATGTTCAAGGTAGCTAGTTTTGGGTAGACACTATCTGGAGCAAATTTTGGAAACTTTGTCAACGAGGTGATGAAGATGGATGCATAATTCAACTTGGGACCACTGAGAAAGAATGTATCAAACGATGTGAGTGATCCAAGTCTCAACTGCAGTGTAGTGAGTTCTGGCATATTGGTACTAAATTCTGGTGCCAATGACGTTGTATAGTCTGACACTATGTATAAATCTTTGAGCACTGGATAAGTGTTACTACCCATAAACATGGTCAATATGTCTATCGATTGATTTCTAGGTCCCGCAGTAACTTGAATGTTTGTCAAGTTTGGGAAAGTGAATGATGTCAACGTGTAATCTGGTTCACCTGCATCGAAATTTGGTGATATTGGAATCATACTTTAAAAAGAACAATATTGTTAGGTAGGTTATTATGTGCACATTAATGAATGATGGGTAGGTATGATATTGTTTTTATCTGATAAGAGTGATTACATACATTTCAGTTACATGTGTAATCCCGTCGATTACATCTGTTGCACATTTAAATGCTACAGTCCCAGTAGTAACTTGATTACATAGTGATTGATCTTGATTATTAGTCAACTTGAACTGTTTAATTAAAAAGATTGCAGAGTTTACTATATATATAAATGTACATAAAGAATAACAATAAAACAATGAGATAATATTAGTGTGTGTTTGTGTGTGTGTATGTTTGTATTTATTTATTTATCGCGATCATCATACATTCATCGAGTTGTAGTGTTGCATCGACTCTAATAATTTTATTAAAAATCGATAAAAATAAAATGAAAAAGAATACTCTCTCCAAGTGAAGGTACATTATTATTATTATTATTATTATATATCTGTTTGTCTATCTATATATATATATCGATGTTTGTAATGAATGGTGTGTGGATGAAGTGAACACAACGTACTATGGAGATTCTAAGCAACATTCTTCGCGTTGTGGAATATCTGATCGACCTAAACAACACTAGATATTCCATGGATTCTATTTATCCGCATCGGAGATCATTTTTTGATATTTATTTTTTTATTCTATCCTGGTTGGTTTTTTGGTTCTTTTTAACACATGATCATCTTTGACTTTGAGGTATTGTCTACATACACTGTTGTTTTTAATAACAAATTATTATGGTTGATCTAAAGTTGAAACTCACCCACTCTTTCTTTTCATAGTTGAAACCAACTGAATGAATGAATCCCTTTTTTTTTGATTGGGTTTTCCAGTCTTGATCAACTTGGGTTCAAGATGAATTATTTGTTTTTTTATTTATTTTTTAAGACTTTTGAAAGGACAATATTAAATAAATAGAGCTCTACTGCAATGTATTGTTTTATTATTTATTTATCAACACAACAACATTATTCAATAATTTTAATCTTTAGAAATTAAATGTCTACCAAAACATCAAATCAAAAGGAACCTATAAATGTTTCATCTACAAGTAAACCTACTACCAAAAATATAGATGATGATCAAATTAAAAGTTTAACTCATTTTGGAAAAGAAGGTGTATGTATTTTTTTTTTAATACCCAAAGGTCATGAATACACTTACAAATGAATTTAATAATTATAGAATTTCTTTGTCTTTGAACGTTGTGGAAGTAATATTTGGACTTCAGAAACTTATAATAAAGGAACTGGTCCATATAAAATAATTCAAAAGGCTGATGGAGTATGTATTTATATAAATATAAATATATATATTAGAAGCAATAATATTAATTTAAATGATTAATTGTTTTTTCAAAATAGAATATTATACTATATGATGTAGGTGATGAACAACCTATTTGGATTTCTGAAAGTCATAAACAAGTTTCATTAATGAATGGTCATATGGTATTAGAAGAATATTAAATTAAACTAAATACATTGTATATAATTAATTATTTAATTCTATTTTTTAACCTTAAGGTATAAAAAGAATTAAATAGAATCGAGTTGGTTTTATTATTATTATTATTATTTGTTGTTATTATTATTTTTGTTTTGTTATTATTAATTAATTAATTTAATATGAATCAGAAATAATCTGATGATATGGAAAATGGAAAAAAAATGATTGGGGGGGAGTTGGGGAGTTGATTTTTGTTTGTTTGTTTGTTGGGATATGTTTAACTTTGAATAGTCTGTCTCTTTTACTACTATTACTAGCTACTAATATTACTTTTTTAGAGTAAATCCTTTCTTGTTATCATACCAACAATTTGATTAAAAACATTTACTACTACTAGATGTCTAAGACCGGCCAATCTAAACAATCTGTATGCCTCTGATAGAGAGCTATAGTTTTTAATTGATACGACGGCAAAGTTCATGTAGGGACGGAGATCGACGAATCTCTCCATGTCTTGCGGAGTGAGACGTTGGGAAATCTCGTGGACTGTGGGTAGACGAGACGCCATTTCCTTGCAAAACTCGGCATAGTCGAGTGGCAGGCGTTCGGCACCTTCGTACGATGTGAAATTGAGAGACTCTTGGGTGGATGTGAAATCGACAAAGATGCGACGTTTCAAAAGGACGAGTAGTTGCGAACGCAGGATGAGCCCGCACAATGTCTTGCCCTCGGTATGTGCCTGCTTTTGAAAGAGGTCGACCTCGCTCTTGGCATAGGTTGAAGATGATTGTCCGCGCTTTGAGACGGAGCGGAGAGGAGGTGAGTCTTGGCCGACGACACCCTGGCTGGCGAGGATGGCCTCAGCGTCGAGATTCATCATGGCCGACAGCTTGTAACTGTTGGTGACGCTGTTTTGGTCGTCGTCGTCGTGCAGTCCGGGGATAAGGACGACTGGGAAGCCGTTGTGGTTGGTGTTAGTGAGCGTCTCCATGATCTTGCGCACAGTGACCACCTCGGGGAAGGTGATGGGTGTGTGACTCATCGCTTCGGCGACGGATAGTCGCGACATTTGCTTGGACGGTTGGGACGCCAGGTAGGGGATGTGCTTGACCTCGAGCAAGTGCTCGTAGATTGCTTGGTTAAAGGCATCGCCTACAAACTTGCTTGTCATGACGACAAAGATGATGGGCAGCAGGTACTGCGTGCCCTCGGTCAGCTCGACCATGATGACGACGAGCGAGATGGTCATACGCAGACTGCCACCCATCATGGCGGCCGACCCCACCAACGCGTAGATTGACGCGTCGACTGGGAAAAGGCGGTTGACGAGCAGGCCAAACAGACGGCCCCATCCGGCGCCAATCAACATCATCGGGATGAAAATGCCAGATGCGACATACAACCCACTCGTAATGACACACAAGATAAAGTAGATGATTGAAAATACAATCAACACGGCCTCGTTAAAGATGCCTTGGTCGCGACTATACAGTAGTTTGAGCGCCTGCTCCGACGTGGTAAACGTGAGTGATGCCAGCGGGTTGAACGAAGTGCTGTCGCAAAAGAACTGCACCGTCTCTACGTCATCGACAATATCGCACACGTCTCCTGTACTCGACTCGACAATATCCGCCAATGGACGACACTTGAATGCAAGTGGGATGAAAAAGCAGAGCAAAGATGTCAACAAGACCACTGCAACCACCTCACCAACACGATACAATTTGCTGAGGCTGGTGAGATACTTTTTACGCAGATAGTTGAGTCGCACGTTGAGATGCACAAACAAGGCACCCAACAATCCACCAACAATACCCATCACGATAAAAGGCACCAATTCCCAGTACGAGTAGAGGTAGTTCTTGCTCACACCAAATGTCAACACACCATAATCATGCACGCTGACCCCAAAACCCTGCAAGAAAAAGTTGGCAACCATCGTCGCAATCAAGCACGAAAAGAATGTTCTCCAAGTCAACTGTCTCGACCAAAACGAACTACCCTCCTCCAATGCAAACAACACTCCACCAATCGGCGCACCAAAAGCTGCTGCTATACCAGCCGCAGCTCCACAACTAATAAAGTCTCTCTTGTCATGATCGTTTTGGAAAAACCATAATTGCTTGATATGAATGCCCAATGTTTTTGATTTAAATTGACTTATTGATGATCCAATCGCTGATCCAATGTGAAACCTAAAAATAGAAAAAAAAAGTAAAAAAAAAAGTAAAAAAATATTAGTATATATAATGTATTGTTTGTTTGATTGTTTGTTTGTTTGTTTGTTTGTTTGTTTGTTTGTTTGTTTGTTTGTTTGTTTGTTTGTTTGTTTGTTTGTTTGTTTGTTTGTTTGTTTGTTTGTTTGATACATGCATTGGTCCTTCTGGTCCCAATACAAGGCAACTCGAGAAAGAGAATATAAGAGAAGCAATCTTTCCAATTAAAGTCTTTAGATTGAATGCCTTTTGAATACGGATACCATTCAAGTAACCTTTTACCTCTGGTAGCCCAGACGACGATGTCAACGGACCGAAAAAGATGACCAATCCACAACTAATCAATGCATACGCCAAGTTAAATGACAAATATATAAAGAATGATATTGATTTACTTGATATATCTAAATTTAAAATAAATTAATATGAGTTTTTTGATCCAAGTTTTTTTTTTTTTTTGCACCCATACATTTTTCAATAGAATCAAATTTTAAATCTTGTAATTTATCAACACTTGCTTTGAGACAATAGACAGCGATACCAACAAATATACCAATTAATGTACAGATGGCCCATTTACCAAAGGTCTTTAGTATCTTTGTTCTCTTTTTAAGTTGTGTTACGTATTTACGTAGCAGAATGTTATCGACATCACAAAAATCCAAACTTTCGATGTGTGCCATCGATTCTTTCTCTTTGGCGGTAAATCGTTTAGCGTGACGACGATGTGTTATATTTATCTCTGCTGGACTATTTCTTCCATTTCTATTATTACTATCATCATCACCACCATCATTACCTTCTTCTTCGAAATCCAATAACAAATAATCTTTTGAATTCTTCATAAACACAGTTTTACTTTTGTAGTAGGGATTGGTTTGATTATTATTATTATTATTATTATTAATTCTATTTAAATCATCGTTGATACTAAACATGTTATTACTGACACCATTTACATCACTGTCATTATTGTTATTATTGTTATTATTGTTATTATTGTTATTGTTGTTGTTGGTGCCAAAACCATCTTCTTGAAATGATGACATTATTTGTTTGTTTGTTCGTGTTGTTGTTGTTGTAAAGTAAGTAACTTTACTCTACTTTACTCTACTTTATACCAACTACTTTTACAAACTAATCTAATGTGTAGTGACAGCTGACACCTCACCTTCTTGAACCTTGAAGTGTAGTGTGGTGAATGGGTACGAGTGATAGATGACGTAAGGGGATAGATAAAGAAAGTTGTAGAATGATGAATGAGGAAGTGTTTCGGAACTGTGTTGTTGTTTTTTGATCAGCAACTGAGATAGGACCTGACTTTTTAAACTAAAAATCTTATGTTATGTCGATATTTCGGGAAGTCGAGATCGGGAGACTTTTTACAGGAAACAACAAACAATAATATTAGATGTGATGAAACAAACGAGGTACATACATAGACTGACTCTACATTCTTGTTAGACAAAAACAAAAAAAGAAAGGAAGGAACAAAGAAAATCAAGAAATTAAATTATTTGCCTGTTTGATTTTTTAGAATAATCGTTGTTGATGACTAAACGTGGAACGTCCCTCCTTTCCTCTGTTTGAAAGTTCTGCAGAACAAGGTCCGTCACTTCTCCGCCAACCGCTTTTTATGATTCCTTTTTTTTTTTAGTCCATTTTCTTAAGAATAAGATTTCTAATACCAGAGGTTTAGTATACTGTTTCTGATCAGAAACAACAACAACCCATCAACTCTACTATAATCTAAATCTCTCAAAACCAAGAACACACAACTTTATCTTTATAATCCCCTCTCTCTCTCTTTTCTTTATTGTATCATAGAAATATGTGTTGACCAAGTATCCATCTAGATATAAGAATTCCCATCAGTATTATTAATATTATTATTATTATTATTTGGGATGAGTTTAGTGCATCTGCTCTCGCAATGAAACTTTTTTTTAAATGGAATTATTATTACTAATATGACTGAATGATGGTGATGATGATGATGAGATGATCTATCTGTTGGACGTAAACAATGAAATGGAATAGCTATAGATGGTATTGACCAATTCTCGTGATGAAGAAAAAAAATACAAGGCAACTCGAGAAAGAGAATATAGGCAATCTTTCCAACCAGAGTCTTTAGATTGAATACCTTTTGAATACGAATACCATTCAAGTAACCTTGTACTTCTGGTAGACCAGACGATGATGTCAATGGATCGAAAAAGATGACCAATCCACAACTAAATATATAAAGAATGATTCTTTCTCAATCTCTCTCTTTTCTCTCTCTATCTCTCTCTCTCTTTTCTTTCACCTCTCTTTATTGTATCATAATATGTGTAACTATGATCAGTACTGATATATAATATAACTATTATTGAGAGAATGAGAGTTTCGTTTGATAACAGCAGATGCAATGAAACTTTTTTTTAAATTTTTTTGTTATTTTTTTTCTTCGTCTTCATCACGAAAATTGATCATCTGAGCCCACCAACTATAAGCAGCAGCTCATACCATCTACTATCGATTCTATTTCATTCCACTTGGTTGATTGATTAACTGTCATTGTTGTTTACGTCCAACAAACATATAGATCATCATCATCATCATCATCACCATCATTCAGTCATATCAATCAGAGACAGAAAGGACTGTAGAATAACTATATAATACAAGTAGATAGTCTATCATCATTACAACTATCTACGACTACGACGACGTTTCTTTATATATATATATAACAAGGTTGGTATAGGAAAATCAAGAAGAAGAGCATAAAAGAGGAAGAGGAGGAATATAGGTGCAATGAACGAATCATCAAAAATGGATGGATGATGACATGCTGCAAATGAAATCGATGAATGAATCATTGAATATAGTGGATTTTGTACTTATATTGTCTTTATATATAGGATAGGAAATGAATAGAGCAGTTGGATCATTACCATTAAAGGTATCTAGTTCATTGGTTGGATCAACAACAGGTTCATCAAATATTTTGGTCAATGGATTAGTTAAGCGTTTCTCATCATCATCTTCGACTAAAAAGACTGATGATACTACTACTGCTTCGACTATAAAGAAAGAAAAGACTACTAGTGCTACTGCAACAACAACAGCATCTGGTAAACCAAAATTAAAATATATAAACAAGGCTGGTGCTGCTGCAAATGGTACTAATGGTAGTACACCCCCACCACCACCACCTCCACCTTCATCGTCTGCTGCTGCAGCATTCCCATTGTTGGCAGAGGCAGGTAAACGTCCACCACTTTTCAAGCCAGTTGCCAATACTGGCCAGTCAGAGATGCGATTCGGACGTTTGCATACGGCCGGCGAAGAGGGTGAGGAGGTCAAGGACGACGAGTTGTTGGAAGAGGATGACGACGACTATGTAGAGATTGACGAGGAGGACGGCGAGGTAGTCGACCCCGCCGACGGCATCAACGAGATCTACGAGATCAATGACCAGATGCGCGAGTACTTTGACTTGGGCAGCCAGCCAATGACCGAGGCCGACCTCGACAACGCACTCGAGGTGTCGGACAAGAAATACGGGTACAACCCAGCCACAGACGCCAAGCCATTCGTGGCACCAACCGCCGAGCAGGCACTCAACCAGGTGTTTGACAACTTTAACGAGGCTGTCAACCAGGACATCTTGGATGCCGCTCAAAAGGCCCGTATTGCAAACCCACTCGACGACTTTGAAGATGTGATGCACGCCAAAAAGACCGGCGCCGACCGTCGTGTCAAGCGCGAGGGAGAGACACTCGACGACATCTTGGCCAAGACTATCTACGAGCAGACTGAAAGTACATTTGTCGATGACGAGTACGAGCAAGAGCGTCCCCAAAGTTTCTATGACGACTTTGCAGCTGGTCGCAAGCCTGAACAAGCTGAGACTGTTGCCGCCGAACTCCCATACCACCGTCAATCCAAAGAGATAGAGTCAAGCTTACGTATGCATCTTAACAAGTTCTTGACCAAGGTGCATCCAGATCTTTTCCACAACGAGCCCGACAAGCACAACACCAATCAAAAGTCGTTGACTACACTCAACAATTTGTTGCGTACTCGTGACCAATACATTGCGATTGCACAGGGTAATACCGATGACACCAAGGTTGACCGTATCCCCAACACCATCACACTCGTCTTTCACCACCACCACGCATCTGGCGCACAGGCCATCGTCGAGCACGAGATGTTGTTTGAGGAAGCATCCGAGCAAGTCGCCACGTCCAAGACTGCCCTCGTCGAGTATGTGACCGAGCTCCGATTCGCCGTGCATCGTCAACTCTACGATCTCTTTAGCAAGTGTGATATCCCCATCCCACAACTTGAACTCGACCAACTTGTACGTCCATCGTCCAAGACTGGTGGTGCAGCCTCCTCGCTCGTCAACGACGATCCATGGGACGACTACTTTGGCCTCAACAAGCCCAACGGCACCTTCTCCTTGTCCAACGTACTCGACGACTTCCTCGGCGCCAACAATGTATCGGAGCGTAGAAAGTACTCGGAAATCACCGGTGAGCATGAAACCCTGCTCCAACAATTCAACGAAGACAAGGTATTCTTTTACTACTCTGAATCTGTCAAGGGTGACATCAACGTCATGCGTCAACTCGGATACAGAGATGAAGCTGAACGTCAAATCATCCATCTCAAGAAATACCTCCCAGCACTCGAATTTGGCACTTGGAGTTCCCTCCCCATCATGATTACCAACCCCGCTCATTTCGATCGTCTCTCCAATATCACCCAACAACGTGGCTTCGTCGTCCTCCTCAAAGACTTTGTCCCCGAACAAACACTTCCATACATTAAAAAACAAGTACCAAAGATTAGAGAAACATTCAACCAATTGTATTCAGTCTCTAAAAAGAATCAAGATTTATTACAAAAATCAACCATTTCTTTGGAAAAGTAAGTAAAAAGAAGAAACATAAAAGTTGATTGGATAATGTATTTATTTTTGTTTCTTTTCTACTTTTTAGATCATTAGGAGCATCAAGTGTAATTATTGAAAATTTATTCTCTGTTAATCAAAGAACAATGAATCAAGTTAGAGACAAGTTTAACAAGGCACAGACAATGGTTGCCAAACTTAATATACCAATGACCAAGATGATTGATGCCGCCAAGGCCTCGAAATGGGTGACATTGCCACAGACTCAATTGGACGGCAACGTGATGGACGAGTGGAAGGTCAAGCACATTGAGATGGACAAGCAGGAACAACAAAAGATTGTACAAAAGCTCAACGAGGCGAAGCTCGGCATTGATGTCGTTGCATCGGCTGACGAGCGTGCCATCCTCAATGAAAATGTCGAGCGTGACATGACACGTATTGCAGCGTTGACCATCACCAGCGACCGTCTCACAAACCCACTCACCATCGTCGACACCAACAAATTCAACTATGTCCAGAGTGCTCCATTTGTATCCGATGCTATGGCCTGTATCGAACGTCTCCGTTCACTCGTCAACAACTCTGTCGAAGTGCCAATGGTGTTGCCCGAAAAGATGAACGACCCAGACTTTTTGAGCAAGCGTGATCAATTCCTTGCACAAGACGATCAAGAAGCTCAAGAGGACGAGTCAGAGATGCGCGAGTACTACCAATTGCTCATGGGTAACTCTGAAATGACTGTTGACAAGTTATCGACCCGTAAGTCACTTGCTCAAATTGACTCTTCCCTCTTTACCACTAGTGCTGCCGTCGTATCATCCTTTAATGCTCCAATGTTTGGTGAGAAAACCTCAGCAGACAATCAAGTTGACTCTTCCTCCTCCAGTGCAGCAGTTGACCAAGCAGTCTCTGATGCCACCGCACAAGGATCTGAATTGGTGTCTGATCAAGTCAAACGTTTTGTCAATGTATTAAAGAATGCCAGTGGAAAGGACAGCGTCGATAGTGACGCTACTGCCGACAAGACAAAGATGATTAAACCCAAGCAACGTCTTTCAGATTATGGATGGGCCAACATTCATCTAGTCATCTCGGATCACTACCAATTCATCGTTAGCAAAGAGAATGATGTTGCCTATGTCTTTGTGCCAATGAACTTTAAGGAGTCGGAATTATTCCTCTTCCTCAACGCCAACTATGACAAGATCTCATTGATCCAAAACATCTTTTACTCACCCGTTCTTGAAAAGACCCAAAAGATGATGCAAGTCCAATCGATCCAGACCGTCATCTCGAATATCCGTTCTCGTGTCCCATTTGCCTCGCTCAAGATTGATAATATCGCCGTCTCATCGCCAGAGTCGCAATACGCCGCCGTTCAACTCCTCAAAAATACCATCTACCTGTCGAGTGACATCAAGGCCTTTGAAAAGATCGCTCCCTACGTCGATGTCATCATTGGCGCCGAATCACGTGTCGTCTACAAAAACGATGAAAAGAATCACGCCATCATCGTCGTCTCTCATCTCCAACGTTCCTCGATGAACCTCTCAAAGATCATTCGTCAACTCTGTGAACAATCACCATTTTTCAAGTCTCTTCTTCCAAATTTCACTTATCAACCTTTTGATCCTTCTTCCTCTTCTAAACAACCAACTACCTCAAATTAAATCCTCCAAAGATCATTTAAAAAATAAATAAAACAAAATATAATAATAATACAAAACAAATAATCATTCATTGTCATTGACAATGAATATATAGTATTTCCACTTTCTTTCTAACAATAGTAAAACAGAAAATAATTGAAAAACAAGAAGGAGAAGATTTTTTAATCAAAGTTTTTAGAAACACAATCACCCCCCTTTGATCATCTACTTCTTTTCTTCTTGTTTCATTGTTATTCACTAAATACACATATCTAAATATATATATATATAAAATGGTAAAGATAATGATGATAAAGAGATTACAGCGCAATACCAACATCATTGTACTAACATAATATCTATCTTTTTCCTTTTTTGTAGTCACTCTACTTCCGTGTCAAGAGAAAGGAACAAACGATCTTTTTATCAGCAGAGAATACAGATAGCATTCAAAAGCTCAAGAATGATATTGCCATCATCAACAAATTACAAGACAAACCATCTGACTATGTTAGATTGATTCACAATGGAACAGTACTCGATGACAAAAAGACTGTCAATAGTTTAAATATGAAAAATGATGATGTTGTATATTTAGTTTACAAGAATGGTAATGTGTCTCGAGACTGATCAAGAATCTTTCTCTATCTTTCTCTATCTTTCTCTATAGTTGTGATTATTAATATTAATATCTTTCCTCATTATTTTTATAGACGATGGATCATATGAAGAAATTGCCGCATCAATTCTTTAAAACAACAACAAAACAACAAACAAATCTAAAAATAAATGATTGATACTATTATTGTAAATATATAAACCACAAACTATGCTATGGAATGTAAATATTAATATTACAATATTACTTGGACACTCTGCCCCAAATTCAATGATTTAATTCAAGGGCTCACTCTTGTCATGGTCACTCTGCCGAGTTTTCATGTGAACTGCGTGCCATGGTCAAAAGAGTTTTCCCCTCAGCATCAATCACACCATCACATGAGAGTTTTTTAAAAAAATAAAAAAAAAAAATCAATTTTCTTGCTTCTCAGGAGGTGTGAAGAGCAAGCAACACTCTGTGTTTGGTGTCTATTCACAACCTGCGCAATTATTATATTTTATTACACTACTTTTTATTGGGAGATAATTAGAGGATTTCATTAATCAGTCAATCTTCATCATCCATCTATTTGTAAGTATGATATCATCATATAATAGTAGTAGAAGAGTAATCATAATTCAATCAGTCAATCAATCAATCAATCAACCAACCAAGATTCTTCAAATATAAAGATGATAAAGGAAGTTGATGATCAAATGACAGATGCTAGTTAGTCGAGTGGCAGGCAGGCGGGTGTTATACAACGATTATGACCTTACAAAAAAAAAGAAGAACTTGTAGATAGAAGACTTGTAGACTTTATATTAACCATTCATTCAATCTATCAATCTATTAAATTACATTACTATTAGTTTTTTTTTTTATTTGTATTATAGATTAGAGACATAAAGTTTTTTCAATATATTTTTTTTTTATCATAGATTTTACTATCTCTCTCTTTTTTAATACATATATATAATCATAAAGAAAGAAAGAAAGAACAACAAAATATAACAAACTAAAAAATGGCACAAACTCTCCCAATTGTGTTTAAGGAAGTACTCCAAGTATGTATCAAAAAGTATCATATGACCAGCAAGCAGGATAGATAGATATACAATATAGAATATTGATGATTCATCGTGATGATCAAATGAATGTGTCGGCTACTATTGCTGTTGCTGCTGTGGTGTGGAAGGGGGAGGGGGGTTTTTACTAAAACCCACTGCCACTGCCACTACCGAGAGTCAAGAATAGATCGATTATTAATATCTTGATTCCATCCATTAACTTTATTATTATAGTTATCCAACTTGGGTATTGGAGCACAATCTATTGGATTTGCAACATTGACAATGGAAAGTGAAAAATATATTTGCATTAGAGAGACTGGAACCGATGAAAATAACAATGTAGTTATCATCGATACAGACAATCCCTCACAAATCCTCAGAAAACAAATTAAAGCTGACAATGCAATTATGAATCCAAAAGAACCTATTTTGGCACTTAAAGGTAAATGAGAGATCAAACAAACGACTCAATATAATATTTATATATATATATATATATTAACATTTGTTTATTTTTTATTTTCTCTCTCTCTCTCTCTAGTTGGACAATGATTCAATTAATTTCAATTGAACAAAGAATGAAATTAAAATCATTTAATATGCCAGAGGTATTGGAATTTTGGAAATGGATTTCATCAAATACATTGGCATTAGTGACACCAACATCAGTATATCATTGGTCCAAGGAAGGCAATAGTGACCCAGTCAAGATGTTTGATCGTCACCCCGACCTCGCCAACACCAAGATTATAAACTACCGTTCCGACAGCACACAACAATGGTTGGCATTGGTTGCCATCCACCAAATTGACAACCGTGTAGCTGGGCGTATCCAGTTGTTCTCTGTCGAGAAGGGTATTTCCCAGTCGATTGAAGGACACGCCGCCTGCTTTGCCAACTACATTGTGCCAGGTGCTACACGTCCAAGCATCCTCTTTGTCATCTCGTCGCGTAATCCAACCGCCAGCAAGGTACTCGTTTTAGAGGTGAGCAAGGGTGACGGACCCAGTTTCACCAAGCGTCCAGGAGACGTGTTTTACCCACCCGACGTAGGTGCATCTGATTTCCCAGTGGCCATGCAAATCTCTGAAAAGTACGAGGTCATCTACTTGGTCACCAATCTCGGCTACATCCATTTGTTTGACTTGTCAACTGCCAGTTTGATCTACCGTAACCGTATCTCGACCGAATCCATCTTTGTCACTGCCTTCCAAGAGTCGACCAACGGCATCATCTGTGTCAACCGTAAGGGTCAGGTCTTGTCCGTCTCGATCGACGATGCCAACATTATCCCATATATCTGCAACACCCTTGGTAACTACGACCTTGCTGTTGCCATGGCCTCCAAGAACAATTTACCAGGTGCCGAGGGTCTCCTCCAAGGCCAGTTTGAGCGTCTCTTCCAGCAGGGTCTCTACAAGGAGGCTGCCAAGGTTGCCGCCGACTCGCCAGGCACCACCTTGCGTAACATCCAGACCATCCAGCGTTTCCAAGCACTCCCATCCGTCCCCAACCAACCACTCCCATTGCTCCAGTATTTTGGTATCCTCCTCGAAAAGGGTAAGCTCAACAAGGTTGAGTCGCTCGAGCTTGTCCGTCCAGTCCTCCAACAAGGCAAGAAGCAAATCCTCGAAAAGTGGTTGACCGACGACAAACTCGAGTGTTCAGAGCAACTCGGTGATGAAGTGCGTGCCCACGACCGTAAGCTTGCACTCTCTATCTACTATCGTGCCGGTGCCTCAGACAAGGCTATTGCATTGTACGCCGAAGCCGGTGAATTTGACAAGATCATTGCCTACTCGAAAAAGATTGGGTATACCCCCGACTATATGTTTTTGCTCAGTCGTTTGGTCGCCGTCAACCCCGCCGGTGCCACCGACTTTGCCGTCAAGCTCATCAAGGACGAGAACGGTCCATTTGCCGATCCCATGGCCATCGTCGACTTGTTTGCTTCGCGTAACATGATCCAAGAGACATCCAACTTTTTGTTCTCGATCCTCACCAACGACAACGCCGCCGACGCCAACTTGCAAACCAAGTTGCTCGAGCTCAACCTCATCCACGCTCCACAAAATGCCGATGCCATTATGGGCAGCCAGCGTTTCTCGCACTATAACCGTGTGCGTATTGGAAACCTCTGTGAAAAGGCCGGTCTCTACCAACGTGCCCTCGAACACTACACCGAACTCGTTGATATTAAGCGTGTGCTCGCCACTGCCGGTTCGGCCGTCCCACAAGACTTTTTGGTGCAATACTTTGGCTCGCTCAACCCCGAGGACCGTATGGAGTGTATGAAGGACTTCCTCCGTGCCAACCCACGTCAATACTTGCAGTTGGTTGTCGCCATTGCCATCCGTTACACCGATGACAGCATGACACCCGAGTCTGTCATTGCCATGTTTGAAAACTTCCGTCTCTTTGAAGGTCTCTTCCTCTACCTCACCCAAATCGTCGTCACCTCGCAGTCCCCCGAGGTACACTTCAAGTACATCGAGGCAGCAGCCAAGAGCGGCCAGTACAAGGAAGTCGAACGTATGTGTCGCGACTCTAACTTTTACGACCCCGAAAAGACCCGTGACTTTTTGAAGGAGGCCAAGTTGCCCGACCAATTGCCACTCATCATCGTGTGCGACCGTTACCAATTCATCTCTGATCTCACCATCTACCTCTACAAGAACAATCTCAACAAGTATATTGAAGCATACGTCCAAAAGATCAACCCAACCAACACACCACTCGTCGTCGGTGCTCTCCTCGACCTCGACTGTCAAGAAGACTATTTGCGTTCGTTGATTGCATCGGTTCGTAACATGTGTCCAGCCGACACACTCGTCGAACAAGTCGAGAAGCGTAACCGTCTCAAGCTCCTCCTCCCCTGGTTGGAAGCCCGTGTCAACGAAGGCAACATTGAGCCAGCCGTCCACAATGCCCTCGCCAAGGTCTACATTGACTCAAACAAGAACCCAGAGGCATTCCTCGTTCACAACCAATTCTACGACAGCAAGGTAGTCGGTAAATACTGCGAGAAGCGTGATCCATACCTCTCGTTTGTCGCCTACAAGCGTGGTCTCTGTGACTATGACTTGATTGAAGTCACCAACAAGAATGCCCTCTTCAAGAACCAAGCTCGTTACCTTGTCGAACGTCAAGATCAAGACCTTTGGGCCTACGTCTTGGCCGAATCCAACGAGTTTAAGCGTTCTCTTATCGACCAAGTCGTGCAAACCGCTCTTCCAGAGACAACCAATGCCGTCGAGGTGTCGTCGACCGTCCAAGCCTTTATGAATGCCGATCTCCCCAACGAACTCATTGAATTGCTCGAAAAGATTGTTCTCGAGGGCAAGGAGTTCCGTTCGGCCACCGAGTTGCAAAACTTGCTCATTTTGACGGCGATCCGTGCCGACAAGAGCCGTGTCAACGACTATATCAACAAGTTGGAAAACTTTGACGGTAGCCGTATGGCACCAGTCGCCATTGATGCCGGTCTCTTTGAGGAAGCCTTTTTCATCTACAAAAAGTTTGATTTCAACGTTGAAGCTATTGATGTGCTCATCAACCAGATCGACTCGATCGAACGTGCCTATGACTTTGCCGAGCGTGTCAACCAGATCGAAGTGTTTGGCAAGCTTGCACGTGCACAACTCAGCAAGGGTATGATCAAGGAGGCGATCGAGAGCTTTATCAAGGCCGCCGACGTCGACCTCTACCACGAGGTGATCAGCGCATCTGAAAAGGCCAACTGCTACGAAGAGCTCGTCAAGTACCTTTTGATGTGTCGTAAAAAGATCAAGGAGCCAGCCGTCGAGTCTGAGCTCATCTATGCCTATGCCAAGGTCGACAAGCTCGCCGAGATGGAAGACTTTATCAACTCACCCAACTCTGCACACATCCAAGTGATTGGTGACCGTTGTTTCGACAGTGGATTGTATGAAGCTGCCAAGATCTTGTTTACCAATATTTCCAACTTTTCACGTCTTACTTCGTGTCTTGTCAAGCTCGGTCAGTTCCAATCTGCCGTCGATTCGGCACGTAAGGCCAACTCTACCAAGACCTGGAAGGAGGTGTCGGCTGCCTGTATCGACGCACGTGAGTTTAGATTGGCACAAATCTGTGGTATCAATATTATCGTCCATGGTGATGAATTGGAAGAACTTATCAAGCAATACGAAGACAGAGGTTACTTTAACGAACTCATTTCGTTGCTCGAGTCTGGTCTTGCATCGGATCGTGCTCATGTCGGTATGTTTACCGAGCTCGCCATCCTCTACTCCAAGTACAAAGAGGACAAGTTGATGGAACACATCAAGCTCTTTTACGCACGTCTCAATGTACCAAAGGTCATCAAGGCATGCGTCTCTAACCAACAATGGTCCGAGCTCACCTACCTCTACATTCACTATGACGAGCACGACAATGCCATCAACACCATGATCAACCACTCGATCGAAGCTTGGGACCACACTCTCTTCAAGGAGACCGTCTCCAAGGTTGCCAAGCTCGAGCTCTACTATAGCGCCATCCAGTTTTACCTCGAGGAACAACCCCTCCTCATCAACGACCTTCTCACCGTCCTCTCGCCACGTATCGAGCATGCCAAGGCCGTCCAGTTGATCCGTTCACTCGGTCACCTCCCCCTCGTCAAGCCATACCTCGTCGGCGCCCAAGACAGCAACGTTGCCGCCATCAACGAGGCCCTCAACGAGCTCTATGTCGAAGAGGAAGACTACGAATCGTTGCGTGCATCCATCGACGCCAACTCCAACTTTGCCACCATCCAACTCGCCCAAAAGCTCGAAAAGCACGAGTTGCTCGAATTCCGTCGTATCGCCGCCTACCTCTACAAAAAGAACAACCGTTGGGCTCAATCGGTCGAACTCTCTAAAAAGGACAACCTCTACAAGGACGCCATGCAATCGGCCGCCGACAGCAAGAACCCACAAGTTGCCGAAGAGTTGCTCCAGTTCTTTGTCGATCAAGGCAACAACGCTGCCTTTGCCGCATGTCTCTACACTTGCTACGATCTCGTCAAGCCAGACGTCGTCCTCGAGTTGGCCTGGAGAAACAATATCATCAACCACGCCTTCCCATACATCATCCAATACGTCAAGGAAATCTCGGCCAAGGTCGACCAACTCGGCGAAGACATGCAACACCGTAAAAAGAAACAAGAAGACGAATTGCAATCGGCCGAACAAGCTTCCTACCAACCAGATTTCAACAACATCTCTTATGGATATGCTGCCACTGGTGGCATGTTGGCTCTCCCTCCCGCCACTGGAATGTATCAACAACCACAAATAGGTTATAATCAACAACAACAAGGTGGTTATAATCAACAACAACAACAAGGTTATGGTGGTTATTATTAAATCAACAAAAAAATAATAATCAATCAAAATAATCAAAACATGCATAAATTTAGTATAACACCGACAATAATAATATAATATTTTTAAAAAAAAAAATTTAAATAAAAACCCTTTAAAAAAATAAAACATCATCATTTAGAATATTTTTATTTTACAAAGAGAGATAGAGAGAATGAATAAATTACATCAAGTAATAATTAAAAAAGGACTAGAGAAATCAATAATTACTCATAGATTATCAACTTTATTTAATCATAAATTTGATCAGAATCAAGATTCTCATTTCTATTTCCCTTCTTTTAATCTATCTTTTTATAGTATGTAAGGTTAATAATAGAAATAAAGATTTGAACTAATCAATTCTTCTTTTATAGTTTATAAAATATCACAATTACAAGGAAATCAAATTGACATTTTGAATCAATTAAAATTGGAATCAAATCAATTATTAAAGTATGTCCATGACGTAAATTTAATTATTATTAATATTAATTTTGATTTAATATTATATTTAGATATTTAATTTTAGATTTTGATAAAGATACATCAATTCAAAATATTAATTTATTTAATGATTTCCAAAATTATATTCCAAAAACAAATGGACCAAAAGTATTATTGGTATCACAAACTTTTGAAGTGACAGATATAATACTTGAAATTCTATCACATCATACAAATGAATTTGAAATGGAAATGGAACAATTAAAAGATCAAACCAATTCAATATTACTCCAAAACAAATCAATTAAAGCTTTATTATCAATTCCAAATATTAAAATTGATCAATGTAAATTATTATTACAAAGTATGTTAAAAATATGAAATGAAACAAATAATTTTTAACGATTTAATATTTATCTATGTTTTAGAATTTGAAACTATTGAAAGAATATCAATTGCAAGTATTGATGAATTAAATTTAAAAACTGGATTTGATTCATCATTTAATCAAATGATATATGATTTCTTTAGAAAAGATATAATCTAAACAAACAAAAAAAAAAAGAAATAGATATACTAGTCTCGTTGTTATTTACTTTACTATTATTACTTTTTTACTTTTATTATTATTAATCATCAAAATGGAATTCTGGTTCAGGTTCAACATGACCAGGAGTTAATCTAATTCTTTCTTCGATATTTTGTTGAGTCTTTAGATACCAACGATAAGTTTGCCATGCCAAAAGGGCAACCAAAAGGGCAATGCCAAAGTAGATGGAGGCATTCAATAGCATTCTTTGGTTTGGTGTGTAACGATCCATACGTTCTTGTTGACGACGACGTCTCTTTTCTTCGAGCTTGGCACGCTTCTCTTCGTCCTTTTTCTTCTTTCTCTGTGAACGTTCCTCTTCCTTTGCTTCCTTGTCATAGTAGTTGGTGTCGTCAAAGTAGTAGAGGATAATGTTGGGGATCCAAGTAAGAGTGCACCATACAAACAAGACCTCACGTCTGAGATCCACTTGTTGGATCATCTTGGGGATATCAAGCACGATAAAGGCTCCAAGAGCAGCGATAAGCCATTGGAGATTGTGGTTGACAAAAGATGAGATCGATGTCGTCTTTCTCTTGTTATAGATCAATGCTGCCCAAATCACTGCATACAGTGCCCAAATGTAGTAGAGGTACTCGCGATTATTCGCTACTGCCTCTCCTGCACTTCTTAGGATAAGTGGCATTGAAAAGAGTAATGGTACCATTAAAAATAGTAATGTAAATTTAATTACTGTCTTGTATTTGTTTGTTGATTTCTTTGTATCTACTGAAGTATCAACAGAAGTAGAAGCTGCTGCAGAAGTAGCAGTTGCAGTAGTAGTTGTAGAAGTATTGGTTTCTCCATTTTGTTGTTTTTGATCATTACTCTTTACTCCATTTTGTTCTTTCTTTTTTGTAACTGATTGATCGATTACAAGTGTATCATCAGTCTCTTCATCACTTGTTATAGGTTGTGCTGTCTTGTTTGATGGTTTTGTTTCTTGTTGTTTAGTTTTATCCTTTGTTTGATTTCTCTTCATCTTTTTTAGAATAATATCATATACTATAATGTATATATATAAAGAAAATTAAGAATAATGACTAAAAAAGACTACAAACAAGATCAGAAAGTGAGTGTTTTGATGAACACTCAAAAGTCAAAATTAGTCAAATTTTCAAAAATTGCCTGGACAAGGATAAAAATAGAAAATATGTATTTGTAATAAATAAAGTTGTTTTATTTTATTGTCGAACAAAAGAATATTATTGTTGTTGTTTGTTATTATTATTATTACTTTTTCATCTTTTGTAAAAATATTCTTATTATTGTCATTATTTTAATTATTATTTTAATTATTGTATCTTTGATTAATATTATTATTTCTTCTTCTACTTCTTTTTGTTTAGGTAAAACATGGAGGAGGAGGAGGAGCAGGTAAACTATCTGATTGAACACCCCATATGCAAACTGATTTATCAAAACTGGCACTCCAAAATTCCCAACGTAATTTTCGATTGTTCCAATGAAAGACGGCGTCGACGATAGCGTCTGTGTGGAAATCGTCCAACTGACCAATCTTGGCAAAGGCGTTGTTGTCAAAAATACGTATGGCCGAGTCACGGGAGCACGTCCAGATGGAAGAGGCGATTGGTTTAAAGGTGTTTAACATGAGCATTTCATTGTCTTGGATGGTGTGAATGATGGCAAAATCGGTGGGGTCAATGACAAATATCATCTTGTCTTCCGAGCCAGCCCACACACGTCCATTGTGGTAGGTGAGACAGGTGATGTTACGACGCGCGGGTGTGCGAAGCTCACGGATCTGTGCGCCGGTGGTCTTGTCAAACACAAAAATGATGCCGTTGGTGGCACCGGCCCACACCTGGTTGGCAGGGCCGTAAATCTCGGCAATCGAGACGATAAACTGGCCGGGCAGCTCGATGGTCTGAGCCACCTCGAGGACAGGACCGCTGGCCGAAAAGACAGTGATCTTTTGCTCGGTGCCGGCCCATACACGTAGTTCGCCGTGTGAATAAACTGGTGCCAGTGAAACGTGGAAGCCTGGGAATTCCTTGACGACGCTTCCGCTACGATCCCAGACAGAGACACCCGACGAAGAAGCAATCCATGCATGGTCACGCACCGAAACCATGGTAAAGACACGGCCGAGGCCAGAGTCGATATCGCGCTCCTTCTCGTACGTCTCGCTGTTGAATATTCTGAGTTGGCCACCCGAGTCGGCCGTCCAAATCGACGCGGCCGTCTCGGCAGTACCCTCGACAATGGCAATACCCTGCACCGTCTTTTTATACCCGCACAGCTTAAAGATAAACGACACTTGCAATGGGTCCGAACCACTGGTCGATGCAGTCGCCGGCGAAATGATATTGTCAAATATATAATCTTGTTCCTCCAATAATAATGTTACCAATAGTTTAATCTTTCCTGCTCCTGCCATCAATTCCATCATATCTGTTGTACTTGTTGCTTTACCTCCTTTCCATAATAAGTTTGGTCCCTAAAAGAGATGAAAAGAAATAGATTAATTAATATATAGGTCTTTCTTTCTTTTATATTATTACTTACAAAAACTAGACCAAGATTTTCAGCAGTCATTTTATTTAAACCATGGTTGATAGCAATCTTACCAAGGAACCAAGCCAATTCTTTGAGGAGGTCTTGGTTTTCTTGTTTGAGACCAGAGACGAGTTCACGTAGCTTCTGGACCTGACCAATGCGGTCTTGTGTGAGTGTTGCAATGAATGCGTCGTAGTACTCGGACTGCATCAGACAGTCTGGTAGCTCTCTGAAATAGATCTTTATGAGATCTGCAAAATCGACGGGGTCGACCTTGGCAGAGATGAAATCGATTTGATCGCCCTTGTCCAACTGCATCTGTAGCTGTTTGACACGTTCCTTGGTACCTGCAATACGAAAGATACCTTCAATCTCCAAACCGTGTTGAATTATATATCTGAATCCATTGTGCAAGAACAATGGTACCTTTAGTTGAGGAATCGTTTTCTTTTGTACAGCCATCAAATCTGCCAACGCTGCTCCAAACACTTTACCTCCTGCTTGTATCACTTGTCCATTACCACTATAATATGCTCCAACTCTCATTCTTAAATATTATAAATATCAATATATATATTTATATATATATATATATCTCGTCGTCTAAAATGATGTTACAAATCTAAAATCTCTAATAATGATCAAATGATAATGATGATGAAGATTAGATTAGAAAGCTAATAAAAGTACTGTACAGTATCATATTGCAACGATAGAGATATATATATATATATTGCAGTGAATCAAATGATCATCGTTTTCGATCAGTTGGTTGTTGATCTCTCTCTTGATCAATGATACATACATTAAATTACAATTGTTAGATAAAGTAAGTAAAAGTATGTACTGTACTCTATATTTCTATCTATATATCTATCTATCTATCTATCTATATAATCAATCAGCAGAACAGAAGGTTGTGTAGCGCCAAGATAATGCTTTAACCCCCACCACTACTACTACTTTTTGTTATTGATATGTTTTTGTTGGGTTGATTTGTTTGATGATCGTGAGGTTTAGTTGTAGCTGCTTTGAGTTTTATATATATACAAGTGAACAAACAAACACACACACACAACTTGTGTCTTTTCTCTGTCTCTTTCTGTTTCAAATCTAATCTAGATTAGTCTAGTCGTATGAATAATGATGGAGGAAAAGCTAATCTCGAGAGCAACTCTCAGAGTAAAAAAAGATTTTTTTTTTGTTCAACATAAAATCCCATTTTGAAAGATGGATGGATGGCTGAGAGCCAGCCATTTTCAATCGGGCTCTGATCATTTTCATCTGCACCTAGCATCGAGCGAGATATTTTTAAATCTATTTATCGATCTTTATAATTCCTATCTATCACCTAGCATAGGTGTACTCATATTCAAACTTCATATTTCAACTCTCTCTTTGTACATATTTAAAGAATGGATTGATTTTAAAATAATAATAATAATAATAATAATAATAATAATAGTTTATTTTTTGCCGGCATTAATACAATTTATTTACTTCATCTTTCATTCATTCTTTCTTTCACTCTTTCACTCTTTCATTCTCTCTCGAGAAGAGAAAATCTATTACAATGACAGATTTTTTCCCAATCAATCCATCTCTCTCTTCTCTATGTCTCTCACGAGTAAACCCCTCCTCAATTCACTCACCCACAAATATATATATATTTGTTTTCCATGGATACCCCCATATTTTTGATAGTAGGTATGTTCATTCATTCCATCTACCACTACCCCCAATTATAAATAAATACGAAAATCGGGATATGAAAACCCCCAACCATTCAATTGTTATTCATACAAATAATACTTAGTTTTTTATTTGTTACATCATACTTAAATATTTAATTAATTTCACACAACCAAAGACCTTTAAAGTAAAATAATATTATAAGATAATAGATAGATAGAATTAGAGATGGCAACAGAATCTGCTGAAGATGTTAGATGGTATCATCGTATCATGGATGATGAGGAAACTGTAAAGATGGAAAAAGAGGAAAAAAAAGAAATCATATTTTGGTCTTTCTATTCTGTATTTAATCCATTTGGTGTATTTGCTTTGGTTGATTCTATTAGAAGAAAGAAAAAGAGAGCGTATGTATAAAGAAAAATAAATATAATTAAATAATTCATTTATTTATTAATCATTTATTTTATATTTAGTAAAAATAGAAAGAATGGTGTTGTTCCAGGATTAAAAGAAGTTACAACAGATCCTGCCAGTCCTAATAATAATAATTTACAAAAGTTAGATATAAATAATTAATAATTAATAATTAATAATAATTTTTTTCCCTTTTTTATATATATATATAAAAAATAGATAGACTAAGTACTTAGTCTTTCTGTCTATCCTATCTATCTATTTTTATATATATCTAGCGAATAGTATTTACAAAATAAATAAAATACATGTATTTATAATTATAATTTACAAAGTTTGTGGAGATGGTATTGGTGGTGGTGGTGGAAGAGAAATATGATAATCATTATAAAATTTTGGTTCTGTTATTAATCCTGATTGATATACAACACTGCAAGTGGTAGGAATGGTAGGACCTTTTTTATGCATGATACTTGGAGTTGACCAAACTGTAATATGTTCCAACGATGGAAATGAATGTTTACGTATATTGGATACATCAAAACTCTTTCCTAGTACCAATCGTTTCAACCCTTTAGGCATAGATATTGGTAACTTTTTCTTGAATCCATCTCCAAATGCTAAATATTCAAGTGATTCTGGTAGATCACCTTCTTGAATAGGTTGATTAAATAATGATCCAAATACCAACTCTACAAGGTTCGATGGTAAAGGTGTAGGTAATTTACTATTAAAATATAATCCAAAATTTAAATGAGTTATAGATTCTGGTCTAAATATATTAATATATTCAATATAAATATTAAATAATTAGTATTATTATTACAATTAATATTATTCTTTTTAATTTTACTTACAAACAATGAGGAGATATTTTATGATACCAGAATTTGATTTATCATCAAATCTTAGATGAGTTAGATTGGGAGGAAGAATATCTGGAGAGTCGAGTTTAAAGGGACCTTGTAAAACTAGTTTACGTAGGGATGTTGGTAATGACCCTTTTATGATTTCAGGTGATGCGTCGTAGAATTCAAGGTATTCTAGGTTGGGAGGGAACTCTTCCTTTTGAATCGACCGTACAGAGGAGAGAACAAGCTTTCTCACCGTGTGTGGAAAGTGTACAGAGTCTTTGACAAAGTTCCTCGTTAAAAAGGTGAGGCTGTGAATGTGGGGAGGAAGGGCACCGACGGGTAGAGGGTGACTGTACCCACTACCAATCTGTAGATCCAACAACCCAATAGGAAGATCACCACCTCGAATAGGCATGTTAAAGTAGGCACCGAGATGAAGTGATTGGAGGGTCGGTGGAAAACTCGATCTTGTGATTGACTTGTTATAACATCTTTTAAATGCGATTGATTTGATGGTTGATGGTAGGTTGGTTGCAATAGGTTCGATAAAGTCAACGTTGAATACGATCGTTGTAACACATGGTGGAATGTAACTTGCAAAATCAACAATTTGTTGTGATGTTAAGAATGCAATATCGTTTGATTTGTCAATGACGAGTGTCTGGAGACGAGGTAGTATGTTGGCGCGTGCACCGTGTTTCCACGCTTGTACAGCTTCAGCTGCTGCAACTGAAGATACCTCTGGTCTGATGTAGTCGATAGTCTTGGCATTAAGTGATGCGACCAATGTGTTGGTGTTGTTGTAGAGCAAGTTGTAGAGATGCTTGAGATGGTCGTTGCCAACAGCTAGTCTTACACAGCAGTCTACTATACTCTGATACTTGAATTTCTCTAGTTGATAGACACCGTCATCCAACACCAAGTATCTCTTGTTCATCAACTTTTTACATATGTAAAACAACTCTATTCTATCCTTGTCTGATTCTAGAAACCGATAGATTAAGCATATCGGTACGTATCCAAGATCTATCAATGATGTAGACATTGATCTATCTCTCTAGACTATTATAATAATAGTTGTATAAATGACATTTATCAATATTATAAATTTAAAATACATACAAATAGATCGAGCAGCACTTGTGACTGCCAAACAGGCCATTTATTTATTTTTAATGATTTCTATTTTTACAATTTTGGACAAGTTATAATAGACAATAAATAAATGACCTGATCTTATACTATCTCTTGGTTTGTGTATTACACCTATGGTGATGAATAAATAGGTAGAATAGGATGAATAAATGATCAATAATATTGAATAGTTTAAGAGTTGACCTGATCAAAAAAATAGAAACAATAAAAATATATTTTTTTGCCCCTTTTTCTCTGATATCAAATAAATAATATATTATGGGGTACTGATCCATATTTATTATTTATTTACAATATATATATATATTCTCTTCGACGAACTAATATAATGATTTATTTGAAATTGGTAAATCATAAGACATGATATAATCATTGATAAAAGTTGGATCTGGTCTTGGATTTTCAATGTCATGGCTGTCGACTGCTATGGCGACTGTTGTTTTTGGTAATACTTGTTCTTCACTGTCAAATGGACAGGGACAAGCATAACGCAATAATTCCAATTGCGGGGGATAGTTGATTTGTTGGGCAAAATTTCTACCCAATTCCAATCGTTTCAAACACATTGGAAGTGATGGTAGAGGTTGATTAAAGTCATCGCCAAACACTAGATACTCTAATGTCTCGGGTAGGTATTTAATCTTTTGATTAAAACTCATTCCCATAATTAATTCTCTTAGATTTGGTAATTGAGATGGTAATTTTTGATTAAAATATTTTCCAAATTTTAAATGTGTTAATCCTCTTGGCCTAAAATCAAAATAAACAAAATAAATTAAATAAATAAGTATCCATTTATGTATTTGTTTTCTATTTCTATTTCTTTAAACTTACAAAGAATCAGGTAAAATTTCACAATTATGATTATCAGCAAAGGTTAGATGAGTTAGACCGTGTGGAAGGATACCAATGTCAAGGATAGTGTTGAAGGAATCGGGTAGGGAGAGTTTACGAAGTGATTGAGGGAGTGAACCGTATCTAAAACTAGCTTTGGTGGAATGGTATCGTGAGTAGATGAGTGATTCTAGGTTGGGTGGGAGTTCATTCTCTTCAAATGCTCGTTGATTTTGTCCTAGTCGTAGAGACCTAACCGACTCTGGAAAGTGGATGGAATGGGCTGGAAAGGAAAAGTCAAAGTCGCAGACACGTAGATTGGGTGGCAAGACACCCTTTGGCAGTGGTTTGTCAAAGTTGAAGCCGAGTGCCAACGACAAGAGACCCTCGGGCAGGTCACCAGGCGCAATCTCCTTTTCAAAATAGGCGCCAAAGGTGATCGACTCTATCGACGCTGGAAATGTCTTGTTTGAGATACGTTGGTTGTAGCACAGTGAGAATTTAATGTGTTTGAGTGTATTGGGTAGGTTGGTGGCAATAGGTTCGATAAAATCCACTTCAAACACGATCGTTGTGACACATGGTGGAATGTAACTTGCAAAATCAACTATCTGTTGTGACGTGAGGTATGGTTCTGGTGGATTGTTACGTTTAAATATACGGAGATAGTTGAGACGTGGTAATGTAAACGTTGGCATTTCCATCCACTTGATGGCAGCTGCAGCGGCGGCAGGCGATAATGCAGCCGGTTCAATGTACTGTAGAGTGGTGTTGGTCGATGCAACCGTGTCTTTGCTATGGTACAACAGACTAAACAAATTGCGTAAATGGTTATTCTGTACATTCAAATTGACACAGCAATCGACGATACTCTGGTACTTGAACGACTCTAGACTATACGATACATTCAACACCAAGAACTTCTTGTTCATCAATTTCTTACAACTGAAAAATAAGTTGATTCTGTCTTCATCCTTTTCAATACAACTATAGATTTGGTGTATTATGATTTGTGGTAAATCAAGTATACTTGTTGTTGACATCTCTAAACTATTTATTATTATTTATACACTTTTTAAAATTACAACTCTAATTATTTATACAACTAACTATTATGATTATGATTATTATTTACAACATTAAAGTACACTACTTCTATTTATAATGACATCAGCAAGGTGATGGAGTAGGAATCAAACCTTTGAAGGAGATATTACTTTTTCAAAAAATTTGAAAAAAACAAAGAATGCAGAACGACCTCTGCACAAAACGGGTAACATGATGATGTACTTTTATTCGTGGGAGTTCCCAAGCTTTTGAAAGAACTATTTAAACAAATGTATATGTATGATGATGATGATCGTCATTTTAATGTATGTATATGCCTGAATATAGTATAGTGTAGATAGTATAGTATACGATATTATATTTATGTTTATTGAATAGAGATGGTTATATCTTTAAATTGTTTCTCTAATTCAATTGCCTCTTTTTCTGCCTCTGAAATGGTTGTTGTTGTTGAATCGTTGACGACGTGGATATTAGTGCTTGCAGAACTACTACTGATGATTGATGAAGTTGCAACTGTTGAAGTATCTGATAATGACATGGATGATAGATCAGTTTCATTTGGTTGTTTGACGGGTCGACCAATCAAAGCTTTGAATGTAGCAATGGTTGGTTTAAGCATTGATCTCTTTGGTGGTTGATTTGGTACCGTGTGATGGTGATTAGGAAGAGTATTATGTGCACGTTGAAATGGAATGACATCCTTTAGATAGAAATAGTTGAATGGTTCATCACCTACTGCAATCATGACCACTACACCTCCAAGAGTCTCCAAGAAAAAGGTTATAAAGTTTGATAGATGACGAGCATTATCATTCATAGTCATATTTGGAAAAGCAACCTTCCAAATAAGATCTCTTATCAAAGCACTGACTACAATGACCATTAAAAAGATGGATAGATATTTAATCTTGGCCACCGTCTTTTTAATCCTATCACTCCTAATATCGTTTTGGTGTATTTTCATTTGTCGCCATAGAATCACCCCAAATGCAAATAGGATACTTCCAAATACACAAATGATGGTCAAGAATCCAATCATATAAAAGGTAGCTGCAAACTTTAAATAGTAGATTGATATAATCATATAAGAGACTGTGTAAACTGTCACCAACCCAATTTCAGCCCATGTCAAATACCAAATCTTATTACTATATTGTAAGTTAATCTTTGATCCTAAAAATAATATAAATAATAGTTGTGACCCTTAAAAAAAACATTACAAATTAATTATTTAATTTATTTTAATTATTTATTTATTTATTTTTTAGTACTTACAAAAACAACCTATAAAACACCAACTTGACATTACACCAAAAGTACTAAACATTCCAATTAGAACCGGAATTGATCCATACTCGTAATCCTTTACAATGATGACTGCGATCGAGTAGATGAATCGATCCATTGAAAATATTAAAACACCTACAAGAGCCCACCACTTTGGGTTGGTGAGCGCTCTCTTTGTATGTTCAATCTCTATGTATAGTTGTCGACTAGTCATGACAACCATGAAAAATGTAATAATCATTCTAAATATAAAGTATGATAGTACTAGTCCGTCAAGGGAACTACCTTCATCTGTAAAACTTTCTGGTGTCATAATAATAAATTAAAAAATAAACAAATAAATATAAATATAAAATAAACAAATAAATAAATTAGAGATAAATAATTAGATAGAGATAAAATTGCATAAAGAATAAAATAGAATGATGTTGCTGAGGAAGATGATGTTTCCAATGAATCTCATCTGATGATGTTTCACCTCCTCATCATAGAAAAAATAGATCAGAAAGAGGAGGGAGGTATAGACTCGCCCTAATTGTAGATATTTGAGTTGGGAGCAGCCCTAGATACAAAACATACCCCCCATTAAAAAGTGGTTGAGCCCTTTCGATCAAAGATGTAAAAAACTTTGGTTAAACCCTCTGACGTGTTTTGTGGCTTTTGTTAGCAAGAAAAGAGGGTCTTCTTTAAATAGAATGCACGTGGAATTCGATTCTGTTTGAAAACCACAAAACTACATTTGAGGATGATGATGCAACGATGTATGATGTACTCAAAGATCGGGCATTCAACAGTTCTAAAAAAAAAAAACAAGAAGATATTTATGTACCAAAGAGGTGTCTGAGATTGATATTTTTGAGGATCACACTTGGGTTATAGTAATATGTTCAATCGATTTTTTGTTTAGATCTAATTTAGGGTGTGTTCTTAAAATGGTGTTTCATACCTTTATAGCTCAACTTATAATCGATATCATTTTCAAATACAAACATAGAGCTGAGGAAAATTATATTATGTTAACATGTATCTATGTCTAGAATTCTAATAGTATATGTATATGGATTAGTTTTCATCGATTCGTTGGTGCACTTGGTGACCTTGTTGGAAAGTCTATTTTCAATCATTTCAACAACTTGTTAAACTCTCAGCAATGGAATCAAAGATATGCAGCATTTGTTAGTTTATCTAGATTTTGTGCATCTCTCAGGCTTAACAAAACAACAATTTCCAATTTATTTTAAAGTATGTAAAAAAAGAAATATTATATATATATTATTTACTTATTAATTGTTTATTTATCTATCTATCTATTTATTTATTTATTTTTAGGTCAATATTAAAATTAGTTAATGATGATAGTATCCATGTTAGATGGACATCATTACAATGTTTATTGAAATTATCATATTCAAATCATAGTGGTGAATTGATGGTTCAAATACCGGGTTTATTTGAAATGTTACTTCAATCACCAAAAATATATGTAGTTGAAAGAGCACTGTAGACATCATTACCAACTCTACAAGATATCAATAGAATAGAGTTCGTACTTAAGACTTTGGAATTCATCTTTACGTCTCCACATCTATATGGCACTAAGATTTATCAACCTTTGGCATCATTTATCGATAGATTGGTAGATATATACTGTGTAACTTGACAAAGTGTACAGGCAGCTCAAGTATTCAAATGCATTCCAATAGTTGTTTACCTGGTTGTTTAAAGTTGGTCAAACTTATATATGGTCATCATAGTGACAAGACAAAAGAGATGTTTGGTGTGATATATGATTCAGAATTCTTGTCGTGTCTGCCCGAGACCAACTGGAAATTATTGAACCAACGAGTTGGCATTACAACCATGATCATCAGAGAGATGGGGGTGAAATGTCATTGGATCTGATCAAATCAACAATGGATGTCATATACAAGTTAGAGAATAGAATGGACTATGTTGCACAACAGGTACGAGACAGAAATGAAGATTTAATTGGCTATCTTGATGAACCAGAGGATATACTTTTGGAAATCTCCAAAATAGTTTTCAGCCACTATTTTGGAGGTACTCGGCGAGCTGATCAAGCATAACAGCACTGTCGTGTCACCACTCATCACCCAAGATTTCTTGGACAGAGCATCTGACAAGCAAGAACAAGAACAATTATTTTCACAAACCTTAACATTTATCAAAGATACTATTGCATCATATAAGAAGAGCACTGATCTGTCACAAGATTAAAAATAAAATAAAATAAAATAAAAAGTAATTACTCCGCATTTGTCTAGTCTAGTTTCAAAGCATGACAAGGAGCTCAACCTGTTTTCATTCAATTCTTCGAGTCATTTGATTTGCGTTGCAGATATATTATCTGTACAAATATTTGTAGTATGATGGTGGGGCTACAACCACCATCAGAAGATTTCATAGATATAGTTATTATTTTAGCAAGAGAAGATATAAAGGAACAAAAAAGATATGATGATGCAGATGAGAAGAGTATTAATAATAATAGTGACAAGAAATACGTTGTAAAGAGAGAGACAAAGCAATCATTAAAAGAGCGTTATGAAGAAGAACCTGATGGTGCTGATAGAGTAGTATCATGGTTACTCTATTTGATGACTAAAGCTACTGTTGTGGTTGTATGTATTGATGATTATAATCATTATTGATGTAAGAGATCAGATGGATCATATGATGATGATGATGATGAACTAACAGTTAGCATACCTCTCTTACTTTTTACTTGATATATTATATTACAATGATATGATAAACAGATTAAAGAGAAATCAGTACAGTTATTTGATAGATTGATGATCAAACAAGGACATTACTTTATCGAAAGATTATCAGATGAGATGGTGGGTGCTGTCAAAGTTGAAACAATCGAGTTGCTAAAGTCTGCTTTTAAGAACAAACTTACATATACCTTTAAAAAACATTTGATGGGTCTTGTTCAATCATTTGCATTTTATTTAGTACCTACTGGTATGTAAGATATAGATATATTTCTATGTTTCAATTTATTTATTCAATTGTATTATTATTATTATTATTCTATTAGGTCGTTGGGATACATTGCGACCAACATTAGAGACAATCTTAAATGAAGAAAAAGGATCATCACCATCATTATTTAAAGAAAATGCAAGAGTATTATTAGAATTGATATCAAAGCATGACTTTGAAACGATTAAACGAGATTTTTGGAAAGAGATGATCAAGTGTAATTATTTTACCAAATTGTCCAAAGAACAGCAGAGATCATTCATGCCCGATGTACTTTCAACTCTTGATCAAATCGATGAAATGGTGGAAGGAGAATTTATGGAAAGGATTATGGGTAGTATTGCAATTCTCTATCTTAAAAAAGATCGTCATACAAAGTGGATGGAGGAATTCATTCAACAGATCATTGACATATTGATAAAAAGGTTGGACAAGTACCGAATTGAGAGCTCGTCGAAAAAAATTATCGTATACGACTTTTTAATGGACATTGTAGAGAATGATCCACAACGGTTTAACGACAGTCATCTTGAAATAATCTTGTCTCATTTATTCGATTGGTTGACTCGAGTAGATGAAATATCATTGGAAGAGTGGACTGATAAACACTACAACCATAAAAATCAATACGAGGTTCTAAACGATTATGACGATGAAGAGAAGGATTGTGAAATTTTCTACACAGACCATCGTCACGGGTGTCATGACAGCTGTGATGACCTCTGTCAAATGGTTGATGCAGATATTGGTTTCCATCGATTCGTTGGTGCACTCGGTGACCGTGTTGGAAAGTCTATTTTCAATCATTTCAACAACTTGTTAAACTCTCAGCAATGGAATCAAAGATATGCAGCATTGGTTAGTTTATCTAGATTTTGTGCATATCTACCAGATGTAACAATACAATTTCCAAATATTTTAAAGTATGTAAAAATATAAAATCGGTTATCTATTTATTTATACTCACTTTTTTTGTTTATCTATCAATACGATTTTTAGAACAGTATTAAAATTTGTAAATGATAACAGTATCCAAGTTAGATGGGCATCATTACAATGTTTATTGAAATTATCAAATGAAGATGTAAATAGAAAATCGATGATTGAATCACGACAAGAAATATTCAAAGTTATTGTCAAATCGGTTCGTAATCCAAATGAACGTATTCAAGGTTGTTGTTGCGCATTGATTCAACAAATGATATATTATTTTGGAGGAGACATGATTATTGATAACGAGAATGCTTTAAAAGAAATATCTGGTTCATTTGAAATATTACTCCAGTCACCAAAAATATTTGTAGTTGAAAGAGCATTGGTATCATTAATGATGGTTATTACTTTTATTATTTCTGTCAGCGAGTCAAGATCCAGACCTGTAAGTATAAACAAAATAACCTCACTTTTCAAAGCATTTAATTTAAAATTTATATATTTATTTACTTTTATTTAAATCTATTATTTTGTAAATATCATTCCAATTTTATTATCATTGTTGGAGAAACATCAAAGTCTAGCAACAAAAGAAACAAGAGTATTACGTTGGCGTGCAATCAAGGCACTTCCAATATGCGGTTTTGTGGTCGTCAAAAAGACATATTCAACATACGAGAACAGGTTTATGGCGTTTATTAAAGAGAATGAAGGATCTCTGGATTTGGCTCTCGATGTTTTAAAATCATCACATATGTTTGTTCAATTAATCAGTCAAAAGTCAATGGCAGAGTTGTTTTCAATTATTATGAAGAGGATTATCAATGCAATAGAGATATCATTACCAAATCAACAAGAGATATCTCGGGAGACGATGTTGGCACTCAAAGCTTTGGAAGTCGTCTTTAAGGGTCCAGAATTTGAAAAGATTTATCAACCTTTGACACCATTTATAGATAGATTGGTCGATATACTGTGCAAGGTTTACTTGACAAAGTGTACAGCCAGCATAGGTATTCAATTGCATTCCAATAGTTGTTTATCTGGTTGTGTCAAGTTGGTTAAACTTAAATATGGCGATCGTAGCCACAAGACAAAAGAGATGTTTAGTGTGATATACCATTCTGTATTCTTGTCATGTCTACTCGAACCTAACTGGTCTGAGCTGAGCCATCGAGTTGGCATTGCAAGAGGTCTCATCAGAGAGATGGGGAGTGAAATGTCATTGGATCTGATCAAATCAACGATGGATGTCATTTACCAGTTGGAGAATAGAATAAAGATATGTGTTGGTGAGCAGGTTAGAAAGGGAAACGGTAATCATCAATATGTGATTGGCAAGGAAGAACCAGATGAAATACTCTGTTCAATCGCCGATATAGTGTCTGAAAGCTATCAGGTGATTGGAGAGTTAGTCAGGTATAACCTCACCGTCATGTCACCACTCATCACCCAAGATTTCTTGGACAAGGCATGCAAGATACTTGGAGACATGGACGAAAGCAATGTTGTAAAGGATGGTATTCTAACTTTTATGGATCGTTTCTGTCAGTATGGTGGTGAGGTTGCCATCAACGCATTCCCACAGATCATACGAACCATCATCAAGTGTTTACAGATCGATGATACCGATGTGAGACAGACTGCTTGTGTGGCACTGGACGGGGCAGCACAATCTGCCCAGGGTAGATTCATACCATGGGCAATGGATACGTTATTGGCTATCGACACTATGATCTCTACACCGTCGCCTTCTATGAATAACGATCTCAAAGAACAAGCTATCGCGGTTATAGGCAGTATCATCCTAAATGTCAGAGCACTACCCACTCACAATATCAATCTCATCATTCCAAATTGGTTGGGCTATTTTCCACTTGATGAAAATGAAGAAGGTGGTGAAAAAACTAGTGTCTCTAACCTTTGTGAAGTTATCCGTCTCTACCCTGACGAATGTTTTGGCAAAAAATACCAACGTGCTTCCAGGTTACTCCAAATCATAGAACATCACTATTTGAAAACCACCAGAGACCAACAATCTTACCAAGAGTTACTCTCAAAAACCTTAACATTTATCCAAGAATCAGTACAATTAAATTGGCATAAAATACCATTAGATAAAAGGGATGTTCTATCACGTGTTTATAAACAACCTACAGTAGGCAATAAGAAAAAGAAATAAATAAATAAAAATTAAATTTGACAAATTAATGAAAGAACTTGAAGTGACTCTCTTTTGTTTGCTCGTTTTATTTTACTTCGTCGACCATCTTGTGTTTTATTATTATCTGTAGTATTTCTTTTTATATGTAGTAGTAGTAGTAGTAGTAGTTAGTATAGGATAGGATTATGATGGAGAAACCATCAGAAGATTTCATAGATTTAGTTATTATATTAGCAAGAGAAGATCAACTTAAAGAAAGAAGAAGAGGTGCTTTTGATACTGGCAAATATATTTCAAGAAGAGAGAGAAAACTAGCATTAAAAGATTGTTGTAAGTCATCACCTGATGGTGTTGATAGAGTAGTATCATGGTTACTCTATTTAATGGGCAAAGCTACTTTTGTAGTTGTATGTATAGAGTTACACTTAAGTGTGAATGAATAGATGATGATGATGATGATGAACTAACAGTAGTATACTCTATTAATTTTAACTTATACTTATTACAATACATCTATAATGATATCATAGCAGATTAAAGAGAAATCAGTACAGTTACTAAATGGGTTAATAGAAAAACTAGATGATGATGTATTTATCGAAAGATTATCAGATGAGATGGTGGATGTTGTCAAAGTTGAAACAATCGAGTTGTTAAAGTCAACTCTTACAGATACCTTTAGACAACATTTGATTGGTATCATTCAATTATTTGCTCTTTATTTATTACCTACAGGTATGTTATATAAATATACATATATATGTTTATTTCAATATTTCAATTCATCTAATACTACTATTAGGTCGTTGGGATACATTACAACAGTCATTAGAGATAAATGAACATCAAAAAGAAGAAGCATCATCACCATCATCATCATTGTTGGCAACAAAAAATTATATGAGAATGGTAAAACTAGATATGTTGGTCAAGTTGATCAATTCTGGTTATTTTCAAGGTAGATTGACTGATGAGAATTATAGAGCATCCATCCCCGGTCTATTACTCATACTCTCTGGGATGGATGGCATTGTTGATGGAAAATTAATGGTAAAGCTCGTTGACAGACTTAAAAATATCTTTCTCGATCGTCCGTCATTGATAGAGGAATTCATCCAGCAGATCATTGACACGTTGATCAAGTTGTTGGATGTAAATAGTGAAATGGGGTTCGCATCCAAAAAAGTCAAGGGTAGGGTCATTGACTACTTGTTGTTCATTGTCGAGAATCATCCTCTAGAGTTTACAGACAGTCACCTTGAAAGAATCATCAATCATTTGTACGAGTGGGTGTGTCAAGTCGATGGCGTGTCATTGGAAGTGTGGACAAATAGATACTACAACTCTAGCAATTTTAAGAACCCAAATATAGATGAAGAGAAAGATATCGGCATTATCTCTGACAGTCATTGTGACGACCAAAATCAAATGCTGGTTGATGCTGATTTAGTTTTTCTTCGATTCATGCGTGCAGTTGGTGATCGTGTAGAAGAACTAAATTTTCACCGATTCAGCACCCATTTAAACTCTCAACAGTGGAACCAAAGATATGCATCTTTAATTAGTTTATCAACCATTCCAAAATATCTATCTACAACAAAAAATAACATTCAATTTATATTAAAGTATGTAACAACAATGAATTGTAACCATGAATGATTTAATATTAATATCATATTTATCATTTATTTATTTTTCTATTTTATTTCAGGACATTATTAAAATTAGCTTATGATGACAGTATCCAAGTTAGATGGGCATCACTACATTGTTTAATTCAACTATTTCTTGAATATGGCCCAAAGATTTTTGGATCACGAGAAGAATTATATCGAGTTATTAGAGATTCGGTTCAGAATTCAAATGGACGTATTCAAAGTTGTTGTTGTCTGTTGATTCAAACAATAGCAGTTTCATTGGGAAATGACATGATTACTGATAATGATTTAAGTGAAATAACTAGTTCATTGGAAATACTACTTCAATCACCATTAGTAATTGTAGTTGAACGGGCAATGGTATCATTAATGTCGATCATCTCTATATTTAACAAAAGATCAGGACCTGTACGTAAATAATAGTAATAGTATTAATATTGATCTAATATCTTTTCATATTTATCTTTGTCTTACTGTAGTATTTTGATGCCAATGTTACAAATTTAATATGGATATTGAAAAACCATCAAATTCTTTCCAAAAAGGAATCAAGATTATTACGTTGGCGTGCAGTCAAAGCATTTGCAATGTATGTCCAATTGATGGACAAAAAGACACTTTCACAATATATGGACTGGTTTATGGCATTTGTTAAAGAGAATCAAGGGTCGTTGGATTTGGGTGTCGATGTTTTAAGATTATCACATTTGTTTGTTCATTTAATTGGTCAACAGTCATTTACAGAGGTTTTATCAAGGATCTTCAAGATGATTATCACTGTACTAGAGACACCATTACCAACTAGACAAGAGGACATGACCGAATCATCAATACAAGATGTTAATAGAATAGTGGTGGCACTCAAGTCTTTGTACACCGTTTTATATAACGACGATCAATCGGTTAATGAATTTTTGGCACCATTCATAGATAGATTGGTTGGATCATTGTGCCAATTGGCTAATTGTCCAGTCAGCAAGGATATTCAATTGTGTTCATTTCGCTGTTTACCCCTCTGTGTGGGACTGGTCGAGATGCAATATAGTAGTGACAAGAAAATCGAGATGTTTGGTATGATACTCGATTGTGTACTCATTTTGTGTCCACTAGAGACTGATTGGAGAATGTTGGAGCGTCGAGTTTACACTGTAACCAAGCTCATCACACAGACGGACAATGACATGACATTGGATCAGATCAAATCAACAATGACTATGTTTTTAGAGTTGGACAAAAGAATGAACAAAGTAGCTCAGAAGGTACGAGATGGCAACCAAGATGATGATATATCTTCTTTAATCGACAATGTTGTGGCAAGAAACTATGAAGTGCTTGTCAATATTATCGAGTTTAACAGTATCAACACTGAAGTACCATCACTTATCAGTCAGGATATCTTGGACAGATCTTGTATGATACTGCGAGACATTGGAGCAGCTGATATCGTCAAGGCAAATATCATACATTTTATGCGTCTTTTTGTTACAAAACGAAAGTATGGTGGTGAGTATGCTGTCAAGGCATTCCCACAGATCATACCAACTATTATCGAATGTTTGACAATCGATTATACCGATGATGTGAAGGAATACGCTACCTATGCACTAGAAGACATAGCACAACTTACCCTGGATAGATTCTCACCATTTGCCATGGATGCGTTACTGGCCATCGACAACATGATCTCTATACCATCATCATCGTCGTTAGAGTTCCAAGAACATGCCATCTCAGTTATAGGTACTATCATCCGACATGTGCCACTTACTACCAGCAATCTCAATGACATCATTCCAAAATGGTTCAATCATCTAGATCACATCGATGACAAGTATGAGATTGAAATTATCGTTGATGATTTATGTGCCATTATTCATCACTACCCCAACGAATGTCTCGGTAATGAATACCAACATGTTGACAAGTTACACCAAATCATAGAATACTATATAACCAAACAACAACAACAAGAATTACTCACCGATACATTAACATTTATCAAAGAATCAATCAAATCGAATTGGAATAATGTTCCAGAAGAAAAGAGGGATGGATATTATGGGCAAATAAATAAAAATTAAAATCATATCATTCGGTTTTCGTGTGACTCAAATAATAACAAATATAAATCAAAAGCAAAACAACACTTTACAAAGTATACATTATCTCAACCTGTAAAAGTAGTATCATCATTAAGGCTGTTATTTGTAGGGCTACTCTATATGTAATACCTTTAAGTAATATAGAAAATAATAATAATAAGAGTAATAATAATAATCATAAATTAAATATCTATTTATTATTATTATTTTTAGTATTTTAAAATATAACACCAATTCTATATATGTACTATTGGTAAAACATCAGGTTCTAGCAACAAAAGAAACAAGATTATTACGTAGTCGTGTAATCAAGGCATTTGCAAGTGATTGGCAAGAAAGCATTTTCAGCATTCATGTACAAGTTTATGTTGTTTGTCAAAGAGAATGAACGGTCGTATGATTTGATGCTAGATGTTTTTAGAGCATCGGGTGTATTCATTAAAGAATACCGTCAATCATTTGCAGTGTATTTACCAATGATAGTCAAGAATATCGTCCAAATACTAGAAGCACCATTACCAAATCTACAAGAAGAAATGACTGAATCATCAGAACAACATGTCAAGAGATTAGTGTTGGCAATCAAGGCTTTGGAACTCTCATTTTTAAACCCAAAATCTCACAATGATGGTGATAGTGTCACTCCATATCACCCATTTGGACGATTTATTCATAGATATCGTTTGATCAGATTCAATCAACGATGACTTTATTTTACGAGTTGGAAGAAAGAACGAACAACTTTGTTCAGCCGGTACAAGACGATGAAATTGGAGAGGACGGCCAAGATATCATTAGATCAATTAATTGATCACCACGCCGCCATCACCGTACCACTCATTGCCCAAGATCTATTGGATAGATCATGCCATAAACTGCAAGACACTGAAGAAAGTGATACTGCCAAAGGTAGCATACTATATTTTTTGACAGAGTACTTGCAGCATGGTGGTGAGTCGACCATCAACACATTCCCACAGATCATACCAACTCTTATCCACTGTCTGACAATCAATGATAGAGTGGTACGAGAAAACGCTTTGATGGTACTGGTAGTACCATGATTGGTGACTTTTGTGCCATTTTTCGTCTCTACCCCAGAGAATGTCTCGGTATTCAATACCAACATGTTGACAAGATACATCAAATCATACAATACTTTATCGACACTTTTGAACTAGGGCAAACTCATAAAGAATTACTTTGTGAAACTTGGTCATTTATCAAAGAATCGGTACAATCAAATTGGGATAATATTCCAAAAGATAAAAGAAATATCCTGTCAACCGATTTTTAAAATAAAACAAATCAATATTGTTTAGACAACATACAACCATGGAAGAACTGTTTATAAACCGTTTGGACCATTTATATATTGTTTGGTCGGTACATTGTGCAATTTGGTTGGGTACTCTTTGAACTTGAAAAAGATAAATACTTGCAAACAGATAATAATATTGTATAAAGATAATCTAATAGTTAATAGTATTGTATAGTTCACTGTGTCATTTGTATTAGCATTATGGATCGATTTATAGAGATTATTGTCGATCTAGTAAAAGAAGATCAAGAGAAACAAGACGAAACTGAAAACAATAGAAATGGCAATAATAAGAGAGTAGCAGCTAGAGGATTGTTCAAAGAATATGTGTTATCAATACCTGATAATGTAGTATCATGGTTATTATACTTAATGATAAATGGTCCCTGTACAACTGTATGTATTCTTAAGAATTATTGAGAGGTTTCATTAATGAATTTTAAAACTAACATTTCTATATTAACTTTTTAAAAAGATTAAAGCGAAAACAGTACAACTCTTGGACAGATTGTTGATTAAAAAAGGAAAAGAGTTTATTGGATCATTGTCAGAGGACACATTATCTGAAGCCAAGGTTAAAACAGTCGAGTTGTTCAAGACAGATCTCACCGAAACCTTTAGACATCATTTGAATAGTATCATTGGAATTTTTGTCACTGATTTTATTCCTAGAGGTATGCTTTAAAAATACCCAACTTTCATCAACATAGTTACCTTGAATACTAAATCATATTTTTTAGGATATTGGGTAGAATTGGAAACAGCAATCGACTCGATTATCAAAGAAGCAGGAGAAGGTTCAAAAATACTAGAAAATGCAAGAGGATTGGTGTCATTGTTATCAAAGCAAGCTGTAGAATTTAAAACAGAAATTCAACAGAACATGATCAAGATGTTGAAGCCTGATGTTTTTAAAAGTTTGACAGATGAACAAAAGAGAGTGGGAATGGCTATGTTATCATCAATACTCTCTGATATGGATGAGATTGAAGAAAGAAAGTTTATTCTAAATATTATCAACTCTCTTAAAAATCTCAAAGATTTACCTAAACAGTCTGTTTCATCAATCATTGACACTTTGATCGGGGTGCTGGATAGAAACATTGGAAAGGGTTTCAAGGACAAAGACACAAAAAGAATATTCATTGACTATTTTTTGGAACTGATCAAGCACTATCATTCAATCTTTACTGGCATTCAAGTTGGTAGAATCATGGTTCATTTGGTCGAGTGGTTGACCCAAGAAGAGGAAATGGTATTGAAAGATTGGACGGATACCAATTCCAAGGTTGATAATGACTATAGCGTTTACCACTTTAACTATCATCAAGTACAAAAAAATGACATTTTCCTAGAGTATCCAGTCTTCAATAACAATCCAGACGATACACTGTTTGTGGTCATTTTAACCATTTCCAGATTCTTGAGTAAATTTGGAAAAAGTTCTTCAGATACCATATTCAATCATTTCAACAACTTGTCCAACTCACAATCTTGGAAAGAAAGATTTATCCTTTGGATTTGCTTATCTAAATTTAGTTTGGATAAAAAAGTTGAAGACTTTGTTTTAAAGTATGTTAAAATAATAATTATAATCCATATATAGTATATCAATTTTATTTATTCAATTTTATATATAGTTTAATATTAAACCAAGTTAAAAAATCTGTTGAAGATGAAAATTCACAAGTGAGATGGGGTTCACTCCAATGTTTAATTCGAATCACTGTTGAATTTCGAAATTGGAGAATTGAAAAAAGAGAAGAAATATTGCAATTGATTGAAAGATCTATTCAAAATGATCGAAACGAACGTAATCAACATCGTTGTTGTTAGATCTAGATTGTTTAAAATCAATGATATCTCAATGATATTTCATTGAACTCAATATACTCAATCCTGGTTAGGACAAGTCAAATATGTAAAGTATTTTGGATAAAATACTAACGACTAACCATCGGCAGTTAGTCGTCTGGATCAACAGCTATAAAAAGGATTAGAATAATCCAATAAAGAGATTCTATTCTATATTCATCTTTTATTACTATAAATAATAATCATTACAATCTAATCTAAAATCATTATTACTATCTATATATTCATATATCTATATATTATTATTATTATATACCTCTCAAACTAATTATATATTTACCAAGTATCTATATAGTTATTACATGGTGGACTACGAAAAACAACGAGAAAAGCGGTTATTACCAAATATAGTAAATTATTTTTAATTTTACTTTTTATTTTTAATTTTCAGAAAAGAAAGAATAATAATAATTATAGCATAGTAGTAAATAAACAACAGCATGTACATACCTCTAGCAGAAGGAGGTATCGTAAGTAGTACAGCTCACTCGGATGGTAACGAGTTAAAGGAAAATGGGAAGGAAATAGGTGAAATAGGTATTTCCAAATGTTCATATGAACATCCCAAAACGAATTGGTGGAGTTGTATAACCACATCAATTATTAAAACACATCAACACAGAGATGCTAGGCTAAATCAAAATAATATTAATTTCATAAATAGTTTATTTTCACTCAAAGTAAATACATTTAGATCAAGATAATCTGCAATTTTGGTTGGAATGCAGATAAGTAAAACAATCATTGGATCAATAGAGATAGAAACGGATATAGCTAGATTTAAGGTGTAGAAGAGTATTCTGCCGATCTAGTTGTGTTAGATGCACCTGACCAAAGGACGCTTGTGGTTGTCATGCATTGACAAGGTGGCAATTGAACCATTGGGATTGGCAAGTAGAGTGTAAGACCGGAATTAAAGCGTTCAAAACAATATCGAGCAAGGCGGTTGTAAGTCCTGTGTGCAGGCGTTGTAGATCCTTGCTGATGGTTGTATGCAATGTAAGTCCTGGGTGCAGGCGTTGTAGGTCCGGCTGTTGGTTTCAGGCATCAGAAATTGAAATCTATTGGTGTCAATTGGTGTTTCTATAGATGTATACATGGACTGTATGATGACGATCATGACAGTACTATGAAAGTGGAAAGGATGCATTCGTTTAAAGAAAAGAGAGACTAGTTGAGTACTATTACTCAACAGATGAAGCAGTCTAAAATCATGTTGGAAACAAATTGGAAAGGCTCCATCAAAGAAAGAATGGGTTGATATACCAAAGAGATCAACAAATTGCAAGGAAATCAAACTATCTAGATAGAGTAACAAAGCATCCCTATCAATCACGCACTATGGAAGGTTTTTATTCCAGGTTGTGATCCAAGTCAGCAACCAAGGTTTTCCTTCACCTCATCTCAACAAGCAACAAAGTGCACATATCGAGGAAGGTCCTTTTTGAAGAAAGAGGAATGTTAGATCTAGATTGTTTAAAATCAATGATATCTCAATGATATTTCATTGAACTCAATATACTCAATCCTGGTTAGGACAAGTCAAATATGTAAAGTATTTTGGATAAAATACTAACGACTAACCATCGTCAGTTAGTCGTCTGGATCAACAACTATAAAAAGGATTAGAATAATCCAATAAAGAGATTCTATTCTATATTCATCTTTTATTACTATAAATAATAATCATTACAATCTAATCTAAAATCATTATTACTATCTATATATTCATATATCTATATATTATTATTATTATATACCTCTCAAACTAATTATATATTTACCAAGTATCTATATAGTTATTACAGTTGTTTTGTATTGTTTCAAAGCATTATTGATTCATATGAGCCAGAGTTGGGATTATTTCACCAAAGATAATATTGCCCATTATTTATTTAGTTCATTTGAAATTTTCCTTCAATTGCCAAAATTATATGTGGTTGAAAGAGTAGTACAATTAGTTATCAAAATTGTAGATTTCATTCCTAAAAAATTTAAACCTGTAAGTCCAACAAATAATCATTATATTTTGTATAATTTGATATATTAATTAACTTTTAATATTTTCAATTAGTATTACGGAAAAATGGTACCAATTCTATTATCATTATTGGAAAAACATCATACTTACAAACAATCAAGAGTATTATGTCGACATGCTACCAAGGCTTTTTCAATGTGTGGAGCAATTATGGACAAGAAGACATTTTCAAAAGATCTGTACAAGTTTATGGTGTTTGTTCAAAAGAATGAAAAGTCTCGTGGTTTGGTTGACGATTTTTTTAAAATATCATATTTATTTAACAAGTCTGTTGCTAAATCATTTGCGGTGTATCTACCAATGATTGTCAGGGTGATTGTCAATGTACTAGAGACACCAATACCAAATCAACAAGATGAACCATCACATTCAAGAGAATTAGCAAAACTAAATTTCGCACTCAAAGGTTTAATCAACATGATGAGGTATAAAAATGACACTCCATATCAACCAATGGCTCCATTTATTCAAAGAATGATCGGTCCTCTTATTGATATGTCTCTATTTTCTGTCAGTATCTCAATTCAAAATGATTCCCTTGACAGTTTGCCAACTTGTTTGAAGCTCGTTAAACTGCAATATGGTGATCAAAGTGACAAGACACTCGAAATTTTTGGCAAGATACTCAATTCGGTACTCTTTCAATGCAGTTGGGAGAAAAATTTAAAAGTATTGGACAAAGTTCTCTTGACTATCGGCAGTATCATCAAATTGATGGGAAATGATTCAATGACATTGGATCATGTCAAATCTGCGATGGGAATATTTGAAATGGTAGCAGAGAAATTGTACGACTTGGTGAATCGTGCTGTAACTAGCCAAGAAAATCGTCTCTTTAGTATCAATGGATTGGTTATAATCTATGAAACAATTGGTGAGATGGTCAAGTACAACTCTGCTCTTACAATTCCAATCATTACCTCATCTGATTTTTTGATCAAATCCAACAAAAAACTACTCGAAATTAGAGAAAAAGACATGGTTAAAAGTAGTATACTCTATTTTATGGCTCAATACATGAGTATGGTGGTGATACTGCCATCAACACTTTCTCAAAGATCATTCCAACAATAATCGATTGTCTCATCATCAAAGATGTCAATGTGACACAAAATGCTTTAATGGCACTTGGAATGGTAACACAAGTTGGCATAGATAGACAACTTGTCTCACCATGGATCATGGATGTTGGAAGCCTTGGACAATATGATGTCTACAAGTGATAAAGAGTTGAGAGACCAGCATGTCACGGATCAAGCCATTTCTATTGTTTTTCAAATCATCCGATATGTACCACAACTCGGTTCAAACAATATCAATGAAATCATTCCAAAATGGTTAAACTATCTTTCAATTAAAACCAAACCAAACAACAATCTCATCTCTAACCTTTGTGACATTATCCATCTCTACCCCAACCAATGTTTTGGCAAAGAGTATCAACATGTTGAGAGAGTACTGGAAATCATTCAATTCTTTCAAAAAACAGACAGTCAAAGACAGGTACTCACTGATACATTAACATTTATCAAAGATTCTCTACAATCAAATTGGGATACTATTCCTGAATCCAAAAGAGATGGACTATCAAAACATTTTAATTAAATTTGTTTTTTTTGAAATTTTGTATCACGTGTTAGGTTCACTTTTTTTGATAGTATTAATATTTGTTGGAGAACATCTTTTGTCATCATCATATATGATGGAGCAACCATCTGAAGACTTTGTACATATTGTTATTATTTTATCAAGATATATTAACAACGATCAAGATAGCAACGATAATTTAAAGAGAGAAACAAAACAACGATTCAAAGAGTGTAGTGAATCTACACCTGATAAAGTAGTATCATGGTTACTCTATTTAATCATAAAGGCTACTTGTACTGTATGTAAAATGATGGTGATGATGATAATATTAAATGACTTCTAATATACTTACACTCACTTGATTTAACAGATGATTAAAGAGAAAGCAGCACAGTTACTTGATAGATTGTTGATCAAAAAAGATATTTACTTTATAGCAAGTTTGTCAGCAGAGATTGTGAATGTAGTCAAAGTTGAAACAATCGAGTTGTTAAAGACCAAACTTACAGATAGCTTTAGACAACACTTGATTGGTATCATTGAATCATTTGCAACTTATTTAATACCTACTGGTATGTATGTTATATGACTTTTCATCTTATTAAATAGTAACTTATAATGTTTCTTTTTGATTGTTTAGGCCAATGGAATGATTTGAGACCATCAATACAGAAAGTTATAAAACAAGGATCACCTTTAGTATTCCTAGATAATGTAAAATCATTGATGACAGTAGTGTTACCAAAGTATGACTATAAAATAACTAAAAAGGAGGTGTTGATAGATATAATCAACTCTGGTGGTGAATTGGCCAAGGATCAGTATGAATCATTCATGCCGGGTCTAATAGAAATACTTGCAGATGAAACCGTCAAAGAAGAATGCAAAGAAAAGATTATAGATAATCTTCAAAATATCTATATTTACGACTACCCAGATTGGATGAAAGAACACATTCAATCGATCATTGAAGCATTGATAAAATTATTGTTGTTTCACTGTGAAAAGGGTTTGATAGCAGACAATAGCACCCAAAGTATAGTCGGCTGCTTTTTGTTAAAGATTATAGATCGTGATCTTCACGAGTTGACCAAAACTCACATTGAAAGAATCATCACTCATTTATACGATCGGTTATCTCTTGTAGAGATTGATGATGCGTCAGTGAAACAGTGGACTGATCGTTACACCAATCCTACCGAAAGAAACATTTTCAACCTCAACTATAATGAAGAAGTGGATCTTGGTATTATCAGAAACTTTCACACCGATCAATATGATAAACTGGGTTCTCCCTGTTCATGTTTTGGTTTGGTGAATTCATTTGATTTTTTAAAAAATGGCATAAAAGAATCAATTGACCAACAATTCAACATCTTGATACAATCACAATCGTGGAAACAAAGATATGCAGCATTGATTGGTTCATCAATCTTTTGTACAAAATTTCCCAATTATTATTTATCATCACATCAAGTTTCATTTGTTTTAAAGTATGTAAAGTTTATAATAATATTATAAAAAACACAGTTTGTATTTATTTATTTATCTTTATTTAGGTCAGTATTAAAATTGGTTGATGATGAAAATATCCAAGTTAGATGGGCATCATTGCAATGTTTAGTTCAATTGACTCTTGATTATCCTCAAACAACCTATGAATCACGAGAAGAAATATTTTCAGTCATTCTCGAATCAAACTTGATTTGTCATGATGAACAAACAAATAATAGTATTCAAAGCCGTTTTTGTGTATTGATGCAATGCATGATGCATATATTGGAAAATGATGAAATGATTCGTGATAATGATTTAAAAGGAATTCGTGATAATGTTATGGATGGATTATGTAGTTCATTGGAAATACTATTGCAATCATCAAAAATAATGGTAGTTGAACATGCATTACTATCATTAATGTCGATTATTGATATTCTAACCAAAAAATTAAGACCTGTAAGTAAATAATAATATACATATTATAGCATAATTATTTATGTATTTGTTTCTAGTATTTTAGAAATATTATTCCAATTCTGTTATCAGTATTGGAAAAACATCAAATTCTTGCAACAAAAGAATCAAGATTATTAAGGTGTCGTTCAGTTAAAAATCCTTCCTACACCCTGTATGATACAAAATGCTTCGATGGCACTGGACGAGGCCGCAAAGCTTGACAAGGATAGATTCTCACCCTATGCCATGGATGCGTTACTGGGACTCAACGCCATAGCATCTACACCATCACCAGATCCTATGGACTATGATGAAGTCGCAGAACTTGCCACCAAGGTTATGGGCAATATCATCCAGAATGTACCACTGCTAGACAACACCAACAACAAAAATATCAGTATCATCATTCCAAAATGGTTGAAACATCTTCCACTTTTGTGTGACAAGGATGATGATAGTGACTCTGTCATCACTAATCTTTGTGGAATTATCCATCTCTATCCCAACGAATGTCTCGGTCAACAATACCAACATGTCGACCAGATACTCCAAATCATCCAACACTATCTCGATACCACCTACAAACTAAAAGAAAAAGAATTACTCACTCATACATTAACATTTATCAAAGAATCAATCAAATCAAATGGGGTATAAAATAAATCCTATTTAAGATCTGAAATTGGAAGTTCAGCTCTTGGTCCAAGTCAACCATTCCAAAAAAAATTAAATATCTCAGCTGACCGTATTGGTAATTAATAGTCGCATATCTTAGTATTTGAAAGAGAGAGATAGAGATACATATCATATTGTACATGTTATGGAGCAACCATCTGCAGAAGATTGTTTAAAGTTATTCAATAAACAATCATTTAAAGAGTGTTGTGAATCCACACCTGATAAAGTAGTATCATGGTTACTCTATTTAATGATCGACAGTAGTAGTAGTACATCTGTATGTAGTATTAAAACATAAATATGTTATTTTCATTTAATCATAAACTAATATAGTTACCTCATCTTACTTGTTTATCTCAGAGTCAAGACAAAGCAGTCAAGTCACTCGATAGATTATTAATCAAAAAAGGTGATGACTTTATAGCAGCTTTGTCAAAAGAGATAGTAGATGACGTCAAAGTTAAAACAATCGAGTTGCTAAAGGCTACACTTACAGATACATTGAAACAACATTTGTTTGGTATCATTGGATCATTTGCAAAGTATTTAATACCTAGAGGTATGTCATCTATTATATGATTTATGAATATACACACATTATAATGTGATTATATTAATTTAACTAATCATTTTCTTTCTTTCTCATTTGATTAGGTGATTGGAATGATTTGAGACCATCAATAGAGATGATTATCAATCAAGAAGGATCATCGCCTTCTCCACTCCTAGATAATGCAAAAGCATTGATGACAGTAGTATTGTCAAAGTATGATGCCAAAATAGATAGTAAAAAGGAAGAGTTGATAAATCTAATCAACTCTAGTGGTCAATTGGCCGAGGATCAGTATGAATCATTCATGCCCAGTCTGCTCGAAATACTTGTGGATGACACTGCTGTCAAAGAAGAATGTATTGAAAAGATTATCGACAGTCTTACAGATATTCTTAAAGAGTACCCAAAGTGGAGAAATACATTCAATCAACCAATCATTGACACATTTATCAAAGTGTTGGATAGATACCATGAAAAGGGTATAGTTTCAGACAATCGCATCAAAGGTTTAATATATGAATTTTTGTTGCCGCTTGCCTTGAATAATTGTAAAGAAGATTTGACTGACAGACAACTTGACAGACTCGTTGTCCATTTATATGAGCGGTTAACAGAAGTTCCAGTTAAACTGTGGACTGCAATCAATGATAGATTCACCCATCCAGGAAATTCAAGCAACATTTTCAACCTCAACTATGAAGAAGAAGAAGAAGATTTAATTCTCATCAAAGTACGAGGATCTGATACATTCCAACTCGTTCCATCTTATAAAGATTTTCATCGATTACTGGATCAACGTGGCCACGTAAAAGATACCATTTTAAAACAATTCGACATCCTAGTAAAATCTCAATCGTGGAAACAAAGATATGTAGCATTGATTGGTTTATTAATATTTACTAGAACTACACATTACCATAATAGTTTAAAAAAATGGAAACGTTTTCCAAATATTTTAGAGTATGTAAATACATCAATAATTTTTATAATATTTTCTTTTTGTATTAATTTATTTATCTTTATTTAGGTCGGTATTAAAATTGGTTGATGATGAAAATTTAGAAGTTAGATGGGCATCATTACAATGTTTAATTCACTTTTCCTTTGAATATAGCTATGAGATGGTTCGATCGCATTCAAGAGAAGGAGTATTTTCAGTCATTCTCGAATCAGTAAACGCGAGTGACACAAATGAACGTATTCAAAGTCGTTTCTGTGCATTGATTCAATGCACTATTCTTATACTGGACAATGAAGAGATTCGAGAAAATGATTTAAAAGGACTATGTCATTCATTTGAAATGTTACTCCAATCTTCAAATATAATTGTTGTTGAACAAGCATTACTAGCATTAATGTCTGTTATTTCTGTTGTTAAAAAACAATTAAGACCTGTAAGTTAATAATCATAGACATTAGTACAATATAAAAGTTTATTTATTTATTTAATATTTATTTATTTTTAGTATTTTGGAAATATTACTCCCATTCTATTATCATTGTTGGAAAAACATCAAATTCTAGCAACAAAAGAATCAAGAGTATTAAGGTGTCGTGCAATCAAAGCAATTGTAATGTGTGGTAAAGTGGTCGACAAGAAGACATTTTCAACATACATGTACAAGTTGATGATGTTTGTTGGAAAGAATGAAGGGTCGGTTGATTTGGTTGTTGATGTTTTTAGATTTTTGGGTAAAATTACAAAAAAGATTGGCAAGTCATTTGAAGTGCATCTACCAATGATTGTTAGGATGATTATCAATGTACTAGAGACACCATTACCAAATCTAGAAGAAGAGGAAATTACACCATCAAAACAAGATATTTATAGGGTGGCGTCAACACTCAAGAGCTTGCACAATGCCTATTTGCACGATATTGTTTATAAACCATTGGCACCATTTATTGATCGATTGGCTATACCTCTATACAATTTGTCAAAGTGTACAGTCAACTGCAGAATTCAATTTTTCTCTCTTACAAGTTTACCTAGCTGTGTTGAGTTGTCCAAGTTAAAGTATGGTGCAAGTAGCGACAAGACACGAGAGATGTTTGGCATGTTTTACGATTTGGTATTCTTGTGGTGTCCACTAGAGACCAACTGGCGCTTGTTGCAAAATCTAGTTGGTGTTGCAGGCTATCTCATTGAAGCGATGGAAGGTAGTGAAATATCATTGGATCTGATTCAATCGACGATATCTCTATTTCACAAGTTGGAAGAAAAAATGGACGATGGTGTTCGCCAGTTACAACAAGACGGAGATGAAGATGGAGATGAAAATGAAAATGAAAATGAAGATGAAGATGAAGATGAAGATGAAGATGAAGATGAAGATGAAGATGAAGATGAAGATGAAGATGAAGATGAAATACCACCCAAAGAAGACATACTCGATTCAATCTATCATTTGATGGGTGTGAACTATGATTTGCTTAGTCATGTGGTTAGGCAAAACAGCGTCTTGACAGTACCACTCATCACTCAAGATATCTTGGACACGTCACTTGAGAAACTCAACAATAATGTAGAGAGCTATATCAACAAGGAAGCAATCCTATTTTTTATGGCACAGTACTGTGAGTTTGGTGGTGAGTCGGCAGTCAAGGCATTCCCACAGATCATACCAACCGTTATCGGCTGTCTACTCGATAGTTCGCTCGGTGTGAATCAGGCTTTGGGTACACTGAATAGTGCAGCATATCTTAACAAGGATAAATTCTCACCATTTGCCATGGATGCGTTACTGGCCATCGATGACATGGCATCCAATTTATCCTCCTCAGAGGACTCAATGATGAACCATGTCACCACAGTTATGGGCAATATCATCCGTCATGTACCACTACCCAAAGAAAATATCGGTATCATCTTCCCAAAATGGTTGAACCATATTGACGAGGACGATGAGATTAATGAGGAAGTAATCCCCAACCTTTGCGCCACTATCCGTCTCTACCCCAACGAATGTCTCGGTCAACAACACCAACATGTTGACCAGATACTCCAAATCATCCAACACTATCTCGACAATACATATGTCGAAAAAGAATTACTCAATGATACCTTAACATTTATAAATATTTATCAGGAGAAATATTGGACTTGGGGTACACACTCGATTTCGTTGAAAAAAAAAAAAAATTCAAATTTTTTTTATTAGAGTTGAACGTGGTGTGTTGTGGAGTTCCCCCATGTCAAATAATAAAGATATAAGAAGAGCTTGCAAAAAAAAAAGTTTGCTAAGAAGAGAGTTCATGTCAGAATTCGTTTACTATGATTAGCTTTATGTACAGTTATTATTATATTATATATATATGTATTTGTTGTCACACTCACTTGTAGTTATCTAAATTAATGTGTGTGTAGCACTACGACGATGGAGCAACCACATGAATACTGTAGATATCGTTATTAGCAAGAGAAGATCTACAGAAACAGAGAAGGAAAGCAGCAAATAAAGAGATATGTTGTAAAGAGAGAGACAAAACAAACATATAAAGATTGTTATCAGTCTACACCAGATAAAGTAGTATCATGGTTACTCTATTTAATGTCAAAGGATAATTTTGTGGTTGTATGTATCTATGTATTAATTATATCTATTATAATATTATCGAACTGCATATTATAATGACCAAGTAACTTATAACTAATACTTTTTACTTTAACACTTGTATACACACTTAAATATATAACAATATATATATATATTTTTATATATATACTTCTCTCTCACTCTTTGTACAGATTTAAGAGAAGGCAGCACAGTTACTTGATACATTATTGGTCAGAAAAGGTGATGACTTTATCAAATCATTGTCACAACAGTAGATGCAGCCAAGTTTGAAACAATAGAATTGCTCAAAGCAAAACTGATCAATAATTACTATAATTATAATTATCATAATATTTAGTATCATTGAATCATTTGCAATCTATTTAATTCCAAAAGGTATGTTGAGAGAATCGTTCATAAATGTAATATAATGACCAATCAGTTCATCATTCTAATACTTTTTATTTCTAGGTCATTGGAATAAATTACAACCATTATTGGAGACTATTTTAAATGGAGGAGAGGAAGAAGAGGAAGGATCAATATTAAAAGAAAATGCAAAAGAATTAAAAGCAGTTCTATCAAAGTATGACTTTAAATCGTCTCACATTGGGAGGTTTGTAGACATGTTGAAAAATGCTGGTGGTTTGATAACTGACGAGCATTATAGATCATATATACCCTATCTGCTAGAAATGGTGGCACAACTGGATGACACGACCATTGGTGTATGTCTACATATAGAACAGACTGTATTCCATCTTACCAATCTATCTCAAAGATTACCCAGTGTGGATGAAAGAGCTCATTCAACCAATCATTGCAATGTTGATCAAATTGTTGGATAGAGATCGTGAAAAGAGTTTCTTGGACAAGAGCACTAAAAGTACGGTATATGACTTTTTGTTGGGCATTGTCGAGAAAGTTTGACGATATGCACCTTGAAATAATCATGTCTCATTTGTACAACTGGTTGGCACAAGTGGAGCATATACCATTGGAAGAGTGGACTGACAGTTACGACCACATCGACATTGAAAATGACGTTTTCAACCCAAATTACTCGGTCGAGGAATATAACGAAAAGACAGAACAAATCATCGAAATAGTTGATGCAGAATCTGCTTTTGAACGATTCGTGAGTGCACTTGGTGAACGTGACAAGTTTAAGCAATCCATTTACAATCAATTCAACAACTTGTTAACGATACAATCCCACCAACAGTGGGAACGTAGATATGTAGCATTGATTGCTTTATCAAAATATTGTAGATATTTTAAAGATCTTTGTACAACAATTTCCATTTATTTTAAAGTATGAAAATAATAATATAAAATAATAAATATTTATTTATTTATTTATTTATTAATTAATTAATTTATTTTTTTAGTATATTATTTATATTTGTTAATAATGAAAATATTCAAGTTAGATGGACATCGTTACAATGTTTAATTCAATTATCATTTGAACATATAGATTTGATGGTTGAATCAAGAGATGAAATATTTAACGGTATTATCAAAACAATTTGTGATCCAAATGAACGAGTTCAACGTACTAGTTGTATGTTGATTCAATCTATGATATATTCATTGGACATTGATAATACATTGGCTGATGATGTTATAGATGGATTATGTAGTTCATTTTTAATACTACTTCAATCACGAAACTTAGTTGTAGTTGAACATGCATTATTATCATTCATGTCACTCGTTACTCAATTTGGTAAAAGATTAAGACCTGTAAGTAAATAGTAATCAATCAATCACATAAATTTAATATTTATTTTATTAATTTAAATATTTTTGTCTTTTTATTTCTATTTGTTTAAAATACTAAAAATATGATTCCAAATATATTATCAGTGTTGGAAAACCATCAGAGTCACTCTGAATCAAGATTATTAATTTGTAGGGCAATCACGGCATTTGCAATGTGTAGCCAAGTGGTCGACAAGAAGACATTTTCAACATACTTGGACAAGTTGATGGTGTTTGTTGGAAAAAATGAAGGGTCGTTGGATTTGGTTATAGATGTTTTAAGACAATCACGAACATTTATTAAAAAAATTGACAAATCATTTCAAGTGCATTTACCAATGATCATCAAGATGATTGTCAGTGTACTAGAGATACCATTATCAAATCAAAAACAACAACAACAACAACTAGAAGAATTCTCAGCGTACCGTAAAATACAAGACATCAAGAGAATACGAGTGGCAGATGGTCAAGAATTACACTGCCATCACACTACCACTTATCACCCAAGATCTATTGGACAGAGCTTGCCAGAAACCACGAGACGTTGACCAAGCAGAAATAAATATCGCAAAGTCAGTTATCTAAATTTTATGGATAGTTTCTGCGAGTTTGGTGGCGAGTCGGCTCTCAAGGCATTCCACAGATCATACCACCTATTATCGAGTGTCTGGCAATCGATGATGCCGATGTTAGATGTAAGGCTACCTATGCACTCGAAAAGGCGGTTGGATTATCCAAACACCGATTCTCACCATTTGCCTTGACCGCTTTCCGACGACTCGACGCCATGGTCAACTCTATCGACGAGGACGATGTCAAAGAAGTTGCCACCGAGTAGTATGATCATGCCGTATCTCAAACCTCCTAGTGGCAGCCTTGACACTGTATGATGGATGCCAAGTGAAAGAGATATAATATAATAAAGCAAGCAAACCAGTCTACCATATTTAACTTACACCCTAAAAATAGATTGTGTTGTGTGGGGTTGTTGTTACAAAAAAAAGTGGTATAAACAAAAGAGTAGTTTGCACATTTTATTATTAATACATGTATATATATATATCGATGATGATAAATAATTGTTGTACTGTCCGACAACAATTATTTATTTCAATAACAAACTCATAGTAGTATTAATTGTATCATTAATTTCATGATATGGAACAACCATCAGAAGACTTTATAGATATTATTATCATTTTGGCAAGAGAAGTTGCACTCAAACAAATCAGAAAAATTAATAATATAGATAATAGCAAATATGTATTAAAGAAAGAGATAAAAGCAACATTTATAGAGTGTTTAGAGTCTGATAGTGATAAAGTAGTATCATGTTTACTTTATTTAATGATAAATGGTACTTTTGTCGTTGTATGTATTAATGAAGATTAGATTTGATTTGTCATGGTGATCAGGTGACTTACAGTACTCTACTCTCTTTTTACTTTTAGATTAAATCTTATTCAATGCGATTACTTGCTAGACTATTTATGAAAAAAGAATATTTGTTAGAGTTGTTGTCAGATGGAACTGTGAATGCTCTCAAGGTCGAAACAGTCAAGTTGGTAAAGATAACCCCCACACCTGATTTGTATCATATCATTGCAAATCTTGCAAATTATTTATTACCAAGAGGTATGTTATATATAATTATCTAATTATATGTTTTGTTTTGACTGTTTAATATAATTTAATTAATGTTTAAATCCTTTATTTGATTTAGGGCTTTGGAAGGAATTAGAATCAATAATAGAAGATGCAATGATAGATGTAACATCACCATTTAATCAATACGCGGCAACATTGCAACAAGAAGTGTTGTCAAAGTATGGTATGGAAAGTCTCAATTAGAGATGAAATTGGAAGAGATCAAGGCTGGTGGATTGACCGATGACCAGTATCGATCATTCATGCCCCAACTTTTAGAAAAGATTTCACATATGGATGGATCGAGAAAAGAAGGAGAATTTATGGAAAAGATTATAGACAATTTGGTCAATATCTATATGGACGACTATCCAGAATGGATGCAAGAATTAATTCAACCAATAATTGACATGTTGATTAAAATGTTGGATAGAAATCGTGAAAAGTTATTCTTGACCAAAAGCATTAAAAGTGTGGTCGTTCACTTTTTATTGCTCATTGCCCAAAATGACGCACAAGAGTTGACAGATAGTCATCTTGAAAGAATCATCAATCATTTGTATGAGTGGTTGATTCAAGTCGATCAGGTGTCATTGGAAGAATGGACTGATAACTATTACACCGCATATAACAATGTTGCCAACTTAAATTACAATGAAGAACAAGATAGTGATATCAATAATGATAATTACGATGGTCAACTGGTTGATGCAGAATCTGCTTTTGAACGATTTGTCAGTGCACTTGGTCAAAGTGTCGAGGAATCAGTTTTTAAACGTATCAACATTCTAGTATAATCTAAAAAATCAAATGAAAGATATGCAGGTTTGATTAGTTTAGGAAAAAATTGTAGATTTTTAATTACAAACATACCCGTTCAATTTCCATTATTTTTAAAGTATGTTAGGAAAATATTATTATATTTATTAGAATATTTATATTTATTTATTTATTTAATTTCTTTGTTTTTAGGACAGTATTAAAATTTGTTAATGATGAAAATATCAAAGTTAGATGGGCATCATTACAATGTTTAGTTGAATTATCAATTTATAAAGAATTTATTTATTTATCAAAGATACAATCAAATCAAATTGGCATAATATTCCAAAATATGTAAGAGTTGGAGTACTATCACATTATATGGATTAATTAAAAAATAATAAAGTTAAACACACATATTGGTAATACCAACCCCTTTTGGCACTAATCAAAAAAGGAATATTGTATTTGAGTAGGGGGTAGATACGAACAACTCTTACATCATACATTAAAATACTTGTATTTTAATTTTAGAATAATATCTCTCCATCACTAACTCGAGATGGTTTAAAATAAATATGTACATAGTTGTTGATCATCATTTATTATTTATCCAAAAAAAAAAAAATAAATAAAAAAAATAGTGATGATGGAGAAACCATCAGAAGACTTTGTAGACATAGTTATAAAATTAGCAAGAGAAGATACAAAGAAGCAAATTACATTAAAGAATGATACTAATAACACTTACAAATATATTGTAAAGAGAGTTACTAAACAATCATATAAAGAGTGTTATGAACCTAATCAAGTAGTATCATGGTTACTCTATTTAATGATAAAGGCTACTTTTGAAATTGTATGTATCTAAATAAATAAATATATTTATCTTTGTTGCAAACAATGACATGATAACTAATATTATTATATTATGTTCTCTATTCTATCATTCTATTAAAATAACAAAAAAAGATTAAACAGAAATCATTTCAGTTGCTTTTTAGATTGGTTAAAAAAGCTTACTTTCTAGAATCATTGTCAAAAGAGATAGTAGAAGTAGTCAAGGTTGAAACTATCGAGTTGCTAAAGACTGATCTTACATCATCTAGTTCAACTAGATATCATGTATTTTATCATTTGCTTGGTATCATTAAATCACTTGCAATTTATTTATTACCAAGAGGTATGTATATATGTAGATATGTTAAATCATCAACAAGTTGCTAGTTGCTTTACATATTATATATATTAACGTTATCATTGATTTTATTGATTTCTTAGGTGGTTGGGATGGTTTTGAGTCATCATTGAACGCTATCATTGATGGAGAAGAGGAAGGACAGAATTCACAATTACAATATAATACAAGAGCATTGCTCATGTTGTTAGCGACGTCAAATGATTTTAGAATGGTTAAACTTCAGATGTTGGTAGATATGGTCAAAGCCGATAGGTTGAATGAAGAGCAGTATGCATCATCCATGTCCTATGTCATAACAATGCTATCGGTAATGAACGGAAGGACTGAAGGAGAATATATAGAAATGATTATAAACAATTTTGTACATATCACGATAGAAGAGAACCCAATTTGGATGCTGGAGCTCATCCAACCGATCATTTACGCGTTAATCAAGTTGTTGGATGTAAATCGTGAACATGGTTTCACATCGAAAAGAACAAAAAGTATAGTATTTAATTACTTGTTGTTCATTGCCAGGTCCTATCCCTACCAATATACCGATCGTCTCATTGAAAGATTCGTCGTTCATTTGTACGAGTGGTCGGCCTCTCAAGTCACAGACATGTCATTGAAAGAGTGGACAGACACCTACACCAACACTGGCAATGAAAATGAAATGTTGAACCTCAATGACGAGGAAGAGCAATGCAGTGGTATCAGGTCTGAAAAAGAACATGATCAGCAGCAACAGATCAATGCTGATTCAAGTTTTCAATGTAGATTCCTAAGTGCACACGGTAATCGTGCAAAAGATTCAATTTACAAACAATCTAACCTATTATTAGGATCGCAACTTTGGAATGAAAAATATGCAGCATTGGTTGGTTTCGCCAATTCTTGTAAATACCTAAATGGTATTACATTACAACAATTTCAAATTATTTTAAAGTATGTAAATGTTCAAAAAGATTAAATTTATTTATTTATTTAATTAATTAAATTAATTAATTTATTTTATTTAGTTCAGCATTAAAATTAGTCAATGATGCAAGTATACAAGTTAGATGGGCATCATTACAATGTTTAGTTCAATTATCCCAACATAAAGAATTTATTAAATCATCAAGAGAAGAAATATTCCGAATCGGTACCAAAACCATTCGTCATCCAAATGAACGAGTTCAAAGTAGTTCTTGTTTGTTACTTCAATCAATGATACATTCATTGACAGTAGATAATAATACGATGGTCACTGATGATGTTTTGGATGGATTATGTCGTTCATTTGAAATACTGCTCCAATCATCAAAATTATATGTAGTTGAAAATGTATTACTATCTTTAATGACCGTTGCTGGTACTGTTAAAAAAGGATTAAAACCTGTAAGTAATTAAATAATTATTCAACTTTTAAATTCTATTTATTTAATTATTTAATTATTTAATTATTTTTTAGAATTTTAGAAATATCATTCCAATTCTATTATCAGTATTGGAAAAACATCAAAGATTTGCAACAAAAGAATCAAGATTGTTACGGTGTCGTGCAATCAAAACTTTTACACTGTGCAGCAAGGCAATGAACAAGAAGACGTATTCAAAATACATGTACAAGTTTATGTTGTTTGTTGGAAAGAATGAAGGGTCGGTTGATTTGGTCGATGATTTTTTAAGAGTATTACCTATATTCATTAAACACAGTGGTAAATCATTGGCAGTGTATTTACCAATAATCATAAAGATGATTGTCCAAATACTAGAGATACCATTACCAAATCTAGCAGAGGAAATGACTGAATCATCAAGACTAGGTACCAATAGAATAGCGACGACTCTTATTCAATTAAACATAATCATGAGGACTTTTATGTTTGGACGACCATACCTAGAATCGGTTGGACAACAATTGGCACCATTTGTACATTGTTTGTTCGGTCCACTACTCGTCTTGGCTAGGTGTCCAAATGCAATCCGCACACTTTTTCAAATAGATTCATTTCACAATTTATCCAGCTGTTTAAATATAGTAAAGATGCATTATGGTGTGAGTAATGAAAAGGCACTCGAAATGTTTGGTATGATATTTGAATTGGTTCTACCTTTGTGTCTGATAGAGAATGACTGGAGAATGCTGGACCACAGAGTTCGTATTACAAACAACTTTATCATAGAGATGGAAAATGAAATGTCATTTGATCAAGTTCAATCAACGATAGATATGTTTTACAAGTTGGAAACGAGAATGGAACAAGTTGCTCAGCAAGTGTTGGACGGCAATCAAGATGTTATTGGTAACTTTGATACACCAGATGTTGTACTCGCTACAATATCTAAAATAGTGGTTGGTATCTATGATATGCTTGGCAAGATGGTCAAGAATTACAGTGCCATCACAGTACCACTCATCACTCAAGATCTATTAGACAGATCATGCGAGAAACTGCGAGATGTTGAAGAAAGCAATATCGCAAAGGCAGGTATCCTCATGTTTATGTATGATTACTGTCACTATGGTGGTGAGTTGGCTATCAGCTCTTTCCCACAAATCATACCTGCCATTCTCGAGTGTCTGACAACCACTGATTCAAATGTCAGACAGAACGCATTAATGGCAGTGGATGAGGCAGCACAACATGCTAAGGATAGATTCTCACCATTGGCCATGGATGTGTTACAAGGACTCAACGCCATCGTCTTGACGGACGACAAGTCTATCACAGGCTATGCCACCAATGTCATGGCCACCATCATCCGATACGTACAACCACAACCAAGTGGTCTTATCAGTATCATTATTCCAAAATGGTTGGATCATATTCTTTCCATCTATAACTTTTCCGTGTATGATATTGCCATCTCTAACCTTTGTGCCATTGTCCGTCTCTATCCCAACGAGTGTCTAGGTCAAGAATACCAACATGTTGACAAGTTGCATCAAATCATCCCACATTATATCAAGAAATCTACCCAACAACAACAAGAAGAATTACTAACAGACACCTGGTTGTTTATCAAAGATACAATCAAATCAAATTGGCATAATATTCCACAAGATATAAAAGACACACTGTCACAATATTACAAGCAATAATAAATAATAAACTGTGAGTAAAATAATTTTTCGAAGAACTAGGAATTTAAATATCTTTGATTTTTTTTTTTTATAAGAGCTCTATGTCATTCTATTTTCAGCTACAAATGCTAAATACATATAATATGGAACAACCAACTACAGACTTTGTAGATATAGTTATTATTTTAGCAAGAGAAGATCGACTGAAAGAAAAAGAAAAGAATGATGATAACAATAACAACAGTACTGTCGAGAGTATCACAAAACAAAGATTCAAAGACTGTTTAGAGTCTGCACCTAAACAAGTAGTATCATGGTTACTCTATTTAATTGTAAATGGTACTTGTAAAAATGTAAGTATTATATAGCTATATATACTCAGAGATTACCTTTGCAATTTACTTATTTTTATTTTTACTGCTTGTTATCATTAAAGATTAAAGAGAAATCGGTACAACTCCTTAATAAACTATTGATTAAAAAAGGTGATGACTTGCTCAAAGAATTGTTACTGGAGGATATAATGGAGGCTATCAAGTTTGAGACTGTCGAGTTGTTAAAGACAAATCTTTCAGTTAGTTTTATTGGTCATTTATTTGGTATCATTGAAAAAATTGCTCTATTTTTAATTCCTAGAGGTATGTATTGTTGTTTTGGTTTAAATTGTAATGTATATTATTTTTAATTTGATTATATATTATATGTAGGTCTTTGGAATGAATTACAACCATCCTTGGTGGAAATTGTCAATCGCGAAGAAGAGGAAGAGGAAGGATCATCATCACCATTAAAAGAAAATGCATTATCATTACTATCACTGCTGTCAAAGTATGACTTTAAAAAGTCAAAACTAGATACGTTGGTCAATGAGATAAGCTCTGGTGAATTGTCTGATGATCAGTATCGATCATTGCTTCCCGATCTATTGTCAACGCTTCCAATCATCGAAAAGACTGAAGGAGAATATTTTAAAAAGATTGTAGTTGCTCTAAACAATATCTATATGGACGAGAATCCAAATTGGATGCAAGAATTCATTTTACCAATCATTGACACGTTAATAGAAGTATTGGATATTAATCGTGAAAATGGGTTCTCATCATCAAACAAGAGTCAGACAAATACAAAGGGTGTGGTTTATAAATTCTTGTTGGATATGGTCGAGAATGATGAAAACAATATTTTTGAACCTTACGCATTTACCAACAGTCATCTTGAAAGAATCTTGTCACATTTGTACGAATGGATGATTCAAGTTGAGGATGTATCAGTGGAAGAGTGGACTGATAGCGACTACTGTACAGACAATCAAGGTATTATATTCAACATAAATAGCGAGGAAGAAGGTGACCTTGGTATCCTCAAGACAGACTTTGATCAACAAATTCCAGCCGATTCGAATTTTGAACGATTCGTTGGGTTGATTGGTAACCATGTCGAAATACAACAATCCATTTACAATCAATTCACCAGCCTAGTAAACTCTCAAAAATGGAATGAAAGATATGCTAGTTTGATTGCTTTGTCTAAATTTACTAGATTTCTAATTGATATTGTTACGCAACAACATCCATTTATTTTAAAGTATGTTAACAACAAAAAAAAATAATAATAATATTTATTTAATTATTTATTTATTTATAAAATTATTTTTAATTTTATTTATTTGTAGTTCAATATTTAAATTAGTTGAAGATGAAAATATAAGAGTTAGATGGGCATCTTTACAATGTTTAATTCAATTATTTATACATACGCAAGAGATGATTGGTTCAAAAGAAAAGGTATACCAAGTTTTGATCAAATCAATTTATGATGATCCAAATGAACGCATACAAATTAGTTGTTGTTTGTTACTTCAAACAATGACAAATGTATTGGAAGCAGATATGATAGCAGATACTGATTTGCAAGTATTATCAAGTTTGTTTGAAAAACTTTTACAATCACAAAAGTTATATGTCGTTGAAAGTGCATTACCATCATTAATGTCTCTTGCTTCTATTGCTAAAGAAAGATTAAAACCTGTAAGTAAATACTAAATCAATATTTTAAATTTAATTGTTAACATTAATCAATTTATTACTCTATTTATTATTTAGTATTTTGGAAATATTATTCCAATACTATTATCAGTGTTGGAAAAACATCAAAGTATTGCAACAAAAGAATCAAGAGTATTAAGGTGTCGTTCAGTTAAAGCATTTGCTTTGTGTGGTTTGGTGGTTGACAATAATACATTTTCAACATACTTGAACAAGTTTATGGTGATGTTTGTTAAAAAGAATCAAGGTTCGGTTGATTTGTCAGTTGATATTACAAGAGCATCATATTCATTTATTCAAACGGTTGGTAATGAGTTTGCAGTTTATTTACCAATGACTGTCAGGATGGCTGTCAATGTACTAGAGATACCACTACCCGATCAAGAACAAGACATGCGTGCATTATCACGACAAAATGTCAAGAAAATAATGTCGACCCTCACAGGAATGAACAACCTCATTCAGATTTGTATGCCATCACAATCGACTCTTTTTGGAGACGTGGTCTATCAACAATTGGCACCATTTATACATTGTTTGATTGGTCCATTAATCAAGTTGGTTGGGTGTACAGTAAACAACAGAATTCAACTGTTCTCCCTTGACAATTTACCCAAATATGTAACAATGTACAAGATGCATTATGGTGCAGGTAGCGACAAGACAATCGAGATGTTTGGTATGGTAGTCGATTTGGTGGCCACTCCAAGTATGCTAGAGACCGACTGGAACTTGGTTGATCAACGAGTATTAGTGAGCCATCGAGTTTTCGCTGCAACCAACCTCATCAAATTGATGGACAGCAGCGCTGGTGATCGTAATGAAATGTCATTGGATCAGATTCAATCAACAGTGGCTCTGTTTTACAATTTGGACAAAAGAATACAAGACTTTGTTGAACAGCAGGCCAATATTGGCAATACAGATTTAATTGGGGTGGGACTTATTGTGGTCAGAAACTATGAGATGCTTGTTCAGCTGATCGAGTACAACAGCTCCATCACCATACCACTCATCACCCAAGATCTATTGATTAGGGGATGTCATAAATTACGTGACAATGAAGGGTCCAATGCCATCAAGGCTCTGATCCTCACATTTATGCATAGTTACTGCAAGTATGGTGGTGAGTTGGCTATCAGCTCATTCCCACATATCATACCTGCCATTATCGAGTGTCTGACATATACGAATAACATCTCACGTATTGCTGCATCTACACTAAAAGAGGCAGCTCAAAATGCTAAAGATAGATTCTCACCTTGGGCCATCGATGCATTACTGGGTCTCGACGCCATTGTCTCCGCGGCATCATTAATGATGGTACCACGAACCTCCTCCTCCGATGTTATCATCTCTAGCATCAACACCATTATCCAATATGTCCCAAAACAACTCACAAGCAATATTAATATTAATGTCAGTGACATCATTCAAAAATGTTTGAATCATCTTGACAAAGTATCAAAGTAAGAATAAAAAAAAGAAACCCACACAACATACAGGTGAAAAAAGTAAATAAAAAAACACACACATCCATCAGAGCTAGTGTTAACCACCACCATCATTGCACAAACAAAATGCATGACGATCATTAGGGTTGAAGTAAATTAAATAATAGTAGTACTATTAGTATAATAGTCAAGTAAAGGATAGTCAACCACATCGATATGATGGAGAAACCATCAGAAGACTTTGAAAATATACAGAAAGAAGTAAGGAATCATGCTAACAACAACAACAACAACAACAGCAGCAGCAGCAGCAGCAGCAGCAGCAGCAGGCACCACAGTTTAGTAAAGATAGAAACAAAACAAACATATAGGGATTGTTTAGAGTCTACACCTAATCAAGTAGTATCATGGTTACTCTATTTAATGATAAAGGCTACTTTTAAAACTGTATGTATCTATCACACAATGAAAATTGATGAGTTTGGTAAAGTACTAATATAGCATAATCTTTCTCCTATTTCATACTTGTTAAAGATTAAAGAAAAATCAGCAAGCACAGTTACTTGATAAATTATTTATAAAAAAACCTTTAATTAGATCATTGCCAAAAGAGATATTGGATGCAGTCAAATTTGAAACAGTAGAGTTGTTAAAGACAAATATTACAATTGGTTACACATATAATTATATTGGTCATTTACTTGGTATCATACTTGCACTCATTTTAATACCAAGAGGTATGTTCAATTTTAATCTATAAATTGTATTTAATTTATTAATGATGATGTTTTGATTTAATTCTTTAGGTCTTTGGAATGAATTGCAACCATCGTTGCTATTGTAAATGATGAGCAAGTAGAGACACCTTCAAAAGATACTATAAGAGCATTGATAGCATCGTTGTCAAATCATGGCTTTAGAAAGGCCAAAATAGAGATGTTGGTGATACTGATCAACGGTAATGGCGGTGACTTTACTGAACAAGAGATTCGATCAATGATCAAAAAACACAAAGTCTAGTATTTGAATGCTTGTTACTTATTGTCGAAAATAATCCTCAACAATTTACAAATCGTAATCTTGAAAGAATTATTATTCATTTATACGAGTGGCTGACTCAAGTAGTAGTAGTAGAGGATGATGGATCATTCAAAGTATTGACAGATAAAGTATACTATATTGACAATAACAATAATCCCGATTATTTCAATGAAGAGCAAGACACCAACAATGCACAGACAGACGATGATCATCATGCAGGATATTTTGATTTTTTTAAATCAACCGATCAAATATTTAAAGTGATTGGAAAATATATTCGTGATGATCCAAATGAAAGAATCCAAAGTAGTTGTTGTCAGTTGGTTCAAACAATGATGTCATCATTGAAAATAGACACCCTTTCTGATAATGTATTAGAGGTATTATCAAGTTCATTTGAAATACTATTACAATCACCAAATTTAAATGTTGTTAAACATGCATTACTATCATTAAATTCGGTTGTTTTTATTTTTAAAGAAAAATTAAAACCTGTAAGTAAATTAAATATTCTAAATCAATTATAATTTGAAATATTTATTTCCTTTTTCTGTTTTTAGTCTCTAGCGGACATGAAGTGAGGAACAAATCAAGCATCATACCAATCATCTCTAGAGTCTTTTCGTTATTCACACCATGGATTATCGAGGCGTTACAAGCCTTTGACATTATGGTCTCTATGCCACTGTCAGACTCTGATGATGATGATGCCAAAATGGTCATAGAAAAGGCAGTCTCGATGATTGGTATTCTCATCCAAAATGTTCCGCTGCCCAACTCAAGCAATAATGTCAATACCATCTTTCCAAAATGGTTGGATCATCTATCAACCTACAAACCACAGTTCTACATTGATGTTATCATCTCTACTATCTGTGGCATTATTCATCTCTACCCTAACGAATGTCTCGGAAAAGAGTACCAATATGTTGACAAGATACACCAAATCGTCAATCAATACCTACATTTGAACACCTCCAATCAAAAAGAGAAAGAGTTGCTCTCACAAACCTTAACATTAATCAAAGATACTTTACAATCAAATTGGTAAGATAAAAGAGATACATTTATTCTAGGATAATCAAGACCTAGATTTGTTATATCTGAAATGTCACTTTATTGATTTTCTCGATGAAACCTGTTTATTTATCAAAGAATTATTACAACAGTCGAATAAGGATAGTGTTCCAACAGAGACATGAGATTTACTATCACCATTTTTTGTACTTACACAAAAATAAAACTTTTAAAAAAAGGGTATTTTTTGCCTCTTGTCAATCAAGTTGGGTATCCTAGATTTAATGACGAAATACTTTGGGTGTGGTCAAGAGTCGGCCATCAACTATTTTTCCCAGACCATACCAACTATTATCGAGTTTTTGACCCATTCTAATCAGATTGTTGTTTGGATCGCTTCAATTGCTTTGGGAGCTGCAGCACAACTATTATCCAGTGTCTCACCAATTCTGATCAGATGGTTGTTTGGACCGCTTCAATTGCTTTGGGAGCTGCAGCACAACTTGGAAAAGATAGGTTCTTACCATGGGCCATGCAGGTATTACAGGTCATTAGTGCCAGAGTCTATGTATACAATGATCAAATCCTCATCAGGTATACTTGTCAATATGCCATCTCTAGTATCGGTAAAATCATCCGATACGTGCCACTGCACAAGGTCGCCAGCAATTTAAGTGACATCATTCCCCAATGGTTAAACCTGCTTCCCATCAATTTAAATGTTGATAATGAAGAGAATGACATTGTCATCTATAATCTCTGTTCCATTATCCGACTTTATATAAACGAATGTTTTGGTCAAGAATATGAACATGTTGACAAGATACATCAAATCATTGAATATTATATTACTATCAAACCACAACAGAAACAATTACTTTCACAAACCTTGACATTTATCAAAGATATAATCAGATCAAATTGGCTTAATATGTCAGAACTTAAATGGTATCAACTATCACATACCTTAAATATACAATCATAATAAAGTTTGAGTTAAAAGATAATTATTGTCGTGATAGATATTATTTTTTTATTATTTATTTCCTTTTTTTATGTGTAATATATGTATATATATATGGAGGAACCAGATCAAGAATTTAAAGAGATAATTGATATATTAGCAACTGATCAACATTCAAAGAAAAAGAAGAAATTTGATGATGATGATAATAACCGAGACAATAATGGTTGTCAGAAGAAGAGGAAAGATGCAAAACAACGATACAAAGAGTATATACAATCAGAGCCTGAGACTGTGGTATCATGGTTACTTTATTTAATGGTAAATGATACTTGTACAAATGTATGTATTATTAATAACAACATCATCAGTGCATCAGGTGAATATAGATGCATTAGTAACTAATGACTGCTGTTATCATATTATAAACAGATTAAAGAGAAATCGGTACAATTACTTGATAAATTATTAGATAACGAGTTTGTTGAATCATTGACAGATGAATTCATACTGGATGATGTAAAGTTGGAATCAATTAATTTGTTAAGGACAACTCTTTCAGATACATTTAGACAACACTTGTTTCATATGATTGAAACACTTGCTATTTATTTAATACCTAGAGGTATGTGATAAATTAAATCATTTATAAATTACACATTCAATCTCGATCCTATATCATTAACATTCATATTCTTAGGTCATTGGGATGAATGGGAATCATCATTGGAGATGATGATTAAAAACGGAGAAGATGGATCACCAATATTGGATAATACAAGATTATTAATTGGAATATTATCAAATTATGACTTTGAAAAAGAGAAACAAAAGGTATTGATAGATCTAATCAACTCTTCTGGTTTTGAAAAGGACTTGTCAGATAAACAGTATAGATCATTCATGCCAATGTTGTTATCATTGCTATCACAGATCGACGACACGACTGATGATGGAGTTTTATCGATTGGTATTATTGTAACTAACCTGACTTGTACCATTGAAATGGCAAACAGACGTGATAAAATGTTTGATTATGGTGTTCAAGAATGGAAGGAAGAATTTAGTCGACAAATCATTGACACCTTGATCGACGTATTGGACAGACATTGTGAAAAAGGTTTCAAAGAAGGAAACACTAAAAGTGGTATCGTGGAATGTTTGGAAAAGATTTCTCTCAAACACTATACAGATTTACAAGTTGATAGTATAACTGTGCATTTGGTCAAATGGATCATCAAACTAAATGATATTGTACTCAAAGAGTGGATCAATATTGATTCAAAGATTGACAATGGAAAAAACCTTTACCACTTTAACTATGATCAAGTACGAGGGAATGACATTCTCAAAGAGTTTGAATCCACCATCCACAAATCAAAAGATCAACTGTCAGTAGCTGTTTCAATTATTGGTAGGTTCGTAGGTTCATTTGAAAAACGTGCTGCAGAACCAATTTTCAACCAATTCAACATCTTTTTAAATTCAAAACCATGGAAAATTAGATTTATAGCATTGATGTGTTTATCTAAATTTTGTAATCCTCAAAATATTATTAAACAATTTGTTTTAAAGTATGTATTTTATTTAAAATCATAATAATACTTTATTATTAATTTATTTATCTTTTTTTAAACTCCTTTAGATCAGCATTAAAATTAACAGATGACGAAAATATCAGAGTTAGATGGGCATCATTACAATGTTTAATTCGATTATTAGAGTTTAGAGAATTGATAATTGATTCAAGAGATGAAATATTCCAAGTGATTGAAAAATCAATTCGTAATCCAATGGAGCGTATAAGAAATCGTTCCAATGTATTGATTCAATTCATGATTGATATATTGCCAAAAGAAATGATGGTTGGTGACATTTTAAGAATATTATGTCAATCATTTGAAATATTACTTCAATCACCAAATTTAGATGTCGTTGAAAGTGCGCTCTCATCAATAATGGGACTTGTAGAACCAGTTCAAACTGGACAAGATAGATTTAAACCTGTAAGTAAATCATATCCTCATATCATATAGTGTAGACATTTAACATTCTTTCGTTTAGTATTTTGGAGATCTTATTAAAACTATATTATCATTTTTGGAAAAACAAAATGCAACAAAAGGATCAAAAGTAGTACGTAATCTTGCAATCAGAGCATTTTCAATTTGTGGTCAAATAATGGGCAAGAAGACATTTTCAAAGGATTTAAACAGGTTTATGGTGTATATCAAAAAGAATCAAAAGTCGTTTGATTTGATAGACTATGTTTTCAAAATATCTGATCAATTTATTAAAACCATTGGTAATGAATCGTTTGGAGTGTATATACCAATGATTACTAGAATGATTATCTTAGAGTTAGAGATACCATTACCAAATCGAAATGAAGAATTGACTTCATCATCACGACAGGTTATCAAAAGAGTCCTTTCAACAGTCGAGAGTATACAGTACCATGGCATACTTTATCAACCAATGGCTCCATTTGTACATGACCTGGTAGCTCCGCTCTGCAAGTTGGTGATGTGTCCCGTAAGCACTGATATTCGACGTCTTTCCTTTGACTGTTTACCATTGTGTATCAGGTTGGTCAGGTCACACTCACATCAGACATTAGAGAGGATATTTGGAATTATTCTAGATGCAATACTAAAGTCATGCTTAATCGAACATGACGTTTTCATCTTGTTGAAAGCTATCACCACTGGAACCAAAGTCATAGAAGCAGCTGGTAATGGCGCAATGACATTGGATCAAGTAAGTTCAGTGTTAAACACGTACAACAAGATCGAAGAAAACTCATATGTAGTTGCCGAGAAACCTTATTTGCCTGAGCGAGCCGCTGAAATTCTTGGTTGTATGACCAACATGGTTGGTGAGATGACAAAGAAAAATGGCGCAATAACTGTACCACTCATCACATCACTGATCTATTGTACAAGCTTTGCAACAAACTCTCCAACAATCAAGAAAAGTTTGCAATCAAGTGGGGTATACTAGATTTTATGGAGAAATACATTGGGTGTGGTCAAGAAGAGTCGGTCATTGACTCTTTTCCACAGATCATACCAACTATTATCCAGTGTCTCACCAATTCTGATCAGATGGTTGTATGGACCGCTTCAATTGCACTGGGCGCAGCAGCACAACTTGGAAAAGATAGGTTCTTACCATGGGCCACGCAGGTATTACAGGTCTTTAGCACAAGTGTCTCTGTATACTCTGATCAACACTTTAATCGGTACGCATGTCAAACTGCCATATCTGGTATCGGTAAAATCATCAGATACGTGCCACTGAACATGGTGGCCAGCAATTTAAGTGACATCATTCCAAAATGGTTAAACCTGCTACCCATCAAAGACGCTGAAGAGAGTGTCAATGTTATTGATAACCTCTGTTCCATTATCCGTTTCTACCCCAACGAATGTCTAGGTAAAGAATATCAACATGCTGACAAACTACACAAAATCATCAATTATTATATGATTTCCCAACTACAGCCTCAACAAAAAGAATTACTCACTTCAACCTTTTCATTGATCAATGAAGCAATAATCATATCAAATTTTTAATATTCCAAAAGATATAAGAGATTAAATATCGCACACCTTAAACATACAACTTGTTGGAGTTAAAAATATATAAATATTAGTTTTTAATTTAAATTTCATCTAAAGATTGACCTTTCATCTGATTTATCGATGTTTTTTTCGTGTGATAGTTATAAATCTTTGTACAATGATGGAACAACCATCAGATGAATTCATCAAACTAGTTGTCATTTTAACAAAAGAAGATCTTCAACAGTCATTTGAAGCAAATATAGATAATATTCCATTAGATACAAAGAATATAATAGAAACAAGTTAATAAAATTGATTAAATTTGGAATATATTTGTGCCCTACTAGTAGGGCTTTTAAAAATTCAAGATCTACTACATGCTACTTTTCAGTGATCAATAAAAATGATAAATATTGGTAAACATCAATTTATAATAATAAAATAAAAAAGATAAATATCTTTTTTGTCTTTGACAAGTTTAAAATCTTCTCTTTCCAAATCAATTTATGGACAAGCTGCATATATTCGGCATAGCTAAAATTGTTTTAAAAAATTAGGTATCAAATTTGCGTGCTCCACCAAACATAATCGATTTGAATTTGCAACTAGAGATCTCTAGTTTGCCATGATAAAAACGGTCGTCTATTACTGTATGGTGTTTAGTTTATAGATCAGTAGCATCTCTATGAATTGTTCATGAGAAATCCCTTCAATATATTGTAGGCGTGAATCATATGAGAAGTAGTAGTGGTAGTTTTGGTTCATACCCAAACCAATTTAGATTCCGCATTTACCAACAACGCTAAAACAAGTTTGTGATACGACAACTTGAAAGAGGTAAAGGGGGTAAGGTATCTTGTTTGTTCAGTGATTGCGACTGGCGATTCAATGTCCACTGTCTAGTATGTTAAGAACCAACTAAAAGGAATCCCATGACTGGTGATGATACCAACATTTAAGGTATCTGTAAGAGTTTTATTCTCCAAGAGCAGCAAACCCTTTGAGCATCTTGTCCTTTAATCAATCATTCCATATCCTCCTCTTGTTTTTAATTGACCAATCTATAAAACTGTGCTGATTTAATCTTTATGATTTTTAAGAAAAAAGAAAAAGACTAATCACCTGCCATCGTTTCTTCTAACCTATAGTTTATATAAATGTATTATCTTGCTTCTTGAAACAAACTATTATAAAAAGAAAAAACTTTTTTGACGGAGGGACAGACCAAAAAATTAAAAAAAATTAAAAAAAAAAATAAGACAAATTTGAAGCTTATTTTTTCTATCTTCGAACAATTAATAATTTATTATTATGGAGACTTGGCAACTAGACGATGAATTTATAGAGATAATAGTCATTTTAGCTAGATCAGATGAACAGAAACAGAAAAACAGATATGCAAACAAAGACATAGAAGGCATTAAATCAGCAGCAAAACAACTATTCAAACACTACTATTCTTTAGATAGTGATAAAGTAGTAACATGGTTACTCTTTTTAATGGTCAAGGGTGACTACCCAACTGTATGTATTATCACACATTTATAGATAACATCAAGAATGTATCTATAGAACCTAATAGAGAGTTTATGATGACTAATAATAATGATCTATTTATAATTTATAAAAAGATTAAAGAGAAAGCAGTACAGTTATTTGATAGATTGTTGAAGAAAGAGGGAAAAGATGCTATAGAATCAATGTCACAAATGGTATTGGACATAGTCAAGGCTGAAACAATCAATCTACTACATACTAAACTTACAGATACTTTTAGAGAGCACTTGATTAGTATCATTGAATCACTTGCATGTTATTTAGTACCTAAAGGTATGTTTGTTATGATTATTTATATTTATTTATTTATTAATATGTTTATGTTTTATAAGGTCTTTGGAGTTACTTGGAAGTACCATTGATAGCTATCTATAATATAGAAAAAAATCATAATAATGGATCAACATTACACCAAAATACAAGTGCTTTGATAGAAGTGTTATCACAATATGACTTTGAAGCAGCGAAACAAAAGATAATGGTTGAAACTATTTATTTTAAAAGTGGTATGACCGAAGACGAGTACAGATCAAAAATACCCATACTACTATCAACGCTCACTCAACAAGACGCTTTGGACGGGCCTGTTCATGAAGCAGCTATCAAGAGGACTGTAAAAAACCTTTCGGGTATCTATTACAGAAATAATCCAGCATGGATGAGGGAACTCATTCCACTGATCGTTGACACGTTGATAGAGGTACTCAACAGACATTGCAATGAAAAAGGTTTCAAATATAAAAGTACAAAAGGTTCAATATTTAATTATCTGATGGATATTGCCAATAAGGAAACACTCGATGTCTTTACCGACAATCACATTGAGAGCATCGTCTCTCATATGTACTGGTGGTTGTCCGAGGTCAAAGATATCGAATTGGACGAGTGGACATACCGCACTCTCAAAACTGACAGAGAAGGCAACATTTATAACTCCAACTCTATTGAAGAGAGTAACATTATCATCCCATACCAATTCACCACCACCAACAAAGAGGAATATGTAGCCGATTCACATTTCATGGGACGATTCGCTCGTTTATTTCAATATCAACGTGCTGCAGAACCAATTTTCAAACAATTCAACATCCTAGTGAACTCTCAATTGTGGAAACAAAGATATGCGGCATTGATGTATTTATCCAAATCTTGTACATACCTCAAACAAAGTATAAAACTACAATTTCCAGATATTTTAAAGTATGTACCTTTGTAATAATATTATTATTATTTTTTATTTATTTTATTTAATTTATTTATTTTATTTTAATTTATTTATAGGACAATATTAAAATTAGTTGATGACGAAAATATCCGAGTTAGATGGGCATCATTACAATGTTTAATTCAATTATCAATGCATTTTGAATTGAGATCATTGATGATCAAACCAAGAGAATTTCATGATATATTTGTTGTCGTTGGAAGGACGATTCGTGATACAAATGAATGTATCCAAAATAGTTGTTGTCTGTTTATACAATCAATAGATTCGTCATTGACCTATAAAAAGGATATTATTGTTGATAACATTATTTTGGATGGATTATTTAGCTCATTTGAAATACTACTCCAATCACCAAAATTATATCTAGTTGAAAGTGTATTGGTACCATTAATGTCGCTTATAGATATTGTTGAAAAAAATTTTATACCTGTAAGTAAAAAGAAGAAGAAGAAGAACAAGTAGTAATATCAAATTTGATATATTGAATTAATAAATTAATATTTCTTTTTTTTTTTTTTTTTAGTATTATCCAAGATTTATTCCAATTCTATTATCATTGTTGGAAAAACATCATGGAACAATAGAGACAAGACTTTTACGTGGTCGTGCAATCAAGGCATTTTCAATGTGCGGCAGAGTGATGAACAATAAGAAGACATTTTCAAAAGATTTGTTCAAGTTTATGTTGTTTGTTGGAAAGAATGAAGGGTCGTTTGATTTGGCTATCCAGGTTTTCACAGCAACCGATTTATTTATTCAAGTGGTTGACAAGTCATTTGAAATCTATTTACCAATGATCATGAGGATGATTATCAATACACTAGAGACAACAATGCAACAACAACAACAAGAGGAAGAAGGAGAAGAGGATAGATTAACTACATCAACCAAGACAATATTATCAACACTCATTAGTTTGAACAACATCATGGGCGAATCATATGGCTTATATGAACCTTTGGCACCATTCATTCACAGATTGGTTGATCCACTGTGCAGATTGGTAGCATCATCCAACTCGACTATTCGGGAACATTCCTCTGAATGTTTACCAACCTTGGTGAAGCTGTCCAAACTGCAGTACGGTGATCGTAGCGACAAGACACTAGAGATATTTGGCGTGATTTTCGATTCTATGCTCGATTCGATGCTCGCCTCCTATACGCTCAACCACTTCCAGTATCGATTCTCGGCCAGACATTCAAACGCTTTAGCCCAAGTCATCAATGTGATGGGTAAAAACGTAATGACATTTGACCAAGTAAAATCGATGCTAGACGCATTTTGCAAGTCAGAGCAAGAGATATCCGAAATCGCAGAACAGGTGCGAAATGGTAACCAAGACGTAATTGGCAACAGAGACGCCAATAGTTTTCTTTATTCGATCCATAAATCGATTACCGAAATCTACAAGACGATTGGCGAGACTATCAAGCAAAATGGTCTCCTTGCAGCACCACTCATCTCTTGCTCCAACCTCTTACAGAGGTCATCGGTCAATCTCCACACCTATGAAAATGATTATGTCAAAGAGAATATACTCTTTTTTATCGAGCAGTATCTAGAGTATGGCAGTGACGAGGATCAGTCGGTCATCAACACTTTTCCACATATCATACCACCTATGATCGAGTGTCTGACCCATTCTAAATACACAGTGCGACAAAAAGCTTCGATTACACTCGGCACAGCTGCACAAATTGGCAAGGATAGATTCTCACCATGGGTCGTCCAAGTGTTACAGGGTCTCGACACCATGATCTCATCAACATCCTACTACGACTCTATCCCGAGTATCGGTAAAATACTCCGGTATGTGCCACTCCCGCCGGAAGCCAATGTCAATGTTATTCTTCCAAAATGGTTATACAAGCTGCCAATCTATCAAACAAAAGAGGTTATGCCTACCAACCAAAACTTTTGTGCCATTGTCCGTCTCTACCCCAACCAATGTCTCGGTAACGAATACCAACATGTCGAGCAACTCTATAGAATCATAGACTATGGACCAAAAGAAGAAAAAGAATTACTCCTTCAAACTTGGTCATTTATCAAAGAATCTATACAACCAAATTGGCATAACATTTCATCAGAAGATACAAGAGAAAACCTAAAATATTATTTAAACAAACAAAAATTTTTGTTTGAGAGGTAAATTAATAACAATAAATAATAATAAATAATAATAATTAAGACGCGTCATAATAAACTTTATAAAGACAAAGTTGGTCATTAAAGACAATATAATAATATAATTATTTTGGTTTAGTGTGTGTAATGACATCAGCACCTATGAATGTTTCGGGGTCACTTCTCAACTTTTTAGTTTAACACCCTTTTTATAAATATCTAAATATCTTTGTTCGGAGGTCGGTTCTATTTCTTTTGAGAACTCTTATAAATCCCCCAATGTTTGCATAAAGTCAAGAGAGAGGAAAGTGTTATCATTGACTCTCACTTGTTATTTAATATAAAGTAGTAGTACGCGAAATAGAGAGAATAGGAGAGATAATAATGGAAAGTGAATTAGCAGCAAATATATTTGGAACAGCAGGATGTATACTGTGGAGTGTACAATTAATACCTCAAGTGAGATTAAACTATCAGAGAAAGAGTACAGAAGGAGTATCGATGATATGCTTTATCACATGGTTTATAGGTGGTGTCATTCTAGCACCCTATCTGGTCGTCACGCAAAGACCACCATCACTAGTTCTACAAATCACTCTCTTTTCTGTTTTAATTTTAGTTGTATTACTTCAACATTTCTATTATGATAGGTAAATATATATTAGTACTTATAAAGTATAACATAACAACCAAATTACGATCATGTGATGCTGATCTAACATTTTTTTTTTTTTTTTTTTTTTTAAATTTTAGAAAAGTCGCACTGAAAAGATTAATGATAGCTATTACTATTATTGGTATAGTATCAGTTGGTATATCATGTGGTATCTATTATGTATTAGATATATTTAAAGAATATGATTTCACTCTATCATTAGTTGTCACTCTATTATCTTGTTTGTCGTTGGCCGGTGGTTTCATCCCAGCTGTTTATGACATCGTATCTGCTAAATCAGTACAAGGATACAGTCGTGTATTCATTGTGATGGATTTCCTCGGTGGAGCTTGTTCTATTCTCTCGTTAGTCTTTATCAAACCTTTCGACTATTTAGTATTTGCAAGTTATTCGATCGTTCCTATTTTCGAACTATCAATCTTTGTTATGAGTTTCTATTATCAATCACCTACATCATCACAATTAACAAACGATACAAAATATAAAATAATAATAGATAATCAAGATGATGAATATTACTATCAAGTGAATAATAATAGCAACAACAACGATCATTGCGCAATTAACTCTAAAAATAATAATAATAATAAAAACGTGCTTATTAATTGTTAAAAAACTAAAAGCCGGGTCGAGGGTTTGTAAACCCACCAGAGATCGGTAGGTTCGCTTGCTTTTGATGGAACCGGTTTGATTTTTATCTAAAAATCTATAGATATTTAGAAAGAAAGTTGTTTTTTTTTAATTTTTATCGTACTATGTTGGAGTTTGAACGACGATCAGGTGGTACTGTAAAAGACGATGCTGGTATTGTGATAAAATTTATTCCAATACATGTTGTCATCTTTTAAACAATCAATCATCAGAAAAGTACCTTAAAAAATGTTACTTTTTAACAAGCTACTACTTTTGTTCTTACTCTTTTTCGGAGGTAATATAAAAAACAAATTAAATTTAAAAAGATAAAAAAAAAGAAAAAAGAGGGAGTGTGACCATCATGATTGTGCGCGATGACGTTCATTGTTACTAATATTTATTTGTTTATTTATTTATCTTATACATATATATAACTTTTTTTATTTTTAATGTTTGTTAGTTTGTCAAAGTAGTTTAAATGTATTAAAGATACAATCAAGGAATTATAGATATTCAAGAGACACTGTGAATAATGTTAATCTGTGTGATAATAGTTATTTAGTGTCGGTTGATAGTGACACCAACTTTGGTAGTATTGTGTTGGTGAATACAACGTTTGCAGCATCGGCCGTCTTTTCAACTTTCCAATCGTTTGATGGTCTTCGAAAGATCTGGGATTCAAAGTTGACCTACCGAGTCGGTGATTATCCCCCTCTCACATTTCGTATAACCAATACCGGTGGTGATGCATTCGACTATGAGTTTCCTGCCTACAACTGTCAAGATCTTGCCAATGTCGAGTTGATTCCTCCTAGCTCCAACTCTTCCATCTATACCTACTCTAATAATCTAATTAGAAGGTTCGAACTCCAAGCCATCCCTTTTATTACTTCAATGACTTATATTTGTCAATTATCAATACCACCATCGACTGCTCAAGTTCCTTTTACTTGTGGTAGTAAGTATAAAACTATATATGTTTACTCTTTTGAATAATAGATTCTAATTTTTTTTCTTTTATCTCTTTTTTTTTTTTTTTTAGTTCAAGTATTACAAACAATTGAAAGAGTTGTTGTAACTATTGCTACATCAACTAGTTATCTTACTGGATATACTGAACCATTGACTGTAAAGATTTACACTGATTTAAATGCAACCGGTGTGACATTTGCCATTCCACCGACTTTTACAGAAGGACCAATCAATTATGTTACGCGTGCCATTTATCAGTCGCCTGCATCGACCTATAGCCATACCGTCAATTCTTACTACTATAGCCCATACGTGTCGACCATCAATATGACCGTCAAAGGATCACCCCGATTGGGTTTTCTCTCTTATGGCACTGGTACTCCAAGTACAGCCCTCTTACCAGTCCAAGGCAACGTCGATGATGGAATGTTATACGCCTCTCTATCATTGAGTACAGTATCTCGAACCTATTATATTATCAATTCTACATCCTCTACTCAATTTGCACCATTGATGAGTACTAGTTTTAGTGTTACATCTCAAAATCGTAAAGTAAAAAAAAAAAAAAAAGAAAATAATTAAAACAAAAAAAAACTAATCTATCATTCATTCTTTCTTTAATATTTGTTAGCAACTGCAACTTTAACTTTGCCATCATTTGTTTCTGGTGATCCAAATGAAATAACCTATACCTTTAGTGATATGGCCTATCCAATCTATTTTATAACAGACTTTAGTTTAAATATCAAATATGACATCCCAGCTCCATTTGGGTATAGCTTAGAAGGACCAACCTCTAGAAAGTATACATTGCCTGTCATTTCAACTTTGAGAACCATTCAACTCAGTGTAGTTCAATATATTGCTGTTCCTAGATCAGTTGTTAAAACTGGTACAACTGTTGGTAAAGTATTATTAAAAATACTTAATTTTAAATATTAATATTAAAAATTAATTTTTTATTTATTTTTTATTTAGATGTTGTTGTACCAAAAATATTGGGAGTAGATTATTTTAAAACAGGTAGAAACTTTATTATTACTTTAAAGTTATCAGATGATATTACTGGAGTGAATACTATTGTTTTTATGAACCAGAAATATGGGATATCGACTCTTGCCAATGGTGTTCCCACACTTGGTACATTTGTATTTGAAGCTCCACCAATTCCTACCTCTGGTTCATTGCCAACAACCGAACTTGCAATTTATGATGGTGCCAATAATGAATTTAAACCTTTTCTTCGAGCTTATGATGGAAATATGAATCTTCTTCCAAACAGTTCAATATTTTATGATCGTATGTAATTATATATATATATATATAAATATATGTATATATAAATATATATAAATATTAATCTTTTTTTTCTTTTTTTTATTTTAGATGAATTTGGAGCTGATAATATAACATTTATACAATTTATTCCAAATCAAGTTGATACTACTTATGGACCAGTTCCAGTATCATTGTTGTTTAACCTAACAACAAATGATCAAGGTGTATTCAATAAGAATCCAGCTGCTGATTGTACATTCCTTCTTTCAACGTTTTCCTCTACCCAAAGAATTTTGACAGTTACAGCCAAAGCCTACTACCATCCCATTGACAAACTCTTTAGATGTGATGTCATGATTCCACAATACACCAATAATATAACTGTCGAGTATACTTTTGGTTCATTCTATACTCAAGGAGTTCAATCATTATTAATTCAAAGATTTGGTTCTCAAGCAAGTTTAATTATTAATTCTAAAAATTGTAAGTTGTAATTTAATAATGAATAATGAATAATAATATTAATTAATTTTATTTTTTTATTTAATTTTAGCAATGGATCATTTACCACCATATTTTACAGTTTTTAATATTCCAACTCAACCAACACTGGGTAAAATAGTTTTTTCATTTACAGTGTATGATCCAATTAATGGATTAAAGAATGGTACAATACAAGTTCGTTCTAGTATTAGTCCCGTACCATACACATTCCAATTTAATCAAGATACTAGAGTTTCTGGTGACGATAAAACTGGTGTCTATCAATTCACTATTCCCATTGATACAAATGCTTGTAAAACACAGGTTCTGTCCATTGGAAAGATTATTTTATATGACAATGGTGAATGGGATTCAAGATACTTGCAAGAAATTACATCAGGTGTTCAACCTCAATTTAGTCCATTCCATTTATTCAGTTCTCCAATTCCAACAACAACTGTAGTTTGTAGTCGTAAGTAGAATAGAAATATAAAATTTAAATTAAATTCTAATTAATCATTTTAATTTTTTAATTTTAAGCAACTGTTACTGATGTTAAAGCACCAATTTTAACATCATTTAATATATCAAGAACAACTGTTGATGTAGGATCAAATGATAGAGAGGTTATATTTAATTTAACTGCAACTGATGGGGCGGGAATTGGTTTGGTCGGATACCCAACCATTTATTTGTTGGACAATTTTGGAAACTCATTGATCGTAGAACCAACCGACTACGCCAATACATCACCATCATTTGGGTATAGTGTAACACTTCCATTTGGATTTGGTACCAATGATGGTATGATTATGGTGTCTGTCTATGGATTGCGTGACAAGTATGATAATTTGGGTGGTTACTCTATGCTTCAACTCAAGGCTGCAGGTTATGACTCGAATATTACTGTCACTTATTCGACAGAGATACCCTCCATCTTTGGCGTCACCAATCTCTACAGCTATCCAAACACGATTGTCGCATCACCCAACGATGAAATCATTACCATTCGTGGTAGAGGGTTTGGCGATAATCCCCAGCAACTGATTGGTACGATTGACTATGGTAACGGTACTGCCTACGCTCACAACATTACAATGGCTCATCATGTTTTGGTTTACATGCAGTATGATCCAAGATTGGCTGTTCCTGGTCGTCTTGCTACCGTCAATTTACAAAGATTTGCTCATAATCATTCGATCGATATCATGCCAATTCAACTCGCAGCTCCATTGATATTCGTTCCAAAACCAACACCTTGTTCACCGTCATCAACATCGTCTGTCAACTGCTCTGCCAATGGACAGTGTACATTTGACGGTTGTCAATGCAAAGCTGGGTGGTCAGGATTCTATTGCGAATCGACAGTTATCAATGTCGATGAACCAACCTACAACAATACCGCTCCCATCATTGATATTGTTGTAAAGGACGGTAATAGCAGTCAAGCTGTCATTCGTTCGGTCATTGCAGTTGTCGGAGTTCGTGAACTCACCTTGGACGGACAAATTGTCAAAGAGTACAGACCAAAACAATGGACACTTGTCGTTTCAACACCTGATATTGCCAACAACAATTCACTCTTGTTAAACTACAACACCACATTACAAGACACTGATACCATGGTCAATGTAACAGTCGAGTGGTTTTCAGTAGACAGTAGCGTAGAATTTGCCAATCAAACCATCAAGATCCCAGCTACTAGCACCAAGATATCGATTGCATTGTCTGCCTATCCATTCAGTTCCATTCTCAACACTTTGCAAGTAGTACTCAAAACATCGGTTGAAGCAGAGTATGACGCTGAATGTTCGTCCAAAGAGTATGGGTTTGGTGATTCACAAGATGTTGAATGGATGAAATTAAATATCGATGAAAAGACATTATGGGGTCAATTTATTAAAAGAGGTATAATAGATGACAGAGTTACAACTATTAGTAATCAACTTGTTACCGATTTTATCGATACCGATAATAATAATAGTAGTAGTAGTAGCAACAATACATATACAAATACAAATACTTCATCAACACCATCATACACTACCAATTATATTGGAATGAATCTTCCATATTACAATCAAATGGCTAAACTTGATCCAAACTTTGCTCATTTGATCAATGTAGATGGAGATAATAGTGATGCTACTTGCAAGGGTAAAAGTAGTAGTGATGGTTTGTCAACTGGACAAATAGCAGGTATTGTAGCCGGATGTATCGTTGCCGGTGCTGTTGCAGTGGGTGCAGTCATGTACACTGTCCACAAAAGAAAAACAAACATATCAAAAAAGAAAATGGATCAAAAAATGAAAAGAGTTAGTCAAGCAATGAGTAAAGAATAAAATCACAAATAATAATAATAAATAAATAAATAAAAAAAAAAAATAATAATCAATCAATAAATAATAAAAAGAAATACAATACAAAGAAATAAATAAAATGAAATACAAAAAAATCGATCCACCTTTATTTACTTTTTTCTTCGACCATACCTCTCAAAATGTGAGAGATAGTATTAATCAGTAGTATACATATAATCTCATTATCTTTGTATATCTACTACTGTGATGGAGCAACCTGATGATAATTTTATAGAGATTATAGTCATTCTTGCTAAAGAAGAAGATAAACAGAAACAAATAAAGAATAATAATAACAAATATAAATCAAAAGACAAACAACTCTTTAAAGAGTATACTATATCAAAACCAGATAAAGTAGTATCATGGTTACTCTTTTTAATGGTAAAGGGTACTTACCCAACTGTATGTAGCATAATATTATAAGATCTTCATGAATTTAATCTGACTATTTCTTGATCAATATATAAAAAGATTAAAGAGAAAGCAATACAATTATTTGATAGATTATTGATTAAAAAAGGAAAAGAGTTGATAGAATCAATGTCAAAAGAGATTGTGAATGCAGTCAAAGCAGAAACAATCGAGTTGTTAAAGACAAATCATACAGATAGTTATAGACAACATTTGTTTAGTATCATTGAATTTTTGCAAATTATTTAATACCTACAGGTATGTATGATTATACATGTAATAGATTAATAAACAAAACTAACTTGTTTGATTGATGATTGCATAGGTGGTTGGGATGAATTAGAACCAAAATTTTGGATGGAAAGAATAGCTCAACAAATCATTGACACGATTATCAAGGTGTTGGACAATAGAAATCGTCCAAAGGAGGGTTTGACAGATAGAATCACTAAAACCAACATGATAAAATATTTGTTGGTGATGGCCGAGATGAATCCCGACGAGTTTACCGATACCCACATTGAAATATTAGTCACCCATTTGTATGAGTGGCTAGCTCAAGTAAAGGATATATCATTTGAAGAATGGACTCGTCGAAAAGATTCTATCAAGACTTGGAATGATCAAGAATACCCCAAAGATGATCAAGATGATGCGGCTGTTGAAAGTTTTGAGGATTTCTATCATCTCAATGAACGCAGAATGGTCCCTACTTTAAAACAATTCAACATTTTTTTAAACTCTCAGCAATGGAAACAAAGATATGCAGCTATTATGAGCTTACATCGATATAGTGGCTTTTATAAAGATGAAAATTTTCCAACTATTATAAAGTAGGTTTAAAAAAAATGATTCTTTTACAAATATTAATAATAATTAATGATTTGTTATTATATTTAGGTCAGTATTAAATTAGTAGATGATGAAAATATCAAGGTTAGATGGGCAATATTACAATTTTTAATTGGATTAACAAAGGAATTTACAAAATTTACAATTTCGTTTAGAAAAGAAATATTCCAATTCATTATCAAATCAATTCATCATGATGATCCAAATGAACGAATTCAAAATTGTTGTTGTATTTTGCTAGAATCAATGATAGAATCAATGTTTTCATCAGTACTAGAAATGTTTGGTGATAATAATTTAAAAGGATTATTTAATTCATTTGTATTATTACTTGAGTCACCAAAACTATTTGTTGTCGAAAGTGCGTTAGAATCACTTAGGTTGGTTATAAATATTGCCCAGAAAAAATTTAGACCTGTAAGTATTCATATTGAAGTCAACTGGGTAAAATTCATTTATTTACTAAATCCATCTAAGTATTATAGAAATATTGTTTCAATTCTATTTACATTGTTGGCGAAACATCATTCAAATAAAGAGTCAAGAGAATTGTGTGGTCTTGCGATCAAGGCATTTTCATATTGTGGTATGGCGATAGACAGGAAGCTGTTATTTACAAGAGATTTATACAAGTTTATGATGTTTATCAAAAAGAATGAAAAGTCGCTGGATTCTTTGATCATAGATGCTATCAGAGAATGTAGCGATTTTATTTATGTGGTTCGTCATTCTTTTTCATTGTATCTACCAATGATCATTAAGATGATTATAAATCTACTCGACCAGCACCCATCATCAATACAAAAGTATGAAAAGAGAATAGTTGCAACACTTGATGGTTTGGACAACTTAATGGTGGACTCGCTTCAAAATACAATGTATGACCATTTGGCGCCGTATGCTCATCATTTTATCGGCTTACTGTGCAAATTGACATTGTACACAGACAACTCGGAAATTCAATCTATATCTCTTCGAATTTTATCTAGATGCATGACACTTGTCGAGCTGCACTTTGGTGATCGTAGCGAAGAGATGTTTACCAAGATACTAGAGTCTGAATTCATTTCATGTATACACGATACCAGTCTACATGTCATGAAGAATCGCATCGAAATTGGAGCTTATCTCATCCGCGGGATAGGGGCCGATACAATGACATTTAATCAAGTCGAGTCAGTGATGGATTTATTTTACAAGCTTGAAACAAAACTAAAAAACATGTCAGAGGAATTAATGCAAGATGAAGAAGAGGATCCAGATGATATGCTCCAAACAATAGCTATTGTGGAGTCGCGAATCTGCACCACGGTCGGAGTGATGATCGCACACAACGGCTCCATCGCGACACCTTTCATCACCTCTGAACTCTTGGAAAAGATTTGCAAGAAACTACGTAATATTGACGTCAATGAGGAGAATGCTAATGATGGAGAAGAGGGCGATGATGATGATGATGATGACAATGATGACGTCAAAGGTTGTATACTATACTTGTTGACTCAGTATTGTACTTTTGGTGGTGGGTTGGCCATCAACACATTCCCACAGATCATACCAACTATTATCGAGTGTCTAGAACACCAAAATAATAGAATGGTAAGATTGAACGCTTCGATAGCACTGGGTGCAGCAGCTCAACTGGCCAAGTATAGGTTCTCACCATGGGCAAAGCATGCTTTGCATGCACTTGACATCATCATATCTGTCGCACACTCAAAGAAAGTCAAGCAACATGTCATATCTAGTATTGGTAAAATCATCAGATATGTACCACATGTCTCCAGTAATGCTAGTATCATCATTCCAAAATGGTTGAACCACCTCCCTATCATCTCAAATTCACAGCACCATATTCCCTTGAAATTGATTTGCAATGTCATTAAAAACCTTTACTCCATTCTCTGTCTCTACCCTAATGAATGTCTAGGCCAACAATACCAACACTCTATCAAACTTTATCAAATCATCGATTGTTTCAAAAAGCGTCTGCCAAAATATTATACAAACGAGTTACTCTCTCTTGCATCGTCATTTATCAAAAAATCAATACAAACAAATTGGGACACTATTCCATCAGATACAAAGAAATCACTATCAATTATCATAAAGAATGACTCAATTTAAACATAAAGAATACTGATCCCTATTACTAGGTTGAACTTATAAAAATGGGTCTTAAAAAAAAATCAAAAAATTCATCTTCATTGATCATAAAATTTTTGTATGAATGACTTTTGTATTCATTTTCTAAAGATACAACAAAGATGCAACAACCATCAGAAGAATTTACAGAGATAATAGTTATTTTAGCAAATAAAGATCATCAACAGAAACAAAAGACTAAACAACTCTTCAAAGAGTATTCTTTATCTAAACCTGAAGAAACAGTAGTATCATGGTTACTCTATTTAATGATAAACGGTATTTATCCAACTGTATGTATATTATATTATAATAGTTAAACAACATCACATCGAAATGTGCTAATAATACTAGTCAAATTGTTTATCAAAGATTAAAGAGAAATCAGTACAGTTACTTTATAGATTATTAAACAAACAAGAAGAAGGAGAAGAGTATATAGAATATTTGTCAGATGAGATATTGCTTATTGTAAAGGTTGAAACAATCAAGTTACTCAATACACCCCTCACAGATACCTATAGATATCATTTGTTTGGTATCATTGAACATATTGCATGTTATCTAGTACCTAGATGTATGTTTGTTTGATAATATGATTAATCACTAACTAAATAGATTCTATAAAACTGATCAATATTTTGTTTATTTATTTAGGTAAATGGAATGAATTGGAACCATCATTAGAGTCAATGATAAATAGTGTAGAAGAAGAAAGATCAATATCATCACCATTACAAGAAAATACAAGAGCTTTGATGGTAGTGTTATCAAAGTATGACTTTAAAAAGGAGAAAATGGAAATGTTAAAAGAGATGATCGATTGTGATATTTTTTATTATTTGGGAGATGAACAGTATCGATCATACATGCCCATTCTATTAAAAATGCTTGTACAAATCGATACATGTGGAGAATTTATCAAAAAAGTTGTGAATATCCTCGATGATTTCACTGTCAATGATACTCCGTCTTGGCTAAAGGAAAGCAGTCTTCAACTAGTCTACACATTGAAAGAGATATTGGATGGAAATCAGTGTGACAAAATAACAAAAAATAATGTATTGCATTTTTTTTTGACCATTGTCCTTCTCAATCCAACTGATCGTCACGTTGAGATAGTCGTCTCTTATTTGTTCAAGCAGATGACACTAGTCAAAGATGTGAATTTGGAAGAATGGACTAAAAACAGTTTCGAGATTGAAAGGGACATCGATTTCCATAAAGGTTTTTGCGAAGAGATGGACAGTGGATTGTTGAATACATATACCGTGTTTCGAGATCGAGATTATGATCAGGAAGTGGTTCAGCAAGAAGATTCAGCATTTGATCGATTTGCACATGTATTTGAAGAATTTGTTGATCCAACACCTGTATGTAATCAATTCAACCTATTTGCTAATTCTCAATCATGGAAACATAGATACTCTGCATTGGTTCTTTTACCGAAATTTTATAGATACCTCGAAATTTCTCAATATCAACTTTTATTTATTTTAAAGTATGTAATTATATTATTTTTTCAAAAAAAGTTGTTTACCTTTTTTTATTTAATTTCTTTTAGGTTGATATTAAAATTAGCTGATGATAAAGATATGAGAGTTAGATGTGCATCACTCTATTGTTTAACTAAAATGTATTCTAGAGAATTTAAAGAAGTAATGGTTGAATCACGCCAAGAAATATTTCAAGTGATTGGAAAATCAATTTGTGATAATCACAATGTACGTATTCAAAGTTGTTGTTTCAATTTAATTCAAACTGGATTCAATGACACAAGACGAGTCTATTGAATTGGTTTTAAAACCATTATGTAAATCATTTGAAATATTACTTTTATCTTCACAATTAAATGTTGTTGAAAAAACACTTGTCTATCTCATGAAGACTATACAACTGGTAAATAATAGATTAAGACCTGTAAGTAAATTTTACAACAATATATATATATATATATTTCCTAAAATTAAATTAATTTGTTTTCAATTTTAGTATTTTGAAACTATTATACCAATTCTATTTGCATTGTTGGAAAAACATCATGCAACAAATAAATCAAGATTATTATGTTGTCGGGCAGTAAAGACATTTGCAATGTGTAGTTTGGTCGTGGACAAGCAAACATTTTCAAGATACCTGTTCCAATTTATGATGTTTATCAAAAAGAATCAATGGTCAACCGATTGGATCGTCGATGTTTTAAGAGCATCGAGTTATTTTATTGAAGCGATTGGCAAGTCATTTTCGGTGTATTTACCAATGATTGTCAAGATGATTGCCAATATATTACAAGAGACATCTTCAGAAACACATCTAACTGATCAAATTCGCTTATCATTTCGGTTGACACTAAAGAGTTTGGACAAAATATTGAAATGGAATGATGAATCAGTTTATCAACCTTTGGCACCATTTGTTCAGAAATTGATAGCTCCATTGTTAATCATGGCGAAAAGTACAGACAACAACGATAACAGAAAATATAGTATTGATTATTTACCTTTATTGTTGATGCTGTACAAGATTCAATATGGCCCAAGTAGTGACAAGACAAAGGAGATGTTTTCCAAGTTACTCAATTTATCACTCTCTTCTTGTCCAATCCACTTCCCTCCTAGAATTAATTTATTGGGAAATTATATCAATATGGGAGCCAAAGTGATTAAAGTAATCGGAAATGATACAATGACATTGGATCAAATACATTCAACCTTGGACACTTTAAATGTAATTGAACGCAAACTTTCAGATATTTTTATACAAGCCCAAGGCAACCAATTTATCTTTCAAGATTCAACACCAGAGGAGTTTCAAAGGTCAAACACCAGAGGGATATGTTCCATTTATTATATGATAGGCCGTGTGATGAAATATAATGGAGCCATCACTACACCACTCATCACCTTTGACCAATTGGGCAGGGCTTGCAAAATATTGGATGATAAACAAGTGCACTATGAGGATACTCTATTTTATTACAAAGTTTCTAAAGTATGGCGATGGCCAATTTGTGATTGACTCATTCCCACAACTCATACCATCTATTATCAAGTGTGTGACCATAGATTTTAATATAAAAGCGCGTGCCTCAATTGCACTTGGATTGGCAGCACAACTTGGCAAGGATAGGTTCTCACCATGGGCAATCGATGCAGTACTGGCTCTCAACACTTTAGCCTCTGAACCACATTCGGAATATCTCCACAAACAGTTTGCAACAAAACATGCAATCACTAGTATTTCAAATCTTTAGATATGGGTGTTAGATCTGGATTGTTTAAAATCAATGATATCTCATTGAACTCAATATATTCAATCCTGGTTAGGACAAGTCAAATATGTAAAGTATGTAAGCAGCCAAGAACAACTACTCAATCAAACCTACTCTAACTATTCATTAAATCATCAATTGATCAATCAAACTATAAAATATTCCATTCATCAAAGAAAATAAAGATAACTATCTATCTCACCTCAAATATCTCAATCAACAAATTCGATCTTTATCTTCGTGCACGAAAAATTTTTTTTATCGAAAATATCTAATTCGAAGAAGTGCTTATGTCAGCAAGAGATTAAGTGAGTGCACCATCTTTCTTTGGTCACGAATTTTTAATTATAAAGTTGTATCTGTATGATGGAGCAACCAGACGAGAAATTTATAGAGATTGTAGTCAATCTCGCTAAAGAACAAGAAAATAATAGCTATGTGATGAAAAGAGTAGATAACAACAACAATAGCAAATATAAATCAGCTTCAAAACAACAATTCATAGAGCATACTATATCTAAACCAGATAAAGTAGTTTCATGGTTACTCTATTTAATGGTAAAGGGTACTTTTACAACTGTATGTATTAATTGAAAGAGAGAGATCACACGACACTTACTCATCATTCATGTTTGTTGATTGATAAAAGATTAAAGAGAAATCAGTACAGTTACTTGATAGATTATTAGTTAAAAAAGGAAAAGAGTTTATTGAATCATTATCTGCATCAATATTGGAAGCAGTCAAAGTAGAAACAATAGAGTTGCTCAGTTCAACTCTTACAGATAGTTTTAGGCAACATTTATTTAGTATCATTGAATCATTTGCAAATTATTTAATACCAAGAGGTATGTATGATTGTTTATTCATTGTATAATATATAGTAAACAAAACACTAACTATCTTGTTTGATTGGTGATTGACTATTAGGTGGTTGGAATGATTTGGAACCAAAATTAGAGAAAATTGTAGATGGAGAAGATCATCAAGAGAATGCACAAGAAGATGAGGAAATTATACAAGAAGAAGAAGAAGTGTCACCATTAAAATTGAATGCAAAAGGATTACTAGTAGTTTTGTTAAAGCGTCGAATACTCGCACAAATGGATGGTGATGTTACTCGCAGCGAATTCCTTTACATTTCACGTCACCTTGACAATAATATCTTTACTAGTCCAAAATGGATGTGTACAATCGGTTTACAGATCGTTGATACGTTGGTCGACGTGTTGAATAGAAATCGTGAAAGGGGATCCCTTTTAACAACAGACAAAACAAACACTAGAAACAATATGTTTAGGTATTTGTTGATTATGGCCGAGTCGGTGAATGATGAAGGGTTTACTTCCACTCATCTTGAAAGTATAGCCATTCATTTGTACGAGTGGTTGTCAGAGGTAAAGGAAATGCCAATGGAAGAGTGGACAAGTAACGGTTCAAAAAGTGGCAGCAAGCTATTCAACTTGAATTATTTTACTGATAAACAATCAGCGCTCGATGATTATGATGATATTGTTCCAGAGTACAACAACACTGACGATAAAAAATACACCCAAGAAGATCAACTGGAAGAAGCAGTGAAAACATTTGATCAATTGGCGTATCTTATTGGATATCCTCTCAAAGCACCGATTTTTAATCATTTCAACCTATTTTTAAAATCACAACAATGGAACCAACAATATGCAGCATTGATGAGTTTATCTAGATTTTGTGATTCTTATATTATGAAACAATTTCCATCTATTTTAGAGTATGTATTAAAAGATTCTCCTAAAAAACACATTATTAATATCTATTATTTTCTATTTATTTAGGTCAATATCAAACTGTCTTGAAGATGAAAATATTAGAATGAGATGGGCATCACTCTATTGTTTAATTACATTAAACATTCAAGATGAATTTCAAGAAAAGATGTTAAAGTCTCGCAACCAGCTATTTCAAGTCATCGCCAAATCAATTCGTGATCCAAATGAACGAGTTCAGAGTATCTGTTGTATATTAATTCAATCATTAATGACATCTTTGAAAAAGAATATGATTGTTGATAATGTTTTAGATGGATTATGTAATTCATTTGAAATACTCCTTCAATCTCCAACATTATTTCTTGCAGAGAATGTATTAATTCCATTAATGTCTGTTATAGATACTGTTAAAGATAGATTTAGACCTGTATGTAGTAATATTAATAGATAATAATAATAATTACTAATGGATATATAATTTTATTTTAAAAAAGTATTATCCAAGATTTATATCAATTCTATTTAAATTATTGGAGAAGCATCATACAACAATAGAGTCTCGAGTATTATGTAGTCGTGTAATCAAGACACTTGCATTATGTGGAAAAGTGGTAGACAAGAAGATGACATTTACAAGAGATTTAAACAAGTTTATGGTGTTTTTCAAAAAGAATACATGGTCGGTTGATTTGGTGGTCGATGTATTTAGAACATCTGGTGATTTTATTGAGGTGATTGGCAAATCATTTTCAATTTATTTACCAATGATCATTAGGATGATTATCAACCTACTAGAGACAACACCATTTACCAATCAACTTCGGGTACCTGAAGAGGAAATGTCTGCAACTGACGTAAAGAGAGTATTATCAGCACTCAAAGGTTTGAATAGGATTGTCGAGGTATCATATAATGGTGCAACGGTTAATAACCCTTTGATTCCATACGCTTATCAATTGGTCCGACCGTTGTGTAAATTGGCAATGGTCAGAGACAACACTGATATTGACACTTGTATTCAAAGGTATTCTCTTACCAATTTACCCATCTGCGTGAAACTTGCCTATCTTCATTTGGGTGATCGAAACGACAAGAAACTAGAGATGTTTGGCATGGTAATCAATTCGGTCGTCTTTCCAAGTACTCTCCCATCCAACACCAGCGTTGAAGTGTTGCAGAGTCGTATCGACATGGCACAAGAACTCATAGATGAGATGGGAGGCGGAGCAATGACATTGGATCATGCAAAGACAGTCATGGATTTATTTTACAAGGTCGACAAAAAACTAGAAGTATTGGCAGATCACACCAGAAATGGAAACCTAGATGTTGTTGGAGACATAAATCCTTTCTTTATGCTTGACAAATTAGCCGCAGTAGAGTCGAGAATCTATGAGATGGTTGGTGTTTTGATCAAACACAATAGTGATATTGTAGCACCCCTCATTACATCTGACCTCTTGGACAAGGCTTGTGACAAGTTACGAATGGTCCCTGTTAAAGAGGATGACGACGATGACTACGATGACAATGATGGCAATGAAAGCAATGATATATTTATCATCAAGAAAGGTATACTAGAATTCATGGCACAGTACTGTGAATTTGGTGGTGAATCAGCCATTAAATCTTTTCTACAGATCATTCCACCTATTATCGAGTGTTTGGAAAAACCTTGTAATAAGAAGGGTGTGCAAAAAAAGGCTTCAGTTGCACTTGGAGTTGCAGCACAATTTGGAAAGGATAGGTTCTCACCATGGGTCATGCAGGTGTTACATGCCTTCAACGAATTGGTCTCTGCGCCAATATACTGTGCTGAGTCTACAAGTGCCAAACATTCTGCTATCTCTAGTATCGGTAAAATCATCAGATATGTTCCACAAATAGCCAGTCACGCTAGTATCATCATTCCAAAATGGTTGGAACTTCTGCCCTCGCAAACATCATCGATGGACATTAACATTATCGCTGATAATCTTTGTGCCATTATCCGTCTCTACACCAAAGATTGTTTTGGTCAACAACACCAACATGTTAATCGACTTTTTAAAATCGTCAGATACTACGAGAATTTTAAAGAAAATGAAGATCATCAATTTTATGAAAGTGATGATGAAGATAGTTCCCAAGAAGAAGATCAAGATGAAGATATTGTTCATGACAAAGATAGTAGTCAAGACTTAGATGAAGACATTGGTGAAGACAAAGACAGTGATCAAGATGAAGATAGTGACCAAGACAATGATAGTGACAAAGACAAAGATAGCGATCAAGACATAGATAGTGATGAAGATGATGATTCAGATGAATTTGACTCTATACAACCAAAAGTGAAACAATCACTCTTTGAAACCATACAATTTATGAGAGATTCATTAAAATCAAGATAATAAATAAATTATTAAATTATGGTTTAAATTCAATTTTAAAATTTTTTTCCTTGTGTGAATTAGCAGAAAAATATCTCCTTTTCTTTCTTTCTATTTATAAATATATAGTTGTATCTATGATGGAGCAACCAGACGATAATTTTATAGAGATTGTAGTTACTTTAGCAAAGGAAGAAGAAGAAGAAGATCAACTTAAACAGAAACAAAAGAAGAAGATAGATTATAACAACAACAACAATAACAAATATAAATCAGCATCAAAACAACAATTCATAGAGCATACTATATCAAAGCCTGAACAAGTAGTATCATGGTTACTCTATTTAATCGTAAAGGGTACTTACCCAACTGTATGTATTATTCATAAACAGAGATGATAATGAGAGATCACATGACTCACTCACTCATCTATTAAAAGATTAAAGAGAAAGCAATACAGTTACTTGATAGATTTCTAGTTAAAAAAGGTGAAGAGTTAATAGAGTCATTATCAAAAGAGATAGTGAATGCTGTCAAGGTTGAAACAATCAAGTTGCTAAAGAGAACTCTTACAGATAGTTATCGACAACATTTATTTGGTATCATTGAATCATTTGCAGTTTATTTAATACCTAGAGGTATGTATGCTGTTCAATAATCTATTAGTCTATGGCTAACAAAACTAACCTTTTTGATGATTGATTTAGGTGGTTGGGATGAATTGGAACCAAAAATGCAGAGAATCGTAGATGGAGAAGAAGAAGAGGGTGAAGAGGAGGGAGCACGTGCAGAAGATGAAGATGAAGATGATGAAGATGTGCCTGCAAAAAAAGAAGAAGATGAAGAAGATGAAGAAGATGAAAAAGAAGAGCTTGTTGAACCACAAATAGTATATAATGCAAGAGGATTACTAGCAATGTTATTAAAGCCTAGAATACTCGGGCAATTTGGGAATGGTACTCATAGCGAATTCATTCCAGACAACCTTAACAATATATTTGGCTTTAGTGACGATAATCCAAAATGGATGGATACAATCGCTCAACAGATCATTGACACATTGTTCCAAGTTTTGAATGGAAATCGTGAAGAGCGATCCACAACATACACTTACAATATGTTTAGGTTATTGTTGGTTATGGCAGAGACAAATCCCAAAGAGTTTACTCCCTTTCACCTTGAAAGTATCATCTCTCATTTGTACAAGTGGTTGTCAGAGGTAAAGGAAATGCCAATGGAAGAGTGGACAAGTGGCAATTCAACAAGCGGTAGCAAACTATTCAACTTGAATTATTTTGAAGAGCGCAATAATGGTATTATCCCAGAGTATCCAAACACCCACGATCAAAACTACAACCAAGATGATCAATTAGTCGAAGCTGTGACAACTTTTGATCAATTTGTATATCTTCTTGGACGTCCTCTCCAAGTATCAATGTTTAATCGTTTCAACCTATTATTAAAATCACAACATTGGAAAGAAAGATATGCATCTTTGATGAGTTTATCTAAATTCTGTGATTCTAATATTATGAAACAATTTCCATCTATTTTAGAGTATGTTTAAAAGAAAAAGAAGAATCTATAAAGTATTAAAAAATACTAATATTTTTATTCTCTTTATTCTATCCTGTAGGTCAATGTCTAACTGTTTTAATGATGAAAATATTAGAGTTAGATGGGCATCAATTTATTGTTTAATTAAATTATCGGTTGAATATAAAGAAGAGATGGTTGAATCACGCGATCTATTTCAAGTCATTGCCAAATCAATTAGAGATCCAAATGAACGAGTTCAAAGTAGTTGTTGTATATTAATTCAAACATTGATGGCTTCATTGAAAAAACAAAAGAATAAGATCGTTGATAATGTTTTAGATGAATTATGTAATTCATTTGAAATACTCCTTCAATCTCCAACATTATTTCTTGCAGAGAATGCATTAATTCCATTAATGTCTGTTATTGATACTGTTAAAGATAGATTTAGACCTGTATGTAATTATTAATATAATAATAATAATAATAATAATAATAATAATAATAATAATAATAATAACCATCCTTTTTATTTAAAAGTATTATCCAAGATTTATATCAATTCTATTTACATTATTGGAGAAACATCATGCAACAATAGAATCAAGAGTATTATGTAGTCGTGTAATCAAGACAATTTCATTATGTGGAAGAGAGATGGGCAAGATGACATTTACAAAAGATATATACAAATTTATGATGTTTGTCAAAAAGAATGCATGGTCATTTGATCTCATTTCCGATGTATTTAGAGCATCTGGTGATTTTATTAATGTGATTGGCAAATCGTTTTCAATTTATTTACCAATGATCATTAGGATGATTACCAACATACTAGATACACCATTATCAATTCAACTAGAAGATGATGTATCATTTCAATACGCAATGAGAGTACTATCAGCACTCAAAGGTTTAAATAGGATTTTAGAGTTATCATATGATAAAGTTGATAACCCTTTGATTCCATGCGCTCATCACTTGGTCCGACCGTTGTGTAAATTGGCAACGTTCAGCAACACTGGTATAGGCACTGGTATTCAAGAGTATTCTCTTACCAATTTACCTATCTGCGTAAAACTTGCCTATATTCATTTTGGTGATCGAAAAGACAAGAAACTAGAGATGTTTGGCATGGTAATCAATTCAGTCGTATTTCCGAGTACTCTTCCGTCTGATACCAACGTTGAAGAGTTGAGGAATCGAATCAATATGGCAGACGACCTCATAGATGAGATGGGAAGTGGAGCAATGACATTGGATCATGCAAAGACAGTGATGGATTTATTTTACAAGGTTGACAAAAAACTAGAATTCTTGACAGACCAAATTAGAAATGAAAATCAAGATGTTATTGGAGAAGGACATCCTTCCAGTATGCTTGACACATTGGCCAACGTAGAGTCGAGAATCTATGAGATGGTTGGTGTCTTGATCAAACACAATAGTGACATTGTAACACCCCTCATCACATCTGACCTCTTGGACAAGGCTTGTGAAAAGTTGCGTTACACTGTCCCTGTTAAAGAAAAAGACGACGACGACGAAGACGATGCCGACGACGACGATGATGACGAAGACGAAGAAAATACATTCATCATCAAGAGAGGTATACTAGACTTGATGGAGCAGTACTGCGAATATGGTGGTGAATCTGCCATCAACTCTTTTCCACAAATCATTCCACCTATTGTCCAGTGTCTAACAACTAAAAAGGCCGATGTACGACTCAAGGCAGCTATTACACTTGGAGCAGCAGCACAACTTGGAAAGGATAGATTTGCACCTTGGCTCAATGATGTGTTACATGCATTAAATGTAATGATATCTGGGCCCGACGAATACTCTATCGATTTTAATGATGCTAGAGAGTTTGCCATCTCTAGTATCGGTAAAATCATCAGATATGTTCCACAAATCGCCAGTCATGCTAGTATCATCATTCCAGAATGGTTGGGCCATTTGCCCATCGATGATGTTCAAGAGAGTAACATTATCTATGAAAATCTCTGTGCCATTATCCGTCTCTACCCCAACGAATGTTTTGGTAATGCATACCAACATGTTATGAAACTTTATAATGTCATCAATTTCTACAAGGAAGTAGAAGATGATCAAGAAGATGATGATGAAAATCAAGAATTAAGATCTATAAGAAAATTCTTCCGTATACAACCAAAAGTGATAGAATCACTCATTGAAATCTCCTCGTTTATCAAAGAAACGATTGAATCTAATTGGGATAATATCCCACCAAAAACAAAAAAAGAACTTTCAAAATATTTAGCAGAAGCTGCTGTCCAATAATAAAAGTCTCACAAAGGGTTAGCTCTTTGGTAAGTTTTATAATTTTTTCAAAGTTTGAATATTTATTATCTGTGTATTATCTTTTGTAGTAATAATAATAGAATGGAGCAACCAAGTGATGATTTTATAGAGGTTGTTGTCATGTTAGCAAGAGAAGATCAACAGAAACAAAAGAAAAACAACAAAGTAGATGATAATAATGTGAACTACAAATCAACAAAACAACAACTCTTCAAAGAGTATTCTTTAGATAGAAGTAAAGTAGTATCATGGTTACTATATTTAATGGTAAAGGGTACCTACCCAACTGTATGTATAATGTATTATTGTTAGTAAAGAGTGATTTCAAAAAAGTTTCAAGACTCTTATACTTATTTATTCTAATATTATAAAAGATTAAAGATAAAGAAGTACAGTTACTTGATATACTATTGATTAAAGATGACCTTATCAGATCATTGTCACAACCTTTATTAGATATTCTAAAGGTTGAGACAATAGAGTTACTCAATACAACTCTTACTGATTCCTTTAAATGTCATTTATTTGGTATCTTGGAGTCACTTTCGAATTATTTAATCCCAATTGGTATGTTTGTTATGATTATTTAAATATATACTTTTCTTGAATCTTTTGTATCTAAAATTAACTCTTTTTTATTAATAGGATGTTGGAATGAATTGAAAGGATCATTAGAGTTGATTTTAGAAAGAGGAGAAGAAGAAGAAGAGTCACCATTAAAAGCCAATGTCAAAAGATTGCTAGTCCTGTTGTCACAGTTTGACTTTGAATTGGATAAACAAGAAATGTTGGAAGATTTGATCAACTCTAATGATTTTGTTGATTCATTGACCGATGAACAACAGAAATCATAAATGCCAATGTTGTTATCAATGATCTCTCAAATCGATGGGTTCAAACGTGGTGAATTTACTGAAAAGGTTGTTACCAACCTCAATAGTATCCTTGTCAAAGAATGGATGCAATCATTCACTCCTCAAATCATTGAAACTTTTATCCAGGTGTTGGATAGAAACCGTGAAAAGGGGTTCACTCAAACAACCACAAATGGTATTATATTTGGATACTTGTTGGATTTGGCCCAGAGATATCCAACCAAGTTTACTGATACCTACATTGAGAGTATGGTCATTCATTTGTACGGTTGGTTGACACACTTTAAAGAAATGACATTGGAAGAGTGGACTAATAGTAGCCTAGAAATTCAACAACACTCTTACTTTGAAGAAAGTGATATTGGTATTCATCACAGATTAAGTACTCAAGACTACCAACCTGATGTCATTGAAACATTTGATTCAGTTTCTGAGCGATTTGTAACAGTATTTGGTCAAAATCGAGTAGAAGTACCCATATTCAATCAATTTAGAATCCTTATCAACTCTCAACAAACCAACTGGAAACAAAAATATGGAGCATTGATTTGCTTTCCTAAGTTTTGTGAGCATCTCAAAAAAAGTACTACAAAAAAAATTTCAATCATTTTACAGTATGTTAATAATTAGTAGATATATATATCTCTCTTGAGATTAAAATATACTCAACTTTGTTTTTTTATTTCTAGTTTGATTTTAAATGTAGTTGAAGATGAAAATATTCGAGTTGTTTGGGCATCACTCTATTGTTTGGATAAACTAAAGAAAATTTAAAGACTTGGAGGATTTAGTTTCTCAATCTAGAGAAAAAGTATTTTCAACAATTGCAAGATCAATCAGCGCCCTTGATCCAAATGAACGAGTTCAAAGAACTTGTTGTCGATTTATCCAATCCAATATGCCATATCCAAAAGATAAGAGTAGCAGTGTAGATGAAACTGCAATTGATACTGTTTTGAAGAGATTGTGTAATTCGTTTGAACAACTCCTTCAATCCCCAATACTAACAGTCTTGGAAAATACATTACTATCATTCATATCATTTGTAGAAACACATACAATAACCAAAATATTAAGACCTGTATGTATTTCACTTGATAACTGTACAGTTTTTAAATTTTATATTAATTTGAATTATATTTTAGTATTTTGGAAATATTATTCCAATTCTAATATCATTGGTGAAAAAACATCATTCAACAAAGGATTCAAGATTATTATTTTGTCGATCAATCAATGCATTTGAACTTTCTGGTCAAGTTGTTGGCAAGCTGGTATTTACCAAATATGTAAACAAGTTTATGTTGTTTGTTAAAAAGAATGAAAATTCATTGGATCTGATTGTAGATGTGGCTAGGGTATCCAGAGGATTTATTCAAGTACTGGGCAAGTCATTTGCAGTGTATTTACCAATGCTGGTCAAGATGATTGTTCAAATACTCGAGACTCCAGTGACCAACAACCAAAACTCTCAATCATCAATCGAGTACAACAATAGAATATTATCAACGATCAAGAGTTTGGATGGGTTGATGTTCAAAAACATGTATGGTTCAATGGCTCCGTTTGTTCATAGATTTTTCGTTCCACTGATCAACTTTGCAAAACTTTCAGACCACAACGATATATGATATCATTCAATTGAGTGTTTACCGAAAAGTCTCAAACTTTTCAAGCTGCAATATGGTGAACGCAGTGACAAGACACTCGACTTGTTTGACAAGGCACTCCATTTGGCACTCTTGCCAAATCATCTGGATGACTGTTATGCTTTGGAGAATCGTATCCGTGTTGGAACAAATATCATTAAAGTGATGGGAAATGACTCAATGACGATTGATCAAGTACGATCAGTGCTAAATGGTTTGAAAGTATTTGAAAAAACTTTGATGGACAATGCACAACAGGTCAGAGAAGGTAATCAAGATGTAATCAACGATGAAAATCCAAAAGACATACTATATTCAATCGATGAAGGAGTTGGAGGTATCTACAAGTTTATCGGAAAGATGTTAAAATTAAACTGCACCATCACAGCACCACTTATCACATCCTCTGATCTCTTGGACAAGGCTTGTCAGAAATTAGATGTCATTCAAGATGGAGATTACTTTAAAATGGATATTTTATACTTTATTGAACAGTTCTTTGATTTTGGTGGAGAAGAAGCAATCAATAGATTTCCACAACTCATTCCACCAAAATTGGAGCAGCTGCCAAACTTGGAAAGGTCAGATTCTCACCTTGGGTCAAAGAAGTGTTACAGGCTTTTCAAGCCATATGCCTGAACCAAATAATCATGAAAAGATTGCTGCCCAAATCCGAGCAATCTCGAATATGGGTAAAGTTATCAGATATGTTCCATTTGGTGTCAATGATAATATCTGTGAAATCATTTCAACTTGGATCAAACATCTTCCAACTTGGTATGATGAAGATCGTGTATAAGGCTATAAAAATGTTGTTGATCTATTTTGTATCATTGCAGATTATAAAAAAGAAGATTCACTCAACCCAAATCATTTATCAAAGAGTCAACCCTCTCCAATTGGGATACTATCCCATCAACAACAAAAAAGAGTTTATCTCACTTTTTAAAAAGATAAAATAAAAACAGAAGACAAAAGAAGAAAGTTTATATAAATTTATTTTTAATTTACTTTTTTTTGTGTTTTCACAACTCAGATCTGATGATTTGTACACTTTCATTTCTGTATACGTTGTAGTTGTAATATAAAAGAAAGAAAGAAAGAGTATATGATTAAGTAGAATGATGGAGCAACCCGATGATTTAGAAGATTTCATCGAATTGGTTGTCTCTCTGGCAAAAGAAGATGATCAGCAACAAGAGAAAGAGAAGAAAGATAACAATAATAATATTTTAAAATCACAATCAAAACAACAATACAAAAACTATTCTCTATCTAATCCTTCTAAACTAGTATCAAAGTTAATCTATTTAATTGTAAAAGTTCCTTATCCAACTGTATGTATAGTATAATATTAGTCAAGATAGGGTATCAAAGAAGAGGTTACTAACACGTTTGATTGATTGATTGATACTATCATACTATTTATATTAAGATTAAAGAGAAAGCAGTACAGTTACTTGATAGATTATTAGTGAAAGAAGGAATAAAGTTTATTGGTGACCTGCCAAAAGTGATAGTGAATACAGTCAAGGTTGAGGCAATAGAGTTACTCAAAACAACTCTTACTGATACCTTTAGACAACATTTATTTAGTATCATTGAATATTTTGCAAATTATTTAGTACCTAGATGTATGTTGTGATCGATTAGATCATCTTTTACAACATATATAACTAACAAGATTATGTTTATATAGGTCTGTGGGATGAATTAGAAACAACTTTAGAGTATAAAGTAAATGGAAAAGAAGAATTATCAACACCATTACGAGATAATACAATAGCATTACAAACATTATTATCAAGATATGACTTTAAAATGAAGAAACAAGAAATGTTGGAGGAGTCGATCATCTCTGATACTTTTCTTAGTGAATTGTCAGAGAAGCAGTATAGATCAATCATACCCATGTTGTTATCAATGCTTGTACAAATAGATGGGTTAGATCGTGGAGAATTTATAGATAATAGTGTTAGAAATATCACAGAGATCTTTATACATAGCCGTTCAGGATTGAGGCATGAACTCATTCCACAGATCAATGATACTTTGATAGAGGTTTTGGAAAGAAATAGAGAAAATGGTTTTAGAAACAAAACCATTAAAAAAAATATATTAGGTTGTTTGACTGTTTTGATCGGATCTAACAGCAATCCTACAAACCCCCACATTGAAAGAATCATCAGTCATTTGTATGAGTGGTTGTCAGACGTCCAAGATTTATCACTAGAAGAATGGACAGAGAGTAGTAATTTAAATTACAAATTTAACTTTCACGAAGAAAGGGAATATGGACTTCTCCAAAAGAGACCTATTGGCCGTAAAGACTATCAAGACGATGATATTCAAGCAATAGATAGAAGTATTGCTCGATTTATCGGTGCGTTTGGTCAACCAGTAGTAAAAACTGTATCAATACTTGTATGTAATCAATTAATTCGATTTTCAAATTCTCAATCATGGAAACACAGATACGCTGCATTGATATGTTTACCTAAATTTTGTAAATACCTCCAAGAAAATATTGAAAATCAATTTCCTATTATTTTAAAGTATGTACAATAGTATAATAATATTTAATATCTATTTTATTTATTTTTATATTTAAATTTAGGACAATATTAAAATCAACAAAAGATTCCAATATTAAAGTTGTATGGGCATCACTGGATTGTTTAATTCAAATTTCTCGTCAATTTCATCAATTTAAAGAATTGTTGGTTAAATTCAGAGGTCAAGTATGCCGAGTGATTGTTAAATTAATTAGTGATTATCCAAATCAACGTATTCAACATACTTGTTGTTTATTTATTCAATCCATAATGCAGTTATTAAAACGAGATGTGGTTGCTTATAATATTGACGATGTTTTAAAAGCGTTGTCTAGTTCTTTTGAAACACTACTCTTATCACCAACAATTTCTGTTGTTGAAAATTCACTATTATCATTATTTACAATCATAAATTCTCTTACATTTAGACTAAAACCTGTAAGTAAACCATCATGCATTAACAAAATGTGTTGATTAAATATTAATATATATTTTATATAAATATATATATATATATTTTAGTATTTTGGAAATATCCTACCAATTCTATTATCATTATTGGAAAAATATCATGGAACAAAAGAATCTAGATTATTACGGTGTCGTGTAATCAAGGCATTTGGACTATGCGGCAAAGTAATAGACAAAAAGACATTTACAAGATATTTATACATGTTGATGCAGTTTGTCAAAAAGAATGAAAAGTCTTTGGATTTGGTTGTGATAGAATATATTTTCAAAGAATCTGGTTCATTTATGCAATTGGTTGGTAACTCATTTGCAATCTATTTACCAATGATTATTAGAATGATTATCAATATACTAGAGACACCAATACTAGAAGAGGAAGAAGAAGATGTCAAGAGTATAATACTTACACTCAATAACTTGAAAGATATTTTGGAATGGTTTAATGGAAAACAGAAAACTGCTTATGAACCTTTGGCACGATTTTCTCAGAGATTGGTAGATTGCATTTTCAATTGTCTATGAACCCATTCAACAACCAAATCAAAAAGAATTCTCTTTCCAATTTACCAGCAGTGTTAAAATTGTACTTGCTTCATTTTGGAGCAAAAAGTGAAAAGACACTAGAAATGTTTGGAAAGATACTCGAATTGGCACTCACCTATTGTTCAATTCAACCCCTCCACTTTAATATTTTAGGAGAATTTATAATTATGGGAGCCAAAGTCATTAAAGTAATGGGTAAGGATTCAATGACATTGGATCAAATCCATTCAACCTTGGACAGGTTAAATGTGATTGAAAAAGTATTTTCTGACGACAGAGATGAAGATATCATTGGAGATGGACTATTCTCCACGGGAGATTCACAACGTTCAATCTCTCAAGGAATAGAAGGTATATATATGACAATGGGACATATGCTCAAACACAATAGAGCCATCACAGCTCCACTCATCACATCTGATCATTTGGATAGAGCTTGCCAGATATTGGATGGCACTGAAGATGAATTCTCGGTCAAGCAGAATACGCACTATTTTATGATGCAATACTTCAAGTGCGGTAATGAAAATGCTATCAACTCTTTTCCAAAGGTGATACCAACCATTGTCAAGTGTATGACCTCTGATAATATCATGGAAAGACAATTCTCTTCAATTGCACTTGGAGTGGCTGCACAAATTGGCAAGGACAGATTCTCACCTTGGGTAATCGATGCATTACAGGCTTTGGATAGTATAGCATCTGAACCATACTCTGAAATAGTTTACAAAGAAATCGTCAAACAACATGCCATATCTAGTATTGGTAAAATCATCAGATATGTACCAACACTGTCCAATGTCGATTACATCATTCAAAAATGGTTTAGTCATCTCCCTTTATGGTACAAAAAAGATATTTTCATCTCTAACCTTTGTACCATTATCCATCTCTATCCCAACGAGTGTTTTGGTAAGATCTACCAACACGTGGAAAAGTTATTTTTGATTATCTTACAGTTAAGTCGAGACCAAAAACTACTCGATCAAAACCAACAACAATTACTCTTTCAAACCATATCATTTATCAAAGAATCAATACAATCAAATTGGGATACTATTCCATCAACAATTAAAATGTCACTTTCATACTATTTAAAAAATAAAATAATAAATTAAATTATTTTTTTTTACCTTTGATTTGTATCATTTCATTTTATATCTTTCATTGCTATAATACTATTTAGTATTTATCTTTAGTATTATAATCATCATCAACATATAGTATAGTAGTATTTTAGTTTGTTTATCTATTATTATGGAGCAACCAGGTGAAGGATTTATAGAGATAATAGTCATTTTAGCAAAACAAGATCAACATAAACAAATAAAGAGAGATAATAATAATAATAATAATAGTAGAGAAGATGATTTAATATTTGATCGTTTATATTCACAAACAAAAAAACAATACAAAGAGTACACTTTATCAAAACCAGAACAAGTAGTATCATGGTTACTCTTTTTGATGGTTAAGGGTACCTATCCTACTGTATGCATATTTTAACGATAAGTAGATAGATATTACATATAACTAATACAATTATTACACATTTATTACTCTTTTATCAACAGATTAAAGATAAAGCATTACAGTTACTTTATCGATTATTTGACTTGTTTAAAGGACAATATTTTATTAAATCATTGTCTGAAGAGATGGTAGATGTTGTAAAGATTGAAACAATCAAGTTTCTAAATACAACACTTACAGAGACAAAGAGATTTCATTTATTTAGTATCATTGAATCACTTGCAGTTTATTTAAGAGGTATGTGTAAATTGATACAATCATATTATCGATCTAAATTAACGTTGATTTAATTAATTAGGTCTTTGGGATGAATTAGAATCAACATTGAATACATTTGTAAATGAAAAGGAAGAAGAAGAAGAATCAAAATTACGAGATAATACAATGGCACTACTCAATACATTTTCATTCACTAGTATTCAAAAGGATAAACAAAATATGTTGGTAGATATGGTTGAATCTTTTGATTTTGCTCGTGAATTGACAGAGAAGCAATATAGATCATACATTCCAATGCTGCTATCAATGATGGCGGAAATGGATGGGTCTGTCGATGGAGACTTACTCGAAAAGTGTGTATGCAACTTGACTCGTATCATTTTCTACTATAATCCAATATGGATGAAAGATTTTACTGTACACACCATTGACACATTGATAGATGTATTGGATAGACATCGTGAAAAAGGTTTCGAAACTAAAAACAACAAAACGGTTGTGTTTAGACACTTGTTGGAAATGGCATCGAAAACTCCCGATTACTTTACAGATAGTCACATTGAAAGAATCCTCCCTCATTTTTATGAGTGGTTATCTGATATCGAGGATCTATCATTGGAGGAGTGTACAGACAAACCATCCATGATTGACATTGGCAACATTATTGACAACAGCAATGACGATGATAATAATGATGATAGTAACAGTGATGGTGGTGATAGTAATAGTGACAGTGACAGTGAAGAAGATGATGAAATAATAACAGATTACTATCGGGACTATAACAAAAACTATCAGCTGGTAGCAGCGGCTTCATGTTTTCATCGATTTGTACATACATTTGGTCAAAAAGTTGCTGTCCCCATTTTCAAGCATTTTCTCATCTTTTCAAACTCTCAACAATCGTGGAAACAGAGGTATGCAGCATTGATGAGCATAACTAAATTTAGTAAATTCTTTAAAGAAAAAATTGGTCATAGAGAACAATTTCCAATAATTTTAAAGTATGTAAAAACATTAAAGTAATATTTACTAGTAAATGATGAAAATATCTTGGTTAGAGTGGCATCATTTAAATGTTTAATTCAATTATCGATTGATTTGTCAGATTTGATTGTTGAATCAAGATATGATATATTTCAAGTTATTTTCCAATTAATTCGTGATGATCCATATATATTTATTCAAAATAGTTGTTGCTGGGTAATTCATAGAATGATGCTTTTATTAAAACAAGACATGATAGATGATAATGCTTTGGATCGATTATTTAGTTCATTTCAAATTCAACTTGAATCACCAATATTATCAGTCACTATGATTACAATTCAATCCTTTATGATTGTTGTAGATACTGTTAAAGATAGATTTAGACCTGTAAGTTCAATTTAATTAAAATATTTGCATTCATACAGATACTAATTTCAAATTTCCACTGGAATTATTTAGTATTCACAAAGATTTATACCAATTTTATTAACATTATTAGAAAAACATCATACAGAAAAAGAATCATTCAAACTGTGTCAGAGTACAATCAAGGCAATTGCAATCTGTGGTAAAGTGATGGAAAAGAAGACATTTTCAAGATATTTACACAAGTTTATGATGTTTGTTAAAAAGAATGAAAAGGCTCTTGGGTCTCCGATCTATAATGTATTCAGAGCATCTCATTTATTCATTGATGCTGTTGACAAGTCATTTTCAGTGTATTTACCTATGATTATGCGGATGATGATCAATGAATTAGAGACAACACCTTTACCCGATTTCACAGAATTGGATGCACTCGGTTTGGTCGAAATAATGGGTAAAGTAGAAGATGAATCACTTTATGAACCTTTGGCACCATTTGCACATAGATTAGTTGGTCCATTGTGCAACTTGTTGGATGCTCAACCAAATTCACGAGATCATATCCAAATCTGTTTACTTTTCTGTATGGCGAACGAAGCTACATGACACTTGAGATGTTTGGTATGGTTCTAGATTGTTTCCTCGTGGAATGGGAGCAATCACACCTTTACACCGATCATATCGAAGATGGATGTATGGTCATCAAAGCAATGGGTAAAGATGCAATGACGATTGATCAAGTACAATCGGCTTTGGATATATTTGACGAGATGGATAATAGGCTCTTTGATAGATTAGATCATATTCGAGATGGAATCCAATTAGATAACGATGACGACAACGATGATGATGAAGATATTGATGAAATACTAGATACTATCTCCAAAAGGTACACATCAACTATCAGATCATTAGTCATTTGTTAAAATACAACAGCACCATCTCTACACCCCTCATCACATCCTCGAATCTATTGGAAAAGTGTTGTAACAAGTTGCGTGATAATGAAGTGATTGATGATATCAAGACTGGAATTCTTGAATTATTGGCCAATTACTGTGAGTATGGTGGTGATTTAGCCATCAACTCTTATCCGCATATCATAACACATATTATCAAGTGTCTAGAACAACAAGAAAATGAAATGGTCAATGATCGACGCTAATAAAATATTATAGCTATAATATAAGGATCTCTCTCTGTGTCTCTCTGTACATAGTCATAACAAGTAGAGATAGATAGATATAAGATATGTATATATATAATATATATTATATTATTTTATTATTAATCTCTTTTTTGTTTGATTTGTTTTTTTTTTTTCTGTGACGATCATCTATCTATTCTTTTGTACAATTAATTCATTAAATATAATAAACAACAATGAGATCTGAACATCACATTTAATAATAGGTCTACACATATTGTATGTAGCTGTACACATATTGTAAAGGAGAATATTCACCCACTACCAACCACCATTCACACAAGAGTGTGGTACTCTTGTGGTATGAATAATCACAGTAGTAATCAAATTAATTTTATACATGTAATCTCAAAGTAATAATAGTAGTAGTATCTAATGTATTATTATTAGCTAATATCGTATAGTAACACTAGTTATAGTTATATTTATGTTATGATGGAGCAACCAACAGATCAATTCATAGCGATCATTGTTACTTTAGCAAATACAAACAACAAGAAAGATGATATTGACGATACCATCAAAAAGAATGATTTTGATAGTGATAAAGTAGCAGAATGGTTACTCTATTTAATGGTCAAAGGTACTTTTCCAAATGTATGTGTGTAATTATAATTAATTAATTAATTAATTATGATGATGATTATGATGATGGATGAAGATGACTAACAGATGATCATTTAAAAGATTAAAGAAAAAGCAGGATCATTACTTGATAAATTATTAGCTAAAAGAGGAAAAGAGTTACAAGATGAAGCAATGAGAGAAAAGTTGGATTTCACATTGATGCTTCGTAACTTTTTTAATAGAAGAGGTGTCATTGACAATGATTATGTAACACTTGTCTCCAAGTTGCTAACAATCATCTCAAAACCACCATCGATGGATGACCGCGTCTCAGAGACAGTCTTGGAAGAGGTTATTTACCGATTGATGAAGATTTTTGTACGAAGCAATAATCCATCTTGGATGAGAAAACTTGCACCACAAATCATCGAAACGTTGATAGTGTTGTTGGACAATCATCGAAGAAAGGAGTATCTTGTCAATAGTACTAAAAGAATGGTATATGATTACTTGACAGTCTTGGCAAAGAATAATGTAACTCTTTTTAATAATACTCAAGTTGAAAGAATAATAGTCAATTTGTATGCTTGGTTAATATCAACTGTCAAAGATGTATCGATGGAAGAGTGGACAGAGACCAACTCCAAAATCGACATTGACAAGAACTTTTATTCATTCAACTATGACGAAGAAAAAGATTATATTCCACCAACAAATAATGATGATGATCCTACCACTTACAATGACGATGTTAGTGATGGGAGAGGTATTACAGCTCATTCCAAACTTGCACAATTCATCCAAGTATTTGGTCCAGTTTCTGTAATTCCCATTTTCAATCAATGCAACACTACCTTGTCAAACTCTACCCAATGGAAAGAAAGATATGCATCTATGGTTGGTTTGGCTACTGCTTGTAAATTCTCATCTGAAGTTTTATTTCAAAGATTTCCAATTATTTTAAAGTATGTAAAACAAACAAAAAGATAATAATAATAATATTAATCTTTTTTTTTTTTTTTTTTATTTATTTTATTAATTTAGTTTAGCATTAAAATTATTTGAAGATGAAAATATACGAGTTAGATGGGCATCAATTCAATGTTTAATTATATTATCAATTGAATTTGGTGATTTAATGGTTCAAGTAAAACAACAAGTATTTAATGTCATTAGAAAATCGATTCGCCAAGGTACAAATGAACGAATACAATCTAGTGGTTGTGTATTGGTTCAAACCATGACAGATATATTGACCAATGAAATGATTGGTGATAATGTGTTAAATGGACTGTGTCGTGGTCTCTTGGCACTAGTTGAATCCCCTAAATTCTATGTTGCTGAAAATGCATTACTATCATTACAATCAATTGTTGGTGTTGTTAAAAATAGATTTAATCCTGTAAGTTTAAAAAGAAATAATTAATTATTAATATTTAATTGTATTTATTTTATTTATTTATTTCTATTTATTATTTTAGTATTTTGGAAATATTATTTCAATTTCATTATCTTTGTTGGAAAAACATAATGCAACAAAAGAATCAAGAATATTACGTAGTCATGCAATCAAGGCATTTGTCATGTGTTCATCATTTGTTGACGAAAAGAAATACTCAAAATCTTTAAACAAGTTTTTGGTGTTTGTCAAAAAGAATGAAAAGTCATTTGATATGATTGTAGATGTCATCAGAGCATCCTATGTATTTATTCAAGATGGTAGTCAATCATTTCCAATGTATTTTCCAATGTTTGTTAGGATGATTGCAAATATACTCGAGACACCATTACCCACTCAACAAGCAGAAATAGATGAAATGCCAGATGAATCAAAACAAGATATGAAAAAGGTACTATTGACACTCAAAGGTTTAAACACAATCTTGAAATCAAATGAAAAAGAATATGATCAAGAATATGATGAAGAAGAAGATTACCAAGATGAAGAAGATGACGAGGATGAAGATTACTCAAAAGATGAAAAGTTGAAAGTTCTTACTTCATATCGCCCGTTGGCACCATTTGTACATTGCTTGGTCGATCCCATTTGTAAACTTGCAATATACCCATTCAACAGTAATATTCGGATGATATGTTTACCATTTTGTCTTGAACTGTACAAAATACAATGGGGAGAGCGTAGTGACAAGACAATACAAGTATTTGGCAAGATACTTGATGCAGCGTTGGGGTATCAGGAATTGGAACCTCAAATGTGTGCACTACGTATTTCTATGGCAAGTTACCTCGTTTCAACAATGGGTAAAGATGCAATGACACTCGACCAGGTGGAGTCGACAGTCGCCACATATAATCGGATGAAACCATTGTTATTCGTAATGGCAGACCAAGTGCGAGCTGGAAATCAAGATATTATTGGTGACAATATGCCAGAACCATTTTTAAAGAATATTGCTCAAGCTTTGTTTGCACTCTATGGTGTGATGACAGAGATGATCAAGTATAACAGTACCATTGCAATACCACTCATCACAGGTACCACGAATATATTGGAGGATATTTGTGATTATCTAACAGAGGATGATGAAGGTGATATGGTCAAGGTTGTCATACTCGACTCATGGTGGTGACGTTGCCATCACTGCATTCCCTCTGATCATTCCAACTATTATTCAGTGTCTGTCATTAGAAGGTACATTGGCACCAATCAAAGCAGCAGTTGTACTTGGGGTGGCTGCTAAACTTGCCAAAGATAGATTCTCACCGTATCTCACACCAGTGTTACAAGCAATCGACACTATGTTATCCGAACCAATATCAACAGTTGTCGACAACAAAACATCCAAAGAGTATGCAATCAGGAGTATCGGTGAAATCATTCGTTATGTACCACAAGTCTCAAGTATGCTCAATGTCATCATTCCAAAATGGCTCAACAAGCTACCACTTGTCACCGCCGACAAAGTACCGATTATTGAAACCTTTTGTTCGATTATTCGTCTCTACCCAGACCAATTCCTCGGTGGTGAACAATACCAACATGTTGTCAAGTTACATGGTTTCATCTTGAAATACAGGAAAACAACTTGTCAAAAAGATGAAATAGAATTACTCTCACAAACTTGGTTATTTATTCAAGAATCATTCAAATCAAATTGGGACAATATTACATCAGAAACTACAAGAAATACTTTATCAAAATTGATAGATCCACCACTTTAAATAAAATCAAAATACAAATACAAATCAAATAATTAATAGGTTCATCCAAATGAATCTCTTGAAAAAAAACCCCAAAAAAAAAAAAAAAGAAAAAAAATGTTTCTTTCACTCATCATCATAGCCATTTGTAAGGATACAGTTATTTGTTCTAATTCTTTAATGTAATATAGGTATTTGTGTGTTGTGTTTGCAGATATGGATCAAATCAAGAATTCATAAATACAATATTTATTTTAGCAAGAGATCAGGATGGTACCAACAACAAAGACAAAGATATAGTAAAAGCAAAACAAAGATTTATAGACTAAACGACAATCCACCTTGGATGAACCAATTCGCTCCACGGATCATAGACCTTATGATTAGAGTATTGGACAGACACGCTGAAAAGAAGACCACAACCACTAGAAACAAAACTATCATATGTTTGGTTTTATTTTCGCAATGGCGTGTGATTCGACATCTTTAACTTCAATCAACAACTTTTTCCCACTCGACTATGAAGATGAAAAAGATTATATTACACCACCACCAACAAAAGAACATCGGTCACACCACTATGATACGATAGTGAAGCGACAGGTACACCAGCTTATAAATTATTAAATCAACTCATACTTGTGTTTGGTAAACGTTTTGCAGTACCCATTTTGGCTCAATCTCGTATCCTTGTAAAATCAAAACTGTGGAAGGAAAGATATGCAGCTATGGTCAGTCTAACTTGAGCTTGTCAACCAATATGTGAATTAAATATATGAAAACTTGTCAACAACCACAGCAAAAAGAAAGATTATTACTATACCAAACCTGGTTACTGATAAAGGAATCATTTAAGATAATTGGGACACTATTCCAGAAGATAAAAAAGAGATAATATCAAAATTGGTAGTACACGAATAAATAAACAAAAAGTTCCAAGAGATCTAGTTTTCTTTCTTATTTTATTCAATTTGAAAGAGTAAAATATTATTGATCCAAATAGTATGATAACATAACTGATGTCTTCTCTGTATCGATAGGTGTGAATGATTCTTTGACAAATGACCAAGTTTGTGAGAGTAATTCTTTCTCTTGTTGTGGTGGTTGATACGTCTGTCTGTAATAATCAAAGATATAAAAAATTTGGGGTACATCTTTGTGTTCTTCAACATATAAACACTGTTTGGGGTATAGATGGACAATGGCACATAGATTATGAATGACATTAATATTTTCTTTCTTGTCTTCTATGGGAAGAAGGCTCAACCATTTAGGAATCATAACATTGACATTGACCTGAGGGACATATCTAATGATTTTACCAATATTCGATATGGCAAAATCCCTGAAATGTTGGTAGTCTGTCTCGGTTTCAGAGATCAAAGTGTCAAGTGCCAGTAACGCTTCATTGATCCATGGTGAGAATCTATCCTTTCCAATTTTTGCTGCAGATCCAAGTGCATCTGAAAGGTTGATTCGCACAATGTCATCGTCGAGGGTTATACACTTGATAATGGTTGGTATGATAAATTTGAAAGAGTTGATGGCCAAGTCACCACCAAATTCCAAATACCAAGCCATAAAATAGAGTATACCTCCCTTGTCAGTATGATCTAATTCTTCAAATTCTCCTAGTTTCTTGCATGCTCTGTCCAAGAGTTCAGAGGTTATAAGAGATACCGCCACGAGATTATTTTGTTTGATGATTTGGCCTATCATCTGATAAATACTAGCAACTCCACCATAGGTTGAATTTAGAACATCTTCTTCATCCTCATCGCCAATTTCATCTAGATTTTCATTTTGTACCTGTTCTTTAATGTTGTACAACTTTTCCTCCATCTTGGATAATATGCATAGTATTGACTGAATATGATCGGGGGTCATTGCATCATTGCCCATTGATTTGATAACTTTTGATCCCGTGTCGATACGATATTGCAAAAAGAAATAGTGATCAGGTTCGAGTGGATTTGATAAGAGTAACGTATCGAGTATCTTTGTAAACATCTCTAGAGTCTTGTCACCATCACGATCACCAAATTGCATCTTGGACAGTTTCATACAAGTTGGTAAACTGTCCAGGGAATTTATTCGAATATAGAGTTCGAATGGACTCTTGACCAAGTTGAGTAGTGGGTCTACCAATAGATGTGCAAATGGTGCCAAATGTTCATAAACTCCGGAATGCATTATTCTATTCAAATTCCTTAGAGTTGGGAGTATTATCTTTATATTGGGTGATGTATTCATTTCTTCTTCTTCTTCTTGACTGAGAAATGGTTTCTCTAGTATCTTGAAAATAATCTTGATGATCATTGGTAAATACACTGAAAATGATTTGCCAATATCTTTAATAAATAAATTCGATGCTATCAAAACATGTAGAATCAAATCAAACGATTCTTCATTCTTTTTAACAAAAACCATAAACTTGATTAACTCTTTTGAAAATATCTTCTTGTCCATCAACGAACCACATAATGAAAATGCCCTTATTGCACGACAACGTATTAATCTTGATTCTTTTGTTGCATGATGTTTATCCAATAAAGATAATAGAATTGGAATGATATTTCTAGATTCCTATAACAAATATTAATAATTGTCCTTTTTTAAAATTTTCTTGTGATATATTTACTTACAGGTCCAACTTGGACAATATTATTTACAACCAACAATAATGTATTTTCGACTACATGTAATTTTGGAGATTGAAGAAGTATTACAAACAAACTTGATAAACCTTTTACGAGGTGATCAGAAATATTATAATATTTCAAAGACGTGAGGAATACACAACAGCTACTTTGAATACGTTCATTTTGATCATCACCAATGGATTTTGAGATTAATGTTTCAATCACAGAGTATAGTTGTTCTCTTCTTGACTTGTCTTCCAATTGTACAAACTTAATTAATTGAATTAACAAGTGTAATGATGCCCATCTAACTCTAATATCTTCATCGTCAACCAATTTTAATACTGATCTAGATATTAAATGACAATTTTATAATTAATTAAAATTGTAAATATAGTTATTATCAGCTTTCAACTACATACTCTAAAACTTGTGGAAATTGAAGTGACAATTTGCCATAAAGGGAATGACGAAATCTAAACAAACCAACCAATGCTGCATATCTTTGTTTCCACGATTGTTGAGAATTTGAAAAGATGTTGAAATGTTTGAAAATTGGTATTATAACATCATGTCGATAAACTGCGGCACCAGTTGAGAACTGAGAAAAACTTGAATCTATTTCAATGTCATCTCGTTCATAATCTAGATTTCCGATGGGATAGTTTGTTGGGATAATGTCATTTTCCCTCTCTTCAAAGCAAATGTTATCATAAATGTTGTTGGAGATTCCATTATTTAAAATATTATTCTCTGCTGGAAAGCTGTCTGTCCACTCTTCCAGTGACAAATCTCTGACATGGGTCAACCATTCGTACAAATGAAAGGTGATCCTCTCAATGTGAATATCGGTACATATGCTGATCACATACAACAAATAATCCATTATTATACTTTTTGTGTCGATGTATCCTGTTTCATGGTGGCTATCCAACACCAGGATCAACGTTTCAATAATCTGTGGAGTGAATTCTTGTATCCATGCTGTGGTATTAGTGTTCTCGACAAAGATTCTTTTCAGCTTGGGGATAGACATCTTTAGAAAAAAGTTATCAACCACATCGATTTGTTCTAGCATTAATGATAGTAGAACTGGCATGAATGATCGATACTGTTTTTCTGTCAATTTCAGAAAAGAGTCATCTTCAGACTTGATCATCTCTATCAACATCTCTTGTTTCTCTTTTTTAAAGTCATATTTTGACAATACATTGATCAATGCCATAGTATTATCTTTTAAGATTGGTGATCCTTCTTTTTCTACTTTTAATATTGATGATTCTAAATCATCCCATTCACCTAATCAAAAGAATATATTAGTACAATGATTGATTGAATGATCGATATAGTTTTAAACAACAATCATTCAACATACCTATAGGTACAAAGCAAGTAGCAAATGATTCAATGATACCAAATAAATGTTGTCTAAAGGTATCTGTAAGAGTTGTTTTGAGTAACTCTATTGTTTCATACTTGACTGATTCCAATATTATATGTTCTAATGATTTTATATACTCTTTTCCTTGTTTGATCAATAATCTATCAAGTTACTGTACTGATTTCTCTTTAATCTTTTGTATTATGATAATTATTAGTCATCATGATCTCTATCTTTGATTGTTAATCACATACAGTTTGATCTAAACCCTGAATAGGTAAGTATAATAAAAAGAGTAACGATGATACTGTATCGTTAGGATCTGATAAAGCATGCTCTTTGAATCTTTGTTTTGCTTGACTATTATCGTTGTATTTGTTAATGTCTCTTGTAGTATCATCTCTATCGATCTGTTTATCTCTTGATAAAATGATAATAATCTCTTTAAATTCATCTTTGATGACATCTATTTGTTCCATTCTTTAACTATTATTATTATTTATTTATTTTTAAGGGAAGATAAAAAAACAAAAAATTTGAAAAAATTCATAGTAAATAGGTGCCTCTAATTAAAATGATCAATCAATTATTATAACTTGTAAATTTGATATTATCTTCCTTGTTTCTAATGGAATACTGTCATTCGTATTTGCATCAAAAATATCTTTGATAAACAACCATGTTTGGTAAAGTAGTTGTTGGTTGGATCAATGTGAAGGAAAAGTTTTCAGATACTGGTTGATGATTTGGTGTGTCTTGACAACATGTTGGTATTGTTGACCTAGACTTTCGTTGGTGTAGAGACGGATAATGGCGCATAGGTTAGATATGATAATATCAATTACTTTCTCTTCTTCAGCGAGGATGTTGACAGGATCCTTGTTAAATAAATCAGACATGGTCATCAAAGATAAATATCTTTCTTTCCATGATTTAGAATTTAACAAGATGATGAAATGATCGAAAATAACTCGTGCAATACGATCAAGCGCCACTACGAATCGAGAAATAGTTGCAACGGTTGATGACAGATGATCTTTTGAATACTTTATGTCATTAAAAAGTACTTGATCATATATAAAGTTACAAAGATTGTCATCAAGGTCAATTTGTGAGTCATCACTATATGCCCAATCTTCCAATACCATAGATTTTTCTTGTATAAGCCATTCGGTCAAATGTACAATGATCCTATCAATTTGGCGATCAGTAATGCGTGTGGGAAAAGTCTCTGCCAAATACTCAAAGATATTATTCTTTGTGTCGTTATTCTTGAAACCCTTTTCGCGGTGTCTGTCCAATACCTCTATCAATGTGATACTAATCTGAGGAGATATTTCTTTCATCAGCTGCGGATTATTGTCTAAAATACCTGACAGGCTTTCAACAATATCATCTAGTAATTCTCCATCTACAATACCATCGATAATAGCATGGGCATGAATAATGGAAACTGTTCCTCTGGCAAGCTTTGAAATTCTGAAGTTTTTGATCAGATCTAACAATATCTCTTTTTTATCCATTTTAAAGTCATACGTTGCATATACCATCAACTCTTTTGTATTTTCTAAAAGTATTGAATCATATTCTTCTCCGAATTGAATTGTCTCTACAATCATTCCTAATTCAAACCATTGTTCTATAGTGTAAAGTACAACAATGTTATTAACAGTTATAAAGCTATATAATTGATAAAACTATCGATTACATACCGGTAGGTATTAAATACTTTGCAAATGATACAATTATACCAATCAAATGTCGTAAAAAGATATCTGAAAGTGTAGTCTTTAACAACTTGATTGTTTCATGACTGCTTCAACTATTGGTTGTGGCAATGATTCGATGAACTTTATAATCTCTTTTCCTTTTTTCAACAACATTCTATCAAGAAACTTTGTGCATTCTCTATAATCTTTTATGATAGTGTATGAAGAGTAAAGAATATCAGTAGATATTCGTCATTTTATTGTCACAAGATCATTCTTCTTTGAGTACTACATACATTAGGGTAGGTACCCTTTACCATTAAATAGAGTAACCATGATACTAATTTATCTGGTTTAGATATAGTATATTGTTTGAATAGTTGTTTTGCATCTTTTCTCCTCTTTTCATTGTCTTGTCTGCTGTTATTATTATTATGATCATATTTCATCTTCTTTATCTGTTGATCTATTAAAATATCAAAGATCTCTATAAATTCTTTATCTGGTTTCTCCATCATTACACAAAGACATAATACTATCTCTATGATCAGGTGAAACAAAATAAAATGAATTCCTCTTGTGAGCTAAAGCTATAAGTTTGAGTAAAAAAAAAAAATCGAAATAAAATTTAAAAATAGTAGGTGACAGGCAAGATAGAATCATTGTCATCTCGAACCTCTATGCTATTGTACGTCTCTACCCCAAAGAATGTTTAGTTCAACAATACCAACATGTCGTCAAGATACACAGAGCAATCAATCTTTATATTAAAACCCTCAAACATCGACACCTACCACAAGAACAGAAACATCAACTCATCCAAACATGGGTATTTATCAAAGATATATTTGAAGAGAATTGGGATCAAGTACCGGAAAATACAAGAGAGGTACTATCAAATTTACAAATTGGTACACTTGAAGAAAACGAGTTTTCTTTATATTAATAATTATTAAATAATAATTAATTAAATAAATCATGCTTTGCATATTTTGAACTTCCAAAATTTTTTCAAAGTCACCCACGAAATTTCATATCATTATCATTGCTAGTATCCACGTTAAAGTGGTAGTAGAGTAGTATCAAATAAATTGTAATATTATGGAGCAACCAACTGATGAATTTATAGAATTAGTAGTCACTCTTGCAAAAGAAGATAATGATAAAGATAATAACAATAACAAGTATAAATCAGTATCAAAACAACAATACAAAAAGTATACTATAGATAAACCTGAACAAGTAGTATCATGGTTACTCTTTTTAATTGTAAAGGGTACTTTTAGAACTGTATGTAGAGTTTGATTGATCTGATAGATCGATGTGACTCAAGAAATACTTTTTTACTATAATATTATTATTATTATTATATATATATATAAAGATTAAATATAAAGCAATACAGTTACTTGATAGATTATTAGTTAAAAAAGGTGAAGAGTTTGCAGATGCATTGTCAGATGAGATAGCAGAAGATGCTGTCATTGGTACTGAAGAGATTCTCGAGGATGATAGTCTTACAGATACTTGTAGAGATCATATATTTGGTATTAGAGAATCACTTTCAATTTATGAGAAAAAAGTAGATGAAGAAGAAGATAATAATAATAATAATGAAGAAGATGATAATGAACAGGATGACTATTATGAACAGGAAGAAGAAGAAGAAGAAGTTGTATATGATGGAAAAGAAAAGATAATATTCACCAAGTTGTTATTGACACTCTCAAAGTCTGATGGATATTCTATTCCATATCGTAACTCTATCGAGAGAAGGGTATCTCATCTGATAGGAATGTCAATGGATTATCCATCTTGGCTGACACCTGTCGTTCTACAAGGTATTGACACCTTGATAAATGTGTTGGACAGACATAGCGAAAAAGACTTTAATGCCAAAAGTATGGTATTTGAATGTCTGTTTCTATGGGTCAAGAAATTTCAAATCATGTATACAGATAGTCATGTAGAGAGAATCTTTTATCATTTGTACCGGTGGTTGACTCAAGTAAATGAGGATGTATCGTTGGAAGAGTGGACAAAGAGCAATAAGAAATTTGACAAGAGCGGTGCATATTTCAGAAATATTTATGTTGAAGAGAGAGACTATGACAATCTACCAACAGAAGAGGAGCAATCTATGGACAAACCTGACGATAATGATGTAAAAGTGACAGGTTATACTGCTCAAGCTGCATTTAAACTATTCTCAAAAGCGTTTGGACAACATTCTGAAAGACTCATTCTAGGTATCTTGCTAAACACTTCATCATGGCAAGATAAATATGCAGTTATGTTGAGTCTAACCAATTCTTGTACACACATTTCCAAAACTGTTAGACAACAATTTATTTTTATTTTAAGGTAACAAATATTATATATTTTTAAACACAAACAAATATACAACAAATTAATTAATATTTGTTTTATTATTTTCTAATAGGTCAGTACTAAATTGTTTTAATGATGAAAATGTGAGAGTTAGATGGGCATCATTACAATGTTTAGTTGAATTAGTTAGTTCAATTCAATTATCTGTTGACTATGATGACTTAATGGTTCAATTTGAAGGATTATCTATTCCACCAAGAGATGAAATATTCAAAGTAATAGACAAATCAATTCAAGATCCAAATGAATCTATTCAAAGTAGTTGTTGTGTATTAATTAAAACAATGATGGATGCATTAACCAATCACATGAATGATGACAATGTTTTGGATAGAATAATTAATTGGATTCAAAAACTACTTGTTGGATTATCAAAAATATATTTAGTTGAAATTGTATTACATTCATTAATATCACTTGTAGGATCAATCAAATTAAAATTTAAACCTGTATGTACAAAAATATATAATAATAATAATATAAAATAATAATAATTAATCATTTATTTTTTATAGTATTATAAAAGATTTGTACCAATATTATTTGGATTATTGGAAAAACATAATGGAACAAGAGAATCTAGATTATTACGTAGTCGAGTAATCAAGGCATTTGGAAAGAAGACATTTGATTTGAATTTAGATGTACTTGGTGTATCAAAGGATTTGATACTAAATGCTGATAAACCATTTAATATTTTTTTACCAATGATCATTAGGATGATTGTAAAGGTTCTAAAGGCACCAATACCCAGACGACCCGAAGATATTACTCAAACTTTTGTGGACAACTATTATAGAATACTAGCAGGACTAAAGATATTGTCTGGTTTTTTGTTGGAGGATGACCATAACAGACTTTATGCACCATTGGCGCCACTTGTGCAAAGCATTGTCGACCCACTTTGCAACTTGGTTACACATCCATTCAACACCAATTTGCGTTCTCAATCACTACCCTGTGTCACTCCATGCCTGGCACTGACCATGCATCATTTCGGTAACCGCAGTGAAAAAACACTCGAGGTATTTGGCAAGATACTCGATGCAGTTGTGTTTCATCCCGAATCAGATATTCATATCACTCTATTGCGTGTATCTACGGGATCGTTCCTCATCTCAGCCATAGGAGATGACGCAATGACCAGCACACAAGTGCAATCTGTAATAGACACATTTAAAAGAGTGGAGCAATCGATATTGGTTGATCATATTGGTGACCAACCAGATTTTAATATGATCAATCATGAAGCCTACGTGTTGCTCAACCTTTATGGTTTGATTGAAGAAATGGTCAAGTTTAATGGTCCAGTGGCAGTACCACTCATCACCTCTGAACTCTTGGAGGGGTTCTGTCAAAAACTCGAAGGTGGCGGTGAATTAATGATCAAGGCTGCCATACTCAGCTTTTTCTCCAGTTTTTGTACATATGGAGGTGATGTTGCTATCAATGCATTCCCACATATCGTACCACTCATGATAGAGTGTTTAAAACTATCAGATGCCAAAGCAAGACAGGGTGCTTCTATTGCACTAGGAGCAGCAGCACAAGCTGCCAAGGAAAGGTTCTCACCTTGGGTAACTCAAACATTCCATGTCTTGGACACTATGATCTCTTCTCCTCCTGCATTCTCTCTGGAAAACATAGCTGCAACGGATTATGCTCTTTCTAGTATCTGTAAAATCATCAGATATGTACCACAGATCAACAATGCCAATGTCATCATTCCAAAATGGTTAGATCATCTTTTAGCATCTTCCAAGAGAGGGCGAATCATTTTAAATGATACCCTTTGTACTATTATACGTCTCTACCCCAAAGAATGTCTCGGTCAACAGTACCAACATGTTGCCAAATCATCGATCACTACATTAATAATTGCCAACAATATGCTAAAAAACAACAAAAACAACAACTCATCCAAACATGGGTATTTATCAAAGATATATTTGAAGCGAATTGGGATCAAGTACCGGAAAATACAAGAAAAGTACTATCAAATTTACAACATTCGAATGGGCTCTTTGTTATCCCTTAGAAAAGTACGAGTTAAATTTAAAATGAATAAAGAATGAACTCCCAATCTTTTTTACTTGTATGAGTTAACTTTGAACGAAGTTCGGGCAATAAATTTTTATCTGAACCTCAATTATTATATTAATTTTTTTTTTTTTTGAACATCACTGAGAGTTTGTGCTTGAAGGGCTATTTTAATTCATTGAGATAATAATAGTAGAGTAGTATTAGTATATATCTTGCTCATCATTAGTATGGAGCAACCAGAAGATGATGAATTTATAGAGATCGTTGTAGTTTTAGCAAAAGTAGAACAACAAAAGAGACTGAATGGTGATCATAGTATTGATATAGACTTTAAATTAAAATCAAACACAAAACAACAATTTAAAGACTATGCCATCGATTGTCCTTCTAAAGTAGTATCTTGGTTACTCTATTTCATTGTAAAGGGTGATTATCCATCTGTATGTATTATATATGTAATAATATTACTGATGATCGTCATCATTATTGACTTTGACAATATATCTATAGATTAAAGAGAAATCAGCACAGTTACTAGATAAATTATTAGAAAAAGAAGGAGAAGAGTATTTAAAAGAGATATCACAACCTGTATTGGATGCAGCAGTATTTGAAGTACAAAAGATACTCGATGATAAAAGTCATCGTCTTCAAGATGGTGACTTTAAATCTAGTTTAATTGGTATTGAACAATCAATTTTAAACTTTCAAGCAGATCAAGCTAATATAGAAGATGATGATCAAGACGATGATTATGAATCATCATATGATGATGATGAATCAGCAAAAGAAGGAGAAGAAGTCATCTTTGTAGATTCATCACAACTACCCAAACTTTTATTAAATCTATCAAAAATAGATGCGAGTTTCAGGAACACGTATCTATTACATTGTATCACAAATAATGGCTGCTTACTCGCAAAAACCATCTTTGACAAAAGAAATCAAACAAAAGATAATCGATACATTTGTTGGAGTGTTGGACAAGCATCGCGATAATGGATTCGCAGACAGAAATATCAAAGAAAGATTTATTGACAGTTTCATGGTCATGGGAAAGTTGCAATCAGCAGATTTTACAGACAATCATATTGAGAGTATTATCTCTCATTTGTACATTTGGCTTGCTGAAGAGGTAAAGGATGTATCATTGGAAGAGTGGACAGAGAGTGACATGACGACGGAAGATAAACGTTATAAAAAATTTCAATGCTTTACACAATTATTTAGTATGCGTGGTGCATTGGAAAAGCACATTTTCAATCAATTCAACATCTTTTCAAACTCTCAATCATGGAAAGATAGATATACATCAATTACGACTTTATCACATTCTTTTCAATTAATTCCTCATCAAATAAACCATACCAATAACAACAACAACAACCAACAATTTGATTATATTTTAAAGTATGTTAATAATTATTGTAAAATAATATTTATTAATTAAAATATTAATATTAATTTCTATTGTTTAGGTCAGCATTAAAATTAGTTAATGATGATGAAGATATTAGAGTTAGATGGGCATCGTTACAATGTTTAATTCAATTGACTATTGAATATATACATAGAAAGTTGATGGTTAAATCAAGACAAGAAATATTTCAAGCGATGGTCAAATCAATTCGTCGTGACACAAATGAACTTATTCAAGGTTGTTGTTGCCATTTGATTGAAAAAATGATGGAAACAATTACCAACAGTAACATTGTACTTGAAAGTCCCATTTTGGATACATTATGTGATTCATTTGAAATATTACTTCAATCACCAAATTTAGAAATCGTTGAAAGTTCATTGGTATCATTATTATCAGTCTTTGACAAAGTTCAAGAGAAATTTATGCCTGTATGTCAATCTCTTTCAAATTGAATAATTATTTAGATTCTAAATATAATTATTAATTATTATTAATTATTTCTAGTACTCGCAAAGATTTATACCAATACTATTTAGATTTTTGGAAAAACATCATACAACAAAAGAATCAAGAGCATTATGTAGTCGTGTAATCAAGGCATTTTCAACGTGTAGCAAAGTGACGGTAGACAAAAAGATGTATTCAAAATATTTATACAAGTTTATGGTGTTGGTCGGACGTAATCAAAGGTCGTTTGATTTGGTCGAAGTTTTAAGAGCTGCAAGTTTATTGCTTGTGAAACAAATTTGTGATTCATTTCCAAATGAAATCTATTTACCAATGATTGCCAAGATGATTGTTAACGTACTCGAGACACCAACAGGAGACGAAATGAATGGATCATCATCAGACCAAGATTCCAGTAGAATAAAATCTACACTCGAGATTTTGAAAAGTATTATGGTGTCACTGATCCATGGACCATATGTACCGATAGCTCCATTTGTTCACAGCTTTATCAATCCATTACGCAAATTGGCAAATAATAATACATTCTTTGCAACTGAATCTCTTGGTTGTTTGCCTGCATGTATTAAACTTGCCAATCTTTATTTTGGTGAACGTAGCAAAGAGACACTCGAAATATTTGACAAGATATACGGATCGATATTGTGTCATCCCGATTCTGACATCAAGGTTGCAATGGCACGAATCGAGATGTCTGCCAACCTCATCAAATCGATGGGACGTGACACAATGACGATTGATCAAGTACACTCAACACTTGACACATTTAAAAGGATGGAGAAATGGATAGATGATATCGCATCTGGTGACCAATTCCCAGAGAATCAGATGGGTAATGTTGCCTATGCTGCGATCCACATTTACGAGCTTATGGGGGAATTGGTCGCAAGAAATTCAACCATTGCGTCACCTCTAATTATCAAATTGTTTGGACATGATTTGCAAGAATATTGAGGGTGATGAAGGTCACATTCCCATCAAGATTATCTATGTTAACTTTTTATTGACTTTCTGCAATTTTGGTGGTGAGTCTGCCATCAACTCTTATCCACAGATCATACCACTCTTGATCAAATGCTCGGCTCAACTTTCCTATCCTAAAGAGAGACAAAGAACTTGTATGGCACTTGGAGCTGCAGCACAAGCTTCCAAGGATAGATTCTCACCCTATTTCATGGAGGTGTTACAGGTTTTTGATACCATTATATCTGCTACATCATTCTCAGCGGATGATAGAGATCATGAAGTATCGAATATTGGCAAATTCATTAGATATGTACCCCATCCAAAATGCGCATTGGCCAATCAACTCCTCACCAACATTATTCCAAAATGGTTAGATAATCATTTTGTAGATGACAATAATGAGAAAATAGTTATCATTGATAATCTTTGCGTCATTATTCGTCTCTATACAAATCTAATCTTGGGTGAACAATACCAACATGTTGACAAGGTACTGCAAATCATCACTCGTTATTTGGATACCTCCAAAAAACAACTACAAGAAGAACAAAGACAATTACTCTTACAAACATGGTTATTTATCAAAGATATATCTGAAGAGAATTGGGATAAGATTCCGGAAGATGCAAAGGGTACTCTATCAATATTAAAAGTACTCTTCCCAAAAAATTGAACTTCCAAAAAAAATAAAATTGAAAAAAAGGGTGGGATGGTCACCCATTAAATATATGTTGTTACACTTATTCTCTATTAAATGAAGTTACTATATATGTATATGATTTATTTGTATATCTATAGCAGTTCTATAGAAGTATTATGATGGAGCAACCACACGATGAATTTATAGAGATAATTGTATCTTTAACAAAAGAAGAAGAAGAAGAAGAAGAAGATCAGCTGCAGAATAAAGAGAGTAAATAATAAACAAGTAGCAAACAATAGTATTCGATTAAAATCAACATCAAAACAACAATACAAAGAGTATATTGTATCTAAACCTGAACAAGAGGTATCATGGTTACTCTTTTTAATCGTGCACGGTACTTACCCAACTGTATGTATATATTATATATTTGTATGATTCATTTTGTACATTTACTAAAATACTACTATTACTATTATAAACAAGATTAAAGAGAAATCAGTACAGTTGAAATAGTTTTACCATCTGATCTCTTTCCAAGGATTGATAACAACGTGTTGACAAATGAAGAGAATGATCCTTTTTTGACAAACCCCTCATTTTGACAGATTGCTAGCTCTTCTTATACTAAACAAAGATGCTCAATGATGATAGTCTTGATATCTGATACTTTGATCTCATAGTATACAATCAATTGATTTATATCAAGAGGATCAAGGTCAAAGTGAAGATGAAGATGAAGATTATGAAGATGAAGAAGAATTTGATCAAGAAGAAGAAGATTCAGAATATGGTCCAATATTGGTCACTCAAATGTTAGATATGCTTTCAATATCAGATTCGAGTGTTTCAGAGGGATCGAGTCTACTGTACACGAATTGATAAACCTTTCAGTTCAACACGGTGATACAGAGTGGCTGTAATCAAAGAGACGAGTATGATGGTGTCAACCATTTTTAAAAAATTATCTATTTCTATTTTATTTTTTGCCCACAATTTTAACTACCAACCGATCGATCATGTCCAATCTTGAGAGGAATTTTTCTTTTACTTGAATGGCATCAATTGGACTAAGCTTATAAACTCAAGACACCCAATTTTTTCCCTCTCTCAGCGCATAGAATCTCCATACTACTTTTTTTTAATAAAATCCTATTTTTTTATTTAGAATGATAGAGATCGACGAGATTGATCTATCCATCCTACTATCTACTTATAAAACCAAATTCTCTTCAACAAAAAACTCCACAGGATGCTCAGAGTTAAATTTAATTTAATTTAAATTTTAATTTCCTCAAATTATTTACGCTCTTCAAAGATGAGCAGTTCATTTTCCTTTTTTGTTTGCAGTATTCATTTTTTGTACATATAGTATTAGTTTTAGTTGTAGTAGTAGTATATCATGGAAGAACCAAATGAAGAATTTATAGAGATGATTGTAACTCTTGCAAAAGAAAATCAGATGAAACAACAAAAGAATAGAGATATAACTATAGATACAGATAATAACAACAATAGTAGTAGATTAAAATCAGTATCAAAACAACAATACAAAGAGTATATTATAGATAAACCAGATAAAGTAGTATCATGGTTACTCTATTTAATTGTAAAGGGTACTTTTACAACAGTATGTATTAGAAAGATTTTACGTTTTAATTGATACTTTTTTTGTTATTGACTATTTATAAACAGATTAAAGATAAAGCAATACAGTTACTTGATAGATTATTGGAAAGAGAATATAAAGAAGTAGAGGAAGGAGAAGAAGATCATGATTTTATCAATGAATTATCAAAATCGATATTGGATGCAGTAGAGTTTGAAACAGAAGAACTGATCAACAATTATTCAAAGACAACAGATCTTGGTCATACACATACATTTAAAGCTCATTTGATTAGTATCATTGAATCAATTTCGAATTATAGATTAGGACAACCAAATGATGAAGACATAGATGCCTTTACAGACAATCTATTCTTGATACTCAAAAAATCAAATACAAGTGTTACGGGTATACGTATCGAGTATGCAGTACAGCAATTGATGCAAATGTACATTGAAAATGCATGGATAGGTGATATCATTGGACAGAGCATTGACTCGATGGTCGATGTATTAGACAGACACTCACGTGACAGTGAAAATAGATTTGCATCCACTAAAACAAAAAGAATGATATTTGCCTTTTTAATGGTTGTATCAGAGAATGACAATAATGAATTCACAGATAGTCATCTAGAGAGAATAGTCTTTCATTTATATGAATGGCTTGGTGAAGTCAAGGATGTATCATTGGAAGAATGGACAGAGAGCAATCGCAAGATTGACATTGACAATAACTTTTTCAAATTTCCATACGATGGAGAGCAAGAGGAACAAGATGCGCTGCATGATAGCCTTATCCAAGAACAAGAAGAAGAAGAACATGATGAAGATAGTGAAGTGACAAGCACTCCAGTATACTCATTATTTGGAAAATTTGCTCATTTGTTTAGTCAACGTATCAGTGGGCACATCTTTAACCAATTCAACATCTTATCAACTTCTCAACAATGGAAAGATAGATACGCAGCAATGATTAGTTTATCAAAATGTACAAACCATATTCCAAGTCGTATAAGACAACAATTTTCAACTATTTTAAAGTTTGTACAAACTATATAATAATATAAATTTAGAAAGAAAATTGATTAATATTAACAGTTTTAATATTTATTTATATTTGTTTTTAGATTAGTATTAAAATGTACAGATGATGAAAATATTAGAGTTAGATGGGCATCATTTCAATTTTTAATTCAATTGACTGTTGATTTTAATGAACTGATTATAGAATCAAGTGGAAAAATATTTAAAGTGATTAGGAAATCAATTTGTGATCCCAATCAACGTATCCAAAATTGTTGTTGTATGTTAATTCACACAATGATGGAACTATTAAACAATGATGATAATATTGTTGAAGATAGTATTTTAGATGGATTATTCAATTCAATAGAAATATTACTTCAATCACCAAAATTATATGTAGTTGAAAGTGCATTTGTATCATTAATGTCTGTTATACAAAAAGTTTGTCATGAATTTATACCTGTATGTTAAAAAGTTCATTTACTATTATTAATAATCATATTTTATATTAATATTTTATTTGTTGTATTTAGTATTATCCAAGATTTATACCAATTATATTTAAATTATTGGAGAGACATAATGGAACAAAAGAATCTAGATTATTACGTAGTCGAGCAATCAAGGCGTTTGCAATATGCTGTGCAGTGGTAGAGGAGAAGATATTTTTAAAAGATTTTCACAAGTTTATGCAGTTTGTTAAAAAGAATGAAAAGTCATTTGATCTAACCGTCCAAGTAGTTAGAACATCTGATTTATTGATGAAGACATTTGGCAAGTCTTTTGAAATATATTTACCAATGATTGTAAAGATGGTCATTAAAATATTAGAGGCACCATTACCCAATCAAGTAGATGATATAACTTTATCATCACCACAAGAAATCACAAAGATAATGTCAACACTAAAGATCCTGTCCAATAGAATGTCATTAGCGACAGATGGTACAGTGTATGACCCGTTGGCACCATTTGTACATAGCTTGGTCGATCCCCTTTGCAAGTTGACAGTTAACCCTCTGATTGCTAAAATTAGAATACAATCACTTGCCTGCTTACCTGCATGTCTTCAATTATTCAAGTTACAGTATGGTGAACGGAGCGACAAGACACGAGAGATGTTTGGTCATATTTATGAAATTGGATTGTGTCATCAAGAGACTGACCTTCGTGTGGCAGTGATCCGTATCACCCTGTCAACATTTCTCATCAATGCAATGGGTAAAGATGCAATGACATTTGAACAAGTACAGTCTACTTTGGATGCATTCAACAGGATGGAGAAATGGATAGAAGATATTGTCAACGGTGACATTGACATTGCTGAAGACGATGATCAAGATTTGATCGATACCGCTGGATACACTCTTGTCACTATCTATGGGATGATTTCTATTATGGTAGAGCATAATGGATCTGTCATGACACAACTCATCACACCAACCTTTTTAAACAAGATTTGTGACAAGTTGAGAGACAATGGTGAAGATGATATCATAAAGGTAGTTCTCCTCAACTTTTTGGCAAAGTATTGCAAGTATGGTGGTGAAGGTGTCATCAATACTTTCCCACTTATTATAAAACCCATTATCGAGTGTCTGGAACTTCAAAGCATCTCAGTAAAACGAACAGCTTCTCTTGCACTTGGTGAAGCTGCACAACTTGCCAAAGATAGATTCTCACCATGGGTCATAGACACATTACATTTTCTACATGCCATTGTATCCTCACCAAATGCATACACTACACCTGATAATAAAGAGAATATGGAACAAATCGTTGCTATTCTTGGTAGAGTCATCAGATACGTCCCACACACTCCAGCCAGCAACCTTGTCATCATCATTCCACAATGGTTAGGTCATCCTCCAATAGAAGACAAGGATCAGAGACCCATTACCATCTCTAATCTCTGTGCTATTGTTCGTATCTATCCCAACGAATGTATAGGCAAAGATCAACAATACAAACATGTCGAAAGACTACACCAATTAATCGTTGGGTATATGAATATGGATACTTGTCAACCAGAAGAGAAACAACAACTCTATCAAACTTGGGATTATATCAAAGAAGATATATTAAAAGAAAATTGGAATAGTATTCCATTAGAAACAAGAGACAAAATATCAAATTTGAATGTTCTTGAGCCAGATACTTAAGTATTTAATTTAAATTTAAAATAAATAATATATAAGTTCAAAGTTTTTTTTTTTTAATTGCAAAGAATGATTATCGTCACACACTCTTTTTTTGAATTATATAGTTTGTGTTAGTAGTATTCAATTAATATATAGATATATTTGTAGTTGTATACTATAGTATTCTTATACATGTATATGATGGAACCAGATGAAGAATTTATAAAGACGGTTGTTATTTTAGCAAGAGAAGAAGAGAAAAGAGAAAATCATCATCAAGATAGAAACAGCTACAAGTATTATTCAAACACAAAACAACTATTCAAAAAGTATACTTTAGATGATCCTAGTAGGGCAGTATCATGGTTACTCTTTTTAATGGTAAAGGGTACTTTTACATTTGTATGTGTTTATTAATACGGCATCATGTGATCAACTATCATTAAATATTTATCTCTTTACTTTTAACAAGATTAAAGATAAAGCAGTAAAGTTACTTGATAGATTATTGATTAAACAACGAGAAGATTATATAGGTTATTTATCAGATACAATCATTAATACAGCCAAGGTTGAAACAATTAAGTTACTCGATTCAACTCTTTCAAATACTTTTAGACAACATTTATTTAATATCATTGAATCATTTGCAATGTATTTAGCACCTAGAGGTATGTTTTATTATGTGTTTATGTTTTATTTGTGTATTTAGGTCTTTGGGATGAATTAGAACAATCATTAGAAGACATTGTAAAAGGAGGAGTAGAAGGGTTACCATTACTAGATAATACAAGAGCATTGATACAAGTATTATCAAAGTATGACTTTAAAACAGAAAAAAAGTGATGTTTGCCAAGAGGATGATAGAGATGATTAATTCGAATGGAAGTATTGGCCAATAGACTGAAGAGCAATTTAGATCATCATTTCCTATACTATTGTCAATGCTGGGAGAAATGGATATCATTGCTGATGAAAAGTTGATAAACAAAATTGTAAACAACAATCGAAGAACAGATAGTGGATGACGAAGATGTATTTGTCGATCCTACCCCCAATGAAATAAGAAATGCAATCAACAGCGGGTTTTCCGACCTCTATCTTTTGATTGATATGATGGTTCAGAGAAATGGAGCATTCTCGATACCACTCATCCCCTCCTCTGATCTATTGGATAGATCTTGTCTAAAGTTGGCTGACAATCAAGAGGTAACCCAAGTAAAGTCAATACTCTTATGACTCATTATTGTGAACATGGCGGAGAGATTGCCATCAGCACATTCCCACGAATCATACCAACTATAATCGATTGTCTTAACCTTAATAATGATGCAAATATTCGATTATTTGCTTCAAACGCTCTTGTAATGGCAGCACAAGTTGCCAAGGATAGCTTCTCACCTTGGGTCATCGATGTTTTAACGGCTTTGGAAACCATGGTCTCTTCACCACATGCATTGTCAGAGATCAACGAAACAGTCACAAAGAATGCTATCTCTAGTATTAGCAAAATCAAAAAATGTGTGCCCAATCAAATTGGGGTACCCTCCATACTTCGTTTTTTTTTCCTTTTTCAAAAGATATTTTTATTTTCTTAGAAGGGAGCTCTCGTCTCTGAGCACACGTTTGTCAAGCACATTAGCATAACACTCAAAACATGTAAACAAAGTCTTCTTCTTCTTTTTATTCATTGTTAGAGTGCAGCAGTAATAGTATTATTATCGCGAGTATAGTATGGAGCAACCACACGATGATTTTATAGCATTAGTGGTGACACTTGCAAAAGAAGATGAAGAAAAACAAAAAAAGAAAAATGATAATAGTAAAGATAACAACAACAACAATAATAATAGTAATAATAGAAGAGGAAAGGATTATAATTTAAAATCAAAAGCAAAACAAGAGTTTAAAGACTATGCTTTAGATCAAAATAAAGTAGTATCATGGTTACTCTTTTTAATTATAAATGGTACTTACCCAACTGTATGTATTATTATATTATATGTAAAGATATAAATAAATGATTACTGTCTATGTATTAGTAGTAGAATAGTATCGAATAGTAGAACAGTTTAGATTGATCACATGATGACTAACATTTTCTTTATTATTTACTTTTACTTTACGTCCACACAAAAGATTATAGAGAAATCAGTTAAATTACTTGATAGATTATTGATTAAAGAAGGACAAGAGTTTATAGAGGAATTGTCAGAAGAGATATTATATGCAGCCAGGTGTGAATTAATCAAGATACTTGATAAACGTCAAACTGATACCTTTAGAAAGCATTGGTTTGGTATCATTGAATCATTTGCAACTTATTTAGTACCAGAAGGTAAGATAAAATACAAAAAAAAGAGAGAGAGAGTAAATATTATTTAAATACTAATATTAACTTGTTTGTTTTATTTTAATTTTTATTATTAAGGTAAATGGAATGATTTAGAACCAACATTGGAGATTGTTGCAAGAGGAGAAGAAGACGGAACACCACTAAAAGATAATTCAATAGTGCTGTTACAAGTGTTATCAAAACATGAATTTAAAAAGACTAAAAAGCTTCTAAACGCTGAACAAATCGTCGATTTGAGTCATGAGGATTTGGATAAACGTCGTGATGCACTCGATACATTCAACTCGTTTATTCTGTCTCGTGGTATGTCGCAACAGCAGTTTAAATCGACTCTCCCATTGGCTCTGTCAGTTGTCTCTCAATTGGACGGTATTTCTCACGGAGGTCCTATACTAGATTCTACACTCTATCTGACCGATGTCTTTATCAATGAGGGTGAGTCTTGGACACAAGGATTCATCCCACAAATCATTGACACGTTTATCAAAGTGATGGATAGAAATCGCGTAAAGGGATTCTCATCGAGAAGCATCAAACGTAGTATATTTGACTTTTTGTTGCTCATTGCCGAAGGCAATCCCTTTGACTTTACACAGGGCCAGATTGAAGCAATCGTCGTTCACATGTATGCATGGTTGATGGAAGTCAAGGACGTGTCGGTCGAAGAGTGGACAGAGAGCAACAGCAAGATTGACAATGACAATAACTTTTTCAACTTTAACTATGATGAAGAACAAGATGATGACATTGTCCCAAAGGAAGAGGAACCCATCGACAGTCTAGAACGTTACGAAGACATAAGTGATGAGGCAGCAGGTCTCACTGCAGACACTGGGTTTGACAGACTCTCAGATGCATTTGGAGAAAGTATTGTCGTTCCTATCTTTAACCAATTCACAGTCTTGTCAAAATCTCAACAATGGAAAGAAAGATATGCAGCTTTGATTAGTTTATCAAAAGTTTGTAAATCAATCCCAACAAGTGTTTCTCAACAATTTAAATTTATTTTAAAGTATGTTAATATTAAACAAACAAAAAAAAATATAAATAATATTTAATTAATTTATTTCTATTTATTTTTATTTTTTTAGATCAGCATTATCATTAATTGGTGATGAAAATACTAGAGTTAGATGGGCATCATTTCAATTATTAATTAAATTATCAATAATTTATAATGGATTAATGATTGAATCAAGAGAGGAATTATTTGAAACGATTGGAAAATCAATTAGTGATCCAAATGAACGTGTACAAAGTTGTTGTTGTGTATTGATTCAAACAATCATGGGATCGTTAACAAAGGACATGATCGTGGACAGTCTCTTGGATGGATTATTTTGTTCATTTGAAAAATTACTCGGTTCATCAAAATTATATGTAGTTGAAAGTGCATTCATTTCTTTAATATCTGTTATTGGTACTGTTAAAGAGAAATTTAAACCTGTATGTAAAACAAAAACAAATAATTAATTATTTATTAAATTAATTAAATATTAATTATTTTTCTTTTATTTTTTTTAGTATTATAGAAAATTTATACCAATAATATTTTCATTATTGGAAAAACATCATGGAACAAAAGAATCAAGAATAGTACGTAGTCGAGCAATCAAATGCTTTGCAATGTCTGCAGCAGTGATGGACAAAAAGACCTATTTAAAAGATTTACATTGGTTTATGCGTTTTGTCAAAAAGAATCAAAAGTCATTTGATTTGATTGTCGATGTATTCAGAGCATCTGGTTTCTTTATTGAAGCTGTTGGTAAATCATTTTCAGTGTATTTACCAATGGTCATGCGTATGATTATCAACATTCTAAGGACACCATTGCCCAATCAACTAACGGGTCCCAACCATGTAGCAGCACAACAAGACATCACAAAAATCCTATCAACACTCAAGGTTTTAAATGCTGTCATGGATGAATCGGATGACGGTCAGATCCAACTATACGAACCGTTGGCACCATTTATGCAAATCCTACTACTTCCATTGTACACGTTGACCATGTGTCCCATCGACAGTGACATTCGTATGTTCTCACTCGACCTTTTACCAACGTGTCTGAAGCTGTTCAAGCATCATGCAGGTGACCGTAGCGAAAAGACACTTATGGCGTTTGGCATGATGTATGATTTTGTGCTCAGACCAAGTTCACGTGAACCCGACCTCAATGTCATGGTCAATCGTATCAACATGACATGCGACATTATCAAGGTGATGGGTACCGACGCAATGTCATTTGACCAAGTACAAATGACCCTCGCTACATTTACACAAGTCGAGAAAAAGCTACTCGATATTGCCAAGGCCGTGCGAGACAACAACGAAGAGGTCATCGGCGATCGAGATCCCGAAGATATGTTAGAGACTGTTATCGACGGGCTCGCCAGCGTTTATGAAATGATTGGAGAAATGATAAAGCAAAATGCCACCGTCTCTGTTCCACTCGTCACCTCTTCCGGTATGTTGGTCGGTCTTTGTAAAAAGTTGCGCGACAAAAGGGAAGATGAAATTGTCAAGACTGCCATCCTCTGTCTCTTGGCTCAGTACTGTTCGTTTGGTGGTGAGGCAGCTATTGGAGTATTCCCAGATATCATACCACCCATTACCGAGTGTCTGATAGTCCCTTACCCAATGGGACGACAAAATGCTTCCTATGCACTCGGTATGGCTGCACAGATTGCCAAGGACAGATTCGCACCATTTGTCATGCAGGTTTTACAAGGATTCAACGTGATGCTCTCTTTACCAGCTTCACGGTCGCCCAGCAATGAAGGAGCCACTGAAAATGCCATCTCTAGTATTGGAAGAATCGTCAGATACGTTCCACAAGTAGCTAGTCATGTCAATGTCGTTATTCCAAAATGGTTATCAACCCTTCCCATCCAGGATGTAGAGGAGATTCCACCTCTTATTGATAACCTATATGCCATTGTCCATCTCTACACTGATGAATCTCTAGGTCAACAATTCCAACATGTTGCCAAGATACACCAAATCATCCAACACTATATGAAAACTTGTCAACGTCCTGAAAAAGAATTATTGACTCGGACATGGTTATTTATCAAAGATTCAATCCAATCAAATTGGGATACTATTCCAGAAGATACAAAAGATATATTATCAAAATTATCTTTATAATTGCAATATTATTGAATAAATAAATAAATTAAATATAAATTAAATGTATCATGTTAAAATATAAAAAAATAAAATTAAATAAAATTAATTAAAATGTTTTTAAATCGGTCGAAGAAAGAGTGGGTGAGTAGAAGTTTCATAGCTACAAAAGTAGTAGTATTATCATTATTATATATAATATATATATATTAATTATTTAATCATAGTCTTTGTAATGGAAGAACCAAGTAATGAATTTATAGATATAGTTGCAACTTTAGGAATAGAAGATCGACAAAAGAAGAAGAAGAAGAAAAAGAATGATTTAAAGTCAAAAGCAAAACAAAGATTTAAAGAGTATACTTTAGATGAACCTGATAAAGTAGTATCTTGGTTACTCTATTTAATGGTCAACAGTACTTTTAAAACTGTATGTTTGCTGAATAAGCTTATAATATATTATAACATATCACATGACTTTTATATGTTTAAATTAATATGAAATATCCTCTTCTTATTTTAGATTAAAGAGAAATCAGTACAGTTAATAGATAGATTATTTGAAAAAGAAGGACAAGACTTTATAGAATCATTATCAAAGGAAACATTGGATGCTGTCAAACATGAAACACTCGATTTACTTTCATGTTACGATCTTACAGACACTTTTACCACTCATTTACATGGTTTAGCTGCATCACTTGCAAATTATTTGATACCTCTAGGTATGTATGATTTATGATAATAGTAATTTAAAATTATAATTTTAAATGTTTATTGTTTTTGCGATTATATGTAGGTCTTTGGGATGAAATGCATAAACGTATAATAGATTATGAAAAAGATAAAGTAAAAGATGAAGAAGAAGAAGAAGAAGAAGAAGAAGAAGAAGAAGAAGAAGAAGAAGAAGAAGATGAAGAAGAAGAAAAAGATGATGAAGAGAAAGAAGAAGATTATGATGAAAAAGAAAAATACAATACTTTGGTAATGCTAGAAAAAAAGTTGTTTAATCATGATGGTATCTCTGACGAAGACTATAAATCATTGGTTACCAATATGTTATTAGCTTTAATACAATCAAATGTTCCAGGGGTTTTCATCGAGACTGTTGTAACACGTTTGCTCAGCATTTACATGGAGGATAATCCAATTTGGATGCAACAACTCACTCCTCGGATCATTAGAACGCTTATCACCGTTTTGGATAGACATTGTCAAAAGGGCTTCAAAGACAAAAGTACCAAAAGAATGATATTTAACTATCTTTCATTGCTTGCTGGAAATGACCCACAAGAGTTGAATGATGGTCACATTTCAAGAATCATCTCTCATTTGTACGAATGGCTTTCCGATGTAGAGGATGTATCAGTGGAAGAATGGACAGAGAGTAATAACAAGATTGACATTGACAGCCACTATTTCAAATTTCAATTTGATGGAGAGATAGATGATGGTATTAGCATCCCCACCGAAGAGAATTCAACCGAAGACTATAACGATGACAGTGAAGCGACTGGTATTACACCCCATGTAATATTTGGACAAATGGCAAACTCACTTGGCCAGCGTATTCTCCCCCCAATTTTAGATCATTTCTACAAATTGTCAAGCTCTAAACAATGGAAAGAAAGATACGCAATAATGGTTAGTTTATGTAAATCTTTGGGAAGCTTCATTAATATTTTAACTTTAGAAAACTTTTCATCTCATTTAAGGTATGTCATTCATTTCTTTAAAGTAATCTTTTTAAAAGTTATTTATATTTTATATATTTATTTTTAATAGTTCAATATTAAAGTCAATATTAAAATTAATTAATGATGGAAATGTTAGAGTGAGATGGGCATCATTACTTTGTTTAATTCAATTATCGGTTAATTATAAAGAATTAATCACCAAATCGAGAGACAAAATATTTAAAGTAATTGGAAAATTAATTTGCGATCCCAACGAACGTATACAAAGTTGTTGTTGTATTAATTCAAAACTTTTTGGATTCATTGACCATCAATGATGATATGGTTGACGGTCATGTTTTGGATAAAGTGATGAGCTCTGTTGAAAGTCAACTTTTATCACCAAAAATTTATCTCGTTGAAAATAGTTTGGTATCATTTATATCTATTATTAAAATCACTCCTGAAAAGTTAATGTCTGTAAGTATTTTAAAGTTAATCAATCACTTTCTGGATTATTTTTTAAATAGTGCCATTAACACTCATTTTATTTTTTAGCATTATAATAAGATTATACCAATTCTATTATCTTTATTGGAGAGACATCATGGAACAAAAGAATCAAGAGTATTACGTAGTCGTACAATCAAGGCATTTTCATTGTGCTGCGTCGTGTTTGAATACAAGACATTTTCAAGAGATTTATACCAGTTTATGCAGTTTGTCAAAAAGAATCAAAATTCATTTGATTTGGCTGTTGATTTATTCAGAGCGTCCGAATTGTTTATTCGAGCGATTGACAAGTCATTTGAAGTATATTTACCAATGATCATTAGAATGATTCTAAATATACTAGAGACACCATTACCAAATCAAGAACAAGATACTGTATCATCACAAAAAGGCACGACAGTCATCTTATCGTCACTCAAAGTTTTATCCAATATCATGCAAATATCAGACGATGGCAGATATTATGAATCTTTGGCACCATTTGTTCACAGGTTGGTCGATCCACTATGCAAACTATCTGCCTATACACTCAACCCCAAAATTCGAATTTTATCGCTTTGTTGTTTGCCCACCTGCCTTGTACTCTCCAAGAAACAAGGTAGTTCAAGAAACAAGTTGTTCACCAAGTTATTCCATCATGGTCTGTGTTTTGACGAGCCAGAACTTCCAATCGTTATGGTCCGTATCACAATGGCAAAGAGTCTCTTGACAGATATGGGAAACGATGCAATGACATTTGATCAAGTTCAATCGGTACTAGGTATCTTTAATAGGGTGGAACAATGGATAGAAGATTTAGAAGCGGGCAACCTAACCCAGATTGGATTATACACGGTGGTCGGCGCCTATGGGTTGATTACAGAGATGGTTAAATTCAACATCACCGTATCTGCACCTATCATTGCTTCATCCGATCTAATGGACAGGATTTGTCAAAAGTTGAACAGCAGTGCGGTGGGCGAAGGTGATTTGGTCAAGATTGTAATACTCAACTTTTTGATCGAGTATTGCACGTATGGTGGAGATTTTGCAATCAGCGCTTATCCACAGATTATACCAGCTATTATCAAGTGTCTGACAATCACCGATGCAGATAATCGTGACACTAAACTTGTACAGAAAGCTTCGATTGCACTTGGAGTGGCGGCACAACACGCCAAGGATAGATTCTCACCATGGCTATTGAACGTGTTACATGCATTCAACAACATGTTTGCTTCACGGCCATTATTATTTTTCAACAACAACAACAACAAACTGGTGATCGAATATTCCATCTCTAGTGTTGGTAAAATCATCCGATACGTACCACAAGTCTCCAACTACCTTGGTACCATTATTCCAAAATGGTTAAACAAATTAAATTTGATATCTGACAAGGATGAATGTGTAATTTTCATTGATAATCTATGTGCTATTATCCGACTCTATCCCGATCAACTGATGGGTCACCAATACGAGCATGTTGAAAGTATACACAATATCATTATCGAATATATGAAAACTTGTCAACAACCACAACAAAAAGAATTACTCTATCAAACATGGTTATTTATCAAAGAATCGTTTGAAGAAAATTGGGACAATGTGATACCAGAAGATAAAAAGAAAAGAATATCAAAATTGGTAGTACACTTTTGAAAAAACAAATAAATAATAAAACTAAAATTAAATTAAATTTTTTATCTTGTATTTTTCCTCTCATGGTCCTTTCTGAAATATTTTATAGAAATCTAAAATTCCATCTTCATACTATTTTATATTCAGTGCAGTAGTATATATATTATTCATCGATCTTTATATTAGCATTCGATGGAGGAACCAGATGAAGATTTTTTAGAGACGATTGTTATTTTAGCACAGAATCTAGAGAAGAAATCAAAAGCAAAACAACAATACCAAGACTATTCTGATGACGCTGAACAAGTAGTATCATGGTTACTCTTTTTAATCGTAAAGGGTACTTACCCAGCTGTATGTAGAAATAGAGATCATGTGAATATATCAACTGAAGATCATGCATGATGACTTATTTATACTACTATCGTACTATTCAAAGATTAAAGAAAAAGCAATACAGTTACTTGATAGATTAGTGGATAGAGAAGGAACCGATTTAATCGGTTTTATAACAGAGCCATTAATGGATGATATCAAAGTTGAACTAATAGAGTTGCTAAAGTCAACTCTTACAGATACCTTTAAACAACATTTATTTAGTATCATTCTATCATTTGCAAATTATTTAATACCAAGAGGTATGTATAATTTAAAACTGTATTCAATCATTTATGTTTAAGGTATCTAACTATCCTTATGTTTTATTTATAAAAGGTCGTTGGATTGAATTAGAGAAAGATAAATTGGATCGACCATCATCAAAGGTGAACAACCAAGAAGAAGATGATAATGAAGATGAAGAAGAAGAAAAAGAAGATGATAAAGAAGAAGAAGAAGAAGAAGAATCAATATTTCAAGATAATGCAAAAGCATTACTACAAGTATTATCAGAACATGACTTTCAAACAGAAAAACAAGAGATATTGAAGGAGTTGTTCAGATCTGATGATTATAACACAGAGTTGACCGATGAACAGTACAAATCATACATGCCCACACTCTTATCAATACTCGAACAAATGGTTAGGGTTGATGATGACGAAGATGATGATGATGAGGAATTACTCAAAAGTATAATAGAGGGCTTGAATCATGTTATATCAATATCAGTTATTTGGATTGAATACATTAAACCAATCAATGGAGCGATGGTAAAGATATTGGACAATGTCTCTTCATCCAGAAAGATGGTATTGGACATTTTGTTGATCTTGGCCAGGAACACACCAACCAAAGAAAAAGAGAGTCAAATTGATAAGAATGATATTGAAAGAATCATTTATCATTTGAATGACTGGCTGGCTGATGAATCATTAAAAGATTGGAGAAGAGATAGAGATGCATCAGCACGGGCTGACAACTTTTATAACTTTGACTATAACATTGAAGATGATAATGACGTTCCACCAGAGTATTCTGTCACAGACCCCTTTATCGAACAAGAATATCACTTTGGGGACATCATTTCAAATATGTCTCGATTCGTGAGCGCCCTTGGTCAACGTGCATCAGTACTGGCTTTCAAACATTTCAACACCATGTTAAACTCTAAATCTTGGGAAGAAAGATTTGCGATTTTGATTAGTTTATCACAGTCTTGTCACTCTGATGATCGTATTATGCACCAATTTGTATTAAAGTCAGTAATCGTCCGAATATAATTATTTTAAGTTTACTTATTTTGATATTCTATATAGGTCAGCATTAAAATTAGTAAATGATCAAAATATACAAGTTAGATGGTTATCATTTCAATGTTTAATTAGATTATCAGTTGAATTTCCAACAACAATGGTCGAATCAAGACAAGAAATATTTCAAGTGATTGGGAAATCAATTCAAAGCAACATTTCAGATGAACATATTCAAAATCGTTGTTGTGTTTTGTTTAAAAAGATTATTCCAAAACTAACCAAGGGTATGATTGATGATATTGTTTTGGATGGATTTTGCAATTCAATTCAAATACTTGTTCAATCACCAAAATCATATCTTGTTGAAAAGTCATTAGTATTATTTACAAAATTTATACAAAAAACTCAAATGAACTTTGCACCTGTAAGTACTAATAATATAATCACATATCAATTCTCCTACACCATTCTTATTTTAATTTTTTTATTTTATTTAGAATTATAGAAATATCTCTCAGATACTATTATCATTGTTAGAAAAACAAACTGATAGTCAAGAGATATATAGTCTTGCAATCAAAGCATTTTCAATGTGTGACTATGTTATGGATAACAATATAACCTATGCAAAAGATTTAAACAAGGTTATGAAGTTTATCAAAAAGGAGGAATGGTCGTTTGATCGGATCGTAAATACTTTCAGAGATTCGGATCTATTGAATGGATCGTCTGGCAATTCATTTGCATTGTATTTACCAATGTTTATGAGGATGCTTTTAAATATACTTGAAACGCCATTACCCAATAGACAAGACGAAATCGAAAAAGTTTCAGAGAATCTCAGAGATTTTAATTGCATCACGATCAACAGAATTAAAGGAGATCGTGGTGATGGTCCATTAGCACCATACGTTGGTAGATTGGTAGGTATACTGTTCAAGTTGGCCGTGTGTCCCGTTAGAGAAATTCGACAGGAGTCACTTTTCAGCATACCTGCTTGTCTAAAGCAGTACAAACTGCATTTTGGTTCGTACAACCACAATACACTCGAGTTGTTTGACAAGATTATCAACTCAGTCCTCAATTTATGTCTTGTGGAAAACAATGTTTCCTGCATTCATAATCATATCTACGCGGTAGTGGACTCTATCAAAGAGATGGGTCCAGAATCAATGACAATTGGTCAAGTTCAATTTGTAATGGACACATTTTACAAGATTGAACAAAAGTTGGAAGGCATTGCACAACAAGTCAGCGATGGAATCCAAGATGTCATTGAAACCCATGACCCTGAGGACGATATACCAAGTTTAAGCGTCGAAACGCTCGTTGTCAACTATATGATGATTGAAGAGATGTTTGAAAGAAATGGAGCAATCGCAACACCTCTTATCACCTCTCATTTCTTGGATAGGATTTGCCAAAAGTTACATGACACTGAACAAGAGGATAGTTACACCAAAAGGGGTATCTTGGATTTCATATTCATCTACGTCAAGAATGGTGGTGAGTCTGCCATCAACACATTCCCACGGATCATTCCAGCCATTATCCAATGTCTATCCCATTCAAATGACAGTGTCACCCTTCGAATTAGTTGTTATACACTTGGAAAGATAGCAGAGTTTGTCAAGGGCAGATTCTCACCTTGGGTCACAGACGCGTTAAATGGTTTAGAAACCATAATCTCGGCACCGAATGCAAACATATTGTTAAAAAAAAAATTCCACTGAATGTGCAATCTCTTGTATCGGTACAATCATCAGATACGTTCCACAAGTCAGCAATGTCAACTTTATTATTCAAAAGTGGTTGTCAACGCTTCCCATAAAGAAAGATATTGCTATCATGGTTGATACCCTTTTTTCCATTATCCGTCTCTACCCAAAAGAATGTCTAGGTCAACAGTACCAACATGTTGTCAAGATACACCAAATCATAACACATTATATGACAGATTGCCAACAAAAAGAAAAACAACAACTCTATCAAATTTGGTTATTTATCAAAGAATCATTTGAAGCAAATTGGGATCGTCTCTCAAAAGCTAGAAAGGATACTCTATCAAATTTGGAAAGAATAACAAATACTTGGACAATCTAATCTCACATTTAATAAATTATAGAATTAATCAGAAGAGAACAAAAATAAAATTTATTTCAATCTTTATGGATGCTGGTTTACATTCAATTTAAATTTGAAAGAGTTTCTAATTCTAATTTTGATATTCTATCTCTAGTTACTTCTGGAATAGAATTCCAATTCTCATCAAATGTATCTTTGATAAATAACCATGTTTGTTCGAGTCGTTGTATCTCTTCTGGTTGTTGACTAATTTTCAAATAGTGTTGGATGATTTGGTGTATTCTGACAACCTGTTGGTATTGTTCGCCTAGACAATCTTTGGGGTAGAGAGGTATAATGGTACATAGGGTATCAATGACAATCACAATGGCACTCTGATCCTCGATTTTAGAGATGATAGGGTGGTTCAACCATTCTGGAATAAAGGTGACTAGGTTGTTTGCTGAAGTGTATGGCACGTATCGGATTATTTTTCCCATACTAGCGATGATATGTTGCATAGAATCTTTGTTTCCTGGATACATATCTGGTGCATATATAATGTTATCAAAACCATCTAACGTGTCTATGACCCAAGGTGAGAACCTATCCTTGGAAATCTGTGCTGCGGCACCAAGTGCAATCGAAGCGTTTCGTATAGTTGTTATACCTGTAAGTTGCAGACAATCGATAATGGTTGGTATAATCTGTGGGAATGCGTTGATGGCTGAATCACCACCATACTGGCAGAAATGAGCCAAAAAGTTGAGGAGAACTACCTTGATGACATCGGCTTCTTGATCATTTCGCAACTTGTTGCAAATCTTGGTCAAAAAATTAGATGTGATGAGTGGTGCCGATATAGCTCCATTGTACTCTATCATCACAGAAATCATCCCATAGATGGCTACCAGTGCGTATCCAGAGGTTTCGATTAGCTCCTGTTGATCTCTGTCATCATCGTCTTCAGCAATTTCAATATCTTCAGTCCATTTCTCCATCCTGTTGAATGCGTCCAGCGTCGACTGTACTTGATCAAATGTCATTGCATCTTTACCCATTGCGTTGATGAGATATGTTGACATTGTCATTCGTATCACTGCAACACGAAGGTCAGTCTCTTGATGACACAATACCATTTCGTATATCTTGCCAAATGCCTCGAGTGTCTTTTCACTACGATCACCATAACGCAACTTGAAAAGTTCAATACAAAGAGGTAAACAGGCAAGAGATTGGATTCTGAGTTTGGGAAAGAGTGGATTAATTGTCAATTTGCAAAGTGGACCTACCAATCTATGTACAAATTGCGTCAACGGTTGGTAAACGGAACCATCTTTTGATAAAGACACTCTATTGGACAAAATATTGAGGGTTGACATTAGCTTTGTGATTTCTTGTGATACGGACGGAGTTATATCATCTAATTGATTGGGTAATGGCGTTTCAAATGTAGTAATGACCAACTTTACAATCATTGGCAAATATATTTTAAATGTCTTGCCATATATTTTCATTAATACATCAAATGCTTCGAAAACATAGACGATTAGATCAAATGACTTGTGATTCTTTTTAACAAATGCCATAAATTTGTGATAATCTTTTGAAAATGTCTTTAGATCAACCACTACAAAGCACATTATAAATGTCTTGATTGTGCGAATCCTTAATAACTTTGATTCTCTTGTTCCATTATGTTTCTCCAATAATGATAATAATATTGGTATAAATCTTTTATAATACTTAAAATAAATATTAATTATGAAATATTTAATATTTATATTTGATTAAATACATACAGGTATAAATCCTTTTACAATATTTTGTATCACTGACATTAATGATATTAATGCATTTTCAACTACATATATTTTTGATGATTGAAGTAATATTTCGATTGAGCTCAATAATGCATCCAAAACATTATTGTCAACAATATTATCATCATTTTTTAACAGTTCCATCATTGTATGAATCAATACACAACAACAACTTTGAATACGTTGATTGGGATCATGAATTGATTTTCCAATCACTTTGAATATTTCTCCACTTGATTCGATAATCATATCATTAAAATCAAATGACAATCGAATTAAACTTTGAAATGATGCCCATCTAACTCGCATATTTTCATCATCTGTACATTTTAATACCAATCTAAAAAATTAATAAATAAATATATATTGAAAATAAAAAGTAATATGCTTTTACATACTTTAAAATAAATTGAAATTGTTGTACAATACGATGTGGAATATGTTTACAAGATTGTGATAAACTAATCATTGCTGCGTATCTATCTTTCCATTGTTTAGATGTTGACAAGATGCTGAATTGATTGAAAATATATCCTTCGATACGTTGACCAAACACTTTTGCAAATTTTCCAAATATTGAATATTTTGGAGTGTTAGTTACTTCACTGTCATCATTTTTGAGGTCACCCGCATTTTCTTCCTCTTCTTCTTCTTGTTCATCATCTTGGATTACATGATCATTTTGGCCTCCATTGTTTGGAAAATTGAAAAAGTTGGTGTCAATGTCAATCTTGTCGTTACAGTGAGTCCACTCTTCTAAAGAAACATCTTTAACGTCGATTAACCAGTCGTACAGATGAGTAACGATTCTTTCAAGGTGACTATCAGTGAATCCGTGCGGTTCAGTCTCTGCCATGACCAATATAAAATCATATATCAATCTCTTTGTGCTCTTGTATGCAAACCCCTTTTCACTATCACCAAGTGAATGTCTATCCAACACATCGATCAGAGTGTCATTATTCTGTAGGGTCTGATCCTCGATCCATATGTGTCCAAGGTAAAGATACATTAGTTGCTGTAAAGCATACTCGATGCGAGCACCTGAAACACTTCCATTTGATTTTTTGAGTATCAATAATAGATTGTCATGAGCGGTTGCGTACGTTTCTTCATCTTGATCCAAAGGTTGTCTCATTCTATAGTTTGCAATCGATTCAATGATACTAATCAAATGACATTTAAATGTATCTGTAATACTAGGGAGCGTTGAAAAGTTGTTGAGTAACTCTTCTGTTTCAAACTCTACTGCATCCAATATTGGTTTTGATAATTCATCTATGAATCCATAATCCTCTTCTTCTTCTTCTTCTTTTTCAAACAATCTATCGAGTAGTTGTATTGATTTATCTTTAATCTGTTTCATAGTATATTGTATATTAATATAAATGATCGGATGATGTTATTGTATTTGTAATTCTCTACATACAGTTGGGTAAGTACCGTTTACAATTAAATAGAGTAACCATGATACTACTTTATCGGGCTGATCCAAAACATACTCTTTGTATTGTTGTTTTGATGCTGATTTTAATCTACTACTATTGTTGTTGTTATTATTTGTATCAATATCTATATCTCTATTCTTTTGTTGTTTCATCTGATCCACTTTTGCAAGAGTTACGATCATCTCTATAAATTCTTCACTTGGTTCTTCCATATAACTACTACTACTAATATTTGATACAACTTTATAATAGTATCTTTGTTTACAAAGATAAATGAACTCAAATCTCACTGGAGCAGTGGGCATAGATGTTAAAAAATTGAAGTTCAAGAAACAATAAAAAAAAAAAAAAAGAAAGTCATACTCTTTGTTACTCTCACATAGTATACAATTAACAAATATTTGCTTCAATCAAATAAATATTGTACTTTTAAAATGGAACAACCAGATGATGAATTCATAGAGATTGTTGTCATTTTAGATAGAGAGGATCGTCAGAATCAAATGAAGATTGATTCGAATGATAATGATGATGATGATAAGGTACAAGATGATAATCGAGACAAAAACAAACTATAAATCAGCATCAAAACAAAAATACAAAGAGTATGTTTTGGATCAGCCAGATAAAGTAGTATCATGGTTACTCTTTCTAGGGATCAAAGGTATCTACCCAACTGTATGTACAAATGAAAAGAAAGAAACAATAGAACAATATAGAATCTTGATATGGTGTACGTTAGCTCCTGACTTATAATGATAATATACCATCTTTTATTCATTCTTTATAAATAGATTAAAGAGAAATCAGTAGAATTACTTCATATATTTCTTCATAAACTATGGTTGAAAGGGAAAGTAAAAATATTGTCACAATCGATCATGGATGCTGTTAAGACTGAAACAGAGAATAACCTTGGTTGTTCAAGTCTGACTGATACATTTAGATCTCATTTGTTTAATATCAGAGAATTTATTGCAATTTATGAAGATGATGATGAAGAAGATTATTGTGGTGGTAGTCGACGTTTATTCATCTCAAAGTTGTTATCAATCCTCCAAACAAAGTATGATGTACATGAACCGGGAAACCTCATAGAGCTCATCATAAAGTGCTTGCCCGAAATTGAAATGTCCTCTGAATCTATTACATGGAATAAACTAGCCAAAAGGATCATTGACACTCTGACCAAAGTGTTGAACAGACATCGTGAAAATAGACAAGCACCCAATACCAACACAAGATCGATATTAGAGTATTTGATTGTCTTGGCAGAGAAAGTTCCAGTATTGTGCCACATTCAAAGCACCATCTCTTATTTATATTATTGGTTGGCGGATGTAAAGGATATGGAATTGAAAGAGTGGACAGATCAAGACAATTTGGACATGGACAGCAACTATATCAAATTCTACTATGATGAAGAGAGGAATGACAAAATTATCCCACACTCTTGGCGTATCTATAACAAATACTATGATGACGACGATAAAGTATCAGGTATTCTATCTTATGCAATGTTTGAAAAATTCTCCAAGAAATTTAACATACTTTCTGTTGATTTCATTTACAAACATTTCAACCTATTGGTCAATTCTCAAATGTGGAAGGAAAGATATGCAGCTATGATTGGTTTAACTAAATCTTTTAAATACAGTAGGGATAATTTAATTTCACAATTTCCTTTAATTTTAAAGTATGTTCAATATTAATATTACAAAAATACCTCAAAAATGTAAATTATTCCCAATCATTCATATTTTTATTTGCTATCTTTAGATTAGTATTAAAATTAACAGTTGAAGATGAAAATATCAGAGTTAGATGGGCATCATTACAATGTTTAATTCAATTGGTAATTGAATTTAAAGTACTGGTCGGGATTCAATATAGAGATGAAATATTCCAAGTTATTTTCACCAAATTAATTAACGATCCAAATGAAAGAATTCAAGGTCGATGTTGATTGAAAGACTGATGGCACAATCATCATGTTTTGAGCCGTGTACAAAAGATATAATTGGCAATAATTTCAAAGTATTAATTGGTTTCTTTGAATTACAACTCCAGTCTTCAAAATTATATATAGTTGAAACTGTATTGGTATCTTTGATATCAATTGTTGAAAAGTTTAAAGACCAATTTATACATGTATGTATTTTTTTGCAGATAGTATGTTCAAGACAGTGGCACTCACTTTTATGGTTCAATTCTGTTCTTGTGGTGGCGAGAATGCTATCAACTCATTCCCACAAATCATTCCACCCATTATCGACTGTCTTTAACATTTTAATCTACTAGTGAAAAGGTATGCTTCCATGGCACTTGGTATGGCAGCAGAACTTGGAAAGGATAGATTCTCACCATGGGCAATAGACACTTTTAATTTTAATATTCTTTCTCTTGTATCTGATGGGATAGTATCCCAATTCTCTTCAAAAGAATCTTTGATAAATAACCATGTTTGATTGAGGAGTTGTTGTTCTTGTGGTTGTTTTATACATGCAATAATGTTATCATGTATCTTTTCAACATGTTGGTATTCTTTACCAAAACATTGGTTGGGATATAGACGAATAATGGCACAGAAATTAGAGATGGTGATTCCACACTCATCCGTATCATAGACAGGTAGATGACTAACCCAGTTTGGAATGATGACATTGATATCTAATAAAAAATAAACAACAGATATTTATTTTTACTTTTTTTGGAACTTACTTTTCATTTCATAATATTACCTTCTCTCAAACAAACATATATCTGTACTCTAGATTTCTATTGTATTTATTTTAGTCTAGTCTTAATGTAATTATGGAGAGATCAGATGAACAAGAGTTTGTAGAGATTGTTGTTACTCTTGCAAAAGAAGAAGAAGACAAACAAAAAGAAAATAAAGATAATAACAACAAGAAGTATAAATCAACATCAAAACAACTATTTAAAGATTATTCTATATCTAAACCAGAACAAGTAGTATCATGGTTACTCTATTTAATCGTAAAAGATAATGTATGTTTACATTTAATGAAAGAAGAAAGAAGATCAGATGATGATGATGATGATGATCATATACTTAATCTATAATATACTATTACTGAAACAGATTAAAGATAAAGCAATACAGTTACTTGATAGATTATTGATTAAAAAAGGGGAGCAATTGATTGAAACATTATCACAATCAGTTGTAGATGCTATCAAAGTTGAAACAATCAAGTTACTAAAGACAACAACTCTTACAGGTGATAGTTACAGACAACATTTGTTTAGTATCATTGAATCATTTGCAAATTATTTATTACCAAGAGGTATGTTTTATATGATATTTATATATACACTCTTTAAGTGTCTTTACTAACGTTAGTGATGATCTTATAAACTTGATTGATTAGATGGTTGGAATGAATTGAAACCAATATTGGAAAATATTGTAAAAGAACAAGATATAGATGTAACATTAAAAGATAATGCAGCTGGATTACTCTTGGTGTTATCAAAGTATGACTTTAAAAAGTCTAAACATCAGCTTATCTCAATGATCGACTCTTATATTTTTGGTGGTAGTCTGACCGAGGAGAGGTATGGTGTATTATTACCCAAGATGTTAACAATGCTTGCAAAACTGGATGGACAAGATGATGGAGATTTAATAGAGAAAATAGTAACGAACCTTCCAGCTATCGATACGAATACTCCAAGTATGATCGAGAGAGTCTCACTGATCATTGACACTTTGATTGAAATGTTAGAGAGAAATCAAAGTGGGAATGGTTTCGCATCTGAAAAGACAAAGATAATGGTATTTGATTATGTGTTGGCAATGGCTGTGAGGAAAGATCCCTCTCCTACTCCTACCCTCTATACAGATAACCAGATCGAGAGAATCATCTCTCTTTTGTTCTTCTGGCTATCACAAATCAAGGATGTACCTTTGGAAGAATGGACTGCCAATATGATAATTCGTTATAACAGAGATGATTATGATGATGATAATATTAATCCCGAAGAAGAGTACAACAAAGAAGATCAACTAGTTGTAGCCAACTCAAATTATGTTGGATTTTTGCGTGGTATTGGCAAGCGTGGTTTAGAACCTGTTTTAAAACAAGTCAAAATCTTTTCAAAATCTCAACAATGGGAACAAAGATATGCAGCTATGATGAATATACCAAAATATTTTGAATTGGATTTTTTTGATGAAAAACTATTTCCAATTATTTTAGAGTATGTATTTTTAAAAAAAGTTTTATTTACTTTGTATACATTCATTAATATTATTTTTATTAATCATTGATTATTTGTCTAGGTCAGTATTAAAATGTATTGATGATGAAAATACCAAAGTTAAATAAATGGGCATCACTCGAGTGTTTATTTGTATTCAATGGTTGTTTTGAAGAATTTCCAACAACAATGATTAAATCAAGAAAAAAAGTATTTCAAGCTATTGGAAAATCAATTCATCGAGATATGAATGAATGTATACAAAGTAGTTATTGCTATTTGATGCGCGACCATCTAATAGAACCAATGGGATATCGTAATATTGATGATAGTATTTTAAAAGTACTATGTAGTGCACTTACAATACTACTTGAATCATCATATATCAATGTAGTTGAAGATGCATTAGAAGTATTGTTGATTTTAACTGATCAAAAAATTTAAATTTTATACCTGTAAGTATTTGTTATTACTTTATTAATAATCAAAATATATTCTCATTAATGATTTATTTATTTATTTATTTAGTATAAATTTGTACCAATTCTATTATCATCATTGGAAAAACATCATGGAACAAAAGATTCAGGAGTATTGCATAAAGACTGTAGAATTGTATGCAATCGTTTAATCAAATCATTTACAAAGTGTTGTGAACTGGTTAAATATAACAAGAATATATTTTCAAAAGATTTATTTAGGTTTATGATGTTTGCTAAAAAGAATGGTAAATCGATTGATTTGATAAAGAATGTTTTAAAATCAACAAATGTATTTATTGGATTGGTTGGCAAGTCATTTGCAATTTATTTACCAATGATCATGGGTAATATTATCAATGTACTAGAGACACCATTACCCAATCCATATCAACAAAAACAACAACAAAAGAGAGTATCATCAACACTAAAGGTTTTAACTAAAATCATTAACGAATTAAACGATAATGACTCCATTTGCGAAATATTGGCACCATTTGTACAAGGATTGATAGTTTCTCTGTGCAACTTGTTAAAGTGTACAACAACCAGCACCAATATTCGAATCGATTCACTAGACTGTTTACCTGGATGTTTAAAGTTGTCCAAACTGTGTTTTGGTGCGAGTTGCGACAAGATGACCAGGATATTTGAAATGGTATTCGATGAGATCATCATATCATGTGCTCTAGAGACCAACCCCAAGGTCTTGGGACAAAAAATCTACCAAGGAATTAGTATCATCAAAACAATGGGAAATGACGCAATGACACTGGATCAAGTACAATCTACACTTGAAGTATTGTCAAAGCTAGAAGAAATATTTCAAGATATGGAAAACCAGGCTCGACTTGGAAATCAAGATGTCATTGGTAATCATTATCCAAATGATCTAAACTCTATCATCGGTAGAGCAGTTCCCAACATCTTCGTGATGATTGGTGACATGATCATGTACAACAGTGCCATCACAGTACCCCTTATCCTTATCTCTGATGGTCAATTCATTCAAAAATCCTGTCAGAAATTACAAGAAGATGTTTACGACGAACAATTCTTGAAGCGTAGAATCCTATATTTTATCTCAATGTTTTTTGAATATGGTGGAGATATCTCTATTAGTACATACCCAAAGATCATACCTATTATGATCGAGTTTCTAAAACAATCAGAAGATGCAGGTTGTAGACAAAATGGTTCATTTGCACTTGGAATGGCAGCAAAACTTGCCAAGGATAGATTCTCACCATGGGCAATCGATGTTTTACAGTTATTTGATATCTTGGTATCTGACGACTATGCATACTCTCAAATCAACACACGTGCCACTGAAAATGTAGTATCTAGTGTTGGCAGAATCATCAGATATGTTCCACAAATAGCCAGCCAGGTCGATATAATTTTTCCAAAATGGTTGGATCATCTTCCCATATCTGACAAGGATGAGATTGTTGATGTAATTGATAACCTATATGCTATTATCCGACTCTACACCAATGAATGTCTCGGTAAAGATTACCAACATGTTGCTAAACTTTATGAAATCATCCAACACTATCGCCAAAAACAACATCAACATTTACAACTAGAAAATGTCCTCACAGAAACACTATTATTTATCAAAGATTCAATCCAATCAAATTGGGATAATATTCCATCAGATAAAAAGGATGCACTATTATCGCTATATTTTAATAAAATTTAGCAAAAGACTAAAAAGTTTTTATTCAAAAATGGTTTTTAAAACTTCCCATTAATGACCAAGATGAGAATATCATTGACCTATGTGCCATAATCCAGCTCTACCCTAACGAATGTTTTGGTAAGGACTACCAACATGTTGAAAAGATACACAAAATCATCAATCATTATTTGGAAACTTGTACACCATGCGAGAAAGAATTATTAACTCAAACTTGGTCATTTATACAAGATTCATTACCAAAAGCAGCAAAACACATGTATGATAAAGTTCAAAATAAAATGAATAAAAATTTTTTAAATTTTTTCTTTTTCTACTTTTTCTTATATTTATATTTTTGTTGTATTTATATTTTATATTATTGTATTATCTATTTAAATCAAAGCATACTATAATATGCAGCAACCAGATAAAGAATTTATAGAGATTATTGTTGTTTTAGCAAAAGAAGAAGAAGATCAACAAATAGAGAAGAAAGACAATAACAACTATAAATCAACATCAAAACAACTATTCAAAGAGTATACTGTATCTAAACCAGATAAAGTAGTATCATGGTTACTATATTTAATCGTAAAGGGTACCTATAAAACTGTAAGTATAATATTATGTTGTGATCATGAATGAAGGAGTTTGACAAACTAATAATACATGTTGTATAATTATAAACAGATTAAAGAGAAAGCAGTTCAGCTACTTGATAGATTATTGTTCAAAAAAAGAGTTCAACAAAAAAGGAACCATTATATCGATCAACTGTCAGATGATACAATAGATGCAGTCAAGTTTCAAACGATCGAGTTACTCAATACAACTCTTACAGATACCTTTAGAAAACATTTATTTGGTATCATTGAATCATTTGCAACTGTTTTAATACCAAGATGTAAGATCTACATTTAAATGTATCGCTATAATAATCTACAATCCTTTTTAACAAAACATTATTTATTATTAGGTGGTTGGAATGAATTGAAACCAACATTGGAAAACATTATAAATAGAAAAGAAGAAGAAGAAGGACCATTTAATTTAAAAGACAATGCAAAAACATTGATGCAAGTATTATCAAAGTATAACTTTGAAAAAGATAATCAAGATATGGTAGACATACTTGGCTCTCTTGGTGATAAATTGACAGAGGTGCACTGTAGATCACTATTATCAATGCTCATACAGATGGATGACAATTTAGAAGGTAAATCAATCGATAGAGTTCTTGATGGACTTGTCGGTATCTATGACAAAGATGATCCAGAATGGATTCAACTCACTCCACGAATCATTGACACGATGATCAAGGTGTTGGATAGAAACAGTGAAGAGGGTATTTGTCTCAAATCAGACAACAAAAGAAGAATATTTAACTTTTTGGTGAACATGCTAGGGGATTCGGCCGAGATATCATTGGAACCAAAGATATATACCGATAGTAAGATTGAAAGAATCATCTATCATTTGTTTTACTGGTTGTTATCAGACATTAAGGACATATCATTGAATGAATGGACAACCAAGATTGAAAGTGAAAATCCACGAAGTTACTATGTCGAACAAGAACATATGATTTTTAATCAATTTGTTAGTGCATTTGATCAAAGTGCAACAATACCAATTTTCAAATATTTCTACCTTTTTTTACAATCTCAACAATCGTGGAAAGAAAGATATACAGCATTGGAATTTTTATCAAAATCTTGTAGATACCTCAAAATTAGTATTGCACAACAATTTTCAACCATTTTAAAGTTTGTATAATCAGAAAATATTTGAAATAACATTATATTTATTCATTATTTACCTCCTCCTTGTAGATTTTTATTAAAATGTACAGTTGATGAAAATGTTCGAGTTAGATGGGCAGCATTTGAATGCTTAATTAATTTATCAATGGAATATGGTGATTTGATGGTTTTATCAAGGAATGAAATATTTGAAGTCATCGTCAGGTCCATTCGTGATCTAAATGACAGTATTCAAAATAATTGTTGTGAATTGATAGGAACCATAATGAATTCATTAAAAGAACACATGATTGGTGAAATAGATGACACAATTGTTGGTGATCGTGTTTTGGATGCAATATTTAGTTTATTAGAAAGAGTACTTCAATCTAGAAAAATACATATCATTGAAAATGCATTGCAATCTTTGATATCAGTTATAAATACTGTTATGACCAAAAGATTAGAACCTGTATGTAAATCGTTATTATTATTATTATATTTTCAAAGATATATTCATCCTCCTCCTTTTTATTTTTTTAGTATTGTAAAAGAATAATACCAATTATACTTGCAGTATTGATAAAATATCATGAAACAAAAGAATCAAGAGTATTTTATAGTCGAGGAAAAAAAACAGGATTAGTTGTTCTTGCAATCAAGGCATTTACAATATGTGGTGTGGTGATAGATAAGAAGACATTTTCTAAATTCTTATACATATTGATGGTGTTTGTTAAAAACAATGAAAAGTGGTTTGATATGATAGTCGATCTTTTCATTGCATTTGACTTATTTATCGAAACTGTTGACATTTCATTTGCAGTGTATTTACCAATGATCATTAGAGTGGTTGTGAATATACTAGAGATACAATTACCAAATCAATTACAAGGTATTTTTCAATCACAACAACGTGATATTACAAAAGTATCATCAACACTCAAGTTTTTGGCTAGAATCATGGAAGCATCAAACGATGATGAATCCATTTCCGAAATGATGGCACCATTTGTACTTAGATTGGTAGATCCGTTGTGCAATTTGGTTAACTGTCCAGTCAGTACAGATATTCAATTCTACTCACTAGAATGTCTGCCTTTTTGTATCAAGTTGTCAAAGATTCACCAAAATGAGGACAAGCTGACCCAGATGTTTATCAAGATATTCGATTCAGCCATTATGACATGTCCATCAGAGACGGATACTGAAATATTGGTGCATCGTATCAACACGGGAGGTAATATCTTTGAAGAGATTGGAAAAGATGCAATGACTACCGATCAGATCCAGTCAGTTCTAAATATACTGTGCAAAGTGGATCAAAAACTTGGCGATATAGCACAACAGGTACACAATGGCAATCAAGCTGTAATTGGAGATGATCAAGATCCAGAAGATATACTAAATTTAATCGATGAAGGTGTTTGCAGAGAGTATGAGATGTTGGGTGAGATTGTAAAGCACAATAGTGTTATTGCAGTACCCCTAATCACATCTTACCCTCTATTTATCAAGTCTTGTAAGAGACTAGGTGACAACATTGGCGTGGCCAATATCACAAAGGCTGGAATTCTATATTTCATGACTCATTATTGTGACTTTGGTGGTGAAGTTGCCATCAACACATTTCCACATATCATACCAACTATTATCGAGTGTTTGAAAATCACTTTTCCACTTGTTAAACAAAATGCTTCCTACGCACTTGGTGCAGCTGCACAAGTTGCAAAGGATAGATTCTCACCTTGGGCAATGGAGTCGTTACATGCTATAGATAGAATAGTCTCGGCACCAGATGCATACTCTTCAAATGAAAATATAATTGCAACTGGAAATGCCATATCTAGTATTGGTAAAATCATCAGATATGTTCCACAAATCAACAATATCCATGAAATCATTCCAAAATGGTTAAATTGTCTGCCAGTCTCTGAGAAAGCCGAAGAGACTATATCTATAGTTGGTAACCTTTGTGCTATTGTACATCTATACACAAATGAATGTCTAGGTCAAGAATACCAACATGTTGAAAAGATACATCAAATAATCAATCATTATTTGGAAACTTGTAAACAAGAAAAAGAATTATTAACTAGGACATGGTTATTAATACAAGAAAGAAAATTATAAATTATAATTACAAATCAAATTGATAGTGATAATAATAAATATTTATTATTTATTTATTAATATTTAAAATAAAATAATACAAATAACTGTAAAGAAAACAGCAATGTTTAATGGGATGATGGGATGGACTGCCAAAGATACAAGACTACCATCATCACCAGTTGTAGTAGTGGTAGAGGTGGTGGTGGTAGTGGTAGAAGTGGTGGAAGTGGTAGTGGAGGGGTTTGGACATTGTTTGATAGTAATATTTTTGGTGATGATGTGGAATGCAGGTTGAACAGTGACCGATTGTGTAAATGAAGGAGTACGGATAGTGAGAAGAGTGGTAGGTGTGTTGTTTGATCCAGAGGAGGTGTAGGTGATAACCGATGGGATAGTGTCAACCACGCCAGAGTTTACAAGTTTTCCTTGGAGCAATACTGTAGTTTCATTGTTGCTAGGGTCGTTACCAATCAACAAACTAGAGGCAAGATTATTTTCACTGACAAACGTTGAATTGGTAGAGACAGACCATGAAGAATCGGAACAAATCGATGATGGGTGAGAGACTGACAGTTCAATATCCAAATAGTTGGAAGCAAGGTCAAAGGTCCAACCAGAAACTGTAATATTGAGTAGTGTCGAACCACCAGTAACATTGTATGGCTTACCTGTGAAACTGACTACACTAGATTCACCAGCACTGGTTTGAGCAAAGGTGATAAGGATCGATACTCCATTGGCATTGGTATAGCTGGCTGTTAGCCCATTCAATTGCCATCCGCCAGCACTACCAGTAGAAAAGTCAAGTGTCTTGACAATGATATTATCAGTGGTATCGACTTCAGACACTTTCAACAATGCAATAGAGTATTTAACAGTATTGTTTACAAAGACTGTCACCGATGGTGGTGTATTGCTTGTAGTACTTGGTGTCAGAGAATAGACAAGAGGGGTAGATGTATTATTTGATAATTCAATATCACATTGTGGACCATCCCACCCTTGATTACAATCACAACTTCCCAATATACATTCTCCTTGATTATTACAATTATTTGTACAACTAATATTAGTTTCTAAAATAAATTAAATTAATTAATAAATAATCCATCTTTGTTTTTGTTTGTTTGTTTTTTTAACTTACCTTGAGAAGTATAATCATCACCTCTTCTATCAATAGAAAATAAGAAATTATTAACAGTTAAATAATGGTTATACTCCAAACCAGCAAGTAAATGATTGAATTGACAATAAAAGATTGATTGGCCTGAGCATTTTTCGATTTTTGGACCAGAGCTCTGGTACTGCAACCATGATGTGTAGGTGGTTGGAGAGTTTGGATTACCTCCAGTCATAGGATTCCATGTCAAATTGAGGGTATTGATAAATTTAAACATTTGATATGAAATCGATGGGTATTGGAAAGCAACAAATGGAACCTCTTTGGTTATCATGAGACCATCATTTAAAGCATTGACGGTAATTATGAGCGTCTGTCCGTATGGATATCCGTTTGGGTATTGGTAGAGGAGTGTTTGGTTCGAGGGGGGATTACTAAAGTTGGTACCAGCAACATCGATACTATAAGTTGTAAGCAGAGGAATACCACCTATCGAACTCCAACTAATCTTGAGTGATTCGAGAGAGACTTGTTCAAAAGTTACTTCCAAGCCGCTAACCAGTGGATAGGTAGTTACTGTTTGTGGCGTTAGCGAAAAAGAGGTACCGTCATTTACAAATTTACCAGAAACAGTGTATGTAGTATCTGGTTGTACATTAAAATAACAGGTTCCAGCAACTGCTAATGGTATACAAAGACCTTCTCCAGGAATAGATATTTCTTGTACAACTGGACCTACTCCACCTTGATATTCAAATGAAACATCAATTCTGGTAGTTCCAACTCTTGTAATATTAAATGAATAATTATTTAAACCTATAAATATAAAAATAAATAAAATTAATTAATAAATAAATAAATATTATTATACTTTGATAATCATTTAATTTACATACTTGGGAAAGTTAGATAGGTAAAATCTTTAGAGAATGTATAACCATTGGCAGATGCAGTAATAGTAATAATATTAGTTGTGTTGGGAGTTAGTTGATCTACCAAACACCCATTAGTTGTATAACTACTAGAATCACAACTGGCTTTTGGTTGACCATTGACAAGGATGGACAAGGCAACTGGGAATGCTGTATCAGTTGAAATGGGGTGATAATTAATAGAGACGCTCTTTGTTTTAATCGTTGCAGACTCTATTACAATATCGGTGATTTCTTGGTACAGTGTAACACTCGAGGAATAGGCTTGTGTTGTATAACCATTGGTACTGGCTTGTACACTAATAGTTTGGGTTGAACCTGGAGACAGATTGGAAATAGTACATGTTGGTCCGACTATACAAGTTGGGTCTGTAACATCAATCGTTCCATTCAACTTTACAATATAGGTAGTATCAGCAGCTGCTCCATCAATACCAATATCACCAACATTATAATTAAATGTAATACTTGTTGATTTTCTTGATGTAACACTTAAAGATGTAACAGTTGGTGCTAAATAAATATAAATATAATAATAAATATATTAATAAATGTATAAATATAAAAATTACAATATAAATATATTAATATTACGTGGAGGTAATTGATAAGACTTTGAGAATGAAGGTGCAGTTAGACCAGTTGGAACATATAGATTTGGTGATCCGTTGATAGTAATACTTTGAGCTGGTGATGGAAGAATAAAAGTACAACCAGTGGTAGAAGTACAATTGGAATGGGCAGGAAATACGGTACCGGCACCACCGATTTGATAGGTGATGGTATACGAGGTCATGGTGTAGTTCAAATAGGCTTTCCAGCTTGTAGAAATACCAGGGATAGTAATTCTATTGGTGGAAAGGACGGCAGGCAATGTTAGATCCATTGTCAGGGTTGGTACAACACATGGAAATGCTATACCGTAGGATGTGATAGCCCCAGGTACACCCAAACAGGTACCAGCGTTAAATCCAAGTGTACCAGTTGGTGTGCCGCAAACTGATAACCTTCCATAGTCCAACGACATGAATTCGCCAGTTGGCATAGTCAACTTATTAATCATTCTATTAAAACTTTCTGCGTATAAACATGTTGCTTGATTTGGACTAATTAAAGTTCTTGCTGCAAAATTCTTATCAGTACAATCACTAAATAAATTATAAATAAATAAATAAATAATAAATAGAAATAAATGTAAATATAATATAATTTATAATATATAATATTAATATTGATAATATATAAATATGCATACTTAAAATTATAATGTTTTTCATAGGATATGTAACCTTGGAATTGGAGTAGTGGTTGAGTGGCCAATGCGAATTGCTTGTAAAGTGTATTACCGTTGATGGTGTATGAAACACAGTTACCTAGCTGATCGGCGTATGTTTGGGTCGGATTGGCAGTACATCCAGTATCAGTGAAATGAGTTACACTTGCTTGACCACCAGCTTGATCATACGAGTATTTGTAAGAACCAGTATCTATAATATAACAAATACCTGGGGGATTGGAAAACACAACCACTGGTGCACCCAAACAACCAGCTGTTTTATAGGTTGATACTACAACATATTGTAATGTTTGACTATTAACAAATGTTGTTTGTTGTTGACTTAACAACAGTACTAGTACTACTACTAAATAGTATAAAGAAAAATGTGTTGATAGTTTCATCATCTAGTTAGATATAATATAATATAAATACTATTATCTATCTATCTATCTCTCTCTCTATCTGTAAATAAATAAGAACAAAAAGGAATGTCTGTTGTTTTGTTGCAAGAGTGTAACCTCTACGACCCAATCGGCTGTCGTGTAACCTTGCACATCATATAAAAATAGATTTAAAGGTGCGAGTTGGGTTTTGGTTTGATCTGATGGTTGATCATGGGTGGCCTCGTGCAGCCACTTTTTGAAAAAATATATCTAATCGTTGAAGAAGCCACCCAAACAACGTATAGTTAGAAGCCACATGTGTGTTTGTCAAACCATACTACTAATACTTTTTTCATTCAAAGAATACTAAGATCATTGTCATTGCTAATATAATATGTATAATACCTGGTACAAGCATATATCTTCTATCTTTTTAACTTGATAACGATGAATATTTTTAAAAATAATAATGATAAATGTTATAGTACTTCACGATTATCAGATTCGTATTTAGTTATATAGATAATAAATAATACTTGTTGATTAATAAAATAGATACAAAAGGAGACCACACTGTCAGTCTTCATAATAGTGAAAAGCTGAAATCAAAAGAATAATAATAAAATTCATACATAGGATATATTATTATGCAACAACCAGATGAAGAGTTTATAGAGACTGTTGTCATTTTAGCAAGAGAAGAAGAGAAGCAGCTGAAACATAAAGAAAATAATAATAATAATAATAATAATAATAATAAATCATCATCAAAACAACAATACAAAAAGTATATTATAGATAAACCTGAACAAGTAGTATCATGGTTACTCTATTTAATAGTAAACGGGACTTACCCAACTGTATGTAAATAAGTTGCATACTAATGATGATAATATCAATCATATATATCAATCTTGATTACTGATCATCTCTCTCTCTCTCTTTTGATCATCTTATGTATTTAAAACACAGATTAAAGATAAAGCAATACAGTTACTTTCTAGACATTTGACAAAAGAAGGAAAACATCTTATTAGAGTATTGTCAAAAGAAGTATTAGAAGCTTTAAAGGTTGAAACAATCGAGTTGCTAAAGACAACAACAAATCTTACAGATACTTTTGGACGTCATTTATTTAGAATCATTGAATCACTTGCAATTTATTTATTACCTAGATGTATGTTATGTTAACCAATATATCTACATTAAACTTGCTCACTCTTTTTGTTGAACATTTTTAATGAACATACATTATTTATTTATTGATTTATTTATTTATTTATTCATTCATAGGTAGTTGGAATGAATTGGATATAATTATAAATGGAAAAGAGGGAGAAGGATTAAAAGATAATGAAAGAGGATTGATTAAAGTATTATCAAAGTATGATAACTTTAAAAAGGAGAAACAAGAAATGTTGGTAAAGATGATCAACAAGTTTGATTTTTTTAAACGTCAGTCAGATGATCAGTATAGATCATATATACCTATACTGTTATCAATGCTAGTACAAATCGATCTAGATACTCAAAAAGTATTCTTTGACAATCTTTTACGTAACCTGACTAGTATCCTTATTAGAGACTATCCAGATCCAGCAATGCATCAACTCATTCAACAAATCATAGACACCATGATTCAATTGTTTTTTAAAGGAGACCATGCAACTAAAAGTATCATGTTTCCCAATTTCTTTCAAATAGCTTCTAGATCTCCAAACAAATTTACAGACCATCACCTTGAAAGAATTATCTCTTGTATGTACGAGTGGTTGTCCAATGTAAAAGACATTGAATTGGAAGAGTGGACAGATAGCAGTTCAAAGATTGAACATTATCATGATCTCATACCGAGGAATCCAACCAGAGATATAGACTATCACCTAGACAATCGTTTGTTGGATGTTATTTCTCATTTTGGTCGATTCTTGCGTGTACTTGGTCAGGATCATCGAGCACAAGTACACATTTTCAATCAACTCAACGTCCTTTTAAATTCTCAACAACACTCTTGGAAACAAAGATACTCTGCTTTAATTAGTTTATCTAAATTCTACGACTCGATCAATCCTGATATTTTGACACAACAATTTCCAATTATTTTTAAGTATGTAAAATATTAAAATAATAATTAATTTATTTATTTATTTATTTATTTTATTTTAGATTAGTATTAAAATTAGTTGTTAATGATGAAAATATTAGAGTTAGATGGGCATCATTACAATGTTTAATTCAATTTACAAAAGAATTTAAAGAATTGATGATTGAATCAAGTGATGAAATATTTCAAGCGATTGTTGGAAAACCAATGAACGACCCAAATGAAAGTATACAAACTCGTTGTTGTATATTGATTAAAGCAATGATCGATATGGATGTTATCGTTGACGATAATGTAAAGGAGGGATTATATAGATTATTTGAAAGACTATTTCAATCACCAAAATTAGTTATCGTTGAAAATGCATTACTATCATTTATATCAGTATTAAAAACTGGTTCTAAAATATTTATACATGTAAGTTTTAAAAAAAATAATAATAATAATATTAATTATAAAAAACAAGATTAGATTTAGATTTAGATTTAGTTTAAAAAATATGTATTTATTTATTAAATAATTTATTAATTAATTAATTAATTAAATTATTTTAGTATTCTGGAAATATTGTTGGTATTTTATTAAATTTGTTTGAAAAACATTATAAATCAAGAATATTGTCAAGTCGTTTAATCAAGGCATTTTCATTGTGTAGCTATATAATGCGCGAGACAACATTTTCAAAAGACTTGAACAAATTTATGCAGTTTGTCAGAAAGAATGAAAAGTCGATTGATTTGATCGATGTTTTCAGAGCGTCTAGTTTGTTTATGCAAATGGCTGGTAAATCGTTTGCAGTGTATTTACCAATGCTCATTAGGATGGCTATCAAGATACTAGAGACACCGTTACCCCAGTGGGGAATAACAGAAGAATCATCACTCAACATTGAAAGGATTACCAAGACACTGGATAGTTTGAATGACGGTATCATGTTTGAATCGTATTATATAGACTATATACCATTGGCTCCATTCGTTCATGGGCTAGCAGTCGCACTATGTTATTTGGTCCAATGTCGAATCAGTGCAGAGATCCGAAACCGGTCCTTTGATAGTTTACCTACTTGTGTCAAGCTGTCTAAACTACATTTTGGTGCACGTAGTGACAAGACACTCGGATTATTTGGTATGTCTCTCAATACAGTACTTTTATTGTGTCCTGTTGAACCATGCCTATTTGTCATATCAAGTGCTTTGGACATTGCAACCACTCTTATAAGAGTGATGGGTAAAGAAGCAATGACACTTGACCAGACTAGATTAGTGCTAGACACATTTACCAAGGTCGAGAAAAGAATGTACTATATTGCAGAGCAAGTGCGTGGTGGCAACGAAGAGATAGTAGCTGACGATGAAGACATTGCAGATGTTCCTACTCTAACCGTTGAAGCGTTGTCCAGCGGATACGAGATGATTGGCATGCTCCTCAAACAAAACAGTGTCATGGCAGCACCCCTCATCACATCTGATCTCTTGGTAAAGTCTTGTCAAAAGTTACGAGACAACCAAGAAGAACAAGGTGATCAAGATGATAATGATGATGACGAGGAGGAGGGTATCGGGCAAGAAGAAGAAGAAAGGAGAATTATCAATGAAGGAATCCTCTCCTTTTTGGTACGCTATTGTGAGTATGGTGGTGAAGATGCCATCAACACATTTCCACAGATCATACCAACTATTATCAAGTGTCTTACACTAACTGGTGTCATGGAACAAAATTCTGCTTCCTATGCACTTGGAGTGGCAGCACAAATTACCAAAGACAGATTCTCACCTTGGGTAATGCAAGTATTACAGGCGTTTGACATTATCACCTATGCACCAAATGCATATGTAGAGGATAAAAAAGATGTCACGGAAACTGTCATTGTGAGTGTTGGTAGAATCATTAGAAATGTGCCACAAGTTGCCAGTCATGTCTGTACCATTATTCCAAAATGGTTGAACCATCTTCCCCTCACTCATAAAGACAGTTTCCTTGCCACTTTTCAACCCCTCTCCGAAGAAAAAGAGATATCCCTTGTCATTGATAACCTTTGTACCATTATCCGTCTCTATCCCAACCAATGTTTTGGTAAAGAATACCAACACGTTGCCAAGATACACCAAATCATCCAAAACTATTTGGCACGATGTCAAAGATTTGAGAAAATAATACTCATTCGGGCTTGGTTATTTATCAAAGATTCAATCCAATCAAATTGGGATATTATTCCATTAGATACAAAAGACCAGCTATCAAATTTAAAAGAACTTGCTCGCGAATAAATAAAGGACAGATTAATAATAATTGGAAAAGATATTTGAATTTTTTTTTGTCAATGACAAGTACCATTTACGATGAAAAATAGAGTGGAGGAAAAGATCCATTAGAGGTGAAAAATTTTTGCGTTCATAATCAAAAACAAAGAAAAAAGAACAATAATAATATCCAAATCTTTAAATAATAATGGATCAAATGATAGAACGATTCAATTTAATTTGACGGCTGTGGATGATGGCATTGGATTGAAGGGATACCCAACTATTTATTTATTAGATAGATTTGGACAATCATTGGTAGTTGAACCAACGGTAAAAACATCATCATCATTCTTTGATTACAATTGTACACTGCCACTTGGATTTGGTGTCAATGATGGGGATATATACTTGTCGGTCTATGGGTTGAGAGACAAGTTGGATAATCTGATTGGATACTCTACTTTGAGGTTAGAGACTTCTGGATTCACTTCAATGATTCAAGTTGGTTATTCATTGGATATTCCATCGATTACAGGTGTAGAAGGGTTCTATAGTTATCCATCAAACGTGCCTGTACAGACTGATATCGAGATTATCACTATTCGTGGAAAAGGGTTTGGTGATAATGCACAACAACTCGTTGGAGTGATCGAGTATGGTAATGGTACCAGTCAACTACACACGATTACCATGGCACATCACATCATGGTGTTTATGGAGTATAATCCTAGATTGGCGGTTGTTGATCGTCCAGTTCGCGTCACTTTGAGACGAACTGCGACCGATAACGTGGAGCACCCCTTCACTGTCATGCCAATCCAGCTCCCACCACCACTTTTATCCGTATTTGTGCCCACACCAACTGCATGTTCTCCGTCCCCATCGTCGTCGTCGGTCAACTGCACTGGCAATGGACAGTGTACATTTGACGGTTGCCTGTGTAATTCGGGATGGTCAGGATTCTTTTGTGAATCGACCGTCATCAATGTCGATCAACCAACATTCAACCAAACATCACCAATCATTGATATTATAGTCAAAGATAATGCAACCACAGTCATTCGATCAGTCATTGCAGTTGTAGCAATTAGAGAGTTAACAATGGACGGAACAGTATTCCAAGAGTACATACCAAAGATTTGGACATTAAATGTTACAACTCCAAATAATATTAATAATACCAACTCTTCAATTGAATTAAAATATCAAACCATTCTACAACAAACAAAAACATTAGTTAAAGTAACGATTGAATGGTTTGCAGTTGACAGTCAAGTAGAATTTGCCAATCAAACCATAAATATACCTGCAACAAGTACAAAGATTTCTATTGGTATTTCAGCGTATCCATTTGACACTGTTACGAATACTCTACAAGTGGTGTTAAAGACTTCGGTTGAGGCAACCTATGATTCTGAATGTTCATCTAGAGAGTATGGATATGGTGGAGACAAACAAAACAATTTAGATTGGATAAAGTTAAATATCGATGACAAAAGTCTTTGGGGTCAATTTATTAGAAGAGGAATTCTAGATGATAGAATAGCAACTATCAACAATCAAATTTTAACAGATTACATTGACAATAGTACATCTTCATCTTCATCCTCCTCACCATCATCATCATACACAACAAATTATATTGGGTTGGATGTACCTTATTACAATACATATGTTCAACTTGATCCAAATTTCGTTCACTTGATTAATGTCGATGGTGGAGGAGGAGATATGAGCGATTCAACTTGCAAGACACCTACCAGTGGATTGACAATTGGTCAAATAGCAGGCATAGTAGTTGGATGTATTGTAGCTGCTGCCATTGCCATCGCATCAACTATGTATATCATAAGAAAAAGGAAATGGAACAAATCTAAAAAGAAAATGGATCTAAAATTAAAAAGAGCCAGTACTTCGTAAAACAAATAAATAAAATATATCTTTTTTTATAGTATATTTTTTATATCATTTTATTTTGTTTTCTTTTGCTCAAAAGAGAGAGAGAGGTACATAGAGAGAATGAGAGATGGATGAGAATGAACCACCTGAATCATTCATTCAAGTGATTGTTCAACTATCTAAAGAACGTATTGAAACAGAGTATAAGAACAATAACAATAAGAACAATAATAACAAGACAATAGAAGTAGAAGAAAAGAGTAGAGCTCAACAAACATATGATGGTTATTTAGATGATGATCGTCACAAGACTATATTATGGTTGTATTATCTAGTCTTGCACTGTCATTTACCAACTGTATGTAATCAATCCTCATTGTATCTAGTGTGATCATGATGATGATGACTAATACTTCATCTTTAATTTAACTAGATCAACAAACAATCAATTTACATGTTAGGAAATGAAATAATTCGAGACCGTGATGATTATTATCTACCAATTGAAAGATTCTCTCTCACTGATTTATTCAAACTTGTTGTTGAGGACAAAGACAATGACAATGACAATGGCAATGATGATAACATCAATCATTTAATTCATTTATTATTTACATTTAATGGTGTTCCAAAATGTATGTAGTATAATAATAATATTAATAATAATAATAATAATAATAGTATTTTATTATCATTTCTTTATTAATTAATCAATCAATCTTGATTTATTTTTTAAATATGTAGATAGATATAAACAATCATGTGATGCTTTACATTTTGGTTCGAATCAATCAACTGAAACCATGTTACGATTTTTTGAAAGACATGGTCCTGTAATACCACCTTTATACGATTATACTATCTTTTCATTACTAGGTAGATATTTATGTGATAGTAGTAACGTTGAAATACAACACCGAGCAATCAATATTATCAATAGGATTGCTACAGTACAAATGGGTCAATTTGAAGTAGTTTTCCTTAAAACCCTTGATAGAGCTGGCTTTGGACAACAACGAGATAGAACATTGGTACTAGAGATTGACAACACTATCATTCAAATATTGGTAGATGGAGTTTTAAAAACATCTCTGTTTGGTCATCACAAAATTGCTCTATCAATTATTAAATATTTAAATCCAAACAAATATCAAAATGTATAGTATCTCTCTCTTTTTAAATTAAAACAAATTTTAATTCTAATATTTTCTTTTCTTTTTTATTTTTATAGTTATCAAATAGAGTATTAAAAGAAATATTATTAATATTACCAACAATGAATGAAACAAAAAAATCAACTTGTTTTATTAGATTTTTTTTTGGTATTGGTCGTATTGTTGGAATGAAACAATTTAATAGATATCTACTAGAATTGATGATATTATCTAAATCGGCAAACATGACTTCAAATACCTTTCATGTACTTTGTAGGAAATTAATGAAACTCGACCCAAGTCATATATCTCTGTACTATCCAATCATCATTAAACCATTCTTTTATGAAAGGGTCGACTCCAAGATGGCTACCAAGTTGTCGGTACTGGCTTATAGTCTGTCCCCTTATCTACACGGATTAACGGATCGGTTGTGCAAAGAACTTGAACGGTCACATCACCAGGAATCAGGGATTAAATCGGCGTTGTTTGGAATATTTCAAGCACAAGTCTCCAAACATGATCATCAACCCCAACCCCTATTTGCCAGATTCTCAAAGATATTGTTGGATCAATGTTTAGAATTACAAACCACTTGGGATATATCAAATAATTTGGATAGAGTACAAAAGATGATAGATTGTATCAAACAAGAAAAGAGTCCCATTTACAAAAGTACATCTCAACAATTGATAGAGTACTTTGAAAAAATAGATTCAAGAATGTATAATAGTTTGAAAAGGAATGCAATTGGAGACGGGGTGGAGGAGGAGAGACAACCCGAGGAAACCATCCATGGAGATTGGATATCATCCATTATTCAAATTCGAACCCTCATTGCAGACGTTATGAATGAAGTTGATTTTAAATTACTTTTGGATAATTGTAGGTCGAGACTGGTAGAGATGTTGGATCATACATCCATCACATGGGCAATCGGCTATGTACCAATAATAATAAGCGACTGGTTGTTTTTATGCGACCTTGACCCAAACCTAAAATTACCATCTCACCTTTATCAACAATTCCTTAAATTATATGTCAACCATTTTTACAAGGAAATAGCCAAATATCCTCCCTCTCATCAAGTCAACTATGGATATTCATTTTGGAAAATAATAATACATGCCTTTAACATTGCATCGATCGATAAAACCTTTCAACCAACACTCGATCAAATCTATCAATTTATAAACCATCATTTATCAACACCACCACCACCAAATGTCGATAACCGAGTTGACAATGTCACCCTTGCTCTATTTTTAAAGTCAACATTAAAACAAGATGGAATCCATGATAAAAGATTTAAAGTATCAATATTTCCACCCAACCTACTCTCAGAATTAAATCAACATTGTCCATTATTTTTATTTAAAACAAATTAACAAAAACACAAAAAAAAAATAATTATATTAATTATTATTATTATATACATATTTATAAATTATTAATATAATTTTCAGCAAGTTTTCTGGCACAAAGTAATAATTCAAAGTTTTGGTAATCCTTTTCAATCATTCTCTCCTTGGTGTGACCAAGGTAATTATCCATATAGAAAATATTTCCCACTTCAACTCCAAGCGTAGCAATATTGGCTTTTGGTAGTGTCATTTCATTCTCACTTAATTCATCAAGAAATGTAATGGCTAAAATAGGATGTATCTCTACAAAAAAAACATAAATAAAAAAAATAAATGGTAAGTAAAAAAAAACAATTAAAAATATATATTTTTAAATTTACATACTATTTGATAAAAGTTCTCTAACTTTTGTTCTAATCATTGTAAAATCTGTAGAAGTTTCAGAAACAAAAGATTTAATAGATGCTACTAGAATACATCCATTTACCTTGTAGTTTGGATCGGTTTCTTGATAGAGTCTGGTTTCATTGTGACGGAACTGACCATTTAATAATCCACTTATCACTGGGGTTGTATCAGATTCGGTGTATCCCTTTTTATCTACAACAGTGACATTTAGGTTGTCAATGATATCTTTGATGAGGAGACTATTGAGTTTTGAGTTTTTTTGTAGGATATCACACATTGGAGTAAAGTTGAATGCATGAGTTCCATGTACAGCACCACAATTTGATGTAAAATATGGATATTTGATTTCTCTATCATGAAAAGTATTATAGATTCCATTGATAACTGTTGATTTACCAGACCCAGCTTTTCCATCAATCACCACAACCAATTGGAAATCAAAAAACTCTCCTGAAAACAATGCGGTTGGAATACTAAAGTAGCCCTGAGTTAAAACTTTGACCTTTTCATTTGTTGGGTCTTGGACAATTTTAAACTGAATGCGACTAGGTGGCATACGAGTGGCAAAAGTATTTTGAATTGGTTTGAGAGTAAACGGGATAGTTCTTGATTCATCTGGTTGGACTCCTTGTTCACCCAAACAAATGTTGACACCATAATAAAATTCATTTCTTCCAATTTGAAGATATGATTTTGGTGGAAGTGGTTTGTTTTCTGGTTTGATTGACATTTTCAAAACTACGTTTTCATTGAGTTTTTGGGCCTTGCTCTCTTGGTCCAAGATTACCTCAATGGAGAAATCACTGTTTTGTTGTTTAAATAATGTGGACAAGAGGTCATTCATTTTCAATGGATAAAAGATAGGACAATTATCCAATTGATTGCTAATGATTCCATTCTGGACCACAGCAAGTAAGTGTACAGACTGTGATTGAATGTTTCTAATGGATTTGAGTAGTCTTTGATTTGGACGAGGTGGCAAAGCATATGAAAACAATACAATGACTGGGTCTCCCTTTTGTGACGACTTGGGTCTGATTGATAATAAACATTGGTCCAATGATTCTGACACTGAATCTCCCAAACTTTTAAAAAGACATTTAAAAGAAGAGGCCATATCTATAGTTTGATTATGATTTGATTCATTTTTAAATTCTAAAAATTAAACAATCAATAAATTTGCTAAAACAAAAATATTATTTAAAGGTATAAATACTATTTAAATCAGATACCATATCATTTTTGGTTCTATTTAATGAAATTTCTCTTGGAGGGGATTTGTGTTGATGAACCAAGAGGTCAAAATGAACGTGGTTGGGTGAAGATTTAATAAAATCAAGTACAAAGACAATTTGTGATGCTAAATTTTGTTGATTTGTAATATCAAGTAGGATGATTACTTGGTTGGGTGATTTATCGTCATCATCACAGATGGTTTGACAATTGGTTGGTATTAATTGAAGTGGAATAGGTTCAAAATGTTCCATGATTGTTGGAATGAAAATTTGGAAAATTAATTTTTTGATAGAGAAGAAAAAAATATTTTTGATTTGAGAAGAATGATTGGTTAATAAATAAATATAAACCAATCAATTGTACTTTTATAATCCTTGATTTATTATTGGATATATCAAATACTCTCAAAATAATAAACCCCAATTGTTTTATTATTAAATTTTTGAGTCAACATTTTGGTGGTTTAAAAACAGTGTTGTTGCAAGTAGTGGTGGTTCTATTTATTTCATGGCCCTTTTCGATGGAAAGGGTAATCAAATGGCGTATGATAAAAATAACAATTCTATTCTTCAAAGGGGACTCTTTGTTAATAATCATTCAAATATTTATTCATTAAATTATTTTTTGATAATTCCAGTGATTATTCCAACCTAAAAATAATAAACCATCAACAACAAGACAACCAACAACCAAAATTAATAACAAATTCATAATCATTTTAAATGTATCAGTACAATGGATGCAATTAATCATAATTTTTTGGATATTATCAACGAGTTAAAAAAAGAAGTTTCTGATTTGAAAGAAACAATCAAAAAACAAAATGAAAGCAACCAAACAGCATTAGAACTATTAACAAAGAAAATAGAAAAAATTGAAAAAGAGCATGCTGATGGAAAAGATAATGATGACCATATAAAAGAAGACAATGTAGAACCATTATCGATCAAGTCTGGTATAGTTGGATTATTTTCCAACTTTTCAAACAAAACTGTACCAATTAAAAAAATATTAAATATTATTTTAAAAGAAGGAACTAAAGAAAAGAATGGCCTTTTAATTAAAAATATAAAAGGATTACTCAAAACATATAGTAAAGATATTCTTGGTGGTGAAGCAAATCAATATCATATCAAAGTGTATAATGGTGATAAACACAATGTAAAAAAAGATTTAAAGGGAGTTGTTATCTACTTGGTATCAATTTCAACTGCAAGAATAATCATGGATGAACATAGCCAAGAATTAGAAAAGATTAAAAAAGAGTTTATTAACTGTAGAATCATCATTGGAGCTTCGATCTATGGTTCAAATGCTACTCCAGTGGGAACCAACATTGATGGTATAGTTGATGGATGTTTATCATTTTTTTATATTTGTACTACAAATATAACCAACTCAAATGTTTATCCACTTGATAAAAATCAATCTGCTTTTAATATCATAAAGAATCATTTAATCAATTAATAAATATATTTTTAAAGTGACAATAACTATTATTTGTTTTTTTTATTTTATTTACAATTACAAGTGTTTATTTATTTACTTTATTCTCTTTTTGTGAGTCCATCTATGAGTTTAGGGCCTTGATTTTGTTTAGTTTCGGCATCCATCTTTAATAAACGTAATTTGTTCATGGTAACAGTCTTGATTCTCAACAACAAACGGAAAGAGGCATAATCCTTTTCAATGGATCTCTCTGTGGCACCCTCGACATAATTTTTGAGGTAGATAATGTTGGGGGCATGACCCAGCTTGGCTATATTTTGTTTTGGACCTTCCATTTCCGATCTTTCCAGCTTATCTGAAAAGGTGATAGCAATAATTGGTTCAATACCTAAAATATAAATAAATAAATAAATAATTAAATAAATATGATTAATATATAATTTAATTTATAAATGAAAACAAATTTGATTCACTTTTATATAACATACCTTCTTCCTTAATTTCCTTAATTCTTGCTAGGGTTTCCTCAAAGTTACCACTTACAAATGATTTGATAGAGGCTACATACACGATGCTATGGACTGCACATTCTCTATTGGCAGGCTTCTCCTCGTTGCTTCCGTGAATATACTTTCCTGCCAATAGATTAGCATAACTGATTTTAGTGGCTGATCGAGAAATACCTTGTTTGTCGACCAACAAGACATTCAATGACTTTTTAATGATTTTGAACAAGTCTAGATCGCGATGTGGACTATCCTCTAAATATTGGGCAAGATAACTTTTGATATTATAAAATTGAATGCATTTTGTGGTATGTGAATCTGTTGCGTTTGAACTAATTAAAAAATATAATAATAAATAATAAATAATTTTAATAACATGTCTTTTTAAAGTATGTATATTTATATATTTAACAACATACGTTAAAACTGGATGAACTACTGGTCCAGTCACAAACACGTTTACCACTTGATTGGTAGCCGCTGACTTACCAACACCTTGTTCACCATCGAGAGCAGCTTTTATATCAACCTTATTCTCTCCATCTTTTGTGATACCAAATTCCCCTACAAATAATACTATACATGAGAGTTAGAGATTGGGTATTATATTAATAATAAAATTTTAAATATTTATAAATTTATAAATATGTATGAATACATACCAGTAGGAATACCAAAATAGCCACTAGAAACAACAATGTGTGCTGGTGAAATAATACTAAATTTGATTTCATGGGGTGGCATTTCATTATCACCACCACTTCTGTCAAATGATCGGAGAAGGGTCAATGGAATCTTGAATCCTTCTCCCTCGCCAATTGGGACATCTTTTTCGATTTTGTAAGCCAATCCTTCATAGAAATGGTTCTTGGCTATTTGGATAGTGTAGCCTGGTTCCAATTTCGACTTGAGAGGTCTAAGATTAAACACGATTCGGACATCGTCTTGAAGAGTCTGGGGGACGGTGTCAATAGGAAGGGTTACACCAACTGATACTTCTCTGTTGTTATTGGCATTGTTGTGGTCTTGAAACAAGTCCATTTCTAACTTGGTGAATGAGAATTCGTTGAATTGCTTGACTAGAATAGCCTCTGTACTTGGTATGAGACTATCCTTGGGGTGCATGTTGACAATGTTGAGAGAAATTCCTTTTGCCATTAGGGTTTGGATAGAGTTGATGACAGCGGCATTCAAAAGAATCGATACATTGGTGGTAAACAGTATGATCACTGGATCACATTGGTCTGATTGTTTGGTATGGATGGAATCACCACAAATCTCCAATGCTCTAGCCAAGGAAGTGCAATAAGGATCCTTGCCCCATTGATAGATACCCATAATCGACCGATACATAGATTGAAAGTAACCAGGTTTTTCAACTTTTAATGAATCCTCTTTTGGTTCTATATTAAAATAGAGAAAGAGAAAAAGAAAAAGAGAAGAGAATAATAAATTAATATATGTACAGCAGATATATATGTATGTTTGATAAAGGATGGGGGGTGGTGAGACATACCAAGAGGCTAAAAATAGACTGTTTGTTTTGTTCGCTGGCCAATACCTGTTTTACCTCTTCGGCTGAAAAGCTAAACACAGAGAACATTTGTGATGAAGGAGATTTCTCTACAAGCTTTTGAATGTATGGACCGGATTGTGAAAGTAGTGACTTTTCATTCAATATCACAATTACACTTGGGAACTGTGTCGTGATGTGTGTAGGACAAACTACTGGTTGTGACATATTTCTAATGACTATAGATTAAATTTAAATATATATGTATGTATATATAGGATGTGTGATATGTGATATGTGTATTGAGATTCAGAAACAAACAAATAAAAAGATGCTTATTTGTTTGGTGAACTTGATGAATGAAGAATGATGAACGATCGTTGTGCTGTTGATCTCTATATAATTTGTGTATGTGGGAGAGAATCAAATTTTTAGGGATTCTTCATTCTGTTACCTTCGAGTGATACCATCACAAACCTTTGGTAATGACTTGATTATTTACTTCTTCTTGGGTTCAGCGAAAAATAAAATGAATTAAATTTTTAATAATCAAATTTGGATCAACCCAACCATTCCAACAAAAGCTTTGAATCTCAAGAATGATTCATACCCTCGTACATCATTGCCTATTGATCAATCTTCATTAGTAGATAATAACAAAAGAGACAAGTAGAGAGAGAGAGAAAGAGAGAGAAAGAAAGAGAGAAAGAGATGGATACACTATCACCATCATCATCATCACTGCTAGAAAGAGTAGAAGAAGAGAATAAAGAATTAAGAAAACTCATTGACGACATACATACGAGGATGTGCACTATAGAACAAGAAAACAAGTCATTGAAAGACACTGTAGAAGAGCAACAAGCAAATTTGTATTGTTTGGGTGATAAATACAAAATACTAAATGAAAGAACTAAAACACTTGAACGCACTATACCATCACCAACATCATCACCTATAGTACAAAATAATCAACATACCAAAGGAGGAGAGCCCTCTACTTCAACTTTTGGTTATTTGAGTAATCTCTTCAACTCTACCATGACCGCTCCACCAAACAAATACCAAAAATCCTCTTCATCCTCTTCATCAGCACTAACAACCAATAATAATAATCCTAATCCTATTAATAATAATATAACAACAAATCTTTCACCAATTAGAATTATATTATCAAGGCCTAGTCAAGGTTTTGAAAAAGGATCGATTGATAAAATACAATATTATCTAAAGACAAAAGTACATTTGTATATGTTGAACAAGTCAAACATTAATTTGTTGGATTTTAATGTTGTGGAGCATGAACAACTTGCAAACAATCCACTCAATGCCATAACCAAAGGTGTATGTCTGTATATGGTTGGTTTTAACAGTGCAAGAATCATATTTGATGAACATCTTGATCATATCAATAAGCTACGCGTACAATACCCATGTTGTAAAATAGTATTGGGTCTATGGGTGTATGGCGCTAAATCAGAGCCAATCCAATTAGATACCAATAATGCTACCGACCAAGTCCTAACTTTAATCCACTCAAATGGTTCAATGGTTGATGAAAAGTGTGCACATGCTATAGAAATAATAAATAATTTAATTCAATCTAATAATCAAAGACAAGATAAATAGAAAGGCAGATAGATGTATGTTTAAATGATTAATTATACAAATTGTTTATTTTATAATTTGAAGTCAAAGCAATTGCTTTGGCTTTGTACTTTTTACTGTAGCTAAAAAAAAAAAAAATTAGTATTTTTTAAAAAATTAATGAAAGACAAAGAGTAATGAGATAATTAAAATCGTAATGATTAGATAAATTTGGGTGGTGTTGAAAAACACCTTTTGAGTGATATTAAGCACTCAACGTTGGGCATATGTGGCGTATGCTACTTGTTCATTTAAGAACGTTCACCACGGATTCTCTTGGCGAGTTGGACATCCTTGACCATGATAGTGACACGCTTGGCATGGATGGCACATAAATTGGTGTCTTCGAAAAGACCGACAAGGTAGGATTCAGAGGCTTCTTGGAGGGCTTGAATGGCAGCGGCTTGGAAACGAAGATCAGTCTTGAACTCTTGGGCAATCTCTCTTACAAGACGTTGGAAGGGCAACTTCTTGATGAGCAACTCTGTGGTCTTTTGGTAACGACGGATTTCACGGAGTGCGACGGTACCTGGACGGAAACGATGGGTCTTTTTGAGACCGGCAGCGTTGTTGGAGGGATACTTGGAGGCGGACTTGTTTGAAAGATGCTTACGTGGGACTTTAGCACCAGTGGATTTACGAGCGGTTTGTTTAGTACGGGCCATTTTTAATGATTGTTGTTTGTTGGAATAAACTTTAAAGGATAGTGTGTTGAGAGATGCTGTTATGCTGCTTGTTGTTTGCTTGGGTTGATTGCTTGTAGTAGTGAAGAATATCACAGGGGTTGTTTTTTTGTTGGATACAAAGAAATTAATTGAGTGATTTGAAAAACCCAAAATTCATTCTTAAATACCGTGGTGAGCTTCATCAAGCTGCGCGCCATTTTTATAATTTTTACAGTTTTTTCGAAAAATCCATCAAAAAAATTAACCAAAACATAGACATTTCTCATTCTTCATTCAAATTCAAAAATTTTCCCCCTTAGAACAAATTTTAGCTGTTGGAAGACGACGAGGAGCGTACCTCAATTTTAGCGGTTAAGGATTGATAGGTCTCCTTTAGTCAACCGTCGTTTTTCAGATGTCGATCCTTGGTAGGGTGGGCCAAGATCAAGATGCGTCGACGTAAATGTAATGTGGGCGATGATGATGATCATCACACAAATAAGATAGACAAGAAAGATTGATTATAATATTGTAATTGTAGAATTCTATTTTTATTAATTTATATACCTCTTATGGTATTAAATTTGTATTAATAATAATAATGATAACTATTATTATTATTATTATTATTATTATTATTATTATTATTATTATTATTATTATTATGATTTATAAACAAAGTTTAATTTATGTCCCATTTCGATTGGTTGATTGATCGATGATTATTATTATTATTAATGGTAAAGTTACTTAAAACTACCAGGTAAAGTTTGAGTTCTTTTAAGTTGAGTGAATGATGTTTGATAGTTTGTTGTTGAAGTTGTTTGTTGTTGATATTGTTGTTGTGTTGGCAACAATGATGATTGCGATGGTTGTGATGGCAATATTGGTTTTTGTTGTGGTTGTCCTCCTTGTTGTTGTATAGTATTCATTCTAAAAAAATAAATAAATAAATAAATAAATAAATAATATTAATTAATTAATTTTTAGTATATTATATTCATCATATTATTTGGTTTTAAAACATAAACACATACCTATTTTGATCAATATTTTCTTTACCAGATGATTGATGTTGTTGTAACAATAAAATTAATTGTTGCTCCTTTTGAAGTAATTGTTGTTCTTTTTGAAGTAATTGTTGTTCCTTGAGTTGGAGATTATTCTCACGTTCCACAACAACTCTTTCTCTTTGTCTCAACTCGTCTTCTACTTGTTTCATATTTTGGTACATTTGGTTGATTTTCTTCTCCTTGTATCTCAATGCCAATGGAGCAAATGTATGCAATAAATCATGTACAGATGGTCTTTTATGATTCTAAACAAAATAATAATAATAATAATAAAATAAATATTTATAAGTATACAAAGTTTAAATAGTAGTAGTAGTATACTATACTATAATATGTGTGTGTGTGTCTACATACATCAAGAGTCATCATTTTAGAAATAACATCAGATAAATCTTTGGAATAGTAATTTGGAACTGGATCGTAAACACCTTGTTTAATCTTATCATACAATTGGTTATGTGTAACTGCTTCATGGAATGGTGGTCTAGAAACAAAAGAGAGAGAGAGAGAGAATAAGAATCTTAAAAATGTCAAGTATATAATATATATTTTAACATACTTGAAAGTAGCCATTTCATAGATGAGACAACCGACCGACCAAACATCGGATTTGTCATTGTATGGCTTTGAATAGATTTGTTCTGGACTCATGTAATGTGGTGTTCCGACAAAAGTTTGAGCATGTTGAGCACCACCAGTGAGGATCTTTGCCAATCCAAAATCACCCAACTTGATGTTACCACGGTCATCCAAGAACAAGTTACCAGGTTTGAGATCACGATGTAAAATGACTCCATCCTTTCGGTTGTGAATCTCATGCAATGCAGACAAGATTTGAAGTAATGTTCTCCAAATTACTTCTTCTTCAATTGGTTGACTAGAGAGAGTGAGAGAGAGAGAGAAAGTCAAGACAAATAAATAAATGTTAGATATTACTCTCTCTCTTTCTTTAAGTTATATAAATATATATATATATATATATTTTAACATACCGATCACTTTTACACTTTTGAATGAGTTGACCAAGATCACCACCTACACAGTACTCCATGATGATGTATATTTTGGTTTGATGAGCATCGATGATACGGTCATAGTATCTTACAATGTTTGTATGTTTCAACTTTTGAAGAATGTTTACTTCGTTGACCAAGAGTTGCTTCTCCTTTTCCTTCATCTCTCCATAATTGATTTCTTTCCAAACTAATATCTAGAGATAGTAACAAACAACAAGAAGAAGAAGAAGAATAGTAGTATTAGTTAGTATAATCATAATTTGATTAAAATGAATGAATAATACAAACTCTTCCATCTTCCTTTCTTTTAATCTTTGATACACAACCAAATGATCCTTTTCCTAAATAACCAACATGTTCGTATTTATCCATTTTCCACTATCTCTTATCTATCTTTCTTTCTTTCTATTCTCTCACTCTTTTTTAAACAAACAAACAACAAATAAATTAAAAAATAATTGAGCGTCAAGCTTGACAGAGTAAAGCATGGTTTTCCCTCCCTTCAACGGTGAAAAATTCAAATTTTCAAACACACAGATTCTTCTCTCTTCTGTTCTGTGTAACAGAGTGTTTACTACTTACTACTTGTATTGATCAATATTAATAGTATCTTCTCTAGATTCAACAATGATTACATCAACATCATCACCATTTATTACAAACAATGATAATGGTAAGAGAATGAAGAGGAAGAGGACATGGGTGATGATCGACGACTAACCTCTCTCCTAACATAATAATCTGTCATCATCAATATTATTATTATTATTATTATTATTATTATTATTATTATTATTATTATTATTATTATTATTATTATTATTATTATTATTATATATGTATCTAGAATCAGGGTTTATTGAAAAGGAATTAACAGTAATAGACGATGGATTAGTATCATCTTACAACAATGAAATGAAGAGTGATATTATGAAAGAACTAAAAAAGATTGTCAAAGAGATTGATAATGATCAATGGATGTATGATTCATCAAGTCCAATGTAAATAGTAGTCGTAGTAACTTTGAAAACAATTTAGTCTTCAACTATATCTTTTACGGTTCACTATAAAGTACTGTTACTTTATTTGTGACGATGATGGCGCAACAAATAGTTAGGGTTCTTCATCAACCTCTGCAAACGATAAACAAATGATGATACAAACGATGTTTGTACTACACTAACTACTACACTTATCTAATTTATGCTCCATCATTCAACTATAATTAAATAAATAATCATTACTATCATACTTCTATACCTTTGTCGTCAGACATCATCAGTTCATCGGTTGTAGACCTCAGTTTGCGAAAAAAAATGCACGTCCTTATTCAAATTTGATTTTTTTTAAATTTTTTGTCGATTTTGCACGAGAGTGTCAGCAGCTGGCATGCCTTGAACGCGTTTTGTATGAGAGTATCCTAGGTTTCGTAGACAACACATTAACAGAGAGGAAAATGACCAAGTAACTATTTATCCATCTATCACTATCAGTAGTAGATATCATATATAGCGATGTAACTAACATATCCTTCCTTCCCTACCCCCTACTCTATCACTTATCACTTATCTTATCACTATTATTAAAGGTTATACACTAAAGGCGTTGTTTTGGGTTACAGAAGGTAAATACAGAAGATAGAAGATTAGAGTCGCGATTACAGGATAGTACAGTCACTTATACATCAATCTATTACATTTTTAGATCCAAGGTTTCCCAATACAACAACATCTCACTCGTCAAGATCGAAGGTGTTGTTACCCGTAAGGATACCCGTTACTACTTAGGTAAGAAGGTTGCTATTGCCCGTCGTGTCAAGCAAACCGAAAAGAACCCAAAGGGTGTCAAGATCGTCTGGGGTAAGATCTGCAAGCCACACGGTAACAGTGGTGCCGTCCAAGCTCGTTTCTCCAAGAACCTTCCACCAAAGGCTATGGGTGCTAAGCTCCGTGTTATGATGTTCCCATCTGCCATCTAAATGCGTAATGTTTAGAAAATAAATACTTGTTTAATCCTCAAAAATTATATATAACGCGCTAGAAACAAATATATACACAGTCAAATCAAAGTAAAGTAACTTGGAGTAATCAACAAAATAACACAAAGCAAGCTCGATATTTTTGATTTATTTGTATGATTATGATGGAAGAAGAGAGAGAGATTTATATATGATTTTCTTTCTTTTTATTGTTGTTGTGTTTGACTGTATTTGTGTTTTGTTTGTTTTTAAGAGATAACAAACACATAACACACAATTAAAATAACACTGACGAAAAGTCATTGATTATTTATTTAATCATGATTATGATGATTAATCATAATCAGTCAAAACCGAGTAGAGCGTGTGTGGAAACTGATATTATAATATTATAGTAGTATTTCCTCAATAATAAAATAAATATATAAATAATAATAATAATAATATATTCATTGTTGTATTTAATATATAGTATAGTTTTAAAGAACTAAAGAGAGAGAATTTAAGAAAATGGGGTTTGTTAGTGAGAATAATATGAAATATATAAAGTCATCCATAAAGAGAAATAAATTTAGATTATGGTTAAAGAGTAAAAGGTATGTACATACACCTTTTGACAACAAAGAAACATTCAACACAATATTAATTAAATGTTAAATATTAGCCCATTTCCATGGATTATAATATTTTCATTAATTGCAAATGTGCCAATACTATTATCAATGTTAATATTGGTACCAATGAGATGGTCAAATCAATGTAGTTATCTATCAGGATTTTTGGTATTGTACATGGGAGTATTTGCAATCAATCTATTATATTCCTTTTATTTCCATAAAACTATGAAACAGAAACGTCCTCGTTCATGTATCACTGTTGCCGAGGATTGTGGATTATCATCGTTTTTCCTCTTTACCTCATTATCAATTATATTATTTATTATTTGTGAATTCCTGAGACGTGGTACTGAATTTTCTCAATGTGTAAGTAGCCATAAATAATTACATTCATTCAAGTCCATACATACATATTAATCTACCTTGTCTTTATATATATATATATATTTGTATATTTTAGTATCAAACCAATAGTGGTATTTATCATTTGTTAAGAGGTGCACAAGGAATGGATATATTCTTTTTGGTTGGATTCCATATCATCAGTTTCCTAAATGTATGTTGTAGTTGTTACAAAGCTAAAGGTGCAATGAAAAGAGCACTACCATTCTCCTCAGTTGTTGAACCATCGGTCAAGAAACCATCATCAGAATATGAAGATTCCTATGATAATCCAATTAGAAAATAAACAAATAGTAGTAGTAGTAGTAATAGTAATAGTAGTATTTGACCAAACCAAACTAAACCAGAGTGAGAGATTGTTTTAAAAAAATATTAAATTATGTTTTAGTTAAATTGATTGTTGTTGTTGTTGTTGTTGATTTTTAAAAGGTTGTCCATCCATAAGTGTGATTTAAGATAACCATTTGTTCTTCTTTTGAATTGAAAAGTTTGTTAATGAATCTACAGCATCTTCTCTTGCACTATAATAATAATAATAATAATAATAATAATAATAATAATAATAATAATAATAATAATAATAATAATAATAATGTAGATGGTTAGTATCCAAAATGTTTTGTTGTTGTTGTTGTTGTAAGAGTAGTTTGTTTGTTTGTTTGTTTGTTTGTTTCACATTAACTTACGATTCTCTTAATTCATCATAATTATCAATTGTATATGTAAGGAATTGTCTCCAACGAAGACGTTCAACTCTACGTTTACGAAGGAAAAGAACACGAGATTGTTTCATGTGTCCTGGATAGTCAAACTTTTCATTCTCGTGACTGCTGTCATAACCACCTTCTGGTCCAGCCTCACCATTGACATTCAGATCCAATTCTTGGTCTTCCTCTTCAATGTCTTCGATATCAAACTTCATATCATCGAATTCGTCTGGGTCGGCTCTATCCATATCGTTCTCGTCGATCTCGTCGTCATCCAAGATCTCATTTTCTTCGTCTTCGTCTTGCATGTCGTACGATTGAGCATTCCACTTTTGTGAAATGTCTGAACGACCCAACTCTGAAAGATCTCCATTCTTTGTAATAAAGAATGGTCTTGGTGTTCTTCTAACAAATTGTTTAATGAATTGTATCTTTTTTGTCATTCTCTTTCTCTATCTATCTATATATTCTACTTGTTTGTTGTGCGTATTGTATTCGTATTGTGTTGTTGTACAGTTGAATATATTGTAATCGAAAGGATGAGGTTGATGAAGAAAAGGGAATATAAATATATATACAAAGATGTGTAAGGAAGGGGCAACGACGATGATGATGATCTTAATTAAGGTACCTATGCTGTCTGTCTCATTCACTGCAAGAAACGAATGATCACTCACACCATACTAAAAAAAAATTAAAAAAATGAAAAAAACTGTAGTTCCATGTCTTTTGGGAAAGAGAGATAGACATGCCCTAATGAAAGAGTTTTGATAGGGTATGACTCATTAAAAAAGACAAGACAAACCACTCTCATTATGTGTGATCTTGAAAGAAGTTGAAAAGAGTTTAAAACAAGATAAAGAGAGAGAGAGATATACACACATCCTTTATCCAAATGTTAAACAGAAGCATTAGTAGGACTACAACTTTATTCAATATTAATATTAATAGTAATTGTATCAAACAACATATTCTTAATAATACAAACAAGACAGAAGATTCTTGGAGGAGGAGTTTATCAACAACAACAACAACAACAACAACAACAAGATATCAACATCAACAACAACAACAAAAACATAATATACTTTTGCATCATTATAGTAATAATATCAATAATTTAGTAGGAAGAAGAATGTTGTCAAATGATAGTAATAGCATTCAACAACAAACAACTGTAAATAACAATAGTAGTAATACAGAGTTTTTAAACAACATTGATAATAATCAACAACATCAATCAAGTGTTGACAAGAATCAAAAAGAAGAAGAGTTGAAAAACAAAAAGGGTTCTGTTCATGGTCGTACATTTGAAGATGCCATCGAGAAACTCTTTTCAATGCAGTCAAATCAAAAGACTGTAGAGTCTTGGGCAACATCAAGATTAAATGAAAAGAATAATAAGGATAGTAATAATAATCAAGGAGGTATAGGGTTTGATATTATGAGTGAGGTTAGAGAATATTGTAAAATTTTAGAAATTGATGTATGTGTGATTGCTTAAACTAAAAAAAAAAAAGAGAGAAAAGATATTAATATAGAATATTAATATTATTTTATTTATGTTTATGTTTAGTTGGAAAAACCATCAGTAATTCATATTGCAGGTACCAAAGGAAAAGGATCAACTTGTGCAATGGTTGAATCAATGATTAGAAACCAAGGATTTACAACTGGTCTCTTTACATCTCCTCATCTCATTTCACCAAGAGAAAGAATTAAAATCAATGGTGAAATGGTTTCAAAAGAAGTATTTACAGAGAATTTTTGGTTTTGTTGGGATCGTTTATTATCAAAAGATTTTGTATGTAATTATTTAAAAAAGGAAAATGATGATGATAAAGATGAAGAAGATGGAAATATTAATTAATTAATTATTTATTTGATTTTTAGCAATTTATGGTATTTTTTAGATTTATTACAATGTTGGCATTGAGAATATTCCAACAATTAAATGTTCAATGTACTATATTGGAGGTTGGTATTGGAGGTAGAATCGATTCTACCAATGTTTTTCCAAAGCCAACAGTGACTGCTATCACTGCATTGGGATACGACCACATGAATGTATTGGGTAATACGTTGGGAGAGATTGCGAGTGAAAAGGCTGGAATCATCAAAAAGGGATGTCCAATATTTACAGTTGATCAATTACCCGAAGCGATGCAAGTCATCGAGGACACTTCAAAACGAGTAGATGCTCCTTTGAATGTTGTCCCTGATTTTGGGTCGTATCATTTAACCGGACCGATCGGATTAGAAGGTGATTTCCAAAAACAAAACTCGGCACTTGCCATCGCAGTTTGCAATGCATGGCTAGTTAACAGCAAACTAACATCAAAGGAACAGTTGGACACCATCTTTTCAGCCAGTCCTTCATACAAGGATTATAATGTGGATGTAAATAATTACCAAGCATCCTATTTCACACCACTTCCACTTGGGATTCAAAAGGGACTTGAAAAAGTCGAGTGGCCAGGACGTGCCCAAACACTAGTCTCCAAGGACAACCCGCTCGTTCAATTCCATCTAGATGGTGCACACACCAAAGAAAGTGCTTTGGTTTGTTTGGATTGGTGGAAAGAAAAGTGTCATGACAGTGACATGGCAACAACAGAATACATACTCATTTATAATTGTACAGGAGGACGTAATGCTGGTGTCTTTTTAGAACCATTTACAGAGTCTATTGAGAGGGGTGAGATACCAGCCTTTTCACAACTCTTTGTTCCACACCTCGACAAGACCAATACACACATCTATTCCAAAGGAACGACCGACGACAACAACATATCAATCGAACAAACTATCGCTGCCAAGTATATCGAATTATCACCAACTCGACCAAACAAAGTTTATGATTGCATCGATATCCCAACAACAGTCCAAACCATATTGGATTATAGTCGAGACAATAATGGAAAGAAAATCAAAGTTTTGGCAACTGGATCTCTTTATATTGTTGGTGGCGTATTACAAAGTGTTACTAATCAATCTGATCAATATTTATAATATCAAATAATAATAGTAATAAAAACAAAAAGACATAATATAATATAATTATATTTTTGATGATAGATATATTTTTTTTTGGTATTATATATATTTATATAAAAATAATTTTAAAATTTATTTATTTATATAAATACTTGATTTTCTCCAAGAAAAACCAAGAATGGGCAAATTAATTTGCTCGTGGAAAAAAAGAAGAGGATACCAATGAAAATGGATATGGGTAGGGCAGGGATTGCCTTTTTGTAAACGATCAATAGAATAAGGGTAATAAATAGACCTGTCAGGATGGCAACAAAGCATGCAAATATGGTTCCAAGATCATACAAGGCTGCTCTTCCAAGTAAAACAGAGTAAAAGACCAAGTCTCCCAAACCCAATTGTATTTTTGTACTATAATTAACTAAATTATCTTTAAATATTCCAGAAAGAAGAACAACTTTGAGATTAGAAAAATAGAGAAAAGAATAGAAGTAGAATGAAGGAAAGAGTAGTTGGAAAAGAAAGATAGAGTATATGATTATGAAAGGGGGGGTAATATAATATAATAAAATATTAGATATTAACAAAATCATTTTTAAATTATCATCGTCAGAGTTCTAATGGTGGTGTGTGTTTGTGTGTGTGGATATCTAGGTGATTGTGAATTGATTTGATTCTTACCTTCCATTGGTGTATCTGAGGGTTCTGTTGATAATCCAGTTGAAATACTTGAACTTGAAGTTGATTTTTGAATATCTTCAAGAGATGATGATGAAATATTATTTTGATTATTAATATTATTAATATTTTTGTTTCCTTTTTGTTTGTTCCATTTTAATTGAATTGTGAGTTGTATTGTTGTTACTACTACTACTACTACTACTACTACTACTACTACTACTACTACTATTACTACTAGTATCACTCATAGTATCATCATTGGTTGTGGTTTTAGTAGTAGGAGTAGTATTGTTTTTGGATGAGGCCATTCCAATTGAAACACTTCCATTGTAAACCAATGCAGGTATTTCATCACCTCTTTCTTTTGCCAAGTCTATCAGTTTTTTTAATGGTCCGCCTGGGGATAAAACTGTAAAAATATCATACAAGGAGACAATGGTAAGAATGGACCAAGTTGACCATTCTGGCATTCTTGAAATAAAAATGGCCATCAAAGAACTAATAGATACTAGATAGGCACGAGTCAAATATTGAGGACAAAACCAAAATAAACAAACCATTCCACCTGCACTAAAATTCCAAACAATAAATGAAAATGTAAAATAATCTAAACCAACATTTGCGTAGGTCATTAATAAACTAAAAAAAAAGAATAAAAAAAAAGGTTAATAAATAAATAAATAAATAACTTAAATATTCTATATATATTTCTCTCTTTTCTTTTCTTCTTACATGAATAAAAAGCCTCCAAAAACACCTAATAATAAAATAGATGTTGCCATTAACCAACCGTATAATGCCTTCATAAATTTAAAATAATACAATGCAAACATGATAACTGAACTAAGAAAGATGATTCCAACTAGGATAAGAGAATTGATGATGGTTCCCCAAACTAGAGTTTGAGTTGCTGGATCTTCTCTAACGTCGTATTGGATCAGCGGAGAGACACTCTTGAAATTTCTAGCTTCTTCTGATAATCTAACAGCCGATATAACAATGGCCATGGATATAGATACTGGTAGTGCTATTGAGACCATAGCTTTTGAATATTCTTTGATCGATGGTAGTTCTCCTTCATGTCCATACTCTAGGACACCAAAATCTACATCATAATTTTTGCTGTTTTCAGAGTGGTCATTGTTACGATTTGTACTTTTCATTCCACCGGCGCCACTCATAAATGAAAATGACGAAGACAGAGATGGAGTTGATGAATTTGGGGTCGTAATAAAAACTGGTTGATTTGGTGAAGAACCATTCTCCAATTTTGCTCTACTTGGTGATATATATATAAAACTATTACATTCTCTTTCGTAATGTAGTGAATCCTCTGATGAATCTGATGAATCTGAATAATCATCTTGATTATTATTATTGTTATTATTATTATTATTTGTATTGTTGTTATCTTCGGCGGTTTCATTATTTATCGTTATTTCATGATGTGGTATAGTATTATCATTATTATTATTTGTATTTGTATTGGAATTGGTAATATTGGTATTGTCAGAGTCGGTCTCATTTATATTATTATTATTATTATTAGTTTTACAATTATTTTCGTCAAGTATATTGTTATTGTTGTTGGTTTCATTGTTTGCTGTTGTTGTTGTTGTTGTAGTAGTAGTATCCAATATATTTGATACTTGATGAGACCCTGATAAAGTATCAGGAGGCGAATCGTTTTCTTGATGATTGATCATTGTTTTTGTTTGTAACAGGAATTAAATTTGAATATTGAAAATAGAAATTAATTTCTTTTACAACCAATGAATGAACTGATGATAGTGTTGTCTATTGTTAAAAATCATTTGACAGAGTTCTATAAAATAATACTCTCTTTTCTAAAATAGATCAATGGATTTTTTGTAAGTAAAGGGTTCAACAATAATGTAAAAAAAAAAAAAAATGGTAGAATGACAAAACCTCAAAAAAAAATACAAACTCTTATCTTATTTGTTGTTGCTGTTGGGGAACAAAGATAGGAAGGAATATTGTATATACAAATGTCTGAAACACAAAAAGGACAGACCAGGTGAATGCTATCGCTAAACAAAACTTGGATTGAGTAGTAGTAGTACTGTTGACTAAATTGTAGTAGTGGTTATATATTATATTACAAACAAACAAACAAACTGGATGTGAAAATAAAAAAAAAATAAAATGATTTTTGATATTATACAAATAATACAAATTATTATTGTTGTGGTCCAATTACTACTACTGTAATTGTTTGTTTGTCTGGGTTGATTGATTGATTGATTGATTGATTGTTTAACTGAGAGGTGGAAGGGGGTGATCAGTTTGAATTAATATCTGTTTTGTAGATTCTTATTACTTTTTAACATAAACTTGTATATTGTTCAGTGATTATCGATGCAACAATAAAAAAAATAAATGGTAAATTATGATGATGATGTGTATGATGATGATGATGATAATGATGATGATGTGTGTTTTGATTTCTTTGGGAAAAGAGGATGAGGATGAGGAGGGATGGTTTTATTATTCTTACTGCCTGGAACTATGAATACCTCCAACAACCAACCACTGCAGGAGAGTGAGAGTAGAGGAAATAATAATAATAATAATAATAATGATAATAATAATAAACAAAGAGGATGGATTGATGGCACAGGTCCCAATAATAAACAAGATTGATTATTGATGATAATATGAATTTGTTTGTTTAAAAAAAATAGTGTACACTGACTAGAGTGTAGGAGAGAATAAGTGTGTTTGTGTGATTCTGTCTGACAAGTGATCGGTCGGTTCCTTCCGGTCGACCGTACACCCCTTCCCTTGTCCCTTTCACTTGGTTATTATACTGCTTATAGTAATTAACAAGCATAAAACTAGTTTACTCCATATCATATGTGTGTCCCTTTGTGGAAATGTACTGTCCCAACGCACAAACACACTGAATTGATACAATCGATTGATTGGATTATAGATTGTTTTGAATTCAATTGGAGTATCATGATACAAACATAACATATTAAATCAAATATTTGGTGACTACACAATTAACTAATTAATTGGTGTTCTAATAATAATAATAATAATAATAGTGATAAAAATAATTATTATTATTTTAGATCTCTTTTGTGTGATGGTTGAATAACAAAGAGTAGTAGTAGTGGATGGGGGTTAACAATTGACAAAAAGAGATAGTATTATTAAAGTATGTGGGTGTGTATGTGTCAGTCAGTCAGTCGCCGTTGGGGGTTTGCGGAGTGATGATATCCAAAAGATTGATTTATCATTATTTTGTTATTAAAATTAATCTATCAATATGTTGTTGATAATTATTCTACTCTCAGTCAATGTGCGCCAGCGTATTATAATAGAACGACAGTACAGTACATCCGATTCGGATCACCTCTATCCATAATAATTAATTAATTTATATGTGTGTCACAGGAGTCAAAGTTGATCAAATTCCATCCATAATAATAATGATAATAATAGTAGTTGACGATTAACAGATTGGATAATTGAGTGGTTGGTTGGTTTGATAATTGATTTGGTGTGGTACTGTCCAACAACATTGGAGGAGAAGGAAGGAGATGGGGAAAAATAGATTTGTACATTATTATCAAAACCAACCAAAATAATAATTGCAAATTTTGATTTGTAAAATGATATCATGTGTGTGTGTTGTATTGTTGTAGATAAAAACTAGCTAGCTATCTAGCTATCTAGCTATCTATTCCTATATATCTGTATTTACTTGTTGGTTGTTGTTGTAGATCGAGACGACTTTTTGTTTTAACAGCAACTACTTTTTTTTTTTAAGCTTTGATTGTTGTTGTTGTTGTTGGTGGTGTTATATTCATATTGATTGCAGTCGGTGCTGTTGTTGCTTGAAATTATAAAATAATTTGGTCTTGGAATGGATTATACTAACTCAGAGTGAGGAGAGGAGAGGTGAAGAGAGGTGAGGAGAGGTGAGGAGAGGTGCTAGTGTAGTGGTGTCCGCCGCTAGCCAGCCACCAAACTGAACTGATGATTAACTAGTTAATCAGTTTTAAAATTAAATTAAATTGATCGTCAATCACCATCATCACTCTGGTTGCAATTGCAAATGTTTGTTTGTTTGTTTGTTGTTTGGGTTGATTGATTCAAGGTAGGTACAATGTTATGATTGATGAGTCTCTCATGATCGTTCGATTGAATTTCCAGCAACTGCTACTCACTCTCACTTTCACACACAAGAGTGTGTTGAACAATAAGAATAACCCTAACCCTAAACCAACTCCAACCACCCAACACACAATCAATCAGTTAGCTTTTATGCAGATAGATACCTACGCTACGTGTTTGTTGTTGCACTTTAAATCACAACCAAGATGTATGAATGTTGTGTTGGTTGACGGCAATAATAAATAAATACATACAGTATAATATTGTTTGTTTGTACTTGTACTACTACTTGATTGTGAGGGTAAGAGTAAGTAAGTAAGGATGTTGGTTTGGTCAATTAGGAGGAGGAGGAGGATAGAAAGATATAAATAAATGCATACAGATATTAAGATTGGATGAGAGATAATGAATGTGAATGGTTTGGTTGTTTGTTCTACTCTTCCTCCTCATCATCTCATCGCATAGAGTACTCTAGGCTGAGAGAGAGAGGAAGAAAGAGAAGCTACCAACTAGCTAGCTAGTCTGACTAATGAATGTAGTGGTAGGTGCACACCTCCCCCATGAATAATCATTCTCAAATGTAGTTTTAATCGTCTACCCACTACTGCTACACACTGCTACACTACACAAACCTCCAAGACTGTGTAGAGAGGAGAGGAGAGAGAGGGGGTGGTGGTGCGTAAAGAGGAAGGGTGCATAGGTGTATGCGTGTGTTTATCGGTATTATCTCTTTTTTAATAACAAACTTGTCGTTTTGAACAAAGCTGCTAATGAATGAGTGACCAGGCTAGTATTCCCACGACTTTTCATTCATTTGTTTGAACAATTTCAAACATAAAAAGACAATATTACATGTATCTTGTGGGTTGTATCATATCACTATCGAATAATCACCAACCACAAAACACGCATATCATATCATACACATATCTTGTTAATATAGCACAACATACATTAGTATCATAAAAACAAGAACAAGAAGTTTGATTTGGTAATATCGGCAATAGCTATTGTAGTTTTCAATCTCATCCATCTCTCTTACTCACTCACTCACTCTTTTCAAATAGTAGAGGTATCTATCTATCTATATTATACGTTAAGACTGTTCAAATAGCAGCAACGTATCTTTTGTTTGGATAAAGAAACATCACTCTCTCTTGTGTGTATTCCTTAAAACACCAGTAGTGGACCTAACCTACCTACCGACTTGCACTTTTCAACAAGAGAAGGGACTCTCTCTCTCTTTATTTCATTGGCGAATCAACAACATAACATCAATTAATTAATCAATATCATGGGTGCTATATTTTGTCATCCTTCTGAACGATCATATAATATAAATGGTAAAAGATATACATGCTCAAGGTTATTGGGCGAAGGTGGATTTTCTTTTGTCTATTTGGTAAAAGGTATGTATGGTTGAAAGACACATATATATATATGTGTACCACCGGTGGTACCTCTTCACTCATCTAATAATTATTATTTGAATTAATTAATATTCAACAACCTCAACAACAAGACAGTAGCGGTAAAAAGTATGCTTTAAAATCAATGTTGTGTCAAACTCCAGAATCCTTAAATGTTTGTATTTATAAATAGATAATTAAATATATTATTATATTTAATATCATTATGTAATTAATTATTTTATTTTTTGTTTTGTTATGTAGGTAGCAAACAAAGAAGTAAATTTATTAAGACAATTAAATCATCCAAATATAATTAAAGTGATTGATAGTGATACGATCAATTCTGTACAGTTGGACTATGCCAAAGAGGTATTGATATTGTTGCCATTCTGTAAAGAGGGAACTTTACAAGATGTATTGGATAAACAGAGAACCGTCAATGGAAAGAGTTGTATGATATCAGTGTTTACACAGGCAGAGATTATCAACATTTTCCAACAACTATGTCAAGCAGTGTTGGTGTTGCACAGTCTCCAACCAACACCACTAGCACATCGTGACTTGAAACCTGGCAATATTCTTTTGGAAGGCGAAAATAACAAACCGATACTATTGGATTTTGGATCAGTTTCAGAGGCACGCATCAATGTAGAGACGAGAAAGCGTGCATTAGAGGTACAAGAGGATGCAGAGCAACATTCTACGCCAATGTACCGAGCACCCGAGCTATTTGATGTAGCAACCAATTGTACTATAGACGAAAGAACAGATGTTTGGGCGTTGGGTTGTATACTCTACGCAATGGCATTTAACAAATCACCATTTGAAGCTGACGAATCTTCAAGTGTCGCATTAAAGGTTGTAAGTGGTCAAATCGAAATACCACCCAATCACAAATACTCTCAGCCATTTATTCAACTCATTCATAAAATGCTTTCACATTCTATATCCAATAGACCATTTATAAATCAAATTTTAATTGATTTAAGTTCAATCAATTAAAACAAGGTAATAAGTAATAATATAAAATACAATATACAATGTAAAATTATAATAATTATATATATATATAGTTTGTTTGTTTTCTTTCTTGTTTTTTTCTTTGGTTGTAAATAATAACCAAATCATTTTAATTTAATAATAGTATTGAATCAAAGGTGAGGAATTATTTTCATAATACTGTAAGTGATGGATTGATGAGGATGACGATGAAGATGTACCATCATCAATTATATTTGTTTGGTGTTGTGATTGGTGATGTTGTTGTTGTTGTTGTTGTGATCGGTGATGATGTTGTTGTTGTTGATGTTGTTGTATACTAGTTTGGATTGGTGTTAGAGTAGTAGCTGTATTATTATTAGTAGCATGATGTTGATGGGAATGCGGACCACTTTGATAGAAATGGTTATAAGGATTATAAGATGTAGTCGTAGTAGTAGAAGTGGTAGTAGGTTGAGGTTGAGGTAATGGTTGAGGTAGAGGTAGATTCTGTATAGACATTAATTGTTGGTTGGTGGTGTTAGGTTCTTGTTGTTGTAGTTGCAATTGATGATGTTGATGTTGCTCCAAATTATACTGGATATTGCGAAGATTTCCAACTCCTCCATCAGGAGCAGGAACTACTTGATAATCTTCCATTTTCTTTAAACCATACATTGATGTTGTTGGTAAACCCATTGTATTGGTCACACCTGTTACTCCTCCAATATGAGAATAATGATTTCCAAAACTATTTGCACCATTTAATACACCTCCTCCTCCAGTTTGATAATTATTCCAATTTAATGATTTATAGTCATCAACCGATACTACAGAGGATGCAGAAGAAGAAGTGGCACTGGTTACAATTGGGGATGGATGTGGTTGCGGTTGAGGTTGGTGATGGTGTGCTTGTTGGGTTGGTTGAGGAAGTAGAGGTTGTTGTTGTTGGTTCAAAATAGTCGTATACATCTTGTTTTGTTGTTGTTGTAGAGGCGTGATGGGTGGGGTAGGTAGATTTGGCTGGCTTTGTGACACATTCTTTCGTTTGATATTCAACAGAGTTGGAGAGAATATTGGGAAACTGCGTTTGAGTGGATTACTATTGGGAGAGTGGTGACTAGCCGGATGACCGTGGTTAGGGTTATTATTAACAGGTGACGGAGTTGGTGAAGACGACGATGAAGTGGAGATTGACGAGTTTGGAGTGGTTGGAGATGTTGAAAGATTGGTGGTAGTTGGCGATGAAGGTATAGAACAATTATATACTGATCCAAGATTACCATATGAAGATGATAATGGATTATTATTATTATTATTATTATTAAGAGTGGAGGTATTGGTAGTATTAGAGCTGGGATCAATTATATCATTATTATTAGATGGTGAAAAAGAGTTGTTATTGCCTAGTGGATATAAAGATGATTGATTATAATTACAATTTTGTACATTGTTGGAGGAAGAAGAAGAAGAAGAGGTAGTGGTGGTGGTGGCAGTAGATCCTGGAAATATGCTACCTCCATTATTATTTTTTTTACAACTACTTTGTTGTTGATCTATGATATTTGTACTTTGAGAATATGATTGATATACACTATTATTATTATTATTATTAATATTATTATTATTATTGATCGAATTATGAGGTAATTTACTTGAAGTTTGAATTATATAATTATTATTATTGGTTTCGAGATTATTATTATTTGGACTATTATTATTATTATTTCTTAAATATGAAGTTTGAAGATAATGTAATATTGGACTATGACTATTAGTTGTTGTAGTTGTTGAATTATCTATAGGCGATCCACTATAAGATTTAAATGAAATAAAACTATTACTATTTTGATTTTGATTTTGATTTTGATTAATACTACTGTTTGTATTGGTACTACTACTACTATTATTTAAAGAAGATGGACTAGGTGATGAATCTCCATGAGAATGACCATGACCATGATTATGATTATGATTATGATGATGATTATGACTATGATGATTATGGCCATGATGATTATGACCATGATGATGGTGATTATGATGACCATGATTTCCTGGCGACGAATTGGAATGAGTTTGGATGGGTATATTATTATTATTGTTGTTGTTATTAGAAGTAGTAACAACATTGATTCCAGTCAAAGACGACGATGATGATGATACTGGCGATGGTGATGATGACAACGTAGTAGTGGTAGTTGTGGTTGTGGCATTGATTGGTTTCACTTTTTTCTCTCTTTTCTTTCGAGGTAGGTCATAACAGCTATGTCCCATATCCAATTTAACACATCTTGTACACGGACGACTTGGATCGCATGCCACTTTAGAGTTCCTGCAATTAAGACAGGCTCTTCTTACTCGTTTAATAATGGTAGACATGATGGATGGCGACGACAATACTTTTGATTATATATATATATATTTCCAACAATATTATTATTATTATTAAAACTCCCCCCCCTAAACTAGTTGGTGGAAAGAATTTAAATTTACTAATATATAACTAAACTAAGATAAGATGAAGTTGTTTGAGAGAATAAGAGAAAAGAAATACTAAATTAGTACCAATTTATATAGTAGTGGAAATGGGGATGTTTGGTTACGGATGGAACGAGGATAATGGGGATGTGTGAACTAGTCTATTACCAATCTATCGTTGAACGTAAAGTAGTTTAGTTGTGGTGTTTTAAAAAAAAGTTAACGGTTGGAGAGATAGAAATGAAAACGAAGGATAGGATTGCAGAGTTGAGGTTGAGTTCTTAAATTCACTTGGGTTTGATGATTATGACAACAAAACACACACACAACAGTTTTACGGACGAAAGATGCTATGATGCTATTGACTATTAGTGTTGTGAGTATACTGGTGCAAGTTTAAGACCCGTTGGATCGGGTCGTCAAAAAAAAATAGTTGTATAAATATAACAACAATAATAATAATAAAGGTGACTCTACCATGCAACATGCAACTCTCTAGAGATCGAGATGGTTGGTTGTCACTCATGTCGAGTGATGGATGGTTTTGTGTCACGGTTTGTGGTTATAATATAATATAATATAATATAATATAATATAATATAATATAATATAATATAATATATAATAATATAATATACCTCCCTATTCTATGATATCCTATACTATACTCTGCTCTGCTCTGCTATGAACCAGAGTTTTAGATTAAGATGACTTCTAAATAAGAAGTCACACACACAAACACAAAAGTGGTTGGGAATTATTGCCAAGTTGAACGACGCGTATAACTGGCTGTTTGGTGTTGATGTCAACTTGATAAATAAATTTAAAATATTAAAATGACAATCTCGTAGATATTTTTTAATAATCCAAGAGATTGGAAACAAAATTATAATGGTAACCAAGAGATAGATAGAATATAATTATAATTTAAATTATTTGAAATTGAGTCGAGGCATAATAATAATAATAATAATAATAATAATAATAATAATACAAACACATGTTGATTCCAACCACAACAATATTATTAATATATTATATAATACCGGTCCCTACCTTTTTTTTTTTAAATTATTATTATTATTTGTGAGGGTTAGATATATCCAACAACCGATATACAATTATTGATATACTATTGTTATTTTGTTGTTGTTGCTAATGTCTGCTACTACAATAGTGTTACTTGTAGTTGGTGTACAAAATTCAAGACTGATTGGTTCCTTTTTCAAACCAAAAAAAAAAAAAAAAAAAACCAAAGCAAGCAAAAAAAAGTCTTGGCTTGTTGTTTTCTAGCGTGGCTGTTATTGTTGTTGTTGTTGTTGTTGTTGTTGCTGTTGACAGCTTGGCTTTGTGACAATGAAAACAAGTTGAGTTGAGACAGGTAATTTGTTGTTGTTGTTGTTGGAAGGAAAAAAAAAAACCATTATTTGGTCAAAACTATTTTTTTGTCCAATAACAAAGTGATCGACAGAAATGGAAAAGACAATATATATTGGCAATATAGAAATAGCAATGAAATGAAATTCTTATAAATTATCCAACACAAATAGTAGTAGTAGTAGTAGTAGCGAGGTAGAACTAGTATTGTTGGTCCAATAATCGGTTGCTTTCAATATTTGTGAAAAATTAGAGTGGTGGTAGTAGTATTATTATGATTATTATTATTTTTATTATTGTTGTTGGTACCTTATGGACAAACATCTTTCGAAAATTAAAAGAAAAAAAAATAGGAAACACAAATATTGCCGCAAATATTGTTGTGGTTGTTGTTGTTGTTTTGTTTAGATTGTTTGGAATTGGTCGCTGGTTGGTCAATAAGATTTGACAAGGTGCACTGTGAATAGTATGAATTAAAATCTCTCTTCGATTGTTGTTGTTTTTTAAAAATATCCCAGTGGAGTGACTAAAACGAGTGTGTTGTGTGGGAGAGTAATTGATGATGACTTACAATGACAGTTTTTAGAATTCGGCTATTCTTTGTGAAATCCCAAAGAGTTGAGAGAGTTGATAGTTGAGAGTTTCGATTTTTCTAGTATTGGTGTATCTCTTTTTATCTATGTCTATGTCTTTGTTGGAATTTTCCAACTCTATCTATCTATCTATTTTTAATTATTCTTTGATTTTTAAAAATGGCAAAATTGGAAATAATAATAATAATAATAAAGGTTGGATGATGATGATGATGATGATGATATGGCTTTGAACTCAAAGTTGATAGAATGATTAATCATAGGAGAGGAGGAGGTGGTTGATGATGTTGGATATGTTTTCTATTTTTTGAATCTACTATTTGAAAAAGATAGTTGTAGTTGTTGGTGGTGATGGTACTTGATGATGATACTTGATGATACTTGATGATACTTTAATTTAAAAAAAAATACGTAAATATTAATTACCAATATATAACTAAAATAAGAAATGATGATAATTAATGATTGTTGTTGAATACACAGTTGTGGAATGTTGTTGTTGTTGTTGATACCAATATTATAATTTTAAAAACCAATCATTATACAAAATTGAGGTTGAATTGAATTGAATTGAGTGAAATGATTCACTTTTTTTCAATCTTATCTGATTCCACACTTTACTTTTTTTTTTTTTTTTTTTTCTTTCCACTTGTTAAATGTCTGCCATATGCATGGGTTAGGGTGTGCCAATTGGTCTCTCTGACATGTATCCACATGTCTGTCTGTCTGTTCGTCGTCCCTACTTCTTTTCATCTTTCCTCTTTCCATCCTTTCCAACACCACCACCACCACCATGTCTCCCACGATTATAATGATGATGATGTATGCATTTTTTGCAATGTCATGTCAATTTATCACTCCTTCCTCCCCACCACATGGAATGTAAGAGAGAGAGAGAGAGAGAGATAGATAGAGAGTAAGCACACCAACAACAACAACAACACTTCTAAACGATTACTATTACTACTATAAACTCATTTAATTATTACTATATTAGAGTAAGAGGAGGAGGATTGTGATCGACCACCAAAATATCTAATAACCACACACACCCACCCACCCACACACAATCCACAATTGAATTCGTCTGGCTGAAAACATTGTCTCACCCCACCCCCACCCACCACCAAATAAGAGTAAAAGGTACCACCGCTAAATGATTACCAATATGATTGACTGACTGCGCGCAAGTGTTGATATTAATCGATTCGATTTACTCTTGTGATCTTTCTACTCTTGTTGTAAATCATCATACCGATGTTGCTGATGATGATGATGGTGATGGATAGATGATGATGACGATGATGAGGTGGATCATGTGTGTAGATAATGATGATGATGATGATGGTAATATTAATATTAAAGTTGGTAAGAGCTAATATTACCCAAATATCATATTAGTTCCACGATCTGGTTGTTTAAATCTAACGGTGTGTCTCTTGGTCTTGATCATATTAAAAAAACATTATAATTGGAACCAATATTAATTCTCTCCTCTCCTTGTTTGTTTGTGAGTGAGTGTCTGTTGGTCTGTCTGCCGTTGTCCTCTTGACTTTCAGTCCCACACATTGTTTGTGTGACAATCTGCCATTATAAATTAATTCCGATTAGGTTGAAAAGAGAGTGGCAAAAGGGAGCACGAGTAGGTAGGGAGGGAGGGAGGGAGGAAGGGAGGGAGGGAGGGAGGATGAGATGAGGAGGAGTAGGTAGTAGGTAGTAGTACATTGTAATTGAATTCATTGAAATTTGGAAGCTACTACATAAATTTAATTTAATTATACACACTTTGAAGGATTTAAAGTAGAAACCCAACACATGGAGAAGAAAGAAGAGTGGGTGGGAATTATCTCTTACATTTATATTTATATATATATATAAAGAGGAGTAGCAGTTGCTGGTTGATTCGAATCTATTCCACAAAGTTTTATATTTATAGATTATATTGTTGTGATTGATTGATTGATTGATTGAATTGACTTGATTGATTGACTTGATTAGTTAGATCGATTGGTTTGTTTGTTTGTTGATTAGTGATGTGGATATGAGTAAAGTGGACAGCTGTGATAATATTATGTTGTATAGTATAGTACACTTACCATTCATTCATTCATTTTTGGTTCCATCCATTACTATTATACGCTTGTGTACATAGCAACCAATCCAAATCCAATGAAGGCTACATTCATTCATATTCATTTCATTTCATTAATTCATTTATTCGTTACTATTGTTATTTACATCATCGTTGTCATCACGTTCATCATTTATATCTTATTATAGATTAAATGTCCAATTACTATCCTTTTTATCCAAATAGATGTATCTTGATAATTCTTTAATACCAGCATCGACCTCTGCTTTCATCATTTCTAATTTCTTTCCTTCTTCTATATTTCTATTGATTCTAAACTCTACATACAATACATCATTCAATCATGATTGATTAATATGACTAATATATATGTATATCTATCTATCTATCTCACTCTTATGTGTACATACCCTCTTTGACAACAACCAATAACTTATCTTTACTTCTTGATGGATACTTTGGTAGATTTCGAATAAGAAATCGATATTTATGAATCATACCACTCATTTTGTTATTATTATTATTATTATTATTATTTTGTGAAGTAAAATATATTCTACTTGAAGTTGTAAAACTGACCTCTCTTGAGTCAAATACATCTGATCAGGTGAGTATATTATTTAATTAATTTTATTTTTATTTTTTATTTTTTATTTTTCGAAAATCGATTCGTTCGGTTTCTCCAACCTTGGTTGGTTCGAGTGCTTTGACTTGAGGTATGAATAGGCTCATACACTAAGTTTGTTAGCTACTCTGTAATATTATAATATTTAGTAATAGATAGAAATACTAGTATCATGGAGACTGATTTAAATATTATCAAGGAGTTCCTTGAAGCTAACGGCTTCCAAAAGGCATTCAAGTCACTCACTGAAGAGCTCAAATCAAACAAGACCACTGACAAGTCTATCACTTTGGAACAATTGTTTAATAAATCAAAAGAGTATGTATACTATCAAAGATAGATATAGATACAAGAAGATAGATACTTATATCATACCTTTAATTTATAGAAATAACAATAACAACAAGAGAAAGCAAGAAGATGAGGAAGACCAATCATCATCAGACAATGACAGAAAGGTAAAGAGTCAAAAGGTTGATAGCAGTGAAGAAGAATCTGAAGATGAGAAGAAGAAGGAATCTGATTCTGAATCTGAATCTGAATCTGAATCATCATCATCTGACGACTCTGATTCTGAGTCTTCATCAGATGACTCTGACTCTGAATCGTCGTCATCATCATCATCCTCTGAATCTGACTCTGATTCATCAGACTCTGAAGAAGAAAAGAAAGAAGATGCCACCCAAGTTGTTGGCAAGGACAGCGAAGAGTCATCAGAGGAAGAGAAAAAGGTTGAAGTTGACGTTCAAGTAGAGGAAAAGAAGGAATCAGAATCTGACTCTGACTCTTCATCAGATGAATCATCTTCATCATCATCATCCTCATCAGACGACTCATCATCGTCATCTGAATCAGAATCCGATTCATCATCATCTGAATCTGAATCTGAATCTGACTCCTCCTCATCGTCATCCGAATCTGATTCCGATTCATCATCCTCTGAATCAGAATCAGAATCAAAATCAAAATCCGATTCATCGTCATCAGAGAGTGAAGACGAAAAGGAAAAGGTTGAAGAGAAAAAGGTAGAAGAAAAGAAAAAGAAGTTGAAGTAGTAAAGAAACAAGACAAGATGCAAATCGATAAAAAAGTAGAAGAGAAACAACAAGATACTAACAAGAAAAATATGTGGGGCACCCAAACAACAAAATGGAAATGGATATAATAATAATAATAATAATAATACTAACGGAAATGGATATAATAATAATAATAACAAATATAATAATAATAATAATGGATCAGCAGTTAAAACACCAAATCAACCATTTAGAAGAGTGAAAGCTGAAAATGTAGTTTTGGGAGATATGTTCAAGTCACCAGAAAGAGCTTGGACCGATCCGTATGGTCTCCGTGTTGACCAATCCATGTCCAAGACTGTTGGTAAAGGTTTCCGTAACGAAAAGCAAAAGAAAAAGAGAAGCACTGGTTTTTGTCAAATCGATACTTCTGTAAACTGTGAATTCTTCCCAGACTCTGATTAAAAATATATAAAATATAATTATATATACCATAAATAAATAAATGAATAGAAAGAAAAATAAAAATAAATTCTCTAAAACTTGGAAATTGCTCCATGGAAATATTTAAACTATAAATTTTAAAAGATAAATTATTTGTTTGATTGTTTGATTGTTTGATTGTTGTTGTTTGTTGTTTGTAAGTTTATACATATATTTCATTTGTATATTGTAATAATACCTTTATTTGGTTTTTAAATGACTCTATGAATTTGATGGGAGATGGTTTGAATGAGTTGATGGTATAGGGTAGATTGTGAAACAGTGTATACTATGATGGCAACCAAACCAAGGTAGATGAGAGGATTGAGTATATTGGGAGATCGAGGGAATGGATTAAACTTTTTAGGATATTCCTCCACCAATGTATGTTTCATGATTCTCCTAGTCTTTACTATCAACTCGTCTATATCATCATTACTAGTTTCAATTGCTGGTAAAAATCTTAAACTATAAAACAAAAAAACAAACAAATAATTAATAAAAAATAGATGTATTTTGATTTTGATTTTGATTTTATACATACTGAACAACACCAGAATTTGGTAAAAGATTATTGGTTGGCCACATTTCATAGGCACCCCAATAACAAGCAGGAACAATCTTTGCATTGGCACGTTTGGCAAGATGGAATCCTCCCTTTTTAAAATCTTGTATTTGTCCGTCGACTGAACGTGTTCCCTCTGGACTGATTGCCACACCACCTTTACTCTTTCTGCAAGCTTCAGCGGAATGGTTGATAGCCTCGACCGCAGAGTGATGTTGTTTTCTATTGATTGGAATGTGTCCGACCAAATACCCGAGGTAAAAGACCAATGGTACAAAGTAGAGTAGCTCTTGTTTGAATATGAATCGTGGTGGGATGGAAGTGTAACCCATCATGATCACCGGATCAATGTTTGAGCAATGGCTATACATAATGACAGTTGGTGTACCATCACATTTTCTCAATAGATCACTTCCTTCCACTACCACTTCTATACCCCATATCCAACATAAACCACGTGCCCAGAAACGACTACACAATTCAAGTGGATAATAAAATTGTCTAACTCCCATCCTTTTCAATATTGGATTAACAAATATAGCAGAGAATGGTGCAATAAACCATACCATTACTAAATAATAAATAAATAAAAAAGATAAACAATTATTGTTAGTCAATCAAACCAAGGTGTAGTTGTAAAAGGTATGCATAGGGATCAAGTCACCAATTTGGGATAACGAGGGATTGATCCCCGAAACTGTCATTGAATTTTCTTTTCTCTCTTTCTCTTCTTTGTATCTCTCTTTGTTGTTGTCTTACATTGAATTAAAATCAGGTCTTAAGAGACGATGATTATGTTGTATACTTACTTGTAATTGAAATAACCCATATTGTAGCAGCAATAGTTCTAATTATCTTGTATAGAATAGGATCTACTCTTTTTGTATATGATGGTTGTTTACGTGCGGTGGTATCTGACGACAGTGCTGTCGGTTGTTGTTCTTTATTATCTGTCGCTTTTCTTTTTATAACTGTTGTATCCATTATTTAATGATATATAAATATTTCAACTAATATAGAAATGAAAATATAATGGTTGCAAGAACTCCTCTTTTCTTTCTTTCTTTCTTTCTTTCTTTCTTTCTTTCTTTCTTTCTTTCTTTCTTTCTTTCTTTCTTTCTTTCTTTCTCTGTACTATGATTTACTAGTAAGGAGGAGGAGGAGGTGGGTGTTGATGACGATTTTAATAATCTTAAATTCTTTAAGGTGTGCTAGATAGATAGATAGATAAATAACAAACACATATACTAATTAATTAAATGAATGAACGAACATGTTGCTTGCTCAACCTTGAAACAATACAATAATAGGTGTTGGAAACCTCCAAACCAAATAAAGATAAAAAAAGATCCAAACAAATTTTATTCTAATTTAAAGTTAAATCCCAACCGTTGTCGATTTTTATTGGGACCTCCCTCCCACATCCCCCTTCATTATTCTAATTATTACTACGACATACTTTCTCTCTCTCTCTCTCTCTCTTCATATCTTTAAAAAGTAATCACAACAAAGTCCTTTTGATGTGTAGTATATACATATATATATCTCTATCCTTATTATCTGTATACTGCATATTTTAAAAGCAGTCTCATAACAATATTAAGTAGACCTATTTAGCAATAACCAGTTCGAAAAAAATTATTCTCCGATTTTTTCAAACTGAATTAATTTGTTTGTTGTGTTGTCTGATGCACCTAAATCGAGGTGCTTTGTAGTTTATTAATAAATCCATCACCATCAACCAAGAGGATGAGAAGTATAAGTAATCATTATAATCATAGTTTTATATTTTTGTCAAATAGATAAATAGATAGATTTAAATGCTGTCAACTTCAACAACAACAACACTAAATCAATCAACATAAATAATCAATCAGTTTCTCGGTCGACACCCAACCAACATCCACCCACTCACCTCTCTCTCTCTCTCTTTCTGTTGCTGTTATATAACACACACATATTATACATTCACTCATCATATTTTATTTATTTATTAAAACGAACACTCAAATCACTCTACTACTGAGTCTGACCGATTGTTGTACAATAATATAATACGACACTACAACTTAATTTACTTTTTTTTTTAAAGCATTTGTATATACACACCAACACCATTGCAATATTTATATATTAATATAATCGATAGTATATATATATAACTACATTCTCATCTTCTTCCTTCCTTCTTTTATTGTATATACTACCTACCCTTTTTTTTTTTAAAAGTAGTATTAAAATTTGTATAAAGTACTTCTCAGATATATATACATACAAATAATATTTGTTTGTTATATAGTTGTAATATAGAATAATAATTCGAAACATTGTAAAGTAGTATATGAGTAGTATGCTAAGTGGAATGTCCGATAGTAAGAAGCGAGTGACAGTATTTCAAAATGGCAAACGAGTTGGAGGCAAAGCAGTGAGCATACCTAAAAAGTGGGGAGAGTTTGTCAAGATGGTTAGTAAGAAGCTTTCACTGCCCATCTCGAGGATATTCAATGAGGATGGTGGCGAGTTGGACGAGATTGACTTGATCATCCCCAAAGAGATACTGTACGCATCGTGTGGAGAAAACTTTATATTGATGCCACCCATACCCGGTGGAGGCGGTGGTACGACGACACCGACATCACTGATCAACTCGTCGTCTACGACCACCACTCCATCCATCCAACAATCTATCGTCTTTCCCTACGACGACTGGATCACACTCAATGTTGGCGGCAAGATATTCTCTACAACGCGATCAACACTACTTAAAGACCGAGAGTCTATGCTGGCCAAGATGTTTGGTGAGAATTGGGATTCGGCACGTGACGTCTCTGGCAACTATCTCATCGATCGATCGCCCGAGTACTTTTCACCCATCCTTCATTTCTTGCGTTGCGGTAATTTGGTGATTGATGTTGGTACGTCAATTGAAGGTGTGTACCACGAGGCACGCTTCTTTAACATAACGTCGATGGTCGAGCGATTGTCGGCACTTGTCAACCACAAGACCGACGGCCTCACACGAAAAGATGTCATCTCCATCCTCCTCACCTCTTCCTCCAACTCGTCACTACGTTGTCAAGGTCTCAACCTGTCGGGTGTCGATCTCTCCAAACTCGACCTACGAAACATTAACTTTAAAATGACTAATTTTAGAGACGCCAATCTCTCCAAATGTAATCTCGATAATGCTCTCCTCCAAGAAGCTGATCTTTCCTATGCCAACTTATCAGGTGCTAGTTTACGTGGTACTAATTTATCTGGTGCAAATCTTGAAGGTTGTATTTTAAAAGTAAGTTTAATAATATATCAAAATTAAAATCAATATTATTACTTTTTACTTACTTTTTATTTATTTATTTAGGGAGCCAATTTAGAGGATCGTGGAGGACAAAGAGCAACACTGGAAAGTGTCAACTTTAAAAACTCTACTTTGGAAGAAGCCAATTTTAGTGGAGCCAATCTTAGAGTGGCCAATTTCAAGGGAGCCAATTTAGAGAATTGTAATTTCAGAGGTGCTGATTTGGCCGGTGCCAATCTCGAAGACACCAATCTACGTGGTGCCAATCTTCACAAAGCAAATTTAATAGGTGTAAATTTAAGAGGTGCCAATTTTGATATTAGAACTGTTAGTTCTAGGTAATCTCAACAAACAAAACAACCAAACAAACCAAATAATAATCATCCTATAAACCACTACTATTATATTTTTTTTATTTTTTTTAAATCAACACATACAAACAGAGACAAAGTGAAAGATAGAGAGACATAGATACATGTACTCTCTGTGTATCTGCTCTAATCTATCTATCTCTTTCCTTTCTTTTTCCTTTTTTTAAAAAGATGATTAAAAAAAATAATAATAATTATCTTAAAACCCAACCCGAGTCTTTAGACTCGAGTCTTTTCGTGGTGGTACCTGAGTCCCCAGGGTAAAGATTCATCGGAAAAGGTTTACGAATTAGGAAGCCTCCATACGATAAAATTCCCTCACATAAAATATCTCTTTCGGCGATCAAAAACTAAAAAAAAAAAATTCGAACAGTGAATAAAAAATCCTCACGCAGTATCATTGCATGGTTTCACTCACACTATTTCCCAACATTGCACTGCTTAAAAAAAATCAACACACTGTTTCATACACAAAAATCGCACTCTTATAAAAAACTTATAGTTTAATATATCTTTATCTATCTATCTATATCTATCTATATATCTATAAGAATAGAGATAAGTAAAGAGAGAGAAAAGAAATGATGAAATCATATACTACTACATCATTATTATTTATAGTATACTTGTTATCAATATTTGTAAACGTAAATAATGGACAAATATTTTTTAATACATCATCGGTGTGCACACAAGCAGCACCATGTCAATGGAATGATCCAACTATTTGGATTCCCAACGGTATCCCAACTAGCTCTAGTGCCGAGATTGACGTAGTCATCGATGGAAACAGCACCAACATCATCTATATTGTCGCAAGCACCGTATTTGAAATACATAATTTGAATGTTCAATTTACAGTGTTGAGCATTGAGGCCGGTGCAACTTTTGACGGAGCTTTCACCGCCGAAGACTCTGACATTAGTATTGCCAACAACCCAGTGACGGTCGATAGCATCAACACGACAAACGGCACTCTTACTCTGTTGACAGGATCGATGTTGTCAGTGTCCAACATCGCCTTGTTCTACGCCACCCAATTTGTGGCATCTGACAACTCATCGGCCCTGTTTAACGGAAATGCTACGTTCCAAGCACTGCCACCACCCCTTTTCCAAGACGCATCAGAGTTGACTTGTCTGTCGGAATGTACCTTCCACGCTGGTGTCACGGTCAATAGCACCGGTCACACTGGTCTCACCAATGTCTACCTCTACATGACCAGTCAGTTTGGCGATGTGACTTTGGTCGGCGAGATGGTCATCGTCCCCGAAGCCACCGCCAACATCCAAGGATCGTTCTATGGTAGCGCTCAGTCATTCGTGTCTGTGTCTACGTTGGCACTGCTCTTGATCAACGGACAGCCCCAGACGGTCACATTCAACCAACTCCAAGTCAACGAGCAAGGTACCGTCCAAATAGTCAATGTCGCCAACGACGTGACTGGCGCCACTAGTTATATTGCCGGAACCGTCCTTTTCGACAATTGTCTCGGTACCACTTCGTTTGGCCAAACGACCGCGTTTGCCAACCTCCAAGTCGCCGGTGTCATTGGCGAGCTCATCCTCAATGCCGCCAACATTGGCAACTTGACCCAAGTCCAAAGTCAAGTGCCCAACGCTCAACCCAACGTACGTATCTCGTCGGTTGGCGACGTCACCCTCAACACGTTTGGCAGTCTGCTCATCAACACCATCTTTGACGTTGAGCAGGGCGGTTCGCTCTTGCTCAATGACGACGTTGAGTTTGCCGGTCCAGGTGGGTTCCGTGTCTACGGTGAGTTCACCATCAACCAAGCCACCATCACCACCGAGAACGATCCCGACTATCCAGCAGTCATCGGTATCACACTCTACGGTGGTGTACTCTACACTGAAAACACCACCATCGATGGAGTTGTCCGTATTGCCGATGGTACATGGTTCCCAGTCGACACAACCATCGTTGGCAACGTCAACTTCCAAGGTGGCTATCTCAACTTTTCAACTGCCACCAATCAAAACCTAAACATCTCTGGTTCATTGACTATTGGCGAAGGTGCAACCATCTACCTCAACAATGATCTCATTGCCGAAGATGACCCCATCGTCTTTGTATCGGGTAATGTTACTCTGGGCGGTACCATCGTTGCTATCATGCAAGACCCATTTTCACTCGTCTACAACAAAAACTATTTTATCATCGAGTCTGAAACCTCGATCGACGGTATCTTTATCAGCTCGTCTGTAGTCACTAGTTTTGTCTCCTCGTTTGAATACGAGTTTGAACTCAGTCCAGGTGGTAACTATTTCCTCCAACTCGTCTTTACCGAACCACCCGTCCCATCTGGTGGTCCAACCGGTCACATGGCCGGCTGGAAGGTATTCCTCATCATCCTTTCCATCCTTGTCGTCCTCGGTGGTGGTATCTATGGTTTCCTTCGTTACAAGAGAAATAGTGGTTATTTACCAGTACATTAATTAATTAATTAAACAACAATCCCAACAACCCCAAAACAAAACAAACAACCTTCAACAACTTTCAACAACAACAACAACCCTAACCCTATAAACCAAAAATCAAATTAAATCAATTTATTCCCCCAAAAATACACACACAAACAAAGAAAGATAGTTCTTATTAATTTTATTATTAATTAAATAATTAATTAATTCTTTTTTTTTTTTTGTAATAATATCATGATTTTGAAAAATATTTCTTATTCCTGAGTCCGAGTCTTTGTACAGGCACGTTTCAAAACCAAATCTACCAGGAGTAGAGAATTGTGGAGGTCCTTTTTTCCAGTATGGTTTTGCATCTGGAAATGTTGTCACCAGGTATCCCAAAATCAATCTTGCGGGTGCCAAAGATACTGATGCTCGATTTGGATATCTCTCGGTTATGAAACTATTGGAACCATTTAAAACACCATCAAGTAGACGTGGCGGAGAATACACAGCAAATGGCGTTAACGATGCAGCATCAAAAGGGAGCCTTGATGTTATCAAATCCCTGTTTGACAAACAAGAATACAAATCACATTTCACAGACTATACTCTTTATTGAGCATCTGGACATTTGGATATTTTCAAGGTAAATAGATCAAATCAAATCAAATCAAAACCATCATGTTAACACAACTATTCATCACGATTTTTTGTTGTTATTATAAACTATATAGTTTCTTGTAGAGAATCTAACCGATAAAAGATATCTTGAAGATAGTTTTAGATATTTAGAGTGTCCGCGGTCGAGAATGGTAATTTAGATTTTGTAAAGGTAGGTATTTGCATGATCGATTAATCCCAACATTATCAACACAAACTAATCGATCAATCAATCCCAATTAATTAATTGCAACAATAGTATGTTTAGTTCAATGTAACCAAAAATCCAGGCTATTCAATAGAGAGTGCTTCAGAAAAAAGGACTCATTGAAATCATTAAAGTATGGCCCAACATATTATTTTTATTTGTAACTTGTATGAATATTACTAGTTGTGGATATTATTAACTATTATTATTGCTTATTTCTTAAAATTTATAGTTGAGATTATTACTAATTTACAAATATAACATGGTATACAAGAATCAAATTATTATTATTACATTCTAAAATCAAAATTTGTTTAGAATTATATTATATTTGATTACAAACCTAACCTACTCCTTATTTAGTGATTGTACACCAGAGAGTCAGTGACTGCACTCTATCTAGTCTATCATTTTCCATTCCTTCCTGGTCGTTGCTAAACGACCCCTTTTACAAAAAAACGAACGAATCTTGCCCCTGGGAATCATAACCAAAAAAAGTCGACAGGTGAAGTGATGTCGATCAGAAAGAATCTTTCTCCTTTCTTTGTCTGATATCGCATCATTTATTTTATAAATTAGTCTAATAATATCCCTCTCCTCTCTTTACACAACTATCTAAAAAGATTATTAATTCTTTTTTTTTGTTTGTTTTTTTTAATCTATCTTGTTTTTCGCTTTCAATTATTTGTTTTAACAAATAACTTTAAATATATATATATATAACTATTTCTTTTAAGATAGATAGATAGATAAATCATCGCACATATATATAGAAGAATGACATCAATCAAGAGTTATGTAGATTCCATCTCGGAATCTATCGACTTTTACTTTGAAAAAAGAGGTATGCACACTAGTATACTATAGCAATGATAACAATGAAATGAATGAAAGCAATCAATGTGGTCTAACATTACATTCTACTCTATTCTATTCTATCGATCTATTGTCTATCTATTGTCTCCTCTTCTTCTAGATCAAAGGGTAATGTATTGGCCAATGATGGAAAGACCACATGAAATGTTTTATGTTGTATTTGCCTATTATGCATTTGTAGTGATTGGCAAAAAAGTGATGGCCAATCAAAAGCCATTCGATTTGAAATACCCTCTTATCTTTCACAACTTGATTCTTTGTTTGATCAGTGCTTATATCACTATTGAAGCTGCTCGTCAAGCTTATATAAATGATTACTCTTTAATGTGTAATCCTGTAGATTATACCGAAAGAGGTATTGGAGTATGTAAATGGAAATATAGGAAAACATATTTAAATATATAATAATTAGCCTATTTATTTATTTCTTTTTAATTATTTATTTAGATGGCAAAAGTACTTTGGTTATTCTATTTTTCTAAATACATCGAATTGATGGATACAGTATTTATGATCTTGCGTAAAAAGTTTGATCAAGTATCCTTTTTACATGTCTATCATCATTCATCTATTATTATGTTATGGTTTATTGGTATCAATTGGACTGCTGGTGGAGGTTTGTATAGAGATATCAACATACACATATAAATTGTCATTTATACTCACATCCAATCTTTTTATTTGTATTGTTTGTTTATATATTTTAGATGCATATTTATCAGCAACTATGAATTCATTGATTCATACATTAATGTATGGATATTATACATTGGCAGCTTTAAAGATTGATGTTTGGTGGAAACGATATTTGACACAATTACAATTACTGCAATTTGTAATTAATTTGGGATCATCTCTCTATGCCATCTACTATGACTGTCCATTCCCAAGATGGATGTTCTACGCTATGATCATCTATATGATGTCGATGCTTTTCCTCTTTGGCTCTTTCTATCTACACACTTATATTCAAAAGGGTAGAAGAGGTCCAAGACCATCATCAAAGTCATCATCTTCAACAACCACAACAAAGAAATTACAATAATAAACCCTAACCAACCAAACACAACCCCCCCAACATAAATCAAATCATATTATATACTACACAAAACAAATCCAAATCCAAATCAAATCCACCAATATGAGTGTGGATGTGTGTTAAACCAAAACCACCATTTTGATTTACAATGGTGGGTGGTAGTGGTAAAATCAATCAATCAATCAATCGATCTTCAGTGTGCTTGCTGCTGTGTTGTGTGAACATCACAACAACAACAACAACAATTAAAAAATCATGATAACAGGTGATTTATTTATTTATTTATTTATTTTCATTTCAGTCATCTAAAAAGAGAAAATAATTATCTATCTATCTATTTATAATATAATGATGATGAAATTAGAAGCATCTAATGGAAATTTAAGGAATAGTGATCTAACAGATTTAGGTACTATTATTAGTACGATTGATAAGACTGGTCACTACTATTATTTTGGTATGAGTAAAGATCCAATTACACCATCTATATCGGTACGTGAAATGAGTGTTCCTCTTTCACATCCAGTCTCTAGTCACCAAGTTTTAAGGTTTACTGCTATCTCTTCAAAATCTGTATGTCAAACATTAATGTTTTAATTTATTTATTTTCTTTTATTCCGATTATTTATTTTAATTTTAATTCTCTTTAAAGGGAGACGAAAAGAATGGATTTTTTTGGGAAATAGAATCAAATAAAATAGAAATTGATCAAGAAGATTGGAATCAATGGTTGGATAACGTATTGGTTAAATCAAGTAAAGGTCTTGGATTAGGTGATGAAAAGATTGTATCTGAATTATTAAAGTTGGTTGTTTGTGATAAAACTCCGACGACTTTGACAACTTTGAAATTAAATTTACCTCAAATCAACAAAGTATTTGGGTATTTAATAGTATCATTACCAGTTGATAAATGTAAATGTCAAATTATTATTAAACATAGGTCCTGAAGATACGTCAACTATTCCATTATCATCTGGATTTGATTTTGGTCCAAGTTTTGTTGCTTTCTATGCAAATAGTACGGTTCAAATTAAATCACCTGATGGATTGGCATTACTATTGGTCTATAAATTAAAGAGAACTGGAAAGAGACGATCTTCTGATCACTCTGGTACATGGATACGTGATCATAGCGGTATAATAGGTGATATTGCAGCATCTATTAAAGTGACTTTGAGAAAACCAAAACTCAAAGGTCGAATCATATACATTCTATCGTATCCATGTGATTGTATGCCTGCAACAACTACCAATTACGAACCAACAACTTTGGATCAACTAGATGCTAATAATCAAAAGATAGCACTTGCTTTAAAAGATGCAGTTTCAATGTTGACCAATACAAAGATTGGGTTTGGTCAAGTTACCATTACTCAATCTGGAAGTAGACTGGATAATATTGGTGGTATGGAAGAATTAAAAGATACCTATTGCGTATTTAGTTATTTAAAGAGTTTAATTGATGATTCTGATATGGGCCATCCAGAATTTACGTTTGGCCAAATACTACCATTAGATGCATTCAATCAAGTTGACATTGCACAAGAAGATATTAAACAATCAAAATGGACAAGATCATTTTGTTTTGTTGCTTTGTACATTGGTTTGGATAATGACCTTGTATTTCCAGAATTCAAAGAGATAAAGAAACAGAAAACTCAAGATGAGGAGGAAGAAGAGTTGGAAGATGAAGATGGTGAAGATGACGATTCCGATGGTAATTCATCAATTTCAGAAGAAGAAAAAGAATTTGAACAAGGTGTTGATGAATTTTATAATGAAGATGGTAATAGTAGTGGTAGTAGTGACACTGAAAATGAAGATGATCAAGAAGATACTCAAGATGAAGAAGAGGAAGAAGAGGAAGAAGAAGAAGATGATGAAGAATAAATTATGATTTGGTTTGGTTTATTTGTTTTTTTTTGGATTTTTGGATTTTTTTTTTAAATGATTGGATAGTAACTTGAATAACCCAACATATAACAATTATCATTGGCAGCTGTTAGGAGCATATTGCCTCCACCGGTACCCCAGTATTTACCCCAACTATTTCTCAAGATCCAGTAATCTTGATCTGCATTGTATCCAATTAAAGTGACGATGTGGTTGGTGGTAGTATAGACAGTTTGACAATTAAAAATACCACCAGAATAAGATTGGAATGCATCATCTACCCAAAGAGACACTGTAATTGGTCCGTTTCGAAGTTCATCAATCATAGCTTGTTTGTTGAAACGTGGTACAGTTCCATAACTTGAAAATCTGAATCTTGGAGTTCCAATATCATACGAACAGGTTGGTTGATCAGCTGCAAGATACGGCATATCCTTTTCATAGGCCAATCCCTTTTCCATAAACGTCTCAAAGAACAATTGACTCCAACCTCCATTACATCCAAATCTTAAACAATTAACTCCATTTTGTTCAGATAAATCCAATGTATTGATTTCTGCTAATCCATTTTTAATTAAATATCTTGATTCAATTGCTGCCACTATAAAACAAATACAAATGTTAATGTCAATGTTAATATTATAAATTACTGGGATATATGTGTATGTGTATGTGTGTGTGATATATTTACCTGAACCAAAAGTCCAACATGAACCACATTGACCTTGATGTCTAATTGGAGTTAAAAAAGGTCTCCAATCGATATTATTGCTTGTTGGGGGGACTGGAGTTGGTGAGGGTGTTGGGGCAGGTGTAGGAGTGACTGGTGCTAATTGGTATGGTTTGACACCAGAGTAACCACCAGGTGGATTATAGTCACATGCCATAATCAATCTTTCACCACAATCAACTTTGGCACATCCAAAATTAGTGGTTGCATTCCAAACTGTGAATACCCATGGCAAACATGATTTGTCTGGGAGACAAGCACCTGTATTCCAATCATAATTGAGACGTTGCCCCCAAAGTAAATTCATTTGGGATTCCATGTTGAAATACTGTGGTGTCCACCAATAGATCCATTCATTGACAGCTCCGTAACGAGTGGCTGGTGAAAAGGTAAAATCACATTTATTGACATGTGCTTGAAGAGTGGCTGCAATGTCATAATTGTATGTCAGTGCTGTTAATGGACCTGCTGATGCAGGGTCTGGTGATAGTCTCCAATTATTATGATATGTAATCAAAGTCTGAATTTCTTGTGATGTCAAAGGGCCTTCACAATTTACAAAACTTGATATAAATAACACAGATAACCCAATAAATAATAGTTTCATGATTTTATAAATAAAGTACAAAAATAAATAAATAAATAAATAAAAAGTTAGGGAGGTGCTGAATAAATAAATAAATAAATAAGTTATTCAAATAATGAATGAATGAAAAAGACAACTAACTTGAACAGATCATTAACAAGGATAGCTAACTATGGGCCCTTGACTAATCTATTGTTGTTGGTTCGAATAAAGTGGGGTGGTAATCGAATCGAACAATAGCGATCCACTGTTTAGAATCCCAAAAGCCACTTGCTAGATATGTTTATAGAAATATCCTAGGATCAACGAAATCGACGGTTTTTATTATAATTTCATACGATGTCACCATCGTCTAGGGCTGTTCTGTTTAATTAATTAATTAACCCCATAGCCAAGAGATTCAGATTTCAAGGGTCGGAATCACACGATTTTTAGCGAGATCACATGATTTTTCGGTCAGAATCGTTGAATTATCGAATATTTGCAGGTTTGGCTTATCAAGTGATATCATCAAGCCCAACAACCAACAAAGAAAGAACAACTAGAACACATCTGACAAGATTCTTCAATGAAGTGAATCAACACCCAACAACCAGTCGAGCTGTGTGTCGATCGTCGTTGCAAACTGTATCATTATCTTGGTTTATTAACCTAACTTGGGTCTTCTTTCATTCAAGTTTAACTATTTATTTATTTATTTATTATTTATTTGTATATATATTCTATTTATTTACTCTATTTATTTACTCTATTTATACTATTTATTCAATTTAAGATCAAAACAAGAAATGAACAGATCTTCATCTTTAATCACTATTATCAGTTTAATTTTAAGTTTAGCATTAATTTGTAATGCGTCGGTTTATGGAGACGATTTCCCAAGTGATCAAGTTTTAATAGTATCATTTAAGAGTTGGATGACAGCATATAACATTCAATATACATCAGATGAATTTCAATCAAAGTTTGAAACTTGGAAAGCCAATGTTAAAAGAATCGGTGACTTCAACTCTCAAATCAAACTTCCAGATGCTTTGGTATCTGAAGGTTCCCCATCTGCATCAACACCATCTGAATTATCAGCTAGTACTCTTGCAGAATTAGGTCTATCTGATACTACAACTGTCACATATCCAAAACAAAATGTTCAACAATGTATGTCCGTCCATATAATATATCATATCAAACATTAAATACCCAATTTAACTAACATTCATTATGTTTATTATTAGTATCATTGAATGAATTTTCAGGATTATCATATTCAGAGTTTACAGCTGGATTTACTGGAGGTATGCCAGGTGCTGTACCAGCAGTAGCTGCAGCTCTTGCCACTTCAACTATTATTGCCATAGCTGTTGGAGGTGCTGCTGTAGCAGGTGTTGCTGGTGGCTCAGTTGTTGCCTACAAAAAGTATAAAAAGAACAAAAAGGAGGAGACACCCAAGAAGGAGGTTGAATTGACAGAACAACCTACCACTCCATCGGGTATCAATGTATTCAACTTGTCACAGAACCATCATCACTCTATTACTGCTAGAGCTTTTACCACTCCAAATAACTAACAACCTAAATATTACTTTGTGAATAATAAACAAAGTTAAAAAATGCTTGTTCAAAAAAAATAAAAAGAACACAAATCTAATAGTTACACAGATAGATAGGCAGATTGCTGAGATAATAGTTATCATTAAACAAAACAAACAACAAGTAGAGTATAAATAATAATAATACACCTATCCTCATTCTACTGATCTCCTCACCAATATAGAGACATCACATCAAACCCTTCATTGAAACCCAAAAGAGAGAGGCTACAATGACATCAATCAATCAATTATATATATCATTAAACACCTACAAACAGAAATGGCGAGATTATGATCTCAACAAACAGTTGCCAAATTGACAACATTAAAAGAAGAAGTGAATGATAAAGTGTAAAGTTTGACAGTCATAAAAGAAAAGAGAGATAATACATAAATATTAATTATTATTTCACAACAATGTCAAATTTAATAGTATTAGTAGCTGTTTTGATGCTTTTATTGTTTTATATTACTCCCGTTCATTGCCAATATGGAAGCTTTACAAAAGTTTGGAACACTTCAAAAGGAGGGAATCCTGTGAAGGGTCATTCATACACATTTTTTCCTTTAACTCCTATAATCACAGATGCAGTGAATAATTGTTTGGTTTATCGAAACGGTTTAGGAGATGGTACTTTTAAATCATATCTTGCCACTGTCGATTCAAAACAAGAATTGGATTTTATTAAACTCAGTTGGGATCCACCTACATGGGTATCTGGTAGCGATATTAGAGGGAATGGTCATTATTCCTATTCAACTGGACCACAAACAAATCAACCATTATTTAATATGTATACTGGTCAATGTTTTGGTATGATGATGATGATGTATATTTGATAGATCTACTCTTTTAAAATTAATTGTATGAATCATTTTGTTTTATTTTATTACAGGATATTGTCCATTCAATGCAGGTGATCCATCTTTAACTCCTGTTGGAGAGAAATATATTTACATGAGAGGAAATAATCTTCAGAATGCTGGTGTTAGATATGATGCTCTAGTAATGTGTGAAATACAACCAATTTCAGAAGTATATATTCCATCAATTGGTACAAATGGAGGATCAATAACAATCAACAATCTAACACAATTCTACATACAAACAATCAATATTACATTTTCTAATCAATCCAAACAACTCTCAAAATCATGTCATATAACACTCAAGCAAGGAACATCAGTCACTTGTATAGTTCCTCTATCTGGATTTCATAATGTAACTGTCCAAGATGCTAGTGGAGTCAACTCGACACACTATTTATGGAAACCATATCCACCATTTATCAAAGCTGTGTATCAATCATTCACAACAAATGGATTACATTGATTGGTGATAACTTTGGTGACGATACCAATAACAATATAGTATCTGTTAATATGTCAACAATTCAATGTAATATTACATTTGTATCATCAACACAGATTATTTGTCAACTCCAATCAGCTATTGTTGGAGATACCAAACTACCCATTTCAATTTCAGTTGATGATGTTTATACTCAAACTTATAAACCTCATATTTGTATGTATTAATATTAAATACAATATAAATATTTAATTCTAACGCCAACTCATTTTCAATAGTCTGTGACGATAGATTCTATTCAACTATTCTATTTGGTGGAGAATATGAATTAGTCAAGCAATTAATGATTGACAATGTAAAAATGGAAACAACAGCCAATGCTCCTTATATTGGTGCATTCGAATCAAAAGAAATGTATCAATGTTTTAATCAATCATTGAATTTAAAAGGGTATGAATCATTTAGATTTTGGCAAGGTGTTTCATTCAGCAATAACAATAATAGTGTTTTACAAGAAATAACGGTCCATTTAAAGGAACACTATCTTCATTGTATTATTCTCAAAATACTTCAAATATGAAACAATCAAATAATATTCTGTATAATATTTATAATAGAATGGTGGTGTCATTAGATATTTCAAATATTAAATATTACACACCATTGATTACATTTTATACAAGTGATACACCAATCATTGATAGTGTTACCAATATTCAATTTGGACAGCCATCAATGGTTACAATCAAAGGTAATCATTTTGGAAAAGATCAATCATATGTTTTAATATCAATCTATGGAAAACAATGTAAATCACCAAGGTTTATTGGAAACAGTTTTAAACAAATTACATGTTTATTGGATGTTGTTTCAAATCTTCTTGAATCAAGTAATATAACAATCAGAGTAGCTGAAAAGGTTGTGTCTAGATATCTAAAACAATGTCCAGGTAATTACTATGGAATATGTAATGAAAGATGGAAGATTCGCACTCATTCTTGGTGATGATTCAAATTCAGTGCTAGATGAAGAGGAAGAGGCATTAACACATTGGCAAATCATCAACATTGTAGTATGCCTATCATTTGTGCTACTAATGATATTGGTGGCAGTTCTATTGACCATCATTAATGATTATCTTTTTTTTTATTAAATAAATAAAAATCAACAACTGTTGGTTTAATAATAACTGTATTGAGGCGAAGATTGATAAAATTGTCTAGCTGTTTCGATTACTTTTCTATTTGGTGCCATTGGATATACCTTTTCTTCTGATCCAATTTGTAAGATGCTTTCTATCATGTATCGATGTTGAAGGTGATTTTCTTGGATTGAATATAAATCATTTTCTGATTCACTACCAATAAATTTAGCCCAATTAAAAGATGGTCCACTTTGTTCCTTTACATTGTTGTTCTTGTTAAAACAACAAGGATAAAAATGAGATAAATAATCAATGACAACATTTGACATTGGTCTATGAATCAAAGAACGACCCTTTTGTTTAATAACCTGATGTTGAAATGTTTGAGGATCGGTACAAAGTAAGAGATGGTGAAGAATTTCGAAGCTGTTGAAATTGATTGCACCAACAACACAATAAACATTAAAAAGTGGATTATTACGACACCATTCTTGACCCAAATACCCAATGACCTTGTTGTAAAGGTCCATACATCCAATGGACCCAATTGATTGAGAGAAAAAGGTAGTAATCATTCTAAAATTTCTTTTTGCACATAATCTATCACCATAAAGGTTATGTTTTTTGGCTAGTTGTATGACAAAATCGATACTCTGTATTCTATAACAAGACAATGATATTTCAAACCAATTATCCAACAAGAGTGATAGTTTGTTGTCAATGTTTGCTGCCAATACCTCTGGTTGTTTGGGTAGGATTAAATGACCAAAGTTTTGTAATACATAGTCTAGTTTATCGGTCCTTCCGTAATGGAGCATGCATTGACACATCAAGTGCAGTGTTGCTATTGGAATTTCTGCAAAATGTATCTTTTCCAATACATTATCAAACACATATTCAATGTTTGCAATGATTGCCAAATTGGTAAACTCTGTAAACCACTCGATACCTTCAATGTAGTTTCCAAGACGTTCGGCTAAAAGATTAGGATCGAGTTTAAATAAATACTCTAGCATGTCCCTATTCATCCACAACTGTTCTGTAATTGGGAAATTACTCTTTTTAAAACGTTCCACTTTGTCATCGATAAGCGCAGCGAGAATATCGACACTACCTGAAAGATAGGCAAGTTTGATGAGTGATTTGGTGTCTTTGATACTTTCATAGTTCATTATTCCCAATATATATTTTAATGATTCCACATCTACATTTTTAATTGCATTGGTTATTGCCAGTACTGTACAATCTTGATTGTATTTTTCACGTAAATGAACCATTGTTTGAAATGATTTGGCTTGATCCAATAACATTCCATTTGTTTTGATTGGCAAGGTTTTCTTTTCATGGTATTCAAATAACCAATCTATTTGTTCCAATGTTCCATATTCAACATAATAATTGATTACTCTTGATACATCCTTTCTAGTATTATGAATATATTCTAAAAAGTATTCTTGATCGATTCGGAATTCATTATTATTATTATTATTATTATTATTATTATTCTTGTTTGTAGGTAGATTTTTAAATAAATCACCAATCTCTATATTATGATTATAACCACAATAATTTAAACATTGTATAAATATAATATATAAATATGAATGTTGATTTTTAAATTCACTATTATTATTATTAATGATTGTTATATTATTATCAAGTTTTAATTTAATATTATTTATAATTTGTTGATTTAATTTTATACGATTATTATTATTATTATTATTATTATTATTATTATTATTATTATTATTTGTAATTTTAAAAATATTAAATTTATCTAAAACTATTAATTTATCAATAGTTGATTGTGTAATTGGTTTTGGGTGACCTGTTGTTGTTAGGGGATGAATAGCTTTTAAACGAATCTGTGATTCGTTATAGACCAAGTGTTCCAATGCAAAGTCCAAAGTATTGGCATCAAAATTATTAAAGAGTGCAACCGACCATGTATCACTTAGGTATGGTTTGTCTGGCAGTTGTATTGCATGATACGAGGAAACTTTGTATTGATCTTCCTCTTCTTTAAACGTTCGATAGTTTGAAAGATAGTATTTTAGCAATTGACCATCACCACCTTTAAGAATGATGTCTAGTGCATTCGTTCTAGTCGGTCTAAATACAATTGGATCAATGTTGTACTTGTTAATCAACGTATCCAACATTTCAAACGATGATATAAACCAATACATGTCACCAGTTGATATTTTAAATCCATCCTCTAACAATTTGTTATTTTCTCCTCCTTCTCCTCCTCCACTGATACATTTAGTTGTAAAGTGTTTAGCCAAGGTTGATAAAGCTATAAAGTTGTTACATTTGATAGCATCCAATGCGAGTTTAGCAAATGAAGCCATTGGGTTAACTAGAGAATATGATCTCTCGAATAATGGAGCATAGTCACGTAGCAAGATATCCCATACTACCTGATCAGCCACACTACACACTCCTTTGACAGCCGACGCATCCATTGTCAACGGTTCTCTTCTCACCAACTTGTAACGTAGTAATAGTTGATAGTTGTATGCAATCATCCATGATGGGTCATCTATTTGATGATATCTCTTGATCTTTACTCTATTTGACAATGGGTCATTATCCTTTAAACTACATTGCATCATCATCCTACTATTTAGATGAAGTTGTCTAAATATATTCCCCATCAAATAACTATTCTTTAATACTCTTATTATTATTAATTCATTTTGATTTATTAGATTTGTCATTATTATATATATATTTCTAATTATTATTAATTATAAATATATATCTTGTGTGTATGAAAAAAAAAAAAAAAAGAAAAAGTGTGATGTCTAAATTGAAGAAGCTTTGTCTCCAAACCAAAAGCATTATTGTTCCTTTTTGTCAAGAATATTGTAAGAACACATAATATTATATTATATTAATATAAGTTTAATGGATTCAGTCATTAGTTATGTACAACCTGATTCAGATTTTCATGATAAACTATTAGAGGGTAGGTATTAATAGTTGAAGTAGTAGTATAGTATACCAATCCGAGTTGCAAACATGTTTCTACAACAAACCTTGTTAATAACATTTTTGTATTTCTTTCTCTTTCTTTAAGATTATATTCAAATATATGAAAATAGAGAAGAATATAGATATAATAATGGAATGGATAATGATTTACTTGAACCATGTGATGTAGAGGATAATTTCTATTATGTTAATTATCCAGCATGGTCATCACAAGATGTTTTGATTGATGATGTGATTGATTTGTTAAATGACGATGAACCATTTGTACTATTCTTTAAAGATGGCTTTGTAACTGAAGACTTGGTCGTCTTTCATCAAGACATGACACTCAGTTACGAATCGATCATTGATAATTACAAATTATTGGATTGTACGCCAAGAATGTTCTTCAACTATCAACACAGTTTCAATAATCTTCCATCACAAACACATCTCTTTATGTTATTGGCTATTGTAGAATCTATCAAAGCACCAAAAAACGTAAATGACATTGATACACTAAGAGATCGACTAAACAATGACAATATCGTAAACACTTGGGAGGCTGCCATCAATTTGTTACCTTGTACAATGGTTGGTGCACAAAACCCAAGAAACAAAAGAAAAATATCAAAGAGAAGAGGTATTCTTCATTCTCTTGGAGATTAATCTGAAGGAAACAGATTATGTAATGTGTAACAAATAAATGTATATAGCTTAGTTTTGTGTAAATAATTAATATTAATAATAATTAAATTAATATTAAAAGTAAATTTAATTTAATTCACCCTCTAGTCGGTGATGATGAATGAACAATCCAATAAGAGGTCAAAACCAATGTCACAATTACAAGTACCATGCATTCGATTACATATTCCATGATTACTACAATTATTAGGACACTCTTTTGCAAGAGATACCACTTTTGTTGTAACCTTTTCAGCAAACATTATTAACTGTATAATTATACTGATCCGTGGAAAAAGGTTCCACAACATCCAATAAACAACTAATTTGTTTAAAACTGTTTCCAATTAACTTTGGTGATTTACATTGTTGTTATTAAAACATATGATTGATCTTTTCCGAAATGATTACCGTTGATTGTAACCATTGATGGCTGTCCAAATTGAATATTGGTAACACTATCAATGATCGGTGTATCAATTGAATAAACCACAGTTCTAATATAAATATTATATAGAATATTATTTGATTGTTTTATATTTGAAGTATTTTTAGAATAATACAATGGAGATAGTGTTCCTTTGAATGGACCATTATTTCTTGTAAAACTATTATTGTTACTGTTGAATGAAACACCTTGCCAAAATCTAAATGATTCATACCCAATTGTAAAATGGGCGTTGTATCTTGCCAAGTAAATTAATTTTTGGACTACAATATTTTGTGTAAAGAATAAATCTCTGATAGATACTATATGATCTAGCGCAGAGCGAGGGGAGGATGCAGGGGGCCCATATGGATTTTATTAATATTATTAATTATTTTTAATTATTACTATTACCTTCTATCTGAGGGTAAAAGTAAATGATTCTCCTTTAAGGAGATGGATCCCAAACAAATATATTATTATTATTATTATAAAATAGTAGTAGTAGGTGGCGGTAGTAGTGGAATTAATTTAAATAGATGATCATCTATTAATCCGATGCAAATACATAAACTGCATTTGCTTCATCTGGAATTTGATGTACATCTTTTTTAACTGTTATTGAATTGATTTTAAGATTGTTGTTTTTGTTGTTCTTGGTGTTGGAAGAGGAAGGTGATTGTCTTGATCTCTTTTGTGGTGGTTGTTTTGGACTTTCTTGATCTAATTTTTCTTCTTCATCATCTTCATCATCGTCATCATCTTCGTCGTCGTCGTCGTCATCATCATCATCATCATCATCATCATCTTCTAAAACAACAACATCATGAGAATCATCTTGTTGAGGTTTAGGAGGTTTTAAAAGAAGATTCACGCCACATAATGTCAAAAATACCTCGCCGACCAGTACTGGAATCAACAACTCGATGATCATTAATTCTAGACCGCGGTCAAAATCGAGTGCAAACAACACTTTAAATGCTGCACTACACAATATGATAAATTCAAATGAAAGTATTTGAAACATTGTAAATGGCGATGAATCACTACCAGCACTAAACAACATCAAGAAAAAGGCGACACATCCTGCAAATGCATCTCCAATCCATAATGGTATAAATCTAGAATAGAAAAGGAAAAGGAAATTAAAATCGGATGGAAATTAAATGTTAACATGTAAGTCCTAAAAAATTGGATTTATGGATTTATGGATTTATGTGTGTCCATTTACAATTTTACTTACGTAATAGTCCAATGTAAATTGGTAATATTTGATATACGTAGAGTACCCATAACAACGGATGGAACGACAGTGATACCTATGAGGATCATGATAGCACCACCTAGAATATGTTGTTGACGATTAGCATGGGTAGGAGGCATACAACAGACACCTCTGAGGATGGAAAAGAGGCCTGCCAATAGAGTGACAGCAGTGACGATGAAAAATGGTGCGACCACTTGGGTAGTAGAGATGGTCACGACTCCTTCGAGTCGCAGTGTGATCATACCGGCACATGAGAGTGCTCCAAGCACCCATATACACCATACAGCACGTACAATCCACGGGACAGCATTGGCCAATGGACGTGAAGCACTAGACACCAACGCAATCACTATAATTGCATACAGTGGTAGGAATACAATCCACCAGTTAAAATGAATGACACCGTCAGCGCGTAACCCAAGCAGCACCGTAAATGTTAGAGCCAACAACCCACATATTTGAAATATAATTGAAATGTGTCGCCAAAATCGATTAAATTGTTGTTGTTGTTTCTTTATCTTTTTCTTATTATTATTATTTACAAGTAATTTAGTACTTTCATTGTAACTACTATTACTATTATTGTTATTATTATATTGTTGTTGACTGTTATTTTTAATATTATTGTTATAATTATTACTTGACATTATAGATTATATGTATATGTAGGATGAATGTATGTATATGTAGGATGAATGTATGTATATGGAATAAGTATGGTTGTAAAATATGAATTGATTATGTATATATAACTTTGTTTATATCTATCTACTAGTTAGTTTAAATTCTTCATTATTATTATGTAGTAGTATCTATCTCTCTCTCTTTTGCTGCTTCTGCTTCTGTTGTTCTAAGCTTAAGCCTCTTCTTGTCTGTATGTATTATCTTATCTCTATAGAGAGCTTAAACGATCCTCTATAGTGATGGTGACCAGTCCAAGAGATATGATAGAAGAATCGATATTATTAACAGAACAACTTGTAAACCAAAGAGAAAAGACAAGACTGTCAGACGAAACTGTTGGTATGTCTCTGTTTACAAAGAATGAGAGAAGTTTCCCTTTGATTAGGAAAGTAACATGATGAGATGCTTCGACACCAAGAACTCTTCCCAAGATATTTTTTGGGCTCCGACCTTGCTCAAAAAAAAAATAAAAAGGTCTGATTCTCGATGATGGAAGATCATGAATCATAAACAAACAATCAAAGACATAAAACGTGTACAACAATATTACGTGTATTATCAGAGACCACCAACAGATAAGATAAGATACCCTCGCCATAGTATGATCTAAATCAAAAGGAGAGAGACCAACAACAACAACAAGTAGGATTCTAAAATAATGAAGTTACAAAATGTTGAGAATACCTTCGTTCATAAAAAAAAGTAGTTGCAGGTTATTTGAAGCGTTGGTTGTTAATTTAGGGTTAGGGTCACTACACAAATACTCTAACGGTTCGTTTTTTTGGAGATGGTTAGGTTTTAGCTATAATTAAACTTTAAGGTTAATGAATGATGGATAGTTACAAATAATGAAAGTTGTATCGCATCACAAACCCTCACCAAAATTATTGACTATTATATTATCAATTAATAACAATAATTTCAATGATTAAAGAATATCTAAATCTGAAAGCCTTGAATTTCTAAAATCAGATTCCCTCTTTTTGCCCAATTCAGCTATTTACAAAAGATAGTTATTGTTTTTAAAGATGCAATGGGGCTAACTATCGATTTAGCCCCACAAGTCTTGGATAGCTTTGATCAAAAATAAATAATCTAATCCTCTGCCAAAAAATAGTTTTTATTAATATCCACAAAAATATCCACAGGATTTTGTTATGATTGTCAGTGGGGGCTGTGCTGAAGATGAGCCGCAGAAACTGTTTGGATGCAGAAATCGATTCGACGTTGCCGTTGCAGTTGGTTATTATTAAAACCTCAATTCCTCTTTGTCCTAAAAAAGTATCGAGTTGCATGGTTTGAAAGAAGGATGGGTAGAGCTGGGTTGTCGTCGATCCACACCTCATCGTCACAGAGAGGATAAAATTAAGAAACAATGGGGCAAAAGCACAATGAATGAATTGAAAAGAACCTCATTCCTTATTCATTTCTTACGATCTCATCATCGTCATTATTATTATTATTATTATCCACACTACCAATAATTATTTTTATTTCTTTTTTTCTTGTACAAATAATCATATTTATAATAATAATAAACTAACAAACTTCATTCAATGTACTACCATCACGAGACAGATCAACAACCAATACTAAATTAATAATTTTACACATTTATATATAATATTTATATAAAACATAACAACAAGAATAATAATATTAATAATTTTTTAAACAAAACAGAGAGAGAAAACTAACGAAAGAGAGAGAGAAGAAAAAAAAAATGAAGAGAGGAGCAACAATGTTTTTTGTAGAATCGATGATATTCATCTTTAATCTACTTTTATTTTCATATCAAACCTATATAGAGTATGGAGAGAGTGCCAAAATCTTTAAGAGAGCCAGGTATTCCATAAAATCCATTCCATTTGTAGTATTATTTTTAAATTGTTGTGCATTTGCACTTCGAATTCCATTTGGTATCATATGCTATGCCTATGATTTCGATGAACCTTATGCAACCCCAACAACATACATGTTGTTTATTGCAGGTGTTCATTTTTATACCGTAAGTAGATTCAAAAAAAAAAGTATTATGGTTTTATACATTTATTAATATATTTTGTTTTACTATATATAGTTGGCATGGTTATGGATATGTAGAGGATGGATTAAATTATGTGTAACATTTTTTTCAAAAGACCAAAAGATTGATTACAGAAAGAGAGGATTGGTAGACCGATGTGTCTATGGTGTGGCCATTGTATTGACAGGTTTTCTAGTCATTATAATGTTAAACTATTATATCATTCCCGATCTATACGATTATGAACAGATTACACGTTTCTTTGATGCCATATCAAAAATTTTAATCATATTTGTATTTACATTTTATGGTATGACATTGATCCGTGAACTCCGAAAATCCAACAAACAATTGGATATTTTCATTAGAATGAAGATGGTCATGATGTTGGTGTTGGTCAACTTTATGGTACCAGTCTTGGCCACTCTCAACATTCTCTACATCTACAAGGCCAAACATAAAACACCACAGGATTGGTTCAATCTCTCGTTTTTCTTTATCGAAATGATGAATAGTTATTCGATACTGGTATTGTTTGGTAGAAACCCTATACTTGCAAAGATGAGAGAGATGGCTGGTATCTCTGACCTCATTAAAAAGGTTCACATTACACCCAACACTGGAGAGAGTGATTTTTCAATGTCACGTATCACCAAAAAGAGTAGTAATACCAATATTGGTGATAGTGGAGTTGCAACCAATTCTTCAACTATGGTCATCATTCAACAAACGGTTGAAAATGATCAAAGAGGAGATAATGAAGGTGATGATGATGATAATACAACTAAAAGTGTTGGAGTAAGTGATGGTGCTGATTTATAGTGTATTAAATAATCATTGTCAAATTATAATAATAATAATAATAAATTCCAAATTGTACGATACTATAATATAATAGATAAATACTATACTATTCTTGTTGTTGTTATTGTACTTACAGGTATTAGTCTTGTCCTTTTAGCAACAAGAGTAATATTTATTATTCCATAAATTAAAAGAGTTTTCTTTTCGCTTTTTCAATTCTTTTAATCTTTCGTCAGATGGTAGTGACCATCGATAGACTCCAAAATTTTGATTCCAATGAGCAACGATATTCTTTTTAATACCTTGACTAAAAGGATATCTTACACCACTGATTGACTTTAGATAACTAATTCTTGATCGCTTTGTTACCTCCCACGAAGACTGGTCTGTGAAAATTAAATACGTATGAAATACAAATAAACCAATTGGCATAAACATTGTCGAGAATATCAACATTGTAGGTATGAATATAAATATATTTGATTTAATCCAATCTGTCCAAGTTGCTTCATTTTTAAATCCTGTTATTGCCTATAATAAAAAATAAAATAAACAAGTAAATATCAATATGTTTTAAAAATGGATATATAATTGTTCTTCCTCTTCTTACAATTTGTAATCCCAATAATAATAATATAGCTTGTACAAATAGAAATATATAAAAACTTTTATGATTTAATACACCAACACACCGACCGACAAAAAAACAATGATGATCAAATTTAATTACACATCTATTACATTTACTACAATGTTTTGCTCTAATAGGCTAATTTTAAAAAATAGTTAGTACTATTTAATCATATGAATATTATAGTTCACTGACATACAATCATATGATCACAAATTTTACAATAATATAATTGATCTCTTTTATCTTGATTTTCTTGTTTATCCAATAATTTATCAATTTCATCCATTTCTTCAATATTATTTGTCGTAGTTGTTATAGTTGTAGTTGAGTTATTATTATTATTATGATTTATATTATGATTATTAATGTTTCCTCTAATTCCATTAATTGAATCAATTGAAATTTCACCTTTTATAGTATTATCACCAATGAAACCAGGAACTGTATAGGCGCATTTAAAATAAGTGTAAAATGTAATGATGAATATTGCATGTGACCAAATGAGATAAAATGCATCGAAATGTTTGAAAATGGCTACATTCAAATCAGTGCCTTCTCTAAACATCAATACAAAGTAGATTACAATATGTATTGCTGTGTATGCTATTTGTGCAACCAATGCTTCTTTATCTCCAAGTGGACTTGGTTTTGATTTTGATCCTTTTTCTTGTTGTTGCGTTGATGATAATGATGACTGTGACGACGGTGATAATGGTACAGCTTCATCAAATGTACTAGTACTACTACTATCTATTGTATTATTATTATTATTATTGTTGTTCATCTCTAAACTATTATTATTATTACTATTATTATGACTACCTCCTAATACTCTTTTTATCATTGTTGTCATTGTCGCGTCGTGTTGTTTAATGTATTAATGTATTATTATTATTATTAAAAACTAGTAGGTAATCATTGATTGATTGGTTGATCAATCTAATCTTTTGAAGTTCACCTAGGTTCTTCTTTTAGAAGAGTAAGAATATTATTATTATTATTTCCCTCTTTCTAAAGTGACGACTGGTGATGATGACAACAATCTTCAGTCTTCTTTAGTTTTAGTTCAAATTAAAAAATTAATGGAATATTGCAATAGTAGTAATCAATCGACACTTTCTTTAAGTGCGCAGATTGGTGCACCCAAAAATAAAAATAAAAGTTGATGAAAATTAATTAATTATTATTAATTTGTATTATAGTCTTAAAAAGTGGTGTATAAATCATTCTTGATACCTGGGCTCACAACTGATAATAATATAATATAACCACATTGTACACACTTTACTTTTACTTTTATAATATTATTATTATTATCTTTTTAATAAATAAAATAATCAACCAAAGATAGAGAATAAATATTGCAGTAATCAATAATAATCAGGAAGATAGATAGATAGATAGATAGATAGATAGATAGATATTGGCAACGAAGTAGTAGTATTAGTAGTAGAGTAGTAATAATAGTATTTTTTTGTAAGTCGTAGAACCTAACACACACACACCGTTCTACAATACCTGTTGCAGGTAGCTGCTGATTGACCAGTGGATGGAGGTGGGCGAGAAACGTTGGTTGCAACAAAAAAAAAATTAAAAAAATTAAAAAAACAAGGGAAATCCTCTTCTATGTTTAAATTTAGCTTTTGTTTGTTTTCTCTTCTTCTTCTATCACAGCTTATTACTTTATTACTATTAATCCCATTATTTCTATTCTTATTCTTTTGTTTTTACAAACAACACAAGAAGTAAATAATAATACGATACGAATCTCTCACCACAATCAATCAAACAAACAAACAATCATCATCAACCATCTCGTCTTTTACAATTTACTCCCTCTCCTCCTCTTAAATATAAACAGACGTGAACTCTTCGTCTTACACTCAATCACAATCTCAATCAATCACCGAATCAAATCACAACCAACTATTCTTTCTCAAGAGTCAGATATACGATTTTATATATTTTATATATATTTAGTGATTGGTCGGTCATTTGATAATAATTAATGTTATCACATTCACCTTGTTTACTATTCGATTGAACAATCAACTTTATAAAACTCTCTCTTTTGTTTTTCTTTATCAATCATTCGATCACAGCAGTCACTAAAAGATAGTTTGACAGACAGGCAGAACTCTAGAACAAACATATGATAGTGATTTTGGCTTTTGCGAATCAATCTATCAATCGGTCAGCAATCATTTAAAGAGTAATTGTTTTGTTTTGTTTGTTTAACTACGACGACGACAACAACAACATACTATATGTATGATTCCATTAGTTATTATTTATTTTTCTCGGTTTTCTTTTATCATAACACCCACATCAAACAAACAAACAAACAAACACGCATTCACAAAAATAACCTATCACCATTCCGTCTCTTCTTCTTCTTCTTCTTTATATATCGATTTCAATAATACTTACTATTTTATATATCATTATTATCATTATTATTATTATTTAACTTATACAGGAACAGAAACAATCCTTATTCGAATATAAGTTTATACTCTGCGATAGAGATGTAAGAAAGCATGACAGGAGTACGAAGCACACTTCCAAACCCAGCATCAGTGGTCGAAAGCACCACTCACCGATTCCTCATCTTTGATGCACCCAACGATGACAATCTTTCCCTATATATGCCCGTAAGTTTAAATGATACGATCAATACAATCAACAAGAACAAGAAAGCACAAGTTTGACTGATCACATTACTATTCAAATACAAATACAACTATAATCAAATCATATACATATTTACAGGAGCTCCAAAGACACAATATACATCATCTTGTGAGAGCTTGCGACCCAACCTACTCAACCGAGCCACTTTCAGCTATCGGCATTCAAGTCCACGATTTACCATTCCCAGATGGTGGATCACCTTCAGATGCAGTAGTAGATAGTTGGCTAAGAATATTAAAAGACTCTTACAAGTAAGAAATAGAATAGATAGATTAGAAACAGATGAGATGATATGATAGGATAGTTGGTTAATATAAATATATATATATATATTAACATGACTTGTTTGTGATGACTGTCACTTTTTAGAAAAGATAACAAGGAAACAATTGGAGTTCACTGCGTAGCAGGTCTAGGTAGAGCACCTGTATTGGTAGCGATTGCTCTCATTGAATCAGGCATGAATCCGCTACAAGCCGTCGACTACATTCGTGAAAAGAGACGTGGATCGATTAATATCAAACAAATCAAATATCTCAAGGAATACAAGAGCAAGAAAAAGGGTACCTGCATCGTACAGTAAATGACGATGTGACCCATACAACAACAACAACAACAAATAGCATCAGCAGCAGCAATAGCAGCAATCTTACTCAATCCAAATCTCAGTAGCTCTCAGCAACAATAACAACAACAACAACAAATCACTACACACCAACAAAGCAACCAATAATAATAATAATCATAAATATATATTTAAAAGTATTTTCAATAATAGTTTTAAACAACTACAACAATAACAAATCAATGTACATCAACCAAACAAACAAACAAACAAAAAAATAGAAAAATAATAACAAAAACACAACGACGTAATAATAATTGTAGTAACAAACAAGTAGGAACTTGGTGATTGTCTCGCCATCAACATAATCATCAACAACATCAACATCATCATCATGTAGAATCAGTTTAGTACCATTCCTTTTTGGTTGATTACAGGTTAGGGCTAGGTTAGACCTCTTGTTGGGGTCGACTGCCCCCTTCCTACTTTTTAAATATTATCAACCAAAAAAGTCAATCAAATCTTCTTTTTCATTATTTTTCCAACAACCAATTTTTTATGATTATTATTATTATTAAACAACACATATACCAAAACAAACAAACAAACAAAACAATCAACCGAATGATCAATGGAATCACGATTAACAAACAACAAATAACAAAACCTTTTTTTTACTTGCATGGATTTTTTTACTTTAATTTTTTTTGACCAAGGAGATTAACAACCCAAATACAAAACAAACAAACAAACAAACAAATAACGACTGGAAATAGTTGGATACGATTTATATTACCGACATTTCCCAAACCAAAAGAAAACAAAATATAAATAAATATTTTCCAGTTTAAATGCTACTCCACATACAACCTTTTCTTCTTTCATTTTTTGAATTTTTTTGGGTTTCTGAGACTGGTTGTGGTGGTGAAAGGTGAGAACCTCCTCTTTTTAAAAAAAGTTTAATTAATAATCGAACCATACATTTATACATATATATCATTATTTAAACGACGAATAGCGAATCGACAAAGAGATAGATAGATAGATAGATAGATAGATAGATAGATAGATAGATAGATAGATCGATAGATAGAACAGATAAAGTATAAAGAAGAGAAAGAGAAATAGAGAGATAGATCAATATAACTTACAAACAAAACATACATATATATATAGAAAATGATGAAGGTATGATTATCACTATGAATTGCTATTCAAAACAATAGACTTGTTCATTGCAATTAAATGAAATGATGATTAGATATTAATAGAGACTAATAATGATCGTTGTTGTTGTTGTTATTTATTTAACACTTTTAGTACTCACCATTTCATGATGATGAACCATCAAATAATGACCCAACAGGGGTACAAACAACATCAGATCAAGCAGCAGGACAACCAAGTGCACCAAGACATCCAATAGCACTATTCTTTCATTTCTTTTTCAAGGGTATCGCAATTGGTATCTATATCCTCGACTACTTTATCTCTTTTGGTTTTGTCATTACATTTATCGTTATTACATTGTCGTCGGCATTTGATTTCTGGACCGTAAAGAATGTAAGCGGTCGTTTGTTGGCTGGTTTGAGATGGTGGAATGAAATACAACCAGACGGATCTGATAAATGGCATTATGAATCAACCAACAACAAGGCTTCTGTCAATCAATCGGAATCTTTCTTGTTTTGGGTTGGACTTATTGGATGTCCATTGGTTTGGGCTGTCTTTACCGTTTTCAGTATCTTTTCATTATTAAAGTTTAGTTTTGGTTGGTTGGTTGTCGATATTATTTGTTTGGCACTTTCTGGTTACAATGTATATAGTTATATTAAATGTGCTAAAGGTAAACAAAAAAGAAAATAGAAAAGAGAAAGAAAAAGAAAGAGAAAGAGAACTAATCAACTTTATTTATTTAATTTAGATGCACGTAAAAAGGTAAAAGGAATGGCACAATCCTATCTTGTAGGTCAAATAGTCAATCAAGCAATCAATAGAGTTTAATTTAAATTCACAAAGCAACAACAACAAACGATAAAATATTTATTTAAACTAAAACTCTCTTAATGAATCTATTAATAATAACAACAACAAACAATTACCCTAAATTATAAATTTATATACTTCTTCTTCTTTTTTTAATAATAACAATAACCATTGCACCTTGGATTGTATGAAGTATTTTTTTATCCTGTGATAATTATTATTATTATTCATAATCCCACAATCGAAAGAGTGATTGTATTTTATTTTATTAGTGTGTTTATACATCTGTGCTTCCTCAACTCAGTTTGATTTCGATCGCAGAGTATTGTGTGTTCCCATTACATTTGGGTTGGAACAGTTGTTCCTATTGACAAAACATACAGTTACAATTTATGCAAAAAGAAAGAGATAACAAGTTGTTGGTTTCTTTCTCCCCCCTTAATATTAATCAAAGAAATAAAATACTCTATACTATTCTATACTATAATTAATTTATAAATTCATCAATCTATTAATAAATTTATGAATAAATTAAACAACAATGACGTGAAACATTAATTATAATTTGATGATGCGGAAAACCAGGCAAAACCATTGTGCACAGATGGATGCCTAATTTTGGCATGATCCACATGAGATCTGACAAAACAGCAATTTAATTTCTATTTCCCTCATTACACATAGTTTACCTCATCATCACATTAACGATACAACTCTGCAATCATCAACAGCATTTGCTTATTATAGATATATAGACAGTAGATTAAGGTTCCAAGGTTCTGACCTCGTTCGTTTCATCTACTCTACAGCTTACAACTCAAACAATCACCTTTTAATTTAAATTAAAGCAACAACCGACACAGACAGTCTCAGACACATCATACAATATATAATATACACGCGTGCACTCTTTTGTACTCTTCAATACACATACATATATATAAATAGAATAACAACAATACAAATAGAACAATGTCATCAAACAAGAATAATAAAGCAGCAGCCTATGAAGATTTATCTGGACCAAGTGCTCCACCTCCAAAGAAGGAATCGACAGAACAATACTTTAAGAGACGTGAAAATGAAATGGAAGAGACTCGTGGTGTATTTATGAAGGAAGGTTTCAAAGGTGGTATCATCTTTACTGCTGTTACATCTGGTTGTATTCTTGGTGCATCTTTAATTTGTAAGAATAACATAGTATATTCTTCTTTTGACTACTTTTACTAACACATGTTATATCTAATCATATGATATGTATATATACATATTTATTTAGCTCCAAGATTTAGACAAACATTATCATGGGCCAATAGAACTTTTATTATTTCATCTGGTTTTGTTGCAGGTTTCTGGATTTATGGTGAGACTGCTTCTCATCAATTCATTCATGACAGACTAGCCAAAGAAATGGATGACTATCATAAAATAAGCAATAAAAGTATTTAAACAAACAAACATTTAGACAAATTAATTAATTAAATGTTAAATTAATATTTATTTATTTCCTACTTTTTTATAGACTATTACTAAAATATAGATCTATATTTCGTACTATTAGATTTAGTTGTAATAATAATTTACTTTGCAACCCTTTTATACTAAGTATTTATCTTTAATAATCGAATTTATTTATTAATTAAACAATTATTGAAAATAGAAAGGAAAAAGGATTTTTTTTTATACAAATAATTTAAAATAGTTGGGGTTGGGGGAAAAAAACTTTGTTTGTTGTTGTTGTTGTTGTTGTCCATAGTTACAAGTTATTTGATATTATTATTATTTCTTATTTCAAATAAAGTGGAGGAGATATGTGAGAATTGATGATTGGTTCTATTGGAGTAGTATCAACATTTTTGAGATCAAATTCGCCAATATGTTTTTCAATGACATGATACAATGTATCTCTAATATCTCTGATGGCATTGAAGAGTTGTGGGAATGCATTTTCATCCAATTTAGATAGAATTCTGGCAAATACCTTGTAGTTTCTGTAATAGGATACTTCAAATGTCGAAGTTAATTCGCATAGTGGTAGATCACGATGCCATAGATGGAATATTTTTACAATGGTTCTTTGAATATGACCCGAAAAGGTAGAGATTGATGGCAATTGGTGAAGGATTAAAGAAAATTGATGACTTGCATTTTCATATTTTTGATTAATAATTGGATCCATTTTAAATTTAGTATTATTCTTATTTTCTAAATGTAATTTCTATAAATAAAAAATTAATATATTAATATAAAAAGTTATTATTATTACTATTCTTGTTTTTTTACATACTTGATATAAAAGATAGGCATGAGTAAAATTCTTTAATAGAGGTTTTTCAACATCTTGAAGTAGACCAGTTTTATCGGCATTTTCAATTTCGCGCCATAAAAATGAACCATATTTAAAAGATGGAAGAGCTTCATAGTTTTCTAAAAATCTGTCAACAACGACAGCCAAACTATCTTCAATTGATGGCATCTTTCTACCAGCAACAAGGTTGGTTTGTGCATAATTTAACAATAAAATATTACGATTTAAAAAGGTTTCTCTATCCTCATTTTCTAAAATCATTAAATAATTCTTTCTCTTTTTCTTTGTAAAATTATCAATTTGAGTTACCAATGTTGCTCCTTCTTTCCATCTATGAATAATTTCCTAAAAAAAAATAAAAAGAATTAGAAAAATGATCATTTAAATATTATTATTATTATGATTTTTCTTACAGATCTTGTTAAATGAAGTGAATAAACAAAATAAGGGAATACAATATCACTTTCATAGGGAGGAGTACATGGGTATGGTAATGGTTGAGTTTTCTTATTATCCCAATCAAGAGTTGAGAGTACTAGGTAGAGGGATAAAAGGTTGTATTCATGATTGGCATGCATCAATAGGTTGGCAAAGTGGGTAATAGATTCGTAGTAGATTTGTACGTCACGTCCTTCTGAAGGTGTGATGAATTTAAGCATCGATGGATCAATGGTACGCATTGGACCAGGTGGACGTGGTGGTACGTGAAGTGACGATTCAACTGGTGGTGGTACTTGAATGGGTGTACCAATAGAGTCGAAATGATTAAATGATGGTGTTGCAAAGTTGAGGAAATCTCTATATGGTGATGTCGCATTGTTATTCATGTGATGGTGTGGTGGAGGATAAGAAGATCCAACACTACCTGCAGGATAGGAAGATCCATACTGTGAATCATCATCACTTTCATCATATAAACTACGTTCTTTTGGTATTGTTGTATTTGTCGATTGTTGTTGTTGTTGCTGTTGTTCTTGTTGACGTTGTTGTTGTTGTTTCTTATATTTATGTGCCTCTTTTAAGAATCTTAAATTATCCATCCATTGATTTGCAGTTTCTTGATCATCTGCAAATAAATAATAAACTCTACTACGATTCTAAAAAAAAGAGAGTAAAGAATAAATTATATATTATTAGTATATGTCAAAATAATAAGTATCATTATATCTCTGACTTACAGTATCTAATTGAAAATATCTATTATCAGTCCATACAGCACTTGTAGTTGGTTGAATTTGTCTAAGATGTTCATATAATATAGTTCCTCTAAAGTCTTTTAATAAAGCATCTGAATAGTAATTAATTGCATCAACGTCTGCTACAAAGTATCTTCTTTTCCTGTAAGAGTTTAAATCATTAGTTTTTTGTGTATTATACCACAACAACTATCTGTCTGTCTTGTCTATATTCTTACCATAATTGCATAACACCCTTTTCCCCTTTCTTGTGTAACCATCCTTGATGTGATTGATTCTAATTAGAAACAAAAGTGAATAACAAAAGTTAGTTATATATCTCCCTCTTGTTGAACAAGCAAGCAGTTATTACTCAAGACAAACCTACATTATCAATTGCATATTGTTGTTGTTCTAATAGTCCATTATTATTACTATTATTTATTTGTTTTGAACTAGAGTTTAATGATGGATACAAGTTGTTGTTGTTGTTGTTGTTTCCTCCTCGAGGAGATTCTTGACTCATTGCTCTCTCTATCAAGTCGAATGAGTGTAAATTACTCTCTCTCTGTTTTTTCTTTAATATTGATATATATTAAGTTTCTTTTTGTTGCTTTGATATTAAAGTAATTCTTCTGTATACATATATATATATTTGTAGAGATATAAAGTTGATATGAAAATGAATAAAATAGACAAAAACAAATATTATCTGAATAAAAATTTGAATTTTCAAGTTTTTTAATTAATTTTTTTTTATTCCCAAGGAAAAGAGAATGTCTAGGTTGTGGGAACCTAATCCTTGAAAATAAATATTATTATTTATTATTTATTTTATTTTATTTTATTTTATTTAAGTTAAAAATCATGATCAGTAATGACGATCATTGGTTTATCTTCATTCTCTTGATCATATGGATTAAATTGGTCAAAGTCATCTGGTATTTCAAACAAATCCAAATGCCATTTAAATTTAAATTCCAAGTATCTTTTAAGTGTCAATATCTCTTTTAAAAGATTGGAATTTAATTGTTGTTGTTCTTTTTCATTTTCTATTGAAATATTATTGTTTGTTGTTGTAGTTGTTGTAGTTGATGTTGTAGTTGTTGATGTTGGTTGTTTACTTCTACTAATTTTAGTTGTAATAATGTCATTATCTTCATCATCATCTAAAATACTATTATTATTATTATTATTTTTTTTGAATTGATTATTATTATTATTATTTTCATCGTCTTGATCCATTCTATCATTTTTGTTATTGTTGTTTGAAGTAAATATAGATTCAATAAAATTCTTTAATAAAGGTTTTAAGAATATATTACTTGTTAGATCAGAAGAGAATAGATCTGATGGTCCAACTTGAAATTGGTGTCTGAGGGTAACCATTAATCGAGTGTATAGTTGTGGACGGTCTTTTACAGATTGATCACAATCTAATAATAGTGTCAAAAGTGACTTCCATTGTACAAATGCTCTGTACGATAACCCATAGACAAACAATACAAAAGAGAATTGTAATTCTCCAATTAAACCTTCAATCTCCCATCCAGCATAATACCTTTTCAAAAGTATCTCCAATGCTTGTGATCTATCCATATTCCATTTTGATAGTTGTACAGGTGTTAGATTCTTTGGTGTTTTTGGTATTTTCGAATAATATGGTATACCCCATGTTTCTTTAACTTCTTCAATATTATTCTTTTTTATCTCCTTTTCATTATTATTATTATTATCATCATCATCACAGTTATCATCTTCTTCAATTTCATTATTATACTTTGATTTAAAATCTTTTAAATCTCTTTCTAATTTATCTAGAATTTCTCTTTCTTTTCGATCGTTTGAAGTTTGATTCTTATTTTTCTTTTCAGATTCTATCATCCAAGATTCTGATAGATCACCTATAATAGTTCCACCGATTGGTAGTATACGATCGAGTAGACGTTGTGTAATAGTGTCTGTCAATTGTTTCCATTCAAGATGAGATTCTTGGTCGACTGGATAAGCACCCAAATTCTGATCAAATTCATGTTCTCTCACCGATTGTATATATGCATCTCTTTCTTGTTGTTGGATGGTCGTTGAACTTTCAAAATCTTCATCTGCCACATTCCATCGTTTAACTATTACTTGTGATTTGTTAAACCAAATAAAACAACTATTCATATTTGGTGATATCGATTCTTTATCTTCAACATTTACAGCTCTAAAAACATAATAACAAATAAATTCTATTAGTATAACATAATATATAACTATATTAATCTTACTTTGAATACATACGAATAAGAGAATAAATGTAAACCTTCAGGTATCATTTTATAACCTTTGAATAGACTAGCGGCCAACATTTGTTTGTTGTCAAATATGAGTTGAGTACCCACCGGTACATTCAAACATAGTAGTGTTGCACCTACTTCATTCAAATATCTTGCTCTTTCTTGGTCCATCTTCAAACCTAATAATAAATAATAATAAATAATTACTTCACATTCACATCTTTGAACTTGACTATTGTCTCTTTGTGAAAGTTTCTTCAAAGTGCACTCAGTTTTAATTTAATTTAATTTTTAAAAATTTTTGACGACCTAGTCGTCTTTCGTTTTGTTCGTTCATTTTCGAGTAGTTTAAGTATTTGAGTAGTACTCTATCGCTAGCACATCGATTGTAATATAAAGAAGAGAGAGAGAGAGATGGATCAATTAATAGAATTAGTACCATTCCTTCAAGAACAAAAGTCAGAGATTAAGATCTTGGCATTACAACATTTATCGGGTGTATCGGGTGACCAAGCAGCAAGAGATGTACTCAAACAAACAAATATCATTGCTTTATTATTAAGATTGGTTGGTGATGAAAATAATGTATGTAGTAAAAGTAGAGTAGTCAACGATGGTAATACTACTATGTTTAACATACTTATCTATTAATTAATTAATTAATTGTTATTTAGGTTATAAATAGACATGCATTAACTATTTTAATTAATTTATGTCAAGATGCAGAAATGTTGAGTGATATTGTAAAACGTAATATTGTACCAAGATTGGTTGATGGTACCACTGATATGAAGAACAAGTTGGCAGAGATTTATTCTATGCTCCTTTCAAATATTACACATACCAAAGAAGGTTGTACTCAACTATTACAGTACGGTAGAGAGTTGGAAGGTTTTTACATTCTCAAATTGGCACAACAATTGACCAACGACAGTAGTGTACCATCATCAAGTGCATTGGCAAATGGTGGTAATTGGGTCATCAACATTTTACTCAACATTACACAAATCGAAGAAGGTAGAAATATCCTTTTAAATGCTGAACATGGTATCTTGGTATCACTCCTCCCTCTCTTGACTAGTAAATCAGTTCTCAAACGTAGAGGTGCTATGGGTATCATTCGTAATTGTTGTTATAGTACTGTTCATCATCAATACCTCCTATCCCCCGAAATCGATATTCTCACTAAAATGTTATTAATGATTCGTGGTCCCAATACTCTTGAAGATGATGTATGTAAACTATACATATAAATATAATCATTTACATTTCAATACTAACTATTATTATTATTTCTTAAAGGAAATGGAAGGAATGAATGAATTATTAAAGAATAAACCAGAACAAGCAAGTATCGATAGAGAAGAGGACAAGAAAGTTAGACAAATGATTATCGAAGCATTGATCTTTTTGACGTCACTTAAATCCACTCGAAAGACTCTTCGTGATAGAAAGGTGTATCCAATCGTTAGAAACTACCATCTCGTTGAAAAGGATGAAAAGATTGGTGAAGATATTGAAAAGGTGGTAGAGATGCTCATCAGAGATGAAGATGAGTCTGCTGCAGACACTCATAAAAATTTCAAAATCGATGATCCAAATGAAGATGATGATGCTTCAAATATTGAAGAAATTTAAATGAAACCAAATAAATAATAACTAAAACTAATAAATAATAAATAATATTAATACCAAACTAACCAACAAATATATACACACATATATAAATATTTACTGCTTACTTACCTTTTATTATTCTATTATTTTATTTAGTTAATTTTACTTTTTGATACATTATTTGTTAAAGACATTGTTCTATCTACACCTTGTTCAATCCACATTAAAGCTATTAAACTTGATAGTTCACATGATTTGGCAACATCTCTCATAGAGTCAATTGGGAATTTTGAGAGGACATGAGTTGCCAATGACCCACCTGGGTATTGGTGACCGACACCAATACGTAGACGAGATACCTTGTCAGTACCCAATCTCTTGATAATATCAGCCATTCCATTCTGACCACCAGCCGAACCCTTTCCACGCAATCTAACAAATCCCAATTCCAAATGAGTATCATCTACCATAATTAATATATTTTCAATTGGTACATCAAATTGTGATCGCATAGCTCTTACTACTCCACCACTAAGATTCATATATTTCATTGGTTTAACTAATATCAATTCTATTATTGTCTTTTTTGGTGCTTTAATTATATATGTTGATTTAATTTGTTGTTGTTGATTATTATTATTATCTTTCTTTTCTTTTTTCTCTACTTCTTTATCTTCTTGTTTATCTTGTTCTTCACCAACCTTCTTTTCTTTATCTTTATCTTGTTCTTTATCTTGTTCTTTATCTTTATCTTTTTCTTCATTTGGTTTAATTTTAATATTAATATCACCAATTCTTTTTACTTGTTCATCTAATTCCAAATAAAGAGTAGTACTATGACAATTGTAGGCAATGTGGTCTATTTGAGTCTTTAGTAGTTTAGCCAATTGATCGACTGCTAGGAAACCCATGTTGTGTCGTGTAGTCAAATGTTCCTTGTCTGGGTTACCCAATCCAACAATCATGAATCTATGTTTTGCTCTAACTCTATCTTTTGGTCCATCACGACATATAACAGTTCTAATCAATTGATCTCTTGCAATCTTGTCTTTGGTATCAAATATTTTACTTGTTGTTGGTACATATTTTTCTGTTGTTGGTGTTGATGCAGTGGGAGAAGTGGTAGTTGTAGTAGAAGTAGAAGTAGAAGTATTTGTAGTAGTACTAATAGTTGAAAACAATCTCTTATTTAAATTAAGATGATTATAATGTGAAGAAGAAGAAGAAGAATAATTTGTATATGTATTATTACTATTATTGGTTGATGTTTGTTGTTGGTGACTATTGTTGTTGTTGTTTAACCAACTTGTACTTTTACTATATTGTATAGCAACAGCAGCATTGCTACTAGATGTGCAAATGATATTATGTATAAATTTAGATGTTGTCCTACTACTTATCATCATCATCATATATCTATCGATCGAATTGTGTGTTCGATTAAGATCTTCATTCAATTTTTGGTGTATGCGAAATTTCATTGTGATCAGAATAAATATTTATTTATTATTTAATTTTTAATATCAAAGAAAATAGGGCAATTGTTTTCAAGGTCATTCTTAAAAGTAACAGGTATTTGAATAGGATTATGATATGAATCTATTGAGTTATTATTTTGATTATAATTATTTTGATAATTCAGCATTGAATCTAAATTATTAATTAAAAATTGTTGGATGTGTTTGTTGTTGTTGTTGTTGGTTTGAGGTAATGTTGGTATTTGGGTGTTGATGATTTGGTACAATTGGGTCATATCTTTTTGATATTTCTTTGGTTCCAATTGAAAAGAGTTGTAAATAAATAATATTATCTTCCAAAATTCCGTTGCTTTGGTAGCTGTTTTGTAAAATGAAAAATAGAGAAGGAATAATGGTACAATGTATCGAACTATGTTTGATACTAGGATAGTTTCTCTATGTGTGTTTTCTTGGTTACAGTTATTATTATTATTAGTATTGTCAATGATGAATTTCAATTTTAAAAGGATCGTTTCAAAAGTGTAAGAAGTGACTGTTGAAGATCGCATTTCCAAAATGTCTTGTGCATGTTTCATGGTAGATGTAAATGTATAGTCCAGTGCCAACGGGAGTAGTACTTGTTTGTTGGTTGAAACAATGTCAACCAATAACAAATGACTCTCTGATAGTTTCTTGTCTTGATTGGGAAACATCGCCGTTACACCTTCTAGAAATACATTGTTGGCGGCGGGCAACCTCGACAGTTTTTCAGCCAACGACAACCATTTGGTTTGAATAAGTTGGTCAAAACGAATGGTCCACAGTTGCATCAAGTCGATTGCTTGATTGGCTGATAAACAGCAGTCATCTCTATCAATAGTCGATAATTTCAAGACACTAATCATCTCTTTCAATTCGAGTTTCTTTTGATGATACAAATCATTCGATAGGAAAATGGATTTGGCAAACCGCATAAATAATTCTTGAATTTGAAGTCGTGTCAAACCCTCTGGGCGAGACACTGTAACTTTTAATAGTCGGGTCATGAGACTAGAGTAAGGTGCTACACGTATATCTACTTGACAAAGTGGTGTAACCAAGTGGTTGAGATATGGGTGCATATCTTTTAAACAAAACTTGTTTGTTCGAACCAAATAATCAAAGAAATAGTGTCGATAAGAATCATTATCTCTAACCAATATTAAAATTGGTTTTAAAAGCCAAGGATAGTAAATTGATAAATCAGAGTGACAAGGACCATTTAAAATAATTTTTGCCAAATTTCCTTGTTCCTCTACTCCTCCTCCTCCTCCTCCCATTGATTTAAAATAATTCATAAATGCTAGATAATATTGTTTATAATATTTAATTCCAACCAATCTACAAGCATCCATAAATATTTTTGGTATTTGATCATTTTCTTTAGATTTTAATAATCTTTTTAATAATATATTAAATATTCTTGATGATAACTATAAATAAATATAAATATAATATTAATACTTATTACTTTTAATAAATTAAATATTATTATAGAGTTATATAGTTACATTTCTAAAATGAATAGGATCAATTAATCTAATTGCAGAGAATGATATTTTATAAATCATATTGTCTTGGTGGATAGGTTGATTTTCAAGATATGACGCGAATCTATTGATTAATGCATTTACAATAATTTCACTTTTAAATGTAAAGTTTACTTGTTGTTGTGGTTGACATTCAATAATCTCTAAAATAGTTTCAAAGAAATAATACAAGACTAATAATTGACCACCTTCTTCTTTTGATTGTTCAGCTCTATTATCAGCTATTCTATTTGATAGATCGATGATTCGTTGTTGTGTTTGTGGTGAGTCATCATTGAACAAGTAACCATACAATAATGATGTTGTTGTACGACGATAAGATGAGAATTGGATAATCTCACTTTTCTCCAAAAGTATCAATACGTATTGACATTTAATTGATTGTTCATTCTCTTCTGTACTTTCATCAACAATATCTTTTAATAACATATATATATCTTGATACTGTATATCTATTAAGAATAGAATAAACCCATTTAATATCAATAAATATAATTGTGTTTTGTGTTTTAATTGATGTGTCAATGCTTACTTACCATTTAAAAATTTAGAATACTTGGTTAAAAATAAACAAAGTATTGAAATGATTCGATCATTTGTTTGGTTGTTTGAATGGTTGATGTTGTTTTCAATTAGATTGAATAGATCGACCAAAGATACATTTTTGATGAACCGAGTTAAACTCCCAGCTTTTTGATCATCATACAATGCAAGGTGTTGACCAAGTAAGTAAATAGAATGATCTCTAATCTGCATTATTATATTCAGGATGATATAAATATTATATTAATAAGTGATCATCGTACGATAGCATAGATCTATCTATGGGTTTATTATAACATTTTAAAATTAGAATACAAACATTCAAGTCGTCTTTACATTTAATGCAAAGATAGAGTAACCATGACAATGTTATTTGATGAGGTGCTGCTAGCGGTGGTAGGTTGCAATCGTTAGATTGATGTTCTTCTTGATCAATACAGCTAGCAGCAATGGATTGATAGAAATGTTGTGGAGGTTCGAAATATGATGTCTTGCTCATCTTCTTCACTAGTGAGCAAACAACAAAAAAGAGAAATTAGAAAGAGACTGCACATTTATTTTTTATATTTTAATTAAAACAATACACAAATATTTAGAGTTAGGTGATGAAGATTGATTAATTAATTATTATTATTATTTAATTTGTGTAATCTTTTTTTTGAAAATTATTATTATCTACATGATTGAGCATTTTTTGACTGAATTCACTACCAAATTGATGGTGCCGGCGACAATAGTAACCACACCTTCAGCAACTATTTTAATAGCCTCCTCCAATGCACCTTGAATCCATGTTTGTTTTATCCTATCCCAATCACTCTCGGTAAATTCCCGGCCTTCTCTCTCTGCTTGTTCTTTGGCATCTTCAGCAGCCAATACAGAAGGCATCTCTGCTTTTCTAGGATTACAGCTATTCAATTTATTCATAAGATTTTCAAATTGATTGATAAAATTGTAGGTTGTGCATCCTAAAAACATAAATAGATATTTAAATATCTTTTAATTTTAATATTATAATTTTTAGTTTAGTAGCTGTAGATCAAATATGTTACTTTGTATCACAAAATGTAATGATCAGAACTGGGTTGAAGAAAACAAAACCTCTGAAACTTTAAATTATATTTTATCTAGATGTGGTCTTGGTTACATTACTGTTGATTTTCCTCCCAAACATCAGAATGAAAAAAGAGAAGGTAAATTATCATTTAAGAATATAAATTATTCATACTCAACCATTATTATATTTTTATTTCTGTAAAAAAGATATCAACAAAGAGATTAGATTAAAATCTTATGCCACATTGATTAGTAAAGTGACTCAAATCTGAATTCCACCCAAAAATGTGTTTCCTTTGTTGTATTACCTTCCGTTGACTAATATTGGAGAATGCAACCCCATATAAATAAATAAATAGAATGAATATTATATCGCCAATCAACAACCAAACCAATATCTTTTGACCATTTGAAAGCAAAACAACATGATGCGAAGTTGTTTTTTTTTCTACCCAGCCAGGTTTATCACAATGAGTAATGCAAAATAAAAGATTGGGATGTACCTTTTCGTCAAATATAGACATTTATTAATAATAATTTCTAAAAATCGTATCTCCTATCTTTTCTTTCATTTGTTTCGTTTCTCTAGAATGTTATATTTAGGATAATGTAAAAGTTTTATTAATTACTGGGTACTCAATCTATCCATTGCCAACTTTTTTTTTTTTTTTTTGGAAATAGAATTCTAAATTTTAAAATTTCTAATTGTCCTTATGAAGATCCAAGTCTACCAGGCTATCTTTTATTTCAAACCAATTGGAGTGTTTAACCGATATATTGATTATGTAGATTTGGATTCACAAACTAAGCTTCCAGTATCCTATTTCAGAGGTTTTGTCGCCCCTGATACTTCTTCTAGTTTTGAAACACCAGTTGTTAAAAAGTAATTTATAATAAGTAAGTAAAAAGATAATTATTATCTTTTTGACCAAGGTGCAAGTCGTTGGAAAGAAGAATAATTAAATTATTAGATATAGAGATCATTCTATATCTCATGATCCACCCAAAAGTATTTACAATAAATTTATTCCTTCCTCGGTTGATTTTCATATTAAAATGGATTCGGGTTTTCATTTGATTTCATCTTATAAATATCTTTGTTCTATGATTCTAATTGGGATTCAACAAACCCAATTGTCGAAAGATCTTTGTTCTTTCGGTCTTTATCTTTGCCCAACATGATCATCACTATTATTATTTTAATAGAGCAACAACAACAGCAGCAGCAGCAGTAGTAGTCGTAGAGATAATATAACAATGGCGATCATCAATAGAATGGTGCTGCTACTATTGCTGATCAGCACTACGATTATACTTCAGTTTGTAAGCCTTACCAATGCATTGTTACCAGATTCAGAATGTATGTTGTTGTTGTTGTTGTTTGAATAATCAATAGATATATATATCAAGTCATTAATTGTTGTTGTTCATTTATATATTTTTACTATACTATAGTGGAATCTATTCGATTTATGATACTTCAATATGGACAAGTTCACTTACCTCTTGATCAAACTATTTGTAACGGAACATTCTATCCCGATATCATCTGTATCAAAGATTCAAATGGTATAGATCATTTACGATCTATCGATATTCGTAAACCATTTGTAGATATGAATCTCTATCCAAACGCTAGTCTTGCTCGTTTAAATCATCCAATGCTAGAGTTTATTGCAATCAATTCAATAGGTGGTGTAAAGAATTCGAGTATCAACATTCTTTCAAAAACATCAAATCTTCCTGTAATGTCTAGTATCACGTATGTTATGTTCATCATATATATATATATATATCAATCGATATTATATATATAACAACTCACCAATCTTTATTAATTATTAATTCCTCTTTATTTAGATCATTTGATGATCCATCCATTAACAATATTCCTGATGATTTTCCAACTGGTTTACCTATACTTAGAGACATGTAAGGCGATCTATATATATATATACCTTTTTTCAAACAAATGTTCATTTATTAACCATTCATTATTATTATTTAGTACTATTCTTTCACAAAACGTTCTATCAAGTAACACATTTTTCAATAATACCAAAGCCAGAATTGAATTACGTTCCACGACATTTAACCATGTTGTTATTGATGAAACTCTCTCATTGCCAAGAGTTTCAAATCTTGATTTCAGGATTGAAAATCCTGAAACACCACTTTCATTGGTCTTTGGATCAAAATCTTTTCCAGAATTAAATATCTTGTATGTGTCCCATAGTCCCATTCTTCTTCTTCTGATTCTCATAACCTTTTTTCTTTTATTTATTATCTTTTTTTTAGAAAAGTGACATATCATTCTGATATTCCTTTAAATCTTTTAGTTGATTGTCATGTAATCACATTGTATGTATAGTATACTAAGAGATAATTGTATCAATATGATTAATAGTAAATTAATCTTTTTTTTAAAAACAAAACAGAGTATTAGCAAGTACTATACAAGGAGGAGTAATTAATTTAGATTTTAGACCAAACAATGATATTAAAACTGTGTCCTTTAATGGTAATATCTCATTTACAAATGGATTTGATTCAAATTTAGAATCATTGAAAGATATGTATGTTTGTATATATATATATATATAGATATATCCAATTTCTCAAGCCCTTTTATTTACAAATCTATCTATTTTTTTAGTCAATTAATTCTTAGTTATCTAGATACCTACCCATTTACCTCATTCCCCCCAAATTTAAAAACCTTTTCATCAACATTGTCTAAAATGTCGTCGGTTCCTTTGATTCCATTGCCCGAGTCATTGGAGAGCTTTGCTTTGACTAGTAATTCACAACTCTCAGGTACATTGCCTCTAGATTTATTTGCAAATGTCATGCCACTATTCGAGTTGGATCTACATGATAACCCTCAACTCTCAATTGGAGATATCCCAGAGAAATGGTGTGAGTTTGGGTCTATCAATATTGAAGACACTACAGGATTAGGCATTGTACCTGATTGTTTCTATTGTTATGCCAATGTTTCATATCCAAAAATTAAAATGCCAACATCAATGTCAATTCCACAAAATTTTGTTTGTCGTATGTAATTAATTATAATTATTAAATTAAATATTAATATTCTTTCTTTTTCTTTTTCTTTTTCTTTTTTTTAGATATAACAATTGATAAATATAATTTAACATCTATTTTAGGATCATATGTAGTGACTGGTAATAATCTTGGATGGTTATATACGATAAAGGATTCAAAGGTTTATATACCAAACAAACAAGTTGCCTTTTCACAAATTTATACACCAGGGCCACCATCTCTTGTCAACATTTCATTCAATCCCAATAATGGATACAATTTTACATTCTCAGTTTTAGAGATTGGCTTTTTGGTGGATAATTCAAAGGTGAATTTAAAGAATACAGGTGATCACCAATTGGTTGTTCAAATGCACCTCTTTAACAATTATCTAGTTCACAAAATACAATTGACCGACAAGAATATCTCTTGTCCAGTTATAAGTCAAACATCCAAAAGTATAATTTGTTCAATTCCAAAATCAATTCGACTCTCTCCTTCATTTACTTATTATGTTTATAATGATAATGGTTGGAATGAACAAAGAACTCATATTTTTGGTATGAAAAAAGAATCAAAAAAAAAGAAATATAATTAATATTAATTATTCTATTTTTCTATTTATTTATATATATAGTTTGTATGTATACTTTAGTTTGGTTGGATTACTATTAAATTTAAATTAAATAATCAAATTTATTTTGTGAATATTAATATTTTTAATTTATTTATTATTTTTAGATTACCCATTAGTATCATCAGTTGGATATAATAGTACAAGTAGATCATTAGTATTATATGGTAATTATGGAAATCCAGTTAATAATCCTGTTATTGTTACAGTGGCAGATACTATCAATTGTAGTACAACTAGTGTATCTAGTACTATGATTAGATGTACTCTTGCTTCTATTCCTCCAGTTGGTCAAGCCAACCTTTTTGTCAGTGTCAATGGATCCGAGTTCATGTCAACTACTTTATTATATTTTGATCCAAATAATAATAATAATAATAATGGTTCAACTACAACAACTACAACTACAACAACGACTACGACAACTACAACGGGAGGAAATGGAGATACACCTCAACAAACATGTCAAAAACAAACATACAATTGTTATGGACACGGTTATTGTGATATTAATGGAAAGTGCCAATGTGATGATACTTTTAATCAAATTGATAATTGTTTAACAAAATGTAAAATCACCTTCAAATTCAATTTATTTATTTATTTATTAACTTGTTTTACTTTTTATTTTTTAATTTTAGATATAAATACAAATATAACACCAAATGCAACCAATCCAACAGTATCATTTGATATTGATGGAATCGAATTTTATTTTGAAATTTATTCCATTCAAGAATTAAATTATGATGGACAATTATTAAAAGAGTTGGTGTTGGTACAACAACCTTGGAATGTTACTCTTGAACATGTTAATAGTACAACTTTTGCAACTTATACACTCAACAATAGTATGGTCTCGATCAATGATGCATCGTATCACCAACTTTTGGTTATGTCAAATATTTCATTCTCTTCGATCCCTAGAAATGTCAGTTTTGGAACTCGTCAATTATCATTGGCACCGAATGCCATAAAGGTTGGATTTACAATTGCTCAGTGGCCCTATTCATCCAATCTGGCAACACTAAGAGTAGTATTTAAATCGATCATTAATAATGACCAATCAGTCTCTTTTGGATGTGAAGAACAATCGGTAGACAGCTTCACAAAGGCTGCTGATTCATCTTCATCTACGATTCAATATCTCAGAGTCATCAAAGACAACATTCAATTCAATGGTCGGTTTATTGATTTTGTTTTATCAGATGGCAGAGAAACCTATTCAAAAACAGAATTAATATCATTGACAGAGATTGATGATGGTTCACACACTTCGGTTGCACTGATTGGTATCAATCTACCTCAATGTTCTGTATCCCAACTAGACCCAGATTTTACTCCACTCGTCGTTGACTCTGGGTCGGTCCACCCAGACTGTCAAAAGTCAAACACTTGGAGAATCATTGTTGGTGTGGTTGTCGGAGTCATTGGTTTGGCAAGCGTCGTGGCAGCAACTACAATCCTACTTCGCAAAAAAGCAAAAGCAAGAATCTATCGACACAAACTATCTAGATTATCAGAACAAAATAAACATCATGACAACTAATAAATTATTTAATGTATTTATAAATCAAAAAACAAAAGGAAATTTTATAGAAAAGTGGATGATAGATACTTAACCAAAAAAAACAATCTTCTTTTTTTATACCCTTTTTTATTTGTATATATATGATAACTACAACTAATAATGTTGATGATGATCCACCACAATCATTCACTGAAACTATTGTACAGTTATTAAATGAACAACAAGAGAATCAGATAACAATAGATAACAATGATGAGACAATACTTTTAAATAGATTCAACAATCTGAATCAACATTCATTTGGTCAAACACTACTCTGGCTATATCATCTATCATTTAAATCCCAAATATCACCTGTATGTATACATTGTACAATGTAATCATATTCTTTATTTACTCTTACTAATCAGTTCAATTGGTTGATTCTTTTTTTTGTAGCAAATTCAAAATCAATCAATTCATTTACTAAATATGATGATCAAGCAAGAAAGACAAACTGTTTATCAACCATCTGAGCAACTAGAATTTATCTCGTTTATTCAAAAGGTTGATCCTTTGGTTTTATTTAATCATTTAATCAATGATAACCAATCACAGCAGTCTGTTCAAAATGAAGTGGTAACTTCAATATTTCGTACTCAAAGGATATTGACAGGTAACTATTACACGCTAGATCATCGATTCAAATCAAGATTATTAATCTTTATTTTTAAAGATAAATTAGATCAATTTATGACTCACCTATCGATAATCACTATGGATCCTGATCATCCACAAAGAGAGATTACACTTTTATTTTTGGAAAGTACTATAATAAGTCTTTTAGAGTACTCTAGAATAGAAAAATCTCTTTCACCAATCTTTTTTGGTTATTTAAAAGACAATACGAATAGACAACAAAGAATAATAGGATTAATCAAATTAATTGCAAAGAAGAAGAAATTAGAATCTAGAATTACAAGTAGGACGATGGAATACTTTATATTTAAAACATTTTTAAATATTATTGGACCATCACTTGATAAAGATAATGCTGCTGGTGCCACTGGTGTCAAAGTATCAAGTATAGATGATTTCATAGTTGAAACGTTAGAGTCACAAATCTGTTCACTTGACCCACTCTTAAATATTGATGAACAGGAATTTTTAATGTCCACCCAATCAATTCAACTAGTTTTTATCTCTAATAGTCGGGTATGTATATTTAATATATATTTAAAATTTAGATTACCATTTATTGTAAGTTTTCTAACTTTTTTTAAAAAATAATTAATGACTTAATTTTTAGTTGTCTCGAATATTTAAATTTATTTTAAAACAAATACCAAAATATATATTTAATTCTAGAGAATTATTGGTTAAATATTTTATAGAGATTGGTACATTTGTTGGAATCAAATATTTTAAAAAATATCTCTTCCAATTTATGGAATACTTTAAATCGATGGATATGATTCAAGGAGGATCATTACTACGCTACATTTTACCGCTTTGGACTAAACATTATGACCATTTCAACATTTATCGTCCGATATTGATGAAATTTATCCTACCGCATGTTCCATCCAATATCAATGTACAACAAGCAGTTCCTAGACTTGTTAATCATATTGAACCTTATTTTGGTTGTTTAATCAATGTACTCGTTGAAATAGAGTCAATAGAGGGATCGGATATAATGGTAAAGATATTAAAAGCAAAAGTATCTAGACAAGGATTGACTGCAACCAATCAAAACCTCATGAATCATTTTATAGTTGTACTATTGTCAACTTGTATAATTGATAAGAATGGTTTGGAAATAACGAAAAGGCTATCACACATACAAAAGATGATGCAAATGAATGGATTTACAATACCTCTGGAAATTGGTCAACAAATGATTACTCTTCATCAAAAAATAGAGAGTAATTATTTCCTAAAGATGATCACCTATTTTAGACAGCCTAAAGATAATAATGGATTTATAAACTTTGAAATTGGTTTACAGGCAGATCTTTTAGAGATGAATCAAAGAATAATCACCTCAATATTCTCTATCAACAAGTTGTTGGATATAGAAGAGATGTTGGTCAATACATATACATTGCTACTGGAAATATTACAGTTTGATCTATTTTGGTTACATATAACTGGATGTACATCATTTATATTAAGTAAAGCTCGATTTTTATGTGACCATCAACAACAACAAAGAGGAGATAATCTTGCCATAGAATATTATCAAAGAATAGTACCATTATTGATATACTATTTAAAGAGTAGGGTGTTGAATGAGGTACCCTTGGAAAATATCAAAGCAGATGGTTATTTATTTTGGAAATTGGTTTTACAATTTTACATCATCTCTGGAAAAGATATTAAAAAGGTAAAAGAAGATCTTTTATCAAAACCTGGTTCAAAACTTGGTCCACAATTTAGTCAAGAAATTATAGATCAAGTTGTATCTTTTATATTTTCAACTTTGGATGATATGATTATAAATAATAATAATAGTAATGATCATAATCATTTAATTTATATTCAATCTAAAATGGATGAAATGATTATATAAATATATAATGTATAAATATAAATAATATAATTTAATTATTTATTTTATTTTAAAAAGAATGATTAATAAATATTAAATTATCAATATCTCTTTGTAAAGATAATGGAATAGTTCGAATTGATTCTAATGTAAAACCACCACTAAACTGAGCTTCTACAAAATGATATTTCATCAATGTTCTTAGAGATGGATCACTTTGATGAAGGTATGGAATCTTGATTTTTCTTTCCACCATTAACCCAATAAACCCAACTTGAATACCAGCCATCGCTATCTCTCGATCATTTGATTCCAAATAAATTTGAATGATGTCATTTAGACAAAAAAATTGTTTCGAGCTAAATCCTTGAATAGATGCTATGACTGGTGCAAGAATAGGAATGGTTGCTCGTAATAAATTATTATTTTGCATCTTGACAATTGAATACAATACATTTAAAATATTTTCGATCATGGCCAAAGAATCGGGATTTTGTTTTAAAATTAATGGTACTTGGGTGATAAAGTGTTGATGAAGATTCTGTATAAAGGCAGAAGAATTGTTGACAGAGAATATTTGCATGACTAAAAGACTACCATAGGTTGTTGTTTTGTCGATTGGTGAAAGCCAGTCTTTAATGATTTGGATTATTTGATAATGATTTCGATGCATAACAGTAGTAGTATCCCAAGAATAAGTTACTAGGTATAGTAAAGCTTTACGAGTTGCTTTGGTTAGTGTAAACTTGCCACTCAGAGTATAAGGTACCAAAGCCAAATCAGACAACCTCTCCCAAAGATCATAAGGAATGTCTTGATGAAACCCTAATAGCTGTGACACCACTTTTTCCAATACCATCAGTAAAGGTGGTGATGACCTTGCTGATTGGGATGATAAAGGAGGAGGAGGAGGAGGAGGTTGTTGATCTTGTTGTTGTTGTTGTTGTAACTCATAAACTTTTACATATTTCTGATGCATAAATGCAAGTAGTTGAAATGTAGGTTGATTCCAATCACAAACTAATCTTTTAAAGGTTGGTATTTTAATAATTGATTTTAAAAGATTAAATGTATGATAGAGAATATATTTTTTTGATGATTGTTTATCCTCATCCTTATCTTCATCATTTAAAATTAAATACTTTTCAAAAAGTAATTGAAAGAATTCATTATCCAATCCTTCCAATGAAACCCTTTCTCCACTACTTCTCTCATTCTTTATCATCCATTTTAAAAGTATTAATATTATTACCTAGACAAAATAAAATAAAAGGGAACGAACGTTAACTATTTGAGTATTAATACATAAATTGATTGTACATACAATTAAATCTTTATGATTGCCAATATCTAGTTGACGTAGTAAAATGGTTAAATGTACTGCCAACTTGCTATAATCTGCATTGGTGTCACGTATTTTCTTGATTGTTCTTATCATCACAGCCATTGTAATCTTGTAAAGATTGATATAATGACTATCACAATCATCTTTACTTAGTTCCAATACAACAGGAGGTAGAGGAATTGATGTTGCAAGTTGTATCTCTATCAACTTGCTTATATTGGTCATTTCAAGTTGACCTAAATCAACCATCTGTTGTGCAGGTACTTTTCTTTTCTATATAGAAACAAAAAGTTAGTTAAAGATGTCGATACTGAGTAAATGAAAGAATACATACAACTTTTGGAGAACATATAAAAGTGATAGATGCAATTGCAAACCTTGTCAAATGACTAGACTCTATAACTCTTTTAGTCTCTTCATCTAGATCTAGATCTTCAATAATACTCTTTGAATAGGTACTTAGTTGATCTAGACGCTTACATATACGTGATAGACCATACACCACCAATCTCTGTAGATATCCTGATCCGACTAAAAGTTTACTTTTATCATTGTTATTCTTTTTCTTTTCATCTTCATCGGTGTTCATTTATCTTTATATCTATACATTGGTAATACTAGCTCGTATTGACATTTAAATAAACATCGACAAAGAAATTCTCCTTCTCATTAAATTCTATTCTAACAAAAATTAATTTTTGAAGCAAGTCATTTTCTTTTTAATTATTATTATTAATATTAATAATAGAGATAATAATATAAATAAATAAATAAATAAACAATTATTTAAATAATGAATTAATTAAATAATTAAGTTTTGCCCAACTCGATTCAAACAAAAAAGAATCAAAACGAAGCTGCAGCAGTTTAAATTGCACTTTATCAAATTTTAATAATCATTATTATTATTATTATTATTATTATGATTTCAACATAATACATATATAATTAGATAGATAGATATAGATAGATAGATAGATAGATAGATAGATAGATAGATATTCATTCATTGTTGATTGAGATCTTTGAGAGAGTGTACACTCCTACTCTTTGACAGGTATGTAATGTAGTGTTGTTGACAACAAACACATATTCATTTAACAACACGCCTAAACGTTCATTATACTTATATAATCCTGTAGTAATAGTAGTAGTCGTGCTGTGTTATTCATATCTCTCTGAATAGAATTCTATTATAATAGACAAGAAAGAGTAGTCATAGAGAAATGTCAGATACAGAAGAGGACGATAACTCATCGACCGACTCTGCTTCAATGGATATTCCCGATTCGTACAATCATAACTTTCCATCGGAAAAGGAACAAGACGACGAAGAAGAGAAACAACAATATAGAATTAGAACAAACGTCACACCAGAAAGGAAAAAGAGGGCAGGCTTTGTCGTTCCTTATTCAAACAACAACAACAACAACAATAATAATAATAGAATGTCAAGTTTAGGTACATTGACATCATCTTCAACCTCTACAACTTCAACATCTTCAACTACTAGTAATAATCAAAGTAATAATCAAAATAATAATAATAATAATAACAAAAGAAAATTTATTGATTTGGATGCAAGTTGTAGTAGTAGTACAAGTAGTGTTGGTAGTCCTCCAAGTAACGATGATTCAATCAATAGTTCAATTGATAGTCTTGTAGATACCCCTCCTTTGTCTCCAAGGAGGAATAAAAGTCCTCTAAAGATATTCCTTCCAACAATCAAGCCAAGGCCATCTTCATCTTCAACTTCATCAACAAGTTGGACGTCAAAAAATAAATCAACAACACCAACATCAACTACTTCAACATCGACATCAACAACAAGTAATGGTCAAAAAGAAAAGAAACAAGACAAAAAGAAGAATCAACCAGAGGAAGAAGAAGAAAATGATCAAGTTGACATGGGTAAATATTTAGATCTCTATAATGACTATGAGGAAGAGAAAAAGAAAAGATCTACACTTACATATGGTTTTTTTGGTCGTAATGAAAATAATCAAAATAATCAAAATAATAATAATCATGGATCATCATCAAATGGATCACCAAATGCAATAGACTTGGATGATTCTGATGATAATGATGAAGATGGTGATGATTTGGATATGTTTAACATTAAAAAATCATTTGTAAATAACATTCACAATAATATTCAAAAAAGACAACCTGAATCCATTGATATACCTTCACCAATTATTAATAATAATAATAATAATCAAAATAATAATAGTAAATCCAAATCAACAACAACAACAAAAAGATAAAACCAGCAACAACTACAACCACAACTTCAACAACTACAACAACTACAACAACAAATAATAGACAACCAAGAGTTGGAAGAACAACTCAAAGATTTACAGCTGCTGAAATTATACAACCACCAATAATATTTAATCATGGTAGGGATCCTTCATCACCTCCACAATTGGTACATCGCAGACCTACTGCTAGCACTACCATCAACGAGCCCGAAGATCCAATGGATAGAGATGAATTGTTGGCACTTGAATTACAATCTGCACAATTTTCACCTGTACGTTCACATTCCAATATTGTACATAGCACATCGTCGACACGTACCAACAACCACAATAACGCAAGAAGTAATAGTGACTCTGATTTAGAGCATGTACGAAGATTCCAAGAACAAGCAGATCATGAATTGGCAATGCAATTACATCGAATGGAACAACAAACACAATTACAACAACACCAACAACAACAACACCATCACCAAATGCAACAACAACTTCATCAACAACACCATCAACTCCAACAACAACAACAACAAGCTCTTAGAAATCTTTATGAATTTCATAATCCACAATTACAACAACAACAAACAACACAAAGAGGTGGTAGAGGTGGTAGAGGAGGTGGTAGAGGATCAAGAGGTGGAAGAGGAGGTAGAGGAGGTACGGGAGCAAATGCGCAACAATTTGGATTCCAACATTTTGTTGGGAATGGGTCTCAACAAATCGATCCACATCATTTAAATTTAATGAACCGTGATTTCACATCCAACGATTATGAATTATTACTACAACTAGATGAAAATGTAAACAACAAAGGTGCACAAGCCACTGAAATCAAACAACTGCCAACTCACAAGATTAAAACTGGTTCGAAAATCGATACTTGTTGTATTTGTTTGTGTGAAATGGAAATTGGTCAAAATGTAAAATCTTTACCTTGTACTCATTACTTTCATACTGAAGTAAGTTAAACTATAATCAAATAACTGGAATTGGAATATTAATATACAATGATTATTTATTTATTTATTATTATTATAGTGCATAGACAATTGGTTAAAAATCAACAAAATATGTCCAATTGATAAACAATCAATTAACAAGGATTGATCATCAATTATGATAAACAAACAAACCCAACAAATAATATATAATATATAATAAATCTTGAGATATAGGTGAAATTGATTAATCTTTATATTTCCCTCCATTTTTCAAAATAGAACTATAGTTTTTTTGTGTGAAGATCACAACCAACTTGTTTGTTTTTCATTGATTACCTCAAGAGTATTGGGTATTCATATAATCATAGATAGACAGATAGATAGATCATGATATTGTATTGCTATAGCAATATTGGAAGATACATACAATGACAAGTGTAAATCAACATATTGTAGATCATCTCAGCCAACATGTCCAACATTTACGATCACAAGGTGATATCAACAAGATACCTGCATTCAAGAAAGCGATAACATCACTTACTGCATATCCAATACCAATCTTTTCAGCTAGGGAGTGTGAGATACTCAATGGTGTTGGTCCATCGATCAGTAAGATGATTGAAAGATTCATTCAATCACAACCTACTCGTCATCCAATGTATCCTCAAGGTCCAAATACTCCTCTAAGACAAATATTGAGGATTAATCAAGTTGTATCATCGTCATCCCCTTCTCCTACTTCTACATCAACTCAATCATCATCATCATCATCAACCTCTTTAAAAAAGAAAAGAAAGGAAGGTGATGGCAATGACAATGATAATGATAATAATATTGGACAAACTCAAATACCTCCAACAAAAAAGAAAAAGAAGAAGAAATCAAACAATGAATTGGAACATGTTGAAGAAGAACCAATCATGATAACTCCTATTAAACCGACTAGACATCAACATCAACAACAACAACAACAACAATATAGATCACCAGATTTGATGGTCCGTAAATCACCATCATTAACACCAACCCATAATAATATTAATAATAATAATAATAATAATAATGGTAGTATAGACTTTTCATTTGATTTTGGTGATGATAGTAGTATTAATAATAGTAGTAGTAGTGGTACACAATCAGCTAGTGATACTGTTGGTAATAATAATGACAGTAGTAGCAGTAATAATAATAATAACAATCAAGGTGACAATGGAGTAGATTTAAATAATATATCATTTTCATTCAACTTTGATGAACCTATTAGAATGTCGGTTCCAGAAACACCGTATCCATTCATTCATCAAATCAATCAATTGATTAAAAATGGAAATGTAAATGGAAATAATGTAAATATAAAAGGAACACCATTACCATTTGATCCATTGTCATCACCATCAACATCAATGATGACTACTCCTCCTCCATCATCATCATCAAAAAAGAAAATAGATCGTCAAAGAATACTAGATTCCAATTTAAAAAAGAATATTATTAATAATAATAATAATAATAATAATAAGAAAATTACAACTCCATTAAAACAACAACAATCACATAGTCAATCAATTATTGATTTAATAACTCCAACACCAAATCAAAAGAAAAAGAATAATAATAGTGCATTAAAATCATTAAAATCACCTTTATTCTTTAAATATCGATCATCCAAATCAATATTATCTGCTGTTAAATCAACTATTAAATCACCATTTCAACAACAGCCTTCACAATCACCATTGAGATCACCATTCAGATCATCATCATCATCATCATCATATTCACCATTTACAAACAACAACAACAACTCACCAATTATTTACAATTCACCACCACCTTCACCAACAACATCGAAATCAGGTTCACCAAAAAGAACATCATCAACTAAATCCAAGAAATATAGGTCACCTTTAATTGGATATAATAATAATGATGATAGATATGATTCACCTTATAAACCCTCACCTAAAACATCCTCAACCATTTATGATGATAAATCACCAATCCCCTTTTCACCCTTTTCATCAAATCATCAAAGTTACACCAATAATAATAATAATATTAATAATGGTGATGATGATGCTGATTGTTTCAATAATAATAATAATAATAATAATAATAATAATAATAATAATAATTACGATACCGGTGTCATGGATATTAATAATTTAGATTGGGATTTTGATGATGATGACGACAATGACAAAGAAAATAATAATATACAGAATAATATTAATAATAATAATCATCATCAAAATAATAATATACAGAATAATACTAATCATAATAATAATAATAATGTACAGAATAATAATAATAAGAGTTCTACTTCTTCTTCTTCTGCTTCATCTTCATCTTTATCGTCAGGAATTAAATTACCAGAATTTCAAGATATAATATGTATAGTTGATAATAGAGAAGTTAAAAGTAAAACGGATCGTGATTATATTGTTAATCGGTTAACAAGTGTTCATGGAATCAATGCAGAGACTAGTAAATTGGAAGTTGGTGATGTTGTATGGATGGCTGTTGAAAAAGGTGGAAAGAATGCAAAAAGATGGATGTTGGATTTTGTCATTGAAAGAAAACGTGTTGATGACCTTAGTAGCTCTATTATTGACGGTCGATACAAAGAACAAAAGTTTAGATTAAGAAAATGTGGCTGTCGTAATATATATTATCTCGTTGAGGGACAATTAACTCCAAATACTGCACCAGTAACGAATAATAATAATGGAAGTGGTAAATATTTTAAACCTGGTGGTGGTGGTGGATCATATCATCAATGGGGATCAGTCAATTATAACCTATCACCCGATAAATTAATGGCAGCTATGGTATCAACACACATTAATAGTGATATCATGGTTATCGATACAAAAGATATAGATGAATCTATTTCTCTTTTACATCATATTACTTTATTTTTAAAGGAAAAGTTGGTCAACAGTAAATCTACAACAACAACAACAACAACAACTAAACCACCAATATCATCACCAGACCAAATAACAATACTTAAACAATATTTATTTAAAGGTGATTGGAGTAATGGTGGATGTGATTTAGAACAATTCAACAAACAAAGTCAAAAGAGTAAAACATTTAAATTAAAGGAATTCTTTGCACTTCAATTAATGCAAATTGTTGGGTGTTCCGGTGAAAAGGCCTATGCAATTACATCTATCTATCCAACTCCAACTCATCTTTTATTTGCTTATAGAACTATTCAACAAAATCAAAACCAAAGTCAAAAAAGTAAAACAACAACAACAACAAAAAAAAAAGAAAAAGAAAGATGACAGCGATGGAGAAGATGTAGAAGATGAAATAACAAGTAAAAGAAATGCAATGTTGAGTGAAATTAGATATGGAAATCAAAAAAAAAAACTTGGAATAGAATTAAGTAAAAGAATTTATGAATATTATCAATGTTAAGAAATAATAACTACCCCACAATATTTTAATAAAATTCAATTGATTATCCATTTGTTGTATATTATATAGAGATATATATAACTATAACTCTATCTAAACTCTAACGAATTCGTTCAAATTGGGATACAGACTGCTCTTTGAGAGGCGCCAAATTTTTTGAAAATTCAAAAAACTCCCCAACGTCCAACTTGCAAACTAACCCTTTTCTGTCTCTATAAGAGAACAACGACCTACATTTAGAGATATAAAGAGATAGGTAGGCTTACTGCAATTGTATTTATATTATATATCATTATTGTATTATATTTGTATCGGTAGTTTAAACAACAATACTTGGACAGCTATCACCATCCCAACCAACCTATTATAATAATAATAGATTAAACAGACAACATAAATAATAGATAGATAGATAAATAGATAAATAGATAAATAGAGATAGAGATATATAATGTCACAAACACCAGTTGATATTGAATCATATGATTCACATCCCGATCAAAATGCAGTAGCAGGAATGGACGATGATACAGTTGTACTCAATGTTGGTGGAGTAAAGTATGAAGTTAGACCAAGTACTCTATGCAAATACCCAAATACATTACTCGGTCAATACTTTAGTCCCAACAACAAGCATATGAGAAAGGCCGATAAGAAGGGTGAATACTTTTTTGATAGAAATGGTCGTGTCTTTGAAGTTATCTTGAATTTCTATAGAACTGGTATGAAACAAGCAGCAGTCATCTCTTTCTCTTTCTCTTTGTCTCTCTAACCCATTCTCTCTCTCTCTCTTTCTCTCTCTCTCTAATTTGTAATTATATAGGTAAACTTGTCATTCCAACAGAGATTCCACAAGAATTGTTAAGAGAGGAATTAAAGTACTTTAAACTCGACTATGATGATGGTAGCGAATCTGACTCTTCAAAGGAGAATGAAGATGAAAAGATTTTAAAATTACCAAGAGTATGTAGTATATTTATACATACACGCATTCTATGTTATATAATCTATCATCATTCTAACTCACATCTACATTTATAATATAATAATTAGGATCAAATCTACACATTTGCAAACAACTTGATTCATTCACCATCAAAATATGAAGTAAAGAGAGGTTTATATTTCCTTCAAAGTATGTATATATATATGTGTATATACAACCACACAAGTTGTATTTATTATATACTTAATACTAATAATATACTATACCATTTCTCTGTGTAGAATTAAAAGAAATAGATAATAATAGTTATTTATATAAATATTCGATTGCATATGCATATTATCGTTTGGGAATGAATCGTCAAGGATTAGAGACACTTGATGAGATTTTGGAGACTGACCCACACAACCCACAAGCTCAATCACTTTTGGTTCTCTTTAATGACAGTAGAACCAAGAATGCAACCATTGGTCTAGTTGCCTTTGGTCTCATTATCATTGGTGTTGTTGGTGTTTGGAAACTACGTGGTTGGTGGTTACGTCGTGCTGCCGATGCTCTAGTCACTAGTGGTGGTGCTACTACTACCGCTGCCACTACTATTGCACCAGCAGCAGCAGTTGTTACTTCTGTCGCTTCACCACAAATGGTTCAAAGTGCTACCAACCATGTCGCATCCAGCGTACTTTTATCCGCTGTTCAACCTGTTGCTGATGCTGTCTCGTCGAGCGTGACACCAGCAGCAACAGCCGTTTTCCAATCAGCTGTCGCTCAAGCAGTCACTCCATCAACTCTCACTACTTCATTTGTTGATTCTAATTTCGCCGAAGCAATGGGAAAGAGTTTACCAGAATTTAGAAAATAAGAAGGAATTCCACTCTATCCATTCCCTCAACAAACAAACAAAACAATCAAAATAAGAATAATAACCAACTCTCTATAGAGAAAATAATATACTAACAGAATATTCTTTCCAACCAACCAAAACAAACAAACAAACCAACAATAACTACCCACCCTTAGTTTACATCTTAATTGATTGTGATACCTAATAATAAATATAATATCGATAATAATTAATAATATAATAATAATAATAATTTACAAAAACATGTTGTTGTAATATTTGATTATGCGTAATATGTTGTTAATTTATATTATATTCATTCAAAAGGTTTGATGCACTATCTTCCTTTTCTTTTTGTTTTTAGTTGTTTCTCTTGAGATGTTGTATTATTATTACTAATTGTTGTTATGTTGTTTTAACCTCTCATAACAATATCTTTCTTATCCTTGTGAGCAGGAGATGGACCACATGGTTGAATCATCTTTTCCAATAGATTATATCTAACCTTTCCAATTGATTCATTCTCTACCACTGCAAACAGACTGAGTAAAGGTGCATGTCCAACATATGATGAAATACTATCACGATGTTGATTTGTTAACCATTCACTATGAATAGTCAAAGATGATAGATTAGTATGTATTATGATACGAATGAATATATATAGCTAGAGATACATACTATTTTGAAATATCAGAATGACCAGTACCAACATATCTAGCTTGTAAATGTTCTAATTGACTATTAAGTGATTCTCTTTCTGCCATCTCTTCCTCTTTCTAATATCTATCTATTATCTCTTTTAGTAGTAGATTTGTATTAACAACAAAAGAAATGAATAATAATCTTTTTTTAGTTGAGTCTTTGATGAACTTTCACTTTCATTTATTATTATTAATCTACTTTTTGTTTGTGTACTCGGATTGATAATAAGAGGAAGAAGAAAGGAAAGGTTATTGATTTAATACAACAATAAGATGGCGATGAAAAGAGAAGATTTTAAATGTATATATGATAATCTAAATGACAAGGATGATATTCCATCTTTAAAGTTTCAATTTCAACAGTATGTTTGAATCATAATATATATATGAACTCTCCTCCTCTTCCTTTTATTGAACATGTTTATTAACACAAATATCTATTGTTTGTAGATACTCTTATTCAACATTTATAAGTATATACTCTCAAAAGAGAATGAAAGAGTATAGAAATCTATGTCACAGGAAACTACCAAATCTTCGTGTACATTATCAATCGTATGTTATAACCTTTGACAACAATCACATGATTTATGAATGTGTTTATATTAACATTACTGCTGTAGATATTTAAAGGGTAAATCATTGATCAATATATCAAGTGAAATAGGTGTTTCATCAACTATTGTTGGAAGACAATTACTTGCCTATATATTGGATACCGATATAAAAGCATTATATTCACCAAATACTAATACAAATACAAATACAAATACGAATAATACAAAGAGTGGTGGTGGTGGAACTGGAAATAATAATAATAAGAACGATAATAATAATAATAATAATAATAATAATAATAATAATAATAATAATAATAATAATAATAATAATAATAATAATAATAATAATAATAATAATAATAATAATAATAATAAGAATGATAATAGTAAGAATGATTATAGTATTGTTGCTGGTAATGTTGTGCCACCCAGTCCTGTTGAAGAAAGTCCATTATCAAAATTATTGGCAGACAAAAAAGACAAGGATGCAATTGTAAAGAAACTATTTAAACATCCTGAATGGATAGAGAATGAAAGATTAAGATTAAATATTCAACAAACTATTTACAATGATGACAATTGTTCACCTTTAATTAATTATATTAGATCGTATGTTATAAATCATAAATATAAATTATAATAATCATTCTTTTAAATATTAGTATATATTAATATTTTCTTTTAATCTATATCTAGATCAACTGGATCAGAATATGAATTATTATTACAAGAGAAATTATTTAAATTAAATATACCATATCAAAATGAAGATCAATTAAGAAAGAGTGGTTATCCAAAAACACCTGATATTAAATTAGATATTCCTTTTTGTATGTTTTCAAATTTGTATATGATTTAATTAATTAATCCTTTTATTTAGCATATAAAGGATATATTGTAAATTGGATAGAGAGTAAAGCATCATTTTGTGATGACCATAATTACAAGAATACAAAAGATCAAATCATTGGATACAAGAATAGATATGGTCCGGGTTTGGCTATTTTTTGGTTTGGTTATATAGAAGATTTGAATAATCTACAAGATCATGGAGTTGTACTATTAGAAACTTTTCCAGATACAAAAGATATTGAAGTATTACATGATTTTACTCCATTGTATAATAATATAAAGAAATAAGTATGTATCCTGAAAGAACCAAAAAAAAACAAAAAAAATCATGTTATTCTAATTATTATATTTTAATTCTATATTTATTTCTATTCTATTCGTGTGTCTAGTAAATGTTTGTATATATATAAACCATATGGTTTGTTTTTGTTAAAAAAATGATGATGATCGATCGAATTGGTTTTGTTGATTGGTTGATTCGTTAGTTGGTTATTCTTGTCTTTGGATTATTATTATTATTATTATTCTAGTTATATGATTAATACTTTTAGTTTTTTAGTCTAGATAGTTTTAATTAAAGCAAAAGCAGTTGGAAGAACTGTGAATTTGGCTTCAATATAGGAACCACTCTTGTGCGAGACGAGTGGAGTTGAGATGCATTCCCATTGATTAGAGGCGTTGATAATGGCGACACAATAGTCGGTCGATGGGAGGGCTGGAGCGGCAAAAAAGATGGATACTGGAACGACAAAGGTTGGCGAGTCGTATAGTGCGAGGTTGGCAGAACCGACACCAAAGACAAATTGGATGGGAGCGGTCAACAAACTCTTGTAGTAGTTGAAGGTGGATGACACGGCTAGACCACCGGCAGTGATGGCGATAGAATCGGGGACGGAACGGACAGTGAGGAATACAGCTTGACCAAGTGCAGTTCCGGGTGGGAAGCTGGCATAGATACCAGAGATGGTGTTGTTGGTGCTGTATGGGTCATCTCTCCAGACAACGACTGGTGAGTTGTGGTTGGTGTAAATGTCAGTGTACGATGGGATGACACGACGTGAGAATGGAAGGGTGGAGGTGCCATGGGCAGCGCATTGGCTCTCGTCAGAGACACAAGCAAAGTTGTTTGGACATTGGATTTGGTTGGATGGACATCCATTGTAGGGAAGACAGACGTCGGTGGCAGAGGCACGACATCCAGATGGACATGGGAAGGCACAGGCATCACAGGTCGATCCTAGTGGGGCACAGTAGCCATCACAACGAACTGGGAGAGTTGTGGGACAGGCTGGGAATGGAGGACACAATTCAGCACCAAAGGCACATGAACCATCCCAACAGTTGGCAAGAGCATTGGTGTTGCCTGGGGGTGGGAGCATACCTGGTGCACAACTCTCTGGGCAAGTTCCTACTGGAGCACAACCTCCAAGTCTGCACTTGACTTGACCGATTTCACAGGTATCCCATTTGACAGCTTCTGGGTAGGTAGTGGCCTTGTAAAAGAGACGAGCAGAGAAGGACTCTGGAGTGCAAAGACTGATGGCATCGTATTGGGTTTGGTAGGCAGCGCTGACGTCGTTGGGGAAGACCAAGACACGGAGTTGTTGGCCTGGAACGACAGTCTTGTTACGTGAACGGTACATTCCATTGCAGTTGATACCGCCATTGGAGACAATGAGGGAGAATTGGACGTTGGGGGCTCTGCCGGCAAGGTTGTTGTTGTATTGGAGGTAGAGCGAGGTGGTGCTTGGGTCGACAAAGTTGACTTGAGCAGTGTCGTCCAATTGGAGACTACCAATTGGACTACTCCATGGAAGAGCCCATGGTCTTTGTTGATAAATGACAACGGTGGAATAACTATTGATATTAATGATAGTGTTGGTGACAGTATTGCCTCCACCAGAGAGATCCATGTTGGCAGCGTTGTAGTTGACTGAACCACCTTGCATATTGAGGTTGTAGAACGAGGCTGAACAACCATTGGTAAAAGTCAACGAACCAGAACCGATAAACTTGGAAGCAAAAGTAAAACGACAACCTTGGTAACCTAAAAGAGTGGTAGCAGCCGATGGAATAGACACTGGAAGATTGGTATAGAATTTGTCATTATTGGCAATCTTGGAGGTAATTTGGACGGTTGGATGGTTTGGAGTGGTAGTATTCAAGTAGATACCAGACCACTTTTTAGAGGCAGTAGTATCCTTTACAATGGTGACGAGACCACCTTCAAAGACAGCATCGTTACTATTCAATGAAGTGGTATAGACAAAGTGGACTGGAGCAATATTGGCAACAAATTCACTTGTTCCATGACAAAGATCTAATTTGGTATCAGTTAATATTGATGATGAACTAATTGATAATTTAATACTATGAGAAAGAGAGAGAAGTACAAAAAAAAAAAAAGAATTAGTTAATTATAATTATGTTTTAATTTAGGTTATATTTACTTCTTCAAAGTTAAAGTGGCAGAATTACCAGCAATAGATGGGGAAGAAGAGATGGTAGTTGGGGTTAAGAGAACGACTCCAGAGTTGGACTTTATAGTATTGGAATCGGTGAGAGCAAAGACGACATTTTGGCCAATGACAATAGAGGTGGCCTGGGAAAGATCAAGCGTAGATCTGGTCAAGCTAAGGACTTGATTGTCAAGGAGTTCGAATGGTCCGACGACGGTATGGGTTTGATCAACAAGGTTCAACCCTCCTTGGCCTTGGACAATAGCGATTAACAACAAAATTACAAAAAAGAATTTCATCATGTCAAAAAAATATATATATATTATTATTAATTAATAATTATTTATAAATATATAGATAGATAGAGAAGAGAAGAGAAGAGAAGAGATAGATAATAATATGATTATCTATTTGAATCCAAAAAAAAAAGTTATAAATATATAGTTGTTGGAATTATTATGTTATGTTTTGGATTAAACAATTAACAAATTGATTTCAAACGAGTCACTACCAATTTATACTTATACTTTTGGCTCTAATCAATTCCGTGATGCTGTTGCACGAGCAATGAATTTTTATTTTGTTCCGTCTGCAAAGCTGATGTTTTGGAGGGATTTCTGAACAGCAAGAGTTAACAATGAGGAAAGCACGTGTTTTGGCAAAGCTATACCCACGATAACTCATTTATGGAGTCATGATTGCTTTGAGATTTGAGCTAAAGGGGGCTCGCCCTTTTAATTGCATTTTTGATTGATATTTTTACAAATGAGTACACAACACAAATCTTAAGGGGTAGCTCGCGTAATGCTAGATTAGGATTTGCAAGATTTCCAAACGAATTTGCTGATCATCAATGGTTTTTGCGGGTTTTAGACAAGTCAACAAAGCGTCTACACCCCCCCTCATTTTTGTCAAATTCTTTTTGTCATTTTGACCTCTGTTCGGTGCAAAGATCTAGAATGGTAATAGGGGCTGTTGTCTAAGAACTCGTTATCTTGAATTCTAGTTTTGTTTTCTTTTACAAGATTCGTTTTGGTTTGGTTTTTGTACCTTGCTTTTCTATTATCTGATTCAATAAACTTTTTATTGATCCCTCCCTCGGTCGCCTCATATGATCTATACACAACTGCATCACTTTCACTAATTTGCATGTTCAACCATAACACCATTCATTGGATAAAGTCAAAAAACAGGGAGTAACCTTCCCTTATTTCACTTACTAGCCACGGTTGCGGTCGAATAAGGGTTAGGGTTATTATTCCAACAGATAACCGTTGTATAAGACTCTTTCTCTTTCTCTTCCTACTTGATGATCCCGTCATGTCTGAGATATTTCACAAAGAGTACGTGAGAGAGACACTGACAAAGATACGACTTTTTCAAGAGGGGGCAAAGCCTCGAGAGGAGGAGCTCCTTATTCGATTTTTACCACAAAAGGGAATTTGACTCATGCCATGAATGTTTGACCAAGACAAACAGCTCGAGCCATATACGACAGGTACCTGTACACTAAATATTTGACCCGATAGGACCCAATCTGACCATGCCCCTCCCTCATCATGTCTCAAATTAGAGTATAGGCTATCTCGTCTAGATTACCTCCTTCTAATCTAATCTCTTTCCTCCGACTCTAGCCTTTGAACAAAACACTGGAATGATTGAATCAATCATCCACATACAACCCAAAAAGTGTCAATGACGGGTAGAGCTATCTAACCAAAGCCATACTTTTCAAACAAAAAGAGGATCCTCTAGCCTTTGGTTGTATCTATTCAAATACCAAAGGGGCAAAGGCATTCATGACCATATTTGACCAAGAGCCTCGAGAGATCCTCATTCTTTTATTGTTCCTTGAACGATGCTTCAAAACCCTTCAAACCAAAGATCGACGACCGATCATCCTTTAAACAAACGGCCAAAAAAAAAAAAACGAACAAAAAGTGAAGTGGCAAAGGTACCTTTTCTTGAAGCGTCGTCATGCACATCAAGATAATATACTTGCTTACCAAACGAGACGACCGAATGATGATATTTGCATCATTCCACACTTTCTTTTTGTTCAATGATTATCGCACCACTTGGTGGGATGCTGCAAAGCTGAAGCTGCAACGTTGCAATCAAACGATTCCTTAATAAGGCAGAGTAACAACAAACATTACTCTAGAAAGTTAAGAGAGAGAGAAGCCCCATCTTATTTGGGCGCGAACAATGAGCCCTTCAAAAAGAGAGTCTTTGGCTATAGTTGTAACAGAGAGTTCATCGTTTTGACTTGATGATGGTCATCGTGTCAATCAAAATCACACGAACAAATCCAAATTAAGACGAATGGTTGACTTTTTAGTGGTGTCGATTCATGCCCGTAACCTTTCGGGTTGGGGCAAAGATAGATGATAATAGATATTCTACTTTTCAAAGATAAATTTGTCAATCGGTTTTCTTGCCGATTCATCATTCATCATCATAACATTTTTGAGCCGATCGATTTCGACTACTAATCATGATCTTTTCAAGTTTTCCAACCCTACCTTTTTGGCTAGTCAGTAAGGTTACGATTTCCCAAATGATCATGCGTGGTTTGAGTAGTACCCGATGATGATTCCCACCAACACCACATTACCCATTAATCAGTGTTGGTGGGAATCATCATTAATACAACTCTGACACAAGCTCCAACATCCCAAAGTTGGAGAGATTCAGTCTCTCAAACACTGATCAATGGTCTCATGGCTAGCCAACAAAAATAATCACCTTCAAGAGTTGGATAAATCCATGGATTCCAAACTTCTGGCAGTCAAGATTCAATCCCCCATCATCTTTCCAAATAAATTTCCCCAAAGCATCGTGGATGATGGGGATGGGATGACAGGATCATTAGAGTTGGGTATTCCCAATCATCATGATCGCCGTGATCATAGTACTTACTACAACCAAAAAAAGGGAGGGTTGGGGGTTGGTTGCTATCAAGCAATCTTTCATACAAACCGATGAGATTAATCACAAAAACAAATAATAATAATAATAATAATGATAGATAGAGTAATAATAAATAAATAAATGAATAAAGACATAGATTTTTGTTTTTTAGGATTATTGTTGGTTTTTGTTTATTAGAAGTGCATTCCTCTCTTCATTTGAACAAAATGAGAGTAATGAGTTTCTGATATGGGGGGGAGCTACGTGGGAGGACTTTAGTTGGTCTTTTCAACCTTGACGAGAGTGGTGTGACATTTACCGCAGTATTGACGAGCTGGGTTGGCGTGTTGGGCCATGAAGACACCAGCACCACAGTTGGTGCATTCACGGAGAGTACGACGGATCTTACCGTTTTCGTCAAACTTGTAGTACTTGAGGACGGCCAACTTAACTTTCTTTGGCTTTCTCTTGATGACCTTTGGGGTGGCATAGTTTTTCTTCTTCTTCTTCTTACCACCACCACCACGGAGACGGAGGACGAGATGGAGAGTAGACTCCTTTTGGATGTTGTAGTCGGAGAGGGTACGACCGTCTTCGAGTTGCTTACCGGCAAAGATAAGACGTTGTTGGTCAGGTGGGATACCTTCCTTGTCTTGGATCTTAGCCTTGACGTTTTCGATAGTGTCGGAACCCTCTACCTCTAAGGTAATGGTCTTACCTGTGAGTGTTTTAACGAAGATCTGCATTTCGGAACTAATAGTATATAATAGTAAGGTAGTAATAGATTACATGAATGTTAGACTACTGCTGTTGGTGGTATGCTCATTAATGATGGATAGAGAAGATAGATGGAAGAAAGTGTGTGATGTTAATCATACCAAACAAATATAACAAAGGTACTAAATGTACTCGTCACAGATTTGAAGGGTGTTGGTGGTCGACTGTCGGCACAGCATACCTCTTTTTTTTTGAAAAAAGAAAATTGAAAAAAAGCAAAAGTTGTTTTGAGAGCAAGTGAAAATTCATCAAATAATTGCCTCTCTCTCATCACACTTTTATTGTCTATCTATGAGCAATCAATCACCATTATTCACCAATTTCAATATCACATGTGATTGAGATAAGAGCTATTATAATAGTCATATAAACTTTTAATTATCGAGTAATATTGAATATCACCATATATAGAGAGATATAGATAGATTGGATAGATAGATGAACAATCAAAACAAACACTGAACGTCGTCGTTTTACATTGCGATAAAAAAAGGCAAAAGATAAGACGAGTAAAGTGAAATATATTTATATATTTATATATATACTCCTCCTTCATTTGTTTATTTATTAAAAGTAGTGGGTGTGTTCTTGAATTTATTTATTATTAGCTTTAATCTGACTCATCATACCCCCACTTGTGTGTCAGTTGGGTCCCAATATATTAGTGAACCAATTATTATTTGTTTTATTATTTATCTGTATACAGTTAACATCATCCATCAACTACATCAATAATAATATAAATATAATAATAGATATATATAATCGTCATCATGAGTACTACGAGTAGTAGAAGAAATGATAGATCAAATAGTAGTGGAAATAATAATGACTATATTAGTGGTGGAGGAGGAGGAGGAGGAGGAGGAGGGGGAGAAGTTGATAATACTCTAGATCAGATGGGTATTGAAGTAATAGATAATGGAAATCAAGAATATAAATACAATGACAATGACAATGATAATACATTAATGGGTGCCGATAACAATGATGACAATCATAATGATAATGATAATACATCAACATCACAAGATACATTGTTAACTCATTTTGAAAGATCGCAATCATCTTTACATACACCACAAAATATAATTAATAGTATACATATACCCTCACTAGAAGATTCACAACGTCATTCTGATCAAATGTAAGTCGAGAGACCAAACAACTTTTATTATTATTTAATTATTTAAATTTATTATTTTTCTTTTATTTTTTTTAATTTATAGGATTAAAATAGCAATGGTAATATTTTTTTATTTCTTTATATCTATATCATTGGTATTTTCAAACAAATTGTTGATGAAGAATATGGATTTCAATTACCCCATTTTCATTACATGGTATCAACAAGTAGTATCTTTTCTTTTAATTTGGGTCATGTGTACGATTTCTCCTAGTTTTTCTGCACTCTCATTCCTGCCTGCCTTTGAATTTAAAACTCATATTGCCTATCAAGTATTACCTCTTACTGGTATTTTAACTGGAATGATTACTTTAAATAATCTTTGTTTGGAATATGTTGAAGTTTCTTTTTATCAAGTAATGGAAAAAAAAAAAAAAGATAATTCTTCAAGGATCCTATATTTAACCATTTTTTTTTTCTTTTTCTTTTAGATTGCAAGATCATTAGCTATTTGTTTCTCATTATTATTGACATATTTAATCTTAAAGACAAAGACTTCATTTAAAGCTTCCATGGCATGTATAGTTGTATTTTTTGGTTTTGTACTGGGTGTCATGGGAGAAGTTAACTTTTCATGGTTGGGTGTTACATTTGGTGTACTTTCAAGTTTATTTGTTGCTCTCTATTCAATCTATGTAAAGAGAGTTTTACCTGCTTGTGATCAAAATGAATGGTAAACTATAAATTCAAATTAAAACAACAATGAATGAATGAATGAATATGTGGATCAAAAATGTTAACTTTTTTTATTTTAATTTTTTGTTTTAGGAAATTATCAATTTATAATACAGCGATATCAATAGTATTAATTTTACCTCTAAGTATTGTATCTGGAGAATTTCAAACGATTTGGATGGAACCAATTATTTATACAGGTCAATTTTGGTTGATGATGACGATTGCAGGTGCCATGGGATACTTGATCAGTATCGCAGTCTTTATGCAAATTAAACATACCAGTCCACTTACCAATTCCATCTCGGCAACTTTAAAATCATGTCTACAAACTATCCTTGCCGTTTGGGTTTGGGGTAATGAAATTTCGTTTACAAATGCAATTGGAATCGTTTTGGTTATTTTTGGTTCATTCTATTATTCCTTTGTTAGATATCAAGAAATGAAAAAATAATCAATAAACACAAACAAATATAAATAATAATAATAATAATAATAATAATATAATAATAGATAATATTTTTATTTTAATTTGATTGTTTAGTTGGAAATGGATTAGAGATTATATTACAAATCAAACTTTTATCAAAACTTTTTAAATTATATCTTAGATGTATATATAATTCTTGATATTCATTTTGAGTTTGATTTTGATTTCCATTTTGATTGTCTTTTGTAGTTTCTTCATCTTGTTTTAAAATTTGTGTAATCATTCCACCATAGAGTGATTTATCAGTCGTTAAAATTACATTCTTATTCTTTTCATCTAATCTTTTAATATCCAATTGAAAGATTGTATTTTTGGCAAATGAATCGGATAGAATAAAGCGATTTACATTTGTCTTGTTGATAAGATTATCAATTCTAAAGATATAGACGTCACCCAATCCCCATTCCAAACAACATTGTAATGTTGTAAGGTTTGGTGGTAATAAATAATCGATGATCTTCTTTTGTTCCTCTCCAGTAGTCTCTTTAAGATTATCTACAATGATAATATTATCTGGAATAGAGAAAATATTTAAAATTGGATGCAATCTAGTATTTTGGATGGCAGCATAAATATAAGTTTCCAAACTTGTTGGAAGGTATATTTTAGTGATTGGTTGATTGGGATAACTAGTTTGATGTCTATATTCTAGTGTTTTAATTGATGGTGGGTAATGTTTTGGTGATGATACAATGGTCGATGGTTGGGTTGATTGTTGTTGTTGTGCAGGAGACCAAGAAAAATATTCCAATTGATTAAAATGGAGTAGGTATGTAGTATCTTTTAAATCTAATTGACCAAGATGTGATAAGGTTAGACTTTTTAGAGTTGGATTTGGTATGTAATCGGAATCAATATTATTGATAAAGAGTAAGGAGAGTGATTCGAGTAGAGGCATGTCTGCCGATAATACACTACCCTTCCAACATTTGACACAAAGATCTTTTATCAAACGAGGTGGTTGTCCAATATTGGTTGGTGTGTCACATTCAATATCGACCACTTGAATGGTTGTTGGTAGCATTCCTAGTTTGAACTCGGGAAACGTTCTCTTGCCAATAAATGTGATCAATCCCGGTGGAAACCACTCTTTATTAGCACCAATAAACCTACTAATCGACAAATAGGTAAGTGATTTTGGTAAGACTACTTTGGTACTATCAATCTTTTCAGACTCCAACTTTAGTGTTTCGAGTTGAGTGTGGTGTGACAGATCGAGACGGTATGCATTTCTCGGGTTGACTATTAGATCGAGGTATCGTAATGTCAGCGGAAGAGAATGTTTGTTTATGGGGTCAGGTGAAGTGGCGACAGTCAACGACGTTATAGATGGTGGCCATACAAATGTAGAAGACGTCTTACTACATGCGTGGAAATTGACAAGATACAATTTAGGGTCAATCACAAGTGTTGTAAGTGATGTATTTGATATGAGGAGTCTGTCCAATACTATAGTGTTTCCGTTTCGTAGAGGTGAAGGTCCACATCCAGTGAGTACCAATTTCTCCAACGAATTAGGTAGTTTTTCATCTAGGATGATATTGGCGTCATTTACAATAAGTGATTCTAGTCCATCTCGACCATCTCTGATCATTGATACTATATTGACATCCTTTTTAGAGTTACCTCTAAAGTCTATATACAATGTTTTAACCGAGCTTGATGGAGGATTAGAAATAGATTCTCCACGAATATAAATAGCTGTTTTTCTAAAGTCGTCGTCCGTGTGTCGATTATGGTGACCTTGACCAGCTATTTCGGTAATGACAGCTACATCGTTGTCTTGAAACATAGAGTTGAGAAACATTCTATAGAACGCTTGCATACCAAAATGAATGGTAGACCTGACAGTGGTAGGGTTGAGGTAATGACTCTTTGGTAGATTGTCATTTGGAATGACAAGATGATTAAATTTAAGAGTATCTTGAAACTTTAATCTAAAATCATAATAGAATGATTTACAAGTCAACAATAAACAAATGAGATCCATATTGTCATCGATCATATTGACTATCATCAATAATAGAATATTTGATATTCTACCATATTGAAAATAAGTTCTACTACTACTACTACTCTTTTCCATCATTCACCTATGTACAACCTTGTGATGAATAATAAATAACAATAAGTAGATGAAGTGCACTTCATCGTCATCATCATTACTATCTACCCTTGATTTGCTTTTGACAAAGAGAGAAAAGTACTCAAAGCTTGGTGAAAAGTAAAAAAAAATTAAAAAAAAAATGATTCGTTTTTTGGCTATTGCTGAATGATCTCTATGATGTGAAGAGAGAGAAAGAATGCAAACACTCTTGCAATAGTTTGTAATATTAATATATATATATATTAAAAGAAGAGACAAACAACAAAGATGTCAATGTATCTACTTAAAGGAGGTAGAAGTTTAATTTCTTCTACTTTATCATCACAACAATCATTTTCATTTATAAAGTCAGGAGCAACAGCTTTGACTACTACTACATATAATAATAAGACTACTCTTAGTGGATCATCATCATTATACTCATATAGATCATACGCAAAGGAGTCATCAGGAGATGGAGAGGAAGAAAAGAAGAAAAAGAAAAAGGATACTAGCAAGAACCCAAAAGAGGCAGCTGCTGAAAAGAAAGATGATAGCAAGGATGCCTCTGGCAAAAAGATTGACAAAAAGAAACTATTAAAAGTAAAGAACAACAGAGTTTCATTAAAGGACAGCACACAAACACTTGTCGATCGTGTACACCAAGCATACAATGTACTCTCTCAACAACAATTGACCGACTCTACCTCTGTCAAAGTCATCAAGCGTGATCAATTATTGGATATGATCAGTAATGGTGCTATCAAGGAATACTCTTTGATCGATCTTAGAGATCCAAAGGAATTCTTTGGTGATTATCCAATCAAAGAAAGTTTAAATATGCCAAGTAAATATCACAAAACAAAACAAAACAAAATACAAACAAATCATAATACTGATATATTTACTTTTCTTTTCTATTAGTGGATATTGTAGTTAAAAAGGTTGAATTGGATGAAGAAGCTTTGGAAAAAAAGAGAATCAAGGATTTAAACAAAAGAGGTAAAAAGAAAGAATCAAAATTGGACAAAAAGAAGGAATCCATCGAAGATGAGTTCAACTTTTGGGAAAAGTCAATGAAGTTGACATCGGCTCAATGGAAAGACAAGTTTGGGTTCCCAAAGGTTGCTCAAGACTCTAAAATTATCTTTTACTCTGCAAACAATGGTAGAAGTTTGGATTGTGCCAATATGGCCGTTGAAGGTGGTTTCACAAAGTATGTTTAAACATCAAAAAACACATAAACTATTTTGAAACTCAATAACTAATTCATCCATCATTTCCTCTACTATATAGTATTCATATTTTGGAAGGTGGTATTAGACAATGGAACAAATATAGTGAAACCAACTAATTAATTAATTTAAAAAAGAGAGAGAAAGATAGAAAACAAAATAATAACCTATATGTTTATTTTATCAAACCCAACCCAAATCGAGACACAACAACAACAATAACAAAGTTACTATAGTACATCAGTGTCGGTTCAACCAAAATAGAATAAACACATTAGGTTTTTTAAACAACAACAACATCGTGATACACACAAATTCAAGCCAAAAACCAATTGCATACCCGATCTAAATGGTGATCAAGGTATCAAAACAAGACTATGATGGTTTGGTTCGTGTCCACCCCTTAGTCACTCACCCGGCTCATTGGGTTGTCTTGTGTATGAAAAGTTGGAATTGATCCCACCCCACATTTTTTTTGTATTTATTTTTTGAACATGGTAAAAAAACCCCTTTCCTAAACCAAACGTCACAACAACAACAACTGACATATTAGACCAAGTATATCAAATCTAACACCAAATAGATGGTGATCATTTAAATTCATTGATTCATACTTACCCTCACTTTATTTATATATTTATAAACCATTTGGTCTTGGTTTATAAATAAATAAATAACCAATACTTTTAAAAAAGATTATTTAAACAACAAAAAAATGTATGATATCATAGGTTTGTAACTAACCTTGCCCTAGAATACTTTAGAAATTAGATATTAATATCACAAATATTTTGTTCTTTTATTTTCCTAGGAATTTCGATAAGATTAAAAAAAATATTTCAAATGAAATCAATAGTATTCCACCAACTGCCAAGAATATGAATACATTTACCTCTAAAATGGTACAACCTTATATTCCAGTACCAATTCCATGGGCTCAATCACATGACAATGACTTTGATACCGATGGTGATTACTCTTTGAATCCAACTTTGTTTCCTGCTCCTAGACCAGCACCTGTTGATACTAGTACTTCTGCTCATCCACTTCATCGTATGCCTGCCCGTCCACAACCTGTAAAACATGTATTCCTATTATCAATTGATGGTGGAGGTATTAGAGGTCTCATGCCTGCCATTTGGTTAAAGGTTTTAGAGGATGAACTTCGTGCTCAAGGAGTGACCAAACCATTGAACCAAGTATTTGATCTAAGTGCTGGTACTTCAATTGGTGGTATTTTGGCACTCTCAGTCTCTAAAGGTCTTAGTCCCGATCTTTGTATCGATCTATTTCAAAAGAATGGAAACAAGATATTTGGTCGATCAATTTGGGACAAGTTTACCAATTTCGGTGTGTTTAGACCAAAGTATTCAGTAGACGGTCTCATTCAATTACTCAATGACAACTTTGGTGAAAATACAACCATGGATGAACTAAAAGGAAAGGTTGTAGTCACTTCTTGTACAGTCACTGGTAAACCAAAATATTTTACAAATATTGATCTAGATTCAAATAATGCTTCATTAAAACATGATCATAAACAAAAAGTTGTTAAAGTTGCTCGTTGTATGTATAAACAAAAATAATATAAAAGGATTAATTATTAATTGTTATTTGATTTTTTTTTAGGTACATCGGCAGCACCATTATTTTTCCCAGCTCAAGAGATGGAAATATTAAAACCAATCATTGGAGAGAATGAAGAGTTGAAATATGATCCAAATCAAAAACAAACGATGGGATTTGTAGATGGATGTTGTTGGATTAATAATAGTAGTGGATTGGTTGCTAAACTTGCCTTTTCACATTTCCACAACTTCCAATTCCAACCTGAAAAGATTCATATCTTATCACTTGGTACTGGTGATACATCATCACATATCTCCAATTATGCAGGTGCTAGTGATATAGTTGGTGTATTTGATATTCTAATGTCTTCCAACTCTAGAGGTATCGATTACTCATTAAAGGATCTCTATGGAAAGTCATATGTTAGAATTAATCCAATGCTCAATGAACCAATTAGTATGGATGACGCTTCCGATGAAACACTCGATGCTTTAAATCTAGTGGCTGGTAGAGTCAAATCTAAAAAGGGTGTTTGGAAATTTGACAAAACCTCCTTGGCAGGTTCACGTATTTACAAAAGAATTCAAGAGTTTGTTAAAGTTTATGTTGAAGCTAAAAAGAGTGAAGGTGAATCATTAGGTCCAAATGCTGCTTAAAAGTAAAATCAAAATCAAAATCAAAATTAAGAATATTAAATAAATAAATAAATAAATAAATAAATAAATAAATAAATAAATAAATAAATAAATAAATAAATAAATAAATAAGAAAACAATTTTTAAAATAAGCGAACTTTATGAAATTTGATTGAATTTAATTTTTTGTTAAAACAAAATAAATATCTTGGTGAACCCCTAACCCTCCACAAAACATTTCATGAACAAAGCACGTGCAAAAGCCAAGCGATCAACAACACAACAACGATCATCACAACACCCAATAATACCCAATCGAGTGGGTTTTTGTTAAGATCATTTAGAAATGAGCCTATCACAATCGGGTTGGGAATCGGTTTGAAGGGCTAAAGCCTAAAGTATAAATAGAGGTCAAACAATACTATTTTAAATCATCAAATCAAATAATAATAATAATCAATACAACTAAATCAAGCAACTTACTCTAAAAATGTCCAACTATTCACTTAAATTCTCATTCAACCAAGCAGGTCTTGCAGCACTTCATTCTTCGCAACAAAAAGTATGTGTTGTCAAGTCCGTCAACGGTCAAGTATCCAATGTTGTTTGGGTTACCTTCAAACCATTCTTGACCAACAGTTTAGATTGGAAGGAGGAATATGGCATCTACGCAAGTAACACTCAGATCCAAAACGGTGCCACTATCAGTCGTATCTCTACACTCAAGTCTGCCAGCAAGACACACCAATATCCATTCAACAGTGCCGGTTTCTTTGACCAAGCCAACGGTGTATCTGTCAAATCATACGGTCTAGTCAACAACTATGGTGAATCACTTACGTTTGGTCTCACGCAATCAGCACTTATCAACGGTGTACAAGTAGTCAGCGAACTAAATGCCACAACAGTACTAAACAACCAATCAGCTGAATACACACCAATAGTAACACTATCAGTGTATGTAGCTGCATCATTCAACAATGGTAGTGTCATCTCTGACATTAGTGGTCAATCACTCACTCTTACTTATACATCTGATACTTCAAAATCTGTATTCTATGATACCAACTCGAATATGTTTGTTGAAGGAAATATTTAAAAAAAATATTAATAATAATAAATTAAATAAATTATGTAAATTCAATCAAAGCTCACCCATCCCAACAAACTACTAGTATATTTACCAAGTATCTATATAGTTATTACAGTATGAACTAGTTCAGCTGGACTGTGAACAATAATTTAGTAGTATTGTTTTTAATATCAAAAAATTTGTTTATTCATATTATTAGATGTTATGATGGAAAAACAAGTTCATAGAGTTTTAGAAACTCTACCTGCTGGAAAGGATACCACTAATGGAGGTAGATTCGATATAAATAATGCAAAAATTGGTATGAGTTTAAAATAATTTAGATTCATTTTAATGATTGCCCAACTAAAAACTATCTATCTTTCTATCTAATAATAAATATTTAAAAAGTAAGTACCAATAATGAAGCAACTGAAGCAGTAACAAAACCCCAAGGTAAGAACCCTCCCCATCCATGTTGTTTGGTAGTATGTAAAATAATGATAGATTTAATTTATCATACTCTAACCAATTTATTTTTTTTACATTAGGGAGCCAAATATATACCAAGTTCAATTGAGGGTTTAACCTATAATGGTGGTACAGTCAATTTTAAAGCTGATATGAAACCAACTATTATATAAACAAATTATATTGAAGGAAAGGAAATATAAGAATCAACAACACATACATCTGACAAATACAAGGGACTTACAAGAGATTATAAACCATCAAACCAAGCAGTCAGAGAATCTGTAAGCAATTCAATGATTGTGAAAAGGCTCTTAAAATTGGTAATCGTTACCAATACAATATCATTATGAATGAAGAAAAGGGTTCATGGTCATCATTTGAACCTGGAAAATGGGTGATTTATCAAACACACATTTACTATGCTTGGAGAATAACAGTTTCAAATGAAACACCTCTCAATATATCAAAGATGCATACACATATTGTGGGTCATGAGTATTTACACCAAACGGGTAATCGTTTTGAGTCAAGACATCTTTGATATATTGAGAGGTGTTTCATTTGAAACTGTACCATCTCTGTTGTCAATAGAAATGATAATTTCGTACTACCTTTTGACCTTGAAACCAAGGAGCCTGTCACTTACAACAGAGTCACAGATTATATGTTTGGTACAGGATATAGTCGTTGGAGTCAGTAGAAACAATCAACCAAGGAATCCTCCTGTAGAAGAAAAGATAAAGAGTTAACACACAAGCTACTACAAACAACAACCACCGTGTTTGATTAAAGTTTTAAGGAGGGATGGGTGAGGTGCATGTTGAACTTACACACACATGCTCAAACACACTCACTTAATTGTAATTTTGCCGTTCGATCTTTAATTCCAACACAATGACAATTTACAATTTTAACTGCAACTGTTTTATATAACCTTATTTTTGATGTTCACTTTAAAACTAATATAAATGGTTGTATACAATTGAATTGAACCAACAATAGAATATTACTTTTTTTAATTGCAAATATTGAAAAAATGGCAGATGTGGAAAAACATATTCATAGAGCTTTAGAAACTCTACCTGCTGGAAAGGATACAAGAGTTGGTGGTAGTTTTGATATGAATAATGCAAAAATTGGTATGTATTGTAAAATAATGATCTATCTATTCATTCATTAAAAACTAATAAACTATCTATCTATTTTTTTTAATTGTTTTTTTTGAAAAGTAAATTCCAATGGACAAGCAACTGATGCAGTAACAAAACCTCAAAATGGAAACCCTCCTCATCCTTGTTGTTTGGTAGTATGTAAAAGATAGACATTATCACTCTTTCCTAAAAAAAAAAACACCCAAATTTATTTATTTATTTATTTAATCAATTTTATTTTAGGGAGTTAATTATAGACCAAGTTCAATTCAGGGGTTAACCTATAATGGTAATACAGTAACATTTAATGCTGATATGAAGCCTGCTATTGTATATACAAAATATATTGAAGGAAAGGAGGTTTATGCTCCAACAGTACATCCATCTGATAAATACAAGGGATTTACAAGAGAGTATACACCATCAAACCAAAATGTTAGAGTATCTGTTAGCAATGCAATCGATGATTGTGAAAAGGCTCTTCAAATCGGTAATCTTTACAATTACACAGTCATTATGAATGAAGAAAAGGGTTCATGGAATGCATCATTGCAACCTGGAAAATGGGTGATTTATCAAACACACATTTACTATGCTTGGAGAATAACAGTTTCAAATGAAACACCTCTTCAATATATCAAAGATGTTTTAAATGCAAATAATTATCCATTTCGTGTAAATGCCCATGACCCTCAATACGTCTATGGTATCTCTGTTGTCAATAGAAATGATAATTTCGTACTAGCTTTTGATACTAGAGCCAAGGAACCCGTCACTTACAACCAAGTTACAGATTATATGTTTGGTGCTGGATATAGTCGTTGGTCTGGTTCCTTTTAAATATCAAATGTAATAGAAACAACCAATTTGATATAATATACAAATATTATAATCTGACTATTTATTATTTATTTAGTAAATAAATAAATAAATAAAAAAATAAATAAATAATGAATATAAGATTATCTTTTTTACTATCTATCTAAATAAGACAAATACTTTGGCCTTTTGCTTTACTAGTAATTTAGAGTTTGAGTTTTTCGTTGACCATTTCATTAAATTACAATGTTAATATAACAATTTAAATGCATTAACTTTGCTTTCTGAACAAAAAATAAATACCTTTGATTACTTTTTTTTGGTTTAACCTCAAAGAGATATATATAGTCAAAGATGAAAGAGAATGATGAAGTACTCGAGAGCAGTGATGAAGAACTCGAGAGTAGTGATGATGAACTCGAGAGTAGTGATGAAACCGAGAGTGACGATGATGGGCTGGGACCAACGGTTGAAGAGCCACCCGAATCATTCATTGAATTAGTTGTTCAACTATGATAGTTATGTATCAAGTCGCGACGAATGTTTTAGGACTATATTATGGTTGTATTATCTCGTTTTACATTGTCGTTTACCAACTGTATGTTAACATATCGATCTTATTGATAGAGAGTAAAAGATTGTAGAACAGTTATAACTAATACCTTTGTTTCTTTCTTTTTTTTGTAAAAGATCAACACACAAGCTCTTTTGTTGTTGGGTAATGAATATTAGAGATCTACCAATCATTGAAATATCTCTCAATGATTTATGCACAACAAAGACAATATTGATGCAATCCACTATTTATTTGATAGATTATTTAAGTTTAGATGGAGTGGTTATAGTATGTACGACACACATATATTCACAAAAAAGGAGAGATCACCCATTGATACTTACCATTATTTTTATTATTATTATTAATTTAGGGATGTGGGATCGAATATTCGCGTCTAATAGATTTGGAGTTGATCAATCAACTGAAAGCTTGTTGGTGTTTTTCGAAGAACAAAGCCCTAGTATACGAGATAAATACGATAATACAATCTTTTCAACACTGAATAGGTGTTTATGTGACAGTAACGTTGAAATACAACGCCGAGCAATCAAGGTTATCGAAAATGTTGCTCTTCGACACCTAGAACCCAAAGTGATGATGGCCAGTAAGGTTGAATTGGTTTCAGGGGAATTTGAGCCAAGTTTCCTTCATACTCTTATTCGAGCTGGCTTTAGAAATAGAGATAGATCGTTGGTACTAGAGATTGATGACGTTATCATCAAAAATTGGTTGATATGCTTTCAAAATACTCTCTGTTTTGCTGCTCTCTCGTACCTAGTATCATCGAATGTCTAAATCCAAACAAATATCAAGAGGTATATAAATACAATATTATATATTCCTTCTAATAATCTTATCTTACTCTTTCTCAGTTATCAAATAGATTATTTCCGGGAATGATGGATATGCTATTACATCGGACTAGAGAATATAAATTGCAAACATTTGTTGGATTTTTTATTGGTATTGGTCGTATTGTTGGAGAAAGACATTTTAAGAGATATCTATACAAGTTGATGATATTCTTCTCTAAATCGGAAATGCCCCCAAACCATTTTAACAACATTTGTATCAAACTTTTGGGAATTGACTGGTTTGATATATCTCTATACCGCCCAAGCATCATGAAAACATGTTTCTTTGGAAAAGAAATTTCCCAAACATTGACTAATAGGATGGCGGTACTCCATCCTCGTCTAACTCCATACATCAACGGATTGGTTAATTATTGGTGCACATTTCTTGAAAACAAAAGTGGAGATGATGGGCATACCAAACTAATGTTATTTAGAATACTTGAAACAAAAGTCTCTCAATACCATGTTGGTCCAACACCTCGAGAAAACCAAAAATTGTTTTTCAGATTATCAAAGTTGTATTTGGAACCATGTTTGGAGGATTTGAAATATGCTTGGAACATTTGCATCAACTTGAACAATGTTCAAAAGCTTGTAAATCTGATGATACAAACACGTATTGGACACAGATACTGTCGAAAGTTGATAGAGTGTTGTGAAACAATTGACAAAAGAATATATAAACCTTTGAAAAAACACTCTGACAAGAATGCAGCTTTTGTATCACCTATCATTGCACTACGATACATTGTCACAGACATTCAATCAATATGCAAGAAGCAATTGGATGTCACATTACTTTTGGAGAATTGCAAGTCGAGATTGGTCGAGATGCTAGACAAAAAGGCCACTTGGGACGCTCTGTGTGTACCATTAATCATATGTGACTGGTTATTCTTGTATCACCATCAACTCAACTCTAGGTTTAAACCACGACTGTACAGACAATTCATTAAATTATTTGTCAATTTCTTTTACGAGGAAATCTCTAAATCACCAGTGTCACTCCAAGACGAGCATGGATATTCATTTTGGAAGATAATCATACATGCATTCAACATTGCACAAGTTGATAATAGTTATCAACAAGATCTCGATAGAATCTATCAATTTATCAACCACCATCTATCAACACCACCAAAATTGCCAACAAGTGAATTTAACAATATTGCACTTTGTATATTTTTAAAGCGAACATTAAAAGTACAAGAAATACTTGCAATACAGAGATTTAAAGTCTCAATATTTGCAGACCAAACAATCCTACTAGAGGAATTAAATCAAAATTGTCCATTATTATTTTCATCAACTCTTCAACAACAAGACAAAATAATAATTATAGATTAGATAACAATAATAATAATATTAATAATAATACCACAGATAATTTATTCTACAAGGTAGGTAAATAGGTAGGTGAACAATTAATTAATTCGGAAAATATATTAATAACGATTTACCAATTTCAAGTTAACTTTGTTATTGATCAAATGGTTTCGAAAATTATAATTATTCTTTAGTTTCGAAAATAAAATTAAATAAATAAATAGAATATTAATATTTATTTAATTTTGGTTTATATTTGTTTTTTCGAATTGTGTTGGTAAATTTTATTCATGGTGGTGGGGGTGTTGTAACTATCAATCAATTATATTCTTTGAGGGTTGGCTGTGAATACTAACCCTAACATTAGGCTATAATCCCTAGTAAACTGAAAAGTATAGATAGATTTACGATTTAATATACTAGTATTCAAATAATAATAAAATCATTCCAATGGTATGATATTTGTAGTTATTATCTAAACATATTTTATTGAGCCGATAGATATTTAAACCAAACAATTGTTCAACTTCAATTGTTCACAATTTAATTTTTCCATCTTTTCTAAACCTAAAAAAACCATTATATAAATATAATGTTTAAAAATAATAATAGTTTATTGTTATTAATATTGACAATATCTGTTATTTTAACAACCTTTAGTGTAAAAGCTGATAGACCAAAAGAGCTTGCAAGAAACTATGATCAAGTGTGGCCTGCAGTCCCACCAGGAGGAGGTGGTCCCTATGCCTATCTAGAAATCTATATACATGACACTGTTATCTTTAGGCCAACTAGTTCAGAGGCCATCGTCATCTATTCCACACAAACCCCATCGGGTACCAACCCAATCGCTGGAAATGCATCTGCCAACTCTCCATTCTACTTTACTTTTAATATTGGTGGAGAATACATATTTTCAAGTAATAGTACCCATGTTCCATTCAAGTTATTCGTTGTATCACAATAGAACTAAAATAAATATATGATTTGAACCATTAATATATTGTTTATTTGAAGTTCACATTTAACTAAAATTTGAAAAAAAAAATTGCGAGGGAAACAATGAATGATCATTAACATCAATATGATGTTCATCAAGTTTGTTGAAGTATTACTAATATTTGTTCAACAAACTTGACAAAGAAGAAAAAGAGAGGAAGAAAGGAATGAATCAAACATCATTATTGAAACATTTCAAGTCGATGGATGATATCATCAATAATGATCAACACAACTATCAAGCATTGCCAAGAGTAGAGACATCGTACAGTTATTCTCGATCACGTTACAATCAATACGATATTATGAAACAGAGTAAACAACAAAACAATCAAGCAAGCAACCATCAACATGATTCAATGAACCCAGACAACCAATTCAACAAGATATACACAGACAGGTTAGAAAAGTTGAGACCTGTACTAGCAGACAAGGTTGCAAAGATTTGGAAAGGTACTCCTGTCAACAAGATTCTTCATGTTAAACCAGGTGATGAAGGTATCTTGGTTGGTACTCTCTACAAAGAAATGCCATTAAAACCAAATATCTTGAAACAATATGCTGAAAATGTAAATAGTAAATATATCATAGAACCAAATAAAAAGATATTAACACATCTCTTCTCCTTTTTCATTTCGTTCTAGAGAGCAATATTACCATTACCAGTTAAAAAGGTATCATCTTATATTTCAGATGCAGATGTATTGTTATTTGAAGATGAAACAGGTAGAATTAAACTTATTTGTGACAAGTCAATGGTTGATGGATTACCTACAGGATTGAATGTTGCCATCAGAGGAAAGGGACTACCAGGTGCAGAGTTTCAAGTATACGAAATCATTACACCAGGTCTACCATCTCAAATGTTTGTTACCAATGGTGTTCACGGTCCAGACAACAAAGATATCAATGATGATGTATACGTTTGTTTGGCATCTGGTTTAAATATTGGTGATCCAAATTGTCAACTTTCAAACAATTTATTATTAGATTATATAACTGGAAATCTTGGTTCTCCAAGTGTACGTACAAACAAAAGTAAATATTTTCACATTACTTTGATGAATAACACATTCTTTTTTTTTCTATTGTTAGGACCAAAAATTTGTATCAAAAATATGTAGATTAATTATAGCAGGAAATTCAATTCACAAAGAACCAAATCAAGATTTATCAACTAGATCAAGAACAAAACAAGAAGCTACTGCTAAATTACAAAAATTGGCAGTTCCAATTAAAGAATTGGATATGATCCTTAGTGAAATGTGTCAATCTCTTCCTGTTGATAGTAAATATAAACCAAAACCTCCAAATTCAAAAATAGAAACATAATAATTAATCTTCTTCTTCTTCTTTTATAGTTTTACCAGGAGAAAGTGATCCATCAATTCAATCATTACCACAACTTCCATTTAATGCTTGTTTATTCCCATTTAGTGCACAAAATATAAATTTTAATCCAGTTACCAATCCTTATGAATCTGTTATTGGTGGAAAAATGTACAATCAAAAAAGAAAAGGAAAACGAAAAATCAATTAGTTTAATTATTAATTTATTTCCTTTGTTTTATTTAGATTTTTAGGAACATCAGGACAAAATATTGAAAATATATCAAAATATATGAATGTATCAAGTAAATTGGAATTATTACAAAATACATTGGAATGGAGGCATTTGGCACCGACAGCACCTGATACATTATCATGTGCACCATTGGAACAAGATCCTTTTATCATTGTATGTTGTCCACATGTTTATTTCATGGGTAATGGTGACCGATTCGAATCCAAATATATCGAAGGTGAAAATGGAGAACAAGTTTGCATTGTCGTTGTTCCCAAATTCTCTGAAACTGGTACTGTAGTACTTGTCAATCTTAGAACTCTTGAAGCTACTCCAGTTCAAATCAATCCAACTTCATTTTTCCCTCATTCTCCAAATTTAAATTAAATCAAATCAAAATTAGAAATAAATAATATTATTTTTATAATAATCAAGATACTTTTATCTTTTTCTTTTATTTTTTAAATCATTGATCTAATTGAAAGATTAATTTTTCTTTCTTCTTCTAATAATTTTAGATCACTAATCCACATGTCTTTGTTTTTAGCATTGACAGCTTTGAATGTAAAGATAGTTGGAGAATGACCTTCTGGATCTGATATAAATCTAAATTGTCTTTCATTGCCTGCAATCTCTTTAAACTCGCTATTGATTAGATCAATCTCTGCTACATATTCCAACTTTTTAGATTTTCGCAACACTCCACAATGTTTTGCCAATACAATTAAATCATTAAAGAGATAAACAGTATAAGTTCCATGATATTTTCTATTACTACATTCTGTTTTTAAAATTCCTTCTCTGATCCATCTTCTAGATGATGATAATAATGTATCCTAAATGAGTAGATAAATGATCATTAATATTAAAAATTAAATATTAATTTTTACAATTTTACTTACAGGACATCCTTTTACTTCTTGACAAATGGTAAATACACGGTCCTTATTTTCTCTTAATTTCTTTTTACTATTAATGTAAACATTGATATCTTTAATGGAAGCATAAGCAGCCTTTAAACTATTATAATCAATATGATCTTCATCTGTACTCTTGATTAATTCTCTTAATAATAATTCATATCTTGGTATTCTTTGAACTGGCATAATTAATAAACTTGCACTAAAGTAAATAATAATAAATTAATTAATAAGTATTTATTAAAAATGAAATATCATCTTTTATAGAGATTACATACATATCTAAAGAATACTTATTCTTTTTTTGTAATGATTGTAAATATTTTGGATGTTCATGTTCAAATTTATCCAATTCTTTCATTGCATATTCATAATTATTAATATACTCTACATAAAGTCTCATTTCTTTAGACTAAAAAAAAAAATAATAGAATGAATTAGTATTTTTGTTTTGTATTGTCTATATATACTTTATATTTTTTTTTTACCTTTTCAATATAAACATCTCCAACAGTTTGAAGTTCTGGAGCCATTGCAATTCTTTCTTTTAATGTTTTAATCAAATCTTTGCTAACCACAAAAAGAGATTCAATGTTGGAAAAGATGGATGAAACATTGATAGATGAATGAAGATCAGGATCCCTTTCCAAAGAGTATTTGTAAACCAAAATGAGATTTTCAATGGCATCTGCATAAGACTCTTCAGTAGAGACCAATTCCTGCATGATTTTGGCACGATTTCTTGCTCGAAGCGAATCATTTTCTTTGGTAGACGATGAAAACTTGGTTTGAGTAAATGAACTTGGACTGGTTCTAAGATGTTGAGATGGTACATGTTCAACCGATTGAGATGATCTAAGAATCTTGGAATCGGAATGAGACGATGTTCTTTCACCATTGGAAACAACCTGGGCCGTAGCAGCAACAGGAATGCTTGCATGAGATTGTGATGAATTTAATGGTTTTGATGGACGATAATTATCACTATTAGTACTACTAGTACTACTAGTACTAGTACTACTACTACTACTACTACTACTACTAATACTACTATCATCATCATTTGATATTTTAGTTTGTTCAAATTGTTGTTGCATCATAAATTGTTGTTCTTGGAGGTGAAGACTTTTTCTATGTTCAAATTGAGCTTGTTGTTGTTGAAGTGTTAATTGGTCTTGTTGAAGTCTTTGTTGTTGCTGTTGTTGTTGTTGGTGTTGGTAAAGTAGTTGTTGTTGATATTGTTGGTATTGTTCTTGTTGTTTTTGGTGTTGAATTTTTTCTTGTTCCAATTGTTCCTTTTGACGTGCCAATTGTTGCTGTTCTTGATGGAATTGTTGTTTCTCTCTTTCACGTTTTTCATCTTGTTGTTGTTGATTTCTTATTTGTTGTTGTCTTAATTGCTCCTGTTGTTCCATTTGTTGTTGTCTTTGTTGTTCCAGTTGTCTCTGTTGTTGTAGTTTTTGTTGCTCTCTTTGTTGTCTTTGTTGTTGTTCCAGTTGTCTCTGTTGTTGTTCTTTTTGTTGTTGTTGTTGTAATTGTTGTTGTTGTAGTTGTTGTTGGTGTTGAAGATATTTATAATATTCATCTTGAGATGGAGCTGCTGGAGCTGCTGCTGCTGGAGGAGGAGCCTGTTGTTGGTGAGGATAGGCAACAGGGACAGGTGCAGATGGGTTGGTAACTGGTATTCCATGACTTGATACAACGGTTTGCGTTTGATAGGCAGAGTATTGTCCAGTGGCTGGATTGTATGAAACAGAAACACCGGGTGGCGTTACAAATGCCTCATTGAGTGCATAGGGAGATGGAGGAACTCGCATCACTCCTTTGGGTGGATAGGTAGATGGAATTGGATATACTACATTTGGAATGGGTGGAGGTGCCCCAACAACCACTCTTCTAGGAGGAGTTCCACGAGCACGATGAATGACTCCATCCTTTGGTTGGAAATCAATGGTTGCTCCTGAAGTTGGAAATCCAGCATATGGATTATAATATGACATATTTTCGATGTTAATTAATTAATTAATTTTTTGTTGTTATATTTTTTTTCTCTCTGTTCCAATTATATAAAGTATATTATAATAATAATAATAATAAAACTATAGGGAGGGGAAAAAAAAATCAAATTGATTAAAATTTCATAGTATAGTCTATACACAAACATCCTTTTTGTTGTAGATCAATTGTAAAAAAAAAATTAAATAAATAATTATTTTTTAAATATATTGGAATTGTATTTTTTTTTTTTGTGATAGTACTTACAAGATTTACTAGTATTGTTTCTTTTTTAGGAAGGTAAAAAAACAAAAAAAAATTGAAAATATAATTTCCAGAGAATTCCAACAATGAATAGATCTTGTGGACAGAGAAGAGATAATTAAATATTTTTCCAGAAACTATAATTTCTTATCTACTTTTTTATAATCTGTTTGTTGTTGAATTAAAGTAGAACCATCATCGTGAACATAAACTGATGGCATTGCTTTTTCAGTTGGTGGTTTTCTTTTAGTTCTTTGATATTTATCTCTATTCTTTACTAATGTTTTACTCTAAATAATAATAAATAATATGAATATTAATAAATTGTCACATTTAATCTTTTAACCATATTAATTAATTTTCTTACATAAACAAATAATAAATGATTTAAATCTATTCTATCTGGAATATGAATATATCTAATATTTCTACTATTGACTAATAGTAAATCATATACTTTTGGTTGTAATTTAATTGATTCTATTACCTCTTTGGTTAATATTAGTGTTGATGTAACTGATATTGTCTTGTTTGTTTCATTGTTTGTTGTCGATGTTGTTGTTGTATCCATTTTTTCATCCTCCTCCTCCTCCTCCTCCTCCTCATTCATCTCTTGTTCTTGTTCCTCCTCTTCCTCAATGATATTTTCTTCTTCCTCCTCCTCTTTATCATCTCTATCTTGTTTCTCCTTTTCTTTATTTATATCTATTTGATGAATGGTATCATTTAAAGTATTCGATTCAAACAATAGTCTATAATCATATCCCTTTGTAATCGTTGCATCTCTTAATTCAATACTATATATTATAAGGTAAGTAGGTAGGGTTAGTCTATGTTATTAAATATAGTAGTGGAGATGAGAGATTACTTTAAAGATTTATCTATATTATCAACGGTACCATATATTTCACTTTCATTTCTCAATTGAACTGTTATCTGAGTCCCTTTTAAAGCATTGAATACACATGGTAATGTTTTAGCATTACTTAGATATCCTTTATATTTACTCTTTGTTGGTTGTTGTTGCCTGTTGTTGTTCATTATTATTATTATTCCTTTTCCTATAATATTAAAGATGATATTTTCAAAAGTAATTCACCCGCCGACGATCATCAGTTCATCATTGCTCTTTCTTTTTCATTGTCTTTTAGTTTTCAACCTGCTCAAGTATTAACAGATATATAATATATAATATATATACACAATGGAGAATATTCAAATTTGGTTATTAGTAGTTGCAGCATTGAGAATGCTTGGTTTCACTCAAGCTTTCTTTAACAGCAGTAGATTAAAATCAAATGTTTACTCTGCTGATCCAAAGCAAGGTACAATAATATGAATGACTCTTTGTGAGAGTATCAACAACAATAATATAAACTAATTAACCCCTACAACCTACCCTTAATCTACGCTACACACTATAGTTACTGGATTATTTTCAAGATTATTTGGAGCATGGACATTTATGAGTTTCACATGTTGTTTAGCCACTGCTTATTCACCATACAACAAGGAATTATTCTTTGTTACCTTTCTTTCCTTTTTATACGCCTTTCTTCACTTTGCCACTGAAACTCTCATCTTTAGAACTTCAAGTTTCAAGGATGCCATTCCACCATTCATTGTTTCAAGTATGTCTATTCAAAAAAAAATAATAGATTAATATTAATCAACTCAACTATATACTAACCTTTTCTCTCTTTTTATCAACAACTTTATTTAGCTACTTCAATGATTTGGATGGGTGGTTTGTTAATAAACTGGTAATTCCCAACTTTTTAATTAAACTAAATATTTATTTCAATTTTAGGTACATTTAGAGGGATGTAAGAATATATTTTGTTTTGAATTGATATTACAATTATATTTATAATATTTACTTTGTTTGTATAAATGAATGTAAGAAAAAAAAAGAAAAAAAGAAAAAAAGAAAAAGAAGAAGTTATAATGGTTTATAAAGTTGAAAGATAATGAATATTGGAATTGATTTGGTGTCATCAATAACCTTATTTCCAATTGATTCTTTTGGAAGGAAATCAGATAGTGCTGTAGGTTCAACAATCTTTCGAATATTGAAACCACTCTCGATAATGTAATCTGTCCACATTGACAATGTACGATGAAAATAAGGTAGACAATATGCTGGTATTTTACGATCGTCTTGAGGAGGAGGAGGAGGAGCAATCATTGTATTTGTATTTGTATCCAATAATGGAGCTCTTTGATCTTTTGGAGTATTAGAGAACCACCAACGATCGATTTTAACTTTACCAGTGTCAAAGTAATTTGCTATTTGCATGGCATAGGGTACACCGTCTTGGTCACGAAGCATCTTCTTGGTGGGTGGATTAAAACAAGGATGAAGAACTGAAAATTGAAATACTCCACCTGGTCTAAGTATACGATTGACTCCAACTAAAACAGCCTTTGCATCGGGTACATCCATCAAACACATAAACGAAGTAACAAAATCAAATGATCCCTCTGCAAAATGATCACCAACCTTTTCAGCATTAACAACTTGATATTCTATCTTTTGTCTTGTTATCATTGTTGAAGAAGGTGAAGGTGAAGGTGTTGAAGAAGAAGAAGAAGATGAAGAAGAAGATGAAGAAGAAGTAAAAGTATTGGTCACAAAATCAAGATCTTCTTTATCTTTTGAAGCATTGATAAAGACTGGAGAGATGTCAATACCAATGATTTTAGCACCTGTATGCTCTGCTACCAGTCTTGTATTATTTCCTTCTCCACAACCCACATCTAATCCTCTTAGTAGGTGATTATTATTATTACCATCTCGTTTGATAGGAAATACATGTAGAAAGGTTGGTGTATTTAATAGATCTCTGTATTGATCAAACCCCTTCCTTGTCTGTTCAGTCCATAGAGCTGCATACGAATCCCATATCAAACCTACTTGTTCACTGTCCATCTTTTATTAAATATATATCTCTCTCTATTCAAAATAAGTAAGAATTTTCTAAATGAACTCTTTCAAAAAAAAAAAAAAAAAAAAAAGAGTAAATTTGGTCGAAAACCAGGGAATAGCTCAAAATGTGAAAAATGGAATATAGTACTTTGCGACAACGCTCCACAGAGTCCGAAAAGACAGAGCAACACAATCTTGTGTTGACCGGAGAGGGCGTATCCTTGAATAACGTCGAATTATTTATCACACCTGAAAAATAAAAAAATGGAGTGGAAGAATATTTGTTTGTAGTTTATGTGTATTTGTGTGAAACCAAAGAATAGAAAAATAATAAATCGTACGATGTGCATATCAGAACACTTATTGATCCCGATTACGATCTGATCATCATTATCTGCTACGTTGTTTGATTAATTGTTACAATTAAAGACTTACTCTCCACTCGTATAAGCTATCCTCCCTGTTGTTGTGGCTCTGGCTGGATGATGGAAAACAATTGTGGCCACTCTTTTAAAAGACATTCAGGTCAGGGTGATTGCGATACGACATACCTTTTCATGTTGACCAGGATTCATTCATGGAATCTGAAACTGGATTGAATGGGGATGTCTCTTGCCGAGGAAGAATAAAGTTGTTGTTGATCGTTGCGTTGATCTTGATATTTTCAGACCACACGCATCATCATCGTCTCTCTCTGAAGATGATGAAGGATTTGTTCGCATTGTTTAATAGTCTCAAAGACATTGAGAACCGTCCTATCAATTATTCGGATTTTTTGCTGTTGGTGTTTGAGTTGAGAAATTTAGACCTTCACATAAACCCCACTCCAATAAAAGTATAAAACTCTTTGTGTATTAAATGTTTCTTTTCTACTCGGGTCAGCAACAGCAGCAGCATCAACAACAAAGCTTCTTTGTTGTTTCACTCCTCCTCCACCACCGCATGGCTACATTCATTTCAAAACAATAACATTGAGTTAAATAGTAAAGTTATTTAGTTATTTAGTTATACGTTTCATTACATATCAGATTAAGCAACATAAATAATTATAATAATACTAATAATAATAATAATATAATATTGTACAATCAATCAATAAACAAATCGTAGTCAGTCTCAGATCAATCATCATCATCATCTTATAATTAAATAATCAGTTGATAGATAGAAGTGGTAATTACCGAAGGATAAATTACTACGAGATAGAGAGATATTTTTTTTTTTTAATCAACAAACAAACAAACAAACTATATAACTACATCATCATCATCATCATCATATCATTCATTACAGTACAAACAACATTTATTTGTATAGTAATTTACTTTGGGTTTAGTTTGGTTGGTGATGTAATTCCTATACAGAGTTTAGAAGAATTACTATTACAATCAATCATCACTCACTACTATCCTATCTATAATACTATAATCAAAAGAGGTGTAATACTACATATTCAGACTAAAATATATCAACACTACTTCCAACACCACCACCACCACCAAGTACCATATTTGTTTATAGATTATAATTTCAGCTACACCCCAATCTATTAAAAATACAACTACGAAACAAAGTATAAATAATAATAATATCTACACACAATCCACTTTCTTTATTTCACTTGTTCCATTATCTTTTTTACAACAAAAATATTATTATAATTTAACAAAATACCACCACTATGGTTATTCACAAGAATAGTCTTAGGTTTTGTTTTTTCTTTTCTCTTTTTATATTTGTATTATTTGGAATTATAACATTAATAGTTGGACAAACATCACTTGGTAAAAGTGTAAGTAGTAGTAGTAGTAATAAATTCAATATTTCCAAAATCATAATATTAATATTAATATTTTGATTGATTGATTTTCCACTTTCCATTCTAGATTCGAAAATACAATGAATATGAACCGACTACTTGTAATATTACAGCTAGTAGTATGATAACTATAGAATCACCAATGGAATGTGATCATTACAACGATCAGGTATATTGGTACGACGATTGGGGACCAAATTATTTTTTCGATGATGTATCTGATGGTCCTCCAACTGAATACCAAGATCAAAATAATGCATCTTCAGGTGGTCCCCCACCACCTCCACCTATTATACCACCTTCACTTCTTAATCATTCTACATCAAATGATACTCTATCTTCATCATCATCATCCTCATTGGAACCACTTTCATCTTCTTCATCTTCATCATCTTCATCTTCTTCATCTTCATCTTCATCTTCACCAACTGTATATTCATGTCATCAAGGACTTTTTAATATTAGTTTTTCAGTACCAGATGATGTATTGGATGTTAATAACGATGGTATAATCGATGGCCATCGATTGATCATTACAACTTCACCTGGATTGGTGTCTAGTGATACAGCATGGGTTTCAGAATACGTTACCAAATACAAGGATGGATCGATTTCGAGTTGTTACTATGAAGATAATGCACCCAATAGAGTGATCATATTTCGAATTCCTCCCTATGATAAAGTAGCATTCAACATTACATTGGTTTGTGGAATCATATCAACGGTTGCACTCATCGTTATGCTTTTGGTTTATGTTAGAATACGACAAATTCAAAAAGAAGAAGATTATAATATTTGTACAGTTCCAAGTCAATCATCATCTACATTGACTTCTTCTTCTTCTTATTCTTCTTCTTCGCAACAACCTCCAACTAAAATGGTTGATTTAAGAAATTATCCATATCCTCATCAATATTCCATCAACAATAATAATAATAATCTCGATCCTCCTCCCTATCCATCAAATACATCAACTACTAATAATAATAACAATAATATAATACCATCTTCATCATTAAATATTGCACACTCTTCTATTGATATTAATACAATTTCAACTGCCGACTCATCTTCAAACTCTTCAACGTCGTCGTCGTCAAACTCCCCCTAATAATAATATGTAATACTTTTATTATTTATTACCAATAAAAAGTGTAGATAACACATGATTATTAATTCCAACCATGGTAGGGTAGTTAACATAGTTAACTATAGTTTGTTTGTTTGAATAGATAAATAATAAATATTTATTTACACAATCGAAAGGGGATTAATATTCCCCAAAGGTACATATTATATATATATTATATTATAGTTGGATTATTATATATTACTATCTTTTGGTTCGTTGTTATTATTTGGAGGTGGAGGTGATTTATCAGCATAATTAAAATCATTATCAACATTATTATTATTATTATTATTATTAATAGATTCATCATCTTTTTTTGTTGGATCTTGAGATGGAGGATTTGTTTGATCAACACCACCCGATGATGATGATAGATTCAAGAATGATTTTGATAAATATTGTTTTGAATATCTCACGGATCCTGATCGACGGTTGGCTCCAGAGAGTGAACTGGTTGATGGGTGTATGGGTAGTTTGGGTGGTGGTTCTTTAAACTCTATACCAGTGAGTTTGGAAATAATCTTTTTAATTTGTTTGACCCTATCTGATTCTTTGAGGGTCTGTAAAACAGAAGGTTCCAAAACAAATGTCAGAAAGAGAAAGATACCAACATCTGAAATACAAACAAGATTAAGCATCTTGAATTCATATCCATTCATATATCTTCTACATTTTTGTACATCATGTGTTGCCGAATAACACCTTAACGATTCTTTTACTTTTGTTTCATATTCTATTCTTTTCGATTCTGCATAATATTGAAAGAATGATAAGAATACAAATGAAAATATTATATATGTCATTAATATTGTTAATTTTATCTATGAAACCAAAAAATAGAAACAAATATTAATACTATGGAATTAAGTAATTATTATATTTTCTATATTCTTACATTAAAAATTAAAACTTTAGTATTTTGACTATACTTGTACATTGATAAAGTTTTATAGGTTGAAAAACAACAAGATGCAAGTGTAAAAAATAGAGCAATCCAACTTGGAACAAAGTAAGCAGCATATTGCCATGCCTTTTTGTCATCTGATAGAATCCAACATCCACCTTGTGATCCAATACTTGCTCCATATTTATTTCCAATTAATGGTATAACTGATAATAACCCTGATAATGCCCAAATTCCAATTCTAACATATCTAATATGTGTATTTTTTTCTAAATCAAAATCAAAATAATAAAAATTAATAAGAAGTTGATTTAAATATTGTTTTTAATATTTACATACTCATTAATAAAGTTAGAACAAAATCATAACAAAGAAAACATAACCAAAAAACAAAAGATAAACCACCAAATTGAAATAATAAACCTTGAAGCCAACAAATATGATCTTGTTGCGTGGAGTATCTAGTGTCATCACCACATACAAAATGATCTTTGACACCTTGAATATAATAGGCAACACCTAGGATGATGGTCGATACACCCAATGCTATAAGGCACTCCATTCGAGGACTAATCTTGTTTGGAAATACGCCAAATATGATAATGATAATGACTGCCGAAACCATAGACGATGGATAGAGAATGGCATCTGATAGTGCCAGACTCGCTGTTTGTTCGGATGTGAATATTTCAAAGGGACATGGTACAGTACAATTTCCATCACCCAACACATAGTATCCACCCGAATACTTGGCCCTCTTTTCTTTTGGTACAATGACAAATGGTTCTGGACAATTCTCTATGATATCGGATCGTACAGTCGGTATAAAACATTGTACCTCTTGTTGACTCGATCCACCAACACTACTAAAATCGTAAACTGTCGATATGTTTGGGTACAATGGTTGACCCAATGGATTCAATGATGTGCAATTTGTATATGCTTTTAATTGAGGTGTTGTTAAATCCTCTATACTTCCAATTATATCATGGCATCTTTCAATTGTATTCACTAGTGAAATAAAAGATTTGATTTGAATAAAAATAAATGTTTGTTTTGTTTGTTTGATTGATTGTTTACTTACTACAAAATGGATAACATATATCTGATGGTATTACAATGGTAGTATTGGTTGAATTGATAGTAACAAAAGTACAGGGTGGGTATATAATAGAACATGCCATACTTTCAAAATAAGTTCCACAAGTTCCTAAAAGAGCCTCTGATCTAAACATTAGATCGTAGGCAACCAATTCCTTTTGTGATGCTGATCCATTGGTCATGTAGACATTGGTATATGTTAGATATGAATAACATGGTGACGTTGAATCCAATGCAACACATGTTCCTGTTAAATCGTACGATGGAGGTGATTGTTGTTCTTGTCCAAATACTAAATGATTTGGTTGATTTATACAAATGATAATCAAAATATATGATAATAATAATAAAAGATATCCATTTGTTTTAAAACTGGATTTCCAATTACAATTGATCATCATGAATCAAATACTAAATTATTATTATTATTTTGATCTTTTAATGGTGATTGAAAGAGATTAAATGGAAATATATTTAAAAAATGGATTAAAAGAGTGTTGGTGATTTGGGTATTTTTTTATAAAGGTGGAAAGAGTGGATGAGGAGGATGATGAAATATTAAACAAATATCACTGATATTCATAATCGAGAGTGAGAGTGAGGAGAAAATATATAAAGGCTAAAATGTGTAAATGGTTTACACGATAATCTAATCCTATAAATGGTTGGTTCTTCTTCACTAACTAAACTAGAGATATAATATAAATATAAATATATATAAAATGTGTAAATACTCGAAACTAATAATAATAATAATAATAATAATAATAATATTTATATTAGTCCAAACAAAAACAAACACAGCAAAAATAACAATACCTCTCTCTAGCAGTAATAGTAGTAGTGTAGTAGTAGTAATAGAGTGAGTAGAGAGAGAGAGAGAGTTAGTTGGAAAATAGCAGGTAGGCTGTTATTTTTGACTTTATCATCCAATTTGGAGGTGTGTTTTGATCAAAACATCATCATTATCATCATCATCGCCATCCTCATCAACACCAAAAATTCTTTTTTGCTCTCTAGCAAGCTTGTTATTGTAACAATAAATAAATCTTATTGGTGGCTGTTGGTGATGGATGGATGGATGGATAGATAGGTGTGGTTGGTAAATGGGATGGGGTGTGGCCGTACCCCTTTTAGATTTTGATTAATGAACCAACCCACACATGGTTTTGATTGTTTTCCATAGTGAATTGTATTGGGAGGGTGTGGTGAAAAATGAACCGTTGTCGGTTTGTATGTACACTAGACGTCGATTCTATCAATAGATAGAATGATCAGAATGATCGAGATGGGGGTCTCATCTCATCCAAATCCTTGCCGAAAACTATGTTGTTGTTGTTGTGGGCTTCCGAATAACACTATAGTTCCAACCAACCCAATCCATTCATTTGATGACATTGACCAATATTTCTCCTTTCAAACAAACGACGTAGTTGCTGTTGATGTGGGTAAATGAAGAAGGCTAAAGATTGACTTTTGCCCTATTCAACCGACATAGTACCACTTTGTTTGTTTTGCTTACATTGTCCACTTCTCCTTGTCGTCTTTGGTTGTTCATCATGAAGAGGATGAAGAGGACATTCAAATTCATGTTGTCATTCTTTTAATGCCCAATCATTCATTGAATCTTGTTGGGATTATAATGCTGCTAAACATCCAAACGATAGATATGAATACCATTGATGGTCTATGTTGAATGTATTGTAGAAAGGAATAATATTCGTTGGGGCAATTTAATTAAAGACTTTGACACAAGGCAAAAAATAGATCATCTCTTTGTTTTTTTTTTTGGTATTTAAATCATATAAACATTCTCTTTATTTAGACCAGGTTTTGGAACCACCATTGCCAAGTTTATATGCTACATGAATAACGGTACGATTGTGAAACTCTTGACCAAGATCACAAAGCTTGACTGATATAATGTATGTTAACACATAGATTGTGGATGAAAGTAAAATGGATTGGATAACATTTTACCAAGATGCCAGATGGTCGATCCACAATCTACTTACATACAAGGTGTCAAATGAAGAAGCGCTGACTTGTAGTTGTAAATCATGATGAACCACTACACACAAAGAGTTGGACGATTCAACGATTTAGTATTCCTGCTCTTTTACCAAATACTGGGAACCTAAACAGCAGGTCCTTGAGTGACAACGCCATCTATAGAAGACACTATACACATAAAGCCATTGAAAGCAAGTTGCTCTTCCTCCATCTAAAAGCTCAAAAATAATAAATTAAATTAAATATTCTTTTTTTTTGGAAAAAGCTGGATAACCAAGGTCTATGAATTGAACGGATAGTAGTATTATACTTGTTATATATAAAGTTGAATAATTGTTGTTATTGTTGTTGTTTATTTACATGTCGTATACGTTTGACCATGGTCTAATCTAACCATAGCATCTAATCTTATCAGTGCTACCCTTTTTACTGCATTGTCCACCCTTAGCGAGATATTGCTGATGATAATCCTCGGCAAAATAGAAATGCGAGCTAGGCAAGACCTCAACAACGATTTTCTCGCGATGTTTCTTCTGTTCTTCGTCTCTACTCTTCTCTGCTTCTACTCTTTGTTGGTCATTGTGATAGTAGATACCAGAACGATACTGTGTACCACTATCTCCACCTTGTCTGTTCAATGTGGTTGGATCTATTTTCTTCCAAAATACATCCAACAGTGCTGGATAGCTAACGACCGTATCATCATATTCCAATTCTACTGCTTCTGTGTGACCTGTTGTACCTGTACAAACTTCTTTATAGGTTGGATTAACTTTATGTCCTTGAGTGTATCCCACCTTTGTAGATACTACTCCCATGACTCTTTGGAATACTAATTCTACACTCCAAAAGCATCCTCCTGCCAATGTTGCTTTTTGTATAGTCATATCTTTTATATTATATTATATTATTATTTGTTTGTTTGTTTGTTTGTTTGTTCTATTGATAATGAATGTTTCAAAAAACAAGTGAATGTTATTTATCTTCGCACTATTCAATGATAGGGTCATCCCAAAAAAAATTAACTTTGAAATTCAAAGTAAGTGTCCAAATTTAGAATATTCTTTTTGATATCGTCATTTAGCAAAGAATCAAATGGAATGAAAGAATATTAATGATGGATAGGATATAGTATAGGGTATTATTTAAATAATTTATTTATTTTAATTATTGGTGAATAATTTATTTGGTTTTGTTTTTGGAGAGGATAAAAAATTATCCTTGTTCTCAGAGATAGAGGATGGATGGGATAGTGGCATATGGCAAGGTTCTTATTGTTGTTGTGTTGTGTTGTGATATTAATATTAATGGTTTGGTTTTAAGAATACATTCATTTTCAACAAAAATAAATAAATAAATAAATTAGGTTATTAAAAAAAAAGTGTCATCATTTTTGTTGTTTGTTATTATTGTTGTTGTTGTTGGGTGTTATTGATTGTTGATCATGACAAGTCCAAGGTAGAATTGAACTAAATTAAATCTTAAATTATTTGGATGGGTGATGGAGTGGAGGGGGGGTGAAGTGACATTGTTATTGTGTGGTAGTATTTTGGTTGACTATAAATATAAACTAATGGTTTGTTTGTTTTGAAATTGGTTGGTGGTTATGGTTGAGTTTTGAGTTGAGTTGACAACAAAAATGGTTGTGACTGTGGAATAAATTACATCAATATACACTTGTCCTTCTTTTCCTTTGTTGGGACACCTTCCTTTTTGTACTTGTCTCTAATCTTTCTGACGATACTATGAAATACGTTATCTACATTTATCCTATCTTTACATGAAGTCTCCCAGAATTCGCAGTTTGGATAAGAGTTGGCCAATGTCTTTCCGTCGTTGTTACTAACTTCACGATGTGAATCCAAATCAATCTAGAAAAATAAAATTAAAAGGGTCAAGATTAGTAATCATCATCCATGCCATGTCTCATATCATACCGGTAGCTTCTACCATCAAACAAACATACTTTATTACCAACAAGAACGATTGGTACTTCTTCTTCTTCCTTTACTCTAAACAATTGTTCGATGATGTCTTTTAATTCGATAAAAGTCGACTTTACCAAAATACTATATACCAATACGAAACCTTCTGCACTCTTCATATAAAGTTCACGCATAGCTACGAGTACTTCCGAACCTGCAGTATCCAATACTTCAATGCAAACGCTTTCTCCATCCAATTCAAAACTCTTTGTATAAGTATCTTCTACTGTTGGATCATACTATATATATCGTCGTAAAAAGGGATTGTGTGAATAATTATAAAAAAAAAAAAAGAAATGTGATCAAACCAACAAACCACGCCAACGCCACTCGCTTTTATCATGTGACAAAGATCACCATTGCACCTCCTACCTATGATGATGATCTTTTATCATTATAATCTCTCTCTCTCTCTCCGAGTGGTGCGATGTATTATATGTTCAAGTTGATCTTCATTCTTTCATTCATACCTTGTCAACGAATATTCCTTGAGTGAATTGTACGGTTAAAGCAGACTTGCCGACTGAACCAGACCCCATCACAGCAACAAAGTACTTTGACTTTTGAGGTGTCTGTGATTTTCCTTTATCCTTTTTACCCATTCTTTTCTATTCTATTCTATTCTATTATATATATGTTGTATGTATGTTTTATGTATGTTATAAAGTTGATTTTACAGTCGATCGATGCCAAAAGATTATTAATGTTTGTTCTTTTTCTCTTTTGTTGTTGTTGTTGTTGTTGTTGCTCTTTAGTATAGTATTATTACTTTAGTATTGTTATAAATATTATATATATATATGTATGTATATGAATAAATAAAATATGCCTCTCTTTTTATAGTTAAGTTTTAGTAATTAAAAATAGGTTGTTGTTTGTAAGTAGGTAGGGATACGATCAATGGCTTGCTTGAAAAAAGTTTTAAAAAAACAAAAAATCCTCCTTGATGAAATGAAGGGTGATTAGTTAGTTGTTGTAGTGTTAATGGGGTTATTGTCAAAAGATAACTTTGGTTGGTTGGTTTGTTTGTTTGATTGATCTATCTCTATTTTGTGTGTGTTGTGTTTATGTGTTTGTTGTGTTATCGAGTGATCTATTGTTAGGGTCAACGTTGATTGTTGTTATAAATAATAAATAAATAAAATAAATAAATATTATCTGTTTCTATTATTACAACTACAAATGTAATGTTATGTCACTATGATGAGGATTGATCAAAAATAATAATAAAAAAGTAACTTTTACTTAACGACGATAAAAGTGTCGTAAGTAGATTGTTGAGGGAGGAGGTCAAAAACAAGGCACGCGTATTCGATAATTATTTTCGATGAACCCAAAAGGGCCAACCGCCATAAAGTGGTGGCCAAAAAGAACAAAAAACTTTGAAGACAGATCGAAAATCCATCCTATTGTCAGATTCCAGATGGGTTTGAAATCTCTAGATATGTGGACATGTGGACAACCAACACATTGCATTCATTATTTATATATATTTAGCTTTGAAAAAAGGGGAAAAATGCGTATGACTTCTTTTTATTAATTAAATAAACTATGTGATTTTTTAAGAGTCGGGAGGGGTAGGGGAGGGAGATTCGTATACGAATCAATTGACTGATTGGGCTATTATTAATATTCTATATGATATCTACTGTTTGGGTTGGGTTGGGGTTGGGGAGAGGGTCGATGATGAATAATCCTAATTAATTTAAAACCGTATTTGACTATATGATGGATCGATGAATGATGGAATGGATGGACTAGTTGTTGTGTAAAAAAAAAATGTTGGGAGATCTATGTCATCCTTGTACATTTAACCATGAAACATAGGATCATGTGAAAGAGTTGATGATGATGATGATGATTGAGTATTATTAATAGATAATGGTTGTTGTTTCTTTGGAGAACTACTACTACTACTACTACTACCGTTAATTGGTTTTGAATGATTTTTCAATAATGAACGATGATTATTTCTAGTAGTTTTTGGTTTACTTGGATCAGTACGACATTTGGGACAACTGTAATGGAGTGGATTTGGATTGGAATCATCATAGAGAGAAATATCACCCATTCCACTATCACACTTTGACATTACCCATTGTTTACAGTCGTCACATCTAATCCAAGATATCGAGCTAGCCATGGCCTCCTTTGAATTGTAGACGATACCACACAATAAACATTTTGGTTTCTTCATGTTTTGGAGACCACAACTATTACATAATACCTCACCGTTTGGTCCCTTTCTCCACTTACAAGTTGGACCTTTGCCTGGTGTGGTTGAACCACAAACGCATACATTTACACGTGGTACGACTTGACCATATTTTGAATTTTTACTTCTTGTTTTATTTATTTTTGATTCAAACTAAATAGGAAATAATTAAATATAGAAATAGAAAGATTGTTAATAATTAATTAATTATTTGATCAATGTAGTATTTTTTTTAAAATTTTAACAACTTACAACTAAATCATTCTTTTGTAAAGAGGATGATGGTGAAGATGATGGTGGTGTCGATGATGGTGAAGATGATAATGGATTTGTTGTTGTTGTAGAGGTTGTTGTTTGGGTAAATAATATATTTCTTTTTTGTGGAGTAAATGATGAAAATATTGGTTGTTGTTGTTGTTGTTGTTGTTGATGGAATGGTGTTTTCTCGAAATGTACATTGGATGTGGATGGGAAATAAGATGGTTCATCCATAAAGGATTGAAAATTGTGATGATTGTGAACTGGCGATAATGGAACTATTGTGACTAAAATTAATAAATTAATAAATATAGGATAGTATTAAATATTACTAATATTGATACATACACTTGTTATCTTCTGAAGAAAGTTCCATATCTGAATCCTCTACCAATTGATCTATTGAAATGGAAGAGAGAGGTGAAGAAACTGGTGAAATGGTGGGAGATGATGGAATAAAAGCAGAGCATGGTACCTCTAATAATGGAGAGGAAGAGTATGATGATGACGACGACGATCTTGAACTATAAGAACTTGATGAAGAAAATGAAGAGGATGAACCAGATGATTGATTAGCATGTTGTTTGACAGATCCAATAGATGTCAAAGAAGAAGCACTAGTATTACTTTCACTGGTACCATCATTGTCATGATTCATCAAATCCAAATCATCTTGACATTCTTTGTATTGTTGTTTCAGTTGAAACAATCTCTCCAATATTATATCATGTCCATATGGTTGGTTCATATATTGTTGTTGTTGTTGGTATTGATGATGATTATTAAATGTTGTTGGATGTTTAAACATTATTTATTTGTTTGTATGTATTAATATTATTATTAATATTATGTTGATTATTATTATTATTATTATTATTTGTTAATATTTAAATATTTTGGTGATTTGAGGACTATGAGTCTATTCTATTCTTCTTTGTCTTTGACCAGATTAAGATTAGATTTTAGATTAGATTGTTGTTGAAAATTTAAAAAAAATTGATTTTATCAAAAAATATATAATATAAATAATAATAACTATAGTTGGGAGAATGTGTACAATAGATAAAAAATAAATAATAAACTTTTTATATATTTATGAAATTGATATTATATGAATTTGAGAATAAAGGTGAATAGTGAGTGAGGGAGGAGAGTTGTTGATTGTTGATAAAATTAATAAAATTAATAAAATTATTATTATTTACTCTATGTATAGTGGTGGGGTTTGCCAATGAATATATAAAAGATAAAAAATAAAAAACTAAAACTCTTGCTTCTTCCAGACTTGAGGACTATGAATCATTAACAAAACAAAAAAAAGAGAGGATAACTTGAAATTTTAAATCACACAAACAATATTATGTTGATTATTATTATTATTATTATTATTATTATTTACACTTGTGAAAAAAAAAAAGAGATAATTTTTTAAAAAAGAGTAAATTAAAAATGATGAAGATGATGATTATGTAGATTAAATATTGATTATGTGTTAATTAAAATATGTATATAAAAGTAAGTAAGTAAACGTCAGTTAAGAGAGAAGATGGCGTTGGTGAAAATGGCGATGTTTGGATTAGAAGATGATGATTATTAATACTAATGATTATATAATCTTTTCTTTTTTGTTTTTGCAATTGTGTTGAGTGCTGCCAAAAACTGAAGCCGCGAACTGAATGAAAAGTCTTTTCGTTGTCGACATTCTTGGTTGGCTGAGAATGCAACAGGAGGCATTTTTACACCAAAACTTATCGAGGCTCTGTAACCACCGGTAAAATGCATTGACTCTGCCCCATCTCTGTGCTTCTAGCCCCTCAAGAATAGGTTATATACCCATTCGCTGAGATGTAATTTTCTTAAATTTGGTTCAAGTCCGTTGCCGCATGTGATGAATCCCTCCACCACACACTTTTTTTAATTATTATCACAATCGATTTCACATCGATGACAATGCATTGTGATGGCGGTTGTTGTTGCATATCCAAGGACCACCTTCTCATCACATGTACCCCCTAGGGTGCTAGAGCCTACCTACCTATTAAACAAAGAAGATCTGAATCTTGTAGATTCTCTCTTTTTATTCTCCTTCTAAATGAGATCGTTAATCGTTCGTAGTCACAACAACAGAATCAATTCACTTAATTGAGAAGAGAATATCTACTATTTTAGTATATGCTTAAAGCCTCTTCATTCTTCAAGACCCTTGTTGTTGTTGTCTTTCAAATAATATATATGACGATTATATCTCTATCGATTTGTGTACATGCCCTCAAGTTGTCAGGAATCATATGACTCGATTAAAAATGTAATCGTAACTACTATATAGTTCTATCTATTTAATCTACTACTATCTTAAATTCAAAGGAAAAAAGAAGAAGATGATGAGGTATTCTCTGTTTGAAAAGAATAATAATACAAATAACAATAGTTAGATGATGTGAGCTCACCCCAAGTCATTCCAAGGAAATAAAAAAAAAAAGGAGGACCTATAGACAATATCATATATTGTACATTTTTAAAAGATGTTGAGTACGCTGATTCTTTATTGTTATCTGCTTGGGAAAGATTTAATTGTTCTTACTGATGTGTGATTACAGTTACATACCTTTTGGAGTTGAATTGTTGTTACAAATCCGTATTGTCTGCTCTCTTGATCGAGATGTTTGTGGATCTCTTTAAATAATAGCATAGTTTATTCTGTGCCGACAGTCATACGAGTTAAAGAGATCCACAAACATCTCGCTATGGACACCACATCCAATGATTTACTGGTCGACCCAGTAAATATGATTCATTCATTGGACACCTGGCCCTTGTCTGTCACGCACTAGAATGATGTGAATCTAAATGATAAAGTATATTCAAAATGTAGAGTGAGAACTTAAGTTAACAGGAAAGAACATTATAAAAAGAAAAGCTGATCTGTTGCTAAAGATAGGGTAAAGCTAAGTATTCGTTAGTGAAGTGAATATCGATATCTTTCCTTTGTCTACATGCACCAGAGGGATTAGTAACTTTCGATGCTGAATAAAAATATATACAAATATAAATATGTATTTGTGTACTAAATAAAATAAAGAGATTGAACAAACGAAATAATAATAATATTTTTAAAAGACTTTTTTAGTTGGAAAATTGGTGTTCTTTTAGTCTCAGTACAAAATTGATGATTATTGTCATCAATCAAAGAAAGAATAAGATATAGTATGAAGAGATAGTGTCGTGAAGAGAAGAATAAATTGCAACACAACGAAAAGAAGAAGAAGAAGAAGAATGCATAGATGGCGACTGTGAGTTCAAATCAATACCTCATTGCTGGATTAGAAGCACATCGAGCTAGTACACTCAGTCCTACAATGGCTCGATGTTATAGTAGATTAATCAATTCTGTAAAGTCTTATCCTTTACCTATAACAATTGATGGTTTGTATATATAGATAGATAGATGTAAAGATAGATTGATAGAGGGAACGAACAAACAAACTAACTAACTAACTTGGTTGTTTATAATAGAGATTGAATCTGTTAGTGGTATTGGAAGAGCAACAGGAAAAATATTAAGAACACTTATTGAAAATGGTCCATTATCTTCTTTATCATCAAATCAACAAAATCAACAACTAATAACAAATAATAATAATAATAGTAGAGGAGAATTAGAGAAACAAAAATTGAAAGAAAGATTGGAAAAGATAAATATAAAAGATTTGTTTGTAAAGAGTGATGACTTTTTAGCTATGAAACGTCCCAATAGCTTTGCAGAATGGATTTATAGTATCAAGGGAATAACAGACCCAACAGATATTATAGATAAATTCAATCTTAGTGGTATCAATCAAATTCAACATATCCCTTTGATTGATGGTAGTGCAACTTCTGCTGCCAACTTGATATTTGGACAAAAGATGCTCGTTGATCATGCTGTCACCATTTACAAAAGATATGATATGTTGGCAATCGAGTATGCTGAAAGAGGTGAAGATCTAGAGACTGCACTACAATGGATCAAAGGTGAGATCAGTAGCAACGACGGCGATGATGACATTGACAACAAAAATCTTTTCTTTTCCGATAAAGATGGTGAAGATATCTTAATTTCAACTGAAGGTCCTCCACCATTAATTCAAATGCAATATATTGAAACTATTTGTTCAAAAAGTAAGTAGATATATAATTATAATTCTATATTTATTATGGACTAACAAATTGAATTGAAATATTTAGATGTATTAAAAGGTGCATATGAAATTGCACATATGAGAAAGTTGGCAGATATTCATCTGGGTAGTGATAATATCATTAAATTAATGGTTTCACCGTCGGGTGATGACAATGTTCAGGGAAGAGGTGACAAGGCATATGAAGTCATTATCACATTGGACCCTGACCGAAAAATGGCTTCTAGGTGTTCGTGTACTTGTGAATATGGGAAAATACACAATCATCGGAAAAATATAAACTCTAGTCTTTGTAAACATATCATTGCTCCCTTACTTATTTTATCTCAATATAATCAACAAAATAATAGTCAAAATAATAGTAATCAAAATAGTCAAAATAATCAGAATAATCAAAATAATAATAATTCAACACCAAGAAGAAATCCAACAAGACCAAGGAATAATAATAGTATTTATTTACAAGATGGTATGGATTTGGAATTGGGAGATGAAGATGAATATATACCACCAGAAGACAAGGATGATCGTGATTACTCTCCAACAAGAGATAAACAATCAAGAAAAAGATCTTCACTTGCTACTAGTACAAATAATGGTTCACAACAAGAAAATGATCAAAAAAGAACTCGTAGAAGGAGTACTGAACAACAAACAACCGATAAATCAACGAATAATAATAATAGTAAAAAAAATAGATATAGACCAAAATATAGAAGTGGAGCATGGGGATTATTAATGGCATTGTATGCTAAATTAGTTGATGAAGAAAATTCAAAAGATGGTTTATCGAAAAATGAATTGGTCATGAATGCTCAAGAATATTCTGATGCACAGTTTAGTACTGATGGTGGTTGGAGATCAATGAAAACGTTAGAGGATCATCAATTGGTATCGGAATATGGTAAACCAAAAATATTCAAACTTACAAAGATGGGATGGGATATTGCTAGAAAGTTATATTCTTCGAAACCAACTGGAACAAAAAATATAACAATGGCTGTAAATAGTGATGATGATGGTGATAATGATGATAATGACAACGACGATAATGACAATGACGACTATGATATACATAGTCAACAAGACAATGAGGATAGTCCAACAAAAACAACAATTACAACAACAAATGAAGACTTTAATCAAGAACCATCACCACCACCACTTTCAATGGAGGAACAAGTATTGTATGATTGGAGTGATGATAGTGATAGTGAAACTATTCATTGGCTTGTAGATAGACCATTCCCAATTACTCATAGTGACGTTTTAAAGATTAAAAAAGAGAATATCTATATTAGAGAGGTTGTTTTGTTGGTTGATAATCGTGAGATTAAAAATCATCGAAAGAATGGAGACTCGTTGTTGCAGTTGCTCAATACTGTGGGCGTCAAATACGAGCAACGGGCACTACCCCTCGGCGATTTTCTCTGGATCACACGTCTCCACTATAATCTCGATGAAGAACAGACAGTCTATGAAATGGTGATGGACACAATCATCGAACGCAAAAAGATACCAGACTTGTTGGAAAGTATAAAGGATGGAAGATACAAAGATCAAAAATACCGTCTCACTAGGTGTGGTATAGACAAGACTCATTATCTAATCGAAGGTCAACTTAATTATCGAACTAACGGTGGTGGTGGTGGTGGTAGTGGTAGTCAAGACACAACAGTCACTCCAAAAGATCCAGATGATGAAAAAGTCTATCAAAGTATTTCAGAAACATTCCTCGAGGATGAAATCATTCCAGTAAGAACCAAATCAGAAGAAGATACAGTTCATATGCTTCGAACCATCACAACAAGAATGACGGATAATCCTCATATCTACTTTAGTGATATGTGTTATGACGAGTTTGCAGATCGTGCCACACACGAGCCAATGACCATCACATCAATGTTTGCTTGCATGTTACTCACTATTCGTGGCATGACTGAAAAGAAAGCGACACAGATCATCACAGAATATCCTACATTACACAGACTCATCACAAAGTATCGACGCATGACTACAGTTGGAGAGGCAGAACGACTCCTAGCTGATTACGTTGGAGTAGATCTAAGTAAAGAAATATATACATTGTACAATTCACCAGATTATTAATTATTTAATAATAAATACAAACAATAACAAAAAAAACAAACAAATGAAATGGATAAATCATAATAATCAAATTAATAATAATAATAATATAATTTATTTATTTATTTTCCATCTTTTTTCAAATATCATCAAAAGAGGGATATTGTATTGTTCCATCCCCTATTCTATTCATTTCGTTTTATTATTATTATTAAAAAAAAAGATGAGTAAATTTCAAGTTGCAAAGCAAAAAAAAAAAAAAATCAAAAAATCCAAAAAGCCTCAACCGATCACAAATCGAGGAGGTGTGTATTGGGGGTGTTAATCTCTTAAAGTTGTGCAAAGTTTATTTATATCTATCTATTGTTATATTTATTTATTTATTTGTTTATTACCCTTTTTTTATTTATTAGCAATATAGTCTACATATACATACAATTAACATTTAAAGGTAGGTTGTTGATTGTGTGTAAACAATGAACAAATAATAGCAACAATCAATCAATCACACAGAGACAGCTGTTCAACCACTACACTGTGATACCACATTGTGTGTACACAACATGGATGTTTGTTGATCTTCATTAGTCGAGTTAAAGAGAGGAAAGAGAATGATCAGAACTTGTCATTTAACTCATCTCTTAGATTTAGAGGACTAAATCATATATATATATATATATATACATAGTTTGTATATTGTAATAATAATAATCAAGATACACCAGCAGCTAACATAGAGATTGTTTGATAGATAGATAGAGTTTCACACCTCCCACAAAAAAAAAACTATCAAGATCATCGGCATTGGAGATTCAATCCAACAACCGATTTTACATAGTTGACAATCGACTGATAATAATAATAATAGTATATTCTAGAGTTGACTTCATTATTATTATTATTATTATCCAACACTCACTACAGGTAATAGAAAAGAGAGAGTTAGAGTTAGAGAGAGAGTCAAATACCAGATCTTTCTTTAAAACCAACCAAGTCACTTGTCAATCGAGAGCAATTGGGGGTTGGGGTATAAATAATTATTATTTAATTGTTTGTGGTGCGTGAACATCTATGAATGAATGAATGAATGGAACATTTAAGGACATCCTGAACGGAAAATTAATTTACCATCTTCTCTCATTCCATCCATCCATCCACCACTCTCTCTGAGAATTAATTGTTAGTCAACAACCCCCTTTGTTCACCACCCCTACCCCAAACCATCCAACGACAAACACATAATTTAATTATTTTATTTAATTAGTTCTATATCTTAACTTGCCTAGGTCATTCATCATTATCATTATTATTATTGTTATATTGTATTATAATATTGTATTATAATTTATTTCCTCCCTCCCTCACTCCCTCCCTCCTCTGGAGCAGTTCTCATTAATATTATTATCTAACAACAAAAAGGTGATTGGTAATATTCATTATTCATTATTATACTTTTTTATTTATTTTTGACCATGTTTGGTTCATTTTCAACAATCAATCTACCTATTAATCAATTTACCTATCAATCAATCAAACCATATGACATATGGCACACTGATTGGTAGTTATAAAAAGAGATTCAAGCAGATCAAATGGAAGAAAAGAAAAAGAAGCAAGTGGTTATAAACAACAACAATAATCAATAATAATAATCATGACAGGGTTTTGATAGATTTAATTGATACGCATACACATACACACACATATGTTTATACGTATTGAATCTAACAACACAACCATTAAACAACAATAACAACAGTAGCAAAAGAAGAGTGAAGGGTGTGAAAGTGTGTTGTTTGGTAAAGTCAGATTGAATGACTGAATGATGATTAGTATTGATGGTAGAGTTTTTCTCTATTACTGTTGTCAAAAACACATATTATTATTATTATTAGATAGGAATGTTTGATGTTAAACATTCAACAACAACAACAACAGCAACCAAAAAAACCAACAACCACTGAAAATAATGTAATAATGGTCGGATTGATTGATTGATTTGATTGTATTATTCAATAATATCTGTCATTAATTCAATTTTACTTTACTTTACTTTATATTACAATATCATATTACTATATTAACAACATCAACATCACCATCATCACAAGTTGTAAAAATTCGAATACTATTTATTTTTTCCATCTTTCAATTCATGTACAATTTCATTTGAAAATATAATAATAATAATATTAATATTTCTATTTTTACTCTAAAACACAATTTAGGAAATATTTGTTTTTTTATTTATTTAAAAACCATACCTTAATTTGTACACAATAGACTACGACATTAGTAGTAAACCTATCTATATAGATATATATAATCTTTTTTGATTGAAATGGACCCATTAATTGTTGAAAATCAACCACAACCACCTCAACAACAACAAGAAACATTTCCACCTTCACCACCACCCGAATCATCATCACCATTGGAACAATACAGTGAAGAGATTAAAAATGGAAATGCAGAGGTGCTCGAAGAGGAGCCAAGAAATTTGTTGCTGTCGGTGCTATCAGAGATCAAGATTGGTATGGATCTGAGCACCGTACCACTACCAACCTTTATATTGGAATCGCGATCATTGCTCGAAAAGTTTACCGACTTTATGGTGCATTGCGATCAACTACACAATGTGCACACACTAATTGACCCGATGGACAGAATGTTGGCCGTTTCGAAATGGTATTTGTCGGGCTTTTCTTACACCCCAAAAGGCGTCAAGAAACCATACAACCCGATTTTGGGCGAGATATTCCGTGCCAAGTGGCAATACCACGACACGACCACCCAACTCATAGCCGAGCAGGTGTGTCACCATCCACCCATCAGTTGTATTTATATATCAAATAGAAAAGATGGTTATGTCGTGACGGGCACAATCAGCCCGCGCGGTAGCTATCAGATCACCTCGTTGGTGGTGCACGTCGAGGGAACCATCACTCTGCGATTCATCGAGACCAACGAGGAATACACATTCAATTTCCCATCCATCTACGCCCGAGGTATTCTCTTTGGCACTTTGATGACCGAGATTGCCGGCAAGACCAGCATCAATTGCTCGTCGACCAATTTACGCGCCGACTTTGACTTTAAGACCAAACCACTGTTTGGCGGCGACTACAACGAGGTCAGTGGCAAGATCAAGAAAAAAGGCGAAACCCTATACAATATCTCTGGCAAGTGGGACAATAGATTGGATATTACAAGTGCTGTACAGAAAAAATCATCGTCACCTAAAAACGCACAGGTATTGTGGGACTGTAAAAACGCTAAAAAGACACCAAAGTTTATCAAACCCATCCCAGAACAGGCGGAAAACGAGTCACAAAGATTGTGGCAATTTGTAAGCAACGCCATCACTAAAAGAGATCAAAAGGAAGCTACTGCCGAAAAGATTAAATTGGAAAACGTTCAAAGACAAGGTGTAAAGAAAAGAAAAGAAAAAAATATTGAATGGCAACCAAAACATTTTATTAAAGTTAATGATCAATGGGTTTATAAAAATTCAAAGTAAGTAAATTGAAACAAAAAAGAAAAGAAAATAGAAATGGAAATGAAAGTTTATTTATTAATTATTTAATTTCTTTTATTTATTTAGTTTTACTCCATATAATCCAAATGAACCACCAGAAATTTTTAATATTGATGAAGAAAGTAATAATTAATTTAATTCCAAAAGTTGTTATATTCTTTTTTTTTTACAAATAATTAAAAATAAAATTATATTATATAAAAAAGAAAGATGATTATTTAATTCTTTTTTTTTTAAAACAAATAAATATTTATTTATTTATTTATTTGGGAGGGAAGAGAATTTTGATATTTTGGATCATCAAAAGGATGAGTTCCTTTAAATAATTGTTTAAATGATTGATAAAGTTTACCGTGAAGTTTTCCATTGGTTTGTGATTTTTCGAGATAGACAAAATGTATAAAGGTTAGAATTCTTGTACATGCCAACATGAAAACGATTGGTTTGGGTAAGAGTAGAAATACTGTTGAAAAGGCTATAGATGGCGCCAATCCAAGGAAAAGGATCTTTGTAATGGTTCGATTCATGTGACAAAATCCTAGATAGAGATTTCTGAGGTTGATAATGTCTTCAGAGATGTACCACAATGGTATTGCCAAATGGTAGTGTATTGGATTGACCAACATCAACAAACCTACAAGATCCAAACTTTTAACAATTGATGCGGGAAAGGTAAAAAATATAGATGCCGATATCTTTGCATACGATCGAGCAACCGTTAATTTGTGTTTTAACCATGACCCAATACTAGTGTTGTATTTTGAAGGGTCTTGATATTTCTGACAACTGTATGCCATAATATTAGTTGCGTGTCCCAATGACGTACATCCATCACGATCGTTTCCATCTTCTATCAATCGATCAAACAATCGTTGCAATCCAATTTCATAAAGATATTTTGGAATGTCTGTATTCCTCTTTGCCAAAATAATATTACCAAATATATATGATACATTATAAAGTAATGGTATTGGACATTCTGGTTGTAAACATAATGTTATTATTGATTTTACTGCTTGTGATCTCATATTTGCTAAAGAAATAGAAATAGAAAAAAAAGAATTGTTAATCATATGATATTCATATCTTTTTGTTTCATCATACTTTTTAATAAAACAGTAATAACCAATTCTAAATATAAATTGGAAGATACCAACTTTGTAAATAGATTATCAATTTCAAAGTCTTCTAGAGGAACCAAATTCATATTCATTTCAGTTTCAAATCTAGCCATGTTGATAAGAATACGTAATAGTTTGATTACGTTTGCATCGTTTGATGCCATCTTTGAACTCAATCTACTGTTGAAACTAACAGTCGATGATATGAGTGGTAGTATTTGTTCAGCTTCTGCCAATGTTACTATATTGTTTGCAGGTATCTCTGCTGCATTGTAAAAGTTATCTATATTCTCTAATATTCCTTCTCCATGTGCCTCTGCCAACTCAAACCATCTATCTAATCTTGATAATTTAATTAATGCAACTTTTATGAATGAATGGATAAAGAGAGAGATACGTATACTTATATAAGTAGCTAATACTAATGAATGTTGATTATCATATATGATACATACGACTACCACTACATGTCAATGCACATAGTGTAGCTACTGCCAATTTATCGGGAGTAGAAGCATTTACAACAGTCGTTACTATATTTTCAAATAAATATTTCTTTATTGACTCCATCAATGAATCAATTTAGATAGATATACAATATATAACAATGCAATGAATGATCGATTTCGAAATTGCATTCAAAAGTGATTTTATTTTTCTCCTGCACACTTTTCACTCTTTTTTTTCAAAATGAAATAAAGGTAATAATCCAAAGTCATAGATCTAATATGTTATGTGTATGTGTATATGTATATGTATATTAATAAATAAAGGGGGGGGATTATTGTATTTTTTATTTAACAACAATGATTAATATGACATTGTAAACCAAAATGATCAGATGGATATATTATTTCATCTCTATCAATCTTTTCAATTCTTCTCTTTTCTTCTTCAATTTCAATTGCTTTGGTTCCAATCATATTAATAAGTGTTACTCTAACCTTTTGTTGTTGTTGTTGTTGTTGTTGGTGGTGTTGTGGATTATTCCAATATACAAGTCTATCAACTCTTTCATTCTTTTTAATACATGTGATACCATTTGTTGAATTGTCAATGGTAGGACTATTGTGGTTATTTTCATTATTGTTGGTCAATGTTGGACATTTCCATAAATCAGTAAATCCTTTTTCAATTAATTCCTTGTCTTCAAATGTTGATTCTCCAAAATTAAAATCTCCTACTAAAAACATTGATGGTATAAGAGGAGATGTTGAGTATATTGTAGGTTGTTGTTGTTTAATAGGAGAAGATGGTGGAGAAAGAGGTGAAGGTGGTGGTGAATTGGGTATTGATATCTTATCACCAATACAAGAGGAAGAAGAAGAGGAAAGTGGTGTACAAGAAGAAGGGCCATGAGAATTAACCAATGATTTAAAAGTATTTGATATATAATCCAATTGTTTTACTCTATCTTGACCATTTTGTTTTAAACTTTCCAAATGTACAGAACCAATAATAATAGTCTTGTTTAATAGAGTATCGATCAATGTTGACATGATCATTCTTCTATTTTGGTTACTTGGTAATGGATACAATGTAAAAGATACTAATTTGTATCTATTATTATTGTGTTGTTGATATTTTGTCATAATGATAGTACCGTATGGGAAAACAGTATCTGATTGACCAGAATCTGATAGTATATAGTGATTCTTTACCCATATTTGTTCTTTTAATAAATCTAAAAACATTGGTGTCACCTCTTGAAGACAAACAACGTCTGGTAGCAATGATGATATCTCTTCAAATAATGATTGTGCTCTTTCATGCCATACAAAACTATCAAACCAAACATTGATTGTTAAAATATTGATATTATTACTGTTATTATTATTAGTGACATTATGATGATGTCCATTTCCGTTTAGTTGTTGTTGTTGTTGTTGATTATTATTATTATTATTTTGTTGATGATATTTATATTCAGTCCATTTACATTGATTATTACAATAAATAAAAGGTGGTAGGTTGGTGATGGTAGTATATTTCTTGGTGACAGATGATTCATCGATCCCTTTGAATTCACATATTTGTAGAGATACTTGTTCTTCATAGATACGACCATCAGCTGTTCTAACCTTTGTTTTGGTTCGTGCAAGATTGTTTCGATTGAATCCACTTAATAATTGATCCATCGTTACAGGGGATGCAGATGATGATGAAGAGGAGGATGAGGATGATGGCGTTGTCAAAGATGACGATGATCTATTATTATTAATATTAATCAACTTTCTCTTGTGAATGGATATAATATTATTTGATGGCATTGATGGTGGAGGAGGTGGTGGTGGAGGTAGACCAAATGATACATTACTACTGTCACATGACGATGACTGAACTGTAGTTGACGATGAAATGATTGTCTGCTTGTTATAACAACCCATCATACCAGTTGTATCAATCATAGTCGAAGATGACGATGATGATGAATGATGACTTGACATTATTTCTACTCCCATTGTTGTTGTTGTTGTTGTTGTTGTTGCGTTATTACTATGTTGCTGTCCAGCAAGTGTACTCGATGATGGTGATAACGGTGATAATGAAGGTGATATTATAAAAGGAGGTGATGAATAATGGCTATTACTGCTACTACTACTACTACTAGTATTCATCATATTTTAGATAAATAAACATATATTATATAATAAAAGGTGGTATAGTTAGTTAGTTAGTTAGATAGTGTTGGATGTGATGATTAAATAAAATTAGTTATCTATCTATCTTCTTCAGATATCATTCAAATATTTAATTAATTTGTTTCTGGTCGATATTACCAAACATACACCCTTTTTTTTGTCGTGAAACAAATCTCTTTCTTTTTTTTTTTTTTATTGACACACCCACTGCCAGCCTGATGCATGACACTACTTTACTTCACCCCCTCCCCCACATCTAATAATAATGGGTTTCGATCTCGATCTGAACTTGACACTTACGATTGATTAAATATTTAAATATTATTTATTAATATGTTTAAAGGGAAACCAACCAATCAATCAATGAAATAAAGACTGATGATATTTGTTTTGAATAAGATTCTTAATGGGAACTCTGTCTCTCTCTCTCTTCAGTTTTAATGTAGATAAATAAATAGTTAAGTTATTGATGAAAATAGAGATATTAATTTGGGATTCAATTTGGGATTATTCATGTTTTCCACTTCGCTGTTTTCATCACAACAAAAAAAATCGTTGTTGGGTGAAAATTAATTTAATTGGATGGATATTTCCATTCTGATAAAAAAGAACTTCCAAAGAATGAAATGAAATGAAACGATGACCGTTTTGGCTTTAAATTATTATCACAACAACAACAACAACAACAATGAATTAATAATAATAATAAATATTATATGTTGGGGATGATAAGAAGAACTACTTTGCTTTCTTCAGTTATATATCCCCAACAATAATAACTATATTGTTTTCCATTGTCTCTCGGCTACATTTTAAAAGTTATATATATATATATATCCTCTAATCCGTCCATCCCATCCATCCACGAATCAAATTTGATGAGAGGAGGGTGAGGTTTGTATAAATGGTTGCCATGGGCTGGCTGACTTGGTGTAAAAAAAAAAAAAGAAAAATTAATTCAAAAAAAAATGATTTTTTCGACCGAACGAAAGAATTCGTTTTATCTCTGTGAGTCGATTTAGAAATTAGCTCTTTGATAATAAATAAAAAGTCGAAAGCAGAGTATTGTTAGTTAGAGAGCGGCGTCGACGAGATATATAGATAAATAATAGAACTATACATAGATAGATAATAATAGTTTATAGATATAGTAATATTAAATATGGCTCAAGACAGTACTGAATCATCGTCATCATTCAACAGCAGAGGAGGAAGAGGTGGTGCTAGCAGCAGAGGAGGTAGCAGAGGAGGCTTTAGCAGCAGAGGCGGTTCTAGCAGAGGCGGTTCTAGCAGAGGCGGTGCCAGCAGAGGCGGTGCCAGCAGAGGCGGTGCCAGCAGAGGCGGTGCCAGCAGAGGAGGTGCCAGCAGAGGAGGCTTCAGCAGCAGAGGTGGTAGAGGAGGCTTCAACAATAGAGATGGTGCCAGTGACAGAGATGGAGGAAGTAGAGGTGGTTTCAGCAGAGGAGGTGCCAGCAGAGGAGGTTTCAACAACAGAGATTCAAATACTGCTGCTGCTACTACAACTACTGAAAATCGTGAAAACAACTACAACAACAATAGAGGTGGATCTTCATCAAGAGGAGCACCAAGAGGTGGAGCTAGAGGTGGTTCAAGAGGTGGATCATCAAGAGGTGGATTCAACTCTAGAGATGGTACCGATAGAAAATATAACAACAAAGATGAAAACAACAGCAAAGCAACAGACAACAACAACAACAACAACAACAAATCAACCGAACAACCAGAAAAGAAAGAAAAGTCACATCTTTTCTATCAAAAGAATTTCAATAACACTCAACAGAGTTTTGAAGAGAGCAAGAAATTAAAGAAACAACAAGATGACAAACAATCAAAGATTCTCTCTCGCAACTATACTACCAATCCACCAAACTATAGCGATTATGAAGATGTCCACAACTATGCTGCTTATCTTTACAACAAAACTTTACAAGTTTATTTGAAAGGTATGTAAATAATATTAATAATCATAATATTAAATAATCTTTATAATATTAAGTTTCCCATTTCTTTTTTTTTTTTTTAATAGATTTCCAAAAGAATGCCAAGAGAGACGATCAAATGAATGAAAAGATGCAATACCAAGGTACAACAGCCGATAGAGTTGCTGCTGTTACTTTACTCGTTCAATCTGCTCCAATGTTCCGTCTTGAATCACTCGATACCCTTTTGGATTTAGTTGAAAAGAAATCTGATCGTGATGTTGAATTGTCAATGGTTGCATTAAAGGATTTGTTTGTTTCAACTCTTCTTCCAGATAACAAATTAAAGTAAGTCACAAATATACTTTATATACCTTTAAATGATTATTATTTATTAACCAATGGTTTATTTATTCTTTTTTCTATTTTTAGACGTTTCAGAGAAAGAATGCCAGTAACAAAAGAAACAGCAACAGATGATCAATTAAGTCAATGGTATTTTGAAGACATGTTAAAATTAAGATATGGAAAGTATATTACTCGTTTGGAACATGTTGTACGTGGTAACTCTGTTATTATGCGTACAAAGGCTTTGGATATTATCTATGAACTCTTGTCCAAGAAACCAGAGTTGGAAGAGATTCTATTGACTCTTATGATCAACAAGTTGGGTGATTTGTTGCCAAAGGTAGGTGCCTTGGTCTCCAAGCATCTCAGATCACTCCTCTATATCCATCCAGGTATGCGTATCATTGTCATTCGTGAAGTCGACTCCCTCATGAATCGTTCCAACGTTTCCAATCTCACTCAACTAAACTGTATGCGTGTTCTCTCTGAAATGATCGTCTTTGCCAAGGATGATACCCTCATTACCAAGCTCATCGATATCTATTTGACTTTCCTCAAAACAATCACCGAACAATCAAAATTCAATTCACAAATCATTCCAGTTTTACTTCGTGGTATGAATTCAGTTGTATCTGTTACCAATGAACCTTTAAATCAGTATGTATATGTAAAAGTATAAAAAGTATAGTAAACAACTCCAACTGCATACTAATATTAATATTTATTTATTTTTAGATTCGATGACAAGATTTTAACTTTATTCAAGATTGTTCATTCTGCTCCATTACATACTTCAATTATGACACTTTCAATGTTGTTTGAAATGAAGAGAATTAATACTGTATGTACTATATATACATAATATTGATACAGAGATATCTATCTAAATTTTTGATACTAATATTATTATTTCCTTTTTCTTTTTAATTTTTCTTAAGAATATTGGAGATAGATTTTATAATGCATTATATTCAATTTTAAATAGAACTGATATTGTTGCACAAATGGATCAAACAGCCATGATTAATCTTTTATATAAATCACTCAAGAACGATACCAATCTTCCACGTGTAAAGGCCATCATTAAAAAGATTTTGCAATTCTCATACTACCAACGTCCATCATTTGCCGCATCATCCCTTTTACTTGTATCCATCATTTTCCAAATCGAAAAATCTCTTTCCGCCATGGTCAAAGAAAATCAAGAAAAGGAATCAAATATTTCACAAGTACAAGAGGGAGAAGGTGAACAACAACAAAAGGGAGAAGAAAGAAAAGGAAAAAGATAATACTTATGATCCATATGCTCGTGTTCCACAATTTGCCAATGCTGATGAATCATGTCTTTGGGAGTTGATCGCATTCACCGAGCATTACCATCCATCGATTCAAGTATTCGCTACCACTATTCTCTCTGGTGAACCAATCACCTTTAAGGGTAACCCATCCGTCACTTTTACCATCCCAGCTTTCCTTGAAAAGTTTGTTATTGTCAACCCAAGCACCAAGCTTTACACCCCGGGTCAATTGCAAATCCGTTCCTCATCGATTGCCAAAAAGTATGGAGCTTCTCTCCCAGACGAACAATTCCTCAACCAATTCTTCAAGTTGGACGAATCAGTCAAACCACACGGTGACAAGACCGGCAAGCGTAAGGGCTGGATCGTCGATGATGACGAACTCGACGAGGCTCTCTACGGAGCTGACAATGCCGATGTCGACGACGACGACGATGAAGATGACATGGACGACTCTGATCTCGACGCCGAGTACAGCTATGAAGATTTGGAAGACTCTGACTTTGAAGAAGATACCGCTCACTATAACGCATCCCATGATGCTGCCGTCCCAAGAAAAGGAAAGAAGTCTGCTTCAACTGGTGATTCGTCAAAGAAGATTTTAGATGAACTCGCAGACGACGAAGAATTAATGGCTTACAATAGTGACGAGGAAGATGAAGATGATGACGAGGACGAAGAACAAGATCAAGTTGACGACGACGAATTCCAAGAGATTGACGAAGACGATGTTGAGACTCCAGACTTTGGCGATGAAGGTATCGATGAAGACGACGTTGAAGCACCAGATTTTGGTGAAGAAGATGAAGATGAAGACCTCGACGATGAGGACATTGAAATTCCAAAAGAAATCTTGGCCAAATACGGAAAGAAGAGTGGAAAGAAGACAAGAATCTCTGACGACTTTGCCGATGCCGATGACTTTGCTCAAATGTTGGAAAACAACAATGAAGATGATGGTCAAAACAAAAAGAAATTAAAATTCCAAAATAGTAGAATCATTACCAAAAACAACAAGTTTAATAATAATAATAGCAACAAGAAAAATAGTAATAATAATTCAAAGAGAAAGAGATAAATTTAAAATAAAAGGAATTTTAAATATATATATAAATATAAATAATCCCAGCTTTGATTAAGAAGGAAAGCTCCGTCAATCAATCACCCCTTGCCACGTGGTCAGAAATCCAAGAAGAAAAAGAAAAAATTTAATTTTGTTTGACTGGGAAGCTATTATTAAATTTTGTGATCTATCTATCTATCTATCAATTATAAATGAATAATAAAATAATAGAAAAGAGAAAAGAAATTGAAAATGAAAAAGAGAAATGTTGGGATTTACAACATGAAAGAATAAGAGATAATATGATCAAGACACAGCTGGAGGCAATAGAAACAGGTAGTTGTTTTATTCACATGTTGGATAAAAAAACAAAGTTGTACATTGCTTATTTACTATTTCATGGTCAATTAGGTGGTTATAGTACAAATGCATTCTTTGTAACATGTACATCATTATATAATCTTCGATTTACATCAACAATATCACCATCGGTCATAACAATTAAACAAAATCATCCATATTGGGATCAATCAATCTATGAACATAATCGTTGGGATCCCAATACAATGATGACAGATGATTATAATAATCATACGCTTCATGATCTTATTAATCGTTTGGTATACAAGATTGATTCAAGTCTTGACCTGCTGCAAGATAGAAAAGTTTATTTTACTCAACAAAATAAACCAATTATTAATATGGTCGTTATTTGTACTCCGGATCATGGAAAGGAAAAGGAGAAAAAGGATTGGAATTATATGATGTCAAGATACATAGAATACGTTGTTAAAGTTATATCATCAATACCAAATGATATAACACTACGGTTGGAACAAACCGTTCGACAAGATCATGTTCAATTGGTTAGTGCTCTTTCACAACTCGACAATATTACAAGAATCGAATTGTTTGGTGATTTCTCTCTTGATGACCAATTCATTTCTCAATTTACTCGATTCAATCGACTCTACTCGATGCAAATAAAAGATGAATTAGGTTTGGGGTATTCACGATCATTGACGTGGCTCAAAAGCCTCTCTCAACTATTACATCTTTGCCATTTGGAAATTAAATTAAGGGACTCTCTCCCAGAGATTTACTTGAACGTTTTGGAACCAACTTCATTCCCGTCTCTCCAATCTCTTACCATATCTTCATCAAGCCTCCAAGATATTGAAGGTATTCGATACTTGAACAAGTTAAAATACCTCTCTCTACAAGGTAGTTATAAAGTCAAAACTATTCCAATCGAGGATTTACAATATCTAACTCTACTAGATACCATCAATTTGATGTATTTACCAGAGTCTCTATTATCTTGCTCAATTGAAACACTTCCAAATCTTTTAACCATCCTAGGAAGCGTCTCTTCTTCATCTCTAAAATTACCACCTCTTTTTAAATCAAATAAATATCGACAATTAGTTGATAATTATGCTGATAAGTGGAGGATTTCTACTTGTAATTGGATTCAAACGAATAGGCAACAACAACAACAACAACAACAACAACAACAACAACAACAATTCGAATTGGACATAATAACAAGTTTAAATAGAATTAGAGATTTGGAAAAAGAAGTTGAAATGATTGAAAATGATTATAAAAAAGAAATGGAAAATAATTTATCACGATATAATAATCAAATAATAACCAACAGTAGTAGTAGTAGTAGTAGTAGTAGTGGTGGTGGTGGTGAACACAAACTATCATTTATGGCAATAGATCATCAAATTAAAAAATTAATTTTATCAACCCTATCAACTAAAGATTTAAATTCACTATCATCAACATGTTCAACATTTTACAACACTAGACATTTATCACCCTATACATTTGCAACAAATATGACACTTAAAAATTGGAATGAAAATGATTATAGATTGAAAAGATATGTAATTAATCCAACAATGTCCATCAACTTTGGATCATTAAGAAGAATACCAATCGAAAATCCATATTTCCAATCACTTGATTTAACGATTTGTAGTTCAAGAGTTAATAGTTTTTATACAAAAGATAGTACAGGGAGTCATGGTAGAGAATTTATCGAGAGTTCTCGTAAATTATTTAAAGGTATCAATTCACATGGTAAACAATTCAATATTAAAATTAAATTGTATTATCATAATTTTGGTTCTATTTATTTAGATTGGTTTACTAATAGACTGGTAACAGAGTCTTTCGATGGATTGGATCATCTTGATCGATTAGAACTTGGATTTTCCTTACCAGGCCCTACTAAACCAAATTATTGTGGTCAATTACCAAACTTTACATGCTCGGGTGTCAAATACCTATGTTATGATGGCTATCATATTCCATCAAATATTTACGATACCTTTCCATCTCTTACTAGCCTCAAAACAAAAAATGGTGGGGCTGTTATTTATTCAGAAAGAATGGCACAACAATTACAAGAGTTGGACATTTACGCAACAAATTGTTACCCTCGACGGGATGTTCTGATCGGGGATTTAAAGGAGCTCAAATCACTAACCATCTCTGGTTTTCCATATTCAATACCAGAATCAATTGGAAAACTAGTCAAGTTGGAAAAACTAAATATTAGCTCAGGGATCTCTGATTGTGTGCTCCCACCAACTATCTTTTCTCAACTCGATTCACTCGTTTCACTTTCCATTAGCCTGAAAACGTTTACTCAAATTCCATCAACATTATATCAACTATCCAAACTAAGACATCTCAAATTAACTGGATCTCCTATTACTATTGATACTTCTCTTCCTTTTTTTAATAATATTAAATTGGAATTTAAGTAATCAAAACGTTAATGATACATTGACATCATAATATCTCACATTATAATTGAAATAAAATAGGATCCTTTTTGATGTACGGTAGCACTCATTATTAATCTTTTTTTCTTTTCTTTTTCTTTTTCTTTTTTTTTCCTGGTTTGTATAAAAATGTCCGTAATATATATACTAATTCCAATTATTTATTGATAAAATTTAAATGATTGATAATTATTAATATTTGTATAATTCAAAATTAAAAGTTCTTTTCCCTCTTTTTTGTCATTTTTCTTTTTCTTTGGTTTATCTTGATCGTCATTAGTATTATTATTATTTGGACTCTTTGTCAATTGAATATGATTGATGTATTGGGACAATGATTGATTTGATAGATGGTTCATATTAAATGATCTGTGTGGGAGATCGAGATAGTCATTTAATCGATGGTCGATAACCAATGTTCTTTGTTTTTGATTGACGCTTACAAACACACCAATCTTGTCACCTGCTTTGAGATTGGCGTATCGTTGACGATCTTGGTTGTTGAGTGGACATTCTCGATGGGTATAGTTGATGGCATCCAATCGAATGTGGAATTTGGTTTTATCAGACAAGACATAAACAACGGTACCCATGAGCAAGTGTTTGTATTGGCTTGGTTGTGGTTTATAGGGACGTGGTAGTTGGGGGTTTGGAATTCTTTTCGACTGGTTGAGTAGTGACAATAATTGGCCCTCTAATTTATCGATCGACGAGTTGAAGAGAGTGTCGGCTTGTTTGATACGATAGTATTGTTCGGTAGACTGTTGAAACTTTGTTGAAATGTCATTGGTGACGGCAGAGAATGGAGCAAATGTATTAAACTGGTAGGTAGAGATACACTTGTCATTTTCTAGTAATGACTTGGCCAACTGACATTGTGAAAAGAGATGGATAAAGGAACGAATGGGTGTGGTCGATGTAATGTACGAGATCTTCTCTCCAATCTTTGCCCCAGACACCTCCAAACCTGTCTTCCAAAATCCTGGTATCTGTCTATCGACAAACACATTACTATAATGTTCATCGGCGTATGAAAGTAGAGCACTGACCATTCGCATTGTCTCTGAATCATTTTTAGCCGAGTCATAGGATGGATCAGTCTTGACGATTGACATTTCCTTAATCTCTCCTTGTCTGAGTACAATCTTTCCTTGTGATTTGTTGGTTCTTGCAAAATCCTTCATATCTCTTGTATTTAATCTAGCATCTGCAATTGAATGCATTAATTCTATCATTTTTGAAGAGGAGGATAAACCCTGCTGATCAGCGGAGGATGACATAATTTGACGCAACTGAACACCAACTTGATGATTTTTCAAAGAGACAACATTCTTGAGAGCAGTTGGTACGATTGAAATAAATTGAGGTGTTGGGTTTGGTTTGTTGTCATTGACCAAACTGAATCGAAGTTGCAAGGTAAATGCATTGTTGTAGTCACCGTTGAATTTCTTTTCAGATTCTGGCGATGATGGTCTGAGAGAACACTTTTGTATGAAATCCGATGGGAACATGTGAAGAGATCCTGATGGCAAGTAACATGTACGTCCAACGATTTGGAATACCTTGAACATTGGATTTGATACAAGACTTGGAAGTGTTTGGTTGGTTTCACTTGTTCCTGGCAAGATCCATCTAGAAACATCGGTTGTATGAATATAAAGATTGATATATTTGGTGGAGCCGATTTGTACTTGTTCAGCCGAGAATGCATCATCAATACCCATTGATGTCTCTGGATCGATGGCGATAGCTGGTAAATGGAAATCTTGTCTTGTTCCCTTGAATGGGTCTGGATACTTTTGAGGGTTTTGTAAAATATTATCGATTCGTTCGAGTGATTGTGGCGTTTGAAGTAGGAACAAATCCTCTGTAGTCCATGGATTGAATACTTTGTGTAGTACAAATCCCATACTAGTTAGAATATCTTTAACCTTTTCTTTGGTTATCATTTCGACTGGTAATGGAATCTCTTCGATATCTTGCAATGACCGGAGGATATAAACCATTATATCAAAGTTGACATATGATTGTGTTGGTATAGTTGAAATTAAAAAGTTGTAGAGGATGGTGAGATAAGGTAAATCACCTGGTTGGAGGTGATCGGTCGGGTCAAAACTCTCACCTTTTTCTTGTGCCTCTTGTTTGAGACGTTTAATATTCTCTACAGATTGTGCAAATAGAGGTAATAGATCTGTTGGTAGTTCAACCATTTTATATCCACCACGTACTCGGTCATAGGTAACAGATGCATCTTGACTCAATAATTTAAATGTACTATACATTTCCAATACTTTTAATTGATCCGCACCTGTATTACCATGACAAATTCTTGCTGCATCATTTGTTGTAAATCTTAATTCATTTCTTCTCTACAAAAAATAAAATTAAATAAAAAAAGGTTAATATATAATCATAAAATATTAGATAAATATATATATATTTATACATACAAATATACGATATAATTTAAAAATATGTGAATTATATGGAATTGAATTAAAATAATAATAACGATACTTTTTTTGATAATTGTATTCAGTGTCTGCCAATTGTTTGATTGATGGGAAACCAAGATAATCTGGCCACACACCAACAACATCACGTTTATGAACACTACATGTACCAATTGATGGTTCACCTCCTTCTTTTGGTTGGATATATTCTACTTGAAGATATTTACTTGTCTTTCCACCTTTAATGATACCAACATATACCTTTTCATCAGTATGAATAAATTCAATAGTTTTTCCAACTTGGAAAGATGGAATATTTAATTCTTCTAAAGATTGTGAAGGAGATGATGATGATGTTGATGATGAAGTAGTTTTTGTTGTGGAAGAGGATGATGATGTTGATGATTCCATTACACCAAACAAAAATGATAATTCATCATTTTCTAAAAGTTGTTTGTCAGCGGCAGTGTTGGTAGTAGTTTCAAGTTGTTCTTCTGTTTCTCTTTGTTGTTTTTGTTTTTCATTTAACAATAATAATTCAATAGTTTCTCTTTCCTCTTGACTAAATAGATTAACTCTATTGCCATAGAATGATGGTTGTAGTGTCCATCCATGAGCCTCTTCATTTAGTCGATCTACTTGTTCTTGTCTTTCCAATCTTGCATCTTCTTTTAAATGTAATCTTCTCATTACGATATCATCGTGACTTGAAAAGTATGACAACTTTGTATACTTTCTACTGTTTGCAACTCTCTCAACCGATGATCTAATCTCTTTTGTTCTTTCTGTTATTTGACGATCCATTCCTTTAACCTTTGAGAATGATATTCTTCTTTCTTTTTCCACATTATTACTAGTGTTTCCAAACATAAATAAAGTATCATCAAATAAAGTTTCTGTCGATCGTTGTTGTTGTTGTTGTTGTTGTTGTTGTTGTTGTTGTTGTTGTTGTTGTTGTTGTTCGATTGCTCTCTTTTCTTGATTTTTGATTGTAGTTTCAGGTGATGTAACCATTGACATGATAGTTGATAACTTGTCTTTTTGTTTTTGTTGTTGGACATTGGTATTATCTTTATTATCATCTTCGATATCATCATAATCTTCCTCTACACTAATGAGAGGTTCACTTTGATTATATTTCTTTTTAATTTCATTATTTAAGTTTCTTCTTTTATTACTATATTCTCTCAAGATAGTTGAAGAAGAAGAGGTGGATGATGAAGTTGATGACAATGAAGTTGTTGAAGATAATGAATTCTTTAAACCATTTCTTTGTACATGTCTTAACAGATATAATGCAGATGACATGGTCAATTTGGCGATAGACGAACAAACGAGGAATCGAACTTTCATTCATTATACAGAATCCTCGTTTTCAATATTTATTTATTTTTATTATTATTTTTATTTTTTTGATAAAGAATGATGACTTTGCAACTTTGAAAGAACTTGAACAATCATTCTATATTACTTCAAGTTTGATGAATAAAATAATAGGAATATATATATATAAATACAATTTTTTACTTTTTGTTATACATTGAGATAACTCTATAAGAGACAAGGATAATATGAAAGAAAGAATAAAAGATTAGGAATACTAGAGAAACAATTAGAATTAGAGAAAAGAGTATCTTTGACTTTTGTTCAACGATGGCACATGGTTGCAACCATCCGTCATTTGATTGGTCAGACCAGCGATGCAAGATTCAAAGAAGATGAAAATTTCTGATCACGACAAAGTCCTTGTTTTAAAATCAGCCAATGATCACTGACCCTAACCACCCACAAACCCTTTGCCTTTGCACCATCGTGTTGTACCAACGAAGATTCTTTACAGATAACCAACGACGAAAAAGGATAACAAGAACAACCGAGTTTCCTTTCCTCACCTCCCTCCTAAACTTATTTCTTCTTCTATTTTCATTCATCGTATCCATTTCTGTATAACTTCACAGACTCACAACAGTATTTACTACTACTAGCTTAGAATCATTAACAACAATAGCTTACTATTGTCACTACACACACAATCACTACCGTCATCAACCTTTATTGATCACTCCACCCCCTCATTTCACCACATCATCCACACTCTGTCACACATTCAAAGATAGATTTTACCATCCATCCATCGATCACCCCCTATTCTATTCACTCTACCCATTCCCATATAGACAAGACTGACTCCATTCTACACTGACTTACTACATCTAAATTATCTTAGGTTCGGATTATATTACATTATATATTTATATTATATTTATATTATATTTTTATACTAAACATTAATAATAGCATTTCTCTCTTCTCTTTATAATGAGCTTTATTCAACAGTTTGATCATCATTTTCAAAATTACTTTTGTAATCAAACCAATAATAATATTTTTCATATAGTACTTTCTACATCCTTAATCCTTGTCTTTTTAATATTGTCTACTACCATTGCAATCAAAGCCATCAAATTATTTAAACCAAAAAAAATGCCTAATCCATCTGATAATTCAAAGTATGTAATTAATCCATTGTCATGATGGTAATAAATTATTAATTAATTTCTTTTATTATTTAGAATAAAAAAAAGAATAGGACATCCAATGTTTCCTCATATCAAACAACAACATATGGCTAAATTGTATAACCAATTAAATGTGCATAACCCAGAGAGAATGGATGATTCCAAAAAATACACCAAGTCCCTTGGTGACCTGCCAGACAATGCGTCACGTGACCAATTGATCATGGATACTGGATCCGTTCCATCAGATGCTGGATGTGCACCCATCTACACTCCATCTACCACTCCATTGGTTGTTAGTGATACTCCTCCTGCCTTGGTGTCATCTACACCTGTCCTTGTCACTGCCCAGCCACCACCACCACCTCAAAAACATGTATTCACTCTATGTATCGACGGTGGTGGTATGAGAGGAATCATGCCAGCCATTTGGCTACTCGTTCTCAAGGAAGAGTTTGAAAAGCGTGGTATCATGGATCCCCTCTCCCAAATATTTGATATTATTGGTGGTACCTCTATCGGAGCCATTATATCGCTTGGCGTTGGCCACAATATCCATCCAACCGATCTCATCGATTTATTTAACAAGAATGGTGCAAAAATATTCTCAAGAACCTTTTGTAGAATGATGACCAACCTTTTACCAATCTTTAAACCAAAATACACTGCTGAAAATCTCTATGATGTTCTTCATGAAAAGTTTGGTGACCTTAAAATGAAGGATCTCCAAGGTAAAGTAGTCATCACCTCTTGTACAAGAGATGGTAAACCAAAGATATTTACCAATATTAATACTTCTGGAAATCAAGATGATCCAATATTTGCTCATGAAAATGATTTTTTAATCAAAGATGTTGCTCGTTGTAAGTAGTCAAGTAAAAGCAAACATATAAGAAGGGTCTTTAAATTAATAATAATAATAATAAATTATTCTTTTTCTTTTTTTATTTTTAGGTACATCTGCAGCACCAGTGTTTTTCCCACCACAGGATATGTTGATTAAAAAAATAAAAGAAGATGGAGCTCAAAAGGAAATTGTTGAAAAGACAGTATCATATATTGACGGTGGAATATGGATCAACAATCCAGCTGGTGTTGTTGCTACCATGGCAGTGACTCAGATTCACAAAAGAGTATTCTCTCCCGATAAAATCCATATATTATCGCTTGGTACTGGTGACAGCACAACCACCATCTCTGACATGCCAGCCTTCAAAGACATTGTTGCCATTGTAGATATTACAATGTCTTCCAATTCTCGTGGTGTAGACAACTCCCTAACAGAGTTGTTCCAACAAAACTACACTAGAATCAATCCACCATTGGTTGAGAGTATTAAATTGGATAGTGCTAATACAAAAGCACTCAAAAAACTACACCAATTGGCAGGCTGTGAATACCTCCCTGGAAAAGATGGTAAAAAGTCATGGCAATTTGATCGTGAATCTCCACAAGGAAAGGAAATCTATCTAAAGATTTCAAAGTTTGTTGAAACTTATTGTAATATTAAAAAATCTGAACAACAATTACAAGATTAATAATAATCAAATATAAATATAACATTTTAAATCATTATTTATTTATTTATTTAAGATTTATTTAAATTGTCTGACCAAGATCAATTTTTTAATAAATATTAAAATAAATTATTTCTTCTTTTTTTTTGATTTGTTAGTTTGGATTGGTGGATTAATTGATTGATTGATTGATTGATTGATTGAATGATTGAATAATAATACAAATATTTACAAATTGGTATTCTTTAGAATGGAAGTGAATTTACAACTTTTGTAACAGAATTTTGTTTTGGTTGGATGAAGGTGCCAGGTTCTGGTTTGTCTTTGAATGCCTTGTGTTGGAGTAAAAGATAAGTGGATGAAGTAGATATATCATCAAATGAAGTTGCCAATTGAAAAGTTGTCAAAGAAATCTTTGTAGATCCAGTAAACTGTGGTGTCTCTGCTCTATCATAATCTCCCTCTCGCTCATTAAAATTCTCCCAAAAGTTATCAGATGATTGATTTGGAATTGATCCAAAATAATCTTGATATTGAACAAGTAACTCTGCTGCCGAATGAACTCCACCAAAACATTTTTCAATAATTTCTTTTAATACCTAAAATAAATAAAAAATAAATAAATATAATTAATAAATATAAATATTTAATTATTAATTAATTAATTACATACTGATAACTTTTCCTTTTCAAACTCTGGGAATACACGAGGATTATTTAAATTCTTTTTATCTTGAATATGAGTGAATTGTTGCATTGTTATGATATCAAGTTGACCCAACTCCATCAATGTGACACCGACACTCCACATATCATCACTCTGAACATAGGTTGGACGAATTCGTGTTCTCAATCGTGCTGGTGATGTGTGAAATACATGTCCGGCTGCATTGGCAGAAGAAGAATGAGAAGTATGTCTTGAGAATCCAAAATCTGGAACCAAAATATTAAATATTAAATAAATACTCTTACATTATTATTATTATTTAATATTATTGATTATTACATACCAGAAATCTTTATACCTTGTTTACTGATTAATATATTTGATGGTTTGATATCACGATGAAGAATTCCATTACGATGTAAATGTGCAACTCCACTCAACAATGCATAGGTTATTTTCTTGACAACTGTATCTGTCAACTTTATGGCAAATGGAATGGTAGAGGTTGAATCTGCCGATGACGAGGAGGAAGTAGATGATGATGATGATAATAAAGATAAAGAAGAGACATTTGACAATTGTTGTTCATCTTGAGTTATAAACAATTTATCAAGAGACATGTCTAATCTTTCCATAACCAAGAATGATCTACCATCTTTGTGTAAATCCCAATCATAGTACTTTATGATATTCGGATGATCTATATCCTTCATCAACTTGAATTCATTCATGATAGTAGTGACACGATCACAATGTTTAACTGCCACCTCCATCAATGGTTTACCATGTTCAAAACCAACACCTCTATAAACTAATCCTTGTCCTCCACTTCCAATTGGCTGTTCACCCACATATACCTATAAATATATATATACAAATATAAACAGAAATGATTAGAACAATGGTAAACAACAACGACAACTTTCAACTCACTCTATAAACATTGTTACAGATATCAATGTATTTGCAGTTGTCTTCTTTTGAATCAATTAATCCAAGCATCGTCATTGCTCACTCGCTTGTATTAAATCTAAATCTAAATCTCTAGACTCTAATAAATAAAGAAAGAAATAAAGAAAAAGAAAGAATTGCTTGCCTATCTCGTAACAAACAAACTATACTATTGTTGTTGAACACCCATCCCCATTCCTTTTTGCTTAACATTCATAAAGTATGAAAGGCGGAGCCAGCTCGATGAGGAGGTAATCTCTATATTTTTGCGAATTTTGGGAGATCTTCACCTTGAAGACACGTCGGTATCTCTCCTCTATGCCTGGTTGCTTATTCTGTCTTTACTCTTTTGTCGGACAAACCTAAATTTCTAGGTGATGTTATTTCCAACATGTATTAGATTCCTTTACTTTATTATTAATATAAATATATAATAATATTAAAACTTTTTTGGTTCAAATTTATACTTGGTGCAATGAATCATCATGATTATGTGTTGGATGGCGAATATACTGAAAACTGATTTCCCGAACACATATTCATTCATTCATTTTCATATTATTTAAATAAATACTTACTTACTTTATTACAATGAATAATCCATTCCAAGCACTCTTTCAAGACCTATTTTCATTACAGGTTCATATCTTCTAAATATTTAGATTTATCTAGTAGCATCCCCTTTTTAACCCAGTTTCTATTATATATATTATATTGCAGGTTACATTTGATGAATATCAAACAAAAGATGAGTTTGTCTTCATAGGAGATGTTGGTGGAGTAAAAAAAGAGGACCTGTCAATCGATTTGGAGAATAATACAATCGTTATCAAAGGTAGTAGAGCTTGCAATCCAAATGTAGAACCTCTGATGAGCGAGAGATGGTGTGGTTCATTTCAAAGAGCATTCAGAATACCATCATTATACGTCGATCAAGATAAAGTGTCGGCTGTATTAAAAGATGGAGTACTCGAAGTTAGATTACCAAAATTACCAAAAGATCATCATTCTTTAAAAAATACTAGTATCGTCATTAAAGATAATCATCACTAGAGAGAGAGACTCTAATAATAATAATGACTAGATAATAATAATAAACAATTAGTTGAGGCATTTTTTAATTAAACCATCTCTTTAATAATCTAGTTTTAGTTTAAGAGATACAGATATAGATATAATTAATTATTAAATGTTGAACACTTACCGATCTTTTTCCCTCTCAAACAAAAATCAAAAAAAAAAGAAAGAGAGGAGAAAAAAAAGTGAGAGTACTCAGTAGATGAGGCTTTGAGAATTCTATTACCTATTTGTAGTTTTTAGTCTATAAAGAGATACATTATTTATTTCATCATCTCGGAAATAGTAGTAGTCATTACCTTAACAACTTGTTGGTTTAAATAGATAACTCGAGAGTACACAATATATAACAATGGTAGGTGCAACAAGATAAATTCAATACAAAGAATAGTAGTAGAGAAAGAAAGATTTATTATCATCACAATCACCATCAATATATTTATATTAGGAGACAAAGAGAGAGAGAGACAAAGAGAGAGAGAGAGAAAGAAAGATATTATCATCACAATCACCATCAATATATTTATATATATACATATTGATCTCTATCTTTAATTGGTTATTAACATATATTGCTAATTTATTTATAAATATTATAGAATAGATTAACATCAGATCAAAAATCAAAGGTAGAACAATTTATTAGCTTTACACAAGCTAATGAAACCAAAGCCATTCAAACGTTGAAAGACAACAAGTGGGATATTGAGACTAGTGTAGATAGATATTTTTCAAACCCAGCCAACAAACCAGAAGAGCTTACCAATCCAAAGTTGATTGAGCAACTCTTTGATCAATACAAGGATGCTGGAGACAAAAAGATAACTACCGACAATCTCAGTCGTTTCTTTAAGGCTATTGGAGCCAACACTGAAACCTTGGAATTGGCAATGACATGGCGTTTCAAGGCCAAGGTACTTGGAGAGATCTCACATACCGAGTTTACAGAGGCATTGCGTACAATGAGATGCGATACCGTTGACAAACTCAAAAATGAAGTTATTAGATTACAATCAAGTCTCAAGGATGAATCGACCTTTAGAGAGTTTTACAGTGCCATCTTTGAGTTTGGCAAACAACCAAACCAAAAGAATCAATCACTCGACATGGCAGTAGTACTCTGGGAGATTGTTCTCACCAACCGTTACAAGGATCTCCCAATGTGGATTGAATTCCTTCGTGAAAAGAATCATGGTATCTCCAAGGACACCTGGGTACTCTTACTCGATTTTATCAAGATTGCAAATGACGACATTTCAAAATACGATTCCGATGGTGCTTGGCCTGTATTAATCGATGAATATGTAGATTATTATAATTCTAAAAAATAAAAAGGTAAAAAGTAAAAGTAAAAGGAAAGGAAAATTTAAGATTATTTATCCCCAAAACAAAAAAAAGAAAGATATACACATATATATGAAGGAAATATTATTGTTGTTGTTGTTTTTTATTAATACAAATTATGGTTATTTTGGTTGTGTTTTGGTTTGGTAAAAAAAAAGTGGAAAGAAAAAGGATGTGTGATATTAATACTATTATTTCATTACTTGTTGTGGAAAAGTTTGGTATTTGGTGTTTGATTGTGTTGGATATTTGGATAAATTAATTATTATTATTGAATTAGTTATTTGTTTTAGTGATAACCTAATCATAAATTATTATTATTATTATTATTATTATTTGTTGATCTTTTTTTTTTCTATATCCATCATGATCCTTATTATTATTATTTTCTATATAATCTTATTATTTAATTTATATATGTTGTTTGTTATTATTTTTAATTTTCATCTTTATGATGAACACCACCAGAAGAGGAATTTAATAGATTGCCTAAATTACTATTGCTACCACCACTTGATGATAAACTATTCGTACTTGTGTTTATGGCACTGTTGTTGAGAGATTGATCAAACTTGAACGATGGTAAAGAGGTTGAGAATGATCTAGCGTGTTTGATATTATGTGAAAGTACAGGAGTATTGTGACCTCCACTACCATCTCTGTTGCTCTTTCCACTGATGCTTCCTCCAACTGCCGATCCAAGATGCAAAGAGCTACCACCACCCACATTATTGACTGCGTTGTTATTGTTATTATTGTTATTTAATGTGTTTCCGTTTTGGTGATTACCATTTGCATTGCTACCGCCATTTACATTATTATTATTATTATTATTGTTATTTGCAGAAGCTCTCTTTTTATGTGAACTGTTATCTTTAAAGGTTGGACGTGTTTCTTTTAATTTTGCGCTTTGTTTCTTTTGGTCTTCGTGTAGATCGTGTAAATGTTTTTGTTGGTCGTTGGTGAGTTGCTCGGTGGCACGTAGTTGGTCGGCTTGGAGGGAAGCAATATCCTTTTGTTGACGTTCAAGCATGATTGCAATTTCAGATTGAAGTTGTTGTGATAGGGTTTGGAGTTGCTTGGATTGCTCCTGTTGCATAGAGGCAAGGGTAGTGGGAAGGTCGGTTGGCATGGCTCCACCCTTCTTTTTGGTCTCCAACTTTTTGACACTCTCTTGTTGAATACGATGCTCTTCCTGTTGGAGTGAGAGACGTTCCTTGTGTTGTTCGTCCAACACTTCCTTTTGCTTGGTGTGTTGGTCGTTGAGGAGAGAGGGTGATTCCTTGAATTGCTCTTGTTGGAGACGTGTTTGGAGTTGGAGTTGCTCTTGGTAGATCTGCTTTTGCTCCGAGTGTTGTTGCTTGAGCAGGTTCTTGCGTTCCTTGTACTGTTGCAAGTGAATGTCTTCCTCGCCGAGCTGACACTCTGACTCGAAATGTGCCTTTTGCTTCTTTTGTTCCTCTTCGAGGTCGCGCATGGCAGCTTGTTGACGTTCTTGGAGACGGTTGTATGAATCTTGTTGGTGTTGAGCCAACACTTCGTCTTCCTCTTGACGTTGACGTTGCAATTTCTTTTGGAACTCCATGTCGCATGTCTGGAGGGTCAATTCAAACTGTTTGCGTTGATCCTTGTGGAGTACCTGCAACTGCTTCTTGTTACCCTTTTCCTCCTTGAGTTCCTTTTTAAGTTTGTTTAAAAAGTTTTTCAATTCATTTGTTTGGTTCAATCTGAATTCCTTGAGTTGGTTGCGTTGGTCATTGTTGAGTTGCTTGTTGTGTTGTTCAGTCTCACTGATTTGACGATCCTTTAGGTGCGAGATTTCCGACTGATGTTGTGCTTCCATTTGATTGCGAGCCTGCAAGTGTTCGAGTGACATGTTTTCACGCAAGCAATTGTTATAGTCTTGACAAGCTTCGAGTTGACATTGGTTTTGAGCAGCCAATTGGTGGTTTTGTTGAGTGTGCCATGAAGCCAATTGATCGTTTTGTTGTTTGTTTTCAGTGGCCAAGTTTTGTGTCGATATGATGTGATCGTCGAGCAACTTTTGAAAGTCTTGTTTTTGTTGAAAGACAAGATCGTCGATAAAGACTTCGTGTGACTGAATGATCTTTTGTTGGTTCTGGATGTGCTTGCTCAATTTCTTTGGTGTCGATTTTTCGAGTGCCTTGTTTTGATCCTTGAGCTCTGTCTCTTTTGCCTTTTGTTGTTGCTTTTGGTGGTCCTTAAACTCTTTTTGTTGTTGCTTTTGGTGATCTGATATCTTGCTCTTTTGACTTCTTCCGTCGTTTTGATTCTTTTTGAGCAACGAATCACGATCCGACTTTTGTTGGCGTTGCAAATTCTCGCGTTCCATCTTGTGTGACTTTTGTGTTTTTTCCTCTTTACCACTGTTTTGTTTTTGTTGTTGAGAGGCGCGTTGAATGTTTTGCTTTAAAAGATCCTCCTTTTCCTTTTGGTGTTGTCTGTATTGAGCTTCTTCTTCCTTTCTCTGCTTTTGTTGTTGTTTCTTGATGTCTTTTAATTGTTGTTTCATCAACTTTCCATTGACAACCTTTTTCATTGCTTCATTACGCTTTTCCATTGTCTTTCTAATGGTAACTGGACGTCCTGCTCTACGATTCGTTCTAATGTCTGGTGATCTACTGCTAGGATCAGTGGTGGTTGTTGTAGTAGATGTGGTAGAGGTGGAGGTAGCACCTGAAGGAGCGGCAGCAGCTGTTGATGATTTACCGTTAGCATGGGGTTGTTGAGCAGCAGCTGGTTCTTTGATGGCTGGTACATCCTTGCCAAGATCGGCACCGCTACCAACCGATAATTGTGTTGGTGGTGGTTGTTTGGCAGGAGTAGCGTTGGCTCTCGATACAACTGGTGATGGTGGTGATGAACCAGAGTGTTTCTTTTCTTCAGAATCCTTTTCATCAGAATCAGAATCATCACTTTCCTTTTCCTCTTCCATTTCCATTTCTGCTAATCTTAATTTTCTATATCTCATAATTAATTCATTCATAATATTCTTTTCTTTTGTATTACTAACAAATGGATGCTAAAAAAATAAAGGAAATTAAATTAATATAAATATAAATATAAATAAATAATACTTTTATCAATTTTTACCTTTAATAATTCAGAAGCAGTTTTTCTTTGATTTGGATCCTTGTGAAGACATTGAGAAACAAAACTAATAAATTCTTTAGAGTAAGAGTCTTGATTCTTTAATTTTGGTGGGTCTCTGTATGGAATTTGGAAAAGTACTTTCATTGGATGGATTTCAGATAGAGGTGGTTCAGCCTCTGCCAATTCAATCAATGTAATTCCCAATGACCAAATATCTGCCTTTGTATTATATGGTACTTGATTACTTCTGTTCTATAAATTGTTAAAAATATAAAATAAATATTAATATTCTTTTTTTTTTTCTTTTTTTTTTTTTTCACTTACTTCAATAACTTCAGGAGCCATCCAATAAGGAGTACCAATAAAAGTCATTCTTTTACTTGTTTTATCTAATAAACCAGATACACCAAAATCAGCCAATTTAACATCACCATTGTCGGTCAATAGGATATTGGCACCCTTGAGATCACGATGAATAATGCCGTGATTATGTAAATATTCTAGACCCTTGAGAGTCTCTCTGCAAATGTATGCAATTTGTAATTCGTTTAGTGGTACATTTAATTCTTGATATATTTCGGTGATGGAGCCACCGCCACAACATTCCATGGCAATAAAGAGCTCGTCGCCCTTTACCCAACTGCCATAGTATTTGACAATGTTGTTGTGATTACATCGATTGAGAATATCAATTTCAACGACCAAATCGTCAAATGTTTCGTCTTCATCCAATCCAATAATCTTTACAGCCATAATATTGCCAGTGGGAAGATGTTTTCCCTTGTAGACCGTTCCAAACGATCCCTCTGCAATCTCTTCCACCAATTCGAATAGATCATTTGGATCTTCTTTGCCAATAAATGGCTCCAATGCTGCAATACTACTCATAACTTAAAAAAAAAAAGTGCGTTCTATCGTATCGTATAGTATAGTAAAGTATTTGTTTTTTTCTTCCTTGATTTCTTCTTTTGTAATGTTGGTTTGTATGTATAGTCCAATTGTATATTGATATAAAATAATGATAAATAATAAACTACTTTTACTGTTGTAATGGATATTTTAATGTTAGTTCTACTATAAATGAATGGTTTGTTTAAAAATATGTGAAAGTGAATAATATGGTCAAAAATTTGACTGTCTGTCTAATCAGTCTGTATGTATGTATGATTAAATTGAATTGATTGGTTGATTGATTCTATTTCTTTCTCTTTTTCTATCAATCTAGATAGAGACGATGGTGGTGGTGTTGGTGGTGTTGGTGGGAATGTATTATAATATTTTTATCAGGTGATCCCTCTGTCAAAGATGAAACACAATGTTGAATGATAATAATAATTATTATTATTATTAGAGCACCAAACAATGATAATTATGGTTGTGTGCTGTTTTGTAGTTGTGATTGCTTTTACTTGGTTTATTCCTTCTGTAGTAGTAGTAGTAGTAGAGTGTTGTGTGTTATTGAGTATAAAATTAGGCAAGAAACAAAAGCAGCTTGCCTGATTGCTTCTTCTTCTCCTCTCCTTCTCCTTCTGTAATAATATATTTATATTAAATATATATATATATATATTTAGTAGTATTATTATAATAATAGGAGATGGTGATGGAGTAGTACTACTAGTAGTAATGTGTGGTTGATATGAAGAGAAGTGAGGATAGTAGTAGTAGTGGCAGTAGTAGTAGTAGTAATGTTTAGGGATGATGGACGGAGCAGACGTAGTAGTAATAGTAGTAGAGTAGTAGAGATGGCGTGAGACAACAACCAACAGTACAGTACTGTAAGAGGGAGTAGACGAATGAGATATGTGTAAAAGGAAAGGTTTAATCAAACAAGCAGTAGTAATACAAGAGGAGGAGGAAAGGAGTGCTGCTGTGTTATTACTTGAAAAAAAAAAAAACCAACTAATATGTATGTATGGGGTTTGATTCGGTCGGTGGGTTGTATAGTGATATTAAGAGGGTAGGAGGGAGGGTAATTACAATTCTTTTTGATTAAATTGATTAAATTGATTTAATTTGATAGGGATATATATATATTGTTATTTCTTTCAAAAGTCAGTAAAAATAATAATAATAGTAATAGTAATAAAAAGTATAGAGGGTTGTCTGTATTATGCTCTTGCTCTGTAGCTGCTGCTTTCTTTCTCTTTTAGTTTTCCCCACCTTTTAGATTAAAAAATAATATTTTAAATTATAATGGATGATAATAATAGAGTCGACTAATAACAACAAAAACAACTACTTTAATAGACTAGACTAGTTATACCTTAATGATTATTACACAATCCATTACAATAATATAATATATATTGGTGGTTGTGGAGAGTGAGTGAGTGAGAGTGGAGCAAAACATATGATCTTTTTGTGTATGGAGTGAGTAAGGTGTGTTGGAGTGAGATGGTGGTGTGATGTGATGTGGGTGTGGGTATTACACACTAACTAATCGTTCATTGGCTACTGATGTTGTGAAACCAAACAAAAAAAACAATGAAAGGGTTGTACTGTATCATCATTGTGATTATATCATTCCATTCTCATTCCAGCAAGCAATCAGTCATTCATTCATTCATTCATTCTTTCATCAATGTAACGATATAGTGTAATCGTCATTTGACAGATATTCACCCTCTTTCCTCCTCTTGCATACTATAAATGCTATATAGTGTATGAATGTGCAAACATTGTACTAATTCTGTCGTCGTCATTGTATATATATCTCTATCTTTCTTGTTCTTCTATATATAGAGCCATAGTTTGTTTTGGTTGCAATGGACCATATTCACACAATCCGATGTTCCTTTACTCCCTGAGGGTGGTGACTACTACTATTACTACTACTACTACTACTATCTATTGTGTTGCTTGTGCTTTTGACTATTAATGATCTTTTAATTCTCTTCTTACCAATAATAATAATAATAACAACAATATAGTAATTATACTGCTACAATGATAATGGGGGTAATATATTACAGTATATATATATATATAGATAGGTGTGTGTAGGTGTGGGTGTGTATTCTTGCTTGTTGCTGTATTCCTCTGCTGTGTTGTGATGAAATATATTTTCGTCTAAGGTACGAGATGGGATAGATGTGGAGAAGCAAACTAACTAAGGAGATGGATGAAACAAAAAAATAAAAACAGATTTTGTGTATGTTTTGTGTAAGGGTGATGGGGTACAGTACCCAAGACTTCGGTGACCAAAAGGGCAGCCCAACAACCGCCACTCTCTCTTTTTTTTTCATTCGAAAAAACCACTTTGTTACTTGAATGTTGTTGGCGCAGATCTGAGATGGACAATAAAACCTTCGATCATATCGATTTGCTTGTTAGTAGTCAGCTGAGTGAGGTAGTGAAAGGAGGATGGGGATGAGGTAAGTTAGAGGTTAGGGTCAGTAGTACTACGTTTTCCTATTCACTCAATCCCCCAGTGATTCCAATAGTCTCCATTACTTAAATTCAATTAAATTGTCTACTACATATATATAACCTTTGGATTATTAACCAAACAACAACAACAACAACAACCAAGTTCACAAAAACATCTATATAGTATATTCTATCTCATATTAATATTATTATTTCAGATGCATGTTATTCACGACGATGATGTTCAATAATAGTAACATGAATGGGTATCGATCAAAATATGCATCGTCACTCTTCATTTCAAAATACTCATTAATTTCCTCACCATAGATTCCATCCAAAACTACCATTGTGAGAAATTAGATTTTCTCAAGAATCGTTGAAATGCCCAATTTCAGCCATATTGGTCAAATCGATAAAAAGTAAACTTTTTGTGTTGACAAAACAAAATAAACTTTCAAAACATCAACATACACATAATAAATCTCTTTAGTAGCTCATCATTTTTTTTAGAAGCTCAAAAAGATAATAAGTAGTAGCAGTATAATATTCGATCAATCAAAGATATTATACTCTAATAATCAATCAAAAATAATACTTTTTTTTAAACATTTAAATTCATAACACACAAACAAAAAAAAATAACCATCAATCAACCATGGCAGAGTTACAAAGCACACCACAAGATATCATACCAATAAATAGTGTAGATGATATTCGTAATGCCATTCTAACATCTAAAGTAACACTTACCGTTGCTCATCATATTCTCAATTCACCTTTAAAAGATGAATTCATTACTAGTTTCTTTATATTATTAAATTCTGTTGGTATGTTTAACAATATAACTATCAACTATCAATATCATATCATCTGACATTATCTTTTACTAATCAATTGATTCCTTTTCATTTCTTTTTCTATTTATCTAGATGTTCATTCAACAGTAAAGACAGTATTTTTATGTGCATGTTTCCAAAACAAGTTATATTCTTTGGCCACCACGGTGTTGGAGACCAACAAGATCACTTTTGTAGAGATATTAAAGTGTTTAAAGATTTTAGACTCGAAAAGAGCCATCACACAACTAAAGAAGAAATTGGAAACACTAAAGACCAATCATGACCAAAGAAAGGAACGTATTAAAAAGGTCTCTGATGCTTTCTTGGCTGAAAAGGAAAAGGAAAAGCAAGAAAAGAATGTAAATAATAATAATAATAATAATAATAATAATAATAATAATAATAATAATAATAATAATAATACGGATAATACTTCAAAAGATGAATCATTGGAAGATAAAATGAAGGAATTATCAACTTCTTCTGAAGTAGTTGAACCAAAGAAGACTAAACCAACCAAACCAGTTGCTGCAGTTGTCCCAACTAGAACCGTAAGAGGTGGTAGAGGTGGTGCTGTAAGAGGAAGAGGTGGAAGAGGTGCTGCTCCTGTAAGAGGTGGTAGAGGTGGTAGTAGAGTACCAAGACCTTCAACAGCATTTGCTGCAGTTGCCGTTGTTGAAGATGAAGATTCAGAAGAAAAGAAAGATGAATCAACCTCCACCACTGAAGCTACTGAAGTTACTCCAGCCATACCAAAGAAATTAAACAAAGCTGAAAAGAAAGCAAGAGAAGATAAATTTGATCGTCGTCATCAAATATCAGTATCCATGTTGGAAAACAAGATCAAAGAGTTGGAAGCACACGAATACCAAGGATCATTGAGTGGTAATATAGTACGTCTCTTTAAAAAGTGGTTCAACACAGTCTCTGAAAAGACATTGGAATACTTTGCATTGGGTCAACCAAAGGAGACTTGGAAAGAGATTGCCGACCTTTTGCATTTGGCTCCATCTGATTTCAAGTATCCATGGTTCTTGGACGTGATGTTTGGCAAGCCTGCACCAGAGGGAACATCGGTCCGTGCCTTTGACGATGCATTGGCCAAGCCAGACGTGACATCGGACACGTTGAAGCCATTGGTCGAACAATTCAAACCACCATACTCTTTTGTGAGAAAGCGTATCGATGCCAAGTTGTCCGACGCTCTCTTGTCGACCGTCGCACGTTACGAAGAGCTGAATATCGTCATTTGGTGGTACCACGAGTTTAGCAAGCACCCATCCTACGAGAATGACTCGATCATCGTTGACCGTATCAACAAGGAGATTCTCAGTCGTCCAGCCTCTGAACCGATCAATCTCAGCATTGCTGTCGGTACTCTGATCGACAAGTTGATGGAGTTGTCCCAAAAGCAACGTACCAACCAGCCCATCTTCCGTGCACTCCTCCAAGTCACCTTGCGCAAGCTCAATCACTTTTCCGAGCGATTCTCGTTGCCCCCACCAGTTGCAACACTCGGTGATTGCAGTGGTTCGATGGAAGTGGCTGTCCGTCTCGCCACCATCTGCGGGTTCCTCGTCACCAACCTCACACCCAATGCCACGCTCTCCTTTTTCAACACTGGCAGTATTCCATCGCCAGTTGATCTCGATTCCTTAGAGGCACTATTTAGTTTCCCAGTGAGAGCCGAGGGTGGTACCTCGCCAGCTGCCGGTCTATGGCCATACCTCAGAGACAAGATTCCTCTCAAATACCTCGTCGTTGTCACCGATGAAGAGGAGAATCAAAACTGTCAAGGTCTCAATTTCACCAAAATGTACAAAAGATATCTCGACGAGGTTGCACCCAAATGCAAACTCATCTTTATCTCTTTCCTCCATCACCTTGGCAAGGGTCAAATGGTCACCGAGATCAAGTCTCAACTAGCCATTGAACCACTTCAATTTGTACTTGATCGTTCAAATCCAGATGTTACCAAAATTGATCATATGTTGACAACTCTATCTTGTGAATCTGATTTATTCAAAAGTATGTCTAAAAACAAAATATATTTTAATCAATAATATATATATTAATATTCTCTATTTAATTTTTAATTTGAATTATCTAGCACAACATGATTTATTATGTACAATTCAATCAATGTTTGGATTAAATTTCTTTTTGAAATATGTTTCAGAGAATAAGGATAAGTTTTTCACTTATCCATTCAATGTTGAAATGGTTGTAATGATCATTCAACATTTGGTTAAATTCTATAAAAAGACATTGCCAACTGACAAGGGTGACTTGTACGACCACTTTAATGCCCGTGTATTCAATGCATCCAATTGCTTGCAAATGATCAAAGAATACGTTAAAAAGTTGTCTGCCGTTTCACACGAGTGTGATATGACTGCTCTTGCAGCAATGGTCGATGAAGCCACCAAAACATTCAACACTATGGCCAGTGAAAAGGGTGTTGATTTCTTTTCAAATCTCATCGACAATTTGGAACCAAGTCTATTGGTCAAGATCCCAACCAATAACCTTTACAAACCAAACCTAGTTCAATCAATTGGTTCTGTTCCAGATACTACAGTTGACCCAAACAACAACAACGCATCTGTTACCAATGGTATGGACTCTGATATAAAGATCAAAGATAAAATTATCGACGCGTCTCTAACCATCCCCGATATAAGCTTGATTTTGAGATCCAATGTCAAAACCAAGTTTATTCCAATCTTTTTATTATTATTAAATAATTTAGGTATGTTATAGGTTTAAAAACAAAAGAAATATATATATATAATCAAGAGACCCCACCTAGGTTAGGTTCAAGAATCCATTTGCTAATTACCTTATTTATATTTAAAATAAATTATTATTATATTTTTTAGATTTGGCCAGTAAAATTAAGATTAATACATTGTGTGCAGCATTTGAGACCAAGTCATTTTCATTTGTTCATCTTATTCTTTTCAATAAGAAATATGGTTTCAAAGAAGTTGCAAAAGCTATAAAGATTCTAGATAGCAAGAGAGAAATTAAATCTTTAGAAGCTAAATTGGCAAAGGCAATTAAAACAAATGATGCCAGAGATGAAGCTCTCAAAGCAATCTCTGATAAATATCATCAAGAAAAATTAAAACAACAACAAGATCCAAATAATAATAATAATAATAATAATAAGAAAAAGGAAGAGGTGGAAGAGAAAAAGGAGGATCAAGTTCAAGATCCAAATAATAATAATAATAATATTACTGAATGGCCAGCACCAACAGCAACTACTACAACTACAACTACTACTACTACTACAACTGAAACGACAACTACTACAACTACAGCTACACGTGGAGGTGCCACTAGAGGTAGAGGTGGATCAAGAGGTAGAGGTGGTAGAGGTGGAAGAGGTGGTAGAGGTGGATCAAGAACTTCAAAACCAATTGTCAAAAAGGTCGAGGGTGAAGAGTCAAATGATTCATGTGATAATGAAAAAAAAGAAAAAAAAGAAAACAAAAAAGCAAGAGAATCATTAATGAAACATAGATTTAATGCAAGTTTGGAATCACTTAGATCAAGAATTGAAATACTTAAAAAGAATGAATGTAATGGATCATTGACTGGAAGTAACATTCGTATCTTTAAAAAGTGGCTCAATACATTCCCAGAAAAGACATTGGAATACTTTGCATTGGGCCAACCAAAGGAAACTTGGAAAGAAATGGCTGACCTTTTACATTTGGCTCCATCTGATTTCCAAGCAGATTGGTTCCTCAATGTAATGTTTGATAATAAGGATCATGGAAGTGTAGTTGTCAATGCATTTGCAGAGGAAGGTTTAACGGTCGATCAAATGACAGAATTGATCAAAACACATAAACCATCATACTCTTTTATTAGAAAGAAGATATCACCTGCCGAGTTTACCGATGACCTTAAATACCTCATTGCATCGTATGAAGAACTATCTGTTGTTCTTTGGTGGTACCATGAATTGTCAACTTTTGAAGTTGATCAATTAATCTCCCAGAGATTATTGTCTGGCGATCTGCTTGCCGAACAATCTAGTAACACTAATAGCACAGAATCATCATCTACCACCAATGTAGTAACATGTGGTACACTATTAGAGAAAGCAATGTATTTCCAAAAACAAGGTATTCCAATCGACATTTTACCGGTACTAGTAGAGTCTATTAAAAAGTTGACAAACAAGTTTACTCTGCCACCACCCGTTGCAACACTTGGTGACTGTTCCAATAGTATGGAAGTATCGATTCGTCTATCCACCATTATTTCATCGCTCGTCACTTCAATGACACCAAATGCTTCGTTACGTTTCTTTAATCAAGCTCCTATTTGGGCACCTATCAATCCACGTGTCCTATCCGAAGTGTTTAATGTGTCGAATATTATCCAGGCGAGTGGCAGCACTGCCCCATCAGCAGGTCTCTACCCATTCTTTGAGAATGGAGACAAGCTCAAGTTTGTAGTATTGGTTAGTGACGAGGAGGAGAACCAGTTGTACAAGGGCTACAACTTTACCAAACTCTACCAAGAGTATCTCCAAAAGGTTGCTCCAGACTGTCGTCTAGTGTTGGTTTCTTTCCTCCGTCAACACGATGAAGGTCAACTAATGACAGAGATCCAAGAGACACTTGGTATCAAACCCATCCACTACCGTCTCGACAAGAATAGACCTGATATCACCAAGATTGACGACCTCTTGACCACACTCTCTTGTCAATCAGACAGTTTCCGTTATCAAGTGCAAGCATTACAGTTGATGATCGAGATGCTCGGTGAAAAGTACTATGCCAAATTTATCAAACCCAACGAACACAAATACTTTACCGAATCGTTTACCTTTGAAATCCTATTTGATACTCTTAATGTATTGAACGACTTTTTAAGCGAAGGTATCGAGGAGGAGGATGAAGAGACACAGCAAACCTTGATCAACCAAGTCACCACCTTTGGAGGTGCTAAACTCGCCAAATATATCACTGATCTCATCGAGACGATTGCCCACGCTCAAGGATTCTCTGATTTGTCCAAAGCAATGGAGACATTACTCAAACAGTCACTTGACAATCCATCGCTCACGGAATTTGTAAAGATTCAAAAGTTTGTAGAGCTGGTAGAACAAGTCAGCGTCGATCAATCACTCTACACTTCAAACGCTCAAAAGAAACAACTTGCTCAAGACACTGCTAGCAATGAAGTAGATGCAGTTGGTGGTAGTTCAACAGCAGTGACAACTACCCATGTCTCCAATTCATTGACCAACCGTGAAAAAACCCAACTCAATGAAATGGAACTAAACATTTTGTTTGGGTATGTTAAGGATCTCTCGACATTAAAGGCATGTTCATTGGTCAACAAGTTGTGGAGAAAGGTAACACTCTATCCAACTCATTGGACAAGATTTATTGGTAATATCGGTGGAGATGAACGTGACTTGGATCTAGTGTTTTTGGTCGATAATACCGGTAGTATGAGTGGAGAGATTGAACAATGTAAAGACAAAATCAAAGAGATTGTAGATGATATCTCTGCCATTGGTAATGTCAATGTACGTGTTGGTATGGTGTTTTACAACGATCATCCAGTTTCCAATGTCTGCCAAGTGTTTGACTTTACAGATAATATCGCCAAGATGAAGACACAGTTGTCTTCGGTCACAGTATACGGTGGTGACGACGAGCCAGAAGCCATGGCCGATGGTTTCTACGAGGTCAACAAACTGTCATTCACACCCAACTCTACCCGTGTGTTGGTATTGATTGGTGACGCCAATCCACACGGTTTCGGAGGTAATGGTGATCATTATCCAGGTGGATGTCCATGTAACCACGATATCATAGAGTTGGCTAGAAAGTTGGTCATCGAGAAGCGAGTCACTATCTACTCGGTACTGTGTCGTCCAGCCAACCACACATATCAAGTATTTTCAGCCTTGTCTGATCTCTCTGAGGGTCGTCTCTTTACTCTAAGCAATGCCGCAGAATTGAGTTTTGTCATTACTGGCTCGGCCAAGGAACGTTTACATCTCGACAACATTGTCCCAGTTGTCATGAAGGAAATTGAAATGATCCAACTCTCAATGCCACTCATCTCCAAGGAAGAAGCAATCTACCGTGCATCATTTGAACTACGTAAAAAGGGTGTCACCGTTCCAAGACATCGTGAAAGTAAAATGGCACTCGCTTTCGAAAAGGAAGATACCTACCATTCCATCGTCAGATCAAGTACCTATGCTGAATACAAAGCCAAACAATTACAATCAAAAACTAATCCAAAGGTTTTAAAGACAAAGAAATCTCATTCCCCTTCTACCGCTACCACAGAATCTGATCCAAATATTAAATTTGAACAAGAACCAATCACTATTTTAGATATTCAAAAAATTGCAAAGAAATTAAAGTTTATAAATTAAATAAATAAATATTCCATAAAAATTAATTAATTATTAGTATAATATTTTTGTTGTATTATTAAAATTATTATTTATTATAAACAATGGATTTGATTTGTATCTATCTATCTATATCTTTATTATTTTATTTTATTTCTATTTTTTTCTTTGTTGAGAATCAACAGAAGCAGTTGCAGCTTTAGCCTTATTAATTAATGGAATTAATTCTTGTCTCTCTGCTAAAATTTGTAAAAGTTTAATAATAAATGGAATATAATTATGTTTTCTTCTAATATTTTCCTCCTAAATAAATAAATAAATAAATAAAAAGAAATAATATATATATATTAATATAATAAAATAATTGTTTGATTTTTTTATCTCTCCAATAGTTACTCTCCAATTCCTAAACTTTTCATCTTCCATCATAATATTTTGATCTATGGTTTCAAGATGTTCATCCATTTCAGCCAATAATAGATCCAATTCTTCTTTGGTAGTTGGTAGATTATATTTGATAAATGCAGATTCATCTATGTCCATGGCTGTAACAGCAGTATCAAATTGAGATAATTTCAAAAGGATGGCATTCTTTTTACCCTCCAAATAGTTCTTTTGGTTGGATAATATCTTTTTACGGTTCTTTACAACAGCCATTAAATTAAATCTAATTTCATCCGATGTATACTTTGCGATTCTTTGTTGAATGATTGGTTGAACCAATTCCAACCAAGTTTCATCATCACATTCACCATGACAAATTGGTCCTCTACTCAAACCATCCAATTCATACAACTTTCCTTCAAATGGGATATAACTGACAAAATGGAATGCATCTTCCTTTTTACCTCCCTTTGATTCAAAGTCAAATGATTCTGGTCTTGCAAAACTATTATGAGCTCTCTTGATTGCATCACAATTACCAATTGCATCTCCTCTATCCTAAAAATAAATAAAAAGTAAAAAACAAAAAGTTAATAAAATATAAAGAAAGAAAGAATAATCAAACAAAAACAACAACAACAAAGAACATACCTCTGGCATTAAAAATTTACAGAAATCTTTAAAGTTTGTCAATTCATCACTCATTTCAATATCCTTATTATTCATCAAAATGGATAGAATAGCTTGAGTTGCACATGCATTATTAATCACCTAAAAAAAGAAGAGTAATAAGTAAAAATGTTGTGATGATTTGATCAATTAAAAAAGGTCATACTTGTTTGGCAAAGAATAACTCTTGATTATCACATGGTTCTTGACTTGAGGAATAGTGTTTACCATCCCATTTGAATAAAAATACTAAACCATATACAGGTCTTTAAATTAGATAAAAAAAAAAGAAAAAGATTAATCTTTATGATTACAACAACCAAGTGATGACTACTGATCTAATCAAGTAGAATGCATATATAAATAAATCAATAATAATTACTTTAACTTTGAGAATTCAGAAGCATCTAAAGAATAAAGTTCCTCAACTTGAACATCTTTAACACCCATATTCTCTATCAACTCTGTAAAGACACCTGGGTCACTTTCAATTGTACACCATCCATCGTTGCCACTCATTTCTTTTCTCTTTTTCTCTTTATGATAAATATAAATAATAATAAATATACAAGTATTTAAATGAATGTATAAAGTATTAATTAATATTTTATTAAAATAGATGTGAGTGAAGAGAGTCAGATCATTGATTAAAATTAAATTTAAATTTTCTTTTTTTGGATTGCTTTCCCCACACACTCTCTTAAAATTCAATAACCAATGGGACTCTTTTCCAACTCATTGCCAATCAATACCCTAGAGTACTAGCACATCACACCCATACATACTATGAATGAATGAATGGATCAATACAATTCTTCCTATTATATAAAGTTTTTTAAATTAATTTATTAAATGATGATGAATTAAGGTAAATTAAACCATTCAGCAGCGGATCCAGGATAATTGACAACATGTCTAAAACCCATAGACTTTGCCATTTGTGCAGCCATGTCAGATCTAACACCTTTGAGACAATAGAATATTATATTATCATCGATTGCAAATTTATCTCTATCAGTTGCTTCTTTATACTCTTCTTCACTCATCATCAATAATGCTTGTAACATTCCCACTATATATATATATATATATAGATATATGTATCAAGAGAAGATTGACTAGTTAGAACAATCATCATCCATCCATCTTAACCATCATATAATACATACAAGGAATATGAATAGCACTTTTAATGACACCAGTCTGTTGTACTTCAGCAGGATTTCTAACATCTATCAATACATATGATGGTTTAGATTTACTACCATCTTTTATCAATTGTTCAAGTTGTTGTTTATTAATTGTAGTGTTTGATTTAAAATCAAATGATGATGATGATGATGTAGATGATGTAGATGATGAATAATTCTTCTTTATATATCCATTTGTAATACTATTATTATTATTATTATTATTACTGTTATTAGAGTTAAAACTAGTTTTGTTTATAAAAGAAGAAGTAGTAGAGTATTTACAACTACTATATAAACAAGAACTAGTAACAAATCTATTACAAATGTTACGACTATTGTTTAATGCTAAAAGAGTTAATCTTGAATTCATTCTGAAGGTTATAACTACTTTGACCTGTCAATTTCGCGGACATTTAAACCACAAATCTTTCACTTTGAAACTTATTCATTTTCTTTCGATTAGATAATAACAATAATAATCATATAAAAATAGCAACATGTTTATAAACAACGATGAAACCCTTAAGAGGGACTAGACACCAAAAGGTGGCTTTCGTTAATAATCCTAAAAGAAAGTATTTTTAAAATATCTTCTTCCTCCTCTCTTTCAGACCAACCATTGCGTTGGTGGTTTGGTTTGGTTGGTCGATTATGATCGGATCAAAAGGAAAGGGACCTCCTTCTCTAACGGATACAATATTTTATTTATACGTTTACACCTCTTATCTTTAATCAATCACAGCACAGACATAGAAGAGCTGCTTTATCTATTACAAAAAAGAAGGAAGTTCTTTTCCTACTCATTTAATCATGATGATTTCAAAAATCATCAATACAAATGTATTATTAGTATTACAACTACAACTACTACTACTACTACTATTGATATCATTCAATAATAATAATAATGTTGTTTATTCACAAGCACAATATGCCAGTAACTATTATTTATTATTTATTTATTTATTTATTTATTTTAAATATCCTTTAACATTTATTAACAATTTATTTATTGATTTAATGATTTTTAGTGGTATGGGAACCATTAGGAGATAATATGTATACACCATGGAATAAAGTATTTAGATTTAATACGTCTACGACACCCGCCGGATTTACTGGTACTGGATTGGTGACCTTTCCCGATCTTTCATCGGTAGGATTACCCATTTCCGAGACTACACTTCAATATACAATGAAATACAATGCTTCGGGAGTCTATCCATTCATTTGTACAGGTCCTTCCATTACCAGTAATAATCTATTCAATTATGTGGCCACTTGGATTGAATACAACATCTCAATTGTAGAGACTGATTTCTCTGCCGAAGAGATCATTCTAACGTTTGACAGTACAACAAAGTGTCCTCGTCATTTGGTATTCTATGACCAGCCTACTGCTGGCAATTATTACAACTTTTATACTGTCGCTGGTGTTGGAAAGGCTATTGCTCTGCCACCTACTCCATCTAGTCAAACCAAACAATACTTTGTAGATAGCCCCTCACTGTCTAGATGGACTGTATTAAATATGGCTGGTCAGGGTAACAGTGGTCCTGCAGATGTACAATGCAAACAAACTACAGTATTGTTGCCTGCAAACTATTTCTATGGTGTAACTAGTCAGTATGAAGCATTATCGTATCTCTTTTTCCAAAGTCAATTTCGTGTCGAACAAGTTAATGTCTCGTCAACTGGAGTATCACCTGCCATCACTCTAAAAGATCCAGTTGATACTTATCAAGGTTCAAACAACTATTTCTACGCCATGTTAAAGGTTGACAAGGGTAACACCTATACTTTAAAAGCTCCGAATCCACTTGACCAAACCTACACTGAAAATCTAGGGACTCCACCAGCCATGTCATTCCCAGCCGTCGTTACATCATCCATTACACTCGGGACAACTGGAATGTACCCCAATATAGATGGGGCATTTTACGGTCAATTCTATGCGTCTGGTCGTCCAACCTATCTTGTTCATGTCAAGTTGATACTAGACACATTAGACAACATAGCCTATTTGGATAATTATTGTGGCGCCATTCCTCTATACCAACATAGAGACTTGACATCGTTGCAATTGGAATATCGTACAGAGATTGCAATGTTTTTCCAATCTTGTGAAAGTTTCAATGTCTATGCAGTCGCACGTAATGGTTTACGAAAGCTGATTGCTTTTCAGGCATTTTTCTTGTCGTTTGATACTGCCAAACCACTCTACTCTGTTGCTCCTTTAAACCCAACTCTCACAACTGCCTCATCTGATCTGTCTCTTCGAGACTACCAAGCACTAGTCTCTATGAATCCACTCTTTGCCCCGTGGATCAATACAACAGTCACTCAAACGACAGTTACCGCCTATACAGACCCACTCTTTTCAATGTTTGCCACCTTTCCCTATGGAATGAGTGGTTATGCCAGTCAAATGCAGTATACTCACAGATACACACAACCAGACGATGTTCCACCAATGACTGTCAAGTTTATCAATTCGGGTGGCAATACAAATGCTCAAATCAACGCTGACAATAGTATAAAGGCAAAGGTGGATGTCTTGAATCCACTGGTCACTGTCAATATTAGAATGACCAATGATACAATTGGATACTTTGAAGTAGATGTTACCGATACTATTGGTATTGGAGAACGTAGTTGTTCGTTGTCAATTGGACCATACCAATACCCAATCAACAGTGCTGTTCGTATCCTTGGTTCTCCATCAAGAGGTTCCTATCGTATCCCATTTACATTTAACCCAGGTGTTTATTGTTTGACCCCCGTTGTACTGTCGTGTCGTGATGTTAGAGGAAATGTCATTCAGGTGGACACCAAGTCTAGATATGCAGGTGATTATTTCCCAATCAACCAATTGACAGCTGTTTGCAACTCTTTACTTTCAAATGGTGTTCCAACAGTTTTACGTACAAACTATTTTTACAACAATACTGGTGATCAAGTAGGATTTACTGTATTGATCACTGGAAATGGTATCGCCTTTAACAAGGTAACAGCTACGATGGTTCTCTATGAAGATATCCAAAATACCATCTTGGTCCAATCGATCCCATTAGTATTGGAGAATACAAAGAATCAAGCAGCTGTATTCTCTACGGTTATTCCAAAGTTTGTTGTGTCTACAGCCAAGAACTACTACTTTGCATTGGGACTTGGGTTATCTACACAACCGACAACCTTTTACTATAGTACCACCGATCTAAACTTTATGTTGTTTAGATCAAACTCTTGGTCAAAGTTTGGTATTGATGGAATGTATCTCACCAGTTCAATCACTCAAATGGTTGTCAAACCTTTATCGTCTGAGATTCCAACCATCTCTCTACAACTTTCAACGACATCTGGTATTACAGTATCATTTGGTGCTGGTAATACTAGATTAAAGAGTTTTATTCTTGTTGCCAAAGACTCTTACCAAGGAGCAGCTCAAACTAGTATATACACTCCTCCAGTCCCACTCACATTGCCTACATCAGTTACCATTCCCTACGATGTATTTACACTTGACAAACCAGGTACACTTTACTATGTTCTCAATGCATGTGACGAAAACAATTTCTGTCGTGATTTCCCTCCCTTTGCCTATTTCGCCAGAAACACCACATTTGCCCAAACACCTCCAACCACCACCTCTTCTGTCAAATCGTTTACCGTCACTCCAACCACGATTGATGTAACTAGTCCCGATCGTAAATTAAAGTTTTCTGCCAATGTAGATTATATGTACGACCGAAATATATTACCCATCATCTATATTGTCGAGAAAATATCAGAAGATGCACTATTCTGTATCCCAACCTACAATTCCTCTCTTTCATCACCTGGAAACTCATTTTATGATTGTGAATTAGAGGTACCTTTGGGATGGGGTCTTCGTGGAGTCATTGTATCTATTTGGAATGTTAAAGTTGGTAATCGGTTCACTGGTACCTATTTAAATACCTCTGTCACTTTTACAGGCAACGTACTCTCACCAGTCATCCATACAATTCAATCACTCTACAATGATCAACATATTACCATTGTTGGTGCAAACCTAGGCTTCATTGGTCAATTAGGATTTGAACCAAAATTAAATGGATCAGACTTGGCAATAGTCTTTGATACATCTCTACCAACCAGTGTTTTGAAATTAAAGTTGACCCCAGGGTTTGTTCCAACTCAGCCATTCCCAATTCTAATTGGATCAACCAGATATATTGTTAATCTGGTTGGGTGTACATTCCCTACTTGTTCAGACAATGGTATTTGTAACCCAACGACATTCCAATGTCAATGTAAACCAGGATGGGTTGGAATAGGTTGTAATATTGCAGAAATTGAAATGTGTAGTAATATTACTGCCAATGGAAATACTTGTCTAAACGGTGGTACCTGTCAACAAGGTGGTATTTGTAGTTGTCAACCAGGATACATGGGAGATCAATGCCAATTTGTCCTTGCCAATGACATGTCTGTGGAAATGATAGTTGAACCAGGTGACCCAACTTGTCACTTTAGAGGTATCAAACAAGTACCCCAACAAAATACTAGTCGATCAATTCAAGCTATTTTAGCCAATGATAGCGGAGACATACCACCATTACTATCAGAGGCAAGCAAATTAACCAATTTTACAATTAAATTGGTGGCCATTGATGAATACGATATAGATAATAATGTGGTTGTACATCATCCATTGACAAATTGGACACTAAAGGAACAAACCAACAGCAGTTTTATGTTCAACATTTAATTGGAGATGATTCAAGTGGTGGTGGACATGTCAATGTAACCATTGAAATGTTCCTCACACCAAACAATAATATATCATTTGCAGGTGATACTATCTCAATGTCAACCAATACATTCAAATATACTAGTAGATTATCAAACTATGTATTTTCATCACAATTGAATACTTTACAATTCACATTTGAAACGATTGTAGTCGCACCAACCTGTGACAATACAAATGTTCCAGAGAATAATGAAGAAAATAATCAACCATCATCATCAAGAACCATTTTATCAACAGATTTTGGTAATGGAATAAGCTATGGTGGCTCGAGCCCAAGTGATATGCATTGGGTTAAAATGGACGCAAACCAACTCAGCTTGTACTCTAGATTTACAAACAAAATGATTGTTGATGGTAGAGTCATTATGAATGCAAACACAATGGCTGCCGAGGTTGATTCAACCAATACTGCAGCTCGAGTAACAATAGTTACTCCTTATTTTGAATCCTATGTTGAAATTGATCCAGGTAAATATTAATATTAATAATAATAATATATTTATTTATTTATTAATTCTTTTTTTATTTTTTTATAGATTTTAGTGTATTAACAGATTATGATAGAGAAGAAAATACAATGGAATGTAGTAATAATAATGATGATAGACCTTGGTTAATTCCAGTCATTGTTGTAGCATGTGTAGTTGGTGTAGCATTGTTAATAGTTACAGGTGCAATCATTTACAAAAAATCATCAACTATTAGATTAAAGGTACTATCATTAAAATCAAAATCAAGAGGTTCAGTTAAAATGAGTAACAGATAATTAATTAAATAAATAAAAGAAAAAAAAAAAAGAGATAATTTGTATTTTTAATAAATAAATAATTTTATTATTACATTGTTTGATTCATCATACTAGTAGAATAAGATGAAAGATATTGATTATTAAATTCCTTAAATGTATTATTATTGATATGATAAACCAGTAATTTGTTTGAAAATCGATAATTGAGTGGAATATATATACATTGTATCGATTGATCAAACATCATAACATCACCATAGTAATCATATTCAATTTGACATAGTTTTGTAAATCTACGACTGGTCAATGAAACTGTACACATGAAATAATTTATCTTTGGTTGATTTCTTTGTAGTGATTGTTGTTGTTGTTGTCTTGGAGATTTGGATTTTTGTTGTTTAGCTTGTAAAAGTGATTGGAATGGTTGTGGTGATGATGGCTGTTGTTGAGTTGTTGTTGTTGTTGGTGCTACTACTGGTTGTTGGTCATTACAAATAAAATAAACCAATTCCTTTCCATCAAAACATCCTCTAATTGCATTTTTAAATAATAATTGGTTGAATTTGTTGCTTTCATTACTATTATTTATACTATAATCATCATCGTTGAAATCTATTGATATTGGTTGTATTGTTTGATTACTTTTATCATTATTGTCTATGATTGTTGTTGTTGTTGGTAAAATTAATAAATTCAAATCTTGTGATCTTTTGATAATAAGTGATGTTGATGATTTAATCATTATCGTACTATTAAAGGCGGTATGATGATCTTGATTACTTGGTGTTTGTTGACTATTGTTTAATGATAAAATTCCCATTATGTGGAATTGATGAGAAATAGTATCATAAGACACTACACATTGATTTGAAAATAAATAAATTGATTGTTTGCCATCTGTACATGCTTTAATAAATCTTCCATGTAGACGAGGTGGTAAATGACCCAAGAAATCACATTTACCAAGTGATATATTGAATCTTTCAAATGTACTTTGAGAGCTTTCATTTCCTCCACCTCCAAATGCATAAAGATATTCATTTTGATTGTTGTTGGATTGTTGACCAATATATACAAAATTTGAATTATATCTCTGATGAACAAAGCTATTTTGATAGGTATTGATTGTTATCAATATTTTTGGTGGTGATATCGAAGAAGGAAAAGGAGAAGAAGAAGAAGAGGTATCTGGTGAACTTTCTTCATCTAATAAAAAGTTTGAATCCAATGCCACTTGAATAATGGTCCGATATTGATCATCATTTGAAAGACTGAAAAATGACCATGGAAAGTTGGTTGTCGATAATGATCTTGATCTAAATTGTCTTGGTGATATCTTTTCTTGAAGATTTTGTAATGATGATGAAGAAGAAGAAGAAGAAGTAGTAGTAGAGTTGAATGGAGGAGATGAAATGGATGCAGAAATGAATTGATTTATAATACTATTTAAACCTTGTAAACTATTATTTAAATTATCACTATTAACTGGACTGATTGTACTATTATTATTTAGATTATTTTGTTGATTATTTTGATCAACTTGAATATTTTGTTGTTTATGATAATTTATATTTAAATCATATAAACTATTATTTAAATATGATTTAAAGGCATTGATGGCATCTTGTTTTTGTTCAAAAGAGATAAAAAGATGAGGATTGCTATTATAATTTTTGTTAAAATGTTTTTCCAACATTTGAAATGCAATCACTTCACCATGTATTCCAATTAGTTCTTGTAATTGTCCTGCATTACTTGTTTGTTTTGAAATTGATCTCGGCATAAACAATGGATCCTGAAATAGTTCTTTAAATATTTCAATTGATTCACATTGTTCAATCAATTCAAATTCATCTCTCCATTCTTGAATATTTAATGGTCTAAGGTATGATTGATTATTATTATTATTATTAATTTGATTATTAATTTGATTATTAATTTGATTATTAATTTGATTAATTTGATTATTTATAATATTATTATCAGATAATTGAATTCTTAAAGAAGATTCTAAAGTTAATGATTGATCCAAAAGATTATATTGTTGATTTAATGATTTAATTGATTTTAATCTTTCTTGTTCTAAACTATGTAATAATTTTTCTTCTTGTTGAGCAATGATATCTCTTAGTTGACGAAAATGCATCTTGATCTTGTCCTCTTGTATGCTGTAATCTTGTAGTCGTTTTGATTCCTCTGTAATATTGTTCCAAGATCTATCTACCGATTGTCCTATATCAATGATACTGTCAATGACTACCGTCTCTGGACTATGAATAGTATGTGATGAATGATGTCCAACAGCAGTGGAACACAATTCACACACCCATTCTTGACAATCAAGACAATATAAACTTTTTAGTTGACCATCTTTATGATTTTTACAAATACTATTATTATTGTTGTTTTGATCTGTTGTATTATCTTCTATATTTATCATATTGCATCTATATGAGATAAATAAATAAGTGATTGGTTGAAGAAAGAAATGATCAAGTTAGAGGGACATGACATGCCTTTTGTCTTCTCGAGAATTACCCTTTTTTGACTTCTTCTGTTTTGTTTTCAATGACCAAAAAAGGTTTTTTACGATCGATCGGTTTAATGCACACACAGTCTGTGCCGAAATGTTTGACATAATTACTACTATTTGATTGGGGATGGATATATTACAACATTTGTTTTATTATTTTTTTTTTAAAAGGTGAAATATTAAAATTTCAATAAATTATTATGATTATTATTACTTGGCTTGGATTATTTTGTTTTTACTCTTTACTTTTTAGTTATTTCTTTTCAGCTTTAGCTTTATCTTTTGCTTCTTTTTCTTTTTCTTTTGCTTTTTCCTTTGCTTCCTTTTTAAGAAGTTTTTCACGTTGTACTTCTGATTTCTTGTCACCATGTTTCTTTTGTTTGATACGTTTACGGACTTCCTTTGGCAAAGCTTCATAGCATTTGTAGCAAAGTGGTTTTCCATCCCAATCCAATACTTCCTTGCCGAGGAGTGTGTAACAACCGGTGCATTGGAAATGTTCACGATGGTAGATCTTTCCAAAGGCATCTACACCACGATCAACCACTGGTTTGTTACAGGTGACACAGAGACGTCCAAAGTACATATGGTAATGAGTTTCGCAGTAGGCTTTGCCTTGGTGTTCACGGAAAGCACTGCCTGCAAATGGTACCTGACAAGTGGTACACACAAAATGCTCTGGATGCCACACTTTACCGAGAGCAGTCACTGAACGACCAACAATCGGTTTGGAACAAGCACCACAAATATTACGAATCTGCTTTTGGTAATCTTCGTAACAGTAGAGACGTCCTTCGTATTCGTGACACGACTTGCCCGTAAACTCGCAACCACATTCTTCGCAACGGTAATGTTCGGCGTGAAGTGGTTGTCCACCGAGAATGATGTACTCGCCTGTAATGGGAAGCTTGCACTTGGCGCAAATCTCAGACTTTGATTGGAGACGTTTTTGACGGGCAACCTTGCAGGCTGTGCAATATACTTCACCGTCCTCTTCCTTGTATGGCTTTCCACGTAGACCAGTACCGCAACCACTGCAAACAAAACAATCTGGATGAAACTTGCAGTCGAGTGCAGAGATGCATGTATCCTCGATTGGCTTGGCGCAGGCAGCGCAACGTGGACTAAAAAGATCTGTATAATCGTTTTCGCAATACAACTTTCCATCGTGTTCAATGAATGCACCCTTGAATGGGAGACGACAGTATGTGCACACAAAATGCTCTGGATGGTAAGACTTGCCAAGAGCATTGGTCGAAATACCGATAATCATCTCACCACAGTGTCCGCATGGTGGTCCCATTGGTTTGATTGATCTTCCATCAGGTGTCTCTGATGCAATGGCAATGGGAGCAACCATTGGTGTTGGGTTTGGTACCAATGTTGGTGATGCCGAAACTCCTACCGATATACCATTATTTGAATTGATTGATCTTGCTGCTAATCCAGGCCCACTCATTACAAATGCTCCTCCAGATGTTGATTGTTGTTGTTGTGGTGTAGCATTGTTGTTGTTAAAGGCAGTAGGGTTATTGTTTGCACCAGCAGCCAATCCAGGTCCACTCATTAAAAAGTTTGATTTCTTACTTGCACTTAGTGATGAATTGTCTGTTTGTTGTTGTTGGGTAGATTGATCTTTATTAATTTGATCACCCATAATACCCAATTCTGCCATGAGATCATCCATCTGAGATAATACACTATAATGAAACAACTTGTTAGTTTCTCTTTTTCATTCACTTCTTTCTTCCTCTTCTTCATCTTTCTTGTTTATTGTTGTTTGTTGTTGTTTGTTCTTGCTTGTTGTTGTTATGATATAATATGTACCTTGTTTTATCTGCCATCTTTGTTATATATAAATAGACTAGTTGTAGTAGTGGTACAGTAATGTAATGGTAGGTTGTGTATTCAATATAGATAATAATATAATTATACAAATGTAATATATGTCTTTCTTCTTCTTGTTGTTCTTCTTTTTCTTCTTAAATGAATCAATAATAATAATATTGATCTTTATAGATATAAATGGAATATTAATGTGTGTTTGTCTGTCCACAAAGAATGAATTCAAAAAAACAAATTTATTTTAAAAAAAAATCGGGTAAGCTATTGGCTTTTTCAAACAAACCATTTCACAACGGCAAAGGCAATCATTCGCACTCTTCGATTCGTTCGTTTTTTTTCTTTCTTTTTCCATAGACAATCGTGTCAATGCCATTGATTAAAATCAGGATATATAGGATATTTAAAATTAATTTGTTTAAATTATCCTGGAAATAAATATTAAACTAAACTATAGTTTCCTTTGGTGTGTGGAGCTGCCTTGATTAGACCATTCAAGGAAGCAGACTTGTGTGTAATTAAATGGAGGTTAATTAGGACAATATTGCAGACACAATAATAAAAAAACATAAGCCATTCATCACTTTATTGACCCTTCTCCTTGTTGGCGGTCATTGATGGAAATGAAACGAACGATATCGTTTAAAAGCTATTGTTTATTGTAACTCAATTATTTGTTTGTTTTGTTATTCTTCTTTTAAATATGATATGTATGATTTGATTGGGTTGGGTTGGGTAATCTATGAATATGAGGTCAAAAGGGGTACATACAATTTACAGCCAATACAAAATAAATCACTTGTATTTTTACCAATTAAACTGGATTTTAAATCGGGAACGCCCAACGAGTTAATAAAGACCTCTTTGCTAAGGATACAATCTTTCCCATTAAAAGGATGGTGGTTTTGGGAAAAAAACTCTCCAACTCTTCCCTTTGAGGTGCCGAGATTACTATAGGCTTCTTGATCTTGTTTGTTGCCAAAAAAAAAGTTAATGGATTTTCATCTCACCAAATCGTCTTTTGGAGATTGATCAATGAGAACTTTATAGTCTTCATATTCGATGACATCTTTGCAAAGAATCCCCCACTGTAAATGTGCATCATCGTAACTATATTTGATTAGCTCCAATCATCTTGGTAAGAACTTGAGGGAAGCGAAGTACTATAAACCTTTGAGCTTCTTTCTTTACCAATTCATTTGACATTTTTAGAACTAAAAAAGGCCAGACTATTGTTAAATCTAATTAAAAAAAATGATTAATAAACTCTATATAATAGAAAATGTTATTTTTTTATAATAAAATACATACTTGTGAAATCCAATCAACTTTTTGTCGCACAATAATTGAATAGATTTAATTATGAGCGATTGATCAAAACCATGATGAAAGTCCAAAGCTAATAATAAACATTAAATTAGACAATTGATTCATTTCATTTTTTTTCCCAACCTGGGCCTGTATTCATGATGACTCGGAGTTGATCAGCTTTGAGTTCGAGTTGGGTTGATTCTGAAACTTGGAATATGATACACCAATCTTGTCACACTCATCACCAAATAGTCGACGGTCGAGAATCAGTGATGACTGGATAGGCGACATTTTGGTACGTGGGTTGGTTGGGTCAGAGATGAGCTTGTTGACCATGACCAGATTCCTCGACTTGAATGTAGGCAACTGGGTGCCCGTGTCAAAACTACCAATAATACGTACAATCATGTTCTTTTTAGCCGTCAACGGCGGTTGGCGAGACTAGAGACACTACCAATGGGATGGTACGGGTAAAGTTGAATTCTGGGTCCAAGTACTTGATGGTCGCGTTGATTTGGTATAGTATAGTACCGGGGGTTACTCACAGTTGTCTCATAGATCACAGGATGTTGGATAAATACCTGTGACTTTGAAAATGATACCTCTATAGGATATGACAGATTACCACTAGTACCATCTTCATAAACAACTGCTTGTATTTGTTCTGTTTCCAACTATACATATACACAAGTAAATAAAAAGTTAGTACAAGTAAAACAACAATAACAAGTTGATAGTTTGATCGATCAGCTGATAGATATATACATACTGATTATTATTTAGTGTCAATGATACGAATAGTTTCTCTGAGCAATCTAGATTAGCACTCTGTTGTAGTACCATCTCTAATACATTTCTTTATTGTACTTGATCCTATAAATGTTGGTTCTACAATGTTATTATGAAGAATAATAAAAAAAGTAAAGATGATGATCATCACCACCATCATCATTTTATTATATTTTCTAAACATGTTATGATTAATCAATCTTTTCTAACTAGTTGTATCTATCTTAGTGATATATAAGTAGTAGTAGTAGTAGTCGTAGTAGTAACAATAGAGATTGATGATGGTTGGTCGCGTCCATCTTGCTATTCTACCCTAGTAATCCTGAGGTTCCAGTTCACTTTAAATTTGTTTGCGCCAAGTAGTTTAAATGAACAGAGTAGGTAAGTACATTTACTATTATTAACAGAAGGAGACTATGTACACATGACAAGTAATCCCATACCAATGCTCATTGTCTCAACAAAATGAAGCTCTATTGAGAACCGACCGACCGACCGACCGACCGACCGACCGACCGACCGACCGACCGACCGACCGACCGACCGACACACTTTTGAATATATAACATGTGTCACGTGACTACTACTCATAAAAATAGGTAGATAGGTAGATAGATAGATAGAAAGTATTACTTGGTAGTAATCCTCTCTATTGAAAAAAACTGGCTATTGAAAGAGGAAAGACGACGACCATTGCTTGGCGTCAATCCTCAATACTAAAAGATTTGCTCACGTGATGTACAGCTCGTTATTCTTCTTCTACTGATCCTCATCCTCTTTGGCTTACTATTATTATTATTATTATTGTTAGATACAAATAATGTATCTGTAGAAAAATAACAAATGATTAAAAAAATCAATTTTTTGGAGTATGGCGAGATTCTCGGCCGAAAAACAGGTCAGCTGATGGATGATATGCTAACCCATAAAGCGACGAGACATAAAATAGAATCAAGGGGTCGTCGTCTTTCATCTTAGAAAAACAGTTTTTTTTATCGTGTCTGAAATACCTCACAACTATCCTGGTAATCCAATCAAATGGCTATTGGAATGCCGAGAAACCCAGACTAGATAGATTGGTGCGCAGTATTTATTGATGACTAGTGAATCAATAAAGAGCCTGTATACCTACAATCAAATCCAAATCATATTTAATTAATTAAAAGAAGAATAACAAAACAAACATTGAGTTATAAAAAAACGAAAGCTTTTGAAGGACATCGATCGTTTCATCATCAACGACTGCCTACAAAGAATAATAAAGAGATGAATAGCTCATGTTTTTTTATACGTGTATAAAGTATGGTCCTAAATTAACCTCCGATCCCAAAAGCGCCTTGAATGTTCTGATCAACCAAAGGAAAACTACTATACTTTACCGATCCTGATTTTATGAATCAATGGCATTGAGATCGATGGAAAAAGAAAGAAAAAAAAATAAAATAAAATTGGTTGTGCAACATTGAGAAGAAGTTCTTCTTCATTTTTTAACAACTATAGTTAAAACTACTACTACTACTAGTACAACTATGACTATCATTTGTATTATTATTATTATGTATTGTTGTACAACGTAGATATAGATATAAATATACGATGGAACAACAACAAGAAGAAAAAAGACAGTCATCATTAGATATAACCTTTATATCTATATTTAGAATGAGATATCTAAGACGTATAATATTAAACCAGATATCAACAATTACAAGACAATGTGCTAGAGTTAGATCAAGAGATATTATTATTGAAGGAAAAGGTGATGTTGAATCACAACAACAACAACAACAATACAAGGGTCCAGATCATTGTATTAAAACATATTATAATGCAAATAATTTAAAGTATGTAACACGACTATATAGTTATGTTTCTAAATGTTATTGATTAATTAATATAGTTTTATTTTCTTATTATTATTATTATTATTGTTTTAGGTGGTTACTTGTAAATGGATATTCATCATTACTAAAAGATAAATATAATGCAGGACATATATTTGAAGAAGATACATTATATTCTTGGATGGAGTATTGTACTGAACAATCACCAATGCCATCTGCTTTAATCGATAAAGTAATTGCCAACATGCCAGTACGAAATCGAGAAAATGATATTAAAAAAGCAATTGTTGGAGGTAATTTAATATTATTGGAGAAACTTTTAATGTTGTATGCAGAAGACATGTCAATTGGTTCGATGTCATTGATCTATGAAATAGCATCAAAGAGTCAAAACTATGCATTCAAACAGTTTGTCACTCACATTTGTATCCAACAATTGGATAGATACAATAACCATCATGGAAGAGACCTTTTAGACTATAGTCCTAACCAACAACACTGTACAATCATATGTAAAATGATTATGGGTGTTGACCCTAAATCGAGACATGGTCAAGTGAGGATACCTGATACTTGGACACGTATAATCAACAGGGATCTCATTATGGAATTTGATATACAATCGTTGGCGTACATGACCGATGAAATGCATATCATTCCGTTCAACCTAGTTGCACTTTATGATTTTGTTGAATCGGTCCTTTGTAATCCATTGACCATTCAAGATCAACACATGGCCACTATCAAAGATATTTGGAGATTAATCATGTATCGACATGTAGAAATATTCAACTCTAGAGATTCGATTGAAAAAAAATTAATCGACCAGTTTAAAATCAACAAACCAAGTTTGTGGAATGCTACTACACCTGTAAAGAACGAACCATTCACCTTTAAACAACTAGTAGATCTTTTTTACTTTATCGATATGGTTTCATTGTTAAAAGTAGAGTATAGAACATTGGATGAAAATATTGCTTGTTCAATGACTTTTCTTGGTTCATTGACGGTCAAAGATGGAGCAGACTATGATGATGGGACGGCGGTACCATTCCATGTGGCAGTTGATAATTATCTTCAAACGTTTGTACCAAAATCATGGATCAATTATTTATCGGTCTTTAAAAGTGCGTGTCTTGTGTGTAGTGTTTCAGTGGTCCAATACTTTGAACAAAAGATGGTCTCTCGAAACAACACCACAGAATCACTCCATGCCATTTATGGACCAACTGTCCGTAATGACCCTCAAGTGTTGTCATACGTAGCCCCCAATTACACATATCGACAAGAAACATTGGAAAACATACTCATTTATGCTTGTAAAACCGATCACGTTGAAATGATCAGTACGATCATTCAACTCTATTCCTATATCGTCGTCGAAGCTCTCGAAAAGCTTTTAGTTGAATCTGGTAGAGCCGACAGCCTCAACACATTCCTCTTGCTCATCGAGACATACCCAGAAGAATGTGTAGGTATTTTGTGCACCCGACCCATTCTCGACAAAACATGGAAACCCTCTTACTTTGTACTCAAACATTACAACAAGATACATCACCTCTTTCAATCGTCTCAGTGTCATTGGATCCCACGAATATTAAACTATTTTATTGAATTGGCCATTATCTTTTGTAACCTCTCTGTCATCAAGAAGCTTTTACTCTTGCCAAGGTTGGTCGATCTACCAGACTATGGGATAAACCTTGGACTCGTTGTACCATACAAACCATTGTTGGATTTCTTTTTCGATGCTACCATGAACCCTCGAAGCATCTATGTCCCCGGAAAACATTTCAACGCATTGTTTGGTAACTTTTGTTGGACAGAGGCAGCTCATTCAAACGACACTACCAAACTCGACATTCTCTTTCAATTGGGTAAACTCAGTGCACCGAGGAATCAATACGAACGTACCTTTTCAATAGAAGCAGAACTTCAAGTAACCATTTACCCAGTGGCATTTAAAAATGGACATGTCAATTTGATACAATATTGCAACGACACTTACAACGTCCCATCAATCGGTAGTAATGTATTTTTAAAACAAGAATACATTAAATTTGCCATCACTTGTAATAGTATCCCCATTATCAAACATTGTATTAAACTCATTCAATCAACACCTAATCAATTCAAAGAACCATTGAGAATGTCATCAGGTCCCCCAAGACTATTAAACCAAAAGAAATTAAAAAGATTTAACCAACAACACCAACAACCAACATTACTTGAATTTATGTTTGATACTGCAACCACTTTAAATCAAAAGGAAATAATTAATCTTTTATATCCTTTGATTAAAGCTTATAATAATAATAATAATAATAAGAAATAAATAAATAAATAAATCTTGAAAATAATATTAATATTTTATCGTTGGGGAGTTTTTTTTTTTTTTTCGCAGTTTGGCGTCATTCTGTTGCTGGTGTTTTGAACAGACCACTGCTATCGAAAGTTTGTTTGATTATTCATCTTTTCAAACAACAATTGTACAAAAGAGATCTCTTGTTGAGCGAGCCTAAACTCTAAATTCAGTGTCTTGGTTTCATTACAACATAAAGATTAAATTCATCACTTTCCCTCTCCACCGCACCCGTCGTATTTTTTCTGCTCACTGTAACAACACCCACAATCACAATACCCGCAAAATCAATACCCCCACAAACACACCCACACAACGTCAGAGTCTTTAAAACGGCTTGAGAACAACAATCCTTTTTGTGTTGTTGTTGCTTGTTCTGTATTAAAGAGATATTTGTTTATTATTACTACTACTACTGCCCCTCTGTCTTATTCATCATTAAATCATAACACCAATCACACTAACAATTAATAACATTGTATATATATCAAACCAATTATCATTTAGCATCTTGTTTATTCATTCATTCAATCAATTGATTATTGGACCGATGGAGGACATTGTAGTTGAAAGTAATTATCATCATGACACTACTACATCACAGCAGCAGCAACAAATCACAGATACCAAAGATCATGATTTTGCAACAACAACAACAACAACAACAACAAAAGTTATACTAGATGATAAAGCATCACTAGTAGCAGCAGCAGCAATCAAAGAAGAACAAGGTTTTTCTTCAACATCTTCATCATCTTTATCAACATCAGGAGGAGAGGTTAAAGTTATAGGTATATCACTAACACCTCAACCACTCTTGAATGTTGCTCATCATGATCATCAACAACAACCGAAAAAAATAAACACCTCCCCATCCTCATCTTCATCCTCAGTAACAACACAACAAAAGAATAATAATAATACCCCAATTAAAAAGATTAATAATAACAACAACAACAACAACGTATCAACCAATCAACAACAGAATCAAAATAGCAACAACATTAACTTGCAACAACAGAATGCTGCTAATTATGAAAAGGATGAATTATTACAAGATCAACATGAACAAAGTCATCCAGTATCCAATATCTTTGAGAATCTTGGTTTTGTTATTGATCAATCGATCAACCTCAAGAGAAAGATGGACCTTGTGAAAATCATCAAGAGAAACGGTGGTAAAAGTTGCTATTCATGTAGTTCAAAGGTATATTAACAACAATGAACCATTCGCTCCTTAAAAAGAGTATATATTAATATTTAATGATTCTATGTAGGCAACACATTTGATTACAACGTATCAAGGATTTTTAGAGAATACAACAAAGGTACAACAAGCTCAACAAATGGGAATACCTATTCTATTGAAAGAGTTTGTACATCATTGTGCTTTTAAAAAGCAATTGTTGGATTTTGAACCCTATAGAATTACAACTCAAAATGCAAAGGTAAATATAATAATATTAATAACGACGACTATGACTATCAAAGACTTTTATATTAATTATCTGTTCTTTTTTTTAGAATCAAACTCAAGAATCACCAATTATTTTATCACCGTCACCATCTAGTTCATCTGAAGCTGTTCCACCACCTATAGACAAGAATAATATCAATATGAATGGTAGTGGTGGTAGTGTTCCAACTCTATATTCATCACCATCTCCTCCTCCTCAGGAAATCATAAAAGAGTCTAGATCGATTGAAGAGATCAATAGTATTCAAAATAGTAGCAGATTTTCATCGTCATCAGATTTTGGTCAGACCAACGAATTAAAGAGATTCACAGAGTTTGAATCATTGGATTTTGAAGAACATGAATTGGGTGGAGCTGTTGGTGAAGAAGAATTGGTACCAGAGAATAGCAAATTTGGAAATGATAATGATAGTAGTTCAATGGTATTAGATATCAATAACAACAACAACAACAATTCAATTGAAAAGCCACAACCTCAACAACCAAGAGACAGTATTAGTCAACAACAAGTCCCACCACCTTCAATGGGTATTCATCTACATCAATTGTTAAATAGTACCAATCTTAATAGAAACAACAGTAACAACAACAATAGCAAGATTACTAATAATAATAATAATAATAATAATACCAATCATAGAAAATCACCAATTTCATTTAATAATTTTACATCCACATCTTCATCATCAACATCATCAACTAATTCTGTTACCATTCCACCACCACCATCATCATCATCTCAACCACAACAACAACAACCACCTTCTCAATATGATTCAATTATCAATAATATTACAAGGAATAATAATATTTCCGTCGAATCATTACTATCTATTGATACCAACCATCAACAACGTCATGTTTTTGACAAGGTTGCTGAATTTGACTCAACATTTATTTACAAAAATGATTTGTTTAATCAAATTTATTCACCATCAAAATCTGATTTACCCATCAATGGTAGTGCCACTAACAATAGTAATAGTTTTCATGGTATTCCAAGTATACCTATTGGTAAACAACAACAACCACCAATTCAATCACCACAAACACAATCAAACAATCTTGGTAATTTAGTAATTGCATCTCCACTTTTATCAACCAGCAACACCAACAATAACAACAACATTGTCACACCATCACCACTACTAGTAGAACAACAACAACAACAACAACCATTATCAAACTCTTCATCAAAGATTTTCGTTGGAGGTATAACTTTTGATGATCTCAATATTTATGCCGACAAGGACGACTTGAGGCGACTAAGAACTAGTCACTTTTTGTCACTGTTTCGAGAGTTTGGAAATATTGTTCGTGTTCAAGAGTTTTGGGATGAACATAAAATAGTCATCACCTATGAGACAGAATCTGATGCCAAAAAGGCCTTCTCTACACTAAAGTCGGCTGCTACCAAAACCTACTTTATTGACAAGATCAAACAAAACCTTCAGATTCTTGGCCTTCCATCAGTTATTGCTCCAAATGACTTTTTTGTTAGAAGATCCACAAAACCAACTAGTTTGGTCACTCCACTTACTACTACTGTAGCACCACTATCCACAGCACCTTTGGTTACTGCCACTACTACTGCTACTTCAACTATTCCTGCCACCATGGTAGCTACAGTCATAAATAGTACTCCAACTTCCCCTCCATCATCACCAAGTAAACAACATTTTCATAGCAACAACAATAGGCAATCATCATCCTCGTCAAATTTAGCCACTACATCTATAGCACCAATCAAATCATCATCGACATCTTTCAACAAAATGAATAGTAAAAAGAAGAGTTATAAATATACAACAGATGAAGATGAAGATGACTATGAAGAGGAAACCCAAGATCAACGAGATAGAGATTATTATCAAGATGAAGAGGAAGAGGAAGAGGAAGAAGAAGAAGAAGAAGAAGATGGCTTTTATCACCAGGGAGATGATGAACAAGATGAGTTTAGTACAACTGAAGTTTCAGAAATTGATGATGAGCGTTATAGAAAACAACAAATCATCAACAGAAGAAGACAACACAGTTATAGTAATGGTAGTCGTAGTAGACCTATGATCACTGCCATGAGAAAGAGATCATCTTCATTTGGAAAACAAAGAAGTGAACCATTGATGAGCGATAGTGACTCTAGTATTGTAGAAGCTGCCAGTCTTCATCACCGAGGTGGAGCAGATGGAATTATGGAAAATATATTTTCAGTCAAACATTCAGAGAAAAAGAAATCAAAATCTTTTCTACCTCCTCTTTCAACAATTGCTCATATTTTAGTATCATTTGTTATTTTATCTGCATTGTAAGTAAAGAGTATTAATAATATGTATATTATTTACTAACTTTTTTCTTTTTTAATTTAGTTTTATGAGTCTTCCACAAACTTTACCTCCACAATATAGATAATTATGTTTGAAAAATAAAAAAAACTTGTAAAGGCTTGGAAAATAATTGTATAATTAGTATCATATACTTTTTTTTCAAAAGATTTTATTGTTAAAAACAATCTATTTATATTTATATATATCTATTTTTATTACATTAAATATATTTATTTAGATTTTTAAATTTGATTTGATTTATATCTTTTTTTTTTTTGTTTAAATTGAATTTGAAGTTACAGTAATTAGATAAGTTCTAATATCCATTGGACCAACTTGAATGTTGAAGGAATTTGTTTGATCATTAATTTCCAAATCCTTTGTTGGATAGAGCTTGTAGAGATCTTCCTTGGCTTGTTGGTACTCTGAATTAGTTTGCCATTGCAATCTATTGACACTTGAGAGTTTGGCAACCGATGATAGAGTCATTTCAGTGACCGATGTGACATTGAGATAACTAAACATTCCTGCAATATCGAAATTGATGACAACTGGATCATATGTATCGATACCATCGACCTGGAAGATGTTTTCAAGACGTAGAACAATAGTGTCTTGAGTGTCATCGACCCATTGGAGAGATTGAACCTTGAGACCATATGGAAGATCAGTGGTGAGTGGGGAGTAGGTTCCACTGTAGAGATTGTTCCATACAGAGGCATCCATGTTGCTTTGGGTAAAGGTTGGATAGATTGGGTGTTGGAGTTCCTGAGCAAAATATCTATAGTAGGATTGAACTTGGTCGTTGATTGGATGGAAAATAACACGGGTGGTAGTGACGATTTGGGTTGATTCGTTCATTGGTTCACCAACTCCTCTCCAGTCATCCAACAAGGTACGACGATGAAGCATCATCTCTAGTTCACCATTGCCAAGTGATGCACCACCACGAGAACGATCTACAACAAAGGTGAGTTGAAGGTTCTTTTCAGTGTCTTGGATATAGGAAATGGCATTGATGGGGACATAATTGTCAGAGACTGGTTGTGTTACGTTGAGATCCCAGGTGTCACGGAAGTTGTATACACGTTCTTGCATTTCTTGTCCGTTAGAGTCGGTCCACCAGGTTTGCTTGGTGTTGAGAGAGGTGTTCCATTGAGTGATGACCTCCTTTCCAATACCGTCACTAATGTCGATTGGACCAACTGTTTCTTCAATCTCGAGGTATGGGACACCATCGTAGAGACGGAAGATTTGAATCATGGTTGGTGACCAGTAACGAGTAAGTACTTGGACAGTTGAACCTTGGCTGACTGTTACCTTTACAGTTTGGTTGTTGTAGTTGAATGGATAGGTATTGATGGGACGGAAGATATAGGCACCGGATGGTTGTCCACTGGCACTATCACCGAGCGATGGCAAATAGAACATGTATTGTTGACTGATTTGGATTTGGTCTCCCGATGAGATATTGGTGATAGACATGATACCACCAGTTGCAGAGTCAAAGGTAACAGATACAAATTGATTGGCAAAAATGATATTACTACTTGATGGTTTGATCATCTTTGGTTCAACGTATTCGGTCATGGTTGATTCTTCTTGACCAGAGTTTTCAATGATATAGGTAGAGAAACCAAGAGGTGGGATTTGAGCGAGGAAGGTAAGAACATAACCAAGAGAAGAATTAGAGTTTGGTGTGACTTGAGAACGGACAATTCCATTGGAATCAGAGACGGTGACGTTTGCTACGGGGATGGGGATATTAACATGTTCGAAACGAGTTTGACCGAGTTGATTGTAGAGGATGACGGGTACACTAGTTCCGTGGTTGGTGAGAACAGAGGTGGCAGGACATACTGAAATATTGAGGAATGGACAAAAAGACATGGCTGGACTAGCAAGTGGCTTGAGAGAGTTGGTTGTCAAGAGTGATCCTAGTACATTGTTCATGGCATTGAGAGTGGCAGTGTTACCAATGGCAAGACGGGCAGCATAGTCATCGGCAACGACTTGTTTTTCAGTTCCAGAGACGGCATCGTGGTGTTGAGCTTCACCCATGGCTTCACGAAGTGGCATGATAGAATCAATGTAACTTTGGACGTTTGGAATGTCAGCTTGACCAGTAACCAATAGTTGTTCGGCAACATGAAGCAATTGACTGTTTTGACGAACGTATCCTTTGAGGGCTGGACGACTAACAAAGTAACCGGTCCAATACGAGTAGGGGTCATCGGCGTATGGGAAGAAATCGTCAGTCTTGACGTCCCATACAAGATTGGCCTTGTTGACAGCATCAATATAGATTGATGGAGTAGAGTAGATGAGATTGAGACCGTATTGTGGGTTAGAGTTGATATAGTCCATCAACTTGTCAATGTTTTTAAAGTACATTTGAGCGTTCATGTAGGCAAAGTCACATCCAAATGGAATGAGTACATTGTTGGTTTGGTAGTGAGTGGCATATTCTAGTGCAATAGCAGCAAATTCATCTGCACGTTGTTGAGCATTGACATCAAAGAGATTTGGATCAGTCTGCATTGGTGTATCACCTTGTTCAAAATCAAATCCATTTGGAGTACAATACATTGCTCTTAGCACCGATGTAAAGATATCATATTTTGGTTGTGATTTTGATCCTCTCCAAACAAATTCCATTTGTTTATTTTCTAATCTTCCTGCCTAAAAATAAATAATAAATAGAAAATAAATTTAATAAGTTAATTAATTTAATAAATAATAATTTAATCTTTTTCTTACAATATCTTGATAATCAATTCTACCAATAATAAAAGCATCAAAACCCATAGCACCAAACAAAGAAGCTTGAGAAGAACTATGACCAAAAGGATCAATATGCCAGCCAATCTTTGGTACGACACCAAAGTTGTCAAGGATGAATTGATGACCGACAGTCATTTGATCGATGATATCATCATAGTAGGTGGTAGCTTCATCATTCATGCAATAGCCACCATTGATGAATTCAAGTTGACCACTCTTGACTAGACTAGTAACAAGCTTTTGCATCTCTACAGTCTGTTCATTCCACCATCTTTGAAAGTAAGCAATCTCTACATAGATGAATCTTCTATTTGGATTTTGAAGTAGACAAGTGATAGCAGTATCTAAAGTGTATTGAACACCTCCATTAAAATTGGTTAAATTGTATCCATAGTAATATTGATCAACTGTCTTTAACCATCCTACATCCTAAAAAAAATGATCATAAAAAAGGGTTAAAAAAGATAAAGAAAGATAAGATGAGATTTTTTTTTTTTTAGATTATTTTGAAAAAAAATATCTTTTAATCTCCTATCTGATCAATTGTAGGAGCTAACTCTTCTATTATACTTTTAAAATTTAACTTACATCATGAGTATGAGCAACAATGTGAACATTTAAAACAGATGATTCTGGTGGTTCAATCTTTGGTTTATTTGATCCTTTGTAAAGTGTTTTACGTGCTTCGATCAAAGTAGTTGATGAAAATAACAATATTATTGTTGCAAACAACAATAAAGTTTGTTTGATCATCATTTGTTTAGATATATAAAATAAGAAATACTAATAAATTATATACAGATAAATAATAATAATAATTATTGTGTGTTGTTGATTCGCTTTAATTATGAAATTGATTGATGAAGAACCTGTTGTTTCCTTGGTCTGAAAATTTATTGTGTCAATAATTCAATTCCCACGCTACCACACACAATCTCTATCCATTCCCCCCCCCCTTTTTTTTAAATATCTTTTTTGAGTTGTTGTCCTGTATCAATATTTTATTTTATTTTATTTATTTTTGATCATTTTTAACGGAGTCCTTGACCCTGGTGGGAAACAAGCGGAACCGGTTATATATATATTATATATAAAATAGAATAAATGTATGATTGATGATGAGTAGTCGTCGTCTCTAGAGTTTGTATTGTTTTGAGCAAGGATCATCTTTTGAGGATGCTGCAAATCGGAAAAGGGTGTTTGGGATAAACAAAGAATTATTTAATTCTAAATGTGCAAATAATGTAGTTTGGTTTGGTTTGGTTTTGGTGAAAGAATAATATGATTGAATATTAAGTGTGTAATATTGATTTTTGTTGTTGTTGATGATTATTTTCTTTTTTTTCTTTTTTTTTCTTATTTATACATTTTTTTGATATCAATCTCTCTTAATAATGCTATCTTTTTTTTTTGTTTTGTTTTGTTTTGTTTATATAAATATCTATATTATTATTATTATTGTTAAATGGTTTCTAACCATCTACGTGTCTGTACATGAAAGATTATTATTATTATTATTATTTGCTCTTGTTATAATTATTGTTGTTGTTGGTCATATTAATTCTTATTTTTGTATTATTATGATTTTGGTTGGCGCTTGTAGATATTTGTTGGAGTTGAAGTGGTTGTGGTGGTTGTTGTGGCTTGTAGGTCATCCTCTTGATTTGAGGTTGTTGATATTCATATTGAGGTAGTTGTTGTGGTGGTGGTGGTGTTGGTGGCGGCGATTGTAATGGTGATGGTGTTGTTGATATAGATGACATCATCATCATATTACTATTACCATTTCCATTTCCATTACTATTTATAAAATTAAAAGGAATATGATCACCATTGATATTACTTATATAATCAATAGATGAATGACTTTTAGATTTTGGTGATGTGTATGCACCATGTCTAAAAAGTTGTTGTTGTTGTTGATGTTGTTGATGTTGATGATGTTGATGATGATGATGATGATTGGATTGCAAAAAATGTTGTTGTTGAGTTGTCGCAGGTGCAGTTGGTGGTGAAAGTATAGGTGATTGTTGAAGATAAGAAGAATTTTGTTGTGTACAAGATCCACCGCCACCAAAACCATTACCATTAACTCCAGATTTGAAAAGTTCTTCCAAACGTGGTGGATGAGGTTGATGTTGTGGAGGAGGAGATGTAGGACTTGAACCACTTCCGTAAAGAATATGGTGATGGATATTTTGTTGTTGTTGTGATAGTTGACCATTATTATTATTATTATTACCACTATTATTGTTATTGTTATTTGAGTGTTTATAGTCTTCCAAAACTTTTTTAAGATCGTTTAATTTTTTGATTTGATGGTCGAGATGGTCTAGATCGATGGAGGGACTATTAATCCAGCCTCCTGCGTCTTCCCCGTTTGGGCCTCCACCGTGCATCCCACCGTCGGCAGTGGCAGAAGTCTTCTGAGACATGACAGAAGCAATCGGTGGTGGAGATTGGATGGTATCGATCATTCGAGAACTGCTGTTTACAGATGAGGGTATGGGTGAAGGGTTGTTGTTGTTGTTTGAAAAACCATTGCTAATGCTTGCTGGTAATAAATAAGATGATGAAGTATTTGAATGGTGATGAAGATGGTGATGATGATGATGATACGATGGAGTACCAAAATTACTGCTATTTTGGTTGTTGTTTGGCGTCGAAATAGGTGATAAACTATTTGGTTGAAATGAAAATTGACCACCATTTTGAAAGTTTGATTGTTCCCCAATATTATTAATATTAACACCACTATTATTATTATTATTATTGTTGATTAACATATTTTGTTGTTTTGTTGATAATGTTGGTGGTGAAGGAAAACTTTGTTTGTTGTGTTCGTATGAGGAAAATGTTGGTTGATATTGGATTGATTGTTGGGAAAATTGGTTCCACGATGAACCAATTCCGTTTCCACTGTTATTTAAATTATTATTTTGTAATTGGAATGGTTGTGATTGGTGTTGTTGAACGTAGTTGTGAGGTGGGGGAGGTGGTGAACGATCACTTGGCATGGCCAAATTTTGAAGGGATCTTGATAGATTGTTGATTGCGTTGTTGTTGTTGGAAGAAGAGGTAGTGGTATTGACGATTGGAATTGGTGCACTCGAAAAGAGATCATTGAGTATTTGAGGATCACTAAGTTTGAGTGAAGAGGTGGCGATGGTACCGTTGCTGTTAACCATGGATGGCATGGCAGCAGCATTAAAGGTGGGCGAAAATACTTGTGGTCTCTTTGTCTTGTGTCCAGTCGTCTGACTAATGCTTGCCAATTTCTTTTTAGAGTAGGAACAATGTAAAACAGTACCTTGAACTGTATTTTTTGAAAAGAATTCAATAGCCTTGTTGGCAGCCATCAATCCATTGTCTGAATCTTTAAAATGAACAAAACCAAAACCTTCATAATTTCCATTTTCACTCTTTGGTATATTACAATGATTAATCTTTCCAAATTCTCTACATTGTAAAAATATATATTTATGAAAATCAACACATGCCTAAAATAAAATAATAATAATAATAATAATTAAAAAATGTTTGTTTTTGTTTTGTTTTTTTTTTTGTTTCTTACACTTTGAGGATCAAAAGTTATATGTATACTAGTTCTTTGATCATAAGAATCACCCCATTTTATATGAATTTGATTACTTCCAAGATAGACACCATTCAACTTTGCCATTGCCTTTTCGGCATCAGCTCTATTAATGAATCTAATAAAAACATAATTGTTGATGAAAACGCAATCTGTATAAACTAATGGACCAAATACACTAAAATAATAATAATAATAAAAAATTGTAAATATTATAATAAGTGTTTGGATTTTTTTTTTTTGGTGAAATACAAACCTAAAAGCTGAAAGAATTTGATTTATATTCATAGCAGTATCTAAATTGGTGACATATAATGTTGATATGGATAATGCCTCCAAAACATCTTTTTCTGTCTATAAATAAATAAATAATAAATAATAATGAGTAAACTTGGAATTTCTATTTCATCCATCTTTTTTCCTTTTTGAACTTACCATTGCCAAAGATCCTTCTAAAGTAACATTAATGATTAATATTAATGTTGATCAGATAAATTAAATAAAAAGGTAAATAATTAAAAAATAAAAGAGAAGGAGATTAATAATAAGATTATTGAAAAAAGATAGAATTGAATAGAGGAAGAGGGGGGTATAGGTAGATAGAAAATGAGATGTTTGACATGCTATATCAAAACAATGTTATTTACTTACTTTGTTGTTGTTGTTGTTGTTGTTGTTGCTGCTTTGATTTGGTCATTTTCGATGATGATAATGTGGGTGTTGGTGATCCGCTATTTTTTGGTGGGGTAGTGATGATGCTACCGTTGGGGTTGAAAAATTGGATTGGTGGCGATGATGATAGTATCGTGGTGGTGGTATTGATTTGATAGTGTGAAGAAGATGACGATGACATTTGGGGTGAATTGTGTGTCGCCGTATTGTCACCACTACCACAACTAGTATTGTTGCTGATACCGCTGTTGGACGACACCGATGTTGACGATGTCGACAGAGGAGACGAGCTGGAAGAAGAAGGTGACGACAGAGGTGGGCTGGTCGAAGGATTAGTCGCCATTTTTTTTATTGGTTGATTGTTGTTGCTGCTGCTGTTGCTGCTACCTGCTGCTACCTGCTGCTGTTGCCACTGGCGATAACTATATATCTCTGCTCTATTCTATTTCTGGAAAAAGATGGAATAAAGAGTCTTTTTTTCAAAAAAAAAGGTATTGTGTGTCAATATAATATTATTCTCTCTCTGTACTGGATAGTTGATTGATTGTGTGTGTGTCGATCCTAATTTTTGGAGTTAAAAAAGAGTGATGATGAGATATTCAAATTGATGATGTTATTTGGCCGACAATGTATGATGTTATATATTAAATATAGATATATATATATATTAATATATATATATATTTTACAAAAAAAAAAAAAAGAAAAAAGGAGAGAGGACAATAATAATAAGAACAAGAGATTGTTGGGTGATTGTTGAGGATACCTCTATTCCTCTTCTTTGTCAAAAGGTAACAAACAATATATTGTTTGATATTGTTTTGTTTGTTGTTGGGATATCTTTTAGAAGTGGGTGGGTGCATGTCGTGAACACAATTTAAATATTTGTTGATGTGTTGTTGGGAAATTTGATACGGAACAGTCCGATGTTTGTGTTTCAATTCCGCCACTGCTGTTGCTTTCTGCTGACAACAAATTGATCAGATGATGATGTTGACTGAGTTGATTTGAGGTTTCACAACCAAACCATATGAAAATTGTGGGTTGGGGTGTATGTCGTGATACGCTGTCGATCGTTTGTTACTATGTTTTTGGTGTTGCAATCACACTCTTTGGGGGTTTTCAATCCAAAATTGTATCACAATGTGTGTGTTTGTTGGGTGAAAATGGATAGGTGTGTGTGCGTTGGTGTAGATGACAGTTGTGTATTTTTGAGAACTGAGTTTGTTAATGCTCTATAGATCTTCTTTTAAAATGAATGAATTGTTGTTTGATGGATGGATGATGATTGTTAATCTTCACAAACGGTATGCTGCTTTTTTTTTATTTTTGTATCTCCTTTGTTGTCTTTTACTTGTTTGTATCTATCTGCTCACTGTTTTGTTTATTATTATCTCTTTGGTGTGACTTACTCTCTCTCTTTTTTTATAACAGCGCAACAAAGCTTATATATATATATACACACACACCCAACAGCAGTTTGAGGTATATGCGGAATGGTGGTTTGTTGTTTGAAAATATTATCAATACAATAATATACTTGCTACTACTCTGCTATTACCTGCTACTACAATATTATTATTATTATTATTATTATTATTATTATTATAACTATATAGTAGAGAGTGTTTTGTTGTTCACCTGTTGCGTTGTTGTTGTTGTATATTTAGATGAAGAGGTAAGGTAGATGTGGTTGGTATACAAACAACTATAGGGTTGGTGGTATCTGAGCTCAGCTGAGGAGGAGGAGGAAGGGAGGACCAAAAGTAAGTATCAATGTTTGTGATAACCAATACAAATCAATGAACTAACAACAGTTAACTAGTTAGTTACGATGATGATGGATGAATAGATGATGATGTGATACACATAAAGAGGGTTGGTTGGTATCAAAGGTTTAGGGTAAAAGATGAAGTTCTTTCTTTGCCGACAATACGAAGAAGACGGCGATGATGTTTTTTATAGTAGGCCACATTTAAATAATGGGAGGGAGGGGTTAGACTGCAGTGTGGATCTTTTGAAAAGTTCTCGATTATTGTTCACCTCAACACACCAAGGTATGTCATCACATCGTTCACAAACAGTTTCCATTCAATTCAACTAATCATTGAGCAACCTAAAAATAAAAATCGTATTATCCGTTTGCAGGGTCATATATATTTGTGCAACGTGGGGCATAGCATCAACTCTATTAAAAAGTTAAAACTGGCAAAATCTGTTGTCGACAACAATTTATTTTTCGACCTTTTTGAGGTAATTCCGCTTTGGGAACAACAACTTCATTCCTAAGCTTTGTGATCTCTTGGAATGGAGGAGGAGGATGGCCCTATAGAACCATTATCCCACTGCTGGGGCAATATTGTTAATTTCATACCGTTTACTTTTAACATCATTGTCCAAGTTTCTTATCATCAAAGGTTGTAAAGACGATTCAATAAAATAGCATAGCATCGGAGTCAGTTCCTGAGGTTGTTCCAATAACCTACAAATTGACTGAGCCAACGACAAATTCAAAGGAGAAAGTGAGAGAGGAAGTGAGAGAGGAAGTGAGAGAGGAAGCGAGGGTGGATGAGGTTTGACAACCAAAGGAGATGGTGGATTCAATTGATTGTTGTTTGGTTGAATGGGTGTTTGTGAAAATACTACTACATTACTACTAATGCTAATGCCAGTTGCAACAGAAGTAGGAGCAAGAGTAGGATTAGGAGTAGGAGCAACACTTGAAGTGGTAGGTGGTTTGAACATCAGAGGTCGACAAGATGGAAACATTTGAGAGAATGGGGGCTTGATTGATCTAGTCTCTCGAGTGTCCAAGTATCTACTGGCAACGAGGCTAGTTTCAGTTTTCTTGTCACTCTTTGAAATGACCTGCAACATGTTTAGTTGTTTCTTGCCAACAATCGACACTTTAACATAGTATCTAGCACGACTCCAATTCCAAGAAGACTGTGTTGGATTGTCAACGTCAATACCAGTACTGCCACCGTAACTACCTGGATGATGAAAAGTGATCTCTTTTGAGGGAGCGACAACATACTGAGCTAGAGTGTTTATGATCGTCATTTGTGATTCTCGAGTAGACTGTGTTTCAGATGATGAATAATAGTGATTGACAATTGTTGTGTCAAACAAATCATCGTTTTGATTGTTGTTTGACATTCTACTACTGTGCGTTGTTAATGTTTTAAAAGTTCTAAAACTAAAAGAGTTAAATATATATTGTTATAAATTTTAGTGTTAGAGATAATTAAATCTAAAGATCATCACTTTTTTTTTTTTCATCAATGAGACAAAAAGGTGAGATAACATTAATTATTAATTAATTCTTAATTCTCAAACAACAATAATAACAACAACAAACGATGATGAATAGGCAACAAGATTTAAAATCATTAATGAACAAGACCAGGGCAACCTCGAATAACAACAACAATTCAACGAAAACGACGACGACGACAACAACAATAGATTCTCCTTTTGCAAAGTATGTTTACATTTATTGAATGACACTTTGAAATGACATTGATAGATACATCTACTCTATACTTTTATACATAAAATGTATTAATCTAATCTATTTTGTCGCAGTTATAAAAATGGTAAATTAACATGTATTCTATGTAACTTTGGTCTAAATAATGAATCATTTTGGAAGGTTCATTGTAACTCCAAGAAACATCGTGATGCTTTGGATGCACATCAAAAACAATCATCTTCTTCAACAATCGTCGATCAAGATAAAACTATAAAGAAATTAAAGACTTTAAATGGAAACAACAAAAATAATAATAATGTCAACGTTCAAAAGGAGGAGGAGGAGGAGGAGGAGGAAGACAAACAACAAGATGATATACAACAGAATCTTCCTAAAGGTTTCTTTGATGACTATAATGATAAAGTAGAAGAAGAAGAAGAAAAGGAAGAAGAGGAAGAAAATAATAATAATAATAATAATAATAATAATAATAATAATAATAACAATAATAATAATAATAATAATAATTTCAATAATGGTAGTATGCCAGCAGGATTTTTTGATAACCAAGATGAACAATTAAAGGCAGAGGAAGAATTAAAGAAACAACTAAAGTCAAATCAAGAAGAAAAGATATTATTGGATAGTATGGCAGAGTTTGATGAAGCAATCAAACAAGGTCAAGAAGATCAAGAAAATACAAATTTAGAGTCATCTGGCAATGATGATGACCAACAGAAAGAAAATAATGGTGATGATAATGAAAATGGAAAAAAGAATTTATTGGATACCATACAATCTGATGAAACAAATCAAATACAATCTAAAATCAATGAATTAAAAAGAAAAAGAGATCATGTAAAGAATTTGGTTAAAGTTAATCAACAATCTACAAATAATAATAATAATAGTCAAAAGAAAAATGAACAGGAAGAGGATGAAGAAGAAGAAGAAGAAGAAGAAGAGGAAGAAGAAGATATAGAACAATTATTTCATTGGGGATCGAAAAGGTAATAAAATAAATAAATAAATAATTGTAAATATATATATACAATAGAGAGAGAGAGAGAGAGAGAGAGAAATGGTCAAGATGACTAAAGTCTCGACAATCTTTTATCAAACTCTTTAATAGTTTCAAAGATAAAATCAAGTTTTTCATTGTTGAATGACCATTTTGAATGATTTTCTTTGACATAGGTAATACAAGAACCTTGATTTAATTCTTGACTAATAGCTGACCAATCTGACACCATCTCAACTATATCCAACACATTCATTTCATTTGGATGATTATGAGATTCTGGATGATGTCTATTTGAATGTAGATGATGATGACATGCATCCCTTACCATCGTTTCAATCGATTTGTTTGCATATTGAAATGGAATGTTTAGATTCTTGCAACGATGAAACCAAGTCAACTGTATGTATCCAGATAGTTCAGGTTCTTCATATTTTGATTGATCGTGAATGATTGCTCTATTTTTCAACTCTTCAACGCTCAATCCACCGTAACCTTGCATCAACATCATATTCCTTGTCACCAACTCTATATGATATTTTGTTCTTTGTTTAAAGAATTCAATCATTTCTTTTGTTGTTGTTGTTGACATCTATCTATTTATCTATTTATCTAATTAAAATTGAATATTAAAACAACACCATTTTTTGAAGGAATCGATTCCTTCTAGGTTTTTTCTTTTTTTGGACACCAAAAATCTTTTTTTTTTTGCATTCCCAGTTGGTTCGCAAATTTGGCTTGATCAAGAGATGAGATGATGATCACCAATATAATATTTCTTTATATCATTTATTGTTATCTCTTCTTTCTCTTTTGTTTTATAGACTAAAAAAGAGATAGATTTAAAGAAGAAAGAAATGAAAGTTACTATCGATTTTACAACATTTCCAAATATACAAACAACCAACACGACAGTTCAAGATGCCTATGAATCTATCAAGACAATGTGTAATGGTCAGAAATCACAAAAGTCTAGAAACGTTGGTGAAGCATTCTCAATGTTGGTTCGTGTATTGATCAGTGCCAATCAATCTACATTGGCTCAACAAGTTGTTGATTATCTAAAATCATTAACTGATAATAATAAAAAGGAAAAGGTAGGTAGTAGTAAAAAAAAAACAAAACAAATTGAAACTATATTTATATTAATCTATTTTATTTATATATTATTTATAATTCTATTAGTCATATCTATTAATTTATGTTTCAGCATTGGTTGGAAGTGGATCAAGTATTGAAAATGCTATTCCTATTTTAGAGGATAGAATCATTTCTGGAGAGATTGAACCATTCCCATCGATTGTTAAACTTCTCAACAGAGCTTATTCAATGAAGCAAAGATCACTTCACATTCTTCGTAAATCTAGTGCTGCTGCTGCTGCTTCATCATCATCGACAACAGACCCAAATAGCTTTACAGTAAAGGGTAGTCTTCACGAGTTTGATAAAAGTTTAATCACTTCAACCATTGACAATCAAAAAGAGATTAAACAAATCTCTGTATCTAAAAAGAAATTCTTAATTTTATGTTTGTAATCAAAAAAAAAAAAACAAAAAAGAATCATTTTAAAAAAAATACTAAGTACTTATTCTTTTTTTTTTTTTTTTTTTTTCTTTTAATAATCTATTTCTATTTTTTTTTTTTTTTTTTTAGATACTGATGGATCAATGATATCATCAAATCAAGAGATAAAGAAAACCAATATTTCATCGATTAGTTGTGGACAAGAAATTTCAATGGCATTGACAAACAATGGAACTGTTATTTCATGGGGTTTAGTTGCCAGACAATTGGCTGGATCTTTTGTTCAAATTAGTTCTGGTCATTCTCATTGTACAGCTGTAGACTCTAAGGGTCGTTTGTTTACATGGGGTGTTGGTGCAGGTGGTAGATTGGGACATGGATTGGATGACAAGATGACTCACGACCCAAAGCTAGTCGACTTTTTCAAGGATAAAATTGTTACCAAGACTGCTGCCGGTAGATTCCACACTGCAGTGTTGACACAACAAGGAGAAGTGTATACGATGGGTCAAAACTATCGTTACCAACTCGGTTATGATGACATTCAAATTCCAATGCACAATGATCAATTACGTGCAGCCATTGACACTTATATCCCAGAGTCTAGCCTAAAGACTGACTTTAAGAACCTACTCAACAATGAATTAAACTCTGATCTCACCATTGTATTTGATCAATCCTCCAAGGTCCACGTTCATCTCATCATGTTGGCTCGTTTCAATCCTGCACTCGTTCCACTTTTCACAAAGTTTAAGCAGATCCAAACGATTGATAGTGACACCTTTTTTGAGGATATTTTCAAAGCAACTCATGTCGGAGATGACAAGTCTACCATTGGTACCAAGGTACCTTTAAACCAAAACAATTTACTCAATTTCCTTGGTATTGCCTATGGAATGGAAGCACTACCAACCAACTTGCTTCCATTTGCCGATATTTTCAGAGGTGAAGTATTGGATCACGTCAACAATAATCATAGCAAGAGAAATCTTCAAGTTGCTCTCTCTTTTCCACAGACAGACTTTACGACTGTGGATCCATTCTCTGATGTTCATCTCTTTATTGTCAATGCTACCACTGGTGTACGTACAACCTACTATTGCCACAAGATTGTACTTCAATCTAGATCGATGGGATTCAACAGTTTGTTGAGTGGTGAAAACAACAAACCAGCAGGTACTGCCATCCTCCAAATCGAGATCAAGCCAATCTATGAGAGTGTATTGGTCAACTTTTTGAAATACCTCTACTATGACTCTTTCAAATTGGATACCAAATCTACCAGTGGTAACGATATCCTACGTATGATCTCACTTTGCACAGAGTATCGTGTCGAAAGACTCAAAGCTGGTTGTGAAAAGTTGGTTATTCACTCGGTCGACAATAACAATGTCTCGCCACTACTCCAATTTGCCGTAAAGAATGAAGCCAACAATCTCATCTCTTACTGTGTCGACTATATTAACCTCAACAAATCAACCTTTACCAATGAAGTTGTACAACAAAAGTTCCCAGCCAACATCCAATCTCACATCAACGCCAAGCGTTTCTATAATGTTCTCCAAGGTGGTCAATACACTCCTCGTCAAGTTGATTATTTTAAACAAAATTCAATCTTTGTTGCCGATATTGAAGCTGGTGATAAAATGTCAATTGCTCACGATGAAGATGGAAATGTCTACCAAATGGGTATTGGTTCAAATCATACCAAAGGTTATCCAATCATTTCTAAATTTTCTTCAGACATTTTTACTGCTGGTACTGACAAAAACAAACCACGTATTGATTCAATCAAGGCTGGTAGTTCACATGTTGCCATTCTTTTGGATAATCAACAACTTTATTCATGGGGTGCTGGTTTCCTTGGTCAAGTAGGTGATCGTAATACTTTTTATCCAACACCAATCAAATCTGAAAACACCAATGAGATTTATAATTCAATTTCAACCGGTCCTTATTCAACTTTATCTTATAATGGTAGGAATAATAGAACAAAAAAGAGAAAAAGAGAAAAATAATATATTAATTAATTATTTTATTTTTTATTTTAGATAATGAATTAAAAAAAATTCAACAAGAAGAAAAATTAATTGAATCATCATCATCATCATCATCTAATGAAAAAGTATCAAAAGAGGAAATGGAAAAGTTTTTCGAATCATTGAAACAACCAGACTCGAACAAGGTGTTGATTGAATTGTTTACCGACAATAGAAAGTCAAGCAACATGATGGATATTCTTTCCAACAAGGTTGAGACTCTTTCTGTTACATCATCAAAACTCTCTGACGAGGAATCTTCTTCCAATATCACTACTAGAAAGCTTTATGTTGATGCCAAGATTCTACCAGAAGACGCTCAAAAACTCATTTCCACCAGTGGACCAGCAGCAGCAGTTTTAAGAATCTATGGTTACGATTACCAAGCTCTTCAAACTGTCATTTATTTCTTGTACAAGGGTACAGTTGCAGTTGAAGGTGATATTGTTATTGAAACAATTGCCCTTGCCACTCTTCTTGGTGCCACTCATTTGTACTATAAATTGTCTGGAATGGTGAATCAAATGATGAATGCTGAATTGGCCGTCTCTATTCACAAGGCTTATCTCTCAAATCCAGCAACCAAACAATTGGTGCCTCCAAATATTCGTTGTGCCGTTGCCAACTTTATGAAACATCATAAATCTAGATGTTCAAAGTATCTTTAAAATGAATTAATTATATAAATAGATTAAATAAATAAATAAATAAAACAAAAAAGATTCTTTCATTAAATCAACCAAATAAAGATAATGTGCAAAAGTTGAGATAAAAGATATCTTATAATAAGTATTATATATCTCTTTATTATTATCTTTATTATTATTAATTAACTATATTTGAGTATTATTGATATTGTAAAAATGGGTGCAAAAGCTACAAAAAACAGTGTAAACACATTTGGAATAATTGAATCCTAAAAAAAATGTTCAAGTGGATAAAAAGTTAGGAAAGCTTTCTACTGCAAGTAGAAAATCAACATTATCTTTTTTAATTATAATTGATTTTCTATTGTTTGTTTATTTTATCTTTTTTCATACATACCATCTCTTCTTTGAAAAATAAACATACGTGCATGTAATACTGGGTATCTTTTGAATTGAATTGTAGAATTATCATCAAATGGTAGGATGATACTAATAACGATTGATTTCTGCTGGGATGTCGATGGGTGGAACCGTCATTGTAGAGCAGGTGTAAAGATATTGGCGATTTCATACTGTCTCTCCATCGGTACCTAAATATTTATAGGAAAATCCTCGTCCAATATATCTTCCAGGTCTAAGTTCATTATTATTATTTCTTTATTCAAGATGTAAATAAACTAATTATTATTTTTTGTTTATTTGATAAAACAACATACAATAATAAAGTTCCACTCTCTCTTGACGAGATAATTTGTTTACACTGTTTTTTGTAGCTTTTGCACCCATTTTTAAATTTCTAATAAACTTTTGAAATGAAAGATAATATTTTATTATTTGATAGGAAATTTAAAGAAAGGAAGAATTGATGAACAAAGAGTCTGAAGAATACCTCTTTTTATAAACTCTAAACAACCAATCTTTTAATATGTATTTCACTATTCAATATTTTTATATACCTCTGATGAGGGAATAAAATATTCTTCATTTCGATTCTTGTCAAGAAACAATTTATAGATAACATTTCTATTTTCAATTAGAAATTTTTTTTAGTTCTTTTAGAGTTTTAAATTAACAAATTTGGAAAGTGATGAGAGGGAAGTGGAGAAATATTGGTGAATGAGAAATATATTTTTAAACAAAAGAGAAATAGTGTTTTCTTTTAAAGGTAGAGAATGATGTGATTACATCCATCCATCATTGGGTAAATTTCTCAGGTCTTTAACCCCTTTGGAAAACCCCTTCCTTACTATTGTGGTTCTGGGGAAAGATTAAAGAGACGGATGGGGACATTATGCACAATGAGGGTAGCAATTTGTTCATCTACAGCATTTGAAAATTGGAATCCTTAATATTTGTTTGAAAGTGGATAAAAAGTTAGAAAGCTTTAAAAGAAGAGTAGAAATTCAAATATCTTTTTTTCATTCATACCATTTCTCTCTTGAATAAAAAAATTAAGTGAATGTAATACAGGATAACTTTTGAATGGAATTGTAGTCATATCATCAAACTTATTATAGATGATACTAAAATAGTGATTAATTTTTTTGAGGAATTGCCATCGGTGGAACAGTCATCTGAGAGCAGGTGAAATAGATATTGGCAATTTCATACCTTCTATACATCGGTATATCTTTTCTAAATATAATATTTAGAGGAAAATATTTGTCCAATATCTCCTCCTCCTCCTCCTCCTCCTCCAAGTCAAAGTTCATTATTATTATGAAATTTATAATTTATTCTCTTTGGTTGTTTTTTAACAAAATAAAAATAATAAAGCCCTATTGTCTAGAGCTCTATATTTGTTTATTTTCTTTGCTAACTTTTGCACCGATTTTTAAATTTCAAGTAATCTATAGAAAAGTATTTATAATAAAGATAAAAGATATTATATTATTATTTGATAGGTAATTTAAAGAAAGGAAGAATGTAATCTCTAAACCTTAAATATTTTAATAAGCATTTCTCTTTTTCATTATTAATATTCGCCAATATATCAAAGAGTGGATAAATCAATAAATTAAATTGATAAAAAATTAAGATGATGTATCGAGAGAAAGCTATATTTATTGCATTTTTTGTAATGGAGAACAATTAAAGAGTTAAGGAGCAGTTGAAGTTGGAAGTGATATTGTTATTGAAACAATTGCCCTTGCCATTTGTAACAATAAATTGTCTGGAATGGTGAAACAAATGATGAATCCTGAATTGGCGCTCTTTTTAAAAATAAGAATATCTACAAATAAACATAAGATTAATAAAGAGAGAAAAAGTAGTATTTTTAATCTTAGATTTGGTTAGGGTCAAATATGAAACAAATTTATATTTAAGAACTTCCATAAGTCTGGGGTCAAATATGAATATATCTTCTTGATAGAGTCGAAGGCGGCAAGAACAAAATTGCCCATGGTACGAGTCTTACCGGAAGAGGAGGTATAAACATCCTCAACACCAGCGTATTGGAGAAGTACCTTTGGGGTACGGGCAGCAAAGATACCAGTACCACGTGGTGCTGGGACCAAACGGAGGAGACAGAACCACACTTACCCAGTGAGCGTTTTAGGAAGGGTATTGTTTATTAGTGTCTCTAATGATTTACCATATTGGAGCAAGTACACTTGGAAATTAAACGTTATATAAATAATATTAAAATATAGATATATATTAAAAATTCGTGGTCGACCAAGCGGGAACATGAGTTCATCAAGTAGGGTGAAAGATTTTTGTGATTGACATCGATAGTAGTAGGATAGGAATGATAGATAAACTTGCAAACATTATTATTTTAAAGATCATTCAATCAGTTGACAACAATGTAGATTTAATATGTCTATTGTTAACTTGTAAAAGGTTATACTATACTATTATACACCAGTATAGTAGTAAACTACAATTCAAACATATTAAATACCTTTCAAGAACCTATCAACCAAATGAATCGTCGATCAGTTTTGAACTACTCGCATTTGAAAGTCTATTCAACAATGCTCTATCAAATCAAATAGTATTGTCTGATAATCAAGATACACTTCCATCACTCAATAGTCATCTTGTAAACGACAACAACAACAACTCAACTCTACCTGATAATATATCACTAACTATATCAACAACCAACTTGGATGATATCAGAGTACCATCAACAACAACATCTATTAATATTTCACCTGTAGAAGGCGCATCATTACCGTCAACATTATTTCAAGGTATTGATAATCTTCAACATTTAACCTTCTCTACGGAATACACATCTCCAGAGAGACTGTGCAAGATGCCAGATACTCTGCTATCATTTACAATGTATTACCAGTATCCATCTTCTATTGAAGGAGGAGACGTGTTTCCATTGGGAATACAGAACCTGTATCTATCGTCGGCCTTTGGAGATAATATACCAACACCACTAAACGATCTTGGTCTCGAGAAACTAAAGTCACTCAAGTCATTGGATATTTCACCAGTCTTTGTTCGACAACTCATCCCTCACACATCCTCTTCATCATCTTGTCCATTCCATTGCTTCTTACCAAGTTCATTGACATCACTCAGCATTGAGTTTGAAAGTACCGTCCCTTCCAGGTTCTTCCAATCACTTGTATCCCTTTGTCAACTCATTCTCAGTTGCCGAAATGATCAAGATGATGACTTGTTCTTGGATATCACACATCTCCATCATCTCGACACATTTTCATTATTTCCCCGTCGAGCTCTTGGCGTCTCCTCTGTCAAGCTACCTCTGTCAAAGTCACTCAAAACTCTCCGTCTCTCAAAGTGTACCAACCTCTCAACACAGTTTTTCCCAACCACTTTGACAAGTCTGAGACTCAATATGTTTTTTAGACCAACCGACTATCAAGCAATCGAGTTACCAAAGTCGCTCACCCACCTCTTTTACATTGGAGATTTGGTTCCAGTTGGATGGGTTCCAGATAGTGTAAAATTATTATCAATCTCATCTTACGATTCAAATAATATTGAAATAATTCAAGGATCAATACCATTGTCAATAGAGACTCTTATCATATCCAAGTATGATGGGCCGACAACATCAAAGTATCTCCCAAATTCGATCAAACAATTGACTTGGGATAGACAGAGTGATACTCAAACACTCCCTACAAATTTGGAGAGTTTGATTTGGAGACAACCCACTCCTCATAATCATTCTTGTATATTTCCACCAACCATTCAACATATTGAATACCCTGGTGTCATCACATTCCCCCTCCCTCCTTCTCTCACCAGTCTATCATGTCAACTTGATTCAAATTTTCTCATCAATAATTCATATTATTCAATTTCAAAGTTTAACTATCAACAACAACAACAACAACAACAACAACAACAACAACAACAACAACAAGACAACAAACTATTACTACCATCAAATCTTGGAAAACTAATAATCGAAACAAGAGATATTTTTAATATTGATAATATTTTAAAGTTTAGTTTTAGATTGGATCAAGTGATCAACCAAACAAATATTGAAAAATTATCCATTACTCTTTTTGGAAGGGTATTGTTTAAAGCATCAATTAAAAGATTAGATAAAGATAATTCAAGTGTATTAATTGTCGACAACAAATCTTTATTTGGTGGTATCATTTGTCAATCGAGAAATTCAAACAACGAATATCCTCCTATTTATCTACACACCAGTAAATTTGATAATATCCCTTCTTGGGGTCATACACTTGAATAAATGTAAATGAGAATGATCTTCACTCTCTTTCTTCTTTAACTTGTGTAACCAAACCACTTACCAGTGTGGAGAGATGATATTTTAATTTGACAAATTGGTTTTGCCCAACTTGTTCATGTATTCTTGTCCAATTGAAGAAATAAATGTATCAAGTCTAACCATCAAACAGTTTTGTTTATAACAATATTTTCCACTTTTCGAACAGGTTTGAATTAATTCAAACCAAAGGTAAGGACAATAGTGAATCTGAGGGCCTTGTTCAGTCAAAGGGCCCAATTTATCTACAAATAAAATTTATAGAGATATAGTTGTATTTTTAATCTAAACAGATAGATAATAGGTTTATTCGTTATTCTTGTCAGCCAAAACCTTAAATAATTTAAAGTAGTATTTATAATCTAAACATAGAGATAATTATGCGAATAATTTATAAAATTTATAGAGATATAGTTGTATTTTTAATCTAAACAGATAGATAATAGGTTTATTCGTTTTTCTTGTCAGCCAATACCTTAGAATGTTGTTGATATGGGGTCTTGGTAAGTGCGGTGACCTTCCATAAGTCTGGGGTCAAATATGAATATGTCTTCTTGATAGCGTCGAAGGCGGCAAGAACAAAATTACCCATGGTACGAGTCTTACCGGAAGAGGAGGTATAAACATCCTCAACACCAGCGTATTGGAGAAGTACCTTTGGGGTACGGGCAGCAACGATACCAGTACCACGTGGTGCTGGGACCAAACGGAGTGAGACAGAACCACACTTACCGGTGATCTTGGTTGGGACAGTGTGTGGAGCACCGAGCTTGTTGCCCCAGTAACCACGACGGACTGGAATGACAGAGAGCTTGGCAGCAATGATGGCACCAGAGATGGCGGTGGCAACTTCCTTGGCACACTTTACACCGAGACCGACATGACCGTTAGAGTCACCAACGACGACGAAGGCTTTGAAACGGGTACGTTGACCGGCACGGGTTTGCTTTTGAACTGGCATGATCTTCATGACTTCGTCCTTGAGGGTAAGGAAACGATCGACGATTTGATGCTCTTTGATTGGCAAAGAGAACATGTAAATGTCATGGATGTCTTTGATGAGACCCAAGTTCACAAGACGACCGAGTTTAGTAACTGGGGTCCACTTCTTGTCGTCACCACCACGACCACCACGTTGTGGACGGGCACCACCACGTTGTGGAGCACCACCACGACGGTCGTTGGTTCTACGGTCACCTCCTGGGGTACGTCTGGCAGCAGTTGAAGCTGGGGTTCTTTGATCGGCGGATTGTGGTTCAGCCATTGCTAAATGAAAGATAAAGTAATGAGTAATATGGGGGTAGGGTAAGGAGAGAAAAGAGTCAGTACAATGATGTGTGAGGAAGCTATGATAGACAGAGATGACTATGCCAAGCGTGTAAGAGTATGATAGAGATAATTACATCTTCTTTCTTTATAGGGGATATGGAACTTTAAAGAATGTCTAACCTTTTTTCAGCAGACAATCACATTTTATCAAAGGTAGGCGAGTGGCAGAGTTGGTTGGTGAGCGTCATCGCAAAATAAAAAAAAAAATTGAAAAAATTCAAATTCTATTGAATCGGGCAAAAAAAAAAAAAAACTAGAGTGATTAAGAGTTTTGTAGAATAAAATATATGAGTAAATTAAATACAATGTATATTAGTAATATATATATATATTATTGATCAAACCACAGAAATTTTTACCTATTACATTATTGAATAAAATAAATCTATTGTAATATTAATAAAGTTAATGTCTTCTCTCAAAGTACCAAAATAATCCAAAACCTAAATATTATTTTAATTCTTTTTAATAAACTATAATTATAATTCATTCATATTGGTCTAATATATATAAAAGATACATGACTCTAAATATTAATTAATTAAAATTTACAAAAAAACAAAAAAAAAAAAAAAAACTCATCATGATCTTCATGAACTTTTTTTGTTGATGTTCACACATTAATTTTGTTTTAATATATATATAAAAAAGAAAGAAAGAAAGAATAGAATCATGATAGAGATAAACTTTGACAAGATATCATCATCTATTGATAGTAATCATGAAGAAGATATCACTAGAGATTTAAAATATCTTAGTACTACCCATTTTGAATTACCTCCAAACTCCAAGGTATGTAAAAATATATTAGATAATAACAAATTTATTCTTTACAACATTACTAATATTACATACCTTTTATATATCTTTTATCTTTTACTTTTTTCTTATTTCTTATTTAAGCCAGGAGAATTTTTAGATCAAGTTTGGGATCATCCAAATGCACCAAAGCCAATTGAAATGGCACATGGTACTACAACATTGGCATTTGTATTCAATGGAGGTGTTATTGTAGCAGTAGATAGTAAGTCTACACAAGGAAGTTATGTTGCATCGAGAACTGTTAAAAAGGTGATTGAAATCACACCAAACCTTTTGGGTACAATGGCTGGTGGTGCAGCCGATTGTTCGTTCTGGGAGCGTGAATTGGGAAGAAGATGTAGATTGTACGAGCTTCGTAACAAGGAATTAATTTCAGTGGCAGCAGCCTCCAAGATCTTGGCAAACATTGTCTATTCATACAAGGGATACGGTTTGTCTATGGGTACAATGATCACTGGCTGGGACAAGACTGGTCCATGTTTGTATTATGTAGATAACGATGGTACTAGACTCAAGGGTCAAAGATTCTCTGTAGGTTCTGGTTCAACCTATGCCTATGGTGTTTTAGACTCTGGTTACAAACCAGACCTCACCGATCAAGAAGCTCAAGAATTGGGTAGAAGAGCCGTCTATCATGCTACTCATCGTGATGCAATGAGTGGTGGTTTCATCAATGTCTATCATGTAAAGGAAACTGGTTGGGTTAAAATCTCTTCAGACGATTGTTTCAAATTATATCAAAAATATTATAATGTTAAACCAATCAATGATAACAATAATAATGCTTAATTAGAAAAAAAAAAAAACAATAGTGTAAAAAGAAATTGTTTAAATCATTTTAATTAATTGTATAAAAAAAACAACAACAACATATAAAATAAATAATATTTTTTTCTATAATTCTTAAAATTAATTAATTATTCTTTTTATTTTTCTATTTCTATTTCTATTTATTATTTTGACCAACCAAAATCTCTATTTAATAGACGATATAATTTTTCATTATGAGGTTTAAAGTAATCAACAAGTAATTGACGAAGTTCAGGGTCCATTGGTTCATGAGGAACAGCATTTTTAGCCTTGAATTGTCCATAGTCAAAAGCGGGTAGTCCAAGGAATTCTTCGACTTGACGGAGGACGTGTTCTGGACGATCGTTGAGATCTTCATAACGAACGAAAAGGAATTGTTCGAGTGGGAAAAAGTCCAACCAATAATCGATTTGTTCATAGTAGAGTGATTTGGCAATCATTCCAAACGATGGATGACCAGAAGTGTGAAGGATATTTCCATGTTGGAAACATTTATCGCAACGAGCACATTCCTTGTAAAATGTCCAATTCTTGTTGGTGTGCAATGTAAAAAATGGGTTCTTGAATTCTTCTTCTGCTGCTTCGTCGATTGGTTCACCAGCCAATTCACGACGTTTCTTTTCATCTTGTTTTTTAATATATTCTTGATTACCTCTGACACAAGTATTGATGACATCAATCTCTTCACGAATCATAGTGTCAAATGACTCTGGATAAGAGATGTGTGGAGCGAGACCCTTGTTATTGTCGATCCATTTGAGTGAAAAATAGTATTGAGAGAGAGCACGATCAACTGGATCACGCATCATCATGATAAACTTTGCATTCCTTAGAGTGGAAAACATACGAGCGGCAGTGAATGGATTGTTAATGTAAAAAGGAGTGGCTTCACCAATCAACTTTGGGTTTTCAAGAGATACGACGGGTTCAAAGTATTGAACGTACCATTCGATACCCTTGTTGTAGTAAGAGTTAAAGAACCACAACTCCTTTTTTGTGTGTTTGGCAACCATTGGATGACGTTGAAGGTAGAAATCCAAAAAGGTAGTACCTGCCTTCATGGCACCAATCACAATAAAGTTGGGTAGACACACTGTCTTTTGGTCCAATGGGAAGCAAGTGTTGGGTAGTGTTGTCTTTGTCTTGTTGATACGTGCTTCTATTTGTAGTTTTTGAATGTGACGATCGGTTGGGTTGGTAAAATAGGGTGCATCGGTTTGTGTTGGTCCACGAATACCATTCTTGGCACCGGTTGCCTCTTGAACAGTGTCATAGATTAGATTCGTCTTTTTAGAGATATCATTCAATGCTCTCTCTTGATCTCTAATCGTTTGTTGTAATGTTTCAATGATAAATTGTTGTTGATCAATTGCTCCTGTTCCTCCTCCATTATTGTTGCATACTTGTGGTTGTTTACTTGTTACATAGATTTGAAATCCAACAATCGATACAAATATAAAAAGTGCTATATATAATAATTTTTTATTCTCCATTTCATATAAAAAATTAAAAGATATATATATGTGTGTGTGTGACTAGGAGTCTTTTGTTCTTATTATCTTTTTATTCTTTGTTGTTGTTTTTTTCTCTATCTCTTTTTTAGTGTTTTATTTATATATATATATAAAGATACGCGCAAAAAAGAGAGAGATGAGATGCGCAACAAGTCAATGTACGGAGGAAATTTAAAAAAACAAGGGATCTGAAAAGTTTGTTGAAGTTTGCACCAACTCATTGAGGAGCGTTTTGTTTTTTTTTTTTTTTTTTCCTGTTTTGTCGGTGGTTGGTCAGTTGTAGACAAAGGATTTGATATCTACCGGGCTAGATATTTTTATCTATTCATAGGCCAGCTTGTATGCATACAACTAAAAAATCATAACTATGTTTTCTATTCATGATCGGACAAATATCTCTCTCTCTATCAATAATAATAATAATAATAATAATAATAATAGTTGTGTGTGTAAAACCGATCACCAAGGAGATCCATAAGATGTCCTAATAATAACCATCAAACTCTTGAAAGTTGTTGTTGGATTTCTAACACTCGTTGGCCAAACCCATCCCAAATAAAAAAATTATATGAAAAAAAAGTTTTTTTGTTTTTTGGTGAATTTTTTCGTGGTGTTTGGTGAAAGCAATTGAAATCATATTATTTATCTCATTGTAATAATTCTCTCATAATTTATTTATTTATTTCTGGTATGTTCAAAAACTAAAAAAGAAAAAGAAAAACTAGTACAATATTATAGAGATGATTCAATGCCACTAGTAATATAGAGTTTGAGAAAAAAAAAAAAAAAAAAAAAAACATATCTCTCTCTCTCTCTCTCTCTCTCTCTCTCTCTCTCTCTATATATATATATATCTTAATCGTTTATTAACTTTTTCTTTTTATTTTTATTTTTATTTCTATTTAGTACTATTAATAAATTCTCAATAACATTTATTGTAATATATATAAAATCTATAACCAAAAGATAAAACAAAAAAAAAAATGGTAACCTATGGATCATCTGAAAAATGTACTTCATGTCAAAAGACTGTTTATTTAACTGAAAAGATTGTAGTTGAAGACAAGGAAGAGAAAAAGACATTCCACAAGGTTTGTCTAAAGTGTTCACATTGCAAGGTTACACTCAGTCTCGGTAACTATGCTTCAATGAATGGCATTTTCTATTGCAAGCCACACTTTAAGCAACTCTTTGCCACCAAGGGTAACTATGACGAAGGTTTTGGCAAGGAAAAGCACACCACCAACTGGTCTGCCCAATCTGCTGGTGCTGCTCCATCCTCTTTTGTTCCAGTTGAGAAATCGGCTGTTGAAAAGAATCAAACCACTGCCAACCCAGATGTCGCCAAGAAGTTTACTGTTGGTAGCTCTGAAAAATGTACATCTTGTGAAAAGACTGTCTACGCCACTGAAAAGGTTGTCCTTGAAGAAACTGATAGTCGTAAAATTTTCCATAAGGCTTGTAAGTACAAAAAAAAAAACAAAAAAAAAAAGATACAAATTATATTTACCTATCCTATCTTGTTTCTTTTTTTTTATTTTATTTTTTAGGTTTGAAATGTTCAGAATGTAAGATTAATCTTACATTGGGTACCATTTCACAAGTTGGTGGATCTCTATTTTGTAAGGTTCATGGAAAGGCTCAAAACCAATCTCAACCAAATGACAGCAAGCCATCAGTTGTCTCTACCGGACCAGCATCATTTGTTCCAGTCGAAAAGACTAGCATTGAAAAGAACCAAACCACATCCAACCCAGATGTCGCCAAGAAGTTTACTGTTGGTAGTTCTGAAAAATGTACATCTTGTGAAAAGACTGTCTACGCCACTGAAAAGGTTGTCCTTGAAGAAAGTGACAGTCGTAAAATTTTCCATAAGACTTGTAAGTATAGAAAGAAAAAAAACAAAAACCATAAAGACAAATTAATATTTACCTATCTTTCTCTTTTTTTTATTTTTATTTTTTTTTAGGTTTAAGATGTTCAGAATGTAAAGTTATTCTTACATTGGGTACAGTTACTCAATCAGATGGACAACTTTATTGCAAGACCCATGCCAAGCTCCCAACCAAGAGAAACGATAACCCATTCCCATACTTGGAAAAGAAGGAAGCCTACGTACCATCGGTTGAAAAGGTAGAACAAGAACAAGCTGCCGCTCAAGAAAGTGAAATGGAACGTTACAAGAGATTGACTGAAATGAAATATGTTGAAGACGTACAACCAAAGAGACCAACTTACCAAGAACAACAAGAAAAGGTAGAACAAGAACAAGCTCAAGTTGAAGAAGAAAAGAAGGAGGAAGAAAACAAGGAGGAACAAGAGGAAGAAGAAAAGGAGGAAGAAAAGAAAGAGGAAGAACAAGTTGCTGTTCAAGAGGAAGAAAAGAAAGAGGAAGAAGAAGAAGAAAAGAAAGAGGAAGTTGCTGTTGAAGAAGAAGAAAACAAGCAAGATGATGAATAAATTTAAAAAAAAAGGTAGTATTTTTTTTTTCTAGAGTTTCAATCTCTCCATTAACACAAACAAACAAAGATCTTTTTAAATCATTCAATTATTTTGAATTGTGTCTACTTTTCTTTTAAAAAAGTTTCATTATTATTTATTATCAATTAGATTTTAATATTTATTTTAATCCAAATCCATGTCTGCTGATTTTGGTTTCTCTGATTCTGGTTGTGGTGGAGTTTGAGTTTCAGCAGAGGAGGCTGGGGCTTCGGTATTTTCAGTGGTTGGAGTGGTTGGAGTTGCAACTGGAACTGGCTTTGGCTTTGGTTTGTTGAGGATAGCATTTGAGGTGGCAGCAATCAATTGCTTCTTGGCGTTGACTTCAGCGATATTGATGAGACAGGCAGAGGTCTTTGGGGTGGCTTCTTGCTTCTTGACGAGGGCATCGATCCATTGCTCAGTGTTGTTACATTCGGTGATGATTTTTTCCTTTTCTTCGGCGGGGATATGATCGTATTTTTCTTGTGGAGTCATTGCTTGTTCACGATAGTGAGCAATGGTGTCCTTGAGTGAACGAACAGCTTCTGGGTATTCTTCATTGTCTTGACGTCTCTTGGCAATTGGATTACCAATCTTGGTCAATTCCTCCAACTTGGCGACGTAGACACTCTTGAGTGTGTCTTCACCATCACCATAGAGCCAGTCTTCAGCTTCTTGGAGCAATGCGAGCAACTTGGTTGATTCCTCCTTGGTGGCGTATTCAGCAAGAGAGCTAGAGAGACGTGATCTCATTTCATAGATGTAACTTTCGAGAGCGTTCTTACGATCGGCAGTTTCAGCGGCCAAAACATCTTGAGCGTGCATTCTACCTTCTTCTTCGGTGGCCTTGAGGAGATCGGCTGGGGAGAGACCATGGACTGGAGCAAATTGGAATTGGAGTGGAGTTTCCTTTACCTTTACTGGTGATGGTTTCTTTACTTCACATTCCTTCTTTTCTTCACCTTCCTTCTTTTCACCTTCGACGGCTTCGCCCATCTTTTGATCGGAATCCTTTGGTGATTGTTCTGGTTGTTGATCCTCTGGTAATTGTTCTACGAGACGAACTTCATCAATGTGGAAGACACCGTGAATGTCTAACCAAACCTTGGCCTTGATGGAACTCTTGTTGGTAAATGCTGGTACATTTTGAACAGTGAGCGATTGGAGGGTACCATAGGTGGTAGAGACAACAATTTCAAATGGTTCGGCCTTGGAGATTGGGAAAGAGATACGGAGTGGCTTTGGTGATGGGACTGGTGAGGTCAAGTTAAAGAGGGCGAGGTTTTGTTGGATAGAGGCACTCTTGAATAGGACACTGATTGGATAAGAGGCAATATCGTTGATGGCAAATTGACGAACCTTGAACAATGGTGACAACATGGCACATTGCAATGAACAACCACGACAGACAGATTCTTCAGGGTTGATGGTCTTGGAGAGGTCACGACCGAGGAATTCAATCAACTTCTTTTGAACAGAGGTTGAACGAGTACCACCACCAGTGATTTCGATAGTGGTGAATTGATCGGCAGTGATGCCACTGGCTTCGATAGCCTTTTTAACTGGGGCAAGGATGCTTTCCAAATCGGCGGCACAAAGTTCTTCAAAGGTCTTACGATCGAGGGTTCCCTTGACGTCCTTGTCTTCCATGAGCGAGTCGATAGAGATTGGGGCTTCATTGTTGGAGCTGATCATCTTTTTGAGACGTTCACAGGCTTGACGAGTACGAATAAGAGCCTTTTTGTTCTCGAAAATGTCAATCTTGTACTTTTGTTTCCATTCTTGTTGGAAGTGTTTGACAAGGGTGTTGTCAAAGTTACGACCACCAACATTTGGTTCATAGGCAGTGGACAATACCTTTAATTCACCCTTTTTGAATGCAACAGCTGCAACAGAGGTAGAGGCATCACCAATATCGATAAACAATACACGAATTGGATCAGTCTCTGGAAGATCCTTGTAAATACCATACGAGAGAGCAGTGGCTGTGGTTTCATTCATAAGACGAGTAATGTTTAAACCGGCAATGGCTCCAGCATTCAACAAAGCTCTTCTTTGGTATTCGGTCCAGTAACCTGGTACTGAAATGACTACTTCACGCATTGGTGTGTTGCTGAATGCTTCTGTAGTACGCTTGAGCTTACCAAGCAAGGCACCAACTGTAGCGTCAGCTGAAATCTCTAATGGTTCATTTAGATAGTTGACATTGAATCCAACTTGTCCATTTGGCAATTCGAATGAACTAAACGATTCTTGTACCAATTCTCCTTCAGAATTCTTGAAATCTGTACCAATAAATCTCTTTAAATTGGTAATTGTATTTCTAATATTTCTTAATTGCTAAATAAATAAATAGATTAAATAGATAGATAAGAGAGAGAAAAAAGAAAAAGAAAAAAATAAGAGTTAGTAAATGTTTATCTTCTTTTTCGTCTTTTTCTTTTTGTTCTTGTTGTTTACATACATTTGTAGCAGCTGGTTCACCCAAATATCTTTCCTTTTCACCAAATGAAACAAGAGTTGGAGTTAGACGATTGCTGACTTCATTAGCAATAACATCAACACCACCCTTTTGAGCAACTGCGATTGTGCAGTTCTTTGTTCCTAAATCAAATCCGGCTGCGAACATTGCTATATATTATATTTATTATTATTGTACTAGAAAAAAAAAGAGAATAAAAAATGTTTATGATGTTGTTTTATCTCTGTACTGTAAATAAATAACGACGAAAGCTCACTCAAAACTCATTCTGAACAAGCAAAAAAAAAACACACAAGGAATCGATTCACCAGTTGGCGAATTTTGCACCAAAACTAGTTAGATTTTCATTTGATTTTCGTTTTTGAAGTTCGTCATCTAAAAAAAAAATAAAAAATAAAATTAAAATTATCGATGACCATAACAGTAATACTTGGTTCAGATTGAGAATATAGTATAAAAGTATATAGTAACTTAAATTAAATTTAATTTTATTATTAATTTAATTATAAAAAACAAACCAAATTTATTTATTTATTACTTACTATGACCTTGAGGGGTGGATCTTGTTTTTCTTTCATTTTTTAAAAGATCAGGAACTTCCAAATTTATAAATCAGATCAACGAGACGTGAGAAAACTATAGATAAATCTCCTGTAGCGGGATCGCAAGGTTTAACGAAGTAGTAGACGAGATTCGAGCAAGGTTTTTTGTTTTTATCAGTCGGCGTGAGTTGATTGAATCAATCCTCACTGAGAGATGTCTGGCAACCCCTCTATCACCCTCACCGTCACACACAACCCACCCACGATCATTGACGTTGTTGCGCTCTCTCTGATCATAATAGTATGAAAACAAGAAAAATTAAAACACATTAACTTTCTTTTCTTTATTATTATTATTATTATTGTTGTTGGGCACCCACTACTCACATCTCTTTCTCTCTCTCTCTTTGATCACACGATACCGCCAACCATCACTTTCAAATTCGCTTTATCACTGTTTTTTAAAAAGAATAGTACATCTGTATAGTAATAATAGAAGTTGTAGTCATTGCAATAGTTCATCGTCAGAGTTGTAAAAATAATAATAATAATAAAGCAAACAATATTAAAATGGCAAAAGAAAAGAGTAAGTATTAGAACCACCTGATGTGGTCACATGACTATATAGTAAATGAGATGTGATGAGATGAGAAAAGTAGAGACACTTTGTAGTTGGTTTATTTCATCTCTCATCATACCTTCCTTCCTTCCTTCTTTCTTTCATTTATTATTATTCGTCTCCAACATACGATATCGTATAATACAAATCGCATCGATTCGCTAATTCTTTTTTTTTTTTTTTTTTTTTTTTCCCCATTAGTAGAGATTGAAATCAGTGATGCTTTAAAGAGATTATTAGTTCCACAAGATGTAGTCGTATCACGATATAAAACTCAAGATGCATTTAGAGATGCACTACAAAGAGGTTTCTTTTTGGTAAAATTTCCAAAAATGTTTGGTATGTAGTAATACTATTTACGGTTACGGTTTTTTTTTTTAAAAAACAGGGTCTGATTGTTCTTTTATCATTCATTATAATCTATCTTATCTTAGGTGGAAGTGAACTGGGAGTTTCATTGGTAAAATCAACACCAAAGGATAAATTGGAATTTGAATGGTTGGGAGATCAAGTCAAAGTCATTGGTAAATTGGAATTCCAAAATGTTCCAACTAAATTTAAAGGTTCTTTTAATCTATCAAATTTAGAAGGAACTGGTTGTTTGGAATTATAAACAAACAAACAAACAAATAATAATAATAATAATAATCATGTAATTATATAGAGGCTTAAAAAATCAAACAAACACAACAACCATCATCATCATCATCAACATAATCGTCACTGTAAAATTTAAAAGTATTCATCCCAACCCGACAATATAATAATTTATTTAGTATTTAATTCAACAACAACCCAACCACCACCCGCAAAGAAGTACTAACACCCAAGACAATAACAATAACAATCAACATCAACCGATGACCAAGTGTCAATATGGCCATATGAACACAAACAACAAAAGCGGCATCTATTTCCGGGACCAATAGTGTATATTGGTCCCCCTTTAGATAATATCAGGCAATTGACCAAAAATCACCGATTTGGTAATGATCATAACTCAAACCAACCAATTTATTTCGCTACCCCCTCCTTTACCAATTTCACTTATGAACCAACACATTTACCAAAATGTCAGTAATTCTAGAAACAAAATAAACAAAACTTATTAATCATTCATATATGGGTTGTATTTTTTTTTTTTTGAATTAATATTATTATCATGTGAATAGGTGATTTATTATTTGTTATTGTTTTGTTGTTTTAGTTTACTTGTTAACAAGCAAGATAAGGAACCCAATGCTAAACCAATTGTAGATCCCATTAAAAGATAATCCATATTTCTATGTTTACCGTATAGTACACTGGCACAAATAACAGCCCCTGTTGAAAGTGAGGCCACAATTTCTTTGCCATTCATTTTTGTTGTTGGTTTGGTGGTGATAGTGGTAGATGATGATTTGGTTTCATCGTTGCCAACGATGGGAGAAACCAATAAAAGTGAACCGGTTAATGCTATGACACCAAAACCATAGATTCCACTCTTTTTAAACATTGATAATACAGTTTGGCTTGATAATTTTCCACCCTTTTCACTGTTGAAAAAGGCAAACAACAATGAAGAAAGGAAAGCACTTCCTCCAAATACCATGGATTCCTTTAATATGCCTCCAATATTATTATTATTATTATTATTATTGTTGTTGTCGTTATTAATATTATTATTAGTATGTTGATCGATATCATTTTCTGGTAGTGGTGTTTCAATAGTATCATGTGAAATTAAATTGTTCTCGTGTTGTGGAATGTCATCGGTTGAGTTTTGTTGTTTGGTTGGAGTTAGGACAGGTGATAGATAGTGATGAGTGACAGTGGTGGTGGTTGTAGTAGAGGTTGTGGCAGCTGGAGGAGGAATAGGAGGTGACTTGTAGTCAACATTGTAGAGTTCAGAGATACCTGCTTCCATTTTTCTAATTTTACATTCCATTCGCATGAGTTGACCAACTTGATCTCCAAGATAGCCATTATTGTCATTTGACATTTCTTGGATTTGAGTTTCGAGTTTTGTAATCTTTGCTTGCATTTCATTTAGTTTGGCCTTTTGATATTCCATTTCTACTAGTAGAATTTCATTTGTTGTCAACAAGTCGGCTGGAGCGATTTGTTGATCATTGTTGATTGATTGTAACTTGTTTGAGATTTCATTCTTTGTAACTTCAACCTCTCTGAGAATGTAATCTTTGAGTGATGAAATGGTTTTGGTTGAATCGACCTTTCCTTTATCAACAACATGAGCCAAATCAGAGTCCAATTGTAAGATTTCAGTTTTTTCCTTGAGCAATGTGTTTTTCATCTTTAATACATTTTCTCTAATATTTTCCAATGCACTCTTTATCTTTTCACTATTGTTTGAATTGTTTACTAGGCTTTGATCATCTTGTTGCAAGGACGATTCATCATTGTCATCATTGACCAGCGATAGTCTATTCATTTCCTTGGTCAACCTTTCAACTTCACTCTCTGCCCAACTTAGACGTCTGTTTACAATGTGCAGCTGATTTTGGAGATGAGTGCATTTGATCTCGCTTGTCTCTAATTTTTTGATAGTTTCTTGTGTTTGAACGAGTAGTCGGTTGTTATTCTCTTCACTTGATCTGTATTGGTCAGAGACTGTTGTTTTATCCTTTTCAAGTGACGATATTTGAATATGCAACGATCCGAGATCGCCAATGAGATTGTTTCTGTCGGCGGTAATCTTTGAAATGTCATTCTCGAGAGTTTCTCTTTCACGAATGAGTTCATTAACGATGACCTGCAGCTTGTTTACTTGATTTTCGCCCATTTCCTTCAACTCCAAAAGTAGTTGACTGAAACGACTGGTGATCAACTCTCGTTCCTTGTTCATTTCAAAGATGGTTTCAGAGAGTGATTCCTTATCGTTCATTAGGTTTTCAATCATAATAGACAACATAGATTCTCTACCTTCCATCATACCAAGTTCTTGTACCAAATTATCAATACGAAGGCACAACTTGTCTCTTTCTTCTTCAACCTTTTGAATCTTTAGTGATAGATTACTAAACTCTTGTGAATTGGTTTGCTTGTCCATCAATAATTGCATATGTAACATTTCATTATGATGTTTCCAAATGTTTAATCTTTCTTCAAGTAATTTTACTTGATTTCTATAAAATTCAATTTCCCTAAAAAAATTTAATAAAAATAATAAATAAAATAAAAGGTCAGGAATACAAGTTTTGAGTTATCTAGATAGAGATAATCCTAATCTCTCTCTCTCTCTCTCTCTCTCTCTCTCTCTCTCTCTCTCTCTCTCTCTCTCTCTCTCTCTCTCTCTCTCTCTCTCTCTCTCTCTCTCTCTCTCTCTCTCTCTCTCTCTCTCTCTCTCGGAATACTTACAAAGATCCATCTCTATTATTTACTTGTTGACCATTCAATAGAGGTACAATAGAAGAGTCTTTTTGAGATGATGGTTGTTGATTTTCATGGGGTAGAGTAAATATAGTATTTGAAACTTGTAAAGCCATTTCTAATAAATGTTTGGTGATATCTTCCAATTCCTTATCTCTTGCAATCTTTTCTTTTCTTTCTTTTTCAATTTGTTCTTTCTATTAGAGGGAGAGAGAAATGGGGGAAATTGATTAATAATTTTCATCTTTTTTTATAATATTATTTTGATGATAGTTACAAGATGCATAAATTCGGTTACCAAAGATTTAGAGGCCAATTTTTGTTTTCTTGTAGTAGTAGATTGAGTGAATGATTGAGGTGATGGGTCATTGGTATTATCATCTTCGACTAATGAATGTTCCATATCATCTATTTTACCTTGTAATACAGATAGAGAAATCAATACCTTTTCCAATTCATCCTTGATAGAGTCTTCGTGATCTGCATCTTCTGGAACAATTGCATTGTTAAATTGTTTTGACACCAAATCAATTTTTTGTTTAAGATTTTGTTTGGCAAGATTAAAACACTCTCTAAGTCTTGTTCTTTCGTATTCACTTCTTTCTCTATAGTCTTGTAGTGTTCTTTCAATCTCTGATCTTCTTTCTACCATTTCATCCAATTCTTCTGATGGACCATTTGAGTGTACATGTACTTCTTGATCAGTTGATTCTTCATCTTCATCGTCGTCCTCTTCCTCTTCTTCCTTGTCTTCATCATCGTCTTGTTGAATTTTTTGATGATTAAACTTTGGAACATATCTTATGATTTCAGGTCTTTTTCTTAAATTATCACTATTACTACTAATACCGTTACTATTACTATCTAATATTGAAGGAGATGTATATGCAGATAGTGTAGCAGTTGAAGATGCAAATGGATTGTATGAAGAAAGATCGAAAAATGATGGTTTTTCTTTTCCATTTTCATTTTCATTGTCTGAATGTTCTTCTACGCTATTAACACTATTATTGTCGTCATCTTCAGTTTCATCTTGATCACCAAAGTTGTTATAACCATCATTGTTGTTTGTAGGACTGTCAACATGTTGTTGATTGTGGACATTGTCATAACCATAGATCTCTCTTTTCTTTGATCTACCCAATCCATTGGTCTCTTCTTCTGTTGATTCTTCTTCATCCTCTTCTTCTTCCTCTTCATCTTCATCATCGCTCCAACTATCTTCTTCTTCTTCTTCTTCTTCTTCCTCTTCATCGTCATCATAGTCATCTACTTGTTCATCATAGTCATAGTGAGACTTTTGTTGTTGTTGTTGTTGCTGTAATTGTTGTTGTTGTTGATATTGTTGTTGTTGTTGTTGATAAAAGGCATATGGATCATCTTCAACGTCATCACTACTGTAATAGTTTTGTACATTTGGATAATAGTAGTCTGAATCTAAAGAGTCTTCTTCAGGATGTTTTTCAAAGTAGAGTACTTGTTTGACATCATTAAATTTAACTTTTGATGGTGTGTCGACAGCACCAGATTTTTCTTGTTCCTTTACTTTGCGTTGCTCCAACATGACAAGATCATCATCCGATGCCAATATACGATCCCTAGATAGTTCTCTGTGTAGCTCTGATATACTTTTATGTTGAGGTGGTTCAGGTGGATCATCTTGCATTGTTTCATTCTCTACCCAATATTTATATAATACACCAGAGTTGTTTAATTCATCATCATCTTCTTCGTCATATGAATCGTAATCATATGCATCTTGATTGTCTTGTTCGTCTTGTTGTTGTTCTGTTGTTGCAGTTACTACTGATGATACATCATCATCATCTTGTTGTTGTTTTGTAATGTTACCATTGTTAAGAGAATGACTATCGTCGTCATCCTCTTTGACCTGGTTAGGTGGTGGTTGTTGTTGTTGAAGTATTTCCATTACCTCTCTCTATGTTTTTTGTTTGTTTGTTTGTTTGTTGGTTGGTTGGTTGCTGTTTGGTAAGGTAAGGTGGTGTTGGTAGTATTACAATGACATGTATCGTGGTGGGATTGGAACTAACTAACTATAAATAAATGTTGATTAATCTAGTATACCTGCTACTATTTAAATAATACAACGTTTGATAATAGATATTATATGGTGGATATTGTTTTGAGTTAGAAAAAAAAGTTATTTTTTTGATTTTTTTTTGATTTTTTTTTGCAACGGACAAGTAATTTATTTTAATTTTTTTTTAAAGCGATAATATATATATAAATTTATAGATAACAATTAAATATTCAAATATTTTGAATGAATGATCAAATTTAATATATAAAGGTACCAAAAATTCATTAAAAAACCCAAATCCTATCAAACTACAGGTCAAAACAAAAAAGCCAAATTTAATGGCAATTGGGAGTCCCCCATGATATGATTTACTTTGTTATTTATAATTCATCTTTAATTTTATTATTATTTTTGGATTTTGTTTCTTTTGTCTTTGTTGTCTTTGTTGTTGTTGTTGTTGTTGTTGTTGTTGAACTACTAATATTAAAAAGTGTTGGATTTGAGAATGGATTCCAAAATAAACCTCTATAAAACTCCTTCAACTCGTAATAGTCGTATTGTAAATCACTTGAATAAATTATTCTCTTTTCTGCCTTTGTTTTTTCATCTACATTATTATTATTATTATTATTTGTTGTTGTTATTAAACTTGATTCTTCCATTGTTGTTGTTGGAATATTAACGCTAATTAAAATTATTTTTGAATATTGATTCCAATACTTGTGGTTTGGTACTGTGAATGGACCAAGATGTAAATCTTCCGATTCATTTTTATAGTGATGCTTTGTAGAGATGCGTTCGTGGTTGGATAAAAGATGTGTTTCAATGTGGTCATAGATTCTTTGTAGCGATTTCTCGAGTGCTCTAAAATTTTCATTGCTATAGAGCAATGTCATTTTATCAAACATCATCTGATTGAATGCAACAACATCTTTGTGTTTTCTATGTTTTTGTTGACTGATGATCATGTCTGTCAGACCGAGTGGTCGCAATCTATTACAAAACGTCCAAATCATATGCTTTTCAATGACACGATCAAATTGAGAACGTTCCAATGGTTTAAATGGTGCAATGTCAGTGACTAGTGACATAATCTTAAAGTCTTGATAGATTATATTTGAATAGGTCTTTATAAGATGAATGAGTTCATCTAGTGGTTTATCTCTAGTGACACCTTCCTTTTCAAAGTCAGATGTGAGTATATAGATTGCTTGATTGGTTGGCACTCCATCAACATCCAATCCTTCAAAGAATGGTTCCAATACCGATAGTACCAATGGATGTATCTTTTGAATCTCGTCGAGAATAATGACAGACTGAGGACAACCGGCAAGTTGTTCGAGTATTCTATTTTTTAGTTGGTTACGAGCATTACGTATCGATGCTTCGTCACCTTTTGTTACTTTTTTATAGCTCTCAGAGTCGACCAAGAGTTGTCCATCACCATCCAAATCGTTCTTTTGTACTTTAAACAATACCTTTGACATTATTCTAGCCGACGATGTCTTTCCAACACCATGATCACCTGCCGACAAAATGACAGTAGGTGTGTATGGATTAACTATTTTTCTAGTCATCACATTATATAGTACATTGGTTGCATTCTCTTGACTCTCCAAATACGATGAAAAGTAATATTTGAATGCTTGCATTCTATCTTCGATTGATCTCATCGTACAATATGTACATCCATAGTTTGAATTGATTGTTGTTATCGATTTGAGTGTTTTAAGTGTTTGATGTTGTTGTTGTTGTTGTTGACATCTATTTAATTTTTTGACAAGTGTATCATCATGTTCTGTACATTCATTATAATAACTTTTCCATTGACCAGTAGTAGTAGTAGTCAATAGTGTTGTTGGTTTATTATGATCATTTTGTTGTTGTTGATGTTCTAAAAGTATAGTTGGTAATAATGTTGAATATAAATCAGTGTACAAAGAAGATGAAGTAGAAGAAGAGGATGATGATGATTCGATTGAGGAAGGAGTATCTGTAGCATCAACAGTTGTTGATAGTGTTATAAAGACATACAATAACAATAACAACAATGATTTCATTTGGTATTGTTGTCGTTGTGGTGAGTGAGTTAAAGAGAGAGAGAGAGTGTGTGAGTTTGAATGGATGATCTCTAGTGTTGAAATATGTTTGATTAATCATTCACCAAAAATGGTTAAAAACAAAAATAATTTAAATTCACACAAAGTGACATTAATGTATACTGTCACTACTACTATTATCTCCATCTATTCTCTCTTTCTTTTAAATCATATCTATCTTTTTAACTTTAAAACACAATCAATACTCTAGTATATAGTAATGAATTACCCACATGGTTATAACAGTACACCCAATAATAATGAATTAAATAATAGATTATAAACAACAACCATTAAATATGACATTAGAATAATATTAAACATTTCTGTACTCTCTCTCTTTGTACCACTGCCGCTGTTATCATCGTCATCCTTTAATCTATTTCTCTCTCTCTCTCTCTCTTTATCTATCGAGTCACCGGTACTTTAAATGGATAACCATGGCGGTCAATGGGTGAGAGGTACTAAGATAAAGTTATTAATAATTCACATATGTGGAGCTCTGTCTTGTCTGTCTGTCTTGTCTGTCTGTCTTGTCTGTCTGTCTGTCTGTCTGTCTGTTGCAATGTCTTTGATGCCATCTATTGTTGTTAAACTTGATGGCTGTTACATTTGGAATGGCGAACAAATATGATGACCATTACATTCATTTGACCATTTACTTTTTCTTCATCCTCCCTCCCTCCCTCCTCTCTCCTCCTCTACTTACTAAATAATAATATCAACCAAAGACGAATAATCAGAACAACAACATTTTATATATTTTCCAATAATAATATAAATAATATTTGTTTGTTGACAATTGTTTGTTGTTCAATTCGACATCATGGTCTACTCAATCAGGTTATCGATAGTACTAGTTTGTATAGTTTGCTTTTTCATTTTAATATCTATATCAAATTCACAATGTATGTAATTGATTGATTGATCACAATGAATATAATTAATTAATATTTTATTTTATTTTATTTTATTTACTTTTTAAATTTTAGGGATAACATTAAATAATCAATTATCAACATTGGCAGGTGTTTCGATTATGCGATTTAATCCAAAACAATCAACATTGTATACACTTTCACAAGAACAAAACTATAGAGTCAATGTAGATGAAACCAATCAAGGTGGCTATACAAAAGTGATCAATAGTAGGAAAAGTAATCTTCCTGAGATTAGTCAATCAATTAGAGCATACACCACTGTTCATGACAATGATATTATTTATGCATTGACTTCAAATGGAACACTATTTAAAGCATCTACCTCGAATCGATCGACAAACTATAATTTCATACAACAATCAAACGATTGGTTGGTCAATGATGAATCTATTCCACCCATTCGTTATGCAACATTTGTAAACGATAGATATTTAGTTTTGGCTTGTAGAAATACATCTGAATCTAGTGGAGAAATTATTGTCATTGATATTAGTATAAATAATATGACAACAACAAGTGGAGAGATTTTATATAGATTTGGGTCTAATGTACTTAAAGATCCTGTACAATTGGAATATCATCCATCTATTCAAAAATTAATGGTACTTGATAGTGGATTGTGTCACCAGTTTACACTTCAAGGTGTATATATTGGACAATTGGACTGGTCTAACAAATCAATTCAAATAACACCAAAATCAATATCCTATTCACCAAATGGTCTATTTCATATTTTAGATTCAGATTCTTGGTCTATTTTTACTTTTTGGAAAGGTAAAAATACTATTATTATTATTATAAAAAAAAAAAAAGATAACCTAACCCTCACTCTCTCTCTTATATTTAGATAATATTTATAATTTTGTAAAATTAAACAAATCAAATATTAAATTTACCAATATTGCATCAACAGATAAAGGAGTTTATTTATCTTCCATTTCAGGTATTCAATACTATAAATGGGAAGGACTAGTGGTAGATTATTCATTTTATAGTAATGGAAGAGTTCATATCATTGGTAATGGATTATCATATACTACAGATGTAATTGTCGATGGTTCTCTACAGTGCCAAGATCTATTTGTTTTGAGTGACAGCCATATATCTTGTCGATATCAAAATACACAAATTATAGCAAATGTAACACTACCACTATTCATTGTCATCAATAATACCGATCAATTTCAAAATAGTAATGATACCAATCAACATTTTAATCCAAATCAAATAATAACCAGAGAATCTCATTTTGAATACCAACCTGATGGTTGTCCATTAACCTTTTGGTATGATGCCGTTAAAAATATTTGTAAAAAATCAATGAATCAATCAATTTATCTTTATAAAGTATGTAAAAAAAAAAACCAAAAATACCTACCTTTGTTTTTCTTTTATTAATTTTAATTTTTTGATTTAGTATAAATTAGGTAATAATATTACATCTAGAATTTCATTTGTTTCTGGTAAAGAGACATTATTATGTCCAAATGGTTGGAAATATGATTCAACAAGAGTATATGATATCCAACATTATAGATATCTACAATCACAAACCTGTTGGAATTCTGCCGTCAAAACATCAACCTATACTCAAATAGAATTATATTCTCTATATGATTCAGATATTACTCGAAAAGAACCCACCGCTGGCCAATCTTCTTCTTCTTCGTCGTTATCACTTGATATTGATTGGGGATCAAGTTTGTGTAGTGTTCCATATGATGCACCATCTACAATCGATTTATCAGTGACGGATAATTTATTTAAATTTGTTTGTCACGATACCAATAGATCCACACAATATATACTCGACCACGAACCAAACGAATCAGAGATGTGCAATTCAACGACTACAGTAGGCAATGTCATTGATCAAATCGTACTTTGGTCATATTTTGTGCCAAGACATTGTGTGAATGGAATTTTAAATCGAGATACTGGTCTGTGTAGATGTAGTAAAGATTGGTCAGGTGACAATTGTGACATTCCTCATTGCTCTGTAAAATCAATGAGATACAACAACTCGACACGTCAATGTGAATGTCCAAACAAAGTATGCCCCAACTCACAGAACCAGATATTTGACAAGAGCACATGTAATTGTATATGTAAATTAGAGACACCATATAAATGTAGTGACGATGGTCGTTGCGTTACCAAACAATCTCTCTGTATAAAACCAACACAAGTCCCTCAACAACCAAACAATACCAACACATGTAATTCTAGCCACCCCTATCAATGTTGGAACGGACAGTGCGCACTCAATGCAGATTCTTGTAGACAGACCAATGGGTCAATCGATTGTTTATTTCAAACGTGTTGTTGGGATGGTACACCAATCGATGACGTCAGTAATTGCCCAGTACTTCCTCGTTGTCTTCCTCCCTTTTCATTCCGATGCAAAGATGGTTCTTGTCAAATGGGAGCTAGCATGTGTCCACCAACAGTCACTCCCACACCAAAGCCTTGTATCGACTCGAATTGTCCAGAGTTTGACATGTGTCCTCCCTCATTTCCCTACCGGTGCTTCAATGGACAATGTGTCTCATATAAAGACAACTGCAAGGCATGTCCAAAACGCCACCAACAAGATGATATTTTTTATCAAAACCAAACCAATTGTCCATTACCAACCTTTGTCAAACCGATTACAACACAGCTTACCATTCCTATTGGATCGCATAGAATCATTCATGTCTATGATACCGTAACCAATTTAATCTCAATCATTGATTTGTTTATTCCTTCCTCTTCTTTTATAAGTTTAAATCAAACAGAAGTTATTATTAGACCAGTTTCAACATCATATCTTTATAATCTATTTGGTCAACAAAATGATAATAATAGCGTAACAAATCAATGGGAAAAAAGAATTCAATCACCAATTTTAAATATTACAATGCCATCATTTAAAGATAATAGTATTCTTTTATTCAACATATCAATTTCATTTAGAATTCAATCCAATTCTACCCTACATAAAGTATCTAAATTATTGATAAACCAACAAAATGTCGTCCAACCAGAACAACAAGATACACAACCAACAGAAGAAGAAAAAAGGAATAGTTTGTTGGAAAAGTTATGTTTAGCATTTATCAATACAACAACCAATCAATGGCAATGTATTGAGCAAAATTTGACATCTTTGGTTGCACAACAACACAACCGAGATATTATGATGGTTACAGGAGAGACAAATCATTTTACATGTTTTGCAGTTTTACTTCGGTCAGAAACCTATCAAGATGACAGTGATGAATATCAACCAATTGGGACAAGCAAATGGGACAACAATGACCTGCCAACATTTTTAGGTGTGCCTCGAAATTACTTTATAGTATCAGTGTTTGGTGTGGTGGGAGGTGTATTATTGGTGATGTTTGGAACTGTTTTCTATTATTCCTACAAAAAGTATGGTAGTATCTCTTCTTTAAAAAGTGCTTGGAAAGATAAATTAAATAGATTATTTAATAAATAAAATGAAAAAGTATTAAAATTATTTAAAATGAACTAGTATTTTTAATTTATTATTTTTTGAATAATAAACCAACTGAATTTAACAAACATTGCAATAAAGAGAATTATAACCGAGAACCTAATGTAACGAGTAGGTGGCATGAAATCTGAAAATCTCCACAAGAGTGCTTGTAATTGATCCAAGAGCCATTTTCCAACTTTACTGTGGCTGTTGTATTTACAAGTGATTTCAATCTCCTTTGATAGGACCAATAGTTGGTGAAGTTTGATTTGGGTTCCAGTTGTTGGAATGTTGACAATTACAGGTTTTAATCCAGCGGTATTATCATTGTCTTGTCCACCTGCCAAATCCTCTCCATCTCCATCATCATCATTTTTATCAAAATGATTTACATTGGCGAGTTGAGATTGTGGTGGAGGCATGCCTTGAGCAACACGTCCACGAGCTAGAGAGAGCCCTTTTGGTGGGGCTCTAGTGAAATGGGACACCTCTTTAATATTACTCTTTGTGGTGTCACCATAATAATAGTTGCTTGGTAGATACAAAGAAACATAGAGGTTGCTAATTGGAATATCTACAACTGGGAAGGTGATTCTAAGATTACCACCATTTTTCGACAATTTCACATCCTCTTTGTGTTTGTATACCAATTCTACTGTAAATGTATTCTGAATACCTTTTTCTAATCCAGTTGATTTGTTTAATGGGATCATTACTGTACCAGTTTCATCTAGAGCAGGTTTAACTGCATTATTGGCAACAACTAAAAAAATAAAAATAAAATATTAGACAACTCTTCAATCACTTTTAGAACTCTATTTTTTGTTTACATACTTGTTGACCAAATTTCAAATTGATGAGGGATTTTAATTCTAATGTATTGTTGTTGAGTGTTTCTAACTAAAAATACTAATTTCTTTAAAAGTGAACCCTCAGATGATAATGTAGAAATAAAATGTGCACTTTCAATTACTGATACCAGTACTAAAAATAAATATATTAAATTAATAAATAAATTAAATTAATAAATAAATTAAATAAATATTCTCTACTTACCTTGAAGATCTGTATGTTTTGTAATGTTTAGACCAATTTTATAATTGGGATCCAAGAATTTATAAGACAAGAGGATAGGTCCTGTAGTTTGTTTGAGAAGGGAAGAAGGTACCTCGGTTTTGTCAATTCTTGTGAGTGATTCCCTAGACACTTGATCAACTTGAACGTTGGCAGTAGACTCTACAACAAGGAATCCAATTTCTCTACTAATTTCTTTTCCTCTACATCTTACACTTGGAATAACGATATTGTCACTTGTTCCGTTCATGATAATCTCTGACACGATAGAGAGGGTGTAGGTCGATTCAACTGGAGAGTTTAAAGACACCTTTACCAAATGATCTGTCACCTTGGTGTTGGATTCACTGCTTGAATCTGGTACAACAGGATATGCTTCCCATTTTTTAATATCCAAACCATCTACTGATTGAATATTGAGTGCATTACCAACTATAATCTCAAAAGTAGATAAACTTCCACTAACCAGAGTGTATTTGATACTATTTTTGAATAGTACAACACCTTCACCAACAGTGCATAAACTGTATTGTTGAACGGTTGCTTTGTTTGGAACTGATCCTTTAGAGAGGAGGGAAGCAAATGTTTGTGCTGCGCTCGGTAAGCTATCACCTACTGGTGTTGGTGTAGGACTACCAAGAGTCAAGTCATGTTCCAATTCTGTCCATTGAACTTTAATATAAGAGGTTGGAGGAAAACGAGAAGAGGAAATGGTTGATCTATTTGATGATGTGGGATCTGTTGTGATTTCTTCTTGGTGATTGGCCGAAGGATCTACTTTAATTTGTACTTGACGTGGAACGGTAATGGATATTTGATTAGAGGTTGAGATTGGTGTAGAGAAACCAAAGCCATTTCTCTTGTTTGACAAATAATTTGAAAGGACAACCAAAGTGACAATGTATCGACCTGTTTGGTTTGGAAAGAATTTAAGTGCACCTTCTTCGGCAGCCATACAACTTGAATCATCAGTTTCGGTTGGTGTATCAACAGGAGAACTAGAGAATTTGATATGAGACTGAGTCAATGCCATAGAGGCAGGCAAAAGTGGTACTTTGGTATCACAATTAAAAACCAAGATATCATAGGTACATTGAAGTTCAACCAATAGAGATTGAGAAACACCAACATAATGAGCGCTACCAATTGAATAGGGATACTTTAGATCAATATAATCTTTTTCTTTTACCAGTTCTGTCCAATCTTTTAAAGATAGTTTAATTTGCCCATTGTCAGAATCTAAAAGGAATGAATGTAAAATCGTTAGTATTATTGTTGTTGTTGTTGGATTGACTTGTAGTTAGAATGTATTACCTTTAAAAGAATTATGAGGAGTTGAATTATAAGAATAAATTTCATTATCAGTTACAATGTTGGTGGCGTTTAGTTGTTTTGATTGTCCCAAATCGCAACTATTGTCGTTGTAATAAGTATCTTGATCATCTGAGCACGATACAGCTGATGATATTAAACTTCTCATTTTTCCCATTATCTCTGAATTATATAGATATATACAGATAGAGGTAATAATAATAATAGAGAACCAAAAGTTACAAAATGAACAATTTTGGTTTACTCGTAAATTAAATTAATATAATATAAATAAATTAATTGATGAGTCATGAGCTTTGAAGGTTGAAAACTTTCAAGAAAGAATAAAGTTAACATCATTATTATGAACTCAAATTGGTCAATCACAAAAGGCAATCTAAATACGCGATCATCATATCTCAACCTTGATGACTCCCCTCCCTCATTATCAGCAGATCAATACGATGATGATTATATAAATATATTATTACATAATAATAATCATAATAATAATAATAATAATAATAATAATAATAATAATAATAATAATAATAATAAAAATAATAATAATAATAATAGTAACACCTCAACAACAACAATAATAGAACCAATCATTCAACTAGAAAACAAATTGAATTGTACTGATCCATGTACTTTAAGCTTTCAGTTTGATATCTTTGTCGATATTCATCACATATTGGTTATTTCATATTCTCGCATAGTTGAATTATATAAACAACAACCAACAACAAATGAATACGTTGGCTCTCAAAGAGGTACTGTTATAAACTCTAAACATTTGAATCAAAATGTTAGTATTGTATCTTTGAAATGTAACTTGCTTCAATCAAATTCAATTTCTTTCAAGGTATGATGAATTAGATAGATGAATGATCTTCAATGAATGAATGATGATTAATTTTATTTCCTACTGCTGTAGTTTTGTTCACTATTAAATCGAGAAAGAAATGATATCTACTTTCTTCAAATCTATGGAAAACCATCGAAATCACCCAACAACACTAATCAACAACCATTACTAAATAGTGATGAAGGAAGAGGTCTCATGGCCATAATGGCTTTGATGGCCAAACAATCTTCATTGTCACCAATTCCATCTTCTTCTTCTTCTTCTTCTTCTTCTTCTTCTTCTTCTTCTTCTTCTTCTTCTTCTTCTTCTTCTTCCTCTTCTTCTTCTTTACCAACACCACCAACAACTAAAAACCTGCCACTAAAACAACAACCTCAACAACAACAACAACAACCCATTACAGAACAACAACAACTACAACAACAAGTACAAAATCATATTAATAATCTAACATTGGCATACAAACATGGACTTTTACCAAAGGGTCAATTAAAGGAACATCTTGAAATGATTTTTAAATCAAATTCAGAAGTCTACTTTGAGAGAATAGAAGCAATAGATGCACAAAAAATACCAAAACTAACAGTTACATTTAATCTAAAAGAGATCTTGGAAAGGACATGTATTTTGAAAGATTTGATTACCAGACAGCAAGAAGAAAAAAGTCTTGATGAAGATAGTTTTGGTGATGAAAAGGTGCAAGATGACGGTAGTGATGATGAACAAGAGGATTGTTTTCCCAAACCACAAGATTACATAGAATTGTTACTTTTAAAATTTGATTCACTTGAAACAAAAATGGACTCACTAGACAGGAAAATGGATTTGATTATTAAAAGAATCGATAACTTGGAGAATAATAGATCAACTAAATAAATAATAAAAAAATAAATAAAATAAATAAAAGTATTTTTTACTTTGTGAAATTTCAAAAAGGTGGTGCATCTTGCAAAGATCTTTGTAAAAGCTGAAGATATTAGTTTATTGTTGGGGCAGCAGCGAGTACTTTTAAAAGGGAGAAATAAGATGATGGCATCCCAAGAAGAAGATGCCCGCCTCCATCAAAACAACAACAACAACAACAACAACAACAACAACAACAACAACAATTATGTCAATCTTTTAGCTAAAGAACCTATACATACAGAAGCTATAGTAATCAAAAGAAAAAGTTCTGTTCCTATAAAGATTGAACAACAAACCTCCAACAACAACAACAACAACAATAATATTAATAATAATAATAATCGAGACAATCCATCACCCACTACTACTACTACTACGCTAGCTATTGCACTTGGAAATAGATCATCTTTTCAACAACACACTACAACCAACAACGAAATGAACAATAGTAGAAAAGATAATGCAATAGGATCACCACCAGGAGGAGGAGGAGGTGGATGTAACATGATAGATGGATCACCATCTGTTTTAATGATGTTTTCATCTATAGTTGATTCTTCAAACCAACAATACAACAACTCCTCTTCCTCCTCTTCATCATCATCATCATCATCGACAACATCAAACAATTACCATATACGACCAAATTATGATGTTGAACTAATCGTTCAAACCACTAAACAAGAAGATGCAAGTTTATGGGTAAAAAGAAACGTAGAAACTCTAGTATATCAAAAGTGTTTCTTGGTGACTTTTTATCGCTCTCTAACAATGTATCTATACTCAAACTAATATCTCGTTAGGGTGACAATGGTATTCTATTCTCGGAGGTCCTCATCAAAGTGAACAAAGGAACCAAGATGCAAGAGAGAATCATATTTATAACGGATCGTGCCATCTACAATGTAACACCATCAGATTACAAACTTAAAGGACGTATTGCTATTGCATCATGTTCTTCAATCTCTAAGAGTACATTGGAAGATAACTTTATTGTCATTCACGTTCAAGGAGAATATGATTATGTTCTTATCAGTGGTAGAAAGATTGAAATTACTACCATTCTAGTAGAAGCATTCTACAAGTACTCTATATTACAATTCTCTCTACAAATACAATATCAATTACAACAACAACAACAACAATTAAAATTACATCATCAACAACTTGACACCAATACTAAAAATATATCTAATAATAATAATAATAATAATAATTTAACAATATCAACATCACCAAAAGAAATGAATTCAAAAGGAAATAATGTAATTAATAATACAAGTGGAAATAATTTATTATCCGTTAGTTTGGGTGCCAATAGGATGTTATCAACTTCACCCAATAATAATAATAATAATAATAATAATAATAATAATAATAATAATAATAATAATAATAATAATAATAATATTAATAGCAAAGATACTACTAAAACAATATTACCTACTTGTAACCAACAAGATACAATAGTTGAATCAACACCAACACCAACAGCAGCAGCAGCATCAGTATCAGTCGCAACACCAACCTCAATTTCATCAATAACTGATCAATTATCATTTAGAGAAGAAGATCATATGTTGGCAGTTAATTTTTCAGAAAGAATAGATTACAAGATAGAAGGAGATTCAATGAAAGAAATTTTATTTACTAGAGTTCAAGGTGCTGTACATATTGCTATCAAAATAGTAAATAAATAACATCACAATTTGAGAAAAAGAACAAAAGCAAGAAGGGTTGGTTGGTTGGTTGGTTGTTTGGTTGATTCTTTGTTGTTATTTTTATATTGATGGTAAATATTTAACAAGGAAATCTGAAAATTGTTCATATACCATAGGATGAACATATTGATGACCCAAACCAGGCACCAAAATGAATTCAGCAACACCAAAACCAAACTTTTGTTTGAGTACAACATTTAAAACATTACCCAGTTTTGGTACGACCACAGTATCTGCATCACCATGCAACATTCTTATAGGTATTGAAATACATTCTTTCTTTTGATAACCAAATAGTGATACTACAGGAAAGAATCCTCCAATTGTTAAACAACCAGCTAGTTTTACTTTCATACTAACCATTGTGTACAATACAACAGCTGCTCCCATTGAAACTAAAAAATATAAGATAATTGAATTGAATATTAATATTAATAATAGGGTTTTAACAACAACAACAACAACAACGATAATAATAATAATAATAATAATAATAATAATATCTAAAACGTACAACCAGCCAACATTATTCTTTCAGGAGGAATTCCACTATCAATTTCCTTTTGAATAATATTTTCCATCATTTTATGTCTGGCAACTATTCTTTCGGTATCTTCCTTCATACCAGGTTTAAATGCTTCTACATCAAACCATGCAGTACCCGGTGCTTTATTATTTATAGTCAATGGGATAACTGGACTAAAACGAAAAAATTGAAATCATAAATAGTGGGAGAAGCGTCAAATTGGTTAGAGGGTTTCATCAACCAATCAATCAAAACTCTCTTGAATATTCATATACATACGCTTGAGGCATTATAACTTTTACATGAGGTGAATGTTTTAATATCTCTTTCAAAGGATCTTCCCAAGCACTAGTTACCTCTAACATTCCATGAAGTAAAATCACTAAAAGAGTTGATTGATGATGGATAATTAGTCGAAATTTCATTTTTAACTCTGATCAGAGTCACTAACTATTATTATGGTCGTACATACTAGTTGCTGTATGATTTGATGTCGGCTTGATAGTTGTAATTTCTTCTTCTTCTTGTTGTTGTTGTTGTTGTTGTTGTTGGTTACTTGTCATTTTCTTCTCCTTTATTACTCTTTATTAAAATAAATAATATTAATATTAATAATTTTTAAAAAGTCATTAAATTTTATTTGTTTTTTTTTTTCAACCATCACTTCACCCTCTCATAAATTAAATTAAAATTAAAACCCACTCATTCGAACAACAGATACAGTAGTTGTGTGTTACATACTATATATATATATTTAGTCATCTCTCTCTCTCTCTAAAAAAGCAAAAGAAATACAACTCACAACAAGATGGTAAAGGTAGTAGTAAAGTGGACAAAGGAAAAGTATGATGTAGATGTTGACCCTTCCGAGTCTGTACTAGAATTCAAGAGTAAACTTTACTCTCTCTCTCATGTTCCAACTGACAGACAAAAAAGTAACTATCTCTGATATCAATTCATAACCTCTATCTGTCTCTCTCTCTCTCTTTATTTATATCTCACAAGATCTTTAACACTTTTTTCTTATTATTATTTGTTATTAATAGTTATGGGATTTAAAGGTGGTATCCTTAAAGACGATGCCAGTTGGAAAGATTTAGATTTGGTAGAAGGAAAGGTATTGATGATGGTTGGATCGGCAGAGGAACTTCCACAACCAAAACAAAAGATTACATTTGTTGAAGATCTTCCACAACAACAAGCCGATGCATTGATTCATAATATGCCATCTGGTCTTTATAACCTCGGAAATACTTGTTATCTCAATGCTACTTTACAATGCATGAAAGCTTGTCCAGAATTAATGTCAATCATTAAAAAGTATGGTATTAAATTAAATTTAGATTAAATCATGGTGATGATCAAACAATCATTAATTTTTTTCTTTTTTTTTTTTTTTAAAAAAGATACAAACCAACAGGAACTCAATACTCGGCATTGGTAAAGGCATCACAAGGTATATTTAATGAACTATCTAAAACTACTGGTGAACCAGTTGGATCAAGTACCTTTTTGAATGTATGTTTCGCAAAGTGAACGATGATGACTAATCATCACCATCTTACCCATTTTCTTTTTAGCTATTTAGAGCACTGTTCCCACAATTTGGTGAAATAAAGGAGGGGGCATATATGCAACAAGATGCCGATGAAGCTTGGTCACAGTTATTGTCTGCCTATGCCAATGAATTCCCAATCAACGCCAACGACAAGTCAACCAATCCAACACAAGCAGTTGAGAAATCATTTATTGGTAAATTATTTGGCATTGGTGTAACAGATACCTACCAGTGTAAAGAAAACCCAAGTGAAGAATCAACCTCGAGATCTGAAACTCTTCTCAAACTTCCATGCAATATTGGAACAGAAACATCTTATCTTTTCGAAGGTATCAAGAGAGGATTAGAGGAAGATATCACCAAAAAATCTCCATCTCTAAACAAGGAAGCTGTCTATACTAAAAAGACCACACTCAACCATCTACCACCATATCTTATGGTCCAATTTGTTAGATTCAATTGGAAACAAGGTGTAAAGAAACCAAATGATCAAGGAGGTGTTACTGGTGTTAAAACTAAAATTATTAGAGTAAGTAAACAAAAAGGACAAACTATAAATATATTAGCTAATGGTTATATTTATTATTTATATTGATTTTTGTAGCAAGTTCAATTCCCTTTTACTTTGGATATTTTCGATTTCTGTTCACAAGATTTAAAGGATAACCTTTCAATTGGCAGAAAGAGATTAGACGATGAATTCAATGCATCATTGGAAAGAAAGAGAAAGACTTTTGATGGACAAGAACAAGGAGGCAAACAAAAGAAAGAAACCAAAGAAGAAGAAATCTTTGATATTACTGCCGACGAAGATGCCTCTAAAAACTCGACTGGCAAATTTGAATTAAAAGCAGTTCTTACCCATCAAGGTAGATTTGCCGACTCTGGCCATTATGTGGCATGGGTGAAAAAAGACGATAACAAGTGGCTCAAATTCGATGATACAACAGTCTATGAGGTCAATGACGAAGAGATCAAGAAGCTCCAAGGTGGTGGAGAATGGCACATGGCTTATATGTGTCTTTACAAGGCCATAAAGGCTCCAGAGGAAGATAAATCATCATCAACTCCAATGGATACCTCTACCACTACCACTACCACTACTAATCAATAAAATTAATAAAACGATCGATCGATTAATTGTGATTTAATAGTACTATTCGATGGTGATTTTTTATTTTATTTTATTTCATTTTGGGTTTAAAAGTTTGGTATTTGAAGATGACCAAATTCAATATTGGATTCTCCTTCAACGAGCGAAGGCAATAGAGAATAGAAATTTGGATCTGGATTGGTTAAGCTCATAAAAGCGGGATCCTGAACCAATGTTGGAACTGTTGTTTCCTCTGCACTATTTGTCGTTGGAATGGTTTGCACTAGTTGGAACGACGAAGAAGGGAAGGATTGTTTTGTTTGTTGTCCCATCTCTACATTGATTGTAGTTGGAGGAATATCCAAGCTATTGTATTGAACATCCATACTATTGTCGATTGGTGTTGAAGCAATGGCTCTGGAATCTGGTTGAAGAAGGGTAGAGTATATCATGTCGTTTCCAGATATACCAACAAGAGCGATACTATGGTCCATTATAGTTGTTGGTGATATTCCTTGCTGTTGAATTGAAACGTTATTATTTGTTGTTATAGTATTACAGTCATTGGTCATTATTTGGTTTGGTGGTGAATTGTTAATTGTATTGTTGGTATTGATCGTGGTTGTGTTTGGACTAATTTGTTGTTGGTGTTGAAGTTGGGACTGTTCAATTTGTTGTTGAATGGTCTGTTGATGTTGATGAGGAGGGTTGTTATTATTGTTGTGATTATTATTATTATTATTATTAGTGTTATTATTAATATTTTGTTTTTGTTGTTGAGATGCAACAGCGGCAGCAATGGCAGCATTTGTTATATTTGGGAAATAATCAGACATTGCAGAGGGGACGACACCCTCACTATCTTTGTGTGACAATGTATTTTGAATATTTGGTGATACAAGACTCATCGATGCCAGAGCAGTAGGACTAGGGTTTCTATCTAGCTCGGTTGGACTGCTGCCTTGTTGTTCTTTGTTGAATAGCTATTCATCATGGCAAGTTGTTGTTGCTTCAATTTTGATTTGGAAACCTTTGGTTGTTTGGCCTTTGGCATTTTCTTGATGGCACCACCGTTGGCTGAACCAGAATGAGTGTACTGGTGAAAAGTATGTGATTTTGTAGTCTTTGATTTCTTGGCTTTGGTTTCGGTGGTAGGTGTATTAGAGGAGGCAGTATTATTTGATGGAGGGGAAGAATTCACGATCGTACTGGTTGTTGGAGATGTGTCTATATGGATTGGTGAGTCATCGGCCATAAGGGGTGTTGGTGAGATATTCAAAGAGTTTGTAGAGGAGGAAAATGGTTGCATTTGTTGTTGACAAAACAATGTATCACCCAATGAAAGTGAATTATTAAACTCTATCGACTTGGAATCAGAAGAAGAAGAAGACTCTCCAATATGATGTAAAGTGGATGACGCCAGAGAAGGTGGGGCAGATGCTGAAGTTTGATCTACCATCATAGCATTGTTGTTTGGTACTACGGCCATCATTGATGCAGCTATTGTACTTGATATACTGTTATTCAATACACTGTGAGGTACTGTAGAATTGGCTAATACAGAGTTGATTTTTTTTCCTATTTGCTTCAATTTTTAGTTTCTTTGCATAGGATAATCCACAGGCATTACATAACCTAATAAAAGAATAAATTAATAAATTAATAAATGAATAAATTAATAAATAAATAAATAAATAAATTAATTAATTAATACATACGTTGCAGGTCCTTCTGGTCCTTTTCTCCATTCAGGTGTAGTTTTAGTTTGACATTTAAAACATATGAGGCTATCTTTGTTCATATTGCTACTACGTCTTCTATGAGTTTTTTTCTTTTAAAAAGATGTTAATGATAACTGTTGTTTATTAATCTTTTTTTAATACTACTTACTCTTTTTAGTGGAGTTGCATTACTCGACCGTTTAGTTTGATTTGTGGAATTTTTGTCATCGATATCATTGTTGTTGGTTATTGAGGATGGTGGTGACGATGACGATAAAGATTCAAAGTTATTTATTGGTGAGTCTCCTGTTAGATTTAAAGAAGTAGAAGAAGTTGTTGTAGTTGTTGTTGTTGTAGCTGGAGGTGATGTAATAAAATCATAACTATAACTTGGGTTTGAATCGTTGCTTATAAAAATGGTTGAATCTGGACTTATTGGTGAAGTATTGTCGTTGATAGGTGGACTGATAAAAGAATGAACTTCATGGTTGTCTACTCCTTGTAAAATAGTATCACAGTCATTTTCATGTGAAAAAAGTAAAAAATCCTTATTTAGAAGATTGTTTTCAGTGTCATTGTTTGGGTTGAGAAAAGAGGAAGGAATGAGTGCTTGACATGGATTTTCTATAGATATTTGTGCTTCTGACTTTTTATCATTACAATGTTGTTGTTGATCAAAGATTGCTTGTTGTATCATTTTTTAAAAATTAAAAAAACAAAATAAATATATTTTGTTATTTATTGATTAATATTACAAAAAGAAATTAATCCTAAAGGATGGAAATAAATCAATGATGGAGAATATTAAAAAATAATGTTTGTTTAACAATTTAGACTTTAGAAATGGGTTTTCTAAAATCTCAAAAAAAGGGTAATAAATAATTTTTAAAAATGCTAGTGCTAATGTTGTTGATATATGGTACAAAAACTTAAATTAAGAATAAAAGATAGGACTTTAAATAATTATAAATGTCTCTCTCTAAAGATATTAAAAGTTTAAAATAAAAAAATAAAAATAATATTTGTCTTTTTCATTGTGGTGGGTGTTTTAGAATTTCTAAATTTCTATACCAGAAAACAAAAGCAAGCCATTGAAAACTAGAGGTTGAAACTTTTATTGAACCAATAGTATGTATAATAGGGTATATATTGATTTTGTTTTTTTTTTATTGTTCAAACTCGTAAAAGTCATTTCGTCATCAAGTAACCAACAAAAAGGGACAATTTCATCCACCAATTCATTTACTCACAATTTTTTGTTGTACCCAAAAAGATTCCTAAAATATTTATAATTTTGTGACGTGTCAAAAAATTTTTGGAAATAAAAATAAAAATAAAATATATTCTCCAATAAGAATTCCTTCTTCTTTTTTGTTTTTACAATTTTTTATTTTTATTTCCAAACTTATTGTTCCATTCAATGTATGAAGCCAATTCTTTTGGATCAACACTCGGTTCCATACCAGAGAGAGCATCCAAAAAATCTTGATGATTAATAGGTCGTACCGATTGACTGTCGACAGCCATGATATCACCAACACCACGAATAGGTCCAAATGCTGCCTCTGTGCATAGTTCCTTAATATCAGCACCAGAGTACCCCTCTGTGCGTTCTGTAATGTCTTGTAGTTCATGCTCTACAAGTGTATGATCTCCTTTTGAAAGTAAGTTCTTGAGTAGTTGATATCTTGCCACATTTTCTGGTAGAGGAATATAAAATTTCTTGACCAAACGTCTACGTGCTGCTTCGTCCAATTCCTCTGGTTTGTTTGTTGCTCCAATTAATAGCATTCTATCGCTAGAATTTCCAGAGACACCATCCCATCTAATTAAAAACTCTGTTTTGATTCTCCTACTGGCTTCATTTTCGCCCTCTGTTCTCTGTGTCAATAAAGAGTCGATTTCATCGATAAATATGATAGACGGTGCATAACAAAGTGCAACAGCAAACAATGCTCTGACCATCTTTTCACCCTCTCCAATCCATTTACTGGTGAGTGTACTAGCAGATATACTGAAAAAGGTTGCTTTTACTTCACTTGCTACAGCTTTTCCAATCATTGTTTTTCCCGTTCCTGGTGGACCAAACAATAGCATACCTTTTGGTGGGATTAGCAAACCCTTGAAAATATCAGGTCTGAGAAGGGGATAGCTGGCCATTTCTTTGATTTGTTCTTTAACCTTTTCCAATCCTGCGATGTCTTCCCATCGTACCGATGCCCTGTTATCCAAAATTTCATTACAAATAAGCTCCAACATTCTTGGTTCGCAATGTTTTAATCTTTCATCGTCAAGAGGTATACCATTGACATCTGTAATTCCACTAGGATTGGTTTCGTCATCCTTTTTAGTTTGATTATTGTTGTTGTTGTTGTTGTTAAGTTTGGCTAGTCTGTAAAAACAAAAATAGATAATTAATAAAAAAGATTAAAATCTTTTCTGTATCTGATTGATTGTATACAAACTTTTTAGCGGCAACAGGAGGAGGAGGAGGAGGAACTGGTTCGAAATCTCCTTCTTCCTTTTTCACTGGGACCTCAAATTTACCTCTTTTGTGCCCACCAGTAACGGCACTCATGACCATTTGAGCTCCTTTTGATAATGATGAGGATGAGGATTGTTGTGTTGTTGGCGTAATTCCTTTTTTAACTTGATCTTCAACCTAAAAGTTTTTAAACGAATAAGTATATAATAAATATTTATGATATTACTACTTGGACAACATACTAGTTTCTTTTTCGCAGATGAAAAAGATGGTAGTGGTTTTTGCTCTTCATCTATTTCCATGGTCTGATTTCTTTGTTGCAATATAGGTGTAGGAGCAGGAGGAGAACTTGTTGGCATTTTACGATTGTTTTGTTTATAATTATATTCACCATTAATATTATTATTATTATTATTATTTACTGTTGTTGGTAATGAATTGGTATTATTATTATAATTTTGATTACTGTCGTGTAGCATGCTATTTGGTCTTTTCAAGTTGTAAGGAGGTTTTGTGTTGTCGGTTTGATTGTTGTCTGTTGTTGATGATGAAAAGAGTGATGGAGGAGTATGTACAGGTTGCAGAGGTGTTTGTACTATAGGAGGTGGGGGCGGAGGTATTATTGGATATGCATTATCGCACATTTCTTTATAATAGTCATCTCGTTTATCCAATTCCTCAGATGATTGTGTGATTGATATTGTCAATTGCGTATCGATAATAGTTGATGCGAATGTGGATGTCTCTGATGATAAAGATGATGGTGATTTACTATCTAAAGAAGCGTATGCAGTATCTTGAATAATGTTGAGAGTAGTATCATTAAAAGATGATAAAAGATAATAACAATCCCTTCTATCTAGTTCATCCTTTGATAAAGTACTCTCGGTTATATTTGTTGATTGTTGTTGTTGATTATAAGTTGAATTTGCAAGAGTATCTAAAAGATTACATTGACTAAGTAAAAGAGGTAAAATGGTTGACTGTGTCTCTCGATGTGATTCTACCAAGCGAATCTTGTCCGCATCCAATGATGATGATGATGATGATGATGATGATGATGATGATGATGATGATGATGATGATGATGATGATGATGATGATGATGATGATGATTGAGTGTTGTTTGCCTGTTGTTGACGATGTCTCCTTGTTGTTACCAAGTCATCTGATATAGATGTCCCATATTGTTGATAAAATTGACGATCTTCATTATGTGATTGTTGTAAATGATGTACCAACTGTTCATCGATTCTCTTGAAATGTGCAAATGACAATGAATGGTTTGATGAGTTTATATCAAAATAATCATCATTATTATGTTGAATATCATTGTGATTATTGTTGTTGTTATTATTATTATTATTAGTATTATTATTATTATTATTAAATGCCATTCATTACTTAATCAATAAACTCAACACAAACTCTAGTACTAAAAATCAATAAAGTCGATAATGAATAGAGAGTGTTGAATTTCTTAGAATATGAACCTTTAAAGAATTTTTTATATATATTTTTTTTATTTAATTTTTTTTTTAATGACCATGTGGATCTTGTTGTTGTTCCTTTGGATTAAGTTTAATCATATCATCTATTCTGAGGATAGTGATAGCAGCTTCAGTAGCAAACTTGATACATTTAACCTTGGCAATGGCTGGTTCGAGTACACCTGCCTCTAGATTATTTCTAACCTTGCCGTTGATGAGATCGAGACCACTGTACATGTAGGATTTCTTGGTAGCGTCAGTTTGAGCAGCATGGTGATAGGATCTGAGTTTTGAAACGAGTTCAGTGGCATCTTGAGCGGCATTGACAGCAAGTTGCTTTGGAATGACGAGGAGTGATTCGGCAAATTCGCTAATGGCCAATTGTTTACGTGAACCCATAGTCTCGGCAAAGTTGTCGAGATAGATAGAGAGGGCTGATTCAACTGCACCACCACCTGGTACAATGGTTCCGCTTTCCAAAGTACGTTTGGCAATGCACAATGAATCATGGAGTGAACGTTCCATTTCGTCGAGCAACAATGATGAGGCACCACGTAAAATGATAGAGGCTGCCTTCTTGTTGGTAGAGTTCTTGACAAGGATGAGTTCATCATCGGCAATACGTGTTTGGACAACTTCATCGGCAGAACCCAATGCAGATGTATCAAAACTTTCATCACCTTCGAGATTGTTGAGTGAAATGAGTACTGTACCACCACAAGCCTTTGCAATTCTCTTGAGATCTTCTTTCTTGCATCTTCTAACGGCCATTGCTCCTGCTTCTACAAAATATTTAAGACATAAATCATCGATACCTTTGGTTGTCAAAACAACATTTGCTCCTGATTTTAATATTAATTGAATTCTTTCCTATAATTGTGGATAGATAGAGAAAAAGAGAGATAAATTTTAGTTTATTCATATTTCTTTTTCTTTTTTGTTTTTTTTTTACATACTTTAATGATATCATTTTCACGATCACGAATAGCTTCCAAATCATTAACATTTGTAACGACAACCTTTTGACCCAACTTCATCTTTGCCTTTTGAAGGTTGAAATCGAGGAAAGCAATCTTTGCACCAGCAATACGCTTTGGCATACCTTCAGAGGCGACGGTACAATTGAGGGCATAACCTTCAACGAGCATACTCTCCTTGGCACTCTTACCGTGAGCCTTGAGAATGTTGACAGAGTTGATTGGATATTTAGCATCACCCTTATAGTCTATGGTTTTGATACGAGCCAAAGCATCGACGACCATCTTTCCAAAGAATTCACTGTCATCACCAATAATCTTTGATGACATTGATGTCTTTACAGTGTTGATAATATAGTCCTTGGAGAGAGTCTCTACCTTTACAGCCAATGTTTCATTGATGTATTTGATTGCCTCTGTACATGCAATACGATAACCGCTAATGATAACGGTTGGATGAATCTTTTTGAGTACCAACTCATTTGCGTGCTTTAATAACTCTGCTGCAAGAATAACAACAGAAGTTGTACCATCACCTACCTCTTGATCTTGAAGATCGGCGAGTTGAACCAATACCTTTGCTGCTGGATGTTCAACCTCCAACATCTTTAGAATAGTAGCACCATCATTGGTGATGGTAATATCTCCTATATTATCAACCAACATCTTGTCCAATCCAATTGGTCCAAATGATGTCTTTACAATATTTGAAATAGCTGTTACAGCAGTGACTATAAATTTAATAATAAATAGGTAGGTATGGTGTATAGGTAGTAGTTAATATTAATTAGTATTAATAAAATGTCATAGTAGTAGTAGGAGTAGTAGTAGTAGTAGGAGTAGGAGTAGGAGTAGGGGGTTAATGCAAATACAAACCATTTTGAGTTCTAACATCTTGACCAGAGATACGTTCTCCGTCAATCATAAGTACTTTTCCGCTCATTGCTATATTCTATTATCTAGTAAGTGGTGGTCGATGAACATAAGAATTTGATGTGTGCACGAAGAAGAGATCATCAAAAAAGTTCAAAAAAAACTATTTCCTTTTTTTTTTTTTTTTTTTTAAATATTTTTTTTAAATTCCTTCCCAAACACATAAATCTCTGGAATAATTATTATTATTTCATTAAAGTTTTGGAAACATGGAAAATTCAATGTTGATGAATTTGTTACTTGTCATCTAAAATACCAACATATAAATCTTTTTCAAAGAACCAATGATTTTGACCTTTTTTTTTTTTTTTATTTTTTTTGATATTTTTTTTGGCCCACCTCCAAGATTGACCTTTCAAATTAATGGTTTATTCATTAATAACACTACACAACACACATATAACTACATAACAATAATCATGAGCGAAGAAGGAAAATCATCCATCGAGGAAGGTATGATCACACCCGAATCGATAAATAGAGAGAGAGAGATAGATAGAATTATCATTATACTCACACTTTGAAATCTATCGATTTATGATGATTGATGACATTCATCATTCATTCTTTCTTTCTTTCTTTTATATATTTATACAGCATTTGCATGGGCCGTCAAGAATGGTGATCTTTCAAATGTTAAAACTGCAGTTGAAGCTGATCCAAAGATTCTTAACAAATTAGATGCCAACCAAAGAGGACCTGCTCATTGGGCCGCTGATTTTGTATGTTGTTGTTGTTGTTGTTGGTGGTTGATTTTTATATCCTCTCTCTCCCTTCTTCATCCATTGACTAACCATCGTCATCCTCCTATTTAACAATATGTAGAACCAAGTTGAAGTGTTGACCTATCTTATTTCTAAAAAGGTCAACGTAGATCAAAAAGACAAATATGGAATTACACCACTCCTTGCTGCCGTTTACGAAGGGCACGTAGAGTCTGTTGCTCTGCTCGTCAAATCTGGTGCCTCTGTAAAGACGGAAGGTCCAGATGGAAGAACTGCTGTTGAAGCTGCTGAAAGTGAGCCAATTAAAAAGGCTCTCTCTGGAAAATGAATAGATGTTCATGATCTATCAAACTTGGTTATCGATTGAAAGACTTGAATGGATAAAATATCAGATTTTAATATTAAAATCTCTGCCCACCACCATTGAACCAACATCTTCAAAAAAAGCAATCTAAAAAAAAAACAACCAAAAAAAAAAAAAAACTATTATTTCTTTCTGTCATCCAATAAAATAGGTGAATAAAATTGTATTTATAACAATGTAAATCTGTTGTTGTTGCCATGTTCTTGGCCTGGTGAGATCGTTTCCAGACATAATAAAACAGGTTGGTTGGTTGGTTGGTTAAAACTGACCAAAGGTTTTTTTACTGGATTTGCAAAAAAAAGCAACAAATGGAAGCCATTCTCTTTTGCTCGAGCACCAATTAGAAAGTATCAATATCATTTTCTTGGTCGTCCATATCTTGGTCATCTTGATCATCAGCGTCGCTGAATCTGACCGACAGAACAGTAAATACAGCATCGCACCAACGATACAGGGCTTCACCTAGTTGTCCACCACAGTTGGCAAACACCAACTCTGGTGTAAACTCTGGGTGAATTACATTGTGTGAGTTGTCTCCATTCTCTCCATCCGATATAAAGTATGATTTCAACATTTGGTAGGTATGATAACTAACATCGTTCAATGGATTATGATTTTTAATTGCCTCTACCAATATCGTTGAACTCTGACATACTCCATTTCTAGTAGACTATAAAATAGAAATATTTAGTTATTAGTAACAAAAATAAAAGTAAAAAGTATGATCTTTTACCATAAGAAGCAATATACATACATCAAAACTAACGAGTTGTCCATTGTTGAGAATCAATGAAAGAACGAGAAATAGTGATTGTAAAGATGCTATTTGTGTACCATTGTCAGACATGGAGAGAACGACAGATAGTTGATCATTGTTTTGTGATAGTAGAGCTACAATCTCTTGAATATCTCTGATAGCCATCTCTTGTATTGCCACTTGTGCACTTTCAAAAGCTCTTCTTCTCATATCTACAATATCTATTTGTTCATCGTTGTTTTGTTGTTGTTGTTGTTGGTTTGTCATTTTAAATTACAAAAGTTGTTTTATTATTAGTTTTAATGAGTAATTTCTCGTTCTACGCTAGAACATTTTTTTTTATTAGGTTTTTTTTATTCAATATTAGTAACGCTTATCGATAATGGATAACAACAACAACAACACAAACAATGCAAAAGCATTAATACTTGTAGATATTCAATATGATTTTATGGAAGGAGGATCATTACAAGTGCCAAATGCATCTGATATATTGGAACCAATCAACAAACTATTAGAGAACAACAACCAACTCTTTGATCTAGTAGTACTATCTCAAGATTGGCATCCTCAAAATCATATATCCTTTGCATCGAATCATCCAGGTGCACAATGTTTTGAAACTATAGATATCCAACAACCACCACCACCGCCACCAAGATCAACAACAACAACAACAACCATTGGTAAAAAAGATATAACAATGAAACAAATAATGTGGCCCAACCATTGTGTTCAACATAGCAAAGGTAGTGAATTTCATCAACATCTATTACGATCGAGCAACATCAAAGAAGTAATAATTAGAAAAGGAATGAATGTAAATGTTGATAGTTACTCTGCCTTTCAAGATAATGATGATCAATACAAAACAGAATTACACTCGACACTCGTTCAACACCATGTAAAAGATATCTATGTTTGTGGATTAGCTACAGACTATTGTGTAGGATATACTTGTCTTGATGGAAAACAATTGGGATACAATGTATATCTCTTGTCCGATTGTACTCGAGGTGTATCAGATGATAGTACAAATGAAATGTTGTCAAAACTTGAAAATAATGGAGTTTTGCTAATAAAATCTACCGATCTTTAAATCACAACATCAAATACAAAACAAGGGAAAACACAAATGATGTAAAATGGATTGTAGTTGTTGTTGTTTTTAGATTTAATTTAAAATTATATTTATTTAGAGGAGGGCAGCAACCAAAGCAACGACGACGGCAACCAATGAGGCAGCGACGGTAGAGGCAGAGGAAGAATCTTCGAGGGCGACACATGAGACGACACCAGAGAAACCAGAGAAGGCACCATTTCCACCTTCAGTGCAGTTAGCGTTACATTCAGCAGCTGGGAAGGCTTCGACAGCAGTTCCGTTACATTGGGAGGTAGCGTTGGTACCAAAGTTGGTGAAGGTGTATTGGGTTCCGGTGACGTTGACAAAGACGTATGGCCATTCGGAGGTACCGCATGGGTTGGTGAGCTTGACACATTCACCAGCGTTGGCAGTGACGTTCTTTAATCCGTTGGTGGCATTGGTGGCACATGCTTGGTCACAGTTGGTGGTGAAAGTGACTTGGGTAATGTGGTGGGAGGTGGCGATGGTAGCAAAGAGGGCTACGAAAGCAAGGACAGCGACGATTTTCATCATTTTTTAGAAGATATTATTTATATAGAGAGGTATAATAGAATAGTACAAATCAAATGAATGAAAAAAGAGTCCTAGATATAGGTTGCGTCTAGTGGGGAAAACAAAATAAATAAATAAAAATAAATAAAATTCGAACGACTATGTGATGACGAGGCCTATTGCCTAGCAAAGCCTCATTGTCAGGGGCTAATCCTGCCCAACAGTTCCATAACGCCACATCTGCGGCTTTTGGAAGGTGGATCGTTGGCTGGTAGACTAGGCTCCAAGTCTGTCTTGTTCTTTGGTTTTTGTTTTTGTTTTTTTTTATTTCGATCACCCCCACTTCTCGTAATGGGTGCCACATAGTAGCATCGGTTATCATAAAGAGGAGAACCGCTCTTTTTTTCGAGAGAAGGTTGTTTTGGGTAAAAAAAACATGCCCCAATTGTTGCGATAAAAAAATGTGCAAACATCCCAATGCACCTCGCCAGCATAGGCGACTTTTTTTGGTTCCTGTGGGCTCACGAATCTCTCCAATCAAGGATTAGTCGGTTTTTTTTTTCGTTTTTTTATTTTAAAATCCATGCCAGCAAGACGAAAACAGATCTGATTATTCAATTTTTTAGTTTAGTGATCCGAAAAGGGTCTCCTGGGTGGGCTTGTACGAAGAATAACGAGCTAAAACCTGTTCAGGTTGTAACCCTGCTACTAAAAAAAAAAAAAAAAACAAAAAGACAAACGTGCAATTGAATTGATCGGTTGGACAAGACATCTTTTCCCGTATAACTGATGATGTAAATTATTTATATATTTAGACATATATAATTAGATCTAATTTATAGTCAAGACGTTATATACTACAAAAGATCTTATCGATATGTATGATAGATAGAATCTTTACAAATTTTAAAAAAATATTGTAAAGAGTTTATACCAGACTAGAGTAAAAGTAGCCAATAAAATTTAGGAGACTTTATTTTTCCCAACAAACGTTGATGGTTGCACTCATTGTAAATGGAATTAAAGCTTCGATAGTGGTGTGATAATGATTGTTTGGTTCGTTTGCCAGTCTCGTAACATCACCATTAACGGTGAACGTGTTGACTTGAAGAATCCATGCGGTGGAATCACTGACTGGATCCTTTGGGTCAAGGTAGATATCAATGTATCTCCATGCTGGTGCTGACTACTTTGTGGTTCGTCACCTGTGTTGTCCTCGGAGATTCCTCTCCGACCTCTATAGTTGCCTCCCATTTTTGCTGGTTGTCTAAATACATTTTAAATCTAAAAACAACAACAATCCAATTTGTATTTGTATTTCCTGTTTGTCTATGTGTCGGCGGGATATTCATATCATATTTATTCCATTCAGTAAGCAGTTATCATATTCTTTTAATCCATATTGATTTGTTAGTTAGTAGTCGGTTTTGATTATTATTATTATTATTATTATTATTATTATTATTATTATTATTATTATTTAATATTTTCTCTATCTGATATTATCTTCACACATATCATCCTTTTCTTTAGCATCTCTTAATTTTTGTTCTTTCTTTGCCATCTCTACATATTCTTGATTGATCTTTAATGTTTTTTGTTCGTCTGCGCTGAGTGGTTTGGGTGTAGTTCCAGACTTCTCCATCATCTGGATTTCGATGGGCGTTGGTTCATACTCTAAAATCGAACAAAGATGTTTTGCTTGAATCATCACAGTATCTAAATGTGTATTACCAATTCTAGTGTGTTATGATGATGATGATGATTGTGAGTATTTGATAGATATTTAAAATATGGAGAACATATATATATATATATATATGATTGCCTACATACATTAATAAACTTCTGATTTCCTTTGGATCACTAACCTTTGATCCTTCTCTAAACTCTGTTCTTGCTTTGTGTAATACAAATTGTCTTCTATTTTCAGTAGGTAATTTTAATCTCTCCTATAAATATATAGAGGGTATTGGTTTGAAAAAAAAGAGAGATAGAGAGAGAATATCATCGATCAATAACTGTATAGGTGTGGGGGTAGCTCTCTTTGGTATTACAAACCCTCAATATTGATCTAAATAGTTTAATAATCTTAGTCTTATGTTTTATTCCACTGTATATTGATTCCATTCTTTAAAGAGGGAGATAATTTAAGTCTCTAGCTTTTGATCAATAAAAAATATTACCTTTGTTCTGTGAAGGACACACTTTCGTTTTTCATAGCATTAAAATTATTAGTAATAGCAAATTGCATTATTCTTCTTACACGTATACGTGATGAGTTTTACCAAATATACATTAAATAGAAATATATGTAGCTTGATACAGAGCAACATCATTCAACAACAACAACAACAACAACAATGTAAATATATTATAAATAGCACATTATTATATGCACAGTTTCAACAAAATACATCGGTACAGGTTAGATTCAAGAGTGGAGCATCACAAAAAGAAGTAATCTACAAGAAACTATCAACTATATCTGGAAAGGTACTTAATAATAATAATAATAATAATAATAATAATAACCAATGATTTATTAATCAAAACTACATTCTTTGTCTAGAATCTTCAACAAGCACTAAAAGAAATCAAACAAGGCAAACTTGGTACATCACAAACATTAACAAACTTTAAAGAAGATATTGGTGACACTAACAATCCATCAAATGCAATCGTTAGACAATTGGGAGAGAATGAATCATCGTTTGATGGCATATTTCTCATCAACGACGTACAACAACTAAAGAGAGTTTTTGAAATCATCAACAAAGAACATGTAGTGGCATTTGATTTGGAAGGATGGGAGATGGGAAAGAATGGTGAGGTGTCACTTGTTCAAATTGGTCTAAAGAATGGACGTGTCTTTATATTTGATATAATGGTATTGGGACACAATGCCTTTAAGCATGGTCTAAAAGATCTCTTGGAGAGTAAAATCATTCTAAAGATTGTACACGATTGTCGTCGTGACTCTGAGATACTCTATCATCGTTATCAAGTTACACTCGACCATGTATATGACATTCAAATTGCACATGCCCTCTTACAGAAAAAAAAAGAGGGTAATGTGCCTATACGTCGGTTTGGTCTAGCCGAACTCACCGACCTCTACGCCCCCAAACCCTATGCACAACAAGCAATCAATGTTAAACACAAAGGTCGTGATCTATTTAAAAATAATCTTGATATTTGGAGGCAAAGACCTCTACCACCTACTATCATTGACTATTGTGCCCTCGATGTCATTGTCCTTCTTCCAATCTACAATATCCTAACACCTCAACTACACAGTCCTTTTGATAAGAAATTCCTTAAAAAGAATTTCCGTGAACAATTATCCTATTTTAAAGATTCAATCAGACAATTATTTTCTAGAACTCTCATCTAAAAATTAAAATAAATCTATTAACATATATATAATTATTAATTATTATTTAATTTTATTTTTTTCAAGTTTCCTCTTATTCCTTCCTCTCCTCTCTATCTTGTCTATTTTTAACCTTGTTGTCCCTTGTTTTTGGTTAAAAAAAAAAGATGTATGATAGATTAATTCGCAAATTATAAAATAATGGTTGGATAAAAGTAATACTTTTGATATATTGACGTGATTGGTTTGTGTGTAGTGTAGTGGAGTGGGTTGTTTTGATTATTATTATTATTAAAAGAATTGATTTCAATCATGGTGTAATCATATATATATAAAAAATAGGGGGGTAGTTTGTTATTATTATTTAACATTGGCAATTCTTTGGTTGCTCAGCTGGTGGTGTAGGTAATACATTGTTACCCTTGGTAATGCCTCCATCTGGAATTAAATCGACACTATAGGGATAAAAAAGAAAAAAAAAAAGGGTTAACATGAAATTTGGAGATGAAGGTCAATGTCATTTCGATACATACTTTCCCTCTTGAACGCTTTGGAAAATCAATCTAGCAGTCTTTAAGAAAGCCTCTTCTACATTTTCACCAGTCTTTGCACTAGATTCAACAAAAATCAAACCATTTTGTTTGGCAAATGTGGAAGCCTCTTCGTATGTAACGTCTCTTTGTCCATCGAGATCCTTTTTGTTACCAATGAGCATAATAACAGTATTTGGGTTGGTTAAGTTTCTGGCATCAGTTAGCCAATTGGTCAAGTGATTGTATGTAATTCTTCTTGTAATATCGTAAACCAATAATGCACCAGCTGCACCTCTATAATAACTTCTTGTAACTGCTCTAAATCTTTCTTGACCAGCAGTATCCCACTAAAACAAAGTTTGGTAGTGATTAGTAAATATATATATGTCATTCAAAATGAATCAAAATGGTATGGTGGGGTGTTTTTTTTTTTTCTACTTTTCTTCATCTTTGCACTATCTCTCTCTCTATCTTTCAACATAACTCTTTCTCTCTCTCTCTCTCTATCTATCAACCTACAATTTGCAATTTAATCTTTTTGTTGTTAACATCAACGATTCTGGTTCCAAATTCTACACCAATAGTATGTGGATTATCAGGTACGACTGGTAGGTAATAGATTATAATAAAGAGCAACGTTAGTTTAGAGACAAGGATGAATCATACGAGCAGCAGATGACGATGATTATGTTTAACAACTTACACTTATTCTCTGTGAATTGATGTAGCAGACATGATTTACCTACACCCATATCACCAATAATAATGTACTTGAAAATATATTCATATGGAAATGACATTCTGTTGTTGTTGTTGTTTGTTGTTTGATTAATAAATTGTGATAAAGATGTATAAGTTTAGAGAAAAGCAATGGATAATGAACGAGTAAATGGAAAGATAGTAGTGTTTGTAATATAGGATGTAGCTATCTTCTTCGATGAATGATTAAGAGAGAGAAACACAAAGTTCACTATTTAATTTGTTCAACTTTTTTGTTTTTTTTTTTTTTTTTTTTTTTTTTTTTCTTTGCCACTCAACTTCTTCTTCTTCTTTTTGACGGCTGATGATGACGACGAGAGAATTAATTAAAGATTGTTTACATTTTATTATTATTTACAATTATCATCTCAGATTTATAATATTATTTGATACTTTTCACAAAGTTGATGTGATTGTTCTTGAAAGTTTGATTCGATTGCAAGTTTGCTGCTCTGTATGGATTCATCGATGACAGTCTTTTCTTGACCATGTTTTTCCATTCTAACCAATGTATCACTATCTCGGTGTGATTGATAGACATCCTCTTTTAATATTTGATTTTGTATTCTATCGTTTAGATCTCTCAATCTCTTGTTTATCTTTTCGAGATGTTGTTGTGATGCATCTGTCGATTGTTTTGCATTTGCCACGGTTGTATTGGCATTTAGTGTCTGTTGGTGTAATGCAAATATGTCTCTATCTGCTCTCTTACTCTCAAACTCTCTTATAAATGATTTGATCTCTGTCTCTATAAAATAGTTTTGATCAAAATAGAAATTATAGATATTTCCAAGGTCTTTTAGAGTATTGTTGTTTTATTGATGTGTGTGGGTTAGTAGGTATTAGAGAATGGATTTGGTGCGTCTGTTATCTATACCTTTAATTAAAGGATCAATTGTACCAAATGTTATTTTTTTACTCATCTCTCTTCTCTCTCTCTCTCTTTTTGTTGTTTGCGATAGTATACTTTTAATAATGCAATAGTATCGGTGAGACACACCAAAAAACAAGATTATTATTTTTTTTTTTTTTGATTTTTTTTTTTGTGATGAAGAAGAAAAAAATAATAATAATTTTATTGTATCAACAGTTGTATTATATTATAACCATCCCCATCTTCATCCACATAATCATCATTTTCTTAACTAAAGATATTGATCAACACTTGTATTATATTTAAAAGCTAGACTTGATAGAGAGAGAGAGAGAGAGATCTTTAACCAATCATCATCAATCATGTCAGAACCTACATTAGATATCAATGTTTATACACAACAAACAATTCCATCAGCATTGGCAGAGTTAATGGACAATCACTCAAAGATGCAACAAATCTCTGCATACTGTAAACAATCCTATGTACCTGGATCGGCAGAGGCAACACAAATCTATGATCAAACACAAAGCTATGCAAAGAATGCACTATTGAATGTTGCCTATCACATTCAAACTATTGGTACACATCTTACAACACTTACACAACTACAACTCAACGAGGTCGATAAACTCGATCTTCAAATCAAGTATCTTTCCCAACGTATTGACATGATACACGACGCATCGGGTACAAATGTATTCCGTGGTAACGATAGTGCTCGTCCCTACAAATCAACGCTCAAGGATAGAAAGGTAGATGCCGATTCAACTCGTGCTCCTCAAAAGTTTGTTCGTAAACAAGTTCACTATGGTATCTCTGCACCAACAACAACAACGGCCACTCTTCAACACCAACAATCCAATGGATCACTTTCAGATTCACAAGGTCTCCCACCTCCACCACCACCATCTTCAACCAATTCATCAAATCACTCATCTCAACCATCGACTCCATCCGTGTCATCACCTTCATACACTAGTACACCACCACCAGTGTCTGCCAAGCCTCGTCCACAACAACCACCACCACCAGCAGCACAACCACCTTCCCTCAACATGCCTCCATCTATTCCAACTCGTCCACCCTCTATCCAACAATCGTCTGATTTCCCACCACCACCTCCACCATCATTTGATCTTCCACCACCACCTCCATCATCCTATGACTTCCCACCACCTCCACCATCATTTAATCTCCCACCTCCACCAGCATTTGATCTTCCACCACCACCTCCACCAATGTAAATTGATGATCGTCGTCGTCGTCGTCGTTGTACAACCATCCATCGTCACCGCCCGAGTCGGGCTTGTAAACCACCACCACCACCACCACAAAATAAAGAAGCAATAAAAGAAAAAGTTGCCCGAAACTATAAATATATATATAATTGATTTATTATTACCGTAAATAAGCATTGCTGGAAAATTTATTATTAATATCTCCATTTTGATATTGATACATATTATTATTATTGTTAAGGGTATTATTTTTTAGTGAATGGGCTGGAGCTTTAAATTGATTGCTCACAAAATTCGGAGAGTTTGGGTTTAATATAGATTTTGTATTCTTTTGTTCAGGGTTGACAAGAGAAGAAGAAGAAGAAGAGGAGTCTGTCATTGTTGGTGAAATAGCACCATCAACAACAGAATTGATATTTTGATTGATTTGTTGTTTCTGGTTATAATGTGGGGATGGCATTTCCAAATTTAAAAGTTCCTCGTGATCCTCTTTACTAAATATTCTTTCACGTGCTTTTTGATAGGCAGCTTCCTTTTCTTCTAGACTTAGTTTTGATGACGATCTTTTTGATTTTGAGTTGGTACCCAAGCCATTGTTTGAAGAGTTTAGAGGATTTCGTTTCATAATCTTTTTAACCTCTGGTATTGCTATCGTTTCTTCAACGATATTGTTACCAGTAGTATTGATAGAAGATTGGTTGTTTGTAATGGCCGTACCATTTGGTCCTTCTTCGTAAATTTGTTGTTGGGGTTGTAGTAGTTGTTGAGGTTGTAGTAATTGTTGTTGTTGTTGTTGTTGTTGTTGTTGTTGAGGTTGATTGAAACGGTTTTGTTGATAGTGAGGCCTTGGTTTTTGATATGAATTATAATTTCCTTTATATATTTGGCCATAGTTGTTGTTGTTGTTTGTTGGTGAGGAAGGAGAGCTAATAAATAATGATGATGATGATGACGATGATCCCATATGTTGGGTAGAAGTGACATTTGTATCCAAATTGTTATTATGATGTTCTTGGTAAAATTGACCATTATTATTGGAATAATGATGACCGTTGTTGTTGTTGCTTGCAGCATAGGCAGCATTTTGATAAATCATATGATTGTAATAGTTTGGAATGTTTCCATTGTTGTATACCATTTTGTTATTATTATTATTATTATTATTATTATTATTATTATTATTATTATTATTATTATTATTATTGTTAATATGCTGATAGTTATTATTATTATTGAATCTATAGGAAGGATTCTTATAGTTTACGTTTCTATTATCGATTGCAACATGGGTAGTATTATTATTAAGTTGATGACCGTATTGGTTGTTATAACTATAGTTATAGTCGTTATTATTTCCGTCTACATAGTTATTTGTATGATCTCCAACAACAGCAGCTGTAGCAGTAGTAGCAGCAGTAGTAGTAGAGGTTGAAATATCGATTGAATTACTACTATGCATACTGTATCCTCTATATATATATATATATCTATCGCTCTATATCGTTGTGTTAACACAAACTAAGAGGAAGAGGAAGAGGAGAGATGAAGAGGAGGAGAACCGAGAAACAAAAAAGATGATATAATATGATTGGTTTAGTGTTCCTCTTCTTCTGACAAGTATACTAAAGATATAAAAAAAAAACAAAAAAAAAAAACTCTTTTAACGTTTTTTGGTTTATTATTATTATTATTATTATTATTATTATTTTGATTATTATTATGACGAGTTTGATAATGGTTCAAGAACTTCTCTAATCTCTGGTGTCAAACACATCATTGTTAGACATTGTTGAATTTGGTTGGCAATATGCTCAAACCGGAAAACAACAAGGAATTTGACTACCTTTAGCATATATTTTTGGTTGCTTATGTTTGGGTTAAACGATAAAGATGAACAACAATTGATTAGAGTTTTGTCTTTTACATTTGGAATCTTAAATTCTTCCCTCTTTTCGTGGAGGAACTTTAGAATTGGAAGATGAAAGACTGAATGATTGATGGCATCAATTGTACAAGTTGCATCAAGTCGGTTATTATGTAGAAATTGTACAATATTTAAATATCCAAATTTACAGGCTTGGTCCTGAATTAAAATAAATAAAAAAGATTAATAAAAAACAACCAATTTAATTTATCGGTAATACACAGTAATAATTACCATTGCAGAGGTTGTACAAATTGTTGATTTAAAATGGGTGTGAATATATTGGACCAAATTTAGATTACCACTTTCACAGGCAAGATCTAACAATTTCTCGCTGTCATTTGAGAGTGGTACAGCGGCAGCAGCAGGTGAGAAGGAGGATGGATTGTCTTCATGATGTAAAAGTTCGAGCTGGAATTGAGTTTCATAAAGGAAGTAAAACATATCAAAGTAACGGTATTGAATGGCAGTTGATAGAGCAGACTCAAACTTTTCCTCGCGGTGGTGAATCAGAAATCTTGCAACATCAAAATGTCCATTTTGAACTACCTTTTTAAGTGTAGTCTTATTGCATCCTTCGGTTCTATGTTCATGAAGGTACATGACCACATCTAAATGTCCATGTTCAGCTGCGACTAGTGTATGGAGAAGTGGGAGAGAGAGAGAGAGAGGAGAGACAAGTAAGTATAGATATAGATTACAAAACAATGTGTAAAAGTGTCAATACAAACGTGACATGGCAGCAACAGAACATGATAATCTGTCGATCTCTTGATCAAGTAATTCAAGCATATCGAGTCTTCCTTGGGATGCTACACCATCACCAATATTTTTAGTACATCCAATTGCCTTTGATTTACCAAGAATAAACTTTAACACATCATATGAGCATTTAGTGGCAGCTCCAACTAAAAGTACATGATTATTAGATATATAAATTCAGTAAGGAAGGATAAGAATAGTGATGATAATGAATGATAATGTGTATACCTTACCAACATTTTTGGTAACTTTAATGCCAACTTGTTCCACAAGATACTGACATACATCGAGATGGCCAGCAGAACAGGCGCCTGTTAGAATTGAAGCTTGATCGACCAAAGAAGGTTTATAGAATTGAATGAGGTGTTTAAGAATTGGCAAGTTACCATTACTCGCAGCTTTTTCCAATGCAGTAATTGTCACTGGATAAAGATCATTTAATCCTACAAGATACTAAATAAATAAATAAATAAAGAATTAATAAAAATTAGGTGGAATTGAAACAACAATTGTTGTTTATATATATATATAAATATTTACTTTAATAATTTCAAGATGATTATTTTCAGCAGCTGCTTCAATGGCATAAGATGTAAAACCTTCAGATCTGTTATTATATAGAAAGGTGACAACATTGAAAAAGCCATTAAGTGAGGCAATGTCGATGGCTAATTTCGTGCATCCTTCACTTCGATGACTATGAAGAAACTCTAATAGTTGTATATTTCCCTGAGCGGAGCAGCTGTCCATTGCCATTGTAGTGGTCTTTAATTGTTTGTTCCTCTCGGTTGAAATGTTTTGCAGGTATCGTGCTACATCAAGATGTCCATTCTTGCAAACTAGATCCATCGTGTTTCCATTGATCTCTAGGTCTGGCTCAATTTTGTCGATAAGCTCTAATACTTTAATGTGACCATTGATCGCTGCTACATGATATTCTACTGCTGTAAATTTAAATGTAGGATACTTATTATTATTATCGTTGTTGTTGTTGTTGTTGTTGTTGTTGTTGTTGTTGTTGTTGTTATTGTTATTGATGAGTAACAGTCTAGTAATAAGATCCATGTGGTTAAATTGACAAGCATATCTTAGAGTATGTTGATCCATGTACATGTTGATTGGTTCTTTTTCTAATTGTTTAATGACAGCATCCTTGTAACCATATAGAATCAACTGATGAGAGTTTAAACAAAGATCTTTCCACTTTAAACTTCTTCTTAGTTGCTTTCGATGCAACTGATTAACAAATGATACAATCTTTGTTCTAAGATATAAATTTCCCATTACACTAATAAATGATGAATAATTGGTTGTTACATTATTATTATTATTATTATTATTATTATTACTACTATTATTATTATTACTGTTATTATTGATGTTACTATTAGTATCCATTCTCTCCTTTCTATCTATTACTATTACTACTATTACTATTATTATTGCAGTTATTACTGATGTTACTATCAGTATCTATCTATCTTTAAAGTTTGATTTTTTTTAAAGGGGTTTTTTTAAAAAGTCACACATCAAGACTTATTTTATTATTATTTTGTTTTGGTTGATTAAAATTAGTCTCAAACCTTATAGAATTCAAGTAGCTACTTATAGAGGGTATAGATACCTTATTACTTTATTCTGTCTCTAATTGGTTCAATTTTAACCAAAATTGGGTACCCATTCACCAAAATTGGAAAAAATAAAATAAAATAAAAAAAACACAAAACAAAACGGATATTTTTTTTCGACTGAAATGGAATCAAACTTGACATTCTTCACAATTCATTTTATTTTATCTTTTTTAAAACCTGTACAACATGATCAGCAGTATTAGTAGTAGTAGTAGTACTATCAACACGAGTACAGAAAACAACAACAACAACATCAACAACAACAATTATAATCATGACTTATTATTCTATTTAAATGGAAACAAGGTAGTTGTTCGTAATCCCAATCCAGAACACACTTTATTACATTATCTTAGATCATTAAATGTTGGTATGTAACCTCCTGTTGCTGTAAACTAGCAATAATAACTCTTTCTCTCTCTCTCTCTTTTTATCAATCTATCTGTCTATCTATTTTATATTAATTCATATACATTTGTATCTATCTATTAAATATAGGTTTAACAGGAACTAAATTAGGTTGTGGCGAGGGAGGATGTGGAGCATGTACAGTGATGATATCACACTACTCATCCAATCAAGATAAAATTATTCATCGTGCTATCAATGCATGTCTATTTCCATTATGTGCTGTATCAGGATGTGCTATAACAACTATTGAAGGTCTAGGTAATGTTACCGATGGTTTGCATCCTGTTCAATCACGTATTTCAGAGGCATATGGTTCACAATGTGGTTTTTGCACACCTGGTATCATTATGGCATTGTATTCTTATCTTCGTTCACACCCCACTGCCACTCAACATGACATTGAAGAATGTTTTGATGGTAATCTTTGCAGATGTACTGGTTATAGACCAATTTTAGATGCTGCAAAATCTGTATGTTATATAACAACAACAACAACAACAACAACAACAAATAATAATAATAATCAATACTCCTAGTTGAATGTCTGTTTAATTTACTATTTTTTTTTCTTTCAATGTTTATATAGTTTGGTTTGCCATCTACAAATTCACTACCATCAATTGCAAGTGGAATTGATACAGAGACACCAGAAAAACAAAATATTTGTCCATCAAGCGGTAAACCATGTGATTGTAAATCAAATACTCAACATGTAAAATTGACCAAAAAAAAAAAGAAGACCTTTTTTCTTTCTTTTTCCATCAGATTTTGGATACTAATATTTATTTATTTATATATTTTTTATTCTAGATTCCATCAAAACCATTAGATTTAAAACAAGAATTAATCTTTCCACCGTATTTGGTAAATTACAAACAAGAAACCACTTTGAAATTCGATGGAGATAGAGCCATTTGGTACACACCAACCACATTTGATGAATTATTGCAATTAAAATCTCAATACAATCATGCCAAGATTGTAGTTGGTAATACAGAGATTGGAATTGAAACAAAGTTTAGAAATGTTGTGTATCCTGTATTATTATCCCCTGTTCGTGTTCAAGAGATGAATGGAATCAGAAAAGCTGATGATGGTATCCACATTGGTGCAAGCGTCACTTTGACCGAAATTCGTTCCTATCTCCAAGGTTTATGCAACGACAAGCAATTAGTTGACCAAAACAAGACACAAACCTATAGAGCCATGTTGACACAGTTTAAATGGTTTGCTGGCAACCAAATTAGAAATGCTGCCTGCCTCGGTGGTAACATTGTCACTGCTAGTCCAATCTCTGATATTAATCCAGTGTTATTGGCTGCTGGTGCCATTTTGGAACTTGTCTCTATCGACAAAAACACTGGTGAAAAACTTGTACGTCATGTAAACATTCGTACCTTTTTCAAAACATACCGTGTCGTTGATATCCTTCCATCTGAAGTTCTTTCAAGTATCTTTGTTCCATTTACCAACCAACTGGAGTATGTCGAAGCCTACAAACAAAGTCGTCGTCGTGAAGATGATATCGCTATTGTTTCTTGTTGCTTCCGTGTACAATTGGAACGTTCCAATCAAACAACAGCGACAGGAGAGTATTCAATCAAGGATATTTCATTGGCCTATGGTGGTATGAATGTAAAGGCTGTTCTTGCCACCAAAACAATGGATGCGTTGGTTGGAAAGATATGGTCTCAATCATTGTTGGATGAAATCTATTCAAATCTAGAGATTGACTTGCCATTGGCTGAGGGTGCTCCCGGTGGAATGATAGAGTACCGTCGATCACTCACAACCAGTTTCTTTTTCAAATTCTTTTTAACTGTAAATAACTATCTCTTTGTCGACTCTCAAGGAAACACAAAATATCAAGTCGACGAGAGAGAAAAGAGTGCTACCAATCCCTATCACAGAGAAATGACCTCGGGTGAACAAACCTACCAAACCCAACCACTTTTGCATCCAGTCACTCAACCAATTAAACATCAAAGCAGTGACAAGCAAGTAACTGGAGAAGCAATCTATGTAGATGATATGAAACAATCGTCATTGTACGCAGCCATGGTTCTCTCAACCAAGGCACATGCCAACATTACATCTATCGATGCCTCAAAAGCCTTATCATTGCCAGGAGTAAAGGGTTTCTACACTCACAAGGATATTCGTGGAAGTAACATGACAGGTCCTGTATTCTATGACGAAGAACTATTGGCAAGCAAGACTGTACTCTGTCAAGGTTATCCTATCGGTGTGATTGTAGCTGAAACACACCAACAAGCTCTAGAAGCTTCCAAAGCCGTACAAATCCAATATGAAGAGTTAACACCAGTTCTCACCATTGAAGATGCCATCGAGAAGAACTCATTCCTTGATATGGTGCACACCATCAAGAATGGTAGAGAGGTGGATCAAGTTTTTGGTGAATGTGAAAATGTCGTACAAGGAGAATTCAAAATGGGAGGTCAAGAACACTTTTATTTAGAGACCAACGTCTCTTTGGCCGTTCCAATAGAAGGTGATGAATATCACATCTACTCTTCAACACAAAATCCAACAAAGACTCAAATTCTGGTTGCCAAGGCCCTTGGTGTCTCAATGAACCAAATAGTTGTAAAGACCAAGCGTATGGGTGGTGGTTTTGGTGGAAAAGAGTCTCGTTCCATCTTTGTTTCTTGTATCGCCTCTTTGGCTGCTCAAAAACTTCGTCAACCAGTTCGTCTTGTATTGGATCGTGATACAGATATGATCACTACTGGTACACGTCATCCATTCTTGGGTCGTTACAAGATTGGTTTTGATAACGAGGGAATGATAAAGGTGGCAGACATTCAATTATTTGCCGACGCTGGTTATTCCTATGACCTAAGTGGTGGTGTATTGGATCGTGCCATTTTCCACTCTGAGAATGCCTACAAAGTACCAAACATTCGTGTTGTTGGAAGACTATGCAAGACAAATCTGCCAACCAACACTGCTTTTAGAGGATTTGGTGGTCCACAGGGTATGATGGTTTGTGAGAATTGGATTGAACAGATCAGTCATCATTTGCAAATTCCATCGTACAAGATCCGTGAAAGAAACTTTTACAAGGAAGGAGAATTAACTCATTACTTGCAAGAGGTAAGCAACTGTCACTTGGATCGTATTTGGAAGGAAACATTACAAAAGAGTAACTATCTTGCTAGATTGGAACAAGTGAAACAATTCAACGAAAAGAACAAATGGAAAAAGAGAGGTATTGCATTGATTCCAACCAAATTTGGTATGTCTTTTACAATCAAGACATTGAACCAAGCTGGTGCTTTGGTTCACATATACACTGATGGATCTGTATTGGTCACTCATGGTGGTACCGAGATGGGACAAGGTTTGCACACAAAGATTATTCAAATTGCAGCCAAAGAATTGGGTGTTCCAGTTGAAAAAGTGTACGTAAGTGAAACATCGACAGACAAGGTCGCCAATACAGCACCCACAGCAGCCTCTGTCTCTTCAGATATGAATGGTATGGCCACATTGGATGCATGCAAACAAATCAATCAACGTCTTGAACCTCTTCGTCAACGATTCCCCAACTACAGTTTTGCACAATTGACAACACAAGCCTTTGTCGAACGTATCAATCTCTCTGCCAACGGATACTATGCAACACCCAATGTTGGTTACCTCTTTAAGGATGGTGGTGTAGGTGAAGGTACTCCATTCAACTATTTCAACTATGGTTGTTCTGTCAGTGAAGTGGAAATTGATACATTGACAGGCGACCATACCATTCTACAAAGTGATATCATTATGGATGTTGGTGACAGTTTGAATCCCACCATTGATATAGGACAAGTAGAGGGAGCCTTTATTCAAGGAGTAGGACTCACTACACTAGAAGAAGTTGTTACATTTAAGCCAAGTGGCTACCAATTCACACGTGGTCCATCGACCTATAAAATTCCAGGATTCAATGACATTCCAATTATTTTCAATGTCAGTCTCTTTGGTGATGCACCCAATCCAAAAGCAATTCATTCTAGTAAGGGTGTAGGAGAACCACCATTATTCTTGGGTAGTTCTGTATTCTTTGCTATTCGTGAGGCTATCATTGCCTCTAGACAAGAACAAAAATTAGTAGATAATAATGGTAATAATGTTGTTGCCGAATTCCTTCATTTAGAATCACCTGCAACTTGTGAAAGAATTAGAAATGCTTGTATTGATAGATTCACAAAACAATTTACTAAATAATAATCAATTATGATCATTACTCATCATGATTGTTTGCATTGACCGTTTCTTTGAAATTTTGCAACAAAGAAAAAAAAAAAATTAAATAAATAAAAAATTTTAAAAAAAAACACCAACCAACCAACTAATTGGTCAGTTATTAACAACAAAGAATAAATTTACTCAAACGATTGATTCATCAAAATATCTATTTTATTACACTTGTCCCTTCATAGTACCCTTTTACTACTATCATCTTAACCTTCTTCTTCCTCTTCTTCTTTTGTAACAAAAAGAGGTTTGGGTGATGGCATCACTGCAAATACTAGAGACATTCAACAACAACAACACAACAGTATCAATAATAGCAGCAACATCTGATTTAGGAATAATACCTTCCTCCCAGAGCGTCAGTAGTAGTAGTAGTAGTAGTCCAACAAAAACAACAACAACAACAATGAATTCAACTGAATTACTTGTCTCTATTGATCACCCCTCTCTTACAGTCTCCTCTTCTTCCTCCACCTCCTCACCAAACAAAGTATCCCCCACCTCACCATCAACTCTTGACCAATCTAAATTAAAGTTATCAATGTCTCAACGAGCAATGGCAAGAAGAAGTGTCTGTGTAAACTCTACACTCTTGTCTCAGTCATTGAATACAATGGCTTTAAATTCTAATAGTAGTAGTAGTACAAGTAGTGGTAGTAGTAATAATAATAATAGTAGTAGTAGTAACAATATAAATAATAACAACTTACTTGGTAGTAGTTCAAAGGAAGAGCCATCGTCTTTAAAATTAAATGGTTCCACCTCTTTAAAGATACCATCAACAACAACAACAACAACAACATCATCAACAACAATACCAACAAACAACAACAAACCTCCAACAGAAAGACCCAATATAAAACCAGGCTTTAGACCATCCAAACAAGAATCTTTACTTAAAGCACCTGTAGTCATCAACAAGATAACATCATCTACTAGTAGTTCTACAACCACCAACAACAACAACAACAATAATAATAGTACAACAACCATTAATGATGTTGGAGCTGCTTCTTCCCTCTTACACTCCTCTGCTGGTGGTTTTACTACTACTACAGGTGGTGCAAGTAAAAGCAGATCAGGTACTCTTACACGATCATTACAAATAGAGGACGTACAAATCAAACATACGGCAGCATCGTTGGGAAAAATGAAGAACTCTACAATCTCTGAAATAAGAGACTCTAATCGAAAAAGATCTCAATCAATTACGAATCCTTCCACTTTTGTCAATCCCAACAGTAATCAAAATAACAATAACAATAACAATACTACTACTACTACTATTGCCGTTGGTTCAACTATTAATACAAATAGTAAAAATAATTCTTCAACTTTATCATCATCATCATCGTTGAGCAGCAGCACCACAGTAGATAATAATAGTCAACCAACTCCAACAAACAAAAAAGATGATGTTTTCACAAGATTATCTTCTTCTTCAAGTAAATCCAAATCAAGATCACTTTCCATTTCAAATTTAAAGGATCAACAAAATACTAATATTAATAATAACCCCCCTACACCTTCTACATCATCATCATCTTCTTCTTCTTCTTCTTCTTCCTCATCATCAACATCATTTACAAGTAAATTAATTCCAAAGATTTTAAGATCAACAAAATCATCTACTATTACACCGTCATCATTGACAACAACAACAACAACAAAGACATCCTTATTGGAGAATAAATCCAAAATATCACCAGCAAAGTCATCCACCTCTACTAGTAGTAGTAACACAAGCCCATCGACACTTTCTCCAATATCATCTCCGACCATGACATTATCAAGTAATTCACCAAAAACCACATCATCACCCTCTTCACCAAAGGATTTTAAATGTATGACTCCTTCAGTGGCATTGAAACTTTATATCAACGATCTCACAATGGCAGAGCAATCAGAGATTCTCGGTTTTCCTCAAGTATATTACACTGGTTGCACTGGCAACCAAAAGGTAATATTTGATAAGAATCTACCAAACAATGGGTACGATACTGAAGAAGGTGACTATAGAGTGGTTGTTCAAGACCATATTGCATATCGATTCGAGATTTTATCGGTATTGGGACAAGGTTCTTTCTGTCAGGTCGTAAAATGCTACGACCACAAAAATAATCAACAAGTTGCACTCAAACTATTAAGGAATCAAAAGAGATTCTACAACCAAGCACTTACAGAAATCAAAATTCTAGAGTATCTAAAAAACAATGATCCAAATTCAACAGCAAATATAGTTCACCTGTGTGATAGCTTTGAATTTAGAAATCATCTTTGTATTACTTTTGAACTGTTAAGTATGAATCTTTATGATTTCTTAAAGGCAAACCATTTCCAAGGATTTAAATTAAATTTAATTAGAAGGGAAAAAAAAAAAAAAAAAAAAAAAAAAACCTCTTATATTCTATTTATTTATTTTATTTTATTCTAGATTTGCAGCACAATTATTAACTTCGTTAAGATTCCTAGCAAAAAGAAATATTATTCATGCCGATTTAAAACCAGAAAATATATTGTTAAAACAACCCACCAAGTCAGGAATTAAGTTGATTGATTTTGGTAGTAGTTGTTTTGAAAATGACCAAAGTATGTTTAGATTAAAATCTTTTGTATAGATTTTTAATATTAACATTCAATTTTTTAATATTATTTTCTACTACTATTTAGTATTTACTTATATTCAAAGTAGATTTTATAGATCACCAGAAGTCATTCTCGGAATGAAATATGATAAATCTATAGATATTTGGAGTTTAGGTTGCATATTGGCCGAGTTGTATATGGGAGCACCACTTTTCCCTGGTAACGATGAACCAGAACAATTGGCATGTATTATAGAAATTTTTGGACTACCACCACAAACACTGGTCGACCAATCAACACGAAAAGATGTCTTCTTTGATGAAGATGGAGCACTTAGGCCAATAAACAATCCGACAACTGGCGAACCATATGGAGTTGCAACTCGTACATTATCAGAGATCATGCGATGTCCACCTGACGACAGTGATGCACCTGATTTTGTTGACTTTATAGAAAAGTGCCTACTTTGGGATCCACTCTTAAGAATCACTCCTGATCAAGGTCTTAGACATCCTTGGATTGCTGAATTAACAAATTCATTGTCTGTTCAATCCTCTTCATCATCTACTCCAATCATTTCAGTTGCCAATACTTGAAACAATATTAAAAACTATCATTGCACCCAAACATTTTTTTTGTAAAACAATGTTTTATTGTGTGTTTGTAATAATAAAAATAAAAAAATAATTATAATAATAATAATAATAAACAATCAAATGGCAACAAATATATTTATAATATTTTTGAAAAATTTTAAAAATTAATTCAAAAAAAAAAAAAAAAAAAAAAAGATGAAGTTTTATTGTTTGTTGTTCAAAGAAGAAGTGAAACAGATAAATAGTTAAACTTATTAATTATTAGACAAAAGATGAATATCTTTTCTTCAAACATTAGTAATAATGGAAATAATTTTCAAGTAAACTCTTCATCTGGAGCAGCAGGTGGCATAGGGACCATTAAAAAGACACCAAATAGCAACAACATACAACCTCAAGTTAAGAAACTTGTCATCAAAAATTTAAAAGATACCTCTAAAGCTTCTGAAAACTATCAAGTAGAATCATGGTCTCATCTTTCAAATGCAATTGACTCTATCTACAAAAAACAACCAATCAAACAAACTTTAGAGGAATTATATAGAGTGTGTAAAAGAAAGAAGAAAGAAGAAGAAGAAGAAAAAGAAAAAGGAGGGATAAGATCTTACAAAAGACTTGTGTTAACTTTTACCTTTTTTTTTTATTTACATATATATAGATGGTAGATAATCTTTGTTCGACAGAAAAATATGCAACAACATTGTATCAAAACTTATCAGACAAAATAGAAAAGCACACACAAGAACAGTTTAATGAATTACTAAACAATGCATTGGATCTACCTACATTCATGACAACACTATGCAAGTCATGGATTGATCATTCAAATATTTTGATTTTGATTATGGGTATATTTCTTTGTTTAGATAGAACTTATGTTGTCTCAAAGCATACAAAATCAATTTGGTAAGTAAAGAAATATTATATATATATATATATATCATCTCTATTTCTTTTATTAATATTTATTTATTTTATATTTATGTAGGGATATAGGTTTACATTATTTCAAAACATTTTTATTATCATCTACAAATTTAGATAAGAAACTAAGGATTGGAATACTAATCAATATTGAAAAAGAAAGAAATGGTGAAACAATTGATAAAGATCTACTACATCATCTGATCCAAATGTTGCTATCACTACAGGTATGTGTGATCTTTCAAAACAAACTCTTGTTTCTTTTCTCATCCATTATCTTTTAGATATATGAATCATTTGAAAAAGAATTATTATCAGAGACTAGTATGTTTTATTACAAAGAATCAAATCATTTAATCAACGAATATGAGACACCTGAATATCTCAAACATGTAAATAATAGAATTGCAGAAGAAAATACAAGATCTCTTCGATACATTGATCCGTCTACAAAGAGAGCAATAATACAAGTAGTGGAAAAACAAATGTTGGAACAACATTTGGATCGTCTTTTACAAAAAGGCTTTAATCAAATGGTAGAGATGGACAAGATTGAAGACTTGGAACTACTCTATTCCCTTTTCACAAGAGTCAATGGATTGAGTAAATTAAAAAGTGCATGGGGTCAATATATAAAGACAGCTGGTGCCTCCATGCTAGCAGACACTGAAAAAGACTCGAGCATGATTGAAGATTTAATCATATTTAAAGATCGAATGGATCACATTCTCAATATCTCCTTTTCAAAAAATGACCAACTAAACTATTCTTTTAAGGAATCTTTTGAACATTTCATCAACACTAGACAAAACAAACCTGCAGAACTAATAGCAAAGTTTATTGACTCTAAACTTCGCTCTGGTAGCAAGGGTATTAGCGACGATGAACTTGAAATGGTTTTAAACAAGGCATTGGCTTTATTTAGGTAGGAAAACACAACACAAAAAAAAAAAACAAATTTGATCTCTAACCATTCATTAATGTCTATTATTTTTAGATTTATTCAAGGAAAAGATGTATTTGAAGCTTTTTATAAAACAGATCTATCCAAAAGATTGTTGATGGATAAGAGCATGTCAATCGATGTCGAGAAATCTGTCGTTTTAAAACTTCGAAATGAATGTGGTACAGTCTTTACTGCCAAATTGGAAGGAATGTTTAATGATATAGAATTATCAAATGAAATTATGGCTTCTTTTAAAGAGTGCATGGCCTACACTGAACACATCAAAAATATAGAAATGAACGTATTTGTTTTGGCCTCTAGTAATTGGCCTCAATATACTCCATTAAATGCAAACTTACCAACTCAGGTATGAAATTAAAAAAAAAAAAACAAAAAACAAAAACAAACCTCCTTACCTTTTCCTTTCTTATTTACTTATAGTTTCTAGAGTACCAAGAAATGTACAGAAAGTTTTATTCATCAAAATATCCCAATAGAAAATTAATTTGGCAAAACTCTTTAGGTCAATGTGTTTTAAAATGTTTCTTTCAAAATGTAAAACAACAAATTGATTCGAAATGTTTACGAATAGCGGATTAATTTTATTTTATTTTATTTTTATTTTTTTTAGGGTAAAAAAGATACAATTTCATCACTTTTACAAACAGTCGTATTATTACTATTTAACAATTTGAACCAAGATGAAGAGATTACTCTTGGTAAGATTCAAGAATTAAGTGGCATCGAATTGGAAGAACTAAAAAGACATATGATGCCTCTTATCAATTCAAATACACGAATCCTATCGAGAAGATCCAAGAACAAATCAAAAATATTGGAAATTGACGACCTTTTCTCGTTCAACAAAGACTTTACACACAAACTCACTCGTCTAAAGGTCAATGCATTACAAGCCAAAGAGACTGTTGAAGAGAACAAAAAGACAAACGAAGCTATTATCCATGATCGTCAATATCAAATTGATGCAGCCATTGTCCGCATCATGAAGGCGAGAAAGACTCTAACACACAACCTTCTCATGAGTGAACTGTTCCAACAACTTCGATTCACTCCAAAACCAGTGGATCTTAAAAAGAGAATTGAATCGTTGATCGAGAGAGAATATCTTGGCAGAGATCAAAACAATCCAATGAGTTACCATTATTTAGCCTAGTTGGAAAATAAAAAAAGTATTAAAAAAAAGATGCCGAAAAAGAAGTTTTATTTTAAAATTTATACAAGAGTTGTTTTATCGATCGATTATTGTTAGTTGTGATGTTTAATTGAAATGTAGGCACCACTGCTACTACTACTACTGCCACTTATTGATCCTGTCCAAGAACCAGATGATGCAGACGATGCAGAAGATGATGATGACGAAGTTCCACTCGAGCCGGATCCTCCAGATGCTTGTGAGTTTGAAGCGCCACTTGAACCAGATCCAGAAGAAGCTGAACCAGATCCAGAAGATGAGTAACATTTGTGAATTTTGTAGCAAGCTTGTTCTGGATTTAGTTTGTCTCGAAGATAACCAATCAATTGAGGACCATTCTCATCTACAATATTCTCGCATGTTTGTTCCCATGACTTGTCACTTAGACGGTGGCAAGATTGTGTGGCAACCTCTAAAATGACTGGGATGGATTGATTACTTGCTACCATACCAGATATTCCTGATACTATATATTTACAAATCGAGCAATCAAAGTTGTCGTTTTTGTCAATGTTTTCATTATTATTTATATTGTCATTATTGTGATTCTTATTGTTGTTGTTGTTATTTAAATGGTCTTGTTGACAAATTCCAATCGATAAACAGAAATTATTAGAGTTGCTGCTGAACTGGTTGTGATATGTTTGAACAAAATATTGACACAATTCTCTATCATAATGTATGGAACATGAATCTATCAATAAAGATTCATCTTTGATAGAAGAGTCAAAATGATCAACAACATTGATACACAATGAACATTGTTGTGATGAGATCTTGTATGAAAAGGTGGAGGGTATGGCGACCCAAACAAGTAAAATTAAAACGGTTGAAAAAATGTGGTGATATCTAAAATGCATTTGTCTTTCTTTGTCTTGTATATATATATTTGTTTTATTTTATTGTAAATGTACACGATCGAGTAGAATAGTGAAAAGAAATATTTGTTAGCGCTCATCTGAAAAAGTTGAAAAAAAAAAAAAAAAAGAAAAAAGAAAAACTACAAACGAGAATTCGTGAGCATATTTTGTGTCTCTACAACAGACAACAATTAATTGATTCTTGTTCTTTTGGATTTAAGAATTGTATTTGATTTAAACCAAAAGATCTTCGTATCGTTTGCAAATTTATTATTAAACACAACTTGGTTTTTTTTTTTTTTTTTCTCATACAATAATTTTTTCGCTATTTTTAGATGCTAGTAGTCAAGAAAACACATTAAAGTCCCATTTTTGGATTCATTGTTTTTTTTTGTTAACTTGTTGTTTCTTGTGAAAGTTGGCCTTTTCCATCGTTGTTGTTATTTTTTTAACGTTGACTCTGATTATTTGTATTATTATTGATCAGTTTTTAAAAATATTTCGTTTTACAATTATTTATACCCACCCTCGTATTAACAACGATTTGTAGTTGTTGTCTAATATTGTATATATCTTTTTAGTCTATATTTTTTCTTATTTATTTTACCTACAACAACAACAGCAAAAACAACAAACAAACTGTATATCAACAAACAACAACAACAACAACAATAATAATAATAATAATAAAATAATAATAATAATAGTAAACAATGATGGTTGGATTAAATGAAATAGTTCACAATAAAACATTAGCATTATCATTTAGAAAGTTCCTACACGAAAGATACAATAACGAGAATTTATCTTTTTGGTTGGAGGCAGAGAATTTTAAAGCAATCGACAATGATAATACCCGTTTAAAGAGATCAAAGGAAATATACCAAAAGTATTTCTCTACTGACAGTAAATATGAACTAAATATCGATCACCATCAGAAAAAGGAATTGGAAACAAAGATGCAAGGTACTCCTTCTATTGACTTGTTTGTCCCAGTTCAAATTACAATTCGCAAACTCATGGAAATGGATGCTATTCCTCTATTTTTAAAGTCAGATTTATATAAACAATGTAAAGGTATGAAATATCAGCAGCAGCAGCAAGCAAGCAAGCAAGCAACCACAACCAACAATCAATTTCTTTTTCTAACATGCCTTCCTAATTAAAGAGAATCAAAGTCCATCTGATCAGATTGGCAACAGCAGTAGTAGTAATAGTAGTAGTGGTGGTGGTAGTAGCGAAAGAGATCGAAGTGTAACTATATGTGAGATGGAAGAATTTCTATTATCTCATCCCCCAATTAAAAAATAAAACAACAATCCCAACTTTTTGTACAAATGATAATTAAACCTTTGTTCCATAGTTTTTTTTTATTAATGAGATCCATTATTTGAATTTATATCTTCTTCTTCGTTATTATCAAGTGATAATAAAGATTGTTTAAGATTTCTTACAGAGGATTCTATAGAGTCAAGAGAGTCAATGATGGTTTGAAAACTCTTTTTTCTTTTTCTAGACTCTAATAAAAGTTGGTTGTTCACTTTTTCAGTCAAATCGTCTTTGATTTTCGATAACTTGTCCTCGATGACACTTTCGACTTGTTTGTTTGATTTGAAAAGATCTTGAATTGATTCGTTGATGAATTTTTGTAAAAATTCATTTTCTAAAAGTTTGGCGACCATCGTTTTGTCACCATCGTTTTGTTGTTTTTGTTGGTTGTTGATAATACTAAACCCTCCTCTTGTACTAAGATTATTTGAGGTGTTGTTGTTGGTGGCGCTGGAAATTGGTTGTCCCTGTTCAAATGCCCCAAAGTTGACGGGCATGGTCGGTGGAAAAGCATCACTGTCTGATGAATCATCGTTGGGAGATGGATAGTGGTGGAATGAAGTTGTAATTGTTGTGGTCGATGAGGTATAGTTTTTTGCTTTTCTACTGCTGCTTTGGTTGTTATTCGAAGAGAGAGGTGAAGTAACAACCAATGTTGCAGGGATTGAAGATGATGGTGATGAATATGGCGTGGAATTTGGTCGATAGAGATATAGATGAGAGGGTGGAGGTGTGGGAGGAGTGGATGTGTTGGGTAATGGTGACTGTGACGGTAAAGGATAGTGGTGTTGTTGTTGTTGTTGATGATGTTCAGTTTGTTCGGGTTGTTGTTGTTGTTGAAAAAATATATTATTAATTATCGTTGGATTATTACTATTGTTATTGTTGTTGGCGCTATTAGTGATTGAATTATTTTGTTGTTGAGAACCATTTTCAACTAGTACAGGGATATCGTGGCCTTGAGTACTTTCAATTGGTTCATCATCGTCATCTGCAGAGTCGCCGGTTGTCAGTATTGTAGCAGAGGGTGTGGCGGGATTATGCACACAATCATCATCCAATAGTGGTATGGTGGTGTCCAAATTTGATGAAGCATTTAAAATATCAAGAGGATAGCGGTGCTGTGGGGAAAAGGAAGAGGAGGAAAAATCAGATGATCGGTTGGTTGGTTTTGTTTTGTTTGGTTTGATTGGTGTAATAATATCAATTGAGGCATCCAATTGTGGTGGTGGTTGATGCTTCTTTTTTTTGTGAGGAGACAAGGAAGCCTGCTTTGCAATGGGCTGAGGAGTTGTCGCATTGAAAAATGGTAACAGTTGATTTGAACTCGCAGATTGGCGAGGATTGGGAGATTGTTGGTTTAGGTGGAATAGATAGTCGAATTTTTTTTTCTTTACCAATTCTCTTTCATTATCGTCTTTAAATCCATGCCAATTTTCATTTATAAATTCCAACTGATCGGCTTTCAACATCCACTGACCATTTGTAGTGGTTGCAACTCTTTCAAGTGCAAGTGTAATTTGAGAATCGTCTTTGACTTGTGAAACATTAAATCTGCTTTTAATTTCAACCATTGTGTATGAACGAAGGGAAAGGATATGTATCAGTTCAACTTCAAGTTGAACGCTCGTAAGTGAGGATTGGAGAGTAGTAGTGCCATTTTCCTGCTTTACATAAATTGGTTGAAAGTGTTGTTGCGCAGAGGAAATTGGGTAAAAGTCCAATTGCTTCTTTCTATTTGACTGTGGGGTTGTATTTGGACTAATGTTTGGTTGTTGTGGTGATTCTTTTATATTCGATGTTTGGTCATTGTGTGAATCTCTTGATGGAGTTGTGAATTTTAAGGGTGTTCTTTTTGGAGTAGATTGTAGAAAACTAGATGTTTCGTATATTTCCTCAACCTCTTCCTTTTTTTTCAGTTGTTTGGTTCCTTTTTTGGCTCTAGTTGTTGTTGTTCTTGTTGTTTTTGGTGGCATGATTTCTATAAAAGGAGAACTATCTATCAGCTTTTTTTTTCTTTTTGATAGTGCAACCGGCTTTTGGTTGGTGGCGGTGGTGGTAGTAGTAGTAGTTGAGAGGAGAGGTTTTGTTGGTGTCAAAAAGTCTTGGTCTATTTCCTTTTTAATTTTTTTTGGCTCTGGAATATATATTGGATAGTCCTTTTCCTCTAGATTTTTCCAATCATTGGCTTCGTCGATAGCTTTTGTCAGCTTGGTATGATCTCTTGCCTTAAATTTTTGTTTAATTAAATCTTCTGGTCGATATTGTCTGATTTGTGTTTCTTTTACCAAACCACTAGATAAAAAAAAAAAAAGATTAGATTCATGTATAAACAAAAAGAAGAAGAACAAGATTGAAGATATACATACTAATCTTGTGAACCAAAAAAATAAACAAGAAACTGATCCTTTTTACTTCCTTTTAAAGTTTGTGGACTTACTTCAGATAGTTTTGCTACTCTAACAGGCCATATACCCCAATCACCGTAATGAACTGATAATACTTCACCCTCTGGGTATGAAGATATTCCCAAGTCTACCTGTGAAGATGATAATTGAGAAGATGATAGTTGAGATAGTTGTAATGGGGCTGTTGTTGTTGTTGTTGTTGTTGTTGAACAAGATGAAGATTGTGGACTAAAGTATTGTTGTAAAGACAATGATGTACTGCTGCTGTTGCTGTTTTGAAGTTCTTGTTGTTGCTTCTTTTGTGTCATACTAATGTTTATTAACAAATAGATAGATAGATTATATAATTATGTGTAATAGCCTTTTTTTTGCATTGACAAACTTTCTCTTCCTCTCTAAAAGCATGAATATTAATTGTTAGTTGTTGGTTAATAATAAAAATTGAATCGGTGAAGACACGACAAGAGTATTATTAAATTTAATTTTATATATTTTTTCTTTTTGTTATACATGGATGAACAACAACAACAACAAGAACAACATCAACAATCATCAAATAACAACAATAATAATGATTTATTACAAACTGTTGAAGATCTTGTAGAAGAATTGAGAAGAACTATTATAGTTGTTGAGGAATTTCAAAATCAAAGCCAACCATTGCTTTTTGAAAGACTGTATGACAATTAGATTAGATTAGATGAATAAATAAATACCTTTACTTATATATATATATAGTAATAAGATTATAGGGTACTATGGTAAGATAGAAAGCCAGAAAAAGCAATTTGATAGAGCAGAGATACCATTAGAGATCTTTAACGTTATAGATCAAAGTAAGAATCCTGATCTCTATGTCAAAGAAACACTACAAAATTGTATAAATGCCAACGAAAGATCAAAGGGAAAGATTGAATCTATAAGAGTATGTTTTGTTATTCGATGGGAGTTGTTGGATCGTATAAAATAAAATAGATAATATTATTATTAACAATAATTGTTTCTCTCACACCAAAAAAAAAAAAGACATTCAAAGACGAATTAGATGCACATATTAAAGATACCTTTTCAGAAGAATATAATATTTTTAAACAACAACAACAACAGCAACAGCAGCAACAAATAGTTGAAACAAATGATTAATTAAGTTAATAAAAAAATTTATTCATCCTCGCAGATCATTGTCATCATTAATCTTTTTATACTTACTAGTTTAATTGAAAATCTAGAGAACAAGTATAACATGTCAACAGTCACTCTTCAAACCAATATGGGTGATATAACACTCGAATTGTATTGGAAACATGCTCCCAATACATGTAGAAATTTTGTTGATCTCTCACACAGAGGTTATTACAATGGAACAATATTTCATAGACTCATAAAGGTATCAAATCACCTGAATCTTTTTAAACAACAACAACAACAACACATAAATCTAAACAACAATAACAACTTATTCTCAATTTCTTATAGGATTTTATGATACAAGGAGGTGATCCAACTGGTACTGGGAGAGGAGGAGAATCTTCACAGGGTGGAAAGTTTCAAGATGAGATTACTAAAGAATTAAAGCATACTGGTGCAGGTATACTATCAATGGCTAATTCTGGTCCAAATACCAATGGTAGTCAATTCTTTTTAACATTTGCACCTACTCCTTGGTTGGATGGCAAACATACGATATTTGGTAGAGTTTCAAGTGGTATGACTGTATTACAAAGAATGAGTTTGGTAGAGACAAACTCTAAAGATAAACCTGTTCAAGATATCATCATATTAAAAACAATAATAACATCAACAGCCACGGCTAATTAAATCCAAACAATAACGGCAAGAGGAGGTGTTTAAATTTATAATAATAATCCAGAGTTATGGAAATTTATTGAACCACTATAGTTGTTGATTGATAACATTTATGATGATTGGAATTACCAGATGAATATATATAAGTATTAAAAATGTGATCAATCACCAATCGATAATATCGCAACAACAGTTGTAAATTAGAAATATATTCAAAAAAAATAAAAATTAAGAATGGTCGATTCTTGCATCGTTGGCTCATTCAAAGTATACTTTAACTCTAGATAAAAAGAGAGAGATCGATCTTCAACACCAATCATTATCATTATCATATTACATAATTCATTGATTTAAACATTTGATACATAGAAGTAGTAGTAGTAGTAGTGATGGCTCAATATCTAAAGAACTTTACGACTAGATTTGCACAAGCAATGAAATCAACTAATCTTACCACTGCTGTAAAGACACCAATACCTTCACATATATACGATGTTGTTGTATGTATCCTATATATATATATATATCTATATCTTCTATCTATCTATACTCGAGTATAGAGTTTTTTTAACATACTAATCAATCAATCATAAAGCCAACCAAACCAGCAGAACAAATGATAAAGAGTGTTAAACCAATCGAAATTGATGGTCATAGAATAGGATGCGATGGTGGAAATGGACCACTTGGTCATCCAATGGTGTATATTAATCTAGATGGTGAAAAGCCACAATCATGCGGATATTGTGGTCTTCGTTTTGTTGCAAACAAGCATCATCATCATTAAAGATAAATAAAAAATAATAATAATAGCAACAACAACAGCAATAAAATTACATTGGAAAAACATCATCATTGTTTATTTATATAGTGGTGGTTTATTGGTGTAATTCAATATATATTTCTCTCTCTCTCTCTACCTCCAAGTTACATCTACTTCATCGGTTCTAAATCTTTGAGTAGTAGTTGTTTGATTTAAAGGAGTGGGAGAATTATATTTGAACAAGAGATAACCAGCCCAAGCAATCATTGCACCATTATCTATACAATATCTTTCATCAATCCCAAAAGATTTACCACCAGGTCTTTGAGATACCATTTGGGTGATCATTTCTTGTAATCTTTTGTTACAACCTACTCCACCTACTGCCAACACTTCATTTTGTCCACAATGGGCCATAGCTCTTTCGGCAGTTTCCACCAACATGGAAAATACAGTCTCTTGTAACGAGTAACACAGTTCTTCGACTGTACATTGTTCATCTGGTTGTTTGTTGTTCTTTCCTTTACCACCACCATTGTTTTGTTTTTTCTTTTCTCCTGTTAGCATGTTTCCTCCTGGAATACGGAAATCATTCTTTGCAATAGATTCTACAGATGACAATATACCAGAAAAAGATACATCCATTCCTTTTGTAATATAGGGCAATTCTATTAGTTTACATTCTCTATTTTCTCTATAAAATTGATTCAATATTTTGTTGTTAATATATATTTAAATATTGGTTGGTTCTTCTACAAGATCATTTGTCCTTCTGTGCTTTACTTTTGAGCATCAACTTTTGCTTTTGAAGCCAATTGTTCGATATTATAACCAGGTGATGGGTCATTTGGTATATTGATTACACGAGCAAATCGATCTAGACAATTACCTACAGCAATATCTATTGTTTCACCAAATATTCTATACTTGTTCATAGAATATGATATCACTTGACTGTTGCCACCACTGACATAGAGTACTGTTGGATCGACAGCACCAGTGATCAATCTACCCATTTCAATGTGAGCTATGCAATGATTAACAGCGACGATTGGTTTGTTCCAAAGTTGAGAAAGCATACGAACAGTGACAGCAACTGATCTCAATGGTGGACCCATACCAGGTCCTTTGGTATAGGCCAAACAATCGATATCATTTGCTGTTAGATTACTCTCTTTTAATGCTTGTTGTACCAATGTAATAATGTAGCTACGATGATGTTTAGCAGTATCTTTTGGGAGGAATCCTTCACCTGGTGGTGTAATATAGGTATGTCTTATATTTGATAATATAGTACCATCTTGTTTAACAATACCTATACCAAGCTTATTTGCACTTCCTTCAAATCCCATTACTATTACATCTTTGTCATTTTTACTTTTACTATTATTATTATTATTATTATTATTATTATCTGTCATGATGACGATGTTGATGATAATGATGATGATGATCAACACCTAAATCCTACTCAACTATGATTTTTTTTTTATTTTTACAATTTTTGATAATAATAATTATTACATCACAAAAAACAAAAACAAATCCTTTCCTCTATTTAAACTCAACCTTTTTTTTTTGTTACAATTTTATCAACAACATATCATAATATATATATAAAAATGATTTCAAGTAAATTAATTAGAATTTCACCAATAATTAAAAACAATAATATTTTGGAGAGATCCTGTCATCCAGGAGGATGGTTCTCTAGATGCTTTTCTAGAGGTCATCAAAATGTTGGACAAGAAGGATCAGCTTTTTATTATGGTAGTTTTAATAATAATGTAGATCAAACAAATCCATCCTCATCATCAACAAGAGTTGAATTATTCCATTTGAACAAACACGAATTCAAGGATCATCTAAAGAATTGGATTCGTCAAGCAAAGTATGATTATAAAGATCTTAATCATCATCATCATCATAATCATGGTGGCTCGTTCAATTGGTATAATTTCTTAAATCAATACCAACAAAAGTTATCTCAAAACACTGCTTCAGACAAACAATTTACCATCCCAAATAGTAAAATATCTGATTTATCAACTCACTATTTGGTAAAGGTTGAAATTCCAGGTGTCAAAAAGGTAAGTAAAATAAATAAAATAAAATAAAAAATAAATACTTATACTTTTTTTTTTTTTTTGTTTTTTTTTTTTAAAAAAGACTGATATTAGTTTAAACTTTTCAAAAGAAGGAACCATTGTATTGGAAACAAAGAATAATAATAATAATTTACAAGAAACTGATCAAAACAACAGTAATAATGATAATCAAAATTATCGTAAAGAAATTTGTTTTGAAGAAACAGTAAATTGTGAAAAGATTACCGCCAAATTGGAAGATGGCATTCTTTATATTACAGTTCCAAAAGAAGTAAATACAAATATTAATATTCAATAAATATTGTATTGTTTTTGGTTTTTTTTACATTATATTAATATCATGATCTCTTAATGTCTCTTGAACATGATTTTCACAATTCTCGACAAAGATATTGCTTGTAGATTGAGTACGAGGTTGATAGTATATCTCTCTACCAAATTGTTTCTTGCAAAATATTTCACCATTTTGATTACGAAGAAACATTTGACTAATTGAACTATTCTCTTCAAATGTATCGTGAATGTTTGAGCAAGTGTTGATAAAGACTTCTTCCGATTCAGATGACATACCACTGGCAACAGCACTTTGTGTCAAAGAATTGTATGAAAGGAAATGGTACCCATAGGTGTGACACGGTGATATGGTGGTATGACACATTGTGTTTTGATTTTGTAATGCTGGGTCCTTTTCTAAAGTATCTATTTCAGATGATGACTAAATATTATATATTGGAAAAAAACAATAGAGTAATTAGTTTTAGTTCTCTTATTATTATTATTTTTTCTTTTTCTTCTTACAATTAAAAGGTTTCTAATCTTGTTTATATATCTGGTTGTATTTTGGATGGGTTGAGTCACTACTGCTACAGTCACATTTGCCCAGAATAATAATAAAAGCTCTACCAATACATATGGCTCTTCATCATTTTCTCCTTTACCTCTAATATTTTGTTGTTGAGATGCATTATTTGTCGTCGATGTAGATGATTCTTGTTGTTGTTGTTGTTGAGAGTTTGATGAATCTTGTTCAAAATTATTAGAGTTGGATGATGGAGTATCAGTGTATTCTAATTTATATTGAATTAATTGATCATAGTCTTTTGGGGATATGTAGACGCTAATAGAAATGTCATTTGGGATTGATCCGTTTACTTTGTCTCTTGTATGTTGGATCTTGTCTATAATATGTTTTGTAATATCCAAATCTATTGTACTAATCAATAGATTACTCTTGACGAAAAGAGCACCTCCCAAATGGTCAGGAAAGATAATATTGTGCAACATTTGTGATGATCTTAAAAATGTTCGATTTGATGACTAAATAAATAATTAGAGGTGTAAGTAAAAATGAAAGAAGAAAGAATCTAGCTAGATTGAATCATTATTATTATCTTTCTCTTACAGGAGGTAAAGGAGTATAAGGTAATGGTTGAAAGGAACGCATTCTATTCTTGTATAAATCATCAGATACAATTTCCATTGTTTCGGCCAAAACTCTATTCATGTTTAGTTTAGTTTCTCTAGAATTGATATCTTTAAAACTCTTACAATAAAATGTAAAAGAGTTGTAGATATAGTCTAGATGATGGATAATGGTAGAAGATGGTATTGATTTATGTGCACACAATGCCAATGTATAGGTACCAACAAATTTGTAGGCCATAATGTGTCTATCGAATCTAACATAATCAATCTTGCTTTTTGCATCAAAGAAATCTTGAATGGCACCTACTAATGATTGTATCATACCACCAAAAAGGACCTTGTGCGGTGTACTTTTTACCTCTGGATAGAAATAAATGATTGCCTCTGATTGTTCAGATGCTTCATCATTGATATATCTATCAAATATACAAAAACAAATATCATTGTCTGGTAATTGTAACATTACTTCATCATCATCTTTGTTATTATTATTATTATTTTGTATTGGTGTTTGTGATGACATTTCTAAAGACTTGATCTTTTATATATATTATATATAAATATATAAGAATAGAATATTATTATATTGCAGTTGAGCAACTCTTTGTGATGAATATTTCTTTTTTTTTTTTTTTTTTTTTTTTTTAAATTTTTTCAACAACCATCAAAGTTGGCTTGAAAAAAGATATTTTATTTATTCTTTAGATCTCTCTCTCTTTCTTTCTGTCTTTTTATCACTTACTTTTCTAGTTCTAATTTAGAATGGGAGGAAACAGAGTATGTAAATTCAACATATCTATATATTTATATGTACATACATACCTTTATATTTATACTTTTTTTTATTTATTTTGAATCAGATTAAAGTCTCTGATGCAGAGAGATACCCTTGCGATTATGAAGGTTTTTTACAAAAAGAAGGTGGAAACATTAAGAGTTGGAAAAAACGTTGGTGTATTCTTAAGGGAAATAAAATATTTTATTTCAAGTACAAGGGCGATCAATATTGCAAAGGTTTTATAGTATTGGAAAAGAACTCTGTCACTGCAACTAAAAGTGGTCAAGTATGTATATATATATATAGGTTTAGGGTGAGAAAATATAGATTGATTGATTCATAACAGTTATCTAATTGCTTGTTTAAAAGATTTTTACAGTTTATACTTCTGTTCGTACTTTTGTCATGCACTGCGAGGTGGCAAGCCAAGTTCCTATTTGGGTTGAAAAAATTCAACGTAGTGTTGCCATACTAAATGGACAAGCACAAACTGTCATGGCAGTGGCACCTGGAAGCATAGTTGTAGCTCCCCAAGCAGGTGTCTACCAACAAATTCCTCCAACACAACCAGGGGCTTATCCACAGTACCCCCAGCAACCTGGTCAACAACCAACTTATCAATATCCTCCTCAATATCCACCACCACAACAACAACCAGGTGCAGCAGGACAACAACCAATGTATCAATATCCACCACCACAACAAGGTTATCAATATCCTCCTCAATATCCACCACAACCAGCAGGACAACAACCAATGTATCAATATCCACCACCACAACAACAACAACAACAACCAGGTGCAGCAGGACAACAACCAATGTATCAATATCCTCCACGACAACCAGGTGGGGCTTCTCCTGCTACTCAACCACCTCAAGCAAGTGCTCCTCCAGCTCATAAATCAAATATTTCACTTGAAAAACAACAACCACCTGGTCAAGCTGGTCAACCACCTCACTATCCTCCACCACAACCAGGTGGGGCTTCTCCTGCTACTCAACCACCTCAAGCAAGTGCCCCTCCAGCTTCATCTGCTCCACAAATGTATCCACCACCAGTGTTTTCAGGTGCCCCTGTTTCTCATCCACCAGTTGCACATCACCAATCTGCACCACAAATGTATCCAACTCTGCCACCACAACAACAACAACCATTTGCATCCTATGGAATGATGCCAGCCGTTGCACCAATGCCATTTTCATCGATTATTGATGGCCGTCTCAATCCCCCACCAGGAACAACTCTTTTTAACTGCGGCAATGGTTGTGGTGAAATTATAGTCAGAATTATTTCAGCAAAGAATCTAGTTGCGGCTGATCTAAATGGAAAGAGTGACCCATACACAGCCATTCGCACAACTACATCAAAAGAGCCATTAAAGACTAAAGTTAAACCAAAAACCCTCAACCCTACATGGGAACAAAGTTTCACATTGCCAGTTAACGATGTTCTTGTTGACATGCTCATTTTGGAGGTATGGGATCATGACACTGTTGGAAATGATGATTTAATTGGATTTGTTGGCATTGATCTTGCACTCCTCCCAAGAGGTGTCGAGGTGATTACATGGGAAAATTTATCATTTGTCGAACACGGAGAGTTACAAGTTGGTATCACTGCAACCAACTTTGGCATTCAAAACTTCCCACCCAACTACCCATTGGACTATATTCAATGGCGTAGCTCTCTCCCAGCAGTCTCTCGTAAAGGAATGAAAAAAGAGAAACATGAAGTCAAGAAGCAGGCAAAGGAAAACAAAACACAAAAATCAAATCCATCTGGTCCCTATGCATCAAAATCCGTTCACCACAACTATCAACTTGTTAATGGTTGGTTAAAAAAGAAAAAGACAAAGACTGAGAAATTTGCTTCTGGTGCCAAGTCGACAGGTATAGTATTGGGCGCCATAGTACTTGGTGCACTCGGTTAACAATAATCAATACTCTTGTAATAATAATAAATTATTTTAAATTAAAAAATATCGGATGATCCTATTTTGTTTTTTCTAATATCCAGATAAAACTATTTTTAGAACAAAGAATGATGACCTATCATTTCTATCTTTTATTTTATTTTATTTTTTAAAAGAGAGTGTTTTTCAAAAGTCACCACCATTTTTGATCGGGGAAAAGCATTGTTCAATGTTCTATTATTACAGTATAGTAAAATGAGTAACACAACACCTACAAACAATCCTTCTTCCTCAACGACGACACTTGATAATTCGTTAATAAACAAAGATAATAACAACAATAATGATTGTAATAATGTTATTCAATCATCACTAGATTCACCATTACTAAATCAAGATAATAGTTTAAGCAAAGAAAAGTTTAAAAATCATAGATTCGATAAGCCACTTCCTCTTCCTCCCTCTACACACTCACATCATCTATCAAACTTTACAGACAACTCTATATGCTTATCGAGATCAGTACCAAATCTTCATATTTCAAACTTGACACAGAAAACAAAGAATAACATTTTACCAACAACTTCAACAGCAGCAGCAGCAGCAGCAACAACAGCAGCAGTACTAAACAATGAAAACAGTGCAAATATATCAATAACAGTAACACCAAATGATACTTTCAGTAAACAAGTACAACCTCAACGTTTGATTGAACCGATTGAGAGTGAAGCACCAACTCTTGGATCACTTTTGAATAAGGCCAATCTATCTGTTGGACAAGAAGATCAACTATTTGGAAATGGACCTCTAGTTAGTGGTATTAAAACAAATCGTAAAGGTCGCATATTTGATCATTTTCTCGTTGTTGGACTACCACCCAATGCTGAACTCAAATGCACCGAGCATGACGAAAAACAGCAACACCAACCTCAAATCATATACAAATATCCACCCGAACAACCATTACCCAATGATATGATTGCACAGTTTTGTTTTCCCAACCAAGTGACATCAAGATCAGCTCAAAGATCATCATCATTTTCAACTCTTAATCAAGTCGCCTTTTGTAATCTTGCTCACCTCTTGAATATGGAACATTCCTATATTTTTCTTTTAAACACAAGCTCTACTCTATACTATGGTGTTTGTATAGTTAAAGAAGAAGATGTATCAGTATGTATAAATCATCAAATCTTATAATAATAATCGTACTTTTATTTATATATTTTTTTTAATAGTCATCTTTATCATTCATGTCAACAAAGGAACAAGAATCTTTAAAAGAACCAACATCACAAAAAGAAAAAAGATCATTAAATAGAAGTCAATTTGATGTAAGTTAAATATTATCTGTAGAACCCTTTTAAAAGTATTAATTTCTTTTGTTTTTTTGTTTTTTTTAGTTTATTGCTCCTAGAGCCTATTGTTTTTTAACAAGGTTTCCATTCTTTCAATTACATTTCCAAATGTTGCACTCAATTTTGGAAAGGGAAAGAATGTTGATGCTTTTTTCAATGACTGACAGTAAAGATCCCTCATGCAATATATCAACAATGGAGATTATCGACGTTTATTATAGTATAGATATGGAAACAATCAAAGAAAAGATATCATTCAAAGCTCCTGGACAAGACTATAAAACTGATTTTCATTGTCCTCAAGGTTCAGAAGACAGGTCTATTGGAGATTGGTCGTTATTTAATACATTTGAGGGTGGATTGTCCATCGAAGATATACTTTATGCTTTTAGTTGGGCATTAATGGAAAGATCAATTTTGGTTTATTCAAAACATCTTGGTTCTATTTCTTCATTTGTGTATGAAAATCTAAAAAAAAAAAAAAACAAAAAAAAAAAAAGAAATACTAATATCATCTTAACAAACTTTATTTATAGATTTTCATTTATCCCATTATTAAAACCATATGTATGGCAATGTTGTTTTATACCAATCCTACCAGAAAGTTTAATAGAATCAATAGATGCACCTTGTAATTATTATTATTATTATTATTTACTACTACTACTATCAATTGACTAATTTATTATTTTTTATATTTAGTTCCATTTTTAATTGGGGTGCAACAATTACCAGAAAATGTTATGAAAACGAAAAGAGATTATTTAATAGTTGACATTGATAACAAAAAACTAATATTTCCAAATGGCGAATCAACCTCATCATCTATTCTTTCCCAACAACAACCAAGTCAATTGCCTCATCTTCCAGGCACCAAAAAATTGTTGGAAACTCTCATCAATCACCGAAAAGAATCATTCAAGTTACAAAACAAAATACCATTTGAACACTTGAAAAACAAATTTGTACAGGATATTATATCAACTTTTAGAGATTATCACAGTTGGCTAGTTGATCAAATCAGTCAGGCCATTATTACATGTATTAATAATATATTTTTAGAACAACAAAAACTACAACTACAACAACAATCGCAACTACAACAACAACAACTACTACAACAACAACAATCACAACAGCAACAAATTTTTGACATTGAAGAATGTCAATTAAATTCAAATGATATTTCACTTTTTTCAAGCAACAATAATATTAATAATAATAATAATAATAATAATAATAATAATAATAATAATAATAATAATAATAATAATAATAATAATAATAATAATAATAATAATAATAATATCCCTCTTCCTCTTCCTCTTCCTATTCCAATTCCTATTTTAAATTCATTTTCTGGTGAAAAAAGTCCACCTTTTGGAATATCGCAAATCGATGCAACCACTTCAACTGAATTGTTAAACAAACAAAGTATCCATTTCCTTGAAGATAATTTAAAACAAGTCATTCAATGCCTTCCCGAAAACTATCGATTATTTTTCGACCATTTCTTCCATACACAAATGTTTCAATTAAATGCAGTTCGTATGATGCTTCTCACCCAAGAGAGACACAAAACTAGTATAGGACAAATAGAAAAACTAGAATCACTCATTCAAATGGAGGAGAAATCTAAAGAAGTTTTGATTGAATACCAAAAAATGGCTAAAAAGGAAAACAAAGATATCAACAATATCAAACAACAACTAAAAGACTCAGAGGGAGTCCTCTTGCAGCTTAAAGAATCTAAAAAAAAAATTGGAAATGGAAGCACTTTCAATGTCTCCGAGCAAAGGCACCAACAGTCTTTTGCCATCATTCCTTGGAGGAATTTCAGACATTAGAAAAAAGAAATTGGAATTTGGTCATCGAAGAAGTAGAAGTGTCAGCGATCAAGTGGAAAAGAATATTCTAAAACAATCAATGAAACCACCAATAGCATCAGTCTTTGAATTGACATCATCAGCGACACCCATTAATCTAGCAAGCAGTGGTAGTAGCATACCAAAGTCAAACCTATCAAGATCTCAATCACCTCTAATTTATAACGGCGGGAGTATTGGTGGAGGTGGTTCTACTCCTTCTCTTGGAGAGCTTTTAGAAAGAGAACAAAAAAATATTAATAATATTAATAATAATAATATTTCACCACCAATAACCCCACCCCATGTAGTAGGATATGAAAGTCTACCAACTTCTCCTACGACCCCGAGAAAATAAAATAGTAAATCAAGTTGATAATGATTTGGTATATGGTATTTAATAAAAAGAATTGGTAAAATTGGCATTTATCACAAATATTTTCGCCTAGTCTTAATATTGAGGTGCCAATTTGTTTTTTCGAATTTAATAGTTTAACTCTTATCATTTTTAACTTTACCTATAACATAGGAACTTGAATTTTGTGCAGTCGAAAAAGAAATTAATAAAAATAATCTTTATCACAAAAAAATTGATGATGTCTTTTTATTATTTGTTTTTAATGTAAAATAAATATTTGGGTGACAAGTTGATCAAAATTCTATAGTTTAACTCTATTTATTTAAAACTTTGATGATTCGATTTTACATAGATATTATCATGGTGTGGTAACAAAAAAAAAAAAAAAAACAACTATTATCACAAATTTATTAAAGCCCAAGATGGTACTGTTTTTTTTTTGGGCTATAGTTCAATTTTTTTTTTTGTGAATTTTATAGTATAGTACTCTTGACTTGAAACCCTATTGCTACATCATAGGAAATGATCTGAATTTTGTACAGACATCAAACTTGTTAAAAAACTAGCATTATTTATTAAAAAATTAGTGATTTGGTTGTTGAGTCTGATTTTCAAATTTTTATAGTTTAGTTCAATTAACTTCAAACTTTGATATTCACCATTGGACATTGTTTTGGTAAGTAAATGAATTGTTTTAATTTTAAAATAGCCTTTTTTAATATTTTATATATATCCTCTTGGTTTTTGTTACTTTTTAAAAAAACATTTAAAAGTAATATAATTTATCTCATTTGACTTGAAACCTTAAATTCTATTTTTTAAATGACATGGAGTTGAAAATATTAAACAAAATAACCTTTATCTGGTTTTTTGTATCTTTTTATGATAATTTTTCCAAAACTTTAAATTTAACTCAATTGATATGAAAGTTTGATAATATCTATATATGATTATTTCCAACAATATTGCATCATTTAATTAAAAGATCAATTAAAATTGACTACAAAAAAAATTAATACTTTAAAAATTTCTATCTTTGTGTAATTTGATTTTAAAATTTTTTATACAATACCCTCACTCTTTAATTTTATTGGAAATATGCAAATATACTATTTTTAAAAAATCGATTTTATCAAAAATAAACCAAAAAGATAAAAATATAAATATAAATATTTTAAACTTACTATATTATTTTTCAATAGCCTCAATTGTCTATTATTATAAAAACTAAAAAATTCTGATTCAAGAGCTGATTTTTTGAAAAAAAGTGGTCATGGCATGAGCCGATACAAAATCAAAAAAAGTTCAAAATAGAGCAAAAGTTGGCATGAATATATATTAGTTTTTTACTTTTTTTAAACTAATAGAAGAATACAACTAACAAATATATACTGTTTAAAATATAAAAATATTCAATCGGTTAAAAAAAAATTATACTACAAAAACAAAATTATTGAAATTTTGCTTTTTTTTGTATTTCCTGGTTCCATTAAAGTTGTAATTTTAATAACTTTCTGATTTTTGATTGATTTTTGTCCATTTTTAAATATTTTATACAAAACTCTCACCATTACCTATTCTGTTTTCCATTCGAAATAATTTTAATGTAACTTTATAAGATATATCAAATTCAATAACCATCCTCCCATTTTTGAAAAATATGACAAAATTCAGATTAATAATTCCAATTTATAGGTTAATTCCGATGATATTTAGTACATATATGTAATAACTATATAGATACTTGGTAAATATATAATTAGTTTGAGAGGTATATAATAATAATAATATATAGATATATGAATATATAGATAGTAATAATGACTTTAGATTAGATTGTAAATGATTATTAATTATAGTAATAAAAGATGAATATAGAATATATAATATAGAATATAGAATGTAGAATATAGAATCTCTTTATTGGATTATTCTAATCCTTTTTATAGTTGTTGATCCAGACGACTAACTGTCGATGGTAAGATCATGTATACTAGTACAGTAATGTAAAACAACAATTATTATTATGTTTGCCAAAAGGAAATGAACTGCCATAAGTATTTGTCAAAGATATTTAGAAAATAAAAAAGCAGTTTGTTTTTTTTTTTGGGTCCAGGTCGGACGTTCAAGTACCACGAGATGAAAATATTTTTAAGGATCTACGGAATCGTCCCGAAAATTCTATATACAATTTGTAGCTGTCCAGACTATAGTTCTGGTAAGCAGCAAGTGCCCCTGATAAAATTTGAAGGCACGTGTTTTTTTGGAATCAGTACATATTATTCAAAAATTAAAATCATATAAAATCCAATTGTCAGATAATATATACTAGGGCAGTATTGTAAAACAACATAAATAATGGTGTTTTAGAAAAGGGAATGAACTGCCATAAGTATTTGTCAAAGATATTTCAAAAATGAAAAAGCAGTTTTGGCAGGTCGGACGTTCAAGTACCACGAGATGAAAATATTTTTAAGGATCTACGGAATCGTCCCGAAAATTCTATTTACCATTGGTAGCTGTCCAGACTATAGTTCTGGTAAGCAGCATGTGCCCCTGATAAAATTTGAAGGCACGTGTTTTTTTGGAATCAGTACATACCTATTTTTTCAAAAAATAACATAGGGAAATTTCAATTATAAGATAGTATATACTAGGACAGTATTGTAAAACAACATAAAACAACATATGATAAAAAGAATGTGT